TGCCAGCTCCACCAGCAGCCCAAAGCATGCGTCTAGCGGCAGCACTCCTTTTGCTGTGCGGCACCCATGCCCTAACAGCAACAGGACCGCAACCGGTCGTCTGGTCCCTCGCCGGCAGCGACAGCAGCGCCGGCGCCGGCGTCGAGGCCGACCTCCGCGCGTTCCGCTGCCTCGGCGCGCGCGGCTGCGCGGTCGTCACGGCCCTCACGGCGCAGAGCACGACCGGCGTCGAGGCCGTGCTCGAGACGCCCGCGGCCCACGTCGCGGCGACCATCGCCGCGCTCGAGGCCGACCTGCCGCCCGCCGCCGTCAAGACCGGCGCCCTCGGCGGCGCCGGCGCCGCCCGCGCCGTCGCCGCCTTCCTGCGCCGCGCGCCGCCCGGCTGCAAAGTTGTCGTGGACCCCGTCGTCGTCTCGACCTCCGGCCGGCGCCTCCTCGACGAGGCGGGCGAGGCCGTCCTCGTCGAGGAGATCCTGCCGCGCGCCGACGTCGTCTGCCCCAACGCGCCCGAGGCCGAAGCTTTGCTCGGCCTGCCCCCCGGCAGCGTCGCCTCGCCGGCCGACGCGGCGGCCGCCGCGACGGCGCTCCGCGCGCGCCTCGGCTGCGGCGCGGTGCTCCTCAAGGGCGGCCACCTCGCCGGCCCGCGCGCCGCCGACGTCTGGGCCGACGCCGCCGGCACGCTCTGGCTCGCCGCCGACCGCACGCCCGGCCTCGGCGCGGGCGGCGCGCACGGCACGGGCTGCGTCCTCTCGGCCGCGCTCGCCGCCGCCCTCGCGCGCGGCGAGGCGCCCCGCGACGCCGCCGTCGCGGCCAAGGCCGTCTGCGCCGCCGCCGTCCGCCGCGCCGCGGCTCACGCGGCCGACGCGCCCGGCGCGGGGCCGCCGCCCGCCGACGTGCCCGCGACGTGGCCCGACGCCGACGCCGCGGCGACCTTTCCTAGCGCGGGCCTCGATCCGCCACTACAACCGTTTCCGCGGCTCGACGGCCCGCCCATGACGCTCTACGCCCTCGCCGCGACGGCCGCGCGGTGCGCGGCGCTCTGGGACGCCGGCGTCGTCGACGTCCAGCTCCGCGTCAAGGACGCCCCGCCCGCGGCCATCGAGGCCGAGGTCGCCGCCGCCGCGGACTACGCTCTGGCCCGACCGCACGCGCGCCTCTGGGTCAACGACCACTGGGAGGCGGCCGCGGGCCGCGCCGGCTGCTTCGGCTGCCACCTCGGCCAGGAGGACCTCGCGGCGCTCGCGCCCGCCGACGCCGCGCGGCTCGCGGCCTCGGGCCTCCGCCTCGGCGTCTCGACGCACTGCCTCGCCGAGCTCGCCGTCGCGGCCGCGCTCGCGCCGACGTACGTCGCGCTCGGGCCCGTCTTCGGCACGACGTCCAAGCGCGTCCCCTTCGCGCCGCGCGGCCTCGACCGCGTCGCGGCCTGGCGCCGCCTCGTGCCCGCCGGCACGCCGCTCGTCGCCATCGGCGGCGTGGGCCTCGAGACCGCGCCGGCCGTCGTCGCCGCGGGCGCGGACGCCGTCGCCGTCATCTCGGCGCTCGGTGGGGACGAGGGGGGGGCGCTGCGGGCGCGCGTTCGAAGGTGGCGAGGGGTGTGGGGGGAGATATAGTAAGAACCATGTATAGTGTTTATGTCTTCCAGGCTGGCAGTGATGTTGGTTTTGAAGTACTTCGGTTGAGCAGCGAACTTAGTGGCCCGCCTCTGTACTAATATAGAAGCGCAGATACGCGCTCGCAAGGCGCTGTACCAGTACCTCGAATTCCGATATCGTCGCGCCGAACACGACGGTGACGTGCCACGCACGTACTACATCGCGACCACGTCGAGACTTCACCCCTCAATGCAACCATCATCTTCCACGCCGACTCGACGACGATCCTCTGCAACCACAACATGAAACCAGCGGACCTCAAGGCCGCCGCGCGGTCCGCCGAGCTCTTCCCATGGGGGGGGACACCAGACTAGGATTGCTCCATAGCGAATATAAACGCTCTCCTAACCTCCGGATTTTCTAAAACGAAGGTTAACCAGGTCGATTCCCGTCCCCTAACAAAGTTTGGGGTGGGGTCGTCGGGATCTGGCGTTTTGGCAGACCGATGACTGCAAAAATACCCGCACGATGTGATTCGGCTCGCTCCTAAGCGGCCTTCTTCGGCCCGAACGGCGTCCAGAGCCGCCACTAAGTCATCACCTTTGCTGCAGCACCCTTGAAGACCGTTGTAGCCGCCTCGCTGAACGCATGCAGCTGCAGCCGACGCGTCGCTAAATCTACTAAACGGGTTTTTGATGACTTTGGAGCTCTCCCTCTCATCGTCATCGACCTCCGTACGGACCCCCGACCTCGGGCGGGGCTACCGCCCCTCTCGGGGGCTTCATGCGAAAAAGCCGGTAATTTCGGATCGATTAAGACTCGTTCAGTACCTGGCGTCCCCCCCCCTCTCTTCCCGAAGGTCTTCAAGCTGCCGACCGAGTGAACCCCCTGCCAGAGGCAAAAGAGTAACAAAAGAGTACTAGATACCACGTCACTCCCCAACCTCGCCCCGCTCCTTGCGCGCGCGGAACTCGTCCGCGCGGAGGCGGTCGCGGCGGTAGTCGCGGCGCGGCGGCGGCGAGAGGCTCCGGCGCAGGGCCCCCGGGAGCAGCGAGACGAGGCCGCGCCAGAACGCGCGGAGGTGGCGGCCGCGGCGCGACTCGCGCTCGAGGCGGAGCTGCTCGCGGAGGAGCTCCTCGGCGGCGGCGTCGACGAGGGCCGCGTGCTCGCGGTCGGCGGCCTCCTGGCGCTCGCACTCGGCGAGGAACTCGGCGGCGGCGCGCTGCTGCTCGGCGCGGCGCGCGGCGACGCGGTCGGCCTCGGCGGCGTCCTCGGCGGCGACGCGGCGCTCGAGGCCCTCGAGGAGCGTGTAGGGCACGTACTCGTGGTCGGCGCGCTTGCCCTTGACGTGGCGCTGGCGGAAGCAGCGCGGCTGGCCCATCCAGAGGCAGTAGACCTCGCCGCACTGCGCGCAGCGGATCTCGGGCCGGCGGCCGCAGACGGCGCACTTGGTCGGGAGGTCGGGGTCGAGGCCCATGGAGGCGGCGCGCGCGCCGCCGCGCTTGGCGCAGACGGCGTCGTGGTCGAAGAGGAGGCAGCTCTCGCAGAGCCGCGCGCCGCAGAGCGTGCAGCCGTGCGCGGGGTCGGCGACCGCGTAGTCGCACGCCTGGCAGTGCGAGGCGTTCAGCGCGTTGAGCTGGAAGTCCGAGAGGGGCTCGCGCAGCGCGACGACGGCGTGGCGCGCGCGCTTGCCGCGCGCGTGGATCCGGAGCGAGCAGGCGACGCAGAGGTCGTCGCCGCACTCGTCGCAGCGGCGCCGCGCGACGTCGGCCTCGCAGAGCGCGCAGACGGAGGCATTCGCGGCGTATCCCGTCCAGGCGTGGCGCGCGCGCGCGCCGCGCGCGTGCGTCGCGGCCCAGCAGTCCGCGCAGTAGTCGTCGGCGCACTTGGCCGCGTCCTCGGCGAGCGCGGCGACGAGCGCGCCGTGGTACGCGGCGAGGCGCCGCGGCGCGGCCGCGGCCGCGGCGGCCTCGGCGTCGGCGTCGTCGGGGCCGGGCGGCGGCGGCGGGCCCATGGCCGCGGCCGCGCGCGCGTGCAGCGCGCGCGCGCGCGCGAGGCTCAGCGGCACGCCGGCGCCGCGGAGCGCCGTCCGGAGCTTGGCGGCCGTCAGCGTCCGCGGGTCCGCGGCCTCGGGCGCCGGCTTGCCGGCCTCGGCGGCGAGCTCCTCGTTCTCGCGCGCGAGCGCCGCGCGCGCCGCGGCGCCGTCGGCGTCGAACTCGCGCTTCTCGCGCGCGCGGCGCCGCTCGCCCCGGGCCGCCTCGCTCTCGCCCGGCGCCGCGGCGGCCTCGGCGTCCGCGTCGTCGGCGCCGCCGCCGCCGGCGTCGTCGTCGTCGTCGACGCGGACGGCGTCGCCGGCGACCGCGTGCTGGAGGAGGAAGCGCTGGAGGATGAAGCGGCCGCGCGGCGGGAGCACGAGGCCGCGGCAGCGGCGCGTGGCGGGCTCGGCGCAGACGCAGCAGGTGAGCGGCGGCGCCGTGAGCGCGCGCGTGAGCACGGCCTTGTGGGCCTTCATCGCGGGCGACCGGTCGTGGTGCGTGTAGAAGCACGCGAAGCAGAAGTGGAAGTGGCCGTCGCCCCAGGACGGGGGCACGAGCTCGAAGCGCGGCGCGGCGCAGGTGTCGCAGCGCCGCGTCGCCGGCTCGAGCTTGCAGGCCATGCAGTAGCCCTCGCGCGGCTGCTGGAGCGCGAGCGGCTTCGGCCGCTCGAGCTGCGGCCAGGCCAGCACCCAGCGGCCCGAGAAGCGGTCGACGACCTGGGGCCGGTAGGCCGCCTCGCCGCCCTCGGGCGCCTCCCACGACACCTCGCCCGACTCGACGTGCTGGAAGTAGAACGCGCCCGACGCGTCGTCGTGGAGCATGTGCCACGGCGCGCGCTGCTGCGCGCGCATGAGCGTCGCCAGGCGCCGCGCGAGGACGCAGCGCCAGCCGCGCCGGACGAGGGCGCCGGCCGCCGCGCGCGCGGCCTTGCGGCGCGCGTGCTGCCGGAGCGCGCTCGCGCGGCGCGCGCCCGTCTGGAGCCGCGTCGTGGCGCGCCAGGCGCGCAGCGCGAGCTCGAGGACGCCGTCGTCGATGAGCCAGCACGCGCGCGCGGCGGCGCCCGACGCCTCGCCGCCGCGCGCGGCGGCCGCGGCCGCGTCCGCCTCGGCGAGCGCCTGGCGCCGGAGCGCCAGGACCGTCGCGCCGGCCGAGCCCGTCGCCGCCGCGTCGTCGAGGGGCTGCTCGACGGCGCAGGCCGCGCGGTACGTCGCGTCGAGGCGCTCCGCGAGCTCCGTCGCGCCGCTCTCGGCGACGAGGTCGCGGACGCGCCGCGCGCCCGCGGCGAGCGCCGCGAGCGCCGCGCGCTCGTCGGCGGCGACGGCCGTCGTCGGCACGTCGACGAGCCGCGCCGCGACCGCGTCCTGCGCCGCCGCGGGCTTGCTCGGGAAGTCGGCGAGGAGCCGGTCGACCATGCAGCCCGTGACGGGGAAGCGGCTCGCCGCGAGCGCGGCCGCCATGGCCGCGCAGCGGTTCTTCTGGTTGCGGTACGCCGCGAGCAGCGGCGCGCCGTAGGCCGCGGGCCCCTGGGCCCGGAGCGCGTCGGCGAGCGGCCGGTCGTCGCGCGCCGACGTCCAGTACGCGAGCGGCTTCGCGCGCGCGTCGTCGTAGCGCCGGAGCCAGCGGCGGTCGGCGGCGTCGCGCAGGCCGAGCCGCTCGAGCTGGGCGTCCTCGGCGGCGGTCTCGTCGGCGTGGGCCTTGGTCGCGGCCTCGAGGTCGTCGCCGACCGGCTCGCCGCGGCGCCGGCGCCAGTCGTGGGCCTGCTTCGCCTCGGCGAGCGCGGCGTCGCGCGCGCGCGACGCCGCCTCGACGGCGCGGATCGCCGCGAGGACCTCGGCGCGCGCCTCGCGGAGCGCGGCGCGGTCGGCGCGCGCGCGCTCGGCGTCCGTGCGCGCGAGGTGGCGCGTCGCGTCGGTCTCGCGCCGGGCGCGGCGCGCGGCGACGCGCGCGGCGCGCGCCACGGCGTCGCGCGAGAAGCCGCGCCGCGCGAGCCAGAGCTCGAGCGGCGGCGACGCGTCGGCGTCGCGGAGCGGGTCGCCGCGCGGCCACCAGGGGCACACGAGGCACGCGGCCTCCCGGACGTCGGCGATGAGCGCCGGCAGGTGGTCGGAGCCGAGGTCCCGCGCGAGCTCCCGGCGCTCGACGTACGCGCGGTACGCGCGGACGAGGCGCCGCGCGGCGCCGTCCTCCTCGAAGTCGAAGGCGGGCCGCTCCCACGTCGTCCGCCCGGACACCTGCGGCGGCGGCGACCCGTGAGTCCCGCGCGCGAGGGCGCGGCGAGGGTTCCGCGCGGCCGCGCGCGTGGACGAAGAACGCGCGGCCCGACTCGTCCTCGCGCTCGGTCCAGCCGTAGCGCAGCGCGACGCGCGTGTACTCGATCCGGAGCTTGACGACGTACCGCGGCCGCGTCATCCGGAGCGCGTCGCGCGCCGCGGCCGCGACGTCGGCGAGCGCGGCGGCCTGCGCGGAGCGAGCACGCGTCTCGGCGGCGCCGGCCGGCACGCGTCTTCCGCGCCGGTGGGGGCGTGCGGGTCCGGCGCGCGCGTCCGGGCGGCCGTCGCGCGGAACGCGGCCGCGACGGCGTCCTTGCCGTCGACCGCGCGCGCCCGCTCGAAGCGCCGCCGGAGGCCGGCGAGGGCCGCGAGGTCGTCGGCGCGCGCGGCCTGCTGCGCCGCGGCGCGGAGCGCGCCGCGCCGCGCCGCCTCGGCCTCGACGCGCGCGCGCGCGTCGCGGCGCGCCTGCGCCGCGACGCGGTCGTCGGCGTCGAGCACGCGGAGCGACGTCCGCGGCGCGCGCGGCAGGACGTCGCCGTCGTCGAACTTGAGGCGGTAGACCCCGTCGCGCGAGTTCACGCCGACGACCGTCGCGGGGTAGTAGTGGTCCGTCGCGCCGTAGAGCGCCTCGACGCGGTCCCCGCCCGCGAGCCGCGGCACGCGGATGTCCTCGCGCCGCACGGCGTCGTCCACGTCGCCGTCGTCGAACGCGACCGTGAAGACGCCCTCGGCCGCGCGCGTCGCGTCCTGGACCGTCCCCGCGTACCAGTGCTCGCCGACGGCGCCGAAGCGCGCGACGACCTGCGCGGGGCGCAGGGGCTCTTTCTCGCTCGCTCTCTCCTCTCGGGCGACTCGCGCGACGGCGCGCCTCGAATCCACGCCGGCGGGGGACGTGGAGGTCCTCGACGATGGGGCACTCGTCGCCCTCGAAGGGGCCCTTGGCGGCGTCGGCGTCGTCGGCGTCGTCCGGGGCCTTCGCGGCGGCGGCGGGCGCGGCGGGCGCGGCGCGGCCGGCGAGGAGGTCGGGCTCGAAGACCTCGAGGCCGCAGCGCACCGACACGTAGCGCGATCGCTCCTGCTGCGTCAGCGCCCATTCCTCCTTCTCCCGCTGCTCCCGCGCGCGCCGCGCGCGGTCCTTGCGCGCCGCGGCGACGCGCCCCCGGGCGCGGTGCGCGCGGTAGTACGTCTGCCAGTGCAGCGCGGCGGCGTCGTCGTCCGCCGCGTACCGCGGGGCGACCCGCAGCCGCTCGCGCTCGGTCTTGGCCCACGCGTCGCCGCGGTCCTCGGCGGCGACGAGCACGCGCGGGGCGTCGCGGTACCGCGCCTGGTCGGCGTCCCGGAAGCGCGCGTCGAGCGTCCGCTTGCCGCGGACCCGCGGCTTCGGCGGCCGCGCGCGCTCGAACGCCTCCACCTCCGCGGTCTCGTCGAGCGCGTCGTCGGCGTCGACCTTCAGCCCGCCCAGGTCGGCGACGCGGACGGCGACCGCGCGCCACCCGTGGCGCAGCGTGTTCGCGAGGCGCAGCTCGCCCTCGCGCTGCGCCGCGTCCTCGTACCAGGCGGCGCGCGCCGCCGCCTGTTCCTTTTCGAACGCCTCCATGTCCGCCGCCCACGCGCGCCGCACGGCGGCGCCGCCGCGCTCCTCGAGGTAGAGTTTCGTCGCGACGCCGGCCGCGCGGGCGTGCTTCGCCGCGGCCAGGATGCGCCGCGCGTGGCGCGCCCGCCAACCGCTGAGGAGCGTCCTCGCCGCCCGGTCGCACGCCGCGAGGCGCGCGAGCGCCGCGCCGTACCGCGCGCCCTCGACCGCGAGCGCCGCGGCCTCCTCGGCGCGCGCGCAGCCCGGTATCGAACGTTGGAGCGCGCCCAGCCCCGCCTCCGCGACGGCCGACGGCCGCGCCGCGGCGATGTCGTCGAAGAGACCGCGCACGTCCTCGGCCCGACCCAACTCCGCCGCCTGCTTCGCGGTGCCGGCCTGGCGCATGGGCGACGGCGAGGCGCTGGCCCGGCCGACCGGCGCCGCGCTCGCCTTGTCCCGTCCACGGGCCATCACGTATCTCCCCCGGACTCGGGCAGCTTATCCTGTGGCAGCTACGGTTTATTGCTTCTTCGCACTGATGGGCGTCGAAGAGCCAAGTGGTGGCGCTGCCGCGCGCCCGCGGTCTGTACCTTTCCTTTGGGTCATCTGAGTCTCGGTCTTTGCAGACCCAGGGCGCCGCCGCGTCCAATTCTACTACGGTATAGCGTACCGGTATCTTTTTGCCTACCAGTATAGCTTAGGTATCCTGATTTCGATTGAGGACAAAACAAAGGACAAATTACATGTCCGAATCCTAGTCGACTCGGGCCGGGCCGGTCACGGTCACGGTCACGCCAGTCACCGGGTGCCTGAGCCCGAGTGACTACGAGGGCCCGAGACCGCGGCCGGAGCCTGAGTGGGGACGATGCACTGGAGGAGAGCTTCGAGTCGGAGTCGTATTTTCAAAACATTACCTTTTCCGCGCGTCCGGCTTTCGCCCCGAGCCCTTCGCCGTGCGAGCCTTCGCGGCGCGCGCGCCGCCGCCGCCATTCTCCGCGGACAGCCGCTTGAGCGCGTCCTTTTGCTCCGCGCGCTGTCGCGCCTCCGCCTCGGCCCGCGCGAGGGCCTTCGCCGCGGCCGCGCTTCGCTCGGCGGCGACCTCTCGGACGGCCGCGCCGTCGGCGAGCGCGCTGAGCACCGTCGACCCGAGGAGCCCGTCCGCCGCGAGCGCCCCCTCGCGCTCTTCGAGAAGCGCCCAGCACTTTTCGAGCGCGACGCGCCCGTGCAGGAGGGTCTCCCGAATCCGTTTGTCGTCCGCGTCGCGCTCGGCCTTCGACGCGGCCCAGGGCGGCCCCCCGAGCTCGCCGTCCTCGAGCGCCTGCAGCGCCCGCGCCGCGTCTCCGTGCCGCGCGACGAAGCGCGCGTACGCCGCGCGACTGAGATCGCGCGGCGCCGGCCGGTCGCCGTCGGCGAGCGCCTTGACGAGCGCCTGGCAGGGCCGCGGCAGGGCGGCGAGCTCCACGCCCGACGCGTCGCCGGCGTCGCGGCGGCGGCGGCTCAGGTTGCCGAATCGGAGGGCGCACACTTCGAGGATCGCGCGGGGCCGCTCGTCGCCGCGGAGCGGCCGGGCGGCTTCGAGCGCCGCGGCGTCGCCGTCGGCCGCGCCTTCGCCGGCGGCCCGGCGGAGCACGGCCCGCGCGAGGCTCGCGCACTCCGCGAGCGCGTCCTCGTCGGCCTCCTGTCGCGCGCTGAGGCGGCCGGCGCGGCGCCGATGGTCGGCGAGCTGGCGGAGCGTCGAGATGCGGCGGTTCGCCAACATGGCCCCGGCCTCGGGCCGCCCCGCGCGCCGCGCCAGCGCGCCCGCGGTCACCCCGGCCCAGGGGTCCGCGGGAGAAAACCAGAGCCACGGCTCGGCGCCGCCCGCGGGCGGCCCGGCCGTGGAGGCCACCGCGCCGAGCACGTCGGCGACGGCGCCGCACGAGCGGTACGCGCCGAGCCGCGCTCGCTTGGCGGCCGCGACCGCCGCGCGCGCGAGCGCGAGGCGCGCGCGCGACCGCTGCGTGCGCTGGATCGTCGCGGCGGCGACGGCGAAGGCGCCGGCGGCGCGCTCGACGCGCCGCAGCGCCGACCGCGTGAGCCACCCGCGGCCGCGCGCCTGGATCGGCGCCGCCCAGACGTGGAGCGCGCGGCGGTAGTCGTTGAGCCGCGACAGCAGCGCGTCGCGGAGCGGGCGGTCGACGGCGCGGCCGACGAACGTCTCCTTGCGGCGCTCGCGGCGCGCGCGCGCGGCGAGGCGCGCCTGCCACCCGCGGACGGCCGTCTGCGCCGTGACGGCCGCGGCGGCGTTCCGCAGCCGCGCGCGCGTGAGCTGCCCGTTGATGACGGCCTGGATCGTCGCGGCGGCGTCCTCGCGCGCCGCCGCCTCGAGCCGCTCCTCGCCGGCCTCGAAGCGCGCGATCGCGTGCTCGAGGTGCCGGAGGAAGCGCCCGGGCAGCGCGCGCCACCAGCAGAAGGCGATGCGCCGCGAGCTGTCGTGGCGGTGGTTCATGCGCGCCGTCAGGAAGCACCGGATCTTGCGGCGGGCCCACTTCTGGCGCCGCAGCCGCATGACGTAGTCGTGCGAGTCGTAGCGGAGCCACGCGCCCTGGACGCGCCGCGCGGCGGCGTTGGCGACGCGCCCGCGGTGCGCGCCGTGGCGCTTCTTGACGAGCGTCGCGGCCTTGCCGCGCATGTAGCGCCGCATGAGCTTCTCGTGCGCCTTGTCGTCCTCGTCCGTCGTCCGGAGGCACCCCAGCAGCAGGAACGTCGTGAACGCGTCGCGGTTGCGGTACCAGGCGCACTGGAGCCGCAGCGCGCAGCGCTCCTCCTTCGCGAGCTCGCGCTTGTGCGCGGCGACGGCCTCGCGCGCGAGGCAGCCGCGCAGGTAGCGCTGCGCCGTCCGCGGCGCGACGACGGCGTCCTCGCGCGCGCGCCGCCGCGCCGCGCGCGCGCGCGCCGCCCGCAGGCGGCCGAGGTGGCCGCGGACGGTCCGCGCGACGGTCCGCGCCGCCGCGCGCGCGCGCAGGAACGGCCGCCGCGCGAGGAACATGTGCGCCGAGGCCTCGACGCAGATCGCGGCGTTGCGGAGGCGCGCGTAGCGCCGGCGGACGGGCCACATGCGGTAGAGCGCGACGAAGACCGTCGCCGCGCGCAGCGCGAGGAGGTAGTAGCCGCGCCACTCGTTGCGGCGCTGGCGCGCCTGGATGACCGTCGCGGCGAACCACATCTCGCGCCGCTCGGCGCGGACGCGGTCGTCGAGGCGGAACGCGCAGTCCGCGGCGGCGCGCGCCTCGCCGAGCGCGACGGCGGCGAACGCGTAGAGCGGGTTCGCGTCGTGCGCGGCGACGAAGCGCGCGCGCTCGCGCGCGCGGCGGTAGCACGTCTGCACGCGGAGCGCGCCGGCCGCGCGCTCGAAGAAGATGGCCCAGCCCGTCCGCGAGACCCACTTGTGGAGGCACCGCGTGGCGCCGCGGCGCCGGCACCGCGCGAGGAAGCGGCCGAGCTTCTGCGCGCCCGCGTGCCGCGCGTACGCGACGCGCGCCTCGGCGCGCCGCAGCTCGAGGCCCGCGACGCGCCAGAGCGCGAGCGCCGCCGTCCGCTGCGCGCGCTCGAACTCCTCGACCCAGCGCCCCAGCGCCGCCCGCAGCCGGTCGCGCACGGCCGCGGCGGCCGCCGCCGCCGTCGCGCCGCCGCAGAAGGCGCTCGCGAGCAGCCGCAGCGGCAGCGCGCGGAGCTGCGCGTCGACGCGCGCGTGCGCCTCGACGCGGTGCGTCGCCGCCGCCTTGGCCTCGGCGCGCAGCATGACGTCGCGCGACGCCGCGACGCGCGCCATCGCCGCGTCGTCGCCCGGCGCCCACGCCTCCACGGGCCCGTGCTGGACGATCGCGCGCGTCCGCGCGGCGCGCCACGCGGCCTTGGCCTCGGCGGCGGCGCGCCGCAGCGTGCGCGTCGCCTCCTTGCGCTCCGCGCGCGCCGCGGCGACCGCCGGCCGGAACGCCGGCGGCGCGCCGGCGGCCGCGCGCGCGCCGGCGCGCGCCTCGGCGGCGGCGACGCGCGCGACGGCGCGGCGCTCGTCGTCGCCGCCGTCGTAGAGCGCGAGCGCCGCGGGCAGCGCGCCGCCCGCGGCCTCCGGCGCGTCCGCGTCCACGGCCGTCCGCCGCGCCTCGCGCGCCGCGTACGAGTCCCAGCCGCCGACCGCCGGCGGCGACATGGCCTCGCGCGGCGCGCCGGCGCGCGACGGCGACGACGCCGACCAGAGGCTCGTGCCGCGGCCGAGGCTGCTGCCGCCGTCGAGCGTCGCGGGCGGCGTCGGCCGCGCGCCGCGCCGCGGCGTCCACGCGACCGCGCGCTCGACGCTCGCCGCGGAGACGGCGACGAGCGGCTCCGCCGCCGGGGGCGCCTCGGCCGAGAGCGGCGCGGCGGCGAGCGTCGTCGTCGTCGTCGTCGTCGTCGTCGTCGAAGTCGCGAGTGCGAGCGGGGCGGTGGGCCGCGCCGGCGCCGCGGCCGCCGTCAGGAGCGAAGGCGGCGCCGTCGCCGTCAGGGCCGGGGGGCGCGCGAGCGGCGCGAGCGCCGGCTCGAGCCACGCGGGCCGCCGCGCGGCGCGCGCGGCGTCGGGAAGCAGCGCGCGGAGCGCGGCGGCCCGCGGGTGCGCGGGGTCGCGGAGCGCCATGCCCGCGTAGGTCCGGAGCGCGGCGACGCGCTCGTACTCGTCGAGGACGGCGTCGGACGTCGCGGGCCGCCGCGCGCGCTCGACGGCGTCGCGCGCGCGCGGCGGGACGGCGAGCGGGTCGCCGCGCGACGGCCTCGGCCGCGGCGCGGCGACGACGAGCTGCGGCGCGCGGTAGCCGAGCGCCGCGTCGGCGTCGAGCGGCGCGCCCGGCGCCGAGCCGGAGCGGCGGAGCGGCGCGCGCGCGAGGTCGCGCGGCGCCGCGACGTCGTCGAGGAAGGCGACCATCGGCCGCCGCCGCCGCGGCGGCGCGACCGCCGCGCGGTACGCGCCGCGCCGCGTCCGCACGTAGCCGCCGGGCGCGTTCGCGCGCGCGACCGACCGCCGGTGGTCGTAGCGCGGCACCGCGGCCGCGGCGGACGCGGCGCGCGCGTCGAGCTTCTGGACGTAGGCGGCGAGCGCGTGCGACATGGTCACGGTGCCTGGCTTGGGCTGCGACCGCTCGACGGCCTCGACCTTGGCCTCGACGCCGCGGTCCGGGTCCGACGCGGCGTTCAGCGCCGCCAGCGCCGCCTCCGCGTCAAAAAAGGTGTCTTCCGTTGGCGCCGAGTCCTCCGGCGCGTCCCCGCCGTCGCTGGCGTCGGCGTCGTCGGCGTCCGCCGCCTCCGAGGCGAGGCGCCGCGCGACCTCGGCGCGTGCGGCCGCGAGCTCGCGGTTCAGCTCGTCGCGCGCGCGGCGCTTCTTCCGCGCGAGCGCGTGCCGCATGACCTTGGCCCGCGCGAGCACGCTCTCGGGCTCGGCCGGCAGGTGCCGGAGCGGCTCGCGCGCGCTGGGCGCCGCCGCGCGGTCGCCGGCCGCGAGCAGCTCGACGAGGCCGAGCACCGTCGCGCAGTTCTGCCGCGCCGTCCGCGCGTCGGCGACGGTGAGCTCGGCGCCCGGCGGCGCCGGCCGCGCCGTGGCCTCGCCGGGCGGCGGCGCCTTGATCGACCAGACCTGCCAGAGGCGCTGCTGCTTCGACGCGTACCCCACGAGCTCCAGCAGCGCGTCCATGAGCGGCGCGGCGCCCGCGGCCAGGCCGCCGACGGGGAGGCCCTGCCGCCTGATCGTCTCGATCTCCCGGCCGAGGTCGCTCGCGGCTTTGATGCGAGCCCACGTCGTCGCCGAGCCGTCGAGCACGGTAGCAACGTGGTCCTCGGCCCGCGCCGCGGCCGTGGGAGGCGCGGGCTTGCCCGCCGGCGGCGGCGGCGCCCTCAAAGACTTAATCATCCAACAGCGACGTGTTACATGAGCTCAATCTGACAAGGGAGGGCGCGCCTCGCGCGTGCCGCCCATAAGGACAGGCTGCCTCATTATTAGCCTAGAGTTAATGCCGATAAAGTCCCGATGTATCTTCCACTGGCAAGTATAGAGTAGGGGGTCGAGCCCGCCGGCCGGCATTTCATCCTACCCCACTCTATCACTATTCGAGTCGAACTCCTGTCGTCTGTTGAAGTATATGGTATTTATGATCATGCTGGTTCGCCCTCGGGTCGGGCCGTGACCTTGTGAGAGTGACTCACTGGCAGGCTCCGAGTCCGAGCCACGGTCACCGGCATCATGATGACTGGCCACTGGCACCGTCCGAGTCAGCCACGGTCACGGTGACCTGGGGGCCGGGGCCCGGCGGGGGGGGCGGCGGCAGGTCCTCACCCGGTCTCACCGTGACCGCCTAGTCCATTAACTTAAATCTATTGCTACACGAGCCCCACGCGGTCGCCATCGATGTGAAAAAGATTCTCGCGCTGCCGGAGGAATGCTTTCAACTTGACCGACAGGCCGGCCGGCCGCTTGCAGGCGTTTCCTACCTTGGAGAGCGGCGACGACCCGTTCTGCTTGAGGAATTGAACGACCGCCGCCTCGAACACGGCATCCGGTTTCGCCGATGGGGTTGGCCGCTTCGGCACCGGCGTCGCCGAGGCCGCCTCGGCGGCCTTGCGCTTTTTTTGCTTCGCGGCGGGTGCGGGCATTGGTGCGGCGCGCTTCAGGAGGGGCTGGACGCCCATTTCGCCGTCGTCGTCGGAGGACTCGGCGAACATGAGGTCCGGGTCGAAGCTCTCGTCGTCGCTGTCGCTGTCGTCGGCCTCGACCAGCCTCGCCGTCCCGTGCCTGGTGCGCGCCAGCTCCGTCGACGTCCCCACCTGGTAGTCCGAGTCCGAGTCCGAGTCCGAGTCGAGCGTGTACTCGGGCGGCAGCGTCACGTAGCCCGTCACGTGCACCGTCGCGCCGCTGGTGGTAAACTCGAGGGCTTCGTTCCCGGCGGTCAGCTTGAGGTCGACCCTCTGGAAGTCCGCTACGCCCGGAGAAAGCACCGCCAGCGTGAACGTGTCGCCGTCGTCCGGCCGGACCGAGACGACCGAGCGCCGGTTGCCCTCGCCCACCGCGCAGGCCATCGTCAGGTTGATCTCCGCGACCGGGTCCGCTTTCACGAGCGCGGGCTTGTCCTCACGGATCACAAACCCGAAGAAGGACGACATCGTGCGAATCGGCTAACCCCTCGGGAGCAGGCCGCGCGCGCAATGCGTCAGCGCCCGGAGCAATGGCCAGCTATCGATTAGCCGTAGCTTTTACTCTGCAGCCTACGGTCTACGAGCTACCACGGTACCATGGTACCGTGGTAGTACTTCGGTAGTGCCCGTACAGCTAGAGTACATTACGGTCCAATTTACGGAAGACCTAATGGGAGTTCAAGTTCACCGCAATCCCGAAATCCCGACATCCCGAACCCGAAATAAACAAAATTTAGAAAGAGCCTGGAGAATCATATCCGAGTCGCTAAATTAAGAAATCATTAACTAAAACAACTTGAAATTCCGAATTATTTCCAATTCTCACGGTGGAACACCTAATTATAGCCTGAGGAATTCCCGGGCCACTGACTGGCACATGTAAAACCCCCGATTCCAAGTACTAGTAGCATCCGCGCCAAAACAACCAAGGGAGGGTGGGAGGGCCAAAATTCTTGCTCCTTTGTCCTGCGCTCTCACAATCGGAGCGCTATGGGACACGAGCAAGTATAAGAAGGTATCTTGTAGCGAGCCACTAGGTGTGACGATATTGCTACCAAGATACCACGGCCCGGGGCCGGGACTCGGAGCGCCGACGAGAGCAAGTATAAGAAAGTATCTTCGTAGCGAGCCACTAGATGTGACGATATTCCTACTGAACTATGGATACCTACCGTGGTACCACGGTACCTACTGCGGTACGGTACCGTAGGTATTTCACTACCGCAGTAGACTCGGACCACTGGCACTTTTATCCGGCCGGGTATTCCAGATATAACCGAAGTAACTAGGATAGGGAGGCCAAAGCAAAGTTGGGGGATTTTTGAGTGAAAAAGGAGGCCGCCGCCAAGAAGGCTGCCAGCGGACGACAACCCCTGGGACCCCCGGGCCCGCGCACTGGCAGCAAACACCGAGACAGGAGAAAAATAAATTCACATGATGAGGACGGAAGCCTCTGAACTTTTGATTACGCGGTCAGGTGCGTCGCGATCCGCGTGAGCTGGGCGAGCTGCTCGAAGCTCTCGAAGGCGGGCGCGGCCGGAGCCGGCGGTCTGGGGACGAGCGTCGCCTCCTGGGCGCGGTAGACCCAGCCGCGCGCGCGGCACGCCTCGAGCGCGACCTGGTCCGACTGCGCGAGCGCCGCGGCGACCTTGGCGAGCCGGATCTCGAGGTAGGCGGCGCCGATGACGTCTAGCTCGCGGCGGCGCGCGCTCGCGGCCGCCTCCGCCGCGAGCGGCGCGGCGGCGGCGCCCCAGGGCCCGGCGTCGAGCGCCGCCAGCGCCGAGGGCACGGCCGCGCGGCCCCGGAGCGCCGCGGCCGCGGCCCACGCGCCGCGGAGGTCCCCCGACGCCGCGCGCGCGGCCTCGGGCGTCCGCCGCCATAAATGGCGCGCGTCCTCGAGCTGGTCCGCAGAGATGTAGGCGAGCATCAGGGTCGCGGCGGCGGCGCCCAGCGCGACCGGCTCGCCCGCGTCGGCGGCCTGGAGCTCGGCGTCTTCGAGCGTCGCCGTTGCGCTGTCGGCCGTCGTGTCCATGGCCGCCATGATTTGGCCAGTTATATATGTCGCGGCGCGGCACTTCCTTCGGCACTCAGGTGGGCCTGCTCGACTCGAGCTCGATGCGCTAATACAACAATTCGGGTTTTTGGAGCCCGTGACTCTCTCTGTCTTTCGACACGCGTGCAACGCGTTCTTATCCTTCGTCCCTCGTCCAAAACTCCGAGTCATCCAAATGCAAGCCCGGCGGACTCAGCCCGCGGGCTAGTAAAAAAAAGGTATAAACTCCTTCCGGGTCAGCTGCCCTGAGGGCAGCTAACCCTGTAGGAGTTCATGCCTTTTCCCCTGCCGGGGGCTGCTCCGCAAGGGTGCCAAATCCGGCGTGGGGGGTGATGGTTCGGGGTTTAAGACTTTTTTATTATAAACCACTGATTTCGGGTTTTGGGGGGAAACCATGGTCAAAGCAGCCTCTCTTTAGGTCTAAGTTGCCTTCACTTAGACTAGGCATAGCCACGCCCCCTCCGGGGGCGTGGAGGGGGGCGAAAACCCGCACGTAAATATTGTATAATAAAAACCACAAAAAAAAGTATCGGGTTTTAAACCGATGGTTTATTTTGCCGAGACGGCGTGGGAGGGGGTTGAGATGGTATGGGTTTTGCCTAGACGGCGTGTAAGATGGCTTAAGACGGAACCGAACTTCGCTTTCGCTCGTTCGGTTTTTTCTTTTTGATACATCTTGTATAAACTCCCCCCAGAACATATAAAAGATAATGGCAAAAATTGATTACTCAGGGGGATAAGGGGTTCAGGCAGGGGGGTTTAGGGTAGTATCACTTTTTTGTATGTTGTAAAGTTCAGGGATATAAAGTATTAGCTGACGATAAGCTACAGAAGACTATTGTCGACACTGGATGCTCAATAGACATGTTTCATCCAAAAGTTAGGGATGGATTATCTGGTCAAAACTACAAATTGGACAATCCTATTGAAATCCTACAAGGCAGCGGATCTGTTTCCACCAATCAACTAGCGAAAGCGAAGTTCGGTTCCGTCTTAAGCCATCTTACACGCCGTCTAGGCAAAACCCATACCATCTCAACCCCCTCCCACGCCGTCTCGGCAAAATAAACCATCGGTTTAAAACCCGATACTTTTTTTTGTGGTTTTTATTATACAATATTTACGTGCGGGTTTTCGCCCCCCTCCACGCCCCCGGAGGGGGCGTGGCCACGCCTAGTCTAAGTGAAGGCAACTTAGACCTAAAGAGAGGCTGCTTTGACCATGGTTTCCCCCCAAAACCCGAAATCAGTGGTTTATAATAAAAAAGTCTTAAACCCCGAACCATCACCCCCCACGCCGGATTTGGCACCCTTGCGGAGCAGCCCCCGGCAGGGGAAAAGGCATGAACTCCTACAGGGTTAGCTGCCCTCAGGGCAGCTGACCCGGAAGGAGTTTATACCTTTTTCTAGAAGTAGACTGCGAATTTCAAGAACTCATTCAGTAAACAAACACACAGACTACTCTGCAACAACGCGCATAAACTCGGCCTCGTCGGCGTGCGGCTCCGTCAGCGCGGCGTAGAGGTCGTGGGGTTGCCGGCGTAGCCCCCGCGCGAGAGCCGCGTTGATCTCCTCGGCCGTCGACCATGCGAGCGTCCCGGTCGCCGCGTTGATGACCTCCCACGGCGCGCCGCCGCGCGCGCGCGGCGCAACTCGCGCCTGCGCGACGCTGTAGCCGTGCTGGAGCTTGAAACGCGTGTAGCCGAGGCTGGTCAGGAGGTCCATGGCGCTCTTGTCCTCGATCATGACGTAGTGGGGTCGAGCCGCCGGATCGGCCGCGAGGCTCTCGACGCAAGCGCGATCGAGGCCCTCGATATCGACCTTGAGGACCGTCGGGAGGCCGTGCTCGCGGATTAGTGCGAGGCACGTCGTCGTGGGGACGCGGATCTCGGCGCAGCCCCCGAGCCGCCTGCACTTCGCTGCGATGCCGGGATCCAGCGACGCGACTTCGCTATTGCCGCGCCGCGGGACGCGGAGAATGGCTGGCTCGGCCGTCGCGCGCGCGACGATGGCGCGTCGGACGACGACGAGGGACGAGTCCTCGGTCGCGCGGCGGAGAGCCGGGGTGGTCGTAGCGGCGCGCGCGACCGCAGGGTTTGCCTCGACCGCCAAGACGCGCCAGCCTCGCGAGAGGAAAAGCCGCGTGTCCTCGCCGCCGGCGAGTCCCACGTCGAAGACGAGTGTCGACGACCGCGCGGGCCACGCCGCACCGTACACGTCGCAGCCCTGCTCGACCCAAACCCGCACGGCCTCCGCGCCGCCGGGCCCGGCGAGCGCCCGGCGCCGCGCATCGAGGCAATTGCGTGACGCGGACACCCACCAATCCGGGGCGCCTGCCACATCAAACGCGTGGTCCCGCTTGAGCGTCGCGTCGCGGTTGAGGCACTTGCGGCCGCAAGCGACGTCCTTCGACGGCCGCGAGAACCCCACGCACCACGCGAGCGCCGCGCACCGCACCTGCGCCGCACTGCACGCGAAGTCCGTGCACGCGACCACACAAGTTCCAACGCCACCTTCGCAAGCCGAGTCCTGCCCCAGTAGGGACGCGGCGCGCGCCTGCTGAGGCGGCTCCCACGCGATGATCCGCTTCCCGCCCACCCCGATCTCGCGCGCCCACGTTGGCTCGGGGCTCGCTCTCGCGCTGCCGGCGGCTGCCAGAATCACACAGAGCACGACGGTTGATCGTCGGCCTCGCGAACACAAGCAGCGCACGGACATGGCTCAAGAGTAAGTAAAAGAGTACACCAGGACCGATTTGTCCGCCCCCGCAGTAAACTCCTCTACGTCTCCCACAGCGTGGTCACCTACCTCACGCACGCCGTTTAATCTTTGCTCCTGCTGTTGCCCTTCCTACCAGGAGTACGAGACTCGTCGAGAGATGTACGAGCTTGTACTGGTACAAGCTCGTATCTTTAACTCTGTCGTTGCGGGACAGTCTGACTTTCGGACAGTCTGAAACGCGTGATATTTGCGCTTCATTGTTACTATGGTGAATAGATGTCGTGATGACCTCCGAATGCTCGAGAATGGTGTTAAAAAAGGCTACAGCTTATTCAGCATCGGGAGGCGGGCCTTGGCATTCCTGGGGTCAGGAGGTGCATTCTCGCCCAAGTCCTTAGCAAGGATTTGGCCGAGCGCGCCCAGGTACCTCTTTGATTCCATCCTCTTGCCTTTGATTTTCTGCGCTGCTCCATGAGCCGTCCGGACGTGCTCGTTCCACGTGTTGAGTCCGGTGTGCGGTGTATTTGGAGTAGGTGCACAAGGCCAGCTACCTGTCGAAGCATTCCGCGTAAAGGTTGCCTGGCCAGCAGCGACTCCCTTCCGAACGGTGGGGTACGCCTCCATCGCATCGAGACGAATGGCCATCGGCACTGTTTCAGTATAAAATGGCCAATTCTTGTAGTTCCACGGAAATCTTTCGTGGATGTTGTGGACTTCGCCGTAGCCCAGTTTCCAGGCCGCGAGGGGCGTCGGCAATTTTCTGCCTGGTAGCCGCCGAGCAACCTCGGCCTGGACATCCCCCCGAGCAAAAAGTGCATCGTTGAGGGCCACAGAGACCAACGCATATCCAAACGGGCGCAGTGCTTCGACGTAGCCAAGCAGGGAGCACCCATATGCATCGCCGTCCAGTCGCCGCCAGCGCTTAAGGTAGCGATCATTGCAATAGCAGACAGGTGGCGGAAACTTTTCGTTGATTTCAACGTATACGAAAGCTGGCTTGCGCACGGCGAGTACGGCACGAACTACGACCACGTCGAACGAATCAATGTCTACCTTAAGCAACCGTGGCATCGCGGGACAGCCAGCCCCGTCCAAGAGCGCCGCCACGCCGTCCGGCACTAGAAACTGGGTCCTTCGCACGATGTTTTTGCCAGCCCACTTAATGGGGTCGTCCGCGTCTACAGCCAACCCGATTGCGGCGTTGCTGCGCATGTGCTCGGAAACGACGTCATCAATGTCTCTTACAGGCTTTCTTGGATCGTAGTGCGCGCCAAAATTGATCACGTAGTTTGACGAGTTCCAGTGGCCACCCATGACCTCTAGAAACCAACTGTTTTTGTTGAGCCAAGGGTTCTTCGACACGATCGGGTTGTGGTAGGAATGCGACACGTCTGGCCGCTGCGCCCCGACCTGGGCAGCGACGAAGGGCAGAATCTCTCGCCATCCCATGCTGCCTCTTTTTCATACACTGGCAAGTTGTTCAAAACGTAGCAATGCACACTGTACCTACCGCAGTACGGTACCGTAGACCCCCTGTATACCGGTAATATACGAGGCTCCGGGCTCAACCGGCTTCGACATACTCTTGCTAAAAGCGTCGAACTTTGGAAATCAGAGGACTAGGGCTAGCGAGGACTTCGCGGCGCTGCGGCGTGGGAATGGCCGAGGAGGACAGCTGCAGCCCGCAAAAAAGCCACAAGACGACAGATTGATTGGCCGACAGACGACAGACATGAACAGTGTCCACGGGCCTGGGCCGACGCCGCCAGCACACAGCTCGTACGGGGCTCCGGAGGACGCAGACGACGCTAGAGATTCAAAAAAGGCGGCATTGAAAGCGCGGCGCCGCGCTAGCAAGGCGGCTCGACGCGCGGCGGCGGGCCTGTCGGCGCGCGCGCCCCGCTTCGGCGCGCGCAACGAGAATCGCGCGGCTGTATTCGTCAAGTTCCTCGTCGAGACGTTTGGCGTCGAGCGGCTGCGACGCGAGGGCGTCTGCGACGTCGCCGGCGGGCGCGGAGAAATCACGTGTCGGCTGGCGCACTGCCACGAGGTGCGGTGCGTGCTCGTCGAGCCGCGCGAGGCCGTCGACCTCCAGGCGACGGTCCTCAAGCGCGTCGCGCCGCGGCTGCCCGCGCGCTACCGGCGGCACCTGGAGGAGGCGGGCCGAAGCGAGCGCATCGAGCGCCTCGCGACGGTCGTCGAGTCGCCGTTCCCGCCGCGCGACGCGGCGCTCGCAGCGCTCGTCGCCGGCTGCGGCATCTGGGTCGGGCTGCACGCTGACGGCGCGACCGAGGCGATCGTCGAGGAAGCGCTGCGCGCGCGCAAGGCGTTCGCGGTCGTTCCTTGCTGCGTCTTTCCTAGGTTCTTCGCTACGCGCGCGACGGAAGACGGCCGGCCCGTGCGTACGACGGCGGACCTCGTATCATACCTCGCGGCCAAAGACGCCCGGACCTGTACCACGACCCTGGCCTTTGAAGGCAAGAACCGTGTGGTATCGTGCGACGCGTCGGCCGTTCGCGTCGCCGCAGGCCCGGCCGACGTCTCTTCCGCCGTCCTCGCCAACGAGCCCATCTTGATTGAGGATTCCGCCGCAACGTGGCGTGCGACGCGGAGCTGGACCGCCGACGGAAAGCTAGTTGTTCAGAATGTCCAGCGTGATTTGGGGGACTGCGTGGCGCCAGTGGTCGCGGGCGATGGCGCGCGCACCACCATGCGGGTCCGAGAGTTTCTGACGACCCTGCACGACGAGGGCACAGGCTACCTCAAGGACTTCCACCTACACTGCGCCTCGCCCGGATGGTACGCACCGCCCCCAGGCCTCGATGACGACTGGCTTAACAGGTTTTGCGACCGGGAGGGACGAGACGACTTCCGTTTCTTGTATCTCGGCGGCGACGGGAGCAGAACTCCATTGCACGCGGACGTGCTCTCGAGCCACAGCTGGTCTGCAAATATCTGCGGGGCAAAAGAATGGTGGCTGTTCCCGCCATCGGAGACGAGCAAGCTCCAGGACGCGGCCGGAGTTTATGTCGACGACGTGCGGCTGGGATTTTACGACGCTGAGCGCTTTCCACGCGTCGCTGACGCCGCGTGTCTCAGGGTAACGCAACCGCCACGGTCCACACTCTTCGTGCCGTCGGATTGGAGACATATGGTCGTCAACGTCGGTGCGACGCTTTCGATCAACCACAACTGGTTTGAGGCCGGCGCTATCCCGAATGTCTGGCGCTACCTCGATACTGAGGCACGCGCCACCGCGGCCGAGCTCGAGGCCTGCCGTGCCGACGTCGAAGGAAGAGGCGGCGAGTTGTCAGAGTTTTTGTGGCTTCGCGAGCGCGTGCTCCGTGCGTCTGCGAGACTCAATGTCTCTGACTTCGTCGCCATGTGCCGCAGCGAAGTCTGCGCGCGCGATACGCTCGCGCCGGCCGGCAGCGCGCCCGAAGACGAGAGGCGCGTCCGCGACGGCGTCAGTCTCGCGCTCCGAGCCGTCGCCGCCGACCATGCGGGCAGTCTCTTCCTCGACGAGTCGGGCACCTGGCCCCGCGACGAAGACGCCGCGTCCTGGTCAAGATCGGCCAGAGACCGGGGCACCGCAGCGCTCGCTGAGGTGCTGGCGGCGCTGGAGCCCGAGGTGCTTCTGTAGAAAATATGGGGCTGTGATGTGTGTACAGCCAGCATGGTCATGCCAGCGGTATTGGCGACTGAGGTCATAGGTGAATCCCCGTGTGAATATATAGCACTGGATGTACTTCTAGTAATAGATGGGTAAAAGGGTTTTTTTTATTTTCATCCTGCCCGTTTTTATTTTCGTACGGATCCCGGAGTGCTTTTTTAATTTAGTAGTATATGAGTTGTAGCCCTTTTTACATCAAAACGGACGTTCACGGGAAAACCCGTTCACTTTCCGCGTTGATGTAAAAAGGGCTACAACTCAATTATATCAAGACCAAAATCCATGGTTCTGGGCGGTCGATTTTGGGGGTCTAATGATTTCTAGTATGCCAACGAAGAGCTACTGACTCGGACTGATTACGGAGCCGAGTATTGGCACAACAAGTTCTGTGAAGATACGCCGTGCTTCGTAAAAAATAGATACTACGACGATGACGATGACTTGTCCGACTATACTCCTTTGATCTTGCATTATTCGCATGGCGGGACTAACTCAACTATATATTCGAAATAACCCCCTACTAGTATTCATGAAATATACTAGAAATCATTAGACCCCCAAAATCGACCGCCCAGAACCATGGATTTTAGTCTTGATATAATTGAGTTGTAGCCCTTTTAACATCAACGCGGAAAGTGAACGGGTTTTCCCGTGAACGTCCGTTTTGATGTAAAAAGGGCTACAACTCATATACTAAACTTACATGCGCGACTCGGATGGCAGTAATCCACACCGTCGTAGTTGCAATACCGAAAAAGCACCTCTGACTGCATTACGATGCCTCTCCGGCGTTTGACTCCAGGTAAACTTGCGGGGTCGCAGGAGCACGTCGTGTTGAGATTGACAAGCGATGCCGCCGACGCCGTGGGCATTCTCCAGCTTAGCTCGCCGCGGCACACAATCGGGTTATGGGCTTTGGTCCAGGTGTCTGGGGCTTGCTTGTAGCTTCGTAGCTGGGTCTCCCGGAGTATGTAATACTCGAACCAAAACCGGCGGAGTGCCTCAGGGCGTTCAGGCTCAAGGTGCGATTTTATGGCCTTCCTGAGCCCTGCCTGACGAAATCCGCACGGATGCGTGAGGATGGTGATGCCTGGTTTGCTTGGCCACCATGAGCAGTGTGCGTAGGCAGATGCGTAGTGGCGAAGCGCCACCTGTGAGCCAAGAGCAAACTGGTCGTTGAGCGGGACGTCGATGGAGGCCGGAATTAAGAGATGTGGATGCTGGTTTGCCACAAGGTTGAGGAAGAGTGGCTCGTGCGGAAAGGCGATGTCAGGCCGAGTGAGGACGACGGCGTCGTATGTCTGGTTCCGCCGCTGCGCGTGCGCCTCGAGTGCTGCGAACGCCAGGAAGCGCGACCTGTAATTGTTGAGGATGCCTTTGCTCTCTGCTGATTTATGCCGTGCGACATTAGAGGGAACGCATTCCCGCTTCTGGCTGGTGCACGGTGCACCAATTTCGCTCGCGATGGCGGAAAGTGTCGGGAGATTGAAGTGCGCAACAACTACTTCTCGTCGCTGGATGGTCGCCAATGTTTTTTTTATCACGTCGTAGTCAACGTCAAGGTCAACAGAGAGCCGGGCGAAGACGTCGACAGGAGCGTTAGGCGTGAGCACGCACCGCTCCAGGGACGGTAGCGAGTACCCCCACGTGCGCAACAGTCCCACGATGACAACCGCAAAGCGTGCCGGCCGCGCAGCAAATGTGTCGAGGTTTGATGACCGGTAGACAGCGACCGACTGTTGCGTGTGCTCTGCGTCCCACCAGCCGCGGAGCGACGTTGTCTCCGCGACGACCTCGCTCACCGGTCGCCGCGGCTTGACAACGAGGCCCTCGTCATTTGGTTGGGAGGCGGATCGGGGGGAGGTGCGGTTGTGCACTGCATCACCATCCACATGAACTACCCCTCCCGTGAGGGCACAGCTTGCAAGTACTAGCACTGAACGTCTAAGGAGCATTTACGCGACGAGGCAAGTATCACAGCACAATAGCAAGAGTATGTCTCAGCGTTATGTAAGTAGCAGGGTCCTAGCTAACCAGCTTAGAGCTGATAGGCCTGACTGCAAGAGTGTTTTATAGTGAACTGTTGTTACACCGTAGTGCTTTTGACACTCGATGTATAGACTCAAATATTAGAGAGTGGGAGATACATATCTAGGGTAGGAAGGGCTAGTAGGTTTCTCTCTCTACTCCCCCTGGGCGCGAGCGTCCACTAGATGCGCTTCCACTAGAGGATGTATCAACTCATTCTATTCACAGGCAAAGTCCATGTGACAAGTGATAGGCTTCATAAGCAACAGACTTCTTCTCGAAATGAATATCCGTAAATACTGTTGTTGGATCCTTCTCGTCCTTTTTCGGAAAGTCAGTAAACTCCTTCAAATGGACTGTCTGATAGGCTTCGGCTAACTTACCGACAATAGTCTCTTCAAAGTTCATACCGAATCTATGAGCATGCATGGTAAATAAGCCTTTTTCCAGCAATTTTGAGAAGAAGTCAGCAACATTGTAGTTTCCGGGACACCAGTAGGGTCTGATCATTCCAAGCTCATGATAGTCCCTGATTCTGAATTCCCGCAACGCAATGTGTCGGGATTTAGTACTATTGTTGCATCATAAGACAATTTAACTCGCCAACAAATCATACAGATTCGCGACAGGTCGAACAGGACGTACATGCTTGGGAACTAATCCCAACTTAGGAATATAAATTCCAGCTCCATAACTGCCAAAGGCTGCTGGGGTTAATACCCGGAGCATCATAGACGTAAATACAAGGATACGTGGCCATATCATAGCAGGTACTCTGGCTTACCGTGGTAAGCGCAGCAGCATGGTGCGACCGGGCGCTGGCCTCTTTGCCTTGGCCACCGCGCTTGCAACGGATGCGCCGTCGGCCGTGGTGGAGGAGTCGAGGATCCCGTACAAGAACCTCGGCCGTTGTGGCGCGACGGGCCGCTGGGGCGAAGCGCTGGAGGAGAAACTGTTCTTCCTAAAGACGACGAAGACCGCCGGGTCGAGCATCCGGTCGCTGTTCGTGCGGTTCGCGCGTAGCGAGCGGCTGGCGGTCTTGCGTTCGACACAACCTGGCGGCGTCCTCTTCCCGGCGAGTGGGGCCAGCCAGCAGTGGGTCAAGCAGTTCGCGCCGATGCCGCTCGGTTACGCGCGGCCGCGGTCGCCGCTAGCAGCGCCGTACGATGTCGCGTATGACCACTCCACGTTGGACATTGCAAAGCTTAAAAAGTTTTTGCCTGGCGCACGATGGATAACGTCATCGCGCGAGGTCGCGAGCCGCGTCCTGTCGGCCATCGCCCTTTTCAAGCATGAGATGGACCCGGCTGCATATTTCGGCAGCTGTGTCCGCGTCGACGCGCGTGGTTTTTGTGCCGGTCCGCTCCCTAAGGCCACACAAAAGAACCAAAACCTCAACCGGATCTGGAACTCAGTGAGCTGGCAACTCGGCGCTCCAACGCCGGCCTACAATTTTGGGCACCGACCGCTCGGTGAGACGGTCGATCTACTTGCGCGCATCCCAACGGCACCGCTCGTGAAACTCGTCGATGGTGCGCCGACCAACGAGACCTTCATGCTCGTCTTCCTCGTCGAGCGTTTCGAGGCATCCCTTGTGCTCCTTCGGTCGCTCCTCTGCTGGTGAGTACGCCCCGCTAGCGTTACCTTGGGATTGCATCGACGCACGTCCCTTTGTCACGCACAGGCGCTGGCTCGACGTGATCACCGAGCAACCGCCATTTAAGCAAGTCATGTCACCGAGTTTACATTATAAATTCTCTGCTGGACGCCTTGGAAATACCCCTGGGGTTCGCCAGGCTCCCTGCGAAATGATTCAGAGAAACCAAGGGCTGTGATCTTTAATCTTTGCACAGGTCATCCAGGACTCCAAGGTTCGGCACGCCCACCAGGAGGCGATGTTGCACAAGCTTGGCGCTCGAGGCCACCGGTGGCAGCCTGCGCGAAAGACACCACCACCTGCTGTCGCGGCGACCATTGCTGCACTCAATCCGCTCGACGCAGCAGTCCACGCGGCCGCAAAACGCGCATTCGCCAAGCACGTTGCGGCATACGGCGGTGAAGACGCGCTCGGGAGAGACATCACATTCTTGCGCCGATTCAAGCACGCACTTGCATTTGCATGCCTCGGCTGTCTCGCCGGTGCGCCAAGCCAGCTTGCAGCATTCGCCGAGGTTCCCTGTGGGGCCCTCCGCCCAACATGCGTCGACCTCCACAGAGGCGTAGACTCGAATCCGTGGTCATCTCGTCCGGACTCGAGAGCTGGTGCCATTGCCATGCGCCGGCGCGACGATGCCGCCGCCGAGGCGGCGATCTCGGGCCTTGTGGGAGGGTGTACGCACTTTGCCAATGCCACGATTTGTCCGCGAGACGCGGCACTTTGCGCAACGGGCGAGCTCTGTGTCACTGGCAGCGACTCGGCTGTTACCGGACCGCTCAAATTCCGCTTTGAAGTCTAGCTGGTGTAAACAAGAGCATGCCTGGAAATTTGACGGCAAAGACCCGTCCTCGATGTCTCCCCGGAGCGGGCTGGGGGCCGCCGCAGTGGGGGCTTTAGACGTGGCTAGCTCGGCGCCATCGCGTGTGCACTTGTCACGGGTTGGTGCGCTGGAAAGCCCACAGCCAGGGCTACCCAGCCGCATTGGCCGTGACAAGTGCGCACGCGACGAGGCCGAGAAAAGCCGGCCTGAAGTCCGGCCCTTCGACGCACCCTTAGCGGGCCGCGCGAGGCTCCCCGCGAAAAGTTTTCGCTGAGCCGAGGCTGCCCGAGAAGGTACTGGAGCCAGTGGAACGCGCAGGGGCAGCTATCTGCACCAATTCCGTCGCTGAGATCATGCGCGGCGTACCGCCCCGCGGGCGCGACCTTCAAAAATCGCCAGGCGGCATGTGCGAAAGACGACAATGGGTCGGGCACATGCGTGGGGTACCCTCGGACACTGCGGGCGCGTTCGAGCGCTCGGGAAGCTGGATATAGTGTCGTATTATGTGTCTCGGTCGGGACCGTCTCGCAGTCGACTAAAAGCACCCGAACGACCAAAGGGCCTCGAGGCGCCTGCAGGCGAGGGTACTATCAACCCCCGTGAACGATAATTGACGCTGAGGAGCCCCGGGGGGCGATGTGAGGGGGCGCGACGCGAGGGGGTGCTCCGAAATTTATCTAAATTTCCCTAGGAGTCCGTGTCTCGGGCGCCGAGGGCTCCAAGCGGCTCCCCCTCGCTCCGATAGCGTATTTTTCAAATGCGCGGTTTTTAGCGTGATTTATCGCGCGCCGTCGCAGCGAATTAAGTAAAAAGCGTGCGCCTAATTAGATGGCAGCCCGGTTTGCGTGCGTGGCACCCGACGACACCATAAGGAGCCCCCACGCCACCCTGCCTTGGATAGCGGCCCGCAAGGCAGGCAGCACAGCAAAGCCACCATCAAACCCAACGTACGGCAAAATCACACATGGGGGGGTGCGTGGGTTGCAGGTTGCAGGTTTCCGCCTCCGAGTTGTGGTAGGTTTCAGGTTTCCGGTTCACGGAAACGGGCTCCCGAGGTTTCAGGTTGCGGGCCCCAGCTCCCGTCCGCGCCCGATAGGCGCGGATTCCGCGAGGAACTCCGAGACGCGCCATGCAGTCGTCTGAGTATCGTTCGGTTCGATACTGGTCCAAAGAGATCAATGGGACACTTACTGGGGGGCGAAAAAATAATTTTTTTAATTCGCGATATTGACGGTCCCGCCATGGCGGCCGCGCCAGTGGAATCCTGTCGGTTCGTGGCGCGGAGGTCTCCCTGGGGTCGCTTTGGGTCGGCAGTGGTCGCGCGCAAGCGCCTACACCGCACACGCCGCCGCTTCAAGCATATTTTGGCCAATTCTCTCAGCAGACAAAGGAGCTTTAGCAGGTTTAGGGCAGGTCTGGGTTCCGAGACCTCTAGGCTGCTGCATCGATGGCGTAAGCGGTGCAGGCGCTTACCCAACACCAGACCTACCCCGAGAGCCCTCCAGGAGCCGATCTACCCCCGAAAAAAGTGTGTAATTTGGACGCGATGGCGCCCCGTTCCCGTCAAAAACGTCAATTACCCGAGGGCCCCCAGTAGTCGCCGTAGCGGTCTCGTTGGACCCCATACTACCCCAACGATAGTCAATTACGAGTATATGCCATCTACATTATAAGAAGGGTACTTTTTGCTGCCCACGCTCGGGACGTGAACATCTTTATCTGGAGCTCGCGTAAGTCGGTCGATCATGAAGCAAATGATCGCGTCAAGGTCCATGGTGATGGTACACGGGCTGATGGTCGCAGGTCTGGTATTGCGCCCCATTTAGACGAGATCGTGGTCTCGCGAGATGGCCGAGCCGCCAAGAGTGTACGGAACCGTTAATGAAATGTAGTAGCCGTTCAGCCGTGCGCGCAGGCCCGTCCCACACCCGAAGCGGCGGAAACGCGAATTTATTTTATAAAACACCGGTCTGGGACCTTTCTGGTGCTCCGTCAACGCACCGTCGTCCACGGAGAACGGGCAAGTCTGTCGATTGTGAATAGAACAACGGCGTTATGGTCCATCTGGGTAGTGGCGTCGCTGATACTCGCGGGTGCAGGTATTGAGCCCGCCTTTGTCTAATCTTGGGGTCGCGGATTCGTCGTTTCGCGCGGCTCTAACGGGTCATCTAAAATAGCTCAGTAGCCGCTGATTCGACCTAGATGGACTCTACCACTAACAAACGAAAGGAAACGAACATAAACGCGAGAGTTGTCTAGTAGAATTCTTTTCCCGCCCTCCGAGCGCGGGGCGTCGGCTCCGGTTCCGTCGAATGTGTATGAAAACTGGGCTGGAGTTGATATGATGTACTATTTGGGTAGTAGATGGCGGCGTCAAACGCTGGTGTACTTTGGCGAGCCGCAAGACCTGGTGATCTAGCGTATCAACACACTAGAAAAAGTGGTGCGCGGGTTTTGGTTGGTTGCAGGTTGCAGGTTGCGGCCCGATTCTCGCCGGAGGTTTCAGGTTTCCGGCTTTGGGAGTCCGGAAGTTTCAGGTTTCCGACTGAAATCCGCAACCCACGCACCGCCCCCTTCACACTGAGCCCCCCTTGCATCGGCCGTCCGATAGAGCCAAACTTCCGGAAGCAGAGGCGCACCACACGCTGCGCACTGGGGCAGCCAAGTTGCGCCGAGACGCGGCAACTCTAACCAGCCCAGACTCAAGGTTACGAGCTTGTGGGCCCATTTTTGTTACATTGATTGGAATCGGAGCCTGAGATTGAACAATTTGTCCTATTTGTCCTTCGCGATGACAAGCTGCCGCAGCGTGATTCTATCGGCTCTCTTCTGGACAGCGGTGGCTCATCGTCGTGCATCTAAGCGCCGCGCGTTGCAGCGAACGCACGTCGTCGGTGCCGGTAAGACCGCGCCACATCTCGTCTTCTGGCACCTCGAGAAGGCCGGCGGCAGGCTCGCTACCTCGCTCATAAATGATGCGATGGGTGGGCGGGGGGGCTTTACGACAATCCACGAGTGGGGCGTCTACACCCCGACGCAGGAGCGGCGCTTCGTGGTCGCCCCAATGCGCGAGCCCTGCAGCTACTACGTCTCCGAGTTCAACTGGGGTGTGTCCGGCAAGGGTTTCTTGCGACGCGCGCTCCTCGCAAACGTCAGCTCACGTGAGCGCATTGCGCGGTGGTATGCGGACGGCCAGAACTCGGACCTGGCGATTGCGCGCGCAGCCTTTCGCGCCTGGGTGACTTTCATCAACGGCGCAGACGGCGGCGTTCGTGCTGACGAGACCTGCGGCCTCCTCGGTGCACGCCTCTGGGCCGCTGTGCTCGACCCAGTCGCAGGCTTGCGCATCAACCGGCGCAACTGCAACCGCGCCGACGTGAAGGCAATTGAGCAGGGCCGCGGCTGCAGCTGCCCGCTCCTCGACTGCATGCGCCAAGCGCAAAACACAACGCGGCGTGCGTGTCGAACGCGCGTCCGCGGATTCGGCTCCGAGTTGGATGTCCGAACGCGTGACATCTGCTGGATACGCACTGAGCATCTCGTTGAGGACCTGGCAATGTGCCTTGCCGCCTTCCGCGAAGCAGGCGGCCGCGTCAACCCTGACTTTCGCGCGAGCATGCATTGGAAAGTGCAAGCGACGGATTCCGCGTTCTATTCACACGGACAGACGTCCCAGGACAGACTCTGGACCTGCGCCGACCTCGTCGACCCGCATAGCGGCGCAATAATTTATGGTTACGAGGGCGAGATCGCTGCGCGCTTCAACATGACCTGCTGCACCAGGCTTTAACTTGAAGCGCAACATATCCCGTCGGCAGGATTGTTATACGTCACTCCCGGATAGGAGGATCTCAAATCCGGCACTTGCCCAAAACTCAAATTCGCCGCTTTCTTTTAAGTTTCCCTTAAAGAGTAGAGGAGTCGGATGCGCAGAAGACACGAAAAACGCAAAATAGTAAAGCAAATAGCTTAATTTAAAAGGGATAATCAAATAGGCTTTGAAGTGGGCTTTTGTGACTTACAAGTGCATCTTTCAATAGATAGATCGCCTGCCGCGGCACGAAACGCCGCTGGCGCTCCGTTCGTGGGCCACTAAAACTTCCAGACCAAATCGTTTCGCTCACCCGTTTCGCTCACGTCCCAGAGGGGTAAGTAGGCCCCTTATTCTCGACTTGCCGCCCAACCAGACGCCTAGTTTTAGAGATACGGCAAATTTGGGTTTGGGTGTCCGCCGAAGTTCACCCACTTGATATCTTTGAGCGCCTTAAGCGATTCAGTGTTTAAGGTGACGAAACGTTCGACTCCCTCTCCATCGTAACCTCTCATCATATTCACCCCGGGAAAGTGCTCGGGAATTCGAATCTCAAACCAGGCTCCCGCCCCCGTGCCCGGGCCGCTACCACTAGGCACCAGGCTCACCTGATATTTAAGCCGGTACCACGCCGTCTCGCGCGGGCGGGCAGACCGCCGTCACCCACGGTGGCCGAAGATGCCGGCCCGTGAGGTCAGGTCGCCGTCGGAGCCGCGGTGCGATCTGGTCTGCCATAAGGGTCGCAACGTCCTCAAGGTTCGCGGTCATAGGACCCGAGTACGAGCCAATCGCCATCGACGCAAAGAGCGTGGCCTCGGCGGAAGCGGCGGCGGCCCAGTAGTAGGGTGCGGGCCAAGGCATCCCTAGACCCTCGACGGTGGACGCATACGGCCGTGTTGAGGAGGCGGCAGAGTAGTAGCCGAGCTCCACGACCAGCGTTCCCGGCTGAACGAAGATGATGTTCGCAAGCGCGGCCCCGTGCGGAGCGACGACGACGTGCGCGCGGTGCCAGACGGCGGCTGCCGAGGTCAGGCTGTGGTCCCTGCCAACAAAGACGCGGAGTCGGACGGCGCAGGCCGGCAGCGCGCGACCTAGGCTCGCCGAGACGGTTTCCAGAAGCTGGTCGTGGTTCCGGACGGCGCGCGACCGAGCGTCTTGCCGTGATACCACGAGTACCTCGACGACGCAGCTCCCGTTCGCGGTCGCGTTACCAAGCCGGACTGGCGGCTCGCGGACGTGCGCCGCCTCGGCGGGGTCGGGGCACGCGGCGAGGAGGCGGCCCACGTAACTCCGGTTCAGCGCGAGCTGAAACGAGCACGTTTCTTCCTCGATCGTGTACCAGCCACCTGAACGTCGCGCGCCGCCGGGAAAGACGGGGACCGCCTCGCCCGCAAAGTATAGCCTGTCGGCCGGGTTTTTCGGTCGGAACATCGTCGTGCCTGCCCTGTGCACGGGTACGTATCGAATTCTGAGCGTGTCAGGAATTAATCTCCGGCGTCGCAGCAGCCCGACCCATTCGCGCCAGAGCCGCGTGTCGTGCACGAGGAGCGTCGTACGATTCGCCGGGACGTTCCGCGCCACCCGTAGCAATCGTGGGAACTGGTTGATGCTATGCGCGACCTCCCGCGGATATACACCGAAGGCGTGGGCCACGTGACCGTCGATGATAGTGGACGCGCTCCCGTGCTTTTGCGCGGAGCCAAGGTGTACTGGGTACGATTTTTTGCCGCCGGTAACGAGCACGCCACCGGCGCCCGCGTGATGCAGCAGGACGGATCCGCCAGGAATCCCGGCGACGAATTGCTTTGCGGCGCAGCCGCTCCAGGCGTTGTCCGCGCGCCACTGTGTCCAGCGCGACGCGTTCGACGCCGGCGCGGCGCAGACGCGAGACCAGCCGCCCTTGGGTTTGGCGTTCGGATCCGCCTGCAATCGTTTGAGGTGCAAGTCGCACCACCGTTCCTTTACGGTTAGACTCGACATGGGCAGCACCTCGCGCGAGGCGAATGCACCAGCGTTTGCGCGCTCCGACGTCACGAGATACCAAGGGTAGTCATTGAGGTCGACGACCTTGTCCGCAGCCGCCGGCAAGCCGGCAGCCCTGAGCAGCAGCAGCAACAAACAACATTGATTCTGCATGTGGCGGTCCTAACCCGAGCTACGGAAGGGACGCTGCCGGCGTCCGTTTCCCATCACGTGTGCTTGGCGCGCGACAGCGTCAAGACTCCGCGGGATAGTATATAGGTACAATAATGTCAACATGACCGTGAGAATATCGATGGCATTATCATAATTACAATTGACCATCCTGAGTACCTACGGTACCGTAGGGACCGTACCGTAGGTATTCACTAGGCCTATTCTATTCAGCGATATTAGCTTCGGTATGTGCTGGTGTCTAATGAGCTGGGTGCAGCAAATGCACAATGCAGCTGTGGTAGCTGGGTCTCTCGGGTGTCAATGTGACACGGAGATGCCATACCACAGCTGCATTGTGCACTTGCTGCACTCAGCTCATTAGACACCAGCACATACCGAAGCTAATATCGCTGAAGCAGCAAATGTTAATAACCGTGCCAGTGACGTCAATGACGGGGTTTCTGACCAGTTCCGCCGTGGGCTGTGGGCCCATAACCTGTAGAAAATAAGGGGCCGGGCTGCAATGTGTGTACAGCAAAGGTGGTCATGGCAACGGTATTGGCGACTGAGGTCATAGGTGAATCCCCGTTTATAATATAAGCACTAGATGTAATAATAAGTTCACTCATTTTTACTGTGTTGACGTGTTGATAGGGATTAGGGAAAGGATATGTATCTAGGGTATATACCGTGACTTGGCCCCTCAGTATCTGAGCGGAAGCCATATGAAAACCGGTATGCTTACTGGCGTACGAGATGGCCTAAGGAAGAAAAGCCATCGGTTGGTGGTTGGATGAAAAACATGGCCATCCTCAAGGCAATGGCAGATTCTAGTGTGATCATGATTTCTCATCACGCTCTTCGTGGGGGCTTTGGGAGTATTTTTCGTGGCGTTGATGGGGTTGGCGCCCGTTGTGGCAACGGCCTCTTTTCCACTTATAAATCTCCCAAAATTTTATCTTAGCTTCACTATCCTAGTCTCACTTATCTTGGTTAAATACCCGGATAGAGTAGGCCTAGTGAATGCTATGATATGGCCACGTATCCTTGTATTTACGTCTATGATGCTCCGGGTATTAACCCAGCAGCCTTTGGCAGTTATGGAGCTGGAATTTATATTCCTAAGTTGGGATTGGTTCCCAAGCATGTACGTCCTGTTCGACCTGTCGCAAATCTGTATGATTTGTTGGCGAGCTAAATTGTCTTACCAATTTAGCTCAGGCACTGCCAAAGGGGCTTATGGTAATTCCCCTAAAGGTGGGGTTTTCCCCGAGGTCTGTCAGCTATGTTTTGGTATCTTGGCAGCAATATCGTCACATCTAGTGGCTCGCTGCAAGATACTTTCTTATACTTGCTCGTGTCCAACAGCGCTCCGATTGTGAGAGCGCAGGACAAAGGAGCAAGAATTTTTTGGCCCTCCCACCCTCCCTTGGTTGTTTTGGCGCGGGGGCGCGTGGTCCGGGGTCCCTGGGGTTGGCGCCCGTTGTGGCAACGGCCTCTTTTCCACTTATAAATCTCCCAAAATTTTATCTTAGCTTCACTATCCTAGTCTCACTTATCTTGGTTAAATACCCGGATAGAGTAGGCCTAGTGAATACGGTATCATAGCAGGTACGAACTCTAAAACTCCGGCTCAACTGGCTTCGACGACATACCCTTGCTAAAGCGTCGAACTTTGGAGATCAGAGGAGGGCTAGCGAGGACTTCGCGCGCTGCTGCGGCGTGGGAATGGCCGAGGAGGACAGCTGCAGCCCGCAAAAAAGCCACAAGACGACAGATTGATTGGCCGACAGACGACAGACATGAACAGTGTCCACGGGCCTGGGCCAACGCCGCCAGCACATAGCTCGCACGGGGCTCCGGAGGACGCAGACGACGCCAGAGAGTAAAAAAAGGCGGCATTGAAGGCGCGGCGCCGCGCTAGCAAGGCGGCTCGACGCGCGGCAGCGGGCCTGTCGGCGCGCGCGCCCCGCTTCGGCGCGCGCAACGAGAACCGCGCGGCTGTATTCGTCAAGTTCCTCGTCGAGACGTTCGGCGTCGAGCGGCTGCGACGCGAGGGCGTCTGCGACGTCGCCGGCGGCCGCGGAGAAATCACGTGTCGGCTGGCGCACTGCCACGAGGTGCGGTGCGTGTTAGTCGAGCCGCGCGAGGCCGTCGACCTCCAGGCGACGGTCCTCAAGCGCGTCGCGCCGCGGCTGCCCGCGCGCTACCGGCGGCACCTGGAGGAGGCGGGCCGAAGCGAGCGCATCGAGCGCCTCGCGACGGTCGTCGAGTCGCCGTTCCCGCCGCGCGACGCGGCGCTCGCAGCGCTCGTCGCCGGCTGCGGCATCTGGGTCGGGCTGCACGCTGACGGCGCGACCGAGGCGATCGTCGAGGAAGCGCTGCGCGCGCGCAAGGCGTTCGCGGTCGTTCCTTGCTGCGTCTTTCCTAGGTTCTTCGCTACGCGCGCGACGGAAGACGGCCGGCCCGTGCGTACGACGGCGGACCTCGTATCATACCTCGTGGCCAAAGACGCCCGGACCTGTACCACGACCCTGGCCTTTGAAGGCAAGAACCGTGTGGTATCGTGCGACGCGTCGGCCGTTCGCGTCGCCGCAGGCCCGGCCGACGTCTCTTCCGCCGTCCTCGCCAACGAGCCCATCTTGATTGAGGATTCCGCCGCAACGTGGCGTGCGACGCGGAGCTGGACCGCCGACGGAAAGCTAGTTGTTCAGAATGTCCAGCGTGATTTGGGGGACTGCGTGGCGCCAGTGGTCGCGGGCGATGGCGCGCGCACCACCATGCGGATCCGAGAGTTTCTGACGACCCTGCACGACGAGGGCACAGGCTACCTCAAGGACTTCCACCTGCACCGCGCCTCGCCCGGATGGTACGCGCCGCCCCCAGGCCTCAATGATGATTGGCTTAACAGGTTTTGCGACCGGGAGGGACGAGACGACTTCCGTTTCTTGTATCTCGGCGGCGACGGGAGCAGAACTCCATTGCACGCGGACGTGCTCTCGAGCCACAGCTGGTCTGCAAATATCTGCGGGGCAAAAAGAATGGTGGCTGTTCCCGCCATCGGAGACGAGCAAGCTCCAGGACGCGGCCGGAGTTTATGTCGACGACGTGCGGCTGGGATTTTACGACGCTGAGCGCTTTCCACGCGTCGCTGACGCCGCGTGTCTCAGGGTAACGCAACCGCCACGGTCCACACTCTTCGTGCCGTCGGATTGGAGACATATGGTCGTCAACGTCGGTGCGACGCTTTCGATCAACCACAACTGGTTTGAGGCCGGCGCTATCCCGAATGTCTGGCGCTACCTCGATACTGAGGCACGCGCCACCGCGGCCGAGCTCGAGGCCTGCCGTGCCGACGTCGAAGGAAGAGGCGGCGAGTTGTCAGAGTTTTTGTGGCTTCGCGAGCGCGTGCTCCGTGCGTCTGCGAGACTCAATGTCTCTGACTTCGTCGCCATGTGCCGCAGCGAAGTCTGCGCGCGCGATACGCTCGCGCCGGCCGGCAGCGCGCCCGAAGACGAGAGGCGCGTCCGCGACGGCGTCAGTCTCGCGCTCCGAGCCGTCGCCGCCGACCATGCGGGCAGTCTCTTCCTCGACGAGTCGGGCACCTGGCCCCGCGACGAAGACGCCGCGTCCTGGTCAAGATCGGCTAGAGACCGGGGCACCGCCGCGCTCGCTGAGGCGCTGGCGGCGCTGGAGCCGGAGGACGTTCCGGTTCGCAGTTAGTAACTAGTTCGTGTAGTGTGACCTTCGCGAACACCGTATCTCCTCCCGGAGTCCGAGTCCGTCCTCGATTTCTAGTCTGTTTGTTTATAACAAATTACGCCGTCTCCGTTTGACGTACCTTAGTGGAGGAAGTTAGCCTGGGATGTCGTGTTCGGCGATGGAGTGTAGTAGTTGGCGTACTGCACGAGCGGGTGCTCTGACGTGGTCCTATTCATCTTCAGGCACTTCCAATGTCCAGAAGTCTTTGAGTAATCTCTCTTGGCAATGTCGACGGGGGGGGCGCGCTGGGACCTGGAGTACTTGAAGTAGTAGCTTCCAAGGGCCGCGTACTGCGCAAGGTGGCCGCGCGCGTTCAACTTCTTCTCGATGTCCCTCCCGAAGGCATATAGCTCGCTGTCGACCTGGTTAAGCTCCAGGACACGCGTGCGGAAGGAGTCATTGAGCGGTTTGGGATTTATGTGATGCTCGCTACGAGAATTCGAGTGGGGCGCGTGTGATCCAAGCTGCTTCATGTAACTTTGGTCTATGGTCTCAAGCGAAATGACAAAATCGAAGAGCTCGAGCCGTGCCTTTGCCCGCGAGAGCCACTCGTGCGCCTCGGAAGACTCCATGTTCAGATCCACGGAGTAGTCGTACCCCAACCCACCCTTGAAATTTGAAAGCTCTACGGTCTGGCCCAGGTGCCGCGTCTGAGGGTTCCGGCCCGCGTGCCAGTCGCGCGGGTTCTCGAGCAGCATGTCGACCACGCGGTCCCAATCTGCGGGATTCTTCGCAGCCTCATATGCGCGGTCCACCGGCGAGTCTTTTACGCACGCGATGAAGCCGCAGCCTATCTTATAGTGCCTAGGACAGTGATGGCCAACGCACCAGGCAAACTGGGACCAGAAGAGCGACACAGGGTCCCGGAGCGTTATGCCCATGATGCAAGCCGGCTTGAGCATCTGCTGCTCGATAAAGAACGAGACTGGGTGGTGGAAAGTCACCACATCGACGCCATTTGACGCCGCAGGTCCCCCCGGCGGCCGCTTCGCCGGCATTCGAATCCAGGTATCAAAGGAAGATCCGCCTGCCTTGCCCACGTGCACATAGCGAACGCAGCACCATGGATATCCCGTCTGATTCTCGCTGCGCGTCGCGTCCTCGCCGGCGAAGTGCGCTTCCGCGATCGCGGGTGGCAGCGGTGCGCCAGAGCACGCATCCTTGATTCGCACACAGAGATTATCGACGCCGTAGTCCGCTTCCGTCGCATTGCTACGCTGCGCGCAGAGCCGGGCAGCCTCGGCGCAACTCTTGGCTGCATGAACGGCCCTGGATAGGTGCTGGGCATCCGGCCGCTTCTTCCCCGGCGGTTGCACCCGCGCCAGTGGCTTCAGCTGGCGCCTTTTCGGAGCAGTTGCGGTCGTGAATGCTAGCAGCGCTGCGACATGCCGGCCCAACGTCATCCGCTATTAATCAATGCTTGAATGTGGTGTCCTGAGACGCCGCCGCTGACTCACGTGCCTGAACCACGTACAAGCTCGTATGCGGTATGAGCAAGAGAAAATCCTCCTCTTTTTCTCTATCAGCGGATACCGTATTCACTAGGCCTATTCTATCCGGGTATCTAACTAAGATAAATGAGACTAGGATAGTGAAGCTAAGATAAAATTTGGGAGATTTATAAGTGGAAAAAGGGGCCGTTGCCACAACGGGCGCCAACCCCAGGGACCCCGGACCACGCGCCCCCGCGCCAAAACAACCAAGGGAGGGTGGGCGGGCCAAAATTCTTGCTCCTTTGTCCTGCGCTCTCACAATCGGAGCGCTATGGGACACGAGCAAGTATAGGAAAGTATCTCGCAGCGAGCCACTAGGTGTGACGATATTGCTGCCAGGCGGGGTCGGGGCACGCGGCGAGGAGGCGGCCCACGTAACTCCGGTTCAGCGCGAGCTGAAACGAGCACGTTTCTTCCTCGAGCGTGTACCAGCCGCCTGAACGTCGCGCGCCGCCGGGAAAGACGGGGACCGCCTCGCCCGCAAAGTATAGCTTGTCGGCCGGGTTCTTCGTCCGGAACAGTGTCGTGCCTGTCCTGTGGACGGGGACGTATTGAATTCTGAGCGCGTCGGGAATTAATCGCCGGCGTCGCAGCAGCCCGACCCATTCGCGCCAGAGCCGCGTGTCGTGCACGAGGAGCGTCGTACGATTCGCCGGGACGTTTCGCGCCACCCGTAGCAATCGCGGGAACTGGTTGATGCTATGCGCGACCTCCCGCGGATATACACCGAAGGCGTGGGCCACGTGACCGTCGATGATAGTGGACGCACTGCCGTGCTTTACGCGGGGCACGCGCTCTCATTTCGCTATGATGTCATCATCATCATGATAATAAAGTAAAGTACTGCGCTATAGAGAACCCTCTAGTAGTATATCTCCCCACTCTCCCTAGACACTCTCCCCTAATATTTAGACTAATATTGAGTCAGTCTACTTGCTGTTTGACATTCTATTGGCATTGTCCTTTAGTATAACTTTCATCCCAACACTAACGTCGCGACCGTCGAGTACCGTGAAAAACCGTGACTCGGACGGGGCAGTCTGAGTCTCTTTCGAGGTTGCTAGGGGTACCGTGACCGCGGCAGATACCGCGACAGCGTCACGATACCTACGGTGCGTGCCACTCGCACCTTCAGAAATGATATATAAGGTGGGGAACCCCGTTTTTCTCTTGAAAACCCTTGGCTCAAGACGGCGCGCGAGTACGCCCGGATCAAGATCGACGGCCTCCGGCTCGTCGGCGGCAACCCGGACTTCACCAACGCGCCCGGGCACGGCGACGACGACGCACGCTTCTACGACCGGCAGCAAGCATACGTACACGCTCGCGGGGGATAGCTATCTGGGAAAGCTCCGACCCGAAAACCCGATTTGACTATAGCTATACAGCTAAAACTAGAGCTAGGGTATATATTGGCTTGGGCTCTCAGCGTGTGGCTCTCCTCACTAGGCCGCGATTCCTCGATTCTGCGCGCGCGTAAGACGTATAACACCCCAGCTCAGGGCGTGAACGCATCGTGCTTGCAATGCGCCTGCTCTACGTCTCCTGGTTCGCCGCCTGGGCCGAGGCCCTGGTGAGCCTGCCAAAGCCCACCCGGCGCCTGCTACCGCTACGACGTGCAGAAGAAGAGCAGGTAGACCCCAACGTGCGCGAGATTGTGAGCGCGGCCATGTACGGGACCCCCGCGGAGGTCGCGGCGAAGGCGATCGCGTTGTCGGAGCGCGTGGCCGCGTCCGAGGCGGCGGCGGCGGCGGCGGCCGAGGGCGTCGAGGCCGCGGCCGAGAAAGCGGTCCTTCTTGTAGAAAGAGCGGCGAGGCTCGAGCGCTCGGCGCGGGACGAGGCCGCGGCGGCCGCGGCCCGCGCCGACTCCGCCGAGGCGCGCGCGAAAGCCGCCGACGGCAAGCTCGCCGAAGCGCGCGCGGCGCTGGCCGAGCTCGAGCGCGAACGGGCGGCCTTCCTGGCGGAACGCGAGGCCGAGGTCGAGGCGATCGAGGCGGCCCAGGACGAGGCGCGGGCGGCGCGCAAGCGCGTCGCCGAGCTCGAGGCTGAACTCTCCGCGCGAGACCGAGAGCTTCGCGAGGCGGAGCGGGCCGCGGCCGACGCGGCCGCGCGCGCAGACGCGGCGGCGGCGGCGGCGGCCGAGAGCGACGAGCGCCGCGACGCGGCGCTTGCGCGCGTCGCCGCGGCGCGGCGCGACAACGCGGGGCTCCAGGAGGTCCTGCGGAAACAGGCAGACCTCGCCGAGCGCGCGCAGGAGTCCTACCAGACGAGTCTCCGCGGATTCAGGGACGCCGCCGTGGCCGCCGCAAAGGATGCCAGCAGCGTCGCCGACGTCGCCGCGCTCGTGTTCGCCGGCGGCGCCGGGAGCCTGCGCGCGGCCGCGGCCGAGACGGCGGCGGCGCGCGCGGCGGCCGACGCATGGACCTGTGTGGAAATCAAGCAGTGCGTCGGGTGCGCGACGACCCGGCCATCCTAGCTCGGTCGAGCGGTGAGGAACCGGCATTGCCACGCCATCGAGCAGGCGTCGCGTCGATGGCGGGGAGGACGACGCGACGATTCAGCACGAAAGCGCCGTAAAATTTTGATTTCCACACAGGCCGAGCGCGTCGCGAAGCGCGCCGCCGAAGCCGCGGCGGAGACGGCTCGCGAGCGCGCGGCCGCCGACGCGACGCTCGCTGCGGCGCGGCTCGCGCGCGAGGAAGCGCGCGTCGAGGCGCAGCGCGCGGCCGCCGAGGCCGCCGAGCAGCGCGGCGCCGAGCTCGAAACCGAGCTCGCGTCCGCACGTTCATTGCTGCGGCGCCTCCGGGGCGTCCTTGGGACCGCGACGCGGTCGCGCGCCGCCGCGGCCGTCGCGCGCGCGCGGGCCGTCGGCAGGGGAGCGCGGAATCGCGTCCGGCGGGCGCGGGCACGGTTGCGGGAATAACCGGCGTGGCTCGATGTCGGATGACTTAGAGAATGACCTCACGTTGAATAGCCTAATCTTCGACCGGCCTAGCTGGAATCGCATGATTTGTTGTTGCTAGTTTTTAACTCAACCCGTCACTGGCCAGCCATCCGCCAGCAGCTGGCCTACGTGTATGCGGCACCGAATAGTGGCAACCGCGGCTCTGATCCCGCTCTTAGATAGCCGCACCCGCCACCGCTGCCTTCACGCTCTCGAGCGTGTTTTTCAATCTATCCCGTTCAATCGTCAGCCGCTTGATTCTCGCCCTGGCCTCGTGGAGGTCCGCCGCGAGCGACTCGAGAGTCGCGCCGGGGGGCACGCCGACGACGTCGGACGGCGACCGCGACATGGTCGAAGCGGCCGCGAGCAGCTCGTGGGCCTTGTTTCGAAGGATGCAGTCGAAGGCCCGCGGAACGTACCGACGGGGAAAGTCCGGGTCGACCAGCGACTCGTCGGGCGTCGTGCCGAACCACATGGCGACGTAGAAAGGAAAGTGCATGGCCGCGAGCTTCCAGTCGCGGCGGAGGTCCTCGGACGAGTAGTCCTTGACGCCGTAGGTGACGAGCGCGGCGTGGTAGTGCTTCATGGCGAGAGGCTCGAGGCGTCGGCATTCTTCAATCGTGTAGCCCTCGATGAGGAAGAATAAAATATCCTGGCAGCCCTTGCCGACGGCTGTGTACTGCCAGTCGATGAACGCGGGTACCGAGTTGGGCATCATGAACATATTGGGCGGCTTCACGTCGCCGTGGTTGAAGGTGTGGGGCTTCTTGCTCAGCTCGTCCTGGATCCACGCAAAGCCGTTCATGATGGCCTCGCCCGCGACAAAAGCCTCGGGCGGAAGCTCGAGCTTGCGTCGCGCGTCCGGCTTCTCCCACTTGCGCACGAAGCGGGGCCAGTACGCGGCGATATCGTCGCCCCAGCCCGGCTGGTACCACGGCCCGTTGTGCGGCTTGACGCCGAGCGCGCCGCTCGCGAGCTCCGGCGCGTTCCAGAAGGTCGCGTGGTGCTTGGCGACGTGTTGGATCGTCAACATGACGCCGGCGTCGTCAAGCTGCGGGCAAAGGACCGCCCCGGGCACTTCGAGGTCCTCGAGTAGCACGCCCTCGGTCGTCAGCCCCGTCTCCGTGTCCTTGACGGACCCGAGATACCGAGGCACCCGGATCGTCACGCGGTGGCTCAGCTGCTCGTAGAAGTGCCATTCGCGCTCGTAGAGCCGCAGGCGCATCGCCACGTCGTGGTCGGCCGACGCCGGCGACGCGATCTTGAGGATGGCGGTCGCCGGCCGCTCCGACACCCACCCGCGCGCGCCCTTGCCGGTGGCCTTTGGGGACATTTTTCGCACGGTGTCGTAAAAGATCTTCACGCGCATCGTGTCGCAGATGTAGCCCCCCTTGAGCTTCGTGGGGTCCAGCAGCACGCGCGTCGCCGGGATGCCCTGTGCGCGGAGGCCCGCGAGGCAGCGGCCGGCCACGTCGTTCTTGTCCTCCTGGTCCATCGTCCACGTTTCCGGGTGCTGCAGATCGGTGCGCTCCATGGCGGACATGATGAGCACGCGGGCAGCCGGGATGCTGCCAGAAATATTCGCAAAAAAACTCGACGAGGTATGATAGGACCATCATAGGTACCGTACGAGCTTGTAGAAGGATGATGCTTCCCAGGCTAACGTAGCCGTGTGAAGGCGGCGTAGAAAATCACTTCGGCAGGAAATTTTAGAAGTTTGAAACAAACCGGCCCGGGGGATTGAAGTTACTGCTACTAGTAGATGAGTACAAACCAGAGCTTACGGTGCTCGTCGCTCCGCGTCGGCTGTGATGCGCTGCTCGGCGACGAGCGCCTTCCCGCGCCGGAGTAGTTCCTGTTCGCGCTCGGACCGCTCCTGCTCGCGCCGGGCCTCGTCCCGCGCGGCGCGCTCCTGCTCGACGTTGATGGACGCGTAGAGGTTACCGAGGGCTGCTTCGCGGCCGACGACGCCGTCGCGCGCAAAGCTTTTCCTGGCGTCGTCGACGGCGGCGCGCGCGGCGGCGTAGTCTTGCCGGGCCAGAGCAGAGACGGCGTCGCGCATCAGGCCGTCGCCGGCCGTGTCCGTCGTCGTCGCCGCGCGCTGCGCCGCGAGCGCGTCGCTCCGGGCTGCCCGCGTTCGCTCGAGGAGCCGCTGAACCTGGGTGTCGACGCTGCGAGCGAGGTCTTCGCGGTCTGCGCGCGTCGGGGCGTCCGCCACGCGGGCGTAGCAGTCTCGCGCGCGTTCCACCCGCTCGCTCGCGACCGCGACGCGCAGATCCTGCAGCGCGCCCACCGCCTCGGCCAACAAGGCGTCGCCCTCATCCAGGTCGCTGCCTCGGACGACGACTAGGCGAGCATGCCTCACCGCAATGAGTGCAAAGCTATGCGCTCTCAGCAGCAGTAGACTTGGCACTAGAGCGGCGCGTAGCATCGGATGGCCCGGCGTGAATTTCAAGAATTAAATCATGAATTCACCATCAACCTCTGAACGAGCCGATGGCCCCTCCAAGTTATCCGAATAGCCCCCCTACAAAGCACGCAGGAATCACGCGCAGGAGGTCTGGGCCCGGTAGCGCACCGGCTCTACCCGATTTTTATGAAAGCGATTGAAAGCGGCAAAAAGCGCCTCGTGTGTCGGAACTAGTGGGCCACCAGACTCACTCCTAGGAGCGGCCTAGGCCGCCTAGCCTGAGCGCGACTCTCCACATGCAATGTTAGGCCAGTACTACGGACATCTCGCCTCGTGGCTAGCTGCTGCGGCCGCCGCCCGGCCCGGGGCCGCCGCCGCCGCCGCCGCCTACAACAAGTCCTTTTAGGCGCTCAGGCGTGCGGGTCACGGATTTATTAAGAAAAGCACGCGTGATTTACGCGCAAGCCACAGCGTAATATGTGGCGTAATTTACGCTGGACCGTTTCTCACGTAAAGAACGCCGTGAGTATTTAAACCGCGCTGCCCCACTAGGCCCCTAGTGTGCCAGTGTTTGCCAACTTTGAAAACACCACAGTTCAAACTTATTTGCCTGGCGCCGCTGCGCAACTTCCGAGGTCACGCTCGTGGAGTCCAGCCGGCCAGACGACCGCGGTGGGCAGCGATAGCTCCGGCCAACCAAAAAGATGGGGAGCGTGCGCACGCTTTTGTTCGTCAAAGAGTCGTTCGTTCCCGACGCGATCCCGGCCCATGCTCACGCACGACGGGTGGTTCCAGCCATCTGGTTTGACCCTTTGACCGTACATTATAACAGCTGTGGCCCACGCGGCCGTGAAGCGTGTCGATGCCCGGGCGATGGCAGCCGCAGACGTAGCGTTGGCTGCTTCGGTCGCATCTGGGTGCACGACCGTAGCGTTCCAGGCGCGTAACACTGCCTTGAATCCTGCGCGCGCATGGTGTGACGTTCTGGTGAAAGCAAGTCATGTGTGCCTCTCGTGTTGTGATTCGGTTCAGTTTAGAAAGAATATGGAAGATTTGACTTTTCGCGCCGCGCAAGACGTGTGGCATCAAAAGGCGGCATGGTCAAATTGAGGGGACCAGTGTGCGGCGAGGTGGCAGATGATTTGTGGTCGTGGTCTAGATGGATGGTCATGCAACGCTGGTCAAACGTAGTCTGCGGTACCCGGGCGCCCGCGAGTGCACGGCAGAGCGAAAAACCATCGAGGCCCCATGTCGACATGGAGAACGTGGACTTGCCACCCTCGATGACACCAGCCTCGATGTAACCACCAATTTTGTGCCACGTGCGTCGTGCGGCCAGCCAAAAGTCACCGGATGCGTAAGCAAATGGTGTGACTTTCAGAACGGAAGCGTGCGTCGCCGGATTAGTCGGAATACTCTTGTCGAGGCCACCATTCGCGCAAGACCCGGAGACCTGGTGCGGCTGGCCGTCCCAAAACTTTGTCGGGAACCTCACTCCGCCGACGCAACGGTCAAGCTCGTGAAACTCGGCGTCGCGATTCGCACCAAATTTTTTCCGGGAGATCTGCTGCCATGCGCGCGTGTTGCAATTTCCACGCGCCGCGCGGTAGAAGTTGACGGCCAGGAGATTCATCTTGGCAAAAGACGCCACAAGGCTTGCGGAGAGGACGTCATCAGGGTTCGTCGTTAGCACAAATTTCCCCCTCGCTCGCCGAACACCTACATTTTTCCCGAGGTACTCGAGCACGGGCGGAAACGTCTTCGGCGGCGTTGCTCGCCACAGCGCCCGAAGTGCGTTGTGCACAACGGGGGGGACGGTCACGACACGCACGCGCGTGACTGGTGGGTGGGGCGATTGGCGTGCGGCCGCAGCCGCGTATTCGGCAAGCAGCGCTGCCGACGACGGGCCGCTTGGCAGAGGGTTCCATTCCACGAAGATAACCTCGGCGGCGAAGCCGGAAGCGCCGCTGGCGTGTGTGTGTTTGTTCAGTAGGTGCAGGTTAATGCGCAGTGACGTCGCCAAGCGACTCTGGAAGGTCCCGCCGTAATTGTCATTCCGCCCGACCATCACCATAGACAGATACACGTCGCTGTCGCAGTCGCGCGGCGGCCGTGCCCACCAGGCGGCTTCATCGACCAACTCCTCGAGGCATGCGGCTTGATGTAGCATGTGCAACGAAAGAAGCATGACTCGGCTGGGTGCCATGCTTGGACTTACGCGGCAGCGCCATTCCCAGACCTCGACGAGTGCGGCCGCGAGTATGGCCGCGCCATTTTACAGCCTAAGCCAATTTTCGAGCCGTCGACGGAATAGTCGCCCGCCGTACTCGTCGAGGTTTAGATCCCATGGGACGCGAGTTATGAGGGAGCTGCAAAAAAATCCAATTGCATAAGTTTGCCCGTCGTACGAGCTGGTAGACTACCATGGTACTTGCTGGTACCGTGCTGCGAGCTGAGTGTGCTGAGTTTGGACAGTGTGCGGAGTCGACCTGGTACGAGCGGATGGGAGGGCGATGGCTTTGCACCCACCTAATGTTATCCATCGTGCGACCGAACCCTGCTTTTCCTGCACGGCCGCCAAGACAAAAGCAATCTTCGGAAATGTCAGCCTCATGGCGCGAGAACAATACAAAGAATTGCGTCGAGGACCCGAGTGCGACGGGTCAGTACGTCGATCCTCACAGGGATGCCGCCTTTGAGCTAGCCGGGCCGCATTGTACCTACGCATCGAGGATCGGTGCCGAGCAGGCGCGCTGCGCACTGCGGCGCGAGCGGATCGTCTTCCTAGGTGACAGCACGATGCGCCAACTGTTTGCGGCCGTCGCGTGCAAACTCGACGGATCGAAACGACCGCGTGTGAGGCAACCTGGGAATTTACCGAAAAGGAGCGACGACGGCCGCTGGCCTTTGAAATGGGTGGTATATAAGAATATGGTCGGATCAAATCAATGCGAGCTCGAGGTCGTCGAGCCCAAGGGTACAGAGAAGCGACGCAAGGAGGTGCTACAGTTTACATGGGACGTGCCTGGCGGCGACGACATTCGCGCGTCGTTTCACTGGGCCGAACACGCCGACGACATCGAACGCATCGCCGCCATGGGCGCCGCCGCTGTGCCCAAGGGCGACGCAAACGCAACGATCGTGATTGCGAATGTCGGCCTCTACTACCCCGCTCGTGGTACTGAACTCTGCTCGAACATCACAACAAGCATCGAACGTGCGATGAACGTCCTGTTGAACACGACGACGTTGGGGCGCGCGCGCGTGTTCTGGATCGAAACTCAGACGCTACCGGATCAAAACAGCCGCAAATTCCTCACGGAGCACGTTGCCTGCTCGCCGTCGGACCGTCGGGAACAGACGAACGCCATGCGTCCAATCCGCGACGGCCGCGTGACGCTCGTCCGCACCCACGATGTTCTTGCCAAGAACTGGCGGTTTAGCTCGGCCACGGATCTTCATCAGCAGTATGCGAACGAATACCGCGCTGACGTCTTATTTAACCACATTGGACCGCTGTCCTGCTTGAGGCCGCGTCAAGGGCGAAGCCTGTCGCACACCCCGGTGCCGGCGGAATCACCTCACAGACTGACAAGCATCGAGCCAAACAAAGGTCTCTTTGTCGGTAACGCGTCGCAAGGTTTAAATTTGAGCAGCACGTCGGCCCTCGTCCGCAGGGCCTGGTGCAGGTCGCTGTCTCAATGGTGCGCTGCGCCCGGCCAATGGAGGTACGGCGAGCTGGGAGGCCGCTACAGTATGCATACACTGGACGTGTGGTGCAAAGGTCGGTCGGTCCATCCGGCGCTCAGCTGCGGTGCGACCGAACGGTTCGAGTCAAAGCGAGAAGTCACTACGCACCCGCACGTTGCGCAAGCTCCCGGTTCCTTCGAAAGAAAAGAGATGCTATTTGTTCACATTCCCAAGACCGGCGGAACGACAATTGAGGCGGTTTTGAAGATCCCGAAGAACCACGCGCTCGCCTTTGACCGCTTCCAGGAGCTGGAGAGGCCAACGACATTCACGGTTGCGGTTGTTCGGAACCCGTGGGACCGCGCACTCTCATGGTACCGCTTTTGCGTCGCAGGAGCAGGACCACCCCCACATCCAGTCGCTCACTGCACATTTGCTCGCAAGCTCAATTTGGGCTTGCGAAAGAGCCCTGGGAAAAAAAGTGCGGCAGAAGCGAATGCGCTGGTGGCAGATGTGGTTGCGGCGTGGCTGAAGACAGTACTCACAGAAAGGCGCTACGCAAACCTCTGGGTCTCGACTCCTATGAGCGTCTATGTGACACATCCCCTCACTGGCGAGTTTCTAGTTGATGCCTTGTCCCCCCATGTCTGCGTTACAGAATCTGCTCTCGCCCACAGAGAATACTTTATCCGCATCGCAGGCTCCGCCTTGAGCACATCGCCGACGACCTCGAGGAGCTATGCGCTATCGTGGGCTGTGATAGTCGCCAGATACGCACCACTCACGCAAACCCCTCGAAGAACAAGACGAGCTCGATTTTGAAAATACAAAGCAGCTGGTTCAAGAGTGGCTCCGGTGCGCCCGCATTTCTCAGTCGGCCCTACCAGGAGGTCCTCACGCGGGAAGCCCGGGCAACTATTGACGACGTGTGGGGCGTCGACGCTGTCGTCTTTAATTATACCTTTGACTGACTCCGGCTTCTAACTCCGGCTGACTCGGAATACTAGGTTGCAAATTACTAGTCTAAAGGCTTGGTGTATGTCCTTTTCCTTTAGGTTATTCCTTCCTTAATTATTTATTTACTTGCTTTGCTTATTTATTTATTTAGCAGGGTGCGAGGGCATTTATTCATCATGCCAGTGTACAGTCACGCCGGGGCCCCTGGGTGCGGCACTGGCACAGTTATGATTGTGGAACGGTAACCGTGACGGAGGTAGTACTCAGCAGAGCTCGCGAGAGAAGTCGCCCGGCGGGCCAGCCTGACTCGGAGAGCATGGGAGCCTGAGGGCTGGGGGTTAAACTTACACTTGGCACCTCCCCGCAGGCGCCTTTGCGACAGGCGTAAAGGTCATTCTGATCACCGACCTCGCGCGCAGCCTTGCCGAAACGGAAATCTCCCCTGAGGTCGCTGGCGCCGCGCCATCGAGTCGTGCGCGGGGTGTCCCGAAGCTCAGCCTGGCTCCCAGCGAACGCCCAACCTCGCGACATTTCGGGCAAATGCTCGTCATCTGTCACCGACCACATCAAATGCGGTACCAGCTTGAAGCCGGAGTATCCAAGCTCGACGAGCTTCGACAAAACAGACTGGTCCTCGGACGATACATAGAGCGGCCGGTGGGCTGGGTCCACGGCAGCTAGCGCGTTCAAGCACACGTCGTCGAAGCCCTCAATGTCCACCTTCATGTAGTACACACGACCACAGAGTTCGTTGATGACCTTGGCGCAGGTAGTAGTTTCGACGACGACGTTTTCGCACGGATTGCCTTTCCTGGCCTGCTGCGCACAGGTGAGCGTCGACGAAGACATTTCGGGGTTCTTCTTATTGATAGCGAACGTGACTCTCGACGGGCCACCGGGCTTAGCGACCGCGACATGGCGCAGATCGACGCGACCGAGCGCCGTGGCCCACCTGACGACCGGATGGGTCCGCGCGAACGCTAATAAGCCCGCGTTCGCCTCCAGTCCGACGACGGCAAAGCCGTGACGAAGGTACGCAGCTGAGTCGTCGCCGTTGTGCACCCCGACATCGACAATCACCGGCAGTTCGTCGGTGCCGAGTGCGGTCCGCGCGGCTGCGACGAGGGGTGGCGGGGCCGCGGGGACGAGATCGCCACCGATATAGTGGTCGCACCTTTCCTCGCGCCATCTCCTCGCGAGATTTTGGCGGTCGCCGAACGCTCGCATGCGTAGGAGCACGCACGCCTTTCGTCGCCACCAGGATGGCGGGGACGGCGGATCACGCGCCCATTTTGGCTCCAATTTCAGCGTGGCGACAGTTTGCTTCGCATTAAGTACCGCACCGGTGCAGCCCGCCCGCCTTCGGCAGGTCTCCACCGCCACCACGCAAGCGCGGTCCCCTTTACACTTGACTCGGAATGGTGGGTCGTAATCCTCGCCGACCATCAGCTTGGGCGTGCTCGCGGGCCAGGCCCGCGACACTGCCGGGGCCGTGGCCGCGTCGCCGACAGCGTCTGCGTACTCGACCAGGAGGCTCGTGCCAAGCTGCACGCACTGCCTTGGCGCCGACACCGGGACCGCGGTGGTCGCCTCGGGCTGAGCTCGAAACCGAGAGGGCTCAACCCGGGAAGGGCGAAACCGAGGGGGATCAACCTGGGAAGATTGCGCGAGGTTGGAACGCAGCCGATGCGGCGCCGTTTCCGTAAGCATCCTCTGAATGAGCAATAACATGATCCCTCCGGCCATGAAAGCAACAACCATCATGCGGTTCATCATGAGGGCAAATAGTGACCAATTGAAACGTTTACTTGTAATAAGTCATGCCTTACTGCAAAAGACGCAGGTGTACGACCTTTGTAGGTCGCATTCCCGGCCAATGCCTTAGGCTGTGCGGTGCACTAAATGCACATTGCGACAGCGGCACAGGCGTACCTGCTATAGTGGGCCACGTACCGTCTCCGGACGTTTTTAAGCGTAACCTTATGGGTTGCGTGGCCCCGGCGGCGTCAAAATAAACTGGCAGTGTTTGGTTATCGGCAAGTATGGCGGGGGGGGATTTTTTACATACCGTAGGGATACTCGAGCCACAGCAACACGCACCAGCGGCGCGACAGGGCCAGCCGAGGCGTGAACATAGCACAGCCGGTTCGTGTACGTCGCACGACTGACTACGACGCGAAAACGGCGCGAGAAAATCACCAGCAGTAAATGCGGATGCCACGCCCACTTGTTGCCCTGGCCATCCTGGCCGACAGCGCGGGCGCGCTATTGATGACGAGGCGGACGCCGGCTTCCCGGCGACGACCGCAGCTGCGGGCGCGGGCCGATGACGCCGATGAGGCGGAGGAACTGCGACGGATTTTCGAGTCCGGCGCGGACTTGCTCACGCCCGAGGAGGAGATGGCCAACGAGGACGCCCGCGAGGGCGTCGCGTCGATCTTCGACGCGGAGGACATGCGGACGCTCTTCCACGAGGGTCTCGCGGCCGAGGGCGACGCGCCCCCGACGCTCGCGAAGAGCGCCGGCAGCCTCGCGGACATGGATGACGCCTCGTTCAAGCTCCTCATGTGGAAGCGCCTCGGTCAGAACGACTTCGACCGAATATTCAAGGGGCCACGCGTCGAGTTCGAAATTTAGCGTGCCGCATGGATTATCTACATGAATAAATAACTTGAATGATTGCTTTTGCTTAGAGCTAGGCCGCCTAGCCACGTCCCGCCGCGATTATTACCCGTTCGAGTTATTCACCTTTTTTCCTCGGAAGAGGGGGACCCGGGTTTATATCCGGTCAATATGGTTTTTTTGGGGGCAAGAAATCGCCGAGTCGCCGACTCAGGGGGGGGGACACCAGACTAGGATTGCTCCATAGCGAATGTAAACGCTGCCCTACCTGCAGGATTTTCTAAAACGAAGGTTACACAAGTCGATTCCCGCCCCCTAACAAAAATGGGAGTGGGGTCGTCGGGATTTGGCGTTTTGGCAGACCGATGACTGCAAAGAATACCCGCACGATGTGATTCGGCTCGCTCCTAAGCGGTCTTCTTCGGCCCGAACGGCGTCCAGAGCCGCCACTAAGTCATCACCTTTGCTGCAGCACCCTTGAAGACCGTTGTAGCCGCCTCGCTGAACGCATGCAGCTGCAGCCGGCGCGTCGCTAAACCTACTAAACGGGTTTTTGACGACTTTGGAGCTCTCCCTCTCATCGTCATCGACCTCCGTACAGACCCGCGACCTCGGGCGGGGCTACCGACCCCTCTCGGAGGCTCCATGCGAAAAAGCACGTAATTTCGGATCGATTAAGACTCGCTCAGGACCTGGCGTCCCCCCCCATGCCGACTCGGAGTCGGAGGATAGGCGAACTTATATAGTAGTAGGCGGCGAGCCTGAGCCTGAGGATTTTCCTCTCTCTACTGGCAGTCATAATAATTATGCAGCAACCCACCCTCAACTACTACTCTCCTGGCGCTGCTCGGTTCCGGAGAAGCGCAAAGTTCCGGTAGAGGGGTGTCGCGCCGGCCCGAACAGGCGCCGCGACGAGCGCGTCGAGGGTGGCTTTGTGCTCGCCGCGTGCGCTTCGCGAGCCAGTCCTGTAGTGCTTGATAAGCATGCCACCCTTGAGTTCTTGGGAGACGGTTTCTTCGTAGACCACTTCCCACTCGGCTGGGTGGGCGCGGGCGTATTCGAGCATCATGCGCGTCTTGAAGTCTGTGTCGTCCAGGGCGACCCACGCGACGCGAGAGCAAAGCTGGCGAATAATATCCCACTCGGCCCACCCGGTGAACGCGCCACCATCGACGTTGAGAAGCCCGTAACGGCGCGACGCGCAGAGCGGACCGAGGACACCGACCTGATGTTCCCGCGCTGACTCCCTCTCGCGACGAAGCCACGTGGCGGACTCGGGTCGCTGCGGGTCGTGCTGCGATGGAAATTGAGACTCGTTGATGCTTGACGCAAGCATGAGTTGCGACGGCCACCGCTGCGCCTTCCGAAACGCCTCGCCCACGAGGAATTTTTCCGGTCGGACTTCGAGGGATAGGAGGCGCCGGTTTTCCGACGAGGTGCCGGCGGCAATCGCGGCCTTGAGGGCGCGCGCCAGGATGCCCGTGGTCCCCGCGCCGTTTGAGGCCCCGATTTCGAGGATGTCGCCCGCCGCAGACCCTGGCGCCGTCACGGCCCACGCGAGGACCTTGGACGCGGCGAACTGATCGTGAAACTCCCCCTTGACGCGGCGACGCTGTTGCGTATTTTTTACTTTGGCGAGGAGTTTCGGCGGCACCGCCGCGGCCAGCGTGGCGCTCCGCGCCTGTTGGCGGGCGAGGATCGCCTCCGCGTCCGCCCGCGACAGGGGACATGGCGCTGCGCAGCTCGTCTCTTGCGCGATCGCCCGGCCCGCGGCGGCCAGGAAGAAAAGGGGAGCAAGGCCTCCGAAAATCATCTGCCAATGTCCATCACTTTAGAAGGTACCGTAAGAATAGGCAGAGCCAACGCGTATGAGTTCCGTGCGCTGCCCAAGCCTTAATGGGCGCGCTTCTATCAAGAGAAGCTGGTACCGCAGGTAACGGTATGATACATAAGCTTGGAGGCGGCATGGGATCATGCTCTCGGTATATGCTCTCGTGATGGCGATGCCCGGCGTGGTTGCCACGGCGGGCTACGCGTCGTGCGAGCCGCCGGCGCGCCTGATTCCGCCCGGCCTCCCGCCCGGCCGGAACCTCGTCGACGACCCGGCGTTCGCCGAGGCGCCGTGGCTCCGGACCTGCGACAACCCGGAGAATGTCGACGCGCTGCGGGGCGTGTCCCAAGATGCGTACAAGCGAGGGCCTCGGCAGCAAGCGGCGCAGAAGCGCATCAGCCGCGAATTCTTCGACCGGGCCACGTGCGCCTTTCACGGGGCTCGCCTTGTCTCGCCGCGGGGTTGTTTCCCCGCGCGCGCGGGCTCTGTTGTCGAACGATCCGGCGCGACGCTGCGCTTTTCGTTCTCCGGGGCGGCGCTGGCGGCCTGCCGCGTCGGCGAGCCGTCGACGTTCCGCGTTCGCTACGAAGCCACGGCAGCGACGTGGTTTCCCCGTGGCAGCCAAGGGTCCAGGCCGCTTTCGATCACGGCTCGGCTTCGATCCAACTCGACCACGACGATCGCGACTCTGCGGCGCACGAACGCCACGCTCCTCGCCGGTAGCTTCGAAGGGCGCTTCGTGGCCCCCTCGGCCGGCGCCCAGGTGCTCGAAGTTCTCCTCTCGTGGCTCGTCGACGAGCCGCGGCCCCTGCCGCGGCCCGGGGCGTTCCACGAGCAGCTGCTGTACGCGGGCGCCACGATCGCGGCCGGCGATCCCGCACGCGAGCAGCGGCCATCCTGCGCCACGCCACCCGGCGCGGCGGCGCTGCGCCGCGCGGCGCGGGATCCAGATCCAGATGCGCGCGGGGGCGTTTGGTGGCACGCAGATGCAGACCATGGCGACGCGTTCGACGGCGACGCGGCATTCATCTCCGACGAGGCGCGCTACAACGACGGATGGACCTACCGGCCTCATGCGTGTGTCCTGCGGTATGCTTCGTCAACGGCGCAGTTCGTCGCCGAGGTCGGGCGGCGGTGCCGCACGACCGGGCCCGTCGTCTTGGCGGCGACGTCGGACGACAGCCTGGGCCGAGAACTCTGGACGAACATGGTGGCACTCTTCTCTGGCGAGAATGACCATCGATTCAACGAGCAACTGGACGGTCGCAAGACGCGCGACGCAGCGTCCTGGCAGGCGGCGACGACGCTAGACTTTGGGGCGGTTAAGATTCACCAGGTTCGCAAGGCCAGCGGAACGCCGCCAGCCGGCGCGGCTGGTTGGATCTTCGCGCCCCGCATCGTCATGGCGCTCTTCAACCCGAACGGCGAAGCCATTGGACCGCGCATACGGCGCGTTCTCGACGCCGTCGAGGCCTTTGGGCGGAGCTGCAGTCGACGCTTTGGCGCCAGGCGGGACCTCGCCTGCGTCGTCTACCTCAACCCGACGCTGCAGCGCGAGGATCATCGACGCCACCTCCCCGGCGCCCGGTCCAAAGACCACTTTTTCGTGCTCCGGCGCGAGACTGTGGCCCGCGTCGTCGACCAAGTCCGACGCAAGGCCTTCGCGCTTGGCCTCGGCGTCGCAGATGCCGAGGCCCTGACGGCCCCGCGCTGGGACGCGACCTGGGACGGCTGCCACTACAGCCGCGGAGTGCACTGGCCCGACGCCCGCGGCCTCCTGTTCCGGTACCAATGGCAAGGCGGCGTCAGCCGGGCGGCGACGACTCTGTTCCTGAACAGCGTCCTTGCCGCGTGCAATGATACCTCGGAATAGGGTATCGTTCTAGGGTTTCGTGAAGGTTTCGTTCTAGTTTCACTGCAGGTTACTAGTACTCGCCGAGGAAAAGGGTTTATATACTACTAGTACTAGTAGTAGTACCCTTTCACGGTGCATCATGACTCGGACTCGGACTCGGATGAATATATGACTTTAGGAGAACTTTAGGAGCCCCCGGCGCTGTACTCGGCATAAATGTATGTAAGATCCTTAGCCTTAGCTCTGGCTGTCAGCTTCAGGCTATGATAGCTACTAGCGCGGTCCTAGCGCGGCCGTGCCCACTGTGTGAGATCCACTCTGCCGATGGGGGGCAGCGCTGTCCTGCGCCAGTTGTCCTTGCCATAGCCAAGTTTTGATGCATGCTCACCAACGATGCGCCAAACAGTATCCAGGAGCTGGAGTCTCCAAGCCACAGTGGCATCAACGAGATTCGGTCCGCGCGGACGGTGCATGGCGGGTTCGTCGGCGTGCAGGAAAGCGCACTCGAGAGTGCGATTGTCAACCTCGAAGCCAGAAAAGCTCACGGTCCGTCGGAGCGCATCGGTGCGCCGGTCTTTGTCGATAAGTTCCTCGAACTTAAGGAACTCTGTGTCGGTGCTGCCCGGGTGGTCCTGGAGCCAGCGGCCATAGCTCATCTTTTCTGGTCTCCACATGTCGCGATACTCCACCGCGTATACTTGAGACGCTTCGCGCTCCCAGGCGGGCCTAATCTTGGGCCAGGCTGCCGTTGTGATGGCGCTGTGGTGGTTATGTTCGGCCCGCCCCGCGCGGCGGAGCCGCTTCCTCTGGTAGTCGGACCAGAACGCTGTCATCGGATGCCGCACGAGAAATATAGCCTTGGCGATGGCACCGCCGCACATCAAATTTGCCCCAACAAAATTGGCGCGACCTGAGCCGCTGTCGATGGCCATGCTTCCCGCAAAAGTCGGATGAACCTTGATGGCGACGAAGCCTGCGCATGATGACCGCGTCTCGATATTGTCGCACTCGTGCGGCATGACTGCGGCAATGGACGGATCGAGGTACCGCGACGCCGTCGGCGCGCTGGACGCCTGCTCAAGGAGAAGACGCACCCAGGTGTTGCCGCTGCCAGGAAAGCTGTATAGCAGCGGCGGAATCTCGGTGCTTACATTTCGGAGGACCACCGCGCGCCTGGAACCACACACTGGGTGGATGCTCCTTACTCGCGCTTGCTCTCTCGCACGGGCCCCGAGCTGGGCAGCCTTGACACAAAGTTGTCGCCGTCTCTCGATGGCTGGGTTTGCGGCGCTAGCAGCGGTGACCATGGTGAACCCCATAAGCATCATATTAATACGGGCCTACCTGCTATGATTATGCAGCGGAACCCACCCGCCACACCCCCGGCCCTAGTTGATATCGACTCGCCATGGGGATCTAACCTCCTCCTCCTCCTCGCTATGGGGGCTCTGCTACCTTGGGAATTCCCCAAGCTTCTATCCTCTCCTCTCCTACGACCAAACAAACGCGGCGCCAAAAACCTGCGCGGGTACCATGGTACCATGGTACTTGCTGGTACCTTACTGCGGTACTGGTACTGCGGTAATATACCGCAGTACTTCTTAAGTACATACAGAGACCGACCTGCGTCTTAGGTCGTTTAAGCCTGGCCCTTGCGTTATGAACCAACGTGTACATGCGATCAATCGGATGATGCCCATGAGATCAAATTGCACATGAGGAGATCGAGCCGGCGCCGCGACGCCGCCGTCGGGCGAGGCCGCCGCCGGGGCGCGTGGGCGCTGTTCGTCGCTGGTGTGGCGTACGTGTCCGTTCTTGCCTTTTTGCGCAGCGCGGCCGCGCCCGCGTCGCGCCCGCCCGCCTTTGTGCTGCCGCCGCCGGAGCCCTGGGACCCGTCGCGGCTGCGGGCACACGCGCTGGACGCCGCGCGCCGCGGGGCGGCAGCGCCGCGCGCGACGGGCGGCGCCGCCGCGCCGGACGCGGGCGATCCGCTGGCGGCGCTGCGGGCGGCGTCGCGCGAGGCGCTCGGCGCGCCGCGCGCTCGCGCGGCGCCGGGGCGCGCAAGCGACCGCGGCGCGTCGACGGTCTTCGTCGCCGGCCTGCCGCTGTCGGGATCGGACGCGGTGGCGGATCTCGTGGCGGCCGCGCGCGGCGGCAACGCGACCGCGGCGCCGACGTGGGCCGAGGCCGAGGCGCGCGCGGCGCGGCGCGCCGACGTCGTGCGCGTGCCGGGCGCGCCGCCGGCGAACGCGTCCGTCTTCGCGCGGCTCGCGGCCTCCGCCGCGCTCGCGCGGCGGTCCGCGTGCTTCGTCGTCGTGCTGCGGCACCCGCTGGCCTGGGCCGTCTCGCTGGGCCTCGCGCGGTCGACGACGTCGTCGACGGACGCGCGCACGGCCGCGCGGAGCCGCGGCTACCGGGGCCTCGTCGCGTTCGGCGACGACGTCGTGACGGCGGCGGCGTTCTGGACCGACGCGGCGGGGAGCCTGGTCAGCGAGTGTCTCGGGGGCGTCGACTGCGTCGTGGCCCACTCGGAAACACTCGTCGACGACGGCGTCGCGCGGGCGCTGCTGCGCGCGGTGCCCGGCGTCGGCGCCGCGGCGACGCGAACCGCCGCGGCGGGCTGCGCGGCGTCCGGCGGCGCCTGCGGCTCGGGCGGGACGTCGGCGACGCTGGGGGTGCCCGGCAACGCGGCGCTGGTCCGCTGCTGGCTGCGCGGCGTCCGGTGGCACCTGCGGCTCGGGCGGTGCGAGCGCGAGCGCGCCGAGTACACGGAGGAGGAGCGCGAGCTCGCGACGAGCCGCCACATTGACTTCTGGACCGTGAAGCGCCGCCACGAGTGCGGGTTCAACGCCTTCGGCTACTCGCTGCGGGGCTTCGAGCCGCTGCTGTCGTGCAGCAAGCTCTGCGCCGGCGGCGTCCGCGCCGCCGCCGCCGCGCCGCCGCTCGCGCTGCCCCTCGTCGCGCCGCCGCTCGCGCGGCGGTCCGCGGCGGTCGCGGTCGCGCGCGCGAACGGGTCCATGCCCGACTCGACCGCGACGGACGGCGCGACGCTCGTCGGCGACGTGATCGTGGCCTTCTTCAAGGTCTACCACGGCGCGACGTCGACGGGCGGCCGCGGCGGCATGTTCGCGCGCATGGCGCAGGTCGTCCGCGCGCTCGCCGACACCGGCCTGACGGTCCACTTCATCTGCCACTGCGAGATGCCGCCGCCGCACCTCGTCGACCGGTCGTGGGCGCCGGCGGGCACGCGGTTCTACGCGGGCGGGCTCCAGCAGCAGCTCGACCAGATGCTTCCGTACGCCTGCGCCGGCGGCGCGCGCGGCGACGCCGCGCGCGCGCCCGTCAAGGCGCTCTTCCTCTTCGTGACGTCGCTGACGGTCGACATGCACTTCCGCGCGGCGGTCAAGCGCGCGCGGTTCTGGTGGAAGGAGCCGAAGCTCGGCGCGCTCCACAGCGAGCGCGTCGCGAGCCGCGTCCTCGCGCACTCGCCGGCGCTGCGCGTCGTGGTCCTGACGGACGACGTCCACCACGTCCGCGCGGCCGAGGCCTTCGCCGACGTGCGCCAGCCGCTGAACGTGGCCGCCATGCTCGCCTGGCTCAAGCGGCGCGAGCTGGCGCTCTACGCGTCGGCGCACGACGTCCTGACCGTGTCGCTCGAGGACGCGCGCGCGATCGAGGACGGCCTCGCGCTCGAGCCGTCGCTCGCGCGCGGCGGCGCCGAACCGCCGCGGCTGAGCTGGGCGCCCTTCGTCCGCACCGACGTCGCCGAGGACGTCGGCGCGAACGGCACGAACGCCAGCGCGGCGGCCGTCGCGGCGGCCGCCGCCGCCGCGCGCGCGGGCCGGCGCGTCGACGTCGCCGACACGCTCGCGAACAAGACGGGGCTCGTGTACGTGGGGATGCCCCACCCGCTGGCGGTTCCGGCCGTGGCGTGGCTCGTGCGCGAGGTGCTGCCGCGCGTGGCGGCGGTGCTGCGCGACGACTTCGGCCGGGACGACGCGTTCGTCGAGCGCCACGCGGTGCTCTACGTCGCGGGGGGCGGCGACCAGGCCCAGCGCTGGCGCCGCGCGACGCGCGGCGCGCCGGAGGCGTCGAAGGCGCGCGTGCGCCTCGTCGGCGCGCTCTCGGACGTGGGTCTCGCGGAGGAGCTCCTCGTGCTGCGGCGCGTCTTCGTCGCGCCGCTCTTCAACAACACGGGCATCGCCACGAAGATCGTCAACGCGATGAGCCACGGCCTCCCCGTCGTCACGACGCCCGGCGGCTGCCGCGGGCTGGGGCTGCCCGCCGACGCGTCGCGCGCGCTGCTCGTCGCCGCGGACGCCGCCGCGTTCGCGCGCCACGCGGCGCGGCTCCTCGTCGACGACGCGCTGTGGCGCGACCTCTCGCGCGGCGGGCGCCGTCACGTCGAGGAGAACCTCTCGCGCGATGCGCTGGCGCGCGTCGTCCGCGACGCCGTCTCGCGCGCGTTCCGCGCGCCCGAGCCGGCGGTGGAGGCGGCGGCGCGGCCGGGCGTCTCGCGCGCGCCGCCCGGTCCCGTCCGCGGCGCCTCGGACGCGCCGCGGCGCGCGCGCGACGCCGCCTGCGCCGCACTCCTCGCCGACGGCGCCCTCGCGAACCCGAGCGTCGCGGCGCTGCCCGGCGGCCGCCGCCGGTTCGCGGCTCGGCTCGAGCGCCGCGACGGCAGTCCGGGCGGGCTGGTGGTCGGCGACGCGACCGAGGACGGCTTCGCCGCGTGCGTCGCCGTGCCGGACCCGGTCTCGGCCGCGGCGGGCTTCGAGCCGTGCCGCGGCGCGGCCGAGCGCGGCGGCGCCGACGAGCCGCGCGTGTTCGCGTGGCGCGGCGGCGCCTGGGTGCTCTTCGCCGCGCGACCCGCGTGCGTCGCCGGGGCGCGCGGCGGCTGCCCGTGGTGCGCCGACGGCGTCACGACGCTTTCGTATGTCGCGCGGCTCGACGACGCAAGAGGCGGCGGCCTCGTCGATCCGGCGCGGCCCGTCGTCGCGTACAACGCGGGCCTCGGCGCGACGCAGCGCGCGTTCGCGCCGTTCGTCGGCGTCGACGGCGAGCTCTACCTGGCCGTGGCCGTCGAGCCGCAGTCCGTGCTGCGCGTCAACGCGACGGCGACCTTCCGCGGGCGGCCCATCGCCGCCGCGCGGCGTGTCGCCGTCGCGTCGAGCGACGAGCTCTGGGCCGACGCGCGCGCGCTCGACGGCGGCTGCCGGACGCGTCCGCCGCTCCTCGCCGCGACGCCCGCGATCCTCGTGGACCGCCGACCGCCGGCCGCGTGGCCGAGTAGCGCCGCCGTCGCCGCGCGCCCCGCCGCCTCCGCCGACGCGGCGACGGCGCGGGCGCACGCGCGCGGGGCGCTCGCCGGCCGCGTCTACTTCCTCGCCGTCGCCCGCGGCCACGTCGAGACGGGGTGCCTACGGTTCTACGAACACTACGCGTACGCTTTCCAGGCTGCGCCGCCGTTTGCGGTGCTCGCGCGGTCCGAGCGCGCGCTCCCGCTCGCCGGCCGCTCCTACGCGCCAGCGTCGCAGCCCGAGTGCCAGCCCTCCGTGGCGTGGCGCGTCCAGGCCGGCCGCGCCAAGACCGTCGCCGGCGCGGCGCGCAACGCGACGCACGTGTTTCTGTCGTACTCCGCCGGCGCCGACTGGACGTCCCGCGAGTGGGCCGCGCCGCTCGACGCCGTCGAGGAGACGCTCGTGCCCGTCGCGCCGAGCGTCGCCGAGAGGCTGACGCCATGCGCTCGAGACGACGCCTCGCCAGACTGCGCAGTTTTGTGGGCCGCCGCGGCCTCGTGCCGCGGCGGCGCCCAGTTTTAGTGTTTTAGATTGATGAACGAAGCTGGCCTTGTAGAATCCGCATTTCCAGTACTAGATGTGATATTAGTCGGCAAGCCGGACGCCGCGGATTTCTAGCTCCATGTCTCCTTTACATGTGGCCCCATGATGCCCTTGGGAGCATTGGGCCGCGGGGTAAAGACCGCTGAGCGGTCGAATTTTGGGCATTTGGCGGGCCGGCGGCGGCCGGTGTGTAATTTATTTATCATGATTCTCGGTTGGGCATCCTGACCGAGCGGGGAGAAGGATCTTAGGGGCTTTGTGTTTCCTAATTATCAGTATTACAAGTAGTACTATGGTACTGAAGTAGTCTCGGGCCTGCGAGTCGGTCGGGTGATCCGCAGCGTGCTCTGGTCACCGGCGGTAAGACCAAGCTCCTTGCTCAAGCACTCCTGCTTGAAGCGGTCGATAAGTGAATAGTCCGAGTCCGGCCATCGAGCGCACTTGGGCATCGCTTTCCGCGCGGGCCGCGACGGCAGCGCGTGCGACGCGTCAATCTCGCTGCTCGCGTACCGCGTGTCGCGCGCAGGTGGTCCCAAGCGTGCAGACCCGGCCGATACGACGCCGTCGACACGGGTGGACGCGACGGCGGACCCGCGCGAAGGGGTTCTCGAGAAGAACTGCGGGGAGCTAGGCGCGGCGACGGCGAGCTGAAGCTTGCCACCGTTGGCCAACGCGCTCCACGGCTGGCTCTTTCGACGGAGCACGGGTGCGGCGGCAACAAGTCGCTTGCCCGATGCGGCGTTGGCATCGAGCGAGGCGCCTACCATCCGGGCCTCGACCTTTCCGGGACTCCGGTCGAGCGCCGTGAGGGCAAAGACGGACGATTCAGCCGGCGGCGTGGATTCGACGACGTCGGAAGGCGCCGAACGCCGGAGTCGGAGCGCCCGTTCCTGGACAGCGCACCACTTTTTTCGAAATAACCTGTTTGCGGCCCGCAAATGACCCATTTCGCGTTCCAACGCCGACGCATCTTCCGGCGAGACGGTCGTGGAAGGCGCTGATCCTGCGGTTGGCTTGTTCGGCCGAGCTCGGGACCGGTGGTGCATTCGCGGCGCCTCGTCGTTGCCGGTGCCGCGGAGCACGACACGGGGCGCGTCCTCCAGTCGAGACCACGCCACCTCCGGAGGAGCGTAGGCGTTTTGCGCGACGACGGCCGCGGGCGGTGCGACGACGAAGGCGGCGACGGGCGCCGCGTCAGCCGAGAACAGCGCGACGGGCCGAGCGAGTCTTTTATCACAGGTTTCCGCCGGGACAGGTACGGCTGCGTTAACGAGGCCGAGGCCGCAGGGATGTCCGCTCCTGTGCGCGCTGTCGTTCACGCGATGGAGCCGCGCCCGTTGCTCCGCGCGGAAGAGGAGCGTTTGTTGCTTCGCCGCGTGCACGTGGCGCCACCAGCCGCGAGGGTCCCACCAAAGCGATTTGCGATCCACAGCTGCATGGCCAAAGTATGGGTCGCCGTTGATACCGGCGAACGGCTTGAGCCGGACAACGTGCGGCGCGGCATCTACCACGACGGTGAAGGCGCTATCGAAGACCTCGACGCCTTCGCCCGGTCGCGGTTGACGCAACTTGGCGAGGTCGTCGGCCTTTTGCGGCGCCTCGTCGCGCAGCGCCGCGGGCGCTTCGTCTGGTGCCAGCGTGAGAACCTCTTGCCCGCCCCAGCTCCGCAGCGTCGCGAGACCGCCGTCAGCGTTGGCCCGCGCGTGGGTGCTCCGCGATTTTGGTCGTCCGTCGGCTTCGGCCAGCAGGCGAGCGGCCCGCGCGGCGGCTGGTTTGAGCGCTTCTAGCCCATCCGGCGCCTCCGCAGCGGGGACCGGCGGCAGAGCAGCGAGCACGCGACGGTCGTCGAGGGACTGGTTCTCGGCTTCATCGCGCAGCGCGGCGTCGCGCAGGCCGGCGTAAAGACCCTGTCGCACAAACGGAGCGAGGTTTGCGACGTCCTGGGCGGCGGCCGAACCCACGAGCGTGCCGAGCGCGTCGACGAGAATACGCCTCTCCACGCCTTTGGTCGCCACCGAGGCCCAGAGTAAACACGCCGCGTCGACGCGCCGCGCGCCGTCGAGGGCGTTCAGTCGGTCTCGCCGCGTCGGCGGCGGCAGCGGCGGCCGCGTCGCCGCGGGACGCGTCCGAGCCCAGGCGGCGCGTAGGGCCACTTCGCACTCGTAATCCGCCAGCGCGTGCTTGGCGCGATACACGTCTCTCCGCGCCGGCGCCGTCGGCTGCTCTGCGGCGACCAGACGGTGGTGGGCAAGGCGCGCTGGCGCCGCGGCGCCGGCGATCCAGTCTTCTCCGCCTAGGCGCGCGAGCGGCGGTGGCTCTCCCGTCGGTGTGGAACTCTCCGCGCGCGCAAGTTCAGCAGTGTTGCGCTCGTCGGCCGTCACGAGACGACCGTCGAGAACCCACGCGGCCGGCGCCGCGGCGAGCGCGGCCGCCCGGTCGGCCGCGCCCGGGTTGCCCGCGAGGTGGAGGCGTACGACCTCTACCTCGCCAATGGACGCGATGGCGTCGATGGCCACTGCGTTGCCCGACACGTCCAAGAGTCCGAGCGCGGCGAACGCGTCGAGGCCCGATCCGGCGAGCGTCTCGAGGCGATTGCGGCTCAGATCGATCCACCAGAGCGTTGCGCAGGCCGCCAGCGCGTCGCCGTCGATCGTCCGCAGACCGAGTCGCGCGAGGCTCAGGGAGACCAGGCGACGACACCGATGCAAACTGCTGTGGCCCAGCTGGCTGATGGGGGGCGATCTGACAAAATGCAGCACCTCGACCTCGGCCGGGTCTCCCTCGACGAGGAGCGCGAGTGTCTTGTCTGTCAACTTCATGAAATCAGCTTCCCATCGCAATATAGTATGTATCCTGGCCCTACGGTATCTTATCCTCGTAGGCGGCTTATGAGCAGGGCTGCTGCCCGTGATGGGTTCAGATAGAAATGCGCTAGAGCTCCACGAGAGTTTCGGCCGACGCGCGAACTCGGTCGCTAATGCCGACCGGGTGGAGAAGGAGGCGTGGCTGTATCAGCGGATTCTGGACTTTTCGTCTTTTACTGTGCGCGCTGGCGCGCGCCCCGCCGCCTCGCACGGCGAGGCGCGCACGACCAATGCCGCAACAGCGCCCCCCGCGGCCGCGAGCGCCTGCAAGGCCCGCTCCATCCAACGCATCGTCAGCCGACGGGAGCTTTTGCGCAGATCCCCCCGCGCGGTCGTTCGCGGAATCCCCGTGATATCATGCCAGGGCCACGATCCCGCGAGGTCGAATGCTTCGCGCGGTTCCACGAGGCTCATATCGCAGCGGTGCCAGGCGACCCAGAGGTTGTCAATCAGATGGCGGGGGCATGCTGCACAGACCGGGTCCGCAATTCCAAGGGCCCAGTTCGCCTCGTGATCTTCCCGCGATCGCATATCGAGGCGGCGCTGTTTTATAGCAATGTCAGCCGCCGCGACGTCGACATCAACTTCATGGGACGTATCCACACCAAGCAACAGTCTGCGAACCGCGCACGGCGATGGATCCTTGATTTCGCCAAGAGAACCTTCACGAACGCGTCCCTTTTCCTGGACACGACTGTGCAGAATCCATCAACCTACCAGCGACTAGGCGCCTACGACATCTCGGTCGTGGAGGGACATGCCGCAGGTTTCAAGCCCATGGGTGTCATGGGCGAACAGCAGCAGAACCCCTGTGTCATGGCGAAATGTTCGACGGACTACTTCCACCGCCTCGCGCGGTCGCGGTTCACGCTTGCGCCCGCCGGCGACAAGCCATGGTCCCAGCGTTTCTTCGAAGCCATTCATGGCGGGCTCCGTCCCGATTCTCCAGTTGCCGCAACATGCCGGGCGCAATCTCGGCGAGCAGACGCTCGGGTACAAGTTCCTACTCGTCTCCGAGTTTGAAAATCGGCTTCGCGCGAATGAAGGCGTGGTGCCGTACTGCGGCGACTGGGCCCAAGACAACTTGGATATCTTTCTTCGCCGGCAGTCCTACATCCAGCGCCGTCAGACCATCCACGCAAACGTCGACAGGTGCCGGAGCGAGGCGTTCGATTGATCGTGGACTCCGGATGACTTAAAATAATAATACGATTAACTTGAAATGAAATCAATACACCCCTGCCAGTGGGCAGGTTCGCCGAGTTGGACTCGGAGGGTCACGCCGTCACGGTCCAAATTCTAGGGGTTACTAGTACTCTTGCGGCGTGTTTGCGGATGCGCCGCTAGCTAGCTAACAAGCTAGCTAGTGCGATTCCGAGTCATGACCTGGAGCCAAGCTTGTACTAAGTTGGAGACTCGGGCCCGAGAGAGCCCTGGGCACTGGCACTTCAAAAGAGCGCCACTGGCAGGGCCCCGCGGCATGGAATTCCACGATTAGTATTCTCCTGGACCGGCGAGCGCGCCTGGAGCGCGCCATAGCTACTTTTCACTTAAGGCACCACCGGACAAACCCCACCCCGCGACTTAAGGGCACGTGTAGCCAAGGTTGGCGAGCACCGTCGCATTCGCACGCGCGCAGTGGCCAGCGACCTCGGGTTCGGTAAATTTCTCCGCGCGCCATCTTTTCGCGAGGTTGTAGGCGCGCGCATCGGCGAAGGACCGGGCGTGGCCGTGCTTCTTCGCGGCGCGCTTCTGCTGCGCGTGATGGGCGCCGGGAAATAGGGCGCGCAGCGTGCGGTCCGAGTCTAGTAACAAGTCCTCGTAGCGTATGAGAGCATAACGCGTCCTGGACCAAGCGAGGTACCCGCCGTAGTACGCGTTCCAGACGTCGACGACGCCGCCGTATTTTACGTCCAGATGTTCCCGCTCGGCTTGCTCGCCGGGCCCGTGCCGCCACACCAAGCGCAGCCAACACGGAGAGTCCGGGGCCCTCGACCCACAAGTCAGGAAATACCGCGCCTTGCGCATGCCCGTGACCCAGCTCAGCGGGTGCCGCGCTATCACGAGCGCGACTGAGGCGCCCGGCGCGGCCTGCGCCCTCGCCTCGAGCACCCAGGGGTACATGTGCTTGCGATCCTCGAGGACCGTAACTCCCCCCACCTGCTCCACGAGGCTGCGTGCGAAGTTCGTCCCGGAGTTCATAAGGCCGCGGACGCACGTCACGGACCGCGACCTGTTAGCCCAGCCGCGCGTGAGCGGCGGGCGCCAGTCGTAGAGTATCGGCGGATTCGCGGTCGCCGCCGTGGTTTGGACGAGTAGGGCGGGGATGATCATGTCTATATGGGAGCTGCCTCCCAGCCAACCACCGTGATCACATGGGGCATCACATCCGGCTCACGAGGTCAAATTTCCTCAAGGACCAAAGGTAGACTCTTGCTCATGATTTTCAGTCGGCTGGCGGCGTCTAAGTGTGTATCAGAGTTATATTACTGATACTGTAAAGTACCGTAGGTACCTGCGGTCACGATGCAGCATGAGCCCGCTCGGCCGGCCGCCGAAGGCACAAGCTGGCCGCTCGTGACCGCGTTTCGAGTCATTGTATACAAATTGGAGTACTGTATCTAGCACGGGGCTGACTGTCCGCGATGGTTCTGCTCTACATACGAAGGAGGCTCACGCACGCGCTGCAGACTCTAGCAAGGCATCTGGGCGCGCCGCCGGCGTCTCCCACGCCTTTGACCAGCGAGTGGATCAGCACACGCTGCGAGGGTCTTGACGCGAGCGCTGCTGTCGTCGTAGAGATCGCGCTGGACGAAGAGAGCGGCGAGAACGGGGCCGTCGCGCGCGTCGCGCTCGGCGGCGAGCGTCTGGTCGTCAAGCGCCCGCCGGCGTCGCCCGCGGCGAGGGCCGTGGCCGCGATCCAGCAGTGGTACGCGCGAGAGGCTGTGTGGAAATCAAAATTTTACGGCGCGTTCGTGCTGAATCTTCGCGTCGACCTCCACGCCATCGACGCGACGCCTGCTCGATGGCGTGGCGATGCCGGTTCTTCACCGCTCGACCGAGCCAGGACGGCCGCGTCATCGCCGAGAAATGACTTAGTGAAGAATTGTCGGGTGCACCCGACGCACTGGTTGATTTCCACACAGGCGAGAGGTGCACTGGTACGCGGCGCTCGCGCCGATCGCGGGCGTACGCTGCCCGCGGTGCCACTGCGCGCGCTACGACGCGCTCACCGGCGAGTACGTCCTCGTGCTCGAGGACCTGCGGGCGGCGGGCTGCCGGCCGCTCGCCGTCGCGGAGGCGACGGCGGCGGCGACGACGCTCGGCCGCCTCCACGGCCGCTTCGCGGACGTCTTCGACGACGACGCGCGCCGCGAGATTGTGCGCGGGCCCTTACCGATCATGCCCATCACGCTGGCACTCGCCATCCCGATCGAGAAGTTCTTCAGAGACTGCTGGAAAGCGGTCCGAGGCGAGCGACGCTACGCGCTCGCGGAGCTCCTGGCGGACCGCGGCGAGGCCGCGGGCCCCGCCGCGATCGGTCTCCTCGACGCCCTCGCCGCGCCGGGCGCGTACGCGTCGATGACCGAGGCCCTGGCAGCGCCGCCCCGGACCCTGCTCCATGGCGACTTCCGGCCCGAGAACATGATGGTCGAGGACGCGACGGGCGAGGTCGTGGTCTATGACTGGCAATTCGCGTCGGTCGGCAACGGTGCGTATGACCTCGCCTACTTCTCGGCTCTGGTGGCGGACCCGGACGATCGGCGCCGCCTCGACCCGGAGCTCCGGCGGGCCTACGTGTCGGGGCTGGCCGGTAGCGGCGCGCCGGTGCCCCGCGACCTCGAGCGCGACCTTCGTTATGGGTGCCTCCTCGCGCTCGCGTCCTTCGTCATGGGTGCGGCTGTTGCCGGCGACGACGCAGCCTCGGTCGAGACGCACCGCCGGGGGCTTCGGCGCCTCGCGGCGGCGGCGCTGGACTGGGGCGCCGCGGTAAGTGACCTGTTCTGTCACTGCTATCGTTAAATGTAGTATTAAACGCCTTCGTGCGAGGAGAGAGGCGCTATGTCTCGGTCACCCCAGCTTGTCGGTTTTTCTGGCCAACTTGAACTCAGGCTTGACTAGAAGGCTTGACTCGGAAACTTGACTCGGAACGTTGATATCAAATACTCTCCGAGTCAGCTAATCAAATACTATATATACCGAGCAGCCTGAGGGAGAAGGCTCTTCGGATCTTGTTCCCTTTTTAGGCCCGGGTCTTCCTTAATTTATTTATCATGATGTAATTATTTATGGATTTATCCTTATTTTATTCAACTTATAGTAGGGGTTTCCCAATGTTACAGCACCATCATTTTCATTACGATTAACGGTACAATGAAGTGAACTTACTTTAGGTTCACCCCGGTGTTTTTACGGCGCCTACTTAGCGCCGGGCTTGATCCACTTGGATAAGCAGAAAGATACGGGATATAGGGAAATATCAGCTCCGGGCACATGTCGGCTGATATAGCGTGCTGATAGGCGAGAGTAATGTAGCCATAGATCCGGCGATAGGGGGCTATGGCGTTGCAGATATATATCTTGGGGAGTTTTCACCTCAACAAGGCAGCGGTTCTAACGAGCCCGGCCGCGGTCACGTGACTTGAGTGGGGGACTGTCCGTGGTCTATGCCATAGTAGTATGTTCGTGGTCTTCAAAAACCGCTGGCATTTACTAGAATTATCTAAACTTGAAGTAACTTGAAGCGGTGAACTTACCCAGCGGGGCAGCGTTCTCTCCGAACGAACGCCATCTCCAGGACCCCGTGGGATTTGGGCGCGTGTTCCTCGGCGAAGAGCTCGTAACCATTCCTAGTGAGGAATACAAGCAGGTCGTGCGCTTCCCGAAGCCGCACCGTCTTGTCACACCTCTTGCAGTGCGCGGCGAAGATTGCGTGCACCTCAACGGCGATTTGTTCGATGCACACGCCGTCGTCGAACCAGTGCCGGTACGTCCCGAATTCACAACCCTCGCAGTCTATTTTGAGGACGTTGACGACGCGTCCACCTGCGGGGTGACATCTCTTAGCTCCGTTCGACGGGACGTAGAGCCACGCGGGGGGGCCGCGAGCGATGTCTGAGAGGTGCATCGTGCGATTGGCTTGATTCGCCGCCCGTGCCTTGTTGCACTCCGCGCCCTCGTCCTCGCCGTCCAGCCCGCCGCAGAGCAGTTTGTCGTGGAAGAAAAGAGTACCAGCGGCATGCCGCTCCTCCGCCTTCGCCCGCAAGTCCGGTCGCGCCCCCATCGTCCCATCGATGGTGTGGATCTCAACCCGTGGCTCCAATGCGCGGATCGCGTCCTCGAATGTAAAAATGCCGTTTGAGCCGACCGAGATGACCAGAGGGCTCGCAGAGGCGCGGAGGCACGCTGGCAAGTCGCACAACCGCTTGCCGTCGAGCCTGGCAGTGGCTGGGTAGCGATGGAGCCGCTGGCAGCGTAGCGTCGGGTGCCAGTGTCGTTGAAAATACGCCGAGACGACATTGTGAGCCCCCGGCGGGAGGTGGTCGTACGGCTGCGTGCGATTATAAAAGCCTTGAAGGCGCGCGTGATGTTCCGCGGCTTTGTCGAGGGGGGCACCGCGGATGTGCTCCAGGCACGCCGCCCTGCACCCGGGCAGGATTGCCAAGTTCAGGAGAGCCAAGCGGGAGAGCAGCATTTCGGCTGCCAGTTGTTGTGTGTGGAATGATAAGTTAGGCCGGTCAGACAGGACCTATCATCTCCAAAGTCTGTTTCCACTACTGTCGATATGTATCATACCGTAGGTACACCTGTACGCGATGGTACGAGATGGTTGCTGTTTCCGATGTCACACACTAATGGTCCAGCGACTGATATTCCCATTGCTGCTTGGGGTGCTTCCGTCACTCAACACAGGGCTTCCATTCTTCGGGAGCTCAGGTGGTAAGCCCCGCCCGGCGCCAAAGTGCGCCGAGACCCAAGCGGACAATGGCACGATCGTCAACCCGCTCTCCTGGCAGCTGAAGTATGTGAACGAGACCGAGACGCTTCGGGACGTGGCGGCGCGCCTCGCTACGCTCGACGCCGCGCGCCGGAGGATCATGGGCTCAAATAGCTTGCGGTCTCAAATCCCCTGCAATTTTGGCAAGGTCAAAAATGCCTTCTGCGACAGCGTGAGGACCCCGGCGGCGCGAGCCGCGCACGCAACACTCGCACGCAAAGTTGAGCTGGCCCTCGACCGCCCAGTCGTCTTCTACCGCCACGAGGGCGATTGTGTTCAAGGCCGCCGTCGTCTCCAGGGCCGCCGTCGTCTTCTTGACGACAGCAAGGAGTGCCCTGGTAGCTTCGGTGGATCCATTGGCAACCACGTCGGGAACTACTTCCGCGCAAGAGCGTGCGCGCGGATGGGGGGCATGGACTTTGTCTTCTTGCGGTTTCTCCACGCGTGTCCCCACGAACCCTACGTCTGGCTGCCGGCCGTCGTGGCCACATCCGCCGCCGCGCAGCCCGAGGCAACCGCCTTTGCGCACGGGTACACGGCCGCCTGCACGAACAACCAGCCGTGGATCCACATGTCGCCTAGCTGGATCCCCGCCGCGCGCCAGGGCGGTCTCGACATCCGACGCATGACGGCCGCTTGGGCGGAGCGCGAGGGCTTCCCCGGTGACGCGCCCCTCGACGACGTCGCCATTCACCTCCGCTGCGGCGACGCGCTAACGCAGGCCCACGGGCAATACGGACTCCTCCATTTCGGAGCCCTCGCGGAATTCGTGCCGAGGACGCGACCGTCGACGGTCGGCCTCATCTCGGAGCCGTACAAGAGCTTCTGCGCGGAAGGCGAGGCCGGGGCCCGTGCCGGCCTCCCAGAGAAGCGCTCGGAGCACTCGGCCCGGTGGTGCAGCTGCCCCTGTGCGGCCGTGGTCGATGCGCTTGTCGACGCGCTCAAGGTTCTGCGGCCGCTCGCATGAGTCAGTGTTGATACATGCGGGCCTATTCGAACTCAGCTTAATTTCCGCACAGGCGACGGTGACGGTCCACGAACGCGACCTGGTCATGGCGTCGTGGCACCGCCTTGCAAACGCGCCGACGGCTTCGATATGTATTAGTTCGACGTTTTGCATGTGGCCCGTGCTCGGCGCGCGCCACGGATATTTCATGCAGGGCCCCCTCTTTCCGCGTGCTGACGAGATATCCGATAAAGTTCCGACCCTGGGTATCATCAAGAGCCCCGGTCTTGTTTCCTACCATACCATCGGCACGAAAAACCTCAAACGGTGCGGCACGTCGGTCGCGACGATGCGACGCGCCATCGCCCAGCGGCTGATGCCCAAGGGCGCTCAGCTCTCCGCAAACGCGACTCAAGCCGTTACGATCCGCGGGGCTACGTTGCCACCCGCGGACGGCGTCTGGTGAATTTCAAATAAATTGAAATAACTACTAGTCCGACGGCCTGGTGTTGGAGAGTGGTTCTGGACGTGGTTCGTCGAGGAATGGTGCGTTGTATTTGCGAAACCTCGCGCTTTCCTGTCGCACGTGGTTTGAGCCTCGAAGGTCATTGCAACTTCTTAATGGGTGACGTTTTACCTCACGAGACTGAGAATACTGTGTATAGATACCTTATTGCTATTTCGAAGCTCCGGTTGGGCATCCTGACCGAGCAGGGAGAAGGCTCTTAGGATGGTGGTCGAGGAGCTCCAAATTTCTGAGCATAAGGCGAAGAATAGCGAAGCCCGTCGGTTCCTTCTGGACCAAGCTAACCTTCGGTACCTTTTTTCGTACTGTCCGCCCGAAATCAGGAACGTCTGTGACGCCTACTTCATTAATCCGAGGGTCGCGGACCTCAGAAACTTCACAGGAAGGTCCCGTCGTCCGGCCGGTCGCTAGCACCCGCGAGTGTTCTCCCGCAGGGCACGGTTAGCCCGCCCAACATGGCCGGGGCCTTCACTAGTCTTGTAACGTATGTATGTGTAGTAGAAATAGGAGTCCGAGGCCTCTACTAGACACTACTTGATCCGAGTCGGCGAGGTCGGATCCGAGTCTCAATTTTTAGTGCCCGGGCATCGGGTCTGCGAATAAGGGTCTATACACGACAGGCTACAATGCGGGCCGGCGGCATTCCGATCTTGAGCACAAGACACGATCAGGTCTTCAACCACGACGGCTTCCCACGCTTCTTGCCGGTACCGCCGGCGGCCAGCGGGCCGGCGGCCTCGCAACCACCACCTGGCACGACGGGAAGCGACTCGGGGACGGCGTCCTCGGCCGCGTCGCAGTCCATGCGCCTCAGGCTTGCTTCAGATAGCACGTCAGCGGAAGAACTGTGGCCGCCGGCAAAGCTAATAAAGACCCGCGCGGCTGGCACCAACCCGAGGTCCAGCAGGCTTGCGGTCCCGTCGCGCGGGAGGTCCCTCCGCGGCGGCGCCGCGAAGAGCGAGAAGACGAGGCCCGGCCGGACCGCTGCGGCGACGACTGCGTAAGCGGCGGAGCAGGGCTCGCGCGGATGGAAGCGCGCCGTGAGGCACGCTCGGTCGGGAAACTCGACCCTGAGCACGCAACGGTCGTAGACGCGCGTCTTTTCGAGCGCGGCGACGTCGCGCATCGCCCGCGTCGTCAGCGGCGCGTCGTCGGCCTGGCGACGGGCGCGCTCTCGCGCGGCCGCCGCCCTTGCGACGACGCCCGCGTCCCCGCGCGGCATGTCGCCGGCTGCCGGCGCGGCCGCCGCCGCGCGCGCTGCCGCGGCCCGCGCCCCGGCGGCCACCGACACGATCCGAACTTCGCGGTCTGGTGCCGCGCAGGCGCCCTCGAGCGCCGCGGCCCGCTCCCGCAGCTCGCGCGCGCGGCGCTCGGCCTCGGATTCCGCCGGCGCCGCGGGCCCCGCCGGCCCGCCGCGCAGGTCAACGCGATGCGTCGCGAACGGGTCGAAGGCCGGCGCCGGAGCCCCCGGCGCAGCGAGCGGGCGGAGCATGTCGAGCGCGCGGGTCAGACGTGCGGCGTCGCGCGCGCCGGCGTCGCACAGCACGAGCCAGGGCTCGCCGCCGCGCCGTTCCTCGTGGAATCCGAGAGCGGAGAGCACCGCGACGCCGCCGGCGGGCGCGACGCGGCCCGCAAACGCCGCGTTCCCGGCGCGGATCGCGCGCACGCGAGGGAGGCTCGGTTGGCGGAGGACCGCCTCCACGTACTTGAGGAGGACCACAGCACAGTCGCGGCCCGCCGGACCCGCGGCCGCCACCCCAGCAACGGCGTCGGGAAGCGGGTCGCGGAGCGGCGGCGAGGGCGCGGGCGGCGGCGGCGCGGACGGCGGCTGCGGCGCTGCGGGTTGTGGCGGCTCTGTGGGCGACGCAACGATTGGCCTCGCCGCCGCCGCCGCCGCAACGGCGGGTGCCGCCTCGTCGCGCGGCCGCTTCTCGGGCGGCGCGGCGCCATCGGCGAGCGCTCCCAATTCCACGTGGAGGCGCACGGCCGCGCCGCCGCCGTAGCCGAGGTCCCCGAGCGTCCGCCCGAGGTCCTCGCCCGCGAATCGATCCCGCATGACCCGGACCGTCGGCGCGCGGCGCAGCGGGTCCGGCGGCGCGGCGCCCTCGGCCACCAGGCGCTCGACGACCGCGGCCAGCGACGTGCCCGCGTCGACCGCGAACGACACGGTCCGCGGCGCCGAGCCCATGTGCGAGACCGCCGCGGCGACGCGGACGGCGCCGCCGCCGCCGGCCGCCCGGCGGACGAGCTCCAGCTCGCAATTGTTGGAGAGCCCGGTATGGGCCCAAGCCGTGGCGTCGGGGACGTCCGCGCGCCGGCCCCGCGTCGTCCGCAGGCCGAACGAGCCCTCGAGCCCAAAGTGGGCCTTGGCCCGTGCCACTACTTCTCTGACGGCGACGTGCGCCGAGCCTAACGCGATCTTGGCGCGCCGGCCCTGGTGCGTCACTGTGACGCTCATGGGGGCGGTAGCGCTGGTGATACAGCCGTCGCTGAAAAGCCGTTTTTGGTCGAGCGCCTCTACAGCCCGGGGCGATTTTTTTTTAGGGCACGGTTTTAGGCATCCCGGCTAGCGGCTGTAAGACACTAGCAAGTCCAGCCGCTCTCGGCCCCGGGCCGGATAGTTCTGGGCTTATGGAGACTCGTCCGAGTCATGATCGATCAAAACGAGGCTTAAGTTTAAAAGTCTTAATGATTGACATATAGATAGGCCGCCTATGATGAAAAAAGTCGGTCATTCCGATGATTCTGACTTTTGCCATCCTCGATTCCGATTCCGATTCCGATTCCGATTCTGGAATTATGGACCATACTCGGACTACCCCCTATCTGAGTGATACAGTCTGACACCGGGCGTCCCGCCCGTGGGCACCACTTGGGCTGCCCATCAGCTCGAGCACAAAAGAGGAGTCTAAAATGCGCTGCCTCTGCGTGGCCGTCCTGCTAGGCAGCGCGGTGGCCGATGATTTCAGAGAACACCTCGCGCGGCTGCGGCAGCGGGCCATCGATGCAAAGCACGAGCGGCAGCAGCCACCGCCAACGCCCCTGGCGCCCGGCGTGGGTCGCAACCGAACGCGTCACGATTCCCAACGTCGACGGCCGCCTGCGACGCGGAGACAGCGCTCGCCAGAGGCTCGTCCGAACGTGCTCTTCCTCCTCGCAGACGACCTCGCGAAGAGCGCGATCTCGGCCTACGAGAGCCACCTCGCCCGGGACCTTCGGACGCCGCGGATCGATTCGATTGCTAAAGAGGGCGCGCTGTTTACCAACGCCTTCGTGCCGAACTCGCTTTGCACGCCGAGCCGACTGACGATACTGACGGGCCTCCACGCGCACGAGTCCGGAGTCAGGACACTGTCGGGCACTGCCAGCGGCCCCTTTAACCATATCACTGGCAGCGGCCCGGGCCGCTGGAAGCATGTCGCGGCGGGCGCTCAGTCCTACCCCGCGGTCCTTCGCGCTGCGGGCTACGCGACGGCCCAGGCGGGCAAGTTTGCCGCTGGATTCGAGCACATCGGCGCTGCTGCGTTCGCCCACTTTCGACCTTTCCGCGAATTAACGTACCGCGACACGGCGTTCTGCGCGGGGTGGCCGGCCGCGTGCCGCCCACTACCACAGCGTCGGGGCCTGTGTGGAAATCAACCAGTGTGTCGGGTGCACCCGACAATTCTTCACTAAGTCATTTCTCGGCGATGACGTGGCCGACCTGGCTCGGTCGAGCGGCGAGGAACCGACATCGCCACGCCATCGAGCAGGCGTCGCGTCGATGGCGTGGAGGACGACGCGATGATTCAGCACGAACGAGCCGTAAAATTTTGATTTCCACACAGGTCGGGGCCTCGAGTCCGCCGCGATCGCCGCCGAGCTCGAAGCCTGGATAGCGGCGCAGACTGGACCGTTTTATGCCGAGGCCGACTTCTACGCGGCACATGACCCCTGGGGCTCGGACCCTTCCGACCGCGCAAAGTTCGTGGCGACGCATTTCGCCGAGCCGGCGAGTCTCTACCACGAGTGGGGCGGCGCCGGTGCGGCCGGCCACGTCCGCGCGGCGGCCGAGGCCGCGCGCCGCCACCATGCTGGCCTGTTCGACTACAAGCTGGGACCCACGCGCGCATACAGATGCCGCGGCTGCCTCGTGTCACAGGCCGTGCAGAAGCTCTCCGCGGAGAATCTCCGTCGACTCAAGAGGCCGCCGGAGGACGCCGTCGCGCGGCGGAACGCGACCTACCAGGCCATCGCCACGGTGTATTCGCGAACGGTCCTCGGGCTCGACCGCGCCGTCGGCCGACTCCTCGACGCCGTCGAGCCCGCGCGCCACTCGACGGTCGTCGTCTTTGCGAGCGACCAGGGCATCTTCCTCGGCGAACACGGCCGCATCGACAAGCGCCTGGCGTACGAAGAGGCCATGGCTTTCCCGCTGATTATTCGGTACCCGCCCCTCGTGCGGCCCGGGTCGAGCGTCGACGCGCTCGTCGCGTCGTTCGACGTCGGCCTGACGGTCCTCGACCTCGCCGGCGCCGCGTACCCGGAGAGATACGCGGCGCGCCTGCCAGGTTCTTCTCTCGTGCCGCTCCTACGCGGTGATACCGGCGGCCCGCGGACCGCCCACTACTACCGCTACTTTCAGCACGCCGCGGCAGTACCGGGCCACGTCGCTGTCCGCGCGGGCGGGCTCAAGCTCATATTCTGGTACGCGCACGACTGCAGCCACGTCATCCGCGACGACGACGCGACGCGGCCGCCGCGCCCTCGCAAGTCTCGCGGCGCTTGGAACGGCACTGCCGTGCCGCTCGTCGACGACGCTTGGGAGCTCTTCGACCTCGAGGCCGACCCGGCGGAGATGCGGAACGTCTGGGCCACGCCCGCCTACCGCAGCCGGCGCTGCGAGGCACTCATTGCGCTCCTCGACGCCAAGCACGACGCGCGCGACGACGACGAGCGGTACTGCCCCGAGGCCGTCCAGCAGGGCACCGCGCTTGGCGCGCCCGGGAGGAAGGGCCAAGTCACGGTCGGTGAGCTCTGTGGCACCCGACGTCGCGCGTAGATCCGCCGATCCGATATTTTTCGGAAAACTCCAAAGCGGCGATGGTGGATTTATCCGGGTATTCATGCCAGTGGCAGTCTTAGTCTGCCAGTGCCCTTCAAGTTTTGTATTTATTAGGCCCGCCGGGAATACGGGGCCGGACCCCAAATTGGTGAGATTTTCAATTGATAGCCCGAACCCCGCGGTTTCGCCCGTTGGGGTCCCAGGGGCATCCTAAGCCCACAGCGACACTAGCTTGCCCCGAAGGTGCCCCCCTCGAGATGGGGTGAGGTGCCCAAAATGGCCTAACGTGCGGGTACACTCGCGGGTTTTCAGGGGGTGAAAATCAAAACTCGCTACTATGCTGGTGGTTTCCCCCTCGAAGTCCCCCTTGGTACCCACGGCGTCTGTAGGATGCGCAAACACGGCAAACTTTGGTGTATAGTTGCCCAAAAGGTCGCCTGACGCGGCACGAAACGCCACTGGTGCGACGTTCGCGTGGGGGCCCTTCCGGCCCCTCGCCTTTTTAGGGCTCCACACTCGGCCAGAATGTGGAGCATCCTCTGTCCATTCGCAGTAAGTTTCGGGGTTCGGGCTATTAAAGGGGCGGCGCTACAGCCCCCGATTTAATCGGGGTCCGGCCCCTTCCGGGAATGTTAACTCTCGAAGCACAAACAGTTTTTTTAGCGTCGCACCCGCGCGGCTCGGCGCCCCCCGCGGAGCCGCGGAGCCGCGTCGGCAGGAGCTTGGGCGCAGTCCCCGACGCGTCACACGACTCGGGGAAGCTGCACGCGCACGGCCCCGGTGGCGGGAGGCGCCGGAACGTCAGTGACACGCGGCGGCCGCGAAGGCGCCATTCGCCGTCGACGAGATCCCCCTTGCGGGACACGATGCCGTGCGTGTAGACGTAGCGCGCGGCGCCCGACAGGACCAGCGCGGACCGCGGCGGCAACCAGAGCGTGTGGATCGGCGCGCCCGCTTCGTGCCGCCGATTCCGCTGCAGCCGGATCGCACATCCGGCGCCCAGCGTCACGGCCACGAGGCCGTCGCCGAAAGCACCGTGCGCGTCGATATGAGGCGAGATACCCTGGCCGGGCAGGTACTCGTTCACCGTGCATTGGAGGTCACCGTCGCGGCCGCCGTCCGCGCCCCAGCACACGGGCCGGATCCGCTCAGCGAGGCGAATAAACGCGGGGGGCGGGGGCTCAGCGACGGGCACGCACGTCTTTGTGCTGTACGCGAAGCGGTGTCCGTAGTGCTGCACGCGTCTGGACAAGGAGCGGTCCCAGCGCCCCTCGTCGACGAGCGCGAGCAAGTCTGTCTCTTCGTCCTCCGAGACCGCGTCCAAAACGAGGCGTACGCCGTCGCTCTGCAGCGTCGCGTTGACGGCGCGCTGTGCTGGGCGCACGCCACGGATGATGTCTTGAGGAGGCGTCTGGAGCCCGGTCATGAAGCTGGCGCTAAGGCAACTCGGTGATGGGCCATGCTAGGCATCCTAGGCGCGGCCCTTGCCTGGGCTGATAACACAGGTTGGTACGCAATACGCCTCGGGGCTTTACCATCAACACCAATGATTTCCTCTACTTCGTGCTCGACACTACCATCGTATTGCAGGATTTTTCGACGTGTATCTCGTTTTTTTTAGGGGAATTCCTAAGGTAGATAGTAATACTAGCTCCTTACCTAAGGTAGATAGCAGCGTACTAACGCAGATAGTAATTCCGCCTAAGGTCTTTTTACCGTTACTTTGTACCATCGCCTTGTCACGGTGCCCTAAGGATCGCATCTACGCGGGCTGGCGCGTAGGCACATGGCCGATAGTACCTCACGTGCGTTAGACACGTGGGCCCATAACCTGCAAAGCACCGTACCGTTTAGGACGGGAGCACAGGGTATGTGAGGTTTGCATCTTATAATTGTCTCCCCAATAGTACATAATTTCCTTAATGTGATTTAGTGCAAATAACATAGTGAATTTAGGCTGGCGTGGGCGATTCGTTGTGTGTAGGGTAAGTAAGTAGGTAAGTAAGGAGAATAGGAGTATTCACCGTACTATAGTTTGCAAGAATAGGCCTAGTGAATACGGTACGGTACCAGTAATAGTACCGTAGGTATCTGGGCTTCACCCCTTTGAACTTTTGAAGCCAGTGAAGGGGTAGTTTGCAAGTGCTTCAGTAAATGATTTTGGCACAAAGACATTCCTGACTCCGTAATCTTCGTGTGCCGCACTTTGAACAGCGGCAGTCATTGCTTTCTCTACCGTGGTACTGCGGCAGAACCTGCGCTGCTGCCCAAAGAGACAATTATGTCAGGTGGACAGTCCTTGCGGTGTCTCGTCGGCGCCTCGATGGTCGCTTTAGCCGCAGCAAAGTTTAGCTCATCCGTAGTAGCCTCCCGGGGCTGGAACGCCTGGACGCATCCAGGACGGTGGTTGGAACGGGTCATGCGGGACAAGCCCGATGGTTACATCATCAACTTCGGGGCGCACCTCAACCTGAACGCGCCGCGGACCATGTACTTTGACCCTGTAAGTGTGTGGCAGCGCAAAAAGACCGCACGCGGCCTCGCAGTAGACGCGGATGACGACATGAAATGGACCGGTCCCGGCGTCGCGCGACGGACCACGTTCATTGAGCCCGCCGGAGTCGCTGCACTCTTAAATGAGACGCGCACGCCCCCAAAACCCCGGTTACTCAAGGTTGACATCGACTCATTCGACGCCGTCGTGGTGATTGCCGTCCTCGAAGTGCGGTCTCCGGACTTCGTGTACGTCGAGATCAACGAGCGTGCACCGCCGCCAACTTGCTATTGCAACGATCGCACGTCGCCGCGGAGCTGGCGCCGACTCGCTAACGACGCATACGGCTGCTCTCTCCAGGGCTATGTAAACGCGCTCGCGCCGCGGGGCTACGCGCTCGTTGGGGTCGCATTCAATAACGCGCTCTTCGTGCGCCGCGACCTGGCGGTCGAGGTGGCGCAAGACATCGGGGGGCGGCTGCCGACCGCCGCTGAGGCGTTCGCCGCTGGCTACGCCAAGCGCCCGGACCGCGACGCTGTCTTTCCGTGGAACGTGAAGAAGAAAATATTCTACGACGATCAGCTGCCTCTCGACGTACGTCTCGACGCGATGGAACACTATCCGTCCTTCGCGCTCTCGGTAGACGCAAATCAGGCCACCTTTGTGCGTGAGGCCGACGACTCTTTCCCGTGTCGATCGGCAGTCCCAGAGACGCATTCGCCGCACCACGAGCTATTCCGGTCCCTTGCAGACGGCACGACTAACCACAGCCGACAGTATGTCGCCGCCGTGCACGATGTCCTCTACGGCAAGGGGCCTGCGGCAGACCAGCGCGCCAAGGCCCGGGACAGACGAGGCAAGGGCGCGAACGCGGGAGCCGTTGTGTAGGAGAGCAGAAGGTAGGGCAGCCCCGTGCCATTTTTTTACCCGGGCCATGACTTCTGTGAGGAGTACCAGATCGCCCGACTCCTCACGCACTCGGTGTCCTCGACGAGGGGGGCACCGGAACTTAAAGTCGCCCCGGCAGTGGCCCGGTCCAACATAAACCCCTGGGACAAGCCTGAGTCACAAGTGCCGGCCCGAGTTCTAGGCCTGGGTGCAAGTCTGAGGACTTCAAGTTATATCTACAAGTTATGCCTCATAAATAATTCAGCCTGGCTTGAAATCAGTACTCCAAGTTCTCTAAGTTGAAAAGGACCAAGATTGGAATCAATACCTCGTTGCAAATTTTGATTACAAATATTATTATCTGGCATGATACGATGGTGGTCCGGTCTCTAGTCCCTCTACTATGGGCCAGTAGCGTAGTACCCTTACGCCGCGCGTGGAACTTGAAGTCGCGCCCGGTGACCCGGTCCAACTCGAATTCAAAAGAAGTTCCTCAAAAGAGTTCTTCAAGTTCATGATGCGTGGTTGTGGACAAAGCAAAATATTCATCATTGATGCCTGCACTTCTAGCCAGCACTTATACCGGGGAGCTTCGGCAAAGCTAATTATCATGATTCAAGTTTGCCTATTTTATCCAGTAGAAAGTCGTCCAACCCCCATCAACCCTCTGCGGTTCCTCGCGGCCGGCGGACCGCGTCTTCGTCGAGATGCTTTGGACCTCGCGGCCGACGGCCTTGGCGAACTCGGTCGCTGCTCTTTGCACGCCAAAGGCGCCTTCTTTGAGGAACCCATCTGGAACCTGTGTGAAACTCAACCAGTCACGGTGGTCCACCGGCGCCGGGGCCGAGAGAATCGTACTCGCCACTCTCCACGCCATCGAGCAGGCGCAGTGACAGGGACGTCGATTCGATTGTCCACGCTTCTGTCGCCTTCTCGAACTCAGATTTGATTTCCGCACAGTCTGGAACGAAGTCGTGGCCAGAGACCAGTCCCCCTTTTCGCAGCTTCGGGTACCACGCTTTGAGGTCCTCCAAGCAGCCCTCGTACTCGTGCCGGGCGTCCACGTAGACGAAGTCCAGAGTATTGTCGGCGAACTCCCGGGCCGCGGAGACGCTGTACTTGCGGTGGATCGCAAAACGAGAACCAAACCTACTCAGTGTCCTCTTCACATGCTCTAGATTCTCCGCGTGTTCGGCGTTTGGGGCATTAGATACGTCCTGGTATTTGCCGCCCGTCGTCTTCGCGTCGACGGCGTCCTGGTGCTCCCACGGGTCGACGAGGTGCAGCACACGCCCCTTCCATTGTTGTAGAACGTGTTCCGAGAAGTGCGCCCTACGCACGCCAACCTCCACGCCCTCCCCGGTCAGCCCGAGGTCGTTAAGATATCGTGGCAGGTCGGCCCGACTCTTGAGCGCGACGTGGCAGAGCGAGTGGTCCGTCGTCGCCGCGGCCGCGGCGGGCGCGAACGATCCGTGACCGCGCACGCCGCCGCCGGCTTGTGGAGGGGCGCGCGGTTCGGCGCCCGTCCCGCTGTGCAGGAGCGCCACGTTCAGCAGGACCGACGCCGCCAGTGCTAGGCAGACAAGGTGGTGGCCGGGCACGGGCGTCGGTGCCTTGGGCTTCTCAATCGCTGGACTCCGGTCGAAGGCTGGGGGAAGTCGGAACGCTCGCTGTCGAGCTCTCATGTGGCTGCCCAAGGTCCGGTTTTCTGCCGTTGGCTCGATCAATCACATGGTGCTATAGCATCCAGCCTCGGAGACGTGCCAAGCAAACTCGTACTGGGTAGGTTGGTTATTGTACCCAGGTTAGCGTTAAGCGCACGGCGCGCGGCCGGCGCAACGGCTGGCGCAGCACCCACGCGGGGCTACCTCGGACGGCCACTGGCCAACTTACCTTGCACTGGTAGGCACTTATTCGGCCTGCGTCGCGAGCTAACAAATGTGCCCCCAAATCTGCTCTCCCTGGAGCCTAGGCTCGACTCCCTCCAAGCCGACGTTTATCGCGTCCGTATATCTCCGGGCTTTGCGTGCCCCTCGTGCCTGGTCCAGAGCCGGTGCCTGCGCAGCGTGACGGTCGGCGGCCGACGGCTTCGCTTTGTTTTGCTGGTCGTGGTCGGTCCCGAAGTGCTGCGGGTCATAACCCATTCGGATCGCGGTCTCGGCTGGAATTTAGTGTCGCTCCGGACTCGAGGCATCACTCGCTAACTTACAATGCACTGGTAGGCACTTATTTGATCTCCTTTGCATTCGGCACCCATTTTACCGCGTTCGGTGCATGGGTTCGAACAGTTGAATGTCTCACGGGTAATCCTGGCCGCGGGCAATCTCACCAGCCCATGGGCGTGGGTCACGAGGTCAGTGACGACGCTCTTGCACCCTCGATACGCCTGAAATGAGCAGATTCTCGTGCGAAAAGTGGCCCGCAACGCACCGCCGTGGGGCGCTCGCGGTCGGCCAAAACCTCCCCGAGCGCTCAAACCAAGGGCTTTGGGGCGCGGGCGGGGGTGCGTATAGACGCCTGTGTAATGTACAACCCTGACTGGGCCCCATAAGGCCCCATAAGGCGAGGTGAAGGGGAGGGCACATGTACCTGGGTACAATTATAGACCCCCCCGGTAGAGAGAGAAACCTACTAGCCCTTCCTACCCTAGATATGTATCTCCCACTCTCTAATATTTGAGTCTATACATCGAGTGTCAAAAGCACTACGGTGTAACAACAGTTCACTATAAAACACTCTCGCAGTCAGGCCTATCAGCTCTAAGCTGGTTAGCTAGGACCCTGCTACTAACATAACGCTGCGACATACTCTTGCTAGGTTATGGGCCCACAGGGTTCTGCCTATTGACGTAGAGTGTTTTACAGTGAATGCCTGACTTTGCCTGTGAATAGACTGAGTTGATACATCCTCTAGTGGAAGCGCATCTAGTGGACGCTCGCGCCCAGGGGGAGTAGAGAGAGAAACCTACTAGCCCTTCCTACCCTAGATATGTATCTCCCACTCTCTAATATTTGAGTCTATACATCGAGTGTCAAAAGCACTACGGTGTAACAACAGTTCACTATAAAACACTCTCGCAGTCAGGCCTATCAGCTCTAAGCTGGTTAGCTAGGACCCTGCTACTAACATAACGCTGCGACATACTCTTGCTACCCGGTACAAGCGCATACGTACTGTATCTTATAGCTCTACGTATACCTCGAGGTATTCGCGTATGTGCGTCGACACGTCGACTACTACGCAGCGAAAACAGTAGGTCCTCAGTCGCTAGGATAGATTGGAAGAAACCAGCATATCGAGCCGGATGGCCGAGGCGACCGCAAGCGCAGAGCGCGCTGACGCCGACGACGAGCCGCCTGCGCTCAATGCGCTGCAGGAGAATATCGCGAGGCGCGGGAACAATGCGTATTACTACGCGCACGGCCACCGGAATGACGCGCCCGCGTGGGACGGCGATCCGTCGCCGATGAAGCTCGAGACGACCGCGGCCCCGCCCGAGCGACGGCGGTGCGCGATCACGCGCTACAGCTGGCTCGACGAGGACACGAAGATCCGGATCTACATCCCCGTGGACGACGAGCGGTTCCAGCGCCCGGACGCCATCACGCTGACCTGGACCGAGAAGAGCGTCGTGCTCGCGGCCGACCTCGGCGATGAGGTCCACACGTTCGCGGTGCCCGCGCTGTACGACACCATCGTGGGCGCGTCGCACAGGGTGAAGCCGACGAAAATCGTCGTCACGCTGAAGAAGCCCCCCGACAGCAAATTCAAATGGTACGATCTGAAGAAGTAGTTCCGTCCGAGTCTTCCAGAGGACTGGAAGCGCCCAAGTAGGCTGTAGTCGCTTTTAAACTATTGTAGGTACTTGCCGTCTAGACATAGTGACTACATATGATGTTTTCTTCCTTCATGAGACTAATGTACCGCTAGCGGTACATTAGTGAAACTGATTCGGAAGTGCAACTTTGACTTCAAGCTCAAAATGACGTGGTTGAAGTTGAATCCCCGAAATAACCCGTGTAACTCCCCTTAATGCAATCTAGTACACACGGGGATACTATGAATCGCATCGCAACAGCCTTGCGCGTCGTTTTCGTCGGGGTAAGAATTTTAAACCTGGGTTTAAAATCGGCTCAAAAAAATGACACGCGTAAGCGTGTCTGTTTAATCTGCACAATAGCGAGAAAGAAGTAGCGCAATCGACGGTTCTCACGGAGCTACACAATCTGGGATATGTCGGTTGATGTACAGGGGTCCGCCCGGGGCTGGTCCGCCGGAGGCGAAGCATGGTGGTCTTTAGCGCGAGCCAAGCGCTTAAGACTAGCAAATTACATGTACCACTCAAAATCGGCGTCGAGGTCCCGAACGTCGGCGCGCTTCCGGCCGACGAAGTACATCTCGTCGGGGTGCTCCTCGTTTGGCCACAAGTTCGACCGCCAGTGCAGTACGTCGAAGAAGCGCGCGAGGCGCGTGTAAATCGCCCGCTTGGGCTGAAGCGGGTGACCGACGTCCCAGAACGGCGTACCCTGCTTCCCCCAGTTACGCTGCGAGATGTCGCGATCGGGAAACCGGAGCGACCTGCCGCGCTCGTAGCGCGCCCACTGCGAGTCCGCGTACCGGTCCTCGAGGACGAAATAGCCGCCGGGTTTCAGGGCGTTGAACGCGTTCTGGAGCGTCGACAAAGCGTCGCGACAGTGCTCCAACACGTTGATCATGACGACCAAATCGTAGCCCCCCTGATCACCGAAGGGCCGCGTCGCACCCGTGGTCGCGTCGCGCACGACGACGCCGCCACCCGGTCGTAAGTCCTCGCCGCCCGCTGGGGCGAACTCGAGTTTGCGGATCACGAACTCGGGCTTGTAGGAAGGGGGTCGGCCAGCCGGGCCGGCCTGGCCGGCCGGCCTCCGTTTCCCAGCAAGGGTTCGCCGATACGTGTCCGCATTTTTGTAGCTACAAGTAGACACGTCTTGGATGTACGTCTCCAAGAGTGGGTCCGAGAGCGTCAGGGTGCCAACCGTGGCGCCCGTCGCCGCGAGTAAAGTGCGAGTTTGCGTCCAGGGGCCGCATCCAATTTCGAGCGCGCGCTCGAAGTGGCGCGGGAAGATCATCGAGTACGCGTCGTACTGGCGCAGGTGCGTCTCGTCCCGGTCCTGGCCGCGGCTTGCAAGCTGCCGCCATGTGGCTGCTTCAAAAGCCTGAGCCAATCTCCAGCGTCTCTCCTCGACCACGACCGCGCCAGCAGTCGGCGACGCTGCACATTTATCCGTCGACTCCAGCACGCTCCCGCAGGCGCCGCCGCGCGTTTCCCGCCCGATCGTCGCTCCGCCCCGACTACGACTGCGCTTCTTGTATTGCTCGTCCACGCGCCGAATCGTGGCCTCGCACGCGTCGAGGTGCGCCGCGGACTCAGCGGTGTTCATGGTGCAGGGAGATCCGTCCGACACATCGCAGCGCCGACCTTGCCATCCGCGCGCGCACACGCACCAACCCAAGTAACAGCGGCCGTGAGCGCCGCAATCGCCGCTGCCGTCCACGTTGCACGGCCGATCGCTGGCCGCCGCCTCCTGCGCCGCAGCCGGGGTGCTCGCAGCCGGGGTGCTCGCCTTTGAAGACCCTGTACTCGCCGTCGGCGGCTCGACGCTTACCGTCCATGGCTCAGTCGCCGCCGGCACCGCGCTCTCACCCGTGGACGGGCCACCGCCGCGCGCCACGGCGCCCATGGCAAGCCCAAGGATGAAAACGAGACCAAGCGCACCCAGCGAGCGCGAGGGCTGCCCGCTCTTGTCGTGGTGATCGTGGTGGCGCACCTCCCGCTCCTCGCCAGCCTTGCCGGGCCCCAGGCGCTTCATTGGCCGGTCGCCCAGCAACTCGACACGATAAATCTACAAAAGAAGAGAGAGAAACCCTCTAGCCCTTCCACCCTAGATATATGACATTGTATCTCCCACTCTCTAAATTTGAGTCTATACACTGGGTGTCTACCGACGCTACGGTGTAAACCAGTTTATAATAAAACACTCTCGTAGTTGGCTTGGCCCAGCCTCTGGCTGGTGAGCTAGGACCCTATGGATAATTATGATGAAAAGATGGCAACGGTCAAGCAAGAAATTCAAGATCGAAAGAGTAAGCAAATAGCCTCCGATAACGACCTCGCCAAAGAATTGCAGGAAAGCCAGGAATCAACCAAAGTTGATAAGAAAGTCGGCTTCCGCACTCCATTCAAGGTTCAAGAGTTAACTTCAAAAGAGCTAAGTGCCCTTTTCTCTGGAAGGAAATGATCTCTAAATGACAAAAACAAAAATAACTAAACGACAAAACAACCACACCACTAAATGAACAATCACTAAATGACCAACTACTAATTGAATAACTGTCGGTACTGCGGTACCATCAGGATGATCCACCTTATTGAAATGTTAAACTTAAATGTTATCCTCCTTGCCGCGATTTCATGATTATCGCAATCCGATCACGATCACGACAATGGGGGAGTGCAATGGAAATACAAGTCTAGTAGGATCCCAAGGTTCAACTGAGACGCATCCAAGCACAACCCGCCTAGCGTTACCCGCCTAGGCTACTTCCCATCCTAGGGTACTCCGATATCCCCTTAGTAGGGGGAAGTCGCCTCTCACTCCTAACTATTATCATCCTGAGTCACCTTTAATTGACGGACGTAATTCCCCGTCACAAACCCCATCAAACATGGGAGAAACTATTTCGTTAGACGACTACACTACGCTGCCGGGGAAGTCCGGAGCTACACACTCTATTTCCCTATGCATCGCACGGAGTCTCGGACCGCCAGCGCCAGTGAGTATTCAGCGAGTACTTCATTTGAGCCTATTTATTTACTTCCAGTCGCATTTTCCGCATGGGGTGCGACGCCCGGCATCCGCTCACGCGGCGACCTTCGCCGGCATCTTGGCGACGGGGCCGTCGTAGCCGTCGCGCTTGGCGAGGGCGGCGAGCTCGTCGTTGAGCTCCGCGAGCGCGGCGGCCGGGAGCTCGACCTCCTTGCCCTGCTTGGCGGCGGCGGAGGTCGCGGCGGCCTTGAAGTGCGCCGCGAAGAGGTCCGTGACGAGCGCGGGCTTGGCGTCCGGGCTCGAGAGGGCGTCGATGGCCTCGGTCAGGGCCTTGGTCTTGACCTCAGGCGACGCGAACTGGCCCGTGACGGCCGCGGCGGCGTCGGCCACGAGCTTGGCCTGGATGCCCGCCGTCACGAGCTCGTCCTTGGCCACGAGGGTGTCGAGCTTCTTCACGATCGAGTCGCGGACCGCGTGCTGGAGCTCCATGGTCTTGGCGGCCTTGAGCAGGCCCAGGGCCTCGGCCTGCGCGCCCGAGATGGCCTTGAGCTCGCCCAGCAGCGCCACGCGGCCCGCGTGCGCGTCGACGACCTCCTTGATCGACGCGATGGCCTCGTCCTCGAGGGCGTTGTGCTGCGCGATGATGGCCTTGCCCTTGGCGTCGAGCATGTCGGCGACGGCCTGGTTGCCGAGCACGTACGACGCGCCGCAGAACATGGCGAAGACGCCCACGAGCTGGGTCTCCTCGGAGAGCATCAGGACCTCGTTCGAGATGACGGGCACGGCCAGCCAGATGCCGAGAGGCAGCTGGTACTGCCACTTGTCCAGGCCCAGATCTTTGAGCACCGAGAGCGAGCGGGCCGCCGGCGCGGCGGCGGGCGCGCGGCGCGCCGCCCTTGCCAGCCCGGCCGCCGCACGCCTTGCGGCGAGCATCCTCTAGTCTTTTTTCCGGCGCCTACGAGCGGCTGCTGAGGGCGACGGTCCACTGGCGCGGCTCGAGGCGCGGCTGTTGTGTCCGCGGCGGCGGACTGGGCGCAGCGATTAGCTTTTTACGCTTGGTGGGAGACCGCCACCACCCAACCCGGCTATATGGATCCTCCGAGTCCGTGGGATTATCGCTCACAGACTTCTGCTGTGACTTTTTTTTTTTTGGCTATTTTTTTTGGGGGGTATGTTTTAAGCCAAAAAGCCTCGTCACACGCCCCACAGTCTCGTTAAATCACACGAGCCAAAGGCGTGCACTGGCACCTGGCGATTCGTCACGCTTCCACGTGTGGCCGTCGCACGGACGAGCTGCGCTGAGCATGACGTCTTGGCTCGTGGTGTTGGCGGCCTTGCTGCGTGTGGCCGCCTGGGCCCCGCCCGCGGCGCGGCGCGCCCCGAGGCGCGTTGCGCTGCGCGCCGCCGCCACGGAGAAGACCGACGAGTTTACGGTCATCGGCAACGACGGCAAGCGCGTCTCGCTCAGCAAGGGCGAGAAGGAGCGCGTCTTCATCGACGCGATCCAGAGCTACTACTTCGACGGGCGCCAGGTGCTGAGCGACGCGGACTTTGACCTCCTCAAGGAGGACCTCGCGTGGGAGGGCTCGGAGTACGCGGTGCTGTCAAGGAACGAGACGCGGTTCCTGGGCGCCATGGGCGCGTACTCGCGCGGCGAGGAGCCGATCATGAGCGACGACGAGTTCGACGCGCTCAAGGCGAGCCTCAAGGCCCAGGGGTCGATCGTCGCGTGTTCGACCGAGCCGCGTTGCTTCCTCGACACGGGCATCTGCTCGGTCGCGTTCTGCGCGGAAACCAACCGGTGGGTCGAGGTACCCTGCGAGTTATACGACGTCGCGTCGATGGCGCGGGGCGCTTGAAATTGGCTTTCCGCACAGGTCACGTTCACGCCCGACCGCTTCCGCGGCCTCGTGCTCTACCTGCCCGCCATCTCGGTCCTCACGCTGCTCTGGACCGGCGGCACGTACGAGCTCATCTCCGCGAGCCGGGGCCTCAACCCGCTGATCACGCTCCTCATCGGGTCGCCCCTGATCGTGTCGGTCGCGCAGTACCTCACGGAGCAGGTCCTCTTCAAGGACCCGTTCATCGCCCAGGGGCCGTGCCCTGACTGCGGCGCCAACAACCGCCTCTTCTTCGGCGACATCCTCGGCGTCGAGGGGTTCCAGGCCGAGGGCGACGTCCAGTGCTCCAACTGCAAGACGGCGCTCAAAGTGAGCCGCGACACGCTGCGGGTGAGCTGCAAAAAGGCGCTTTTTTAGGGGTCTGATACTAAACCTGTTTATAAATAATAGGTGGGGTGGTGGAATGTCGCTTCTGGGAAGCCCGGGGGCGCGGGCCGAAAAGCGAAGCGCTGTGAGGTGGACCTCTGTGTCCTCCCGGGCCGTCCGAGTCCTCGATTTCTAAGTTATCAGGCTCTTAGGAGCTTGTTCCTTTTCTGAGGTCTTCCTTAATCTATTTATTTGCTTTGCTTAGAGCTAGGCTGCTGTCTATTTATTTATTGATTTATTGATTTATTTAGTTATTTATTAGGGCTCCATGCCATAGCTGGAGTGTCGCTTCTGGGAAGCCTGGGGGCGCCCGCGGGCCGAAAAGCGCCCAGCGCTGATCCGCGAGCGACATGATGGTTATATTCCGAGCGACTTGAAAACAACGCTCCTAGTATCGGGCCCCGGTTCACTATCTAGAGTCAAGATCGGCGTGGCGACCGTAGAGATAAACAATAATAATAAAACCACAGGCATTTAAACTACTGGTCCTCGACCTCCTCCTCGAGGGAATCGAACCACTTTTCGACCTCTTCCACGGTGATGACGTCGTCGCTGTTCGCGTCGATCTCCCGGAGCGCCACCTGGATGAACGCCTCGAGGGCCTCGGGGTCTTCGCGGAACTTGTTCTGGCGCAGGGCGATGGCGGCGAGCGCGTCGCGTATCTCCTCTACGTCCACAATCCCGTCGTTGTCGCGGTCGATGAGGTGGAGCCGGTCGCCGAGCCGCTCGTCGACGGAGGCGATCTCGCGCGCGATCTTGGCGGTCATGCGCTCGAGGCGCTCCTCGAGCGCGACGACCTTCCCGTCCGGCGCCGGCGCCTCGTCGGCGGCCTCGGCGGCGGGCGCGTCGGCGGCGGCCTCCGCGGCGGCGGCGGGCGCCGCGGCGGTCTCCGCGGCGGCGGGCTCCGCGGGAGACTCCGCGGCGGCGGGCACCCCGGAGGGCGCCTCGGCCTCCTCGGCGGCGGCGGCCTCGTCGTCGTCCGCGGCGAGCTTCGCCCGGACCTCGGCGAGCTCGTCCTTCTCGCGCTCGAGCGCCGATTCGTAGGCCATGTCCACCAGGACCCCGGCGACCTCCATTTTCTCTTTGGCGGAGAACGAGGCCGCGCTCGGCGCGCCGTCGGCGGGCGCCGCGAAGAGCGCCTCGGCGGCGGCGTCCGCGTCGGCCGCCGCGCGGCGCTCCGCGGCGGCGGCGGCCTCCGCGGCGGCCTCCGGCGTCGCCGCCGCCAGCGCAGCCGCGTCGGCGGCCTCGACGGCGCCGGCGGCGGCGTCGTCGTCGTCGCCGTCGCGGCGGCGCGCGGCGTCGCGCTCCTTCTCCTCGAGGTCCGCGGCGTCGCGGCGCTCCTCGGCGATGAGGCGGTTCTGCTGCTCGAGCGAGAGGAGCCGCGCGGCCTTGAGCTCGGCCGACGCGTCCTCCTCCTCGCGCGTCGCCGCGGCGGCGACGGCCTCGTTCACGAGGTCGGCGTCGAGCGCCGAGATCGACTCGGCGATGGCGCGCTCCGCGGCGCCGCTGTCGGGCGCCGCCGCCGGCCGCTGGAGCGCGAAGGCCTGCGACATGATCAGGAGCGCGATCGGCAGCTCGCGGAGCGCGGCGAGGTCGAGCCAGCGCGCGAGCTGCGCGTGGTACTGCGCCTTGGTGAGGCCGACGCCGCGCATGCCGCGGTCCGCGCAGGCCTCCTGCATCTCCTGGCGCGTGAGCGTGTCGAGGCCCTCGTAGACGATCCGCCGGTCGTCCGCGCGCAGGTCGCGGATGCGCGTCCGGAGCAGGTACCTGAGGAGCGCGTCCGTGCCGTAGGGGTTCAGGCCCATGTACTGGCAGAGGCCCACGAGCTGCGCGCGCGGCAGGTTGTCGAGCATGAGGTCGTCGCCGAACGACTTGGCGACGCGCGCCGCGTCCTCCGGGCGCGCCTCGCCCGCGCGCGCCTTGGCCACGAAGTCGGCGAGCTCGGCCGCCGACGGCCCGCCCTCGGTGCCGTCCTTCCGCCGGCCGCCCCGGCGCAGCTCGCCGAGCGCGTCGCCGAGGAAGCCCGCGAGCGCGAGCTGCGCGCGCAGCGTGGCCTTGGCCTTCTCCTCGCGCTTCGTCGAGTCCTGGAACGTCGACGGGAGCATGCCCGGGAAGACGGCGAGCGCCACGGGCAGCAGCAGCTCCATGAACGGCACGATGAGGAAGATCGAAAAGGGCACGAGGCGCATGAGGTCCGCGGACGTCCGCGTCAGCTGCTTCCGCTCGCGCCGCGTCAGGTCGTGGCCGGCGAGGACGCGCGTCAGCAGGCTCGACGACGTCTTCACCTCGAGCCACAGCAGCTTCGACCCGAGCCAGTACTGCTTCATCGTCTCCAGGAAATGCGTCCAGTGCCGCCGCAGGAACGGCTGCGGCGGCGGCGCGCGCTCGGCCGGCGCGTCGCCCGGCGCGGCGGCGTCTCGCGAGGTGCCGCCGGCCGCCGGCGCCGCAGCCGGGCGCGGCGCGTCGGCCGGCCCGGCCGCGCGGTCGGCCGCCGCCGCCGCCGGCGTGGCCGGCCCGGCCGCCGCCGCGGCTGGCCCGTCAGTCGCGACCGCGGCCGGCTTTGCGCTCAGCGGCCGTCGCGCAAATTGCCGAGGCGGCCGCGCCGCCAGCGCGAGCGCCCGGCGGCACGGCTCCGGACGCGTCGGCCCGCAGCGCCTCGCCACGACGACCGCGGGTGGTCGCCGGCGCGCGGCGGCCGCTAGGAAGCGCACCGACATCGCGCCGGTCGCGGTTTTGCGCTCCCGTCTTGTCGCAGGGCACTTCTTTTCTGCGCCTTGCGGCGCACCAGCTGGCGGACTGCCTTGATAGACCGATACGACGACTCAGACGGTCGACGAGGTGCAGCCGCTCTAGTATGTATGGCCCGCTAGCAGCTGTTCGACTGCCATGGATGATCACGACGACGCCTTCACGCCGCTGCCGAGCCGAAAGCGGACGGGCTGGCGGCCGCTGGACTTCGTGCGGCGCCGGCATGCGCGCTTCCGCGAGGAATGGTGCCTCATGGAGGCCTCGGGCATGTTCGGCGACTTCGGGACGCTGCTGCCCCTGCTGCTCGCCATGGCGAATGTGGGAAGCGTGGCGCCGGCTGCCGCGCTCTTCTGGTTCGGCGCGTTTAACGTCGCGACGGCGTACGAGTGGGACGTGCCCATGTGCGTGCAACCGATGAAGACCATCGCGGCGGCCGCGATCGCCGACGGGCTCTCGGCGGGCGCCGTGAGCGCGGCGGGCCTCTTCGTCGGCGCGTGCGTCCTCGCGCTGGGCCTCACGGGCCTCGTGGAGGTGGTGAACCGGTTCGTGCCGCGCAGCGTCGTGTCGGGCATCCAGCTGGGCCTCGGCGTGCGCATGGTGGGCCTCGCGCTCGTTATGATCTTCGACGCGCCCTGGTGGGCGGCGGCGGTCGGCGCCGCGCTCGCGCTCGTCGCGTTCGGCGTCGCGCGGCGCCGCGACGCCGCCGTCCCCGTCGCGCTCGGCCTCGTCGCCGCCGGTCTCGCCGTCGCCGCGGCCGCGGCCGCCGCGGACGGCGGCGCGGGGGCCGCCGCGCGCGCCGCGTGGCGCCGGTGGCGGCCGGGCCGCCTCGCGCTCGCGCCGCGCCTGCCGTCGCGCCGCGACTGGGTCGCGGGCGTCGTTCGCGCGGGCCTGCCGCAGCTGCCGCTGACGACGCTCAACTCGGTCATCAGCGTCACGGCGCTCGCGGGCCGCCTGTTCCCGGACGCCCCGCCCGACCGGATGCCGACGCGCCGCGGCGTCGCCGCGTCCGTCGGCCTCATGAACGTCGTCGGCTGCTGGTTCGGCGCCGCGCCCGCGTGCCACGGCGCCGGCGGCCTCGCGGGCCAGTACCGCTTCGGCGCGCGCGGCGGCGCGTCCGTGTGGGTCCTCGGCTGGGGCAAAATGCTGCTGGCCCTGCTCCTCGGGGACAAGCTCATGTTGGACGCCGTCCGCGCGTTCCCCGCGCCCGTCCTCGGCGCGCTCCTCGCCGTCGCGGGCGTGGAGCTCGCCGCCGCGGGCGCCGCCGCCGACGGCGCCGCCGCGCCGTGCCTCGTCGCGGCCGCCGCCACCGTCGCGCTCCGGAACACGGGCCTCGGCGCCGCCTGCGGCCTGGCCGTCGCCGCGGCCGAGAAACTTGCCGAGCGCCTCGAGCGACGCCGCGCGGGCGACGACGAGCAGGAGGCGCCGCCCGCCGCCGACGCCGAGACGAAGGAGGAGCCCGCGTCGGGGGACGAAGAGGCCGGTCGCGCCAAACCGGAGGGCAAATAGGCCACCTAGTGTCAGGCCTCCTGTACATAAATAAGTAGTAGTAAATTTAAAATTGCGACTCGAACTTTGAAAGACTAGTAGTACTAGTTCGACGACTTGGAAGTGCCATGATTCAAGTTTGAGATTCAAGTGCACGGCGCCGCCTTCTTGCGCCCGATAAAGTACGTCCCCGTGTATTTGTGCCGCCGGAAGGATTCGGCGTCTTGGTCTCTCCGTTCGTAGACCTTGTCAAATCCCGAGAGGAACTGGTCGAACACGGCCCGTTTCATGCGCACGGGATGATAGAGAACGTCGAGGTCGAACAGGCTCCTTTTTTTGCCAGGGGGACCTTCGCTGTCCCACCAACGACTGTGTGGACATCGACGATCGTTTTTTTGGTCACGCAATGATGCATTCTTTAGGGCATGTCGCGTCGATGGCGTGGGGGGTTGACGCGGTAGGGATCTCGAAGTTTCTGACACGGAAAACACACTCGTTAAAAATAAGCAGGCCTCCAGGCTTGAGGGCATTGTAGATATTTCGGAGGATTCGGATGCCATTTTCGACGTGCTCGATCACGTTGATCATCATGAGCGTGTCGAAGGCTTGATCGAACACGTCCAACCTCTCCGCGCCGGCGTTTATGATCAACGTCCTGCCTTCGAATCCTCGCACTTCGCCGTCCCTATAAACGCATGTCTCCACCGTGTTCATGTATGACGATGCTCCGGGCTCCATGATGACATAGTTTTCGACCTGAAATTTGCGTTGCTGGATCATCCAGAGGCTTTGGGTCCACGGTCCGGCACCGACTTCGATGAAGTTCCCGAGATTTGTGCCAGGGGCACCGACGTCTCTATACAAATTAAAGTCTCTCATGTGGTCGTCCACTCGATCCCCCGTCCTCGCGTTCACGTTCCAATTTTGCGTCCACAACTGTCCCTCGGCCCACTGCGCCTTCCGCCAGCGCGAGGGACTGATCACAAAAATGCCAGCGTCCTCCGCGTAAAAGCAGCGGTCGTCTTTGTTCGTGCACGGAGGTTTCGCAGTGGCGACCTCGCACCGCGCGCCCGTGTAGCCAGCGATGCAAAAACATCGACCCAGTAAGTTCTCGCCTCGCTCATTACAATTGCCGTTGTAAAACCCCGGACACGAGGCGAGCGCGCCCCTCGTCGCTTGATTAGCGGTGACGCGCACCTCAGAGCTCTCCCAGCCTTCGCGGGCGACGGTCTTTGCGAGGTCGAGCTTATCGTTATTTAATATTTCCTTCCTGGTTTCGTGCCGCCGTATCTCGTCCGCCGTCGGCTTCCGTTTGAGCGTCGCCCACGTCCTCTTGGCGTTGTAACTAACTTTTATGCAATGGGGCAGCGAGTTACACAATTGCACAGCGTTCGCACAGCCGCCCGCGCACCGAATCTGGCAGGTCTCCGCGGCGCCTTGGTTCTGCCGGCACTGAAAATCCGTTTCAAAGTCCGCCTTGGCGACTGCCTTCGCTTGCACGTCGTCTCTGCGTTGTACGTGCTCTCTGCGCGAAGGCGCTCCGGCCTCGCTGCTGGCCTCGAGCGCTGCCTTCAGGTCTCGGACGGTCGCGTGCAAGTCATCCAGCTTCCCCTCGATGACGTGGTTGCGCCCGTCGCCCGCGGGCGTCGCTGCCTTCAGGTCTCGGACGGTCGCGTGCAAGTCATCCAGCTTCCCCTCGATGACCCCGGGCGCGGCATCGTTCGCGCGCTGGAGTACCGGAGAGGTAGTGAGGGTGAGGATAGCTCCCAGCACAATGATTGCTACCACGAGCAGTAGAGTTCGACCATTTCTACCTGAGGCACGCGCCGCGAGGACCATCCAGCAGCCCGACAACCTCAGGAAAAAGAAGCTTACATGGAACGCTATATGCAGGCGGTGTGCTCGGCACCTACCGCAGTACCAGTACCATGGTACGGTACAAAGCTGGTTCCGACCGCAGTATGTATTCATAGGTATATAGAGAGAGAAACCTACTAGCCCTTCCTACCCTAGATATGTATCTCCCACTCTCTAAATTTGAGTCTATACAGCGAGTGTCTTTGACGCTACGGTGTAACAACAATTTGCTATAAAACACTCTCGTAGTTAGGTATGGGGGGTGCCCCGGAGGGGGCCTCGAAGATTCTGACTCTTAAACACATCCACCTGCGCGTAGGCCGAGCACAAAGCCGCGAGGCCACCGCGCGGGCCACCTATTCCCATATTCTATTGGCGAGGCCCGCTAAGTGGCGAGGTGTGGACCTTTGCGGCCTCCGTCCTCGAGGTAATCCAGACGGCCGAGGCTCAAGACTGTCGAGTATAGACCGACCACGACTACTCTGGAGCGTCATCGACCCCGCCCCCCCGTTGGCGCATGGCATGGAACACACTGCTTCGAGTCGAGGCGGACAGGCGGCCGCTGCCAATTTGATCGGCCCGCGTCCGTGGCCGCGAGGAGACAACCCAAATAGAGGGTGAAGCCGACCCCAGGCCTCTTTCTGAAAAGGCGCTTGGGGAGGTGCACGATGGCTGGGTCCTCCGAACAATCCTCCATCGCGCCGTCCGGGCAGAGCCGGTCTTCGTGCGTGCCGCGAACGTCATAATCCCGCGCGAGGCAGTAGGCCAGGACATGCGAATTCTGGTGTCTGTTCGTGGGGAGGCCTCGACCAACGTGAAAAAAACAGCCCGGCGCTTTCGGCCCGACGCGGGCTACCGAGGTAGCGGAGAAAGCCCAGCCCCCGCCACCACAGGGCACGTCGACCTCGACGTCGTCCTTGAATTTGCGGTTCCGATAGCAGAGGTACGCGAGGAAGCCGCTTTGGGGTGGTCTTAGCAGCGCGAGGCCTCGCGTGCTTACAAAGCCATCGTCGTCGGAGAATACGAACGTGTCAACGGGCACGGCTAGCGGGGTAGATGTCACGAGCGCCGCGTACTGCAGTCCCACAGCCCAACGCGTCTGCGCGGCGCCGTAGCCCCGGCCGCGGAGGGACGGCGGCGGTGCGTCCTCCAAGCCCGTGGCTTCCGCCCACCACTCGGCTGGCGACTTTGTTCGAACCGACGCGAGGCCCTCGACGCATTCGTCCGAGACCACCGCCCAGCGCGGGAGCCGCCGCGCCCACGTGCACGCGAGCGGCCGCACACGCCGCTGATGCATCTCGCCACCGCTGACGACGAGCACGAGCGTGCGTGCCAGGGCAGACGAAATGTTTGCCGGCGGGGGCGCGATGCTTTGCTGGAGCTCACCGCAGAGCTCAAAGGCGCGGTATGCCTGAGTTCCTGTGAGGAGGAAAAGAGCTGTGTGCAGCATGGGGCTCATTTCGCGGCTGCCCGGTGCTTCTTATCGTGCTGCAGCAGTAATAATAGGACCATTTGCAATAGCCATACCGCAGTATACAAGTGTGGCGTAGGTACGTGCCATACTGCGGTATCAATTGCTGGGCCAAGTGTTTTTTATTCTTTTTGTTGCAACTTAAATATCTCTTAAATATTAAATAACAATCTCGTAAGGGCCGGGCTAGGGTAAGAGCTTGGAGGGGGGGTTTGCTCGAGCTTGCGGCTCGCTGCGCAGCCCCATCGAATTCCAAACTCACGGGCATTTGTTACGTATAGCAAATGTACACGAGCTAAGGATAGAAAAAGAAACGGGCTGCTACCTAGACTACCTCTACGCAATATGTGCATGACGCGTGCCCGCGACGCTCATCAGTAATATTAAACAACAGAGTGCCCATCACACTTTCCAGCGCGGTCGCGGATTCGATCGGTCCTCCGCGGCCAGCCGCCGCCCCTCGCCGCGGGTCACGCGGCGTCTGGGTACCGTCGGGGCGGTCGACGTGGCCGCGGCGCCTTCGCGTGCCGGCGCGCCGCCCGTTGGATAATGCGTCGTTCCAAATGTTCTCCAATGATTTCAAGCGCACGCCGGAGGCACAGCAGCTGCTGGACGCGGTCGGCGAGCAGGCCCTCCACGGGCGCACGGTGCAAGATGCTCTACGAAGGAACATGAGTGGCGCTGTCGCCGAGAATGACCCGCCGCGGTCAGTCGAACCGAACGAGCAGGGCTTATCCCGGCGACGGCTCCCGCGCCCGCGGAAGCCCCGGTCCGTCCATCGCGAGAAAAAAGGGACTTTAGGGGGCGGTGTTGTTCTGTGACGGTTGCACGCGTGTAAATAAATTAATTAATTAATTAATTAATTAACTTTAATTTATTTTTATTTAAAATAAAATAAATAATTAATCAAGGAAGGAATATCCTAAAGAAAAGGACATACACCAAGTATTTATTTATTTATTTAAGTATGCCAGTGTATTTATGTTTCTTTACTAGCACGTCAGGAGCGTGTAGAGCTTGAAGCGGCTGCTGGGCGGGCCCTTGAGGACAAACGTGACGTTGTGAAAGCCCGCCCTAAACCCGGGGACGTAGTGCCGGTTCGTCAATTTTTTTGACCTGCCGTGCCCGACGTTGATGTTCTTGGACGTGCCAAGCGCGAGGTAGTTTGTAACCCTCTGCGACGACTGGTCCTCCCAGTGCGAGCCGAGGTCGAGGAGGGGCCTCTTCCCGTCGATGATTATGCTCACTCGTCCGTCCCACGCGTAGCTCCGCAGGAACTCGAACGCGAGGAAACCCAGCCCAGAGAACTCGAGGCGGAATGAGATCCGGTCCGCCGACGACGAGCCTTCCTTGCCCTTGACGCCGAGCCACCCAAACTTGTCGGCCCGGTCGCCGGCGTCCGCGGCGGTGAATCTCCACGACGCACCCACAGCGGCCGGGGCGCCCAGCATTGCCTCCGCGCCGGCGGGCGTGGTGCCCGGCGGCGCTGAAGTGAGGAACGCGAGGGGCATGCCGCATGTCGGAAACATGGCGCGCTGGTCCGCTGGGAATAGCAGTTTCGGGAGAGGCGGCGGAGCCGCGGAGATCTCGTTGCAGTCGCCAGGACGCGTTGATAGGATCGCGTAGATCAGATCGCCGAGCGCCGTGTGGACCGTCGCGGGTGGATGGCTCATCATTTTGGTATTGGTCCACCGGATCCGCTGCGAGTAGCTTGCCGTGACGGGGAGAGCACGGATCGCATCTCTATAGGAGATGACATCCAAGTCGTAGCCGGTCGCGACGGCCCGGTGCGCGCCGACAGGAGCACGGCCCTCGATGACGACGATGACCGGGGGACGGTCCATCGACAGGATCTCGCGGATGAAGACCTCCGTTGCCGCCCCTCGGAGGTCTCGGAAATTACCCTGGTGGTAGACGGCCTTGTGCGCATCCGCATCGTTGATGCCGTAGTCGAACAGCACCACGGACGCGTTCGGCGCGAGCGCGGCAAGCCGAGGCACGATTTGGGCGGTCACACAGCCGGTGCAGGTCGCTGAGATGGCGAGGTTGTGGACAACAACGCGCTGAGTACCGTTCCCGGCGGCGGTCGCCGCGCGCCGCGCAACGCGCAGCGGCCACGGGCAGTCGAGCCCCGCGCCGCCGGCCGCAGCCTTCTCATTGCAGAGGACGCCATAGGTCATGGACCCGCCGACGACGGCGACGTCCAGGGGCGCGGCGCTGCACCGGACCCGGTCCAGGCGCCGCGCCGCCGACTTGCGGACACGCGCAGCTTCCGCGCCGGCGCCGCTCGCGAATGCTTCCCACGCGGCACCGAGCGGTTCCAAGTCGGCCCAAGGCCGGGAGTTTCCCCCATCCGTGCAGGTGCAAGTACACAAAAGATACACGAGGCAGATCCGAGCCATCTAGCAAGCCTCGGGTGTGCTGTCGAGGCTGCCCGTGGCCCGTGGCAGCGCCAGGCTGCCCATGGCCCGTGGCAGCGCCCGGCTGCCAACGACGAGCGCGAGGGTGAGCACGGTGCAAATTTGCATTTATGCGTACAGTATTGGAGACATAGATTGGTTTGGTTTGCCTGGACTAAACTTTAGAAAAGACCAGGAGGCGCCCCGCACGATGGTACTAGACAACATGACACATTGGCGCGGCGGACCACCTCTCGGACCGACCGACCTCTCCAGTAGGGGGGTTACGGTCCTAGTAGGGGGGTCTTAGTAGGGGGGTAGGGTGAGGGGCCGGCGGCCGCGGCCTGCCAAAACCGCTATCTCAGAGAACTCGAGTTTTAAAAAATACACCTCAATGCAAAGCGGGATTTTTGAACTTGAAGTCAAAGTTGCACTTCAGTTTTACTAATGGACCGCATGCGGTACATTAGTCCCGGGAGCGCAGAATAACATATCCCGACTGGATATGTTGCGCTCCAGACTTCCAAGGGCGACACTGCAACGAACTAGGAAACAGTAACACCAACTAACTCAGAGCGCCACCGCTCAGGCCCGCGAGGACCTCGTCGAGGCCGTCGAGGCCGTCGTCGTCGTCGTCGTCGCTTTTGCTGGGATGTGGAGGGACAGCAGCGGTCGGCGGGTCGTCGAGGAAGGGCAGGCCCGGCCGGAGGGCGGCGAAAGCGGCGGCGGCGGCAGCGAGGTCGGCGGCGACGTCGAGGCCCGGCGCGCCGCGGTCGAGCACGGCGACGCCGACGACGCCGGCGAGCGCCGTCGGGCCGGTGGCGAGGGGCCAGGACGCCTCGAGGGCCCAAAGCTCGCCGACGCCCCGCGGCGCGCGCAACGCGGCCGACGCGCGCGCGAGCGCGGCGCGCCCCGCGGCGGGCGCGGCGTCGGTCGTCGCGAGGTGGAGCACCGCGAGCCGCGAGCCCTCGGGCGCCGCGCGCGCGGCCGCGTCGAGGCAGAGGCCGCGGACGGCGCTCGCGCCGGCGCGGCCCGCGTCGGGCGCGGCGACGACGGCGGCGCGCGCCGCGCCGGCCGCGAGCGCGCCGTCGACGACGGCGACGCGGCGCGTGACCCAGCGCGCCGGCGGCCGGACTCGCGCGGCCGCGTCGGGCCCGAGCACGCAGCGCGCACAGCGGACGAGCTGCGCGGCGCGGCCGCGGCGCGCGAAGAGCGCGCCGACGACGGCGCGGCGGCCGCCGGCGCCGGTCGCGGCGACGACGAGCGCGCGCGGCGCGCGGCCGAGCGCGTAGACGCCGCCGCGGACGGCGCACGCACGGCAGAGCGCCTCGGCGAGGCCCGCCGCGCCGTAGACGGGCGCGAGGAACGCCGTGGCGCCCTCGGGCGCGCGCGCGAGCGCGCGGCAGTGCGCGCCGAGCGCGTCGAGGCCCGCGCCGCGCGGCACGTCCGCCGAGTCCGCGAGCGCGACGGCGTACGCGACCGCGCGCGCGAGCGGCGGCGCGAGGCCGTCGTCGGCCGCGAGCGACGCCGCGAACGGCGCGGCGTCGTCGCCGGCGCGCGCCGCGCGCGACCGGTTCTGCGGCCGCCGGAGCGCGCGGCTCGCCGTCAGCGCGCGCTCGTTGAGCGTCGCGGCGGCGGCACCCTCGCCGCGGTCCTGCGCGGCCTGCATCACCCGCAGGAGCCGGCGCTTGTCGGCCGCGGCCACGTCCGGCGCCGCGAAGACGTCGCGTTTCGAGCACGGCACCGTCGTGGGCGCCGCGGCGCCGCCGTCCCAGTAGAGAAGCCGGGGGATGGGGAGGAAGTCGAGGTACGGTGCGACGCCCGCGCGCACGAGCGCGTCGACAGCGTCGCCCGCCGCGAGCAACGCGCGCGCGTCGAGGTCTATGTTGAAGCGCGCCGCGCCCGCGACCATGGCGCGCGCGGGCGCGAGAGCGCCGGCCGCCGCCGCCGCCGCGACGACGTCGCGCACGACGGCCGCCGCCGCCGCCGCCGCCGCGTCGGTGGTGGTGTTGGCGTCGACGCCGGCGCCGTGCGCGGCGCTGGGACCGGCGTCGGCGCCATCCGCCGCCGCCGCCGCGAGCGACGCCGCCGTCGGTAGCGGCGGCGCCGCGTGCACGACGGCGGCGTCGCGCGTCGCGAGCGGCACGACCGCGACGTCTGAGAAGCCCTCGGCGGCGAGCGCCGCGCGGTCCGCCGCGGTGAGTTGAACGCCCACCTCTTCGTCCGCGCGGGACTCCGCTCGCTCCGTTCGCTCCGCGGCCCAGGCTTGCAGCTTCCCGAGGCTGAACCCCGCGCCCGAGCCGCCGTAGTACGCGTTTCGATCGACGTGCAGCACGCGGTCGCCGGCGCGCGCCAGGGCGGCCGCCACCGCGGCCTCGGCAAACGCCGTGCCCACGACGAGCGCGTCGACGGGCGACGGCAGGTCCTCTTCGGTCATCTCAGATATATAGCTACCAGTGCATTTCTATTCACACTACCGTACCTACAGCGACCTATACGCGGGAGCAGCAGAGAGAGCAAGCTAGTGTGTTACAGGCCGCTAGCCTCGACTACCGGGGCACAATGAAGAGCACTAAGGCTGGGGAGTCTAAGACAAAGCTAAAGATAAATCACTGGCGATCGAGCCCCGGGCCTCCTGAGCTCGCGGGTTTCTACGTCGACAGCGTTTGGGCACAATAAGCTTCTCTCTCTCTCTCTCTCCATTATTAATTTTGGACTTTGACGACGGGCGACACCCGGTACCCCACGTCCCACCATCTCTCTCCGTCTGCACATGCACCACATGCCTAGAGTACAACTCGACGCATCCTCGTGAACCTCCCCACTGCTTGCAGCTTGAAGGTCCGGTCGTTTGTTACCCAGCTCTCAAACCAGAAGCCAACCAGGCGAGCCACGCGTCGACGGCGTAGTCCGGCACGCCGGGCTGGGCGAAGTGCACGTCGTGCGCGGCGCATTTCTGAGGCGTGGCGCGCGGATAGTCGCGCGTGGGGGGCGCCAGGTTCTTCCGCCGGAACGCGTTCTTGAGCTGAGAAACGAGCGCGTCTTGGTAGACGCCGTCGACGGATTCCACGTGCAGCCCCTGGATCTGCTCCGCGCGGAGGAGCGCGGAGGACTTGAGGGCTTCGCTCTTCGACCGGTACGTCAACAGGATGTCCACGTTCTTCAGGGCTATCCCACAGGGCGCCTTCAGGCCCTGATCGCTTATTTTCCCAAATTGATATTTGTAGCACACTCGCAGACCTGGATCCCCTGGAAATTCGTAGATGCCGCCGTCCGCGGTGCCTGTGTTGAACGGTGAGTCATCTGGCTCACGGGTTGATTTCCACACAGCGCGGTACAGGTGAGCGGCCGTTGCACGGGCGGTGGTTGTTTATTGTGGGTCGGAGAGGGGTACCAGTTCGCCACGTCGTGTCGAACAAAGCCGGTGCACACCGCCGGTCGCGTCGCGTTGGGTTCGGATCGCACCGTATGTATCGGACGCCACTGGGGCTCCTCTTGCGCTGTTTTGATGCGCGTGCGGACCTTCGACGCGCCGCCGTCCAGGTACCGCGCGGCCTTGCAGCCCAGGGAGATGAAGGGCTGGCCCATGTACGACAAACCAAGCAAGACGAGCGTGAGCTTCCTGCCGGACCGCGGTCGCCTGTTCGTGAGGCGGAGGTAGCTCGCTGCGGCGAGCGCGGGGTCGCGCGTATCCGGCAAGGAGCACTTGCCCTGGGCGGCGTCTCGCACGGTCCAGTGCCAGGCCCAGACCGGCGGTGCGCCAGCGGCGCGGCCAACTCCCGCCGTCTTCGGTTCGCAGCCGGGCGCGGTGTGGTACCGCGCGCGCAGGATCCAGCAGTCGTGCGCATACGGTACTACTGCGTCGTCGCCTCGGTACAAGTACACGCCGTCCTCCCGCAACGTTTTTTTCGTCACCGCGCAGACTTCGCGGCCCGGTCGGAGCAGCGGCGCGACCTCGTCGGCGCCGGGCGCCGTCTGCTTTGCCCGCAGGAGTCGGGCGACCTCGTTTGCGGCGCGCGCGCCGAGCGTCGAGCCGGCGCGCTCTTCGTTCGCGACGAACAGCACCGCTTCATCAATGGCTTCCCGGCCCGCGGACGCCTTGCTTAGATTATACGCGTGCTCGATGGCGACGAGCGACGGCCGGCGCTGCCTACGGACGTTCTGTCCTCCTTTGGTGGACCGCGCACCGCGGGTGTTCCGAGCTGCGGCGGCTGCGACGGCGCACGTGAGGAGGCATAGCATCCTCATGCTACCGGCGCCTCACGGCTCGTTCCCACAGGTCACACGTCCACGGCATCGTCGTGTGCAGCGCTCGGCCCTACTCCAGACCCAGGCGCAGAGCTCGACTTGCTTTGTACACGGCACAGCGCGGTAGCCACAGCGCGGGGCAGCACCTGGTCGGCAGATGGTCGGCCGAGAATTGGCACCTGAGGTCACGCACGGTCGTGCGCGGGGAGCGCTACGCGCCGATGCTGGGCCTGCGGCTATGCGCTGTCGTCGCGGTGCTCGCCGTCGTGGCCTCGTCGGCCGAGGGCGCTCGCAGCGCGCTGTGTTTGTCCCAGCGCGGCGCGTCGGCGCCTTCCGTGCTGGCCCAGGAAGCGCGGTTCAATCCGCCGAGTCGCTGCCGGGGATGGCCGCTCCTGCGGAAGCTCGAACACGGGGGCGACGTCGTCGGCGTGGGGCCGCGCGTCACGGCGAATGGCACGGTGACCCTGGACGTAGTCGCGTGCGGCGCCAACGCCACCTGGCACCGGTCCCTGAGCGTCTTTCTCAGCGTCTACTCGGACCGCGTCCGCGATGCGGTGCTCGCGCGCGCGCCTCGCGGCGCGGGCGCGCTACGGCTGGCGTGGGCGGCAGTGCACAAATCAAATTTCGCGGCGCTTCTCCGCCCACGGCTACATCATGACCTCCACGCCATCGACGCGACGCCTGTTCGACGGCGTGGCGGTGCCCGTTCCTCGGTGACGCACTGGTTGATTCGCACACAGGTGGGCGGCGCCCGAGGCCGGCGAGTACACCTTCCTCCCGCGGCTGCACTTTTACGGCGACGACTGCGACGGCGCGCCTCCGGTCTACCTCGGCGGTTCCGAGCCGCGCTGCGCGCCGCGTCAAAAGTGCCGGACGCCGCGGCTCCAGGGCGCCTGCGACAAGCTCGCCATGGTGCCGCAGGCGGGGACGCGCGTCGCCGTCAATGACGTCCTCGCGCCGACGCGGCGTCCGGGGCGCCAGTGCCGCGACGGAGCGACGGCCGACGGCACGTGGGTCCGCTTCTCGCGCGACGGCCGCGGCGGGGCGGCGGGGGGGTACAGCGGGTCGCCGTGGTCGACGCTCGTCGAGCGGTCCGCCCACCGGCACGACCGAAAGATGGCGCCGTGGCGCTTCTCGCGGCCGGACTGCGACTATCATTTCTTCGCCGCAAGCGAGGGCGCCGCGTGCCTTGACGATGTGTTCGTCGCCTACGTCGGCGACTCGCTCGTCCGCGGGCTCTACGCGACGACAGTGCGCCTCCTCGGCGGCGCGACCGACGACGACCGGATCAAGGCGGCCCAGGCGGCCACCGCGCAGAGGACCAGGGGCGGGGCTGGCTCCAATCCCGAGTCCCAGACGACCTTCACCGTCGGCGGAGCGCGGCTCGCCTACGCGAACATGTGGGCCGGATCGGAGCTCCCGAGCGTCCGGAGGGTCCTGGCCCAGGAGCTCAGGCGGCCGGGGCGGCCCTTCGCCCGCATCGTCGTCGTCGCCAACTGGGGCGCCGAGCACTCGGTCGCCGCCGCCTGCGACGCCGTCGAGGCCAAATTCGGCGAGCAGGCCCGGGCCGCGCTGCGCGCCGTCAGGCAGGTCGCCGGCGCCGGCCGGCCCCTGTCGCTCGTGCTCGCCACGCCGACGGCGCTCCTCGCGCGCCGCAACCCGGGCATGTCCACGACCAAGGCCCTCCAGCTCGCGTCCGTCCTCGAGCGCCAGGCGGCCGACGCCCGCGCGGCGGGCGTCGCGGATGCCAGGGTCCTCGATCTCTCGAACCTCACGCTGGCTCGCTTCGACGACGCGACGCTCGACGGCGTCCACTACGGGCAGACCGCCGCAACTATGGGCGCGACCGTCCTCCTCAATATGCTCTGTCGCCGCCCGGAGCGTGAGCAGCAAAATGAATAAATGAATAATTAGAAATCGAGGACGGACTCGGAGGACACGAAATGGTCCACATCACTGCCGCTTTTCGCCCCCCCCCAGGCTACCTAAAAGACTAGATAATTAGAAAATGCACTGGCAAATCGTCGACTAGGTTGCCACTTACCTGCTAATTGCCCGTTATTAACCTATAATTACCCCTCGGAGGGGATCCGGGGTTAATAACCCACTCAATAACCCGGTACCTTAAACGCCGCCAAAGCCTTCCTGACGACTCCCCCGGCGCCTAGCCAGTGGCCTATGGCCCACCCTCCCTACCCCTCTATAAGGTCGTGAGGTTAATACCCTGTAGTAACGGGTATTTACCCAGGCCGCGATTGGGGTTATAACCCCTCTAAGAAGTGGCAACCTAGCAAATCGAGCAAAGAAAAACGAGCCTAAGGATACTGGCACATAAAAATTACTTCACTTCCTTCACATCGTCCACGTCACCGGAAAGGCGTGGTCTGGGAGCGCGTTGCCCCCCGACGGGTCGCGGAAACGGTGAGCGAGCGTCTCGTAGCCGTTCTCGGCGTCCCGGAATCGGGCGTCGGCGGGCACGAAGTGGATCCCGAGCCCTCGCCGCGGCTGCGTGCGCGACCGATTCCTGCCGCTGCCGTGCCAGAGCCGCCCGTTGTGGATGCCGGCGCCGCCGGCGGGCACGTCGAGCCTCTCGACCACCAGCGACGCCTCCGGCGCGGCGATCCCCTCGCGGCCTGTGTGGAAATCAACCAGTGTGTCGGGTGCACCCGACAATTCTTCACTAAGTCATTTCTCGGCGATGACGCGGCTGTCCTGGCTCGGTCGAGCGGCGAGGAACCGGCATCGCCACGCCATCGAGCAGGCGTCGCGTCGAACGCGCCGTAAAATTTTGATTTCCACACAGCTCGCGGCGCGCCGCGTCGTACAGCAGCGCCGTCGGGTCGCGGCTATCGAAGAACTGCTCGGCCGAGCCCACCCGGCCGTCGCCCCACGCGTGCGAACCCTCGACGTACTCCAGCCTGTGTGGAGCTGACATTTCAGGAGCCCCGCGCGCGTGTCCCCGTGAGCGCGTCTGCTCGACGGCGCGACGGCTGGCGAGGTCTCTCGAAAATATTCCCGGGATCGTCGAGTTCCACGCGGGCTCCTGCGGCCCCAGCTCCTCGGTCATGGCGTCGAGCGCGATCCAGACGGTCGCGACGGCGGCCGGCACGAAGTCAAAGTACGGCGAGTCGCGGTGGAAGGTGAGCGCGGCGGCGCCGGGCGGCTTGCCCCACGCCTGGTCGTTCGCGACCCGGGCCCCGCGCCACCCCATGACCTCCGCCACGGCCCGCCCGAGCGTGGGCGACCGCACGAGCGCGGCGAAGGCGGCGTCCGCCTTCCAGCAGTTGATCACCTGCAGCGTCCGGGACGACGGCCCGCCGAGGGGCGGCGGCTTCTTGCCAGGCTTCGTCCGCGTTTCCGTTCGAAACGCGGGCACCTTGTCCGGCGCGCCGCCCGGGACGTCGTACTCGCCGCGCAGCAGCTTCTCGAGCCGGGCGTTGAGCAGGTCGCAGTAGTCGCGACTTATGATGGGCGCGCGCAGCACAACAAAGCCCCGCCGGGCGAACTCGGCGCGGGAGAGTGGCGGCAGGGCGCGGACCGGGTCCTCCATGAGAGCACTACACGGCCGCGGAGTGTAGCATTGCCATTGCTATAGCTACGCCTATTATTACAGGTATGCACACCACACACAGGCTCGTTCATGCTTTTTGTGTCAAAACGGGTTTTCTAAGCTTCCGCTCTATTCATCCCTGGGCTCCGGGATGCGTCCAGGGAGACGTATGTTCGCAGGGAGGAACACAGGCCGTCCTGGGCGGCGATGGCGGCACAGCAGCACTCCTTGAAACTCTCTTGCCCAGCGGAGCCTGTGCGACACAACGCAGCTCATTCGCTCGAAAATAGACGACCGGCGTGAACCTCGCGAAGCCGCTGACCCGTAACTACCAGTTGAGGAAGTAGGGAGAAAGCTAGCGGAGCACAACAATGCGCTCTGTCGCGGTACTCTCCCTCGCGGTGGGCACGTCGTACGGCTTCGCGCCGGCGCGGAGCCCGCCGCGGGCCCGCCGCGGCGCGCCGCTGCGCGCGGCCGTGGGCGGCGCGCCGCGGACGCTCTTCGACAAGATCTGGGACGACCACCTCGTCGTGCCCGAGGACGAGACCGGCGCGGCGCTCATCTACATCGACCGCCACCTGATCCACGAGGTGACGTCGCCGCAGGCCTTCGAGGGCCTGCGCCTCGCCGGCCGGGCCGTGCGGCGGCCCGACTGCACGCTCGCGACGGTGGACCACAACGTGCCGACGTCGAACCGCGACGCCTTCCACGCGGGCAGCGAGGCCGTCGAGGCCTTCCTGGCCGACGTCGCGTCGCGGACCCAGGTGCAGGCGCTCGAGCGGAACGTCGAGGACTTCGGCGTCAAGTACTTCGGCATGGCCGACAAGCGCCAGGGCATCGTGCACATCATCGGGCCCGAGCAGGGCTTCACGCTGCCCGGCACGACCTGCGTCTGCGGCGACTCGCACACGGCGACGCACGGCGCGTTCGGCGCGCTCGCGTTCGGCATCGGCACGAGCGAGGTCGAGCACGTGCTCGCGACGCAGACGCTGCCCCAGAAGAAGGCGAAGAACATGCTCGTGCGCGTCGACGGCGCGCTGCGCCCGGGCGTGACGTCGAAGGACGTCGTGCTCCACGTCTGCGGCCGCATCGGCACGGCCGGCGGCACGGGCTGCGCCATCGAGTTCGCCGGCGAGGCCATCCGCGGCCTCTCGATGGAGGGGCGCATGTCCATCTCGAACATGGCCATCGAGGCCGGCGCGCGCGCGGGCCTCATCGCGCCCGACGCGACGACGTACGCCTACCTCGAGGGCCGGCCCATGTGCCCCACGGGCGCCGAGTGGGCCCGCGCCGTCGCCTACTGGGAGACGCTCGCGAGCGACGCCGGCGCCGCGTACGACGAGACGGTCGTCATCGACGCGGCCGACATCGCGCCCACGGTCACGTGGGGCACGTCGCCGCAGGACACGGCGCCGATCGACGGCGTCGTGCCGGACCCGGCGGACGCGCCGTCGGAGCAGCGCGCGGCGGCGATGCGGCGCTCGCTCGCGTACATGGGCCTCGAGCCGGGCACGCGGCTCGCGGACGTGCCCGTCGACCGCGTCTTCATCGGCTCCTGCACGAACGGCCGCATCGAGGACATGCGCGCCGTCGCCGCCGTCGCCGCCGGCCGCACCGTCGCGCCGAACGTCATCGACGCCATGGTCGTGCCCGGCTCGGGCCTCGTCAAGGAGCAGGCCGAGGCCGAGGGCCTCGACGAGATTTTGAAAGCGGCGGGCTTCCAGTGGCGCGAGCCCGGCTGCTCCATGTGCCTCGCGATGAACCCCGACAAGCTGCGGCCCGAGGAGCGCTGCGCGTCGACGTCGAACCGCAACTTCGAGGGCCGCCAAGGGCCCGGCGGGCGCACGCACCTCATGTCGCCCGCCATGGCCGCGGCGGCCGCCGTCACGGGCCGCCTCGCGGACGTGCGCGCGCTCGTCCCCGACGCGCGCGCGCTCGACGCGGCCATCGCCGAGCCGGCGGCGACGCCGACGCTCGACGCCTTCCGCGAGCAGGCCGTGCCGTCGGCCGGCGCCGTCGTGAACGCGGGCGGCGGCGCCGGCGCCGGCGGCGCCGCGGGCATCCCGCCGTTCACGACGCTCACGGGCCTCGCCGCGCCGCTCGACATCGAGAACGTCGACACGGACATGATCATCCCCAAGGAGTTCCTCAAGACCATCAAGCGGTCGGGCCTCGGCTTCGCGGCCTTCGCCGAGCTCCGCTACGTGAACGCCGTCGACGTCGCGACGACGGGCGACCCGGCCGTCGCCGAGCTCCGCGAGGACTTCGTGCTCAACCGGGCGCCCTGGAAGGACGGCGCGGCGAAGATCATCATCGCGGGCGACAACTTCGGCTGCGGCTCGTCGCGCGAGCACGCGCCGTGGTCGATCAACGACCTCGGCGTGCGCTGCATCGTCTCGACGTCCTTCGCCGACATCTTCTTCAACAACTGCTTCAAGAACGGCATGCTGCCCATCACGCTCGCGCGCGACGAGGTCGAGGCGCTGCTCGCGCACGCCGAGGCCGGCGGCGAGGTCACGGTCGACCTCGAGGCGCAGACCGTGCGGCGCGCCGACGGCGAGGGGCCCGCCTACGCCTTCGACGTCGACCCCTTCCGCAAGAACAACCTGCTCAACGGCCTCGACGACATCGGGCTCACGCTGCTCAAAACCGACGCCATCGCCGACTTCGAGGCGCGCCGCTCGGACGAGTGGCCCTGGCTCGACGGCGCGACGACGCGCGTCCCCGACGACATGCTCGTGCCCGCGGCGGGCGGCGAGGTCGTGGCGGCGCGCTAGTCGGTCTGGCCTCCCGCCGCGTCCTTTGCCGTAAGCGGGGTTTCTGTATCTCTCGGTGAGTTACTTGGCGAGTTTGGGGGTCCTGAGGGACGACCCGCACGGTCCGGTGTCCTAATCCGCCGCCAGGTCAACTGCCGCCTCCGATTCGATCCCCCTTCCGAGTCCTTCCTTCCTTCGAGCAGGGAGACTTCAGGCTCTTAGGAGCTTGTTCCTTATTTATTAGGTCTTCCTCAGGCTTATTTATTTGTTGTTGTTGTTGTTGTTGTTGCTTTGCTTAGAGCTAGGCCGCCTAGCCACCCGGCCGAAGACCCCGGCCCTCATACGCCGTCCCGAGGTGAGCTCGATTATTATGACCCGGGCCTTCGTCCCGCGGCCCAGGCGACCCGGGGGCGCGCGACACAAGCGAGGGGATTGACCATTGCAATGATTGCATAAACGAGACGATTCATATCTACTGGCGCCGCCGCCGGCGCCCGGCGGGCGGCCGCGCTAGGCGCAGCGGACGGCGGCGCCGGGGTTGAGGCGGAACCCGTGGCGCTCGGCGCGCGCCCACCAGCCGTCGAGCGCGTCGACGTCGATGGGCCCCGTCTCGTGCGCGCCGAGGTCGTCGCGCGCGTGCACGATCGCGGCGGCGAGACAGGCGGGCACGGTGCCCTGGACGTCGTGGCAGAACGTGAGGTCCGTGTCCTTGGCGTCGTAGACGAGCGCCGCGCCGTTCACGTAGGCGTACCTGGCCGACGGCCGCGGCACGAGGTGCGGCACCGCGTAGTCGACGACCAGCGCGTCGTCGCGGACGGCGCGGTGGATCGTGGACTCGAACGCGAGCTTGCCGAGGAGCCAGACGTCGGGCCGCAGCGCGGCGGCGTCGTCGTAGGTGTGCGCGCGCCGCAGCCGCGCGCCCGCGGCGCCCGCCTGGCGCACGAGGTCGGCGAAGCGGTCGGGCGCCGTCGTCAGGCAGACGACCTCGTGGCCGCGGCGCGCGAGCGCGATGGCGAGCGCGCGCCCGATCTTGGCCGTGGCGCCCGTGACGCACACCGTGTCCTCGGGCAGCGTCTTCCGCCGCACCGTCTCGAGCACGGCGGCCGCCGTCAGCGCGTTGCCGTGGACGATCTTCACGGCGTAGCCGCGCGCCTCGCAGCGCGCGCGCACGGCCTCGCCGCCGCCGTTGAGCCACTCGGCCTTGTTCAGCGCCGCGAGGCCGACGTAGCGGACGCCCGCGCGCTCCGCGGCGTCGACGGCGGCCTCGAGCTTGCGCTGGATCGCGGGCCGCTCGCCCTTGTTGAGGTAGAAGCGCGCGGCGACGGGCAGGCACCACGTCGCGACCTGCGTGCCGCGGTACTGGTAGCGCTGCATGACCGTCGCCGGCAGGAGCAGCTGCGCGAGGCGCGCCCAGACGTAGCACAGCGGCCAGAGCAGCGTCGCGACCCAGCCCGTCGCGTGCGTGACCGAGCAGAGGAACGGCGACACGAAGGGCACGTGCGTGACCATCGAGGGCACGTCGTGGCCGTGCGCGAGGAAGACGACGTCCGTCGGCCGGCGCCGGCGCGCGCGGTCCGTGACCTCGCGGTGGAGCGCCTGCGACGTCGGGTGCGCCGTGCCGCAGAGGTGGTCCCAGATGGGGCAGAAGAGGCAGTAGTTCCACTTGTACTTGGAGTGGTGCAGCGAGTGGTAGCACGACGTGTAGACGTAGTACTTGAGCGGGCCCCACTGGGCCCAGCGCGGGAAGCACTCGAAGTTGCAGTGGCCCGCGCAGTTCATGACGTCGAACCTGCGCGGAAATCAGCCGGTGAGCGGGGGTAGCCTTCGTGCCCCTCCGCGGCGGCGACGTCGCGTCGACGGCGTGGGGCGCCCGACGTTGGCTTTCCGCGCGGCGTCCGAACCACACGAAGTAGAGCGGGATCTGGCCCAGGCTGAAGCGGCCGCACCAGGCCGGCACGAGGAACGCGAGCGAGAAGTTCGCGAGGTAGGCGACGCTCTCGTAGAGCGGGTGCGACGTGCCCGACACGGCCTCGGTGACGACGGACGCGTGGTGGTGGCCGTGCGACCGCCGGTAGGCCCAGTCGCCGTGGAGCCAGACGTGGAACGCGTAGTAGACGGGCTCGACGCAGGCGTAGTGCGCCGCGAAGAGCGCCGCCACGGACCGCGCGTCGCACGGCCCGACGCGGTCCGGCCGCAGCCACGGCGTCAGCAGGTCGACGAGCACGAAGGCCAGCGGCGACAGGATGACGGGCCCGTCCCAGTCGAGCTCGCGCTCGAGCTGCTGCGCGGGCGGGTTCTTGCGGTGGATGCGCCGCGGCTCGGCGAAGGCGTCCCACTTGGAGAGCGCCACGAACGCGTGGTTCACGACGTAGCGGAGGAGCGTCGCCTTGGCCAGGGCGGGCACGAGGTGCGCGCCGGCGCCCGTCGCCAGCGACAGCAGGTACGTGAACGCGTAGATGGCGTACTTGGGGTCGAGGATCCAGCGCTCGGCCGCGGGCTCGGGCGGCGCGAGCCCGGCTTTCGCCACGTCCCCGACGAGCGGGCTCTGCAGCTGCCTGAGCGACGGCGGGCGCTGGCCGCCGCGACCCATTTGTCACTTTCTCCGGCTGCTGGGCCGCGTGGGTGTCAGAGAGCTGAGCTGCAATGCAAATGAGCTGGTGGTTGCAGCGATTGCGAGCGTTGGCACTTCCCTGATCACGAGGTCGCACGAGAGCTTGATAAAAGCCAACGGGAGCCTTCCTAATGCTGCAGCAGAGACTTGGGTCGCTGGTATGAGCTGGATGCGACGAGCTGGCTTTGCGTACTACGCTAGTGGCTTCATCAACTCTCTCATACGCAAGTAAATGCAAGGCTCTGGATGCAAAGAAGCATCGGGACACGACTAGGAGGACCAATGGAAAATTTTAAGCTCAAAAGCACACGCGCGGGGGTCACATCTCGCTTTGAAGTGCCGTATAACATATCCCGTCGCGGGACATGCTATCGGGCCCGAGCGTCGTAGAGATATTCGATGTTTACAACTTAGTCCTCCCCGTCGGCGCCAGAGTTCGCCTCTTTGGCGCGGGCGTTCGACTCGGCGACGGCGGCCGCGCGCGCCTCGTAGGGCCTCGCGTCGGCGTCGTCGAGGAACTTCTGCTTCGCGACCTTCTTCTGTTTCTTGAGGTCCTCGTACTCGCCGGCCAGGACCAGCACGTACTTGCCGTCGTTCTTGGCGACGGGGACGAACCGCGAGAACGGCCCAAACTCGCCGCTCTGGCTGTTTTGGAACATCTGCAGCTCGACCTGGCGCGCGTTCTTCTCGGCGTTCGCCGCCGTCCGCCGCCGCAGCTCGGCGACGAGCGGCGACTCGAGCTCCTGCTCCATCCGCGCCTTCTGCGCGGCCGCCTTCTCCGCGCCCGCCCGCGCCGCCTGCGCCTCGTCCGCCGCGGTCGTGTCGCGCGGGGCCGCCGTCCGCGCGTCGAGGCAGGCGCCCAGCGGGCCCCGCCGGCCGCAGCCCGACTCGACGAAGAGCTCCGTCTTGTAGTCGGACAGCGCCGCGAAGGCGGGCGGCGCCTGTGCATGGGCGAGCCAGCAGCCGAAGAGACCGGTCGCGCGCAGCGCCCGGCGCCTCGCCAGCGCTGCGTGCGGGGCGTCGTAGGCGTGTGCAAGCATGGTCAAGACGGCGTAAAGTGCAAGCCTCATGGTGCCCTAGCGTGGCTGAAGTTGATGAATTGCTGCGTTTTTGCAGTGTAGATTGATGCACAGCTGCTGGTTGAGTGGCACTAAGGTTACTACACAAGAACCGAGATTTTTTGTGACGATGTTGAGCTAATATATATCTCGCCCGTTGGACGTGGGCCACGCAAGGCCTTAATAGAGCTACAAGTTTGCCGGCTCCAGCTGGTCTGTGCTAGCGGCTTGTAAAGACACTAGCCCGCAAAGGAGCAAACTGCGCCATGCAGCCGTTTGAGTATCGCTCGGTTCGCTTATGGTCCAAAGAGATCAATGGGACACTTACTGGGGGCCGAAAAAACTAATATCTTGATTCGCGGCGCCGAGGCGGACGAGGCCACAGGGCGGCCGCGCTGGTTTAATCCTGTCAATCCCTGTCGAACAGGTCTCCCTGGGGTCGCCTAGGGTCGGTACTATACACGTGCAAGCGCCTACGCCGCATGCGCCGCCGCTTCAAGCATTTTTGGCCGATTTCTCTCAGCAGCCCGCAGAGGAATAGCAGGTTTTGCCGAGGTCTCGCTTCCAGGGCGCTCTGAGAGCACTAGGCTGCCGCATCGACGGCGTATGCGGCACAGGCGACTACCCACTACCAGACCTACCCCGAGAGGCCTCCAGGAGCCGATCTGCCCCCGAAAAAAGTGTGTAATTAGGGCCCGATGGCGCCCCGTTCCCGTAAAAAACGTCAATTACCCGAGGGCCCCCAGTAGACGCCGTAGCGGTCTCGTCGGACCCCATACTACTCCACCGATAGTCAACTACAAGTATATGACATCTACACGCCGAGAAGGGTGCTTTGGGCTGCCCACGCTCGGGACGTGAACATCTGCATCTGGAGCTCGCGTAAGTCGGTCGATCATGGAACAAATGATCGCGTTATGGTCCATGGTGAAGGTACACGCGCTGATGGTCGCAGGTCCAGGTATTTAGCCCATTTGTAGCAGATCGTGGGCTCGTGAGACCGACGACCCGCGCCGAGCATATTTGGGTCTCGGAGCAATTTAGTACACAATCAAGCCGGTTAGATGGCCCGTCCTAGAACTAAAGCGCCTGAAACGCAAATTTATTTCATAACTCACGGGTCTGGGGCCAATTCAGTGCCCCGCGTACGCACCGTCGTCCGCGGAGAACGGGCAAGTCGGTCGATTGTGAATAGAACAACGGCGTTATGGTCCATCGGGGTGGTGGCGTCGCTGATACTCGCGGATCTAGGTTCTGACCGGTATTTGGATAAAGGTGGGGTCGCGAAGTCGACGAATCGCGGGACTCTAACGGAGTACATGATCATGCTAGTTGGGTGTTCAATCGGCCTAGATGGACTCTACCACTAACAAACGGAAGGAAACGAACATAAACTCGGGAGTTGTCTAGTAGAATTCTTTTCCCGCCCTCCGAGCGCGCGCCGTCGGCTCCGCTTCCGTCGATTATGTATGAAAATTGGGCTGGCGTTGATATGATGTACCATTTGGACGGTAGATGGCGCTGTCAATCGCTGGTGTACTTTGGCGAGCCGCAAGACCTAGTGATCTAGCGTATCGACATACTAGGAATCCGTACATATATATATACACGTATGTATATACATACATATAGTATACATGTATACAGGCCTAGCCGGATGGCCTTTGAAAACAGACCTCTCCGACTGACCCCCGAATAGTGAAGTTCAGAGCTTAATTACCGCTCTGCCCACTACCTGGGCAGGGTATATACCCAAGTTGTTATGGGAACTTCGGAAGATCTCTCAAAAACGCGACCCCGTTTCGACGAATCGACAGCGGCAAAAATAAAGTACAAGCGGCTTATTAGTCCCGAAGCTCATCCACCGCCGACCGGGCCCGCGCGATCGCCTCGTCGAGCGGCTCGGCGGCGGGCATGAGGAGCTGCGGTGACGAGGCGGCGGAGAAGTCGTCGTCGGCGCGGGACTCGGCCAGCACGAGCGAGTTCTCGACCAGCGCCGCCTTCGCGGCCTCGACGCGCTGCAGGGCCTCGCGCTCGCGCCGCGCCACGGCCTCCTCGAGCTCGGCCTCTTCGGCCTCCCTCTCCGAGCGGAGCTGCGCGCTCTGCGCCGCGGCGACGGCGCGCGCGCTCTGCGCTTTCTTCCGGCGCGCCGCGGCGGCCTCGGCGCTCTTCGCGGCGGCCTCGGCGCGATCGCACGCGGCGAGGCGCCGCGCCCGGGCACGCTCGGCCGTGATCGCCTGCGCGCGCCGGGCCGCGCCTGTGCATAAATCAACCAGTGAGTCGGGTGCGACAACGCCGCGCCATCGAGCTGGCGTCGCGTCGGTGGCGTGGAGGTCATGATTGAGCCGTGGCGGAGACGCGTCGCGACAGTTTGATTTATGCACTGGGCCGCGCCGTCCTCGGCCTGTTGGCGCGCCAGCGCGGCCTCCTCGGCGCGCGCGGCCGCCTCCTGGTCGGCCAGGAGCTTCTTCGCGGCCTCCTCCGCGGCCTCGGCGGCCCGCGCCTCGGCGTTCTCGGCGAGGCGCCGGTCGCGGGAGGCGCCGTGCTCGGCGGCGACTCGGCGGAACTCCGCGCGGGCGATGTCCGTCGCCTGCCGCGGCTCGTAGGCGAGCTTCGGATACGCGGCGACCGAGTCGCCCCGCGGCAGCGGCATGGGAAACCGATCGTTGGCCACGTTCGCGGCGCCGGCGATGCTGGCGAGGCCGCGCGCCAGCGCCGCCGGGCCCGTCGTCTTCGCGCCGTCGGGCTCGGCCCGCGCGAGGCGCGCGAGCAGCGGGTCCGCCGCGCACCGCCTCTCGAGCGCCCACAGCTCGGGCCAGACCGCACTGCCGCAGGCCAGGGGCGACCGGACGAGGCGGACGACGTCGTGGACGCTCTCGGCCGCGAGCATCGGGCCCCGCGCCGCGGTCGCGACGGCGACGGGCGCGAGCAGGAGCCGGTGGGGCCGGTCGGGCCGCGCCAAAATGTGGTCCCAGAGCCGGAGCCAGTCCTCCTTCCGCAGGCACTCCGACCTGCGCGGGAACCGGAGTTCGGGACGCTGTTCCCGTGACCGCGTTGCTTCAGACGAAGGCCGCGAAAGTCTTCCGATTTCCGCGCGCGTCGCGACAGGAACGACCGCAGCACCGGCCAGGCCCAGTCCGTCGGCGTGCAGCCCAGGGCGCCCAGGTGCGCGGCCACCTCGGCGTCGTAGTTCTGGAGGAGCCGCTCGACCGCGTTCAGCGCCGGCAGCGGCGGCTCGGGCCAGCACGCGAGCCAGCCGCGCGCCCACTTGCCGAGGAGGCATACGACCGTCTCGAAGGTGCACAGCGCGTCGCCCTCGAACGCGAGCGCGAACGGGTAGACGGCCGCCGGCAGCCAGTCCGCGTCGGCGAGCGCCGGGCACCAGCGCCCGAGCGCGCCGCAGCACTCGACGAGCGCCGTCGCCGCGTTGCTCCGCGGCAGCTTGGCCGCGCGCCTCCGGCACGCGGCCGCGGCCCGCGCGGCTGCGTCGACCGCCGCGCCCTGCCCGCCGTCGCCGCACCGGAGCGCGTCGAACGCCGCCTGCCTCTCCGGCAGGTCCAGGAGCGCGCGCCACGCTAGCGAGCGATGCTCGGCGGGAAACTCGCCCTCCTCGCCGAGGACCCGCCGCAGGCGCGCGGGCGTCAGTGCGTCGGCGTCGCACGGGCGCGCGACCCTGTGCAAGGGCGCGCCGCGGCGCGGCGCCGCCCGCCGCGGGCGCGGCGGCGGCGGGAGCGCGGGCGGGCCTTTGAAATCCCACGGCGCGGGCGCCGGCGCGGGCGCCGGCTCGGGCGCCGCGGGCTCGGGCGCCGGGAAATACCGCCGCAGCGGCGTCGGACCGACCGGCTGGCGGCGCCGCGCGACGGCCAGGTCGAGGAGCAGTAGCTCGCCGTCGGCGGTCGCGACCGCGACGGACGCCCCGGCGGCGGCGGCCGCGACGACGACGGCGCGCGGCGCGACGGCGAGCGTCGCGGCGGCGGCGCTGGTCTGGCTCACGTCCAGGGCGTTGAGCCGGCCGTCCTCGCCGAGCGCGAGCAGGTCGGAGCCGGCCCGGAGGAGCGCCACGAGCGAGCGCGCGCGCGGCGGCGGCGCGGACAGCCGCTCGAAGGCGCCGCCGGGGGCCCACTCGCAGAGGAGCGGCCCGCCGGCCACGACCGCGCCCCCGGGGAGCGCCGCGAGGCAACACCAGACGCCCCGCGACGGCGCCTCGCCGTGCTGCCGCGGCGAGAGCTGCGCCGTCGCCTGCCCGCTAGACGGGTCGACGAGGTGGACGACTCCGTCGCGGTCCAGGACGACGGCGTTCCCGTCGGTCCCGACCGCCGCCGCCGCGACCTCGGCCCCGGCGCCTTCGAAGGCGCTCTGCCGCAGCCAGTCGCCGTCCAGGGTCCAGAATCGCGCCGCGTCGCGTGCCGCCGTGACGACGAGGCGGTCGCGGGCGTCCAGGGTCGCGATCGAAGTCCCGGGGGCGTGCGCGGCGGCGACCTCGGAGAGAGTTCCCGTCGCCGCGTCGACGGCGACGAGCCGCGGAGCCCGCGGGTGGCAGACGGCGCACGCGACTCGGTCGCCGACCCACGCCAGCGCCGTCGCCCGCGCGTCCAGCGTCGCGACGCGCTCGAACCGGTTCCGCGCCGCGTCCACGACGACGAGCGCGCCGCGCTCGTCGCCCGCGGCCACGCGCGCGCCCGCGTCGACGGCCACGGCCGTGAAGCGCACGCGGGAGTCCGCGGAGGCCGGCCGATTTTGCAACACGCACACGATGCCGTCGGCCGTCGGCCGCGGCGCGCGCCCGGGCGGCCACAGGCTGCCGGAGCAGGGCTGCTTGCCGCCCGGGACCGAAGTGGTCGAGGCCATTCGTGGCCTGGCTGCTCTCGTTTTTTTGGTACCGCAGGCAGGGCAGCCCGACTCTCGTGGTGCCGTCTCTCGCGCAGCGGGTGCATCAAAATTAATTCAAAAAAGAACAATAAGGGTTTTGCGGCGACTTGTGGGGTAACGCTCTCGCTCGCTGGGGACCCGCCGCGATGGCTCGAGGTAACCGTGCGCCACAAACGCGAACCCGAAGCCTGCCATGCCATCTCCTAGGATCCTGCCATCAGATAGTCCCGTCTGCTGGACTCGCGTAGCTGCCAGGCGACGCCGCTGGCCGCATACGGTACGGCTTGGTCCAAGCCCCACCCCCTCGTGGGAGCTGCACGCGCGGGCTGCTTTCGGGCCAGCCCAAAAGCTGCTACCACAGAAATTGGTGCATCTGAAGGAAAAGCAGGCTCACCGCGCCTAGGGTTATAAAGGCAGCGGGCAAATGTCAGAGCCACTTCCGAGGGCGGCGGCCGAGCCCGAGAACCGATCGACGCGCACCACGAGCGTCGAAGGCACCGCCCTCCAGGACCTCATCGCCGGCCAGGCCGCCGGCCATCGCATCATCGGTACCATAAATTTGCCCGTCCGGGCGCCGCCGTCGTCCGCTAAGGAGCCAGAGCCGGCGGCCCCGGTGGAGCGCCGCGCCGTCGCCCGCCGGACCGCAGCGCGAGGTCGGCAACTAGCCCGCGCCGCTTTCTTTCTGCTGACAGTGTCCGGTGGGCACCGGACACGATCCTCCGACCCCCTAAGTAATGTTGTCCCACCAGCATTAGTAGTTCACTTAGGTCTCACGCGTCCGGCTTGAGGAGCGGGAAGGCGATGACGTCGCGGATCGACGGCGCGTTCGCGAGGAGCATGACGAGGCGGTCGACGCCGATGCCCAGGCCGGCGGTCGGCGGCAGGCCGTGCTCGAGCGCGCCGAGGAAGTCCTCGTCGACGCCGCACGCCTCCTCGTCGCCGGCGGCCTTCTTCGCGGCCTGGGCCTCGAAGCGCGCGCGCTGGTCCACGGGGTCCGTGAGCTCCGAGAAGGCGTTCGCGAGCTCGCGGCCCACGACGAAGAGCTCGAAGCGCTCGACGAGGCCCGGCTCGGACCGGTGCGGCTTCGCGAGCGGCGAGACCTCGACGGGGTAGTCGATGACGAACGTCGGCTGCCGCAGCGCGCCCTCGCAGAGCTCCTCGAAGCCGACGTTGAGCAGCTCGCCGACGGACCGGCCCTTGGCGCAGAGCGCCTCGGGCACGCCCTTGGCGGCGAGCGCCGCGCGCGCGCCCGCGACGTCGCCCGCCGCCTGGAGCGCGCGGAAGTCGGCGCCCGTGGCCTCGTCGACGAGGTCGCGCATCGTCGCGCGGCGCCAGGGCCGCGCGACGTCGATGGTCTCGTCGCCGTAGGGCAGCGTCGTCGACCCGACGAGCTCCGTCGCGAGGCCCTCGACGAGGCTCTCGGTGAGCTCCATCATGCTCTCGTAGTCCGCGTAGGCCTCGTAGACCTCGACGGACGTGAACTCGGGGTTGTGCCGCGTCGACACGCCCTCGTTGCGGAAGATGCGCCCGAGCTCGTAGACGCGGTCGAAGCCGCCGACGACGAGCCGCTTCAGGTGGAGCTCCGTCGCGATGCGCAGCGTGAGGTCGAGGCCCAGCGCCGCGTGCTTCGTCTCGAAGGGCTTGGCCTCGGCGCCGCCGGGCTGCGAGTGGAGCGTCGGCGTCTCGAGCTCGAGGAAGCCGCGGTCGTCGAGGAAGCGCCGGATCCGCGACGTCGCGCGGGCGCGCAGCTCGAACGTGCGGCGCACGTCGGGGTTCGCGATGAGGTCGAGCTCGCGCTTGCGGTAGCGCGTCTGCACGTCCGTCAGGCCGCGGAACTTGTCCGGCAGCGGCGCCAGCGCCTTGGTGAGCATCTCCCAGTCGTCGACGTACACCGAGAGCTCGCCCTTCTCCGTGCGCTTGGCCGTGCCGCGCGCGCCGACGATGTCGCCGGCGTCGACCCAGTCCACGAGGTTCTTGAACGTCTTGGCCGCGTCCTCGTTCGCGTTGAGGCGCTTCTTCTCGAGGAAGAGCTGGATCTCGCCCGTCGCGTCGCGGAGGCCGAGGAAGGCCAGCTTCTTGCCGAAGACGCGCTTCGCGACGACGCGGCCCCGCACGGCCAGCCGCTCGCCCTCGGCCTCCTTGCCGTTCTCCAGCGCGGCCCACTGCGCCTGCGCCTCGGCCGCCGAGTGCGTCGCCGAGAACGCGTACGCGAACGGCTCGACGCCCGCCGCGCGCATCGCGTCCGCCTTGGCGACGCGCGTCGCGCGGAGCTCGTCGTACGCCGCCGTGACGTCGGGCTCCGCCGTCGCCGCGCCCCGCGCCGGCGCGCCCGCGCGCCGCGCCAGCGGCGCCCGCAGCGCCCGCGCGGTCCGCGCCAGCAGGAGCATGACCGTCGATCGTCGCATTTGCAGAGTGACGAGTGGCAGCGCGCGGGTCTGCAGCGGTGCTCTCTTGGGTGCAGTCGCAGGTGTTTGGCAACGCGAGCACTCCCGTTCTATTTGTCTCGCGATGCGTCCACAGAGTGTGTTGCAATAGCGATCACCACTTGACAGGGTTTGCCGACCACCTTCGCGCTCTGGCCTCGCCTGGACTGCTACTGCAGCTTTTGCACGCCGGCTGGCCGCCCTCGGCGCTGGGGCTACAAGAAGTCTCGAGCGAAAATTACAGAAGCAGAGAACTGATTTAAGACGTACAAAAAAAATCGCACGGGTTTCTCCGGCCATAATCGTTTTTTTATTTTCGCCTTGCAAGAGCTCCTCGCGATTTTACTTGGCGGCAAATAGCAGTTAGTTTTTGCTTAGAGCGATACGCGCAGTAGCGCGAAGAACGCAACTGAACGAGGCGCGCTAGCGACGGCAGAGATGATCAGGCCAAATTGGGCTGCGGCTACGGCTGCAAGATAGGTGGCGCGTGTTAAATGTACGTGTTTTGGAACGCACAAGAGTCCGCATGAGTGCCGCGGCCGAGTGGCGCGCGCTCCTGCAGGAATTCCCGGCGAGGTGCGTCACCTCGGCGGCCTTACGTCGTAGGAAGCGCTGGCGGAAGAAGTGCGCCCGCCTGTGCGCCGCGCAAAACGGGCTCCCGCCCGAGGTCCGGCGCGACGTCTGGGCGCGCATGCTGGCGGCCGCGGCCGAGGCGGCGCCGCGCATCACCGACGCCGCGCCGGCGCCGGCGCCGGCGCCGGCGAACGACGCGGCCGCGCCGCGCATCGTCGGCAGCTCGTCGCGGTCCCTCGTGCCCGCGAACGAGGACTCGCCGCGCTGGGCGCGCGCGCGCCGGCGGTCGGACGACGGCCGCATCGCCGAGAACATTCCGCGCGAGATCGCCCTCGACGTGCCGCGCACGCTGACCGGCTCCGGCTCCGCCGACGAGGCGACCGAGGACTGCGGGGCGGGCGCGAAGCGGCTGCGCCGGCTGCTCACGCACTTCGCGCGGACGGCGCCGCCGGACCAGGGCTACTGCCAGGGCCTGAACTTCCTCGGCTCGACCCTCTTGCGCGTCTTCGACGCGAACCGCGACCCGCGTGCGACGACCGTCGACGCGCGGGGCGCCCTGGCGTTCCGCGGGCTCGTGGCGCTCGTGGCGCCGCTCTACGCGCCGGACTTCCGAGGGCTCCGGGAGCTCGTCGCCGTCGCCGGCGCCGTCCTGCCGGCGTACGCGCCGCGCCTCGCGGCGCTCCTCCGCGACGAGCTGTGTGGGAATCAAGCAGTTAGGTTATCCCGAGGAACCTCCACGCCATCGAGCAGAGGCTGTGACGGGGACAACGTCGCATCGACGGCGTGGGGCGCCTGAAGTTTGATTTCCACACAGGCGACGAGGACCTGGACCTGATGCCGATCGTCTCGAGCTGGGTCCTGGCCCTCTTCGCCGCGACGCCGATGCCGCCGCAGAACGTCCTCGTCTGCTGGGACCTGCTGCTCCTGGGCACGCCGAGCCGCCGCGAGCTGAGCCTCGAACGCTGCGCGGGCGGCCGGCCGCGCGACCGCGACACGGGCTCGGGCTCCGACGACGCCGCGGGCGCGCCGGCCCTGTTCGCGCGGCCGCGCGCGGCCGCGCGACGGTTCTTGCGGCTCGGGAGCATCGAGGACGCCGCGGCCGAGAAGATGGGCGCGTCGGCGAAGCGCCACGTGGTGCTGCTGCGCCTCTGCCTGGTCATGCTGCGCGTCGGCGAGGAACGCATCGGCGACGCCGCCGACGGCCTCGACGCGCTCAGCCGCCTCGGCGCGGCCTGGTTCCCCGCGACGCCGCCGGACCTGTGCTCGCGGTTCCTCGCGTGCGAGATCCGCTCGAAGCCGATCCGCGCCGCCGCCAGGAGGCACCGGCGCGACCGGGCGCGTGAAAAACGCGCGAAGCAGGGTCTGCCTCCGCGCCCCCCCGGCGCGCTCGCGCGGCTCCGCGCCCTGCTTTCGCCGGACCCGGGCACGACGCTCTGAATTTTGCTGCTACTCTACTAACGACTACGACCATTCCTGTTCTACAATTCCACAAGCTTACAACACACACCAAAAAAGAAGAACCGAGTCACGTCAGGTACCACACGTCGCCGAAGCGGTCGACGGCCTTGTCCTTGCTGGGCCGCGGCTTCGACGAGAACACGCCCTTGAGCCCCTCCCAGACGCTCCGCCGCCGCGGGGGGACGGGCATGCCGCAGGGGCTCTCCCACACGACCGGCTCCTTCGGCTCGTCCGGCTCGGCGGGGGGGATGGGCATGCCGAGCGCCGCGGCCGCGTCGGCCGCGGCGGCGGCGGCGGCGGCCGCGTCGGCCAGGTCCGCGTCGTGCGCGCGGAAGAGCGCCGCCAGGGGCACGGGCTCCGCGAGGGGCGACGGCGGCGCGGGCCCGAGGGGCGGCGGCGGCGGCGCGGTCTTGATCGCGCGGCGGAGCGTCTCGACGACCTCGGCGAAGCGCGCGTCGCGGTCGCGCGAGTCCATGGCGTAGTGGCCGCCGTCGGCCATGAGCGCGACGATGTGGTCGCCGTCGACGCCGTAGACCCAGACGCCCTGCGTCGCGCCGACGCACTGGAAGAGCGGCGCGCGGATCTGCGGCGGCGCCTGCTCCCGGAGCTTGAGCAGGAGCGGGCGGTCGAGCGCCGTCGCCACGAAGCGCCGCGAGACGCGCACGGCCATGGCGACGCCGACCATGAGCTCGCGGTACTCCATCTCGCCGCCCGTCATCTTGTCGTCCAGGTCGCGCAGCTCCTTCGGGATGTCCTCGAACTCGCGGTCGTCGAAGTCGGGGTTCACCGGGTGCTGCGTCTCGCGCGGGAGCCGCGCGATCGGCTCGCCGAAGCGCGTCGCGAGCACGGCCACGTAGACCGACGGGAACACGGTGGCCACCGTGCGCAGCGGCGCCTCGTAGTGCAGCTGGCTCGGCGTCGGCTTTTTCTTTTTCTTCGGCTTGCCTCCGCCGCAGGGGAACATGGTTTTTCAAGCGTGCGCTGGACAGCACCTCTGAGTCCAGCACTGTGGCTGTACGCTGGCTGTAGTCGCGCGTTAATAATAGGTGCGGGCTTTCGTTGGCCGCAGTCGCGCCTGTGACGTTGTGGAAGGTGCACGAGCTCGTTGCTGCAGTCGCGTGTGTGCGCACGTTAAAAGGTGCGCGGAGCTCGTTGGCTGCAGTCACTATGTGCGCACTGGAGGTCAAATCCTCGGCAAGGGGGTTAAGTAAACCCAAGCGGCCACAGCTTGAGCAACTCTGTATATTTATAAGGTACCTTGCTAGCAAGTACCAAGTACCAAAGCGCCAGCAACAAAACAATCCGCGGGGCCCTCGGAATATATCACGCCAACGCAAAACTTGTGCGTGGAGGTCCGCACCGCTCGTTGGTTCTAGCGTGCATAAACCCCACCAGTGCTGACAGCTTTTAGCATTCGAGAGAGGACCTCTTAAAAGCAATCAGAATTCAGGCTTAGGCTCCTACGTCGTGGGTCCCGCTACCAGATATCATAGCTGAAGAGAAATAATGTACCGCCACGCGTTCCGAGTCCTCGCCCAGCGCGCGCCGGTCGCGACGGCCGCGGCGGCGACGGCGCTCGTGGTCGCGCCGCCGAGCCGCTGCGACTGGTGGTCGTCGAAGACGCCGTCGGCGCCCGCGCCCGCGGCGGTGGCGGCGCCGCCCGTCGTCGAACCCAAGACCGGCGTCGAGTTCCCCGCGGAGCAGGGCGGCCTCAAGCTCGCGGGCTGCGGCGTGCGCGTCTGTGTGGAAATCAAAATTTTATGGCGCGTCGACCTCCACGTCATCGACGCGACGCCTGCTCGATAGCGTGGCGGTGGTGGTTCCTCACCGCTCGACGGAGCCAGCACGGCCGCGTCATCGCCGAGAAATGACTTAGTGAAGAATTGTCGGGTGCACCCGACGCACTGTTTGATTTCCACACAGGTGCGCGTCAAGTACGGCTTCATCAAGGTGTACGCCGTCGGCGTGTACCTGTGTGGAAATCAAATTCGGGCGCCCCACAGATGTTGTCTCCGTAGCTGCGTCTGTGCGATGGCGTGGCGATTCCACGCCATCGACGCGACGTTGTCCTTGTGGCTGCGCCGGTTCGATGGCGTGGAGGTCCACGAAGGTCCACGCAATATTTCTCAGGATAACCTAGCTCACTGCTTGATTTCCACACAGGCGTGTACGTGTCGCCGCGCGTCGCGCTGGACAAGCGCGCGGCGTCGCCGCTCGCGGCGCTGCGGACCGCGCGCCGCGACGGCGCCGTCGTCGAGCTGCGCCTCACCATGGCGCGCGACGTCCCCAAGAAGACGTTCGTCGACGCGCTCGCCGAGCAGATCACGCCGCGCGCCGGGGCGCCCCAGAGCGACACGTTCGCCGCGGCGATCACGGGCGGCCTGCGCGACCCGACGCCCGAGGGCTCGACGACGACGATCCGGCTCGATCCCGACGGTACGATCCTGTGCGCAAATCAACCAGTGAGTCGGGTGCACTCTTACTCTGCTGCAGCGCGGCCGCGAAGACTGAATCGAGGGGCGCAAGACCCACACCGCCACGCCGTCGAGCTGGCGTCGCGTCGAGTCGCGCCGCGACAATTTGATGTACGCACAGGTACGATCTCGGTCCTCGACGACACGGGCCTCGTCACCGCGCACGTCGTCGTGCCGGCCGTCTGCGACGCGTTCCTCGACATCTACCTCGGCGCCGACGGCATATCGCCGACGACCCTCGAGGCCGTCAAGGCCGGGCTCGAGAAGTTTTGAGCGCGGCCCCCTCGGGCAGAATATAAGGTCTCGTCTGCTTAGGGTTCTTCACTAGTCGGCCGCGCGGCCTCGTCGTCGACGACGTCGAGCGCGGCCGATATGTGCGCCGCGGCGAGGAGCGAGTTGTCCCAGAGGTGGAAGAGGTGGAGGAGGAAGTTGTGCCGCAGGTTCTGGCCCGCGATCTCGGCCGCGTGCGCGCGCGCGAAGGCGACGACGGCCCGCGGCACGTCGCGGTCGGCCTGGATGGGCCGCGCGAAGATCCAGCGGTTCCAGAGCTTCATGAACGCCTTCTCCGGCGGCGTCACGTCCTCGAACTCGTCCAGCAGCACCTCGGCGCGCCGGAGGCGCCAGCCCTCGTCGACCTCGTCGTCGCTGTCGTAGCCGCTCTGGAGGAGCCGCGGGTGGATCGGCTGGCCCGTGCGCGCGTGGTAGTACTGGCGCGTCGGCGCGGTCGGGCGCGGCGTGCCGAGCGGCAGGTCGGCCTGCGCGCCCGCCGCGGCCGCCGCCTGGCGCACCACGTACTGGTCCTTCGAGCAGCACTTGACGACGCCCGGCGGCGGCGGCGCCGCCACGATGAGGGGCGGCGCCGCGTCGTCGTCGTCGTCGTCGCCCGCGAGGGCCCCGGCCCGCCGCGCCGCCGCGGAGACCGCCCGCGGCGTCGCGACGACGTGGAGGCGGTCCCGGTCGTCGAGGAGGCACTCGAAGCGGAGCGCCGGGCTGTGGCTCGCGCGGAGGTGCTGCGCCAGCGCCCGGCTCGTCCCGGCCTGGAAGCCGCACCACGCGCACGCGGCCTGCGTGGACATAGACTCACCGGGCGCTCGCCGCGAAATTGGACTTCGACGCCGCGCGCGACGGCGTCGGTGCGCGACACGCGCGAGGCAAGCGCCCGCGTCGCCGCGTCCCAATACACGAGGTGGTAGAAGACGCACGCCGGCACGGCGTCGCCCGCGGGCGCGCCCGGGGGCGCCGGCGTCGGCGCGGCCGCCACGGCGCGGGCGGCCGCGAGCGACGCGGTCGTCGCGCCCGCCGGCGCGCAGGCCCACGCGGCGCCGACCCGCACCGTGTAGGCGCCGGCCGCCTTGCGCTGGGCCTTGAGCTTGACGGCTTCGAAGCCGCCGCGCGCGGCGGCGGGCGCGTCGGCGAGGCCGAGGATGCCCCGCGTCGCGTCGCCCGCGAACGTCTTGTGGACGTCGACGAGCGCGCCGTGCGACGCGCGGCCCAGCGGGCCCGGCAGGCCCGCCTGCGTCACCGCGTGCTGCTCGAGCGCCTCCTTCTCGCTGAGGGTCGCGGCCGAGAAGGTGCAGGCGTCCGGCCAGCGGAGAAAGGCGCCCTCGTCGGCGGCGCCGTCGCCCGCCGCGTCGAAGACCTGCAGCGCGACGCAGGCGCGGCGCGTGCCGTCGAGCATCGCCGACGCCTCCGTGTCGAAGCAGAGCCAGACCTCGTCGCCCGGCGGGGCCTCCTCCTGCGTCTTGCGCTTCTTCGACGCCGGGGGCTTGCTTCCGGCGCCGGCCGCCTTCTTCGACGCCGGAGGCTTGCTGCCGCCGGCGGCCGCCGGGGCGGCCGTCAGGCGCACGGGGCGCGCGGCCTCGAGCGGCGCGAGCGTCCGCCCCCGGCGCTCGTAGAGCGTCGCGCACAGGAGCCGCGCCCCCGCCGGCGCCCCGGCCGCGCTTAGCGCCGCGGCGGGGAGCCGGAGCCGGAGGTAGCGCCCCACCGCGCGGTCGGGCGCGGGCGCGGGCGCGGCCGGGCCGCCGATCGTCGGCTGGCCGGGCACGAAACTCAGCGTGCGCCTCAAAAACAGCGGATTCTCCCGCTGGCGGCGCGCGAGGTAGGCGTGCCAGAGCGCGGCCGGCTCGTGGGCGGCGCGGTAGCGGGCGTCGTCGTCGTCTCCATTCGTGGTGGCCATTTTGGCTTCCTGCTTTCGCGCTGCTCTCTTAGGCGGACGGCGTATGCGCTATCGGGTGGAGCAGCGCTGCTGCGGTGGAGCTACGGGACAGCGATGCCTTTGCTAGCAAGACTGCGCTCTATGAACCTTGCGCGCGCCGCCGCGCGAGAGCCGCTTTGCAGAGATGCCTAGTGTCTTACAGCGCTAGCGCGCGGTAATGGATCGAGTTGAACGCGGGGGACGTAATAGCCCGAGCCTGACCCGGTCTCGAAGCATGTCTCGGATTGTCCTTCGGTCTGGAACCTCTCGAGTCTCGGCGGCCCGTCTTGATGACGAAAAGCAACACACGAGGACACATGCGAGTAAAAGTAAATTAACCCAAACTTAGGCCTCACGCGTCGGCGGCGGGCCAGCTCCCCGGCTTCTCCGTGCCGTCGAGCGCGAGCTCGCCGCAGGCCGCGATGACGACCTTCTTCGACGTCTCGCCGCCCTGCGAGCCGACCTTCTCGATCGCCTCGACGACGTCCATGCCCTCGACGACCTTGCCGAAGACGACGTGCTTGCCGTCGAGCCAGGGCGTCTTGGCCGTGCAGAGGAAGAACTGGGACCCGTTCGTGCCGGGGCCCGCGTTGGCCATGCTCAGCACGCCGGCGCCCGTGTGCTTCAGCCGGAAGTTCTCGTCCTCGAACTTCTCGCCGTAGATCGACTTGCCACCCGTGCCGTTCTGGTTCGTGAAGTCGCCGCCCTGGCACATGAAGCCGGGGATGACGCGGTGGAACGGGCAGCCCTTGTAGCCGTAGCCCGGCTCGCCCGTGCAGAGCTGCCGGAAGTTGTCGGCCGTCTTCGGCACGATGTCCTTGCGCAGCTGCATGACGATGCGGCCCGCCGCCTCGCCGTCCATCGTCACGTCGAAGAAGACCTTGGGGTTGCCGCGCACCGCCAGCGCCTGGCTCTTCGTCTTCGCGCACTGCTTCGCCATCCACGCGTCGAGGTCCGCGCGCTCCGGATGTTTTTCTTTGATTTTTTCCCCAGCCTCCCACGCTTTGACCTTGGCCGCGCGCCAGGTCTCGCAGTCGGCCTCGTCCTTAGCAGTCCAGAGGGCTTCCAGCGCCGCTTCGTCGGCGGCTGCTACCTGCTCTGCCATTTTTTTGGAGTGTTGTTGGCTTCGGGGGCGAGCGGAGGGTCGGGATCTGCCACCTGGCCCAGTGGCAACACTTTAGTTAGTAGTTATTGGCTTCGCCGAGACTGCTGTTCGTTTCGCGACTACTGACGATGACACGCTGCAAATGCAATTTTACAGCAGGCTGCGTGAAGGCGTTTAGACCTCGATCGAGACCGCGTACCTCGAGGTATGCATAGAGCTAGGGGGGGGTTTCAGGTCGGAATAGATATGCGGCGTTTTGGTTAACTTTTCCGTGGCCCGTGGCGTCGAGGCAATTCTCTTAGACGGAAGTGTGCTATTAAGAAAGTACGACCCGCCACCGACGAACCGGCAAAGCGCGGCCGCCGCGCGAAACCGTCGAATGTCGAAAGCCGCGCCCGGGCACCAGTCTCATCACGATGGTTTTCGTGAAATACTTGTATAGGTATGTCCGAAGACAGGCGCGCATATATTCTTTTCGATTGAAGTACACACTACTACTACCTACTGAGCGGTGCCCATCGCCGCGGCCAGGGCCTCCGCGAGCGCCCCGGCGCCGACGCGTGGCGCGTCCATCGGCAAAGACAGGTGTATATCTCCGTCGCGAGATAGCTCTGGAATGTGGGCTTCGGGCGTGCCCGGCGGCTGGACAGCGCCCGAGAAACCCCAGCCCAAGGAAACCTTGCTGTCGAGTGCGGTCCCCGATTCTCGCGAAAGAATGGCCAGACAGCAGCGCGAGCGCGGCGGAATTACGTCCTGGGACAGAAGCGAGGTCCCTCGCGACGAGACGAAGCCGCGAGTCTTCTCGGTCGCGTCCAGTCCGATCAATACCGGATTTGGACCATGGTTGACAGCGACGAAGGCAATGCCCGCTTCGTCCTCGATAGTCAAAATCTCGACGATGGGCCGTTTGAGCGAATCCTCGAGGAGCGGCGCGCGCTTGCCCGAGTCCTCCGCAATCTGCGCGAGCGCCGCCGCCACGACGGAGGGCTCGCAGCTCACGACGCCGACCTCGCAGACCAAGTCGCTGTGGACGACGGCTCGGAACCGCCGCGGCTCGACGGAATGTCGGTGCCCGAAGCACAGAGGCACGACTAGGTAGCGCGTAGTAGGGTCGTCGTCGTGCTCGAGGGTCAGGTGGCACGCCGCGCCGGCGCGGTGCGCGACGCGCGGCGCGGCCGCGACGAGCCGGTGCGTCCGCGGGTCGTCGCCGGCGACGGCGCGGTCGCTGCGCGAGGCGCACTTGACGACGACGCAGCCGAGGTCCAGCGCCGTCGCCGCGCCGGCCTCGCCCTGGCGCACGGCGTGCGGCTCCTGGTAGAGGGCGACGTCGAGCCGCGTCCGCGCGTAGGCCTCGACCGCGACGCACTCCCCGCCGTTGAACGCGCTCCCGAGCCAGCCCCCGACGCGCGCGTCGACGCGGTCCCGCAGCACGCGGCACACCGTCAGCTCGACGAAGTACGCCAGGAAGTCGTCGACCGCCATCCAGAAGACGCCCGGGTCCTCGCGGTCGAGCCCCAGCGCCTTGCGCGCCGCGAAGGTCATGCGCTCCGCGTCCTCGCGCGACCACTTGCCCTTCCAGAGGGCCACGCCGTTCGGGTTCCGCAGCTTGAAGAGGTGCTCGCCGTCGTAGACGCGGCACTCGAGCAGGCCGTACGCGTGCCGCGTCTGCAGCCCCTTGGCCTTCATCTCCTGGCCGAACGGCGTCGCCGGGTCCGTGAACGTCGAGGCGCCGACGGCGAAGCCGCTCTCGAAGAAGCTGAAGACGCGCGCGAAGCACTCGACCTCGGCCTCGTCGGCGCCGCCGGGGAACCGCTTGTCGAAGGCCTCGCGGAAGACCGCCCCGTCGTCGCCTGCGGCGGCGGCGCCGCGCGCGCGCGCGGCCGCGGCCCAGGCGCCGCCGTCGCGCGTGTAGCCGTGGAGCCGCTCCTGGTCGACGGGGAAGCCCGTCAGCGTGTGGAAGGCCTCGGCGAAGGTGCCGCCCGCCAGCGCCTCGTACGAGCCGTGGAGCTTGGCCGCGGCCTTCTCGAGGAGCGGCGCCCAGAGCGCCCGCCGCGCCGCCTTGACCTGCGTCGAAACCAAGCGGTTGGGTCGGGGCGCCGCGGCGACGTCCGCGCGGGCGGGGACGTAGGCGAGCATCTCGAGGGCGTTGCACGGCAGCAGGTCGTCCACGAGCAGCGTGCGCCACTCGCCCGCGAGGCAGAGCCGCAGCTTGTAGGCGCCCGCGGGGTTGTACGCGCGCGTGACGACGCAGTTCTTGAGCGTCTCCGGCGCCGCCTCGGCCAGGATGGACAGCGCGCAGACGTACCAGCAGTTGCCGACGCCGCCCTGGCGGATGTCGTCCGCGCGCGGCTCGCCCCGGAAGACCTCCCACGGCACGTCGCTCGTGAGGCCCGTGACGTCGTCGCGCAGGTCGCCCGGCCGCAGCCAGGCCGACGGCCGCATGGCCACCTCGAGGACGGGGTGCTCCCGGCCGCAGGCCGCGCACCGCACCAGGGGGAGGTCGCCCCGCCGCTGCCGCTGCATGAGCGCGAGGACGGCCTCGCGGCCGTTCGCGTCGGGCGGCACGGCGTTCCGCGCGCCGCACTGCGCGCAGCGCCACGAGTCGCCGTCGTTGCCGCCGCCCGCATAGAGGCTCGCCTCCGCGGGCGGGAAGCCCGGGTCGACGAACTGGATGCCCTCCTCGCGGTAGAGGACGTTCAGGACCCCCATGGTCTCCTCCGCGACCTTCTCGCCCTCCTCCAGGCGCTTGAACGACGTCGCGCCCGCCGGCGCCGGCGCCGGCGCCGCGGCGGCCGGCGCGGGCGCCGGCGCGGCCGGGGGCGCGGCGCGCTCGGCCGTCGCCCGCCGCAGCGCCGCGGCGGCGGCGTCGTTCGGCGTCGTGCCGCCCGCCGCCATCAGCTCCGCGAAGATCTCGCCCACGCGCTTCTGGAAGCGCGCCTTCGCGTCCGGCGCGGGCGCCTCCGGCACCGGCGGCGGCGGCGGCGCGGCCGCCGGCGGCGCCGCCGCCTCGCGCGACATGGCGAGGGCGCGGGCCAGGTCGTCGTCGTCGTCGTCCGTCTCCATCGGCGCCGGGCCCCGCGCCCGCTCCACCTCGCCGTCCGACATGGCCAGGCGCGCGTCGACGAGGCGCAGCGCGGCGTCGACGCCGTCGGCGCCCTCGCGCGCGCAGAGGTCGCCGTCCGCGGCGAAGCCGAGCGCGCCGAGGAGGGCGCCCGCGTCGCCGAAGCGTTCGCGAAAGAGGCGCGAGGACGTCTTCAGCCTACGATACTTAATTTCGTCGGGGTTCGTTGCTATCTTGGTCAGGAGCTTGTGGACGTGGGTCACTGTGGACGTGGGCGCCTTCAGCAACTCTTGCTCTATATTGCCTTCGTCCATAGTCGGGTCAGTCGCGTCAGTTGCGGTCTAGCTCTAAGCAAATCAATGCAAGTACGCGCTTTTTTATCGCAGCGCTGTCCAAAACGGGCTGTTCCGCAAAGTCTGGTGACTAGCGGTTTGTAAGACACTAGGAGTACTGGAGGTACTAGTGCGTAACTAGCCTGAGCCTGACTAGTAATTATTATGGGCCGGGGAGGGGGAACGCTGGGGGGGAAGGCGCGTTAACCCCCCCATGTTGAATTGAATTGAAATTCGCTTACTTTTGACTATCGTTCGTTGGGTGATGATAGAGGGTAATGCTCCACGGAAATCGATGCGGTTGGCTGCGCAATGACTAGAAGATTAAAGGGAAGATCACACGACACACCCGAGCGAGCAGCACAATCCACACGTCGACGTCCAGGTACTTACGAGCCCCCGAACACAACTACTACTACCGCGCCACGCACTCGAGCAGCGCGCGCGCGCCGAGGACGTCGCCCAGGAGCGACGTCCGGTCGTCGAGCACGACGCGGTCGCCCGCGGCCTTGCGCACGACGAACGCCTCCAGGTCGACGCCGCGCACGTCGCACCAGTCGAGGACCTCGCCGGCCGGCGCGTCGGTGGCGAACTTGCGCGTCGCGGTCGAGCCGTCGGGGCAGCGCAGCTTCACCAGGACGCCGGGCCCGTCGGGCTCGGGCGCCAGCGCCTTTTCGAGCGCCGCCCGTCGCGTCAGGTCCGCGGCCGCGCGGCGCTCGGCGGCGAGCGCCGCCTCGGCCTCGGCCGCGGCGGCGGCCGCCGCCGCGGCGCGTGCTGCCGCCGCCTCCGTCGCGGACTTCCGGTCGCTGCTCTTGGCCTCTGCGAGCTCGCGCTTCTGCTCCGACGCGAGCCGGTGCTCCGCGGCCGCCCGCTCGAGCGCGGCGAGGTCGTCCGCCGCCGTCTCGCGCGCGCGCGCGAGCCAGCTCTCGCCGACGCCCGTGCCGCGGTAGACGGCCACGTAGCGCAGCTGGCCGGCGCCCGCCGGCACCGCGAGCGCGCAGAACGGCGCGTTCTTCGGCAGCGCCGCGGGCATCGCCGCCGACGCGAGCCTCGCGGCGCGCGCGTAGGTCTGCGCCGTGCGCGTCGCGTCGAGCAGGACGGCGTCGCTGCCCAGCGCCTTGACCGCCGCGGCGAGCTCCTCCGCGGCCGCCGACGCCGGCGGCGCCGCGACGACGAGCACCGGCCGGCCGGTCGCGAGCGCCCGCCGGGCCGCGCGCGCCGCCGTCGCGAGCGCGCCGGGGCAGGCCGCCTCGACCGCCGACGGCGCGTCGGCGCTCGCGCTCGTGCCGCTCTTGCCGCTCTTGCCGCTCGAACCGCCGCCGCCGAAGAGCGAGGCCAAGGCCCGTCGGAGGGCTCGCGCCGCCGAGGCGAGCGCCTTGAGCGGGTCGAAGTGCACGTCCAGATACACCTCGCCGTCCCTGTCCTCCTCCGGCGCCTCGACGACGTCGCGCGGCGCCGCCTCGACCACCGCGGCCTCGTCGCCGTCGTCGTTGGCGCCTCCCCGCGGCACGAGGCGCAGCGGCAGCGGTCTCGTGCAGCTCGCAGCGGCTGTGATTGCTAAAAGCAGCGCTTGAGCTGCGACTGCACGCCGCATGGCCGCAGCACTCGCGAGACAGCAGCACTGCAGCGCTACCACAGCAGTCGGTACGAAAGACGATTTTTGCAACTCCTGCGCTACCAACGCGTACGTTTGTAGTTTTTTGGGCTTCAAGGCTAACTCTAGTGCCTCTATACGACTCTAGCTGCGGCGCCAGCGCTGGGAGCGAGTTGCGGGCTCGCTCGCGCATAAAAACCCCACACGGGCTTCGCTGATACCTTCACCAAGCCACCGCGGCCGCTGCTTGCGCGCTTGCGCCGTTCCACAGCTCTCCTGCGAGCCGGCGCCGCCGCGGGGCGCTGCTAGCGCGACCTAAATTATTAGCGGCACCGGCCAACGTCGTGGCGGACTTTGCGACGGGTAGAGCGTAAAAGAAACGGCTGCGAAACATGGTCCGCGTCGCAAATGAATACCTGGCGTGCGCCTGCCGCGTGCAGCAGGACAACCCCAAGAAGAACATGAGCGCCGACCGCTACGAGCGCTACAAGGCGGCGAGGACGCTCCAGCAGGTGCTGGATCTGGGGGGTTCGCGGGGCGACATCGCCAACGACATGCTGCGGGGTTACATCGTGGTCGAGGACCGCGAGATCCACGAGGCGATCCTCATGACGGCGAACGAGAGCGAGCGCCGCCACCTGCCCGCGCACCTCCTGGGCCGCCTGCCGCCGGCGGGCTCGGGCTCGGACCCGCGCTCGCGGCCCCGCGCGCCGCGCCCGCCGCCGCCGCCGCGGTCGCGCGCGCCGCCGCCGCCGCCTTTGCCGCGCAAGCTGGCGCCGCCGCCGCGCGACCTCTACGACCGCAAGCGCCCGCGCGACGCGACCGACAAGTCGTCGATGCGCAAGCGCGCCGTCGAGTGCGTCAAGCGCCGCGCCAAGATCTTCGGTCGCAGCGTCGGCAAGGGCCGGCTCCTGCCTGTGTTCGATGACACGTAGTAGGAGCATGTGGGCACTAAACGTATTCCAAGTAACCTTGCCAGTAGTGGGCGTTTGCTTGAGCTGGGCCACATATAGAGGCCAGCCACGAGGCCGACGCGCATGACCCAAGATTGGTTTATGCTCCCGGGCCCTCGCCGCCGTCGCCTCCGAGCTAAATAGATAAACTTTGAATAAATAAATTAAGGAAGACCTAAAAAAGGAACAAGCTCCTAAGAGCCTTCTCCCTGCTCGGTCAGGATGCCCAACCGGAGCTTCGAAATAGCAATAAGATATCTGTATACCGTATTCTAAGTCTCTAACACTCGGGGCGACCGTCACGGCCCCGGCGACGGCGTATGAGGGCCGGGGGCGGGGCGGGCGTGCGGTCACGCAGACCCCGCGCCGGGCGGGTGCCTAGGCGCCCCGGGTGGCTAGGCGGCCGAGCTCTAAGCAAAGCACTTATGTCCGGACGACCATAATCGAGATAGTTCCTAATTAACAGGCGCCAAGGTCACCACCGCATCGACGCCGCGCGATCATCCGCGAGGGCGGGCCGTCCCACTTCGAGGCCCAGCTGCTGAGTGGCCAGCTTCGGGCGCGGCGGCGGTTGGCGCGCGCCGGCCGATGCCGGCCTTGGGACGCGCTCGGCCCCGCGAGAGTGTGAAGAAGAGGACGCGGAACGGCCTTCGCCGTCCGAGAACAGGCTCAAATAATCAAAAGACCACGAGGCGCTCTCGTCGACGGTGCGGAACCGGTCCGCGGGCGTCGGCGCCGCCGGTTTCGCGGCCCTGTCGCGGCGGAAGGCGATCGCCGCGTCGGTCTTGGCGGTGCCGCGGTAGTGCGGCCGCGGCGGCCGCTTCGGGGGCGGCGCGCCCTCGTTGTCGGCGAGCGCGGCTGCCGCAGCGCGTCGCCGCGCCGACCCCGGCCGCCGGGTGGCGTGATCCGGCCGCCGCGAGGCGTGCTCCGGCGCGGCCGGGCCCGCGCGCGGCTTGCGCGGCGAGAGCTGGACGGCGGCCTTGACGACCGACACGGCGGACCGGAGGAGCGACTTCTTCGGAGACGCCGCCGCAGGTCTCGGCTCGCGCGGCGGCGGCACGAGCGCCCTCGGCGGCCCGAGGGGGCAGTGCTCGTAGAGCTTGCGCACGGGCAGCTGCGCGGCGCGCGCGAGGAGGCAGTCCGAGAAGCGGAGGCACTCGAAGAGCGGCAGGTACGCGTCGCTCTTCTCCTTGGCGGCCTGCGCGGCCTGCGCAGCGCGCGCGTTCGTCCAGCCAGCGTCGGCGTCGGCCGCATCGTAGCCTGCGTGGAAATCAACCAGTGAGTCGGTTACGACGCTGCCGTGCTGGCTCCGTCGAGCGGTGAGGAACCGGCACCGCCACGCTATCGAGCAGGCGTCGCGTCGATGACGTGGAGGTCGACGCCGGCGGTTCAGGACGAACGCGTCGCGAATTTTGATTTCCACACAGGTCGTAACGGAACGGCGGCGGCGGCCACGCGCGCGAAAAGCCGCCGCTCCGCGCGCGCCGGAGCTCGTCCTCGGCGTGGCAGACGACGTCCCAGTCGTCCGGGCCGAGCCGCTCGAGCGCGACGTCCTCGGGCCGGCCCGAGCGGCGCCAGGCGTCCTGCTGCGCGCCCGCGCCGCCGGCCGGCCGCGCCGGGCCGCCGGCGCGCGACCGGTCGAGGCGGTCGCGGCGCGCGGCGCGCGCCTCCTTGCGCGCGGCCTTGGTCGAGAAGGGCCGGAAGCCCGTCGTGTGGAAGACGTCGGCCACGAGGCGGCCCTTGATGCGCCGGTCGAGCACCGAGTTGCCCATGAGCGACGGCGAGATGTTGACCTCGATGAGCCAGGGCCGCAGGTCCGCGTCGAGCAGCACGTCGAAGCCGAAGAGCTCGTAGCACGGCCGCCGCGGCGCCGGCGGCGCGCCGGCCGGCCGCGCGGCCCGGCACGCCTGGACGTTGTGCGGCGTCAGCTCGGCCTCGGCGGCGATGAGCGTCTTGACGACGAGGTCGTGGCAGCGCGCGCGCACCGCCGCCGCGTCGTGGCCGTGCGCGTCGAGCCAGCGCCACAGCGCCTGCAGCGGCCACTTGAAGGCGTCCTCGGGGTCGGCGCCGCCGGCCGTCGGGTCCGCGGGGCCCGCGGCGGCCTCCTCGTCGTCGTCGTCGTCGTCGCCGTCGTCGTCGTCGCCGCCGTCGTCGTCGGCGTCGGCGGCCTCGGCGCCGTCGCCGTCGGCCTCGACGTAGCGCTTCGACTTCTTGTTCACCGAGTAGTTCGTCAGGTGCACGTAGCGGCAGCGCAGGTTGCGCATCGTGTACGCGTGCGTCGAGAAGCGCACGAGGCCGTCCTCGTGCACGTAGACGACGAGCGGGTCGACGGACGTGACCAGGGCGTAGAGCCGCAGGTCGAACTTGCGGCCGTTCACGCCGAGGAAGGGCGCGTCGACGTAGCGCTGCACGACGTATTTCTTCTCCTTCGGGAGCGTGCCCGCCGTCAGCTCGCGCGACGTGGCGAGCCGGATGCCCCGGCCGCACGAGCTCGCCGGCGGCTTGACGATCCACACGGCGTGCTTGTCCAGCTTCGCCTTGCCCTCGAGCGCCCGGGCCTCGCCCGGCAGGATGTAGCCCTCGGGCATGAAGGCGTAGGCCTTGGCCGCGGTGCCGCCGCGGCTGCGCGCGCGGCCCAGGCAGCGCAGCAGCCGGTCCTTCCGCCCGATGCACCACGACCCCGGGAAGTGGTTCACGCGCTGGTGCCGCCGCTGCGTCGCGTAGACCTCGGCCCCGGGGTGCTTGGTCCACGACGCGCACCACGGCAGCTTCGTCACGTGGGCGTCGAGGGCCTTCTTGCCCTTCTTCTTGCCGCCGGCCGCCCCGGTCGGGGCCAGGCCGAGGAGGCCGCCCACGAAGTCCGCGAGCCCCGAGCCGGATCCGTCCGGCGACGCCTCGCCCCGGACGCCCTTGAGGGCCCGCAGCTCGGTGCCGTCCTTGACGCGGCGGAAGCCCGCGAGGCTGAAGGCGTTCTTGATGCAGTTCCGCTCCCACGTGCACCGGTAGGCCAGCCGCCGCGTCCCGAGGTCCGCCGCGACGGGGAGCGGGCCCGACCGCTCGAGGTTCACGTCCTTCTGCGGGTAGGGGAAGTAGACCGTCGCCTCGCGCGCGTCGGGCCACAGCGACGGGCACATGCGGACGACGCGGCTCGCCGGCTGCGCCGGCGCCTCGACGACCGTGATGTCGACGACGCGCCGCGCCGACGCGTCGTCCTCGTCCTCGTCCTCGGCCGCCGGGAGGTCATCGATGTCCGAGTCCTCCGAGGGGCCCACCACCGCAGCCCGCGAGCTCAGTGCGCTGATTGCGGCGCGCATCCCTTTATCAAGGTTGGATGTGTCTGTCTCCGGGCGCCGGGGCAGCCCGCCGCGCCGCGGCTGCTTTCCTCGGCTCCTCGGGCGACTACCTCGACCACTTCCAGTCCGTGCAGTCCCGCTCGATGATCAGTTGGATGGAACCAAACCAAAACCCGAACATCCGGTGATCTGATCGATATCTTGATCGATCAAGGAGCTCTAATTCTAGTTGTACTGAGCTCTAATTCTAGTTGTACTTAGTACCTCTTGATCTGATCTTGCAAAACAGAAGAAGGAAGTATCACGTAGAGGTGCTTGGGCGCGCGTCACGAGCTAAGTGCGTTTGATGACCTTTTTGTGGGCCAATGGTATCATTGGCATCAAGCCAGAAGGTCCCGAGCCAGGAGGTGTCAAGGTGAGCCATAAAATGATTAACAAGCCGGCAGTCGTCGGGGTTGGGACTCATGAATCAGAAGAACCGCCGCGGCTTCGCGTTCTCGGCGCCCGGCGGCGGCGGCGGCGCGTCGGCCTGCGCCGCGGCGAGGCGCTTCTGCTTGTCGGCGAGGGCCTTGTGCGACGCGAGGGCCTTGGACTTGGCGAGGACCTGGGAGTCCGTGGCGTTCGCGCGGCGGCCGCCCTTGAGCGCGAAGGCCCGGTCGACGGCCGACTGCGCCGACGCCGACAGCGCGACGCGGGGCCGCGCGGGCGCCGGCCTGGGCGCGGCGGCGGCCGCGGCGGGCGCGTCCCGGGCGGGCCGCGCGGTGCGCGCGAGCACCGGCCCGGCCGCGTCCGTCCGCGCGCCGCGGATCCGCGCCGCGGGCGCGGGCGCGGGCGCCGCCGGGTCGGCCTTGGCCGCCGCGGCCGCCGCGCGCTTGGCGTTGCGTTCCTTGGCGGCGAGCTTGCGCCGGAGCTTGTCGCGGCTGCGGCGGACCTCGGACGCGAAGCCGTCCAGCGCGCCGAAGACGAGCTTGAGCGCGGCCGCCGCGGGGCCGCCCGTGGCGCCGAAGTAGGCCCGGCACTTCTTCGTCGCCGCGTCGAGGGCGGCGATCTTGGCCTCGAGGCCCGCGACGGCCTTGGCCGCCTCGTCGACGCAGCGGCCGGCCTCGACGACGAAGCGCACGGTGGCCTGGGCGTCCAGCGCCGCCCGGCCCTTGGCCGTCGCCGGCGCGGCGGGGCTCGCGACCTCGGGCGCCGGCGCCTCGCCGCTCTTCTTCCGGAGGGCCGCCGCGCGCTTGCGGTCGGCCGACGACAGCGACGCCTCCGCCGCCTTGGCCTCGGCCTGGACCTGGGCCAGCCCGCTCCGGAGCTTGCGCAGCGCGCCGCGCGTGTGGTCGTCGTCGACGTAGCGCGCCGCCTCGGCGAGCGACGGCAGCGCGTCGACGAAGTCGAGGTCCGCGGCCTGGCCCCGCTCGGCGAAGATCTCGGCCACGTAGTCCACGAGGTTCGCGCCGCCCTTGCCCCGCGCCGTGGCGAAGGCCCCGAGCGAGCCCAGCGCCACGCCGGCCGCGTCGCCGCTCGCGAGGCCCGAGTTCAGCGCGTTGCCGGCCTTGAGCAGGTAGCGCAGCACGCGGCCGAGGCCCTCGGACCCGACGAGCGCGGCGACGGCGGCCGCGACCTTGTCCGCCGCGCGGCACGCGTCCCACGCCTGCTCGTCGAACTCCGCGCGGAAGCACGCGGCCTCGACGCGCGCCGCGAAGCGCGGCCACCGCAGCGCCGCCGCGAAGAAGCGCTCGGGCCGCGCGAGGCGCGCGGCGTCGTTCGCCGCGTCGTCGACGTACGACCGCACGAGGGCCTCCTCCTCGGGCGTCGGCAGCTGCACCTGCAGGCTCCGCAGCTTCGGCCCGTCGAGCCACTCCGAGAGCGAGGCGACGGCCCGGCACAGCGCGTCGTCGTCGCCGCGGTACTGCCGCGAGAAGTACTCGAGCCCGATGGCCACGTTCGCGGCGCGGCGCGAGTCCTCGAGCAGCGACACCTTCTTGAGCGAGGCCGGCTCCGCGGCGCCGCCGGCGGCGGCGGCGCGGTCGGCGGCCCGGGCCTTGGCCGGCGGCGGCTTGCTCGCGAAGATCTCCTCGAGCAGCGCGAGGTCGTCGTCGGCCTCGTCCGCCGGCGACGCGGCACCCCAGACCGTCGCGCCGACGTCGACGGACGCGTCGAGCTTCGTCCAGTGCAGCTGCTTCGTCTTGCGCGGCGCGGGCGTCCGCGCGGGCGCCTTCGCCGCCGTCGCCGGGGGCGCGGGCGGCGCGGCGGCGCCGCACACGGCCGCGACGTCGGCCTCGGACCGGCCCTCGCGGCGCATGCGGTCGCCCACGGCGCCCGGCGGCACGCGCATGCGCAGCATCTTGCGGTAGGGCTCGAGCGCCGCGGCGTCGGCCGCCGGCGCCGGCGCCGGGGCGGCCGCGGCGGCCGCGGCGGCCGCGCCGGGGTCGAGCGTGCTCGCGAGCGCGTCGGCGACGCCGTCGCGCCGCGCGGCGGCCTGCGCGCGCGACTCGACCGGTGAGAGGCGGGGCCGCGAAACTGGAGATTTCCGCGCGGGCGCCGCGCCGCGGCCGTGCTGGGCGGCACGCCCATCTTGACCATCTTGCGGTACTTGGCCAGCGGGTCGTCCCCCGCGTCCGCCGCCGCCGCCGCGGGCGTCTCGAACGCGACGCGGCCGCGGCACTGGCGCGGCGTCACGCCGCGCCGGACGTCGTAGCGCGGCAGCGGCGAGTTCGCGCCCAGCAGCTTGCGCGCGGCGCGCTCCTGCTCGTCGTCGAAGGCGCGCTCGCCGAGGCCGCTCCGCTTCAGCTTCGCGCGGATCGCCGCGAGCGCCTCGTCGCGCAGCTCCGGCCGGACGCCCGACGCCGCGAGGCGCTCGCCCACGACGTCCAGCGGCACGTCGTGGATCACGTGCATCGACAGCGCCGCGCCGAGCACCTTGTCCCGGTTCCGCAGCAGGCGCTCCGCGTCCTCGGGCGTCAGCGTCTCGCGGCGCCGGCGCAGCTCGAAGGACCGCCGGCGCGACCGGTCCAGCGGCGTCAGGTAGCACGGGGCCGTCGCGTTCGTCGGCGTCGTCACCGCGGCGGGCTGCGCGGCGCCCGCGCGCTTGGCGAGCATGGCGTTCAGGGCGTCCGGCTTCGGCTTTCCGGCGCGCTGCGCGAGCATGGCTTCTAGGGCCGCGTTTTTGCCCATTATTTTTCCTCTTGTACGCTCTGCGGCGCGCGCGCGTTTTTAGTGCTGCCGGCGCCCACCAAGCGGCGGCTGTGGCAGCAGCAGGTCTCCAAGTCTTCCGGGCACTGCACGAGAGCAGTGATTACGCGGGCACGGCTCAGCGGCCCCGCGCGCTGCGCAAACTGCCTTGACGAGCGGGACGAAACCCGCACTAAAAGGTTCAGCTTTCAGGGCCACAACAAGTGATTAAGCATGAACCCACGCGTGTCCCGTCTCGCCGCCCGTCTCGCGCTTTGCGTCGGCGCACTAGACTGAGCCTCTGAGACGGCGTCTGCGAGGCAAAAAATCAGCCTATTAGCGCGCGCTACAGCGCTGCTCCGAAGCTTTGGGCTTCTCCGGGAGCCTATCCAGCGAGGACTGCTCGCCGCTGCGCTGCGCCAGCTCTCAGCGCGCCGCCGCGGCTCTCCTGAGCCAGCACAGCTGTGTTTCTGGCTGGGCTCCATAGGACGACACGGCGCCGCCGTCACACGGCCCACGATCACTTAGTATGTCCGTCCGTGATTCACGCCGCTGGACTTTGCTTCCTCTTGGGTGACAATGTTTACCTGATAACCGGGTGATCACGTGGCCGTCGGAAAAGTGGTCGGGCTGAGTGGCGGTGGTCTGCTCCGAAACGTTCTCATGGACGCGGCCTGCGGGGTACACAAGGTCGTGAGCTGCGTACCGCTGTGCGGCGCACCTCAAATGGCCTCGACGACGTCAGACGCCGGCCGCACCGTCCTTCTCAAGGTCGCGGCGCTTCGAGGGCTGCTTCTTAGTTGTTCTGGTGCGTGACCTGCGCCGTCGCGACCACGGGCGACGACGGGTCCTCCAGTTCGTGATCTAATGCTGATCTCGCGCCTCGACGCGGGCCGCGCCGTCCTGGACCAGGTCAAGGCGCTTCGAGGGCGGCGTGTTATGTGATCGTGACCTGTACTCGGCGTCGCCGTGAGCAAGGGCGACGTCGGATCTACCAAGTCGTGATCTCTCGCTGATCTTGTGCCTCGACGCGGGCCGCGCCGTTCTGGACCAGGTCAAGGCGCTTCGAGGGCGGCGTGTTACATGATCGTGACCTGTACTCGGCGTCGCCGTGAGCAAGGGCGACGTCGGATCTACCAAGTCGTGATCTCGCTGATCTTGTGCTCGACGGGCGCGCCGTCCTGGACCAGGTCAAGGCGCTTCGAGGGCGGCGTGTTATGTGATCGTGACCTGTACTCGGCGTCGCCGTGAGCAAGGGCGACGTCGGATCTACCAAGTCGTGATCTCTCGCTGATCTTGTGCCTCGACGCTGGCGCGCCGTTCTGGACCAGGTCAAGGCGCTTCGAGGGCGGCGTGTTACATGATCGTGACCTGTACTCGGCGTCGCCGTGAGCAAGGGCGACGTCGGATCTACCAAGTCGTGATCTCTCGCTGATCTTGTGCCTCGACGCGGGCCGCGCCGTCCTGGACCAGGTCAAGGCGCTTCGAGGGCGGCGTGTTACATGATCGTGACCTGTACTCGGCGTCGCCGTGAGCAAGGGCGACGTCGGATCTACCAAGTCGTGATCTCTCGCTGATCTTGTGCCTCGACGCGGGCCGCGCCGTCCTGGACCAGGTCAAGGCGCTTCGAGGGCGGCGTGTTATGTGATCGTGACCTGTACGGCGTCGCCGTGAGCAAGGGCGACGTCGGATCTACCAAGTCGTGATCTCGCTGATCTTGTGCCTCGACGCTGGCCGCGCCGTCCTGGACCAGGTCAAGGCGCTTCGAGGGCGGCGTGTTACATGATCGTGACCTGTACTCGGCGTCGCCGTGAGCAAGGGCGACGCCGGATCTACCAAGTCGTGATCTCGCTGATCTTGTGCCTCGCGCGGGCCGCGCCGTTCTGGACCAGGTCAAGGCGCTTCGAGGGCGGCGTGTTACATGATCGTGACCTGTACTCGGCGTCGCCGTGAGCAAGGGCGTCGGATCTACCAAGTCGTGATCTCTCGCTGATCTTGTGCCTCGACGCGGGCCGCGCCGTCCTGGACCAGGTCAAGGCGCTTCGAGGGCGGCGTGTTATGTGATCGTGACCTGTACTCGGCGTCGCCGTGAGCAAGGGCGACGTCGGATCTACCAAGTCGTGATCTCGCTGATCTTGTGCCTCGACGCGGGCCGCGCCGTTCTGGACCAGGTCAAGGCGCTTCGAGGGCGGCGTGTTACATGATCGTGACCTGTACTCGGCGTCGCCGTGAGCAAGGGCGACGTCGGATCTACCAAGTGGATCTCTCGCTGATCTTGTGCCTCGACGCGGGCCGCGCCGTCCTGGACCAGGTCAAGGCGCTTCGAGGGCGGCGTGTTATGTGATCGTGACCTGTACTCGGCGTCGCGGTGAGCAAGGGCGACGTCGGATCTACCAAGTCGTGATCTCTCGCTGATCTTGTGCCTCGACGCGGGCCGCGCCGTCCTGGACCAGGTCAAGGCGCTTCGAGGGCGGCGTGTTATGTGATCGTGACCTGTACTCGGCGTCGCCGTGAGCAAGGGCGACGTCGGATCTACCAAGTCGTGATCTCTCGCTGATCTTGTGCCTCGACGCGGGCCGCGCCGTTCTGGACCAGGTCAAGGCGCTTCGAGGGCGGCGTGTTACATGATCGTGACCTGTACTCGGCGTCGCCGTGAGCAAGGGCGACGTCGGATCTACCAAGTCGTGATCTCTCGCTGATCTTGTGCCTCGACGCGGGCCGCGCCGTCCTGGACCAGGTCAAGGCGCTTCGAGGGCGGCGTGTTATGTGATCGTGACCTGTACTCGGCGTCGCCGTGAGCAAGGGCGACGTCGGATCTACCAAGTCGTGATCTCTCGCTGATCTTGTGCCTCGACGCTGGCCGCGCCGTTCTGGACCAGGTCAAGGCGCTTCGAGGGCGGCGTGTTACATGATCGTGACCTGTACTCGGCGTCGCCGTGAGCAAGGGCGACGTCGGATCTACCAAGTCGTGATCTCGCTGATCTTGTGCCTCGACGCGGGCCGCGCCGTCCTGGACCAGGTCAAGGCGCTTCGAGGGCGGCGTGTTACATGATCGTGACCTGTACTCGGCGTCGCCGTGAGCAAGGGCGACGTCGGATCTACCAAGTCGTGATCTCTCGCTGATCTTGTGCCTCGACGCGGGCCGCGCCGTCCTGGACCAGGTCAAGGCGCTTCGAGGGCGGCGTGTTATGTGATCGTGACCTGTACTCGGCGTCGCCGTGAGCAAGGGCGACGTCGGATCTACCAAGTCGTGATCTCTCGCTGATCTTGTGCCTCGACGCGGGCCGCGCCGTTCTGGACCAGGTCAAGGCGCTTCGAGGGCGGCGTGTTCATTGAGCTGGTGTGTGACCGACGCCGCTGCTCTGAACTGCAGCTCGCCACCGCGCAATTAGATGTCCATCGATTTAGGGGCGGCGTCATAGGCGGTGAGCGCCTTCGCATTAAACGCGGCCAATGCGTCCCTAAAGTCGGATCTATTACCGACCGAGAACTTGAGTTTGAGCTCGGCGAATGACGCGTCGAGCTCGGCAGCAGGGTCGGCCGGCGGCGCCGCCACGGGTGCTGCTGGTTGTTGTACTAAGGGCGCCGAGCCGCCGCCGTCCACGGCCGCTACGGACTCCGGCACCGCGTCGGCGGCCGGCGCCTCGGTCATCGGAGTGTTCTCATCTTCCGACTCGAGCGGCGGCGGCGCGGTCTGTTCTACTACATCGGGCGGCGGCGGCTGCTGCAAAGCGTCGTCGTCGCCTAGCGCCATCGGCATGCCCACGGCGGCGTCCGCCGGCGCCTCGACGCTCGCCTCCTCAACGGTCTCGGGCTCCTCGTTGTCGGATTCATCGTCCGACGACGACTCATCCTGGCGCGGCTGCACGCGCGCTCTCATGACTTCGAGGGTCTCTTCGTCATCGCTCTCAGAATCGTCGGCGGCGGCCGACGGCGCCTCGGCGGGCGCCTCCTCAACGGTCTCGGGTAATACGGAGTCGCACGGCTCGGTGCACTTCCGACCCCCGTCTGCACAGGTCCAGTGTGCGCCTTCAACTACTACGGTGCCTTTCTCGCGGAGGCGCCACTGTCCACACTTGTCGCAACAGGACCATGGCCTGTCCTGTCCTGTTTGGTAGAAGTAGTTTTTGACCTGGTTGTCGGTGCGGCCGTTGCCCAGCCGCTGAGCGATCTTCGGCCACTTTCCCCTCGTGTTGCGGAACTTCTCCTCCAACACGACTATCATGCGCTTCTCGGGTTTGGTCAGGGGCGTTTGGTTCGACTGGAGAGACTCGTAGTGCTCCGTGACGTACCTTCGTTCCCACTCCTTTCCACCCTTTCGCGGCACGCCCAGCTAACGCATGGCCTCCGCGCTCGCGCATGCGATGGTCGAATAGTGGGCGTTTCTCTCGAGGAGCGCCCGGACATGCGCTTCGACTCGCAGCGGCGCCACGATATCATCTCCATTGTACATGCCCTGCCGAGTGTGGTCCATCGCGCGCGGGTTACTTGGATCGACGTGATATTTGACGTCTTCGTTGATGAGCTCGTGTCGGAACTCCGTCATGTGGCCGTGGGCCGTTTTGCACGTGTGCGCGACCGACGAGGCGAACCCGACGAATTCGAGGACTAGAGCAGCTTCACGCTTCTGAAGGGCTAACAATGGCGACACCGGCGGTCGCGGCTGCGGCGGCAGCTGGTGCGTCGGCGCGGCCGGCGGTGGTTGTCTGGCGTCCGGCGTCGGCGACTGGGGCCGCGGCGGGCCGGTCGACGGCGCCGCGGCGGCGTCGTCGAAGTTGAGGACCGTCGCGTCGCGCGCGGCGTCCGACGTGCGCGAGACTTTGGCCGGCGGCGGCCGGCGCGCCGGGCTCTTCTTGGATACGACCGGCACGCTGCGCTTCGTCGAGCCGGGCGGCGCCTTGTTCTCGGCGAGCGGCGGCCGCGACGCGCCGCTGCGGCGCGGGCAGTCGTCACACGAGGGAGGCGGCGGCCCGTCGGGCAGCGGTGCCGTCGTCGCCGGGGGTGCGGTAGTATGGGTGTAAATCGAATGATCATCGGAGAGCGCTCGGCCGAGTTCGTCGACCCTCGTCACGTCGCCCCTCAGCACCATCTTCGTGTTGTAGAATCCAGCGAGGTCCTCTCCTTTTTCGTTGATGAATCGGACGCAGAGCTTTCCGTCGTCGGCGACGTATAATACGCGCGCAAAGCGACCTCGGTAACAGACCGGCTCCAGGCCGCCGGCGGCCATGGCCGCGGCGAAATTTGCCGACTGGCGCTCCGCTTCCGGCGCCCAAGCAAAAAGACCGAGGTCGTCGATCTCAGGCGGCTCGATGTAGGTTGTTTCCGCCATGGCGAGTGGCGACTGGACACGCAGCGGCCGTGACGAGCCCGCGTCTGCCGGCAAAGACGAGTCGAGCGTGGATTTCGCGGCGCCGCCCGCGTTTAGAGCGATGCGACTGAGCACGTGTGAGGCGTAGCCCTGCTCTGCGTCCGCTAGCGGGCGAGCTAGTCGAGCTTGTAAGTCCTAGCAGCACTCGAAAAGAGGTTTCGAGGAGGTTTTTGGTGCTCGTTTCTATGTGAGGCTAACGATATTGATTGATAATTGCGAAATTCAAGCAATACTATAGGATTCTGCAAGCTACAGTCTCGACTGAGCTTCAAAAATCGATGAGCAGGCGGCTCCCTAGTATCTTACTGTCGCTAGCACCAAGCCCAACGATGGCCACACGAGAGGACAAGCGTGCGTTCACGGGTCCTCGACAGGCTCGTCGTTTGATTTGCCTCCAGGGCTTTCCCAACTTAGCTGCTTCTTTGGACCCGATGGCGCCCCGTCGCCGTCGAACGCGCGGCGTCTCCCCTAGGCTAGTCCTAGCACGAAGCCTCGGAAATCAACGTCAAAGATCGGCTTTTCCCATATGTGGAGTTACGGCGGTCCGGAGGCCAAAAAAGCAATAGCAAAAGAGGCAACTGGCGTGTAAATAAAAACGCAACCGGATAATATTAGAGCCGCCGCGCGATCCGCGCCGCGATCCGCTTCTTCGCCCAGGCCGGCAGGACGCGCTGCGCGACGGCGCCGCACCGCTCGCGCGTCCGCCGGCCGACGGCGCGCCAGAGGTCCCGGAGCCGCGGCTCGCCGCCGGAGTCCTCGGCGGCCTGCGCCTCGGGCCGCGCCCAGGGCGGCGGCAGGCCCGGCTCGCGCTCGCGCGCGGCCTGCTCCCACGCGTCGGCGAGCGAGTAGTTCACCTCGAGCTTGGACGCGATGCCGCGGATGATGACGGCCGCGCGGCCCATGAGCACGAGCGCCTGGGGGAAGGACTTGAGCCGCTTCAGGGGCGAGTCCGCCGAGAGCTCGTCGGCCGAGTAGCCGCCCGGGATCTCGTCGACGGACTTGTCGCCGAAGAGCGTGACCGCGATGGCGGCGAGGCAGGCGTCGTCGTCGAGGTCCGCCGCCGCCTTCGTCGGCTCGTAGAGCTCGTCGACGTCGCGCGGCCGCAGCTCGACGCCGTACGCGCGGACGGCGTCGCCGAGCGCGGCGAGCGCGGCGCGGTCCGAGGGCGCCGCGCGGTAGGCCTGGAGCCGCGCGATGACGGCGCCGAGGCGCTCGACGTCCGCGGCCGACAGCTGCTTCGTCTGGCCGCAGTCGAGGAGCGCGACGTCGCCGCCCGGCTGGACGAAGACGTTGCCCGGGTGCGGGTCGCCGTGCACGAAGCCCGCCCCGAAGATCATGCGCGCGTAGGCCTCGCCCAGGGCCCGCACGATGCGGCTCCCGAGGATCTTGGCCTCGGGCGAGCCCGGCTCGACGCCCCGCTTCTTCGCCTCCGCCGCGAGGTTGTTGAGCGACACGCCCTCGACGAACTCCATGACCAGCACCTTCGTCGTCGCGAGGCCGGGCACGGCGCGCGGCACGCGGAGCGGCGCCGGCGCCGCGCGGCCGTCGGGCCGGAAGCGCACCGCCGCGTGCAGCTTCTCCATGGCCTGGGCCTCCTGGAGGAAGTCGAGCTCGCCCTCGAGCACGTCCCCCAACTCCGAGAAGACGACGTAGTAGTCCACGGGCAGCGCGTCCGCCAGCAGCTTCGCGAATCGCTTCAGGTTCGCGACGTCGGCGCGCAGCAGGGGCTTGGCGCCCGGCCGCTGCACCTTGACGGCGACGCGGCGGCCGTCGAGCAGCGTCGCGGCGTGCACCTGCGCGATCGACGCGCAGCCGAGCGGTTTTTCTTCAAAGTCACTGAAGAGCTCATCGAGAGTGCCGTCGCCGCAGAGTTCCCGTCTCACGACCTCCTTGACGACGTCCGTCGGGATCGGCGCGAGGCCCTCCTGGAGCACCTGCAGCTTGTCGCAGTAGGGCTTCGCGAAGAGGTCGACGCGCGTCGACAGCACCTGGCCGCTCTTCACGTAGAAGCCCTGCAGCTCGAGGATCGCGTCGCGCAGCTTGTCGCTGCCCCACTCGTCGAGCTCCGAGTACTCGGCGGAGCACTCCTCCTCGTCGGCACAGCGCTGCTCGAGGTCGAGCTCCGCCAGCTTGTACCGCGCGAGGATGGGCAGCACGCGCGAGTAGAACGTCAGGCTCCGGCTCAGGCGCTCCGTCACGCTCAGCGCCTTGCGCTCGCCGACGTCGAGCGGCAGCACGTCCTCCGCGGCCTCCGGCGGCGGCGCGAGCGTCGACGCGGGGACGGTGCCGCTCCGCGTCGGTGCCGGCGCCTGCAACGCTGCGACGCCGACGAGCACCAGCGCTATTTGCAGCATGATTTTCATCTCTCTGGCCTTTCAAGCAATCTCTTGCAAGAAGTCGTTGCACAACGCACGACTGAGCGATGCAATTTTGATCAATGCACAACAAGTTGTTCAGCAATTGCATATATCGCGCGTATGCGCGTCAACAAAGCCACGACACAAATCTCGCAAGCTGCGCCCGGGTTTTTGGAATCCTTCTCGTCTTCCTCTCGAGTGTTGATTAGCCTAAAAGTATATCCTTCTCGCTTTCAGACAGGTCAAAAACCTGATTTCCCAAAGCCAAAAGAGAGAGCTTGGCAAACAGCCTGATTATCAAGCGCTCAGGCCAAGCCGCTGCGCGCCCTTTTGCGGCGTATAGCCTTGACTGCTCCTCGCCTCGCCCGCCTCAGCAACAACAGGCAAAGGCTGTTTGTTCGATCCCGTCTGCTAGCGGGTCATCTGAGCAGCCCAGCGGTTTCCACGCGCGCGCTCACGCGCAAATATGGCCGACGTCAAGGAACTCTTCGAGACCTTCGACGCGGACGGCTCCGGCCGCATCTCGACGCAAGAAGTCGCCGGCCTCCTGGCCAAGCTCGGCGCCCCGAAGCCCGCGGCCGCGGTGGCCGCGCTCGTGGCCCAGGTCGACACCGACGGCGACGGCGAGGTGTCGTACGCCGAGTTCGAGGCCATGCTCAGGTCGCAGGCGGACCTCGCGCACATCGTCCAGGACAAGCGCCAGGCCATCAAGCAGCTGCACGTGCGCCAGGGCGCGGGCAACTCGCAGCACTCCTTCTCCTCCGAGGAGGCCGAGGCCTTCACCGAGGTCCTGAACTCGCGCCTCGGCGGCGACGCCGCGCTCGCTTCGGTCCTGCCGCTGGCCCAGGACGCGGCGGACCCGCCGCTCTTCGCCGCGTGCGCCGACGGCGTGCTCCTGTGCAAGCTCGTGGCGCTGATCGACGGCGACGCCGTGGACCTGCGGGCCGTGAACATGGGCGCGCTCGGCCGCGCCGCGGACCGAAAGGCCACGTTCAAGGTCGTGGAGAACTGCAACCTGGCGATCAACGCGGCCAAGGACGTTGGCTGCCGCGTGACGAACATCGGCCCGCGCGACATCATGACCGCGCGGCCGCACCTCGTGCTCGGGCTGCTCTGGCAGGCTATCCGGCTGCTGCTGACGCAGAAGATCTCGCTCAAGGAGCACCCGGGCCTCGTGGCGCTGCTCGAGGGCGACGAGACGCTCCAGCAGCTCCTGGCGCTGCCGCCCGAGCGAATCCTCGTGCGCTGGCTCAACTACCACCTCGCGCGCGCCGGGTCCGCGCGCCGCGTCGCGGGCTTCGGCCGCGACCTCATGGACTCGGAGGTCTACGCCGTGGTCATGCAGCAGCTCTACGGCGCCGAGGTCCAGCCCGTGGACCTGACGACGCCGGACCTCGAGGCGCGCGCGGCGCGGGTCCTCGCGAACGCGGCGGCCGTCGGCGTGGCGCCGTTCATCAAGCCCCGCGACGTCGCGGCGGGCAACGCCAAGCTGAACCTGGCCTTCGTGGCGCAGCTCTTCAACGACCGCCCGGGCCTCGAGGTCGTCGCGGACGAGGCCGTCGCGCGCGAGCTCGCCGGGCTCGACCTCGACGACGCGGGCGACACGCGCGAGGCGCGCACCTTCAAGCTCTGGATGAACTCGCTCGAGGCGTGGGCCGGGCCCGACGCGACGGACGCGGTGCAGATCCGCGACCTCTTCGCCGAGTGCCGCGACGGCGTGCCGCTCCTGGCGACGATGGACGCCGTCCGGCCCGGCTGCGTGCCCTGGAAGAAGGTCCGGCTCGCGCCGAAGAACCGGCACCACGTCGTCGAGAACGGCAACCGCGTCGTCGCCGTCGGCCGCGGCCTCGACCTCGTGCTCGTGAACATCGGCGGCGTCGACATCGCCGACGGCAACAAGAAGCTCATCCTCGCGGTCGTCTGGCAGCTCATGCGTTAGCAGACCGTCGACATGCTCAAGCAGCTCAAGGGCGACGGCACGGCCGTCGACGAGGCGGACCTCGTCGCGTGGGCCAACGCCAAGGTCGCGGCCTTCGCCGGGGCGACGCAGCCGCCCATCCGGTCGCTCAACGACAAGAAGCTGGCGACGGGCCGCTTCTGCGTCGAGCTCTGCGCCGCCGTCGGCGGCGACGTCGTCGACTGGGACCTCGTGACGCCGGGCGCGACGGACGAGGACCGGGCCCTCAACGCCAAGTACGCGCTCTCCATCGCGCGCAAGGTCGGCGCGCGCGTCTTCTGCACGCCCGACGACATCGTCGAGGTCAAGCCGAAGATGATCCTCCTCTTCATCGCGGCCCTCTGGCAGGCGGAGCTCTCGGGCGCCACGCGCCCGTCGCTCGGGTCCGAGCCCACGCGCTCCACGCCGGCGTCGCCGCCGCAGCTCGTCGCGAAGACGCCCGTCCAGCCGCCCGCGGCGACGTCGTGGATCAAGCCCAAGCCGCCGAGCCAGCCCAAGCCGGCCGCCCCGGCGCCGCCGCCGCTCGGCGCGCGCGCCGCGGCGCCGCCGCCGCCCGTGCCCCGGCGCGCGCCCCCTCCGGCGCCGCAGCGCACGGCGCCGCCGCCCGTGCCGCAGCGAGCCGCGGCGCCCGCGCCGCCGCGCCCGGCCGCCTCGTCGGGGCGCAAGCCCCTCCCGCCCCGCAAGCCCGGCGACTGCGCGGGCGTTTCCCGAGCTCCGCCGCCCCCGAAGCCGGCCACGACCTTCAACGACGACGACGAGCACGTCGTCAAGTACGCGGCGCCGGCGCCGGCCGCGTATGGCTTCAAGAGCGTCAACGGCACCGGCGAGACGGGCGCGGTCGAGTCGAACGACGTGGACGAGGACGAGTGGAACTGAGTGCGCGCGTCCCCTGTGCCTCTGTGTAACAGCCACCAAGGGCTATCCTATATCTATCACAAAGCTTACACACTACTACTAGGCCTTCATCGTCCGCGCTTCGGGCACGCTTGTAGGCGAGCTGCGCCGCTTTGGAGCCAGCACTACGCATGCATCGTCCGCGCCTCGTTCCACGTCGTCAGGCCGCGCTTCGGGCAGACGTCCCGCTTGTAGGCGAGCTGCGCCGCTTGCAGCCGCGGCAGGACGTTGCAGAGGACGTACGCGTTGCGGACGGCTTCCCGGCTCCCGGCACCGATAGCCGCGGCGGCCGCCTTGCCGGCGTCGAAGGCGAAGACGCCTCCATCACACGAGAAGGCGTTGTGCGGCACGGAATGCTTGCCGAACTTCTGACCACCCGCCGGGTACCGCTGGCAGAAGTGCACCACAGCGGGCGCCGCCGGACCCGGCGGGTGGATATCGTTCGAGAAGGGCAGCGACGGATCGAAGCGCGTCGCCAGCGGCGGCGTACTGTCCGCGGCGCCGCCGCAGATCTGCTCCCGCGGTACGCTGTCGACCCAATCCCAGCCCTCGCCGCCGGCCTGGGCGTTCGATACCATGAGGTGGTGGACCTGGGCGTGCGGCAACGACAAGTTCGCCGCAGCCATGCTGTAACCATACATCTCGGCCAACAAGTACGGATACTGCGCGTGCACGTCGGGCACGGCCCGCAGCCACGCCTTCGCGAGCGGCACCGCGTCGCGCGCGTGGATCACGTAGGGCGGGCCGACGGCGTAGGACTGCGCCGCCTCGCGGACCGTCGTGCGGGAACAGGGGCCGTCGCCGCAAACTCGACCGCGGTCGAAGCTGCGCCACGACTTGCCCGCGGTGGGCTTCCCAGCATCCCCCCAGGCGCCGCCTAGCCCATACTCCTGGCCGGCGGCGACGCCGGGCGCGACGCGCTCCGCGATCCCGTCCAAGTTGTGGCCGAGGACGCGCGGGACGCCGTCGGCGTCCACGAGTTCGCCCTTGCGCGGCGACGGCCGCAGGCCCGCTCCCAGCGCCGCGGTGATCGGCCGCAGCAGCATCTGGTCGGGATCGATCAACACGACGATCCCGCGGGACGGGTCCACGAAGGGCGGCGGGCGGGCCGTCGTGAGCCAGTGATACAGGCCAGACGGCTTGTTGGAATACTTGTACGTGCCGCCGCGAAGAGCGCCCGCGGGAGCAAAGTGGGCGCGAAACGTGCCCGTGGGGTCGATCTCGAGCCACTCCGCCGCGACTTTGCGCGCCTCCTCCGCGGCGCAGCCGCTCGCGATGCGCGTCACCGGCCCGCGCTGCCCTACCGCCCGCGCCGAGTACCAGACGTTGATCGACTGCCAGTGCTGGTACGGCGAGCAGTCGGTGCTGAAGACGACGTGGACCTCGGTCTCGCCCGCGGCGAGAACGTATGGTGCCTCCGGCACCGCCGGTTTCTCGTGCATTGCCCGTAGCGCCGCGAGATGCACGAGCGCGAGCAGGCCCGTCGCAGAGAGCGCGCAGCAGAGCACGCAACTCTGCAGCCGTGGCCGGCGCCGGTTGCGGCCGCTGGTGCGGCGCATCAGTGTATATTGCTGCTGCTAGACGTGCTGCAGGCTGTGCAGCCGAGTTTCTTGCTGCTACTAGGCTGTTGGCAGCTTAAAAAAAAACCAAGCACTGCATGCAGCGCGCACAGTGAAAGAAAGCATGCGAGACAAAAAATATGCCTGGGCACAGAGAAAAGCGTTTTAATCGGGTTTTATACTGGCCCTTTCTTCTCTTTCTTTTCTACGAGTCTAGTCGGGCTCTCAAAGGACGTCTCGTTTCGGGGTAGGAAGTTTGGCGGGAGAGCGATTTTGCCTTTTGGCATTGGGCTGTAGGATTCCACAGCTCGACTGGCAGACCGAGCCACTGTAGCAACGCGCCGGATCGTTTTGGCACACGTTTGCGCGAGCCTGAGCCAAACGGCGAAACAGCAACGGAGAAACTGGGCTGTAACACACCATGCAGCAGCTTGCTCTCCTTGTTGCTGCCTCGGCGGCGGCGGCCTTCGCGCCGACGCCAAACCAACGCATAGACACCCGCCTACACTTCAATTTCGGCAACTTCGGCGGCAAGAAGGTCGATGAGAAGGAGGCCGTGAAGCTCGCCGAGACGGTCGACGTCGTCGGCGCGCTCCCGACGGAGATGGCGGGCCTCACGCCGGAGCTCGACGGCTTGCGCAAGGCGAATGCCTTGTTTAATCAGGGGCTTATTAGTATGGACGAGATCGACGAGTACGCAGACACGCTCGCCGCGGCGAAGCGGAAGGAGGTCGCGGAGAAGGAGCGCGACGCGCGCGAGGCGGCCGAGCGCGAGGCCCGGGCGCGCGAGCGGACGCGCGCGGCCGCCCGCGCGGCGACGGGCGCCGTCGGCGGCCTCGTGGGCTTCGTGGGCCGCGGCGCGGGAATCAAATCGTCGCGGCGCGGCTCGGTTCCGCCAGCACGGGCGCGAGAACGCGTGCCCCCGACTCGCTGATGGCGCGTCCGGCGTGGCGGTGTGGTCTCCCACCGCTCGGCTCCGCCAGCACGGGAGAACGCGTACCTAACTCACCGATTGATGTGCGCACAGGTGGGCCGGGGCCTCGCGGGCGCGGCGGGCGCGGCGGCGGGCGCGGCGGTCGAGGGCGCCAAGGGCGCCGCGGTCGCGGCCGCGACGGGCGCCGTCGAGGGCGTCAAGGCCGGGACCATCGCCGTCGGCAAGGGCGTCGTGGACGTGACCATCGTGCGGCCGGCCAAGGCCGTGGGCGACGCCGCGCTCAACGTCGCGACGGCGCCGGTGCGCGCCGCCGAGGCCGCCGCGCAGAAGGCGGCGGCGGCGCCCGGCGAGGCGGCGGCGCGCCTCCGGGCCGAGGCCGACGCCGCGCGCGCGGCCGCGGACGCGGCGGCCGCGAAGGCGAGCGCCGACGCGCAGGAGGCGGCGCGGCTCCGGCGCGAGGAGCTCGAGCGCGAGGCGACGGCGCGCGTCGACGACGTCAAGGCCCGCGTCGCGGCGGTCCAGGACGCCGTCGCGACCGCGCCGGACCGCGTCCGCGACGCGACGACGACGGCCGGCCGCGCCGCGGCGACGCTGCTCCGCGGCGCGGCCGCGAACGTCGCGGCCGTCGGCGCCGAGGACGCCGCGGCCGAGGCGCGCGCGGCGACCGTCGACATGCCGGCGCCGCCGCCGACGGCCGGCGAGTGGCGCGCGGCCTGCGACGCGGCCGTCGTGTCGCACTACGACTTTGGCGTGCGCGCGACGGAGGCCGCGCGGCGCGCGCAGTTCACGGCGCAGGAGCCCGAGGACATCTTTGAGGGCCTCGCCGAGGACGACATGGGCGCGCGCTTCTCGGCCGTCGTCGTCCAGGCCTCGAAGAAGTTCGCGGCCGAGTTCCCGCCGCTCGCGCAGCGGACGGTGGCCACGACGCTGCGCGTTCCGCGGCGTCCCCTTGTTTGATACAAAACGCCGTCGCGCGTCGTTCCGAGGCGGGCCGGGACCCACGGCCCCGCGTCTATTTTAGCGCGACGGAGAGCGACCCCCGGGCCGCGCGCGCCGCGGTCGACCGAGACCGCCGGCCCGCGCGCCCCGGCACATGACGTAAACCGTCGCAGGTCGAACGCGACGGCGTCGTTCGAGGCGGCGGCGGCGCGCGAGGCCGTCGAGAAGACGGCCGCGGTCGCCGCGCGCGAGGCGATCCGCAAGAAGCGCGAGGACGACCTCAAGCGCCAGGACTTCAAGCTCGAGGAGACCGCGGCGACGGTCGAGCGCGAGGCGCTGCTCGCCGCGCGCAAGGTGCTCGCGATCCCCGACGACGAGTACTTCGGCGACGCGACCGCGCTCGCGGACCCCGCCACGGCCCAGGCCGTCGCGGACACGCTCAAGGCGCGCACGGACGCGCTGCGGGCGGAGCGCGACCGGCGGCTGCCAGCGCCGTCCGTGCGCGCGCCGAAGCGGCCGCCCGTCGCGCCGCTCCGGCCCCTCGACGACAAGGCGGCGACCGCGCGCACGGACGCGGCCGCCGCCGACGCGCTCGCGCGCGACCGCCTCGCGCGCGCCGCCGAGGCCCTCGTCGTCGACGCGGCCGTCGGCGACGAGGCGGAGCGCGAGCGCATCGTCGCCGCGCTCCAGGAGAAGCTCCTCTCGACGACGTCGGAGAAGTCCGCGAAACAGCGGGAGTGAATATTATGCTTGGCTCGGGGCCGCTCCTAAGGGTGGTCTCTTGCTTTTCGAACGGTCCTAGGGCGAGTGGACTTTACGCGTAGTAGGCGACTCGGACCCGCCTGGTCTCTGCTAGTACTCTTCCGACAGGGCATGCTTACTTGTGGCGCGGCGCCCACGCCCCCGGAGAGGAAGCGGTCGCGCGCGCGTCGGGGGCGGGTCTGTGATGCACCTGCGCGCGACGTCGTCTCGGTGACTGCGTTTACACACTGGTTGATTTCCACACTGACCCGCGCTCGCGCATGGTGGCTTGCGGGGGGTGCTTGCGAAGAGAGAGAGGAGGGAGGCGAAGGGATCCGAGGGTGAGTCGGACTTGACCTGCGGGCATACGCGTTTATTCCTCATCGACAGGCGAGCTCTAGATAGGCGAGGGCGTGCCGTTGTGAACGTGGCGTGGTGTGGCGTGGGTATGGGCCTCAGGCGCGCGCGCGCGGCCGTGTGTTTTGATTGGGGTGGCGGTTAATAGGCTTTGCTCCTTTGGTTGGACGAGGTACCGCCGGCCATGCGGCTCACGACCAATAGGGGTCAGTCTGAAGGCGAGGAGAGCGCGAGGCGACCGCGCGCGTTTCTCAGGCGCCGCAATTTGACCGTGTTTGTGAATTGCGCGGCAGGCCCAGACGGCGCAGGCGCGCCTCAAGCAAAGTACCACTCCCCACCCCTTACACGTCTCTAGATTGCATCCAGGGGGAAAAAAGGGGGATCGTTTGCCGGTTTTCGTTTTGCTAGTGACTTACAGGCCGCTAGCTCAGCTTTTGCCGGCTCTCCCACCAAACCACGCACATCGGTAACAAAGCCTATAGGCAAAGCATATGCATCGTCCACTGATGCTGCTGGCCATAGCCATAGCTCTGCAGCACGCTATCGCATTTGCACCGCCGCCGTATCGACCTGTGCCAGTGCCAACACGTGCGCCACAGGCTGCCAGCAGCCTCCGGCGCCTCAGGGCTGAACCGAGCAGCAGCAGCAGCGACAAAGATGCCCTGACGGTGGACGACAGCGCTCTGGGCGTCAACGCGACGATCCAAGAACGCCTCGACCTCTTCCGGCGGCTCGCGGTGCCGTACTTCCAGCAGGCCGAGGGCGCGAAGCTGCAGTTCGGCCTCCTGCTCATCCTCGTGCTCTGCCAGAGCGGCGTCTCGGTGATCTTTAGCTTCGTGGGCCGCGACTTCTACAGCGCGCTGTCGGCCAAGGACCTGGCCGTCTTCCAGGAGAAGACGGCCAACTACGCGGTGGGCCTCGCGGTCGCGACGCCGCTGACGGTGCTCTACAAGTTCCAGCGCCAGCGCCTGGCCCTGAGCTGGCGCCAGTGGATGACCAGCGAACTCGCGAAGCAGTACTACCAGGACCGCGCCTACTACCGCGTCGAGCTCGACCGCGACGCGAACGCCGGCGCGGAAATCTCACGTCGATCGCGTGGAGGTGACGCGGTCCCGCGCAGATCGACAACCCCGACCAGCGCCTGACCGAGGACGTCGCCGCCTTCACGAAGGTGTCGCTCGACTTCTTCATCACGGTGCTCACGGCGGTCATCGACCTCGCGAGCTTCTCGGGCATCCTCTACTCGATCTACCCGAACCTCTTCTACGCCATCTTCGCCTACGCGACCTTCGGCTCGCTCACGACCGTGGCCCTGGGCAAGACGCGTCCCGCGCCGGCGTCCTTTTTTTCTTCTTCTCTTCTCGCGCGCGCGAACCGAGTCGCGGCCACCGCGCAGTCGTCGGCCAGAACGCGCAGCAGCTGCTCAAGGAGGCGGACCTGCGCTACAGCCTCGTGCGCCTGCGCGAGAACGCGGAGTCGATCGCGTTCTACGGCGGCGAGGCCCGCGAGGCCGAGGAGGTCGGCGCGCGCCTCGACCGCGCCGTGGCGAACAAGCGCGAGATCCTGGGCACGCAGCGGAACCTCGAGTTCTTCACGACGGCGTACACGTACCTCGTGCAGATCCTGCCCGTGCTCGTCGTCTCGCCGCTCTACTTCGCGGGCACGATCGAGCTCGGCGTCGTGACGCAGTCGGCGGCGGCGTGAAAATCAACGGCGCGTCGATGGCGTGGGACACGTTGGGTCGCGCACAGGTCGGCGGGCGCCTTCAACCACGTCCTCAACGACCTGAGTCTCATCGTGAACCAGTTCGAGGGCCTGTCGTCGTTCTCGGCGGGGCTCGGCCGCCTCGCGACGTTCGTCGAGCGCATGGAGAGCTACTGCGACGCGAGCGAGTGCGCGACGGACGCGAACGCGACCTTCGTGCTGCGGGACGAGCCGCGCGCCGCGCCGGCGCGCCGCGTCGAGGCGACCGAGGCGGCGGCCGCGGGCGGCTCCGTGCTCGCGATCGACGGCCTCCGCCTCGAGACGCCCGACGGCAACCGCGAGCTCTTCGGGGACCTCTCGCTCGAGGTCCGCGGCGGCGACCACCTGCTGGTGACGGGCGCGTCGGGCGCCGGCAAGTCGTCGCTGCTCCGCGCCGTCGCGGGCCTCTGGGACCGCGGCGAGGGCTCCGTCGTGCGCCCCCCGCGGAACGAGACCGTCTTCCTGCCGCAGCGGCCGTACGCGACGCTCGGCTCGCTGCGGCAGCAGCTCGTCTACCCGAAGACGGTCGCCGAGGCGGCCGCGCGCGACGAGGACCTGCGCGCCGCGCTCGAGACGTGCCGCCTCGGCCGCCTCGCGGCGTCGGACCTCGACACGGTGCGCGACTGGGGCGACGAGCTCTCGCTCGGCGAGCAGCAGCGCCTCGCCTTCGCGCGCGTGCTCGTCGCGCGGCCGCGGCTCTGCGTCCTCGACGAGGCGACGTCGGCGCTCGACCTGGCGAACGAGGCGGCCATGTACGGCGCGCTCGCCGCGGTCCCGGGCCTGACCTACGTCTCCGTGGGCCACCGGCCGAGCCTCGTCGACTTCCACGCGCGGCGCCTCGACGTCAAGGGCGGCGACCGCTTCGAGGTCCAAGAGCTGGCACGGAGCCGGTAGTCGGTAGTCCAGGTATAAAACTTCAAAGTTACACGCAGCACATACAAATATCAAACAAAGAGCACCGCCGCGGCCGCCAGGCAGCCGACCATGGCTCTGCCGACGACGCGGCCCGCACCCCCGCGCATCGCGGCACTGGTGCTCAGGGCGCCGGTGCAGTTGCCCTCGCTCGCGAGAAAGCACGGCGTCCCGTGGCCTTCGACGTTCGAGCCGCGCGAGTCCCAGCAGGGGCATTCCAGGGTAAATGGACCGGAACCGTGGACGGTTTCGATGACGACCGGCTCGTCTTGACACGCGTCGTAGAGACTCCTGCACTGGTCCACCGTCACCGGGTAGGTAGACGCGTCGCCGAAGCAGCCCATCGTGAACGGGGGCGCATCCGTCAGCGTGTAGTAGTACACCGGCTCTCCTCCGCTGTCCGGCGTCACGCCCACCCGCCCGCCGCAGGCGTCCAGGTCGTCGGGTTCGACGCCGCCATCAACGTGTTTGCCATAGAGGCCGTGGCCGTCGAGCGCCGTTCCGATGCGAGTGGAATGGCCCGTCGTCGCATCATCTTCGTAGAGGCAGCTCATCTTCTCGTGGTAATGATAGGGCGTGGCGTGGCCGCCGCAGAAGTCCAAAATCTCTCGGTCCTCGCAGCCGTCGATGGCGTGAAGCATGGCCTCGGCGAGTCGCGTGTCCATGCCCGCCGGCACGACGACATTTCCCAGGCACTCATGATTCTCGCTCGTGAACCCGGCCTCCATCGGACCGTAAATATTAGTCGCGGGCCGCGTCCCGCCGCGCCGATTCTCGACGGTCGGTCGCGTCGCGAGCGGACCCGCGTCTACGCAGCCCACATTTCCCCGCACTGGGATTGGCTTCAGGCCGGCGCCGATGTAGTCCGAGTCGCCAGCGAACCCACCTGCGTCTGGGCACTCAAAATGCGGGTTCCCACCACCACCACCCATGCCACCGTTGCCTCCTGGCTGGGCAAGGATCATGGGTGCGACCACGCCCAGCAATTTGGTGGTTCTGCATCCCATGATGCCGTTGGGCAGCCAGCGCAGCCAGGTGACCTGGCAGAGCACAACACGCCCGTGTGACGGAGAGCTGAGTTGGGGTGCTGTTTTTTTTTTTTGGAAGGGGGCAAAAGAGGGGAGTTCGGGAGCCCATCCGTCGGGCTAGGACAACGCCAGGCGGTCGCGATATCGATCCTGCCGTATTTTTACAGAATTCCGAAGTTCGATCGTGCAGCGATTCGTGCTCGCGGCGCCCAGCCATAGGAAGGAAGGAATGTCGACACATCCCGCGCCGTTCGACGTCTATCCTAATACTTTATAACTACTACAATTCGCGCGATCCGCCGTCGCGCAGGATGCCGAGGTTCTCGGCCGCCTCGGCCTTCTGGGCCTTGATCAATTCCCGGCGCTTGCGCTCGCGCCGCGCGCGCTTCTTCTGGAACTCGGGGTACTTGCTGGCGATGGGGCAGTTCGCGCAGCCGTTCGAGGGGCAGTTGCCGCAGCGCGTCTTCCGCCGCTCCGTCGACACAGCGAACATGGGGCAGTCGGGGCACTGGTTCGTCGGGCAGTTCTGGCAGCGCATCGCGTGGTTCGTCGAGATGTCGAGCAGCGCCCGGCCCGCGCCCTGCGTCGACGTGAGGCCCTCGTTGCCCACGAGGCGGCCCTTGAAGTTGTAGGTCGTCATGACGCCCTCGCGCTCGCGCTCGAGCTTCACGAGCTCGTCCCACGGCACGTAGTGGATGCAGTCGACGGGGCACGTCGCGATGGCCTCGGCGACCGTGTCGTCGTCGTCGCCCTCCTGGTTGAAGCTCCGCGCCCGCCCGTGGGCGTCCTCCATGAGGAACGTCAGCGGCGCGATCGTCGCGCACGACGTGCACCCGATGCACGTGACCTCGTCCACAAAGACGTGCCGCGTCGCCGTCGTCACGGGGTCGCCGTCGTCGTCCACCTCGATGAGCTCGTGGCTCATGACGACACCTAAGCGCTCATCCACGTCGGCCTCCTCCTGGCGGTCCATCTCGTCGTACGTCAGGAGGTCGAGCGCGGCCTCGGCGTCGGCGGACCGCGCGTCCTCGGGCTCCTGGTCGTCGGCGGGCCCGGCGTTCAGCGCCTCGAGCGCGTCGTCGAGCGGCTTGCCGTCGAGGCCTATTATCCTCTCGGGTTCGTCGTCGACGTCGCGCACCTGCAGCCGGTCGAGCTCGTCGTCGTCGAGCGCGCTGGCGAAGAGCGCGACGGCGCGGTCCGCGGCCTCGTCATCATAAATGGGCACGGCCTCGTCGGTATTTGCGTCGGCGTCGGCGTCGGCGTCGTAGGCCCCCTCGAACGTCTCGACGCCCGCGTCGTCGGTGTCGCCGTCGGAGCCCCAGCCGCTGCGCCAGCTGTCGCTGATTTTGTCCCTGAGGCCGTACCGCGGCGTCAGCCGTCTCCGGCTACCGCCGTACCGCGGCGTCAGCCGTCTCCGGCTGCCGCCGTGCAGCCAGCAGGAGGCCAAGATTGGCAGCAGGCACAAAGCTACTCGCCTCAAATCGTGCGAAGGCATTGAAGGCATTATCTGCAGCTTGGCTTCCAACCGCGCTCGAGATATATCAATGCATGTTCACGTCGCATAAGACGTCTGGCGCACTCGGAAAGCAGTTTTGAGTCGAGATGATGCCAGCTTGCTTGCGAAGGCTAGAGCCTCCACCCGCTAGACTGCTTGAGAGAATCGTGGCGAGAGAGGCGTCACGAGCAGAGGGCTGCCCGGCGCGCACGCAAGCCCTGCAGCTCGCCGCGCCCCGATTTCCTCTGCTCGGCCAAGCCTGGGCTTTAAAGCAATTCGACGCGGCGGCATGGCCACGGCGCGAAGGACTCGTAACAGGTAGGCCCGACGCCCATCGCCAAGCGAGCGGCGCCCTGAACCACAGCAAAAGCCGGGGAGGGGCAGCCCTCCTCTCGATACCATGACCTCCTCGCACAACTACGGCGTGAACACGCTGAGCCTCAAGGGCGGCAACCACGACGCGACGCGGAACTACCTGGAGGTGCTGATCTACCTCACCGTGCTCGGCATGCTCGTGCTCAGCCTCCAGCTTTTATTGAGGATGGCGCGGACGCAGATGCAGCCGCGGCCCAAGTACGTCAAGCCCGACCCGCTCTTCAAGGACTTCGCGAAGGGCCAGAACTGGAGCTGGGACTGGGTCATGGTCTTCGCCGTGCGCAACCCCGACGACTACGTGTCGGACTACCAGCGGCGGTTCACGCTCCGGCGCGTCGTCGAGCGCCTCGAGTCGGGCGGCCTCGAGACGAAGCTCTACAAGTCGTACACGTATGACAAGATCTTTTGTAAGATACGGTGCAGCGCGGACCGGCTCAAGGACCAAGCCGCAGAAGTGTGCTACCCCCTGCTCCTGGACGAGACGCAGGTCGTCGCGCGCATCGAGAAGGGACGGAAGAAGCCGGACGGCGAGTGGAAGTGGTACCCGCGGCGCGCGGGCTGGCTCCTGACGGGCGAGAACGAGGCCGGCGAGTACGTCGAGCGCGAGCAGGACAACGCCATCGTCGACACGGAGGGCCAGTCGGACTACCCCTATGAACGGTTTATCTACGGCAAGTTCGACAAAAGGCCGGACCTGCAGCACCCGTCGGTCTACGTGACGTACCCCGCCTCCAACAGCATCTTCCGGTCCGTCGACCGCCTCAAGCTCATCGAGGGCATCATGGAGGCGGACCCGAAGAAGCGCGGCTGCAACCTGCAGCTCAAGGAGCTGCTGGCGCGGGGCGCGTGCCTCGCGATCTACCCGCTGCACGACGACGACGAGTTGCAGACGATCCAGGACCGCTGGCTGACGCCCTGCGACCCGCCCTGGGCGCAGCCCATCGTCATGGTCAAGGACTACTTCGGCGAGAAGGTGGGCATGTACTTCCTGTTTTTGGGGACGTACTCGACGTGGCTCTTCTACGCGGCGGGCATCGGCATCGCCTCCTTCGGGTTGGAGCTGCTGGGGGGCCAGTACCTGACCTGGGCGACGGCGGCCTGCGGCATCTGCATGAGCCTGTGGACGACGCTCTTCCTCGAGTGCTGGAAGGGCGAGGAGGCGCGCGCGAAGCTCGAGTGGGGCATGACGGGCTTCGAGGAGACGGAGGAGGACCGCACCGAGTTCGAGGGCCGCGAGATCCACAGTCCGGTGACGGGCCTGCCCGACGCGTACTTCCCGCCGCGCGACAAGGCCCGGCGCATCGTGGGCAGCTACCTCCAGATCGTGCTCTGCATCTTCTACGTGAGCTGCGTCAACGCGGGCATCTTCTACGTCCACGCCTACGTGAGCCGCTACCCTTTGCGCAACTACGTCGACTTCCACCACCTCGCGGACGGGCCCTTCGGCGTGCCGACGGTCGTCACGAACCTCGCGCTGGCGCTGTTGATCCAGGCGACGAACGCGCTCTTCATGCCCTTCGCGACGCGCATGACCAAGGTCGAGAACCACCGGACCGAGACGGACTTCGAGGATCAATTGATAGCCAAGGTCTTCCTCTTCCAGTTCGTCAACTCGAACGGCGCGCTCTTCTACGTGGCCATGGCGCAGGGGCCCCTGACGCGCGGCATCGGCGACAAGCAGCCCTGGAAGACGCGGCGCTTCGACTGCGCGCCGTACTGCCTCGAGCACGTCAGTTATTTGCTGGGCACGATCTTCATCGTGCGCGTCGTGCTGGGCAACTGGAACGAGGTCGTGGCGCCGTTCCTGGCGCGGCTGCGCAAGGACGCCGCGCGGCGGCGCGGCCACGACGAGGACGACGCCGAGTACGAGGACCCGGCGTCGACCAGCATCCGCAAGCGCCAGGTGTCGCCGGCCGAGGAGCAGTTCGAGAAGGACGACTACGGCAGCCTCGACATCTTTGATGATTACGGCGAGCTCGTCGTGCAGTTCGGCTACGCGACGCTCTTCGTGTCGGCCTTCCCGCTCGCGCCGGTCTTCGCGTGCGTGAACAACTTCATCGAGATCCGGGTCGACGGCTGGAAGATGTGCCAGAACACGAAGCGGCCCTGGCCCAAGGGCGCCGAGGACATTGGTACGTGGGAGTCGGTGCTCACGGTCGTCGCGATCCTGGGGACGATCACGAACAGCATCATGATCACGCAGACGAGCCCGGCCTTTACCAACGTGACGTCGTCGTACCGGCTCGTGGCCTTCGTCGTGCTCGAGTGGATTTTGATAGGGGCAAAGATCGTGCTCATCGGTGCACGAATCAAATTGTCGCGGCTCGTCTCACGACCTCCACACACAGGTACTGATGAGCGTCATCGACGACGTCCCGGAGGACGTCGAGCTCCAGGAGCAGCGCCAGGAATTCCTCGTGACGAAGATCATCGTCGACGAGGCCGACGAGGAAATAGATCTCGAGGACGACGAGTTCATAGAGATCGACGAGCCCAAGGTCTACCAGTCGGACCCCTGCCTCCGCGAGGACGCCGGCGGCGGCGACGAGGACGACGGGCCAGGCGGTGAGAAGAAAGAGCCTGACGCGGAGGAGTAACGGCGCCGTGTTTTTGTAGTTCGACCCACTGCCGACCCCCGAACGACGCCCGGCCGCGCGCGCCGCCGGTAAGTGCACAGTGTCTGCTGGCGCGAGAGTTTGAGAGCGAGAGAATAGATGAGGGTCGCATGAAGTATGCACCCCAAATTTTTCTCAGAAAGCATATTCTTACGTGGCGCGCCCGACGATGGCGGAACAGGCGAAGATTTTGTTCGCGGAGGCCGAGGAGAACAATCTGGACGACAACGTGAACGATGAGCGGTTTGCCCGGTGGTACACGTGCAGTCTGTGCGAGCAAGACTACCACGGCGTCGTGGCGTGCGCGCTTGGGTGGGCGTGCTGGAAGACGTACTTGGGGCGGCCGGAGGCGGACTGGCCTCGACAATCCGCGATGACGCAGCTTGGGCACGGTTTATCTCATGCAGACCACTACGCGGACGCGTTGACCGTGAAAGAGGCCGAGTTGTCCATGCGGCGGCGACTTGGCCAGCCGAACGGCGTCATACTTGCTGTGCAGGGCAATATTGCGATCACGTATCTAAAGCTTGGACGGCTTGACGAGGCCCTGCGCATGCGGCGGGACATGTACTCTGAAAGTTTGAAGCTCTTTGGCGAAGAACATTCGATTACCCTCCTTGCAGCCCTCAACTACGGCTCGTCGCTAAATCAACTAGATCGATTCAAAGAGGCCAAATCACTCTTTCGCAAAGCGGTGCCCGTGGCGCGACGGGTTCTCGGAGAAAATCATAACACCACGTTCAACTCAAGGATGATCTACGCGCGGTCGCTCTTCCGGGACCCTAGCGCCACGCTCGACGATCTCCGCGAGGCCGTGACGACGCTCGAGGAGACAGAACGGACCGCGCGACGCGTGCTCGGTGGCGCGCACCCGGCCACAGCGGCACATGAGGGAGCCCTGCGAAAAGCGCGAGCCGCGCTCCGCGCCCGCGAAACGCCGTCGGAGACCTCGTAAGTATTCACAAAAATCGCCGAGCTAACGTTCAACCAAATTACTCGTCCTCGCCCTCGTCGAGGACGCTCTCGCGCACGCCGGCCTCGAGCGCGCGCGACTCGAGCTCGACCAGGCCCTTGCGCAGCAGCAGCTCGAGGGCCCGGAGCGCGCCCACGGCCCAGACGTAGGCCTGCCGCACCACGAGCAGCTTCAGCGGCAGCGGCGCGTGCACGAGCGGCGACCAGAGCGCGTAGTTCGTCCAGCACGCGCGCGACGTCAGGCCCGCGACGGCCGCGACGGCGAGGAGCGGCCGCGCGAGCGCCAGGACGAGCGCGGCGGTCAGCAGCGTCAGGCCGCGCGCCGCGCGCCGCGAGTCCAGCAGGGACCCGAGCAGCACGCCCGCCGGGCCGCTCTCGGCGTTCAGCCGCCGCAGGTCGAGCGCGTAGCGGTCGTACCAGAGCTTCGACGCCTTCGCGGGCTCCAGCCGCCGCAGGTTGTTCAGGGCGCTCAGCGAGACCCACTGGCCGCGCGCCTTGCGCGGCCGCACGACCGCCGTGTCCTCGAGGGCGTCGCCCCAGATGAGGCAGCTCCGCGGCGCCTCCTCGCTCGCGCGCGCCACGAGCCAGTCCGGCGCCTCGACCATCAGCCGCGGCGGCGGGTTCGCCGTCGTGCCGTCGCCGAAGTTGAGGCCGCGCTCCGCGAGCGCCTTGCTGAACACGAGGACGCGCTCCTGCCGGCGTCGTACCTGTTCGACGAGCCAGGTCCGCCGCGCCCGGGCGTCGGCGTCGACGGCGTCCTCCGGCTCCGCGGCGGTCTCGCCGCCTCGGATCGCGAGTCCGGCGCGGCGCGGCAACGACGGCTTGCACCGCGCAGATGCGGCTGGTCGGCTTGCGAGGAGCCCGACGAGGAGCTGGATCGCGCGCTGCCGTCGCATGTTTGCTGAGGTGCAAGCTTGTTGCTTGCTGCTGAGTGCAAGCTTGCTTTGAGAGAGTTGAGGTTGCAGAAGCGCCTCGCCTCGGTGCAACGGGTGCCGTGAACAGTGCGTAATCACTTACAGCTTGGCTGTTAGTGGTTTTGGTCGCGCGTAAACTTGCCTCGCTGCTGGCTTGGTACGCGTTTAGTGAGTTTAGCGCTAGCCTGCGCATTTTTTAGCAAAAAAAAGGCATTGCCGTGCAAATTGCTCTCACACCCAGCTTTAAAAAACGTGCACGAATTGTTGTTGATTGCCCTCGCGCGGCTCCCACCAAGAAACTGCATTTCTAAGGGTCATCAAGGCAGTGCTAAGGGGGTCATCAAGGCAGTCCAGCCAGCTTGGGCCCAGCCATGGAGAGAGCAGACAGAAAAAGCCACGGCCCCTTCCTACTCCACAACACACCACTAGCAAAGGGGCAGGAAGCGCCGACAGCGGCGCCGCCGCCGCCGGAGAACGCGTCCGTCTCGGCGGTGCGCGTCGCGCAGACCGAGAGGTTCGTGGACGCCATCCAGGTCCAGTACAAAAACGGCGAGGGCGACTGGCACGGGAGCTTCGAGTCGTCGGGCGAGCTCAGCGCGTGGCAGACGCTCGCCTGCATGGGCGACGAGCACGTCACGCGCGTCGTCGTCTACCTGACGCCCGAGGGCCAGGTGCGGCGGCTCAAGGTCGGCACGAGCGAGGGCCGTGTCCTGGACTCGGCGGCAGTGAGCGGCATCGACGTCGACGTCGACGCGGGCGGCACGACGACGCGGATGTGCGACAGCGCGGGCGACGTGCTGCGCGGCGTCGCCGAGGCGCTGACGGTCCGCGACGGCGTCGCAACGCGCGAGGTCTCGTTCCTGTTCGGCGCCGCGGCGCCGCCGAGGCCGCCGCCGCCGCCGGCCGGCGCGAAGAAGCGGAACGTCCGGTCCTTCTCCGCGCCCGAGGCGCGGCCCTCCGTCGACGCGCCGCCGCCCGAGATCGTCAACGAGCGCGAGACGCTCGAGACGTACTTCCGGTCCGCGAGCAACACGTCGGCCGCGCTCATGGGGCTGGACCTCCTGCGCGCGAACCTGTGCTACCCGAGGAGCTCGACGCCCCGCGGAGGGAAGAAGGGGGGGAAAAAATAACTTACTGTTGTGAACAACTAATCGAGCGCGTCCGCGGTGTCTGCCTTGACTGCCGGAGCCGGCGGCGGCGGCGGCGCGGGCGGAACCGGCGGCGGTCTCGAGTCGTCCGGCCGGTCCGGCGCGGGCACGTGGAACTTGTCGCCGGGCGCGAGACCGGCGGGGACCGTCGCCTGTATCGCGACGCCGCGGAACGTGAAATTGACTTTGTCCCCCGGCCGCGCGCCAGCTGGTACAACAACAGCGAGCATCCGTCGCGCGTCCGGCGCCGCGCGGTGCGGCGCGGCGACCGTCCGGGCCTCGTCGTCGTCGCTCGACGCCGTCGCGCTCTCGTCGTCGTCGTCGTCGTCGAGGCGCTCCGCGAAGTCGCCGGCCACGAAGGCGTCGTCGTCGCCCTCGGGCGCGAGGTAGAGGTAGCGCTGCTGGTTCTCGCAGACGCGCTCCCGCGGCGGGTCGCCGCGGATGCCGAGCCATGCGAAGAGGTCGCGCTGCTCCGCCTCGGACTCGAAGAGCGCCTCGCAGTCGTAGGTCCGGACGTTCGCCGGGAACTCGCGCTCGAGCTCGGCGCAGGCGGCGTAGTACGCGTCGTAGAAGGCCCGGATCGCGCCGCGCTTCGTCGCCGCGGCGTGGTTCGGCAGCGTGAGGTCCCACTCGTCCCACTCCCACTCGGCCGCGTCGTGGTCCGCGAAGGGGTTCTTCGCCGCGCCGAAGCCCGGCGCGTCTCCATTAATTGTGCGCCGCCGCGCGCCGGCTTCCGTCCAGTAGTACCACGACTCGACGCACGCGCGCCGCTCGCGCCGCAGCACGACGAAGCGCGTCGCCGGCGCGACCTCGAGCACGGCGCGCGCGTAGGGCAGCCAGGCCCAGTGGATGTCGCCGACGACGTCGGCGCCGCGCACCTTCTCGAGCGCCGCGAGGCGCCGCGCCGCGACGGCGCCGCGCGCCTCGCCCGGCGCCCAGAGCAGCGGCCGGTCGTCGGGCGCGCAGGACAGGCACGCCGCCGCCGACCGCGCGCCGAGGCCCGCGAGCCGCGCCAGCGAGTGGAGCCCGCACCGCCCCGCGCCGAGGCCGATCCAGACCTTCGCCGCCGGCGCCGCCGCGGGCGGGGGCCGCGGGACCGGCGCGAGCGGCGACATGTCGTCGGCCTCGTCGTCGACGGCGACGAGGGCCCGCGACGCCTGGTCCCGCGTCCGCGCCACGGACGCCTCGCGGCAGCGCTGGATGCGCGGCGTGCACTGCGCGTAGAGCTTCTCGTCGGCCTCGACCGCGCGGTAGTAGAGGCTCGAGGCCGCGCGCGGCTTGCCGAGCGCCTCGAGCGCCGCGGCCGCGCGGAACCAGGCCTTGGCGTGGCCGGGGAAGGCGCGCGCGCCGCGCGCCGCGTCGCAGTAGGCCTCGGCCCAGAGGCCCAGCTTGCCGGCGACGATGGCGCGGTTCGTCAGGCAGACGCCGACGCCCTTGGCGAAGCCCGCGCGCGCGAACGCCGCGGCGGCCTCGGTGTACTTGGCGAGGGCCGCCTCGTGGTCGCCGGCCAGCGCGAGCTCGCGGCCGGCGGCGCGGAGCTGTTCCGCGGCGTGGATGGGGAGGGAGTAGGCGGGTGCGCCGTCGGTTTGCGCCATTTTTCAAGGAGTGGACTTTGTTAATCGTCCACTACGCCGTCAATTTATCGATTTTTGATCTACGAGATGGTGCAGCGAGTAATTTCAATACAAATTGGCAAGCTTATGCTGTTTTTGCAGCATCGCGTGCATTTCTATGGCTGGCTGTGGCCTCACGCCTCCGGCGCTTTAGTTAGCCGAGTGAGGTACTAGCTATTTTCGAGCCGTCGTGCTAGAGGGGCTACAATAAGCGACTCTCTCTCTTTTCCAGCGAGATTCAAGAAGAAACTTTATGGTATCACATCCGGCAGCTGCTCGTCGCACGCCGGCCCCGCCTCGTCGCGCGCACAGTCTAGATCTCGTCGAAGTCGATGCCGATATCATCATTGGCGTCGTCTCCTTCCATTGCCATGTCTACGGCCGTCTCGTTGATGCGCGCCGTCTCGGGTAGCTCCCCGTACTGCTTGAGATTTCTTGCTTCATCAGCATTATACTTGTGGATGATGTCCACCTGTGCGTGAACGACGGTTACAGGTTGTTGTTGCGCTAGGACGCTGCTCAGCGAGCCTTGTCGTCCTGGTACTCCCTCAATCCAACAAGCACGATGTCGCCCGCCGACACCCAGACCTTCTTACGCATCTTGCCACGGATGTGGCCAAGGCGCGTGACGCCGTCGAAGCAGTAGCATTCGCATCTGCCGTTACCTAGCATACGCACGACCTGCGAGTACTCCTGGCCGGGCTCCTTGAATTCGAGCTGGCGTTTGGTCTCCTCGTTCTCGTTCTTGCCGCGCCTCCGGTTCTTGCCGCCCTTGCCCTTATTCTTAGGCATGATCTAAGGGTGGCCGCCTCCTCCGCGTCCTGCGAGGGGACGCGTGTTTGCAAAGGTTCGTCGTGTGCGCATCGCCGCGGCGGCGTCGACGCTCTCGGAGCGATGCGCGCTACCAAAGCCCGTCGAGCGACTAAAGCTTCGGCAGCGCGCGGTCGGCCCGCCGCCTAGCGCGCTGCCAGGAACCCGCCGAGCGACAGCTCTATGCGCGTTCGGCAACGCTCGACCGGCCACCCACGCAGCCCGTCGACGTCGCCCGCGCCCAAAAAAAGGAGAGGACTGGCATTTGAATAAGCTCTCTGTGACGCTGTGCTTCACCTATTGCAGCTGTTGTAAGCGCGCTGTGCTGCAGCGTTCCGCGTGTCCTCACAGCGTGTCTGCTTGCGCTGTTAAGCCCCTTGCGCGCGCGGACGTGATGTCGCCGCTTTTTGCGCTCGTCGACCTCAGCAACCCTAAGACTCTTCAAACGCGGCGAGCCGTGGACGCAGAGGTCTGGGTACGCGCCGACAGGTTGCCAGGCCGCTGCATTTTCGCGCGGGTTTCGCTACTAGCCTGCGGTCGCAGTGGAAAGCGGCTGCTGCTCGTGGTAAAGCCTACGTCGTTATCTGCGAGAGCTGAGCACGCTATTTTATTAGTGCATCAAGTACGCAGTCGTATTTTCTGGCCCTCGCGCGTTGCGGTGGAGCTAGAATACCACTTCCTGGTTTTGCCAGCTGTTGTCTTGCTGTTTGCGACGCGCGTTCACGCCGTGCACGCGTCTGCTAAGATGGCACGCCCAACAGCAGCACACGTCGCAACAGCAGCATTACTCCTCGCCGCCGCGGCCGGCTTCAGGCCAGTCGTGCCGCGACGGCCCGCCACCTCGTTGTACGCCAAGCCGCTGGCGCGGAAGCAGTCGTCGCACGTGCCCGCGATCGTCGACGAGGACACGTTCCTCGCGGCCATGTCCAAGAGCGCGGGCGACAAGGTCGTGGCGATCAAGTTCTACGCGGGCTGGTGCCGGGCGTGCAAGACGATCGCGCCGCGCTTCGAGCGCCTCGCGAAGGAGTTCGGCGAGGAGGCGGCCTTCTACGAGATCGAGTTTTCCGCGAACAAGGACCTCTGCCGGCGGCTGGACATCAAGAAGCTGCCGTGCGTCCAGTTCTTCCGCGGCGCCGAGGGCCACGTGGCCACGGTCATGTGCGGCCCGTCGAAATTCCCGGACGTGCGGCTGAAGCTCGAGGACCTCCTCGGCCACTCGCACCACCCGGACGACGTCCCGGAGTTCACGGACGTGTCCGAGCACTACAACGGCACGGACGTGTCCGAGGCCTACGCGTAACGAGTCGTATCGTATTAGCTACCTTACGGTCCCGCTGTTCCCCCTAGCTGGGTCGCGGAAGCCCTCCTTCTCGACCTGTGCGGGAATAATCGATCGACGCGGCCCCTTTGTCGCTCGACACAGTCCGCAACCTGGAGAAACCGCCGCTCGCGCCACTCCGCCTCCTGCTCGACGTCCCAGAGGCAGTGCTCCTCGATGTCGACCTGCGTGTTCGAGGTCGCGGCGACGGCGTACCGCGGAGGACGCCGCCGACGCGCGTCGGCGGGCGCCGGCACCAGGCAGTCGTCCGCCACGTCTAGAAGTCCCGCGCGCTCGATGCGCGGCTCGGCGTCGGCCGGGAGCTCGCAGAGCCCCTGGAGCACTTCGTCGGCGCCGGGTGCGCAGACGCCTAAAACATACGAGTTCACGAGAAGCCGTTCCTGCCACGCCGGCGGCGAGGATGTCACACGCACGAACGAAAACCGCGCCTTGTGCGCGCCCGGACCGACACGCGGCGTCGTGAGGAGCACAGCATCATCATTCCATCGATACCCATAATACGACCCGCCGAACACGTCATGCCGGCACGACGGCGCGGCGTCGGTCTTGAGCAGAGACGGTTCGATGGCCGGCCGGTTGCCGGCGCCCTCGAATTCGTGCGACCATTTGTATTGAGGCCCTTGCGGCGCGTGTCTGAATCGCGAGCCATCAAACGAGCACCTCGGCGCCCTCTCGTTCGCGGCGATGAGGCGGAGGTTCTCGACCAACCTTGGCAGGCTGTCAAAGGCTGCCAATTCGACCTCTATGCGGCCCAGCGCGGCCGCATTCGTCGTCTTGAGGTCAAAGAATAGGCGTGGCGGAGCCAAAGCACCGGCTGTCGCAACAATTAACAGCGAGACGGCTGCAGGCTGCATTTTGCTCTCCCTGGCAGCTTTTTGAGAGCTAGGCAAATCTCAGGCTGCACGCCGCACGAGGCGCTGAAAGAGGCAGGGGAATAGTGAATCCTGCTATCGGATATAAATACGTCAAATCGATAAGCGCTCGTACTCCGACCAGACAGCGGCACTGAGCACTAATCACTGGCAAGCACTCGGCAGTCGCGCGCGGCGCAGCACGCATGGCGAGCTTCGATCACAGCAGCCTACAAGTGCGCGTCGACCGGGTCGACCGCGTCTATAGGCCAGGCGACGTGATCGCGGGCACCATCGTCGCCCGCGTGCGGAAAGGCTGGCGCCACCAGGGAGTCGGGCTGCGCGCGCTCGGCGCGGTCGAGATCGCGCACCACCTGCGGCCCTTCATGAACGAAGCGTCGGTGCTGACACCGCCGGGGCATTTCTCGGACGGCGAGCACGCGTTAAGGTTCGAGATCGAGCTGAGGCCCTGCCCCGGCGCCGAGCTCCTCGAATCCTATCACGGCAGTGCAAACGTTACGTACACGTTGATCTGTACCTGTCGCCGCGGGCCGCTGAGACCCGCCCTCGAGGCGCGGTGCGAGATTTTCGTCGAAGTCCCGTCGGGCCCGCCGCCGCAGCCGGCCCCGACGACGTTTATGGTCGCGCGCGAAAAAGGACTGCGGGTCGCGGGTAAAGTGGACTCGACGCGGTGCTTGCTCGATCGCCCCTTCACGGGCGAGCTGCGAATCGACGAGTGCGCCGAGCGCATACGATCCGTGGACATCGCCCTGATGCGGCGCGAGACCGTAAGCGGCGTCCTGGGGCGGGCCGCAGAAGTCCGCAGAACCCAGATTGTGGATGGCGACGTCACGCGGGGAATCGATATCCCGATCCACGTCTTTTTTCCACGCCTCTTCGCCTGCCCGAGCCTTGCTATCGACGGCCTGAGCGTCGCGTTCGAGGTGGATGTTGTTGTGTCTTTCGGAGAGGGCCTGGTCGCCAGGGAGTCGATTCCCGTGGTGCTGTATCGCTGATGGTTGTTGTAATTTTTGAGTTGTAATTCTGGGCAGTTTCTCAGCGGCTTGGGCCCGCACGCTAGGGTGCGATTTACGCACGGCGTTCTGTACGTGAGAAACGGTCCAGCGTAAATAACGCCATGTTTTGCGCATGTCGGAGCGGCCCGGTGCGACTTGTAAACTAGTAACAGGGATAGTATTTACTCAGAGGCCAGGCGTGCCCAACATACACGCGACCTTCAGCGGCTTTCAAACCCAAACCAGAAGAACACGAAGCACGTCAGGCACTCGTACGCCACCGCGAAGAGGAAGAGCCGCAGGTGGGCCGCCGGCGCCGCCGCGGGGTCGAAGCCGAAGCAGCGCAGGACCGCGTCGCCCGCGAGCGGCGCCGACCGGTACTTCTGCGCGCCGACCTTGGACGTCAGGTACAGCTCCGGGATGCCCGAGAACTCGTGGACCACGAGGGCCTCGTAGCCCGACGCCGCCGGCAGCGCGCGCGCCACGCGGCGCCACGCGGCCGGCAGGTCGTCGGGGTCCGCGAAGAAGCCGCAGAGCAGCAGGTTGAAGAGGAGCACGAGCGACGCGGCCGCGTTCGCCACCGAGTCCGAGGGCGCCAGGGCCCCGAGGCACCGGCCCAGCGCCGCGAAGGCGTAGTGGAGCTGCAGCGCCGCGGCGATGAAGCCTAGCCCAGCCGCGGCCGTCGGCGCGCCGCGCGCGACGGCGAGCGCGAGGCCCGCCGTGAGCACCGGCGGCAGCAGCCGCAGCGGCAGGACGTCGCCCACGCCGCACATGGCCAGGAACGCCGCCGGCCCGCCGTACGAGTCGCGCTCGCGCGCGAGCAGCCGCGCCGCGCGCCGCGCGCGCGGCGGCGCCGACAGCGCCGACAGGCCCACGGCCACGCAGAGCACGAAGGCCAGGCCCAGCCGGTCCTGGATGCCCGCCGCGGACCCGTTGCGCGCCGGCAGGTTGGCGAAGGCCAGGCCCAGCACGAGGCCGACGGCCGCGGCGGGCCCGTAGTGCAGCGCGAGGAGGCTCGCGTCGCGGCGCACGCCCCGCCACTCGCGCGCCGCCAGGAGGCGCAGCGTCGCGTAGCCGTAGGGCGGCCGCCGCGCCGCCGGCACGGCCGGCGCGACGAACGCGCCGCGGAAGGGCCGCGGCCGCGCGGGCGCCGCGAGCGCGCCGAGGCGCTCGGCCGACGCCGACAGGTCCAGCAGCGCGTCGGCGGGGTTTGCGGCGTCCGGCGCGGCGGCGTCGACGTCCGCCGGCGGCCCGAGGAAGCGGAGGCGGCCGCCGGCGACGAGCGCGACGCGGTCGAGCAGGCGCACGATCTCGCGCCGCGGCTGGTGCAGCACGCAGACGACCGTCGTGCCGCCCCGGGCGAGGGCCGCGAGGCGGCCCACAACCTTGAGGGCCGTGGCCGCGTCGAGGCCCGTCGTCGGCTCGTCCGCGAGGACGAAGCGCTTCCGCGCGAGCAGCGCGGTCGCGAGCGTCGCGCGCCGCCGCTGGCCGCCCGAGCAGCGCCAGAGGCGCGTCGCGTGGAGCGCCGCGCCCGTCAGGCCCAGGGCCTCGGCCTCGCGCAGCGCGCGCGCCGCGGCCCTTTTCTTCGGCCAGCGCGCCGGCAGCCGGAGCCGCGCGTGGAAGCGCAGGTGCTCGGCGACGGTCAGGTGCGGCGGCAGGATGTCGTCCTGGGGCGCGAAGGCCGCGGCGAAGCGGCGCTGCGCCGGCGTCGCCACGGCGCCGTCGAGCGCCACGAGGCCCGACGGCGCGCCCGACGTCCGCCGGCCGCTCAGCACCGCGAGCAGCGACGACTTGCCCGCGCCGCTCGGCCCCAGCAGGCCCGTCAGGCCGCCCGCGGCGACCTCCAGCGAGACCTGCTCGAGGACGACGCGCCCCGTCGTCAATTTTAAACCGACGCGCGAGCACGCGAGCCGCCCGGGCTCGCCGTCCGCGGCGTCGTCGTCGTCCTCCTCGCCGTCGTCCAGCAGGGGCGCCGCCAGCGCGTCCGGCGCCGCCGGGTTCTCCTCGTCGGCGCCCGCGTCTTCCGGCGCCTCGCGCGCCGCGGGCTCCGCGAACGGGCGCTTCTCGGCGGCGTCGTCGACGTCGGCGGCGGAGCGGAGCGCGTGCGCGAGCGCCGCGACGCCCAGCGCGGCGACGACGACGAGGCCCAGCCGCAGGAGGGCCGCGTCCGCCGCGCTCGACACCGTGGGCAGGCCGAGCGTCGACAGGATCTGCGTCACCGTGACGTAGAGGTCCGAGGGGAACGTCGGGTCGCACTTGTGCGCGTCGATGACGTAGTACTGGGGCCCGCCGGGCACGGCGTCGGCGACGTTCGCCGGGGGGTGGTCGCCGTAGCGCGCGCCGGCGAACTCGCCGACGACCGCGGCGCGGTACGCGTGGAAGAGCGCGTCGGCGCGCGCCGCCGCGCCCGTCGCCGCGCGCGACAGGGCGCCCAGGGCGTCCGCCCCGCCCTGCGCGAGGCCGCCCGCCGTGTCGTGGGCCTTGGACTCGACCGACACGGCGACGCCCCCGAAGAGCGCCATGAGCAGCGCGCCGAGCGCGCCCGCGGCGTTCGCGACCTCGGCGCGGATGCGCGCGGCGCCCAGCGCCAAACACAGACAGCCCGCCGCGGCCGAGGCGCCGCCCAGGGCCGCGGCGAAGCGCAGCACGCACCAGCCCGCGCAGCGCGGCCGCAGGCCCGCCGCCGGGTAGACGACGAGCGCGAGCGCGAGCGCCGGCGCGAGGCGCAGCAGCACGAGGTCGCAGCCGAGCACCGCCGCCAGGTGCGCCGCGCGCCCGTAGAGCCCGCCCAGCGCCGCGCGCTCGCCGTCCGCGCAGGCCGCCTCCTCGCGGAACGCCGCGAGCGCGCTCAAACTCAAACACGTCACGAAGAAGAGCGCGAAGAAGATGGCGCCGACGCGCCGCTGGGCGCCGCCGAGGTCGCGCGGCAGGTCCGCGTCGACCGTGCCGAGGCAGACGGCCGCCAGCACGGCGCCCGCGAGGTGCAGACACAACGACGCCGGCGCGCGCGCGACGCGCAGGAGCTGCCGGTCGCAGAGCGCGCGCAGCTGCGTCCGGCGGTCCGCCCTCTTAAACTTCGCGCCGGCCACGGCCGCCGCCGGCACGATCTGCCGGGCGCGGACGTCGTCCGGCGCGTCGCCGAGGCTCGCCGGGTCCGCGCAGAGCGCGTCGAGGACCGCGTCGCCGGGGTTCGCGCCCGGAGGTCCGAGCCGCGCCGCCAGGGCCCGCAGGTCCGCCGCCGCGCCGCGCCAGACGACGACGCCGGCGTGGATGAAGCAGCAGCGGTCGACGAGCGCCAGGATCTCGGACCGCGGCTGGTGCAGCGTGCAGAGCACGGCGACGGGCCGGCCGCCGCCGCCGCCGCGCCGCGCGACGCGCCCGAGCGCGCGCGCGAGCCGCAGCGCCGCGCGCGCGTCGAGGCGCGACGTCGGCTCGTCCAGGAGCAGCGCCGCCGGCGCGCCCAGCAGCTCGGCCGCGACCGACGCGCGCCGCGCCTCGCCGCCCGAGCAGCCCCGCTGCGCGGCGGGCGCCTCGTCGTCGGCGCCCCGCGCGCCCAGGAACGTGCCGGCGCAGGCCTCGAGCTCCAGCGCGCGGAGCACGCGCCGCACGGCCCGAATTCTTTCACTCGCGGGCTCGTCGGCGGGCCGGCGCAGGCGCGCGTGGAAGAGGAGGTGCTCCGCCACGGTCAGCGTCGGCGGGAGCCCGGAGTCGTCCTGCTCGACGAACGCGAGCGTCGCGCGCCGCGCGCGGCTGCCGAGGACGCGGCCGCCGACCTCGACGGCGCCCCGCTGCCGCGCGCCCCGCGGCGCGCGGCCGCCGATGGCCCGCAGCAGCGACGACTTCCCGGCGCCCGACGGGCCCATGACGCAGCCCACCTCGCCCGCGGGCGCGCACCCGTCCGCGCGCTTCACGACGAGCGCCGCGCCACACGCGAGGCCCACGCCGCGCCACGCGAGGTCCAGGCCCTCGTCTTCACTAGAATCGAGCTCGTCCTCGTCGTCCTCCGCCGCCGCGAAGTCGAGCGCGATCTCGCCCTCGATCCTCATACCCTCGCGCCGGAGCGGGCTCGTCAGGAAGGCGCGGAGGCTCAGCCCCAGCACCAGCGCCAGGGCCGCGGCGAGGAGCGCGAACTGGTGCGCGTGCAGCGTTTCGACGGGCCGGCGCAGGTCGAAGGTCCACGCCGAGACCGCGGGCTGCGGCCTGTGGACGTGGTCGACGACGGGGATGTCGGGCGCCGCCGTGGCGTTGTCGTAGAGGCAGTTGCCGACGTGGCACCTGCGTGTGCATCGCGATGACCGGAGGCGACGACCTCGCTCGAGAGACCCGCACCGCCGCGCCGGCTAGCGGAATTGAAGGCGCCGCGGGATTCGAACGCCGCGCCGCGCGTGAAGGGGAAGCCCTTCTCGTCGCCGAGGTGGTCCTGGTTCAGGTAGCACCGCCTCGCCGACGGCGGCGCGCCGTCGACCGCGTCGAGCTCGCACACGAACTCCGTCGCGACGACGTTCCAGACGGCCTCCGTCGACTCGCACGTGCCGGCACCCGCGTCCGCAAAGGCGCCGTCGTCGTCGTCCGCGGCGTGGTCGTAGGGGCAGCAGAGCGGGTTCTCGACGTGGTAGCGCTTCCCGTGCATGACGTCGTCGTCGGTGCCCGGCGCCGCCTGGCAGCAGCCCGTCGGCGACTTGGTCGCGCACTCGTGCTCGCAGACGTACTTGTGCGTGCACTCGTCGTAGGTCCAGCCCGGGCAGCGCGGCAGGTCCGCCGGCGGGCAGTCGATGTGCGTGCGGGCGCACTTGAGCGTGAGGCACCGCTTCGCGGGGTCCCAGGCGCACGTGCCCTGGGAAAACTGGCAGCCCGTGAGGTTGCCCGTGAAGTAGGCCGCGTAGTCGAAGTCGTTCTGGCCCGGAAACTTGGCCGCGTCCGCGCGGTACGTGCCCAGGCGCCACGCGACCTCGGCGTGGTCCGCGAAGGCCGTCAGGTCGAAGGACGCGCTCGGCGCGTTCACCGTCGGCAGCAGGCACAGGGTGCTCGCGGCGCCGGGCCCGCAGACGCTGCACGAGAAGCGCTTGCCGCTGACCAGCTCCTCGGCGACGGGCTCGACGGCCCCCGCCGAGCAGTTCCGGGCCCTTTGATTGCCGCGGCGCGGGCACGCGGCCACGTCGGCGCAGACGTCGCACGCCGTGCCGTTCCAGCCGGCGCAGCAGCGGCCCCACGACGGCTCCGGGTTCGCCGCGGCGGCGCGCGACGCGTTGTTCAGGCGGCGCCACTCGTCCTCGCCGTCGCGGCCGCAGACGCAGGTCGCGCAGTTGTCCTTCTGGACGAACTTGCTGCCCTTGGCGCTGCCGACGAAGGCGAAGAGCGTCGCGTCGTTCGCGCACGGCGGCGCCGTCTCGTCGACGTGGATGCAGGCCTTTGAGACGTCGTGCGTGGCTGTCGCGGCGCTGTCATGCGTCGCGGCGGTCGCAATAGCGGAGACGCAGGCCGCGGTGAACCAGAGGAGGCAATGGGTCACTTTTGTCATGTGGCAGGTGATCTGGCCCTATGTTTGAAGCGAAGCTTGTAGTATACTATCAGAGTAGGCTGTTAGCGATGCGAATCCATCGTCTGAGTCGCTGCCAGCTGTATATACACCCTTTTGGCTTCTGCTAAATTTGGCAAAAACCCGCCCGTTTTGCGGCGGTCTTTGCCGCTGGTATTCTTACGCTCAAAGCTCGGGAGAAGGCTTTTCTCGACCCGTGGACAAGCGACGGGTCCGCGCCCAAAATGCCAACTTTTGAGTCCAGCACAAACCAAAACGGGCAGGAACTCGGCGCCCAGAAGCGCGCGCCCGCTAAAAAGAGGCTGTGGTAGCCACCAACACGTCTCAGCTCTCGCAACTCCTCGAAAGCAGGCGTTGTTGGCACCGCTGGTGCTAGCTGGGCAGCTAACAGACACAGTCGCACCTCGTACACCGACGCCGATCATACAGGGAACATGTACGCGGACGCCCAAAGCTACCCGACCATCCCCGAAGCCGTGACGCCGCTGGCGGCCTGCGCGGCCTGGGCCGAGGCCTTTGTGGCGGCGCCGGACGACGCGGCCGTCGACGAGGAGGCGCTGCGCGCGCCGGAGCGCTTCGCCGCGGCCGTCGCGGCGGCGCACCGCGGCGCGGACGAGGGCGTCGAGGCGGCGGTCGCGCGCCAGCCCGCGCTCCGGCTCATGGCGCGGCCCGTCGAGCTCAAGTCCGCGGCGGCCGACGACGAGCGCTGGCTCCTGCCGCAGCTCTCCGGGCTCGTCGCGGCGCTGCGCGGCGGCGCGGGATGCGTCCTCGTCGCGACGGCGACGGACGCGCTCTGCGTCGGCCTCGCGCGGCGGCCGGTCGCGGACGAGGACGCCGAGGACGACGGCGCCGAGGCGCCGCTCCGCAGCGTCTGCTTCGACCCGCGGCCGCGGCCGGCGCTCGCGCAGCGGACGCCCGCGGCGCTGCATTTTACGTCCTCGAAAGCGCTGCAGCTGCACGTGCTCGCGCTCCTCACGGCGGAGACGGACGACCGCCGCGCGACGCTCGGCGTCGTCGTCTCGGGCGCGCGGCGCGACGCGTCGCGGCTCGCGCTGCTCGAGCGCGACGCGGCGGCCATCCGCCGCGCCGAGAAGAAGCGCGCCATCGAGCGCCAGCGCGCCGAGATCGAGCAGCTCCGCCGCGCGCTCCGGCCCGCGGCGCAGGCCGCCGCGACGCGGTCCGGCGACGGCGAGCAGTTCGTGGCCTTCGGCGAGCGGCTCTACGCCGAGCTGCGGGGCGCGGCCCTCGACGCCGGCGCCGCGTCGCCGCTCGAGGCCGCGACGCGCGCGTACGAGGCCGCGGCCGCGCGGCCGCTGACGGGCGCGGCCGCGCGGCTCCTGGCGTCGGCCGACGGCGACGACTTCCTGCGCGCCGGCGCGGCGCTCTACGCGGCCGCGCGCGCGGCCGCGGCGCCGTCGGCGTCGTCGTCCTTCGCCGCGTCCTCCGTGGCGTCCTTCGCGACGACGGCGGCCTCGGTCGCCGACGCGCCGCCGGAGCCGCCCTTCGCGACGTCGGCCTCGTTCGCCCCCCCGGAGCCGCCGCGACCCGTTCCCGCCGCGGCGGCGCCGCCCGCGGACGACGCCGCGGACCGGCGGTCGACGGCGGCGACGGACGGCGGCTCCGAGGCCCCGGGCGACGACGACGCGCCGCCGCCGCTGCGCCTCGACGCGGACGAGGGCGACGACCGCCTCGACGTGCCGACGCCGTTCCGCGGCGGCGCGACGCCCCTGTCCGAGGCCGCGGACGCGACGGGCGGCGACGACGACGACGTGCTGCTCCAGTCGGCGGCGCCGCCGCGCGCGGCCGCGGCGTCGCCCGAGGGCCTCGTCGTCGACGTCGGCGCCGCGGACCGGCGGCCCCTCGTCGCGTCGTACGGCAGCGATTCCGAGGACGGCGCCGCGGCGGAGCCGCCGCCGCGCGTCCCGCCGGCGGGCTGGGCCGCCGAGTACGACATGGGCGCGGCCGCGCGGCCGCCGCCGGCCCGGCCGGCGCCGCCCGCCGCGCGGCGCCGGAGCGGCGGCGACGTCGTCGAGGTCGACCTCTTCGACGACGCGGCGCCCGACGCGGCCGCGCGGAAGCAGCGCATGGAGCGGTTCCAGCAGATGCGCGAGAAGCGCGCGCGCGCGATGGACGAGTCGCGGCCCGCGTCTTGCCATCGCGCGTTTTTTTTACCGGTGTTCACCGGCGCGACGCCGCCCGCGCGGCCATCACCCGGTGCCTGGTTCTTGACTGGTCGAAAACACAGGCGGCGGCGGCTCGAGAAGGAGCACCACGCGGCGCTCCGGGCCGGCGGCTTCGCGCACAACGCCGACGCCTCGAAGCCAACGCCGTCGAAACGGGCGGGCCCGCCGCCCGTCGGGCGCGGCCGGCTCTGCAACGCGAAGACGCTGGCGAACGCGCTGCAGCAGATCTGCCTCGCGGGGCCGCACTGCGCGGACCGCCTCGCGGCGGCGCTCGCGAGCCTCAAGGCGTCGCCGGCGGACCACCACGTCGTCGTGCTCAAGGACGACGGCGTGCGCACGTTCCGCGGCGTCTACGCCGTGGGCCGCGGCGGCGCCTGCGAGAAGATCCACGGCCGCGGGCCGGCGCGCTTCGCCGAGGCGGACGTCGCGACGTTCCTCAAGTTCAACTCGGCCCGCCGCGCGTTCGTCAAGCTGCCGTCGAGGTCCTTCTCGCTCACGACCGACGCGGTCATGCTCTCGGCCTCCGTGCTGCCCAAGAACAAGCCGGTGCTCTACTAGGACTTGAGAGGTCTAAGTTTTGCTTCCTTACTACACACATTACAAGCTTCACAGCTCGATCGTCGCGTCCGTGTCCGCGGCGACCTTGTCGGCCGCGAGTATGTTCTCGGCCGTGTCGGCTTCGTCGGGCTCGCAGCCCGCGGCCAGGCGCATCGATTGGTAGGCGGCCGCCGCCGCCGCCCGGGCCGTCTCATCGAGCGTCGCGGCCGCCAGAACCTGGATCAGCGGGCCGTCGTCGCCGGCGAGCACGCGCGCGCCGCCCGCGGCGGCCGCCGCGTCGTCGGGCACGACTGCGCCCGAAAGCAGCGCCACGAGCGCCCGGAGCGCGTCGCCGTCGGCGCCTCCGGTGAGCAGTTTCGCGCGGTCGCCCGCGAGCGCCCGCGCGGCATCGGTGCTCGCGGTATCATTGGCGGCGTCGCTTGGCGGTGGCGTGGCCGCGGCGTCTCGCGCGAGGGACGCCTCGAGCGCCTGCCAGGACGGCAGCGTCACGCCGCGCTTGCAGAGGTCGCCGACGGCGTGTGATTTGTGTTTGCGCATGGCTACGAGTTGCGAACCGCGCGCGCGGCACAGTGCATGCAGGCAGCCTGCTGCCGCTGTGAGTGAACCACCGGCGAATGCAGTGAGTGTTTTCTCTTGGTGCCGTGCCCGGGACCATGCATTCGACGCACCAGCCGTGCGGTGCAGGCATACAATCGCAATTGCCGGGTGCCTCGAGCCAGGCGCCGGGGCGGGCAGCTGAGCTGCACCCGCACGGTAAGAAAACTCGCCAATTACTCACGCAGGCAATCGGACGCATCGCTTCGAATGGTCCTGTCCCTGATTTCGTTTGCCCAGACAGGCGCAGCGAGGGCTGGGCTTGACAGCAACCACAATAAAGGCCAAGACGGTACTCGTAGCGGTAAACGGTGCAGCAAAGACACCGGCGGCACGAGTCATCAATCCTTTCGCTGCCAACGCTGTTTCATCCGTTGCTGCACACCTAGCTGCGAGCTTGAGCTAACACTCAGGAGTGTGCAGCATCACACTCGGAGCGCGCGTCGAGTGGAGGAGCGTTTCACACGTCAAGCGGAGCGCGTAGTACCGGCAAAGCAACCATATATTAAGCGATGCACCGCATCGCTCTCTCCACCGCGCGCGCGCCCGTCGCGGCGGCGGCGGCGGCGGCGTACTACGGCTCGCGGCCGCGCGAGGCGGCCTGCGACCCGCAGCTCGTGCCGCACCCGGAGCGCCACGACCGGCGGGGCGAGCTCCTCTTCGGCGTGCCGAAGAAGGGCCGGCTGCACGAGAAGATCGTGGGCATGCTCAAGGGCGCGGGCCTCGAGTACAAGCGCGAGGCGCGCCTCGACATCGCGCACTGCCGCGACCTGCCCGTGTCCCTCGTCTTCCTGCCGGCGGCGGACATCGCGACCTACGTGGGCGAGGGCGACGTGGACATGGGCATCACGGGCGAGGACATCATCGCCGAGAGCGAGGTCGACGTCATCGAGCTGATGCGGCTCGGCATGGGCAAGTGCCGGCTGAGCGTGCAGGCGCCGGCGGGCTCGACGCAGGACCCGCGGCAGCTCGCGGGCAAGCGCGTCGTGACGTCGTTCCCGGTGCTCACGAAGAAGTACTTCGCGGGCCTCGAGACCGGCGCCGAGACCAAGGTCAAGTGCATCTCCGGGAGCGTCGAGGCGTCGTGCGGCCTCGGCCTCGCCGACGGCATCGTCGACCTCGTCGAGACGGGCACGACGATGCGCGCCGCGGGCCTCGAGGAGGTGTCGGTCATCATGCACACGGAGACCGTGCTCATCGCGAACCCGCACTCGCACCATAAAGAATTGATTGAGCTCCTGCGGAAGCGCATCTCGGGCTTCATCACGGCGTCGCGCTACATGATGGTGACGTACAACGTGCCGCGCCACCTCCTGCACGTCGCGCGGCAGATCACGCCGGGCAAGAAGTCGCCCTCGATCCAGCCCCTCGAGGACGAGGCCTGGGTCGCCGTGTCCGCCCTCGTCGAGAAGTCCAAGGCGGCCACGATCATGGACTCGCTCGAGGCCGCGGGCGCGACGGACATCCTGCTCTCGGCGATCCACTCGTCGCGCATGGGCGACTGAGGCGCTGGCTGAGCGGGGATAGTGGAGGCGTGTAGAGAACACACATAACTAAGTTTATGATGACGACGCCCGCTCGACGAGCGTGCAGACGTCGGGGACCTCGCCGCGGAGCGCTGCTCGCGCGTGCGCCGTCCCGGCCTCGACGACGACGACGGGCGTTCCAGCACGTGCGATCGCGATCGCGGACTCGAGCTTCGCGGCCACGCCGCCGGTCACGTCGTGGAGGGCTGTCGACGTCGCGATTTTGGGGCCTCGTCCAGCGCCCACCGAGATCCGCGGGACGAGCGTCGCGCCCGGCTCGTCCGGCGGGCGGTCAAAAACCCCGGGTACATCCGTGATAAAAACGACGAGCTTCGGCCGCAATTCTTCCGCGAGGAGCGTCATGAGAGTATCCCCGGACAGGATACTTGCTCCCTGGATTTCGTCTATGCAAGCGTCGCCATGGATTGCGGGCACGCAGCCAGTTCCGAGCAGTTCGCGGACGCGGGCGACGCCGCGGCGCCGCGCTGCGCGTGGCACGACGCCTCTGCCGCGCGTCGCGCCAAATGCGTCGCAGGGCGAAACCCCCACGGCTGCGACGCCTGCCGCGAGCAGCCCGTCAACGACGAGCCCGTTCAATTTGCACACCGACGAGCGCGTTAGCCCAAAGCCGCGCCAGGAAAACTTTGGGTCTCCCGATCCCTTTGACACGGCGTGCTCACGCGCCTGGAAGTGGCCGAAGCTTCCCGCGCCGTGGACTACGGCGACGCGTTTGCCGCTTTGCGCGATATTTTCGCAGCAGTCGCGTAGGTTGTCGGCATGCAGCGTCTCGAACGATGCCTTGTTGGTCAGAGCGCTGCCGCCGAGCTTAACCAGGACGTCTAGTTGGTTGCTGCTGCCCCAGCGTCTCCGGAGAGAACGCGTGAGGTGAGCGGTCGCGGGCGGCAGTGCGAGCACTATAAGTGCGAGGCACCAGCGTTGTGCATCTGTGGGCATTGTTTACGCGCCAAATGCCGGCAGGCCTAGGCCTAATTGCGCCGGCCTAGCGGCGTACGGCACTAGCAAGCCATTTTTTTGCCGCGCGGTCTGATAGCCCAACACCTGCCGACGCGCGGCATCACGGACTCACACTGCCGCCTCAGTCGCTTATATAGCCAAGAGAGGCCCAGGCTCCGAGTCATCTGGACTCTAAGAATTGAAATTTGAATTATACTACTAATACGCCTCCAGGGCCGCGCCGCGCCACGTCATGGGCCAGTTCTCCTACGCATGCAAATCGTGTGGCGGCCACGACCAATTCGACTGGGTCACCTCGTGCGTCGTCGAGCTCGCGCTCACGACGGGAGAGACGATCCACGTCGAGGGCCATTACGATGGGTACGGCCGCGCGATTTGCCGCGTCGGCGAGGACCAGCAGTGCCGCGTCTATCCGGACCAGTTCGTCCAGTTTTTCAAACACTGGGGCGGCGTACAGATCACTACAAGCAAGATCTGGTGCAACGGCTCCCACGGTTGTGAGCGGAACTGCGTCCCTCGCGGCACCGACATCCTGGACCGCATCCCCGCCGAGCGCTACGACGAGCTGCAGATGCTCGCCGGCGCCCCGAAAAGTGATCTGCGCGAGCCCTACGACGCCGACGGCATGAAAGGGGACTACTGAAGCTCCACAAGGGACTGAAGGGAGCCGCTCCACAAGGGAGCCCAGGCCGGGAAACATCGCCCGCGCCTCGAATCTACCACTTCGCCGTCGCAAGGATAACTACTCTTTCTCGAATCTGTAGAAAAGGGGTGCGGGGCGGGGGAGGAGAACGCCTAGCCCGCCGCCACCACCCACCCGCGGAGCTGGCGCGAGAGCGTCTCGAGGACGAGCGCGCGGTCCCTTGTCGAATCGCGGCGCGTGTCGAGGCGGCAGCAGCAGTGCGTCGGGAGGAGCGCGGGCGCGCGGACGACGGTCGCGACGCCGTCGCACCGGACGCCGACCGTCTCGACGAGGTGGAGGAGGGCCACGGCCGGGAGCGCGTCCGTCCAGGCGCGGGGCACGCCGGCCGCCACGAGGTCGTCGGCGAAGGAGGCCGCGTGCGCGGCGACGGCGCGGGCCACGGCGCCGTCGTCCGCCGCCCGCGCCGCGAGGTACGCGGCCGCGCCGACGCACGACAGGCACCGGACTTGGTTCCGCACGATGAGGTTGTCCGTCGAGACGTGGGCGTACTCGACGCCGGGCAGCGCGACGTGGCCCCGGGCGAAGAGCCGGACCGCCGCGGACTGGATCGGCGCGTCGCCCCAGCGGTGGACGTAGATGCCCCCCGTCGCGTCGACGGCCGCGAGGTACCGGCGCACGTCGGCGCCGCGCCAGAAGTCGACGACGGTCGCGAAGACGTTGTTGAAGAACATGGCGTCCACGACGCCCCGCGCGAGCGGCCCGCAGTCGCCTCGGCCGCCGAGCACCTCGCAGTAGGCCCGGACCCAGGGGCCGAAGGTCCGGGCCGTCGGGCCGTGCGACTCGCCCGTCTCGGCGCCCCAGGCGTAGTCCGCGTCGCTCTCCCAGAGCAGCCGGAATGGGTCGTAGGGCGCCCGCGCCAGGAAGAAGACGTCGTCGTCGACGCGCATGACGACGTCGAAGTCCGCCACCTGGTCCCAGAGCTGCAGGCCGTAGAAGCGGCACATGTGCTTGTAGCCCTCGCTCCGGTCCGTCGCGGCCCACTGCTCCGCGGGCGGCCGGTCGGCGGTGCCCCAGACGCCCGCCAGCCCGCGGAAGACGAGCCAGGGCGCGCGCGCCCGCAGGGCCGCCACGTGGCCCTCCGGAATGTCGCCCTCGTGGAAGACGACGTGCGGGTAGCGCCGCTCGAGGCGGAACGCGTCCTGCACGCGGTGGGCGGACTCCAGAAACGCGGCGTACCGCGTCTCGTCGCCCCGCCGCCGCAGGAGCGACACGAAGGCGCAGCGCACGGAGGCGTCCCACGGCCGCCGCCCCGGCCGCGGCTCGGGCGCCGGCGGTCGGACGGGCACGACGGGCGCCGGCGGTCGGGCGGCGAGCATCGAAGGGGTGACAACCGGCGCGGGCGGCGGCGGCCGCGACCACCACCAGCCGCCGAAGACCAGCGCCAGCGCCGCGGCGCGCCAGCGCCATCTGCTCATAGGGGCAGCCCTGCATGCCTTTTCTCTCTTCGAGTCGCGCCGCGCGCGCATGGGCCTCATGGTGGCAGCTGCGCAGTTTGGAGTCTCGTCCACAAGAATAGCACAGTGACGCCGCATATGCCTGTGTTGCTGGCCCGGCGGCGGCGGGCAACAAGGCACATCACAAATGGGCATAGGGGGTCGGTCCGTGGGCAGGTTGCAGATTTCCACCTCCGAGTTGTGGCAGGTTTTAGGTTTCCGGATGACTAGAAAGGGCAATCGAGGATTCCAGCTCGCGGCCGCTGGCGCGCGACGAGATGTCCACCCTGAGAAAGTCCCTGAGAGCACGGCTAGCAAAACAACGACGTCCAAAGGAAAAGCTTACGGGGGGGGCTAGCCCGCGATGTCGCCGTACTTGACCTTCTCGTCGCGGACCATGACCTTGAACGCGGCGCAGAGCGTCCGCGCCTCGAGCTCGGAGCCGCACTCGATGTCGAGCGTCCGGTCCACGAGGACCAGCGAGAAGGCGCGCTTCATGATCGTGGGCCCGTCGGCCGTCTGCCGCAGGATGTGCGTCCCCGCCACGGGCTTGAGGAGCGACGCGGCCGGGTCCACCTCCGAGGCCATGCGGACCGCGTCGATGTCGCGCAGGCTCACCATCGTCGTCTCGGGCTGGCCTCGCTTCCAGCCGACGCGCGTCTCGGCGCGGTTCAGGCACAGCACGCGGTCGCGCTTCCGGAGGTCGCTGCAGTGCTTCACGAACGGGATGCCCTTCCGGAGGCTCCGCTTGACGCGCACCAGGTTCACTTCTATCTCCGGCGCCGGCTTCGGCCCTGCTTTCGGCGTCGCGGCCGGCGATCGCCTCGCGGCCGCCGCCGGTGGCGGCGCGGGCGCGGGCGGCGCGGGCGGCTTGGCTTTCGGACTCGGCGGCGTCGCGGCCGGCTTCGCGATCGGAGTCGTGGCGGCTTCGCGCGCGGCGGCCGGCGGCGCCGCTTTGGCCGGCGGCGGCGCGGCCGCCTTGGGCGCCGCCCGCGGCTTCTTGGCCGCCGCGCGGGGCGACGGCGCCGCGCGCGCCGGGGGCGGTTCGTCGGCGTCGTCGATGATCTCCGGCGGCGCGTCGATGCGCTCGACCGCGGGCCCGCCGCGCGGCGCGGCTTCGCCCAGCACGAGCGTGCGGTACTCCTCGCCGTAGGCGTCGTCGTCGAACGCGGCCGCGGACGCCCGCGCCGGCGCGTCCTCCGCCGGCCCGAACGTGTCGGTGCGCCCGTCCGCCGACACGACGGTGATGCTCGCCTGGCTCACCGTGAAGGACCCGTCGGCGCCGTCGTCGAGCAGGCACGAGCAGCTGTTCGGCCCGCAGACGTAGTCCGTGCTCACGTCGAACCAGCGGTCCACGGCGTCGCCGACGGCGCCGAGGCCCAGCCCCCGGCTGGAACTAGTAGGACTCTCGGCCGCCTCCGTGCTGCTCTGGGTGGCGCCCATTTTTAAGGTTGAGGGGGGGAAGCTTAAGGTGTTGGGGCAATTGTTGTGTTGGGGCAGCCCGTGCCGGCCGGCTGCCTTACAGACAGCAGAGGCCGCGAATCCCCGCGATCGCGTCCCCTGGGCCGCTTGCTAGTGTCTTAGGTCGCTAGTTAGGAATCGAGGATATGGAGGACGCGTAATGGTCCACATCACAGCGATAAACTGACTACGCGTAGGGCGGCGGCGCGACGACGTCGAGGGCCGCGGCCTCGGCGCGGTAGGCCGCCGCAACACTCTCCGCGAGGCGGAGCGCGGCGTCGCGGAACGAACGCGCGGCCTCGGCAGCGGCGCCGACGGTTCCGGGCGAGTCGCCCGCCGCGGCGCGGCGCAGGTCCGCCGCGTCGGCGTCGGCGATGGCCGCGAGTCGCCGCCAGGCGCGCGCGAGCGCCGGCGGGGCCGCGGCCGCGGCGACGGCGGCCTCGACCGCCGCGCCGCCGTCGACGGCCGCGGCCGCCCGCGCCGCCGCAGCCGGCTCGAGCTCGAGCGTGACGGCGACGACCGTCGAGGCATTGCGGCCGCGCGCCCACGTCGTCTCCGGCGGCGGCGCCGGCGCAGCGCGGATGCGCGCCGCGTCGACGGCGGCCGGGAGCACGGGCTGCCAGCGGTACGTCCCCCGGGGCCACGCGCGCGGGCCGAGCGCGGCGTCGAGGAGCGCCGCGCGCGGCGCGTCGGCGGCCGCGAGCCCCACGGGCCGCGCGACGACGGCGTCGTCGTCGAAGGGCGGCGGCAGCACGAAGCCGTGCGCGACGAAGTAGTCGAAGTTCGTCCAGCCGTAGTTCCTGTGTGGAAATCAAATTTCAGGCGCCCCACGCCATCGACGTGACGTCGTCTCCGTGATTGAGTCTGCTCGATGGCGTGATTTCCACACAGCATGTGGCTCGACGACCTCGGCGTCGGCCGCGACCGGGGTCGGCGTCCGCATGGCGGCCGCGCCGCCGTCAAACGCCGCCCTCGACCGCGGCGCTCCGGGCGCCCAGCGGCAGTTCGTCATGTCCACCACGGGCACGAACGCCCAGGCCGGCGCGCCGCCGGGCCCGAGGCCCCGCACGAAGATGCAGCGCGTCATCCAGCACCGGTAGGCCCACCGCCACCGGCTCCGCGGCACGCCGACGTCGTAGCACGCGCGCGCCGCTTCCACGAACCGGGCCTCGTCGCGCCGCGCGTCCCGCAGCGCGTCGAGCGCGTAGGTGCCCGCGAGGCACGCGTCGCCCGACGCGTCGCGGAGCGGGTGCGCCGCGAAGCGCTTCGGCAGCGCCCGCACGTACGGAGCATGGGGCGAGGCGTCGCCGGCGGCCCGCTCCAACGCTAGCCGCGCACAGACCGTCAGCGCAACGATTCCCTCCGCGTCGCAGCCGACGGCCGCCGCGCGCGCCTCGCCGCGCGCGAGTGCGGCTGACGCGAGCGACGACGCGCGGTCGAGGAGCAGGCGCCGCGGCACCCGCACGTAGGCGTCGCCGGCCCCGAGCGGGGCCATCGCGAAGAGGCCGCAGCGGTTGTCCGCCGAGGCTCGGACCTCGGCGGCGCCCGAGCCTCCGCATCGCGCAAACCACGCGTTCAGCTCCGCCGCGGCAGTCGCAGGATTAGGGTCCTCTCCGTCGCTTTCGTCGTCCTCTTCGAGGTATGGCGCCGCGACGTGCTCGTAGGCGAGGCTGAGGGCGGTGCGCAGTGCCAGCATTTTCGTGTAGGCTGCCCGATGCGCTCTTGTGATGTGATGGCTGCCCAGAGCGTTATCAGAGCATGGATGATGGCTGCAGCAGAGCGTTATCAGAATATGGATGCGCTCTTGTGATCAATTTGTGTGATGGCAAAGGGCTGCCAAGAGGTATAAGGTACCGAGGTATAAGGTATGATACCTCTGCCTGGCAAGCAAAAAAAGTGGCTGTTTTTGCCCGTGGCATATCATTGTAACTTACTGTGCTGCAGAGAGTTCGCATAGCTCCTACTGGGAGGCTTTCGTGCGAGAAAACGCGACCGAGCAGCGCCCAAAACCAGTTGCTGCGGGCCGCGTCGATAGCGTACAAGGCAGCGCCGTACCGCGCACGCCTACGCATGCCTGATCGGAGATGCCTGGCACATGAGACGGCGCTGAAGACATGACAGAGGAGTCCAAGGGCGAAGCGGCGGAGGCAGCACTCGAAGCCGCAAACAGAGCGGCTGCGAAAAGTGCAGCGCCGAGCAAGGCACCAGCACCCGCCACGGCCACCGCGCCAACCCGCAAAAAGCCAGCCGGCGCGCCGGCGCCCGCCGCGAGCGCGCGAGCGCGACCGGCGAGCGACGCGCACGCGGTCGACGCGCAAGCGATGGAGGCCAAGTTCCAGGAGCTGTTGCGCGGCCGGCGGGGCGACGCGCTCCGCCACGTGCCGACGCCGCCGACGTCGCCGCCGCCCGGGACGCGGCGGCGGCGGCGCGCGCCGCCCGCGTCGGAGAGCGCCGCACGCGCGCCGCTCGCGCCGCCCGCGGCGGGGCCGGCGGCGCCGCCGCCACCCGCGGAGGCCGCCGCGGCGCTGACGCCGCTGTCGGCGCTGCGGCTGCTGTCGGTCTGCGACAGCGAGAGCGGGGAAGGGCTCTTCGAGCGGGTCTGGCGGTGGCCCGAGGGCGCAGACCCGAAGGGAATCGGAAACCTCGTCCGGTCTTTTTTCCTCGTCGCGCGGCAGCTCGACCACGGCATGATCTCGCGCGTTGTCTTCGAGGCGCCCGAGGACGAGGCCGCGCTCGTGCCGCACGCGGGCATCGGCGAGGCCATGGAGATGCTCTGCACGCGGAACGAGCGCGTCGTCGTCGCCGTCTTCCACGAGTCGCGCGGCGCCTTCGCCGACGAGGACGACGAGGAGGCGCGCGAGGTCCACGTCGCCATGCGCCAGCTCGTCGAGCAGGCGCGCGAGCTCTGGTCGCCGGACGTGTCCCGGGCGGATTTCAAGACGACCGTCGACCGCCTCTGCGCGCGCATCGTCGGCTTGCCGCCGCCGCCGCCGGACCCCCGACAGCCGTCGCCGCCGCCGCGGCCGAAGAGCATGTGAGTAGTACAGTAGTAATTTTATGAAGTCACTTCCTCCTTCCTCCTCGCAGATCTCAATCGCGCTCGGCCGCGAGAGAGAGAGAGCCGCTTATTTATCGAGCTAGCTCCTCTAGCACGGACCCCGAGTGCGTCACGACGGCGTACATAAACCCCGGTTTTAAAGGCCAGCCATAGCCAGAGCTCCCGCCCAGGTATAAGTATAAGTACATACTGTACCTTACTCGCAAGCGCCTTGGAGCGTCTGTACGTGGGAGCTCATTTTGTGGCCCCTTCGAAGCGCCCTGACGACGAGTACCACTCGAAAGTCGAGACGAGGGAGCGCATCCATCAATTTAACTTAAATAAAAAGAGCGCGCGCCACGGCGTTCAAATCCCACCGGGCGCGCGCGCCCATCGCGAGTCCCACGCGCCCACCCACGCGCGCGCCGCATCGAAAAGGCGCTCGGCGGTCCCTCCCTTAGGCCATAATTTTGGCCCTCGACGAGAGACGCCCGGCCCGCCGCAGGCAGCAGGTCACGACCCAGCCGCGCGAGACAATGGTCTACCGGCCCCAGACGCACGCGCGGCCCCACGAGCCGAGCCAGCGAGATATCGAGGCGTCGGACGCCGAGGTCCAGCGCTTCCTCGACGACCCCGAGGCCGCGGACGTCGACTGGGAGACGTACGCCGCCGGCTACAAGTGGGGCCCGGACTTCGTGCGCTACTTCAACGAGGCGCTCGCGGCGAACGGCGAGCGCACCGACGGCGTCTACGGCGACCGCGGGCTCGAGGCCTGGCCCGAGGCGCGCGTCGTCGACTGCCCGCTCGCGCGGCGCCTCGACGGCGCGCTGGGCCGCGCCGCCGACGCGCGCACGCGCAAGATCTGCGCCGACCACGCGGCGTGCGTCGAGGCCCTGCTGCGCGACTTCGTCGCGCGCCACGAGCCGGCGCCGGCCGCCGCGGCCGACCCGCCGCCGGCGTCCGCGGCGGCCATGAGCGTCGACGACCCGCACTCGGCGCCGTTCACGCCGCACGCGCCGCGGCGGTCGCAGCTCGACCCCGTCTCGACCGACTCGGAGGACGAGGACGACGCGATCGCGCCGCGGGGGCTCGGCGCGTTCGACGGCTACGGCTCGCGCGACGACGACGACGACGACGCGGACAGCGGCGGCGGCGACGACTGGTCGGCGCCGGCGGCGTCGCCCGACGCGCGCGAGCGCGGCTTCGACCGCGACGACGACTACTCGGCCGAGGACGACCTCTGCAAGGGCGTGCGCCGCATGTCCACGACGCCTCAGAAGGCGCCGGAGCCGCGCGCCCCCTTCCGCCACTACTCGTACCGCGACGCCGACGAGCGGCCGCCGGCGTGGCAGCGCAAGTCGGCCTTCTAAGCAAGCAAGCCCCCGCGCGCGGCACAAGGCCCCGCGGTCCGTCGATAACGTAAACACGAATTATGTCCTCAACCCCTCTTTTTCCGCGCGGCGGCCTTCTGCCGCACGAGCGCGATCCACGACGAGCGCACGAGCGCCTCGAACTGCTCGTCGCGGTCGACCGTGATCGACTGGAGGTCGTAGTAGTCCTCGAAGAGCTGCCGCGTCACGGGCCCGCCGCCCGCCGCGAGCGCCTCGTGGAGCTCGGCGCGCACGTCGGCCGCGCTGCGATTGCCCGCGACGACGTCGGGGTGCGCGTCGGCGTCGAAGGCCTTGGCCATCGCCGCCGCGTCGAGCGTCGTCTCGTCGCCCAGGATCGTGTACAGCCGGTCGACGAAGGACCGCCGCCTGTCGTTCATGTGCCCCGCGTCGACGTGCAGCTTGAAAAACTCCTCGTCCATGCTCCGCTTCGCCTGGATATCCGGCTTTGGCTCGGCGCAGCACGCATTTCCCATTTTGGCGCGCGACGCGTCGCTCTCTTGCCGCGCGTCACGCTAGATCTTTTCGCTTCTGGCCCGCGCTCTCTTGCCGCGCGTCACGCCAATATTTTTGCTCCGTCCGCGCGCGCCGCGTTGCTGCTCGGCTGCTCGGCTGCTTTTGAGCAATGTATCAAATCTCCTGATGCGCCTAGTGAGCAGCGCCGGCTGCCGTATATGCTGCTCTTGACAACAGAAGAGAGCTACACGCTGCTGATATGCGCTCTTGACCGCGGCAGAGGCTGCGATCGCGGCTCGCGCCCAAAATCTACGAACCCGCGCAACCCCGCAACCCTATTTGAAATGAATTAAAAATTGCCGAAAAAAGTTCCTCGCGCTGCTGTAGTTTTGCTACGCATGTGTTCGCTTACGTTTGTGTTTCATAGCGAGGCGCGCCAGAGATTCAGAGGCGTAGCCAAAATATCGGCTGCCCTCTGAAAAAATGCTCTGCTTGGCTGCCCACACCTAAAGAGCCATACCAATGCGCAGCCGAAGCCGTTCGCGCGACAGGCGAGACAGGCGAGACAGGTCTCGCAGCCGTGGACGTCGGAAGCATTCTTCACGGGGAGAGCACCGATCGCACCGGTCCCGCTCGCGCAGCCGCGAGCGATCGAGGCGGTCGAGATCACGCCGTGAGCGAAGCCGCCGCTCGGACGAGCCGCCAAGACCACGATTGACGGGCTTCGCCGCGGACCTGGCCGCGGTCGAGGCCGCCGCCGCGCGGGGCGACGCCGAGGCCGCGCTGCGGCTCGCGGCGGCGCTCGCCGAGGCGACGCGGGGCTACCTGCCGCGCGGCGCCGGCCTGCGCGACACGCTCGCGCTCGCGTGCCGCCGCGGCCGCGTGCGCGAGGCGACGCGGCTGCTCGAGCGCGTCAAGGCCGCGCTCGGCCCGAAGCAAGCCTCGCGGCGCGCGCGGCCCGTCGACGCCGAGACGTTCGCGGCGGCGCTCCGGGCGCTGCCGCAGGTGGCGCGCGTGCCGCCGGGCGACGGCGCGGCGCTCGCGCGCGCGCTCGCGGCCGTCGCGCGCCTCGAGCCGCCCGCGACGGCCGAGGGCCCGGTCGCCAACGACGAGGACGCCGCGGACGTCGCGCGGCGCGCGGCGCGCCACGCGGCCGGCGACGCGACGGACTCGGAGGACGAGCTCGGCGCCGCGGCCGCGCGCGCCGCGCGCCGGGCGCACGCGCGCGCCGTGGGCTTCGCGGCGCGGCGCTGCGGCTGGGCGGCGCTCGAGCTCCTCGAGGAGGCGCGCCAGGCGGGCGACGCCGCGCGCGCGGGCGGCGCCGCGAAACGAATCACGGGAGCGAAGCTCACCAAGGGCCGGCGGCCCGACGAGGTCGAGTGCGACGGCGCCGCGGGCGCGGGCTTCCAGAGCGGCGAGGCCGTCGCGCTCGCGCCCGTCGGCGACGCCGGCGCGGCCGTCGAGGCCGAGGTCGCCGCGGCGCGCGGCGGCCGCCTGCTCCTCCGGTGCGGGTTCCGCGACGACGACGGGGGCGCGGCCGACGACGCGCCGCGGCGGCGGCCGCGGCCCGACGACGACGCGCACATCGAGGAGCGGCGCCGCGACGACGCGCGGCAGGCCGCGCGGCGGCGCCTCCTCAGCGCCGCGGGGGCCTCCTCGACGCCGGCGCGGGGCGACGCGGCGGGGCTCGCCGGCCGGCTCCGGCGCGCCGCGACGGGCGCGGACGTCGTCGCGGCGCTGCTGGCGGCGCGGACGCGCTGGCGCGTCGAGCCGCTCGGCAACCGCGTCGCGTTCGAGCGCGCCGTCGAGGCGGCGTGGGTCCTGGCGGCGGCGGCCTACGCGCCGCTGCGGGGCGAGGCCGCGCGGCCGCGCTACGGCGCCGCGCCGCCGCGGGCCGCGCCGCCGTGGTGGTTCCCCGCGGGCGCCGTCGCCGGCGCCGTCGTCGGCCTCGCGCGCGCGGGGGCGGAGGACGACGACGACGCGCGCTGCGCCGTCGCCGACGGCGGCGCGCCGCTGGACGAGGACCAGCGCCGCGCCGTCGAGGCCTGCGTGGCCGGCCCCGCGAGCGTCGCGCTCGTCCGGGGCCCGCCGGGCACGGGCAAGACCGCCGTCGCCGTGCGCTGCCTCGCGAGCTGGGCGGCGCGCGACGCCGGCGACCGCGCCGCGGCCCTGCCCAAGGTGAAGGTCGCGAACGGGCGGCTCATCCAGGTGAAGCGCGACCGGCCCGCGGCCGAACCGCCGGGCCCCCGCGTCCTCTGCCTCTCCGAGTCGCACGTCGCCGTGGACCACCTGCTCGAGGGCCTCGTGGCCGCGCGCGTGCGCGCGGTGCGCGTCGGCGCGCCCGCGCACTGGCGCGACGACGCGCGGTGCCCGGCGGCCGCGCGCGCGCTCGGGCGCCACTCGCTCGAGGTGCTGTCGCTCGAGGCGCGGCGGCGGGAGAAGGCCGCGGGCGGCGACGACGGCGCGCAGAACGCCGCGGCCTGGGAGGCCCAGCAGGCGCGCCTGCGCAAGGCGCACGTGCTCTGCGCGACGTGCGTCGGCAGCCGCGCCGCGGTCCTGCGGGGCCTGCGGTTCACGCACGTGCTCGTCGACGAGGCCGCGCACGCGACGGAGCTCGCGGCGCTCGTGGGCCTCGCGCGCGGCTGCCGGCGGCTCGTCCTCGTGGGCGACGACCGGCAGCTGCCGGCCTCCGTGGCCTCGCGCGACGCGGCGCGCGACGGCCTGGGCGCGTCGCTCTTCGAGCGGCTCGCGGCCGCGGGGCGCGCGCCCGTGCTCACGCTGCGGACGCAGTACCGCATGCCGGGCCCGCTGCGCGCGTTCCCGTCGCGGCGCTTCTACGGCGGCGCGCTGCGCGACGCCGCGACCGTCGTCGCGCGGCCCCCGCCGCGCGGCTTCGCCTGGCCGCGGGCCGACGCACCCGTCGCCTTCCTGAGCGTCGCCGCGGCGGAGCGCCGCGAGGGCACGTCCTGCGCCAACGACGCCGAGGCGGCGGCGGTCGCGGACGTCGTCGCGGGCCTCGTCGCGGGCGGCTCGGTCCGGGCGGCGGACGTCGGCGTCGTGACGCCCTACGCGGCCCAAGCGCGCCTCGTGCGGGAGAAGGTCGACGCGGCCGTCGAGGTCGCCTCCGTGGACGCGTTCCAGGGGCGGGAGAAGGAGGTCGTCGTGGTGTCGACGGTGCGCGCGAACGCCGGCGGCGACGTCGGCTTCCTGAGCGACTGGCGCCGCGGCAACGTGGCGCTGACGCGGGCGCGGCGTGCACTCGTCGTCGTCGGCCACGCGCCGACGCTGCTGCGCGAGCCGCTGGCCTGGGGGCCCTGGGTCCGTTGGTGCTGCGCGCAGGGCTGCGTCGTCGGGAGCGTGGCCCTGGACGTGGCGCGGGCGCCGCCGGCGGGCGCCGCGGGCTGGGACTGGGGCGCCGACGTCGAGCCGCTCGCCGCGCCGGCGGTCCGGGTCCGGGCGGACTCCGACGAGGACTCCGAGGACGACAACGCCTCGCCGGCGTCGCCGGCCTCCTCGGCCTCCCGGTCCCGGTCCGAGTCCCCCGCGTCGGAGGGCGGCTACGAGGAGGCCGCTCCGGCCCCGGCCCCGGCCCCGGCCCCCGCGCCTGCGGCGGAGCCCGAGCCCGAGTCCGAGGCCGCGCGGGCGGAGCGACTGCGGGCCAAGCACCTCGAGCGCATGGCCAAGCACCGGGAGGCGGCGAAGCGCTTGTACGGGCAACGGTGAATGTATAATGATCTGTTGTCGTTTTGAATAAATAGATAACTAGATAAACAGAAATCGAGGACGGAGAACACAGTTTTGTAGTCGTTCATCAATGCCCGACTACGGCGACGCGCCGAAGGGAACTAACTCTCCGGCCCCCTTCACACCAGCCGTATACCCTAGCCCTCGAGGCCTAGCGAGGACTAATGCCAAAAACTGCTGCGCGTGCGGGGGGGGTTGCCCTGCCATAAAATTTTGCACAAAATTGGGCATTGCCATCGTCCTCCCACGACCGCCAGTTTATTTACAAGAGCTGCCCTTCGCCGGGCTACATCGACCAGACTGCCGGTTGGCTGTGGAGCACGTTCCTGCCGGCCTGTCTAGCACAGGGCAGCGTAGCTCCTGGAATTCATCAAACCACCAGAGACTGGACCAAAACCATGCGTCGTGCGCGAAGCTCGACGACGACCTTTCTGCCGGCCGTCAATGGCCACCCCATGATGGCGGAGAGCAAGACCCGGAAGCGGCAACGGCGGCCCCCGTGGCGCGTCTTCGCGGCGGTCGGCGCGGGCGCGCTGCTGCTCCTCTTCTGCCTCGCGGGCCCGCGGCGCGAGCCGGAAACCCCTGGCGTTCGACGGCGGGCGACGGCGACGCGCAGCGACGACGACGACAGCCTCGCCGCCGCGACGCGGACCGCGCCGCCGCGGCCGCGCGCGCTGCCCGCTCAGCCGCCCCGGGCGCCGGCGCGGCGGCGGCGAAACACCGAGGCGCCTGTTCTCGGCGTCGTCGAGGAACATCACGCCATCCTGGGCTACCTCGCGCGCCTCAAGACCGCGGGCGGCCTCGCGCAGCCCGCGACGCTGCTCCACGTCGACTCGCACGCGGACCTCGGCGTGCCCCGGCCCTTCCCCGGCGCCGCGCCGCCGCTGTCGCCGCCGCGCGCGCTCGAGGCCTACGCGGAGCCGAACGACTGGATCCTGCTGGCCGCGCTCGCGGGCCTCGTCGACCGCGTCATCTTCGTCGAGCCGCCGTGGTCGAACCAATTGCGGTGCTGCCTCTACGACACGAACGCGACCTTTAGCTTCGTCGTGGGTCTGGACCGCTACGGCGACGTGCGCGTCGACGTGGCCGAGGGCGAGTTCGTGCGGGAGCACTTCGGCCACGTGTTCTGGCGCGACGGCGAGCGGCGCACGGGCGACAGCGCCCACTTCCGGCAGGCGAAGCGCCTCGAGGTGACGGTCGTGGCGGCGGACCACGGGGACGCGCCGGAGGTCGTCGAGGAGGTCCTCGCGCGCGACGACGGAGGCAAGCCGCTCGTCGTCGACGTGGACCTGACGTTCTTCGCCGTCGAGTCGCCGGGCTCGGCCGACGTGCGCGAGCGCTACGGCCTGCGCTACGACGAGCTCGAGACGCTCTACCACCTCGCGTGGGACTTTCCCCGCCTCGACGCGGCCTACTTTAAGCGCGGCGACGCGCGCGCGCGCGACGAGGGCGACGCCAAGGACTACGGCCAGAAGGTCGCGCGCAAGGTCGGCGGCTTCGTGCCGCTCGCGGGCAAGAAGCGCAGCCACTTCGCGGCGGCCTTCGAGCGGGCCCTGGGCGGCCGGAACCTCGAGCCCTGGCGCCTGCGGGCGCTGACGGACTACGCCGCGCGCCTCGACGTGCCGGACCGCCCCGTGACGCCCGAGGCCCAGCGCGAGCTCGAGCTGTTCCTCGAGCAGCCCTTCCACGTGCCCTCGCTCGACCGGCACGCGCTGGACATGGACTACCTCGTGGGCAAGGTCGTGGAGCCCATCCTCGACGCGGTCGTCGACGCCGGTCGTGGAGCTCCGGCGCTCGTCGTCGTCGCGCGGTCGCCGGGCTACGCGCCGCCCACGCACCTCCACGAGACGGAGTGCCGCGTGCTCAACTCCCTGGCGCGCCGCTACCGCACGATCGAGATCACGCACGAGGCGCGCGTCGACGCGCGGAGGACGGCCTGCGCGCGCGTCCCCGACTTCGAGTACGTCCTCGCCGACGGCGAGCGGGTCCCCCAGTAATCTTGCTCCACAAACTGTTTAGTAGTATCACGTCGTGGCTTTCCACGTCATCTGTTCCACAAAATGTAAGTGCTGCGAATTGTGCTACGTCGTAGCTACGTCGTGGCGTTCCACGTCCGGCATTCCTCGGCGGAAACGTTCCGAAGGTCGAAGGCCGTGGCGCCGACACGCGCGGCGATGGACACGTCGGTCGCATACGCTATGGCCAGGGCCTTGCGCACCTCGCCGAGGACAGAGACGTCGGCGAGACGCACGCCGCGAAGGTGATAGCTGGGCCGGCCCGCGAGATTGATAGCGCGAGAATCTGCGGAGCTGCGGCACAACACATGTTCGAACGAGAGGCGGCGAAAATCGGTCGGGCGAGCCGGGCGAGCCGGCGGCGGTTTCGGGGTTGGGTTCTTAAAGTTAGCGTTCACGGTGATGCATTCCTTCACCTGTTCTGCGACGACGTCCCTCACGTAGATGTCCTGGACGTAGGCGCCGCGACCCGGCGTCGACTTGACGTAGCACGCGATGGTGGCCTTGGTAATGGTCGTATTGAGCGCATACACGCGCCTAATTCCACCTGACACCTCGGAGCCGACCGCGACGCCGCCGGCCGAGGCCTTTACGATCACGTTGTCCATGAGGACGAGGTCCTCGGTCGGGCGCCCCACGCTCCGGCCCGCCGCGTCCCGCCCGGACTTGATGGAGATGCCGTCGTCGCCGCTCACGATGGAGTTGCGGCGCGCGACGACGTCCGTCGAGGAGTCGATCACGATGCCGTCCGTGTTGCGGCCCCGGCTATCCACGTGTATGTTTTCGAGGAGCACGCCGTAGCTCAGCACGCAGTGCGCGGTCCAGAAGGCGCTGTCGCGCAGCGTGAGACTCGAAACGACGATTCGCGTCGATCCGAAGAGCTCGAGGAGCGTCGGCGGCGTGCGCTGGTCGACGCGCCCGTGCTCGGAGGGCTCGTGGCCCATTTCCTTTATTCGGCTCGTGCGGTGCGCCGAACCGATCATCGCGTTCTTCTCGTGCCAAGCTCGGCCGCCCCCGTCGATCACGCTGCTCGCGCCGCGGCCCTCGACGCGCGCGCCGTGCGTGCGGTACGCGCGGACCAGGGGCGACGGGCCGTGGAAGACCACGCCCTCCGCACTCCTGAGCACGGGCGGTCGCTGGGGCGCCGAATACCCGAACCGGAGCGTCGTGTCGCGGCCGACCCGCAGACGCACGTGCGACAGCAGGTTCAGCGGGCCATCCAACTCGTAGGCGGCGCCGTCCCGCGTCGCGACGGTGCCTCCGCCGGCGCTGTTCGCCGCGAGCATCGCCTCGTTGAGCGCGCTCGTGCAGTCGGGCCCCGCGGGGACGACGACGGCGCCTCGTTCGTCGTCAAACGTCGGCGTCCCAGCCAAGACCCGGCGGACGATGTCCGCCGCGGCCGTCTCCGCCGTGGCTGTGTCGGCCGCTGCCCGCCGGCCCCTCACCTTACCCGTCGGCGCCGCGGTGACGGCGCCTAAGAGGAGGCAGATGCACCTCCACCCCATCACGCGCTGCCCCCGTCCTCAAAGTTCATTTTGCATAATTTGGCAGCCCGGCCTTGCGCATTTCGATGGATGCCAAGCTTGCAGGCCAGCCGGCGTGCAACTGCCAGTACGTAGAAGGCCTCGTAGTGCACTGATGATGCGCAGTTGCCAATTGTTGACTGCCGCTCACGCTGCACCGCATATCGATACCTTACCAAGGTACCGAGATGGTACCGCAGCTCCGGTACTTTGCTATACCGAGTTCCCCTAAAAACGCCTCGGGTTTGGCCTCTTGGGGCCCTGCACCAGCACCGGATAGCGCGCACAAGCCCCCGTCCTCGTCGGGCAGCGGTCCGACCGCGGGCTGCCCGGTACTGAGATATGCCGCCCAAGCTCTTCCAGCGCGCCACGGCCGACGGCTACGCCGCCGAGGCGGAGACGGCCAAGGAGCGCCTCGACCGCTTGGAACGGGAGTACAAGATCAAGCAGGAGAAGGCCAAGCGGCGCGCGAAGAACTCGGGCCCGAACCTGCGGTGGAAGCCGCCCGTGGTTGAAAGATTAGACCCGACGCAGGACGCCGTCTGGCGGGCCGTGGTCGAGGCGCCGGTGGAGAACGAGGACGACGACCACGAGCTCATGTACGTGCTCAATAAAAATGAGCCCGAGATCAACTTTACGTACTGCGGGCAGACGCCCTTCTTCTACGCGTGCAACTACGGCAAGGTCGGCGTCGTGAAGCTGTTGCTGCGCTGGCCCCACCCGACGGAGCTCGACGTGAACCAGCGCTCGGATGGCGGCGAGACGCCGTTCCTCGCGGCCTGCCGCGGCGACCACCTCGGCGTCGTCAAGGTCTTGCTCGAGACGGGGCCCAAGGCGAGCCCGCTCCTCGAGGATTTGGATCCAAATCAAAAGGCGAATGATGGTCGGAGCGCGCTCTGGTGCGCCGCGCACAAGGGCCACGTGCGCACGCTCAAGTGGCTCCTCGAGAACTGCGGCGTCGGCCGCCTCGACTGGGAGGCGGCGGCCGACGGCCTCGAGGGCTTCGACCCGCCGCGCAAGGTGACCTGTTTACAAGCCGCCAAGGCCATGGCGCGCGGCGACGACGTGCTCAAGATCGTCAAGCAGGGCGTCTCGAAGCAGCGGCGCGAACGGGCCCGCGCCCGCATGCGCCGCGCGCAGAAGGCGACGAAGGCGTCCGTGCGCATGCGCGACGCCGACGGCGTCTTCTTCGGCACGGACATCTACGACTCGTCGAACCTCGACGACCTGAACCGCGAGAAGCACGACCTCGGCAACCAGAAGGGCATCGACTACGGCGGCCGCACGGCGGCGACCGACGAGCTCAACGCCAAGGCCGCCGCGGCCCAGGGCGGCGGCGACAACAAGGCCCTCGCCATGTTCGGCGGGGGCAAGAAGAAGAGCCCCTTTGGGTGACGGGACTGCTAAAACCATGTGTTGTGTGCTTTGCCTTAGAGCTAGGCCGCCTCCGCGGACTCGGAGATTGAATATATATAACTAGGTTAGGCCCGCGTACTAATCACTCGAGCGCCGACGCGCCGGAGATGATCTCGATGAGCTCCGTCGTGATGCGCGCCTGGCGCGCGCGGTTGTAGATGAGCGTGAGCTTGTCGATGAGCTCGCCGGCGTTCTTCGTGGCGTTCTCCATGGCCTGCATGCGGCTCGACTGCTCCGACGTGGCGCCCTCCATCATGCCGTAGAAGATCTCCGTGGCGAGGTAGTACTCGCGGAGGCCGCGGAGCACGTCGTCGTCGGCGTCGTAGGCCGTTAAGGTAACATCGTCTCCTTCCAACACGAAGGGCGCGATCGTCTTGAGGGTCGGCGAGTAGGCGATGGCAGAAACAAACTTGTTGTAGACGACGGCGATCGCGCCCGTCTTTTCGGGCTCCGTGTCGAGAGCCATCTGCGCGACCGTCGACGCGTAGCCGAAGTTGTAGGGCGGCGGGATGTTCGTCAGGGCCGTCGTCAGCGAGTCGGGCACCATGCGGCGCAGCTGCGAGCGGCCCTTCTCGCCGACAGCGATGACGTTCATCGTCTTGTTCTCCTCCTTGAGCCGCGCGTTGATGGTCCGCAGGCCGCGCGCGACGGCGGAGTGGACGCCTCCACAAAGACCCTTGTCCGACGAGATGGCCACGACGACGCTGTGGTCTGCGAGGCCCGCCGTGCCCTCGAGCTCCTCGAGCGGCGTCGCCGGCTCGTCGAGCACCGCGGTCCAGGCGGCGAACTGCTTCGCGGCGGCCAGGCGGTTCTGGTCGCCCTTGAGCTTCGCCGCCGAGACCATCTTCATCGACGACGTGATCTTCCGGATGTTTTTGGTCGAGGCGATGCGCATCGCGATCTCCTTCTCGGTGGCCATGGACCGGCGGGCGGCGGCTTGTTGGGCCCGCGGCGCCAGCGCTCTCGCGGCGCGGAGAGCCATGGTTATTTTTGTCGACGCGCCGGCGCGGCGTCTCAATACCCTGGGAGCTATAGGCTGGTCGAGCTTTAGCTCTCCCGCTCGCTCGCTGGCGTGGTTTCTCGCTCGCTCGCTGGCGAGGCGAGGCTGTGAACGCGGCAAGGCTGGCGCAAAGGCGTCGGCGTCGCGGAGCTGCTCCCTGCACGCGTTTTTATCCCGGCGGCGACTGGGCTGCGTCGAGCTAAAGTGGGATGCAGACGCATCGTGTCGGTCACGCAAACAGATCCGGTTGCAGGATTGGATCTGGGAATTGAAACTGCCTTCGCCGCGGGTGGATGCGCGGGTGCGACAACGCCGCCTGCGCCTCTCACGCCGTCTGCACCTCCGCTCGACACATAATAGGCGGTAGTGCGGATTTCCGAACCCTTTCGTCATCACTACTGGCGCGGGCAGCGTGAGCCTAGCTCGACGAGTTTCCAAAAGCCAGCCACAAAGACCACTGTGCAGGGGAGCCTCTCACCGCACGCGCGGACCGAGAACGTAGACGCAGAGGCTGCCCGAGCCAGCATGGGCAAGCCCAAGCCCCTCCCCGCCGTGGCCGAGGTGCCCCCGGAGGCGCTCGCCGAGGACCGGCGCCGCGCCGAGGCCATGGTCGCGCTCGTCAAGGAGATGACCAAGGGCGAGGACCGGCGCGAGCGCCTGCTGCGGCGCGCGCGGCCGAGCGACCAGAAGACGCTGCTGAAGCGCTTCGAGCGCGAGCGCGCGCGCGACGCGCAGCGCATCCGCGAGCTGTCGCAGGAGCGCGAGGCGCTCCTGCGCGCGTCGGTCCGCGACGCCGCCGCGGCCTCGGCGCCGCCGCCGGCGCGGGACCTCGGCGGCGACTCCGACGACGAGCCGCCGCCGCCGCGGACGCTCGACTTCTCGCGGCCCGCCGCCCCCAAGAACCTCATGACCGCGCAGAAGCTCGCGCAGGAGAAGGAGATCATCGACAAGTTCAACCGGCTCTGCCGCCCCGGCCCGCCGCGCCGCGCGCGCGCGCCGCCGGCGCCCGCGTCGACGCGGCGGACCGCACGCGCCGGCGGCGGCGCCACGGCGCGGCGGACCGCCGCGCTGATGGAGAAGCGGACGCTCCTCGTGCGGCTCCAGGGCATCGTCGAGGAGGAGTCGGCGCTCCGGGCCGGCGGCGCGACGACGCGGCGGTCGACCGCGCGGTCAGTCTTCCGGACGCCGGCGAGGCCGTCGTCGGCGCGGTCCGTCGCAACGACGGCCTCCTTCGCGACGGTGGGCTCGCGCGCGGCCGCGCCGCCGCCGCGGCCGCGAGGGGTGCCGCGGCTGCGGCTTTGATTTTATGTGTAAAGGTCTAGATGGATACTACCGTCTTAGCCAGTAGCTTCTTCTTCTTGACTTGCTTCTTGCGCGCCTTGTGCGCGTCGATGGTGATGGTGACTCTCACGACGGGGCCTTGACCTTGCAGCGCGAGAAGGCGTGGCCCAGGCCCACTTGGGAATTCACTTGGGCCTGCTCCAGCAGGTTGTTCTGCAACTCCGGCACGAATTTTGTGAGATGTTGCCTGGCGCCTCTCAGTAGTTCCCGGACGACATCATCGGAGCGGCAGTGGGCGCCCGTGGCCTCGGCGAGGAGCACGTAGAGGGCCGAGGCCTTGCTCATCGTGCGCGCGCGCCGCGGCGGTGCCTTCGTCTCGTCCGCGCCGCACGCGTCGATCGCGGCTTGATGGAACGCGTCGATGAGCTGCCGTACGCTGTGGTTCGGAATCAACGTGGTCGACTCCAAGACCTCGCCCGTCTTTGGACTCGTCGAATTCGCCGAGAGCCAGGCCTCGATGGCGGCCCGTTCATAGGTGTGACCATCACAAGCCATGACGGGATCCTGCATGATGTCCAGGGAAATGGAGCACGTGAGTGCATCAAAAATAACGCGCTCCGCGCGTTGATCAGAGAGCGACGACTCCAGCGCGCTTAAGTACTCTTTCTCGAGCCGAGCTCGAGCCGCGCGCGCGCACGCCTCGTCGAGCATCTTCTCCCCCAGTTTGTTCTGATTTCAAACTCTGAGTCTCTGACGACCGCACGGCGCGCACGCCTCGTGAGCCTGACACTGTTTAACTCCTGCGCGTCTGGACGCTACTCGCACCGCTAATCCCGCCCGGGGCCCGCGCGCGCGCCAAAAAAGCGGGCGCGGCGCCCTAAAACATCAAAACGGGTTTTAGAGCGACGCACTCGCGCCGCCGCCTCGGCCACGCGGAGGGGATGCAGTGAGTTAAGAAAGAAAACACAAGACCCGATCTCGCCGCCGCGGCCGCGCGGGAGGGGCCCGAGGGGGTGCAGTTGAAAAGAAAACACAAGACCCGTCCCTTACTACAGCGAGAACACGCTCGGCGCGGCCGCGTGCCGCACGGGCGCCTCGGCCGCGGCGCTCTTCCAGGCGAGCTTCGTCTCCTTCTTGGCCGCGCGCCGCGCCGCGTTCGCGGCCTTGGTCTCGGCCTTGCGCGCTTTCTTGTCGGCGGCGGACTCGCCGCGCCGCGAGACCATGGTCGCGCGCGACGCCGTCGACGCCGCGTCGGCGTCGCGGTCCGCGACGGCGCGGAGCCGCTCCGCGCGGAGCGCCGCGCGCGACGGCGGCGGCGCGCGCGGCGGCGGCGCGGCGCCGATGACGCTCGGCCGGTTGTCGAGCGTGCTGAGCGTCGTGAGCACGGTCTCGCAGTCGAAGCGCGCCTCGCGCGCGCGGTCCGCGGCGTCCTGCTCGGCGTAGAACGCGTCCAGCGCCCGGTCCGCGGCGCCCGGCTCGTCGTCCGAGACCGCGTCGTCGACCGCTCGACTCCTATCGCGCGGCGGCGGGTCGAGGAACGTCGCGTCGCTCGGCGGCGCCTGGTCCCCGATGGCCTCATCCAACATCGCGCCGAGCACCGCGCCGTCGTCGAGCCGGATGCGGCCCGCGTCGAGGTCGTCCTCTTCCTCCTCGTCGTCGTCGTCGTCGTCCGACGACCAGTCCGCGAGCGCCGCGTCGAAGGCCGCGTCGTCGGCGGCGTGGGCGCGCGGCGGCGCCGCGTCGAAGGAGGCGTTGTCCTCGTCGTCGTCCTCGCCGCCCTCGGCCGCGGCGATGAGCCGCGCGACGTGCGCGTCGAAGTCAAACTCCGCCGGCTCGTCGGCCGCCGGCCGCGACGCGTCCATGACAAAGTCGTCGAGGAGCTCCTCGCAGTCCTCGAAGGCCGCGTCGTCGAAGAGCGCGTCGCGCACGTCCGCGTCCATGAGCCGGTCGTCGAGCGTCACGGCCTCGACGGCGCGTTCGAGCTCCTGCTCGCCCGGCAGCGCCTCCGGCGGCAGCGCCGCCGCCTTCGAGACGCTGCCGTCGGCGCCTACGAAGACGCCGCCGCCGCCGGCGCGGAGGTGGCGCTCGTAGTCGTAGCCGTCGTCGGCGAAGCCCGCCCGCGTGACGCGCGCGCGCCGCGCGGCGTTGACGGGCGCCTGCGCGAGCAGCACGCGCTCCGACGGCCGGTCCTCGAGGCCGAACGCGCCGTCCTGCTGGCTGCGGTGCACGACGTTGTACGTCGTCGCGGCCTTCTTGTCGATGAACTTCTTTTTGCGTCCGCCGCCCATGGTGCTTCACCTCTTGCGGCGCGTTTGCTGCAGGTTTGCTGCAGTGTGTCTGAGAGTGGTTACTCTCCGCGGCGCAGCCGTTTCGCGTCTTGCCTTTTTCTTAGATTCTTGGGGCACCGCTGCGACTGTGTAGATGCGTTGTTCGTCTGAGCTCTAGGCGCAGCAAAATGCCAAAGCCAGAGCTCATCATCGCCTCTGAGTCTGCAGCCAAGGTGCCTCTACGCTCACGCGCGGATATAGAAATCACGGTACGCACGTCGCACCGCATACAGGGGTCGTTCCTGGACGTATTCGGTCGGCCTGGTCAACGCTGGGATCGCGCCGCCGTCAATTGGCTGTGCAGCTCAGCCTCCCAGGCACCAACACGACGCCAACGCCACGCGCGCGGGACACGCAGAGGGGGTCTGAGCCATGTCGCACCGCGACTTCGCCCGGCCGGGCACGAACATCAACACGGTCGAAGGGAACAAGGCCGGCGGCCGCGCGGCCCGGCTCACGCGGGAGCGGGAGGCGGACCAGAAGGCCTTCGAGGACAAGAAATCAAAAATTGAGGCCGACGCGACCAAGGGCCTGGGCCGCATCGACGACAAGTTCGACAAAACGATCCTGAATACGGTGCTCTCCGGCGGCGGGCTCCAGACCGCGGCCCAGTACAAGGCGGCGCAGAGCCAGCCGGTGGCGCCCGCCGCGGCGCCGCCCCCGAAAAAGGCCCCGGCCCGCGCGCCCGACGCCCGCGCCGCCAAGCGCGCGAAGACGCGGCAGCTCGCGCAGCTCTCGTTCGGCGACGCGTTCGAGGACGAGGAGGAGGAAGCGGCGCCGCCGCCCAAGCGGCCGACGTCGCTGAAATGCCCCGACGTGGACACCGCGTTCCTGCCCGACGCCGCACGCGACGCCGCCAAGGCTCAAAGGAGGGCGCAGGCCGCGGCGGAGTGGCTCGCGGCGCAGGAGGAGGCCAAAAAGGCGCCGCTCCAGATCGCCTACTCGTACTGGGACGGGTCGGGCCACCGGCGGAAGCTGACGATCGAGCGTGGGGCTACGATCCATACATTCCTCGAAAAAGCGCGCGAACAGCTCTCGGGGGAGTTCCCGGACCTGCGGCGCGCCGCCGTCGAGAACCTCATGTACGTCAAGGAGGACCTGATCGTGCCGAGCCACTATTCGTTCCACGACCTCATCGTCGCGAAGGCCCGAGGCAAGTCCGGGCCGATGTTCGATTTTTCCGCGCGCGAGGACGTGCGACTCGTCGGCGACGTGAGGACCGAGTCGGACGCGGTGCACCCGGGGAAGGTCTGCCTGCGCGCGTGGTACGAGCGCAACAAGCACATCTTCCCGGCCTCGCGCTGGGACAACTACGAGCCGGGCGTCGACCACGGCGAGCGCTACACGGTGAAGGGGTAAATATGTATTCTTGTTCTACCAGTGCTGTGTCTTTTGCTAACAGTGCTATGATCACCAGGCGATCCCCTAGCCTCCTATAATTTCGGCTAGTGTCTCTACGACACTAGCAAGCCGTGGCGGCAGCCTTTGCGCATGCCACAGTGGCATACAAACTGGTCCAGCGACGTTTGTGCGTAGCAGATCGACGTATCTAAACGCCGCTACGAGTTTGAGCATCCGTTCGTGCGTGGTGTCTCTCTGAACCAGGGAGAGCAAAAACAAGTCAGAGACTGAGGCCGCGTTGGACCCAAGTCAGAGACTGAGGCCGCGTTGGACCATCAGGAATCGCCTACGACACGATTCTGGCCGCCACGGTCAGCTGCTAGTTCGACAACGAGCCACGGGCCTAGGACGAGACGATGCTGCGCCGTGCCCTGCTCACGAGTCGGCGGCACATCAACGTCTACAAGCCCGGCGACGTCGTCCGCCTGAAGCACCGGCGGTGGAAGAAACTCCCGGACAGGAAGCTCGCCGGCGCGGAGGTCGAGACGGCGTGGCAGGCGTCGTGGATGGCGCGGGGCGGTGTGCGAATATCACAACCATTTACGCCATCGACGCGACGGTATCATCGGCACACAGGTAACGCTGGGCGTCGTCTTCGTCGGCCTGCCGTGGGCGTACTACGCCTCGCAGGACGCCATCAAGGTTCGCGCCGGAACGAACCGAAAGAAGGAGGAGCTCCAGCGGACGGTTTATGAAAAGCGCCTCGACCGGCGGCGAGAGGAGTAAAAAACATGTGGTGTTACCGCGGCCGCCGTAGCAGCACGTCCGCCAGCGATCCGAGGCCGCCCTGGAGCCGCTGGCGCGCGCCGCCGGTTTCTCGTTGCTGCGCCGCGATGGCGCCGCAGACGTCGGCGTACTCCGTCCGCGCGATTTCCCGCGGCGCGGCGCCGCCGCGCAGCTTCTGGAACGACCGGCAGTAGCGCTGGCCGCGGCGCACGCCGGCGCACTGCGTCGCCATCGTGAACTTGTAGGCCTTCGCCCGTTGCAAGACCTTGGCGTACCACGTGTCGAAGTCGGGCATGGAGAAGTGGAGCAGCGTCAGCGGCGTCCGCGCGAAGAACCGGTCGAAGTTGCGGTTGTCGATCATGGCGTCCTGCGACGACGCGTTGTCCCTCCTGATCTTCCCGAAGTGGTTGCCCTGGTCCGTCTCGAGGAAGTCGGGCCCTCCCCTAAAGAAGGTCTTGGCCATGGCCGTCTGCGTCGGCGGCGAGAACGCGCGCACGACCGCGGGCCGTTTAGCAGCGTCGGCGACGACGTTTCCTGAAGAGACGACGTGGAGGCCGCCGCCCAGCGCGTCGCCGTCGTCCGCCGGCGCGGGGCAGGCCGCGACGCGGCTCGAGAACTTGAACTTGCGCATTTCATTTGATGACGCACTCGCCGCGAATGCGGCCCGGATGCGCCGCGCGTCCGCGACGAAGCCCTGATCGGCCTCGAGCACGACGAACTCGTCCACATCCAACGGCACGAGCAGCCGGGCTTCGTCCGCGCGCGCGCGCATCGCTCTACTCAAAGCCTCGGCCTTTTCGCCGAAGGCGCCCCGGAACGTCTCGACCGTCACGCCCCGGGTTTTGTACGCTTCGAGTATCGCGAGCACTTTAGGATTCGTCGACGCGTGGTCCATGACGACGACGTTGCTACACCCAAACACCGCGCAGTGCCAGTAGAGCCAGTCGCCTAACAAAAATTCCTCGTCGCGGTGGAACGCGAAGACCTTCGCGAGCGGCTGCTGCATTTCATTCTGGTCGTTTGGAGTGCTCGCGCCGGACCGCGCCGCCGCGTAGAGGAGGCCCGCCGCGACGAGCGCCAGCGCGAGGTCCGCGAGCCGTCGCGTGCTGCTCTTACGCGTGGCCTCCTTTGGTGTATTCGCTTCGACGTCGTCGTGCCGCCCTTTTGCTCTGCGCTGCATGGGACCGCGTGCTAATAATCACAGCTCTCAGCTCGCAGCTCCAGGCGCTCGATACGCAGCGCTTTCGAGCTGTGCCCGTCAGAGGGGCCCGAGCGAAGCCGAGGGCTTCTGCTGATGATCGGTGCGGTCCAGGAAGGAGGCCTAAGTGCTTTTTTGGGCTGCCGGCGCCGCGTTTGCTAGTATGTTACATACCGCTAGCTCGTCTGCGCGCGCATTGGAGCAAAGCGCAGGCATTCTTTGCAAGCGGTCGCCCAAAAAGACTGCTTGTTGCTGAATCGTGCACAGCCGGTGGTGGCGAGCTAAGTTGCAGCGTGCCAGCCGTCAATTTTGAGCGCGACTGCCTGCTGCGCTGCAGCGTGCGGTGCCCGCAGCGGTGCCCGCAGGGGTGCCCGCAGCGGTGCGCCCTCAATAATGAAACACTCCCCAAGGCGGCAACACCGCAAGAGGCGGCGCCGGCGCTGGCTGACGCGCTGCGTGCTCGGGCTCCTCGTGGCCGCCGCCGCGGTGACGATGTTCGTGCTGTTCAGAAGCGACGACGACGCGGCGCGCCCGCCCGACGAGGTGCGCCACGCGCGGCGGTCCCGCATTGGTGAAGAGCGGCTCACGCCGGAGACCAGTCTGCGGTGGCTCGTGGCGATGCGCGTGCAGGAGGAGCGCGCGTCGGAAGAGAGGAGACGGGTCTACCGGCACCCCTAAGTTGTTGTTGTTGTGTGAAAAAACTAAGCGGCACGGAGTATTAGACAAGAGGGGGCGAGCTCTCAGACCCACGTCGCGTTGAGCCCCGAGTGGACGATGCGGCGGAAGGCCTCGTTGAGCGTGTCGTCCTTCTTCGAGAAGCAGAAGCGCGCGAGCGAGTCCGTGATGTGGCGGTGGCCGAAGGAGAAGAAGGCCGACGCCGGGATGGCCGTCACGCCGGCGCGCTCGCAGAGCTGGCGGCAGACGGCGAAGTCCCGCCGGTCCCGCAGCGGCAGGTCCTCGGGCGCCTCCCAGAGCGGGAACTCCGTGGGGATGCCGATTTTGGTCGTGTCCGCCAGCAGGAAGTAGCCGCCCTGGGGCGTTATCGGCGAGAGGCCCGCCGTCCGCAATAATCGACAAAGTTTGTCGCGCTTCGCTTGTAGGGTTGCGGTCAGGTCCTCGAAGTAGCCGAACTCCTCGGCCTTGTCGAAGGCGATGGCCGAGGCGATCTGCAGCGGCGTCGGCGTCGAGAAGTTCGAGGCCTGGTGGACCCGCACCAGCGGCGCGATGAGCGGCTCGGGCCCGACGGCGTAGCCCACGCGCCAGCCCGTGGCCGAGAACGTCTTGCCGACGCTAAAGACCGAGATCGTGCGCTCGAACATGCCCTCGACGGCGCCGACGTGGTGGTGCCTTAGACCATCGTACACCATGCCCTCATATACTTCATCGCTCAACACGAGTAACCGGGGATACCGCTTCACGACCTCGGCGATGCCCTCGAGCTCCTCCCGCGAAAAGACCTTGCCCGTCGGGTTGTGCGGCGTGTTTAGTACTAGTAATTTTGTTCGCTCCGTTAAAGCATCATCTAATTCATCTAGGTCCAATTTCCAGTCCGCGGCCGTCTCGGCCCAGTCCGCGCGCAGCGGCACGCCGATCGTCGTCGCCCCCATCAGGTCCGCGGCGATCTTCGGCGCGTCGAAGTAGGGCTCCACGCAGACGACCTCGTCGTCGGGGTCGACCAGCGCCACCAAAGCGCTAAAAATCGCGTTCGTCGCGCCGCCGACGACCCCGATCTCCGTATACGCATCTATACTCCTCCCAAACCGCGGCGAGTACCGCGACGCGAGCTTCTCGACCAGCCGCGCGTGGCCCGCCGGCCGGCTGTACTGGTTGTAGTCCGCCCGGATGGCCTCGACGGCCGCCTCCTTGACGAAATCGGGCATTGCGTAGTCGGGAAAGCCCTGGCCCAGGTTGACCGCATTAAACTTATCCGAAAGTTCGCTGAACTCGGCGAAGACCGACGGCTCGGTGCGGCCCATGCGCACGCTGGACAGCGGCGACTGCGCTTGGGGGCGCTGCGCCAGCGTCGGATCGGCGTCGAAAAGAGTGGACCGCGTCGCGTCGGAGCTCTTGGGCTTGGAGCGGCCTGCACCGCGCGCCCGGCGGGCCATGGCTCTTGCGCTGCGCATGGTCGTCTTTTAGTTATATGTGCTGCTGGTGTCTCGACGCCGGTGAGAAATGGCTGTCGCAAGCGCACGCGCGTCGCAGCGTCGCGGTTCTGAATGAGATAGTTATAGTCAATTCGGATGGCGGGGGCGCGCGCCTAGGACGTCGCGCTCTGGCCCAAAAAATCCGTCTGGTCGGGTTCGGGTTTTACACGGTAAAACGGGTTTTGAGGACGCGCACGCGACGTAATAACATGGCCCCCGGCGGTGGTCACCTTCGTCCGCGAATGGTGTGCGCATGCACCGCATGGATCTCCGGCGAGCGGCAGACGCGGCGAGGGGGGCGCGCCATGTGGGCGCGCCGGGCCCGCGTTCCCGGGGGGCAGCGTGGGCGCACCGTCTTCATGCTGACCGGTACGACAAGCGGGCCCGTGGGACTTCGATACCTGCCTTTAGATGAACGTGGCGCAAGAAGGTAGTTCCACCGGCGCGCCGCGTAAAAGTTGACATTTTCAAACCCGCCCCACCCATCCCAGGGAGTCCTGGGAAGTCTGGACGAAAGCCTTCCCTGCGAATCGCGGCTCGATCGCTACAAGCTTTGGGTAAAGCAGGAACGGCAGCACCTTGCATTGCATTCGCACGCTCGGGACACGCGCACCGCGCACGCGTCCCCCGGCGTGGACGCCGCTGTCTCCCGACCATTCCTGGGGCGAACGCGTTCGGCCTTGGCCAGCCCGCAGGCCGCCGCCTCATACACACACCTGGCGCACCCGGGGCTCCCCCCGCCGCGCAAGACCGCCGTGGAGCTCCCCTCTCGCTCCACGCTAATCTAAACACGGGAAGACCTCTCCGTGGAGCTCCCCTCTCGCTCCACGCTAATCTAAACACGGGTAACTCCTCGATGCGCGCCGCGCATCTCGACGCGGCGGCGCGCGCTAATTCGTAGACGCCCATGGACGGCCTCTCGGTGCTCGCCGGCGCGACGGCCGCCGCCGAGGCGGCCACAACGCGCGTGACGCAGCGGATCGTGGTTCCAGGGCGGCGTCCACATCAGACGTCCGCGGCGCCTCCGTCGCCGACGCCACCTAACATACCGCATCGAACGCAGGTCGTGCGCGTGCCCCACGGCGCCGCGCCCGGCGACCGCTGCGAGTACCGGTTGCCCGAGGGCACGGTCGCGGACCGTGCCGAACTCAAAACCGCGCCGCGCCGTCGACGCGCCCCTCGTAGCTCGCTCGGGACCCGGGCTCACCGGTCGACGACGGCCCCGCAGGTCGCGCGCCACTTCGTCGTCCCCGCGGGCGCGCAGGTCGGCGACCTGCTGGAGGTCTCCGACGGCACGGCGCGCCTGACGACGCCCGCGGCCGTCGGCGTCTTCGCGGGCCAGCAGCCGGGCTGGTACTGGCGCGTCCGCGGCGACGCCGCGAGCCACTGGAAGCCCCTCGACGTCGCAAACGGCGCGCGCGACTCGTCGCGACGGCCGCCGCCGGAGCGCGCGCCGCCGCCGCCGCCGCCGTGGAGTCCAGCCGCGGATCCGCCGTGGGCCCAGGCGCCGCCGCCGCCGCCGCCGCCGCCGCAGAACGACTTCGCGTGGCCGCTGGGTCCCTGGCAGGGGTAACCTGGCCGAATCCCCTTTCCTGTCTCCCCACATCGCCCGTGCTGCGCCCCACGCGCTCTCTGTACCGATGCTGTTTATCAACGTCTAATTAATAGAACTATGCCTGAGAAAACGACCGTCGTCGCCTCCGAGCCAACACTCGGGGCGACGGCGTACGAGGGCGGGGCGGGGCGGGCGTTCGGTCACGCAGCCCCCGCGGCGGGCCGCGGCTAGGCGGCCTAGCTCTTAAGCAAGCAAAACGACTTTCGTACATGCCGCGGGCGCCGGGCGGGCCCGCGGCGTAGAGCTAAGCCACCTAGTCAGTCGCCCAGCCCGCCCACCGGCCCGCGTGCACGCCGCCGCCCCGGGTATCTTATGATTATATTTCCTATTTTCGTTAGAAGTGCCCCAGCGCGTCGTCGTCCGTGTCCGGGACGACCTGCGGCACCGCGCCGTCGACGTCGACGACGACGGCCTCGTCGGCCAGGCCGCACGTGTTCGCGTCGAACTGCAGGCGGATGAAGCCCGACTCGCCCCAGGCCGTCGACCACGAGTTGCGCACGATCCAGTACGGCTCCGGCCCCGTGCTGTCGAAGCCCACGACCTGCACGCAGTGGTCCAGGTCCAGGTAGTTCGCCGAGCAGGCCGACGCCTTGAGCACGCCGCCGGTATAGTCGTCCCAGAGCGACGCGTCGACGCAGACACTTACGGGCGTCGTCCGCACGACGTCCGCGAGCTGGCCGAGGTCCTGGTCCTCGCACGCGCCGTCGCAGGGCGGCGTCGCGAAGCTATAGGCGCCGACGCTCGCCGAGGGGCCCACGTAGTAGCCCTCGTGCTTCAACACATCAAGGTCGCGGTCGCAGTCCTCCGTGCACGCCGCGTCGAGGCAGCCGTCCTTCGGGATGAGGCCCTGGGCGTAGGGCCAGAAGGCCGCCGGCGCGAGGCCCACGCTGTCGGCCATGACCTCGAAGGCCGAGGTCGTGTCGCCGCCGGCGCAGCCGAAGACGCCGTTCTTCGCGCCGCCGCAGGACGTCGCCTGCTGCGCGCTGAAGACCGTCGGCGGCCCTCCATTCAAAAAGAAGGCCGTCTCGACCTGCTGCACGGCGCTAAAGGCCCAGCACGAGCCGCACTGGCCCTGGTTCTTCACGGGCGTGAGCGCGCCGTCGACGGCGCGCCAGTCGACGCGGTCCGCGGCATCAAAGGAAACGCCGCGCTTGCGCGCGGCGGCGGTGAGCTTGTTCGTATCGGCCGCGCGCGGCGCGCGCATGTAGGCGTCGGCGCGGCCGCGGCCGGCGCGGCCGCGCGGGAACGCGCGCGCGCCCGGCGCGCGGTCGCTCGCCGGCGTCAGGCCGAAGACGCGGCTGCCGTGTTCCAGATTCCGCGCGTCCAACTCCGCGACGCGCCGCTCGAACCAGGCCTTCCGTTTTACGTCCTCCTCGGCGTCGTAGTGCTTGCCGAAGCGCTTTTTAAACTCGGCCCACGGTACGCTGATGGACTCGACGAGGGCCTCCACTTTGATAGGTGAAGAGTCGAGGGAGTCGATGCTCGGCTCGACCTGCACGCAGTCGTCGCCGCAGCTGAACTGGCCCGTGACGGCGCCGAGCCCGAGCACCGACGCGATGCCGACCGCGGAGATGGCCAGCGCGCCGCGCCACCGCGGCGAGGGGAACTTCGCCGCTGGTTGGCCGGGGTGCGGGGTGAGCGGCGTCGTCTCGCGCGGCGTCTCGGCGTCGTCCTCTTGTTCGTCCTCGCGGACCGTGGGCAGCGGCGCCATCGTTTGCTGCTGCCGCGCGGTTGGGGGCAGCGTATCGTGCACGCTTAGCCGCGGGAGCTTCGAATTTGCGATGGTGCTTCCCCGTGGCTCGAGATGGAACCAAAGGAAACTTAAGCTTGGCCTGACTGCGGTCCTCTCCCAAATGACCCTTGAGGTCCTCGGCACATCCCCCTGGAGGTCTCTCTTTGCCCGCGCGATACGTGGGGTCGCGATACGTGGGGTTCAAATGTCACCTGCCTGGTGTAGGGTAATGGCAGGGTAGCAATTGACAAAAAAAACTTACCGGCCGAGCGGTCGACGACCGAAAAAACCTCTGGCTAGTATGAGATATATATGGCTATAGTAACATATATATATATATATATACATATACATATACTAAAAAAAAATAGGTCTAAAAACGGGTTTAACTCGGGTCTGCGGCTTTTTTAGACTTGCATAGGACTATTTATCTCCTCTATCAATATCTGACCGCTCCAAACTCCAGCCGCAGCAAAAAAAGGAGCTAGCGTAATCGACATACTAGCAAATTCAAAGATACGCTTCGATAGCGTCAAAAGAATGACTCAAATTCAGAATACATCCTAGTCGTTCGCCGAGACCAAATATTTGAGAGTAGCGGTCCGGGAACATACCCTCGCGCCTCCCGGAAGGCACCGCCCACGACATTCGCGGATGAGTCTTACGATCGGTCCAAGGTGGTCCAGCGCCAACACAGCAAGACCACTGCGACGTTTCTGTTCAAGCAAACGAGCAACAACTGATGCCTACGGAGACGTCGCCCGGCATCGTTATCAGATGGCCGCGTCTGTGAGGCTCCCGTTGGGGAGTCTTGGGCTCCCCAACGGGTTCTATTGCCGGGCGCGGCGGTTGGCACGGTGTGGTCGATGCGCCGCGGCGATGGCGTGCGTGGAACGCTGCCGCGAGTAGGTGTAAATGTCTCACGCTATCCGAGAGAAGTAGGTGAACGCGATAACTTCTTGTTACCGTAGCGTTACTAGCGGTGGAGTGTGGAGCTTAGCCCGCGGGTACTCGGCGGCCGCGATTCCACAACCGAGCGTCAGTTTTGAAAAAAACCCCTCGCGAAATTGAAAAAAACCCTCCTATCGCTAAAAATGTTACCGGTCCCTAGAGGGTCACTTTAGCTCCGTTTTCCACCCTGGGTAATGGCTAGTAGGAGCGCGTGCGCGCACGTAAAGGTACGCCTCGATAGCTTCATACTTAGTTTAAACGAACTTGCGGACGAGAGAAACGAGCTCACGCCTTCTCGGCGTGCGCGTAGGAGTGGACGTAGTCCATCGCGTGCTGGGCCGGGTCCTCCGCGACGAGGTCGACGTACTTGGCGAACATGTCGTCGGCCATCGCCGCGGCCTCGCCCGGCGACCGGCCCGCCCGCGTCGCGCCGCTCACGAACGTCGAGTTGGACCACGTCCGCGTCGTCGGCACGAAGTACTCCGCGGCGGCGCGCGCGTCCGTCTTCGGGCCGCTGACCCACTCCTCGTGGTAAGGGCAGGGCACGACGTCGGTCTCGATGGACCGGAGCGCCAGGCCGACGAACGGGTTCTCGAAGGCCGCGCGGCACGCGTCGAGCGCGCGGTACTCGTTGGGGAAGTTCGTCTGCGCGTGGACCTCGGCGCCCGCGACCTTGAGCCAGAGGTCGGAGAAGTTCGAGTGCATGCACTGCTTGCCCGGCGTGCGCCCCAGGAACGAGCCATTCTCGTCGGTGGCGAAGTTCGCGACGACGAGCTGGCCGCCGGGCTTGAGCTCCGCGGCCCGCTTCGAGAGGATGCGCGTCCAGTCCTTGCGCGCGCGCTCGCCGAACGCCTTCTTCGTCGCCGGGTCCGCGGTGCAGGCCGAGTGGAGCGCGTCGGGAATGTCCGCCGGGCACGACGTGAGCCAGTGGAACGCTGTGGCCGAGAAGCTCAGATCGATGGACTCGGGCGCGAAGCAGCTCTCGTAGAACGACGTGCCGACGGCGACGGCGTAGACGTTGCCGTCCGGCTCGTAGTACGTCTCGGGGCCGCCCTCGATGTGTCCCTGGACGAGCTTGAAGAGCGACTGCCAGTCGTTCTGGGCCTGGTCCTCGTAGCCGACTATTATCGCAGTGTCGGGCTCCGCGGCGCGGACGCGCGCCACGACGTTTCGCATGAGCGGGAGGGACGTGCCGCCGTCGGCCGTGCCGAAGTCCGCGATGTGAAACGGCTCGCCGGCGGCGCCCCGCGTCTTGCGCGCCGCCAGCGCGCGCTCGGTGGCCTCCCGCACCAGCGGGCCGCACCGCGCGATAACGTCGAAGCACCCTTTCGTCGACGCGGTGTACGTGCCCTCGCCGGCGACGCCCCAGGGCACGTGCTTGCCGCCCGCCTCCGCGGCGAGGTGGCGCCGGCGGCTGGCGCCAGCGATGCGCCGCGGTGCAACACGACCAAGTGCTACTGCAGCTCTGCGGTGCATTGCTGTTCGAAATTGCTAATTAATGGTTCACAGCAATGATAACAACTAGAAATTCGCCCTGCGGAGTTGTCGCAGAGTGCATACAGCGAGCTCTCGTCGGTCGGTGTGCAAACTGAGCCATTGCTGCTCTCTGACACCCCGGAGGCGAATAATCGGGTTCCAAACATCGAAAAGACGCCGGCAATCGACGTCTCCTCTCAAACAAGGTGCGACAATCGATGCTTGGGGCTTCGAAATTGACGTTTTTGCACAGGTTCACCAGCGTGGTCGCAGTTCAGAGCTGGAGGCAGGCGAACACCTGGCATTTTGCACGATAGACGGCCACAACCCGCTGCAACAAGTCAGTGGTAGTCGCTGAGCAAGCGCAAAAGCTCGAAGCGTGCGCGCAGCCATGTATTCAAGAGCCTCAGCGCGTGCCCAGGCCTTGGCGACGTCGAAAGTGGCACCGCGTTGCAAGTCCACGCGCGCTGCGCCATTGAGGACGTCCGGGGGACGCGCCGTACCGCGGGCGGCGGCATTGCAGAAGGCGTCGGCGAGCACCGCGTTGCAGCGCGCGGCACCGACGGCGGCGCCGATGAAAGCGCCGACGAAAGCTGCCACGCGCAGCAAGTCCATGGCCGCGGCCAGCGTGGCGCCCGCGTCGACGTGGCTGACGACGCGCGCCTTGCCGAACGACCTGGGCGAGATCCACATAGTCTCGTCGGGGCTCCTCGAGTCCGACACGCCCGGGAACGGCGGCCTCCGAGTATGGAATTACGCCGACAAGGCCGCGGCGACGAAGGAGGCCGAGGGCCTCGCCGTGGCCATGTCGGCGAAGCACAAGACCTACAACACGGGCTTCGCCGGCGCGAAGGTCGTCTGCGCGGCGGACAAGCCCGTCGCCGACTGGACCGCGGTCGCCGTCTGCGTGGAAATCAACATTTCACTGCGCGTTCGTGCTGAATCGTTGCGTCGTCCTCCACGCCATCGACGCGACGCCTGCTCGATGGCGTGGCGATGCCGGTTCCTCGCCGCTCGACCGAGCCAGGACAGCCGCGTCGTCGCCGAGGAATGACTGAGTGAAGAATTATCGGGTGCACCCGACGCACTGGTTGATTTCCACACAGGCCGACCGCGAGACCCTCCTCGATGCGACGGCGTCCCTGCTCGAGGAGCTCGACGGCGCCATGTACACGGGCTGCGACATGAACACGACGCCGGCCATGATGCAGTCGCTGCACGACCGGTGCGGGGGCCGCTACGTCCTGGCGGCGCTCGCGAACGAGACGTGCTGCCCGAACACGGCGACGGCCGCGGGCGTCCTGGGCGCGGTGACGGCGTGCGTCGACGGCGACGTGCGGGGCAAGACTTTTGTGGTTCACGGCTGCGGCGGCGTGGGCGGCGCCGTCGCTGCGGGTCTTGTGGAGCTCGGCGCGGCCTCGGTCAAGACGGTGGACCTCGACCTGAAACGGGCCGCGATCCCGGGCTGCGAGGTCCTGGACCCCGAGGCCAAGTGGTGGGCCGTCGACTGCGACGCGCTCGTGCCCTGCTCGGCGTCCGGCGTCCTGACGGCGGAACGGGCGTCCGAGCTCATTTGCCGGTCCGTCGTCGGCGCGTCGAACCTGCCCTTCGCGTCCGTCGAGGCGCGCCGCGTCGCGGAGGCGCGGTGCGTCGTCGCGCCCGAGGGCGTCACGTCCGCCGGCGCCGTGATCGTGGACTCGATCGAGCACTACGCCCCGCTCAACTTCCGCGAGGCGCCGCCGTCCAAGGTGTACGACTTCACGTTCGAGGCGGTGCGAGCGAAGACGGACGAGCTGCTGGCGGCGGCGGCGGCGGACGGCGTGTCGCCCACGGTGGCCATCCCGCTCGTCGAGGAGGCCGACCCGCGGCGCATCGGCGAGCGCTACTCGTCGTGGCTGGCCACGGACGCGCGGGACCGGGTCGGCGGTTTTTTGCAGGAGCACGTGGCGGCCGCGCGCCCGGCGGCCCCGGCGCCGACCGGCGCGCGGCGGCCGCCGCAGAAGATGGCCGGCCGGCGGTCGTTCTCGACGACGAGCGCGCGGACGTGCGACACGCTCGTCGTCGGCGGCGGCGTCATGGGCCTGAACATCGCCTACCAGCTGAAGCGGCGCGACCCGGATCATCAAGTCACGGTCCTCGAGGCCGCGCCGGCGCTCGGCGCCGGCTCGAGCGGCTACTCGACGGGCTTCCAGCGGGCCTACTACTCGTTCGACGAGACCATGGGCTTCGCCTTAGATGGGATCAACGCGCACAAGAACTGGCAGGACTACCTCGCCGACACGAGCGCCGTGGCTAGGTTCGTCGAGACGGGCGCGCTCTGGATGCTAGGCTACGACGAGGCGCAGAACGCGGCCATGGTCGAGCGATTGGCCAAGTTCGGCGTCGGCGCCGACGTCCTGGACGAGGCCGCGATGGGCGAGCGCTTCCCGCTTATCAATTGTGATCCCATGCCCAAGTTCGACGCCGAGGGCAACGAGGTCGACCAGGGGCTCGGGGCCTTCTCGGCCGTCTACGAGCACGGCTGCGGGCACATGGACTCGTCGACGTGCCTCGAGGACCTCCACCGCGCGTGCGTGCGCGACGGCGTGGACTTTCGGTTCAAGACCAAGGTCGCCAAGTTCACGCTCGACGGCGGCCGGTGCACGGGCGCGCAGCTCGCGGACGGCTCCGCCATCGAGGCGGCGACGACGGTCAACGCCGCGGGGCCCTGGTTCAACGCTCTCAACGAGACCGTGGGCGTGAAGAACTCGACGACGTCGCTGCCGACGCGCATCCAGGTGGGCCACAAGTACATCCCCGACGAGTACTGCTCGCTGCCCTTCGTCGCGGACGGCTGGGGCGACTCGGGCATCTACTTCATGCCCCGCGCGGGCAACAACCAACTCGTGTTTGGTTCTGTTGCGCACCGGTTCGAGAGCGAGATCGTGGACCCGGACGACTACAACGACGCCCTCGACCCGGACGTGAAGCGGGACTCGGTGTAGAAATCAAATTGTCGCGGCGCGCTCGCGTACCCGACTCACTGATCGATTTCCACACAGGCAGGACTACCTTAACTGCCTCTTCCACCGCCTGCCCGGCCTCGAGACGTCCGGCGAGATCGTCGGCTTCTCGAGCATGTACACGGTCAACCAGGACGACGTGCATCCGGTCATCGGCGAGTCGAACGTCCCGGGCCTCTGGGCCTGCAACGGCTTCTCCGGCCACGGCTTCAAGCTCGCGCCGGCCGTCGGGTCGCTCGTGGCCCAGCAGATCACGGGACTCAAGACGGACGCGTGGGAGACGTCCGTGGCGCACGACTTCATGGGGCCCGGCCGCGAGCCCCTGACCCTCAAGGTGAAGACGCACTTCGCGTGAACAACGCGTCGGTGGCGTCGTCCGGCAGCTCGCTCCCCTCCCGCCCCCCCAGCGACGCGCCTCTGTTCTTAACTTTAACAAGTATGTCGAAAAGAATTCTAACATTTGCGAGACAGCTGCCGATGCTAGTGTCTTACCGATTGCTAGCAACCTCTTGTGGGGCTTGCAGTCGGTGTTGCTTGACCTGCAGGGAAGCAAGACTCGCCACATTTCGGCATTCACTGCGGGCAAGCAGAACTCGTCAAATTTCCGGCATTCTTAGCTGCTTGAGTGGCTACGTGCCAGCTGTGACGTCTTGGTGCAAACCGAGCGCTGCTCCTCGCCCGGCTGTATTCCGGGCCCAAGGTGCATTGTTAAATCTGCAAACCGAGCGTTGAGCCAGCAATGCGCTCCCTGCTGCTCCTCGCCACGGCTGCCGCGGCCCTGCGCCCGCAGCCCGCACCGCGCACAACCACAAAGCTCCGCGCGGCTGCGGCGCCGCCCGACGAGATTGCCAGGAGGCGCAACTTCGCCATCATCAGCCACCCCGACGCCGGGAAGACGACGCTCACCGAGAAACTCCTCTTGTATGGAGACGCGATCCAGCAGGCGGGCATGGTGAAGGCTCGCGCGAACGGCCGCGACTCGACGTCGGACTTTCTGGCCATGGAGAAGGAGCGCGGCATTTCTATATCGTCCACGTGTCTCACGTTCGAGTATGGCGGCGCGCGCATCAATTTGATGGACACGCCGGGCCACGCGGACTTTTCCGAGGACACTTATAGAACCCTAAGCGCGGCGGACAACGCGGTCATGCTTGTCGATGGAGGCAAGGGCCTGGAGCCGCAGACGCGGAAACTGTTTGGGGTGGCGCGGCGGTCGAACCTGCCCGTGTTTACGTTTGTGAACAAATTGGACCGGCCGGCGATGTCGCCCTGGGAGGTGCTGGACGAGATCTCGGCGGAGTTCAACCTCGAGACGGCCGTGCGCACGTTCCCCATCGGCGACGGTGAAAGATTTCGAGGTGTGTATGATGCGGCGAAAGACGAGGTCTGGCTCTACACGAGGACGGAGCGAGGCAAGAAGGCGTCGGTGGAGCGCATCTCCTGGGAGGATAGAGATGAGATCAGCGAGAAAATCGGGGATGAGGAACTCGACGCGCAGCTCGAGGAGGACCGCGAGATGATTCGGGAGCTCACGCCGCCGTTAGATGATGAAAAACTCAAGAAGGGCGAGATGACGAGCGTCTACTTCGGCAGCGCCATGGGCGATCAAGGTGTGGAGCCTTTTCTGGACGAGTTCATCGACCTGGGGTCGCGGCCGGCTTCCAGGCCGCTGCGTGATGACAAGACGCTCGAGCCGTCGCACAGTGAATTCGCGGGCTTTGTGTTCAAGATGCAGGCCAACTTGGATCCGAAGCACCGGGACTGCATGGCTTATGTAAGGGTCGTGTCGGGGACGTTCCGGAAAGGCATGAAGGTCATCCATGGTCGGACGGGGCGTTCATTGACGCTCGCCACTGCCACAATGTTGTTCGGTTCGGATAGAGACGGCGTCGAGGAGGCGTTCCCGGGCGACGTCATCGGCTTGAATAATCCGGCGGGCGGCCTTTTTCAAATAGGCGACGCGCTGCACACGGGTTCGAGTGTGGCCTTCGAGCCCATCCCCTCCTTCTCGCCCGAAGTCTTCGGCTACTTGAGACCGACAGAAGTCGGCGCGTCGCGGAAGTCCTTCGCCAAGGGCGTCGACCAATTGTTGGCGGAGGGCGCCGTCCAGCGGCTGAAGGAGCGGGGCAACGACGGGCCCGATCCGTTGTTGGCGGCCGTCGGCGAGCTCCAGTTCGAGGTTGTGGTAGATAGGATGCAGGGCGAGTACGGCGTGAGCTGCGCCGTCGAGCGCGTGTCCTACACGATCGCGCGGTGGTGCCGGCCCGAGCTCCCGGCGGACGAGGCCTGGGCTGCTGTGGATGCGGCGAAGAAGGAAGGGGCTTTGACGGGCGCCTTCTACGCCGAGGATATGTTTGGAAGGCCCGTGCTTCTGTTTAGAAACGCGTACACCGTCGAGCGCCTCGAGAACGACGCCGATTTAGATCTCGGGCTCCAGCCGTGGGCGCTGCCGCCGGCGACCGCTCCCTAAAGTTGTTGATTCAAACACAATTACCGTCGACTCCCCGCGAGGAGCGGGTCGTCCGGCGCGAGGAGGTGCGCGTAGGGGACCTCGCCCTCCGCCGCGAGCAGAAAATCCTCGCAGATCGGCGGCCCGAGCTCCTGGTCCGCCGGGTTGTCGAAGGGCAGCAGCTCTTCCAGAGACGGCTCTTCGACGACCCCGCCGCCCTCGGCCGCGTGGACCCGGGCGTACTCGGCCTGCGCGCGCTCCTCGAGCCGCCGCAGCATCCGGTCCTGGTCCTCGCTGATATAGGGCTCGCCGGCGCGCCGCAGCACGTCCTCGACGGCGTCGAAATTATCGTCGTCGCCGCCGAAGGCGTCTTCCGGGAACGGGTCCGGGTTCAATTTCTCGTCCAGCTCGTTCAACTCCTTGATGAGCGCGTCGTTGTCGAAGAGCCTTCCCAAGGGCTTCTCGATGGGCTCCGTGTCGTCGCGATACTGGCCCCGTCGCAGCGCGGGCGCTTCTTCCTCGATGGCCGGCTCGGCCTTGGCCTCCTCGACGCCCTCGTCGTCCCGAAAGGAGATTTGTTTCTTGACCGCGGATTTCGCTGGCGTCTGGAACGTGATCTTGCGGCCCGTCTTTTTTTGGGTGGTCGGGTCGATTTCGAGGCCGCCGCCGTCGGCCTTGCGCACGGTGGCGTTGTTCGCCGCGCCCTTGGTGATGTCGCCGAAGAGCACGCGCTTGGCCGTCGTCTGCGGCTTGAGTTTATGGGTGGCGGGCGTCGGCAGCGCCGAGCCGAGCGCCGCCTTGCGCGCAGTTTTTAATCCATCGTGGTGCGGCGTCTTGGCCGGCTTGAGGCTCGCGCCCTCGTCGAAGATGAGGCTCGACATCGCGTTCTGTCCGAGTTGGCGCTGCGCGGCCCCCTGGCTGTTCGGCGCCCGCAAAAGCGCTGCTAGCGCGACGCGGCAGCTCTGGTGAGACGTTAGCGGGTTTTAAGGGCTTGGGTTTGCCCGGCAGCGGCTCGTAAACTGGGCAACTAGAATTGCCGCCGCCGATGCTAGCGGCCTGTAACACACTAGGGTCCTGGCGGCAAGGTCCATATGTCTGCGCAAAGCGGTTTGATTGTTGCTCGACTCGATCGGTCGCCTCCAGAGCCTTGCGCGGGGCCGAACCCATACGCTTGCGATTTGGCAGTCCCCTCCATATTATGTCTTGTCTGACAAACGCTCGGCCTCCGGCCCCCAGACGCCGGCGCCCAGAGTCTATGTTATTCCAGGGTCCGTGAGGGTGTCCTGGGCTGCTCCCGTGAACATTGGTCCCCACGAGACAGAGAGGCTCCCTGATGACGGCCGAAGCCACCACTTCCCTCTTCATCACCTACCAAACGCCTGTGGTACTGCAACCCGTGGTCCTGAAGCTCACGCTGCAGCGGCGCACCTGGGAGCAGCGGCCCTGTTCGCACCTCGTCGACGCGTTCCTCAAGGCCGCGCGGCCGTCCATCCTCAAGGCGGCGGCCTTCTCACAAGGCCGCGCGCCACGCGTGGAGGACGTCGTCGACGCCGATGAGCTGGTTTTAACGGATGCTGCCGGTGCCACAATCACCGCCGACGCGCCCGTCTCGGAACTGACCAAGGGCGCGGCTGTCGCGCGCGCGGCGCTGCGGCCACGTCCGAGCGCGCCGTCGACGCCCACGCGAACGCCTCAGAAAAAGAAGAAAGTTTCGTGGTCGCCGGACGTCGTCGAGCGGAGCCGCCCGCCGGCGGTCGGGCTGGTCTGCACGCTCAAGGACGCCTCGAAGCGCCTGGATAGCTATATAAGGTACCACCAGCGAGTCGGCTTCGCGCGGATCTATCTGTACTTCGACGACGCGTCGGAGACCGCGGACATCGAGGCGGCTCGCGGCTACGCGGACGTCGAAGTGATCGTCCGCGACGAGGCGTTGGTCGCCGCGTGGGCAAACTTGCCCGGCTGGGCGGCCCTGAAAGATTATGTGCAAGACGACGTCCAGGTGCGGCAGATGCTCAACGCGCTGCACTGCCTCCGGCGGGCGGAGGCGCGCGACAGGCTCCAGTGGCTCGTGCACGTCGACTCGGACGAACTGTTCGACCCCGGCGCGCGGTCGATCCACGACCACTTCCGCTACCTGGAGGCGTCGCGCTTCGACTGGTTCTGCTACCACAACTTCGAGGCCGTGCCCGAAGTCGCCTATCAGACCGAGGTTGATCCGTTCCTCACGGTGTCGCTCTTCAAGCGGGCCGCGTGCCTCGTGCCGGACGCGGCCAAGGCCGTCTCCGAAACGTGGCGCGCGCGGAACTTTGGCATCGACCCGTTCCTCTTCTACGCCAACGGCAAAACGTCAGTGAGGTGCGGCGTCGGCGCGTGCCCCGTCTCCGTCCACGCGTGGGGCCGCAAGGATCCACTCCGCGGCGGCACGAACGATCCGAGGCACAAAGCGCTGGCCCTCGACGCGTCGGTGGCGTGCCGCGTGCTCCACTACGCGTGCTGCTCCTTCGCCCAGCTCCGCCGGAAATACGAGACGCTCGGCGCGTTCCCGAACTCGTGCGTCGCCGGGACGGTCCACCACGAGCCGGACACGTTCCACTGCAAGTGCCGCGACGCGTTCCTCACCGGGGGCCCGCCGGCGCTCGCGGCGCTGTTCGAGCGCTGCGTCGTCCTCGACGACGTGCGCGAGGCGCGGCGGGGGATCGAGGCGGGCGTGCTCGAGCGCGTGCGCATCGCCAAGTTTTAAGTATGCGACTCGCGTAGCTGTTCCCCGGTACCGGGCGATTCAGACAACATAAGTTAGAGACGCGATCGATTGCGGCGAGGGCCTCCACTCACGAGAGGAAGTCGGACCACGGCTCGCCGTCGTGCACGTCCTCGCGCATCCACATCGTCACGATCTGCTTGACGCCCTCTCTCAATAAACAGCCCGTGTGCAGCGTGTTCCCGTCGTCCATGTACCCGTCGCTTTGCTTGTAGGTGAACAATACAGCGCTATCATCTTGAGGCTGGACCTTGAGCCTAGCTTTCGGGAAGACGGTCGCGCCGCCGACCTCGGGCGCCCGGCAGTAGTGGATCAGCGTCGCGACGCGCCCACCGCGCGCGTAGGGCGTCCTATGACACACGCCGTCGCAGTGCGGCCGGTACTCGCCGCCGTGCGCGTACTGGATGAAGTTCAGCGGCTCCTGGAACGGGCCCGGCGTCACGTCGTACGACCGCAGGTTCTCCGCGAGTTTGAACGCCCGTTTGATGAGGTGGTTCGTGATCGACGTCTCATTACTCCGAGACCATTCTAGATTTGCGGAGATGGCGCGCCTATCGGCAATGACGTTCCGCTCCCCGAAGACCTGCGCGTCCGCCAGGCCTATGCGCAGCGCGCGGCCCTCCATGTCCGCGCAGTCGCCGGGCTTCGTCCAGTTCGGCAGGTAGGCTATCAAAGGCTCCTCCCTCAGAATCTCGACCTGCAGGTCGCGCCCGTCGAGCTCATCTCTATATTCTGCGACGCGCACGGGCTCCGAGGGCGGCGTCTTCTCCGCACATAACGCCGTGTGGAGCTCCTCTTTGAAGTCGTGCTTCTTCTGGTCGTAGAACTCGATGACGCTCCGATACAGGAGCTCGCCGTCGCCCGACGTCCAGTCGTAGTGCTCGCCCCTCCTTACGGACCAGATGCGCGTCGCGCCCGGCGCCACGTCCACGGTCCGCGACGCGTTCTTCGTGTCCGTCAGCCGCATCGCGTACGCCGCGCGGTTCGTGAAGTGGGCCTCGAACGGGTCGTCGCGCTCCTGCTCGCGCTTCCGCGCGTGCGCGTCGAGGACGCGCGGCTTTTCCCCGAAGACGTGGCGCTCCATGCCGCGCGCCGCGTGGACGGTGCCCTCGAGCTCGTCGGTCGTGCACGTCTCCGACTGCGCCGGCGGCCGCCAGCCGAAGGCGTGGCCCTCGTACGTGTTCACATTGAACTCGCCGCCGGGCTCCACCGTGCCCATGAGGCTCGGCTCGGCGCCCGAGCCGATCCAGTAAAGCTCGCGCGGCTCCGCGTAGGGGTTCTCGAAGATGAGGGCGAAGGGCTCGTTTTTTTTCGCTTCGTATACGAGGCGCGACCGCTTGTAGGCCGCGTCCGTGTCTGACTCCTTGCTTGCCGCGAGCGCTGCTGCGGTGATTACGAGCGCGCAGCGCATCATCTTTCCAGCTGTTTCCAATGGTGTTCCAATGGTGTTCCAGGCCGAGTTGGCTGCCAGCGCTTTCACTATGAGTTTTGCTAAGTTTTTTGCCCTAGCAAGCTACAGGACAGCGCTTCGGAGCTGTGCAACGCCAATGCGCCTCGCAGCTTTAGGCTGAGCAGCATGCAAAGCTGGAGCTTGTTGGCATAATTTTATTTTTTGGGGCTTGAGGCACGGGTTTTTTCGCGACCAAGCACCGATAAGATAGCGGTTTGGGCTGCCTTCTGTGGGCAATCGACCCCTGCACGACGTCTGCGCCTTCGGCGCGAAATGGCATCGGAAATTATCGGTGCTAGCTGTGGCTGTGCGGCGCCGGTTGTTTGGGCCCAGCCAAAGCGAATTGCTGCGTGGGAAATACATTTGGCATCTATTTTTCGATTGTAGTTTCAGATCCCGGCCCGCTGCTGCTCCCTGAAGCTGTACTCAGCTACTCAGCTGGCAGCTTTTTTCAGGCAGCTATTCAGCTATTTTGCTGCACCTCTCGTCGCAGCGATAACAACGCATCGCAGCGATGGCGCTGGACGCGCCGCTCGCGGCGCTCGAGCGCCACTGCGGCCTGGCCCGGGGCCACGGCCGGTTCTTCCTCAACGCGGGCGCGTTCATTGGGTTGATGGTCATAAGCAACGCGCTCGAGGAGGAGTTATATACAAATTTACCAGGCTTCGACTATTTCAAGGCCGTCGCGTGCCTCGAGCTAGCCACGTTCGCCGCGGCGGCGCTGCTAGCCGAAAGGCGGTCGGGCCTCAAAACGCCGCGCAAGGCGCCGCTCGCGTTCTACGCGGTACTGGGCGCGTCGATGGCGCTCTCGCAGACCCTGGGCAAGCTCGCGAACAAGTACGTCAACTTTACCGTGTCGACGATCTTCAAGTGCTCGAAGGCGTTGCCGACGATGGCCCTGATGGTCCTCTGCGGCAAGCGGTATACGCTGGCGAACGTCGCGGCGGCGCTGACGATGGCGCTGTCGGCGTTCTGCTTCGCCGTCGGCGCGCGCCAGGCCGACGCCGACTTCAACTTCCTGGGCGTGCTGCTGAACGGGCTGTACCTCTTATTTCAGGCGCTGCAGGTCGCGCTGCAGGACAGCGCGCTGCGGGCCCCTGTGTGGAAATCAAGAGTGTGTCGGGGGCACCCGATAATTCTTCACCAAGTCATTTCTCGGCGACGACGCGGCAGTGCTGGCAGCCCGTCGACCGGTGAGGAACCAGCATCGCCACGCCATCGATCAGGCGTCACATCGATGGCGTGGCCGACGCGAAGATTCAGCATGAACGCGCCGTGAAATTTTGATGTCCACACAGGCGGGACCACGGCGCCTCGATCGACGAGACGATGCTCTACGCGAACGCGATCGGCCTCGCCGCCCTGGGGTGCTGGGCCCTGGGCGACGGCGAACTGATCGCGGCCATAAGCTTCTTCGCGGCGCGGCCGAACGCTGTCCTGTTACTTGCGGCGCGGAACGGGACGTTTTACTTCGCCGTGCGCTACTACACGGCCGTGGTCAAGGACGCGGGCGGCGTCGCCGCGGTGACGGTGGGCATTGTCCGGAAGATCCTCACGGTCATCTGCTCGCTCCTCCTCTTCTCGAAGCCGTGGGCCAACATCTACGGCGTCGGCGGCCTGCTCTTCGCGGCCGCGCTGGCCCAGGAAAGTCGGAACGCGCGCACGCGGGAGAAGCTCCAGCACTCGCGGTCGTCGAGCGACCTCGCCGACGACGAGGAGAGCCCGCCGCCGCCGGCAGCCTCGCCCGCCCGTCGATCGCCGCGGATCGATGTATCAAAATAACTTGAATGTGTTGTAAGTCGTGCTAGTCCGCCGGCGGAGGATCGATGTATCAAAATAATAATGTGTTGTAAGTCGTGCTATCGGTCCCCGCCGCGGAGGTGCTGGAAGAGGCCGCCCGCCGGCGGCGAGGGGGACGCCGCCGACGGCTCGTCGCCGCCGGGCGCAGAGGGCTCGAGTTCGAGCGCCGGAGCGTCGTCCCCACTCTCGGGTCCCAGCGCCCCGGCCCCCGGCGTGACGGCGTGCTGCGCCCACGAGCCCGGCGACGCGCGGTCGTAGGCGTAGCCGAGCGCCTCCTCGACGTTTTCGTAGTCGAGGCGGTCCACGAGCGTGGCCCAGTCGGCGACGCTCCAGGAGTGGTTCGCCGGCGGCTTGAAGTGCGCGCCCGAGCCCGCGCCGCCGAACTTGGCGTAGGCCTTGACGCGCTGGAAGTCGTCGCGGGCGTTGCAGGCGTAGCCCAGCGCCTTCAGCCGCCGGAAGAGGAACTCGGGGTCCTGCGTCAGGTCCTCGTAGCGCGCGCCGAGCACGTTGCGGTGGCTGCGCCCGAAGCGCAGGTACTGCGCGTACTTGCGCGTCCGCAGCTCGAGCACCTGCGCGGACGCCGACCGGTGAGGAACCTGTCGCCCCCCACGCCGTCGAGCAGACCCGCGGAGAGCCGTACTCGGTCCCCTCGACGCCGTCGAGCAGACCCGAGGAGAACCGGCGGAAAAAAGTTGAGTGGCCGCGCGGGCACAAACATGCGCGTAGGTCACGCCGCGTTCCACGAACCGCGTCGAGAGGAACGCCTGGAGTCCCGCGCCGCGCCCGAGCCGGTCGATGGCCCCCGAGTACGCCGTCTTGCGCATCTTCACGGCCCACGGCGCCGCGCACCGGAAGACGACCACCACGGCGTCGCGCGACGCGGCGGCGAAGGACTCGGGCAAGAAGTCGTGCTTCCAGCCGTAGAGCCCGTCCGCGTCGAGCTTCGGCGACCAGTAGTGCCTCTCGCGGCAGTTCTCGTTCGTCATCACGCGGACCCAGCCCGTGCCGCAGTGCCGCTCGCCCCGGATCGAGATGGCCGCGCCGTACAGCTCGCCGTGGTCCGCGCCGCGCTTGTACTGCTCGAAGGTCTTGGCGCCGTGGTGCCGGACGAAGGTCGCGTCGTAGCGCGCGCTCCGCTGCGCCTCCGCCTCCTTCGTCGCGCGCGCGAGCGTCTCGGGGTCCACGTCGGCGCGGTGCCGGCAGTCCAGGCCCCGCCGGTAGCTGTCGCCGTCGCCGCAGTAGCCCGCGTGCGAGCACCAGTGCACGCAGCCGACGCCCCGCACCGTCCGCGTGCCGCCGTCGACGAGCGCGCCGTCCTTGCAGCGGCTGCACATCGAGCCGCGGTGGTCTCGCGCCGCCGACGCCGCGCGCAGCGCCGACGCCGCACAGACAACGATCAGAGGTCGCAGCATGCTTATTTATCGCGGTTTTCTGTATGCCAACGCGATCGCTGGCACCAATGCGTTCATATTTAGATCAATGCGACGTCGTCGCTTGCTAATCGAGGCTGCTATTCACGTTTTTGCGCCGCAAAAAACCGTGTAAAACCCGCAACCGAAACCGGTATGCAAATTTCATATCAGATCCATAATATAGGTCGGCCAGGCTCTCTCTCTTGACTCTTGCAACGCGCGCATGTTATAGGTCGCCCCGAGGCTGTGACACAGTGTCATCGCAATTTGTGCCTCGTCGCATCGCTGCAAGCTGCATCAAAAAGTCATTGAGCAGCTTAATCTGGCGACCATCACTGATCGACTCGGATAAAACGAGCAGCAACGCCCGTAACTAAGGCAAAGCCATGTCACGCAGCATTGCTCTCATCCTTGCCCTTGCCACTGGCGCGGCAGCGCTGCGGCCGCAGTGCCGCACCAGCCTCGCGCCGCGCCGCGATTTCTTGGGCGCCGCCGCCGCAGCGGCAACAACTCTGCTGCCGCAAGCGGCGCACGCGACGGGCAAGGCGACGCAGAAGACGCTGTTCCTGCGCTACGAGAAGCGGATCGCAGGGCTCGGCAGCTATTTCGATGAACTTGAGTCAGCTATTTCCAACGCCGACTGGGCGGCCGTCGCGACCGCGTGCGAGGCCGACACATCAAAAAAGGGCAAGATCGGGCCGGTCTACTCGGGGCTGACCGCGATGGAGCTCTGGGCGAACACGTACTCCGACCGCAAACAGTCGGTGAAGACTCAACGGATGCTCGCGGAGGCCGAGATCGTCGAGAAGACCCGCGAGTACGTCGCGGGCGTCGCGTGCAAGGGGACGGGTGAGTGCCTCAAGGCCGAGGGCGGCTTCTTCGGCCTCGGCGCGAAACCGGCGCCGAAGCCCTCGGATGGTGAACTGAAATCGGCCGCGCTCGGCGCGGTGAAACAGGCCCGCGGCGCGTTCAACCGCTTCGTCGCCCTGAACAACGAGGCGCTGCCCTTGGACATCAACGGGCTCGTGGCGATCGCGGAGTAGACCTAGTGTGCTGTAAAATGGTTCTACTTCTGCATCCTGAGCGGCTTCAGGACTCCTGCGTGAGCTAGCGGCCTAAGACATACTAGCAAGGAAACCTACTAGCCAGACGCCGGTAAGCTTTGGGCTCGGCGCGCAGCGGCTTCGTTACCACTTAACCGAACTGTTGCGTTGCCACAGGGCACACTCCGAGGTGCAATACCCACTGTAGCCGCTCCCCGCACGGCGCGGCCCCGTGTAACGGCCCTAAAAGCCGCAAGACCAAAAAACAGCGTTACGGCCCCCCGGAGCGCCGCGGAGCCTCAAGAAAGACAAAATGAGCGCCCGTAAGTCGCTGGGCGACGTCACAAATGACCTCCCAGCGCCGCCAACAACAACAACGACGGTCAAGCCGCCCACGCCGCCGCCGCCGACGACGGCCGCGCAGCGCCTCGCCGCGGCGGCGGCGGCGCGCCCGCCCGTCAAGTCGAGCGGCTACGGCCAGCGCTCGGTGACGGGCTTCGCGCACCAGCAGCGGCCGGCGGCCGCCACGCGCATCGCCGCCGTCGCGCGCGGCCGCACGGGCCGGCGCCGGTCGATGGAGATCCGGAACGCGCGCCCGACGACGTCGACGTCGCGCGGCCCCCGGTCGGTCATGAACCGGACGACGACGGCCAGCCGGCGGCGCGACGTGCGGACCTCGCAGACGACGCGCGCGCCGTCGACGGACCGCTGGAACTCGACGACGCGGTCGGTGTCGCGGCCGCGGTCGACGAACCTGTCGCGGTCGGCCGTCATGCCCTGCGCGCGCGCGGCCGCCGCCAAGGAGGACGCGGCGCCGCCGGCGCCCAACGCGGGCGAGATCGACAGCGAGGCGGCGATCCGCGCGGTCCGGGTCGGCGTCCTATTCCTTCAACGTGCGCGCGTCGCGACGACGGCGTAAACGCGAAAAAAAACTACGCAGGCGGCCCAGATCGCCGAGGTGCTCGAGAGCGTCGGCAAGGACTCGGTCGTGCCGGGCCTGCTCGCGTCGACGTTCGCGGGGTCGTCGGACGAGGACATCGCGCGCGCGTGCGAGAAGATGCGCGCGCCGCCGGGCGCGCGCTGGGACGTGTCCGCGAAGATCAAGATGCGCGACGAGAAGCTGCGCGAGGTGCGGACCATGCTGTCGCGCGTCGCGGAGCAGCGGCGCGCCTTCGGCACGCTCGTCACGAAGATCGAGGAGAAGCTCCTGAAGAACACGCGCGAGGAGCGCGAGCGCGCCGACAAGGCCGACCGCGCGCTCATCGTGGGCAGCGGCCTCGGGGACCGCCTCGAGAAGCTCGAGGCGCAGCGCGACGCGGCCGTCGAGGCGGCCAAGCTCGCCGAGGTCAAGCTCGCGGCGGCCGAGGAGGCGCGCGCCGCGGCCGAGGCGCGCGAGGGCGGCCTCGGCGCCGAGGCGGCGGCGGCGCGCGAGTCGCGCGACGCCGCGCGGAGCGAGCTCGCCAAATTAAAAGAGGCGTCGATGCGCGACGCGGGCCTCGTCGAGGGCGCGGTCGGTGCGGCTCACGAGCGGACGGCGGCGCTCGACGCGCGGGCGCGCGACGCGGAGCGCGAGCGGGACTCGCTGCGCGACGAGCTCGCCCTCCTGCGCGCGGGCTCGCGCGCCGACGGCGCGCGCGCCGAGGCCGAGGCGGGCGGCCTCGAGCGGCTCCTGCGCGAGGTGACGGCCGAGCGCGACGCGGCGCGCCTCGACGCCGCCGACGCGCGGCGCGCCCTCGCGGAGCAGACGACGCTCATCGCGCGCGCCGAGGGCAAGGCCGAGGCCGCGGCCGCGCACGCGGCCGACGCGCGCGCGGCGCTGCTCGCGGCCCAGCGCGACGCCGCCGAGGCCGAGGCCCGGGCCAAGGCCGCCGACGCCGCCGAGCGCCGGCGCTTCAGCGAGGACGGCCGCGAGACCGCGGCCGCGGGCGCGCGCGCCGCGGCCGAGCGCGCGGACGCGGCCGCGCGCCTCGAGGCCGCCGAGACGCGCGCGGTTTCTGCCGAGGCCGCAAAAAGGGACGCCGAGGCCCGGCTCCAGACCGCCGAGGCGGCGGCGCGCGACGCGGCCGCGGCGCTCGCCGCGCGCGACGCCGAGCGCGCGGCGCTCGAGGACGCCGCGGCGCGCGCCGACGGCGCCGCGGCGACGCTGCGCGAGGCGCTGCAGGCCGGCGAGGCGCGCGAGCGCGAGCTGAGCGCGCGGCTCGACCGGAACGGCGCCGCGGACGCGGCGCGCGGCGAGGCGCTCGAGACGCGCGCGGCGGCGGCCGAGGCCAAGCGCGACGAGCTCGCGGCCGAGGTGCTCGCGCTGACGGCGGCGGCGGCCGAGCAGCGCCTGCGCGCCGAGGCCCTCGAGGGCCGCGCCGGCGCGGCCGAGGAGAGAGCGAGAGACGCCGACGCGCGGGGCGCCGACCTCGCCAAGGCCCGCGACGCCGCGACGGCCGCCGCGGCCGACGCCGAGGCGCGCCACAAGGTCGAGGCGTCGCTGCGCGCGGCCGTCGAGGAGAAGGAGGCCGCCGAGCGCCGCGAGCGGACGGCCGCGCTCGCGCAGCTCCTCGCGCTCCAGACCAAGCAGGAGAGCGACGCCGAGGCCCACCGGGTCAAGACGGCGGCGCTCGCGGGCGGGCGCGCCGCCGGCGAGGCCGCCTTCGCCGCGGCGGCGCGCCTCGCGGCGCGCGCGCTCGACGACGCGGCCGAGGCGGCCGCCGCGCGCGAGGCCGAGCTCACGTCGCTCAAGGCGGAGGTCGAGCGCGCGAACGAGGTCGACGCCGCGGCCCAGGCCCGGGCGCTCGCCGAGGCGCAGGGCACCTGCGCGACGCTGGAGCGGCGGCTCGAGGCGGCCGAGGCCGACGCGGCGCGCGCGCGCGCGGCCGGCGGCGAGCAGCTCGAGGCCCTCGAGGAGAAGCTGCGCGCCGCCGAGGCGACGCGCCGCAAGCTGCACAACACGATCCAGGAGCTGCGCGGCAACATCCGCGTCTTCGCGCGCGTGCGGCCGTTCCTCCCCGGCGACGGCGACGCGGACGCGCGCAAGCCGGCCGTCGAGCCGGGCGCCGACGGCGTCAGCCTGGCGCTGGCCGGCGAGGCCGAGGGCGCGCCGCGGTCGCCGACGCGCGGCGGCGAGCACGACAAGCGGCGGCCGCGGAAGCGCGAGACGTACGCGTACGACCGCGTCTTCGGGCCCGAGGTCGGCCAGGAGGAGGTCTTCGGCGAGGTGTCGGAGTTCGTGCAGTCGGCGCTCGACGGCTACCAGGTTTGTTTGCTGTCCTACGGCCAGACCGGTTTTGCTTCAGTGTCCCGTCGGGTGCCGCCCAGACGCCATCGCGACGTGCGCCCTCGACGCTGTCGCCGCGACGCCATCGACGCGACCCACCACCAGAGATCTCACAACGCGCGCGACGCAGGCTCGGGCAAGACGCACACGATGCAGGGCGCGGGCTCGGGCCCCATGCGCGGCATCATCCCGCGGGCCATGGAGCAGGTCGCGGCCTACTGCGCGCAGCAGCGGACGCGCGGCTGGGCCTACGAGATGGAGGTCACGTACGTCGAGATCTACAACGAGCAGGTCCGCGACCTGCTCGGCGAGGACGCGGGCGCGCCGACGACGCGCGACTTCGGGCGCGCCGAGGCCCAGAGCGGGCTCGAGGTTTTTTTGCGGCGTCCTCTGTCCCTTCGTCGCGTCCTTCGCTTTGACTGCTCGGTGGCGTTCGAGCCCCCATCGCGGCCGCGGTCCCGTCGTCGCGCGACGTCTGAGCGATGTCGACCCACGCAGGTCCGGCGCGACCCGAAGACGGGCCGCGTCTTCGTCGACGGCGCCACGCGGCGGCCCATCGACCCCGCCGACGCGGCGGCCGTCGACGCGCTCGTGGCCTGCGCCGCGCGGCACCGCTGCGTCGCGTCGACGGAGATGAACGCCGTGTCGTCGCGGTCGCACGCGGTCTTCACGCTCCACCTGACGGGCACGAACGCCGAGCGGCGCGCGCGCCTCCGCGGCGCGCTGCACCTCGTCGACCTGGCCGGCTCCGAGCGCCTCGACCGGTCGCACGCCCAGGGCCAGCGCCTCAAGGAGGCCCAGTCGATCAACAAGTCGCTGTCCGCGCTCGCCGGCGTCTTCGCGTCGCTCAACGCGAAGCGGAGCCACGTCCCGTACCGCGACTCGCGGCTCACGTTCCTGCTCCAGCCGGCGCTCTCGGGCGACGGCAAGACGCTGCTCTTCGTCAACCTGTCGCCGACGGCCGCGTCGGCGAACGAGTCGCTCTGCTCGCTGCGCTTCGCGAAGCAGGTCAACCAGGTCGAGCTCGGCAAGGCGACGCGCGCCGTCGAGACCGTCTAGGCCGTTCCCCCCTACCACCCCTCCCCGCGGCTAAGCGCTGTGTATCACCTAGTCTTACTCCCCGCGGCGTCGTCTTTGAGCTTGAAGTCGTCCTCGTTGAACGGGACGGTCTCGAAGTACGTGCCTGATTTTGGCATTTTCGGGACCTTCCGTCGTCGTTTCTTTCCCCCGTCGGCTTCCGCGGCGGCGCGCTTGCTCCCGTTGCCGTTGGCGGCTTGCGCGTGGTCCTGCCAGTGCTCTTTGAGCGACAGGTCGTCGCCGCGGCTGATGTCGATCTCGAAGGAGACGCCGTAGGCGCCGGAGGCTTGGGCTGGGAGCATGGTGTTGTACACAGCTCAACCAGTCGCAAAAGCTCCGCTGCTTTGAGTGGTATGCGAAAAGCTCTGGCGCGCCGCGGGGCGCCTCTGTTTTTTGGGTTCTCAGCGCGCACAGGGCGGTTCCTCGTCTAGTTTTTTGCTGCCGCCGACGAACCAGACCTGTGGGCACCCAGTGACGCCGCGTTGCACGTCAGCGGACTGCGAGGTCCGTGTTCAGGCACCCTTCCCGATCGGCTATGTACCTTATAAGTTATACCTCGCTGGTAGGGACCCCCGTCGAGCCTGCCTCCTCTCCTGTTTTTAGTCCATCCCAGCAGCAAAACGCAGTGGAGCAGACCAGAGCTGACACAAGAGGCCGGTTTTGATCCATTGGCATCATCAGCTAAGAGACAGCTGTGAACCAATTGAACAAGCACCGCCCTGCTTAAGAGATGATGCGACCAGCCCTCCGGAGAGCATGCCTGCAGCCTGCGGCGCGCACGCTCACAAGCCGAAGAGCGCTGGCGGGGCGCGCCTGGGACGGCCGCCAGTCCACGGACCCCTGGCGCCGGGCGCCGGCCGGCGCGACGCGCGCGACTGCGCCCGCGCCAACACCGGCCGCCGCGCGGCCGCCGAAGACGGCCGCCGCGCGCGCGGCCGCCGCGGCGACGTCGCAGCTCAACGCCTGGCGGTCGGCCGTCGACTGGCAGTCGGTGCAGGCGCAGTCCGCGCGCGAGGTGCTGAACTCGGTCGCCGAGCAGAGCCGCCAGCAGTGGCGCGCGGTGACGGCGTTCTTCGCGGCGCTCGCGCTGTCGGCGTACTTCTTCCGGCGCGACATAAAGGATACGGTCGCCGAGGAGGCGGCGGAGCTGGGGGCGCTGACCATGTCGAACGAGGCGATCAGGGGGGAGGTGCGATCCATCGGGCGCTACCTGGCGCACGAGCTCCTGCACGACCCCGCCGTCGGCGACGCGGCGGCGACGCTCGCGGCGGACGTCGTGCGGCGGCCCTCGACGCGCGACGCGTTTTTGGACCTCGTGGTGTGGACGGTCGGCCGCGACGCGACGCGCCACGCGGTGCGCGGCCAGCTCGGCGCCGTCGTCGGCGATTTGTGTGACGACGAGCCGACGCGAGCGAAGTTCGGGACGTTGATAGCGGCGGCGTTGCAGACGCCCGCGGCGCAAGAGGCGATCGCGGTCGTCGGCGCGGACCTGATAGGGAGGGACACGACGCAGGAGGCGACGGCAGCCCTCGCGCAGCGCCTTTTAGATAGGGACGACGTGCGCGACGCCATCGAGGACGCGCTCGTCGACGCCGCGCTCGGCGCGCTCGACGACGCCGAGCTGCGCGACGGCGCGCGCAAGGCCGCGTCCACGACGCTCGCGGACCGCAAGGTCCAGAAGAGCGCGGGCGACGCGCTCTGGAACGCCTACAAGTATTCCATCGGCCTCGGACCGCGCCGCGTGGCGACGCCGTCGTCCGACCCGGCGCCGCCGACGCGGCGGCGGCGGAGGCAGGAGGCCTCGCAGAAGCCCGCCGACCCGCCCGCCGCGGCGGCGCCGCCCCCGGCAGCCGAATCCGGTCCGCCGGCCGCCGGGGCCGCGCCCGGGCCGCCGACGGCCGCGCGGCGCCAGTCGAAGTCCTGGCGCGAAACTGAACTCATCCGACCACCGTCGAGGTGACGTAATTTTGTTAGTCTACTACACATCGACTACTTCCAGCACGCCTCGCCGTCGAAGTCGCACTTGGCCTTGCCGTCGACCCAGTCGCGCCAGAGGTCGTGCGTGCCGACGGCGACGCGCAGCGCCTCGTCGCCGTCGATGGCGCGGCCGCCCATGCCGTACTCGTTCTCGCCCTTGCCCTCGGCCGTCTTGTAGAGGCGGTACCAGTCGCGCGCCTCGGCGACGCGGTCGCGCGGGATGTCGTCGACCGTGCGCCACGCGCTTGTGGAACTGTCGTCGGCGTCGACGACGAGCAGCTTCCAGTCCGTCTCGCCGCCGTCGACGAGCGCCAGCGCGCCGAGCACGCGCACGCGCTGCACGGCGCCGCGCGCGCACGGCGCCGCGTTGAGCTGGAGCACGTCGATGGGGTCGTTGTCGCCGCCGACGCCCGTGTGCTCGTCGGCGACGGCCGGGTCCTCCCAGGTCTGGCTGATGGCCCCGTAGTTCACGACCGCGGCGCTGTACTTGTAGAAGCGCGGGTGCGGGCCCTTCGTGTCCTGGACGAGCTTGTTGCCCTCAACAGACTTGTGGATTTCCAGTTTGGAGCGCGTCAGGCGCGGGATCTCGCAGACGAAGTGCACGAGGGTCTGGTCCGCGTCGGCCCAGAACGGCACGTCGTGCCACGGGCTCACGTCCTTGTCCCCGTACGAGTAGCGCAGGCGGTCGCCGTCCCGATGGATCTCGAGCTTGCGCAGGTCGAACTGGTCGGCCGACGCCGCGGCCGCGAGCAGCAGGGTAGGGAGCCTCATTTTAGCGCAGGCGCGAGCAGACCTCGTAGGCGAGGCGCACACAGGCAAAATAGCCACCGAGGTACAGGAAGTTGGTCTTGACGCTGAGCCACTCCTCGCTGGACTTCTTTGCGCTCTTCTTTTTGATGACAAACATCGATGCCGTCCGTGGCGACGACGAGACCTGCGTTTTTTTTCGAAATGAGCGGTGTGTCCGTCACTCCGCGTGTTCGGCGCGCGCTGTGCTCCGCCAGCTCCCCGGCCTCTCTGAGAGCAATACCGGACGCTACCTCGTGGTGGGCCGCGATTGCTGCGGGCGAACTGGAAAACGTTTTGATCGATTTCTCGCTTGTCAATTCGTCGCGCAGGGTCCGCACTGAGCCGCTGATAGCAAGCCGCCGCTGAATCGATTAGTGACTAAAGTGTGTCTATCCCGCTAGAGTTTAGTGATTTTTTAGTTACTTTGGCGGCGCGGAACGCGGCGGTGTTATCGACGCGCCGCTTGAAACACCGCACAGCTGTTCCTTAAGTTCGTTCGCCTGAAACGCCGTACAGTTCGTTCATACAGCCGCTTGCGCCCGCCGCCAGACGCCGCATCACTTTTGCTGCAGCATGCGCTGCGCATCCCTCTGGGCGCTGCTCGGCGCCGCGCGGGGCTGGGCGCCGCACCCACGCATCGCGACGGGCCCCGTCCCGCGCCCGCGCGGTGCGCCGCGGCGAGCCGTCGACTTCCGCCTCGCTGAGGACGACGCGGCCCCGATCGCGCTGCGCTGCACGAAGACGGGTAGGACCATAGACTGCTTCCCCGGCTGCTTCATGCGGCTCGAGGACGAGGGCGAGTGGTACGTCGTGGCGACGCCCTGCGACCAACCTGTTGCTTTTGCGCCCTCGATCGACGACGACGAGGACGACGACTGGGTCATCATCCAGGACGACGACCCGCGCATGGACGCGGTCTTCGCCGTGGCCGAGCGGGCCGTGGGGGAAGAATTAGAGGACTGCGCGATGGTGCGGTCGGCGCTCTTCCCAACCCTCAGAGGGGATTTGGACGACCAGCTCGAGGACGACGACGACGACGACGTGGACGACGACGAGTTCGCGCGGCTCGACGAGGAGGGCGAGGAGGACGACGCGGTGCTGAGCCTGCTCGCGACGTTCGACGTGCCCGAGCTCGGGCACGCGTACGACATGATGCGCATCGAGGAGCTCTACCAGCTCATCGCGAGAAGGGGAGACGCCGACGACTGTTTGGTGTACGACATCCTCGACGAGGCCGAGTCCGAGGTCATCCGGCCGCGCGTCGCGGCGGCGCTCGACGAGTTCCAGGACGACGACGGCGGCGACGACGACGACGCGAGCTAGTTTGTAAAACGCGTCGTTCGTCTGATCTAGTTGCTGACGCCTCCCTGTAGACTGAGAGAGATTTGGGACGCCCGGGTTTTTCAGCGGCCATGCCCTTGAGGGATACAGATTCGGTTTTCTGTAACGCTGAGTGGGACGAGGCAATAGCGTGCTACATGGGTCTGGTGAGCCCGGCGTGTAAGGGGCATGCAGCCCGGGGGGTCGTGCTGGATGTCACAGGCGCTCCGGGGCTGGACCCGTACGGCGATGAGCTAGGCTAGCGTCCACAAAACCGAGTAACTAGTATATATATTGCAACTCGCTCGCGCCGCAATCGGAAGAGTGCGTGCGTCCGTCGGCAATTCCTGGCGGCCAGGCGGCTCTGCTGCCACGCGGAGCTTCTGATCTCCGCCCGACGAGCCTTGAATTTTAAGTAACACCAAGCTCTAAATTTAGCTGCTCTGTGTGCCGCGGGAAATCATGACCTCGTCGCGCGGGACGACTGCCTACGGTGCTATTATGCTCGCGTTCCCCTGTGTGGATATCAATCGGTAGTCCGCGTGAGTCGGCGTGACCGACCCGACGGGTGGACGCATCTGTGATTTGACCTCCGCACGCAGGCGCTGACCCTCGTCATCATGGCCGCGATCGTGGGCCTGTTAGTATTGATGGTTTATCTGTGTACGAACATCGCCTACAAGTTCATCCCGGACAAGGCCAAGAAGAATGTCAAGCGCATGTTCACGCGCAAGAAGGACGGCGCGGCCGCCGACGACGACTCTGGAGCGGGCATCAAACGGGGGCGCTCCGTCGTCGAGGCCGGCCTGAGCTTCCGCGACACCGTGCTGGACTTCTTCTTCCTCCGCGAGCCGCAGTGCAAAATACCGAATTATACGGCGCCTTCGATTTTTCGACGTCATCGATGGCCTTCGCCGCAGTGCGACAGTCACTCCTACTCCCGTGCAGGCCGTCTACGTTCTGTATAGCGAGTTCCTCAATTTCTTCGTGTGGTTCATCAAATTCCTGCCGTTGTTTATTATTCTCTTTCCCATTCATAAAGCGATGTGGTTTGAGGAGAAGGACTTCGACGGCCCCATCCCGGCGGGCGCCGGCGCGGGCGGCAACCTCTTCGACTACCTGCTCTGCCGCAAGTCGTGCCGCTACTACCACTACGTCAAGGACGACCGCCCGCGCTGCGTGCAGCCGGAGACGCACAACATCTCCCGGCCGTCGATCCGGAACATCGTGGACGTGTTCCACGCCGAGGGATTCTCGACGATGCGGCGCTTCGACTCGACCTTCGGCACGACGGACCCCCACGAGGCGTTTAAGCCGCCCGTGGACGACGCCGCCGACGCTCCGGCGGAGCCCGAAACGGAGCGCGAGGGGACCGGCGACGCTGTCGACGACGAGGCGTCATCGGACCCATAGGGATTTCTAAGACTGGAGAAGGATTACGCCGCCGCCGCCTCGGGCTTGGCCTCGTGGCATAGTTCACAGGACGCCGCGTCGGCCGCGTTGCGCGCGAAGCACAGGTTGCAGCGCCAGCCGACCGCGGGCCGCGTGAACCGGAACGGTCGGGCCACCTTCTCGCCGAAGTTCTCGGGGGCGGGGCGGGAGGTGTAGCCCGCGCGGTACTTGTCGCGCCACTGCTCGAGCTTCGACCCGTACGGCGTCACGACCTTCGGCGCCTCGTCACTTCGGCGTGCCACGCGGCCGAGCGTTCCCGTAAAGGCGCCGGTCTGCTCCGCCGCCTCCGAGGGGGTCACGCGCGGCGCCGGCGAGACGACCGGCGAGGCGTCGGCCGGCGTCTTCGGCGGCGGCGTGTGCCGCGGCCGCAGTGCGAGCGGCGAGGCCTTCGCCGGCGACGGCAGCGCGAGCGGCGCGTCCTCCTTCGCCGGCGGCGCGGCGTCGTTCTCGTCGCGCGAGAAGAGGTCGCGGCGCACGGCTGTCTTTTCCGGCGTGGCCGCAGCAGGCGCGACGGGCGACCAGCGCACGCGACGCGGCGACGCGACCGCGGGCGACTCGGGCGGCGGCGGCGGCGGCACGTAGGGGTGCGGCGTGCCGCGCGGCGGCGACTTCGTCGCGCTCCGTCGCCCCGACTTGCCGTTCGACGCGGGCCGCGGGGACCTCGGGCTCCGTGCGGACCGGGGCTTGCCGCCCGACGTGGGCTGAATGTTCTCAAGCGCCTTCAGCGGCGTCCGGCGGCGCTTCCGCGGCGTCGCCGACGCGGGCGCCGCGGGTGCGGCGCGCTCCGTGCAGCGCCGCCACTCGCCGAACGCCTTGGCACGCGCCCCGTGCGCCTCGGCCGCGCGGGCGCGCGCGGCGAAGACCTTGCAGAAACTCCGCGCGATGTTCACATCGTCGAGCCGCAGTTGTGATGCCGCGGCGACGAGCTCGTCCTGGGGCACTGTGGCCTCCTGCACTGAAGCGGCCATCTCCTCGGTTCTCGCAGACCGCGGAATGGGGCAGCCTCCTTCTTGGGCACCGCTCGAACGTTTTCAGTCCGCGGGACGGGGCAGTTGTGGGCCAGGAAAGCGCCGCACTGATTTTGGGTTAAAAAACAAACTGAAGCTTGTTTGTGCTTATGATGAGACCACAAAGACCGGCTTGCTCGGCCTCCGGATGCGTCTCGTTATAATTATTCCCTCTTTTCTTCGTCCGGAAGTTTGAACTCAAAAACCCGTTTTTTCTGGCGTTTTTTGGCCGGTTTTTTTTAGCTAAAAACTGGGGCTGCGCGCTATAACTGCTCGCTAATTTGCGCATTGCATCTATAACTTTGCGCTGCGGCACCTGCCGTGACCGCTGGCAAGCAGTCTGCAGGCAGCAGCCGATCCCAAGCAAGCGTGCAAAACGGCGCCGCCGGAGAAGCGCAAACGCCGGACCTCAGGCATGGTGGACGACAACGGCGCGCCAGCAGCGCCGCCGGCGCGGCTGGAAGAGCTGCGCGCGCTGGTCGACGACGCGCTGCGGGGCGACTGCGCGGCGACGGCGGTCTGGTACGCCGACAAGCTCGCGACGCTGAGCCGGGGCGCCGTCGAGGACGAGCTGCGCCTCGCGCGCGCCTACGCCGCGGGCGGCGACCCCGCGCGCGCGGCGCGGCTGCTCGAGGCGCGCCTCGGCGCGGGCCCCGGCGCGCCGCCGCGGCCGCTCGTCGCGCAGTTCCGGCGCGGCGATCGAAGTTCGACAGCAGCACCAGAGCTGCGCGCGCGGCTCCTCGCCGCGCGCTGCCTCGCGCGCTGCGGTCGCCACCGCGAGTGCTGCGAGACGCTGGAGCCGGCCCTGCGCGACGTCGCGGCGGCCGACGACGGCGCGCTGCCGCGGGCGGGCGGCGGCCCTCCAGCGGCTGCGGCGGCACCTGCGGGCGTCGACCTCGCGGCGGCGGCGTGCGCGTGCGTCGGCGCGGCCTACGAGGCCCTGGAGAACCGGCCGCGGAGCGTCGCGTGGCTCGTGCGGGCGCTGAGGCTGGACGCGGGCTGCGCCGAGGCGTTGGACTTCGTCGTGGACCGGCGGCTGTTGTCTGCGGACGAGGAGGCGTGGCTGCGCGACGAAACGGCCGCGGCGCTCGAGGGTTCCGATAGGGCCTGGGTCGCGGCGGTCTACGGCGCGCGCCTCGGGTGCCGGGACGCGGACCCGGCCGGCGACGCGGCGCGCTTCGAGGCTTTAGAGAGGGTCCACGGATTGGGCGACAACCAGGAGGTGTTACGGGCGCGGGCGGAACGGTGCTACACGGCGCACGATTATAGAGGAGCCTACGAGGTCGCGCGGCGCGTGAGGGAACGGGACCCCTACGACTTTGGCTGCGCGCCGGTCTACCTCGCGTCCTTGGTCGAGCTCGGCGCGAAGCACGAGCTGTTCAGCACGGCGCACGAGCTGGCCAAGGCCTACCCTCAAAAAGCTTGTTCGTGGTTCGCCGTCGGCTGCTACTACCTACTGGTAAAAAAGAACGACCAGGCCCAGCGCCACTTCCACAAGGCCTGCAAGCTCGCGCCGCGCTTCGCGCCGGCCTGGATTGGCTTCGGCAACGCCTTCGCGGCGCAGGACGAGAGCGAGCAGGCCATGGCCGCCTACCGCACCGCTTCTAGGTTATTTCAAGGGTCGCACGTGCCGCTGGCGTACATCGGCATGGAATACCTGCGGACGAACAACCTGCCGCTGGCGAAGCACTTCCTGCGGGGCGCGAAGAAGCTCTGCGCGTCGGACCCGCTCGTGGCGAACGAGCTGGGCGTCGTCGAGATGCGGCAGGGTCTCCTGGACGACGCGTGCCGCACGTTCCAGGAGGTGCTGCGGTTGCTGGAGCGCCTGCCGGAGCGCGCGCCGCTGCGGCGGGCCTGCGCGGCGTCCGTCTTCAACCTCGCCCAGTGTTATCGCAAAAGGCGCCGCTTCGAGGACGCGGCGCGCGCCTTCGGCGTCGCGCTCTCGCTCGAGCCGGGCGACGCGGCCGCGCGCGGCGCGCTCGGCGTCGCGCTGCACGCGCTCGGCGGCGCGCACGTGCACCGCGCCGTCGAGTGCTACCACGTCGCGCTGGCCATGCGGCCCGACGACACGTTCTGCTCGGAGATGTTGAGTCGGGCGCTGCGCGACGTCGCCAGCGTGGACTTCGACGACGCGGCGCTGCTCGCCGAGCACCGCCTTGCCGCGGCGCGAATTGATGACGACGACGATGCGGCGATGGCGTGACTTCTAACTTTGGCTAGTGCTTAGCCGGCTTACCGTGCGTTTCTGGAGTTTTCGCGTGATTGCTAGTGTCTTACAGACCGCTAGCTCGTCCTGAGCGCAGGAGTCACAAAACTTGATTGCTCGGCTCCAGAGATTGTCAGACACTCTTGTCAGACACTCAGTGACTTCGCGCTTGTGCCTTTCCGAACAGCTGTCGCAGTGCTGGGCAGTACTGCGAGCACTGGAGGCCTCACAGGCTACACTGCTGAATCAGCCCAGATCTTTGGCTGACCAAAAAATGCTCTCCCGTGGCGCACCACACCGCATACGAGCACTGCGAAGAGCCATGACAACAACGCCAAACCCGGCGACGCTCGCGGCCTTCCGGCGGCTCATGCGCGCGCGCGCGGCGCTCTTCGCCGACGACGCGTACGCCCTGGACGCGTCGCGGACGAAGCTGCGCGACGAGTTCATGCAGCACCGCGGCTGTACGGACGCGGGCGAGATCGACGAACTCCTCGCGGGCGCCGCCGAGGTCGAGGATTTGTTACGGAACAACGTCGTCCAGGGCCGCCGGCAGGAGGCCTCGGGCGCCTTCAAGTTCAAGGTCAAGGGCGCGTCCGGCGAGGACGAGCTCGCGCACCGCGCGGAGCCCGTCGACGACCTCGAGATCGCGCTCGCCGAGGCGGAGTTGGAGGGTAAGAAGTCTTAGCCTACTACGCCGCAGACTTCTTCTTCTTCTTCTTCTTGGCTTTGATCAGCTCGACGTCGCCCGACGCCTCCTTGCGCTTCTTCTTCTTCTTCTCTTTCTTCGAGGAAGACGGAGCGTCCGCCATCTCTACGTCCTCGCCGCGCTCGGCTCTCAAGGCAGCGGCGACCTCCTGCATGACGTCGACGTTGCGCCGCGGCGTCTCGCCCGAGTCGAAGAACTTGAGCCGCTCCTCGACCTGCTCGCGCATCGAGACGCCGTACTTGTCCGTCAATTCATCCGCAAAAGCGTCGATGCGCGACGCCATGGCGCACTTGTTCGCGAGGTAGCGCGAGACCCGGCCTTTATTCTTCTTCGCGGCCCGGCCGATGAATGTACTATGATAGATAAGGCCGTATTTCGGGGTGTTGCCCTTCTTCTTCAGAGCGCGGAACAGGGCCTTCTCCGCGCCTAGAATCTGGACCGTCGACGCGGGGCACTTCGCTAGCGATGCGAGACTTCCAGCCTTGGCTATTAATCGAGCGCCGACGCTATCACCGACCAAGGTAGATAAGTTCGGTGCCACGGCCTGCATCTTCTCCCCTAAATATTTGGACAGATCAGCCCTATAGGTAGCGAGAGCCACCATTCTTTTCGTGAACGCCATCACATTAGCCATGTCGCCCGCCGAACAGTCCATGCCCATGCTTTGTCTAGCTGCCTTCACTATACTATCAGCCAGCTGCACGCCGTCGTCGGACGCATCAGAAGGATCGCGCACGGCACTCGCGAGGTCGTCCTTGGCACTTTCGCCGTTATCTACAGATTCAAGAAAGGACGCCCGATCGCCCACGACGCAAGCGGCACGAGCGAACGCGTAGTTCTCCCTCACTAAATCCTTCAATTCCGGAAAGTGCCACGAGTACCACTCCTTGACGCGCATCGAGAAGGTGTTCACGTCCTTGTCCAAGGTATCTAACAGACCGATGGCCTGGATGATCATGTTGTCGGCGCGCGCGGGGTTGAATTTCACTTTGCATCTCGAGAAGGCGTGGCCCAGGCCCAGTTGCGCCTGCTCCAGCAGGTTGTTCTGCAGTTCCGGCACGAACTTTGTCAAATGCTGCGTCGCACCTCGTAGCAACTCCCGGACCACATCATCTGAGCGGCAGTGGGCGCCCGTGGCCTCGGCGATGGCCTTGCCCAGGTCCGGCTCGACGACACCCAAACTAAATGCGGGGCCCTTCTTCTTCTTCTTCGAGGACACGGGCGGCAGATTCGTCTCGAGGAACGACTTCAATCGATCAGGGACACTATGCTCGGCGATGGCATTGATGTTTTCTAGGGCTTGTTCCGCCGAATTGAAGGCAATAAAAGCCTTCAGCTTGCAGATGCGCTTGAAGGCGTCCGCGTCGGCGATGGCCGCCTGGAGCTCGGGGGTTAGCGACGCGACCTCGTCCAACTCAACCACATCAAAGAGCGCGTAGCCCGACGCGGCCTCGTGGAGCACGTAGAGGGCCGAGGCCTTGCTCATCGTGCGCGCGCGCCGCGGCGGTGCCCGGTGCCTCGCTGCCTTGAGTCCTTTGCAGGCCTGTGGCGCGGGCCGGCTCTTTTTGTACGCTAGCAAGAATAAGGGCGAGGAAGGGCAATAACGCTTGCGAAGGCTGTCAATCGCTGCCTCCGGCGCGTCGCCGCCCCGCTTTGCGCCTGCTGCAGTCTGCTCTCTTGCCCCGGCCGGACCCCTCCTCAGAGCCCAACCGATGCCCTGATGAAGCCCACCGATACTTGCCAGTGCACTCTGAACGAAGAAAAGCGCCGTGCGGGGGCTAAACCTTGCCCACCGCCACGAGCCGCAACAGACAAGACGGCTGCAGGACTCGTGCCCGCCGCGCAGGTGCTGGGGAGCCCGGGGACGTGTCGGCGAGCTCAAAGGCTAGAGGGCAATTTGCGCCCAGTCCAGCGCTCGGCTGCCTGGCTTTTTGGGCGCCGCGCTCGACGCCTGAAACCGCAGCCCGTGCCGCGGAGCCGACAAGCGACACTACCAAACATCCCGCGGGAGCCGACGAAGCGCCGCGCAAGCCCGCCAGGCATAGAGTAGGGGGCTGCCCCGCCAGGCAGGATGGCGAACCAGGCGGCGCCGCCGGCCTTCAAGGACCTCACCGAGTCCGAGTACCAGAAGGTCGTGTCGAAGCCGGTAGTCCAGTCCTGCGACATGGTGCCCGCGGAGCAGGCGAACGAGGCTGTGGAAGTGATAAGTATGGCGGTCGACAAGCACGTTTCCACCGGAAACTACGAGGCCATGTGCAAGATCGTCAAGGAGACGATGGACCGGAAGTACGGGCCCCAGTGGCACTGCGCGATCGGCGAGGGGTTTGGATTTGACGTCACGTACCAGCAGCCGAACATGATCTACGTCTACTACGGCAAGATCGGCATCCTGCTCTTCAAGTGCTAGGCGTTTTTATAAAGGCGTGTGGATTTTTCTTCTTCTTGGTGGGGGGGGGCTCGTCGGCCGGGGTCGCGTCTCGACCGGTCGCCGGGTGCGCTAGGCGCGTCGCGGAGACCGCTCCTCCGCCGTACTACTCTTCGACGCGTGGCTTCTTGGAATTTACTTTTCGGCCGCGCCGGCGGCGTCGACGGATGCGCCTTCTACGCGTGGTCGTCGCGCCCCCTCGAGGGTCGTCCGTGCGAGTAGGCCGCTTCTCCGTGGCGCTGGGGCGCGGTCTTTTCCGACGCGTACCTTCTTGGTTTTTTTACCTGTCGGCCGCGCCGACGGCGTCGCATGCATATTCGTGCGGGTTTTGGGCTGGGCTTGATTGTAAAAAAAGCAGTCCTTGTCCGGCCAGCGCTCGCGTTGCTGGGTCAAAACGATCATAACAACTCGGACGTTGTCGCTGCATCGCACGGACGCGTGCGAAACTGACAGAGAAGCCCTGCAGCCGAAACCGCTGCACACACGCGGCGCAAGAACTCCGCACGCGACGAGGGAAGGGCTACGCAACGCAGCAATGGATGAGGCAAGAGACCCGCTGCCCGAGCTATCCTTCCGCGGATTAACAGAAGACGACCACGCCGTGATCAAGGCGCTCCACGAGGACTGGTTCCCCGTGCGCTACTCGGCGGGGTTCTACGACGCGGCCGTGCGCGGGCGCATGGTCGGCACGGGCGAGGCCATCTTCCACCTCGTGGCCGAGGACGCGCGGACGCGCGAGATGGTCGGGCTCGTCACCGCGCAGCTCACCGATGCCAGGAGGTGCGGCGACGCGTTGTTTGAGCCGGCCCGTGATTTTGATTTAAACGAGTGCGAGCGCGTGGTGTACGTGCTGACGCTGGGGACCGTCGCGAAATATCGACGACGGGGCGTCTCCACGGAGTTATTGAGGAGGTGCCTCGCGCGCGCGGAAGCGGAGCCGCGCTGCGGCTGCGTCTACCTCCACGTCATCACGTATAACGCGGCGGCCATCGCCTTTTACGAGCGCGCCGGCTTCGAGCGGGTCCGGGAGATCCCGAACTACTACCGGATTGAGGGAGAGGACTACGCGTGCTATGTCTACGCGCGCTTCCTCGACCGCGCGCGGCGGGCGCCCGGCGCGGCGCCGTCCCTCTGGCTCGCGTCGTCGCTCGCGGGCCTCGTGCCGGCGGCGTTCCGGAGCTGCTTCAAGCGGCGGCTCTGGTGAACTTTGTTCGGGCTTCTCTGTGTTTTTTGGTAAGTTTGTGCTAGCAATTTGGGTCCGTATTGGCGTCCTGTAGAGGCGTCCTGTGGGCGTCCGTTTGTTTGGGGCCCTGAGGCGCGTTTTCTGTGCCGTCAAAGCCCAGAGCTCTCTGTGGTCTCGTCACGGGTCTGTGACGAGTTTTAGCCGTCTTTGCGGCGGCGCCACTAGCTCGATGGCATTTGCGGGACCGTATCGTAGACTGAAAGTTGGCATTTACTCCGCGTCTATCCCAAACCACTGCCTGTACGTGTAAGCAGTTGCTCTTACGTCACGTCTACTTCTTTGGAGCAAAGAGATTTTGCGATCCGAGGCGGCGGAGCGGAGATAAGGCCAGGGCGAGCTGGAGACCTCCGTGGCCGCCGCGACGGCTCGGCGCGGCCGCGGCTGCAGCGGAGGTCCTAGCGAGCTGTTTGCGCCTGCCACTGCTGGCGCAGCACAACTTGCGTCGCAGCTGGAAGCCCCCAGCTGCCTCCGAGCGGTCATGCCGCGCCGAGCGGTCCGGATAGGCCGCGAGCGGCACGCCCGCCGATGCGCCGAAAGGCCGTCGTTTGGCCGTCGTTTGGAGCGTTTGGCGGCCGCGGCCTGCGGACCGGCGGCCTGTGGAGAGACCACGAGGAAACCGAGCGAGAGAGAGACAAGTCCGTCGAGAGAACTAACCCCCCCGCCCCCCCGCGCAGACGTGACCATGGCCAAGACCGCGGCGCTCTCGCTCTGCCTGGCGGTCGCCTCGGCGTTCCAGGGCCCCGCGCCGGCGCGGCCCGCGCCGCAGCTCGCGGCGTCGCCGAACAACCAGTACCAGAACGCGCTCGGCGCCCAGGCGCCGGCGGGCTTCTGGGACCCGATCGGCATCTCCGACGGCATCAGCCCGGAGCAGTTCCAACGGTACCGCAACGTCGAGCAGAAGCACGGCCGCATCGCGATGATCGCGACGATCGGCTACGTCGTGCCCGAGAAGTTCGGCACCTTCGGCGACATCAAGCTCGGCGGCGACGTCAAGTTCTCGGACGTGCCGAACGGCGTCCAGGCGCTGTTCAAGATCCCGGCGGTGGGCCTCCTCCAGATCCTCCTCCTCATCGGCATCCTCGAGACGCAGTTCCCGAACGAGAACGGCGACTACGGCACGGGCTACTTCGGCCAGTCGCTCGAGGAGCCGCTCAAGAGCCGCAAGCTCGCCATGGAGATCGCCAACGGCCGGCTCGCGATGCTCGGCATCATGGGCCTGCTCGCGCAGGACGTCGTCACGGGCGGCCACCCGCTCGCCGGCCCGAACTTCGGCGAGGGCGGCTTCGTGTCGCTCTAGGTTTGTTCGTCATTGGAGCCGCGCGCTCGGGACGGGCGCGGCGCGTCTAAAAAAAACTGAATGGTACTACACAACTATAACATCTTGCGCCGCAGCTCGAAGCGGCCGACGACGCACGGCTCCGTCGTCCAGCCGACGCAAACGATGCCTGAGGCGCACGCGATTTCCACGTCGTCGTCGTCCTCCGCGAGGAGCCCTACGAAGAGCAAGTCGCTGTCGATCCAAACGCCAGAGCTCGTCGTCGCGTCTCGCGAGCCCGTCCGCCGGCACCAGAGGAAGATCTCCCGGCCCTCGCCGCCGACGCCGCGGAACAGGTCGAAGTCGCCCTCGTAGACGTTCCACGTGCCGGCAAGGCGCGCGGGCCGGGACACCGGCTTTGAGGCGGATGCGGCCTTTGCAAGCCATTCACGATCTCGCCGCGTTTCTCCCGCAGTAGCTCGTTCGAGGGACGCGACGGCGTCGAGTGCACCGCGTGTGTTGGTGATTGAGCGCGAAACAGCGACGCCTGCCGCGCCGTCGAAGCCTCCGCTCGACTCCCACGTCAGGTCGGCTTTCAGGTCGACGTCGTAGCAGACGGCGCCCTCTTCAGTCATCCAGACGAGGTAGTGCGGTCCGGCGACGGCGTCGGCGCGGAAGTTCGGCGCGCTGAGCGGTGGCGACGGCAGCCAGACATGCGTCTCGGGCCAGAGCGGCGCGAGCGTGAAGCGTCCAATCCACTCGGGCTCGTGGGCCCCGAGCGTGACGTGGCCCGCGTAGCGGCTAAGCGGCGCGTCACGGTCAGCGGGCATGCCCGTATACCACTCGACTGGGCTCTGCCGCTCGAAGCGCGCGAGCCGCAATTCTTGATCCTCCCCGTCGCAGTACCACCGGCCGTTGAGTTTTTCTGCGAATGCCCTCATGGCTTCGTCGTCGCCCTGGGAGGTGGCCGTGAAGGTACCGGAAGCTTTCAGGTTCACAACGATGTCTTGGCAGTCGCCTTCGTCCTCACAAGTCCGTTGCAGCCGCCAGAGGCCGCGGAGCGACTGGCGGCCCCTCGCGAAGTCCGGCTCCGGGAACGCGCCCTCGCGAAGTCTTATTCTATGGCAGCGCGGTGGCCGCGGCGGACTCCACGCGATGGCAGGTGCGAGCAGTGCGATGCATAGCCACATCGCTGCAGTGCTCGGAGAGCCTGCAGCCTGGACACTGATCGTTAAACTGATGGGCTCCGATGCGTGCAGCCGATGTTGCGTGGTTGCACCCAACGTCTCGCGTGCACTGAGACGCAGTCGACGATCAATGCTGCGATATGACTGCAAAGCAAAAACCCCAAGTGACAGCCTAAGTGTGTCGAAACGCTAGCTAATCACGCATAAAACACACACCTTACGTAGTAGTATCCCCTTTCCTATCTTCTCGTAGTCTTCTGTCTTAGAGGGGGTGCGCCTAATCGACCTGCCGCGCGCGCGGGAGCGGCTTCTTGCGGACGAGCACGAAGAATTTCGTCGGCGGCCCACCTCGTTGGTAGCCCAGCGTGATGTCGCGCTCGATCGACCAGCCTTCCTCGAACCACCAATTTAATGGGCGTGTACACCTCCGGCCCCTGGTGCGGAAGCCAGCAATCATCATCGGCTCGTCGTATGCAGGATCCAGGAAAAGATCGACGACCTTGCGCTCCACCTCCTGTTCGTGCTCGTCAGGAGCGAGCGTCACGCGGAGTGGGGGGCTCACGGCCCGGGGGGGCGCCTCGGCCGCGAGGTGGTCGTCGGCCGCGCACGCGGCGGGATCGTCCCAGGTGGTCAGGCCGGACACGGTGTCGTGCCAGTAGGGCCGGCCCGACGCGTCGTCGACGTAGCGGGTCCAGCGGGCGGGCCGCGGCGGCGGCGGTGGCGGCTGCTCGTCCGAGATCCGGGCCGACGCGACGGCCGCGGCCAAGCCGTCTTCCCCGTCCTCAGGGGCCGCGTATCTTTCCGCTGCGGCCGCCGCGTCGGCATCCTCTAACCCTGTAGGCGGAGGGCCTGGCGGAGGGCCTAGGACGGGTGTGAGCGCTCGCGTCTCGCCCGTCGTCGAATTGAGCCAGAAGCGTCTGCCCGCCGGGTCATCCACGACTTGCCAGGGGTTCTGGAGGATCGCCGGGGCGGCGTACGACATGCTGGCGAAGGCTGCAAGCGCGCCAAAACTAGGCGGTCACTGTGCTCAAAATCTTTCTCAAAATGAGACTCTGCGACTTGGCGACTCGTTCGTCCCGCCCGGGCCAACTTGGAGAACGGTCCCTGTCGCCAGCGAGCGTGGTGTCTAGGTCGATTGGTCAATTTGTAATCGCACAACAAAACCCGCGCTGTTCTAGTAGATAACATCACAAGCCTTACTTCGCGAACCCAATATACCGCAGCGCGGACGAGAACGCGCTCTCGGCGGGCGGCTCCTCCTCGGGCGCGTCGCCGTCGCCCGACGCCGCGCGGGCCCGCCGCGTCGCCGCGGCCGTCGCCGCCCGGAGCGCCTTGAGCCACTTCGCGCGCTCCTTCTGGTCCGCGCAGCGGAAGGTCCACGTCCGCGTCGCCGTCGCCACGTCGAGCGCGTGCGGCGCCGCGCGCCGGTGGAAGATGGACTCGGCGACGTGGCCCCCCGCCAGGTCGACGTGCGCGCAGGTGCTGCGCTCGAGGGCCTCGGCGTCGAGCGCGCGGCCCCAGGCGACCTCGGGCGCCTCGCCTTCCTCAGGCACGACAAGAGCAGGGTCCGGCGCCAGCTCCGCGCGCCAGAACCAGAGCCGGTCGCGACACACGACACACGTCCGCCTCCTCCAAAGGTTCGGGTCGCGCGACGACAGCTTCAGGAGCGAGCCCACCGTCGTCGCGTCGTCCTCGAGCCAGCGCCGGTCGACGACGGCCATGGCCTTCGTGGACTCGTCGTCGGACGCGTCGGACCCCGACGCGTCGTCGGCGTGCGGCAGCTCAAAATCTAAAGGTGGCGCGTCGGCGTCGTGCAGGTAGAAGCGCACGTCGTCGTCGGCGTCGAAGCCCGCCGCGGCGAGGAGCGCCTTGCGCCGCGCGGCGAGGACCGAGTCGGCGCGCAGCAGCGTGCGCACGCGCCAGACGACGTTCTCGCGCCGCGGCGGCGGCGGCGCGCCGCGCGGCCGCGGCTGGCGCGCCGACCGGCGCTCGACGGGGTACGCGCAGACGAGGCGCTTCGACAGCCGCTCGTCCTCGCTCATGCGCAGCTTTTTGGCTACGAGTTCAATGGTCTCTGCCGCCGTCGTGCCCTCCTGTACGCGGACGCCGGCGTAGGCGACGGCGTGGCCCAATGCGCGGATGCGGATGAAAGCGCCCTCCACCGTCGGCGTCTCGTCTCCGGTTCGGCTCATCGCTGTGCGCTCAACTTATTGTTTCAGCAGCGTTTGTCGAGGCACAGCTGCTGGGATGGGGCACTTATATTATTCAGCAGCGGTGGCGTCGGTAGAAGAGCTCTGTGCTGCTGGGATCTATAAACTGCGCTTCTTGCCACCCCGTATCCGCGTGTAACCGCGGTGGCTTGGCTGTCTTGCGGAGACTGCGAGTTAATTCGAGCTGTCCTAGCGAATGAGGCACTAGCAATCGCCTGGACGAGACGTGTAGCTCGCGCGCGTTTCGTCTTCGAGACGTCTCCGGGCTGGTTATGGTGCAGGGGAGGCCTTGGACCCGTGGGGCGTCGGCTGACTGACGTAGCCGTCGCCGAAGCGCCCCGCGCCGACATTCACGGATGAGTCTTTCGGCTCGCCAAAATACACCAGCGATTGACGCCGCCATCTACCATCCGAATAGTAGATTATATCAACTCCAGCCCACTTTTTATACAAAATAAACGGAACCGGAGCCGACGGCCCGCGCTCGGAGGGCGGGAGAAGAATTCTACCTGACAACTCCCGAGTTTATGTTCGTTTCCTTCCGTTTGTTAGTGGTAGAGTCCATCTAACCCGCATCAGTGCCCACTGAGCTATTTGAGATGCTCCGTTAGAGCCGCGCGATTAGGCGAACTCGCGGCCTGCGCGTTTAGGCAAAGACGGGCAACAATCCTAAACCCGCGAGTATCAGCGACGCCACCATACAGATGGACCATAACGCCGTTGTTCTATTCACGATCGACCGACTTGCCCGTTCTCCGCGGTCGACGGTGCGGAGACGGAGCACCAGAAAGGCCCCAGACCGGTGAGTTATAAAATAAATTTGCGTTTCAGGCGCCTCGGGTATGGGACGGGCCAGATAACCGGCCTGAACACCTACTACATTGGATTTCTTGATCCGTATGCTCCGGGCGGCTCTTCCATCGCGGGACCCCACGATCTCACATATACGGGCGAATTACTTAGACCTGCGACCATCAGCCCGTCTAACATCACCATGGACCATGACGCGATCATTTGTTTCATGACCGACGGACTTGCGCGAGCTCCAGATCAAGATGTTCACGTCCCGAGCGTGGGCAGCCAAAAGTACCCTTCTTATAATGTAGATGTCATATACTTGTAATTGACTATCGCTGGGGTAGTATGGGGTCCAACGAGACCGCTAGTACGATTCCTGGGGGGCCTCGGGTGATTGACGTATTGACGGGGGACGAGGCGCCATCGGGGCCAAATAACTTACTTTTTTCGGGGACGGATCGGCTCCTGGAGGCCTCTCAGGGTAGGTCTGGTGGTAGGTAGTCGCCTGCACCGCATACGCCGTCAATGCGGCAGCCTAGTGCTCTCAGAGAGCCCTGGAAGCAAACCTCGGCCAAAAGTTGCTATTGCTCCGTGGTCTGCTGAGAGAAATCGGCCAAAAATGCTTGAAGCGGCGGCGCATGCGGCGTAGGCGCTTGCACGTGTATAGTACGGACCCTGAGCGACCCCAGGGACACCTCTTCGGCGGGGATTGACAGGATTTAACCGGCGCGGCCGCCATAGACCGTAGGGCGCCCTCGGCCGCGAATTAAAAAAATTCCATTTTTGGCCCCCAGTAAGTGTCCCATTGATCTCTTTGGACCAGTAGCTAACTGAACGATACTCAAACAGCTGCATATCGTTCCTGTTTGCTAGTGTCTTACATGCCGCTAGCTGGCGCCGGCGCCACGCTTTTTGGGCTCGAGCGGAGCGCAGCCGTGCACATGTTGCTCGCTCACCAGACGCAAGGGATTACGCGGCAGCTCTGACCAGCGCACAAGCGCCCGTCAGCACTCTACACGTCCACAATTCAAATACAAGCCACTTTTGCATCGAGACCGATCTGCAGCGCACAAAAAGATGCCGCAGCCCCTCTTCGCCTTCGAGGTCGGCAAGTCGCAGCTCAAGGCCTTCTCGGGCGCGGTGAGCGCGCTGGCCGACGTGGGCAGGGAGCTCGAGCTCGTGGTGTTCACGCAGGACGACGGCGAGCCGGCGGTGTCGCTGCTGGCCAAGGACGACGGCGACACGGTCTTCGGGACTTGTATCTTTGAAAGACGCTTCTTCTCGCGCGTGGCCGTCGACGCGACGCTCACGGTCGCCACGCCCTTCGCCGGCAAGCTCGTGGCCAAGGCGCTCTTCCCCGCGCTGCGCCGCGCGGCGGCGCGCAGCCACGCCGGCCGCGCCGCGGACGGACGCAGCCCGCCGGCCGAGCGCGCGGGCGCGGGCGTCGCGTCGTTGATCATCAAGCACGACGAGCCCGCCGGCGCCGGCTCGGACGACGACGCCGAGGACGACCGGACCGCGCCCCGCATTGTGGTCGAGACGCGGCACGACGACGGCAGCCGGAGAAGGTGGCGCCTCTTCTACGACAGCTCCGAGGGCCAGACGAACACCTTTGAGGTGAACGCCGCCGACGTCGGCGAAATCACCGCGCAGCCGCCGCAGTTCGCGGAACTCCTCGCGCACTGCGCGGCGAACGGCGAGGTCACCTTCACGCCGACGCCGGCCGCTTTAGAAGTGCAGTGCCGCACCGACGGCGGCCGCGACGACGACGACGTCGTGTCGGAGCTTAGCATTCAAGCGGCGGACTTCGAACAGTACGTGCTGCCGGACGGCGCGCGCGGCGATTCCAGGGATGCCATCGCGTTTCAAGCCAGGCAGCCCAAGGCCCTCGTGAAGTGGTGCGACGCGGCCGACGTCCTCGCCGTGAACTTCTACTTCGGGCGGCTGCCCAAGCCGGTCTGCCTCATGGCCCACGCGCCGGCCGGCGCGAACCTGCGCATCGTCGCGTCGACGCACGTCCCGCCCCGCGAGGGCGACGCGCCGGCCGCGCCGGCGCCGGCGCCGGCGGCGCGGGCGCCGCCCCGCCGCGACGCGTACGCCGACGCGCGGCTGGCGCCGACGGGCCTGCACCGCAAACGGAAGCATTCGGCGGACGTCCCGCCGACGATCCCCTGACATGTGTGGACGTGTGTGTAAGAAAGAAAGAAAGCTCTAGCCACCCACGAGAGCCATCCGGAAGCGACCGGGAGACGTCTCCCCGGGGGCGCGCCGGGCGCCGGGCGCCTCGCGGGCTTCAGTTTCAAAGTTTGTGCCGTCTCTGCCATTTGCCGGCGCTCCTCCAGCCGAGAGGAACGCAGCCGAGGCTGCCCCGACGCGCACAAACACACGAACACACCATGGGCGCGGGCTCGTCCGTCGACATGGCAAATGCGGGGTTGGAGCTGCCCGACGGCGGGCCGCCGCCACCCGGCGCCGACGCCGAGTTCGACGCCCTCGTCGAGGCCGAGATGCGCAAAAGGAGCTCGGGGACGGAGCCCGGAATCGCGCCGCCGCCGCCGCGCGGCGCGGACCCGGCCTTCGACGCCATGGTCGAGGCCGAGATGGTGCGCCAGCGGGGCTTCGCCGAGAGCTACGCCGCGCGCAACCGGGACCTGTTTGATCGCGACCGCGCCGTCGACGACGCGCGCATCCGCGCGGCCGTCGAGCGCGCGTCGGACCGGCGGGCCTACGACGCGCCGCGCGCGAGCGAGCCGCCGCCGCAGCAGCCATCAAAGCCGTTCGCCCCGCTGGGCGCGCCGCCGGAGCCGTTCAAGCCGACGGGCGACCCGCGCCGCGACGCCAAGCTCGCGTACGCGGCCGCGCTGCGCGAGCAGATGGCCGCGCCGAAGAGCTCGCTGCGCCGGAGCTGGGGCTACGACGCGCTGCCCGACGACGACGCGCTCCGAAGCCCGCCGCGCGAGAAGGCGCCCCCGCGGGACGACGTTCAGGCCCCGGGCCCCCTCGGCGGCGCCTACGCGCTCCGCCCCGAGCAGGAGCCCCGCCGCCTCTCCTACGCGCCCGCGCAGCCGTCGCCGGAGCGGCTCGCGCGCGAGGACTACGCCCGGGACCTGGAGCAGCAGATGCGCGAGCGCGAGGCGCGCGACCGGGCCGCGCGGGCCGAGGCCGCGTCGCCGCCGCCGCGGCGCGCGCCCGTCGGCGCGTTCCCCGGCGCGGCGGCGGCGCCGGCGGCGCCGGCGGCCTTCTCGCCGCCAATGAAGCAGGCGGCGGACCACGCGCTCCAGGGCCGGCGCGACGCGCGCGCGAAGCACGTCCGCGAGGTCTACGGCGCGACGGGCGTCGCCGCCGCGGCCTTCGGCGCCCCCGGCGCCGAGGCGCCGGCGGCGCGCGCCAAGTCGATCACGCGGCCGCGCGACGCGGGCCTGGAGCAGGACCGGCGCGCCAAGGCCCTCGAGCAGAAGGCCGCGCTCGAGGCGCAGATGCGCGCGAACCGCGAGGCCAAGGAGGCCGCCGACCGCAAGCGCCGCGAGGAGGACGCCGCCGAGGACGCGAAGTGGGCCGCGAAGGAGGCCGAGGACCGCCGCCGCCGCGAGGAGGGCGAGCGCGCCAAGAAGCAGGCCGAGCAGCAGCGCCTCGACGACCTCTACGCGCAGCAGGAGGCGGACGCGAAGAAGCGGCGGAACCGGCGCCACGAGGAGCGGACGACGCCCCTCCGCTCTCCGGCGCCGCGGTCGCCGCGACAGCCGCCGTCCGCGCAGCTGCGGTCGCCGGGGTCGCCGGCGGTCGTCAACACCCAAGCGCGGCGCACGCCGCCGGCGTCGCCTCCAGTACCATCGCTCGCGGCCCAGAAGGTGCCCGCCGCGCTCGTGCGCGCCTCGGCGGCGCCGGGCACCAAAATCTCCGACGACGACCTGGAAAGGGCGGCCTCGGACTTCGAGGCGCGCGTCGCGGCGGAGCTCGAGCGCTTCCAGGACGACCGGCGGAGGCGCGTCGCGCGCGCCGCGCTGCCCCAGAACGCGGGCGGCGCGCTCGAGTCGCTCGCCGAGAAGATCCAGCAGGCGCCGGACCTGCGCACGCTCGCGGGCCTGCCGCCCGCGGCGCCGCGTGCGGCGGCCGCCGACGACGCCGTCCCGCACATATCCGCCGAGGACGACTGGGGCGAGACGTCGCTCGCGGGCGAGTCGACGTTCGTGCCGCTGCCCGAGCGCGTGGCGCGCGCCGAGGCGGCCTACAACCTCGCGGACACGCCGCCGGCCTCGGCCGGCGCGCTCTCGCCCGACGCGATCGCCGACCGCTGGCAGCGCGACCACCCGCTGCCCGGCGCCAAGGCGCGCCGCGGCCCCGCCGCGCGCACGTCTCGGCGCCAGAACACCGTCGAGCAGTCCCTCGCCGGCGAGTCGTCGTTCCACGCGTTCATCGACCCCGCCGACGAGGCCATCACCTCGCCCGCGCCGCCGGAGACGTTCGAGGACCTCGCGGACCGGATTCCCGACGAGTCGTTTGATTCTACCTTGGGGGCGTAACTTACGGGCTATACTCTGTTTACGACACGCTACACCCGGTACACCGTGACGGCGGCGACGGCGTTTCGCGGGCGTCGTCGAGGGCCTCCGGCTCCGCGAGGGCGGCCGAGTCTTGCGAATCGGCGACGACGCGCCGGAGCTCGCGCAGCTCGCGCTGGGGGATCTCGAGCGGCGAGCCGCCGGCGACCTCGAGCGTGAGCTCGCCACCCTGCGACCGGGACACGCGCGCGCGCAACGGCGGGCTCAGCGCTGGCGTCCAGTTCTCGCCCCACGTCGCCAGCTTGAACTCGACGACCTCGCCGCGCTTCAGGGCCTCGCCGTCTGTCACCGGAATCGTGTCCGTCGACGGCGGCACAGGCGCCGGCGACGGCGCGAGGAGCGGCTCGTAGGCGTGCCCGTCGAGCGCGGCTCGCGCGTTTTGTAGGGACAGCTCAATATCCGCTGTGAACGGGTGTGCACAGCCATAGACCTGACGCATGATCGTTGCCGTCTCCCGGAGCGTCTCCACGCTCTCGCGGATATCGTCTAGCGTGGCGGCTGGGTCCTTGCAGAGCGTCAGTGGAAAATGGGGCTTAATCTGAAAATCGACCGTGTGTCTAGATATTTTCTGACAAGGTTACGAGACGAGGCGAGACGGGGAGGGGTGTACAGCGGCTCCAGCTAGCCGCTCACCCAAGCAAAGGAGTCGGTGAAGGACGGCGCGCGTCTGAGGCCGGGCCGCGCGTGCCTGCAGTCCGGGTCCATGCTCCAGACCAGTTCCGAGATGGACACCTCGGGCGCGACGGCGTGCAGGGACTTTGATGGGGGCAGGATGATCGCCCCGAACTGCAGCGCCGCACTATCCAAGTTCATCTTCGTATCATATAACGCCTTCATCACGAGGCGGCTCGCGTCGCGGTCGGCGAAGGCCTGGATCTCGAGCAAGCCTTCCAAGTCCTCGAGCGCGGCGTGGTTCTTCTGGCAGATGGCCAGCATGGCATCCAGAGCGCGCCTATCTTTAAGACAGAAGACCGTCACGCGGCACGCGACGCGGTCGCCGGCCGGCACGGCCTTGCCCACAACTTCAAAAGCGAAGCCGCCCTGGACGATCGTGTCCGGCGCGCCGCTCAGGAAGTCCTTTAACACAAAAAGGATGAGCGCCCTTTTTGCCGCGTGTGTGGACGGCCCGCTTACATATTGACTCCGGCCCTTCGTCGTGACGGCCGCTTGGGAAGGCGACCAGCGCGCATGGGTTAAAAGGCGCGCGTTCGACACGGCGAGGACCTGGAGGTCCACCAAGCCCGGGAAGCTCCGCAGCGGCGCCGTCACGGCCTCCATCTTATCCACGATGGCCTCGGGCCGCACGCCCGGCCGCAGGGGGATGTACGAGATGCGCTGGATCTCGTCGGCGCGCGCCGACGACGCGCGCCCCAAACCGTGCGCGTCGCCCAGCAGCGCCCGCGGCAGGAACGCGTCGTCGTCGGCCGGGTCATCCACAGCATCCGCCGGGCCCAGCAGCACGCGCAACAAATCCACGACGACGCCGCGCCAGACCGGCGTCGCCGCGCCCTCGACGCACGCGTCCACGACGGCGTCGAGCGGCCGCCGCGCCAGCGCCGCGACCGCCGCCGCGCACCGGCCCTCCACGCCGCGCGCCGCGAGCCGCCGCGCCACGCGCGCCTGGACCAGCGCCACCGCCGCGACGCCCGCCCCCGCGTAGAGCGCCAGCAGCCCGCGGCCCGGCGCCTTCGTCACGACCTGGGCCATGGCGTCGCCGAGCGTCCGCTGCGCGCCGCAGTCCCTGACCAATTCCCGCGTCGCGAGCTCGAGGGGGTAGCGCACGGCGAACGACACGCCCACGGAGAAGACGACGCGCGCCCGCGAGTAGCGCTCGCCGAGCACGCGTCTCGCGAGCAGCTTGGCGGCCTGGTCGAGCCCGAACTGCGCCGCGCCGCCCCAGGCCGCGCTCTGCGCGATGGCGCGTAGCCCGGCGCCGTCGACGCGCGTCAGGCAGCTCGCGCAGTCGAGCGTCGGCTCGAACTTGCGGCGCCACACCACGAGCGACTCGACGGCCGCGACGACGGCGCTGCGCACGCCCTGGGCCGTCGCGCGCAACGCTAATGCTGTTCCGGGCCGCTTTGAGTCCTCGAGTTTTCTAGCCGCTCTGCGTATAGCGTGGGCGGCCGCGGCGGCGCCGACGAAGCCCACGGCCACGAAGCAGGCGTCCTTGGCTGCCGTGCGTTGGGGGGGTGTGAGGGAGCGCATTTTTTTAGTGCTGCTTTATTTTTGTGTCTCGGTATAGCTCCCTCGGCGCGCTGGCCGGGTTTGACGTCACCGCAACCCAAAGCTTCTGTGGACGCTCCTTTGTGCTGGGTTATGTATCGCACAGCTAATGCAGTTCCCGAAAGCTGTCACAGGCTACTTCGCGGCCTCAGTGCCGGCTTGACGTGTGCGTGCAATTTTTCCATTTGCAAATCCACTAAACGGGTTTTAGAGGTTCAGGACTCTTGCCCCCTCTCTCTTTTTACTCGATGTATGCTGCTACAAAACTCTCTCTTCTTTGTGGTTCTACTCAATGTATACACACCAACAAAACTTATAGACAATTCACAAATCCAACCAGCTCACCCATCGCCCGCCGTGGAGTCGAGGGTCAGCCGCCGGATCACCGGGCGTCTCGAGGACGCGCGACGGCGCCGAGTCGATCTCCGCGTCGAAGAGCAACGCGCGGAGCGCGGCGAGGACGGCGGGATGGCTATTTCCGACGTCCACGCGCTCGGTCGGGTCTTTGTCCAGATCGAAGAGGCACTCGACGCCCGGGCCGACGCAAGGTGGATCCTCGTCCTCGTCGTCGTCGGGCCAGCCGACGTGTTGCACGTCCGAGTAGAGGCAGCCGCCGTTCAGGACGTACTTGTATTGGCCGCGGACGGCCGCGCCGCAGCGGGCCGCTTTGTCGTAGAACAGCACAAGGTCTTCGTTGGACGGCCGCTCCCAGTCCGACCGCACGTCGCGCCCGTCGAGGCCGCGGACCGTCGCCCCGACGAGACCCAGTAGCGTCGGGCCGACGTCGACGATGCGCGTGACAGCGTTCGTTTCGCCTGGCGCCACGATGCCCGGTGCATAAATGAACGACGGCGTCCGGATGCCCCCTTCGAAGACGGTGCGCTTGGCGCCTCGGAACGGGAACGCCGAGGCCCCAGTCCCCGCCTCGGGCCCGTTGTCGCCCAGAAACCAGAAGACGAGGGGCCTTTTTCTCGCCTCGAACGCTTCAAAAACGGCGCCGACCTGCTCGTCCAGCGCCGCGACAAGCGCGGCGACGTCCGACCGGGCGTCGCCGCCGTCGAAGCCCATGCGCCGTGCCGCGGCGACGTGGCGCTGCGGCGTGCCGTCGACAAAGTGCGCGTGCGGCGTCTGGGCAGCGTAGTAGAGGTAGAGCGGCCGCTCGCCGTCGGCGGCGCCGACGACGGTCCGGGCCTCGTTCGCGAAGAGCTCCGCCGAGTGCACGCCGTCCGTGGCGGGGGACCGGTCTAGAGGAGCGTCGTTACGCCAGAGGTCGTGGCCGGGCGCCTCCAGCGCAAACGCCCGCCGCCGCCCGAGCGCGATGGAGCCCTCGAGCCACTCGCCGCTCTCGTGGCGCGTGTAGTCTTGCGCGCCGAGACCTGGGTGCAAAATCGACGCGTCGGTCGCGGCGATGGCGTGAAATGTGATTCGTGCGCCGCGCCTCGACAGTAGCCGAAGAAGGAGTCGAAGCCCCGGTTCGCCGGCAGCCATGCCCGCCGCGCAAAGCCCAGGTGCCACTTGCCGATCATGTGCGTAGCGTAGCCCCGCGCCCGGAAGCGCTCGCCGAGCGTCACCTCGCGCTCGTCGAGGCCCGTCGGCTGATTGGCTAGCAAGACAAAGAATGCGAGCCCCGTTTTATGCGCGTGGCGGCCGGTCATGAGCGCCGCCCGCGCCGGCGTGCACATGGGCGCCCCATAAAACCGCGTCAGCCTCAAGCTCTTGCGCGCGAGCTTGTCGATAGTCGGCGTCGCGAACGCGCGCGGTCCGCCAGAATGCATGTAGCCGACGTCGGCCGCGCCCAGGTCGTCGGCCACGAACACTACGACGTCCGGTCGTTTCGCGCTTGTGTTGGCTGTGGTGGTCCATTGCGGTCGCAGCAGCGTGGCACCCAGCGCTATGGCGGCTAGGACAGCGAACAGGTGGGTCCAGCGCGGTGATGGCGTGCTTGCCGCATTTGTTTGATTATTGGTAGTGCTGGTTTTTGTAATCGTTGTGGTGGATGACATGGCCTCCGACGCTTTTTTGCTGTGGCTCTCGCATCGAGCTAGCAGCCTGAGACACTAGCAACACTCAGGAACATTACCGCCCAAGTCGCCCCCCCCCGCTCCACTAATACAGCTCCTCCGCCCGTACCTCGTGCTGGACGCCGCCATAGTCGAACCGGATGGTGAACTCGCCCGGCGCGACTTCGGCCTCGACGACGCCCTTGAGCCCCTACCGAAGACTCGCCGGCGCCGCGCGAAATTGCCCATGGTGAGTGTTTCCAGTCTCTGACAGCCTTTGGCGTCTCGTACGCTCGAAACTCGCTTTAGAGATATAACCGTAACGGCCTCTCAAGCGTGCTAGCTATAACTCTAACCTCTCCCGAGAGATTTTTGCGGAGAGCTCGAAAAACCCGTGCATCCAGTCAGTCTCTCATTCTGCCTCCGGAGTAGTGACAAGGTCCCCCTAGTGGTGGCACGCCCCACGTTAGAAGTACCCAATCTTCTTGCATTCACGTGCCCTTAGCTAAAAATCGTCGGCGTTCTAACCATGATTTTACCATCGCCTCCCCATCCCATCCTATCCGAAATTTGGAAATCCCACGGAACAGGTGAGCTTTCGCTCGTTTCGACATCTATCACATCCAATCTCCCTACTGGCATGCTACGCTGAGCAACGGCCACCGTCAACATATCGAGTAGTTGATGTCACGAGCCTACCGCCGTGCAGCAATTGTTCCGACGATTCGAATGCGAGTCCCGCCGTGGTGGGAGTATTTTTTGCGGTGATCAATCCCCATGAACCCGGCCGACACGCGCTGCATAGCACGACTACGCGTTGTATGGAACGATGCGTCGTTCAGCTCCTTCGACGCCCGAACTTTTCTGATTGTACCTGCCGGGCCTAGATGCAGTAAAAGCGCTATCTCATGAGGATGGGCGATCCATAAAACGCCCGCAACGGCACAGTGTCACGCTGTTCGTCTCGTCGCGCAGAGCTAGAGTAACGACGGTTCGCAGCCGCGGCGCCGCCTCGGCGCGCCCCGGACTTGTACGTCTCCCGAGGCGCCTTCGGCGCCCGGGAGCCATAGAATACCGCCTCCTACCCCGCGCCTAGCCCCCGTCCCCCGGAGTTCCATACGCAGCCCCGTCACATAGCCTCGCTTCGCGTCGCTATTTCCAGAACCAAGGTCTTGCCGCTATACTCTGGTGAGGGCTCGCTCCGATTGAGAACCGCCCCATCGCATTGCCGCTCTACAAAATAGGACCGTACTAGAGCCGACGCGGGCAAATTTTGGGCTTCTCGCCCCCACGAATTCCAAGCCTTTCGAGGTCTCGACGAGATGCGGTTCGGTTTAGAGTAGATGCGTCGAAGCCATTAATCGCAGATCGCCGGAAGGCCTCCCAGACGCGAAATAGAAGAGACGGGCAGCCTCCATAGCCATCTTTGGCCACGCTCCGGCGCCCCCCGGACTTGTACGTCTCCGGGGGCGCCTTCGGCGCCCGGGAGCCATAGAATACCGCCTCCTAGCCCGCGCATAGCCCCCGTCCCCCGGATTTCCATACGCAGCCCCGTCATCCGGGCGAAAATCGTGGGCATGGGTGTGTCGCTCGTCGTGGCGGCCGCGGCGCGGCGCGCGTTCGAGAGGTGCGTTTTGGATAAGTGAGTCTGTGTTGTAGATCTGTGTTGTTATTAGGCTAGCCTCGGGCCCGGCGCGCCGCCGTCTTGACTCGCCGGCGAAGGCGAGGGCGAGTTCTCGTGCGGGGAGTCCGGGTAGGCGGCACGTCGCGTCGATGGCGTCGGGAGCGGATACCTGGCCCCGTATGTAGATCAAGTCGCAGGGCCAAATGCGTCCAGCAATTCCTCGTCCTTCCGCCGTCGGCGTCGCGACAGCCTAGCCTCAAATCGAGCCGCCGCCACGTCGAAACGACGCGCACCAACGAACTGCGCCGACGCGGAAAGCACCGACCCGGAGACGACCTCTGAAGGCAGCTCGAGTCAGGCACTGCTACAAGCCGTCGGCACCAGCGCGACGGACACCACCGACGACGCGTGTCGACGCATCCGTGCGTGCAAGACGTTTGCGGCGCCGTTGCGTGCGCTGCGCCACTTCTTCTGCGCCGCGAGGACCCGGCACTTGTAGAAATCGTGTGGAGCAACGCCGCCGCCAGCGCGTCGCAACGCAGACGTGCCGGCTGGTGCTGGGCGATGTAGTGGTTGACATGACTGGCAACCAGAGCTGCACTAGCGAAGGTAATTCGACCGGTTTTGCTTGCCTGTGCGAGAGAGCTAGCGCATGTAAGGCACTAGCAAGCAGCAGAGAATCGACCCACGCGTATGAAGGCTCCCTCGCATTGCAGGAGGTATCCCTGGTTGCCGCAGAAACGGTAGCGACCCAACTCCTGGGCGTATATGATCAAACCCTGCCCTGGATACGTGTTCGCATCGATTTTTTTGCGAAAGCCGTAGATAGCGAAAGCGGGCGCCGTGACTCGTGTCGTAGATGCGTCTTAGCCCAAGCCCAGTAAGGTTTCGACTTCGGGCAGCTCGTCAAATGACCTGCCTCGCGGAGGGAGGGCAATTTAACGTGAGACGGAACCCACGGATCATGCAGGCTTTAACCTGTGCGCTGCTCGTAGCAGCGGCAAATGGCTTCTATAGCCCGCAGCAAAAAGCAAAGGTCGCGCCGCGCGCCCTAGCCCGCGCTGCCAAAGAAGGGCAAGCTGCAGCAGGTGAAAAGCAGCGCATCGTGCAGCGCAGCGTCGTCAAAACACGTCAACTACACCATGAATTGCGAATCTACGACGATAGCCAACAGCGCGCGTAACGATTTCCGCCGAAACAAAACGCGCGCCGAACGCAGGTCGTCGTCGGCAATGGCATGGTCGGCCAGCGCCTCGTCGAGCTCTGCGCCGACAAGCTCGCGGAGCGGGGCGCCAGCGACGACGTGGACATCGTGAGCTTCTGCGAGGAGCGCCTCGCCGCCTATAATCGAGTTAGATTAACATCGTGGTTCGAGACGCGCGACGCCGACGACCTGAGTTTGGTGGGCTCCTACAAGGACGCGCCGCAGGGCGAGTGGTACGCGAGCGAGGAGCGGCCGAACTGCAAGGTACGCGTCGGCGACCTCGCGACGGGCTTGGATGTGGACAAAAAGACCGTGGCCTGCGGCGACGAGCTGGTCTCCTACGACAAGTGCGTCCTCGCGACGGGCAGCTACCCCTTCGTGCCGCCTATCCCGGGCAAGGACCTGCCGGGCGTCTTCGTCTACCGGACGATCGACGACCTCGAGGCGCTCGTGGCCTACCAGAAGGCGCACGGTGCGCGCGCGGCGCGGAACCTTCTTCGCGGCGACGGCGCCGGGGCGAGAGCGGGCCGCGTCGAGGGACGAGAGGACAACACCGACGCCGCCGAGGCGAGAGAAGACCTCAACCACGCAAAAACGCAGGCGTCAAGTCCGCAGCCGTCATCGGCGGCGGCCTCCTCGGCTTGGAGGCGGCCAAGGCCATGCACGATTTGGGCATGAAGACGCACATTCTGGAGTACGCGCCCATCCTCATGTGCCGCCAGATCGACCAGGGCGGCCACGACGCGCTCGTGGGCATGGTCGAGGATCTGGGCTTGGAGGTGCACTGCGACGCCCGCACGAAGGCCTTCGAGGCCGATGCTGACGGTAGGGTCTCTCGTGTGACGTTCGAGACCGAGGGCTGGGATGATCTAGATGTCGGCATCGTGGTGGTCAGTGCTGGAATAAGACCGCGCGACGAGGTCGCGCGCGACGCCGTCGAGTGTCATGAACGAGGCGGCGTTGTTGTTTCTGACACGTTACAAACCTCAGACAAGGACGTCTACGCGGTCGGCGAGGTGGCCTTACACGGCGGCATGATTTACGGCTTGGTCGCGCCGGGCTACGCCATGGCCGAGGTCGCGGCGGACCACCTCGTGGCGGATTTACTAGGTGAAGAGGCCTCTTCGACCTTCGAGGGCGCGGATCTAAGCACGAAGCTCAAGTTGCTCGGCTGCGACGTCGCCAATTTTGGGGAGGCGAGTGGCGATGAAGCTCTAGTCTGGGAGGACAAGCTGTCGCGGACCTACCGCAAGCTCTTCTTCTCCAAGACTGACGAGGGCTGGGTGTTGGCAGGAGGTATCTTAGTAGGTGATGCTGATGATTATGCGGAGTTGCTGGCATTATCCAAGTCTGGTTCGGTAGTCGAGGAGCCCGCCTCACTGTTAACACCACTTAAGATGAGAGGCGCCGGTGCACTGGAAGTCGACGACAGCGACCCGGCGAAACAAATCTGCTCGTGCAATGCCGTGTCGCGCGGCGACTTGGAGACCTTCATCCAGGCCACGGGCGAAGAAACGACCTACGCGGAGATCAAGAAGTGCACGAAGGCCGGTTCCGGCTGCGGCGGCTGCGAGCCGGACGTCAAGAAGATTTTGAAGGTCGAGCTCGAGAAGATGGGGGCCACGGTGAATAACAACCTGTGCGCGCACTTCGACTACTCGCGGCCGGAGCTCGTGGCGAAGATTCGCTTGGACGAGCAGAATTTTAAGAGTTTCGATGAAGTGCTGGCCGCGCACGGCCACGGCGACGGCTGCGAGATCTGCAAGCCGGCCGTTGCTTCGATTCTAGCGTCGCTGCACAACGAGAAAGTCTTGGAGGGAGATAGGGCGGCTCTCCAGGATACGAATGATAGGTCGCTGGCGAACATGCAGCGCGGCGGCTCCTACTCTGTGGTACCTCGGGTGCCGGGCGGCGAGATTTTACCAGAACAACTCATCGTGCTAGGAGAGGTGGCCAAGAAGTACGACCTCTACTCCAAGATCACCGGAGCGCAGCGCGTCGATCTATTTGGCGCGGCGAAGGCGGATCTGCCGTCCATCTGGGCCGACCTGGGCAAGGTCGGCTTCGAGTCCGGCCACGCCTACGGCAAGGCCCTGAGAACGGTCAAGAGTTGCGTCGGTTCGAGCTGGTGCCGGTACGGGGTCCAGAACTCGGTCGACTTTGCTATTACGGTGGAGAACCGCTACAAGGGGTTACGATCCCCGCACAAGATGAAGTCCGCCGTGTCGGGCTGCACGCGCGAATGCGCGGAAGCCCAGTGCAAAGATTTCGGAATGATAGCTACTGAACATGGCTACGATTTATATGTCGCGGGAAACGGTGGCATGAACCCGCGGCACGGTGCGTTGTTAGCGTCTGGTATTGACGAGGCCACTACCTTAAAGTATATCGATCGTTTCCTGATGTACTACATCCTCACGGCCGAGCGGTTGGAGCGGACGGCGCCGTGGTTCGAGCGCTTAGCTTCCACAGACGAAGCTAGACTGAAAGCTCTCCAAGATGTCATCATCGACGACTCCCTGGGTATTTGCGACGAGCTCGACAAGCGCATGGAGCACCACCTCGCGACGTACCACGACGAGTGGGCGGAAGTCGTCAAGAACCCGGACAAGTTCGCCCACCTCTTCAAGCAGTTCGCGAACACCGACGAGGTCCAGCCGGCCGACGAGATGATTGAATTTGTGGAGACGCGGGGCCAGCGCCGACCAGTGGACTGGCCCGCGGACGGCGAGGCCCAGACGAACTGGCGGCCGCCCTCTCTCAGTGTTTTCGAGCGGTCGGAGCACTCGTGGCAGGACTTCGGGCCCGCGGACGCGTTCCAGCCGAACCTAGGTACCGCGGTTTTATATGGCAAGACGCAGCTGGCCGTCTTCAAGCTCAAGGACGGGTCTGTGTTTGCCACGCAAAACATGTGCCCGCACAAGCAGGCGTTTGTCCTGGCGCAGGGCATCGCGTCGGACGGCGAGGTCCCGAAGGTCGCCTGCCCGCTGCACAAGAAGCAGTTCGACCTGTCGAGTGGCAAGGAGATCAACGGCGGCGACCTGGAGATCGTGACCTTCGAGGCCAAGGTCCAGGACGGCCGCATGATGCTCCACCTGCCGCCGCGCGACGAGGTCGACGCGGTCCTCGCGACGGACAAGCTGCGGGTGTGCTCGGAGGCGCCCGTCGAGGAGCCGGTCTTCTCGCGCTGAATCACATCGTTATCCCTGTGTATCCCCCATCCTTCCCGTGGACATAATTCCCTTGATCGTTAACATAGCACAACAGTCGCCACGCCGTCGTCTCCATAAATAAGCGCGCCGTCGTCAGTCGCACAGCAGCCGCGGACGTCGCCCAGGACGACGTCCACGGTCGAGAGCAGCTCGAGTGTGGTCGAGGTGGTCGCCGTGGCGCGCAACCAACCACTCTCAAAATTGAGGTCCTCCGCGACGCGCCAGGCCGACACGACGCCGTCGCCGCGCGCGGCGACGACGACGAGCCCGTCGCGCGTGAAGGCCAGGCCGCGCACCGGCGCGCAGCCGTCTAGATTAATGACCTCGACGCGCGCCGACGACCGCCGGAACGATATTGTAGCGAGCGCGGCGTCGTCGGTAGCGCGCCGGAGGGACTGACTAAGTTGCGTCGTTTCACTAGTCTTGGGTGCAGTTTACGCACGGGCAGTTTTTACTGGCGGAAACGGGCGAGTACTTCAGAGTCGTCGTCATCACACTGTCTTTGTATACACACGTTACCCTCTAACTCCTATTGAAGGCACAGATCCAGGAGCGGCTGCCTAGCGACACGGCCGCGCCGCGCGCTTGAGCTAGTCGTTGACGATCTTGTACCGTACCCAGTCAAGATAGCTGCCCGGGAACATCCTAATCTCGTAGTTTTGCTTCGGCGGCGGTCCTCCGAACTTGAGTCCGTAGAGCTCCAGGAGCCGCGGTCGAGTGAGCTCTCCCGCATACGGCACGTTGTGCTCGGCGAACGGATCGTCGTCCGCCGGCTCCTCCTCCTCTTCGTCTTCCTCTGAATCGACGTCGTTCGCGTCGTGCCACGCGATCCACTGATCGTCGCCCCACTGAAAGGCTCTATTGAAAAGGTCGACGTCGTCGGGCGCCGTCGATGGGTTGGGTTTGCAGAGCCGCTTCGCAATCGCCCACCTTTCTCTACTGTTCGGCGGCGGGTCACAGATAAGCGTGGGGTTCGCCGCGAAGATCAACTCCAACGCGTTCGCAAACCGCGAGCCTTGGGTCCACTTCGGCGGATCGGCGCGTGTAGTCACATCCTCCATATCTTCATCCAAATCTTCATCCAAAGGCGCGGGCTCGGCCGCGGGCGCCGGTGCCGGTACTTCCCGCGGCGACCGGCGTACTAACGCGAGGTCGACGCCGATCTGGTACAGGGCGCCGTCCGGGCCAGTCGCGCGGGCCAACCGTACCAAGCGGCGGCACGTGCTTCCCAGGCCGTTATCGACCTCCTCATACCTCTTTTCGAAGACCGTGCAGTCGTCGCGCCGCCTCCACTCAAAGAAGGACGCCGCGCCCGACGCGAAGAATCTATCCATGACGCTCTCGCGGTAGCACCTGTCGTCATACACGAACCGTTGGAGCACCTCAGTAACTTTAGTGAATGCCCTCGGCGCCGGCCAGTTGTCCGGGATCAGGCACAGGTACTGTCTATCTTTGAGCTCGTCAATGCTCTCCGACGACCCCAGGAACGCCGCGAGCTCCGCCGTGCCAGTCGTTAACTCATAATCGAGGACGTCCGCGCCCTCGTCGCAGAGCCAGTCGATGAGTTCGTCCTTCGAAGACCAGCGCCGCCACCCCACAAACGAGACGCGCGCGCCGAACACGCCCGCCGCTCCGGGGTTAGAATCTCTCAATTGCCCATCGGCGTAGTACGACTGCGTCCCAGCTAAAACAACCGTCGTCCTCGAGAGGGACCCGCCCTTCTCTTGGCCCGCGAGCGTCCGCGCCGCCCGCCGCGCCATCAACGCGAGGTGCTTCGCTCGTAACGCATCTTTCGGCGGCTCGTAGCGCTCGTCAAACAACCGCGCTTCGTCCCTAAACTGGACGACCGCGCGCATCTCCGTGACGTCGTAGGAGTTGCGCGCGTCCTGCAGGAATTCATGGACGCTTTCGTAGCCGGCGTCCCGCGCCATATCCTCGAAGCTGTACACCTGCGCGAAGTAACCCTCAAAACAACACTCTCCCTTTCGCAAACGCGCGGTCTCGACGGCGTGGAGGTCGACGCGCCATCCCGACGGTCCAAGTTGAACTTTCTGACGCAGCGCATGCACCAGAGCGGCTTCGCCCGGCCGCCGCGCGACGACCCAGCGGGCCCCTGAGGGATCAAAGACCGCCACGTCGCCTTGAATCGACGACATAAGAGCGCTATGGCGTAGGCCATAGAAAATATGCGCGTAGATGTCTAGCTGGCACCCCTTGCCGCATCCACGCAGGTGGTCCATGAGGTCCGCGTCGACCTCACCCGACGTGCCGTAGTTCCCCATCGCCACGAGGAGCGCGACGGCGTTCGACAATAGCGCTTGCGAGTTATTTAGTTTATGGAGGCCCTCGAGAGCCGTGGTGATGGCGCCGGGATCAAAGCGACAGCGGAGGATTCTCAACGTCTCGGGCTTCTGACCGAAGTAAGAGACTATGTCCTTCGGCGCCACGAAGATCATCACAGGCTCGGTCGCCGTCTTCAGCACATCCAGCACCTCGCCGAGCTGTCTATTGTGCTCGACGAGGTCCACCTTCTGCATCTGGTGGTGGAGCGCGACACAGGCGTCGTGCGGGTAGGCCTTGACCGCCTCCTTCTCGACGGACGCCCACGCGGTCTTGAAGGACGCGACCGCGGCCGCGATCGTCGCCTCGACGCCGCCGTCCAGAGCTAAAACCAGGGCCCGGCGCGCCTTCAACAAATCCTCGTCGAACGCGACGGCCGAGAGCTGCTTCCGGAAGCCCTTCAATAATTTCAAAGCGACGGCCATGCCGACCGCGCCGAAGAGGCAGTGGGCGAACACGAATATTAATAACTCCCGCAGCTTCTCGTCGCCCACGGCCATGTTGAAGAAGGTGAGGAACGCCATCTCGATGTGGCACACGCCCGTGAGGTGCGATTGCTCCGACGTCAGCGCCGCGCAGATTCGCCGCAGCTCCGCGATGAGCTCGCCGTCGACGATGTGGTGCGTCTCCTCGCCGCGCTCCTCGTAGCGGAAGAACTTGAGGTGGTACAGGACCTCGCCCAGTTTCGCGAAGGGGCCCTCCTCGCCGCCCATGACCCACTCGCGGTGCTGGCGCAGGATCTCGTCGATCAACGTAGTGGATTGGTCGGGGCCGAGCGACAACCACCGGTTAATTTCGCGGCGGAGCGCTTCTACATCGTAGGAGACGCCGAACGCGTTTGGGCCGTGGACGAGCTGCGTCACGACAGTAGCCACGCTTGCGAGGCGCTTCGCATTTCCGAAGTACTGCGCGAGCAGCACCATCGCCGGCAAGCCCTCGGTGCCGTAGGTGCCCCGGCACGGCACAATGTCCTCCGGCCGAGAGCGGTCCATAAACGGGTCTACTTTTCTGCCACCGCCGCCGCGCACGCCGGCCCAGGGCTGCAGGCCGTCCGAGGCCTCCGCCACCGCCGTGGCACTTACGTCTTGCATGCTGGTCGCCATGCTTCAGCTCCGCGGTCCGACACAAGGAGCGATGCTGTGCGACCCGTCTCGTCGCGCGCGCTGGCGCTGGAAATCGTGTTGTGCGCTACGGATTTGCTGCTGCAGCGCTCGTCCAGCGTTATGGCTGAAGAAACCGATCGCACGCAGTCGTGGGTGTACGGTGTCAATCGCTAAGGTGTGCAACCCGCTCTATGCAGCAAATCAGCGGACTTTTACTGAAGCCACTTTAATTGCTAAATTGCTAGTGTCTTACACGTCGCTAGCTAGCTCTTAGTCGGCCTCGACAATTATGAGCCAACCAGCGGATCGCGTGGTATACCGCGACGCCAGAGACGATTACCACAATGCTATGCAAAAACTGAGCGCCGGAGTATTTTTCGACGGCCTCGAGGGCCGCCCAATAGAGGACAAAAGGGCACAAATTTGCGAGCTCTTCGAGACAGCGGTCGCAGCGGTCCCCGCGGCCGCCGACGCCGCGGGGCGCGCGCCGGCGCCGGCAAGACAACGATTAGCGCGACAGTCGCCACCGACGCCCGCCGACTTACTCTGGCACGCGACGGCGGCGACGAACGAATCGCCCGCGGCCGGCGGCGACCGCGGCGCAAACGCGTCGCCGCCTCCCCGCGAGGGCGGCGAAGAGCTCTCTGCATGTGTGGGCTCGCTGCAAGTGAGCGAGGCGCGTGACCCGGGCGGCGTTGCGACCGGCGCCCCCAGAGCACAATGATGTGCCGGCGCCCCCCTCCGAACCGCCCAAGGACGTCGTGACGCGCGTCGTGCTGCCCACGCCCGCAGCGCGAGGAACAGGACCAGAAGGAGCTCAACTTCGATGACTGGCGTAATCAGAAAAGAAGGAATATCCTAAGGAAAAACTTGATCGTTAACATAGCACAACACTCGCCACGCCGTCGTCGCCGTAGACGAGCGCGCCGTCCTCAGTCGAACAGCAGCCGCGCACGTCGCCCAGGACGACGTCAACAATTGAAAGCAACCGGAGCGTCGCCGCGGTGGCCGCCGTGGCGCGCGTCCAGCCGCCAGCAAAACTCAGGTCCTCCGCGACGCGCCAGGCTGACACGACGCCGTCGCCGCGCGCGGCGACGACGACGCGCCCGTCGCGCGTGAACGCTAGCCCGCGCACCGGCGCGCAGCCGCCGAGGGCGACGACCTCGACGCGCGCTGACGACCGCCGGACCGCGACGGTCGCTATCTTTGCATCGTCCCCGCCCGAAACAATTAAAACACCATCAGGATCGACGCGGCGCGCCGCAAGCGCGCCGACGCCGGCGGCGTGGGGCGCCACGGCGAGCGCGAGGGAGGTGCCGGTCCCACGCAGCTCCCACATGGCAATCGTCCCCGTCGAGAGGCCAGCTATGACCAGGTCGGCGTCGCCGAGCGGCGCATGCGCCGCGGCGCAGACCGGCGCGCCGTCCCAGGCCAACGTCGCGACGACGCGGTCACTTTTCACAACGCGCAGCGCCCCCGCCGAGTCGCCCACGACATAGGACAAACCACCGTCGGCGTCCCAGGCGGCGGCAGCCGTGAGGCGCTGGTTCAGCGCGTCCGCATCCGCGAGTCTCAATGAAGCGACGCGGCGCCCTGCGCGCCACGTCGCCACGACGTCGACGCTGCCTGCGATCACGACGTCGCCGACGCGGGCCAGGGCGCGCTGCGCGTGGGCCGCCGGCGAGCAGCGGCGCGTCTGTTCTCTCAGATCCGCGGCGTACTCGGCGAGGTCGCCGCCGCCGCCGGCCAGGACCACGCGGCCGCTTTCCAGGGTTACGGCGGCCGCGACGCCGTCGGCGACGAGCGGCGCGCCGCATGTTACACATTTTGTCTCGCTCTCGACGATAAGAAAATCGTTGTCGTCGCTCGCCGCCGCCACGGCGCGCACGGAATTACCGGCGACGCGGACGCCGTGCGGCCGGCCTCGGTTCGTGCCCGCGACCGTCGCCCTCCTCATATTCGTCGCGACGTCCAGCACGACGAGCTCGGCCCCGACGACGCCCCAGGTCACGTCATCACAAACGCCGGACACAGAAACGTGGAGCGGTTGTATTGATGCGAGGTGGGGCGCGTCGTCGTCGACCTCGAACGTCGCCATCTTCCCGTCGCGGCCGAAGGAGTGCAGCACGCCATTAGCGAATTGGACGGCCAGCACGGCGCTCTTGGCGTGGGCGTCGGCGCGCCAGAGGAGCGCGCCGTCTTCAATAAGAGCGACGCGGCCGCGGCTGTCGCCGACAACCCAGCGCCCGTCGCCCCCGCTCGCGACGGCCGTGACGGCGCCCAGCGCGTTGTCCGCGACGGGCGCGAGCGTCGCCACGCAGGCGCCATCGCGCCACGCGCAGCAGCGCCGGTCGACGGAGGCCACGACCAAGTCGTCGCCGACCCACCAGCCGCTCACGGCCGCCGCCGCGCCGGTCGAGAAGGTTGTCGAAGAGCCGCTCTCCACCTCAAGTATGACGACGGAACTCCCGCCGCCTCCTATCAAAGCGACCCGGTCTTCCCGGGCGTCCAGCGCGAGCCGGCGCGCCGCGCCGTGGACGCCGAGGTCGCGCCACTCACCTATTACGAGGTCGAGGCGCCACAATTTCTTGCTCGCGAAGCAGGCGAGGACGGCGTCCCGCAGGACGCAGACTGCCGTCGGCGCGGTCGTCTCCGGCGCTCGTACGCGCCGCGCGGTCTGCGCGGCGACGGCGTCGCGCAGCGACCAGACGCGCGCCGTGCCGTCGTGGCCGCCCGTCGCGACGTATCCATTACAACCGCCGAGGCACCGCACGTGCTTGCCCGCGTGGCCGCGCAGCGTCGCGACGCGCGCGCCGTCGCCCGCGCGCCACACGATGGCCGTTCCGTCCTGCGAGCCGGAGACGACGTACGCGTCGACGGCGACGGCGCACCAGCAGCGCGCCGCGTGGCCCACGCCCGTCCAGACTTTTTCGAGCGCGTCTCCATTGATACGCCAGCGCGTCACGCGCCGATCGTCCGACGTCGACAGGACGTCTTCGCCGGCCCAGGCTATCGAGGTGATCACGCCCCCGTGCGCCTCGTCGCGACCGACGCTTTCGACGACGATACGTCCGAAGGCGTCGCCGCCGCACGCCTTTACCAATTCACCGGCGACCCGTAGCGCGCCGCACCGGAGCTCGCCGCTCGTTTGCAGGGCGGCCGTCGCGCCCCGTCGTGCCAGCGTCGCGGCGTCGCGCCGCTCCACCGCGCCGGCCGACGTCAGCGTCGCTACGTCTTCGCTCGACGCGAACGCGGCGGCCACGCAGCGCGTCTCCGTTGCGATTGTCGTGACGGCGTCGCCCCGCGCGACGCCGACCGCGTCGACGCCCCAGGCGAGCAGGGCGCCGTCGTCGTTGCAGGCTAGGCCGTGGACGCGGCACGGGAGCAGCGTCCGCGTTCGCTGGAGCTTGCCGGAATTTGCATCGTACGTGTGGAGGCGGCCATGAATGGCAGCATGCACGTCGTTGCCGCGCAGCACGACTGCTGTGACGGGGCCGTGGTGCGCCTCACCCAGTGTGAGCTGCATTGGTGTCAGCGCATTAGTGCTGCGGCATTACTGCTGCAAGTTGCACAGGGTTTCGAGCACTGATGCAGGCAGCAACTTGCGATGCGTAATTGGACTTTGCCCAGCATGCTGCAGCAGCCTGCCAGTCTGCTTGCTGCTAGTGCCTTACAGACCGCTAGCTCGTTGCGGGCGGGGAACCGGTCCGAGTCGAGCTTTCGCCCTTTGACGGGGTCCTTGTACGGTCCTCAAAACCCGTAATAGCAAAAACGTTGAGCGCTGGCGCTGCGTACAACGCTTCGTCCGCGCCCGTTCGAGGCCGCTTGGAGCTTGCGTCGTGTGCGACTGCCTCCGTGTAAGCGAGGGCAACTGCCCAGGGACGCCGCGCGGCGATTTTCGGCAGCGAACAGGCAGCCCCAAAGGCAGCCCCAAACGATGGCTGAAGAAACGAAGGACGAAGGCCGCACCAGACGCCGTAGACGCAGCGTCTCCAAGGCGACGCGCTGGGCGGACTGGACGTGCGCGGCGCCGGATGGGGAACACCTGGCCACATTGCGGAGCATCGACGACGCCCGCCACGAAAGACTCGGCGAGCTGCACGGCCCCGACCAGGACGCGTTCTTCGCGCGCGCGTCGGACCGGGAGATGCTGCGCATGGTGGGCTGGGCCGGCGACGCGACGCGCTTCGATAGGGAACTGCGGGGCGAGGGGCCGGCGTGCGCGCTCGGGTCGGCCTACTACTGCGACCCCGGGCGCGAGGGCGCGCGCCCGGACGCCTGTTATATGGGCGGGCCGCTGCCCAACGCCCAGGATTTAAATGAGAGGCAGGCGAAGCCGCCGCCGCGCGTGCCCGGGTTCCTCGAGGCGACGCGCGAGGCCCGGGACTTGCTGAGGCTGGGGGACGAGGGCGCCGTGGACCTCGACGGGACCTTCTCGTCGGAAATTGCCGCGCGGCCGCCGCCGCTGCCGGCCGGCGTCCTCGCGCCCGTGCCCAAGCGGCGGGAGATGTCCGACTTCGGCATGATCGAGCGCTTCGAGAAGACGTACCCGCAGGAGAAGCCTCCCTTACCTTCTGGTCCTGACTGGGCGCGGAACGACCGCGGGGGTTGGACGTGGAAGGGGCGAGCGATCGGGGTGCAGTAGTCACATCACGTAAAGTTAATCTTGGGCGCTGCTTCCTACGCGACACCGAGTAAGCCGCGCTTGAACGCCTTGGACGCGTCGCCGTCGCCGTTCTTGACGAATCTCGCGAACTCGTCGAAGGAGACGTCCCCGCTGGAGTCCGTGTCGGCGGCGGCGAACGTGGCCTGCGCAGTGGCGTCGTCGGTCTTGATGCCGAAACTAAACAGAGCGATGCGCAGCTCGTCCGGCGAGATCTTGCCATCGCGATTCGTGTCGATGAAGCGGAACTCGCGTTTCAGGGCATCGTCGCGCCCGCCCTCTTCGACGGAGTACTCCATCTGCCCCGTTACCGCGAGATGCGACTCGTAGAACGTGTACCAGTCGTAGAGGCAGTGGGCAACAATGGGCGCCGCGAGGCCGCCCGTCGCAAACGCGAGCAAAGTGAACGACGTGCCGGTGAAGACTTGCAGCGCAAACAGGAGTAGCGTCTCCTTGCCGAGCGCGAGCGGGTTGATGTGGCCCAGGGCGAAGAGCAGAATCGCGCAGCCCGCGCCCGGTAAAGCACCCAGGTTCTCCGCGAGGCGAGACGTCACGACCTGTGGAAATGAAATGTCGCGGCGCTTCTCCTTCCACGGCCCAATCATGCTCCACGCCATCGACGCGATGCCTGCTCGACGGCGTGGCGGTGTCGATTCCTCACCGCTCGACGGAGCCAGCACGGCCGCGTCATTGTCGAGACTGACTTAGTGAAGAATTATCGGGTGCACGCGACACTGGTTGATTTCCACACAGGTCACGACGCCGCGGAACACCGTCTCCTCCGTCAAAGCGACGAGCGTGGCTATGCCCAAGCTAACGACGCCGGCGACGATGGGCTGCGGCCTCGGCCCGAAGAGACGTAGCACAAGCATGTTCGTCGAGAGATTGAGCTCCGCGAAGAGCGGGTTCGGGCTTTTCTCGATGAAGCGGCCCACCGCGACGACCGCCGCGCCGCCCACTACGCCAATGCCAAGAGACACGGGATCAAACTGCGTCGCCGCGAGGAGCTGGCGGCCGTCCCCATTTAAGATCCAGATCGAGTAGCCGACGACGAGCTGATTGATGACGATCGACCGGAGCATGTTCTTATTAAGAAAGGGCCGCCCGGTGGGCTCGACCGCCGCCTGAAGCGGCTGGAGGCGAGCTCGCGGCGGCGACGCCGTCGGCCAGCGGACCGGTAATCTTGAGCTGCTCTGCGAAACAGGGCTGCGAAACCGGGCTGTGTGTTTGCTCAGCTGCGGCGGGCCCACCAATGCTGCCGACTGTTGCGCGAGCTGCAGCAGCGCAAGGCATTGATAGACTTGCGATAGCATTTCGTCGATTGCCCTTACGCTGTAATTTAAGCGTGTGCACGCCGAAAAAACTTGTGGCAGCCAAGTTAATCTTTTGAGGCTAGAGGCCCTGTAACACACTAGCAAGGAGCAATATACTCGACGGCGCTACGGGCTCAACGGAGACGTAGCGGAGACGCCAAAGCGTCGCAATTCACCAGATCTAGAGCTCCCTGGCCAGCGGTTTCATTTCAGGCATCTTTGGCTCTTTGACCTTTTTTCAGGCCCCATACGATGATGAATCCGGCCGCGGCAGGCGACGGAGGAGGCGACGCGGCGGCCTGGACTGCGACCGAGAGTTACGGCGACGAGGAGGAGGTAACGACGACGACGGGCGCGAAGCCGTGCCTCGTCTGGGTCTTCCGCGTCATCAACATGATTCTGTGCGTCATGATGGCGGCGACGGGCGCGATCGGTATCAAAGAAATGCGCTACGAGTTCCTGGGCGACCTCGTGCCGCTCTACATCATCGCGCTGGCCGCGCTCTGGTTTTGTTACGAGGTCAACACCATCCGACCGTGCCCGCCGATCACGGGGCTCTACAAGCGGAACTTCGGCTTCTTCTACAACGCGCTCGGCAAGGCCCTCTTCATCATATTCATGGGCCTCCTCTGTTTTGGTGTGGAAGCCGGTTCGCTAGGCATCATCACGGGCCTCGCCGTAGCGATTGACGGCGCGCTGCTCATACTCCTGTTCCTGAAATATCCCCACATGTATCCCAAGGACTAAATTAGGAAGAAGCAACTTGCGCCGACAACTCCGCGAGCTGTTTCTGGAGCTCGTCGATCTTTTTGCGTAGTTCGTCCTGAGAGTCGTCCGGCGGCGGATCGTCGGGCGGCGCGGAGGAGGACGAGGACGCCGCGTCGGCCTCGTTGATGGGGATGTCGCAGACGTCCACGTCGTTCCAGGCCGTCGCCGCCGCGCAGAGGTCGCGCACCGCAGACGCGATGGCCGCGTCCGTCTCGCCCTGCTCGCGCCGCCCCGCCACAAAGTCCGCCGCGTCCTTGGCGCCGTCCGGCCAGCGCATGACCACCACGTCCACGCCCGACTCGTCCGCGAGCGTCGGCAGCACATCATCACAAAGCCGCCGCACGGCCGCGTCGCCCGCCGCGTCGGCGTCCAGCGCCAGGACGACGCGCCGCGACGGCGAGAAGCGCGCCGCCGTCTCGAGCTGCCGCGGCGTCACGCCCACGCCCAGCACGCCCACGGCGTTCGCGCAACCCGCATCGTGTAACGCGAGCACGTCGAAGTAGCCCTCCACGAGCAAGGCTTCGTCCGTCGCGTGGATCGCGTCCTTGGCCACGTCCAAACCAAACAAGCACGAGCCCTTGCTGAAGACCGCGGACGCGGGGCTGTTCACGTACTTCGCCTCGTCCTTTCTGATCTTCAGCGCGCGCGACCCGAAGCCCAGCGTGTCGCCGCACGCATCCCTAATCGGAAAGGTGACTTTGGACCCAAAACGTGCGCGGCCGTCCTGATATAACACGCCCGCGGCGACGAACGCGCTCTTATCCATATCCTTCGTGAGAGAACGAGCCGTGCCCGGCCGCGCGAAGCCCAGGCCGAAGGCCGCCGCCGTTTTTGGATTGATGCCCCGCTTCCTTAGATATTGCCGCGCGCCGCCCGACGTTTGATGTCTCAGCGCCTCGGCATAGACCTCCTGCGCGACGGCGTTCGCCTGCTTCAGTTGGATACGCTCCGACGCGTCGACCTCCTTCACCTCAGCGACGCGCCTCGTTTTGGGCCGGTCCTCTTTTACCAACGCTTCAACAGCTTCGGCGAACGTCGCGTTCGCCAATTCCCTATAAAGTTTGATGACGTCGCCGCCGGCGCCGCACCCAAAACACTTGTAGAGGCCCTTGTCGGGATTCAGCGTGAAGGACGGCGTGCGCTCGTCGTGGAACGGGCAGCACGCCTTGTTCCTGGAATTGACGTCGACGCCGAAGGACTCCGCGACGGCGACGATGTCGGCGCTCCTTGCTGTTTCGACGTCTTGAGGGTTGGCGCTCCTTGCGCTGTGCCGCGCCCACCTTTGGGCCGCGTGCGGCGCCCAGGGGGTAACTGTGTCAACTAGGCAGAGTGCTACCAAGAGGCTGCTGCAGCGCACCATGATGCGTGCGCGTTGGCGACAGCCAACAGCGCTCTAGACAGAGCTTTTGTAAGAGTGTGATTCACCCGCGGGGCGACTCGCGCACGGCTCACAGCTTGCCCAGCCTGGGATGAGAATTTGGGCAGCTGTGCCGTGGAGGCGTCGTCCAAGCGCGCCAACCTGTCCGACGCCTGGTTCTCCAGCCCGCGACGGGTCGTTCTGCGGCGTTTCTGAAAACCTAGCGGCGGTAAGACACTAGCAAAGCCAGCTTTCGACCTCGCTCACGATTTGAGCCGCCTGAGAGCTGCCTGGCCATCCAGCCGTGCTCGACGCTGTCTCTAACTGATCCAGAAGCTGCACGACGCGTGTCGCCGCTTCCGCTTCGCTTGTGGGCCACAGGCAGCTAAGCAGGATGGAGCGCGAGCATGGAGAAGAGCCGAGCAGCCGCGCGCCGCGGGAGGATGACCGCCGCCGCGACGACGACCGCTCGTACGACCGGCCGAGCAGCCGCGACGGACGCCGCCCGCGCGATGACTACGATAGGCCGCGGAGCCGCGACGGCTTCGAGAGGCCGCGGAGCCGCGACGACCGCTACTACGAGCGCGACGAGTACGACCGCGGCCGCCGGTCGCGGGACGACGATCGCTACTACGAGCGCCGCCGGCGCGACGACGACCGTTATTATGACAGAGACAGGGGCTACGACCGCCGGCGGCGGGAGGACGACCGCTACTATGATCGTGACCGGGGTCACGACCGGGACCGGGGCTACGATCGGAGGGGCGACGACCGGCGGTACCGCTCGCGATCTAGGGGAGACCGCCACCGGCGCCGCCGCGAGCGCGAGGACCCGGCCTGGACGGCGCGGGATGATAGGATTGTGCCGCGCGAGCGCGAGCCCGAGCCTAGAACAGAGAGGCCGCGGTCGCGGTCGCGCCGCGACGACCGGCCGCCGCCGCGCGAACCGGAGCCGCGGGAACCGGAGCCCGCGCCGCCCAAGGAAGATGAGAGAAGGTCGCGGTCGCTGAGCTGGTCGCCGCCGCCGGCCGTGCGGAGGCAGATGGCCGAGCTGAAGGCCCGGAAGGCGCGGGAAGCGGAGGCGGCGCGCGCGGGCAAGGACCCGGCCGAGAAGACGGGCAAGTTCTGGGACGGCTTCCGCTGGGTCGAGCACACGCCGGCGTCGCAGCTGCCCTCGAACCCCGCCACCAGGAAGGAGCGCCGTTTGTATGTGGGCAACCTGCCCCAGACCTTTGATGGAGAACAATTGAGGATCTTCCTGAACGAGGCCTTGAGAGCGTGCGGCGCCATCCCGGCCGGCGTCGACGAAGTGGTTGTTAGTAGTTGGGTGTCGCCGGACAAGAAGTTCGCGTTCGTGGAGCTGAGCACGGTCGAGGCCTCGACGACAGCTTTAGGGCTCTCGGGCATCACGTGCATGGGCTGCCAGCTCAAGATCTGCCACCCGAACAACTATGTGGTGGGCGCTTTGCCGGGCATGGGCACGGCGCTGGCCACGACGGACCAGAACGGCGCGGCGTACGCGCCGGGATTCGGGCCGGACGCGGACCCGCAGCAGCAGGAGTTCATGCAGGCCGCGCTCGCGGCGATGGCCTCGGGCGCGCCCACCTAGTGCCATCCTCCTCCCTCCTTAGTTTAAGCGTGGGCGTTTTCAACAACACACTAGCCTGAGGCGCCGAGGCCGCGAGGCGATTTCCGCAGCAGCAGGAATTCATGCAGGCCGCGCTCGCGGCGATGGCCTCGGGCGCGCCGACCTAGTGCCTCCCTCCCTCCTTAGTTTAAGCGTGGGCGTTTTCAACACTATTTATTTAGGCGTCGGGCGGCATCGGCCCAGAGTCTGCCCTAGGCCTCAGCGGCGGCGGCGTCTGCGCATCGAGGGGCGTCATTGTCCGCACGCCTCCCGGCGCGAGTCCCGCCTCGTCCGGCAGGGCCGCGCACGCCGTGCACGCCGTCGTCGCGCAGGCGCAGGCGGCGCAGTTCGCGCAGACCCGCGGCGGCGGCGGGTCGACGCGCGTCCGTTGGAAGGAGCCCAACAGAAACCAGAACGACGGCCGCGCGCCCGTCGGCGTCCAGTGGCCCGCGGCGTCGCGGCGCAGCGGCAGCGGCGGCTCGTGGCCGCGCGACGCCTCGAGCTGCGACGCGTGGCGCTTGAGCGCGCGGCGCAGGGGCACGCCGAACGCCGCGGCCGCGAGGCCCAGGAGCACCGCGGCGATCTGTACGTGCCCCCGGACGAAGAGCGCCTGGCCGCCGGCCGCGAGCGCGCAGGACACGCCGTACAGCAGGGCGCCCGCGAGCTGGTCCTTCTCGAGCTTGTACACGCCCGTCCGGTGGCGCAGGTACAGGTGCAGGAGCGCCGCCACCAGCAACGCCTCGGCGCACCAGAGCGGCGCGAACGCGTCGACGGCGCCGGCGGGCGGGAACGCGGCCGACGCGCGGAGGCGCCTCACACCGAGCGCCAGGCTCAACCAACTCAAACAGTGGAGCGTCGCGCCGAGCTCGCCGCCGTTCTGGCGGTCGTCCGTCGAGAAGCCGCGCCGGCCCCGCAGGACGATCGACGCCGCGACCGCGACCGTCTCTAAACTTAAGATGCAGAGGCAGGCCCGGGCGAGGCGGTCGTTTCGTTTTTGACCATCTACGCTCAGGACGCCGGCCAGCGCCCAGAGCTGCGCCGCGAGGACCACGCCCGCGGCCGGCACGCTCAGCGCCACGCCGCAGGCGCCGCGCCGCGCGAGCGGCAGCGCGTCCTCGTGGATCGCGCCCTCGCCATTCGAAACGGTCCCGTAGGCGAACTCGTCCGGCGCCGGCGGCCGCAGCCGCAGCTGCGCCGCCGTCCGGAGGAACCGGACCTGCGCCGCGAAGGCCGCGCCCGTCGCCGCGAAGAAGGGCAGCGCCGCGACGGCCCACGGCAGCGCGGTAAAACCGGCGAGCCTGGCCGCCACGAGGACCGCGCCGGCCACGTGCAGGTCGACGCACCGCGCGCAGCCGTCCGCGACGTCGTGGATGATTTTTGCAGCGCCGTCGCCTCTTCGGCGGCGGAGCTCCAGCGTTACCGGGCTACCCGTCGGGAGAGCCATCGCTGCGCGCGTGACTGCTGGCACCACGAGTGGCTGCCACTGCTGTGCAGCGTCACAGCCGACAATGACAGGCACACGGTGCGCTGTACAACTCCGGGCCACAATTACTGTTACTCTCCGCAGTTCGCACGCTCAGTAGTGTTGGCACGCCGCCACGCCGACGCCGAAGCGGCGGGCCGGCATAGTCGAGCTAGTGTACAGACACACACTAGCCCTGAAACAACTATTCCCGCGAACATATATCTTTCCAAAAGCCTAGCGCACGGTTTCTAACAGCACCCGCCCGATTGATGATGATGAGAAACTATCTCGGAAAAAACTTGTTACACACGGAAGAACAAAGGACACGAGAGATGCTATCGAGGCTGCGGCGCCTGCCGCCGCACCAACGTCGCATGATGGTCGAGCATGTCGCACTCGTTCGAGAGCTCGGCCGCGCGGAGCTTCATCGCGACGAGCTCGCCCGTCAGGACTTCGACGGCGCCGTCGTCGTTCCGCCGCACGTCCTCTAATTGTGCGCTGAGCGCGGCCTCCTCGCGCCGCACCTCGGCGACCTCGAGTTCCAGGTCGCGGCACTGCTGCTCCGAGTCCTTGACCAGACCGAGCCACATCTCCTTCTGCTCGACGAGGGACCGCCGCGCGTCGTCGATCTCGCGCCGGTACCGCCGCTCGCGCGCCTCGCGCGCCTCGCGCGTCGTTCTTTTGGCGAGCGCCGCGGCGGCGGCCTTCTTCGCCGCGTCCTCGCGTTTTCGTCGCTCCTTCCGCGAGAGCTTTTCCTTCGGCGTCTCCTCTTGGCGCGCCGGGGCCGCGGGCGGCGGCGCCGGGGGCTCCTTGGCCTCCTCGCGCGGTGTAGGAGGCGGGGGCGACGGCCGCTGCGGCGTCGTCGGCGGCGGCGCGGTCGGCAGGTCGTATAAACCGATCTCCGGCGGCGGCGGCTTCTTCTTGCGCGTCGACATCTTCTTCGCGGCCGTCGCGCCGGCCGCCGCCTTGGACTTGGCCGCGGCGGCGGCCTTCGACGCGGCGAGCTTGGCGCGCTGGTATCGCGAGACCTTCTTGTCATTTGCTCTTACCTCGTAGAAGGTGGACTCCTCGGTCTCGGGCATTGTGGCTGAACGCTGGGGAGTACTCAGTCGATAGCTGGGGAGTACTAACTCCCGCTTTGGCTTTGCAGGCTGGGATGCTCTCTGGACCAGGAGAGCGGTTTCTCGCAACCGTGACGGGAGCAGTGCTGAGCAACCAGCAGCCCTGCTATCTGCTGTCTCCCGATGTCCCGATGAGCAGCGACCACGCCCTGGACGGGCTGAACAGCCTGCTTGCCAAATGCTAGTGTCTTACGTGCCGCTAGCTACCCAAAAACGACCGGAAGCTCCAGACGAGCGTCTGCGCGGTTATTTTTATTCGTTTTGGCACGCATTGATGCGCCAGTGCTGTGCCAATAGGCTGCATGCACTGCCAGCTCTTGCTAGCCATTTGCCTGGGCACTGCCTCGAGCCTGCAGCCGCTCCAGCAGCGCGTTCGGCCTCCTTTCAGCGTTAAGCAGCGCGTTCGGACTCCTTTCAGTCAACCAACAATGGCGCTGCAGCCACTTATGCAGCAGATTGGCCGCACTACCCTCGGCACCGCCGTCGCCTACAAAGTAGCCAAGGGCGGGCACAAGCGCGGCTCACTGAATGAGGACGGCGCGGTCGCGGCGTTTGCGGTGGCGGCAGGGGCGTTCAGCTGCTCCTTTCGAAGCGGAATCACGCTGCTTTGCTTCTATAAGACGGGGTCGATGCTCACGAAATATGGCGCAGCAGTCAAGCAGAAGCTCGAGGACGACTACGTTGCGGGCGAAGGTCAGCGCGGCGCTGGCCAGGTGCTGGCGTGCAGTGCTATTGCCGTCGCCTGCGCGATACTGCGCCGAGTTTTCGTCGGGACGGACGGACCGCTCTCGCTCGGAGTCGGGGAACTGGAGTGCCTCGGCAACCGGCTCACTCTCGCCTTTGTCGCCTTCTTCGGCTGCTGCGCGGGCGACACATATGCGTCGGAGCTCGGAATTTTATCTAAGGCGCCACCTCGTCTGGTCACGAAGCCGTGGCAAATGGCCAAGCCCGGGACGAACGGCGGTATCTCTGCGCTGGGTACCGCAGCTTCGGCTGCCGGCGGAATCGCGATGGGCCTCTGCCACGGCCTCTTCATGTTCCCGCTGTCGCTACGCGACGTCGCGGCGCTGGCGTACGTCGGCCTCTTAGCCGGCGCTGGCGGGTCGCTGGTCGACTCATTGCTAGGAGCGACCGTGCAAGCGAGCTACTTCTGTTCGGAGAAGCAGAAGATCGTGAAGAGGCCCACTGCGACGACGACGCATGTTTCCGGTCTCCCCATCCTCTCGAACGAGATGGTCAACTTCGTCTCGACGGCACTCGTCGCGTGGGCCGCCTACGCGGCGCCGCGACGACTCCTCCTCCGCTTCGCTACGTAACACAGTCTTAACACAACAAACACTCCTAGCGCGAAGGCCAGTCGAACCGCCGCCCGGCGAAGTCGAACAGCAGCTCGTTGTGCGGCGCGAAGAAGCGCGCCAGGTCGCTCCGTAGGGCCTCGGGCATCGGCGCCGTGTAGGCCGCGTCGAGGCGCCAGCCGTTCTTCTCGAAGTCCGGCCAGCGGCGGTCCATCTCGGCTTTGAGCGACGCGTCCGACAGGTCCTCGTAGGTGTGCCGGGGCAACCGATGAGCGACGGCGTCGAGCGCGCGCTGCGGGTCGCGCCGCAACACGTCCTGGTCGACCACCACGATATCACTAGAAACGACGCCGCCCCGCAGGCATCTTTGTAATTGCGCCGCGTACAGGCCGCGGTAGAGGTACTGGGCCGAGATGCCCGTGCGCACGCGCACGCACTTCGTGATGAGGTCGGCCGCGGCGTCCATGGACGGCGGCACCATCCAAGAAAAGTGCGTCCGCGCGCAGTCGTGGAAGAGCGCGACCTCGTCCCGCATGACCGCCTCCAGGTCGCCCAGCCGCTCGCGCGTGCCTTCCTTGAAGCACTGCGTCGCGTCGAAGCGCGCGGCGCCGCGGCCGCCTCCTATGAGATCGGCGAGGGGCTCCTTTGTCCCTTCGTCGGCCACCCAGAAGCACGCCTTCAGCCACTCGTACAACGCGCTCCGGTCGTCGCCCCCCGCCTGCTTCGCTGCCTTGGCCTTCCGCGCGATCTGGACGCCGACGGACACCGCAAACTGCGGGAACTTGGCCAATGCTTGGAGTTCCGAAGGCGCGCACGCTCTCAAACCGCGCGTCGCGTTGCGCGGGCCGGCCTCGGCGACGCACCGCAGGATCGCCCCGGCGTGCGCCTGCAGCGCTTTTTCAAATCCGTCCTGGCCCTGCACGCGCCGGTGCTTCATCTGGTACTCGGAGTAGGCCCGCGCCACGGGCTCCCTGACAATCAGCACGTAGGTGGCCCGCCGTCCGAGCTGCGCCGCCATGTGCGTACACGCCTCGGTCGAGGCGATGTAGAACGGCGTCGCCTCGGCCGTCGCTTTCAACTCGTCGCGCGCCGGGAACTTGAGCAGGTACCCCAGGGGCCCGGGGCAGAGGCTCTCGTTCTTGTCGAAGAAGTGGAGCTCCTTGTCCCGCGAGAACGCTATATTAGGGTGCCGCGTGAGGTGCACCGCGAGGGCCGTGCTGCCGGACTTCTGGGCGCCGACGATGACCAAACTCGGGAAGCAGCGCCACGTCGTCGCGGCCGTTACGAGGTTGACGCCCTCGGCCCGGGCCGCGCTCCGGGCGATGCGCGCGAAGTGCGCCGGGTACTCGTCGGCCAGGAGCTCGGCCCGCGCGAGCGTCGCGCGGCAGCACGCGCGCGTCCCGCCGCCCGGCGCCGGCGCGGCGACGCACTCGAGGCCCTCCGCGGCCGGGACGCCGTCGGTCCAGGCGAGGGGGGCGGCCTTCGGCGCGCGCCTGCGCACACCCGCGCGCGACCGGCTCTCGCAGACGTTCGGGTCGTCCGGCTGAACCGGGCGGCGGCGGCGGCGGCGCCGCCGCGGAGCGTCCTCGCCGCCGGCCGCCGCGCGCCGCGGGTGCGACGCGTAGCGCGCGTCGCCGAAGCCGTAGCTCTGGCGCGCCGCGCGCCGCAGCGATGCGTAGTTGTCTTGTGCTGTCGCTTGTGCTGTCGCGTAGGCGACGAGCGCGTACAGCGTCGCGCAGCGCATCGTGGTCAGTGCAGTGTGTTCCAGTATGTGCCGCTGTTGCGCTTGTGTCGCCGCGCACTGCGTCTCCGCGCTGTCGCGCTTGATGTATGATATGCTTGCAGGTGCGCAACTCACTGATTGCGTCGATGCGACGCCCACAGCCTTTGTTGGACCGGAATGATTAGGCTAGCGGCAAGTAAGACACTAGGGGTCGAAACAAACTACCTCTCCTTAGCCACCGCGTCGGCCACGAGCAGCCGCAGCCCGCGCACGTACTCGCTCGCCTCGGCATCGCTCCGGGCAACCAAATCAAGCGTCCGCCCGTCGGCCATGTCAAGGACGAAGGCGCGCCCCGCATGGCTCGGGTGCAGGCCCTTTCGCAGCGCCTCGGTGCCGCCGTGGGTGGGATTCTTCGGGTCCGGCTCCAAGGCCGTCCGCACGCGCTTGATGTCGGTCAAAGCGTAGACCTTGCGCGGCGTCATGCGCGGCTGCGATTTCTCGCCCGGCATTGGGCGCCACGTGAACGTGCGCCGTGCGGCGTCGACGAGGGAGAAGACGCGGCGCTGCGACGCGCCGTTTCGTCCGAATTTTATGAGCCGCAGCCCGTTTGCGAATTTCTGTTCGAAGTCTGCGCGCGCCGCCTGGTCGTCCAAGCGCGCGGGGCGCGGCAGCGGCGGCGCGGCTGGTGCCTCTGCCGGCACCTCATCGTCCTTCGGCAGGCAGATCTCCAGGAGCGGGCCGGGCATGGAGTTGCCCATGATTTATGCGTGTGATCTTGATTTTGCACCCGCCTTGGCTGCCCTATCATTTGCAATCGATCAAATCTGTCGAGCTCGAAGCCGTGAGCGTCTAGACGCCCAGGCTCGCCGCCAAAATGGATTTATTTGCCTCGCAATCGATATCAAAGTTGTACAGGTTTTTGCTGCGGAGACCCGCACGGTATTTTCTCCGCTTCCCTATCTTTCGTTCTTAGATTGAAGAAGAATCGAAGAAGAATCGTCAGGGTCTAGGGTAAATCGACAAACGCTCGGAGAGCAAAACAGCAAAATACTCTGACTTGGTGCCGGTTAGCTCTGGCACTCGTCGCACATAGGCCTTATTTCCTGCACGTCGGAACATAATAGCAAGCGCACGTCACCTCTTACGCGTCCGGTTGTGTTTCAGCAGCGCTCACGGCTCGTTGTGGGCTGCCGAAGAGATGTCGAGCAATCTCGTGGCAGAGCTGGCCGCCGCAGGCGTCGCTTGCAGCGTTGCCGACGGCCTGTTTCATCCGCTCGACACGCTGAAGACTCGGCTGCATGCAACACCGACGAACCTATCAAAGGTTATCGTCGACGCGGGCGGCGGCCTCCGCGGACTGCTTGATCTGTGGACGTCCGGCCTCGCGGCCACTGCTGCGCGCGCATTAACCTTCGCCGCAACGCGTGTCGGCGCTTATCCGAGTGTACGTGACGCGATGTCCTCGGACGCATCGGTTTCGGTGCGCGTGGCCGCCGGCTCGTTAACGGGCGCGTTGGCCGCGGCCGTATTTACACCACTGGACGTCCTACGACTTCGGTCTCAGCTATCATCCCGTGCGCACCCGACGCTCGACGTTCTCGGCGGCTTACGCAAACTCGCCGCGAGCGAAGGCTCGTCCGCGTTGTGGAGAGGTGCGAGCGTGAACGTCGCGCGAGCGGCGGTTTTAACCTCGGCGCAACTCGCGAGCTACGACGGCGCCAAACGGTATCTTCGTGACGAGCGCGGCTGGCGGGAGGACGACTCGTTACACGTCACGGCGGCGCTGGCTGCGGGCGCGATCGCGCAGACGTTCGTTCAGCCACTCTGCGCCGCGCGAACGAGGATATTTGTCGGACAGCGGCCCGCGAGCGGACCCTTCTGGAGGGGCTACGCCGCCGGGCTCGCTCGCCAGGGACCCGTCCTCGCGGTCACTCTGACCTTGACCGAACGCGCCCGGGCGGAGCTCGGCCTGTCGCCCATGTAGAAAGTGTGCATCGTTTTCTGGAGTCTCCTGACTGATTCACTGTGTAACATATTGTACGTGCCTCTCACCATCAAATTTAATAATAGACGTTACTCATTCCGCCAAACCAAAGAACCGCTCCCGCGCGCCGCCGTCGTCGCCGTCGAGCGTCGCGAGCATGAACGCGCCGCCCCGCCCGGAGACGACGACGGTCAGCCCGAGGACGCCGCGGTCCTCGTAGGCGATGTCCACCACGCGGTTCGCATCAATCACGAGCTCCGCGGCGCCGTCGCGCAGCTTGAGCAGCTCGCGGCCGTCGCGCTGCGGCGCGTGCTCGGCGACGGCGAAGCGGCCGGACGCGGACATCTGCGCCGCCTCGGCCTTCATCGCCACGGTCACGCGCCCGAGCCGGCCGTCGAAGGCCTCCATGAGCGCCCGCGCGGCCGCCGACGGCGCCGGCGCCGCGCGCTCCGGCGGCGGCGCCGCCGCAGGCGCGGCCTCCGCGCCCATGATCCGCTCCGCGAGCTCGCCGCGCCGCCGCCGCCGCGCGTTGTCCGCGATGATGTTCTGGGCCCACTGCTTCTGGAAGTCCTCGGGCGAGAGGTCCCGGAACGACGGCGGGTCGAAGACGGACCCGCCGCCGACGACGGCCGCCCAGGCCGTCGTGCCCCGCGGGTCGTCCGACGCCATAGTGTCGATGGGCGGCGGCACGAGCGGCGGCGCCGCCGCGCGGCCGTCGACCTGGGGCACCAGGGTCTTGGGCTCGGGCGGCGGCGGCGGGCCCGCGCCGGCCTCGGGCACGAGCATGCGGCCGACGCCGGGCGCGCGCGGCGCCGTCGTCGTCGTCATCGTCGTGTCTGGTGCCGGTGGTGTCACGGCGGCCGGCGGCGCGGGCGCGGGCGGCGTGAAGGCCGCGGCGACCTTGCCCATGGCCCCGGCCGCGAGGTCGGCGAGTGACGCGTCGCGCGGCGGCGGCGCCATGTCGTCGGGCAGCGGCACGGTCGTCGTGCCCGCCGCGAGGTCTGATAATGATGCGTCTCTTGGTGGTGGCGCCATGTCCGCGGGCAGCGGCGCGGGCGCGGGCGCGGGCGCGGGCGCGGGCGCCGCCGGCTCGGCGCGGGGCGGCGGCGGCGCCTGGCCCGCGCGCTCGTACGCGCGCGCGATGATCTCGTCCGGCGACACGCGGCGCCGCGCGGGCGCGGCCGGGGCCACCGGCTCGGCTGCCTTCGTTTCGGCCGCCTTCGCAGCCTCCGCGAGCCGGGCGGCCTCGGCGTCGGCCACGCGCTTCGCCTCGGCTGCCTTGGCCGCCTCGACGTCCTCGAGGCGCTTCTTCTCGGCCGCGGCCACGTCCGCCGCCGGCGCGGGCGCCTTCGGCGCGGGCGCCGGCGCGTAGAGGGAGTCGACGGTGCGCGGCGTGGTCGGCTTGGCCGCCGGCGCCGCGGCCTCGGCCTCGCGCCGCGCGGCAGCGGCGGCCGCGGCCGCTGCGGGTGTGGCCGGGCGGGCCGTCTCGGGCGTGAGCACCGGGCCCCGCGGTGCCGGCGGCGGCGGGGGCGCGCGCGATTTCTGCAGCTCGGCGAGCGCCTTCTGCGCCGCCTGGTCCGTTCGAGCGGGAACCGCGGGCACGGGCTTGGCGCCGACGGCCGGTTTCGCGGCAGGCTTGACCGTCCACACTCTTTTGGGGTCGTTGCCCGCACCCATGGACATGCAAGATGCACGCGCGGCGAGCATTAGCACCGCTACGGTGATTCTAGCCCGAAACTGGGAGGGGGGCGCCATCTTTGTTTTCAGGGTCGCGCGTGCCCTTCCGACTGCACGCGCTGTTTTTAAAGCCTCGCAACTGATGCGTGAGCGTCGTATGAGCAGTGATTTTGCGGCTGTCGTCTAGGGCGCGCCACAATCTGCTGCACAGGTCCAAAGCCTGGCGGCGGCGAGGAGAGGAGAGCAGCAGAGAGCATTGGCTAGCAGTGCCAACAGCGATTGACTCCTAGAGCTACACGTTGTCGTAAGGTTCGCGACGGCTGCTTTACTTCGACTCGTACGGCGAACGGCAGTGTTGCGTCGCATAAGTAAGCCAGCAGCACTACATCGCCCAGCAGCGCTCCTCACCAGCGACGCGATGAAGCGTGCGGCCAGCCCCAGCGAGAACGAAGCCGTGGCGCAGCGTCTCAAGAAGGAAGCGGCGGCGGCCGCGCCAACGCCCGCGCCGGCAAAGGACAACGGCGAGGTCCCGGAGGGCTTCATGAAATTGACGGAGGGCAGCGCGTCCATGCTCTACGAGTGCCGCGCGGAGGACACGAAGACGCGGGGCAAGGGCAAGGACGACGGCCCCGTCTTCTACAACAAGGTCCAGGTCTTCAACCGCGACGTGTCGGTGCTCGTCATGGCGCTCTTCGCGCAGTGGCGTTATATTGAGAAGCGCGAGCGCCAGGCCGGCGCGGACGCGCGCAAGGCCGGCGGCGACGGCGCGGCGGCGGCCGAGGCCGAGCGCGCGCGGCTCTACGCGCTGTCCGCGGCGGAGCTCGACGAATTATTAAGGGAGGACGCCGCGACCGGTGGTTTAAGGGTGCTCGACGCGCTCGCGGCGACGGGCTTGAGGAGCGTGCGCTACGCCAAGGAGGTGCCCGGCGTCAAGAAAGTGATATCGAACGACATCGAGGCCGAGGCCGCCAAGAAATGTCAAGAGAACGCAACCAGCAATGGCTGCGAATCATTAGTCGAGGCGGTCTGCGGCGACGCCGTCGCGCACATGATCAATAGCAGAGGGGACCCCTACGACGTCATTGATTTGGACCCCTACGGGTCCGCGGCGCCGTTCTTAGATGGCGCCGTGCAGGCTATTAGTGATGGCGGTCTCCTCTGCGTCACGTCCACGGACATGACCGTATTATCAGGAGGCTACCCCGAGGTTTGTTATGCGAAGTACGGCGCGATGCCGACCAAGGCTAAACATTTACACGAGTACGCGCTGCGCGTGTTATTACACGCCATCGAGGCGTCGGCGACGAGGTACGCGAGACATATCGTGCCCGTCGTCTCGTTATCGATAGACTTTTATATTCGCGTCTTCGTGCGCGTCTACAAGTCCCCTTCCAACGTCAAGCACACGATCGGAAGGCGGGCGCTGGTATTGCAGTCGGCGGGCTGCCCGTCGTTCTACCTCCAGCCCCTGGGCTCGCCGACGCAGCGCGACGGCGGCTATACGTGTGGGCGGCTCCACGAGCCGCCCCGCAAAATAAATCAGATGGGCCGGCGCGCGCAGCGGCGCGCGGAGGAAGAAGAAGCGGAGGACGAAGAGGAAGAGGAGGACTTCGACCCCGAGGCGGTCGCGCCGGCGCGCTGCGCCGAGACCGGCGCCGCGTTCAAGATCGGCGGGCCTATCTGGAGCGCGCCGATCCACGACGCCGAGTGGGTGGCGGCGGCCCTGGATAGGGTCGCGGCGGAGTGCGACGAGCACCTGTCGACGACGGAGCGCATCCACGGCGTCTTCACGGCCGTGTCCGAGGAGCTCATGGACGTGCCGCTCTACTACACGATCCCGGACATCTGCAAGACGCTGCACTGCGCCGCGCCCAAGCTTTGTGAAGTAAGAGCGGCCCTCCAGCACGCCGGCTACCGCAGTTCCCAATCGCACCGCGACCCCGACGCTATTAAAACAGACGCGCCGCCCAGGGTATTGTGGGACGTCTTCCGCTGCTGGGTCAAGAAGCACCCCATCGCCGCGAAGCGCCTCGAGGACAAGGACTCGGCGGCCGCGAAGATCCTGTCCGTCGAGCCGATCTTAGAAGCGAACTTCAGCACGACGGCCGCGCTGCGCCAGAAGCAGACGAAGGCGCGCCGCTGGGCGCCGAACCCCGAGGAGTACTGGGGGCCCAAGGCCGCGGCGCGCGGGAAGAAGAAGGCTAGAAAGTGAGTAAGAAGAGCGTGTGGTTCTTCTAGTCCTCGCTCCGAGCTGATTTTCCGCTTCCTAGTGTCTTACAGGCCGCTAGCTCGCTTCGCGTATTTTTGGGGGGGTCCCGAGGGATTAGGCCGGGGTAAGCGTGTTGGCGTAAGATTTGACCAAGGAATCGTAGGGGGCATGCATGCTTCTAGCTTGATGGGTCGTGAGACCGGGAGGCGGGCGGGTGTTCTTGCGTTCGGGCCCGATGAGAAGACTGCTCCCGCACGTATCCCGAGACGCGGGGAGAGGTAGGGGTATTACTCAGAGTAATAGGCGAGGCACTCGTCGTGGAAAGGGGTATTTTCCCCCGCCGAATCAGTGGCTCGCCCTCCCCAAGTCTGAGAGGACCTGTAGCAGCCCTGATAAAAAACGCATCTAGTTGAAACACACTAGAGGCACCAGACTCGCGGCGGCAGCTCTCGGTCGCCGGGCACCCTGCACGACAGCTGCGCGCCTCTGATTGCGCCTAGTCGCGCATCGTTTCAGACTTAGACACTCAACTGCTAGCGAGCAGTCATAATGGAAATCGATCTCAATGCCCCGGGCGCCTTCGCCCTGCTGTGCCGCTGCGGCAAGCCGCAAGTCCAATGTGCGACCCACGAGGCCGCCGTCGCGCCGGACCGCGTGCTCCTGCCGGCGGGCGTCGAGCCCGTGCACTACGACGTCGATTTGACGCTCCGACTGAACGACCACGCCTTCGACGGCACGACCACGATCAAGGTCGCCGTCGCCGCGCCGGCGACGACCGTGCAGCTCCACGCCAAGGAACTCGCCGTCGCTGAAGCAAAAATCGACGGCGTAGCTTGCAAGTTCACGGTCGACGCCGAGACCACGACCCTCCTCATCGCGCCCGCGACGACGCTGGCGGCGGGCGACCACGTCGTCTGCGTCAAGTACAGCGGCATCCTCAACGATCTGATGTGCGGTTTCTACCGCTCGACCTACACGAATGTGAAAGGAGAGAAGAAGCTCATGGCGTCCACACAGTTCGAGAGCATCGACGCTAGGCGGTGCTTCCCCTGCTGGGACGAGCCCCGCCGCAAGGCGACCTTCGCCTGCAGCCTCACGGTGCCGGCCCACATGACGGCCCTCTCGAACATGCCCGAGAAGTCGACGCGCCGCTCCGCCGACGGAAATGTAATAACGACGTCCTTCATGACCTCGCCGCGAATGTCGACCTACCTCCTATGTTTTGTGGTGGGCGAGTTCGACCACGTCTCTCAATTAACGAAGAACGGCGTCCTCATTCGCGCGTTCACGCCGCCGGGCAAGCCCGAGCTCGGCGAGTTCGCGTTGGAATGCGCCGTGGCAGCTCTAGACGCCTACGACACGACCTTCGAGATCCCCTACCCTTTACCGAAATCGGACATGGTCGCGATCCCGGAATTCGCCGCGGGCGCCATGGAGAACTGGGGCCTCGTGACGTATCGGGAGGTCGACATGCTCATCGACAAGAAGACGGCGTCATCAAGGCAACTGCAACGCGTCGCGGAAGTGGTCATCCACGAGCTGGCCCACCAGTGGTTCGGCAATCTTGTTACGATGGAGTGGTGGGAGGACCTGTGGCTGAACGAAGGCTTCGCGACGTGGATGGAGACGGGCGTGACGCACGAGTTGTATCCCGCCTGGTCCATGTGGGAGCAGTTTATTACCGATATGCAAGGTAGGGCATTACAATTGGATGCGTTGCGGTCGTCGCACCCCATCCAGGTGCCCATTCGTAAAGCCGAAGAAGTGGAACAGGTCTTCGACGCGATCTCCTACTGCAAGGGCGGGTCAGTAGTAAGGATGGTCCACGCCGTTGTGGGCGAAGAGGCCTTTGTGAGTGGATTGCGGGCGTACATGAAGGAGTTCGCCTATGGGAACGCGACGACCAATGACCTCTGGGCCGCGTGGCAGAAGTCCTCCGGTAAAAATATACCTGAATTAATGGACGCCTGGACGAAGCAGACGGGCTTCCCCGTCCTCGAATTGCAGAAGGTCAATAGTGATGGGTCTTTGGTACTGGAGCAGCGGCGCTTCTTCGCCGACGGCGCCGCCGACACGGAAAACACCAAATGGCCCGTGCCGCTCTTCGCTTCCGTCGACGGGACGCAGCAATCGATCGGCGTCATGTCCTCTCAAAAAGAGACGGTGCCCTTTCCCGACGCCAAAAATGCGAAGTGGGTCAAGCTCAACGCGGGCCAGCACGCACCTTTACGAGTAAAGTACCCCGACGCGATGCTGCCCCACCTGTTCGAAGCCATTTCCTCCAAAAAACTGCCGCCCGCGGACCGTATTGGTTTGTTGTCGGACGGCGCGGCGCTATCGAAGGCCGGGCTCATGCCCTTCGGGCGCTTCCTGGAGTTGCTGGGTGCTTATAAAAACGAAGACGACGCGACGGTCTGGTCCCAGCTGCTGGAGAAGCTCATGAGTCTGGGCAAGATTTTGCGCGGGGGCGACGATGCAACATTATCGGAGGCCTACGACGGCTTCGCGCGGTCGCTCATCGTGCCCGTCCTGGAAAAGTGCGGCTGGGCGCCGCGCGACGAGGACGCGCACCTGACGCGGAAGTTAAGAGGGGAGGTGATCGCCGCTTTGCCGACGTTCTGCGCCGCGGACGACGGCGTCTACGCCTGTGTGGAAATCAACCGGCGTGTCGGGTGCACTGACGCGGCCGTGCTGGCTCGGTCGAGCGGTGAAGAACCGGCATCGCCACGCCATCGAACGCGCCGTAAATTTGATTTCCACACAGGTCTACGCCGAGGCGAAGAAGCGCTTCGACGCGTTCCGCGCCGGCGGCGACCTGTGTGGAAATCAACCAGTGTGTCGGGTGCATGACGCGGCCGTGCCGGCTCCGTCGAGCGGTGAGGAATCGACACCGCCACGCCGTCGTGCAGGCGTCGAGTCGATGGCGTGGAGGACGACGCGATGATTCAGCACGAACGCGCCGTAAAATTTTGATTTCCATACAGGCGACGACGCCGCGCTTCCTAGTGAATATCAGTCGGCGGTCTACAAGCTGGTGCTCGCGCGGGGCGGGCGGGAGACCTTCGACCAGATCCTAAAACTACGCGAGGCACGAGCGTTGAACGAAGAGAAGAACTCTTGCTTGGTAGGCTTGGGCGCAGCCCCTACTTCTCCCCTGCGCACCGCGGCTTTAGATTTGGCCCTTTCGGATGCCGTGAAGCTCCAGGACTTCTTCTACGTCGCGCTGAGCACGCACGGCGCGTCGGCCGCGGGCAGTGACCTGTGTGGAAATCAAGCAGTGAGTTAGATTATTAGGACAACATCGCGTCGATGGCGTGGGGCGTCGAAACTTGATTTCACACAGGTCGCGACGCGACGTGGGCACACTTCACAGAAAAGCTCGACGCGTACAAGGCCAAGGTCGGCGAAGCGGGCTCGGCGATCATGGACGCCTCGATCGTCGGCGCCTGCGGCGGCTTCTGCACCGAGGCGGCCGCGAACGACATCGTGGCGTTCTTCGAGGCGCACCCCCTGCCGCGCAACACTCGAAAAATCGACCAGATAGTTGAGAGCACTCGCGCGTCGGCGGCGTACGTGTCGCGCATCCGGGACGACCGCGCCCAGGCGCTCGCGTGGCTCGGCAGACAGTAGCTTTTGGGGGTCGTCTCGCCTTCATAATTATATCGCGACAACATTCGCGCGGCGCCGTCGTAGGATAGAAATGTATATTTCTTTACGCCCTCCAGGAGGTGCGAGCGATCAATCGGCGGTGCGTGTGTCTCCTCGTCCAGGAGTTGGCCGTGCCGAGAGGCGCAGGGGAAGGGTAAACGCGGTCGCGCCGGCCCTGGGGACCGGCACGAGCTGGGGATGCGTGAGGGAAGGCAGCCTTCATGCTGCGGCATCGAGGAGCTCGACGTCTACTCACAGATGTAGTAGAACGTGAGCTCGTAGAACGACTCGTTGTGGTAGAATTCGTCGGCCGTCCGAGTCCGACGCGTCGGACGCGCGCACCGCGGCGCTTCGCCGGCCGCCCGCGGGGGGGCCAGATTCGCGACGTGGGTTCTGCTTTGTGTTTGGGGGCCTTGTATGTGCTCTTGGCCACGCTAGCGGGTCAGGTTGAGCCGGCTTGCTCAAGGCTGTAAATCGCGAAAACCGAGGGTTTGAGACTAGGCTCGCTTTTCGCTAGGCTGGATTGAAGGTAATTTAGGTAAACACAGTGGGAAAGACCGAGAGAGTTTGTGGTTGCGTCGAACTGGATGCCTTAAAATCATGAAAGCCTTGCGAAAATCCTAGAGACAATAGATGTGAACCTCACACGGGTCTCGCGCGCGATCCTTCGCGAGCGCACAAGAGACCCCTACGAAAGATGGGGCGCAGGCTTTAGTTTTTTTTTATTTACCGAGCGCGCGCGGCGCTAGCTCTTCCAGGACTTTGTACACATCACTCACCCACAAAGCAGGTCGACCACAGCTCTCAACTTACCCCGCGCCGCCGCGCCGCGTCCTTGCGCCGGTTGACCTCGAGCTCCGCGAAGAGCGAGTCCTCAGGCTCCGGTTCTACTTGAGAGGGCTCCGGGGCAGCGGAACTCCGAACGCCCGGTTCCGCCCGCCGCCAGACCTGGACGTGCGGCGCCATCGGCGACGCGCTGAAGAGGCACCCGGAGTCGTCCGCCACGATCGCGTCGGCGCCGTTGACGGCGCCCTCGCGCGGCCGCGTCGCCCACCGCCGCGTCCGCGCGGCCGCGTCCCAGCAGACGACGGCGCCGTCCTCGCCGCCGGACACGACGACGCCCGCCATCGACGCGAGCGCGGTGACGCAGCCGTCGTGGCCGTGTTCGAGCGCCGCCGCCGGCAGCGGCGTCGCCCGCGCCGCGTCCCAGACGCTGATTGAGCCGTCGTCGCGTCCCAGGTAGAGTTTCTTGCCGACCGCGAGCAGGCTCTCGGCGGCGTACGGCGGCGCGTCCGCCCGCGCTTTGGTTGACACGTCCCACGCGACGACGGCCTCGCCGTCGCCGCGCGCCGCGAAGAGGACCGGCCCGACGACGGCGAGCGCGTAGATCGACGGCTTGGCCTCGAGCTCGCCGGCGGCCTCGAGCGTCTCGAGGTCCCAGAGCCCGACGAAGCCGTCCGCGTCGGCCGAGCACAGCGTCGCGCCGGCGACGGCCAGCGCCGTGACGATCGCGCCGTGCTCGCCGACCTTGCGCAGCGGGCCCCGATCTTTCAAATCCCAGGCCCGGAGCGTCCGGTCGCCGCCGCCGGAAAAGAGCCTCCGTCCACATAATTTAAGACAGGTCACGCAGCCGACGTGGCCCTCGCGCGCGACGTCGAGCGGCCCCGCCGGCGCGCCGAGCGCGTACAGTAATTTATGCGTCTGTGCGTCGTAGACGCGGATCGCGTGGTCGCGGCAGCCCGCGTAGATTTTCACGCCGTCCGTCGCGAGGCAGGCGACGCCCTTGCTGCCGAACTGGGGCCCCTTCAATTTGCCGATCTGCTCCAGCGGGCCGGGCGTCGCGACGATGGCTGCCATCGTTTACCCACTGTGGTTTTTTGCTAGCAGCAGGCACGGGCTGGGCTGCCCCACCAGGAAAAGCGTGGATCCTCCTCGCTGTGTCCTGGGCAGCCTAATTGCGCTCGCAGGCGCCGGCAGCCAAGGTTTAAAACGCTTTTAGCCAGTTTCTTGGTCGTAAGACAGCTTGCGCGAGCGGCAGGCGCCAAACAAGTTTTGCTCATTTTGCTCCTGAGCGGGTTTTATCTGCCACCTAGGAAAGGTGTGGATCTCCTCGCTACTACCGGTCCACGCACCCACAAAGACACCTCGAGAAGCCCGTGCGAGTTTATAGTACGCTAGTAGATTTGTGTTTCGATGCTTTCGACTTGTGGTCCCAGGCGCAAAAGCAGCCACCGGAGGCTCAAAGGAGCGCGCGGGCAGCCCCAACCATGGGGCCCATGCCCGGCCGGCGGCGCCTCGCCGCCCTGGCGCTCGTGCTCGGCGCACAAGCAAATAAGCGGCCGAACCTCCTGCTGGCCCTCGTCGACGACTTGGGCAGCGGCGACGTTCAGTATAATGACCCGGCGATGGTCACGCCCGAGCTTAGTTCATTGGCGGAGGACGGCGTGATCCTGGACCGCTTCTACGCGGCGGCGACGTGCACGCCGGCGCGCGCGGCGCTCATGACGGGCCGTCTTGGTATTCGCACGGGCATGCAGGACTCCGTGATCCACGCCACGGAGCCCCGCGGCGTGCCCCTCGACGAAGTATTTCTCGGCGAGAAGCTCCAGAGCGCGGGCTACCGCACGGCGATGGTCGGGAAGTGGCACCTGGGCTTCCACGAGGCCGCCTACACGCCCCTCAAACGCGGTTTCGAGAAGTGGTACGGCATCTTCCCGGGCGGCGGCTCGCACACGGGCCATTTTAGCGTGTCCCAGCCGTTCACGGCGCGCGGCGGCACGGACGTCACGTGGTCGGGTTTTAACCTGTGGGACAACGACGCGCCGTCGGCCGACAACAAGTCGCCGACGCACACGACCCATTTGTACACCGCCAAAGCGAAGGAATATATAGAAACGTTCGAGGCCGCGGCGCCGGCGTACGCGGCGCCGCCGCGCAAGACGCCGCGCAAACTTAGTATTAGGGACCCCTGGTTCCTCTACCTGTCATATCAAGCGGTGCACGACCCCGTGGAAGTGGGCGACGCCAAATACGTCACGGACACAAACTGCAAATCACTCGACGCGCCGCGGTCGGAGCTCTGCGGCATGGTCGCCGAGGTCGACGACGGCCTCAAGACTTTGAGGTTGACCCTGGAGGCCAACAATGCCTGGGACCGCACTTTGTTAGTGATAGCCTCGGACAACGGCGGCGTGCCGGCGCACGGCTCCTCAAATTATGGCTTAAGGGGCGAGAAGGCCCAGTACTACGAGGGCGGCGTGCGCGTGCCGCTCGTCGTGAGTGGTGGATATGTCAATAAACAAGCGCGGGGCCGGCGGCTCCAATCGCTCGCGCACGTGACGGATCTGCACGCGACGTTCCTGCATCTCGCCCAGTATCAGCCGCGGGCGGAGGACAAAGCGTTGGATGGTGTGGACCTCGCGCCCCACTTGTTTGGGACTGCGCCGCCGCCGCGCGACGAAATTTTGATCAATATGAATTCCGCGCATTTTGGGGAAGCGGGAGCGCTCATCGTGGGCGACTTTAAATATGCGACCAACGCGGAGCCGAGCGAGGCGGGCATCTACGCGCACGTGCGCAAAGCGCTCGCGAAGGGGTCGGCTCCTTTGGAGAATTTAGTCGCGGCCGCGCGCGACGAGGTCGTGGGCGCGACGACGCCTACGCTGTTTAACATCGCGAAGAATCCCAACGAAAGGACCGACTGCGATACCGAGGACATTGAGGAGTCGTGCGACTTGTACGCGCACCCGGCCTACGTCGAGGTAAGGGAGGCAATGGAGCAGCGCTGGGCGCAGTACCGGTCGGAGATGGTCGAATCGACCTTCGCCTGGGCCGACGACGGCCCGCTGGCGGACCCCGCGCTCTTCGACGGCGTCTGGGCGCCGTGGCGCGACCGCGCGGGGCCGCGCGCGACCTACGCGGGCCTGGCGTCTTCTTCCGGTGAGGCGGAGCTCATCGCATCCCCAAAAGCGACTCCGGGCTCGTCGATGATGGTCACGACCGTGGCCGTGGGCTTATTATCGTTCGTCCTCGGCGCGTCGCTGTCGCGGTGGAAGAGGCCGCGGCACGCGTACCTGCCAATCGCCGAGGACTACTAACTTACTGTTTGTGTTACTAAGGGCCATGTGGCTCCGGCACGCCAACCTGCCCATCGTGGAAGCGGCGGCCGCCGCGGCACCGTCGGTACGCGTACGAGGACTACTAACTAACTGTTCTGTTAAAATATCCGCGAGTACTTCTTGATCTCGTCCAGGATCGTCGCAGTCGGCACGAAGTCGCCGGCGAAGGGCACGTCGTCCCCCCCGTTTTTGCGGACGATCTCCTGGAAGCGCGTGTAGTACAAAAGCAGCTGCATGAAAACCTGCTTCAAGACTTCGACGCCGTTGACGAAGTTCGCGAAGAGCCGCAGCACGTCCGCGTTCGCGGCCGCGATGGCCGCGCGCCACGACGCCGCGAAGCTCTTGGCGAGCGCCGCCGCCTGGCCCAGGTCCAATTGTGCGTCCGCCGACCGCTCGGCGCCGCGCACGAAGTCGATCAGGTCGGCGAAGGCCTCGCGGAGCGCGTCCTCGACGAACGCCTCGCGCTCTGCGTGAAGCTTGTTCAGCCAGAATAGGACGTCACTCTCGTGGGCCGAGACGTCCCTCTCCGCAAAAATCGAGCAGATGAGGTCATAGTTGTTCACGAGGAAGACGCGTTTGGCTTTGTCCTTCTTGAGGCGCCGCGCGAGCCGCAGTAACCTGTGTGGAAATCAAATTTTACGGCGCGTTCGTGCTGAATCGTCGCGTCGTCCTCCACGCCATCGACGCGACGCCTGCTCGATAGCGTGGCGGTGCCGGTTCATTACCGCTCGACGGAGCCAGCAATGCCGCGTCATCGCCGAGAAATGACTTAGTGAAGAATTGTCGGGCGCACCCGACGTACTGGTTTGATTTCCACACAGGCAGTAACAATTCGGCCGTGCGCTCGCGCAGCTCCTCCATCAACGACGCGGCCTGCGCCGCCGCCGACGCGGCGCCGTTCGTCGGAGCGGACGCGGTACTCGAGACCGACGACCGCCGCGACGCGAACTCCACGATCTTCCGCAGCGCCGGCGACGCCGGCGACGCCGCGGGACTCGCGGGCGGCGAGGCCGCGTCCGCGTCGCGCGCGGCGGCCGCGCGGCACTCGTCGGGGAAGAGCGCCAACACCGTGGCGTGCAGCTCGCCGTAGCGGCGCGCGACGTAGTGCGGCGCCGTCGACACGACGCCGAGGCGACTCAACTCCGCCTTTTTGACACCTTCCAGGTTCTGGGTTAGAATCGTGAGCAGCCGCGGCCGCACCAAGGCCTCGCAGTCCCCGAGGAAGGCGTCGAGGGCCGACGCCGTCGGCGCGGGGCCCCGCGTCGCCCGCGTCCGCGCGCGCTCGATGAGCCGCACGACGAGCAACAGGCCCACGGCGTCGTGGCACGCAAACAACTTGTTCTCGAGGTGTTCTAAAGTTGCGGAGAAGGCCCGCCTAAAAATTGCTTGCAACGTCGACTGCACGGCGGGCGAACTCTGGTCCGCCCCATGCAGGAACGCCGTCACGAAGTGCGTCTCCGACAGCGCCGCGTCGGCGAGGTGCCGCAACGACGACCGAAATAATTCCTCAAAGGGGTAGCGCCGGTTCTCCTTGATGGCCACGTGAACCAACAAAGGGGGCTCGTCCATGCGTTTCAGCACCCCTGCTCTATCTCCTAGCGAGAAGCCGTCGCCTCTTTTGGCCAGGGAGACGCGCCCCGTCAGCGCGTACCTCACGGCGTCCTCGGGCACGGCGACCACATCATTACGGTCCGCGACCGCCAGATCCAACTTCTCGAGCTCGGCGTGGTACGCCCGAAATAGGGCGTGGAGCGTGCGCGCCATGCGGTCCACGTAGACGTCCTTGACGTGGTTCGCGACCTCGGGCGCGTGCCGCTCGAGAAATCTTTGCAAAGGCGCGAGCCGCGCGAGCCGCACGCGCTGGAGCTGGTGCACATTACTCGAATCGCGGTGCAGCTCGTCGATGCGCTCTAGCAGCTCATCTCCACATCTAGCGGTGGCTTTCCCCCTCAGCTTCTCCATGAGCGGCGCGAGGTCCCTACACGACCGCCAGTCGCGAGAGAAAGAAACATCATCATGACTCTCGGCCGCGAAGCCCAGCGTCTCGTCCAGGGCCGCCACGGCCTCGACGAACGAATCGTCGACGGCGCCGTCGCAGATGACCGACGCGTGCCGCGGGTCCAGGGCGACGCGCTTCAAAAAGCCACCCAACTTCGCCTCGGCCGCGCGTCTATTTTTAAGTTTCGTCGCCATAGATCGGCTCTCCGACCGCAACGATTTCAGATCGCGCGACGCGGACCCCAGATCGGCCTCGAAGCCCAGGAGCCGCTCCTGCATCTCGGCGAGGATGCCGTCGCATCGCTGCAGTTGCGCGTGGAGGTCCGCGACCCTAGAAGATTGCCGCACGTAGTCCCGGACCGACCCGACCTCGACCTCTCTTAATTCTCTTTCGATCTCGAGCGTCCTTTCTTTAAGCTTGCTTCCGGGCTGGAGTAAAGCTTGCGCGATGGCTGGGTCGCTCTCGAGCGCATGCCGGATGTCCTCGGCGAACTCGTCCGCCGAGAACGCGGCGTCGCTCGCCGGCGCGGCGGTCATTTTTCTTGCGGCTGCGCGTCACCGACGGCTGCGCGTCACCGACGGCTGCGCGTCACCGACAACTGCGCGTCACCGATGACTCGCGTCACCGACGGCTGCGCGTAACCGCGGCTGTGGACGCGCGGGCAGCAGCCACGGTTTCACACTTAGCGTCGCCCTGGCCAGCTCGCAGCCTTTGCGAGACTTTTTTTGGGATTAAACGAGAGTGATGCTTGGCTCCCAGAGGCCCAAGCGCGCTAGATAGCGCAATCCGGCCAAAAATCGGCTGGAAAAAACCCGTATATATGTGTTTTGCCGCGGCGATTTTGCGATTTTGGCATTTTGCACGCGCTAGCGCATTGACCACCCATACGAGCGTCAAAGCAGCTGCTAGGGCTTACGTTTTGCCGCCGCAGCGCTGTACGTTGCTTCATTGGACCGCGTAATCGGCAGGAGCAACACAAGCTGTCATAGTTACACTTGCCGCTGCGCTGCGCTGCGACTGTTAGACGTCGGTTTAGACAGCCATAATGCGCCGCAATCGCCGCCGCAGCCGCCTGCGGCGCGTCGTGGTGGTCGTTGTCACGGCGTCCTCGAACGCGTTCCGAGCGCTTACAAGAGCACCGAAACGGGCGCAGCTGCGGCGCCACGCCGCCGCCGTCGGCAAGTACGGCCAGCACGGCGCCGAGGTGACGGGCAAGGTCGCGTTCCAGGGCGAGCACGGCGCGTACAGCGAGGAGGCCGTCTTCCAGCACTTCGGCGACGCCGTGGCCACGCTGCCGTGCCAGTCGTTCGAGGATTTATTTGCCGCGGTCGAGTCGGGCGAGGCCGCGTACGGCATGCTGCCCATGGAGAACTCGCAGGCCGGCAGCATCAACAAGGCGTATGATCTGCTCATGGACTTTGATTTAAGAGTTCACGGCGAGACAATATTGAGAGTGCAGCACGCGCTCATGGCGCTGCCGCGCGAGGACGGCGAGGCGAACCCGTTGAAAGTACGGAGCCACCCGCAGGCCCTCGCGCAGTGCGAGAACTTCCTCAAGTCGAATGGATTGGCGGCGCAGGCCGGCGCGGACACCGCGGGCTCGGCGAAGGAAATTGCTGATGGCAATTTGCGGGACGTCGCGGCCATCTGTTCAAGATTAGCGGCGACGCGCTACGGCCTCAAGATCCTGCAGCTGGGCATCGAGGACAACAAGTTTAATTTTACGCGCTTCTGGGTCTTGGCGAAGGGCGACGCGGCGACGCCGACGACACCGAAGACGTCTGTGGTTTTTGCCGTCTCGGACAAGCCCGGGTCCTTGGTCGCCGCTCTAGAAGAGTTCGGCCGGCGCAACGTCAACCTGGTCAAGCTCGAGTCGCGGCCGCGGCGGCGCACGGCCATGCCGGGCTTCAACTACATCTTCTACCTCGACTTTTTGGGACATCACGCGGACGACGCCTGCCGGGACGCGCTGCTCGGATTACTGTCGAGCTGCGCCTTCGTCAAGCTGCTGGGGTCCTACGACGCGGCGCCGCCGCTCGCGGAGCAGCTCGCGGACGAGAGCGAGGGGCCCGTCAACGACCCGACGCTCATGCAGATCTAGGCTCGTTTAAACAAGGTTTCATTTTTACACACAACAGAATCCTCCTCCGAGAGCCACTTCACCGCGTTCGCGCTCGTCGTTTTCGCAGTCTGCGTGGGCGTCCACCCGCGCGCCGTCGCGACGAGCTGGACGGCGCGGCACGTCGCGACGCGGGCGGCGGCCGCGTCGTCGACATCACTCTCGACCAAGATGCGGTCCTCGGGCACGGCGCGGATCGCGTCGTCCAGCGCCGCGAGCCCGCGGCGGCCGTTCATCGCTACGTTGATCGTGTGACTGAAGCCAAAGAACAGCGGATAGTCGACCAACGCCAGCAGTTCTTTTACGTGATGCGCCGTGCCGCTGAACGAGTGCAGGGCCACCGCAAAACCTGGCGTCGCCTCAACGGCCCCGAGCGCGGCTTTTAGGGGGGCGTGCTGCTTGACGGCGTGCACGGAGGCCGGCCGCCCGAGCCGCGCCGCCAACCTCAACTGCGCGTCGAAGACGGCTCGCTGCTGCGCCAGGCCCCGTTCGCGCTCCTCCTTCGCGCCTCTTACGTTCTTGGCGCACTTGCACAGACCGATCTCCCCGACGATCGCCGCGGGGTGCTCTGCCAAATTGGAAGCGAGTCGTCCGACGAACGCGTCGACGTCGTCGACCAAGTGCGCCTGCCACGGGTGCACGCCGAGGCCGGGCCGTAAACGAGGTGAAGCGCAGGCGGCCAGCACGGTCGGCCAGTTCGCCTCCTCCGTCGCTTGCGTGATGCCGGCGTACCTCCCGTCCGCCGCCGCGAACGTGTGGCAGTGCGAGTCGAAGACGAGAGCTGTGGCGAGCTCCGGCGGCAGCTCGTCCAACTGCGGCGCGACGTAGTCGTCGTCGTCGTCGTCGTCGAGCTGGAGCGGTGCGCAGCACGGGCAGGAGATTTTGAGGTTCGCGAAGGCGCCCGGCACGCTCATCGCCGCTGCGAGCTCGGCCATTAGGGCTGGTTACGCATTTCTAAGCATTGCTATATGTCACATTCGCATCGGTACGTGTGCATTAGGTCGTTTTTTGCAAGGAGAGCCCTGGCACTTGCAGCGGCGACAGAGCCATTTTGCCGCGACGCTGCGCGCGAGCAGGCAGTTGAACGCGCGGCGGGCTTCGTTCCGGACGCATACGTGAGCAACAACATCTCGCTGACAAAGAAACGCGCGCGACGCTCCTGTGAGCAGGCCAAGCAGCAAGAGTGTACTTGCAAAAATCGCCGGCGTCACGTCATTGCGGCGCACAACGACCTCAGGAGCATGCACCGGTTACTGCGGCACACGACGAGACGCATCGCACAACAGCAGCGCCGGACCATCACCGTCCTGCGCACGTCCGACGACGTCCGAACGTGGCGCAGTAAAGCAAGCGGCACCGTGGGCCTCGTGCCGACCATGGGCGCGCTGCACGAGGGCCACGCAGCTTTAGCGCAGCGCGCGGCGGCGGAGAACGACTGCAGCATCGCGTCGGTCTTCGTGAACCCGACGCAGTTCGCGCCGACGGACGATTTGGACCAGTACCCGCGCGCGCTGGAACGGGACCTCGAGACGCTGGAGGAGGCGGGCGTCGACGCGTGCTTCGCGCCGCGGACGCCGGACGAGTTGTACGCCGAGGGCGTCGACGGCGGGTTTAGGGTGATTCCGCCGGCGGACGTCGAGACGCGCGCCGAGGCGTCGGCGCGGCCGGGGCACTTCGCCGGCGTCTGCACGGTCGTCGCGAAGCTCTGGAACCTGGCGCGGCCGGACCGCAGTTACTTCGGCCAGAAGGACGCGCTGCAGTGCGCCGTCCTGCGGCGGCTCCACGCGGATCTGTGTTTCCCCGGCGAGATGATCGTGTGCGACACGCAGCGCGCCGACGACGGGCTCGCGTTAAGCTCGCGAAACGCCTACCTGAGCGAGGCGGAGCGCCGCGCGGCGCCCGTCGTCTACGCGGCGCTCGCGCGCGCCGAGGCGGCCTGGCGCGGCGGCGAGGCCGCGGCGTCGCGCATCGCGGCGGCCGCGCGCGAGGCGCTGGCGGCGGAGCCGCTCGTGTCGTCCGTGGACTACGTGTCCGTCGCCGACTACGCGTCGATGGAGGAGCTCGACGAGGTGCCCGCGCCCGGCCATCGAGACGTAGCCGCCGTCATCTCCGTCGCGGCGCGCGTCGGCGGCGTGCGCCTCATCGACAACCTGCCCCTGCGGTAGTAAGATTATCAAAGTATTCATGGAGGCGGTAGCCCGAGCTCGAGCTCTGCCCCTGCGGTAGTAAGTTTAGCAAAATTACGGGGCCGGCAGCCCGAGCTCGAGCGCCTTGGCGCGCGCAAACTCCGCCTCCGTGAGCGCGCCGGACGCGCGGAGATGTGCGAGCGTCGCGAGCCGGTCCGTGACGGAAGATGGCGCCGCAGGCGGTGCGGGCGGTGCGGGCGGTGCGGGCGGTGCGGGCGGCACCGGCGCCGGAGGCGGCGCGAGGTCGACGACGACGCGGCGCGCGGCGCCGGGCGCCGGCCCGCGGGCGCCGGCTGCGCAGAGCGGCGGCGCCCCGGCGCGCGCGACGACCACGGCGGCGAGGCGGCCGCCGTCCGCGGCCAGGGCGCGGACGCGGCCGTCGCCGCCGAGGCGGACGGCGGGCCGCGGCGCGAGGTCCGCCTCCGCGAACACGGCCACGGCGCGCTGCGGGTCGAAGGAGCTCGCCACGGCGACCGCGTCGCCCACCTCCGCGACGGCGTCGACGACGGTGACGCCGCGCGGCAGCGCGTCGATCCTCGCCGTCGCGGCCACGCGCCATTGATCTTCGTACTCGATGCGTGATATTGTGGGTCGCGGCGCCTCCGGCGGTGCCGCCGCCGCGCCGCCGCCGCCGACGAGGAGCCCAGCGGGGATGAGGCCGCCGCCGAAGCCCGTGTCGCGCGTCTCGGCGCGGCCGACGTACCCGTCGCTGGCGCGCACCTTCATGTCGTCCGCCCGGGCCGCCTCGCGCGTCAGCAGGCCCGCGTCCGCGACGCAGACGAAGCCGTAGCCCGCCACGGCGACGCCCCGGCACGGCGTTTTTACGACCATTTCTGTACATCCTGATCCACTGTCCCAGATGGTGAGGCCGCCCGCGCCCGCGACTGCGAGGTCCCCCCCGAGTTTCCAGGCCAGGGCGCGACCCGCACCGCCGACCGAGAAGTGTGCTATGGGCGCCAAGCCCTCGTCGAGGACATCGACTACCGTGCCGGCGCAGCGCGCTATGTACGAATTTCCGACTGCCGCATTTTCGACTGCCGCGACCAGCACCGTCCCCGCTGCGGCCAGGCCCGCGCAGGTCTTCCGCGGCGCCACGACGCGCCAGCCACCGGCCCCGTCGCGCGCGAGGCGCCACCGCGCGCACGAATCGCCCCACGCCGCCACGACGAGCACCTCATTTCCAGGGAGATCACACGCTGCGACGGCTGCGGCGGCCGGCGCCTCCATCAGCACCGTGCTCGCCCCGCTGTCGAGGTCCACGAGCTCGACGCTGTTCGACGGCCGCACGACGGCCAGGCAGCGGTGCGACGCCACGTAGCCGTGACTCGACACGTGGGCGACGTCGCCGAGTTCCGCATCTGTGGTTGCTTGCTCGACGACGGGCGGTGCTGCCGTGCTCGACGGCTTGCGCAGCTTTTGGTCTATTTGCGTGATCGCTGCGTTGACGTCCTTGGTGGCTGCGAGGAGGTCGGTGAGGTCCATTGCTAATCCCTTATCTATTTGTGGTGATCTATACGCCGTCCCAGCGCTTGAACGCGTGGGCGAATTGGTCCGGATAGACGCAGCACTGCTGGTTCTCGCCGACGCGGCAACTACGCTGCCTTAGTTTGATCGATGCGATCGCTGCAAGGCAAAAAATGGCGGTCGAAGACTCCGGAGCTAGTGGCATAGTAAGACACTAGCGCCAAAAAGGCCGCGTCGACCTCTCGGCAACTCATCTCGCGCGCACGGCAAGCCACGCGCACCAAACGTGGTCCAAACGCACTTATACGTCACAGGCCAGCTTCTCAGGAAGCATCGGCCTCAAGCGAGCACAGCCTACCGCTTGACCTGCAGCGCCTGTGCTGAGTTTGAATAAACTTGGACGCGCACGCATCACCGCGCGGCCTCGCAACTCCTTAAATAGGACTCCTCGCACCCAGCGAACCGCCCAGCAACCATGATACGCCTCAAGAAGAAAGCCGCGGCCGCCCCGAAAGAAGACGAGAAGATGGCCGACGCGCCCAAAACTAATGGAGAGGAGAAGGTGAGCATCCTCGGCATCGGCGGCCGCAAGGTCGCGAAGGCGACGGGCTCGAAGAAGCGCAAGACGCCCGGCGAGATCCGCATCCAGAAGGACATCGCGGAATTGGACGGTGGTGACGTGGCGCAGATCAAGTTTCCCAACGCGAACGACCTGACGAAATTCAACGTCATCGTGACGCCGGACACGGGCTTCTGGAAGGGCGCGACCTACCACTTCACCTTCACGATCCCGGCCATGTACCCGCACGAGCCGCCGAAGGTCCACTGCGACACGAAGATCTTCCACCCGAACATCAACCTCGAGGGCAACGTCTGCCTCAACATCCTGCGCCAGGACTGGAAGCCGGTCCTCGACATCAACGCCGTCATCTACGGGTTGATCTACCTCTTCTACGAGCCGAACCCCGACGACCCCTTGAACAAGGAGGCGGCGCAGCTCTACCGGGACGACATCAAGATGTTCGGTCGGCACGTCGCGCGGACGCTGCCCCGCTCCTAGGCGCTGTAATATGACAAAATATACTACTCTCCGCCGTCGCCGAGGCCGGCGGCGAGCGCCGCGAACTCCGCCTGTTCGGTCGGCGGCTCGTCGACGTCGCCGAGGCCGTCGGCCAGCGCCGCGAACGCCTCCTGCTCGTCGTCGCCGCTCAGCAGTCGTTCTATCGCTCGTTCGTCCTCGGCTATTTCTCGGTCGACGTCGCCGAGGCCGGCGGCAATTGCTTCGAACTCCTCCTGTTCGGTCTCTCCAGGGCCGCCGTTGTCGTCGCCGAGGCCGTCGGCGAGCGCTGCGAACGCCGCGTCCTCGGTCGGCGCCGCTGGTCGCGACGACGACACGTCGGTCGCGGCGGCGTGCGCCTCCCTTTCCGCGGCGGCGAGCTCCGCGTCAAGTTTTTCTGCGAGTACGTCGAATTGGTTGGCGGCCGCCACCGCGTGCCGGCCGATCGCACGCGTCGCGGCTTTCGCACCCGCCCAGCGGAGCCGGACGCGCGCTCGGCGCCGGCCCTCGATCATCGCGTCGTTCTGCCTATACATATCGCGCTCGAGCGCCTCCGACGATGCCGCCCGCGCCGCCGAGACGTCGTCCCAGCCCAGCGCGTCGTACAGATTCGACCGCTCCGTGATGGATTCCTTGTATGCGTCGTCATCCTTCGCCTTCGTCGCGGCCTGTGCGGAAATCAACCAGTGAGTTAGGTTATCCCCGTGACCGCGTCGATGGCGTGGAATTGCCACGCCATCGCGCAGCTATTGAAGCACGTCGCGTCGATGGCGTGGGGCGCCCGAAATTTGATGTCCACACAGCTTGCGGCGTGCTCGACCCAGTCGTGCCGCAGCGCTTCGTGCCTCGCGTCGTCGGCGGCGGCGTTCGCAGCGTCGTGTGCGGGACCCTCCCAATCCCACGCGCCCCAGATCGTCTTACCGTCTTCCATCACAGTACGCGGTACCGCCGGCACGGCCGCCGCCGCCGCGCGCCGCGGCGCCCGCCGCGCGGCGAGCCGTATCGTCTCGGCGGCAATCTCGCGCTCCAGCTCTGACGCGACCGCGTCGCACGCGTCTCGGGCATCCGCGAGGCGCCAGCTTTCCGGTGGCGGCTTGGCGTAGCTGAGGTCGCGGAAGCAGTGCGGCTCACGACGGCCCTGGCGCGCGAGGAGCCGCAGCGCCGCTTCCTGCCCAGAAACGAGGTCGTTGCGTCCGCGTGCCGGGTCAGGCTCGAAGCGACACATGCCTGGGTCGCGGTTGAGGTAGGCCATCGGTGCCCTTGTGTTGCTCAAGGCCTTGCTATCGGGCAGCGCACTGGTGCGACCCCCCTGCTTCTAGATTGATTGCTTGGCGCCGGTACCGTTTTGATGCTGCCCAATGTGCGGCAGCGTACCGTACCGGCCTCTGGCGACCCGGTTGCAGCTATAGGCAAGTTTGCGCAGTGTAATTGCCGTTTTATGCTAAGCTTCGTGGGCAACGGGTGGGAGATTTTTAGCCGGGGATCACAGGGTATGTATCTATTTGCCGCCCGATAAATGCCCTCGATAGGCCTCTTGGCCACGGGACGATCCTTTCGGCACCGGTCATAAACCCGTTTTCTTTCATCTTTTTTTGGGGTCCCCGCGATTTTTACGCTGATTAGGGCATACAAGCGTGCGCTGGACATCACACACTGTCAGCGCAACAGCGCTTAACCAGCGGTATTGATCCAGCCCAAAAGCAGCGGTCTCAAGCACCCCTGTAAAGCCCCAAGTCACATTACCTGGATACAGCACGCGCAGAAGGCACGCGGCGCGCACAACCACAGCAGCCCAAAAGCACCGCAAAAAAAAAGAAACAATGATGGACTCCCAGGCCCACGTCGGCCCCACCGAAAGTACAGAAGGCCAGGTGCTGACCATCACGGTGAGCGACCCCAAAAAGGAGTCCGAGGGCATGAACTCCTACGTGAGCTACAAGGTCAACACCGCGACGAACCGCGAGGAGTTCTCGTACGGCCAGTTCGGCGTCATCCGGCGCTACTCGGACTTCGCGTGGCTGAGCGACCGCCTCGCGCGCGACGTGCCGGGCGCGATCGTGCCGCCGCTGCCGGACAAGGCCGTCGTCGGGCGGTTTGGGGCGGACTTCGTGGAAAGCAGAAGACGCCAGCTCGAGCGCTTCCTCCAGCAGACCGCGGAGCATGAAGAGTTATCAAAGTCGCACTACTTCCAGACGTTTCTCCAGGCCGACGACGCGGGTTTGTTGAATGCCAAGGCCGAGGCCAAGGTACAAGAAAAACTCAATGAGCCGCGGCGGAATAACACCCAGGTGCCCGGCGACGGCACGCTCGCGACGCGCGTCGGCGCCTGGCTCGAGGGCAGCGTCGCCTCGTTGAGCGCGTCGATGCAGGCGTCGCAGACGGCCCACGTGCCCCAGACGTCCGAGGACGAAATTCTGGAGAGCGAGCTCGCGCACGTCGCGAACCTCGAGGCCCAGACCCAGAACGTGTCCAAGCACGCGCAGACGCTCGCGAAGCGCAATAGAGATGTGGCGAACGGCCTCTTCGAGTTCGGCCTCGCGTTCACGCTGCTCGGCCAGACGGAGCACGCGCCCTTAAATGATGCGCTCACGAAGCTCGGGTCCTGCGCGGACCAGCTGTCTTTATTAGCGACGGAGCACGTCGCGCGCGAGGACGCGGCCTTCCGCGACCCCGTCGACGACCAGATCCGCCACCTCGCGTCCGTCAAGGCGGCCCTGGGCCAGCGCCAGAAGCACAAGCACGCCGTCGCCCTCGCCGAGGCGGACCTGTCCCAGCGCAAGCAGGCCGCGGCGAAGCTCGCGGGCCGGCCCGGCGCCGAGGGCCGCGCCGTCGCCGCCGAGGGCGCCATCCAGCGCGCGCGCGAGGACGTCGACAAGGCCCGCCGGGCCCTCGAGGTCGTCACGGCGCGCGTGACGCGCGAGCTGCAGCGCTTCAAGGCGCTCCGGGCGGCGGAGCTGCGCCGCGCGATCGCGAGCTACGTCGCGTTGCAAGCCGAGCACTCCGCGGCGCTCCGGGACCAGTGGGCCGAGCTGCTGCCCGACCTCGACGCGGGGGCGCCGCCCCTGCCGCCGCCGCCCGCGGAGGAGGCCGTCGGCGTCTGATCTACTTCTATGTGTATTAAGCATCCTTATAACAAATCTCTCAGTAGCCCTCGTCCTCGTCCTGGGGCGCGGGGTCGCCGTGGATGACCAGCGGCAGCTCGCAGAGGCGCTTCATCGTCTCCTCGTGGTTCCGCTCGTGCTCGGCCCACTCGAGGTGGTCGTAGGTCGGCTCGGCGGCCTGGATGCGCGCGAGGATTTTCTGGTTCTCGCGCGTGATGCGCTGGAGCTCGCGCTTCCGTCGCTCGCGGTTGAGCGACTGCGAGTACTCGCCCGTGTCCTCCCGGATGTCCATGGACTGGTGGCGCATGATGTACGACATCTTCTCGAGGAGCAGCCGGTTGTCGCGCTCGATCTGGGCGTAGCGCTCCTCCATCATCTGCTCCTTCTTCGGGTTGCGGCGCTTGCCGCCCTGGCGCGTGTGCGGCTCCTTCGTGTCGATGGAGGCCTTCATCTCCCGCAGTTTCTTCTTGTGGCGTTCCTGCTGGGCCTTGACGAAGCGCGCGTGGCAGGCCTTGTTGCCGATGGGCATGGCGCGCCGGGCGCGGTCCATGGTGGCTTGAGCTTGACCTCGGCTTCCCCTACAGGCGACCTTCTAGAGGCGCGGGGCGTCTTTTGTCGGGGCGGCTCGTCAACGGGGCTGGCCCTCGGGAGCGGCTCCGGGCGCACGGCGACGGGCGCGGTTCTCCCGTTCGTTTGGAGCGCTTCTTGAGAGCGACCGGCGGCGGCGGGCGGGGCAGCGCGCGGGTCCTCGCGTCGCACACTGGCTTCGCAATAACACCGGCTGCCGCTATATTTGTAGTAGGATATAACTCTCTAGGGCACGATGCCCGTCCGCGAGGTCATACAAGGGCTATTTCGGACTACGTGCCCACTATGAGGACTCTACCGGAGGACAGCTCTGAAGAACCCGCACCACAAAAAGTGTCGAGCAGGTTTGGTGCGGACGCGCCGCGGTGTGGCCGCAATTGCTGCCCAAGGGGCAGTGCTGCTGCCATCTATTCGCCTGCGATCGCTGCTGCCGTGTGTGCATCAGCTAAGGCCAGACAGGAGAGAAAAATGCATTGGGCTGCTTTCACACTCATCCTACTGGGGGCAGCGGCAGAGACAGACGGCGGCGGCGAGGCATTAGCAGCACGCCGACGATTGGTGACGCGCCCCTACTTCGTGCCCCCGCCGGACCTCACGAAGAACTGGCTCGTGCACGGCGCGGACCACCGCGGCGCGCGCGCCGACTGGAACCCGGTCTGCAGGCGCTACGAGGCCCGGACACCGCCGCTCGCGGCTGCGGCCGCGCGCCTGCGGTCGCAGGACCAATCTATAAAGCGCGGCCCAGCTCCAACACTGGAGGAGCCGCGCGTCGCCGGCAACGCCACGCGCACCGAGGACGTCGTCGCGCTCGTGCGCACGACGTGGGCGCGCTACTGCCGCAACGTCGTGCCGGCCTACCGGACGTGGGCGGCCCTCCTCCCCGACGCGTACGCCGTCGCCCAGGAGCCGAACCGGTCGCACGCGTGGATCAACGAGCTGCCCCGCGAGATGCTCGACTACCGGCGCGACATCCGCCCGGGCGAACAAAAGCGCGGGCCAAAGGGCGTGCGCGTGCCGCTCTACTACGGCTGGAAGCTAATGCGCTACGGCCGGCGCGGCACGCTGAGCCGCCCCGTCGTCGTCGCGTCGCAGTGCCGCCACGTCTCGCACCGGAATCCGTGCTGCGCCGCCGACGCGCAGCTGCGCTTCGCGCACGATCTGCTCTCGCGCGGCTCGAAGGCGAAGTGGTTCCTCTTGGTCGACGACGACGTCTTCGTCCACACGTACGCATTAGCGCGGGCGCTCGCGACGCTCGACCCGGCGAAGGCGCTGGCCGTCGTCGCGCCGGCGACGCGGGACCGCGCGGGCGCCTGCGCCGGCCTCGCGGCCGCGGCGCTCTCGCGGGCGGCGCTGGAAGCCGTGGGACCGGCGGCGACCGGCCGCGGGATCGACGCGGCGTGCGCCGCGCTGGGATCGCCGCAGAAGGCGCTCGCAGCTGTCCTCGCGGGCCATGGAGTGGATCTGCTCGCGCCCCCGGCCCGAGACGTCTTCGTGGTCGGGGCCGAGCCCGACGACTACGGCGCGCTGCGCGACGAGCGACGCGAGCACGTCGACCTCGCGTGCTCGACCGCGTATCCCGCACCGTGCGCGACGGAAGCGGCGGAAACGGCCCCGCGGCGGCGGCTTGCGGCACGGGAGCAGAAGCGCCTTCCGATCGAGGAGCGCCGCAAGATCGCGCCCGTGGCAGGGCAAAAGAAGCCGCCCGAGCCGTACCGCGCGCCGCCACCCCCGACCTGGCGCCTCCGAGAAGGGTGCTGCGCTGCCGCCGCCGCCGCGGAGGCGCCGCCCGCCGCAGGGACGTGCCCCCGCTCGCAAGCGACGGCGGCGTGGCTCGCGGCGCGCCGCGCGAGTTAGAGCGAGTTAGTATGTACAATTATTACGCCACGGTTGCAAGCAATCGGCTGATGCCGCGGATGAGATTCACGTAAAGCCGCCATGGTAGCAGCAGCAAGCACACAGCTGATGTCGCGAATCAATCTCTTCGTCCCTATATTTCATCCGGGCGGCGTCGTAGGCCCGCGCAGCGTCCTCCTCGTCGTCGAAGTCGCGAATCAGCTGATGTCGCGGATGAGGTTAACATATATCGGTCGACTCTGGACCCCGTTGGCCAGGAACGAGAGGCCGAAGCTCTCGAGCGGCCGGTCGAGGAGCTTCTCGGCGACGACGCCCGAGCGGCTCCGGTAGGAGTCGTCGAGGCCCGCGCGCAGCACGCCCGACCGCGCGCGCGCGCGCGGGTCCTCCTTTGAGCCCGCGATGGCCTTGAGGAAGTGGACGTCGACGATCTCGGGCGAGGCCGGCTCGGCGCCGACGCGCGCCGCGCGCGCGTTGAGCACCGTCGTGATGAGCTTGCGCAGCGTGCGCACGGTCGTCCGCCGCGGGTTCACCCTCAAATCGATCCAGTCGTCGAGCTCGGGCCCGAACTGCTGCACGACGAGGCGCCCGTCCAAGGGGCCCGGCGGCGGCTCGCCGCTCGTCAGGATCAGGGGCCGGCCCGCGGCCAGGCGCACGGCGTCGCCCCTCTGTCCGTGGACACCGCCCGTCGGGAAGCGCACGAAGGGGTGCACGTTGCGCGGCACGTCCTCGAAGGCGACCCCCAGGTCCACGCCGTCCAGCGAAAACCCGACGCCCGACCCGCGCCGGTAGACGCCCACGACGCGCCCGACGCCGTAGCGCCGCCCGAAGGCGAAGGATACCTCGTCCTTGTCGCGGTTCCGCACCTTCTGCACCGCGCGGCCCGCGCCGTCGACGTACCATTCCCTACAATTCGCCTTGTACGACTCGTCGAGCGACAGGTTTTGTGACTGTGTCGTCTCCGCCACCCCAATATCTAATGTCAGCGCCCGCATGCTCGTGATCTCGACCTCGAACAAAAACTGCGGCGACGCCAATGGAGTGAGCACGTCGAGCACGCGATTCCACTGCATCCAGCGCGGGCTCGCCGACACGTCGCGGCCGTCTATAGAAATACCGCGCGGCTTCCGCTCCACACTGTCTCCTCTCACCATCGGCGCCTCGGCGCCCCACCGCAGCTTCTCGTCGTCGGGCAGCGCGTGCCACATGCCCTGCAACCTAGCCTTGATACCCTCGACCTCCTCCGGTAGCACCTCGCCCCCCCCTGGATGCACCTCGCCCCGGTGCCGCTTGCAGAAGTGCCAGTAGCCCGAGGCCCGGCGTACCTTGGGCCGCGACGCCGGCAGCGGCAGCGGCAGGAAGTGCCGCGCGTCGCCGCGGCCGTAGTCGTTGACGTGGCGCGCGAGCGCGCCGCCGCTGCGCGCCGCGCGCGCCACGGACCGCACATCTAATAACAGGCAGATGCGGTGGAGCAGGACCTCGGGCAGGTCGAAGGCCTCCTCTACGTCTTCATGGTCTTCGCCCAATGATTTCCCCAGGTTCGTCGCCGCGTCCAAATGGATCGCTTCGTCGAGCGACACCGCCAGGTGGCCGATCGCGTAGGCCTGCAGCGTGCGGAGCTGGCCCGGCGTGTGGAGCTCGTGGAACTCCTCGCTGCATTCCGTGCCGAGCGCGTGCTCGATCGCTAAAGCGGTGGACGTCATGCCGCCGGCCGTCCAGCCCGGGTGGTTCCTGGCGAAGTTCGTGATGTCGTAGACGATGCCATCCACCACGATCCAGCCGTCCTCCTTCGTGTTGTGTTTTCGCACGTCCGCGAGCGTGTACGCTGTTGTTCTAGACGGCGCGCGGCTCGGCCGCTGCTCGGGTCTTACCGGGGTGGCGGGGGGCTCGTCCATTTTTTTTCTTTGTTTCTCCTCGCGGCGTTTGAAACTCTTCCCAAGCTTGGCCTCTGGGAGCAGGGCTCTGCTTGTGTTCCAGCGGCCTGCTCTTGCAACTGCCTCGTTATGCGAGGTCAGGCAAGTACCCGTAGGCTGTACGCGCCTGGCGCGCCTAAACGCAGCCGTAATGTGACCGCCCAATAGCCCAGCTGCTGGGCTCGTGTCGAGGCCTCTGGCCCCCGTGCGGTACCGCCCTGGATCCGGTTGCTCGCATGGAAAGCGGCTCCAAGACGCGTGGATTGGCAACACACAAACGTGCGTCTGGAGGCTAGCGGCCGTAAAGACACTAGCAACAAGGCTTTGCCAAAGTTGGGCGCAAAGGCAGTGCTGGCCTTTTGTTGCTACGCTCAATCACACTGTAAACGTAAATCTACCATCCACTGAACTTGCCTCCTCCACGCCTTGCGATCCGTGGTGGATTTTAAGGCTCCCATCCAGCCACCACTGCTGACCCAATGTCTGAGCAGCTCTCAGAGGCGAAGACCGCAGCGAACGCGGCCGATGCGAGCGATGCGGTGACCGATGCGAGCGGTGCGGCGGCCGATGCGAGCGATGCGCCGGCCGAAGCGAGCAACACCGCGGACGCCCTCGCCGTGGTCCTGGAGGCGAATCTCCCGACCTTCGTCGCCGGAAGCACGAAGATCGTCGGCGCGCTGCGTCGCTGCGACAAGTCGTGGCGCGACGCGCTCGGCGCTCACCCGGCGACGAAGCGCCTCTTCGCCCGCTGCGCGGCCTGCGGCAAGTTCGCGTGGCGCTGCAGCGACTGCCAGGGCGTGGCGCAGCCCGGCGAAGAGCGCCGCCGCGGGCCGCCGCGCGACGAGGTGCTCTGCCTCGACTGCCGCCACGTCGACATCGAGAAGAGCTACGGGCGCACCGAGAGCTCGCCCTGGGGCGGCCAGCTCCACATCCCGGCGATCCACGGGCCGCGGCCGGACCGGGCGCCGCGCCCGTGCATCGACTGCGGCACGCTCGTCTGCCTGGCGTGCTGCGTCAAGCGGGACTTCGACCCCTGGTCGACGACGCGGGACATGGACGAGGAGACGGCGCGCGCGATCATCATGTCGTCGGATCCGCAGAAGGAGATCAACAAGCGGCTCACGCCCGCCGCGCGCTGCGGCGACTGCTATTCAAAAGTGCCGCGGCCGGAGAACAAGAAGAAGAACCGGTGCTTCACGGCGGGGTCGATGCTCTCCTTCGGGGACGGAGACGCGGACGCTCCTCCGGCTGACTACTAAGAATTATGTTGTACGTTCATGGAAATAGAACATAGAAACATTACAAGACGCTCTCAGCCGGCTCGAACGGCTCAAACTGGAGCTCGGCCAGGCGCCGGAGCGCGTCCCGCGCGTCGCGGCCCGCGCCTTTGAGCGGGAACAGCGCCGCGTGCTCGTCCGGCCGGCGCGGCCGCGGGATCCGGCGGTAGTAGTACAGCACGAGGAGCACGGGCGCGAGCTCGAGCAACCCAAAATAGCCCGCGGCGACCAACGCGTCCCACGGGCCCTCCAGCGGCAGGGGCCGGTCGCGGACCGCGAGGAGCGCGACGCTCCGTCCCAGCGTCGCCAACGCGCCCGCGGACGTGAGGGCGCCGATCTCGCGCAGCTTCTTGCGCCGCAGCACGCCCTCGATGGGCACGCGCCGCAGCTCGTATGCCGCGGCGCGCCCGAAGCCGACGAGGAGCGCGGCCGCGAACGCGTAGAGCGCCGCGGAGACCAGCGCATAGGGCCCCGGCGCGTAGAAGGCGTAGCTCCGATCGGCCAGGGCGGCCCACTGCATGACGAGCAGGGCGTAGGTCGCCGCGTTCACGACGGCGTCTGCGGGCCGTGCGTAGTCCTCGTAGAGGAGCGCGCCGTCCGTCGCCACGAAGACCATCTCAGCCCAGAATAACGCCACGGACGCGTAGATCGTGAAGAGCACCGTGGTGGGCAGCTGGTCCAGGACGTAGAACGCGAGCCTCGGGGCCGGCGTCGCGAACGCCGACACGGTCCCCGCCTCCCAGTCCCACAGCGTCGACGCGTGCGCGAAGAAGGCGCAGCGCGCCGCCGCGCAGAGCGTCACCAACAGGTGGAGGACCTTTTGCGTCGTCCACGGCCCGCCGTGCCCCCTGCCCCGCAGATTGAGGGCCCGGCAGCCGGCCACGCCGGCCACGAGGCCATAGCTCAAACCAAGCACGGCGCAGAGCGTCCAGCCCAGGGCCTCCGCGCTTGCATCTTTGTCCATGTTATTGGGCCGCCATTCCTGCCTTTGCTTGCATTTTTTCCATCGCGCTTTCGGCTCCTTTTGCGACCAATCCGCAAGGGCAGCCCATTTGCTAGTGTGTCTTACAACCGCTAGCCTCGGCACACGTCGGTCGTTTTAGCCTATGGCTCGGCTAGGCTCGACTAGTTAAGCCATACGATAGGATGAGGGTGCTCCCATAAGTCCGCTGCTCCTTGGCGCTGCGTGTGACAGTCCCGCCGGCATGCGGCACCTCGCCCTGACCGCGCTGGCCGCTCTGGCCGCGGCATCCTCACCGGGCGGCCCGGACGACGCCGAGGCCGCGCTGCGCAACCTCTTAACGTCGCTCCGGCCCGTCTACAGCAAGTGGAAGGAAGCCGAGACGCCGGAACAACAACCGCCGGCGCCGCCCGCGGTCGGCGCTGCGCCGTGGGTCCGGGCGGCGACGGACCTGCGCGACGCGACGCCCGCCGACGTCGCGCTCGCGGCGCTCGGCGGCGCGGCGCGGCGGCCGGAGCGGCGGCCGGAGCGACGGCGCCCCAATGCGCCGAAGAGGCCACCACCCGCGGCCGCTCAGCCCGCGGCTGCGCCCGCCGCCGACCAGGCGCAGCCGAGGCCACCGCCCGCGGCGGCACAGCCACCGCCCGTAGCGTTAGCGGCTCAGCCGCCGCCGGCCTTCGCGGCGGCGGCCGCCGCCTGGACCGCGGCACACGGCAAGGGCGCCTTCTACGCGCGCGACGGCGAGGTCCTCGAGGAGCCCATACAACAACAGGAGCGGCGCGGTTTCTGGCGGCCCCACGCGCACGTCCAGCAGCCCCCTCCCAAAAGTTACTTGGCGGCCGGCGCCCCGGCAAGACCTCCTCAAGTCGAGGAGCTCCACAACAAGCTCAAGCAGTTCGACGAGGCGGGCGTCATGGGCGCCGTCTATAGAGGAGGCGCCTGCCTCTTCGCCTGCGGGGTGCTGGCTTTCTGTAGCGTGGCGCAGCCCGACCGGCTGACGAACGCCGCCTACAATCTGAGGTATAAGGAGACGCTCGGCCGCATCTTGTTGTGTTTTGCGCCGTCGGCACTCCTCTTCCTCGTCGTCTTCTCGCCGAAGCGAGCTACAGTAGGAGACGCCGCCAGGGCCTTCCACGCGGCGTTCTTCCCCGCGTTTATTGGCTGCGCGGCGTGCGAGGTGCTCGTCTCGTCAGCCGTGTGGTATTATGTGCTGGAGCGCCTCGAGCCCGCTGCTTTAGATGTGGTGCGGGCCCTGGACGACTGCCCGGCGCGCTTCGCGCACGTCTTGAAGAACTTCCGCGTTCCGATAAAAAGGCGGTCGCAGATCATCTCCGAATGTCTGGTATCGTGCGTCGCGGCACCTCTACTCGAGGAGTCGGCCAAGCTCTGGGCCTGCCGCCGGGCGACATCATTAAGGGAGGCGGCGCCGGATAGAGGTAGGCAGCGAATGCGACAGAGACGGCGCCAGTGGATGGCCGACACGAATGATCGCATCGACGACTTCGGGGCCCTGGACGAGCCGCCCCACGTCCATTGCTACCTGACGCACTGCCTCGCGGCCGCGGTCGGCTTCAAGTTCGTGGACGCCGCGCGCCGCGTCTGCGTTTATACGCGACCTAGGCATCCCCAGAAGACGTTTTTCGCCGTGATACGGGGCGTCGTGCCGATTCATGAGTTGTGCGGCGCGCTGACGGCGTCGAGATTAGCAAGACGCGACGCGGCCGCGGCCTTCAACCGGCGCCGGCCGCGCGGTGTCAAAAGGAGGCGCGTGCCGTCCGCGTTGATGGTCATCGCGCCGGCGGCCATCCTCAGAGCGCTGGCGAATTTTAGAGGGTGCAAGCCGGTGTTCAAGTGGGAGTCGAACCAGCCCTGGGTCGAGTTGCAATTACAAGCCTGGAACCAGCCGGACGACGCGACGTGGGACCGGGTCCTTTTTAAATCTGTGGCGTCGTTCGGCTGGTGGCTCATGCTGGCGCGCGTTTTAGCTTATGCTTGCTCGGACTACTATCGGGTCGAGGCGGAGCGCGAGGTGCTTCGCATCCCGGCGCCGGTCGTGAGACGCGCGAAGTAATTGTTTGTTGTACATGCCCAGTACTATCTCATATCACAGGACAGTTACAAAAGCTAGCTCGCCCCGCATAGCATACGACGGCATCCCCGCGGGCCGCGTCGAGATCACACGAAAAACTCGACGGCGATGAACAGCACGCACGCGTAGAGCAAAGGTAGACGCCACAGGAACGAGGGCCTTCCCAAATTTTTGACGAGGAAGCCGCCCTCCTCCACCAAAACGTAGCCCAGCTTGCGGTAGTAGTCCCGCGTGCCGATGCCCGAAATCACGGCGACCTTTCTAAAGCCCGCGTCCGCCGCGATGCGTTCGGCGTCGGCCATGAGGCGTCGTCCGAACCCCGAGTGCTGCTGCGCCGCGGCCCCGCCGAAGCTCTTCCCCTCGAGCGCGGGCCGCAGCTGGCCGTAGACGTGGAGCTCGCGGATCAACGCACAACCTTCTAAGGATGAAAAGGCGCCGGCGCCCGCGTTCGCTGAGAGCCTTAAACGAACAAACCCGAAGATCGTCGCCTCGTCGGGCGTCTCGAAACTTAAAAAGTGCTCCTCTCCATTCGAAGCGGCGTAGGTCCTCCTTATGAGAACCGCCTTCTCGGCGAGCTTCTCCGACGCGCGCCGCGCGAGGACGCCGTCGCGCGATGCTCTAGATCTTTCTTTATATTTTTGAGCCTCCTTCTCGCCGCCCTTCTTCCGAGCCTCTCGACATTTGCGCGTGTCCCAGCCGCGCTCCGACTTCGTCTTGAACTCCTTGTTATTCTTGATTTGCTGGAAACCGCTGATGTCGCCGACCTCCCTACATCTTATGCAGCGACAGACCTTGCCTTGCCTACGCATCTCCGCCAAGATTTCTTCCCGCATGTTCGGCGCGTCGACGCCGCCCAGGATATAGTTCGACGGGATATCTCGCACGACCCTATTCAGCCGGATCCAGGGGTGGACCTTGGCTTTGGCATCAATGAGCAATTGTTTCAACTCCGGCTCCGGATAAGGAATATATTTACCTTTGTCGTACCACTGCTTGATAATGGTCCAGGGCGTAATCTCGCAGGGATAAATTTTCCACTGGTCCGCTTGTAAGGATGGGTCGTACAACATGCTATCGAACATGGCCATGTCTTTCTCTATAGTAGCACCGGGTAAATTGGGCATCAAATGGACGTCTACCTTGTAGCAGGCGTCCTTCAATAATCTTAACGAAGTCTCGACGGCCTTCCGACCGTGTCCTCTATTGACCTTCTTTAGTATTTGATCATCCACGTGCTGCACGCCGAGCTGCACGCGCGTGCAACCATATGAACGTAGCCGTCGCACCTCGTCGACCGTGATGGTATCAGGTCTGGTTTCTAAAGTAAGACCAATAATCTTGGATTTTGCGGTCTCATTTTCCGTCTGTTCGGCTAACAAACTTTTTCGAGGCCGTTTGACCCGGTCCCAGAACGTGTTCGCCGCGTAGTACAAATCTCTACAAAACGCCTCCCGATAATCCAGAGGGTACGACGCCCACGTCCCACCTAGAACTAGGAGTTCAACCTTGTCTACCGGGTGGCCGTTCTGCGCGAGCGTGGCGCATCTCTCGGTAAATTGCATGACCGCGTCGAACTTGTTCTGGTTCGCTCTTAGTACAGCAGGCTCGTCTCGCAAGTAACTTCTAGGTTGACCGGGCTCGTCCGGACAATAGTAGCAGTTCCACTTGCAGGAGAAGGGCTGGGGCTCCTTGCCGTCCACGGACGGGTAGGGGCTCGTCAGCACCGTGACCACCAGCACGCCGGACTGCGACTTCGAGGCCTTCGTCGTGAGCGCTTCCTCGAGGCTTCTTGAAGGCTTCACCTCGTTTCGATTCACCAAACCGCGGTAGGCATGCAAGAGCTGGCTCTTGCGCGGGCCCATCTTGTACTTCTTTCGTAGTGGCGCTAAAGCTTTATTGAGGTCGCGGTCGGACCGCGGGTCCGCCTCCAGCAGCGCGCGGGCCATGGCCTCCAAGGCCGGCAGGTCTTTTTCGTCGACGATGGCCTCCCACCTTTTATAAATGTCGTCCACGCTCGTGTTCTCGTAGTGCAGGGCGCGCTCCATCTCGAAGGGCTGGTGGCTGTAGTCGATCTGGTCCGGCACGCCGGGCAGGGACTCGATGTCCGCGATCTTGCTGGCGCAGCGCGGCTCCTCGCCCATCATCTTTGCGGTGGCGGTGGCGCAAGCCATTGCTGCAGCTGCTCTGCTGAATTAGCTTGCTGCCTTCGCGTCTTCTGCAATTTCACGCAGCACTCGCGCCTCTACCGATGCGTAGAGATTATACGCCGTTTCTAGCGTCCTGCACGCTCGGCAGCTTCTTTATCGCTCGCAGAGCTTGCTTTTTGCCAGAGCAATAAAGCGCCTAGCGGCATGTAAGACACTAGCATGGAGAATTCCTTACTACGACCGCCTCCCCCGCGTCCGCAGCCGTTCGTCGGCCGCCGCGTACGCCTCGGCGTCCGCTCGCGACACCGACGGCGCGACGCGCCCCAGCGCCCCGACGAAGTTCGCCTGCGTCAGCGCCGCCGCGCCCGCGTCCAGCGCCGCGAGGCCCGCGTCGCGCACGACCGCCGCGAGGTCCGCGCCGGAGAAGCCCTCCGCGCGCGCGTCGCGGCCGATTATGTCAAGGTCGACGTCTTCAGATAGAGTCGCCCGGCGCGTCGCCGCCTTCAGGATGGCCACGCGGTCGTCCGGGGATGGTAAAGGCACGTAGAGCAGCTTGTCGACGCGGCCGGGCCGCAGCACGGCCGGATCCACGAGCTCGGGCCGGTTCGTCGCCGCCACCACATAAACGCGGCCCCTTGACTCGAGCCCATCCAACTCCGTGAGCAGCTGGTTAACCACCCTATCCGTGACGCCGCTCGCCTCCGACGACGTCCCGCTGGACACGCCGAGCGGCCCGCCGCCGCGGCGCGGCGCGAGGGCGTCGATCTCGTCGAAGAGTATAATGCACGGCGCCGACGCGCGCGCGCGCGCGAATAATGAACGCACGGCTCTTTCGGATTCTCCCACATATTTATCCAGCAACTCGGGCCCTTTCACGGATATAAAATTGGCGGCGGCCGCCGCCGCGACGGCGCGCGCCACCAAAGTCTTGCCGCAGCCGGGCGGCCCGTACAACAAAACGCCGGACGGCAGCGGCACGCCGAGGGCTTCGAACCGTTTCGGGTCGCGGATCGGAGCTAATATCGAGGCCCGTAAAGCTTCCCGCACGTCGTTAATGCCACCAACATCTAAGTTCCAGTCGACCTCCGGCCGCTTCGCGAAGCCGCTCCGCATGAAGGACGGCGCGACACTCGAAAGGGCCGCCTCCACATCGGCTTGCGAGACGCCGTCCACCACACCGCCCCGTCTCACGCAGCCCGCGCCGGCGGCGTTCGCGAGCTGGATGATATCGGCCCCGGCCCAGCCGGGGCACTTCTGGGCGATCCCATCAACGTCGATGGCTCCGGACCGCCGCGCGGGCAGGTGCCTCTCGAGCAGCGCGGCGCGCGCTTCTTTATCGGGCGCACCCACTCCGACCTCGCGCTCGAAGCGCCCGAAGCGCCTCAATCTCGCGTCCACGGCGTCGGCCTCGCGTGACGTCGCCACGACCACGACGACGGCCGCGTCTCCATTCTTGGTCGACGGCAGCGCGTCCAACAAGCCACATAAACGGCTCGACAGGCGCCGCGCGTGCGTCTCGCCGCCCTTTTTATCAGATCCGGTCCCGAGCAGCGCGTCCAAATCATCCAGCAGCACTAACGCCGGCGCAGCTGATCGGGCGCTCTCCAACAACAGGGCGAGCTGCTGCTCGGCCTCGGGGCCACTTCCCAAATCGGGCGCGGCGACCTCGAAGTAGGCCAGGCCCGGCACGTCGGCGGCGGCGCTCCCCGCGACGCTCCGACCCAGAAACGTCTTGCCGCAGCCCGGCGGGCCGTGCACTAATACACCTCTTGGTCCGTCGACGCCGAGCTCCGCGTAGCTCCGCGCGTGCGCGAGCGGCTCGACGACGGCCTCGCGCATCGCCGCGACGGCGGCCTCAGCACCCAAGACGTCCTCGAGGCGCTCGGCCGGCGCCGGCGCGCGCGCGGCCTCCGCGGCGCCGGCGGCCGCGGGCGCCGCGCCGCCCGCGCGCGGCGAGGCGCGCCGCCGCGCGCCGCCGCCGCCGCCGCCGCGCGTCTGCGCCGCGTAGGCGCCGCGGAGGCCGTCGTTCATCGAGGCCGCGGGCGCGCCGTTCGCGCGCGCGCGCTTCGGCCGCGGCGACGCGACGGCGAGCGCCTCGCGCACGGCCGTGCGCAGCGGCCCCACCGGCCGCCGCCCGTACTCCGGATGCGCGCGGATCAGGGTCTGCACCGCCGCCGAGGGGTCCGTCGTGCCGTCGACCTCGCCCGCCGCGAGCAGCCGGCCGAGGCAGTGCTTCAGTTTTTGTGCGTCGGCGTCGTGGTGTGTGCTCATTTTTTTTTTCCGCAGCCTTGCTGTGAATCTGCGTCGCACGCTTTTTCAGCCTTTACTGTGAGTCTGCGTCCAACGCGTGCGCAACAGGGATGCACGCTCTGCACTGCAGAGGTGCCGGTGCACTCTCAGATGTCAGCAAACCGGATGTACTGCAGAACCCGGCACTCGCTTCAGTCAACACAGTGATGGCTGAGGTAAGGTATTACAGCTCTATCGCTCCCTGCGCTTGCTTTTTTGCTCCTTGCGCCTAGCGGAAGCTAGCGGCATGTAACACACTAGAAAGAGCCGACGCGGCCGAATTCTTCCTAAACGGTCCGGAACGGCCTCGGACCAAACGCAATCCATCATCCCAGCCCCGGGGCAGCCTCCCAACAACAATGCGCCGCTCGGGCTCCACGAATGGCGACGTCACGGTGGCCAGCGTCGAGATGAACGCGATGCACGCCGACAGAGATGAAGTAAAGGAGGCTGAGGACACGGGCATGCGGGCCCTCGGCTACGGCGGCCGCCCCGACGACGAGCCGATGCCGGCCTGCCACGCCACGGCGACGACGAGAATCGTCGCGGCCGCGTGCTACGTTTTTGCTACCTTCTTAATGTTTTATTTGATAGAGATGACGCGCAACTATGATGATAAGGGCGAAGTAGTACCGTGGCTCGTAATCACGTTGCTCTGCTACGTCGTCGTGGCCGTGTCGGACCCCGGCTTCGCGGACTCCAAAGACATACCACCAAAGGACGAGGACTACGTGGCCCGAAGGCAGAAGGTCGTCGACTTCCTCGAGGAGGGCCACGACGGCAGTACCCTCTTACCCTGGCCCGACTGGCCGCCCATGCGCTGCGCCTACTGCGCACCCACCAAACGCTGGGTCTACGGCTACGACCACTACTGCCCGCTCGTCGGCAATGCGGTGGGAGAGCGCAACCGGCCGCGCTTCTTCCTCCTACTCCTCGCCCAGACGATCCTCAACTCCAAGGCGGCCTTCACGATGGAGGCGGCCGTCGCGTGGCGCGACGTGTCGGGGGGGCGCGAGCGGGCCCTGGCGCTGTTTTTGGTGCTGGCCTTGCTTTTCGTCGTGTCGTTCTGCTTCCTGGTCTTCCACGCCTTCCTCGCGCTGACGAACATGACGACGCACGAGTTTTTGAAGGCGGATTCCTTAGATTACCTCCACAACACGGAAGACTTCGACCTCCCCTTCTCGCGGGGCTTTTTGGGGAACCTGCGCGTCTACGTCGGCCAGGACGGCACCTGGGCCTTTCTGAGAAGGCGGCCCTGGGCGCACGTGAAGTGGACGCGCCCGGCGCGCGTCGACCGCGACTCCGAGGACTGGTGGCGGAACCCCTGGCAGAACAAGTACTGGTCCTGCTGCTGAGTAATCCACCCGTTTGCTTTACACGCCTACTTCACCACGGCGTCGAAGATCTGGCGCAGCGTGTCTCTGTCGTCGGACGACGCCGACGCGACAGGTTTTTCATCATCGTCCTCGTCCGCATCGTCGTCCTCCTCTTCAACATCAGGGAGGTCGTCGAGCCACCGTTTTACGGTAGCCTCGCGGTCGAGCAGCAACTCGAGCGGCAGCGCCGGAATGGATCCAGTCCGCTTCTGGATCGTGTGCAGCGCCGCCGCGAGACTAGCATCGTCGAGGAGCGGCGCGCAGAGCCCGCGCACCGACCGCTCGGGGTGCGCCTTCGCCTCGGCCATCAGGAAATCCACCAACGAGTCGCCGAGCGTGACGTTGAGCGAATGCCGCGCGAAAAACTCGGCCTCGACGCGCGCCGCGTCAGCTTTTCGCACGTCGTCGCGCGCGCCGTCGACGCCCTCCAACAATCTGTCTAAAGTCGCGCGCGGGTTCTCCACCGTCGCCGCGTCGCAGTGGAGCTCCGTGATGCCGGCGCACGGTAATTCATATTTGAACTCGCGGAAGGTCCTTTCTAAAACCGTCACGAGGCCGCGCGCGCCCGTCTTTTCGTCCGCGGCCTTCTTTGCTATCACAGCAATAGCGTCGCGCGACACCGTCAGGTCCACCCCGTACCCCTCGAAGTCGCGCTCGTACTGGCGCAGCACGCTCCCTTCCGACTGCAACAACACGAGTTCCAGGTCGCGCGCGCCCAAAGGATCAACAGCCACTCTAACAGGAATCCGGCCGATGAACTCCGTCTCGAGGCCCGCGTCGACGAAATCCGCCGACGTCGCCTGCTTCAAGTAACTTTTTGGGACATCATCGTCTTCTTCCTCATCATCATGCCCCCCTCCAAGAAAGCCCATGTTCTTGGGCACGTGCTTCTGCTTCAACCTTTCATCAAGACCCGTGAATGCCCCCGAAAAGATGAACAGCACATGTTTGGTAGAAATGCGCTGCGGCGCCGCATCCCCGCCCCCGAGAAAGATCTGGGGGATCATGCCCGACTGCTTCTGGATGGAAATCTCAGTCTCCTCCATAACCTTCAAAAACGTGTTCTGCACGCCTCTATTACCAGGTACTCCCTGACTTCCAGAAGTGGGCCCCTGCTCTCCTCTGCAAAGCTTGTCTACTTCATCAACATAGATGATGCCGTACTGCGCGAGCTCCACATCGCCGTCGGCCTGCTCGACAAGCTGTCTGACCAAGTCTTCGGCGTCCTCGCCGACAATACCCGTCTCCGTGAACTTTGTGGCGTCCGCCCTGACGAAGGGCACGCCTAACAATCTAGCTAAGGTGCGCATGATGTAGGTCTTCCCAGAACCAGAAGGACCTAACAATAAAATATTTGGCTTCGAGTATTCGGCCTTTTTTTCATTTTCATCTGCTAAACACCTCCTCACGACATTGTAGTGGTCGCAGACTGCGACACTGAGAACTTTCTTCGCGTCGGCCTGCCTTACGACGTACCGATCCAGATGTTCGCGCACCTCCCGAGGTCTCAGATCGAAGCGCGCTATCCTAGATAAAGCTTCGGACTTGTCCTTGGCCTTCTTCTGCTTCCGCTTCCTATCTCCTAACACGACGAACGGCTGGTCGTCGTCGTCCTCGTCCTCGTCACTATCAGTCTTCTCCAACGTCACCTCCTCGTCCTCGTTGCCGAACAAGAAGAGACTAGCGGCGCCGTCCTCGTTCGTACTGATGACGCCCTCGGCCTTGCCGTCCCGTAACCGCGACCGCGCGATGGCTTCCACGATCTGCGACTGGAGCTCGTCGGGCAGCGAGTCGAGGCCGATGACGGCGTCGTCTCCTTCATTCTCGTCGCCGTCGTCGTTGGCCTCGGCGCGGTGGGCGCGCGGCGTCGTGACTGGCCGCGCGCCGAGGAAGGCCGCGGCGGCGTGGCAGCAGAGCAGCACGCTCACTGCGCGCCGCCGTCGCATCGCTGTAGGTCTTCTAGTGCGGCTTAGCGCTTGTCTGATGTACTGAGAGCCCCAATATATCGCCGCGGCTAAACGGTACTGTCCCGCGGACTTGGCGCTTGCTTGACACACTCGACACACTCCTGAAGAGCTCCAATATCGCTCTGTGGGCTTATGACTGAGTCCAGTATTCGTGTCGCGCAGCGCGCGGGTGTCTTTGGATAAGCTGCGACGTCCAAAAACTCGGAACTATCGCTTCGCGGCGACGCGCACTGATCATCAATTGCGGCAGACAGCAGACTCGGGCTGTGCAGGGGGCGCAAGTGCCAAGAGCACCACGGACGGCTCAGCCAGAAGCTTGCGAGGAATGGCAGACGTCTTCGCGCGGAAAATCGACAAATCTCGAGCCCGCGGCTTTGCTGGAGGCGCTGACAGACCGCGCGACCCAGGCCGCATTTAAGGGAGTGAAGGGCCGTCTCGCAAGGGGCAGCCCGCTGAACGGGTTCGGACCGCCCACCTCCCGGCGCCGACGAAGGGACCCGGCGCCCGGCGCCCCTCCACGGCCCCAGAGATCAGACCCGGAGAGGCAGCCTCGGCGAGGCGCGGTCGGGAGCATGCTCGACCTCACGGTGGACCACTACCGCAGCGGCTGGGACGCCGTCCTCTCCCGGCGGAAGCGGCGGACGAAGGGCCCGCTCGCGCCCGTCGCGCGGGCGCCGCGCGACGTCCCGGGCTCGTTCCCGTCGCAGATACGACGGCGGCCCTTCCCGAACCCGCACAAGAAGAGCACGCGGCCGACGCGGCTCCCGTCGCTCACGGAACTGCGCCGCTTCCGGCCGGACCCGCGGAACTACGTCGCGAGCGCGCGCAAGATCATCTTCTTGGATGTTGACGGCGTGCTCAACACGGACTCGTGCCGGCCGCGCGACGCCATCAAATCGTCGCTCGTCGAGCGGCTCGCCCAGGCGGTCCTGCGGACGGGGTCGCGCATCGTGCTGTCGTCGACGTGGCGGCTCCACGTCAAGTACCGCAACAAGCTCGTGAAGCGCCTCGAGAGCGCGGGCGTCGATCGGTGCCTGATCATCGACGACACGCCGCAGCTGCCCTTCGACCTGCGCTGCGGCTGGCCCGTCGCCGAGCACAACCGGGCCTGCGAGATCGCGGCCTGGATGGCCTCGGCGCGGACGCACCCCGACCTGAAATGGGTGGCCATCGACGACCTCGACGTGACGAACTCGCCCCACGCGTCCTTCTTCCACGGGCACTTCGTCCACACGACGCGCCAGAAGGGCCTCACCCAGGACTGCGCGGACGCCATCATGCGCATCCTCGGGCCGCGGTCGGCGAAGGACTGAACACAACAACAACACACACATGTTTCTTTAACCTGTCTTTAATTTCCTATCGTTCTTTTATTGTCGTTTGCGGGGACGCGGCGCACCGTCGCGGACTCGCTGCGAACCCCAGTCGTCGGCGATGTAGTTCCCAGTGGCCAACGACGTCCCTCGCTCATCGACAGCCGCGCACTTACTTCATTATTCGGGAGGTGCGGGTTCGTGGGGGGGGTTAGCACAAGAGGTACTATACTTAGATACCTGCCAGCATTCCAATCTGCACGAGCTGCTTAGACGGCTAATCCACGAAGAGGGAAAATGGGGAAGGCGTGAAGACGAAGCCCAAGCATGCCGCGTCTCAGCGTCCTCCCAGCCCTGCTGCTGGCCTGGACCTTGGCAGTGGCGAGGCTGCCCGAGGATGCCGCCCCGGAGGAGCAGCCGCCGGCGGACAGCCTCGTCCCGAAAAAACCAGCGTCCGTCACCGTTACCAGGAGACGGCGCCCGGACGACCCCGCCGGCATGACCGCGGCGCAGATCGTCGCGGCGGTCCGGACGGCGAGCACCAGCCGCCGCCGCCTCCAGAATGATGAAGAGGCGCCTCATGAAAACCGCCGCCTCCAGGACATGCTGGACCTCAAGGACACCTTCGTCGAGAAGGCCGAGATGACGCGCGAGATCGACAGCGTCACGCCGTATTGGGGCAGCGCGAACGGCGGCACGCGTTTGCACATCGACGGCACGGGCTTCGCGACCGAGTTTTTTAGTGGGAAGAACAAGGTCATGATCGGCGACGACAATAATGGCTGGGTGGCCTGCGACGTCGTCGAGGGCGCCTGCACCGTCGACTGCGGCGGCGATAAACGGATCGTCTGCGACACGCGCGCGTGGACGTCTGACACCACGGCCGGGTGGTTCGACGTCTGGGTCCAGGTCGACGACACGATCTCGACGTACGATTTGATCAGGACGAACTGCTTCCACTACCTGAGCTCGACGTGGAACAGCGGCGTGCCGCGCCTGACTCATATATATCCTAGACACGCTGCTGCTGGAAGCGGTATTGCCCTGCGGGGCCAGGGACTGGGCCGCTACGTGTCCGAGTATCGAACGATTTATATAGGTGCGGGCCGGCCCCCGCAAGGAGGCAACATCCAAGTCGAGAGCGGCTTCGTCAAGGAGGAACGGTCGACGCACGCTCTGTGTCGGGCCGACGACCTGAACTTCGCCGTGAACGACAAAACAGGAGAAGTGGACTCCTTCTCCCTACCGGTGCTGGTCGAGGACGCGGTCTTAGGACACAACTCGCCCATCACGGAGAACGCAGTGAATTGCTACCTCGGAGACTTCCCGTCGGGCTCCTACAACGCGTCGGCGCACATGTCCGCGACCGACGGGCTCGACTCCATGAGTGACGGCTCGGATCGGTACGGCGGGCTCACGTTCGAGCGCTTCACGGACCTGTCTCGGGACGCCTTCGGGGAGGTCTACGCGTTCCAATACTACCCGCACGTTTCACGGGTCATGCCCGCCGTCGGGTCGCTGGAAGGCGGCACGCTGATCACTATCAGTGGCGGCGGCTTCAGCGACGACGAGACGCAGGTCTTCGTCTCGATCGGCGGCCGCGACTGCGAGGTGCTCCGGTCGACGCTCGTGGAGGTGGTCTGTCGGACGGGCGATTTATCTTCCGTCGACGAAGGATTACCGCAGGACCATCACGTCGAGCTCGGGAGCCTGGAACCTCCCGTGACGCCGGCGCCGACGCAGGACCATAGCTGGACCGTCACCGCATCAAGTGCGGTACAAGAAGAGGGCCTCTGGTCGACCGTAAGCACCTACATGGAAGCACCGGCCTGCGGCGTGCCGCCCTGCACGCCGTCGTGGCTCGTCCTCGCGCCGTCGGACGTCGCGCTCGACGGCTCCTACGAGGTGACGCTCACGACGCCCGGCGACGTGGCGTGCACGACGGGGGACGCCTACGTCGCGTCGCAAGCTTCTGTATTGGTCGCCGACGCCGCGCGCGGCTACGTGCCGCTCAACGTTTCTTTGATTGAACCTTCTATCGTGCTGGGCCGCTTTAGTTTCGCGGCGGGTTCGGGCGACGGGCGGCGCGGCGCGGTCATCGTCGACACGGTCGGCGCCGACGGCTGCGTCGTCGTCATAAGCGTGACCGCCCAGCGCGTCGGTCCCATGGCCGGCGGCGACTGCGCGGACCCGCTCGCCGCGAACTACGTCGCGGGCTCCACGTCTACATGCGACTGCGTCTACGTCGGCGGGCGCGGGCTGCGCCAGCGCGCGTGGTCGCTCATGGCTCCCGATTATCGAGACGGGTCCTGGCTCAAGGATGACGACGTCCACGACGCGTACGCGACGGGCCGCTCCTGCAAGGCGCCCGGCAACGCGTCGCAGACGAACTACTCGAGCTTCCACGGGAGCTGCAGCAACCCCCGGAACCCGAAGCTGCCGCTCATCCCCGAGGTGGGCCTGCCCATCGAGACGATCGTCGCGACGCCGCCCACCGTGACGCCGCAGCCGACGACTGGGCCGACGCCGCGGCCCACCACCGGCAGCCTGGACCCGGATCTCCTCGACCCCAGCGGGCCTGGCGGCACGACCACGCCGCTCACGCCCGTCGCGGGCCTCCCGAGCACCTCGATCACCAACTTGGACCCGGACACGCCGATCCTGGCGATGCCGGCGGGCGACACGCTCGCCGCCGGGCCCATCACCTCGCCGCTGGTCGAGGCCTCGATCAGCGACACGCTGACGGGCGAGGTTTTGGTCGAGCCCGTCGAAACGATCAACCCGCTCACGGGCGTCACGGAGACAAAGGAAGCCGCGCCGATCCTCGTGGGCATCGACACGATCGAGCCCGAGCCCCTCGAGCCTCTCTCGCCCATCTCGTCGCTCGTGTCGACGTCGTCGCTATCGAACGACGGGCTCTCCATGCGGCGCCGCCTCACGGAGGAAGACGACGACGGCGTCTGCCTGCCCCCCGTCAAACCGAAGACGGGTCGCATCGAGGCGCCGGTCGTCCCCGAGGAGGCCGCGGAGGCCTTTTGCTGCCTGTCGAGCGACTGGCACGGCTGCGAGGCGACGTGGAACCTGGCGGACAAGGACGGTTTCGTGGACGTGTTACGGCAGGACGCGAAGATGTGCGCGCCGTTTACGGTCGACGAACTGCGGCGGTCCTGCTACTCGTGCCTCGGCTTCGACGCGCCGGGCGCGCACCAGCCCGTCTGCCACTGCTGTTCGCGACTGGACGAGCTCGAGTTCATGCGCACGCTCTCCGACGGTCGCTTGGAGTTGAAGCTCGAGTGGCCCGGCACGCTCCTCGACTACATGCACTGGCGGCAGCGCATGAACCCCGCGCAGTTCGACCTGAAGACGCGCGCGGAGCAGTACGAATGGAACACGACGGCGACCGAAGCCGAGGACTACGAGGCCATCCACGCGCCCTACTTCGAAGCGAATTATTGGGGCGGCCTCGAGTACGGCGGCACCTACTCGCTGCTGGACGGTTCGTATAATCGCGAACACGACTGGTGGTACGCCGTCGGGAGCTTCGAGAACTCCAACAACAACAACATCCCCAGTACAACTGGAGACGAGTTCGTGGGCGACGCCACCGAAGACACCTGGGTCCGGCGGGCGACGCTCAAGGCCAAGCCCGACTACACGTACTTCCAGCCCAAGTGCATCTCCTGCGAGGCGTGCTACGATTCCGACGGCTACTGGCGGGGCGAGACCACGACGGAAACGTGGCAGGACACGACGGCCTGCACGCTGGGCCAGGCCTGCGCGTTCGACCGGATTGTAAGGAAGAGCGTGCCGGGCTGCCCCGCCATCTGCAGGGGCATGCGGATCCGCGCGTTCGAGGCGTGCGCGGCGCACCACACTTTGATTGTGAGAGACCGCTACTCCTCAAATACCACAGCGGGCGGCAACTGCACGGGCAACTGCACCGCGGTGGACGTGATCAACACGCACGACATCGGCGCCGTGCCCGCGTACCGGCCGGGCGCGGGCGCCTTCGAGGGCTTCTTCGTCGCGCCCAAGGCCGCTTCTTATGTGTTTGTGGGCGTCTGGGACGCGGCCCTCGAGCTGTCTCTATCCTCAACGAGCGACCCGCGGCACCTCCAGGTTATTCTGGGTGGCGCGACGCAGACGCCGCCCTCGAACAATGACGTCGTGGGCGGCTGGACGCACTTCGACGGCCACTGGTACTTCGGATCGACGGAGTTGAAGAACTGGGCCGACGCGCAGGCCGCGTGCCAGGCCGAGGGCGCGACGCTCGCTGAAATCAATTCTGCGGAAGAGCAGGCCTTCCTGTATGGCCTGTGCGACGGCGTCAGCTCCTGGCAGTGCTGGATCGGCGGCTCTGGCTCTCTGCCTGCGGGCATGTGGCGCTGGCAGTCGACGGGGGAGCTCTTCGCGGCGGGATTCGCGGACACCGTCACCGCCGCGCCGGGCGCCTACACGAACTGGGACAGCATTGAGCCGAACAACAACGGTCAGCCGAACTGGAAGAGCGAACAGGGGTGCGTGGCCATGTACGCCTACTCAAATGGCGTGTGGGACGACCAGTACTGCACCTACGGGATACCGTACGTCTGCGAGTCGGCGCTCCACGCCAAGCGGCGGCCGGCTGCGGAACGCCGTCGTCCAGAAGTGCGCCGGCGTCGTCGACGACTGTGCGGCGCGGGCCATCGGCGCAGACGAGTGCCCTTCCTCTATACCCTCGAAAAACTGCGAAAACGTCGCCACCGGCGAGCTCTGCGAGGGCGACGGCGAATGCGGGACGGACCCGGATCTGGACAACTGCGATGGACAAGACGTCTACCGAGCCATCAGGCAGCCGCTGGTTCTAGTGGATTGCGCGGACGCTCTCGTGTTCGAGAGCAGCTGGCTCAACGTCACGAAGCTCGACCAGGCGCGGCACGGCCTCTTCCACTTCGACCGCGACCAGGGGCCGCCAGGTTACGATCCCGACGGCGTGACCTGGACGAATGAAGTGGAAGGTGCGTGGGACTGGTGGTACCCGGTGGGTTTGATACCTTACGACGTCACGAACATAAGTACGATGTCCTTTCTGATGGCCGGCAACTCGACGCTGGAGATCGAGACATCTTTGTGTGGCCCGGACTCCCCGGGGGGCTGCCCCACCTTTCTCCGCGTGACGCCTGGAAGTCCGACGGCGGCACCGACGTCGCTGCCCACATTCTCGCCGACGAGCGCGCCGACTCTTGTCCCGACGAAGGCCCCGACGGGCTGGCCGACGAAAGTGCCCATCCCCGCGCCGTCGCCGAGGCCGACTACGCGGCCGACGTGGGTGCCGTGGCCTGCGCCCACGACAGCGCCCACGCCGAGGCCGTGGCCGGCGCCGACGCCCTTGCGCGGCCACCCCACGGCGGCGCCGGTCGTGGCTCCGACGCCGCCGCCATCGGCCCCGCCGACCGCGGCGCCCGGGGTTTCGACGCCCGGGCCCACGGCTTACCCGCTGCCAGCGCCCACGCCGCGCCCGGTGGAGGCAGCCGAGGACGACGACAACAGCGGTCGCCGCGGCCTCGTCGAGTCCGCAGGAGTATGGAGTCTCGCAACGGTGGGTATCACAATGACTGGTATCACTATCGCGACGATTGCGAACGCTGCGCAGGAGCAGTGCGCATTAGGACCGACAATCGTTTACGAGGCTGGCACGAAGCATCCCTACTACATTACGCCGAACCTTTGTACCATCGGCGCCCACACGTACGCCTCCAAGAAGACCCTGCGCGACGCCTCGCCGCGCAAGGTTTGCCGCAAGTTTTGCGAGGCGGCGTCGTCGGGGAAGGGCAAACTGGCGCTGAAACATGTGCAAGGCCTGACGTGCTACTGCAAGCGGAGCTAGAGCTCCCCTGCCGCCGCATCATGAATCCGCCCCTTTTCTCCTTACTTACCTACCTTACTTCCACAACGAATCGCCATTCTCAGTCTAATTCTCTATGTTATTAATACTAAATTCTAACCTCAATCAAGATACCCTGTGCTCCCGTCCTAACGGTAGGTGCTTTGCAACGACTTATCCGGTGCGATGACGCTTCGCGTCCCCGTGTTTGCTTTTTGTGAATTTTTTATTTACTTTGAATTTATTCAGGAGGTATTTAGGATCCAGAGACCGGTACCATAAAAGCTTGCTAGTGTCTTACAGCCGCTAGTTGGGACGCCTGGCCAACTTTTTATCTTTCCTAACAATAGGCGTACAGCCGTACCTTGAAAGTGGATTGACCTCAGCCACGACGCCGAAGCATTTTTGCCGATAAAAATGAGCACTAAAGCTGCTGAGACGGATGCCTGGGGGTTCCCGCAAGGCGCCTGGCACGCGACGCAGCCGGCCGCACGGTTCCAACAAACCACGGAGGAGAAGGATGCTGACCGTGACCTAAAATGGGCGCGAATGCTGCATCCGACGAAGGGCTTTTCGGGCGTGCCGACCGCCGTGCTGAAACGACGGTGGCGCAAGGGCGTCCCCCGCGGCTGGCGCCGCGCGGCCTGGCCCGAACTCATGGACCACGGGCCCGCGGAATTCAAAACGGCCGCGGGGCTCCGGCAAATCACGTACCAGTCGCTCGTGAACTCGCCGCCGTCGTCGTACGACGAGGTCATCGAGAAGGACGTCGTCCGAACCTTCCCGCGCCACGCGCGCTTCGCGACGGCGGTGGCCGACGGCGGCCGGTCCGCGGGCGGCGACGACGAGGCCGCCGCGATCTCGTCGCTGCGGCGGATCTTGCGGGCCTACGCGGCCCTGGACAAGGAGTGCGGCTACTGCCAGGGCATGAATTACGTGGCGGGGCTGCTCCTGCTGGCGTGCGACAGCGCGAGTCGGTCGCCGAACGACCCTTCCGCCTCGAGCGACGCGGCCGACGACGAGGAGCGGTGCTTCTGGCTATTGGTCGCCACGGCGCGGGGCCCGCGGACGCGCCTGCGCGATCTGTACCTGCCGTCCATGGTCGGCTGCCGGCGCGCGCTCTACGCGTACGAGGCGTTCCTGCGGAAGCTGCGCCCGAAGCTCGCCGCGCACCTCGAGCGCGAGAACGTGCAGCCGGCCATGTACGCGACGCACTGGTTCGTCACGGTCTTCGCCGCGCAGTTCCCGGCGCCCTTCGCGGCGCGCGCGTGGGACCGGTTCCTGGCCGAGGGCTGGAAGCCCGTCTACCAGATCGGGGTCGCGCTCCTCGCGGCGCGCGAGCGCGAGCTCCTGGCGCTGGACTTCGAGGGGCTCATGGGCGCGCTCCGGCGGCTCCCGGAGACAGTCGACGTCGAGCGGACGCTGGGCCTCGCGCTCCGCCTGCGGCTCAAGACGAGCGACGTTCGCGACGTGGAAAAGCGCTTCGGCGACGACGTCAAACCCCAGGACCTGTGAGTAAACTTTTGAAAGATCTATGTAAAGAGCTCCTTGGCCGCGGCGGCCGCGACTTGCGCCGCGCGGCGGGTCCCCCATCCCATCTTCGGCTTTGGGCTGCCCTCTCGCTGTGCTTAAACTAAAGACTGCCGCCGCATCCTGCGCCGCCTGGGACACCCTCGGAAAGCCGCCGAGTGGCCGCTTCGCCGCGTGTGCCGCCTGGGCACGCGCGGAGCTTTGGACCAGGATGGCCTGCATGGGCATGGACCTGGACTGCGGGCTGGTCGACGCGCTCACGCAGTCCTTCCAGGGGCCCGCCGCGGCGCGGCCCGTGGGCGCGCCGTCGGCGGACCACCCGTCGCCGGCGTCGACGCTCAACTCCGCCGCGCACCGCGTGTCGAGCGACGACAGCGCGGCGCAGTGCTCCATCTTCTCGGACGGCTCGGCGACGCCCTGCGACGTGCGGCGCGACTACGAGCTCGGCGCCGAGATCGGCGCGGGCCACTTCGGCCGCGTCTTCGCCTGCGACCGCCGCGCGGACGGGCGCAAGTTCGCCTGCAAGCAGCTCGCGACGCGGCTCGTGCGCGACGTTTTGAGTGTGCGGCGCGAGGTCGCGATCATGCGGCGGCTGGCCCACCGGCACGTGCTAAGAATTGAGGCGGTCTACGAGCACCGGAACAGCGCGTGGATCGTGTCGGAGCTCTGCGAGGGCGGCGACCTGCTCCAGTTCCTGGTGCGCGAGGGCGGGTCGCTGCACGAGCCGGCGGCGCATCAGATCATGAAGCAGCTGCTCTCGGCCGTCACGGCCTGCCACGCCGTCGGCGTCGTGCACCGCGACCTCAAGCCCGAGAACGTCATGCTCTCGTCGAAGACGGGCCCGCCCGACATCCGCGTGGTGGACTTCGGGCTGTCGTGCATCTACACGAAGGACGGCGCGCGGCAGCTGCACCGCCTCGCGGGCACGCCCTACTACATGGCCCCCGAGATCCTGGGCAAGGCCCGGGCGGGCTACGGGCCGGCCTGCGACTTGTGGTCGTGCGGCGTCGTGCTCTACTTCCTCATCGCCGGGAAGCCGCCCTTCGCGCCGGACGACCACAACTGCCCGTCGCGGACACGCAAGCGCAAGCGCAAGGCGGACCTCGAGGACCTGACGCAGAAGGTGATGCGGGGCGCCGTCGACCTCGAGACGGGGTGCTGGGCCGACTGCACTTCATCATTGAAGGACGTGCTGCGGGGGCTGCTCAACGTCGACCCCGCGAAACGCCTGAGCGCGCCCGCGGCGCTGGCGCACCCCTGGCTCGCGACCGACGGCGAGGCCGCGCCCGCGCGGAAGGCGCCCGTCGGCGCGCGCGCCTTCACGGCCCTGGAGCGCTACGCGCGCGCGACCTTCTTCCACAAGCGCGTCTTCCACGCCCTCGCGGACACGCTGACGCTCGCGGAGCTCGCGGCCCTGCGCAAGGAGTTCGCCTACCTCGACGTCGACGGCGACGGCTTCGTGACCGTCGAGGATCTCACCAAGGTGCTGGCGGCGCTCGAGGCCGAGGGACGGCACGCGTCGGGCACGGCGCTCGAGGTCGAGGCCGTCGTCGAGGCCTGCGACGTCGCGCGCGACCACCGCATCTCGTACCACGAGTTCTGCGTCGCCTCGATGCACCGGGGCGCGTACCTGCGCGAGGACCGCGTCGACCGGCTCTTCCACGAGTATCTCGACACGAACCGCCACGACGCCCACCTCGTCACGGTGCAGTCGCTCAAGGCGCACGGCTTCGACGACGCGTCCGTGGCCGACGTCTTCGCAGCGGCCAAGGCCACGCCGGGCAAGGGCATCTCCCGGAGCGCCTTCGCGAAGCTCCTGCGGCTCGGCGCGATCCATGGGGCCTCGACGCGCGGCGAGTCGCACAAGGCGCGGAGCCTGCTCGGGCACAGCCTGGACCTGACCGGCGATTCGCCGGAGCTGGGCGTCCACCTCAAGGCGGTCTTCGACCACGAGCCCGCCGCAAAGAAGACCGAGCTCGAGCAGCGGCTGGACGTCCTGAACATCTCGGCGACGGGCGTCCGCGTTCTCGCGCCGCGGACGAAACAGGCGAAGACCAAATGCGGCAAAAAGCACTACTACAGACCCAAGCCCGTGAGTTTGACCAACGGCCATTTCGCCCTCTCCGTGCGGCAAGCGCAGATCGCGTCGATCGAGCGTCAGATCGAGGCGGCGATCAAGGGCGGCACCGACACGACCGCGCTCGAGGCGACGTACCTGGCGCGCGTCGAGATCGCCCGCGACGAGCATCGGGCCGCCGCCGTGGACCTCCGGCGGCGGGGCGAACTCCACGCGGCCATGGACGCGTTCCGAGAAGCGAAGCACCTGGACTTTGTATACCAGCATCGCAAGGCCCTCGTGGAGGCGGGCGGGCTCGGCGACGCGCCGCCGCCGCCGGAGGTGATCGCTCGGCGGCGCCTCGAGGCGGCACACGCGCGGCTGGATGCGATCTCGGAGCCGCTCTCGTAATGGGGTATTGAAGTCTATGTATAGGTAGCACTGGCAATATTTACTCGGTTCCGCTATGCGTCCATACGGCCTCTCACGCGTTTTACGCCTTGTCATCGCTCTTCTTCTTCTTCTTTTTCTTCTTTTTCTCACCGGATGCATCTTCGCTCTTGCGACGTTTCTTTTTGGGGGGACCCTCGGCGGCCGGCGCGGCGGAGTCGGCTTTCGCAGCCGCTTTCTTGTTGGCGTTATACTCAGCGAGCGCCGCTTGGTACTTTTCCCTCGACGTCGCTGCCCTCGCCTGGTAGGCAGACTTTTCCGCCTCCGGGAGCTTGCTCCACATTTCCCCGATCAATCGCATCGCTTCCTTCCCTTTGGGCAGCGTGGTGTTCGTCGCGCGCGTCTCCTTCATAAATAATTGGTAGGCCGTTTCCGCGTAGGCTGGTCGATTGGGATCCTTCTCACGCTTGCCCCGAGCCTTGCGACCGTCCTTGGTGAGCTTGGGCGCGTCCTCGCCGAGCGCAGCGGCACAGGCGGCTGCCAGCTTGAGCTGTGCTTGGGCCGTGGCCATCGCTGCGTCGCGCATGGCCTCGAGCGCGGCGCGATTAAGCTCTGCCATGGTTTTGTTGTTGTTGTGGCGGCAGCAGCCCAAAGCGGCGGCGGCGGCGGCGGCGTCAGCGGGTGGTGAACGTGTCCGAGGCGGCGGACGGGAGCCTGGCGTCCGACCGCGCGATACGGGGCAGCCCGCGCGTCAAACAAACAGTTCCAGTCAAAAAGACGGTATGCTTTGCTTGATACAAAGTTAAGTAAAAAGCAAGGGGTTCCCTTGCCGCCGAGTGGTTAGTCCCCTTTCGAACCGTCTTCGAACCGTCGCTATCGCGACCTGTCCTCGTGTTTCGCCCCGAAAGACCCGTCGGCTACCACGAGTCGTGGCAAGTGTGCGGTTAACTCTGCCTCAGACAGAGTGGCACAGGCTGAGGTAGGATGGCCACTGCAGTGGACTCAAGCCCAGACACCAGCAGCGCAGCTCGGGGATAACCTTTCCGAGTCCATACTACTCACAAGGCACACTTACAACATCCCCCGAGAACGCCGCCGCGAGACGACGTCGATCAACTCCCACCCTTCGCGTTATTGTGGAAGCCTCTCATGCCGGGAGCGCAAGTAGTCGCCAGCGTGAAGAGCTTCACGGGCGCCGGCGGCCGCGCGTCGCAGAAGCGCTTGCGCGCGCGCGTCGCCGCCGCGTTCACGTGCCACGTCGCGAGGCAGACGGCGGCGGCCGTCCGGTTCACGATCGACCGGCCCAGGGGCTTCCGCTGCGGCGCCTCGCGGCAGGGGTTGCCCGGCGGATGGAGCTCGTAGTCGACCTGCGTCTCAATCAAACCGGGCGCGAGCAGCGGCGGGTGCGCGCAGTCCGTGAAGAGGGCCGGCGGCACGCGGCGCTTTGCGAAGATGAAGTCGCCCACGCGGTAGTTCTGGCAGTAGTGGAGGAAGGCCGGGAGCACGAACCTCGTCGCGTGGTCGACGACGTTGGGCGTCTTGCCGCCGCGCGCGGGGCACGCGTCGCGCAGCGCCAACGCGTCGAGGTGGCGCCAGCCCTCGTCGCCGACGTGGACGTTCGAGAGCATCCAGTGGTTGACGCGCGCGTGCGGCATGCGCAGGTGCGCCGCGGCCATGCAGTACGCGTACATTTCCGCGAGCAGGTCGGGGTACTGCGCGTAGACCCGCGGCGCGAACTCGCGCCAGACCGGCGCCAGCTTTCTGAAATCATTATGGTGCAGCACGTAGGGCGGGCCGATCGGGTAGTGCCTCTCCGCGTCGCGCCGCGACGTCTCCAGGCACGGCGACCCCGCGCCGCAGATCTTGCGCCGGTCGAAGGTGAGCCAGTGCGTGCCGAGGCCGTACTGCTGGCCCGCCGGCGTCCCCTCGGTCACAAAGGCCGGCAGCTCGTCGGCGCGCCACGGCGCGATGACGAGCGCGTCCGGCCCGGCGACGCGGTCCGAGAAGGGCCGCAGGAACGCAAAGTCCGGGTCGATCAGCGCAATAATCGGCGCGCGCTCGAAGTCGATCGACCGGTCGTTGAGGAAGTGCTCCATGCCCCGCGGCTTGTTGTAGAAGTGGTACGACTTGCCCGTCGCCGAGTCCTTGTCGAACTCCGGCGTGACGTGGAGCGAGAAGCGCGCGCGCGCGCCGTAGAGGGCCGCGTAGCGCTGCCGCAGCGCGGCCTCCTTCTCCGGCGAGCAGCCGCTCGCGATGCGCGTCACCGGGCCGCGGTGGCCGACGACGTCGGCGCTGTTGAAGACGACCTCGCTCTGCCAGTCCTGGTAGGGCGTGCAGTCCGTGCTGAAGACGACGCGCACGCGCGCCGACCGCGCCGCGTCGCCCTCGAAGTCCTCGCGCTCGTCCTCGTCCTCGTCCAGGTCCAAGGGTTCGTGCGGCGGTAACTCCTCCGGCTTCGCGACCGCTTGCGGTGCGGCTACCTTCGGCGGCGCGGCGATCTGTGCGGCTAGGTGGACGACGCCCACTGCCAAGGCTAACAGCGTGAAGACGCAGCAGCGGAGGCTCACGCGTGGTCGGCGTCGCGCTGTCCGTGGCATTGTTGCAAAAGCAGCAGCGATGCGCTTGCTGGATTGCACGGCTTCACGCTCAGTGACGCCGCTTGTCAAATTGCCCAAAAAAAATGCGTGAGCTAGCGGCATGTAAAGACACTAGCAATATAGGCGGGAAAAAGCCTACGACGCGCGCCCCTCACAAGCTCCCACGCCAAGCTAAAATGATCCTCACAACATGCCCCGCCTGCGCCGCCCCACTGGCCCACACCGCGCCGCGATGCGTGCGATGCTCGACGAGATACTGTAACAAGACTTGCCAGCACGACCACTGGCGCCGCGGCCACAAGCAGATCTGCAAGAAAATACACCGCGGCGGCAACGCGGAACTCTATTATGCGAACAAAAAATACAAGGAGGCCGTCGCGGTCGCGGCCGAGGCGTGCGCGGACGACACGAAGGGCCAGACGTGCTTCATCTGCACCCAGGCCTTGCACTGGAAGACGAAGGAGGGCCTCGTGCGCGGGTGTGCGTGCCGCGGGACGGCGGGGTTCTCGCATGTTTCTTGTCTGGCGGAACAGGCAAAGATTTTGTTCGCGGAGGCCGAGGAGAACAATTTGGGCGACAATGCGTTTGATGAGAGGTGGGACCGGTGGTTCTCGTGTAGTCTGTGTGAGCAAGAGTATCACGGCGTCACGCGATGTGCACTCGGATGGGCCTGCTGGAAAACGTACGTGGGGCGGCCTGAGGGCGACTGGGCTCGGGGAGCCGCGATGATGGCGCTTGGGAACGGTTTATACAATGCAAAACACTACGAGGACGCGTTTGCCGTGAAAGAGGCCGAATTGGCTATGCTGCGGCGACTTGGCGACTCAGAAGAAAACATTCTCATCGTGCAGGGCAATCTTGCATGTACGTATGGAGAGCTTAAACGGCTTGATGAGGCCCTGTCCCTGCGACGAGACGTATACTCAAGACGTTTGAAATTAAATGGCGAGGAACACAGTTCAACCATCCGAGCGGCCAACAACTACGCGTCGTCCCTTCTTGGTCAAAAGCGCTTCGAAGAAGCCAAGGCACTGTTCCGCAGAACGATACCCGTGGCGCGACGCGTTCTTGGAGATCACAATGACCTCACGCTCTTGATGAGGAGACTTTACGCTGTGGCACTCTGCAACGACCCCGGCGCCACGCTCGATGATCTCCGGGAGGCCATAGAGACGTTCGAGGAGACGGGCCGGATCGCGCGGCGCGTGCTCGGGAGCGCGCATCCGCTCACAAAAAAAATCGAGAATGCCCTACGACAGTCGCGAGCCGCGCTCCGCGCCTGCGAGACGCCGTCCGCTGGGTAAGACGCGTCCCGCAAAAGGAAGAATAAACTAAATATCTTACAAAGACCAGAGCAAAAAAATCATGGTCTCATCACTCCTCGGCGAGGTACGACACGGGCAGCATCCCGCGGGCCCCGTCCGACGTGACGACGTCCGCCCAGCCGTCCTCGTGCGTCTCGAGAATGTTGACGGCGTCGCCCTCCGCGGCGGACAGCTGCCACGGCTCCGCGGCGTCGTACGGGTGCGCCACGCGCGCGGGCCGCGAGGGCGGCTCCGGGGCGCGCGGCGGCGGCGGCGGCGGTTTCGGTTTCGGTGGTGGTGGCGGCGGCTTCGGCTTCGCCGCGACGGGCGCCGGATCGGGCTGGGGTGGTGGTGACGGCGGCTTCGGCTGCGCCGGGACGGCGGGCAGCGGCACCGCCGCGGGCCGCGGCGCCGGCGCCGGCGCGGCGAGGGCCGCGGCCGCGGGCCACGGCGCCGCCTTGGGCTGCGCCGGCACCGAAGGCGGCGTCGGCAGCGGCATCGCCGCGCGCGCGGGGACCGGCGGCGCGGGCGCGGGCGGCGCCGCCCACGCCGGCTGCTGCACGGGCGCCGGAGGCGGCGCGGGCGCCGGCGCCGCGGGCAGCTCGACGTCGGCGAACGGGTCGTGGCCGTCCCGCGACATCGACGCGAGGCTCCTCAGCTGCGGCCGCGCGGGGACGACCGGCGCCGGCGCCACTGGCGCGACCGGCGCCACCGGCGCCGGCGCGGGCCGCTCGCCGGCGCGGACGCCGGCGACGGCCTCGTCGTAGAGCGCCGCGAGGTCGACGCCCGGCAGCGCCCTCGCGACGGCCGCCTGGTTCGCAGGGGACGCGGCGTAGAGCGGCTGCGCCCGCAGCAGGTCGTCGACGACGCGGCGGTAGGCCGCGGCGGCGCCGGCGGCGTCGCCGCGGGCTGCGCAGCGCTTGCCCTCGGCCTGGTTGTCGAGCGCGGACCGGACGGCCGCGACGACGGGCGCGTCGGCCGCCGGCGGCGGCACGGCGAGCAGCGGCGCCGGCTCGGGCAGCGCCGGCGCCGGCGCCGCCGGCGCGGGCTCCAGGTCCAGGCCCAGCAGGTCGACGACGGGCCGCGCGGGCGGCGCCGGCGCCGGTGCCGCGGGCGGCGCGCCGCCCGCGCCGCTCGGCCGCCGCGGCGCGCGCGGCCGCCGGACCGTGAGCTCGAAGGGCCGCCGCGCCGTGGCCAGCAGCCGGCCCAGGCGGTCCGCGTCCAGGTACGGGATCGGCTGCCCGTCCAGCGCCGTGAGCTCGTCGCCTACCCTTAACCCGACGCGCTCCAGCGCGCCGCCTACCCTTGAGACGACGACGCGACCGTCGTCGCCGCCCGCGCGCAGGTGCCGCGACACCTCCGCCGAGTCCGCGCAGCACACGCATAGTAGGGTTGCCGCGTCCGAGTCCTCGCCCACGCGCAGCAGCATGCCCGCGCGCCCGGCTGCCGCGTAGATGGCGCGGCACCAGTCGGCCGCCGTCGCCGCGTCGTCGGCCGCGAGCATCGCGAGCGTCGTCCGCGGCGCCGCCGACGGCTGCGACGCGGCCTGGGCCGCCGTGCTATAGACGGCGAAGACGTGAGCCTTGCCCTGGTGTGCCGGCTCGCGCAGCGCGTAGCAGCCCCAGACGCTCACGCCCTTCAGGGGCGCTTGTTGTAATGCTGCGTCGTGTGGCGCCGCGTCCTCGGCGTACCCGAGCTCGCAGTTGCGCAATATGAATGAACGGCGCTGCCAGCGCGCGCCTCGTAGTGAAGATGCTCTACTAAGCTTGTATAATTTGCCGGCCTTTTTCACGCGGGCCGCAGAGTCGTACTCGCGCGCGACGGAGCGCTGTTGTGAATTTGCGCGCGGCCTTGTTGTGTTCACAGCCGTCGCGACGGGCACCGTCGCCACGACCGGCGTAGGCTGTTCCGCGCCGCCACTCAAACAGTACTGCGTCGCCGCTTCCAGGTTGTCGCAGCGCTCGGCGGCCTCGAAGATTAGGGGTGCTTCGAAGCCCATCTCCCTTAATTTCCCGACCACTTCATCCAGCGAGTTGTGCCGCCCGCTCCGGCGCCGCTCGTCCTCCTCGAGGCGCCGCGCCGCCATTTCATCGTCCGTGGTGCCGCGCCGCGCCTGCGGTCTGGACGGCGGCGCCTCGCCCTGCGCAAAAAAAGCGTCGAGCGCGCTCTCCAGACCCCCGCCGTGCGCCTTGACGGCGTCGAGGTAGCGCGTCGCTGTCGCGTGGTCGACGCCCGTGAGCTCGGCGAACTGGCGCACGTCCGGTGGGACAGAGGGCGCGGCGCTGAAGGGGTCGAGGTCGAGGAGGTCCTGGCGCATCGCTCCCTTTTCAGATGGCTACAGAGACCTCCTTTAGGGGTGTGCCTCTTTTTGCCTTCTACTTGCGCTGCAATTTCTGTCACAAGAAACAGCCGCAGCGGTGCTCAGCGACGAGTGATGTGTCCTCAACACCTATGCCGCGCTTGGAATTTGCCGTAAATGGCGTCTTGGACGCCGCCTCGATTGACTCTCAGGCGCGCGCGGGTTCTCCGACGACACCTCCGGCGCCCTGCACGGTTCCGCCCGGCAGCCCGGGACGGATCCGACGCCCCGCGAACCCGCACGGGAGTTACAAAGCCCGACACTATAGCGCGACCGGCGCTGATAAAAAGCCGGGGCAACGCGGCCTGCGCGCGCGTTGGAGGCTGCCCCACGCCTTACCAGCAACGCGGCTGTACCGACAAAGCTGCCCGGCCCGGCGAGCCAGCCGTCCCAAGGTAGAACGAGGTAGAGGCACCCAGCCCCAATAACGCGACGCGCCGCGATGGCCGACGACGAGAACGAACAGACGACCCCCCACTGGGGCACGAGCGCCCCGGACTATGAGGGCGAGGACCCGGAAAACGAGATCGAACTCGACCCGAACATGGCCGAGCTGCCGCTCTTCGCCGGGCTCGAGGCGAAGAAGATTTTTGCCGATATTGAGAAGCAGCGCGAGAAGCTCGAGAAGGCCCAGGCCGACTACGCGGACCATGAGGAGCGTTATAAAGTCATGGTCGAGCACCTGAAGAATGTCCGGCAAGAAGTTCAGCACACGGAGGGCTTAGCTTCCGCCAAGAGGGCCGAGGTCGCGTCCGAGGACCACCTGGCCCAGATGGCTAAAAGAGAGGCCGGGAGATATAGGCAGGAACTCAAACGGGAGCAGCAGGAGCTCGAGGCGATCGATAGCACGCTCAACGCGCTCCAGAACCAGGTCTTCGGGGCCAACGAGAAGATGGACGGCTTTAAGTTGCAGATGAACTGGAACCAGGAGGAGTTGGAACAGTGGGCCCTGGCCTCGAAGCAGAAAGAAGAAGATAACTTGGCTATAGAAAAGTATACGAGGGCCGATGAAGCCAAAATAAATCAGCTAGCCCTGCAGATCGAGAAATTGACGAAGCGCGATCTAGAAATTCAAGCGCAAGTGGAAGCGGAAGCGACCGAAACCTCTTCCAGACAGATTGAATTGGATCGCACGGCGGAAGAATTTCGGGTCCTACATGCGGAGCGCCAGAAGCTCGTCCAGCAGTGGAAGGAGACCATCGAAGTGGCGGCTAGACGCGATCAAGACATCACGAAGACGGCGACGGAGTACGTCCAGCAAAAACAGGCCAAAGAGGTGGTTGACGTCGATCTGAAGGCGGCGCGGGAAGACCTCGACAAGGTCCAGGCCCTGCACGGCGAACTCCAGACCGAGGTCACGGCGCGCGAGCGCCAGTTGCAAGCTCGCAGAGAATTTCTACTGTCGGAACAGGAAAGAAAAAAGAAACTCGAGGAGGAGATCGACATCATCAAGACGGAGCTCGTGCGATACGGCGTCCTTTCGCCTTCTTACGCCATCGACGCGACTCATGTCCATGAGACGAGGTCGTGGGTGGTTTCTTTTTCGAGTTTGAGCTGTTTCGGACCGCGTCGGGGCCGTCGCGGCGTGTCAGAGAGACAGCGGCTTCACGAGACAGTGCCGCCGCGACGCCGTCGTCGCGATCCCACGAGAGTCGACGTGGTCATCAGGACGCCGTCGACGCGATGCCACATCACCGCGATGCTCCGCGCAGGCGAACAGCGCTCGCACACTAGCTCGTCGTAGAGCGGAGATGGAGCGCGAGAAGGACGAGGTCGTCCAGCGGAAGACGCAACTCGAACAGGTGCGGAAGCTGTACCACGCCGCGAAGCGCGACTACGCCGGCACGGACGAAAAGCTCGCCATCGTCGAGAAGGACGCGTCCGCCGCGGAGAAGATTTTGAAGGATGCCGAGAACGAGGAAGTTGCGGAACAAAGGAAACTGCAAACCCTGAAGGAGAAGATGTTCAAGGCGAGTCAGGAATTGTTCGACCTCCGGCAGATCGAGGCCTCGACGATTGCCGAGATTTCTGGTTCGCAATCTCAGGTCAAGAATCTAAGACATAAGATTCGCGCTTTAGATAAGGAGTCCGTGAAGCAGGCCGAGCTCATCTATAACGCGGAGTACGAGATTCAGTTGATGGAGCGCAAATTAAGTGTAGTGAAAGGGGAGCGGTCCGACGCGGAGAAGAAGGCCCTGACGGCGCAGATCGAGAAGTGCAAGGAGGAGTTGAAGGAAGCGAAGGACCAGCAGAAGTTCCTAGTCAATCAGACGCGCAAAGTCAACAACGAGTACACGCGAGCGCGGAGACGCGAGGAGGAGGCCGAGAGGGACAAGGTCAAGCTACGAGAGCGCATCAACACGGTCGAGATGGAAAGCAACGCCGTGGAACTGGATTTGAAGCAGTACACGGAGGAGGAGCAGGAGGCCATGGTTGCCAACGATGTCATGAGGCTCGAGATCAAGAGATTGAGAGATCAACTGTCGGAACGGGCCGACAAGGTCTTCACGCTCGAGAACCGGAAGCAGCAGTTGAAACTAAGCATGGCGGAGCGCAAGAAGGAGATTGCGGTCCATTCCGATGTCCAGGCCGTACAATTAAGGTTAGCGGAGGAGGAGGTCCACAAGGTGAAGATGGAGGTCAATGGGCGCAAGGCGCAGATCAACATGCTCGCGGCGAAGTACGAGAAAGTTGTGAAAAGTTCTTCTGTCAGGTCAGAGGAAGGCGGGGAGCCGAAGTCGCAAGCCTACTACATGATTCAAGCGGCGCAAAAGAGAGAAGAGTTGCAGAGACAGGGCGACGAGTTGGATCAGGAAATCAGGAGGCGGGAGCGGGAGATGCGCGCTTTGGAAGCTACGTTAAGGCACGTCAACGTGCGAAACACGAAGTATCGCACGTCCTTCCAAAAAGCCAACATGAAGAGCGGCGAGGCCGAGGACATGAAGCAGCTCGAAGAACAGGCGAAATTGGCCGCGGATGCCTTGTTTAGAAGGAAGAAGGAGCTCCAACGGTTGGCCACCGACTTCGAGGAAGATGACCGGAGGTTGAGGCAGGTCGAAGGGCAATGTACCAGATTGGAAGAACGGAACGGCCATTTGGCCGAGGCGAAGCAGCAGATGGAGGTCGAGCTCGCGGCGCAGGACGAGGCCTTGGAGAAGCACGACGAGCGGTTATCTAGACTGTCGGCGCTGCATCGCGGCGACGGCGAGGAGGAGACGGTGCAGGAGAAGCACTTCCGGGCGGAAGGTCTCCGAGATGCGACAAAGTCGGTACTTAGAACGCTCGGGGATTTGGCCAAGGCGTACCCGGAGTTGAAGGACGTGCTCAACGCGACGCTGCAGGACCACGGCCTGCACCCGGAACTGCTGGCCGGGTAATAACGTTTGTTTTTCGGAATCGTTTTTTTCCTGCGGCGACGGCGTGTAGCCAAGTTACGGTGCTAGGACTAGTGCCATAGTACCCGTAGTAGTGGGCGGCGCCCCTGCCCGGGCTGGGGGAGAGACACCGCGCGTCGCCGCTTCATCGGCGGCTGACGCGTGCCGTGTTTTTCATCACAGCATACCTCTCTCTAAACAGAACCGCCTCGGCAAACGGCGTCCTCCGATAATCCCCCTAGTGTCTTACCGGTCGCTAGACTCCAGGATTATCGTCGCCTCCTCGCCCAAGAACGCCCCCTAGCAAGCGACCAGCAAGCGGCCGCGCTGCCGCAAGCGGTCTGGCATCCGGCATTGGCAGGGTGCTGAGGGTGCGTGGGTGCTGAGGGTGCGTGGTGTTGTTGAGGGCGCTGAGGGTGATCTGGGAGCGTGGGCTCTGAGGTTGCGTGGGTGCTGAGAGTGCGAGTGCCTGTGCCTCTTACTACGTGGCCCTGGCAGGCTTCACACGCTCTGCAAGTATCTGCGGGCGGGCGGCCGTGCTGATCGCGGGCGGGCGGCCGCGCTGATATGTCCGGACACGTCATCGCGGCGGCCGAGGCCGCGGCGCGCCTCAAGCTCGAGACGTACGAGTCCACGTTCGAGGTCGAGGCGCCGGGCACGGGCCGGCTGGGCGTGGCGTTCCGCGACTCGAGCGAGCTCTGGACGGTGACGCCGGGCGGCGCGCTGCACCGGCTCGGCGTCTATCCGGGCTGCTTGCTGCTGCGGGCGAACGGCCGGCCCTGCGGCGCGACGGACGAGTCAGCATTACAGGCGCTCGAGGCCGCGGCGGCGGACGGCGACGAGGTCCGCGTCCTACTCTTCGCGCGGCCGCCGCCGCCGCAGGTCCCCGGCGAGTGCCGCGCGCCGCGGCGGTCGCCGCCGGCCGAGCTGCTACGCGGCGACGACGGCCGCGGGCGGCGCGCGCGGACGTCGCGGGACTCCCTCGACGGGGAAGATTGTTTCATCAAGACCCTGCGGGACCACGCCACGGCCCTCGAGGCGCGCGATCTGCTCCGCGAAGCTGCGGTTTTGGCGCGCCTCGCGCCGCACCCGCACGTCGCCCGCCTTGTGGCCTGGTCCGCGCCGGACTCGGTGCCGTGGGCGGCCCTTGCGCGCGTCCCCGGCCAGGACCTGGAAAGTTACCTGAAGGAGGAGTCGTTCGTCGAGCGCGTGGGCGCGGCGCCGCGCTGGACGCTGGAAACGGCGCTCGAGGTGGCGCGCCACGTGGCTTCCGCGCTGGCGCACTGCCATTCGTCGGCGGCCCTCGGCGGCCCTCCATTGCTGCACCGCGACGTCAAGCCGGCGAACGTCGTCCTCGAGGCGCTGCCCGCGATCCCGCTGCCGTCCACAAAACACCGGTCGCGCTTCTCCTTCGGCGACGCGCCGCCGCTGCGATTCCGGGCGACACTCGTGGACTTTGGCTTGTGCGCGGTGCTCGACGACCGCCGCGCGCTCACGGCGCACACGGGCTCGCCTCGTTACATGGCGCCCGAGAACGCGCTCTCCTCCTCATACAGTACGCCGTCGGACGTCTACTCCGCGGCGCTCGTCGCCTGGGCCGCGTGTTCACGAAGACAGCCGTTCCGCGACCTCAGCACCAAGGAGCACGCGGAAAAGGTCATCGGCGGGCGCCTGCGCCCGCCGCCCCTCGCGGACGCGCCGCCCGAGCTCGACGACCTGCTTTCCCGCGCGTGGGCGCCCGACCCTTCGTCGCGGCCCGACGCCGCGGACTTCTCCGACGGCCTCGCCGAGGCGCTCGTCGCGGTGCGCTTCGGCGAATAGCTTAGTCTATTCCGCCGGCGCCGCGTTGCTGCCTCCTCTCCCGATTTTACCCAAACAACGCCAACACGTCATTTCCCCCTTGTGTATAGTTCTATGTGACGGAACTAGGACTGGGGGGCGGAGCCCCTAGGGGTTTAGACACCGCGCGTCGCCGAATCATCGGCGGCGAGGCGTGCGGCGGCGAGGCGTGCGTTTTTTTTTTTTGCTAGTGTGTTACAGGCCGCTAGATAATCGAGCAACTCGCTGCTGGCTGAATATTCGAAAGTTACGCGGCGCATCGCTCCGCTACAAGGCAGAGAGCGAGAGGCGTTGCAAGCACCGCTGCTACCGCTGAGCAGAGACCGCTGCCGAGGCTTGCGCGGCCTGCCAGCACGACGCGCGCCTTCCTCCTCCTCGTCTGCGCGCTGGGCCCCGCGATGGCCGGCAAGCGCCTCCTGACGGTCTGCGGCTGGACCGGCTGCAAGTTCTACCAGAAGGCCAAGGGCGTCGCGACGGCGCTCAGCGCGCTCTACCCCGCGGACTACGAGGCCCGGCTCGACGAGTCGCCGGACCGCGATACGTACAGAGGCAAGCTCGACGCCCTGCGCCAGAAGACGCCGACCGACGCCAAGGCCCAGTCGCACACGTCCTCGCCATTAGTTTTCCTCACGGAGGGCGGCGCCACTTCCTATTTAGGCGGCTGCGACGACACCGTGGCCTGGGCGCGCGCTCGTTTATCTCCGAGTACGACCGAGAACGGATCAAATGGCATCTGCAACCAGAACGACGGCTTCACGAAGGACCACGGTTTTGATTATGATGTGGTCGTCATCGGGGGCGGCTCGGGCGGCCTCGCGTGCTCGAAGGAAATGGCCAAGCTCGGCGCGAAAGTAGCGGTACTGGACTACGTCAAACCAAGCCCGCAGGGCACGAAGTGGGGTTTAGGTGGTACCTGCGTCAATGTGGGATGCATCCCGAAAAAACTCATGCACACGGCGGCGATCCTGGGCGAGGCGATGCGCGACGACGCGGCGGCCTTCGGCTGGGCGTCGCCCGATGTCAAACACAACTGGGCGGCCATGCGCGAGCGCGTCCAGAACCACATCAAGTCGCTGAACTTCCAGTATAGGGTTGCTTTGCGCGAGGCCGGCATCTCGTACCTGAACAAGCTGGGCGAGTTCGCGGGCCCGAACACGCTCAAGGTGACGGACAAGAAGGGCAAGGTCACGCAAATTACATCGGCGCGCTTCGTCGTCGCCGTGGGCGGCCGGCCGAACCGCCTCGATATCCCGGGCGGCGAGCACGCTATTGATTCCGACGACATCTTTTCATTGGAGAAGGCGCCGGGCCGCGTGCTATGCATCGGGGCGGGCTACATCGCGCTGGAATGCGGCGGCTTCGTGAACGGTTTGGGCTCGTCGACCACAGCCATGGTCCGGTCGATTCTGCTAAGGGGCTTCGACCGCGAATGCGTCGACAAGATCCAGACGCACCTCGTCGCGCATGGGGTGAAGTTGCAGATCGGCGTCACTCCCACAAAAATCGAGAAGAATGGGGATGTCCTGACGGTGCACGGCTCCGACGGGTCGGTCAACGAGTACGACACGGTCCTCGTCGCGACGGGCCGCAAGGCCGACACGACGGGCCTTGGGTTGGATAACGTGCCGGGGGCGGCCAAGGATGTTGCGCAAAACGGCAAGCTCAAGGCCGTCGACGAGCAGCTGCCCCACGCGCCGCACGTCTACGCCATCGGCGACGTGTTGGACGGCCGGCCCGAGCTGACGCCCGTCGCCATCGAGGCGGGCCTGCGCCTCGCGCGGCGCCTCTTCGGCGCTGGCAATGAACGCATGGACTACGAGAACGTCGCCACGACGGTCTTCACGCCCCTGGAATACGGCGCCATCGGCCTGAGCGAGGACGAGGCGACCGAATCGTTGGGCGCCGAGAACGTCGAGTGCTACATCTCCGAGTTCACGCCCTTAGAACACGCGCTCTCCGACGCGCGGTCGGCGCGCGGCGACGCCGCCTTCGCGAAGCTCGTCTGCGACAAGACGCAGGACCTGAAGGTCATCGGCTTCCACTACCTCGGCCCGAACGCCGGCGAGATCACGCAGGGCTTCTCCGTCGCCATGCGCAAGGGCGCGACCTACGGCGACTTCCTCGGCACGGTCGGCATCCACCCCACCGTCGCCGAGGAGTTCACGACGCTCACGGTCACGAAGGCGAGCGGCGCCTCGGCGGCCAAGGGCGGCTGCTGAGGTTAGGGACCGCCGCGGTTCGTTCGAACCGCGGCGCGCCGGCCGTTCGATCCGTCGGGCGGCCGGCACGTCCCGACCGGCGCGCGCACCCATGACGGCGCGGGACTTCTCCTAGTAGGTCCCGCGCCCGACGGCGCCGCCACCCACCCGTTTCCCTCCCTCTCCCCCCTAGTGTAACTTAGTGACTCGCAATGTCGTCGCGCTCGCGTGAACCAGTACTCGTATGAAACTTAGTGACAACCGGAATGAAACGTTCGGTCGTCGTAAAACTCAGTACTCGAGCGCCGCCCAGGCGCCGTCGTGGTCCGACTCGGGCGTGTGCAGGTAGCCCGCGGCCACGACGCGCGCCGCGGCCGCCAGCACGTCGTAGCGCCGCGGCGCGTCGACGCCGACCGCGCCGGCGAGCCGCGCGAGGCGGTGGCCGATACCACTTTCCGTCGTCCGCGCGAAGAAGTGCGTGTCCGCCGGGGCGCGCGCGTGCGCGTCGCGGGCGCCCGCCCGTGTTAACGGAAGCAGCATGCTGGCGAGGTCCCGCGCCTGGCGGCCGCGGTCGAGCGCGAAGCAGTTCGTGTCGCCGCCCGCTAGGAGGACGTCGCGCCGCGGCGGCGGCGCCGCGGCGACGGCCGCCGCGAGCTGCCCGGCGCGGTGCGCGTTGTCGCCCGCGGCGTCGAGGTGCAGGTTCAGCGTGAAGAGCGGCCGCGCGGCGCGGGCCCGCAGGCGCACGGCCAGCGCGCGCTTCGTCTCCGGCGCGCCGCCTTTAATGTAGAGCCGCTCGTGCGGCGCGAGCGCCGCGAGCGCGGGCAGCGGCACGGCCCTCACGTCGACGGCGGCGTAGCGCCGCGCGTCGTAGACCGTCGCGAGGCGCGGCTCCGTCGGGCAGCGCGCGACTCCGTCGAGGCCCAGCGCCCGGGCGACCTCGTCGGCCGCGCCGTCGACGTCCTCTTGCAGCAGCGCGACGCCGACGCCGCCGTGGCGCGCGGCCGCGCGCGCGAACCGCCGGTAGCGCGGCAGCAGCTGGTCGAGGTGGAGAGCATCCATCAAATTGTGCGTGAGCGCGACGAAGCGCGACGGGCGGCGGAAGAGCATGGTCTGCAGCCTTGTCCGCAACACCGCGGCTCTCTGTGAGTATGTATGAGAGCACTCCTGCCTGCAGCGATCAAGAGCCTTCAAATTGCAATGCGTGGACAGCGGAGGCCTCGTGGGGCCGCCTTAAAGCCTAAACTTGGAGAGCAGGTCGACCTAGCGGCGTGTAAAGACACTAGCAAGCCCACTCGAAAGATCCCAGTGTACTTGTATGAAGACGCCTCTCGACCATTCATCGAAGACTAGTTACTACAAAAAGCACGGGGCTTGTTCGTGCTGTCAACTGGCAAGAGTACTGAAAAGAGGCAACAAACATTATTTGCGGTGCCCATTTGCGGTTGGATTGCGGTGCGGGCCTGCAGCACTAGTTAGCGCCGGGCTGCCGTACCATCGAGGCCAAAAAAATGGCTGCCCTCGCCCTCGCGTCGTCCGAGGCAGACGACGTCTTCGAGGCGGTCGCCGCGCACCTGCGCCGGCCGCCGTTTTCGAAAGGGCACACGGCCCAAGACCTGCGCGACGGCCGGGACTTGAAAACTCTACTCTACGAGGTCTGCGCCGACATCGACGCCGCGCGCGCGCCGCGCGACGCGGCGGACGCCGCCGCGCTGCTCGCGGTGCTGGGCGCGCCCGTCGACGAAGAGACCACGGCCCGCGACATCCAGGAGAGCGACCGCGGGACGATAATCGCGAGCCTCCACTGGTGCCTGCGCGACCGCGCGGCACATAAGAAGCGCATCTACGACGCGCGCCTCGCGCTGCCGATCCGCGCCGTCGCCGCCGCCGCGGCGCCGCGAGAAATTAAGGGCGCCTCGACGCTAGCATTTCGCGCAATCAAGGCCCAGGCCGGCAAGGCGCGGCCGCCCCTCGGCGACGCGCCTTTAATAGAACGCGTCGTCGAGGTCGGCGTCCCCGAGGCCTGGGACGCGGCGCAGCTGCTGACGATCGCGACGACGGACACGCGGGAGACGCGCCTCGCGCCGAAGCGCACCGTGGCGCAGCGCTGGGCCGCGGCCGTGCGGCGCCTCGCCGGCGCGACGAAGAAGCACCGGCGGCCGCCGTCCGAGGCCATCCACCCGACGGAGCCCGGCGTCGTCATGCCGCGCGCGCTCTGGGCCTTCCCGCGCCAGGCTGACGACCTGACGGACGACGTCGCGCCGTTCTGCTTTCCCGCGGGCCTGAAGGTCGAGCGGGGCGCGGGCCCGGCGCCGGCCGCGCGGCCCGCGGGCGAGCCGTTCGTGTTCGTGCTGCGCGGCGGCGGCGGCGCGGGCCAGGCGCCCCTCTACGGCGTCTGCGCGCGGGAGACGTTCGGGCGGCCGCTGCGCGACGGCCACGCGGTGCTGGCGCGCTGCGTCTGCGTGCTGACGAAGCGGCCGCTGCTTTTAGATTTGCACGTCGCGGTGCTGCGCGACGCGCTCGCCGAGACGCGGGCCGCCGACGACGCCACGCGGCGCCTGGCGCTCCGCGAGATCTTCGGCCGCTACCAGCGGCTGGCCGTCCCGCGGCCCGGCGCGCGTATAAGCTTCGCCGTCGCGAAAGAGACGCGGGAGCTGGCCGTGCCGGGCCCCGACGACGCGCTGACGTACCTCGGCGACGGCTGGCGCCGCGCGACGCCGGCGCTCGCCTGGACGCGGCGCGACTACGGGGCCATCGCGGCCGCGGGGGCGACGAGCGTGCCCGAGCTTTTTAGGAGGCTGCCCGCGCGGACGGCGCTGCGGGCGCTGGCGGCCGTGCTCTGCGAGCTCCAGGTCGTCGTCGTCGCCGCGGCCCCGGAGGCCGCGGCGGCCTGCGTCCACGGCCTGACGGCGCTGGCCCGGCCGGTTTTGGTGGTGGGCGCGCGCGCGCCCGTGCTGCCGACGCAGCTCCACGCGCTCCTCGAGGCGCCGGTGCCCTTCCTCGTCGGCGCGCCGCGGACGGAGACCTGGGCGCGCTCTCTGGAAAGCAGCGTGCCGCGGCCCGGTTTATTAATCGTCGACGCGGACCGCGGTTCATTAGCTTACCACCCCGACGACGCGGACCTCGTGGAGCTGCCCGAGGCCGAGGCTGTGGAAAGTGCCATCGAGGAGATGGTAGGGGCCTGCCGGCGCGGCGACGACCGCGCGGGGCGCCACTGCTGTAGGGTGGTGGGCCGCCACGTCGCGAAGCTCTGCGGCGCCGCGAAGCCCTTCGAGGCGTCGACGTTCGGGAGGACGCGGCGCGCGATCTGCGAGCGCGCGCGCGGCCGCGAGTCGTTGGAATTTGCCGAACTTGTCAAGAGGGAGCTTGGCGACGCCCGCGAGCGGCGCTCGGTGCGCGACCTGCGCGAGAGCGTGGGCCACGCCTTCGACGCGCGCGCTTCAGTAAACTGGGCGCGCGCGTCGACGAATCTGGATTTGCGGGCGTCCATCAAGGCGGACCCGCTGCGGAAGGCCTTCTTCGAGCGCCTCGCGGAGAGCCAGGCCTACGCCGTCTACCGCGAGAACTTCCCCGACCGGTTCGCGGAGTCGTCCCCGGCCGGCGTCGAGGAGGACTTGGAACCGGTAAAGGCTCTGTGCGAGACCGCGTGGCGGCCGGCGTCTCCTGGGCCTGCTACGCCGTCGCGGTCGCCCTCGTCGGCGTTCGGCGACATCTCGCCGCTGACGTTTTGTGCGAGTCCGAGATAAGGTTGATTTCTGTTCTTCTTTCTTTTAGGGTTTTGTCGCGCTGCTTCCAGGGCTCCCGCGCGCGTTTTAGGAATGACCTAGCGCGGTAAGGCACTAGCAAGCTGGGTCCAGCCGCTCTCACAACTCACAGGATAACACAGTCAGCATCATTGCTCTGATTTGTTGCGGATTACGCTTATTCCCGTAGCGCGCAAACGTTCTGCAGCATCTGCAAGCATCTACGCTGCCGTAGCGTGTGATTTTAGCTGTCTCCTCCTCCTGCTGGCAAGCTTGCGTGTGGACAACGTCGACATGAAGGTAACATACTTCCAGCTCTGGGCGCGCGGACCGTCCATCGTGCTCGCCTTGGAGCATGCAGGCGTCGACTACGAAGCTGCTTTCCCGGACAACTGGAAGGAGCTGAAGCCGACGACGCCGTGGGGCGCCTTGCCTCTATTCGAAGCCCCACTGGCCGGGAAGGTGCTCACGCTCGGGCACGAGCTCGCGATCCTGGCGTACATCGAGCGTAAGTGCCCGGTGGTCGCCGGCGCCGACGAGCGCGAGTGGGCGGTGTCGCAGCAATTCGTCCACCAAGCGGAGGACGTGTATAAAGCCCTCGTCGCGAAGCAGCCGACGCTCTACGAGACGGACAAGGTCTCGAAGGAGGCGCTCGCCGAGTGGTGGGCGGGCGACGACCGGACGCTCCACAATCGCAAGCAAGGGCTCCAGGTGCACCTCGCGCTGCTGGAAGCCGCGGCCGCCGCGACGCCGGGAAAAGCAGGTTATTTGACGTGTGATGGAAAGTCTGTCGGTGAGTGCAAGCTATGGGCGACGTTACACATGCTCGTGTTGATCAAGAGTGACGTCCTGGCGCCGTTTCCGGCGCTCACGGCCTTCTACGAGCGGTTCGGCGGAGAGGAGGCGACGAAGCGAGTCGTCGACTCCGGCGGCCGCTTCCCGGGGCCGCTGAAGCAGTACTTCGTCGCCGCCGAGTGATCGATACTATGTCTAATGTTAACTAACTAAGAGCCGGTTGGCTCCAGCTTCTTGCGCTTGGCCCGCGACGGCTCCTCGTCCTTCTGGCGCACCTCGAGCTTGAGCCACGGCTCGGCCTCCTGCTCCTGCCGGCGTTGCGCGTAGCTACCGCGGGCGTGCGACTGGTCGCGCGTCGAGGGCACGCGCTTGACCGAGGCGGCCTGCAGCTTGGGGGCGTCGCGCGCCGACGCCGGCGCGGGCGCCGGCGCGTCGGCCTCGTCGGCCGCGTCGACGTAGGCGAACGACGGCCGCATCTGATACGTCGTCGCGAGCGGCGCAATTTGTAAAATGCCGTCGCGCAGCGCGCCGACGGCGTAGTTCGTCTCGGGCGCCACCGTCGTCGCCGCGAGCGTCCGCTTGTCGAACCGCATGCGCTCGGGCGCGCGCTCGTCGACGTGCCGGCCGCTCTTCGTCGCCGGGACGTCCACCTCGAGCAGCTCGTGTCTTACTTTAATCCGCGCGGCGTCGAAGGGCTCGGGCCCGCGCTCGCGCGCGCGGATCGGGTACTGGAGCAGCGCCAGGCCGGGCCGCGGCGCGTCGTCCGTCGGGTCGCCCCAGTCCGCCAAATGTACTTCGATCTCGCGCACGACGGGGTCCTCCTCCTTCGTTTCGTCGTCCTCGTCCATCGGTGACGCGTCGCCTTTCGTGCGGGCGCGGGTTGGGTCGCTGGGCAGTGGTCTCTCGCAAGAGAGCTACCGATGCGTCGCCGTCCCTTGCAGCGGCGTCGGTCTATTGCGCCGTGCGTGCGGCGGCAGCGAAGCTGCTCTCGGAGAGCGCCAGGGGTTACAGATGCGTTTGGTCGCGCGGTAGCTGTTCGGCGTGACAAATAGCAACCCAGGGCGGCCTAACTAAGACGTGTAATGCCGTCGCGGCCGGCAGAGACGCTCGCGCGATTTTGCGAGCTAGTGTAGACAGATGCTAGAGATCTCGCCTTTTGTGCAAAAACAAAGCCCACACGAGGTAGAAGGGAAGCTGTAGCGTTCTAAATTACACCATTGCGTTGCTCGCGCCCGGCTGCAGTCGCTGGAAACAACGATCATGCCAACCCTCGTGCCAGCCTCCCCCAGCAGCATAGACGTGGACGACGACGACTCGGACGCGCCGCCGTCGCCGCCGCGGCGACGGCACCAGCTCGACCTGCAATCGACCGGCGAGATCGCGGCACCGACGACGCGGCGCGACGTCTGGGTGGTCGCCGCCACGACGGTCGGCAACGCGCTCGAGTGGTACGACTTCGCGCTCTTCGGCTTCCTCGCGCCGGAGCTCGCCACGAAGTTCTTCCCGCCAAAAAAGCATTTGAACTCGGCGCTGCTCGAGACGTTCCTCGTGTTTGGGGCCGCGTTCCTGGTGCGCCCGGTCGGCGGCCTCGCGATGGGTGCGTTCAGCGACCGGCACGGGCGGAAGCGGGCGCTCCAGCTATCGGTAATAGCGATGAGCGGCGCGACGGCGTCCATCGGGCTGCTGCCGACGTACGCGGTGGCCGGGTCGCTCGCGACGTGCCTGCTCGTGCTCTGCCGGCTCGTCCAGGGCCTGTCCGTGGCCGGCCAGCTCACGGGCGCGCTCGTGTACCTCGTCGAGTCGGCGCCGCCAGGCCACGAACACCTTTTTGGAAGTCTAGCCTTCGCGTCGGGCAACGCCGGCACGATGCTCGGCGGCGTCGCCGTGGCCTTCGTGCAGACGCGCGCGGGCCAGGACGCCTTCGCCGGCCACGGCTGGCGCTATCCCTTCCTGCTGTCCGCGTTTTTGGGGTGGGGCGGCTACTACGTCCAGAGCTACGCCGAGGAGTCGCCTGAGTACCTCGCCGTCGTGGAGGGGCCCCAACAGACGGAGGACGGACCGCGGCGGAGCCAGCTCGAGCTCCAGCGGACCGGCGAAATTCCAGGAAGGGACGAGGCCGTCGACGCCGTCGAAGCCGTCAAGCGCTCGGGGCCGAAGGTCGCCGCGCTCGCGGCGGCCTGCATCCTGTCGCCGGCAGCTTTCTACGCGTTTTTCGTATTCGCGCCGGCGTTCTACCCGCTGCCGCAGGCGACGCTCCTCGCGACGCGGTGCCTCCTCCTGAGCGTGCTGGCGATGCCGCTCGCGGGCGCGGCCATCGACGCGCGGCGCGCGACGCACGGCGACGACGTCGCGGCCGATACCGCGGCGGCGGCAGCGCTCGCCCTGGGCGTGGCGTCGCCGGCGATCTTCGCGTGCCTCGCCTCGAAGAACGCGCACGCGGCCGCGCTGGGTTTGGCGGTGGCCGCCTTCGTGCACAGCGCGTTCAACGCGGCGCTGGCCGGCTGGCTCGTGCGGGCCTTCGACCCGCGGGCGCGGGGCGCGGTGCTCGGCCTCGCGTGGAACGTCGCGGCGGCGCTGGTCGGGGGCACGGCGCCGGCGTTTGCCGTTCTGTTAATAGAGGTGACGGGCTCGGACGTCGCGCCGGGGTTTTACATCTCGGTCCTCGCGATGCTGGCCGTCGGCGGCATCCGGGCGCTGCCGCGAGCGCCGCCTGTCACCAACGCGGTGGAGGCGAGGTATACGGACGCCGCTGCGGCCGCGCCGCCTTCGTCGGTTGTCGTGTGAGTAACAAAACATACAAGTCCTATCCTGTCCTGTCCGACGACCGAAATACGCCCTCTCGGATGGCCTAGGGCGCGGCGCGGCTCCTCGCGCGGATAGACAAAACAGGTTTTCACCCACAAATTTGCCCAAGTGGGGCACCGCGCCCGGTCGTGGCGCCGTCAATTCAGTGATCGCCAGTACTATTTCATTGTCCTGACGATGGGCTGTGCGGCCTCCAAGGCCCCGCCCAAGCGCGATCCAGTCGAGGAGCTCATCGAGGAGGTGCACGCCCAGCAAGGCCGCGAGTCCGGCGGCGGCGTGACGCTTGATCTGTCGGCCGCGCCCGCGAGCGCCGACGCGCCGGCCGGCAAGCTCGCAGAACTCGGCCTCTCGCTCAAGGGCAAGGTGCCCGACGCGGCGTGGGCCTGCGTCGGCGTTCTGCCCTGTGTGGAAATCAACCAGTGCGTCGGCGATGCGAGCGGTGAGGAGCCGACATCGCCACGCCATCGAGCAGGTGTCGCGTCGATGGCGTGTCCAGAGGACGAAGATTCAGGACGAACGCGCCGTAAATTTGATTTCCACACAGGTGACGACGCTCTCACTCAAAGGCAACCACCTCGGGAGCCTCTCGCCGAAGCTCGCGCAGCTGTCGGCGCTCCGCGTGCTCGACGTCTCGGAGAACGGCCTGACCGCGCTGCCCGAGGGCGTCGCGGCGCTCGAGGCGCTCGAGGTCCTGGACGTCTCGAGCGCCTGCCCCCATCCAAGGCGCTCCGGGCGTCGCTCCCGGCGCTCGAGTACCTGACGGTGCACCAGAACCGTATTGAAGTGCTCCCGGCGCTCGACCTCCCGGAGTTCACGACGCTGAACGCCGGCGGGAATCCGATCAAGGCGCTCCCGGACCTCTCGCGGTGCCCGAAGCTCCGCGTGCTCATCGTCGACGACTGCGGCCTCGTGTCCGTGCACCGGTCGTTCACGCCCGCGAACCACCCGAAGCTCGAGCGGCTCGTCGTCTCGGGCAACCCGGGCCTCGACGCCAAGGCGCGGGCCAAAATTGATGTCTTCGCCGCGACGACCACGGCGAACGGCGGCTGGGTCCGGGGGTAGAGCTCCCCGCGCGCGGGGGTGGCGGCACTCGCTCGCAATAACCTTCCTTTGGGGGCCCATCGGTGCCGAGTCGAGCGAGTCGCGCCTTGCAGGTATCCCTAGTGTCTTACAGACCGCTAGCTTCGAGGCGGGGCGCGCTCAAAAAACTTGAAACCGGTGGATTAAAGGGCCGCATCGCCGCAGACAAATGGCGACCTCAAAAATCACGCTAGCAGCCCTTGGCGGTGCCGCTGCGGCAATCACGCTCCAAAGGCTACGCCGCAAATGGCTCGCGCTGCCGTACGCCTGGCGCCGGAGCGCGACGAGAACTGAACTGATGCGCTGGATCCTCTTTGATGCAGCTCCCGAGTGGGCGACGACGGAACGAATGCTTGCGCTGCGCCGAGCCGTCGCCTGTCCCGCGCAGTCCGTGTCCTACGCGAACGCCGACCCGCTGCTGATCGTCGGCGGCCAGGGCGCGCGGCTCGTGGACGTGCGGGGCCGCCGCTTCCTCGACACGCGCAACAACGTGGCGCACGTCGGCCACGCGCACCCGCGCGTCGCCAGTGCCGTCGCCGCGGCGATGACGGCGCCCTGCACGAATACGCGCTATTTGCACCCGAATCACGCCGCGCTGTGCAAGAGACTACTCGAGACGATGCCCGCGCCCCTCGACCGGGGCCACGTCTTCCTCGTGAACTCAGGGTCCGAGGCAAACGACCTGGCCTTGCGCCTTTGCCGCGCGTGGTGTAGGCGTCGTGGTGTAGGCGACTGCGGCGTCGTCGTGCTCACGCACGCCTACCACGGCCACACGGCGGCTTGCATCGGCCTGTCACCCTACAAGCACGGCCATCGCACCTTCAACGGCCGCGGCCGGCCGCCCTGGGTTGAGGTCGCCGACGCGCCCGACGCCTACCGGGGCGGCGGCCGCGCCGACGCCGTCGAGGCGGCCTGCGCGCGGCTCGAGGCGCGGGGGATCCGGGTCGGCGCGCTCTTCGTCGAGAGCGGCGCGTCCGTCGCCGGCGTGCGGCTCCCGCCCGAGGGCTTCCTGGCCGCCGCCTTCGAGGCCGTGCGGCGCCGGGGCGGCGTCGTCGTCGCAGACGAGGTCCAGACGGGCCTCGGGCGGCTCGGGAGCAGCTGGTACGCCTTCGAGGCGCACGGTGTCGCGCCGGACGTGGTGACGGTGGGCAAGCCGTTCGGCAACGGCCTGCCCCTCGCGGCGGCGGTCGTCGCGCGCGCGGTCTCGGACGCCTTCGCGGCGGGGCCCGAGTACTTCAATACTTTTGGAGGCAACCCCGCGTGCTGCGCCGCGGGCCTCGCTGTGCTGGAAGCCATCGAGGCGGACGGCCTCCGCGCGAACGCGACGCGCGTCGGCGCGGAACTTAGGAAGGGCTTCGAGCGGCTCATGGGCCTGGGCGGCGCGCGGTGCGTCGTCGGCGACGTGCGCGGGCGCGGGCTGTTCCTCGGCGTCGATCTTGTCAGGGACGCGGCCTCGAAGGCGCCGGCGACGGCCGAGGCCTCCTGGATCTGCGCGCGGCTCGTGACGCGGCACCGCATTTTGACGTCGCTCGACGGCCCGGGCGACAACGTGCTCGTCGTGAAGCCGCCCCTCTGCTTCTCGCTGGGCGACGCGGCGGAGTTCCTCGCCGCGCTCGAGGAGGGGCTCGTCGCGGCGAACGCGCTGCCGGAGGGATTTTCGTTCGAACGGACGCCGACCTAGGTCTGTTTATAATATATGTCTTGTTTATCACGTGCGCGTCTCCCGATCGACTCCTGGAAGTTCCGCCGCGAGATTATTCTGCTCCGGGCCACCATGTTTTTACAAAGAAGAGCTAAACCGAGCTAGCGTATATCGACATACTAGTAAATTCAAAGATACGCCTCGATAGCGTCAAAAGAATGACCCAAATTCAGAATACACCCTGGTTGTTCGCCGCGCCCAAATATTTCAGAGTAGCGGCCCGGGAACATACCCTCGCGCCTCCCGGAAGGCACCGCGCGCGACATTCGCGGATGAGTCTTACGAGTTGCCGAATTACACCAGCGATTGACGCCGCCATCTACCGTCCAAATGGGACATTATATCAACTCCAGCCCGGTTTTCATACACATCTGACGGAACCGGAGCCGACGGCCCGCGCTCGGAGGGCGGGAGAAGAATTCTACTAGACAACTCCCGAGTTTATGTTCGTTTCCTTCCGTTTGTTAGTGGTAGAGTCCATTTAGGTCGATTGAGCACCCAACTAGCATGATGAGAGGTTCCGTTAGAGCCGCGCGAAACGACGAATCCGCGACCCCCGTGTTTATGCGAAATGCCCTCAGAACGTAGACCTGCGAGTATCAGCGACACCACTATCCGGATGGACCATAACGCCGTTGTTCTATTCACAATCGACCGACTTGCCCGTTCTCCGCGGACGACGGTGCGTACGCGGGGCACTGAAAAGGCCCCAGACCCGTGAGTTATAAAATAAATTTGCGTTTCAGGCGCTTTAGTTGTGGGACGGGCCAGATAACCGGGCTGAGCGCCTACTACATTGCTCGAGACCCCACGATGCTCCGCTCGGCTGGGCCAACTCCCGAGCCCACGATCTTGTTAATTTTGGCTTCAGGCTCAGACCTGCGACCATCAGCCCGTGTACCAACACCATGAACCATAATGAGATCATTTGTTCTATGATTGACCGACTTACGCGAGGTCCAGATAAAGATGTTCACGTCCCAAGCGTGGGCAGCCAAAAGTACCCTTCTTATAATGTAGATATCATATACTTGTAATTGACTATCGGTGGGGTAGTATGGAGTCCAACGAGACCGCTACGGCGACTACTGGGGGCCCTCGGGTAATCGACGTTTTTTACGGTAGCGGGGCGCCATCGGGTCCAAATTACGCACTTTTTGTGGGGACAGATCGGCTCCTGGAGGTCTCTCAGGGTAGGTCTGGTAGTGGGTAAGCGCCTGAACCGCTTACGCCATCGACGCGACAGTCCGAGAGCTCTGGAACCCATGCCAAGTAATTCATGGTTTAATGAGCCGCACTCATGAGAGAATTGGCCGAAATATGCTGGAAGCGGCAGCGTATGCGGTGTAGGCGCTTGCGCACGTCTAGTACCATCCCTCAGCGGCCCCGGGGAGACCTCTGGGCAACGAACCGACAGGATTCCATCGACACGGCCGCGGTGGTGGGACCGTCAATATCGCGATTAAAAAAAATTAATTTTTTCGGCCCCCAGTACGTGTCCCATTGATCTCATTGGACGCGAATGTTCACATAGTCTTACAAAAACAGTTAGGATCGGGCGAACGCCGCGCCGATATACGCGTCGACGCGCCGCAACAAGTCCTCGCCTTGAGCCGTGTGCTCGTGGGGCCCGAAATGCCCGACGCCGTGCGCGGCCCCCGGGTAGAGGACTAAGTCGCTTGGCGCCGGCCACCGCCTCGCCAGCTCCAGCGTGTCGTCGAGCAGTGCGTCGCAGGTTCCCACCGAGAATAGCGCGGGTGGCAAATCGGCGGGTAAGTCCGCGCGCAGGGGCGACGCGTCGGCGCGCGTCGCCGCGTCCGGGCAGAAGAGGCGCGCGAACCAGTCGAGCTCGCTGTTGCAGAAGACGAGGCGCCGCCCGAACGCGAGGCGCGACGGCGTGCCGACCAAGTCAGTGTAGCCGTACACTAGATTGAGGGCCGCGTAGCGCCGGCGTACGTCTGCCGAGCAGCGCAGCAGTCCCGCCAGCAGCAGATGCGCGCCCGACGACTCGCCGCCCGCGACCAGCGCCGGAGCGCCGTACTTCTCCGCGCCTACACGTACCGCCCAATTCAGCGCGGCCACTGCGTCGTCGACGGGCGCAGGATACGTGGCCTCCGGCGCCAGGCGGTACTCGACACTCACGACCACAGCTGAGAGGTCGTCCGCCATGCGCTGGAGCCGGCCGTCGCTCTGGCCATAGGCGCTACCCACGACCCACCCGCCGCCGTGGAACTGGAGGTAAAGTCCGGAAACCGCCGTACCGGCGGGCGGCTCGAAGACGGAGATGCCGACCGGCGGGTCCGACGCCTGCAGCCCGGGGATGGAATCGTCGACGCGCCGCGGCTCATGCTCGTAGATGGCCGCCCGCGCCTCGCGCGCGCCGACCGGGTCGTTTATCGCGTCGAGTGGTGGCGTCTGTGCTGCAGCCGCTTCGACCTTGGCGTTCAGCGCTGTGACGTCTGGTGGTGTTACTAAGCTTGCCAGCACTGCCGGCAGCGCATTTAGCTCACCAGGCAGGCGCAGGTGTGCGGCTCCCGTGCTCGCGCAAGTCTCGAGGCGGCGCATCGTGCGAGCAGTGTTCGCAGCCCTCCTGAGGCTACGTAGCAGCATCGATTCGATTGCTTAATGCAATGTTTGCGGCCCCAAAAGCTGTGCTACCACTAGGTAATAGCACTAGGCTGCAGATGAGGCCGCCTAAAGCGTCCTGGGATGTAATAAGATGGTACTGGGACGCCCCCACTCCCTGGCTGCGGCCTGAGAGCCGTAAACTCGCAGCCGATTTTCATTTTGGCCCCAACGACTGTAATTTGAGTGCGGCGGCAATTTCATACGCAATCGCAGCCAAACCGAGGGCCGCGCGAAGTGTCTAATTTGCTGCTGAACGGGCAGCGGCAACGCCGTCCACGCGTTAGCCCCCCGTTAGCTCGTACCGGACACGAACGGCTTGCTAAGCATCGGCAAGCGACCGGCGCGGCGGCGCAAAACATTAAACTATGACGGCGCTCGCGGAGCGCAACAGCTGGGCCGCCGAGGGCGTCGATGATCTGCTCAAATTCTCGCGCAAGGCCTCGCAGGAGGAGCCGCAGCTCGTGCGGACGCTGCGGGGCCACCGCGGCGCGGTGCACGGCGTCGCGTTCTCGCCGACGCGGCGCCAACTCGCGTCGACGGGCGGCGACGGCGCCGTCATGCTCTGGTCCTTCGGCATGCGCGACGAGGCGACGCGCCGCGAGCGGCCGACGCGCGCCTACCGCTTCGAGGGCCACGACGGCGCGGTCTACTGCGCGGCTTTTAGGCGAGACGGGCGCCAGCTGGCGACGGGCGGCGCGGACCGGACGGTGCGCCTCTGGGAGACGCGGGCGCGCGGCGAGAGCCGCATCTTGCGGGGCCACTCGGGCGCCGTGCGCGCGGTCGCGTTCTCGCCGGACGGGACGCGATTGCTGACGGGGGCGGACGACAAGTGCGTCAAGGTCTGGAGCCTGCCGCGGCGCCAATTTGTTTGTACGCTCGGGGCGTCAGAATTAGCGCCGCCCTCGGGCGCGCGGCCCGCGCGGCGGGCGAGGCATGGCGGCGGCGGCGCGGTAGCGAGCCACGCGAACTGGGTGCGCGCCGCGTGCTGGTCCCCGGACGGCACGGTCGCGGCGTCGGGCGGCGACGACAAATTGGTGAAGGTTTGGGACGTCGAGGCGGCCAAGGCCACGGCCACGTTCTTCGAGCACGAGAAGGCCGTCCGCGGCGTCTGCTTCTCCGCGGACGGGACCTGCGTCGTGGCCTGCGGCGACGATGCGGCGATCAACGTCTGGGACACGCGCACGAAGGGCCTCCTCCAGCACTACACGGCCCACACCGGGCCTTGCACTTCTGTCGCCGTGGACCCGAAGCAGGCGGGTCGCTACCTCGCGTCGACCGGAGCGGACGGTACCGTGAAGCTCTACGACCTGCGACAAGGCCAGCTCCTTTATACGCTCGAGGGCCACGCGGGCGGCGCGGCGGCGTGCGCATTCTCAGGTATGTCGACGAAGGGCGAGTTGCTGGCTTCCGGAGGCGCGGACAAAACCGTCATGGTCTGGCGCTCCCAGCTCGACGGCTGCGGACCGGCGCCGGCTCCAAAGGCGCCTGCCAAGGCGCCGGCCCCTTCGAGGGCGCCGATCGCCGCCGCGGCGCCGCCGAAGCCTCCGCCGGCGCCGCCGGCCAAGGGCGTCCCCGAGGTCGTCGCGAAGACGCTCGACCACGTCGTCGGCCAGCTCGACGCCATCACCTCCACGCTCGGGGCCCTCGAGAAGCGCATCTGCGCGAACGAGGGCCGCGTCGCGACGATCCTCGAGAAGCAGTAGATTTTCCTCCCCCGCTGCCCTCCTCCCCCGAACTGAACTAAAGGCGGTCGGTGACATCTACTAGTAATTTTACGACACGTAGGGCCGCAGGCACCGGAATTCTGGGTAGTGCTCGCCGCCGAGCCACAGCGTCAACGCAAACCGGTCGTCGCGCCGGCCGTGCGGTCGGACCTCGTGCAGCACCGTCCGCGAATCGAATAGGACGAGACGGCCGCCCACGGGCCGCACCCGGTGGACGGCGGTCGCCGAGTCGCCCTCGTCGTCCGCGGCGTCGGCCCCGCAGTAGAGCACGAGCGCGCCGTCGTCGCCACTCCGCGCGGGCTCGTCCCAGGCCGGGCCGCACAGGTAGAGCACCGCCGTCACCTGTGTGGAAATCAACCAGTGTGTCGGGTCCTGGCTCGGTCGAGCGGCGAGGAACCGGCATCGCCACGCCATCGAGCAGGCGTCGCGTTGATGGCGTGGAGGACGACGAACGCGCCGTACAATTTTGATTTCCACACAGGCAGTCAACCTCGCGCGCGCCGAACGACGGGTCGAAGGCCAGGACGCTGCCGTCGCGGTGCGGCGCGTAGCGCGGGCCCGACGCGCCGTAGCGCGCGAGCTGGCCGGCCAGGGGCACGCCGAGCGCGCGCGACCGGCGGTGGCCGCGCGACACGTTGTCGTCGTCGAAGCCTTGCCACGCGCCGGCGCCGAGCGCGTCCGTGTCGAGCTCGCTCGCCACGCTCCGCAGCCGCGCGATCGCGAGGCGCAGCGCCGGCGAAGTGTCGTCGCCGCCGATCCACGTCACGCGGTCGGTCCGCGCGGAGGGGTCGTCCTGCGGCGTCTTTTTGAACGACTCGTGGCGCCGCTCGCAGGCCGCGTTCGCCGCCAACGCTTCGGCGCGGCTCAACACGCCGTCTACGACCACGAATCGGTCGCGGCGCAGCGCCGCACGCTGGTCTCTCGTCGTCACGTCGGCGCCGGCGCTCGCTTCGGCTGGGCTATCGCGACGCGCGACCTCGATGGCGGGACCCGCCATCACCAGACATGCCCAGCCAACCCCTGCCGCGGGCCAGGCGCACCGCGCGGCCAGGCGTGCGGCTGCCATATGCCTGTGCTGCAGCAATAGCAGGTGCTCTGCTCAGTGCAGCGGCATGTGTGCAGCACTATCTAGGCTTTGATGCGCGCGTGTGAGCTGCTCACCGCAAGAGGTTGCGGACTTGTGAGGCGCTTGCACCGTTCAATCGTGCCTATTGGGTCGTGCGGCGTGAGAGAGGCTGGAGGGCAGCAATCGGGCAGCAATCGGGCAGCAATCGTGCAGCAATCGTGCAGCAGCAACTCGAGCTCTGATGAATGTGAGGCCTAGTATGTTACCATACGCTAGCGCGCAACGCAGGCCGCATCTCTCTCCGCGTAGCCCTCTTAGCTGGCCAGCACGGGCTCCTGACATCAGTTTCCAGGCGTCGTCGGTCGGTGCAGTTCGCCAGCTATCTTCGCGGCGTCGCTTCGCCAGTCTCAAAAAGTGTTCTTGCCTCGCCTCCATTTTTGCCGCCGCATTGCCGGCCGCATCCAAGAAATACGCAAATCTATGTTCCGCCTCTGCCTCCTCGCAGCCGGCGCGGCGGCCATCTCTACCGATGCCATCGTTGACGACGCCGAGACGCTGCGCTCGGCCCTGAGCCACCTCAAGCTCGACGTGCGCGCGTCGGAGCTGGCGCGGCTCAAAGAAGCCCCGAACCTGGTCAAGCTCCTCGCCACCGCGCGCGACGACCCCCATACATTGGCGGCCCAGCTCGCCGCGTCGCCGCTGGCGGCCATCGCGCGCGAGGTCGCGCCGCCGACGAACACGAGAGATGTGACGGGCGCGCTCCCGATCGTCACGGCGCACGGCATGGGCGACAGCTGCTTCAACGCCGGCATGAAGAGCGTCACGGCGGCAGCCGGCAAGCGTGTGGGCGCCTACGCCGTCTGCGTGCCGACGGCGGACACTACGGTCGGAGATACAATAGACGGGTTCCTGAAGAACATGGACCGGAGCGTGGACGCCTTCGCGGAGCGGGTCAGGAAGGACCCGAAGCTTAAAAACGGCTTCAACGCCCTCGGGCTGTCGCAGGGCAACAACGTGATCCGCGGCTACATCGCCAAGTACAACGACCCGCCCGTGCGCACGTTTTTGTCCATTTGTGGGTGTAATGCCGGTGTGGCCGCGTGGCCGCAGTGCAGTCCCGCCGGAAAGTTGATCGGGCCCGTCTGCCGGGCGCTCGCCGAGGTTTTGGGCGACCTCGCGTACCTAAAAGTTGTGCAAGATATCCTCTTCCAGGCGAACTACTACCGAGACCCGCTGCGGCTCAAGGACGACGCGTACCTGTCGAACTCGCGGCTGGCCCACTGGAACGGCGAGTCCCACGCGAACGCGACGTGGCGCGCCAACTTCCTGCGAACAGAAAAATTCGTCTGGGTCGAGGGCACGCGCGACACCGTCGTGTTCCCGCGAGACGGCGAGCACTGGGCCGCGCCGGACCCGGCCGACCCCTGGAAGGGCGTGCAGCCCATGAAGCAGACGGCGTGGTACACGTCCGACGCCTTCGGCCTGCGCACGGCCGACGACCAGGGCAAGCACGCCTTCGAGTCCTTCGCGGGCCAGCACATCGACTTCACGGACGAGGAGTTGTTTGGGTGGCTCGACAAGTACTTCACGTGATTGCCCCTTTCCCTCCTGTGTGTAAGAAGCTACTACATAGCACAAACTTAACACACTACGCTCTAACACTACGCCTGGTGGTCCTCGGGCGCGCCGCCGCCCGCCTCGCAGTCCCGGAACCGCTCCCGCGCGCTGCCGAAGAGAGCCAGCAGTTGCGGATACGCCCATGCCGAGAGCGACCGCGCCGTGCGGCCGCACCAGAGCGTCGTCTTCCAACCGGCGCAAAATACAGCGCTCACAACTCCCCGGCGCTGCGTCGCCTCGCGCAACGCCTTGACGGCGTCCTTCTGACCGGTCGCGTGCCGAAAGGTCGCGCCCGTGCGCCGTACGTCGGTGTACAGGAACATCGCTTTCAGAGTGGCCGCCCGCTCCGCATCCTTCGTCACGCAAATCACGTGCGGCGCCGCGCGCGGCGACCACAGACTTCGGCCGCGCTGCCCCACGAACAACCCGATGGTCACGAGGACGTGGTCGAGCGGCGCCGATCGCGCGCTGGCCGGCGCGACCGCCGTGGAAATCTTCGCCGCCGGCGAGGCGTGCGCCGCGACGGACACGAAGTCCACGCGTCGCAGGCTCTCGCAGAGGTTCCGCAGCGTCGCGCAGACGCCCACCGACTCCGCGTCGACGATGACGAGCGTGCGCATGCGCGGGCTCGACAGCGGCGGACCCAGTTCATTCAAGCTTTCCTCAAACGACGGGGGTCGCGGCGCGGTGCTGCCTCCCGTGCGGATGATCATCCTTGGTTGCCGCGCGCTTCTTTCGCGGTTGTTTAGCTGTTTGTGCGTGCGCTGTGCCCTGTGGCTAGATCCTGGCTGTGCTCTCGAGCGCTGCTGTGAGGACCTGGTTTGCCGCAGCGCTGTAATTCGTTGCGCGGAGTCACAAATTTATCACTGCTGTAGACGAACGCACGAATGCTTGCCCTACACGCTTAAAAAACGCCGGCCGACCAAGCCATGCTAGCGGCTGTAAGACACTAGCAACGAAAGGATGCTGTTCTGGAATGAATTGAAGCCTCATATGCGCCCTGGCAAGTGTGTCCACGGCTTGGACACAGGTCCGCAGCCGAGCACCTTAACTCACCTTGGCCTCAGCAAGTAGCAGCAGCACACCTCCACCTGGCTGTGACGCGCAACAAGCTGCAACAAGGTTACGCCGTTGAAGCACAGATCAATTGCATTGCTGTGTCGACGCGAAGCCAGTAGCAATTCTTTGAGGCGCCACCAGCAAAATCCAAACAACATCGCTGTGAGAGAGCCTGCACCATGAGGAGAGCCTGCACAACCGCAGCGGTAGCTTACGTAGCATTCGTCGCAACTGCGCCAACGTGCAGCCATGCGCTGGTCGCGCCGCGCCACGGCCTGGGCCGAGCGCGCGCCCCGATCGGCCGACGACGGCATCGCTGGGCGCCGGCGCTGCGGCGGCGCGGCGGCGGCGAGGACGACGACGACGACGAGGAGGAGGACAAGGACGACGACGAGGAGGAGGAGGACGACGACGCGCACCTCTTCGACGACGAAGATGAGGAAGGCGCGGTCTCCGACGCGGATTTCGAGGGCGACTCACTCAAAGCTAGAGCGCGGAAGGCCTGGGCCGCGACGCCGCCCGTGACGCAGGTCTACGTCGGGTCGTCGCTCGCGCTTACCTTAGGATCGTTTTTTCTGGCCGGCAACCAGTGGCCGGCCTGGCTCAACCTCGACTGGAAGAAGGTGATGACGGGGCAGCTCTGGTCGCTGACCGGCGTCTGATATCCCTTCGAACACGGGCAATGACGACGTACGTATGCCGCCCCAGTCGGAATCGATACGTGTCGAGTGCAATTTTTTTATCGTTTAACATCCGAGCCCCCCCGTCTCGGTCGTCGCGGTGGTGCGCCTCGTTACCCTGGCGCTTCACTTCTGTACTACGCAGGCGGCCCTTCACGGGTTTTCTGTATTACGGGCCCTTCGGCCTCTCGTACCTGCTGACGATCCATTTCGTCTGGACATACATGGGCACGCTCGAGAAGCTGCAGTTCGCGGAGCCCTGGGACTTTCTGGTGATGCTGCTCTTCGGCGCGGCGTCGCTGCTCGCGGGCGTGGGGATTGGGGGCGGCAACGCGCGGTTCCTGGGCCACAACCTGAGCTGCTTCCTCGTCTACATCTGGGCGCGGACCTACGAGGGCCAGGAGGTCGCGGTCATGGAGTTCTTCACGATCCGCGCGGAGCTGCTCCCGTCGGTGTGGAAATCATTGCGGAGACCTTCGTCACCTGAACGCCATCGAGCAGATGCAGTGACGGGGACGACACGCCCGAAATTTGATTTCCACGCAGGCTCCCGTGGTTCTTCGCGGCGCAGACCTACTTGCTCGAGCACGAGCCGCCGGTCCACGACCTGTTGGGCATCGCCATCGGCCACTCGTACACGGTCCTGCGGCAGCGGAAGCGCCTCGCGGCGCCGGGCGCGCTGCGCGCCGTCTACGAGGCGCGGCCGGAGCTCATGGCCAAGTACGAGGCGTTCGCGGAGGAGTTCTCCTAGTCTAAGTACGATATCTAGAGGAAGTTTTTTTTTAGTTCAATACAACGCGAGCAGCGATGCTTTCCGTGCCTAGTTCTCGCCGAAGTACTTCGCAGAGTCGCCCTTGGCGATGCGGCCGACCTGTTGGATCGCGCCGGGCGCGATGACGATGAGTACCCACGGGACCGCGACCAGCACGACGGGCGCGAAGGCGACGACGAGGTTGATGGGCATGCCGAGCATGGAGCCCTGGAACGCGTTCGCGGCGAGCGGCGCGGCGAGCGCCGGCGCGGCCGCGGCGATGGCGAGCGGGTTCGCCTCGAACTTGGGGACGGCGACCGGCGCCTTGGCGCCCGCCCGCGGCGCGGAGAACGCGGCGACCGCCGTCGCGCACGCGAGGACAGCGAAAACCGTGCGGGCCATCTGCGCGGGGGACGGGTGAGCGGCGCGCGCGGGGCGAGACTCTCTGTGCGTCCTCCTCTCGGCGTCCCTCTCGAGAATCGGCGTCCCTCTCGAGAAAAACGTCCTCCTGTCTGCGGCCTCCGCTTGGGCGGTCGACCTCGAGCGGCACGAGCAGCAGTATCTTCGACCGTCGAAACGCTCTGAGTTATCTCAGTGCTTCCCGGCGGCGTCCGCTGCGGCTGCGCCTTGCCGGCGCCGCTCTCCTCGCTCGCGCGATGCCTCTTTGGGGGCAGCAAGGCAAGGAGGCGGCCGCTCGCTCGTCCGCGCAGCAAAATTGATGCAATTTTCTGGCCAGGTCGAGTGGCGGCGGTGGTGCGTTGCTTGGAGTGCAATCGTTGGGTTCGACGCAGCGTTTCACGGCGTAAAAATGGACTTTGATTGTGCTCAACACCAAAATCTAGAGCTAGTAAGATTTTGCCGTCGATCCGGCGCACCCGTCCGCTGCCGGCATGAGGACAGCCAGTCGCACAGCTACAGGAAGCCGTTGGCGCAAGCACCGCGTGCGGCCGCGGGGCCTCAAGTCACGGGTTTTCATCGGCTACCGGTTCGAAGCCGAAACGCGTCGCATTCATCCGCTCTGGACGTGTGCGCATCGGTTCCAAGCTACTTCTCAAGTAGCGCATCCGTTGGCTGCAAATTTGCATCGATTTCAGCCGCAAAAAAAAACAACACAAGAGCATGTCCGCGCCCCGCCAGCGCTACAGCCGCGTGCCCACCGAGGACGCCGCGACGACCCGCGCCGCCGCGAAGAAGCGGCGCAGCGAGCTCGCCGAGCAGGTCGCGACGAAGATCCAGGCCGCCGCGTGGGTCGCGGCCGGCGGCTTCGTGGCCTACCAAACAGATTTACCGGTCGTGCTGCTGGCGGGCACGGAGACGAATCGGTTCTGGTGCGACGTCGCCGCGGCTTGTTTTGCGGCGAACTGTGTCTTATGCTTCTACCTGACGGTCTGGCTGCCGCACGTCCAGCGCATCGACCTCGAGTGGAACGTCTACTGCCCGCGCGTCATCCCGACGATGACCGTGCTGGGGCTCACCTGCGGCTTTTCGTTAATAAGGGGGCTCTGGCCCGTCTGGGGCCTGCTGACGCCGCTGATTTTGGGTTTAGTAGCGATGGCGTGCCTCATGTCGCTGCACTTCATACCGATACCCTGCTGAGGGCTGCATGCGCAATTTTGAACCTAAGTTTCACTGTTACAACTAGTTAGACGCCTCGGCGACCACGGAGTCGCGCAGCGCGATCTCCACGGTCGTGGACCGCTCGGCGAGCGCGGCCTCCACCTCCGCGACCTTCGCGGCGGTGCACCGCGTCCCCGCGAGCTCGAGGCGCCGCAGCGGCAGCCAGCGGTCCTCGGAGAGCTCGTCGAGGTCCTCGAGCAGCGCGTCGCCGACGTTCGGGCAAGTCACTAACACAAGACGCTCGAGGCGGCCGAGGCCGAAGAGCGGCTCGAGCGCGTCCGCGGAGAGGCGCGGCGCGCGCGAAAACGACACGTCGCGCAGCGCGGGACAGCCCTTGGCGAGCGCGCCCGCGCCGGCCTCGAGGTCCGTCGCGCCCTCCAGCCGCACCTGCGCACGAATCAAAAGTTCACAGCGCCTTGAGTATTCGCGTCGACCTCCACGCCATCGACGCGACGCCTGCTCGATGGCGTGATCGGGCGCACCCTCCACGCCATCGACGCGACGCGTGCTCGATGGCCTCCACGCCATCGACGCGCACCCGACGCGCTGGTTGATTCACACACTGGAACCGCACGCTCTTGAGCCGCGCGCAGTGCTTGCCGAGCGCGCGGCAGAACTCGTCGCTCGACGCGTTTAACGCGCCGGCCACGGCGTAGAGCAGGGGGCAGCCCGCGAGGGCCCGGAGCCAGAAGCCGCACGGCGCGGACACGCCGCCCAGGCTTAGTGTAGTGAGCCGGTGGCCGCAGACGCGCAGCGCGGCGTCGAGCGGGAAGGCCTGGGCGCCGCGCACGTGCAGCGTCGACAACCGCGGGCACCGCGTCAGGCCCGCGGCGAGGAGCAGCGGGTCGCCCCCTGTTAAGTGCCGCCGGTCCTCGACGAGCTTCGCCGGCGCGCCCGCGAGGAAGGCCCAATCCAATTCGGCGCCCACCTGTGAGTGACCGAAGCGGTCGCGTCGATGGCGTAGAGGCAGTCGCGTCGATGGCGTCGGAAGGGGACGCGGGAGCAAACGAGCGGCGCGAGGACGCCGGCGTCGAGCGTCCGGCGGGCGCCGGCGCAGACGCCGCGCCAGCTTTTCGCGCGCCGCGCGTAGTGGATCGCGTCGACGGGCCGCGACGCGAGGCGCCAGTCGAGGCACGCGCCCACGATCGCGCAGCAGCGCGCGGGCAGCGCCAACTCTGAACCGCCTTGGACGACCGCGGCGCGCGGCGGGGCCGCCTCCAGCGCCTTTTCGACGCGCTCGTCGAAGTCGCTCGCGCAGAGCTCCGCGACGGCCTTGTCGTAGGCCGTCCGCCGCCGCGCCGCCAGGGCCTTGTGCCGCTTGAGCTCGAGCGCCTCCTCCTTATTCAATTTCTGCGCGTCGGCGGCGGCGAGCGCGTGCCAGACCTCGCGCGCGCCGTCGCCGAGCGCGGCGCGCAGCGCCGCCGCGTGGCGCACGTGGCCCTTGAGGTACGGCGGGTGCGCCGCGACCGCGGCCCGCGCGTCCGCCACGGCGCCGCGGACGTCGGCCCACTCGCTCAGCCGCGCGAGCGACCGGTTCGCCAGCGCCAGGGCTTTTGATTCCGCGCACCGCGCGTGCCCCCCGGACAGCCGGATGGATGCCGTCCACTCGGCGACGGCGCCCTCGACGTCGCCCTCGCCGAAGCAGGCGTTGCCCCGCGCGCGCGCCGTCTCGGCGCGGAAGCACACCTCGGCGAGCGGGTCGTTGGCGAGGTCGCGCGCGACCTGCGCCTGCAGCGCTTCCGCCGGAGACGCGCCGTTCGTCGGCCAATTGGCGGGTACGGCGGCCGCCTCGGGCACGTCCACGACGTCCTCTGGCTCCTCGGGCATGGGGCTTGTCTTTCCGGCTGCCCTTGTGCTGCAGGCTGCCTCGTTGCGCTTGTTTGCCAGTCTTGTGCAGATATAACGAGCAGTAGCTCACGTTTGGCTCGATTTTCGATTGTCGATTTGACCTCTAGAATGTCTGTGTGCGCTAGCTGATTCAGAGCCTGCTTTTTGCACGTATAGATAAGCAGCATAGGCCAGAAGTTGCCCGGAGGTAAGGCCCAGCACTGCTACACGCGGCTCGCGCGCAAGTCTGCTCAATAAAGCGGCGCGCGGGGCACAGCATAGGCCAGCCCTGCCTAGCGTTGCAGCAGAGCGCTGCTGCACGCGAGCGCCAGAAGCATACATGCGCCGCACGGCTCTCATGAGCGCTCTGCTCCTCAGGAGCAGTGCAGCGCTGCGAGCGGGCACGACAGCGCTGCGAATGCGACGCGGCGTCGCGCGTGCGGCCAGAAAAACCAAGGAGGAGGACGCCGCCGCCGCGGCGCCGGTCATCAACTGGTACCCGGGCCACATCGCGCGCGCCGAGCGCGAACTCAGAGGCTACCTGAAGCGCGTGGACGTGGTCGTCGAGGCGCGCGACGCGCGCATTGGAAGGAGCACGGCGCACCCTGATTTAGCAGAGTGGGTCGGCGACCGGCCGCGCGTCGTCGTCTTCACGTTCGCGGACCTCGCGCCTCCCAAGGTCCTGAGCGACTGGCGGGCTGCAATGGAAGAGGACGTGTTTTTTGTGGATGCGCGGCGCGGCGGCGACAAGGAGTTCCGGGGCGTGCGCGGCGCGCTGCAGAAATGTGGGAGAGCCGTCAACGAAAAAAGGAAGAAGAAGGGCATCGCGCCGCGGTCCGCGCGCGTCGCCGTCGTGGGCTACCCGAACGTGGGCAAGTCAGCGCTCATCAACCGCCTGGCGGGGCGCAAGGCGGCCAAGTCCGAGGACCGCGCGGGCGTGACGCGGAGCCTGGGCTGGGTGCGGTCGAAGTCGAACGACGGCCGGCCGCCGCCCTTCGAGCTGCTCGACTCGCCGGGCATCATTCCGGCGAAGCAGAACGACCCGCGCCAGGCCGCGCGCTTAGCCATGTGCGGCCGCATCGGCCAGGCGTCCTACGACGAGCGCCGCGTCGCCGAGGCGTTGTTGATGGAGCTGCGGTCATCAAACTACGCGCCCGGCGCGGCCAAGAAAATACAAGAAAAATACGGCCTGTCCCTCGACGCGGACCCGGACATGTTCCTGGCGGCCCTCGCTGATCAACGGTACGACGGCGACGACGCGCGCGCGGCCGTCGCCGTGCTCGGCGACTTCCGGTCAGGGAGATTAGGCAACGTCGCGCTCGAGGGGCCGCCGCCGCGGGAGATAGTGGAGGAGCCGGTCATCGTCGAGGCGCCCCCCACAGAAAAGCCGGTCGAGGCGGCCGGGAGCGACTTCGACCGGCGGATGAGTGAAGGCGACTTCGCGGGCTGGTGATTGATAAACATAATTGTATCTTACTACCACTCGCTGAAGTTCTGGTCGAAGACCTCCGTCTTGACGTCGACCTTCTCCTGGAACATCTCCTCGGTCGGCTTCGTCTGCGTGACCTTTCCCAGCTTCTCGTTGAGCTCTTCCGTGACTTTTGTGCAGTCGCTTCCTCTAATCCCGCTCACGGTCTCCTCGACGCGGCCGTCGGGGTAGATGCGGAACTTGACGCGCACGGTCTCTCCATTTAACGCGGTGCGCCGCCGCGGCCGCGCGGTGTGGCGCGGGCCGCCGAAGGCGACCGCGGTTCCGCAGAGCAGCGCGAGGGCGAGGGTGCGGGCCATTTCTCTTTTATGGGTTTACGGAGCTGCGAGAGCTGTCGGAGAGGGCTGTCGACTTGTTGGATCTCCTGAGCTGGGAGAGCTGATCGGCTGAGACAGCGCACGTATACGGCCAGCGATGTTTTTGATCGATCGTAGATCTTGAAATAAGAGCGCGCAAGCTTGTGAAACGCCTAGCCTGGCCCGTTTTGGCTAGCTCGGCGTACACGCGCGCGGATGCCGGCAGAGGCGTACTAAGGTATCGTACCTCGGTGGTAGGGGGTCAAGAGCCGAACGCAGATGATAGCTCTCGATGCCGTTCTCATAGCCTCTTACAGAACCCGGCCATCGCGGCTGTCTCTGCAGCGTCTCCACCCCGCACGTTCCTGGGATGTCCGATGTCATGTCCCTGCATGAGAAGGGAATGAGAAAGCTTGCAAAGCGTGGCAGCCAAGCGATGGGCCTGTACATCGCCGCCGTGCTGGCCGCCGGCGAGAAAAAAGGCTGCCCCTTGCCCTGTGGCGCGTTCTGCCTCGAGCTAATCGACCACAAAGAGGCCTGCCCCAATAAAGGCAGCCCGTGCTCGCAGCAGGAGCTCGCGTTCGGCGACATCTGCACGGGCGACGCGACCTGCGGCGACGCGGGCCGCTGCTACGTCGCGGCGGCAGAAACGGAAGCCAAAGTCCTCGCGGCGACGACGCGGCGACGGGCGTGGCGCGACGAGGCGACGCTGCGGCGGCGCGCGCTAAGCGACGACGGCGACCCCACGGACGCGCCGACGTACTGGACGCCACCGACGCGGAGCCACTTCCAGCCGCGCGACCGGCGCTTCCTCTACGCCGTCTTCATCGGGTTCGTGGCTCTCGCGCTCGGCCTGGGCGCCGCGGTGGCCGCGCACGCGTTCCCGCTGGAGCGGGGGCGCCCGCGGCTGCCCGACCTCGTCGACACGTTCTTCGACGTGTGCCGCGGCGAGGCGGGCTTCTATTACTGGTTCAAGGAGTGGCGGAACCGGGACAAGGTGCCGCGCGTGCGCGTCGTCGTCGCCCGACACATGCGTGAGAGCGACTTCCGGCGCGTCGCGCCGCCGCCCCCGGCACTGTCGAACGCGCTCGTCGAAGAGCTCTAGGACACAACTTATGTAAAAATATCAACTCGATCGCGTCCGCCGCGGCCGATTTGCCGCCGGCGGCGACGGATGGTCCGACGCCGACCGCCGGAGGTCGGGCCGGAAGCCCTCGAAGGCCGGTGGCGGCGGCCGCGCGGGCGCTTCAGGCGTAGGCGGCACGAAGACCGAGAGCAGGTTCCGGCGATGGTCGGCTGGGGTCGTCGGCTGGGGCGCCGGCGACGGCGGCGCCTCGGGCACGGTGATGAGTGGCGCCGAGTTGATGCCCCGCACGGCAAACAGCCGGCGCGCCCGGTCGCTGAGGCGGCTCTGACTCGTCGTGTTCCGGTGCTCCGCGGAGAACTTGCGCGCGGCCGCGGCCAGCGCTGCGACGTCGGCGTCGTCGCCAATAGTCGTGGTGCTCCGGACGGTCCCGTACAGCGTGCGCTCGCTGGCGTCCTTCTCGAGGGCGCGCCGCCGCGACGACGGCGCGGGCGAGGGGCCCCGTTTCTGCGGCGACGCCCAGGACGGCGCGAGGCGCCGGAGGAACGACGGCCTCGCCTTGGGCGGCGGCGGCGCGGCGGCGCGCTCGTCCGCAGCACGCTTCACGATCTTGGCGATGCGGCGTTGCGCTTCCGCGCGGCGGCGCTCGTCCTCCTTGACCCCCGCGGCCGCGGCGACGACGGCCGCCGCGGCCGCCGCGTCCGCGTCGACGGCTGCTGCGAGGGCCGGCACCGGCGCTTTTAATGCGTCCGGCTTCGCGGACGCATCTACCGGGGCCGCCGGCTTCATCGGCGCGGCGGCCGCGGACCGCGGCGCCGCCTTGGCGAGCAGGGCCCGCAGCGCCGACGTTGTTCCCTCGACGTCGAGGCGCGCGCCCACGGCGAAGGCCTCCGTCGTCCAGCCTAGGGCCTCGAGGCAGTCCGCGTGGTCGCCCTCGGTCAATCCGTTCTTCGCGCGGAAGGCGTGGAGCGCGGCCCGATCCTGCGCTTCCACCTGGCCCGACGACAGGGCCGCCCTCAACAAGTTCGAGTACTCTTTGCGGGCCACGCCGTGGTCCCGCAAATGTAACTTCTTGAGGAGCTGCTGGTTCAAGTAGAATATGAGCTGGGCCTGGACCTTCGGGTCCTTCTCGGCGTCGACGGCCCTCCGGAAGTCCTTCGCCGTCCACCGCAGGACTCGGGCGCCCTTGTCGCCCGCCTGCGCCTTGACACGCGTCGCCGACGACGAGCCCGTGGGTCGCAGCGGGTCGTCCGCTATCGAGTCGGCGAGAAGCTTCGCCTCCACTAAATCCGGGATGCCCACGAGCCCCCCCGGCCCGAGCACGCCGCCCCCCAAAGGCCGGCCGTGCGCCGAGAGGAGCACGGTGCCGCTCCGCACCACCAAGAAGTTCGGGCACGGGTCGTTCTCCTCCTTCAGCACGCGACCGGCGGGCTCGTCGACGAACTGGCCCTGCGCCGCGAGGCGCTTAAAACACGACGGCGCCACAAATCGGTTCAGGCCCGACGCCTCGTAGCACGCCCACTCGTCGTCGTCGAGCCAGACCGGGACGCGCTCCGACGCGAGCTCGACGAGGCGGTACGCGTTGAGCCCCACGAAGAGACTGCCCCAGGCCGCCAGCAGCACGTTGCCGCGCCAGGCGTTCGGCACGACGCTGTAGCAGATCAGGCCCGACACGGTCCACAGGCGCAGCAGCATGACGTCCGTCTCGTAGAACCCGTACAGGATGACCGCCGCGCCGCCGTGCTGCACGACCGACAGCGCCGGCGTCGCGGCCGCGGACTCGAGCGAGGCCGTCGTGGCGGCCGCCAAGCGGTCGAAGCGCCGGCGCGCGAACAGGGCGTAGCGGCGGCCGGCGCTGATCTGTCGGATCTGTCTGCTGCGAACCACCGCTGTGCGACGAAGCGCTGTGCGCCGCGACGCCTGCGCTGCTGCTACGCGCAGCATTGTCCCCAGCGTTGCGCTACGGCAGCTTCATGATGGCAGCCCAGGAGGAGGAGCTTGTTGTATGCCTTCAAATTTGAGACGTACGCTGGATTCGAGCTGAAGCTGCTGCGTATTGCAGCCCAGAGAGCTTGTAATTTATCCAAATCTATCACGTACGGTGTTAATCGGGCTGAACTGCTCGGATGCAGTGCGAGTTTATGTTTTCGGGCTAGCGGCCTATAAAGACACTAGCAAACAAGCAAGCTCGCGCTGAGCTTGGTTTGCGCTCGCTATTAGGGCTACTGGGAGCACAGAGCTGCTCTTCGCTGTGATCAGTCATCGCTCGTCGCAGTACTGCTGTCGTTTGACTTGCTGCCGCGCCGCACAGCTGCTACTGGAGCATTGCTTGCTGCTGCTCACCAGAGAAACACACGATGAATGCGAACACAATAAAAGCCGCGGCCAAGCCCCTAGGCATGCTCGCCGTGCGTTGCGCGGCGTCCTGCGTTTCGTTCGAATATACTCGGCGCCGCGTCGATGGCGTGCAGGCGTACGCATAAGTCACACAACACAGGCCGCCGGCCTCGCGTGGGCGCTCTACCCGGCCGACAAATCGGCGAGCATCCCCATGGGCTTCGAGTTCGAGAAGGAGGCCGTCGGCGAGAACCCGCAGGTCACGGACGAGTTCGCCGCCGCGGTCAAGCGCGGCTAGGGTAACGTGTATACTAAGATTACTCGGCGCAGACCGCCGCCGAGAAGGGAACGCGGTTGTACCACGCGTCCGGCAGGTCCGAACCCCAGCGCGCGCGGAGCGCCGCGAGGGCGGCCCGCTTCGCGCCCGTGCACGCGCTCGCGTCGGCGAGCGTCCAAACGAAGGCCGCGTGGCCCATCTCGATCGGCGCCGCGCCCGGGAGGCCCAAATCAACAGCCGTCGACCGCAGCGGGTCGATCAGGCTCTCGGCCGGCGCCGCGCTGTCTGCACCGCGGGCCTCGCAGCCGTCGACGACGACGAGCGCGCGCGCGCCGTGGCGCCGCGCGTCGTAGAGGTGCCGCTTCACCGCGCGCCAGTCGACGGGCTCTGCCGCCCAGAGCACGCGCGCGCGCGAACTCGCCGCGAGCGCGCGCGCGGCCCGCGCCACGCGGTCCCCGTCGCCGGCCATCACGAGCGCCGCGGCGTGGCGGCTCCGCGGCGCGTCCCAGACGCCGACGAAGGCGTCGAGCTCGCGCGCGACGCGGCCCGCGTCGCGCGCGCCGGCCAGCGCCTCGCCGATGGCCTGGGTCATGGCCGACCGCGGCGCGGGCGGCGGCGCGGGCGGCGCGTCCGAGGCGCGGCGCAGGAGCGCGAAGCCGCAGAGCGCGGCCGCGACCGTGGCCGCGGCGCGGGCCGTCCGCTGGCGCCGCTGGCGCTGCCATTTCTTCGGCGCCGTCGGGGCCGGCAGCGGCTCGTCCAAGTTTGGTATTTCCAACTGGTAGGCTGGCGCTTGTGCGTTCCGGCGGCGCACCGGTGCTGGTGTCGCTACTGGTGTCGCAGGTGGTGGTGGCGTGGCCGACCGCGCGCCGGCGTCGTAGGCGGCCAGGCGGCGCCCGAGCTCCTCGACGAGCAAGGCTGTCTTCTGGTTGGCCTTGATGCCGCGCAGCTTCGCGAGGCGCTGCAGCTCGCGCCGCTCCTGGTGGTCGACCGCGGCGCGGATGGCGTCGACCGTCGCTTCGTCCAGGTCTCTTAGGTCGTCGTCTACTGCATCTCGCGCCATGTTGGCTCTGTGTGAGGCTGCTACGGCTGCCGCGGCTGCAGATGGCTTGGTGAGGTGCAAGACTTGCAAAAGAAATTAGCAGCAACTCGGGGGGCTAGCGCAGCTACTTGATTTTGCAAGCGGTGTGCTTCCAAGCGCTATCAGCGAGGCAAACGCTGCGCTTTTTTTTGTATGCCCATCGCGGTACTAGAGGGCTTACGCTAGCCGCAGCACGCGACCAAAAAGCGCCAAAGCAGGCAAAGCGGGACCCTAAGGTGAGTTTTGACGCCCTACAACCGCTCTCGCGAGGCCATCGCTGCGTCCGCGAGCGAGGCTGGCGCGAGCGGCGGTCGAGCTGGGGCCTGAGCCGCCTCTCCCTCAGCCTCTGCAAAAGCCACCCATCGCGGCGCGCAGCCGCACCCCGCGCGCCCTGCGGTCCCCCCCGGCGGCACCCCGACGCGCCCCCGCCCCCACAAAACGCCAACGCCGCGCCCCCCCCGCAGAAGAAGCCGCCGCCGCCGCGCCGCGGAGAAACAAAATGGCCGCGATGGCGTCCCTGAGACGCTTCCTGAGCCCGGCCTTCTACCAGGCCGCCGCGACCGACTTCGGCGCGATGGTGCGGACCAAGTACATCCAGGGCAACATTTTAGCGCAACCCATCACGGGCTTCATGGTCACCATCGGCGCCGTGGGCTACTTCATCGAGTATTCGGTGCTGGGGCGCTACCACGTCGCGCACAAGAAGGAGAAGACGGCCGCCGCCATCAAAGAGTACGACGCGAAGCACGCGCACCATTAAATACTGTAGAATTTACTTGGAGACGGCGTGGATCGCCGCCGCGACGTAGGCCACGTTGTCCCGGTTCAGGCCCGCCACCGAAATCCTACCGTCGAGCGTGCAGTAGACGGCGGACTCGTCCCGCATCTTTTGGACCTGCTCCTTGCTCAATCCCGTGTAGGCGAACATGCCGATCTGGTCCGTGATGTGGCTCCAGTCCTTTGTGGATCCCGCCTCCGCCAGGCCCTCCCTTAACAAAGAGCGCATCTCCTGGATGCGGTTGGCCATTTCCTTACATTCGCCCGTCCACTGCGCTCGGAGGGTGGCATCACCTAAAACCTCCTTGACGATGCGCGCGCCGTGGATCGGCGGCGACGAGTACATGGGCCGAATAATGGCCTTGAGCTGGCTCTCGAGCGCGGCCTTCTCCTCGGTGGACGAGCAGACCGCGCTGAGCGCGCCGACGCGCTCGCCGTAGAGCCCGAAGTTCTTCGCGTAGGACTGGCACAGTAATATTTGATGGCCGTCCTCGACAAAGCTTCGTAAAGCCACGGCGTCGGCCTCGGCGTCGCCACTGGCAAAACCTTGGTACGCGCAGTCGAAGAAGAGTTGTAAATCGGTCTTCTTCAAAGCTGCCGACAGGTCGCGCCACTGGTCCGGAGACGGGTCGACGCCCGTCGGGTTGTGCGCGCAGGCGTGGAGTAGGATGGTAGACCCGGCCTCCGCTCCTAGCAGGTCTTCCTTCATGCCCTCGTAGTCGAGCGTCGTCTTCGTGTTAGAATCAAGGTAGCGGTAGCGCCTGACTTCAACTCCCGCATCTTGGAAGACCTTGGCGTGGTTGCCCCACGTCGGCTCGGGCATGTAGCAGACCGGCTTCTGTGAACTTCCAGTGAGGCGCGGCAGGCGCTCGATGAGTTGCGCGCAGACGCGCAACCCGCCCGTACCTGACAAAACCTGGGCCGCGGCGACGCGGCCCTCCTGCAATGGTGCGGAATCGGGCCCGTAGGCGAATTCTAGGGATAACTTGACGAACTCGGCATCTCCAGTTATGGCGGCGTACTCGTGGTTCGGGTTGCCATTCACCACACGGCTTTCGGCCTCCCTGATGGACGGCAGGACGTAGGGCTTGCCCGCGTCGTCGCGGTACGCGCCCACACCCAAGAGCACCTTGGTGGTCGACGGGTCGTCCGCGAAGGTCTGATTTAGACCGACGATCGGGTCCGCCGGCGCCGCGGGCACGCCGGCCCAGGCGCTTAATGTTCTAGCGCGGCGCGTGAGGTGGCGGGCGGTGCGCGAGAGAAGCATCTTCCTTTTTCCTTTTTTGCTGGGTGCGGCGACGGCTTGGCTGGTGGTTCCGGCTCGCTGCGAGAGTGCAGGCGATGACGACGGACTGCAGTGCAGACGCTTGCGCTGAGCGATCGACTAGCGAACAGTTGCACTGCACACGCTGTGCGAAAGCGCTTGCGGTTGTTTACACTGCTCTTTGCCTCGTTTTTCACGGCTCGCGGATTGTATGGTACCTCGGTACCTTGGTACATAAAGTAGAGGTATAAAGCCGATTGTAGATACGTCCGTAGGCTTCCGAAGAACGGCGCCTGCGTGTGGGAATCGTCGCGGACGCACCGCACCCACGTTCACGCCATCGACGCGACGCGCGGCCGCGTCGACGCAAGGCGGACACATCCCGCGCTGGGTAGTAGCCACCGGGCAGTCCGAAAGGAAACTAGGTGCATAAGTATTTATTCATAGGGCGCGCGAGATGGCGCCGATCTTCGTCGCGGCGGACAGGTCGAGGTACTTGTCGCCGATCTGCACGGTGAGGCCGCCCAAGAGACTGGGGTCGACCTTCGCCGAGAGCTTGACCGTCTCGCCTTGTTTAAGATGGGGCTTGAGCGCCGCGGAGATCTTTTTGGTTTGGGCCGCGGTCAGCTCCGTCGCCGACGTGATGACGGCGTCGACTTCCTTGCGCTCGGCCTTCATCAATGTAGCATAAGCCTCGATCACTTTATCGACCTCGCCCAACCTGGCGTTCGCCGCGAGCGTCGTGAGCGTGTTCACGGTGATGCTGGACGCTTTACTGCCCTCAAACAACTTCTCGACGGCCGCGACCTTCTCGGCGCGGGGAATCGTCGGGTTCTTCACGAAGCCGGCGAGCGACGCGTCCTTGGCGAGCGTCGCGGCCAAAGCGTTGAGCTCGCCCTCGACCTGGGCCGTCTTGCCGCCCTTGGCCGCGCTCACGTAGGCCGCCGACGCGTAGCGCGCGTGGATGCCGAAGAGCTTGACGGGCGGCTCGGCCGCGGCCTCGGCGGCGAGGCCCCGCCGGGCGGGCGCCAGGCGCGGCGCCAGGGTCCGCGCGACGGCGCGGAGGGCCATCCTTTCCTTTTTGCTCGGCGCGCGTAGAGATAGCCTGGAGCTGAGCCCTAAGTAGTTTTAGGTCTCTCGCTCCCTGGCTTCGGCGGTTTCTCGCTCCGCTGAGTTTGCGCGGCAAGCCTGATCGCAGCACGACGCGTCTCAGTCAACGCGCGGCGGAGGGCTCGTCGTCGCGGACCCAAATGGCTGTCGCAGCGAGGGCTCGAGCTTGGCTTTTTGTTGGCTGGGCATGGGCGCGCAAGGCATCGATCTGCCACCCATACGTGCGCGTTCGATTCTCTGTAGCTGGGCAAGCGATCGCGCAGCTAGCGCGGTAAGACACTAGCCAAAGGCAGCCGCCTCGGCGCCCGACTCGTTTGGCGGGCGTACTCGTTGCCCGTTGCCAAGGAGCAGTCGCGGAACTAATTCAAGCCACAGTGACCCGGTGGCGATACAATTTTGCACGGCGAGGTTCTGTGAGCTGAGAGCTGCTATCAAGCACCCAAAACAACCTGTGAATTCGCCCACGCGGGACAGCCACGTTACAAAAAACGAGCATGCCCGAAGACCCGGAAACAACGCCGCAAGGCCCGCGGTCGCCGTTATCCCCACAAAGCCCGGGCTTCGCCGAGGTCTTCGCGGACGAGGCGGACGTCGACGGCTGGCGCCTCGCCTTCGCCGCGAAGCAGCGCCTCTCGGTGAAACGGGATGACGACGTCGACAAGGAGCCGACCTACGCGCTGAGTTGCCGGTGCGGCACCTTCCGCTGGACGATTCCGAAGCTGCCCTTTGCGCGCTTCGAGGCGCTCGAAGGTGCTATAAAGCAGCCGCCGCTGCGGCCGTCGCTCGCCTTCCCGCGGCGCACGCGGTTTCTACGCGCGCCGCCGGCCGAGACGGCGCTCGACGCGTGGTGCGACATCCTGTCGCAGAATATCCGGGCCGCCGCTTTGGAACCGCCGACCACGGACCTGGCGGACGCCCTCGACGCTCTCTCAGACATCCTGCGCCTTGAGGAAGCGAAGCCGAACATCGACGCCGCCGGCGCGGTCCTCGAGAAGCCCCAGCTCCAGACGAAGACGCCGCGGCGGCCGGCGACGAACGATTCACTAAAGGCGCGCGACGCTAGCGTCGACCGGCGCCTGGATAGCGTCGCGGCGAAACTACGAGCGCTGCGCAAGGGCCGCACGGGCCGCAAGCCGGGCAAGCGGCCGAGCCGGCGCGCTTTGGCGTCGTTGCGCGTCGACGCGCCCGAGGTCACGGACGGGTCGCCGCCGCCGCCGCCGCCGCGACCGTCGGCCAACGCGCTGTCGCCGAACAACTTCTCCGAGCGCGGCCGGGCGCCGGTCCTCTCTTCATCAGAGACGGCGACGCTGCTGCACATCCCGCCCGCGGCGCCGGCCTTCGGCGACCTGTCGGCGCCGGTCCACACGACGCCGCCGCGGCCGGCGCGGCCGGCGCTGACCATATCAGAGACGGACACGCTCCTGCACGTGCCATCAACACCAGCGATGGCGGACGCGATCGAGACGCGCGGCGCGCGGAGCCATCGGCGAGGCGACTCGCTCGTCCAGTTCCTCGAGCAGGAGCCCGCCGTGGCCGAGGAGGCCGCGGTCAAGCCCGAGGAGCGCGCCGTGTCGCTCACGCCGTCGCCCTCCAAATTAATGACGTCGGTCACGGAGACGCTCTTCCACCGGCCCGCGGCGCCGCCCCTGGAGGAGCTCCCGACGGAGGCGCTCGAGCGCGAGCTGCACCGGCGCCGCAGCGTGAGCCCGCGGCCCGCCGCGGACCAATCAAATGGCCTGAGCGACGAGAGCGACGGCGCGGACAGCATGAGCGACGACGCGTCCTTTATACACGGCGACGACGACCTCGACTCGAACGGCACGCTGTCGCCCATCCCGTCGCGGTCGACGACGCCCGTCTTTTATGATGCGGCCGTCGATCCGTCGACGCCTAGGTCGCTCACGCCGATTTTGTACGAGTCCGTGCTGGACCCCGAGGCGACGCCGACGCACTTCCGGCCGGTCGTGGAGCCTTCAGCGTCGGCGCGCCTGCTGGACTTCTTGGCGTCGCCCTTTCAGTAAATAGCCAGTTTTGTTTAGACTGGGCGTAGGAATTACTTCAGAACTCCGGGTTGCCGTGGAGCCGGTTCATCAGCGCTTCGTAGGCCGTCACGATGAGCTGGAAGCGCACCGGGTCGCCGCCCTTGTCCGGGTGGTGCGCCAGCGCGAGGCGCCGGTACGCCGACCGGAGGGCCCGCTCCGACACGTCCCACGCCACGCCGAGGATCTCGTGCGGCTCGAAGGTCGCCGAGGCGTTGGCCCACTCGACCGCGGTCGGGTGGATTTTCCAACACACGGCGCCAGCGCCCAGCACCTGCGGAGGGAGCCATGCGCCGGCGCGCGCGCGGCCTCGGCGGACGCCGGCTGCGACGGTCGCGGCGAGCATATAAGGTTTTTTGCCTTGCGCCGCGCGCGCGATGATTACGGGCGTCAGGCACGTGATGAAGACAACCAGCCCAAAGAGCAAGTAGAAAGCGGCCGCGCCGTCGTTTGCTTCCACATGAACCATGTTGGTTTTCGATCGACCTGCGAGGAGTCGCCGAGGACGCGTCGTTTCGGCGGGCCGCGGTTCTCTCTCGTATCTCTCTCTCCGGCCTCTCGTGGTGATCTGTACGCTCGAGCCACTTCGTGGCGCCTCCGTCGGGCCTTTTTTCGGGCCGCGGCGCCCGCGCGCACAGAGTAGCGCCTCAGACTTCGAATTGCACTAGGTCTCATTGACTCGTAGCAGACGTGTTCGCGCGTCGAAATGCGAGTCATCGCAGTATAGGGCTGTGTCTTCGTCCGCCGCGTGGCTTAGATTAATGCGGAAGTGCTCACCTGTGGTTTAGTTGTTGCAAAGCTTGAGACCTCCAACGAACCCAGGACTAGTGTCCTAGCACTGTCGCGTCGCCGTCGTCTCCGAGCGAACACTCGGGGCGACGACGTATGAGGGCCGGGGGCGGGACGAGCGTGCGATCAAGCAGGCTCCGCGTCGGTAGGAAAAGTAAGGAAAAGTCAGAAAACTTATGGAGCAAGATCGGATCAGTCCTCGGGCCACGCGAGCGAGAACGAGTTCGACGTGCGGAAGGCCCGGTCGTAGCAGCCGCGGTGGCCCCGCGTCGGCGGCGGCGGCGGCGGCGGCAGGTCCGCGTCGACGGCCTTCTTCCGCGGCGACGCGGCCCGCCGTTTTTGGGGAGACAGGGACCGCCGCGCCGCGGCTCGCCGCCGGGGCGGCTCCGGGGCGCCGCCGAGGAGCGCCTCGATGCGCTTGAGCGTCGCGGTCACGTCCGACTTCTCCCTTTCGAGCTTCGCGATGCGCGCCTCGAGTTTGGGGCGGTCGCGCTCGCCCGGCGGCGGCGGCGCGCCCCACGGGCGGCGCTCCTTTTGTTTTGGAGGCTGCGAAGGCGGGGGCGGCGGCGGCGGCGCGTACGCGGGCTTCTTCGGCGCCTTCTTGGGCTTATGAGCCTTCCGCAAGGCACGCTCGGCGCGCGCCCGTTCCGCCGGCGTCTTGTGGAAGGTCAGCGGCGCCGCCGCACCACTAGAATCTGGCACGGCTCGTTTGGTCGCGATGCGCTCCGGATCCAAACGCACGGGCGCCGGCCGCGACACGACGGGCGCGCCCCTAGCTTGCTGGAGCGCCTGCGCCACGCTCGGATAGCTCCGCGGCGCGTCGCCGTGGCGCTTGCCCGTCGTCGAGCAGCGCATCGCCGCCTGTGCGGAAGATCAACGGTGAGTCCTGGACGCCGTCGAGGCGACTCGCGGCGATGGCGTAGGGGTGGCGCCACACGCCATCGACGCGACCGCACCCCCGCACGCCATCGTCGCGTCGAACGTGATTTATGCACGGCTCGCGAACCGCGCCGAGGAACTGATCCTGGGAACCGTGGCAGCCCTTGAGGTGCGCTCTCAATGCGCGCGCGTGGAAGCTCCGCCCGCAGTTCGGGCACGTCTCGAGGGACTGCTCCTTCCAGATCCGCATCGCCTGGCGGTTCACCGCTTCCAAGGTTTTGGGATTCGGCTTGCCCGGCGGCACGTCCGGCCCCTCGGGCAGGGGCCTCTGCTGACTCTTGGGTTTTTGTTGTTCCTCTTGCAACCAAGCCTGAGCGCACCTCGACGCGTGGCACCGGAAACTTTTGAGCAGCTGCGGCGTGCCGCAAAGATGACAAATACGCATCGCCGGCGCCTTGCCCGTCGGAATCGACGAATCCGCCTCCTCGTGGTGCTTTGTTAAATTAGGGTCGTCGGTCGAGATCGCGAGGCCCGTCGTCGTGAGCGAGAAGGGCGACTCGCGCGTCTCGCGGAAGTGGGAGAGGCTGGCGTTGAGGGGGTCCATTTTTCCTGTCCAGGCGCGTTCGGGTGTCTGTCCGGGTGCGCTGTCGGCGTGTGCACTTGTTTCGGCTCTGGAGGCGGTTTGGCCTTGTCCAGCCGGATAACTGGCGGTTCGAACCCAAAGCGGTTCAAGCGGTCGAGCCCAATGTCCTAGCGCTTCAACGCAGCAAGCAGCAGCGGTCTTGCCGTGTACTCAGCGGCGGTTTGCTCTAAAAAAAGCAAAGGCTAAAATTGCTAAAAAAACCCGTGGCATGATCACGTCTCCGCCCATTAGTCCTAGCACCGGCACAGAAAACAACAACTCGCCGAGACAAAAAGAAAACCACAAACCTCCCTTATAACCGCGAGTGCAGCCGCTTCGCGACGGTGCGCATGCGGTTGTACACCTTGCCCGGCGGCGCGCCGATGATCAGGTCGCAGATGGCGTCGCGCGCGACCTTGATGTTCTGCGCCGAGCCGAGCACGTGCACGTGCGTGCCCGCGACCACGACGCGCGTCCGCGTCGCGTTCTCGATCGCGTGCCGCGTCTTGCCGTCGGCGCCCGCGATGCGTCCCACCGCGCGACTCAGGTGGTCCCCCCGCAGGATCTTCACGTCCTTCACCTCGAACGAGTCGACGAACAGGTCCTCGAGTCTCAATAAAGCGAGCGCGTCGGCCACTTCAAAACCCAGCGCGAAGGCCGCGACAAAGTCCGCGCCCTTCTGCACGGCGCCCGCGTCCGGCGTTGTGGGTGCCGACCGCAGTTCAACACATCTAGATCGAGGATTGAAGCGCACCTGCAGCTTGAGCTGTTCTACCAAAGGCGTCACGATCTGGGGCCAGGCCTTGCGCAGCGGCGTGTAGCGGTGCGCCGGGACGCGCACCTTGCGGTACTCCACTCTCCCCTCCGCGGCGGCGTCGAGCGCCGCGAACTCGGGCACCGCCGCCTCGTCCGTTTTTTCTGCTCGCGGCTCGCGGCGCACGGGGTCGCCAGCCTTGATCGCGCGCGGCGCGTCCGGGGTTTTGCGTTTCGTGGACATAAAGTCACAGGCCCCAGGCTGCACAGAGCCTATGCTTTTATTTAGGCAACGTAAACAGTCCGCTCTCTGCCGCGAGTAATTACAACTCAAAGGGTTGGCTGCGGCTGCTCGGTGATGATCTCTATTGCGTAGTCGCGTCCAGCGGCCAATATCGCCTACAGCTGTGCGCAGCTGGGCCTCCCAACACCAGCACTTGATGCTGCTCCAACACAGCGTCGAGAGACGCGAGACGACTCGTGCGAGCCGACGCGTCAGCCCTGCACTTTCGCGCTAGCGGCATGGAGACACTAGCAGCAAGCAAGCCTGGAGGCAAAAAGACGCTGCATTGCTGTAAACAAGCGAGATTTGCGCGAAGAATGCGGGAAAGTGACTGCACCAACGATGCGCAACGCTGCGCAACGCTGCGCGAGGCGTGCCGTTGCATTGATTGAGCAAATGCACTCAGGGAGCAAAAACTAATGGACGCCGCCGCCGCAGCCCTCTACAAGGAAGGCTACGCCGTCGCACCGATCACCTTAAAGACGAGACAAGCCGCGCTCGCTGCGGCGCGCACATTCTTCGAGCTGCCCGACGCCGTCAAGCGCAAAGCCATCGCACCAAAGCGCCAGGCGACGCGCGGCTACTCGCCGCCGAACGCCGAGAACTACGCCGCGCTGGGCGGCGTGGCGAACCAGCCGAACGACGCCGTCGAGAAGTTGAGGCTCGGCGCGTGGCTGCCGTTCGGCGGCGACGCCTCAGAAGCCCAGGACGGCGTTTCCTGGCCGCGCGAGGCGAAGGAATTGCGGGACGCGCTCGTCGCGTTTGGGGCGGAGGCGGCGGCGGCGGCCGTGCGACTCGTCGAAAAATGCGCCGCTCGCGGTGGCTGGGCCGCCCCAACGGCGGGCTGCCGCGCCACGTTAACAGTGAACGGCTACGGCTTCGCCAACACACCAAAAAGCGGCACGCTCGTAGCCGCACATACGGACGTCGGCGTGCTGACGCTCGTGACCTTCGACGCCGGCGCGTGCGGCCGCCTCGAGTTCGAGTGCGACGAGGGCGGCTGGCGCGCGGCGCCGGCGGACGGCGTGCTGATCCACGCGGCCGACGGCATCGCGGCGCTCGCGCCCGGCGCGCCTGTAATTAGACACCGGGTCGCAGCGACGGGCGTCAAAGGGAGCCGCGTCTCGCTCGCGCTCTTCGTCGACCTCCCGCCGGACCACCGCGTGCGGGGCGCGACGTACGCGGCCTGGCGGCGCGACCGCATCCGGCGCGCGCGGGCCGTGGGCGCGCAGAAGCATCAAGAGGACGAGAGGCAGACGCAGCAGAGGCTGCCGCCTGACGAGCGGCAGACGGCGCTGCGCCTGTACGCCCTGACGCCAGCATCACAAAGGCGGATCCTCACGGAGGCGCAAATCGCAGCTTTTATCAGAGAAGGCTACGTCGTCGTCCCCGGAGTTGTAACAACGGAGCGCCTCGCTGCCGCACGGCGCGGCCTCGCCGCGACCCTGGCGCGGCACGGCGTCTCCATGGAGGACGCGGCGACGCACGAGGGCCTGCGCCGGCTCTCGACGACGCGCGGCGCCGGCGGCGTGCTCGACCTCTTCTACGACCGCTGGAAGCTCGATTTGACGTTGGGGACGTCCTTGTACGCTGATTGCTACCGCGACCTCTTCGCGGCGACCTACGGGACGAACGCGGGGCTTTGGGCCCACCCCTACGGCCCCGTCGCCGCCGAGGCGTTGTGGGCCCACGTCGACCGCGTCGGCGTCCGCGTGCCCGACGCGGCGGGCAAGAAACGGGCGCTCCAGCGCTCGCTGACGCCCCACCTCGACTGCTGCCCCGACCGCCTGCACGCGGGCGGGGGCAAGCGGTTCCCGCGCTGGCGGCCGATCCAGTGCTTCCTGGCGCTCGACGGCGCGCTCGAGGCCGACCAGGGCGGCTTCGAGTGCTGCGGCGGGTTCCACCGGCGCTTCGAGGCCTACTACGCGGACCGCGCCGCGCGCGCCGGCGGGTCGCTGCCGTGCGTCGGCGACTTCATCGCCCTGACGATGCGCGACGACGCTGCTGTCGTTGCGGCCGTCGGACACGTCCCGGTTCCTGCTGGTGCGGCGGTGTTCTGGGACCAGCGCGTACCGCACGCGAACGCTCGACGGAATACGAAGCACGAGGCGAGGGCGGTCGCCTACGGCGGGTTTCTCCCCCGCACGCCGCTGAACGATGCGTATGCAATCGAACAGCGGCGCCGCTTCCTCCTCGGCGAGCCGCAGCCGGACTTCTGGACCGACGGCCCGCCGCCACCGGCCCCGCCGGACCACTCCGCTACCGTGGACGCGCTGGGCCCGCACGCGCGGAGCCTGCTAGGAATACCTTGATGATGTTGTTGTAACTTGAACGATATGATTAACACAAAAAATAGATCAGGCAGCCACGAGCACCGGCAGCCCCTGGGGGCGCTTCGCGTTTCCCAGGCACGCCACGTGCTGCCGCGGCCAGGGGTCCGGGTCGCCGACGACGTACTCCTGCCGTAGTATTGCGAGCGCCGCGGCGAACGCGACGGCCACGTCGCCGCCCGGCCACTCGCCGACGTGATTATAAAACGCGCGCGCGAAGCACCGCGCGCAGGCGTCGTGGACGCGGCCCTGCCAGCATATGACCTTCAGCCCGGGGAGCTTGTTCGCGACGTAGCGCGCCAAATCTACGGACGCGCACGCGTTCAGAAATAACAGCTCGAGGCCGTCGCCGCAGCTCCCGAGCACGTCGACGACCTCCTCGCGCTCCGGCAACGCGGCACCGCCGTCCGTGCGGTGGAAGAGCAACGTATCGCCGCCGTCGTGCCACCACGTGTCCTTGCGCACGCCGTGCGAGGACACGTGGAAGATGCGCGGGCTGAGGCCCCTTTCCACCGCTTGCAGCACGTCGCCGGGCCAGCGCGCCGCCGGCACGATCTCCCGCTCCTGCGGCGGCACGGCTTCGATGAGGCCCTTCATCTCCCTCATCAAATCGAGCTGGGCCGACGGCGGCAGGGGCACGGAGCGCTGCCGCATAGTGATAGACTCCGGCAGGCAGAAGCAGGCCAGGACCTCAATATCATCATCGTCGTCGGCGGCGCCCAGGCGGCGGAGCGCGTGCCGCGCCGTCTCGAAGTCGCCGCGCACCGTCGGCGTCGCCAGCGTCGCCAGCTGCGTGCCGGCCGGCGTCGCGTGGGTGTCCGCGACCGCCGCGTCCGACGCGATGCGGCGGAGGCCGACCCGCTCGCGCCGCCGCGCGGCGGCCGCGGCCGCGCCGCCGAGGCTGCGCATCGACGACGACCGCCGCGGCGGCGGCGGCGGCGGCGGCGGCGGCAGAGCGTCGAGCTGCGCCTGGAGCGTCAGCGTCAAATTCGCCAGCCGCGCGGCGTCCGGCGGGCCCTGCGGTGGCGGGAGCCCGCCGCGCTGCGCCGCCCGCCGCTCGACGGCCTGCAGCCGCTCGAGCCAGGCCGCGTCGCGCCGCGCGAGGTACGCGCGCCGCCGCGACCGGTCCAACGCGCGGTCGGCGTCGCCCAGCGCCCGGAAGAACGCCGGCGCCTCTTGTGATTCGAGGACGCGTTGTGGGGGCGTCGTGAGCTGCGCGTTGTTCTGGACGATCAGCTGGCCCTCGAAGGACGCGACGGCCGGCGGCAGCTCGACGAGGTCCGGATTCGACGACAGGTCCAGGACCATGGGTCTCGAAAAGACGGCCGCGTCGACCGTATTCAGGCGGTTGTCGCGCAACGACAGGTGCGCGAGCTTCGAAAGCCGCGCGACGCCCGCGGGCACTTCAAACAAATCGTTCTGCGCGAGGTCCAGGCGTCTCAAACTTTGAGCGAGGAAGTCCACGCTCAATGGTTGGAAGACGTTCTCGGGCCAGCGGTGCAGGCGGTTCCGCGACGCGTCCAAAACTTCGAGGCGGCCGAGGGCCGCCCACGCGTCCGGCAGGGCCTCCAACCCACAATCCGCGCAGTTTAGTGATTTCAACGTCGCCGCGGCGCGCTCGAGCTGCGCCAGCGCCGCGCACTTGAGCCGCGCGCACCCGGACACGTCGAGCGCCGTGAGCCGCGCTGATAACAGAGGCGCCGGGATTTTGGATACGGGCGCGCCCCGCAGCGTCGCGCCGACGTCGCGCCCCGAGAGCGGCAGCTGCGCCGCGACGGCCGCGTCGTCGTGCACTTCGCGGAAGTCGAATTCCGCGCCGAGGCGCCGCGGCGACGCCTTCGGCGACCGGCAGGCGGCGCCCTCGCGCGGCGTCTCGCCATCCAACCGCTCGCCGCCAAAATTTAAAGCTGCCTCGACGTCCGCGGCGGTCCGCCGCGGCCGCCGCGGCCGCTCGCGCTTGTCGACGCGGTCCGGTAGTGTGATAGACGGCCGCGCGGGCGCCGGTTTCTTCTTCTTGCCGTTAGTCTTCTTGCCATTGCTGCTTTTGGTGCGCTGCGGCAGGACACGCGGCGGCGGCGGCGCGGCCGCGGGCCGCGCGGGCCGCGGGCCCCTTCTATCTTGACGCCGCGACCGCTCGACGCCCTTGTCGACGACGGCGTCGCGGCCGCGCGCCTGCTGACCGGGCTGGGGCGGCGAGTGCAGGGAGTGGGAGAGCGCGTCCTCGACGCCGATCGAGTCGATCTCGCGCGAGGACGAGCCGCGGCTGTAGCGCGGCTCGCGCAGCGTGCGCGGCGGGGTCGCCGGCGGCGTGTCCGGCTCGCTGGCGTCGTCGACGTCGCCCCAGGACACGCGAGGTGAGGGCTGCCAGTCCTCCATTGTATGTGGCGTTGGCGCAAGCTATTTGTGACACGAGTTCCAAAATGTATGAACGGTGTTGTCGGGCGCCTCTTCAGTGATTGAAACCGTATGCTGGCAGCAGTACTGCCCCTGCTCTCCCCGACCGTCGACCTAGCGTACAAAGAGACATACTAGCCCCAACAACGCGGCCGGCTTGGGCAGCAAGTTTGTGGGCATCCCGAAGGTCCTAGCACCCCCAGAAACGCGTGGGGCAGCGTCGGGCAGCCGCCAACAGCAACCAATGGCACGCCTTCGGTGAGAGCCTGCGCAACCATGGGCCTATTCTCGTGTCTGCGTAAAGTCCAGCCCGAGGAGGCGCCAGCAACAAAGGCGAAGCCGTCGAAGTACGCGGACCTCGCGGCGTGGTCGGACTCCACGTCGAACACGCTCGCGCACGACCCGCGCAAGGTCAACGTCATGGACGTGACGCTCGTCCGCGCCTCGGGCTTGCTGGCCATGGACCTTAGCCTGTTCTCGAAGAACTCGAGCGACCCACTGGCCATTTTGAGATGTGCGGGCCTCGAGTTCAAGTCCACCACAAAAAAGCGCACGCTGGCGCCCTACTGGAAGGAGTCGTTCCGTTTCCCGCTGTTGGACTCGACGCGCGACGAGGTGCTGGAGGTCGAGATCGAAGATTACGATTTGATCAGCGGCAACGACTTCATGGGCAAGTGCCGCGTGCCCCTCCAGTACCTCCAGCTCTCGGAGACGATGAAGGTGCCCCTCGGCGATAAAAAAACGGGCGCGAAGGATAAAGAACGAGGTTCCATTGAATTAGAGATCACTTTATCCTATGATGAAAAGTACGACTACTTCCCCGAGGAAAAACCGATGAATGGAGAGCCAAATTTACTAATGATCGGTGTTACACGAGGCCGCGACCTTTTGCCGATGGATGTTCAACTGAGCTCGGCGTTCCGCGGCTCGACGACTTCTGATCCAAAATGCTCCATCACCATAGCGAACAAGACGTTCACGACGGAAATGATCGCGAAGACCCTCAACCCCCAGTGGCATGCTCGATTCGAGGTCCAGGTCGAGGGTCCCTCTCATAAAATCCATCTAAATGTGGAGGACGTCGACGTGCTGTCGGGCAACGATTTCATGGGTCGGTGTGAGATCAATCTCGACGAGTACGCGGACGGGAAGCGACATCGACACTGGCACCCTTTGTTGGATAAGAAGGGTCGCAAAGATAAGAATAGAGGTGAGGTGGAAATTGTAGTCAGGTGGGTCCACGAACCTAGACTGAGACGCTTCGTCGACGATGACAAGGGGGAGGGCCCGGCGAACGAGTTGTGCGTGTGCGTCGTGCAAGCCATGAATTTACTAGCGATGGACGGTTCTGGAATGCTCGGGCTGGGCAAGGCGAAGCTGTCGGACCCCCTGGCCAAGGTAAGACTGGGAGGCGCCAAGGACTGGTCCTGCTCGCCGCACGTCCCCAAAACACTAAAACCCTTCTGGAACCGCGAGTTCCGATTGCCCATCTCATCAGATGATATAGAGAGGGGCGCGACGACGCTGGACATAGAAGTAGAGGACTACGACAAGGGTTCATTGAACGACTTCATGGGCTCCGTGAGCATACCTATCATAATTGAGCGCGGCCCGTCGTCCCGCACGTGGCACGCTCTGACAGGTCCCAAGGGTGTTGATGGTGGAAGGATAGAGGTCCAGTTGCGATGCGTGCGCAACCCCGCGTTAGTACATTTCGAGGAGGACAACAAAAATGAGTACAAGAAGAGGAAGCCTAATGAACTGAGAGTAGCAGTCATTGGCGCGCAGAACTTGGTAGATGAGGGTGGGGTTGTACCTACAATAGACCCGCGCTGCGCGGTGCATTTGTGGCCCTTCTCGCGCTCGACAAAATCGCGCGCGTCTCGACAACCGACCTGGAACGCGGCCTACACCTTCCGCGTGCCGTCAGCCGATACTTTTGATGCGTTCGGGGGCGACTGCGCGGCGTCTGAAGTTCCCACAGCCATGGAGTGCTCCGTGCGGTCCAAGGGGCGCGTCCTCGGGCGCGTGTTGCTAGGGCTGAAGGAGCTGAAAGATCGGAAAGTACGAAAAGGTTTTTATACGTTAACGGACCAGGAGGAGGACAGTTCCATCACGAAGCCCACCAACAATTCAGCGAAGGACGGCCCCTGCGTCGAGGTCTGGGCCCAGTGGCTCTACAACCCCGACGCGGACTTTGATCTGGAGGGGGAGAACGACGACGCGAGTGGCATGCAAGCGCCGAACTTGCTACGAGTGGCTTTATTATGTGCGACGGGCCTGGAGAAGGACGAGGCCTGCTGCGCAGCCAAAGCTTCAGGACACGTCGCGCGCACGCCAATGCTGTCGTCAGAGGCCCTCGAGTGGCACGCCGCCTTCGCACTGCCCATCGACACCTCTTCCCAGTTCTTGAGGGTTGCGCTCGAGAGCACGCCGGGCGACGAGTTCGGCTACTCCACAATTCCACTCACAAACCTCAAGGACGGCAAAGTAAAGAGGGGCTGGCTCGCGGTCAAAAGAATAGCGGCGCCCGGCGCGCTGTCGCTCGGCGACGTCTTCCTCCAGGCGAAGGCGGCCGCGCCGCGGCCGGCCCCCGCGTGGTCGGCACCGGAAGATGCGGAGCTGACGCGGCTCGTACAAGTGCACGACTCCGACTGGAACACGATCGCCGCGGCCATGCCTGGTCGCGATAATAGTGATTGTCGGAAGCGATGGGTCTACACGCTAGATCCTACGACCGCGGCACCCGTCGAGGCACCACAGGAGGAGGAGCAGCCCGAGGTCGAGGGCGTCGTCGTCGAGGAAGAAGACGAGTCGGAACCGCCGGCGAGCCCCGACGAGACCGATCCTTTCACGCCCGACAAGCCCCACTGGTGCCGGTTTAATGTCGAGAAGCGCGACGTCAAGTGGCTCCTCAAGAAACAATGGTCCAAGCTCGCCGCCGCGCGCGCGCTCCAGCAGGGCGGCCACGGCCGCGTCGAAATCGCCGCGCGCTGGGTCTACGACGCGGCGTTGGACCACTTCCCGGACGACGACGGCGTTGCGGCGCGGCCGAACTGTTTGAAAGTTGCGGTTATAGGAGGACGGGGCCTCAGCAACGCGAAAAGACGTTCATTGCCGCGCGACACTTATGTATCCATAAAAATGGGCCCGGACGTCGCCTTCACTTCATCAATAGAGGCCTTTCCGGCCGAGGACCGGCCGCGCTGGAACTGTGCCGTGACGCTACCCGTCGAGGACGAAGCCCCCCTCGAATTAAATGTCTACGCGGCGAAGAAGTTAATAGCGTCGGGCACGTTCACCGTGGATTTGAGTGATAAGGGTAGACATCGGAGATGGTTCGACCTGAGTCCGACGTCGCGCTGCGGCAAGGATTTAGCAGATAAGGTCCCGCCGGGCCTAGATCTCATCATGCGGTGGTCCTACGAGCCGTCCTACGACTTTGGGAAACGGCGGGCCTACCCGGACGAGGACATCGCGCGCGAGCCGAACGAGGTCGGCTTGGCCGTTGTGCAGGTCCGCGAGAAAGTTGAAAACGCAAGGCCGCCCCTGTGGAGACCCGGGCGCGAGCTGGCGCCGTATTCAGTAAAACTGAAGTGCGGGCCGAAGCTCGAGGCGACGACCAATGAAGTCGCGCCTGTTTATGGAGGGGCCGTTTTTGTCGGCGATGCGACGTCGCTCAGAAAGCCGAAGCAAGGCCACGCCAAGGGCACGCCGCTCGAGATAACGGTGGAGCGCCAGGGGCGCGTCGTCGGCGTCGGTTCCACCAATGTGGACGAGATCTTCTCATCTACCTCAAAAGTGAAGAGGATCCGGATCTGGGTCCCTCTAGGACCACCGAAGCGCCGGGGCGCCCTCGCCAAACTGAAAGACGTCCCCCAAAAAACGGCTCGAGCGTTGCACGGCGGGCCGTACGGCGCGGAGCTCGAGGTGGAAGTAGCGGCCTGGGTGTGCTTCAACGCGTCGCGGACGGCTCGATTAGGGAGGTTGGAGCGGGACTTAGGTCACGAGCGATCCAGACCCCTCACCATCTGCTGGTACGAGGTGGCCAAGGGCGGGTCGGTGGTCGTGGCGCCGGCGGCGCGGTCTTTATTAAGACCGCCGCTCTTCGAGGATGGCAGGGTTGCTGTGGTGGAGGAAGTGAGGCATAGGGCCGTGGGCGCGGCGGGCGGTCGGAAAAGGCGGGCGCAGCGGCCCCAGGCGATGTATCCCCAAGGAGCGCTACTACGGTCGACGCCGATCGTGCGCTTCGCCGGTCTTAAGGGAGCGCACGCCTGCGCTGCTTTGTCTGAAGCCGTCGCGCGGCTCGAGGGTTTGGACGCGCCCTTTTCGCTTCGAGTGGACCACTGGGCCGGCGAGCTGCGCGGTTCTTATGGCGAGGCCGTGCGGTTCCCGCGCGACCCGCCGGGCCCCGGCCGCCGCCGCCGGCCGCTGCCGCGGCGCGGCGGCGAGTGGCACGAGCGCTACCGCGCGCGGCTCAACGACGGCTCGCCGGCGCACCTGAACGTCGCCCGGCTCGAGCGCCTCGCGACGGACTACCAGATGGTCCGACGGGGCGACATCGCGCGGGAGGTGGCCCTCGTCGCTTCACTATCAACGCGCGACGACATCGTGCAACCGCTTGGGGCCTGGCTCGGCGCCGCGCGGGGCCCCGGCGTGGCGCTGCCCTTCGAGGACCGCGTCTCGCTGACGGATCATGCGGGAGGCGGCAAGGGCGCCCTGTACGATCAGGACCGCGCGGCGCTCGTCGCGTCGAGAATCACGACGATCCTGCGGGACGCGGCGGCGGCCGTGGGCCACTGCCATTCCAAAAACGTGCTGCACGGCGGCGTGTCGCACGATTCGTTTGTGGTGGCCCAGAAGACCCGGGGTCCGGTGCTGCAGCTCACGGGCTTCGAATTGGCATCGCCTTTGATCGTACCTCAGCAGAAGTCCGGCCGGCCAATGACCACGCCCCTACCCACGGCGTTGGTGCGGGGCTACGTCCCGGCGTACCGCTCGCCGGAAGTGGAAAAAGCGGTGGCCCAGCTCGCGCAGGCCGCGTCGAAGAGGCAACTTGATATAAGACGCGTCGAAACGAAGGTGACCGCGGCGGAGGCGGACGTCTGGGCGTTGGGGGTCCTCGCCCTCAACCTCTTCGAGCCGCGGCGTTTGAGAAGAGCGCAGCAGTGCCCGCCGCCCCCGCCGCCGCCGAAAGGTGACGATACCGAATCGGACGACGACGACGAGGGCCCCTTCTCGCTTGAAGAAAGAGACCGCGACGAGCCCCTGCCGCGCGACGCGTCGCAAGCCGACATGCGGAGGCGCGACCACTTCGACCCCGCCGGCGAGCGGGCACGTGACTCATACGAAGCGTACGCGCGCAAAGATCTCAATGGCCCGAAGATGAGTTCTGATGCGGTGCGGACCTGGCTCCGGAAAAGAGTGCAGGCGACGCTCGATGAGACCCCCGCGGACGCGACGACGACGCACCAAGCTTGTAAGTTGCTCATCGAGACGCGGACGTCCGCGCGCTTAGATGGGAGAACTCTGTTGAGACATGCCTCGGATCCAGCTAGAATCCTGAGCTTCCTGGGCTTAGCAAGAGGCGAGCGGAGCGACACATCCGCCTCCCAGTCCCAGAACACGTCGCCCTACACGAGCAAGGCCCCGTCGTCCCACTCGCCCGAGCGCACGTCGTCGCCCGCCTCGTCCACGGGAACGCGCGCGTCCAAGACCTTCCCTGAGGGGTCAAGAAGTGTCGACTCGCCGAAGTTCCTCACGCCGCCCAAGACGCCCGCGAGCGAGGAGGACGACTTCGGGACGTTCGAGACGCCGGGCGGCGACTTTGGAAGTAGGGCGGCGTCGGCGGGCGCGGCGTCGTCGCGCGCTTTGGTGCGGTCGGCGTCGAAGCTGGCCAGCGTGCAGGAGCGGCAAGGTAGGGAGAACCTGGGCGCGGCGGCGCTCGTGTGTCGACTGGTGGACGAAGCGTTTGAGAGGTACCCGATGCCCAAGGCCCTGCGCACGGCTGTGGAGCGTTGCTTGGACAAGGACGTGTCCGCGAGGCCGCGCGACGGTACGAAGGCCAAAGTGCTCTTCGCGGCCGCGGTGGACGAGGCCGAACAGAACGACGACGCGTCCTCCAAAAGGTCCCTGAAGGGGTTACTCCGAAAGGGGGGTTCTAGCGTCTTCTTCACGCAGCTCTCCGGAAATGAACCCGAGGCGACGGACGTTCCGAAGGGGCCGCCGACGAAGCTGAGGGTCATGCTTTCAAAAGCACGCGATCTGCCGGCCGTGGACAAGTCGCGCTTCTCGCGGGCGTCGTCGGACCCCGTGTGTCGATTGGGCATCGTGGGCAGCGGCGGGCGCAAAATACCAAAAAAGAAGGGCCACACGTCGTCGATCAAATTCAAAAACCTGAACCCGACGTGGGAGGAGACCTTTGACCTGCCGGCGCACGACGCCGTCGACGGGGCCGAGCTTTTGGTGGTGGTCGAGGACTACGACAAGGTCGGCAGCAACGACTTCATGGGCCTCGTGAGCCTGCCGCTGCAGGATATCGGGAGAGGTGGGTTGGAGGCGTCCTCAGATTGGGTTACACAATGGTACGATTTGGTCGACGCCAAGGGTCGAGCGGACAAGCCGCGGGGCGCCGTAGAACTCAAATACATGTGGGTCGCGGGGCAGCCCGTTCCCGGGTCATCTACCGTAGGTTCGACGGTCACCAAGAAATCTTTGGAGCCAGTCACGAAGCCGGCGCGTGCGAAGCTGTGCGTCGAGGTCGCGCTCGGGCTCGCGGCCGCCGGCGAGGCGGAGCGCGCCCAGCCCTTCCTCGACGAGGCCTTGGACGCCGTGGCGCGCGCGGCCGCGATCGCGCCGCCGTCGCCCGCGAAGCGGCCCTCGCGCGAGTCGGAGATCGCGGCGGCGCTCGCGCTCGAGGCCGCGGGCCGGCGCTGCGACGACGAGGCCGCGGTGCGCTTTGTGGCGGCTTCGGTCGCCAAGGCCGGCGGGCTTGAGAAGGATTGCTTCGCGGCGCTGCGCCAGGCGGCCGCGGCGCGGGAGCGGCGCTACCACGAGGGCCACCCGCTCGTGGCGGCGGCGCGGTGCGCCGTCGCGGCGCAGGCGCGGCGCTGCCTGGCGCCCGGCGAAAGAGACACGCGCGTGGCCCACGAGCGCGCCGTCGCCTCACTATCAAAGATGCGCGGCGGCAGCGTGAACGACGCGGAGCGCGGCGCCGCGGAGGTCGTCCAGATGGCGCGGCTCGGCGCCGACGCCGTCCGCGGCGTGGTTCTGAAGTTAGAACTGGAGGCTTTGGCGCAGATCACCGCGAAGCGGACCGAGTTGGAGGCGCAGATCAGCGTGAAGAACCTCGCGCTGGAGCGGTGGGACGAGTTTGAAGGGACGGGGCCGTGTTTCGCTGATTTCTCTGAACACGGCGTCGAAGAAGAGTTGCTGGAGCGCGCGCGCCGCGGGTATCACCTTGGGCGCGTGGACCTCGCGGCCCTCGAAGCGGGCGCGGTCGCATGCCGGCGCCACGTCGCTTCCTTAAACGCGACGGTGAAAATGATCGACGACGCGCACGGCGCCATGGACGAGGCTAGAAGAGCATTGTGCTCCTGCGACGACGCGGCGGTAAAAGACGTCCTGGCGGCGCTGACGCCCGACGACGTCGAGTGCCTCGAGCAGGCCCACGTCGACGCGGTCGAGCGGGCCTTCGAGCGCGGCGAGGACGTGTCGGGCCGCCACTTCCCCGGCGCCGAGGTCGTGCCGCGCGGCGGGGGCTCGAGCGCCGCGCGTTCGCGGCGGAGCATACAATCGCGGGCCTCGACGCGCGACGAGGAGTCGTTCTCGGGCAGCGAGGCCTACACGTCCAGCGGCCCGGACGACGCCGACCCGGTCGCGCCGAGCGAGCGGCTCCACCGCTCCGCGCTGTACCTGGCTTTGAATGTCGACGAGGACCACCTTTTCGACGCGCGTGTGATGGACTACGTCTCACCGACGCCCGCCCTGGCGGACGAGGTCTCCTTTCCCGTGCTCCCGCCGACGCCGCGGCCGCCGACGCCGCCGCCGACGCCGCCGCCGCCCGAGGTCACGCCGCGGTATCTGAAGGACGGCCAACACCGGCCACCGAGGCACCTGTCGAATCAGGATCGCGGGACTTTCCCACAGCCTCTGATGTTGGGGAGTCCTTAAGTTGTAGTATTGGTTATTTAAAAAACCAGCTCAGGCTCAGCTGAGGCTGAGGCTGAGGCTAGTTACGTCGTAGGGTTCCCCGTACCCCTCCCGCTCCCCCCGGGCCCACCCGTCCGGCTGGACTAGGACGCAAGGGCTGAGTCGCAGGGACTCGCACGCCCCCAGCGCACTAGTGTGTCGCTACACTAGCTCTGTTTTCGGCTCGGCTCGTTTTGATCGCGTGATTAAGGCTGCCCTTGCGCAACGATGATGGGGTCCGCAGCGCTGTTTGTGCGTGGCGAGTTCATTACCAGCCGTGGCGGGCACGCACAATAAAGCAAATCAGCGTGGCGACGAAGAACTCGAGGTGCACGCCGTGAACTGATGACTCGCGGCCGCCCCTCCGCCGTGCTCCTCTTCCTGGCGCACGGGCGAGGCGCGGCGGTCGACATCCTGCACGTCATCTTTGATGACTTGCGGCCGGACCTGGGCGCGTACGGGCGGCGGTGGGCGCGGACGCCGCACCTGGACGCGCTCGCAGACGGTGGCGTAGTCTTCACGCAGGCGCACGCCGCCGTCGCCCTCTGCGCGCCCTCCCGTGCCTCCTTCTTGACCGGGCGGAGGCCCGACTGGAACGGGGTCATTGACCTGTGGACGCATCATCGCGGCGCGGACAGGCGCGCGGTGACGCTGCCGCAGGCCCTGCGCGAGAGCGAAGAACGCTACCTGACCGTCTCGTACGGCAAGGTTTTCCACCAGGGTCAGGATGACCCGCTCGCGTGGGCGCCTCAGGCGGAATTCGCGGACCACCACACGTGCCGCGGAAAACGGTGGTCCCCAGCGACCCCGCCCGGGAGCCCGGGCGATCCATGCCCAGGCCAACGGCCCGCGCGGTGGAATTATCAGGATTATCAATTACCCGGACTGATGCGCGGGGAAGGCGGCTCCCGCTTTTGGTTTGAGCGTGGCCCCGATGCTAACCCGAACGGTGTCAATTACACGGACTATGTGATTGCGGACCAGGCACGCGGAGGCCTGGAGCGCCTCGCGGCACAGCCGCGGCCGTGGTACCTCGCCGTCGGCTTCGTGCGTCCGCACCTCCCATTCAATTCGCCAGCGCCGTTCTTTGACGCGTTCCCGATCGATGCGGTGCCGCCGCCGCCGCGGCCCCGCCCGCCGTCGCATGCGTCGGTACTGACGGCAAACTCCGTACGTGTGGGCGAAGGGGAGCTCAACGCCAGAATTTGGAAACGACCAGACGAGGAGGGAAACCTCGTGACAACGTACCTACGGAAGGCCTCTATGGCCGGAAACTTCGCGGCGGCGTATGCCGCCGCCGTATCGTTTGCAGATGCGCAGTTTGGGCGCGTGATGGACCGTCTGGCGACGCTTGGTCGGCGTCAAACTACCGCCATCGTCGTGCATGGCGACCACGGTTGGAAGCTCGGTCACCTCGGGGGCTGGGGGAAGAGTTCGCCGCTGACGCAAGACACGCACGTTCCGTTGATCATATCGGTGCCGGGGGCGCGGCCCGGGCGCATAGATTTGCCAGTCGAGCTGCTTGATGTCTTCCCGACGATCATAGACTTGGCGGGCGTTTCGCCCCGGCGCTCTCTCGCGTTGCACGGCCGTAGCCTCCGGCCGACCATCGAGGGTCGCCAAGTCAATGCCGCGGGGTTTGCGGTGTCGCAGTGGCCACAAGTATTGAATCCTCACCACGAAAACGGAATAACGTGCATGGGATACAGCCTCCGCGTCGCGAACTGGACGCTCATTCAGTGGGTACTCACGCCAACCCGCTGCAGCAGAACGGGCGGAGCGTTGCATTGCCGCGGGCCGCGACGTGACACGCCGGGGAACGCCGCGGCTTGGAAAGCGATCCAAAGGCGCTTCGCCGGGGGCGACCCGTGCCGCGGCCACGCTGACCTCTTCCGTGCGCCGCCGGACTACGGAGTAAAGCCGTGGGTTGAGCCCGAAAGCCGAAATATTATCGACGCATACCCTCAGATAGCAAAGGAGCTGCGCGAACTCCTTGCCTCGCATCTCGACTTGGACCGCAACCGCGTTGCCCCTTCGACAAAACAAATAAATCGACTTTCGGGAACGGTGCCAAACCCGCCCCCCTCCAAGCTCTTACCCAAATACTCAAAAAGTCGTCGTTCTGTTCACCAGCCTATGATTGGCACAACAATTCATAGTACAAAGGGCGGGCGTTCGGTCACGCACTTCGGCTTCGGCTCCCCGGCTGGGCGGCCTCTTCGTGCCCGGAAAGCCAACTTAATCCCACCTAGATTGTGAGCCCGACGCTGCCCGCCGACTCTTCCGCCGTCGTTCCCGAGCCTATGTATCAGGAGGCCTTTTTAATTTGTAGTAATCTTTACACACGAAAGCGGGGGGGACAGCGCTCAACCAGTTTTATCAAGAGCTGGGGGATACCTTCCATCATCCTCTACTGTGTCGTCCTTGTCTCACTCCTTGTCGACCCACGACCCGTTGTCCGAGTCCCAGACTTTTCCCGGGATCGTGACGCCCTTCGGCTTCGGGTACTGGTACGGGGTGTGCTTCTTGGTGTCGACGTACCAGAAATTCACGGGGTCCACCTTATTGCACGGAAGTCCCATGAGGGCAGCACCATATAATTTCTCTTCGAGGTCCAAATGCTTGTCGTCGATTCTCTTCTCATCCATGATTTGAGGCATCATGCACACCTTCACGTGTTCATACTTATCAATCTTGCCGTCCTTGTTGGCGGATATGGGCCACTTTTGCTTACCCGGAAGAGTAAGCTCGATCGCTTTGCCGTCTTTGTTGATGCCGTCGAAGGTGAGCTTGCGCGACTCATTGATTATGCACTGTTCCAGGCCGAAAGTAGGCGTGGAACCCTCCTTCATCACCTCCTTCATCAAAAACCCCGCGGTGTCGGCAAAGTCCCCAAGAAGGGCGACGCAGAGGTCCGTGCCTTGTACGCGAATCTCCATGCCCTCGCTATCCGCGACGAACGCTTGGCGGGGGGTGTCCTTGCAGTTCTCGATCTTGAGCGGAGCCCCACGGTGAATTCCATCAGCGACGGCGACGCACTTGTTAGGATACAACTCCATCTTGATTTTCGCTTCATGCTCGTAGAGCGCCGCGGACGCGCGGGGCGCCGAGGGCGTGACGACCGTCGCGGCCAGCGCGCCGAGGACAAACGAGGCAACGGCGGCGCCGATGACGAGGGCCTTGATGCTCTTGCCCTGGGGCTTGTCGGCGACAAGGGGCTCCTCGGAGGCGGGGATTGTCGAGTAGGTGGCCATTGTTTGTTGTTTAGTCTGCGTGGGAGTCGCAATTTGCAAAGTCGAAGGGCACGCGTTGGCTACAAGATGAAGTATGAAGGCCCGTACAAAAGACTCGACGCGACTACGTACGTTATTCAACTGTGACTACGTACGTTATTCAACTGTGGACGTGCCGAGCAAAAATCTGTGAAAATCGTGCGGGTTTAAACCCCGCACGAACATTCCAAAGCCCCGTCATAGGGGCATGAGGAAGAGTTACGGGGGCTACGACGCAGTTCAAGTGTGGATAAGCGCCGTAGAGCGGTAAAATGGAATAGCACAAACATCTTACTCTAGTTCATCAAACCGCCCCAAACAACACGCCTCATCATTCGCCCCCCAAAACTCCGACAGCGCCTCGCCAATCTCGACGACGGCGGCATCACTGCAAACGCCGAGCCCCGCCGCCGCCGGACCGTACGCGACGCGGCAGCCCGGCGCGCGCGGCGGCCCGTCCGGCCCGCGGCCCTCCGCAAATGTCGCCGCGCGGCCGACGACGCGCACGACGAGCTTGCCCGCGCAGCAGGCCGCGCCGTCGGCGGGCGCGCAGGCGCCGAGACCGAACATTCGGTCATACGCGGCGCGGACGGCCGCAGGCGCGACCGAACCACAAGCAAGGGCCTCGACGATATGAGAATCGAACAGGTCCGGCCGCCCGTCGTAGATACCCTCCCAAGCGTGATCGGCAACCTCCCTCGGGCTCCGGTGCTTCTCGCCGCGCCGCAGCGCCAGCGCCGCGCCGTGCTCGACGAGGTCTTCGGCGAAGGACGGCTTCATGACCTCCCTGCGAAACTCGCGCAGGAACGCGTCGACGCGGCCCGCGACGTAGTCCGGGTGCGCCTCCTTCGACGTCACGCAGATGCCAAAGCCCACGATCCCGTCGGTCCAGCGCGAGCCGCAGGACACGCTGTAGCCGAGCTGCTCCTTCGTGCGCAGCTGGTCGTAGAGCGGCTCGTCGATCACGGCCTCCAGCAGATCCGCTAACAACCGCGAAGCCGGCGAGTCCGGGCCGAGCTGCCAGTAGCACTCGAGCGCGCAGGCCCTGCCCTCGGCGTCCTCGCCCGCGGCGTCGACGTGGTACGCGTGGCACCGCGGGAGCCGGGCCACGGGGCCGCAGGTCCGCGCCGTGGCGACGGTCGACACGGTCCGCAGCGACGCGTCGACGGACCGCGCCGCGTCCGCCGCACCGTTGCCGCCCACCAGAGCACTCCGCGAGCAGCCGTCGAGAAAATTGCGGAGCCAGCGCTGGCACGCGACGGCGTCCACGCTTTGCAGCGCCGCGCGGCGCTGCGCCGGCGCGAACCGCCGCCCCGGCGCGAGGCAGCACAGGCGCAGGCGGCGCGCGTGGCGGTCCGCGTCGTGCCAGGCGTTCTCCAGGCTGAGCGCGACCTCGGACTTGGCCGCCGCGAAGGCGCGCGGTTCAACAACCTCGTCGGCGGCGCGCCGCACGCCCCGCAGCAGCGCGTCGAAGAGCGCCGGCACCTTCTCGTCGAAGCCGCCGCACTTGAGCGAGAGCGCGAGCGCGTCGGCGTCCAGCACCGCCGATATCGTGTAGTCGAGGCCGGCGACGGTCGCCGGGTAGAGGTCCTCGGCGACGGCGTCCGCGACGAGGGCACTTACTAATTGCAGCGTGGCGGCGTCCGTCACCGTTGGTTTTGATGACCCCGTGAGGCGCGCCCGCACGTAGAGCGTGGGCAGCTCGAAGCGATCGGGCCGCGGAAGGACCCAGACGTCTCCAATTAACGCGGGCGCCGCGTCCGTGGCGTCGGGCGCGGCCGGGAAGCCCTCGACGAGTTTTGATAGTGCGACGTCGGCGCTGCTGGGCTTGCCCTTGCGCTTTTTTTTTGCCGGGCCGCCGGCGCGGCGCCGCCACGCGTCCGCGAAGTCTTTGCAGGCCCGCGCCGCTCGTTCGGCGTCGGCTTCTTCCTCGTTTGATGGAGCGGGCCGCGCCTTCGTCGACCCGGGCTTTAACAGAGGCGCGTCGACCACAAAAGCGTTCGGCGCCGGCAGCCCGAGCGCGGGCCAGTCGTCGCACGCGGACCACGCCTCTATTAATGAAGGGGGCACCGGCGCCGTCCAGTGCTCGGTCCCGAAGCGCGGCTCAATTTGTGGAGACTCCGCGGGCCGCCGCGTCGCGAGGTGTGCAAACGGCGCCCACGTCGCCGGGACATCATTTGAGGCGGGCGGCGGCGGCGGTTTGGCCGGCATGAGCTTCGCCAGCGCGGCGTGGAAGCCCCCTCGTCCCGCGCACCGCGGGCAGCCCGGCGCGCACGGAACTTCCGGTGGGCATTCATCGCCCCGGAACGCGGCCGTCGAGAGCTCCACTCGACATTTTGTGGGATCGGCGAGGACCCGTAATACCTCAATCGCGTCGTCGTCGAAGGGCGCGAGCAGGCACCCGCCGGCCACTTCCAGGAGGTGCTCTCTATCTACACCGTCGTGGGCCAGCATCAGCGCCGCGAGGCCCTCGACGAGATCGTCTACTTCCCCATCTTCCTCGAAATCGAAGTTCAGTCGCTCGACCTTCCGCAGCTCCGCCGAGAGCCGCCCGAGCGTGTCGTCGCAAAGCTCCCTTAAACAAGCCCGCGCGTGCGCCAACACGCAGCCGACGACCTCGGCCCAGCGCGCCACGCCGGCTTCTGTTAAATCGACGGACACGGCGAAGAGGGCCCCGCACGCGACCGAGTCGGACACGCCGTCGCCGGACACGCCCGCCACGAGGCCCGCCGCGAGGCCGCTCCGGCGCAGCTGCGCGAGCGCGGACCTGGGCCCCTCGTGGCCGAGGCAGTGCGCCGCGAGGTCGCACGGCCGCGTCCGCCACTTGCGACGAATACTCGGGAGGGGCCACACCAACCTCAGGTCGCGCGCCGCGTCGCGGGCCGGCGCGACGCGCGCGAGCGCCGAAGCGCCGGCGGCGAAGGGCGGCGCGAGCGGCGCGGGCGGCGCGTCCCAGGACGTCCGGCGCCAGCGGCCCGCGGGACATGTTGAGGGGCTCGCGCGCACCTGTGTGGTTTGACTTTCTTTGTTTCGCGTTCCCTCACGCCATCGACGCGCCGTTTCCCCTGTGAATGTTCTACATGGCGGAACCTCTACGCCATCGCTCAGACACGGTTACAAGTGGCCACACCGGCGCAGACGTGCTTAAAGCTCTCGCGGCACCAGGCCTCCGTCTCGTCGAGCGCCGCCGGCGCCACGAGGCAGAGCTTCATGTTCGACGCGTGGTAGTGGTCTCTATACAACGCCTTGACGGCGGCGACGGCGCTCGCGTCGCCGTGGCGCAGACTTTCCGCGTGCCCCCAGGTGAAGGTGGCGAAGGGGTGGCCCGCGGGCGCGCCCGCGACGTAGAGCAACTCATCCAAACGCGCGGCGTCGTCTCTTCTGGTTTCGTTGAACTCGTTGTCGATGGCGTTCACCTCGCGCGCGACCATGTCCGGGTTGAAACTTGGTGAAACGAAGAACTGCGCGAAGATGTCCAAAGCTTCGCGGAACGCGCCGGGCAGCACGTCGAAGTAGTAGGACGTGTGCTCGACGTCCGTGTGCGCGTTCGACGAGCCGCCTCTTTTCGCCAAGAAGCCGTCGTAGGCGTTCTCGGCGGGGTACTTCTTCGAGCCCAGGAACAGCAAATGCTCCAAAAAGTGCGCCGCGCCCGGCGTGTCCTCCGGGTCCGCCCACGAGCCGACGCCGACGACCACCGCGCACGCCGCCCTTTGGGTCTCGTCGTCTCCGTCGTCGCTGCTGTCGTCGCTGCCGGTCTCGCTCTCTTCGATCTCGTCCTCTTCCTCCGTGGGCGGCTCGTGGATGAGGAGGCACTCGAGGCCGTTGTCGAGCGTGATGAGACGGTACTGTTTTTTGTCGGAGGTGCCGACGTTGAGTTGCATGATGCTGTGCGGCAGCGAGTGGTCAACAGGATGCAATATGAGTGTAACCAGGTTGCCAGGCTGTGGTGCAGCGATTGCGATGGATGCGGGCGCTGTCGTACAGATGCACTTGCGAGCTGTACGCGAGTATTTGTGATTTTGCAGCGTTTTTTGCGGAGCCAAATTGCGCGCTAGTGTCTTTACAGACGCTAGTAATCGCGGGGGTCGCAAACGCAGGCCGTCCTGAGTGTCCCAATAGGCTCCTGTGCCTGGTTTTAATCAAGTGCGTGCACAGTTCCATCTCTCGCAGCGCCAACTTTTCCCCTCGCGCCCTAGCTCTGCTGGCGAGCAACACACTCGGGTCTGCGACTCGCGTCTGCGACTATCCCACGAGATCTCCCAAAGCAATGCCGCGAGTGAAACGAAAAGCCGGTTCCGGCACTGCCACGCGGCGCCCGCGCCGCTTCGGCACGGAGTCGACCGGCATCGCGTCGGCCGCGCGGCCGATGCAGGAGGAACCCCAGGGCGGGCGGGGGCTACGATGCTGCGACGATCCTGACTGCGACGATCCGTCGATGGGCGGGGGCTACTTCGCGGTCTACCAGCCCAAGGACGGCGTCGAGGTGTTTACCGGTATCGTCGCGGTGTCCGCCGCGATCATGCAGACGCCCTGGCAGCAACCGCCCCTCAACATGCCCGTATCCTACTTCATGCTTCGCGACCCGAATGATGATCCCATAAGCGGCGAGAAGGAGCTGATGGACCCGGGCTGGTTCATGCGTGAGATGTCGCAGTACGACGGCCCCGGCCCGCGGCTACCGGGCTAGGAATTGGGTTTAGGCATCTTAAGGAAAATATAGATTGTGCTCCTCATCATATTCACTGCTACAACCGGTCTACGTTCGCACACAAAACCCGTACCGCAAATTTCTCGCATCGCGCGGCGCCTCCAATGCGCGGCAGCATGACAACTCCACAGTAGTTGCAACGATGCGATGCGTGTGGGCAGCGCTCGTGGCCGCAGCGTGCGCGGCGGCCCAGAACGAAGCCGTCGCGGCGCTGGTGGCCAAGTACAAAAAAAGCGCCGGGGGCAGCCCCGCGGCGCCCACGCCCGCGAGGCAGCCCGAAGCCGCGCCGCGCGACGTCGCGGCGGCGCCTGCGAGGCAGCCCGTCGCGGGGCGAGCGGCGACTAACGACGCTGCGAACCTAAACGACGTAGTCGGGCTCTTCGCGTGGCCGAAAAAACCGCGCACCGTTTGGGCCGCCGCGAAGGCCGCGATCACGGGGCAGCCCGACGCACCGCGCACCTTCCACGCCCGCCGGCCGAGCGCGCCCGCGCCTTCTACAAATATAAACGACGACGTCGACGCCTACTTCAAAAAATGGCGCCGCGTCGTGCCGCACTGCGCGCCGCTCATGCAGGGCAGCTGCGTCTACGTCGCGCCGAACGGCGGTATCGTGCACGCGCGCGACATGAGCCTGGCCAAGAACGCCGGGAGCTCCAAACAGATGCTCGCCGACTTACAGTTAAGAGCGGTCTCGGCCTCGCTCCAAAGTGTACTACCAGAGGACCGCTGGGTCAGCTGGAACATGGTCTACACCGCGGCGGGCCCGACGAAGCCGCGGCCCTGGCCGACCTTCGCCATCGGCAAGCGCGAGCCGCACCGGCCCGGGTTACTCATGCCGAACCCCTTCTTCGGCGCGCCGTCGTGGTGGGCGCGCCACAATTTACTGCAAATTGCGGCGTCCCAGAAGCGGAGCTGGGCCACGCGACTGAAAAAGGTGCTCTATAGAGGCGCGTGCGGCCCGGGCGCGCGCGCGCGGCTCGAGCTCATGAACCTCGCCGAGTCGAGCAATTTATTAGATGTGGGCTTCACGGGCGTCGACGGCTTTCCCTCCATCCAGTCTTGTGTGGATGCGCTCGCCAAGAAGCACGAGATACGGGCGGCGCCGTCCGCTTCTCGGCGGGCGCCGCACGTCGCGCAGACGAACTACTCGCAGTATAGGTATTTGCTGCACCTGCCGGGAGCGGCCACCGGATCTTACAGTAGGAACCTCCAGTACCTCTGGACGCAGGGCTCTATCGTCTTAGTGTGGAACCAGACCGCTACCGAATTTTACTACCGCCACCTGCAAAACGACGTGCACTACGTCGTCGTCGACGCGGCCACGATCGTTCAAACGGTGGAGGCCATCGAGGCGGACCCGGCGCGCCAGGAGCGGTTAAGGCGGGGCGCGCGCGCGTTCTACGACGCGCATTTGGCGGCGCCGCGCTTGATCGATCGGTGGCGCGCCGTGCTCGAGGCGCTCGCGCTGCGGCAGGACGTGGAGCCCTGTGTGGAAATCAACCAGTGAGTTAGGATTTGAGCCTCCACGCCATCGAGCTGCCACAGTTACGGGGACGACGGCGCGTCGATGGCGTGTGCCTCCACGCCATCGGGCAGGTGCTGTTCCGGGGACGACGTCGCGTCGATGGCGTGGGACGCCCGAAATTTGATTTCCACACAGGTCGAGCCGCCGAAGATCGACAACTCGTCCGCGTGCACCTGCGACCACCGGCTAGCTACCCGGTACCGTGCCTGCTCGACGTGCCTGCACCTCGAGGACACGGAGATGGCCTACTTCATGGGCATTCTCAAAAAGCCGAAGCGGCCACGGGCGCCGGACCCGGACGACGTCGTGGGCCTCGCGCGCGACATCCTCGCCGCGAAGACCCTTGAGGCCGCGAGGGCTGTGGCGCGGGCGTTCGTCGGGCAGAATTAATTTACTTTCTAGTGACAACACAAAACAAACGTCGGCCGGGTGGCTAGGCAGCCTAGCTCTGAGCGAAGCAACATCATCGCTCGAAGACGCCGAGCGACACGATCTTCAGGCCGGCGCCGAGCGGGAATGCGCTGAGCTCCTCGGCCGAGACTGCAACCGGTTCGAAGCGCCCCACGCCACCAAGCTCGTCCAGGAACGCTCGTCGCCCGTCGGGTCGCCCCGGGTCGACCACGATGCACGCGCCGCGCGAGGCGCGGACGACCCGGGCCGTCGCCCGAGCAATGGCCTCCTCGTACAACGTATCTGCCGCGACGACGACGTCAAAATCTCCGAGCGCGGCGACGGCGTCGGCATCGGTGAAATCAAGCCGTTGCACGTCGAAAGCACCATCCGCCGCGCGCCGCAGTAGCTCGAGGGAGATGTCGGACACGTCCGTCGCGACGACGTCGGCACCGAGCCTCGCGGCGGCCGCCGACGCCAGGCCCGTGCCCGCGCCGAGTTCGAGGACGCGGAGCCCCGCCACGTCGCGTGCCGCGAGCGCGCGCGCCGCGACGACGGCCGACGGCCAGCAGCACGCGCCGAAGGGATCGCTGTCGGTCTCGATCGCGGCGTCGAGCGCCGCGTCTTGCGACTCCGCCTCGTAGATGCGCACGGGTGCAGTGATGCCTGCTATTTGCACGTCTCGCGGGCGGACGGCTATCGCGTGTGCATGTGCAGTGCTGCATGAGAGCAGGAGCAACACGCATAGCATGGCTGCCACTCTGCACGCTCGACACCTAGCACGGACCTTGCAACGCGGGAAACCCGCGCCGTGCCCAATCTGGTGATCGATGCGCCTGTAACCGTGTGCTCAAAGTGATTTATAAAGGCGAATTCGTGGTAGGGGAGGGGAGGCTGGAAAAACCGCTTGGCTTGCTAGTGTGTTACAGCGCTAGCTGCGCACTCTTCGCCGCGTGGCTTTGCCATCAGTGGAAAAGTCGAACCAAGGGGAAAACCACAGCGAATATTTACTCGGCCGGCGCGACCGTCTCGGCCGGCGGCGGAGCGCTCTCGGCCGCGAGGCGCGCGTCCAACGCGGCCAACCTGGCATCCTCGTCGCGCTGGCGCGCCTCGGCGTCGAGGACGTTCTGGTTCTTCGAGCGCATCGACGTCCGCTTCGCGGCCTCGTTGAACTTGCCCAGGTTGAACGAGTACGCGTAGGGCACGCCGTAGTCGCGCATCTTCGCGGCGAGCTTGTATGAGCCCGACTTGTCGTCGACGACCTTGATCGAGCGCAGGGAGCCGTCGGAGAGCGTCGCGACGGCCACGTCGCCGTTCGCCGACAGGAACTCGACCTTGGCCACGCCGCCGAGGCGCGCCTTCTTCACGAGGTCATCATATTCGATCGGCGCCGCGTCGTCGGGCACGGACGGCCGCTCGACGGCGATGTTGGCGATGGGGTTGATCTCGACCTGGGGCAGCGCCGGCAGTGCCGGCAGGCCGGGGACGCCGGGCAGCGACGGCAGCGACGGCGCCGAAAGTTTCGGCAGCGACAGGCCCGGGGCCTCCGCCGGCACGGCCGGGGCGTCCGGTGCCACGGGGAACGAGGGCAGAGACGGCAGCGAGGGCGCCGGGAGCGACGGTAGTTTCGGCGGCGAGGGCAGCGTAAAAAGAGGGCCGTCGTCGCGCTTCGGCGCCGCGGCGTCGTTCCCGCCGAGCCCGCCCCAGATGGCGCCCGGCCCGGCGACGGAGGGCAGGTTAGACGGCGACGGCAGCGAGAACGGCAGGGACTCCGCCGGCGCGGCGGCGTCGTCCGCCGGCGCCGCTGCCGGTGGCGCGGCGTCTTCGTCCTTGGGAGTTGGCGTCGCTAAGGCTTCGGCCCGCCGCCGCGCCTCGACGGCGCGCGTGTCCTCGGCCGGCGGCGCGGGCTCCTCCTTGGGCAAGACGGGAAACGAGGGCAAAGACGGCGACGTCCCGGGCGCGAAGAGCGGCGGCAGGGGCGGCAGGTCGAGGCCCCGGACGATGTCGCCGCCCCCCTTGGCCGGGGCGTCCGGTGCCGCTGGGAACGAGGGCAACGAGGGCAACGAGGGCGTCGGCAGGGATGGCATCGACGGCATCGATGGCATACCCATTGACGGCATCGACGGCATCGATGGCGTCGGCAGAGACGGCAAGGACGGGAGACCAAAGCCTCCAGCGTTTGCTGCAGGCGGCGGCGGCTCGGGCGCGACGGAGAACTCGAGCGCAAACGCCGGTCCACCAGTAGCGACTGCGGCGACCGCGGCCGCATTGCCGAGGTGCCGTCGCACCGCTCGCTGCAGCAGTCTGGAATTCATCTCAAGCGAGGCTGCTGGCGCAAGCACAGCACAGATCAATGCGCTGTGGCGCACCATGGTGATCGATCGAGCTGCCCAGTGATAGATGAGATAAATGACTGCAAGCTGTGGCAATTAGAGGATTTTACAGCAGTGAACTGGAAGACTGATGCTGCTTGACCAAGAGGATAATAAAAGCAGCCTAGCGTGGTGTAACCACACTAGACACCTCAAAAGGAAGTTGGCACCGTCTATCCTCCGATCACAGGCATATATTCGAGCTCTAGAGCCCTCGGATTCCTGAAGCTCTCTGTGGGCTCTGTGGGCTTGGCTGTAGCGCCAAGCCTCCCAGCTCGCAGAGCGGCGCGCGACGCGCGGCGTGACAGGTCCTTTGCACTGCGCGACAGCTTTTCGGAGGCCACAAGGCTGCCCGCGCCGCGACCTGTTGGATTGCGTAGCGACGAGACGAGCAGGGCAGCGTGAGACACACGAGCAGGGCAGCGCGAGAGACACAGGAGCAAAAACGATGCAGAGCACATTAAAAGAGCCCGACTGGGTCGGCGAGGACGCGCTCGCCATGAAGCGCGAAGCCACCGAAGCCCGCAAGGCCAGGTTCACGCGGCGCGTGCGCGTGCCGTCGCCCGACGAGCGCATCAAGACGCGCCGCGACGCCTACGCCGGACACTTGAGGAGGCGGACGGCGGGCGGCCCGTCGCCCGTGCGGCAGACTTTGAGGTTTGCGGCGGAGTCCGCCATGCGAAAAGACCGGGGCGGCGCCTACCCTGAACTACGCAGTACCCTAGAATACAAGGGTTTGAGTGATGAGCAGGTGATGAAGCGGGGGACGAATATCGTGCCGGGCGCCGACGTCGACACGTGGGACTTTTTCGCGCGCAACGAGACGCCGCCGCTCCGACCGGTCAGCCCCTGGCCGCGGCCGCCCCCGCGCGCGTCGACGGCGCGGACCTGCAAGCGCCCCAAACCAGAAGTCTGGCGGCCGACGACGGCCTACGGCACGCTCGACGGGACGCTATCAAGAAGGCCGGGCATCCTCGACGACGATAGTACGAGGAGGGACTTTGAAATCGTAAGACCGTGGACGCCGTTCCCCGAGCCCGACGCCACGACCGTCGAGGAGGCGTTGTATCTCTGGACGCAGTCCGACTCGCCGGACCTCGTCGAGTTCCTCGACCGCATCAAGCCCCCGACGCCGCGCATGCGGCGGCTGAAGACGGCGCCGGAGAAGCTCGCGCCGGCGCCCGCCGCCGCGCCGGCGCCGGCGCCGGCCTGGGAGCTCCCCGACTTCGACGCCGACAAGGCCTTTCGCCAGCTGCTCAGCGACAACCAGAAGCGGCGCGTCCTCACGGCCATCGAGGACGACCCCGACGCGTTTGATGAGGCGGTGGTCGCGGAGCTCCGGGCCCAGCACGCTCCCAAAATTGTCGAGGCCGCGGCGCCCGGCGCGCGCGGCCGGAGCGCGCCCTCCAAGTTCCGCGACCGGCCGCGCGCCCACCTGAACACGCGATGGAACCCGCACTACACGCCGGAATTTGCGAGAACGCTGCAGGAGGACTGGCGCGCGCGGGACGAAGCGCGGGGCGTCGAGGCGCGCCGCCGCAAGCGCGAGTTGATAGAAGCGAGCGACTGGGGCGTGCGCCTGGCGGCCGTCGAACGGGAAAAGGCCCTCGCAGCAAGAGAGGAGCGCCGGCGGCGGCGCCTGGAACGCCGCCAAAAGCCGTTCCTCGTCTTCGCCGCGGGCGTCCTCTACGCGGCCGCGCTCCGGCGGAAGTTCTGGCTGTTGAAAGCAACGGACGACGCGTCGAAGCGGCGGCACGAGGCGGCGCTGAAGATCGCCCGGAAGTGGCGGAACCACTTCGTGTGGGACCGCGGGCCCTGGCTGCGGCGGTGCCTCGCGCACGGCTGGCGGCTGCGCTACGTCGTGCGCAAGCAGCGCGTGCGCAACGCCGCGCGGCGCCTGAAGACGCACTTGCGCGAGGTCCGGGCGCAGCGCGTGACGCCGGGCTTCGCGGTCAAGAGGTTCCTGTGGGCGACGAATCGCGTGCAAACGGCCATACGCGCGTTCGTGGCGTGCTGGGCCGCGCGGCGCCAGGTCTGTCGATTGCGGTGGCCCGCGCTCGAGGCGTCAGCAAGGCGGCGCCTCGCGGACCGCGCGCTCGAGCGCCAGAAGTTGGAATGCCGGCGGCAGATCGACGTCGCGATCCGCAAGAGCGTCGCGCGCAAGCGGGCTTCCCATAAACCGCCGTCGCACCGCAAGAAGCCCGCGGCGACCTTCGCGACGAAGCGCCAGCTGCGCGCGCACGCGAAGCAGATGCGGGGCTCGGCCCAGTGCTTCGCGCGCATGGACGCGCTCTGGGCCGTCCAGGAGGTCAACCGGCGCGCTCCCAAAAAGAAGCTGCCGGTCATCGAATCGGTGGTACGGGAGGAGTGCGCGTGCAACAACGTCGACGCCTCGCTGTTGTATGTGCTGAGCAAGAAGGAGATCAACTCTGCCATAGACACGGCCCTCAAGAAGAAGCGCCGCTGCCACGTGCGCAACGTGCGCACGCTGAAGGCCGAACGGCGCATGCCCAAGGGGCCGGACCCCAAGGCGTTGCTGAACGACGCGGTCGAGGCGCCGGTCGAGGATGATGGGGGCGAGTTCGTCTGGCCGACGATGCGGCTGTACACGGGCGACGACCTCGGCGACTCGTGGGATCTTGTCGTGGAGGGCCTGGTCGAGAAGGACCTGCGGGCGCGGCGGCGGCAGCTGGCGCGGCGGCTCTCGTCGTTGCCCGACGAGCACCACATCGACCGGGTGGCCACGGCGCTGCTCGACGACGACTCGTTCCTCGGCGACGAAGTGACCCTGGACGCAGACTGGAGCGGCAACGACGAGGACTCGTCGTGGACGGGCCTCACGCACTCCTCGCTGAACACGGCGGAGGCCGAAGCCAATCCGGATTTGGTAGCGAATACGGACCCGTAGTAGCGAATACTTAAAATAGTGGGTGAATTTCATTCGTCCTCGAGGGACGTCGACCCGCTCGAGGGCCGCCCCATCGGCGGCGTCGCGCCGAGCGCCTGGGCCGGCGGCAGCGTCGACGGCGCGAAGGGGTCCGTGTGCTGGCGCCGCGGCGGAGAAGCGCGCGGCGGCGGCGGCGGCGAGCCCGCGAGCGCGGCCGCGAGCGCCTCGAGCTTCGCGGCCGCGTCCGCGGATAATGAGGTCGGCCGCGCCAGAACGCCGGCGAGCCGCTCGACCACAAACGCCGCCTGGCGGCGCAGCGCGCCGCCCTCGTCGCTCGACGAGTCGCCGAAGGCGGACGCCGTCTCCTCGGGCGCCTCCGCGGTCTCCTCCACAATCACCGGCGGCTTGCCCGACTCGCCCAGCGCTTCTTTGGTGAGCCGCTTCCTGATACTCATGATGAGGGCCACCTTCAGCCGCATCCACCTCCCATAATTGTGGATGTGGTGGCTGAATACCCTAAAGGACGGCTTCTGGAGAATCGTGTGCAGCTCCTCCGCGTCGAGTCGCAACAAGTGCGTCACGCGGACGGCCCGCGCCGTGTAGTGTCGCAATAACGGCTTGAACTCCTCGCCCGTCGCCACGACCATGCTGATGTCGTCCCCGAAGAAGTCGTTCGTGTGCCTATTTTCCACATCATAGAGTAGATGCGACTTCCTTCCACTCAACCTAACCTGACCACTCCGAATAACGTACAGCGCGTCGTTCATCGACAGGTAGCGGTGGATGATCGTATCTTTGGCGAGGTGTAAGGTCGAATGTAAGAGCTTGGCGATTTGCACGGTGAACTCCGCGTACTCGTAATGCAACAAGAAATTCCTATCCATGGTCCCGGCGGCCTTACCGGACGTGTTCCCACAGACCCGCGCCACGCGCGCGTTGTCCACCTCGTACTCGCGCTGCGGCTCCTCGCCGTCCTCGTACATGACGTCGTAGTACAGGTAGCGCGGGATGGCGACGACTCTCGCTAATCGAGTTCGAGCGGCCTTTTTTCGTCTCCTTTTGGTGGTGCGCTCGTCGCCGCCGACCATGACGTCGTGCACGTCCGGCTTCCAGTTCGGCGCATGTACGGTGACGACCGTTCCTACGCGAACGCCGCAGGCCGCTTGCACCGTGTACGCGACGAAGGGGATTCTTGAAACTACATCTCCAAAGTTTTGATTGGCCACGAACGCCTGCAACGACGGGGACAATTCCTCGATGACGCCCTTGTAGTAGTTGTCCCGGAAGATCTCCTCGCTCTCCATGATGTACTCCCTTAGCTTGCTCCGCAACTTCTCGGGGAAGTTGCCCTTCTCCATGTAGTCGTTGAGATTGTCTAACCGCATCCGGAAGTCGTTCGTCACTGGATCCAAGTTCGACACCGTGTTCGTCAGCTCTCCCACCAAGAAGGCTAGAGCGAAGCACCCGATGAGCATCAATGCTAAGGATAGAATATACTCGACGTCCGTATAGACGTTATATTCACCGTTCATCGTCGCGAAGGCCCACAAGCAGCATAGTATATATTCGCCCCAGATCCGCCTCCCCCGAGGTACGCTGCTATCGAGCTGGCCCATGCGGTCCTCACTCAACACCGTCGTCTGCGAGCTCCCGTAGGCCGCGTGGCCCAGCCGCAGGAAGCAGGCGGCCCAGTGGATGCAGAATAAGAGCAAGAGGACGTACCTCGCTAGCACCAGCCGCTTCGTGGAGACGGCGACGTGCTTCGCCATGTGCGAGAGCATGCGAAACGACCGAATAACCCTAAGTAATTTCAGGCCCTTGAACGCCCTCACAACTCGCATCCACTTCCCTTCTTTGCTCAAAAACAGCGCGAAGGGGAAGATCGAACAAATGTCCACCCAGAACCAAAACTGCAAGTATTGGGACGCGATCTTCTTCCGGTCCAAGATCCACTCCCCCGTGTCCTCGTTCTGGAAGGCCGTGTTGAACTCCAGGCATATGTCGAACGCGAAGAAGACGTCGACCAAATAGTTCACGACCTGCATGCCCGTCGTGTCGACCGAGAACGCGATCTCGAAGGGGACCACAATAATGACATAGATAATCAAAATAAGGACGAAGATGTTCCACCGAATTCTCCACTTCGCGTAGGGGTCCATGACGTGGCACGTCGTATGATCATTATGTAACTTGTCCTCGGAGTCCTCCTTGCGGTGGTCCACATACGTCTGGTAGGACGGGGATTTGGGTTTAGAATTCCAGGGGTTCGGCAGGCCGTGCGGCGCATGTAATAATCTCGCGGAGTTGTCGGCGCGCGTCGGTCGGATCTTTTCTTCCTGGGGGATCTTCGGCGGCCGTCCGACCGGAGAGACGTGGCCGGCCCTTCCCCGCAACTGGTCGTGCGTGAAGTTCGCTATCGAAATCAAAGCCTCGGAGCTCGACTTGCCGAGCTTCTTCATCGAATGGGTCGGGCTCGCCGCGCCTCGGCCATCCTTCTCCTCTCCTGATGATCTTTTCGCGTTGCCCACGCCGACGCGGCCGGGCCGGTTGAGCAGCGAGGGGCTGATGGGCATGCTGGCTGTTTCAGCTTTGGCTGTGGGGGCAGCCCCGCGGCCGCTGCCCGCGCGCGAGCGCTATGTATCGGATGACTGCCGCTACGAGAGCTTGGCAATGGGTGCCACCGCCGCTGCGCTGGGCCACACGCAATTGCAATCGATGTCCTCGATTGCCGCCACAGCGAGAGTGCGGGCTCCCCACGTACCTCCGTTGAGCGTAAGGGTTACGCCGCGCCCGCGACCCCGCCGGACGCGTCGGACTAGATGCCGCCTGCCTCGCATCGTCGAGGCGCACGCGCGCCCATCTCCCGCGGGCTGGCTTGACCGCCCCCTTCATTGGCGTGAGACGCTTCTGCCGGCCCATCGTGTACAAATAACAAATAGACCACACAACTACGGATTTACGCGCGCGCAATCCCACGCGCCGTCCGCGAGACGGTCGAGCTGCCGGAAGTTGTCCGTCAATCTCAAATAATCGACGGCGTCGGGCGCGACCAGCCCCAGCAGGAACACGTCGGGCGCCGGGAGCATCTTGCCCTCCGCGTCGCGGCCGCCCGCGGGCACGGCCTCCGGCGCGGCGTCGAAGGTCTCGGCAGGGGGGTGCGCCCAGAAGAACTGCTCGCGCGCCTTGTCCGACAGGTTGCCCCACTGCTGCTTGCGCAGGGCGGCGTCTTCCTCAAGTCCGTCGCCCCCGACGTAGGTAATGTCGCCGGCGAAGCGATACTGCTCCGACGACTGGCTGAACCACCAGCAGACCTCGACGCGCCGCGATTCCTTGACCTTGGCGGACCGGTTATCCGTGATGATCTTGAGGCGGCCGTCGGGCGCGAAGCCCCGAAACACGACCGTGCGGCAGCGGGGCGCGTTATTGGCATCGACGGTCGCGAGCTGCACGTAGTTGCCGCCCCTGATCTTGCGCGACCGCGCGATGGAGTCGGTGATGCGCTCGCGCCACGGCACGACGCCGTCCATCGCACTCATGCTCACGGTTTGCACCCGCGTGGCGCGATGGAGGGCCGTCGTCGCGCGGAAGGCCGCCAGCGTCGTCAGCCTTACGAACTGGCGCGTGAGGATGCGGGGCATCCGCTACGTCGCTGAGCAGTATGCTGTGCAGTCTCACACTGCGGAGGGACGCAACACGCAAGTGCACCACCGCAGCAGTGGAGAGGATGAACAAGTGCAGAGCGGTGCACGAAGCCGACTGCAACTGGCTCGCACCAACGCAGAGCAGCAATTACACTACTTCGCAGTTCTCTTTTGCCGTGCAGTGCAGCGATGCGCGAGCACTGGACGCCAGCTGAGCAGCTACTGCACGCTGGCAAGAGGCACTAGCTTTTTTTGAATGCGTCGTGGTACCCGTAACAACGGCTCCAGAAAGAGGCATCGGACGCTGAACCGCCTGGAGGACCAGCGCCGGGAGGCAGGCCAGAGAGACAGCGCCGAGCACAGAGGCAGCCCCAAAGTCCAAAGCCGCGAAAGCCATGGCCGGCGCGGCCGCGGAGCCCGTGCGCGGCATGCGCGTCGTCACCGAGCAGTACGAGAAGCTCGAGCACGTCGTGGGCAGCCTCAATAGTAAGACACGAGACCTACTCCTCAGAGAGAGGAAGGAGTTCCTCGCGGCCTATAGAGCTCACTCCTTCCGCATCCAGGACGAGCTCCAGGAGCTCCGAGCCAAGGTCCAGGCCGAACAGTCTTCAACAAAGAAGGACGAGAAGGTCCGGCGGCTGAAAGAGGACTGTGACTGGTTTAGAAGGGAGGCCTTAAGGTTGGACGAGGAGGGCACGAAGATGACCCAGGAATTGCACAAGCTGAAGACGCAGCTCGACGATTCGGAGCGAGATCGGAGTTGGTTGTTGAATGAATTGGCGAGGACACAAACGACCACGGAACTACTTGCTGTCAAGATCGCGGACGCCGAAGCCCAAAGGAATGCGCCGCCGACCCCGGAACCGGAGGACGATGGCGAAGATGATGATAGCGCGCCTGTCGTCGTCTTGTCGCCGCGCGAGCGGCTTCGGAGGGACCGGGAGGAGAAGGCCGAGATCGCCAAGCGACGGAAACAGAAGGTCCAGGTGGCCCACCAGGTCGCGGACCGGATCAAGGAGTGCGAGCGCTACGAGAGGCAGATCGCCGAGGAACGCGACCGCGTCCGGCCGCCGACGGAGGAGAGTCGATTACTGCAGACGGAGTTCCTCGAGGCGGTGCTCGCGGTTTCACGCGAGAAGGACGTGCGCCTAGGTATTGATGATCGAACGTCCGGCGCGCCCGCCGCGGACCCCGAGACGGGCGAGCCGGACGTGTCGCTCATCGAGCCGATCGAGCTCGATCGGTGGACATCTATAGAGCGGAGGGATGTGATGAGCCGCTTCCTGGCCATGCCGACGGCGGCCGCGGCGATGGAGCGCATAGATCCCGCGCCCGAGCCCGAGCCCGAGCCGGCGCCAGCGCCGGCGCCATCCGATGAGTTGAAAAAGGTCATGAAATTCTTTGGGTAACGACACACAACATAGTTAGATTAATTCTTCCCGACTTGCTGCCAGACTGAGGCGACGAGCGAGTCGAACGCGTCCGGATCGGTGCGCGCCACATGAAGCATCGACGCATGCAGGTCCGCGTGGGCGTCCGGCGCGGGCCGCTTGGCGTCGGGCAGCTCTTCGCCGTCGCGGCCGCGCTTTTCGCCGGACGGCTCCGGCGCGGCGGCGCCCCCCGTCATCCAGGCCGGCAGGTTGCTCACGCCGCGGCCGCGACCCGCGAGGACCGGCGCCGCGCCGCCGTTCAGCACGGCAGGCGGCGGCGCGGGTTCCGGCTCCGGCTCCGGCGCGGCCGGTTCCGCGGGCGTCGGAACGCCCCCGGTCATCCACGCGGGCAGGTTCGAGACGCCGCGCCCGCGGCCGTTGAGCGCGGGCGCCGCGCCGTTGTTCACGACGGCCGCGGCCTGGGCCTGCGCCTCGGCCTCGTCCTCGGACTCCGCCGCGGCCTCGGCGCGCACCGCGCTCAGGAGCGAGTCGGCGTCGGCCAGCAGCTTGCGCTTCTTCTTCTGGTCCTCGCGCTCCTCGTCGCGCTTCCGTTTGGCTTCGGCGTCGGCCGCCCGGAGCGCGGCGCCCTTGGCCGTCGCGCGGTCGATGGCCGCGGCAGACGCGACGGCGCCGTGCTCCCGCATAGCGCTCGCGACGTCGTCCGCCGTGTCCGCGGCGTCGAGCGCGGCGTCGGCCTGGAACGCGCCCACGACGCGCCGGTCGTCCGACGTAGTTAAGCGGCCGGAGAGCTTTACGAAGCGCCGCTCGTCTTCTAGCGCCCCGAGAAGCCGAAGAATATCGCGGACGCGCGCGTCGGCGAAGGTGACGTTCGCGCGTCCCAGAGCCAGCTCCTCGGCCGCCGGCGCGTAGTCGTCGGCGTCGCCCGCAACGAGCAGTTGCGCGCCGTCCACGCCGCGCACCCGGCCCCAGAGAGCGTGGAGCTGCGACGACGCGGAACGCCCGTTCGGCGCCGTGAGCTCGCGCTTCAGGCCGCCGCGCCGATACACGCCCGGCGCGTTTTCGGAAGCGTCCCCAAGTAATTTTAATACAAGAGCGAAGCGGGTCGACGCCTCGTCCAAGCGGGACACAGTACCTGTAGCCGTGGTCCGCAAGGGCCACTTCGACAGCCGCGGCAGCCCGAGCGCATCGGCGACGGAAGCCGCCCGCCGCCGATCGCGTTCGAACAGCGCCAGCGGCAGATAGCCAAGCGAGGCCCGGAGGCAGTGGCGCCGTGCGCCATCGCGCCCATCATCGTCAACTACGATCGCGTCGCTGCCACGCAGCCAGACCAATGCACCGGTGCCGTCCAGCTTGCGGCAAGGTAGTTTGGCGTCGAGGCCGCGCCGCGCGGCCGCGGCAGTGGCCTCCGAGAGCGCGTCGAGTTCGGGCACGGCGAGCCGCTCCGGCGCCGCGTCGCCCAGACGCCGCAGGTACCGCAGGGCGTGGTCGCGCGACGCCGCCGGCGCGAGGCGCAAGAGCGTCCCCAGCGCCTCGGCCACCGCCGCGAGTGGCCCGTGCTTGACGTCCGCGAGGAAGCCGACGCTCACGAGCGCGCGCGTCAAATCGTCGGGCTCCCCCGCGACGACGACGCAGCGGTCGAGCGGCAGCGCGGCCGAGCCGGACGGCAGCGCCTTGTGGCTCCGCCGCGCGGCGCTCGCCAGGTCGCGCGCGCCCTGCCGGTCGAGCTCCGAGGCGCCGCGGCCGACGCGGAGCCACGCCGCGGTAAGGGCATCGACGTCCGGCGCATCAGTTTTCATCAGCTCCAGGAGCGCGTCCAAAGGCGGCGGCGGCGCCTCGGAGCCCCACGCGAGGCGCGACGCCCAGGGCGACGTCGACGAGCAGAGCGCCCGGCGTATGAGCGAATCGTCGCTCCCAAAGTCCACCAGAGGGCGCCGTCCGTCCTCCTCCTTCTTCAGCGCCACGTGGCTCGGCCGCTCGACGCATGCAGGTCCGCCCGGCCACGCGCTCGGCACCCAGCGTTTTCGCGAGAGCTCGTCGACCCATGCGGCGGGCCCCAGATCCACCGCGCACGCGGCCGCCTGGCCAGGCGGCAGCCAGTAGAGCCGCCGCCGTAACGGCGCCGCGTCCCGTGGCGAAATGCCATCGCTCAAACTTGAGTCCGGGGCTTTCGAATCGCCGAAGGTGCGTCGCGCGGCAGGGACCGTCTTCGCCGAGGGCACGTCCACGCTTTCTACCGTCCTCCGTGCCAGCGCTTTGGCGAAGGCTCTAGCTGCGTCGGCGTCGCTTGGCGTGACGCCCCAAGCGCGGGCGAGGCGGCAGTCCACGACGTACGCGTACCGCTTGTCCATCTCATTCAGTAGGCCGTAGGGCAGGGGCACGGCCGTGGAAGGCGCCGACTTGCGAAATTTTACTTCCCGCAGATGGGGCCTCGCGTCGGCGTCGGCGACGGCCTGCTGGATTAATTGCGAAGCTTTCCTTGAGTCTATTCGCGAAACAGTCGCCTCGACGCGGACCTGTCCATCGCACGCGCCCGCGGACCGCCACAGGTCGGCCCAGCTCCGTTGCGAGCCCCCCTGTTCCAGGTAGACCTCGGACACGCGGCGCTGCGCGGGCGCGGCCACGGCCGAGACGTCGTCGCCGTAGGCCGCGCCGAGCGACAGCGTATGTATGTGCTTGGGCTCGCGGCGGTCGTCGAGCGCCATGGATAGGGCCTCGGGCTTCCGCGCGTCCTTCGCCCAGGCGGCCAGCGCGACGAAGAGCGCAGCGTCCCCCGACCCCCAGCCCTTCTGGGCCGCGTGCGCCGCGCGCGCGACCGTCACGACCTTGTCGCGGCCCTTGCGGAGCGCCGCGAGGAAGCCCTGGGCGCTGCGAGACAGGGGCGACGCCATGGCGCCCTGGTGCGCCAGGCGCGGCGCGTCTTTCCCATTGCCGTCGACGGCCTTCGACGCCGCGGCCTCGAGCGCGCCCCGCAGCGCCTCCGGCAGGGACGCGACGTCGTCGTCGAGGAAGCGGCAGCGGCCCGGCGCGACGACCTCCGTCGACGCCGAAAGCACGCACGGCCAGCCCTCGTCGAGGTCGGGCGTCGCGGCCGCGGCCTCGAGGAGCGCCGCGCCGACGCTCGACGCATCAACGCCACAGGCGCCGACGAGCCGCGCGTCGACGCGGACGCCGCGCCGCGGCGCCGGCGCCGCGACGACGCCGGCCCACGTCCCTTTGTCCGCGAACGCGTCGCCCAACAAATGCGTCGCGAGCGGCGCGCCCCCGAACAGCTCCCTGAGCACGGGCGCCGGCACCCGCTCGGCGAAGGCCGGCGGCACCCAGCGCGCCTCGCGCGCCGTTCTGAACGTGCCGAGCGGCAAGCACGGCAGGAGCGACTCGCGCCGCAGGGCGCCGTCGAGCGCGTGCAGCGAGACAGAGGCTCCAGCGACCGTCGTCGACAGCTTGCCGTCGGCGTCGCGCGTTAGGGGAGGCAGCCGACTAAACGCGTCCCGCAGGACCTTGGCCTTGTCGTCCGCGTCGCGGCACGCCCGCGCCGCCCAGCGCAGCAATTTCACGAGCAGCTCGCCGAGCCCGTTCTGTAGTAATGCAGCGTTCCACGCATGCTGGCCGTCGAGCGAGCCGCGGTCCACGGACAGCAGGAAGGGCCCGTCGAGGTGCGTGCCCTTGCCCGTCGGCGCCCGCACGCGCGTCGGCAGCGTGCAGTGGATCAAGCCAGGTCTTTGTTCCTCGGCGCCGACCTCGAAGAACAGGCGCAGCTCCTCGGCGTTGCCGTCGTGCGCGCGCTTTGTGTGTGCCTCGTAGGCCTCCTTCGCCGCGCCGCGCGGCCGCCAGCCGTGCACAAAGGCCACGAAGGTCCGCGTATTCGAGCGGTCGCCCTTGGCCACGTCGACGGTGATCGTCTCCTCGTCGTTCTTTGTGGAGAGGGCGACGGCGTGGCGCCGGCCGTCCCAGTCTAGCATCCAGGTCTTACCATTACGAGACGCCGCCGCGCGGCCGACCATCGCGACGGCCGACGCGTTCGGCGGTCTTAAATCGGCCTCTACGGACTGGCGCGGCCGCTCCAGGTCGAACGCGCACCACGTCGACTCGCCATCGAGCTCCAGGGGCGCCGGCCGCAGCACCCAGGCGTGCTTCGGTTCGCCGGGCGCGCGGTCCCGCGGCTCGTCGTACCTAAAGCGCCACCGCCCGTCCGAGACCGTGACCCGTTTAAACCGCCGGTAGACGGCCTTGAAACCGATACCCATGAAGCCGATGGACCGCGGCGCGTTCCCGTCACTTAAGAGGGACTTCGTCGACAAACCTACCGACGACAGACCCAAAACGTCCAGCGGCGTGAAGCGCCTTCCATCATGACTGACGCGGACGCCGCGTCTTTCTGAAAGCCGCTCGACCACGACCTGCGTCGCGCCGTCATCCACTCCATTCTGCAGCAGCTCCCAGACGTACGCGTCGGCTCGGTCGAACTGCTTCTCGAGGATGGCCAGGAAGCCGCGCACGGACGGCTCGAGCGCCTGCAGCCCGTAGTAGCGCGCGATCGACGCCACGACGACGGCCGGCCACTTGCCCTCGGCCTTGGCGGCACCCCTCCTTACGTCGTCGGCGCGCGGTTTATGGCACCTTTCATAAGTCCCGCCGCTGCCGCTCACATATTCCAACCAAACCTGCGTGCCGTCGCTCCGCGTGCCGATGGCAAAGGCCGGCAGCGTCGCGCCGTCCGCCGCGTCGGCGTCGACGACGAGCCGGTCGTCTGAAACGTCACCGACGATCGCCGCGACGCCCTGCGAGCTGATGACGATCGCGTAGCGCTCGCAGCCCGCCAGGTCGACGACGCAGCAGCCCTTGCCCAGCAGCTCGACACAGTCTCGCTCGGCTCGCAGGCGGCGTGGGAGGGTTGCCGCCATTGCTTGACGCGGCCAGCGATGCCTTAAGGCGCTTGGTCTGCAATAATAAGCTTCGAACAAGTCACGCAGCCTCGTTTGTTTGCAAATCACAAGCTTTTACTCGCGTTTGGCAAAAACAAGGGCTTGCTAGTGTCTTACAAGCCGCTAGCTCCACATTGCTATTATTGCCAAGCCTGCGCTAAACGCAGCTCCGGGTGGTTAGTTTTCACAGCCAGAGTCACGTACGCAACCCACGCATACGCCTCTTCGACTGGCGAAGCTTCAACCGTGCGTGCGGCACCCCTGGAGAATAGCGCTCTCTGAAGCACTGAGAGCCTCAAGCCCGCCGTTGCGTCAGGACGAGAGGCCCGGACCGCCGTGGCACCTCCACGACATCGCTACGTACAATTTCTGGGAGAAAAAATCAAGAAAACCATGCTCGAGCGACTCCCCGACGAAATAAGCATCCTGATCCTGGCGCACTGCAAGGTGGCCGAGCTGGGACGCGCGGCCCGGGCGTGGCGCGACCTCAATAACAGAGACGGCGTGTGGCGGGCGCTCCAGAAGGCGATCCTGGGCTGCGCGCCGCCGCCGCGCGGCGCGCGGGGCCGTTCGAGCGGTCGGAACAAGCTCTCGGGCAAGGAGTCGTTCAAGCGGCTCGTCGCCACGCGGCGCCAGAACACGGAGGAGGCGCGCGCGCGCTTCGAGCAGTGCGAGAAGCCGGGCATCGGCGCGCTCCGGAAGCTCCTGAAGGCGTGGCAGCCGCTCTCCATCAACCATAGAGGGTCGGCGGGCTGCACCTTCCTCCACAGCGTCGTCGCCGACGCGCGGCTCTCGCCCGCGCAGACGGTGCAGTGCGTCCGCGAGTTGCTGGATAAGCACGGGGCCGACGCGTCGCGGGGCAACGACCTGCGGATGGCGCCGCTCATGTCGGCCGCGGCGCTCGGCGATGTTAAGTTGGTGACCTTACTCTTGGACGCGGGCGCATCCATTACTGCCCGCGGCGCCCACCCGAACGGTTTTGTGGGAGCGCCCGTGCGGCCGGGGAAGCGCGCGCGGACGCCGCGCGAGTGGGCCGAGTGCTTCGGCCAGTCGCAGGTCGTCGATTTGCTGGACCGGCGCGCGGACGCGGCGCCCGAAAGAAAGAAGCGGCGCCGCGAGGCGAAGTACTTCTGCCTGCCGGCGTGCCCCTTCTACGGCGCGAACACGGGCGAGATGGTCAACTGCGAGACCTGCGACAACTGGTTCCACTGCGCCTGCGTCGGCATCTCTCATACGGAATTCGCGCGCTTCGTGCGCGACGAGAGCGCGCGCTTCGAGTGCGCGGCCTGCGCGGCGCGGCAGGCCTCTGCGCGGCGCGTCGTCGACCGCAGCGGTGTTGTGTGGGATGCCGCCTGGGACTCAGCAGGGCGCCAGTACTACGTCGACCGCGCGACCGGGCGGACGAGCTGGCAAGTTGACGTTACGGCGGCTGGGGCGCCGGGGTACTACAAAGCCCGGGCGCGAGCGCGCGTCGTCGAGCTCCTCGGGGACCAGCTCTTTTCACTGCCGCCAGCGTCGCGTGCGCCTGCACTGGTGGCAACGGTAACTCCCCCGGGAGACGACGAAGATCGAGTAATACAAGCCTAATTACATAAACCACACGTGCGCGGGCAGTCGCAGTACATCTTGATGTGGCCGATGTAGAAGACGTTGTGGCCCTTGTGGCACGTCGTCGCACAATGGGTGCAGAGAGCGTCCCCGCGGCCGTCGAGACCGCAGGTCGCGCAGCCGAACGCATCCTGCTTCAACATTTTCACGCCGTGTCGCTCGAACGAGCAGCAGTCGCCGCCGCAGCGCGCGCGCGGCCGGCGCTGAGAGACTCCGTCGATCCCGCGCGCGACGACGACGAGGCGCGGGCCGCAGCGCCGCTTGGCGTCCGCGACGCCGGCGCTCGTGATCGACGCGTTCCCCGACACGTCGAGCAGGCGCAGGCGCGTCGGGTTGGGGAGCGCCTCGAGCGCGGAACGGAGGCGTGTGTCGTCGAGGGACGGCTCGATACAGGCGACGGAGAGCGAGCACAGCGCCGGGAGCCGCGCGCAGAGCTTGACCAGGCGCCCCGGGACGTCGTCGTCCGAGTCCGAGACGTCCAGATCAATGAGATTCGGAGCCGCGCGCCAGACGAGGAACACGGCGACGGACAGCGCGACCCGGCCCCGGGCGTCGAGACGCCGCAACGCCGTCACGGCGCGCGTGGCCCGGTCGCGACTGTTGGCAGAGGCGCCGCCGCCCACCGCTGCCCCAGCTTCGAAGCAAACGATGGAGGCGGCGGCCGCATCGTCGCCGTGTCGGCCGAGTGCCGACTCCCAGACGGGGTTCTTGTTACGGTCGAGCGTCCAAGCACCGTTGCACTGTCCAGCAAGACACACGTCCGTGAGCGCCATCCAAGTGCAGGAGTCGACGGCGAGTCCTGCCTGCAGAGCCTCGTTCCATGGGCCGGGGTATGGCCGTTTGGACGGCGCCAGGCGTGCCGCATGAAGACGGCGCAACGCGGGAAACGGCGCTACTGTGTCAAGTATAAACAAAATCTCGCCCATGCTCACGTTGTCGCAGCCGTCAAGCCCCAACATCTCCAGCCGCGGCATACGGTTGCGGATGTATGCGAAACCTTGGCTGGTGAGCTTCTTCATGCCAGCGAGGTCGAGCCGCCGTAGGTTTTGTGCGCATGGGGCATTACCCAGCGCGGCGAGAAACGGGTCCTTGGTCGTCGCGGAGCAGCCGGCGAGAATTAGGCCTTCGAGCTGTGGTGGACAGGCGGCGACGATCGAATTGAGCGTCTCCGTCCCCAGGGCGCCGTAGCTGACGCGCAGCTCGCGCAGCGCTGTCAAATGCACCGGCGTCAGTGAGAAGCAGTCTCGCATCAAGAGGGTAGAACAGTGCCCGAGCACTTCGCTAAGTTCCGCATGTGAGCGAGCGTCTAGTAATTTAACGTGCAGGAGCGTGCAGGCCTGGACCTTGGCGCCATCGAGCAGGCGCACAAGTGCTTGCAGCCCGGCGTAGCTGAGCTTGCGGCGCCGCGTCTCGGGCACGCCCACCAAATTCGGTGCGACGAGCACACCGCCCGGCCGCCTGATGACGGCACGCTTGGCAACGGAGAGACAGCTCTTGGCCGTCTGCACCAGGACTAGCGCGTCGGCAGCGTTCAGCCACGCGTGCTGCTCTGAGACGACATCCAGGGCCCGCAGGCCGAGCGTCGACATGGTGCAGCCGGCAGCAGAGCACGTTTTTCGCCGCTTTATAGGCAAAAATGGCAGAGCTCGAGCAGCTAGCGGTCTGTAGAGACACTAGCAAGCAAGCGAACTCTCGCAAAACGCCAGCGAGCCGTACGCTGCCGACGCATCCCTCGACACCACCCACCCTACCTAAAAAAATTAAAGGCGCCAGCCGGCGGGCACACAGTCGAGGAGGCTTCCAGTTTGGCGCGCGCGCGGCGCCTCCCGTGCCCGGGCGAGGATAAAAAAAAGCTCGGAGCGTCGCGAGCCCCCACCCTCGCCAGCCGTCGTCCCAGGCGGCGCGCAGCAGGGCAGCCCCCCTCGCAACTGGCTTGGGGTCACCACCCGCTCTACGGAACACATACGCACAGCAAGAAGTCATGGACCAGCTCGAGCCCATCAAAGTGCTGGGCGAGGGCGCCTTCGGCAAGGTCTACCTCATGCGCCACCGGCAGGAGCGGACCCTACAATGCGTGAAGGTCATAAAAATAAAAAACATCCCTAAAAAGGAACGGGAAGCGTGCAGGGCGGAGGTGCAGCTCATGAAAAGATTAAGGCACCCGAATATTGTCGCGTATCGCGATTCGTTTTTAGCTCGTAACAGGGAGTCCTTATGCATCGTGATGACGTACTGCGACGGGGGCGACCTGGGCAATCAAATAACCCAAGCGGCGAAACGACGACGCCCATTCACGGAAGCCAAGGTCCTGCACTGGTTCGTGCAGATGGCTCTTGGACTACATTACATGCACGCGAATCGAGTACTACATAGAGACCTGAAAACGCAGAACATCTTCTTGCTGGGCAATGGTCGACTCGTGTTGGGCGATCTAGGTATTTCGAAGGTACTGGAGGGTACTCTAGACTTCGCGCAGACGTGCATCGGCACGCCCTACTACATGTCGCCCGAGATCTTCAAGAACAAGCCGTACAACCACAAGTCGGACATCTGGGCGCTGGGATGCGTACTCTATGAGTGCGCCACGTTGAACCACGCCTTCGACGCGAACTCGCTGAATGGGTTGGCCTGCAAGATCGTGCGCGGAAAGTATCCTCCGGTCTCGTCTCGCTACTCGAAGCATCTCTCCGATTTGGTGGGGGCGATGCTCGCGACGCAACCGTCGCAGCGTCCCACATTGGAAGCGATCCTGCGGCGACCTTTTGTCAGAAAGCACGTCCGGGGCTTCTTCGCGGATCTGGTGAGGCGGCCGTCGCAGTCGATCGGCGCCGGGACGCGAGCTGTAAGAGCTGCCGCCGTCTGCGTCGCCGAGGAGCGGTCGGCGTCGTCGCCGGACGTCGATGCATTAAGGGCCCAGCTCGAGGAGCTGCGCATGGGCGAGGTCATCCAGCAAGCTTTAAATCCCGACGAGAATAGTGACGACGACCCGCGCAAGGCGCAGCGGCGCGCGCGCGAGCGCAAGGAGCAGTTACGAAGAGAGGAAGACCGCAAGGGCGCCGTCGAGCAGGCGCTGCTGAGGTTGCGTAAAGAAAGGGAGGCCCGCCTCCGGGACCGGGAGCGGCTGCGCGAGGAGGCTGAGCGGCGGCGACGGCGCGAGGAGGCGCGGCAGCGCAAGCCGCGCGTGCCGCGGCAGCGCGAGTGGAAACGGCCCGTGCCCAGAGAGAGAGCGAGCCGCGTGCGCGCGTCGGCGCCGGACGCGCGGCGCGAGCGCATCGTCGAACCGGAAAGACGATCGGTCGACCAGCGGCGGCGCGACCAGCGGCGCGACGACGAGGCAAGGCGGGTGCGGGAGCTCGAGCGGTGGGAGAATAAGCAGAGGGCCGCGGCGGCGGAGCGCAAGCGGCGTGTCGAGGCGGCACGGCCCCCAAACAACGGCGCCGCGAGGCGGGAGGTCGAACGCGCGAGGGAGGCGGACCGCGCGAGGGACAACGGCGCGCGGCGGGAGGCAGAACGTGCAAGAGAGGCCGACCGCGCGCGGGACAACGACGCCGCGCGGCGGGACCGTGCCCGGGACGCGGAGCGCGCGCGCCAGCGCGAGATCGTCGAAAAGCTCAAGGCGGACAAGCTCGAGCTAGACGAGGCCGAGGCGCGGCGCCAGGCCCGCGTGCGCCAGGCGGCGGCCGCGGAGCGGCGTCGGGCCGAGGCGGACCTCCTGCGGGAGCAGGAGGAGGCCGCGGAGCGACGGCGTGTCGAAGCAGAACTCCTCAGAGAACAGGAGCGCCGGTTGGCCGCTCGACTCGAGGCGGCGAAGAAGGCGCCTCCGGCCTCGCCCCGCGTCGCCGAGGCCAAGAACCTGCACGACCCCTCGCTGGCGGCGAAGCACGCGTTTTCTCCCAGAAACGACGGCCTCAACGCGCGCGACCGCGTCTTGATGCGGAAGCGCGCCGCCCAGGAAGCGCGGGAACGCGAGCTGAACCAGGCTTTGGCCGAGGCGCGCCAGGAGTCCGCCGAGCAGGCGCAGCAGGCCAAGGCCTGGGGTGACGCCCAGTACCGGTCGTCCATGGACTCGAAGCTTCCGCGGCGGCCCCCGAATTCGCCGCGGCGCCCCCCGGCGACGCCGCCCCGGTCGCCTCCGATGTCGCCCGAGGCCAAGGTCGCATCGCCGACTCGCTGGGCCTCGCCCTCGCCGCGGCGCCCGGCTGCCTCGCCCTCGCCGCGGCGCCCGCCGATGACGCCCGACACGCCCGAGCCGCGGCGTCTCACACCTGACACGCCGCCCCAGTGCCCGCCGACTCGCGACGGCCCGCCGACGCGGGACGACGACGCTGACCTCGTGCTGGACTCGGAATCCGAAGACGAGGAGGCCGCAATCGGCTTCGCGGTCGCCGCGCCCGAGCACATCGAGGACGCGGAGCAAGACATCCAGAAGCGCGAGGACGAATTGCGAGCTGAGCTCGAATTGACTTCGCAACGCTGCGAGGAGCTCCGCAAGTCGCTTCACGACACGAAGGCGCGGATGGCGGCGCGCGACGCCGCGCCGGTCGAGGACGAGTCCGAGGACGAGGGCCCCGCGGTGGGCGTGCTGAACGCCGTCGTCGAAGAGGACGAGAGCGACGACGAGGCGCCCGTCCGCGTTGTGCCTCAGTCGCCGCCGCGCGTGCTCGAGTCGCCGCGGACGCCCCATAATAATCTCGCCGACGCGCCGTCGCCGTCGGGCCGCCTGGAGCAGCGTTTGCAAATTCTCAAGGAACGGTGCATCGGCCAGATGGGGGCCCGCCAGTTCCGCAGGGCCTACGACTACCTCAAATCCGTCCAGGACGCGGACGACGACGCCCTGGACTACGACGTCGACGACGCGGGCCTCGAGATCGGCGGCGACGCCTATGACGAGCAGGCCGACGCGGAGACGCAGGCGAAGCTCCTCGCGATCCTGGGCCCGGACAAGGTGCACCTCGCGCCGCTCGTCGACCAGCTGCTGTTCATGGAGGAGTCGCTTTAGTAGTAGTAAGTACACATATCACTATTTTACGTACACGTTCGCGAAGACCGGCGGCGCGTGGTGCTCGCGGTGGTCGCGCTCCATCCGCGCGATTTTGCGCGCGTGCTGGCGCGCCTCGGCCTCGACGTGGGTGCGCGCGAGCTGCTTCATCGTCGGCTTCTTGTCGAAGAACTCCCGGATCGAGGGCGGGTCCACGCCGTCGCTCGATTGTGACCCCGAGATGACCTGCCAGAACTGGTCGAAGGTCATGAGCCCTTCCTCGTGGCCGAATGTGTCACCAATCGCCGCAAGCGAGTCGACGGCGCAGGCCCGGTGGAGACCGCACTTGCGGAACAATCGAGCGGAGGGCAGCCTCACATGGGGCGCCTCGTGGCGATCGATCCCGTTGGCGTCGCCGACGACGTGCGCGGAGAACAGCCGCCACGCCATGTGCCTCAGATATCTCAAATCCTCGTCCTCCATTTCATCTTCAATCAAGCCCACCCAGGGCGGCGCGAGGATGGCCAGGGCGTCGGCCCGCCGTTTCAACACGCCCTTGCCCGCCGCCGACTTGAGGAAGTGCTCGACGTCGGCGGTCGCGAAGGCCGACAGCACCGCGCATCTATGTAAAATCGCCGCGTGGTGGGGCTTCACCACGTGCTCTTCGACGCCGAGGTGTTCACGGGCTATGACATCGCGAGCCGAGTCGCGGGCGTCCGACCGCGCATGCGCCAGAATGCTCTGCAACGCGCAATGTCGCGGCGCCGCGGCCTTCGGGTTCATTATCCTCAAAACGTTGCGCGTCAAGGCAAGAGCGTGGGCTTTGGCGCACCACGCGTCGAACTCGGCTCGCGAGCAGCGCGAGGCGTCTGGGGCGCGGCCACCCCGGTCCTTGACGTCGTCGTGATGCACGGCGAGCGACAGCAACAAACTCATCTTGCGCTTCGCGAGGCGCCCCAACTCCTTCTTCGCCGCCTTGTCGCCGCCCGGGTGGAGGAGCTTGCGGACGGCGGAGTCCTTGATGGCCGCGCGGTGCGCCAGGAGCTCGGGGTCGGCCACGACGCGCGTCGGCGCGAGCGCAGCACTTACATCTCCTTCGAGCGGCACGCCACGCTCCTTTATCAATCGATGGACGACGCGGCTCAGCTCCGCCCGGTCGACCGTGTTGTCCTTGGTTCGCGCATGGTCCGACCATACATCGTCGATCGCGATCGCCGCCGCGGGGGGCAGACCGTCGACCGCCGGCAGCCCGGCCGACCGCCGGCGCGCGATGATCTCCTCCTCCCGCTTCCGCAGGGCCCGCTGGCCCGCCGCCGTTGCGAGGAAGCGTCGGGCGTCCGCTTCGGCGTGGTACGCCGCGCGCTCCAACTTACGGCGCGCCGCCTCGGTGGCGTCGCCGGGGCCCTTATTTTCCTCGGCGTGTGCCGCCCGGACGAGGTCGCCCACGAAGGAGTAGTTCTTCGCGTGGCGCGCCTCGGCAAACGCGACGAGGCCCTCGTTAACGCGCTTCGCGGCCGCTCGCTCCGCGCGGCGCTCCGCGGCCAGCGCCTGGCGCAGCTTGAGGGCCGCCTCGACGCGGGCCGCCAGCACGGCCCGATCTAACTCCGAGCCCGGCTTGACGTCGCGCCACCCTTGCTGTAATCGCTCCGGGCGGTGCGCGACCAGGAACCTCTTCAGCACGGGCCACGACACCTCGGCCTTGCCCGGCGCGGCGTCGCGCGTCGCGACCAGCGCCTCGGGCCACGTTTGACAGCAACCAAACGCCAGCAGGAACTTCGGGCAGGCCTCGTGCGTATCTAAAACGCCCGAGTGCTCGACGTCGAACCAGGCGAAGACGTACGCCGCCTCTTCCAGCGCCGCGTCCTCCTTCGATAAAGACGTCGCGCGGGCGAAGTAGTGGTCGCGCATGGCCTCGTGGTTGCACGCGTCCCACTCGAGGCGCGCGAGGCCCCGCCGCGTCGACGACAATATTCTAACTTTGTGCTCGGCGTCGCGGCAGGCGTGCGCCCGCAAACACGCGTTCTCGACCAAGTGGTCGAGGGCGTTCCGCCGCGCGCGCCGCAGGTCGTCCGTCACGTCGTGCGCGCGATGCCGGTCGCGTGCCCGATGCCGCGCGCGCGCGATGAGGGACATGGTCGCGTCGATCGTGCGCTCTTGCACCAGGCCCTTCCGCTGACACAAATACGTGACGACGTCGTCCGTTGCCACCAAGCCGTCCTTACGGTCGAACATCCAGGCGTGGTCCGCCTCACTCAAGTCGCCCGTCGCGTATTTTATGAGTTCTGGGAGGTCCCGGCCATCCACGACACCGTCGCTGCCCGCGTCGAAGCACCGCGCCGCCGAGGCCGCCAGTTTCTCATCTTCGGTGCCGCCGTCCTCGAGCCAGGCCGCGGCCTGGAGCCGCGCCGCCTCGAACACCAAAGCGTCCCTGCCGTGCGGTGTCGTCAGCATCTCGCGGCACTCGTCCTCAAGGCGCTGCTCGGCCTCAGCTAAAATCTTCTCGGCCTCGCGCTGCGACACGGCGCCGTCCTGGGGCTGCTGCGCCGGCGCCGGCGCCCCGGGCGCGTCCTCCTCCTCGTCGCTCGACATGTCGTCGAGGTTCATGCGCTCCGGCGCGACCTTGGTCGTGCGCTTCTTCTTCTCCTGGCCCTTGCGCACGAGCGCCGCGGCCGCCGCGACGCACCGCGCCTCGCCCTCGTCGTCGGCCCGCGCGCGCCGGTCGACCGCGGCAGCTGAGAGGTGCCTCAGATCGTGGGCCTTGAGCTGGTCCTCGTCGAAGCCGACGTCCCGGAGCGGCGGTCGTTCCCCCCGAAAGTCGCGCCGCGCCGCCGCGCGCGCCGCGGCCTCGGCGCGCCGCGCGAGCACGTCCTTGGCGAGCGCGCGGACCGTGTCGGGGGTTTTAAGAGCAGTCGTCGAGAGGCCCGTCGACCGCCCGCCCGTGCGCCACCACGTGATCAACTCATTGGCTGTCACTAAGATATCGGCGCCCGGCCACGCTTCTTTCAGCGCGAGCACGGCGCGCGCGGCCGCCGCCGCCATCTCGTCCGCGTCGCGCCACTTCAATGAACCGGGCTCGACGTCGCCGGCCCGCATGGCGCGGAAGAGGCCCCGCACGCATCTGGAATCAAGCAGCCCCTTGGCGTCGAGCGCGTCCACGATGTCGCGCAGCTCCGCCTCGGCCTTCAGACGCTTCTTGATGACCGCCCGCAGGCCCCGGATCACGAAACCGAGCTCCTTCTTTGCCGCCGGGTCCTCGTCGAGCGCGTGGCGCGCTTGGGCATAAGCGTCGCGGCCCGCCGCATCCACCACACGCTCCTCATCTTCCAAACGGCTCAGCTCCCGTAGACAATTCGCGCGCGCGCGGTGCTCCTTCGCGCTGACCACAATCGACTTCATGTGGAAGGGGAAGGCCCGCTTCCGCGTCTTTTTTTCCTCGGCGGTGTGCGGCCGCGCGTGCGCGTGGCTCGCCGAGCAGTTCCCAAACCGATCAAAGTGCTTGACGAAGTCCCGCTGCAAGGCGAAGGTCGCGTGGCAGGCGCCGCAGGCGAAGCGTGGGTGGCCCAGGTCCTCGCGTAGACCGTTCACGGCCCGGCGCGCCGCGCGCCGCGCCGCGTCCCGTCTAGCTTCCCCGGCGGCACGCCTTCGGATAGCAGCTGCTAAATCAATCTTGGGCTTCTTGGCGAAGAGGCGCTTCAAGAAACTTAAACGAGGCTTCCGTCTCTTCCCATTCGTCGCGAGCCAGTGCGCAAAGTCCGGGAACGTGATCTCCGCCTTGCCGCCCAATTCCCCAAACGCGGCCGCGACGTCCGACTCGTTTTGCGACAGGCCCGCCGCCGCGAGCGCCTCTTCAAGGTTTTCGCTCTTCATCACGGTCCCGTCGTGCGCGCCGGCCGCGAAGGCCTCCCTCGCTTTCTTCTCTTCAATATCTTCCGTCGCGGCGTCGTCGTCGTCGTCCGCGCGTAATCTAGCAGCCCAGAACTTCAGGGCGGGACCGGATGAGGAAGGCGCCTCCAACTTCAGCGCGGTCCTTAACTCCGCGAGCGCCGCGGCCCGCTTCACTAGCTTCCGCTCCGCGGCGAGGCGCGCCGCCTCCGCTTTGACAAGCTCGCGCTCGCGGATGCGCGCGCGCGCGCGGGCTCTCGCTCTTCTAGCGACGGTCTGCGCCATCGTCGCGGCCTTGAGCCGTCTCGCGCGGTAGCGCGCGAGCTCGTCCGCGAAGGCCGCTCTCCCACAACCGCCGCGCCACACTCTTTGAATCGTCGTCGCGCCCCAGATGCGGCCCCGCCGTATCCTCGCTCTTATTTTAGCAATGCACCTTTTCATGAAGAACGCGAGCTTCCAGCGCAGCTCCCGCTCCCTTCGTATCAAAAACGCGATTCGGCGCGCCTTCCGGCCCCGCTCGCACCGCTCCAGATGAATGGCGTTGTTCCACCTTCTTGCATACCACCTCCTACAAGGCTTCTGGGCGAAGACGGCCGCCGCGTAGAGGCGTCTGTGATAGCGCCGGTTCCGGTTTCTTACTGTACTCCCTCGATATAAGGCTTTGCATTTAGTGAAGGCGTCGCCCAGCAACTCGTGGTGCCTCCGGTAATACCTCTGGATCCGTTTCAGAGCTTTGATCGCGAAGGCATCATAAACAAACACGTCCTGCGCGTTCACTTTGCCTGGTGGCCCCTCGGTGAAGCGCGCCTTCTCGTACAGCGAAGCCGCTTTGCCGAAATGTTGATACGCGTCGACGGAGTTGCCCTGCTGCGCGTGCCACTCGCCGACGGCCTGCTCCCACTTCGCCCTCCTCCGCAGATCCGCGTCCTGCAGGTGGCGCGTCTCCAATTCGTTAGACGTGCCGTCCTCGCCGCCGTCGAAGGCGACGATGGCCCCCGGCAGTCCTTGTTGTAAATCAGCATGACAATAAACGCTTTCCGACGACAATGGAGGCGCTAATACGGAGTTGACGCGGTCGCGGTGCAAATCGTTCCCCAGGTTCGTGGCGATGGTGTGCGCCAACCTCAATTCCATCTCCGAACTGACGGCGATGGGGTCCAGCTCCCGATTATCACCGACAATCTCCAAATCTTCCCCGTCCAAGTCCTTGGCCGCCTCTCTAGCTTCCCTAATAGCCTCGGCTGTTAATCTACCTTCATGTCTCACTTCATCCACTTCAAGCCGTCGAGCTGGATCGCGATCAATGAACCCCTTGAACTCCTCGCAGACCGCATCGGGGATGGCCGGCTTTCTGGATTCGTGGAACTTCTCGAGGGCTAGGGAAGGGTCCTCGTTCTCGTTCTCAAACCGCTCGAGCGCGCCCTCCGCCGCCAATTGCGCCTGCGCGTCTCCAGACAGCATGACCTGCTCCTCGACGAGCGCCATTTTTGGCGCCTTTGGTTGATCATATTTTTCGACCTCATGATACAACGCCTTCGCGAAGTCGTCGCGAAATGCCGCGCCCTGCGCCTTTAAAGTAGCGAGGAACGCGTCCCGATCGTCCGCCTCCCTTGCTAAATGAATGACGAAGGCCACGAGATCTTCATCGCTCTCGCCCGCCTCCTCGGTCAACATCTCGTGGACCTTCCGATCCAAGGCGTCCTCCAGGAGATGGCTGACACGGTCATCTACCACATCGTCCTCATCCGAGACGTCGTCCGTGCTCGGCTCGGGCGACACCACCGCCGAAGCCTTGCGCTTCTTGCCGAGCGCGAGCGTCGCCGCGTCCTCGTCAGGAACCCCAAGGGCGTTCGCGAGCGCCGGCGTCACCTCCATGCGGTACTCCTCTATTTCAGTATTGGCCTTGGCCTTCTTCACGACCTTGCCAAGATGGTCGACCGTCGCGTCGTCGACCGGCTCGACGTCCGGCCACTCTTCTTCAATCTTGCGCCTTATCTTAGTCAAACGCTTCTCCGCGATTTCTGCCGGCGAGGGCGGCGGCGTCGGCGGCTTCACGGGTTTCACAGGTTGGGCATACGGGGTCGTGGATAAATGATCGGCGATGAGTGCTCTGGTGCGATCCCTGGGCTTCACGAACCGATTAAAGTGCGTGATGCTTCGCAATCGCACCGCGGGCCAGTCCGGCCAGGGCAGCTGGTCCATCGTGACCTCGTATTGCGGCGCGTCGCTGATACTGGGTTTGTGCTGCGGGCTCTCCATGATCACGTCCGCGTCGAGGTTCGTGACCGGACTTCTAAATAAAGTCGTGGCCAGGGGGTCCTCGGAGGGGCTCCTTGTTGTTACGGGGGCAGCATTACTTGGTGTGAGGGCCATGGCTGCCTGTGAACCAAGGGTTGTTAGCACAACGCCTCGGGCAGCCCCCGGTGGGCCAGGAGTGCCTCGCGGGCAGCAGCTCCGGCCCCGGGTCGCGCGTCACGGCGCCCAGGCGCAACGAGCTTGTAGCGCTGAATGCTAGTGTGTCAGTACGCTAGCTCGCGCTTTCTCCTTGCTATCGGTAGCATAGGTCTGCGCGGCTGCGCACTGGCCACAGGCATCGATAGCAAAGCGCTGCTCTCGGTCTGCGGGCTAGATCCCTACATCTGCAGCACTTGGTATCAAGAGCTGAGACGCTCGCTGCGCGATGGCGCGCGAGATGGAGCGACAAGTCAAGGACGCCATGGACCACTGCCTCGAGAAACTCGCGAATAGGTGCGCGGTCGTCGACGCCGGAAAAGACCACGCCGCATTCCCGCGCGAGGGCCTGTGTTTTTTGAGAGTGACGGGCAGCCAACAAAGAAAAATACTGTGGCCCGCCTGGCTCTTATCAAAGGGCCTGGCCGTCTCAAACGACGACAAAAGAAAAATTGTCTGTTACGGGAGCGGCTGGCAACTGGAAGTTAACATAGAGGAACTGGTCGAGTACGACCCGTCGCTGACGTACAAGTACAAGCGGTTAGGTGGTGGTTTGTATGCCGAGGCCTTTGTGGAAGCCGAGGCGCGACGGAGTTTAGGTGAAGACGAAGATGAACAAAAGGCGTTTTCCGAGCTCGTGACCCAGAACCTGGAAGCGTGTAGGGATCCGGTCCTGTTAGGCAGGTTATATGCGGAACATCTGCGGCGCATCGAGGAGATCCCGTCGGACAATGATTTGTTGGTCGTGCGGTGGCGGACCGACCTCGGAGAAGACTGGTGGCCCGCAAAAGTCATAAAAACGGTTGAGGATAATGTGGAGGTCGTGTACACGGGTTATGAAGGTGATGATGGGAGCGAGACCATCGAGCTGGGCGGCGACCTGTGGACGGCGGACGTGCGCTGTTTGGGCGACGACCGCGAGCCCGTTTTTGATGCGAGGGATGCGGCGTTATTGGATGGCGGGGATTTTGGGGACATGGCCGTCGAGGCGGAGGACGACGATGAGGAATATAAGCGGTACAAGACGGACTCGGAGGAGGACTTGTATGATGATAATGGGATTCAAATCGCGCGGAAGAAGCGCAAGAAGGGGCAGGATGACAAAGGCTCCGAGAAGAAGGCTAAGAAGGCGCCTCGAAAAAAGCGCGAGGCGCGAATGCGGCCCAAGAAGGTGCACCTCGCGTCGGAGATCGCCATCCGGCGCGCGCAGTGGTCCGTGGGCGCGCGGGCGCCGGCCGTCGTCAACAAGCCGCCGCCACAACAGGCCGAACCTGTTGAAGACGACTCCATCCCGCGCTGGAAGCGCGCTTTATTAGCCGCGGCGCCGCCGCCCGCGCCGGCGCGCCGGCCGGCGTCGACACGCGCCGCCGAAGACGACGACTCCGGCAAACAAAAGCGGAGCACGCTCGCGAACAAGCGCGCCAAGGCGCCGCGGCCCTCCGCTTTAGAATTGCTGGGCGCCATTCGCGCGCCGACGGAGAGCTTGGGAAACGCGCCCAAGGCCGCCGTCGCGACGCAGAACGACTCGCGCAACGCCGCGACCGAGGCGGCGCGCGACCGGGCCCGCGAGGTCGAGGCGGCCATGTTGAGAGCCGGCCGCGGCGTCGCGCCGCCCCCGGCGCCGCCGCCCGCGCCCGCGCCCGCGCGCAAGGGCGCAGAAATCGACGACTTCCACGTCGACGAGTTCGAGGCCGGGCGCCGCCGCGCGCCTTCATCGAAGTCCGACCTGCCGACCTACCAGCGGCCCAACGCCTCGAAGCCCCTGCCGCCGGGCTGGACGGCGAAGTGGTCCGCGCGCAAGCAGATGTACTACTACACGCACAAGGCCAAGGGTTTAACCAGGTGGACGCCGCCGCGCGAGGAGACCGCGAAGTCGCCCCGTAAAAAAAAACCGGCGCCGGCGCCTCCATCGAACGACGACGCCCTGAAGCGCGCGCGCGCGACGCTCGCGGCGCTCGAGGGCTCGCTGCCCGACTCCGCGCCGCCCGTCCCGGCGGACGCGCTCGCCGCCGCGGCCGCCGCGAGCCGCTGGGACGCGCCGCCGCCCGACGCCCAGGGCGCCGCGGCGCAGCGGTACGTCGAGCAGCAGCGCCGCTACGACGCGCCGGCCGGCGGCTTCGCGCCGGCGCCGCCTGCCGCCCCGGGGTGGCGCCCGCAGCCGCGCGCGCCGCGGCCCGGCGAGGTCGTGCGGGAATTATCCGTCCCGAGCCAACACGTCGGTCTCGTCGTCGGCAAGGGCGGCGCGAACTTGGACAGAATGAGGAGATTGTACGGCGGCGTCGACACCCGCCTCGGACAGGCCGACGAGCCGGGCACGGCGCCACCGCAGCGGCGCGTCGCGTTCACGGGCATGGCGCCGGACGTCGACAGGGCCATGGCAGACGTCGCGGGGCTCATGCGCCAGCGCGGCGCCGCGGCGACGCCGGTCAACGCCGGCGCGCCGTCCCAGGACCCACGCATCGCCGCCGCGATGCGGGCGGCGGCCGCCTTCTCCGCGCCGCCGCCCCCGCCGGCCGCGCCCGCGCCGTGGGTGAACCCCCTCGCGCCCGGCGGCGCCGACGCGGCCGTGACGCAGCTCCTGATGGAGGCCGACCTCAGTACGCGTCCCGGGTTCGCGCCGCAGCCCCCGCCGCCGAGCGGTTTTGCGCCCGCGCCGCCGTTCGGCGGTTACGCGCCGGCGCCGCCGAACCCGCGCGGCGGCGAGCGCCGGCCCCCGGGCCACTCGGGGCCCTACCGGCGGAACTAGTTCGCGTGTGAAACTGTCGTAATCTTAATCAAACTGGAAGCAGTGCTCCGCGAGATAGCTGCGGGCATTCAGGCTCAGGCTCAGGCTAGTTACGTCGCAGGGTTCCCATACCCCTCCCGCTCCCCCCGATTCAGGCTCAGGTCAAGTAATTCAGGCTCAGGCTTCGGGCTAGTGGCCCACCACTAGCTGCAGACCTCAGCGCCCAGCCTTTGGCAGTAATATAAGCTGGGACACGCCGACATAACAGCGCGGGGCAACACACACGCCCACGACGCCGTCGCCGCGACGCAGCCCCGAGGCGCCGCAACATAATCGACAGCCAGCATGGGCCGCATGACCTACAATGCCCTCCAGCCGCCCTTCCCGGAGCACAAGCCCGAGGACCAGCCCGCGAGGCAGGCCGCTGTAGAGAATGAGCTCAAGTTCCACACCGCGCGCCTCGACGTCGCGGCGATCCAAAACTTGTATGATGTCCACGACACGACCGAGATGCGCGAGGAGCTGCGGGCCGCGCTCAACGTCTCCGAGGCGCTGGACGCGCAGCAGCGCGAGATCGTCCAGGACTACTACTTCCACCTCTACGCCTTCGCGAAGGCGAAGGGCTTTGACGCGAAGAAGGCCGGGACGCTGCTGAGCATCTGTCGCGAGATCTTCGACGCCGACGCGGCCACGAACGCGCCGTCGGAGTCCATGGAGAAATCCTTCGAGCGGCTCGAGGCGCAACTGCTCCGCCACGCCGAGTTCCGGCCGCCCAAAGCCCTCGACATCTTCGACGAAGGGGACGTCCAGGAGATCATCGAGTGGATGCTGCACAACTACTTCCGCCACTACAAGCTCTACAAGGCCATCTTCACGAAGCGACGGTCCGACGTGTTTTCCCAGGCGGCGCCCTTCGCCGTCGAGGCGCCGCGGGACCCTCTACCGCTCTCGTCCTTCCTGCCGCTCCGCGTCGAAGTGGACATGCCCGAGGATGCACCGGCGCCGGCGCCGGGACCGGCGCCGGCGCCCGCCGCGGCGTTAGACACGTTCGAGGCATCGAGCGTCGCGTCGGAATGCCCGCCCGCCGAGCCGATGCCCGCGGAGGACGACGGGGAAGAGTAATTTGTAGGTCATGGTTGATGCAGGCGGCCCAACCGGCGGCACTTCCGGCGGCGGCGGAATTCAAGCTAGGTCTTGATTCTTACAAGCTACTCGGTCTGGCGCAATCTTCGACGGCGCTCGGCCGAGCGGATCTGCGCACGTCGCCGGTGCGCCCACGAATTCGGGTCGACGCGCGGCGCGCGGCGCGGCTTGAGCGCTTCTGCGAACTCGGCCTCGGTGGTCGACTTCGATCGCATCGTGGCCTTTGCCGCGCGCCGCTGCGGCGCGGCCCGCAGAGCCTGCCGCGCGAGTCGCGCCGCGCGTAGAGTCGCACGGATCTCGTGCGCCCGGAGGCCCGCCTGCTGCAGCGTCGCCGCGGGGATCGTCGCGAAGGCCTGGCTCGAGGCGTAGGAACCTCGCAGCCGGAGGCGTCCGGCGGCTCGGACCGCGCGCGGCGCGTCCACTCCGCCCGCCACGAGGAAGGCCAGCAGGAATCCGTCGTTCGCTTCATCTTCCTCATCGCCAGTTTCCTGCTTCTCCACGGCCGCGGCCTTCTTCTTGCGCCGCCGCGGCCCGCGGTCCGCTTCCAAAGCCGCCAGTCGCGCTTCGAGAACGCCCAAGCGACTCTTCGGCTCGTGCCTCACAGGCATCTCTGGTTCTTCCAGAGGCGGTTGCGCGTCGCTCGGCGTCGCGCCCGCAACGAACTGCACTCTAACGACATCGCTCGAGTCGCGGAGCGACTGCGGCGTCTCGGCGCCCGGAGGGCTAAAGGCCATGGCGTCGTCGGCGTCGCGCGGGCCGCGATTCTTTCGCGCGTCCAGCGCGGCCGCCGCCAGCGAGGCCTGCCGCGTCGCGTGCAGTTCGGACGCGTCGGGCGACGGCTCGCGGATGCGAGCGCGCCGCCGACCTTTCGCGGGTGGCGTGCCGCCCGCTCTGCGGACGCGCCGCGACCGCGCGTCGTCGTCGCTCGGCGCCGGCGACTCGGTCGTCGTCTCGGCGAAGCGCGTCCGCCGGACGCGCCGGCGTGGTGGCGAGTCCTGGCCCGCGGCGAACCGAGCACGGCGCGGAGGCGAGGCCTGGCCCGGTGGTGAAGCGCCAGGGAAGCGCGTCTCGCTCTCAGAAAAACGAGCTCGTCGCGGAGGGGAGTCTTCGGCCGTCGATTGCGGCGGCGAGGCGCCCGGGAACCGAGCCGCAGGCGGCGAGTCGGAGGCGAAGCGCGTCCGTCTAGGGGGCGAGGGCTCCTCAGCGAAGCGCGCCTTGCGCGGCGGCGGGGAGTCGGCGGCCGCGAAGCGCGTTTTGCGGCGCGGCGGAGGCGAGTCGGCGGCTGCAAAGCGTGTGCGTCTCGGCTCCTCCGCGGCGGCGGCGAAGCGAGCTCTACGAGGCGGCTCCTCGGCAGCGGCCGCGAAGCGCGCCCGTCGCGGTGGATCGTCGTCGGCGGCGACGTTGCGTGCCCGCTTCGGTGGATCGGCTGAGAAACCGACTGATCGGCGCACGGGAGGGGACTCTATCACCGATATCGGCGAAGGATCGGCGTCGACGTCGTCGCGGTCCACCTCCGGGGCCCGCGAGTCGTCTCGCCGCGGCGTCGCGATCGCCGCGTCCTCCTCGATCTCGTCGTCGTCATCGTCGTCGTCCTCGTCGTCATAATTCATCGCACCGAGTTGAGGGAGCGGAGTCGGCGGCCGCCGAGCGCGGAACTCCGACGGGGCGTCCAGCTGCGGCTCCGCGGCGAAGCGGACCGACGGCGGCGACTCCTGGTCCTTGAGGCCGCCTCCAGGCGTCCGGGGGTCGGGCGCCGCCGCGTTGTTGATGTCCGGCAGCGAAGAATCTCCTTTAAGGCCGCCTCCGGGGGTCCGGGGATCAGGGGACGCCGCCTTAGCGTTGGGCGTCCGCATGAAGTCCCGGTCCTTGCGCCGCTCGTTCCGGCCGCGCACGCGGGCTTGCAACGCCGTTGCGCTCTTGGTTTTTGATCGCGCCTCCATCGTCGCCTTGTGCCGCTTCCGCGCCGCGCGGCCGCGCTCGCACGCCTGCAAGTGCGACGCGGCCGCGGCTTCGAGTTCGGGAAAGCGCGTCTCGCCCGCGTCGAGGTCCAGGTCGCCGTAGTCCTCCTCGGCGTACGCCGGGTCGTAGACCGCGTCGTCCGACGCCGCCGTGTTCTGGCCGCCGTAGTCGTTCGCGTCGTCGGCGACGTGCTGGGAGTAGGCCGCGTCGGCGCCGTACGCGCCGCCAGCCTCGTCGGCGGGCTGCGTGTAGGCTGCTTCGTCGTACGCGCCTTCCTGCGCCCAGTCCTGGCCGCCGTACGTTTCTTGCTGGCCGCCGTACGCGTCCTGCTGACCGCCGTAGGCGGCCTCCTGGCCGGCGTATGTGTCCTGTCCGCCGTAGGTGTCGTCTTCGGCGAAGCGGACCATGGTGGCTTGCCTGATAGCGCAACGCCAACCCCGGCCGGTGGACACGCTTTGCCTTGCAGCACACGCAGCCCCCCGGCGCTAGTCAGTCGCGCCCGGCGCACAGGGCGTCTCTTGCAGCGCCTGAGCTTCGCCGGCCGGCTGCGCGCAGCTGAGCCTCGTCCGTGCGCTGTGTGCATCCGAGACACTAGCGTAAGCCTAGTAGCCGAACGCGGCGCAGCCAATCAAAAGTCTGAAGATCGCCTTTCTCTTTGATCCACCCCCTGGGGGCGCCTCGAGGGGCGGGATCCCAGTTTGGGCTGCCACCGCGGCCCGCGGGCGGGCAATGATCCGACGCCCCCGACGCCGTCGACGCCCAATCAAGAGATTGTTCAAACATACGGGAAATTACAGGGGAGACGTCGGGGCTAGGGATAACTCAGGATACGACGCAGGCGCACTCCGAGGCGCCGACCTCCGCGCCGTCCATGGACTTGCAGGGGTCCGCGCAGGACGTCGGCTCCGGCGGCCGGGAGCACGGGTCCTCCACATCCGAAGCGTCCACCGAACAACCGGGCCCGGGCCGGCACTCGCAGGCCGTCGTCTCGGCCGCGCGCGGCCCGCCGGCGCGCTTCTTTTTGGTCGCGAAGACGCAGACGAGTAGGCGGCGGCCCCGCTTGATGGGCAGGCCCTCGTGCCTGCGTGGAAAATCAAAGTTCGGGCTGCGTCTGCGCGATGGCGTGGCGATTCCACGCCCTCAGCGCGACGTTGTCCTTGTGACCGCGTCGGCTCGATGGCGTGGCGATTCCACGCCATCGGCGCGACGTTTGTCCCCGTGACCGTGTCTGCTCGATGGCGTGGAGGTTCACGAAGGTCCACGCAATATTTCTCACGGGTAGATTTCCGCGCCGCCCCGCGCTGTAAGGTATCGGAGGGGAAGACGACCGTCGAGCCCTTGGCCGGCTTCGCGTCGAAGGACGGTTCCAACACCGAGGGAAAGAAGCGCGTGCCGCCTCCTTCAAAGTCGACGCCGGGCGTCGAGAGGAGTAATAACAAAGTAGCACCCTCCTTCCTTCCATCAGTGTGCTTCTTCAGGCCCTTCTGGCCGCCCGCGTCGTAGACGATGCAGAAGGCCCGCGCCATGGAGAACTCCAGCCTGATCTCCGGCGGCAGCTCGTCGGAGGCCCTGGAAGCCGACGCCTCGAGCGCGGCGCGGATCTCGTCCTGCGACCGTTGCGGGAGGGAGGAGACTAGCACATCCTGGGTTGGCAGGGAGACGCCCCGGTCCGTCGTCTTGCCCGCGTCGAAGCACGCGTTGACCGCGTCTCTGGCCCGGTCGCAGGCGTCCGGCGCTAGAGCGCCGGCGATCTCGAAGACGGGCGCGCTCGACTTCGAGAGCCGCCGCAGGTGGAACTTGGGCGTGGGCTTCTCGTTGACGGGGTTCTCCTCGTCGTTCGGGAGCTCGCGCAGGGGGCGGCGGCCCCAGAGGAGGGCCATCTCGGGTCAGGCCGGCGGGTCGCGCGCGCGGTTTTGTTTGTTAAAAGTCCTTCGGCCCAGCCCGAGCGCTGGGAGGACGGCACTGATACCGTCCGGACGCAGTCGCAGTGTGTTAAACACGTGCGGTCACAATTTTTTGGTATCCTGAGAGCCTCCTTTCGGCCTGGGTCACTGCTTCACTACCGGCTAGGCACAGTCCGAAAGTTGGCGCTGGCGAGAACAGGCGATCGTGCAGTGCTGCGCACACAATTTTCACAGTCACGCAACGGCCCGATACCTCAGACAAAGCCGATTTCAGGTCGGTGTGTCTGCCTGGGAGGTTGACCGACATGGGAGAACGCAAACAAATTCAAATCGTAGAGCCTCCAAGGAGCCCTGCGTTACGCGGTAGGCACCCGTTTTCGCAGCGGCGCAGCCTTCCGCTTTCGTTCGGGTCTGGCTCCTTGCTTGCCTCTCCAAAACGCCAAAATCATCGTCTAAACTAATCACAGACAAGCTTCGTAACCGTAAAAATACACGAATTGGACCTACGCGACCCCGAGCACCAGCTCGAGTTGTAAAATCAGCGCTCCATAGCCCAATCAGCAGCGCTCCAGCCGACCATGCTGCGCGCACTCGTCTTAACCAAGCTGGCCATGCACGCGAACACGCTGACACCGTCGACTAGACGACGACGACTACAAACGAGACGCCCGCTCGTCACCGAGGCCGTCGACCTCGATGCCTGCCTCTCGAGCGACGACGCGCTCGAGCCGCTCTATGCGTCGACGCCAGAACACGGCTACGCGCGGTGCCCCGACTGCACGGCACCGGTGGACGTTGTGAGTGTCGACGCGCTGCTGTCGGCCCGCGCGTTCCACCGCGAGTGCCGGAACTACGCCGAGGCCGACTTGCTATTGGAGCAGCTGCGCGCGGTCTGTGGCGTTGTCGTTGATGATGAAAAAATGAGTTGGCGCTACTCTGACCACGCGGAAAAGCCGGCAGAGGCCGCGGAGGCCTCCCTGCCGGCGTTCGACGGCGACTCGGCGGCGCTCGACGCGGCTCTCGTAAACGCGGTCGAGGCGATCCTGCGGCGGCGCGCCGCGGCGCAGCTGGCCAAGGACTACGTCGTCGCTGACGCGCTGCGCGACGAGCTGCGCGCGGAGTACAACGTCGCGGTGCACGACCGCGACGGTCGCTGGCGACTTCTTGAGCCGACGAAGCGAAGGCTCGTGTAATTCTTCTTGGTGAAAGGGCCCTGATAGGACTAGTGGGCGGAGCCCCTGGGGGGAGGAGACACCGCGCGTTTGAATCGGAGCCGCTGGCGCTAGTAGGTAAGGTGTATGCCTGGGCTTGGTGTCTCGGCTGCCCCCGCAACGCAGCCCGCGCGGTCGCGTGTACCGGCACTACAAACGCGAATTTAGCATGGGGGACGATGCCAATGGCGGCTGCTGTACCCTCAAGCGCGGCTCCGGGATCTTCATCCTCGTGCTCTCCATCCTCTCCCTCGTCGGCAGTATCATCTGCGCGGTCATCGCGGGCTTCTCGGAGATGGGCCTCTACACGGCCTTCAACTGGATCCACTTCGTCCTCCTCATTTACCTTATCTCGGCCGCTTCGGCCTACGTGTGCTGCCGAGCGTGCGGCCCCAAGATCACGGGGGGGCTCGCCGTCGGCTACTGCGTCCTCGCCTTCGTGACCTTCATCGTCCTCGCGACCGGCCAGCGGTCCGCCATCGAGCACAATTGCGAAGGTACGGTGGAGTGCGCCTCCATCTCAGACTGGGACCATCCTGATCCCGAGTGCGGGCGCAAGACGTCGTCCTTCTCGCTGTGCTACTTGCCGGAGACGGACGACCGCCGCCGCCGTCTCGCCGCGCTAGCGTACGCTGAACCTGAAGAAGCTTCTGAGAAGAAAAAGGAGAAGACGAAGAAGACGAAGAAGAATAGAAAGAAAGACGGGGCGCCGGGGCCACGGCGCGCGCTCCAGGGCTGCTCGCTGACCGGCGACCTTTGGTCCTCTCCTAGCGGCACGACGAATCACGGCAATTCGGACGGGTGGTGCTACAGCGAATTGGACCAGGACGTGGGCTGCACGGAGTCGCCGAGAGACTGCTGGGAGACGTGCCTTTACTACTACGGCGACGACCTCGTGGCCATCGACTGGAATGACGACGGCACCTGCTACTGCCAAAATGACTGCGAGTGCATGTCGGACGTCGGCGACGACGAAACCTACCTCATCACGCGCGACTCGAGGGTCGGCGCGCTGCCGCACGAGTGCGACGACGGCGTCGTGACCCTCTACGAGGACAAGAGCCGCGGCGCGGGATGCGACGCGCTCGACTCTAGCGGCAATGTCGTGAACACGAACTCCGCGGACCACTGCTGCCAGGGCGAAGGCTATTGTTGCGATTACGGGTCATGCACCTCGGATTCGGACTATTGCGGTTACCGGTTCCGCTGTGGCGGTCGTCTCTTCGTCGCCGGGCCCTCGGGGGGCACTTACTACGACGCGACGGCCTACTGCTCAAGCATAGGCGCATCGATCGCCACCATCTATAGCGCGACCGAGAACGAGCTGGCGCGCCAGGCCTGCGGCGGCTCGTCGTGCTGGATCGGCCTCGAAGAAGTCGGCGGCGACGCGTCGACGCCCAAGGAGAGCCAGACGTGGCGGTGGATGGATGGATCGACAGCCAGTTACACGAACTGGCTGCCGAGCGAGCCGCAGAATCACGAGGGGAACGACGAGAGGAACGCCATCATGAACTGCTGCGGCACAGACGGCGTCGACGCGTCGGGCATGTGGTACGACGCGGGCGGCGGCTACGGGGCCCCGAAGCCCCTCTGCCGCACCGATGGTAGCGGTACGTACGTTGCCCCGACGTGGTACTACTCGAAGTGGGGCGACGACTGCCAGCACGGCGGCGGCGGCGGCGACGACCACTGCCGCGTGTTCAAGACACAAGACGACTGCATCAACTATTGCAATCCGTGGGACGACGACGCCGACGAGCAGTGCGAGGACGCGGACGACCCGGAAGACTGCAACTCGATCGTTACGCACGTCAACACGGTGGCCGGCTGGTCGACGTTTTTTGTAGGGCTGGTGCTCTTCCCGACTCTCGTGTGGGTCGCGCTGCTCTTCGCCGTCCCGGACCCGCAAGCTGCTGCGCCCGTGACCGCGGTGGAGTTGCCACGCATGCAACCCCAAGTGATGATGGTATCGCCCGTATCGCCCGGGGGCGGGCAACCTCAGGTGATCATGGGCCAGCCCCAGATTGTCCAGGGGGGGCAACCTCAGGTGATCATGGGCCAGCCCCAGATGGTCCAGGGCGGGCAACCTCAGGTGATCATGGGCCAGCAACCTCAGGTGATCATGGGCCAGCCCCAGGTTGTCCAGGGTGCCCCGTCGAAGCTCGCCGAGTTCTAGGCCACTTCCTCGCGGCTCCCTCTCTCCCTCCCCCTTGTCCTCATGTCCAGACGGTTATCCACGTGGAGCATACTATTCGCGTCAAAGATCTACTAAGTAGACAAATTGCAGACTTGGAGTTTAGACGATGGCGCACGCCGTCGGAAGCTGTGTGTGGGGGGGCGGCGTCGGTGGCTCCGGGACTAATGTGCCCGATGGTGGCCAAATTTTTTTCAATCCCCGGGGATCGGTCCGGGGAGTCGTTCCCTTGTGTAGACGGGCGTGGATTATGGCCGGGGTGATTGGTGATTGCAGCAACTCTAGAGAGCAAACTCTTGGGCTTCAGTGTCAAAACATTTAGCGCAAAGAGCAAAGGAGATCGCCGCGCGGGCCTCGCTCGTGCACTGGTCTCGTTTAACTCCAAAAAACCAGGCGTGAGTCGCGCGCGCTGTGGGGCATCGCTCCTGAATTCTCAGGACAAGTTAGGCCAACCAGGCGAGCATATTGCCGGGAACCACGAGCGATGTTGGCGCCGCGCCTCCCAGTAACGGCGCGTGACGAAGCCGAGCCTTCGCCAGACGCCGCAGAGCGCATCGAGGCCGTCGCAAAATCCGAGCCGAGCTTCCTGCCGCGGGCCGACTACGTCAGCGCAACGCAATCAAACGGCATGACCGTCGCGTCGAGAGAGAAGATCGTCGGCTGGTACGAGCAGATGGGCGCCGCCTTCGGCCTCGGCGACCACCTCCTCGACCTCGCGACGAACTACCTCGACCGCGCCCTCTCGGCGCGGTCGGTGAGCGCCGACGAGTTCCGGAGGGACGCCGTCGCCGCCATCTACCTCGCGGCCAAGGTCGAAGGCGCCGCCGCGTTCAAGGCCGCCGACGTCGCCGCGCTCACCCGCGGGAATGTCACCGCGGAGGACCTGATCGCGGCCGAGGCTGACCTCGTAAAAACGCTCCAGTGGCGCACGCACGCGCCGACCGTCGCCGTCGCGGTGCTTGACGCGATCACGTTCCACGAGGTCTCCGTCGCCGACGAGGTCTCGGCGTTTGCCCGCGCGGCGCGCACGTCCTACGAGCTCGTCGGCGCGCCGCCCACGCTTGTGGCGGCTGCATGCGTCGTCGCAGCGTCACCGAACGCGCGCGCGGTCGCCGAGGCCGCGTCCCAACTCGACACGCCCTGGGGCGGCTCGCCGTCGCGGGTCCAGGCCGCCGCGGCCCTCCTGCGCGCGGCGCGCGCCAAGCGGGCCGCCGCGCGCGCGGGAGTCGCGTTCGTGCCGGTGGAGACGCCCGACGACTGCGCGACGGTCACGCCCGACCCGCCGACGCGGTCGCCTTCCCCCTACTCGAAGCACTGAGCTGACTGCGCGACGGTCACGCCCGACCCGCCGACGCGGTCCTCCTGAGCTGTCCGACCTCCCTACCACCACGATCCTTTGACTGTTCCACTTGTTTGGTTCCACTTGTTTGGTTCCGCTCGCGCCCGACGAGACGTCGGCGCGCCCGGCCCCCGCCGCCTCTCAGAGGCGGCGGCGCAGCCCTGTTCGGGTCCCTTTGTCTGAGTTCTTTCTACTAACCTTACTATTATTTCAACATATCTATTCTATTCTATTCCGATTTGCTCCAGCGGCAAAAACCCGTTTAGTAGAATTGAATTTTTGAATTTAGCCTCTCAACGCGCGAGAGCGACGGCGCGCGAGACGGCCAACACGCTCTTACATAGGCACGCAGCAGCAAGCGCAGCAGCTCTGTGACCGCCACCCAGCGGCCAGCCAAAAGAAACCGCGCAAAGTGCAGCACTAGCGGAGTACAGCAGCCCTCGCCGCGCTACATGTCCACAGCGGCACCGCAACCCTCTCCGCGCGTCACGCCGGACAAGGAGCCCATGGCTCAAAACAAGAAGATTTACGTCTTGGACTGCGGCGGCCAGTACTGCCACCTCATCGCGTCTAGGCTGAGGCGCCACGAGGCGCTCTCGGTGATCGTGCCGCGCGCCGCCGCGTCCCGAAGCAAGCGCCGCGTCTGCGCGATGGCGCGGAGGAGACACCACTTCTACGCCATCGACGACCGCGCCGCCGCGCCTCGACTCACCGGTCGCGCACACGCAGGTGCGACGTGCCCGTCGCCGAACTGAACGATGCGGCGGCCATCGTCGTGAGTGGAGGGCCCCAGTCGTGCTTTGATCCGGACAGCATGAAGGTCGACCCCGCGCTGTGGCAGCTCCCCGTGCCCATCCTAGGGATTTGCTACGGGTGCCAGATGATGTGTAGAGATCTCGGTGGTAAAGTAGAAGAAGCCCAAGTGGGCGAGTACGGCGCTGCGACGTTAACGGTCACCGATTCATCCGGTTTACTGAAGACAGCGCAAAACTCGACGGTCTGGATGAGTCATAGAGATAAGGTCACGCAGCTCCCGCCGGACTTCACGACCACGGCCACAACATCCCACTGCCCCCACGCCGCCGTGGCCTGCGAGGTCGGTGGGAAGCGATTGTACGGGTTTCAATTCCATCCTGAAGTGACGCATTCCCAAGAGGGCGAGAACATGCTCGGGGCCTTCGTCGACCTCTGTGGATTGAGGGGGTCGTGGCGCATGGACGACTTCGTGGACGAGCAGCTCGCGAAGATCCGGAATAAGTGCGAAGATGGTAGATCGGTGTTTGTTCTGGTGAGCGGTGGTGTTGATTCTACCGTAACTTATGCACTACTCGCAAAAGCACTACCCCCGGATCGTATTCTAGGGTTGTACGTGGACACGGGCATGATGCGCAAGGGCGAGAGTGCATTGGTGGAAGAATCATTACAGAAGGCGGGCCTGCCGAACTTGCGATGCGTCGACGCGTCGGCCCAGTTCCTAGGCGCGCTCGAGGGCTTGACGGCCCCGGAAGCGAAGCGAAGGGCCATCGGCCAGCAGTTCCTGGCCGTCCAGCGCGACAAGTGCAAGGAATTAGGACTGGATCCCGAGAAGTGGTTATTAGGCCAAGGCACGATCTACCCCGACACGATCGAGTCGGGAGGGGCCGCGAAGAAGGCCGACGTCATCAAGACGCACCACAACCGCGTGCCGGAGATCGACGCGCTGATCGAGCGCGGTTTAGTGGTAGAACCTCTAGCTGATTTATATAAAGATGAGGTGCGCGCCGTCGGCGAGCGGCTGGGCCTCGCGCCGCACTTAGTGTGGCGCCAGCCCTTCCCGGGGCCCGGCTTAGGCGTTCGATTATTATGCCACGATGGCGAGGACGACGACGCCGACATGAGGGCCAAGGCCGCTCAACAAGCCACGGCGCTCGTCGGCGCCACGGTGTCCGTGCCCCCCTTGAAGAGCGTGGGCTGCCAGGGCGACGCGCGCACTTATAGAAACTTCGGCGTCATTTGCGGCGATTACGGACGGGACTGGGATGTGCTCGGCGACGCGGCCACAAAAATAGTGAACGAGAGCGGGAGTTTGAATCGCGTTTGTGTTTCGTTATTACACAACAAGGCCGGAGACGCGCCGTCGTTCTCCGTGAGCCCGGGCGGGCCGCACACGTGCACCTCGGACCGATTCGACGTATTAAGGGAGGCCGACGCCATCGCGACCCAAAAACTCACGGACGCGGGCCTGATGCGCAAGATCTGGCAGTGCCCCGTGGCCATGGCGCCTCTGACGCTTAACGGCGAGAAGGGCGAGGTCATCATCCTGCGGCCGGTCGACTCGACGGAGGCGATGACGGCGTCCTTCTACCGCGTGCCCTTTGAGATCTGCGACGACATCGCCTCCGCTATTAAGGAGGCGCTGCCGCAGATTTCGGACGTCCTCTTCGACGTGACCAACAAGCCGCCGGGCACGATCGAGTGGGAGTAGATGTATAGCCGCGACCGTATCTAACAACATACAACTTACTATACTTCCTTTCCCCGCGTCGCGACCCAGAGCTCGCCGTGGAAGCGCATCGCGGCGTGGTGCGCGGCCGCGGCGAAGACGTGCCAGCCCGCGTGGAACCAGTAGACCGGGTTGAGCGCGCTCGTGGGACACGTGCCTTCTCGGTACCGGTACTGCTCGATCTCCCAGATGATTTTCCCAAATGCAAAAGTCCCTATGAACCAAAACCAAGTCCGCAGCGGCGCGCCGATCTTTCTACTCGCAGAGAACGCGATGCCACCCGCCAGGAAATACTGGAACCTGTGTGCGAAGAATATTGTGCGTTTGCCCCCACGCCATCGAACTGACACCGGCCACGAGCGTCAGCGTGTTGATGAACACCGCATAGTTCTGCCACCATACATATGTCACGGCGCCGACGATCGGCACGCCCGCGCCCACGAAGAGCGTTCGTCCCCAGAGTGGCGGCCTCGTCCAGGGGTGGATATCGCGGACGCTCCACAAGTACGCGTGTGCCAGCAGCATCATCGGGAGCTCGTCTAGGAGCTCCGCGCGCCACGACGCGCCCGCCGTGCCGTGAAAGAGGACGCTGCCGACGAACACGACGATCAATAGGAGCTCGGCAGCGACGAACTCGAAGGGCAGGCCTCGTTCCTTCGCGAGCCGCCAGCCGATGTAGGCGGTGATTGCAAATATCAAGTTACTAAACGTGTTGGTCCACTCGAAAGTGCGGACCTCCGCCTCGCACCATTTGACGGCAACCATCCTCAGCCTCCTCAGGGATGCTGATTTGTACACAGCGCCACCGGCAGCAGTGATGACTTATGCGACTACTAGCAGCGTCTACAGATGCTTGGTTGCAGTTAAATCCACGCTGCAGCAAAGCCGTCGAGCTGGCTAGTGTCTTACATGTCGCTAGCTTTTGCTCGTCGCGCTTTCGCCATCAAGCCGCGCCAGACGGTTACATCAACCGCTAGAGGGTCACATCGATCCTCTGACTGAAGGCGCACTGCATACCAGATAGCCTCGCCAGCACGCTGCTAGCTGAAAGCCCTCAGGAGCAGCACACCACCTGCAAGCCGCACGCTAGTCGCCGCGAGCCGCAACAAAAATGGGCATCGTCGACAAGATCAAGGAGCTCGAAAATGAATACGCGCGGACCCAAAAGAACAAGGCCACGGAGGGCCACCTCGGCATCATCAAGGCCAAGCTCTCGAAGCTGCGCGGCGAGCTCCTCCAGGACCAGGCCGGGAGCGGCGGCGGCGGCGAGGGCTTCGCCGTGCCGCGGTCGGGCGATGGAAGGGTTGCGCTCATCGGCTTCCCGTCCGTCGGCAAGTCGTCTCTGTTATCAACGCTCACGACGACCCAGTCCGAGGCCGCCGGCTACGAGTTCACGACATTGACCTGCATCCCGGGCAATATTATATACAACGACACGAGGATCCAGCTCCTAGATCTACCGGGCATCATCGAGGGCGCGGCCCATGGAAAAGGACGAGGCAAGGAGGTCATTGCCGTGGCGCGGACCTCGGATTTAGTACTGATCGTGTTAGATGCGGCGAAGGAGGGCGTCGACAACCACAAGATGATCCTCGAGAGGGAGCTCGAGACCGTCGGCCTGCGGTTGAACAAAAGGCCGCCGAATATTACGTTGACGAAGAAGGCGACGGGCGGCGTCAAATTTAATGCCACGGTACCTCTTACCAAACTAGGAGACGACCCCGAGAAGACGGTCCTGCAGATCCTGAAGGAGTTCAAGCTGCACAACGCCGAGGTCCTGATGCGGGAGGACTGCTCGACGGACGAACTCATTGACGTGATCAACGGCAACCGGAAATATGTCAGGTGTCTCTACGTGTATAATAAGATCGACATGATCCCGCTTGAAGATGTAGAAACACTAGCAAGGCAACCCGACTCCATTGTGATAAGCGTGAGGCAGAAGCTGAACCTCGACTATTTGTTAGCAAGGATGTGGGACGCCATGGGTTTAGTAAGGGTCTACTGTAAGAAGAGGGGCTGCCCGCCGGACCTCGACGAGCCCGTCGTGCTCTCGGCGCAGCGCCACGGTATTACGATTGAGGCGGCGACGCAGCGCATCTCCAAAGAACTACTGGTGATCTTCAACTACGCCGAGGTCTGGGGCACCTCCGCAAAACACTCGCCGCAGCGCGTCGGTTTACAACACAAGCTCCACGACGAGGACGTCTTCCAGATCGTCGCCCAGACGAACCAGCAACAAAAGCAGGACAAGGGCTACAGCCAGCGCGTCCAGAACTACAACGCCGAGATCGCGCGGAAACGGCGGACGCGGACCAAGGAAGGGAAGAAGAAGCGCAGCACGGGGTAACTATTTATTTGTGATCGGTCGAACGGACGGACGGGTGCTTCAGCTCGTCGGCGGAGAGACGAAATCCGAACGGGCCGCGCAGTACGCCGCCGTACGAGCAGAAGTTGAGCGCGGAGATCGGCATCGCCCGGAACGCCGGCACGGGGCGACCTAAATAACGCGCCAGCGCGCGCGCGTCCATAGACTCCGGGCGATTGATGTCGAGGACGAGGCGGCGGTCGGCGGGCACGCGCGCCACGGCGGCCTCGTTCCGGCGAAAGGCCGCCTGCGACTCCGCGAGCTGTGGGCATCGCGTGCCGTATTCCAGGCATCGGACGATGGATTTCTGGGGCTCGTGGTACGCCGGGCCCTCGCAGTGGTGGGCTCCGAAGTTCCGGCCATATTTGGTTCGCGTCGTGTGCACCACCCGGTACCGGGGAAAGGCGCAGGCGAGGCGCGGCCAGATGTGCGCGAGGGGCGTGTCGAAGTACGCGCGTGCGCCGGCCCGTTCAAAGGCCGAGAAGTCGTAGCGACTCGAATTCAGCAGCAGGTCGGCCGTCGTGACGAAGCGGTGGCACGTCGGTATGCCGAGCGCGTCGACGGCGGCCGCGACGGAGCGTGTGCCTGTAGCTCCGAGGCCAGTGCCGAGCACGAGTCGGGTCTGCGACGTCCGCATCCGCGCCGAGCAAGTGAATGGTTCGAGCAGCCAGTCCAAGTTATTTTCGCTCAGCACGGCACGGCACTCCTTCGTCATCGCGGCGAGCGCTTTCGCGCCCTGCTTCCGTTTGCCGAGCGCTCGCCGGGCCGGGTCCGCGGCGGCGACCACCGCCGCGACGAAGAGAACGGACAGGCGCATTATCCTCGATGCGATACGACGATGAATCGAAACGAATGCAAAAGAGTGGCGGGTCGCCGCGAGGCGAATGAATATATTGAAGCGAGTGGTTGCCTCAATTCACTCACTGAGGGATTCAGGGCCAATTTCAGGCAATTATGGAGCCTCATGCCTCATAGTTCCCGGCACGTTACCACCACAGTGATGATTGCTCGGAGATCGCCTCGCTTCTTCGACACAAACTCTTACGTCCGGTCGGCGCCGAGCAAAGCTAAGCTGAAATCGGGGGGCTAGCGGTCTGTAAAGACACTAGCAAGCACTCAGCGGCGCGATGGCCCAGCAGATTACTCCTGCGAAACCACCCCACTACTACGATTCGAGTTAAGCAAGCCATGGTGAGTGTACTGGTAGTAGGGGGCGCGTCCGACTCCCGCGCGTCCACCAGGATTTTAGCCGACACTACTGGTACCTTCGAGATCTGCGACGCCGCCCCTTGACTGCAGCCGAAGGAGAGATACTTCCGCCGCGGCAGATCGCGCGGGGTCGCGGAGAGTAGCGCCGAGTTTGCTCTCCGGGCAGCGGAAGCTGGCGAGGTCTTGCGCGCCTTGCACGGGAGTAGCAGGAGCTCGGTGAGGCTCGCGGGCAGCCTTTGCTCTCCGTAGGAGGCAGTAGCAGCCATGGGCTGCAACGCGAGCGCGCAGACCGTCGTTCCCGATGATGCACCGAAGCCGCAACAGTACCAATGGTACTGGCAGTGCTGGGATGAAAAAGTAGAGTACCCTGCGGATGTGCGGGACCGCCTAGAAAAAGCCTACACGGAGTTCAAGGCGGGCCGCGGCCCGACGTATCCGATTATATCGATAGGGGACGACGGCGACACGGTGTCGCTGAAGGCGATGCAGCAGATCTCGAAGACGGGCATCAAGCGCAACGTGGTCCGAGAGACGACGGGCCCCGACCGGGCCGCGGTGTGGTACTACGGATCACCAAAGAGGTGCGCGGGCGACGAGGTCCCGTTCGACGAAGGGGAATGCGATAGGCTGGAAGAGGCCTTCGCGGCGTTCCAGGACGGCGGCGCGGCGACCGTCAACATTGATGAAGACCGCGAGGTCTCTTTCCCGAGGATGCGGCTGCGTCATATGAAAACGGGCGTGCGGCGCGCGGTCGTGCGCGAGGCCCTGCCCGAGAAATATGAATGGTCCTGTACAAAAGGAGAGCGGACGCCCTACGGCGCCGACGTCCGCGACCGCCTCGAAGGGGCCTATTTTGAGATGAGCCGGGGCCGCGGCGCGTCGTTCCCGACGGTCGCCGTGGGCGGCGGCAACACCGTGCACCTCAAAACATTACAGCAGATCTCGGGGACGGGCGTGACGCGGGACGTCGTCCGCGTCGTCGATTCACATCCCCAGCAGTACCGGTGGTACTGTGATGGGACGCTCTACGGCGATGACGTCCGGGACAGGCTCGAGGCCGCCTACCAGCTCCTGCAGAGCGGCGGCGGCCCGACGTATCCGACTATACCGATAGGGGACGACTGCAAGGTGTCGCTGAAGGCGATGCAGCAGATCTCGGGGACGGGCATCAAGCGGGACGTTGTGAGAGAGGGCGACGGGCCCGACCGGGCCGCGCGGTGGTACTCGGTTACCGAGGCCACGGGTAGCGCCTACGACGCTGATGACAACGAGCGCCTCGAGGCCGCCTACGCCAGCGATCAGGTGGAATTGGCCGTCGGCGACCGCACAATTGACTTGCAGCGGATGCAGCAGACGTCGACGGCGGGCGTCGTCCGGGATTTGGTAAGGGAGAAGCTGCCGCAGGAGTACCGCTGGTCCTGCGCCGGCGACGAACTGACCCCTTATACTGATGACGCCCGGGCCAAGCTCGAGGACGCCTACGCGACCTTTCGCCAGGGCCGCGGGCCGACGTACCCGACCGTATCCGTCGGCGACTGTGAGGTGTCGCTAAAGACCATGACGTCGCGGCACGCGCGGACGGGCGTCCAGCGCGACGTCGTCCGCGAGCTCGCGCACGACGGGCCCGTCGTGCCGCCGCCGGACGCCTCCCTCGCGCGCGAGGCGTCGTCCGTCAAGCTCCAGGCCGCCCAGCGGGGCCGCGCGGCGCGGAAGGCCGGCCTGCGCGCGGCGCTGGCGGCGTCGCGCCTCCAGGCGACCGAGCGCGGCCGCCTCGTGCGCACGAAGCGACGGGCCGTCGCGGCCCACATCCGGGCGGCGGCGGGCTTCCTCGTCGTCCAGCGCCGCCGGCCGCCCCGCTCGGGCGAGGGCCTCGCGGCGACGACGCTCCAGGAGACCACGAACGCCACCGCCGAGGAGGAGGCCGCCGCCATCACGGCCGCCGTCGTCGACGACCTCGGGAGAGAGACCGACGAGGAGCCCGCGGTGCCGGCGACGCTCACGCGCGCCGAGAGCGTCCGGTCCGCCGAGGCGGAGTGGCGCAAGGCGCGGGACGTCATCCGCGCGATCCCGAACGCGCACGCGCCCATGAGCCGAGCCTTACAGCGCCTCGTCGAGCAGCGCGAGGCGGCGTTCCGGGACGAGGCCCGCCGGGACGCGGAGGCGGAGGACGAGGCCGCGCGCCGGCGGCGGGAGGAGGAAGAGGCAGCGGAGGAGGCACGGCGGCAGCATCAGGAGGCGATCATGACGCGCGTGCTAAAACGCCTGGTTGAGATAAAGCTCGGCAATGCTTTCGAGACCTGGTGCGTCGGCCTGGCCGAGCGGAAGTCGTGGCTGTCGCGCACGACAACGACGGCGCCCTTCTCGGAAAGCTTCGCGACCACGGGGATCTTCGCGTCGACGCAGTCGCTGGGCGCGACGTTCAAATCGACGCGCGAGGAGGCGTCGTCGTACCTCGACGAGGTCATGCGCTCGCCGTCGCTCGCGCGGGCGTCGTCGGCCCGCGCGCGGTCGCGCGGCGGCCGCGCGGCGTCGCCGGAGAAGTCGCTGCGCCTGGCGGATTGGAACTTCTCGCCGCCGCCGCCGGACCGCGTCGTGCGGCGGACGACGCCGGCCTACCCGTACTCGCCGCCCGTCCTCAAGGACCTCACGGCGAACCCACTGGGCGGCTCCGTGCGCGCGGCGACGCCGGCGCGGGGCCGGCGGCCGCCGTCGCCGACGAAGCAGCCGGATTTTCGTCCTAGGGCGGTCGATGCCGCCCGGAAGGAGGGGCCTCCACATCAAGAAGAAGAGACGTCCACCGTGCTCACGCCGCGGCGGTCGCCGTCGCCGCCGCCCGCGGCGGACGGCGGACGTGCCGCGCTGGGGCCGCCCGCGCGGCCGGCGCCCGCGTCGCCCGCGGAGCCGACGCCCGCGTCACCCGAGACTGAAATCCAACCGCGCTCGCGGTCGCGCTCTCCCGAGCGGCCGAAGACCGCAGCGCCGTTTTATGGTCCACGGTCGCGGTTGCCCGAGCGGCCGCGGTCGGCGTCGCCCGTTGGCAGGAATCCCTACTCGCCGCGCGATCGGAATTCGAAGGAAGCGGGATGGAATCCTTGCTTTAACCACGTCGTCGTCAAGAACAAGCCGCTCGACCCCCAACCGTATGGGCCACCACCGCTCACAAAGCCCAAGGCCGTGAGACTGGACGGGGTGCCCCAGCACTTGCACCCGGGGAGCCGCCGCGCAGCGGAGACCGCGAAGAAGATCAAGAAGTACCGCCGACAAAGACGCCGGATCGCCGCGGCGGCGGAGGCGCGCGTCGAGGCTCTCAAGGAGCGGCGGGCACCGTGGGAGGCCTCGTTTGCCTATCCCCGCGGGGACTCTGCGAACCGGAACGCGCCTCGGAAGCAGGCGCGGCCCGCGACGGCGCAGCCCGCGCGCCCGGCCGCGGACGCGGCGAAGAAGCGGCCCGCGACGGCTGGCGCCGCGCGGTCGCCGATCCGCATCGAGTTCAACCCGCGCCACGGCCCGCCTGCGCGGCAACCGGGGACTCGCGACCGCCTGGCCGACCAGAAGAACTCCTACCGCGCCAAGCTGGCCAAGCCGCCCCGCTTCGGTCCGAAGGTGCACGCTGCGATCGCCGAGGAAATGTATAAGACCATTTAGTGTTACACAGCACAATCAGTAGTTCCGGACAGCGACGGGCCGCACCGCACTCCGAGTCGACCTGCTGGCCCCTTTTTCTGTCACAAGCCTGAGACTCTAGTTCCACAATTTATTCTTAGCACAAGCCTTGGCACGGGAATAAGGATCGTAGACGGACGTCGCGTGCAGCGCCCGCGGGATCGAACGCGTTCACTCCTCCACAGGCTGCAATTCCACGCCCTCGTAAGGCACGAAGCTGTCGTAGTGGTTCTCGCCGTTGTACAGCAGGAACGTGTCCGTATCATCTAAATCATCCAATTCCGACAATTTGAGCTCGCGTCTGACAAGCACGCCGCCGTTCCAAGCGTCGTTCTCGTCTAAGTCCTTCTCGAAGCAGTATATGTCGTCCGTACGGAGATAGTCCGTACGGCTGCTCTCCAGCACGAAGATGCGGCCGGGCGCCCGTCCCGCCAAGGCCATCAGCTCCCACGCTCCGCAGAAGTATTCGAACTCGGCTTTATCCCGCATGGCTTCCTCTGAAGCAACCGAGGGACTGATCCTCTTAAGATCATCATACAACTGGTGCGCGTCTAGGGTGTCGTCAACGATCCCATTACCGTGAAGCATCTTTACATTTTCGTAGATAGAGTTGAACATGACGCTGCCCTCTTGGAGAGAATCCGCGAGATAGCGCCGCACCGGTTCGTACCAAGCATTGTCATCGTCTTCGAGCTCGTTTTCTTCGTCATGGTCGAGCGGTTGCCAGGCACTTTTCAATTCGCCAGCGCACCAAAGCCGCATGCGCTCGGGTCCCGCGAGTGTGCAGTGCCCGTCGCCCTCTTCCTCGCAGAAGACTCGACCGTGGCTGTCCATATACTCGAAGAGTGTAACTAATTCATTGTAGGACATGTTGTCCTGCTCCGCCGTCAGCCGCAAGCGTTCGATGGACGTTTCATCATAATCGTCAAATTTATCTTTGAGCTCTTCATATGTGATTCGTCGCGTCCGATGGTCGTCCCGCTCGGGATCCCGGGCCTCGCGTCTCATCTTCGAAGCTCCGCGCCCGGCCCGTTTCTTGGCGGCCGGCTTCCGTCGCGGCGGCGCGGCCCGCTTCTTCGATGGCTTCGACGAAGCCTCGGCGGCCGGCTCTAGCTGCGGCGCCCACGTGACGCTCTTCTGCTTCGCGGGCGAGCCTTCGTAAATCTTCGCGTGGAGGATGTCGATCGTCATGCGCCGGCGAAGATGCGCCATGTCGTCCTGCGAGAAGTCGAGCGGTGCTCCGAATGATAAGTAATTAGCTGAAAATGCCAGGAACAGGCCGCAGTCGCAGTTGGACTTCTGTTTTGGCGTGTCGCGAGTCGTCCCGAGCGTTCCCCAACCCGAGGGGAATTTGCCCTGCTGCGAGGCGCGCCATTCTTTCTGGAGCCACTCCTTCATAGCTCTCAGATACATTGCACCGTCGGTGTAACGTCCAGAATCAAAGTACCTGATGATTTTATTGTCGAAGTCCACCATAATTAGAGTCCAGTGCCAGTTGTCGTGGCATATCGGCACGAAGAGCTTCGATAACGAGAACACGTCCACATTTCTATGCCAACGTTTCAGTTCCTCCTCTTCGCCTTCTTTCACCCGACCCGAGCGAACTCGCATCCATTGAGACATGAAGAAGCTACTGAAGTAGTGGGTCTTTCCTCGTCGAGGGTCGGCCGCGAGCAGTGCGTCGTCGCGTTGCTGCAGCAATCTTAAGTAACAGTTGATCACCTCGGACTTGAGCCAGCCCTCGCGTCCCGATTTTCCGAGGGCTTCCGCATCCTCTCCCAGGACGTCGTATGTTCTGTTATTGTGCGTGTAGGTGACGAGTTTCTTATTCGCTCTGGCCTCCCAAGCTCTGTCCACCTCCTTTTGCTCGTCCGGCGTCAAAGGATCTTTACACGTGTTCACTCGCGCGAGCTCGGCGTCGGCTCTGGGACCGAGGGCAGGTGGGGACGGCTCTTCTTCTTCCTCCTCCTCCTCTTCATCAGGGTCCACTCGTTCTCCGATATCAGGAACGAAGCTGTCGAAGTGGTTTAAACCGTTGTAGAGCAGGACGGCGTCCGCCTCGTCCAACGTCTCCCTTACAATATCAATCGCGGGTCTGACGTGCACGCCACCAGTCCACTCGTCTCTTTCATCACGCTTCTTCTCGTAGCAGATCCCGTACGTGCCTTTATCGAGCACGAAGATGCGCCCGGGCACCCGTCCCACCAAGGCCATCAGTTCCCACGCGCCGCAGAAGTATTCTCTGCCACATCTAGGGCGCAGGGCGCCCTCCGAAGCGATCCAGGTGGAGATACCGCTGAGCTCTTCTAGGAGATCAGTGTTCACGGCATACGATTGCGATTCGTAGTCTAAGATCGACTGGAACATGTCCGTGCTCTGGTCGAGCTCAGAGGCGATGTAGCGCCGCACGTCTCTGTGCCAGCCGTCGGGGAGAGGCTGCCAGGCCGTGGTCAAATCGCCTCGTGACCAGAGTAAGGCACGCTCGGGTCCAGCGAGGCAGCAGTGCCCCGCCGGCTCCTCCTTGCAAAAGACGCGACCTTGTTCCTCCATGAACTCAAAGAGACATTTCGCATCCACAGACGGCAGCTCTTGTAGCTCGTACAAAAAGAATTCCTCCTCCTCCTCCAGTATCTCTACCTCAGAAAGGCGAATTCGTCGATTGCCCCACTTGTCGATTGTGTCGCCGCCCCGCGCCGGGCGCGCGCTCTTCTTCGAAGCCTTGCGCGCGGCCGGCTTCTTGGCGGCCGGCTTCTTCTTCTTCTTGGCGGCCGGTTTCTTATTCTGCGCCGCGGGCTTCCGCTTCTTCGACGGAGCCGGAGCCGGTGCGGGTGTAGATGCCGGAGGCCAGCGCGGCGGGAGCGTCGATTGCGGAGGCGGTGGAGGTCTCGACGCGCGGCGTGCATGTCCCCGCGCCTGCGGCGTTGGGTTGGCCCGCTTGTTGGCGAGCTCCGCCTCGATCATCTTCTTGAGGATGGACCCGGCCCGCCCGCCCTGACCGTACTTCCCGTCTCCGAGATCTTTCGCGACGGCAAACTTTTTGTTGAGCGACTGCACGTCCAACGAATCCAGTTTCCTCTCTTCCACCCTACCGTCAATCGGCTTGCCGTCGTCGCCGATTTCAGTAAACTCAATCTTGGGCTTCTGCAAACCCTTGATGTCCGTGACGCAGTAGCGTGGGCCAGGTTCGAACTGATAAGAGCGTGTACTCCCACCTCCTGGCATCCCCTTCCTCCCAAGAGGCGTAGCTAACACGAACTCTGAAGTCGTGCCGGCTTCACGCTCTGGACCCCTCTGCGAATCTATGGCAATCTGTCGAACATTGTCCTGGCGCTCATCCTGGGCCGTCGGTCGCTCCGGTCCGAGCAGCGCGATCCTACGTGGAAATGAACCAGTGAGAGTCGCGTCGAGGCCCGTCGAAGTCATGAAATGTCCACACTGGTAAACTACGGGGCGTAGCTGATCACATCGCCGACGCGCGACGCAAAGATGGGAAACAGTAGGCCGCTTCCAGTCATCGCCGGACTGATCTTGCCCAGTAAAGCTTCTACGTCCGCTTCGAGCGTGCGCGGCGACGGCGCATGTTCGCGGGGACGTGCGGCGGCCGGCGCCGGAGCGGGCGCAGGTGCCGGGGCTGGTGCCGGGGCAGGAGCGCGTCGGGCTTCTCTTAGGGCGGCCGGTCCGCCACGCGTGCGAGCGGAAACTCCAATAGCGGAACGTCGCGCCGTCTTCAACGCTGCCTTCGTAGCATGCGCCTTCCGTGCAGCTTCCGATCGTTTCGCCGCCGCCCCAGGCGATTCTTCCAGTCTCAGAGCGTCCGCTGCGCCCGCGACGGCGTGCGCGAAGAGGTCCTCGACGACTCGGCGTAGCAGACCAGGGGTCTCGGACGCGTCCAGCGCGATGGCCGGGAGCTGACCGGCTTGGCGTTTCTTCACACGGCGGAGGACGCCCTCGAGTGCTTCCAATAACTGTTGTTGATGTAACCCCCCCTCCTCCGAGAAGCCGCTGATAACAAGATTCGTCGCGGCGCCCGATTCCCGTCGCACCAAGCACGAGCCAAAGTCCACATCAAACGCCGTGGTATGAGTCTTGAGAACCGTCGTCGCGAGCGAGAAGAAGATGCCCCGCAGAGGTAGCAGAGTAAAGGCCAGAAATGGGTTCGACATTAGAAGTAGGCCGTGGATCGTGTTGGCGCCGTCGCGCGACGAGTACTGGAGCGTCGGCGACGCACCGGCGACATCCGCGCGTCTCGGCGACGCATAGCCGTGGAGCTTGACCATGAGAGCGTTTGAACCGTGAATGATCGATATAGGGATTCTGCGCGTCGCGCCGGCGACGCCGACGCGCACCTCTATCAATGCGTTGAACGCAACACCACTTGTTGGTCGCGCGAGCAGGCGCATGCCCGCCTTTTCAAAAACGCGAGCGATGAGAGACTGCGCCAGCATGCGTTCCAGAACATCCTTGGCGCACAATGACATGGCCATCTCGTTCATGACTAGGCATGCCCAATAACAGCGCGCCTTGAGCGAGTCGTTCGGTTCGATCTTCATCACCCGCACCCTAGCTAACGTCGCAGTCGTCGCCTCGAGCACGACGACCTTGCAGTTCTCGCCGTCGACGTGGAAATCCTCGTTCTCGAGCACGTAGACCACCGGTCGATCGTCGTCCTCTCTACACATCATCGACTCCATCTCGTTGCGTTGGGGTGATGTTTTCTGGCCGTCCTCGCCAGTATAGCCGCAGTCCGTCCATTCCCTCACAATCGCCCCGTACGTCGCGTTCTGTGGCGCGAGGTTCGAGCGGTTCAGTTGCTGACGGTTGGCATACCACGCCGCCGAGCAGAGCTGCATGACGAACGCAGTCTTGGCGCGGCGGTCGTAGCCAGGCGACGCCCGCGACACTCCTCCAGCGCGCCTGTGCGGAAATCAAAGTTCATGTGCTGAATCATCGCGTCGACCTCCACGCCGTCGACGCGGCGTCTGTTCACACTGGAGCGCACAGGAAGCCATCAATGAACTCGCGCTCCTCGTCACCCCACTCGTCGTGTTGGTGCTTCCGTTGAAAGTCTTCGTAGGACATGTCGAACATGTCCCTCATCGATTTGACGTCGTAGCCCGTGATGACTTCGATGGGGAACTTGAGGGACAGCTCATCATCCGCATCTCGGAAGTTGTCCAGCGCTAGAGCAGCGTCCAGCTTCGTGGCGAGCCGGTCCGACGACTGCGAGAGCAAGCCCAGGTAGAGCGGGCTTTGAGTACTAATGTTGAGGTTGACGTACAACAGCTTCTCGCCGATCCCGTCGAAGCTTAAATTAGCGGCCTTGACGTCTCGGTGGTTCTCGAAGGCCTCGACGGAATCGAAGGAGACTGACTCGTCCTCAATGAACGTGCCACTGCACTCGATTTTTCCCAACTGGCCGTCGGGTTTAACGAAGATCTTGATGTCGTAGAATGCGTACTTGACGTGGGAGGAATTGCCCAGCTCCTCGCCCTCCTCGTCACCGTCAACAAACCCGGGATGCTTGCAGTAAAACACATGGTCGCCGCTCGTACTGACGGTGAAGTGGACATGCGCGCTCTTCGTGCAACGGGCCTTCCGAAAACCGTTCCGGATGAGGTGCTCCGAACCCACCAGTCGACCGAGCGCTTTGGTGGACATGTACGCGAGCCGTTTGCCTCGAGGATCGAGGAAAACCAACGGCATGCCGTCGGCCTGTTCTATCTCGAGACGCGCCAGGGCCAATTCCCTTCCTGACCAACCTTTGCGATCCGCCTCGGCGAGCCACTTCGATTGATTCAAAAGGTACTCCGCGCCGAGCATATTATTCAAATCCTTTGTTTCGAGACGAAGCCGGCCATATCTTGAGTCAGAGCAGCGCGCCGCAATCCTATGTATTACAGTGTCTGTGGTGTATAGGACCCGCTTGAACTCAATCGGTTGCACGGACTCATTTGCCACGTCGGCCCAGGCGAAGTCCCAGCCCAGTAACTTGAGCGTGTTACAATGGGCGCGGCGTCCGAGCGCGTCCACGACGTCGTTGCGCAACGTGTCCTCGTTTTGAGGGTCGCCGTGGTCGATGCTCTCATCGAGGACCCTCCAGACCCTCTTCTCATCTGCTGACGCAAGCTTCTTCAGTACCATGCCCTTCGTGCTGGCGCCGCCGAGCATGCGGCCGAATGGACGGTGGCGGCGCGCGCTCCCCGCGACGACTGCGAGCGACGTCTCCGTGATCGGCGCCTCGCGCGTCGACGGCGTGTCTGGCGCCGCGAGCGCGTTCTTTAGAGATGCGTGGACGCGCAGAACGTCGTGGCCGTTGCGCGTCGGGTCGTCGCCAGGCGCTTTACGAGCGTCGCGGAGCGTGTCGGCCCCGCCGCACGCCATCTCCTCGACGCCGTCTAGCGACGCGCGCGAAGTGTGGTTGCCGCCTAGACGACGGGCACGTCTCTCGACGGGCTCGGCGCCCGCCGCGCCCTCCAGCCCGGCGGCCGCGGGTGTCGCGCCGTGCGTCTTGTCGAGCCGCGGCGGGCCGCCGGAGAGGAGCGACGAGCAGGAGGGCGGCGCATCGGCGGCGCGCAGCGCGTAACGCGGCCCGACGAGGCCGAACGACGGCGTCGAGATGCCCTCCGCCGCGACGCCGCGCATTGTTGGTTGGGATGGAGCACAGGTGGTTGCTGGCCTCTTGGGGTACGGAGAACCGCGGCGCGGCGCGGCAACGCGTCGATGGCGTCCGAGAGACACGCCACAGGTGCTGCGAGGTGCGGAGACGTCGCAGCGGTGCCGTGTGCCGAAGGTACAAAAGGCCACCACCATGGCGAGGCGGAGCGCCCCCAAACTGGTTGGTGTTCCGTGGGGCAGCTTCATGCCGCCGAAGGGCTGCCGGAAAGCGCCAGGCGTCGCCATTCGAGCTGCCCTGTGGCCTGCCTCGGCCACAGGACAGCGCGGCAACGCTTGCCGTCCGCGCGCCGCTGCATGCAATTTGCTCGGTGCGCGCGGGTTCACTGCTTTTCGCGTCGACGGCGTTATGGGGCAGCAAAGGCCTCTGAAGACCACTCTCCCGCCGAACTAAGGGAAATAACCACGAAAACCCGCTTCGGTCCGAAGGTCCACGCGGCGATCGCCGAGGAAATGTATAAGACCATTTAGTGTTACACAGCACAATCAGTAGTATTCCTTCACGCTGTCGGCGAGGAACTGGGCGAACGCGACGGGCAGGCGGGGCAGCCGCTTCGCGAGCGGCGGGATCGTCTCGCCGTAATCCACGAGCGCGTCGGCGCGCGCGCAGCCCCGCGGCACGTCCAGGGGCTCGTCCCAGGCGGGCTCGACGAAGAGCGCGAAGGCCTCCCGGGAGCACGAAGCGAGTTCGCCGGCCTGGACGGCGTGGGGCGTCGCCATGAGCGCCCCGGCCGTGAGGATCTGGGCCGCCTCGCCGATCTGGAACAGCACCGACCCGCGCGGCGGCGCGACGCGGTGCTCGGCGCCGGACCGCGACAGGGCGGTGAGGCCGGCGCCCGGCGGGGCGGGAACCTCGCTGCCCGCCGCGTCGTAGAAGAGGGCCGGCGCGAGCGCCGTGATGATCGAGTTGTCGTTGTGCCAGCCGCACCAGGTGCCGGAGGCGTCGCGCGGGAAGTAGTGGAGCAGCCGCCCGACGTGCAGACGCGACCGGTCGACGACGGCCGACAGCGTCGTCTCGTAGGACACCCCGTGCTTCCTGAGCGCTCGCTCGGCGACGGCGTCGCAGCGCCGCAGCACGTGCCGCGACAGCGCGTGCAGGTCCCGCGACAGGTCCCGAAAGGCGTCCTCGAGCGAGTCGCCGAGCAGGTCCGGCGACGGCCACTGCGGTTCGGTCGTCGACTCGGGGTAGCGCTCCCGGAGGCTCGCGTCGTCAATATTGCTGTGGAGCCCGTTCGCGTACCAGCTCCCCTTCGCGACGTCCAGCTGGCCTCGGAACTTTTCCCGTCCGCGCGACCAGCCGGCGCAGTAGCATAGCTCGGGCCGCTCGTATCGTTTAAGGACGTCGTCCGGCAGCGTGCCGAGCTTCTGGCCGAGGCGCAGCAATCGCCGCCGTTTCTCAGTGAGTGACGGTGGAATGTTGGTCACGGCTAGCACGCCGAGGCCATTGGGACCGAACGCACTGGCTACGGCCGCTTCGACAGCTTTTTCATCAGTGCTGTTGAGCAGGCTGTCGTAGTCTATGGTTTGAAGCACTGCTTCGGCTGCGCTGCTTGGTTCGCTCTTCACGGCCTCCGGTACTTGTTCTTCGGGCTCCTCGGGCGCGGCCGCCGCCGCGATCGCCTCGAGGGCCGCGTCGGTCGCGGCGTCTCTGGCTGCCGCCGGGCACCGTTCCAAGACATCGAACAGTTCCAGTATTAATTCTTCGCTGTTGTCCCCGGCTGCACTGCTTTTATCGAAGGCAGCCATGGGTTAGGGGATGCGTCGCTACCAGGCGTCACGCCTCGCACCGCTGCTCGAAGATTTCCACACGAGTGCACCGCTGCTCGAAGGCGTGCACACGGTGCTGCGAAATGCGAGAGATCACGCGTTGGAACGCTGGCCCGTTTTTTTCTTAAAGCCGGCGAGCTAGCGCCGTAAGACACTAGCATTCAATTATCTGCCTCAGCCTCAATTTTCTAGCCCTTTGCAAGTCGCAAGAGTGCGCAACTACAGGTAGAGAGTAAATACAAAACCATAAAAAACGTCAGAGCTCCCCGCCGTGGCCGGCCTCCGCCCCCACCCTCTCGAAGGCGACCTTCTGCCAGTCGCCCCGATGCTTCCACCGCGCGAGGACGCGGCCCTGGTGCGTGTCCGCAAAAGTCCCGTAGTGCGTCTGCAGGAACAGCGTCTCGCCGTAGCACACCGCCGAGAGGGGGTGCGCGTCGAGCTCCTCGCCCTTGTGTATGATAAATTTCTGCCAGTCGCCCCGGTCCTTCCACCGCGCGGCCAGCGGCGCGATCCCTCGGCCTTGGGGCGGCGGCGCGTCGATGTAGGCCGGGCCCTCGGCGCCCTCTCCGAGAAAATAGACGTAGTCGCCCGTCCACAGAGGCCCGGCCGTCCGATCCGACTCGACCTTCCAGATCTGGTGGTTCATGGTCCGGCTGTCGTGGGCGGCACTCAACAAACCGTCTTCTTGCGCGACCCAGGCCGGCGCGCCCTCGGAGCCGATAGCTCTCACGCGCACGACGTCGTCCACCAGCACGGGGTCGGCGCAGCCGTGGTGGTCGTGCTTCGCGCCGTAGTCACTATCCAACCGATGTAGATCATACAACTCCGGGTGCTCGATGATCGACGAGATCGTCCGTTTTACGGATCTATCTTTCGAGATCGCGACGTGCTGGTTGTAGCCCTTCCCTTCGTCGACGACCATCTGCCAGACCGTCTCCCCATTCTCATTCTCGACCCACCAGCGGTGGCCCTCGAAGGTCCCCGCGATGTAGGTTTGTTTGACATATCCTAAATCGGCCTGGTGCTTCCTCCCGACGCCGCCGTCCCACCACAACCGGTGGCCGCCGGCCACAGGTAAATAATTTGTGAACGTGATCTTCACTTGTTTTTTGCCAGCGTCGGCGTGGCGCGAGTTCACCTCGCGCTTCTTGAGCGCCGCCGCGTGCTCGTGCGGGTCCTCGTGCTTGTTCACGGCGGCCGTCGCGAGGAGCAGCGTGAGGAAGGTGGCGGGCAGCCGCATGGGTAGCGGCGCGGCCATGCTGCACGCGTGGGGTGCGATCGGCTGTGGGTGTCAGCGGCTGTCGATTGCAGTCGGTGTGGGGGCGATTGACGCAGCCGCTGCCCGTGAACGCTGCCCGAGGACTCTCCGTCGAGCTATGCGTGCCACAGCGACTCGCCTGCGGCCAGAAACGATTCCACAATGTGCTTTCTTCGCGGAGCTGCCTGTCACAGCCGAAAAATTTCACGTGTTTTCTAGTGTCTTACCGCTAGTTCGCAAGTAGTTTCGGTTTTGGGGGGGCTAGCACCGTGTCACGATGAAGTAATTGAGCAAAGAAACCGCGAAACTGTCCAGCTAAGACGAAAGTAAACCATTGTGAAAGACGCGGCCCGCGCCGCCCGCCGACCGAGGAATCGACCGTCGTGCACGAGAGTGCTCACTACGGCAAGGAAGTACCGACACATGGAGTTACACAAACAAACACTACTGCGGGCCGATGTGGTGCCGCGGCCGCCGAGGACGACGAGGAGGAGGAGGCTTCCGAGGCTCCTCGCCGCCGTGGTGGCCCCGCCTCTCAACACCCTTCTTCGGCGGCTCGCGGCGCCGCAGCACGGCCGCGACCTGGCGGAAGGCCTTCGGGAGGGGCGGCCGGAACAGCGCCATGCGCACCTCCGTCGCCACCGCCAACGTCTCCTCGAGGTTCACGACGCCGTGCCCCCACATCTCCGGGACGACCGCGACGTCGCCGGCCCGCTGCACGCATGTTAATGGAGAAGGCTGGCCGTCTTTTTCTAGTTCAGAGCGGTCGTCCTCGTCCCATTTTCGGATCTGTTCGTTCGACATCAACGCATAAGCCGGCGGGTAGACCAACCACTTTTTAGCACCATAAACGCACGCGTTCCAGGCCGTGTTGTGAAAGTGCTGCGGCGCGCCGCTCGCGGGCCCGCCCAGCGCCCACTGGAGGTTCACGAAGGGCCAGGCGCGGTCGTAGGGGTCCTCCGGCACTTTTGAGTCGTGGGAAGCCCACCTGTCTTCATATTTGAGAGGAGCGTGCCGCTGACTGGGCGTGTGCCGGTGCGCGTCGAAGGCCGACGCCGCCTCGAAGGCGCCGTACAACGACGGTGGAGTTGGGGATTGTGAAGGGTCGACGAACCACGACTCGGTGTCGTGTATCCTATCCTTGGGGGGCATCTTCGCCACGGGGTGGCCCCGAAATACATACCAGGGGTAGCGTTCATTGTCAAGTGACGTCTTGTGCGAGGCCATATCGCTCACATAGTGGCGAAGGGCCATATCCCTTTGCACCTCGTGGTGGCCGTCGGCGTGCGCACTGAACTTCGTCGCGTAGGGGATCGCGCTCACCGTGACCGTCGACGCGCCGTGCGCTTGGAGGAGCTTGTCCCGCGTCATCTCGTCCAGAGCCCAGGTCTCGTCTATGAGACCTCTGATGACAAAAGGCCGGTTCTGCGCGAGTCTAGCCAATATCTCTGCAGAAGAAGCGTCCTTTTCTAGAATTTCAAAGTCGCACTCCCGGTAGGCTTTGTTGAGCGCCGCGTCCGACTTTGGAGGGGAGCCTTTGCCATACAGCAGCTCGGAGAGCTCCGCTCGCGACGCTGTTTCCCAGCCGCCTCGGCCTCGCTCGCCGGCCGCGTCCGGCGCGTCTTCACTAGCATTGTCCGGCGCGTCCATCGATGCGGAGCCGTCGTCGCCGATCTCGTCGGCGGGGTCGCTCCGGAGCAATCCACCTAATAACCGCGACAGGCGCCTCCTCAGCACCTCGGGCGCGTCGGCCTCGGTCGCATCATTAACGACCGCATTCACGTCATCGTCCTCGGCCTTGAACGGGAGGGACGCCCTTAACGGCGCGCCCTTGCCCCCCGCGAGCATGGATAGGTCGTGGCCGTGGCCGTCCTTGATCTTGGGGTCCGCGCCGCGCTCCAATAAAGCGACGACGCTTCTGCCTTGCCCATGTAACGCCGCGACGTGGAGCGGCGTTGACATATGAGGCGCATCTCGTATGTCCAGGTCCGCCCCGCCCTCGGAAAGAGCTATCAACGCATCTCCAAACCCCGCCGCGGCACAATAATGCGCCGGCGTCCGCCCTAGACCATCAAGCGCGTTCGGGTCGCCGCCGTGTGCGAGTAGTAGGCGCACGACCCGTAAAGCAGCACCACCTAACGCCTGTCTTATGTGGAGCTGGCCGTAGGTCGTGTCCCCCTTGTGTTGCAGGACGCGGTGGCCCAACGACGAACTACCGCGCTCGATCGCCTTGTCCAACGGGTGCCCCGTGTTCGCTAACAACGCGAAGACAAACGAATGCTTCATGGAGTCGCCCCAGGTCATGGTCTGGCAGGCCACGTGCAAGGGGGACGCGCCCGGGCCCTTCCCGAGGCCCTCCGTCGCGTTCGCGTCCAAGCCGTGGTCCAGGAGGACCTTGAGGACCGGCTCATCTAAAGTTAATGCAGCAACTGAAAGGACGTCGCCGACGTTGGTTACGGCCCCGTCCTTGAGGTATTCGGCAACACCATGAGCGTCGCCCGCCGCGACCAAAGCAACGAGGCTCTGCTGCTGCGGTGGAGGGGGCTTTGGCTTGCCGCGTTGGGCGCGATCGTCCAGCTTGTGCCTCGCGACGTCCTCGCTCGAGACGCCGCCGCCGCCGGTCTCGACGTCCTTCCACAAAAATTTCTCGTCGTCCAGTAACGACGCGAGGCGTTCGTTGAGCGGCCGGAAGAAGGCCCGCAACACCGTTGACGTGTCGGCGCGCATCGGCGGCCGCTCCGCCTTCGCGCCGTTCGCCCGAGCTTCTACGACCTCCTCGTCTAAGGAACGGGCCACGCTCGCGTCCAGATTCAAGAAAGCATAGACTCGACCGAGCTCGTCCCTCAAACCAGCGTCGTCCTGCCTATCTTCCAACCTTAGTACAAGTAGTTGAGAGCGGGGATACGCATCGAGCCACCGCCCGACGAACGCCGCGTAGACCGACGCCCCCAGCCGCCCTCTTCCATTAAGTCCGAAGTGCATGCGGTCATAAACACAAGTTTGAACCGCTTCGAGGGACCACTCGTACCTCGGGTTGACGTTCTGTTGCTGCTCGAAGGCGTCGAAGCACAGCTCCAACGCCTTGACGTCCTTGAGAATTTTCGAGTGGAAGTCGTCGGCCGACTGGAGAGGTTGCTGCTTGCCTTTTATGGGCCGGCCCGCCACGCCTTCCGACGTGAGGAACCAGTAGTCGGAGTAGGTCCTGCGGGAAGGTTCGGCGAGCGAGACGATGAGCTTGGCTTCTGGTACCATAAAATGTAAAAGTTGGGGCACGGGCACCATCTTCGAGTCGACGCCGTCGTGGCGCTGCGTCGACCACCAGAGCGTGTGGGGCCCGCCGTCGAGCACGGTCAGCGCCTCGCCGGCCTGGATCCGCCTGGACACGTCCCGGTGGCTCCTACTAAATTCGTCGAGGCGCGTGTGCGCATCTATATAACCCTCGCGCGGCGCGCCGAACTCGCCTCTCGTAAAAAATCTCGTTTCCTTCCGCCGCGCGGCCGCCGCGGATGGATGGGAAGTGACGAGCCGCCACAAATCCGACGTGCCGGCCTTCGGCGCACCTAACAAATAGACGCGCGGGACGCAGCTCAACTCAGAATCGATCGTGTAGCAGAACGACCCCGGCGTCTCCTTCTCGTGCGCGCGCGCCGCGTCTACGTCCGCCGCGAGCGCCGGGTGCCTTTCCCTAATTTGGGCTTCATCAAAATCAACGAGGTCCGCCGGCCAGCCTACCGTTGAATCGTCGTCGAGGCCGAGGGCGCTTCCGATAACGTGCGTGCTCGGCTTTGGGCGCGGCGGCGGCGGCGGTGGACCTGTATTGTCGACGGCCACAACCGTGGGCGTCAGGCCGGAGATGCGCGCGGCGAGCGCCACCGCGAGGCCGGCGTGGACGAGCAGCGCCGCCGGGCGGGCGCCCGGCCGCGCGCGCTCGACGCCCAGGCCGGCGACGCCGCCGGCGACGAGGCGCCAGTCGCCGAGCGCGTAGCCGAGCGCGAGGCACGCGGTGCTGAGGGCGTAGCAGCACAGCACGAGGAGGATCGTGCCCCGCCGGCGCTTCCGCCGCTCGCGCGGGTGCGGCGCCCTCCGCGTCGGCAGCGCTTGGCGTCTGGAACGCATCATTTTGCTTGCTTGGCGCCTGCTCGACGGCGCGGCGGCTGCGGTTCTCTGATTGCGCGACTTGGCTGTAGCCAGCACTCGTCTGGATGTAAAAGCGGCGTGCCGGTGGCCACAAGAGCCACGCTCGGCCGCCCGTGAGCTAGCCTTGCTGGTGTCGATTGTGGCTTGCTAGGGATGCCTAGTGTCTTACATGCCGCTAGGCCAGTGCGGCGGCCGTGGCAAAGGACTGCTTGCTCTTACGTTGTACGCGCTTGGTCTCAGATAGCTGAGAATCCAGCGATTCAACGAGTTGCCAAAAATTCCTGCTGCATTTCCTGCTCACGGCTCATAAAACACACTTGCAGTCTTGCAGAGCATCGCCGCCTTCATAACTACCGCATAAATCGACGCGGTTTTCCGCCAGCGTGCGCAGCCGACGCAGCAATGAAGCTCAAGCACCACCAGCAGAAGCTCCTGCGCAAGGTCGACTTCCTCAGTTGGAAGGGCGACAACACGCTCCGCGAGGCGGCGGTCATGCGCCGCTACCACGTTACTGGTAGAGAGGACTACGTCAAGTATTCGAGATTAGTAGGGCAGGTCACGGCCTTCGTCGCCAAGCTCAAACAACTGAAACCGGACGACGAGCAGCGCGCCGATTTATCGGGCCAACTACTACGGAAGCTCTACGCCATGGGTCTGGTGGATTCCGAGTCGTCGCTCGCCAAGGCCGAGAAGGTCACGGTGTCGTGCTTCTGCCGGCGGCGCCTGCCCGTGGTGCTGGTGCGGCTGAAGATGGCGCCGTCCGTCAAGGAGGCGTCGAGATTCGTGGAGGACGGCGACGTGCGCGTGGGCCCGCGCGTCGTGAGGGACCCGGCCTTCCTCGTCACCAGGTCCATGGAGGACTTCGTGACGTGGGCCGGCGACGCGTCCCAGAAGCGGCACATTGCCCGGTACTCGAACAAGCTCGACGACTTCGATCTGCTCCAACTCTAGGGCGTGCGGTCACGGAGCCCCCGCGGCGGTCGTGGTGGCTAGGCGTTCTAGCTCGAAGCAAAGCGACTCTTAAGATATGTGTGGTTAGTTCCTCGCCGCCCCGAAGAGCCACGTAGGCAAACGCGGAGCCTTCGCCTTCGAGAGCAGGAAGCCGAGGAGGAAGGCCCCGAAGACGGCCTCGGGGCTGTATCCCACAGACTTGGGCGACGGCCGCTTCACGAGCCACGCGTCGCCCTCCAACGCGCGGTAGAAGCACGACCGCCGCGTGCGCCCGTCGGGGCCCCGCGTGTGGCACGCGCCCGTCCGCCGCGGCTTGACGAGATACAGTAAGGAGTTCTGCTCGCAGTTCACGCGGATCTCGACCAAATCCAACACGTCGCCCGACGTCTCGCCCTTGATCCAGAGCTTGCGCCGCGACGTGCTCCAGAGCACGCAGACGCCGCGCCGCCGCGCCTCGGCGAGCGCGTGCTCGTTCGCGTACGCCAGGATCAGCATCTCGCGCGTGTCCGCGTCCTGGACCGCCACGGGCACAACATCATCACCGCACGTCGCCACCTTGTGCAGCTTGCGCCAGTCGAGCATGAGCTCGCAGCCCTCCTCGAGCTGGTGGTGATCATCGCGCCGGCCCATGATGCGCGCCGGCGATGCGCTGCGCCGCTGCTGCGCCCGTCTCTCTAAGTACGCGTCGCTCGTCTTGACGAACTGATCAGGTGTCGTGGGCCTCGCAGCAGGCGATCACTGGCATGCACCGCACGCAAGCTGGTGTGCGTGGGCGGCGGACGATGCCCGGTGGTTGGGTTGGGTACTGGGCACACGATGGCTGCGTCCTTTGGCTAGCAGCAGCGGACACAGCGGTTCAAGCCTCAGGTAAAAAGCTGAGCCAGCGGGCTGTAACACACTAGGCATCTCGAACGAACGAGAGCGTTTCCTCACCAAGAGGCCCCGAGCCCTAGCATCGTAGAAACATGAATCCGGGCAGGCGTGTTCTCTCCAGGGCAGGACGATGACGACGGGGCGACGACGACCGCGTCGCGCCGACGCACGCCGCCCATAGCACGACCTCCTAGGCACGACGTGTGGAACCCCGCCGCCGCCGTAGAGATCACGGGCGACAGCTCGCGCACCGCCCGGAACACCGCCGTCCGTCCCTGCACAACAAGAACGGAGCCTTGAGATACTGCGGGTGACGGGTAATAAGCTCTCTGAGTTGAGGCAGCCGTTTTTATCCAGGCTGTTGTTGCCTCAACTCCGATATTCGTACAGGCATGGATTGACTTTACTCACTCATGTTCTTCAATCGATTCATACTGGGTGAAGAGGCCAAATAACCCTTCAGGGCTGCGCGGCACTCCGTGGCGTCCAGCCTGCCCTTCCGAACGACCACGCCAGCGCCCCCTCCGCGCCCGCCGCCCGCGCCGACCCCAGCTCCCACGCATGAATCTCCTGGGCTAGTCGGCCCTGCTGCCCGCGCCGACCCCAGCTCCCACGCACGAGGAATCTCCGGGGCTAGTGATCGGGAATGGCCGCCGCCACGAACGGGCTGCCCGAGGACCCGGCCCTGCTGCGCGCGCGCCTCGTCGAGGTCGAGGCGCGCTACGCCCAGAGCCAGGTCCAGTTCCGCGAGCTCCGGACGTGGTACGACAAATTGAAGAGGCAGCACCGCGAGCTGCTGTGGTCCGAGGCGGTGCTCGTGCGCGAGGGCCTGGAGGAGGCCATGCCCGGGCCGCCGATCGCGGACGCCGACCGCGCGAACGGCCACATCGGCGGCGGCTTCGTCCTGCGGCACCACCTCGGCGCCGGCGCGTTCGCCACGGTCTACGCGGCCGTCGACAAGGAAGGGCGCCCCTGCGCCGTGAAGCGCATCGACAAGTAACACATCAAGTCGCTCGAGTCGCTCCGGAACGTCGCGGGCGAGCTCCGGGCGCTGCGCGCCGCGGTGGGCTGCCCGAACTTGGTGTGGGTCCGCGGCGTCGTCGCGTCGGAGACGTACCTGTCCTTCGTCATGGAGCTCTTCGGGACGAGCAACCTGCAGGAGGCCGGCGCCGCGCGGCCGCAAGACGTGCGGCGCGCCGCGCCGCGCTTCGTGCGGGGCGTCGCGAACGGGCTCGCGCACCTGCACGCGCGGCACCTGCACCACCGCGACATCAAGCCCGAGAACGTGCTGCTCTGTGCGGAGATCAACTGGTGTGTCGGGTGCACCCGACAATTCTTCAGTAAGTCATTTCTCGGCGATGACGCGGCCGTCCTGGCTCGGTCGAGCGGCAAGGAATCGGCATCGCCACGCCATCGAGCAGGCATCGCGTCGATGGCGTGGAGGACAACGCGACGATTCAGCACGAACGCGCCGTAAAAAAATTGATTTCCACACAGGTGCTGTTCGACGGCACCGACGTCAAGCTCTGCGACTTCGGGCTCACCACGCCCTGCCGGCGGGACGCGAGCGGCGCGCGCCTCCGCTTCCCGCAGCGCGCCGTGCGGAAATCAACCAGTGAGTAGTTACGGCGACGACGTCGCGTCGATGGCGTGGGGCGTCCGAAATCTGATTTTCACACAGGCAGCGCGTGACCGGGAGCCTGGGCTTCTTCGCGCCGGAGATGCTCCATCCCGGGGGCTACGACGGCCCGCCGGCCGACGTCTGGAGCGCGGGCGTGCTGGCCCTCGAGGTGCTGATCGGCACGCCGGACTTCGACGCCCTGTGGTTCGTGGCCTACAATACGGAGTACAAGCGGGGCACCTTGATGCAGGACCGCCGCGCCGACGACGGCGCGGACGTGCACGCCCATTTTTGCGGCGTCCTGGCGCCGATCGTCGACGCCCTCGCCGACGGCGCGACGGCGCTGGGCGCGCTCGTGGCGCGCCACGCCGCCAACGCCGAAGTCGCCGGCGCGTGCCGCGCCATGCTGCGCCTCGACCCGTCCGCGCGCCCGACAGCGGCCGCGGTCCGCGACGGCCTCACGACCGAGACGGTCGTGACCGAGCTCTGACCGGGCCTCAATTCCATGTAGAAACAACATGCACATGTCACCGGATCCCATATCTTCGAATCATCGTCAATCAAATCCTACTACGTGTATAGAATCGACCCCCATCGACCGACCCCCATACAATTAGACGCGGTCTCGTGCGGACCCTTGGTTCTCGCTGACCCCGATGTCCATAATCGTAACTTGAATCTAAACACCCGGTCCACCACCATAACCGTCGGAGCCCCCTCCAGCCCCCCCGAGACGTAGGGAGAGGTCGTTTGAGTGCGGGGAGGAATGTCTCGGTCCAATTTGCGCGAGTCGTTGAAGCGTCAAAGTACGGGAGTGATCGGACGTGAGATGATGAGCAGCTAAATGGTTGAGCTCTGGCGCGGCCGGAGGAGGGTGCACCGGGCAGTACGCGCGTGCGCGCGTTGCTCTGACTGCCGCCTGCCGTGGGGCAGCCAACGCGGCGGGGAAAAGGCAGCAGCTTGCCTCCCACGGGAGGTGAGACAAGACAAGTCCGCCGGCCGCTGGGGTAGGGACGGCTGTTCATGCGCCGCAAGCTGGCTCGAGGCCAATGACGACGGGTGCTTTTCCGGCGGCGCGAGAGGCGGAGCCTCAGCGCAGTGGAGAGCGACGGCTCCGTCGCCCGCGGGACGTCGGAGGCGCGCATGCGTGAACGCCACTCATACCGTTGGTGCGGTGGCGCGACGCGGCCGACGCGAAGATGAATCCTTCGGGACGATGTTCACAGCATGGGTAGCCATTTTCTTTGCGTTGATTCCCCCGTGTGCTCGCGTCGGCAGCGGCGACCGCGCGTCGGCGAAATTCGGCGCCACCGATGCCGGGGCCAAGGACCAGACCCGTTTGGGTGTGTAGGCAGTTTTTACTAAGGCCTAGTTTGTGTCTCGTCGTCAGGCTCTTTGTTTGGCTGTTGCGGGGTCGGTGCGGCGCGCCTCGGAGCCCAAGCCGCGCCTTCGAGCCCCCTCCAGCCCCCCAGAGACGTAGGGAGAGGTCGTTTAAGTGCAGGGAGGAATGTCTCGGTCCAATTTGCGCGAGGTGTAGATTCAAGCGCGAGTATCAGCGAGTTTGCTTGTTTTAGGGTCATGTGGGCAAGACGGGGGAATTGGTTCAGCAGACCATCTCAATACCAGTTTTGAAGCCCACGTTTTTTTTTGCTCGTGTTCTTCAATCAATTCATACTGCGTGAAGAGCGAAGAGCCGCCCTGCCGCGCTGCGCGGCACGCCGTGGACTCCCGACCACGCCAGCGCCCACTCCGCGCCCGCCGCCCGCGCCGACCCCAGCTCCCACGCACGAGGAATCTCCGGGGCTAGTGATCGGGAATGGCCGCCGCCACGAACGGGCTGCCCGAGGACCCGGCCCTGCTGCGCGCGCGCCTCGCCGAGGTCGAGGCGCGCTACGCCCAGAGCCAGGTCCAGTTCCGCGAGCTCCGCACCTGGTACGACAAGCTGAAGAGACACCACCGCGAGCTGCTGTGGTCCGAGGCGGTGCTCGCGCGCGAGGGCCTGGAGGAGGCCATGCCCGGGCCGCCGATCGCGGACGCCGACCGCGCGAACGGCCACATCGGCGGCGGCTTCGTCTCGAGCCGCGTGGAAATCAACCAATTTCTCGGCGACGACGCGGCCGTCCTGGCTCGGTCGAGCGGTGGGGACCCCACATCGCCACCCCGTCGAGCAGGCGTCGCGCCAATGGCGTGGAGGACAGGCAGCGCACGATTCAAGAACGCGCCGTAAATTTTGATTTCCACACAGGTCCTGCGGCACCACCTCGGCGCCGGCGCGTTCGCCACGGTCTACGCGGCCATCGACAAGGAAGGGCGCCCCTGCGCCGTGAAGCGCATCAACAAGTACCACATCAAGTCGCTCGAGTCGCTCCGGAACGTCGCGGGCGAGCTCCGGGCGCTGCGCGCCGCGGTGGGCTGCCCGAACTTGGTGTGGGTCCGCGGCGTCGTCGCGTCGGAGACGTACCTGTCCTTCGTCATGGAGCTCTTCGGGACGAGCAACCTGCAGGAGGCCGGCGCCGCGCGGCCGCAAGACGTGCGGCGCGCCGCGCCGCGCATCGTGCGGGGCGTCGCGAACGGGCTCGCGCACCTGCACGCGCGGGACATGCACCACCGCGACATCAAGCCCGAGAATGTGCTCTTCGACGGGACCGACGTTAAATTGTGCGACTTCGGGCTCACGAGGCCGTGCCGGCGGGACGCGAGCGGCGCGCGCCTCTTCTTCCCGCAGCGCGTCACCGGGAGCCTGGGCTTCTTCGCGCCGGAAATGCTCCATCCTGAGGGCTACGACGGCCCGCCGGCCGACGTCTGGAGCGCGGGCGTGCTGGCCCTCGAGGTGCTGATCATCGCATAAATCAAATTGTCGCGGCGCGTCTCCGCCACCGCTGAATCGCGGCCGCCACGCCATCGACGCGACGTCAGCACGACGGCGTGGCGGTGTGGTCTCTCACCGACCGATTCGGCCAGCACGGCCGCGCGTTCGCCGAGAGACTGATTGATTTGCGCACAGGTCCTCATCGGCACGTCGGACTTTGACGCCCTGTGGTTCGTGGCCTACAATACGGAGTACAAGCGGGGCACCTTGATGCAGGACCGCCGCGCCGACGACGGCGCGGACGCGCACGCCCATTTTTGCGGCGTCCTGGCGCCGATCGTCGACGCCCTCGCCGACGGCGCGACGGCGCTGGGCGCGCTCGTGGCGCGCCACGCCGCCAACGCCGAAGTCGCCGGCGCGTGCCGCGCCATGCTGCGCCTCGACCCGTCCGCGCGCCCGACGGCGGCCGCGGTCCGCGACGGCCTCACGACCGAGACGGTCGTGACCGAGCTCTGACCGGGCCTGAATTTCGTACAACATGCACATGTCACCAGATCCCGTATCCTCATCAATCATCCTCTTGACACTGGCAGAATCGACCCCTGCCGACCCCCATATCATACGAAGTATTAGTAATCGTAATCTCTAGCCCCGCGGCGGCCGGGTAGCTAGGCGGCCTAGCTCGTAAGGAAGGAATCTAATAGTAAAAACCACCAGAGTGACGACGACTGATTACGCGGGGGCACAGGGGGGGCGTGTGACAACACAGACAGGCTGTGGAGTGTGCGTTGGGGGCGTGGTGGGTGGGCCTAGGGCCGCTAGGCGGCGGCCGGGACGGCGTCGAAGGAGGCCGGCCGCGTCGGCGGCTCGGCGAGGCCCTCGGGCGCGTGGATAGGTGATGGCGACGTCGGCGAGTCGGGCTCGCGCGGCCGGGAGAGGTCGACGCTCGTCTGGACGCGGAGGCCGCGCGCCGCGGCGCCGAGTTTGTCGGATTCCGTGGAATCGATGCGCGAGAGCGTGACGCGCTTGCGGCGGCCGCAGGGGCGGCGGTGAGGCATGGGCGTGTCGGAGAAGGAGCGCCGCGCGGAGTCGTAGGTGAGCCGCAGCAACTTCCGCGCGCCGCCCTCCGCGTTCGGCAGGACGAGGTCGAAGTACGCGGCCTCGCAGAGCTGGTCCACCGTCGCGCGCCGCGCCGGCTCCAAATCCAAGAGCTGCTCGACCAACATACGTAGCGCGGGCGACGGCGCGCACTGCGTCGAGCCGAGCTTGACCTGGAGCACGGTCTCCGAAACGGCGTCGCGAAACGCCTCGTCGTCGTGCAAGTGGTCGTAGGGCGGGCACCACAGGTTCGTGAAGACCTCGTGGCCCAAGAGCATCTCGAGCATGACGCAGCCCAGCGACCAGACGTCCGCGCGCTTGCCGCAGTACGACTTCGCGAGGAGTAGCTCGGGCGCGAAGAAGCCCGGCGAGCCCACGAAGTCCGTGAGATTCTCTCCCGAACTGACGTCCGCACAGAGCCCGAAGTCGCAGAGCTTGACGACGCCGCGCTTCCTCGGGTCGACGTTCTGCTCGTGGGCCGCCCAGGTGTCGGGCGTGCCCATGACCAGGACGTTTTCTGGTTTCAAATCTCTATGAGCAATACCCTGCGCGTGGCAGTGGCGCAGGCCCAGCGCCGCAATCCTCATGACGCTCCGCACCACGTCTTCCGTGCAGCCGTCCTTGTAGTCGTCTAAGAACGCGTACAAATCTCGGTCGCCCCGCTCCAACACCAAGTACACATGCTGCGGGCTCTGGATGACGTCGTACAGTCGCACGACCGCCGCGTGCGAGAAGCGCTTCAGAGCCCTAACCTCGGTGTCGACGCGCTTGATGTTGCGCTTCGCCTTGTGTAAGGACGCGTGGCGCTGGACCCGTTCCTTCCGGATGGCCTTGCAGGCGAACTTTTTGGAGCGGTCCTCCCTCTCGACGCACTCGAACACCTGCGCGAACTCGCCCTCGCCTGTGCGAAGAAGGGTGAGATAGTTCTAATGATGTGAACGTACCGAGCTTGCGCGTGAGCTCGAAGCGGCCCAAGTTCATACCTCTGCGGACCTGCTCGCCGCTCAATTTGGGGTCGATGGGCGGCAGGTGCTTTTGCTGCTGCCAGGTGCTCAGGAGCGTCGAGGCCGCGCCGTCGGGCGCGGGCTTCGTCGCCCCGGCGGGCCGCGGCCGGCGGAAGGGCGCCATCGCGGCAGCCCCCCCGTCGATCGGGCGCGGGGTGGCCGCGCTCCCGGACTGGAAGCTTGGTCATGCGCCTTCGAGCCTTGGCTGCCCTTTTTGTTTTTTAGCGGCCTGCGACGATCAGTGCTCCGAGGGCGGTTCGGACGTCCCGAGGGCCCCCGTGCATCGGTGGACCTGGGTTTCACGGCGCGCGGTGCCTGCCCGCGGCTCCGCGGCCTCCGCCCATTCGTCCTAGCTTCGTGACAGCAGAGGGACCCGAGTGCTAGGCGCATGTTCGTTCAGGCCCTTACTCAGAGCCCCCCCGGTCGCCCGAGTCCACCACTACTCCCGAACGCGGGCTCCGTCGAGAAGCCGTCGAGCGGGTTCTCGATCTTCGGGAGCCGCACGCCGCCCTGCTCCTCGAAGCGGTAGTCCGACGCGGGCTCCGCCCTTAGTTTCGTGGGCCGCGTCCCGTCGACGCGGAACGTCGACGCGACGCGGCGCGCGGCGTCGGCGCCGCCCTGGTTCCAGCGCGCCTCGGACGCCGACGCTACGAGTACGAGCACGTCCGGCGACCCCTCGGCCTGCGTCGCCGCGAGGACGGCGCGCCGCGGCGTCGTCGCGCCGCCGGGCGTGATCGCGGAGAACGCGAGGTCGACGGTCCTCACGTCGCCCTTCGTGACGTCGTTGCTCACGATCACGTCCGTCGGCGGGCCGAAGGCGCCGTACCTCCCGTCCGTCGCGAGGATCTTCGACGCCAGCGCTTTGCCATCTAAACTACTCTTGGGCGCCGCGATGACGTGCAGGTACGCCGAGTCGCCCGTCTTCGCGCGGGCCTCGACGTCGTAGTAGAAGCCCTTGGCCAGTTTCAGCTCCGGCGCCGCGAAGGCGACTTTGGCGAGGACGCCGTTCGTCAGGACGACGTCTGCCGCCACGACGCCGGCGGCACTATTAGGAGCCTCCGCGAGGACGACGCCGGTGTAGGGCCGGCTCTTGCCCGAGATCGAGCCCGCGCCGAGGTTGGCGGCGCGCTGCGACCCCGTGGCGTCGGCGTAGCTTCCTATATCGGATGACGTGCGCATCATCTGCTCCGCAGCGTTGGCGGGCAGGGCGCAGCCCAGGGGTGCCGTTACTAACCAACGGCGTCGGAGGTCGAGCGCCGCCGCCGTTTGGAATGCAATTAGCATCCATGCGCGGGCCATGGTCTCTGTTGCTCTCAGACTCTTTGAGAGCACTGCAGTTACGGCTCCCTCAAGACGTCGCGAGCGCAAGCACGCCGGCTCGCAGGTTCACCCTGGACAGAATGACGCTGTAGAACCGCTCCGCGCGTCCGCAGGAGCTGATCCTGAGGTCAGTCTCGAGCTCAGCCGCGGCGCCTTGGTGTGGCGCGGGTTTTTGGCGTAACGATGGGTCGCGCAGATCGCCAGGACAATGTGCACGTCTCCTTCGGCTTTCCTGATCTTTATTCAAATCAAGGCGTCGGGCGCTGCGCCAGCAAATTCGAGCAGGCAGGCCGGGGCAGCAGACCGATGAGACGCAGTGCTGGCGCTGGCATGGCTGCCCAACAAGCATAACACAATGGAAAGTATGACTCATCACTAATGCGGCTGCTGCTGCCGCTCATTGCTGGCGCCGGCGCCGCCTGCACCAACACACTCACAACAGAGTGCTGGCGCTTCGTGGAGTGGCAGGCCACCTTCTTCTGCACGGAAGAGTTTTGCCCGAGCTGCCCGCATGCCGGCGGCTGCGACGACTGGTGCGGGCTCTGCGACGACGAACCGCTGGTCCCCGACTGCAACGGGCACCGGGCGCCCTCGGTGTTCCTGGGCGACGGCACCTGTGATGCAGGCATTCACCGCTACGACGGCGAGCTGATCGATTTCAACTGCCCCGAACACGGGTGCGACGGGGGCGACTGCCAGCCGGGGAACGACCTTCATGGCATAGAGGTCCCATGTCGTACGCCGGCGCCAACGCCACTCACGCCGGCGCCGACGCAGCAGGTCGACACCATCGCGTCGATCCAAAACTCGACGCTCGCCGGCTCCCACTTCATGGACTGCCGGCCGTCGCCGCGGCACCACGCGCTCGTGCGCGTGACCTGCGTCGTGACCCTCGTCACGAAGGTCGGCTTCTACTGCCAGGACGGCGGCCTCTGGTCGGGCATTTTCGTGCACACGCCGTACGACGCGCTCACGCTCGCGCTGCAGCCGGGCGATCAAGTCTCCGTGCGGGACGCCTACGTCGACGAGGAGCTCGGGAGCACGCAGCTGGAGGTGGCCGCCGCGGACGACGTCGAAATCCTGCAGCGCTACGCGGTCGTGGAACCGCTCCTCGTCGACGCGGGCGCGCTGGGCAGTTTTGCCGAACGCGAATCGGCGCGCTGCCTCGCCTCCGCGGAGCCTTACGAGGGCCTGCTCGTGCGCATAGCGAACGCGTCGCTCACGTCGGTCGACGGCTACGTCTCGGTGGCCGACGGCTCGGGGACGACCCTGCTCGGCTCGACGGCGGGGCGCTTCGACGCCGCCGACGCCCTCGTCCGCTTCCGGGCGTCGGGCGCCGCCGCGGTCGACGTCGTCGGCGTCGGGCGTACCGGATTCCGGTGCGAGAACTCCGCCGGGGCGAACCAAGGGGCGATCGAGGACCTGCTCGATTGCTTGTCGGACGCGAGCCAAATCTCGTTTACCTTTCAAGTGTCGCCGCGGTCCTTGCACGACGTAAGCTGGGCGACCCCCGCGCCGTCGCCCCAACCGATAGAGAGCCGACCACCGACGCGGCCCGCCAATCCCTCCCGCTCGGAGGAGGAAACCCGCGACCACACTATGCAATCGGTCACGCTGGGCATCGCGTTGTGCGCGGTAGTCCTCGGTGTGGCTGGTGGCGTCCTGCTCATGAGGCCGCGGACCAGTCAAGTCGACCCCGGCCTGCGGGCGTGGCTGAGCGGCCTCGACCCGGGCGACGCGCGCTGGCCCCAGATGGCAGGCGTGGCCGGGCAGTCCGTCGAGGTCCAGGTGGCGCGGTGCCCGACTGAATACCGCGGTGGCGTCGCGGTGGCGGACTGTCGCGCGGTGCCGGCCGACGCGCCCATTCCCGTGGCCGCGGCCGTCGCGATCGAGATGCCAGTCATTGGCGAGCGCGCGCGCAGCGTCGAGGACGCGGCCGTCGACGACGCCATGGACGCGCTCTTCCGGCGGGGGCTGATCCCTCGTAGTTAATGTTGCCAGTGTTGTACCAATAAACATTAGTCCCGCAGGAACCGCTCGGCCAGCGGGTGCTTCGAAGCGTTGATCAGCACGTCGGCGACGATGCCGTCCTGGATGTTCAGCCGCAGCGCGGGGAAGCGGTCGTCCCGCTTGAGGTGCTCCGTCGCGAGGAGCCGCGCGTCGGCGAAGCGGTCGACGATCTCGAGCAGCTCGCCGTGCGTCGGCGGGCGCGAGGAGTCGCCCGCGTCGCCCGCGAGCGCGACGAGCCGCGCGAGGCGCCGCGCGACGTCTTCGAGCGGCGCCGTCTCCGACTTGCGCGCGCGCAGCTCCGCGCAGAGCGCGATCAACACCAACTGCTCCAGCGGCGCCGCGTGCTCGATCGCGCCGAGGTAGGCCGACTCCCTAAGGCCCCGGTCCGCCGCGTTCACGTCGGCGATGGTGACAACATATTCTTTTTCTTTCGGAGTAGCTTCGTCGCCCGCGCGCCGCGCCGCGTCCGCCCGCTCGGCGCAGAGCTCCGTGGCCCTACTACAAATCAATAACGCGCGCCGGATGTCGCCCGAGTAGGCCGCGATCTTGCGCGCCGCCATCGTCACGGCCTGCGGCTGGAACGCCGCGCTCAGGTCGCCGGCCGAGAGGCGCTGCGTCAGGATGGACTCGATCTGGGCCGGTTTGTAGGGCGCGAAGGTCAGCCTTCGCGACCCCAGCCGCGACCGGACCTTCGGATCCAACCTTTCCGGCAGATCTAGGGTATTGGCGATGCCGATGACCGCGAGGCCCGCGTTCTTCCGCCCGGGCCACTCGAAGAGGTTGTAGAGCACTTCCTGCCGCTGCGTCAGCATGTAATCGAGCTCGTCCACTAGGACCACGACCCGTTCCTCCTGCTCTTCCCCAGACGAGAAGCGCTTATCCAGTAATCGCGCCGCCGCGTCGGCGCCTCGTTTTTCGCCGGTGAGCGCCTCCCAGAGCAACGCATACGCGTGGTTCGGCTGCGGCAGCCGCATCGCGTTCACCTCCACGAACCGAAACGCGTTGCCTGTTTCTTGTAATGCTCTTACAACTTCCCTTACTGTTGCTGTTTTCCCAGTGCCCGGCATGCCCGCCACGTACAACGTCCGTCCGTCGCCGCCTGGCGCGCTCAGCATCTCCAAAACAAAATTCTCGATGGTATCCCGCTCGTTCTCCCGACACGGCAGTCTCTTCGGCGCCGCCGACAGCTGCAGCGCATTGCTGGCCCGTCTCAACCTATCTCGCGGCCCGCGCGTCGCGTGGTCTTCAGGGATATGTTCTTCATCGCTCACCACATCGCCGTCCCAGGCCGCGCCCCTTCTTTTAATACCGCGGCCCTTCCGACACAAGGCCTGGGCCCTCCGACATCGTTCCGCCGCCGGCCCGCACTCCGTCAGCTGCGCGCCGGGCTCCCACACATACCGACAAAAAAAAACATCTTTCATAGCCTTCCGGTCCTCCTTCTGTCTTCTTTGCACATACGCATCATACGATAAAACCTCAACACACCCCATGAGCGACGACGCCGGCACCTCGTCGACGTGCGTCGTTTCAAAAACTTCTCTATCAGCGTACTTGGCCGCCGGCGCCGGCCTTCTTTTGGCGGGCACGATCTCCTCCGCACAATAAAGCCAGCGCACTTCGGCCCAGGGCTCGTCCTCGTCTTCGTCTTCTTCGGGCGCCGGCCACCAGATTTGTAATATTTGCGCGGCCGCGTGGCGCAGCGACTCGCCTTCTCTTACACCTTCGCCCTCCAACTGCACCATGACGCAGTCGCCGACTTTAAATGAGGCGCCTTCCGTATATTTAAATGAGTCGCGGAAGCGGCAGCCGTCCGCGTTCGTAGGGTCTTCTTCCCTGGGCTCCGGAGGCGCGATGGCGCGCGCGTCGACCCGCAGCCGGTGCGTGGCCGGGTCTCGAGGCCTGACGTCGCGGCGGGACCACTGGGCGTAGAACATCGTTGTTGCACGGTCCTGAAGGCCTCGCGCGCAGCGGTTTGGCCTCTTGGCCTCTTGGCGCCAGCAGCCTGGAGATGAAACTAGCACACAGCGATGCTTACAAGGGAAGCCTTGCAAACCAGCGGTAACGAGCAGTATTTGTCGCAGCAAAACGATGCCTGTCGCCACCGATACGGCTCTTGCCGCAAACGCGCGCTTGCTAGTGTCTTTACAGGTCGCTAGCAGAATTATCCCGGCAAAAACAGGTGGCAAGCTCAGCATATCACGGACCGGCACGCCGTAGCTGTGCTCCGTGATCTCTCAAAGCGGGTCGAGAAGCGCCGCGAACGACTGCCGCGCCTCCGGAGGCGCCAGCGGCCGACAGCCTGAAATCGGCTCTCTAAGCAAAAGAGCGCAACACCGCGCCGGGGAGGCACGCGCCGCGCTAACGCACGCCGCCGCTGCGCCCAAGAAAGGACGCCGCGCTGCGCCTTACACGAAACCAACACACTGCCGCGCGAAAGCCGCACCGCCACCATCAAAATGGCGTCCTGGGTCCAGAACATGGGCTTGAGCAAGGGCTCCCACTTAGTGGAAGGCAGTACATTGATGCCCAAGTGGGAGGACCGCAGTGGCATCGCCATCGCCGAGAACAACATCAATTTATTACCGAAAAATGTGGCGCAGGACCCGATGCTGGCCAAGGGCGCGCTCTTCGAGATCCACGGGGATCAAGAAACATTTAATTTACATCAGATGTTGTATGAAAAGACCTTTGAAAGTGAATATTTTAAAGCGCTATTTATTTTCAAGACCTTCGAGAAAGTCGTCGATGTGATCTACGAAAAAGTATCTTATGTGGAACCCTGGGCGGCGACGGAGGTGAGATCACCGTCGTCGGCCTACTGTTTGCTGCTGAAGTTGTTCCATCTACGCTTGACGGAGCCGCAAATCCGGGCGCTGTTGGATCATGGAGACTCGACGTATATCCGAGCGTTGGGCGCTTTGTACGTGCGCTACGCCTGCCCCCCGGAACAATTGTGGCGGTGGCTCGGCGATTATGCGGATGATCTCGAGGAGTTCGCACCTGGTTTGGATAAGACCAAGGTGACTACTTTTGGCGAGTACTGCCTGGGATTACTCACTGACTTACAGTACTACACGACGATGCTGCCTCGCATACCGGTGCCCGTCATGCGCACGATCAAAGTCGAATTAGTACTCTTCGAGGAGATGGTCCGGAGGGGCAAGAAGAATTCTAGGTATCTAGATTTCCTGCAGCCGGGCGCGGTCGTAAGGGCCATTTTCAGAGATGAGGGCAAGGACCCGGCCTGGCACGAGGCCACCGTCGTGTCGAGGATCGAGCCCTACGAAGGCGCGCCCGAGGGCACGCTCCCCACCTTCCGCGTGCAGTTCTCCGAGGCCTGCGGGTCCGTCGTCGAAATTGTGAAAACGGGGCAGATCGACCTGCCGGCGTCCGTCACGACTGACAAGTCTGATCGGGACCGCTCGCGGCGCGAGCGCTCTCGTCGCGACCGCGACCGCGATAGAGGAAGGCGGCGGCGCGACGACGACGACGAGCCGCGCGACCGGCGCGGCTACGACGCGGACCGGCGGCGGCGCGATCGCGACGACGACCGGGGGCGGCGCCGCCGCGATGACGACGGCGACCGCGACCGCGACCGGAGCCGGCGCGACCGGTCAAGAGAAAGGAGCCGGCGCGACCGGTCGCGCGACCGGAGCCGCCGCGACCGGAGCCGGAGCCGCGATAGAAGTAGGCGGGACGAGCCGCGCCGCGACGCCGCGCCGGCGCGCCCGGAGGGCGAGTCGCTGCTGGCGGGCCGCGACATCATGGGCGACGTCATCGCCGCCGAGCGCGCGGAGGCCACCGTGGACCACAAGGGCGACTGCTACCGGCGGCCGATCGGCTTCAACACCGCGCTCATCGTGGCCTCGGACAAGTACACCTACAAGGCGCGGGCGCGGTCGCGGTCGCCCGACCGCGTCAAGGAGGTCGTGCACGTGGCGCCCGTCGTGCCGAGCCGTCGGGATGATTAAGACATACAAATTAAACATCGGGCGCGACGCGGGGGCTCACGCGTGACGCCTGAGACTGAACAGGAAGCCCTTCCGGAGCGATGCGCGGCGAGGCCTGCAATAGAATCTCGCCGCCACCCTGGGGGGCGATGCGCGGCGACTTCTGTGGCGATAACCGGGACCAAAAGCCACCATCGGGCTGCCGCGGCGACGTGTCCGGAACGATGCCGGCGCTTGGAGACGCTCGCTGCCGCGCAGCTCCGATCGGCGGCACGCGCGGCGACGCCTGGGTCCGCACAGGAACCCCTTCCGGCGCCACTCGTGGGCTCGCGTTGAACAAAAACGCGCTTCCGCCGTCGGCAGGCGCCACGCGCGGAGATTTTCGGGGCGATAGCCGGGGCCACCACCCCGCCGCTTCGTCACGCGAGGCCGACGACGTGCGCCGTGGCGACCACCCCGTCGACGTCGACGCCGCCGCCGCGGGCTTCCGACGGGTCGGAAACATGCTCCTCAACTCAATGGACGACTCGTCACCCTTGCGGAGGTCGAGGGGCGTGACGACGACGTGGTCCTCCAGCCTCGCGTCGCCCGCGGAGTCGTACGCGTAGGCGAGCCAGAAGCCGGCGAAGACGACGACTTTCACGCTCAGCAGGAACAGCACGAGGTGTAAATGAGCCTCCCTTGTAGAACACCACCGCGCCAGCGGCGACGCTTCTCTATAAAACAGGCAGGCCCACCCAAACAACCACCCGTGGCCAACGACCAGCACCGCGTGCGCCCAGCCCATGCGCCGGTGGCGGTCGTAGTCCAGCGGCATGTCCGCGTAGAGCCACAGAATCGCCCGCACGAAGGCGCGGCCCCGCGTGCCCCGTCCCCGTCGGTCGTGCCGCGCGCAACCGCACGACGCGACCAGCACGAACAGGAAGTCGCCCGTCGAGAACAGCAACACGTAGATCGGCACGGCCCCGCGCAGCACGGCCGCGTAGGCCGCCAGCCTTAAGATGTTCTCGGCCGCGTAGCCTACACTAAGCCCGACGAGCTGCCCCGTCCGCGTCGCCTTCGATCTTATTCTTTTCCAGATGGCGCCGGCGCCGAGCGTCGCGGCGCCCGCGGCTATGGATGCGTCGACGACGTCGAGCGTGCTGCCACAGATGTCGAGCCAGCTCATATCGCCGCGGCCACCGAGCTGATAAAAGCGGCCGAGGGCCGTCGGCGCGGCGCAGGCCGTCGTCACCAACCTTAACATCGCGTAGGCCTCGGTCCGCCGTCCCGTGTTCGCCGACTTCCGCGCGTGGCTCGCCAATCCAAAGCCGAACGCCGCCCCTATTACTTCTTTGGGATAGGTCGCATCGGCCATCGCAATCTCCATGATGCGGCCGATGGCGAAGCCGCTCAATCCACAAAAAGACGGGAACGTCCGCCCCTGCAGGGCCCACTCCGTGATCGTCGCCATGTCGGCCCAGAGGCGCAGGCTCCTTAGTAAAACGTCGCCAGACAAGGCCCAGGCCTCGCCGCGGCCCATGGGTTTTGGTTCTGGAGGTTTGGTATCTGGCAGGAGCGACTCGGTGTCGTGGAGCGGGTTCTGTTCGTATTGGGGTTGCCACGTCGGCGGCGGCGGCGGCGGCGGGCACTGGCACGTCCGCCAGCCGCAGGCGTCGCACCGGCCGGGGCGCTTGTCTGTCCTTGACGGTGGGCGCGTCTCAGCTGCCGGTCCGCCTATCGGTGCGATGCGCGGCGAGGCGTGCGGTGCCTGATGCACGCCACCCTCAGGCGCGACACGCGGGCTCGCGTTGAACAGAATCTCACCTCCGCCAGCCGGCGCAACGCGCGGCGAGGCCCCTTGGGGCTGCGAGGCCTGAGTCCGAACAGGAGCCCCTTCCGGCGCCACCCGGGGCGACGCGTTGAACAGAAAAGCGCCTCCCCCATCGGCAGGGGCCACCCTCGGCGAAGCTCGCGACAGCTCGACGCGCTGCACCGGCGCCGCGCCTTCCGGCATGGCCACCGGCGCTACCCTCGGACTCGCGTTGAACAGGATCGCGCCGCCACCGTCGGGCGCGACGCGAGGTGATGCCTCGGACCGCCACAAGGGCTTGACGCGCGTCGACGACGTGAGTGGCGCCGCGCCTTCGGAAGGCGCGACCCGGGGCGACGCGTTGAACAAGAGCGCGCCGCCACCCTCCGGAGCCACACGCGGAGATTTCCGAAGCAGCTCGTCCATGAGTGTGCGCCGTCCCCGCGCGGCCTCCAATTCATCATCCTCGATCAATGCGTCGAGCTGCTGAATGAGCTGCTGCTCGACGCCGTCGTCACCAGCAGCCATGATGCGTCGTTTAAGGCAGCTGTCGTATTAAGGCAGCCCAGCAGTTCTGTGTATTGAGGCAGCCCAAGTTATGTGGCCTCATCTCGAAGCTATAGCTGCCCGAGGGGTGCGGAGTCGCACGTTTCGATCGGTTCGTACGTGCCGAGCCGTTTGACGGTGATCCGTGCGTGCTGCGTCCACAGCGCTCGACGGGTGCGCCCGAGTGAGCTAGCGGCGGTAAGGTACTAGCGAGGCAAGCGCAGCCGTGCTCGCGGTCAGCTCGCCGTCCATCGCTGTACGAGGCCGGCGGAAGCAAGAATTGCATCTCTGTGATCACTGGCTTGGCGCACCAGCCCTCTCGCTGTCAAAATATAGAGTGTGAGGACCGTGCACAAACTGCTCGCGCACCAGGCAAAAAGCCGCGGCGCCGAACGGAGCGCTGGGACGCACGTTTATCAAGCGGCTACTTTAACGCGCGCGCTACTTTGACGCGCGCCGCAAGCATAAATATATAAAAAAAGATGGCCGAGAGCGACGACCCCGTCGCATCAGTGCGCGACGAGGCGCCAAAACCAAGCAGCCCGCGCGCGAGCCCCGCCAAGTTCGACCGCGCGATGGTCGAGGCGAAAATGCGCAGCGACGGCTGGGTGACGACCGAGAAAGCTAGAGCGAATGCCGCCGAAGGATCTTCGAGAACAACAGATAAGTACTACCAGCTCCACGGCGACCCGAAGACGTACCGTTCATTACCGGAGGTCGCGCGCGCCTATTATCCGGACCTGATCGGTCCTTCGGACGAGAAACTGGCGCCGAAGAAGAAGAAGCCGCCGGCAACGACTTTACGGAAGCGCGACCGCGACGCGGCGGAAAGTCTGGTCAAGAAATTCAACGAGGAAGAGAGGCGGTGCGCCGTCATTCTCGACGAGAACGGCTCGGACGATGAAGATAGGGAAGAACTGCGGGCGTCTTTGACAAATGCGCGCTGGGCCGCGCGGCGAGCGGCGCAGGCCATCGACGCGCACGAGCCTCCATTCATATTGGACGCGGCGCGCCGGCCGCCGACGAAGCGCGACTACACGGTGCGGTGCAAGGCGCTCTTAGGAAGTGGCATCGAGCCTCCTAGACAACCCGGCGAGTCCGACGAGGCGGTGCAGCGGAAGCGGCGCGCCAAGGCGTTGCGAGATAGAAAATGGACGCGGCCCATACCCTGCCAGCTGCCGGCGCCGCCCTGGCCCTCTGCAAAGCGTTTACTCGAGGTGCGGTCGACCTTCGCGGGTCAAAGGGAGTGGAAACGGTTGGGGGATGCGCCCTTCTCTTCATTGGCGAGTGTCTCGCAGCCCTTCTGGGCGCGGTTTGATGGGGACCGCATCCCGAACGTGCAACCAGGTTCTAGGTACGTGCGCGTGAGGCTCAAATCTAAAAGATTGAGGATCGCGTCGCATCCTACAATAGCGGCCGTGCCGCTCGAGGAGCTCGACGCGGGCGTTCATGCCGCCGTTAGAGCGGCCCACGCGGCGTTAGGTCGCGTGGCCCGCGCTAGGAGGGCGAAGGAAGCCGTAAGGGAACGCATGGAAGTGGCGTCGGACTCCGAGGAGGAGGAAAGGGAAGATGATCCAGTCGTCGACATCTCCGGCTTCAAGTACGAGCCCCGCGTGCGGTCGACGTCGCCTCCTAGAAGCCCGGTGCGCGAGCTTGATATGATGGACGACGACGAGGACGAGGGCGACATGCTCTGCCACATGGCCGGGAAACTGACGGCGTCCACTTTTCAGGGGACGTGGGCCTTCGAGCGGAATCAACCATTAAGATGGCCCTTCGCCTTCCAGATTGCTGAATCTACCATTGATGAGCACGGTGCGCGAGTTTTGGAGCTCAAGGGCTCCTTTGAAGGAGGTGGGTTAACTGCTCCAGTTGCTGATTCATTTACGTGCACGATTCAGAAAAATGGGCAAATTGACGGGAAAGGACGCAGCAGGTTCGGCGCCTACGCTGTTCGAGGAGTGTTGGCGTATGACGGCGAGGAGGTCTCGCTCACGAAACGGCCGCCCCATAAACAACGCGTCGTCACGAGACCTGTCAAGGAGGAAGTCGAGGCGGACGACGCCTGGGCCCAGTGCGATCAGTGCCAGAAGTGGCGCTTGTTGCCCAAGAACCATGTGGTCGATCCGAACTCGCCCTGGACCTGCGAGAAGGTAGGTCGGTCTTGCGACGAAGTCGCGGACGACGCGGAAATCGTCGAGGAAGAACCAGTGCTAAGGGTCAACGACAAGGATTCCCTACTCAGATGCCACGACTTTTTGAGTGCGTTCGCCCCCGCATTAGGCGCTTCTCCGCCACCATTGGGAGCCGTCGCGCAGATGGTCAACCTGTCAAGCCCTCTATCACCCTTAGATGAAAGACTGTGCTACGACGTGCACGCTCCCTTATTAAAGTGCGCTTTAGGAGACAGACTCTTCGCCTGTAGACGGGAACGGCCCGCCGACGCCGACAGCGAAGACGAAGAGAGAGAGAAAAAAAGGGACGTTTTTGAGGACGACATCGAGGCGATCGTGCCCGAGGACAAGCCGGAGATCGCGCCGGAAGCCGAGGACGAGCCCGACGGGGCCGCCGCGGACTGGCACCTCGACGGGCCTTATGTTGGTGCTTGGACCAATAGGTTAGTTGAGGGTGCTTCTCACCGACGGTGCGTCGGTCGGGTCGAGGGGTATTTACCTCCCGAAGAAGCGGATTTCCTGGACAAGGATGGGAAGCCCTGTGCCTTGTGGCGCATTCGGTACGTGACCGGTGAGCTCGAAGACGAACTGGAGGACGTCGAATGGCACGAGCTCCTTGAAAGTAGTCCAAGATGGATCCGGCCGCGCGTCGCGGGCGGCTTGCCGTCGGTAGACAAGCCCGATAAAGAGTGTTTGAAGGCCTTGGACGAGGCGTCTCCCGTGGGTCTGTGGTGGTCGTCGTTACCCGGTCCGGAGCACGTGTCGCGGCATACGCTGTGGCCCGCTTTATTGGCAGCTTGTGCTTTTAGAGCTGCAAAAGTCGACGCGGACTCTTCCGTTGAAAGTGCGCTGGCGGCTCGAGCTATTCGGGCAGCTTCCCAGTTAAGGGCGTCGCGGGCCGACTACGGCGCGCTCGAGCCGGACGCTCGTTTAGCTTTATTGGATGCGCTGGTCCACGCCTGCTGCGAGACCTGGAAAATCTCGGCTGCTGCGGCCAAGATGAGGGGCGCGGCGCCCGTGCAACCCCCGGCCTACTACGACAATCCTCTGAAAGTGGACGAGTATAAAGCTACAAAAAAGAAGAAGGCCCCCGCGCGCAAGTCGACGAACGGGTCGCGGTCGTCGGCGCCGCTGCCGATGACGGCCGTCGCCGCGCTGATTTCCGCCGACGTGCCTTTACGGGTCCGCCAGGACAACCCAAAAGGAGGGGCCTCAAAAGCCCGCTTCGAGCGGTACATGCCCGCGCAGTCGGCGCGCGAGTTCGTGGTCTTGGGGGGCACGAAGGGCGACCTGCAGAACGACTTGTTGAAGGGCCACGTCTTCCTGCTGTCGTCCGAGGGGCCGGACGCGCACGACGTCGACTGGCGGAAGGATCCACGCGTGATCGCGGCGACGATCGGATGATTTATAAGGTGCTATTTTATTTATCTTTTTCTTGTGCTCAGCCGCCTAGCCGCCGCGACCGGCACGAGGCCTGCTTGCTAGTGTCTTTACAAGCGCTAGCTTCATTTTGTTTTGACAAAAGCGTTTTGTCGCGCTTGCGACCAGTGTCGGCTGCGCTGCTGAGCTAACCACTCCGTTGCCAGCAATTCGACTGTGTTGCCGCGCTCCTCAGCTAACCACCGCGCGTTTTGCCGTGGCCTCGAGTTTGAACTCCATCTGCGGGCGGCTGTTGTTGTCGTGCTCTCCGTCGTTATCCGTAAACCACAAATCGTGACAAATGACCGTCGGCTTCCCGCAGCCGCTGGGACGGTCGTTCCACGTTCGAAGCCCGCAGCGCGCGAGCCCACTACGCTCGGGCGCGCAGCGCGTGCGCTCGCCGCTGCGGCCCGTCAACAACGCCGCGGACGCGACGTCTCCGCCGCCCAAGCCGCGCACACCGCCGCGGCCATCGACGCCGCCGCCCGCGCTCTTCAAGTCGTCGCCGCCGAAAGTCTCCACGCCGAAGGTCTCCACGCCGCTGGCCGTGCGCATGCCGGCGTGCGCGCCGATCCCGCCGCGGACGCCGTCCACGCCGATCGACGCCCTCCGCGGCATTGATGTGGACGACGACGCCTGCGCCGCGGACCTCCTCTGCGAGGCCGTCGCATCGCACCGCAAGTCGGTCGCGCTGTCGGCCCGCCGCGCCGCCGCCCCGGCGTCGCCGGACGAGGCCTGGCCCGCGGCGGAGGAGCCGCCCTCGCCGCCGCCGCCGCCGCTCCCCGAGAGCGACGAAGAGGAACCCGCGGCTCCGGTGAGCGTGGCCGTGGAGGCGCTCTCGGCCGTCGCGGCGGAGTCGCGCGGCCGCCTGGCGACGGCGCTCCTCGCGTTACTGAATTCGGCGTCCGAGACGGAGCTCCGCGACGTTTTGGCGGGAATCGGCGCGGTGCGCGCGCGGCTCATCGTCGAGACGCGTTCCGAGCGGCTCTTTGAGTCGCTGGACGACGCGTTCGGCCGCATCGGCCTCTCGGCGAAGCAGGCCTCCAATCTCACGCTGGCGAACCTGCGGCAGATCCTGGCGTCAAGGCCAACTACGTCGCCGCGGAAGCGCGACGGTGCGAGAGCCCGCCGCTCGTACCGCAAGTCCGGCCGCGTCCTCGCCCGGAAGGAGGGCGACGACCCCAAGCGAGAGTACCCGGCCACGATCGTGAAGGTGCACGACTGCGGGACGGTATACGACATCAAGTACGACGACGGCACGACCTGGAAGAACGCGCCGGCGGAGGTCGTGCGGCTGCGCTAGGTTTAGCCCCGCGTAAGAAGTGTCACGAATAAGTATTACACAGACGACTCGCCCCCTTCGTGGGACTTTCGTCGCTCGAGAGGCTCACCAGGGAAAGCCTCCGGGGAAGCCGCCACCCTGCAGCTGAGCTAATAGAGCCTGTCTCTGCGCCAACATCTGAGCTAACTGAGCCTGTCTCTGCGCCTGCAACTGAGCTAATTGGGCTTGTCTCTGAGCCGCCAACTGAGCCTGATAAGCCTGGACCGAGGCGACGCCGTTCAAGGCGAACGGCGAGGCGCCTGGTATCGGCGCGGGCATCGGCGGGGCCATGGCCGGCGCAGCCGCACCTCCGGCCGCAAATGTCAATACAAAGAGCGGCAACTGATACTCTGGCTTGTTCACAACTATGATAGACCCGTTATCGAGCGTCAGGCCAGACTTGTCGACGAGCACCGCAAATACGAGCATTTTCCGGCCGCCCTTGCAGTAACCAACCGAGATGGCCGCGTTGCCAGGGGCTCCGAAGTACTCGCCCGGACCGTATGCCTGGCCCGAGCGGCGCTTCGGGTCGAGGCCGTCGCGGCAGATCGCGTCGATGTTCGCCTCCGCGGTGCCGTGGAAACACAGTTTGACCGTCTGGTCAGGAACGCGCTGCCACGACTCCACAAACCGGTTATACAAAGGCTTGCCCGGCATCGAGTGCGGGTTCGCGTCGCACGCGGCGATGTGGAGGCCCGACGCGTTCGTCGCGAGCCAGGACCGGATGGACTTGCGCTGGTCCGCCAGGACGTCCAGCAAACCGGAGTCGTCGACGGCCCAGCCCTCCGGCGTCGCCGGCGAGCGGTCCTTCGGCTTCGCCTTGCCGACCCAGGAAGGGGTCTGGCCGGGCCGGCCCTTGCGGTCCTTCTCGGCGAGGCGCCGCGCGAGCGCCGCGTCGCCGGACGTGTCCGGCGCGGCCTTCCGCTTCGACGGCGCCATGCGCACCGGACCACCGTTAAGTTCAGCTTCGAGCTTGCGCGCCAGCGCGCGATCGGACTCGAACGTGTCCTCGCGCGCCTGGAGCGCCTGGGCCAGTGCCGCGTCGTCGTCGACGTCGTCGACATCGATGACACCGCTCTTCCGCCGCTCGTGGTCCCGCATGATCTCGTTGAGCGACCTAGCGCGGCCGCCGCTCCGGCCCTTGAACCGATTGAGCTGGCGCTGGAGCTTTTTCGCGTGATCCCTCGGCCGCTCGATGATCTGGACGTCGTCGTCGTCGTCGTCCTCGCCATTGTCCTCCGTGAGGTCCACGACGAGCTCCAGCGCCTCCACATCGATCGGCGTCGCGGCATCGCCATCCTTGGTCCGCGGCTTCTTGGCCGTCTGCGGCGCGGAGGCGGCCGCATCGTCGTCGTCGATAGTGAGGTCGAGTGACGCGGGCGCGTCGGGCGCCTTGCGCTTGGCCGCCGCGCCGTCATCGTTCGTCAGGTCGACCGGGTCGAGCGACTTCTTGGCCCGCGGCGACGCGCCCCCCTCCGAGGTGTCGCTCGTGAGGTCGACGTCGACGGCCGCCTTCGCCTTCTTCGGCGTCTGGCGCGCGCGCGGTGCGTAGGCCGTGCGCGGCCGCTTCTGCAGGGTCTTGGCGCGCCACGCCGCCGCGAGGAGGGCGTCAGACTCCCGCGACGAGAACGCCACCAATACCACTTCCTTGAGCGACGAGGCGTCCGCTGCCGTCACGAGCGCGTCGAGCGACAGCTCTAGCAGCCCGCCGAGGTCGCGGTTGCCTCGGAAGATCTTCGCCGAGATCAGCGGAAACGCCACAGTTTCGACCTTCGCGGCGCCGGCCTCTCTGATAGCGGCGCCGTAGGCCTTCCGGAGGAGGCCGTCGGACTCGGCGTGAGACATGTTTTTCTCCGCGTAATCGGGTCCAACCGCGTGGATCACGGTCTTCACGTTCAAACGTCCTAGAGAGGTACCTTCCGGGGCGGTCGTCCGCACGGCGTCACCCGTTTCGCAGCGGTCATCGACGCCTGGAAACGGCTTCGGCAGCCGCCGCCGCAGCTTCCGGAGCTCTTCGCCGCCCGCGCGCGTTATGGCGCCGTCAACGCCTCCACCGCCCTGGCAGCCTCTATTCGCGGCGTTGACAATCGCGCCGCCCTGCTCCGGAGCGTATGTCACAATGTCGCCCAGCGCGAGGCAGACCTTGCCGCCGTTCTGCAGGTCGTAGTCGGCAATGATCTGCAGATCGCTACCGCGCGTCGGTGAAGGGGCTAGCTCCGCCATTTGGTACTCGGCGGCACACCGATACGCCGCTGTTCAGTGCACGAGACTGCTTCGCGCGCGCTCGATTACCCTTCTGGGGGCAGAGCGGTCCCGCTCGGCAAAACGAGCCTTCCAGCGCAAATCGCAGCGCGCGCTGACGCACCGCAGCTCAAACGTGTCCCAGCAAGTGACGCAAGGCGCAAAAGGGCACCTGGCGCGCCGCCCTGGGACAAAACCGAGTTGACCACGGTTTTGGCTTGCTAGTGTCTTTACATGCCGCTAGCTCGTATCGCGCGGCGGCGCATTTTGCCTCATCGGCCGCGCTAGCAGTGCAGCAGCGCACTACAGCAGCGACCAACGAGGCCTATCACCACGCACACCGGTTTGATCCGATCTAGCATCGCTGGCGAATCGAATTTAAAGGAGGAGGCATCCAATCGCCATGCCGGACGTAGCGCTCGAAATCGAAGACGGCCTCCACGCGCAGCAAGAGGCACCGCTCACAACCCTGCAGCGGCTAAAGCATTCGATTTGTCCTCCCTCGCGGTCGGCGGACCCGCGCTGCACCGGCTGCGCGAGCGACTCCTTGCTCGAGCTCGCAGCGAAACCCACGGTCGTTGATAAACTATGGACGCCCCTCAAGGCGCTCGCGCAGAACCCGACGGCGGCGCTTGCCGGCGTCGCAGCTTTATATTTACTCTACTGCCTCCTGTATGTGGTGTGGTACCCCTTCGCGTATGTTGGTGGTGAATACTTCGCCTGGTTCGTGTTTCTCTATGTTTTGAGGCGGGGCGGCGCGCTCGTGGCGCGCTTCGCGGTGTACCCGGGCTCGTTCAAGGCCGTGCGAGACGACGTCGAGAAGTGCTACGCTCGGCGGTTGGAGTCGCGGTTGGACGCTTGTGCTGCGGCGCTGGAGGCCTACGCGTCGGCTTTACCGCGCGCCTCGACGGGCTTCCTCCCGAACCTGGACGCGCGCCGCCTCTTCCTCGGGAAATGCCGGCGCGACGCCGAGGCCGCAGCACAACAAGTCCTAAGGCCGCTCGCCGCGGACTTGGATGCGATCATGGGCCGCGGGAGCCACGAACGCGGCGACCTCGCCGACGCGCCCGAAAGTGTAGCACCACAAGCGCGCGCCGCGCGTGTCGAACTAAGGAGTTGCGTCGTCGCGGCCGCAGACGTGGTGGACGCGGCGCCGAACGATGAGGACGCGGCGGCAAAATTACTAAGGTGCGCGCGAGCTTTATCGACGGCAGCAGCGGACCTGCACCCCGTCGACGGCGAGGACGCGCCGTCGACCGCGGCCGCCGCGAGAGTGATGAAGGACGCCGGCGGCTTCATTCTCAGAGCTCTCAAGGGTGGCATCTGCCCGGCGGCTTCGACGGCGACGGCCGGTCTAGGATTGCTGCGGGCGGAGTTCGTGCGCCGCTACGACGCGCAACAAGTATGGGTCGACGGCGTCGATTGTTGCGTCGTGCCGCCCTTCCAGAAAACTCGAAAACATGACGAGGAGGCGCCGCCGCCCTCCCCGAAGAACGGCGGCTGCTGTAGACGGAGGGACGATCCCAATGCTATTGCGCAACCAATAGCCACGGTACTCTTCTTCTCACCCAACGCTGTCTTGTACGAGTCCTGCGGCATGGCGCCGACAGATGGGGCGTCCTGGGTTGCTACGTATGCTCGTAGAGGTTACCAGGTGGTCCTTTTTAATGGGAGAGGCTACGGCCGGACGCGGGGCACGCCCGCGCCGGCGAAATCAAAAGCTGACGCGAGAGCCGTCGCCTTGTATCTTCTAGAAAGGTGCCGCGTGCCCCGGTTACTACTCCACGGTGAAAGTATAGGGGGTCTCGCGGCGTGCGGCACCGCGGCCACGCTCACATCCTCGACGCAGCACCGCGTGGCGTTAATTGCGGATCGGACCTTCTCCGACTTGCGGTGCGAGGCCCAGTACCTCACGGGCATCGACGCGGCCGCTCCGTTATTAAGACTCGTGACGGGCTGGTCCGCCGGCGACACGGACGGAGTGGGCGCGTTTCTGCGGGCGAAGTGCGCCAAGCTCGTGGCCAATGATTGTCGGGACCACATGATCCCCGACGCCGCGTCCCTCAAGGCGGGCGTCGGCCAGCGTCATCTGTTTGGAGTTGCGGCAGCTACAAGTGTTCATTTGGACGGCGCCTTAAAGCTGTCGGACGCGCGCGGCGAGGCGCCCTCAAATGAACCGTCGGTGTCTCTCTCGGAAGGAGCCGTGGCGCATCTCGTGGCTTGTGTATGTCATATACATAGAGCGGCGCGCGCGGCGGCGCGGGCCCACTTCAGCGGCACCCGGACGGCGGGCGCCGACGCGATTCTGGTGGCCGCGTCGATCCTCGGCCGGTGCGACGGCGGCTGCGGGTCTTCATTAGGGCGCAGCGCCGGGCGCGGTTTGGGCGACGCGCGGGCCTGGGTCGCCGCCTGCGCGGCCTGGCCGGCCGGCGCGGAGCGCGCTTTATTGCGCGCGCGGCTCCGCGTGCGCCACCACGATGATGAGGAGGAGGACTCGGACTATGAAGATAGTGACGAGGAGCGCGGGCCGCCTCCTTTAACCCTGGCGCAGGCGGCCGACGCGCTCGCGCGGGTCGTCGCGGCGCGGCGCGCCGATTTGGGAGATGCGGCCGATGCGGTCGCCTACGCCGGAAGATTCTTAGAGCACCTCGCCGCCTTTGATCGGCCGGCGCCCGACGCGTCCGGCAGCTTCGTGGCCCTCGCGTGCGGCCACAACGCGCCGTGGCGCCGCAAGGAGCGCGACGCGCTCTACGCGTGGCTCGAGGTGCAGCTGCCGCCGTCGTCTTGAGCGTTGGTTTAATTTTATTTATTTATACGATTTTGGCGATCTTCGACGTCTCGAGAACCTAGCGGTCTGTAAGACACTAGCAAAACGACGATCTGCAGCGCCGCTCGGAGGGAGCTGGGAGCACCACGTAAGGTAGTGAAAGCTCGCCAAGGCTGCCACCGCGGCCTCTCCAGCCGGCCGGAGGCTGCCCCTACGCGCCGCGGCAGCAAGGGAAGCACCAAGACAGCACATCTACAGCACTCTGCAAAGCACCACCACAAGGCGGCAAGGGAAAGCACCATGGTCCTCCACGCCAACCACCAATACCGCATTGGCCCCCAAGGCTCGGCCTACAGCACGGTCACGTCAACGACGGCGGCTTCCACATTACGCACGGCCTCGATTCGACAAGAAAGGAGTTGTACAAAACTGGCCAAGCCCAAGCACAAGCCCGAGCCGCCGACCGCGCAGTGCCACTTCCGGTATGGCCGCGCGGCCAAGCAGGTCTACGAGAAGGGTGGGGAAGAAATCACGCAGATCGAGTGGGAAACTTTAAATGCTTCGCTCCGCAAGACGCTGCGCATGCTCGAGCACCGCGACGCCGAGCGGCAAGCTTTGGCGACGGCGCGCCTTGCTACGGAATTCAAGGACTTCACTCCGAAAATTCCGTGCCCCGAGTACGCGTCTGACTACCAGGCGTTACTCGCAATTTCGAGAGCGTCGGACCCGCGCATGTGGCGCAAAGGGATGAATGATGGATGGGTCGACCTCGAGAAACAGAGCAACAAGGTCTACATCAAGGAGGGGACGGTTGCCGCGTGTCGCGGCGTGACGTGTGCACCCCTGCGCATCGCCGACAAGCTTTTTCGCGTCATCAGGGAACTTTATTTGCCGGGCCTGGAACTCGGCGACGCGGCCCCGCCGCCGTTCATTCCCATAAGCAAGCTGCGGCACCTCGAGACGTTGGTGTTGGCGGACAACGGCTTCGGCGCCGGCAAGGAGCTGGCCAACGGCGACACGTACCACAGCGTGCTCGATGACCACCTCGCGGACTTTGACCTGCCGTCCCTCAAGGTGCTTGATTTAACAGGCAACGGCTTCACGGGCGCGTTCCCTTCTAATGTCGCGGCGCTGACCGGCCTGCGTACTTTACGATTGGGGCGCAACAAGCTGACCGGGCCGCTTCCCGAGGCGTGGCGGTCGTTACGAAAGCTCGACACGCTCGACGTGCATTCAAATAAATTGACGGGCGAGGCGCTGCCGCCCTGGCTCGTCGAGGGCTGTACATTATTGCGCGACTATCGCGCCGGCGACAACCACCTCACGAGTTTGACCGTGCCGGGGCCCTGCGGCCTGCGGCGCGTCGAGCTCTTCGGCAACGACCTCGAGGGGCCGCTCTCGGAGACCATTTATCTGTGCGCGGAACTACGCTACCTCGACCTGTCGAAGAACAGACTGACGGGCGCCCTGCCCGTCGGTGCCCTGGCCTCCCTGCCCCTGACCGGGCTCTATCTCGTTGGAAACAGGCTGGCGGACCCCAGCGCCGACGGCGCCGACGTACAGTCGCATTTACCAAAGTGCCTCGTGTCCGTCGACCGAGGACCGCCCCCGGTCGCGGCGATCGCCGAGACGGTCATGCCCTTCCAAACCTCTGCGGTCGCCGAGCCGCCGCGGCTGGCGCCCGCGCCGGCGCCGGCGCCATCGACCGCGCTGTACCGCGACGACGAGGCTACTGCGCCGCCGCCGCCCGATGCCGTCGAGGACCTGCGCGACGAGCTCGCCGAGACGGAGCGGCGCCTCGTGCGTGCTTTGCGCGACGTCGAAGATTTGGAGTGCGACATAAAGGCCCGGCGCCACGACATCCTGGCGGGCATGCCGACGGACGAGGACGTCAAGGCGTTCGGTCGCATTGGGCGGCCCCCGGCGGCGGCCATGCCGGTTTTCATGTGCCTCTGCCGCCTGGTCTTCCCCGACGAGAAGCTCAAGGACCGTAATGATGATGACAAGAACTGGAAGAAGCTGCGGGCGTACCTCCTGCGGGACCGGAACACCATCCTGGACGCGATACAGGCCTTCGATGCGCACGCCCACCGCGCGGCGCTCGCGGAGCTCCAGACGCAGTACTTCGCCGAGGTCCGGCCCGAGCAGTTCGCGTCGCGCCGGACGTGGGCGACCTGTATCGCGGAGACGCGGCCGCCGCTTTCCGACACCGCAGTTGCGCGCCTAACGGCGGTCGCGACGTTCTGCGGGCGGTGGCTCAAAGACCTGCCGGAACGGCTCGAGATGCAGGACCGCATCGAGGCGCTCGGCGAAGAGGTCAAGGACCTCCAGGCGAGCCGGCGGGAGACCTTCCGGCGGACTCGAGATCTCCGAAGCACGGCGGACAAGCTGCTCGAGACGACGCTCCGGAATCGCGATACGCCCGAATTTTACTCCTACTACTAAGTACATTGTCTTATGATGCCAGTTCAGAGAGTACGCCCTCGGCGTCCCGCGCAGCGAGGAGCCGCTGGTACTCCGGGCCTTGCGCCCGCAGCGTGTCGGCGTCCATCGCTCGGAGCTCCGCCGTAATGTCATCCCTTTTACCGAGAGTCTCCTCGACGGCGGGCGCGGCGTAGGCAATCGAATCCGCGACCGGAACGAGGGGATCCTCGTCGATCTCGAGCGTATACCCGCCTCTGAAAACCCCCTCAAAGATCCCGTCGATGCCAGTCGGAGAGGCTACGAGCACGTGGCCGAACTCGTTCGATTTCAGCCGCGCCCGGAACGCTCCCGAGAACGCGAAGGAGATCGCGAGGTCCTCGTCGATCTCGCGCATCGACAGCACGCCGTCGGTTGTGTGGTACTCGCCTGTGTGGAAATCAACCAGTGAGTCGGGTGAATTTGATTTCCACACACGTACGCGCCCTCCTCGACATTGTATTTCACAGTCACCCGCCCCGGGATCCGCGACCACTCGTCCTTCACAGCCTCCACGTCATTGCCCGCGGGGGCGTCGGCGACCACCGGTGGCATCGACGCTTCGACGAGCGGCTCCACGACGCCGTCGTCGCAGCCGGCGTCATTCTCCGTGGCCGCCATCGCCGCCATCCGCGCCGCCAGCGCCGTGTCAAAGTCCTCGTCGTCGTCCTCCGCGGGCGCGTCTGATGCGCCCATGTCGCGCATGCGCCGGGCCACCGCGTCGTTCACGTGCGGCTGGAACGTCGCGTCCGGATCCTTCTCGACCTCCAGGAGGTACTCGCCTGTGTGGAAATCAAAATTTCACGACGCACTGGTTGATTTCCACACCGTTACTTGCCGTCGCTCAGGTTCTCGAACACGCCTTCGATACCCGGCGGCGTCGCCTCGATGACGGTACCGCCGTTCGCCGCGCGCAGTCGCGCTCGGAACGCACCAGGGTACGCGAAGCTCACGCCGAGCGCCGCCTCATTTTCAAGCCGGGCCATCTCTAGCTTGCCGTCGCGCGTCGTGTGCTCTGTCTTGGAGAGCTGGTATGTTATAGTCACCCAGCCCGGGGCTTCTGGGCAGGTGCCATCGATGCCGACGACCACTGCCTCCACAACCATACTGTGCCTTCCTTTTTTGTTGTGTGGGGCAGCTCTGGGCAGCTCTACAGCCGCTGGAATTTGCAGCGCCTCCGTGGCTGCCCGGGAGACCCTATTTGATTTGAATTGAAGGGCGTCAAAACAACTCGTCGACGCACGGTGTATCCGCCTCGTGAAAGCAAATCTAAGAGAATACTACTGTATGCTATAAGTCCCCCATGACGTCCGCCGGCACGGACGACGCCGGGTCGACGAGCGCCCGGATCTCGCGCAGCATCGCCTGCGCCTCCAATTTCTCGGGCCCCGGATAATCTAAGAGCCTCCCGAGGCACTGCTGGGCCTCGTCGTACCTCTCAGACTTTTTGTGCGCCGTCGCGAGGTATAGCAAGGCCTCGGCCGTCGCGTCGCCCAGGTCCGCTGCGTCCGTATCATTATGGAGCCGCGCGTAGTGCGCGTAGCAGGCGAAGGCCTCGTCGTGGGAGGCCCGTCCTCTATGTAATCGCGCGAGTTTGAGTAAAGCGTGGCCCTCCTGGTCGTCGTGCTGCGCCGCGCGTTCGTAACCCTTGATCGCGTCGTCATCCCTATTAAGCTTCTCGTAGCACTGCGCGATGGCGATCCACATCCTAGCGTCCCTCGGTCTGAGTACGGCCGCCTTCCGATAGTAGTACAGGGCATAAAAGTACATATTGAGGATTTCGTACGTTTGACCTAAACCGTACCACGCGCGGTAATCTCTGCCATTTACATCCACTGCCCTTCTATAAGCCTCAATAGCCGCGGCCGTGTTCTTCATTTCGATATATTCGTGGCCCATGAGCGTCCACGCGGAGAGGCAAGTTCTGTCTAATCGCAACGCCCGACGAAAGTACAAGACGGCTCTTTCATGCTGCGCCTTCAGGGAGTAGTAGTTCCCGACCACACAACACGTCTCCGGCCTATATTTTTCGCAGCGCGTCGCCGCGTGGGCCAACCTCGACAGTTCCGCGCGGGCCTCCTGAACATATAGCACGTTCGAGTACACATCCAGGTCGTCCAATCGAAAAGGATCCCTCTCCCGCAACGCCTCGAAGCAGTCTCGCGCCTGGTCGAAGTCCCGCCGCGCATAGTGGGCCAGGGCCTCCGCGGCCAGCACCCACGCCGACTGCGAGCAGCCGTGGCACCGCCTCAACGTCGCTAAAGCAGCCTCGCAGCGCTGCCGTTCAATATCATTGTGCGCGCGCGCGCAGGCCCGCACCAGATCTTCCGACGCGCCGGCCGGCCCGTCATCATGCGAGAGCGCGCCGCCATCATCAATGGCCGCCTGGCGCGCGGCCTGGTCCTCGTCCATTGGAAGCGACGCCGTCGGCGCGTCCTTGGCGTCGACCGCAGCTAAATCGAGCCAGGCGGACCAGTTCCAGGGGAAGGTCTCGGTCGCCTCGGCGAGCGCGGCCCGCGCGTCGCGCGCGTCGTCCTCCTCTTCCACTTTCTCGGCGCCGTCGTCATCTAACCCGGGCCCGAGCGGCGTCGGCAGCGGCGCGCGGCCGCGCGCGAGCTCCTTGAGCACGACGCCCAGCGCGTAGGCTCCTAAGCCTTGTAATTGACCGCGCCGCCGCCGCGCCACCAAGACATCCCGCAACCCGGCGGCGTAGGGGTTCCCTACCCTACTCTTCGCCGACGCGTCGCGCGTCTCGGCGACCGTCTCCTCCTTGCGCTTCTCGCCGGCCAGATAAAGGGCGTAGGCCCAGAGGAAGACGTCGCGCGGCGCGGCATCTTCATGAGGCGCCGCCGCGGGCAGCGGCGCGCCCCGGTCCGAGGCCTCCGTGAGCGCGACGGCCGCGCGCGCGTATTCCCCCAGATCGAAGAACGTGCCGGCGAGCAGGAACGCGTCCGACGGCTCGCCTCTCTCTAGTAATGCGAGCGTCTGCTGCGCGCGGCTCGGCGCAGGCGGCGGTTGTGATGTGATGGGGCCGCTGCCGTCGCCGTTCAGCCCAATCAACTGCTCGGCGCAGAACTTGGCGCTCTGCCGCAGGCCGTGCTGCCTGAGGATCGGGATGGCCCGCCGCAGCTCGCGGCGCGCTTGGTGCGCGTCGAAGGGCATAGCTTGTCTTCAGCGGATCTGGCACGGAAGGCTGCGGCTTTTCTAGTACGCGACAGCTGCGCTGCTTACGTGTTTACGCGACGCGGACGAGCTCCGGCGAGGCGGCAGCAAATGGCAAGCTTGGTTCAGCTGGATTGGAGAGCGCTGGGCGCTTCGGTTTGCAACTGTATCGCACGGCAAGGGTTTCTGATGGTCGTGTGCAGCGCGCAAGATGCAAGAATACCCCTTCGCGGGCGCCAAGGCCAAAAGCTGGGGCGATCTAGTATGTTACTCGCACGCTAGCCCGAAAAAGCCTCGCCGCCCGCAAAGCGTGCGCTGAGTTGTTTGCGTAGGGCAGCGTGTCTTCGTTGTGCTTGTGAGAAGCCCTGGTTGGCGTTGGTGAAGCGGGGCCGGCCGCGGTAACCCCCACATTAAGTGCTGCCGCCAGCGAGGCGCCCGTCCTCCGGCGCGCGCGCGCGGCGCGCACCATGCCCTCGCAAGAGGACGAGATTAGGGCACTGCAAAAAGCAAGAAGCGAGTCCAAGGGCACGGCGCTCGGCGCCGCCGCGTCGGGCGAGTTCGACAGAGACTTGTACGGCGGCGCGAAGGGTTTGAGTAGAGAAATTGTGGATGAGCCCACGCAAGACGACGATGGCGGGGGCGGCCTGCACCCGTCGACGCAGCGGGACCTGAGGGGCCCGGCGGACGAGGACGACGGTGAGGACCCGTTCAAGGCCCACAGGGACCGGAACCCGGCCAACATCCCGATCGCCGAGCGCGAGTCGGCCTACCAGGCCAAAGGACGAGCTACGAGGGAATTGAGCCCGGAGCGCCAGGACCCGTTCGCCGACGCGACGCCAGCTCGAGGGTTCCGGGAGGCCATGGGTAGTAATGTTGTGGATCGGGAGCGCGACGATTTATTGAAGAAGATCGCGGAGAATGAGGATGACAAGGGCGGCAAGAAGCGGCGGTTCGACGACGCGGGCGACAAGCCTGCCAAGGAGGGGAAATTCGACGGCACGCCTGGGCGGTTTGATGCTACGCCCGGGCGGTTTGATGCTACTCCGGGGCGCTTCGACGCGACGCCTGGGCGGTTTGATGCGACTCCTGGTAGATTTGATGCGACTCCGGGGCGGTTTGATGCGACTCCGGGTCGCTTCGACGCTACTCCGGGCCGCTTCGATGCTACTCCGGGTCGGTTTGATGCGACGCCTGGGCGGTTTGATGCGACTCCCGGGCGGTTTGATGCTACTCCGGGACGCTTTGACGCGACGCCCGGACGTTTCAACGCCACCCCAGGACGCTTCGACGCCACACCGGGACGCTTCCAGGCGACGCCGGGCCGCTTCGACGCCACGCCCGGCCGCTTCGAGGCCACGCCGGGCCGCTTCGACGCGACGCCCGGCCGCTTCGAGTCCACACCCGGTAGGTTTGAAGCCACTCCAGGCCGCTTCGAGGCGACGCCGTCGCGCTTCGACGCGACGCCCGGCCGCGGCGTCGCCGCCGCGAGCCGCTGGGAGGCGACGCCGGCGCGCGACGCCGTGCCCCAGGCGCAACAGAAGCAGCGCTGGGACGCGACGCCGCTCCAACCCGCTGCGCCCGCGACAAAACGCTCAAGGTGGGACGAGACACCTGTGGCGGGAGATTCTGCCCAGACTCCTGTTGGATTGGGTGGCGCGACGCCTGCTGGACTTGTAGGAGCAGAAACACCCACACCAACAGCGTTCGCGGCCCAGTCTGCCGCAGCTCTAGCCATGGACCGCGGCCCCGTCACCCCCGAAATGGCCCAGCGCATGCGCTGGGAGCGCGAGATGAACGAGCGGAATCGCTATTTGACGGACGAGGAGCTGGATTCGCTCTTTCCCTCTACCGGTTATCGGATATTGGAACCGCCCGCGGGCTACGCGCCCATCGCCACGCCGTCTCGCAAACTCACCGCCACTCCAACACCTCTAGGCCAGTCCGCGTTAGGCGTGGGCGGCTTCAAGATCCAGGAAACGCCCTCCAGGGACCAGTACGGCATCCCCGGGTTGAATGTAAGCGCGGCCGCGAACGCCGAGTTACCTGATATAAAACCCGAGGACTACCAGTACTTTGCGAAGTTGATGGAGGACGTGGATGAGGATGGGTTGACGCGAGATGAGGCCGTGGATCTGAAGATCATGCGGTTGCTACTCAAGATCAAGAACGGCACGCCGCCGCAGCGAAAGACGGCTCTCAGGCAAATCACGGAGAAGGCCCGGGAGTTCGGCGCCGGCCCCCTGTTCAACCAGATCTTACCTTTATTAATGAGCCCAACATTGGAAGATCAGGAGCGACATTTGCTCGTGAAAGTCATCGATCGTATCCTATACAAGCTAGATGATTTGGTGAGGCCCTTCGTGCACAAGATTCTGGTTGTTATCGAACCGTTGTTGATTGATGAAGATTATTATGCGCGAGTGGAAGGTAGAGAGATCATCTCCAACTTAGCGAAAGCTGCGGGCCTGGCCACGATGATTGCGACGATGCGACCGGACATTGATAACTTGGACGAATACGTCCGCAACACTACAGCAAGAGCTTTTGCCGTTGTGGCCTCTGCCTTGGGCATTCCCGCTCTCCTACCTTTCCTGAAGGCGGTCTGTCAATCGCGGAAGTCGTGGCAGGCGCGACACACCGGAATAAAAATAGTGCAGCAGATCGCTATCTTAGTTGGTTGTGCCGTATTGCCTCACTTGCGACAAATGGTGGAAATCATAGAACATGGACTAGTGGATGACCAGCAAAAGGTCCGAACTATATCCTCGTTAGCGTTGGCCGCATTAGCCGAAGCGGCCCACCCCTACGGCATCGAGTCCTTTGATAGTGTCCTGAAACCGCTCTGGAAGGGCATAAGACATCACAGAGGCAAAGGACTAGCTGCTTTTCTCAAGGCAATTGGTTTTATCATACCGCTCATGGACTCGAACTATGCGAACTACTACACGCGGGAGGTCATGGTCATCGTCATACGAGAGTTCCAGTCGCCGGACGAAGAAATGAAGAAGATCGTCCTGAAGGTCGTGAAGCAGTGCGTGGCCACGGACGGCGTCGAGCCGCAGTACGTCCGCAATGAAATTCTGCCGGAGTTCTTTAGGAATTTCTGGGTGCGGCGCATGGCTCTCGACCGAAGGAACTACAAACAGGTCGTGGAGACGACGGTGGAGTTGGCCGGCAAGGTCGGATGTGCCGAGGTCGTCGCGCGCGTCAGTGATGATTTGAAAGACGAATCGGAGCCCTATCGGAGGATGGTCATGGAGACGGTGGAGCACGTCATTCAAGACCTCGGGGCGGCGGACATCGATGAACGACTCGAGGAACAATTGATTGATGGGATCCTCTACGCTTTCCAGGAGCAGGCCTCGGACGACACGGAGGCGATGCTCTCGGGCTTTGGCGTCGTTGTAAATGCGTTGGGGTTGCGGACAAAGCCCTACTTGCCGCAGATCTGCGGCACGATCAAGTGGCGGTTAAATAACAAGTCCGCTTCGGTGCGCATGCAAGCGGCTGACTTAATTGCGAGGATAGCCGTCGTGATGCGGGCCTGCGGCGAGGACCAGTTGATGGGCCATCTAGGTGTTGTGCTATATGAGTACTTGGGCGAGGAGTACCCTGAAGTTTTAGGATCAATATTGGGTGCCCTGAAGGCTATAGTCAATGTGATCGGCATGAGCAAGATGACGCCGCCCATCAAGGATTTGCTGCCTAGACTCACGCCCATCCTGAAGAACCGCCACGAGAAGGTGCAGGAGAACTGTATAGCGTCCGGTGTCTTTCTAGTTACGTTACCGGTCCGAGACGACGCCAAAAATCTGTGGATTGATAGCGGAGACGCTATGATTCTGACTATTTGAACCTTTCTCACCGAGACCGTCTTTTTTACAGAGAGATTAGCACTCACGACGTCGACGCGTCTCACCTTCTATCGCGCAGGCATCGATTTGGTGGGACGCATCGCTGATAGGGGCGCGGAGTTCGTGGCTGCCCGCGAGTGGATGCGCATCTGTTTCGAGTTGCTGGAGATGTTGAAAGCGCACAAAAAAGCCATTAGGCGAGCGGCCGTGAACACGTTCGGGTATATTGCTAAGGCTATCGGTCCCCAAGATGTCTTACATACCCTGCTCAACAACCTCAAGGTCCAGGAGCGCCAGAACCGCGTGTGTACGACCGTGGCGATTGGTATTGTGGCCGAGACGTGCGCGCCGTTTACCGTCTTGCCGGCTTTATTGAATGAGTACAGGGTACCAGAACTAAATGTCCAGAACGGCGTGTTGAAAGCTCTTAGTTTTATGTTCGAGTACATCGGGGAGATGGGCAAGGATTATGTCTATGCAGTAACACCCTTGCTTGAAGACGCGCTCATGGACCGCGACTTGGTGCACCGCCAGACGGCGTGTGCCGCGGTCAAACATCTGACGCTGGGCGTCGCCGGTCTGGGCTGCGAGGACGCCCTCCAGCACCTCATGAACTACGTCTGGCCGAACATCTTCGAGACCTCTCCTCATGTGATAGCGAACGTCTTCGAGGCCATCGAGGCCTTCGCGGTGGCCTTGGGGCCGGGCTACGTGCTGAATTATGTATTGCAGGGGCTCTATCATCCCGCGCGACGCGTGAGGGAGGTCTACTGGAAGATATACAACACGCTCTACATCTACGGCGCGGACGCGCTGACGCAGTACTACCCCGCTTTGGAGAGCGACGAGACGAACAGCTACCAGCGGACCTACATGGAGGTATTCATCTAGAATCTACTAAGAAAACATTTTCAGCACGGTTTTACTATATACAATCTTATGAGCACACGTCGTCTACATACAATATGCACAGCGTGCCAGTCAAACGCGTTGTCGGCGTCCTCACCGCGCCGCCGCCGACGCGTCGTCGTCGTCGTCTTCGTTATCAGTCTCCACCGCGCGCACCCACGCCGAGAGAGGCGCCCAGGCCAACAACAGTCGCTTGTACTTCCTCTCCGAAGATTTGAGTTTCCTCAGTTTCTCGCTGACGCGCTCCTGGTACGTTACGAGGCCCGTGAGCGCACGTAGTCCGACCGTCGCCGCACAAAAGCATAACAATAAGAGTGGCATGCCCAAGTACGCGAGCCGTTTTAGAGCGGCTCGCTGGGAGGCCTTCGCGTCGGCGATGATAGTTGTCTGGATTTCGTCCATAAGACCCTGGAGCGAGTCCACGCGACAGCTCTGCAACTCGAACCACTCGTCGTGCGTCGGCGGCGGGTTGCTGGTGCCGTCGAGGAGCTCGGTCCGTAGCACGACCGCGTCGTGAACGCACGGCTTCGCCGCGTGGCGCGAAAAGGACGTGAGGAGCGGCTTGGGAGCGAAGGCCTGGAAGGACTGGAGCGCCGCCTCTTGGAGCACAGAGATCCGCACGAGCCGATCGCGCGTCTCCGCCGTGACGGGCGACTCCTTCCGGCGGTTCCCCGTTGTGGCGTGGGCGGCCAAGTCGGCCGAGACCAGGCCCCGCTCGACGGCGACGTACTCCTTGTATGACGCGAGCTTGACCGACGCGAAAAGCGAGGGAGCCAGGTTCTGCGCGCGGAGGCCCGACCGCATGAGCTCGACGCACGCGTCACGGGCCACCGCCAGCAACTGCTCGTTCATACTCGTGTAGACGTCGAAGACGTCGCGGTGCGTCTGGCTCGTCGTGCGCCGTGAGGGCGCCGCGGCCCGGTCGTGCGACGAGTCCTCGCGCTCCCGCAGTAAAGCTCGGAGCTTCTGGCAACTCTTGCGGCGGCACCCGCCCGCCTCGGGCGCCAAGGAGCGAAGCCGGGCAGGGGGACTCCCCCGTGGCTCGTCTGACAAGACGTAAGCACTTCTACGCGCGGCGAGGTCCACCGCGGCGCCAAGGCGCGCCGCAGTCCGCTTCGGCGACAGGTCCGTGTCGATGCCCCGCGGCTTGGAGGTGTCGGCGTGTTTGAGCACAGCACCGACCTGCGTGACATAAAGCGTTATTATCGAGCAGCCACCGTCGTCGCATCGATGGCGCGGGACGTTGATTCGTGGCGCTGCCCCGTACCGCCAGGTCCATGGCGGCGTCGGTGCGCAAGAACTGGCGGCCGAGCTCCAATGCGCGGGCGCGGCCGTCGGAAGCCACATAGGTCGAAATCAGACCTCGCTCGCGTTGCGTCTCGTGCACGGCCCGCGCGACTCGTAGGACCACGCCCGTTTCGAGCGCGCGCCGCACGGCGGCCGATCTCCCCACGTGCTCGAGCATGAGCCAACCGACCTGTGCGCAAATAAATCAGTGAGGACGCGCCGCGACAATTTGATTTATGCACTGCAACCGACTTCGACCACCGTCGCGGTCACGATGAGCCCGACGAGGCACGCCAGCAAGATAGGTATCCCCCGCGCGTTCCTATTGGTCTCCGTCGACTCCGACCCCGTGGATTCCTCGAGTTCCGCGTCGAGCGCCGCATACAACTCGTCCTCCTCGGCCTCATCCAATGTATCAAAGGACGACGCCACCGTCACGCCGTCGACGGACTCGCGCCGCGTGAGCTCCGACGGCGTCAGGCTGGAGACGCCCTTGGAGTCGCTCTCCTCGTACTCGGACGGCGTCGACTTGGACTCGGGCACGCCGGCGTCGAGGGCCTCGGCGATCCCCTTGTGCTCGAGGACGCCCGGGTCGCTCTCGAGCTCCCTTTTGGGCTCCGGCGGCGTCGCGGGCGGCGTCTGGTGGCGCTCGCTCTCGGGCGGCACGTTCGCCTTGGGCTTGGGCTTGGGCTTCGGCGGCGCGCTCCGGGGCCGCGGCGGCTTCTTCTTGGGTTTTTCTTGGGCCTTCTTCTGGCTGCGCTCGCGCGCGCGCCGCCACGTCGCCTCGGCCTCGCGCTTGCGCTCGGCGCGCCGCTCTTTGTCTGCCTCGGCGTCGCGGAGCGCCTGGCGGTTCCTCCGCGCCGCGGCCTTGCGGCGGCGGCGCCACTCCACGAGCGCCTCGTGAGCTAAATCAGCGAACGCCGCCGGCGCGCGGCACGCGGCCCGCGCGACCGCGACGACCGCCTCGACGACCGAGTACGCCACCACGAGCACGATGTCGAACAGAAAGAGGGCGGCGAAGAGCGCGGCGCAGACCTGGATGCGCCGGCCCGGCGACCACGCGCAGAAGCGCGTGCCTTCGAGGAGCGCGCCGGTCTCGCAGGCCATCTCGACCCGTAGCTTCGAGCCGCTCGACACAGCGAGCAGGAGCGCGCCGACCATGACGATCGCGGTGCGCAGCAAAGGCGGCAGCGGCGGCTCGTCCGCCTCGGCCGCCGGCTCGGGCGCGGGCGCCTTCATCACGGCCGGCGACCTGCTGCGCACCTTGCGCGGCATTTTGCCCACAGCTCGCCGCGAATAAAAGTTGCAGTGTTTGTGGCTACTAGTTGTGTGGTCTTGGAGAGGCCTCGCGCAGCGTGATAACCCTTCGGATGATAGAGACTGGGACTGCACACGCCGGTGGCAGCTTACACGGGCTTCCAGGGTCGTAGATTAGCCCTGCGAACGCACGACGAGTCGGGCCCAAACAACTAGTTGCAGTAAGACACTAGCGTCACTCCACGCCGTTTGTATATATATAATAAACTAAGGCTACTTCTTCTGCTGCGCACATATAATACTAAATTTACTTCTTCTGCGCCCGCTCGGGCACCTCGCCCGCGACGCGGACGACGCACGCTTTTCTAGGCGACACGGACGGAAAGTCCGACAAGGAGAACGGGTCGGGCATCTCCTCATCCCCCAAATATAGGCGCGACGCGCTCATGTCGATCTCGAACTCGTCCTCCACAAAAGCCTTGAGGACCTCGACCGTTTGACCCAATTTAAAGGTTTTTTCGCCCTCGGACCCGTCTGGTAATTCAAAAACCACGAGCACGGGCGCGTCGAGGCGTTTGATGATGTCGTCCTCTTCTGTATTCTCGGCGTTCCGCTCGCTCTTCGCGAGCGACGCCATGTCGATGCCTATGGACCTCGGCTTCGGCTCGGCTCCCGGGCTGATGAGCTTCGGAGAAATTGTGGCCAGGAGGTCGTCGCGGCTGTCGACGCGCTTGGCGTCGTTTGGCATGGTTGGTTGTGTGCTATGGCAGCCCCTGCTATCGTTGGCGCATTGCGGCTGCCTCGTCGTGGTCTGAGAGTTGCTGTACGGCACCAGGTGCTCTTTCTTCGCGAGATGTCGAGGGCAGCCTGATCACAGCCCCAAAGTTTCGCTCGTCCAAAAATCGAGATAGTGGTGGTAACACTCTAGCATCCCAGGCTCGACGCCAAAAAAGTGCTGATACACCGACGCTAGAGGCGCTCGACGCGGTGCAACCACGCTACTGCGCTCTCTGTTGAACGGTTCAACGTGCGCATCAAATTGGTGCACTAACGCTGCGGCTACACTGCTCTCACCCTCACAGCTCTAAAAAACACAACCCCAGGGCGGGCGACATGCATGGCGGGAAGAAACTGGCGACGCCTCTGTACGCGGCGTAACCCGGGCCCGGTCGGCGTCATGCTCCAGAGCATCCAGGCGGCCCTCCTCGCGATCCTCGACGCGCCGATGCGCATCATGCGCAAACGCATCCGCCGCCGCGCCCCGCCGCCGCCGCCGCCCGCCACGCACCACCGCCGCGTCCGCAGCGAGCCCATCTCGCCGGAGTTTCTCCACGCGCTCGAGGACCCCAAGGACCGATGAGGTTCCTGCTCTTCGCGCTCCACGCGGCCCGCGGCCCCGCGCCGCGCCGCACCGTACTGCAAGCGACAACGAGCCACTACGAGCTCAACCAGGAGCTGTCCCGGGCGCGCGCGCCCGACGAGCTGCTTCAGGTGGTGGAGGCCCGCGCGCCGGACTTCAACGCCGTCAACGCGGCCACGGCCCTGCAGCGCCTCGCGACGGCCAAGCTACGACGGGGCGAGCGCGCGCGCGGCGCCGCCGCGGCCGCGGCGAGCGCCGTCGCCGCGCTCGCCAAAAACGACGAGACTTGGGCCGACCCGCGGCCCGTGGCGTCGTCGAGCTGGGCCCTCGCGAAGCTCGGCCTGAGCCTGCCGGACCTCTTGGTAAGGCAGATTTCACAGATCGCCCCGCGCATGTCCGGCCGCGAGCTCAGCACGGCGGCCTGGGCCCTCGCGACGGCGCAAAGGCGCGAGGCGACCTGCGGCGGCGCCTACGAAGCGGCCTCTCTGCGAGACACGCGCCACGCCCTGGAGCGCTGCGCCGACGCCGGCGCGCGCGTCATGGACGCCCTGAGCGGCCGCGACGCCGCAACCATTATTTTCGCGCTCGGCACGGCGAAAGTCAAGCGGCCCGCGGCCCTCAAGGCGCTCTGCCGCCGCCTCGCCGACCCGTCGGTCGACTGGAACGGCCAGGACGTGGCCAACAGCTGCTGGGCCTGCGCGTCGCTCGACGCCGACGCGCCGCGCCTCTTCTCGGCCGCGGCGGCGTTCGTCGCCCGGAACGCGTCCCAGCTCGAGCCGCGCGGCGTCGCCACGCTCGCCTGGAGCTTCGCGAAGGAGCGGCAAGGCCGCTCGGCCGCGGCGGCGCGGGCCTCCGACGACGCCGTCGCCCTGAAAGCGCTCGCGGTGCGCGCGGCCGAGGTCGCGCGCTTCTTCGACGCGCGGTCCCTGGCGCTGGCGAGCTGGGCCTTCGCCGTCGCCGCGCGCAACGACCTCATCGAGCCCTCGGATGCCTGCTTCCAGAGTCTGGAGCGCGACGCCGTCGCGCGGCTCGCGCCGGGGCTCGACGCGCGCGACCTCGCGGGCGTCGCCTGGGCCCTCGCGTCGGCGGGCCGCGCGGACCGCGCGTCCTACGAGGCCCTCGCGTCGCGCGCGCGCGCGCTGCCGCGCAAAGCGTGGACGGGTCGCGCGCTCGCGAACTGCCTCTGGGCCTTTGCGGTGCAGACGTCGGGCTGCGCCGCGCTGCCGCTGGCACAGGACCTGGAGAAGGCCGTCGTCGAGCTCGCGCCCTCGCTGAGTGTGCGGGACGCGGCGGCGATCTGCTGGTCGCTCTCCGGCATCGCGGCCGGCCGCGGCGTGGCGTTCGACGCGGCCTTCGGCGCCGTCGCGGACGCTGCTCAGAACTTCGCGAGCGGCGAGGGCCGGGCCCTGGCGAACCTCGCGAGCGCCGTCGTCGACATGTACGGGGACGACAGCGGCGGTCTCGCGGATAATTGTCTCGACGTGCGGCGTATTCTAGATGCCGTCGCCGCGCTGGCGGTGCCGCTCGCCGAGAGTTCTACACTCGAGCCGCGCGCCCTGGCCGCACTCGCCGCGGCCTTCGCCGCGTGCCGCGCGGCGGCGCCGGCGCCGCGGCTCATGGCCGCGCTCGCCGCCGCGGCGCGCGACGCCGCGGCCGACTTCCAGGCCAAGGACCTCGTGGCCGCGGCCGACGCCTTTGCACGCTGCGGCGCGGCGACGCCCGTCGTCGCCGCGGCCGTGCGCGCGCTCGGCGCCGACGCGGCGGGCCGCGCCCAGGCGTTCCCGCCGCGGCTCCGCGCGGACCTGTGCCGCGCGCTCGCCGCCGTCGGCGCGACGGACTCGCCGTTCTTCGACTCGAGCGCCGCGCCGCGCGACCGGCTCCTGCCGCCGCCCGAGACGTCGTACGCGGCCAACACGACGCGGGTCCAGATCCTCGAGGTCGTGCCGTACTCGTCGCTGTTTCCCGGTGACGACGAGGTGGAGTGAGCTGTTTGTTAACACATTTATCACAACTAGTAAACGACAACGAGTCGCACCTCGATACTCTCGCGCGCCGGCGCGTCGGGTGGGCTCGCTGGGTCCGCGAAGGCGCTGTGGAGCGCAAACTTGGCGGCGTCTGTTTTCGAGTCCCACTGCTGGATCAACAATGCCTCTTCTCTTTTCATTCGAGGAAAATAGTACCACGCGTGGCGCTCATGATGCCTCGCAAAGTAGTTCTCCCCAACTCTATCCTCATAGTAGATCTGGAACGTCAAGAGGTCGCGGTCGTCTCGGACCGTCGCCGCGTCGCAACACGCCAGAGGCGTAGATTTGACTTCGCTTATCGGCCGCCAGACGTTCACGAACGCGAAGCGCCGGCCGGTCGCGTCGACACCGTCGAGTGGCGGCTTGTTGAGAGCGTCGTTCGTCTTCGGCGCTTCGGAGAGTTGCGCGAGGCGGCGCGGCGCCGACGCGGCGGTATAATCGCCATGCACGATTCCGGCGGGCGCCTGGACGTTGCTGCCGCCCTTGAGCTTGCGGCCCGAGGCCTTGCCCTCCTCGCAGCGCACGTTGTGGTCGAACGCGCGCACGGTCGCGCCCGGGCACTGCTCAGCCACCAAGGCTTCGCACATGCCGTAATACCGTCCGGTGACCGCAGCGTCGTCGTAGAGGTCAAGATCCGCATCGATCGGGGCCTCGACGAGTCGAAAGCCGTTTTTTTCCAGCGACCACGGTCGCCCTCGACCGTCAAGTATGCGTACCGTCGTCGGCGACCACGCCGCACCCTCCAATTCTCCGTCGGAGCCGGCGCCGTCTCTACGGGTCGAGACTGCCGTCACGTCTGGGGCGCAGTAGTTGAACGAGGCGTAGCCGACCTCGTTCACGCTTGCCATGCTCGGCCAGGTCGATGCGCGGCCATGCGATGAGCTCAGCGCGTGTGCAGCGCACAATAGCAACACCGGAGCGCTCCTTTGCATTTTGAACGCCAGCAGTTGCAGTTATTGGTGCATGTGGCTGTCAAGAAGGGTTTTGTGGCTGCCTCGGCAGGCGTAAAGTCGTGCTTTGCGTTTTTTGGCACCCAGTTTGGCTAGTGTCTTACAGGCCGCTAGCGCTCCAGGCATCAACCCGTTTTGTTTCCGAACCAAGGGATAGAGGGCGATAATGATGTGCTCTGTCTGCGTCCCGCGCCACGCCTCGGTCGGGTTTGGAGCAAAGCTGTCATCGCAAGTTGGCTGTGCGAGTTCAAAACGAGGGATCGGCCGCTTGCAAGGAGGTGGCCTGCATCATCATCGCCGCGCGATCGAGGTTGCACGACCGAAGCGATACGTGCCAAAACTGGGGCTGCCCTCACGCCAGCCGCCGCGACGCCCACCACTACTGAGGCTGGCCATTCGTCGCGCCGACGCCGCCGCGCCCCAGCACATTATCACCTTATACTTCATTGCAATATGCCGCGCCCCGAGGGCGTCCTCAGCATGAAGGCGCGGTCCTTGTTCGCGCGGAAGCATCGCCGCTTCGTCGCGATCAGCCAGGGCGGCCTCTCGACGTTCAAGCTGCAGAAGCCCGAGGACATCGCCGTGCTCGAGACGCGCAAGGATTTACCTTTTGACTACGTCGAGGGCGTGCGCCTCGACGGGTCCCGCTTCGTCGTGAAGCGGCGGAAGCCCTGGCGCTCGGACGTGGTCTTCTACTGCGCGACGGCGCCCGCCGCGCGCGCGTGGGCCGAGGCGCTCCGGTCGCGCCTCGACGCGTTCCGCAACAAAGCGCGCGTGCAGTTCCCGCCCCTGAACGAGTCGCTCGGGCCGAACCTTAGTCCGCGGCCGGAGCTGCCGCCCTACCCGCCGCCGTCGCCGGCGCGGCTGAAAGCGGGGCAGGTGGACGTGGCCGGGTAGTTTTTAAATGTGGTTTGTTGTATCGCGGCGTCGGGTGTCTGAACGCGCACGGCCGAGCCTATGAAGAAAAACGTCTGCGCTGCTACCCTATACGGTCCTGTCCCGACGGATGGGTCCCGCGGGCGGCATGATTACGCATCGTTTTAAAACCCGAACAGAACTCTGACCTGGAGTCAACAATCTCCTTGTCATCCGCCAATCTCGCACAAAAACACCACTCGTGCACGCAGCGTCTTGTACAAGCCCGCATCGGTCGCAAACTACTCCTGCAACATCATCCATCGCATTTGCGCGCGAAACGCGCGCGTTTTGCGCAGCCCAGTCTGACTGCTGGCACATTGCACGCTGCCTACGCGTCGACTCATTGTCGATCGGTCGCGGTAAGCACTGCAAGGCAATGCGCATCACTCACGCAGCCGACGAGGGACGCCCGCGACTCTTGCGCAACGCGAGAACCGCACCACTCACGCCGCCACCCGTCCGCAGGCAACAATGCAGCTCAAAGCCCTTACCTCCGCCGCCCTCCTCGCCGGCGCTCAGGCCTTCGTGGCGCCCGGCGCCAGCAAGCCGGCGCTCGCCCTCCGCGCCGAGGAGGTCGAGGCCGCGCCCGTCGAGGTCGCCCCGGTCGCCGAGGCCGCCCCGGAAGCCGAGGTGGTCGCGCCCGTCGCCGAGGTCGCCGCCGTCGCTCCGGAGCCGGTCCTCACGACGCCGTCGGTGCGCTCGACGCGAGCGCCGCCGCGCGCCTGGGACATCGCGCTCGACATGCCCGCCGGCATCAGCGCGCCGTTTGGCTACTTCGACCCCGCCGGTTTAGGGAAGAAGGTCACGGAGAAGCGCGCCAAGTACTTCCGCGAGTGCGAGCTCAAGCACGGCCGCGTGGCCATGCTCGCCGCCTTCGGCTTCCCCATCGCGGAGCACTTCCACCCGCTCTTCGGCGGCAACATCGACGTGCCGTCCTGTGTGGAAATCAACCAGTGCGTCGGGTGCACGACAAGTCTTCACTAAGTCATTTCCCGGCGATGACGCGACCGTCCTGGCTCGGTCGAGCGGTGAGGAACCGGCATCGCCACGCCATCGAGCAGGCGTCGCGTCGATGGCGTGGAGGACGACGCGATGATTCAGCGCGAACGCGCCGTAAAATTTTGATTTCCACACAGGTGCCGTCCTACGTCGCCTACCAGCAGACGCCGCTCCAGACCTTCTGGCCCGTCGTGCTCCTCTACGTGGGCATTGTCGAGATATTCTCGGTGTTCACCTTCGAGAATCCCTTCGGCAAGGGCGGCTTCTGGACGCTCAAGGACGACCGCGTGCGAAGACCGCGTCCGAAACGCCGCGCCGCGACGAGAAACGACGTGGTGCGACTCGTCGACTGGCTCCACGACCTCGGTCTCACGCGTGTGTCCGTTCGCAGGTGCCCGGCGACTTCGGCTGGGACCCCATGGACATGTACCCCACGGACCCCGCCGGCCGCGTCGAGATGCAGACGAAGGAACTCAATAATGGCAGAGTAGCGATGATCGCGGTCGCCGGCATGGTCGCCCAGGAGCTCGTCACGGGCGCCAAGCTCTTCTAGGCCCCCGCACGTGTTCAAACCATTTGTCGCGCGCGGGGTCGCGCGCCTGTCACCGTTTAATATCTCTCGTATCTCATACTGCGTTAGACCTGGGTACACATCGCGCCGTCGTAGCGTGCCCGCTTACGTACTCGCTCTGTATTTGCGAACTCTGCCTGACGCCGGCCACGCGACGGCACATACGAGTCTGCGTGCGTGAAGAATGTCCTTAAGCCTGGCGCGCGTCCTAAGAAGGAGAAAGCCTAGGGTGACGGCGGGCACGAGATGTCGATTTCGCCCAGAATCTTGTCCGTCACTTCCTCTGCGTCGTCGAAGTCATCGACCGTGAAGCCCAGGCCGGTCGAATTGAGCGTATAGAGGAAGTTGACGTCGAGGTCCCCTGTATCGACTGCTACGGTAATCACTTCAATGCCATCGGCCTTGGCGTCGTTCGCCGCGGTCACAGCGGCAGTTCTGCATGGCGATCCCGCGGGTCCGCCATCATTATCGCACCCAGGAGATGGACCACCGGCGATTGGACCACTGCTCTAACGCCTTCCTTGCCGTAAATGTTGTTGGTGGCTAAATTGACGGTTCGAAAGTCTATAGTGGACCACCGCGTCGGCGCCTGTATCGACCTCCCTTTGTACGGAGGACCTCAGTTGACGCGCCTCTACACCGAAACTACGGTATTTAAGGTTACCGAAGTTGTGGATGCGGCCACGCTAGCGACAAAGGTTAAGTGCGGGTTGAGCCGCGACGGATCGCGTGGGACAAAACGCGCGGACGTCGTCCGTCGGACGGGGTAAAGATATACGCCTACTTAGACCATGAGCTTGTTCAGCAGGTCGAGCGCCTCGCGCGCCTGCGCGTCGAGCTGGTCCCGGTTCTTGTTCGCCTCGCGGATCTTCTCGTCGACGTCGCCCCCACCCAAACTCTCGGCGAACATCTTCTTGATCTCCCGCTTGTCGTCGTCCGTGAGCTGGCCCGAGTCGACCAACTCGCGCAGCGCCGCCATCTGCTCCTGGGGATTCGTCGGCATGCCCCCCATGGCCCCAGGCATGCCCGGCATGCCCTCCTGGCCCGCGAGCGCGGCGAGCAGCCCCTCCTGGTCCCCGTCTCCCGCTTTCTCCATCATCTGCTGCACGAGCTTCGTCACGACCTGTGTGCAAATCAAAATTTTACGACGCGTTCGTGTTGCAGTCTCCACGCCATCGACGCGATGCCTGCTCGATGGCGTGGCGATGCTGATTCCTCACCGCCGAGAAATGACTTAGTGAAGAATTATCGGGTGCACCCGGCGCACTGGTTGATTTCCACACAGGTCACGACCTGCTGCGCTAATCTATCGGCCTGCTTGTCCGAGATCTGGAAGAGGGCCTGGAGCGTGTCGACCGCAGCCAAGTCGACGGCCTCGCCCTCCTCCGTCACGCCGCCCTCTTCCTCTAAACCGGCGGCGACGCCCGCCGCGGCGTAGCGCGCGAATAATGATTGCAGTTGCGACCGCGAGGCCCTCCCTTCGTAGACGACGGGCGTCCCCGCGAAGGGCACCAAGCCGAGCTCCTCGAACGCCAGACCCGCGACGGCCGCGACCCGTACCACGTTTGATAATGGAGGCAGACTTTCCGCGTCGCCCTGCTTGAGGGACGGCACGGCCGCGTCGACCAACGGGATGAGACCGGCGTTCACGACGTCCGCGAAGGCGTTCGCCGCCGCGTCCAGCCCCAAGCCCGCGGCTTGGAGCTTGTCGAGCTCCTTCTTGAGGAGTGCCACGTCCTCTTCGGCGACGGCGCGCTTCTTCGGCGGGTCGGCCTTGACGTGGTATTTGGCCGCGTTCGTGGCCCTTACTCCAAAATCATAATGCGAGATCACATCGCCGGTGCGCTGCGCCCAGGTCTTGGCGTCGACCTCTCCCGTTTTAACGGGGGCCCGCGCTTCTGTATCGATGCGGCCCGCGCGCGCGTCGACCCACGGCGCGGCCAGCGACTGCGCGAACTTGGGGCCGCACAACGCCGCCTCGGGCACGGACGCGATCAACAAGCCGGCGACGGCCACGGAGAAGGCGCGCGTCGCCCTGGCTGGAGCTTCCAAGTCCTCATCGGGCGGCACCGTCAGCATCTCCTCGAGCTCCACCTGCGCGGAGCATCGAACGGCCTCAAAATCAGAAAAGAAACCAGTCACGACATCCTCTCCTGGAGACGATGCGCGTCGATGGCGTGAACGGGACGCCGAGATCGCACGGGCCGCGTCGCCTTCTTGCGGAAAATGTCGAGGACGCGCTTCTTCTTTTTCGGAGGGGGTTCGACCGTGCCCGGCTTCGGGGGCGGCGGCGCCGGCTTTGCTGGCACCGGCGCGGGCACCGGAGTTGATGGCACGTCGATGACCGTCGAATCCGCTTTTGATGGAGGCGCCTCCTGCGCGCCCATGGCCGCGAAGCTGTTGAAGCTCGACCGCCGCCTCTCGGCGCGCGCGGCGAGGACCGCTCGTACCCTGCCCAGCACGAACGACAGCAAAAAAGCGGAAAACGCGAAGCGCAGCACCACCACAAACTTCGACGGGCCCACCGCCGCCGTCAGCGCCGTCTCGGCGAGCTCGGCGGCCGTCTCGCCGGCGAGCGCTTCCGCCGCCGCCGCGCCGGCCGCGGCCTCGACGCCCGACGCGAGCGCTTTACGCGCGCCGCCGGCGAGCGCCGCGGTGGTTAGGGTCGCGGCCTTGGCCAGGCGCTTCGGTTTTAGTGCGGGTGGCCGCGCGAGGCGCAGCGCGTGGGCTTGCGCGAGCCATGCGAGGAGCACTGCTCGCCTCGCCGCCATGGCTGCTCTCCTTCTCCAAATCGCCGTCGGAGGGTCGTTGGTCCTGGACACCGAGAGTGATGCGCGCAGCACGTTCCTCTAAACTAATATAACGCCACGACGGCGTGCGTAGTGCAGATTGGTCCGCTCCGCGGCCAAGCAACCTCAAATTACGAGCTAGCGGCCTGTAAAGACACTAGCATTTTACACTGCTCGGTCTTTGCGAAGCTCTAGCTCTACAATAAGCAGCATACAAGGCTTGCGCGGCTGGTGGCATCAAGCCTGTTCACCGCTGCGCGGGTGAGAAAAAAAGCGGTAGGTTTTACGCCGTAGCGACAGAGATTTGCACAAGACCCAATAAGGCTGCTGTGAGAAGACAATGGACCATCCTCCCACAACAACAGCAGACCTAATGCGATACGCGGTCGCCGCGCCGGCCACCGCGGTCGCGGTTCCACCGCCGCCGCCGGTCGCGGTCCCACCGCCGCCGATCGCCGCGCCGGCCACAGCGGTCGCGGTCCCACCGCCGCCGGCCGAGCTCGACCCCGCCGCCCTCGCGCGGCGCGTCCAGGAACTCGAGGCCGCGCTGGCGTCGAGCGAGGCGGAGCGCGAGCGCCTGGCCCAGCGCGTCGCGGCACTGGAAGCCGAAAAAAAGCATCCGAAGCCGCGGGGCCGCATGCCACTCGGCGCGACGGGCTGGGACCACGCGACGGGCACCTGGCAGTACCCCCCCGGCGTGCTGCCCCAGTCGCCCCGGAAGAGAGCAAGGAGGGCGTCGGTCAAGGCCCGGAGGAAGTGGGAGGGCGAGTCGTCGGACGAGGACCCGCCGCCGGCCGTCGCGGCCGGCGCGGTTTTTATAGATGACGGCCAGTGCTGGCTCGTGTACAAGCGGGAGGACGACGTCGTGTATTATTATCCAGCCAAGCACCCCAAGCCGACGGAGGAGACCTACCTCGCGGCCTGCGAGCACTCGGGCGCCGACGAGGTCGCGGCCTGGATCGCGGCGACGCACGAGCGGGCCGACGCGTGCGCGCGCGCGCATCGCCGCAAGCGCGACGACGAGCGTAGGCGCCGCGAGAACGCGGCGCTGGCCGCGCTCCCGCCGCCGAAGCTCCCGCCGCCGCCGAAGCGCGTCCCGCCGCTCCCCGCGGAGCAGCTCCTCGGCCGCGCCGTCCGCGTTGTAATTGCGGACGCGCCGTCCGACGCGCGCGGCACCGTCGACGCAATCGCCCACGGCGTCTGCCGCATCGCGTGGAAGGACGGTACGCGCTCCGAGGTGCTCTTGGCCGACGCGACGGCGATGCTCGTGCCCGTCGTCGCCGTGTGAGGAAGCTCTTGTGCTCCGTCCGCAAATTCAAGTCTCGCCCCCTGTGTAATCCATCCGTGTTCTCTCTCGAACTTCGCGTCGACGGCGTGTTGAGGGATAAGGTTACTTAAACGGACCTCACGCGAACGTCGCGAGCGTGCCGAGCACGGCCGACACGGCCGACAGCCCCAGCATGCCGTAGGGCGCCAGCTTCTTCTCCCAGGCCGCCTTCTGCACCTTGTCGCCCTTGAGCAGCATGACCGCGGGCAGCGCGTAAATCACGGCCGAGCCCATGAGAGCGCCCGTGAGAGAGACCACGACCCCCACGTCGTCCAAGAGCAGCGCGATGGCCGTGATGAGCCCAAGCGGTGCCGCAACGACCGCTTTCTCGGAGAGCTTGGGCAGCACGCCGCGGACCCCTACTTTCACAGCAGCATATGCCAGGGGAAACGTGAAGACCGTCGACACGCCGAACAGAAGCCGCGCGACGGATGCCAGCGAGTCCTTGACGGCGTAGTTGTTCAGCACCAAGCCTTGCGACGACGCGCCGAACGTCAGGTAGCCGGCGACCATGACCGCCACATTTAATAAGACCGAGAGCGCGAAGCCCCGCCTCACGATGGTGGCGTACTTCTTCTCGTCCTTGCCCGCGTCGACGAAGAAGTTCGGCGCGTTGAAGTGCGCCATGTAGGCCGTGCCGCACATGGCGACGAAGACGCCGAGGCCCAACCCGGGCTTCACGAGCGTGCTCCCGAACTTCGGGGCGAGGTCCCTACTCAAACTCTTGACGAAGGTCGCGCCGGCCTTGTACGTGCCGTCCAGGGCCCGCTTCGCCATGAAGCCCGCCGTGTACACCACCCCAGCCGTGCCGAGCGCCGACGTGGGGGCGAGCGCCGCGAGGGACTTGAGCGAGCAGAGCGGCCAGAGGGCGCCGAGCGTCAGCGCCGCGATACTTCCGCGCCGCGCGCCGCCGCACGCGTTGAGGGCGGAGCAGACGCGGGGCCCCGGGTTCGCCGCCGCGATGAGGGACGCGGCGGCGTCGCCCATGATGATGCTGTACGCGAGGCAGGCGAGGAAGGGCGTCAGCGTGCAGCAGAGCGTCACGACCCAGGCGCTCTTCTCCCCGACGCTCCGGGCCCAGGCGTCCTTGTACGTCTCCGCGTCGTAGGCGCCGCAGACGCGGCCGAGCACGCCGAAGGAGTACGCCGACGCGGCGCCGAGCGCGGTTATCAGCGCCGTCGCGGGCCAGAGCGCGGGCCCGGCGTCGGAGAACGCCGCGACGCCCGCCGGCAGCGCGAGCACGCCCGCGCCGACGATCGACTTCACGAGGTTGACCGTCGACGCCGCGACGCTGGCGCCCTCGTCTTCTTTTGGCGCCTCCGCGGGTGGTGCGGCAGCCTCAGCCTCAGCGAGCAGCGTGGTCTTGAACTTCTGCCGCGGCGTGATGAGGCGGGGCGGCAGCCGCAGGGCTTGCACTGAGGCAATGAATGCGAGGGCGACGAGGCGCATGGCTGCGTGTCTTCAACTGTCAACTATAGATTATTGGCTACTATAGATAATGGCTGTGATTTTTTGCAAAACCGTGCAGCGTGGGCAGCGTGCAGTGCAGGGCGAGTCGTGTGCAAGTGCCAAAACATAATCCAGCTAGCGGCCTGCAACACACTAGCTTTCCTTTCCAAATTCGGCAGGTCGTGCGCTCTGTTGCAAGAAGGGCAGCGGAACTGCGGGAATAGAAGCATCTTTGCAAGTGAGCAAAAGCAAGCAAGAATTCGGGGCAGCGGAACTGAGCAAAACCAAAAGCAAGACTCGACCATGTCAGCACCCGGCGAGTACGGAGGCGTCTCGACATCCGATGAAACCCTGCAGTCGACCTTCTCGTCGACGCGCGCGCGGCTGCAAGCCCACGCCGCGAAGCTGAAGAAATCCATCCTCGAGGGCACGGTCGAGCTCGCGACGCTCGGCACGATCGGTGCTGTTTTGATGGTCTTCGTCTCGGCGACGGCCATCCTCGGCAACATCACGAGGATAAAACCGGCGAGCGCCTTGCTCATGGTCTATTGCGTCGCGGGCGGCATCGCTTTACTAGTACTGGAGTTCTCGGCGTCGCCGCCGTCCTTCCTCCCGGGTTTCGTGCTGCACCGCCTCCGGAAATTGCGCCAGATGCTCCACTTCGAGTGCCACATCCTGACGGTGGCGACGGGCCGCGCGCTGTGCTACCTGTTTTTTGGGAGTTTGCTCCTCGCCGACGCCGGCAGCGCGCTGGGCACGTGCGTGGGTGGCTACCTCGCGTTCGTGGGCCTCGCGATGCTCTACGTGTCGCGGAGCGCCGTCGCCAAGCTGCGCGCGCTCATGCCGCGCGCGGCCGAGGCCTCGCTGCGGGACGCGTTTGCCAGGCACGATTCTGATAGCGACGGGAAGCTGTCGAAAGCCGAGTTCGCGGAGCTCTGCGAGGGCTTAGGGGGGGACCTCACGCCGCGCGAGCGCGAGTGCGCGCTCTCGCTCTTGGATGTGGACGGCTCGGGGACCATCGAGCTCGACGAGTTCCTCGCGTGGTACACCGGCCGCAACTGGCAGATGGCTTTGCACGCCTTCGGCGCGGGCGAGCCACAACCCTCGGAGAGCGAGGCTGGGCTCGCCTAGGTAGGCCCCTTTTTTGTTTTCTAAAAGTACATATCCTTACGAGAACAGCCCCCAGAGCAGCAGCGCCAGTCCCACAACAGCCGTCGCGCGCGCCGCGCCGTTGCACGGCATGTCGACGCCGACCGCGAAGTCGTGGTCGTTCGCGCAGCACGTCGTTCTAACGGTAAAGCCCCCGTAGCGCAGCTCCATCGGGTCGCTGACCCAGCGCGCCTGCGTCGATGAAGGTGAGGGGCACGTCGATGGCGTCGAGGGGTGTGCAGCGCGTCGCGGCGACGGCGTCGAGGGGCCCGCGTCCACCCCGACGCCGTCGAGGGGACGGCGATGCGTCGAGAAGGCAACCCAGAGACGCCGGAAAACAAGCCTGGTGGCCCGGCCGGTCGCCGGACCGCCGCTTGATGGCGAGGTCCTCCTTCCGAAAATCAATATGCATGCCCGCCGCGGCGTCCTCCGTGGGAAAACACATGCTGTGGTTCGCGCAGCCCCAGATCGTGGTACAGCGCCGGTCGAAGCCCGCGTCGGAGCCCGGGGCGTGCTCGGGGTTCCGGAAGAGCTCGCAGACGTCCGTGCGCGCGCAGTACCAGGGCCCGGCGCACTCCTCGGGCGTCGGCGGCGCGCGCGTGCCGCCCGACGCCTTCGCGACGGCGGCGCCGTCGAGCATGCACTGGCGGTCGCAGAGCACGCGCGCGGGGAGGTACATCTCGTTGCCGTGGAGGCACTGCGCCGAGCTCTGCATGGGGTTCGACGTGTAGGCGATGTGCATCTCATCCTTGGCGAGGATGTCGAGCACGCCCGACCGCCAGCCCCGCGACGCGTGCAGCTCCCACGTGGGCTTGTCCGTCGGTTGCAGGGTGGGCTTGAGCGTGATGGTCGGCGCGGCCGACGGCGTTGCGGTGGTGGGCGCGGCCGTGGTCGGCGCGGGCGAGGTCGTCGGCGCGGCCGACGGCGCGGCCGACGGCGCGGCCGTGGAGGGCGCGGCCGTGGTCGGCGCGCACGTGCCGCCGTCGTCGTAGGGCCCCGAGGTGCACGCTCCCGTGAAATCGCAGGTGAGGCCAAAATCTTCCGAGACCGGGGTCACATATTCGCACTCCTGCCACGCATGATATTCCGCGTTGCAGGCCGAGGCGGGCCCCGTCGGCTGACTGGAGCTGCACACTTCGTAGACAAGGGCCGTTGCTTCGTCGCAATTCGACGGCTCGCAGCCGTAGAAGTAGCTGTAGTCTCCCTCGCCGGGGCCGCACTCCTGCGGCAGCGATGCGACCGCCGAGTCGCGCGTGATGAGGTAGCTTCCGTCGTCGCCGACCTCCTCCATGCACTCGCACTCGTTCTGGCAGAAGCAGTCGCCGCCGTCTTCCCAGTCGACGGCCACCAAGCCATCGCCGTATGCGTCCTCACACATCGTCCAGCAGTCGCCCGGCGACGCCGCGCAGCCCACGAGGTCGTCCAGGGCGCTGTAGCACCACCCCTTCCCGGCGCCGTGGTTCGTTGTGCCGCTTGGAGAGGAATTGAGGTCGCCGGACGTCTCGATGTCGCATTTCTCGTCGTCGTCGTCGCCGCCGGAGAAGAAGTCGTCCGTGCCGTCGACCGTGCCGTCGTCGATGAGGCCTTGAATGCAGTCTTGCCAAGCGGAGTACTGGGTGGGGCAGGCCGGGACAAAGTCGTCGTCGCCGCCGTCGTCCGCCTGGAGGCGGCGCGTCTTGTGCTTGAGCGTATTCAAAGCAGTTGCCCAGCGGTCCGCGCTCTCGATGCGGTCCCTGGCGGCGGCGCCGGAAAGGCAGAGGGCGGCGGCCAGGCCCAGGGCCGCCAAGCCGAGGCCCAGCCGCATCGGTCACTTGGCTTCAAACCGGTGAGCTCGTGGTGAGGCCTTGCTGCTGGTAGCGAGGGCAGCCCTTTCGGCCGTGGCGAAGGCTTAGAGGCAGCCTCTCCGCTCGACACGACGCCCTCGATTGATAGAAATGTCGGGTTTCTCTGGAATCAATCCAGCCCTCCTATATCTACGTGAAGAAGTCCCGGGTACTTTCTAGTGCTGAGGAGACCTTAATTTATTCGGGTTAAGCTAAACTAAGACCACTAGCCGCTGAAGGGGGGGTCAAAAGCACAGGACCTGGATATCTGCCTAATCTCTGGCTTGTCTCCGTCCGGCACTGGCAGCTGCCCGAATCGCTTCGCCTGGCTCGGTAGGTCCAATTGCCGTAACGACGTTGCAAAACGTCCTAAATTGGACTAATAAGAGACAAGTGCAGCCAGCCACTGCACGTGTGCCCGTGACGCACGTGTCGTGCGTCGCGCCCGGGACGCCTCCGCCTTTCTGGTGAACCCGCTGGCGTGGCGGCGGACGGGTGCCACCACAAGCCCGGCACCATGAGGTGGCTCCCCGCCGCGGCGCTCGCCGCCGCGGCGACGGCGCTGCGGGCGCCGTCCACGCCCAGACGACTGACCCCCCTGCGGCTGTCGCCGGCCGAGATCATGTACGAGGCGCAGCGCGACGCCATGGCCGCGAGCGCGGAACAGGAGGGCGCGCTCTTCGTGGGCCACACGTCGCCCCTCCGGACCAAGAAGCTCTCGTACAGTAAGAAGACGAAGCGGAGGGGCAAGAAGGCGAGCGGCTTCAGCGCGCCGGTCGCGGCCGAGTCGCAGGCCGAGAAGGACGCGGCCGCGCGCTGGCGCAGCCTGAAAAGGGACGGCATACTGAAAATAGAGGGCGCCTGCGCGCCGGCGACCGCGTCGTTGCTGCGCGAGTATGTTGTGGAGGGCGTCGACAAGGCGCGGCGGGCGGTCCTCGAAGCGAGCGACCCCGCCGACGAGTCGATGAAGCGCTTCCACGCGACGACCGAGCAGCCCTCGCGCTCCTTCTTCAAGCCCCGGCTCGACGACCCCCAGATCCACGCGGGGCTCGGCGAGCTCTTGGGCGCGGAGTCCAAGCTCGGCGACTTGTTCGCGTTGGCGTGCGGCGGCGACGACGCGGTCTTCTACGATTACAACGCCCTGCGCACGGAGCCGGGCTGCGCGCGGCAGCCCGTGCTTTGGCGGCGTCCGGTCTTCGACATTACGATGGCGTCGCGGCGATGGCGTGCAGATCTGGCCTCCACACCGCCGCCGCCCCCGCACGCCATCGCCGCGATTCGCGACGCGCAGGTCCACTTCGACACGCCCTTCCAAGAAACCCCACCCCTCTTCACGGCCTTCGTGGCCTTGCAAACGGTCACGGCGGCCATGGGCGCGACGCTCTTCCTCCCGGGCACGCACCTCCAGTGCCCCTCGCGGTGCGAATTCGACGCGAGCCGCGCGGGCACGGAGCGGCGCGACGCGATGCTGCGCGCGGCCGACGCGCGCTACGCGCTGCTCGAGCCCGGCGACGTCACGATCTTCGACATGCGCCTGCTGCACTGCGGCACGAAGAACCTCGTCGCAGACGCGGGCGGGAGGACGCGCTACTTCCTCAACTTCACGTTCTGCAACCCGCGCGCGGACCAGTCGGACCTGGGCCACGTGCCCTGCATCCGCCCGGGCTACGAGCGGCGGATGACGCTCCGCGACGCGCGCGCGGAGCTCCTGTGCGCGAGCCCCTTCGCGGCGCTCGGGGACGGGCTCTGACGTCCATCGATATCGCCGTTATCGCACCGACCGTTACGTCTCGCATATCCTGAGTCGACCGTCGCCTACGTCTCGCAACACGATCGTAAACATATCCAAGCTATTTTTTACGGTGCTCGTACTACTGGGAGGAGCCCCTGGGGAGACAATGCGCGTCGCCGGTTCATTGGCGGGCGTTGAGGCTGAGGCTGAGGCTAGTTACGTCGCAGGGTTCCCCGTACCCCTCGTTGAGGCTGAGGCTGAGGCTAGTTACGTTGAGGCTGAGTTGCTAGTGTCTTACGGTCGCTAGCTCGGCTTGCGAGGCGTGCTCGACTGCGAGCGAAGTGAGGGGACCAGGACGCATCGCGTCGTAAGCGTCGCGTCGTAAGCGGGCGTCGCACACACGCATTCGTGCACGTCGGTCAGCTTAGGCTGAGCAGTGGCATCAATCACACAGGGGGGTTTGACAGTGCAGTGCAGAGCTGCAAGGCTGCATGGCGGCCCTCGACAACGACTCCGACAGCGAGCTGGAGCTGGAAGAAAAGCAGTTCACGATCGGCGCGCACGCGTTCCAAGTGCACGTGGTCGGAGAGCTGCCGCTCGAGACGCTCTTCGCGCTCGAGAGCAAGCGGGACGAGATCTCGGGCCAGCGCGCCTGGCCCGGCTCGCTGCTGCTGGCGGCCGAAATATCAGCGAGGCCCGCGCTGGTGGCGGACCGGGCCGTCGTCGAGCTCGGCGCCGGCGCGGGCCTCTGCGCGATGGTCGCGGCGCGCTGCGGTGCGCGCATGACGGCGGCGACCGACGGCGACGACCGCTGCCTCGATCTTTTGACGAGGAACGTCGCGGCCAACGGGCTCGACGGCGTCGTCACCGTTTCAAAATGCTTCTGGGGCCGCGACGCGCCGCCCGTCGGCGATTTGGTACTGGCGGGAGACGTGCTCTACAAGCGGGCGCTCGTCGAGCCCTTCCTCGACGCCCTCGAGGCGGCGCTCGCGCCGGGCGGGCGCGCGCTGCTGTGCCACCTGCCGCGGGCCGGCGTGTCGCATGAGGTGGTCGAGGCGGCGCTGCGCGCGCGCGAGGCCGCCGGCGGGCCCGCGCTGGCCGCCGTCCGCGCGCCGGCATCTGCCGAGTTCGGTGACGACTGCACCGCCGACGACGCGGCGGCGGCGCGCGTCTACGAGCTGTGTCTGCCGGCGGCGGACGACGACGCGGACGCGCGGCGAAGTCGTTTCGCGGTCCGCGTGTCGAATCTCGCGAATCGCGTCGATCTCTCCGCGGTCCAGAACCTGTTCAGGGGCTGTGGCGTTGCTCTCGTTTATCGCTCCGGCCCGCGCGAGGCCGTCGTATGCCTCCACGACGAGAGCGGCGTCGGGCGGGCGCTGCGGCTCGACGGCTCGGTGGTTCGGGCGACGGCGATTGCTGTGACGCGCATGAACACCGGTGAGGCCGGGGAACCCTAGGAAGATCTAATAACGATGAGTACGTGGTTATTGCGCAGCGGCACCTGCTGCCCAACGGGGGACCAAATGAGGGAGGGGGAGGAGGAGGGGAGGGAGGGAGGGAGGGATGAAGTATCGTTCAGCAGCCTTCGCACTCAAATCGGCACACGCCCTTGCAAGCCCAGGAAGCACGCACTTCCCGGCCCGTGGCGTCGACGCCGATGCGCTCTTGAGTCCGGCAGCGGTTCTCTATCTTCTCCGGTTCGCCGGCGATATCATCACAGCCGAGCAAACCTTTGTCACCGGCGTCGTACCGCCAGTACGGGTCGTTGCCACAGTAGTACTTGTCGCATTCGTCGAAATCGTCCGAATCGACGTCGTTCGGCCAACACTTCCTACTTTCGCAGTAGCCCGTCTCGCAGTCCTCCCAGACTCGGCACTTCCTTTGCATCTCGCATCGCGGGCAGGGCGGCGGCCCGCCACAATCGACGTCCGACTCCTCGCCGTCTTGCACGCCGTTGGAGCACGCGTCGTTCAGCGTCGGCCGGTACGTCGGTAGGTACGCCGGAGTCGGTTCGCGCGTCGGTGTGCGAGTCGGTTTGTACCCGCAGTCGCCGAAGCCGTCATATTCGACGCCGCACGACGTCGAGGAGCAAGGGGTGTTTGTGAACGCTTTCTTCAGGCTCACGTCGTTTCCCACGCACCAGCCGAGGTCCTTGATGCCTGTGTGTGACTCCGCGTCCGGTGCGGCGCCGCGCGCGCCACGCTGCGCCGCGCGAGGCGGGCTGGGCGTTACGAGCTCTCGTTTTGGCGAACGCGCGCGCCCACCGGGCGCGCTTCGCCGTGTGTGCGGCGGTTAAATTGGGCGGGGAGTGGCACTCCTGCGAGTCACAAAAATTTTGTGTCTCTTGAGCACTGAGGGTTGGGGCCAAAGCGGTGGCGCGGGAAGTGTTGTCGGACGGGACGGGACTCACTTTGGCTTGTGCGCTTTGAAGCGTTTGAACGACGCGATGTGCGAGCTTGCGAGTGTTTGGTGTCCAGCAACGAAGCAACTCGATGCCGAGTAAACCGGGCAACAGGCCCAAAACGCCGATCCCCAAGCCTAGTGCTGCTGAGCAAACCAATAATAGAAAGGTTACGCAAACATGTCCAGCGGCTCGTCCGCCTGCTGCTTCTTCGCCTCGGCGATCGCGCTCTTCGCCTTGGCGCGGACCGCCGCGACCTTGGCCGCGTCGACCCACGGGAACTCGACGACGACCGCGGTGACGTTGTCCGCCGCTGACCTGTGGCAATCGACCAGTGAGACACCATCGCGTCGATATTTGATTTTCACACCGCCGCGACTTGGCGAACGCCTCGCGCACAATCCGCCGCGCACTTTCTTCGGGCTTGCCGAAGTTCTCGACGGCTAGGCTGACGATGGCGCCGTCGTCCAGCACGTCCGTGACGCCGTCGCAGACGACGACCGCCAACAAATCATCATCTTCCAGAGGAAGGACGCGGACGTCCGGCGCCGCGCTCAATACAGCCGTCGGCCTTTTGAGTTGCCTATCACCAATAGACCGCGCCACGCTCAAATACAGGGACTTGTTGCGCCGGTCCACCCCGAACCCGACGCCCGCCGCGCTCGTCGCGCGCCAGACCCCATTCAAGTCGACCACATACCCACCAGCCTTCTCTATCCTCCGCTTCTCCGTCGCGCTCTCGGGCTTCTGATCTATGGTACCTCGCAAAGCGCCGAGGCCCCTTGCAATAATAAGTCGCGAGTCGCCCAGGTTCACCGTGACGAGCTTGCGCGCGTGCTCTAATAGTAATCCAGCGCAGACGCAAGAACCGTCGTCCCACTTCCGCCGGTCCGCCTCGGCCAGGAACGCGTCGTCCAGCTCGAGGAAGGCCCGCTCGATCGCCGGCCGCCACCGCGCGTCGTCTATGTTGACGGTCGCGGCGGCCGCCGCTTTTGCCCCAGCCTCTCGCAGCGCTTCGGCCCGCTGCTTCGCGGCCTTTTCCACCGTTGACAACGCCGCCCCGGCGTCGCGGCCGCCTTTTCGTTTTTTGGACGCTTTATCCAACCACCGCCTCCGATTCGTGAGCGCGTCCCGCAGCTCCGCGAGCTCCGGCGACCCGTAGCCGACTGCCCTCAATTCCTCGATGCGCGCATCGGCCTCCTTCGCCGCGTTCTCGATGGCCCGCAGTTCCTCCTTTTCGCGCACGGAGGGGAGCACTGGACCAGTGGTGGATGTGCCCTCGGCGAGCTTGCGCCGCTTGGCCGTCTCGCGCGCGTCCCCCAAGCGCTCCTCGAAGCCCGGGATCGTCTCTCCAATGGTACGCTCGACGGCGCTGCCGAGATTTGCCTGCACGTAGTCTGCCGCGTGCTCTCCCCCATGCCCGTCGTAGACGCCGAACCACAAACCCAACCCGCCGAGGTGTTTCGCATCCACGCGGTCCTCGTAGTGGTCCTTCAACCCCTTGAAGCCGTAGGAGCCGTGGCTGATGCGCGCGAGCTGGGCGGCTGCCGCGGCGTCGGGCTGCTGGGCCATCCTTGTTTGTTGTAGTTGCGGCAGCGGCAGCGCTGCTGTGGCAGGAGTGTAACTACGTGCGCAAATCAATTTCTAAGCGCCCCGCGATGCGTTTTTGTCGCAGCTTTTTGCAGCGGCTTTGCTCGCTAGTGTCTTAACAGCACGCTAGCCTCGCATTTTGCGCGCGCACCCAAGGAGACGCGATACACTGCACATAGCAGCGTCTGACTAAGTCCAAACAAGCCTCGCTGGACGCGCGTTGCATCTTGCAGCGAGAGACGCAGCGGTGAGGCACCCACAACAAACAAACAAGTGGCGCGCGCCGCATCCACGAGACAGGATGCGCGTCGCAGCAATGGATGATGCTCGCGCGGGCACACACACACGTCGTCGTCGCCGCGGCGCGCACCGTAAAGTGCCGACGCACGCACACCAGGGCCGAGCGGCGACCGGAAACGACGCGTCACGCAGGCACACGCAACCATGGCCGACGACGGCAAGGAGCCCAAGGACGACCCCTTCGCGGACGACGACGACGACGACGATGAAGAGGTAGGTGCCGCCGAGGGCGAGGAAGATTCATCAAAGAAGGGCGTGCCGATGGTCGGGGACGTCACGCTCCAGGACGGCCGCCTCTTCTGGGCGGGGTTGTGGGCCGACTCGGAAGCGGACCTCGCGGCGGGCAAGGGCAAGAAGTTCAAATATGGCGGCCCCGAGGGCCAGACCGCGGCCGCCCTGACTCAAATGCCGTCGGGCGAGTGGCACGGCTACTTCTTCAACCCCGGCGACGAGGGCGACACGAAGTGCAAGGAGAAGGGCGTCAAGCTCAAGTTCGACGGTGATAAAGCGAGGGGCGGCGGCGAGAACCAGTTCGGCGAATTTTCTCTGAAGGGTTCCTACGACGCCTCGACCAAAAAGATGACGCTGCGCAAGGCGTACCTCTACCAGGATGATGATGATGACGACGACGAAATTGTGGATGCGGAGCCCGAGGACGTCGCCGCCGAGATCGCGGGGCTGGAAGGAGACGCGGAGATCCCCATCGAGGAGCTCCGCAAGCGCATGGCCGCCTTCGAGGAGGAGGAGCGGAAGGCCAAGGCTGCGAAGACCGCCTAAGTATCCTATGTATTATCCGCCTGGCCCGCGGCGATGGCGTTCGCGTCCGCCTCCCTCAAGTCCTCTATACTAATCTTCTCGCTATCGAAGAACTTGTCCCTCTGTCCCGCCTGGATCACGGGCCGCCGCATATTGAGAAGGACGTGGGGCTGCGGCTTCGGTGTTGATTGGTCGCCGACGCGCGCGCCGCGCCTTGCAAAGGCGTCGTCGGGGTCCTCGCCGGGGGACACGGGCATGCCGATGTCGACACACAATCGTAGCACGTCGGCCACCTCCCGCATGGACACGGGCCGGACGACCGCGACCGTCGCGTCAAGCGTTCCGCCCCATTCTTCCCTAAAGTTGGTCCGCCCCGCCGACGCCTCCGTCGCGACGTGTTCCTTACCGAGCCGCGCCCGCAGTTTATCGATGAGGTCGTCGTAGTTCTTCGCCTCCTCCTCCTCCACTGCTTCCTTCGGCTCCTCGTACCGCATAAAAAAGGACTTCCTACCTCCACCTTGATCACCCTTGTGGACCTTGACGCGGTTGTCAAAGGCGAGCGGCGGCGTGAACGGCCCTTCCCTTGAATCCTTGCCCGCCATTCTACGCGCGGCGCGCGACTCGAAGTTTTGTCTTGAGCCGACGGTCGGCGCCGGGCCGTCGCGCGGCGGCAGTCTGTGCTTGATTGTTTCTTTGGGCATCGTCTCGCCGTCGCCTCGACGGCTCCAGACCTTTGCGATCTGTGGTGGAGCGTCCTCTCCATCGTCGTCGTCTCTCGGCCTCGGCATCGTCTAGGGCTGCCCTTTTTTGCGCAGCGGTCGCGCGACCCGTCGAGTGTGTCACCACTGGGCGTCTGCTGGGACGCAGCGGTCACCAATGGGCGTCTTTGACTGCAGCGCTGCCAGATCGAGCTAGCGGCATGTAACACACTAGCAAGCGCAGCAAACCGGAAAAACAGCATACTAGTAAACGACCAGCATCGCAGCTTTTCAAGCATTTCGAGACTCAAGACAGCCGCCTGCTTGTGCCTTGCAACTCGCGAGCCCTCCCACATCAGTAGTAGTGCACCAATCAAGGCCTATCAAGATGCTCCTGCTCCGTGCCGCCCGCGGGGCGCGCGCATTGAGCACCCGTGCATTGAGCACGGCACCCCAGTTCGACGAAGCCATGGCAAAAGCTTACAACATCGTCGCGGAGAATCACCGACACAAAGACGGCCCTTGGTCCCGAATGCGCGATAAGGTGGTCGACGCCGTCGCGGGACGATCAGGCTGCACCATCCTGGATCTCGCGAGCGGGCCGGGAGAACCCGCAGCGACGGTAGCCGAAGCGCTGCCCGATGCTGTCGTGCTCGCCACGGACGTGGCCGACGCAATGGTCGCGGCCGCCACCAATGCGACGTCGCACCTCTCGAACGTGAAAGTACAGCTGGCCGACGCCCAAAACCTCGAGGGCATGAGCGACGCATCCTTCGACGTCGTGACCTGCTGCTACGGCTACATGTTTCCCACGGAGAAGGAGACGGCGCTCGCGGAAACGCTACGCGTGCTGAAACCGGGCGGCACGCTCGTCGCGACGACGTGGGACATCCTTTATATGATGCCGCTCGCGCGAGACGTTATGACGGACGTGCTCGGTAAGGAGCCGCCGACGCCGGACCTCAACCCCATGTCGCTCGCCGAGGAAGGCTTGTTCCGATCCCTGGTCGAGGGGGCCGGATTCGTGTCCGTGGAGCAAGCGACATCGACCTATCCGTTCGACCTCGGCACGGACAGATACATGCAGTTCCGCTGCGGTACGCTGCCGCTCAAGCAGAAATTCGACGAGCTCGACTGCTGGGCCCAGGCCGAGAGTGCCTTCTGGGAGCACGTCCCGAAGTACGCGTCGGTCGAGAACGGTGCGCTCGTCATGCCCGGGAACACGTTCCGCCTGACGACGGCCCGCAAGCCCTAAAGACCACTACAATAAGCATAAGTTTATTAATCCTCGTCCCGGCTCCCCAGCAGCGAGCAGATCGTTTTCAGCAACGACCGGGGCTGTTTCGCCCGCGGACGACGCGGCGAGGGCGCTACGACGGAGGCCTCCCAGTCGCCCGCGTTTCGTGCTCGTCCTGCGGCCAGGAGCCGCCGGGCCGAGTACGCCGTCAGCGCGACGACGGCGACGGCGCCGTAGACGCTCGTGAGCATGAGCGGCAGGAACTCGAGGCGGCCGCCCAGCGCGAGGGGCCAGACCTCCTTGAGCGCCACGAGGGCCGCCATGGCGCCGCAGTGGAGCCCATCGCCCGGAAACGCGTCCGCGGCGAATGTAGTGCGTAATATCAGCTCCTCGGCGCCCACGACGAGCAGCTTGGTCACGCCGTCCGCGCCGCCCGGAATCAGGGGCAGCACCGCGAACGTCGCGAGGCGCGCCGCCTGGCGGAAGACGACGACGTCGCGCGGCCGGCCCTCGAGCGCCAGCAGCGCCAGCGGCATCAGTGCCACGAGCAGGAACTTCTCGTGGACGTGCCAGCCTGTGGTCGGGGTTCATGCTCGCAGCACGCGGCGATGGCGTGTTTCGGGATGGATGTCGCGTCGATGGCGTCGGGCGCCACCCATATACGCCATCGCCGCGACGCTCTCGCAGTGTGTCGCGCCGTCGACGCGAAGGGAAGGCAAGGCAAGGGACGCGGGCACCAACCAAAGCAGAAGGCCGCGAGCGCCGCATGCGCCGCGCAGGGGTAGGTCAGGCGCCGCGCCGCCGCCGCGCTGGACGTGCGCGCCGCGGCGTAGACCGCCGGCAGGCCCGCGAGGACCGTCAGGAGCGCGCAGGCCTTCGGGCCGGGCGCGGGCAGCACCTCGACGGCCGTCTCGACGAGGCCGCGCGTCGCGCCGGCGCCCGCGCTCCTCCTCAACACCTTCAGCAGGACGCGGTCCGCGAAGACATACAAAGCCCAGACGTTCGGCGCCCAGTAGCTGTGCACGAGGCCGCGCGCGTCGAAGGGGAAGAGGCGGCCCGCGAGTTCTGTGAAAGCGGCCCCGAGGCGCCCCGCGCGCCAGGCCGGCACCAACAAAGGCGCCAAACCAACAGCGAGCGCGGCTATCGACGCGCCGGCGAGCTCGAGGAACGCCTTTACAAAATCTTGGCGCGGGCGCACGTGCGCCGCGACGAAGACGGCGGCGAGGACCGGCGCGAGCGTCAGGAACAGGTGCTTCGCGCAACACAACAACGCGAAGAGCGCGCCCGCCTTGACGTGGTCGCCCCGCCTTAGCATGAAGAGCGCGTAGACCAGCAAGCCGAGCAGCAGGCCGTTGTATTGGAAATGGACGTGGTCAACGAGCAGGAGCGCTCCCGAGCCCGCGAAGGCCAATGCGCTTCTAGTGTCGCCCGCCGTCGCGGCCCGTACCGCTGTTCCTAGACTGACGAGCTCCGTGAGGACTACCGTCGCCCGCTGGAACCTAATGCATGCTACGGACGCGTAGTCGCGCTCCGACTCTTCTACTATTTTTCCATCGACCTTTGCCGCAATTCTAGCGAGGCCGGCCTCATACATCGCGAAGAGCGGCGGGTAGTCGAGCGTCCACTGGTTCTGTTGAGCTTGGTCGGCGTACCAGCGGCTGGCGTCCCGACTGTGTGTTATTGCGAGCCAGTTACGGTGTACGTCAAAGTCCGTTGAAAAATATGATGGGAAGAGGAGCACTTTGAGGCATGCAGCAACAAGCCATACGCGCCAGTAGTGCTGCATTTTGCTTCAGAGAGTGTTTTTGCTCTCCCTGCGTTATTTGAATTCTCTGCGTTGCGCGGGCCTGCAGCGCGGCTGGTTGCGCTGTTCTATCGATGATTATTGTCTCGACCGCTGATTGATGCTGGAGCACGCAGTGGCATCGATCTGCGCCGCGGCGTGGGTGATTGCTAGTGTCTTACAGGCCGCTAGCGGGTTCCAACCCGTTTTTTGTTAAGGCAGTCTTCTCTTCTGGATCTCGAGGGGTGGACCAGAAGAGGGCTGCGCCCTCGAGCTAGCGTACAGGAGCTCTAGTCATGGCATTGCAGCATCATCACCTCGAAGCTCAGCGGATCGGTTGCTCACAGGGCATACCACTCGACATAGAGTGTGTATCCCTGCAAGCTCGCACTATCGACGTGCAGCAGCAATAGACGCGCTTAATAATGAGGACCCTAGCTTTGATATCGACAGCCTCAGCACTGCTGCACAGCCAGGCGCCGCTGCGCAGCTCGACGCCGCTGGGTGCGATCGACATCACGAACCGCGGCTACGTCCGGATAGACACGGAGAAGGAGACGGTCGCGCACCCGAAGGCCGCGCCGGTCCTCGACGAGGTCTCGCTGCGCAAGTGCGTGGACGAGGCCGTGCAGGACGCGGACTGGCACCGGCCCATCTCCGTGCTCGGCTCGACGGGCTCCATCGGCACGCAGACCTTGGATTTTTGTCGCGCGCGGCCCGACCGGTTCTCGGTCATCGCGCTCTGCGCGGGCGCCAACTACAAGCTCCTCGCGACGCAGGTCGCCGAGTTCCGGCGGACCGTGACGACCGTCGGCATCTCCGACGGGTCCAAGCTCGAACCCCTGAAGGAGGCTTTGAAGGCTGCGGGCGTCGACTGCGCTTCCCTAGAAATCTACGGCGGCGCCGACGCCGCGACGGCCTGCGCCACGGCGCAGGGCGCCGATGTTGTGGTGACGGGCGTCGTGGGCACCGCGGGGTTACCGCCGACGGTGGCCGCCATCGAGGCCGGGAAAGACATCGCCCTCGCGAACAAGGAGACTCTGATTGCCGGCGGCCCGGCCATCCTCCCGTTACTCAAAAAGCACGGAACGGCCATGACGCCCGCCGATAGTGAACACAGCGCCATCTTCCAGGCCCTGCAGGGCGTGCCGCCGAACGGCATGCGGAAAGTAATACTGACCGCAAGCGGCGGCGCCTTCCGCGACCTCACGGCCGCGGAGCTCGCCGACAAGTGCGAAAACGAGGCCGAGTGGGTGCGCGCGAAAGCGACGACGCACCCGAACTGGGACATGGGCGCCAAAATTACTGTAGATAGTGCTACGATGATGAACAAGGGCCTGGAGGTGATTGAAGCGCATTATTTGTTTGGCGCGGATTATGATGACATTGATGTGGTGGTGCACCCGCAGTCGATCATCCACAGCGCGATCGAGACGCAGGACAACTCCGTGATTGCCCAGCTGGGCTGGCCGGACATGCGGTTACCTTTACTGTACAGCGTGAGCTGGCCGCACCGCGTGCGCATGCCCCAGGACCAGTGGGAGCCGTGCTTCGATCTGGTCGAGTTGGGGAGCATGACGTTCAAGGGTCCCGACAACGACAAGTATCCCTGCATCGGCTTAGCGTACGCCGCGGGCCGCGTCGGCGGCACGATGACGGGGTGCCTCAACGCGGCGAACGAGATGGCGAACGAGATGTTCCGCGAGGGCGCCTTCGAGTACCTCGACATCCCGCGCGTCATCGAGGCGGCCATGGAGGCGCACAAGGCGGACTTTATTCAAGAACCGTCGTTGGACGAAATCATCGAGGTCGACCTCTGGGCGCGGCGGTTCGTGAAGGACTTCGCGTCGGCGAAGAAGGAGGTCTTCGCGTAGGGTTGGCGGGTAAAGTTCGCGTTCGGGAATTACTACTCCGTTCGGAGATATATATATACAATTAGGCCTCGCGCGCGCCGTCCTCGGAGGAGGAGTCCTCCTCGTCGTCGTCGTCGTCCCCCGAGGAGCTGCCCGTTTCCGGATCTCCTCCCGGTGGCATCATCACCGCCGGCGGCGGCTGCATAGCGAATGTCCCGTTCGGAAGTTCGGTGAATCGGCCGTTTTCCAAAAGGGCCTCGAGCGTGGAACGTTCGATGAGCACGCGCTCCCGACGACCACCAACTTGCAGGACGATCTCGACCTCGTCGTCGTCGTCGCTGCCGTAGCCGTCGGGCGTGCCGTAGCTCGCGAGGTCCCCGTGCGCCAGGACCCACATGTCGTCGAAGTGACGGTCGACTTGCCAGCCGCCGAATATAACGAGTAGCGGGCGCCATGGGTAGAGGGAGCAGGAAGCATGAAACTTGCGCGGCGTCGGCGTCGTTTCGCCACCACCGAGGTCCTGCAGCGCGACGGTGGCCGGCGACGAAACGCTGCGCGTGAGTCCAGCAGCTAATCGAGAGAGTGCCCGGCGGGCCAGTCCGCGGCGCTCCGTCTCCGCCGCCTGAGCGCTCGCCGCCGCCTGTGTCATCTCCGCCGTCACCGCCGCGTCGACGACCGCGGCGAGGTCTAGAACGCAGACAGCCGGGTCCGGGTTGTCGCCGCCGCCGTACAGTAAAACGCAGTCCTTGGAAACGCGGCAGGCCGTGTGGTGGCGACCCGGCGCGCACGATTCGTGAGCGAGTTGTACTGTCGGGAGAAAGGGATCACGGTAAACGTCCCCCAGAGTGTGCAAATCTAGCACTTGGGCCACGCTGTGCTCCTGGCAGCGCGCGGGATCGTCAAGGATGCTCCCAGTTCCCCCGCCGACGAACACGATGTACGCGCCGCCGCCGCGCTCGACGAGAGCGGCTGAGTGGCCGTGTGTCGGCAGACCGCGACCGTGCGTCGGCAGATCGAACCACTTCCAGGACTTGACGCAGAGCACCTGCGGAGCTGCCAACTCTCTTCCGTTTTCGGTGTGGCCGCCATAGAAGACCACGGCCCCCTCCGGGAAATTTAGCGCCTCCGCAAAGCAGCGCGCGGGCACGTATGTCGCCGTGTGGGCGCAGCGCCGAGTCGGCGTCGACCCGGAGGCCTCGGGTCGCACCCAATGCACGCGCGGGGCCTCGTCTCCACCGAGATCCGCCAGCACACCGACGGCCAAGCTTTCATGCTCGTGCCTATAGCCACCGAGTCCGCCGCCGAAGGCCAGGATCAGGTGCGCGCGGTCGCCGGCCCGCAGAAACCCCGCGGGCGCGAGCGAGGCGACAAGCGCCTGAGACGGCGCCGCGCCGCCGCCGGGCAGCCAGAGCGGCGTCAGCGATTGCGCGCCGCCAGGATGCGCCGGGGCACCAGACGACGGGCAGAGCCGGAAGCGCGGCTCCGCTTCGGCGCCCCGCGCGAAGGCTTCGTAGGCATCCGCGCTGCTCACTTCCAAGTCCGTCTGGGGTCCGCGCCCAGTCCAGCCGCCGTAGTTGTAGATGTGCCGGCCGTCCGGCGAGATGAACATTTGCGGCGCGGCCACGCGGTCGCCCAGCCCGTGCGCGCGCGTCGGACCTGCGGCCCACCGCGCCGCGCTCGGACCGACCTTACACCGAGCGTAAGCGGCGCGCCAGCTCGGCTCGTCGTTGGCATCCCAGCGGCCGACGCAGAAATCCAGCTTCGTTTTGAGGTGCCACCAGCGCTCGTCCTGCAGGGCGCGCCACCGCTTGATCGCGCCGCCCGCGCCGCAGCAGTCGGGGCCTTCCAGGAACACCATGACATGGCGCTGCAGGTCATCCGCGAGGGTGGCTATGTAGCATGGATTCGTCGTGTTCTCCGTCATTTGAGTGTTGGTTGTAGCTGGTTGGGAGAGCTGCGGAGGTTTTTTGGCCTGGCTTAGCGGCGGTGCCAAGAAATTCGATAACGCGCGTTGTTCTTCGCCACGCGTTGTGTACGCTTGCCTGAGCTCAGCGAGGTGCTCTCACAGCTTTCTAGTAGGATGCCTAGTGTCTTACAGACCGCTAGCTATTATCGGCGTCGGCTTTGTGGGGCACGCTATTACTTGTAGCTAGCAAATAACTGGAGTCGCTGCACGTCCGCGAGCGCTTTACCTGTTTCTGTCTCGCGCTTGAAATCAAAAGCTTGGGCTCTCGATTGTTTTCTCCTCATAATAGCAAAAGGATCGGCAAAACAGGTCGCATGCCACGCAAAAAAAAACCACCGCCACGCATCATTGATGAGTTCGGTAGCCTTATTGCATCATTGGTCGCGAGATATCTCGACAGCCTAATAGCCGTGCGCCTGCTGCGCAAGACCGCGAAGCGCTGCAGCCCCGCGGGCGCGCTCCGGCTGTGGACGTTCGACTGCTGCAATGAGCAACAAGCGAACGAGCTCGCGTCGGAGGTGGATAGAGACGCGGTCATCGTCGTGCGCGTGCACTGGAGTCTTCAATCTGGGGTCCAACCAGGATCACACGTTATAGTGAACATGAGCCCGTTCCCAGACGGGTACTTCCGTCACTGCGAATCGATCTGCCTCGTCGGATTCCCACGATACCTCGAAGCCGCGGTTGTCGACGCCGGCACTGGGAGTTCAATTCGTTTCATGCCTCATGGCAACGCTCTCACCGCGCGCGACGGCTGGGCTGCCGTCTTTGCGGAAGCCCCCGCGGCGCAGGGCGTGACTCGTCGCTTCCGCCTACGAGTAAACGACGTGTCGAGGACATTCTTCAGCACATTCGAGGACGGCCGGCACGGATCGTCCAATTTCTGCGAACTCGACGATGGCGGTGCGCCGGTCGACGTGCGCCTCGACTGGCTGCCGGTCCTGCCCGCGTCGCGGTTTCGCGTCGAGACCCGCGACGACCGCGCCGCGTTCGTCTTCGACCGCTCCTTGACGCGCGGCATGGCCGCGGAGGACGCCATCATGTCGCCGCGCACCGTCTTCGGGACCCTGTCGGTGCTGGTCTTCCCGGCGGGTCGGAACATTGGCGGGTCGGCTAAAGTGTTCCTCCGTCTCATGACGTACGACGACCCCCGGGACCGGGACCGCTGGCGCCACTTCGACGTCGCCGTCGAGGGCCGACGCGTTGGTACGATCTCGAACTCGTTTCGTATGAATAGAGAGCTTGCTGGACTCAACGTGGGCCTGTCCGAAGAGCTCTTCCCGCGAAGCCGCCCGGGCGGCCAGATCGTCGTAGAGATCACTGAGCGTCCCGCGACATTGGGGCTGTGTGATTGGATTTGCGGCGCCTGTGGGAAGTTGCATCAAGATCCTACGCAACCTCCTGAGTTCTTCCACGGTGACCTATCGGGCCATCGCTGCAACGCGTGCCGGGCCCCGCTCAACTTGAGCATCCTGGCTCTCCATGCCACCCAGTAATTCTTTTGGAATTTTGCAAGCCACAGTACCACAAACTTACGCTCGAAACCTAAGAACAGCGCTCGCGGTAGACTCGCACGTACGCGACCTCCATCGTCGCCGGGAACGCCTCGGGGTCGACGCCGTGCTTGCCCGCCCACTTGCCCCCGACTGCCACGTTCAGTAGCAGGTAGAAGCGTTTGTCGAAGGGCCAGTCCTCCTCTTCAGATCTGAGGACTCTATGCACCAAATCCCCGTCAACGAAGACGTCCATTCCATCAACACGCCACACGAGCGAATAGACGTGGAAGGCGTCGTGCGCGTCGTCCACTACCGTGGAAGAGGTCCTGTGCGTCTTGTCTCGGTGGTTCGACGTCCGCGTGTGCACGCCCGCGTGGACGGTGCCTTTCTCCTTCCAGCCGACGTGCTCCATGACGTCGACCTCGCCGCTCGACGGCCAGTGGCCGTAGGCGTCGTCCGTCGGCAGGAGCCAGATGGCCGGCCAGAGGCCCCGGTGGTGGGGAGGCAGCTTGGCGCAGACCTCGATGCGCCCGTACAACCAGTCGCCTTTATACTGCGTCCGTAACCTCGAGGACGTGTACGCGCAGCCCTCTTCCTCTTCGAGCCGCGCGGTGATTTTCAAGCAGCCGTCCTCAACAACCGCGTTGCGCTCCGTGTAGTGCTGTAGTTCTAGATGTTCCTCATCATGAACCCAGGCGTTGCACGTCGTCTGGTACTCCCACTTCGTTGCATCCGGTGCACCGACATAGTCGAACTCGTCAGCCCATACTAAACGCCACCGGTCCGGCGGCGCCCACCACTCACTTAATAAATCGCGGCGACTCGCGTCTCTACTCGTACGTTGGATGAAGGCGGGCCTTCTCTCAAGATAGGCGACGAAGAACGCGTCGACGTCCGTCGGTCGCGCCGCACAAGCTCTTTTGCACATGTCGCACAATAAGGGCTTGAGCTCGCGCTTCACGTTCTTCGAGGGAGGCGCCGCGACGGCGTGCCGCGGCGGAGATTGGGCGGGCGGCGGCGGCACGCCCGCGACGCGCTGCCTTAAGAAGCGGAGCATGGCCTCGGCGACGTCCGTGTCATTCCTTAACGCGAGCGTCGTGTCGGCGCACTGGATGAGCTCGGCGACCAGGGGTTCGACTTTGTCCATAAATTTCAAAGCGGCCGCGCGCTTGCCCTCGCGGCGCTGGCGGCGCCCATTGGAGGGGGCGAGGACGGGCATCGTCCTGGGGGCAGCTGCTGGAGCCCTGGGTGGGGCTGCCTGTACTTGTGCCCTGGGTGGGGCTGCCTGCTACCGCTGGTCACGAAGGCGGTGTTATCGGTGCTTACGTCTGCTGGGCTGCCTTCGTCGAAAGCAGCACAGCGGCGAGGGAGAGAGGGATACGTCTCGACGGAAAAGCTGGGTCCATGGGCCGGTGCCGCTGTACGGGTCCTTCGGCCGCACCGTTCTACGTCGGGACCCGGAGGAGTAGCAGCCGGAAATTTCAAATCAAACAAATAGGGTCGTCTCGAAGGATGTGCCGGACATGCCGCAGGCGCCGCAGGCGACGCAAAGCACGCGTAAAAGGCTGCCCTGAGCTCTGGAAGCAACGCAGGGGCTGCCCGGAAGGACGCCACCAGGGGGAACAGACTAACTGGTCATTCCACTGCTCCCCTCCATCCACTACTCAAAAAGGGAAGCTGCCCAGCCATGCCCCCCCGCTCCAATACGAAGCTGGGAGCGAAGTGGCAGCTCGACGCCGCCCTACTGTCACGACCCGTGGACCTCACTGCGTTAGTTTCCCTCTCCCAGACGTCACCAGACGACTTTTACGAGGACGACACGCTGAGTAGGATGGTCAAGCTTTTGCTGAACGCCGAGAGCGACAAGAAGGCAGACAAGGACACGAGGCTCGATGTGCTGACGATCCTATCGAACCTCGCCGCGTCCAGCGAAGGTAAAAGGAGAGATGATATTCGCGAAGCCTTGGATAACGTAAACGATTTTATGGAGCAGTATCTGGAAAAAGAAAGTTCTGGCTCGGAGCCGGAGCTGCACAAGCTCATGTTGCTGCTGCTGGCGCGGTGCTTCGAGTATTCCATCAAGACCGAGGATCTGCTGGAGCTGTGCCGGGGGGATCGAGCTTTGGGGCTAGAAACCGTAGTAGGGCTGCTCGAGGACGGCGAGACCTACACGACGGAGTTGCGACGGAAGCAGGCGCCCGCCATGGGTAGGATGGGCCAGTGGGAGCATCGGTTAGTCTGCCACCGCCACGAGACGCCTCTAGTATTACAATTATGTCGGTTGGTGCGAGGCTTCACGCTGCCGCAGTCCTACTTCGCGGCGGGCGAGAAGCTCCTGGAGAAGGACATCGCGTCCTTCAACGATGAAATGAATCTGTTGCTGGAGATCACGCTCAAAAGTAGATTAGTCGAAAAGCTGTCGCTGGCGTGCTACGAGGGTCTATTTGCGGTGTCCGACGACGACTTGAAGGAGGATGAACATAGAAGCATAGCGTGCGTGCATTCCTTTTTGCAGAACATGTATTTTTATGCTACCTCGAAGACCGAAGTGTACCGGAGGCATCTGTTATGTGATACTCCATTGATTCAGAGATTAGTATTACCCTATCTCGAGCGAGGCGCGGCCCAGGCCGCCTCTCTACAGTGCCACGCCGATTCTTACGGAAGGGGCGACTTCAAGAAACGACAAAGCGTCAAGCCCCTCGCGGCCGGCGTCTCCGCGTCGCTAAGGACGCTGGTCGTGGCCTCCTTTCGCGCGCCGCCGACGCGCACCGTCGTCGCATTACTCAAGCGTTTAAATCCAACGGCGGCGTTGCTGGAAGCGCCTTCCTTCGTCGCGGCGCACGATCGAATATTTGCGCTCCTATTACTGTTGAACGCGAACATGGGCGCCCTGGAGCTGGGCCGGGAGGCCGAGTCGAAGGACGAGAACCCCCACGAGCTGCTGCATGGGTTGGCGCGGGTCTACCAGATGATTGACGGGGACGCGCGGGAACGGGTGAGACGCATCGTCAAGGAGAGCGGCGCCCTTCCGGTCGCCAGGGACACGCCGTCCTTCGCCGCGGTCCTACAAATGCTGAACGACGGCGCATCTCAACGACAGCTTGAGTACGTGCGCGGCTCGCCCGGCGCGCGGTCGCCCTTGGCGCCGTCGGACTCGGACGACGACGGCGCGACGGCGGAACCCGAGTACAGTACGCGGGCCGAGGCCAAGGCCGATTCACTGCGCCGCCAACGCGACGCGAAGGAGGCCAAGCCCCGTTCGTTGTTAGGGGACCTGCCTTCCCTAGAACGGCGGCGGCCCGAGGTGGAGGACGACGACGACTACGTCGAGCCGGCGCTGGAGGTGTATCGGGCGCGGCCGTCCGATGACGTACCGCCCGAATTCCGCTGCGCTATCAACGGCCACCTCCTAAAGGAGCCCGCGCGGACGCCGCAGGGTTTGGTCTTTGAGCGGGCCACCATAAAACTCTGGCTCGAGACGCGGGGGTCTGTCTGCCCCCTCACGGGCGAGGCGCTGACGCTCGACGATTTGATCGACGACCGCGACCTGCGCGCGCGCATCGTCTCGTGGCAGCTCGCCAAGACGCAAAAGACGCTCGCGACGAGCGTCTCGGCGGCGCACGGCGACGAGGACGACCTGTACGACTTTTGACTTTTGCCGTACATCGACCGCTGGTTTAATAATTAGGATATGTTAGTTTTTTCTCTTCGCGCGGCGTTTCGGGCAGCCGCGTTGTGACCCGCGCTGGGCGCCCTGCCCTCCAGCCGTAATCGAAGTCAGGCATGAGTGTTCCTCCGCCGATAGAGGTGATTTTGGTGCGAGGAGAGCTCCCGTCGGGGCGCCAAAAAGCTAGTGGAGGCTTGAATGTTTTGGGCGGGCCCGCAGCGCGTGTCTTTAAGGGCGCCGCATTTCTCCAATAACGCGCAGTTACCCCGACAGCGTCGCGCTACAGCGGCGCGCTGTGTAGGGGTGTGTGCTCTGCGCTTGGCGCACGCGAAACGACTGCCTACGTCGCGATCTCGGTCTTTGGCGCGGCCCCTGAATTTGCCGCGCGTCGGGCGAATTCGTCGCCGCGCGTCAAAAAACGCGTGGAACGGACCACAGCGGTGGTCCCGCGGCCGGTTGCTGACGCGGGCGCGCTGTTTTTAGCGCCCCCAAGCGGTTCCCTCGTTGGGCGGGAGATCGGCGCCGAGCGCTCAAAATAAAAAACCTGCCCAATCACCAAGATGTTGACATTAGGCTTTCACAACCCCTTCGCCGTGCTCGGCAAGGAAAGCCCTAAGCCAGAAACGCGCGCCAGCGCCCAGGGCGCGAGCTACCCGGGCGTGCTGCGGCGCGCGCTGTCGCCGAAGAGCCCGCCGCGGAGCCGCCGCGGCAGCGCGGACCTCGCGTCGCCGCGGTCGCCGCCGAAGGTGACGCAGGCCTCCCAGGGGGAGAGCGACGCCGACGGCACGCCGCGGCAACCCAATGAGGACGTCGCGCCCATGGTCGAGGCGGGCACGCCCCTCAAGGCGTTCCTCAACGCGCTGGTGAACGCCGAGGCCGCCGTCGCGGCGGCCGACGGCGCGCCGCGGCGGCCCCAGCCGCGGAGCCCCCCCAGAGTTGAGGACGCCGGCGGGCGGCGGTCCGCGCTCAAGTCGCCCGAGAACCCGCGCCCGCGCAAGCGCGCGCGCGTGACGTTCGCGTCGCAAGAGCTGAGCGCGCTGCCCTTCACGCCGCCGCCCGACGAGGCGGCGACGGACGACGGCGACCCGATCGCGGACCTCCTCGACCACCTCTCGGCGGCGTTGGACAGCGCCGACGCGGTCCGCGCGGCGATCTGCGACGGCGACGAGGCCACGCAGCGCAGCGTGGCGCGCGTCGCGGCGGCGCTCGACTCGGAGCAGACGTCGAGCGGCGCCGACCGGCGCGCGGCGCGCGCGGCGGCCTTCCTGCGCGACGAGGTCGCGGCGCTGGCCGACGACCGCGCGTCGTCGGCCCTCGAGGCGCGCCACGCCGAGGTCCTGAGCTCGCTCGTGCGGCGCGAGCTCAAGCTTCTGTTAAATGATGCGGTCGCGATCGTCCAGGGCACGGGCAGCGTGCGCTTCAACTTCGACGACCCCGCGGCATTATTACACCGGGCGCTGCGGGCGCTCGAGGACGGCGGCGGGCCGGCCTGGGCGCGGCGCCGCGCGCCGCAGGCGACGGCCTCGGAGGAGGAGGCGCGCGACGTGTTGGGGTTGGCGGCGGCGCACGGCTTCGCGCTGTCCGTGCTCACGCAGTCGTCGGTCCGCGCGAAGCTCGCGGCGGGCGACTTCGAGCGCCTCGAGCGGCTCTGCGCGCGCATCCGCGGCCCCGTCGACGCGTCGCTCAACGAGCTCGCCGCGGCCGGCGCGTCGGTCGAGACGCCCCAGCCGGTTGAAGAGGAGGACGAGGACAAAAAACGGCCGGCGTCGCCGGCGTCGCAGGCCGTCGGCCGCGCGGCGGCCGCGGCCGCGGCGGCCGCGCGGCTGTCACAAGAGAAGGAGGAACCCGAGGCCGCGCCGGCCGTGTCGCCCGAGGAGGAGCTGCCGCCGCCGCCTCCCCCAACCTCCATGCCGCCGCCGCTCCCGGCCGTGTCGCAGTCGCCGGTCCAAGAGGCGCCGGACTCGCCGACGTCCGTCCAGGCGGCGTCGCCGTCCATTAGTCCGCGGCCGAAGTCGCCCTTACCGAAGTTCCACTCGTCGGCGCCTCCCCGATTAGCCTGCCTGGCGCCGCTCAAGGACGCGCACGCGCTCAAGTGCGCGCTGCTGGCGTGCGCGCCGGACGCGCACGCGGCGGCCGCGGACGCGATCGCGCGGCTCTCGGCGCTGCGCGACGCGCGCGAGGCCGAGGCGGCCGCGCGGAGCCGCAAGAAGAAGAAGCGCAAGCGCCCGAAGCCCCTCTTCGACGAGCTCGCGGCGGCCGGCGTCTTCCTCTACCCGGAGATCGGCGCCTTCGACGCGGCGGAGTAGATGGTAGGGCTAAGTACTACTCACAAATCCAGGCCACTATTCTCCCCCGCCTTGCGTAGGAGCTCCTCGGCGGCCGCGCGGCCGCCGTCGACGAAGCTTCCTGGCGGCACCGACCCCTTCCCCAGGAGGGCCCCGGCGACAGAACGTGCCGTCCCGCCGAGGCCCGCGAGGCCCGGCGGCACGGCGGGGTCCGGCGCGGACCCGTCGCTCGACAGCGACGTCTCCGCGAGCCAGTCGTCCTCCCAGCCTGCGCTCGCGGGCTCCTTGGCTGGAACGGCGTCGCTGTGGCCGATCGACGCGTCCGGCGCGACGACGTCTCGCACTCGCCTCTTCAAGATTTTCGCCTCGGGGAAGCCTCCGTCGGCCTTACGGTCCCAGACGACCTGCTCGTCGACGGAGACGGTCCACGTGCCCGCGACCGGCGCCGGCGACAGCGCCACTTCTCGTAATTCGCCGCCGTCGAACGTCGTCAGCAGCTCCTGCGCAAAGTACGCGCTCCGCAGGAGCCACTTGCAGCCCTGGCAGTAGCTGATGACGATGCGCGCGCCCGATGGCGTTGGCGGTGGGATGGGCGTCGCAGGCCGCCGCGTGAGCGGTCGGGTGCGGTGCGGGGCGACGACGAGTGCCGTTGCGACAGTTGCGCAGTAAGCGATTTGTCGCGTGCGCATTTTGACTAGTTTGGCAGCAGGAGAGAGCAGCACTTGCTTTCCTTCTCTACCACGTCTGCGAGCTCTGAAAAAAACCTCGGATCCGAGGTGGCGATAAGAATGGTCACTAATCTGGTCGTCAACGCAATCTCTAGTCAGCCAGGAGCCGCGAACGAGACCAAAGAGCAAAACCGTGAGCTAGCGTCATGTAAGACACTAGCATGCACTTAAACTCGAGCACCGGCGCCGGCCGCGGTGAGAGCTTGCTGCGAACTAAATTACGCGCGCCACTCCCTCACCTCTGCTGGTCAAAGGCGCAAGCGGCTCCGGCGAAGGCCGAGACCGCGCAGTGCTCCAAAAAGCCTTCTCCCAGTAGTGGAGCTCAAAATACAAAAGAGCCATGCCGACCACCGCACCCCGCTACAAGCAGCAAGGCGCGCGCGCGCCGGGCCCGAAGCCGCCGGGCTGCGCCCAAGCTAGGACGCGCGGCGGCCGCCTCGCGTGGGTGCTGGGACGGAACACCAAGGGCTGGATCGCCGTCGAGCTCGACGGCAACGAGAACGACGAGGGCAAGGCGTATGAGCGGAAGTCGCTGCGCTGGGCCCAGTTCGCGCCGGGCCAGGACTCGATCCTCGCGGCGGCGCCGCCCGACGCGCCCAAGGCGCCGGAGCCGCCCCCACCACCACCACGGGCGCGCAGACAACCGAAGCCGACGCAGCGGACGCCGTACGAGGAGCCCATCGACCCCCATAATACGGAGGACCTCGCGCTGTCCGACGACGACGACTTCTACCAGAAGTGGTTGAGGGAGACGCTCGACTCCGGGAGTGATCCGGGCGGCTCGCACGACGGCGACGCGGACGGCGACTTTAGAGCGGGCGACGAGTCCGACGACGACAGCGCGGAAGACACGAACAACGACGAGAGCGCCCTCAGTCTGCACACGTCCGACTTGGTCCCGCGCACCGAGCTCCAGCTTCTCCTGAAGGACGCGGCGACGGCGCGCGAGTCGGAGGCGACGGCGCCCCTCGCGACGACGGCGCAATTATCGAGATACCAGTCCGACTTAGGTGGAGATAAGAGAGCGATGGGCGCGCTGACGGAAGTCGTGCGACGACAACTCTCGCGACATTTGGAATTACTAGTGGAGACGCTCGCGCGGTCGGCCAACAACGAAAACGGCGACACGAGCGTCAGCGGCCCGCACGGGCGGTCCGCTTCTCTCTTATTGGCTTTGGGCGCCGCCGCGAGGTCACATCGCCGAGAAGCGGACGCGCGCTGCGCTATCAGAGCAGTCATGGAGGACGCGACCGGCGGGTCGACGCGGCTGACTCGATTGGGTGCCCAGCAGGCCCAGGGCTCGTCGATACTAGATAGGGTGCGCGGGCTGGATCGGGTCGACGAGGTTTTAGAAAGGGTCTCCGAGGGACTCGATGCAAGGCGGGTATTGGAGGCGGTCGGCGTCTCCATCCACAGCCTGCCGCCGCAGGCGCAGCGCGGCGCTCCGTTATCGTTCACGGCGGGCGAGGACGCGTTGTTGTTGCGGGGTCTACAGCTCTACGGCGACGACGCTTTTGATGATGTGAGGAAGCACCTCCTACCGGCGAAAACACGAGAGTTACTCGTATTCCGCGTCGCGTCTTTAACAAGACAGGGCGCGAACGACATCTCGCGGTTCCGCGAACGTCGAAGTAGGCGCGGCGTCGTGTCCAAGAAGTGGTCGGGCTACGACGACAAGATCCTCGCCTTGGGCGCGGTCGTCCACGAGATCGGCACCGCGGCGCGCGTGAACTGGGAGGAGGTCGCTCCACTCTTACCGCATCGGGCCGCCGGCGAACTGCGCAAAAGGTGGGCCAAGATTTCGAGTAAATGGCTGGACGAGCTGAAAGATATGAAGCGAGCGGGCGTCGACCTGCTGAAGGAGCTCCAGGACGCCAAAAGGGTCCGAGATAAAGTCGCGCTCGTGGCCCAGGTTCGTGGTAGGGTAGTGGAGACGCCGGCGTTGTGGTACCCGGACGGCGGCGTGCGCACGATCGTCGACGCGTCGCACACGGCGCAGTCCTCGAACTACTCGTCGGTGTCGTCACCTCAACGCCCGGAGTCCGACGCGACAAGGGCAGCATTGGCCTTCGCGGAACCGTCCCAAAGACCTCAGTCCGAGAACACGATGGCCGCGCTCGCCTTCGCGGCGGCGGCACCGACGCAGCCTCCGAAACGACGACGTACACCACTCCCACCAGTCGAGGAAGACTCGTCGGCGGGCGACTCCGACGCCGACGAGGCGGGCCTGGAGGCGGCGCGCCAATTAGCTCGAGGTTTACCGGCGGATTTCGCGCCGGTCGGGGAAGCCGAGTTCTCGTTGATCGGGCGGCAAGAATTAGGCGACCTCGCGTCGCTGGCGGGGCTGCCGTCGCAGGGCTTCGAGGAGCCGCCGCCCAAGAAGCCTTCACGGAAAAAGGCGAAGAAGAAGAAGCCCGCGGCGGCGCCGGCGGGCTCGTTCTTCGGCGCGGTCATGCGCGAGGCGTCGCACGGGTAGTGCGCGCCGACTTCTTCTCTACTCTAAGTTTGTTTCATGGTTATTTTAGGCGCTCCCCGGCGACGGCGTTTTGCGGCGGAGCGCCGCCCGGGACTCTTGCAGGCGCAACTCAACCCCAGTTGTGATCGGGTGCGCGCCGCCGAGCACGCGCCGCGTGACTCGTTCCAAATCCTCGAGCCTCGTCACGCTCTCGCGGAGATCATCAAGCGAGGCGCCCGTGTCCCGGTAGAGCGCCATCGCGTAAGTCAACTTCACCCTGAGCGTGATCTCATCATTCTCGCCGCAAACGCGTTGCGCCACGGGGACCGTTTTACGCAACAGCGACTTGGCTTCTTCTACGCGCCGCAGGACACCAAGGGACGATGTGTAGTTGAGGGCTGCTATGATCGTGTCTCTGGATTCCTCGCCATTGAGCCTCACACGTCCAGAGTATATATCTCGAAGCATGTTTGAGGCCTGTTCGTTTCGTCCAAGCCTCAAATGCGAGTTCGCAAGACATGTCTGCACGATGAGAATGTTTCCTTCTGGTGCGTTAAGGCGCCGCCGCATAGACAACTCGGCCTCTTGCACGATCAACGCGTCCTCGTCGTGTTTTGCAGCGAATAAACCGTTCCCAAGCACGCTGATCGCCAATTGCCGAGTCTCGTCCACCTCCGGCCGGCCCACGTACATTTTCCAGCACGCCCACGCGAGCGCACACCGCACGACGCCGTGGTACTCTTGCTCGCACAGGCTACACTTCCACCACCGTGGCCACCTCAGATTAAACGCCTTGTAGTCCAAATTGTTCTCCTCGGCCTCCGCGATCAAAATCTTCGCCTGCTCCGCCAAGCAAGAAACATGAGCGAAACCCGCCGTCCCGCGGCACGCGCACCCACGCACGAGGCCCTCCTTCGTCTTCCAGTGGAGGGCTTGCGTGCAGATGTAGCACGTCTGGCCCTTCGTGTCGTCCGCGCATTCCTCGACGGCCTCCGCGACGGCCTCCTTGTATTTTTTGTCTGCATTATACTGTTCTGCGTTGCCGCCGCGGTGTATCTTCTTACACATCTGCTTGTGGCCGCGGCGCCAATGGTCATGCTGGCAAGTCGAGTCACAATGTCCTTCTCCGAAGAACCCTCGGCGCAGATCGAGGTCAAGCTCGCGAACGTCTTTTTGTTAGGGAACGCGGCGCCGAACAACGCGCGCAAGGGCATCGTCGGGTGGTTCCCGCTCGTGCCCAAGGACGTCGGTGGGTCCCGGTTGACGGGCGAGCTCAAGCTGCGGTTCCACCTGAAGCGCGCGCATCTGCTCGAGGGTTTAGATGAAGCGTGCCGCCAGGAGCTCATCGCGCACCCGGCGGCCTACATTCGCGTGTTAAATCGGCACACGTCGTACGAGCCGGCGGCGTGGTAGTCTAGTCTGTTGTTCTTATAAAGCTTGTTTATCCTCCATCGTTGTCGATTGGGTACCAGCGGCCCCGAGTCCCATCGGGTCGAAGGTTGTTCGTGTTCCTCGGTTTTGGCACCTAGCGGCCTGTAAGACACTAGCAAGCAGGCCGCACAGCGCACGATTTTGGGGCAGCCCATTTGGCTCCTGCGTCCCAGACAAGCAGCCATGGGGACCGACGAGGGCTCCTTCGTGCCCTCGGCCACCTACCATCTCAAAGGCGACGGCGACGACCTCGACCGCTTCGACCCGGACACGGCGGCCCGCGCGCTGCCGCAGCCCGAGCGGCGCGTCGCGCGCGTGCTCAACGGCATCGTCGGCGACGCCTGGGCCAAGATCGAGGAGCGCCACCCCGACGTCGTCGTGTCGCTGAGCGGCGCGCAGCAGAAGGGCCGCGAGCTCGAGACGGCGGCCGTGGCCACGGCCGTCGCGCGGCCATCATCAAACGTTACGGCGGCGCGCTGGGGCGGCGACGGGCCAGCTCCTGTGCTCATCGTGGGGACGGCCGCGGGCCAGGTTTTGTTGTACGAGCCCGTGGCGACGACCGGCTACGTCCAGGACGCCGAGTCGCAGGCGACGCTCGTGCCCTTCGAGGCCCTCGACGCGGAAGACGCCGCCGAAAACGAAGAGGACGAGGAAACCGAGCCCGCCGGGCCGGCGCCGATCGGCGCGGTGAGCGCCGTCAGCCAGCGCGAGCCGAACGCGCCGTGTCGGGTGGTCGTGGCCGCCGCCGACGACGCGCGCGTCGCCGTCGTCGAGGTCTACCCGTCGGACTGCGAGGAGGGCCCGCGGCTGCAGCTGCTCACGACGATCGAGGCTCAATCAACTGCGAGCGCGGTCGTCCTGTCCCGCGACGGCCGCTGGCTCGCCGTGGCCTCCGCCGAGAACATTACGCTGCACCGCCTCCCCGAAGCTCGGATGGAGGAGGAGCCGGCGGCCCTCGGGCAGATATCGGAGGAGGCGGCCCAGGAGGAGTTCGACGCGTCCGTGGCGGAGATCGCCAAGGTCGCCTTCGTGCTGCCCGCGTCGGGCGCCGTGCCGACGCTGCACTGGGTCTTCGCCACCCCAATGGAAGCGACGTCGCTGCTCGTCGTCAAACCCGACTCGCACGTCGTCGCGAAGTATGGCCTGCGGGCGGACGCGGAAGACGGCGGCGCGCCGCCCCTCTACGCGGCCTGGCAGATGGCGGCGAACGTGAGCGCGTCCTGCCTCCTGCAGGATTCAGATGGGACGAACTCGATCCTCGCGCTCGGCCTCGCGAGCGGCACCGTGCTCCTGTGGGATCTACAGATAGACATGTGCCGCGAGGTGCTCAAGCGCCACGAGAAGGCGGTGTCCGCGTTAGCGGTCCACCGCCACAAGTACCTCATCGCGGGCGCGGCCGACGGCCGCGTCCACATCTACGACCTGGCTGCGGGGCCCAATCTAAGTCCGCAGTTGATCGCGGTGCGCTCCGATCTGACGGCTCCGGTGCAGGACCTGGCCTGCCTCCGCGACGCGGCGCTCGCCGTGGCGCGGGACGGCAAGGGTATCCTAGCTCTGTACGACCTCGCGCGGAGCGCTTTATTAGGACGACTGGCCCTGGGCTCGGGCGACCGCGACGACCGCGCGCCGGCGGCGGCCGCGAGCACGGGCGCTGACGCCGTCGTCGCGTCGTCTGAGACGAACGACGCAGTGCACGTCTGGGCGGCCCACGGCATCGTGCTCCAGCTCTGCCCCGGCGTCAATGCGGCCGCCGGACCTGAATCGGATCCGTTGACCATCCTACGGCTCTTCGCGCGGCCCGACGAGCCGCTCCCGCCGCCGCTCACGCAGAACACCGTCGCGACGCGGACGTCCCTGCCGTCGCGGCCCGGAACCGGATCCCGGCTCGGCACCGCCTCGACGAAGCGGTCCGTGACGGCGTCGACGCGGAAGGGGTCGCCGACGGCGTCACGGCGCGCGTCGAGGTCCTCGCGCCGGCCGAGCCGCGAAGGGGACCTCTTCGGCGAGCTCACGCAGCAGAACGTCGAAATTGCCGAACGGGAAGAACCAGGCTTGCGTGGCTCGGCCTTCGTGGACCCGCTCGACCTCGCCGCGGACGCGATCGCTGAGGCAGCTGAAGGGCGCGTCCGCCGCGAGGCGGCGCTCATGCACTCGCTCGCGGCCATGGCGAAGGCTCACGCGGCGGCGGAGTAAGTGTCTTCCTAGAGACGTCTCGATTGGATTGGATTTTTTGTTACGGGGAAGGAAGGAGGTTCGCGAGCGCCGGCCGGAGGTGCCGGGCGGCGGTCGCGACGAAGCGAGCGCGTCGCGGTCGCGTGCGCGGGGCGTCTACTCCCGCGCCTCGCGCGGGTCCGGCCCGCACCAGTCCGGCGCCGCGTCGAAGAAGTACTCGAGCTGGTCCGCGACGGGCACCTCGCGGCCCGCGAGGCGGTGGTGGAGCTCCGCCCACTCGACGCGGTTCATCGCGACCCAGTCCGCGGGCGCGTAGGACCCCCAAAAGTGCGCCGTGCGGTCGTCGACCTGGCGCTGCGCGATGGCTCGGACGTCACCGTGTTTCTTGATGAGCGTGCGCGCCGCACCGATGTACTGCGTCCATTTCCGGTCGTGGAGCGGGCTCGTCGCGACGTTCGCGCCCCACAGCTCGTCATCGGCCTCAGCGACCAAAATCTTCGCCTGCTCCGCCAGACACGACACGTGCGCAAACCCCGCCGTCCCGCGGCACGAGCACCCGCGCACGAGGCCCTCCTTTGTTTTCCAGTGGAGAGCTTGGGTGCAGATGTAACACGTCTGGCCCTTCGTGTCCTCGGCGCACGCCTCGACCGCGACCGCGACGGCCTCCTTGTATTTTTTGTCTGCATTAAACTGTTCTGCGTTGCCGCCGCGGTGTATCTTCTTACACATCTGCTTGTGGCCGCGGCGCCAATGGTCATGCTGGCAAGTCGAGTCACAATAGCGGGTCCAGCATCTAACACAACGCGGCGCGTCGTGGGCCAGTGGGGCGGCGCAGGCGGCGCAATTTGTGAGGATCATTTTGGCGTGGATGGGGCGTCGAGAGGTTCGTCGCGCGTCGACAGAGATTTGGGGAGCAGTTTGCTAGTGTCTCTTACGCTCGCTAGCTAAACAGACTCTCCGGCTAGATTGTGCGCGAGTAGACGGCAATCACACGCCGCATCACTCCGTAGACAAGCGCCAGAGTACGCATTCGTGCACGCCACCAGCTTGCACTTGAACAACACCATCAATTCGCATCGGTCTGGACAGAGAGCACAGTGCAGTGCAGAGCTGCAAGATGGCTGAACTCGACGCCACCGCCGTTTCAATCGAGAAAATTCTCGCCGCCTGCACCGCCGGCGATACCGCACGCGTGCGGGACCTCTTGGATGCCGGTGCACCCGCATCAGCGCAAGAAGAATCAACAGGCGAGAGCGCGCTCATGCGGGCGGCAGCAGCCGGCAGCGCCGAAATTGTAGCATTACTGCTGGAGCGCGGCGCGCCCTGGAACGCGCTCGATAGAAAAGGAAGGTGTGCCGGCGAGTTTGCGGTGGATGCGCAGTCGCAGGAATGCGTCGACCTCCTCGTGAACGCGGGCGTCCGCGCGCAGCTGCTGTTTGGCATATTGGACGGCGGCGCCTCCACGGAAGACCGATCCAGCGAAGAATATCTGGCGACGACGGCGTCGTTCAAGGACGCGGACACGCTCGTCGATGATAATGGAGACGCGGTCATGATGGAGTGGGAAACACCCCTCATGGCCGCGCACGCCGACGTCTGCGTCGGGGCGTTTCCCCACGATGCTTGTGGTCACCTGAAGGATCGGAATGACTTAAGGGTGTTGAACGTGGGACACGGTTTAGGCATCGTCGACGGTTTTTTGCGGAATTACGCATCTCGAATCGCGGCGCATTGTGTCATCGAGCCGCACCCGGACGTCCTGAAGCGTGTAGATTCTCAAACGGAGAAGTGGGCGGGCGTTACTTTTAGACGGGAGACGTGGCAGGAGTCTTTGAGGGATGAAAAATTCGGGCCCTTCGACGCGATCTTCTTCGACACGTACGCGGAGCGCTACGAGGACATGCGCCAGTTTTTTAGGGCGCTGCCGCGCATCCTCGCCAAGGGCGGCGTCTTCTCGTTCTTCAACGGCCTCGCGCCCTTCAACCCGTTCTTCCACGGCGTCGCCTGCGAGTTCGTCAAGTGCGAGCTCGATTCCATAGGATTGGACTGCGACTTCGTCCCGTTGCAAGTCGACCAATCCGCCCACGACGACAAAACGTGGGACGGCGTCAGGCGGCGCTACTGGCGCTTCGACGCCTACCACCTGCCCCTCGCGTCACATAAAACAACATAGTTATCTCAATTGCAACTGCTTGCGCGCCTTCTCGGACGCGGCCAACATGGCCTCGAAGCCCTCCTTCGCCTCGACTGTCTCCTCTTCCGACGCCTCGCTCTCCGGATAATAATCCGCGAGGGACCAGGGCCCCGGCTCCGGCACGACCTTCCGCCGGCCCTCGTCGTCGGACGACTCCGCCTCCTCGCGGAACTCCTCGCAGGCGCCCCGCAGCAAGTCGGCGAGGGACGAGACGCCTGCCGGCTCGCGCGGATACGAAGAACCGCCGAGGACCCGTCTATACTGAAAATCGCGGGCCGTTTCCGTCTCCCACTCTCGTAAATTTTCATCAGAGACGCTCAGGTCGTGCTCGCCGGCCAGCGCCGTGATGGGTATTTTGAGCGGCCAGTCGGCATCATGTACATGAGACTCGAGCAAGCGGTAGTCCCGCCTCACGCCCTTCGCCGCGACCCTTCGTAGTGCCGCGCTCTCTTTCAAAGGCCCGGGCAGATCTTGCAAACGGTACTGGTTCAAGGCGCGGCGTCTTCTTAATCTTTGAACTTCGGGCCACTGGACGGCCTGCCACTGCTCGAGATGCTCCGGAGGGGGTTCCTCGTCCCGGTCGTCATCTGATAAAGGCGGTTGTTCGTTCGGGTCGCGGCCCGCTCGCAGTCTACAAGCGTAGAAGAGGAGGGCGATGTCGTCGCGCTTGCCGAGCGGTAACGGTGGAGGCGCATTCGACTCTTGAGAAGGGTGGTCGGCGGGCGGCGGGCCCGGCGGGCCCCCGAACAAAGCTGGAGGCGGGCAGCCCGACACGACGAGCCGTCTGGGTAAGAGTGGCGAGCGCGGGTCCTCGTCGACGGCGATGATCCGCCGCACGAGCTCGTAGGCCAGCACCGCGCCGACGCCGTGGCCATAGAGCATCCACGGCCTTTCATCATCGAAGAAACCTAGAGCATGTAACGCGTCGTGCGCGTCGCGCGCCCACTTTCGTAATTCACTCTGTTCTGGTTTGGGTTCGTTCGTGACGACCGAGAACCGTTGCAGCGGGTCTTCATCTTCCTTTTTCTCGTATTCCGGCTCGGGCCCGTCTCCGACATCTTCGTCGCCCCGATGCAACCGACCAGGCACGCACAATGCTGACACTTCAGCTAGATCATCCAACGCGCCCGCCAAATTCGCTGCTCCGGAAAAACCCATCCCTACATCCGCGACACAAGCCACGATCCTCCAGGGGCAGTCCGGCCGCGGCCCGAGCGGCCGCGCGACCCACTTCTCCGCCCGTCTCAGTTGTATTTCCACCGAATCCTGCGTGAACCTCGTTTCCACACTCTTCTCCAACGTATCCACTTTGGTGGACATCTTGGTGGGGCTCATCAACGACTTTTCTAGTCTAGATTGCCAGGCGGGCTTCTCGTCCTCGACGAGTAATCTCTTCGCGAGTTCCTTGTGTTGCAAAGTGTCGTAGTGGTCCTGGTAGAAGTTGTGGGCCCTCTCATATTCCTCCTTCGTGTGTTTTGGTGGAACCGCCCCACTATGCATCGGGCTTCTATCCGGTATCCTCCCCATATGAACTGGGGTGGTTTGGTACGTGCCTCGAGCTTTCCTAAATAACTTCCCCAAATTCCTACGATCCCAGAGCTCCATGCGATTCTCGACGCCCGAGTGCACGTAAGCTAACGGGTCATTGGACTGTTTATTCTTCTTCTCCTGCTCCGCCAGCACGTTGGCCAACCTCTTATCAGCTTGCTCCGCGTTGATTTCGATAATGGCCTTGTCGTCGCGCCACTTGGCGTTGGAGAGGCCGCCGATCGGGGCTGCCATGGTTGTCTTTGGCCTGCCTGGGGCTGCTGCAGGTGTCACGAGTGCGCTATCCGGTTTTGGGCTGCCCGGTTCCCAGAGCTATTTTTTAGACTGCCGACGGCTGGACGGCTGCGCGGCGGGGGAAACGCGAATCTGCCGAGCTATACGCGCTTCTCCGACCGACTTGCGCGCGAGGGCAGCCCTCCGTTGCGCTCACGGATTTTGCTAGTGCCTTACATGCCGCTAGCTAATTCCACGCGCCGCCTCGCGATTCTATAGAGCGCAGGCGCATTCACGAGCGCTACAGTAGCTCATTGCTGCATTCTTTTGCAGCCCAACAAGCGCGCTGCCTTTTGCCGCATTGCAAAGCGCGAGCTCTTCGCACCAAAAGCAGTCAACACTCGCCGCCTCGACAGCAGCCAACCATGGCCGACTTCTCGCTCGGCCCGAGTCAAGCAGACGCCGATGCCTTCATGAGGGAAGCACAACAAAAACCAGAAATCAACGACGACGACGAGACCGTCGCCCCCGACCATCGGTCCGAGGGCCCCGTCGTGACTATTTTAATAGGCATGGCTGGGTCTGGCAAGACTACTTTATTCCACAGATTACACTACGACGCCCAGGAGAAAGGCCGGAGGTGTTATTTCGTGAATCTAGATCCCGCGGTCCTCGAAGTACCCATCGAGCCCCAGATTGATATTAGGGATACCATAGATTATAAAGGAATCATGACGGAGTACAAGTTGGGACCGAACGGCGCCATCGTCACCGCATTGAATTTGTTTGCCACACAATTTGCGGACGTCATGACGATCCTCGAGAAACGTAAAAATGACTATGAGCACATTATCGTGGACACGCCGGGCCAGATCGAGGCCTTTACCTGGAGTGCGTCGGGGCAATTGATCGCCGAGTCGTTAGCTTCTACGTTCGCTACCAATGTGGTCTATGTGGTGGACACACCGCGAACAAGTGCACCAGCAACATTTATGTCGAACATGGTGTATGCTTGCTCTATATTACACAAGTACCGTTTACCGCTCACAGCGGCCTTCAACAAGTGCGACGTCGCGGACCACAAGCCCATGTTCGATTGGATGGAGGACTTCGAGGCGTTCCACGAGGCTTTGGATCGGTCTTCCCAGGATTCTCCCGATGGGGCGGGGTATGTCACCTCATTACATCGGTCCATGTCGCTGGTGCTGGATGAATTTTATCGCGTGTTGGATCGGGTCGCGGTGTCGGCCGTCGACGGGAGCGGCATCGACGAGTTGTACGAGCGCATGACGTCGTCTCGCGCGAAATATGATGAGACGTACGGGCGGGAGCTGGAGCAGAGGATCGCGAAGAACAAAGCAAAAAGGGAGAAGATCGCCGCCGAGGACCTCGCTCGGTTGCAGCGCGACATGGCGTCGGACGATTCCGAGATAGTGCCGGGCGCCGCGTCGCAGGCCGCGAAGGAGGGGCGGCGGCTCCCGTAAGTAGTTTTTCCCTCGGATACGCCGTCGCCGCGATACCTCGGGAAACAGTAACTCGATGGCGATGGTTACCGAAACTCACATTAGGTCACAAGTCGGCGACGCGCGCCGCCGCGGGCGACACGTAGCCGTGCCAGAGCGACGCGCACGCCGCGACGCCGCGGCCCGCGGCGCAGAGCGGGAACCGCGCGAGGCAGGCCGACGCGAAGAGCGACGTCGTCGAGTTGAAGCGCGCGAAGCGCGCGTCGCCGCAGGGCGCCCGCTTCCGGCAATAGTAGATGCGCCGGTCCATGAGGCCCGAGAGCTGTTGGTCCAGTTCGCAGCCGCCGCTCACGTGCCCCGTAGGAGTTAACGCAGCACCATGCGTCGTCCACTGTTCTGCATATGACGCAGAAAGGCGCCAGGGCTTCAGCTCGCCCGTGAAGTGGAGGACGAACGCCTCGTCGGCGAGCGGAGCGACGAAGAGATGGAACTTTTGGCGGAAAGTGCCCACCCTCCGTAGTTCCTTCCTCAACATTTTATGCGGCGCAACAAAGTTGACCGCCTCGAACTCCGACAGGCCGATGTCCACCCGGCCTAGTCCGCGGACATTAAACCTCAAATCCAATTTCGCATACCGCCCGCCCAGCGCCAGCAGAAACGGCGGCTGCGACACGCCGCCCCGCCACAGCCTCGCTCCACACTTCACGTAGGCCTCGACCAGCGATTCGATGGCCAGCGTCAAACCCAGAGCTCTCCAACGCTCCGGATCGATGAGCACCACGCCTCGGTTAAAGACACAGGTAGAAGCGTTGAAGTCGTAATGCCGGGACAGGCCGCCCATCGCCTTGCGCTTCAGTAATCTGTTGAGCAACTGAAAATTCACGTATTTCTCGAATTTCTGGGAACAATCTTCGACCGCCGCCACGGCCTTGCCTCCCAACTCGTAATGCTCCAACGCTCGCACGACGTCGCGCTGCACCAGGACATCCGTATCTAAGTACAAAATGCGTTTCGCTTCCAGCACGTGCGGCAAATAAAAGGCCGCGAAGTTGAAGGGCGACAGCAGCTCCCGCCGCCGCACGCGCGCCGCGGCCGCCGCGCCCACGGCTGAAGCGTTGCTCAACAACCTCAACTTCGCGAGGGCCGGCCGCTGCACCAAGAGCTGCGTGAAGCCGCCACAAACCCTAACTTTCTGTGCCAAACCCGGTGGCAGGTCTCTAGCGACGCGGGGGTGCCGCAGCAACCCGAGGAGCCTTCGCGGCCGCGTCGTAACCACCGCGAACTCCGGCAGTGTGGAGGCGTGGTGCGCCGTCGAATTCAACACAGCAAGGGTCGGAAGCGGGTCGGGCGTGTCGTAGGCCAAGGCGACGACGAAGCTGTCCCTCCTATGAAAGCGCTCGGCCGACGGCGCGGCGTACTCGCAGTGGCGCTCTTCGTTCCAGGTCATGTCCCTCGTTAAAGCATCATTGGAATACGTGTTCGAAGCTTCGCTCCGCGTCCACGACGGCGCGAAGCCCTGCTTGACCTTGAGGCTCTTCTGTTTCTGCCGCCGGAGCTGCCACTTCGTCAGGGGCTTTTGGGCGGCTGCCTGCCCGGCCGCCGCCGCCCACCACCACCAGGTGTGGCGCATGCTATGTGCAGCGCCCCGCTACGATCAGTTTCGACGAATGTGCTGCCCCGTGCGGTGCCCCACGCGATCAGTTTCGACGAATTATCGATCTCTCACGCAGCCCTAGTGCAAATTTGGGCCATGCGGCCACGGCTTGCTGTTTTTGCTAGAGTCTTACGACCGCTAGCGCGCCTTTTTCCCCGGCCGCTTTTATCGGGCATTCAAGCGCTGCAGAGCGTACGCATCATATAGCAGTAGCGCATCGCTGCCGCAATTGACGTACGGTCCTCAGCAACGAGGTGTCGTAAACTGTGCAGAGCTCTCTGGCTGCCACCGGTCGATTGCGCAAGCGTTTCGCGGTCCAAACGCATCGCTAACGGCTCACAAAAGGATGTCCGCCACCACCGTAGCCTTGGACGTCGCCTGCGGCGGCGTCTCGACGGCCGTCGTCTCGGCGGTCCTGAATCCGACCGACGTCATCAAGACGCGGCGCCAGATCGTCGGGTTCTCCGGCGCGTCGCCGCTGGACATGGCGCGCGCCGTCGCCCGCGCCGACGGCTTAAAAGGACTATGGTTGCCGGGCCTGCAGGCGACGGTCCTGCGCGAGCTGCTGTACAGCGGCTGCACGAAGGGCCTCTACCCCTATGCGCGCGACGCGGTCGCTGGTGAAGAGGACGCGTCGCTCGCGCAGCGGGCGCTCGCGGCGGCGCTGACCGGCTTCGGGGGATCACTCTGCGCGAACGCCGTCGACGTGGTTAAAGTAAAGCAGTTCGACAGCGGCAGCAACCGGAGCGTCGTCGCGGCGATGCGCGACGTCGCCCGTGCCGAGGGCGTCGTCCGCGGGCTGCTCGTGCGGGGCGTGTCGGCGTCGGCGCCGCGCGGCGCCGCCATCGCGATCGGTGAGGTGACTACCTACGACTACGCGAAGTCGCGGCTCGCCCGGCACCCGGCCTTCGCGCGCGACGAAGAAGGCGCCGAGCCCTTCTCGCTGCACATCGTGACCTCGGTGATCACACCAGTGCAGAAATCAAATTTTGCGGCGCTTCTCACGACGCGGCGCCTGCTCGACTGATTGATTGCGCACAGGTGATCACGGGCGTCGTGGCGACGACGGTTGCAGCCCCCTTCGACACGATCAAGTCGCGGGTCATGGCGCGCGGCGGCAACGCGTGGACGGCGCTGCGGTCGCTCGTCGCGCGCGAGGGCGCCGCCGCGCTCCTCGCGGGCTGGTGGCCCGCCTACTGCCGCCTCGCGCCGCACGCGATCCTCACGTTCCCCCTGCTGGAGCAGCTGCGGCGGCTGGCGGGGCTGGAGAATTTTTAAATATAGTGTCTTGTTACTCAAACCGCGTTGGACACGTCTAGATTAAGGAGGTAGTCGTTTTACATGGGAGCGCGGGAACTACATGCTGATGCGGCTCCGGCCCGTCGACGGCGCCGCGCGCCGCGGCGTCCGCTTCCACGGCGTCGGCGTCGCGCCGTTGTGCAGGTCGCGGAAGGGCGACCGCGACGCGAGGGCCGCGCTGCCCGGCGGCGGCGTGTAGCCCGGCAAGCGCTCGCGCGACGCCTCGGCCGTCGCCAACTCCGTCCGGACGGGCTCCGACGGCGCGAGCCGCGCGGGCGCCGGCGTCTCCGCGCCGCGCGCGAGCGCCGCCATCCGCAGCCGCCGAAAGTCCTCGCGCAGCTTGAAGTGCTCCCGGCGCGAAGCCTCGAGCCGGAGCTCGGCGCGGTCCGCGGCCCGCCGCTGGGCGGCCTCGCGCGCGAGCGCGTCGCGGCAGGCCGCCTGGAGCCGCGCGACCTCGCCGGCGACCTCGCCGAGCTCGTGCTCCGCCGCGTCGAGGGCCGTGGCGCGTTCTCCTGTGTGGAAAAACCAGTGAATGAGGTTTTTTTGCGTCGACGGCGTGGGGCGGCCGAAATTTGTTTTCCACACAGGGGCTTGCCGGCGGCGTCGAGCCGCCGCTGCGCGTCGGCGGCGGCGTCCCGCGCCCGCGCCGCCTGGTCCAGCGCGTCGTCGAGCTCGCGGCGCAGCGCCGCCGTCGTCGCCTCGGCCTCGGCGAGCGCCGCCCGCAGCGCGTCGCGCTCGGTGCGGTCCGCGCCCGCGGCCCGCGCGGCGTCGAAGGCCGCGCCCGCCGCCTCAACGGCAGCCGACCGCAGCGCCCGCTCGCGCGCGACGCGCCGGCGGCAGTCGAGCAGCGCGGCGTCGCTCCGCGCGCGGTCCTCGGCGACGGCGTCCGCGAGCCGCCGGGCCTCGGCCGCGACGCGCCGCCCCTGCGCGTCGGCCGCGGCCCGCGCGGCGCGCGCCGCCCCCTGGCACGCCAGGCGGCCCCGCGCCTCGGCGGCCGCGACGGCGCGCGCGAGCTGCGTCGCGACCTTGGAATTCGGCGTCGACCGCCGCGCGACCTGCTCGGCGGCCGCCCGCGCCGCCGTCGCCTCCCGGACCTCCGCCCGCGCCGCCTCCAGTGCCTGCTCCAGCTCGGCCGCGCGCGCCGCGTGGGTCGCTTCCGCGTCCTGCGCGAGCGCGTCGGCGCGCGCCTCGGCGGCCTCGACGGCGGCCACGAGCGCGTCGCGCTCCTGGCACGCCTCGTCGCGGCGCTCCTCCGCCGCCTCGACGGCCGTGACCAGCGCGTCGCGCGCCTGCTGCGCCTCGTCGCGCGCGCGCTCGGCCGCGGCCGCGCGCGCCTCGGCCTCCGCGGCCCGGGCATCCGTCTTCGCGTCGCGCGCGCGCTTCGACGCCTCCCGCCGCAGGTCCGCCTCGAGCTGCGACACGTCGCCGCGCAGCGCGTCCCGCTCGCCCTCGACGGCCGCGAGGTCGCGCTTGAGGAGCGCGACCGCGTCGCCGACGTCCCGCTCGAGCGCCTCCTTGTGGCGCCGGCGGTGCTTCTCCTCGAGCTCCGAGTTCTTCCGGATCTGGGCCGCGACCTGGCGGCCGAGGGCCTCGGCCTGGCGGCGGGCCGCGTCGCGCTCCTCGACCAGCGCGTCGCGCGCCTCGTCGGCGCCGCCGCTCGACGCGCCGGCCTCGACGGCCGCGAGGCGCGCGCCCAGGGCCGCGCGCTCCGCCGCCGCCGCCGCGGCCTGCTCCCGGAGCGCCTCGCGCTCGGCCGCGGCGCGGTCCCGGTCCCGCTCGGCGCGCTCGCGCGCGGCCCGCTCCGCGTCGAGCTCGCCCGACGACGCCCGCAGCGCCGCCAGCTCGTGCTCGGCTTGCTCGCGCGCGGCCCGCTCCGACTCAAGATCGCCCGACGACGCCCGCAGCGCCGCCAGCTCGTTCTCCGCGCGCTCCCGCGCGGCCTGTTCCGTCGCGAGCTCGCCCTCGAGGAGTTCGAGCGCGGCCTCGGCGTCCGAGTCCGGCGTCGGCGGGGGCGGCGCGCCTTGCCTCAGCTGGGCGTTCTCCTGGCAGAGGCGCGCGACGTCGTCCTCGCGCGCCGCGAGCAGCGCGGTGAGCTCCGCGGCGTCCGTGCCGCCCGCGACCAGCGCGAGCCGGCGCTTCAGCTGGTCGATCTCGAGCTTGTACGGGAGGCTGGGCGGCGGCGTGCGTTGCAGCGAGGTTCTCGTTGCCGGTGTTTCCGCCATGGTCGCGACTAGGGACGTGTGTGGCACGTCTAGTGCCGTTCGCGTCTCGTCGGCAGCGTGCGCGGCGCCCCGGGCGCTTTTGTCGTTTTTGTCGCGCACAAGGCGTGCTGCCGTAAATACGCGGGCACACTAAGGCAAGGACGTTGCCAGTGTGCTTTGGAGTGCTTGCCTTGGCTCGATCGCGTCTGCGCGAGGAGACCGGGGCACGGTTGGGCTTTTTGATTGACGCTAGTGCCTCTATACGCTGGCGAGGTTTCTCAAGAACCGATCATCTGCCTTGTAGTGCGTAAGGGATCGGCTAGGAACGCTCGCAGGTGCCTCCGAGCTTCGATGGCGGTGCAGAGGCTCAAGGCTGCAGTGCTTTTGCGGCGAGGCGAGAAGAGCGCCGCTGTCTCGCACAAGTGCACTCAGAGCACGAGTGACAGCACGAGTAATCGCACAGCTCGACCGCTGCAACGTTGCCGGCAGCTTTGCGCACCCTAGAGCACTGCACAGGTGATGGACTACCAACTCAAGCGCGTCGCCGGCGCCGTGCACAGCGCGGGCAACGTTTTGTTTGATGGCGGCGACCGCCTTTTTAGTGCGATCGGAAATAGAATTGCTTGCGTCGATCTAAGAAGGCAGGCGGCGGATGCCGTCGGAGACTTCGAAACGCGAAGTGATATAGATAGACTGGCATTGACAAGTGACGGGTGCCTGCTGTGCGCTGTGGATGTTGAAGGCAGGTTGAGCTGCGTGCACACTTCTCGGAGGGTTGTGCTGCACCGGTTGCATCTGGGCGGCCGCTGTGCGGACCTGACGTTCAGTCCCGACGACGGGCTGCTGGCCGTGGCCGTGAAGAACGGTGTCGTACTATGGCGCGCGCCGGCGCAACGGCGTAGAGATTTGGCGCCCTTTGCGCGCTTACGGCGCTTCGGGGGCTTTACACGACAAACAACGTGCCTGACCTGGTCCGCGGACGCGCATTTGTTAGCCTGCGGGTCGGAGGACAACTCCGTGCGCGTGTTTCGCGTGGAATTGGACGAGGACGAACGGATCAAGCCCTACGTCCTCGCCGCGCACAAGGCGTCGATCGTGCGATGCTTCTTCGTGGGCAGTACCATAGCGTCCTGCGCGCGGGACTGCGTCGTGGCCTTCTGGGAGCTTGACAATGGTGTCTCATTAGCCTCGAAGAAGTTCCTCTGGGAGGATGCCAATGATGGCGAGCAGCGAAGATATGATGGTCGACTCGTCGACGCGGCGGCATCGTCCACCTTATTAGCCTGCGCCTTTTCGACGGGCGTGTTTGCCGTGTATGATACTTCAGGGAAACACCGCTGTGCCTGCGTCCACCGACTGTCAGTCGCGAGGGGTTCCGTCGACGCCATATCGATCGACTCCACTGGCAGTAGAATAGCGCTGGCGTCCCAGCGGTTCGGCCAGTTGGTGGTCTGGGACTGGCGCGCCGAGACCTTTGTGCTCAAACAGCAGGGCCACGACCACGCGGCGACGTGCTGCGCGTGGTCGCCGGACGGGCGGCTTTGTATCAGCGGCGCGGACGATCGAAGGGTCAAGGTCTGGAGCGACTCCAGCGGATTTTGCTTCGCGACGTTTTCCGACCACCAGGCGCCGGTCACGGCCGTGGCGTGTGCGAGGAACGTGGTGTTCTCGGCTTCGAGGGACGGGACCGTGCGAGCATATGATCTAAGAAGGTACCGCCAGTTCCGGGTCTTCAAGGCGCCGCCGCCTAGAGCCGCGTCCAACGTCTCGAGCACGTCGGAGCCGGGCGCGCCCCTCGTGTCATTGACCGTCGACGCGGACGCGGAACTGGTCTGCGCGGGCGGCGACGAGCCGTACGAGGTGTATGTCTGGTCCGTGCGGTCGGGCCAACTGCTCGACGCGCTCGCGGCGCACGAGGGGCCCGTCTGTGCGTTGGCGCTGGATCCGAGAGGAGGAGGTGGTTTAGCGTCGGGCAGCTGGGACAAGACTGTTAGATTGTGGCGCGTCTATCGGAATGAATTAGAAGAAACTTTAGAACACAACGCGGAGGTCTTATCGGTAGCGTATCGGAGGGACGGCGGCCAGTTAGTGGTGGCTTGTCTAGATGGTTCGTTGCGGATATGGAACTCGAAGACGGCAAAACTCTTATATACCATTGATGGGGCGCGTGATTTAGCGAAATCAGACCGATTCTTAGCAAAGCGTCCGAAGCAAGAAGCGCCGCACTTTACCTGTGTAACTTATTCAGCGGACGGCGAACGCGTATTGGCCGGCGGGTCGGGGCGGTTCGTCTGCTGCTACCAGGTCCAGCAACAGGTTTTGGTGGCCAAGTTCCGCGTGTCGCATCGCAGAGAAGATGCTGAGGATGATAGTGACGACGAGGGCGTCATGGAGCGCGTGAAAGGGGTGAGGCGCGAGTACGCGGACGACGACGACGACGATTTGGAGGCCTTGCCTGGTTCCACGACCCGAAAGGCGGGAAACGCTTTATCCAGAGATGTCTCACGGGTCAACGCCGTGGCCTTCAGCCCGACCGGGAGTAGCTTCTGCGCGTGCACGCCGGGGGCTCTCCTGTTCTACCGCAAGGACGACGCGACGAATTTCGCGCCCTTTGATGTGGACGAGGCGGCCACCCCTGAAAGCGCGCGCCGGGCGCTGGCCGAGGGCCAGCCCGCGCGGGCGCTGGCGTTCGCGCTGGCTCTCGGCCACGCGCCGACGCTCGCCGAGGTCGTGGCGGGCATCTCCCTGGCGTCCGTCGACGTTTGTGTGAGGGGCCTGCCGCCGAACAAGCTGCCTCGATTACTACGGCACCTGTCGGCCTGTTTAGCCAACGACGAGAACTTCGAGTTCTACGCCATTTGGCTCCGGAGTCTGCTGCGGAGCGCGCCCGAGGAGGTCCTGCGCGACGAGGCGCCTGCTTTACGGGAAGCGACGCGGAGCTTGTTATTACACAAGCGGGCGCTGTCCTCGCTGGTGGACGACAACGAGAACGCGCTCGCGTTCCTGCTGTCCGAGAATAATGTGTAGTAATATTCACGAGCACATGACTTTACGCATCCTCCTTCTCCTCCGCCACGAAGCCAAAATCGAATTTCTTCTGCGACTTCTCGCGGAGCGTGAACGACAGGTTCCGCACGCGCGCCGCCTCGAGGAGCTGCTCCCGCGAGATGAAGCCCGGCGTTTGGGTGGCGAGCGCGTCGAAGTCCGTCGAGCAGAAGTGGCGCCCCGCGACGCGCTCCGCCGTGTCCTTGTCGATGCGCTCGGGCAGGGCCTGCGCGCTGCCCATCACCCGGGCGCCGCCGTTGTGGAAGACGTAGCCTGCGCGCGCATCGACCGGTGAGTCGGGTGGCTTTGTGCGTCGCGGCGTTTGCTTTCTCGGCGAGAACGCGGCCGCGCCGGCTGAATCGAACGGCGAGAGACCACGCCGCCACGCCATCGAGCTCATATCATGAAGATGGCGCGGAGACCATGATTCAGCTGTGGCGCGACGCGCCGCCATAATTTGATTCAGGCGCTGTGTGTCACCTTGATGGGGAGAAGCAGCCCGGGGCGACGACGCGACCGACGACTGCGCGCGCACGCAGCTCTTAAGCCCGTTCCGGAGTCCGGCCAGCCACCGCGTCATATATACGCCCGGGCGTTTGGCGTCTCAAGTGCGTACGCTGTACGAGTTCGAACTTTGAGGCGCTCCACCGCCGCCGGTCGCGCGGAGGAGTCGTCCCGAAGAGCCGAGCATCCCTGGTACCTGCTTCCGGACACACTCTCTTCCGGATCCGAGGGATAGAGTGTGCGGGTTTTTCCCTCCGTTGCAACTTGCGAGCGTGTGTGCGAGTATTTCTGGTTCCACGAGCACTCTCAAAAACCACGCTTGCGACAGACACGGGCCATCCGTGCTTCCCCAGTGGGCGCCGCCGACGACGCGCCCGGGCCGCGTCCGCCGCGTCTGAGTGGGGACACGAGCTCAGAGCCACGAGAATACCCCATGAACGGTACGGAGCAGACGGATCCGAGTGTGTTTTTTGGGCCACTCGCCCCTTCAATAGCCCCTTACTTCAGCTGCCTTATTTTCTCGCAGCCTCCGCCAATTGTTCGTGGGGCCGACAAGCTGCCACCAGGCGACGAAGACCGCCCAAGGCACTATATATTTTTATTGGGAAGCCCTGGGGAGCCGCGGGCAGCGCGGAGACGCCAAGAGGAGCGAAGAAAGCGCCATGATGGATGACATCGAGAAGACCAAACCGGTCGATGCGGCCCCGGCGGACGACGACGAGACCGGCGCGGGCTGCGACGTCTGCATGCCGCCCATCGCGCTGGTCGGCGCCGACGATTATGATTACAAGTACCTGTGCATGCCGTCGATGGTCCGCGCGCTGCGTAGAAATCAATTGCAACGCGCTACACGCCATCGACGCGATGGACTCGATGGCGTGGGACTCACTGGTTTATTTTCTCACAGCCGTGGAGCAAGGGCGGCGTCGAGCCGCCGCAGTTCCTCGCCAAGGACGAGAAGCTGCCCCTGACGCTCTCGCTAATCATGGGCCTGCAGCACGCGCTGGCTATGGTTGCGGGTCGGCGACGGCGTCCGTTTCGTCGCTCGCGTACCGCGCTTCACCGGCGGTCGACGCCCGCGCAGGCATCGCCACGAGCGGCGGCATGCTCATCGCGGGCGACGCCTGCTTCGATTGGCAAAAGGACTCGGAGATGTGCGATAGCCGCGAGTACCTCGTGAGCGCCGCCTGGATCACGTCGGGCATCCTCACGATCATCCAGGTCTTCCGCGCGAAGATCATCGGCACGGGCTACTACCTCGGCACGGGCCTCATCTCCGTCATGGGCACGTCCTTCACGTTCCTGCCGATCGCGCGCGAGATGGTCATCCGCGCCATCACGGACGCGCAGGCCGAGGGCAAGTGCGACTGCACGCCGGGCACGGCCGACGACGGCTCCGCGACGTGCGGCTACCCCTTCGACTGCAAGGGCTACGGCATGGAGGGCTACGGCCGGTTCCTCGGCACGGCCATGGTCGCGGCCTTCCTGGAGGTGGTCATTGCGCTCATGCCGTCAAAGATGCGCCAGAAGATGTTCCCGCCGGTGGTGACGGGCGTCGCGGTCATGCTCATCGGCGCGTCGCTCATCGCGGCGGGCATCAAGTACGTGGGCGGCGGCGTGTTCTGCGCCGAGAACGACCTCGCCAAGTCGGCCGCGCTGCCGTTCGGGCCGCAGCTCTGCAACGAGAACGGCAACGTCATGTTACCATTCGGGAGCCCGGAGTACGTCGGCCTCGCGTTCAGTGCCGACGCGGCGTCCTCGATCGTGTCGATCGCGTCTCGGGGAGAAGCTTCAGCCTCGCGCCATCGAGCAAACTTGTCGCGCAGGCGTCATCTTCATGAGCGTCTTCCTCCAGTTCTTTGGGAGCCCCTTCCTCAAGTCGACGTTCCTCTTTTGGGGCCTGATGTTCGGCTGCTTCGTGGCCGGCATCAGCACGTACGAGGGCAAGGGCTCGGTCTGGGACAAGTACGAGCGCACGTTCAGCTTCTCGAAGCCCGACGACAAGGTCATCGCGTCCGAGGTGCACATGAAGCAGGGGCGCCAGTACAAGTACTTCAACGACTACCGCATCCGCAACGCGCCCTGGTTCACGTTCCTCTGGGCCGAGACGTTTCCGCTGGGCTTCGCGCCGGAGTACTTCCTCCCGATCCTGATCGGCTATTTCGTCTCGACCTGCGTGGAAATCAATCAGTGAGTTAGGTTATCCTGAGAAATATTGCGTGGACCTTCGTGAGCCTCCACGCCATCGAGCCGACGCGGTCGCGGAGAAAACGTCGCGTCGATGGCGTGGGGCGCCCGAAATTTGATTTCCACTCAGGTCTCGACGGCGGAGACGATCGGCGACGTGACCATGTCTTGCAAGTACTCGAAGCTCGAGACGGAAGGGCCTGACTTCGAGAGCCGCGTGCAAGGCGGGTTGCTCGCGGACGGCGTCAACTCGTTCCTCGCCTGCCTCTTCACGAGCCCGCCCAATACCACCTTCTCGCAGAACAACGGCGTCATCTCGCTCACGCAGTGCGCGTCGCGGTCCGCGGGCTTCTCGTGCGCGTTCTGGCTGATATTGTTCGGTGTGTTCGGGAAACTGGGCGCGGCGTTCACGTCGATCCCCATCTGCGTGGTCGGGGGCCTCGTGCTCCAGTGTTTCGCGAGCGTGTTCGTCTCGGGGATGTTCATCGCTACCAAACACGCGACTCGCCGCAACGCCTTCATCCTCATGCTGTCGCTGGCCCTCGGCATCGGCGTCGCCATGGAGCCAAATCTTTTCGAGGGCGGCGGCGTGGCGTCCTTCCACGGGAAGAACCTCCGGCACAACACTGGGTTTTGGCCCCGCTACAAGACGTGCAAGACGTTCCCGGTCGACTCGGAGACGGGCGCGCAGGTGCGCACGTGCACGAACGACAACGGCGCGTGCTGTTCCGAGTACGACAAGGGCGATGACCTGTGTGGAAATCAACCATAATTCTTCACTAAGTCATTTCTCGGCGATGACGTGGCCGCGCTGGTTCCGTCGAGCGGTGAGGAACCGACACCGCCACGCCATCGAGCAGGCGTCGCGTCGATGGCGTGGAGATCGATGCGGCTATTCAGGACGAACGCGCCGTAAATTTGATTTCCGCACAGGCGAGGATTCCAATAGAACGACCGCGATCATCCTCCTCAAAACGCCGTACGCCATCGGCTTCGTACTGTGTGAAAATCAACCAGTGTGTCGGGTGCAAAATTTTTCACTAAGTCATTTCTCGGCGATGACGCGGCCATCCTGGCTCGGTCGAGCGGTGAGGAACCGGCATCGCCACGCCATCGAGCAGGCGTCGCGTCGATGGCGTGGAGATCGATGCGATGATTCAGCACGAACGCGCCGTAAAATTTTGATTTCCACACAGGCTTCATCGTCGCCCTCTTCCTGCACCTCCTGCTGCCCGAGGACAAGGAGGAAGAGGAGGAAGAGGAATCCGGCAAGGAAATGAAGGTCGACCCGGTCGAGGCGTGAAGCAACCCCCCCGCTTGTCCATACGCACCCCGCCTCGAGCGATCCCCCCAAGGCCCACGCTCGGCATGGAAACAAGCTTCCAATTCGACGACTGACCCCGTGTTACATAAGTCCTACACATAATATCGACGCCTCCGCCGGGCGACGCGTCGCCGCCGGCCCACCCCGCGGCCGCCGCCGTGCGTGAGGAGGGGCTGTAGTGGGCTGCTACAAGTCATTCGTAAGTTATTCGTATAATCAAAGCCTGGCTATTGTACCCTAGCGGTCAGTAGACATACTAGCGTTTTCCATGCTCCGCGGAGCCAACCAATCGGCGCAAGGGGATCGCGCGACGCAAGTGCGCAGCGCGTCGAGTATAGCTTTCGATTGCGGTGGGCCTTTGCCGTAAGCAGCGGCCGCCGGCTTAGCTAGCAGCGCTCACTCCTCCTGCAACATGCTCCTGCGCGCTGTGGTGCAGCGCGCGCGCGGCGCGAGCCTTCGCGCCGCAAGGCCCGTTGCTGTGAGCAATGCCTCCCGGCAGTTCTCGCTCGCCCTCACCCAGAAACCGCAGCAGCCGGCGCTCGGCCGGTTCGCGCGGTTGCTGAGCGTGGAAGACGTCCCCGTGCCGAGCATGGGCGACTCCATCACGGAGGGTACCGTCGTCGAGTGGACGGCGCAGGTCGGCGACGGCGTGGCCGTCGACGACGTCGTGGTCGTCATCGAGACGGACAAGGTGAGCGTCGAGGTGCGGACGCCGGTGGGCGGCGCGATCACGGAGCACCTCGCGGAGGTGGATGCTGTGGTCGAGGTCGGCCAGCCGCTCTTCAAGGTCGACACGGCCGCCGAGGGCGCCGCCAAGGCCGCGCCGGCGCCGGCGCCCGTCGCCGCGGCGCCCGAGGAGGCCACGCCGGCGCCGGCGGCGCCGGCGCCCGCCCCGACGCCGGCGCCGGCCCCGGCGCCGACGCCCGCCGCGCCGGCGCCGGCGCCCCCCGCCGCGGGCGAGGCCTCGCGCGCGGAGACGCGCGTCAAGATGAACCGCATGCGTTTGCGCATCGCCGAGCGCCTCAAGGAGGCCCAGAACACGGCGGCCTGCCTCACGACCTTCCAGGAGTGCGACATGGGCGCGTTGATGGAGCTCCGGAAGACGCACAAGGACGAGTTCGAGCAGGTGCATGGGGTGAAGCTCGGGTTTATGTCGGCCTTCGTCAAGGCCTCGACGGCGGCTTTATTGGAGACGCCGGCGGTGAACGCCTATATCGACGATGCGGCGAAGGAGATTGTCTATAGAGACTACTGCGACGTGAGTGTGGCGGTCGCGTCGCCCGCGGGGCTCGTGGTGCCCGTTTTGAGGAACACGGAGCAGATGTCCTTCGCTGATGTTGAAAAATCAATTCAAGCCTACGCCATGAAGGCCAGAGACGGTTCTTTATCGCTGGAGGAGATGTCGGGCGGGACGTTCACGATTTCCAACGGGGGCGTGTTTGGTTCTTTGATGGGCACGCCCATCCTCAACCCGCCGCAGTCGGCCATCCTGGGCATGCACGCGACGAAGATGCGCGCCGTGGTCAAGGACGGTGAAGTGCAAGCGCGGCCGATGATGTACCTCGCGCTCACGTACGACCACCGCATGATCGACGGCCGCGAGGCGGTCACGTTCCTCAAGTCCGTGGCGACCAAGATCGAGGACCCGGGGCGCTTCCTGCTCGGGCTCTAGGGGGGCGCGTTCGTTGGGTAACGTCGTATACATCTCTCTCGCGTCGACGGCGTGGGGCGTGGCTTTCTGTTGCAGTGCTAGGACTAGTGGGCGGCGCCCCTGCACCACGCGCCGATTCATCGGCGCGCGCGAGAGAGAAAGAGTCGCTTATTGAACCCACCCCCAGGGGAGTACGCGCATGCTAGCGTCCTGTAAGACACTAGCAGCAAGCCAGGGTCATCTTTAAAAGCTTTGTGTCTTGGGTGCAAATTACTGCGTGCGACCAAAAGAACAGGCGCATTAGTTGCGAGCCTCATCCGCTCAATTGTTGAGAGGCGGGCGCGAGGCCAACGCCAGGAGCAGCCCATTGGGGAGGGGGCAGCACGATGCGGTCCCCGCGAAGAGAAGCGGCCTCAGCACGAAAGAAACGCCACCAGGAGCTCGCCGCGGAACGGCGGCAGCACAAGGAGCGCGCGGCGGAGGCGCGGAAGGCAACGGCCGGCGGCGGCGCCGGTGCCTTGGTCGCACGGTTCCAAAGCACCGTGGCGGCATTTCACTTAGGGGACGGTGGTCATCTCGACGCCGCCGCGCGCGCCATCTTTACCGCGGCTGATTCTTCGGCGGCCGCCGCGCGGGCGCTCTCAGAAGCCCGCGCGCCGGAGGCGCTCGCCGCCGCGCTGGCCACCAAGCCCGCCGCGACCGGTCAATTGGGCTTGGCGTGCGGCGCCGTGTCCCGCCGCCTGCCGACCGTCGTGGCGATTCGTGCCGTCGCCGAGAATGAGAATGCGGCGACGTCCGCTCATTGGCTGAACGCGTGCGCGCGGGCGCTAGCCGTCCACTCGGCCGAGGACGGCGTCTGCGGCTCTACAATGGCCCGAGCGATCGCGTCCGCGGCACGGCAGAATCTAGACGAGCCCCACCTCGTCTTACCGTCGCTCCACGTCCTCGACCGTCTCTACAATGGTGTCGGAGAGCGACGCCCCTCGATCAACTGCGGGCGCCGCGCGTCGCTTCTGCAGCTCGGCATGAACGGGACGGGCCCGGCGCGGCTTCGTACCACGGACGACCGCCTCATGTTCCAAATCGCGGCGGCGCTCGACCGCTTGGACGACGACGACGTCGCAACGCACGCGTTCGCGTCGCTCGTCGCGGCGGTGACACGCCATGTCCCTCGGACTGCCGCCGACGAAGCGCAACTCAAGTTAATTAGGGCGCTGGCAGCGACGCCGAACGACGACGACGAAAACGACCTGCTCGCCTCGGTCCCATCCACAGAAATCGTCCGCCTCGCCAAGTCAGGCCGCCGCGCCGCCTGTGATACGCTCGCTTACTTGCTCCAAAACGGTGGCGCACGGACAGCAGCGGTGAGGCGCGCGCTGCGTCGCGCGGGCGACGATTCGCCCGAGCGCTGGCTGCGGGCCGCTGCGAGTCAAGTCGGTCGGAGCGCGCGGTCGTGTCTCCGGGTCGCTGGGGCCCTGGTCGCGATGAAGGGCTCGGCGTCGCTCACAACCTCGCAAGCAAATCGACGAACTGGTGACGTCGAGGAATGCCTGCAAGCGGCGCAGCTCACCCTACAGACCGCCTCTTCGCTTATGGCGTCGCCGCAGAACGTTGCCGCTGCTTTGAACGTGTTTGCTTCCGCGGCCGATTCGGCGTGCCGCGCGGCGCGCGACCGGGCTTTGGCGCTCGCGAGAGCCTTTGAAAATGAGTACGAAAATGACCGGGCGCCGGGCGCGCTCGGCGAGAAAGCTGCAGCTCTCGCGCTCGCGACGCTCTCGGCGCCGGAGGCGGCAGCCGATGCGTTGGAAGCCGCGCTCGGTCTGGGAGGCGGTGATGCCCAGGCCTGCTATGAGGCGCTTCGGCCCCGGAAAGCGGCCGAAGCGATCGCAACCGTCGTTGACAACGCCGCGGCGATTCTAGATCAGCGCCGCATCCAGAGCGACGACGGGGCGCCGCAGCTCGACTTCGCGGACGAGGGCGCGCACGCGGCGGCAGCCCAGGTCCACGCCTGGTGCCGCCTCGCGGCGGCGCTGCACTCCCACGAAGCTCGAGCGCGCCCGGCAGACCCGCTACTCCGCGAGGCGCTGCGGCCGGCAGTTTGTGCCGCGCGAGCGAGCCTCTCGGCCGCAACGCAGCTCGACCTCGACGCGTTGGATAGAGCGGTGGCCTTTGTGGCCGCCGCGACGGGCGTCGACGACGACTCTTCCTCTGACGGCGTCGTTGACAGCGCCACCGGGCGGGGCGGCTCCGGTCGAGCCGAGGATTTCCGACCGGAAGGTTCCGAACGTGCGCCAGCCTCGAATTCGGCACGCGAAGAAGAAGAGGCCTACGCGGCTGCGGCCTACGACGAAGACCGGAACGGACAGACAGACACGATGGCGCTCCGCCGGTCGCTCGAGGGCAGCCAAGTCGCGCTACGGAGGCTCGCCGCGGACCTCGGATCGACCAACACGACGGTCGCGCCCGCGCCGCCGCCGCCGCCGCCACAGGACGCGCTCCGTCGCGCGCGTGCGCCGGACATCATCGCCGTCGACGATGCCGTACCGGCGGCGCGCGACGACGTCGCCTTCGACGTGGCGCCGGCGGACCCGCGGTCGCCGCGGCCCGACCGGTCGCCGGCCTTCGCCGCATCCATCAAGCGACCGGCCTTCTTCGCCGACAGTGATGAAGCTGCTTTCCGTCCCGGCGGGCCCGTGCAGCACACGCCGCCCCGATCACCGGTCCAGCGCGAGGTCTTCGCTGACGACTACGACGAGGCTGAGGAGGCCGTTGAGACTGATGACGGTCAGACTGCGGACGACGAGGAGGACGACGATGTCTGTGCCGCTTGCGGTCAGCCGCCGACAATGCGTTGCCCGTGCCTCACAGCGTCCTACTGCTCACGCGAGTGCCAGCGCGCCCACTGGCGCACGCACAAACGCGCCTGCCCGCTGCGCCGGTCGCGAGCGTCCTCGCGGACCGCCTCCGAGGTATCGGTCGCCGCTGAGCCTGTAGTAGCGGCGCAATCGACTCAAATCGGCGACCGTCGGAGCGCCGTCGAGGGAGAGGCCTACGCCGCGTCGACCGCGGCGACTTATGATGGCTCGACCGCGTCGGGCGCCGATGCGGACACCGATGAATGGAGCAGAAGCCGGGCTTACTCGGCCGCGTCAGCACCATCGACCGCGGCGGTCTACGACGGCTCGGCCGCGTCGGGCGCCGGTGAAGACACCGACGAAGGGAGCCGCGAGGGACCCGCGCGCAGTCGCGAAAGCCCGACCCGCGACGACGTCACGGCCGCGCGGCTCGCGGCCGCGCGCCAGGCCCAGGCCCCGGCCCCGGCCGACGGGAGCAGCACGCCGCGCGCCGAGTCGCCGCAGGAGAAGTTCGTCCGCGTCTGGTCTGCGGCCGACGAGGCGGCGGCGGCCGAGGTCTTCGACCTGACGACGCCGCACGAGGCCCGCGACTTCGACGCCGCTGTCGACGACGGCATCGAGGACGTGCGGCGGGACTTACGGGGGAGCATCCGGCTGGCGCCGAGCACGCCCGTCGACGACGCCGCTGGCTCGCCTGCAGCGTCGCGCGCGGCCGGCGATCGCATCCGCGAGGCGTTTGAGTCTCGGTCGCGCGAGGCGCCAGTCCGGACGTCCGCCGAGGAGGGCCAGTCCCGGGAGGCGGCCGTCCGCGTCCGGGAGGCCTACACGGCGCGGTCGCGCGACGAGCCGGTCCTGATGGACGCGGGCGACCGCGAGGAGCCCGCCCTGACGGACGCGGCCCTCGACGCGCTGCTCCCGGCCGAGGGCTTCGCGACGCTGGCTCCTCCTTCGCCGCGGCGATCGTCGCCCCGCTTCGCCGACGAGTTCCCGATGGTCGCCGACGCCACGGCGGCAGTGTCGAGCTTCCTCTTCGGGGGGACGCCGCCGCGCGAGGGCCGCGCGGACCTCCGTCACGACGAGCGCCGCGCGGACGAGGCCGCGCCCGCACGGGTCGAGGACGCCGACGAGTGGAGCCAGGCCGTCGACGACGCCGGCGTGCCGTACTTCGTCTCGGCGACCGGGGAGACGGCGCGCGCCGCCCCGGCGGCCTGGCTCCGGGCCGCGCGCGAAGAGCCGGGCGAGGGCGCGCAAATCCGGTCCCGGGGCAACTGGGTCGAGGCGCTTGACACATCGTCGGGCCGCGTCTACTACGCAAACGGCGCGGGCGCCGTGCAGTGGACGCGGCCGACAGTCTTTGATGACGACGACGACGAGGACGAGGACGCGCCGCAGTGGGTCTCGGCGGCGCGGCGATCGGACGAGTTCGACGACGGCGACGGCGACGCGCGCCGCCGCGCGAGCCGCCGGTCGAGCACCGAGCTCGACTACCGCGGGCCCGCGCGTTCGACGCCGTCGGCGGCCGCGCGGCTCTTCCCCGGCGCCGGTGCCTCGTCGCCGCCGAGCGCGACGCGCGACGTGGGCGTCGGGGGCGCGTCGGCCTCGGTCCAGAGCGTCGGCAGCGGCGCTGCGGTGGTCGTGCAGAGCGTCGGAAGCGGGAACGCGTCTGCGGCGGTCCATAGTGTCGGCAGCGGCGGCGCATCGGCCTCTGTTCAGAGCGTCGGAAGCGGCGGCGCATCGGCCTCTGTTCAGAGCGTCGGGAGCGGCGTCGCATCGGCGGCGGTCCAGAGCGTCGGGAGCGGCGTCGCGGCGGCGACGACGGCGTCCGTCGGCACTGTGGCGTCGCCCGCGGTGCGCGACCAGAGCAGCGGCGGTCTTGCGTCGGCCCAGACGGCGTCCGTCGGCGTCGGCCGCGCGGCCCCGGCCGTGGCGTCGGTCGGCGTCGGGCGGCGCGCGTTCGCCGAGGTGTCGAGCGGCTCCGACGACGACGACGCCGCCGCGGCCCCGGCGCCGCCCCAGCGCGCCACCGCGGCGACCTCCACGGGCCCGCCGCCGCCGCGCACGCCGCCGCCGGCACGAGCGACCGCCAGCGCCGGCAATAGCACGCCGCGCGCGTGGGGCCGCGCGGACGCGTGGGTCGGCGACGACAGCGGCGACGACGACGGCCTCGAGGCGCTGCTCCAAGGGCACGAGGCCGGCCGCGGCACCGTGCCTCCGCCCAGGGTCGACGACGAGCCGGCGACGGACCCCCCATCCCGGAGCAGCTTCGCCGCCGCAACCGACGACGACCAAGAGGACATCTCCGTGCACGCGTGGCGGTCCGTGTCGTCGGGCAGCTCGCGGCCGTCCGCGGGGAGCCCCCGCGCGCCTGTCCGGGAGATCGCCTCAAAGAAGTCGCCGGACCACAGGCGCGGCTCGGCCGACCTCCAGGCGCGGCTCAGCAAGCTCCCGGGCTCTCCGACGAGTCCGGACCGCAAACAGGGCTCGGCCGACCTGCAGGCGCGCCTCCGCAAGCTCCCCGGCTCTCCGGCGGGACGTCCGGCGCACAAGCGGGGCTCGGCCAACCTGCAGGCGCGCCTCCGCAAGCTCCAGGCCGCGGCCCACAAGGTCGGGGCGCGCCCGGCGGCGGCGCGGTCGCCGACACGGCCGTCGCCACGCGCCGTCGAGGAGGCCGACGCGGCCTACGTGTCTCCGCGCTTCCTGCGGCGCGGCGACGGGCGGCGGTGTGCCGACGCGGCCGTGCTCGGCCAGGAGCTGCGGCGCCAGGACCAGCGCAACAAGACCGTCCTCCGGAGGCGAACGTCGATCTTCACGGCGGCCCTCGAGCTCAAGAAACTACGGGCCCAGGGCGGCGCGCTCCACTACCGCGTCTGGGACCCGCAGTCCGGGGTCGACACGTCGTGGCCGAAGAAGTACACCGGGCCCTTCGACTACGTGCCCGGGTCGGGCTCCAAGCCGCACGCGAAGCCAGCACCTACCTTCCGCTGGCGCCAGCGCGCCGACGACGAGGGCTTGCCCTATTATGTTGATTCAAAGACGGGCGACACCGTCCGCGCCGCGCCCGAGGCCTGGGTCGCCTTTACGCGAGAGAGAGGAGACGATCTACCAACCGGCGTCGTCCGGCGCGTGGGGTCCATCTGCGAGTACCTCGACGAGAAGTCCGGTCGTGTGTACTACCACGATTCTGCGACGAGCTCGACGGCCTGGGCGCGGCCCGCCGCGTTTGCTGATGAGGAGGATCGGGCTCATGCAGTGGCGCCGCGGTCGCCGAACCGCCTCGGTGGGCTCAGAAACGCGCTGCGGCGGCGCGCGGACGTCCTTGCGATCATGGAGCGCCTCAAGGGGGCGTCGGTCAAGCTCGTGCCGCCCGAGAAGCGGAACCTCGTTGAAATGATCGACGCGCCGCCGGACTTCGCGGAGGCGCTCTCTGGCGTGCAGGCGGCGGTCGAAGCCGACGACGCGTCGGGCGTCCTTGCTGCCGTGCAGCGCCTGGTCGTCGCGTACGACAACCTGGCGGGACGCGTCGACGACGCCGCGGCGCGGGCTTTGCACGCGCTCGTGGAGCCGGTGTTGGGGTTGGTGCGGAGAGGGGTGTAAGTTGTTTCCTTTACTTGTCCGTAGCCGTCTAGAAAGACGCCACCGACACGTGCCCCTCGTATATTTGTAAATATGACCTTAATGGTAGTCTCCTACTCGTCACCGTTAGTCCGCGAGAAGTCTTCGACCGGTCCCGGCGGCGGCTTGAAGAACTCAACCGGTCCGTCGATCATATCGCCATCTAAAACCTTGTCCCATCCCGAGAGCGCCATACCGCTGATCGCGATCCGGCCCGGCTTAGGGCTGAAGACGACGATGCAGCTGTTGACAGTAATGCTAAAATGAGCGAGGCAGTTCGGCGCGAGAGGTTGGACCGTGCGGTGCAGGACGTGCTTCCAGCCCGCACACGCCGCCCCGGGCAGATCGATATGTTTATGGTGTTGCGTCCAATTCGTCACGAGACCGACGCGCGGCGGCGGCGCGTCGTCCGGGACTACGAGAGGAGGCGCCGTATCGTTCACTATTTTCCGAATGCCGGCCGGCGAGAATGACGGCGGGTCAACCTCCAACACTACTTGGTAATTGCCGCTCGCCGTGCCCTCGACGCCGGCGGCCTTAGGTTCGGCTGGCCGTCTACGGTCTTGAGGCGGCCGGCGAGCCACGGGTTCGCGCGGAGCATGTCGCCGGCGCGCTTCGTGAGGAATTCTACTGGCGGGTTCGTGCCTTCAAACATGTCGGCGACGCCGACGGCGGCCTCGCCGAGGTTGAACGTCTCTGTTGTCATGAGCTCTACGGAGAATGTCGAGGGTGGTGCCGACGGCGGCGGCGTCGAGGGAGTCGGCGGCGGCGTAGAGGGCGGTGTCGTGGACGGCGTCGTGTTCTCAGACATGATGGCTGGCTGTGGATGGCTTAAGTTGGTGGCTGCTGTGTGCTGTATTGGTGAAATCGCTCTCGTCTGCGCGAGCGCGGTAGTTATTATTATTCGTTGGGGTAGTTGTCGATGGGCTTTGTCCTTCGACGCGTAAATCTGATGTTTTGATGTGAGCGATGGCTAGATGGCTCGAGAAGCTTGTGAAAAGCGGCTGCTTTGCGGGCTCCTAGAGCAGTCTCCTAGAGACCTCGGGCATCGCCGCAAAAAGAACGGAGACCTGGTCTTAAATGCAATTAATATGTAAGAGAAGCGTAAGCGGGCGGGAATAGAAAGCGAAGACTCCTCACCTCCGCCGCGGCACGACGGCGGCCGCGTGCGCCACGAGCGACTAATCACCCGCGCTTCGCCTTCGGCTCGGCCGCCGCGACGACCGCCGCGGCGTACGCGACGAGCAACCCGCCACCTACCAAAACGACCTGCGACAAGCCACCAAGCCCGTGCAGCGCCTCGGCCATGCTCCCGCCGATCATGCCCGCGGGCGGCGCCTCGTGCCAGCCGAGGCCGATCGCGTTGCCCGAGAACAAGCACGCCGAGCCGATCACCTTCAGGGCCTGGCCCTGGCGCGACTGGATCGGGGCCGCGTGCATCGCCACCAACACAAGCGAATTGGCCACGAGGAAGCACACGGAAGCCACCTGCGCCAGGGCACCCCTGCCCGTCGCCCCTACAACCACAAGAGTCGCGCAGCCGCAGCAGCCCGTGGCGATGGCAATTCTAAGGACCAGCCGCGTCTGCCGCGTGCAGCCCGCGGCCAGGTCGGCGAACGTGACGCCCAGGCTCAGGCCCGCGAGCGCGGCTACGGTAATCGGCACCTTGACCCCTATGCAGCCGCCGGCGAAGAGCGCGAAGAGGCAGGTGACGCCGGCGAGGTAGCACTTGTCCCCGCGCGCGAGCGCCGGCTTCTTGAACGAGAGGCTGCAGTGGCCCGCGAAGAGGCTCGCGGCGCCCAACGCCTTGAGCACGGCCGGGAGCGGCGCGCCGCCCGCGTAGGCCTCGTTCAGGAGCTTCAATAAGCCTAAAAAGCAGGGCGCCGCCAGGCTCGCGGCCGTCAGGACGCCGGGCAGGAGGACGGCTGCATTCATGCTTGCCATCGCTGCGATAGCGTGATTTGTGACAGGTGCTGGGAGTGCGGCTATGAAACTGCAGCTTCTTTGCAACTTGTGCTATTAATGCGGCAAGACAAGCAGGTTTGCACGAAACGCGAGTCGAGCTAGCGGCAGGTAAGACATACTAGCAAGCAAACTCGGAACGCGTATGCAGCCGTTTGAGTACCGTTCCGTTCGCTACTAGTCCAAAGAGATCAATGGGACACTTCCTGGGGGGCCGAAAAAATAATTTTTTTAATTCGCGATATTGACGGTCCCACCATGGCGGGCCGCGTCGGTGGAATCCTGTCGATTCGTGGTCCTGAGGTCTCCCCGAGGTCGTCTAGGATCATACTCGACGTGGGCAATCGCCTACGCCGCATGCGCGGGCGCTTCCCGCTTCAGATACATCTGCCAAGATGCATCTCAAGCCAGATGTCTCCAACACAAAATGCCAAGGTTTTGGATCCAGAGCTCTCTGGGGAGCTCCAAGTACGGGCGCATGCGGCGTAGGCGACTACCCGACCCCAGACCTATCCCAGAGGGAGCCCGAGAGCCGATCTACATGCGAAAAAAGTAAACAATTTGGGCCCGATGGCGCCCCGTTCCCGGTGAAAACGTCAATTACCCGAGGGCCCCCAGGAACTGTAATAGCGGTCTCGTCGGACCCTATACTACCCCACCGATAGTCAATTACAAGTATAGGACATCTACATCATAAGAAGGGTACTTTTGGCTGCCCACGCACGGGACGTGAACATCTGCATCTGGACCTCGCGGAAGTCGGTCGATCATGGAACAAATGATTGCGTCATGGTCCATGCTGATGGTACACGGGCTGATGGTCGCAGGCCCATGTTTTATGCCCATTTGTAGAAGATGCTGGGCTCGCGAGACCGAGCAACCGCGGGTGGTAAACTGGACCTTTCATCCAATGTAGCTGTCACTCAGGCCGGTTATCTGGCCTTTCCTACAACTAAGGCGCCTGAAACGCAAATTTATTGTACAAACCACCGGTCTGGGGCCTTTCTGGTGTTCCGTCAACGCACCGTCGTTCGCGGAGAACGGGCAAGTCGGTCGATTGTGAATAGAACAACGGGATTATGGTCCACCTGGATAGTGGCGTCGCTGATACTCGCAGGTTTAGGTTCTGATGTCGTTTTCGCAAAAACTTGGGGGCGCCGAGTCGCAGTTTCGCGAGGCTTTGACGGGTCATCTAAAATAGCTCAGTAGCCGCTGATTCGGCCTAAATGGACTCTACCACTAACAAACGGATGGAAACGAACATAAACTCGGGAGTTGTCTAGTAGAATTCTTTTCCCGCCCTCCGAGCGCGGGCCGTCGGCTCCGGTTCCGTCGGATATGTATGAAAACTGGGCTGGAGTTGATATAATGTCCCATTTGGACGGTAGATGGCGGCGTCAATCGCTGGTGTACTTTGGCAAGCCGTAAGCCTTATACGTGAATGTCGCGGGCGGTGCCTTCCGGGAGGCGCGAGGGTATGTTCCCGGGCCGCTACTCTGAAATCTTTGGTCGCGGCGAACGACTAGGATGTGTTCTGAATTTTGGTCATTCTTTTGACACTATCGAGGCGTATCTTTCAATTTGCTAGTGTGTCGATTACGCTAGCTCCGTTACTCGCGCCTTGCATCTTTCGCAGCCGGCAAACGCCTTCGAAGACAGACAGGAGTACGTAGAAGGCAGAATGGAGTACATGGAAATATATTCCGGGCGCTCGCACTCAGCCACGGTGGGAATCTTGGAGTCACTCGACGCCATCGACGCGAAGATATATATCATATACTTACCGGGCCGGGAACGCGCGCGAGGGATTTTTATATAAACTACAGAACAGGGGGTCGATCACTCGGACGCCATCTTCGCCTCGAATTGCCCCGCGAGCGACCGCGCCGCGCGCAGCCAGAGGAAGATGACGCCGAAGAGGATCGTGGCCAGGTACGGCGTGCACGCCGCGAGCGACCCGAGCGACAAAATGAGCATCTGCTGCACGAGCGCGCCGCCGCTCTTCCCGAGCGGGTTCCCAATCACGTCGACCGCGGCCTTGCCCTTGGTTTTTTGTTCGGCATCTAACGGTATGTAGGCCATCTCCTTGCACGGGTCGAACAACGCGTACTTTGTGGATTTCGACGCGATGTTTTGGGCTGCTCCTACTAGTACCGCGAGCATCAGCGGCGTCGTACCGAGCGCCCCACAGAGCGGCGCCCAGACGCCCGGCTTTAGTACGAGTGAGAAGAACACGCAACCGGTAGCTAACAACGTGACAGGCGTCACGGCCGCGGCGACGCCCCACCCAAACTTCTTCAGTATTCTTTGCCCCGCCAACATCATGAACAACGTCACGCCGCCCGTAGTAGAAGAAAAAGCCCCCATAAATGCCGAATAGGCCGCGGGGTCCGGGAAGCGCCTCTTGAGATTCGCCTTCCACGTCACCTCGACGATGTTGATGGCCATGCCGTAGCCGATCACTAACGTAGCCAGATCCCGGATGTACTTCGACTGCGCTAGGTATTTAGCAGAATCCCTCATGGACATCTTCGTTTTGGTCTTCGACTTTTTTAGAGTACTGGGATCGACACACCTCGGGTCAGTAACTACTTGCCGCTGCATGTACTCATAAGCTCCTAAGAGCACACCACCACTTGCGACAACACCGCCCATCAATAGCTTGAGAGATAGGCCCCACGCCGCGGCTGGGTCGGCCGCCCCAGCTCTCAACTTGGACACGATCCTCACAAACTGCCCACTAAACACCAACGCGACGTTCGCGAACAGACCGAAGAGGGGGTAGTACTTTTTCGCTTCGTTGACACTGACGACGGAATTCGCAAAGCCCCAGAACAACAGCGAAGCGACCACGGACCCCCAGAGCTCCGCCGCCAGGTAGAAGAGCGAGAAGGTCCAGTTTCTTATCACGGCTATCGGTGCCTGGAAGGAGCCTGGTAGGATCTTTTGAGCCGCGTCAGCTAGGCCGTGCGGATGTAATGAGCCAATGTTCGGGTACAAAAGCCAAGCAAACGCTGCGAAGAACCCTAAAAACGTCGACACGACGCCCCGAAACACCTGGGGCTGGCTGAAGCGGTTCGATAACGAGCCGTAGAGTACGGTAAACGCAATGGCCCCCGGTAAATTCACATACGTCTTGAGAAACGGGATGATCTCGGCTCCTGATTTGGGGGCTGTGACTACTAACACATCTTTCGTATCTCTCAGGATCGTGTAGTTAAATAAAATACAAAAGAAGATGAGCGCGAGCGGGACGACCTTCTTCGTCTCTGGGCTTGCCAAGATGGCCTTGAGGCCGCGCTGTTGCGGCTCGGGCTCGACCGCGGCGGCGGCCGCGTCGGTAGCGTAGAGCGTGCTGTGCGACGTGCGCAGCGCGTACGGAATTGCAGGGCCCCTTGGGTTCATCATCGCCCGTGCGCGCCCTGCAACGCGCAGCTGCGGGCGCGGGACGCGGAGCGCCTGGGCATGGCCACTGAGGATGAGCACGGCTGCGAAATGCCGTGCCATCTTTATTTATTTGGCCGTAAAGAGGCCGGTTTCACTCGAAGTGCGTCTTCTTATTTTGTTTTGAGGAGTAGACCCCGCACCGTTTTAAGTGGCGCTTTGGAGGGTTGATACTGGGCCTTCGAGCCGTCCTGGGACGGCTCAGACGAGACCCAGCCGATTTGCCAATGTCATAGTGAGCTTTTGCATCTCAGGCACTGCGAGGTGCTTGTACTCCTGCGCAAGTGGCAAAATGCGTGCACTCCGACGAGTGTTGCTCGGAGCGCTGCTAAAATGTGCGACTGCTGATGTTCGGCGGCGAAACCAATCGCCGCTCAGCCTGCCAAAGCGCAGCCATGCACTGCAGCTGCGAGGCGGCACCAGCGCCGCCGCACCAACCACTTCGACGGCACCCGCCACGACACCTACATCAGTCAAGAAGAAGCACGCCTACATCACGCCTCGGGAACTGACGCAGATCATGGTCGCGGACCTCGCGCCGCACGGCATGCTCCCCTTGGCGTGGGCGGCGACGCGCGGCGCGGGCACGGGCGTCGTGCCCGCCGTGTTGCTCTTGGCGGTCTTCGCGTCGTCTTCTGCGTATACGTTGTATTTGGCGGCGCAGCTCGCCGAGGCCGGCCGGGAGGCGCGGCGGGCCGCGCCGGCTCTCTCGGAGCTGTGGCGCGGGGCAAAATTACCCTTGCCAAAGGCCGTGGACGCCATGGTCGCGTTGCTCTGTGGCGGGTGTTGCGTCTTCTACGCCGCGTTCGCCGCGGACCTGTTCTACGCTTTGGCGAAGCGCCTAGGTCTAGGCACGTCCAGAGAAATGGTTTTAGGTGTATTGACGTGCATACCACTAGCGCCACTTTGCCTAGGAGACGACCTGAGCGTGCTCAAGTACTCGTCGCTCGCCGGGTTGCTGGGAATTGCCTATACGGCGTCATTTATTGGTAAAAACGGCGTCACAACAGACGTCGCGCCCATCCCAGCCACACAAACGTGCTCCGGGACGCTCGTCCTGGCCAACACGTTGGTGGTGGCCTTCCTCTGCCACTACAACGCGGTCCAGTACTACCGCGAGCTTTCGCCAAGAAGGCGGACGCCCGACAAGTTTAGGAGGGCGGTCCGGGGCGGCGTCCGTTTTTTTTGACCTTCGCTCTGCTCGACGGCGTGCGCGTCGCCCCCTACGCCGTCGACGCGACGTCTACGCACACAGGTCGTCCGGGGCGCCGCGCTCACGGCCCTCGTCTTCGCCGCGACGCTCTTCGGCGGCGCGCGGGCGTTTGGATCAAACGCGCTGCCGAACGTGCTGAACAACTACGACGCCGACTCGCTCGGCGCGACGGTCGCGCGGCTGGGCACGGGCGTGGCCATCCTGAGCGGCTTCCCGCTCATGTTTGCCGGGTTGAAGGCCGCGCTCGACGGCTGCTTCAAGCTCCGGGGCCCCGCGCGGCCGGCGACGCACGGCGCGCTGCTCGCGGCGATCGCGTCCGTCGCGGCGACGTCGTCCGAGGACGACATCGGCCTCATCATCGAGCTGCTGGGGTCGACGCTCGGCGTCGCGGCGGCGTACGTCGTGCCCGGGCTCTGCGCCGCGCGGTCGAGTGCTCTCGAGAAGAAGCACCGGCGCTCGGGCGCTTTGATCGCGGTGGGCGGGATGGGGCTCTGCGTCGGCGGGACGTACCTCACGCTGAAGACCCACGCCTAGCTGAGGGGGGCTCGTAAAACTAAATCGTAGTATCAGCCCGTGCGTCGCGCGTCGCGGTGCCCAGACCTGCGCCGTGTCGATGGCGTAGAGGTCCAAGCGACCAAGCGCACCGAGGTCGCGTCAATGACGGGGTCAAACGAGGCCTGTACACCTGATGCTTTGCCCCAGCTTTAGCAAATTAAGTGGGATGGCACTAGGCTTTTAGGCTTATTTTTGGTGAAGGCAAGGCAGCGATCGCCTTTGCGCCCGGCTTTGTGAGGCTGCTTGGGCATCATGGTTCGTTTCAGTGCTTGATTTGACATTTCAGGACCACCACCTACACACGAGCCGAGCGATTTTGGCTGGCGCGCGCTGTCGCCAGCGATTGGGCCGCCAAAAGAGCTGCTTGCAAACGCCCCTCAAAAGGCCGCCGCGAGCGACCGCAGCACTCCCACGCCGCCCAAGTGCTTTGCCTAAGCACGCACGCTCACTCGCGCGCCCGCAAACACCTCGCGCCGCCCCAATCCCTCTCCCGCTACCGTCTCGTCTCACCCTCGAACCCCTCGCGCAGACGAAAGGTACCTCGTCGTTCGGAAAGCGGCACTCGAAGACGCACACGACCTGCCGGCGATGCGGCAAGGTCTCCTTCCACCTTCAGAAGAAGGTGTGCGCCTCGTGCGGCTACCCGGGCGCCAAGATGCGCCGGTTTAACTGGTCCGAGAAAGCGCTGCGGAGGCGCACGAACGGCACGGGCCGCATGCGCCACATGAGACACATGCCGCGCCGCTTCAAGAACGGCTTCCGCGAGGGTACGCAGGCGAAGGCGGCGAAGAGCGTCGCCGCGTCGGCATAAATATTCTCTCGTGTAATGGTTCGTTATCTAATCCCTACTACGCGGCACGCCATCGCCGCGACCTATCATATATACGACCTAATTTACACGAGCTACTGCTTCGCCGCCGCGTACCGCTCAGAAACATCGCTCCAATTGGCGATGTCCCAGATGGCGCTCACGTAGTCGGGCCGCACGTTCTTGTAGTCGAGGTAGTAGGCGTGCTCCCAGACGTCGATGCCAAAGAGGGGGATGAGGCCTGTGGTGGCTTCGAGGGGGTCCTGGTTGGCACAAGTGGCCAGCTGCAAGGCGTCGGTCGCCTTGTTGTAGCCGAGCCAGCCCCAGCCACTCCCTTGCACGGCGACGGTCATCTGAGACAGTTTCGTTTTCATCGCGTCGAAGCTGCCGAAGTCGGCATCAATAGCTGCAGATAGGGCACCGGTCGGCGGCGCGCCGCCTCCTTCACTGGGAGGAGCAAGGTTCTGCCAGAAGATGCTATGATTTAAGTGGCCGCCTCCATTGAATTTGATCGCGGCTTGCGCGGCGACGATGCCCGTGACGTCGTCGTCGGCGACGGCTGTGGCGAGCTTCTCCGTGGCGGCGTTGAAGTTTGTGACATACGTGTTGTGGTGCTTCGAGTGGTGGAGCTCCATGATCGTGCCGCTGATGACGGGCTCGAGCGCCGAGTACTCGTAGCCCAACGCGGGCAGCGTCGCTTTCGTGCGCGCATGCGCTTGGAGGGCGCGCGTGGTCCTGTGCGTTTCATGCGTTGGCGCGCGCGCTTCTCTCGACGACGACGACGGCGTGCGCGAGCGCTGCTCTCAGTGGCTGCCACAGCCAGATCGTCTGCAGCGGCTCGGCGACGCAGCATTTATGGCATGCGGCCGGCGGGCGACGGCGGGGGAGGCGTGGCGACGCGTAACGTACCGCCGTAGGCCGATCATGGTGGATTTTTTGGGCTTGGAAGCTGGCTCTCTGGCTGCTTGCTAGTGTCTTAATGCGCTAGCCCACAGCCAAGGAATCCGCGATAGGAGCACTGACCGGGCAGCACGCGTCGCCCAGCGGTAGGCCGGAGTAATTTTACAATAAGGTTACACTTCGAAGGGGCGCAAGGAAGAAAATTGCACGCCGCACGTGGATTGCGAGGCGGACGGCAAGCCGGCGAAGAACAGGAGGCGGACTCGACCCATCATGACCGGGCTCTCCGAAATTGGGATAGCAGACCACACCCCCTAGTCCTTTCTGAAGGATGGCTTCCCTAAACAGTTCGACGGTGAAGAGCCTCTTCTCTACCAGTTTTATCATGAATTGCTCAGGGGGCGTCACCACCCCACGATGCTGGCTCTCCATGATCCTTTTGTCTGGCGGTTGGCCGTTCATGAGCGCCTCGCTCGGTATCACCCAGGAGGGGGCGTGGCGGCCTTTGACGAAAACGTAGACGTCGTGTGGGACGAGAGGTGGTCCGCCGACGTGGAAGCAGATGCGCGTCACATCTTCCCACGCGACGTCCGCCGTCCAGGGATTCTCCTTATTATAGTTGGGCCGCACGTCCATGGTGAAGCCTCGGTCGTCGTAGTCGATTCGATACCACTCATGCATGGTCTCCACGTCACCGTCCCACGATGGCAGGCTGTCCGCGTTCTTGGCCCAGGCGGTGTACTCGCTCGCATCAGCCTTGCCGCTCATTTGGACGGCCGCGCGCCGAAGCATCACGCCGCGGCGATGCCTCGCGACGACGCCGGCGACGCGAGCGGCCTTGACCGTTATCATGTTGCGCTACTCATTTGTGCGTGCCCTTTGATGCGTGCCGCGCGGACGAGGCGCGTGCACCTCGCTTGAGGCTGGTCTGCTGCCCCAATGGCACCAGCAGCCCCTCGAGGCTGCAGATGGTGCACCAAATGTAGGCTGCCGTGCGCCTGGAGCATGCGCACGTCGCGTGCGCGCACGGTCACGGTGACGCTTGCCTTTTATCCCGAATGTGTTCTTTTCTTGGATTCGATGCCAGCGGCGACCAATTGCCTGAGGCTTGCGCGGAGGGAGTTATTGGTGCGGACGAAGTTTACCGTGGCAGGATCACTCTAGATTCGCGAGGGCGTACCCTCATTGAGCGCGAGCGAGGTGGAGCCGGTGCCTCGGCTCGGTGCATGCTTTGAGGCTCTGCACGCGACGCACAAGACGCGCTGGGATTATCGCCCACGCGCGGACAGCACAGCGAGCCGTAGGCAAGGCTGTGCGCACGTCTCGGCCCTGCAAGACCGCGGTTCTGCATTTTCATCCACCTCCCTCAAAAAGAGCCACATCCGGCTGAGCGCCGCTAGCCAGCGCGGCGCGTAGAAAGTCCCGCCGGCGAGGCGAGGCACCCCCAGGAAGCGCCGCGGAGCAGCGGCGAGCCGGTCCCCCGTCGCGCGGTCTCAAACCGCGCGCGCGGCCGACCACACCCCTAACAATCGTGAAGCGCCCCAGCGGCGGCGGGGGGTCGCCGTCGAAGATGAAGCTGCGGGAGATGAACGACTGGAAGATCTCCAACGACACGCTCAAGCTGGGCGTCGAGTTGGGGCGAGGTAGCTTTGGGATCGTTATGGCGGCCGAGTGGAGACATACACCTGTAGCATTGAAAATTCTATTCGCGGACGCCCAAGCCGACGATAAAGTACTATTTGAGAAGGAGGTGCGCATGATGGCTACTTTACATCATCCCAATATAGTACAATTTCTCGGGTATGCGAGGACGCCAGCTTTGACTTTGGTGATTGAGTTGTTCCCGGAGGGCTCTGTCGAAAGGTTCGTCCCGAGAGAGAAGCCGGGCCAGAAGACATCCCTGAGATTCTGCATCGACATGGCTTTAGCGATAGAGTACCTGCATAGCAGGCAGCCGTCGATCGTGATCCATAGGTGCTGACTCAGCGTCTGTTTCCGGATCGATGGCGTTGTCACGAGGCCGCGTCGCCTCGACGTCGTCGACGCGGCCGCATGAGAGTCTACGCCCGCGGCAATTTCGCGACGGCGTCGTTCCGCGCAGGGACATAAAACCCGCGAACTTCCTCCTGACGGCGTCGCTACGCGTGAAGCTCGGCGACTTCGGCATCGCGCGCACGCGCAAAGGCAAAGGCGTGGATCGGACGCGGTCGTGCGAGAGCCTGGCCACGATGCTAGATTCGAGCATGCACGGCGTGTCGTCGCTGGGCTCCATGGAGGACCACGCCCAGGCCGACGCCGAGCTTAGGGTGTCCGGTGACGACCTCACGTCGAACTGCGGGACCGTGCGCTTCATGGCTCCGGAAGTCGCGGCCGTCGACGGCGCGCGCACGCAAGCCTACGACTCCAAGGCGGACATCTTCTCGCTAGCCATGGTCTACTACTTCGTCTGGGAGCGCGCGCTACCCGGCATCCCCGAGTGCAACAAGCCTCCTTTGCATCTGGCGGCTTTGAGGCAAGGGCGGCGGCCGTCGTACGGCCGGACGCCAAAGCCCATAAGAGAGCTCGTCAACCACATGTGGCGCCTGGAACCACAGGATCGCCCGTCGGCGGCCGACGTCCTCGACTACCTCTACAACGTCAAGCACAAGCCGACCTTCGGTGGTGGTGTTTTGAAGGTGACGCCGCCCGCCACCGGTGGTTTGTTCGCCGCGGTGCCGCCGGCGCCGGGCCACTGACGTTCAATTCCCCTCCCTACACAAAAACCTTGTGTTGTACTCGTCATCTAAACCAGAAACATCGATTGAGTCTCTTCTTCTACTAGAAGTATGTACAGCGGTGACTGAGCGGTCCGAGTCGCGGCGATGGCGTACAGCGCCCGCGGGAGCCATCGCCGACACCGCCGATGCGGGGACCATAGGATTTCACTAAGTGTAAGTTACCCGCGCTGGACCCCGCCCCCAAGCTTATAAGTCGTCGCCTTCGTGACGGCCTTCTCCGGCTTTGCCTCGAAGTCGAAGCTAATAGAGTCGCCCGCACCGATGGAGAGGGGCTCGTCACTCATCAACTGCAGGACCGTCTGCCAGTGCGACTTCTGGGCCTCGCCGTTTTTTCCCCTCGACACAATGAGCGTCCCCTCGCTCCCGTCGCAGACGAGCGTCGGCCACATGGCCAGGCCGCTCAGCTTCGCTCCTATAACAGAAGCCGTCGCCGCGGCGTCCATTTTTTTACCTTGTTCATCTAACAACAGCGACTGGAGCTGCCTTTCCTCCGCGAAGGCGCGCTCGAAGCCCTTCTGGGCGTTTGCTATCGATGCAGTGGTCACGGGGAAGGTCAGCGATGTCTTCACGGAAGCCGGTAGGGATGGGAGCGGCTTGCTGAAGTCCACATCCTCCAGCAGCTGCGGCTCGGCGAGCACTTGTAAAGCTTCATCTCTACAATTGAACCGAATAGGGTCCTTGCCCACGATCTTGGACCAGTCGTAGGACGGCGGCGTCAGCAAATTGTGCAGCGCGTACGAGACGGGAGCGGCGTAGGTCTGGCACCTTCGCGGGATGTACGTGGCCGGGTCGTCCGGGCGCTTGACGTGCCTCTCCCTAGCGTCCTTCATCGTCGCGTACAAACCCTCCTCGGACGCGAGACTCCCACAGATCTCGAAGACGCAGAGGTCGACTTTTTCGGGAAGCGTGAGCTCGGTCGAGAAGCCCTCGATCACTTCAATTGCACCAGGCTTCAGAGGGACCAAACCATCAACATCTCGACGGGAAGCATTGGGGTCCTCGCACTTCGCAATAAAAGCCTTGGCCCGCCGCGCTGCCTCGGGATTTGCCTCCACAGCATACACTTTTTTGGCCCCTGCCGTTGCTGCTATGAGCGCGAGCACGCAGAAGGGCCCCGTGCCCAGATCCAATACGACGGCGTCTTGCAGTTCCGCGAGGCGGCTGCGAATCGCCTTGGCGAACTTCGGCGTCCTTCTAGGATCATCCCTCATAGCCCGATAGGCCTTCTCGTCGAACTCGATGAAGTTGATCTGCGACGGGAAGTCGCTGTCGAAACCGTCCGTGGCCGACCAGCTCACGGTCTTCAAAGCTGCTGCTGCTGCCGCGGCGGCGCTCGCGGGCGGCAGCGGGATCAAGGTGGTGGTCGTCGCCGCGGCGAAGCCTTGCAGTGTTGCGCGGCGGTCCAGGGGCTGCAGCGCGCTGGCGACCGTTAGCAGCACTGCTGCTGCTGCGAGGTGCCTCATGTTTGCTACCAGACTGCAGTGTTGTGTTTTGCAGTACCAGTGCTACCACGAGTCGATCTACGTGCAAACGCAGCTCGGCGTTGCAGCGTGCACAACTATCTGCAGGGCAAAATGAGCACTACTTGCACCGCTCTGACTCAAGCAGCCGATGCAGACTCGAGCGCGCTCTAGCGTTCACAGACACACTAGTCGCGAAGTTGAACCCCAACCCTAAAAAACAGTCGCTGCTGCGCGGATTCAACGGCTGCCGTGTCTCGATTGAGCCTTCTTACTCAATAGAATGGAAGGAGGTGGAAAGGAGACGGGACGGGGAAAGGTAAGATGTCTTGTGATCACTCGCACGTGCCGCACGCCTTGCCGCACGCGCGGAACGCGTAGGCCTCGACGGGACCGGGCTTGTTCGGGTCCTCGTCGTCCTCGGACTCCTCGAACTCCTCCATGAGGATGCCGGACTCCGTGCAGCGCTCCCGCTTCTCCGCGACCCAGTCGCAGTTCAGGCGCTTCACGCCCTCGAAGGACCAGTTAGAAGTACTCTTGCAGACGGCGTCGGAGCCGGGGCACCTGTGTGGAAATCAATCAGTGTGTCGGGTGCACCACTGCACCGCGCCGTAAAATTTGATTTTCACACAGCGAGGTACGTCGAACACGAACGGCGACACGCCTCGTAGCCGTACTTGCCGTTCGTCCCGCGCGCCGCGCACGCCTTCTCGCGCGACGTCAGCACGAAGCCGTCGCCCTCGGCCGTCGAGCCCGTCTCGTAGGTCGTAGACATCTTGGCGATGGCCGCGCATGTCCCGGCGTCCGACTTCCACGAGGCGTCGTCCGCGCACGAGTCCGTGACCATGCGGCAGACCTGTGTGGAAATCAAAATTTTACGGCGCGTTCGTCCTGAATCGTCGCTTCGTCCTCCAGCGCTTTGCTCTCGCATCGGCTGCAAGAAGCCGCGAGGTGCGTTCCCAACCCTACGCGGGGCGTCCCGACGGACAACACAAGCTCGAGAGCGCTCCCCGTACGGATAAGCACGGCCGCAGGCGCGAACTCGGGACCGCGAACGGCGCGGGACGACGCGGGACGACAAGAACAACCGTTACACAATCACCACCCCAACGGCGCGGAATAACAAGAACAACCGTTACACAAGAAGCAAAATCACCACTCCACGACCTCCTTGACGACCATGTCCGGGTGCAGCGGCCGCTGTTGCAAATTGACGGCCTCCTCCGTCGTGGCGACGATGGACGACACGCGCGCGAGGTCGTTCCGCGTCGCCTCGCTGACCTTGTCGGCGGCGTCGGGCGGCCACTGGACGTCCCAGGGGTACGAGGAATGCACTTTCTCGAGGGGCGCGAGGGCTTGCACCGGCGGCGCCTCGGCGAAGCGCCGAGCTTCCCGCTCCGGTGGTAAATCAGAGGCCTGGTTGAAGCGTCTTTCTAAACGCGCCCTCCTTTTCCGCCGCGCGCCGACCGCCAACAAGACGTTGCCGCCGCCGGCATCGTCGAGGAAATCGTCCGACGTCAAGGTGTTCGCCTCGCCCAGTCTAGCTTTGGCCCGGCCCAGCCGCCCGTACGCTTTGAGTGCTTTGAGCTCGTCCCGCACGTGATCGACGCGCGTCGCCATGTGTCGCTCCTTGGCCGTCCTCGTCCTCTGCTCCGTCAGGAGCACACTCAGTGTACATCCCTTCTCGATCTCCTTCTCATTCAGGCCCGAGCCCGCGACCGCGCGCGCGGCGGCCGTGCGCCGCCTTTCGGTCCGCGTGCCGAAGATGGACGCCATGTTCGCGGTCTTCCCCGAGACGCGCGTTAGATTCTTCTGGGCCTGCGTTGGGACGCGGTAACGGTGGCGGTGGCACATCAGGACGCGGGCCAAAGGACCTCGGCCATGAGCGACGAGCGCTCGGCCTCCTTGGTCGCCTTGGCTTCCTCGAGGGCCCGCTGGCGCGCGCGGTGGCGGTCGTCGGCCCGCTTCGCCAACAGCCGCTCGCGCTGGCGATTCAAAGCTTCCTGGCGCGCCTGCTCCTCGGGCGTGCTCTTGTCGCGCACCTCGAGGAAGCCCGCGTCGCGCGCCGTCGCCTCCCGCAGCAAATACTTGTCGAGCGGCACGGCCAGCGGTAGTAGGGCCGACGCGCCGCGATTTGCCGGCAGGCCCTTGCCGCGCGTGTAGTCGCCCGACGCGCGTCTTTTGTCAAGCTGCGGCGGCGCCGCGGCGTGCGCGCGCGCCAGGGCCGTCGTCCCCTCGTCGAACCGGGCAGACATGGCCGCGCGCTCGTCCCTTTCTCGTTTGGTATAAGGACCGCAGCACAGCGTCCTCCTAACAGGATCGTAGGCCCAGAACGGCGTGCCGAAGGCCCGGACCTTCTGCGACGTCGCGAGCTGGCGATGACACACATCTAACGCCGCGTCCTCGGCGACGCGCTGCGCCGACGCCGACTCCCTCAAATCCCGCGGCACGGCCCGCAGCTTCTTGTCCACTTCTTCCACTCTCTTGAGCCACGTGTCCCAGGTGCCGAAGAACTCGTCGTCGCGCTGCTCTTTTTGGAGCGACGGCCAGCTCTTCAGGATGCGCAGGATTTCTTTGCGTTCCGGGTTGACGCGGCGCCACTTCGCTCGTTCCGGCCCCAGCAACGCGGCGTTGACCCGGTCCGCGCTTACTTGATCTTGCGCGACCGTCAGGGGACTCACCCTATTAATATCCGGTAAGCTTTCGTCAGCACCGTACTGCAACAACGCGCAGACGGCCTGGACGGGCCCCCTTTTGACCGCTTCCATCAACACACATTTCCGGTTTTCGGGCGACAACGTGTTCGCGTCGGCACCCGACGCCAGGAGCATCACGAGCATGTCCACGGTCCGCCGCTCATCGGCCAAAGCGCTAAGCCTCCTACCCTCGTCGCGCTGCGTCATCCTATCGGCGGCGTGCGTCGGGCCCCAGAACTGCCACGACGACTGGATGGGCCCGAAGCCGCCCGCGTTTTTTTTGTTCGGGTCGGCGCCGAACTCCAAGAGGAGCTCGACCATGGCCGCGTCGCCGCGCCTTACAGCTAACTCGAGGGCGACGGTCTGAATCGCGGGCTCCAACGGGTCCCATTGATCGGGCCGCGTGAAGCCCGCCAAGAACAGGATCCGCAGCCGCTCGCTATCGCCCGCCCTCACGGCATCCCACCAGTCATGCAACTCCTTGCGGTCCTTGAGAAACTCCTGCGTTTTACATGAGACGTTCCAGGCGATCTCGCCCTCCGTCGTTCCGGCCAGCTCCCCGTCGTCGTCGAACTCGCCGTCTCCTGCTGGTGGTTTGGGCGGCTCGATCACGGCCTCCTCGATGTATTTAGCTATCCGCGACCGCCCCTGCTCGGCGTCAAAGGCTTCTACCTCTCTATCGATCTCCTCCAACGTGGCCCCGACGCGATCTAACGTACTACCGACGCGCTTCTGGATCAGCGCCTTCAATGCAAAAGTCTCGTGCCGCACCTTCTCCTGCACGCTCTCGCCCTTCCTCGCTTGGATACCATTTACTCGGTCCCTTATTCCATCAATACGCCCTTTATACTGAGCTTCTCTCAGCTCGTCCCTGGAGACAGCGCTTCCAGGAACAGGGAAGTCCGACGCGATGGCGTGCTTGTGGTACCGGCCCAGGAAGTCGACCAAACCCCACTGGAGCGTTTTATCATCATCCTCGGGCACGGCCGCCATGCGCTGGGAGGGCGGGGCGCGGGCCATGGCGGTGTGCTTGGTTGCCGGGGCTGCCGCGGCGCACGCGTCGGAGGGTGCTGCGCGCGCGAGACACCTCGCTTGGTACTGCACAGTGCTACCTCGAGAGACGCTACCCCTCTCGGCACAAGCTCGTAGCACCAGGAGGCTGGGGCGCTGGGGCACAGAGCCAGTGATTCTACGCGAGCACTGAGGAGTCTCCGTACGGCGTGCCGAGCTGTGGCTGTGGCACCCGGGGAGAAGTCCGGCTTGCTAGTGTCTTACGCCGCTAGCTATCGAGCAGAGGCTCGCGTCAAATCGGCGCAGCCTTCCCAGACGTGTGCTTGTTGGCCGCATCGCTGCACACCACGCAGTGCGCATCGCTGCGGCGACTCCACGCGCGCGTCCCAGCGAGCGGCCTGCGCTTTGCGAGGGATGGCGTCTGGGTTCGGGGCATTCGGCGGAGAAGGCCGCTGCTACAAGTTCTTCCAGACCTTCAAGGAGTGCATGAAGAACACCGACGACAAATTTACCTGTGTGCCCGCACGCCGCCGCGTCCTCGCCCTTCGCGGTCCTTCGCGCCGACTCTCGCCGCCCTCGACGCCATCGCCGCGCGCAGGCCCAGGAGGATTACTACGAGTGCCTGCACCACAAGAAGGAGTTCACGCGACGGAACGAGGTCGAGGCGCACCGCGCCGCCGCGGGCAAGGGAGGCGGGCACGGATGATGCCCCGAGCGCGGCTTGCTTATTAAAAATAGATGTACTTTAGTCGTCCGATTTCTGTTTTCATATATACGAAGGTCGAGGCGGGCGGGCGCGCGTGCGATGTGTGGAAGGACTCGCATCGCTAGTGCATCGACACACTAGTTGAGATGCCACTGCCACGCTTGCGCTCTCTTTGCAGTGCGTGCGTACGAGCCCGCTGATTGCATACAGCCGTGATCGGTGTTCAGTAGCCGGCTGCATTGATTCGTCGCTGCGAAAAAGCAGAGCGAAGCGCGCACCGCAAAGTTGAGCACCCAAAAGTTGACAGTGACTGCAGTGCCACTGCACCGTCCACGCCGCCGCTTCAATCAATTCCCTCAGCAGCCCGCGCCAGCTCTAGACAGGCCAGCACAATGCGCGTAACACTCGCATTCGCGGCATGCGCGGTCGCGTTCCGCGCGCCGACGCCGCCGCTGCGGCAACGTGTAACACTGCGCGCCGCGGACCTCGACGAGATCCGCAAAATGCGCGCGTCCGCGATCCAGCAGGAGCTGCGCGCGGCGGGCGTGCGTTATGATGATTGCTTCGAGAAGGACGAGCTCGCGAAGCGCCTGCTGGCGTTCCAGAACGGCGAGGACGTGCCGAAGAGCGCGCCGGCGCCGGCGCCCGCGCCGACGCCGCGCCCGGCGCCCGCGCCGAAGACGCGACGGCGGCCGGAGGACGAGGACGTCATCGACGTCTCCTCCTACAAGGCGCCGCCGTCGCAAAAAACGGCGCCGCCTCCAGCAGATTTCGACGCCGAGGCCGAAATGGCCAACGCGTCGAAGATGCGCATCAAGGAGCTCCAGGCGGCGCTGGGGCGGATGGGCGTGTCGACGCGCGGCATGCTCGAGAAGGCGGAGCTCGTCGACGCGTACGTCGGCGCGCTCCGGGACGGCAAGCGGCCCGACGCGGCCGCGGCGGGCGACGACGTCTTCGACGACGACGTGGTCGAGCTCAAGACCTCGAAGATGCCCAAGGCGGGCGGCGGGCCCCAGCAGCCGCCGGCGGGCGGCTCGCCCTTCGGCGGCGGCGCGCCCGGCGGGAGCCCGTTCGGGGGCGGCGCGCCCGGCGGCTCGCCCTTTGGAGGGGGCGGCGGGAACCCGTTCGGCGGCGGCGCGGGCGGCATGCCGAACATCGCCGACATCTTCTCGGGCATGGGCGGCGGCGGCATGGGCGGCAACCCCTTCGGGGGCATGGGCGGCGGCGGTATGGGCGGCGTCCAGGAGCTCTTGCAGAAGGCCATGGGCAACCCCAAGGTCATGGCCGCCGTCCAAAAGGCGGCGGGCAACCCGAAGGTCATGGCCGCGGTCCAGGACGTCATGCAAAATGGACCGGGCGCGATGAAGAAGTACGAGAACGACCGCGAGGTCAAGGCGATCCTCGACGAGTTGAAGGGGATTCTCTGATAAGCTATTTAATGTATACGCAGTCTTTAGCCCGGTCGCGGCGGTCACCATGGAATAATAGTGTGAAAAGAAATCTAGACCCGAGGCGCGAGCGCCTGAAGTGCACCGACGACATCCTAGAGTTACGACGACCCCGCAGCGTCCTTCCACACGTCGCACGCGCGCCGGCCCGCCTCGACCTTCGTGTATTGGATCTGGCCGTCTACTTTTTTTGGTTGTACAAGTACTTCCATGAATGCGTCGCAGGCGCCGTCGACCTGTGCGCAAATCGAGCCGGCGTCGCGTCGATGGCGTGGAGGTCACGAGTGCGCGCGCCACGACATTGATTTATGCGCTGCCGTCGACCGACGCCGCCACGGCCGCGAGCTTCCCGGCGTCGTCGAGCAAGTCCCCGAAGCACCGCCGCGTGACTGCCGCCGCGACCTGTGTAGAATTTAAACTTCAGGCGCCCCCCACGCCATCGACGCGATGTCTTGATTTCCGCACGGACCGTGACCCTACGTAAATACGACGCGATGCAGTCGGGACAGACCAGCTCCCGGTCGACGACGCGCGCTCCCAGCGCGAGCTGCGCGCGCGCCTTCGAGTAGCGCGGGTCGTTGAGGCCCTCGACGACCTTGATCGCGTTCGCGGTATCCACGATGCCTACGTTCTGCAGATGTGCCAGCGCCGGGTAGTACCACTCAACCAAGCGCGCGTTCCAGAGGAGCACGACGGCGCCCGTCGCCCACCTGCGGTCGGTCGCGTCGCCGGCGTCGATCACCCCTAAGGACGCCGCCGCCGCGCAGGTGGTTCAGGTTCCTGCTATAGCTCCCGCTCGTCTCGCCCGGCAGGTTTAACAAGTACTGGTACCGCGCGTAGTCCTCGGGCTCGACCCACGCGTCGTCCAGGACCTTCGCCGGGTTCCGGACCACGCTGGACCGGGCCTGGTCGTGCTCCCATCGCTCCTGGCCGGAGACGCAACTAAAGTCCGACGGCGGCGCGCTCCGCGAGCACTTGACATCAAACAGATCGGGCCGCCGCACGGACAGCGCCGCCCCAAGCATGCGCGCGCGGTTGCCCCGGTCGCGCGAGCACGTCGTCTCGCCCCACTTCTCCTCCTGGGTGAGCGTCTCGTCTTTCCCGGGGTGGTTCGTCGCCAATCGACCCTCGCGGTTCTCGTGGTTCAAACACGAGCCCCTCCAAAACACGCGCGGGTCCGTGCCATTTAACTGGATGGATTTTTGTCTGATATGGTCCTGCTGCCGGGCCCACGCACCGTGGAGGTCGCCCCGCCCGAAGTAGGGGTTCGGCACCAAGATGCCGCACTGCGCGTAGCCGCTCCGCTTCGCTATGACGGTCGTAGGGACTTCATACCCGGTGCCGTTGATGCAGGGCGGCCCCGTCGCCCCGCCGTCGGCCCCTGAAATATGAGCGTAGGCCGTATTTGTCAAACCGCCGTTCCTTATTGTAGATGCCAGCATGATCGCGTGGCCGCGCTTCTTTGAAGAGGCCATAAACTTCTCCGTGGCGAAGAGGCGGCCGTCAACTACAAAAATGGCCGAATCGCGGAGCTCCGCCCCGAACAACTTTCGCGCGACGGCGCGCCCGTCTTCATTGGCCACGAACTCGCCGACGCTCCGCTCCAGTTCGCTTTGGATGTGCTGGTGCCGCGCCCTCCGCGCGCGCACGTGGTTGCCCCCTACGTGCACCATGGAGTGGGCCCTTTTATGAAGCCGCTTCGCCTCGCTCGTGACCTGTGTAGAGGCGCCGCGGGCCACGACCCCCTCGCCTAACTAACGAACGAGCCACTTAAGTACTAAACCGCCCGGAAGCTCGACCCCCCCCTCAAAACGCCGACGTCCTCCAACAAATCCGTCTTCGCCGCGTCCGTCACGGGTTGTAAGTCGGGCACTTTGGCAGCGATGGCATCCAAACATCTAGCGATGTCCGCCGACGCCTGGGCCCGCAAAGTCACGAGGCGCGTGTCCTTCAACGCGTGCTGCTTGCTCGCGACCTCGACGAAGACCTGGGGGCACGCCTCGCGAATCTTGGCGAGGGTCGCGCCCTTCTTGCCGATGACGCGACCGACCATCCTTTCTGGTATTTCTACTCTACATTTTTGGCGGTCGTCCGCGGCGAGGAGTGGCGCCGGCGCGAAGGCCGGGCCAATCTCAAGACCCTGTGTAAGGCGCTTCACGTCAAAGAAGGCCACAGCCACAGTAGCGGCGACGTCGGCCGCGGCGTCGTGCGCCTCACCTACACTTTGTGGCGCGTCGACCTGCTTGAGTAATTGGCGCACGCCCGGCGCGCTGGCGCGAGGCCCCCAGTGCAGGAGCATCGTGTCGATACTGCGCCTTCGTAGGGCCGCGCCGTGAATTCGGAGAACTCGCAAATCGCTGCACAGCTTGTGGCCGACCAAAAAACACGTGTCGTCGAATCGCGACAATATAACCCGCTGCACGTCTTGGACGGATGCCAACGACCCCCGCGCGGCGACGTGGGCCTGCCTAGATAGCCCATGGACGGAATCCTTCCAGTCTATCAATTGCGCTTGATGGTCGTCCCACCAGTGGAGCTCGTCTCCGGGGTTAATTTTATCGTTGAACAACGTTTCTTGCGACGCGCGGACGCCATCTACACTTGATTCCCACCTCGTGCGCGTGACGCAGGCCGACACGGGGAAGCGCTCGCCGTCCCGCCGCCGCTCGCACATCTCCACGTCGAGACAAAGCCACGTCACGGCCTCGCCGCCGGACGGCGGTTTTGAATCTAAACGCGCCCAGCCCTCGGCTTGCTCCATCGCGACGAGGGGGCCGTACAACTCGGACGCCATGAACTTGCCGTGGCGCGCCGTCGCCGCGGCCATCGCTCCCACGTCGGCCGCGAGTCTCGCGAGCGACGTGCCGCGGAGGGGCAGGACGTACGGTTGTTGTGAAGTGGCGGGCGTCGGCGACGACTCGGCCGTCCTGCGGCGCTTCGAGGGCGTGAGGTCGCTGGCGTCCATGGTCGGGTCCGAGTCGGTCATCGTCGGCTGCGTTGCGCGCTGGCGTCCCTCGTCGCAGCGATGCGGCAATGCCTGACAGCCTTAACAGGTTGATGGAGCAGCTGACGGCGAGCGCGCGGTGGCCCAGCCGAAACTAGTGCGTTTCTTTATCTAGCTCGGAGAGCAGCGCACAAAAAAAGGCCCGTCGTGCGCAAAGCACCAAAGGCGTCACCGCTGCCTTCGTTTGGTCGATAACGGCCGATGCCGGCCGCGCGGCCGGCGCGCCGCCTCGCCGCGCTATGCGCGTGGGCGCTGGGAGGTTTGGAAGTGAAGCCGCCGGCGGGGCGGCGCCCGCGCCGAGCGTCGACCACCACGACGTCGTCGACTACGGCGATTGGCCGTGCCCGGCGAATCGCCCCGCGTGCGCCGGCGCGCCCCCCCGCGTGGCGTTCCTGATCGCGGGCGAGGCGCGCGGATTCGCCGAGCGCTACGCGGCGTCGCTGAAGAAGTACGTACTCGACGACTTTGGGGCGCATCCGGACTCGGCGTTACTCCTCGTGCTGACGGGCGCGGAGCGTCGGAACGAGACGACGTGGGCGTCTCTCAAGAGGGCGCTGCGGCCCGCGCTCGTCGAATTCGTCCCGGACGCCGCGCGGCCGGGCCTCCCCTTGGAAGGTCCCGACGCGCGCCTCCGTCAAAATGTGTCCCTACCCGGGTGGCCCTCCCAGAATGCCACCGGCCTCCACCACAAGGCGTCGCGCGGCTTCTACGAGTGCGTGAACGGAACGCGCTGGGCCGACGCGGCGTACGCGGCGGCTGTCGACCGGTGGTGGGGGACCATGAGGCTCGCTCTGAATCTTCTCGAGGCCCGGGAACGCGCGATTGGCCGCCCGTACGATTTCGTCTTCTTCGCGCGGCCGGACGTCCGGTACCTCAGCGGCTTCGGGCCCTGGTGCGGCTACGACGCGACGACGTGGTACTCCGGGGGCCACGGCGCGCCGGACATGCTCTGGTACATGCCGCGCGGCGTCGCCGCCGACGTCCTGAATTCCTTAGACGCGCTGTACGGCTGCGCCGGCCCCGGCCACCTCTGTTGTATCAAAGAGTACTCGTCCCGCGAGGTCGAGCTCCTCAAGTCGTACTGGGCCCTCTGGTACTGGCGGGCAGCGAAGGGTTACGCGCTCTCTACGCGACTTCGGGGCAACGCGTCCGTCGTCGGCCACCACACGCGCGTGGGCGGACGCGGCATCTACATTGGCTGCGGCCACAGGAGCCGCGCCGGCGCGGGCGTCGTCGAGGAACTGTTCGGGCCCGACGTCTGGCCTGCTCCATAATGTTTGTGGTATGTAAGTGGATTGTATAATTGCAACAACGGTCGAAAGCTAGACTTAGTCCTCGGACGACGCATCAGGAGGCGGGTCGTCGCCGCACCACGGGTCCGCCGCGAGCGGCTCGTAGACGTCCGGGTCCGCCATGCCGTAGTCCTTGACGCGCTCATTAAATGACGGTTCGGTGAAGTTGTCGTCGTCCAGCGAGTACGTTGTGGCCGCGGCCTCCTTCAGCGTTTGTACGTCGACGTCGGCCGGGTCCAGGCCCCGCTCTCTCATTATAGCCTCGACGCGCTCCTCGGAAATCTCGTCGGGGTTCAGCCACCACACGGAACCAGGTAACGCGTCCACCACGGCCTTGGGCCCGCCGCTCTCCTTCGTGGCCTCCATCCACGAAAACTGGTTCGGCCTTCTTCTATTTTTGGAGGGCGGCTTCGGGTTCGCGAAGCCGCACCGAAAACACTGCCGCCGACTCGCGAAGTTCATGGCCCGGCACTTCGGGCAGTCCCAGTCCCCAGGGCGCTTCTCGAAGTCTCCTCGGCCCCGGCCCCGTCCCCGGCCGCGTCCTCGGCCTCGCCCGCGCCCGCCGCCGCGGCCGCGCTCGGAGTACTGGTAGTCCGCGTCTCGGATCGTCAGCGCGCGGCGCGGTCGTGGTGAAGCGCTGAAGCCGCGGCAGCCCTGCAGCAGCGCCGCGGCGACGGCGAGGCGCAGCATTTGCTTGCGCAGCAGTGTGGTGTTGTTACTGCGCCGAGCGCGCAGCCGTTGCGCCTGCGTGCAGCTTGCAGCGCGGCAGTGAATCGCTCGCAGCGGCGCGCAAAACGCACGCAGCAGTTTGCGTTCGAGCGATGCGGTACTGGAGAGCGACAGGGCACGCTGTATTCGCTGATTAGCCAGTTCTATGAGCCACAATAGCCGCCAGAGCGGAGGCAGGCTGAAGAGACCTAGCGCCTGTAAGACACTAGCAGCCCGCCCGCAGCGGAGTGGTCCGAAGCGTAGAGCCTCGGCCGCCGAGGGATGCCTGCGCCGCTATAACATTGGCTTCCAGAAGTCAAGTATCTCCAACCCCTGGCTGATGGGCAGCGCTGCGCATTGGGCAGCCTCGTGCAGAGTCCTGCATCATCAATTTACATTGGTTTTGGGCTGCGACCAAGCAATGCGCAGCCGCCTAAGCTGTCGAAACTGCAGCTGGTGAGAGCCTGCCCCCTTAGCCAGCCGCGGCCGCGATGGGGGATGGAAAGAAAAAGGAGCGTACCAAGTACAGCCTACACCGCAATATCCCGGTGGAAATTCCTGCGGGTTTCGACCAATTGTGCGATCCTGAAGGGGCGCGTATTATCAACGCCGCCGGGGAGCCGACTGTCGACGGCGTCGTCGGCCCGAGCCCATCGACGCTGTTCAGTGCGGTCGGCTCGCTCTTCGTGTGGGTGATTTTCGTTGTCTTGGCACACATGATCTTCACTGCGTACCAGACCGACCCGCCCCAAATCAACGAGCTGACGCTGGACACCCCCAAAGGCTTCGAGGCGCCGTTCCCCGACTTCGCGGTGACTTTATCACTCACCGGCTGGGACATCTACATCGCCACTCAAATTAGGCAAATCAAAGCCGCCCACGGGTCCAGCATGACGTGGAAAGAAGCTGAGAAGGAGGCAGGAAATCAGTGGAACCTGCTATCGGAGGACGAGCGGAACTTGCTTACTTGCGAGAAAGGCAAGTGTGACAATCGGACCCTGGAGTACCTGTGGCCCGTTTTCCGGTGGGAGTCCACCAGCGGCGGCTTCGTAAAGAAAACGGACGTCCATACGTTGCTCGGGCCGGAGGACGGCGTCCACTTCGGGGACAAATGTGGCCTGAGCGTCAGCACAAACCTCAAATACGGCCGCTGGCCCGTCTTCTGCTTCCTCAACAGAGAGCTTCCGCCGGAGAGGCAGAGAATGCTCCGCGGGCGCGACTTTGGCGACCCGCTTTGGAGTTACCTAGACGTACGCATCGTCCGGTGCACCAACATGTCCGCTGCCGCGGTGGAATATGAAAAGGGGTATACCAACACCAGCGTACCCTTCCCTGCGGCTTGGTCGGGAACTTGCGCGCCGCACGACGACATCGACGCCCTCGTGGACGCGGGACAAGGCCTCGGCGTCAACCTGTTCTTCAAGTCCCCCCAGGAGCCTGACTGGACAGAATCGAGCTGGAACCAGCACGCTGGTGACCCGGCAGACAATAGCATGGAGAACGGTTGGACCATGCACGAGTACCAGAAGCTGTCGAGTACTTCCCATGTGGAATGCGATCTGTACCTGAAGCACACTTCAGCGTACGTCAACCGGCCGCAAAGCTCTGGCTTCGAGGAGGAGGACTTCTTCAAGATTTACAAGTGGTGGTTCGACTTCGACCGCTCGCAGTGCTCCCGCAGTTACGCCGACGATTCGCGTTTCGAGGAGTACAGCACGTCGTACCGATATGATTGGTCTGACCACGCGATGGGTGAGACTCAGGGCGAGAATCGGACGCGGTTCTTCGATATCAGCGTCCGCATGAACCACAAACGTCGCAAGATCGAAGTGCGGCGCCAGAACATTCTCGAGATGCTCTCCGATATCGGCGGCAGCTGGGAGCCCTCCTTCTTCCTCGGCTGGCTGGTCGTCGTCGTCATCAACCGCGCGCTCATGGCCGCGAGCGCCTGCCCGCGGTCGCGCAAAGAAGCGAAAGACGTGTGGGCAGGATTGTGCGGTCGGGGCGCTCCTGGCGCCGCTCCAAAAGTTGCCCCGGCCAAGGCGCCGGCGCCGGCGCCAGCGGCCGACGCTGCGCCGGCGCCGGCACCAGCGGCCGAGGCGCCGTTATCTCCCGCCGCGAAGAGGTGGAAGTCCCTGGCGATGAACTGGAAGCGCCTGAAACGCCAAATGCAATCGGCCAATTATTTTCAGTTATTGAACAGCGGCCCCCCGGAGGCGCCGGCACCGCCGCCCCTCGACCCGCGCAAGTTCGCCGAGCTCCTGGAGCGGGTCGAGCAGCTCGAGAAGCGCCTCGAGGAGCAGCCCCGAAGGTCCTAGTCCGCCTCCGTTCCAAGGCAATTCCCCCCATTTCAGATCATTCCCCTCTGCGAGCCCTCCTAATAGATAAATTACTAGTACTACTAGCCCCGCTGCCAGCCGAGCTCCGAGGCAACGCCCGGGCGGCTCCAGGCACCCTTAGTCGAAACGCGGGGTATCGTTACACGAAGGTAAAGGGAGGGATCAGAGGCGAGTGGCTTTGGCGATCGCGTTCTTGAGGTCCAGGCCGGTGAGGCCCTCGACGGCATCCGGTAAAGTCGCGATGGTCTTGATGATGTCCTTCGTGACCTTGGAGCCCGTCGCGTCGTCCTGGCTGATGAAGACCATCTTCTCCGTTTTTGAGAGCGGCGCGGCGATCGCGCCGGCGATTTCCGGCATCTTGTTCATCACAATATCCGTGATGCCGGCCTCGCCCATGTACTGGTAGGTCTGGTTCTTCTCCTTTAGGACTAGCGCTTCGGCCTGGCCCTTGGCCTGGATCGCGGACGCTTCCGCCGCGCCGACGGCGGCGATCTCCTCCGCGCGAGCTTTTGCTTTCGCTAACTGCGCATCAGCCTCGGCCTGGGCCTCCACCAACATAGCCTTGGACGCGTTCTGCTTCTCGACGAGTTCAGCTAGAGACGTACCTTCAGCCTCTTTTTGCGCGGTCAAGGCTTGTTGTTCTGCCACTTGCAACAAAACTTTCGCCTCCTCGACCTGCTGCTGGGTCCGCTCCTTCATGACCTTCTGCTCTTCCACCGCTCGTTGGATCAAGGCCGCGGCCCGCGCCTCCTCTTCTCTTTTCCCGACCTCGGTCTGGATCTCGGCCTCGCGTAACTTGACGGTCCGTTCATTGTCGGCCATTTTCAACTTCAAGGCCGTCTTCGAGTCCTCTTCCGCCTGGCGTTTCTTGTTGATATCGACCTCGGCCTCCGTTTGGTGGGCGTTGACGGTCATGCGACTACTTTGTCGCTTCTTCGCTTCCGCGACGTCGGCCTCGGCCTTGCACTGCGCTACTACTTTCCTTTGTTCAGCTTCATGCATCGCCACACCTTCCGCGGCGTCGCGCTTGACCTGCGCGGAGCATTTCCGTCAAATCGGTCCGAATGGCCTCAAAATCAAAAAAGAAACTACCCACGGCCTCGTCTGATGGACACGAGTCGCCTCGATGGCGTGAAGGCGTCTCTACACAACGGGACGCCGAGATTGACTTTCGCGGTCTGAGTTTCTCCCAAGGCGTCCATGTACCCATTATCATCACTCACGTCCGTGACGACGTAGGACACGATCTCGTAGCCCATGTTCTTCATGTCATCGAGGACACCTTCCTTGACCGTGTTCGCGAAGGCCTCGCGGTCCTTGTAGATCTTTTCTACGGTCAGCGTACCTAACACCTGGCGCTGGTGGCCCTCCATCGTCGCCGTCAGCGATTCTTGCACGGCTTTGGTTTTTTCGCCCAGGAAGTGCTGGCAGGCCAGCTTCAAATTGCCCTTATCTAACATGCGCTCCATGCCTTCATGATTGGGCGGAAAGCAGGCCACTTTCACTTGCGTGACCGCATCAACATTGAGTTTGACGCCCTCGCCCGTCTCGACCTGTCTGCTACTCACGTTGAGCTGCATCAATTCTAGGTCGAGGTAGTCGACGTTGTTGCAGCACCACCACGCCCAGCCGCACTCGCCAATCAAAAACTTCGTGCCGCCGACCCCCGAGATGACGGCGGCCTTATTGGGCGGGACGACGACCACGTTGCCCATGGTGCCTGCGCGCGGGGGCGGCGGTCGTCTCGGCCGCGCGCGTGTGGGCGGACCTGCTGGCGGCGCGCGGTTGCGGTCGTGGGGCTGGCCGTGCGGTCGCGCCGCGGCCGAGCCGCGCGCTCGCAACCGCAGCGCAGCCGGGCGCCGCTCTCAGGGCTGTGGAAGGATTTTGCTGTCACCGTGACTGCGTTATTTGTGCTTCCGGGGCAGCGTTTTACTGATTCCCGTGGTCACGTGGGGCAGCCCCGGGACCGGGGATTGCAAGGGAGTGGCATGCACCTCTTGTTTTAGCGTCACTCTTCGGCAGGACGCCTCTGCTGGAATTGGAAACAGGATCGACACGCGCGTGCGGAGCTGTCCCTTGTCCCCACGCGTCGTCAGCGTCGAGGGACGACCTCTACCAGAGGGCGTCCTGCGCGCTCGGTTCGCTAGTGTCTTACACGCCGCTAGCTCGCGCCGCTGCGCAACTTTAAAAGTCTGTAATTGGGCGTACTCGTGGACGGCAGCATCGCATAGCTCGCTCAGCCAACCGCCAGTGGGCGCTGCTGCGCTGCGGCAACGAATTACTCGCTCCCAGAGGGTAGCACAGCAAGCATTTCAAACAGAGACGCAGAGCGTCGAGCATGGACTTCGCCGACAAGCGCCCGCCGCCGAAGACGACGGCCCAGGCCTTTGAATTGGCCTTCGACCCGGAGGGCGACAACGTCTTCGTGCTCTCCGCTTTGTTTCCGCAGGCGTTCGGGCGCAAGCAAAAGAAAAAACCAGAGGAAGAAAAGCCCCAAGAGGAGGACGACGACGGCACGGAGTCCGACGAAGATGTTGAAAGGGAAGTCGTCTTGACGGAGAAGGACCAGCCGCGGCAACGCTACGACGTCATTGCTCGATTGGAGCGGTTATTTGGCGGTGGGGAATTAGCAACAGGTTTGAACCACGACTCGGACTCGGACGTCGCCGAAGACTATTATGCGAGTGACGACTCGTTCATCGACGACTCCGAGGCCTTCGAGGCCGCCGAAAAGCGAGATCAGGAACAAAGGACCGCCCCGGCCGACCACGACGGCTTCTTCGCCGTGTCCGGGGACTTGGCGACGGTGGAAGCCCCGAAGCCTCCCGAGAAGCCGCGCAAGAAGAAGCCTCGTAAATTACTTGATGGCGGTCCGACGGCCGCACATGTCAATGCTTTGTTAGATAAAGATGCTGAAGTAACCTGCCAGCAGCTGAATCCCAAACGAGGCGAAAGCGCCTTGCGGTACGACAAGTACAAGGCCGCGACGTCGGCGAAGCAGTTATTAGCTTTGGGTGCTACAAGAGCTGATATCAAGAATGATTTGGCGAAGGGGTATGTTACTTTAAAGGAGCCCCTCGCCGGTTTAGTCATACAGCCCTACACAGCACGCTCGTCGAAGCGGTGTGGGACGTGCGAGGGCTGTACGGCGGAAGAGTGCGGCGCGTGCAAGTATTGTCTCGATATGAGCAAGCGCGGAGGCCCGAACACGTTGCGGCGGCCCTGCGTGAAGCGGGCGTGTCTGAGACCGCTCGACGGGTCACAACCTCCCGCGGCGGCAGCGACGCCGCGGTCGTCGCCGCCGCGGTCGCCGCGCGTCACGTCGAATTGGACGCGTTATGTGGACGAGACGTCAGGTAAGCCCTACTGGCACGACGCTACTACCCAAAAGACGACGTGGGACGACCCCACTACTTCCAAAAAACGGCCCGCGCCTGATGCCGAGCAACCACCAGTAAAGATGCGCAAGCAGAGCGGCTACGTCTACTTCCAGTCGCAGCACCGGGAGGCGGCGTCGGCCGCCGTGGACATCGACCCTGATACTAATCAACTGGGCGCGCGCGAGCGGAACCAGGCTGTGATGAGGAAGCTCGCGGAGATGTGGGGCGCGTTGGACGACGCTGCGAAGCAGAAGTGGAGCGACGACGCGCCGCGCGTGCCGGTCAAGGAGCGCAAGCCCAAGGCCAAGGCGCCGGCGGCCGCCAAGCCGGCGGCGAAGCCGAAGGAAGCCAGCCCGCGCAAGGTTTTTGGGTCAAGCATCCCCTTCGCGACGGCGCCGGCGATCCCGGCGGTCCCGCCGCGGAAGCCGTCCGCGCGCGCCCGGAAGGTGGCGCCTGTTCCTGAGCCGGGCGTGCTCGAGTCGGAGCCGGAGTCTGAGGAGGAGGAGGAGGCGGCGCCGTCCGCGGCGCCCGCGGAGACGCCCGCGCCAGCTGCCGAGCCGGCAGTCAAACCGGCGGCGAAGCCGAAGGCGAAGCCCAAACCGGCGGCAAAGAAGCCGACGGCGAAGAAGCCGGCCGCGCGCGCGAAGAAGGCTGCGCCCACGCCCGCGCCGGCCGCGCCGGTCGCCGCGCCGGCCACCGCGCCGCCGGCCGCCGCCGCCGAGGAGCCGCTCTTTAAGGTCGGCGACACCGTGGACGTCGCGCCGCGCACGTTCCCGGGCATCAACAAGGCCGGCGGGACGGGCAGGATCACGAAGGTGAACGACGAGCGTAGCAAGGACGGCGGCCCGATGAAGGACGGGTCCGAGCGGAGGACCACGGGCTTCACATACGCCGTAAAGTACGCCCTGAGCGGGTCCGAGAAGCGCGTCGACGCGCAGTGGATCGCGCGCATCGACGAGGAGGAGGAGGACGCCTCCGACGGCGGCGCGGCCGAGACGCTGCGGACGCCCGGCGGCCGCATCGCGACAGTCATTGAGCGGCGCGCAAGGGGTTGGATCTATGTGGAACTCGACGGGAACGCGAACGACGAGGGCGGCGCGCACGAGCGGAAGTCCTTCCGGAATAGCCAGTTATCGTAATGTAGTAGTACCGTATCCGTATGAGGGCCGGGGGCGGGACGGGCGTGCGGTACGGGGAGGCTAGGCCCGCCGGGAGGACGTCCGGGCAGATGTCCGGGCGGCCTCAGGCTCAGTAGTACCAAACAAGGCTCATTACTTTCTGTATAGTGGACGCGAGGCCACGAAGGCCGACGGGAACGCGGGACTCGGTGGCGGCATCGGCGGCCGCATCGGCGGAGACCGCGCCTTCGCCGCCGACATCTCCAGGCGCCGCGCCGGGGGCGGCCCCGGCAGGTCGTACTCCTCGCTGTCGTCGTCGGACGACTGGTCGTAGTCCGACACGCGGTTCACGGGCCCGCCGAAGCGCCGCCGCCGCGACCGGCCGCGCGCGCGCTCGAGGTCGTCGTCGTCCTCATCGTCGTCGTCCGACGAGTAGGCCGGCGGCCGCGGCGCGCCGAAGATCGACGGCGGCTTGTCGACGGGCCGCCGCCGCGTCGTGTGGTCGACGAGGCGCCCGGCGAAGCGGTCGTCATCATCATCATCATCGTCGTCGTCGAGGCGCCGTCGCCGGCGCGTCGACTTTCTAGGAGACCGCCGCGGCGTCTTCCGCGCCGAGCGGCGCGTCGCGCGCGGCGCCTCCTCAGACGAACGGTCCTCCTCGGACGACGAGGGCGGCGGCGGCCGGCGCGCGCGGTCCGGCCGCGCGGACGGGACCGGCGCCGTCTTTACTTTAGGCTTCGTCTTCGAGCTGCTCGAGGACCATGGCTTCTTGCGGGCCGGCGTGGGCGTCGCGCCGGGCTTGACCTTGGGGGCCTTCGAACGCTTGCGCCACTTCGCGCAGTTTTCCTCGACCGTGCCGCGCAGCACCCTGTACGTACAAGCAAGGAAACATAAGCCGGCGAGCGCCACGAGGATCCACTGCACGATAACGAACCAGAGCTTGTCCTTGTTGCGGCGGATCCACCGTCCCAAGGACCACTCAGCTTTCTTCTTCTTCGACTTGGCGGGGGGCGCCTCGGCGTCCGTTGCAAAGCTCTCCGTCTTCACGTCCGCGAAGAGCGCCTCCTCGCCTGCGTCCGCGGCGGCCGCTTGTAATGCAGTATCCATCAACGCCGGGTCCGCCTCGGCTCGCAACAGGTTCGCATCCACAGAAGCTCTTTCCTCGGCCGTCGCGCGGACCTCGAACTCGACGATAATCGTATCCGTGAGGCGCCGCCGCGCTGCCGCGGACACGCTCAGGATCGTCACTCTATCGACGCTGACGCCAGCCACGCGCGCGATGGCGTCCTGGAAGACCGCCTGAGCCGATTGTGCCTCTTCGAGCGTCAGGCCGGAAAAGGAAGCGCTACCAGCAATCACGTCGTAGGCCACGTAGAGCTCGCATCCATTATTATTCGTGCCGCCGACGACGAGCGGGAACGCCGTCAGGCAGGCCGCCGTCGGCGCGGCCGTCGAGGGCGCCGGCGACGGAATCGGCGTCGGCATCCGCGTCGGTCTTAATGACGGCCGGCCGGCGGTTGTCGGGGCGAAGCTCGTCGATGGTAACGGTGAGGGCGCCGGATAGGGCAAGGAAGAGGGTGTTGTGGTCGGCACTTTCGTCGGCGCGAAGCTTTCCGTGGGCCGCGGCGTCGGGATTTGTGAAGGTGCTGATGAAGGGACGCGCGACGGCGTCGATGACGGCGTCTGGGGCGCGGGCGTCGGCGCCGGAAAGGGTACTGGCGAGGGCATGGACGAAGGCGTGCTCGTCGGCGCTTTTGTTGGTGGCAGCGAGGGTAATGACGACGGCCTTGAGGATGGCACGCGCGACGGCATAAATGAAGGTGCTGCACTAGGCCCCGGCGTCGGCATTGATGAGGGCGAGAAGCAGCAGTAGCGCGCATTAAGGGTCGCGCGCGCGAATGCCGGGCACCCGTCGACGGACGCCGACGCCGAGATCGTTGCTGCGAGGACGCCGTCTTGAACAGTAACGGGCACGTCCAGGAACGGCGCGCAGGTCTCGTAGCCCGCGCTCCGGAAGCCGAACGTCTGCCCTCCGGAAGAGTCGAGGCACTCGGTCGGCACCGTGCACCGGGCCGTCTCCAGACTATTCCCGTTGACCGCTAAAAAGGCCTCCTCCCGCACGCCATCCTCGGTCCCGTTGTTGAAGTCGCCCGAGAGCCCCACGGTCAAATTTGCGACCGCGACTTCGCAAAAGGCATCATCATAAGTCGCGTCGGTGCTCAGGTCGAAGGCGACGTCCACGGTTGACGAGGAGAGGAGCAGGTCCGTCTCTGTTTTGATGTAGTCGAAGCAGGGGCCCGGCCGCGTCGGGGCCGCCGTGACGGTCGGCTGGGCCGTCGGCTTGGGCGTGGGCGCGGGTACGGGTAGTGAGGATGGTAGTTCTGAAGGGGGGCTCGTCGGCACGGCCGACGGCGTCCAGGTCGTTGGTAAAGCGGTCGTCGGCCGCGGCGAGGGTTTTGACGTCGGCTTCGACGTGGGTACGCCGGACGGGTGCGAGGTCGGGACGGACGTCGGCGCCGGCACTGGCGCCGACGACGGCAGTGGCGACGGTATTGACGTGGGCACGGGCACGGGCACGCGGGTCGGCCCAACGGTAGGTTGCGGCGACGGGCTCGACGACGGTTCAGAGGACGGTTCGGGCGTCGGCCGCGGCGTCGGCACCGGAGCGGGCGCGGGCGTCGGCTCGGGCGTCGGAGCGGGCGTCGGCGTCGCCGTGGGCTGCGCCGTCGGGGTGCGCGACGGCATTAGTGAAGGCGCGTGGCTCGTAGGCTGCGGAATGGGCACCGCCGTGGGTTTGTACGAGGGCCGGGGCGTCGGCTGCGGGCTCGGCAGGATGGAGGGGGCGCGAGACGCGTTTCGCGAAGTGGGCGCCCAGGACGGCGTGGCCGTCGTGGGCATCTTGGACATCGTCGGACGCAGCGACGGCGCCCAGGTCGGTGTAGCCGTCGGCGCGGGCGTCGGCGTGGCGCAGGCCAGCAGCTCGATGTCCGCGACGCACTCGTCGGGCAGCCGCTGGAACGCGAGCCAGTAGTTGCCCGGCTCCGCGCAGAGCGTCGGCAGCGCGAGTTCCGCGCCGGCGTCGAGCGTCGCGTTCCCGCCTCCTATTAACGCGCCGGCCGCGTAGGTGTCCATACTAGAAGCCGCGGAGAGGCTCCAGCGCACGTCGTTGCGCCGGAAGCCCTGCGCGTCGCTCAGGACGACCCTGAGATCAAGCGTCTCGTCGGTGTCGGGGCATTGCGTCGCGGCGGCCGCCAGGAGCAGCAGCAAGGAAGTGGCTGGCAGCCTCATCGTGCTATACGAATCATCGTTTCGCGCACGCCAGCAAGGGCAGCCCTTTATGGCTGGTACGGTTGCTCGTTGTTGTACTAGCCTTTAGTAGGTTACTCATGGGACGCACGACCTTCTTGGTGCGGTTTCGAGCAGCTGCGGCACGAATACCGCGGATCCGGACCGATAAAAAACCCTCTCACCTCTATACCCTCGCCCGAGGTCGCGGGCCGATCTCAAAGGCAGCCCATGGCGTACGTGCACCTTGTCTACACCAAGCCCCAAGTTAGGACACGCTACACCCCGAGTCGCACGCGCCGCTCCCATCGCCGCCGATCAGCCCCGAGAGCATCGACGTCTGGCCCCCTCTTCCAATGCCGAACCGCTCGAAGATGGGCCCCCACCAGGGGTACGACTCCAAAAAGAACTCCGGGTCCATCGTCGACATCAAAGCTTTGTTCTTCGGCTCCGTCGCCCCCGCGAGCGCCACGTGCATGCCGAGGAAATCGCTATACGCCATGAACTCGCCGCCGATACCCAGTCTACGCGCCACGCGCCCCCACAATTCTGGTAAATGACCATCCACTTGAACATCCACGTGCTCGTCCAAGGCGAAGGTCCGGTGGCCGGATCCGTCGCCGGTCAAATTAGCCCGAGCCTCGTCCGCCGTCAAGCGACCGTCCCCGTCCCGGTCCATGAGATCGAAGACGTCGCCGACATGCTTCTTTCTTATCTGTAAATGATGTAAGTGGGTGATCAGCGTCCCGTCGCCGTCCTCGTTCTCGAGGACGACGTCGCAGTACGCATTCCCGATGACCCGATGGACCCTAGCTGGACGCCAGCCACCCAAAATCCGGAACAATTTATCTTCATCCTTCTCGATGGCCGCGACTCTCACCCGTAGGTAGGCCTCGAAGTCCGAGCGATGGAGACAGTCATCCAGGAACTGAGGACTCTTCGACGGGTCGGGCATATCTGTATATTGTCCTCTTTCATCGGGCTCGTACCGACCGACCAACCCGAACCTCGCCAGCGCCTCGTCGTGATCATCAACCACCATGCGGATGTGCTCCAAGGCTTTCGCTCGTTTCCGTTTCTCCTCCTCCTCGTCCTTGCCCGCCGCCGAGATGCCCGTCACATGAGCATGAGTAGCTCCCAACATATCTTCAAATAGATCGTAGAACAGCTGCAGTTCTCGAGGTTTCAAGCCAGCCACGTGCCAGCCCTCCTCCTTGTGCCCCGCTTCGACGAGGGGAGCGTTATCCTTCTTCTTGTCCTTTTTTTTATCTAAGGGAGCTGTGACCGCCACAGGGGGGTGGAAGTGCTCGGGTCTATCAATACCGTAGGGGTCCGTCTTTTTTTTGGCTACGCCGGGTACTTTGACGCCCGCTTCTCTTAACGTTCTACGCATGGACAGTGACGCGTCGTTGCTCGGCACGCCCTTCTCGAGCTTCTGGCTGAAGCCGAGGTGGTCGCTGAGGATGTCGTTCCACCGCCCGATCCCGTCCTGGAACACTCTGCGTCGTCTAGGTATCGTAATCAACACTTTATCCTTCCGCCGCAGGTCCTTGCCCACGTTGCCGCCCTTGTTCACGATCTCGAGGGCCGCGGCCTCGCAGCGACGCTCTTCTTTGTTCTCCGCGTCGGACTTGGGCTTGGGGGCCATGCTCCGGGGCTGCCTCGCGGCGGCAGCGTTTGAGTGGCTGTCGTTTGGGCTCCGCGCGTCGTTTCGGCAGCTGTGTGGCCCGCGGAGAGCGGCTTGGTTTGGATGCTCGTCTCCCGAAGACGGGTTTTCCGTCGCGCCGCAGGGCCTCTAAAAGAGACATCGTCGGGAATAGAACTGTAATTGCGATGCTTGGGATACATGTCCAATGCTTGCTAGTGTCTTACAGGCCGCTAGCCCAAGCGCTTTGCAGGCGCTTTGCTCGGGCCACGATCGACTGGTTGGCGAGTAGACATCTGCGTGGTGATCGGAACGCCCCCACGCATAAGCACGGAGCCGACTCGCGCGGCGCCGCCGCTTGTCAGAGGCCAAAAGCTTGGCATATTACCTAAAACGCCAGCCGCGGCGCGAGCGAGATGATCAAGGGCGTCATCATCGTCAACAATTTAGGCGTGGTCCGCCTGGCCAAGTTCTACGAGCAGGTCCACGTGACGGGCGAGTCGGCGGAACAGGCGCAGCAGAGCGTCATCAAAAAAATCTACCGAGCGGTCAGCAAGCGCCAGGACAACCAGTGCAACTACCTGGAGGGGAGCATTCCCGAGTGGGGCGGCGACACGAAACTTATATATAGACACTACGCTACTCTCTATTTCGTTTTCGCGTGTACGAATCGAGAAAGCGACCTGGGCATCCTGGACCTGATTCAAGTTTTCGTGGAGGCCTTGGATCGGTCCTTCGAGAACGTGTGTGAATTGGATCTCATCTTCCACAGCGACAAGTGCCACTACGTGCTGGACGAGATAATTATCGGGGGGCTGGTCTTAGATACCTCCATCACGAACATCATGGGCGGCGCCGACGACCAGAACAAGCTCCACAAGTCGAGCCTGTCGCTGCTGACCTCGGGTCCCAAGCTGTGTGGAAATCAAAATTTGACGGCGTGCTCGTGCTGAATCGTCGCGTCGTCCTCCACGCCATCGACGCGACTCCTGCTCGACGGCGTGGCGGTGTGAATTCCTCACCGCTCGACCGAGCCAGGACGGCCGCGTCATCGCCGAGAAACGACTTAGTGAAGAATTGTCGGGTGCACCCGACGCACTGGTTGATTTCCACACAGGTCCCAAGAAGACGCAGATCGGCGCGCGGCCGGGGACGCTCTCCTCGGGGTACCAGTAACTCTATTTATGCATTTCCGCTTCGATGGCGAACCACCTTGCTCTCAAAAAGTCCTCGACGGCCTGGGCGTCGAACTCGCCCGGCCTCGGCGGGCGCCTCTTGATTGGTGCCGCGGGCTTGGCGGCGGCGGCCGGCGCCTTTTTGCGGCCCTCCAGCGCGGCCGCGGCGCGGCGCGCCCGGCGGTTGAGGGGCGCGGGCGCGGGAGGCGGCGCCGGCGCCGGAGAGCTCCCGGTCTCGCGTGGCCGCGCCTTGCGACGAAGGCCGGGCGCAGGTTCCAGCGCGGCATTGGCCTCCCGCCGGGCCTTCGGCGCCGTCTTGGCACTCGATGGCGCGGGTGCCGGCGCCGGGGCGCGAGCGGGCGCCGGCGCTGCGGCGCGAGCTGGAGCCGGCGCCGGGGCGCGAGCGGGCGCGGGCGCCGGGGCGCTCACGCGTTGCCGCGCGGGCGCGGGCGCCGGCGCAGGGGCGGCGGGCACCGGGGCGCTCGCGCGCCGAGCAGCCTCGGCCGCTGCGGCTTCGGCCGCTGCGGCTTCGGCTTCCTTGCGCAGGCGGGCACGCACGCCTACCGTGAGGCCAGACGGGTGCGTCGCTTGCGGTGGCGGCGCGGGTTCGGCGGTATCGGTGTCGGCGGGAGGCGTCGCCCGCCGTCGCGGCGCGGGCGCTGGCGCCGGCGCAGGAGGCGGCGCCGGCGCCGGAGAGCTCCCGGTCTCGCGGGGTCGCGCCTGGCGACTAAGGCCGGGCGCCGCCGCAGGGGCGCGAGCAGGCGCGGGCGCCGGGGCGCGAGTAGGCGCAGACGCCGGCGCCGGAGAGCGGGGCCGCGCCTTGCGATGGAGGGCGGGCGCCGGCGCCGGCGCCTTGGCACTCGACGGCGCGGGTGCGGGCGCGGGCGGCGGCGCTGGTGCAGCGGTCTCGCGGCGCCGCGCCTTCGCCGCCGCCTTGGCGTTTGGCGGCGGCCGCGCAGGCGCCGGCGCGGGTCCGGCGTTGGTCTCGGAGACGTCGACGACGGGCCGTCGCTGCGCCGGCGCCGGCGCCGGAAGCGGCGTGAGCGCCTCCGCCGCGGCGGCCGCCGCCCGCGCGCGCGTCGCAGGCGTCAGGGCGGCCGGCCTCGATGGCTTGGGCTCGCGCCGCTTCGCGCGCGCTGGTGCCGACGCCGGCGGCGCGGGCGCGGGAGTTTTCGGGGCGGCCCGCGGCGACTTGCGGGGCATGGGCGCGGCGCGCGGCCACCGCGCCGGCTTCTCGGCGGGCTCCGCCGCAGGCTTCGCGGCGAACGCGGGCTTGGCGCGCTCCCGCGGCGCCTCGTCGGAGTCGGAGTCGTCGCCCCAGTTGCCCTCCTTGGTGTCGAAGAGCGACTTCTTCGCGGGCGCGGGCGCCGCTGCGGTCGCCGCCGCCTTCGAGGCAGGTGGTTCTGACGACGCGGGCGCGGCCGGCGCGGCATCGCCGGCGCCGGGCGGCATTTCGGTAGACGACGTCGACGCGAAGGAGGAGGAATCATCATCAACAGGCGGCCGCGGCGTCACGAGCGGATCAGCCGCATCGTCCGAGAAGTCGTCATCCGAATCCGCGAAGGAGTCCGAGTCCGTGAAGGCCGGCACCGGCGCGGCGGCCTTCTTCTTGCGGCGCCGGGGCGGCATGCTACGCCTTCTCCTGCTCCACGAGGCTCCGCATCAGTTCTTCTACACAGGCGTCCGTCTCCTCGTACGTGGCACCTTCGTTCTTAAAAACCTTATCGATAGCGCGCGCGGCGGCTCTCTGCCGCGGGTTCCACTCGACGCTAAAGTCCTTGGCGATGTTGCCCATGTACGCCTTCTGCTGCGGTGTCGGGTTCTTGGGCCACTCGGGCTTGCCGATGATAATGGCCTTCTGCTCGCGCAGCGCTTTTGCCGTAATCACAGGCTTGTCGGTCTTGTCTCCGAAGGCTGCGAGGCGCGCGATCGGGCGGCGCTCGACCCAGGGGAGCTCGGGAGCGTCGTCTTCGTCCTGGTCGGGCGGCATGCGGGGCCCGCCGGGGCTGGCGCAGTTTGTGGGCGTGCGCGCTCGTAAAGAGGAAGACGGCGGTCTCTGGCCTTCCTGCGCCCCAAACAGACCGCTTTTAGTTCGCAGGGCAGCCTTCAAAAGCTAGTGCGTCTTGCGCACGCTAGCATTTTGGGGCTGCCTTTGCGAAACCAGCCCGTACGGGTGCCGCAGCCGGCATGGGGCAGCCGTAAAAGTCGCCATGCGACTCCTCCTACTCATCGCGGCGGCGCGGGCCCAACCAGAAAAGCTGCTCGAACGGGGCACCAGCCACTACAATGCCGGCGACTCAACTAAAGCGCAGCAGGCCTTCGTGCAGCTGTCGACGGATCAAACGGCGCCGCCGCACCTGCGCGCCCAGGCGTACCAGGGTCTCGCCGCGCTCGCGCAGCGCCGCGGCGATCCCGTCGAAGCCGCAGCGCAAGTGGAGCAGGCCGTCGCGACGTGCGACGATATGAGTTGTGACGCTTCATTAAGGGCGACCTTTTACGAAGCGCGAGGCGTTTTGAAGAGGGGCGCGGGTGATATGGAGGGCGCCGTCGACGCATTTACACAGTGCGCGTCATTGGACGCCGACCGAGCGTGCGACGCGGCCCTGGCTCGATTATTCCACCACAACGGGCTGATACAGGATGCACCTCCACGTTATTTACGCGCCGTCGCGGCCGCCTCGTCTTCAATGAGCTGTCGGGGCGAGGGCTGCGTGCTCCGAGTGCCTTTGTTAAATGATGCCGCAATAGCGCTCGAGGCGACGGGAAATACGCAGGCGGCCGTCGCTTTGTTGCGGGAAGCCGTCCAATTGGATCCATTAAATGAACAGAGTGTCGGGAACCTGGCGTTGTACTTGCGGGATCTCGGCGAGGTCGCCGAGTCGCTGAAGTGGGGCCGCCGGGGTGTTGATATTGCACCCCAGTCATCGGCGATGCTGCACAACGTGGCTTTGCTGGAGCAATGGGTTAGAAACAAGAGCGGCGCGGTGGCCTTGTGGCGGCAGGCTCGGGCGTTAAATTCAGGCGTCTTCCAGCCCGTCGCTTCTTTAGCACACGAGGAGGGGTACCGGGGCAACCTGAGCGGCGCCGCGTTGCTCTACGAGGAGGCTTTGTTACTAGCGGAGGCGTCGGAGCAATGGAAAGGGCACGCGGACGCTCTGAGGCTGCAGCTCGCGACGTCGCAGCTGCCCCACATCTATGATGATGCTCAGCATGCTACCAGATGTTGGTTCCATTACACTGAAGGTCTGAGGGAACTGCTGAGGAGGCCTCATCTCAATATAGAGGATCCCTTGCACACGACGGGCGCGGGAGCGTTAGGTTATTACCTGGAGTACGTCGGTCTACCGGATCTACCACCTAGAAGATTACTGGCCAAGACTTACTGGCGAGGTTCTCCGGAGTTGAAGTACCGGGCGACGTGGTTGCCAGCAGACGCGGACGAAGGTTATACTCCTCCACAGATCAGGGTAGGCTTCATGACGGCCTTTTATTTTCGCCACTCGGTTGGTCTGTTGACGGAGGGCGTCATACGAACGCTTGATAGACGAAAGTTTCGAGTCATACTGTTAAGGATCGAGGGCGAGCCCACCGACGACCTCACTACCTCATTAGAGGAAGCTTGTGATGAATCGTATTTAGTACCGTCTTCCACTCTACAAAAGGCTCGGCTAGTCGTCGAAAGTGCACGCATAGACATTTTAGTGTACGGCGAGATTGGGATGAACAGCATGGCCTATTTTCTACTGTTTTCGCGCTTGTCTAGACGGACAGCGATCTTCTGGGGCCACGCCGTCACGTCCGGCGTCTCGCAGTTTGATACTGTATCGGATGAGGCTACTGGTGGTGGCGACTATTTCGTCTCCTCAACGTTGTTCGAGCCGAGCGACGGCGGCCAGGACGACTATTCTGAACAATTATATTTGATGCGTAGTATGACGACGAGGTTCCTACCGCCGGTCAAGCCCCGTCTATCGCTAGAAATAGAAGACGTACTACCAGGCATTGCCGGCATGAGACTGTACTTGGTACCTCAAACTCTATACAAGCTGCACCCGGACTTCGATGGGTTGCTAGCGGACATACTACGGAAAGATACTCACGCAATAGTGGCCTTCCCCGAGGCCCAGCTGGGCGAATGGACGGAAGCGCTCGAAAGGCGCTGGAACCGCACTCTTACCAATGATATAAGGGATCGGGTCCGCGTGTTCCGGAGATTGGACTTCGACGAGTTTATTAGGTTGGCGCAGCTTTGTGATGTCGTGCTGGATCCCTTTCCCGTGGGTGGTGGTAGAAGCTCGCTCGAACTCTTTTCCGTTGGAGCTCCCATCGTCATGCTGGAACCTCGCACATCGATAGTGCAGCTGACGCGCGGCATGTATGAAGTCATGGGCGACCCCTGCCCGCGGTGTATTGCTCAGACTCCTTCTGAATTTGTGGATAGTGCTGTATGGGTCGCGACGAATAGTACCAGGGAGTTGCGTTCAATAATTCAAGAGCGGAGCCACGTGCTCTACGACAATGCAGATGTGACGGCCGAGTGGGAGGTTTTTCTCGAGTTTATTCTGAGGGAGCCGCGGCCCTCGAAGCCCCCTCGAAAAGCTATAATTGCCCAACAATCACAATGGGGCTTCGCTAAACGATCGTTCGGCTGGGAGCTCAAAGAATTAGAGGAGAACGAACCCTACGACGTTAATATAGACTGGACGACGCTGCACTTTGGATTGAGACTGTCGCACCCGGACCCGTGGACGGGACTCACCTCAGAGTTCGTCGTCGCTGTATATAAAGGAGAGGATCCCGTCGACGTGGCGGATCGATTGTCCTCGTACATCGGGGCGGAGCCCGTGAAGGCGAGGTGGCTCGCGGCCGTTTTACAGAACGGCGCGCGGCAATCAGGTAAGGTGGTCGATGCTACGGTCTACACTTTAGATGACGTCGCCCTCAATATCACCGTGAGAGAAGGTGATGATTTACATCAAGTGGCGACGTGGCATGCGGTCCGCAGCGGCTTGGGCGATGGGCACATCGAGGTTCTGTCAAACGCACTGCGGGAGCGCATATCTTCGCATACGACGTCGGCCTGGCTTTCAGCTAGACGAAAGCGGGACCACCTATCTCGTGGTGATCCGTCGGCGTGCTTCTCGCGTCATTACAAGGCGGCGTGGACCGAACCGAGCGAATGCAGCGTAACAGTAGGCCTCACGACGTGCAAGCGCCTGCGCCATTTTAGGTTGACGATGCAGGGGTTAATCAGGGTGTTCCAAGGTGATCTGGTGGACCATCCCCTCGTGTGTCGCGTGGTTGTTATTGATGACGGCTCGTCGGAAGGAGACCGCCTGGATATGATGAGGGAGTTTCCCCGCGTCGACTTCGTCCTGAAAAATAATGAAGAACATAAGGGCCACGCCCGGTCCATGAATCTGTTACTGTCGATGGTACAGACGCCCTACCTTCTTTACATGGAGGACGACTGGTTGGCCCTGGACCATGTATCGGTGACCCACGTCCTCGACGAAGCTTTAAGTGTGTTACGTGCTGCTCATGAGGAGGAACCCGTCGTCGAGGTGTTGCTGAACGACCAGTCCTCTCGAAGTTGTGCGTACGCGGCCGAGGAGGGCTGCCCGATGCTTGGTAAAGCGGGCTGGCCCCGCGTCACGTCAGACGGCATTGCCTACCGCCTCCACGACTACGGGACGGTGGAGCCGGGCCACGCCTTCACGTACTGGCCGGGGTTTTCCCTGAATCCGGCGCTCTGGGACGTCCGCCGACTGCAATGCGCCTTCTCCGAAAGTTTTGGTGAACCACCCGTCTTCAATTCCACGGACGCGCGCTTCGAGCAGTCCTTTTCATTAAAGGCCTACGATGCCGGGATTCGCGTGGCCTATTTGCCGCGCGTCTCCTTCGCGCACACGGGCGTGGACCAGACGGCCTACGCGCTGAACAACTTCACGCGGCCCTTCGACGGGCAGGTGGGCGGGGGGCTTAAGTAAGTAGTATATGTGTATTTTGACTTTGCTAACTGGTATTTACGCACTCCCCGACGGCGCCGGGTCGCGGACGCGGAGGGCTGCTCGCGCATCTTGCAGGTCTCTCTCGACCGAGCTTGTGGCCGGGTGCGCGCCGCCGAACACGCGCCGAGTGACCCGTGCATTGTCCTCGAGCGTCGTCACGGCCTCGCGGACATCGTCGAGCGTGGCGCCGGAGTCGTAGAAGAGCACCTTCGCGTAAATTTTCCTCAGCCTGAGCGTGAGTATATGTCTCTCTCCGTGAACGCGTCGTGCCACAGGAATCGTTCGGCGCAGCAGTGACTTGGCTTCTTTGAAGCGCTGTAGCTGGGCAAGGATCGCCGCGTAGTTGTTGGCTTCTAGGAGCGTGCTTTCATGTTCTGCGCCCTCAAGCTTCAGGGTTCCAGCGTATACCTCTCGCGTCATCCGCAATGAATCTTCATGCCGTCCTATAGCATCATATGTAGTCGCAAGATTGCTCTGCGCGACGAGCATGCGGTGTTCTGATGCGCCAATGCGCCGCAGCATAGAAAGCTCGGCCTCTTTCACGGACAACGCGTCCTCATGGTGGCCTGCATCGGATAAACCGTTCCCAAGCTCCATCATCGCTGCAATCCGACAGTCGCTCGTCTCCGGCCGACCCAAGTACGTCTTCCAGCACGCCCACCCCAGCGCGCACTTAACGACGCCGTGGTAATGTTGCCCGCACAGACTACACGAGAACCACCGCGCCCACCTCTTATTCCTCTCCTCGAAACCCAAATTATTCTCTGCTGGAAGACGTACTTGGGGCGGGCGGAGACGGACAAGTGTCGGATTGCCGCGATGACGGACCTTGGGAACGGTTTATCCGATGCAGGCCACCATGAGGACGCGTTGTCTGTGAGAGAGTCACATTTGGCTTCGCTGCGGCGCATTGTAGAGAGTACTGGCGGACGAGAAGAAAGCATATTCATCATGCAGAGCAATCTTGCGAACTCGTATACAAGCCTCGGACGCCATGAGCAGGCCCTGCAGTTAAAGCGAGACGCATACTCTGGCATTTTGAAGGTCTATGGCGAAGAAAATCAAAACACCCTCCGAGAAGCCAACAACTACGCGCTGTCCCTGCGCGCTCTAAGGCGCTTCGAAGAAGCCAAGTCATTGATGCGCAAAATGATACCTGTGGCTCGACGCGTTCTTGGACATAATAGTACTCTCACGTTCGCGATGAGGACGAATTACGCGCGGGCGCTCTTCGGAGACGACGCCGCCACGCTCGACGATCTCCGCGAGGCCGCGACGACGCTCGAGGATTTGGAACAGGCCGCTCGGCGCCTGTTCGGTGGCGCACACCCGCTCACAAAGGAAATTACGCTTTGCGATACGCGCGAGCCGTGCTCCGCGCCCGCGAAACGCAGCCTTCGGGGGATAGCCTAGGATAAAATCACACAAACTACAGTTCAACCCCCTCCGCCCGCCGCGCCTCGACGGCCCCGCGGATCCGCTTCAGATGACTCTGCACCTCCGCCGCGAGCACTTCCGGCGCGTAGCGCTCGACCATGCGCCGCCGCGCGTTCAAACCGAGCTCCTTCAACCGCGCGGGGTCGGCGACGGCCTCGGCGAAAATCGCCGCCAAGTGGGCCGCGTCCGGCGCGGCCCATTCGTGGGAGGCGAACGGGCCCTCGCCGACGGGCTCAAGACCGGTAAAAGCAAGGGGGAAGCCCACCGACTCATCTAGATACGCCGTCGGGCCGGACCAGTTCGTGGCAACAATAGGCGTGCCCGAGGCCATGGCCTCGACGTGCGGCCGGCCCCAGCCCTCGCCCCGCGTCGGCAGCGCGACGAGGTCGGCGCGCCGGTAGAGCGCCTCCAGGTCCGCGTCCGATAAGCCGGAAAGGATCTTCACCTTCCCTAAAGCAGCGAGGCCCCGGTCGTCTCCCAATGAATCCGTCACGTAGGTTTCCATCTGCCGGGCAAAGTCGGACGTAGAGTGGTAGGCGTTCGTGACGATAACTAGAATACCGTCGATTTGAGCCTTGTGCCACGCCCTCAGCAGGATGTCCCAGCCCTTGCGCCGCTCCCACTTGAAGACGCTCAGCACCAAAAATTCGTCCGAGGCGATGTCGTACGTAGGTCCCTCGGGCGTGAACCGATCAACATCGACGGGCTCGCCCACGACTTGGACATTCATTACACCAGCTTCCTCAAAGATGGCCCGGTGGAAGTGCGTGGGCACCCAGACCTCGTCGACCCTATTCAGCCGGTCCGCCCAGCCGTCCGGCAGGCGATCCGTCTCGAACATCGTGCGCCCGACGACGTAGTAGGGTCCCCCATTTCGTGTGCGGGGCCGCGGGCAGGGCGACGACGGCCACGACGGTTCTGGGACGTGCCAGGCGCCGGGTTCGGAATGGCAAACCGCCACGTCCTGGTGGCCGCCCTTCGCGGCCCGCCCCGCCAGCGTGTAGAGCCGTCCCAACGTCGTTGGGTTTAGCCCGTTCATGTAGTTGTTGTTATGACTATCGCCGTGCATCTCGATCGCGACGTCTAATTTCATATCGTCGAGCGCGACGACGAACGCCGTCGCCTCGCTGCAGTAGCCGCCTCCCGAAAAAAAGGGCGCGTGCCAGACCAGCGATGGGACGTCGGTACGTACTTTGCGCTCGCGTCGTCGTTTTGCAGCCACTGCCACCAGTGCGATCACTGCTATGACTGCGTGAGGGCGGGCCATGCTGTACAGGTGCTATCGCACGCGTCAAAAAGATGCCCGCGGCGGCAAGTACGGATAAAATGCCGCACCTCTTACGGGTTGGACAACGTATATCGTGCGTGTGGCTGCAAATTGCTGCGGCAGCCAAGCTGGCAAGCTTGCTAGTGTCTTACCTGCGCTAGGTCGAGGTCGCGCAGCAGGAACTGCATATGATAATTGGTAATTATACCGCCGACGACTCCGTTGGAGAGACCGCGTCGCCGTCGCCGATCTCCCCCGAGTCCTGGTGCCGGAAGGACACCATCCGTGGCGGCCGCCGCGTCGACGGCGCCGACGCGTGCCACGTGAGCGAGGGCGAGAGCCCGGAGGGCGTGGCCGTCGGCTCGAGCGAGCTATCCCGCGACGACGCCTTGGAATTTATCGTCGACATGCTTCGGAGCAGCGCGGGCGGTGAGAGCAGCCGCGACGACGCCGCACGGAGTAATGATCTCTTCGACGGCTGCGGCGCCGAATGCGCGTGCCGCACCGCCTGTGTGCCAGGAGCTCCCGGCGCGTAACCACGCAGGTCCGGCTTCGAGCCGGCCGCCGCCGCGTCGCGCGAGGCCATGCAGGCCGCGATGAGATCACCAAACAGTGGCCGCGTCTGGACGTCGTCCGCGGTCCGCGTCCAGAGGAACGTCTTCGGGTACAATTTGTCAAGGCCCCGTCTCTCGATGGTGGTCCAGGCGTCGGCCTTGGTACCGTTCCGGTCGCGGTAGATCTCGTCGAACAACCTGCGTGCATTCAGTCAGTGAGTCGCGTCGATGGCGATCGTGCAGGCACCGCGCGCGACCCGAGCATCGGTAGCACGAGCAGCTCCTTGTCGCAGGCCTGCCCGTCCGGATGGCACTTCGCGCAACACGTGAGGTCGCCGCCGAAGACATCTAGCGCATCGCGCGGCCGGTTCGGCGCGAGCGGTTTTAGCCCTGAATTGGTCGAATAGTACATGCCGTCGGAGCCGTTGCGCGCCCAGCACGCCGTCAGCTCGGCGCGACACCACGCCCGCCGGCGGAACGTCTTCGAGTCACACACGCATCCCGTGTCCGCATGCGTCGCGTCTGGCGCGACGACCACAAATATAGAGCAACAACTAGCAAAGGTTGGCAAAGACGCCACGGCCAGGCGCTGCGACGACCGATTGACCTGAGGTATGGAGACGATGTCCATCCAAGCTCCTGGAGGCGCCGCACGTTGAGACACGTGACGAGGCCCTCGGAACTCTTGATATCCATAAGCACGCTGACGGCGGTGACGCCCGCGCCGCGCGCGACGGCGTTGCTCCACGGCATCGAACCCATGAACGCGAGATCTAAATCGCCGCGGCCCAATAAATCAAGAGCCCGCGCGCCGGACGGCTGCCGGTAGTACGCAAAGCACGCCCTTTCGTCGTCGAGCCAGCGCGTCGCGGGCGCGAGCGCGTACGGCGTCGCCTGGTCGAACGTGCCGACGCGGACGACGCGCGAGCAGTTCTGCGCCGCCGCCGCCGCCGCCGCGAGCAGGGCGGTCCGGGTGATTGACATTCTTTCGGTGTGGAATTACCAGTTACTCACCAATGTGTCCTCGCCTCGCCACGCCAGTTTCTTCGCGGTTGCGCGCGTCCGCAAACCCCTAAACGGGCCCGTGTTTTAGGAGCGAGAGGGCAAGCTCAGGAATGCCGGCTTTTTAGGCCAAGGGCGCGTCGCGCTCGCGAGTTTCACTGCGTGCGTGACGGTAGGAGGAAGCGGAGAGCTTTTTTACACGTTTGAGACCGCGTTAAGTGCGGCGGTAGCTGACGCGTAAAGGGTAAATTAGGGCATAGCCAAGGTAACCCGCGCGTGGTTCCCCGGCCTGCGCCCGCCGCTGCCTCCGAGCTATCACTCGGGCCGATGACGTATGAGGGCCGGGGGCGGAACGGCGTGCGGTCAGTAGGCCGCGTCGGACGGTCGCGGTGGCTCGGCGGCCTAGCTCTAAGCAAAGGAAATTCATGATTAAACGGGGGAATGCAACGGGAAAACTAGCACCCGCCGGCTGGCAGCCGGCACGCCGCCAAGGACGAGGGCGAGATCCGCGGCAGCTCCATCGCCAGGTTTACTTGCGAGACCAACGACCAGGACTCGGCATCAAAAACCTCGACGACGCCGCCGGCCGGCCGCCACGCTAGGATTGATACTCGGTCGCCCGTCGGACTGACGCAAGCGTCTAGAATAGGGTGCTGGTTCTTGAGCTGGCCCTCCCAGACCCCTTCCACCTCTTTGGTTTTCGCGTCCCACTCCTCCGGCTTCATGAGTGTAGCACAGGGTTTGTGCGTCCGCAGATCTATGATCTCGGCGATGCCGTACTCGCCTGCCACGAGCATTTCGTGTTCTTTGCCCACGAACTTGACCACGGTAACCGGGGCCATCCGATTCAAGCAGGCGACGGCGCCTTCGCTTCGGCGACAGTCCCACAACATCACGCGCTTGTCTTCTCCACCGGAAGCAACCGTAGAACCGCGCACATCGACCGTAGTAACAGGGTAGTTGTGCCCCCTCTGATCGTCGTCGTAGTTCTCGTCGGCGTCCGGGTTGTCGGCCCGGTTTATGTCGCCCAGCGCGCCCTTGGATTGTAAGGTCCGCGCGTCCCACAACCTTACGCACCAGTCCGTACCACCCGATACGAGTGTGTCCGAATTGTCGTCCACGGCCACCGCTCGTACGTCGCTCCGCATCCTCGAGGACGCGTGGGACCTTTCTGCGACGCCGGCCTCGACCCACCGGTTGATGCCACTTTGTTCGGCCTTGGGCGGTCGCCACAATTTCAAATCGCCGCCCCGACAACCGGCGACCGCATAGGAACCGCGCGCGTCCGACGCGAGGCACAGACCCCAATCTCTTGAACCTTTCAACTCGCCCGACTTCTCCCAGCACCGTTTTCGGGCCGTCGTCGCCTTGCTCTTCATCTTCCACCACTTCCCCGACTCTTTTGTGGTCGTGACCTCGTAGTCCTTCCAGCGGAAGGCACTTACGCCTCTCGTCTGGCCACAAGTTAAAACCATGCCCGCTTGTAAGGGTGGGGCGCACAATTTCAATACTTTGGCGTCCGTCCTCGCGTTGCAGTTCATAGAATTATACGCAGGTTTGCTTGTACCATCCGCAACTAACGTCCCGAAGGACCCGTCCGCAGCTAAAGAGCCACCTCCCCGCAAAGCGCCACCGACCAGCAACGCGTCGCAGGCTTGTTGTAAAGGCTCGTCGTCCTCAGAACTTTCTTCTTGCTTCACCTCGGTCAGCGCCCGGCCGCGCGGCCCGGCCTTCCGCTCCTTCTTCTTGCCCCAGCCGAACCAGGTGCGTCCCGAACCCTCGGAGAAGGACTGGCTCTTGTCGGAGACGACCTGCGCGGACATCGACCGGTGAGTCACGCCATCGAGCAGCCGCAGTTTGGTTTCCACGCGGCTCGCGACGTGGCCACTCTCCTGGAACTGGCCGACATACATCTTGTCCTTGCTCGAGTCGACGACCTTGCCCATGCCGAACTTCGCGCCGCCCCGCACCGTTTGGTTGCGATCGGAGAAGCCCTGGCGGCCCTGGCTCGCGGATTGAGCTCTTTCAGAGAAGCCCCCGCCCTGCCTCGCGGTTTGAGTTTTGTCAGAGAAGCCCTGCCTGCCCTGGCTCGCGGAGCTGGCACCTTCGGAGAAGCCGTGGGGCCGCTCGGAGAAGTGGGCCGTGATGCGCGGGTCGCTCGGGGGCGGCGGCGGCAGCGGTTCCTCTGCGACCGTGAGGACCTCGGCGGCGGCGGCCAGTTGCGAGACCTCGGTGGCCAGCCGCGGCGACGTCCCCTTCGGCGGCAACCGCCCGCGCGCGGCGAGCTCGGCGATGGTCCGCTTCACGGCATAGTTCGGTACTAAACGCGTGCCCCCAATCCCTAACGTCGCGCCCGTGGTCGGCGACGTGAGCTTCCCCGAGTCGAGCCAGGCTTCAATCGAAGCGCGCTCGTAGGTGTGGCCGTCTCCAACCAGCGTGCAGGGGTCCTCGAAGACTTCGAGGGTCAGAGGGCAGCAGAGGCCGTCGAGCTCGGAGCTCATGGTCGGACTGTGTGGCTGTTTGAGGGGCTGCCGCTGCGACGGCGTACTGCGAGGGGCTGCCGCTGCGACGGCGTCTGGGTGTCCGAATGCAACTCGCTGGCCGCGTTTTGTTACGTCACTCTTCGCTTTGGCGGGCCACGAGATATTTCTGCCTTGGGAGATGAAAGCTCGAAGGTTTTGAGTTGGCGTCCGCGGATTCCTCCGGCACAGGGTTCGCGGTAGGGAGGAATTTGAGACATGACCGGGTATATGTCTCGCAAAACAGTTGCTAGTGTCTTACAGCTAGCTCTGCTCTTCTTTTGGCTCGAGGCCACCGCTTGCGACAGCCCATTGCTGACCGACGCGCGCAATCGGAGGCATCAGAAGTCCAGCGCTGCCACAGCACAACCCGCTGCTGCGCCGCGAACGCGTCTCCAGTAGCGACAGCCACTCACTCCACCATGCTCCTCGCAAGACGCCTTGGCCGCGCGCGGCACGCGACAACGATCCGAGCCGTCTCGGCCAAGGACGCGAGCATCGCGTACCAGAAGGAGAAGGCTGTGGAATCCGACTCCTGCGCCATCGTCGACAAAGGGACCGTCGGGCCCTATCGGCTGAGAAGACCGCTCAAAATACCACTAAGTCACAGAGGCATGGAGGTCATCCAGGACCCGTTGTATAACAAGGGCACGGCCTTCGAGCCCGCGGAACGAGACCGATTAGGGTTGCGAGGCTTACTGCCGCCCAAAGTGTCGAGCATGGACGAGCAGTGCGCACGGATCATGTTGCGGTTGCGATCCTTCGAGGACGACATCCAGAAGCACATGTACCTCTCCGAATTGCATGATCGCAACGAGACGCTGTTTCATAGAGTTGTGGTCAGACATATTGGGGAACTCGCGCCGCTCATCTACACCCCGACAGTAGGCCAAGCCTGCCTCGAGTTCGGCCACATGTTCAAGCGGCCGCGGGGCATGTACTTTTCGGCCGATGACATAGGGCAGATGAACGCCATGGTCCAGAACTGGCCGATGAAGGACGTCCGAGTAGTTGTCGTGACTGACGGGAGTAGGATTCTCGGGCTGGGCGACTTGGGCGCGAACGGCATGGGTATACCGATTGGCAAATTAGCTCTGTACTGTGCGGCCGGTGGGATCGCGCCGCATCGGGTTTTGCCCGTAGTCGTCGACGTCGGTACTAATAATGTGGAATTGCGGGAGGATCCCCTGTACTTGGGTCTCAAGAGGCCGCGCTTGACGGGCGCGGCCTACTACGAAGTTGTTGATGAGTTCGTCACGGCGGTGCTGCATAGATGGCCGAAAACGCTGATACAATTTGAGGACTTTGAGTCTTCAGTAGCGCAGCCTTTGTTGGATAGATATAGGGACAAGATCCTGTGCTTTAACGATGACATCCAAGGCACGGGAGCTACCGTACTCGCAGGAGTGTTAGCGTGCTTGCGACAAACAGGTAAGACTGCTCAAGATTTGAAGGACCAGCGCATCGTCATGTGCGGCGCGGGTAGTGCCGGCGTCGGCGTGTCGACCGTCATAAAAGATGCTATGATAGCTGCCGGCCTAAGCGAGGAGGAGGCCCGATCTCGGTTTTACGTGTTGGAGAAGGAGGGGTTATTGGCGAAGCAAGGCATGAGTCCTGCGGACTACGATTCGTTGGCGCCGGAGCAGCAAATACTGGCCGAGAGTTTTGACGTTCCTACTGCTAAAAGAGGCGATTCCCTGCTAGACGTCATCAAGTACGCCAAGCCGACCATGCTCATCGGCGCGTCGACGGTAGCTGGTTTGTTTACGGAAGAAGTCGTAAGGGCGTTTCACGAAGGCTGCGGCGGCAAGCCAATAATAATGCCCCTGTCGAACCCCACCTCAAAATGCGAAGTGTCTGCCAGCGACGCCTATGCCTGGACGAATGGCGAGTGCGTCTTTGCCAGTGGGAGTCCGTTCGACCCTGTGGAATATGAGGGCACAAAGTACTACCCCTCCCAGTGCAACAACATGTTCGTGTTTCCGGGGTTGGGACTCGGTGCGTCCGTCGCCGAAGCTCGGGTCGTCACGGACGCCATGCTTCGGGCCGCGTCCGAGGCTTGCGCGAATTCTGTGAACGTCGAGGAGATGGCGCGCGGCCAGGTCTTTCCTTCCGTGGATCGTATTAGAGACGTGTCGTTGGATGTCGCCGTCGCGACGGTGGAAAGCGCGTTGCGGGACGGGCTGGCCACGCGCGAGGAGCTGCTGCGGCCGGGCGTCGACGTGAGGGCCTTCGTCGAGGCGAAGTCGTACTTCCCGGCCTACGTGCCGGTGGTGACGGACCCAGGCTTCTTCGACAACTAACGTGTATCTACCTATATTCCTAGCCCTCACCTACCCCGAGCGCGTCCGCCAAGGTTCTTCCGCAAAAAGCTTTATAGCAACCCCGCGCGCGCCGTCGGCCGGGGATCCCTAGCTCGACGTCTCAAAAAGCTTTAACTAGCGGTGTAAGGCACTAGCTCGTGCTCGAAGCCAGCGCATAAATCGGCCTATCGGTGCCACTGCTGCAGCTTGCGTGCTGCGGAGTTGCACGAGAGCTTCGATAATTAACTGTGAATGCAACGCGTCAGCCTCGTCCTCGCAGCTGTCGGGCGCGCGGCAGCGTTTGCAAGACCCTCGCGGAGGGCTGGCAGCGCTCTCTTACAAAAGAAGCCCATGGACTGCCTCACGGCGTGCTTCGGCACGACGGGCGGCGGCGACGATTCACCGTACGGTAGTTGGCCCAGCCCGATCACCGCCAAGTTTATTACCGGCAGCTCCGTCGGGTTAGGCAGTCTCAAGGTCGACAGCAGCGGCCTGTACTGGCTCGAGTCACGGCCACAGGAGGGCGGCCGCAACGTTGTGGTGCGGTACGTCCCTGACGACCCGGAGGCGTCGGAGCGGGGCGGCATCGAGGTCACGCCGAAGGAGAACAATGTACGTACAAGAGTCCACGAGTACGGCGGCGGCGCGTTCCAGCTCCACAAGGGCGGCGGCATCCTGTTTTCCGATTTTAAGACTCAGCGGTTGCATCTCGCGCTCGGCGACGGCCAAGCCACGGTCATTACTGACAAGGCGCCGGACGGTCAATACAGATACGCGGACTACGATGTCTCCGCGGACGGCGGCTCCGTCGTTTGTGTGAGGGAGGACCACGGGCCCGAGGGCAAGGCCAAGCCCGTGGACGTCATCAACGAAGTGGTGGCGATCAATTTGAGCACAGGCGCGGAGACGGTGCTCGCAAAGGGCCGCGACTTCTACGCCGCCCCCAAGCTCTCGCCCGACGGCTCGAAAGTAGCCTACGTCGCCTGGGACCATCCCAACATGCCATGGGACGCCACGGAGCTGCGCATCACGGACCAGAAGGATGCAAAGACGGATTCTCATCAGTTAGTGTGTGGCGACGGCGACTCTTCAGTACTCCAGCCGGCGTGGCACCCGTCCGGCGCGTTGTTTTATTTGACGGACGAGCAGGGCTTCTACGCCCTACAAAGATTTGAGGGAGGTGCTTCCAAGACGGTCCTCTCGGTAGCCGACGCCGATCTGGGCGGGAGCGCGCCGGGCTGGGCCTTCGGCCAGCAGGGCTACGCGTTCCTGGCCGACGGCCGCGTCGCCGCGGCCTATCCCGATCGCCAAACGGGCCAGACCGCCGTCGCGATCATGAACGAAGACGGGTCGGCCAAGACGGTCTACTCCGGCGAGGCAAGTGGCTTGCCGCATTCCGTCGGCGGCCTCACACCCGGCACGAAGAAGGACGAGATCTACATGATTGGGGGCGGTCCTGATAAACCAGCAGGCGTCTACCGCTGGGACCTGTCGGCCAGCACGCTCCTCGCGTCCTCGTCGAGCCAAGAGATCGATGCCGCGTACATCAGCAAGCCGCAGCCCGTGAAGTTCCCGACCACATTGGGCGAGGCCTACGGCTTCTACTACCCGCCGCGGCATCCCACATGCTCATCACAAGAAGCGGCGCCGCCACTCCTCGTCAAGGCGCACGGCGGCCCGACGGCGTGCACGGGCGCGACGTTCAACCCCAAGATCCAGTACTGGACTTCTCGAGGGTTTGCGGTCCTCGACGTCGATTATGGGGGTAGCACGGGCTACGGCAGGGACTACAGAAGGCGTTTGAGGGGAGCCTGGGGAATTGTGGACATCGACGACGTCTGCGCGGGTGCCCAATATTTGGTGAAGCAGGGTCTCGCGGATGCGAAGCGATTGGCCATTGACGGTGGCTCGGCGGGCGGCTACACGACCTTAGGCGCGTTGGCTTTTAGGGACGTCTTTACCGCGGGTTGTTCCTTGTATGGCGTGGGCGACTTAGCTGCTCTCGCTGGTGATACGCACAAGTTCGAGTCGAGGTACCTAGATGGGCTCGTTGGCAAGTATCCCGAGGATGAAAAGATATACACGGAACGAGCGCCCATTCATAGTGTAGACAAGCTGAACTGTCCCATCTTGTTGCTCCAAGGCGACGAAGATAAGATTGTGCCGCCGAACCAGGCCGAGACCATGCACAAAGCGCTCCTCGAGAAGAAGGTGCCGACGGCCCTCAAGATCTACGAGGGCGAGCAGCACGGCTTCCGCAAGTCCGAGAACATCGAGGACGCGCTGAACAGCGAGCTCTACTTCTTTTCCAGAGTGTTCGGCTTCGACTGTCTGAAGGCCAATCCTGAAGTCGAGGTCTTCCCCATCGACAATCTACCGTAAGGAGAAGTGTACTATTATTTTTTTACGCGCGCCGTCATGCCGAGTCCACGCCCTCGATGCCCGGAGGCAGCGGCTCGAACTCCTCGGGATCCTGATCCCGCACGGCCTGGTAGAACCGTGTCGCGAAGTTCGCGAAGTTCTTCAGGATCACGAAGCACACCAGGATGTAGCGAACGCCGGACTCGACCTCGTGCCCGCCGTGCAGCATACCAGAGGCATGAGCTAAGACGTGGCCGCGGTCCGATCGGATCGACCCGGGCGGATCGTCGCGCGCTAATCTAGCGATCCAGGTGCCGCCGCCTTCGTACTCGGACATGTCATTGAGAGCGATGTTGAAGGAAACGACAGAACCATCTCTATGAGGCTTCAGGAACGACTGCCCAGCCGTCGCGTTGTATTTTACGACGAAGGCGTCGACGACCCTTAAAGGTTCGGTCGACGGTAATAAGTCTTTGTACGACGTCGCGAGGAACGGGTAGAGCACTTCAGGTAGCGCCTTTTCTCGAAACCACTCGTGCGTCCGCGGTAGCTCTTGCACGGGCACATCGGTCGTCGCGTAGTTCGCATGCCTTTTGGTCGTCCAGCCGCCCATCCTTGCTGCTCGTTCTTCCGCTTCATCAATGATGGCTTGCGTCTCTGCCTTGGAGAACAAGGGTTCTTGCGAGTGCGAGATTAAATGACTGCCGTCGTGCTCGACGAACTTGACGGTGGCGGACCCGCAGGCCGGGAGCGTCTCGACGCCGTGCTCGGACTCGTACAATTTCATGGTCTGCACATACGCCGGTATTTGGCGCTCGGAGATCATGCGGATCACGGCGCGTCGTCGTCGTCTTGGTTGGAGCGGTTGCAGCGCCCAGGTCGTCGCGGCGATGAATAGAGCTGCTGTGCGCATGGTTGTAAGCGGCTTACGAGACGGAGACGCCTTGCTATGTGCAATTTGCTGCACTGCAGTCCAGTGTGCAGAGCAAATGTCTCTGTATGCGGTGCCTCAGCGATGAAACTCGGTCAGTGCTGCGCAATATCAACGTGCACAACTGCTGTGTAGTTCTGCGCGATGTATAGGTCTCGTTAGCTCCAGTTTACGTGCCCTTGTGCGCGGTGATGTGGGCATCTCGCAATCGTTGTCGCCCTAGCGCACTGCGCCTCAGACGCCTGCCAGTGCCCATGAAGGATTTGCTTACCCTCAAAACGCCTCGTTTTGCCTTGCACTCGATCCCTAGCGTATCGAAACACTCTAGCCTGCGCGATTTTGCCCGACGGTGCTCAGGGCTGTTGCGTGTCTATACGGCTGCCATTATCACTGGTGGGCCGACAGGGATCCAGCAAAAGTTATTAACGTTCGAAACCCTGCGAATCACGTAACCTAGAGACGCACAAACGCACAACAAAAAAGGAGTCCAGCCCAGCACAACACAAAATGGGCCGCTCCTCCACGCTGCGCCCGCCGTCGAGCGGCTTAACATACCGAGAAGCGCGGGAGCTCTGCAACGAGCTCATGACGCGCGTCCAAGTCTCGACGCGGACGTATCGCTGGCGGCGCTACGACGACGTCTTCAGCAGCGGCGAAGCGGTAAATGCCCTCCTCAGCTTCCAGCAAGCACAGTTAACAAAACTAGCAGAAAATGAGGCCCAGGCCGCCTCCCAGCTCCAGACGCTCATGGACTACGGGTTTATTGGTCGAGTTTCCAAGAAAAACGACGAACTTACGGGCTTAAATGAAAAGCACGCGAACGTGATCAAGGTGACGAACCACACGTACTACCGCTTCCGCAAGCAGGAACTAAGTTCCTGGCAGTTGCGGGTCGAGGTGTTGGAGGTCCGGAGTTCGGCCGGTGTCGCGGAGTCCGGTTCTGTGAGACTCGGCGTCGCGGGCCAGGCCCACGACCTCAGCGTCAAACGTATTAGTACAGAAAGAATCGCGACCTACGCGCCCGAGAGTAGCAGCGGCGACGCGTTCGTGGGCGGCGTCGACTTTGAAAGGGACGATGGTGCGCTCTCCGCGTTTTGAGGTGTTGCGGTGCCTTCACTTCATGCAAACGACTCGTCTCCATCAGAGAAGGCGCTGGGTGGTCTCTGGTCCAAATTTGAGCCGATTCGGACCGCGTCGCGAGACCGCGATGCTCCGCGCAGGTCTTGCGGTCGACTGCGCGTTCGGGAAGGGTCGACACGCGGTGCGGGCGTCGGGCGTGTTGCGCTTTGCGTTGAGGAGGGGCGCCATGGGCCAGCGGAAGGCGAGGCCGCTGTGGGTCGACGTCGCGCGCGCGCCGGTCGACGTGACCGTCGCGGGCTTGCAGACGGGTTTTGGATTGGTCTCGCGGATGGCGCGGTCGGTCACGGGTTCGCAAACACCGCCTCCTGTTCAGAAGCGGACGCTCCTCAAGTCCATGAAGTCGTTTCGAAGCACGCAGGAGAGTTCGACCGACGACGTGCTTGGATTGTCCCTCGGAACGGGCGTCGACCTCCCAGTAGTGACATTTCGCGATGATGATGATCCCGCGGATGTACTGAGAGCGCAGCGGAAGGCTCGGAATCGGGCGCCCTTTGTGGTTCTCAGAATGCCTTCGGTGCTTGAGGAGGATAGTATAGAAGCGGGCGACGACCTGTCGACGCGCATGCGGAAGAAAGCTGCTGCGAGACTAAGGAAGAAGGGCACGCGATCTCTCTCCCCGTTCCCGTCGCAGCGGGAGAAGGAGGCCGTGGTAGCGGTCAAGCTCGCCGCCTTCGCGACGCGACGAGAAGTGTCTGATGAACGAACCTCATTAACGAGAGCCGCAACGTCACCGACCTGGGGCTCGGAGGCGCTGCGACGAGACCTGGAGTCGAGGACCTGGCGCGTCTACGCGCGCGTCGGAGAAGTGCGCGGCGCGCGATGCAGCGTTCCCATCGTGATCAAGAGCCAAGTGGTCCTCGAGGTCGGCGCGAAGATCAGTTTTGAGAACACGACCACTACTAGTACGAAGACGACAAGGAAGCTCGATAGCTTGGCGAAGTTCACTAGACCAAGAGTGAAAGATTACGCGACGGACGGCGCCGACTTCAACGGCGAACGACTAGTTGTTGCGGCCTGCGTGCCGCGGTCGTCGGCACACTTACGGGTCAGTGTCTACGAGCGCCTGAAGACGGATTTAGTAAGAACGAGACGGTTAGGCATCGCGACGATACCCCTAGACGAAGTGCCCGTGTTGTCTGCACCTTTAACAGGTGTCTCGCGTCGAAGTGTCGGGGCGTTCCTGTCGAACCTTCGGAGTCCGTCGGACATTTCTAGACGAGACATAGTGTGGATCCTCAAGAGCCTGGTGCATGCGTCAACACGAGCACTGAGACGAAGGTCCTCATTACTAGATCGACTATTGGCGCGCTACGACGACCCGTCGTCTCCCCCAAAACGGAGCCCCTCCACCGAAGGCTGGCGGTCCTCTTTGGAATCTGCAAGAGAGGCAGGGCAGACCAAGAAGCGCTTCTTCTTCGCGCGCGACGACGCGCTGCGACGGAAGGCGCGCGAGCCGGACCCGCGGACGTTCGCGCTCATCGCGGCGCCGCGGCGGAATGAAATAGGACGAGCTTATAGGAACGGCGCCGTGACACTATCTGTGTGGATGGCGCCGACGCTGGCCGAGGGTCCTTCCCTCATCAGGTGGGCGTCGAAATACTTCCGGGAGCTGTGTGCCGGATTTATATCGTTAGTTGTGTTATTATCATGGATACTGATAGGACGGACCACGGCCCTTACATTGCTGCTACTCCTACCTTTACCGCTGGTGTATGTGGAAATCCCCCAGTTCCTGGGCTGGTGCCTCCAGACCTACATCAACCGATTGGCTCCCGGCATAAGGATGTCCATCGGCGCGCTACGGCTGTCGATGTGGATCGATAGGACGGATGTCGATCTGGAACGACGAAAAAAGGACGCCGACGAAGTGGACGACGACGCGCCGACGCTCGCGCGAGCTCGCCTCGCGGTCTGTGCGGACGTCGACGCCTTCGCGCTGCGACATCCGACGGATGCGGGGTATGCGCATTCCGATTTTGTGAGTGCGCGAAGTGTACGAGTCCAGCTATCGGTGGACCATCGCCTGTTGGACGGCCTCGCGAACTGGTTTCTGGGGAGGATACCGCTGAATTGGTCGCCCTTTCCCGGGCGGCATGCTGCATTACGCAAGCAGCGCGGCTTCGAGCCGACGCGCTTGGGGTGCGTGCGCGTCGACGTGCTGAAGGTCGACCACGCGCGGTGCGCCTTCGACCACGCGCACGGCGAATTTAACGTCGCGCGCTTCACGCGGGACTTAGCTTCTGGAAAAGTGGCCAAAAAGCTTGGCGACGAACTCCCGCCGAACCAGCTACGGGTCGCGGTCGTCGGTGCCCAAAATCTCAAAGCTCGGAACGCCTTCGCGGTTGTTACTGTTAGGTCTTTTCGTAGCCAGACGGCGGTGCGGGAGGTCATAGATGGGGGCTGCGTCTGGAACGAGCGCTTTTCTTTTCCTTGTGCGCTCGCGGCGTCCCGTCGTGTTGTGAGCTGTTTCGGACCGCGTCGGGGCCGTCGCGGCGTGTCAGAGAGACAGCTTTCATGAAGATGGCGTCTTCACGAGACAGCGCCGCCGCGACGCCGTCGACGCGATGCCACATCACCGCGACGCTCCGCGCAGGTCCCGACCCCTCGGCCGTGCTCCACGTGGGAGTATATGATGCCGGAAGAGGTCTCAGCTCGCGCGCGTCCCTCGTGGCCCAGTGGCTCACGACGGCGAAAATGCTTATACTAGATCCAACAAATATATATTGCGACCCCGCCTCTCTACAGATATCTAGAGGTACATCGGTGGATGGTCTACCTAGATCGTTTGACCTGGAGGCCGACGTTAGGCTACGAGACCGTAGATTCGCGGGGTGTGTGGGACCGTTCCACCAGTCCGAAGCGACGGCCTCGCTACGAGTCTCGTACGGAAGAGACCCGGAAGGCGTCACGGCGGAACAGTTACTGGCTCTACGACCCTCCACAGCCTTGGAACAACTCCGACAGAACTCCGAGGAAACCGGAAGAAAACTGGGCAACCAGAGCAACGTGGAGCGGATGTTGCGGGACTTTCCCCTGTTGTTCGACGTGCGCGACGTGGAATTGACGTCGCTGAACATGTACCTCAAGGACCTCTTCACGGGCTACCGGGGCGCGAAGGAGCGGTCCGCACAGAAAACGGCTAGTAAGTTGGAAAAGAAGGGCTGGGCCGCCTCCGAGGAAAAACATCCTGTCACCAAGTGCGCTCGCGGCGTCTTGTGGTGTTTTCACTTTGTTCATGTGACTCGTGTCCATCTCACGATGACGTGGGTGGTTTCTTTTTCGATTTCGAGGCCATTCACGATGCTCCGCGCAGGCCCCTGTCTACCCTTACCGAAGATGACGCGGACTTGCGTGGGAGATTCAAAGATACCGTATTTGTGGATAAAGTGGACCTACGCAACAAATTGCGGGATGCTACTGCTCCCGAGGGTATTGATTTGTACGTGCTGGCTCGAAGTTTTGTCGGTTCGACCATACAACCCCTGTTCTCCGAGGCGGACGTCTTACAGTCGGGCTTCGGCCAGATTTTATCAGGAGTGTTCTCAGGAGGCGTCTTCGGCAACCATCGAAGACCAGGAGCTGTGAGTGCGGTGTCGCCGCCGCGGCCTCGGCAACCATCGACGCCTTCCGAGCTACCAAGGTCGTCCACCACTCCAAAGACGGCTTTACAGGGCTCTGTGCGTTCTAGAGACCCGAAGAGTAAAAAGCCGGCGGCGCGGCCGCTGGCGAAGCGGGCCTATGCCTATGTCGATCGGTTACGCGGGGCGTCCAAATACCTCGACGCCGACGACAACGCGCGCCTCGTCGAGGAGGCGTCGATCGACGGGTTTTTGCTGAAGCAGGTCCGGAGGAGCGTCGTGGGGTTGCCGGGCGTTAGTCGACCGACGAAATTTCATTTGGAGTGGTGCGAGCTGAAAGCGCGAACTTTATATTATACTCGTAGAGACCCGAAGAGCGGCGATAGTATCGGATTCACGAAGAAGCTGCGGTTGGGCACGAGGGCCTACGAGGCTCGGTTTACGAAGGACGAGATCGCCCTTCGAAGCTTAGCCCTCAAGGTCACGGAGGCCATGCTCGACGTGTCCATCATCAAGAAGAAGCCTGTGGAACCGATCGAGCAGCCGAAGAAGAAGGCCTTTCGGACCATAAGAAAGGAGATCACGTTGCGGGCTGCCGATTTAGCGACGGCGGCACGAGGCCCGTCGCTCGAGATGTGGTGGGCTTCGTTGGCGCCGGGGTGTGAGGCGGACGGCGCCTGGCACGACATCACGGCGTCGAGGGAGGTCGCTCGGCATAGTCCCCAAAGGAAAAGTTTCTTCTCGGACGACTCCGATGATGAAAGTGATGCGGAGACGATCGTGAGCGAGGCGTCGCTGCCTCCTGATAGGGGCTCGTTCGGGTCCATGGCGTCTCTTACTAGTGCGCCCGTGTGATGTGCTGTGGTCTAAGGAGCTCTTGTCGTTTACTACGAGTTCGTGCCCAGGCCCGGGGTCCACTCGTCGTGGGGGTCGGCATTGGCGGCGTTTCGTCTGTTTTTTTCGGTCCGCGTGCTTCGTTTGGACGCTTGGGTGGATTTTGTCCGGGCTGGGCGTAGCTGTGGCTGTGTAGATTTAAATTCAGCCGTCTGCCCTCCACGTTTGAATTTTGATGCTAGTTTCATCGCCCGGTACCGGTCTGAGGTTTGGTTATGCTTCTACACCAGTGCGTATGATGGCATATAAGCTCCGGACGGCCGCGCAAGCTAGCGGCCTGTAAGACACTAGCAATCAGCCTACCGGGGTCGAGGGCGCCAGTCTCATATCGCAAAGCACCATGCAGGTGAGTACACCACACTCGCGCCCGCTCTTCAGATTCACCTATCGCTGTCAAAAACGGGCTGAGAGCTTGCCGCGTTGCGCAGCGGCTCCGCGCCCCGAATCGAGCTCTCCGTCCAGCTGGGGGTCTTCCAGCCTGGTGGGAGCCAGCCGCGGCGCGCGAGGCCCCCGGGCCCGGCCGGGCGGGACCGCGCGTGCCCTGTGGCGCGGCCGCCGCCGCCCCCGCCGCGGAAATGGCCCCCGGGGGACGTGACCCGGGAGGCTCGTTCCCGCCAAAAAAAAAAACACGGGCCTAGCGCGCGGCGCCGCCGCGCCGCCGCGCCCAGAGCCCATACCGGTCGACGAGAACTCATGGACGCGCCCCCGCCCCCCAAAACGCCCCACCCCAAAACGATTCCTCACACGACCCAACGCCGCTTCGCAGATCTTCGTCAAGACGCTCACGGGCAAGACCATCACGCTCGATGTCGAGCCGTCGGACACGATCGACAACGTGAAGCAGAAGATCCAGGACAAGGAGGGCATCCCGCCCGACCAGCAGCGCCTCATCTTCGCGGGCAAGCAGCTCGAAGATGGCCGCACGCTGTCCGACTACAACATCCAGAAGGAGTCCACTCTCCACCTCGTCCTCCGCCTGCGCGGCGGCGCCGACGAGGAGAAGAAGCCCGAGGAGGCCGCCGCGGATGAGGATGACGACCGCCGCGTGAACCTCATGTCCCAGGAGGGCGACCAGTTCGAGGTCGAGGTCAAGGTCGCCAAGATGAGCGAGCTCGTCAAGACCATGATCCCGGAAGAGGCCGACGAGGACGAGGAGGCGCAGGAGATCCCGCTCCCGAACGTCAAGTCGCACGTCCTCGCCAAGGTCATCGAGTTCTGCCGCCGCTACGCCGAGGAGCCCATGTCCGAGATCGAGAAGCCCCTGAAGAGCGCGAACATGCACGAGGTCGTCCAGGAGTGGTACGCCAATTATGTGGACGTCGACCAGGAGCTGCTCTTCGAGCTCATCCTCGCGGCGAACTACATGGACATCAAGCCTTTGCTGGATTTGACCTGCGCGACCGTCGCGTCGATGATCAAGGGCAAGACGCCGGAGGAGATCCGCAAGACGTTCAACATCGTCAACGACTTCACGCCCGAGGAGGAGGCCCAGGTGCGCGAGGAGAACAAGTGGTGCGAGGAGGCCTAGGGTGTTTGCGTCTTCACCCTCTGTGTAAGAAACCTATAAAACTTCCGTTTACGCGAGCGCGGCGACGGCGAGCAGCAGTGGCCACGCGACGACGCCGGCCCGGGGCACGCGCCGGAAGCCCTCTTCATTGGGATTGGCGAGCGCGAAGCGGAGCATCGCCGCCGCTATCATCAACGTCGTCAGCCCGAACGCGTCCGCGCGGTCGAGCGCCGGAGTTGTGGTGCCGGGGGCCGTCGGCGCGAGCAACGCCAGGTAGAGTCCCGTAGCGGCGAGGAAGGCGCCCGAGTTCCGCGTCGCGTGGAACCAGACGCGCGACTTGGGCGCGGTCAGCTTGTCGTGGAGCCGGAACGTGTAGTTGGGGTTGACGCCGAGCGTGAGTTCCGAGGTCAGGCCGTTGACGACGAGGATCGCCGCCGCGAGAAACTTCGACGGGCGGTCGAGCAGGCTCGCGGCGCCCAGTACGGCGACGGCGGCCGTCCACGCGGCGAGCGGCGCCTTCTTGAAACCGATGCTCTCGTAGAGCGGCGCGCAGGCCGCGAGGGCCACGGCGTTGGCGAGGTGCGACCACGCGTGCACCACGCTCGGGTCAATTAAGAGCACGGTGCAGAGGAAGCAGCGCCAGACCGCTGACGCGCGGCAGGCGACGAGGCCCTCTTTATCCTTGGCGTCGGCGACGACGAGTTCCGGATAGATGAATTCGCCGACCGCGTCGACCAGCGTGAGGCCGGCGCCACCGTATATCGCTGCGTCGCTGATGTGGCCGCCGCCGCGCAAATTAAGGGCCAAGTTGGGTCCGGTTTTTGGCGCTGTTTTTGGACGAGTTATAGCCGCGCTCCGCCGCGCGAAACTTGCGAGGAGGATGGCAATGGTCAAAAACGACATTGAAATAACGCGTTCGACACGTAGCCGCAATAAAATTGGCCAGTCGAGCTTGTAAACCCGTTTTGATGGCGCAGTTTGCTGGCGCAGTCTTGCGCCTTCCAGGAGTCATCGCGGAGATCGCATGGCCGGCCAGAAGTGTGAAAGTCCCCCCCTTTCAAACGCAGGCTCTGCGAACCATCTGCATGCCAGGCGCGGCGCCGCATATGGGCCGCATACATTGCTGGTTTCGGGTGTAGAGACGAGAAGGGATCCTGTCGGTCGTGCCCGTGATTTGTGCGCGAGGGGCAGCCAATGGCGCGAACGAAACCCTCGGTAGCGGCAGCGGCAGCGGCACGGCGCGAGGCCGACGCCGCGTTGGAGGCGGCGCGGCGTCAGCACCTCGCCGCGTTGGAGGTAGAGGCAGCGGCCGGTGCCGCATATGCCCGGGCGAGGAACGATGGGGGCAGCATAAGCAGCATAAGCCCTGTGCAAGAGATACCGCCCAGGCCCGCATTGGGAGAGATCCTCTGCCGCTACGGCGCCGCCTGCTACCGACCGGACTGCCTATTCAAGCACCCCCCGGGGCGCGTCGCACAAGCGCCCGCGTGCCGCGACGGCTGGCACTGCACGCGGAAGGATTGTGGCTTCACGCATCCCGCCGGCGTGCGCGAGGATGTCGAGCTGCCGTTCGAGGCGCGGAACGTTATCCTCGGCAACGGCGGCTGCGTCGTCCAGGAAATAAGGCGCCGCGTGCGCGACGCGCGCATTCACATCGAGACCGACTTCGACGCGGAACGGATGGTGGCGGAGATCAAGGCGATGACGCCCGCGGCCCTCGAGCACGCGCGCGAGTACCTCGAATGGGCGGCGTTTTCCATGCTGCGCCGCGGCTTCAATCCTGATAAAGACATCCTGCGGAACAAGGAAGGACAGGTTAGCCAGTGCTTCAGCCGCTACTGGGATGCCATCCGACGCGAGAAGAAGCGACGCCTCGGGCGCAAGCTCACGAAGGGCGAGGTGCGCGGGGCGAAGCGCGTGGCGGCGGCGTACGTCGCCCCGCCCGCGCCGCGCTTCTTCTGCGAGCGTGAGTGGGACCGCTTCGTCGTCGCGTCCGAGCGCGCCCGACCGCCGCCTCCGGCGTTTAGGAGCCGGAAGAGACGGCAGCGCTATGCCCGGTCCGCCGGCGACGGCGAATTCTACGAGCGATGGGCCCGCGAGACGTTGCAGGGCGGCTCGCGGAAGCGCGGCCGCGACGACAGCCGCAGCCGCAGCCGCAGCCGCTCTCGCTCGCGCGACGCCTCCTCCGTCTCCCGGACCGAAAACTACTACGACTCCGAGGGTTCCTGCGACTCCGGCGACCGAATTTGCGGTTTCTCTCCCGGTGACGTCGAGGAGCTCATGTGCCAGGGCGTCAAGCCCTGGGACGACGACGCGGGCGACGTGCTGGCCGCGCTCTACTACTAGGATATAAGAAAACGGGTGTTACAAAACTGAGGGGCGTGGGACACGACTAGTCCTCCTCCTCCGCGCCCTGCGTCAGCCGCGTGTTCAGCTCGTCGATCGTCGAGCGCAGTTCCTCGCGCTCCTTTTTGAGATCTTCGTTCTCCTGCCGCAGCGCGTCCACATCAATCCCCGTCGGCGCCCCCATGTACCTCTTGATGTAGTCGACGGCGTTCGGCGGCCGCTCGGGCTCCTCGTAGAGGCCGACGAGCACCTTCGTCAGCGCGTCGATCACACCGCTCTTCTCGAGGTACCTGCGCGGAGCATCGCGTCCGAACGGCCAAGATGGACACGAGTCGCGTCGACGGCGTGAAGGCGCCGCAGCACCGCGGGACGCCGAGAGCGCACTTGCGGAACTCCTCCTTCTTCGAGTCGGGCGTCTGGTACGCCATGGTTGGGTGGCTGTGTTGCTTTGCTTAGAGCTAACTTGTGTTGTTAAAAGGCTGGAGGTGTGGCCGCGACGTCAACTCGCAAACCAGATACTTCCTAGCACACGCACGCCTCCAATGAAGCCGAATACGTTCACAGTGTACGCACAGCGTCAAAGGGAGGCAGCTATTTTGGCCGGCAGGCAGCCAGCCGCTATTTTGGGCTAGTAGCTTTCGCTTGCTAGTGTCTTACGGGCCGCTAGCTCGGCTCGGCTTTGATCGACGTACGGCTTGCACAACTGCAGTTCTGGGCCTCCAGTGTTGCATACTACATTGCTGTACTGCTGAGTCCACGCTGCCTAAATTGTAGCGGCATTGCTGCTGCTGCGGAGGAGCTAGGGTAGGATGGGTGCAGCCCTCAGCAGCCCCCGGGAGGACCGGCCAAAGCTAAAGCCGGCCCGCAGCAGTTCACTGAGACGCATGTACGCATCAGCACGAGCGACGAGCTGGAGGGGCGCCGGCACGACATCAATGGAAAACAGGGAGCGCCCGTCGCTCGACGACGAGCCCATCGAGAGAAGAGGCAGCGGCCAGACCGATACAGTAAGGTGGGGCGCCCACAACGCGCCGGCGCGCGCCGACGCGGACCGCTGGGCCGTCCACGTTTCTGGAGACGACGTCACGGCGGCGGTCTGCGACGGGCACGGTGTTGCCGGAGCGGCGCACTGGGGCCGGGAGATCGCGGCGGAGGCGGCATCGATGCTCGCCGAGGGCATGGGGTTTGAGGCTTTTCAACAATTACATGAGGAGCGTTATGACGAGACGGTGCGCGCGGCCTTCGAGAAGCGTAGAGAGAGCTTCCGGGAGCAACACGGCTTCGACGCGCCCGGCGCCCTTCCCGCGGAGGGCGGCTGCACGGCGACGGTCGTGAACGTGGCACGTGGTTTACTAACTGTAAAATGGGTCGGCGACTCGCGCTGCGTTATTAAGGGGAGGGACGGGTCGGTTCGTGCGTTGACGACGGACCACGCCGCATCGACGCATCGGGAGGAAGGGCTGAGGATCGAAAAGGCGGGCGGCGCCGTCGAGGGCGCCTACGTCGCCGCGCCGCGGGCCGAAGGTTTATTGCAGGTCACGCGGTCGCTAGGGGACCGCGCGCACCATTTGGATGATGTGGTCCTGGCGACGCCGGAGGTCGTCTCTGTGTCGGTGGAGGACGCCGAGTTCGCGATCGTCGCGACGGACGGCGTCTGGGCCTTTGTGGACGATTCCCGAGCCGCCAGCGCGGTCGCCGACGCGCTATCAAAGTCGGACGACGTCTCCGCGGCCGCGGAGGCGCTCTCCAGCTTGGCGCGGGAGCGGGCCGCGGCCTCGCCGCGGGGCGTGGACGACATCGCGGTCATCGTTCTAGTGTTTAATTGTTAGTTGTCTATAGAGCTGGCAAAGCCTTCTTGCCCCGCAGACGACGGATCAGGCGTACGGTCCCAAAGATGGCCCGGAACGCTAACCGTAAAGGGAAGGACAACGCGTAGGCCGCCGCGTCCTTCGCGAATTCGCGGAGGCCCTCGAGACGCGCCGCGCCGGCCCCCAGGCCGCGCATGCGCTTGACGACGCGCTGGCCGTAGACGCGCGCCGCCCAGTCCGATTTACAACCGCGCTTGATGAGCATCCGCCGCGCCTGGCGCCTTCTTCGTCCTTCTTCCGAGAACACCAGCGACGCAATGGGCCGGAGGACCGTGAGGGCCAGGCCCAGGATCAAGCCGTTATTCTTGATAGTGGGCCTGCCGGCCGAGTTCGGCTTCGATTCCTGAACGTTCTTGCCGATCGCGGGCACGTCCACCTTCTGGTCCCCGTAGACGCCGACGGCGTTGAGCTTGACCGCGAAGGGCCCGTCCCGGAAGTTCTCGACCTCGGTCATATTGACCGAGGCGGCGCCGAACCGCGACAAAGTCAGCCCGAAGCCGTAGACGCTGGCGCACTGCGTCGCATTTAAGGGCGGCGCCCCTTCCACGATGCGCGGGCCCCGTACGAGCTTAAAGTCCGAGAAGGGAACGAACGTCGGCCCGCCCACGCCGTCGGGGCCGCGCGGCGCCCACTCGGCCGAGTACACGATCTCGGACCGCGACGCCGCCGTCCTGAGCGTAAGTTTCCAGGCCCGTCGCGCGACGTCGGCGTCCGAGGTCAGGATGGCGTCGACGTAGACGCCGTCCGCTTTCGACAGGTCGAGGGGCGCGTCGAGGGCCTGCATGAAAATATCAACCGGTGAGTCGCGTGCCTGGCTGCTGGAAACTTGATTCGACACTGTCCGAGACCGCCGTGCGCGTGCCGCAGAAGCCGCCGCCGTCCGTGCGCACAATGCCGCGCCACTCCGCGCCGCCGTCGCCGACGACGATCTTCGAGCTACTGACGCCGCCCATGACCACATCGTCAATTCTTTCCCAGAGCGCCGCCGTCGCCTCCGGTGCGGCGTCGAAGTTAAACACCGGCGTCCGCTCCCGCTCGTAGGCAGCCGTGGTGCTTCGGAGCGGCGGCGTCCGGCGGAGAGCAAATCTTGGGGAGACCAATGCGGTGGCTGCTTGCAGCAAAGCGATGCATAGTGCTGTGGAGCGCAGCATGTCTACAGCGGGATGATCGAGACTCGTCGATGAGCGACTGATAAAGTTAGAGCGAGACAGCCCGCGCAAGAGGCCTGCCAAGCTGGCGCCGAGGGCTTTCTAGTGTCTTTACATGCCGCTAGCAATTGGTAGCATCTGTGTGTGCGAGTTTCACCAATAAACTAATTACGATAATGCCGTCGGTAGACGAACTCGCCGCGAATGATCCATACGACGTCGAGGCGGCCACGCGGGCCGCCAAGAAGATGACATCCAATCAGCTCCGCGACCGGCTGACCGCCGCCGCTGCGGACGCCTCGGGGCTCAAACCGGCGCTCGTCGAAAAGTGGGTCGCCACGGCGCGAGAGGTGGCCGTCGCCAAGAAGACGAAACTCGTCACGGGCGAGGACGTCGCGCGCGTTTCGGACGCGATTGGCTGGCGCGCGCTCGCAGGCTACGTCGGCCTGGACGCTCGTGCGGCGCTCGCGGCGTCGAGCCGCGCGGGCCTCGCGGCGGGCAACGCGCTCGACGCCGCCCCGGAGTGGTGGCGGGCCTGCGCGTGCGAGCATCTCGACTTCGAGGACGACCCGTGGGACGACTGGCGCAAGGCCCCTGTCTCCGACACGCACTCATGCTGGCCGCTCGCCGCGCGCCTCGTGTCGGGCGGCGCCGACCGGCGGCTCGAGCTCGCGAACGCGCGACGCGTCGCCCGCGAGGACCCGGGCGAGGACGACCAGGGCTCGGACTCGGAGGAAAGTCGCTTCGTCGACCCGATCGAGCGCGTCTGCCGGAACCTCGACGCGCTCGCGACAGTCGCCGTCGGCGAGGCCGCCGCGCCCGTCGCCGTCTCCTGCTGCGGCGACGTGGGCTCGCTCCTGCCGCGGCTCTGGGTCCCGGCGCTCGACCAGGCGCTCGAACTGCCGCTCGAGCCGGCGGCTCTGCGCGCGCTCGTCGCCAAGGTCGGCCGGCGGGCGCCGCTCGGCAAGGGGACCGAGACCGTCGTCGACCTCGACGCGCGGCGGACCTGGCGCTTCGGCCTCGGTACCGACGTCCTCGCGACGGCTCCTGACTGGACGTCAGCGTTCTCGTCGTCGGGCGGCGACCGGTCGGCGATCCTCGACGAGATCAAGCTCAAGCTTGCGCCCGCGCTGTCCGGGCGCGGCGAGGTCGTGGCGCAGCCCTACCAAATGCTCGTGTATGAGGAGGGCGACTTCTTCAAGCCGCACCGCGACACCGCGCGGGCCCCGAGCCACTTCGGCTCGTTGGTCGTCAACCTGCCCGTCGTCGGCGGAGCCGAGGGCGGCGACTTGATTCTGCGCGCGCGCGACGAGGACGACGTGGTGCTGCCCGCGGCGCGGCCGGGCGCGGCGCCGCTGTGGGCGGCCTTCTACGCGGACGTCGCGCACGAGGTGTTGCCGGTGACCCGCGGCCTACGCGTCACGCTGACCTACCACCTCTACGCCGCGGGCTTCGGCGACGTGCCGCGCCTTCCCGCGTCGCTCCTCCGCACGGGCGAGGCCGGGAGTCTCACGATCCTCGGGGCCGCGCTGAACTGGACCATGCGCCGGTTCAATCGTCCCACCACCCGGTTCGAGCGCACCACCCCCCTCGCCTTCGCGCTTGCGCACAAGTACACGACGAACACGCTCCCGAACGTGCGTGCGGAGGACGAGGAGGGCAACGAGATCTGGACGCGCGACCCGGCCCGCCTCCGCGGCCGCGATGCGGTGCTCTACGCGACGCTCGACAAGGCGCTCCGCGCGTACTGCGGCCCGAACCCGGGCGACGACGACTTCGACGACGACATGTGTTACATGCCGAGGCCGCCCCTCCGCGTCGAGCTCATCAAGATCCGCGACTTTGTGCCGCCGCGCGACGGCGAGGCGCCGAAGTTTTGGGTCGGCGATATAAATACATGGGACGGCAATTGGTCGGGTCGCGGGCAACGCACGAGATTCGTGAACCGCGACGAACTCGCGGAAACGCTCAAGCGCGCGGTGCCCGAGCGCACGAGCCTCTACACGGGCAACGAGGGCATGGAGTCCGGCTACATCTACACCTCCGCGGTCATCAAGCTGGCCGAGTCCGGTATTGGTGATTACTGATTTATGCCCCTCCGCTCCCGAGTATTTAGGTAGCAGTCAGTAACACACTAGCAAACACAAAAGCCAAGGTTTACACACGGTGACTTTATAGGACACACAGCCGCCGGTCAACACAGTGACGCGTCATCAGTTTTCATAAAAAAAGGTGCTCTTGAAGACTAGCCCCGTTGTCATACAAGAAATGCATTCATGCGGCATCTGAGACCACTGCTCCTTGCAGCCTGCAGTTCGCTGCTGCAGCACTGTGCTGCGCTCAGCGGTGCAGGACGACGGCTTTCGAAGCCGGCAGCACAACCGCCGACGCTGTCGCGCAGTCGTTTGCTGCGCGCGTTCGGCGGCGCGATGATAACAACGCTCCCGCTACGAGCCGACGCCGTCGACTGCCTCGGCGAAGCGGAAAAGGCCCAACGATTGATAAGGACCACGCTCGCCATCTATGCGGACGACGGCGACCCGGCGCCGTTACGACCCGTGGCGAAGACCATCGCGAAGCCGGACTCGCCCCTCCGCCAGTGTTTGGAGCGGGCCTACTACCTCCCGAACGACCAATTGGATGAAACGACGCGGAACCATGCCAGAGACGCCCTGGAGTACGCGGCGTCCGTCGTCGAGTTCGACGCCTTTGATAGGGTGTGGAAGACGTCGCAGCCGAAGCAGTCGCTGACGCAGTACACCGCGGAGGGCCTCCAGTACTCGAAGCGGGCGCTGGAGGCCGTCGACCGGGAGCTGGGGTTGTTCGTCTTCGGCTGCAAGGTCAAGGGGAGGTCCTATTTTGGGGTGTCATAAGTTGCTGCATGAAAAGCCTTCGTCACGGTCGCCTTCGAGCTAACAAAGTAGCTACTAGTAACACTCGGGGCGCCGACGACGTACGGGGCGGGCGGGCGGTCACGTAACCCCGCGGCGGCTTGGTGGCTAGGCGGCCTCGCTCTAAGCAAAGCAAAGGCGCGACACACTAGTCAAGGGTCATAAATCACATACTGTTAATCTTCGGGCGGCGGGGCCGGCGGTTCCAATTCGGGACACTCCGCCTCGCCGCCCAGCTGCTTCGGCAGGTGGTCCGCCGCCACACTCCTAAGAATCTCGCGCGACTCGAGCGCGTGGATCGTGATCTGGCGCGCGACGTGCGCCGGGACCACGCTCGTCAGCGCCCTCCTGAAGATCGCGGCGATCGTCGGCTGGCAGTTCACGATGTGCAGCTTGCCCACAATAAAAGGATAGTAGTTCAGGAACATCTGCACGGCCTGGACCACGGCGGGAATGAGCGTAGGCATCATCACGCTGCCGAAGGTGCAGCCTTTCATGTCCGTGATCGCGCACAGCCGCGTGATCTCGCCCCAGCCCTCATCCAAGAGAGGGGGGTCGTCCACGGGCTGGCCTAACCGTTTTCTTTCTTCAAACTTCTTCTTCACTGAGGCAAGAATGACGGCTTCTCTCGCCCGCGAGATGCGCTCCATCTGGCTCCCATTATACTCGGCGCCCATCTGCGAGAAGGCTACTAATTCGGCCGTCGAGAACTGCCGTAAATGCGCCCTCAGGTACGGCGCCGGCCAGTGGAACGCCTGGTATACAGTAACGGCGTGGCCCTCGCGGTCGAAGTACTTATCCGAGCACTGGATCAGCCTAAGGCATTGGTACATGACGTCGCCGTGGGGCCACTTCGACGGGTCGGGACCGTCACTTGGTACTTTCGCGCGTAGATCATCCGCGTTCGTGTCTCTCCGCCACGCCAAGTACTCCCCTACTTTCTTGACAGCTAGATCCTCATCTCGGTCCGGATCCATCCTTAGTACTCTCAGTAGTCGTCGATCACCATAAACATCAGCGTATGGAGTCACCGCTGCAAATTCGGCAGAATACGTCTCCCGACAGCGTTTCAGGAAGCGTCTCTCCGAATTGGACCACCTGCTTGGTAATTTGGCCTCGACCATCCAGGGCTCCTCGATATCATCCAATGACTCAGGTAGTTCGGGAATGGGCCGCGGTGGCACTCGCTCGAGAGAGCCACCCCAGCAGGCCATTAGTTTCCGCGACGGCGACATCGGTTCATCATACTGTCGTTCTTTGGGTGGCGCGAAGAGGAACGGTAGGTAGGACGGCAGCAGGTTGTACGCTGTCAGGAAGGCAATAATCCCCCATCCGACGGCGCGCGGTGGCCACGCGCCGCACCGGATCAAACCTCTGGCAACGGCGTAGCCTAATGCGGTTGATGCCGCGACCGTCAGTAGGAAAGGCATAAACGAGGGCTGGGACAGGCTCTTGCGCCGCTGCGGGATCCGCCGCCTTCCGGCAGGGCCGTCCGCGGCGTGGCGCCGCGACTCCGCCGAGCAGTTTAACAGAGGCGCGCCGGCACCCAAGGCCTTAGTCTTGGTGTCCTTGACGCGGCTCGGGACGCGGCGCGGCCGGTCGCGCGCGAGCGGCGCGTCCGTGCCGAGGAGCGCGCTCGCGCGGTGCGCGCGGCCGTTGCGCGGCGGCGAGTTTTTTCTAGGCGGCGTGCCGCCATTCCGCGGCGGCGTGCTGCTCATTTGTCTCTTCCCGACTCGGGGCTTGCACGGGGCACAGGGCGCTTACGCGTCGCCGCGCTGCGCGCAGAGCGACGCGCTGTGCAGGAGCGATCTCTGGCCCAGATGTGCGCCAATTTGCACTCGCGCAAAGACAAAGTGGCCGCCGCGGCGCTGCTTGCTTGCTAGTGCCTTACAGGACGCTAGCATTATCGACTCAGCGCTTGCTCTTTTGTACTCCAAACGCAGCCCAAGCCGGCGACCAGCGGGTCTGGCGAGACCACTCGGCCCCTCCCGGGTCCTGGGCCCACGCGTGCTCCCACTTTTGGGTCCTGCCGTGGGTGGTCTATGTAGCTGCAAGACAGGGCAGCCCCCACAACAAGCACCACTGGACGCCATCGACGCGACAAGATGACGTGGCCGAGTAGGGCCCTCGCGGACCCGCCCGAGGACTACCATGCGGCCCTCCAGGACATGCCGCCGCCCACTTCTGAGGTAAGAATGATGGACCCGATGGAAGAAAAGAAAAAGTCCGTCTGGAAGCATAGCGACTTAAATATTGCGTGCCACAACCAGATGTGCCGCGTGAACCATCCCGTGTTTGCCGGGGTGTGTATTGGTTGTGGCCATTGGGTGCGGAAAGCTGATGTACCTGGCTATAATAAGGCTCCTCGTATCGAGAACGTCGACGTGCCCTATGCCTTGCTACGGGCAGCGAGATACCACAAGAATAGGAGGGAGGAGGATCCTCCTCCATACGGCGCGCGACGCATGCGCGAATCGGGCTGGATCCCGGCAGAAGGCAAGCCCCACCCCATGTGCTTCTGGGCCTTGCCTGTTCTGCCGAAGGACCACTACGAGCGGGTCTACGACGCGGATAAGTCGCGGCATTTGCGAGATGCCGCGATGACAGGGGATATACAGATGCTCAAAGAAGTCTTAGGTTATGAGAACATCGACGTGAACGCCAGAGCCGAGGACGAGTGCACCGCTCTCCATTTAGCGGCGCAAAATGGGGAATTGAAAGTAGTCCAGATTTTACTGGATGATGGGCGATGCGACGTCGACGCGTTGGAGCATAGAGATTCGACGGCCGCACACCTCGCCGCGAGACAGGGCTTCACGGACGTCGTGGAATTGCTCGCGACGCACCCGCGAGCCATCGGGAACATGGCCCTCAGAGATTACGATGGAAGGACCCCGGCGGACGTCGCGTACGCCGCAGGGCATGTCAGTTGCGGCGACGCCATCGCTAAATTAACAACGGATGCATTAGGTATGAGGTTAAGAAAGTGGGCGGCGAAAGAGGCGGAACGCATGCTCTTCGCCACGAAGCGGTACTCGATACTGTACGGGCGGGACCCGGAGCCCTACTCGCTGCCCTTCAGCTTCGCCGAGGAGCCGCCCATCTTCAAGGAAGCTGTTGAAGAGGACGAGGCCGAGGCGCCCGCGCCGGCCGTCGACGATGATCATTCCGACGACGGCTTCTCGGACGGCGAGGCCGTCCTCATAGAACAAATCGTCTCGGACGCCGACGCGGCCGCGCCGGCGCCGAGCCTATCTAGAAGGACATATCCGCCTTTACCGACGGCGGACCCCGAACACGTCAAACGAGCCCATCAGGCGGCGCATGTCGCGCTGGCCAAAGTCGCGGCGACGGCCGTCGTCCTGCCCATCTTCAAGCACGTGTCGGCGTCCGTGTCGCGGGGCGAGCGCATCGACCACGACCCAAATCCGGACCTCAGGGAGCGGAAGCTGCTCCACGATAGGTGGCGGGCCGAGCGCACGGTGGCAAGGGCGTTGCAGGACGAGCAGGACCGCGCCGCGGCGCGCCTGCAGGCCATCACGCGCGGCAACGCCGAGCGGAGCCGCAAGGGCAAGCGACGGCGTCGCAAGACGAGAGCGCCGCCGCCGCCGCCGGACCCGCGGCGCCGCGTGCTGCGGAAGGGCCGGTCCGGCTTCGCCCTGCCGGCGGCGCCCTCTCGTCAAGGGCGCTACCGGTCCCTGCGCGCCGCCGCCGACGACTCGGAGAGCGAGTACGAGGACGACGACGAGCCGCGGTGCCGGCCGGTGCTGCGGATGAAGGATAATGTGAGGAATTAACTGCTTAGTAGAATCCTACGTGAAACGCGAAGTCGACCATGTGAGAGATTGCGTCGGCGGGCATGTGGGTGAGTTTTGGGGCGAGCATGGCGACAAGGCGCACGCGATGCGCCCTTTCGTGGGCGGTGAAGCCCCCGGCTGCGATGACCTTCTTTAGGTACCGGTCCAACGGATCCGGTAACACCCGGGGGAGAGACCCCTGGAGTTGTGACGCGGCGACGACGCGGGTAATCTCTTCGGCCGAGATGTGAGCTCCGGCGCGCAGGAGTAGCGACACGACGACTCGGCAATTTTTGAGATCTATGGCCCGGTGTCTTCGATGTTGCTCCCGGTCCCTCTCCTCGTCTGAATCGTCTTCAGATTCAGAATCCGAAGCCCCAATGCTGGCGCCCTGCTCCCTAATAATCGTAACCAGTGCGAAACCCAGCGCCGGGGTCTATCGCATTCGCCCTGCGAGGGCGAGCCGCTGTTGTGGCACGCGCACAGAGCGGACCGCGTCAAGTGGGCGCGGATCCACAAGCACGGCGCGGCGGAGGTCTGTGGTTTTGTTGTGTAATCTTATTCCAATTCAATTAGGTTTCGCGCGCCTGGAAGAATTCGCATTTATTCGGGTCGCCTGGCCTCTCCGGCGCCGATAAGGGTCACTCCGACGTGCGAGGCGCCTCGGGCAACAAATTTGATTGCCCACAGTGGCAACGAAGTGCCGGGGCAGCGCGCGCACCCACACAATCCGGCTTCTAGTTTGCGAAGCCGCGGCCATCAAAGTCGACCCAACCACATGGAGCGCCCCTCACGGTCGCGCTCGCGTTCGCCGGCGACTACGCCTAGGGCCGCAGCGATCTACGCCCAGTCGCGGTCGCGGTCGCGGTCCCCACGACCCCGGCAGTCGCGGAACCAGTCGCCCTCGAGTCAGCCGCGGTCCAATGTCGCCGCCCCGGTGCAGCAGATGTCGCTCGAACACCAGCAGCAGGTTTTGGCGGTAGTGAATATGGTGGTGGATCCACTGCTTCGTCGCATTGATGCGCTCGAGTCGGAAGTGCGGCGCCTCTCTGGCAATCAGGGTTCCGCCTACTCGGGCGGTGATATCATGCAAGCCATGCGCATGGCAGACCAGTATGTTTTGGATAAGGCGCGCCTTGACATGAAACTGAAGGCCATCCGTGAAGGCCGGGAATGAGCCTGCGCGTCTCCGTGGTCCCTCCCCGCCCCCTCCGCTGTGACTAACAGTTATGTACGAACACACATAGATTAGGCAACGACAGCGTCGAGCGCGCTAAGCTCCGCCTCCGCCGCCCGCACCACATCCATCAACGACTCGTCGTCAGAAACGACCGCGCGCCGCGCCGCCGCCGCGAAGTCCGAGGCCACGCGGTCGTCGCGTAGCAGACGGCACAGTGCTAGTAACGCACAGCGCGGCTTGACCGGCGCGTCCGACCCCGAGCAGGCGCGCTGCACGAGGTCACAGCTCGCCGCTCGCAAAGCAGTCCGCGCCGCAAGCGCGTCAACCGCGATGCGGCCGCCCTCCGCCTTCGTCGAATCGCGCTCGGCGGCGGCGAGGCGCCGGAAACACGCGGCGGCGACGGCCTCACGCGCGTCGTCCGGCGGCTCGACGGACACGGCGAGCCGCGCCACCAAAGTTTCGGCGCGCGCGAGGCGCCTCCGTTGGGCGACGTCGCGCGGCTGCGCCGCGGCGTCCGCCGCGGTCGCCGCGAGCCGCGCGAGGACCGCCCGGCTCGGCTCCGCAGACGATGCGGCGGCAGCAGCGGTGAAAATGACAGAAGCTGTCGCGGCGCCGGGCGCCGTCGCGTGCGCGGCGTCCGTGAGCGCGGCGGCCGTCGTCTCCAGCAGCAGCGCGGCCGCGTCGTCGACGGAGCCCCGCGCCTTCAGCGCGTCGAGCAACGCTATGGATGCCGTTGCGTCCGCGGACACGGTCGCGCACGCGGCCCAGACAACTTCGGAAGGCACCGCCCCGAGATGCGCGAGCAGCGCGCCGGCCCGCGGCCAGCACCGTTCGTTGGACACGAGGGCCTCGAGGTGCGGCGCCACGGCCGTGTCGATTGATGAACACCGCCGCGCGACGTCGACGAGGGCACCCAGCAAAAAGTCGGCGTCGTCTGTATTGTCGGCGCGCGCCGCGCTCGACGCGAGCGCCGCGCACCACGCGGCCGGCGGGCCCGCGGCCCGAGCCGGCGTTGCGCGCCGTGCGGACGCCTGGGCGGCGCTCGCCAGCACGCGCGCGTCCTTGGCTTGGAGATCGGCCCGGTCAAACCCGGCCGCCCGGAGCATGTTCGCCGCGGCCTTCGTGTCGCGCTTCAGCAGCACGCGCCGCGCGAGCGAGCGCCGGGCGGCGCCTCGGAGCCGCGGTGCCAACGCCTCGGCGAGCTTTGGTGCGTTTTTCAGGTCCGCGTCGAGCGCGCAGGCCACGAGCGACGCCTCCGCCGCGGCGAGGAGGTCCGCGTCGGGCCGCGCGCCCTCCCGCACGCGCAGGGGCGCGGCCCGCGCGAGCGCGTCGCGCGTCGCGTGAAACGCAGCACGCCCGCGACGCGCCAGGCACGCGAGCGGCTCGAGCTCCTCCAAGGCCCGCAGAACGGCGCCCTTTGTGGCCCGTTCCGCCGTCGCGCGGCGCACCGCGTCGCCCGCCAGCTCCACGCAGCGCTTGCCAAAGCCATCATCAGTAGTTTCATCGCTTAGTGGTGCCGCCTCGTCGGCGGCGGTGACGCCTCTGTACAACGTCACCACGCCGCCGTCGGCGCGGTCGTCGCCCTCCAACACGTCGGCCTCGGGCGCGAGGGAAAAGGGCCCCGGCGAGCCCTCGAGAAATACGGACGCGCAGCACCGCAGCAACGACGCGCGATAGGCGTCGGCCTCGTGGTCCTTTGGAGGCCCCGCGACGCGTACCGCGTTCACGAGCGGCGCCCGCAGCGTCTTCGCCGCGGCCGAGGCGAGCTTTCGGCGACAGGCGTCGGGGGCGTTTTTGATCAGCGCCTCGAGCACGCTGCATGCTTCCTTCCGGCAACCGGCGTCGAAGGAGCTCAGGGCGGCTCCCAATCGAGCGGCAAAGAGCGGCGCCGCGGCGACGATGGCCGCCTGCCGCGCTTGCTCGTCGGCGACGGCGTCGCCCGGGCCATACGCCGTCGGCAGGATGGCGTCCCGGATGAGTTTTGACGCGGCCCGTCGCGTGGCCCCGTCGTCGTCGTTGATGAGGCGCGCCGCGCCGTCCAACAAGGGCGCGAAGCAGCGCCAGGCCTCGTTGCCGTGCGCGGTGGTGATCTCGCGCGCGCCGTCGCAGGCGGCCGTCCGCTGCTTCGCCGAGTGGTGCGCGAGCTGGCCGAGGTGCTCGTCGAGCGTGAGGCCGCGCCGCGACACCTTGGCACCCGCGCGGTCCTTCGCCACCGATTGCTCGGTGATGGACAGCTGCCGCGTCTGGAACGACGCGTCGGTTTCGCCCGCGCGACGCTTGACCTTGCGGCCGACCTTGGCCTTCGGGCGCGCGAAGTCGCCGTTACCTCGGCTTCGCTTTTTGTTGAGGAAATCGCTGGGTTTCTTCGGCATTTTACTGCTGTGCAAGTGCAATCTGCAAGCGGTGCTTTGCGGGCACTGTGGCGCCGCGTTTGACTAGCAGCGGCTGACTACGCACCAAGAGGCTGCGGGAATGCAACTTTAGCACCGAATTTCAGTCGCTTGCAAACGGTGCGGCCTATCGACCGCGTGAAAGCTATCTAGCGGTATGTAACACACTAGCCCTGATCCTAGTCCAGCCGGGGGGAGCGGGAGGGGTCTATCTACTCTCGTGATATCCCATCATGCGCTCCTTACTCATCGGCATGTTCTCAGGTACGGCGCCTCCTTCGTCTAGCCCTACCTGTCCCACCCGGCCCGCGGGTCACGCCTGGCGCGCTGTGACCGTTCGCGAGGCGCTGGCGGCGCCGCCGGCGGCGGCGGCGGCGCGTTTGCAGCGGCGGCCGCGCGCGCGTCATTGCGCTTGGCCTCGACCTCCTCCCGACTCGGTAGCGTGTACTCGTCCACGCCCCCGTCCAGCGCGCCCGCGAGCTTCAACCGTACCTGGCGAGCCCGAGCGTCGCCCTTCTTCAGCAGGTCCAGGAACGGCCATATCGAGAGGCTCGCTTGAACTTTCGACATAAGCAGAGCCTCTCCGAGCGTCTCCGCGCTGAAGAGCACTGGGCGACCACCGCGCGCCCGCGCCGCCGCCATCGCACGCACGGCGGCCGCCAGGAGGGCGTCGAATCTGAACCACTTCACGCCGGGCAAATTGTTCGTGGGACGAACCATGTCGCGTACGTCGGCGATGGCCGACGCCGCGGCATCCGCGTCCACATTCGTCAGGTGCTCGACGACCGCCTCATAGAGCTTCGTCTCCAGGGCTTCGGACGCGCGCTTTGCGGCGTCGCGCGCGGCTTCGACCTCCGGTTTCGTCGCCGGAGTGTACTCGCCCGCGTCCAGGCCCGCGTCCACGAGCTTCGACCACACCGCATGAGCTCTTTTTTTTAGCTCCTCCCGAGCCCGAGCTCGTGCCGCGCCCGCGCCCGGCGGCGCGGGCCGGCGCGTTTTTAACGGACGATCCTCTTGTTTTCGAGATCTGAAGCGGTCTCCGCGCGCGGTTCTCGCGCTGGGCCCGGATTTATTACTCGAGACTCTTCCCGGTCTCGGGTTTTTTTGCTTGATTTTTGGCCGACTCAGGAGGCGTCCCGCGGAGCAAGCCTATTGACTGTACGTACGTGGTCTTAAGCCCAGGCGCCCGCTGCTTATCGGAACATCCTCTCGTTCTGGCGCGCCTCTGAGTAGAAGAAGATTGTGTTTTTTGTATTGTTAGTATATGATAGGATAGTCAAGGGCAACCACGGCCGCGAGGCGCGTGGCGACCGGCAGGGGGGAGGGGTATCAGACCGCCACGCTGGCCGGCGGCGGCTCGACGCACAACGGCGCCGCGAACGCGACGGTCGGCGCGCGCTCGTCCGACGCCGGCACCGAGGCGACGTTCTTCGGCGAGGCGTCGCCGTCGGCCTCCTCGGCCTTGGCGAGCGGCGGCGCCTCGACGTCGACCGTCGGCGGCGGCTGCCGCGGCGTGACCGACGGCGCCGCGCCGTCGGCGCCGGGGTGCGTCTTGGCGAAGAGCTGGGAGATGAAGGCGTCGCGCTCGACGAGCATCTGCTCCAGCGTCGCGACGCGGTTCTGGAGAAGTTTGACGTCCGGCGCCGCGGCGGGGTCGCCCTCCGTGGTGGAGACCGTGCGCGCCACGGGCTCGGCGTCGCGCGGCGTCGAGAACGGCGCGGCCGCCGGCCAGGCGCTCGCGCCCGTCGTCAGGCGGCGATCGACGGCCGGCGTCTCGGGCGCGTCGACGGTGACCGGCGCCGGAGTCTGCTGCGGCGCGGCGGCCGGCGCCTGGGCCGAGAGCGCGGCCGTCAGCACCGCGAGGCCGTCGATGCCCGAGCCGGAGGGCCGCGGCGTCCGCGTGAAGACCCCCCGCAGCGCCGCGGCGGCGTCTTCGTCGGACATGTCAGAATTGGAGCGCTGCCGCTTCGGCGGCGCGCGCGAGCGCGGCCGGTCCGAGCCGGCGGCGCGCGAGCCGTCGGACGGCGAGAGGTGTTCCATGCGGCGGATCTGGCAGAGGAGCTCCGGGCGGTCGCGCTGGAAGAGCGCGTGCTGGAACTCGGACCAGCCCGACTGGCCGTTGGCTTGCGAGAGCTTTCGCCTCCGCGTCTTGCGGAAGCCGTAGCAGGAGAGCTGGCGGCAGAAGCTGCGGAAGTTCGTGTGCGAGAAGTACTGCGGGAGCACCGTGCGCGACGCGAGCTCGTCATTCACGAGGAAGGACAGGCCGTCGTCCGTCCAGCCGCCGACCTCGGTCGGCATCGAGGTTACTAAGGTCGAGAGCTTCGAGAGAAACGGGGCGACCTTGTTGTTCGTCTTGTCCACGTTCGCCAGGACCGTGGAGATGTTCTTGCGCTTGCGCGGGGCGGCGCGGCGCTCGGACGACATTGTCGCGTGTTGTGTGTTGTCCTTAAAAACGCCTGCGGGGGGTTAACCGGTTCGCTATGCGCAGAGACGTGGGCGACTGAGCGAGCGGCGGTGCCAGGGGTGGCCACGGGGCGACGTGGCTCACTGGCTGTTGGCCGGGTACGCGGAGAACTCAAACGAGTGAGCTCATCAGCGGCACCCACCCGCCACTTAAGCGCAGCAGGCCCCGCAGGGAGTCCACGGTCACGTCCGAGGGCGCTGCGCCCGCGGCTGAGCGACCGCGGCTCGGGTCAAATCAAATAAAGCGGGGCTGCGGTTTATGCGCCTTTTTGGCGCCGCGCGGCGCCGCGCGGCGCTGATTTCGACACTGGGGCCTGCTCTAGTCGTTCAAGAACCACTTACGGCTGTCTACGCCGCTGTTCAATCGAACTGGGCTCCGCTTTGAGGGGAAGCGGTCGGTTGCTCTCTCGGCGCCTAAAATAAGCATCCGTGAAACCCCGCAGGGTGGTCCAAGAACCAGCCCCGTAGACGCTTGTTGCGCGCCTGGAACGTGTTTCCTACTCGTCCAGAGGCGTCAGCCCACGCATTTGTCTTTAAGGCGAATTTTGCCTCTTTGGCAGCCCCAAGAACCCCCAAGACTCCTGAAAAGCTGCCCCACCGCAATCGGCGGATACCTGGCACGCGTCCGCACCCGCCTGGAGGCTATGGCAGATGAGAGGCCCCGCACGGAGACTAGGGAGACTTCCAAACTTGGGCGCCCGCATCATAAAAACGTGGGCCAACGAGCACCATGTGCCTCCTCTGGTGCTACAACAAGATCCGCAAGGACGGCTGCGTCGCCCTCTGCCAGGACATCTGCCCGGACTGCGCCTGCATTGGGGGCATTGTGGTGATCGCGACGGCGCCGCTGGGCTGCTTGATCGGATTGATAGGCGGGCTGTTGTTCGGATTGGTGAAGTGGCTCCCGGGCAGCTTTCACCGGTCCAAGGAGTTGTGTGAAGGGTACTGCGCGGTGATCCAGAAGGGCGTCGAACATTATGATGTTGAGGACGGTAGGACACAGCCAACCCAGAACCGGGGCACCATCGCGTCCCAGGCCCAGGCCTGCGGCGACAAGTGCGGCGCGGAATTTTATTGTTGCATGCTGCCGGCCTTCCTTGTGTTCCAGTTACTTTACCCGGTACTGACATTGATCGTGATCATAATCGTCTGTCCCGTCAACGGCGCCTGCAAGGGCTGCAACGCGGGCTGCGGTCTGCTACCAGACTTCTGCGACCGCCTCAAGGCGGCCTTCCGCGACATCGACGCGCACACGTCGGAAGCGGCCTACGGCGGCGGCGGCCACAATTGGCTGGCGCCCGCGCCGCCGCCGTCGGCGCAGCCCGTGGGCCGCGCGGCCCAGTTCCAGGAGATGCCGGCGCCGCAGCAGCAGTTCCGGCCCGCGGTGCCGCCGCGGCCGGCCATTCCCGTCGCCTACGCGACCCAGCCCGTCGCCTACGCGCAGCCGCCGCAGCCGCCGCCGCGCTACCGCTAAGTACTAGTAGATTCAACAGCTCCGTCGGCTCGACGGCGTAAGGGGGGCGAATACAAAAACAAACAGGATATATTCACACGAGGTCCTCAGCCGGTGCCACCTTGGGGCACCCGAACAGGAGGAAGAGCAGGCCCTGCGCCGCCGAACATAAAACGCCGGCGACGTTCGGGCCCCAGACGTACGCGTCGCCCTCGAGGAGACCGTAGAGGGCCCAGAGCACGGAGCAGGCCGCGGACGCCACCGTCACGGCCGGGACGAGCGACGCCGTCGACCGCGTCCGCCAGACCGTCGCGAGCGTTGAGAGCGGCGAGGCGAACATGACGACGCACGCGCCGACGCCCAGCAGGCCCAGCGCGTCGCGCGTCTCCCCGTCGACGTCGAGCGGGTAGGGCGACGAGTGGTGGACCTTTTTTGGTGCGCCGCGCCACGCCGCGAGCCGCGCCTGTAATGCTACGAAGACCGCGAAGCCCGCCACCAGTAACCGCAGCTGCGTTGCGAACGTCTTGGCGGGCGGCTTCGCGAAGCGGATGAACACGCCCAAACAGTAGGCGCCGCTCGCGACGCCGACGGCGTTGCTCGCGACCATGGGCACCCAGTCCCTACCTATAATACCGTACAGCACCCACACACTACAGTTCGCGACGATGCAGGCGAAGGGCAGCGGCGAGAGCGCGCCGACGTTCTGGTCCCGGCGTATTTTTCTTGCTGTTTGGAGCGGTGTGTAGTAGATGGCGAGGGCCGCGCCCGTCGCGGCGGCCTTGAGGGCGTGCATGAGCATGGGTGCGACCATCCTTGCTAACGTCCTTTCTTAATGCTGCGAGCTGGCGTGTCGGGGGTCGTCCCAATCTGTGTCCAGGTCAACACGTTCGAGCGCAGCGATGGCGCAGCGCGTCGATGGCGTCCAGTGAGTGTGTACCTGCCTCAACGCCGCCACAGATGCCAATACCGAGGCACTACGGCAGCTTTGGGCTGAATTTTGGGCGCTGGCGGCTTGCTAGCGTCAGTAAGACACTAGCAAAAATCGAGCAAGGCCACTCTCCTCGCACGAATTCGTCGATTTGGGACGCTCCGGTGGACCGCGCGTCCCATCTACTGCCCACTCCACGCTGCCGCCGCGGGGCTGCACGATGTCAGCCATGCTCAAGAAGCGCTACGGCCCATGGGTGGACCAGGGCCCCACGAGCAGCATAGATCATGCGGTGCGCATGCGCGTGCTGGCCATTCCCCAGGCGGGCATGGGCGCGTGGGCGTTCCACGGCTGGCAGGCGGCTCTCCCGGAGACGGTGGAACTGCTACCGGTCGAATTGCCCGGTCGTAACTCTCGCATGCTCGAACCGAAGGGCCAGTCGATGCGCCAGCTCGTCACGGCCCTCGTCGACGCCCTCGCCGAGACGCTGCGCGAGACGCCGTTTGTCGTCTTCGGGCACAGCCTGGGCGCCTGGATGGCGTACGAGGTCTGCGTCGAGCTCCAGAAGCGGGGCGGGCCGACACCCGTAGGGTTAGTTGTCTCGGGGGCCCGCGCGCCGCAGCTCGCCGATCCCAAGAACGACGCTGACCGCGTCCAGCCGCGCATGGCGGACTTGCCGTCCCGAGCGTTCTGGGCGCATTTTGAAAGACGCTACGGTGCGAATCCGGACCTGGCGCACGTTGCTGTGAAGGAGCACGTCGAGCCGCTACTGAAGGCGGATTTTCGATTGTTCGAAACGTACCAGCCGAGACTCGCCGTCCTGCCGTACGCCGTCGTCGCGTGCGCGGCCGTCGGCGACGACCGCGTGCTGGACTCGCAGCTGGAGGCGTGGCGGGAGCGCTGCGGCGGCGGTTTTGCAATGCAACGCTTCGACGCGACGTGGCCGCCCTGGGCGACGCCGCACCGCTGGCCCGTCGACGATCCCATTGCATTTCTCGCGTGGTTTGGCCCCTGGTTGTGTTCACATTAAGAGTATTACTTGTCACGGGGGCACATCTAGGCGTCGAGGTCCGTCACCATGAGCGCGACGGGTCCCGGGCCCAGAGAGGAGAGAGGCGCGTCGTCGTCGTCGAGCGTCCGCATCGGCGGTCCCACATAGACCAGATCGAAATTATCGGGCGCCCGTCCAGAGGCGTCGACGAAAGACCGGACCAGCGAAATTGGGTCGAGATACGAGAAGGTTCGCGCCAGTGGTTGTCCTTCCGGTAGTCTCACGCGCACGCGCTTGGCCGTCGGCCCGGTCGCCTCGGGCGTCGCTGCCAGAAGCTGCCTAGCGGCCTCCCGGCGATCGCGAATCACTTGTTCGCGCGCCGCCTCGGCGTCTTCGGCGGCGCGCTGTTCCTCCTTCCGTTGGTCTTCAGCGAGCGACCGCGCGTAGGCGTCGTCCGTCTCGCTCCGGATCCGCCGCGCCTCGTCCGCCGACGACTCGCGCTCCGCGCTCGCGTCGGGCGGGCGCCGCGCCGCGGGCGGCTGCAGGAGCGGCGGCAGGAGGCCCGGCTGTGGGAGCGGCGGCGTGGGCGCGGGCGCGGGTACCGGCCGGCGGCGCGGTGGAGGCGCGGTGTCGCGCGCGTCGGGCGCCGGGGGGCGTCCCACTGGAGCGGGGCGGCGCGGCGCCGCGCTCAGGGCCTCCTGCTGGCGCCGGACCGCGGCCATGCGCGCCGCGCTCCGATCCGCAGCTACTTGTTTCGGCTCGACGGCCCGCTTGGCGCCGCGCAGGACGGGTGCCACCGCGTACGTCCAGATTACGAGGCAGAGGCAAGCCACGAAGAGGTAGTACACGACTAGTCCGGGCCGGAACCAGTCCGGTAGGAGGCCCCCGCCTCCGTAGGCGTGGTGGCGCTGGCGCCGGGCGTTCCGCTCGAACTCGATCCGCGCGAGCTCGACGTCGTACTCGATGCGCTTCGCGTCGTCTGAGAGCACCTCTTCGGCCGCGGAGGCAGCGTGGAAGCGCCGCGCGCACCGCGCGGCGCCGCCCAGCAGCGCGTGCCAGAGGCCGCGCTTCGAGGCGCACTTGTCCGGATGGAACTTGAGCGCCGCTTGCTTGTAGGCCGCGCGGACTTCTTCCTTCGTCGCGCGCCGGTCGACGCCGAGGGCCGAGTAGTGGTCGGTCGGGTCTTTGCGTGCCAGGAATACGGTCGCGGCGACCGCTGCGACGGCACATGCCACCGCAAACCGCGCGCCGGCCATTCTCGTAACGCAGCGCGGCAATCTCAGCAATGAGGTTTCAGCCACAAGCGCAGCCGCACGCGTTGCAGGCAGCAGCGCGATTGAAAGCTGCGGTGACTGCGACTGTGCTGCAGTCACCGTGGTGCGCGAAATCGACTCATTCGCGTCCAGCCCAGGCGCACAAAACCCCGCTTGCTAGTGTCTTACCTGTCTAAGTACAGGCCGCTTGCTGGGAGGCCACTAAGACCAAATCCCAGACACGTCGCACAGATAGGACGAGGTGCACCGCCGCAAATCGACGGCTCTGACCGCTCCGCCCCAGCCCAATACACAGCTCTGCATCACCGATTTGCTCTCTTAAAGTGGCATTGCACGCACCGTTTCAAAGCAAGTGGCATTGCACGCACCGTTTCAAAGCACCATGTACAAAGCCGTCCTCGCATTAGCTGCCAGCGCTGGGGCCTTCGCGCCGTCGGTGCACCAGCGGGCTACCGTGGTGCAGCAGGGCGTGCCGCTGGCCAATGGAGCCATGGAGTTTGACCGCATGCAGCCAGCGTCCGGCATTGATCGATGCGCTGCGACGACATGCGTCGCCGACGCGCGCGCGCTCACGCGTGCAACACGCGGACCGTTACGAACGCAGGTGTGTGCCGCGAGTGGCGCTGCAAGTACGAGGGCGACAAGGCGACGAGCGCGTCGCTCGAGGCCTGCTCCAAAGTGTTGGATGAGTACCTGCCCGAGCTCAAGAAGATCGACGGCGTGACGGTGAACCGTGCGGTGCGGCGTCCACGCCGTCGTCGATAACTCACCGCTCAAACGCACAGGCCTCGTCTGCGGCGGCTGCCTCGACTTCAAGGTCATGGTCACGCAGCCCCTCGAGGGCTACGGCCCCTGGGAGGAGGCCGGCCACCCGCCGGAGGCGGACTTCATCGCCAAGCTCAAGGCGATCCCCGGCGTGTCCCAGGTCGAGACGCAGACGATCACGAACATGGTCCTCTAGTAGGAGATCTTAGTAACTACACAGTGTAAGGGGCGCACTACCTAGTCGCCGTTGACGCCTGCGCCCGGACGCCTCAACGGGGCGCGGTGCGGGACACTGGTGTCAGGACCTGGCATCATCTGCCCCCCAAATAAGGGCTTGAGGTAGCGCTGGTCCAGCTCCCGGAAGGCCGCGTGCAGGCCCGGTGCTGGGATTGATAATCTACGTTGTGGTTGAGGTGCCTCCTGGCCCACTTCGAGCAGCTCCGTATGTAAATCATCATCCCCATCCGAGACGGCGTCGGTCCCCCGCTTCATGCCGGCGTGCCGCAGCATCGGCTCCGTCAAGCCACCGCAGACGACCGTCGTGAAGATGACGATCGAGAGGGTAGTGGTCTCGTACACATCTTTGTGCGGCCCGGGCATGTTCTGCGACAGCGCGAACGCGATGGCGCCTCTTAAACCAGCAAACCAAATCACGACCTGCATCTTCCAGGGGATCTTCTGCTTCCTGACTAGATTGCACATGAACGACAGCGGAAACACGTTCAGGATCCTCCCAAGCAAACAAAATACGATGGCCAGCACCACAAAAGTGTGGTCCCACCTGCGTGTAATGCGACGCGTCGACGGCGTCGCCGCGGCCTTGCGACGCGACGCTCGCGCCACCGCCGTCGCCGCGACGCGACGAAGGAAGGACGCCGCTCTACATACGTCTTGAACCGGCCCGTAAAAAAGCCCATGCCCATGTACATGAACACAAACGACTCGGCCACCGTCGACAGCGCCGCGAAGATCTCCTCCGCCGTCGTCTGACTGGTTTTGGACAGGTTGTAGGAGTTGTAGTGGGCTAAGACTATACCACAGAAGAATAGCGCCATGATGCCCGACAGCTCTATGGACTCGGCCAAAGCGTAGGCGCCGTAGGCGAATAAGAACAGTAGCGAGATTTCATATTTTGGGTAGTCCCTTATTCTCGTGTGTCGGAATAAGTACGAACATATGAGTCCCGTAGCCACGCCCATCAGTATGCTACCGATGGTTACGAAGAGAAACTCAAATAACGCCACGGGGATCTTCGACTGATCGAGCTCCGCGCCCTCCTCGTAGTAGTTGTAGAAGGTCCGGAACAACACAATTGCTACTGCATCATTTAACACGCTCTCGCCAAAGACCAACGAGTACAACAACGGGTCGCAGTTGAGTTCGGGCGAGCCCATGATCGATAATGTAGCTACCGGGTCCACGGCAGAGATCAATGCACCAAACAGTAATGCTTCCATGGGGTTCGTGGCGTCGACGTCCACGATGCCCGCGCGCGCGCACGCGTACGTGAAGTAGCCCACGACGAAGGTGCTGATGAGGGTCCCAACCACAGCATACATCGTGATCGTCCCGAGGTTGCGGAAGAAGTTTTTTCTTCTTAAAGTGTAGCCCGCCTCGAAAATAATCGGGGGTAGCAGCAAGAAGAAGAATAACTCTGGCGAGAACGATAAAAAGTCCAACTCTTCGTCCGAATGGGTTATTAATCTAGCGATGCCTCCCACAACAAGTCCCACACATAAAGCCGCGGAGCTCTCCGGCATGAAGTAAAACCGGTACTTTTTTATTAAGTACGCGCTCAGTAGGCATAGGCCCAGTACTACCACTAGCAATAACGTGTTCAACGCGTGGAACTCGTGCGTGCCGTCGTCCTCGTCTAAGCGGCGCCGCATGGCCCACATGGTTTTAGTGTGGGTCACTGTGTGCGGCTGCCGGGTCGCTGCGGCGGGGCGTTCTCGCCGCGAGACGCAAGCAGGTCGGCTTGGGTGCTAAACTACAGACTCGCGAAGCCTCGGCTGTGGTTCAGCCCGCAATGCCGTAAAAAGCCGACGCCGCCGCTGGGGCTTGTTAGCGTCCTGTAAGACACTAGCAAAAGCGAAAAACGCGTTTCCGAGTCTGAAGCGTCTTGTGGGGCTGCTCGTATTGCTATGAGCGGGGCAACGGCTCAGTAGATTAGTCCTAGCGCGGCATCTGATGCACTTGGGCGAGACGACGAAGGCCTCTTTTTACGCAACGAGCAGGCTATAAAAGCTATCGTGCCGCATCGCGCGGCCGCATTCCAGCGCGCGAAGAGTTGCACTCCATCGCTGCGCGTCGTAATAGCTAGCAGAGCAAGTCAGCCTAGCTCCCAGCGCCTGCAACGCGAGCAGCGCACCGTCGCGAGACGAGCCGGGCGCGCATTAGGCGTCGTCACAGACCTCTCGATAAGTAGCGAGCTCCGCGCCGCCGCCGCGCACAAGCACCATGTCGATCAACGATGAATTAATATGGCAGCAGCTCAACGGCCAGTTCTGCTCCTTCAAGGCCAAGGTGCAGACGCAGAACTTCTGCAGGAACGAGATGAACGTGACTGGACTTTGTAACAAGTCGGCCTGTCCGCTGGCGAACAGCCGGTACGCGACGATCCGGGAAATTGATGGACGGTGCTATTTGATGGTGAAGACCATTGAAAGGGCCCACTTACCATCTAGACTGTGGCAGAAGATACGACTCCCGAGGAATTATGCGGCTGCGTTGTCGAAAGTCACGGAGGAGCTCGAGCATTTCCCGAAGTACCTGCAACACCGAAACAAACAGCGGTTGACGCGGATCCACCAATATCTCATGAGGATGCGCAAATTAGCATTGCGGTCTCGACCTACTCTGACCACGGTAAAAAAGAAGGTCGAGCGGCGCGAAGACCGCAAGGAGGTCAAGGCTCTAGCGGCCGCCAAGCTCTCGAAGTCCATCGAAGCCGAATTGTTACAGAGGTTAAAACAGGGTACTTATGGCGACATCTACAATTTCGAAAGTACGGCCTGGAACGAGGCGCTCGACAAGGAACAACAGGCGCAGGAGGAGAGCGAGGACGAGGACGAGGAGGAGCTGCGGGAGATGATCGAGTACTGCGAGCAATCAGAGTCCGAGGACGAGATCGAGGACGTCGCGGATCGGTTGAGTGAGCCCGTGGTACCTGTGAAGAAGCGGAAGGCGCCTTCTTCTAGGGCGCGCGTCGCGATCGAGTACGACGACGAAGATAGTGAAGCTGAGGCCGAGCCGGTCGCGGCGATGGCGTTTTAGGGCTCCACGGCCGGTGGAGGGGTAATTGTGATTAGTTGATTTACGCGTCGATGGCGAAGAGGGGGGATATGATCTGCACCCAGCAGACTGCATCGATCAACCGTTCATACTCGGGACCACGCGGCGTGGATGCAGCGAGTCGAGCTTCTTCCGAGGGCCTCTACTGCCCCTCCCCGATGGCGTACGCGCATAGTAGCGTGTTTTCGTCTCTGTCCGTGATTTAACTTCCGTGAGAGCCCCGAGGGACTAGACGTGAGTGCTAGTGTGTCACCGCTGCTGCTGCCAGAGGCTCTGCAGCCCAGGCTCTGCTGCTGCCAGGCTGCTGCTGCTGCCAGGCCTGGGCGTGCTTCCGCAAGCGACTCCTCAATTGACTACTCAAGTCTCTTTGGGGTTTTGGCACAATGTCACACGAGACAGCGCGAGAGCCCCTCCGGCTCTCAAACCCCCTTCCGATGGCGAGGCTGGCACGCAGCGCGACAAAGGTGACGGTCCACTGGATGGGGCCCTCCTTCAATTACGCCACGCCGGAGCACGCGAAGCTCCTGGATGCTGTGGCCGAAATCCACGACGACACCTGGGACCCTGTCGAAAACTACCATGGCATAGAGTTGCCCAGCGAGCTGCGCCTGGACGGTGCTGGGCGCGTCGTGCGCGAGAAAAAAAACCACGAACGCTGGGACGACGTAAGGGTCGTCGTCGAGCTCAGCACGGGGTTGAATCTCGCCCACACGTGGAAGTATGAAAATGAGTTCACCATCCAGCACGTTCGGGCTAGCGACGAGCGGCCGCTGTTTCACGCGCATGCGGTGGCGGGGGCGTGTTCTCGATTTCCAGGGATCAAAGTGGGCGTCTCGCCCGCTTTGACGATTGGCGAGCTTCAAAGGGGATGGATCAAAGGTCCTCCGCCCCCTACCGTCGTGCATGTCCATTGTCCGCCCCTGGAGGTGGTTAATGACGTAGGGCAGCTTCTTACGCTCGCGATTCTGCGCGAAAAGCTCCTCGAAATGGTCTCGGACGACCCGATCGTGCGCCTCAATTCCTTCGGACCCCGGTGTCTCGGACCTGTCGACCACGCGGTGCTGAGTGCACTGGAGATCGGTCCGGTCCAATTATTGTATGCTGCCAATAACGGCTGTAAATCGACTGAAGAGGCCGTGGCGTTCCTCAGGGAGAACCCTGACATTGTAGTGAAGGGCGTGATGGAGACTCGGAGCGAGGGCGAGGAGGCGTCTTTGATGGAGGCCGAGGACATTATGGCAAGCTGGTACGCACCCCCGTCGGACAAGTGGCGGATATTCGGCCGAAAGGATTTCGCCTACTTCGTCCCCGGTTTCCGCGGTAATACGATTAACTCGTGGTAATAAGATTTCCTGTAAGAAATATTCGCTTATTGAACCCACCCCCAGTTCACGATACTATTGTTGGCACATGGCACATTTAACCGGGGGGACAGGGACAGGGGCAAAGGGACACGACATCTAGGGCAACACGGCGTCGGCGCGGCCGTCCGAAGAAAGCGCCATCTCGTAGAGCAGCACGTGCGCGCCCTCGCTACCAGCGGCGAAGTCGAGCTTGAGCGGGCCCTTGACCTCGCACGCGTCGCGCGCCGAGAGCTGCGCCTTGTTGACCGTAATGTCACCTTCCAAAACGAGCACGTACGCCTGGCGCCCCTCGCGCACGTCGAAGTCGAGGCACTTGGTCGGCGAGAGCTCGGTCGCATACATGTGCAAGTCCTGCTGAATTTGCACTTGGGCGTCCTCGCCCGCGGCTCCCGCGTCGCCGACCATGTAGGCCCACTTGTCTTGGCGGTCGAAGCCGGACGCCGAGCCGTAGCTGGGCTTGAGACCCCTTTTGCGAGGAAGAATCCACGACTGGACGAAGCGGAGCGGCTCGCCCCCGTGGTTCTCTTCGCTGTGCGAGACGCCCGTCCCGGCGCTCATGAACTGGATCGCGCCGCGGCCGAGCTCCTCGGCGTTGCCCTTGCTGTCCTTGTGCCAGAGCGAGCCATCTACTACATAGGTAACTATCTCCATGTCGCGATGGGGATGCGTGCCGAAACCGCGCTTCGGCTGCACGATATCGTCGTTCACGACGCGCCTGCGTGGCCATCGACGAGTGAGTTTCGTCACTCGCGTCGATGGCGTCCCGGACGATGCGAGAAGGGTTTCAGACGCGGATGACGCGCAGGACGCCGAAGTTGCCGGGCCCGCCAGCGTATTCAGCGAAACTAAAATGGAACCGCGACGTGAGCCAGTGCTTGCACGACCACGCGCCGTCCGGCTTGTCCGGCGGGTTGCCGAACCACGAAGGGTTAGGTTGGGAAACGTAGAGGCTCGAGGACTTGATGACGCGCAGCGGCGCATTGCGCGGCGCCAATTGCTGAGCAATTGAAAGCACGGGCTTGTACGTCGCCATGGTGAACAGTAGGCGAAGAATGGTGACGATTGCTACTGCTATGTGTGCTGAGTGAGAGCGCTCTCTCACGTCAGGCTGCTTTTCGCTGTCGAACGAATGAGTCTTAGGCCTTCTGTAAGGTCTGGAGGGCCGCAGCGGTCACGGATAAGCTGTGTGGTCGCTGCTCAGTAAATAATAGTGATCTCTAAGAGCTCGAAAAACGTGCTTCGGTCTTTGGCTCGGTGCTTGCTAGTGTGTCTTACAGGCCGCTAGCCCATACGCGATTTCGCCGCGGGCGCGTGAAAGCCAAGCTGAGCCGTGTGCAGAGTGCTGCATCAGTCACGCGAAAGCGTGCGCCAGCAAGCAGACCGCGCAGAAACGCGCGCATCCATCTGTGCGGCCCATTTGCTGGTCCCCTCTCACAACACAAACAACAACAAAAATGGCAAAAACCACCTGGAAGACCTACTTCGGCGAAGCCCCGGAAGCACACAGCTCCGACGACGACGACTACCACGAGGGCAAACCCAACGGCTACACGCGCGACGAGGCGCGCGAGCGCGACCGGAAGTGGTCGGAGATCAAGGCCTTCGAGGCCGCTCGCACAATCACAGTATTGACCAAAGCAGACCACAGAGGGCTCTGTAGCAGTGTGCGGCCCGTCGACGGCGCCGAGGCCGTGGTGTCGTACGACATGCGGGACAACGGCGACACGCTGCTGAAACAGGTAAAGCGCCAGGTCGTGACGGTCGGAGCCAACGACGCCCAACTCGATGATGTGCTACGAGAGCTGCGCCGTGGCGAGCGCGCCCGCGTCACGCTCGACGACGGCAGTACAATGGACGTGACGCTGCACTTTGTTAGAATAGAGCGCGCCGTCGCGCCGCGGCCGAGCCCCTGGACACCACTCATACAAGGAGCGTGCCGTTCAAAGCGCGTCGCGCTCGGGTCCTCTACACAAAGGCCGCGCTGGGGCGATACGGCGACGGTGAGGATAGGCGCCGACGAAGCGAGCCTCGGGGCGTCGCAGCGCGTGGTAATGGGAGGCGCCCATGAATTGGAAGAGGGCGTCGAGGCGGCTTTATTAGGCATGAAGGCCGGCGAGGTTTGCGAAGTCGTGGCCTCAGGCGAGTTTGGTTCTGGAAGGTGCTGCGTGGCTCTTGGTGACATCGAAGGTAGTAAGCCGGAGCCCGACGTTGATGGGGCGCGGCGCGTCGCGGAGGATGGACGGGAGAGAGGGCTGGCTTTCGTTGACAAGAACGAGTGGCGGCGCGCCGAGGCCGTGTTTTCGCGGGCGCTCGGCGCGCTGGAGGAGAATTTGGATTTATTGAAAGTGGAAGATAGGAGGGATATCGAGAATGAAGTGGTCGCCCCGCTGCTCTTGGACATCGCGGCGTGCGCGCGGCGCCGCCAAGGTTTTAGTGACGAGGACGTTTGTTTGACGAAAGCATTAGGATTGGCTGTTGAGCGGGAGGGCGGCGCCGCGCGCGCTCGTGCGTTATTACGTCGAGGCGCCGCGCGCGCGGACCTGGAACGCTTCGCTGAAGCAAAAGACGATCTGAAACGAGCAGCCCAGGACGCGCGAAAAATAGCGACGGATGCGAACGCATCAATGGAAGCGCGCAAAGATATGCGAGACGCCTATGAGGCTTGTAGGACTGAGCTCGAGCGACTGGTGCGCCAGCGGAAGGAACAAAAGGCTCGAGAGAAGGCGGGCCTGTTCGGCGGATTGGATAGGGCCTTCTCCGACGTCGTCGAGGTCTCGGATGACAAGCCGCCCAAACCGCCGCCGTTGTTGTACGAGAAAGAAATTGAGACAACATTACGCAAGAAGCAACCTTGGAACCACGACCCCCGCTACTACGATGTACCAAGGGCGCCCCATGTGGTACCGCCGCCGGCGGAGACTATCAGGACCGATAATTTGAAGGGCGAGTTCGAGGCTATCGACGAGGCCGAAACGGAGCAGGCGAAGTTGTCTTCCATGTTAAGGCAGAACGTGGTCATGCAGCAGATGTACGACTGCAACGGCACGGGCCGGCGGGGGAAGCCGTCGAACGACCCCGAGTATATGGGTGGCGGGATGGTGGCGTGATGAGTAAGACTGTGATTTTATCCTGGCGGCGACGGCGTCTCGCGGGCGCGGAGCACTCCTTGCGCGTATCGTAAACTGTCCTCAATATTCAATGTGAGCGGATGCGCGCCACCGAACACGCGCCGCGCGATCCGTTCAATTTCCTCGATCGTCGCCACGGCCTCGCGGAGATCATCGAGCGTGGCGGCGGGGTCCGTGTAGAACGCCCGCGCGTAAAGCGACCTCATTTTGAGCGTCAGTCTATGTCCTTCTCCAAGAACGCGTCGCGCCACAGGTATCGTTTTGTGCAGCAGCGACCTGGCTTCTTCGGCTTCGGGCGCTTGCTCTAGATCAACGAGGGAGTTCGCATAGTTGAGGGCTGCTATAAAGGTGTTCAAGTGTTCCTCGCCATTGAGCTTCAAACGTCCATGAGGATTACGCCGAACGCCCGTTAGACGACTACATCGTTGACGTGACCGAAGCTGTGGAGATCTTGGAGAAGGACGAACGGACGACGCGAAGTGTCCGAGGGAGCGACCATCCCGAGGCCCAGCGCGTGGCGGACTTGCTCAGACGGATGCGATTGAGGCTCAAGCGCGCCCGCGACCAACAAAGCGCAGCTGAAATCGCGGCGGACGCAGAGGATGCTCGTTTAGCGGCCGAGGAGGACGCGTCGTTCGACTCGGACACGTACTCGAACTCCGCTTCCGACGCGTCCGAAGACGAGGACGACGAAGGAGAAGACTCGGCCTCGGAGAGCTAGAGAAGTAAGTTGAGAAGTTCTATTTCTAGTTACCACAACACAAACGGATATATCAGGGCCACAGCATAAAGGGCCGCCCGAGCGCCTCCCGCCGCTTCACTATTAATTGCGACACCGTCGAGCACGCGACGCCGACGAAGAGCCGCGCGCCCACGGCGAGGTCCATCTCCGCGGCCACGCGGCCCGGCGCGGACGCCTCCCCCAAGGACGCGTTCAGTATTTCAGAGACGGGCCGCACTCTCGAATTCCCCAGGGCGTCCCGCGCCCTATTGGGGTCGTCCGAGAGCAGGAGCACCGGCGCGGGATTGTTGAGAGCGTCGAGCACCGCGAAGACGCGGGCGAGGTCGGCGTCCGACGGCGGGCAGAACTTGGGTCGTTTGGCACATAAAGAGCCGAAGTCGCCCAATCGGACATGCACGGCGTCGTAGGTGCCCGTAGATTTCATGGCGTGCGCGACGACGGTCTGGAGTTGTGAGGAGGCGCGCAGCGCTGTGAGTAGAGCGCGCGCGCGCGGTTCCGACGCGTCGAGGCGCCCCAAGGCGTGCGCCGCGCAGGGCGCGAGGTGCGTCTTTTCGCGTCGCGGCGCGACGAGCCCGAGAAATGATGAAGAGGCGTTGAGTGCCGAGTCCCAGCGGAAGCCGGCTCTACACGGACTCGAAGCGACGTCCAGGCCGCGGCAGGGCCTAGCGCTCTTGAACGCGGAACGCTTATAAGCCTCTTGGTGGCACGGCCCCAGCAGCAGGAACTCCCTCACATCAACGCCGACGGCGCAGCGCGGTAATTTATTCAAGGCGACGGCGCCCGGGGCCACGACGCACGTCTGCACGAGCGAAGGCGCCGCGTACGCGCGCGCGTGTTTTTTCATCAGGCTGAACGCGTACGCCGCCGGCGGAGAAAAAGCGTCGCACGTGTGCTCGTCGCCTTCCACGACGAAACTAACACCCTCACAATCATGCAGCATGGCGCGCCACGTCGCCACGTTCGCGACGGTTCGTAAGCGAGGGACGTCGAACACATCCTCGAAGGCGTGGTGCCGCGCGTCGCCTCGCATCGAAGACCGGTCCGCCCTCAAATCGGGCAGCACCAGGGTCCGCGTCGCGTCGCCGGCGCACTGCACGCGGCCGAGTAGCTGTTCCAGTTGATTCCCCAGGCCGCCGCCGCGCGCATAGTGATCCGGCCAGGCCATCCAGTAGTCCGTCGCATGCGCGGCTTGTAGGAGCCATGCGGCCGCGAGGCGTTTCGTCATCGCTGCTGGCTCATCGTTGCGGCGGTGGCGTCTTTGGGCAGCCGCTCTGTGTATGCAAATTTGAGTTCGGGTTCGTGCCAGGTCTGGGGCCGACGTGTGGTTTTTCGGATTGGCTTGAAGCCAGCACGACTCCCTCTGCTGTGGAAATGTCTGCTCGGCTGCATCTCTGGGCTAGTAGGTTCCAATCGCCCATTTTGCAGGCTGGGCCGCAAAAGCGAGGGCTTATTGCGCACCGTGCGACGCCGTGCTGACTAAACCGACATCGTTTATCGAAAGCTTACCTCAGCGTGTGGGCCTCCTCTGCAAACCAGACTCTCGGAGGACGCGTAAGCGCCGCAAAAGCCCTGTCTAGCTCTGCAGCGAGCACTGCTATAGCGCGGGACTTGTAGCGACGCGCGGCCGTCACTGGTGCTGCTACGGGACCGCCTTGCACCTAGAGAGACGAGAGATCGTCAACTTGAGACGCACGCACGCAAACTATTCGAGCGCTCACCGCACTGCGAGACGCGCCGCTCACCCACCCCCAATAACGCAGGTCGCCACCATGGGCGTCATCAAGAGCGGCAAGGTCGTCATCGTCCTGCAGGGACGGTTCGCGGGCCGCAAGGCTATTGTGGTGAAAGCCTACGACGATGGCAATGCGGAGCGGCGATTCGCGCACGCGATGGTTGCGGGCATCGACCGCGCGCCCCGGAAGGTGACGCGGAGCATGTCCAAGGAGAAGATCCAGAAGCGCACGAAGATGAAGCCCTTTTTGAAGTACGTCAACTACACGCACCTCATGCCCACGAGATATGTGGTCGATCTTGATCTGAAGAAGATCGTGGACGAGAGCGGGCTCAAGGAGGGCAAGGCCGAGGCGCGCAAGGCCATCAAGAAGGTCTTCGAGGAGCGGTACCACCAGCAGTCGTCGGCGAAGAAGGAGAAGAAGGCCGCGGGCACGATGTACTTCTACAAGAAGATGGCGTTCTAAGTTATGTTTCCTTAATTGTCTCGCCGACGGCGTCTAGAACTAGATATACTTATCCAACGCTCGCCCCGTCGCCGACGTCCACGGCGGCCACCGCGCGGTCCGCCGCGAGGACGCAGTCGCCCAATACCACACGATTGGAGGAAGTCGACAGCGCCGCCTGCGCCGTCGGCCAGAGCTTCTTGTTGTTCATCTGGTTCGGCGTCGCGGGGTCCGCCGCCGGAAGGCCGTTGAACAGGGCCCGCGTTCCGGGTGCCGCGTCCACTTCCACCAGTCGGGTCGTATCATCTAGAGTAGCGCAGACGAGCATGCCCTGGCTCTTGAAGCCCGCCAAATTGCGCGGCTTCGTGTTGGCCAATACTATAACGTTCTTCCCCGCGAGGCCGTCGGGGTAGGCTTCGCGTAGCGCGGCGCCGATGGTGCGAGGCTCGCCCTCGCCGACGTCCACCGAGCACTTCCACAACGTGTCCGAGTCCTCGACAGGTTCTGACGATACTACACTACCAACCAACAACTCGAGGCGCGCCGCCGCGGCCTGGTCCGCCGGCAGATCTAAGGCTGCCTCTTTTTTCTTCTTGGGCTGCGTTAATTTCTCCGCTGATTTCCGCTTCTTGCCGCCGAAGACGTCTTTCAAAGGAGCGCACCGATTCAGTACCAATGGCGCACCCGGCAAGCGCTGGGGAGGAATCGCGGGGCTCCCCGCCGCGTCGACGCAAAAGTAGCCGTTCCGCTCGAGCTGCGTTACCGAACGAGGCTCGTCGTAGGCCCGATCGACCACATCCCTTTCCACGAGTGCTTCCACCAACTCCTCCAAGGCTCCTTGTGGATCTGCGTTATCATCACCACTAGGTTTTTCTGCTTTAAATAAATTGCCGTACAACCTCACGATGCAGGGCACGGCGTCGTCTCTCCGCAACCAATGAATGATGCCCTTGCATCTTGCTCCTGATCCTTTGGCGCCCGCGCGCGTGTCGCGCTCGACCGAACATAACAGTCTACATACATCTCCGTTGTCGTCCCTTTCCACAGAATTACACTGAACGACGTAGGCGTACCTCAGGCGCACGCGACCGCCCTCGACCAATCTGTTAAATCCCTTCGGGGGCTCGCCCGCCTGCAGGTCGTGAAAGTCGGTCCGCTCGATCACGAGGTCGGAACCGAAGCGCAACGGTCTCACGCCAAAGTCTTTCTTCGGGTGCCGCGGCGCCTCCAGCGCTTCGTCGGCTTCGTCAGCTTCCGTCCAGTCTACGACGGTTAACGGTAAAGGCCGCAACACCCCAAACGCTCTCGCGGCCGACTCGTCGAGGACGTCTCGCACGCAGTCCTCCAGCACCTCGCTCTCGATGAACGCGTCGGCCTTGGATACGCCGACGCGCTCCGCGTACTCCCTTAACGCAGCGGGCGGCACGCCCTTCCTTCGCAGACCTGCGCGGAGCATTTCTGTCAAATCGGTCCGAACGGCCTCAAGATCATCTCCTGGAGACGACGCGCGTCGATGGCGTGAAGGACGCCGAGATCAGACCTGACAAGGTGGGCAACCGGGGATCATCCCAGCCGTTGACCAGTCGATCATCGACGAGCTTCGCGAGTTTTCTTTTGGACATGACCGTGTGCGCCACGTTCAACCGGGAAAACTCGATCTGGCGCGGCGGCTTTAACCTGTGTGGAAATCAAAATTTTACGGCGCGGTCGTGCTGAATCTTCGCGTCAACCTCCACGCCATCGACGCGACGCCTGCTCGATGGCGTGCACCCGACGCACTGGTTGATTTCCACACAGGTCTAACGGAGGCTCCGTCTCGATCGGCGTCGGCGTTTCCGGTGATGCTCGATAGTCCTCGGGATTGCCGCCAGCCTTGGACAAGCACCCGAGGACCCAGGCGTCGTCCCTGACTTCGGGACACTTGGCCACGACCCAGTCGTAGAGCGGTCGGTGGTCCTCGAACTCCAGAGTACACAAGCTATGAGTAATCCCCTCAATCGCGTCGCTCAAGGCGTGGGCGAAGTCGTACATGGGGTACAACCTCCAAGCATCTCCGGTCCGAGGGTGCGTCGCTTCCTTCACTCGGTACAAGGCCGGATCCCTCAGATTTAAGTTGGGAGACGCCATGTCGATCTTCGCTCGCAAAACAGCACTCCCGGCCGGTAAATCGCCGTTGCGCATCGCTTCTAGTAATTGCAGGTTCTCGTCGACGGTTCTATCTCGATATGGGGAATTTTCACCAGGGGACGTTAACGAGCCTCGTCTCAATTTCATGTCCTCGGCGGACTGAGAATCGACGTAGGCGTCGCCTCGTCTAACGAGTAACTTCGCACACGCGTACAGCACGTCAAAATAATCGGAAGCGTGGCGCACGCCCTCGAACCACGGGTCCTCATCATTTTCACCGACCAACCACCTTACATCCTCCAAAATCGCGTCGGCAAAGATCTGCTGCTCCTTCTCGGGGTTCGTGTCGTCCAGTCGCAAATGCGTCCGGCCCCCATAGTCCTTCGCAATCCCGAAATTGAGGCAGATCGACTTCGCGTGGCCGAGATGCAAGTACCCGTTCGGTTCCGGCGGGAACCTCGTAATGATGGTCTCGTGCTTCTTTTCTTTTATGTCGTTCTCGATGATGTCTCGAATAAAGTGCTTGCGTCCCGTGATTTCCTGGGGCGGTTCTGCTGGCGTTTGCTTGCGCTGGCGCCGCGCGTCGACTACTTCTATTTCCTCGGCTTTTAGTAATGTGTGCTTGCGCCGCGGAGCTGGCGGCTGCAGCGCTGCTGCGCTGACGAGCAGCAGTGCCAGCGACCGCATCGTTTCGCGAATGCTGGCGTGGGAGAGCAAGTGCTCCTGCTCGACGTGGTGCACTACAGCGGCGCGTGCGCGAGGAACAAGCTCGGTGGCCCGTGCTATACCGATAAACAGATCGTTACAACGCCTTCGCAGCTGTGTAAGCGCAGCGACGACGGCCTACAACATCAAACTCAAACCCATCGCGATACCCGCACGTAAGCCATTTGTGTCTCTAGGCCCTGATATTCTTGTTGTCGGCCTGAAAGACGTCGTGGATTCGAAAGGCGTTAACTTTTGAGCGCTCCGCGTCGGCGCCTCTCGTTCCCAGAGACGGCGTCTCAGTGGCACAATTACGTCCGCGCGCGCCTCTTCTAACGCATTTGGATTGATTCCCACACGCATCGTCATGGATAACGTCGCTCACAATAAGGAGAACTCGCCGCTCGTCGCTCGGAAGGAGCTAGAGCCTCAGGACGCAAGCAAGACCCAGGAACATTCGAGCGACCTGCGGGGGCCGCGCAAACCCAATATCACGTCTTTCGTGTTGAAACCGGTGACGCTCCCCAAGCCGCTGCAAATTTAGAGCCGAATTGAGCTAAATCAATACGTTTACAAGTACTCGACGCGACGTAATGGAGCGCCCCGCCGAACATAATTGTCCGACGACGCACAAGGCGCCGCCGGCACCTTATTACGCCGTGATCTTCTCCTCGACGCTATCAGACAACGCGGAGGGCTACGGCGCCATGGCCGAGCGCATGGTCGAGCTCGCGAGGCAGCAAGAAGGATTTATTGACGTCGAGAGCGCGAGCCGCACGAGCGAGGGCTTCGGCATCACCGTGTCCTACTGGAGAGACCTCGAGTCCATATCAAGATGGAAGGCTCAATCCGAGCACGCCGCCGCGCAGAGGATGGGCCGCGACGCGTTCTACCGAAGCTATAAGTTGCGGATCGCGCGCGTCGAGAGGGACTACGGCTTCGACCGGGACGCGTAAATATGAACACAAGTTGTTACCCACACATCTCGTTGCAGAGCTCCCGCGCCAGCTTCCCGTCGAGCTCGTCCTTGTGGTCCTTCATCAGCATACCCATGAGCTTCCCCGGGTTCGTGTTGCCGGCGTCTATTAACGATTGGATCCACCCTCGTACCGTATCTTCGGACGCCAGCGCCGGGAGCCACTGCGCAATCACATCCAACTCGGCCTTCTCGGCCGCCGCGCGCTCGGGCTCGCCGCCCTTCTCGAACATCTCTATCGACTCCTGGCGCATCTTGCTCCTGTGTGATGAAAACGGTCGCGGCGACTGCGCGTGGGGGCGGACGCTGTACCACATACATCTTCCGCAATACCTTCACCGCTTCCGCGTCGGAGACGGCCTCGACGCCCGACTCCTTCGCCGCGTTCGTGAGCGCCGTCTTGATGAGGCGTAACGTGGAGGTCAGGTCCTTGTCGCGCGCCTTCATGGCCTGGATCACGCGCGTGTCTACCTGTGCGCACATCACCGCGTCGCGTCGATGGCGTAAGGCGCTTCCGACGCCGCGTTCAAACATCAGCAGCAATAGGCAGCGGCTCCGCCGGGGGCGCGGGGGCCGGCGCGGGCGCGGGAGCTGGGGCCGGCGCGGGTGCGGGCTCCGACACCTCTACCGCCGCAGCAGACACGTCGCCGCGCTCCGCCGCGCGCAGCTCCTCGGCGAATTCTTCTTCTGAGAGCTCGTCGAACATCTCCTCCTCCTCCTCGCTCATGAGCCCGATCTGGTAGCCGAGCGACGCGGCCTTCTTCTGGATCTTCGTCATCAATCTACCAGACATACGGCGGTTCGCGAGGTAGAATTCCGGCGAGGAGATGACTTCCGCGAGGTCGTCTATTGTGACGACCTTCTGGAGGTCGGACTTGACGCGCTGCCTTATTTTAAGCTGCTTGCGGCCGTAGCGCATCGAGATGCCGCTGCTTTGAACTCTCCGTTGCTGCACGGGGAGGCGGTTGCGCGACGGCGCGAGAGCACTCACCGCCAGTGCATTGATGGTGATCAGGGAGAGCAGCATGTTGTATGAAGCTCCTGGGAGCGATGTTGGAGCGGAATTGTTGGTGCCGTGCTGCTGCAAGTACGAACGCTAAATTGTGCTTTACAACGAGCTGCCAAAGTGCTCTCGACAGCAACAGGCGATGGCGCCCAGACTTGCTGGGGATGCCTAGTGTCTTACAAGCCGCTAGCAATCGCGCTGGGGCGAGAGGTACCCAGGAGATAAAAGTACGGACACGGATAGCTCGTCGGCGCCCCTCTCCGTGCGGGGCTCTCGCCTCGTTTGAGTGGTTTGCTCGAACTGTGCGAGGGGCAGCCCACCGACGACGACCGCAATCAACGCGAGGCAGCCCTAAAAAAGCTATCGAAGGACGCCGTCGCCGCGGGGCAGTGAAGAATGCCGCTCCACGACACCGCCAACGTCCTGGCAAAGCCACAACATGACGCCACCGCCGTAGCCAGAAGGAAGGCCTCTCTACTGAAAAAGCAGCGCCAGCTGCGGAGGGAGCTGCGCACCCTGCAAGACCAGTCCGCGAAAGACCTAGCATTGCTAGAAAAGGAGCGCCAGGAACTGCGGGACGGCCGCCTGAACGCCGCCGCGTCGCACGCCGCCAGGAAGGGCCTTGCCCAGAAGCCGCGGTCCAGTCGCGATAGGGCCGAGTTCGACGCGCGGACTCTGAAGGTCGAGGCGCCGCGGGCGGAGCAGGCTGCGAAGCGGGCCGAGGCGCGCTGTTCTTTAGCCTTGAAAAGGCTGGCCGTTGCTAAAGAGAAAGTGGAGTCGCTGCCGGGCAACCTGGGACGCGGGCCGGACCAGATCGACCAAATACGGCGCCAGCGGGAGGCCGCCCGTCTTTCTGAAGAGAAAATCAAGCTTAAGGAGGAGGCGGGACGAGTCCGCGAGGCGGCCAAGCTGGACCATGCGTTACGAAGGCTGAGATCAGAAGCGCGCGATCTGCGAGACGACGCCGACGCCGAGGACGACCGCGTTTCCAGGGCGCGAGGCAGCGCCGCCGCGGCGTACGAGCGGGCGCTGCCGGCTCGGCGGCGCGTCGCGGCCTTGCAATCTGAGTTACGGGACCAGTGCGACGTTTTGTGTGAAGACGGGCCCCTCGCCGTCGCCGACGCGTTGTTCGACGGGGAGCGCGTCGAGGGTGGGGTAGATGAAGGCATCTCCGCCAAGGCCTGCGCGCGGCTGCTGGCGCTGGTCTGGCTCGACGCTCCGGATTTGACAGATCCCGAGGAGTTGCCCGAGGCGCCTTGTGATGCTGGTGGCGATCTCGTGGCCTTGTACGGGCCGCCGCCGCCGCCTCCATCAAGCGCGGCGCGGGCCGGCGAGCTGGCCTTCGATCTGGCCGATAACGTGTACGACCGGGACGCCTTCCGGGCGGTCTTCGTGAAAGCCGCGGCGGCGGGGCCGCTGCCCTGGCCGGACCAGGCTTTTCAACGCATGCCGCTGCCGCGGTCGCCGTCGCCGTCGCCGCCCTCGTCTCCGGTCGACGACGTGTCGCCGCCGCCCTCGCCAGTCGCCGCGCCGTCGCCCTCAGCGTCGCCGCCGCGGTCACCCGCGACGCCCGCGTCGTCGCGCCGGGCGAAGACGCCCAAGTCGTCGCGCCCGCCGTCGTCGCGCCAAAAAACGCCGCAGGGCTCCCCCGAGGCGGCCGCGCCGCCCTCGCCCGAGGAAGATGCTCCGCCCTCACCAGAGGCTGATGCGCCGCCCTCGCCCGCGGCGGACGCACCGGCGTTCATCGTCGGCCAGAGGGTGGAGGCGAACTTCGAGGGAGAAGGGGAATGGTTCACAGGCGTCGTGGAGAAGGTCACGGAGGACGGACGCTACGACATCACCTACGACGACGGCGACGAGGAGTTCGGCGTCGAGGCGGCGCGCATGCGCGCGGCGACGGGCGACGCCGACGTCCTCGCGCCGCTGCCGGCGCCGCAGGACGAGCTCCGCCGCTCGGACGAGTACGAGGAGTCGTTCGAGGCGGAGAACTAAGTAGTAAAACACAAACTTAGCGCGGCCCGGGCGTCCGCGGCGACGGCGGCAGCGGTCGCCCCCCGAGCTGCAGCGCCGCCTCATCCCCAGCCTCGAAGGCGGCCTTGACCTCCATCACGGGCGTGTGCAGCTGCGCCGCGAGCGCCGCGAGCTGGTCGTCGGTCCAGTCGCAGCGGCACTCGCTCCGCGCCGACGAATGCGGCGACGACTGCGACGACGAGGGTCGCGTCCGCCGCCAGGCCGTCGCCTTGCGCGCGAGGGCCTCCAAATCCTGGGCCTTCTTCTCCTCGTTTCCACCATCTTCGTCGGCGAGGTGCCAGACCGGGAAGCCGAAGCGCCCGGGCGACGATTGGGTGGTTTGGGCCGCCCTTCTATCTCGCTCCGTCGCGGCCGCGGCGTAGATGGACTGGCCCCGGCGCACGAAGGGGTGATCTAGGAGCTGCTGCGCCGTCGGTCGTGAGGCCGCGTCCCTTCGTAGGCAGGCGTTCGTCGCGTCGCAGAGCTGCGCGTCGTGGCCATCTTTTGGATCTAATTGTGGGGGATCACCATCACAAATAGCTCTAACCACGGCCCAGTAGCCGTCCGCCTGCGGCAGCGGGATCTTGCCCAGAGCACAAGTGGCAAAACATAGACCCACGCTCCACAAATCGGAAGCATAAGAATAATCACCTCCCACAATCCGCTCCGGAGCCATGAAGGCCAACGTCCCGACATACGTTTGAGCTACACCTAACGTATTATCTACCGCCCTAGAAACGCCAAAATCCGATAATTTGACGCGCCACTTCCAGTCCAGCAAGATATTGGACGGCTTGACGTCTCTGTGTAATTGCCTATCGGCATGCAACGCGGCCAACCCCGCAATGCACCCGCGAGCAACCACAGCCAAGGCGTCATCCTCTAAAGGTCGCCAGCCCCTAGCCTCCATGACGTCGTGCACCGAGCGCGCGTCCATATACTCCAAGACCGCACAAACGCACCCCGCTTGAGGATTCGTGAAGGCGCCGTGGAAGGCCACGATGTGGGCCCGGAGGGCTTTTTGTGATCTAGAATCTCTATGAGCGGAAAAATCTTCCGAGTCGCGGCCGCCCATGGCCCCATCTTGACTCAAGGCTCGTTGTCTGGCATCATCCGTGAGTGGTACTGTCGACAGTTGATGCAACGCGGCCAGCTCCCTCAGCAACTGCCGTCTTCTCGCGTCGTCGTGGACGGCCACCATCTTCACGGCCACCAATGTGAGAGTAGGCGCATGTAGTGCTCGTCGCACCGACGCGCAGGCGCCTCGTCCGAGTTCGCCCAGTACGATCAAATCTGAAGGGGCAATGGAAGTCACGGACGAAGGCATCGGGCCATCAACAATAGAAGCACCTCTAGGTCTATTTTCTCCATCCTGGATCGTGTTGATCGCTAAACCACGCCGCCAATCAATCAACGTGCCGCCCTCGGAGAAGTCGTAGGACTCCTCGCCCGCGTCCCGCGCGTCCCTATCCACGGCCGCCAAATCCATTTGTAGATTGCCAGCGACGAGCAAGCGGGCCTCGGGCGTCTGCTTCGGGGACTGCGTCGCCGCCGGCGGCGTGAGGGAGGCCATGCGGGCCTCGACGTTGTCCTCGCAGCGCTGCCGCGCCTTCTCGCCGTCCCGCGACCAGATGGGCCGTCGCTTCACGCCCTTGCCCTCCTCGCGCACCTCCTCGGTCGACACCTCGCGCCGCCGCCGCTCCGGCGTCGACAAGGGAGGCAGCTCCGCGTCGGGCTGGACCCTACCAGGAGCTCGCAATGCGCGCCGCTGGCCTCTTTGCACAACCCTACCGACGGGCCGGCGCGTCCGCACTGGTTGCAATTCTTCGGGAAAGGCCGCTCGCAGGGCATCTAACTCCCTCAAGAGTAACCTTTGGTGCACGGCGAGAGACACGCCGAGTACGCGCGCCACATCATCTCGAGAACGAACCCGTAGAAGTTGCCTCCCGTCGACCCGCGGCGTCGAAGGAGACATGGAATAGGAAGACAAAGCCTCGATGCCGCGCAACCACCGCGCGACATCTGCCGGCCGCCATCTTGAGACGTCCGCATCCAAAGAGCCAAGGGCCACGTCGGCCGGAGACCCGCGCGGCACGGACGACACGTCCATGGCCGCCATGCTCGTGATCACGTCCGCGGGCCGCCGGTGAATCGTTTCGATGCTGAGCGTGCCCCGCTCGCCGCCGACTCGAGCCTGGCCGTCGAAGCTCTGGAGCGCCCGCCGCAGCTGCTTGAGGGACACGTCGCAGGCCGTCGCGTTGCCCGTCGCGTCCCTCAACGTCACGCGGACGTCGTCGCTCTTGCCCGGGCTCAGGCTTTCGCCGTCACTCAGCACGGGTTCCGGCGTCGGCGCGCGCGGCCGCGGCCCCCGCGCACTATCAGAATCGCCGCGCTGCGCCGCCGCGGCCGCCGCTGCTCTTTTGGCATGCACATCGTCGAGACCACAATCTAAAAAGTCGCGTTCGACGCAAAACCGGAGGTCGTCGCACGAGTATCTAGCGGATAATTGCGCGGCGTAGTTCCGCGTGTCGATGGCGCCTAATTGCGCATGTAGTTCCAGCCACCGGGCTATCGGCTGGGCCATTTTGCTGGTGGCTTCGTGGAGTCCTGGCTGGCTGTACGAAGACGCTGCCCGCCGGGCCCGCGTGGACTGTATGATTGAGCTGCGTCCTTCCACCTGCTTTGGTCGCGTGCACGTGGGTGCTTCCACGAAATTTATCCGGATTTTAGGCGTGGGGCGCCGGCTGAACAGCCGTGGCCGGGTATTGCGCGCGGGAGCCGTCTGTTTTGTGTCCTGACGCTTCGTGCTGTGGTGGGGAGCGCTCGGGGGGCGGGTGGGAAGCCGTCGACCGTTTTTCTTTTGTGCGGGTCTGAGATGAGAGCAGCACTCTCGGTGGGATAAAGTGCAGCGAAGCCGCCGCACGGCTGCCCCTGGCATCGCTTTGATCGCTTTGAGGCTGTCCGGTCGCGCACCGCATCGATTGGCCAGACCGATGGCGAGCGCACGTGATGCCGCGAGCAAGTTGGAGCAGTCGCGTGCTGCCGTGAGGCGGCTAAATCAAGACCTGGAAGACATGGGCCTTGACACCAAGATGACGCACTACGTTGCGGGGCAGCCTTTCACGGCGGAAATGCCCGAGGACACGCTCGTCAGGGTGGGAGCCCTCATGACGCCCAAATGCGGGGGCTGCGGCAGGGTGGACGAGCAGCGGGCGTTCCTCAAGTGCGCCGGTTGCAAGGTCACGCTCTACTGCTCGCGAGCCTGCCAGAAGAAAGACTGGAAAACGCACAAACCGAATTGCAAGTCGATTCGGCGCCTCCGCAAGTCGGAGGCGCCGACGACCGCCGACGGCGCCTACACGTTCGAGGGCCTCGCGTTCCTCTACCAGGAGCACGCCATGTCGAAGGTCCAGGGATCAAAAATGATGGAATTCGCGCACACCGAGCAGGCGACCGGTCGACGGAGCGGCCTCTGGCCACCTCTGTGGAACTTGAAGGGTCGCGCCGGGCCGATCTCCGGACGTCGTGAAGTTCTCGCGGCGGCTGGTCTCCCGGGCGTGCCGGACATCCTGAATAATCCGCCCGACGCGTTGAAGGCGCCGCCGAACGACGCTGGCGCGACGGCGCTGAGGGCCGGCGGGCACTGGCAGGAGCTGCAGCTGCGCCACTTCGGCCCGACGGCGCCGTCGGGCGTGGCGGCGTCCTCCTGGGAGGACATGTACGAAAGGTGCCGCGAAGCCAGTCGCCAGCATCCCCTCAGGTGGATCGAAGGATTCGTTCTTCGGCCCTTCGTGAATCGCTTCGTCTGGTTCCGCCTCCCTGGCAAGTCCGGGCTACATCAACCCAACCAAAAGCTACTTGATCGCATCGCCTTCGACGGGCCGGTGCTTCGCCTGGACCAGGCGGCCTACGAGCGCGCGCACGCGGGCACAGAATTCGGCAATCCGGCGCCCGAGGTCCCGTACGGCCCGTGTAGCATCGCGGCGCCCCAGGGACAGGACTACTTCACCATCGAGCAGTTCGCCTGCGCGCTGCACGCGTATTATTTCCGGACGCTCAAGCCGGACGGTTCCCCCGCAAAGAACATGGGCTTTCCCCAAAAGCCCGGCGGCGGGGACTTCTTCGCCATCGGCAGAATCGCGCCCGTCGACGACGCCCTCGTGAAAGGAGCCTCCTATCCCGACGCGGTCTACGGCTGTACGTGGGTATGATAAGTCTCTTAGTCCATGTCGTCCACCGGAGCAACAGGCGCCTGCTGCGTCTCCGTCATCCAGGCCGGTCGGTTGTCGACGCCGCGGCCCGCCCCGTTCGGTGGAGGCGGCGGCGGCGCCAGCACGATCGGCGGCGCGGCCGCGACGCCGCCGATGCCCGCGACGCCGGCCGCGACGGCCTGGGCCGCGAGGACCCCTCCTGATGGCTCCAAGGACGGAGCAGCTGCCTCAGGAGCCGGCTCCACCGGCGGTAATGGAGTGGAGTCGAACCTTTTCTCCTTAAATAAGTCCTCTGGATAATAACCGGCCAGTATGGTTTTGCCATTCAGACTCCGATCCGCGAAGGCCTCGATGGCTTGTTCAGCAAATAATTCATCCCCAAAACGCACGAAGATGGACCCTTGGGCTTCGTGCTTGTCGTCGCCGTCCGGGCGCGGGATTTCCACGGCGTCGACGTCGCCGTAGGTCCCGCACTCTGTTAATACGTCATCTACTAGCTCAGCGTACAACTCGTCGTCCTGCAGGTCCTCCTCAAGGACAGCGTTCCGCAGGTGGACGACTCGAGTCCGTTGCTCGGGATCGTGAGGCGGTGGTTTCGGCCGCTCACCCGTCTTCGTCGGAGCCATCAGCGTCGTGATCATCTGCGGCGGGACTCTTTGAACAACAAGCTTCACGTCGCCCAGTTGCCGCCCATTGAGCCCGCCGATCGCGTTCGACGCCGCGATGTCAACTTCATATTTAAAGACAGCAGCACCCTTAAATGCTCCCGTGTCGTCCTTCAGCAAATTGAACTCCGCTAAACTCCCAAAGGGGCAGATGAGTTTCTTCACGTCGAGTTCCTCGAGAAAACATGGTAAATTCAGGAGCATGAGGACGTTGCTGCGAGCCATCAGCGGGTTGAGAGACGCGGGATTCCCCGCGCCAAACGCGCCCATGGTCGGCAGCGGTTGGCTGAGTCCATCACCGTAGTTCTTCGGTCGGCCCAGCTTCAACTCCTCCTCGTTCCATTGTATTCCATCTAGTTTGAGTAAATCATCAGTCTCTTCGACGGATCGTAACTCAAGAAATGCGGTCGATCCGTCTTCGGCGACCCAGCAGTTCGAGATGGCTCCCTTACAGGAAGGCTTGCACGTTGTTAATGCAGCATCTAAGAACGCTCTCACGTGTTGCGAGGTGCAGCCATAGGGAACGTTCTTGACGTACAGTTCGCGTTTGGGTTTATTGGACTGCAACGTGGCCGTGGCCGTGGCCGTCGCGGCGGATTGGGCCGCTAAAGCTAGGCCCTGGGCGGCGCCGCCGCCGCCGACGGCCGGGGCGCTCGCGACGCCGCCCAATTGCGCACCGAGCGCACCTTGAAAGGCTAAAGCCTGGCCGGACTGGGCCATGTTCATGCCGGCCATCTGCTTCATGATCTGGAGTTTCGCGAGAGCCTCTTGCACGGAGAGGTTCGGGTTTTCTCGCATGACCACCGTGAGCGACAACCCTTGCGGCACGCCCACTATGTTTTCGTCGTCGCTCGAGTCGCTCCGCCGCCTCCTACGTTTCTCCTCGGGCCGCGCGTCGGGCATGCCGTCGCCGCGCCGCCGCCGTCTTCCTCTACTCCGCGAGCGGTCCCTTCGTCGGCGGCCGCGGCTTCGTGACCTGCTGTCTCGTCTTCTTCGGTCGCCGCCCATGGCTTATTTCGTGTTTATGCGCTATCGCGGCGGCTCGCGGCGACGGCGTGGATCTGCTTTGGCACGGCTGCTGGAGTCGTATAGATGTGAGCGCTGCAGGAGCGTGTTGTTCGCAGTGAAAGCACCAATTATAACCACAGCGAGCGTACGGTGTCGTGCCTAGCGCTGCGTAATCGACTTGCGCGCCGCACCGCGAGCTAGCGGCATGTAAGACACTAGCAATCGAAGCCTCTCAGGTCGACCCGCCTCTACATCGCATACGTGCCTTGGTGTGATTGTGACGCGGCTCACTGTCTCCCTAGACGCGCTCCGCAGCCTGTGGAACCGCTGAGTTGAGAACAACAGCCAGCGAGGCAACAAAAGCCACGAGACGCCAATCGCCGCGACAGCCATGACTGCGTCGAACCCGCGCAAGACCGAGGCCGACGCCTTGTATCGGAAGAAGAAGTACGGCGAAGCCGCCACGGCTTATAGCGCCGCTTTAAAACTGGAACCGCATAACGAGAAGATCTATTCCAATCGCGCCGCGTGCTGCGAGCAATTGTGTAAAGAACTCTGGGGCCCGGAGAAGCAGGGCTGGTTGACGTGCGGGCTGGGGGATGCCCGCAAGTGCCAGGAGTTAGCCCCGGAGTGGCCCAAGGCCCACGCGCGCGTCGTGGCGGCGTGCGTCCAGAAATGTAGCCACGAAAAAGATAGCGCCTGGGAGCGCGACGATTATGATGAAGAGGCGGCAGCGCGGTCGATTGGTAAGATCGCGGGTCCCTCGTCCCAGATCTTTTCTAGGAGTTGTCGGGAGGAATGCTCCGCTCTGAAACGCGAGGCCGAAGATGCCTGTAGGAGAGGATTGGCATATGACGCGTCGGACTTGTACTTGCGAGCGGCTTTGAATAAATTAAGGGACGACGCCGACTATGTCGTACGTAAAGAAGATTCGTATCCATCGGGCAAGTACGCTTCCGATGCGTCCTTGCAGAAGACGGAGCCCGCCGGGCGCTTGAAGCAGAAGGGCAACGACTTGTTTGAGAAGAAGATGTATCCGCAAGCCGAAAAGGCCTATAGCGATGCTCTAGCCTTCGATCCCTTGGATGCCGTGCTGTACTCCAATAGATCAGCATGTCGAGTCCATCAAGATGAATATAGAGGAGCTTTAAGGGACGCGGAGAAGTGCGTCACATATAACCCGGACTGGGCCAAGGGCTATTTGCGCGTGGCGAACGCGTTGTTCGGCCTGGGGGATTACGTCGGCGCGGAGCAGGCTTGTATGAGAGGGTTAGCCATCGACCCGGACCATTCGGCACTGTCCAAGCTCAAAATACGTCTGAAGGTCGAAACGAAGGAGCCCCTGGAGGTGCAGCGGGAGATGCATAGACTGAGGGAGGACCAGCGCCACCGCGGGTCCCTGAAAAAGACCCTGAAAGGCCTCCGGGAGCACGGCGGCGGCGCGGGGCCCGACATCTCCAAGGGCATCGAGGAGATGATGTCGAAGATGGGCATGCCTGTCACTGTGTGAAAATCAACCAGTGGGTTGGGTTTACGGGAACATCGTCGCGTCGATGGCGTGGAGCCTCCACGCCATCGAGCAGACGCAGTTACGGGGACACCATCGCGTCGATGGCGTGGGGCGTCCGAAATCTGATTCCACACAGGCCGCCCGGCGTCGCGGGGATGGCTGGTTTGGATATGGCCAATTTACCCTCCGCGGCGGCGGACCAGCCCACGATGTCCGAGGCGCAGATGCGGCGGCACGCTCGGCATCGCGCGGGCGTGAAGCCTCCGCCTCCGCCTGACGGCGCGGTCGAGGTGGGGAGCGATGGGGCGTTTAACATGTGATAGGCTACTTGTACCGATGAATTCTTCTCAGGCTCAGGCTAGTTACGTCGCGCCCCCCCCCGTACCCCTTTTTTGGCTCAGGCTCCGTTACGTTTTCCGGCTAGTGTCTTACCACGCTAGCTCTGCTCTGCTTTGCTGTGCAAGCTCTGCCGAGCTCTCAGAGCAAACAACACAAAGCGAGTGTCAGTACGATGCGTTGCCTCACAGTCCTGCTCGCAGCGTCGACGGCGTCGGCGCTGCAGCCGCATGCGCTCAAAAAACCTTGGAGAGCGCTTGGCAAGGCTGTCGCACCAGCACTCTTGGGCGTTGGCTGCCTCAGCAGCATTGCGGCACCGCCGGCGAACGCGGCGGACAAGCGCCAGATCGCGTCGATCACCGCTTCTGGTTTGGTCTTCAAGGACAAGCTCATCGTGGACGCCTTCGCCGATCCTAAAGTCGAGGGCGTCACGCTCTACGTGTCGGACTTCGAGCGGCCCGTCGTGGAACGCGTCCAGAAGGACTTCTTCTCGGACCCGTCGCAGAGTGGCCTCGCGTGCTCGCGCCGCGCGGCGCCGCTCAAAGTCGGCAACGTCGACACGAGCGCCGAGGGCGAAGACGTCGTCAGCGAAGCCAAGTCGCTGCTGTTCAAGACGCTGCGCGTCAAGCGCATCGTCGACAAGGAGGCGAACGCCCTCGTGTACGTGTCTTACTCGACGCGTATCAACAAAGACGATGACTCCAACAAGGCGCGCTTCGCGTCGTCGCTGTGCACCGTCTCCATGGACTAGAATAATGTGATAACCGAGAGAATATTTTTTACAGAACCCTACGCCGACTCCGCCGGCGCCGGCTCCGGCGCGGGCGCCGGCGCAGATGCAGGCGCCGACGCGTGCTTGCCCATGAACTCGGCCATCCACTCGTCGGACGCGCCGAGCGAGCCGTAGAGCGACGGCGCGGGCCCGCGGAAGAAGACGAGCCGCGTGGCCGCGCCCGACGACGCCTGGATCGCGCCGAGGCACGCGTCGAAGTCCGCGCCCTTGACGGTGGTCCCGGCCACGGCCACGAGCTGGTCGCCCGCCTTTAGTGAGGCGTCGGCCTCGGCCGCGCCGCCCTCGGCCAGGGAGGCGACAAAAACGCCACCAGTCCCCGGGTCGTTCTCCTCGAAGACGATCCCCATCGGCTTCGGGAGGTCCACAAACACATAGTTCGACTCGTCCATGGAGTCCACGAAGTCGTCGGGCACGGCGAAGGCCTCGGCCTGGCCCTGGCTCTCGTCGCTGCGCACGTCGATGCCGAGCCACCGGTCGAACGGCGTCACGCGGTCCTCGTCGAGGATCGTCGTTTCCTGGCTGAACGCCTCCTTGACGCCGTCAAAGATGCCATGTCGTACCGTGAGCGGTGCAGCGGTCTGGCTCGGGGGCGCGACGAGGGCGGCCGCGCCGACGGCCGTCAGGGAGAGCGTCTTAAAGCCCATGGTTCGCGCGCGTTGGCTGTTGCGCTGGACGAGGCAACGCTTTCGCACGTCTGGAACGTATGGAACGAGTTGCACCCGCGTCGACAGCGATTAGGGCGGTCTACGGGCCCGAGACGTCGCATCAACAAAAGCCACGCAATTTGGGTGCGGGTCTGCGATCGACGATTCCTCTTAAAACTCGTCGTGACGGGTTCTGATTCGTCTCATGACGAAGGATAGGTACGTAAAAGCATCATTTTGCACCCTTAATTAATTCTTTGATTTGACTGGCTGCCCCAGGCCAACGAATGCAAATGCGCGGCGAGAACGCCGCGAATGTGGCAACCTGTAATGGTTCACCACCACTAACAATGCCGAAATCCACCACGGACCCGGCATGAGAGCGCTGGGGCCGCGCGCCGCCTTGCTGCTGCTGCTCGCAGCCAGGTCGGCCGCACGCCGCTTGGACGACGGCGACTGCCACGACGTCTTCGGCAACTGCGCCGCCTACGTCGCCGCGGGCCACACGTGTGAAGCGAGCTTCTGTGAAGGCTGCGACTGGGCCGGGCAATGCGACGCGTACTGTGGTGTCTGTGGGGGCGAGTGTAGAGACACCTACGACCACTGCCAGGCGTTCATTTCTACATCAGAGGAAAGTTGTTCGGACTTGTTTTGTGAGGACTGCTCATTTAGCGGCTACTGCGACGCGTCGTGCGGCCTGTGCTACGTGCCGCCGTCGGCGGCGCCGACGCCGCAGCCCTCGGCCGTACCGTCGTCAAGGCCTTCCTTGAGACCGACGCGGGTCCCGACGACGGCGCCACCGACGTCGTCCATGCCTTCGGACCGGCCGAGTGTTTCGCCGACGACCGCGGCGCCGTCGTCGAAGCCGTCTTCACTACCTACGTTTGCGCCGACCGCACGACCGTCACCTGCGCCATCTCCACGCCCATCAGCGACGCCTTCGGTGCGGCCTACACTAACACCGTCGCGCGCGCCTTCCACGAGCCCGACGCTGCGGCCCACATTTGAGCCTTCATCAAAGCCAACGGCGACGCCGTCGACGGCTGCGCCCTCGCCGCGGCCCACGCCGGCCCCGTCGCCGGCCCCTTCGCCGTCGCCTTCATCGATGCCGACGACGCCCGCGCCCTCGTCGGAACCCACGGCTGCGCCAACGCCGCGGCCCACGACGCCGGCGCCGACGGCAGAGCCGGGCCACCCGACGGCGGCGCCCGTCCCGCGGCCGTCTCCCGGACCGTCCGCGGCGCCGACGCGGAGCCCCTCGCGACGGCCGACCCTCGTCCCCGTGCCCGTGCCGACGGCCGTGCCGTCGCCGGGACCGAGTGCCGCTCCGACTCTTGGGCCGACGCGAGGACCGAGCCCTCGGCCGACGACGCTCCGGCCGACGCCGCACCCGACGCCAGCGGCGGGCGATCCCACGGCGGCGCCGGTCGTCGCGCCGTCGCGGCCGCCGACCTCGCCGGAAGCGACGCACGCGCCGAGCCCGGGACCGACGCAAACGCCGTCGCCCGGTCCGAGCCGCTCGCCGTCGCGCCAGCCGAGCGCCGCGCCGACGACGCCGGCGCCGTCGCGGCGCCCGACGCCGGCGCCGACGGCGCGGCCCGGCGACCCCACGGCCGCGCCCGCGCCGCTGCCGACGCTGACGCCGACGCCGCGCCCGTCGACCGTCGTGCCGACGCTCCTGCCTTCGGCCGCGCCCACTACGGAGCCCACGGCCGAGCCCACGGCCGAGCCGACCGCGGAGCCCACTTCGAAGCCGACAAGCGAACCGTCGGCCGCGCCCGCGCCCGCGCCGACGCTCGCGCCGACGACGCGGCCTCCGACCGTCGCGCCGGGCCGCCCGACGGCGCCTCCCGCCGCGAGTCCGACGGCGGCGCCCACGACGCTGCCGACCGCGCTTCCGACGGCCGAGCCGACGTCGGAGCCCACTCCTGAGCCGACGACTGAGCCGCCGACTGCGGAGCCTGCGGCCGAGCCCACGGCCGAGCCGACGACCGAGCGGCCTACGGCTGGGCCTTCGAGCGAGCCCACGGCCGAGCCAACGACCGAGCGGCCTACGCCTGCGCCCACGACGCCGCGGCCGACCACTGGCGAGCCGACGGCGCAACCGACGACGGCACAGCCGACGACCGGCGCGCCGACGACGGCCCGAGACGAACAAAACTCCTACGTCGCCGACAACAAGGAAGGGCCCCCGACGGCCGAGGAGGCGCGGGCCGGCGCCGGCGCGACGCTCGCCGCCGGGTCGTCGCTGCTCGTCGTCGTCGCGGTCGGCGCCGCCGCGGTCGTCCAGAAGCGCGACGACGTCAAGAGGAGGTGGGAGCGCGCGTCCTTCGGCTGGCTGCCGAGCCACGCGTGGTACGCGCACGCGGAGCCCGTCGACTTCCCCGGCGACGCGCGGCGCTGGTTCGCGTACGCGGAGCCGGCCACGCCGCTGGCGCGGGCGCGGCCGCTGGGCGTCGAGGCGGCGCCGTTGCTCACTACCGACGTGTAATGTTGTTGTTTGCTGTGTCTCCTGTTCGTTCCTGGGGGTCGCGGCGATGGCGTGTTCGTGGTCTTTTCTGTTATGGTGCTAGGACTAGTGGGCGGAGTCCCTGCCCAAGGCGGGGGGGAGACGCCGTCCGCGTCGCCGAATCATCGGCGGCGGGCGCGGGCCGCGTTTTTCATAACAGCATACCTCCTTCTAAGCAGAACCGCCTCGGCACTGAACTAGCGAGCGTAAAGACACTAGCGGCGTCTCCGAGTCGCCGTCGCAGTTGTGCTGAGGCTGTTCACGTACCACACAGCTGATACCGCCTAGACTATACGCCATCGCCGCGTCATATCACAGAGATCATACCCAGCCACCAGCGACGACGCAGCATAAAACGCCATGCGTGCCGCCACCTCAATCGCACGGAGCGCCCGGCGCGCCAGCCGCCGCTCGCTCGCGACGATGCGCGACCGCTTGAACGATTTGGGCAACCAGTTGCCGGGGGGGTTGCCGCAGGGCGGCCCGCCGTCGGGGTTAATCGGCGCCGTCGCCGGCGTGAGCGCGGTTGGGTACGTCGGGTATAACTCGGTCTTCACGGTCGAGGGCGGCCAGCGCGCGGTGTTATGGAGTAGGGTCCAGGGCGTCAAGCCTGCCGTGTATGGGGAGGGCATGCACCCGCGCATTCCGCTCATCGAGTACCCGGTTCACTTTGACGTCCGCACAAGACCTAGAAATGTCCAGTCGCTGACGGGGTCCAAAGATCTCCAGATGGTCAACGTTACTTTGAGAGTCTTGTTCTACCCGAACAAGCAGGAATTGCCCTGGATCTACACGATGCTCGGCCACGATTACGACGACAGAGTATTGCCTTCGATCGTCAACGAGGTCACGAAGGCCGTCGTCGCGCGCTACAACGCGTCTGAATTATTGACGAAGCGCGAGGCGGTCTCGAACGAGATCAGATACGCTTTGACGAAACGCGCCGCGGATTTCAGAATTGTCCTCGACGACTTCGCCCTAACTCATCTGAGCTTCTCGAACGAGTACACGGCGGCCGTCGAGGCGAAGCAGGTCGCCCAGCAGGAGGCCGAGCGCGCGCGCTACGTCGTGGAGAAGGCCATCCAGGAGAAGAAGAGCATCATTGTGAAGGCCGAGGGCGAGGCCGAAAGTGCCAGACTGGTCGGCAAGGCCATCCAGGACAACCCGGGCTTCGTGAAGCTGCGCAAGATCGACACGGCGAAGGAGATCGCGACGACGGTGGCGCGGAACCAGGGCAAGGTCTACCTGAACTCGGACTCGCTCCTCATCAATGTCTTGGGAGAGAAGAACCTCGCCGACGACGAGACGAAAAAGGGGCGCGGCGGGTGGGGGCGCTGATCTTTCGCTGGTGGTGTAACTTGGAATACTAGTGTTGCGTCGACGGCGTTGGACGCCTCGTCGACGCGGAACTAAAGCGGTATAATATTACACGTTGAGAAAGCGGGGTTTGACGCGCGGAGCACCAACATCTACTTCTTCATCTTTTTGTTCGCCGCGATGGTGTACTGGCGGTACTTCTCGGCGCGGTCCGGCATGGCGCTCTTGAAGCGGAAGCGGATGCCCAGGTCGTTCGTCAGCTTCTCGGCCTTGGCCGCGTCCCGCGAGTGGAGGTAGTTGATCAGGCGTCGCCGTTTGCTGACGAGCGCGAGGAGGCCCCGCCGCGAGGCGTGGTCCTTGGGGTTCGAGATCACGTGGTCCGTGATGTGCTTGATGCGCGCCGTGAAGAGCGCGATCTGGACCTCGGACGAGCCGCAGTCGGTGTCGTGGCGCGCGTGCGCCGCCTTGGCCGCGGCGCGCTCCTCGACGCAGATCTCGCGCGGCGTCACCGACCACTCCTTGATCTCGCCGACGTCGGCGCCCTCTAAATCGAAACCCGCAAGTAGGTCTTCGTCCCCGCTTTCCTCGGTGTCCCAGGCGGCGTCGTCGACGAGCGCATCCTCGAACTCGGCTCCCAGACCCTCGGTGTCCTCGAGCGACGATGTCCCCCGCTCGACAACAGAAAACAATTGCGCGGCGCGCGGCGCCCGCGGGGGTGCGATGGTGGGCACCAGCGCCAGCGCCGGGAGGGCTAAAATAGCGAGGCGCAGCGGCATTATTGGCCGATGTCGCTGAAGAGCGCTGACTTCAGGTAGTCGCCGGCGAGGCGATATGTCTCCACACCAGCGCGTGAGCTGGTGAGGGTATAAGCAAAAGGTGTATAGAGTGCGTCGGTTGCACCGCGCGGGCCGCCGGGGCCTAGCAGCAGTGCAATTTGTGACGCTGTGTGTCTCTGGACCGCAACTTGGCGCTCAGGCTAGTAGGCCGGGTCGAGCACCCGTCTTTTTAACGCTCCCTGGAGAGGCTCCTGGACAGGTAGGCCGCCCAGGCATCGGCCAAAAACGGTGCCTCCGGGCCTGCCGGGTGCAGCAGCGCCGCCACCCCAATTGCTGGGGCCTCACGCCGAGCGGAGCTCCTCTGAGACGCACGAGGCAAACGCCGAGACCACCCGTACCCACACCGAACCGGTGAAGGAGCGCTGCCCGCCAGGGAAGGGCAGCATGGCCACACTCACCCCAACCTCCCCAGCAGACAGCTTCATCGTGTCCGACAGCGGCGACGACGAGAGCGTAGCCTCAGACAGCGGTGACGACGACAGCGTCTGGGCCCTGGACCTCGACGACGACGAAGCCGCCGCCGATACGCCGGTCGCGTCGCCGGTAGGCCCCAACGTGACCGTCGGCCGCGTCTGCGCTCGGGCCGCCGCGGCGCGGGCGCGCGCCCTCGACCGCGCGCGGGCCATGGCAAGAGCCGACGCGTACCTGGACCTGAACGGCGAGGCTAGACAAGCGCACGCGGCGAGACAGCTCCGCCTCGACCACTTGCGGCGCGAGTGCGCGGCGCTGCGGCTGTCGGCGGCGCTCGTGCTGGCGAGCGCGCCCGACGCCGTCGTGGCGGACGCCGACGAGTTACTAGATCAGGGCTACGCCGCCGACGAGGTGTTGGCCGTCGTCGCGGCGACGCAGCCCGCCGCCGCCGCGGCCGCGCGGCGGCGCTGGGAGGTCGACGCTGACGACGAGGGCCCGCCCCTCAAGTCGGAGATGTCGAACCGGAGCGCGACGATCGCCCGAGGGTTGCTACAACTTTTCTTCGCCGACGGCACGATGGCCGGGCTCGCGCGGTGCGCGGCCGCGTGCGACCCCACGGAATACGCGCGCGACGCGGCCATTCTGAAGCTCCTCGCGTCGACGCTGGACCTGCCCCTCGAGATCGTGCGGCTCGTCGGCGAGTTCGCCGTGCAGTCGCCGCTCGCGCGCTTCTCGATGGCGGGCCGCGTCGACGGCGCGGTCCTGGCGCGGCTCCTGCGGCCGCACATCGACGGCGTCGTCGGCAAGCTCAAGCGCACGAAGCACTTTGGGCGCGTCGTGGCCGTCGCGCGCGGCGCCGCCGTCGCGCTGCCGGCGCCAAAGCCGCGGCCGAAGAAGAAGCCGCTCCCGAAGCGGCGCTGGAACGCGTCGTCCATCAAACGCGACCCGCGCGGCGTCGCGCGCCACTGCCTCCGCGGCGCGCGCGGCCGACGGTGCTTCTGCGTGGACTGCTGGAGCGCGACGCAACTTATTAAGTAGTAGTAGTGATTACTTGCAGGGAGGAACTCAGTCCTTCATCTTGGCCTGGACCTCGGCGCTCGTGTAGGTCGTGTCCTGCGTGAACTCGACCATGACGGCGTCCTCGTTCATGACGGGGATGTGGCCCGGCGGCACGAGGTAGGTCTCGCCCGCCTGTGCGCAAATCGACCAGTGAGCAGGCGTCGATGGCGTGCAGTGGCGAAGCCCGCGAAATCTGATTTCCACACGGCCGCCCCACCTTGATGATCTTGATGTTGTCGGGGTCGTCCTTGAACTTGATGCCCATGGAGCCGCTCTCGAGGTAGCCGAAGTGCGTCACCGGGCACCACATGACGGGGCCCTCGCCGGCCTTCGAGAGCATCGGGCTGATGGTTTTCACCCAGTCGAAGCCCTTGGGGATGAAGATGCGCTGCACCTGGCGGCCGTCGGGCAGGTCCTTCTTGAGCCACATCTTGGCGCCGCCGAACCTGCACAAGAATATCTCGAACCCACGAACGGTCATGATGTCGATGCGGCGCGACGACAGCGCTTGAAATTTTTCTCGATCGCGGCGCCCGCGGACGGTCGTGACGTCGCGATGCGGCGCGACAGCGGTTGCGCGGTTGAAGTAAGATGCTTACTGCTGCGCGATCGGGAACATTGCGACCGCGAGTATCACTCGTGGGCGCTCCGACTGCCCAATTCTTCGGCTGACAGCTGGAAACGAGGTTATCTCACGCTGGCGCTGCACTCCTTCGTGGGTGCCCCGAGTGCGGAGCCGCAGGGCTGGCAGACGACATCCGGCGAGGCCATTTTTGCTGTGTTTGCGTTTTTGGGGGGTCTGGGCTAAAATGTTCCAGCGCCTGGGTCTGGGCACGGCGGCGCCCAGCATCGCAGAAGGAAAGGTGGCAAGCCTCGCCCGACGACTCGCACTGATCGTTTTGTTGCAATTTTCGGCAGGAGAGGCCGGCCCCAAACGGCTAGTGACTTTACAGACGCTAGCTCGCTTTCAGGCGCAGCACGAAACCAGGCTCAAAACCCAGTAGCGAGCAAGCCGAGTGCAAGCTGAGCAAGCATTTTGATCACTAATCGAGCAGCGAAGCCGAGCGAAGCATGAAACTCCTCCTCTGCAGCCTCCTCTGCAGCCTCCTCTGCAGCACAGGGCTAGCAGCAAGCGCCGCCCCGCAAAAGCACCTCGTAGTGCTCGTCCACGGCCTCTCCGGCACCGCCGCAGATCTCGGCTACCTCGCGCGCCGGCTCGAAGCGGACGCTAGCGTGCGCGTGCTCGCGTCGGGCGCGAACGAGCCCTTCCCGCGGACGCTCGACGGCGTCGACGCGGGCGGCGCGCGCGTCGCCGACGAGGTGCGGCAAGTGGCGAGCGCGTACAAAACCATCAGCTTCGTGGGCAACTCGCTGGGCGGCCTCTACGCGCGCGCGGCGCTCCGCGAGCTGCGCGACGCTGCGAAGGACACGTTCGCCGGTCTGACGCCGGCCGTCTTCGTCACGACGGCGGCGCCGCACCTCGGCGCGCGGCAGACGACATACGGCCCGCTCGCGCCGCTGCTCCGACTCCTCCCGTCGGGGGTGGCGATCGCAAAGAGTGCACGAGACGCCATGCTCCAGACATCTGCCGTGGCGGACCTCTCCTGTTGCGAGGCGCTCGCGGCGCTCGCGCTGTTTCCGAAGCGCCGCGCCTACGGCTCGGCAGCCGGCGACTTCATGGTGCCGACCGCTTCGGCATTATTTACCGCGGCGTCAAGTGACGAGCTGCGGGCCGCGGGCATGAGACTGGGGAGTGAAGACGCGCCCGAAAACGGTGCCGCGTACCTCATCCGTGAACTAGACGGCGTCGACGCGCAGCTGCCGCCGGCGGAAGCGGAGCTGGCAAAAGCTCTCGACAGCGTCGGCTTCGAGCGCGTCATGATCGAGTTCGAGAGCCCGGGGCCGCTGGGCACGCCGTTCGCCCACAACAAACTGGTCGCGCTCGAGCGGCGGCCGGGGCCGACGGCCTCGCTGATCAAATACCTCGAATTGACGGCCGACGGTCGCCCTGTCATGGACGGCCTCGCGCGGTACATCCTCGAGGAGCTCGCCGCGTTTTAGACGTTTCTGTTTGTTGTACTCTCACTACTAGCAGACGTAGTAGCAATCTTGTATGTTCTATTTATTACGTGCCCCCGTGACCTATCGTTCGCCCCGGATGAGCGCCCCACTACTGCCATCACGCCACACACCAGCACCAACATGCTCATATGAGCCAAAGTGCGTCCCCAGCTCGCGAGCGTAACCGACGACGCTCCACGGACATAACGGTCTGCTCGTCCGCGTGACGAGAAGCGGCAAAACGTGGTCCGACCAAACAGGCACCAGCGCACCGGACCCGATCTGGTAGCCCAGTCGCAGCAGCTCCGCGGCGGCGTAGCGCGCGGGCCGCGGGTGTTTGCGGTGCGTCTTCCGCGAGTATCGGAGGCGCGCGGCTTCCTCGAGCACATTCACAATATCCCTATTTCCCAATTCCCGAGCGTAATCGAACACGTCCCAGCCGATCGTAGTGTCGTTATCGACTGTACGCGATAGACACGCATTCATTACATGTCTGAAGTAATCATCGTCGCGAGTTGCCTTGTGGTCGAACGAAGCTCCCGCGTTGATCAGAATTCTCACGCAGGCCAACACGTCGGCAGGGGTTTGTCTGTACCTGTAGCCGAGCGGCGGATGCAAACCAAGTACTGCATCTCTAAATAACATCATGAGCGGCGTAAGGTCCATAGTAAAGTTGCAGCTCCAGCGTTGGGGGGCATATGTGACCTGATCGAGCTGCGCGAGGTTCCCGGTCGCCACCAGCGCCCTCAAACAGTCGGCGCGCGCGAACAAGGAGCATTCGTGGATAGCTAGAAATACAGAGTCAGTGGAATCCATGCATTGCTTTGCGGGCCCGCGGGCGGGTCTTGGCGCTAGCAGATCAGCGCCCTCCGCCAGGCATTGTTGGACACTTGCAAGATCTCCATCATAGCACGCTCGTGATAAGCCGTCGGCCCTAGGGCGTTTAGGCCGATTTTCTGGCATGCCGCCTCTCGTCTAGACGCACCTAAAAGTGGCCTTGCGCTTTTTTGTGTGCGGACTGGCCCTGACCTGCACAAAACGGGTTTTACAGGCTGCGCGCGAGTTGTTGGCAAAGACGCGCCCGGTAGTACCACAAGTTTTACAACAGCTACTTCAGGAACACGAACGTCAGCGCCGCAGGCATGATCACGCAGCCGAGGAAGAACTGCCCGGCGGCGAGGTACCGCTTGGGCCCCGCCGGCCCGACGCGCCAGTAGATCCCGCCGGGCAGGATGTAGGAGATCGTCGTCGAGCCGGTCGCGCCGACGAGCGACAGCACCTTGCCTAGCGACCGGACCGAGAGCGCGATGGCCAACGCTCCTGCCAGGAAGGCAAGGGTGATGGAAATGTGCTCGACGTCGCGCGGCGCCTCGGGCGGGTCGTCGTCGCCCTGGGACGACGACCGCCGGCGGGACGGCGACTCGCCGTCGATGAGCGAATAGTCCGCGGCCGGCGCGTCGCGCTGGAGCAGCGATTTGATGCACTCGCGCGAGGGATGGAGCTGGAGCGGGATGGCGCTCGTCACCTCGAGGGCGACGGCGACGCGCGCCAGGGCGATCGCGGGCGCCGCGGCGTAGTTTGTAAGCACCTGTGCGTGGAAGCTCCACCCGTCGCGTCGATGGCGTGGGGCGGCCGAAATTTGATTTCCACACGGGTAAGCACGTCCGAGTGGATGCTCGCGCCGAACGTCGCGTAGCCGGCGTTCGCTATTATAAGGTAGAAGGCCAGGGCGAGCGACACCGCGCCCACGACGACGAGGTCCAGGCGTCGCCGCGTCGGGTCTCGCAGTTCGTTGTTGACCGCGAAGATGTTCTGGTGGCACGTAAAGCCGAAGACGAAGATCGGCAGATTCTTGAGCGTGCGGAAGTCGGCCACGACGTAGCTCGTCTCCGCGTCTCGGTCCGACGCGAACATCTCGCTCACGACGAGGAGCGCGATGCCGGCGCAGCAGAGGAGCGACGCCGCGCTCACGAGGCGCAGGTTGTCTAATTTCTTTTTTAGCGCGAGCGGCGTCACGACGAGCGCGGCGAACAAGATCCACGGCTCGCGCCGCGCTGCGAACGGGACGTCCGGCAGCGCCCTTTGCGCGACGATCGGCAAGCTGTCGCCGACGACGATGAGGTACGAGCAGGCGACGCCGAAGCACTTGATGATCACGGCCAGGTCCACGAACGTCGCGAACCGCGGCGCCGCGGCGGACGCGACGGCCCGGAACGACGCCTTGTCACCGTCAACGATCTGCGCCGAGAGTGAGAGCAGGTGTAGGCCGTGCGCGCTGAACAGCGCGAAAACAAGCAACAATCCCGATCCCAAGGCCGAGCCGCACGTGGCGAACGCTGCGGGGAGCGCCAGGACGCCGCTGCCAATTATGGTGTTTGTGAGGTTGTAGACGCATGAGCTGATCGATGCCACGCCGCCTTGCGCCGGCTCTGGAGGTGCTGCTGTCATGACTCACGCAGCGAGCACGGATCGCAAGCCCTCTTGGAGTGTGTCAAAAGTGCTTGGACGTGTCAAAAATGAAATGCGCCCCTCTCAGGCAGCTAGCGGCAGTAAGACACTAGCAACAAGCAAGCAAGCCGCCAAAGCGGCCAAGCCGGGCGCAAAACAGCGCCGATGAATTGGCAAGGCGCCGCCCAATAGTAACAGAAAATAATACAAGCAAAGCGGCAGCCCAAAACGGCACGCAGAGGCAGCCCAAACCGGCTCATGATGGAGCATAGCTCAGCATAGTAGCCCATGCGCCTCGTCGCCGTCCTCTATTGGTGCCTCGTCGCGGCAGCAGCCAAGAAGCACGTCCTCTTCGACCACACCATCAATGCGGGCCCGATCGGTATCGACCTCGACAACCAACTCACCGTCACGGGCTTTGGCAAGCGGGGCGCGTACCACCCGCTCGCGGTGGCTGGCGTGAAAATAGGCGACGTGATCGTGCAGGTCGACGGCGAGGCGCAGCCGCCGGGCGGGCTGGCGCGGCCGCGGACGCTGCCGCGGCGCTACCGCGAGGCGCGGGCTCGATTAAACGAGGACTGGCCGCAGCGGCGGCGGATCCGGTTCCGGCGCGAGGTGGGGGAGGAAACGGCGGCGCCCGCGCCCGAGCCCGCGGCCGACGCCGGGCCGACGGCGGCCGCCGGGCCGACGGCGCCGGAGGAGACGGGCCCGACGCAAGCGGCGACGACGCCGGCCAGCCCGGAGGGCGGCGGGCGGGTCGAGGTGGCCATCGGCGGCGACCGGAAGAACCGCGGCGGCCGCACCGTGACCGCGGGGGCGGCCCTGGCGCCGTTCGGCGCGGCGCCGTCCTGCAAGGAGCGCCCGGCCTTTGTAGTGGACGGCGACGGCTGCGACCCCCGGGCATTGGTCGGCGCGCGCGGCCGCGTCGCGCTGGTGCGGCGGGGCGGCTGCGGCTTCGCGGAGAAGGCCTACGTCGCCGCGGCGCAGGGCGCCTTTGGCGTTATCGTCCTCGAGACGGACGCGGGCCGGCTCGGGGCCGAGGCGCCGGTCGCGACGGACGAGGCGTTCCTGGCGCGGCACCCGGCGGCGCGCGACGTCGCCGTCGCCGTCGTCGGCTTCGAGGGCGCGCAGCAGATCCGCTTCGCGCTGTCCGAGCACGCCGCGCGGCGCGGCGTCGCGGCGCGCTTCGTCTTCGGCGGCTGCGAGGGCGACAAGGCGCGGCCGAAGGACCGGGGCTCCGTCGACGCGGCCGAGGCCGAGGCCGCCGCGCTGGTGCAGGCCGCCTTCCGGCCGGGGGCGCCGCGGACCTTCAACTTCGCGACGCACACGCTGCGGGGCGCGCTCTGGACCTTGCGTGGCGGCGTGAACGAGACGCTCGGCGTCGTCGCCGCGGGCGCGCGTGGCCTGCCCGCGCGGGCGGAGGAGCTGCCCGCGCGCATTGTCCTCGCGGACGTGGAAAAGTGCGCCGCCGCGACGGAACGCGGCGCCGTCGTGGCCCTGGCGGTGCGGAACTGCTCGTGCGCGGGCTGTGCGCTCCACGACGTCGTGCCGACGCTCGCCGCGCCGTCGATGGTGCTGCTCCTGCCGGACGACGACGACGCGCCGCCTCGATGCGCCTTCAGTGGTGCCGTTCCCGTGGCCGCGGCGCCGTCCACGGGATTACTCGCCGCGCTCCGGCGCGGGGCGTCCGTGTCGCTCGTCAGCACGCACCCGGCGCCGCGCCTCGAGCGCACGTGGCGCGAGCTCGAGGACCTGCGAGACCCGGCGAATTGGCCCGACGACTCTCGCCAGCGGCGGCGCGTGCGCGGGGCCATGCGGAGGGTCTGCGACGATCGTGCTACCCGCGCTCATCTCGACGCGAGCTGGGAACTCGTCGCTGCTGAAGGTGGGCGGGACGAGCTTTAGGGGTGTGTGGTTTTGTTATAGTTGAATTTAGAAGTTGAATTTTGTACTAGTATTTGAGGTATCTCAGGTTATAGTGAATGCTATCCCTAAGTTACAACAGGGCGGCTAGTTGTCCCGTGCGCGCTTCCTCTGGGCCCACCAGCCTGCGATGAGACTCTTCAGCGCGTAGTTCGGGGCCAGCGTCGTCGAGGCGAGTGTCGCGCCCGTCGAGGGCGACGTTTTGGTACCGGGCCGCGACCACCACCGCTCGACGGCACAGCGCTCGTAAGTCTGTCCGTCTTCAACACAGAGAACCGGATCTTTCATCAATTCGCACGTAATGGGGCAGCAGTACTCGTCCGGGACCTCCCTCCGCTGTATCTTCAGCCTTTCGATTTCCGCCCGGTGCTCGCGCAATTCCTCCTCGATGGCACTCTGATGCGTAGCGACGTCGTGCAAAATATCCTCAGCTTCCAATTTCTTCTCTTTTCCGCTTGCGGCGGTGGCCCCGAGAATCGCGAGACACGTCATCGGCGCGACGCCCATCTAATTTCACAACTGCGGCAAGGTGTAATGGTGTCATAGACTTGGAATGCAGAGCATTTACTTCTGCGCCGGCGCTAAGGATGAGGTCGACCATCGCAGGTGAACCGCTCATTATCGCAACGCGAAGCGGCGTTGTTGATAAACCCTGGAACCCTTGCTCTGCGGGGTCTTTATTCATATATACAGCGCTGGGGGGCGCTCCCCGCTCGAGCAACGTCTGCGCCGCGGAGTAGTTGCCTTTCGCAATAGCTTCTATTAGGGGCTCCAATAGCTCATGCTCGCTATCTGGCGTGACGATCCATTGTCCCTGAGCGGTAGTGCCCGCGGACGCCGCGCAGACGAGCGCCGCGGCCAGCAATCTCATCCGCCCTATTACGGTGCCGTTACGCGCAAATCTATCGCGAGCGGCGCTTAAGCGCGGGCGCCAAAATCACCCCTGGAGGGTCAAATTACAAAACTTTGTGTGGCGCTCGAAACTAATCCCGAGGAGCCGAGGGCGTGAAAGCAATGAGCCGCAATGGCCACGAGTCCACTAGCGTGCCAAGCGCGTCTTGCGACAGGCGCGCGAGGAAAAGTGTATGCTGGGTGCTAGCGGCTGGTAAGACACTAGCCTGCTCCAGGTAGAAGCTCAGGACGCGGAGCCAGTGCTTTTTGTGGGCCGTTACGCATCACAAATTATTGAAGCAGTCTCTCCGCGGCACCACGGGTCCTGCTGGCGTTCCAAAATACAGGCAACACCTCCCAGAAACAGCCTCCCAGTGAGAGCTGCTACGCCGGCTTGGAGCCGGGGAGCCGAATCGCATCAAAGAAAAAAATGGCCTCGCTCCGCCTCGCCCTGCGCCTGAGCCGCGAGGCCAGCGAGGCGCCCGCGCCCGCGCCGCAAGTTCAAGAAGACGAGCCGCCGGCGCGCCCGAAAAAGAAGAAGCCGTCGAAGCGCAAGCCGAAGCCCGCCGCCGCGCGCCCGAAAGCCCGAAGCCGCAAGCCGCCGGCGACGGCCGTCGGCGGCGGGACCCTCGAAAGGCTGCCCTGGGAGCTTCTCGGCGCGGTGGCCAAGTACCTGACGGTAGAAGATGCGGCGCGGTGGCGCGGCTGCGGCCGGAGCAGCGCCGCCGGCGTCGGCGCGCTCTGGGGCGAGGACCGGCCGGAGCTTTGTGCTGGCGAGCTGAGCGCGCAGATTTCGAGGCTCGCGTGCACGAGCGCCGAGGACGAAGAGGCGCTCTGGGCGCACCCGCACAACACGCTCTGCCAGGTATGTGGAAACGGCGGCCGCGTCGTGGCCTGCGCCTACTGCAACCTCGTGTGGCACGCGCAGTGTTTGGCCGAGGCGGCCGCCGCGGGCGACAAGTGGCGCTGCCCCGAGTGCGTCGCGGACCAGACGGCGCCGGTCATCGGCGCCACGTCCGCTTTTGTGAGGCGTCGCGGCGACGGCCTCGAGTTGGTTGTGGGCGGCGGCTACCACTTCAGCAGCTTCACGCCTAACGGGAGCCGCTACGTCGCTTCGTTGAAAGAAAGCGCGGCGGCCTGGCGGCGCACATCCCATGAAGAGGCGCCGCCGGCGGGCTTCTCGGCGTCGGACGCCCTCGCGGCCGACGACGGCACTATACGCTGCTTCGCGCGTTATGGTGATGGCGAGAGGACCGAGGGCCCGGCCTGGGACGCGGTCGACGCCTGTGTGGAAATCAACCAGTGCGTCGGGTGCCCTCGGCCGTCCTGGCTCGGTCGAGCGGTGAGGAACCGGCATCGCCACGCCATCGAGCAGGCGTCGCGTCGATGGAGGACGACGCGATGATTCAGCACGAACGCGCCGTAAAATTTGATTTCCACACAGGTCGACGCGCCGCCCCTCGTGGCGGCGGCCGGCGCGGCGACGGTCTACGACGCGCTCTGGACGTTGGATGAGGACGGCTGGCGCCGGCGGCCGCTCGCGGGCCCGCGGCCGACGCTCCGCGCGGACGCGTCGCTCGCTCAGATCCGGATCCGGGGCCGCGAAGTTTTGGTCGTCTTCGGCGGCTTCGCGCCCGACCTGCGGCGGCCCCTAGGCGGCCTCCACGCCCTCGACGTCGCCAGCGGCACCTGGTCGACCCTCGCACCGGACGACCTCGCGCCGAAGCCGCGCGCCAAGCCCGTCCGCGTCGCGGCGCCGGCGCCGGCGCCGCCCGCGCCGCCGGCCCAGAACACGCGCGGCCGCGCCGAGCCCGCGCGCGGCGCGCGGACGCCGACGGAAGCTATTTTTGGTGAGCCCGACAGCGACGCGGACTCCGAGGTCGAGTTCGACGCCGACGCCGCGCCCGAGCTGCCGCCGGCCGCGGACCAGGCGCGCCTCGCGGCGCTGGGCCTGCGCGGCGCGACGCGGCCGGCGGAGCGCTGGGAGCCCGAGGTCGCGCCGCGCCGGAAGCGCGGGCCCCGCCGGAAGCGGGCGCGCGCCGCGCCGACGGCGCCGTCGCCGCGCGCGGGCCACTCGTGCACGCGCGTGGGGCGGGAGCTCGTCCTGCTCTGCGGCCTCGGCCGCGTCGAGGGCCAGTCCGGCCTGCCGCGGAGCGACTACCTCGACGAGGCCTGGTTCCTGTCCTTCGACGGCGCGACGGGCGCCGCGCGGTGGCGCCTGCCGCGGGTCCAGGGCCGGCCGCCGGGCGGCCGCGCGGGCCACGCCGCGGCCGCCGTCGGGCCGCACGTCGTCGTCTTCGGCGGCGTCAACGCGAAGCAGTTCCTGGGCGACCTGCACGTCCTCTACGCGCCCGCGCGGATCTGGTCCGCGCCGCGGCTGGCCGGCCCGGCCGTCGCGCCGCGCATGCGGCCCGCGCTAGTAGTCGCGCGCGCCGACGCCGACGACGCGACGACGCCGACGCTCTACGTCTTCGGCGGCACGCGCGCCTGGGGCGCCGCGGCGGCCGTGGCGACGGCGACGCAGCGCCACGACGGCGACCTCTTCGCGGTCGTGCTCGCGCCAGCGCCTGTGGCCGAGATGTTCTAATAAGGATTACGCGGGTGCCTACTGTGATCAGTCCTTCAGAGGAGAAGAGACTCGTCGACGGGGCTTCCGGGCGGGCGGGATGATTTCATGCACTGGCACTGGCGTCGGCATCGGCGTCGGAGCCGGCGTCGGAGCCGGCGTCGGCATCGGCGTCGGAGCCGGCGTCGGAGCTGGCGTCGGAGCGGGCGTCGGAGCCGGCGTCGGAGCAGGCGTTGGAGCCGGCGTCGGCATCGGCGTCGGCTGCGGCCTGTGCGTAGATCAATCGGTAGGGCGCCCTACGGTGTATGGCGGCCGCGCCAGTGGAATCCTGTCAATCCCCGCCGAAGAGGTGTCCCTGGGGTCGCCTAGGGTCGGTACTATACACGTGCAATCGCCTACAGCGCATGCGCGGGCGCTTCCATCGGCAGATGCATATCAGTACAGGTCCTCAGCCAGCTGTCGGGCTTGAGGCCAAGTCCCCAAGGTTTTCGATCCAGAGCTCTCTGGAGAGCCCCAAGTACTACCGCATGCGGTGTACGCGACTACCCCACCCCAGACCTATCCCAGAGGGAGTCCAGGAGCCGATCTGCCCCCGAAAAAAGTGTGCAATTTGGGCCCGATGGCGCCCCGTTCCAGTAAAAAACGTCAATTACCCGAGGCCCCCCAGTAGTCGCCGTAGCGGTCTCGTTTGACCCTATAGTACCCCACCGATAGTCAACTACGAGCATATGACATCTACACGGCGAGAAGGGTACTTTGGGCAGTCCACGCTCGGGACGTGAACATCTTGATCTGGACCGCGCGCAAGTCGGTCGGTCATGAAACAAATGATCGCGTCATGGTCCATGGTGATGGTACACGGGCTGATGGTCGCAGGTCCGGGTTTAAAGCCCATCTAAGCAAGATAGTGGGGTCTCGAGACCGACAAGGCGCGAGTTGTAAATGGGACAGGTAATCCAATGTAGTAGCTGTTCAGGCCGGTTATCTGGCCCGTCCCTCAACTAAAGCGCCTGAAACGCAAATTTATTTTATAATCCACCGGTCTGGGGCCAATTCAGTGCCCCGCGTACGCACCGTCGTTCGCGGAGAACGGGCAAGTCGGTCGATTGTGAATAGAACAACGGCGTTATGGTCCATCTGGATGGTGGCGTCGCTGATACTCGCGGGTTTAGGATAGTGGCTCATCTTCACATAAACTTGGGGTCGTGGAGTCGCTGTTTCGCGCGGCTCTAACGGGTCATCTAAAATAGCTCAGTAGTCGCTGATTTGGCCTAAATGGACTCTACGACTAACAAACGAAAGGAAACGAACATAAACTCGGGAGTTGTCTAGTAGAATTCTTTTCCCGCCCTCCGAGCGCGCGCCGTCGGCTCCGGTTCCGTTAATTGTGGATGAAAACTGGGCTGGAGTTGATATAATGTCCCATTTGGACGACAGATGGCGGCGTCAATCGCTGGTGTATTTTGGCAAGCCGTAAGACTCATCCGCAAATGTCGCGGGCGGTGCCTTCCGGGAGGCGCGAGGGTATGTTCCCGGGCCGCTACTCTGAAATCTTTGGTCGCGGCGAACGACTAGGATGTGTTCTGAATTTGGGTCAGTCTTTTGACGCCATCGAGGCGTCTCTTTGGATTTGCTAGTGTGTCGATATACGCTAGCTCGGTTTGGCTTTTCTTTGTATAACGTGGGGGCCCGGAGCGGAATAATCTCGCACCTTGGTACATGGGACTACTTCGGGCGCTGTTGTGAGGCGTATCTGCGAATTGTGGCTGTGATGGATTCAACAACACTCACTTAAAGAACTGACCGCCCGCCCCCTTTTTCGACTGGCGTGAGACGCGATTCGAAAAGGTGTTGGTGCGCATATGTGCGCGTACCTTCGAAACGCGGGCTGCGCGGCGCCGCGAGCCGCCACGCGTCTTCGCCTTGATGCGTATCATACGCTTGGCCTCGCCTTCTCGCGCGTCGCCGTACCAGGTCGGAGAGCTCGTTTGCGCTCGCCGCTGCGACGCCGTCGTCCCCGGTCTTAAGGGCGAGGGCGTCGGGGAGTACTGCGCCACGCGCGCGTCGGCGGTCTCGGCCCGCGGTGGCGCGGCGGACGTGCCCGGCCGCCCCCCCACGAGCGGCCGCCCGCCCGGCGGCGGCCCAAAGAGAAGTGGGCGGCCGTCTGGCGGCGCCTCGGGCATGTCCGCGACGTCGAAGGTCACCTCGGGCGTCGGCGCCAGCTCCCGCATCACGATCGGGTCGTCATCATCGTCGAAGCGGTCCAGCAGCGAATCCAAGGCCTCGTCGTGGGCGCCCGGGCGCCAGCCGTCGCCGCCCTCGGCCATGGCCTTCTCGGCCTTGGCGCGCTCGTACGCGTGGTCCTTGCCCTTGCGTTCTTTTGCGAACTCGGCAAAATCCGCCCACTCGCTCCGCGTCCCGAAGCGCGTCTCCCGGTCGTCGGGGCCGCGCGCGAGGGGCGAGTCCGCGAGCCCCGCGGCGCCGGCGCCGGCCTTACGCATGCCGAGCTCGAGCATGCGCAGCATCTTCGGCGCGGCCTCGCGCGACAGCGGCTGCAGGTCGACCTGTGTGGAAATCAACCAGTGAGTCAGGTTATCCTGGGAGTTATTGCGAGAGACCTCTGTCGCGTCGATGGCGTGGGGCGTCCGAAATTTGATTTCCACACAGAAGTCGACGGCTTCCACGGCGTCGCTGGACCGCGCCGAGAACTGGCGCCTCAGCTTCAGCTCGCGCTGGTGCCGCGGCAGCGTGTTCCGGAAGAACTCGAGCGCCCGGATCGTGTTCGAGGCCGCGTAGGCGCCGTCGCCGCGGCGCGGCCCCTCCCGCAGGTAACGCCCGTAGAGCGGCCGGACGCCGACCTTCTCCAGGACGTCGTAAAAGTCCTTCCCACTGGCTTGCAGCTCGGGGTCGTAGAGGCGGCCCATCGCGGCCCGGACCGCGCGGCTGTCGTCCGTCACCACGCTGTCGCTCCCCGCGGAGCGCGGCGCCCGCACCTTCGAGTCCTCGACGGCGTCCGCCAGGCCAGCAACGACCGAGCCGTCGGTGAACAGCACGCGCACGGCGAGGTCCCGCCGCGCCGCGAGGGCCCGCCGGTCGCGCATCGCCACTTTGCCGACCTCCGCGGTCTTCTTCGTGTCGCGGAACTGCCGCAGCGCCTCCGCGGCGCCGACGGCGCGGTTCCCGTCGAAAGTGTTCCGGTTCCTGTCGTCGGCCCGCTTCTTGCGGATCTGGAGCTCCGTGAGGCCGCAGGCGTCGAGCGACGGGTAGGCCGTCGGCGCCGGGTCGGCGACGACGCCGGAGCAGACGGGGCAGAGCAGCTCGGCCGCCGCGATCACCTGGAAGCAGCGCCCGCACCGCAGCTCGCGGCCGAGGTTCGCCGCCTGCTCGCCGTTCACCAAAAAGCCGTAGTCGACGTCGAGGGGCGGCGGCGCGCGCTCCTTCTTCGGGCGCGGGCGCCGCTTCTTCTGGCCCGGGACCCTGTAGTGGTCGCGGACCCTTCGTAAAGTTTCCTGGCGCCGGGCCTCGATGGCCGGGTCGTGGGACTTGATGGACGAGCGGGGGCAGCGGCTCGTCTCCATGCGCTCCATGGCGGCGATCTCCGCGGGCGTGAGGGCCATGGTTGCTGCCCGGCGGCTCCGCCCTGCTGTGTGGGGCAGCACTGCCGAGGGGCAGCCGGGGAGAGGTGCCGCAGCGCCGTGGGATTATTGGGCGCTTGCTAGGAGAGGCATACTAGTAAATATACGCGTCCCAAACAAGATCTCAAAAAAGGGGGGGCGTGCGAGTCCCTGCGACTCAGCCCTTGCGTCCTAGTCCAGCCGGACGGGTGGGCCCGGGGGGAGCGGGAGGGGTACGGGGGACCCCGACGTAACTAGCCTGAGCCTGATACATTGTATCCTGGTAACATCCGTCGCGGCGGCGCCCGCCACTAACAAAAGGGAAGAACAAGCCCTTAGAAAAGCGCGCCAAGTGCAACCTACCGCTCGACCTCCTGCCACCACGTGTGCTTCTTGTCGTCGACGCGCACGCCCCAGCCCTCGAGGAGCCGGTCGCGGATCGCGTCCGCTTCCCCGAACTGGCGCCGGAGCTTGTGGAGCGCGCGCTCGGCGACGAGCCCGGCGACGTGCTCGCGGTCGTGCGGGTCCATCGTGCCCTTGCAATTGGCCGCGCACGGCACGTAGTCGATCGTCGCGGCGTAGGTCCGCGTCTTGTCGTTGACGACGACGCCCAGGTCCAGGAGCTGCTCGAGGATGTCATCAGCCAACTGCCAGTGGCGCCGCCGCCGCGCGACGCTGCGCCGCCGCAACAGCGCCTGCACCGCCGCGTCGTCGACGGCGCCGCCGCCGTCTCTAGCGTCGCGCTCGTAGACGTCCTCGACGCGCGCCCAGGGGTCCGCCGTGTCGGCGTCGACGCCGGCGCGCCAGACCTTGCGCCCGTCGTGGACGCGGACCCCGTGCACCGACGAGAGCTCGGCTCGGAGCGCGTCGGCCCTCGTAAAGTCCCGCGTCATCTTCGCGTGCATTCTTTGTAATAACAAAGCGTCGACGGCGGCCTCGTCGACCAAGGGCGTGTTGTCGCCGATCTCCCGCGCGTAGCCGTGGTCGCTCGGCAGCGGCGGCCTTTGGGGACGCGCCGCGCGCTGCTGCCGCCCGAGCCACCACGTGCGGTCGCGGTCGTGCACGCCGACGTTGTGCTCCACTTTTAATTCGTCGCGGATGGCGTCCGCAACCACAAAATCGCGCCGCTTTTTGGCCTCGTTCCGCTGGGTCAAGAGCAAATCAACGGTTGGGATGTCCACGAACCCGTCGTCCTCGCCGGGCCCGCGCGTGTAGCCGTGGCCCGCCGGGCGCTGGAGGTCGTCCTCCGAAAAGCTGCTCCCCAGGCGCCGCGGTAAATGGCTTCGCGGCGCCGGGGGGGTGAGCGCGAGGGCGCAGGTGCAGAGGAGCGCGAGTTTCGTCATTTTTCGTTCGTTGCGCGCGTCGACGGCGCGTATCAGTCACACGAGCAACGCGCAGCAACGCCTCCTTGCGTCGCCGCGCTCAGAGACACTGCCAGGCAGCGAGTTGCTCTCTCCAGTTGTCGGCGGTCACGCCGCGACCGCGAGGAGCTTTCGCCGCGACTGCTTGAATTAGCTGTCCGGCACAGCTGCCAGAGCACGTCTATGCCCGCTCGAGGTGCACTGCAGCCTTTTGAGCTTGATGCTTGCTCTTTGCTAAGGCTGGTGGTGCTGGTTTGACTGTCGACCTGTGCCGACCTGTGCACGCGTGCAGCAGTGGGAGAGGAGGCACTGAATCGAAAACTGCCTAGCGGCTGTAAGACACTAGAGCTAGCAACGCAAGCAAGCAAAACCAAGTTGAGACGAGCGTTGAGGCCTCGGTCGCGCCATTTACGCAAGCGAACGCTGCTCCAAAGACGTCATATATCGTCTTCTTGCAGAAGCAGCGCCGACACAGCGTCGATTGCAGCAAAGGTCGACGCGCTGATCTTTTCGCCAGCAGCAGGATCCAGCTGCGCGGCGCCGTTGCAATGGCCGCGGCGCTCCTCCGCCTCGCCTGGTGCGCATCCACGGCGACGGCCCTCTTCGTCCACCCCGGCGCGGGCAACACCGCGACCCTGAAACCGCCCGTCATCGACCCGTTCAACCCTTTCGGGACGCCGGCCGAGGACCCCATGCACGGTCATAGTGTGGCCGCGTCGCACCTGACGACGGACCACCTCGACGTCTTGGCGCGCCTGGCTTCCAAATTAAAACACATGAGGTTGGAGGACATCGAGCAGGTGATCGTGATCGGCCTCTCGGACCACGACTTGGAATTGCAGGTCATGACCTGCGAGGACGAGGAGTGCGTTTCTGTGCTCGTGCCGGTGGAGTTCATCGCGCCGTGCTGCCAGGCCGACGAGGAGGGCTACGAGGAGTGCGTTCTCGATAATCTCATGAGGCTCGACGAGAACCTCGAGCCGGACCCGGACGAGGAGTGCGCGCGGCCGTCGGCGCGGTACGTGCGGAACGACCTCCAGCGCTCGGGCGAGCTCTGACCTTCGCTGTTTAGTACTTCCGCGCGCTGTATCCTTCCGCGCGGTCGAACCCCTGTTTAGTAACCACAAAGTATAGCTTACACAAATTCCGGCGCCTCTCTCCCGCCGTCGTATAGGCGCGTCGATGGCGTGGAGGTCGTCGTCGACGGCGCGGAGGTCGTCGCGCACTCGCCACAGACGGCGCGGTCGTCGCGTTCACAGCGCGACGAAGACCGGCCCCGCATCACTCATAGACAGGCGCCGGCCCGGCGCCGGCCGCGCCAGGTCCAGCCCGCCCCGGCGCGCGTTCGTCGCGCATGTGGAGTGAGACAGGTTCGAATTAAACGAAGCGCAGTCGTCCGGCGTGTAGACGCGCCAGCCCCGCGGGAGTCTTTTGGATGCATCGTCGACCGCCGTCGCGGACCGGAATCCTGAAATATTAGCTGCTTTCACCTCCGCGGCTGCGTACCCGGCTCGCACGGACGCCTCGAAGTCGTTGTAATGGTTGTGCAAACCAACATGGCTCCTCAAAACGCCGTCGGGGCCCGAGGGACCTTTCAAGCCGCCGACCGTGACATCACCCTTGTACCGCTTGACGCTGTGCACTGCCACACTGTCCTCTTTACCTGCCGTAGTCCCGGTTATCTGCTTCTGGAGGACGACCGTCGGGAGCGACGCCATCCAGTTCAAGATACCTAACCCAACATCGTGCGTGACCCCGAAGGCCGTGCACTCCGCGGTTAATCCGCTTTGTCGTATCGCGGGCGCGAGATGTCGCAGCGCCGCCCGCGAAAAGGCCGCGGGCTGCATCCAGGGGAACATGAAGGTGCACTGCGAATTGGACAAACAGCCCTTCTCGCGGTAGACGGGCCACATGCCGGGGGCGAAGCCTCTCAAATTATTATGGCCGGAAATGGACATGGCTCGATCCGGATCGTACCTCGAGAGTAACGCAACTAACGCCGGGCCCCGGATATACATGTCGTCGTCCTGGAACAGGTACCACTTGATATGAGGTCGATAGTTGAGCACCCATCTCATCGATTCTTGGTTGCGACAGCACGGCCCTTTTGAACCATAGTAGTCGTTCGTGCAGTTCGCGAACCTCAAAATAGCGAAGGTCCCGCACACGGACCGCGTCCAGTCGCGGCCGCGCTCGACGACGTGGCAACTCAAAAAACCTTCAGGGGTCTCGTGACCTCTCTCTGCGGCATCCCGTTCCAGCTTGCCATTCCCACCAAACACGTAGGTCAACTCCGGAAACTGGGCGCCCCACGTCGCCGCGCTCCCATATAATCGATCCACGAACCAGTCGTACGTACCAGCTCTATGGTGCGGCACGCGGAACGGCTGGTGGTGCGCCGTCGCCAGGACATGAATGGCGATGTCTGCTGCATCTAACCCGTTTACCGTCAAGGTCACTCGTTGGATGTGTACCGTGTGGTTCGTGCGGTTTCTCTGGCGCCAGCGCGGCTGTGCTTGGGTTTTTACTGCTACTAATGTTAGGAGAGCGGTGCGCATGGCTGCCCCTGCCGCGGCGACGTGGCGTCGTGCGCAGCTGTACTGTTCGGCTGCCAATGCCAGCTGCCTCTTCGGCTGCCGATGCCAATGCTAATGCCAGCTCCAGCTCCAAAAAATAAATCATCTCCACAGGCCGGGCTCGAGAGGCCGCGCGCGGAGGGCGCGGGCGAACTGCTCCCTAGCCCCTCGAGGACGTATCCGGAGGCGTGGTGGCTGCGGGCTTTGCTTGCTAGTGTCTTACAGGCCGCTAGCCTCGCATTTTTGAAAATCGCTCTGCCACATTGAACGGGCACATAGCAGTCGCTGTTATACGCTACAGCCAGCGCGCAGTGCGCCTGAACATCACTGGTCGCATTGCCAAAGAAAAGACGCCAAACGGAGCTGCGCGCGCGGCTCAAAGTAAGAGTTTCGCCTGGGCAACCAGTTGCACAGACAAACACGAGGATGCCGTCCGTCTTCGAGCGCTACGCATTGGGCCGCCGTCCGGCGGCGCAGGGCCGCGGCCGCGGCCGCTCGTCGCCGCCCAAGAAGCCCGGTAAGAAGAAGCCGCAGCCGGCGTGGAACGGCTACCTCACCGACTCGGCGCGCTACAAGCTGCCTCTGAAAGAGCAGGAACGGCGCAAAAACAACTACAACTTCTGCGGGCCCGTGCAGCCGAAGCTGTCTCCCAAAAAACAGTGGCACCGGAAGAAGCGCGTCGACGCGACGCCGGAGCGCCGGCCGCAGCCGCGCGCGTCGTCGGCGGCGACCGAGGTCGACGTGTTTGATTTATTGGCCGAGGGTGATGCCGTCGTCGACGACGAGGCGCCGCCGACCGTCGAGCGCCGCGCGACGGTGCGCCGGCTCTTCGGGCCCAAACGAAAGGCAGTGAAGAAGAAGCCTGTTGCAAAGGAGGATGCCATTCTAGCAATCCGCGTCGCGGACCTCGAGGAGCGCCTCGCGCGGTCTGAGGCGCGGGCCGCGCGCTTTGCGTCGCAGCTCGACGCCATGAGCCAGACGGTCGACGCGCTCCAGGCGCGCGACCTCGCGCGCGCCGCGACGCGCACGCCGCCGCCGGCGCCGACCACGACGCCGCCGCCGCCCTCGACGCCGCCGCCGCCGCCCGTGGTGACGGCGCGGCGCTCGCTCGAGGCGCTCGATCTGAAAATCGGTAGAGACGGGTCCGTCGTGGACGACTTCCTCGCGGCGCGCGAGGCCACGGGCGTCTGCCCGGACTCGCCGGAGCCGCCGCGGGAGCCGCCCGCGCCGACGTCGGCGCCGCCGCCGCCGCCGCCGCTCGCCGAGGACGAGGCGCCCGCGCCGCCGCCGCGCCGCGTCAAGCTGAGCGGTTGGACGGCCGCCGCCCTCGACGCGGGCCCGCCGCCCGCGCCGGCGCGGCCCCGCGCGCCGTCCCTCCTGAGCGACGACGACGACGACCGCGTCATGCCGATCTGGTAGAGATCCCTACTCCCCGTGTAATCAAACGGTAAGAGACCACACCGACACGCCATCGAGCAGGCGTCGTCGCGTCGATGGCGTGTAGATGGCGTGGAGGCCATGATAAGTCCTACCTCATTTCTTACGCTTCTGGCCCGCGACCGGCATGGACTCCGACGTCTTCCGCCGCACCATCGGCCGCTCGTCGCCCTTGTCCTCCCTTTCGGTGGCGCAGTCGTGCTCCGACTCCGAGCCCTCGATGTCGCACAAGTCCACCAACAAGTCCTCCATGAGCCGGTTCCGCACGTGCGTCGCCAGGTCATTATCCGGGAGCCACGGCAGCGCCAGCAACAGGTTCAACACATCCGCGGGCTCGTCCACCAGCGGTAATGCTTGCAATCGCAGCTCGATGAGCGCGCGGCCGTCGCAGGCCGTCCGCACCTGCAGCTCCTCGAATTCCGGAGCCGCGCCCGTCGCCAGGGCCTGCACCGAGAAGAGCTCCTTGTCGTCCCAGCACAAGCGCAGCGACGACGTCGTCGTCGCGTTTTCGAGGAGAGACGCGTCCGGCGTCGGACGCGTCGCTACCAGCAAAACGTCGCCCTTGGCCCGCGTCCGCCGCGGCAGCCGCAGCTCGTCGCGGCCCTTACTTGTTGCGAATGAAAGTCTCGCGGCGACGTCGCGGAGCTGGCCCTTGGCCATCTTGTCGAGGTCGCGGCCGCTCGACGAGTCCACCCACGCCGCGACGGCGTCGCGGTAGGCAGTCACGGCGGCGGCGTCGTCTTGCTGGGTGAGCTCAGCCATGAATTACGACGAGCGGGCAGCGCGCCACAAATGAGCGCAAAAACTGCACTGGGAGAGATGAAATACGAGGCGTGCGGCAGCAGCGCGACAGCACAAAACTGCACCGGGAGAGCACGGCTGTGGCACGGATCAAATCGCTGGTCTTAGGCGACGAAGAGCTGTGATTCGCTACGGACGCAAGACAAAAAGAGTCTAGAACCGCCCCAGAGGAGCCGTGAGCAGCAAATACGCAAAAGCGTAAGGCAGCGGGCTAGCGGCATGTAAGACACTAGCAAGTAGGCAGTCCTGGAATCGCGGCCGTGTTGTGCATCGGTGAGCAACGCCGGCAGCGGTAAACGCTTCTGAGCAGCTCCACATATATAAATCTTGGCTGCGCTGGCGAAGACTGCGTGAAAAAGCGCCTTGACGCCACAGCACAGCAAGCATGCGCGCGCTCCTCGTAGCCGCATGCCTAGGCCAAGCGGCCGCTCTCTACGCGGACCAGGCCGGCGAGCAGGACTGGCACCGCGAGAACATTGGCCGGGTCACGCACGCCGTTTCTAAACAAAAGGCGCTTTTTGTGATGACGGAGGCCGGCGACCGCTCATTGGTAGCGTCGCTCGGCGCGCGGACGGGCACCCTGAACTGGCGGACGGCGCTGCCGCCTGATGAGAAGGGCCACGCCGTCGCGCTGACCGACAAGGCCGTCGTCACTCTGAGTGGAGAAGGGAAGTGCCGGGCCTGGGCTCAAAATGGAGGCGCGCTCTTGTGGGAGCAGCCGGCGCTGCCCGGTAAGAGCTCCCAGGCGTTGGCCGTCGTCGAGGCCAATAAACAATGCACCGTCGCCGTGCTGGCGGGTAACGCGGTGGCCTTCTGGGACTGTAGCACGGGCGCTGCCAGAGGCGCGTGGTTCGCCGAGCGCGACGACGACGCGCAGTTGGCCGCGGCGTTGCCGCGCGGCGCGGCCTTGGACCTGCGGACGCTCCTGCCGCACAAGGGCCGTATTTTAGTCGCCGGTTTTGTGAACGGGAAGGCTCTCCTCGCTTCGTTGGACGTGCCGAGCGGCCAGTCGGTGCAGGCGTCGTCCGCGGTGCTCGTGGGACGCGGTCTATCGGAAATAACTCTGGCGGCCCGGGCCCAGGGCCCGCCGCTCCTCGTCACACTAGATGAATCGGGATCGATCACGGCCTACGACGCGTTATTAGCCAAAACGCCGCTCGCGACGTTGGATGGCGCCGCGTTGTTGGGCGAGAAGCCCCTTGCCCTGGAAGCGGAGGCCAATCAAAGGGTGCTCCGTTTGCAAGGCGCCTCCCGATCTTTACTGGTCGCGGGCGTCGAGGACATGACGGGCGGCAAGCGCCAGGTCCTGGTTCCGTTGGGCGAAAGTTGCACAAACTGCGCGCTCGGCGCCGCGGAGCAGCACGGTAGGGTGGCGTGGGCGCGCGTCGATCACGACTATAGTTATCAAGTGCGCGAGCTCGACGGCGCGCTCATCAGCGAGGACAAGGCGCCTCTATCATCAGCGATACACGGCCCTCCCTCTCATTGTACGCCGCAGTTGTTTGAATTAAAGAAGGGCGGCGCGGGGGCTAGAGTGTTTGTGGTGAGCCGCGCGCATACCCTTGCATCATTGCAAGGCGACAACGTGGCCTGGTCGCGCGACGAGGCCCTGGCGAACGCCCAGAACCCCGTCTTCGTCGACGCGGCGCCGAAGAAGATCAGCAAGAGGAGCAAGATCCCGACCTTCTCCCAGCGCCTCGCGCTGCAGGTCGAGGCTTGTTTGACCTTTGCTGATGGACTCATAGATTCAGTGAAGGACGTCTTCCAACCCACTGCCTCTTCAAAAGCTTTAAAAAAGAAGCGCAACGCCGTGCGCTACGGTTTTGATAAAATTGCAGTGGTCATGAATAGTGAGGCGGGCCGCGTGTTCGGGCTGGAGATGGATACGGGAGCCGTGAGGTGGTCCGCGCTCGTGGAACCGGGTGCTAAATTAACGCAGTCTTCGGAAGATGAAGTTCTCATAGTGTCAAAGACGTCTCTTACGTACTTAAACGCTCTAGATGGCTCGGCGACGGGAACGGACCACATCGCACCCCTAGATGCGTTGGTACCCGCGGCCACGCTCAAGGGGCGCGTGGCCTTCCTCGGCGTTAACTTGAGGGGCGACGGCGCCTCCGTGCGCGTGTTGCCCGAGGCGGCTGAGACACAAGTGGCCAAGAAACTCGCAGAGACGCCAACACACTTCCACGTCATTCGCGACGGAATTGTGAGGTGCTTCCGCGTATCTGATACGAGTAACGCGGTGGAGGTCGGTGCCGTCGTCGTCGCGCCGCTCGAAACGGACGAAATCGTGAGCGTCGCGCACCCGGACGGCGCTCCCGTGTCGACGGCGGCTCATGTTTTAGGTGATGACGCTCTCTTACTAAAGTACCTGAACCCCCACCTGCTGATCGTGCTCACGACATCTAAAGGAGGAGAATCTGCACCGTTGTTAGATGTTTCACTAAGGGCCGAGGGCGAGGACCAGGTCGCGCCGCCATCTTTGACGGTGACTTTGATAGACGTCGTGGCCGCTTCGGTGGCGCACCGCGTCGTCGTGCCGCACGGGAGCGCGCCGGCCTCCGCGGCGCTTTCGGAGAATTTCGTGGCCTACACGTATTGGAACGCCAAAGCTAAAAGAAGTGAAGTCGGTGCCATCTCGCTGCACGAGGGGCTCATTGAACGGTTCGGTTTGAGTCCGTTCAAGGTGCCCGAGCAGTCGGCCACTCGCTCCTCATTGACGGCGCCGCCGCCCGTAGCCTTACAGCGGACCTTTGCCTTGGCGAAGCCCGTGCTTACTATATCTTCCACAAGAACACAGCGCGGCGTCTCCTCCAAACACGTTTTGCTGGGCATGGAGCCGGGGCAATTAGCGGCTCTAGATAGAAGAGCACTGGATCCGCGACGGCCCGTGCTCGAGGACGACGCGACGAAGGCCCAACGCAAAAAAGCGGAAAGGGAGCTGCAGGAGGGCCTGGCGCCCTACCGGCCCTTCGTTCCACTAATACCGAGGCAGATGGTCTCGCACACGCTGACGATCGTTGGACTCAAAAACATCTACGCGACGGACTCGAAGCTCGAGTCGACGTCGCTCGTGCTGGCCTGCGGCGTCGATCTCTTCGGCGCGAGACACACGCCTTCGGGAGCGTTCGATTTGATCGCGGACGACTTCAACTACGCGCTGCTCGTATTATTGCTCGGCGCGATGGCTGGTGGCATGATTATGCTGCGGCGCGCGGCGGCGGCGAAGAACCTTAGTCTGATGTGGATCTAGGCGTGTATACATATTTCTCTACTCCCTGGGCATCGGCCACGTCCATTACCTGGCGTCGGCGCCGTTCGTCACGGGCGTAGGACTCCTGGACGTGGACGGCGGGCACGGCGTTCGTCAATACGCGGACGCGGCGACGGACCCGAGAGGTTGCTGCGTGGCGGTGGCCGCGGCCGTCGGCGGCGGCGCGTCGATGTTGAGGTGCTTGAGGATCGCGTCGAGCTTGGCGTCCGTGCTCTGCGCTTGGGCCTTGAGGATCTGGATCTCGCCGAGGAGCTGTTCCGCGCGCTTGATCTGGCCCGTGTCGCCGCGCGCCTTCATGCGCGTTTTGAGCTCCTTGACGATCTCCGCCACGAGGTCGCCGGCGCAGAAGCACTGGGGCGAGACCTTCGTCTCGGCGAATTGGAAGCAATGGCAGCACCCGAGGCATCTCAAGTGCTCGACGGCCTGGAGCTCGCCGTAGGGCCGGCGCTGCGTCTGCGTCGAGCAGCACGTGGTCGTCACCAGATGTGCCTCTTCCGGCTCGAGGAACAGCTTCTGCTCGAGCGTGCAACACAACCTGTGTGGAAATAAAAATTTACGGCACGTTCACGAGTGCTGAATCGTCGCATCGTCCAGGACTCGTCCTCCACGCCATCAATGCGACGCACTGGTTGATTTCCACACAGAACGTAACGGGATTATCCCCGGAATGATCCAGAACTTCTCGAAGTAGTTCGTCACATTATACTCCTTGTGCTCGAAGCGGACCGCGGCGAACGTCCTGTTCGCCGCGGACGGCTGGTGGTCGACGATGCCGTCGCTGCCGGACGCGAGCTGGCTCTCGGTCACGGGCGACATCTGAGTCGCGGAGACGAGGCGTTTCGAGGCGTCGCGCGTCATTTGCTTGGCAGAGAGGGAGTACTTGGCAGAGATTTTTCAGGAGTCAAAGAGGAAGGTTACGGGACCTCTCTTGGCTCGGAACCGGCACCGATGGTATCCAGACGTTCAAAATAGATGCGGAGACCGCGAATCACGCAGCGACGACGCGACGCGAGCCACTACAGCGTGACTTTGCCAGTAAAACCCGTTTTGACGCGGCAAGTCGTCTGGCCGAGATATCTATCTTCTTCTCGTCCCTTGATACGCCTCTTCAATGATCGGTCCGTGCGACTTGGCGAGGCAGAGCGCCTTCAGCCAGTCACAGTGCCATTGCAGCTAATTCGGCCACCGCACAGTCTCGCGAGTTCTCACAGCTTCTGGAGGTCGCATTCGTCATAATTTATTGGCTGCACCAGCGCTGCTTTACGCGCTGCAGCCTAGCAACAAGTTGTCAGAGTGCCACCCACTGCAACCACCGCTCGTGCGCGCCGACGACGCGACAACCGAGTGATTCCGCAGCCATGCCGCGCCGCTGGCTGCTGCTCGTCGCAAGCACGCAAGCTTTGACAGCACCGCAGTTCTACGACAGTGCAACGAAAGCACCGGCCTTCTACAAACTTGTGAGTAGAGGCGGCGGCCCCGTCTTCGCGTCCAAACCCCGCCCCCAACCGTTGGTGGTCGGCGTCGCCGGCGGCACCGCTTCTGGTAAAACTGCATTAACAGCAAACATCGTGGAGCTGCTCGGCGCGGAGGCGGCAAGCGTCGCGTCGATCACGCAAGATTCATTCTACAGAGACCTTACGGTCGACGAGATGAACAGAATAGAAGAAATCAATTTCGACGTGCCCGAGGCCTTTGACTTCGACGAGATCGAGAGTGTTTTGACAGCCCTGAAACGAGGAGACACGTCCGTACGAGTACCTACGTACGACTTCGTGGCGAACGCGCGACGACCTCCATCGAATGATATTATACTGGAGGACTCACCTAGAGTTGTTTTTTTTGAGGGTATATTAGCTCTACACTCGGAGCGATTACGAGACCTCATGGACCTGAAGATCTTTGTCGACGCCGACGCCGACGTCAGACTCGCAAGGCGTATTAGGAGGGACGTCGCCGAGCGGGGAAGGGACGTGGACGGCGTGCTGCGGGCGTACGAGACGTTCGTGAAGCCCGCGTTCGACGAATTTGTACTCCCCACAAAGCGCCACGCCGACGTCGTCGTGCCGCGGGGTGCGGAGAACGCCGTGGCGATCGATCTCCTTGTGAGGGGCATCCGGGAGCGGACGCTGGAGCGGTCGGCGCAGGCGGCGTCATCGAAACCGGCGCGCGTCATCGTCGCGCCCTGAACTACTTTGTATTTGTGTAATAAGGATGCATATATATATATCCCTCTCGGCCCGATTGTGATACACGTGTGCGCGCTAGCGTTCCGTAAGACACTAGCAAGTTGGGGCCTGTGACACCACGCGCGCGCGGCTGCCCCTGAGCGGTGGTGGCAGCACTTGGGAGCCATGCCTTCGGCAGCGCAAAAACAGAGGCGACGGAAACTGAAACAGAAGAAAGAAACGAAGAAAGGCCGAATACGCTTGTGGCAGGACCACCAGGAGCGGGTCAAAGCAGCTGTTTTTAGCGCCTTCAGGGGGTGTCCTCTTTACCTGCATGGTCGCTCGCCATCCGAGCGGGACCTCTTCGCTGAACAGTTTATTCCGCTTATAGCCGACGCGGTCCAGGAAGCCGCGTGGGACCTGCCAGCTAATGCGCCTTTGGACGAAGAAGCCGTGAAAGAGTATATGATGGATGTGATAGATGACGATGCCGCCCCATTCACCGGAGCCTTGCAGATTGAGGACATCGAGAAGTACGCGGGATTCATTACTCTTGCCACGGCGGCCTACAACTCGCCCCAGGGCACGAATACGGCTACAGCACCCGCCGCGCCGCCCGCGCCCGTGGCCGAGACGGCGGAAGAGCTGCGGCGGCGCGCCAGAAACCTCAGGAAGAAGCTCTTTCTAACGGCAGGCCTGCAGTCTCGCGTCGACGCTGGCCTCGATCCCAACGAGCAGCAGGTCGGGAAGCTCGCGCGCCGGGGCGAGCTGGAAAACGAGCTCGCGGCGGTGATGGAGGCGCTCGAGGCACTGCCGCCGCTGGAATCTGGGAGCGACGACGAGGCGACGGTGCCCGACAGCGCGGCGTCCGTCCCGGCGGATAGCGGTCTCGGGAGGCGGGTTGCGGAGGCAGCGGCGGCGGCCCCGCCGGCGCCCGCCTCGACGCCCTCGGATGTCCAGCAAGGCGACGTGGGATGCTGGAGCGCCGGCGGGATGCTGGAGAGCCTGATGAACGCGCCCGGCGGCGCCGCGGCCCTCGCGCGCGCATTGCAAGCGCGCGAGCAGAACGCCTATCGGGCCGCGCGGGACGACATCTACGATAGCGACGACGAGGAGCGCGACGTCGCGCGGCGGCTCCAGGGCGCCCGAGGCCAGGAGCGGCGGGAGCGCGAAGCAGTGCCTACAATGGAAGGCAGCTGGGTCTGCACGGCGTGCACCTTCGAGAACCCGGACCCGAGCGCCCTCGTCTGCGACATCTGCAACACGGGGCGGCCGGACGCGGTGGCTCTCGAGAGCCGACGAATCGCGCTCCGGTTCATGGCCGAAGAGAGTTCCCGCGCCGCGAACGTCCCGCGCCGCGACCATCCTGCGACCGAGAGCGCGAGCGCCCAGAGTGTCGCGGCTCAGCGGAGGGGTCGCGACAGAGCCGATCGGGACCTAGCTGCGACCGGCTTATGGCCCGCCGCGACAGAGCCGCCACCCAGAACGGGGTTGCCGCTGCTCGACGCGGGGGCGTGGGGACAACACCTGCTTGCGAACGTGGTCGCCGCGCCGCCGCCCGCGCCGCCGCCCGCGCCCGCAGTCGCCGCGCCGCCGCCCGCGCCGCCGCCCGCGCCGGCCGCCTCGCAAGCCGCGCGACCGGACCCCCCGGACGCGCTCGTCTGCCCCATTTCCATGGAGTTGATGGAGGACCCCGTCTTAGCGATGGACGGCCACACGTACGATCGATCGTCCATCGAGGCATGGCTCAAAACCGGCAAGAAGACGTCTCCGAAGACCAATGCACCTCTGCCCTCGACCGCGCTCTATCCAAATCACGCGGTGAAGAGCATGGTCCAGGACTACCTCGAAACTTGTAAAAAACACCACTGTTAATAAACCTAGTCCACGCCGTCATCATCCAGCATCGCGCGCATCTCCCTCAAAGCGTGCGCGCTGCCGTTGGCGCGCGCCTTGAAGGGCAAGTCCGCCTCGTCGACCATCGACGACGCGCGCTTCGAGCCGCCCTGTTCTCCCTCAACGTCAGGTCGGTCGTGCGCCACCCCGGCTTTCTCAGGCGGCCGCCGGTTGAAGCCGAGGCCCCGGGCCGGGGGAAAGGCGCCCTTCATCGTACCGTTGCCCGCCTCCAGTTTCGCGACGTGCCGCAGCATCTTCTCCGCGTCCTTACAGTCCGCGTCGACGTCCAAACAGCGATGAAATAAACTGCGCGCCCCGTCGTAGTCCTTAATACCTACTAGGGCCTTGCCGCCCCGGAACCTGTGTGGAAATCAACCAGTGTGTCGGGTGCTCCGTCGAGCGGCGAGGAACCGGCACCGCCACGCTATCGAGCAGGCGTCGCGTCGATGGCGTGGAGGTCGACGCGATGATTCAGCACGAACGCGCCGTAAATTTTGATTTCCACACAGCCCGGAACAAGGCCTTCAAGTCTTCCGGGTCGTCCTTCAGCACGCTATGACAATCGTCGCAGACCCGTTGGTACTCGCACCGTTTGAGGTCGCACGCGGCCCGATTCAGTCGACACAACCGTTCCAACTCCAGACATCGAGCTTGGAGCTCCGCATACCGTCGGTTGCGCTTCTCCCGCAACGAATCCTCCGCCTTGGGCACGTCGGGCACGTCGAAGGTCGGCGGCCGCGGGAGGTCTTCATAATCAAAATCTGATGAAGGAGTGTCGATGATCGGATCTAGCGCCGCCTTGCAGTATCTAGATGGCTCACTGGGGTCGAACTCATTCTCCGGATCGTTCTCGAAGTGCTCTAACGCGTCGGCGGCGTCCTCTATTTGTCTAAGAGCGTCGCCGTAGCGTCGCGACGCTCGCGCAAAGGCCGACCGGTCGTAATGTTGGGAACCTCTTTGTTTGGCGTCCTCGGCTAATGCTAGTCGTGCTTCGCACCGCTGGAGAGCGTCGCCGTCGCTCGACGCGTTGAACCGCTGTATGGCCACTAATTCTAGACGACATTGCAAGGGGCACGAGTAGCACCTACTATCAGCTACCGCCGATAAAGCACCTCGATCCCCTCCATAATGAAACGCTTGTAAGTCGTCAATGCGCGGCGCGGTCGGCGCGCAGGCCGTCGACGGCGGTCGCACAAAGCATAGATCAGGGGCATGTATGGTAACGTCCGCAGTTTCTCCGATACTCATGCGCCTTATCGCGAGTTCGATACCTCGACACAGGGGCGCTTTGAGTTCCGACGCACTGTCGAAGGTCGCCGACGCGTCTTCATCAAGCCGCCAGGATACGGTACCTTCCCCTGTCCCGTAGGCGCACGCTATTGTACCGGAATCTCTAGCCTTGACGACGCCGCGCACCACAACCACATCCAAGTCCGAGGGCACGGCGCGCGATCCGTCGGGCGCCTGTATGATTTTTTTTGATATAGCACCGGCTCGCTCGGGAAAACAATCTTCGACCTCGCAAAAATCTATCAAACTAAGTTCGAAGGCCTCATCCAGCAAAGCTACGATTGCCGTCTCGCCTTTCGCACAGGCCTCCGCGGCGACGCGTAACGGTTCCGCCTTACGTTGCATGGGGTCCGCACAAGCTCTTGATTCTATTGTTTCATCCATTGATTCGCGGGTGCAGCCTCCTACCAACAATACGGCGTCGTCGTCGCCCGGCCAGCACCATCCCGTCGGAACATATCGCGCTTGTAACGAATACGTGATGTCGGACCGCGCCGTCGGCCGGCGCCAATGTTCTTCACCATCCTTGAGGGTCTGTTTCAGGACGGAGCCCTGGCCCAGTCTCCCCGACGCGTCCTCGGTCTTTTGTACTACCGCTACTATTTCGAGAATCTCCAGCTCGAAGCTAATCAGACCTTCAACAGCAAAGCGCGCGGGCAGCGCGGCGTCGTCGGCCTCGAAGTCGCCCCGCTCGCCCTCGACTAACGAAGCTGCGGCGCACGACAGCCACCGAGGGATTGCTAACGCTCCTACTAAAAAGCGACCGTCCTCTATAGATGAAAACACCTCGTTCTGGGACGAACACGCGAGGCGCGCGGCGACCGTGTCGCCGAAGCGCACTCTCCGCCCTTGTTTAGTAGGCTGGACCTTGCGTCTCAAACCACCTTTGATCTCGACCCAGGCCCGTTGACTTACTTTGGAAGAGGGCGGCCGGGGCCACTCGTCCTTGCAGAGGTTTGACGGCCAGTCGGGGTTCTCGCTTGCGATCTGGCAGTTCCTCGCGAACTCCTCCCTGAGTTTTTCTTGTTCCTTTCGGGCCTCGTCGGGGTCGTAATTTAGGTCGACGCGGCCCCACATCGCTCTCTTCTTGCTGCTTCTCAGTGCTGTGGCGAAGGCGTGCTCCGCGCTTGTGACCGACTCAGTGCGCGCTCGTGCGCGCTTCTTTTTTGCTGCTTTTGGGCAGTGTGCTCTCTGGTGGCTGCAGAGAGTCGTGTGATGCGCTGTCGTGCACGCAGTCGCGTCTGTGCGTGCTGAGCGATGACAGACGCGTGCCGTCAGCTGTTATTTGCTTGCGTTGCGTGCAGTACGGGCGATTTGGAGGCGCAGAGCTTGCTAGTGTCTTACATGACGCTAGCTAACAGCGCTATCGACGACCAAAGCTTGCTTCACCTGTAGCGCCCTGCCGGCCGCCTTACCAGCTTTTCCGAGGAAGCTGTGACAGCCATAGACGGCGCGGAACGCCCCGCGCGGCGAAACGGCGCTCAGCAGCCCTCTACTGGACTGGGTCAATAATCAGCGCCGGCTCCCGCGCCGCGCCGACGCCCGCCGACGCCCGCCAGCGCGCGGGCCGCCGAACCCCAACCATGGACTACGACACCCCCCACTCGAGCCCGCGCCCCCACGTCGTCGACGACTCGATGCGCGCCGACAGCCCCTACGGCGGCCCCCTGAACTACGGCCAGACGCCGCACTTAAACAACATGGACACGCAGACGACGGGACGAAGTCGGGGCGTCATCACGTCGGAACTCCGCATGAAGAAGGACCTCGCGGAGCTCGCCCAGGCGAAGATGACGAGCCCGCACGTCCAGACGACGATCGACTTTCCGGACGGCGACGTGTTGCATTTGAGGGTTACGTTACGGGTCGCAGCTGGATTCTACGCCGGCGGGACCTTTGTGGTCTCGTTGAAAGTGCCGTCGAACTACCCCTTCCGGGCGCCCACCGCCACGGCCCTCACGAGAGTCTGGCATCCCAATATTGATGTCGAGAATGGAAGGATACGGCATCCGCTGTTGGAGCGGGACTGGAAGCCCGTTTTATCGATCAATACCGTCGTGTTTGGATTGCAGTTACTTTTCTTAGAACCGAACGTCCAATGTGCTTCGGTCATCGCGAACGCGGCGGCGGCGCAGACGTTGTTGCATGGGCGCGACGCCTTCGCCGATGATGTTAGGAGGACATTGCGGGGAGGCACCTTCGGGGGCCACCCGTTCCCGTCGCACACGCATGCTTCTCCTAGAGCGGCGCCGTCTAGGAAACGCCCGTGCGACGAGGACGATTTGCGGGCCGACGTGAAACGGTTGTCGGTGAGGGATGGGAGGGGCTCGCCGCGGACGGTCCTGGACCCGACGTCGTCTCCCAGATCGTTCGTGCCGGTGCAGCACCCGCCGGCGCAGTACTATCGGACCGCGGACGGGTACCCCATCTCCGTGCCGGCGCGGCATCCATGACGTGTTTAAAAGAATTTGTGCCAGTACTTACTCGTCTAGGACCGGGTCGTAGTTGGCCCGCGCGCCGAACGCTTGCGCCGGCGCGGGCGGCTCGACCGGTCGCCTGGCAGTGCCGCGGCCCATGAAAGTCGGCACCGGCGGCAGTGCGACCTCCGACGGTGTTCGCGGGCTCCGCGGGACCGGCAGGAAGGTCGCATCTGCATCGCTCGTGAACGCGACGGGACGCGGAGGCGACTCGACCTCGAGCACGTTTCCAGCGGCCTACGCGGCAAGCCTCGCCTCGGCCGCGCGCTCTTCGGCCGTCACGGACCCGAGACATTCGAAGCCGTCGTCGTCGTCGTCGTCGGCCGCCGCTGCCGGGGCCGGCGCGTTAGGCGACAACGCCATGGCCTCGTCGAGCGTCGCCGCGGTGGGGAGGGCGGCTGCGGCGGAGAGTAAAGGAAGCGCGAGCACGGCCGCGGAACACTCGCCGAGGCGCAGGCCCATGTCGAGGGCCGGTTTCGCACCGAGCGCCTCCGCAAGTATAGCGCCACCGCCGGGGCGCGACGGCTCCTCGGCGAGCGACGTGGCAAAGATCATGCGGGACCGGCAGGACGGTTGCATCTGGATCGCGCACAACGCGGCCACTCCGCTGATGAAACCGTCGACGACGGCAACGGCCCTCGTCGACGACATAGCTATATATGCGCCGACCATGGCTGCAATTTCGAGGCCTCCGACACATCGTAGAGCGTTGCGCGTTAGTGGCAAATTGTGATGCGCGAGCGCCGCGCGGACGACCTCGATTTTGTGCGCAAGCCCCGCGTCGTCGAGACCCGTGCCGCGGCCGCAGACCGTTTCGGCGTCGCTACCCGTCAGCGCGGCGAGCAGACACGCCGCGGAAGTCGTATTGCCAATACCTACCTCTCCGATGCATATGACCGTTGCTCCGCAGGAGACCACCTGGACCTGTTGCTGACCGACGCGTAACGCAGCGTCGAGCGCCTCTTCCGACATCGCCGGTTCGCGCCGTATATCAGAGGTTCCCGGGAGGACTTTGCAGTGGTGCACCTCGATCCCATCCCGGTCTCGGACGTCGGACACGTCGCCATCAACACCCACGTCGACGACGTGTAGCGTCGCACCTACCGATCGTGCGAGAACGGCCGCGCACGAGACACCGGCGGCTAGCGAGCGGAATATGGCTTGCGTCGCGGATGCCGGGTATGGACTGAGCGCCGAGTCGGCTTTTTTGCAACCGTGATCCGCGACAAATACGAGGGCGGCAGCTGAGACCGTCGGCCGTAACGTCTTTTGCGCGACGCATAGGGTGACGCACCACTCTTCCAATGTACCGAGCGCGCCCGGCGGCTTCGCTAAAAACGCGAGCCGGGCCTCGGCGTCCGCTCTCCACCGCTCCTCAGGCTCAGCCATCAGACTCAGGGATCAGAGAAGAGAACGATCTAAGGGCCGTCTTAAACCGATCAATGCGCCGCGGTCCGCCACCGCTGATCGATTCCTGTTAATAGAGATTCGAGAGAACCGACGAAACGGCCACCGCGGCCGCGACAATTTCTGCTGCTAGCGGCATGTAACACACTAGCAAGCAGGCAGCTCGGGGTTTGTGCAGGCCGTACGCTATGCACAGCTCATCGATTGGCCTGGCTCTTCTCTGTGGTGGCCCAGCGTTCGCGCTGCGGCCGCCACCGCGACGCATCGCTGCAAAACGCACGTATGCGGTAAATGGAGCAGTGCTGCCAACTGAGGCCTGCGTTGCCTTACTATACGTAGCGCCGTTGCCGCCCGTTGGCACTATCATCGGCAGACGGTGGCGTCGAATACGCGGCGCAGCAGTGGACAACAGCCCGTTGGTCGCGCCACCGCGCGACAAAAACACCCGACGCTACGCCCTGCTCGTGTTGGCATATGCGCTACGTGCCGCCGCACCGCTCTCGAAAGTGTTTTTCTTCTTCGTCGCCTTGCGCCTCTCGGACCTGCCGAGATATGGCGCGCCCCCCGACGAGCGGACGCCGTCGACGCCCATAGTGCGACACGTCGTCAGCGCGGGCGCGGCCGCCGCAGCGCTCACGGTGGCGGTCTCACCAAAAACGCGAGAGGTCCTGGCCGCGCTGTGGGCCTCCGCACGCGCAAAAGAGAAAGAATGGGACACATACCTGGCGCGATGGATCCCGCCCGTGGGCCAGGGCCACGTCTTCCGCGCGTGCTACGGGCTGGCGCTCGCACTGACGGTGAATTTCTGGCTGACCGAGTACTTCAACCGGAATCCCCCGAGCGACACGAGCGGGGACCCCGCCCCTGAAACGTAACTCACGGCACCGACTCGCGCCGATCGCGGCGACGGCGTGCTGGTGGGGTCTACACCGCTTTTGCGGTCCTAAATGTTAGTATCACAATAACACATTACTCGTTGGCCAGCAGCTTCAGGTTCCGCTCCTCCGTCTGGTGCCGCAACCGCCCGACTTTGGGAGGAGAAGCATCACCGGTCACCTCCTCCCGCTTATAGTTCACCTGCAACATGCTCCACTTCGGCACCTCTTCCCGAGAAGCCATCCTAGGTTGATCGGGCACCAAATTCGCCGGCTGGTAGCGCGTCTCCTGCATCGTATTCCGCTGCTGGACGGCCATCTGGGAAGCTTTCCCGCCGCCCATCGCTTGTGATTTGAGCTGTTTGGCCGATAATCTTGGAAAAATAGAATAAATCTTCTTCTGCGACTTGATGTACTGGATCTCGCCCTCGTGCAACGCGCGGCAGCCGCAGACGCAGTAGTAGCCGTGCGGATATCTTTTTTTGGACTTCTTCGCCGCCTCGAGCTTCACATGCGCACCATCGGATTGTAAAGCTTCCACATTTTCATCCCTTTCTATATCTTTAAGATCGCCAAAACGACTGAAAGCCCCTCTTTTGCCCTTCTTCAACGTGATCATCGCGAGCACGAACTCATCAAAATCAATCTCGCCGGACCGGTCAAAATCCACTTCATACATGATGCCCCTTAATTTGGCATCACTATACGTCTCGCCCGTCAGCGCTCGGATCAACAGTTTGAGTTCGCCGATGTCAATCGCTCCCGACCCGTCGAGGTCCATGGCGTCGAACTGCGTCTCCATCTCCGCGAGCTCGTCGTCGTCGACCCATTTTTTTGCTTCTTCTTGCAGCCTGCGCGGGGCATCTCTCGTGAACGCGGTCCGAACGGGCCCCTATTCGAAAATAAAACCAGCCACGACCTCGTCTGATGGACACGAGTCGTATGGAAGTGAAGGCACCGACGTGGGACGCCGAGATCGCACGCTTGTGGCAGAAAGTACTTTATGGCTTCCGGCGTGTCGTAACTCGTTTCTCCGGTCTCCGGGTTCACCCAGTACGTGCTCCCCTTGATTTCGGGGTGGGGCACCTTCGTCCACGCTCCAACACGCTCGTGGATCTCGTCCTCCTTGGCTGCTACTAGTTTTTTCATTGCTCGAGGTACTCGGGGCCTTCTCATAAATTCTTTCATATCTCGAAACTTGGCCGGCATCCACCGCCAGAAGGGCGCTCGTTCGATGCGAGCTCTTTTTAGGGTAGCTATGGCTCGCGCAAAGGCCGCATAACTCAATTCCGCCGAAGGATCCAGGTCGGACTGGTAAAACAACCATAACAAGTCTGTGGGAGATAAGACCTCCCCGAGAGCCGGTAGAGCGGCTTCGAACTCCCTCAGTGAAACAGCATTGCTTCGATCGTAGTCCTTATCTGTAAAAACATCCTGCAAATGGGTGAGCTCATCAGAGGTGAACTGCAAAAACACTTCTGTTGGGAGAGCAAAGGGGTCCTTGTCCGGCCGGTCCCAAGTGGTTTGTCTAGTTTTAACATTGTAGTAGTAGGTCTTGGAGCCGTCCGGCGGCTCGACCTGCTTCCAGCCCTCGGGCAGAGGCCTTTGGACCCTGCAATCATTGCTCCAGTTGCTCGGTGTGCTCAACCCAACGTCATTGTGCGAGTAGACTCGGAACCGGTACCACGAATCATTGGCCAACTCATCAACGATCAACGCGCAGGGCGGCTGGTTACTTCGCGCCGCCTCGAGTTCGGCCTTCGTTAATGACCTTCCTGCGGCTTTCGCCGCTCTGGAATCAGCTTTTCGTTGCGCCGCGGCGTCGACGTACACGGTCCCCTTGTCCTCCCAGGTCTCCAACCCATCTCTTTTGCGCTGGCGCTCCACCGAAAACCCTTTCACGGGCGGCCCGTTCGGCCGCGACGGCTTCCACCAGATTCGGGCAGAGGCGTCGCCACCCGCTCCCGACACCTGTCTAGGTGGTTCGGGGAATCCGCGTTTAGCTCTCAACAACGGCAGAGGTAGCTGACTGTGTGTATCTCCCGTGTGTAAGCGCTCGAACTCCGCAATCTCGGCAGCAAGGGCCTCCTGCGCCGGCCGCGGGTCGTCCCAGAAGCGCTCCCGCGTGCACACGTCGTACCAGTAGACTTTCCCGGTCCTCGCGTCGGTCTCGGAGGCGTATTCTGCATTAACTTCAGGCCTCCGTCTTTTATCTATTCTTCCCGGGATGCACGACGCCTCAATATATAAAGTTACTTTGGCTCCTGTCGCATTGCCCTCACTATCGATAACGTCTCGCAGCCCGGGCGCGTCGTGCGGCCAGATGAGCTCCTCGTGCTCGATCGACGCAACGCCAATCAACTCGTCACTACTCACGGTTTTCGTACTGAAAAATCTACGCTTCTTCTCTCCCTTGTCGTAGACCAACACCTCGAGCGGTGACCCGTAATTCCCGTCGTCCGGGACGGGGACGTCGACGTCCACCGCATGGTACCAGACCGGCCGCAGACTATCTGTTCGAGGCGGCGTCCGGGCGCCCCACTCCCGGTCCAGGTACTTGACGACACAGAAGGGGTCCGGCACGGCGTCCTCGCTCCTGTCGTTTCTTTTCAGACCAATGACGCCGACGATCGTCACTCGTACCGTCACTATCAACTTCGTTCTTATCGTCAGCGTCCCGCGAAGATGGACCTTGGACTGGACCTTATTGTCCTCCTCCTTCTCTCTTCCAATGACACCTGCGTGATACGTATCGCGTCGACGGCGTGACGGGACGCCGCGAGCGCACCGGCCGGGTCATCAATAAGATCCAAATTGCGCCAGCCTTGCCCCGGCATCTTGTAGAGCAGCTCCTTGTGCTCCAATTGCGCATACCCCAGAAAGTCCGGCGTGCTCACGAGCTCGTCGTCCATGACGCGCAGCTCGAGCTTGCCGTCCATTTCATCTTGCACGTTGCGGACGATACCTGTGTGGGAACGGCACCGTCGCGACACGACCGCGACTCTCTCACGAGGCGCGTCGGCGCTCTGGCGGCCGCGTCGACGACGTCGAGGCGGCGCAGTCTCATGAAGACGTCATCGCCTCCACCAGATCAAGTTCAAGGTCACTGAAGACGCCGAGTCAGTACCAGGCACGTTACGTAACTTAAAGAACTCGCCGTCCCATTTCGGGTTTAAGGTCTTCCAGATGGTCTTTGTTCGGCCGATCTTTTCGCCGCCGCAGTAGATTTCGACGAAGGGATCGGACTTGCCGAGTAGATCCGCCTGCGGCAGGTCGTCGGCCCGGGAGACCTCTACTTCCACCGTGCATCTTGGGAGATTATTAGCTGAGGGCATCTGTAAGTTACTATGCGCAAAGTTGGCATATTCTTGCAACGTGCCTGGTGGTGCGACACATCTGACAATAAGTAGATCGCCGTGGCCCCGATCTATCTCTAACGATCGTCTCGCTAGTGTCCTCTTGGAGAAACTCTTGGATAGCATGGGCGGCTTCTCGAACGTCTTCTTTTGAGTAACAGGCCACTTCAGGAGCTTCGCGACGAAGCCCCACGGCTTCTGCGGGTCCTTGGCCGACGCTTTCGTGCTGAACAGGCCGTCCCATAAAGCTTTGCGAGACGGGAACATCGAATGAGCCGCAAAGAGCTCCTCCGGTTCACTTTCAAAGGATCGCAGCGATTGCGCTAGAGATTCGTCCATGTGCGACTGCTCCGCATACGACTCTTCGTCCTGTGGATATGTATATGTTATATGTATGTATACATACGAGGAGCGCATCGATGGCGTAAGGCGGCGTAGTAGACCTCGGTCGCCGCGCCACGTTGAAATATATATGTATATGATATATGTGTGTGTGTGTGAATATATAGATATGGACGCCGACATACGCACCGGCTCTTCTTTGACCTCGTCGTACGTGACCCTGGAGAGGTGGTTCGCTATGGGCGACGCCGGGTCTCCGAGGTCGTCCTCTTCCGCGTACCTTTCTAGCTCAAGTTGCTCGTCAAAACTGCGAGACGACGACGGCCTTTTCCTCTTACTCTCGATCTCGGCCTGCTCCCAGCTTGGTCGTCGGAAGTTCTTGCCGCGCTTCACCAAGCCTTTCCGGTTCAGGTCGCGCTTCTTGACCGGTACCGATAGATCATTACTGAATGATAGGGGGAAGCGTAGGATGGGTGCCTCGGGCGGCTTTTCCCCTTCTTTGAAACTGATAGGCAACAACGTCGAAGCATCGACTCGCACGGAACCGAGTAACGCATCTTCACCTTCGGTCCTGTGTTCTCGCACCGTCAAAACTAGAACGTCGAGGGGCCACCGCACCGGTATGGCAATCGCAAACCTATGGCCCCAGAGCGCTAGCCCATCTTCAGGATTTGTTGTAGGTGTCCTGCCACATTCGCCGCACTCGCGACCCTCCCAGGACGCGGAACAATAGACGTCTCGCGCCTCTTGCGTCCGTAGCGAGTTGATCTCAAATACACATTTCAATTTGCACTCAAAATGGACCTCGATCGACCCCTGGGCCGCGGGCTGGCCCGGTTTGGCCGCTAATTGTAATGTGGCGACCTTGTCGGCGTTCGCATATAATTGCGCTGAGGTTAATCGCGCCTCGCCTAACAAATCATCCCTACCTCCGCCACCGTCGTCGTCCCAGACCTCTATTACGACCTCAGTAGCTTCATCACCAAGAGGCAAGACGCCCCTGATACCCTCGAACCACTCGGGGTCGAGACAGTCTTTTACTGTTGCTGTTCTTCCTATAACTTCGGAACCAAATCTAATGGTAGCATAAGGGTCCGACTTGCCCGAGAGCATGCCACCATCCGTGTTCCTCAGATTATGAGCCCGTATGAGTATCATCCCCAGCACCATCTGCGGCTCGAGGCTATTGGCGGTCAGCCGGTCCAAGCCGTGCAACAGCGCCTCACTATCACCTCTCAAGTCAGATTCTTGCTTCGAAGCGAACCAGGACTTCTTCTTACGTTTGGCCTGGAGTTCTTGGATGCGTAACTGCGACTTCTTGTTGCGCGCCAGCGTCTCCCGTTCTCGTTTCAGCACCTCCCCAGGATGCACCCAGAACGTCTCCCGCGTCCACACATCAAACCAGAAATTCCTTCCCGTGACGGGGTCCGTGAGCTCTCTGTAATGCCCGAGAGACCCGAACTGGCGGCGGGGCGCCGGGTCGAGCGTGCCCGGCACGCGCGAACTTCGGACATCTAGTTCAATGAAGCCTTGCGCGCGTTCCGTGTGATCATCGACTCTCATGAGCGGCCAGTGCGTGCCGCACTGCGGTCGCAGCAAAAACTCGGGCCTTATGATGATCTGGCCCATGGCGTCGTCGCCACTGAACGTGTCGTGGTCCCAGACCGTGATTTTCAAGGCGCTTTCGTCGGCTCGGATCAGGGCTCGCGCCGGGTGCTCCCAGGGCAATTCCGGGGCTCCCGCTAAGGCCGGGGCTTCGCCGTCACTCCCGACGGCGCCTCGCGCCGGTACTTCTATTTCTAATGTCAAAGATTCGTACCATTTCGGGTCAAGGGTCTTGGAGCGGTACTTTGTTTTTAGGACTCGTTTCCCTCGGTACTCCACGACGCAATATGGATCAGAAGACGCCTTGCCATATAACAAAGCTTCGTCGACGCCTTGCAATGAGTAGCCTTCGAGTATGCGCAACTGGACCTCGGCGAAGTGTCTGATGCGTACTAACAACCTACCCCTAACAGGCTGCGTCCGCGGCAAGTCGCAGGGGCAGCACGTGCAACAGTAGTCCTCGACGCAGTAGGCCGCGGCCCAGGACGCGTGCCAGGCTTCTTGAGAAGCAAAGCATATACCTCTCCCAACGGCCGCTCCGGCCCAGAGGGGCGCGCACGTCACGCACAGGCAGGCGCCCCAGCCCCAGCCCGGTATTGTACCGCACCGTCCGACCTCCTCCGTAAAACATTTGTAGGGCGTCCTGCGTTTTCTTTCAGGTAACTCAGATCTCCTACCGTGCTTACAAACAAAGGCCTCGGCCCCCATGCCGTTGTCGCCATCGAGCGGGTCTAGTAACTCGAACTCCCGTTCTCCTGGCGTGAGTAGATCTTTCAAGGTCAAAACACAGTGGCCCATAAATTCGGTAGGCCTACCAGGCCCGTCGTCGTCGCGCACCTCGAGGCACACGCCGTAATCTATAGGGTCAAATTCCGCGAAGCCGCCCGCATTTTCACTCCATATATCGGGACACGTCCTGAGCTTCTCCAGCCTGAACGTCGAGGAAGCATCGCGGGGCCAGATGGGCGATAAGGTATCGTTTATGATACTAGTAGTACCGATCTTCTCGCCGCCGTGATACCCCACCACAAACGGGTCCGACAGTGAGAAGGTGTCGCACTGCTTCAGGTTCTGGGCTCGTACGATATCAATTTCTATCGCGGATAATCTCGGTAACGTGTTATTGGAAGGTGCTACTGTCCTGGCGCCTCGGACACAAGCTATCAATTCAGCTAGATCCTTGGGCACTTCGCTTCTACATCGTAAATGCGCTCCTTTTAGCCACTTGCCCTTCCGATTGGGCACTTTGTTCATAGGTATATCTCGCGTGACACCATACAGGAGATCCTCGGTGGTCATCCTAGCCATGCCCAGCAGTCTTCTGGAGCCTACTTGTTCACAGTGTAACTCTAAAGATCCTTCTATCCTCGTGATAGGTACGTCCACATATAAAGCGCCCTTGTCCCGCACGACGGGCAGGTCGTGCGCCTGCCAGCCGACCCATTTTGAGCGGACCTGCACCTTCTTGCGCTTGATCTTCTTCTTCGTTATGTTTTTCAAGCTGGACTTCGCCGCATTCATGCCTCCCTGGGCGGTCGTGAGCGCTCCTTGGGCGCCCGACTGCGCGAGAGCCGCGAGCTGCGAAGGGTCCATCGCGGCGTCCTGGATGGCGAGAGCACCGAGTGCGACGTTCTTCTGGGCGGCCGCGGCCGTATCTTGTGCTAAAGCGAGAGCTGAAGAGCCCAGCGCGAGAGCGGAAGAGCCTGCACCTAGTATGCCCGCGGTCAGAGCGCCAGTTATCCCATCGTCGGCCTCGCCCTCTTCGTCGGCGCCATATTGAATACCTTCTAAATGTAAACGTACTCTAGCTAGTAATTGCGTCCGGATCTCCACAAAACCCGTCACCGGAGACTCGCCGGGCTGCGGTCGTAGCTCCCGTTGCAGAGGTCCCGTCGAATTCAGATACTCACTCACCGGAAAGATGGCCATACCTAAAGCATCATCCCCGTCCCCGAAGATTTTGCCCGCCGTCCCGTCGCTATCATAGAGCTCAACGACAATTTGATGGTCGCGGCACGTCGCATCCACTCGAACCGGAAATCTGAATGATTGCTGGCCCCACACAGGATCACAATTATTGTTCACCACGGATGTTCTCCCTATCGTTTTTAAACAGTGCTGGGGGCCGTACCTAATCGTCGCGTAGGGATCCGACGAGCCGCCGAGTAGCGAGATGTCGGCGTTTCTGAGTTTTCCGGCTCGCAAGACACAGACCTCGACGATGGCCGTCGGTCGCACGAAAAATCCCAAATCCTGGGGCTCCAGCTCATTCAGCAAAGTGTATTTTCGCTTCGTAGGTGACGGTCGCGGCGGCAAATCCATGGGAGTGAACATACTAGGGGGATGAATGGGCGGCGGCCGCGGGTCGCGCCACCAGCGTGGCACGGGTCTGAGCGTGCCGTCTTCCTTCGTCCGCTCTTTTTTACTAAGTCGCTCCCACCAGTATTTTCGGCCCGACTTCTTGTCGCGAGCTTGTCTTACGTCGCGGCCGGCCCACAACTCCAGGTCCGCGCGAGCCTTCTCCTTGTTGAGCTTTCTTATCTTGCGCTCCATCTCCTGGGCGGCCCTTGCTTTGTCTAGGGGGTCCTTTTGTCCATCAAGCGGCGCGCGCGGCCAAGCTACGGGCTCCATGCTCCCCGGGATGTAGGACGTCTCCACCTGCACGTCTAAAAAGCCGGACGCAACCGGACCATTTACTGATGCGTTGAAGGCCGGCCCGAGCTCATACACATCCCCAGGGTGCGGCCTGAGTAGGTGCTCGTGCGGGATGACCGCACAACCAAGGAAGTCATCACTACCAACGAGGTCGTGGTCGAAGACTTCAATCAGCAAATCGGCGGCCTCGCCCTCGGTCGGCGCGTGCGTCGGCACCGTGAACTCGAAAACGGCGTTCCAGCACGGGTCGAGCGTCGAGTTACAAATTTTCGTCTTGGCCACTCGTTTGCCCTGATATTTCACAACACAGTAGGGGTCGGCGCGACCGCCCAAGACACCTGAAACACCCCAATCTGCGGGTCTGATATCATGGGCCCCAGTCACGCGAAGTCGCACGCGCGCGACGTGCCACACCCTCACAAACATCAGCGCGCCGCCCGCCACAATGTGCTCCTCCAGCGTCTCCGGCTCGACCTTCTTCTTCATGGACTTGCCCTTGACCGCTCTACTCACATGTTTCTCCATGCGCGACCTGCGTCGAACGACGGCGTCGCGACACTGCGTAGACTCTCTGACGGCCCCATCGATTGTGTAGAGGTGGCATGACCTCGTGGCGACGCCATCTTCCCAAAGTTGAAGTTGAGAAATTGAAGGAAACCACGCTGAGTCACCGACTTGTGGAATTTCAGAAAGTGCATTTCCCGCTTGTGATACGCGTCGTTCCGCTGCCCGTGCATTTTTAAGCAATGTTCTCCTTCACACATGAGCTCCTCCCAGTGCATCGTCGCGCTGCCCATGGGCCGGTCGCGGCCGACGTCGTCGTCAAAAACGTTCAGCGTGACCACGTACTCGCTGGCCGACGTGCCTTGGGTCTCCTTGGCGTAGGTCGGCACGTTCTTGAGCGTGAAGGTCTCCTTGTCATTTTTATTGGTCCATACCGGGTTGAGGGTGTTGGGCCTTGTCGAGGTTCGGCCTAATCTCTTCTTCTGCAGTCTCACAGACACGTACGGATCGGGTAGCATGAAATTGACCTTGCGATTGAGGAAACCCTTCTTGTTCTTCAAATTCGTACACTTCGTCACACAAAACTTGACCCAGCACCCATCTAAACGATTGGCCGTTTGCGCTTGCATCACTCTCTTGCAGAGCCGTCTCCGCAGGTTGCAGATGGCCACGCTTTGTTCGACCTTGAAACTGAGCGTCCCGTGGGCCTGGCGCTTCTTCCTTCCATTAGCATCCTTGTCTAGGAGTCGTCGAGTGACGAGACCCCCCGTTTCCGCGGCTGTTACTAGTTCTGCAGGGTCAATAGCTACCAACCCCAAAAAATCATCGCCCAAAAAGTCGTGGTCCCAGACCTCCACGAGCACGGCCGCGAAAAGACTATCAGGTTGCGTCAGAGGTACGCTCAGGTTGAGCGTGAAGTTCCACCGCGGATTCAGCGTTCGTTTCTCCGGGGCGCACCTTCCTACTGTTCTACAGCCAACGGCGGCCCACTTCACTTTCACATAGGGATCGCTCGTGCCCGACGGGTCCGCGGCCCGGATCTCGTCGGCCTGATTCACGCAGAGCTGCAGGCAGCCACAGACAGCACATCTCACTTCCAACCATCCTAACTTGGGATTGACATTTTTGGGGTCCCGCAGGAAGCGTTGGGACGGGCACTCCGGCTGCAACGCGTATCTTCTTATCACCGCGTCCGTGCACAGATCATCCGCGCCGAGCCGCACGAGGCCCATCAACGTTTTACTGAAAAGATCCTGGTCCCAGACCTCGAGTCTTAACTCAACTCGTTCGCAAGGTAACCCTTTGTGGTTCAAGGGTACTTGGACCAAGAACGATTCGTCTTTCCAGTGAGGTGACAAAGTGTCGAACTTCGTTTTTGTCTGGCCGATGACTTTGCCGTTACGACGTACGATCACGAACGGATCGGCGCCACCGATCAGATCGGTTCTTAGTAGATTACCAGCTCTCAGTATATGTACCGTGACCTCCGCCTCCGGCGGCTGCTGGCCGCCATGCTCGACCAACGGCATATACTGGATGCGCTGCGCCTTCTTCGGCTCGGCCACACCAAAGGGGATGTAGAAAGCCCTCAAGTTGAGTTCCGCGTAGCCCTGCGGCGCCGGGTCCTCGGACATGCCCGGCCGCCGCGTGAGGTAGTGCGGCACGCCCGGCGACGGGAAGGCCGCGTCCAGGCGTGATACGGATACTAACCCGAGGAAATCATCTTGGGAAAGTAAATCCTCCTCCCAGATCTCCACATGTAAAAAATCGAAGAGAATCTCGTCCTCCTCGGGGTCTAATGGGACAGAGAATGAAGCGGGTTTTTCAGGACCGTACCAGAGCGGATCGAGTTGATTTGAGGCCGTCGACGACTTCCCTAACACCTCGCGGCCCCACTTGAACAAGCAATACGCATCGGGCACGTCAAACACATCTCTCTGAGGTAAATGACTGGCCTCATAGGCCCTAGCATGCACAATGACCTCATGCGTAATCTTGATCACAACGACGCCTTGCGCAGCATAGCGCTGCGACTTGTTACCTCTGTAGCCCGGTCGCTCCTTCAGCTTCAACTTCTTAACCCCAGGCGTCATGAGCTCTCGCCACGACACGCGCGCGAAGCCCAGAAAGTCTTTCGACACCGCGTCGTCGTCGAAGACCTCGATGTGCACGTCGACCGCCGGCTCGCCCTTACCAGCCGCTTCGGCTGCTAATTTATCAGCTTGTAATTTCAACGCGCGACTCGCCTCGGGGTCCGTTTCTCCCGCCGCTACTTGTGGAGCATCGTCGTCACTCTCAGAATCTTCCTGCTTCTTCGGCCTTCGTCGTTTGAACCACGAACTCCTTTTGGGTTCGAAATAGTCGGGATCAGACTTCTCGACGACTCGCGTCGGGATATCAGTTAATACAAATAAGTTTTTTGAATCCCAGACGGGGTGCGTCGTCGAATCGCAAGATGGAGTTCTTCCTAATTTATGACCATCTCGGAAGACGACCGCATACGGATCACCGGCGCACGTCGCGAAGCAGTCCGCCTTCCTGAGCCCGTCGGCCCGTAAAACCTTCAGGCGCACGTGGCACCGCGGTAGGTCATTGCGTGTGAGTGTTTTGGAGGTCACATACGCCGTGTTCTTCTGGCACAGGTCCATGATGCCCGGTGGAGTAAAGATACGTAACTGAATCGTCCCCTGCACGGCCTCGCCCTTTTTCCGCGGCTGCAGGGGTTTTACTACTTTCGCCATCGTTCGTTGTCTCACAATAAACGAACCGTCCAAATTAACTTGTCCGAGGAAATCATCACTGCCAAAATAGTCGTCGTCCCACACAGAAATTTGTATAAACCCGCCGTGCACCGGTCGGATGAGTGGAATCGCTACCAAAAAGGCGTGGTTCCAGTCCGGGGAGAGACTATCGGAGATCGTTCGTGTTTGAGATAATTTGCGAGAGTTGTGGCCGACCCACCTGGCAATGGCATAAGGGTCGCTCGCGCCGCCGAGCGCGCCGTCTGCGGCCAGCAGGTGCTTCGCGCAGTCCACGAAGATGGCCACGACGCCGCTCACATGGATGCGCACCGTCAAGTGGCCCGTCGTCAACGCTCGTTTTTCTGGCGGCGAGTCGGGGTGGGGCACCAGTGCTTTCTCGAGCGGCTGGAGTCGCGGCTCCAGCAATTCTTCCCTGGACAATTGAACCATGCCTAAAGCATCATCCCCGCCCACATCATAGTCCCAGACGCCTAGTCGCACGCCCTGGAAGGCGTCACTCATCAAATCGAACGTCACGCGCAGCACCTCGTTCCATCGTGGTGACAATGTTTGGCTCTTCCAGGCCGTCTTTCCTATCTCTTCAGGTGTCTTTGTAGATGATAATGCATGCCCTTTCACGTAGGGGTCGCTCTTCGACGAAAATACGCCTATATCGGCGCCTCGTAGACCTCGGGCCGATAGAATACAAATCTCGACCTCTACTAGTTCCCGTTTTTCTTGCTCGTACCTGAGAGCGTCCTGGGCCTTGATGGCGGCCGTCTCGGCCTCCTTGGCCTTCTCTTGCGCCTCTTTTTCGATGCGCTCTGAGACTTTAGGCTCATCTTCAGCGACTGTGCGCGGCGTCGCCGTCTCGTCGGACTCCTCGCCGTCGAGTTCCTTTTCCTTGGTCTCTTCCTTCGGTTCCGTTAGTACCGAAACGGTGTCTAGAGACTTTCGTTCCAGCGAGCCGGACTCGTCGACCGTGGTCAAAGAATCTTCGCGCAGAGTTGGCGTGGTATTGGTATAACTCTCCCACTCCGACGACTCCGCATCCGCAGGTGCCGGGGCTTCCGCTTCCGCGTCTGGAGAAGCGATAGAGAAAGCTAGCGACGAGTCATCCATGGGAGAAGCTCCGGGAAACGTGTCGCCGTCGTGAAGCAGCACCTCGCCCTCGCCCCCCAATTCTTCGGCGAGAGATGTGGTCTGCAGGGACGTATCCTCGGGCAATGACGTCTGGACGCTTGACTGGTGGAAGAACGGCTCCTCGAGCGGCGACGCGTCGGAGCCCAACGGCGAGCCCAACGAACTGCGCGACCCGGGCTTGTACGGCGACGTGTTCGGTCGCGACGAGGCCGGCGACGACCAGCCGGACTCACTCCCTTCCGCCACGGGCGTCATCGGCCGAAAACCCAATCGGCGGTGCCACAGGTCCTCGTCGTCGTAGTCGCCGTCGTCGCTATACGGCGACTCCGGCCGGTCGTCGTCGTAGTCGTAGGAGTCGTCGTCGTAGTAGGTCGGAGACATGGGCCTTTCCTCAAAAGGTAACTCGTCTTCTATCGTACCGGACGCGGTCGACGCGTGGGAGTCGAAGAAGCCGCCGGCGTCGTCGTCCTGGTCGTCCTCCTCGGGCGTCATGGACCTCTCGCTATAGTCGGAGCCTCCACTGCTGGGTCTGGAGTCGTAGGTGCCCGCGCTCGACGGTCGGAACGAATCACTGCTACCGGGCCGGTCGTAGGAACCGCCTGACGACGGCCGCATATCAGGGCCGACGACGCGCACAGTAAGCTGCGGTTTTTTGGGCGGGATCGGCGGCGCCGCCTTCGACTCTGGAACAGGTGGCATCGGCTTCTTGGCAGGGGCCTGTGTGGAAATCAAAATTTTACGGCGCGTTCGTGCTGAATTTTCGCGTCGTCCTCCACGCCATCGACGCGACGCCTGCTCGATGGCTTGGCGATGCCGATTCCTCGCCGCTCGACGGAACCAGCGCGGCCACGCCATCGCCGAGACATGACTTAGTGAAGAATTATCGGGTGCACCCGACGCGCTGGTTGATTTCCACACAGGCTGGGGCCTTCCTCCCACCTTTCGGATTGAACTTGGCCTTGGTCTTGGCCTGGGGCTTGGGCCGGCCCCTGTCCTTCGTGGGCTTGGGCGGCCGGCGCCCGCGCTTGAGGGGGCTCGAGCCGCCACTGGAGACGCTCGCATAGGACGCGTCGTCCTTCGACTCGTCGGCCATCGTAGGGCTTGCCGATTGGCAGGGTTTCAGGTGGCTGGCGCCATCGGGGCTGCCCAATATCCCCGGCGGCAGCAGAGCTGTCCTCCGTTTTACGCTGGGTTTGCTAGAGTGTTACATGTCGCTAGCGGCATCAGTTGCTCGACGTTTTTGGGAGCTCCGATAGGCGTGCGTGCCGACGCGAGGCAGCTCCGAGAGCGCGTGCGGGCTGCCGGATAGACAAGCGGAGCATGGCTGCGCCGGCGTAGATACCTGATAAGTGGTATTTATAGCTCGTGAGGCTGCCCCAGTAGCAATGAATACCTGGCAGCTCACGAGCTACGACGAGACCTGGGCCTTCCTGCGCACCGGCATCGAGCATACCTTCTCTGACGAGAAAGCGGACCCGCAGCGGCCCTGCGCCCGGGAACTATCGAGAGTCGTCCGCGAGGTCGTCCAGGTCCGCCGCTGGGAGAAAGAGTTATATAACGCTTTATGTGAGGAGCTCCAATCGCAAGCCGACGCTTGTGTCTCACGATGTACTGACGTAACGACGGTCGCGGCGGCGTGGCGCTCCTTTTCATCATCTCTGGGGACGGTCGTGACGGTCTTCCGATGCCTGGACGCGGCGCTACGCGTGGGCCTGGATCCCGTGTATCGCGTGGGCACGACATGTCTGAGGCGGTCGCTTGAACAGAGAGGCCTCTACGAGCCACTAGTGAGGGAACTCGTGCAAATGACGCGGGCGCGCCTCGACGAAGGAACGATAAATGACTGCCGGGCCTGCGTCGAGTGTCTACGGAAGTTGGACTGGTACTCTTCAACAGATTCAGAGGGCCCCTACCTCGAGGAGCTCGTGCTGCGAGACGCGCGCGACCGTTTTACCAGAGAGGCGTGCGCGCCGGCGCAATGTTGTCGAGAGTACGTCCGACGTGTCGGTGCCGCGCTCGACGCCTGCGCCGCGACGTTCCTCTCATCTACAACGGTGCCGCTCCTGGAATCTGTGGTTGTTGAGCATTTGGTAGCGCCCGCTATTGCGCACGTCGTGGCGAGCGGCGCCGGCGCTCTGTTGGACGAGGCGCTTGGTGGGGACGCGTCGGCCGTGCATGTACTGACGCGGCTCGGCGGCCTTTGTAGACGCGGCGACGCTTTGTGTGATCTGCAGCGGGCCGTGTCGACGCACGCGGCGAAGCTGGCTCGTCAAACGCTGTCGGCGCCGGACGAGCGCGTCGGTTTCGAAGTACTAAAGCTCCTGGACGCTCTGACGACTATCGTCGAGGCGGCCTTCACGATAGAATCTGTGGAGGCGGTCCCGACGGACGTCTGGGACGCCTTTAATCGCAAAGAAGAGACACCTGCGACCTGGGGCGCGAAGTGCGTCGAGGACGCCATGGAAGCGGCGCTCAATGAGGAGGATGAACGCTTCGCCGTCTGCGCGGCGCGCTGCTTCGACGCGACGCTGCGCACTGATAAAACACCGAGCCTGCGCCTCTTCCGGCTGTGTCGGGCCAAGGACGTCTTCGAAGCGACTTATCGAGCGGACCTGGGGTTGCGGCTGCTGGGGCACCTCACCACGAAAACGTCACATGGCGCATTGGGCCGCGAGCACGACGCCATCAAATCTCTTGAAAACGAGTGCGGCGCGTCCTATGTCGCAAAACTCGAAGGCATGTGCGTTGATGCGTTACGGAGCCGCGCCATGGTCAAGGGCTTTGCCCATGCCATCGCGAACCCGACGTTGCTAACAAGGGGGCCCTGGCCGGCCTATCCCGAGTGTACGCTGGTGCTCCCGCCTCTCCTGGCCCGGGCCAAGGTCGAATTTGAACAATGGTACGCGTCGCACCACCAGGGCCGGAAGCTGCACTGGCACTGTGACCTAGGGTCCTGTGCCGTCCAGGCGAAGTACGCAACCGATACGCTGGTGTTGGACGTCGTGCCGGCGCAGGCCTGCTTCCTCTTAGTTCTTGATGATGGTGTTTGTTTATCGCGAGAGGCGCTCTCCACAAAAGTCGGGCTCGACGGCGCCTCTTTTGACACCGTCGCTGCTTCATTAATCGAGGCGCGGCTGATCGTGTGCGAGGATGATGTGTATGAGGCGACCCGGAAAAGGCCTGTGAACGGCACCGTCGCGCCGCCGCGCCACGACGCCGCGGCGCCGCTCCGGGCGCGCGTCGCCGACGCGGTGCGCAAGGACCGCGCGTACGCTGTGGATGCGGCGATTGTGCGCGTCATGAAGGCGCGGCGGACGCTGCCGCAGAAGCGGCTGGTCGCCGACGTGCTGCGCGCGCTCGTGCACCCCGCGGCGGAAGGCGATGTCATGGCGCGCGTGGAGTCGCTCGTCGAGCGGGAGTACCTGGAGTCTTCTTCTCCGGGGGTGTTTAATTATTTACCGTAATGTCCTTGTTAGTCACCAACGCCATCCCGCCGCCGCAGCTCCGCCAGCCGCACGTCGTCCCCGCTCACGAACTCCGCCTCCGCGAAGCGCGCCACCGCGGCGGCGGCGCGCGCGAGGGCCGCCTCGGGGTCGGCCTCGGCGGCGCACGGCCGCGACGCGAAGGTCTTCATGGCCTTCGGGTCGCCGGCTAGATCATTGCGCGCCGCCGCCTGCGCGTCACTAGACAAAAACGCGTCGTACGCGCCGCGGTCCAGATCCAGCAGCGTCGCCAGCGCGGCGTCGTCGCCGGCAGGCACAATGGCAAAAGTAGCGTCGCGCCGGTACCACTTGAGCTGCTCGGCGGCGTAGTTCCTAGATGCCGTGCGAAACTGGCGGCAGAAGGCGACGTAGCTTTCGAGCGACGCGTCCGCTTCCCCAGAAACGCGCGCCTCCAGATAATCCAGGGCCTGGCGGTAGCCGATGGCGCGCGCCGCCGTCGACGACGAAGGCAGCCGCCCCGCCGCTCTTAGATTAGCCGTCTCCTCCAAGAGGCCGCGCGCGAGCATAATGTCGCACCTTTCATCAATAGCGTGGTACAACGCGGTCCGGTCCGCCGGCGCCAGGAACGCGCAGCGCACGTCAAAATCACTTCCCAGGACCGGCCGGCGCGCTTCGACACTCCCGCCGCCGGCCTCCCGATCGAGCTCGATCTCCAGCGCGCGCGACAGGCGGTAGAAGTCGTTCTGCGAGAGCTTCGCGACGCGCGCCGCGCACGCTTCCGAACGCGCAGCAACCGCGCTCAGAGCACTTTCCCAGTCGTCGCCGTACGGTGCTAGGAATTCTTGAGCCGAGGCCGCCGCTGTAGCGGACGCCTTGGGCGCGTCCGGCGCGCCCCGCACGAGCCATTGCGCGTACATCATCGTGCCGCCGACGACGACTGGCAGTTTTCCTCGTTTCACTACATCACCGACCGCCTCGGCCGCGGCGGCGCACCACGCGCCGGCGGACCAGGGTTCTGATGCGTCCGCGACGTCGACCAAGTGGTGGCGCACCCTTTGTAGTTCCGCCGGCGACGGCTTGTTGGAGCCGACGTCGAGGCCGCGGTAGAGCTGCACGCTGTCCGCGCTGACCAACTCGCCGTCCCTGGCTTCGCACAGTCTTAAGGCAGCGCTGGACTTGCCGACGGCGGTCGGGCCCGCGACGACCAGCACGCGCGCCGGCGGGGCCATGGCACTCATGGCGCCGGCCAGCGCGCGTGCTGCGGCAGCCGTGATTAAGACTCGCGCCGTCGTGCAAGGTGATGCATGCACGACTCCTAGGACGCCGTGCACAGTACACTCGTGCAGGTTATGCGGTCATGCGGCTGCTGCTGCGAGCAACAATCGGCTAGCGGCGTAAGACACTAGCAAACTTGCGCGCACGCGTCTAGCGCACGCGAATACGCGAGGCGTCGGATGCGCGTCTGGTCGGTTCCTATTTTTTACACAAGGTTTTACTGCGGCTCCGGCCCGTCGGCTACCTCTAGCCACCCGCGCCCGGCGCCGCCGCGCGACCCGTCACGTGTCCGCTTTACGTGAAGGTCTTCTTCGTCATGATGCCGTAGAACTCGTCCGGCGAGATCTCGCCGTCCTGGTCCGTGTCGGCGCGCTCGATCATCTCCATGAGCTCCGCGTCGGACATGGTCTCGCCGAGCTCCTTGGCGACGCGCTTGAGGTTGCGCAGCGTGATGCGGCCCGTCTGGTCGTCGTCGAAGAGGTTGAACACCTTCTGGATGTCCTCGCGCGTGTCCTTGTCGGACATCTTCGCCGTCATCATGTCGAGGAACTCCTCGAAGTCGATGGAGCCGTCGTTGTCCTTGTCGATGTCGCCGATCATCTGGTAGATGGTCTGGTTCTTGGCCTCGAAGCCGAGCGACTGCATGGCCGCCTTGAGCTCCTTGGGGTCGATCGTGCCGGAGCCATCCGTGTCGAAGAGGTTGAAGGCCTCGCGGATCTCCTCGATCTCCTCCTCGGAGAGGCCGGGGCGCTCGTAGGTTTTCGTGGGACGCTTGGGCATGTTTTTTTACCTGCGAGGCGGAAAGCGGTGAGCGCCGCGGAAGGCTATGCGGTCGGGGGCGCCGCGGCCCCAATAAGGTGGGAGGCGTGTTGGATATACTCTCGACATGGGTGTGAGGGCGGCCCGGGGCGCCGACGGCGGCGCCGCGGCCGCCCTGGGCGCCGCGGCGCCAAGACTGTTTGGCTGCCCCAGTTCCGCCGCGGGCGCGCGGCGGCGCGCGGGCAGCCCCGGCGGGCTTTGGAAGATCATAAGAAAGCTTTTGGCGGGCGGCGCGGCGCCGGGCGGGCGCTTCTCGACGCGGGGGCGCGCGAATTAGCTGTCTCGTGCTGGGGCCGGCCGCTATCTCCTAAAGCTGTATCCCTAGTTAGGGCGGACGCGGGATGACCCTTTATGATCCCTTTATGATACCGTAGTTGTGAGCTAGTCCCTCCTACTCTTCAATATGAGAGAAGAAGGCTATTCACGCCTCCGCGAGCTAGAGAGTCTTTGCATGCTCTCGTTGGCGCTGGTCTCAAAACGCGCCGCACGCCGCCGCCGCGGCACGGTCGCACCACTATTGAAGGCGCACGGACCCTCCGCCTGCATTGGGAACAGGGGGCAGCCTTAGCTCGCACCAATTTGCGTGCCGGGAGCCGCCCAGTGGGTGCCTCCCCGTAGCATTGGGCAGCCATGGGCGCCGGCGCCAGCACGAACCTGGCCTGGGAGCCGTCGGTCCTCGGAGACAGTGCAGCAGAAATAATAAGACAAATTCGTAGTGGCGAGAGGACTTGTGTGGAAATCGTCCAGGCTAGCTTGGACCGCATCACACTACTGGAGACGAGCGAGCGGCCCCTGAACGCCTGCGTCGAGACCCTGGCCGAGAGTGCGCTGGAAGCGGCCCGCACCGTCGACGATAAGGTCAAGAATAAACGACCGCTGGGACCGCTCGAAGGGCTGCCCATCGTCGTCAAGATTAACGTTGACGTCAAAGGAGCGCTGACCACGGCGTCGACGGCGGCTCTGAAGGAGTGGCGGCCGCCATCGAACGCGCCGTGCGTCTCCCGACTAATAGAGGCGGGGGCAATAATCGTGGCTCGAGCGAACATGTGCGAGCTCGCTGTGGGCTTTAGCGGCGCTTCGCCGGTGCACGGCTTGTGTTTGAACCCGCGGAACCCGGCGATCAACGTGGGCGGGTCGTCGTCGGGCACGGCAGCAAGCGTCGCTGCGGGTATCGTGCCCTGCGGGCTTGGTAGCGACACGGGCGGTTCGTTGCGGGGGCCGGCGGCTTTATGTGGTGTTGTTGGGTTTCGTCCTTCCACAGGCCGCTGGCCTTCGAAGGGTGTGGTGCCCGTGTCCGCATTACGAGATACGCCGGGGCCCATCGGCCAATCGGTGGAGGACGTGTGTTTGTTGGACGCGGCGGCCACGTCTTCACCGTTGGTGGAGGCAAAGGACGTGACAGACCTCAAGATAGGCATACCGAGGGACTGGCTCGCCACGGCTCCGAATGGTTGCGATGAGAACGCCCTGGCCGCATTAGATGCGGCTTCTGCAGCTCTACGCAAGAGCGGCGCGCTCGTGGAAGACGTGGACGGCTTCTGCGCCGTGACGGAGACCAGTAGGGATACGTGGCCCGTCCAGGTGCTCCCCGTGCCCTTCGAGAACAACCATAACGACCTACAAACATACATCGAGGCCCACCAGGACGCTCTAGGCTTAGATATAGAAGCTTTACGTCCATTGGATCGCATGGAGCGCAAGCTGTACTTTGCGTCGTTAGATGATGAATCACTGAAACAGATCGCGAGACGAGCGCACTGCGAGAAAGATTGTGTAATGGATCTACTCGACAGTATCGGCACGTTGACGGTATCAAGTATCCAGGACAAGGTCGCTTCTCCACATATCCGCGCGCTGTTTGATTCACCAAAAATACCGCAGGATATTATTGATGAGCGCCTCGGCTTCGCAAAAGACCCGGACCGGCCGATGGCCAAAAACTTAACGGAGCTCAAGAGGTGGGAGTCCGAGGAGCGCGGGCGCCGCTTAGCGGTCAAGGACGAGGAGATCCAACGGGTGATACAGGAGGTCATCGACGAGAAGACGCAGGCTTCACAAAAGGGTGTTGAGGCGCTGGAAAAGGCCTACCGTGCTTTCTTCGCCGAGAAGAACATACGATGCTTACTACTACCTACGATGCCCCAGCCGCCGGGTACCATCAATGACAAGGGCTACGCCGCGAAGGCGTTTACGAACGAGTACCACTGGCTCTTCCATCTGAACGAGATCCCCGTGCCCTCCATAACCCTACCGACGTCCGTCGTCTTCCCGGGGTCCATGATTCCATGCAGCGTGCTGCTTTATGGATTGGATGATGCCGAATTGCTCGGCGTCGCGCGGACGCTCGAGGACGCATTAGGGGGTGTGTCGGACTGGGCGGTGGCGGCGTTCGGCGGGCGGCGGACGCTCGGCGGGGCGCCCTGACGACGCCGTCGACGCGCCCCGCGCCTGAGACGGCGCCGCCGACACGCCCTCCCGAAGTGAACGCCGTCGACGCGCGCCAGTGTTCTGTCGCCCCTGACGAGGCGTCGCGGGCGCGTAGCCCGTGTTCTGTGTACATACTATAAATTTCCGCACCGTTATCTACCTCTAGAAGCCCGATGCCCGCCGCGCGGCGCCAGCGAATCGCGGCGCGAACGAACGCGGCGGCTTTGGCGCCGCGGCCCCGTCGGCTACCTCTAGCCACCCGGCGCCGCGGCGCTCTTTTTCACGCGGCTTACGTGAAGGTCTTCTTCGTCATGATGCCGTAGAACTCGTCCGGCGAGATCTCGCCGTCCTGGTCCGTGTCGGCGCGCTCGATCATCTCCATGAGCTCCGCGTCGGACATGGTCTCGCCGAGCTCCTTGGCGACGCGCTTGAGGTTGCGCAGCGTGATGCGGCCCGTCTGGTCGTCGTCGAAGAGGTTGAACACCTTCTGGATGTCCTCGCGCGTGTCCTTGTCGGACATCTTCGCCGTCATCATGTCGAGGAACTCCTCGAAGTCGATGGAGCCGTCGTTGTCCTTGTCGATGTCGCCGATCATCTGGTAGATGGTCTGGTTCTTGGCCTCGAAGCCGAGCGACTGCATGGCCGCCTTGAGCTCCTTGGGGTCGATCGTGCCGGAGCCGTCCGTGTCGAAGAGGTTGAAGGCCTCGCGGATCTCCTCGATCTCCTCCTCGGAGAGGCCGGGGCGCTCGTAGGTTTTCGTGGGGCGCTTGGGCATGGTTGTTTGTGTCTGCGAGGGTGCGGCGTGAGGGCGGTGTGGCGCCGAGGTGTTTGCTGGGCGTCGGTGGGTGGGTGGCGGGCGTTGGCAGGGTTCCCGGGCCCCTCGCGCGGCTAGGCTAGCCAGGAAGCAGGGTGCTCTCTGGATGGCTGTGCTTTCGCGGCGCGGCTGCTTTTCAGTCGGAGAAGTTGTGGAGCCCTCGTGGAGGTGTAGCTCGAGCTAATGAGGGCTGTGGGCGTGATCGGACGCAGGCGTGTACAGTGCTACAGTCTCCGCGGGCTGTGGGCTGGGAGAGGGCGTTGCAAAACAGGTTTCGGAAAAAGTCCCTCCGTTTGAGACCTCTACGGAGCTCGAACTACTCCATGGACGACGTAGGCACACTTAAGGCCGGATAAAGTTGGCTAAAACTTTTCTAGAGCCCCTGTAACTCTAGCTCGACCTCCTCCCAACCACACGACCCACGCCGTAAAATACATGAATAGTTGTACTGATACATTTTCTGAGGTCCATTTTGCAGTCGCGCACGCGTGAACTGATCGCTGCAATCGATGGCAGTCGTCCGCAGCGCCCTAGTCCACACGACTGCAGCGGCTGCATTCTTGCTGCGGCGTCCTCCGCGGCCATGCGTGCGAATGCTGGCCAGTACGAGTTCGGTAGAGGTAGCAGTGCCAGGAGGCCTGACGCTGCGAGGCACGCGTTACGCCAGCGATGCGAGCGAAGGCGGCCGCTGGCTCCTACTCCACGGCTGGTTAGATAATAGCGACAGCTTCGCAGCGCTAGCGCCGAAGCTCTGCGACGCCGACGGTGCCGCGTTCGCGGACGTCGTGGCTCTCGACCTCGCAGGCCACGGCCTCTCGGACCATAGGAACGGTCCGTATCACGCCGTGGATTTCGCTGCCGACGCCATCTACGCGGCAAACGAACTCTGGGGCGAGGGCTGCCATTTTAACGTAGCGGGACACTCGCTGGGCGGCGGCGTCGCCCTGATGGTCGCGGGCGCGTGGCCGGACCGTATACGACGCGTGGCAGCGATCGAAAGCGCGGGAGCGCTCGCCGGGCCCGCCGCCGATGCGCCGTCGTCGCTGCGGAAGAGCTGCCGACGACCTCCCGTCGGCGGCTCGCGGCGCGTCTTCAGGGACGCCGCCGACGCCGCGCAGCGCCGCGCCGCGAAGAACGTCATGGCCGACGCGCGGTTCACGGAACGCGAAGCGCTCGTGCTGACGGCGCGAGGATTAGAGGAGGTCGACGGCGGCGTCCGCTGGCGCACGGACCCCTGGCTGCTGCGACCGTCCCGGCTCCGCCTCGACCCGAGCCAGGGCCTCGCCTTCGCGCGAGCGACGACGGCCCCGGCACTGCTCGTCCTCGCGAAGGACGGCGGCTTCGCGCGGACTGGGCGATTCGTGGACCCGTCGTCGTGGTGGGTGCGCGTCGGCGCCGCGCTCGCCGCCCGCGTCCGCCCCGGCGCCGCGTCGTTCCGAGGCCTCGGCGGCGCCGCGACGTTGGCGGACCTGTCCGCGCGGATACGGGCGCTGCGACGGCGTACGGTTGTTACTCTGCCCGCGGGCGGGCACCACGTCCACTTGAGCGAACCCGACGCTGTGGCGGACGCGTTCGTCGCGTGGGCGAACGGCGGCACCGATGTGTACGGTGCGCTCGGCGCGTAGTTAATTGTTTTCCAAGTCTTACCCAAGGAGACCCCTAGGACTAGATGAGGAACCGCTCGTCGACCATGGACGACTCCGCGATGTTCCGCGCCGAGTACGCCTCGCAGACCAATCTAATGAAGTGGTGCAGCAGGAACACCAAGAATATCGACAGCGTCGTGTTCCGGAACCAGATGTCCGCGACCGCAAACGTCAATATTTCTTGGACCAGCAGCTCCCAGTCGTGGCCCAGAAATAAACATTGCGTGAATTGCAAATCTCCTTCCCCAAAAAACCAGCCCTTGTCCGGTTGCAAGATGACGCTTCCGTCCGCCGTCGGGGGCGGCCCCTTGCCCATGATGCGGTCGAAGGTGTCCGGTCTAGCTGCCTGCCAATCGAGACCATGGGACTCCGCGAAGCCGTGCTGGAAGAACGTTCTCACGAAGGCTCCCACGCGAGAGGCGCCCTGGATCCGCCGAGCCTTCTCCTGTAAATCAGTTCCACCGAACAACACGTTCCGCCTTCCCAATCTCGCTTGCCCGAGCGGCGGAGGCGCCGCGTTCTCCCGGGATACCTTCGCCGCATGTAACGCCTCAGCTCTTTGTCTTCGACGCTCATCAGCCTCCGTAGCAGGCCCTCTTCTACGAGAGTCGCGGGAAGCGATCCTACGAGTAGCTTCCCTCGCGGCTACGTCGGCCTCCGGGTCAGGTAATTCTAAAGTTTTGTCCATCACCCTATCCTGGACGTTCCGCCAGGCCCTCCTAAAAGCCGGCGACAGCCAGAGCTGGAAGACGTGGGCCTCGGGCATGTCCGGCACGAGTCGCGCTTGTCCACCGGGATCCTCCAATAAGTGATTACTGAGTTGCGCCATCGTGTCGTCGGCGTGCTCGTAGGCCGCATCCCCATGGACGTACCAGCCGTGGTACTCCGCGTCTAGTACCAAGACTGATACCTTGGCTACGGTACATACATCTATGAAGGATTGAGCCTCCGGCTCCGACACAAAGCGCTGGTAGATGAGGTAGTTCCAGAGCCACTGTATAAAAGCTAACGCGAGCCAAAAAAACGTCGTATTGACAAATCTAAGAGCGATGTTGTGGTGGCCCGGCGTGAAATCGTTGCGATCTATTCTAGGTCTCGCAGTGGCATTGTGTTCTAATCCTAAACCAACCAGGAAGAACCCGAGCCAGAAGAGGATGAAGTGGACCGACGTTCTACGAGTCGTCTGGAGCTCGGCCCACTCGTTGGCGACGAAGATCGACCGCCAGGCACTGATAGGAAACGGGCTCTGCGGGTCCGGCGCGCGCGCGGGCTCCCAGTCCACGAAGAGCACCTCCATGGTGCACTGCTTGTAGACTAACTGGAAGACCACTAAAGTTTGCGTGACCCACAGACTTATTATGAGTGTACGCACGCCTGTGTGGGAACGATGTGAAGTTCGGAAACGTTTTGATAAAGGACGCCGCGTCCGCACCCCAGTACTCGAAATCTTTACCATCGTGTCTATTTTCCGTCGGGAGTAATGCGTAGGCCGTCGACTGCATCTTGAAGAAGACGAACCAATAAGAGCAGAGGCAGAAGCACAGCGGGAAGAAGACGTGCACGAAGAGCCTTCCTAGTAGCAATAAAATGTTGAATAAATATCCTAAGGTGAGTCCACCGGACGGCATATTCGCCGAATCGACGGCGTGGTTCCGTCGCTGGTACTGGCCCACGGACCAGAGCCACCAACAACCAACCACCGCTACAAAAAAGTAAATGAAGCCTTTGCCGACGCGCCAGAACCTGGACGAGCTCATAGAGTACTCGACCTCGAACTCAACCTTCGTCTGGGCCATCTTGTAGCCCTCCTCTATTGCTTCTCTTGTGCGTTCTCTGTACTTTAACTCTAAGATAGGTGTGTAGATCGAGGAGGCGTATCGGCCACTCGCGACAATCCTCAAAGTGATCTCCACCGCAAACCGCAGCAACTTCGGCTTATGAGCATCTTCATAGTACTTCGCGTCTCTGCCAGATAACGAATCGAATAAGGTAAATCTACGAACGAATATATCGTCGTCGCCGTCTTCTGTTCTGCCATTTTTGTTCACGGATTGCGCGTCCCTGCTTCTCAAGGCTTTGTTGAGGACCGGGACGGGTATGAGGCACTCCTGCTTTTCTTCTCCGTCAAACGTCGAACAGCCGTCTCTAGCCATATCGACCAGATACAATTCGTAGAAGACCGGATCTTTTGATTGCAACAACTTGAGGTCGCACTTGAAGTTGTGCCGCACGCTGTAGCCGTATCTCAGCCAGGACGTATCTGAGGCGGAACCACCTCCGGAACCCGTCCGCGGCGCGTCCATGCCACAATAAAAAAATTGCGTCGATAGAGCCTCAAAACTGACGAGTGTACCATTCATGGCGTAGGAAGCCAACCTCCACCTCAACTTGTGCTCCCCGGTCTCTTGTCCTCGAAACGACAGGGCCATCTGTACAGATGGGTCCTTCCTTAATGTCAAACCATCTCTCACTTGCACGCCCCCATCCCGCGTGTACGCCAGCCAGGGCATCTGCTTGTGCATGCCCAGGTTGTTGATCGACGCGCGGTCCCGCATGGTGTCGTGGAACGCTTCGCAAGCGACTGACGAAAGGTCGTACTGCGTGAGCACACACAGGTTCGCGAGCGCCTGGCAGGCCTCGTCTGAGACAGGGGTGTTGTCGTGGTATCGACACTTCGTCGCGGCTCGAGCAAAGTGGTGCTGGACGAGCATGCTCTCCACATGATCGACATCAGAAGCATCTCCATTATGCTTCGCCTGGACGTTGCTATATCTTATATTCGACGCGGCACTTTCCGGGTAGACGGCAATCGTGTCGTCGTGCTGTAGAGCGTCTATACAGCTTTGGGGACCCACGGCCGCGACTCCAACCCTAGCACCAGTAGTGCACGTACAGGCCTTCTCCGCTTGACTATAAGCCATGTCACCATCGGGGCACGTCTGGCATTCGTAGGGCGACGCTCTATAGAACTGGCCCGAGACGTGTGTATCTGATAAGGTGATAAATTGGCCGGCCGGGCAGGCCTCGCACGTGTTTTTTATTACATTTCCGGACGCGTCTCTCTCCACGAGTCTCTGATTGGCAGCACAAGACGTCACACCTTTCGTGCAGTTCGACGAGTCGGACAGGGACGTGACGGCGCACGCCTCGCACCGCAACGACCGGCACGTGCCGTCCGTGCCCGCCTCGTCCGCGCACTCTTCGGTGGTTTGCGTGAAGCCCACGGGGCAGCGGCAGTTGAGCGCGTTGCCGTGTGCATCGACGTGGCGCGCGTCTCCGATGAGGTGCACGCCGGTGACGTCGTCGCCCATGACACTACAAGGCATGCAAGCGAGCTCGATCGTGTCGAGGAACTCATTCGCGGCGCAGCGGATCGTCGCGGGGTCGCGGATGACCCAGTCGTGGGCCTCGTTCGCTCCGGTTAATGCCGCGAGGGCGAGCAAGATGGTGGGGGCCAGCATTTTGCGATGCCCGAGGCGCGGCGGCTGGCGTTTTGGGCTGCCTGGTTCCAACCTCCCAACTTGTCGCAACGATCGCGCGACGAGGCGGCTGCCGTTTCGCTTTGACGGTGAGCAGTGGCAGCGCGTTTCCTTGAACCACAGGTTCGAGCGTCCGGAGCCGCGCGCACCGCCGGCAAGCGCGCGATGGCAGGTGCGGGCCGGCACAAATTGGAAAAAAGGGGGGGTCCCGGTGGGGCGCGGTGGGATCGGCGAGGCGTCCCGCCAGGCCTTGCAGGCTGCCCAGTCGATGATCGGGAGAAATATGGCGCGACACAGGAGCGTACGGGGTCTGGAGCGCCGGCCACACTGCCGGCCACACAGCTCCACATTGGGCAGCCTTGTGCTGCGCTTTCTCGCGTCCGCGTGGCCGCAGGATACTCCTTTGCATCCCTGCTCCACCCCTGCGACAGATCCTAGATGGGCGGCGCCTGCACGACACCGCAAGAGGTCGAGTACGAGGTCGTGCTGCACACGTACAATGCATGTACAGGCCCGGCCCAGGCTTTCCTCGGCTTGCTGGGCGGCGGCGGCGCCTACGTCTCGGGCATTGAGGTCGGCGGCGCCGAGTACTCGTTCGATGATCGGGGATGTCATCAGACGGAGCCCGGCAAGCCTGCCTCGAGCGCCGCGGCGAGCGAGAAGGAGCGACGGGTCCTGGGCAGTGCAACGATGACGCCGGCGCGGCTGCGAAAGATCATTCGCAGCGTCCAGCGCGAGTTCAAGCCGGCGAAGGAGCAACGGACGCCGTACACGTACGACCTCGTGTCGCGCAACGGCAATCATTTTTCTACGGCGCTGGCCCTGGCGCTGGGTGTGGACCCGCCGCCGCCGTCCCTCAACGCGCTCGCGAACACAGCGAATATGGCCGCGAACCTGCTGGGCTCCCTCGCGGGCCAATTCGGCGGCGCGATGGGCCAGGCGTCCGCGAACGCGCAGACGCCCAACGCCGTCGCCGTGCCGATGCACGCGCCGGTACCCGTGGCGCAGGGGATCTCATAACACTAACTTATACAACATCGAAACAACGGGCCGGGCGGGAGCTGCCCGAAACCGGCTGCGTAGGCGCCGTCGAACGAGAATTGCTCGTCGCTCGCGTCGCCGTCGAAGCGGACCGCACCGGCGTCGATTGGTAAAGGGCGGAACGCGACGTCGGCGCCGCCGTCCCAGCTCGCGGCCTCCAGGCGCTTGAGCTGATCCACGAATTGCGAGCGCGTCGGGCGGCACGGGTCGAGCACGAGTCGCGCCGTTGCGCGGCTCGCGGCTACCGCACCCGCCGTCGCCTTGGCCAGCGGCGTCGAATAGAACGTGTCGCACGCGACGACGAGGTCGAACGGGCCGCGCGCGCGCACGAGCGCTTCGACGGCGGCGGCGTCGGAAAAATCTAACTTTTCGACCGCGAAGCTAAGATCCGGATTCGCGTCGCGGGCCGCCCGCAACAACCGGAGGCACAGCTCCGAGGCGTCCGTGGCGATGACACGCGCGCCGAACTTCGCCGCGGCGAGGGCCGTGAGACCCGTTCCCGCGCCGAGCTCGAGGATGGACAGCCCGCGGAGGCCGCCGCGCCGGGCGTTCGAAAGCCGCTCAAGCGCAGAGATCGCGGCGACGCCTGCAGGCCAGACGACGGAGCCCACGGGCTCAACGTCGCCGTCCAACGCGCACGCAACCATTGCCTTCTCGTCGTCCGCGTTGAACCAAGTAAGTTGCGCCCCGTTGCGCAGCGTAGCAGTGAGCCTCCGCAGCGGTACTGCATTTGTAGCGGTCCATTGCTGCATGTCAGTGCACAGCCAAGGCGTTGGCCAGATCATACGCGTCGCCAGCGCACGCGCACCGACTCCTGCGTCCCCCAGGCCACTGCTTGGCAGCTATGCCGATCACTGCAGCCAGAGCCACGCCTAATACTGCCCAGAGCCTGCTTGCTAGTATCTACGCCGCTAGCCACGCGGGATTACGAACGCGCGGGAGCCCTGGAAGCCGCGGCCTGGGACTCTGGGCTAGGCTAATAGACGCACTAGAAACGAAAACACAGTCCCCCTCCTTACACGAGAGCGTCTCAGATCGAGGGGATTTGCGGCGCCGGCACGGGAGTGTTGTAGGAGTCCGTCTCCGCGTTGGCTTCGGCGGCCGCCGCCTCCCTTAACTTGCCCTGGCGGACCCATTCCGCCGGGGCCACGTCCTCACGTAATAAGAACAGCAAATACGGCGCCCGCGACGCCTGGGACACCTCGTCGTCGTCCCTGACACCAACGGTGGCATCGTTAAACAACCGCCAGCACCCATCATCCCTAGAACGCGCGTACGCGGTATAATGCCCAAATTCGATGGTCCCGAAGTGGTTCACGACGGCACATAAGTAGTACCTCGTCGACGGCAGTTCATCACTCTCATTCTCAGCCGCTCCAACATACTTCCCAATGTCTATCGGGATATTGCTAGGTACGGCCACGGGCGTTTCGAGTTTCGCCGAGTGGTACCCCAGCATCTCAAACCGCTTCAAGTGCAACACGAGCACGGGCGGGTTCGGCGCCGCCAGTCGCAACCGTTTGACCGCTCTCACGCGCTTCTCGCACCCCGGGCACTTCCACGCGTCGGCCGTATCTAACCGCTCCTTCGACGCGAACAACTTCAGTAATTTGTCGACAGTTAACGGCGTCTCGGACGGCTCCGACGGCCGCGCCGCGTCCTTGGCCAACGCCTCGACGCGATCGCGACTCCCGTCGGGGTTGCCCGCGATATAATCACATGATCTAGCGTCTCTCCATTCACATCTGAGATACTCGACGGAGGGCTGGCAGGGGTTGTTCCTATCGTTCGAATAGAGCAGCGGGAGGTCGCCCCACCGCCTCCGGCGCGACGGCCACCCCGAGTAGTAATTCAAGTTGTCCTGCAAATCATCCTCCTCCTCTTCCGACGACTCGTCGTCGATCTGCGTATTCGTCAGGCACCGCATGCGGTCGTCGGACAGGTACCGCCCGTCCTTGTCCGTGCGGAAAAACAACACCGGGGCGCGCGGCGGCGGCTGGTCGTAATAATTGTCCCGCTGCCAGTGTCTTGAGGAAGAATTACGTTGCGGGCTCGGCGATCTGGAGGACGAGGCGTCGTCGTCGGCGTCGTCGTCGTTCCCGTAGCGATACCTTTTGGTAAGACCCGCTACTTCATCATCGTACGAATTAGATACGCCGGCCGTGTTCAACCCCGCGCGCTTCTTCTGCCTTCTGTTCCGCTCCGGCGAGTCGTCCGCGTAGTAGTCGGCCGTGCCTGCGCGGGGCTCAAAATCGAAAAAGAAACCACCCACCGCCATGATTCTAGGAAACGAGTCCCAGCAACAAAGTGAAGGCACCGCAACACCTCAAAACGCCGAGACCGTGCCCCCCTTCAACCCCGAGTCGAACTCCCCATACCGGCCGTCGTCCCAGCTCCGTTCCCGTTCGTCATCATAATCATTATCTCTATAGTCCGAGCGGTAGGACTGGGTCCGACTCCCGTAGGTCTGCGTGTCCTGCTGCGGGCTCCACTCGGGGGCGTCCTGGCCCCACGACTCTCGCGCGGGCGTCGGGGACCGGTTCACGTAGTAACTCGTGTTCGGGTCGTAGCCGTTCGACCCGTCGAGACTATCGTCGACGTCGGCCGCATCGGATCGTTGCGACTCCTCGTCGTCGTCCGTCTCGTTGGCGATCCTTCTCCTCCTAGATCTTTGGACGGGCCGCGGTTGGCCGCGCTGCTGCCAGGGAGCCACGTCCTGGCGACGCGCCGGGATTTGGTACGTCGCTGGTTGAAAATGAGAAGATCTCTGCGCATAGGGCTGCCGCCCGTAGTTGTAGCGCGGCGGCTCCTGGTGCGCCTCGGCGTGGTATTCTTCCCGCGTCAGCATCGTGTAGAGCAATTTGTAGGTCTGGCGCTCATTCGGTCCCGGGTTGCCGTCCCGGAAAGATCGAGGCATCGTTACTAGGGTCGGCGTGCCTCGTAAAGGGTGCCGATGTCTATGATAGCCGTCGTCAGGCTCGTCCGACAGCTTGTGGTAGAGCACGATGCCTATGGAAGCTGCGGGTCGAGCCGTTTCTCTTCGCGGCGGATCCGCATCTGAGTCATCCTCCTCCTCCGGAGGCAGCTGCTGGTTCCAAGGAGAAGGCTCCAAGGGGTCCTCTCGATTCCCAGCCGCCCAGGCCACGACCGTCCCGCACTGGTCCACACAGCCCACCAAGCGCGTGGGCGTACCGTCATCCCCGCCACACACCCGCAACGTCATGGGCACCATGGTCACGGCGTTCCGGTCCGGCCGCTGGATCCACCGGATAGGCGACACGCGAGCTTCTCTTGTTGTACTATCGTAGGTCCCTTCACACGAATAAGCGCCTTGCTGGCCGTTTCCGGTAATAAAGTCGAAGATGATCTTCACGTCCGCGTTCGGTAGGGTACTTTTCGGAGGAGGTTCGGGCCGCTTCTCGTCCTCGTCTTCACTGTCAGTATGGTGCTTCTCCTCCTGGACGGGCTCTTCCTGCTGTGTTGGTGGTAGTAGACTAACACCAGTAACTTCAAATCTGCAAGCTCGAGCCTCCTTCGAGCAATTGTACTCGCCGTAGTACGTCCCCCCGACGTTAAATACCGCAGTAGCTAGCAATGGAGATTCTTTTCTTGCATCTTCCCTGTTGTGGTAACCCTGCACCCTATCGTCATAAGGGACGCATAGTTGTCTCCTCCATAAAGGTTGCCGCGCCGTCCACGGGTAGTACGCCTGCGGGTCGCTCACTTCGTACGCGACGACGTCGTCTTGTTGCGTCACCTCGTCGACGGGGTCCGTCGCGCAGAAGAAGCGGTGGACCTTGTTCTGCCAGACATCTGCCAAGATCAATTTGTTCCACGGGACGCCACTACTTGCTGAGGTAGCGTGTAGCAATTCGGAGATGGGCGCGTCCCTTCTTACCAAGACAGATTCAAAGGACGTCCGCGAACCTTGATGGGCGAGCGAGCGCTCGACGCGCACCGAAACTCTTCTCGGTGGCGGCTCCCCCTGGGATCTTCGTAAAGGTAAAGACACACAAACGAACTGCTCGTGCGTCACGGACTGGTGCCGGCACTCGTCGCAGACTAGTTCGGACGCGAACTTGCCTCCTAGTAACTCTTCTATCCTTGAATCGGGAGGGGGCGGTTGCTCATCATCGTCGTCGTCTTGCGGACGTGGCGAGGCGGTCTCCGTCGCCGGTGTTACTGGTGCTTGAACGTCATTCAACAGTTCTGTGGTAGGCGACATGGGTTGGAGTGCCCGCATCGCGGCTTGCGCCGCGGCGGCCGCCTCGTCGTCGAGCCGCCGCTTCTCGCGCTCCTTCCGCCGTCGCTCGACCATCCGCCGGCGCTCCCTGACCAAATTCTGGTCCTCGTGCAACCCATCTAGGAGAGCCGCGAGAAACTCATGAGCGTCGTGTTGAGCATAGCCCTGGAAGTCCGGCCGCCAGCGCGCCATGACCTTCTTCATGTGCGAGGGCTTCACGGCGTATGGTGACGTTCCTGTGGTCAACTCTGTGGCGAGTTGGGAAAAAGCTTCGGAAACTTTCCCTTTTGAACCCATCGAATTGTACCGCGCGAGGCGGTCCATGTAGGGTGCGGGCGGCGGGGGCGGCGGCCCGTAGACCGTGCCCGCGGCTTGGGCTGCTTCCACAATTCGACCAGCGTTGACGAGCGAGACGACGTCGGTGTTTTGCACTTGCTCCGACGCGGTCATGAGCGCGGCCATGCCCCCCACGCCCGTCGGCGAGTTGACGCGTGCTAGCGGCCTTCGCGACGGCGGCGTCGCCGGGACCTCTTGCGTCAATGGTTGGCTTCTTGGTGGCGTCCCGGGAATGACATTGTCAACAGAAGACCCGCGCGGTCTCGCTGTTAAACCTGGTGGCGTCCTCGGACTTATAGTAGCGTGGTGCTCCGGGCCGTCGCCCAAGGATCCGAGGCTCCCCATCGAGTCCGCGCGCTCTCGTTGCGTGTCGGGGGCCACGTAAAAGTCCCGGAGAGGCGGGACATGCACTAAAGCTTGGAGGACCGAGTTCATGTAGCACGTGTTGCCCAAATTGCACAGTCCCGTGGCGTCGCGCGCGGGCCGCTGGCCTCGTCTCCTCTTGCGCCGGGGCGGGCTCCCGCCGTAGGGGCTCCGCGGCGCGCCGGGGCTCCGCGGCGGCGCCGGGGACCGCGGCGCGTTCGGCGAGGCGGGGTACATGTCAACAGTGTCGCCCGCGCCGCCGCGCTGGGCCTAATTCTCTGTGGCGCTCTCCGCAGTGATTGCGGCTTCTGCTGCGACGCGGCGTGCCCCGTTTTCGCAGCACAGCTACCAGCCGACAGCACAGGCCTCTACCAGCCACTTTTTGGCTATTTTGCTGCAGCAAAAGCCGCGCGCCGGCGATTTTGACCCCAGGAAAACCCGTGAATTTTTTTATTTGAAATTGAGTTCTCCCCCACGCCCGGTTTTGGCCCTCGGAAGCCGTTCACCACACCTCCACAAGAATCCAAGTTAACTCACAGCTCCCCGCCGCCGCCCCCGACGGCCTCCGAGTGCGCCGCGACCTCCGCCGCGACCAGCTCCCGCAGCCTCTCCGCGAGCGACCCCGGCGCGGTGTCGAAGGCGCGGACCAAGTCGCCGCGCGTCGTCGCCGCGCCCTCGGCGGGCCGGTAGAGCTCGTCGACCGGCAACAACAGGCGCGACGTACTCGATATCAGGCAACCCTCCCACCGGTCCACATCTTTCAGGTCCGGCGCCTCCAACACCACAGGAATGCGCTCCCGCTCGCACACCTCGAGCGCGAGGCGCCGCACCGTGCCCATCAGAATACCTTCGCCCGCCGTCACCACCTTACCATCGACGATAGCATAAAAGTTCGTCTGCGACCCCTCCAATATTTTTCCCTCATCGGAAAGGAGTAACTCATTGATCGGCGCGTGCGCCTCCGCCTGCAGTTTTTCTAGAGGCGCCCGCGCCGAGACCCAGGCCGAGTCCTTCGCCGCGGCGTTCGCGCGCGGCGCGCCGCGCGTCTCGACGCGCACGGGCTTCGACGGTATAGGTGGTAACGGGGACGCGTGCGCCGCGACCGTCGTCTCACCATCATCATCCCACGACACCAAAAACGTGAGCTTGAGCTCTTCGCCCCCATGGGTCGCACGGTAGGCGTCGACGACGGCCCCGGCGGCGCCGTCGAGCCTACGTCGTAGTCTCGCCGGGTCCACTAAATCTACTGCGTCGCCGACGGGCGCCATCTGCCGGATGCTGTCGGCGGTGCGCTGGACGTGCGCCGACCACTCGAAGACCTTGCCCGCATGCGTTCTTGCGGTCGTATAAGCGCCCGACGGCGACGCCTGCAGCCAGGCTTTCGCCGTCTGGGCCGTCGGTTTTGCAATGCTCTCGATGGCACTGACAAAGGGCTGTGCGGTCGTAGTCATGGCTCTCGCACGTGTCGTGAGGAGTGATAACATGAGCACACGCATCGACAACGCTGCCGATTGACAGCTTTAATGCTGTGTAAGGCCAGCACAACCGGCCCAAGCACCAGCTCAGGCTAGCGTCCTGTAACATACTAGCGAAGCACGGTTATTGCTGGCTGCTTGGGCTTGCGTAGGGCGCAAGGGGCCCTAAGGAACGTAACAGGCATACGCAGTAGCCACATCGATACGGCGCCACGGCGTAGCGGGACCGACATGGCCCAATGCGTCGTCTGCTCGGAAGACATCGACTTAGCCGCAGCCAAGTCTTTTCCGTGCTGCGACGCGCTCTACTGCGACGCGTGCCACGAGGAGACGGCGGAGGGCGGCACCTGCGGCGAGTGCTTCGCGGACCTCACTGCGGCGGCCGCGCCACCGCCGCCGCCCGCCGACAGCACGCCGCAGCTCGCGCCAGCGATGCGTCCGGTGACGCCGACGGTATTCGCCGTCGCCCCGAAGCCAACACTGGTAGCTCTCGGCACGCCGTCCGATTGTGGTACGCCGAACCCACGCGTATCAGGCACGCCCGCGCACGAGCGCCTCGCGGGCGACCTGCGCCGCGTCGTGCTCCGGAAAGTGGACGGCAACTCGCCGCGGTCCTCGCCGCCACCCGTACCGTCGCCCAAGATCGTCACCGCGTTGCAGTCGGGGGCGCTAAGGCCGACGGGCAGCGACGCGACGCCGCGGACTGCGACGGTGAAACGCTTCAACGACGCGGAGAAGGCGCTTCAACGAGCGCGCGAGACGGCCGCGGCCGCCCAGGCGGTGCAGGAGGCTGCTGTTAAGGAGACCGCGGCGCGGCGACAGGCGGCGGAACGGGCGGCGGCCGCGCGCTCGAGAAATGAAGCGCGCATGCCGCCCCGCCGCTCGACGTCGCCGCGCGCCCGGGCCCCGAGCGCCAAATCGCCGCGGCGCCGCTCGAAGTCGCCGCGGCGGTCGTCGGTAGACCTCGAGGCGGGCCCGACCGTGGTGAAGCTGAAGACGGCCGTGGCCGAACTGTCCGAGGCGAACCGCAAGCGGACCACGGGCCCGAGGCCGCGGCGGTCGCTCTCGCGGCGCCTCGCCGTACTGCTCGCGGGGTTGTTGTTCTTCGGCGCCGCGTCGTTCTACACCGCCGCGAGCGTCCTCGAGGCGCCCTCGAATCGGAGCGCCGTGCCGCCGCCGCGCAAGCGCACGTCGCGGCGCTACTTGGGGACGAACTCCTCAAAAAAGAAGCGGCTGCGGGGCGCCGCTTAATGTCACACATTACGTAAACACGTGCCCCTGGTCGTCGCGCTCGCCCCGCCGCAGCTCGTCCACGAGCGTCCCGTCGCGCGCCGCGGCGAGGACCTGGCCCGCGCGCTTCACCACGTTCTTGTCGAGCGTCGCGTCGTCGTTCGCCGCCGCGAGCGCGCCGCGCGCGGCGTGGTAGAAGGCCGCCTCGAGGCCGCTGCCCACTAAAGCTCGCGCCTGGCGGTAGGTGTGCAGGTCCGGCTCGACCAGCAAATCCACGAGGGCTTCTTTGCGCGTGCGCGGCGTCTTCGGCGTCTTCGCGCGAGAAAGCCGCGTCGCCACGAAGGAGCGGACGTCGTCCTCTGGTGCTCTCAACTCGTCGTCCCGGCCTTGTGGCAGGGTCGAGGACGGTGTCTTCTTCGGCCGCGCTCCATCATTCTGGATGGAGCTCTCCTGCGCCGCGAGCCACGAGTCGGCGATGTCCGCCGCGGCCCGTGCGTCCGTGCGCCGCATCGGCGTCGCCGTCGTGCGCGCCTCCAGCTCGTCGAGGGCCGCGCCCGGCGGCCGGGGGGGCTTGCGCGCGGTCCGCGGGCCGCCGAGCAGGTCGTCGTCGTCGGACGAGTCCTCGCCCCGGCGCTGGATCACGGGCGCCCGGGCCGCGGCGGCCGCCGACGCGGCGCGGAGGGCGCCGGCCGTGCTGCGCGCCGCCGCGGCCGTCGGGTGCGCGCGCCGCGCGTCCGTCACCAAACCATCTATATACATCGCGTCGGCGGCGTCGGCCGCGCGCTGGCGCCGCTCCTCGCCCGTCAGGGGCGGGCCGCGCGGCTCGCGGCGCTGGCGCTCGCGCGTCACGCTCGCGTCCTCGAAGGCGACAGGCGCGGTAGCGCCCGCGGCGGCCTCGGCCCGCGACGCCGCGTCGGCCGCGGCCGCCCAGAAGGCGTCGTCGTCGTCGTCCGTCGGTGGTGGCGGTTGCGCCCGGCGCGGCGGCTTTGGCGCGGGCGGCTTTGGCACGGGCGCCCGCGGCAGGGGCGGCATCGGCTTTCGCCGCGGCGGCGCCGGCGGCGCCGGCTTCGGAGGTGACAGGGCGGCCGGCGGCGGCGACAACGCGGGCGGCGCGGGCGGCGCCACGCGCGCGGGCGCGGCGAAGTTCCGCGGCGCCGCCGGCTGGTCCGCCGCGCCGTCGAGCATGGCGTCGATGAGGGCCGCCTGCTCGGCGTCGTCCGCGACGGGCGCCGCGGCCGGCGGCAGCGCGTCTTGCGCGGCCCAGGCGTCCTGACGCGGCGGCGCCTCGTAGCCGCCGCCGTCGTAGCGCGTCCCGGCCGGCGGCGGCGCCTCGTCGTCCGACGCGTCCGAGTCCGACCCGAGCCAGGAGTCGTCGAAGCCGCCGTCGCAGCGCTCGACGACGCGCGACGTCCGCACGGGCGCGTCGGGCGGCGCCGCGGCCCAGCCGCCCGGCCGCGGCGGCGGCGGCGCGTCGCGCGGGCGCACGCCGTAGTTCCGGCCCGCGAGGAAGGCGAACGGCTTCTTTTCTTCCGAGGGTTCGTCGTCCTCCGCCTCCGCCTGAACGGGCGCCTGAGCAACGGGCGCGGCGGGCCGCCGGAACTGCTTGAAGCGCTTCGCCGGCTTTGGAGCCAAAGGCGCGGCCTTGCGCCGGGCCCGCGGCGGCGGCGGCGGCATGGGCTCGTCGCGCTCCTGGACGCAGCACGTGACGGTGCCCGGGAACTTGAGCTTGAGCTCGTCGTCGCAAGTCCGATCGCCGCCGCACCAGCCCAGGGCCTCCAGGGCTGCTTTTTGGGCGGCGGTGAGCACGAGCGACTCGCCTATTTTACTTCCGTTCTCGTCCCTCAGGATCGCGAGGCGGTTCTTGACGTGGAGCGCGCCGTCCTCGTAGGACCAGTTTGACTCTTTCTTGGTATCTTTCAGCGTGTAGGTGCAGGGAATCTGGGCCTCGGCCATCGCGGCGTCGGCGTCGCTTTTGAGCTCAAATAAAGGCAGCGCAAAATCGATCAAGCGCGAGCGGAGACTCGCTATAGATGGCGGAACTGGTCGGACGGTGACCTGGCGCAGCGCAAGGTACTGTAGAAAACCCCGTGGCACTGCTGGGGCCGTACTCTGCCATGCGCGCCGCGCGCGGGGACCGATTTTTTTGCTGGAAAACGGGTTTTACTCGAAAAATCGACGAGTACTCGCGGGTTTCTACGTCGACAGCGTAGACGAGTAGATACACACAACAAACGCCACTTAACCCCGCGCCCCCGTGATCGGGTTCATCGCGCGCGGCCCGACGAGGCGCGCGACGGCGTCGCGGGCGGCGCCCGTCCTTGCCACGCCGAGCGACCGCATGGCGAGGCCGACCTTGAAGGCCGGGTCCCGGAAGACGCGCTCGTCCGTCAATCCTGTCGTGTAGCCGGTCTTGTCGGCGGCCGTGCGCTGGTCCGCGCGCTGGGCCTCGACCGCGGCGGTCGTCTTGGTCACGTCGCTCTCGATGGTCGAGATGGCCTCGAAGTAGGGCACGGTCCGCGCGAGGGCCTCGAGCGCAATCGCTCTAGCTTCGTCGGCCTTCGCGAGGCGCTCGAGGGCCTGCTCCTTCTCCGAGCGTTGCGCCTCGCGCACGCCCTCGCGGTATCGAGCCCGTTCCGCGCCTTTCTTGGCCTGCTCTCGTTGGACGCGCTCGCGCTCCTTGCGCGCCGCCGCTTCGACGAGCTTGCGCTCCGCCTCGGCGCGGAACTGCTCCGCGCGGTATTGTAAAATAGCGTCCTTCGCCCGGCGCTGCGCCTCCCTTTCGATAGCCTGCCGCTCGGCCTCCTGCTCCGCTTGTAGAGCGTCGCGCAGCTCGCGTGCCACCGCCAACTTCTGATCCCGGACCTCGCGCTCCGCCCGCAGCTTGTCGACGCAGGCGTGGAGCGCGCGCTGGCGCCGGCCCATCTCGTCGTACAAGCGGTCCTTCGCCACTTTGTCGACGTGGTCGCGCCGCGCCGCCTCCAACCGCTCGGCGCACTTGACAACAGAGTCCGCGCGCCAGGCCTTCTGCTCCCGCTTCCATACAGCTTTCTCCCGCGAATGGGAGGCCACGGCGTCACCACGCGCCACGTGCTTGCGCAGCGCGTCCTCGGAAAACTGGGGCAGCACGAGCCTCAGTGCGTCGATCTTCTTCGACGTTTGCGTCTCGAAGAGGGCGTGGGCCGCGTCGTCCCAGGGCCCTCGGCTATCGAGCGCGTCCGACCCGTCGCCGATGCTCGCGAGGGCGTCCCGCAATTTATCGTCGATGCGCCGCCGCTTCTCGCGATCGTCGTCGCGCCGCGCCGCCCACGTCTCACGCAGCTCCTCGGCGACCGGCGCGAGGAACGCCTCGTCGTCGCCGACGCGGAGCACTTCCACCAGCTCGTCGTCGCCCCCATCATCCTCGCGGAGCGTTGAATTCATCGTCGCTACCGCTTCCTCGACATCGCGCCTGGCTTCAACCTCCTCCTCCGCCAACGACGCCCCTTTTGACGCGTGCGCCTGGCGCGCGTCGACCATCATTCGAGCCACGATCGCCGCCGCGCGCCGTTTAGCTTCAGCCTGGTCGTCGTCCGAGGCTTGCGCGAGGCACGCGACCATGGTCCGGAGCTCGTCGATCTGCGAGAGGTCGTCGCGCGGGACCATGGCTTTTTCATCATCGTCAAACCGCCGCGCCGCCTGGGCGAGCGCCGCGTGCTGCTGCATCCACGCCGCGCGGCCGGCGTCGAGGCGCGCCGCGCGCTTGTGCCGGCGGCGCGCCGCGTCGAGCCTCCCGAAGGCGCTCGCGAAGCGGTCCTCGCCCTCGCCGCCGGCCGCCGCCGCGGCCTCGATCAGGGCGCTCGTCGAGCCGCGCGCGCGCAGGATGCGCCGCCGGCCGAGGCTGCCCATTATTGCTGCCTTCCTGTGGTGTTGTTTTGGCGCCTCGCGCGCACGATGCTCCGCTGTGCCTCCGGCAGCCTGCTGAGATGCGGGGCAGCCCGTTAATTACTGGCTTCGCGCGCCCTACGCTGCGCGCGCGATGGCCTGGTACTGGGCGTTGATGTTTTGCCTCCGACAGCCACTGATTTGCGGCGCGTAGCCCGTTAATAGCTTCGTCGGACGCCCTGCACAACGACCCCCGACGGCGCGCCGAGTTCATTCGTGAGGACGGCTCCCGGGGCAGCCCGGAGCGCTGCGGCGACGCGTCGGCCGCGGCGCGATGTCGGGAGAGCCGTCAGGAGCCGCCCACCCACCGCGCCGGCCGCCGCGGCGCGGCTTTGCTCTAGAATCAGACTAGATGACTAAAACGAATTAAAGATAGACTAGGAGGTAAGCTAGGAGACGGCGCAGGCGCAGCTCTTCTGCTGCTCCACATGAATATTCGCGAGGCTGTCCCACCGCGCCAACGCCGGCAGCGCCTCCGCGCGATCGATCCCGCCGTCGCCGCTCTCATCACACAACTCCATGATGTAGTCCACGTCCTCGTCCGTGACCCGCACCCGCGTCTCCATGCCGAAGACGACGCGCGCATTAGTGCCAGAATGCTCGCGATCTTCAATGGCCTGCATCGCTTTTTTAAGTTCGGCCTTCTCGAGGATGTTGTTGTGGTTCTTGTCGAACTCCGCGAACAGCCGCTCGATCTTGTCGGCGTGCGTCAAGAAGTACCGATACTTGCCGATCGCCTCCACCACGTCGTCCTTCGGCAGCTGCAAGTTCTCGTGCGGCGGTTCGGACCCCTGCTTCTTCCCGAGGTGATTCAGGACCATATTCTTCCCATCGTCGTTGACGGTGTGGTCGTCGCCGATCGCCCTCTGTAATAAGTCCGCGAGCTTATCACTCGGAATCGTCTTCCCGTCATCCGTACTAATCTCATTGAAAAAACCCTCGGCCTCCCTCTTGTCGTTCTCGAGCTGCTTGCGCAGGGCGTCGCGCTTCGCCTTCGCCTTGGCCTGGCGCTTCTTGTTGGCCGCGATGGCGGCAGCCGCGACCATGTTTGTGCAGCGCCTCCCGGTCGCACCGGTCGCGCGCGCGCGGCACCGGCGCGAGGAGGTGGCTGCGCGCGCGGCGGACGGGCAGCTTTTGCGGGCAGTCGCCGCGCGGAGGCGACGCTCTCCGTGTCGGTCGGCGCTATGGAGTTTCATCTTTTGCCGGCCCCATGTGTCGGGTCAAGAAGAGTGTTCCGTGGGGTAAGAGCCGTCGCGGGGCTGCCCCGCGACGCTTGCGTGCGAAACCCAACGCGGCCGCACCCGCGCGCCTCGCGCGACGCCGGTGGTCGTCGGGGCCAGCCGGTGCGCATCGCTCCACAAAATGGACCCAATGGCAGCTATTTGCTATGGAAACGAGGCTGCCCCGATGCTGCCCCAACCTTCAACTTCAAAGTACACTTGCAAAGGAAGTCCCCTCAGTTGGCAAAAATACGGCTCGTGGACGCACGCGCAGCGCGCGCCGCCCCGCGACACACGCCCACAGCGCGGGCGACCTCGCGCACACGCGACGCCGCCTCCCCGAAAGCGGCTATGGCTCTCCGCTATGCTCTCATGTATGAGCGGACGTTTTACTCAATTTTCGGTCGCGACTGGCGCAGACCTGGGGCGAATTGGACGGCTCTCCAGTGGGCCGGCGACTCATTTCTCGACGGCGGCTTCGTTCAGAACGGCGACCTTGTACAAGCAATAAACGCTGCGATCGCCGCAGAGCGGATCCCCGTGTTTACGTTCTGGGAGATCCCCCCCTACCACTTCCGTGTGCCACCCATAGTGGAGACGTGCATCGAGAGGTACCGAGCTTTTGCCGGCAACCGATTTGCAGTCTTTGTGGTCGACAGAAGCGCTGCCCCCGTGCCGCCTGGCGGCTGGGACCGCTTCTGGGGCAGCGAAAATTCTATTGCTCACATCAAGGACTACGTGTCGTTTTATCTTATTTCAACTTTTGGAGGAATTTGGCTCGACGCAAGTATAATACTACTCAGGCCCTTTGAAGAGATATTCAATGTTAATTTGGCCAAGTTCCAGGGCTGGTATCAACCGGGCACCGATGGCGGGGTAGCCGAGAACTGGGCGTTTTTTGCGCCTCCTGGATGCCCCATCATGAAATCCTGGTACCTATTGACTGTGCTCTGGCTCGCGACCGACCACCAGCCTGAGGGAGCCCAGCCCTGGTTCCCGTATTTATGGCAGCACGACATCTGGAGAGAGGAAATGGTACCTATGATTAAGGATTACGGTTGGCAGGATCTCTATATCCTTCGTGATCCTGCTGGAATTTTTATGTCGTACGAAGGATATAGAGATCTATCAATAGTTTCGTTGTTGATCACAGGGCTCAGCCTGAGGACGGTGCGATTCCATACGCCTATGGTTAAGCTAACGAGATTCGAACGCGACCGACTAGCAAGCAGTTTGCGCCATGGTAGATTTCCTGAGGGTTCGCTGGCGAACCAGCTCGAGTACCGCTGGGTCATCCCAGCTTAGAACTATCCCGCGGTATCCCCTTGACCAATAAGAGTTTCACGTCTTACGAGGTTGATAGAGTTTTCGGCTGCCCGCCTCCCCTCCCCCAAGTCGATCGCATTCGTAAAAAAAAAAGAAACTTCGGTTACAACGGGATGCCGTCGCGCGACTCCGTACCGAGGCGTCACGCCGTCCGAGGCCTCGGGCTCGTAGGCGGGCGCGCCGGGCGCGCCGGGCGCGCCGGGCGCGCCGACTCCTCGCCGACTCCTCGCCGACTCCTCGCCGACTCCTCGCCGGCTCCTCGCCGGCTCCTCGCCGGACGCAGAGCCTCCGGCTCGTGTTCACTGGTATATAAACCGAGCTGATCGGGGGCTCGGCGAGGCAGTCTACACTTCACGAGCACTTGCAGGCACCCCGCGCGGTGTGAATGCGTCTGGTATACCGAGGAGTCGTCCGAGCCCACAACCGCAATAACCCGCCCGAAATGCTGAGAGTTGCCACTGGGCCGGGACCCCGTTCCGACTCGAAGCGGAGTCCCAGGGCCTCGTCTGGTTCGTTACCCCTTTGTACATGAGCCGTACCGTCGATTGAGGGGCCTCTGTAAAGGGTCGGATGCCGTCGTGCCACGGCGAAGAATCTATCTACACCGAAAGGCCGCCCGAGGCTCCCAGTACCAGTAGCCATCGACCAGGTCTAAGCCCCACGCCCTCGACGCCGCCCGTCACGACGTTGCGGCTGCCTCACAAGGTCCAGACCGGCGGCACGACGTCGCCGCGTCCGCCTCGAGGGCCTGCGCATGTCGATCACAAATGCACATGAGCATCTCGACGGCGGCCAGCGGTTGCCGATCGCCGCGCCCGTCGGCGGTGGGCTCGCAAGTACTGCAAGCCATCTTAGACGAACTCTAACATGCGTCGGGTCGCACACCGCCCGGCGCGAGCAGCGGTCCTCGCCGCATTGATTTTTGTGGACCTTCAATGCAGGCGCGCTCTTTCGTGGCGCAGCGTGACGTCACGGCGCGCGCGCCGACGGCGTTCAGGCCTCCCCTCGCGTACGGATTCGCAGTCTTGAACCGGTCTGCCAGCTGAGCAAGGCGTGCTGCTCAACAACCAAAGCAGTGCTGGCTTCGAAACTTCGCCAGGCGTTTCCCGGCATTTCGAGCGACCAACAGACCGAGCGCTTGTATTTTAACTCTTCTTTTAGAAGCAGCACGCAGCCCGGCCCTGTGGCACATGCATCTGCAGGCTGGCTGATGCCTTCACTATTCCTGCAAAGTCGCACCGGACAACCCTTCTATGAGTGAAGAGGGATGCCACTCCGCCCCGTAAGCATCTGTGTCGCGCGCAACCCCGCACCAAAACCGAAATGCAGCGCAAAAAGTGGACTACATTAAAGCAGCACACCTAGCCCACCCCGAAAAAGAGAACGTCGGCACTACCCCTATCTGTGTCGCGCGCAACCCCGCACCAAAACCGAAATGCAGCGCAAAAAGTGGACTACATTAAAGCAGCACACCTAGCCCACCCCGAAAAAGAGAACGTCGGCACTGCCCCCCTGGCCTACGATGGAGCCAGAGGCCGCACAGGACAGCGACGCGCCCGTCGCGCGCTGCCCGCCCGCGCCCATCGAATCGACGGCGCCGCTGTAGTTGCCCTTACGCTGGCCGCTCGGCCAGCTCCCGCTGGAATGTCAAGTAATTCCAGCGGGCCTCCAAGACTACGCGCAAGCGTTACAAGGTGATGATGTTCGGGTGTGCATCGGGTTCTATACGCTCGACCAGTTCCCGCCGGGACGTCAAATAGTTCCGGCGCCCTTTGAATTTGAAGGCGACGTCAAAGCCTTACAGTTAATTATTGATGGGTACAAAGATGCCTAAAATCCTGACTCCGAAGACGGACTGTGCGCGATCGAAAGTATCGGCGCGATCGAAAGTATCGCAAAGAAGTTTATATTTCACGCGCGAAATTCCAGTCGATTCCTGTCGCAAATAAATGATAGGGATTTCGTCGAATTTTCGGAGCTTCTCTGGTAGTGGGAAATATTGGAGCCGAGCTCTGCGGACAAGCTCATTCGAAGTGTTTTTTGGGGCCCTCCGCGCGTCAGCAAATTGGCGTCTGCGCCGCCGAACGAGTCGTTTTATCAAGGCCTTGTAACACCTCTCATATAGCAAGGCGCCCTTCTCGAAGCCGTTGGCTGGGATATTGGCCCACCGCTACATGAGACTAGAATTACCCGCTCAATGCCTTGCAGCAACTTCGGCACGGCTCAGACAGCATGGACTCACGATACTGATCTTGGATTGTTGAGCAGAAGGTCGTGGTCCTTCGCGAACTACACTGGTGGCTCCGAGGCTCGTGGAGACGCATGGGCAGGGCCCTCGCGGTTGGTCGCCGCGCGCCCATGCGATTCGCTCCCGTTCAAATACGAGCTCCTCGGCGTGCCTTGGACGGCAAACGACGTTTCATCTGTTAGCTCTGGATTAGTCAGCTTCGAGGCTCGTGGAGACGCATGGGCAGGGCCCTCGCGGTTGGTCGCCGCGCGCCCATGCGATTCGCTCCCGTTCAAATACGAGCTCCTCGGCGTGCCTTGGACGGCAAACGACGTTTCATCTGTTAGCTCTGGATTAGTCAGCTCCGAGGCTCGTGGGAGCGCATGGGCAGGGCCCTCGCGGTTGGTCGCCGCGCGCCCATGCGATTCGCTCCCGTTCAAATACGAGCTCCTCGGCGTGCCTTGGACGGCAAACGACGTTTTATGTGATGCTCTGGATTAGTCAGCTTCGAGGCTCGTGGAGACGCATGGGCAGGGCCCTCGCGGTTGGTCGCCGCGCGCCCATGCGATTCGCTCCCGTTCAAATACGAGCTCCTCGGCGTGCCTTGGACGGCAAACGACGTTTCATCTGTTAGCTCTGGATTAGTCAGCTCCGAGGCTCGTGGAGACGCATGGGCAGGGCCCTCGCGGTTGGTCGCCGCGCGCCCATGCGATTCGCTCCCGTTCAAATACGAGCTCCTCGGCGTGCCTTGGACGGCAAACGACGTTTTATGTGATAGCTCTGGATTAGTCAGCTTCGAGGCTCGTGGAGACGCATGGGCAGGGCCCTCGCGGTTGGTCGCCCGCGCGCCCATGCGATTCGCTCCCGTTCAAATACGAGCTCCTCGGCGTGCCTTGGACGGCAAACGACGTTTTATGTGATAGCTCTGGATTAGTCAGCTTCGAGGCTCGTGGAGCGCATGGGCAGGGCCCTCGCGGTTGGTCGCCGCGCGCCCATGCGATTCGCTCCCGTTCAAATACGAGCTCCTCGGCGTGCCTTGGACGGCAAACGACGTTTCATCTGTTAGCTCTGGATTAGTCAGCTTCGAGGCTCGTGGAGGCGCATGGGCAGGGCCCTCGCGGTTGGTCGCCGCGCGCCCATGCGATTCGCTCCCGTTCAAATACGAGCTCCTCGGCGTGCCTTGGACGGCAAACGACGTTTCATCTGTTAGCTCTGGATTAGTCAGCTCCGAGGCTCGTGGAGGCGCGGGCAGGGCCCTCGCGGTTGGTCGCCGCGCGCCCATGCGATTCGCTCCCGTTCAAATACGAGCTCCTCGGCGTGCCTTGGACGGCAAACGACGTTTTATGTGATGCCTGGATTAGTCAGCTTCGAGGCTCGTGGAGCGCATGGGCAGGGCCCTCGCGGTTGGTCGCCGCGCGCCCATGCGATTCGCTCCCGTTCAAATACGAGCTCCTCGGCGTGCCTTGGACGGCAAACGACGTTTCATCTGTTAGCTCTGGATTAGTCAGCTCCGAGGCTCGTGGAGACGCATGGGCAGGGCCCTCGCGGTTGGTCGCCGCGCGCCCATGCGATTCGCTCCCGTTCAAATACGAGCTCCTCGGCGTGCCTTGGACGGCAAACGACGTTTCATCTGTTAGCTCTGGATTAGTCAGCTCCGAGGCTCGTGGAGACGCATGGGCAGGGCCCTCGCGGTTGGTCGCCGCGCGCCCATGCGATTCGCTCCCGTTCAAATACGAGCTCCTCGGCGTGCCTTGGACGGCAAACGACGTTTTATGTGATAGCTCTGGATTAGTCAGCTTCGAGGCTCGTGGAGACGCATGGGCAGGGCCCTCGCGGTTGGTCGCCGCGCGCCCATGCGATTCGCTCCCGTTCAAATACGAGCTCCTCGGCGTGCCTTGGACGGCAAACGACGTTTTATGTGATAGCTCTGGATTAGTCAGCTTCGAGGCTCGTGGAGACGCATGGGCAGGGCCCTCGCGGTTGGTCGCCGCGCGCCCATGCGATTCGCTCCCGTTCAAATACGAGCTCCTCGGCGTGCCTTGGACGGCAAACGACGTTTCATCTGTTAGCTCTGGATTAGTCAGCTTCGAGGCTCGTGGAGACGCATGGGCAGGGCCCTCGCGGTTGGTCGCCGCGCGCCCATGCGATTCGCTCCCGTTCAAATACGAGCTCCTCGGCGTGCCTTGGACGGCAAACGACGTTTCATCTGTTAGCTCTGGATTAGTCAGCTCCGAGGCTCGTGGAGACGCATGGGCAGGGCCCTCGCGGTTGGTCGCCGCGCGCCCATGCGATTCGCTCCCGTTCAAATACGAGCTCCTCGGCGTGCCTTGGACGGCAAACGACGTTTTATGTGATAGCTCTGGATTAGTCAGCTTCGAGGCTCGTGGAGGCGGGCAGGGCCCTCGCGGTTGGTCGCCGCGCGCCCATGCGATTCGCTCCCGTTCAAATACGAGCTCCTCGGCGTGCCTTGGACGGCAAACGACGTTTCATCTGTTAGCTCTGGATTAGTCAGCTCCGAGGCTCGTGGAGACGCATGGGCAGGGCCCTCGCGGTTGGTCGCCGCGCGCCCATGCGATTCGCTCCCGTTCAAATACGAGCTCCTCGGCGTGCCTTGGACGGCAAACGACGTTTTATGTGATAGCTCTGGATTGCTCGCCGTCGAGGCTACTGGAGAGTTATGGGCCGGGCTCCCGCGACTGGTCACCGCTTGCCCGGACCACGTGCTCCCGTCGAAGCGCCAGTTCTTCCACGCTCAATCGATACCGTACGACGTTTTATGTGATAGCTCTGGATTGCTCGCCGTCGAGGCTACTGGAGAGTTATGGGCCGGGCTCCCGCGACTGGTCACCGCTTGCCCGGACCACGTGCTCCCGTCGAAGCGCCAGTTCTTCCACGCTCAATCGATACCGCATGACGTTTTTGTGTTCGCGCTCTGGATTGCTCGCCGTCGAGGCTACTGGAGAGTTATGGGCGGGCTCCGCGACTGGTCACCGCTTGCCCGGACCACGTGCTCCCGTCGAAGCGCCAGTTCTTCCACGCTCAATCGATACCGCGCCACGTTTTATGTGATAGCTCTGGATTGCTCGCCGTCGAGGCTACTGGGAGTTGCGGGCGGGCTCCGCGACTGGTCACCGCTTGCCCGGACCACGTGCTCCCGTCGAAGCGCCAGTTCTTCCACGCTCAATCGATACCGTACGACGTTTTATGTGTTAGCTCTGGATTGCTCGCCGTCGAGGCTACTGGAGAGTTATGGGCCGGGCTCCCGCGACTGGTCACCGCTTGCCCGGACCACGTGCTCCCGTCGAAGCGCCAGTTCTTCCACGCTCAATCGATACCGTACGACGTTTTATGTGTTAGCTCTGGATTGCTGCCGTCGAGGCTACTGGAGAGTTGCGGGCCGGGCTCCCGCGACTGGTCACCGCTTGCCCGGACCACGTGCTCCCGTCGAAGCGCCAGTTCTTCCACGCTCAATCGATACCGCACGACGTTTTATGTGATAGCTCTGGATTGCGCCGTCGAGGCTACTGGAGTTGCGGGCGGGCTCCGCGACTGGTCACCGCTTGCCCGGACCACGTGCTCCCGTCGAAGCGCCAGTTCTTCCACGCTCAATCGATACCGCACGACGTTTTATGTGTTAACCTGTATTGCTCGCCGTCGAGGCTACTGGAGAGTTATGGGCCGGGCTCCCGCGACTGGTCACCGCTAGCCCGGACCACGTGCTCCCGTCGAAGCGCCAGTTCTTCCACGCTCAATCGATACCGTACGACGTTTTATGTGATAGCTCTGGATTGCTCGCCGTCGAGGCTACTGGAGAGTTATGGGCCGGGCTCCCGCGACTGGTCACCGCGCGCCCGGACCACGTGCTCCCGTCGAAGCGCCAGTTCTTCCACGCTCAATCGATACCGTACGACGTTTTATGTGTTAGCTCTGGATTGCCGTCGAGGCTACTGGAGGGTTGGCGGGCCGGGCTCCCGCGACTGGTCACCGCGCGCCCGGACCACGTGCTCCCGTCGAAGCGCCAGTTCTTCCACGCTCAATCGATACCGCACGACGTTTTATGTTAGCTCTGGATTGCTCGCCGTCGAGGCTACTGGAGAGTTGCGGGCGGGCTCCCGCGACTGGTCACCGCTTGCCCGGACCACGTGCTCCCGTCGAAGCGCCAGTTCTTCCACGCTCAATCGATACCGTACGACGTTTTATGTGTTAGCTCTGGATTGCTCGCCGTCGAGGCTACTGGAGAGTTATGGGCCGGGCTCCCGCGACTGGTCACCGCTTGCCCGGACCACGTGCTCCCGTCGAAGCGCCAGTTCTTCCACGCTCAACTGATACCGTACGACGTTTTATGTGATAGCTCTGGATTGCTCGCCGTCGAGGCTACTGGAGAGTTATGGGCCGGGCTCCCGCGACTGGTCACCGCTTGCCCGGACCACGTGCTCCCGTCGAAGCGCCAGTTCTTCCACGCTCAATCGATACCGTACGACGTTTTATGTGTTAGCTCTGGATTGCTCGCCGTCGAGGCTACTGGAGGTTTGGGGGCCGGGCTCCCGCGACTGGTCACCGCTTGCCCGGACCACGTGCTCCCGTCGAAGCGCCAGTTCTTCCACGCTCAATCGATACCGTACGACGTTTTATGTGTTAGCTCTGGATTGCTCGCCGTCGAGGCTACTGGAGAGTTATGGGCCGGGCTCCCGCGACTGGTCACCGCTTGCCCGGACCACGTGCTCCCGTCGAAGCGCCAGTTCTTCCACGCTCAATCGATACCGTACGACGTTTTATGTGTTAGCTCTGGATTGCTCGCCGTCGAGGCTACTGGAGGTTGGCGGGCCGGGCTCCGCGACTGGTCACCGCTTGCCCGGACCACGTGCTCCCGTCGAAGCGCCAGTTCTTCCACGCTCAATCGATACCGTCACGACGTTTTATGTGTTAGCTCTGGATTGCTCGCCGTCGAGGCTACTGGAGGTTGGCGGGCCGGGCTCCCGCGACTGGTCACCGCGCGCCCGGACCACGTGCTCCCGTCGAAGCGCCAGTTCTTCCACGCTCAATCGATACCGTACGACGTTTTATGTGTTAGCTCTGGATTGCTCGCCGTCGAGGCTACTGGAGAGTTATGGGCCGGGCTCCCGCGACTGGTCACCGCTTGCCCGGACCACGTGCTCCCGTCGAAGCGCCAGTTCTTCCACGCTCAATCGATACCGTACGACGTTTTATGTGTTAGCTCTGGATTGCTCGCCGTCGAGGCTACTGGAGAGTTATGGGCCGGGCTCCCGCGACTGGTCACCGCTTGCCCGGACCACGTGCTCCCGTCGAAGCGCCAGTTCTTCCACGCTCAATCGATACCGTACGACGTTTTATGTGTTAGCTCTGGATTGCTCGCCGTCGAGGCTACTGGGAGTTGGCGGGCCGGGCTCCCGCGACTGGTCACCGCTTGCCCGGACCACGTGCTCCCGTCGAAGCGCCAGTTCTTCCACGCTCAATCGATACCGTCACGACGTTTTATGTGTTAGCTCTGGATTGCTCGCCGTCGAGGCTACTGGAGTTTGCGGGCGGGCTCCCGCGACTGGTCACCGCTTGCCCGGACCACGTGCTCCCGTCGAAGCGCCAGTTCTTCCACGCTCAATCGATACCGTCACGACGTTTTATGTGTTAGCTCTGGATTGCTCGCCGTCGAGGCTACTGGAGAGTTGGCGGGCCGGGCTCCCGCGACTGGTCACCGCTTGCCCGGACCACGTGCTCCCGTCGAAGCGCCAGTTCTTCCACGCTCAATCGATACCGTACGACGTTTTATGTGTTAGCTCTGGATTGCTCGCCGTCGAGGCTACTGGAGAGTTATGGGCCGGGCTCCCGCGACTGGTCACCGCGCGCCCGGACCACGTGCTCCCGTCGAAGCGCCAGTTCTTCCACGCTCAATCGATACCGTACGACGTTTTATGTGTTAGCTCTGGATTGCTCGCCGTCGAGGCTACTGGAGAGTTATGGGCCGGGCTCCCGCGACTGGTCACCGCTTGCCCGGACCACGTGCTCCCGTCGAAGCGCCAGTTCTTCCACGCTCAACTGATACCGTACGACGTTTTATGTGTTAGCTCTGGATTGCTCGCCGTCGAGGCTACTGGAGAGTTATGGGCCGGGCTCCCGCGACTGGTCACCGCTTGCCCGGACCACGTGCTCCCGTCGAAGCGCCAGTTCTTCCACGCTCAATCGATACCGTACGACGTTTTATGTGTTAGCTCTGGATTGCTCGCCGTCGAGGCTACTGGAGAGTTATGGGCCGGGCTCCCGCGACTGGTCACCGCTTGCCCGGACCACGTGCTCCCGTCGAAGCGCCAGTTCTTCCACGCTCAATCGATACCGTACGACGTTTTATGTGTTAGCTCTGGATTGCTCGCCGTCGAGGCTACTGGAGAGTTATGGGCCGGGCTCCCGCGACTGGTCACCGCGCGCCCGGACCACGTGCTCCCGTCGAAGCGCCAGTTCTTCCACGCTCAATCGATACCGTACGACGTTTTATGTGTTAGCTCTGGATTGCTCGCCGTCGAGGCTACTGGAGAGTTATGGGCCGGGCTCCCGCGACTGGTCACCGCTTGCCCGGACCACGTGCTCCCGTCGAAGCGCCAGTTCTTCCACGCTCAACTGATACCGTACGACGTTTCATCTGATAGAGGATCTGCGGGCGTCGAGCTCACACGACACGCATATCACCATCGCAGCAGCGCTGCTACGTGTGTCCAGGCCTCCCAGAAATCTCGCATTACGAGTCTTTGCTTGGGCCCTAGATCATGTGTTAGCCGCCGTCCATGCTCGAGAACTGCTCCATTATCTGTCTGCACGATTTCGAGGGCGACGCCTCGGTGCAATCGCCATGGCACTCTGTCGCGCACCCCGGCACGATTGACTTGCCGTCCGAAATAGACTTTTACAAAGGCGAGCCAAAATCTTTGGCCGCCGACGCTTGACGCTGAAGCGGAGGCACACGTCTCGCTGGATGCATCGTCGTAGCGTGTGCCGCAGGAAGATGGCCTGTGTGGCGATGGGCCGCGTCGGGCTTCCCGCCGTCGTATTGCTCGCATTCCGCCACCGAATGCGGAGCTCATCGAAATCGCCTTAGTTCAGCAGGCGGTAATAGAACCAGACAACTCAGACGACGATGCCTTCCTACAAGAAGCAAACCTTGCTATGGCACAACGAAAAAGATTAATCTTCATGTTCTGGGAGTGCGAAGAGGGCAAGCCTGTGCCTGACATTGTTAAGGCATGCAAACAGAGGTTCTACGACTTCGCCGGCGACCGATTTAAGGTCTTCGTGGTCAACAGACACGCTGCCCCCGCGCCGCCTGGCGGCTGGGACCGAAACTGGGGTGAAAAGCCTCTCGCTCACATCAAGGACTACGTGTCGTTTTATCTTGTCAAAACTTTTGGAGGAATCTGGTTCGACGCGAGTATCATACTGCTCAAGCCCATTGATGAAATATTCGACCTTAAGTTGAAAAAGTTCCAGGGCTGGTATGCGCCGGGCTCCGATGGCAGGAGGGCCGAGAACTGGGCGTTTTTTGCACCTCCCGAGTGCCCGATCATGCAGTCGTGGTACGACAAGGTCTACCATTATCTCGAAACCCACGATCGCATAGAAGAGTATTTATGGCAGCACGACATCTTTGAACAATAAATGGTGCCAGAAATTGCGCAGAATGAAGATTTGCAAAAACGCATCATCCTTCGTAGTCCGTTTGGAATTCTCGCATGCCCGGCATACGCTCCTTATAATGATGTAGAAGACAAGTCCGAGTCGCTGCTCAATTTACCGGAATCAAGCTTTCAACAGCCTATGATTAAACTCACTGGTACCGAGCGCAATTTCGCCGAATCGGCTTTGCACCAGGGCAATTTCGTAAACGATTCACTGCTGCACAAGCTCGTGAGAGTCGTGCGTCCTGAGCTCGAAGGCCGCTTAGATCCGCCGCGTGAATTATGGTACTGGCTGCGCCACGAGAATAATGACGTTAAGATTTTTGGAAATGGAAATGCAGGCATGGTTTCCAGCGAATATCGTTACAAGTTCTGCCAAGGTACCACAAAAACCGCCATGGTCTCAAATCGCTCGGCTAATCAAACTGAGGTGAAGGGACCCACCGTACGCCAATTCTGCCTCGCAGTCCGCGGCCCGCCACCACGCAGTAAAAAAGTGAAGAGATGGGCTGCGTGTTACACGGGAGACCGAGATGGTGATTTGAGCACGCACCATCTGTACTGGCGGCCGTGGGGCTACTGGACTAAAGGTAGGCAATAGCAACTGCGCGACAACCTGTGGAACGATTCCGTGGGGCCCGACGAGACGTGGGTGCCAGTCATCTCGCCGGTCGACGGGACTCTGGTCAAGGGCTGGTTCGCGAGCTCCTGCGGCGCCATCATGAAAAATGACGGCACGATTGATCGGGGGACTCCTCGTACTGGTAAAGACAAGGGCATGTTCCAAATGACCTTCCCGTTTGGTCGGGGACATTTGGTCCATCGCGTCACCTGCACGTCGTTCCACGGCCATAGGGATACGGATTTGTGGTGTGTCGATCATATTTTAACCCGCAGTCATCACCCGGACGAGCAGTTTCCCGGCCGCTCAAGCAACCTGCGATGGCTCCCGAAACACAAAGAGCTAGCCGCTCGAGTCGGCCTGCCGACGAACGCGGCGAGAAAAGATGGGGAGCCGTGGCGGTTTGATCAATATAAACTAGTAGCGGCCGAGAAGAATGGCATTCCCTACTGGATTCGCCAGGTCGGGACTAAAGGCTGGACCTTTGTCCGGTCGTAAGATGCGCTGTACTTCCTCTTCACCGGACTAAGTCCGAGGAACTTTAAACTTACGAAGTACTGGTTTAAATATCAACTTTACGAGGCCATTGCGCACCGCAAATTTGGCAGCGGGTGTCTACCAGCGTCGGAGAACGAGCTTCGCGGAACCCTCGTTCGGGAAAGCGACGGTCTGCGATACGAGGTCACGAACACGAAGCCTAAGCCCCCCAACGTCGTCATCGGCGAGTATGAACCCGACCACGCCGCGTACCAGCGCGCCCTCGCCCCGCGGCCGCGACCGACGCGGATGACGGAGGAATTACCTACAGCTGTCGCTGGATTGGCGAACTGCATGGTCGCATCGGATCCGGAAACTGCGCCGACTGGCGTAGCAGCGCCACGGCCCACGCCGCCGACCGTCTTCCAACGCGCCGCCACCGCGCGGCCCGCGCCGCGGCCGCGGCCGACGTTGCAGACCGTCGTACCGCTTCCGGGCCAGTCCATCGAAGAGGCCCTCGAGGAGGCCGAGCTCCGCTACGTCGAGGACTTTCCTGAGGAGTTCATCGGGTCCGACGAGGAGGAGGCGCCATCACTCTATGCTATTTTTAGAGATGTGGCACCCGAGCTTTTGGCGGACAACGTCGAATCCGATATTTTGAGAGAGGCTGCACCCGAGCTCTTGCCGGACGAGGCACCCGGCGACGACGCAAGCGCGGACGGCTTGCCCGAGGCCGGCGCTGCGGCGGACGTCGCTCTCCCAAGATGGGACGCCGACGCGGGCGAGTGGATTCACCCGTCACTGGTGAAGGCGCCGTGTCGCAAGCCAGCGGGTTCGCGGTCACGACCGAGAACCTCCAGCAAACAGGCCGGGCCAAAGCTTCCGTTACTATCCGATCTCAAGGCAAGGTGTAAGGCGCAAGGTCTCAAATAAAGCGGCTCGCGGCTGGACTTGCTCGCGCGGTTCACAAACCCATCGGAACAGGACTATGTACACAGCACACGTAGCGCCTGGTAGCGCGAGGAGGACGCCGCCCTCGTCAAGCTGGTCGAGCAGCACGGCACGAAGCGCTGGGCGTTAATTAGTCGAGAACTGAACACGCAGATTTCAGGGATACGAACGTGCAAACAATGTAGGGAAAGGTGGGTATACAAACTGGACCCTACGATAAAGAGCGACCCCTGGTCGCCGCAGGAGGAGCGCACGATTCGTGATGCGCAGCGGCAGCTGGGCAACAAGTGGGCGGAGATCGCCAAATTACTACCGGGTCGATCGGACCTCGCCGTCAAGAACTACTGGTACGCGTCCGTCCGTAAAAATCAACGGCGGTTGAAGAAGAAGGAGAAGAAGAAGAAGAAGAAGAAGAAGAAGAAGGACTGCCAGGACGGCCGGCCGCCGCCGGGAGCCTTGGTCGCCCAGACGCCCACGCGGCCCATCGTCGCGGCGCCGCCACCAAGTGCCGCGCCCGACCCGGCCGCAGCGCTGGGCCAACACTGAATAAATACTTTGCATTCGTAACGGCTCCTCGCCCCGCCATACTTCGCGTCGCCCGCCCTGCGGTCCGTTGCTATTTCCCCCGGGCGGTCCGTTGGGACAGCTGCCCGTGCGAGGCCGGATGCTTCGGGAAAATGCGGAGGGAGGACTCAACGCACGAAGCCGGTGGTCGTCCTTCGGCAAAAGATGAAACTCCCTAGCGTTTGCTCGGGCTTGGGGGTTTCGCGAGGCCGGGGGCGGGCGCGATATATATGCCTGCGTGTGTTGGAAGCGTGCGCGGCGGAGGAGTGCCTACTCCCGGACAGAAAGCAACCCGCCTGGAAAAACGCCCGCCGCGGCCCGCGGGGCTCCGCCCACTAGTCCTACGGCCGGGGTATGGATAGCACCGTAACAATCACGGCGGCCTGAGGCTACAAAAATCTTACACACAAGAACTACTCTAAAGAACTACCCGAACATCGCGGCCCGCGCCGCGCCGACGAGGCCGAAGCGCACGCTCTCGAAGCGCTCGGAGCCCAGGTCCCAGGGCCGCGCGTAGACGTGGAGCCGCGTCGCCGGCCGCCCCTCCTCGTCGACGAGCGCGTGCGGGCCGGCGCCGCGGGCCAGGTGGTGGTGCGAGTAGGCCACGATGCCCTGGCTGTTGAACACGTTCTCGCAGCTCCGCATGACCAGCTGCCGCGCGTAGTGGCCGGACCGCCGGCCCACGGTGCAGATCACGACGATCTTCACGCCGCGCAGCGAGGCCGCGTCGGCGTTCAGCCGGAGCGCCTTCTCGAAATAACACCGCGACACGCTCCGCGGCAACCGCGCGACGCGCCGCTCCGCCTCCGTGCGCACGTCGACGACGATCACCTTGGCGTCGTCCTTTTCGCGCAGCGCGATGAGCTCGTGCGCCGTGAGGACGGGCACGTCGAAGGCGCCGCAGTGGTACTCTGCCTTCCGGATGATGGCGCGGTGGCGCTCCGTCATGCGGTCGTCATCGTCGTCGTCGCCGTCATTACTGCACAGCATGGCGCCGCGACAAGCTGCAAAAGGAGGCGCTGGCAGGCACTGAGGGGGGGGATTGCCAGCTGTGTACTCGTTGAATGTTCCGAGAGTCGAAGGCTACATGGAAGCGACGATGCCTGGAATAATGTTTTTTTGTACAACGGCGCGTGCGCAGTCTAAACAAAGTGTGGTGCACGTGAAAGCCGAGCTAGCGGTGCAAGACACTAGCCTGGGCTAGTGTGTCGTTGCGCTAGATATTCAGACCCGCTCGTAAGAGCTGGGAGCTAAAAGTAGCAGCCGCAGCTGACAGTGGGACGCAGAGAGAGCTGCCGCGAGCCTCCGTAGTTACCTCGAACCGCAGACCGCTCTCGGGTACAGGAAAGGCTGCCATCTGCCATTTGCCCATAAAAAAACACCCGCATAGCTCAAAAGAAATGCTCGCGCGGTGCCGCCGCGTGGCCAGCACACAACTGCGGGCCCGGCGCCAGGCGCACAGCCACACTCATGAGCACCTCGACTCGCCGGGCGAGTTCAGCCGGCGCGAGACGGGCCTGCCGGCGCACTGGCGGGGAAGGGACTGGCGGCGGCGCGCGTTCACGGTGGGCATCGGCGGCCCCGTCGGCAGCGGCAAGACGGCGCTGACGCTGCAGCTCTGCCGGGCGCTGCGCGAGAAGCACTCGCTGGCCGTCGTGACCTGTGTGGAAATCAACCAGTGCGTCGGGTGCACCCGAAAATTCTTCACTAAGTCATTTCTCGACGATGACGCGGCCGTCCTGGCTCGGTCGAGCGGCGAGGAACCGGCATCGCCACGCCATCGAGCAGACGTCGCGTCGATGGCGTGAACGCGCCGTAAAATTTTAATTTCCACACAGGTCGTGACGAACGACATCTTCACGCGCGAGGACGCCGAGTTCCTGACGCGGAACGCGGCGCTGCCGGCGGACCGCATCGCTGCGGTCGAGACGGGGGGCTGCCCGCACGCGGCGATCCGCGAGGACGTGAGCGCGAACCTCGAGGCCCTCGAGGCGCTGACGCGGGCCCACCCGGACGCCGAGCTCCTGCTGTGCGAGTCGGGCGGCGACAACCTCGCGGCGCACTTCTCGAACGAGCTCGCGGACTTCTCGGTCTACGTCATCGACGTCGCGGGCGGCGACAAGGTGCCGCGCAAGGGCGGGCCGGGCATCACGCAGGCGGACGTCCTCGTCGTCAACAAGGTCGACCTCGCGCCGGCCGTCGGCGCGGACCTGGACGTGATGCGCCGCGACGCGCTCAAGATGCGCGGCGCCGGGCCGACCGTCTTCGCCGCCGTGAAGCACGGCGACGGCCTCGACGCGATCATCGGCGAGATCTTCGCCGCGCAGCGGCGCGCGCTGGCGGCGGCGGCGGAGTAGGCACACGCGATTACTTTTGTACATAGTCAAAAAGGGGGGGGGAGGTGATATCAGGAAGAAACGGAACGGCCGCACGCCATGCAGAAGTTCGCGCCGTCCGCGAGCCGGTTGCCGCAAGATGGGCAGAAGTTTCGGGGCGGTGCGGCCGCGCGCGACACCGACGACGCGACGACCGATGCCGTGACGGGGACTGCCGTCGGCGGCGTGACCAGGACACCTTCGAGCGGCTGCGACGGAGAAGCGGGGTCGCCGCCCGCGCCCCAGCCGAACCAGCCGCGCGCCTCCGGCGCAGGAGGCGCCGAGGGCGCCGTCACGGGCGCCGCGGCCGGCGGCGCCGCGGCCGGGGGCTCCGCGGCCGACGCTGCGGGCGCGCCTGTCGACGCGACGCCCTGATCGTCGAGGAAGGCCGTCGTCACAGCGCCGAACGACTTCCAATTTGCGAGCGCCTCCGGCGTCGCCGGGTACTGTCCGTACTTTTCCCGCAGCGCGCTGCGCGCAGGATCGTGGTACCAGGCGGCCATCGGCGCGAAGACCATGCGGATCTTGCTGTCCGCCTTTGCTGTCGCCCCCTTAACCGGTCCGCGCTTCTTCTTGCCGCGAACGGTAGTGGTGGGCGCGGCCGCCGGCGCGGGCGGCGGCGCGGCCGCGGCAGCGTCGCTCCCGCGGCGACTCAGGGCCCGGGCAAGCAGCCCCGGCGCGGGCGGCGGCGGCGGCTCGTCGACCTTGGAGGTGATGACGGCTGTTTGAGGCGGCGGCGGCGCCTCCAATCCGCCGGCCTCGTCGCATACCCCGTTCGCGTTGGCCTCAACGTCCTGCGACTTCTTAGCAGCAGTGTTTCGACGGTAGAAGAAGAAGGCTCCGGCGGCGGCCAGGAGCAGCACGAGCGCGCCGGCGGCCGCGCCGCCCGCCGTCGCCGCGTCCGGGCCCGCTGCGCCAGATCCGGAGCCAGAGCCGCCGCCTGAGACCAGAGGTACGGGCGACATCGTGAGGGACGGCCGCGGCGTCGGTGCTGGGGTCGGTTTTGGCGTCGGAGGAGACAATGGCCTTGGCGTCGGCGCCGCTGTCGGCTCCGGTGTCGTGACGACAAACACGTGCCTTGCTCGCCCGATGTGAGCTCGCGTCGCCGTCTCGTTGAGGGTGATGGCGTTGAACGCGGCGGCGGCTTCGGGCGAGCGTTGCGCGGCGTTGGTCCGAAGTTTCGTCAGAAAGCTCCCGTCGTCGACCGCGGTCGTCAGGGCGGCCGCGGCCTTCTCCAATAAATCCGTCGAGACCGCCTCGGCGTCCTCGGTGCCGTCGACGCGCGCGACGCCCGTGTAAGAGACGTCCGCGAGGCCCGCGGCCGCCCGCGTCGGCGCCAGCGTACGATCTGCCTCCCGCGTCGGCGCCGGGCTCGGCGGATACTCCGCCTGCAAGCGCCGCGTACGATCTGCGTCCCGCGTCAGCGCCGGAGAAGGCGGATACTCCGCTTGCAAGCGCCTCCGGCGGACGACGGCCTCCACATCGACTACTTCGTCGAAGACACCGTCTGAACTGTCGATGATGGACTGCGCGAACGCATCCTTCATGTCCTCGTCCGCATTAAATTCGTCGGCCACCACGCCTTCGAGACTGACCGACGAGGCGACCTCGACCACCGTCTGGGCCGGCGACGGCGCCGGCGTGGGGGCCGGCGTCGGCGCGGGCGACGGCCTCGGGGTCGGCGGGTGCGATGGCCTGGGAGTCGGGCGTGGCGTCGGCCGCTGAGTCGGGCGCGGCGTCGGCCTGGGAGTCGGTTGTGGGGTAGGCCGTTGGGTAGGATTTCCCGGCAGCGGCGTCGGTCCGGGCGTGGGACGCAACGTCGGGCGCGACGTCGGTAGTGGCGAGGGAATAGGCGTCGGTCGCGGCGTGGGCCTCGCCGTCGGTCTCGCGCTAGGCCGCGGCGTAGGTCGGGGGCTTGGCGCTGGCGTGGGGCGCAGCGTCGGTCTGGCCGACGGCCGCGGGGTCGGGCGCGCGGTCGGACGCGATCTGTGTAGGAATCAAGCGGTGAGTTGGCGTGCCAATAACAAACTACGATTTCCGCACAGGCACCGGCGTCGGGCGCCATGAGGGCCGTTGCGTCGGCCGAGGGACCGTCGGCCGCGGCGTCGGCCGAGGGACCGTCGGCCGCGGCGTCGGCCGAGGGACCGTCGGCTGCGGCGTCGGCCTCCGTGTTGGTTGAGGCGTCGGCTTCGGTGTCGGCTGCCACGAGGGCTTTGGCGTCGGTCTGGGCGTCGGCCTGTTTTCATAAGCCCCATATAGTTGCTGTGCGTTCAGTGCCGCGCCAAAGATCTGCACGGACTCGATGGTGCCTGTCATTTTAAACTCCTCGTTATCATCCAAATAACACCCGAATGCAAGCGTCGCGGTGTCCGGATACATTATCGCCCCGGATAGAACGTGCGAAGTAGCCACCAATTCTCCATCAACGTAGAGATTTTGTGTCGCGGAGTCATAGGTGCCGGCGACGTGGTGCCAGACGCCAGTCTCGGCAGCTGTCGGGGCCATTTGGTAGTTCAAGTTTGCGCCTCCCTTGCTCAAGTCCCCAGTGGAAGTTGGTTCCGCAGCCACGCCCCAATAGTATTTTCCGCGCGAATAGCCCAAAATGAAGCCCTTTTCGTCACTGCCGTTGTCCTGAATAAAACTGACGATGCCACCCCACTCATGTTCGTTCGGGTCGTCCAATTTCACCCACGCCGCGACCGTAATCGAGGCACACGGTGCCATGTCAACTCCAAAATCAGGCACGACTAGGTACGAACTATCCGCCTCGTAGTCCAGGGCCGCCTGCTGCATGTTGCCGACGTTCGCCGGATTATCAAGCATGTGCCACTCGTAAGAAGCGCCCGACCCGTCGTAGTAGGGGTCGGTGGTCATGCATTCCTCGCCGCAGCACTCGCCCCACGTACTACAGCACCACCCATGGCATTCCGCCGCCGCCGCGCAGTTGTGCTCGTCGCCGCATTCCGGGCAGAGCTCTTCCCAGTAATCGTAATCCCCGCTCGTGCAGGTGCAAAACGTGTGCCCAGTGTGACTGGTGCTCGAGGCCTGTATCGCCGCATAGTCGTCATCGCACGAGTACGACTGCACGAGCGCAGCGCCGCACAGGTTGTCAGAGTACTCCTCTGCGCGCACACAGTCTTGACCGAAAGTCGCGCACATCTCCCGACAGCTCCCTGCATTGAAGTAATCGTACCCATCATACCCTGGGTCTATAACATTGAACATACACTCGCCGTCCGGGGCGCCGCATTCGTAACCTCTGAACGGGCAGCTCTCTACCGTGCAGTGGTCGTCTCCGCACGTACCGCAGGGAGAGAACATCGTCGCGCAGGTCCCGCTCTCTGTGGTTGCGCCGCCGCTGCGCTCGCAAAGCGGGTACGTGTCCTCGCAGTCGCAGCCGGAAACGTCGTGCCACTTATCGCCGTGCCACGCAGTCTTGAAGAAGGCGCGGTCCTCGCCGCAGAAGCATGTCCCCTCGGACCCGTCCCAATTGGTCCACGAGAGCGCCTCACCGGTATGCCAGTACCACTCGCTACCGTACGCCTCGAGGCCGAGCCAGCAGTTTCGCATACCACCGGCGATGCACGCGCTGTAAGCTGCCTCGTTCTCGGCTTGGGAGTGAATCGTCACGAGGGACGCGTCGCGCTCCGCGCAATAGGTCTTCGCGTCGTCGTACGACGTCGAGTAGTCGCCGACAAAGTACTCGCTAGGAAGGCAGCGGTACCCCTTCTTGCCCGGCCAGCAGTCGTGCTCGCCTTCGTTGCCGCGCACGAGCGTGTACCCGTCCGCGCACCACGTTTCGTAGTCGTAGCCGCAGCAATCACCATCATGCGACGCGCAGTCATATTCCCGACACTTGCTCGCGTCGTGGCTCGAGAGGTCCTGCGACCCGTCGTAGTAGAGCGCGGTGGTCGTGCAGGTCTCTTCGTCCTCGTCCTCGTAGCCCGAGCTGCCCGTGCAGCACTGTCCGTCGCCGTAGTAATCGCAGTCGCAATCGCCGCACGCCGGGTAGCCACAATCCCCACAATTGCAGTTGTCCGGGAGCGAGGCGTCGTTCGTGCAGAAGTCCCTCGTTATGGGGCACGACGTGATGTCCGCTGAGCCGCACCCGCCGCCGCCGCCGTCGAGGCGAATGTTGTCCACGAAGACCTTTCCCCAAGAGGAAGATTGAGTGTCGACGATCCGCACGTAGACTCGCTCGCCGGCGGCGCTGGAGACGTCGCAGGAATCCCAGAAGAACGAATCCGTGTCTTCGCCGCGACTGCTTGAGCAGACCACGCTGCCGCTCTCGCGGTGCACCGAAACGCCGGAGGGGGAATCCGCGCCTCCGCACCGCAGGAATTCAAGGCTTTGGGCGTCGGACGGGAGTTCGAACGTCGGCGACTGCGCCGTGCCCGTGTCGTGGTCCCCGCCAATCGAAAAGTACTGCTCGCCCTGGGCGTTGGGCAGCGGCGTCCCGCAACCGGACACGCACGTGTATCGGGAGACGACGCGCGCGTCGCCCGTGCAGGTCCACCCGCTGGGGCAGCTGTCGATGGCGGTGTCTTCGAAGTCGAAGAGGCAGGCCTGGCTTCCCGCGACGAATGTGAAGGAGTCGTCGTCTGAACCCGTCGACGAACCGGGGATGCTGCAGACGGCGCCCACGGGCTCGGCTCCCTCCCACTCGTCGCAGCCGCCGTCCGCCCAGCCGCTGGTGTGGCCCTTGTAGTAGCCGCCGCAGTCCTCGTTGCCGCCCCAATTATTGGGTTCGCCGCCCGCCCAGTTGATATAGTCGAGCGCGCTGCCGTCGACCCACGCGTACGAGCCCTCTGTGGTCGTGTCGGACAGGCCGAACCACGCGCTCGAGCCGGAGGGAACGACTGCCTTCGCCGCCGCATCCTCGGCGGCGCTGTGGATGGTGGCCAGATCGCCGCCGCGGCTCTGGCACTGCGCGCGGCCGTTCGACCACGAGCCCACGTTGGCGACGAATGAAAATTCTGCAACAACGTCCTCGCATGACACTGTCACCGTGCCGTCATTATCGCACCAGTAGTAGTCACGCCCGTCGCCGCGCGGAGACTTCCAGCAACTATCGGCGGGATCGCCGGTATCGTGGCCGCAGTAGATCTGTGCGTCGTGGAAGACGCCGTCGGGGGAATCGCCGTACGCTTGGCCGTAAAATCGGAATGGATTATTGTCTCCGACCCAGGGATCCGCAGCGGAAAGATCAGGCGCGGTGGCCGTCAGGAACCACCCGCCCGCACGCGTCGAATAGTACAAGTATTTCACCCCGTTGCTGACATCGTCGTTCTCGTACCAAGAACGGCCGTCGCTCGTTGTGCCGGACCAGATCCACTTATTATTGGAGCTGTCGATGTGCGTGTAGTCCGTGTCCGTGTCCGTGTGCTCATTAGGGCAGGCGAGGCCGCTGATCGTGCAGCTGCCGCCCGCCCGGGCCGGCGCGGCGAGGCAGAGGAGCGCCAGCGCGAGGCCGGCGCGGCTGCCCGCGGGGGCTGCTGGTTTCATGGCGATCGGCCCCCTAGCGCTGCCCCAAACCACAAAATCCTCTCTGCTTGGCCGCTAAATCTTGCTGCCGCTAAATGAGAGGCTCTAGGAGGCGGATAGCCGAGCCGCCCACTCGTCCCTAGCACCGTAACAACATCCCCCCCAGGGGCTCCGCCCACTAGTCCTAGCACCGTAGCAATAGACCCCAGCCCTGGGCAGGGGCTCCGCCCACTAGTCCTAGCACCGTAACAATAAATGAGTTGGGACTCAGATCCTCAGGCTCGGGTCTTGTTGTAAACCTCTGGGGACTTATTCAGGCAAGGGGGTATGAACACGCGCCGGATGAATTACGCGCGGGCGCCGCACTGCGAGCAGAACGAGCCCTGTAGCGGGGCGCCGCAGTTGCTGCAGAAGTTTCGCCCGGTCGGCGGCGGCGGCGGCATCAGGGGCGGGACTGCCGTCATTTCCGCTGCGCCCCCGGCCGCGGCCTTAGGGGTGACGGCCACTGCCTCGAACTCGGGCACCTCCTCGCCGCCCTCCTTGAGGGCCTGGACCTCCTCTGCGATCTCGCCCTGCACCAGCGCGTAGAGGGCGCCCCCTTCCGCGGAAGTGGAGACCTCGCCGACGCCGTTCTCCTTGTCGATCGCGATGCACACAAAGGCCGCGTTCGACGCGACGAGGAGCGCGTTCACCGTCTGCCAGAAGAAGAAGGCCGTGACGGCGCCGCAGAAGACGCCGCAGCACCACGGGATCCAGCACCGCGTGATGCTGTCCCCCACGGCCATGGCCACAATGATGATGATGGCCATCGCGGCCGCGGGGGCGATCAGCATAAGAGCCATGACGATGATCATGAACTTGGGCCAGCCGGGGCCGTAGGTATCCGTGTCGCCCCACATGTCGTTGTTCCCGAGGACGTCCTTGCCGTACTCGACGCCCATCCACCACCACGTGAAGATGCCCACGCATAACGACAACCCGTAGCCGATGATCACGAAACTGTTCTGCGCGGACGTCTCCATGACGAGCGCGCCGAGGCCCCGCTTCTTCATGAGCTTGTAGCAGCGTTTGGCACTCAACCAGAACTCGTCCGCCGTGATGACGTGGAAGACGAGGACGTACTTGTTGAGCATCTCGAGCCACGTGAAGCAGCAGCACCGGACGATGCACGCGAGCAGGACGATCGGCCAGCGGACGATGAGCGTGAGGCAGTTCCGGCAGCTGCACTTGCTGTTCTTCTTGATGTAGTTGATGACCTGCAGGACCCAGGCCGTCTTGGAGACCGTGCCGCCGCTCCGCGTGAAGGCGAGCTTGAGGAGCGTCAGGGGCATCGAGGCCTTGACGAGAGACGGGTCCCAGACGTACTGCGCCGTGCACCCCGCCACGTAGTAGACCTGGGTCATGGTCACGTAGTTGCCCATCCACACCCAAATGATGTACATGACGAAGAAGAGGCCGCCGGCGGTCGAGTCGTCTTTCCAGTCGCAACTTGTGTATTCAATTTGGACTCCCGCTTGGACTCCCGCTGCTTTTTCGGTATTCTCCTTGACGGCGGCATGGCGGCCGGCGGCCGAGGCCACGAGGATCAACACGATAACTAAGGAGGCCGACGCGAGCATCCACGTATATACGAGGCACATCAAGGACGGCATCGACAGCAGCGCGTTGCTCGCCACCGAGATGATATTGCCCGCCTTGCGGATCTGGGCGCGCACGCAGTACACGTAGACCCCGATGAGCGCCGCGATGACGAACATGATCGGCTCGACCTGCTCCCCGCCGACCCCGAGGTAGATGCAGAACGCCGCCTCGGCCAAAAACGTGCCGAACAGCACGTGCGTGGCCACCTTCTCCATGAGCTTGAGGAACCCGCCGCAGAGGAACATGATGATGGCGACGACGCCGATCGGGATACCGGGGTGCATGGAGAAGCCCTCCCAGACGTTCTGGGGCACCGGCGTGTTCTTTTTGGACGCGAGGCGGCGGCGGCGGGCCGACGGCGCGTCCCACTGGTTGTTGTCCTCCATCTCCCGGCACATCTCGGACATCTCCCAGAACCCGGTCGGGTATAAACTCTCGGCCCCAGGCGGCGGCACCGCGGCCTTGTCGCAGCACTTCTTGGCGTCGGCCAGGTACTTGTCGTTCACGCCCTCGATCTCGTTGTCCGAGTTCGTGTCGTACCTGGGCGCGCCCGTGGCGCCGAGCCCGATCGCCGAGCAAATGAAGAACAACACGCAGAGGACGCTAAAGTAGCCGCAGCGGCGGTCCGTCCAGGGGCGGTCCTCGAGGAGCACCTTGCGCTCGATGTTGCCGAAGTCGGCGTCGCTCATCTCCACCTCCTTGCCCCCCATGGTGCTGGGGCTGCCGCTGGAATCCGAGGTGTTGGGCAGGGCCGCCTCGTCGGCGGATCCTACCAATTGCACTTCGGCCAGCGGTGGCGAATCCGCGCCGCTAGCCTTGGAACGCATGTACACGTACGCCCCAACTCCAATCGCGGCGAGCGCGGCGACGCCCACGACGACGCCCGCGATGAGTCCCGCCGACGCTGCGTCGGCGCCGCCGTTGCCGTCGGAGGACCCGTCGTCGCCGGACGCCGTGGTGGTGGGCGTACCCACGTTGGTCGTCGTGACGCCGTCGAAATCTTCGTCGACGCCCGCGTCCGTCGCGGCTTTGCTGATTGCGGCGTCGACGTCTGCTGTCGAGCTGCTCGAAATCGCGCTCGTGACCGCTTGAGCCTCGTTCGCGGTCGCGACGCCCACGGTGTACGTCACCACGATTCCCTCCGCGAGGCGACGGCGACGGGCCTCGGAGATTTCCACGGTCACGGCGGACGCGGCCACGCCGCAGAGATCGGCGACGGCGGCGACGAAGACGTCGGTGTTGTCCCGCGCCGCTTCGTACGTCATGCCTTCGAAGGTGAGGTCGCCGGTGACGAGGAAGGGTGATTCGAGGAAGGGCGATTCGAGGGGCGTCGGGTGATCAACCTCTCTTCGGAAGTAGAAATCGCCCTCGACGCAAATCGTGTCGCCGCCCCCGACGAGTTCGGACCCGTACTGCGGTTCGCCACCCACGGAGGGAGTCTGCCAGGCACTGTCGTCGAAGCCGAGTTGCGTCCAACTGCTCCCAGAGACCCAGTTGCTCGCGCGCCAGTTCTGCGTGTCGGCCGTCAGGCCGTGCCACGGCCCGGTTCCGTCCGCCGTGGAGCAGCGCATCGCGAATCCGCCGTACTGGCATCCGCCCTGATTGTCGTAGCCGCTGATTGCGAAGAGACTCGCCGCGCTGGAGAATCTGAGCGTCGCCGGCCACTCGCCGCAGAGAGAGCCCGTGACGTCCTGCCCGTCGACGTACACGGCGGTAATTTCGTCGTTGATTACCAAGGAGCACGTCACGTCTGCGTCCGAGCCACTGGTTGCGTCGGAGCCGCAGTCCTCGTCCTCGTCGTGGTCGCACACCTCCGGCGGCGGGAAGCCCTTGACAGCCACCGGCCCAAAGACGTCGCACTGCCACTCACCCCCGACCGACGCGCAATTTTCTTTTTCCCCACATTCGCACCAGTGGTGAGGGCTGCCATAATAGTGACATCCCGCCGCGGCGCACTCGCTCTCGGACACGGCTCCGGGGTCGAACCCGTCGTCGGTCTCGCCGCACCAGCAGTCGTCCTCCGCGTCGAACTCGCTGATGCAGTCGCAGCAATCGAAGCAGAAGCACTCCGTTTCGCTTGGCATCCACGTCATGGCTTCGTATCCCGCCTCGTCGCAGGCGTCGATGCACTCCTCGCGCGAGGCCATCTCCCCGTTCCACTTGTCATCGCAGCCCCCGCTGCACCAGCCAGCTGGGCCGTCGGTCCAATCGTCCTCGTCGCCGTCCTCGTCGCCGCCCTCGTCCTCGTCGCCGTCGTCGTCCACCTCGAACTCGCATCCTGGCGGCTTGAACGAGATGGCGTCGTACGTGCCGTGGCCCTGAAAAGTCCGCAAGCCGATACCGCCGCTACTATAACTAGAGTCGCTGAAGCTGCCGATCTCGGCACCGTCAAGGAAGACAGTGAAGTCTGATCCGTCCATGTTAATACCGAGGTCATAAAACTGTCCGTGTGTGATCGTGGTATAGTATGTGAAGAGGGATAACCAGGCATTGTTCATACGCCCACATGAAACCCAAGAATGCCGTACTATGCCGCAGTAGTACATCTGCCCACCGTTATTCAAGTAATCGGCGGCAGACGGCATGTCGGTGATGCGAAAGAGAAGACCAGTTTGAGCACCATCAGATAAACTGACCGATGCCTCAAGGTAGCCATCGGCGTAGTCGGCGTCCCTGTACAGTACATTACCTTCGCCAGAGTTGCCAACATTGTTGTCGACCGTGCCGCCCGACCACGACCAGTCGCCATCCACGGAGACCCAGTTGCTGTCGATGCTACTGAAGTCGTCGGAGAAGCAAGTCCCCGCGGTCGCCGAGCCGCATGACACTGTCACCGTGCCGTCATTGTCGCACCAGTAGAAGTCTTGACCGTCGCCGCGCGGGGTCTTCGAGCAACCATCGGCGGGATCGCCGGTATCGTGGCCGCAGTAGAGATCTGCGTCGTGGAAGACCCCGTCGGGGGAATCGCCGTGCGCCTGGCCGTAAAATCGGACTTGATTGTTGCCTCCGACCCAAGGATCCGCTGCGGAAAGATCAGGTGCGGTGGCCGTCAGGAACCACCCGTGCGCACGCGTCGAATAGTACAAGTATTTCACCATAACGCTGACATCGTCGTTCTCGTACCAAGATCGGCCGTCGCTCGTTGTGCCGGACCAGATCCACTTATTATTGGAGCTGTCGATGTGCGTGTAGTCCATGTCCGTGTCCGTGTGCTCGTCAGGGCAGGCGATGCCGCTGATCGTGCACGCCCCGCGCTCGGCCGAAGAACCGCCGCTACCATCGGTACGGCAGAGGGGCTTCGGGGCCCAGTAGTCGTCGGGCGCGTCGTACCACATGCCCGACGCGTCGACGCCGTCTGTGCCGCAGCAGTTCATCATGGCGTTCCTCTCGTCTCTGCCATTGTGATTCTGCGGCTCGCTCGACAGCCAGTTCGTGTAACTGGCTGTCGATCCATCCATCCACCGCCACGTCTGGCTCTCCTTGGGCGTCGACGCGCTGCCGCCGACTTCTTCGAGGCCGATCCAGCACGACGAGCCGCCGCACGCTTGGCGCGCCAGCTCGTTCTCGGTCGCGCTATAGATGGTGGCGATCGATGCGCCTATGCTTGAGCAGTAGGCCGTCGCGTCGTAGTAATTGCCCCCCGAGGGCCCAGCGACGAAGAGATCCTCGGAGGAGCCCCCGCTCGTGCAGGTGCAAAACGTGTGACCGAGGCTGTGCCCGCTGCGCAGCTGTATCGCCGCATAGTCGTCGTCGCACGAGTACGACTGCACGAACGCCGCGCCGCACAGGTTGTCAGAGTACTCCTCTGCGCGCACGCAGTCTTGACCGAAAGTCGCGCACATGTCCCGACAGCTCCCTGCATTGAAGTAATCGTACCCATTCCACTCTGGGTCTATAACATTGAACATGCACTCGCCATCCGGGGCGCCGCATTCGTAACCTCTGAACGGGCAGCCCTCTACCGTGCAGTGGTCGTCTCCGCACGTACCGCAGGGAGAGAATGTCGTCGCGCAGCTTCCCTCGAACATCATGTCGTCGCTTGAACCGCCCTCGTCCTCGTCCTCGTCGCCGTCCTCGTCGGCGAGGAGCCGCGACGCTTTGGCCGCCCTCTCCGCGCTGCGCTTGACGGCGGGACGGTGCTCCTCTCTCGTGACCGGGGCGAGGGCGTGGAGGTCCGCTACCGCGCGCGCCGCCGCCGCGGCGAACAGGAGGAAGCGAATCATAGTAATGCTGCCCATGGTGGCGGCAAGTGATGCTGCCCCAGAGCGACGGACGGACGGGACGCGCGACGAGCAACTGATGCTCCTGACGCGCTGCTTTCCTTAGGTTTGTCAACGCTGCCTACTCCTCAGCACGCCTTAATACCAGCTATTGTTCGGTTGCCTTGCCTGAGGAGATACGAAATACGAAATTAAATCAAACTTATAAGCATGCCCACATGCTGCCAAAGATCGGAGCCACGGAGTCCTCGTACGGATTGATAAGAAAAAAAAAAAAAAACCTGGCTAGAGGGGCTAGCTAGTGTACCTAGGTAGCTAACGAGCCAAAAGCCTAAGCCTTAGAAAGGCTGCCGGCAGGCATTTTGCGCGGCTCTGTCGAAGCTTCACGCGACAAGAGAATCTGCGCTGCACCCGTGCGACCTTGCAGCAGTGCGCATCCGAAGTCGCTCGAGTGCAAGGTGCAAAAATGGATGCCGTGCGCCGCGGCCTCGCGCGCGTGCACGCCCGGCTCGTGGACGGCGCCACGGCCCTGACCTGCATCAGCCACAAGGCTCCCGCCCGCCTGCTGCCGCTGCACACGCCCGCCGCGGCGCGGCGCGGCGCGGCGCGCTGCGTGCTGTCGAGCCTCGGCGGCGGGCTCCTCCAGGGCGATGCCATCGCCGTCGAGGCGCGCGTCGGCGCGGGCGCGACGCTGCAGCTGTCGACGCAGGCCTCGACGAAGGTCTATCGGGGCGCGCGCGGCGCCGCGCAGTCCCTGGACGCCGACGTAGACGCGGGCGGGTTGTTGGTCGTGACGCCGGACGCCGTGACGCCCTTCGCCGGGAGCCGTTACGAGCAAAAGCAGACCGTAACATTGGCGGCGGGCGGCTCGTGCGTCGTCGTGGACTGGCTCGGCGCCGGCCGGAGCGCGAACGGCGAGCGCTGGCGGAGTTTGGCGTGTACATCGCGGACGGCGTACGTCACCGCCTCGCGGACGTTGGTGGACGCCGTGGCGCTGCCCGGCGCCCACGCCATCGACGCGACGGACGCCTGGTACGACGCGGTGGTCTCCTGCGTCTTCGCGGGGCCGCGCGCGCAAGAAACGGGCGAAAAAGCTCTGGCCGTGGCGCGGCGCTTGGCTGCTATGCGGGGCGCGCGCGTCGCCGACGGTGCCCAGGCGGACGTGGGCCCCCTGGCGGGTGCGGTTTTGATGGGCGCGGGCCGCGTCGACGACGATCTCGTGGTCGCGCGCTTCTGCGCCGAGGCGCCCGAGGACGCCTACCGCATTTTGAAAGAGGCGCTCGCGCCCCTGGAAGGTGCGCTCGGCGAGGCGCCGTACGCCGAGCGGCTCCACGGCGTCGGCGGGTTCGGACGGAGGGCGCGCGTGCCGGCGGAAGACGCGGTCGTGGATGTGGCGGACGCGTCATCGACGCCTATGACGCCGGAGCACGTCCTCGCGCTGTCGCAGCTCGTCGACTCGGCGCTGCCGACGGGCGCCTTCGCCCACTCCGGTGGGCTCGAGGCGGCGGCGCAGCTCAACCTATTGAGGGCGGACGACGAGGCGAGTTTGGTAAGGTTCCTGGGCCAGCTGCGGGCGTCGCACTACTCGCTATATGTGCCCTTCTTCGACGCCGCGTACCGCGGCGAGGATCTTGCGGCCCTCGACGCGGCGCTCGACGCGCTCCTCGCGCCGGCGCCGCCCGCGCAACGGGCCTCGCTCGCACAGGGCGCCGGCCTGAGGCGTGTGGCGGGTGCCCTCGGCGGCGGCGTGCCGGAGGCCTGCGCCCACGGCGCCGTGGCTCTCGGCGCGCTGGCTCATTCGCTCAATCTGCCGCTGGCGGCCGCGCGCGACGCGTTCGCCTTCGCGGCGGTCCGCGACGCGTGCTCGGCGGCCGTGCGCCTCGGCCTCTGCCAGCCGACGCGCGCCGTCGCCGTGCAGCGCGAGGTCCTCGCGCGGCCCCGGCCCGGCGTGCCGGCGGTCGAGGACGCGGCGGCGGCGGCGCCGACCGTCGACGCGGCGCACTGCGCTCATGATTTGTTGGAGATGCGGCTTTTTCGGAGTTGATGCTCTTGTTTCTTCTTCGGCATTTTTAGGATGTTTTGTATAAGTTTTGTACATACTAAGGACCCATTTAGAGAGAGAGAGAGAGCCATTTTGAGAGAGAGAGAGAGAGAGCCACTCTTGAACATTTTTGCTAGCGGCCTGTAACACACTAGGGGCTGCCAGCTATGATGGCCTTTTGACCACCGCATTACTGCACAAACGTATTTATCTCGATCGCAAAGCTCAGTTATGAGTCGCATCACTATTCTGCTGGCCGCCATTGCACAATGCGCAGCATTGAACCCTGCCATCAAGCTGGCAGGCAAGGGCATGGCACTGCTCGGTCCCGTGTTCACGCTTGAAAACAAGCTGCAAGCGGCGGCACTGGGCCGCATTGGTGGCGTCGACAGCGAAGATGTCAAGCAGGAGATTGCCGACGACATCAAGGCGCCGTGCGTCATCTATACGTATGGTTTGTCGCCGTTCAGCACCGAGGCGGTCGCGCTGCTCGAGTCGAAGGGTGCGAAATTCGAGGTGAAGGAGTTGGGTTCGGGGCAGTGCACAAATCACGACAGCTTCCGACGCGAGGCCTACTCGACGGCGTGGTGGGGCGGTTCTCGACATTGGTTGATTTGCACACAGGACCGGAGTGGTTTCTCTTGGGACCCCAAGCATCCGTCAAGCGCGCCGAGCTCGAAGCGATGACCGGTCAGAGTTCCTTGCCCCACGTGTTTATCGGCGGCGAGCACGTGGGTGGTCTGGCGACGGGCCCCGGCATCGCGACCCTCGACGAGGACGGCGAGCTCGACGCTCTGCTCGCGAGCGCGGGCGCGACCCAGAGCGCGGCGACGAGCGGCGGCGGGAAGCTGTTCGGGATCTTCTAGATTGTCTGTGTTTAAAAGTCACAATTACAGGTAGGCCTGCACGGCCCGCAGCGTCGCCCGCGTCTGGTAGACCGAGTCCGTCACGTGGAACGCGACGTCCCGCGTCTCGTCCACATAGTTTGGAATGCGCGGCCCCAGGGCCCGCCGGATCGGCATCTTGAGGCCGTGCGCCGCCGACGCCGTCATGGCCTCGGCCTTCCAGCGCGTCGGCGCGCGGAGCCGGACGAGCGCGAAGATCGACGCCGTCGTGGGCGCGTGCGCCGCAAACCAGTCGCGCTTGATGTCGATCCAGGTCCAGTTCTGCAGCGTGCGGTCGAAGCCGTAGATTTCGTATAAAAACGACGAGAAATTTGAATGAGGGTCGAAGCGCGACCACTGGACGACGTCCACCTCTTTATCGATCATGTGCCGCGCGTGCTCGGTCAATACTACCGAAGATGCCACGGGCGGCCAGAGGATGGCCGAGAAGTAGCGCTCGCCGATGGGACCGCGGTGCATGCGCTTCTTCGAGTCGCAGACGCAGTTTGGATCGTTGTCGGCGGCATTTATTCCCATGCGCCGGCAGCGCGCCTCGGACGGTCTTGAACCGACACAGTCGCGCCTGGAGCAGGACCAGCGGCAGCAGTCGCCTCCATCATAAATGCAGGCCTCCGTGTTTAGTGCAGGATCGCAGCGGCCGTCTCCAATACGTATTGCATTTGAGGCACCGCAGGCCGCGGCAAAAACAAGTTCCGCGGGGTCGGCGCAGGTCGCGAAGGGCCCGTGCCCCGTGGACGTCGAAGCGCAGCAATCACCAAGGTCGAAGCCGCAGCCGTCATTGTTGAGCGCCGCGTCGCAGACGCCGTCTCCCAAACGGCCTTTTGCGGTGGTGTGCGCGGCGGGGCACGTCGGCGCCTTGCCGGCCGCGACGACCACCGTGGGCAGCAGCCACCATATGAGTGTCATGCCTTTGGCGGCGCGGGGTCCATGGGCAGCCCCAGCGGCGTCCGGCGGCCCAAATTGTGCTCACGAGTCTCGGTTATCAATGCGTTCACCATGCGTTCTCAGCATCATGATCACGCAAATTGCAGCTAGCTAGAGACACTAGGAACCCGCGACGTAACTCTAGCCTGAGCCTGAGCAATGCGGGGGGAGCGGGAGGGGTACGGGGGACCCCGCGACGTAACTAGCCTGAGCCTGAGTCCTAGGTTTCTGGTACAGCGGGGATTTGAGCGGCGACCGAGCAGCGCGCGGGTGCCTAGTGGCTCGCAGGTAGAAGTTCCCACGCCGTCGACAGCGGCGTTCCAAGGTACGAGTTGATGGTGTGATTAGGCAGGATTATCTATGTGCAAAACGCCCTCCCTAGAAGAGGAAGTAGCTCCGCGCGAGCGGCACCTCGGACGCCGGGTCGCACGTCAGCACCTCGCCGTCGGCCTTCACTTCAAAAGTCTCGGCGTCGACCGTGATTTCAGGACAGGCGTCGTTCAAAACCATGTCCCGCTTCGCGACGCTCCTCGTACCGGAGACCGGCGCCGTCGTCTTCGCCAAGCCGTACTTCGACCCGACACCCAGGTCGTGCGCTGACTTGGACACGAAGGCCAGCGACGTGTCGCCCACCGCACCCCCAAGGGCCCCGAACATGGGCCGCATCTTCACGGGCTGGGGAGTTGGTATCGACGCATTGGGGTCGCCCATCTGCGCGTAGGCGATGCTCCCTCCTTTAATAACCATCTCCGGCTTCGCGCCGAAGTTGCACGGCTTCCACAGGACCAGATCGGCGAGCTTGCCGACCTCGATCGACCCAATATGGTCGGCCATGCCGTGGGCCAGCGCCGGATTGATCGTATACTTCGCCACATACCTCTTAATGCGGTGGTTGTCCGCGCCCGTATCCTTGTCTTGAGGTAAGTCCCCGCGTTGGTCCTTCATCTTGTTCGCGGTCTGCCACGTCCGCGTGACGACCTCGCCGATGCGGCCCATGGCTTGACTGTCGGACGAGATGATCGATATGGCCCCGAGGTCGTGTAAAATGTCTTCCGCGGCGATGGTCTCGCCCCTAATACGACTCTCGGCGAAGGCCACGTCCTCCGGGATATTGCTATCTAGATGGTGGCAGACCATCAACATATCCAGGTGTTCATCGATGGTGTTGACCGTAAACGGCCGCGTCGGGTTCGTCGAGGACGGTAGGACGTTCGGCTCGCCGCAGACCTTGATGATGTCCGGGGCGTGGCCGCCGCCCGCCCCTTCGCTATGATACGTATGAATAGTGCGCCCTTTGATCGCAGCTAACGAATCATCTACAAATCCACTCTCATTGAGAGTGTCGGTATGTATCGTGACCGCCACATCATGTTCGTCCGCGAACGACAAACACGCATCGATCGCGGCCGGCGTCGTGCCCCAGTCCTCGTGGAGCTTGAAACCGGCCGCGCCCGCGTCCAGGACCTCCTTGAGACCCCCCGGATCGCTCGCGTTGCCTTTCCCGGAAAAGCCGAAGTTCATCGGAAACGCATCCGTCGCCTTCAGCATCATTTCGACCTCGGAAGGGGCTGGAGTACAAGTAGTAGCACAGGTGCCGGAGGCCGGCCCCGTGCCGCCGCCGTACATGGTGGTCAATCCCGAAGCGATGGCGTCCTCGCACTGCTGCGGGCAGATGAAGTGGATGTGCGTATCTACACCTCCTGCTGTTAGGATTAATTTCTCGCCCGCGATCGCTTCCGTAGTAACCCCAACGGTCATGCCCGGCGTCACATTGGCCATGGTGTCCGGGTTTCCTGCTTTTCCTATGCCTACTATCCTGTTCCCCTTCAAACCGACGTCGGCCTTGACTATGCCTTGGACAGCATCGACAATCAAGGCGTTCGTGATCACCGTGTCCAAGGCTTCGTCCGCAGAACACCCGGTCTGCTGGCCCATGCCCTCGCGCAGCGTCTTGCCGCCGCCAAATTTGCACTCATCACCATACGACGTGTAATCCTTTTCTACTTTGAGTTTTAACGACGTGTCTCCTAGCGTGACCACATCGCCCGTCGTCGGACCGAACAACTCCGCGTAGTGGGCCCGCGGGATCTGCAAAGCTACTCCGGGCCTCGACTCTTCGTCCTGGTGGCCGAAGCCTCTATCCACGACTCTTTGGAGCGTCTCCGCCTTCCGTGCTTCGGACGCTTCTCCATTCGTCAACAAATTGCCGCTCTTCACGATCCTGTGGCCGGCGATATCTACTAAAGTAACAACTTTGGACTCTCCTGGTTCGAACCTCACGGAAGAACCCGAGGGGACATTTAAACGACGTCCGTAGGCCAGCCCGCGATCAAAGACCAACGCGGCGTTCGTCTCGAGGAAGTGGTAGTGGCTGCCCACTTGTATCGGTCGGTCCCCAGTATTAGTGACACTACATTCGACCAATGACCGGCCCGCGTTCAGCTCGATGGTGCCGTCTTCCGTCGCAACGGCTCCCGGGATCATGGATGAGGCATTGCCAAATACACTGAGAGGAGGCGCCGGTAGAAAGGAGCCGTGCAAGGCTAGTTCCAAATCGCCGTCCTCAGAGGCGATGGGCCGGTGCACGGTCAACAGTTTGGTCCCATCCGGGAAGGTGCCCTCGACCTGGACCTCCTGGACGACCTCGGGCACGCCGGGTAACGTTTGCCGCCGCCCCAGTAACTGTTGTCCTGTTTGCATAAGTTCCGCGACGCCGACGCCGTCTCTTATTTTTTCAAGCATCACCGTGGAGATCAGACCCACGGCTTCGGGCTGGTTCAATCTTAAACCGCGTGCGAGGCGCTTCTGGGCTAAGGCGCCTACTTGGTGTAATTGGAGATGATCGGCTTCGCGCGGCGTGAGATGTAACTGGCGCGCTTGCGTTATACCGGGGGCCTGGCGTCGTAGGATGGTTTTTGCTTGTTGGTGGGTTCGTGCGAGGGCCATGGCTGCTTGCCTCGCCTCGTCGCGCGGATGGCAGCCCTGGCGCACTCTGGGTGCAAAGCTGCCGGTGCGAAGCGTCGGGCGGCGAGGTTGCGTGTCCGAGGCGTCGGACGGCGAGTGGCTTGACTGCTGAACTTCTCTCGCAAGCAGCGGTGCGCTGTCGGCGGCGGGACCCAGCCCTTTTGCCGCGGTGCCAATCACTGAAGCCAGAGAGCCAAGCCCCAGACGCGCGCTAGGCGTCGCGACTGCCGCTCTCGTTGCCGTGGGACGTTCGTTGGGCTACGAGAAGCGCGACACGACCGCTTTTACTGATCTCGCGCCGGCAGCAAGCACCGCTTCGCACCAGAAACAGCTGATAGCGCTCCCAGCCCGCCGTGCGCGCAAGAGCAACTTCTGACAGCGTTCCCAGCTTAACGCCCGTCGCCGCGCGCCCGCAGCGAGAGCACCGAACGTAACGACGCCACGATGGACGCCGAGACGCGCGGCGTCGTCGTCGACGCCATATCAGGATTCATCGCGGGCGCGGCCTGCACGCTCGTCTTCCAGCCCCTGGACACGATTCTGGTGCGGCAGCAGTACGTTGGTACAACAACCATGGAGTCCGCGGTCGCTGTGCTTAAAAGAGGCGGCAACCTCGCGCTGTGGCGCGGCGCGACGCCACTCATCGCCTTGGTGCCGTTCCAGAACGCGCTGCTCATGGTGGGCTACGGTGCTGGTCAGAGGTGGGGCGAGCGCCACACCACGGAAACGTCCGCCGTTTTTGTGGGAGGCTGTGCGGGTGGCTTGGCGCAGTCGTTCGTCGCGAGCCCGTTCGAGCTGGCCAAGGTCCGGAGGCAGTTGTTTGGGCCTCCACCGTATGATTGGAGGCTGGCGACGCGGGGCCTGCACGCGACGTTCCACCGCGACGTGATTCCGCACGGCGTTTGGTTTTGGGTGTACGATCGATGTAAAAGGACGTACGGCGACGATGGAATGGCGACGATGGCGTCGGGGGCCGTGGCGGCGGCCGTGGCCTGGGTCGTGGGCTACCCGGCGGACGTTTTGAAGACGCGGATTCAAGGGAGTCCCCAATCAATGTCATTAACGCAGGCGTCCCGGGACCTGCTGAAGCGGGAGCCGCCCGGGGTCGTCAACGCCGTGCGAGCCTTGTACCGCGGCCTCGGGCTGAAACTGTTGCGGGCGGTGCCGTCCTCCGCGGTCAACTTCTCCGTCTACGAGTGGACGAAGCGGCGGCTGGAGGGCGTGGTCTAGTCTTTTTTGCATATATTTTGTTCATTATCCTCGCGTCTAGCCTTGCTCTGTCTCCTTGCGTTCGATCCTTGCGTGTCGCCGCGCCGCGCCGCGCCTCCCAAGTGGGTTCTTGGTCGTCGGATCGCTCGCCAAGGCTGACTACGAGTGTCCTTGGAGTGGTTGCGGCGCTTTATCGACGCTTCTGTGAGTCCTTTTCGTGCGGGTTCAGTCAGAGCCAAAACCTTGACACCTGCTGCCGCACGCGCGCGCCAAGACTTCTCTGACGCAATTGACGGTCGAATCACTGCCCTTGGGTAGTTGTCGCAGCGTCGAGTCGAAGAGATTGTGCGTTGGCGTCGCGTAGACGCGGAGATCTGCCCAGTTGGCTCCAGCCTTACAAAAGCGCTCCAGACCTCGCCGCCCACGGAAGTCGCGCCCCTCCAGACGCCGTCAGCGCGCCGCCGGACGACCAAGACACGAACCAAAGAAGTATGTCGCGCTTCGTCGCCGCCATACTGCTCTCCGCGATCGCCGTGGACCGCTTTGTGCTGGTGGAAGCCAGGACGCACGTAAGCGCCACAAGGCTCCTCTTCCCGAACGAGCTCGTGCCGTCCTCCGAGAATAGGGTGGTGCCCAGCGGGCCGCTCGTGGACCACTACGAGGGCGACGACGACATCGTCTGCACGGTGAGCGAGCACGGCGCGCTGTCGCCGGGCTGCCAGCGGCACACCTTCAAGCGCGCGGCGCTCGACCTGCGCCGCCCGCACGCCGCGGACCACCACCCGATGATGGCGTAGAGATACCCCTCCGTCTGTGTGTCCCCCGCGGCCGCCGCGCGCGGCCGCGGCCCCTCCTCTGAAATTAACTGATCATACTTATACGTTAGCACACAACATGGGGCACTAGCGCTGCTCGCGCGCTCTGCGTCTCGCCTCGCGCCGCAGGCGAGTGGCTCGTCCAATTGGAGACTCTGCCGTCTCCTCCGCTGCGGTCACCTCCGCCGCAGGCTCTCGCGGCGGGGGAAGCCCGAGGTGCTGGCGCGCCTCGGCCTGCCGCGCAGCCAGGCGCGGGTTCGCGGCGACGTCGAGCACGAGCCGCGGTCGCTGCTCGGGTAACGCGCCGGTGTCGCGCGGAGCCGACAGGACGGTCTCGGCGGGAATGATGTTGAGTGACACGAGCTGCTGGCGGAAAGCCTCCGTGCCCGCCTCGTCGAGATTCATACCGGGCATGGCACTTAAGATTTGATGTAAGTTGTACTCCTGGGCAGTCGGCTGCTTCGTGAGCGCCGCATAGTAATCATCATCGTCGATCGCGTGCGGCTCGTCGAGGTAGGACCGCCAGAAGCTGATCACGCGCCAGAATACGCCCTTCGGGAGAGCGAAGAGCCGTTCGAACTGGGCGGGCGGCTTGGCGCGGTCCTTTTCGCAGAGCTCCCGGAGCACGAGCATGTCCTTCCGCGGCGGCAACGTGTACTTGCGCCAGCCTCCCGCGGCCAGGACGACGGCAATCAACTTTCGAGAGTTCGATGGCGGAATCCCTCCGCAGCCTCGCCAGAGCTGCTCGTACCAGTCCGTCTTGGCGCCACGAGCCAAGAGAAAATGTACGAGATCGTCATGGTGTGAATCCCGACCCCGCCAAAAAATGGCGTCGCGCAGCGGCACCATCTTCGTGCCGTATGGGCCGTCGCGCACCGCGTTCACGTCCTCTCCGGCGTCGACGAGGAGTCGCGCGAGTTGGAGGGCTTCCGAGGGACCCTTTGTGAAGGGTACAATTGAGGACCCTTTGATACGGCAGAGCTGGTGTAGGGCGCCCTCCGTGCTCGCGCCGTGGCGAAGGAGCAGCTGCGCCATTTCTACGCGCCCCGGGTAACCCTCGACCTCCTCGACACTGCAGACCTCTTTCAGGGCGCCCTCTGTGCTCGCTCCGCGGCTAATGAGCAGCGCCACCGCGTCGGCATTGCAATGGCTGATGGCAGAGATCAGCAATCGGCCGCCGTTACGCATCTGCGCGTCGACGTCGCCACCGCAGTCTAGCCACAGGCGCAGCTGGTCGAGGCCTTCGGGCTTGCCCATGCGGGACATGAGTAGCGACGGCGCGATCGAGAGGGTGCCGCGCGTCACGTTCGTGTAGCCCGCCGCATGCAGGCGCTTGATGTTGTCGGGCGGCTCTGGCGCGTTGTCCAAGAGGGGGTCCGATGCATGTCCCGTGAGCAGCGCCGCAAGTTTCGCGCAGCGTTTCTGCTGCTCCTCGACCATTGCGGCGTCGATGACAGAGGCGACCAGATGAGCCTGATTGCTTTCTCGTCAACCAGCGCGAGTTGCTGCAACAAAATCCACAGCTGTGGAGTGTGTCGGTAGAGAACGTATCGGGGCTCGCGTAAGCCCGATGCGCGTACGCGTAGGCGGCGTGGGCGTGCGGCAGTCAAGCCGTGCTAGCGACACAAAGATACTAGGAAAGAACGGGGGGAGCGGGAGGGGTACGGGGGACCCCGCGACGTAACTAACCTGAGCCTGAGAACTAGAAAACTCTATCCGCAGTTATACGTACTTGCACATGTTACTTAGAAGAACCCCCGCCGCCGCCCGAACCCCCGCCCAAAACCGCGCCCAATACCACGCCCGAAGCCGCGCCGCTGCCCCGTGAGCATCTGCACGAGCCACATGAACTGCATGGGACCCATGCCCAGGAAGGGTTGGTGCCCAAAGTACGGCGGCAGTTTCCAGGCCGCGAGCATGAGTGCCGCGAGGCCCATCGTTCCGAGGCCCTGGCCGCCGCCGCCGCCGTAGTAGGAAGGTCGATAGTCGTCGTATTCCCGTTCGTAGGCGGCGTTTCGCCGCCGAGGCGGCGCGTAGCCGCGACGCGAGCCGCCCATGATAATCGACAGGAAGTAGAGCGCGAACAACGCCGCGGCCCATACGCCTGCTTTGTTCAAGCCGTCGAGCCCTTCGTACCAGATCCGGACCCGCGTGACCGCGTCCAGACCGTCGCTTTGCCGCGGCGGCGGTCGTCCGGTCGGGTCCAGTTCGGCCGCGCGCGCATAGGCAGCAGCTGCCTCGCCGCGCCGCCGCGGGTCGCGCTCGAGGCAAGCACCCAGTCGCGACCAGCCCTTGGCCCACGTCGGCGAGATTTGCACCGTCGCCTCGGCATCGTCTAGGGCCTCTCGCCAGCGTCCGAGCTGCTGGTACGCGGCGCACCGATTCGAGTGGTAAAGATGCAAATCCATGTCATTGCCATCGGCGCGCTCGATCGCCTCTGTGAAGCACCTCACGGCTCCAGCATAGTCCTTGGCCACGTAGCAGCGCGCGCCGCGCTGTTTTGCTTGCGAGGCATTCATTGTTATGGCCCTGCACGCAGCCGCTGACTGTTTGGGATGTGCGGGGAGAGTCGTTTGGTGTTGCTGCCTTTCCTCGATGGCGTGCAGGGGCAGCCTTTCAGTTGGTGGGCAAAGTCCGAGCTAGCGCACTGTAACATACTAGCAAGCTCCAGGAGCTGAAGCAAATCAGGCTCTGATCTGCGCTGTTACGCGTCAAATCGCCGTTCTGCAAGCCTCAACTGCACTTCGAATCACTCGAGCGCACGCGTGGCTCACCACGATGCCGCGACGACGGCCTGTAGCCCTCCTAGCCCTGTGCACAGCCGCCAGCGCGTTCCAGCTCGCACCACAAACGCGCCGCATCACTGCCAGGCACTTGTTACCAGAATTCCTGCTCGCCGCGGGGGACAGCGCCACGGTCGTCGAGTCCGTGGGCCCGGAAGTCTATGGGAAGATTTTCGGGGGCGGCGTCGGGCTTTTTGTCGTCGGCGTCGGCGGCGCGGCCATCACGGCGCTGCTCATCGACTCGACGGACGCCTACGAGCGTTTGGCGGAGGACTTTGGCGCGGAAGGCATGAAGGGCCTCGAGGAGGAATTTGGGGCCGACGCGGCGCGCGCGGTCGTCGAGGGCGTGAAGTCGGACACGGCCGATCGAAAAATTGACGTAACGGCGCCGGCGCCGAAGGAGGAACCCCTCTTCGAGCTGCCGTCGCTGCCGTCTTTGCCGAACCCCTTCGGCGGCGGCGACGAGGCCCCCACGGCCGCGCCGGTGGCGGACGACGACGACGACTACGACGACTAGGCGACCCTTGCCGCGCGCGACGCGCGCGAGAATGTGACTGAACGCTGTGGGGCGTAATACTATCCACACACTTAGTCCATCGTGTACTCGTCCGTCCGCAGCGCGACGTCGAACGCCTCGGAAAGGGCCGTCCGGTCCGTAAACAGCGGCAGGTCGATGCGGTTGAAGCACGTGTGCGCCCGAGGATACACGGCCCGGTCCAGGCTCACGGACGTGAGCGTGAAGCGCTTGACCGCGCCGTCGCGGCCCTGCAATTGGTCGAAGCCGCCGACGGGCACGCGCGTCGACCCCGTGCACCACTGTAATAATCGAGCGCGCTTCGCGACGGGCCATCCCTCCACTTCGGCCCAGAACATCTTCACCACATGACTCGACTCTTCCAGAGCGCCTCTATACACCGTGGACCGGCGCCACTCGTTTACGTCGATGTCCGGCGCACCAAACAACACCAATTCCAACTCGCGCGCCGACAGCAGCATTATAACGATGCGCGGCACCACACTGTACACGCCCCGCAAGAACGCGTCCAAGCTACCCCGCCTTCCGTCGAAGACGCGGTCCCGCAGCCGCGCCGCCAGGAAGTCGTCCACGTTGTCGCCCGTCACGGACACGTCCCTCCCATTCTCCACCAAATCCCGCGTCGTCGTCTCGCCGAACGCGACGTGGTCCACCGAAAACGTCAGCATCAGATCCGCGACCGTCTCCCGAGACATGGAGTGGAGCTGGCTCATGTTTTGATGTAATTCCGGATCCGTTAATTCCAAATCATCGAGCTCGATGGGCTCCGTGGCGACGTATTTCAATAAAAGTCGATTGAGATGAAATAAGGTCGAGAGGTGGTGCCCCTCCAACAAAGCTTTACCTAATAATTGTCCAGCAAAGGTAAACCAGGGCGCCGGGTTCTTGTCATGTGCTGTTGCGGCATCTCTATCTTCGACTAGGTCATACGTCCCGTCGGACGCCGGTCGGAACAGCCCCAAATCGGGCGCGACCAATTGGGACGAGGCGAGCTGGAAAAATTCGCGTGATAGGCCTCCCGCGTCCAATCCCGCTTCGCCCCGAAATTTCACGAAGAACGGCTGGCGCCACTGCTCGTCACTTAACGACCCGAGAGAATTAAATGCGTCGTAGAGCGCGTGCTTCCTTGATACCGTAAATTCCACTTTTCCGGTCGTCCAGGGCACGCGCAGGGCATTGCATGCTGTTCTGAACGCGTCGAGCCTCGCACCATGCGTCAACGATGACTGGAGCGCGCGGCAGACGGCGTCCGACGGTTTTAAAACTTTGAGCGGCTCCGACGCTGATCTAAGAGCGCTTCCGTCGTCATAGTCCGCATGATACACGAACGCATCGTGCCCGTGCCACTGGACGAGCCCCTGGTTATTGGCGCCCCAGCTGAAGCTTCGCTGGTTCCCGCTCTGGTCCTCGCTTCGACGAAAGGGCGGGTCCTGGCTCCAGTTCCGCCGCTGCTGGGGCGTCTCGATGTCGTGGGTCTCTGGTGGCGGCTTCGTGGGTTTCCGCCGCTTCGCGAAGTAAACGGCGGCCGCCGCGATGAGCAAAGCCGCGGCGCCGGCGCCGGCGCCCGCGGCCGCGGCGTCCGGCCCGCCGCCGCTGCTACTGCCGCTACTACCACTACTCACCAGTGACACGGCGGGCGCCGGCGTCGGCGCCCAGGGCATGACGTCGGCGGCGCCGCACCAGGTCCCGCCCTCGCAGGCCTCGCAGTTGCCGCGGCTCCAGTAGCACTCGTTCGCCTCATCAATAATCGTCGCACAGGAGCCGCACGTGTCCGTTGTTGTCGAATAGAAGCAGCAGCCGACGAAGCCCAGCGCGTCGGCCGGCGCCGGCGTCGGCTTCGGCGACGGCACGGGCGCATGCGGGGCCACATCATTGATGCCGCACCAGACCGCCGCGCCGCAGTTCTCGCAGTTGGCGCGCGAGAAGGAGCACCAGTCGCTGGTCGTGGCGAGGTCGTCGCAGGCCTCGCACCAGTCGCTGGCGCTCGACCATTTGCAGCAGCCCCCGAAGGGTGTTGGAGCCGCCGTCGCCGACAGCGTGGTGTCCGGCTCGAGGGAGGCGCCGGGCTTCGATTCGGCCTTGTCGGCTGCGGCTGGCCTCAGGGTGAGCAGCAGTGCCAGCTTGGGCAGCCCCGTGAGCATGTTTCGCGTGTGCGCTGCAATGCGCGAGGTACTGGCGACGTAACACGAACCCGTGCGCTTTGGAGACAATTAGTATGCTCCAGACTGCGTGTAACCACGAGCAAAGCCAGCCAGCAAATTTCGCGGCGGCGGCCTAGTGGGTTGCGCCGGCGTGGCGAAGGTGCACGAATCTGTCGCGAACGCACCTACTGTCTGCCCCTCGCAACCACTGGTGCCGTTTGAGGGCGCAAAACCATTGGCTGCCAAGGACAACAAGCACAAGAGCAGCGCGAGCGCTACCGCCGCGCGCGCATCAAACGAGGACAACTGCGGCGTGCGGAACACGCCGTCGCAGCCATTGGTACGCGGCTGATCATCGCTTGCGAGCAATAACAGCTCAAAGCTGCTGTAGAGCTCAGCTGGCCAGGAGAGCGCGTGCAGTGCAACAGTGCGCTGCGACGTCACAAGCGTGACGCAACACGGCCGCACTGCTGCGAGCGTGAAACGCCAACGATGCACGCCAACTTCAGCACCTGCGGCGCCGGGGGCTGGCTCGCGCCGACGGGCGCCTGCGCGGCTCCCGCCTGGGCGCGCTGGCCCTATCTCGAGCCCTGGGTCGCGACGATCGCGTTTTTTGTTTGGATCGCTCTGTACAAGACATTGGAGTGCGGCGGCGATGTCCGAGCCGCCATCAAGGCCCAACTTGAGGGTGACGAGAAGCACGTGCGGATTGCTGGTATCAGTGCGGAAATCAACCAGTGCGTCAGGCCAACCTGGAGGTATTATTTATTATTCTGGCAGCTTCGACGCAGCACGAGAGTGCTTGGCGTCCTCGCACGAGGCGTCTCAGGCTTATTCACCCGAACGTTTGATTTCCGCATAGGCTGGTATCGGCTATTTCATCGGGATCTACCTCTTCAAGCAGGTCGCGCCACCAGCCGAAATCGACTGGTCGTGCCCGTCGCCGGGCTTTCTGCTGATCGAGACGGCCGTCGGTGTGCTAGCCTACGACGCGATCTTCTACGGCCTCCACCGGCTCATGCACGCGTTTGCCTACCGGCTGCACGCGCGGCACCACTCGTCGGGGCCGCGCGTGAATGCGCAAGAAGTGCTCAACCAGTCGGTTATTGATGCATCGCTCCAGGTGCTTACCAATATATTGGTGCAGCGGCGCGTGCCTGTGTGGATATCATCAGATTTAAGTGCTCCACGCCCATAGACGTCGTCTGCGTAACGGAGTCTGCGCGATGGCGTAGAGGTGACGACCTGACTCACGGGGTGGTTTTCCACGCAGGCGCGGGCTGCGGGGACCGAAGAACTGGCTCGCGCGGATTCTGCACAATATCGTCGTGACGCTATTGCTCACGGACTCGCACGCCGATACGCCGTGGCGGCTGTCCGACATGTTCCCGCGTCTCCTGGCCGGCGCGGCGCGGCACCGCGAACACCACGCGACGGGCGGCCCGCCATACCAGCAGTTCTTCGGCTTCATGGACGCGGCGTTTTCTCCGTCCCCAGACGATAGGAAACTCAAGTAATTACTGTGCTAAGTGACTCGTGTTCGTTCCGCGCGCGCGTTCAGCACATCTCGTTGAAGCGCCTGTGTGCGCGGGCCGGTGAAGCGGCGGGCGCCGCGCGGCGATGGCGTGACGATCTCTCCCGGCCGGAGCGCTCGTAAGTAGAAGAGAAACAAACGGACGCCGCGTAGCGCCCCGACGGTCCACGCCCGACTGACCGGTTGATCCACAGGGACGACGGACAAGTACTGCGGCGTCTTCTCCTGGATCCTCGGCGTCCTCTGCTGCTGGTGCGTCGTCTGCTGCCCCTGCGACTCGCGTCAAGTCTACAACGCGCCGGACGGCAAGAAGGTGTTGGCGTCCGGCACGCCGTCGGGGCAGTTCGTCGAGATGTGCTAAACTGGCCGTCGACCGCTCTCGGGTAAGTGGATAAACTTACTTCACAACGTCCTTCGTCGCCATGAGCCGCTTGAGCCGCTTCCCCTCCGCACCCAAGTCCACGCGGATCGTCGTCACGTCGCCCTTCAGCGCCACCAAACCGGGCTTCGCGCCGGGCGGCTTGGAGACGTGCCGCGCGCGTGTTAAAGACACGGACGCGCGGCCCGAGGCCTCGTGCTCGCGGCCCGGCGGCGGCTTCGCGATTGCTTTCGAGAAGAGCGCCGCGAGGCACGCGGCGTCGCGGACCGCGTCGCCGTCGTTCGCCGGCAAATTGTCGTCGTGCGACCGGATCACGACGTGGCTGCCCGGGCACCCGGCGGCGTGCAGCCACCAGTCGGCGCCGTCCCGATACCGAAAATCGCAACTCAACAGGTCGTTGTCGCTCGCTCGCCTTCCGACGCGGATCTCGACGCCGCTTTCGCTGGCGAAGGCGTTGTAGGGCAGGCGCGGCGCGGTGGACGACGGGCCCTTCTTCTTCTTGGGCCCGCGCCTGCGTGGGGACGTGGCGTCGACACGGCGTCGTACGAGAGAGACGCGGCCGACGCGCGGCTGGCGCGGCGGCGGCGCGTCGCGCACGCCGAGCGCGTTCGCCAGCGTCAGTGCCTCCGCCGAGCCGTCCACGGCGTTGAGGGCATCCACGAGTTCCTTCAGTCGGTCGCGCTCGGCCTCCGTCTTCTTGAGCGCCTCGACACTCTCGGGCAACTGTTTATTCTTGGCCGACTTCTTCGCGATCTTCTTCGTGGCCCGATCGAGACGCCGCGCCGCCTCGGCCCGGAGGCCGCGCCAGTCGACGGTCGCCGCGTCGAGCGGCTCGGTCGTCGTGTCGAGCATCGCTGTGAGACAACGTCGGCGGTACAACGGTGCCGGCGCGCGCAATGCTACGCAGCGCCGCATCGTGAGCAGCAGCGCCATGGTCCACCGCATCAGAGTGCTTGCTGTGTGCTACAGCAACTCCGGCGCGCGCCGTCGACGCGTGCCGTTCTCTCGGCCGGCTACAAACGCTTTTGAACTGATGCGTTTGGTGAGCCCTTCTTGGTGCGTTACGTGCGCGCCGGCGTGACGATTTCACAGCTGTCAGTCTGGTGCTGGGAGAGCTGAGTTGAGCACTGCTAAACGCGGCACCCTGCGGCCCTATAGCACTTGCACGCTTATCGTTCCACGAGATATAGAACCTCTACGCTGCAATCGATGCCGCCCGCAGCGACGCTCACCCGCAGCACAATACTACAATGGGCCCTCACCAGCCGCATCCTCACGGTCGCCTGGTGCGTCCTCAGCGACCTCCTACTCCCGGACCACGCCGCGACGGATGTCGAGAGATGGCAAGCTGACCAAGAAGCCGTGCTGCCGGCGTGGCTCACGCGGCCGTTCACACGATGGGACGCCGCGCATCTGTTAAGAGTAGCAAGGTTCGGCTACGTCACAGATAGGGACGCGGCGTTCTTTCCGTTGTATCCGTGCCTCGTGCATTACGTTACGAAACTGCTCCCGTTCCTGGCCGAGGCCGAGCGCTACGTCGTCGCCGGCACTTTCGTATCGAACGCGTGCTTCGTGTTAGCTGTTCTATTCGCCTACGACGCGTCCCTCAAGTTCCGCCCGGCCCTCGCGGACAAGACCGCCCTGGCGCTGTGCGCGACGCCGGCGAGCGTCTTTTGCAGCGTTCCCTACTCGGAGTCGCTGGCCGCGCTCCTGGGCTTTGGTGGCGTCGCCTTATTGGGAAGGAACCGGCCGTGGCTCGCTTCCGTACTATTCGCGTCGGTCGCTGCCACCAGATCCAACGGGTGCCTCCTCGCGATCGTGGTAGTAGCGGACGGCCTCGCGCGATCAATACCGAAGCGCGGCCGGTCGCTCCAACTCCTCGGCACGTCTATGAGATCGGCATTGATCATACTGCCGCCCGTCGCGAAGGATTTGTGGCACTTCCACAAAAGCGGCGTCGCGCGGTCCGCCTTCGCGCACGCGCAGTCAAGTGGATGGGGCGTCGGTTTATTCGCATACTGGCAGTTCAAACAAATCCCGAACTTCGTGCTCGCGGCGCCTTCACTATGTCTCGCCATGATCGCGTGCCGCGACGCGCTGAAAAGGCGGCCTCCCATAAAACGGCTCGTCGCGGACCTGCGCGCCGGCGACGACGGCGCGCGCCTTTCTGTGATCGAGCTCGCGCTGGCGGCCCACGCCGCGGCGACGGCGGGCCTGTGCTTTTTTGTGGCGCACGTCGAGATCGCGACGCGGCTCCTCGCGTGCGGCTGCCTGCCCTTCTCCTGGGCCCTCACGTCTGTTGATAGGCCGTTCTGGCGGTGGTGCGTGCTCGTGTTCGTCGTCGTCGGGCCGGCGGCGCATTGCAATTTTTTGCCGTGGACCTGATTAACGTTTTTGTGTTGTGGTACTACCTCTCCATACGCCGTCGACGCGACGTTTATGATAGTTTGATTAAAATAGGGGAGCGACCGTCCGAAGGATGGGTGTCCTCGGCGCGGCGACTTGCAGGGCGTCGCCGCGCGTCATGACGGCTCCGGTCAGGGGGCATGGAAATAGGACAGCGCCAGAGAGGGCGCTATCATCGCGGGATATGTACACGGCGGCGAGGAGTACCTGCGCGCGGGCGCCGCGTCGCGCGAAGAAACATAAACCGCCCGAGGGAATCGAACCCCCACTGCGCGGGCACTGGGCTAAAGCCACGAGTCCTCCCATTAGACCAGAGCGGTTTGTGTTCTTCTCCCGCTCCTTGCCATCGAGCCGCTGCCGTTACGGGAACGACACCGCGTCGACGGCGTGGAATCTCCACGCCATCGAGCAGACGCAGTCACAGGGACGACGTCGCGGCGATGGCGTGGGGCGCCAAGAAAACAACAACGGACGCCGGCGCGGCGCCTCAGTCGTCTTCTTCATCATCAGAAGAGGATACGGACACGTCCTCGGCCGCGCGGAACTCGGGGCGCAGGTCCTCCTCGGCCGGGCCTAGATAAGTAAAGGCGCACTGGTCGCCGTTCCTATACCCAACGCTGCCGAGCGTGTCGCCCGGTTCCGCCGGGACCTGGGTGGAAATGACCTTCATAGTGCGAAGATAGGTCTGGGAGGGAGTGGGTGGCGCGAGCCGTGTCTCAGGTCGTGTCCGGGTCTATAGCGCTGTCATCACATGAGCATGCCATATACCAGTGTCTTGCTGGTGGTTCTATCATCGACGCGTCTGCTCGAGGGCGTAAAGTTTCCACGCCATCGAACAACGTCGCATCGATGGCGTGGAATCGCCACGCCATCGAGCAGACGCAGTTCGTCGACGGATTTGATTTCCACACCGCCGCGCACCCAATTGACGTAGGCCTGGGCCCGCAGCGCGGCCCGCTGCGCCTCGTCCAGGTCGCCGTCCGCGTCATACCGCTTCGCCATCACTAAAATGCGCGCCTGGAGCCCCGTCTTCGCGCAGATTTGGTCTTTCAACTCGTCGAGCGTCGTCGCCGCGCCGCACTCGATCTCGCAGAGCTCGAACCGCTCCTTTTCGGGGTGCGTGATCCTCAGCGTGATCGTACTGGGCGCCGGCGTGGGTTTCGCCATCGGCATAGTGAGGCGGCGGCGGCGTATTTTCGTTATGGTGAATCGATGGTGAATAGCTGAGAGCCGCTGCTGCGCGTCGGCGGACCGCGGGGCTGCTCTCAGGTGGAGGCGGCGAGCGTCTGAGGCTGCTGCGGTAGTTTTTTTGGCCGCGGCGTCCCTTGCGCCGGTATACAGCCACTGCAATCGAGTCGAGTGGCCTCTTCCCGCCTCAACTCGTTTTTCTTTGCCAGCGTGGCCTCTTCACCTTATTTCTAAGAGGCCTCCGCCGAGGCCTACGGCCGCGCGGACGTCAGCCGGACGGATGTTTCATGTTTGCTCTTCGGTGCGGGTTTTCAACTCAAAGAGAATCGATTATTTCCCCCTCTCTACTCGCATAGCTCAGACAGGGTGACGAATATGCGTTTATTCCTTTCTCTCGTCGCGCTGGGCGCCGTAACTCGGGCGGCGACCGCTGAAAACTGCGAGGACAAAACCATTACTCGCAAAAGCATTGCTAAATTAACCAGGGAAGCGCGAGACGCGCAAGTGACCCTCGATGTCCTCGTGTCGCGCGACGATGTCGTCGCTGCGTCGCTCTCCGCGAATGCACGCGGCAATTTCGGAGGCTCCGACGCCCCGCAAAAATGGGCAGACGTCACCACGTCGGGCGCGAGCCTCCGCTGCGAGGGCGGCGAGGCGTCGCAGTGCTCCGCGTGGTACGATTGCGGCGACGCGAGCGACGCGACCGGGGCCGTCCAGGACGGCGTCCTTACGGCCGCCGTGACGATTTCGGACGCGGTGGAGTTTGACTACTGCCCGAACGGCGGCCTGGCCGAGGTCGAGGTCAGCGTCGACTTCACCGTGAGGCGATGTGAAAGCGAACTACCTGCGCCGGCGCCCACGCCGCGGCCGACGCCTGCGGCGCCGCCGTCCGCGAAGAGGAAGAAGCGGTCGTCAGCGCCGGCGGCGTTCGAGCTCACGATGGCAGTACTTGTCCTGACGGTCGCCGGCGTCGGATTCCTCCTGGCGTGCTTCTGCTTCGATCGCGCGCGCCGTGCGCAAGATCGGCGCGTCGACGAGATCATGAAGGAGGCCGACGAAATCAATCGGAAGGCGGACGCCGCGGTGTCATCTTCGAGGTCTTCTCGGAGCGGCGACGTATAAACGGGGCTATTAATGTTTGCTAGTGTCTCAGGCCGCTAGCTCGAGCCCAAGCGCTGCGGTGAAGCATCGTCTAACGCGCGCTACGCGAGATAAGGGCCGGCTAGAACTCGTTCCCAACACGTACTTTGACGCGTGGAACGCTGGCGCCCAGACGTGCGACGCCCACTAACTGCTGGCGACGCTGCACACTGCCGCACTGAACAGCAAGCAAGCCATCGCCGCGCGATCACAACGCCCTGAACAGCAACAGCAAACGTCATCGCCGCACCCGTATACAACGATGCGAACGCTCCTCCTCCTCTTGACAGCAGCAAGGACGCGGCCCTTCACCGCATCAAGAACCCGGCTGCCCATCACCATACGACGCGCCACAACCACAACAATAGAGATGCGCGTCAACCGCAGGAACACGAGGCGAGTCACCTTCAAGAACACGGGCGGCACGGTGGGGGAGAACGCGCGACGAAAGGAGGAAAGTGAAGTGCCGAACAAGGTCTTTTTCGCCAATATCAAATACGACGCCACCGAGGACGACCTCCGGCCCTTCTTTTCCGCGGTGGGGCCCGTGACGAATGTGCAGCTCGTGCGCGACTCCTACACGGGCCAGTCGAAGGGGTACGGCTTCGTGACGTTCTCGTCGCCCTTGGCCGCGACGACGGCCATCCGGTCCCTGCACGGCAAGCCCTTTAAAGGTAGGGAGATCCGGTTGGACGACGCCACGTCTTTGTCCAAGAGACGCAAGGAGAAGGCCGCGCGCGAGGGGTTCGAGCGGAGGGAGGCGCGGCGGCAGGCCGAGAAGGCTGCCAAAGAGGAGGGCTAAGCTTATTTGTGTAGATGTCGCGTCGGAGGCGTTGAGGCAGGCTTTCGCTGCGTGCGGGATTTGTGTAGATAGCCTCATGGATTAGAATGACCCGCTCCCCACGGGCCGCAGGCTCGACGACGTGCACTCGACGCGGCCCTCGAGCCACGCGAGCATCTTCTTGCAGAGCTGCTTTTCGCGGATGACCTTGGGCAGCTCGCCCGGGTCGGCGACGACCCGCGAGGCCTCGAGCGCCACAGCGCCGTCGGTGCTGATGCGAAACGCCATGCCGCCGTCCGGGACCGACTCGCCGCCGGCGTACGGCACGCGGTCGATCTCGCAACGCGACCTCCGTTTTACCTCCGACGCGTAGGCGTCGCCCTCGGGTGGCGCGCGCCAGAGCATGAGCTGGGTGTCGCCTTCCGTCGAGGCCGTCGGCGCGCCCGGCAGATCGCACACGGGGTACTCTTTGATGGCTTGTCTGACGTCTGATGCTGTAGTCGTCGCCGCGAACACGATTCGCATCAGTACTGGTTGGTCGGCGGACATCCGCAGCTTCGGGCTGTGTCGCCGCCGACGACGCGGTGCCGCGGTGGGCACCAGAGCTCCCGCACATGTGCAGGAGAGCAGTGCTATGCATGAGAGCAGCATTGCCTGCATCACTGTAGATCGTGTTATCAATGGATACTGCTCTTGCCGCCGTTCCTACGATCTATGGCGGTGTCATAGATACTGCTGCACACCTCACTGGGCCACCACGTGCGAGTGCGGCTGTGTGCGACGCGCGAGACGGTGCGCTCTCTCACTGAGCCTGAGAGCCGAGGCGCGCGCGAGAGTGCCCTCACGCCATCGCCACGCAGAAAACAACTAGTCATAAGAAGCATTACACCCCAATCCGTATCTACTTCTTCTTCTCCGCCGCCTCCTCCTTCATCTTCTTCCGGATGCCCGCCAAGCGCTTCTCCGTCCACGTCGCGCGCTGGGCATCGTAGACGCCCTCGCCATCGGACGGCACGGCCATGAACTCGACCGCCGGAGCCTTCGATGCAGCGGGCTTCGGCAGCGACGACACGGCGCCGTCGACCTTCGGGGCCGCGCCCTTCCGCGGGAAGACGACGAGCTTCGCCTTGTAGTCCGTCAGGCGCTGGACGTTGATGTCCAGGGCCTCCTGGGACTTGTTCGTCCTTCTATGATCAACAGCGATGCCCACGGTGGCCGCGAACTTGGGGCTGATCTTGGCCGCCTTCAATTCAGCTAATGAAAAACCTCTTCCGAGTCGCACCTTGGCGTTGTGCTGCTGCGTCTGGCACCGTACTAAAGGTCGGAGCTTGTCCGCGGGCCGCGGCGCGTTCGCCGCGGCCTTCGCGGCGCGTTTCAGCCGCCGCGACTTCTTCTTGCCCGGCTGGTTGAACCAGGACTTGATGTGGAGCGGGCCGCGGCTCGACGTCTGCCACTTCTTGTGGAAGTGCTGGTTGGGGATGATCTTGTTGTGCTTGACCATGGTTGCGTCTTATCACCAAATCGCTATTTGAGGCTAGCTGGGCGCGGCGGCGGCGTGCAAGGCAGCGCGTCGCTTCCTACAGCTGTTCTATAGGTCTGTGCAAGCTCCCTGGGTCCGCAAAGGCCTGAGCGATTGCAAACGAGGGCTTTAAAGCTGATGCCTCGCAAAAAGCGATGCTCAGCGTGTCGGGTTTTGCAGCGATTTTTACGGCTCTCTGGCGTCTATGAGGGGCTAGTCGAGGGCTCGAGGCCTCGAAAGCGACTGTTTGAGGCTTGGGTTTGGCAAGGCTCTCCGGTCCCAAGCCTCGGCTCAGCACCCGGTTTTACGCGGCTCGCGGGACCCACAGACCTTGGCGACGCTCGCTCGGCATTCCTTTTAAGCTCGCTGAAAAGTCTTGTGCTGAATAGATAGGTTGGTGCTGAGTTTGAGACAAAAACCCACCTCATTGGCTCTCTAAGTTTTGAGTGGTCGCGCGGCTGAGCGCTGACCGTTGACGACACGCAGGTATTGTGCGCGGAGTGATTGACAATGGCGAAGCGCGTCGCCGCGTCCTCGAAACGTCCCGGCGCGAGCGCGCGCGTAGGTCCGACGAGAAAGCCGAGAAGAAAGCGGCGAAAGCCGAGAAGAAGGCCCAGAAAAAAGAGCAACAAAAGGCCGACCTCGCGGACAGCGCCCAGTTCAAAAATTTTGACAAGGTCGTCGTGGCCGAGCTCCATTTCGACGACGACGACGTGAAAAAATCAGGCTTTGATCTGCCCTTCGACGCCGACAAAACAGTACTCACGCGCGAGGAGTGGGACGCGGCTCTCGCGGACATCAACGGCGTCTTCCACCACACGGGCTGCATGGCGCTGCTCTGCTGCCTCTGCGGGGACCCCGAAGACCACGTCGGCGACGTCAAGAAGAAGTGCAAATCATTAACAGAGAAGTACGAATCTCGGGGCGTCGCGTTCCACTGCGTGCACAAGGAGGACGTCGCCGGCGCGCTCGCCGGCATCTTCACCATGGGCATCGCGATGAACGACGACAAGGTCTACCTCGTCGTCACGCAGAAGGACGCATCCGCGTGAGTAAAATCCTACACATAATTCACTTAGTACGCTTGCGCTTGCCTGACTTCGGGGGAAACGTCACGTTCCCGTCCTCGTCCTCCTCGCTCTCGCCGAACCTTTGGTCGGCAAAGCGGTCCGTCTCGAACCCTGAGTCAGAGTCAGAGCCAGAACCATCCCAGCGCTCGAGCGACCGCATCAGCTCGGCCGTGACGCCGTCGCGCGTCTTGCTCGTGAGCTTGTGGACGGCGACGCCGCGCGTCGCGCTCACGCGGTCGCAGAACGCGACGCGGTGGCCGTAGATCGGGGCCGTGATCGCGCCGACCAGCCGCACGCCCCGCGCCAGCAACTCCTGGACGCGCCCGGCGAACACGTCCGACTTGAGCTCCATGCGGCCGATCTCGTCGAGGACGTATATTGTGGCATTATCGTCGTCGTCGTCGTCAACCTCGAGCGTCGGCAGCGCGAGGCGCTCGAAGCCCTCGACGTCGACGCCGTACTGGCCGACCTTCGGGCCCGCCGCGCCTTTGCGCGCGAGTGGTCCACGGAGGCCGTCCGGCACCGTTACGATGTCGAAGCCGACGCGCTGTCCACCGGACAGCACCTCGTCAGTGTAGAATCCTCGGACCGATGCACCGCTCGCTCGCAGCTCGTCGACGAGTGTCTTGACGGCCGTGGTCTTGCCGCAGCCGGGCTGGCCGGTCACGAGCACCCAATCCGTGCTGGTGTGCGATGCGAACGGCTGCATCGATGCTTGCACTGGTGCGGTTAACCGCTACAGAGCACTGCCAGCCTGGTCGGAGAGCACCTCTCACCGGCGGCTACGTGTCACGACCTTGTCCCGGCTGCAATGCATGCACACAGCGGTGCAAGCTGCGCGGATGTCTTGCCTACGGAGACTGCGTGCGGCTAGACGAATGCCAGCTCTGCCAGCCCAGCAGCAGAGAGAGCAGCGGCTGTGGCAGCCTGTGCAGAGCGCGCGACGGCACATGAGGCTCGCGGCAGCAGCACACGTCGGTATGGCCAACGCGCACCCGTTCGCGAGCCATGCCGGCACCGCTTGAATGCTCGTGGTAGGGACAGTCCCAGGTGTGCAGCGCAATTCCTCGGCCTCAGGACTCGCAACAAATGACGCACCGCCGCGGATGGCTGGTGGTAGTGGCCGCATACGCTGCCGCCGAGCCGGAGGAGGCCTGCACGCCGGCCGTACTGCCCGTGCTGGATCTCGCGCCCTTCGCGGGCGGCGACGATGACGCGCAGCGCACCGTCGCCCGCGCGCTCGACGCGGCCTGCCGCGACCACGGCTTCGTGGCGCTGCGGAACGTCGGCGTGGACCGCGCGCTACTCGCTGCCGCGTGGAACGCCTCCGAGGCGCTCTTCGCACTGCCGGAAGCTGCCAAGGCGCGCCTCGAGCCGTGGGCGGCGGCGACGAACCGGGGCTATTCTCCACCGGGCCGCGAGCGCCTCAACGCGAGACGAAAGACGCGCGAGCCGAAGGAGGCGTTCAACGTCAAAGGCGCGGGCAACCAGTACGACGAGGCGCCTGCTCAGTTCGGAGCCGTCGCCGACGAGCTGTGGCGCGTCCTGGTCGTGGAGGCTGCTAATCGGTACGCGGTCGCGGCCGCCCTGGCGCTCGACCTACCCCGCGACTTCTTCTCCAAGACGCTCCAACAGCTCGACCTCTGCACGCTGCGGTTCCTGCACTACCCCGCGCTGCCCCCGTCGGAAGAAGGAGAGGTCCTCCGCGCGGGCGAGCACACGGACTTTGGCTTCGCGACGTTCCTCTTCATAAAGGGGGGAGCGGCTGGGCTGCAGATGAAGAGCGTGGAGGGTGGCGAGGTGCGCGCCGACGAGGCGGGCGGCTGGCGCGACGTCGTCGTGCCGGCTGACGACGACGTCGTGGCCGTCGTCAACACGGGCGCGCTCCTGGCCCGCTGGACGAACGACCGGTGGCGCGCGACGGCGCACCGCGTGGTCGCCGGATCAGCGGGCGCGCCTGAACGCTACGCCATCGCCGCCTTCATCGACCCCGACGCGGACGCCGCGGTTGCTGCTCACCCCTCCTTCGGAGCGTCGCGCTACCCGCCCACGACGGGCCTCGCCTTCTTGCGGATGAAGCTCGACGAGGCGAACGCGTAGACTGTCCTGTACATAGATGTTGATAATGACTTTGGTGTGTATTTCTGTTCGATCATCTAGGACTACTTGATCAACAATTTACCCGACAGAACTAGAGCTCGTTCGGCACGCGCGGCAGCTTCGGCATGATGTCCTTGAAGCCCGCGAGCTTGTCGGGCGGGAAGTCCCCGACTTCGGTGGAGACGGCCATGAGCGGGACCGTCTTGATGGCGTTGGCCTTCTTGAGGCATTCGTCGATCTTCGATTGGTAGTCCTGCTTGACCCCAGGCTCGTAGAGGTGGCCCCAGTCCGAACCCCAGATCTTGGCTGATTTCACTTCATGTTCGCAGCGCTTCTCCCAATTATAATTGTCGCCCACATAATTATGTTCCTCGCCGTCCTTGGCCATATTGGCCGCTGTCCTGGGTGTCTGGCTACCTCACGGAACGGCTCCTGTGCGGCTCCAGGCGCGTGGTCAGGCGCGTGGTCTTCCCGCGTCGGTGGCGTAGCGGGCCGGGCGGGCTGCGGGGCAGCGCTCGCGTGCCTTTGCAAGCTAGCGCCGAGCTCACAACTCCCTGCCTGCTAGTAGGTGCCCACTAGCCAAAGGTGCATCGGTTGGGAGCTGGATTGGGCACAAATAGAGCCGCCCACGCGTCAAGGAATAACACAATTACGTAGTTACGAGGTAGCCGAAGTGAAACAGGTAGCGGCGGAGCGCGGGGGCGAGCGCCTCCCAGTCGCCGCTGGCCATGGCCTTCTTGAGATGAGAATAGTTCGTCCTGTCCATGACGAGGCGGACGCGCACCGCCGGCTCGAGCTCGTCGTTGCCGGCGTAGTTCCCACACACGAGGACCCAGACGATCTCGTCGGCCCTTGGGATCGGCACGCCGAGCTGCTCCGGGGTTGTGAGGCTGTAGAGCTGGTTTACGGACAATGTGGCGTCTGCCGTCTGCGCCGTCGCGCGCGCCAGCCAGGGCGGCGCGTCCTTGATGTTAAACGTCGGGATATCGTCGCCGTCATCGTCATCATCGTCGTCGTCGCTGCCGGCGACGGCCCCGCGGGGCTCGGTGAGCGCGGGCGGGCAGATCATCCCCACGGTGAGGCCCCGCAGGCGGGCAGATCGCCCCCCGGCCCCCCGGGCGGCGTCGCCGAGCAGTTTCTCGAGCTTCGCCAGGCCCGCAGCGTCGCTCGTGACGCGCGCCCGCCCCTCGTCCGTGCGGAGCAGCCGGTGCCGCAACGCGGAACAGATCACCTCCGCCGTCGTCGGCGCCATGAGCGAAATATTGAGAGAGATGTTGTCATCGTCCAACGACTCGACCTCGTGGAAAACACCAGCGGGGAAGTAGAGCACGTCGCCCGCGTCGAGCGTCACCTCCTCCACCCCCGGCGCGGCGCGCGGCCGCTTGCGCGATTGTGTAGTTTCGCCGAGCGCCCTTGATTTGGCCTGGTCCCACAACACACTGTCGTCGGCGAAGTGCGGCGTCTCCCCCCTAAGCGGGTGCGCTTCTCGTCTATGAGCGAGGCGCCAGCGCTTCCTTCCTCGCAACTGGATCGTGAAGTTTTCCTGGAAGTCGGAATGCCAGGCCGTCACATGACCTTTACGAGCGCAGAACATCTCGACCTCGCCGCGGCCCGCGAGCGGGCCCGCATCCCTCAAAGGCGGCAACCCCAGAGACGTCTCCTTTAGTAAAGCGTTCACCAAGGTTTCCTCGATAGCGGGCGGCGCGCGGCAGTAGAGCGCGTGGCCCGCCTGATGTAGTGCAATTGCGTTCCGCGGGTCGTCGACGTCGATGGACCGCGCCGTCGTGCCGCGCGACGGCGGCAGGCCGTCCATCGTACGTACGGTTCCACCGGTGCGCACCCAGGCCATGACGCGGTCCGACGCCGTGTGCTCCACGATTTCCTCGACGTCACCCGCGCTCGCCGCCGGGAACAGCGTGGCGGCTCGTTCCGCGCCGCCGCCTCTTATTACGACGCAGCGCTGCCGGAAGTGCAGTCTCAAAAAATCATCCTTCGACAGCGGGTGCAGCAGCGCGTCGAGGGTCAGCGGGTCTTCTAGGGGCGGTGCATTGCTCGTCGTGCGGTGCTCCACCAGCAACGTATCGTTTTCGGCCATGATTACGAGCAGTGCTTTGGCTTCACCGCGGCGACGGGCGTGATTAAGGCACAGTGGCAGTGAGAGCGTTTTGCTGTGCGGTGGTTTTGCGGAACGCGAGCGCTCAATTTCTTGTGTGCTGCCAACGATGCGATCTATGAGAGCTCCTTATAGCGCAAATTGCCACGCTGAACGCAATGCGAGCTGTCAATTGGCTGCATAGGCAGCTGGAGTCACGGGTTTTGCTCGCGAAACACAGAGGCAACCACCTTTCCCGGAAGAGGCCCTGGACCGCCTCCGCGAGTATTGGAATTGCATGGCCTTATCGTGCGGGGCCGCATCTCTCAGGAACAGAGAGAAGTGGGGCAGCATCCGGGCACCGGGCAGGCGCCGAGCCGGGCAGCCTCGGCGTCGCGAAACGCATCAATCGCAGCGGTCGCGACTTGTCTGCGCTTTTTGAGCGCCGCGCGGCACGCTGACGCAGGACACTGGGACCCATAAACACCCATGTTCGACATCTCTTGTGGCGACGACGGCGGGCCCGCATCCTGCGGCATCTTCGGGGGCAGCGTCGGCGGCGGCGGCGCGAAGCAGCCGCAGACGCTCGCGGGCCTGTTGAAGAAATTAGATCTGTCGGAGTACGAGCCCAAGTTCGTGGCCGCGGGCATCACGGACATCGCCTCCCTCGCCGAGTTGTCAGAAGAGGAGCTCGACAAGTTCGACATGCGCAAGCTCGAGAAACGGAAGCTGCGGCACCACCTCCAGAGCGCCTGGGTGCCCGACGGCGTCGCGCTGCGGTGCTAGGCGCGTAAACACAAAATCTTAAAACACAGACGGCGGCAGGCACCGCTCCCGGTACATCTCGGCGGGCGCTCTTCTATGAGCCGACGCGAAGAGGCGGAGCACGACCGTGTCACGCATGCCCCGCACCACGGGCTCGACGCCGTGCTGGTCGCGGCACACGTTGAGGAACGCGGCGCCGGGCTCGTGCGCCAGCCAGCGGTCTTCAATTCCAAAAAACGCGACGCGGCTCCCTTCCAAGTCGTCCGACGCGCGAACGCAGAGGTTCAAACTAATTTCGCAGACGTCGTTGTGGCGCGACGCCGTCGCATTTGTGGTGGGGTGTGGGTCGGGAGACCGCTTGTGCACCGAGAACGCGTGCCTACTGTCCATTGGTGGGAACGCCGGGAACAGGAGCCGCGCCAGCGGCGCGACCACGGTCTCCGCCAGAGCGTCGAATAAGCCGCCCAGGCCCGCCTCGTCGACGAGGAGCGAGGCGGGCCCGTCAGCTGTTCTAGGGACAACCACACCCACATCGCTCGTGGCGTAGCTCATGTTGTTGGTGGGCCGCGATTCGGTCGTCCCGCGCGCGCAGTCGAGGGCCGCCGCGACGGCCTCGGCGGCGGGGCGCGTCAACACCTGCAGCGTCCGCACGCGGCCCTGACCGCCCAGCAGCGGCGCGAGCGCGGCGGGCGAGCCGGCGCGCAGCGCGTCGCGCAGTTCCGGCGCGAGCATCTCCTCGAGTGCGAAAGCTTGGCTTTCGGAGGCCCTCGCGCGGAAGGCCGCGTGCTCGGCGCGCTCGTCGTTCCGTGCGGCGTCCCAGGCGGCGACGATCGCGGCGAGGCGGGCGTTGCTGAGGGTCTCCGCCGCCGCGAATACCGGTGCGTCTTCTGTCGTCGCGAAAGCCGCTGTCGCCGCGGTCGCTAGTCTGGTCGTCGACGCCGGATCCTGCCGCAGCCACGCGTGCACGAAAACAAACACGTTCTCCTCGACGACCAGCGACGCGCGGACGAGCACGCTGTCGCCGTCGCGCGACTCCGTCGAGGCACACGCGACGACGGGCTCGTCCGGTTCCGGCGGAACCACGAACCACCAGGCCGCCTCGGAGGATACGCGCAGGCTCACGGCGACGCAGAGCTCCGGAGAACGCCACTCCGGCGCGTCTTCGGGCAGCGCCACGCGCACGGCGGCGACGACGCGACCGGCTCGCGCCGTGCCGCAGTCTTCCACAAAACCATCGGCCGCGGTGCCCTCGAAGGCGAGGACGCCGTCCGCGGGTGGTGGCTGGATGGGCGCCGGGCCCTCGCCCCAGGCGGCGATGCGCGCCGCGATCGCGACGAGCGTCGCGAGTCGTCGCCGCATGATGCGTTCGGCAGCGTGAGCCGGGCAGCACCGCAGAGCTGCGCTTTCAAAAAACGCTCTCCCTTGCTCTTGTGAGCCGCGCGAATCAATAAGCCACGAATCGCGTCGGCAGCAGCAGCACTCGGAGGAGAGTGGTGGTTTCAAAAACTCTGCCTTGCCTCGTGGGCTCGCACGGCTCAAAAATCACAGCGATGCGGTCACGCTGGTATCTATCAAGGCCTCGTAAGTGCCATCGGCGCGATGGGCCGCGCGCAGCTCCATTCCTAGTGCCTTACAGGCCGCTAGCTCGCAGCGTCTTGGCCCGAGTCGATTGACCGACTACCAGGGCGCAGGGCTCACCGTCCACCCGCGTAAACGCACCGCCGCAGCCCAACAACCAGTTCTTCGCGTGCCCGGAGCCAACGAGGCCGCCGCAGCTCTCTGAGAGCCCACTTGGCCAGATGGCGGAACCGCTCGTCCTCCTCAACTACGCCTTCGTGGCCGTAGTTTTCAGCTTGCTGCTCGGCTCCATCATCTCGCAGCGCGCCCGCGTGGGCCTCTGCTGGGTCGCGATCCCCGGCCTCATAGCGTGCGTAGGGACCAAGCTCTTACGTACCTACGACACGGTCGACGAGCTGACGTTCTACGCCAGCTACCACTCTCATCCGATGAACCAATTGGTGCACATCGTGTGCGTGCCTCTACTGCTCTTTACAGTATTCATTTTCGCGGCCTACGTGCCACCGCCGATCAAGGCCGCGCCCCAACTCACGTGGCCGCTGCTCGGCGCCTGCGCTTGGTCGCTACACCACGTCCGCGCCGCGCCACTCGTCGGCTCTATTGTGTCCTGCCTCACGTTCGCGATGGCGCTCGCGGCCACGGCGATCGTCGAGCGCGAGAGGCGCACCAGCAATCGTAGCTTTGTCGAGTTCCACGTCGGCGATCGAGTGCATGTTCTCGAACCCGCTAAGTTCGCGGGCAACGTCGGCACCGTTGTGAAGCGCGACGCGACAGAGGGGTCCGTCGTCGTCCGGCTCGAGGGGTCGAATGTGAGTTTGGAGGCCCTCCACAGCCAGCTTCAAGGGTTCGGCGAGTTCAGGGCGGGCGATCGAGTGAGAACCCTCGGTGCCGGTACCTACGGCTTCGCCGCTTTTTACGCCGGCCTCGTCCACGTCTTCTGCTGGTACGCCCAAATCCACCCGGGCCACGGCATCTACGAAGGCCGGAAGCCCGCCCTGCTCGACAGCGCTCTCCAGTCGTTCCTCGACGCGCCGCTCTTCGTCTGGTACGAGGTCGCGTTCGCCTGCGGCTACGACCCGGCCCTCAAGCAGGAGCTCGACGCCGCCGTCGAAGCGAGACACGCCGCGTGGGACCTCTAGTCGCCCTGTCAAAGACGTGCCGCACCCGCCATCATCCTGCCAGTGACGCGCCACGCCGGCCGGGCGCTGCACCACGTTGGGGACAGTAAAATGTAAGCTATTGTAAATAGTTTTATCCTCGCCGCGCGCGGCGCTCGCGCGCAGGCTCTCTCCTCACAGACGCCATTGGTGCGACCACACGGCCGCGTTTTTTGGGGGAAGGACACACGGGAGCGCGACGTTTAGAACGGCGCCCAGACCGAGCCGGAGTACTGCGTGAGGTCCTCCGTGAAGTACGGGACCGAGCCCGGCACCGTCGACGCGGCGATGAAACCCATGATGCCGATCATCGCGAGGCGGCCGTTGTTGATCTCGGCCGTCCGGCTGCGCAGCTTCTGCTCCTCCGTCTTGCCCGACAGGTACTTCGAGCCGAAGTACCAGACGAGGTCGTGCGTGCCGGACTTGCCGCCGCGCATGTAGTGGGGCTTCTCCGCCTCGCCGAGGACCTCGAGGAGGCCGATGAAGCCGAGGATCGACCACTTGCCCTTGTCCGAGATGTTGTCCCAGGCGAGCAGCGGGTTGCCCGTGCCGAGCGACGAGAACTTCTCGCCCGACATCGTGAGGTCGGCCGGGAAGGTGATGCCCTGGTAGTTCACGAGGAAGCCGACGAAGGCCGCCATCGCGACGCGGCCGTGCTTGAGCTCGGCCTCGCGGTACCACTGAAGCGCCTCGGCGGAGGCGCCGTTCGAGAAGCCGAGCGGGTCGAAGAGCCCAATGGGCATCGTGATGCCCTCCATGTCCTGCACGGCCGCGACGGCCGTGCCGGCGCGCGGCGCCGCCGGCGCGACGAACGCGACGGCCGGGGCGGCGAGGAGCGCGAGGACGAGCTTCATCGTAACCTATAAAAACAAACGGTGAGGGCGGCGCTCCGCGGCGCGCGTGCGGCTGCGCGCTCTCTGGGTGGGGCGTGGCGCGGCGACGGCGTCACCGCGGCGGCGTCGCCGCCAGAACCAGTTTTTGGCGGAAATCCGAGCCGAGCCGTGTCGACCGAGAACGCTCAGAGGCCCTCTGCGCAGCGTTCTAGGCATGCAGGCGGCTCGAGCAGCTGCAACAGCGCGCGCCGGCGTCACGGCAGAGCCGTGTCGTCCGCGCGCCCGCGCGAGCCCGCGCAGCAGCTGGTTTTGGAGCGGCCATGAAGCGCATGATATGTGCCTCTCCGCAGCCAAATTTTGCCACTGTTCGTTGCGCGAGCACACCGATACAACGAACGACGATAAATCAATTTTTGCTGACGCGCTGACTGCTGACAAGCTGGTCGATTTGCGAAGCTGAAGAGGAGCCGGCTTGGATCCTAGTAGAATTTTTAGCCCCTAAGAAAACCAAAAAGTGCAGTTCGGACGCCCTCCATTGCGTCTTTGACGCGTCCCCGGCGCGCCAGACCGGTCCGTGGATTTTGAGCTAGGTTATAGCCCTACTAGCTCTCGCAGACGGTCCTCGGGGGTCTGGGCCGCAAAAAAAGCCCATCCGGCCCTCTACTGACTTCGCGACGCGTCTCGGACACCTCTCCACAGCCGCGAACCGCTGGACAAGCGCGCGCGCGCCGCCGCAGCACAGAAGCCACAAATCACAAAGACCCAGCACCGCACAGACCAATGGCCTCCGACGAAGCGCAACTAAGAGCGATAGATGAAGAGTTCAAGAAGGCGACGACGGACGACCAGCGCAACGCTTGCGCCCAGCGCGCCGCCGCCGTACTCGCAAGAGTGGAAGGAGACGTTTTCTCGTCGGCCGATGAGGTCCGGGCCTCGCTCACAAAAACATTAAGCAGGGAACTCGTGGGCACGATGACCATAGCAACACCAGCTCTAGCGGCGACGGCGATCAAGGCCCACCTCCAGTCACCACCAGTCGTGTTGGACGGCGACGGAAGGGCTCTCGAAGCCCTATGCGCGAAGGCGGAAGCCATACCCCAGGACGCTACGTTAGCGAGGGCCGCCGCGGCGTGCTTTAAAGATGAAGCGTTAGCGACCGGAGACGGGCGGTGTGCGGACGGCGCGGCGTTCGAAAGTAGAAGTGCCCTCGCGCAGTTATTGTCCCTACAAACCATGGCGCCCTTCGATGCCTTCTGTAGTACTCAGGGTGAACGACCGCGCTTGCGCGACCCTTTTAGTGGTTCCGTGCCGCCGCAGATCAAATACTTCCGCGACGTGCCGCCTTCTGGTTTCCAGGGCCAATGTTTACTGCTGAGAACGCGCCAGACCCGCGGCCTAGATGCGTGCGTCGCCATCGTCGAGAAGACGCTGAAGGCCAACAAGGGGGCTAATAGGCCGGCCATGCTCGCCTGGCTCGCGCGCGCGTTAGCATTAGCAAAGCCTCTGTCTGAAATAAAGATCCAGCGCGACCGCGCCTTCCACCCGCGGCGCTGCGCGTCGCCGGCGTTCCTGTTAAATACGGTCTCATTGATCCTGCGGCTCGCGGCGCCGCTCTGGACCAAAGGTTTAGCCTCAAAAGTCGACTGGCGCTACGCTTTGCGCCACGAGCGCGTCTCCTTCAAGGAGGAAGCTCCCTTATTCTCAGGAGACGGCGCGGCGACCGTCGACGAAGAAGACAGTGATGACGACGAGGACGCGAAGATGTTGCGCCAGGCCCTCAAAATGTCCATGGGCCAGGCCGCGCCCCTCGGCTTCTTCCCTTCAGATGTAGAAGAGTTCTCGTTTGTCACGGAGGTCTTCTTCCTGGCGCATCGGGCCATTTCTTCGTGTTTACTACCGCTCTGGTCCGAAATGACGGAACAAATACACTTGTTGTACGACCTGAGCGGGCCTCGAGGCCAGAAGCTGGACGAACCTAGCCAGAGGCGGATCAATCTCCACGGCGACGGCTGGGCGTGCGCGCTGGAAGATCCGCGATTATTGGAGGACGCCGGGGCCTTTGCGACCTTCGCCGTCGAGTGGTTGCTCGACCAACTCAAAGCTCCGGACGCGCGCGAACGGGCCTCAAAACTGCCTGCAGCACTCGTGAAGGACGCCTGCGACCTGTGGACGCACTTAGCGAGGGCGGGAGCGAGAACGGGGAACGCTCAGGCGAGAATGGGCGCCGGCGCCACCTTTGATGCCATGAAGGCGTCGCGAGCGGTCTTGGCCTGCTGCGAGCTCATGCGGTCACCTTTGGTAGAATCCCCAATAGTACAGGCGAAGCTCGTCAGCTTCATAAAAGAGCTGATCCAGCCGAGACGAGCCTCGCCGCGCAAGAAGGCGAGGGACATGCAGGGCGCTGTGTTAGATTCGGAACGGGTCCGGAGGGAGCTCCCCCAAGCGCTCGCGCACCTGTACTGCGAGGTGCAGGCGGTCGTCGGCATGGACGTAGATGCTGCCGATTCGTTCGACAAATTCAGCATTAGACAGGACCTGAATCGGTTGTTACTCATCTTCTGGCGCTACCCCCTCCAGGAGCCGAGGAAAGCACTACTGGCGTTCTTCGGCAAGAGCGACCTTGGCTTAGCTATGTTAGATACCATAATCTACTGCGGCGAGGACGCCCTGTCTTGCTTGGCTGGTGGCAAGTCGGTAGAAAAGGACGGGAAGCCCCCTACTTCCGGACGCAACAAGGCGTTCTGGGGCGGGCAGCAGCGGCAGTGTAGGGGGTTTCTGCCTATTGCGGAAGTGACGCTGGAGCTGCTGGGCCAGTTCTGTTGCGAGAATGAAGCGAGGAAAGCTCTACTAGGTTCCAATGTGAAGCGGTGCGCCGCTCTCGTCAAGCTCTGTAGGGTAGGAACGAAATCAGGTTTAGATACAGTATCAGTAGCCGCTCCGGACGAGTGGGGCTTCGACGCGGCTCGACTCCTGGAAAGGGTAGGTCACGTCATCGAGCAAGCTAGACTGGTCCACGGCGACGACGCGTGGGCGGCGGCCGTCGACGACGTCCTCGACGGGGATCGCTCTTCACTGGAAGAGGCCTCGTCCACACAAAGTAGTCTGGCGAACACGGTGGCCGCCCTGAAGAAGAGAACTGTGGATGATGTCATAGACGCGCGACCGCTCGTCCAAAAGGCCATCGGCGAGCCGTGCTCCGCTCAAACATACGCTCAAGCACTGGCAGGCGAGCAGCTCGAAATTGTGGACTCCTTAGGCGACCACGTCTTCGCCGCGAAGTCGAGCAAAGCCCCGAACGCCAAGGCCCTCCAGAAGGAGCTCAAAAAACTGCAACGCGACCTCCCGGAACCGAGTGTGGACGGTTCCGTCTTCGTCCGTTTTGATGAACAACGGTTGGATTTATGTCGCTGTGTTATTACGGGACCGGTCGACGCCTCCAAAACAGGAGGTATAGATACGCCCTACGCGTATGGGTTCTTCACGTTCGACGTCTGGTTTCCGCCGACCTATCCTTCCGTACCACCTCTGGTGGAAATTGTTACTACCGGTGGAGGGACCTACCGCTTCAACCCGAACCTCTACGCGGACGGCAAGGTCTGCCTCAGTCTACTCGGGACGTGGAAGGCCTCGGACGAGTCCGAAAAATGGGATCCGTCGACCGGTTCGCTGCGCCAGATCCTGCTGTCGATCCAGCACCAGATTTTAGTAAGTGAGCCCTACTTCAACGAGCCTGGAAGGGACGTGGCGCGCGGCACGTCTGCGGGCAAGAAGGCTTCGGCGGCGCACAACAAGGAGTTGAGGAACGCGACGCTGAGGTATGCTGTTGCCGATCAATTATCCTCACCTCCAATGGGACTGGAGGAGGTCTGCGAGCAGCACTTCGGGCTGGTGGCGCCGGACTTGCTGAAGCGGACGGCTCAGGACCTGGCCGCTGCCGAGCCGGCGGCGCACCGGGCTTTGCATCGCGCCGCGGCGGCGCTGGCCGAGCGCGCTTCCCAGCCGCCGGCGAAGCGCCGCAAGAGCAGCGAGTCCGACTAGTGTTCCCCTTTCCCCCCATAACTTGTGTTCGATGAAGTACCACGGGCGGACGGAGCCTCCCGACGCCGCCGGCGCGTGGCGTAACTTCCCTCAGCCGTCCGAGAGAAGTCCCCCGCGCGCCGGGGCGTCGGCAGATCGTGCGGCCTATCACGTCGGCCCCCTCTCGATGGCTTTTGCCGGCCGTCGACGAGTGTGCTGTACCATCGGCGCTGCCGGCCAAGCGGGCCGTACCGGTGGCCTTTGAGGGCAGGAAGTAGCTCAAGGGGTCCACCTCGGACGCCTGCGCGCGCGCCCGCCGCCGCCGCAGCGAAGGGCAGCTCCCAGAAGGCACAGAGGCTGAACAAAACACACATGGCGCCGGAGCTCAACAAGCCGGAGCTCAAGGCCAAGCTGCGCGCGACGCGCGTCGCCGTGGAACAGCTCCAGCACCGCGTGAACGACGCCCTCGAGCGCCAGAAGCCGTCGCCGTTGACGCGCGAGGGCGCGGCCGCGCCGGCGAAACTAAGGAAAAGGCGGTCGCTCAAGGGCCACTTCGGCAAGGTCGTGAGTGTGAGCTGGCTGCCCGACTCGAACAGACTGGCGACGGCGGCGCAGGACGGCAACGTGATTATTTGGCACGCTCCTACTGGTAAGAAAGCACAATTGCTCCCTCTAAAGAACCAGTGGGCCATGTTCGCGGCCTGCGCGCAAGATTCTTCAAGATTATGCGCGACCGGCGGCTTGGACAACGTGTGCACGGTCTGGACCTTACCTGAGCCAAACGAGGACGCGAAGACGCCTCGAGTGCTCGAGGGCCACAAGGGCCACGTCGCCGCGGCGTCGTTCCTAGCTACCAATACATTAATCACCGTGAGTGGCGACTCGACGGCCGCGTTGTGGGATCTGAACCGCCTGCCGTCCTCAGATATCGACCAGAGGGCCGAAGTCTACGCCGGCCACGACGAGTGCCTGTCTGCCGTCGCCAAGGACCCTACCTCAGAACGTAACTTCGCCACGGGGTCCGCGGATGGCTCGGTGATGCTCTGGTCCCTCGGTGCGAGCGACCCGTCGTGCGTGCTGCGCATGCACAGGGCCGACATCAAGGCCGGTTCACGCGCGAGGCACCCGGACGCGAACGGCGTGTCCTACCAAACTGAGAGGACGTTGGGAGTTGCGACCGAGTCCTTCGGGAGTTTCTTGTTTGATGCGCGCACGCGCACTGCTGTCAACAAGTTCGGGTCTGACGAAAGGGACATCGGCCCGAAGACGTCGTGTGCCTTTTCTTCCTCCGGAAGATTAATGTTTGTGGGCACGGACGACGGCGTCGAGGTCTGGGACACGCTCCAAGGCGACGCTAATAAACCGTTGCAGTTCCTGAAGCCGCACGGCGCGCGCGTCGCGGCGCTCGCCGTCCCAACATCAGGCCAGTGCGTCGCGTGCGCGTCGTGGGACTTCGAGGCGTCGGTGCTGTCGATCTGACTCTACCCTATGGGCCTGCTGCTGCGCTCCCTGTTCTCCCCCCATCATTGTCCCGCGCGCGCGCCCCCGTATCTTAACTTGATGTGATCTTGCTCTATTTACGCGGCGGTGGCGTGTAGGTGTGTTAGGAATACATGTTGCTTTACTCGGAGCTAGGCCGCCTAGTCACCTGGCCGACGCGCATGTCACAAACTAGATGCGCTTCATGCGGCACCCACCTTCCGGTGTGTTCGTCATAGTACGCATGGGCTCCTGTAGGACCACTGTTGCAGGAAGGTGCCACGGCGTAGATAGGCGGATACAGCAGCCCGGCCTTGGTCGCCTTGTAGTCCTCCTCGCCCATCCTGCCCTCGTCCAGGGCCTTCTTCGCCGCGCGGAGGGCCTTGACGGTCGCGGCGGTCAGCGCGCACATCAGCTTATAATTGGGCTTTCCGAGGGCGGTCTCTTTCCTGAGGCATTTGCCTCGCACGAGAGCATCGAGCAGTTCCTGGCAATACTCCGGGCTAGACTCCAAATATTCCTCGGCTATCCGAGCTGCGCTTGCGCCACCGTATATTCGGAGGCTACGGATGATTTTCGCCCTGTCGAAGGTGCGGCGGGCGCCAAAGCGCCTCGCGGAGGCCAGGTTTACGTGGCGTTCCACGTAGTACCTCCACGGGCCCGCCCCACGTCTGCCGGGGCACTTGCGGAGATCCTCGTCCGTGACCAGATACTCGGCCTTAGCATCCCGCTCTGAGATCATCCAGTCACCCCACCGGGAGCAGGCGTCGCAAGCGCGTACCCCGTAAAAAGGGTCCAAGGACGTCACCACCCTGTCGCGGCAATGCAGGCAATTCGTGGACAGCGCGGCCAGCGGCAGCCAAGGCTTCATAGGACCGGCATAACTTCTCCCGACGCAGGGCGCAACCGGGACGACGGACTCAATGAGAGGTAGCCAAAGCTCGGCGCCGCCGGCCGCGAGAATCCTCTTGAGGTCCTTGCAGCAGACCAGGACGCAGCCCGCCGCCTTGACCCGCGCGAGGTCGTCGAGACTGTCGTCGACGGACTCGAAGATGCGACCCCACATGCGCGGGTGCAGTTGTATTGCGCCTGAAGGATTTGTCGACGGGCGGCGCTTCTCGGCCATGGTGTTGTTCACTGGGAAAGCGACTCGCACGCTCGCACAGCTCGCTGTTTCGAGAGATCTATGGTGGTACAGGCTCCTGTACCAAGTGGGCAGCGATAATACGGTCCTCGATCGTGAGCGCCCTGGAGTGCTACCTAGGTAGCGTATCAAAGGCACTAGTTTTGCGCGGGGGGCGTGCGAGTCCATGCGACTCAGCCCTTGCGTCCTAGTCCAGCCGGACGGGTGGGCCCGGGGGGAGCGGGAGGGGTACGGGGAACCCTGCGACGTAACTAGCCTGAGCCTGATCTTACTTTTGCCCTACCTACTTCCCGACAACTCGCTACGCGAATCCTTTTTAAAAAGGTAAAAGAAATGAACAAGATTTTGATCGCAACTGTTAGCGCGCTATACGACCCACCACGATTTTAGCTGCCAGCGCAAGTGCCACGCCGAACAGACACGCCCTCTTCCATAGGTAAGGGACACTTGGGTCTGTCGTGGCGAGCCGTACGGTGGCCACCTCTTGCCAGCACCAGAACGCGTCACTGGATGTCATCACGAGCTTTAGGTGTGTCAACGGCACGGCCTCGTCTCGGCACCACCCCTTTGAATGCTTCGCCAACGCCCGCTCGACCTCAAGCTTTGCCTGCGATAAGGTCGCTTGAGCACAGTCTCCGTAAGCGAGAGAGAGGTGCGGCCGGTACGCTGCAAGCGCTTCGCCTGGACGAGAAACGTCGAGGCAGCATGCGCGTAGCGCTTCGATCGCCAAACGATTCGCTGCGAACAGGCTCGTGCCAGCGAGCTCCAGCACCAACGCCCGGGACCACTTGGACGTCGACGTTCCGATCTCCCCATGGAACTCGCACGCAACCGAACCGTGAGCACTCAGAGCCGTCGCAACGGCTTGCGCAGCCGATATCGCGTCGCGTTGGCTGCACGTGAAAGACCGGCACAACGTTACGTGCGGCTGAAAACCACGCCGGTCGTCTCGTAGGGCTGCCGATTGCGCAGTAATGATGTCGCTGGCCAGTTTATGCGATGTCGAGTCTGGCGCAGGAGTCAGCCAAAGCGAGTATTTTAATGCTCCGAGAAGCGCGCCCGTGACCAACTTGCAACCGGCCTCCGTACTCCCTTCGTTGATTATGTGGATCACGTGGGCTCCATTGGGTTCGGCAAGTTTCGCTCGAGCGACCCGCTTTTCCACTTCTTCCGGCGGCTCCCGCCCCCGTTTCAACAACCTCTGCGTGAGCACGGACGCCGAGGCGCTGACGTTGAGGAAGTAGACCTCACATCTCGAGGATTCATACCGTGCCACGCAGTCGGCGACGACGCCGCGGCTCACGTTGAGCACGGCTCGTTTGCCCGCGGCGAGGGCCGCGTCGAGGTCCTGCCTCGGGATCGCGTACTTCGTGTCGTGCGCTTCCCAGTAAAAGGCGTGCTCTCCCTTAGCTTGGCCAGCGTCCATCGCCGCCTCCGTGACGGGGGTCTCCAGGTCCGTACACTTGGCGGCGGGGCGCGTGATCCTGCGCTTCACGAAGGCGACGCCACCCCCGTCGTCGCGTTTCCGGAGCTCGGCTCGGGCGGCGAGGAGCAACGTGTCCTTGCCGGCGCCCGAGGGCCCACCGACCATGTAGATGGCTGCCATGAGACACCTCGTCGATCGGCGGTCGCGAGTTGGAATGCGTGGTGCTGCCGGGGCAATCCAAAGACAACGACAATGCCCCTGGGAGATCTAAAGCAGGCTCCTGTACCACGTGGGCAGCAAGATTGCGCAGATGAGCCTCGATCCGGAGACCGCCTGGATTGCTAGTGTCTTACATTCCGCTAGCAGTTCGCGCAGCCAAGGATTTCAACGCTATAAAAAGCACCGCAACCCACGCGCCGTCGCCAAGTGGTCGTCCTAGCACCTCTTCTCGTCCGTCGCTGGCATATACTCCGAGACGGGGCAAGCGCAGCCGCCGGTCGCACCAAAATCGCCTTGCGAGGCCACCGGCTTTCCTAGCCGCATAGCGCCGCCGCCGCGCACTTTCTAGGCGCAAAACGCCGCCGCCGCACCAGAAAAATGGCCTACGACCAGTCCATGTGGACGCGTAGGATAAAGTACGGCTGGCTCCTCTGGGCCGCCGCCGGCACGACCTGCACCATGACCGCTTACGGTTTTCAACCGGTCTTCGCGACGGCGTGCGGTTGCATGTGGACGTTGTTGTGGATCTGCTTCAACCTGTCGACGCGAATGCTCATCTGCAACTTTTTGAATGGGTGCGTCGACGTCTTTTTCAGGCAGGTCGCCGTCGCCGGCGCCCACAAGCTGAATTTCAGTGACGAGCCGCTATTACTCGCCATAGCGCCCCACGCGAACCAGTTTATTGATCCCATGATCATCCTCAAGACCTTCGAGCGGCCTGTGGGGTTTCTTTGTGCGGCCAAGTCCATGAGGTATAAACGAGGTCCTAGCGACTTAATCGCGTTCTTCGCGAACGGCATCGACAGCGTGCCCGTGGAACGGCCCCAGGACATCGCGACGGTCGGTAAAGGGATCATACGCGAAGTGTCCCGTGCGGACGATAAGGTAGTAGTACATGGGCAAGATACTTCTTTCATGCAAGCCTGTAAGAGAGGAGATCAATTCTTAGTGACCAAGGGCCCCTGCAAAGGTGCCGTCGCGAAGATCCTGGAAGTTGTTAGTGATTCTTTGGCTGTGGTCGCGGACAATGCATTCGCGGGTTCCGATGCCAATGAGGAATCGACGTACGAAAACGTCTCAGATGCGCCCTTCAAAGTACTGCCCAAAGTGGACCAGGACGTCGTGTATCAGGCCATCTACTCGCGGTTGGACTCGAATGGCTGTGTCGGCATTTTTCCGGAGGGCGGCAGCCACGATAGGGCTTCATTATTACCATTGAAGGCGGGCATCGCCGTCATGGCGCTAGGGGCCTGCAAGCAGCACGGCGAGGCCCTACGGAAACGGCTGAGAGTAGTAGCGGTCGGTTTAAATTACTTCAGCGGCCACCGGTTCCGGTCTCGCGTGTTCGTCGATTATGGAGAGCCCTTCGAAGTCTCGAGGGAGCTCGTCGACCGGTACGCGTCCGGCGACAAGCGCGGCGCCGGCGACGAACTGATGGCCCAGATTTTAACTGCTGTAAAGGCGGTCACCGTGCAGGCTCCCGACTCAGCAACGGCGGAGACGTTCTGGATGCTGCGGCGGTTGTATGTTCCCGATGGTAAAAGATTGACGCTCGAGGAGAAGGTCGCTTTGACGAGAGGTTTTGCGGATGCGGTAGAAAAAGACAGAAATGATCCAGACGTATCTTCCGTTTTGAAGAAGGTCGAGGCCTACCACGGGCTCCTGAAACACTATTCTTTACATGATAGGCAAGTAGCGAAGGCCGGGTCTGATGTTTTGGATAGTGTCGACGCGTTAGCTATGTTAGCTTTTCGTATGGGGTTGTTGCTAGTGTACGCGGTGGCTATCTTACCGGGTACTATTTTGGCTTCACCTTTGCTCGTTATATCAGAGGTCGTATCTAGATATAAGGCAAAAGTAGCTGTGGCCGGATCCCGAGTAAAACTGAAGGGGAGAGATATATTAGCGACGTGGAAAGTGGTCTGTGGTATGGTACTGATACCAGCCTTACATACCTTTTATACGATATGCGTCTACTACTTGTACTCGTCGAAGGAGGCCGTGGCCTACTTCTTCTTCATGCCTTTTGTGAGTTATACGTCGATCATAGCTTCCGAAAACGCGTATCAAGTGTTCCGGAGCATCGGGCCGCTCTTCATGCTGCTGACGAAAAGGCAAACGGGCGTGGAACTCCGGGAGATGCGTCGTATATTAAAGAGGGACGTGCGAGAGCTGGCCCAAAAGCTAGGGTGGGCGGAGATCATCAAAAAGGCGGACTCGCACAACGCGGGGCTCGACGAGCTGCGCAGTCCGCTGCACGTGAGCGGGTTCCCGCGGTCGGACTAGGCGTTGAGGGGTAAGTAATTCGATGAATATATCTAATTTGCTTACGCAGTCCGCGGCGATGGCGTCTCGCGCGCGTGGAGAATTGCTCGAGCCTGGAGCAGTTTGCCCTCAATATTCAATGTGAGCGGATGCGCGCCACCGAGCACGCGCTGCGCGATCCGCTCCGCGGCCTCGAGCGTCGTCACGGCCTCGCGGAGATCGTCGAGCGTGGCACCGGGGTCCTCATGGCCGCGGCGATGGGCGGAAAGGCGGAAGTGATTCGGACGCTAGTACGAGCGGGGGCGGACGTCAACATCACTCGACCCGCACTATCAGGTTTATCAGAAAAGGAGGGCGAGACTGAAAGCGCTCTGACTTTGGCTTTGGCACACGGCCGCCCAGAAACAGCTCAATTATTGCTCGATCTCGGCGCCGACAAGAAGACATTCCAGTGGATGACGCCATCTCAGAGCGTGCGTGACTTGAATGATCATCGCGTCCTTCGCATGTTCTATATCGCCGGCGTCGACCTTTCGGCAAGTACCACCGACGATGGTGAAACTTTTGAGTCAGTCTCGAGGAAATGTCTCGAGGCGTATAGAGGCAAGCAAAATGCGACATACGCGGGCTTGGCCAAGAATTATGCTAAAATCGTGGCAATCTTTGATGGAGTGCGCGCTGCCGGCAGTTACCGAGAATTTATATTACGCGACTACAAGCAGTTGCTCCGCATTAGGTCTCTGCTGGCTCGCGGCCGCGCGACCATCCAATCCAAACACCACCCGGTGATCGCGCGCCTCTTCGGCGGAACCATCGCGTCCCGGGGCTCGCCGAAGCGGTCTCGACCGCTGGGGCGCTTCGCGGGCGTCCCCGACCCCATCTTCTGGAAGGTCCTGGAATACTATCAGCTAGGCGACTGGCGCCGACCGTGTACTCTCCCGGGCCCCTCCGTGTAAACTTGATGAATTACACACTAATATCAGGAGAAACCTCCTTCCGAGGCGTCGTCGCCGCGAGCAACCCGGCGCGCTCATTCACCCGCGGCCGCTTCACCAACGCGGCACAGCGCGCGTACAAGTCCGCGAACGCGTGCGCCGGGGCCCGCAGGCCCATGCGGTCGCGATTCGTGTACACGAGGGCCAGGTACGTCAGAGCTCTAAAGAACACTCCCAACAGCGCCAAGACCCCGCAGTTCACCGACGCCGCCCGCGCGACGTACCCAAATAACAGTAAACCTTCCAAGGCCGACTCCATGCGCGGTTTAGCATAAAAGGCGGGTGGCATGCGCCACGCCATCGACAGCGCTAATATTTCGGCCGCATAGAGCGACTCGACGAGCCACCTCGCATAACTACCCCAAATTAACGGTTTGACGGCCAATCCTAATTTCTTGAGCTCCGATAATCGAGGTGCCACCCCCGAGAACATGGCACAAGCAATTAACGCACTCACGGAAGACAGCTGCGCGGCCTTCGAGTCCTGGGTCACGGAGAAGACATGTGATAACCCAGAGGCCGCCAGGGCCGCGCAGAAGCAGGGCCAGAAGTAGCGCGCGAAGGAGGTGCGCGGCCGCGCCGTGGGAAACCACGTTGACAAAAAGGCCAGCGTAATTAAGAGTAGTCGTGGCAGTTCCGCTAAACACGTCGCGACGCAGAACGCCGCGGGATCTAGACCGTATCCACTAAGTGTGGGAGAGAGTTCGCGCCACGCCGCCTGCCTCAGACCCCCAAAGGTCTTGGCGGAAGATAACGCCACCGTGCCGCCCAGCGAGAGTTGCAAGATGAACGACACCTGCTGGCAGTCCCTGAATTCAAAATGCGGGTACAGCGCACCGAGGAAGGCCCCGGCGGCGAACTGCACTCCTAATTCAAAGACGAAGTCTCCTGGATGTCTAGTATGCGCCAGTATCGCGCGGTTCAGGAACTTTGTAAATTGCGTGACGGCGCCGGGCGCGTCGACGCCGTACGAGGCCTCCCTTAATATCTGTGAAGTGGCGCCCGGCGTCGCCGGCGCTGTCGTCGATGAGGGGATACTAAATGAATTGGACACGACGCAGTCCAAGACAAAGTCTGGAGCTGGTGCGTCGCCCTGCTGCAGGCCACACGCCTCCTCAAAGGCTCGCGCGGCTAACGACGCGGGCCCGCAATACGCAACACCAGAACCAGAAAAGACGACCGCATCATCTAAGCAGCGCCAGGCTTTGGCTGAAGGCTGATGCAAAACCGCAGCCACACAGACGCCACGCCGCGCGGCGTTCATTAACGCGCGGACGACTGCTAATGACGTGGCGGCGTCGAGGCCCGACGTCGGCTCGTCGAGCAATAACGCGGACGGGTCTCCACACAACTCCACGGCGACGGCGACGCGCTTGCGCTGGCCGCCGGACAGGCCCCGTCGCCGCGCATCTCCCGCGACGCCGATCATCGCGTCGCGCTCGTTGTGCAGGCCGAGCTCGCGGATGCAGAGCGCGACGCGCCTTTCTCTACTGTCGGCCTCCTCGGACCGCTCCCGCCGCTCGCGGATCGCCTGCGTGTTGTAGCTTCGATCGATGCGTCGCGTCGATGGCGTACGTGGTCCCCCCCACGCCATCGATGCAGCGCGTCGACGGCGTCGGAGCGGCCCCAAACGCTACGAAGTGCTAGATGCGCGCCGCTCGACGGCGTAGGAATGGTCCCAAACTCTGGGAGGGGTAGAAGAAGGACGCCGCGGACGAACCGCATAGAAGCGCAGCAGCTCCCGCACCGTCAGCCAGCCGAGTAACGCGCCGTCGTCCTGGGGCACGTAGCCCACGAGCGCCGGGTGGCATGATGATGGAGCCGCGCCGTTCAGTAATACGGAACCGCGCACGCGCGACCCGGGCGGCGGCGCGCGGCCCGCGAGCAGATCTAATAAAGTACTTTTTCCAGCACCGGACGGCCCGATGATCGCCGCGAGGCGCCCCGCCCGTAAAGCACCGGTAGCGTTCTTCAGCGCGACGCGGCCGCCGGGCAACCTCACAGAAACCTCCGAGAACTCCACGTCTATCAAGGGCGACGCATCAGGCAAAGCGTAGGCGCCGTCCTCGTCGAAGGAAGCCCGACTCCGCGGCGGCGAGTGCGCCCGCAGGTGCCTGATGATCGCCTCATCGAAGGCCCTCAAGCTTTTATCCCGCCATATACTTCCAACGTAGTAGGCCACGCCTAACAACATCAGAGCGCCCCATGCTAAAGCTCCGAAGGACGTCCTATATCTAGGCCGCGTCATGCCCTCTCTGGTACAACTGGCGAACCACGGGCATCGGACTGGAGCATCAGAACCAAGCGCGCAGAAATGATTCAAGGGGCACTTCTGGATCTCGACGGGCGTGTCGCAGTAGTAGCCCTCGGGGCACAGCGTCAAGTACTGGACGCCGGGGCAGGCGTGGATCTCCGGGGATTGTTCTTCTGCCGGCGCTGCATTGTGGGGAAAGACGCATCGCCTCCTATCGTAGGTCTGTAGAGATGATGAATGATGAGGCACGACACCACTTAACGGGCGACTGGCGTTGCACATGGCGCCTCGCGCGCATAAGACGAAGCACGTCTGGCCCGCCATGCAAAACGCGCCATCCGGACAAGGTTTGACCGAGGCCGTGTCATCTAAATAAAAGCCGCCGCGACACGCCGCCGGCTGCGTCGGTTGGAGACCGCCGCAAGACGCGTCGTGCTGGTGCTTGACCATGCCCCGGAACTCGCGGGCCCCGCAGTGCCTCCTCAATAAGCGCGCGGCGCCGGCCGCGTCGAGGGACCGGGCCCAGGCGCCGTAGGCCGCGACGAACAGGTGGGCAAAGTCGTTATCTTGCGTAGGCGCCTGGCGGCCGGTCGTCTGGTGCCAGCGGTCGATGACTGCTCTTGTCGCGGCGTCATCCGCTTCCGGTGTTGCCGGGAGTTGCTTCGCGGGCAAATCTAAAGTATACCACACGAAGGACGCCGGATTCGCCTCCAGCGCGTCGATCGACTGCTGCTGCCTCGCTCCGAGCTCGACTCGGAGGTATACGATTTGGTATGCGCCATACAATAAGCCGAAGACGGCAACGTAGAAAGTGACCCAGGGGACGGCGAGCAGTAATGGATGTGTTAATTTCCGTCGCTGCGGCATCGTCTGCAGTGGTATCGTCTGCAGTGGTGCGAGCGTCGCGCGGAGTTGTGTTGCTGCAGTTACTGCTTCTGCACGTGATAGAGACTTTGCACGGCCGCACAGCTCGCGCGCTGCAAAGATCTCTGTTCTCGCTGGCAAATTGGCCACCTTGCAAGCTCTGCGAGGTCCAGAACGCAAAATCCAGCCCGCAAAGGACGCCAGCGCCGCGGTAGCGCGATGCTAGCGGCCTGTAAGACACTAGCAATTCTAGCAAGCTCATCTATCCGCCTATCAACAGTTTACACTTAGAGTTTACACTCACATTCACACATATCGCGCGGCGTTTCGCCGCGCGCGCGCACGCCGTCGCCGCGACGGCGCGTCGTAGGACTTTCGCTCGCGGCGGAAGACTAAAGCTCACCACGAGCCCGCTCGCGGAACGGCGGAGCTTTGTAGACGGAGCGGAGGTGGGGGTTGTGGAACTCGCCCCACTGCTCGTAGTTGTACCACGGGTCGTCCGCGCTCACGCCGAGGCGGTGCCACATCGTCAGCGTCGTCTTGTTGCCCGCGATGACGGGACAAGCCGCGTGTTGCGTGCTTTGCGGGCCGTTTTTGTACTCGAAGAACAGCAGGTCGCCCTCGCCCGGGGAGAGCTTGAGGTCGTCGCCCGGGAAAACGGTCGAGCCGCCCTCGGCGGCCGCCTCGCAGTAGACGAGCGTCGTCGCGACGCGCTTGCCTTTTGTCCTTCCAGCGCCGTCGGTGTGAGGTTTGTACTCAAAACCGACCTTGTAGTGAAGAAAATTAATAGGTTCTTGTGCTTCGTACGGAATCCGCTCGCCCAGAAGCTCCGAGGCCAATTCAACGGTGACTGCAGCCATCGAAGTTACTGGGGCGTCGGGCTCGTTCCAGTTGATGTCCAAGTTCGTCGACAGCGTCTCGCGCGACGACGAGAAGGACGTTTCGCCCGTGCCACCCACATGCGCGCGGCCGAGGCCGGAAACTGCGGGAGTGGTATCCACGATGTCCTGGCACTGCTTTCTGGTCGCGAAGCCCCTTGCTACCGCCACGAAGGGCGTTTCTCGAAGGACCTCGATGACCTGCCCCGGCACGCTTTCCGATGCATAGCTCCGCACCGCGCGGCTCGGCGCCGCGACCTCGCAGAGCCTCCAATAGGCTTCATTTTGCCAAAAGAGGCGCCACGCGCGCGGGTCGGCCTCGTCGACGCCGCCGAAGGCGTGCCGGAAGACGCAGCCCTGGAACGAGGGAGGAGTGAAGAAGTCCGAGGTCCCGTCGCACTTGTGCGCCGCGCGGCTCAGTTCTAGCTGGAATTCGTTCGCGTCGCCGACCGTTATCGCGTCGTCGCCGACGCGCGCCACGACGTAGCCGTCGCCGTCGATCTCCGCTCGCACGCCGCCGCAGACGAGCTCCGTGGGAACCTCCGTTTCGAGGAGCTGGCCCGTGCGGGCCGGGATCACGGGCAGCTCTTCCGCGCCGCCCAGCGAGCATTGCACTTTGTCCGATCGCTCGTTTGCGATGGCTAGGGTGACGCGTTTCGGCGGTGCCGCGTAGGCGCACGCGAGGGCTGCGAGCAGGCATGTGTTGCGGGCCATTTTGGGCAGCGCAGCGGCACAGCGATGGCGTCGGCTGCTGTAGCGCTGGCAAACGGATGCGAGTTAACGATATCCAGTAAATTTACTGCCTAATGCTTGCTTTTTTGCAGCCTTTTTTTGCGGCTGCTCGAGTTTGCTAGTGTCTTACAGGACGCTAGATGCGGCGGGAGGCAGGCGCGACCGCAGGTGGGCCATTGCGGACCTCACGAGACAAGTTGGGTTTGTTTAAGGCTTCTCGCGGAAGTTTATAACATCCTCCAAAGCGGCCAGCGCTCGCCGGTGCCACACGCCATAACGAGAGCTGCTCTCCTGCAGCCTCGGCCCGCGCGCAGCCGGACGCAGACTAGAAGCGCGGAGCGATGTCGCACTACGGAGGCGGCGCCGGCGACGACGCCCCGCCGGGCTACTCCGGCCCACCTAGAAACACGGCCCCACCGCCGGGCTACCAGTCCTACAACTACAACCAGCCACCCCAACAATATTATCCCGCGACGCCCGTAAATGCCCAGCCGTACAACCCGCGCCAGACGCAGCACGCCCAGGCGACGGGACGAAACGATCGCCAGTTGCCCGACGGGACCTGGGTCGATTATAAAGGAGAACCGCTGCGCCAGAACTTTGTCACGCGAGCGGACGGTTCGATTGTATCTGAAAAGTTCGAAGTGGAGCTGAACCAGATGTACGCGCGCTGCGTGACCATGGGCGACGTTTTTAGAATTTGGAACGAGCACGGCGTGATGAACGGGATTAACTTGTCGACAGGTCTGGCTCGGTTGGGACGAGCTGTAGCTAGAGATCGCTCATTAGTTAATAGAATTCGCGACTCGTATGAGTTTAGGGACATGTGCAAACTCCTACGATCCAAATTATGCGACAACCCCGACTGGACCGGAGCTCGTCAATTGGCGACGGCGGCGCACGCGTTCGCGAAACTTAACCCGGCCAACGCGCGGGGCCAGGACACGCGCAACGAGGTCGCGGCCATGGCTACTGTGGGAAGGGCCGCCACCGCCAAAATCCGCGAGTTCAACACGCAGGAGCTTAGTAATACGGCGTGGGCGTTCGCGACGGCGCAGCATCCCGAGCCCGTGCTGTTCCAGGCCATCGGTTCTCAGGTCGTCTTGAAAGCCCCGCAGTTCAAGGCCCAGGAGATCTCCAACACGCTGTGGGCCTTCGCGAAGCTCGACGTGCCCAATGCCGACGAAGTGTTTGCGTCGCTCGCGGACGCGGCTATAAGGTTGGCCTACAACAACCCGTCGGCCTACAACCCCCAGAACGTCTCGAACGCCCTCTGGGCCTTCGCGAAAGCAGGAAGGAGCCACCCGCAGCTCTACGCGGCGCTGGGTCCTGTTGGTGCTAGAATTGCGCGGAACTTCTCGATGCAGGCCCTCGCGAATGTATATTGCAGTGTCCTTGAAACGAGCGTCGTCGTGCGGTCGCGTCGATGGCGTGGGGGCGGACGCGACCTCTCTGAGGCCGCGAAGCCGTCTCGAGCCGCGCTCACAGAAACTCGGCCAGGAGGCCGTGGGACCGCCCTCGACGCCATCGACGCGATGGTTCGCCGTCGTCGGCGCCGCGGATCGCCGAGCTTTCACAACACAGGTCGCCTGGGCCTACGCGCAGAACCACGAGCAGTGCCCGGAGCTCTTCAATGCGTTAGGTGATTTCGCCGCGGAGCATGTTTTGGACTTCTCCCCTACAGCGTTAGCGGACACGACCTGGGGCTTCGTGCAATGTGGCTCGCCCAATCCGAGATTGCTTGACAGGGTCGGGGACCTACTCTATAGAAGAGCTCGCTCATTAGATTTCACGCCCCAGTCGCTCGCGAGACTCGCCCAGGCGTTTATGAGAGCGGACCAGATGGGCTCCGGGTTTCGGTTCACGGAGCAACACTTGGATGGGCTGTTGACTGGCGCGCACGCCTTCGCCACCGGTCCCAAAAATCTCAGAACGCGAGATGGGACGGACTTACTGAAGGCCTACGCCGAACTACGCTTATCCAGACACGGGCAGGACCACCATCGGCGCTTCGCGGACGTCTTCTACGCGGTCGACCAAGCTCTGGGGAGAAGTGTCCGAGACTTCTATCCCAATGATTTAGCGATTGCGGCTTCATCCTTCGCGTCCGTGAACTGCGACGCGCCTCGATTCTTCCGAGACTTGTTGAGGAACGCGGACCACTGCTTCGCGGAGCATCGAAACTCGATCCTGAAATTTGAAAGTGCGTCGGACGTCCTGAGAGCATGTGCTGCTTTGGGCTGGTTCGACGAAGACGCCATGGCGCGACTAGGACAGCTGTGTGCGGATCGAATTGATCATGCGTCGGACGATGCGTTGACCGATGCCGTCGAAGCATTGGCACGATTAGGAGGGTTACATGCCTCACCTTTGTTCCGAGCCGTCGTCGATTGCAAGCGGACCTTTGAATCAAGACATGCTTCGCGAATCCTCGACGCCTTCGCTCTCGCTGGCGCGTGGCACGACGACTTTTTGTCATCGTTGTCGGAGCACGCGTCGTCAGCCAAAATTTTTCTGTTTGCTGCTGCGGCTGAAAGGCCTTCACTCTTACCGCCCGGCATGAGTCCGGAACCCCTGCAGGACTCGGAGCGAAGGAAGGATATCGTCGCGAAAGTGGTGTCGGAACTCAACGAGTGGGGCTGGGCCTGCTCCACCATAGGTGGGGCCGACGCGTTGTGTGGAGACGTCTGCTGCCTGTTCGACGATCGACTCGTGAGGGACGTCGGCGGCAAGCGCGACCGGCCCGACGGCACGGCTTTATTACACGCGCGTTTGGCGCTGCGCGCGGGCCGGCGTTTGGAGTTCGTGGCGCGCGAGGCGCTCGACGAGGCGCGGGCGTCCGATAGTGCGCGCGCGGCGCTGCTCGCGCGGTTGAGAGGGGACGAGCCTTCTCCGAAGCGGGCCAAGGTCGAGGAGCCCGCGGCGGCGATGGAGACCGAGCCCACGAAGGATGAGCCGGCGGCTGAGCCGGCCCCCGAGGCTCCGGTCGAGCCCGCTCCCGCGGCGATGGAGGCAGAGCCAACGGCCACGCCGGCGCCTGCAGCCGAGCCCGCGCCGGCGGCTGAGCCGGAACCGGCGGCCGCGGCGCCGGCCGCCGCGGCCTTCGACGAGGCCGCCGCGACGAAGGAGTGCAAGAAGCTCACGGTGCCGAAGCTGCGCGCCGCGCTCGAGGCCGCGGGCGCGGACACGAAGGGCCTAAAAGCGGCGCTCGTGGAGCGCCTCGTTGGCGTCAAGCGCGCGGCCGCGCAGAAGGGGTGATGGAGTTGCTCTAGTTTAGATTGATGCTTAAGCTGGACGGTTGAACTAGTCACTGTCTTCGCCTCCTCAGGCTTATTCTTAGTCAGTGCGCATCCCAGTTGAACGTATTCAGCACTCCCCGCACCTTGAACGGCGCCGCCTTCGCAGTCGCCGACGCCTTCCCATCGCGCGCGGCCTGTCGCGCAAGCGCCGCGCAGACCGTCTGGTGATGCCCCCAATTCGCGATCTGGCATGCCTCCGAGCAATATCGCGCCACGCCGCACCCGCCGCAGACCATAAAGCGCGGCTCGGATAGGGCGACTCGCTGGCCGCACTGATCGCAGATTCGGCGCCGGATTCGCGGCCAGTGGGGCTGCAAGTCGGGCCAGCGCCTCAAGGCATCAATCGCGTTGGACACGCCCTTGGTGGTCACTTTCCTAAGACACACAAGGGACATATACTCCCGCCTTCCAGGGTCCGTATCCCCATGCGTCCCGATATCATCTTTCAATCCTTTGAAGCCCATCGCCATATACAACTGAAGCTCCTGCCCGCTTGTAATTGGGGTCCCGTCTATGTGGCGCCAGTGATCTTTTTCGAACCGTTTATGCGGTTTCAAGAACCCCGCTGCGGCGCCGCCCGGCTCTCGCTGTCGCCGCGATTTCTTGCCCATGGTTTGCTTTGCCGTCGCCGGCCGCTGTGGTGTGTCGCCGCGGTTCTCTCGCGCCGTCCGCGGCGCCAGATGGGATCGCGCTGGGACGCGCGCTATGAGGATCCGACTGGCAGGTTTGAAAATGAGATACAGGGGGCCCGAATCGCACGGCGCAAGCGCGGCGCGTCGATTCTGCTTGAACGGATCTTCAATAATTTACCACTGGCGCTCGCTCCGCCTGTCTCAGGCGCGCGCGGCCGCCGCACACAAATATGCCCCTGGAGTGTAAAACAGGTTTTGAACGGATCAATCCAACACGAACATGGACGTCTATATAGACGCCTTCCAATAATCCTCGCACCCCGCCGACGCATAGAATTCAAAGACACTCTAGCGCTGTAAACTCCCAAGGAGGCCCAGCTGCTGGCTGCCGCATCTGCTGGCAGCGGCGAAAACGCTCCCAAATAGATTCGGGGGCTACGCAAAACACAGCGATTCGAGGGGCTGCCCGCCGGCCCTGAGTCGGAGCGGTCTCAGACAGGGGAGCATGGCAGCCCTCCCCCGCCCCCGCACCCACTACGCCGCCGCCGCCGCGAATCGCTGGCTCCTCCCCGAAGAGATCCTCGACCTCTTGACCCACGCCGGCCGCCTGAACCTCCAGACGTCCGGCGCGGCGCCGGACCGGCCGCCGAGTGGCGCGTGCTACCTGTTTGATCGACGGGTCTGCCGACGCTTCCGGGCCGACGGCCACGGCTGGACGAGCCGCGGCGATAGTAATCGCGTGCGCGAGGACCACGTGCGGCTCCGCGTGGACGGTACTCCGAGAGTGGCCGCGGCACATGCCCACCACGCCGACGACCCGCAGTTCCACCGGAGGACCTACCAGCTCATCGACGAGGGGGCGCCGTTGTCCTTGGTCCACTATCGCCGCGTCTTGCCAAGAGAGGCCGGGGCGCGCGTCGTCAGAAGGCGCGAAGCGGAGCGCCAGAGCGCGCTCCTACAATCGTCGGCCATGGACACGGACCTGAGCACGTGGGCGGCCGTCTTCGGCGAGGACGACACGAGCCACGAGTTACGAGCGTCGCCCGTCGCGGTGGACTGCCTGTCTTCTGTCAAGCATCCACCGTCCACGATCCAACGCGTCGAGCCGCCGCCGGCGCCTGTTGTGAAGAGGTCAATAGCGGACGTCGCGCCCCGGCGGTGTGGCTTGGTGGAGACGACGTTCCTCATTTGCGTCGACGCGCCGCTCGACCCCTTGCAAAGCGGGGAGCGGCTCGCGGTGCGGTTCAGCGGCGGCCTCGACGTCATCACGCCCGCCACAAAAGTGAACCCCTACTGCGTGCGCTGCGTTTTGAAGCCGCAAGCCGCGGGCCGGGCGACTTTGGAAGTTGTCGCGGCGCGCGGGTCCATCGCGCGGCCGCTGACGAAGGTTGATGGGGACGGCGTGACCGTCGGGCCGCCGGCGCCCGCGGACGCGGCGCTGGACCAGGTGAGGCCTGCGCCAACGCCCGCGGACGCTGCGATGGACGACGAGGCGCCGGTCGCAAACGAGGCGCGGCCGTCGAAGCGCGCGGCGACCGACGACGACGCCGCGCGGCGAAGGACGGACGAGGCGGCGACCGAACGGCCGGCGGACGGCGGCCGGCAAAGCTCCGCACCACGCGTCCCGCTGCACCTCGACGCCTTCGACGCGAACACTCTATCAGCGTTAAGTGATTCCGAGCTCGACGCGGCCGTCGAGCAGCTCATGCTACGGGTGGTCGGCCAGATGGGCCGGCTCGCCGCCACGCCGCAAGACCTGCGGGACGAATTGGATGCGCCCGATGCTCACGGCCTGTCGTTGTGTCATTACTGCGCGCTGTACGGTCTGGCGGACCTCGTGGACGCCCTCATATCAAAAGGCGCATCACCTGATGGGGCCCCTGGATGCGGCGAGACGCCGTTGCATCTCGCGGCGGCGGCGGGCAAGGGCGAGACGGTCTCCGTGCTGCTAAAGCGCGGCGCGGATCCAGGGAGGAGGGACGCCCGGGGCCGGACGGCGCGCGACGTCGCTCATGATAGAGGACATATTCAACTCGCTGAAGCATTGGGGTCCGAGACGACGCGGCGCCCGTCCCTCGAGGACGCGCCTTCTGTACCGTCCGAGGCGGCTTTACTGCATATGGCCTTCTCGTCGCTGTCCATACGCGAGAAGTGCGCGTTGGCACTCGCGAAGAGGGATAGAAGCGACAGTGTCTCCGTCATCACGGACTCGAGCGACCAGGAGTCCTTGGATGCGGCCGTGACGTTGCTCGCGCCGGACGAGCGCCAACTACTGGAAGCCGAGGCCGTGACCGTCACAGCAAATGCCCGCGCGTGGATCGCGCGGCGGCACTTCGTGAAAGTCAGGGATGCGGCGCGAACCTTGGAGGCGCGCTGGCTCGAGCACCGGAAGCGGGAACGCTCGTCCCTCGAAAAGATCCCCGAAGACAGTGAACCCCTCACGAAGTTCCAGGCCGCGGCGCGCGGCGCGCTCGCGCGCGGCCAGCTGGCCACGATCAAGGCCCAGATGCTCGCTTTATTGGTCATCTCGCGGGGGTTCCGGGATAAGTTGAGGAATCCTTAGTTAAAGGAATATGCGCATGGCGTGGAGCACGGGCGCGCGGCAGACGGGGCACGCGTCGGCGTCGTCGCGTTTGAGGTATGTGGCGACGCACCGGCCGCACAATACATGACCGCAGGGCACGAGCGCCGTGTCGCGGCCCGGCTGCAGGCAGCACGGGCACTCCGCGGCGTTATTTGTTTGTTGTATGGGCGGCGGCGGTGGCGGCGGCTGTATGGTTGTTGCTGGTGTCCCGATGGGCGCGACGATCGTCCCGAAGGGGTTACTACTACGGCCCGACGACGACGACGCCATGGTATCAGTAGGAGGCGTGAAGACGGGGTCCTCCTGTCTATCGTCGTCGCGCCACTCGCCGTAGCCGTAGGGCCCGACGATCCCATCGGCACTGAGCGTCCCGAAACTCTCGTTCCTTTTGACGGTAGGTATTTGGGGCGCCGACGGCGGTTCCGAGGCGTCGGGCTCCTTCTTTGGTGGAGATGCCGGGGGCGTCACGACCGCGGCAGGAGGGTCAGGTTCGAGCACGGGCGCCTGGGAGGCATCCAAAGGTCGCACCTCCCGCGCGACGGTCGCGCCGTTGTGGCTTCCCAGCGCGTAGGCCACCAAGGAACTCGGCGGCAGCCGCAGCGGCACGGACGGATGCGAAAACGCGGAGCGGTGCGCCATGATGTTCTTCTTGCGGTCCGTCTCGCCGAGTGGTCTTATAAAACCGAAGCCCTGGGGCTTGTAGAAGAGGAGCTCCCCGACCTCTCTTCTAGAGGCTCCGATGAGCCGGGCGGCCGCCTCGGCGTCCAATCCCAACGTTTCCAGATCGTCCTGATCTACAGTTTTCATGCCGGCGTAGTCCAAATGTTTTAGTTTTTGCGCGTGCTTCCCGAGGCTCAGCCGCGACAATAACTCAGGCAGGCACCTTTCTTCCCTCGTCCGGCCCGGCGTCTTCACGGGATCGCGCGCGCGGCGGCCGCGGCCCCGGCCGCGGCCGCGCTTGCCTCTTGCAGGGGGCTGCTCGATGAGTGCGAAGCCCATGGGCCCTGTGCCTCCCGAAAGTCTCGGTTCTTTTGCAAGGGCCGCTTTGCCTTTTGTTAGGCAGCCTCACCAGGTACCTTCCTGGCACCGGGCAGCCTCTGCTCGGCCCGCGCGGCCGATAGCCAGACGCGACACTCTGCGAGCTGATGAGACTTGCAGCCTGAGTAGATGAATGCTAGTAGCTAGCCGGCCGGCGCCGGGCATAGCCATCGCATACATGAAGACGACTGCGCGGACCCGTCCCGGGCGCCTGGACGGGTCGGTGGCTTCCGGGCTCGCTGCCGCCTCGGCAGCCGGTTTGGTGGCTGCCCAAGCGGCAAAAGAGCTGCCCAAAAGCCGCAACCATGGCCACGGAGTACCTGCGCGTGCTGGTCAACACCGTAGCCATCCGCGACGAGCCGGGCAGCACGGACCGCCTCGGCGACTTTACCAAAAATGACGCGGTGAAGCTCATAAAACCATGTACGAGCGACGGCGTGCCGGAGTGGGTCGAGGTCGACATGGTCGGGGCCATCCGCGAGCCCGCGGAGGAGGGCCGCGAGAGACCATCGAAAGGCTTCGTGCGGACGCGGAACCGCGTCGCCACGCTCCTCGAGCCGTGGACCGATTCTACAGAAGCGTCAAAAGCTCGGGACGACCAGGCGGCGAAGCGCAACGACGGCACGTCGTGGTTCAAGTCGGCGACGCGGACGGCCGCCTCGGCGGCCTCGCACGCGAAGCCTTTGTTAGCTGGTGGCCGCGAGGAGTACGAGCGGCGCCAGCGCCTGCACGCGGCCGCCTCGGACTTAATAAGGGAGTGTCGCATGGGGCCCGTCGCCCTGCGCCAGAAGCTCCTCGATACGTTTGATGAAAAGGACTGGGCCGCCGCGCATTTAGCTGATGACAAGGTCCTGCGCGCTTTGCACTTCGTGGCCGAACGAGACGCGCGGGCGCCCGCCGTCGAGTCGCACGGGAGTGTACCAACGCCGCCGTCACCCGAGCAGAAGGTGCCCGTGCGCCCGCCGCCGTCGCCCGCGCGCGGGCTCGTGACCATTCGCGAAGAGCGCAAGATATACACAGGGCCCGGCTCGAGCACTTGCGAGCTGGGGCCCGCGACGGAAGTGAAGGGCGCGCTCGGCGCCCTCGTCGCCGATTCCGACGTCTTCGGCGAGCTCTGGGTGCGGCTGCCCTTCGCGAGCCGCGCGGCGCTCGCCCAGGCGGCGCGCGGCGTCTGCAAGGCCGCGCGCGGTGTGCCGTGGCGGCGCCAGTGCGTGGCTTTGGCTGATGCGTGCGGTGTATTAGATGCGGCGTTCGGCGACGGCGCCACGGATGCCGTGGACGACGCCGCCTGGCGCGCGCGCTTCGTCGACGTCTGGACGCGGCGGCGCCACAAGTGGCGCGGCGGCGCGGACCCGGGCGGCTCGTTCTCCATACGGGCCGTCGTGCGCTTCCGGCCGCGCCTCGTGGCGGCTTCGGAGACGGACCACGGTGGCGTCTTCCTGCCGTTGCACCAGCGGCTCCAGCTCCGCAAACTCGGCCACAACACGCCGTGCCTCGAGGCAGAAGTGTCTGAACGCATCGGTCTTGTGAATGAGTCGGTGGAGACCTACGCGGACCGCCAGAAGAGGCGCCGCTCGGAAGCGCGGCGCAACACGGAGGCGCTCCGCCGAGCCAAGAAAGAAGGCAAGCGCCTGAACAGCGAGAACGTCCACCCGAACTGCGAGCCCGCGCCGGCCGCCGCCGAGGCGCCGGCGCCGGCGCCCGTGCCCGAGGCGCCCGCGCCGATCACCGCCGAGGCGCCCGCGCCCGCTGTGGAGGCCCCCGCGCCGGCGCCCGCGGAAGAAGAGGCCCCGCGAGGCGCCTTCGCGGCCGCGGCCGCCGTCTCCGCCAAGGTCGTCGGCGTCGAAAGCCAGAGGGTGCTGGTCGGCGTCCCGGGCACGGGTCTGTCCTACTTCAACTTCGAGCGGGTATTAGACGGCGACGCCAATCAAGAAAGCTCCTACGAAACATCCTGCGCCCCGCTCGTCAAGAGCTTTTGTGATGGGACGAACGGGTGCCTGCTAGCCTACGGCCAGACCGGCTCAGGTAAAACACATACGATGTTCGGGCCCCCGGACACTTTAAGTGACGCGTGCCACGCGCCGGGCTCGGAGCTCTCTCGAAATGCGGGTGTGGTGCCCCGGGCGCTCGCGGACTGTTTGAAGGCCGTGGAAGGGGCGAAGGAAAGAGGGGCTTGTGTCAATGCCACTCTATCGTTCACCTACCTCGAGCTGTACCGGGAGCAGCTCACGGATCTGATGACGGGCGAGAAGGTCTCTCTTTATAGAGTCGGCAAGGGCGCGGCGGCGGACGAGTATAGGGAGCAGGCCGGGTGCGACGACGACGTGCTGCTGGGCAACGCGACGCACTTCGACGTCACGGCACACGGCGCTAAGAAGGCGTGGGCGGCCTTAGCCGAGGCGGAAGGTCGCAAGAGGCGGGCCGCGACGGCCATGAACGCTCGTTCTTCGCGCGCGCACACCGTCTTCGCCCTCAGCCTGACGCAGCGCCGCTCGATCAATGAAGCGGTCTTATCGTCGAAGCTCTACCTCTGCGACCTCGGCGGGAGCGAGCAGGTCAAGAAGTCCAAGGCGACCGGGCAACGCTTCCAGGAGGCCGTCGAGATCAATCGCTCGCTGACGGTGCTCGGCCGCGTCGTCGACGCCTTAGTAAGAAAGAACAAGTACCACGTGCCCTACTACGAGAGTCGCCTGACCACCTTGCTGCAGCCGGCCTTCGGCGGCAACGCGCGGACCACGATTTTGATCGCGGCGTCGCCGGACGACAAGGACGGCGACGAGGCGCTCGCGGCGCTGCGCTTCGGGCGGCGGTGCGCTCGCATCGAGAACTCGACGAAATGTTCGACGGCGAACATGAAGGAAGTCCTCGAGCACCTCGAGGGGCAGATTGGTGACGCGAAGAAAGAGTTGGCAACCTTGGAGGCGCGCGGCGCGAAACAGCGAGCGGAAGCGGAGGCGTCGGATGCGACGCTGCGAGGCATGGGCGCCGGCCACAACGCGGCGTCGCGATTGCAAGCCGTTTCGCACCAAGACGACACGGGCGGCGACGTCACCAAGGAGTCGCGCCTCGCGGGTGCCAAGGGGTATACGCACGTCGACGACGACGCGGGCCAGTACGTCATCCTGACGCAGAAGCTCGCGGCGCTCGAGGCGCGACGACGGCTCGTCGTCGGTTGATTGATTGTTCATAGCCCTCCCCCCGATTAAGTCACAAGTTTTAATTCGCCGGCTTCGCGTCCGCCGACGGCCTCGCCTGTTCGGCGACGCGCCCCATGAGTACACGAACACCACCGATCGCGGCATCGCGCCAGAGACCAATCCCCTGAGGCTCCATGTAGAGGCTGTTCCTGAGCCGGAACGACCGCGAGACCTCGATCGCGACGGCCGCGTGTGGCTCGTCGTCCAGCTCCTCGGCAGCGCTGTCGATGGCGGCAAGGACCTCGCTGACGGGCGGCGCCGCCGGGTTCCGCGACGGCGTGAAACCGAGCCTTCGCTCGTCCGCGCTGAAGCCGATGGACGCCTCAAATGCGAGCTCGCCGACGTGCGCGCCGAGGATGTGGCCAAGCAGTAGGTCTCCGTTCAAAGCGTCGACGGCACGCACCCTTCGCGCGAATTGGACCGTGCCCGGCGACCAGTAGTGCTCTTCGGCGTCCGGCTCCTCGCCCAACTCGACGATTTCTGGGCGATCGGCCTTGAGCGCTGCCGCGAGCGCCGGCGCGCGCCTCAAACCGTCGCCGTGCTCTTGCCAGAACTGCGCGGCGACGCCTTGCAGCGACGAGAAGTCCTCGAGTTCACCCTCTGCCGTTGGGGCTCTGTCCAGCGCCGCCACCTGCGCGTCGAGGCAGGCCTCGAGGACGCCGTAGGCGCGGTGCAGGACCGTCAGATGCGTCGTGCGGGTCCGCGGCGACGCCAATGATCTGAGAGCGCCCAACCGCAGGCGCCGCGCGTCGCGCCGCGAGTTGTGGATGCCGAAGCCGATCTTTTCGAGCAAGCGCTTGCGCTTGTAATGCGAGAGCGCATTGGTTTCGCTGGATAGGAGGCGTCGCTGTGACTGCAGCGCACTACTGCTGGGCGCCGCGCCGCGCGCGAACACCCCGCGGGAGAGCACGCGTCGCTGAGGAGGCGGGAGAGCAGTGCTGAGCAGACGGCATTGCGGCGCTCCTTGCGCCACAGGAATGGACAGCCGCTGCGTGGCGGCTCTGAGCATCATTTACCCGCGTATGACGACCGCGTTTCGGCCCTAGACGACGCGTGCGCTGGTTAAAAGCTTGCCTGGCCAAAACCGGCTAGTGTCTTACAGGTCGCTAGGTGCGGAGATTAGTCGACAAATTGAGCCCAGCGGACGCGGGACGACCGTCCTCTCGCGCGCCGAAGCTCTCGGTTTAGTATATCCACTGCGGAGCTCGTCAGCAACCAAGCGCGGGCGCCCGGCGGACTCCCCTCAGCACATTCACCACCAGCGGCTGCAAGGTCGCCGCGCGCGACAGCAAATCCGCGCGCCACAGCGCCGCACCTACGCGCAACCATGGGCGGCGGCCACGACCTGCCGACGACGCCTGCCACGCGCACGGAAATGGCGGATGCGAACCTTGCGGTCGCATACCGCGACGCCTGCGCCCACCTTCTTATCCCTTTGAACAAATGCCGGCGCAAGACGTTCTACATGCCTTGGGAGTGCGGCCATCTGAGACATGAATACGAGCGCTGCCAGTACGTCGAGTGGCTCAAGCGGAGCAAAGACGAGACGGTCCGCGCGTCGGCCGCGGACGGCGGCGGCGGGCACCACTGAGAGCCGTCGCTTTCGCATTGTAACTATAAAACTAGTAATAGGAGTCCTGCGGGCGGGCGCGCGGGGGCTCGACGGCCTGATGTGCAGAGGAGCGCAGTGCCAATCGCGTGAGCCAGAGAGCTGCCAATATCGCACAAACCCATAGAAAATAGGCTCTCAACTAACGGTTTGCATCCCTTACGCCTGCAAAAAACACGACTTGCCTGACGTCGTGCTGCAGTGCCCAGCAGACTGCCAATTGAGGCATTGCTCTGTTAGACTGAAATAGCCCCACGACTGCGCAACAACGCGTGAGCAACAGTTGAAAGTGCGCCACGGACCCCCCGACGCCGCTGCGCAAAGCGCCGAACTCGTACGGACGCCTGAACAAGGCGCCGACGACTCGCGTTACGACGGGGCAAAAAAAAAGCAAGCAGACGCCGACGATGGCGGCGCGCGCCCGCCGCGGCGACAACAGCAAGCGCACGCTCTTCGTCACGCACCCCCACTGCGCGGAACACCGGATCGCCCACCACCCCGAGCAGCCCAAGCGCGTCGAGGCGATCGAGGCGGCCGTGCTTGCGCACTTCGGCGAGCGGTCCGCGGACTTCGCGCATGATCCATCACCGCCCGACGCCACCGCAGAAGCTCTAGGAAGGTTCCACACGAAGAAGCACCTTTCGAAGCTCGAGGGTCTATTCGACAAAGTCGAAGAGAGCGCGCAAGCGCCGCTCATGGACCCTAGAAGAGGCCGGACCAAGAGAAGGACGATGTTGTCGATTGATGAGGACACGGCCGTCATGCCCCGTTCAAGGGCAGCAGCTTTGAGCGCGGCGGGAGGGGCCTGCCGCGCCGTCGACGCCGTTCTAGGGCAAGAAAATTATCACAGTGCGTTTGCCTGTGTCAGACCGCCGGGCCACCACGCCACACCTTCGAGAGCCATGGGTTTTTGTCTCTACAACAATGCTGGAGTTGCGGCGCTCCACGCGAGAGCGACGTACGGCATTCAACGAGTAGCTGTGGTAGATGTCGACGTGCACCACGGCAACGGGACCGAAGCCTTCTTCCGGGACGACGCGGATCTGTTCTACGCGTCCTTCCACCAGTCGGGCGACGACTTTTATCCAGGAACGGGCCTCGCCAAGGGCGCGAAGCAGGGTGCGATCTCGGCGTCCCGTCGTGTGGAGGTGCCTTCACTTCCTTGGATGGACTCGTGGCCATCTCACGATGACGTGGGTCGTTTCTGTTTCGAGTTTGAGGCCGCATCGAGACCGCGATGCTCCGCGCAGGTTTCAGTCGAGGGCGGGAACTGAGCGTGAACGGCGCCAAAGTCGCCGGCGAGACGGGAATAAACAACAACGTCGTGAACTGTCCTCTGGGGAGAGGGGCTGGCTTGAGAGCTATCAGACGGGTGATGGAGGAGAAAATTCTACCGGCCTTATCCGCTTTTGCGCCTGGTTTGGTTATCATATCATTAGGATTCGACGCTTTAGCGAAGGACCCCATCGGTGGTCTTAATTTAGATCCGCACGACTACGCGTATCTTACACGCTCTATACAGGATGCTGCACAATGTAAACTCATCAGTGTCTTGGAAGGAGGGTACGACGTGAGAGAAATAGCGAGGGGTGCGGTGGCCCACGTTTCCGAATTAGCGCGCCTAGCGAAAGGAGCCAAGCCCTCGGACGACCTGCGGCGGCTGCGGGGCGCGTCGGTCATTTCCGAACTCTCGTCGGGCGAGTCCTGGGGCTCGGAGCAGTCGTATGGCGACGAGGACGACGACGTGAACACGCTCGTGGCGAACATGTCGCTCGATTCCGTCGCTGATGGAGCGATGGCGCGGTCGCCTACCGCCAACCGAATGAGCATGGACTCGGTGGCCGAGCGGCCGGCGACGCCGCCCCTGCTGCCGCAGCCGCCACCTAGACGGTCTCCTAGAGGTGTTTCTCCGGGAGTGTTACCTGTCGAGTACGGCGCCGACGGGAGTCCATTAAGACGGTCGCCGCGCGTGTCGAACGGCCACGCCGTTGCTTCCCAGCCGCCGCCGGCGATGCCGCGGATAGAGTAAGATTTTAGCAAGACTCATACGCCGCCTCTGATGTCCCTGGAGGGTCGCCCTTCTTGGTGGGAAGCCTGCGCGGTGATCTTGTTACGGTGCTAGGACTAGTGGGTGGAGCCCCTGGGGGGGGAGAGAGACCGCGTGTCACCGACTCCTCGGCGACGGACGCGGGCCGCGTCGATCATAACACTGGAGCACTTGTCGCCCTTGGGAAGCCCGCGCGGGGCGCCGCGAGGAAAGCGCCGACTGCTGTGAGCGCTACGGGTCCAAGACCTAGCACCGAGCCCTCCCGCGCCCCCCGGGCACCGCGGGGACCTCTGCGCTTGCCACATCTCGTGGCTAGTAGGATAATCTCGCGAAGGCTAGAGCGACACAACCGTCGAGCGCTGTCTGCCGGTAGGGCTGTAAAAGGAGGTGAAAAGGCTGCCCATTCATAAGGAAGAGGCCGGACAGCACCTCCACAGCGCGTCAACAGCCGGCGGGCACCGCAGCGCGCGACGCCGCCGCGGCGGGGCTGCCCTCGCAGCACGCACCAACGATGAGGAGCTTCCGGAGCAACCAGCGCGGCCGCGTCCAGCCCGCGGAGTACGCCGGCGAGGTGACCAAGCCCCAACAGCGCTACGGTTCAAGACATCGGCCGCGCTCCGCCGGCGCCTCGTCTCGACGGTACGGGAGCTCGAGGTGGCCGAAGCCGCAATACCCCCAGTACCACCAGTACGCGAACGTCCCGGCCGGGAGGCCGTCCTCCGCCCACTACCAACAACGACCTAGGACCGCCGGGAGTCGGCCCTCGTCTGGTAATACGGCTAACGTCGACGCCTGGTTACGAGCGCGCCACGGCACGGCGACCTACGGCCAGCCCCCGCAGCGGGCCTACGGCCAGTCGTCGGGGTATGGCCAACGCCCTAGGAGCGCCTCGGCGGCGTCACGTGCTCAACAGCCGAAGAAAGAGGAACGCCGCGAATACTACCCCTCCTCGGTCCCGCCGAAAGCCGGCGCGCCGAGACCGTCGTCGGCCTCTTCCTCAAGACACCAAGTGGCCAATAATGACACGGCCCACGCGTTGTTGCGGCAGCAGCAGTACCAGCAAGAGCGCCAGGAGTACGTCCCGCCGAGCCAACAGCAAACATCAAGGCCGTCGTCCGCGGCCTACGCTCTCGGCACGGACAAGGGCTACGTTGTTGAGAGGGAGGTCTCGGAGCAGATCAAGAAGCCCCAGCGGCCCCAGTCGGCGAGTGCCGCGCGAGCGCCACCCAAGCCCCAAACGCAGACGCCGGCTTTTGCTGGCAAAGCCAGTCGCCCACAGAGTGCGGGCGCGACGCGACGGCCGGCGCCGCCGACGGAGTGGAAGCAGCCGTCCGTGGACGACAAAAATGCAGTGTTCAAGTCGGGCACGCAACGGCCGCAGAGTGCCGGTGGTGGTGTCCGTCGACGAAACAACAGCCAGGAGGAACAATACCAATGCGCTCCGGACCAGCGGGACTATCTGGCTCGATTGTTAGTGCAGTCGACGCAGTCCAGAAGAGGTTTACCCGATTTCTATTCGTTTGGCAAGGTGATCGGTGTCGGTAGTTTCGGCACGGTCCGCATCGCCTGGCACAAGCTCACGGGCCGGAAAGTGGCCATCAAGACCTACGAGCGCTCCAAAATGAAGGACCCGCAGCAGTGGAAGCGGGTCCAGCAGGAAGCGAGGGTCATGGAGAAGCTTTCTGATAGCACGTTGATCTGTCGCTTTCTCGAAGCTTTTGAGACCGTGGCGCCTCGCAGAGCGCATTTAGTGATGGAGTTCCTGCCTGGAGGTAATCTCTGCAGCTACGTGAAGGCCAAAAGACGTATAAGCGAAGGCGAGCTCCAACCGCTCCTGGTCCAGTTAGCGACGGCTTTAGATCATATGCATTCATTAAATATAGTGCACCGAGACATTAAGTTGGAGAACATCATCTTCCTCGACGAGCGCCATAAGGTCGTGAGAATTATTGATTTCGGGTTTAGTACAAGATGTGCCCCTGACAGAAGATTGAGGTTGTTCTGCGGGACGCCGTCGTACATGGCGCCGGAAATTGTTCGGAGGACGGAGTATCGCGGCAAGCCCATCGATCTGTGGTCGTTTGGTGTGGTGGCCTATGCTTGCTTGGGCGGGCACTTCCCCTTTGCGGCGCGGAGTCAGCCGGATCTTTATAGAAAGATCCTGCGAGGTACGTACCGACTGCCGGAAGGGTGTTCTTCTGGAGCTGCTGCATTGCTCCAGCAGTGCCTCGTGGTGGACGTGGCGCGACGGATAACGGCCCCCGATTTAAGACGGCATCCCTTCGTGACCGCCGGTTTACAGAACGGGCAGATGGCCGGCGGGCATGTTGGTGCTCTCACTAGATCGAGAAATCCGGAGCACGACCTACGACGGGAAGCTTCGCAACGCATCGAGGCCCTCGGCGTGCCCAAGGACGCGCTGCGCGCGGCGGTCTGTCGGGGCGAACACACGCCCCTCACGAGTTGCTACTACCTGCTCATGGACTCGTTGGGCATCCGCGAGCGGCCGAACGAGCCCGCCCCAGCCGAGGTGGAGGCGAAGGCGGCGCCGGCCGCCTACCCCCAGAAGGCGGGCAAGGAGAACGCCGCGCCCGACGTCCTGGTCATCGATCATGATGCCGTGAAGAAACCAGTCGACGCCGAGGCGGACAAGCCCCCCGCGCTCGTGGTTTGAATCCCCGCTTCGCTTCGGAAGAATAAGATTTCGTTTCGGAATACGAAGTACGTGCGTCGTTCCTCCGCGTCCGCGGCGCCGCGCCGCCGTCCCCGGCCCGCTGTTCTACCTGTGGACCCGCCGTCCAGGCGCTCACGACCCAAACTGCACAAAGTCACCAACAACAATCTTACACTACGACTCCTCCACAAAGGGCACCGGCTCGTCCCCGCCCGGCGCCAGCCGCCCACACGCGGCCCGCACGTACGCGTCGATCCGCTCGAACGGCGCGCGGTCGATCTCGATCGCGTCAATACGCCTCCTCAACACCTCGAGCGCGCCGTCGCGGCGGCGGCGTCGAGCGCAGCGCCCGACCGTCTCGTCGCAGAACTCGCCGAAGGCGTCGACGTCTTCGTCTAAGCTTCGAGCCGCCTCCAGGACAACTGATTCCTCGCCCTCTAAGCGCCGCGCCTCCGCCTGCACGACGTCGAGCTGGCGCCTTAACGACCGCGCCTCGCGGCGCGCCCGGTCCAGAGCGAGCGCGACGGCGTCCCGGTCCGTCGTATCAATCGAGGCCGGCGGATCCGGCAGCGACGCCTCGCCGACGGCGCGCGCGTATTTAAGCGCTCGTGCCCGCGCGTCCGCCGCCCGCCCGTCGACGGCCGCCGCGGCACGTGCGCAACACCGCGCGCAGACGGGATCACTTTCGTCGGCCGCGCCTCGCCTATGCTCCCTCAAACACCTCTGGATCGCCTCGGCGGCCGTCTCCGGTGCTCCTCCTCCTCCCGTCTCGGCGAAGGGGTCGCTGCCGCCCAGCGCGTCCAGTACCACGACGAACTGGTCGTCGACGACCTCCGGTAATGAAGTTGGGGGCCGCGGCGGCGGGAGCGGCTCGTTTGATAGCGGGGCTTTACAATTTGAACATGTGTGGCCCGCTGCGGCCATCTCTTTTTGAGGTATGCGCCGCGCCGGCGGCTGCGAGAAGCAGAGCACAAATTCGGCTGTGGCCTGAGGGCCGTGAAGGCGTGCTCTATGCCAAGCTGGTGATCGCACTGATGGAAGACGGCTTTTGATCCGTACAACACACCCGAATGACTGTGCCTGGCGCGATTCACGGCCGCGAAGCACTTTTTGGCTGTTTGCTAGTGTGTTACATGCCGCTAGCTAATCTCGGAGGGGGCTTGTGACCACGGCGTTTTACGCGCGCGCTAGACCCTGAAAGACAAAGCAAGCCAGCGGCGCAGCGCCTCAAGGATCAGAAGTCGCCGCCTGCGCATTTTAGGGTCCCCGCGTCAGCCAACCGCTGCGTTTTGCCCGGAGAGCCCAGCGAGTCACAGCCGGAAAAAGACGCGCACGCGCCATGTCATCGCTCAAGGACAAGGTGGCTTCCATCACGAAGGCCTTCGGCCTGCCGGACAAGGGCTCGCTGCGGCAGAATGTCGACGAACTGTGCAAGGCGACCGACGTCACGTTCACGACCATGAAAGACACCGTCGACGCGCTCACGTGCGTCTGCGAGTTCGCGAATGAGGTCGTGCCGAAGCTCTGTGAAGACGCGGGGGTCGACGCGACGGGCAAGCTCGGCGACGACGTGGCGACGTTGAAGACTGAGATCGGCGTCGAGGCGGCCAAGTTTCCCCTGGCGCTCAAGGAGCTCGCGGAATCCATGGGCATCGACGTCAAGCCGGACAAGTTACAGAAGCTCATGCAGCTGCCGTGCTGCAAGGAGGCGGCGACGAAGAAACCCGCCGAGAAGCAAATCGACGCGCCGTGCGTCTGCGCCAAGGGCGTCGAGGAGTGCCGGAATTGCAAGGCGAAGGAGCATCCGTGCGTCTGCAAATCTCTATTGCTCGAGGCCATCGATCAGCCCGTCGCGCTCTGCAAAGCGACGAAACACGCGTGCCTATGCACGAGCCGTTTCGACGGAAAGTACTCGGCGAATCCCGGACACGGAGCAAAGTTGACCATGAACAGCGATTTTAGCACTCCCGGATATGGTACTTACTGTAATTTGCCGTGGAACTTATCGTCCGAGGGCGCGCCGCACCTCTGCCGCCAGCACAACGACGACGACGTCATCGAGATCGACGACGAGGAGGAGGACGTCAAGCCCGCGAAGAAGAAGTCGCGACGCAAGTAGATGCGGTTACCACGTCCGGATGTGGCGGAGGCGTCGCAGCGAGGCGGCGCCCACACGATTTTGACGAGTAAATACACAGTACACAATCATTACTCAGGGACAAACGTCGTGTGGACGTTCCAGGGCCACAGCCCTCCGACGGTCGCCGTCCAGACCGGTCCGTCGCAGAAGCGCGCCGCGTCGAAGACGAGGAGCTCCGTCGCGTCGCGGGCCGTGTCCGTCACGAGCGAAAGCACCCAGCCCTCGCCGTCGTCGGCGTCCGAGCGGGGCACGTAGTACGGCTCACTGACGACGCTGTCGTCGTTCGTCTGCCAGACCTCCTCTTTGTTAGCTATCAAGTCATACTTCGCGAGGGCGTTGAACGGGAACCAGCCGTCGGGCCGGACGCCGGCGGTGCCGAAGACCGCGCGGTTCGGCAGGCCGTCCCTTAACGGATGGAACGTCGGCATGTCCAGTTTCAGATCGGACAGCCGCGTCATCTCCAGGAGCTCGCCCGTGGCCGCGTCGGCGACGATTCGCCGGAGTGTGGGCCCGCCGTTCGAGCGGCTCCAGGGGATGGGATCAAAAGCTTGGGACCGCACGTCGAAGCCCATCGCATTTCCGAGGCTGCCGTACCGCTCAAACAACAAAACGTGCGCTATTAACTTGCCGTCTTCGAGCCAACAGGGCCCCATGTGAAAGACGCACGCGAAGGCGCCGAGGTCCACTTTGATGGTTGCGCCGCCCGTGCGGCTTACCAATTTCAGCGCGCCGTGCTGCGTCGCGTCAAACGCAAAGAGGTCCGTCGCCGGCGCGCGGCCCAGCTGCGCGGGATCGGGCGGTGAGTGGCGAGTCGCCGCGACACAGATTGAAGGCCTCATAGGACGCCGGACACGGACCGCGAAGTCGGGGATATTGTCGAGGTCGAACGCTATAGGAGATATAGGTAGCACGTAGTGCTCGTCCGTGATCGCGTAGTCGTGGACCACGAAGCTCCTATCAATATCCTCGACCTTCTTCACTTCGTTTCCGTGTTCGTCGAACTCCCAGAAGGTCGTGGTCGTCGTGTCGCCGAAGGCGTCGAACGCCGCCGCGGCCGCGATCAGGCGGTTCCGCCTCGCGTCGCGGCGCGTGTGCGCCAGCGGGTTCGCGCCCGCGAGCGCGCCGCCCATCGTTTCTACGCCCAGGGTCTCGAGGGTCGTCGCGTCGAGGCCGTACCAGGGCGCGTTGTCCGTGCCCGCGAACAAACGGCCGGCCCAGCTGCGCACCGCGAGCTGCGCGACGCTCCGCGTCGACGGCGACGCCGCGTTCAGGAGGTGGTCCGGGAACTTGTCGAAGTCCGCGACGTTCGACATGGCGCCTCGAACGAGCGGTCGCCGGAGCCGCGACTCCAGCTGCTGGCAGGGCGTCTCGACGAATCTCGTCGTCAGCGTCGCGCCGCCCTTTCCATCAAAAGTGAACGCCTTGACGAAGCCGTGCGCCTCGAACGGGTGGACGAGCCGGTCTCCCACCCGGCACGACGCGAGGCCGTTGACGTACCACGTGCCTTTCAGGCCCGCGGGCGCGGCGCCGTCGCCGAAGGGCCGCGTGTCGGGCGCGAGCTCCGGCGCCGCGACCGCGACCTCGGCCCAGACGCGTTTCGCCTTGGCGTTTGCCGCGTCGAGGTCGACCGCTGCGGCCTTGTTGTTCGCCGCATCGATGTCGACAGATGCGGCGCGCCGCGCCATGCCACGCGCGGCATGGGTGCGGCAGCGCAGCGCTTGGGCGTGCACTAACAAGAATAGCGCGCAACGCATCGAATCGATGGATTGCGCACGTGCAGGGGATGAGAACGCGTGCGTGCGGTGTCTACAGAACCGCGTCTTTCGCTGCTTCCAGCTAGGATGGCCTCTCCCTCTCTTTTTGTGAATAATCGTTGCTAGCGGCCTGTAAGACACTAGCCTAAGTTGCACTGCAAAGAGAGCATTCTAGGTTTTGTGACGACAGGTTGGCTCCGCGCTAGACGCGTTCACATTAGCGCCCTCTTTCAAAGTAACAATTCAACAAGCTCACAATGACGTACGACACGATTCCCGGCGTCGTGATCTCTGAACCACCTCGCATACTATCGCAAGAACACACTCAAGTACCAGCCCCGCGTCGTCGTCGCCTTGTGCGTTGGTGTATTTATCGGCGCGCTGGGGACGGCCGCGTTGTTTTCAGTCGTGCCGGGGACCGGAAAGGTGGAACCCTCGGCGGTCGCCCGGCCCGCGACGGTCACCGTGACGGCCAGCCCGGGTGGCACCGCCGACCTCGCCGCGGCGGACGACGACGAGGACGACGACTTCGACTACGACGACGACAAGGTAAAGTACAGGTGCGACGAGAAATGTCACATGAAATTGTTGCGAGCCTCTGAGTGTGTGCAGGAGACCGACGACGACGACGGCGACTGGAAAAAATGTTTCGGCCTGAATTGACCATCAGACGACGTAAGGCCGGTGGCTGGCTTCTCGACCAACCCTCCCCGTCCCCCAATGTTCATAAATACAAACCTACAACAATTAATCACGCGGCAAAACCCCTTCCACATCAGACACATCCCCAACCCCACGTGCACGCCTTTGCAGCTCGAACCACAAAGCCGCCGACACGCGGACGTCGTGGTCGTCGTCGGCGCGCCGCGAGGCCTCCCGGCTCTCCCGCGCCGCGGCGCCCGCACGCACGCCGAAACGCTCGAGGAGCCGCTCCACGTCGAATCCCCGCGTTGTCATGGCCGGGTCCACGACCAGTAGAAATAGGCTCCGGTCCATCGTATGATAGTCGTCGGAGTCGATAGCGAGGTCACCGCCCGCTAATCCGCCCGCCAGGACCTCGACGAGCAACGCCAAGAGCGCCCCTTTGATGCCTCCCGCCGGTAGCTGGGCGCCGCCGTCCAACGCCGCTGCGGCGTCGCGCGTAGGCTTTCCGTCCGCGTCGATCGCGACGCCCCGCGGCAATTTTGCACCCGCGGCCGCCGCGACCTCGATCGCCGCCCTAGAGGACGCGGCGAGCGCCAGATCGACGACCACAGGCGGAGCATCTCTCCGAGGACACGCCCACGCGATGGGGTTCGTGCCGAGGCACGGCTCGGCGCTGCCCTCCACGGCGAGGTAGGCGGGCGTGTTGCACGCCAGCACCGCGACGAGTCCGCGCTCCGCCAGCCGCTCGACCCACGGCGCGAGTCGTCCGGAGACGCTCCTCGTGTTCGAAATTATACCAACGGCCGCTCCGTGCGTTTCGGCCGCCGCCGCCGCCGCGTCGACCGCGTCCCTCAATGGGCCAAATGCCAGACCTCCACCTCCATCAACCTGTGCACAAATCACCAGTGAGTCAGGTGCCCTCGCGTCGATGGCGTGGAGGTCAGATATGCGTCGCGACATTTGATTTATGCACTGCCGTCAACTCGGACGACGACACTTTTCTGGTCCATGAGGACTCGTACGTCGGGGGTCGCCGCAATGTCCCCTCGTCCCAAAGCATCGCAGACCTCCGCGATTCGTCGAAGCCCGTGCGCCGCGCGGCCGTCAACCTCAGCGGCAACGAACGCGTCCGCGGCCGCCGAGGCTTGGGGTCGCGACGACCCGCTCCGCTCGAGCGCGGCGGTCGCGACGGCGCGCGCCGCCGATGCCGTCACCGAGACCGTCACGTCGGCTTCAGCACCGCCGCCGCGCGGTAGCGCCGTGGTTCGCCACATGCGCCGCTTCGACGCGGACTCGGGTACGCCTGTCGCGGCATGCATCGTCCGCAGGTTGTTCCACACGACATAGTCTCCAGGCTCCCAAGCGTGCGCGTGGACGTATTCCGGTCGTGTGCACCAAGCGGCGAGGGCGTCGACGAGCTCAGATCCAGCAATCTCCTTGCCGGTCTCGTCGACGACATACGAGATGGCGTGCGGCGCCAGGTACAACGCACCGTCGTCCACGAGATGGTAGAGCGCCGGCTCGACGAGCGCCTCCTTCCTGGTTGCCGACAGCGTCTTCGTCGTCCCTCCAGCAAATCTCCGGAAGGAGGCGCTGAGCTGCTCGTAGGAGTGCGCGGCCCGTAGCTTCGCGAGTCGGGACCGGATGCGTGCGGGCAGGTCCTCGCAGGCGGCCACCGTCGAGCAGAACACCGTCTGGCCGACGCCGCCGCCCGGCGTTTCTAAGCAGTACATGGCCGACGCCAGCGGCCGCGGCGAGCGGAAGCTCTGGTCCGTGTGCCAGGAGGGCTTGCCCGTCTCCGCATCATATTGCCAATTCGTGTCGTCGGCCCGGCCTTGAAACACGCCCGACGAGGGCACCGTGGCGAACTCGTGCACGCGGCCCGCGTCGTCCACGAGGGTCTCGTAGCTACCGTCTGCGGGTGCCGCCTCGACGTCGCCGAAGACACTCGACAGAGTGATGAGCTCGTCGCAACTCAAGCCGCGCAAGCCTCTCAGCAGTAGGAGACCTCTCGACGCGGCGAAGGCGTCGCGCAGGGTTTTGTGCGCCTTCTCGGTGCGCAAGTCGTCTCGTGTAATTCCGCGCACCTCTAGTCCAAAGCTCGGGCTGAGGGGGTGCAGCTCGATGGCGTGCACTGCTGCGAATAGCTCGATGGTGAGTCCTGCGACGAGCAGCAGTCCGCATGACCCCCGCATTGCCGTCTCCAGTGCGTTTGCTTGTGTGAGCTCTCCGTGCTGTGTTGAGTCAATATTGGGTCAGCAGACCGCACCGATCGCGGAGCGCTACCAAATGCTTGAAGAAAATTTCTCGCAACAGGTCTTTGCAATCAGCACGACGGAAAGCCGCGAACAAGCGTTTTTTGCTGCGCGAGGGCTAGCGGTGTAAGACACTAGCAAGAAGCAGCCCATCGCAACGCCAGCGCCTGGACGCCATCCCAGGCGCCACAAGGCAGCCCGCAGGCACCCCACGCCTCGTGCGGACGCCCGACGTCGCCTACGACCGGCCGGACGCCCGCAAGACCGGACCCAGGGCTGCCCCAAACGCCGCCAAGCAAGATGGGCACAAAAGATGTGCTACCCAAGCACATCGTCGACGCGCACATGTACGACGCGATCTACGCGTCCATGGAGCACTCGCTGCAGGAAGCGCAGATACGGGAGGCCAAGTACCAGAAGGGCGAAGTGATACGAAAGAAGGAAGAAAGGTTGCGGGGCATGGTGAAGCTGCCCGTCGGCGAGTTCTACGCGAATACGCGCTTCGACCATGGGAGGGGCGGCGCCGAGGGCGTCATGCGGAGACGCGTGGCCGATTTTCATGACGACGAACATGTTTGTTCCGCCAAGGTATGTTGCAACGGCGCGCCGGCAATAATTAGATGCATGTCCTGCGCGAAATTGGATCCGAGACGTAGGGGCCACTACTGCCAGGCGTGTTTTGACAGGAGGCACCCGCCCCATAGGGCCAAGCATGCCTGGATGCCGATTGAGAAGTCGGAGCATCTGGGGCGGCAGTTGCAGCATCGGAACAAAGTGGCCGAGATCGAGGTGTTTGGGGATGACGTGGAGCGACTGCGACGTAAAGTGAAGGAGCAAACTGAAGATTGTGGGGAGATCGGTGATCCGAAACGGACGGTCCATTTGATACGAGACGCGGACGCGAAGTCGCAGGCCGTGAAGGTTCGAGTTGCGCGGTTGCGGCGAGCGTTGAGAGCACCAGCCTTGCGACCGGCCTCGGAGAGCGCGGTCGTCACGAAAGGACTATTGGCTCTATACAAGTCGAAGCAGGCCATGGGAGAACCGCGCTCCGTGTCCGAGCGGGAGGAGACGCAATTGATGTTACCGCCGTTGACACCCGAAGCACCAAAGCAGAGGGACCGCGGTTTTAGTCAACTGGCCATGTGGGAGGTGCTGCCGGAGCATGCGGCCGCGTCGCTCTTCGCGAATGCCTTTAGGAAGAAGAAGGCCCGGGAACGGATGTACGAGGCGGTCCAGAAGCGCTACATGAAGGTGTATGATGCCAATACTGGTTATTTCTATTTTGTGGATACGCAGACGCGCGTCGTCGCGTGGGAACCGCCAGCTGTCATGTGGAAGGACGAGCGCTTCAAACTTTCGAGTAGAAGGCACGGCGACCCGGTCATGACGAAGCGCCAGGCCATGGCCCGGGCGGCCTCTAAGATTCTGACTCCCCGAAGCTGGGGGAAGAAGTACGCGCCGCGGTCGAACCTGGACGCGATGGCCGAGGGCGACGAGGAGGAGGAAAGTACAGATGAGGAGGAGGAGGAGAAGTGGACGCGCATCCCGGAAGACCACGAGGTGTTTGATCCCACGGGCGAGTACGAAGTGACGCGGGGGCGCGTGACGAACGAGGGGCCGGGCCACGGGCCGCCGCGGCGCGTCTAATGTTTGTGTTATTTTTCTTTGCGTCGCGTCGATGGCGTGCGCTCGTAGTTGCCGTACGCTTCGCCCTGCCGCGGTTCGTCCGATTCGTGGGCGGTCCCCGATTGTGAAACTTTGACTCGTGAGGTGTTTTTGCGATATGTTTTGATACCTTTGTTTACGCTCGCGGGGGGGATAGCTCGCGGAGTCCCGGTCTACAAAACCCGAATTGATCGATTTCAGTTGTGTGGATTTGCCAGTTTTAGGCAGGTGCCACGCTGTTTCAAGGCTGAGACGGTGTTCAGGCCTAAGAAGATAGCGTTGGTGCTGTCTCGGACAAAGCTCGGTACCAGCTCTCGTCGGTCGAGGCGTCTGGAGCCTCCTCCAACCTGAGCCACCTGAGCCACCTGAGCCAGTAGCTCCGCATCTGCAGGCAGAGCAAGCTCGGAAGCTCGGCCAGCGCCAGGTGTAGCTCGGCAGGGCAAGCGCTCGACCTCGGCGGACGAAAGAGATCGGCGTCCTCTCCACGCCATCGAGCAGACGCTTGCACGCCGTCCGCGTGCGCCTGCATGGTCTGCAAGGTCTGCTTCCGGGCGTGGCGGAAGTGTTGCAACAGCAGAGACGCGGATAAAGCCAAGAACAAGAAGTACCGGCCCCCGCGCCACGTTGCTCCTGAGGAGTCGTCGACGCCCCAGGTCTACACGTCCCAAAAACCCCTCTTCGAGAGTTTTAGGTCCTTTAGCGAGATCGAGGACCAGGAAATCATGGCGCGTCGGCCGAAGCTCCCGACCAAACGCGTCTGCGGTCTGGGCATCGCCGGTGCTCTAGTAGCTCTGTACGCGATGCACGTCGAGCGCGCCATGGCCGATCCGTTCTACGAGCCCATGTGCGTGACGCGGTGGGGGAGCTGCGCCGCGGTGTTCAGTTCGGTCTACGCGCATCCTTTATCAAACTGGGGCCTCGTATCAAAGGGGTCGGACCTGGACTTCTCACTGGCGTTTTTGGGGATCCTGAACTACGGCGTGTTCGCGCTCTTCCCGGTGTGGCCGCTGCAGCGGGCCGCCGCCGCGAAAGTTTTACTCGCGATCTCCGTCGCGTCGTGCCTCTTCTCCATCTATTTGCTCTACGTGCTCAAGGTGCTCCTCGACGACTTCTGCGTCGTGTGCACGACGTTCCACGTCATCAACTTCTCGACGCTGGTCTTCGGGGCCGTGCCGGCCTACAGGGCTACTACGGCGCCAAAGCCGAAGGGGGAGTAATCTTTTTGTTACAATATATCTTACAGGAACGACAGGATGAGGCGGAACATGGGCGTCGGCGACGTCGCGTAGAGGAATTCGGTAAAGCACGCGTCCTCGAAGCGGCGCGTGCGCTTCCGGCGCTGGCCCGTCGTCGCGCGATTCTTCTCCACGAGCGCGCGGCGGAGGACGTGGGCGCCGCGGACGTCCCAGTTGCGCGCGCGCCGGAGCGCGCCGGGCGCCGGCAGGTCCTCTTCCAGATCCTCGAACAATTGCAAGTACATGTGGAGGACGATCTTGCTGAACTGGATATCAGGTCCTGGACATGGAGGACCCCAAGGGGGCCAGGGAGCGTTGTTTTGCCGGTCCGCAAAGAAGAAATAACTCCACGTGAGGAGTCGGCGCCCGTCGAACGCCTCCAGAAGCATGTCGACGGCCGTGGACGTATTTGTTATCGGCCAGCTGGAGCGTCTCTCATACTTTTGACAGGCCGTCCCACGGAGGGGCTCGTCGATGGCGAACGGTCTGTACTCGTCTGAAAAACTCTCTTCACTTGCGAGCCAGGTGTCGTCCTCATCAGGCGTCGCCGCGGGAGCGACCTCGCCGAGATGCACCCTTCGCGCGAACGCCTCGAAGCACGCTGTGCGCGGGCAGACTTTGATGTCAAATTCCACGGGACTATTATAAGAGCAGCTCGAGTACAGCATACAAACTTCGTCGTCGAAGACGAACAGGGCCAGTATTGGGTCTTGATCGGTGTTCAATGCCCCGGCGAGTACCGCGACGTCGAATGGTTCTTCTCCTCCCTCGTGCCACGCCGGGATCTCGAGCGCCTCGCCCGACGGACGCATAAAGAGTCGGGCTACGAGCTCGTCGGGCAGCTCTTCTCCTCGATGCGAGAGCAGCCACTCTTCCAGCAGCAATGTCCGGTTCGTGCCGCGCTCGTAAGCTCGTATGAGCTCCGGCGTGCTGCGTGCGACCCCAGCTGGGTAGACTCGGCAGCCATCATTGCATGTGAGGCCGACGCACTCCTTGCGGCAGCGATTCATCGCACTCCGCGTTAGCTCTCACTGCAGCGACACCGCGCGCCGCGAAACCTTTGCTCAAAAGGCACCGCTACGCCCTCAAAACGCGACTGCACCTGCTTTGGAGAGGGATTTCTAGTGTGTTACAGGCCGCTAGCTCACGCCGCAGTCGAAAACAGTGTTAAGTACGTTGCATTGGCGCCGCAGCAATGCTCCTCAAGCGCCTCTGGCCAGGCATGATGGCCGCGGCACCGCTACAGCCGCTCACTCACACCACCTCGCTCTGCATCGTGCCACCCGACGACTCACCGGAGTGGCGCGCTGTGCAAGCGACGCGTCTCGAGATGCGCGACGCCGGCATTTATCGCTGGCCGCCGCACTGCAACCTGATCTATCCATTTGCGGCGAAACCGCGGCTGGCTGCTCGTGACGTGCGCCGCGCGTGTGCTGCGATAGAGCCGTTCCGCCTGCGGCTGACGGCTTACGGCACCTTCGGCGGCGCGAAACGCGGCGTACTATGGCTGCGGCCCGACGTCGTCGGCGGCGACACCGATGCGCTCGCCACGCTGCAGTCTACGTTGTGTGAAACTTTGGGCTACGAGACGCCGGCGGCGCGGAAGCGGTCGCTGCCGTTCGTGCCACACTTTACCTTGGCGCACTTTGACTCGCTCGCCGCCGCAGCGGCCGCGGGCGACGCGCTGACGTTTGAGCCCGTGGAGTTCGACGTCGATGCGGTGCACCTGCTGGAGCGAGAAGGGCACCAGGGCCAGTTCGAGATCGTGGAAAAGGTGCCCCTGGGCCGCGCGCCGCTCTGGCGCCTGCGGCGACTCTTCCGACGAAAGCGACGGTTCGTAGGCATGCCAACCGAGGCGCCCGATTGGGTGGCCGACGCGATGGCCGAGCGAAGCAGCAGGCGGTTCCGCGGCCGCGGGAAGCGTCGGCGCAAGCGGCGGTCGGCCGCCGAACGCGCGGCGATCAATGCGCGGACGCCCGAGGACATTGCTGCGATTCGGGCCGAGCGCGCGGCGAAGAAGAAGAGGGCGTCCGAGACTGAGTCCTCATCCGATGTGTGATATAACTGTCTATTGTTGTGGAATCCCGTAGTAAGCCAGGGTCCCGCCCTGTGATGTGGGTGCAAGGCGCGGAGTCTCTGCGTTGCCTCAGGTCGCGGTCGCCGACGGTAGACTCCGAACGCGACGACGCGCCGAAGGCGTAGGCGAACTGTCCCGAGAGGCGGAAACGGCTGCGAAGAGACGCCCTGGACTGAATTTGCGCGGGTTGAACCGAGTGCAAAAAACCCGTGACTTTCTGCCCGTGCTCGGATTTGCGGGACGCGCAACGCGGGGCTGAGCAAGTTCGTGCCCGGCGGGTGAGCCTCAACGTCTTATTTCAGTGCCCGGCGGCTGCGCGTGCAAAAATCCCGGCCCCTGGACGGCTGCTAGCCGACAAAATAAGCAAATACCCAGGGGGCAGAATTGCTGCAAAATGACCGCTCTCCGCGCCCTCCTCGTCGCCGCGACCACCGCCGCCCTGCGCGTGCCGACGCGCCGCGAGCTCCTCGTGGGCGGCACGACCTCGATAGCGGCGCCGGCCTTCGCCGACCCGCACGAGTTCGCGCCGTCCGTCGTCGAGGAGGAGTTCTCCACGGGCAAGACCGGTCTGTTGCTGCTCCCACCGGTAGCGCCCCTGCGCAACTCGTACACCTGGGTTAGAGCCGCCGAGGACGAGGCCGAGGCGGCAGGAATTCTGGCCACTAATCCCGCCTTCAAGATGGCCGTGTCCAACTCACTCACTGAACGAGGCCTCAAGCAGGCGTCGGACGCCGCGAAGAAGCTCAAGGACTTGGGGATGGCCAACCCGCGCATCTGGTACTGCACCGGGAGGTCTTCCACACAAACAGCCGATATTTTGTGCGACGAGCTAGGAATACCGCATGATAGAATGATGCCCGAGTACGTCATGTTGGATGCGAGGGGCTTCGGCGCGCACGAAGGCATCAAGCTGAAAGAACTGGAGAAGCTCCACGCGCAGTACGACGCTAAAAGTAGGTACCTCAAGCCCGTCGAGGGCGAGGACGGCAGCTACGCCGAGTCCGTCGAGGACGCCTACGCGCGGATCCGGTCCGTGCTCTCGAACTGCGAAACCAGTAGATGCGGCGAGGAGATCGTCATCGTGGCTCCCGGCGCGGACCTGCTCTCCATCGCGTCGGCGATGTTGAGGGGAGACGACTTGCGGACGCATTTCAAAAACAAACCGCCGCCCGGCGCCGTCGTCCACTTCGGGGACATGGCCGCGACGGCGAAGCCCTGGACCCCGTCGAAGAGCAACGACCCGGGACCGGCCTGGGCGGCCGCCGAGCGGGACCGCCTCACGCGCGCGCACGACGACCGCGCGCTCGTCGCGCGCGCGCAAGCTCGAGGCCACCAGGACGTCGACCGTTTAGTGGATGCGCACCAGGACCACACGATACGAACGGCGCGCCTCGACGCGCAGGCCGCCGCGCGCCAAGCGACGGCGGACTCGCAAAACGAAAAGAACGCCGCGACGAAGGCCGCGGCCGAAGCGCGCAAGGAGCAGGCCCGCGCGCGGCGCGCGGCGCGCGTCGCGGCCGACCGCGAGCGGATCCTGTCGGCGCCCCAGAAGGCGGCGTCGGAGGTCTACAGAAAGCCAGAGGTTTCTCAGAAGCCAAAGCCCGCGGCCGCGCCGGCGGCGCCGAAGCCTCTGCGCCAGGCGCTCGCGACGCCGGCTCCCGCCGAGTCGCTCGAGCTGCTGCCCGAGGACGGCCTCCTCGCGGCGATCCCGCTGGCGCTCGCCATGGCCGCCGTCGGCGGGTCCTCGCTCGACTCGAAGGAGCAAGCGAAGGCGTCCTACGCCGCCAAGCCCCAGGCCAAGGAGGCGTGGCTCAAGTACAAGGTCTCCGCGCGGAAGCGCCGCGAGGCCGAGGCCGCCCAACTGAAAGCTGAGGAAGAGGCGGCCCAAAAAGCGGCGGCGGACGAGGCCGCGCTCGCGGCGCAGCGCGAGGTCCTCATCCACGCGAAGATGCCCGAGCTCGAGGAGCCGTGCGACCCGCTCGACGAGCTGTGCAAGGCGAACTACGAGAACGAGTCCGACGACGCGTGGCTGGCGCAGATCTCGGGGATCATTGCCGATTCGTCTTCGGAGGAGTAAGCTTACTTAGGGATACTAACCCGTCGATTTCAGGGCTCGCGTTTAGGAAATCGCGCTAGCGGCCTGTAAGACACTAGGGATGCCAAGCAGATTTCAGAAGCTTAAGATCGCTGGGCTCGAGCCCGCGACCGCGAAGCAAGCGATCTAGTAGTGGAGCATCGATAATGGCTGCCCCTCCCGGCACTATGATGATCACCGTTCCGGCAAATATGCCGCCCGGTGGAACGCTGCAGGTCACAGCTCCAAATGGGCAGCCATTGATGGTGCAGGTCCCGCCCGGCCATGGCCCTGGCTCGACCTTCGCGGTCCGCGTGCCCGGCCCGCCCGCGCCGCCGGCGCAACCAGTGCTTGTCCAACCCCCGCCGCAACCGACCCCGGCACAAAACTACGCAGCGCTCGCCGCGGCGAACGCGCCGCCGACGCAGACGGCGCCGCTGCCCACGCCCAAAGGTCCGTGCCTGCTCGTGGATCACATCGACGTCCCGGGCGACGGGTCTAGCGTGTTGAATCCCATGTCGCTGGGTGTGGATAGGGGCGGCCAGGCCTTCGCGGGCTACGTCGCGGACGACCTCGACGGCGCCGGCGCAAAGCCCGCCTACGCGGCAGTTATCTCGACGCGGGACTGGCAGAAGCACTGCCCGGCGGGACAAGACGTGCCGCAGGGCCTCGTGGTTCCCATATACCCATCGGCCGTCGATCAAAAGGGTCAGATCGAATGGACGGGCGCCGCCGTGGCAGAGCTCCACCTGGACAACTTGGTGACTCCCTGTTGCAAATGCAACGATCCTCTGTCGGCGAAGGTGACCAAGGACGGCCAGACCTACGAGATCGTGTCCGAAAGTGGAAGATGCATGAGATTGTGCGCTTGCATCCCGTGCCAGCCGTGCGTCTCCGACTCGGACATGACCCTTGGCGAAGGTGCGGCCCAGGTAAGGCTCAAGGGCGCGAAGACCAAGCCGTGCTGCGATTGTAACCGCAAGGACACGACCGTCTTCCGACGTGTCGAGGGAGAGACCAAGGCGGGCATGCACCGGGCCGTCCTCAACACGGAGGCGGCGCTGGGCTCGTGCTTGGGCTCGAAGGGCACCCGCGAGCTCGTGCGGCACAAGCGCCACTCGGGAGAGTGGTTGCGCGGGCCACTCGGTGGCTACTACTCGGAAGAAAGCAAAAACGGCACGCCGACCGGGAGCCAGGCGTACAGCATCAGGCTCCCCGCCAAGAACGCGCTGCCACCCGAGGTGTGGTTCGCCGCGACGGTGTTCGAGGGGATCGCGTACCCCTACCACAAGATGCGCGTGCAAGGAGGAGATTGTAGACCTTCATTTGAACCGGATTATAGTGCCGGCGCGCCGTGCGGGATGGAGATGAACCGTTAGCGTCCACGGTCCGTCGCGGCGCACTTTCCCCGCCTCAAATTTTACCCCATCCCTACCCCTGGGCCTTCTTTCCCGTTTCGCGCGCAGCATACACAACCCGCTCGTCGCGGCTCGACGACTGACTTAATCCTTCTTAACAACTAGCTACTAGGCGTCAGGCGCGCTCTCGATGAACCCCGGCTCGCCCTCCTGGATGGGCCGCGTCTTGATGAAATTGTCCAGGTTGCAGACGTACTTGGGTTCCTTCGTCGCCATCGCTCCCGTCGCCGGGTGGCGCGCGACGCGATACATGTCGACGTATCGATGGTTCCGAAGGATCCGCGAGAACGGTCGCGCTCTTCTTTCAATCGCGCTGGACAGCAGCGTCGGGTCGTAGTAGACCGCCGACAGCATCACCTGGTTCCCATCAATATCTAACGCGGCGAGAGTGACAAACACGGTCTCGACCTTTTGCGCTCCGCCCGGATAGCCCGCGTTGAACGGCGAGGCCGCGTCCTTCACGCTGTGCCGTAGCGTGATGATATTGCATTGGTTCCGCCACGTCGCATAGCGGGACCGCACAAGAGGCAGATCTACGGTCTGCCCGCTCGACGTCATGCCTTGCATCGTGAACTCCATGTTGTAGAGGAAGCCCATGCTCGACTGGTTCGAGTTGCGCAGCACCATGAAGCGCACTTGCAGGCTGTCGTCGTTGACCACGCTGTCCGGACTGAAGATGCCCGAGCGCGCCGGCCGGAGCGCGCGCGCGACGATCAGCGCCGAGGCGACACTCAAAAGTAGCCAGTGAATCCAGCCGTAGATCGCCAGCACGGTGATCTCGAGCGGCGTTGAAGCTTTCGTCGGCTGCCAGCCAAAAATCTTATCCGTGCTCAGCCGGACCGTCGTCAGCGCGAGGATGACGTTGTCCCGGAAGCGGACGTTTTGCTCTTCGATGACCTGCGCCAGCGTGAGCAGCGACCCGCAGAGTAAGATCACGAGCATTTCCGACAGGAGCTCGCCCACGATTAATTTTGACCAACTCAACTCGTGGACGAGACGAAACCATACGTCTTCTAGCGTCCCGAAGGAGAACACCGAAGCTTCGCCCTCTATGGCCACCGTGTACGGCGCCAGGATGTCCGCGTTGTGAAAAACGCTCGCGTCGAGCGTCTCGCGGCTCCGCAGGTCCGGCCCGTCCGCGCCGCCGGGAGCCGCCACCTTTGGAGCAGTCTCCTCGGTGGCGGGCGCGGGCGACACGCGCTGCTTGGCGGCATCACGGTCCGCTTTCGCGAACGCCGCGGCGAAATCGGGATGGCGGAACTCGCCGGGCGGCACCGGCAGGCGGAGAGCACTTCGCACCGCATGCCTGCGGTTCCACGCGCCGTAGCCATTGAATCCCCAGGGAGCCTTGTGTTTTTTCGGCATTTTTGTCCAACAACCGCTAGCCAGCTGCCCGCACAGCTCAATTTGGTAGCTGAGAGACGTCCAATGGCGGGCACTTGACCAATGCGGGCAGCCCGGGCAGCCACAGCGCCTGGATTTTTTGCTAGTATGTGTGGACACGCTAGTTCCCGGGATTAGGCCGATCGAGAGACCGGTCGCGCTGCTCACGCGCGAGCTTGAGGCGGCAGTTGAAGGTCGCGAGTGCAGCGCCCACAGCCCAGGAGACAGCACGCGCTGTCGCTAGCCGAGCGAGCACCAATCAAGAGAGCTTAGGTCAAAAAGCTTCTCCCACCGGCTGCGATGCCGCCCAAAAAGAAGAGCAAAACGAGCACGCCGGCGACGCTCCCCTGCTTCGCCACCGCACGCTTGACGATCATCGGCGCGAACCCCGTCCAGCGCAAGATCTGGGCGAAATGCGGCGGCCCGACGTTTTTGAAGCCGAGCCAAGTAAACCAGCTCACGAATGACCGCGACTACGTCGTCGTCGCGGCGGCCGTCGACGCCTCAATCATCCAAACAAAAAAGGGCGCCGCGCTCGTCGTCACGGACCGCTGGCTCACGGCGTCGATCGAGCGCAACGCGCTGCAGGACGCGGCCGCGCACGCGTGGCCCCCTCCACAAGAATCGACGGAGGTTACACTGATGCCGCCGCCGGGCTTTGAAAGGCCCGTGCGCTGCGTTGCGTACGACTGCGACGCTGAGTGGGTCGCGGCCGTCCGCGGTTTAGTCAGGGACCACCGGCCCCACGTCGTGTTACTACGTGGCGCGTCGGGCGCCGACGCGTTGGGCGACGGCTGGCGCGTCGCGGCCTCCTCCACATCAACTGCGATCCTCGCGCGGTGCGAGGGAACGAGTCTGGACGCGCCTGAGCATGCTTGCGCGTGGCGGTCGAGAGCGGGCGACGTCTTCGCCGTCGGCGACGATTTACGGAATTGGGCTTCTGATCGGCCCCGCGACGATATTTTGACGGTGTTCACCTCTCAAAACCTCGAGGCCGCGGGTTTGAGAGATGCCTACGCCTTATTAAGGCCGGGCCGGGCCGTGCCAGCAACGGCACCCACTGAAGCGTCCTGCGACTCGCTGCGCTACGGCGACGCCTTCGCTCAAAAATACGGCGACTCGAATCCACTAAGGAGGCCCGCTCCCCAAGAAACGATCCCGGGCCGCGCCGAGCTCTGGACGTCGTTTTACGGCGGCGGCGTCCACCGGTTGTTGGACTGCTGCGCCGCGTCGCCCGACAATTGCCAGAGGTGGGGCCGCGTTCTAGCATTAGACGCGAAAAGGCGGACGGCCCTCCGCCCGGGACCCGCTGAAGATGACGTACCACGCGCCTCATCTGTTATTGTGTTTGAGGGCGACCATGACAATGAAGCGAAGAAGGAGGCCGGTAGAAGGACGTCCGCGCGGCGAGGCTGCATCCAGGCCTTTCCCAGCGAAGCCCTCAAGGAGCGCTCGCCTTTGCCCGTCACGAGACGGGTTTGTGCTGCTCTGTCCAAGGTCTTTAAGTTGGAGGCGGCGCGCTTAGGTGGTGATCGGAAGACGCGCAGGCCGGGCGAAGCCCACGGCACCTGCAACACGCAAGTATTGATGTTCGAGCGGGCCCACGCCATGGTGTTGAGCTGGCCGTATCAACTGCGGACGGACGAGGACGTCTACGAGAAACTAGTGGGAGAGCGGCCCTACATGTCTGTGGATGGGAGACCGGCGCGCACCGTCGCGCGAGCCCTTAATGGAGAGCTCGACACCTGGGAGGCCTGCGCCGAGTCGTTGCGAGAATCATCGTTAAATGACCCCTTCGAGACTGATGCATTGATCGCTTCCGCAAAGATGGCCAAGGTGTTTGGCATTTCCGTGGGAGACGGTGTGGTTGATGCTGAGGAGAAGGAGGGTAAACTCCGAGGAGCGTACGAGGTCGTGCAATACCTGAGAAAGGCGGGATATGGACAAAGACCGTCGGTGGATGACGCCGTGGATGCCATGAGAGGGGATGAGAAATTCCGCGCGAAGCTCACGCAGTTCGCGAAGCACGGTCTAGATCGGCACGCCGAGTTCTTCGACGCGCCGTTGTCGGAAGCTGAGGTCTTGGAAGGTCACTCGCTCATCATGCGGGGGCTGCGGGGCGCGGATTCTCTCTGGAGGCGCTGCGTTCCCGATTATGATCACACGCAGTGGGTTGTGGTCCGGGTCGGTGGCGCTCGTCGAAGACTAGCGGGTGACTGCGGCCACGACATGGACTTTTTGGTCACGCACCCGCAGATTTGTTCGTACGCTCGGTTGAAGCCGGTGCTCGATGCCATCTTGGTGGGACTGAACGCGGAGCGTTCTTCGGTAGATTACGGCAGCGGCCAGCAGGACCTCCCCATCACGAATTACGGCGAGCACGTCGGGTCTGTCTTAGCGCAAAACACTCCTGAAGAGTTATACAACGTGCCGGTGATCCAACAAATTCGACGGGAGATCACGGGCACGGGAAGCGGTTGGCAGCACTGGGACCACCTCGCTCGCCATTTTGGGGTATTTCATACGAAGGCCGGCAAAAGAAGGAGGCGCATCGACATCGTCGTGTCGTCGCACCTCGAGTGGCCGTTCGCTCTTCTGTCCTGGACGGGGGGCAAGGTCTACAATCGTCTGTTGAGAGACTACGCGAACAAGATCGGCTGCTCGCTCTCGGCGCACTGCCTCATGACCGTGCCCGCCGACGCGTCGTCTCCCCGATTGGTCCCTCAGGAGACGCACCCCGGGACGCCCGTGCCGCGGACCGAGGAGGACGTGCTGCGGCTGCTCGGCGTGCCGTGGCTGCCGCCTCATTTACGGGACGTGTGATAAGAAGATGTGTAGTTCGTGGGCTCCCGATACGAAATGCCCATCCCGGGTTTTTGCTCTCAGGTCGGCCTTTGGTTTTTGCCATTGATCTCGGCGCCAGCCGTCGCGAAGACAAAAAAAACAAGCGGGACAGCAAGCCCTCTACTATAGCCACCCTCACCACGGCCACCATCACCTCCACCGTTCATCATGCAGAGTTTGCTCTCATTAAGTTTTATCATGGCCAGCTCCTCTCTCACCCCCAAGACCCATCTACGCCTGCCGGTCACCACCACAAAAGTCGCGACGCTCACCCCGCTACGCGAGGAACAAATCCTGACGCCCCGGGAGCTCGTCAAGCCGGCCGAGTGTCCCGCGCGTCGGGCCGCGTCCGGTGCCTCAGCTCTAAAAAACGCTTTCGCCGACGCGAGAGCCGAGGGACGCGCGGCGCTCATCCCCTACCTCACCGCCGGCTACCCCACCAAGGACGAGACCGTGGACCTCCTCCTCGCGACGCAAGCGGGCGGCGCCGACGTGATAGAATTAGGCGTGCCGTGCGGCGACCCCTTCATGGAACAAGTCCGCCGCGCGGCCGGCGACGTAGGAGCAAGGCGACCATCTGCCTATCCTCAAATTGAGCCGCAGCGTGAAGCGGGTGAACCCAGGTATTTTCGTAACCACTTGGCGATACGCCCACATCTATGAGCCGCTCGACCTCTTGTACGTTGCCGTCCTCGACCGCGTCCATGAGATTTTTTACGTCAAGCGCGTCCTCCGAGCCAAAGTCTGCGCCGTATTTGGACTTCCACAACGCGAGTTCGTCCACGCTTTCGCCGGCGTGAGACAGGGACACGGCGGCCAGCGCTATCAATTGAATGAGCTTAATCATCTTTGTGTCAGCTCGGACGTCGTCACGCCCGACGGGCGACGGTTTGGCGTCTTTCTTACGCACGGCAACAAGACTGCGCGCGCGCGCGGGTGTGAGCGACGCTGAATATTGACCTAGAAAACCCGTTTTTTCTAGGGGGAAGTACTAGTATACATCTTAGTAGCAGGGGAGCAGCAAGTAGGGGAGCTAAGCGGACACACCCCCGCGTTCTTCGAGGAGCGCGGTGATGAGTCGCTTGCACACGTGATTGGGTATGAGCGTGAGGTTCTCGAGCGGCTCGTTCGTCGTCGGCGACGTCCGCGCGCCGGTTTCAAACCACTCCTTTATGGCGCAGCGCTCGAACGTCGTCCCGTCCGCCGTGATCACCGGGTCCTTCATGAGCTCGCACGTGATCGGGCAGCACAGGTCCTCGGGCAGCTCGTCCCTAGAAATGCGCAGCCGCTCAATTTCGGCGCGGTGGTGGCGGAGCTCGTCCTCCAGCACGCTCTGGTGCGTCGCGACGTCGTGCAGGATCGCCTCGGCCGACGCCTCGATCTTCTTCGCCTTGCCGGCCGACGGGCCCAGGATCGCGAGGCAGGCCCCGGGCGAGACGCCGAGGTCCACGAGGTCCGTGGGCTTGAGCGACGGCAGCACAACATCATCAATCTCCTGCGCCTCGAAGAGCGGGAGGAGTCGCGTCTCGCCGACGGCCGCGAGAATCCGTGCCACCGTCTCGTAGCCTTCGCGCGCGATGGGCTCCTCCTCCTCCTCGCATTTCGACTCCTCAACGGACGTCTGCTTGCGGAGAGCGTCTTGGCGCTCCCGCGCGACGCGTAACCGCTCGGCTCGCAGTTCGGCCGCCGATGGCCCTTGCGGCACCTGGGCCGGCTCCGGCTCCGGCTCCGGCTCAGGCTCCGGCTCCGGCTCCGAGGTCGGCTCCGGTGCCTCCGGCTGGGCCGCCTCGGAGCGCTTCCTCAGGAGCCGTTTGGCCGCTTGTCTATCTTTAGCAGCACCTTCACTCCCGCAGGTCTTGTCTCGTAATCGATTCAACTCGTCGGCGTCCGCGGCCGACAGCGGTCGGTCCGGAAAATTCGCGTAGACCTCCACTAACCCTCGAAGCTTGGCCGCGGCCCGCTCCTCCGACTCGGACTCCGACTCCGACTCCTCTTCGGGCTCCGACTCTGATTCCGGGGCCGCGGCGCACGCCTCCTGGACCAACTTCTTGGCCGCGGCGACCTGGGCCGCGGTCCCCGTGATGGAGACGTGGCAGCCGTCGCCGGCCGCGCGCACGACGACCTCCGCGCCAGAAGCTTTGGCGACGACCGCGCCGTCGACGCGGCAGTCCAGGGTCCGCTCCGCCGTGATGCGTTGGGCCTTGCGCTTCGCGCGGCGCCGGGACACGTCCTCCGACGCGTAGAGCGCCGCCTCACACCAAGCCGCGGCGGCCTGCAAGATCAGCGAGTACTTGAGCGTCCCGAGCAATAAACTGAGACAGTGCCACGTGTTGGCGCTGCCCCCGTTCGCGCAGCTGAACCGCAGGTGGGACCCCCACAACAAATGACCCGCGGGCAGCGCGCACCACACCGTCGACGACCGGCAGAGGCGCGTGTGCAGGAACGTAGAACCGTGTCCACAATACGTTTCCGCGGGTAAAAGTGGAAATCGATGCGCCCCAATGTTGCCCAGCAATACGCACACACACATCAACGCCGGCCGCTGGCGGTGCACGAGGCGCTGGAAGTGCGACCAGAGGCGATGAAGACCGTACGACTTCTCATACATAAACTCCAAGCACTCGGCAAATTTCACGGACGTGTAGCCAATCAGCGTGATCGTAACGGCGAAGAAGGACGTGAGGAAGAGCGTCTGCGTGGACCGCGCCCAGCCGCAGTAGGGCGGGAACACGGCGAAGAAGAAGGCGCCCGGCGCGCACAGGTCCGTCTCCACGATTGTTCTACGTGCGGTCCACCAGAAGGCCGCAGCCGGGCCCCACGCAAAGGCCGTCTGGAGGCGCGTCATCTCGTCCTGCCCCAGCAACTTCTCGACCGTCGACGCGCGGCGCTTGCCTTTCGTAGTGCGCTTGGGCGAACTCCCAGCCTCGCGCTCGAGCTCCTTGCGGATGCGCTCGCGTCGTAAGGTGGCCTCTACCATGATTACCGCCTTTATCCCCCGGTAGAGGCCGTAGAAGAAGCCGGGGATGACCACATAAGCTAAGAAGACGATGAACCAGCCCTCGAGCGTCCAGAGGTCGGGGGGCGGCGGCGGTGGGTGTTCCCACCACCACTTTCCCATCCTGTCTTGATGCCGGGTTCGGGCTGCCGCGTGGCGGCGCCGGGGGCAGCCCTTCGCGCTGGTTGGGGCGTGCGGCGGGCGCGGGGCGATGCGCGGCCACGTACGGCGGAGCGGCGGCGCGGCTGGGAGGCGGCGTGTAACGGCGCGGCGCGGCGGGGCGCTTGCTCGGGAGCTGCGAGAAACGGAGCCACCTTCACCATGGCCCCGCACGACATCTGATGTTGAAGACGACAAAATGGCCTCCTTTCGATTCATAAGATGTCTCCTAGACGCCTGGCATACTGCCTCCGAGCGATGAAATCGACTTCCCGACATCCGCGGTTGCCCGAGGGCGTCTAGGCTGTGGGCTAGCTTCACGGCCAGATAGAGCAGAATAATTGGGTCTCCAAATTCACAATTCATCATAGTCGTCCACTGAGACCATTTCTTTACGAATAGCGGCCCGGAAGAGCCAAACTCGGAGCTAGCGTAATCGACATACTAGCAAATTTAAAGATACGCTTCGATAGCGTCAAAAGAATGACCCAAATTCAGAATACATCCTAGTCGTTCGCCGAGACCAAAGATTTCAGCGTAGCGGCCCGGCAACATACCCTCGCGCCTCCCGCGAAGCACCGCCCGCGACATTCGCGGATGCGTCTTACGGCTCGCCAAAGTACACCAGCGATTGACGCCGCCATCTACCGTCCAGATAGTACATTATATCAACTCCAGCCGAGTTTTCATACACACTCGACGGAACCGGAGCCGACGGCCCGCGCCCGGAGGGCGGGAAAAGAATTCTACTAGACAACTCCCGAGTTTATGTTCGTTTCCTTCCGTTTGTTAGTGGTAGAGTCCATCCAACCCGCATCAGCGCGCACTGAGCTATTTTAGATATTCCGTTAGGGCCGCGCGATTCGTCGACTTCGGTCCCACGTGTTTGTACAAATAAAGCCACATAACCTGCACCCGCGAGTATCAGCGACGCCACTATCCAGATGGACCATAACGCCGTTGTTCTATTCACAATCGACCGACTTGCCCGTTCTCCGCGGACGACGGTGCGTACGCGGGGCACTGGAAAGGCCCCAGACCGGTGGTTTATATAATAAATTTGCGTTTCAGGCGCTTCGGTCCCGGGAAGGGCCAGCTAACCGGCTTGATTGTATACTACATTGCTCTGAGACCCAAAGATGCTCGGCGCGGGTCGTCGGGCTCGCGACCCCACGATCGATCGTAAATGGGCGAATTGCTTGAACCTGCGACCGTCAGCCCGTCTATCATCACCATGGACCATGACGCGATCGTTTGTTCCATGATCGACCGACTTGCGCGGGGTCCAGATCAAGATGTTCACATCCCGAGCGTGGGCAGCCCAAAGTACCCTTCTCGCGGTGTGGATGTCATATACTTGTAATTGACTATCGGTGGGGTAGTATGGGGTCCGACGAGACCGCTATTACGATTCCTGGGGGGCCTCGGGTTATTGACGTTTTTGACGGGAACGGGGCGCGATCGGGCCCAAATTATTTACTTTTTTCGGATCCAGATCGGCCCGTGGAGGTCTCTCGGGGTAGGTCTGGTAGTGGGTAAGCGCCTGCACCGCATACGCCGCCGATGCGGCAGCCTAGGGCTCCCCGAGAGCCCTGGAACCCATTGCCAGGCTATTCAAGGTAGTTTGCCGCAGTGGTGAGAGAATTGGTCGATTATGCCCCGAGCCCGGGCGCATGCGGCGTAGGCGCTTGCCCGCGACTAGTGCCGACCCCGAGCACCCCCCGGGAGCCCTCGGGACCGCGAACCGACAGGCTTCCGCCGGCGCAGCCCATGCCCGCGGCGCCCGTCGACGACCAAAATTTTTCTAGAGCCGCGCCCCGGCGCCGTCAAAACAGACTACACACGACCAACTTAGGGCGAGCAGCACTTCGCCCCGACGAGGGACAGGTCGGGCCCACCTTTGGAATCCGCGGCCCACCCGAAAAATTCAGCGTCCTCGTCGAACCTGTGTGGAAATCAAAATTTTACGGCGCGTTCGTGCTGAACCATCGCGTCGTCCTCCACGCCATCGACGCGACGCCTGTTCGGTGCACCCGACACACTGGTTGATTTCCACACAGCCGACGACGTGCCCGGCGCGTCGGCCGCAATGTCTCCAAACGCAGTGCCGTCGCTCGCGAAGGTCTCCTCGACGTCTGCCCTGGGTTTGGCTGCGCGCTTCCGTCTAGCTGGTGACGTCTTCCTGGAAGCGCCCACGACCAGGCCCCCCGTGCCGTCCGCGAAGACCATCGCCGGCAAATCATCATCATCATCACTACGGTCCGAGAAGGCCCCCGGGCAACTATCAGACACCGCGCAGCCGTCGACCGCCAACAGCTCTTCCCCGTGTTCTTCGGCCATCCTTACTCGCAGGTTCAACTGATCCAATAACCCAATGATGTCGACCTTGTCCGCCGTGCCATCAGATTGCTCGATCTCGGCCCAGATGTGGTCGTCCCAATGGAGGCCGGGCGTTGCCGCGGCCAGCGCTTGCGCTTGTTTTTTCGGGACCTGGTCGGGGAGGCTTTGCAAGGCCGAGGCGCCGGCGCCCATTTGTTCTATTTATCGCGGCGGCGTAAATGGGTGGAGAGGCTGCTTGTGGCCGGTGGATGGTGTTGTGGGGCTGCTGTGCTTTCACAGATGGTGGTGGAGGGGCTGCCCGCTCGCACCAACTTGTGTATCGCGGCAAGACGTGAAGCGGGCACGGTCTGCTGCGTAGGACTGCCGCTGGATTGGTCGCGTGCGCTGGATTGGTCGCGTGCGCTTGTCGAATGGCCTAAAATGCGGCGGCCGCAAACTGCTGGCTAGTGTCTTATTGGACGCTAAGCTCGCGCGGATTAACTTTGCCAAAGGCCGGCATTTACTCGGGCCTCGCGATCATAATTGCTCGTCTCAGCCTCTCTCGTTGGTCTTTGCGACGACCGCTGCGAATTCTGCAGACGCGCCGCATCAATACGACCGCAGCAAACTCACTGCATGCTGCAGCCTTGACAGCCTTGTACGCCATTCGACGCGACACATGTCATCTCAGCAGCCACGCATCCCCAAGAAGCAGCGTGCTGCCGCGCCGCGGATGCCGGAGCAGCGGCCCGCATCGCGCGAGCGGATGCCGGACCACGTGCCTGTGCCGCCGGCACCCCCTGATTTGATCTACAGCCGCCGGCGCGGCGGCCGCGCGCATCAACAACAACAACAAACTCCAGGCGACGCAAAGCGGAAGCGCAACGCGCGCAAGCGCCTGCCGCGGACGCACCGCACGCTCGCCGTGCTCCTCCAGGCCGTGCGCGACGAGCAGTTGACTTTTGAGATGAAGGACGGGACTTCAGTAGCGGGCGCTTTATATGAAGTTGATGCGAACCTGAACGCGACGCTGCGGGGCGCGACGCAGACGCTGCGGAACGGCACGCAGCGGCGGTACGAATCAGCTTACGTGAACGGGTCCGGCGTGCTGTACGTGCTCTTCCCGGCGCGCTGCGATCCCGTGCGGTCTTTAGACAGGTACCTCGACGCGCAGGAGCGCGTCGCGCGGACGCAGACGCGCTCGAAGCGAGCGGCGCCGGCCGCGCGCGCGCCGACGCCGGAAGCGATATCGATAGAGGCGCCGGCCCGCCAGCGCGACCTGGCCGACGGGCCGCGAATCTAATGTTGTTCGTAAGATTACATGTTGTTATTACAGCTCCATCTTCGCGAGGATCTTCTTGCGCTTGTTGACCCAGGCCGCGAGCTCGGGCCTCGTGCCGCCCGTCTTCATGTTCTGGAGCCGCTTGAGCTCCTTGGCGCGGTCGGCCTTGGACTTGGACGCCTGCTTGTCGACGTAGGAAACTTCGCGCTCGGAGCAGCCTTTCTTCGTAGCGGGGTCGCACTTATCGGCCGGGACCGTCGGGCCGTTAATATTCAAAATCTCCATCTGGAAGACGAGCGGCGCGCCGCCGGGGATCTTGGGCGGGCTCCCGCTGTCGCCATATCCTAATTCAGACGGAATGTACATCTCCCACTTGTCGCCCTCGACCATGAGTTGCATAGCTTCCGTCCAGCCTTTGATGACCTGTGTGGAAATCAACCAGTGTGCACGCCGTCGAGCAGGCGTCGCGTCGAGAGATTCGCCGCGACATTTGATTTCCACGCAGTTAATAACCTGGTTTGGCGCAAACGACGTCGGCGAGCCGCGCTCATAGGAGCTGTCAAAGACCGTGCCGTCGATGAGCTTGCCCTCGTAGTGGCACTCGCACGACGTCGACGCCTTCGGGTGTGCCTCGCCGTCGCCGTCGCGCAGCACCTTATACATGAGACCGCTCTCGAGCGTGACGACGCCATCTTCTTTAGCTTTCGCCTCGAGCCAGGTCTTGCCTTCCGGGCTCGTGCCCGCGTGCGCAGCGGCTAGTAGCAGGCATGCGATTGCCGAACGCATTGTGGTAATGGATCAGTCTATATTTTTTAATGGATGCCGAAAGTGGGGACTTGCTGCTGTCACGCGCGAAGTTGCAAACTGATGGTTGCACACGTCTAACGAGGTAGTGAGAGCAGCGATGTGAACCGCAAACGTGTAACTGGGCAGTGTGTGCAGTAATAACTCCAAAAAAGTCCAGCTGGAACTTAATACCTAGCGGCCTGTAAGACACTAGCAAGCACAAAATCGGCTGTCGCGAGGCTGTTAGGAGCGATAGGCATCCAAATTGCCTGTAGAGAAGCGCCTGACATAAGCGCCGAGCGACGCGACCTCAAGCCAAACACCAGTTGTCCGTCTCGACGCGGCAAAAATAGAGATTGCACAGAGCAGCTCAGGCCTGCAGTAATAACTCGCGACGCGGCACGCCATCGATGCAGGAAGTAGCATGAAGATAGCGCTGCTCCTCCTCGCCGTCCAAGCACAGGAAACACCGACGCACTGCGGCCACCCCTGCCCGGCACGAGGCAGCCGCGGCCCGACGAAAAACGTCCACGGCTGGCGCAAGTGGAAGGACTTGGTGCACTACCACATCGCGAAGAACGCGGGCACAACATTAAGAAGCGTGGTCACGAAGCGCTACGGCGGCTTGGAGCTGCACGGGCCCGGCAAGAAGGCGTATGGAGAATACTTTAATGATGCCGGCCGCAAGTGGGCGGGCCGCTACTTCGTGGCCATGGCGCGCGAGCCCACCTCCAAGCTCATGTCGCAGTTCTTTTACGTGAGAGCGTCGCTCGGAGGTGATTTCGGCACGTGGCACCGGTGCGTGACGTTTCATGAATATGTTGAGTCCAAAAGGGCGCGGCACAACCACCAGTTTTCCCAATTGGTCGCGGGTAGTAGATTAGCAGCTTGTGATCCGTCTCACAATGTATCGTACTTCAAGCGCCCGCGGCACGAGGCCGGTATTACAAAAGCTCAAGATGTTTGTAAGGGAGGCGCTGCGGTCCTCAAGAGCCGCATCCTCGAGATCCTGAGACAGCCTAGATTATTTGTTGGTTTGGTGGAGGACTTCGACGCTTCATTAGTCTCATTGCAAAGAGAAACAGGTTTACCGGACGCGACGTACTGCCACAAGCGCACGACGAAAGGTGCCCTAAACAAGCCGCGCCACTTGACGGAAGACACGCGGCACGCCTCATCAAGGCGCAACGAGCTGGACGAGATCTTCTACGAGGCGGCCCGAGAGGTGCACGCCTGGAAGCGGTGCTGCTACGGCGTCGACGACGCGGCCGTGGCGGACTTTCGTCGGAAGAATTTGGAGTTCCAGCACTCGACGGGCTGCCACGTGATTCATGATAGGAAACAGAAGGGTCTAGATAATAGAACGGTGGGAGACCCGAACTGGCACGGCCGCGGCACGGACCAGTACGGGGCCAAATGTGCGGCTTTGGATCCGAGAAAATACGCGTTGCCGGGCGACTCGGACCAGTGGCGGCCGAAGGAGGACTGGTGCCCGCCTTCCTCGAAGCTCGTGGACGGGGACTGCGTGCCTCGTGCTAGTGTGTAAGTGGATGTTGTTGTTTTTCTGGCCGCGTCGATGGCGTAGGTGTGAGAGAGTCGCTTATTGAGCTAGCCCCTCGGGACCCTCACACGCAGGCGTCCAGCGGGTGCCCAGCCCGCACGTTGAAAATCGGGCGGCGCGGCGCGGCGCTGCGGCTGGCGCTGCACGCGCAAAAGGGCCATCGCGCACTCTTGCGGCTGCACTGTGTGCACGTCGCACCACCCACAGTTGTTGCCGTGAGGAACTCTCCGAGGCTGCCCTTCGCGAACTCAGGACCTGTCCAGAGGGCAGCAGCCAAGACCTCACAGAGCCGCGGCCCGAGAGCTCGCACCACCGCGAACGCTTTCGACGCGCGACCACAACGGCCGGACCATGTCGTCGACCGCCAAGCTCTTCTCGTCTCCCGGCTTCGGCCACATCGACCCGAGCGTCGAGCGCGGCCAGCTGCGCAAGGAGATCGACGCGGCGATGACTCGCGTCGACAAGTTGCTGAAGAACAGCAATATCGAGGCGGCCGAGCGCATCAAGAGGGTCGAGGACCTCAAAGACGAGATCAATCAGAAGAAGGCGCGCATCGCCGAGATCAAGGCGGCGGCGCGAAAAGCGTCGCGCGCGCCGACGCCGCCGGCGACGCCGCGCGAGCTCGCGCCCGTCGCGCCGCCGGGGTCGCGGTCGCCGCGGCCCGTCGTCCCGGTCCGGGTCGGCCCGCCCGGGCACACGCAGCCGTGGAGCCCGGACCGCGCGAAGGCGCTCAAGACGTAATTATTCAAGTTGTGCCTAGTGGTAGACGGGTCCGACGCCCGGCGCGACGCCCAGTGCCCCTAGCTCGGTCGCGTCTGCCGCCGTGACCTCGTGCTCGGGCTGCTTCGAGGCGAACTCCTTCCCGACCTTGTCGGCGTAGAGCGTCGAGTCCGTCCGCGGCGGCCGCGGGTGGCCCAGGTTGTCCTTGATGCGGTCGAGCGCCGCGAGCTCGGCGCCGGCCTTGACCTGCGCGGCGGCGCCGCGGTGACGGCGCTGCCGGCGAATCCGCGCGCAACCCGACCGTCGATGGCGTGCAGACACGGAGCTCGCACCGCCTTACAAAACGGCGCGACCTGGTCCTCGTCACTGAATTTGAGGACGTACTCGGCGCCGCCGTGCCTGTGCGGACAAGTCGACTTTCACGCCGCCATCGACGCGACGTCGCCTCGATGGCGTTTCGGTCCACGGACCCGAGTCGCTGGGATTCGACACAGCCTCGCGCATCTTCTTGTAAATGAGGACCTTGTGCGGGTCCGACTCGACCTCGGCCGCGAGATCCGCGAGGGGCACGGCGAACTTGGGCACGGCGCCCTTCGTCGAGCCCGGCGGGAAGGCGAAGAGGTGCGTGCCCTTGACGAGGACGTGGACGCCCTGGCGCGACGCGCAGCAGAAGCATAACGGCACGTCGCGTGCCAACTCGGCGTCGCCCTCGAAGTTGGCGCCCGTGCGGCCGCGGACGCTCTCGAGCGAGCCGAACTTTTGAGGTGTGCGCTTCGACGACGACAGTCCGAGTAAATCAGACGCGGACTTCATGAGGCCGCGGCCAAGCGAGCGCCGCGGCTTGACCGCGGGCTTGGCCGGCGGGAATTGTGCGGGCGTCTTGCCGGCGGGCGGCGTCGTTTTCTCCTCGGCGCCGTCGGCGGTGCCGTACTTGTCGAGGGCACCGGCCTCTGGCGCGTCGGCCGTGCGGTAGACGGCCTGCGGCGTGGCCGGCTTCGCGTCGTCGACCTCCGACAGCGTCGAGCCTGTCGGCGTCGGTGTCTTGTCGACCGGCGCGTCGGCCACGTCGACGTCGACGTCGATACCGTCGGTCTTGGATTCTGAGGCGCCCATCTGTCTGCTAGCTACTTTTGACGCTGTCGAGCGAGAGTATCCCCGCCGGCGCAATCGGCTGCTTTATCAATGACCCCTCTTTATTGACCTATTTCTAGGCGATTTGTGGCCTAATCAACGCGCCAAAGTCAAGTGGGGAACGCAATAATTGGCGCAAGTCCGCGCAATCAACGGCGACTGCCAGTTTTGAGTCGCTAGGGTACGACGTGGTCTCAGGTTTGGAGCTAGCGGCATGTAAGGCACTAGCAAGCCTGCCGTGAAAGCGCGCGCGCCAAGCGCTGCTGGTACGCAGGCTGCAGACTGTGCAAAGGACCAATAAATCTCTCGCTCGCGCTGCGCGCACGCATAGCACAAATCGATGCCGCCCTCCACGGCGACGCATGTGATCGATGCCGTCGAGCGTCGCGTCGCGGCCGCGGTCGCCGTCGCCGGCGGCGGCGCAGCGCTCGCCACAGTGCTCCTACGTCTACTCCTCTGGCAACCCCTCAACATAGCTCAAGCGCTGTGCGTGGGCCTGGCCGTCGCGGCGTCATTAGCGGCCTCGATGCTGCTCGCCGGGCCCGTGGCCTTCGCGGCGCGCGAGCCGGCGCGGCGCGCAGCATTCTCAATGCTAGGCCGCGCGGCGGCGGGCGGCGCGGCGGGCGCGATCATGGGACGGGGCGTCGCCGGTGAATTGCTGGGAGGCGCCGTCGCGGGTCTCAGTGATGCGGTGGCCCGGGGCTGCATGACCCTCGGCACGCGGCCGGACCGCCGCATGGTTTCTGATGTATTGATAGCTTCGTTCATCGCTGCTTTACGGTCGGCGTGCGGCGCATCCCTCATAGCGCGGGCCTACGGCGACGAATCGAGATATGTTGAGCTGTGGATAAGGAGCGCATTAAGTGCCCTGGCGACGCACCTCCTCTGCGATATTTCAAGAAGGTGGCTCGCCTACGCGTGCCGCCAGCCCATTGATATGAGAAGCATTGCCGAGCGCGTGCCCGATAGACGGTTCCAGCCGAAGACGGAGTGGTCAGTAGCGCTGGCCGTCGAGGCATCAGAATTAGGCGACCCCATCACGGCAAAGACGAAGCGAATCAATGCAACAAAAAAACGGAGCGGCTTCGTCGCGCGGTCGTCAGCAGACCCCTTCGCGGCCGCGTCGAGTCAGACGCAGCCCTGGCGCGTGCGCATTGATATGCGGCGGCAGGCGTTGCAGGCGGCCGTCACCCAGGCCTTCGCCAAGGAGACGTCCGTGGACTTTCGAAGTGCGTGGCTCGCGCCCTTTTCAGCGCTCGACCTCGCGTCGGGCGGGTTAATTCTGGGCGACGCGGCGCTGGACGCGTCGCATCGGCTGGCGAAGTGGCTTTCATTAAGGGCGTTGGGGGACGGGTTGTTGGAGGTTGCGGACGATTCTGCGAGGGACCGGGCGCTGGACGTCGCGCTGCTCGTGTTGGACGGCCTCACGGTACGTGTAGATTTAGCCACGAACCACGTGGAACGGGACGCGCTGGGTACTGTTAGGGAAGACACGCTGGCCTGTGCGATCCGGAAGGGGCGCGCGACCCCGAAAGACCGGTCCTCGCTGCCGGCGTGGCTCCTCGATCTCATTGATCCGCGGCCGCAGCCGCGCGTCGGCAATCTGATGGTGTCGGCGGCCGAGTGTTCGGCCTGCGCGGCGGCCGCTCGTATCGTGGCCACGTGCTCTTCCTTCAAGAGGGACGGCGCGGCGCGCGCGGCGGCATGCCTGAACTCGCTCGCCGGCGCGCAGCGGGCGCTGGGCGGCGTGCCGCCGTCTCCAGATAGAGACGCGCTCATGCTCGACGTGGCGCACGCGACCGATTCGTTGTGCGCGGCGTTCCGCTCTGATTTATCTCGCTTCGCGTTCGCGCCGGAGTACGCGTCGACGCTGCGGCGGCACGCGGATGCGGCGGCGTATAACTATAACTAGCCCATGGCTTTCTTGCTTTCCTCCCGCGGTTCCTTGGATTTCCTTCCCGGACCTTCCGAGTCTCGAGTCGTCCCGGGCCGCGAACGCAGAACTTGCCAGAAGGAGGGCACAAGAGGCCCGGAGCAAGCCACGAAAGCTCATCACCCATCACGGGCGGACCTTTCTGCGGACGGGTACCCCGCGCCCAGCACCACTTAACCTCAGGCTCAGGCTCGTGCTAGTGTCTTACTGGCCGCTAGCGCGATTTCATTCACAGTTACTCGGGCTGCCAAGGAGCTGAAGCGGTGGTTGTTTCATTCGCCCAAGCGTTATTACTGCAGATCGCGATTAATTCTCGACTTCGGCGCAAAGCGGGTCACATCAGGTAGCTCCAACCGCTCCTCACAGAGGGAGAGAGAGCAGACATAGAGCAGCGCTACATGCGCGTGCTCCTCCTCCTCACAGCAGCAGGGAGTGCGCTGCGACCACCGAAGATGGCGACCCTGAGACAGACGGCCCACGGCCTCGCCGCGAAGACCGTCGCCCGCGAGGACGCGACGACGTCTCGATTACTGGCCCTCGAGGCGGAGCGCCGCGAGTTGCAAGCCAGACTCGCCGCGAACGAGGAGCGGCAGCGGGCACTAGCTCTAGGCAAGGACGTCGAGCCCAAGCCGCCGCGCGTGCTCAAGAAGTCGTCTTCAGCGTCGTGCGAAGCGTCCCCAACGGTTTGGTCCGACGAGTGCGATATTGACTACGACGTCGAGGACTCGAGTCCAGCCCTGGCGCCGGACGAGTCGACGACGGAGTTTTTACTAGGCGCCGCATCCCGGGGAAGCTGGCTGGTTGGTCTACTGGCGGCGCAGTCGCTGTCCAGTCTCGTCTTAGAAGCGAATGAGGTCGTCATCCAGAAACACCCGGTCATCGTCTTCTTCCTGACGATGCTGGTGGGTGCCGGCGGCAACGCGGGCAACCAGGCGGCCGTGCGAGTGATCCGGGGGCTGGCGGTCGGCGCGGTCGTGCCCGGAGAAAATGGTGCGTCGTTCGTGTTACGGGAGGCGCGCATGGCCCTGGTGCTGGCTGCGGCGTTGAGTGTGGTGGGCTACTGCCGCGTCATCGCCTTCACGGCGAACACGTCGTCGACCGAGGCGCTGGCGGTCGCGGCGTCGCTCTTTTTGATAGTGGCGCTCTCGATCGTGCTGGGGGCAGCATTACCCATCTTCCTCGAGAAGATCAATGCGGGCGCCTCGAATGCGGCGACGACGATCCAGGTGGTCATGGACGTCTCGGGCGTGCTCATCACGTGCGCGGTGTGCGGCTACCTGCTGGACGGGACGTCGCCTTTAGCGGTATTGCTGCCGGGGGTTGCGGGGTAAGGTGTGGAGTCTATTCTTTCGCCTGGGCGCGTTGATGGCGTCGAGGGACGCTCTGTTACGGTGCTTGGACAAGTGTTTGCTATTTTCGCTAGTGTCTTACATGCCGCTAGTAATCAAACCGCGGCCGAATCAAAATTTACTGTGCCCGAGGCTACATACGGGCTCACTGGTGCTTGCTTGTTGCTCACTGTATACCAGCCGGCGCACCGCGAAAGACGCGGTCGAAAGGCTCGCTCAGAGTGCTGTGCTTGCTCAAAAATACATTGCTGCGTGCTAGACGCCGCTGTGCGACGCCAAACTCACAGAAGTAGCGCGCGCCGCCAATTTAGCCCGCCGCCGCCAGCAACTAGCTAAAATGCCGCCGCCGCGCAACGCCAGCACCTACAACGCGCGCCCGCCGACGCGCGAGCGCGAGGAGCTCGCGAAGCGATGCCTCGAGCGCTCGAAAAACGCTCTACTGGAATTTCAGAAGAAGAGCGCCGCATTGGGCGTCGCCGTGGCGCCGATGACGGCGCCGGACGGGACGACGGTGGCGTACGACCACTTCGAGGGCGTGCGCGTCGCGCCGCCGGTGGAGAACGCCGTCATCAAGCTCGTGGAGGAGACCGCGCCAGCAATGCCCGCACCGAAACCGCGGCTGCCGCTCTCGCCGAAGAACACGACCACGACGTCGTCCTGGAAGACGGGGTTCCTCGAAACAAAAAAGACGGACGCGCGCGGCCGCTTCGTCGCGCCGCCGCCCGCGCCACCCCGCTCTACTGTAACGTGGAAGGCGCCGCCGCCGAAGTCTCCGTCCGCGGACGTGGCGGCCCTGCCGACGCCGACGCTCGTCGGCGCGCTCGAGGCGGACCTCGGCGCGCGCCTGGGGACCACGCCACAACCGGAGCCGGCCGCGCGCGCGGCGCCGGCGTTCTCGCCGATGCCCGTCGCTCCCGTCGTCGAGCCGGAGCCGGAGCCAGTCGTTCCCGCGCCGGAGGCGCCGGACGCCGCGCCGGTGTCGCCCGCGCCCGTCGTCGAGCCGGAGCCGGAGCCGGAGGCCGAGCCGCCCGCCGCTCCCGCGCCGGAGGCGGCGCCTCCGAGCGACGCAGGGGCCACCAAGCCCGAAGCCGAGGAGGAGGAGGACCTTCAGGCCTTCCTCCGCCGGGGCCGGCGCCTGATCGCCGGGTCCGCCAGCGCCGCGGCCGAGCGCGAAGCACTCCGGGAGCAGGCCGCGGCGGCGGCGGCCGAGCGCGCGGCCCTGAGCGCGCGCCTCGCGGCCGTCGAGGCCAGCGCCGCCGCCGAGCCCGTCGCGGCCCCGGCGCCCGCCGCAAGGACCGCCGCGGAGCTGCTCGCCGAGGCCATGGCCACGATCGCGAACGACGAGACGCTAGCGAGCGAACCGAAGGTGCTGCGCGCGGCGACCAAAGCGGCGAAGGTCCTCACGGGCGCGCCGGAGACGCCGCCGCCCCCCGCGCCGCAGCCGGCGCCCGCGAAGCCCGCGAAGACGCCGTGGGTGCCGCCGCCGGCGCGGTCGCGGAGCCGGTCGCCGCCGCGGCCCCGGTCGCCGCGGCCCCGGACCGTGCCCGCGCCGCCGCTCCCCGTGCCGTCCTCTTCGCCGCCGGTGCCGCGCGGCCGCACCGCCGACGACACGTGGCGCCGGACCGCGGCGGCGTGGCGCAAGCGGCTCGCGGCCATCGAGGCGACGCACAAACGGCTGCGCGCGGGGCCGTTCCCCGAAATGCGGGAGCGGCCCTTTGTTACTTCTTAAAGGCGGTCTTTTTGATCTTTTTGGCCGCGTCGGCGGCTTGTGCGAGTTTATATTGGGCTCAGAGGCTCCGCGCGTAGCTAGCTGTAAGACACTAGCCAGCAGGGCCAATTTTTGGCTTTGCGGCGCACGGGCTGCCCTCGCCCGTATAGATGCTCATGCGCAACGCGAGATGATGGCTACGCCCCCTCGACGACGAATAGTGAGCGCTATCAAAAGATGAGGCTGCTGCTGCTCATCCTTAGCACCACCACAACACTGGTGCAGCCACGCACCGAGTTCCTCAAGTGTGCGCATCGACTCAAGGCGTACGGCGCGGCATGGCTCGCGCGCACGGAACTCCTCGCGCGCCAGCCCCTGTCTCAGAACAAGGACGCTCTTGAATACGCCTCGTTCCACATATTAATATACAGCATGAGATTGGGCGCTACGGCACTGAAGGCGGTGGACGACAGCTGGTGGGTGAACCACATCAGTGGCTACGAACACGGCGTCTTCAGGATGAAAGGAAAAGAAGCGTCCGACACGAATGTGAACGCCATGGTAGAAATACTCACAAACAAACTGTGTGTACCCAGAACGACGCCGCCGACGTCGACGTTAGCATTAATACCCTTCTACGGCGGCCTCACGCGGGACGGCGCGCGCGACCGCGGAATCGACGAAGAAACGCCGAACACGGGGACGGCCCATAGCGTGTCGAGTGGCGCGACGAAGCTGAAAACGCTGAAAGCCGTGCTTTGTTCGGCTCTATCGTTCTGCAAAGCCGCTCTGGTTGGTGTCCGTGTGGAAATCAAAATTTTACGGCGCGTTCGTGCTGAATCGTTGCGTCGTCCTCCACGCCATCGACGCGACGCTTGCTCGATGGCGTGGCGATGCTGGTTCCTCATCGCTCGACGGGGCCAGCACGGCCGTGTCATCGCCGTGAAATGACTTCGTGAAGAATTATTGGGTGCACCCAACGCACTGGTTTGATTTCCACACAGGTCGGCGTCTGTACCCCCGGAGACTACGAGTCTGTTAATGAATTAATAAGGACGCTGCCCGCCGGTCAAGCGCGGGCCGTGCTGTTGAACTGTGCGAAAGCACCGGCCTACACCCCATATAAACTTCTACGAATGGTCCAGCGCCACGCCAAGGGAAATTTGAACGCGTCGCAAGTCGCGCCGGCCGCGCGCGGTGTCGTGCCGTGGCTATCGTCTCTCGAGTACGAATTCGTTCTCTACGACGAGGCGGACCAGACGCTCCACTTCGAAGGCACGGCGTTGCGCGACGTCTTCGACGTTCTGACCCAGCACCCCGATTACTACGTGGCCCCGCAGCGCTACGAGAAGGGGTGGGGCGGCATCCCGCGGTTCGTTCTTCAGGGGAACTTGTCACGGTCGATGAACAAGTGCGAGCGATCCTTGCCGCGGCTGGCGTATACATAATGTGTAAGATACTTAGTACGAGTTCCCGTCACCGCGACTCCGAGTCGGAGACGAAGTGCGAGACACTTTGTGAGACGAGCCTGAGGGGCTTGGCGGACGTGGCGTCCACCAAGAGGGCGTTATTCTAAGTTAATTTACGACGACTCGTCCTCGACACGCGGGAACACGGCCGACGGCTTCGGCAGAACAGTTCCGGCAGCGACGCCATCACGCCTTAGCGCGGCGAGATCCCGGTCGCCCTCCGCAACGCCTAGCAAGTCCAGCATTTTCGCCGCGGCGCCGGGCATGAAGGGCTGGTAGCTAATCGCGATACACCGGAGCGTTTCCTGGGCAACGGCCAGGACGACGCTCATACGATCGGGGTCGCTCTTCTTGAGTTTCCAGGGTTCCTGGTTGTCAAAGTAGCGGTTCGCGTCGCGCACAACGGCCTCGACCTCGCCGAGCGCCTTGTTGAAGGCGAGCGCGTCCATGTGCGGCCGCATCGCGTCGGCCAGGGCGTGCGCCGAATCCAGCAGCGCCGTGTCATCTGCCGTCAGGTCAGATAATGCAGGCGTGCTTCCTTTCAAATTCTTACCGATCATGGAGCAACACCGCTGGCAGAGGTTGCCCACAGCATTCGCCAAAAATCCGTTACAGGCCGCGAGCATCGCCGTCCGGCTAAAATCGCCGTCGCCGCCGAAGGGAACCTCGGACAATAAGAAGTAGCGAGTCGCGTCGAGGCCGTAGTCGTCGATGAGCTCGGAAGGGATTACTACATTACCAAGCGACTTGCTGATCTTCTGGCCATCTTTTGTCCACCATCCGTGCGCGTATATCTTCTTCGGCACCGGCAGGCCCGCCGCCATGAGCATCGCCGGCCAGTAAATAGCGTGGAAGCGCAGAATGTCCTTGCCGACGACATGAGTGGCACCTCCCCAGGTCGCTTCCCAGTTGCCGTTCGGGAAGCCGATGGCCGTCAAATAATTCGTCAGCGCGTCGACCCAGACGTAGACGACGTGGTCCGGGTCGCCCGGCACCTGCAGGCCCCACTTGAACGACGTCCGCGAGATGGAGAGGTCCCGCAGCTCCTCCATTTTCAAAAAAGAGAGCACCTCGTTCTTGCGCGACTTGGGCCCGAGGATGTCCTCCTTCTCGTACAGCTCGATCAATTTGTCGCCCCAGTCGCTGAGCTTGAAGAAGTACGAGGGCTCCTTCGCGCGCCATTCAACCTCGGCGCCGGTCGGGGCCTTGCCGTCGACGAGCTCGCCCTCCGTGTAGTAGCACTCGTCGCGGACGCAGTACCAGCCCTCGTACGAACCGAGGTAGATCTGGCCGGCGTCCTCCAAGCGCTTCCACAGGGCCTCGACGGCCACCTTGTGGTCCGCGTCGGTCGTCCGGATAAAGCGGTCGTATTTTATATCAAACGAATCCGCCAACTCGCGAAACGTGTTCGACACGCTCGTCGCGAACTCCAACGGCTCTACGCCCTTTGCCGCGGCGGACTCCTCGACCTTCTCGCCGTGCTCGTCAGTGCCCGTGACGAGCGTCGCCTCTCTACCATCCAACCTCGCGAACCTCGCGGCGGCGTCGCACGCAACCGACGTGTACGCGTGGCCGACGTGCGGCGCCGCGTTGACATAGTAGATGGGAGTCGTGACGTAGAGCGGGTCCGTCGTCGTGGCGGCGCGTCGCGTCATCAGCGCTGGCTGCCGCGCTAACGGAGCTCGCAGCGCCCGCGCCGTCCGCACCAGGAGCATGACAGCTGCAGTATACCGTCGCATGGATGCGCGGCGCCGGCGCGCGTGAGAAGCACGGCAGCGTGAGGACAAGCCAGAACGCCCAAACTATGGACGTGTGCGAGAGATGCGTGCTCACAGCCGCGTAGGCGTCGGGCACAGCTCGCGGTTGCTGTGCCTACGCAGAGCGTGTCGAGAGAGGCAGACCTAGTTTTTGGCCGCGGCCTCGTAACTCTCACAACAAAGCCATGCAGACCAAAGCACTTGTCGTTCTCAGCCTATCGACAGCGGGAGCGCTGCAGTTGTCGCGGCGCGACCTCGCCCAGGCCATTGGCATTGGTGCAGCCTCTACTCTTGCGCCCGTAGCGAACGCAGCCGACATAAAGGCCTGCCAGAAGGGCGCAAATAATTGCTGGTCCACGGCGTCGACGGATAAGACGTCTCTGAAGCCCTGGACCTTCCCTAACAAAAAGACCGCGGCAAAAGAGCTGCGCGCGGCGCTCGAGGCGTACCCCCAGGCGGGCCAGAACAAGGCCGACGAGGGCGGCTGGTCCTTCGCCGTCGACGAGCTCGACAAGTCGGGCTACGCGCGGCTCGAGTACAAGTCGGGCCTCGGGAACATGGCGAAATATTTCAACGGGGGCAAGCCGTTCGTCGACGACCTGGAGGTGCTGGTCGGCGCCGACAGCGTGAGCGTGCGCTCGTCGTCGCGCGTCGGCGACAGCGACCTCGGCGTCAACGCGAAGCGCCTCGCGTACCTCGCGAAGGACCTGAAGGCGAAGGGATGGGATGTGGTGACTCCGCCCGTGAAGTAGGTGGTGTGTAAGAGCTATAGTTGAGTAAAAACGGAGACGCTCGGGGCTGATCAAAACGGGTTTTACAGCAACACAATCGCGCTAGTCGCGGTTTTCGCCGCTTTAGGTGCCGTGTAAGTGGCGCTTTGGCGCAAAGCTACAGCCGACTTCACAGCGCTCGCGCTACGACAGTCAAGCATGGAAACTCAGGCCATGATCGCGACAGCTCTCTGCTTTGGGGTTGGTCTTATCTTGGTCTGCGCAGGCAACAACACGAGGAAGGAGAAGGTGAGGACCCAAGGTCGCCTCGCGTCCGAATTTACACCACTGAACGATGGACTGGTGAAACTGGGAAACTCAATCGCCACCCCCGCGAAGGCGGCGAAGCAAAAAGACGAAGATTCTCGCAATCTTTGGCGTCTTCTTCGTTCCGATGGCCTTTGTGAACTCGGGTCTGCCAAGTATGCTAAAGAAAGAATCCAAAATCCTTAGCTTTTGGGGCGCGGTGATCAGCGGGAAAGAGTGGACGGTCATCGGAGAGCCTAAGAATCGCATCAAACCGAAAGACGCTTTCTACCGTATGTGCGCGGACGTTCTCATTAACTTCGTATATCCGACGTGCGTCCCGCGTCTCACTACGAGTATCTTCGCGATGATTTCCGGCCACAGGTTCCTTTTCATGGTTCTCCCCGTTTTCATTGCTCGCTCCGCGTCTTACATGGACGCGATAACCGCGGCGACCGGCGTCTTCTTTGCCGTGCAATGGGACGCGGAATCGGAGGGGGAAGAGTTCCGAGTCAAGCTTCCCATATCGGAGCCGGAACCCAACCGCAGCGAAGCATAGTCTTAGCCTGTGGTGGACGATAGGCCCGCACCCCGCGCGCCAACCCATGCTGTATAAAATTGCTTGCACGTACCCCCTTGTAGTAGCCCTTGAAATGAAAGAACTTATCTCACCGCCAAGCCGGCGAATCCGCGACCGGCTGCTGGAGCACGCGCCGCGCCCGCCGCTTGATTTTCCCGGAGCGCGGCGGCGCCGGCGGCGGCGGCCCGTCCGCGCCGTCGTTGACCTCGTCCGCCGCAATACTCTCTATGAACGCGCAGATCGTCGAGTTGAACGTCTTCAAATTGTTGACCTTGCCGTCTTTTTGATCTAATGCCCGCCGCGCGATTTCCAAATCCTTCTCGAGCGCGTCGGCGCGGTCCCGCGCCCGCGCGAGCTCGCCCCGCAGCTCCTCCTCGGGTGCCGAGTAGCCGCCCGCGGCCCGCTTCGCCTCGGCGGCGGCGACGGCCCGGCGAGCTGACGCCGCGTCGCGCTGCGACGCGTCCAGCGACCGCGCCAGGGCGCGCAATTCCACGGCTACGGGCCCCGTCGCGCTCGCGTTCAGGCTCTGGAGCCGCTTCGCCAGCGTCTTCGCCGCTCTATCGGACGCGGCCAGGCCGTCGGCGACCCTTGTGAGTTCCGCGCCGGCCGCCTCGGCGGCCTGGCTCCGCTTCCGCGCTTGGACCTTGGTCTGGGATCGAGCAGCAGCACACGCGGCGTCGGCCGCGGCCTTGGCCTTTTGTACCGACACAAGCTCGGCGCGCGCCTTCCTGCAATCCTCGCGCGCCTTCTTCAGCTCGCACGCCAACGCGTCGCGCGCGGCGACGGCCGCGTCGCGATCCAGCGAGATGGCCTGCCGTTCCCCAATCAAACGCTCGCCGAGCTTCTCCGCGTCTCGCAAAGCCCTTTCAGCCTTCAACCTCACAATCTCGGCCTCGTGGAGCTGCTGCGCGAGATGCGTCGCCCGCGCTTCCGCCGCGTCGGCGCGCGTGTCGGCATCTGATAAAGCTCGTTCCGTCCGCAGCCGACAGCCTTCCTCCTCCCTTAATGCATGGACGGCCTCCTCGGCGCGCTCCTCCGCATTGAGCGCGCGCGCCGCCGCATCCACCACTTTTTTATCAGCGGCAGTTTCCAACCTTTTGACTTGCTCGGGGAGCTCGCGCGCGATCGCCTCGACGCGGCCGCCCATGGCCTCCATCTCGGCCTCGACCTTGCGCGCCCGATTCTCGTTCATCGCCGCCCGTTTCTGCTCCTTATCAGCATCGCGCGCCACCCGTAGCAAGTTAGACGAGACGTCCTCCGTCGCGCCTCGCAATGCGTCGTTCTCCCGCGACAACGTCAACAGATCATGAGCTAAATGTTCGGCTTCCATGTTCGAGTCATCCCTACCCCGCAGCGCGGCGCTCAAACGCTCGACCTCGTCCTCGAGCCTCAATGCTTCGCCGCGCGCCGACGCGACCGCAACCTCCGCGTCGGCCCGAGCTTCCGCCGCCTGTTCCGCGGCCTCCCGCACCTCCCGCTTCAGGGCCTTCTTGATCTCAACTAACTTAGAATCGGACTCGGCCATCCTCGCCCTTGCGTTTTCCAGCTCCGCGCGATGCCTCCTGACGAAGTCGTCCTTGTCTCGCAATTCAGCAAGGCACTTCTTGAGCTGCTCCTCCGCTTGGATGCGGCCCTTGTCGCTCTTGGACAGTTCTCGCCTAGCTTCGGCTCGGACCGCCGCCACAGCTAGTGCAGCTTCTCGCCTTAGAGTGTCCGCGGATAAGGACGTGGCCTTGTGGGACTCCAGCCGCTTCACGTCCTCCCTTAGTGACTCGCAGACGGCTTGTAACGAAGAAAATTCGGCATCTCTGCTCTTCCGCGCCTGCGCCAATTCCATCAGGGCCCGGCGGTCGCCATGATCCGCCCGCATCAGGTCGTCCCGTTCCTTCTCCAGGGCCAGCACGCGCGCCTCGGCCACCTCGAGGGCCGCCTTCGTTTTCTCATTCTCGGCGTCGGCTCGAGCTGACGCGTCCAGGGCCCGGAAGCCGTCGGCGTCCGCGTCCTGGAGCTGCGCTTCCTTCCTTCTTAGTTCATCGGTCAAGCGCGCGACTTCCGCCGTCACAAGATCTAAGGAAGCCTTCTGCGCGTCGCGGTCTCTTTGAATGGCATCAAAATTCTTGGAGAGCTGATCGTTGGCTCTACATTGCCTCAGTTCACCGTTTGCTTGCACATCAACTTCCTCCTGGAGCGCAACCAACTCCAACCCCAACCGCTCGCTCTCGAGTCGTAACTGGGCCGCCTCCGCGTGCGACGACCGCTGCAATTGATCCAAGGCGTCCTCGGCTTCTCTGCACCTAGCCTCCGCCGCCTTGGCGTGGGCCTCCGCCCGTCGCGCGTTCCGGACTTCGTCGGCCGCGCGGTCGTTCGCCGCTATTGAACGCTGCCGAAAGACTTCGCAGTCGCGCCGCGCCTCGCTCAAAGCGTCCGACGTTGTTCCAGCGGCTGCCACAGCTAACAGTCTCGAAGCGTCGCCGGCGGCCCGCTCCGCCCTTAAAGCTTCGAAGCGCTTCGCATCGGCGGCCGCAACTAATGCGGAAGTAGAGGCCGCCGCCGCGCGATCGCTGTCCGACAATCGTTTCGCGAAGACGGCCTCCGAAGCAGCCAGGGCTTTGCGCGTCGCCGCGGCGCCGGCGCGCTCCGCCTCGTACTGGGCGTCGTCGCGCTCCGCGGCGGCGTCGTCGGCGCGCCGCACGGCCGTGTCGATGGTCTGCCTGAGTCGTTTCTCGGACGCGTCGCGGGCCGCGCGGTTCGCGACGCGCTCCGCTAGCGTCGCCTCCCGCATCGCATCATTGTGACTCGCTTCCGCGGCCGCGTACCGCCTCTCGTGATAGGCCGCGTCGCGCCTTCTAGATGCCTCGGCCTCCTGCCTCGCTCGCTGCAAAGCCGTCTCAAGTTCAGTAGCGTGCGTCTTGTGGGCTTCTCGTAACTTATTTTCGAACCGTTTCTGGGCGCCAGCGACCGCTGAAGCGTGCTCGATATCTCGAGCCTGCAGGGCCTTCTCATGCGCTCGACATAATTCATCGGCGTGCTCTTGATCTTTCTGGGCCCGCGAAGCACCTTTTTCGAGCTGGGCCTCCAATCGTGAGATTTGCCGGTCCCGGGCCCGCAGCTTCTCGTCAAGCTCTCGCTCCGAAATATCAATAGCCTCCTGCAACGCCTGCTTGGCCTCCTTCACTCGCTCGCTTTCCGCGCGCATGGTCTCGAAGTCGCGAGCCGACTGGTCCAACGCGTCCTCGAGCTCATTGCACCGAGACTCCCACTGCGTCGCCTTGCGCGCCGAGTCATTTCGTTGCCTCGATACGGTCGCTTCGAGCTCGGACACTTTGCGCTCGATGATCTGCGACGTTTCCTCGAAGTCTTGGGCCGACCGCTTCCACTCGGACGCGTCCCGTTGAGCCGTCGTGAGTTCCGCATCTAGTTCTTGGCAGCGCCTCTCAGCATGATCGCAGCGCTCGGCTAACGCAGCTTCCCGTTCGGAGTAGGCGCCCTCCGTGCACGCGAGGTCGCTCCGGGCCTCCTTCAGTGAAGCTCTCACTTCGAGCAGCTCGCTCTTCACAACGTCGCGCTCGCGTCGCGCCTCATCAACCGCGCCCCGAAAGGCCTGGGCGGCCTGCTGGGACATGTTCGCGGCCCTTTGTAAACGCTCGTCGCAGTCCCGCTTCAGATCATTTAGTTCTTGTTCACTCTGCGCCTTGTGCGTCCTCAGGGCTTGAGACGCCTCTTCACTCAAGCGGCGAGCCTGCGCCAGATCTTCTCCCGCACTTCGCTGGGACGCGAGCTCGTCCTTGGCCCTTCTGAGGGCTTCCGCTACTCTCTGCGCGAACACAGCCAGATCTTCGTCTGACGACGGGCGCTTCTCCGGCGACAGAGCGTTGGCGAGACTCGACTGGGCCTCGCGCTCCTGGCGCCGTTGGCGCTCCAGCGCGTCCGCGAGCGACACGTTATCAGACGCGGCGACCGCGAGCTCGTCGTGCAGCGCGCGCAGCTCCGCGGCCAACAACGGCGTCGCGAAGGTTTCGTTCGAGTCGTGGCTCTTCGGGGCCGTTTGATCCCTATCATCATATTGAGGCATGGCCGCCATCCTCGCGTGAGCCGAACCGGTGGAAGGGACAGGCATGGCCGTCTGCAGATCTTCTATTTTCGCGCACGTCGAAAACAGCGCGAGGTCCGCGGCGCCCTTCGCGTCGAGGGCCGCCCTCGGCGTGTCCTTCATAAATAACGACTTCGAGGGCTCTTTCACGGATGTGGTCTCGAACGTGGCTTTACAAGGATCAGGTCTCATTTTGAGAGCTTCGACAATTCTAGAGAAGGGCCAATCTTTCGTGGACACAGAATCGATGGCCGTCAGCACATCACCAGGGCGCAAGCGATAGCGCGACGCGTCGTGGACGCGCACGACGACGCAGCCCACTTCACAACCGTCGCCGTCCAGTTCTTCGGGTTCGAACTCGACGCCTAGCGGCCCGCTCGCGAAGTCGACGGTCTTGGCACCTTCTGGCGTCGCCTCCTCCCTCCTCGATCGCAGCGTCAAAATATGCGACGCCGCCGCCGCTAGAGCTTCCGCCTTCGAGAACGGCGTCCCGTCCACATCTTGGGGCGGCGGCGTGTCTTTTAACTTCAACATATGCGCGGCAGCAGCAGCCATGGCCTCGGCCTTGCCGAAGGGCGTCTCGGGCTCCGTGGAGATGCGTCTCGCAATGGGTTTCGTGTCAGCGGAGGACGACCGCGCGGTGCTAATCGTCGAGTTGGACCGGGGCCGCCCGCGTTTGCTGTCGGCCGAGGCGCTGCGGCGCGGGCGCGGCGTCGTCTTCTTGGTCTTGACCGGCGTCTTCCTCAAAGTCTGGGACGGCGTGTTCTTGCGGTCGCTGAGGACGATGCGGCCGCCGATGGAACTTCGCCGGCGGCCGGCGCGCTGCGGCGTCGTCTTGGCGACGGCGGGCATGATTTGTCAATTCCTAGCTGTCCCGCGTGTCGCCTGAGCTGGCGCAGGGCCGCGCAGTCGTCTTTTGCCCACCAGCGGCTTTTTCAGTTTTGTTAACCCACACGAGTTGCGCGGGGCGAAATACGGGCGCCGATAGTCCCGTGCGACAGTCTGGCGTTGTGCAGCGCCACCACTGCGCAGCTGTACGGCAGCTCGCCGGAGCAGAGCTTGTGAACGGCGGGCAGCTCAAATCGAGTACACTAGCCAAGCACACTAGCTTTCAGTCGGGGGGGAGCGGGAGGGGTACGGGGAACCCTGCGACGTAACTAGCCTCAGCCTCAGCCTCAGTCCTCCTTGCCATGTCCTCCGCCCACTAGTCCTCCTAGCACGGTAACAATATATCTCCAAGTCCTAGCACCGTAACAGAGAAGGGCAGCGAAGTCAGTCTCAGGAGCAGTCGGAGCGCCCGGACTTTTATGTTGCCCATACGCCGTCGAGCAGACGCGCAAAACGCCAGCAAGTACTAGTGATATACGAAAAGGCGGCAGGTTACACTAATGGATACGTTTTGGGCCCAGGGAGGAATTTCTACTCAGAGATGACGCCGTCGCGCGCCGCACTTGATTCGAACTCCTTCAGTAGCTCCGAGGCGTTGGGCACGTCGCAGGTCAAATCTTGCAAAGCATCGTTCAACCGCGCGAAGCCCCGTTTCGCTTGCGTCGTCGACACCACTTCCTCCAGTACTAATTTCTTCAGGAGCTCGCTCATGGCCTTCCTATCCGCGTCACCTTTCGGCAAGGCCGCCGTCACGGCCCGCTTGACGACCTCATGCCCGAAGGCCGGCGCCGCCAACTCGCGCACGCACTTCGTCGCCTCCGTTAAGTCGTGACTGGTGAGATACTCGCCCACGAGGTCGTCTACCGCGTGCTTGAGCTCTCCCACGTCGCGGCCGTCGCCCGGGCCCCAGATCCTTTCTAGTTTCGACAGGGCGTGTTCCCTGCTCAACAGGCGTCTAGCTCGCGTAACTACTTCACCGCCGAGCGCCGCGAAGACGCGATCACCGAGGTAGCGCGGAGGTAACGCTTCATCTACCACGCTTCTCACGAGGAAGTCACTCACAATCGTAGGAGCGTTCGGCGCATCAATAGACAAATCATCCACGGCCTCGAATAACCGCTCGAAGCCTCTCCCTACATCTCGCTCCGAGAGCAGTCTCGGCGTCGACGCTGATAATAATCGCGACGCCAGTTCACATTCTTTGGCGCGTCGATCCAGCGCCTTCGATATCACCTTCTTGACGATCTCGAACGAGAACTCCGGGCACTGGAGCTCCAGGAGCGACCGGACGCACTCCTCGACGTCCTCGGACGCGAACAACTCGTCGATGCACTCCGATAAGCGCCGCTTGAATTCAGCTAAAGTGTACTGGGGACCGATTAATGAACAGCCGTGCTCCTGACTGTAGGACTTGTGCGGTGCTTGTACAGGCACTTCGCCCGACACGAGGACGTAGTTGCCGTCGTCTTCGCCGCCCGACGAGTACATGGGGTCGCCCGCATCTAACGCCACGGCCGCAGGACTGGTAGTGCCGTCGTTCGTTCTATCTTTCCACTCGTACTTGTGGCCGCCCGAACCGCTTGGAGCTTTATGCCCGTGCTGCTTCGTGCCCGCGCGCAGCGTCCCGCCCTTGTGGTGGCCTCCCACCCTATCCTCTAACGGTTTAGGTACCTTCTTGTGGCCGTTGCTCGCGTTCGCAGGTTGTACTTCCGCCGCCGGCATCGTGGTCCTACGCTGCGCCGTCGCGCTGCGCTATGCGTCCTCGACGCGGTTCGTGCGCGGCGCTGTGGCTACGCGTCCTCGACGCGGTTCGTGCGCGGCGCTGCAGCTACGCGTCCTTGACGCGAATCGTGCGCGGCGTCGTCGCGAAGAATTTTGGACTTGGAGGGCTGCAAAGCTCTGGGCCTGATAACGAGCACAGGCGTCGTTGCGGGCGCGAGAAAGTGAAGGGGAGGGCTTTGCGGCGAGGTCGAGCTCCTGCTGAGGCTCGCGCAGGGCTGGAAAGTCCCGCGCTGTGGATTGCAAGGGGCTAAAGCCGTCGAGCTCTGCCTGCCTCCATGGGATTCGCGGCCCTCTGAATCATACGGGGAGTGGTCTTGGGGCATTGAGAGGATATGGGAGAGCGAGCAGGGCAGGTAAGCCTGATCGGATTCGCGCAAAACCCGAACGTGCTAGAGACTTGCACGCTAGCTGACAGCCTGCTCGGCTTTTCCCAACCAAGTGGGTCCGTAGCCGCAAGCAGAGAGTTAGAGTGGCGTTTCTGAGGCCTGCCCTACCGCAGCGATGCGGCGCCAAAAGCTCGTCGCAGTGCTGCTGCTGGTGGCCCACACTCAGCACTGCACCGCACTGCTGGCACCGCAAGCGGCACGCAAAACCGCACCGCTGCGAGCCGTACGCATCGAAGGCCTCCTCGACGAAGACGTAATCAGCAAGCGAACAAATACGCACCGCTGCCTCAAGGAGCTGCGGAAAAGGGGCGCCGTCGCCGACGCCCTCGCAACAAATGCAGTAGTAAAATCCCAATTCGGCGACCCCCTCGCGACGGGCGCCGAGGACGCCATCAAAATCAACAACGTGCTAGCCCAGGCGATCACGGAGACGGATGCTCCCGACTACAATGGCGTGAACGCCACGCAGAGCTGGCGCCTCAAGCGCGGCCCGCTGCGGCTCGAAGGACTGACGAAAGTCAGCTTCGATAATGATGGATGCGCTTCAATAATAGAGCTGGGCGTCTCGAACGTCAACGGGCTGGAAGTGGACGCGACGAGCGCGCAGGCGCGGCAGGCCCTCGTCGGTTTTTTGGGCGGCGCCTCCTCCGAGCGCTACAACGCCGTCGCGGACTTCGGCCAGCGGGCTTTGGCGACGACGCTGGGGCTCGTCTCGACCGCCTCGACGACAGATGAGGAGGACTCGAGCAGCGAGGGGCCGTGTGGAAATCAACCAGTTCCGGGGACGACGTCGCGTCGATGGCGTGGGGCGCCCGAAATTTGATTGCCACACAGGCGAAGAGGCGGCGCCGAACTCGTCGAAGCTCGGCGACGCGGCCTTCGACGCCTACGTTACAATCGACGCGACGGCGCGCGGCGCCCTGGCGTCGCTCGACTTAGCGTTGGGCCGCGACGATGCCGCCGCGGACGCGGCCGCGCGCGACGCGTGTTCGCCAAACCTCCGAGTGTACGGGTTGGCCGGCGAGGAGGTCGCGGGTTTGGATGGCGACCTCGACGCCGTTTTAAGGACGTTGCGGGCGGCTCGCGGCGCTCGTTCGACACTAGAGAGCACGAACGCCCTCGAGACGACGACGGCGTCCGTGCGGAAAGCAAAAGCCGACGTCGAGGCCCGCTGCCTCGAAGCGACGGTGGTAATCAAGGCGGTACCGTCGCCGGGCGGCGCCTTCCTCGCGGCGGCGCTCGGCTTGAGCAACGCGACGGTCATAGAGGCCGACGTGGTGTACGACCTCGATAATCTCGCGACGGCCGTGACGCTCGAAGGTTTAAGGGTGGACGGCCGGGCGCTTGAGGCGCCCGGATTCTATAAGTGGGCCGCGGCGGCGCGCGCGGCGTTGGCCCCGGCCTGTGTGGAAATCAACAAGCTACGGAGCGTCGGCGGCGTAGGGCGCCCAAAATTTGATTTCCACACAGGCCCCGGCGGCGCCTCAAATAAAACCTGCGCCGCCACCCTCGAAGAAAATCGGCGAGCCCGACGCAGTCGCTATCCTCAGAGCGGCGGACGCGCTGCACGCGCTGCCGGACATGCTCATCGTCGGCGGATTAAGTGTAGACGCGTGGCTGGACCGCGCCGGTGTCGCGGAGGGCGTCGTCGCGACGGCCGGCCCTGCGCCCTTATTCCGCGGGCGGCGCGCGCTCGGCGACTCACTAAGGGCGGCCAAGGCGCTGCTGGCGCTGGGGCCGACGGCGACGTGCGCCGTCGAGCGCGTGTCGATCGAGAGGGACCGCTCGCTTACGGTAAAGATGACGCTGGCGCGGCCGGCCCTGCCGGATATTGTGTTGGTCGTGCGGCTGACCGTGGACGGCTCCATTAATGCAGTCGACACGACGTCGGTGACCGTCGGCGGCGCGGAGCTCTCGCCGAAGGCGCTGACGGACGCGCTCGACCGCGCGCGGGCGCTGGCGACGGCGCGGCGGGACCTGGCGTCGCTCTTCTCCTCCCGGGGGGGCGGCGGGGATTAACTTGTTGGTTGTGTGTAAATCGTCGTTAGGTGCTAGGAATGTGAGGCACAGTGTTTACAAAATCACATGCTAGTGTCTTACAAGCCGCTAGCTATCACAGCCGCCCGCTTTGCATTTTAAGCACAAGGCTGCGCTACGCAGCGGCACGTCGATTAGCGATTTGAATCCGCGAAACAAGTGCCAAGACCAAATTTGCCAGCAAACGCGTCGTAAGAGCGCGCCCTGGGAGCAAATTTGCTCTTTTGAACTGAAAGACCAAGAGCTGCTGCGCGAATCGATGGAGGCCCTGGTCAACTCCCTCGACACCGCCGCGCTGTCGCGCGAGCAGCTCGAGGCCGAGGTGACCAGGCTGCGGTCCGAGAACGGCCAGCTGCGGATGGACACCGACGATCCCTTCCAGCTCCTGCGCGATTTACCAGAAGACGAACCGCGGCCGTCGCCATCGAAATTTAATAGAGGCAAGGCCAGCGCGTCCGGCGAGCGGCGCGCGAGCACCGCGCGCCGCGAGCCCCTCGGACCGCCACCGCCGCGCCGCGGCACGCTCGACATCACGAAGTTCTTCGCCCCCGACGAGGCGGCGCGCTACCGCCGGTGCGCCGACAAGGGCGCCGCCGAGGCCGCCGTGCGAGCGGCTCGAGCCGCGGAGAAGGAACGCGCGAAGCCGCCCGACGTCATCGGGGAGTGGGCGGCGCGCCACCCCAGCAGCGGTGAGATCGCCCAATTAGGTGGAGAGATGGTCGCGGCCGTTAGCCGAGGCACGACGTCATTACCCCTGGACCAGCTCGTGCAGATGGGCTTTGAGCGAGGAGCGGCGGCCGCAACTTTAGTTGCTTGTAGTAATGATGTGGCCCAGGCCGCTACTCTGTTGACTGAGGCTTCTGAAATGGCACGTATAAAAAGGGAGGAGCATCTGCGGCGCGATAAGACGTGGCGCAAGCGTGGGCAGTACGAAGCCAAACAGGCGGGCCTCGACCACAAGGGCCCGCAGCATGTCGCTGCTCTCGCATTAACACAGCCGACGATCCCTCTGGCATTGCTGGAGGCGCCGTCCGTGGACTGCGTCTGGGACTTTATTGAACAGACGAATCAGGAGTACGACCGGCTGCACGAGGCTTATGAGCGGCAGTTCTGGGGCGAGCGCATGGCTCTGTCGTCGTCAGACTACTCTCCTGAGAATGAGTCTGCTTCAAAGGAGGCCCTGGAGGCCTTCTTACGAGATTCTGATCGATTAGCGAAGTGCCATTCACTAAAAGAGGGCCTGTTCACGACGGAGAGACAGAAAAGAATACTAGACGGCTTCGTGCGCGTCTTTGATGCTTACCAGATGGACCCGGCCGCTGTGAGCATGAGAAGCGACTGCGTGCCTCTGGAACGGGCGCTCACGGAGGCCCGCAAAGCATTAATACTTTCGGTCGACGGCCCGAAGTCGGCGCCGCAACTACGGACTCTGTTAAGGACGTCTGCCGATGAGAACACGAGGGAACGGGCCTGGAAGGAACTGCGGAAGGTCGGGCCCTGTATTGCGGACGGATTGTGCGCGTTAGTAAAAAGACGCAATGCGATGGCGCGCGCGCTCGGCTTCGAAGATTTTTACGACTACAAGGTCTCAAAAACTGAAGGCTTCGGGAAAAAGAAATTGTTCGGCATGTTGGACGCGTTGAGAGACGGCACCACTACTCTCAATGATCGAGCTAGAGCGTCACTATCCGAAGATGATAGGAAGCCGTGGAACGTTTCGCGAGCAACTTCTGGAGACGAGGCGCAACTAGACGCCTACTTCCCCTTCGGCAAGGCGCTGGAGGCCTGGGGGCGTTCCTTCGCCCAGATGGGTATTCGGTATAGGGGGAGTACGATGACCCTAGATCTACTAGAAAGACAAAACAAGTACAGTAATGGCTTCTGCCACTGGCCTCGCTGTGCTTACGTGCGACGCGACCATTCGTTACGACCCTCGTCCACGAACTTCACGTCGTTGTGTGATCCTCTGCAGACCGGCTCCGGTAGAGTAGCGTTGAAGACGCGCGTGCCGGTGTGGAAATCAACCAGTGAGTCAGGTTGTCTTCGCGTCGACGGCGTCTGAGCGTCGTCGAGCCCTCCACGCCATCGACGCGACGTGTTTCCCACTTCTCGCTGAGTGAGAGCGGTCGCGTCTCGCGATCTCGGCACCGCGGCCATGTTTTCGGCTCAAACGCGGACACGACCGCCGAGCGATGCACGCAAACCCCGAGAGACCCCGAGCTGAAGCTTGAACTCACGCAGGCTCATGCACGAGGCCGGCCACGCCGCGCACTTCGCGAACGTCGCGCAGGAGTCTCCTTTATTTGCGCAGGAACGAGCACCAACATCAATAGCCTACGCCGAAACCCAAGCCATGTTCCTGGATTCTCTTGTGAGTGACGCGTCGTGGCGGTGTCGATACGCCCTCAATGCGAGTGGTGAGCGCTTACCCTTTGCGTTGCACGAGGCCGATCTACGCTCAAGGCACCCGTACCAAGTGTTTCAGCTGCGAGCGTTGCTGGCGGTACCCTACTTCGAGAAGGCGCTCTACGAGCACGCTGATTTGACGCCGGAATCCATCATAGCATTGGCCGATCAGGTCGAGCATGACATCGTCGGCGGCTTGGCCCCGCGACCGCTCCTCAGCGTGCCGCACATTCTGAGGGATGAGTCGTCGTGTTATTACCACGGTTATGTATTGGCCGAGATGGCCGTGCAGCAAACGCGAAGACACTTTGGGAGTAGTATCGTGGACAACCCGTCGGTCGGCGAAGCGCTCACGCAAGCTTATTGGAGGCCCGGCAACACGGCGGACTTTTTTGAGTTAGTAGAGAAATTGACGCATGAACCGTTATCTGGTAATGCGTGGATTAGCTCATTGAATAGGGACGTGGATGAATTAGTGGCGAGCGAGCGCCGAGCGTACGATGACGCTATCGTCACAAGAGAGGACGTCGACCTAGATATGAGGATTCGGATTGTGGACGGCGATGATGTCATAGCGGACTCGGACGAGTGCGGTTCATTTCTAGCGACGTGTCGAGTCTTCGAGGCGTACCTCGAGAAAAGGTATGGCGATGGTATGGATAGAGGTCATGTTATGAAGGAGACAATTGTACAAAGAGAGGAAGTCCCTGTGGAAGAGCCGCGCCGCAAACGAAGTGCAGCAATAGCGTGGGGCCTCGACAGGCCCGACAAGGCGTCGGTCATCATCACGAAGGTTGGGTATGACATGGTCGAGTCCTTTCATATCGAAATGACGGAAGGCGACACGCTCGAGCAAGGTGGAAGGATCAAGGGTGAGACCGTTTCAAGTGTAAAGCCGTTCCGGGCGTATAAGCGACCGAAGCCGACGGATCGGACGGAGTGGACGCGCTGGAATAATGATCAGGAACTTCTGATCGGGCGGGGCGAGGACACCCAACCGGAGGAGTGGCGCTTTAAGTTTGCCTGGCGCGGGTGCGACTTTGTGGTGGCGGGGCCGTCCTGTCTCGATCGAAGGAGGAAGAAGTTTCAAGAGGACAGTGAGAAGAAGCGGCTGAGGGCATTGCCGAAACGCATCAGAACGCTGGGCGACGCCGCTACCGACGCGTTTCTCAACGGCGATATGCAACGGGCCGCGGACTTGAGGACCGTCCGGTCTTCACTGGTCGAGGAACATGCTTCCCTGAAGGAGAAGCACCCCTCCGACAAGCTCCTCAAAAAACTGAAAGCAATAAATGCGCGCATCGACATGGTCTCGAAACCGATTGGGGGCGCCGTCAAGGGTGGGTACGGGGATCAGGCCCGTTTTTGTGGAAGATCTCTCTTACCGTTGTTCGACGAACGGGACAAGCTCGAGGGCCAGCTCGCGGAGCGCCTCGGGTTAAAAAGAAAGATCCCGGAACTTCGCGACCGAAGTGGACTCGAGGCGAAAATGGCGTCGGACGGCTGGACGACGGAGGAATCGATGAGGGAAGATAATGGGCGCGTCGACCGCTTCTACCTGTCGCCGAGCGGCGGCAAGAAGCTGCGGTCGATCCTGGAGGTCGCGCGCCACGCCTACCCGGAATTTCTCGTGGAGCCGGTCAAGAGCGACGAGGGCGGCCCGGCCCTCTGGCACGGCCGCGCGGGCCCCGTCGTGCCTTTGGCTGCGCCGGCGGTGCCCCAGGGCGGCCGCGTGCGCAAGCAGCCGCGGCTCCAGACGGGGCCGGCGCCCGCCCAACTGCGCCTCGCGACGCGCCAGGGCGGCGTCGCCCTGGGGCCGGCCACGGCCCTGCCGGCGTGGCGCGAGGCGGGCCTGCTGCGGACGGCTTCTGGGTATAACCCGCTCGTCCGCCTGCCCAAGAGCGTGCTGCCGAAGAGCCTCTTCCCTTCCGTAGAACTGCCTCCATCAAAGTGGCGGCCGGGCATGCGCGTCGTCGTTCCCGCGCGGGCCTTCGGCGAGGAGTGGGCTTTGGAAAACCCGGGCGACTACCCCGGGACGATCGTGGAGCTCGACGAGGAGTGCGCCGCGGGGCGGACGTGGCTCGTCGACTACGAGGACGGGCCGACCTCGACGGACGAGGCCTTCTTCGTCGAGGCGCCGTCGCCGATGGAGGAGGACGAGGCCTCCGAGGCGCCGGCCGCGCCGCCGGACCCCGCGTACCAGGACCTCCCGCTCTGCCGCGACGAGGGGGAGGCGCTGCTGCGCGGCGCGCTCCAGGATTTGATGGAATTGTAATGTTATGTGGAGATACTTAGCATCGCGCTCGCGGGCGCGACCACTCCCTCTCCCCAGCCGACCTCGCCGACGCCCGGCACGCAGGAGTACTGCTTCGCGACGTAGGGCGGCAGCATGTGCGTCAGGTCCGGCCGCCGCGGATTCACGTCGTAGAACGCAGACCAGCCGCACCGGTAGCGCGGCACGAAGGCGCCGCCCTCTCCGAGGAGCAGCGGCGCCGGCGCGACCGGAAACGGGGTGCACGGCGGGCACGTGTCGCGGTCGGGCGCGTCCGCGGGGCAGCAGACGGCGGCGACGGTAGTGAGCCGGTCGCGGCGCTCCCGCGGATAAGCCAGGCACGCCTGGACGTAGCGCACGCCATCTATAGTAGCATCCCAGCCGAAGTGCGTGTGGCCGAAGACGTGCACGTCCGGCTGCAGGCGCGCGACGCGCCGCTCGAGGAACGTCGAGCCCACGGCCTTCGCGAGCGCCGGCACGAACAGGTACCGCTTCTCAGGAACTAATTCAGGGCGCGGGACGAAGTGCGAGAAGGTCACGAGCGGCAGTGAGGGATGTGCCCGGCGCAGCGCGGCGATGGCGCCATCATCGTTGCGCGCGTCCAGGGCCTCCGCGACCGAGTCATCCGTTTGCGAGAGGCCTGTGCATAAATCAAAATTTCACGGCGCGTTCCACGCCATCGACGCGACGCCTGCTCGATGGCGTGGCGATGCCGGTTCCCCATTGCTCGACGGAGCCAACACGGCCGCGTCATCGCCGAGAAGTGCACCCGACACACTGGCTGATTTCCACACAGAGACAGACCCGGGAACTTGCAGAGGTAAAAGTCCGAGATAACCTGGGATGCGGGCGGCAGGCCCGCCCAGCCCGTCACCTCGGGCTCGCGGTCGAAGGCCGCGTGGTGCCAGGCGCAGAGCGGCGCGACCACACAACCGCCCATGATGGCTGGTGTGCGGCGCACGCCGAGCTCGTCGCACAGAGCGTCGACCGCTCGCAATTTGCTGAGCGAGTCGGCCCAGGGCTCGCCGCGCGTGACCCAGACGTCGTGGTTGCCCGGGACAAAACTCACGTCAGCGAAGGCGCGCTTGCACAGTTGTAACGTCTCCCTTAGAATCGAGAAGCGCGACGACACGTCGCCGGCCAAGATGAGGCCGTCCCGTCGCAAGTCCGTCCTTGAACACATACGTTTTAACCAGTCCAGGTTCTCCCCATGGTCCGTGTGCACGTCGGAGAGGGCCCAGAGCCGCGGCGGCGGCTCCGGACCGGCTTCCGGCGGCGGGGGCGGCGGCAGATCAACTGGCGCGTCGGCGAGGCACTTCGCCGACGCCCAGCCTTTCAACGGCGCCAGCACTTCCCGCCGCGCGACGCCGTCGTGGAACGCGGACTCGCCGCAAGTCAGCACCGTCCCCTTCGGCAGCTCGCCTATGACGTCGGACGCCAACGAAGGCCCCGCTCGGACCAGCGCCGCCTTGTTCTTCACGATCAGCATCACTTCCTCGGTTGGGCATCGGGCGCCTCCGGATCGCCCCCGGGAACCATCATGGCCACGTTGTTGCCATTCAACAAAATCTGGTCGAGTTTTGTTTTTTCCCGACCGCGCGCCGTCACGACGTACTCCGTCACATCATCTAAGACCATATTAACAAATTCGTCGAAGCCGCGCAACGTACCCACCACTTCCTTGTCGCCCTTCATGATGACCCAGATCCTAGAACCGATGCACTTGTCTACCAACTCGAGGGGGAGGAGGCGGCCGGCCATTTTTTTGTCGTTTGTGGCGTGTTTGGTGCGGCGCGGCTGTCGAGATGTTGTCGCTGCTGCTGGATTGGTGCGGCGCAGCGCTTGTGGAGATGCCGTGGCGTGCTGTGGGCAACGCTGTCAGTCTGTCAAAGGCACGAGTGGTGCACGTAGCGCGTCGTATTCGCTGGCGCGGCAATTTGGTCCCAGGAGGCTTTTTGCTAGTGTCTTTCAACGCTAGCCGCGCGCACGTACTCGGGTTTCCAACGCCATCGACGCGAAGGAATCCACACACAGCCACCACAAAAAAACACTTACGCGCGCGCCGCGTCCTTCCCCGCGTACCACTCGGCCTCGGCCGCGGCCTTCTTCCGGTGCCTCTTCAGTAATTGCTCCCGTCGACTTTCGACGCGCGCCGCGAGCGTCGATGAATTCAGAGGCGACGGCGAGGCGACCTTGCGCGCCTTGTCGCCCGCACCGGGCGGCGCGGTGCCGCCGTGGCACACTGTAGAAACGCGGAACGTCGACAACAGCTCCGGCGTGATGTTTAAGGGAGCGTCGATCAGCACGTCGTCGACGTGGCGGCAGGCCAAGACACTGAGGACGCGTTCCTGCAGGTTCATGAGCGGCAATCGATGACGTCTCTCTTTTACACATTCATCCCCATGGACACCCACCAACAGGTAATCGCCACATGCTCGACAGGCCTCGAGGAATTTTGAATGGCCGGGGTGGAAGAGGTCCCAGGCGCCGGCCACATACACTACTCTTTCCGTTGGACGAGGCGCCCGCAGGCCCTCGGAGAATGATGAAAGGATGCGCGCCGTGCCGAGGAAGGCCCGCGACGTGCCGTCCAATTTCAATAATCGACCAACTAAGTCGGTTGTGGACACGCCCTCCGTCCGCGGTATCGTTTTATACCTTCCCAGGTCCTTCGCGGCCTGGTAGACGTCCTTCCCGTCCACGATGCACGGGTCGTCGCCGTGCACGATGTAGTCGATACCCTTGTTCTCGAGCAGGTCTCTGACATACGCCTCGTTCATCACATAAGGGACATGAGGTACGACGTCGTCCACAAATTTACAAGCTTTGACCGCGGCGCATCTTTCTTCATCTGTGAGTAAGGGTGGCGCGCCCTTCGCCTGCTCGATGGTGCTCGACGAGTTCACGCCCACGACTAGACGCGTGCCGAGCGTGCGGCCCTGGCGGAACGCGTTCGCGTGCCCAAAATGCATCACGTCGAAGGCGCCGTCCATCCAGACGGTCGTTTCCTTTGTGGTCGAGCTTCCTAGGGCGGCGAGGGCCTGCTGCGTCTGCTCCGCGGCGTAGTCGAGCGCGTCTTGGACGAGGCTGGCCATCGCTGTCTCCTGCACTGTGGTTGCAGCGATTGACGGGTGATCGCTTTCGCAGGATTGACGGAGGCGTTTGGGAGGCCAAACTTAAACCGTTGCCGAACAGTGAGCGATAAGGGCTGTCTTTTGTCCGGCTGCTGCAAATGCTAGTGTCTTACAGGCCGCTAGGTCGTGCTCTCTCGCCTGTTTTGCCTCAAAACCACCACCCTCGCTGCCCAATTATCGTTGCGAGTAGCCTGATACGAACCTAAGACCCAGACGAGTTTACCAGAGACGCAGCGTATTGCGCCGTGTCCGCTTTTTGGCCTTCGCTCCTGGGCTGCAGTAAGGCTGAAAGCTGCCGCGGAGGGGCTGCGGGGCCGCTTTACGCCAGCGCTGCGAAGCTACGGCACCGCGATTGAAACGCATAATCGCTGCGACGCCAGCGCTGCGGCGCTCGCGCACCGCGACGCCGTCGCCGCCGCCACGAGACACCGCGCGCAGGCACCGCCCATGGGCAAGCGCAAGGCCGAGGGCGAGTCGAAGCCCAAGTCGAGCAAGAAGGAGAAGACCGACGACGACGACGAGGGAGCGCCGCCCAAGACGTACCAAGAGCGCCTCAAGGCACTGAGCCCGATCTCGTCGCCGCTCGCCGACGAGAAGCTGACCAAAAAGCTGCACAAGCTCGTGAAGAAGGCCAGTCAAGGCAAAGCTTTGAGACGGGGCGTCAAGGAGGTGGTGAAGAGCCTGCGGCAAGGCACGAAGGGCATGTGCATCCTCGCGGGCGACGTCTCGCCCGTCGACGTCATCGCCCACCTGCCCATTCTGTGCGAGGAGCAGGACGTGCCCTACATCTACGTGCCCTCGAAGCAGGATCTTGGCTATGCGGCTCTCACCAAACGGCCGACGTCGGTCGTGCTGGTCGCGCCGAAGGGCGGCGCGGCCTTCGAGCACCAGGACCTCCTCGACAAGGCGATCTCGGCGGTCGGGAGCAAGTAAGGCTCGTTTTCTTTTACTCCTTAAAAAACCCGGGTGGTAAAATGAGTCGAGTTTTCATTCATCAGCTCGGTGCTGTCCGCAGCCGTGATTATTAGCTCGTGAAAGTGCAGGAGTTTGCGATTTTATTCATTGCTCTTGCATTTGCGCAGTGCTTGACAGCACTGCTGTGCCCTGCGAGCCCTGCAGACTGCTGCACACATATGGCAGAGGACTTCCCGGACGTGTGGACCCTGGCGGGGTGGCATGGACCGCCGCCGGAGGTAAAAGACGCGCTGTGGGCGGCGTGGCCGGAGAACAGCTTCTCGCGCAAGATGCGCTGGCACGAGGCCTTCCTTTCGCAGATCCCGTTTGAAGACGAGGAGAGAGGCATCGTGGTCGAAGTGCTGTGGCCCGGCGGAGGTCTCGCGAACTGGGTGCCGCTGGCGCACATCAAACCGCGCGGCGGCCTGGGCGAGACTGCGCAAACGGCGATGGCACGTTTTGGGCCGCCGGCGCCCGAGCCTGATTGCTACGTGCGACTGCCCGGTGGACCGGACTCGCCGCCGCCGAAACGGGCGCGGGTGGACGAGGCCGCGCCCGCGCCGGCTCCGCCGCGACGGCCGCCGCGGGCCGCAGCGCCGCGATCACCGCCTCCACAGCCTGCAGCGCGACAACTACCAGTCGCCGCGCCGCGAGCACCAGCCGACGTGCCGCCGCCGCCGCGACGACCAGCCGCAGCGCCCGTGCCGCCGCGAGCACCAGCCGCTGCGCCGCGGCAACCACCGGCCGCCGCGGCGCGGCCGCCGGCCGTCGCGCCCACGGCGCCGCCTCAGCGAGCACCGCCGGTCGTGAGACCCGCGCCGCCGCGGCCGCCCGCACAGGATATCCAGGAGTTCTTCGTCGAAAGGCAGGAAGACGTCGAGCGCCTCGGCGAAGGCGCGGGTGGCGCGCTCATGCCCCACGAAATCGAGGACCTGCCCACTGTGCCGTCGGAAGGCCAGTACGACGTGTACTACCTCGGCGACGAACCCGGCCAAGCCAAGCCACTCGTCCGCTTCGCGCCCATCATACCCAATTCCGGGTTACATCGGTGCGCGGCCCGCATCGCGCGACTCACGGTCGGGCGGATGTGGCTCACGGACCCGACGCCACGGGGACACGACGGTGGCGCCTCGGAATACCGGATGGTCGGTTTCAGCCGCGTTAACCGGAAAGACGGAGTGGGCGAGGGCGTCACCTTCTACGGTCCCCTGCGAAACGCATTGGGCCGAGACGGCTCCAGCCCGAACAATCGCCACTTCCACAGAGAGATCGAGTTGCGGCTCGACAGAGCGCGCGCGGACATGGCGGCCGAGATCGAGAAGGTTTGGCCCGACGATGTCGGCGCCGAGCTCGACACAGTCTCTCAGCTCCGCGCCACGGTCGAGTACGAGGGCCAGCGCGCGCCCACGGCCATGAGCTGCACGTTCGCGCTCATAAATAAATGGCACCGCGACACGGGGGACGAAAGGGACACCGACGAGCTCGCCTGTACCACGGTCGTCACCCTCGACCTCGCGACCGTCGGCGACCTCGAGGCGCCGCCGGAGCTGCCGCGCCGCGGCAAACGGCAGGAGCGCGGCCAGGCGCCCTCCGAGTCCCAGTTCTACGCTTTTTTGCGGAAGGCCTGGAACGCGCACCTCGGCACACACGTTCTCGCGTACCCGCCGCCGCCTGCCGGAACCGTGGGAGGGCCGATGTGGAACTTCGTGGTCGGCCGCGCCGTCCGCTTGAACCTAGGCGGCACCGGCGTCGGCGCGGCGGTACGCTTCCGGGCCGCCGAGACGTGGCACTCGACGGTCCACGACGCCCCGGCCTCGCGCGCGCGGTGCCTTTGCGGCATGGGCTTCTACAACAAGGCCTCGATTGTGGGACCGCTCTGGTACCGCCTGGACACGTTGATGCGGGAGGTGATCGCTCGGGCCAGCTTGCCCGTCGACGACCTCGCCGCCTACGGTTCGAACGCCTACGAGTTTGACACGGTCGAGGACCGCTACTTGGAGGCCTTGCACGCGTTGGATAGGGAGCCGGGCACGCATCCGCGCGACGCGCTCGCGCGCCTCGATCGGGGCGGCGCGGCGCCCGAGGAGCCGGCGGAGCCCCCCGAACGCGTCTACGACGACGCCGAGGACGCCGTCGACGATATGGGGTTCGACTCGGATGGTCTCATTGAGTAAGTTTAACTTGTTGTACTTAGTTCCTTTTTTTTTCTACTGCGCGCCTCTTCCGCACCCGATCAGCCACTCATCTATCGCCGTGCATCGCAGTGCGAGCAACCATCGCCTCGCGCTCGCCTACTTGAAATGCACGAACTGCGACCCGATGATGATGATCAGCGCGAAGGCGAAGGGCGGCCCGACGACGCGCAGGGCCGTGTCCTCGGGGAGGTCGTCCGACACTTCCTGCGGCCGCTCGCCCGTGCCGTCGTAGTTCAGTCGCGTCGTGTCGAGGCGGTCAGGCGTCGACGAGAAGTCGATGGGCGAGAAGTCCGCCCGGGCGAGGGGCCGCGTCGTCGCCCGCGCGGGCGGGCCGAAGGCCTCGACGAGAGCTGCAGCTCCGAGCAGTGAAAAGAGGAGGCGCATTGCGATATGTCACGATTGTATAGCGTCACGTCTATGGCTTGCGGCGTGCAGCGCTGCTGGGCTGGAAGGCTTGCAGCAGCTCTGGTTTGCAGCAAATAACAGATCGCACAGTTGCGCAATCGATTCAGCAGCAATAAAGCTAACTTTTGTACGACAGATCTAGCCTCTGACGTGCTCCAAAGCTCAGCTTAGGTAACTGTCTCCCCGATCCTGCAATTAGCTAGCGGCATGAAGACACTAGCCTCGACACATCATCGCGAAAAAGCGGTTGCTACGCTGCTATTTTTGCAGACTCAGCACGTCATTATTTGCTTCAGGCCCCAGTGGCCCCACGCGTCGCGCGCGCCAGCTTCTCGTTGCAGCTGCAGGGCGTGAGCTTGCTATTTGCACAGCTGCAGGAGGTAGCACAGGGCAGCAGCGGCCGCAAGACGCCGTCGCGCCAAGATGTTCTTAATCACCTGGCTCCTCGGCGGCACCGTCCCGACCAAAAAGACGATCAAGACCTACGAGTACAAGAGCCCGCCCTTGTCCCTCTTCGAGCGCCTCTTCCTCGACCGGTTCTGGGCCGCGCTGCCCGGTGCGGTTTATCCGCCCTGGCTCGCACCCAACGTCATCACGCTCGCCGGCCTGGTGTGCATTATTGTCGCGATCGCGCTTGTGCTGCACCACAGCCCTGCTTTGGACGGCGCCGCGCCGACCTGGGTCTACGCCGCCGTCGGTGTGTTGATCTTCTTGTATCAAACGCTCGACGGGAGCGACGGCAAGCAGGCCCGAGCGACGGGCACCGGCTCTGCATTGGGCGAGCTTTTTGATCATGGCGTCGACTCGATCACCGTGGTCTTAATAGCGGTGTGCGTGCAGGACGCGGCGCGCGTTAGTTATACTGATGAAACGCTCTGGCTGTGCGTGGCCGCCTCCACCTGTACCTTTTACTTATCAAATTGTTCCTTAGTGGCCTTCGGGCGGCAGCAGTTTTTTGATGTCGACGTGCAAGAACTCATAGTGTGCCTCACGGTACTATGCCTGTACTGCGGGATAGTCGGAGCGACGTCAGCGCCGCGCTGGATGATCACGGGGTCTCTCTGTTGCATGGTCCTCAACTGCCTGCAACTCATCTGGAAATTGCGCGACACCGAGTATTTAGGGCGGCGCTGCAAGGCCCTCGCGGCTATAGCGGGAGGCGTGGCGATCAACGCGGCGACCATCAAACAAGTCTCGAAGGAGCCCTTCTTTGCGACAGTACCATTAGTGTGTTGCATCGCGGCGGCGGCCGGCGACCTGAGTAGGCGATTGTTGCTGCAGCGCGTCGCGGACCTGCCGGAAATTGTCGATTTCGTCACGCCGACGGGCCTGCTCCTCTGGGCCCTCGCGCTCTGGCCGGGGCGCACGCGCGTCGTCGCGGCGGCGGCGTCGTTGGCGTTCTACGGCGTCGCCGCGTCTCGAACTGTCGTCGCCACCGCGGGCGCGCTGGGCGTGAGAGCGCTTACAGTGCCTACCGTGCGGCGGTCAGCGCGTGCCAGGACGCCGCGGAAGCTCGACTAGTAGAAGTTTTATATTTAACCTTAACACAACATGACTACTTCGGCAACAGCTTGACCAAGGCGTCGAGCTTTTCGGACGCCTCCTTGAGGTTCGGCAGCGCGCGCTCGTAGTAGCGCGTCGCGACGTCCGGGCCGCCGCCGTCGCCCTTGCTGAGCACCGCCTGTGTGATGAGACGCCGTCGGCGCGACGTCCGCGCGATGGTGTGCGCGGACGCCGGGGCTTGCGAGCTTCACGAGATCCTTCGCGTCCTTGTACGTCTCGGCGTATTCAATAGCTGCGCCCATGAAGTCGTCGCCGCAATCCTTCTCGAGCTTCTGGAAGGTTATGAAGCTGACTGCTATCGGCAGCTTGCCGCTACCCTCGACGAGAACCTTGAACCGCAGCGCGTCCTCGTTCTTAAGCAATTCGGTGAGCTCGCGTGACGCCACCCTAACTTTCTCCGCCTCGGCATTCGTCGCGGCGACGGCGCGTTGAGCGCTGGTAAGACTGATCGCACCGACCGACAGCTTTTTGAGAGCGGTGCGACGGCGCGTCGGCGCCAGCGCATCGCTGAGTGCAGCACTGATGATGCAGAGTGCCAAGGAGAGCTGCATGGTGCGAATGATGGAAAAAGCTAGCGCGCGCCGGTCTCACGGTCACGTTCTCTCCTCCGCTTGACGGATGTGGTCTCTAGTGCTCCGAGTCGCGCGTTCACGGCTGCAACCAGCTGTGAGAGCTAGCGCCCAGTAAGATACTAGCAAACACGGACGGGTGGGCGACGCGCGGTGTCTCCCCCCCAGGGGCTCCGCCCACTAGTCCTAGCACCGTAACCTCGACTTCTCTCACGGGTGGGCCCGGGGGGAGCGGGAGGGGTACGGGGAACCCTGCGACGTAACTAGCCTCAGCCTCACACAGGGATCTCATTTCTTAGCCCCCGACCCGTAGACCGTCGTCGCCCGGCCGTGGTCCGGCGGCGACTTGCGCACGGGGCCCACGGCTCTTCTATTCACCGAGACCGACTCCCAGTAGGCCTTCTCGAAGACCTTGAGCATGGACACGACGACGCGGTCCTTCTTGACTCTGACTTTAGTTTTGGCGGGCACGACGTGCTCGAACAAGATAGACTCGTGGAAGCGGTACGCGGTGTTGCCCACCCGGGCGACCACTTCCAAGGCTTGCACTCTAACGGTAGCCACGACGGCGTTCTCGCCCAACAACTCCATGGCGTTCGGCAGGCCGAAATATAAAACCACTCGTTTGCCCTCGTCGCTCAGCGCGAAGGACGGAAACGGCGCGGTCTCGACGTGCTCTTCCCGCTTTGCGGAAGCGAGCTTCTCCGGCTCGGCGGCATCAGCGGCCGGTGGCGCCTGGTCGCCGGCGGCCTTGGGGTGCCACCAGCCCTCGGGTTTGATGGCCTCCTCGCCGGCGACGACCTCGGTCGACGGCCGGCCCTGCGTCGGCGGTAATGCATCCGGTGCCGGCGCGGGGGCCATTGCTTTGTCTAGATCATCAAGATTGTCCAGTCCCAGACTCTTGGCCATCTCGCCGATGCCGCCCGGGAGCGCGCCGCCGAAGCCAGCCATGGTGTGTGCCTTTGAGTAATCACTGGAGCGCGTCGCTCCAAATCTGCTGGCACGTGGCGAAGCAGCGTACGGCTCTAGTAGCAACTTAGATCGCTTCGTTGCTCCTTGCGGAACTCTATGTGCCTGTTTTCGATTCGAGCTCGACACGCCGAGCTAGCGTCCTTTAAACACACTAGCAAACAGGCCGGCCGCAGCCGTACGCCCGCGCTGGACGTCTGTTCGCGAGCAACGGCCGCATACGTCGTCGTACCAACTCCAGCTCTCAGCCGCACACGCCTCGCCGCCAGCGGCTGCCAGGTACATAACCAGGCAGGGCTCTCTCAGCTCCCCTGAGACGCCATCGACGCAGCGAGACGCCATCGACGCCACACTACTAGAGACGCCACCGATCAAAATGGCCGACCGCGGCGCGCAATCAACGCCCTTCACCACCCAACTCACCGACTTCGACGATGCCCTCATAAAAAGAGGCATCTGCAGCCGCGAGCAGTGCCTGCTGGCCAAGGGCATGTCCGAGGACCAGGTGCTGGATACACTCGTAGCTGAAGAAGTAGAACTCCAAACTAGAGCAGCGGAGGACACGTTGCGAGCGAGCTTGCTAGATCGAGAGCTGAATCCGGAGAGAGTGCGAGAGGAGATCGCCGCAAATGCCACCGCGCAGCAATTAGACGAGCTCGAGGAGGACGACGACTTCTGCGACGACGCGTTTCTGGCGAAGTACCGGGAACAGCGCATTTCCGAACTTAAGGTAAAACAAAAAGCAAAAGTGCACGGTGAAGTCGTAGAAATAGCACGGGACCAGTGGACGCGGGAGATCAATGCTGCTTCCAATTTATCTTGGGTCTTCGTGCACCTTTACGAGGACCACGTTAGGGACTGCGTCGTGTTAAATCGGGTCTTGGCGGAAATTGCGAAGAGGCACGCCCAAGTCAAGTTCGTTAAAATAAGGGCGAAGACGGCGGTGCCCGACTGGCCCGACGGCAACCTGCCGGCCGCGTATCTCTATAAAGATGGCGAGATGCGCACGCAGCTCGTGGGCTCGCGGGAAATTGCAACGGGGCCGCCGCCGTTCACGGCGTTATCTGTTGAGCGGAAGCTTGTTGAATTGGGCGTGCTTGCCGCGGCGGACGTCGAGGAGGATGGGTCTGAAGACGAGGAGCGCGAGGCGAGCCATAGGCGGTCCGCGTATTCGCGGGACGACGGGGCGACGTGGGACGCGTCTTCTTAGATTGGTTGTGTAATTGTTCGGTTTGTTGACTTTCTGTTTTAGGACCAGTCGGTGGCGCGTCGCCGGTTCCATCGGTGGCGGGCGCGGGCTACTTGTAAACGTCGCGTCGATGGCGTAAAGTGGACCGCATTCTGTTACGGCGCTAGGGACTAGTGGGCGGCGCCCCCCTGGGGGTGAGACACTGCGCGTCGCCGATTCATCGGCGGCGGCCGCGTGTCGCGTTTTTCATAACAGCATACCTCCTTCCAAGCCGACCCGCCTCGGCACCCCCCCCCCCCCTGAACAATGCGCAACGTTCGCCCGTTCAAGCGACTTCGCAGACTACCAAACCGAGCTAGCGTATCATACATACTAGGTGGCCCAGCCAGCGAGGCGGCCAAGCGACGGCCATACGCTAGTCTAGGCCAGCGCGACTGCACACAGACGTGTCCAGCGCCACACAGCAGCGGACGAATCTCAAAGTTCGGCCAGGTTCCCCGCTCGCTGTCGCCTTTGAGCTTCATCGCTGGAGGAGCCAAGCAGCGCCATACGCCGCCGCAGCGGCCGACAAACAAAGGAAAGATGCGCCCCATCCTCCTCAAGGGCCACGAGCGCTCCATCACCTGCGTCGTCTACAACCGGGACGGCGACCTGATTTTTACCGCCGCAAAAGACGGGAGGCCCACGTTATGGCTTAGTGAAGACGGGACGCGCGTCGGCACGTACGAAGTGCACAATGGTGCGGTGTGGCACTTGGATGTGTCCTGGGACTCGAAGTTACTCGTGTCTGGATCGGCGGACATGCACGCGAAGGTCTGGGACGTGGAAACGGGTTCGGAATTAACGACTTTCGAACACACGGGAAGTGTCCGAAATTGTACGTTTGATGAAAGCGGCCGACGTATTCTCGTGCACTGCGACGCCTTCGGTGGCTTAGATCAAAATAGGCCTCCCTTGGTGAGCATCTACGAGAACGAGCCCATGTGGGGCGATGTCACATCGTGGAGAAGGGCCGCGCAGTTCCAACTACCGCACCCGGAGGCCGGCGAGGTCAAGTGTCAATTGGTGAGATGGTTACCCTTGGGGAAACAGATCCTTTGTGCTTTTGAAGATGGTATGATGAAAATTATGGACTCGATGTCCTTTTCTACCGTCAAAGAAATCCAGGCCCACGACAACAAGATCCAGTGCTTGTCGTACAACCTGCACCAGACCTTTTTGCTGTCGGCTTCCACAGATCACACGTGCAAGATGTGGGACCTGGAAACGTGGGATTGCGTGAAGACGTATAGATCTGATAGACCTCTGAACGCTTGCGTCTTCTCTCCCACCAAGGAACATGTATTATTGGGTGGCGGCCAGGACGCCATGTCCGTGACCACCACAGCAGGCAGACAAGGGCGCTTCGAAACGCAGTTTTATCACCTCGCCTACGAGGAGGAGTTCGGCCGCGTCAAGGGCCACTTCGGGCCGATCAACGCGTTGGCCATCTCGCCGCTGGGCAAGTCCTACTGCTCGGGCGCGGAGGACGGCTATATTAGGTTGCACCACTTCGACGCGGACTACCTCGACATGAAGGACCCCGTGCCCGAGGACGAGCCGGCCGCGGAGTAAGTGCGCGGTTCAGATTCTCTGCTACGGTGACATATCCCGTCGACGGGGTATGTTACGCTAGGACTCGTGGGCGGAGCCCGGCGCGCGACGGGACCCCGGACGACCCTGCCGCCCGCGAGGGCTCCTAGCTGTCGGAGAGCCCCTCTATGGCCCGGTCGAGAGCTGCGCGCGGCCCGCGCGATCCCCGCACGCAGCAGCGCTCTCGCCGCGCCTCAAGATTTTGGGCAGCCATTGCGTTGCCGCGGTGGGTACGATGGAGCGCGAATGGCTGCCCGAGGAAGGCGAAGTGGCCCTGGAGGCAGAACAGGGAGCGCCAGCGGCGGAGAGCCCCGGCGTGACCCGGCGACGCCAGGAAATGCAGGCTTTTGCCGCACGAAGGGAGGCGCCGCCGCCGCCGCCGGCTCAGGAGCAGACGGTGGAGGTCCACGCGCCGCAGGGTCCGCTCGGCATCGTGTTCGAGCGCAGCAGCACCGTGCTCTCCCGAGTTAAGGACTCGTCGCCGTTGCTCAACAAAGTGCAGGTCGGCTGGACGCTCGTTAGCGTCGACGGCCAGGACGTGAGCCGCATGGACGGCTGGGCGGTCACAAAAGAAATCAGTGCGCGCATGCACGACCCGGACGGGCGGCGGTTAAAATTCAAGACGGTTGACGGCAAAGCGCTGCCCGCGGAGGCCGCCGGCGAGGCGCTGCCCGCGGCCGAGCCCGCGGCGCCCTCGAAGAGCCCGCGCCTGGGCTTCTGGGCCGCGGGCATGGCGGCCTCGGCCGGCGCGCGCGCGCGGACATCGATTGAAGAACAGCCAGTCGACGGCGAGGTCGTGACGAGCCCCATCTCGTCCGAGAACGCCGTCGTCGTCGACGCGGAGGCGCTGGAACCCGGAGAAACGGCGCAGATGGTCAACGTCGATGCACCGCCGGGCCCGCTAGGTCTTGATTTCCAGCGCGGCAGCACTGTGCTCTCCGAAGTTGAGGACTCATCGCCGTTGCTCAACAAAGTGCAGGTGGGCTGGACCCTCGTCAAAGTAGATAGTGAAGATGTGTCTCACATGAACGGCTCGCAAGTCGCGACACGGCTGAAGATGCGCTCGCGCAACCCGCGTCGCCACCTCGAATTCAAGCCTGCGTCGTCCAATATAATCGTCGACGCGGAGCCCGCGTCGCCGGCGCCGGACCCCGCGTCGCCGGCGCCGGACCTCACTGAGGAGCAGCGCGCCGCGCTGGCCGCGTTCGCCGAGATGGACACTGATGGCGACGGCGAGCTCTCAGCGGACGAGATCCACCAGGCGCTCTCCAAGAAGAACGACGTAAGCCTCGCGCGCGTGAAGGAACTCGTCGCCAAGGCCGACACCGACGGCAGCGGCCTGGTGAGCAGAAAAGAGTACGTCGACGCCATCGCCGCGGACCTCGTGCCGGAAGGTTGGCTCGGATTCTTGGGCCGGCGCCTGACGCAGCTCACGGAGCGGGCGGAGCCGGCGGGCCTCGTCACCATCGACGCGCCGCCGGGCTCCCTGGGGCTCGTCTTTGAACGCGAGAGCACGGTCATTAAAAAGGTGCTGGAGTCTTCGCCTCTACTTAACAAAGTGCAGGTGGGGTGGACGCTCGTGAGCCTGAACGCCTTCGACGTGGTCGACCTCGACGGCTGGGCCGTCACGAAGGTCCTGCAGTCGCGAGCGGACAACCCGCAGAGGAAACTAATATTCCGCCAGGAGCAGCCGCGCCGCGCATCATCCGACCAGGAGCAGCCCGGCCTGCTCGGCCGCGCCGCCGCTGCATTGCAGGCGCTGTCGCCGCGCGGCCGGTCCGAAGCCGTTAAAACGGCCGGTGAGTGGCGCGACGAGTTTGATACAGAGATTGAGCTGCCGCGGCCGTTGCGGGAGAACGATCACCTGCGGATCTCGGGATCTGGCGGCGTCGCCACGCTGAACTTGCTCGTGGGCAAGCTGGGCGACAAGCCCGTCGGCCCGCCGTTCTCTCAAGGCGAGAGAATCGAGGCCGACTGGCAGGGCCGTAATTGGTACTACCCGGGCAGGATCGCGAGTGTGAACACCGACGAGACTTATAATATTAAGTACGATGATGGCGACAGCGAGAGTAACGTACCCTCCCGCCGCATTCGGCCGCACCCGAAGAATCGCGACATAGTACTTCACTTCAACCCGCGGCATCCGGAGGGTTGCGTCGTGCGCGACAGCCGTGTGCAGGGCCGCTGGAAACATCAGGAGCGCGACGGCGGCTATCCGTTTCCGCACTCTGAGACTTGGAGCTACGAGATCTGGGTGAAGGATAGATCCGTGACGATGAGTGTCAACGGCCGCCTGTTTGGCACCTTCGACTTTCGTGACGGGCGCTCGGCAGGCGACATCCTCTATGCGTCCGTGGATAAAAAGCATGGTTGCCAAGACGGCGAGACGCGTGCGTTTGTGCTCAAATTTGTCGAAGACGAGCCGGTGCCTCAAATGCCACCGGCTCGTGTTGAGACGACCATCAGCATCGACGACCGACGCAATATGGGGTTAACCCTCGGTAACGTGTGTACAGGAGGAGAACCACGCACCTTCGACGAGAGAGCCGCGGTGCGTGCGCTGCAACCTGCTTGGCCCGAGAAGCGCGCGAGAGAGTTCGCCAGTGACATCAGCGACCTTGTGGAGAGCTATGAGTCGGAGGCTAGTGCGGGACCGTGGATTATGCTCGCCACGCTCGTTCTTTGGGCCATCATTGTTATCGTGATGGTGACCACATTGTCCCTTCTCTGAGTGTCGTCACTCACCACCCTTCCCCCCGCAATAAAAACTACTCGCTACGAGCACTAGTCCTTAGTGCCCCGAGTCAGTCGTCGAACTCGCTCGCGGCAGCTGATTCCGCAGCCTTCGCCGCGGCCCGTTCCGCCTTCATGTCCTCGAACTGCTTCCGCGACTCGAGCATGCGCTCGCGGAACTTGTCCTTGTCGTTGATGATCTCGTCGAAGCCCGGCATGGACTTCATCATGTTCATGGCCATGGGGTTGTTGAGCAACGCCTGGCGCGACTGCTCGATCTTTTCCGGGTCCCCCAGAAACTCGTTCATCATCGGCGAGTCCAGCAGCTGCTCCATGGCCGCCTCGTACTCGGCCGGGTCCGTCGGCATGCCGGGCATCCCGCCGAGGCCGCCCATCATGTCGCCCATGCCGCCCATCGCCGGCGGCGCGGCCGCGGCGTCGTCGCCGCCGAACAACGAATCGTCGTCGTCCTCGGCGCCGCCGCGGTAGCGCAGGGCTTTGATTTGTGTTGGTGTGTGTATTGCCGCGGCGGCGCCGGCGAGCAGTGCTATCAGCGCGAGCTTCATGGTTTAGCTATTGACGCAGCGGCTGGCGTACGCTTGCCTGTTGCAGGTTGCAGCCTTTGCAGCTACCGCGGGGTCTGGGGGTGCGCTAAAGAGTAGAGCGCTTGTGGTGTGGTCGCGCACTGTGCTAGGGCTCAACGCAGTCGCTGGTAGCTGGTTGCTAATCGAGTATAGAGATGACAAGTGGAGGCTCTCTGCAGCAGCATAATCACCCTAGCGGCCTGTAAAGACACTAGCAAGCAACATTCGGGTGCTCAAAGCCGGCGCACAACCATTGTAGCCCTCGCCGACCCTTCGGAGCCTTCATGAGGAGTCCGGCATCAATACACGCAATCCTGCCATTTTCGGGTCGACCCTAGTTTCGGCTGGTGGTGCCCACAATACATTCGTGCCAATTAGCAGCGAGTGCCATCCGCGTTCACCACGACACGGACACCCGCCTCTAACTCCCGAAGGGCCAGAGCGCGGCCGTCGCACGCAGCGCAACCAATGCTCTTACAATAATTGCCAAGACAGTGACCCAATGGTTGCAGCACGCACAACAACAACCACCACGGGCACGCGCGGCCGTCGCCCGCACAAGGCCCGCACCTTCCTCACCTACAGCGTCCCGGGCGGCGCGTCCCGGGCCGCCGAAAGCATCTCGCTGCGGGCGCTCCGCGTCGCCGCACCGCGGACCCTGACAAGCCCAGCCGTCGACGCCGTCGCGCACACGCCCGAGCTCGTCGCCCAAGTCTTCGCGGTCCTCCGCCACGACGAGGTCCAGCAGGCCAAGCGCGCGACGCGCTGTTGGTTTGAGGTCTCGCGCACCGTACAGACGGCGGCGCGGCTCCTCGTCGCGTCGCCGTCGCGCGTGCGCCTCGAGGCGAGCGACGGGGCCACGACATCGCATGGGATGGCGCGCCGGCCGGCGCACCGCCGCTCCCGGTCCGCGCCGCCGCAGCCGCGCAAAACGATTGACCCGCGGCACTGGTGCTCGTCGATGGCGCGCGCGCGGCGTCCCCAGCATTTTCCTCGCGTCGATGATAGACCCTATCGTCGCGCCGCCCACCAAGGAGACCCGCCGCAGGCCCTCGGCGACTGGGACGCCGCGACGAAGTCGCGCGCCCTCTACGTCGCGAACTGGGAGGGCGACGCCATCCTCGAGTACGGCGTCGGCCTCGACGACTCCGTGGCCTTCCGCGGCGTCTTCGCTTCGGATCCAAGACTGCGCCACCCGGAAGGCATGGTCTTCTGGAAGGGCGCGCTGCGCGTCTGCGCGTCCTACCACTCGACGATCGTCGCGCTCGGGCCCGACGGCCGCGTCGACGACAAGCGCGCCGTCCGCCTCCGCAGCACGGACTGGTGCTGGGGCCTGGCCGTGGACCCCGCTTCCGATCGCTTACTCGTGTCGTCGTCGCCGCCCTACGACTTCCAGGCGGACCTGCCCGGCGAGAACCCGCACGTCAACAAAAGGGGCGCCGTCTTGGAAATTGACGAGGTCCGCGAGGCGTCCAAGTACCGCCACGCCGTGCGCGTCCGCTGCCCCGGGCTCACGCGGCCGGGCGGTTTAGCGGTGGCTCCCCCAAAGCACCCGAAGGCCGGCCAGGTCTTCGTCACGGAGTACGGGAGCGAGGGCCGGTCGGGCCGCGTCCTCGCCTTGTCTGGGGGCGGCTCGTCCGTGTACCTCGACTTCACGGACCTGCCCTGCCACGCGGGCACGCCGCAAGATTTGGTGAACCCCTGGACGCTCGCCTTCGGGCCCGCCGGCGATTCTTTGTATGTTGCGACGGATCCCAACCACCGCACGGTGCACCGCTTCGACGCCGCGGGCAAGTTGGTCAGGGCGGAGCGCTGCGCCGACGAGGCGCCGAACTACCTGCTGTGCGTCTAGACCCGACGCTACTAACCATCGTTCGATAAATAATAGTGCCTTACCACCCGGACCCCCAAAACCTACCCGGCCTTGATCAGCTTCACGATGCCCCGGACCTTGCCCGCCACGCCGTCGCCGTAGAACAACTCGACCAGCCCCATGGCGAAGTCCTGGCCCTTGCCTTTTGAGGGGTAGTGCAGCGGCGGCGGGATCGACGTCCGCGCGAAACCCAATTTATCTTCGCAGCACGACCGTGCTAAGCAGAGCCCGCGCAGGCCCTCCGGGCCCGCAAATTTATCAAATCCCGACTCGCCGACGCCGCCGAACGGTAGCGATTGCGACAAATAAGTCGTGCCCTCCAAATCGTTCACCGAGGACATACCCGCCTTGAGGCGCGACGCGACGGCCTTGGCCCGAGCGGTAGAAGCCGCGAAAGCGCACGACGACAACCCAAACGAACAGGCGTTGGCTTTCGCAATGGCATCCTCGTCCGACGACGTGGGAGCGAAGACGCACATGATGGGCCCGAAGATCTCCTCCTGCGCGATGCGCGCTGTCGTCGGCACATCTACTAACACGGTGGGCGGGAAGAACGACGTCCCCACTAACTCCTGAGGCGGGATCTTGCCCTGCGATAAGATTCTCGCGCCCTTGCTCACCGCATCATCAACTAAACCCTGCAATCGGTCTCTGGACAGCGACCCCATCGTCACCGCGCCGCAATCCACTTTGACATCCTCATTCGACGCACCCACGACCAATTGATCGGCTAACGGCTTGATCCTCGATAAAAACCCCTCGTAGACCGTCGACCCCACGAAGAACCGCTCGGGACCGGCGCAATTTTGGCCCATGCTCTGGAAGACGCCTCTCAGAGCAATCTGCGAGATCCGATCCAAGTCGGACGCAGAGCAGTCGTCGCAGACGACGAAGGGGTCCTTGCCGCCCAACTCCAAGACTACCGGCGTTAGCGTTTTCGACGCCGTCTCCATGACTATCTTTCCTACTTCCGGAGAACCCACAAAGATGCACTTGTCAATTCCACCACTGACGAGAGCGGCACCGGCGGCGCCGTAGCCGTGGACCTGTGTGGAAATCAACCAGTGAGTCACGTGGACTTCGCGAACCTCCACGCCATCGAGCCGACGCGGTCACGGCGACAACGTCGCGTCGATGGCCTGGAAACTCCACGCCATCGAGCAGACGCAGCTACGGAGACAGCGTGGGCCGCCCGAAATTTGATTTCCACACCGCTCTGAACGATCTGCACAAGATCCTCGGGCGCGCCCACGGCCTTCAGGCATTCTCTGAGAGCCGCGCCGAAGTACCCAGCAGCGGACCAGGACGCGTAGGGCGACACTTTCACCACAATCCCGTTCCCCGCCATCAGCGCCGCACTCACGGGATTGAAGACGTTGTGGAACGGGTAGTTCCAGGGCACGATCGCGCCGATGACGCCGAGCGGCCGGTACTCGACCCAGACGTTCTTCGTGAACCACACGAGACTTCCCGTGGCCCGCTTCTCATTCCGTAGTACAGATTCGCCGTTCGCCGCGAGCCATTTCAGTTTTTCGCAGGTCACGAGCACTTCCCCGAAAATTGCATCAGTGACGGTCTTGCCACTGTCCCTCACGGCCACCTTCGCGATCGTAGCTTGATTTTCTACTACAAATCTAAGCATGGTCTTCATGAGTTGTCTCCTTTGTGAGAAAGAAGATTTAGCCCAGACCTCCTGCGCGGCGCGGCATTTTTTAATTTTGAGCTCGACGGTGTCCTTCGTGTCGGCTCGGACTTCGCCCAGGTAGGTGAGCGTACTCGGGTCCCAACACTTTACCACGGAGAAATCCGGCTTCGCCTTCTCGTGCTTCAATAAGTCAAATTTCGTCTCGGGCGCCGGCGGCTCGGCGAGCTCCTCGCTCACTACGACCTGCTTGCCGCCGATTGGTAGTAGGATGCTGGAGAACTGGAGGGCGTAGTAGGTGGCCACGGCCGCGGCGGCGTAGTAGAGGAGCTGCCCGATATCCACGGTGATCTCGTGGGAGTACATCTTTGCAGCCGTGGAGTTGTTCTGGTGGCGGTGCAGCGCGGAGCGGTGAGCTATAACAAGGATTGATCCTTCGCTGTACTGTTACCTGTCACACGCGCCGCGAATAGCCGCTCGCGAGCGCAATCCACCGGGGTGCTAGTGTGTTACAGCCCGCTAGCTCGATTTTACGGCAGGTCCGGCGCGTCGGCCTAGGCGGGACATTGCGCTGCGCTTTAGCTGCACGTGACCAGCGCTGCAGCCTTGTTGCACTGGTCGCAACGAGTAGTGGCTCAACGCCGGCTTGTGCCCTAGCTCAGGTAGAGGTGTGCCGGGTCCTGCGGCAGCCGTCGTCGTTGTGGCCACCACTGCACGCTATACATCACTCGTGATGGAGGCCCGCGCCGCGCAGTGGTTGGATGACCCGCCTTACGATACAGCCTTGATTTCCGCGGTGCCGATCGAGCGCTGCCACGTAATGGCAGAAATCTTCGCTGCGTGTAAGGACGGCAACGTCTTCGCGGTGCGGGATTGGCTCGAGGAGGCGTACGACCGAGACATGGGACTCACGATGGCCTTGTCGTTGAACCCGCTACATCGTGTTGACCCCGACCCATTCACAACCACGCCTCTGCACGTCGCGTGTTACCAGGGTCACGTGGACGTCGTCCGATTGCTCCTCAGCCGCCTTGTCGCCGACGACCCTCATCTAGACCGAGTGGGCGGCCTCGCGATCAAGGGTTCCACGCTGCTCCATGCCGCTTGCACACGGAACGGTCCTGAACGCACTGACGGCAAAATTGCGGTGGTGAGGCTGCTGATGGAGTTTCTTGGTCACGTCGCGACGGGCACGGGTTGGGTAGAACTTCTCCCACTCTCGGCGACACCCGACCGCGCCAAGGAGGCTGCCGAGTTTCGGGGCGCGGGCGAGCCGCAGACACCGCTGGAGATCGCGTGCGCGAGTGGCTACGCCGAGATTGTGCGAGCTCTCATCGCAGGCGGCGCCGACGCCGACGCGGTGAATAATGAGTGCATGGGCGTGACACCGCTGATGCTGGCGTGCCGGTCGGACGAGCGGGGCGCGCTCGCGGTAGTCAAGCTCCTCCTCGAACTTGGCGCCGATCTTACCCGGACGGGGGGAGTCGATGGCAACACGCCCTTGCACTTTGCATGCCGTTCCCTGAGAGCGTCGAGTTGCGAACGCTCCGAGGTCGCACGCTTACTATTGGCGCGGGGCGCTGCGTTTGACCTGGAAAACACGAAGGGCAATACTGCGTTAAGCTATGGGTCAAGGAGACTCTTCGACGACGAGATGCGCCTCGCGCTCTGGCGCCGCCTCAAGCTCTACGCCTTCGGGAGACCCTCCAAGTATACGCAGTCGGCGTTGCACCGCGTCGCGGGCCTGCCCGAGCTCTCGCACCACATTGGTTCGTTCTTGGTTCTCCGCTCCGTGGATCTCATGCTTTCGAACCGCGAGCGTGCCGCCGTCCTCCGCGCCATCGCCGAGATCGACGGCAAGGCCACGCAGAAGACGATCCGCCGGAATGCCGAGGCAATCCTTGGCATGACCAGCGGCGGCCTCGACGCCAAAAAGGTGGGGGTCAGGCACATCTGCTTCAAGGAGGTCTGGAAGTTGGGGCTAGAGGGCGTTGGCCCTGCTGCGTAATGTCTAGTGAATTGTTACCTCTTACGCTTCCGTGCCAACAAGTCACCCGGCGCCCTGAACTGGCGGAACGTCCACGAGATCCGGCGCCCCGGTTCTCCTTCATCTTTCTTGCGGCGCTTCGGGACCCCATGCACGTGTGTCTGCTGGCAGCTGCCGCCCATAATCAGCAGATCGCCGTCGCCCAAATACAACTCGAGCGGCACCGAGTCCGCGGCGTCCGCTTCGAGGGACGCGGGCACCTTCTTCCGCGGCTTGAGCGTGAAGCGCCGTGAAGCGCCCCACGACACGGACGCGACGGGCGCGCTCGGAACCAGCGCGCGCTCGTCGTCTCTATGATCTCCGAGCCAGTGGTCGGGCTCGTACCAGTTCTGGAGGCAACTGTTCAGGTCGGACCCGGACCCGAGGGCTTCGTTACATTCAGAGAGCAGTTCGCCGCACGCCGTCGTCGATTCAATAGGCGTCGCCTGGGCGACCTGCCCTGCATACGCGTAGGACACGTCGCCGAAGGCCCGCGAGTAGCGGTTCTCGTAGCAGCGGCGGTTAAACACGACGACTTCCCGCCTCTCGGCCGGATGCAATTCCCACTCCGCGTCGAAGCGCGCCGGCGTCGACGGCCGCCAGCGGGATACATGCAGCGCCCACGACGCGGCCGAGAGTGTGTGCAGCGTGCCGCCCAGCCTCGCGTGGAGCTCCGTCGCCTTCATCATGTGAATTTCTCGAACAAGATGGCCAGCACGATGGCCGCGGCGAAGAACCCGCTCTTTTCGACGATGGCTTTCCCCACGACCGGATCGATGCCGCGCCGCTCGTCGGAGTCAGGCTGGGCGTCGAGTCGCGGCGTCCGCACACGCGGCGGCAGCGTGAATGCAGTGGCAGCGGCCGCAGCGATGGCGAGCAGCCCGTAGCACCGTCGCATTGAGTCGCGATGCACGCACAGTCCAGGCTCGAGCACTCAAGTAGCGTATGTCTGATGCCAGGACCGAGCTGTGTGTGCGGTGCGAAAAAGGACTTGATAATAGAGAACCCGAACTCACCCTAGGGGGTCCGCCTCGGTTGAAGCGTCTGCGGTGCTGCCTGTCTGCTGGCTAGCGGCTGTAAGACACTAGCAAACCACAAACCCGTGATTAAGGCATATGGTTCGTCTATTAGCTATGGGACATGCTGCCCGAGGGCTGGGAACGGGCGACTTTTCAGGGCGAGCTGGATACAGGCTTGTTGTTACCCAAGCTGTGCTGGGAGTGGGAGCGTTGTTGTCGTCCGAGCGTTCAGCAAGCTGCCCCGTGGTCCCTGTGGTCTGTCCTCGGGCGCTGGTGGGCGGGCAGCCCCATGGCCCACGGCCCCTGGGGATCATTGTCTCTGGTGTTTGCTGCTCTTAGTGTTTGCGGCGCCCTGGGTGGATCCTGCCTCTTCGACTTCGAAGACACCGCCATCGACAGCTGCCCCAGCGGGTGGACCTGCACGGGCGACGCGCGCGTCGTCTCCCGATACACGTGCGTGTCCGGTTGCGGGACGCCGCTGCCCAACGCCCAGGGCGAGCAGTACTTTTCGATTGGCGGGGACGGCGACACGGGCACGGCGCAGTCGCCGACGTTCGAACTCCCGTCCGACGCCCAAAGCCTTGAATTCCTGCGGTGCGGCGGCGCGGATTCCCCCTCCGGCGTTTCGGTTCACCGCGAGAGCGGCAGCGTGGTCTGCTCAAGCAGTCGCGGCGACGACACGGATTCGTTCTTCTGGGATTCCTGCGACGTCTCCAGCGCCGACGGCGAGAGAGTCTACGTGCGGATCGTCGACACTCAATCTTCCTCTTGGGGAAAGGTCTTCGTGGACAACATTCGCCTCGACGGCGGCGGCGATGGGTGCGATGATAGCGGCGATTCTTCGGGTTCAAACTGCGACCGTAGCCTATGCTCGAGCGTCGCCGACGACTGCTGCGCGCCGCTGAGCATTGGCGAGGCGGCGACGTGCCGGAACGGCTACGTGGCGCAGCGGACCGGAAACGGGTGCTTTGGGTACGGCGAGGGCGATTACACGTGCTGCTCGACGTCCGCTAGTGATTCAAACTGCGCAGCGGCGAGCACCGGCGCTTGCCTCGAGGGCGGCGGTGTCGACAACGACTGCTGCGCTACTTGCGGCAACGGGGGCTGCGCGTCTGGTTATACCTATGCTGGTCAAGTTGTCATCGACAGCGGGACGCTCTCTTCGACGTACCCTGACTTCTACCCTCATTGTGGCACGATGTACTGCGGCAACACGTGCTGCGTGCCGTCGAGTGGTGGTTCGGAGCCAGACGAGGGCGAGGCCGCGCCCTGCAATGGAGGCCACGATGACGCGGAGCGGATACTAAGCTGTATCAAACAATTCTCCGCCTCGGAGTGGCTCGGCTGCACCTCAGATGGGAGATACGAGTGCCACTGCAGCAATGACGATGGGGTCAACTACTGCTGCGGTAGCCAGAACCAAGCTGAGGCCATCGCGATATGGGAACAATGCCTCGGGGAAGGTGGCTCCTCTACTACTGGATTTACGATCACAAGCTCAAACGTGCATTGGGACGAATGTCCCGGCGAGTGTGCCGCCATTGGGGGCACATTCGCTTGCATCAGCGACGAGTCGCAGAATGGGCAAGCCTTGGCGGCGTTCGGGGGCAGTTGTCCCGACGGAGCGGACGACTGCGGGGCATGGATCGCGGTGAACGATAAGGCGTCGGAGGGCAACTGGATCTGCACGGCCGACGGCAGCACACAAACCTATCAACCTTGGTCTGCCATTGGTAGTGAACCCAACGGCGGCTCCGGCGAGAATTGCGCGAATATGTGGGGCCCAAACTCGGGAAGAAACGACGGGGCGTGGAACGACTACGGCTGTACCGATGCTCGCATGCCATGCATATGTAGGGGCGGGGGCGATGACGAGGACTACTCCTTAACGTACTACGATGACGGGTCGCGCCAGACGTACGAGTGGATGAAGAGCAGCTGCGCAACAAAGGGCAAGCGCCTGTGCACGTACGGCGAGATTTGCCCCAATGGAGGCCCGCACCAGGCCCCGTACGGCGGACAGCAAGCAAGCACTGATATGTGGGCGCCAATAACTCCCGATGCGGGCGAGGGCGGCAGCAGGAACCAGGATTGGGTTCAGATCGGGACGCGTGACGGTGGTATGTGCAACAAACACAGCTCGTTTTACGGTGGCGTGCATCCTGACGAGTGCTGCTGTGGAGACTGGTGCAATACGAACGTGCAACAGGTGGCTAAGCGCATATATGCGTGCTGTGACGGGGAAGGTGGCTCCTCTACTACTACGACCGGTACGAACTGCCGAAGCGACATCTGCACGGACTACGCAGAGGACTGCTGCGCGCCGGACGACGAGCCCCGCGGGTGCAGCCTCGCGGGCTACGAGGTGCAAGATGACTGGGTGGGCTCGTCGGGCTGGCCATCATGCGTCAGCACGTACGGCCAGGAGTCGGTGTATCAATGCTGCTCGACGTCCTCGACTGGCTCCTCCGATGCGCTCTTCGTCGCCGGGCCCTCGGGCGGCGACTATCGACGGCGGCGGCGGCGACGACATCCGGGCGACGTGTCAGTGCGCCTCGGAATACGAGTGGTGGGACGACCGCCGGCTCTCCGCCGTCGACGAGCCGCGGCGTCTGGGTCACTGCTGCGACTACGGTGCGTACTGCTCCTGCATGGAGTCGGAGCTCGGCGCCGGCTGCACTGCGCCCGACTGCGGCGACTGGGACGAGGACGAGGACTGCGGCTCCGACGCAACCAGTGGCTCGGACGCAGACGTGACGTGCTCCTTGGTAATCAACGACGAAATTACCGCCGTGTACGTCGACGGGCAGGACGTCACGGACTCTCTCTGCGGCGAGTGGCCGGCGACGCTCAGATTCTCCAGCGCGGCGAGTCTCTTCGCAATCAGCGGCTACGACAATCAGGGCGGATGCCAGTACGGCGGATTCGCGATGCGCTGCTCCACGGCGGACGGAACCGGGCCGTGGCACGGCCTGACGGCCGACACGCAGAACTGGCGCGGGACCAACTGGGTCTCTGGGAGCAGTTGGACGCAACTCGGCTTCGACGACAGTGCCTGGCAGACTCCCTCCGTGGGTGGCGAACCGCAGTACGGGTCCGAACTCGTCGGGGGCGGCGACACGATTTGCGTCGAGGGCGATTTCTACTTCCGAAGAGAGGTTGATCACCCGACGCCCCTCGAATCGCCCTTCCTCGTCACCGGCGACCTCACCTTCGAAGGCATGACGTACGAAGCGGCGCTGGACAACACCAACGTCTTCCTCGCCGCCGTCGCCGATCTCTGCGGCGTGGCCGCGTCCGCCGTGACCGTGGAAATCTCGAGGGCCCGCCGCCGTCGTCGCCTCGCGGAGGGAATCGTGGTGACGTACACCGTGGGCGTCGCGTCCGCGAACGAAGCTCAGACGGTCACGAGCGCGATTTCGAGCAGCTCGACAGCAGACGTCGACGCCGCAATCAGCAAAGCCGCGACGAACGCGGGCGTCGACGACGATTTCGACGGCGTCACGACGACCAACGTGGGTACGCCCACGGCGACGGCGTCCGACGACGACGGTGGGTCCTCCAGCGGTAAAGACGACGGGCCGGATGCTGCGTCGGCGGCGACGATCATAGCGTCCGTCGCGGCGGCTATGTGTGTGGTCTTGATTGGAGTCGTCGGTCTTCTTTACTGGAAGACGCAGCAGGTCCAGGGCCGACCGGTGAGGCCCGTGGGCGCGGTCGCGGTGGAGATGGCCACGTACGGACAGACGATGGTCGCCCCCAGCTACGTCCTCAAGGCGAACAGCGACGAGGTCTGGCGGGACCCCGCCCCCCGGGCGTCGGCGCCGCCCGGCCGAAGCTTTTGCATCGACTGCGGTGCGGCGATCCAGGGCCGGTTCTGTGGCGCATGCGGGCGGAATCAGCCCGCGGCGGCTCAGCCCGTGGCGGAACAGCCACCCTTTGTGGCGCCGACGCTTTTCCGGCGGCAGCCAATGGACAATAATCAAGGCGCGCCGCACAGCCTTCCCGTAGAGATCATCAGCGCCGCCGGACAAGGGCCGCCGGCCGGCGCTCGACCCGTCCCGCAGGGGTCCGTGGTACAAGGCTCCGTGGTGCAGGGGCCCGCCGTGCAGGAACCCGCCGAGCAGGGGTACCTTTAGGTCCGTTCGCTTTGTCGAAGAAGAATGATCACTCCCCCTCCCCGCGGCAGATGGTGTTGCCGGCGTCCGCGTATATACCTTTTCTGACAATTGACCCAGAGGGGGGCCAACTTAGATCTCGCGAGCAGCCTGTAGCACAGTCCAGGACTCAAGCACTTAAGACTTTTTTGGCAAAACTTGGCTTGGCATGGCTAGCGGCGTAAGACACTAGCAAGCAAAATCTGGGGCAAGGCGTATGGTTCGTCTATTAGCTATGGGACGTCGTCCGGAGGGCTTGGGACGAGCGATTTTTTAGCGCGGATATACAGGCTGATAACACTGAGGAGCTTGGCTTGGGCAACAAGCGCCAAGGAGTAGAGCTTTGTTTATCGTCCGAGTGGTTCGAGAAGCTGCTTCGTGGTCCCTGTGGTCTGTCCTCGTGCGCTGGTGGGCGCTGGGATCGCTGGGGCAGCCCCATGGCCCACGGCCCCTGGGGATCATTGTCTCTGGTGTTTGCTGCTCTTAGTGTTTGCGGCGCTATTGACTCTCTCGGCGCACGGCCATCCGTGTCGTGGAACGCCGCGCGCGCAGAGTGCGAGTCCCGAGGCCAGGGACTCTGCTCGTCCGAAGAGCTCTGTCCGACCGGTGCGCCGTTCGATGGCGGCGTTGACAGCACGGACACGTGGGTGCCCGTGTCGGACGGCAGCGACGAGTGGCTTCAGTACGGGAAATGGGCGAACTCGTGGCAGCCAGGACCACTCTGCAGTCTGCACAGCGTCCAGTACGCGCCCGACCCGCATCCCTGCCACACCCATCCAGATCCGGCGCGGTACCCAGACGCGGCGAGCTGCGGCCACTCCTTCTTGTACTGCTGTAGCGGCGACGGCAACGATTCCGGGAGCTGCGCCGACGGTCTCTGCTACACGCTCTACTCGGGCGAGGACTCGCCATCGGAAGCTGAGGACAGATGCGAAGACCGCGGCGGGCACCTCGCCAAGGTGACTACGGCCGGGCAGGTCGCGACGGTGAAGGACGTGCTTAAGAATGTGCCCGACGGTAACTGCGTCCGCTTCGGCGCGATCAAGGAGGCTGGGTCCTGGCGGTTACTGCGATCGACGTTATCGAGAACAATGGCGGGGAATACTGTAGCTGTTACTGGGTAGCGGACGACAACGTCTACGACGCGCCTTGCCACGGAGGGTGGGGCCAGGGCGACTACTACCTCTGCGCGACAAGCGAGGGCGATGGCGAGGACTACTCCTTAACGTACTACGATGACGGGTCGGGCCAGACCTACGAGTGGATGAAGAGCAGCTGCGCAACAAAGGGCAAGCGCCTGTGCACGTACGGCGAGCTTTGCCCCAATGGAGGCCCGCACCAGGCCCCGTACGGCGGACAGCAAGCAAGCACGGATATGTGGGCGCCAATAACTCCCGATGCGGGCGAGGGCGGCAGCACGAACCAGGATTGGGTTCAGATCGGGACGCGTGACGGTGGTATGTGCAACAAACACAGCTCATTTTACGGTGGCGTGCATGCTGACGAGTGCTGCTGTGGAGACTGGTGCAATACGAACGTGCAACAGGAATGGAAGCGCATATATGCGTGCTGTGACGGGGAAGGTGGCTCCTCTACTACTACGACCGGCACGAACTGCCGAAGCGACATCTGCACGGACATTGCGAACGACTGTTGTGCGCCGGGCGGCGAGGCCCGCGGGTGCAGTATTACGGGCTACGAGGTCCAGCCGGATCCGACGGGGACCTCGGGCTACGGGCCTTGCGTCAGCACGTACGGCCAGGAGTCGGTGTATCAATGCTGCGCGACGTCCTCGACGTCTGCTGGCAGCGGCTCCTTCGTGTACGTCGATCAAGCGAAGAGCTTCGACGACGCGCGCGCGTACTGCCGCGCGAACTATCACGACCTCGCGTCGATCCACAGCTCCAGCGAGAATGCGGCAGTAGCGGCGCTTTGTCCCGGTGAATCATGCTGGATCGGGGGCTCCGACGCGGCCCAAGAGGGCACGTGGACCTGGTCGGACGGCACGGCGTGGGACTACGACAACTGGGAAAGCGGAGAGCCCAACAACTGGGGAGGCGACGAGCCCTACACCGTGATCTACGACTCAGGACGATGGAACGACGAGAGCCGCTATGGTACTTACCCATTCGTGTGCGCGACTACATTTACGATCACAAGCTCAAACGTGCATTGGGACGAATGTCCCGGCGAGTGTGCCGCCATCGGGGGCACATTCGCTTGCATCGACGACGAGTCGCAGAATGGGCAAGCCTTGGCGGCGTTTGGGGGCAGTTGTCCCGACGGAGCGGACGACTGCGGGGCATGGATCGCGGTGAACGATAAGGCGTCGGAGGGCAACTGGATCTGCACGGCCGACGGCAGCACACAAACCTATCAACCTTGGTCTGCCATTGGTAGTGAACCCAACGGCGGCTCCGGCGAGAATTGCGCGAATATGTGGGGCCCAAACTCGGGAAGAAACGACGGGGCGTGGAACGACTACGGCTGTACCGGTGCTCGCATGCCATGCATCTGTAGGGGCGGGGGCGGTGGCTCCTCTGAGGATCTCTTCGTCGCTGGGCCCTCGGGGGGCAATTACTACGACGCGACGGCCTACTGCTCAAGCATAGGCGCATCGATCGCCACCATCTATAGCGCGACCGAGAATGAGCTGGCGCGCCAAGCGTGCGGCGGCTCGTCGTGCTGGATAGGCCTCGAAGAAGTCGGCGGCAGCGCGTCGACGCCCAAGGCGAGCCAGACGTGGCGGTGGATGGATGGATCGACAGCCAGTTACACGAACTGGGATGATTGGGAACCGAATAATCACGATGGGAACGACGAGAGGAACGCCATGATGAATTGTTGCGGCACAGACGGCGTTGACGCGTCGGGCATGTGGCACGACGCGCCGTACAACTACGACGAACCGCGACCCCTCTGCCGCACCGATGATTGCGGCCCATCCTCCGGCGGCTGCGATCCGATCTACAATTTCGCCGGCGCCACGCGGACGTGCACCTCGTCGAACTACCCCGAAAACTGCATCGTGGTGGTCGAGAACTCGCAGCATGCCGACTGCAATGCGTGGTGCGCTGCCGCCGGGTCTTGGTGTATTAATGGATGGGACTCCCACGGCGGCAGCTGCGATAACATAGACCAAACGGACGACACTTGGCCCCAGGGCTGCGGCGGCGACAACCTTTTTCACGACGGAATATGCATGTGCGCTCCAGTCGGCGGCACGTCGTCCCAAACGGACGGCGGGCCGTGCACGCCGCAGCGCGCCGACAACCTCGATGACGACGGGCCGGACGCGGCGTCGGCGGCGACGATCATCGCGTGCGTCGCGGCGGCGATGTGTGCGGTCTTGATTGGAGTCGTCGGCTTTCTTTACTGGAAGATGCAGCAGGTCCAGGGCCGGCCGGTGCGGCCCGTGGGCCAGGCGATCGCGGTGGAGATGGCCACGTACGGCCAGACGATGGCCGCCCCCAGCTACGTCCTCAAGGCGGCGTCGGCGCCGCCCGGCCGAAGCTTTTGCGTCGACTGCGGTGCGGCGATCCAGGGCCGGTTCTGCGGCGCGTGCGGGCGGAATCAGCCCGCGGGGGCTCAGCCCGCGGCGGAGCCACCGTTCGTGGCGCCGACGCCGAACCTTTTCCGGCGGCAGCCAATGGACAATAACCAAGGCGCGCCGCAGAGCCTTCCCGTAGAGATCATCAGCGCCGCCGGACAAGGGCCGCCGGCCGGCGCTCGACCCGTCCCGCAGGGGTCCGTGATACAAGGCTCCGTGATACAAGGCTCCGTGGTGCCGGGGTCCGTCGTGCAGGGGTCCGCCGTGCAGGAATCCGCCGAGCAGGGGTACATTTAGGTCCTTTGTCGAAGAAGAAGGACCAAGCAGATATTTACTGCGCCGTCGAATCGCCAGTCCCTTTCACCCCCCCTCCCCGCGGCAGATGGTGTTGCCGGCGTCCGCGTATATACCTTTTCTGATTAATTACCTAGAGGCCCGGGGGGCCCAACATAGTTCATAAGACAATCGTTAGTCCAGCGACCCCAGGCACTGCTCGAGGCACCCGCACGCCGCGTTCCGGTAGCCGCCGCCGAAGAGGTTGTAGTGGTTCAGCTGGTGGTAGGCCTCGTAGAGCGGCCGCCGCATTCGAAATTTCGCCGCCTCGGGGATCAGTTCGCGGTAGCCGGCCCAGAAGCCCGATCCCAAAGAAGCGCACCAGGACATGCCCCACTCGGCCTCGTGGTGGCCGTAGTAGCACGCCGGGTCGAAGACCGACGGCGCGCCCGCGGCGGTGCCGATGTTGCCCGACCACAGGTCGCCGTGCAGGATGCACGGTTGTATGTCTTCATCCTCGTCGAAGAACTCATGCATTCGCGGTTTTAGTTGTTGCCACAGCCTGTCTATGGACGCGTCGCCCGCCAAATTCACCTGGTGGCCCATGCGCTGCTCCGACCAGAACTTTATCCAGTCGTCGTCCCAGCCGTTCGGCTGGGGCGTCGCCCCAATCGTATTATCGACGGGGAAGCCGAATTTACCGGAAGCGGCTTCGGGGTCGTCGGGCGTCGCGAGGTGCATGCGCGCCATGGCCCGGCCGAAGGTCTCGGCGTCGCCGCCGCGGCCCATGGTCAAAAACTCCATGACGATAAATGAACCTTTCCCGTCGTCGAAATCCGCCGCGTGGAAGACCTCGGGGATCCTTAGAGCGGGTTCGCCTCCTGATTCACTGGCCAGGCGCATGGCCGTCAGGCCGGCAGCTTCACCAGCAAACATCGATTTATAGGACTGGCTCGTCTGCTTGACGAAGTACTGCGCATCATTGGTAACCCACTTGCCCGTCTGGGCCCAGCCGGAGCCGCCCAACGAGCCGCCGCTCGGCTTCGCGTCGCCGCGGCCGGAGTCCGCGAACCACTTCTTGACGTCGCCGGCGCCGCCCATGACGACGGTGCTTCTCCGATGGCGTATCGGTGCGAGCGCGGCTGCCGAGCCTAACGTGGCCAGGAGCTGGAGCGTGCGGTGCATCACTGTGCCGAGCAGTGCGGTGCGGATGCAGCAAAACTGGTCTGAGCTATCGCACTCGACTGCGCGTCAAAGGCGGGCGCGGACGCAATCCTCGGGCTCCTCCCTCGCACTCAAGCACAGCTGCCGGTACACTAGCCGAGTTTTTGGCCTTGTGCTCTCTCTCTCAACAAAAAGCTAGCAACTAAGCACGACGCTTCGTCGTGGAGTCTCGGAGAGCTGGTCTATAATGCTAAGCCCATGGATACGTTTCGTGTGGGGCCGGCCTCCAGGGAGAGCAGCGCCGGCAGCCAATTTGCCTGGGCAGGCGCCCACAGTCCCGCAGTGCTGCCCAAAACGCCAAAGCCACGGCCCTATGGGCCACCGGACGCTTTTCGTAGGATAGGGCCAGTCTCGCTCCCCCTGGGACGCCAAAAGCGCTGCCCCACGAGACAAGATGGGCAGGGGCGCGGGCGCCAAGCGACGGGGCCACGACGGCTCCCAGACCGAGGGCGAGCGGCGCTACGAGATGCTCGCGGAGTCGCGGAATTTGATGAGGCGCATCGACGCGAAGCTGCAAGACGTCGTGAGTGGCCCGCCCTCGTTAAAAGGCTCGGACGTCTACGGCCAGCAGATGGACACGTCGGCGGCTTTGAACAGGACCGAGGATTCCCGGAGAGAGCTCGAGGCGCTGCTGAAGTCCGTCGCGGAGGCCGTGCGGCCGAAGGATGACGAGGATGTTTTGGAGGAGCCCATTGACTTGGAAGTGACGGAGCAGCCCTTTGAGGACGGGAAGCGAGCCATCGCGAAGGCTAGAGAGGAGCTCCTGGAGGCCGCTTCACGAGCAAAAGAAGACGTGGCGACGGGCAGCTCCTCGCAGCGCCTCAAGGAGACATTAATGGAGACGACGGAATCCCTCAAGTCGAAGGAGCGGGCTCTGGCCGACGCGCGGAAACGAGCCAGCGAGCTCAAGAATGAAGCTTCGTTGGAAAAGAGTTCGGCTGATCAAGCTAGGAAGGCCTTTGCAACTGTCGAAGAGAAACGTTCTTTGAGAGAGGGCCAGTGGCTGGACGTTGTCGAGAAGTACGAAGACACGATCGCTAGTCTCGAGGCTGAAAGGGCAGCACTGGACCAGAAGCTAAGAGTGCTGGAGCAGACGTCCCGCGATAAGGATCTCCAAGTGCATCTCGAGGGCGAAGGGGGCTTTGGCGCCGAGGATTCGAAATACGCCGCATTGCAAGCGGAGATCGACCGGCTGCACGACGAGATCGATCGACTCATGAACGAGCCCGGGTCCGGCGCGGAGCTCATGAAGCGCAAGTTCCTCGAGGAGCAGCGGCGGCGCGAGGAGCTCGAGGCCAGGCTGCGCGAGTTGGAAGCGCAGAGTCGTTCAATGAAGGACCAGCTCGCGGCGGAGGCACGGCGCGCCGACGAGCTGAGCGCAAAGCTCATGTTCGCCTCGGCACCGACGGAAGACCCTGCGTTGCAGGCGCGCCTCCGCGACCTCGAGGCCCAGCTGGCGGCTATTCCACAACCGGAGCCGCCTCCACAAAAGGTCGAGACTATGGAGCGGGGCTCCCTGGCCACGGACCACGAGCTGGAGATCTGCGTCTTGCGCAAGGAGAACGCGGATTTAAAGCTGTCGCTCGAGAAGGCGCAGCAGACCCTCGCGAAGGCCCAGAAGGTCCTGAAGCAGGCGCCCGACGCCGCGGCGGCGGCGGCCAGGGACGAGGAACTCGAGCGTCTGCGGGAAGCGCTGGCGCAGGCGAAGAGAGCCGCCGAGGAGACCGCCGCCGCGACTCCAGTCGAGGCCCCCACAACCGGCGCCACCACACCAGTCGACGACGACCGCGAGGCGCAGCTCGACGAACTAAGGAAGCTACTCGAGAAATCGTCGGACGAGAACAAACAACTCAAGCAGCAATACTCAGAAGAGCTAGAATTAGAACGCAAGCGCGCCAAGGCGCGGGAGACGGCCGCGATGCGCGCGCATCAAAAACTAATCGCGGAGCTCGAGCACCGCGCCAAGCTCGCCGAGAAGGAGTCCAGCAACGCGACGGCTTTGTCTGAGGCTCTACGCGGGGAAGTGTCGCATTTATCGACACGGTTGACGAAAGGTACTGATCTCCTAGAGAACGTCCTCGAGGACGACGATTTCGAGCGACGGCCCATCGAGGTCTTCCTGGACGAGGCCGACCGGTTGCGGAAGGCGAAGACGTCTCAGAGGTTGGAGAAGGCGGAGCGGTCTCTCCAAAGGGCGACGATGCGCAAGACTAATCTAGCTGCTGTTTTTGCATCTAGATTAGCTAAAAAAGCTCGCGTGTCGTTTGATGATGCCGCTGCTGGCTTAGAAGAGGAGGATCCCGAAGTCGCTAAGAGACGGCGGATTCGCGAGGCTATATTGTTGTTTGCCGTTCGATTGAAAAGGATGCAGGATCTCGCCGAGGAGACTGGGGAGAAGATGGCGGACATCATGGACTGCGGCGCGCCGCCTGTTAAGGAGGAGCCGGAGGTCGTACCCAAGGAGCCTGTTGTCGAGCCGCCGCCCGAGGAGGCGCGGCCGACGACGCCCGCTTCCACTGGTAGCAAGGCCCCGCCGAACACGCCCTTCCCGGCCGTCGAAAGTAGCGATCCGGAGCTGCGAGAGCGGCTCGGCGACCTCGAGGAGCAGCTGCGCGGCGCGGCGGCGGCGCGCGAGGATCTCGAGCGGGAGCTGGCGGAGGCGCGCAGCGCGAAGGATTCATTAACAGCGGACTACGAGGCGCGGCTCGCGGAGGCGCAAAGCATGTATGATGCGCTCGTCGCGGACCACGAGGCGGCGGCGCGCGGCGCGGCGGACCGCGCCGACGCCGACCTCGCGTGCGTCCGGGCGAAGGACCACTTTCTACAATCGTGCGAGGACGCGGCGGCGGCGGCCGCGGCGGCGGCGCACGAGCGCGACGCCGCGCTCGCGGAAGCGCGCACCGCGGCGGCGCGCGCCGAGGAGCGCGCGCGCGCGGCGCTGGGGAACGTCGAGGGCGCGGCGGGCGCGCGCCTCGCCGAGCTCGAGGACCTCGTCGCGTCCTATGATTTGAGGTTCGGGGCGGAGGCGGCCGTCGTGCGCGCCAAGGACGGCGAGCTGGCGCGGCTGGCTCCATTATTATCTCGGGCGGCCGCCGAGGCCGTCGTCGTGGACGCCAAGGACGCGGAACTAAAACGTGCTGGTGCTGCGCTGGCCGAAGCGCGGAGCGACGCGGACAAAGCGGCTGAAGAGCTCGGGAAAGCGCGCGACGCCGCCGCTCGGAGCGAAGACGCGACGGAACCCGAGGCGGCCGCGCCCGACACCAGGGACGAGGAACTCGCGCGGCTGCGGGCGGAGCTCGCCGACGCGCGCGGGCGGGAAGCTACCGAAACCACTGCCGCCGAGGCGACGGACTCCGCCGAGGAGCCGCCGGTGCCTCCATTGGTAAGCCGCGCGCCGCGCGACCTCAGGGGGGACCTCGTCGCGTCGGTCCGGTCGCTGGGCTCGCCGCGGCGCGACCCCGCGGCGGAGGCCGCGGCGATCGCCGCGGCCGTGCGCGTCGCGCGCGCGGCGAGCCGGCGCATCAAGTCGCACGGCGACGAGCCCGACGACGCGCCGGCGCCCGTGGCGGCGCCCGCCGCCGATGGCACGGACGGCGAGCCGTCGGCGCTACGTCTCGCCGTCGCCGCCAGGGCCGAGGCGAGCCGCATCAGGGCCGACGCCGAGGCCGAGGCGGCGCGCATCGTCGACGCCGCGACCGCCGAGGCGGCGCGCATCACCGGAGACGCGGCGGCTCTGATGAGACGCGAGGCCGTCGAGGCGCGGGACGGCCCGTCCGAGGAGTTGACCGACGCCGCGGCTGAGGCCAAGCGTTTACTTTCCGAGGCCGAGGCCGAGGCGACACGCGTCAAGACCGAGGCCGCGGAGGCCGCCGCGCGCATCCGGGCCGAGGCCGCCGCCACTGGCGGCGGCGACCCCGCCGCCGTCGAGGCCGCCGTCGCCGAAGCTTTAGCGGCCGCCGTGCCCGAGGCGGTGCGGACGGCGCTCGCGGCGAACGACGCCGCGCACCGCGAGGAGGCCGAGGCCCTGGCGCGGCGCGTCCAGGCGAAGCTCGAAGCATTAAAGAAGCTGACGCGGGCCCTCGCGAAGCTACGGATGCAGGTTTCTCAGGAAGCGGCGCCGGAGGAGACAACTTCCATAAAATGTTCCGCGGACGCGAAGACGGCGCTGTTCCGGTCGTCGGACGCCTGGGCCGCGGCCATGGAGGCCATCGAGCCCTCGATTGCTGCTTTACTAGATTCCTTAGCCGCGGCGGCGCGGGAGAACGACGAAGACCGAGTATCTTCCTTAAAAGCGGCCCTCGCCGAGCAGGACGTGGCGGAGCTAGGGAGAGCCCTCGCGAGGTTGCGCGACGGTCGCTGGGCGCAGGCGCCGGGCAACCCTGACGGTACGCAGTGGGACGTGGAATTCCGGGATACGTTCAGCGATGCCAAAGAAGGCAGAAAGGACGAGCGCATGGTCTGGCGGCCGCGCATCCCTGCTGTTAAGAACGACGGCCCGCGCGAGGTGGCCCTTGTAGAAGCTCTTGCTAAACAGCCGCTCGGGGAACTAGCCGCGGCGGCGAGCGTCGAGTACAAGAAGCTCGTGGCGCAGTGCGCGTCGGCGGAAACGTCGCGAAGAGATAAGATCGACGTCGCCGACGATTTGAGGTTGGGTTGCCGGAGCTACCACGCGTTGCGGGACGCCGTCGACGCGGTCGGTGGGTGGGCTGCAGCAATATTAACTGAAGACGGCACGCCCGACGACGCAATCGAATTGGACACGTGGCCCTGTGATGATCGGGCGAGGATGCAGCATGTATTGTTAGAGCATTTACGGGGCGAGACGAGTCGTCTCGAGGAGAAGGCCCGGGAAACATCTAGGAAGCTACGGGAAGCTAGGGGCGCGTCGCACGCCCAGGCCGACGAATTGGTCTCCAATAAACTAAGGAAGGCCCTGGCGCGGGAGGCCGACCGCATCTCCCAAGCGGCGGTGGCCGCGGAGAGAGCTAGAGTGGCTTCGGAGTTTGGGGTTCATACACTGCCAGAAATCGTGGACAGCTGCGCGTCGCCCATCATGTGGGATTCGTACGACGAGGCGACGCAGTCGTCTCCTGTCGGATTCGCGTCGCCCTCTTTTGATGCGGCGTGCCAATCAGTGGTGTATCAGAGCGAAGAGGGGTCGCAGTGCGAGTCGCCGTCCAGGAGGGAGCTCGTGTATACTGCGACCAAACAAGCTATTGCGCTCAATAGTAAGACGGTAGCCGAGCTGGAAGCCGAGCGCTTAAGGCACGGCGCGAAGATTCTCGACCACGAAGCCGCGGTCGCGGCCCTCGAAGCGACCGTTGCCCTCATGAACTCGCAGAATGAAGACTTGGCGTCGCAGTTGGCCATGTCGCGGGACGAGGCCTCGAAACACTTGGAGGTACAGGTTCAACTCCAAAGACGCCTGCAGAAGCTGCTCGCGCAGGCGTCGGAGCTGAACGCGGAGCGTGCTGGATTAGTATTTGATAAAGCGAGGGAGTCTGCTGCTTTAGATAATGTGGAACGTAGATTAGCGGATCTCCAGGAGGGCTCTGAGGACGATAGTGACGAGGACGAGGAGCCGTCGCGGCCGGCGTCGGCGCTACCGTCGCGCGCCACGACGGCGGCCATCGATTCGCGCCCGTCGACGGGAGCTCTCAGCGATCTGCAGGGCAGGGACCCGTCCTTCGACCGCCATGTTAGGAGAGCTCTCCGGTACCAGCGCCGCACGCTCGGCCAGCGCTTAAAGACGATCTTGCGACGCATTAATCAAGTCGACGCCGAGAAAGATTTACTAACTGAAAAGATCGTGGCGACGCAGTGGGTCCACCGCCAGCCCCAAGTTGTGGTCTCTGGCAAGCCGTACGCTCATATTGCCCAGTACGCGCGGGCTCATCAAAGGTCTCAAAGCGCCCGGACGTGGAAGCAAGGGAGCACGTTGGGTGGCGTGTTACCTCCATCATTGCGAGGGCCGGTGCTGGACCTGTTGCCGCCCATCGCGCTGCCGAATGGCTCGGGCTCACCAAAAGATTTCCGGCCGGGTCGAGTGCTCAAGGTGCCCATGGAACATATAGGAATGGACCCGCTGGGGTCGCCGGGCAAGGCTTTGTCCATCCGGAAGCCGCCCTTGTTTTCCGACGGCTCGATGCGTCATAGAAGGGGGTCGCGGTGCTCGACGCCCGAGAAAGCGGATGTATTAGCGTACTGTCATGCTAATGACGAGAACTGTACTCGGGATAACCGCGACGCGCGGATCGTGGACCAGCGCATCGCGGACCAGACGCCGTTGCGGACGCCCGAAGGATTTTCTGTCGCGCGGTCGCCCGAAGCGTCATCGCCAAACAAGCACAACTTCGCCTGGTCGCCAGATCGGCGCGTCGTGGCCCGTAAGTTTGAACGGGAGGACACGCCGCCGGATATGGCCGCGACGGTGCAAGCGGGCGACGCCGAGGTGATCGTCGGCCGCGTCACCAATCAAAATGAAGTCTTGGCGGAAGATCTGGCCGAGAAGGCGGAAGAGTGCACTTCTTTCATGGGTTCTCCGGTTCTGGCCACCGTGGGGCCGCCGACGTGGAAGCCCCCGGAGCCCGATCCCGACGCGCCGCCGGGCGCGACCATCTACGTGCCCTACGCGCCGGCCTTCGGCGGGCGCAGTGCCAAACGCGCGAACGGCGGGCGCGCGCTGCGGCCGAACCGAGGGATGTTGACCGTCGCGGACGCGGGGAAGCGCCTCGAGGAATCGTTATCTTCCGCCCAGGACGCGCTCGAGAGACGGAAACGCGTCGTCCATACTACTGTGCCCCGTGCTTCGGGGGCGTAAGGCTTATGTGCTAGTCCCACGCCGTCGATGGTGAGGGGTAAAACGAAGAACATTAGCCCACGCTCCAGCCGTAGCGCGGATTGTCGCCGGCCACGTCGAGGTCGTGCGACGGGCAGTCCGGCCCCCGGAGGCTCTCCGCGGCCTTCAGCGCCGCCGCCTGGCGCGGGGCGCGCACCGCGAGACTCAAATCGCGCAGGAAGCAGTCCGCGAGCCTGGCGTCCGTCGCCATGCACTCTTCATAAATTCGGCGGACCTTCGCCCGCATGCGCGCCTTCCGGCCCTTCGAGACGGCGGCGACGGCCGCGACGACGGCGCTGAAGTTTTTTGCGAGGGACTCCGGCATGGATAACCGCGCCTGGGGCCAATCGACGAGGTGGCTATAAGGTAGGCTCATGCCATCTGCTAAGATTACGGGTATCACGCCGGCGTTCATCGTCTCGCCGAAGCGCCAGCTCCACCTGCGCGGAACATATATATATGGCAACCAGTGTCCCGCCTCCACGCCATCGCCGCGATGTGGACCACACGGGACTGCGTGCCGCTCGTCGCCGCGCGGGAGCAGCCCGAACTCCGACGCCCGCAACAATTCTTGATATTGAACCTTGGACATGCGGTCGCTCCGGTGCAGCAGCCCGTTCACCACAACCTTTTGCTTGTCGCCGCGCCACCGCTCGTAGGCCGCGAGCAGGTCCGGCCGCACCGTCGACGAATTGTTGTCCGTGAAAGAGGCCGAGTTGTCTACGTTTCGGCGCCTTGGCTCACCAGTAGAATACATCCTCGTCGGGCAAGGCAATCTTGCGAACACCTATCAACATCTCGGACGGCTTGAAGAGGCCCTACGCCTGCGACAAGATGTATACTCTGGCCGTTTGAAGCTCAGTGGAAACGAAAGTAGAGACACCCTCATAGCAGCCAACAACTACGCGTTGTCTCTTGTTCATATGCAGCGCTACGCAGAAGCCAAGGCACTGTTGCGCAAAATGTTACCCGTGGCGCGACGCGTCCTCGGCGAGAATGACGAGACCACGCTCAGGATGAGGTGGTGTTACGCGGATATGCTCTACAAGAACGACAACGCGACGCTCGACGATCTCCGCGAAGCCGTGACGATGCACGAGGACACGATACGGACCGCCCGGCGTGTCCTCGGCGGCGAACACCCACTCACCGTGGACATTGGCGCTTGCCTGCGAGACGCGCGAGCCGCCCTCCGCGCCCGCGAAGCGTCGAGTGCCTAAGACTCCAGACAAAGCCTTTTACCCGCGAACCCTAGGACAGCAGCGCCTTGAACTCCTCGAACTCGATCTCCCCCGACAGATCCGTGTCGATCTTGTTGATGAGCTCCTCGATGTCTATCGTCAGGCCGAAGTCGTGCTTGATGATCTTGACCAAGGTCTCCCGCCGCACGTGGCCGCCCTTGTCCGGTTCGCCGCCGCACGCGACGAAGGCGTCGATCATGTCATTTTCATCATCAAAATTCTCCGCGCGCTCTTTTTGATTTTCAATGACCTTGAGGAACTCGGCGAAGTCGATGCTACCGCTCATGTTCTCGTCGACCTCGGAGATCATCTGGAAGAGCTCCTCCTCGGTCGGCTTCTGGCCCATGGCCTCGAGGACCTGCCGCAGCTCCCACACATCAATCGTGCCGGACCTATCCTTGTCGAAGGCGAGGAAGGCGTCGCGGCAGCCTGCGTGACGCGTGGTGTGTGTGTGGCTTCCGGCGCGAGACGTCGTCTCGGCGCGTTCCGCTTCGTGTGTGTCTCGCTCGCGAGAGAACTTCTGGCGCGACGCGTCGTCGGCGTGCCGTCCCGTGTCTCTCGCAACCGTCCAGGGCGCTCTCGGTCGGCGGTGCGGAACAGGCTGGGCCTGTCTGGCATATGGCTGCCCCATTCTTAACACTCGAGACGGCGGCGGAGAGCTGAAGACGCTGGAGCCATGCCATCGATCTCGTCCTGGGAAAGCACCATCGCAGCGCCTTCCGGCAGCCTCCGCCTCACGCGGACGCGGCGCAGCTCGGCCGGGGCAGCGCGCTGCACGATTAGCCTGGGAGCCCGCACGCTCGTTTTCGAGCCCCGGGTATCGCGTGCGAGGCCGCGGACGCTCCCTGGCGCGGCCCGGAGAGCATCTGCGCATGTTCGTAAAAAACCGTGACGAACTCACGTTTTTGCTCAAGCGATATCATCGGGCTCCTACGAGCCACATGGACTCGCACAGGTTGCTCTGAGCGGCTCAAACGGTGCTCTGACCACACCGCTCGGGCTCACGCGAGAAGACCGCGTAACCAGAGGCTACACAGCGGCTGAGGACCGCCGAAGGCAGCAGCGACTGTTTTGCGCTCAGACGCCGGCGAACGTACGCTGAAAGGGAAAAGGAGATAAACCATGCTCGCCGCGCGGGTCCCGACGGCCATATCGCGCCAGGATTTGAGTCGCCTCGACGCCGCGTCGCCGAGAAGAAGCCCGCGGCACCAGCGGAGGGCCGTCTGGGAAGACCTTTGGGACCGGGAAGTCGTGGCCTACGCTGTCGTCTCCTTCTGCTACGCCCTCGGCCAGAGCCTGTACGACATCTTCCAGTCGCAGCAAGCCAAGCTCATGACGTCGTCGTTACTGCAGCGCTGGTCGGTCTCGGACGAGGACGGCTACGTGGCGGCCTACGCTTATGCTTTGCTCGTTTCGGCCTATGCCTTCGCGAAGGCCGTGTCGTCGCCGTACGTGGGGTTCTTATCAGATAGATTTGGGAGGCGGCCCGTGCTCGTTGCCACATTAGTATGTACGGCTCTAGCGTTGTTACTCTGCGGCCGAGCGACGACCTTCTCAGGTGTCCTAGCATGTCGGCTCTTCACGGGCTGCGTCGCAAATGGTGGGTTGTTGACGGCGAGAGCGACGGACATGGCCACTTCGCACATGAGACGAACACGATTGTTCGCTTTATTCACGACGTCGTGGGCGGTAGCTAGAGTGGTAGCGGCGTGCCTCATGCGCGCCGTGAAGATGGAGATAGGCGGTGCGTGCACTCTCGCGTGTGGCTGCGAGTTCGCGGCGGCTTTGATTGCCGCGCTGGCCTTCCGGGAGCAGGGGTTGAGTCCGCAGCAGAAGCCGCGGAAGATGCCCGAACCGACCAAAACTAGACCGTCCCTGCGAGGTCTCGCACGCGAGGTGCTTTCCGAGAGATTGGCGTATGCGTTATTCATAACGGCCATGCTGACGCCGCGCGTGGACGCCGCTTCTTTTGTGTGGAAGAGATTTGGCGCGGGCCCGGAGGCCGTCGGTGTGCTCAAAGCGCTGGAGGCCGTGGCCGTCGTCGTCGTGTCATTGACGCCCGCGGCACAGGCGCTCGAAGTCCGTTTTGGAGGTGCTGGGGCGGCCGTTGTTGCCGCTTGTTGTGTCTCTGGAGGGTGGTTGGGAATTGCGGCGGCGCCGTCGATGTCGTTGCTCTACGTGTTGGTGTTTCTTAGGAGTTGTTGCGCGGCTTTGTACGATCCGGCGGCGCGATCCTTATGCTTCCAAAGGGCAACGTCCTCGAACCAGAAAAGCGGTTCTTTGATGGGCATCCAGAACAGCATGAAGGGCGCCACGCAAGTTTTCGGGTCCTGGCTCGGTGCTTACTTAACGTCATTGTCCGTGGCATTGCCCCTCTTCGTCTCAGCAGCCTCGTCCCTAGCCAACGCGTTCAACATCGCGGTGGAGTGCGCCGAGGATGTTTTTGATTCCACAACAATAAAACACAAGAAGGACGACGACGCGTTCATTCCCAAAGATATACTACCGGCGACGCCGTCGCCCAAAAGACGGCCGCGCGTGCGCTCGGGCACGCCGCCACCAGCTTCTCCGAAACTAGTCGTCGCCGAGGCCGTGTCGCCGCTGCCGCGCATCCCCTCGGGCAAGCCTTCTACTTTCCTACCTACCGCGAGTGTGGAGGCCGAGGCCTGGCCGCTACGCGCGTTTTTTGAAGTTGGTACTTCCGGAGGGAAACGAGCACGCTTACTATGCACGGGACCCACCCAACCCTATAAACCGCGACGATCAGCGTCGCCTGCTCTGATTGGAGACGACGCAACAGATCTATCTAGAGTCTCGGTCCACGCCGTCGCCGCGTGGCTGCAATCTCGAGGTCAGGCCTTCGCGGCCCAGCAGGCTCGGGCCGCGGGCGTCGACGGCACCGCGTTACAAATAGGCGAGGCGGACGAGCTGCATGATGCTCTCGGCGGCGAGGTGTCCAAATTGGTCTGCCGAGCGATCTTGCGGGCCGCCCGGTCAAAAGCAGGAGCGCGCGACCTCCTCAAGTCCGTGTCGTCGGGCGAGGACTCTCCCACTTCTCCGTTGCTCAAGGGCGACGCTGGGGCTTTGTGCGGCCTGACGTCTGTCGGACGACGGCGGGCCTTGGAGCTGCGGTGCGTCGACGAGCCTCCGCAGTTAGTCGTGGTGGCGCCGGAACGAGCGGCACTCCAGACGGCGTTGCTAGCTTTCCGGCGGGGAGAACACGTATCAATGGACGACTCGCGGCGCTCGCGCGCGCTGAGCTCGGCGTCGGACTCGTCGTCGCGGATGACGCCGCCGCCGTCTCCTAGACTAGCCTTCCGGCCCGTGGACCAGACTGGCGTTCCTCGGTTCGTCGCGCACGACGCAGCGAGATATGCCCCAGCGTCGGCGACGCGCGAGTTAAGGTTGGAGTACGGCGCGGTGGACTTTGGCGCCTGCGACGACGGCGTGGACGACTCTGACTCAAATGATCCGCGGCGGCTGGCGCGGAACGCCTACGCGTTGCTCTGCTTCGTGCGAGCTAGGCCGGAGACCGATATTGCGATCGTGGCGGACGGCGCGGTGCTGGAGGCGCTCGTGAACGCGACGCGGGGCCACCGGGATAGATTGGCGCTCGATCCGAAGGCGATCCACGACTTCCGGCTGCGGTTCGAGGACGAGGGGAGCCTCGAGGACGAGGAGGCGATGGAGTGGTAGTTGTAATTCATAGACATACATCATAGCCTATTTGTTTGGCAGATACCTCGAGCGGCAGGGCACGCGCTCGCGCAGCGCGCGATAGCGGCCGCCGAGCTCGCGCGCGTCGAAGGCCGCGACGTCGGCCACGTGCTGTTCCTTCTCCGCCGGCGTCGCGCCGCTCGAGTGGCTCCGCGCCGCGGCCCCGCCCGCGCCGAGGCATTATATCCGCGCCTTTGCGAACCCTCGTTCGCTAGTTCACACAGAAGAGGGTATTCGAACAGTCCGGCTGCAGCGGCGACGCGCCCCCCGCCGACGGCGGATCGGTCCCCAATAAGTAGCTATACTTGTCGTTTTATCCGTTAACATATCCCGTCGACGGGATATGTTATACGGCACTCAGCGTGGAGGTCAAATGCGGCACTTCCGCAAGGATCTCAAAACCGCCACTCGGCTCGGCTCGGTGCGGTACTAGACCCGTTTAAGTCTATTATTTACACCACTAAAAATTCAAATTTCAAATTAAAAGCAAGCATGCCATTTGTGTTGGAAGTGGTGCGCTTCATTCAAGACCGCGACGAGTGGATGGCAACGGGCGGCAAGCTGGAACATGTAGGATACATGCGTGCCCATTTTCGCACGAAGAAGGATGCGGCGTCGTACTACGATCGTCACAACCCACGCATGCGAGGGTTGAACGCTTACAACACATGGAGAAGCGACTGGGATCCGACCACAAGTCTGATGTACATTGTGCGAAAAGACCATGACCTGAATCAGACGATACCTCCATTCGATCCGAAAGATGAACCAGCCATCGAGCGCACGGAAAGCGAAGTTTGTATTAAATACCGTTGGTTACGCTGATTTCCGGCAGACATTTGAAATACACTAGGCTAAATCTATTATCCCCTTTAAAATTAATCCATTTTGGCTTACGATTTTGCGTTTTGTGTCTGCGCGTTGTCGTCTACCGTTTTAAAGGGAAAGTGGGTTTTTGAGTTTTGGGCCGAGTGCCGCGTTTGAGGTCTCCCTAAGTGAAAGTGCCGTATAACATATCCCGTCGACGGGATATGTTACCGTGACATCGCCTCGGCCTGGGGATTCCGCGCCGCGTTCTCGAGCGCGCCGGGCGCGGAGCTCCAGTCGTCCAAACGCATATCATATCCTGACAAGTTGCCCCGCGCCGCTGGCGAGTCGAAGCCCGTAGGCTCGTCCGCGGCCTGCGTCGGCAGCAAAGCGAGGACGACGCCCTCCGCGTGTCGGCGCACGAAGGCCCGCACCTTCTGGATGCCCGAGGCGTCCAAGCACGGCGGTGCGTCGCTTTTCGCTTCGACCAGCGCCTTCAATAATGTAGGGTTCTCCTGCGCGAGTTTCAGGGGCATGTCGTCGTCCTCCGCGAGGCCGAGCTTATCCAGTAAAGCGCCGCGCACCTTGATGAACAACGCCGTCCAGCCGTTCGCGCAGTCGGCCTTTCCGGTCTTGCCGTCCCCTGTCCAATGCCGACAGGGATTGACGGCGGCCTCGAAGCCGCTCTGTCCTTGGACCCGCGACGGCACCTGTGTGTGGTCATCGTTTGGGGGGTAGGACGGAACGTTTATCCTCGCGCTGGACTGCACGTGGTGCCAGAGCGCCAGGTCGAGGCACCACCAGGTCAACTGCTGCGAGAGCATGGAGTCGTTGAGGGCCTCGCCCTTGGCCGTCATGTCCTTCATCCACGCCTCGGACCTACGTGTCGATTTCACGCGGACGCCCGGAATTTGATTTCCACACAGCCTCGGACACGCCGCCGTCCGTCACGCCGTCGGTCGAGCTGCGGTCGCTGCCCGCGACGGTTATCAGCGGCTGCACGAGCAGGTTCAGCACGCAGTCGAGCATCGCGGCGCGCGCGGCCGGCCGGAGCCGCGGCTCCAGAATCACGCACGGGTCGTCGCAGTGGTACGGCAGGGGATAAGGACTTTCCCAGTCACCGTTTTCGAACGGGCCTCCGGCGGCCTGTGTGGAAATCAAATTTCGGGCGTCGCACGTTGTCCCCGTAACTGCGTCTGCTCGATGGCTTGGATAGAACCTAACTCACTGCTTGATTTCCACACAGCCGGCGGCCTTCACCAACGTCGAGTGCAGCCCTTCCGTACAATCCATCACATGCCGTTTGGGAGCGTAGCACCACCGCCGGATCAGCGTCAGCTCCGTCTCACTCACGTCGGGCGCCAGCGCGTCGACGACGCGGCGCCACGTCGTGTAGGTCGCGCGGACAGCGAGGCATCGGGTCGCGTGGACGCAGAGCGGCCCGTCCGTGGTCGCGTCGTAGGCGCGCCACGCCGCCGTGGAGTCGTCCGACGATTCCCAGTACGCGCCCTTGCCTTCGCCGAACTTCGGGTCGAGGTAGGGCCACTGGACAAACTGCGGCCCGCCCTCCGCGTCGGGCGCCGGCGGCGTCCTTGCTAATAGCTTGGACCACATCTCACTATCGCGCTTGCCCAGCGACAGGATCAAAGCGCGCGTGCCGCTCGCCGTGCCGAAGGACCAGCTGCACTCGTCGGGGTAGATGCGGCCCTTGAGCGGCGAGTCGATGAGCGTCTCATTTTTTACAGTGACGCGCAGGGACCGCGCCGTGAACCGCACGGCGACGTCCTTCTTAGTTGTGCCGTCGGCGACGGGAATGGTCACCTCGAGCTCGTCGTCGTCCTGGCTCGTGAGCCTGAAGTTCGACTGGTTTGCGTCGGCGGCTTCGAACGGGTCGAAGTTCTGGTAGTTCGTGCCGCTCGGTCCAGAGGACATGATACTGCGCGAGACGCGGCGCGCGCCGACGCCTTTTGGGGCGTCGAAGGCAGCCATCTGTTTTGACCTATAGTTTATCTCTCTGGCTCGCGCCGCGCCTTGTCCTCTGGGAGAGCGGCTAGGCTGTGCTTGCAGATTGTGAGGGCTGTACAGTCTGTTCGGCTGCCAAAACTTCTACGATGCTTCCTGGCGGATCCGAGATGCTCCTGCGAGCGCTTGATGAGCAATGCGACGCGCAGCTCGGAGATCCAAGGGCCCAAAAAGCTGGCTCTGCCAAGCAAGACCCCGCACGAATCGTGAGTGACGCGTCTAGTCGCGTCTAGAGCGATCTTCCCTTCCTCGAACACGCGCCGGAAGAAGGATGGGAGGCGGTAGCAACCACCGAGTACTTCGCACAAAGAAAGGGTGACCGTGGGAACGGCCGATGTAATCCTCGTTCTGTTGGGCCCCCACCCGAAGCTGGAGGCCGCGTCGAATAACTTTGCTTGCACGGGTCTCGCCCCCCGCTCGCGCGACTCGGCCATGTGAACATGGCTTCTTCGCCGTGTGCGCGGCGGCGGTGCGCGATCGCGGATTGCGCCGCGGGTATTTTCTACCAATTCGTGCGAGGAATTTCCCAAGACCTCCGGAGAGGCCCTAAATCGACGTCATCGGCCGGTTGCCCACCGCAAACGAGTCTGCGAGGGGGAACAGGTGAGTTTTGTCTGATTCAGCGAGATGGCCAAAGCTCTGCGGGCAGCGCAAGGCGGCCGACGCGCGCTGCGGAGGCGTTTGGTGGCGGCTGTGTGCTTATTCTCCTAATTTTAAGTGTGTTAGCCGAGCAACATTCAATCCATACGACGCGGCAAAGCACTGCGAGCGGTGAGTAAAGCTAGCTCCAGTAAGACACTAGAAAACAGGCTGGCCTAGCTTAAAAAACCACGTAGAGCCCCGTAAAGCTACAAGAGATTGTGGCATTCGCGTCAGCGATCACCTACAGCCTCGCGCTCGACGCCTACGTCAGCTTCCTCGCGTACAGACGCCGCCAGCACCGCTACACTCCAGACGCCGCACAGACGCCGCCAGCCCGTACGACGTGTAGATGCCCAAGGCCCTCGACGTCATCCACAAGCTCGCCGTCTCAGGGCTCGTCACGGCCACTTTATTTGGCATCTACACGTGCGTCGACGGCACGCGCCACATCGTCGCAGCGAGAAAGAAGGAGGCCGCGCGCATGGCCGCGGCCGGTGAAGCACCGAAACCGCCCCCGAAACACGAGAAGTACTTTTCGTAAAGCATGATCGACTCTTTAAAGGCCGCGGGCATCAACTTCCTGGCCGTCGATTTCGACATGACGTTGATTGACCGCCATACGGAAGGCAGATGGTCCGGCACGGCCTCCGAATTGTTGAGACACGTCCGTCCCGAGATGCGGCAATTACTCCGAGATGCGCTGGACGCCCAAATGTTCGTGGCCATTGTTACACTGAGCCCCCAGACGTCTCTCATCCGCGAGGTCACTCGTTTATTATTCCCGAAGGATTTTCAATTAATCATCATCCGGGGCAACGACGGCAACTGGTTCTACGGCGGCCAGGGGTCTTCGAGAGGCAAGCAGCCCCACATCGCGTCGGCCGTCGAGGAACTAAGTCACGCGCACGCGGCGCAGATTTCGCGGCGGAGCACTTTACTAATTGACGACGACGCGCAGAATATTAATGATGCGCTCGTCAACGGCGTCAACGCGATATTATATGCGCCGCACGACCCGTCGTGCTTGCAGCGCGGCGTCGCGGCGCTCGGCGAGGCCTGATGGCTTTCTAGCCCCGGCGGCGCGGCGATGGCGTTTCAGGCGGCCTGCGTACACAAAAATTAATGTAGAGATATCTTAATAGATACTAGTGGCCCGTCGCAGCCCCAACAAAGGGGCGCAAGCTTCCGCGTCGTCGAGGCGGAAGCCGGGGGCAGATATAAAATCAGACGCGGTCCTCGATGGCGAACCAGCTGCCGAGGTGGTCCCAGAGCCGCGTCAGGTGCGTCTCGTGCGCGGCGCTCATGGCGTCGGCGCCGGGCGCGAGGAGCGAGTAGGAGAGCGAGTCGAAGCGCGCGCGCGGCGCGTCCTCCCAGTCGTCGCAGACGACCGCGTGCCGGTAGCCCAGCAGCGACAAGCAGCCCTGCGGCCCGGCGATGTCGAACCGCGGCGGGCCCGTGCGGAACGGCGCATCATAACAGACCGTGCAGCAGCGGCCGTCGCGGTGCCGGGCGAGAGTTAAAGTGAGTCGTAAATCGAGCAGATCGGCGCGCGGCACCAGGCGCGACGGGTGGAGGTCGATCAGCACCTTCCCCGAGCCCCTTCTCAAGGGCCGCCAGTCGGCGACGACCGAGTACCCCGTGTCCGGTCTGAGGACCTCTATTTCCACTAACGCCGAGTAGCCCCGCAGGACATCAGGTCTAGGTTCCGGCGTGTCTGCTGCTCGTTCTAATCGTAGACGGAGTTTGTAGAGTCGCAGGTACTGGGCCGCCCGCGGCGCCCTTTCGAGCCGTCGAATCAACTGATGACTACCGCGGGGAAAGAAGTTCTCGACGAGCGGTCGCCACAGCGCATCATCACTACAGACGCGCCGCCAGTCGTGGGAAACTTGCCGGCACGTCGCGAGTCGCGCCGGAGATAAATAACTCAAAAAGTGCTTCAGGCACTTCGCGTCCAGCCGGAACTGGGCTAATTTAGGCCGCGGGCGCGCGCGCGACTTGCGCGGTGACGGCAGAACGGCCTCCAACGCATCGGGTTCGAAGGCGTCGTGGCTGTAGGCCGACGACGCGCTGTCAAGGCTCGCTCGTCTAGCGTCGCCGCCGGTATGGGGCTCGGCGGCGGCGCTTGTGGTAAGGGGGTCCTCCGCGGCCTCTTCAGTAGTCTCGGGCTGCGTCACGGCCGGTTTCCGCAGCTCCGACGGCGGGCCCTCGACACTCTGGGAGACGCGCGCAACCGCCGCTTTCGGTGCCGCGGCTTTCGCTTCCGTGCGGCGGGACCGCGTCCGGCGGGCGACACACGCCGCGGGGTCCATGGCCGCGGGCGCTGGTGGCTGTGCGGGCCGATTCCAGCCGCCAGTTGATCGAGCTGCACAAAACCCCCACCGGTCGAACCCGAACGCACACTGCGGTCCCTCTGCACGCTATCGAAGCGGCGTACATTGGTCCGGCGGCGTGGACTTCGAGCCGTGCATGCATGGCCCGCACGTCAAAAATCAGGCAGCCTGGACTTCCAAGCAAAGCGCCCAGGACAGCGGCGCGCGTCCCCATCAGAGCTAAGAACGACCCGGGCAGCCCGCATCACAACGCCACACAACGCCATCCGCAGCAAAAAAACGAGCGGTTCGTGCTGCAGCGTAGCTCACCGGCTGTGGACATCCCTAGTCCTTTAGCACAAGCATAACCATGGTCTCCTACGCCAAGTTCGATAAATTAGCAAGGGAGCTCGACGGCGAGTCCACGAACCCCACCGACGGCACCTGGACGAAAAGAAGGCAAGACGACTTCTACCTGGATCCCGCCGTGCGGGACCGCGAGGCGAAGACGCTGGCGGCGTGTGCGCCTTTAGGGTCCGTGGTGGAGCTCGACGGTCTGGTCAAGCAGCCCTTCTACAACGGCAGGAAGGGTCTGGTCGTGTCCGGGCGGCTCTGCAAGGGCGAGCGTTTGGCGGTGGAGCTTACCGAAGACAAGTACGATAACAGAGTGCTCCTGGTCAAGACAACGCAGGTCACGCATTGTTTGTTGGAGAAGGCGCCGTCGCGCATCGAATTGTTGAAACCACGAGCATGCGAAGTAGCTGGAAATGTCTGGATCGGCGACGCGTGTAGTGCGGACGTCGTCGCGGGCGGTTCGCACATCCCCGAACAGCTAAAGTGGCCGCCCTTCGCCGCTTTAGTGTTGTGCGCGTCCGAGTTTGATGGCTACGGGTCGAACCCGGCGGTGCCCGTCGAGCTATGTGGAGACGATCTGCATCGGGCCATGACGGTCGTTTCATCCGCGGCCTCGCGCGGCATTTTACGAGACTTGGCTGGTTCGTCGGACGCGGGGCCGGTCTTGGTCTGCGGCGTCGACCGGCGCGATACGAGGCCGGTGGTCGCGGCCGTCGGCGCGCTCGTGCTGCGCGGGTGGACGTTGCAGGACGCCTGGGCGGCCATCCTCAAGGCGCGGCCGGGCGCCAAAATCGGTCCGAAGCGGTGGCGCGCGCTCGTCCAGGCCTTTGGGGACGAGGTCGAGGGCATACAAGCCGCGGCGTGTGAAATATGCCCCGCGGCGTTCGCGGAGAAGCCGGCTGAACCGGCGAAGAGAGAAACGGAGCCGGGCGCGACGCCCCCGCCCGACGCGCCGGCCGATCCGAGCCGGCCGTTGCGGATCAACGTACCGCTTAAGAACTCACAATAATTACACGTGCAGATAATCAGTAGTCGCTCGGGTCCGCGTCGTTCTTCGAGAGCCACGACGAGAGCTTGCCCGCTCTAGCTCGCATGGCCGACGCCGCCGACGAGACGGCCGCCGTCGCGCGGCGGCCGGCGTCGCTCGCGGCCGCCGCGCGCGCCGCGCGCCGCACGGCGTCGACCGAGTCGCGCGCGGCCGCAACCAATGGATCATCATCATCATCATCCGCCGCGCCCCGCGCCGCCGGCCCGTCCCAGCGGTCGTCGTCGAAGTCTATACATAAAGCACGGACGTCGCACCGTTTCGGGTCGTCGAGTTCGACGGCCTCGCCCTCCCGAATATCGTACCAGACGTCCTCGCCCTCCAATTTTCTACGTACGCGGAAGTGGAAGCGGCCGGCGAAGGGGTAGACCGCTCTTAGGGATTCATATGTCAAAGGCTCGTGCACGGAGCAGCGCGTCACGACGTTGCCGGCGGCGTCGGCTGCTTCGCCGTGCAGGTGGACGCTGCAGCGGACGACCATTGTTTGATTTGTTTTTTTACGTGTGGTTTCTCACTTCCGGGCGCGGCTGCGGCGTCACAGAGGCTACCAGGGTGCAGCTGTATAGCTGTATTTGCACCGCGTGGCGACGGCAGCGCTGCCTGCAGCTGGCTGGCGCGGCAACAGCAGATGCGTCACAAGCGCAGAGCAACGATATCTCGCGGCCGCGGCCTTTTTTTCCCACGGCAAAAATAATCAGCTAGCGGTGTATGGGTGCTAGCGCTCACGCATGCAAACCAGAGTCAAACTATTTGCGATCTGCACCTCGCGGACACTTTGGATGCCAGACGGCTGTTAAAAACTTCGACGAGGCCCTTCCGTCCCGCTCTGGGCGAAGGGCCGCAGCCGCGGCCCACAAAAATGAACCACACCAATGGCCACCCCCTGGCGCGGTCTACGAGCCTCGTCTCCAGCCTCGACCTCGTCTCGTCGCCAGAAGAGCTGGGCAAGCGCAAGCGCTTGGATACCAGGGACGGCAAGCGCCACCGGCGCATGGAGTCCGCTCCTGTATGAAACCGGCGCCGAAAAATTTTTCGTTCAATTCTTGAAAAGCGAAAGCGGGCGCCCGCCTGCCCTAAAATGACGACACGGACCCCATACACACGCGAGGACCCCATCTAAACGTCTAACGGCCCCGAACGGCCGCCAAAAAAAATAAGTTGCACGCGCGCCGGACGCGCGCCGGTTTCGAGACGCTTCGAGAGACCGCCCTCACGCCACCGACGCGACACACGCAGGCGAACCTCTTCGGCCTCGGCGACGAATCCTTCGACTTCAACAATTCTTTTGGCCAGGACGACGATTTTATGAACGAAAGCATCGGGAGCCGGGGCCTCCAGGACTTCGGGGACCTGCGCGACCCCTCGGATCTCTCCATGGACCGGTCGCCGGCGTCCCTAGATACGTTCGACATGCCCAACTCGTTTGATTTAGTTGCGCAGCAGTCGGCGACGGTCTTTCCCGCGCCAAGTCCCTCGACAGCAAGGCAGCACTTCCCGCCGGCGCAAAAAACGCGGCAGCAGTCGTCGCATAGTCTAGACATGCCGGAAGGGGCGCCATCAGTTCCGCCCTTCAACCCCGAGGAAGGGTTGTCGCCGGACACCATTACGAACCTCCGGAAGACCTTGGAAGCGACGTCGCCGGCCTCCATGCCCGCGATCCCGCCCCAACAACCACGACAAAGGTCGCCCCGCGCCGCGGAGTGCGCCGAATTTAAACCAGCGCAGAAGTCGGACGAGACCCGAGGTAAATACAAGTGCGGCCGCTGCGGCCAGATCAAGGTGAACCACATCTGCCCCTTCGCGCCAGCCCAGCCGCGAAACGCCGACGCCCAGACGGACGATCCCCGAAGGCCTGTGCGCACGAACGATCGCGACAAGTACGTCGCCGTGACACCGAAAGTCGACGCGATGACGGACGACGAGTTGACGCCGCGGCCCGCGCCGTCCGCCGACGGCGACCACAGCTTCCGGGAGCGGACCGTGAAGGTCGGCACCTTCGTGCCGGCCATCGCTGTAGTTGATGAAGACGGCCCGGGGAAGAGGTCTCATAGGAGAACAGCATCGAGCGCGTCCACCGGCACGGTCGAGACGCTCATGGACACCGATCCTCCGTCGAAGCCGCGACGGAAAGGCGTGAAAAGCGAGGCGACGACGCCGCGGCCCGGGCCTCCCACATTTGTACCGCACCCCTGGGCCGCGGCCTTTGCCTCGGCGACCAAGGCGGGGCCGCCGTCCATGATGTCGCGATCATCCTCCTCTCTGGACTCGACGGCGTCGGGGCCGGCACCGGCTCTCGCGTTCCCGCCTTATAATCCTGCGGCGTTTGCCGCGGCTTGTGCGGCCAGAGGAATACCACCGCCGCCGCCGTTCTTCGCGGGCCTGCCGCCGCGGCCCTTCTTCGCGGCGGGACCCCTGCCGCCGGGCGCCGTACCATTACCGCCGGGCGTCGTGCCGGCGCCGCCGCCGCGCGGGATGATCCCGCTGCCGCCGCGGTTGGGGGGCTTTCGGGCCCCGGCGCTCATGGGCCAGCTCGCGCACCTGACGCCGGCGCAGCTCCAGGCGCTCGCGGCGATGCCGCAGGTCGCGATGCACGCGAGGCCGCCGCCGGGCGCTCCAGCGCCGCCGCGACCACCGCCACCGGTCCCAAAAACCGAAGCGTCCTGACGACAACCCTTGTATCCTATTAAATTCAGTTTTTACCGTGCTCTCGTCGATGGCGTCCTGGCGAATGCCAGCCTAGTTTTCGGTACGCCAGCTCCGGAATGTGTCTTCTTCTTCTTAGTCACTCGCACAGGAGCACAGGGGGTAGGGTTACTTCCGGCCGCGCGTCTACTCTCAGCGATAGCCTTGGGCCTTGAGCATCTCACAAATACCAAGGAAGTTTCGGATATTCGACGCGGTATTTTCAAACATCTTGGTGAACTTGTGAGCGCCGCCGAGGAGCTGCCGGGACTTGTTGACGACGTCGCCGATGATCCTCTCCGCCTCGCGCACATCGGCGCAGCGCCGCTCGAGGCTGCCCGCCGGCGGGCCGCCGCGACTTGACTTACCCATTGGAAGGCCCGAGATGGCGACGGCAAGAACATGGCGGAGAAGTAGCAGAGTATCAGAGTTGGGACGACAATTGCGCACAGCCACGGGGATGGCAGTTTGCAGAAGTGATTTTGCCTCGGCGTGGCGATCTAATTGCACAAGTATAGTTGACATGGACTCAATCATCTGAAGCGTACGTTCGCTTGATGGACCATATAATTTCGCACAGCCGTCGCGCGCCTTTTGGTTCAATTCGAGACTCTCTTCTAACCGGCCGAGATGCATGTAGCAGTTCGCGAGCCAGCTCTGCGTGGTGTAAACGTTTTCTTCCAGGTTTGGGTGTTGCAGCTGAAAGGCCAATAGTGATTCATATATCGGAGCCGCTTCGTTGTAGAGCCCGGCTTGTTTCAGACCGATCGCGAGCTGCGCCATCGCTTTCCAATGCCTTTGGGTTTGCCCATTTCGGTTCGCGTAGGTCTTCCAGCACGCCCACCCGAGCGCGCACCGCACGACACCGACGTACTGCTGTTCGCACAGGCTGCATCCTTGCCATCGCATCCACGACTCAATCTGCGCCTTGTCGCCCAAACGGTTCGCCTCGGCCTCGTCGTTCAAAATCTTCGCTTGCTCCGCCAGGCACGACACGTGCGCGAAGCCCGAAGTCCCACGGCACGCACACATGCGCACGAGACCCTCCTTCGTCTTCCAGTGAACGGCCTGCGTGCATATGTAGCACGTCTGACCCGCGGTGTCCTTGGCGCACGCCTCCGCCGCGACCGCGATCGCTTCCTCACATTTTTTGTCGGCATGGTATTGTTCGGCTCCGCCGCGGCGCTTGATTTTTTTGCACAGCACCGAGTGGCCGCCCCCTTCCCAGTGCTCTTTCTGGCAGGTGGGTCCACAGTAGCGCGTGTGGCAACGAGCGCAGCGCGGCGCCGTATGCGAGATGGGTCTTGCGCATGAGGCACACTGGGTCAGGAGCATCTTGCAAAGAGCCGCCGAGCGCTGCCCCCGCGCGAGTTCGTAGAGGCAGGCGCCGCGCTGGCCCCTGAGAATGTATGGAGCACGCGCGGTCCCGGTGCGAGTGCTGAGCCCAAATGCTCTTGAGGTGACTTGGTCACATTATTTTTTCTGTACCAGCATACTCACATACTAGCTGTTACGTCGATACGAAGTCGGTCGGCAGTCGGTTTTCCGAGATCTCTATACAAACAACACTACGTTAGAAGATAAACTAGTCCGCCCACAAACTCTTCGCCCGCGGCCCCGTCGTCGCGTCGCCGACCGTGAGGTAGAGCTGGAGCCACGCGGCGCCGAGCAGGAGCTGCTCCTCGACCAGCGGATCCGTCGCATCTACCACGCGGACGACGTAATCCTTCGCCTTCGAAGACTCCAGCGCGTCCCTCAGATCGACCGCGTTCGAGGTCGTAAACACGCATACGGGCGTCGTCGCCGCCTTCGCTAGCGCTGTAGACGACGGCGCCCACGCGACGACGGCGTCGAAACCACTCGACGCCCCCTGAAGCGCGGCGTCCGCGCTCCGCCCGAAGCCCACGGCGCCCGTCGCGCTGACGCGCTGCTCGGCGAAGAACGCGGACGCGGCCTCGAGCAGCGCGGCGGCGTCGTAGGCCTCGTCGACGTCCGGGTAGAGCACCGTGGCGTCCGCGTCGAACGCGAGGCGGTCCGCCACCTCCGCCGCGACATCTCCATCAGAGTCCGGCAGCAGCAGCACGCCGCGGCCGCCCTCGACCTTGCCGGCCTTCTCCTGGGCGACGAGCCGCGACGCCGTCGTGAAGCACCTTATTTTTGCGGAGCCGACCTCGAGCTCGTGCTCCTCGCGCACGCTCGAGTCCACGAACCCCACGCGCGCGTCAGTAATAGACGGCTCGTCGGGCGCCGGCGCCGTTTGTTGCGGCGAGACGACGACGTCCTTGGTCTCGGGTGCGGCGGACAGCCTCGCGACGAGCTCCGCTTTCGTGCCGCTGACTTTGAGGCCGCGGCGGCGACACGCGGCCTTCAGGTCGACCAGTTTCATGGCCTGCCACACCGATCCGTCATCGCCGCTGCTGCTGCTGCTGCTGTACAATGTGCTGCTGCAGGTGTGCAAGGTTGTGGCGCCGCGGCGGCGTGCTGGTGATAATGCTTGGACGCGCAGGGCTGTCAGCGTTAATAAAGCGGTCCGAAGCATCATTTATGTGAGCGCCTCGCCCTCATACAAGCTCGTACAAGCTCCCAAAGGCCTAGCTTGCTTGTTTGCTAGTGTCTTACCGCCGCTAGCTGGCTTTGTGATCGGCGGCCGTCGCGACCGTCGCGAAGACGAGGCTATTGGGCCGCTCTTTGTTCTGAAACTGAAGCCAAAAGATAACACCGTCACGGTGACCAAGACCGCTACTCTCTGTTTTGGAGCCTGGCATCCAATCCCAGTGATCACTCCGATTCACTAAGTCGGCGGGCGTCGGTGGCGACTGTCGCTCTAACCGTTGTCTCGCCGGCGCCGGCGCGCGCCCCGCGGCCTCGGCGGCCGCGGGGACCGCTGCGACCGCCCTCTCGAAAAGTTTGCAAATGTCTTGCCTTTGCTCTCTTATTGGGCGGCCCTTGTCGACAAAAACTGCGGCCGTCAGATCATGCATAGCATTGTGGTACTTGTCTCTGGCATCGTCGTATTCCACGCGATCCGCTGGTTGCCTCATAATCGTCGAGGCGGCCACGCTAGCTAGCGACATGTAAGACACTAGCAATTAAAAATGCATCAGTAAAAGTCCGCTCATTGCTGCACAGAGTGGGTTGCACACTGTCAGCGATTGATACCGTACACACACGGCTGCGTGGGATCGGTTTTTGATAGCTCTAACGCTGGACGAGAGCGCTGCAGCAAATCCGGAGCGCAAGGCACGATTTCCAGCGCCAAGCGCGCGCGACGAGACGTACTACACAGCGTCGCTCCCCGTGCCAGACCGCGGAGCTGAATAATGGCGACCAGCATGCAAGACGTAAGCGCCACGGCGGTGGCGGAGGCCTCGGACGGCCTGCAGCCCTGGGCTGGCGTGAACGGCGGCCGTGGCAGAGTCATAGATGAGTGGAATCACCGCTCGCGACCCGAGGGCATCGATCCGTGCCGGGGCACCTACGGCACCGAGGGCTTGCGGGCGCTGGTGCTGCTCACGCAGAGCTTAGGAAGCGAGGAGCGCGTCGCGGGCGTGGCTACTGTCGTGTCGCAGCTCGTCTACGGCCCGGTCACGTGGTGGAAATCCTACGATCTAGAAGCGCTCCGCCGCGAAATTTACCGGTGGTTGTCGCTCGGCAACGACCAAGCCACGACGTTGATCGACGAGATCCTGCGCCAGCACCGCGTGTGGGTGATGGGCGGCGAGGAGGGCCCCTTCGCAAAACTGGGCGAGGTCTTGCACCACCTCAAGTTCTTCCGCTACGAGAAGCGCGGCGAGGAGACGCACCACATCGTCGACGGCGAGCTCATCGCGGAGCTGCGGCGCATCTGCGCGGCGCTGACGTCGGAGCATTCGCACCTCACGGGCACGTGCCACATCGAGATGGCGTTCCTCCTCTTCTTCAACATGGCCGTGGGCGACGAGGAGCTGCGGAAGTTATTAGTGTTCGTGTTCGCCCACTGCCTCTTCGGCGCGGTCGGCATGGCCGTCGCTTTGAAATTATTGAAGTGCTTCCGGAAGCAGCTCTCGGCCGTCGCGTTCGACGAGGATTTGTTGAAGGCGCGCGAGGCCTTGGTTTTGGCTCTGGACGGCGGCGTCGAGGCCACGATCGCGGCCGCGGTCGCGGCCTTCAACTCCGCGTGGTCCGCCGTCGAGGCGGAGGCGGTCAAGGCCTACCCGCACGAGGCCTGCGTCGCGCTCCAGTACCAGATGCAGAAGGTGGACCTCGTCGAGCACATGGAACAGCTCCGCGAGGTGCTGGACGTGCTGAAGACGGCGAAAGAGCCCGTGATGGTATTCGTGGCGCCGAAGGGCATAGTCTCGTGCTTCGGTCAGAAGCCCACGACGTTGAAGGTCCTCCGCTGTCGCTTTGATCCCGGCGCCATCACCACGGCTCTCGAGGGCCTCCATAAACTAAATAACTCGCAAGCGCTATTGTCGAACGCCGTCGCGCTCCTCGTGGCGATGGGGAACTACGGCACGTCGGGTGAGGTCGACGCGGACCTCATGGACCACCTGCGCGGATGCGGCAAGGGGTGCCAGCTAGACATCTACGCGCTTATTTTCTATGGCATACTTAATAGCGCTCTTATGTCGTCGATTCAAGGCGACATTGCGGTCTTTGTACCTTCGGAGGGGCGCTTTGTCGTCGCGCGGCGGCCGGGCGAAGCCAGGCTGGTGCATGCGCTGCGTCAGAAAGTCAACTTAGCCTTCGGGACGGCGCGTCGACCTCCACGCCGTCGAGGCCACGCGTTTGCGGGAGATGGAGTGGTGTTGTGAGGAGTACTTCGCGCAGGCGTACAGCTTCGAGGCGATGGCGCTGGACGCCGGCTACGAACGCGTGCATGATTTCCTGCAGGACGCGCGCAACTCCTACGACGTCACGACGATGCGCGCGGTCCGCCAGTTTAGGAGAGAGGCGCAGTTGTTTGACGAGCGCTTTGTACCGATGAAAGATGCGTTGCGAGCGGAGCACCTCGCGACGATGGCGCGGCGGGCGGCGCGGACGCTCGCGGGCCAGGAGAACGGCGGGCGCCTTTCGAGGACGACGGTCGTTGTAGCTGGAACGCAGTTTTACGACGCGGCGGGGCATTTGAGGGGTTCGGCCCCTGGAGCCGCGGGCGTGTTCGGAGCGCGCGTCTCGTTTGTGAGGGGGCGGCGCTGGTCTACGAAGAATGCGTTCGTCGACTTGCTCTGCGACGAGGGCGCGGACGTCATCGATCATGGGTTAACGACTGGCTCGGCGGAGCTCGCGGCGTTCCTGGCGTCGTCGGAGGGTATTGACGAGCTCGAAGATAGACAGTACCTGTGCGTGATCCCGAACACCTACCCGGCGCCGGAGGGGTGGGAGGGTTTGTTCGACTTGCTCAGGAGGTTTGTGAGTGACGACCGGTGCTACCGCGAGGACGCCATCAGTAGATTCCTCGCGTCGGACGAGGCGTCCTTCTTTGAGTGGGAGGGCCGCAAGGGCTGCTCAGTCATGAAAAAGAGGTTGGAGGAGGTCGATTGCGGCGACAAAATCAGCCGCTTGCTCGTATGGCGTCCCTGTGCGACCGACCCGGACGGCAATCCGTACCAGATCGGCGTCGACCCCTCGTTAGTTCGCCGGTCGAGGCGACTAGCACCGGAGCCGGCGCCCGCGGCCGAGCCAACGCCTTCGGATGAAGATATGGAGGAGGATGACGACGATCCGTTCGCCGAGCACAACGTGCCGCCCGCGACGAAACCCAATCGACCGCGGCTCCTCGAGCTCTACAAACGCAAGTTCGGAAGACCGGCGCCGAAGGGAAGCACCGAGATTACGCTGTTCCCGGGCAACTATCTGGAATGGGTACGGTACAAGATCGCCAACGGCTAGCTCAAGCGTCGCGGCGGTGTCGCTGGGCAACCGCTGCTGGATCTGATGAACTCCCCCTCCCAGTACTGTAGTAACAACACTTCGTTAGTGATCATGGTGCCGTCGCTCAAACACCCTATGCGCAAACGCCCGCAACGCCTCCTCGCCCGCCCCAACATCAAAAGCAGCGCCGTCGTCGTCGAGCAACTCTTCAAAAGCGAACGGGTCCTCGGCGAGCCACGCGTAGGTCCCGAGGCCCTGCGCGTCGTCGGACAGGGCGGCGCCTAGCGCGGCGACGTGCGCCAGCCCCGCGCCGGCCTCAAAGCACGACGACGCGACGACGCGCCCGTGGCGCCGCGCCAGCGCGAGCGTCCGTTCCAGACCGATCAACGCCGGCTTCGCCACCAATACCTCAGCATCGTCGAAGGCCGGCGACCAGTCCGCCTCGGCCAGCGTCTCGTCCAGCGCCGCCGGTATATTACTCGAAGAAAAGGGCGGCTCTTCCACAAAGTCGAGCGGCGCGTCTCCCAAGTGCGCGAGGAACGTCTCGTACTGCTCGCGGGACCACCTTCTATTGGCATCGACGCGAACCTTGTAGTGCTTCTTGACGGCGTCGCGGACGCGCGCGGCGTCCCGCTCCGGCGCGAGGACGCCCGCCTTGAGCTTGACGACCCTATTTGGTAAAAACGCGGGCGCGTCGTCCTCGCCGTCGACGAGGGCCGCGATATCTACCGATCCGCGCGCGCCGCGGCCCAGCGCCGACGCGTACAACGCGGACGGCGAGCGCGTCACGAGTCCGATGACGGCGGTCTCGAGCGCGAAGCGCACCGACGGCAGCTCGGCGTCGGCGCCGCACACATCATGGAGAAACCGGTTCAGGCTCCCGTCGAGCTGTTTCACGGCCGGTGGGATCGTCGCGTGCTCGAGCTTCGCCGCGCAGCGCCGCAGCGCCGCGCGCGCGTCGGCAGCGGACTCGGAGTGGACGCCGCGGCACGGCGCCGCCTCGCCGATTGAATACTGAGAGGCGCTCGCCAGCGCGATCCAGGCACCCTCGACGGCGCCGGCGTCCGTTTCCGACGAAGTGCCGGCCCAGGCGTTTTCGCGCGGCTTCCGCGTCGCGACCGAAAAGTCCTCGACGACAGCCGCCGTGATCACGACGTCTTCCTCATCAGCATGATGATAACTCAAAAAGCCGTGCACGGCGGCCGCTATTTCATCAGGCGCCTCGTCCAGCAACGCGTGGCCGCCCGGGAGCACGGTCGCGTCCAAGGCGGCCGCGTCGCCGGCGCACCGCTCGTCGTGGGCGCCGTGGACCAGGAGCACGTCGTCGTGCGATGCTACGTCTCGTAGGTCCGGCTGGTCCCCCAGCCCCGCGCGCTCGAGCGACGCCGCCGCGTTCTCGGGGAGCCGCGCGAGGCGCCGTCGTCGCACCGCGTCGTACGCCCCTGAATTTCTAAGCTCTCCCCAGAGGCCGCCCTTGGCGCCCTCGGCGTACCAGACGTCGTCGAAGAACGAGGCCCAGTCTGCATCGCATTTCAGCGCGCGGACGCGCGCCGCCAGCGCTTTATCAGCTCGTCGCCGCGCGTCCCGCGCGTCGCCCTCGAGGCCGACCAATCTCGCCGACACGGCCACGACTCTCCCTATTGATGATGGTCTCCGCAACTTGCAGCCGAGGGCCAGCCGCGCGCCCAACGAGTAGCCCACCATGTCCACGGGTCCGTCGTACAACTTTTCGACCAACGCCAGCAGCCCGTCGACCTGGTCGTCATAACTATAACCGGCTTCGGTCGCCGACGCGCCGTGGCCCGCGAGGTCCACCATGACAACGTCGCGGCCCGCGAGCTCCGCTTGGAGTCCTCGCAGATCTTCCCTACTCCCGAAGAGGCCGTGCAGCAGGACGACGGGCGGTCCATTACCATGAAAGCGCTCGTAGGCTAGGTTGTGGGACATGGACCGTCTCGCCGCCTCGACCGCCGGCGCCTCGAGCGCTCTATGAATCGCGACGTTGTCCTTTCGTTGAACCTCCGGGGTCGCGACGACGACATCCAGGGAAGCATCGTCGAGCAATCGTTCAAATTCACTCGCAGACGAAGCTCTGGAAGCAGTCAACCCGTGCGCCTCGACCAGCCGCACGAAATCCACAGCATGCGTCGCTCCAAATAAAGTCTCGAAGACCTCCTCAGAGACGATTTCGTCCGCCGCGATACCCTCCGGGTTCGACGCTAAAGGAAGGAAGCTGAAGATGCCGCCTCCGCCGTTGTCCACAACCACAATGCGCAGCCTTCTTTGATGGGCGTCCGCGACGGCTCGTAACGAGCCGGCGTCGTGGAGCATGGCCTGGTCGCCAATCAGCAAGTATGTCGTGTCGGCGTCGTGGTTCTCCGCGTAGCCCAGGGCCGTCGCCACGACCCCGTCGATGCCCGCTAATCCTCGATTCGCCTCCGCTCTTATAGGTACGCCAAACCTATCGCAGTCCCGGATCGGCATGCTGTTCGACACGAAGAGGCCCGCTTGATGACGTGACGCCGCCTCGGTCACGGCGCGCGCTATAAATGGTTCCGAGAAGCCGTCTATATCTAAAGCTTCGTCGGCGGCCATGCCAGCTCTGAGTAGCGGCTTGAGTAATTTCGACGGAGGAAATATCTGACCATACAACGCCCGCGCAATCATATAGGGAGGCGCCTCGACCCTAACAGACGTGGCGAAGTCGTCGTCGATTCTTGAACGGCCCGGCGCGACCACGACCTTCCGCACATTTGGGGCGCAAAACGCGGCGTCCAGCCACGCGCGCGTCGCCGGCGCAAAGGCCGGCGCGGCACCCAGCTGCAAGACGCAGTCCGGTTTCAACTCCCGTAAAGCTTCTAAAACGGCGTTCGGGCGTCGCACGACGACGTCGACATCTCTGATACCAGAGCGGACGTCAGCATGTATAACAGGCCAGTGCAGCTCCTCCAAGAAATTTGAGACGTCCTCCACATCCTTCGGCGCGAGGCGCCCGACGACGACGACGCCCCTTTTTGATGGTCGCAGGGCGTCCATGATTTGAGACGCGTCTATGGTGTTGACAGAAGTAGTAGACGTCCAGGGGTCATCATGTGACGCCCAGGTCGCGTAGCGCGCGCCCTGTAAGGCGGAGTTGTCCCAGTCCGCGTTCACTGATAAGCCGGGGTCGTTGCGCGCGCCGCCGACGCCTCTTCTAGAGCCGCGGCGCGGCGCGAGGTTCTCGCGGAAGGCCAGGTTCATGTGCGTTGGGCCCTGTGTTGTTTTGGTGTCGTGTGCTTGCGCCTATTTTGCGCTCTCTCTCTCTCTCGCGCGCGCGCCGCGACGCCATCGACGCGACCACTGAAGTTCGTTTTCCGCTCCGAGTACGCACCGGGTCCTCCTCGCGCAGCGCCGCCGCAGCTATTGACGACACCTCACCGAGGTCGCCCAGCGCCGCGACGCGGTCGTCGGCCGGCGGCAGGTCCGCTGCCCGGCGCACCGTCGATCGCAGGAGGTCCTGCTGCCTCTCGAGGACCTGGTCCGCACCGACGCCGCGCATCTCCGCGGGCCGGTCGGCCGTCGCGAAGACGATCGGAATAGAGTCGCGGTCGGCCTCGCAGGCGGCCGGCAACAAGTTGGCGACGGCCGTGCCCGACGTCGTCACGACGCAGGCGCAGCTTCCACTTCGCGCGCGCGCGTGGCCCAGCGCGTAGAAGGCCGCTGCGCGCTCGTCGTGTACTACCCTCAAGTTGCGGCGCACATGGGGGTCCCGCGCGCACGCGAGGGCCAGCGGCGCCGACCGCGCGCCCGGCGCGATGACGAAGCGGTCCACGCCCTGCCGCACGAGCTCGTCGATCACGCTCGCGGCCCAGGCGGCGCCGGCCGTCGGCAGCGTTGCGTACGACGGTAACGGCGCCACGACGTGCGCGGCGTCGCCCGTGAGCACGGCGTCGGCGCCGCGTCTCACGAGAGTGCACCCTTTGATAGTGCCGGTCGCGCCGTCGAACGCGTCACCGCCGAGCGCGATCGCCAGCTCGCACACGTCGTCGCCTTTTCCTTCAAATACCGCCCCGCCGTCGACAAACCGCGCACGCGGCGGCCGCGTGTTTTGACCGGTGCGCAAGGCGAGCGTCGCGGAGCCGTCGAGCGCCGCGCGCAGCAGCGCCGTGCCGTCGCCGTGATCGACCAGGGACGCGTTCAGGCCCTCGAGAATGCAGTCGCATCTGTTGTCTTCGATGGAGAATGCCTCGATGCCGCTGCAGCCGCGGAGGAACTCGCGCGCGGTGCACGCGACGAGGATGGGGCCGTAGTGTTTTGTTGTGTGCGCGTTGATCTGTTGGGTCGTGCGCCAGAGGGACTGCGGTGCGAGCTGGCTCGTCAGGCGCAGCAGTGCGCATATGATGATGGTGCGCATCTTTACTCAGCGTCGTCTCTTTGCTGTGATCAGTTATGCATCGTGGCACTCTGAGGATTCGCACCGAGGCTGCAGCGCGTCTGAAGTGCACTCGTGAGGGAGAACAGCTCAGAGAGTTGCCTCAATCGCGAAGCTAGCGGTCTGTAAAGACACTAGGGATGCTACGCGTAACGCGAGATATGCACGTTAGGAATGGGGATGGATGCGAAGTCGGACTGCTCGACCGGCCCCGGTCGGTCGTCGTAGCCGGGGTTAGAAAGATGGGCTGTGTTAATGCCGCGTCCGCCGCGGCGCCGCCGACCCAGTGCAAGTCGAAGGACTGCCGCTTCGGCGACCCCAGCTCGAGCGGCGGCCTCGGCGACGAAGACATCTGCTGCCCGGACGCCTGGGAGAGCGCCGACGTCATCAACGTGGAGCTGCCGGAGATCGTGATGCAGATAGCAAAGGAGCTTGGCCTGGGCACGATCCCGTTCCGCGAGGCCATTGGCGAATATCACAACGAGGTGCTGAAGGCCATCCGCTCGTACGAGATGGCCGACCAGGTCCACCCGAACGAGATGGGATACCGCGAGATGGCCATTCAAGCCGTCAATGTCCTCAACAAGGCCCTTGCGCCGTCGTTCTGGGCGAAGACCGACGAGGCGGAGACCGGCGCGCGGTGGATGGGGGGCCTCGCCGTCGTCGCGGTCGGCGGCCTCTTCGCCGTGTTCGCGGCGATCTCGCGCAAGGGCCGCGGCGCCGCGCGGGTCGTCAAGGAGGGCTACGGCGCCACCGATTCTACGGTGGACGCGCTGCTGGCCTGAGCGGCGAGCTCTATCCCCGGCGCGCGAGCTTTCCTTCGCGCCGCCATCCATCCCCATTCCTAACATGTAAGTAGTACACTCGAGTTACGCGCGCCTACCCCCCGAAAGATTCGGAGGCGGCCGCCGGTCCCGCCGCTCCTCGGTCACCGCGACGATCCGCGTCGCGACCTTGCACCCGCTATTCAAAACCTTCGCGCGCCGCCGCAGGCCCGTCAACAATTCCAGTTCCTGACGCTCATCCCTCTGGGCCTCTTTCCAGCGATAGTCGCATTGTGCCACAGAAAACTCCAGAGCGCGTATATCTTTTTTGATAACACCGTCGTAGTACGCGTCGTACGGCTGCGCGATGTCCACATCATCAGAGGCCACGGCCGCGCGCGCGACGTCGACGAGCTCGCGCGCGCCGCGCTTCGAAAATAGAGCTCGCCGCCGCACCGCCGCCGCGAGCGGCTTTTCGCGGTGCGCCCGGAATTCCCGCCGTCTATCGTCGAGCTTCCTCTCGACGCTGCCGAGGCACGCACGAAAGTGCTTCACCCGGGCCTGAGCCTCAGAAACGACAGTCATTTGCTCGTTGACGAGCGCCATCTGGGCGCGCAGCTGCGAGTTGAGCTTGCGCGCGAGGCGCGAGGCCCGCGGGAGGAACCAGCGGGGCTCGCGCGCGGCCCGCATGGCGACGCGCGAGGCGGCGCCGAAGATGTTCAGGCGGTCGCGCGGTGTCACGAACGCCAAGCAGCGCTCCACGAGCTCCTCCGGCAGGCCGAAGCCGCGGCGGCCGTTGCGGATTAGCGCGAGGCGCTTCGACGGCGGCTCCTCGGGAGCCGGTTCGGCGGGATCGGCGGGATCGACGCCAGGCGGTACCGGCACGTGCCAACCGTCGAACCCGACGCGGTCCGAGGCGCGGTGGCGCTCCTCCGGCTCGTCCTCGTCGTAGTCCGCGCCGACGCCGTCGCCACTCCACGCGTAGGTCTTGCGGCGGGCTTTCGCCGGGACGCGGCGCTGCTTGAACATTTATTTTTTTGCTGGTGGCAGCGGGGCGACACTGAGGCCAGAGCAGCTTCACGAGAGCTCTGGGGGCGCCACGGGCCGCACGAGAGCTCTGGGGGCGCCACGTGCCGCGATGAATTAGCGCCTGAGAGCCTTAGCTTGTGCTTCACACAGGGGCTCTGCAGCCTACCGAACGCCCAAGATCTGGCCGGCGGCAGGACGGCGGACGTCGCAGGTTCAGGTAGCCAAAAAGGGCACGCCACACTTTGGTGAGGCCGAGCTGCTTTTTGCTTAATCTCGAGGGCTAGCGTACTCGACACACACTAGAATTTAAGCAGCGCGGCAGCTGCGCTCATCCGTGCGATAAATCGACGTCTGCTGGGCCGTAGGCAGCTCTCACGACACCAGAGTAGCGCTCGAAGCGCAAGCGCAGCACTAGGAGCCGCATCGCAAGCAACGCTGCCCGAGAGCGCGGGCAGAGCTAGACAGATACCGAAGCGGCGCGCGGCAAGCGCTGCACGCCGACGACGCGAAAGCATGGCCGAGACCGCAAACGTCACGCCCGAGCCCACCGAGGACTCTCTGATGGGCTCGGCCGTGGCCAAGAAGTTCCCCGGCTTCGGCAAGGAGCTCTGGGACGGCGAAATCGTCGACGGCCCCGATCCTAAAGGAAGGTGGTGCGTCTACTGGGCGCGCGACGATTCTACAACGTGGCACTCGCGGTCCATGCTCGAGAAGATCCTGACGCGGCGCGGGCCCGCGGCGGACGACGACGCGCCGGCGGCCGCGGAGCCCGCGGCCGCCGCCGCCGCCGCGACGACGGCGATGCCGCCCTTACCTCCCGCGACGCCGAGCGAGGCCATGCCTCCGTTACCGCCGCCGACGCCCACCGAAGAGGCATCGCTACAACAGCCACCGAAGAAGAAGGCGCCCTACAAGTGCTCGACGTGCGGTCCGCGCCCGGCGTCCTCGTATCGTCGGCGCGACGGCGTGGACGTTGCGCGCCGTCGACGCGACACTGTAACTCACCGGTCGCTCGCGCCGCGCAGGCCAGGCCAAGAAGAGCGACTGCGTCTGCCCCAAGAAACCGGCGCCGCGCGGCAAGAAGAAGAGCAAATTACCAAAGACGGACGAGCCGCTCGAGGCCATCGAGTCGCGGTTTCTGGGCGAGGACGAGGACCAGCGCGAGCTCGAGGCCTGCCGCGAGCGCAAGGGCGCGCTCGACGAGGAGGCCGAAAGATTAAGAAGGGAGCTCGCGGAGACGCGTGCGGCGCAAGCGGCGGCGGCGCCCGCGCCGTCCCCAGAAAAGAAGAAGCCCAAGAAGCGACCGCCGAAGAAGGCTTTTGAAGTAGGTTCAATTGTGGACGCGGATTGTAAGGCCTTCGGCCCCCAGTACGTGGAAGCAGCGCGCAACGGCGGTCCCAAGAAATTTAGAGGAGTGATCGTCGCGACGCCGCCCAATAGTGACCACTGGAACGTCGAGTACGACGACGACGGCGAGACCTTCGCGACGGAGTCAAAACATTTGACGCTAGTAAGTGAACCGACGAAGAAGAAGGCGAAGCCGAACGAGGTCTGCGTCGTCTGCGGGCTACCGACAGTTGATGAAGACGGCCGGCCCCAGGACGACGTTATATTGTGTGCGGATGACGTTTCTCACGAGTGCCACCTCAAGTGCTCGGGCATCACGGCAGGAAGCGCAAATTCTATGAATTGGCGCTGCCCGCGGTGCGACATCAAGAAGTGCCAGGAACTTTCTCTGCAAGAAAACGACCTCACGAGCCCCTGGGTCGGTTTGGAAGCTCACAGACTAGTGAGAGAATTAGTAAAAGGTCTACAGAGAGAGTACAAGCAACTCCTGGTGTCGGGCCAGCGCATCGACGAGAACACGCACGACGTTACCTTATCACATGCCGACGCGTGTGAGTTGTACGGCAAAGCCGTGTTCTGGGAGGGGGCCTCGGCCGACCTGACGGCGCGGGGTCGGCGACGCAGAGCAGAAACGACCTTGAACTTGACGTGGTCGCGGCGATGGCGTCTTCGCGAGACCACGCCGCCTCGACGCCGTCGACGTGGCCGTCCGAGAGTCTACGGGTCTCGTGACGACGGCGTCGTTCCACGCAGGCGGCCTCCTCTACTCGCAGCTCGAGGTCGGCGAGGCGGAAGATTGGCGGCGCAAGCCCCGGTCGATATCGCTATTCCCGTCGGGGCGGGTCGTGAAGACGGTAGAATATTTGGAGGACCAGTTTAGAGGAAGGATCCAGAAGGCCTGTTCATCGTTCTATCCCGATCAGGCGCCACCTTTACCGATTGACCAGGCGGCCAATATCTTAGTACAAAGATGGTTGGATACCTGTGAAGAGGCGACGCGGCAGGTCGATGATCGGAGGAAGCGCGTCACGGCGGAACTAGGATCGTCGGTGCGCGATGATCAAGCGTGGGGCGTCCGGTTAGCTTATTTGGCGGACACGGCCTCGGACCACGGCGCGGCTCTCAGAGGCGGCGCCGGCGTGTCGAATGGTCGAGGCGACGTCTTGGCGACGCTGGATGACGGCCCGTTCCGCGTCGCGGAGGTCTACTGCGCGAAGGACTCCGCCATAAGGTTACCGATTCGGGCGGACGTCTTGGAACGGTTGCTGAAGCGGTTTCGGCGGGCCCAGGACGCGGCCGACGAGGCCATCGGCAAAGAGAAAGAACAGAAGAAGACCGTCACAGCGGTTCAGGAACCGCTGGTCCAGAAGGCCGGCCGCATCCCCAAGAAGCGGAAGCGCACGCAGACCTCCGAAGAACATACCGCAAGGCCGCCCCACTTCCTATCTCATGTGTATTCGATGCTCCTACGATATGACGATCTCTCGGGAGAAGCGGGGCAGCACGGCGCGATCCCGCCGCAAGTGTTTGACGTCCTCAGGAAGTGGGGCTGCGCGCACGAGTGCTGCGCGACGCCGTTCAACGCCACTCTGGACTCGTACGGTTCGCCGTTCCTGGACACGGACGGCGTCTTTGGATCCGCGGGCAGCTTCTTCGCCTTCGAGCCCGTCTTTTGCCTGTGCGGAAATCAACCAGTGAGTCGATGGCGTCCTGAAATATGATTTGCACACAGGACGAGGGCTGCTTCGAGATCAACCCGCCCTTTACATTAAGTGGCAACCACGTGAGCGACCACATGGGCCGCATCTTACAACGAGCGGAGGATTCAAGGAAGCCCCTGACCTTCGTCATGGTCCACGCGGCGCCGCACGCGCGCGTCGCGCGCGAGGCGGGGTTGCAGCGATTCGTCCGCGAGGAAGTGAGGTTGGAGGGCGGGCGGCACTACTACCTCGAGGGCAACTTCTACCAGCGGGCGCAGCCGCGGGCCTACGTGCCGCCCTTTCCTTCTGTTGTATTATTCTTCTCAACCACCGAAGGGAGTAAACGGTGGCCCGTCACGCGGAGTTTGGTGGATGATATTAAAAAGGCTTTCGCGTGGCCGCGTGTTAAGTCAAAACCGGCGCGGCCCTCGGCGATGCTGCCGGTGCCGTCGCGGCCCTCCATTAAACCGCCGGACGTGCCGTCGTGGCCGGCGCCTGCACCGGCGCCGGCGCCGCCGGCGCGGCCCGATGCGGTGTGGCCCGCGGCCGAGCCGGCGATCGACCCCGCCTCAACGACGCATGAAATGGCGCCGGGCGGGTGGCAGACGGTAATGATGTAAAAAGGAATATTAACTTACACAAACACATCCGCTGGCTCAGTCCTCGCTCAGGAACCGCTCCGCGAGGCGCGCGTCCGAGTCTCGGTAGCTCCTCTTCCCGGCAATGTTGTACCGGTTGTTTGCGATCGTGTCATAAGCAGCATCCGCAATAGCACGGGGGACGACGCCCTGCGCGATGGTCGCGAGCGGCGTCGTTAAGCTGAGTTGCTTGCCGATCTCGAGCACGGCCTCGCTCTTGATGAACGCCTTCTCGGGGGTAACTAGTACTATTGACGAGATATCGTCCGGCTTGCGGCCCGACCGCTCGAGCAGCCGACGGCCCGCGGGCGACTGGAGCGCGGCAAACCTCAGCTTCGCCGTCGGGTCGTTGTCGAGCACCCAGTTGACCCAGAAGTTGCACATTCTACACACGCCGTCGTAGAGGACTATCGGAGCCCGGTTCTCCGCGAAGGGGTCGGCCGCCGCTGCACGACGCGTCGACGCGGCGCGGTTCACAGGCGCGACTGCGGGTCGCAGCGACGCGGTACGTGCGAGCACGGAGAGGAGTCCGATGCGCATCATTGCCATCTAGCTGTCAGAGTGGTCTTGCTGCGCAAGCGACAGCTGCGGCAAGATTGTTGCTTGTAAAACGTGTGCAGTAGTTGGAATGTCTCTGAAAGCGAATAGATTGTCACAAATAGTCCCACAGCAAAGGCGTGGCAGCGCGATGAGTTGGCAGCGGCTCGGGCTAGCGTACAGTAAGACACTAGAAAACAAAAAAGCTCGGCGCGCAGCGGCTAATTCGTAACAGAGGCTGCCTCCCCGGCTCGGCTTGCAGCTCCGCGGGCGGCACAACACGAGACTCGCCAGACGCCATCGCTGCGAGGCTGCCCAGCCGGCCAAAAAAAAGGCAGCATGGCAGCACAAGCGGCCGACGCCAACGAGCAAAACGACCAGCTCCGCAAAGCGGTAGAGCAGGCCCTCGCCGCGTCCTTCGTCGCGAGGAGAGCCAAGGCCGACGTGGCGAAGGACCTACTGAACAAGGACCGGCCGCCGACGGCCGACGACATAAGGCAAGCGCTCGAGGACGGGGGCTGGGCGAAGGAATTAAGGATCAAGGTCCACGAGCTCCACAAGCAGGCTACTACGGAAAAGATTCTCGGGAAGGACTCTCTAGCTTCCGTGCAGAAAGCCAGAAAACAGTGGGAGGCGTCGATCAATGATGAGTTGCGGGCCATCGCGTCGGAGAGGCGAGTACCGTTAGTGAGAAAAAGGAAGAAAATTGTCATAAAAAAAAAGGAGGAAGAGACCGACGAATTAATAGAAATGAAGGTCGAGGAGATCCTGTCGCCGACCCTTGTGACGCCTGGTACGCGGTTCTTGTTCGACAGTGATGATCTGTTGGACGCGATATCACATATAGAATCACCAAGTAACAACGAGGGCTGGGGCCTCGTCAAACTACAACTCAGAACAGCGACACTCACAGAACTCCGTGACAAGTACAAGGAGCTCCACCCCTCAAAAAGGCAGTATGGTGTGGATGACGTCACAGGCGATCCAAGGGATAAAGCGAAGTTCGCGGACGCCTGGCATGAGTTAGGAGAGAAATGTCTCGCTGAAGGACATATACCACTCGCGAGGACGTATGCGAGACGAGGCGTGCCTCCGTCCCTACGGCCGGCCGTCTACCGTTCTCTGTTAGGCCTACCACACATGGAGGATGCCCAGGCGACGTCAGCCTTCGAGGAGAGGTACTACGAAGATCTGAGGGACAGAGTAGATTCAATAGAACTGGTCACAGACGAATTGTATCAAATGGACGTCCAACACGTGGCTGACGACGATACCTACTTTATATTTGACGAGATGCTCGGCAATTGTGTGTTAGCGTTTTCTAGGGATTCTTGGGTGCCCAAGAACTGTGTCGTGAAGACGCACGCACCACTCCCATGCGAGAACGACCTGATGAAGGGGCAGCCGGTGCCGCCGTGCGGCGTCCAGCCCTTTCGAGGGTTTGTGTCGTATGCAGCACCTTTGACCTTCGTGTTCGGCCGAGAAACATCGCTCTATTTCGCGTTTCGAGCCTTCTACGCCCAGCACTTTTGCCGACTGAACGTCTTGCGGACGAATCAAAATACGCTGCTCCCGCTCTGTGCGTTGTTCGAACGATTGGTGATCGAGCACCACCCTCGGTTATTCTTCTACTTGGTCCAGGTCGGCGTGGACCCGTTGGCCATCGCTCTACCTTGGATACAATTTGGGTTCGTCGGCCTGCTAGACGTCGAGCAAGTATTACTACTGTGGGACCGGTTGTTGGGATTCGAGGATTTGGCCTTGTTGTCGGTGCTAGCGGCGGCGATCTTCGTTTATAGGAGCGAGAAGCTGCTCCAGTGCTCTTCATTGGAAGAAGCTAGGGAGATGTTCGCGGACGGCGCGGTCCTCGAGGTCGTGCCGCTGCTGCAGACGTTCCTGTGGCCCGAGGGGTTGTAACTTATCACGTCTAGTACTATGGTCTAGTTGTTGGGGCGGGCCTGAGTCGCCTGACCCGGTGCCTGGGTACATTAGAACATATTATACATGAGTCTCGACGGCCTGTTCCTCGGCGACGGCGCGCTCGACGATGGGCCTAGCAGACGTCCGCCGCTCTTCTTCCTCAACCGACCTGCGATACGTGAGCCACCGCGCGATCGCCGACGCCTCCTCGTCCGTCTCCGACGAGTCGCTCACGCCGTCGCCCGGCGCCGCGCCGTTTGTATGACGCACCGTTGGTCTATCGGGCGACGTGTGGCGCCGTCCCAATTCCTCGGACGGCGTCGGCGCCGGCGCCCAGCCCCGCCCCAGCGCGAAGGGCCCCACGTCGACGGACCAGCGCGGCGGCCGCCGGTCGGACGCGTCCGAGTCGAAGGAGTCGTCCGTCTCCGCGCGCTCGCCGTCGTCGGTCGTGCCCGTCTGCTGCGACGACGCGTCCGACGCGGCGTCGTCGACATCGACGGCGACCGAGGGCTTGACCCTTTGAGACGGCGCCTGCGATGCGCCGAAGAGCGAGAACTCCGTCGCCCCCCGCACGGACGCGGCCAGGCCGTTGACCCACGCGGGGATGGGCCCCACGCCCAACGAGCGACACAACGCATCGCAAAAGTGGCAGCAGTTGCGCTGCAGCAAGGCGTAGGCGTCGCCCGGCCACGTCGCCACGAGCCGCGCGAGCCTTCTCTCAATAATGCGCGCGTCGGACGGCGCGCGGCCCATGGGGATGGCCTGCCGAAACTTCGCGCCGCACGCGTCCCGCGGCTCGCAGGCGAAGACGCCCGTGCCCTCCTCGCAGTAGCCATAACTGTACTCTACACCTGCTACTTCGACGCCCGCGTGGAATAAGCCGACGTCCCAGGACCGCATGAGCGTGCGGTTCAGCGATGCTAACGTACCCGTAAGATCCGTGCCGCCGACGTTCGAGAGGTCGTAGACGTTCAGGTAGACCGTGGGCCCGGCGCCGCGTCGCCGGTTCGACTGCGCCGCGGCGACGCGCGCGGCGGCGCCGGCCGTCCAGCTCTCAGCCTGGGCGAGGTGGTCGACGGACGCCGGCGACAGCTGCTGCGCCGGCGCGCGCTCGGGCCACCACTGGCCGCGCGGCGAGGGTGGCCGGCTGGAGCTGGCTGTGCTGCCTGAGTCGCTTACGTCCTCGTCCTCGGCCATGCTGGTCCCGCGCGCAGGTCTTGGCGGCTGCAAGGCCTTCTTGTCAGATCCAGCGCGATTGGTGCCACAGCGCGAGCGCTACGCCTGCGACTGATTTTTCATGCAGGTTGCTAGTGTCTTACAGGCCGCTAGGTCGTATCAAACAGCTGTACAAGGCCATTGCCGACCAAGCTTTCTGAGTTTTTTTATCCGGTGTCGTCGAATGGGGTGGGGTGGGGTGGGGTGGGGTGGGGAGGAGGAGGAGTTAGGCTAAGAGGGTCATGACACCGCCGACGACGAGGGCCACCGCGACTCGTCCGCCTCGCCGCGGCGCCGCGTCCGTCCCTGGAGTCGGCGCGGGCGTCGAGTCGCAGCCGCCGTCCTCCGTTTTGAACTGGCCTTGCGCGACGCCGCACGACGTCGACTCGCACAGGGTGTCGTCGAACGCCTGGTCGAAGTCGTCAGAGTCGTCGTCTACCACGTCGCCGCCTACGCACCAGCCGAGGGTCTGGTTAAAGGCCGAGGCGCCGTAGAACATCCGCCACATGCTCGTGACGCTCTGGATCGTCCAATTACCGATGTCCTGGTTGAACGCCGATAAAGCGCTCTGAAGAAGCCAAGGTACTGTTGTGCAAGATTATGCCTGTCGCGCGACGCGTTCTCGGAGAGAGTCACGAACTCACGCTCACGATGAGGTGGAATTACGCGCGGGCGCTCTACCAAGACGACGACGCCACGCTCGGAGATCTGTGCGAGGCGGTGACGACGCTCGAGGAATCGGAACGGACCGCGCGGCGCGTGTTCGGCCGCGCGCACCCGCTCACAGTGGACATTGCCTCTTGCCTGCTAGACGTGTACAAAATCCTCCGCGCCCGCGAGACGCCGTCGCCGGGGGCGGCGTAAACTAAGCAATCCACCATTACCCCAGACTACCAAGGCAGCCGCAGCTCCTCGTTCTCCCGCCGCAAGCCAGCGTTCTCGCGCAGCAGCTCCGCGATCCGCGCTTCGTGCGCCTCGAGCAGCGCCGCCACCTCGGACTTCTGGATCTGGAACTGGCGCAGGACGTCGACGTGGAGGTTCTGGATCGACGCCCGGAGCTCGTCCGCGACGTCGTCCAGGGCCTCGTAGAACGCGGGCGGCGCCGGCGCGGGCGAGACGGCCACGGGCGCCTTATCCGGCGATTTCTGCTGCTTCTCGCGGTAGAGGCGCGCCGGCGACGGCGGCGGCGGCGGCGCCTCGGGCTCGACCGCGGGCAGCGGCGGCGGCGCAACTACGCGGCGCGGCGAGGCGACGGGCGACCGCGGCGGCGTCGCCTTGGGCGTCGCCTGGCGCGGCGGCGTGGCCACGCGCGGCGGCGTCGCCTGACGCGGCGGCGTCGCCTGGCGCGGCGGCGTCGCCGCGCGCTGCGGCGACGCCGCGATGCGCGGCCGCGGCGGCGCGGCATCGACGAACTGCAGCGACCGCACGGCGCCGTCGTGCGCGTCGACATGCGACACGGGCGCCGCCGTCGACCGCAGGTCGTAGGCCACGAGCCGCCCGTCGTCCGCCCCAACCACCACGACGCGCTCCGTTGCGAAGGCTAAAGAAGTACACCGCCCACCGACATCCAACGCCTTCACGCACACGCCTCTATCGGCGTCCCAGAAGGCCACGGCGCCGTCCGCGCGCGCCGCGGCCAGAAATTTGGCGTTTACGGGACTGAAGGCCAGTCCCAACAGATCCGTCGTCGCGCGCCCGCCCCCGAGCTTCGCGAGCTTCTGCGACCGGTCGACGTCCCATAATCGCAATGAGCCGTCTCCATGGAGCGCGCCCAAATGGTGGGGCCGCAGCGGCGAGTACTCCAGAGTTGTAATGGGTGGTTGGCTGCTTTCAGCTAGTAACGCGAGGAGCTGCCTGGAGCGGACCTTATGTATTAAAACCTCGCCTTGGGCGTTGCCGGACGCGACGCAGGTTGAGGTGGAGTCGAACCTGCATGCTGTTATAGATGAGCCGTGATCTTCTAAAGTTCGTACGATTCGTCTCCTTTTACAGTCCCAGACGTCCAGTAAGCCGCCCTCGCCGCCGACGCAGACTAATCGAGATGACTGGTCGAAGTCGCAACATTGTAGAAGCCCGCGCGGCGCGCCCTCTTCATTATTCCCCAATCGTAGCGCCACGGTGGCGTCCCTCGTCGCACAGAGCGCGACGTCGACGCCGCAGCTCACGATGGCCTCGCCGGAGCTCGACAGGCGCGCGGCGGTCGCCGTCTCGTGCGTAGTCACGCGGCAAATGGATTCTTCTCCCACTCCACTCCCGCTCGCGGTCCAGGCGGCGACGACGCCACCGCTGCTTTGTGAGGTTGCGGCGGAGAGGAGCATTGTGGCTTCGCGCGATGTCTATGGCGGCCAGCGGTCCCGCGCGCCACAGAGCAATGGGTGCTGTACTTAAATTTGAGCGGCTCAGCGGTGAAGGCCGGAGTCTGAGCGGCTGGCGTGGGTGTAAAACTAAGCTATAGCACCGTAGTCTTGCACCGAGGCTGCTTCTACGCGCAAAAAAGCTTTGGGCGCGGCGCGGCTGGCTAGCGTCGTGTAAGACACTAGCAATCACGGCTGAGACTGCAGCATAGCGCCTACTCGACTTGCGTGAGCGTGTAGCAGCCGCTGCGACGCGTACTTGAACTCTACTGACCAGTGGTGACGCTTGACTGCTGCGCTTCGTCCCGCGGGCCACTGGGAGAGAGCTGCACAGCCTTGCAGCAAGCTGCATCGCTCGCACGAACACGTACCGCGAGAGCAAGCCGTCGCCGGCCACCGCGACGACCGGCATACTGCGCCACAACAGACACAAAAGGCTTCGTCGCGATGAGCGCCGCGCCGTCGGTCCGCGCCGCGGAGTCGCACCGCGGAGGAGGCGAGGCCGAGGCGCCCGAGCTCAGCGTGTCATCGTCGGAGCCCGTCTCGGCGAAGCAGGCCGAGAAGGCCATTACGACCTTCCTGGCGGCGACGCCGGGCCTCGGCGCCGACACGGCCGCGCAGCTCCGCGACGCGCGGGACGCCATGCGCGCCGAGCGGAAGCTCCTCGATTCTGTGGCGAAGGGTGGTAAATCATGACTCTATTGTGAACGCTCCCTTTTCGCATAGCTAGCGGTATGTAAGACACTAGCAAAGCCAAAAAGCCACGCATCCCGCAGCCGCAGGATTCACCCGCTTGCCGAGCCTGCCATTGCTCGTATCGGTGCCTGGCAAAGCACAGCTGGCCACAGCACACGCAGCTGCTAGCAAGGCGTGCAATTGAGGCGCCATCGCTGCCTAGCTTGCAAGCTACCTAGCAAAAGCAGCAGCGAGACGCCATCGCAGCAAGACGAGACGCGTTTTATTCATCGTCCTCGGCGTCGCGGCGACCCCATCACCACGCAACCACAGAACCATGGCCAAAAACGGAGGCGAGGTCTGGACCGCCGCCGGCAAGAGCCAGGACGACTTTATGCTTAAGGATGAATGCATTCTGCTGGACTTCGCGGACAACGTGATCGGCCACGACAATAAATACAACGCGCACAAGTGGGTCGTCGGCCAGCCGCGGGGCATGCTTCATAGGGCCTTCTCCGTCATGTTGTTTGACAAGTCGGGTCGATTGTTACTGCAGCAACGCGCTTCTGATAAAATAACGTTCCCCGACGTCTGGACGAACACGTGCTGTTCGCACCCTTTGTATGGCATGGCGCCCAGCGAAGTCGACCAGCCAGAAGCTACCCTCAAGGGCCAACCTGTGGGAGTCTTCCACGCGGCCATAAGAAAGCTAGGCCACGAGCTCGGCATCTCATCAACAGATCTGGACGTGAACAAGTTCGCCTTCGTCACGCGGGTCCACTACGCGGCCGCGGACGTCGTCACGCATGGTCCCGACGCGCCGTGGGGCGAGCACGAGATCGACTACTTGCTGTGCTACAAGCTCGACATTGATGGTGAGTCTTTATCCATGAAACCGCATCCGGAGGAAGTGCGAGCCACGCGATGGGTCACGAAAGACGAATTGTTTCGATTGATGGACGAGAAAAAGGAGATGCCGCTGTGGTCGCCCTGGTTCTGCATAATTGCGAGAAAGTTCCTGGAGACGACGTGGTGGGGCTCGTTGAAAGATAAGAAGGCCGTGGTCAAGACGTGCAAGGACTGGGCGACGATTCATAGGTTTGATTGTCCGGACCACCTGGCGGTCGACGGCGTCGGCGGCGGCCAGGGCCATGCGACGCCGTTCCTCGACGATCTGGAGAAGCAAGTGCGCGCGGCACCGAAGAAGGAGGCCGAGATCCTCAAATCAGCTTTTAGGAAGGAGATGCTGAACGACATCGCAACTACAACATCAGTACACGGTCGCAGCGGTTCTTCGCTGAAGCAGGGGGCATACGGGAAGGTGCGATCTCGGCGTCCCGCGGTTCCGCGGTGCCTTCACGCCATCGATGCGACTCGTGTCCACCTCACGATGCCGTGGGTCGTTTCTTTTTCGACTTTGGGGCCGTTCGGACCGCGTCGAACGACCGCGATGCTCCGCGCAGGTCCCGACGCACTCGCACTCGAAGTTAGATCAACTCCTGAGACCGAGGGAGGTCATTGCTGCGTTAACACTGAAATTCGCGCCGAAACTAGCTGGATTGAGAGATAATTTGGGAGGCTCTACGAATGAGGACGTGCGTTTTTGCGACGACATGCTCTGCAAAGTCTCTAGATCGTTCGCTGCCGTGATTCAACAATTGCCCGCAGGGTGCTGCATCGACATCTGCGTCTTCTATTTAGTACTACGCGCGTTAGACACCGTCGAGGACGACATGACGTTTTACGCCGGAAATGAGGGAAAGAAAGAGCAGGAGCTGCGGGCCTTCGCGTCGACGCGGTTGCTGAATGATAGTATGGAGCCCATCCGAGGCTGCGGCGAAGGTGATGAGAGATTACTGTTAGAAAACTTTGGAGCGGTGGCGCGCGTCTTTGCCTCGCTGCCGAAGACGTCGCGAGACGTCATCCAGGACGTCACCCAAAAGATGGGCGACGGCATGGCCGACTACGTGACGGCGGAACTGGCCCAGGGTACGCAAGATACGGCGGCGTATAACCTGTATTGCCACAATGTCGCTGGTTTAGTAGGTGAAGGGCTGACCGGTATCTTTGTCGGGAGGGAGTACGAAAGTCGTTCGATAGAAGCTGGTGGTCAATTAACGTGGCCCTTCTGCTCTGGTGAGAACCATCTAGGCCTCGCGAACAGCATGGGCCTCTTCCTGCAGAAAACGAATATTATCCGAGATTACCTCGAGGACTACGTCGACGGGCGGGCGTTCTGGCCGCGGTCCGTGTGGACGAAGTACGCTACGATTGATGACTTAGGGGACTTTACAAGGCCAGCCGCTCGCGGCGGCGGCGATGCGAAGTGCATCGACACGGATCATGCGAAGAGTATAGTGACGAAGGGCGCATCTCACAGAGCCTTGCATTGCCTCAACGATTTGGTTGCGGATGCTCTCGAGTTAGTACCCGATGCTTTGGAATACTTGTCAAGGTTGAAAACCCCGGAGGTTTATAGATTCTGCGCGATCCCCCAGGTTATGGCCATCGCTACTCTCTACGAGTGCTTCGACAACGAGGAGGTTTTTACTGGAGTTGTTAAAATAAGAAAGGGTACCGCTGCTAGACTGATCGTCGACACGCAAAAGGGGCACTTGACGACGTTACAAACCTTTAGGAGATACGCGTTGTTGCTCCAGAAGCGTTCGTCGACGTGCCGCGCGCCTCCCCATGTTCAGCAGCGCGTGGCCGATGCGGCGGCCGCGATTCTGGAAGCGACGCCGGCGCCGTCTCTTATACAGAGGTACGGTTCTACAATCGTCGCGTTGGCTGCCGTCGGGGCCTACGCGGCGCTCAACTAAGACCTTTTACTACATTACTGCACGGTTTCTGAGTCGTCGTCGACGGCGTCAGTGGGCAAGGCCCGCGGCGCCGGATCTAAACGATACTCCGCCGTATCTCCTACATGACAGTAGCCGGCGCGCGTCCAGAGCCCGTCCAGGGCGCCGGCGGGAACGACCACCGTGGCAAACCCAGGGCCAGTGCGGTCGTCGAGCAGTACCGACGTCACGCTCTTGACCAGTTCCGTCGCATGACCTGCTCGTCGCAGGCTCGGCGGCGTATAGACGAGACCAATTCTGCGGCCGCCGGGACTCGTCGCCTGGCCAACCACTCCACAAATACAAGCTAGCTCCCCGTCCTTTTGGCGCCGCACATAAACGCCGCCGAAGCGCTCGAGCGCCACGCGACCCGGTGTCCGTTGCGCCGCGTCGATGCCCGCTTCGACCTCGCACGCGTCCAGCCACTCGATGACCGTGGCCGCGGAGCGCGACTCGCCGGTAACGAGCTCCGGCCGACCCGCTTCCTCTGCCGGTCGTCGTCGAGAAAAAATGCGCAGGCCGCCGGTCTTCTCCGGCGCCTTCCAACGCCGCCGGAAGGCGAGTTGCCTCGAAAAGGCCTCGGCGAGCGACGCCGGGCCGGATACTTGTTTTACGTTTGCCTCGGCCTCGGCGAGGCATTCTGCGAGCAGTAACGCCGCCTGCATCGCGACGCCGTCATTGCCGTCGCCGCACAAGCGCAGCGTCCCATCGCCGATCGGCGGCCGCAGCGCGCCGAGCACCGCGTCGGCACCGCTGCGCACCACGAAATAGTCGCCGCCCGACGGGCAGCGCGCCGCCGCCGCCGCCGCGAGCTCCAGCGTCATGAACTCAAAGTCGGCCCGCGGCAGCAGCATGGGCGCCGCGACCTTCAGGAAGGCCGCCGCGTTCGGGGCCTTCGTGACGATGGGTGGCGGCGGCGGCGGCGCCGTGCGCTCCGTTCGCGCCGCGACGCGGGCCAGGGTTTCGCGGAAGAGGCTGCCCGGTGTCGGTTGCGCATCGGTGCTGGCTGCGTCGGCGTCCTCTTCAATTCTAAGCCCGGCGAGGTGCCCGGCCATTGCGTTCTTCAATTCTAAGCGCGAGGCAGCACTACAAGCTCGTATAGGCTGCCCAAGGTGTCGAGAGATCGATGAGCTCATGAGAGCGTGCGGGTTCCTTACGACCTCTGAAACACAGCCTCCAATGCGTGCAACAGGCACTTGTGCACGTCCCCTCGACTGCGTCTCCGCCAACCCGCGAGATCGCCATCAATCTGTTTGAATACCAACTACTAATATTCAGAAGCCGTCGGTGACCACCTGCGGGGCTGCTTCGACCGCGAGCGGACCGCCGCGAGGTCCTACGAGGCTACTCTCTCGGCGCACAGAACCGATGGCGCCGGCTGTTGTGCTCACGCACGTCGAGGACCCCTATGCGTCGCACTGGAGCTGCCGCGCAAGGGCCCCGTACGCGGACGAGGCGCCGACGTTCGACGACCATTGGACCTGTCGCGAGCGGCCGCCGCCGGTGAGCACGCCGCGCAAGACGTTCCTCGCCCGCCGCGCGGCCGCGTCGACGCCGGACGTCGGACAGCCCATGCGCCACCCCGGCGTGCTCGCGTTGCCGCAGGATAAGACGCTCGTGAATCTGGAGGGGAACATCGGCGCCGGCAAGAGCACGCTCCTGCGCGTGCTGAAGGCGGCCTACGGCGGCTGCAGCGCCGTCCGCTTCGTCGACGAGCCCGTCGCGCAATGGGAGCGCGCGGGCCTGCTCGCGGCGCTCTACGCGGGCAAGATGTCGCCCGCGGCCTTTCAGCTCACCGCGATGGTCACGCGGGCGGCCGCACTGAAGGAAGCCCTCGCGGATCCTTTTGCGAAAGTGATCATCAGCGAGCGGTCGCTTGCGTCGGACCGTGCGGTCTTCGCGGAGACGCAGCTCTCCGGCGCCGACCGGGACGCGTACGACCTCGCTTACGAGACGATCGAACTGCCAGCGGTCGCCGCGACGGCTACCGTGCTGCTCGAGTGTCCCGTCGAGGAATTGACGAGGCGCGTCGCGCGTCGCCGCCGCGACGGCGAGAATCACGTCTCGGGCGAGTACCTGCAGATGCTCGAAGCCGCGCACGAGCGCTACTTTGCGACTCTCGACCGCGCGAGTCGCGTCGACGCGTCGGCCGCGCCCGACGACGTCGCACGAGGCGTGGTGAATGCGATCAACGGCCTCGTCGCGCCTTCTTTGCCGAAGCCGCGAATGCGGTCGCCGACGAGTGTGGCGGACCTTGTCGACAATGACTCCGACGTTTGAGACTTCTAGTGAGCTAATGGTAACTTACTGGCGGAAACAACGTCCGAAAGCTCCCAAAGTGGGCTAGCGCAGTCAGACACTAGGGCAAGCAACAAGCTCGGCACAAAGCAACGCAGCTCGGATACGCGCTCGGGAGGGACTACCGTGCAGTGTCCGCTCGTTTCCTCAATCTCCGGCTGCGCGACGTTCCCCCACTAGCTTTACGCCGCCGACGCGGCGGTATTGACTGAGTTTGGCTGGCAGGACAACCCGAGGAAGCAAAAGAAACCCTCGTAAAGTGACAGCTCAACAGCTTGTAGTGCTTGCGAAGCGTACATGAGAAGAGGGGAAAACTCTCCGCTCATCTCTCGGTCGCAAATGGAACAGCCCGCCGCCGAAGTCCGCGGCAGCGCCGCGCTCGACGCGACCGAGCCCGGCGCCCACGATGCAAGAAGAGAAGCGCGCGTCCGCTATCTTGCTTTACTAGCATGTATCAACTCCGTGAGCCTGGGCTACCAGATCGGGGCCGTGACCGTCTCCAACGGGTTGGTAAAAAGACACCTCGACCTGTCGAACGCGCAGCTCGCGGCCTATGAAGCGTCAGTTAACATCGCGGCCATCGCCGGCGCTATATTATCAGGCCTCATCTCCGAAGAGCTTGGAAGGCGCAAGGTCTTCCTCCTCTCCGCTTTTGTATTTAGCGCGGGGTCGGTCGTGCAAGCTTTGTCTTGGACGTACGCGTCGCTGCTCGTGGGCATCCTCCTTGTTGGTTTAGGAGTGGGCATCGGCCTGGCCATCGACCCGTTATATATCGCGGAGATCTCGCCGCCGGGCGGCCGCGGTTTTTTCGTCACTTATAGCGAGGCGGCGATCTCCGCCGGTCAATTACTCGGTTATGTCATCGCATTAATAATAAACGCGTCGATGGGCAGCTGCGCCTGCGCCTGGCGGTTGATGTTGGGGTTGGGCGTCGTGCCGGCGGCGTGCCTCGCGTACGCGGTAATTTTCATCATGCCCGAATCACCAAGGTGGCTCGCGCGGCACGGGCGCGAGGAGGAGGCGAGGAAGGTCTTGGAGGACGATTTGCAGTGGGACGCGACGCGGGCCCAGGCCATCCTCGAGGACGTGCGAGCCGAAGCGGCCCAGGCGCCGGCCGCGGGCCAGACGTGGCTTGGGCTATTACATTTGGCGCGGACGAAGCCGGCCGTGCCGCCTCGGCGTCCTTTTTTCAACGCGCAGTCGCGTCGTATCGACGCAACGTCCGCGCAGGTGAGGCGCATGCTATTAGTAGGCGTCGGTACGGCCGTCGCGCAGCAACTGAGCGGCACGGACGCGCTCTTCTACAACTACGTCAAGGCCGCCGACGCGGTCGGCTTCTCGCGGCTCTGGAAGGTCTACGCTACTTTGGTCGGGTTTGGCACGTGCAAACTGATCACGGCCTTCGCGTCGATGTATCTGCTCGATACCGTGGGAACCTGTGTGGAAATCAAATTTTGGGCGCCCCACGCCATCGACGCGATGCTGTACCTATAACTGCGTCTGCTCGATGGCGTAGAGTTCACGCCATCGACGCGACGTTGTTCCCATGACCGCGTCTGGTCGATGGCGTGGAGGTGCACGAAGGTCTCCGCAATATTTCTCAGGATAACCTAACTCACTGGTCTATTTCCCCACAGGTGGGAAGAAGGCCGCTCGTCGTGGCGTCGGCCTTTGCGACCACGACGGTGCTCTACCTCCTGGCGTTGGTGTTTGGATGGGCGACGGAGCAGCGAGGCAATTCGGGATATGAGTCGCTGGTGATTTTGCTGTTTTATGCCTACGTCATCGCGTTCGAGATCGGCCTGGGGCCGGGCTGCTGGCTCGTGCCCTCGGAGTGCTTCTATAATGATATTAGGATGCGGGCCATGTCGCTCGCGACCTTTGCCAATAGATGTACGACGACGGGCGTCGTCGGCACGGCCATATCCATCCAGCGCGCCTGGAGCTGGAGCGGCTTTTATGCGTGGTACGGCTCGGTGTGCCTGACCGGAGCCGTGTTCCTATTCGTGTTTCTGCCGGAGACGAAAGGAAAGTCGCTAGAACAGATGTACACGTACTTTGAGAAGATTACGGGCGGTGATTTCGGCGCGGCGCTCTCGGCGAGCGAGGGCGGGCAACCGGCCTTGGCCTAGTTTTGAGCATGTAAGTTTCGTTCAAAGAGATAGTGCGGGTCAGCCACGCGACTCCACGCCGTGCCCCTCAGTTTCGCCCCAGCGCTGAGCTAGTTACACCCCCACTAGATTTGTTTTCGCGTTCTGGCTCGCGGGCGTCGGCTCGGACGCGTATGCCGTCGTAACGTGATTGTGTGTGTTTCCGCGCGTCGCGATTCACCGGCCGCCCCTTGCTGTTTAGAACGAACACCAATCTTACACCGTTAAGAAGGCAGGGCCTAGCTGCCGCACGTCTTACAGATGCAGTCCCCAGCAGGCGGCACCGCGCGGCGCGGGCACCTCTGACAAAAGGCGTTCCACTTCGCCTCGGTGTACGTCTCCCAGGCGGCCGTCTCTTCGTTCCACCAGTACTCCGGTTCCGGTCCAAAGCCGCGCGGCGCGTGCCGCTTCTTGCAGCGTTGTTTGAGGCCAATGTTCTTCTTGATACATTTTCGATACCGATGCGGTTTTTTCCCGTACCACATCCCCGTCAGCTCAGCTGAACAACGCAAATCATACGACAAAGTCTCGCCCCGCAGAGCAGCCTGCTGTCTCTCCGCAGCCTGCCGCGCGGCGGCAGCACGGGCCAAACTTGCACTAGAACTCGCGGCGTGCCGCGCACTATCATCTTCACTGACCAATACGTCACTAAGTGGTGGTCGTGGATCCATGTTCCCGGCGTGGAAAATCCCCGAGCCAACTAGGGCTTCGCGGAACTTCTCGATCTCCCGGCCCGTGACCTTGCACAAGCACCGCAACTTGCTTCGAGAGTCACCGTCCAGCAACGTACTAAGTTCAGACGCGTCATCACCTAAATCTCCCCCGGCCGCGACCCACTCCACTTCCCGCGGAGGCCTTCGAGCAAAAGCAACAAAAGACAGGAGCGTTCTACCATTAAAGCCAAGCGCCTCCGCGGACCGCATCGCGCGCGGCGCCCCATCATCCACAAACTCGGGCTCCGTCGCCCACCTGGGCGGCGGTTCTTCCGGCGCGAAGGCCTCGAGGACATGCAGCTGCACGCCGAAGAGCCGCCGCGCGGACGTCGTCGACGCCGCGAGCGACAACGTCGTGGCGCGCGGCGCCCAGTTAACAGGCATCGCGAAGTCGCCGCCGTCCAACTCGGCCTCCAACACCCGCAGCATCGGGTTGGCTCTGTCCGCCGCGGCGCGCTGGGCGGCGTCTTCCGCCAGTTCGGCGAGGACGGCCGGGGCACGGACGGTCGTGGCCTGGAAAAAGTAAGTGGGCGGCGGCACGAGGCCCGCCTGCACGCGATCCAGCAGCGCCCTCGCGTGGGTCCACTGGCAGGTACAAGACTCGTTTTGGCAGCTGCCGAATCTTCCTTGTCCGCCCCACTGCCCCTGGCAGTTCGCGCACGAGAAAGTTCCGTCTCCGTTGCTGACTTTGAGGTCGCCCATCGACCATGCACCTTTCGACAGGATGTGGACCCGGCGCTGGCAGTTCTCGCGAGCTGTGCAGGCCTTGCCCCGGCGATGAGCGGGGCACACGTCGAGGACGACGGGTTGCCCCGGGACGAACGGCGCCGCGGTGACCGGGTCCAGCGCCGACGGCGCGACCGGCACCGGCACGACGGGTAAGAGGGGCTGCGCGGCCGACGCGGGCGCCCCCAGGTCCATCGCGTCGCCCGCGGACAACATGTCCGCGTCGGCGCCGCCGAACGAGAGTCGTTCCTGGACCGCAGTCGTGGTCGTCTCCATCTCGTCGGGCTCGGGCTCGGGCGCCACCTTGGCCAGATCGTCGATGTCGTCGTCGGTATCATCGCCCATGCGGTCCCACACGTCATCATCGACCTCCGTCGCCGGCGGCGGATCGTCGTGGTTGGGCCTTTGCAGCTTCCGGTCGAAGCCGCCCGTGCCCTGGCCCTCGGCAATGTGTCTAATTGCTACGGCGCCCTCGCGGTTCGTCGCGCGCGTCGCGCGCGTCGGCGTGGTGTCGCCGTGGTTGCCGTCGGCCGCGGTTTCGCCCGCGTCGTTCTGGATCGGCGGCGGCGCTATCGCGCTTCGGCCGCGTTTGGGGCGCGACGCGGCCGCGTCGCCGGCCACGGGGTAATCCGTGGCCTTCTTCTGCTGGCGCCGAGCCCTGCTGCCGCGGCCCATCGTGCAACGCTGGGGCGTTGCGCTAGAAGCGCTACTTTAGCTTTGCTATAGTGATATATTGCTTCTGCGGCGAGGACGCTCGTCTGGGAGTGAATTTGATCCTAGGGATGCCTAGTGGCTTACAGGTCGCTAGGTCCACAAAAACGCCCCAGCTCTGGGCAGAGGGAAATACACGCCTGCTGCAGTGCAAACCCCCAAAAAGTATCCGCATCAATCACAAACTACTTCGACGACGCACCACCAGCGAATCTAGCATGACGCTACACCACAAAGCAGAGGAGGGCCCGACGCCCGGCCGCGACCCGCGCTACAGACAGCACAGCGTTGCGAGAGCGGTCGCGAGATCGCGCCTGGACGCCACGTCGCTCATCCGCCCGGTCCTGACCTACCTGTTGTACGCGGTGACGATTCCGTTCAATCTGGCCTCCCGCGCGTGCGCCATGTTGAGCGAAAAGGCCGGCAACCGCAGCCATGCTTTATTGAGCGCTGCCGGGCAGCAGAACTCGAAGGACGCCGCCAAGACCGACGCGGTCTGCGATGAGGCGTGCGCGGTCCTGGCACACCGCATGAAGGTCGATAGACTCTCGGGCGGCAGAGTGATCGAGGCGACCACAGTTGTCCTGTTCCACAACATCGAGGCCGGGACGATCGACGCGCGGCAGCGCGATTTAGTCATCAGCGGCCTGGGCTGGTCCGCGCGCTGCGCGTTCGCCTTGCTGAACCGGATGATCCGGGAGCATCGGATGACGATGTGCAAGGCCGACTTCGACCGCTGCCTCGAGATGATCCAGACGCGCGTCGTCGGCTCGCGGCGCGAGGAGCTCGGAGGCTTGTTACGGGCGGGCGACGAAACGAAGCACCCGGTGATCTTCACGGTCGTGACGACGGTCGTGCCGGCGCCGCCGGGCCACCCCGCGCACGGCCTCTTGATGCTCCCCCTCGTCGTCTCGTTCATCGCGATGGTCTCGCAACCGTCGATGACGTCGACGTCGATGCGGCGCTTCTACGAGGACCCGTTCTTCCAGGCGCTGCTCGTGTGTGTCTTCCTGCACTTCGGCGTGTCGCCCGGCGAGTCCGAGGCCGAGATCGACGTCATCCGCGCGCAGATCGGGCGCGCCAGGCAGCTCCAAACTCAGCTGCCGGCCTGGTGGGGCTTCGACGAAGGACCATCAAAGTGTGGGAACGCCGTCTTCTACGGCATGTCGCACGCGGAAATCGCGCGCGTCCCGGAGCGCATCGCCAAGGCGCTCCTCTCCGACGCGCACACGAAGGGCCCGCACAAGATCCTCGACCTCAACTCGCGCGTGACCGTCGAGCTCATCCTCGAGGCAGCGAGGGAGGGCAGCCCTTGCGGCGACGTCGCGGTGCTCAAGCTCCTCGGCAAGCCCGAAGAGTCGCAGTGCGTCGCCGTGTAGTTGGTAGGGTCTTAATCTAGTATGTATATGATTATTCCGAGGAGGATGCGGGCCTGAAGATCAGGACCTCCGCCGATCAGGAAGAGGCATACAAAGGTTCCTTCTGTCTTCGAAAAGAGCTGGCTCGGGAGCACGTACGACCAGGTGGCCAAGCTGACGGCCTCTGACGCCGCTTTTTTGGGCTCGCGCACTAGGCCGAGCCGCCCAATTCACTACCACTCCCCCGTCAACATCAACATCTATCTCCGAGTCGCCCGGGCGGACTCCGCCCTCGGTCGCTGGCTCCTCTCCACCCTGAATCGCTCGGGCCCTGCCCTCGACGCACGCTGGTTCGCACTAAGACACCGTACTTCCTACCACCCCGCGTCCCTAACGGCGCCGATGACGCTAAGGACATTCACTTGTAAACTTAGTGCCGCCGCCGGCTTCGCTCACGCGACCGCGACCGCTTGCGCCGCTCGCGATCCCTATCCCGACGGCTCCGTTCCCGCGATCGATCGCGCCGGCTCCGGTCGCGGTCGCGCCGATCATCCAAGCCTTCGATGCCAAGCGACCGCCCCGGGTCCCGCCGCTCGCCCCGGCGCCTATCGCGGTCGTCCAACCGCCCGCGGTAGTCGCGCACGTGATCAGCCGCGTAGACGTCCTCGCCGCTGCGACCGCCATAAGCTCTTTGCGAGGGCCCGCCGGGCCCGTAGTGGCCCGTATCTAACAAAGCCCCACCCTTCCGGTGCTTCTCCCGCAGCTTCGCCGCCGCGCTCCCTTTATACTGCATCGTGTAGCGCGACCATATCTTCGCCACCGATTGGGAAAAATCGACCCTAATGCGGGAATCATCGATGAGCACGTTGTTCATCTTTTTATAAGCTTCCACGCAACTTTTTTCTTCTTCAAAGGCGATAAACGCGAAGTTGAGACTATCCCCGGTCTTCCAATCCCTTACGATGTCGCACGACTCGATGCGACCAAATCTACTGAAAATGAGTTCGAGATCCGCGTCCTCTGTCGCCTTGTTGAGCTTCGCGATAAATAACTCATTTTTGGGCACCTCGACCTGCGCGGAACGACGCCGTCGCGAAACGAGTCGCGTCGACTCTCATGGGATCATGAAGACGGCGTCGCCTCGAAGCTCCTTTCCGCGCCGCATCAGACGTCCGCGTGGGGTAGATCTCCAATCATTTCCAGGACCTCCGCCTGGCTGCGCGCTTTTTTGTCGGCTTCTTGCGACGCGCGCTCCGCCGCGGTGAGGCCGTCGTGCGCGTCCTTGGCCTGGCCGTAGGCGACTCTTGCTGTCACTTTTTCGTCCGTGTGAGGCGTCTCTGGTTTCCTATCAGGTGACGGCGGGCATTCTACGGCAGCAAAGGGGTTCTCCAGGACGTGCGTGTGCTGGATTCTCACATCCTCCCAGGGTCTTCCATTTCCATCAAGATACAACGCTCCCATCTTCTTCAGGACGTCTAACCCCTCCGCGACTTCCCCAATAATCATATGACCGCCCGCATCCAGGTGGTCCAAATCCTCGTCTCGCAGCGTGAAGAAAAATTGCGATCCATAGACATGTTCGTTGCCCTGGGAGCCCATCGACACGACAGACACGAGACCCGCTCGGTCATGTTTCTGTCTATCATCTGTTGGTGTGTGCCGTATGAACCGTTGAGCGTCTCCTTCGTGATGCGAAGCACAACATCCCCCTTTGCCCGTACCACTCGGGTCGCCCGTCTGGGCCAAACAGCCACTTTGCACCTGATACACGAGACAGCCGTGGTAGTACTTTCTAGCGCACAATCGTGTAAAGCTCTCGCAGATCTTTGCCGGCTCGCCCTCGTCGTACAGGTCGACGACGACGTCGCCCAGCGGGAACTGGAGCATGACGGCCATTCTTGCGCTGGCGCTTGGCGACAGCGCTCGACAGCGCTGCGGGCGAACCTCTTAGAGACGGCTGCGCGCGTCGAAGGCGTGCGCCAGCGGCTGTTATGCCGTCGCGGCCGCAAAGTCCGAGCTAGCGTACAGTAAGACACTAGCAAGGAAAAGCAAGCTTCGAGATTGGTGCATTGCTCGTGCGAAATTCGCACGAGAACAGCTGTAGAGTTCGGTTCAGGACATTTTCGCAGTCAGTAAAGCTGCGTGTAGCGCCGCGTACGCGAAACGCAACAGCAGCCTCCGGTAGCTCCAGCACCTCTCTGGCAGCCACACGCCGTCGCAGCGTCGACGCAACACGAGACGAACCATGCCCCTCCCCGAGGGCCTCTCGCCCCCTTTGTTAATAGCGCTGGCGGCCGTCTGGTGCCGTTTCGTATATGCGCTGTGCACGCCGAACCTATCAGGTGCATTTGTAGCGCTGGCGACGGTCGCGGCGTGGCGCTGGGCCGTCCGGGCCAAGCGACGACGGAATAGTAATCACGCGCGAACCAAACCGGCGCCGACGCCCGAGATTGCTCAACGCGCCGAGGCCTCAGGTATGACTGTCGAACAATTAGACGCCGACGCTTTGAATACGATACAACGCTGCGCCAAGCTCGCGACGAACGACAGCGAGGGCGAGGCGGAGGAATTAGGCTTCCGCCTCGTGTTGACCTTCGACCTCGCCGTGACGCCTTCAGAAGCTTTCAGTAAATTCTGGGAAAATGATTACTACGCGCGAGTGCTAGAGGAGAAGTGCAACAACGAGGACGTGACCTTCGAGCCTTGGGTGAGTGATAATCCAAAGACGCGGAAAGTGAATACCAGACATCCTTTGGCGAAGGATATTAGTATGCCCGGCATCTCTTTTAGTATACCAACCGCGAAGATCCAGCGCGTCTTCTTCGACGTCTGTGAGATGGCGTTTTGTATTGTCGAGGAGTCGCGTTTCGAGAAAATACCATATGCGCGGGCCCTGGCCGTCGAGACGGTGTGGTTGTTCCAGCGGAAGGGGTCGTCGATCTTTGGGAGAGTGTATTATAGGTGCGTCTTCGATTGTACGGTACTATCAGTACCGAAGTGGATCCAGAGCTATTGCAACGCGCACACGCGCGAAGAATTAATTGTTACGTACGGGCACTGGATCTCGGCGGCGCGCGAGCTGTTGGAAGCGGAGACGGGCGTGCGCAGCGCCCGCATGGTCGACACGCCGCGCGAGGCGCCGCCGCCCAGTTGGGCCGGCGTCCCGACCAACGGGTGGGACGACGTCTTCCCCGAGACGAAGCGGTGGCTCGAGGGTTTTGACGCGGTCTCCGCGGACCAGGTCTCGCTGAAGACCGTGGTCTCCGCCGTGAGCGTTGAAGAGGAGGTCGAAGCGAGGTAACACTAAAAATGAATTTATATGGTCGGTGAACGCACTCTCTCGGTCGGCGGCCGGATGCGCCTTGCTAATGTAATTTTGCGCCGCGCCGCCGCGAGCTTGGCCTTGGCGGCCGTGATTCGTTCCCGCTTCTCGGCGCGAGCGCGCGCGTCCTCAACGGACGACCCGATGTTCTTCAATTTTTTGCGCACTTCCCTCAGCCGGTTCGACGCCGCCAGTCGAGGAGAAGCGCCCGCCACAAAGCCGTGGGGCACGGTGATCGTCTCCTCATTTACTTTGAACGAGTCGCCCTGTCTCAGACCAGCGGGCACCGTCACATTCAACTGATCTCCAGTAAGCGTCTCCAACAATTTCCGCAATTCAAGTTCCTCCTCCGTGAGGTGTTCCCGGTCCTCGATCTGGTGCTCGACAAACAACGCCCGCTTCGCATAGAACTCATACATAAAGTCGATCGTAACTAACGCGCAAACGTATAATATCGTCCAGACGTTTTCGCGATCCTTCTTGGGCCAGACGCACCCCAGCACGATGATTATGCATAGCATTAACCGTATAGACACCCGAGCCTTCTTCTTCGTCCACCACACTCCCCGATCATTATGGAGCTTGCCGTGGAACAAAGCTATTATGGATAGGGAGAGTAGTAGCACACAGGTGAATCCTAAGAAGAGGTTTCGTTCCCTAACAAGCCATTTATGACCCGTGGCCGCCCAATGTAAGACCGCGCCCGCGCCCGCGGCACTTATATATAACGGTAAGTGCGCTAGAGTCCACATGATGCTTCTTAACGCATTGACGTTGATGGCGTGCTTCGCGACGCAGCTCTGTAACTCAAAATAGAGTAACTTGATCAGTAGAGCGTAGTAAACACTGAGACAGGCCACGAGCATCTTCTTCACGCTGTCGCTCTGTTGTAAAATAGCGACGGCGGCAAATAAAGATTCCCCACAGGTAATGATGACGAGCAGCCCGAATCGCTCCGAGACGTACTCCACATTAACGACTAACGTCGATAACGAGTGGGGCCCGATCCCGCTATGAGGAAGCATCCAGCTCCCACAGTACATGAACGGCAGGTAAATGGCCCACAACGCGTACCCGAGCCAGCCTATTTCTATGTGTCCTAGGTCTGGATGTAAAATGACCACGAACAGGAGTGATACGAATGCATTCGCTATGAGGTTAACAGCTTCCGTCGTCAGCGTCCGCCAGTGGATCGGCTGGCTTAGGAACGAATCGGCGACGGACCACAGCCCCAAACCGTTCGCGAGCGCGTTCCAGGCGTGGAACTTCCAGACACATGCATCGCCGTGCGGCGCCGCGCCTGCGTGAATATTGAAGGTGAGTCGCGGCGGTGGCGTGTGGGGCGCTCTCGCGTCGATGGCGTATGGTGTCTCTCGCAGATGGCGTCCAACCCCATGCCGGGGCGTCCGAGCTTACGGCCGAGCCCACTGCGGAGCCTCGAGCCCACGGATGATTGGTCGTGGAGCCAACAGCCGAGCCTATGGCCCAGACCATGGCCAAGCCCACGTATACGCCATCGACGCGACGCCGCCGACACCGGCACGCCATCGCAGCGACGCTCGCAAGGGGACTCGGACAGCGCAAGACGCCATCGCCGCGACGCTCGAAGACCAAGGGACGCCGGCCGCGCACCGCCCATGCCCAGGCAACAGATCGCCCGGCCCAGGAGTAAGAGAGAGCCGAATAAGTCGTTCCGCCGCCACTGGGCCCGGTGGCCGTCCGTAAAACGTCGGACAGAGATCACCGTCGCCGTCTCGAGACAATATAAAAACACGGCTCGCGGGAAGCTCATATGGACATCACTCGAAGACAACCTCCTATGATGTACATCACTCTCAGATGATAGGGTCAGGCACGACGCCAGCGACCCGAACGCCGCCACCAAGGCCAAATCAAAAAACAGCTCGTCCCAGCTCGATTTGGTCTCTTTATGTAAGTTGAGGACGTGGGTACAGTACCACTCGTGCTCCTTGAGCGTGAGTGGCGGGCAATAGATGCCTTCTATCGCCTCGAAGACCTCCTCTACCGACTCTTCACTGTCGTAGCCGCCCGGGTCGTCATCAAATAAAACGTCCTCGACGTTCGAGAAGAAGGAGTCGTTCAGGAGGCCTTGGTCCTTTTGGCTACCGATGTTTCTTTGTGTTCCTTGGCGCCAACTACCTGAGCCTCTCAGCAGCGACTTGACGCGCTGGTTGATGGGCTCCGGCCTAGCATGACTCTCGTAGTCCGACTTGCGCTGTTCAGTATCGTCCCAGCCGCTCGAGCCCCACCGGCCCTCGAGCTTCGACTCCGTGGCGGGCTCGGCGGGCTCGGCGGCGTCGTCGCCGGCGTCCTCGAAGGCGTCAACGTTCACGATCTCCGCCATCGCGTCAACGTTCGCTTACTTAATGTGCTGCGTTGGCCGCGCTCGTGCTGCGGCGCTCCACTCCTGCAGGCGCTCCAATCGGTGTGTGGGCGCGCGCGTGTTGCGCCCGCTGCCGCGCGGTGCTGCCGCGATTCGTGTGAAGGAAAGCGGGCTGCCCCGGCCGCGCGCGTGCCCTCGCGCGGTTGTTGTTCCGCGGTTTAAGCCTCGGCCGCGCCCGCCCTTCTAGGTTTTGGGCTTTCGGCCCCGACTCGCGCGCGACCCGTCCAACGCGCCCCGTGGTCCTCGTGAACACTCCAAGCACGAATCAAGGACCTCCAACACCGCCCATGCAAGCGAAAGTGGCCTCGCAAATATTTTTCCCAGAGAAACACACCTACACCCCTCCCGGCCCCGTCCCCAACAACAAAGGAAGCACATAGAAGTCCAAAATTCCATTCCCCATATGAGAATGAGAGCAGTACGGTAGTTACCTTAGGCGTATGGAGAAAGCAGGGTGAAAACGCCGGCGACCTCAGCCGCGCTTTTCGCAGCCCCCGCGGACGCAGAGACGCAGCGGCACCGCGCAACGCCGCGCGGCACCCTCCCGGAGCGCGCCCCCCACGGAAAACGCGGCGCCGCGCCGCCGCTCCATCAAAACAAAGAGCAGTCCCCTCAGCGGCATGTCGCTGCTCAAAAGGACGAGAGACCCGGCGCGCAGCGCCCTCTTCGAGCCCGACCCGGCGACGGCCAAGCCGAAGCGCCGCCGCGCCCACAAGGCGCGCGACGTGAGCGACGACCTCGAGCTCGGTGCCGCGCCGGCGTCCCCGTCAAATTTTGGAGCGCGCCGCGCCACGCGAGCGGGCCGCGCGCGCCGCGCCGCGCGAGCCAGCGCCGCGCCGGCGGAAGCCGCGGCGGCGGCGGTGCGCGTCGGCGGCGGCCGCGGCCTCTCCGCCGCGCGCCACGCGCGGGCCCCGTGGAAACGCGTTTCCGCGCGCGCCGCGCCGCCGCGGCTTCCGCCGACCGCGGCGCTGGCTCGCGCGGCGCCGCCGACCGCGGCCTCTCCGCCACGCGAGAGGGCGCCGCGGTCGCGTCGATGGCGTCGAGAGACGCCGCGCCGCCGCGACGCCGTCGACGCGCCCCGCGAGAGAACCCGTGGTCGCCGCGACGCCGCGCGCGGGCCCCTCACGGTACCACACCACAGGCAACGCCTTCCGGAAGATCTCCGCGCTGGCGGCGCCGGTCGCCATCCCGAAGCAGCAGGGCCTCACGCGCCAGCAGGCGCTGGGCCGACTCGGCGGCAAGTGCGCCGGGTCCATCGGCGAGAACAAGTTCGCCGTCGAGGTCGCGGCCGACGGAAGATCGAGGTGCCAATTGCGGACGTGCAAGGTCCCGCTGAAGATCGGCGAGTTACGCCTTGGAAAAAGACCGCCGTCGCTACGCCACGGCCAGAACAAGAAGTGCACGTGGTACCATCCCGAATGTGCCATGGTCGCCTTCGCGGCCTGCTCGAAGAAGTCGCGCGTCGTCGAGCGCGTCGAGGACATCGACTACGGCTTCGAAAGTCTCTCGGCGAAGGACCAGCAAAGAATTAGAAAGGCCATCGCGAACCGGCCCGTCGACAAGAGCGTTGTCCAGAGAAAGCCCTCGTCGAAGCCCCGCAAGTGCCACAAGGTCCCGATTGTACATGCCATCGACACGGACACGTCGTGTGCTTCCTCACTAGATGAGCGCGTCGGCCGGCTGACGGACGACGAGGACGTCGACGAGAAGCCTTCTGGGTCGATCTCCATGTTGCGAGCCGCCGGATCGTTTGTCATGTCTCCGAGCAACCCGCCGCCGGCGCCGACCGAAGTCGCCGAGGAACTGGCCAGTTTCGCGTTCGGCGGCTCGTTGGATTTCAACGAAGCCATGTCGTCCGAGATGCAGGACGAGCCGTTTTATCGGGACGCGTTTTATCGTTCTCCTTCGCGCTTAGAAGAGGCTCTCTCCGCGCCTCTGCCGCCGTCGCCGCCGGGCCAATACTCATTATTGCGGCCGCAACTCAATGATGGTACGGTCGACTGGCCGCAGGTGCCCCTCGACCAGCTCGTCGACGTCGCGATCACCGGTCCCCTGGCCTTAGTAGCCTGCGATGATGATGTAGAAACAGTCTCCGGCGACGTCGACGTCGACTTCGCTGATCCCTAGATTCCCTGTCCCCATGTCCTTCCCATTCCTCACGGCAGCGCACCGCCGCGGGACTCTTTGAACAGAGTTTAACCCCAGCGGCCGTCGTCGCGCGCCCCTCCCCCAGTAGTTGTACTAAGTATGTACATATATGATCACGGTCACGGTACCTATCTAGTAGCCTTACTCAGGGGCTCGGCTTCGCCGTCGCCCGCCGTTTAAAGTCTTCGTCCTGAGGATGGTCGAAGGACGCCTCCTCGTCGCCGCCCTCCAGGTCGCCGCTCATGCTCCGTTTGTCGGCTAATCTATAACCCATGATGTCGTCTCGGACCGATTCGGGAAACACGGGCGCCGTCGGTAATAACCAGTCGTAGCGAAAACCCCGCGATCGCCCCCCAAAGACCTCGTTCACGTCCGACGCGCACTCCGTCTCCTCGCCCTTCAAGCGATCGATCTTCGCGACATTTGTCCGCAACACGCTCCATTGGTCCGCGAGCATGCACGCCGTGAACAACCCGAACAACAAGGCACAAAACGCAACCAGAATAGTGCCGAGCTTGCCCGGGTTGAAACTTTGTTTAGCTAGCTCGATCGTCGCGTCGTCATCATACCGCTCCTGCCTTCGCTGTTGCCTATTCATCTTTGGTAAGCGAGGTGCCGCGTAGGTCAACTGCACGATGACGACCATGGAATGGATACATAGAGCAAACGTATACCCGATGAACAGGATGAAAAACTTGTGATTGAGCACGCCAATGGCGTTGTTCGTCCACGGGCAGTAGTGGTCCATCTTGACGATGCATCTATTGGTTACGGAGTCGTGGTGGGCGCGCGGCGGCTTGTAGGACGCGCAGCGGTGGCACCAGCCCTTTGCTCGTGATCTGTAGCCGGAGGCCGCGGACGCGGCGAGGCGTGCCCGCTCTTCGTCTCGCGCCAACGGGGCGGCGGCTCGCGGCACGGCGCCCGGATCTGACAGCATCGCCTTCAAGTGGGATAACGACGCCATCCCTCCCAGCGTCAGGCAGACGATTGCATTGAGTAAACCGGTAATACCGACGCCGTGCCTATACAAGTCGTGCAGAATCGACGACACCGAGAACAGGATGACCACTTGCGATAAAATAGCGCAGCACAACCCGCACACATCGAGACAGAGCCAATACCTCGCGTCGGCGCCGGTACCTAACAAAGGCCTTGGCATCGCGCGCGCCCTATATTGGTTCCGCAGCGCAACCTTCAAAATCTCGAAGGTCGGGTCCTGGACCTGTTCGGGTTTGCGCCGCGCGGCGCCGGCTTCGGCCGCCACGTTTATGTTCTCCGCGCTCCGGCGCCGCGGCGGCGCGTGGACCCGGTCGAGGAAGACGGCCGCGCGCGACGTGGTGGCGGCCGCGCGCCGGCCTTTTGGCCCTCCGGCGGCGGCTCACGGCCCGCGTACGAACCGCTAGAGTCCAAAAACCGGGCTACCGGTTGATGCGCTGTACCGCTCGTCGGGCGCCTTGGCGCGGCTAGTGTTGCCCGTGCCGTGGATATGAATCGTCTACAGAGCTATTGCGCCTGATAACTGATTTCAGAAGCAGCTTTAAGGACGACAAAAAGCCGGCCAAAGCACGCGCAGCTTAGACTAGTATGTCACTGTACTCTAGCCCGAAAAAATAAACACGACGTACGAGACGCGCCAGCTGCGTACGAGGCTAGTTGTGCTCCTGAAAACATTTTTAGACTATTTGGCAGACGCACGGAGCACCAGTCGTATTCCTCTGATCATAGGCGGCTCAGTCCCTCCAAAAAGGCTGAGAGAGCCCCTCGAGTGAAACCGGCGCGCCTACGCACGGGAACCGCTACGTGACATGTACTCGCCCGCCAGCACGACGCCGCCGCGAACACCGCACTGATGTGCCGCCCCCCAACCCAAGACGAGATAGCAAACGAGCCCTCGCTCGCGCGGACCTTCTGGCGGCTGCGGGCCGTCGCCCTCGTCGCGTGCTGCGACGAAGCCTTGTTCAGCTTCGCGACGGGCGCGACGCACTACCCTTATCTGAGGACGCTCGTCCGCTGCCACGCTCGTTCGTCGAGTTTCAGCGGCTCCGCGCGCTGCGGCGACGCCGACGTCGTTTTACAAAGGGGCGCGCGGCTCGGCGGCTGGGCGACCTTCGCTGTCGTCGTGGGCAACGTCCTGTGCGTGCTGCTCTGGGCGCCGCGGATCGACTCCTTGGGCAGGCGCCATACTATAATAAGAAGCCTCGGCGGCCTCGCGCTGGGTTTACTGGCTCTGGCCGGCGCGGCACAGCTGGACTCGGTCGCCCTGTCGCTCGGCGCCTACGTCGTCATGGCCGCGACGTCGGCGACGCAGGCCGCCGCCGCGGCGCTGGCGTCCGATAGCATCGAGAAGGACGCGCGCCAGAGAACCGCTCTAGCGGTAGTAGGCGGCGCCCGGGGCGCGGGCACCGTCGTCGCCGCCGCCGCGGGCTACTTTGTTTTGAGAAGGGACCTCGAGGACTATGCAATACCCTACGCGGCCTGCGCGGCCCTAGCGTTGATCGGGGCGGCGCTCGCGCGGGGCGCGTTGCCCGAGGACGCGCCTCCACAACAGACGGAGCGCGACTGGCGCCGCGGCGCGCGGGCCCTCGTATCAAACTGCCACCGCGCGGCCGCGGCCCTCTCTATTACAACCGCGGCCTACTACGCCGGCTTCTCTATATTAAGCTCGTGGGGCATCTCGCAGCTCGGCCTCGCGCAGGCGACGCTGTCGCTCGTGGTGTTGGTCCAGTATGCGGGAATGGCCCTCGGCGCCCTCGCCGCGAGTCTCGTCGGAGGCGCGATCGCCGTCGCGGGCGGCTTGGTCGCGACGGGCCTCGCGGCGCCGCGCGCACCTTTATTGGTCTGGGCGCTGCCGCCGATCGCGGGCGTGGGACTGGGCGCGGCGTCGACGGCGGCGTCGACTGAAGTCGGTATCGGCGTCGAGCAGGAAGACCAGGGCCAGGCCCAGGCCGTGCTATTGCTACTGGGCTACGTCGGGGCGGCCCTGGGGTGCCTCCTGGGCCCCCGGCTCTACGCGCCGGAGGCATCGGTGTTGAGGGCGTCGCTTCCATTTTTGGTGGGCGCGGGCGTGGCGGTGGCGACAGCGCTCGGTCTCATCGCCACGGCGCCTCGCTCAGCGGGACCGCTCGAGGAGACGCTCCTCGACGAAGACTCCGAGGAGGCGGACCCGGGCGAAGTGTGACGATCCAGCGAGGCCTCCACGCCGTCGACGCGAGTCCCGGAAGAGAACTGTAAATAATTGTGTTTTTTCCTTAGGGAGGGAAGGGCCGAGTCCTGCAATAGCGGTGCGGTACCGAGTCCAGCAAATTGCGGTGCGGTACCGAGTCCTGCACGAGCGGTGCGACCCTAACGATATGATTTCCCGAAGCCCGACAGCACGCCGCCCTCTTCGATGGCCCCGAACCGATCCTTGGCGATCGCCGCCTTGCGCTCCCGCTCCTCGATCATCATCTTCTGGAGGTGTTCCTGCACGTCCAACCGCTCCCGCAACTTCTCGTTCTGGGCGTGGTACTCGGCGGCAGCCACCAAGACGTTGACGTGGTCGCTCTCCGCTCTAAACTGGGCCCCTTCGTCGAACTGCGACTCATTCACTTCTTTTCTGTACTTCTCGACGGCCTCGTTCTCTCCATAAATGCCGATGACCTGGGCCTTCGTCAATCCTCTATAATGGTCCGGCCGCACGCGGCCGTCCGCGAGGTACTCGCGCGCTTCGTTGAGCATCGGATCGTTGCGCATGCGTTCCATCTCGAGCGCGTTGCACTCGGCGTCCAACACGGCGTCGTCCCATTCGCGCTGTTTTCTGTCCGCTACTTGGCGGTCTCTCGCCGCTCGCAGATCGAGTTGGACCTCGGCCTTGGCGCGTTTTTCTGCGGCTTCCACCTGAGCTCGTTGCTGGGAAACATGTCTTTCCCAGGCCGCAAATCTTCTGTCCTCTTCTTTCCCATCGTTCTTGTGGGCCTCCTTGAGGGCCATCTGTTCCAGACTCCAGGTCCGCATCTGGGCGTGCTGCCTTAACTTTCTCCGAGGCGCGCTTGGATCCTCCCCAACAAAGGTTTGTGCGGCGGCCTTGCCCGGTTCCAATTCGCTTGCGGACGCTAACTTGGGCAGGTCGTTCTTCGGTAAGGTGCTTCGCCGGTCCCAGTCCTGCTTGAGCGCTTGCAGCTCGGACTGCCTCTGTTCAAGGTCCGCCTGCCTTCTCTCTTCCACAATGAGTGAGACGCGCTCGGCCATGACGGCGTAGCGCTTGTCCAGTTCCCGCTCCTCGTCTCTTCGCGAATCGTTGTGCGCGATCTGGCGCGCCAGCGTCTCCACGGAGACATTGCGCCGCTTGCCCGAGTTAAAGCGCTTGGCGCGCTCGGCGTTCCGCGCCCGCCGCGCGTCGATGCGGTTTTGCTCCCTTTGGAGCGCCTCCACCTGCAGGGAGTGCACGGGGAACGCGGGAGCGTCGGCCATGGTGCTCTGCGTCGGCGGCGCGCGGGCAGCTGGTGTTGCCCCCGGCGCGTCGGCACGTTGTGGGCAGCCTGGCGGCGCGAGGAGGCAGCGGCGCCGATAACGCCAAGCCTCCGTTGTTAGCCAAGTTTGCCTAGAGAGTTGTGCTGCGTGCTGCTTGAAGATGGCTGTGGGCGGTTCGTGAGGCTTGCTGGTGGTCGTAGAAGCATACGTGCAAATAACGTGCTAGCGTAATCGGACACTAGGAATCTCGCGCCAGCACAACAGTGGTTTTTGGGCAATCGCGACGTCAATTTTAGCCGTTTCACGCCGTGAACGCTCCAAGTGGACCTTCAGTGCCATAGCTCCGCAGCCCTGCCAGCAAACCGGACGTCTAGCGGCCCCCACATCGCACAGACAGCGCAGCTGCCAAACGCATTACGCCAGTCGGCGCGACACGGCAGGATGGTCGTCGCCCCGCCCTCGCAAGCGTTGGACGCGCCAAACCTATTAGCAGCGGCGACGATGGTCGGCTTCCTCTACGTCGTCAAAATCGTTTCACAAATCGAGCGGCAGCAGACGGCCTGGAGCCCCTTCTGGCGCGACACCGCTGACGGAAGGGAGCCCATCTATCGGAGGATGGTCGTGTTTGGTTCTTTAATAGCGCTGGGCATGGAAGCGCTGCAACACATCGTCGAGCAGGGCGTCAATTTTCATTTCCGGAGGAAAAAAGAGTCGAAGCCATTACCGCACAACCCGAACCAGCACCTGGACGAACTTGCGACGATCGATAAGGTCTTTATCGGGTGCAACAAGCTGTTAACTGTCTTCTTCGTCTACCACCTGACGCAAGCTTCATTGTTATTCCAGCACGTCAAGTGGGGTCTCGACGAGTTCACCTTCATGAACACGATCGGTGCTTTGATATTGTTCTTCTTCATCTACGACTTTGGGTACGCGACGTTCCACTGGATTCTGCACTGGCCCTCGTTATACCGATTGGTCCACATGCACCATCATAGACAGATTTCACCAACAAGGGGAAATTATGATGCCATCAACGTGCACCCCTTCGAGTTTTTAGTTGGAGAGTACAACCACTTGTTTGTGGTCTGGCTCGTGCCGTGCCACGCCGCTACCATACTCACGTTCCTGATCTGCGGTGGTGTACTAGCATCACTGAACCACACGCGCCTGGACCTCCAGATCCCGGGCTTCTACGACGTGCGGAACCACGACGTGCACCACCGCTGGCCGCGGTCGAACTACGGCCAGTACACGATGTTCTGGGACCGCGTCTTCGGCTGGTACCGCGACTACGCGCCACCCCATTTACCGAAGAAGCCGTCGTCCAACCAACTGGCGGCCGAAGCGAGCAAGGCCAAGGTGCCGTAATATCTACTTTGTGTACTCATAGTCGTCCCGACGCCTCGTCGCGGCGAGTACTACTCGTAGTCCCGACGCCTCGTCGCAGCGACGGCGTGGGAAGTGACACGCGAGGGGGTCCGTGGTCGTACGCCAATGTGACGCCATCGACGCGACCCTTTCGCTGGCCAGACTTCCGAGTCGGACTAGAACTTCGGACAATATTCTTAGTACGGCAGATCCGACGACGAGAGCGTCGGGGGGTTCTCCGCGGGCGCCGCGGGTGCTTCCTCCGCCGCCGCCTCGAAGGCGTCCGCGGCCGCGACGGCCGCGGCGGACAGCTCCTCCTCGTCCTCCTCCTCGAGCAGGATCGCGAGCTTCTCGCGCTCGTAGCCGAACTCGAGCTCGAGCGCCCGCCGTTTGGCCTCGTAGAGCCGCTCGACCTCGGCGAGGCGCTCGGCCTTCGTTCCAGTCATCGTCGGCGACGCCGTGGCAGCGGCCGGCGCCGCCGCCGCGGCCGGCGGCGCGGCACTCATTTGGGACGCCGCCGGCGCTGCACTAGCCTCGTTGGCCATTATTTTAGCATTCCAGTCGTCCACATCTAATTGAGGGTTTTCCGACTCCTCCGGCGGCGTATAGTTTTGCTCTTCACCGGTATTGAAGTTCGAGTAGTCGTTGGAATAGCGCGCACTCCTAAAATTAAAAGCGTCCTGCAATTCTTGCGCGGCGGCCTGGATCTCCTTGACCTCCTTGAACTCGAACGTTTCTCCGTCAAGAGTCGCTTGCCACTCGGCCGCGGACTTCGTGACGTACTCCCGCGCTTGGCCGACGACTTTCCCGATCTCTTTACTGAGCCGGTAGAGCTCCTCCGGTCCTAGTAAGAAATACCCAACAGCAGCTATAACTAAAACCTCGGGCGTGCCGACGCCGAGGACGCCGCCCTGATAAAACATGAGCGGCGCCGGGCCGCGTGCTGGTCGTGCTGGTCGTCGCGGCGGCGGCGCGGCTATCCTCCTGAATTGGGGCGGTCGTGCGAAGCCGTCCGCGCGCGCGACGAGCGCCAGCAGCAAAGCTGCAACCATGGGCAGGGCGTGCCTCCGGTGGCCCGGGCGAGTTGGCGACGAAACCGCCATGAAGAGATGCGGTTGTGTAGCTATTTCACCGTGTAAAGGGCGCGCGCAGGTATGAATGCGGCTCGCGCAGCACGGCAAAGCAAGACTGACAAGCTCTCCAAGCTTGCTAGTGCCTTACCGGCCGCTAGTTAGAACCGTGCGCGCACCGCTCGTGCGCCCACCAGGGCGGACGGGACGCAGTGCCCGTCGTGCGGAACGCTCCGTGCGGGTATGCATTCAAAACAGCGCTTGGGCCAGACTCTGGCTGTGGCAGCCTCACAGTGTGGTACATGAGCAGCGGAGCGCTCCTCGGTAGCACCGCGCCGCCACAGCAATATTACCAGGCCGTGCGCACGCGCGGGGCAGGATCGGCCAGCTTGGGCAGCTGCACTGTGGACATACAGCAGGCAAGCGCAGCCTTGGTAGCACTACGCTGTCGCAGCGATCGCACCGGTCGTGCGCACGCGCGGGGCAGCTCTCCTGCAGATTGACGAACGCGCATCTGCGCAACTACTGGGCACCAGTGCCATATTCGCCGCACATCTCACAGCCGCGTAGCTGATCGATGGCCAGCAAGGTGACACCCGTCGAGGAAGACCCGCCGCCGCAGTGGACTACGTTCGACGGCATCGATTGGTCCAAGCGCCCGGAGCCGGAGACGGACACGCACGTGCAAGTCGTGCTCCAGTTCAAGACTTGGGAGATCACAAAATTGGAGGGCAAGGAGAACCTGACCTGGAGTGGTGTGTTGGAGCTCTACTGGACCGACGCACGGCTCGACGGCTGCCCTAGGTCGCACAGTCTCCCCGAGAACATCTGGCGTCCTCGCATGACCGGTTCGGTGGGTTTCTCGCTCGGCGAGGCGGAGAAGGGCACGAAATTACCTACATTCAACGATTCAAGGAAGGAAAAAACACCGGACGGCGGCCGCATCTCGAACGGTAAATTGCAGCTCAAAGCGACCTTCGAACTGGGCAACGGTGGCTTAAATCTGAGCAACCACCTCAAACGCTTCCGAGCTTTTCCTTACGATAGCACCAGAGTGGATGTGATGGTCCAGTTCTACACGGGCCACGACGAAGAACCGGGCTCCACTGGTCTAGATTTGCAGTTTAATCGCCCGAACGTCAAGACCCGGCTCAAAGACGGGGCGTGTCAGCACATTGACTGGTTGGCGACGCGCCACTGCGACGACTTTGCGCTGAAAGCTGTCGGCTACGCTCTGGGAAGTAATCACGTGAACGTCTGGGGCAACCCCGCGGGCTCGAGACCTTGTTTGATGTTGTCGCTACACATCGCGCGGACACCTGCGTTCTACGAGCAAAAAGGTATCCTTCCCTTGTACGCCGTCCTCGTCTTCGGGCTGCTGTGCTACTACGCCCTGGAGCCGACCGATTTACCCAGTCGCATCTCGATCATGGCGGCGCTCTTCCTGACGGTCTTCGCGATTCAGTGGATAGCTATTGAAAGATTGCCGCGGCTGCCGTTCTCGACTATTTTAGACACGGTCGCGCAGTGCGCCATCGGGGGGTTGATGATGATGCTGGTGGGCGCCTGTGTCGAAATCAAGCAGTGGGTCGCGCCATCGTCGCGTCGATCGCGCTCTTATTTCTAATTGGATTTCCCGTAGGTCGGCGCCTGTGCCTCGTACAAATTTGCGGCGCCATCCAATGGGTTTTGTGCGCCGGGCGATTGCCCAGGGTTCAAGATGGAGCAGGCGCGGAGGGTCGATAGGTTGACGCTGATCGTGGTCCTGGTTTACGTCGTGGGCTACGCGTTCCTCTACGGATTGGTGTACCAATGCGCGAGCGTCTGTGCGGAAATCAAAGTTTTGCGGTCCACTTCCCACCTCACTGGTTGGTTTCTGCGCAGATGAGCATCAACCGGCAATGCGGCTGCTTTCGGCCATGGACCCGAGGTAAGAGCATTGGGAACACGAGATTCGCTCCCCACGCGGGCACGGCGTGGCGGCTTCTCACGACGGAGAAGTGGGCAGAATTACACGAGAACAAATTCATGGGAGAAGGGACGCCTGTCGACGCGAAAACTTGGTAAGTATTGTGTGTAGTTAACAACATCACTAAACAAGAGAAGCGAGCAGAGCCTCCTCCAAGAGCCCCCGCCGCTTCAGGGCCGCGGCGATGGCGTGGCCCTCGACGTCGTGCTTCACGACGCGAAGGCCGCGGCCGTCGTCCACCGCTCGACTCACCGTCTCGCCGTCGCGCGGGAGCGGCTCGTCGACGTCGTCAGGGGAGTACGCCGCCACCGCGCGCGGCAGGTACGTCAGTTGCTGCAGGTCGTCGGCGTCGCGGCCGACGTGGATCGAAATACGAGCATCTGACGCGCCGACGGCGTTCACGATGTCGTCGCGCAGGCGCTCGCGCCTCGCGTCGTCAAAATCAACGCGGTCGCACGGCGCCGGAAAGTCCCTTAGGTCGATCTGCGGCACGAACGCGACGACCGCGTCGGCGTGCCGCGCGAATCTCAGCGCCGCCGTCCCGCCCATCGAGTCGCCCAACAAAACGACCTTTTGGTATGGCTTACAAAGCTCCGCGAGGGCAGCGTCCCACCACGCGCCGCCGTCGAAATGGCCGGTCATCGGATTCGAACAGTACCAGGTCTTCGCCGTGTCGAGGGCATGCGCGACGTTCGGAAAACCAGAGGCGCGCAAAACACCGCGCCACTCGGCGCGTAGGAGTCCGTGCCAGCCGAGCGACGAGAAGGCGACGACGAGCGTCGCGTCCTTGGGAGCCGCGGGCGCGATGAGCGGCGCGAGGCCGTCGGACGCGTGCCAGACCCGGCCGATCGCCGCGGCGGCGCGGGGGCCCGCCGCGGCGACGAAGCTCCGCGTGCCGAGGGGCGATTCGGGAAACCCCAGCCGCCGCAGCACCGGGGCCAGCGCGGAGGCCAGCGCGGAAGCGAGCGCCGAGGCCAAGCGCTCGTCGTCGCTTGCGCTGGGCGCGTCCGTCAGCCCGTCCCGTCGCGTCCCGTCGAGCGCGGCGCGGCGCGCGGCGAGCGTGGCCTCGCTTGTGATCACTGTGTCGAGCGCGTCGAGCGCGGCGTCGGCGTCGGCGCGCGATAGCAGTGCGAAGCGCCCCGACGCGGCGACCGCGGCGGCCGCCTCGTCGTCGCCGCGGGCCAAGGCCCGCGCCGCGTCGTCGCACGGCTTCGCGGCGAAGAAGCGCGTCGAGAGGGCCATAACGTCCTCGTCGGCTAGCGCTCGCAGTCTTGTCTTGTCGACGGGTGTTGAGTGTGGCACCTGGCGAATGACGTCGAGGCACGCGTCGACCGACGGATTGCATTGCAGCCTGTCGATTGCGTGCTGCAGGCGTGATTGACTCGTCGAGAGAGCGCGTACCGATGCCACCCACTGTAAGAGAATGCTGATGCGCAGCATTGATAGCATCAATCCATGCTGCATTAATCGCAGTATCTTGCGTGCAAAACGCGCCGGCAATGGAGGAGCAGCAGTCACTGTGTTATTGCTGAGGGTCACACTGCACCCAGTGGTTCGCGGCAGAGATCCGACAAGGATCGCAGCACGAAGCAATGATACAATTAGACCAACTGGCGAGCAATGCGGCGCTGAGGGCTGGTTTTAGCCGCGTGCCAGACGATTGCAGTTTTTGCTCTCGGGTTTTGGGGACACGTCAAACCGTGTATGCACGCCGTAGAGCTATCATCCGTCGTCTTAATTCAGTGCATGTAGTCTCTGGCGCTGTGCGAACCAGCCGCGGACAGATCGGTTGCAGCCATGTCTCGTTTTGCTGCAGCAGTGCTGCTGCAATGCTGCACTGCAGCTGCGCTCGAAGCACCGCTACGTGCGCTGCGTGCAGGCCTCATCGATCGCACGACCGCGACCGCACTCATGCGATCCGCAACGGTCCGATTCGACGCCGACGGCTGGGCCCGCGACGCCGCCCGGTCGCTGCGGGACGAGGGCTTCTGCGTCGTGCGCGCGGGCGGCGCGCAGATCTCGGACCGCGTGCTCGAGCGCTGTCGCACCGTTGCGTCCGCACGTCTCTGCGACTTGCTCGCGCGAGTTGGTCGACGCGGCGTCGAGCTGTGGCGGCGGGACGACAGTGGCCTGGCTGCAGACGGCGTCGGGGTGGACGCCGCCGCGGGCGCCGAGCCGTTCCGATATCTCGAGCTTGTGCATCGGGAAGGTACTGGCCGCTATGATATGCCACTGCCCTGGTGCGTCGACGGGCAGGCCGGCGACGTGAGCCTACCTGTGGCGGACGAGGCCGCGTTCGGAGAACTTCACGCCGCAATGGATGACGTCGCACGGCCGGTGGTCAGCGAGCTGTGGCCCGTGAGCGCCGAGATGAGAGCCGGCTGCGTCATCTCGGAGCCCGGCGCGTTGGCGCAGCCGTCGCACCGCGACGGGCCCGACGGCCTCGTGACCGTGTTCGCTCCCCTCACGGCCTTCGTGCCGCGGAACGGCCCGACGGAGCTCTCGCCCGCGACGCACCGCGGCGGCGACGACTCTTCGAGCTTGGCGCCCCTGCTGCAACCTGGTGACGTGCTCCTCTTCGACTACCGGTGCCTGCACCGCGGCCTCGCGAACCAGGGCGATTTCCGACGAGAGGTCGCGTACGCGGTCTATTCGAGGCAGGGCGTGCGAGATATCCAGAACTTTCCGAGTGCCACGACGCTGGAGTACGACTAGTGTGTTCGTTCGTTCGTTCGTTTCATTTTGTTGTTCGAGTGTGTGCTAAGTACAAATTAGCTACCCGTTGGTGTTGTATGGAGTACGTCTATGGGAATCGAGCTTGCTAATGTCTTACAAGCCGCTAGCTAATTCACGCCAGGCGCCGGCCGCGTCTTGTCGGGTCCTTACAAGCGCTGCAGAGCGTACGCATCATATTAGAGTAGCGCATCGCTGCCGCAGTTCAACTAAGTGCCAGCCGCGCAGCGCTAGTGCCGCAATAGGTTGCTGCGACCCTCGCTCTACGCCGTCGGCGCAGCGCTCCGAAGATGCTGCTGCTCGCATGGCTCATCACTAGCGTCGACGCAACTTGCAATCCGGAGGGTTTTGATCCAAAGAACGCAAATCTAGACATGGCGCGCTGGCGCGTGCACGCGAATCCACCAGTAGACACCGCACGAACGAACAGAGCCTTCGGCGCCTACAAGTTCAGCGCGTCCGACGGGAGAGAAACGTTCCCCGTGGCCTTCGGCATGGTCGAGGGCTGGCCGTGGCCCCACCGCTGCGACCCGGCGAAGTATCGAAGACTGCACGCCACTGTTAAATTCAGAAACACGGACGTCGCCGTGGCGTCCTATCCCAAGACGGGCACGACCTGGGTCGAGCAGATCGTACTATTACTATTGCATGGTGCCGACGCCAAATTAGACCCAGCTTCGAGAAATACGTACAACGCGCGGCGGAACCCCCTCGGGTGCGTGTGGCTGGAGCCCATGGTCGCGTCGGCTCGAAGGGCGCGCATGTCGCTGAACCAGTTCGCCGATTTGCCGGCGCCGCGCGTGCTCAAGTCCCACGCGCCCTTCGACGCGTTTCTAGGAACGCGCGGCAGTACGGACAACGCTTCGTTGGCGAACCTGCGCCAGACCGGTTTGAAGGTCATTTACGTCGCGCGGAACCCGAAGGACGCGGCCGTGTCCATGTACTTCCAGCGGGCGCCTTTGCCGGGCAAAAGGAACAATATCAAGCGTAGGATGCCCATGGACGCGTGGTGCGCCTTATACACAAAGGGCTACGTGTCGTGCGGCGCCTTCGTCGACCATGTGGCCCGGTGGCACGCCGTTTCAAAAGCAGTGGAGTCTCCTGTGTTATTTGTGACGTATGAAGAGCTGAAGCAGAATCCTGCCAAGGGCGTCCGGAAGATTGCCGATCATCTCGGTCTGGAGCGTTCTGATGAGGATATAAATGCTGTGGTCAAATTGTCCTCCTTCGACGCCATGGCCGCGCAAGCCCGCAAGGCCCCGCGGCCCGGCGACGCGCGCAACGCGAAATACGCGACTCTTACAAACGGCGCCGTCGACGCGAAGTCCGCTTCTTCTCACCTGCGCCAGGGCGGCGCGGGCACGTGGGTCCAGCACTTCTCGCCGTTGTTATCGAAGCAGTTCGACGCGGCGTATCAATCAACGATGGCCGTCGCGGCGGCGAGGCTGGGGGGCCCTCCGCCGGCGTTCGACTTCGGGCATGGGTGTGTGATGTGAGTAAGTGTGCTTAGTGTTTTGCGCGCTCGGCGGCGGCGTCGTCGGGCCTCCTGTCACCCAGAGCGTCGCCAAATTGCTTCACTATAGTGTCTCCGACGGCGGCGACGGCGTCTCGCGGGCGGCGAGGATTGCTCGCGACTGACGCAAGCAATCCTCAAATATCTCTAAGAGCGGGTGTGCGCCACCCAGCACGCGCCGCGCGGTCCGCTCGATCTCCTCGAGCGTCGTCACGGCCTCGTGGAGATCGTCGAGCGTGGCGTCGGGGTCTGCGTAGAGCGACTGCGCGTAGATGCATCTCATCCTGAGCGTGAGATTACAACCTTCTCCGAGGACGCGTCGCGCCACGGGCATCATTTTGTCTACTAGCGACTTTGCTTCTTCAAAGCGCTTCAGAAAAAGAAGGGAAGACGCGTATCAAGCGCCTCTTCCCGGCGCTGATGACGGACGAGGGCAGGGGGTACGTTGTATAATAGAGCTTAGTCCCTAACAATAACCGCGCCTCACTCCTCCGTGCGCCTCTTCTTCGCGGCCGGCAGCTGCTCGAGCAGTTTTACTTGAGACGACTTCCAGGTCATGGCCAGCTCGCCCTTGTCGTACGTGACCACCGCATCTAAACGTAATAATTGTTTGGATTGCTTCTTGGCATCTAAAGCGTAGACGCCCTTGCCCTTGGCAGCGCCCTTCCACCCGAGAAAGCAGAAGGGTTCTCTATACCCAATCAGCGTCAGCGAGTCCGAAGCGCCCAATTTCCGAAAGGACTCATACACGGTAGAGTTCAACGGCCGGGTCTTGGCCATAGCAGTATCAGTGATGCAGCACCCTACCACAGTGTTCTTCGGTAAACGATCGACCCACTTCGCGAACCTTTTGGTCTCGGCCTCCGTGTCCTGGTAGAGGTTGAAGCGGTGCACCTCTCGCACACTGAACGTGAGGACCTGCTTTGGCGTAGAAGGAGGTACGACATCCAATTCCACGACGTGAATCCCCGTCGCGTTCTTGCGGAAGTGCTCCGTGTGGACCTTGTCGCCGCCACCCTTGCCCGTCTGCCAGGCGATCCAGCCCCAGCCTCTACCCGCGGCGTAGCCGTTCGTTTCTACAGAAAGAGCGCCACTGCCAAACGAAGGGGGATTGTTCTCGTGATGCCTCTCCGTGAACGCGACGTGGTCATCTTCATCGACGGCGGCCAGATCCCGATATTGAGAAAAGTACTTGTCGTCGACACCCGCCGTCGAGCAGGCCGTGACACCCAGTCTCTTCGCCTCCTCACAGATACTCTTGGTGAGCTTGTTGTACCGGTCGGGCGTGAAGAGGATGAACGAGAACCTATCTTTACCGGAATAGGGCTCCGTCGCGTGCTCCGTGTTCCCGTCGAAGAGGCACCACTTTTCTCTACAGTCTAGAATACCTCTATCTCCGGTCCACAATTGGCCGCCCTCGAAGCTACCCAATGCAACAATATAGGACGGTCCTAAATTGTTCGAGTCGATGTGCTTGCGCGCGCGGTAGTTGTAGTTCACTTGGATGGAGCCGTATCTAAATGCAGCATCTGGTAAGGTATCACGAATCCACCGCGTGACGACTTGCGTGAGTGACGGGCACTGCTGCGACGCCTGCGCGATGGAGCAGCCGCCCTGGCGGTTCGGGCTCAATCCGAGTACGAGTCCCGTGACCTCGGGGTTCGCCGTCGGCGCGACGTTCGGTCGCACTTGCGTGGGCCAGTCCGCGGCCTTGATCAAGCGGAACGTCCTCAAGACGTCGGCGTGCGAGATCTTCTTCTTGCCCTGTAGCAACTTGGCGGCGGCGTCCTCGCAGCGCTGGAGGTGCTCTGGTGTTTTTGGCTTGGCCATTTTTGATTGGGAGAGCGGATGGCGGGAATGGAGCTTGCTAGATACTGGCGGCTTCCGGCGCAGCGCGAGGCAGCAGGCGGCAGCGGATGGATCAAATGGCAGCGCTCGCTGGACAAGGACTGCGATTGGGACCTGTAAGCAAGCTCTTTTGGTGCTTGGGCGCGCGAGCTTGGTTATTAGCTAGCGGCCTGTAAGACACTAGCAACTGCGGTTTCCTTGCTTTTGTCTACCAAGCGGGGGGCTTCAGCGCTCCGAATTTGGTCCCGTCTTTCGCTCGACTTTAACTGCGTGCCGCTCACGAGCTCTTGAGTCATCTGGAGCTTCCGGAGAGTGGATCACTCATATCAATTTGTGAGTCGCGGCGCGCAAGATGGACTCGGATGGCGAGGATGATACGCCTCCGCTCCTTGCTGCGGCATACGAAGGTGATGCGCACGCTCTGCGTCGGGCGATCGCGGACGGCGCCGATCTTCATGTCGAGGACGAAGAGAATTATACGGCCCTTCATTGGCTCGTCAACAATACACCGCAGGGTAACGACGAGCTACGAATTGCCTGCATCTCTGCGTTGTTGGACGCGGGAGCCGACGTGAACCCTGGTCTCTGCGTAGGTACCTACGTCAGGCTACGTAGGTACCTACGCAGGTCGTGGAGGCCGTAGGTACCTACGTAGGTACATTTGGAGAAGTTACCTACGTCAGGCTCCACCTACGCAGAGACCAGGACGTGAACAGACTGGGGGGGCTTCATGATTTTGATCGTGACCAAATTCCGGGCACGCCTTTGATGGATGCCGTATTTCTGTGTGAGCCTAATCCAGGCAGTTGTGCTGCGGAACGTACGATCATCGACATGCTACCAGTACGCGCGGGCGCGGACCCGAATATTGCCTCCGCCGACAGCTTTACACCTCTGCATATGGCTGCAGTTTGGGGATACTGGCACATTGTTCCTGTTCTGCTTGCCGCCGGCGCCGAGGTGAACGCCATTTGGCCTAGTAGAGATACTGATGAAAGGGGGGACCCCCTTGACTAATGTACCGCATGCGGTACATTAGTCAAAATCCACACAAGCGGAAACCGGACCACGCGGAAGACTCCGCGACCGATCCCGGCGATCAGGGGCTGCCCGCGCGGACGATCAGCCGCGCCGAGGCAGCCAGAGATAATAAGCCATCGGCGGGGCGTACAGAGGAGTGCATCGGGACACACCAGCTGAGATAGCAGGGCGCGCAGCATGCTCCTCCTCGGCCGGTGCGTGCTGCTCAGCGCGTTAGCGTGGGGGCAGCAGCACCCCCCCCGCAGCGGGCCGAAGGCGCGGCGGTCCAAGGGGCGGCGCGGCGGCGCGCGCCGGCTCGAGGACGTGCCGACGGCCGTGCCGACGTTCGTCCCGACGCCCGTGCCGACCTCCATTCCTTCGCCCAAACCCACGTTCGCGCCGATGCCGGCCCCGACGAAATTCCCGACGTCCGTGCCGACGCCCGTGCCGACGCCCTTGCCGACGCCGACGGCGTTTTCCCGCAAGCCGACCGGCAGCCCGACGTCCGCACCATCTTCCGAGCCGACGCAGACCTTTCGGCCGACCGGGGTCCCGACGTCCACGCCGACGGCCGTGCCGACGCCCATGCCGGCGTGCTGCGTCGAGCACCAATTTAGCGCCACCGGCGAGGTGGAAAGCACGACGTGTAGCGGCAGCCGCTCGCCGTGGGACGCCGCCACCATGACCGAGCTGTGTACGGCGGGCTATTCGGAAGCCGGCGATGTGGCGCCGCCCTTCCGCGATTGCAGGCAGGAGGCGATTGACTCGGGGAACTGCGGCACGATCTCGTGCGTGGAGTGCGACGACGCCGGGGACTGGGCCGAGGACAAGTACTGGGCGAACGTCGGCTACGAAGCGTGCCCCGACTGGGTGGTCGACGCCATGAACGCGGAGGCGGCCACCGGCGGCGCGTGCGCGGCTTGGGTCAGCGTCCGCGGCTACTGGCGCCGGGGTCCCGTGCCGACGTCCGTGCCGACGTCCGTGCCGACGGCGCAGCCCCAGGTCTCGGCCAAACCGACGCCCGTGCCGACATCCATGCCGACGACCTCCACGTGGGCGCCGACGACCTCCACGTGGGCGCCGACGGGCGAGCCGACTCTCGTCCCGACCCCGGTGCCGACGGCCTTGCCGACGGCCGTGCCGACGCCCGTGCCGGCGTGCTGCGTCGAGCACAAATTTACCGAAACCGGGGAGGTGGAAGGCACGACGTGCTACGGCGGCCGCTCGCCGTGGGACTACTCAACGATGGCCGACCTGTGTACGGCGGGCTATTCGAAGTACGGCGCGGCGGCGCCGCCCTTCCGCGATTGCAGGCAGGAGGCGATTGACTCGGGGAACTGCGGCACGATCTCGTGCGTGGAGTGCGACGACGCCGGGGACTGGGCCGAGGACAAGTACTGGGCGAACGTCGGCTACGAAGCGTGCCCCGACTGGGTGGTCGACGCCATGAACGCGGAGGGGGCCACCGGCGGCCAGTGCGCGGCTTGGGTCCGCGGCTACTGGTATCCCTCCGGTTCGTGCGGGCACCACGCCTGGGGCGCCGATCGCGACGGATACTCCAAGTGCGCCCGGCTGGGTAGAGAGCCCTATCCCGAGGGCGACGCCGCCCTCCACGCGATGGGGAACAACGCCGGGTTGTGCTGCCCGGAGTATCCCTCCGGTTCGTGCGGGCACCACGCCTGGGGCGCCGATCGCGACGGATACTCCAAGTGCGCCTCGGCGGGGAGAGAACCCTATCCCGAGGGCGACGCCGCCCTCCACGCGATGGGGGACGACGCGGAGACGTGCTGCCCGGGCGAGGACTGGAGGTGGGCGAACGGCTGTCGCCAGGACTACTGCACGGACTGGGGTAACGACTGCTACGCCTCGATGGACTGGGGCGAGCCGGTGACCTGCTCAAACGGCTACACTCCGTCGCCGCCGAGCCCGCCTGGGCACGACCCCGAGTACACGTGCTGCCCGAGCGCGACCAGCTGCGAGTACGTCGCCGGCCAGCCGTTCGTCCTCGTGGCGTTTGAGCCCGATCCAGCCACCCAGGCAATGTTGGGCCTGCCAGGCGGGGAGTTCTCGGTGGGCTTGAACGATGCCGACAGAAGCTACCACCCCGATGAGGGCGGAAACGTGCACAGCAACACCTTTTTCACGGTGCAAACTACGGAGGGCACGAAAATGCTTCATCGCAGCACGGACAACAACATAGTTTTCCCGGACATGCCGCCCGAGTGGACGACGGACGCGACGCGGCCGCCGCACATCGAGGGGGATGTCCTCATCAACGTCGGTCTGCACGTGAACTGCCAAGAGTACGTGCACGGCTCCTTTGTGAAAGCGCTCGGGAATGTGGGCTCCCCCGGGAGCTGGGTCGTCAACGAAGACGGGACAATTTCGCCGCATGATGCCCCGCACCTCGTTCTTGGCTGGGGCGACTTCACCACGGCCGCTTGCTGGGACTGGTTCGTGGGCCCGGAACCGAACAACCTAGTCCTCATGGACTCCGCGATGGCGCTCGGTTGCGAGGCCGCGAGAGAGGCCGATCCTGCTCAGATGTGCGCGCCGGTCTTCCGCGCGAGAGGCGTCGACTGCGATCACGCTGGCCACGACCATGGCGGCGCCTGCGACGGCATCCACCTCGAGGCCGGGGTGGGCGAGGTCTGCAACTGGGCGCACGGGGAGACGCACGGCTGCCCGGTCGTGAACACCCAGTTGTGGGACAGCGAGCTCTGGAGCTGCGACGATCTCTGCGGCAGGGCTGGCGGGTGGTGCGAGCGCGCGGCGCACATGAGCAACAATCACTGCGGGTCGGACGTCCACGAGGAGTACGAGCTCTCGTGCGACCAGGGCATTCGCGACATCCGGACGTGGGGTGGTGAGCCGTCTCACACCTTGTGCTGGTGCCGGGTCGACGACACGGACCACTGGTGGCACTACTACCACGAAGACGACGACGACGACGACGACGGTGATGGGGCCACGGAGCTCGTCATGTCCGGCGGCCTCGTCGCGATCGGACTTACGTTCACCGGTATTAGCATCGCTGCGATCGCGAATGCGTTCCAGGAACAATGCGCATTAGGACCGACGATCATCTTCGAGGCCGGCACCACCCACCCCTACTACATCAGCCCCAACCTCTGCACCATCGGCACGCACACGTACGCCTCCAAGAAGACCGTGCGCGACGCGTCGCCGCGCAAGGTCTGCCGCAAGTTCTGCGAGGCCGCGTCCGCCGCCGGGAAGCTGGCGCTCAAGCACGTCCAGGGCCTGACCTGCTACTGCAAGCGGCGGTAGCGCCCCTTTCTTTTTGCTTCCCCCCTCCTCCCCTTCGGTCGTCGACTCTGGAGTACTGGGCGCACGCGGGCTGCCCAGTGTCTTCGTGCGATCAGTACTCGCGAACTACCAACTGATTTCAAGGTGCGCAAAGAATTCAACTAGTCATAAGTTTCACAAAATACCTTATCAGGAAGGAAGGACGCAACCTACCAAGACGGCACCTCGTCCGCGCCGTCGACGTCGACGAGGCGGCCCGCCACGGAACCGACGCCGCCCCGGCGGTAGGCCACGCGGCCGCGCACGAAGGTCGCCTCGACGCGTCCTAGCGTAGGCACGCCCTTCAAAGCGTCGGACGACGCCGACGACGCCGCCTCGGCGTCGAACACGCAGAACGACGCGCACTTGCCTATAGCTATAGTACCGTACTGCGACAGACCCAGCGCAGCAGCTGTATTGGTGGAGAGCCACTTCGCCACATCGGTCAGGGAGAAGCCCTCGCTCAATGCCCGGGCCCAGAGAGCGGGTAACGCGTCGGCGGCCACTCTTGCACACGTGCCCGGCGCCGCGCGCGCGAAGTCACCACTCTCGGAACATTTCAACTCCGGAGCGACGGCGTCCGTCCCCGAATGGATACACTGCAACGTGCCATCCCGCAACGCGTCCCATAAAGCAGTTTGGTGGCCCGAGTGGCGCAAGGGGGGCGCGAATTTGAAGCGCGTGGCCCCGTTCGGGACCTCTTCCGCGGCTAGGAGTAGGTACAACGTCGATGTCGCAGCCGTCGGCTTTAGGTCTTCCGGCACGTGCTGCAAGGCGCCCACTGTTTGCGCTGCCGCTACATCAGTGATATGTAACCGCGACGCGTTCTTCACTCTTCTCGAGAGGAGCCATCTTAAACCGCGAGCTTGTGAGCGAGAAGGATGCGCCCTCGCTAGCAACGAGTAGTCCCTCCGAATGGCTCGTCGCGTGTTGTCGTCCGTGTCCTTGAAGATCGAAATCTCGCGCGGCCGTCTCCGCGCGAAGCGCGGCTGCCTTATAGTTGCTGACACGGACCGAGGAATGACCTCATGGTGAGAAGGTGACGACGGCTCCGATTGAGCTCTAGGACGTAGCGGCGGCGGCGGTAGCACCGGACACGTAATCTTGGACACGTCTTTGACGAGCTGGCCTAGCGACGGCGTCCGCACGAAGACCGCCCGTTCGGGAGACGAGGGCGGGAAGGTCGGTCTTCTCACAGCACAAGGTACCAATCTCTGGGGGTTGGGCACGGTCTGGGAGCGTTTGAGGGCTGGCGAGGTGAGCGGCGCAAACGACACGGAGGGCTTCGGGCTTTCAGGAGCCTCGTAGGCGTAGGAGGCTAACTCCGCTTGCAGTAGGGACTGGACCCACGGATCTTCGTCTTCACTGGACTGTTGTTTTCTCAATCTACGAGAAGGTGATTCTTGGGCGCCGTCGAGCTCACAGAGCGGCAGGCGCGCCATCGGGCTGGCGGCCCGAGGCCTATCAGCAACAGGCACGTGGTGGAACGGACTAGCGAGGTCCCGTTCTCCGTCGGTCAATTTTACGACGTCGGTCACGAGGACGCGCGCCTCGGCCTGCGGACGGCGACGCGTGACTGCGCTGCTCTGACGACGTCGCGTCGATGGCGTCGACGGCGTCTCCGTGGCGCCACCTCGACGCCGTCGACGCGTCACCTCAAACAGTAAAGGTCGAAGCGACTTCCGAGGACGCCGGGGCGGGCCTGGGCCTGGAGCCACGTCTCGTCGGTTGTGGCACCATTTACATCGTCGCAGGGGGCCAAGGTCGGGACTTCCGCGACGACGGGGATGTAGGATGAGGTGGCCCTACCGGCTATTACGACGTCACAGAGCAGCGGCTCGTCATTCTGGAGTTCCGGGCCCCCGAACCTCGAAGGGAGGTGGACTACTGTCGAAAAGCCTCCTTCGACGGCGCTTTCATAAACATCAGAGCCTCTCAGGACATCGATGAGACCTGGTAAAAGAGCGCAGGCGCCGCAATCCACAAACTCGACGTCATTCGGAGGCGGCACGCGTCCGGACTCAATACGTGCTATAACACCGTCCTCTACGGTAATCGTGGCGGCCTGGACACCTTGGGGCAGGGCGACGCGGTCGGAGTAGACCGCGCAGCGGCGCGGTTGCACGTCGCCGGCGGTCATTTTCGAGCAGTTTTTTTGCTGGTTTCTTGGCTGGGTGCTAGCTGAAGCCACTGACGAGCGCTCGGCTTTTCTTTGTGTGCTACGGCGGTGCTAGATCAATCGAAAGCACTGAGATTTTCGAGGGGGTATGCAGCTTCTACGGTCTCCGACGGCCCGTCGACGTGAGGTCACAGAGCTAAGGAGAAGCCGAGACTGCTGCCAACGCCAATTACTGCGCCGATATGCCGCGCCGCGTTTATGGGCCCTCAAAAGGGGAGGCTGCACAAGCTCGATGCATTGCAGGAAATGTGGACCATCCGTTATCAAGCGCCTCGACGCCTCGCGAAGCCCCGCAGGACCTCCTCGACGACGGGGCACGGCGCCGCACATTTTGACCTTGGCGCTGCCAAAGCAGGCGCTGCACAGAGAGCAAATCGCCTGGACGGCGGGCAACGCTACCGGCGCGGCGCCTCGACGATTTAACCTTGGCGCTCCAAGCGAGAGCAATTGCCCAAAACGGCAGGCAAGACGCGGGCAGCCCAAAACAGCACCATGCCACCCCACCAGCGCACGACACTCCTAGACGACGGCAGCCCCGGCTCCGACGCCTGGATCCCGAAGACGCCCTGGCACGAACTAAGGACGGTGATAGGCCGCGAGGGCCCCGTCGAGGCGCCGATCAATTCGCTGCGGGACCCGCGGACGCCGTGGACCGCGCGTTTTAGATATGCGCAGCACCTGACGCACGGTTGCGAAGACGTCGAGTTAAGGACGAAATTGCTCCTGGCGCAGGCGAGGAATTTAGAGAGGACGGCGTCCTATGAGGATGACGAGGACGACGACGACGACGACGACGAGCTCGATGCTCTATTATCAGTCTTGTGGAGGGCTGGTGCTTTAACAAAAACAAATAGAGGCTTACTAGCATTAGATGCGTACGCGGCCTGGGCCACGGCGCTGCACTACGCCCTACTCCCAAACCTACTCGCCTCGACAGAAGCCCTCGAGAGCGCGAGAGGAGACTGGGAGCGCGACGTCTCGAGGAGCGGCGCGTTTGAAGGAGGTAGAGACCACATACCTCAAACCGAGGACCCCGTCGGCCTGCAGCTCCAGCGTTTTGATGACGAAAGTTCTTTATCTTCCGTGGGCTCCGTCCAAAGAGACAATTCGGAAGACTCCTACGCGCCGCCGCCGTCTCCTTCCCGTTTTGAAGAGGAGCCGGGCATCGACCAGGCGGCCTTTGCGACGGGCATGCGCGAAGTTTTAAGGGTGTGGGCCCCGGACGATCAAGCGCCTCTGCTGTATTCGTTGATCCAGGCGATCTTCGGCGGTCTGGACGACGTCTGCATGGCGAACCACGCGCCGTACGCATTAGATACATTTAGACGGCCTTCAGACATCCCTTGTCTAGCTTTACTACCTCTGAGCTACGCGCGGGAACGGTGCGGCGAGTGGCTCAAACGCTTCGACAACGGCGCTATTCTGGCGCGCCGGGCCCAAAAGGAGTTCGAAGCGTCCCAAGCGAACCCCGACCAGCCACCTAGACACTTATTGCGACCGACGGGGCCGTCTGTCGAGCTAAGTAAAGTGCCCAACAGAGAAAAGCGGTCCACCGTCGTCTCCAAACAGTTAGCGAGGCATTTCTATTTACCAAAGGCCACGCGTGACTGCGGCTCTGATGCGAGACGGTTTCTCTTGACGTTGAGACAGAAGCAGTCGGCGACTGTGTGGAAATCAACCAGTGTGTCGGGTGCATGCGGTGAGGAACCGACATCGACACGCCATCGAGCAGGTGTCGCGTCGATGGCGTGGAGGTCGACGAACGCGCCGTAAATTTGATTTCCACACAGGTCGGCGATCGAGAAGGACTTTCTGCGGCGCCGGTCGGAGCGGCATCGCACGGAGCAGCCGTCTCCTTTGTGCAAATATCTACCTCCCCGAGAAGTGCTGACGCCGTGGGCTCCGGACAATTTCAATCCCGTGGGCACCAAAATGCGGGCCAAAAAACGCGACCCGCTGCGTTCCGGTCTCTTCGCGCCGGGCCCGCGCTCTGTGGGCGGCGGTCACACCGTGAAGATGGCCAAGGCGTCGCCAAAACCGCCGGAGTATTCCATCTTGACGGCGCCGCACATCCATAGAGCCACGGACATCTCGTTAAGGGGGCCCCCAACCGAGAAGAAGCTCTCGCAGCGCCAGCTGTTGAAAAGGGCCGAGCGGCGCGCGCGGCAACGACTTAGACAAGCCGTCGACGCGCGGTCCATCGGTTTATTGGTGCAGTACGGCGAGGCCCGGGGCGCCCGCGGTGGGAGCACGCAGGCCGACTCCTTCGTCGCGCCCGACGACGAGTGGCCGTCCACCACAGTAACGACGCTGCAGCTGGATTCCCAAGTCGAGACGCACCTGTCAGCCGAAGCCCAGTACGCGCAGGGCGTCCTCGACGGTAGGGTGGTGGTGGCCGCGGACGCGGGCGCGGCGACTTATGGAATGCAGAGGCCGAGCGACGACCCTGCCGATGATAGGATCCGCGCTGAATTGGCCGAGGCGAAGCGCAAGGCCGCTTTAAGGCTGCCGCGGGCGCCGCTCGAAGAGAGAGACGCCCTGCTCCGGAAGCGCGTCCCGCCGGACGTGGACTTGCTCGTGCGGGCGCGGAACAAGATTTTGGAGGGGGCGCCTGTTTTATTACGGTACGCGGTTTAACTACATGTTTTTACAGACTACCACAACCAGAGGACGAGCTTCGCCGCCCCGACGGCGAGGCCCGCCACGACGAACGCGCCGGCGGCGAGCACCACCGGGATCACAAGGTTCGCGGGGAGCGTCATCGAATAGCTCACTTTGCGATGCACGCGCGTGCCGGACGCCGAGAGCCAGACCTGGTAGTACGTTGTTTTTGTCACGACGGTCGAGATGTCGTCGTCGCTCCAGGCGGCATAGTGCCCAAAACCGAGGCTCCGGAGGTCCCACCACCAGCTCAAGCGGAGGTCGCCCGGGTAACAGTCCGACGCCCGCGGCTGGGCCCAGGACTTGAACAGCTCCCGTTGCTTCGCCCACGGCAGCGCGCGCCACCGCCGCGAGAGCTCGTCGGGCTTCACCGCCACGCCGCCGAGGCACTCGCGGAGGTGGCCGCACCATAAACGGCTTTCGCCCGTGTCGGCGCTTCGCATCGTTTGGAGGCAAGGAATGCGCCTCAGGTGGCTGCCGCGTGGATCCCGAGGACGCGCCTTGCGCTTTAGGCTGCCCGACGGCTTTCTGGTCACCGCATGGGCTCCTGGCGCGGCGGCATCGGCCCTTGCTCCTCTGTTCAGGCCGGGTTCAATGCGGAATGAGCCGCCCCAGGGCAATCTTACCTCAGATTGTCCGCTGGATTCAAAAAAGTCCCGTTTTTTTAGGCGTCCCCCACGCCCGGACGACGCCTGCCGCCGCCTCAAGAACCCTGGTGAAATTACGCTGGCTTACATACTAGCTGCTCGTGCACTGGCAAGCAAATTTCGCGGGCGACGAATAAAGGCACATATCACATCCGCCTACCGATTCACAAAGAGGCAGATTCGCAGTGTTGATGACCTGCATCGCCCAGAAGCCCGCGGCGCTTTCGCCGCAGCGTTTCTCGCCCTTCAGCGGCAGCACGAGTTCTCCGACCACCACCAACTTGATGTCGGAGAAGGCGCCGGCCGGCCCGGCCGCCATGACGCCCGCGGCACCCGCGCGCACTACCATGACGGCGCCGGGCACCGCTGAACACGCCGCGGCCGAAAAAAAGGAATTCGCGTCGTTGACGTCAAGAACGGTGGCGGGTCCGAACGCCCCATCCAGGGCCGCCGGCGGCGCGCGCGCGCGCGACGCCAAGTCCATGCCCAAGGCCACGGGCCGCTGGACCGCCGAGGAGCACGACGAGTTCCTCAAGTGCCTCGACATCTACGGCCGCGAGTGGAAGAAGGTCGCCGAGCGCATCACGACGCGCACGGCGGCCCAGATCCGGAGCCACGCCCAGAAGTACTTCAAGAAGATCGAGGCCGCCGGCGAGGGCGCCCCCAAGGCCGCGAAGCCCGCGACAACGCCGGCGGCGGCCGACGGCGCGCCCCAAATCCCCGCGGAGACGCTGGCGGGGGCGCTCGGCGCGCTCGACGACATGCTGCGGGCCCTGCGGTCGAAGCGCGCGCGCTACGACGACGATCAAACGCCGAGCGAGGCCGCCTCCGATGCTAGTGACGCGCCGCCGGTCGAGAAGCGGCCGCGCGCGGCGAGCGAGGGCCTCGTCATTCCGCAGGCGAAGCGGTCGCGGGCGAACAGCGACGACCGCGCGCCGGGCCTGCGGCGCCGCGTCACGTGCGACGACCTCCGCGCGCTCGAGGCGCTCGAGCTCCTCCGCGAGGCCGCGGGCGGCGCGTTCTAGTGACGTGTTGAGCCGCTTCCGCGGCGGCGCGATAGGCGCCGCCGCCCATGTGACATCCTGTGCCCTCCGCCAACGTGCCGGAAAGTCCGCACGTTTACCCCCCCCAATGTACACACCGCTGTCGTGTATTGTACACATCCCCTGTCCGTAATGACCATTTCCCCGAGTCCGTGTCTTCCAGTCGCGGCGGCGGCGTGGGGGTTGCTGACGCCGTCGAGCAGACGTCGCGTCGATGGCGTGAAGGCGCCGCGCGAGTCTGAGTGTCATCGAACCCGAACGCATTTATGCTGCGGATGATGCCACGGCGGATGGTGATTACATTTTACCCGCCGCGAATACGCTCGAGTTGTTGTTATGAAAGAAGCGGCACGCGCCCGCCGCCGATGAATCGGCGACGCGCGGTGTCTCCCCCCCAGCCCGGGCAGGGGCTCCGTCCACTAGTCCTAGCACTGTAACAAGCACGCTCGACTCGGAGACGTGAGGCCGAGGCGGTTTTTCTCCGAAGCTCGCGCGCCTCGAGGCGGGGCGCAGGCGCTCAACTACAAAACCAAAACCTTAGGACCCCAGAAAAAAAAGTCAGGTCAGCAGGTCCACGTCCACGGACGGCGAGTCGTCCTCCTTGAGGTCGACGAGCTCGACCCCCCGCGACTGCTCCGTCGTCAGCGGCGACCAGGCGCGCGGGCCCCGCACGCCGAGGGGCTGGGCCTCGAAGTCCCCCTCGACCTCCAACGCGCCCTCCTTCGGGCTCGCCACGTCGCGGTAGACGGGGTTTCTGGCTTCCTCCATAGCTCTCTGGATGTCGCGCCACGTCGGCTCGTCGCGCCGCGCCTTGTGGTGCTTCCAGACCGTGTAGCCCGCCAGCGCGACGGCGGCGCAGGCCACGATCATGACGACAACTAATGCAGCAATCAGCACGGTGAGGTCGGCCGAGGCTGAATTTGCGTGGGACCCGCCGTCGTCGCCACCAATGGCGGCCGTGGAGGCCGTCGGGCGCGGGACCGGCGCCGCCGTCGGCCTTGATGTCGGGTGGGGCACGGGCCGCCGCGTGGGGTGCGGCGTCGCGCCAATGACGGGCGACGGCGTCGGCGCCCCGGCCGCGACGGGCGCGGCGCTCGGGGACCCGGGCCGCGGCGACGGTGCTAATGAAGGCGCGATCAGCGCGCGCGAGTCGACGACAAAGTCCTTCCACGTATGGGCGCAGTCCGTGCGCGTCGCCGTCGCCAGCACCGCGCCGTCCGCGCCCCTCAAAACTTCCACGGTGCCGTAGGCGCTGCTGAGGGGGGGCGAGCAGAACAACCTCAACAATAATTGATCCGCGCCGTCCACCAAGTACTCGCGCTCGACCCTTTTGCCGTTATCCGACTCGACGTACTCGTGGCCGTCGATGTCCGGCACGAGCGTGAGCCACTGGCCCTCATTAATTTCGGACGACGTCGTCCGCGTGGGTTTTAATGAAGGCGCCGGCGTCGGCGTGTGGTTGGACGTGGGCGCCATTGATGAAGTCGGCCGCGGCGTCGCGAGCGACGGCCCGTCTATTCTATAAAGCTCGACGCTCGCGACGGCCGTCGACGCCGTCCAGTCGAGGGCCAGCATCATCTGGACGTTTCTCGGTGCCCACGTCGGCGTGCGCGTGGGAAAGCCGTGCTCGACCGTGAAATTGTAGGCCGCGGTGCCGTCGGCGCCCGGCTCCGCGTCGGACACGTAGACCTCGAAGCCGTCCGCGTCGCGCACCGACGCCTTGCCGCCCGCCCAACCGGTAGTCCCGCCTCGTACGAGTAACGCGTAGTCGCCCGCGCTGAAGCGGTAGTCCGCCGACAGCTTTTTGTCATCGCCGTCGACGGCCGCATCAAAGCCCCACCACGCGTCGACGCCGCAGGGCGCCACGTCGGGCGCCTTGCGCGGGTCGCGCGGGTGCGCGCCGTCTATTAAATAAGGTCCCACGAGGCCCGTCGGCGTCGGGGCGCCGTAGCCGCGCGAGTATGATTGGATAGCGACGTGCGCGTCGAATCTTTTGGAAGGGTCGCTCGCTCCAGAAAAATCGAGGTCCACGGCAAACTCATAGGTCGTCGACCGGCTCTTCGTGGGAGCGGGCGACGGGTGGTGGCGCGCCTCGAAGGTGACCATTGAAGAAACGCTGCACTCCGCGTTCAGGCAGCCCGCGTGATGCTCGGGGTTCGCCGCCTGGCTTCCATGTAATTCGTCGCAGCCCTCCATGGCTAGGGTATACGACCCCGCCCCCCAGCCGTCGCCCCATTCATCGTACGTGTGCAGCTCGTAGTCGCCCGCCGCGAGGCAGTATCGGCACTCGCTGGTGTAGGTCGCCGCGTCGCCGTGGACGAAGGAGTCGTAGGGCGGCGTGCACGTCTCGACGGCGTTGACCTCGCTCATCATGTCGAGGCGGTCCTCGCCGCCGGCCGCCGTGAGCCAGGCCGCGGCCTCCTCCATGTCGCGCTTCGTCGCTTCGACGGTCTTGCCAAGCAATCCCGAAAAGTCCAGGGTGATGGTCACGGTCTGGTCCGGGCAGAAAAGGGGGTTGGAGGCCCATGCCGTCGTGAGCAGCAGCGGCAGCAGCCCGCGCATCCTGGAATCGCTGCCCCCGGCACTCGCGTGCGACGCAGCGTTTCGTTTCGATGCGTCGATGGCGTGGAGGCTGCCTGAGTCCTGTGCTCGCGCTGCACGAGGCGATGTGTTTGTCCTGAATTTTTTGCAATTTGGCTTCGGCGGGTTTTTCAAATTTTCAAGGGCCTCCGACGGCCGAGAGCCGTGCCAATGAGCCTTCCAGACCTCGCCGTACCGGTCCTCGGCGCGGGCCCCATCCGCTCGGCGCCTTGGTGCAAGACAAATTCGCATTTGCCTGAGTGCACGCATAAATCGCCGCGCCGCGCGGACGCTGCCCCTGCGTGTAGCATCACTCGAAAACAACGCGGCTGCGAACGCACGGCGCCCATCTCGCAAGCAGCACCCCAGGAGCAAGCGCTGCCCCACACACCCGGCACGCCGCCGCGCCGTACCATGTCGACGGACATCGACTACTGGAGCGACTCCTACCGGTCATCAATTGATGACGCCGACCGGTTAGTGACTTCCCTGGGCGCGTGCGAGCCTGATGAAAGACTATCAATAATCGACGCAGCGGACGCGAAACTGAAGCGCGCCGGGGGCATCAAGAAGTCCTACAAGCTCGAATTGAGGTTGCTGAGAGATAGGGAACTGAAAAGGAACTACGAGGAGTCTTTGCGGGAACTCGACGACCGACGAGACGAACTGAAGCGAAGGGTCGAGGAGCACAGAGAACGGACTGAGCGGAGTACTCTACTACAAGAGACACCAGCCGCATTCGGAGAACACAAGGGCAACGACTACTACCTCGACAAAGCCCATAGTCTACAAGATAAGACGGAAAATACCCTCGAGAGAACGACACAGATGATCGAAGCGTCCAAGGAAGTCGGCGCCTCCACACTATCCGAGCTAGAGAGGCAGCAAGATCAAATAAAAGATGTGTCCGCCGATATCATGCTCATCGAGGACAATTTGAGCAGGGCCGATCGGCTCATCCGGAACTTTACGAAACGAATGATGACCGATAAATTGATCATGGGCTTCGCCTTCCTGAACATGTGCGCGCTGACGGGCATCATCGTCTACTGCGTGGTGACGGGGAAGGTGCTGGGGGACGACAAGAAGAAAGATAAGGAGGAGGGGCCCGACGAGAGCGAGCGGCGGCTGTTCCTGCGAGGGGGGGGTTATGGGTACGGGTAATTTGTGGTCTCTTGTATTATTCTGTCGCGGGGCTAGAGTGCGGGTGCCTCGACAACAAGGGTCACTCGAGAGCGCGCTCTGCCGACGCGCACAGCTGCCCTTCGCGGTAATTTCTCGTCGTTTGCGTCGCGCGGCCCTTCGACGACGATCCGCAGCGCAATGGTTCGACGGCGCTCATCACTCGCTGGCCTTCACGCCGCCGCCCGCAACCTCGACCTCGACAAGCTAAAGCGCATCCTCGCGGTCGGTGCGGATCCCAATAGAGTACTCTCCCAAGGTCCGTATCGTGACACGACGCCGCTTCTTGTTTTGTGCGGGCACTCCTGGCAAGACGCGAGAACCCCTGCTGTACTCGAGGCGTGGGCACGACGAGAGGAGGATGTGGTCGCTTGCGCTGCCGCGCTCATCGAGGCCGGCGCGGACGTGAATCTCCGGAGCAGATGGATAGGGACGCCGCTTTCGCTGGCAGCAGGTGGTCTATTGGGGGACGATTGCTGGCGTGGTTACCCCATGCCGCGCCTCGTGTCCCTGCTGATAGCAGCTGGCGCTGACGTGACTTCGGCGGGTCGGTGGGTGCTGAAGGCGGCAGCAGAGTCATTACTCTACTATCGCGGCGACAAAGGCGAAAGGGACGCCGTCCGTGTTATCAGCACGCTCGTCGACGCGGGCGTCGATGTGCGTGGCCGGGAAATAGAGGAGTTTCTTCCACGCCCTCGTTATGTAGGCACCGATGGTCGCGTCCGTGTTCCCTCGCGCCGCGCCACCAACCGCGTCATCGCGATCCTCCTCCGCGCCGGCGCGGCGGTTCCGGAACTGCGACCATTGGTGGACGACCCAGCTCTCGGATATCTAAGAAAGGTGGCCTTGTCTGGTGGCTATAAGAACTACGAGCAAAGGTGCCTCAGGGCCTTCGAGACGATGCTTGCTCCGAAGTTCCCTCTGCTGCCCGAGGACGTCATCCCAAATATTGTCCTATTTGCATTCCACAACGGGATGTACGAGATCGAGTGGCGCATGCCACCGGGCGTGTTGGTGCGAATCCGCGACGCGCTGCTATCGCGCAGCGACGAAATCGATGAAATTCGCGTATCTGCAAAGGAGACGCGGTATGCCGTGGCTCATGGCTGGTGCGTCGAAGGGTCCGAGCTTCTGGGGCGGAGGGTGCGAGTCCCGCACTTTGTCCCTCCCGGCTACTCAGAAGGCATCATTCGGGGCTGGCTCGACGCTTATGACTTTGATCTCCGGGAGCGCCTCGGTGCGCGCCTGATGAACTCTGCCTATTGCGAGGGTAAAGCGGTGCCTCTGTTCCGCATCTGTTTTCGGACTGGCCATTATGCGGGCCTCGTTGGCACGCCAATGACGCTGGAGAAAGTGTCGAAGTTGCTGCTTCCGGCGTCGCCGCAAGACGCCAAGCCCACTCCCTCCGAGATAGACGCCGCCCTGCGGGATCGAGCCTTCACGCCGACTATGCTGGCGTGCCTCCACGCCTCGCTGGATTTGCCGGCCGACGCGAGTACGACCGAGTTCCTCGGCGCCGTGTACGACGCGGCGGTCGAGGCGGGCGTCAACCCCATGCCCTCCATGACAGTCGGAGAATACATGAACTGGACGCCGCCGCCGCCGCGGGAGTAAATTATATGTGAACTTACTCCTCCTCCCCCCCCTCGAAGTGCTTCTTGATGTGCTTCGCCAGCTGGAACATTTCGAACCGCTCGACCCCAAACAACGCTTTGAGCTTATCATCACAGACGATGATGCGCTTGTTCGACGGGTCGCTCTGCAAATTATTGGCCTTGATGTGCGCCCAGAAGATTTTTGACAAAGTAAATCTATTGTTCGTCTCGACGCCCGCGAACTCCGCCAGCGCCGCCGACCCTTTGTACTGCGCCGCGGGTTTCGGATAGGCCTTCTTCTTCTTCTTCTTCGGCTGCTCGTCACTCTCTTCATCGTCAGACGGCTCTCGTTGCTTCTTCTTTTTTTTGGGAGCTTTCGGCTTGGTCGCCTCGCCATCTTTAAAAATATGTTGACCGAGTAACTTGGACATGCCAAAGCCCGTGACCTTATCCCTCTTGAAGACCTTTTTTAGTTTTTCATCGCACAGTATTTCATTTCTGTTGGCCGGGTTCTGGAGATCATGAGCTTTGATGTACTTCCACAGGAGCTTGACGAGTCGAAAATGGTTCGCTCGGGACACGCCCACGACAGCAGACATGTCCTCCGATATGAATGGATGGCGCGGGTCCTCGTCCTCCTCGTCTGGAGCACTTCGCTCTTGGACGCGCTTCGTCACGTGCTCCTTGAACCAGTCCTTGTCCTCGCCCGCAATTTCAATACTCAAATCGGAGGCGACCTTCTTGCGCAGCGACTTCATGTTCATCTCGTCGAGGTCGACCTCTTTGAGGAGGGCGTCGAGGTGCGTGGCGATGCGGGCGCGCAGGGTGGGCGCTTCTGCCGGCTCTGGTGCGGGCTCCGGTGCTTCGGGCGCCGGCGCGGCCGGTGCTTCCGGTGCCTCGGGCGCCGGCGCGGCGACGGGCGGCGGCGCGGCGGGCTCGGGCGGCGGCGCGGCGGGCTTGGGCGGCGCCGGCGGCGCCGTGTCCATGGGCGCGGCCGGTGGTGGGGGCGCCGGGGGCGCCGCGGCCGGAGGCTCGGGGTCGGCCGCGGGCGCGGGGGGCGCGGCCGGCGCCGGCGCCGGCGCGGCCGCCGGCGCCGCGGCCTCGGCCGCCGCGGCGAGCTCGGCCTTGCGCGCGCGCTTGGCCTCCTTCTTGGCCTTGCGTAATTGCTTCTGCTTCTCCTTCTCGTCCATCTGGGCACTCTCGAGGCTCGCCTTCATGGCCAGGCGCATGGACATCTTTTTGCGTCGTGGTGCGTGACCCGCTATACGTCTAGATCAAAAAGCCGCGTCGCGCCGCCGCCGATTTCGGCTGGGAGAGCCTCCTGAGGAGGAACAGTGCGGAGCGCAACTAGTGCTTTCGGGACAGCGAGCACTGGCAGGCCTTGAACCAAGGAAGACTTGGAGGCCCTGAGAGGACTGTTACTTGCCCAGCGGTCCCGTGGAAACTATTACAGAGACGCCGACCTCCTCGGCCTCGAGCTTCCTAGTGTGTCTACGCAAACTAGCAAGCCTCGAACGCATTCCTCCACGCGAACCCCCAGACGACTAGCTCCGGACCACTACCAGAGCACGAGAAAAACGAGGCTGCCCCGCACGCAAACAGAGAGCCGCTGTGGAGGGCAGCAAATCGACGGCCTAAGGACGGCTACAATCGCACCGATCATGAACGCACGACGACGATGAGGCGACGCCGACGATGAGACCGCGGGCAGCCCTCCTCCTGCCACTGGCCGGGGCCATCTGCCCCGACTACGAGACCCTGCCCTACTGCAGCGGCCACGGCGACTGCTCGATTAGTGGGAGGTGCGACTGCTGGGCCGGCTGGCGAGGTGGAAGTTGTGCGGAGCGGACGTGTCCCATGGGCCGAGCTTGGAGTGATATCGCGACGGCGACGGACACCGCGCATGCTATGGCCGAGTGCTCGAACCGAGGTTTGTGTGACCGCACGACGGGGAGATGTGTCTGCGGCGTCGGTTTTGAAGGATCGGCTTGTCAGAGGATGGGCTGCCAGGGCACGTCGGATGACGGCTTACCGCTGGGTTGTAGCGGCCACGGCGAATGTCTGTCGCTGCGAGATTTGGCGAGGTTTGAATACGACAAGTGGTCGCAACGGTTTCTATATGAAACGCCCTGGGACGCCGAGGCGATCTACGGGTGTTTATGTACGTTTCCTTATACCGGTCCCGCGTGCACGACGCGGACGTGCCCCGAGGGCGACGATCCACTGACCTCCGGACAGGTCAACGAAGTGCAATTATTGAGCTGTATCGGCTTCGAGGGCAAGATTGTTTTGAGGTTTGCCGGACAACCGTCCAAGGAAATCGCCTGGGACGCCTCACCAAAAGACGTAGAACGAGCAATAGAAGCCACGGGCACCGCTGTCGGAGACGTCGTCGTCACCTTCACCAAAAGTGACGCCACCAAACTGTGCTACGCGCCCGAAGCGGACGAGGCGGATATTAACGTGGCCCAGATCGAATTCCGGACGGTCTTCGGGGACGTGCCTCCCTTGACTTTTGACGAGGCGTCGTCGTCCTTCGAGGGCACGGTCGAGACGAGATCCGTCGCGACGCACGGCGAGCTGGCTGTGTTGCGAGCTACCGACGGGCAATATGCCGCAGCCGTGCAAGCGACGAAAGAACGAGCAGCGTGTGCCGGACGAGGTCTCTGCGAGGAAGAAGAGGGCGAATGCGCCTGCTTCACGTCGAACTTCGAGCTATTCACGTCGTCCGATCTCTATGGCGGTCCGGGCCTCCACGGGGACTGCGGCCATCCGATGTCCGTCGTGACGATGTGCCCCGGCGCCGAGGACGCTCTCTGTTCGGGAAATGGGAACTGTTTGGGACGGTGTCGCGACGGCGACGCCGACGGGCGATGTGTGGAGAGCGAATTCTCGAAAGATCTGTTCGACGACGACGCCACGCCTTTCCCGTCGTACCACGCGCCGCGAAAACGGTGGCAGGCGGAAAAGCCCTTCCAGTGCGCGTGCAAGCAGGGCTGGACGGGCGGCGACTGTTCGCTCATGCTGTGTCCTCGCGCGCCGGCTTGGTTCTCGTATCCCTCGCGAGATGATAAGGCCCACGACGCGCTTCAGGAGTGCGCGGGCATGGGCGTGTGTGACCGCACGACGGGCATGTGCATGTGTCCTCCTCACTTGACGGGTGCGGCGTGTGAGAGACTCCAGTGTCCCGGTGCTGATATAAGTGGAGGCTTCCCGTGCAACGGTGTCGGGCGGTGTATGAGTATGAGAGAACTAGCACTACGAGGAGACACCACTGAGGGAAGTCCAGCACATCATTTACCGTTCCCGGGCCTAGACTACGGCTTCGCGTACGGGTCAGATAATGATAATGGCCTGACCTGGGACGCGGACCGCATGTACGGCTGCGTCTGCGACGAGGGCTATGCGGGGTATGACTGTACCGAAAAAGCCTGTCCCACGGGCGACGACCCCGGGACGAGGGATCAATTGAACGAGCTGCAATCGATAGCCTGCAAGTACACGTCATCTTCAACGGATTTCGCGGGACGGTTCCAGCTCGTTTTTCGGGAGCAGTCGACGGTCTGGTTACCTTATAATTCATCTGCTACTCAAATTGAGAAAGCTCTTGAATCATTAACCACTGTGGGGACGCTGAGCGTGACCATCAAACACGCGTCTGGCTATGATAACCCGGGACCCTTGCAAGCGTGCTACCACAAAGATAACACGCCTACGATCATAGCCGTCCAGTTCGAGACGGAGCACAGCAACGTGCCTCGGATGATGTCTTTGACGGACAGCGTTTCTGTCAGAGTCTATGCCGACGGCGAGTCGGGCTTTGGGGGGGACGCCACGAGCCACGCGGGCACCACCGAAGAAGAACCCTGCTCGAACCGGGGCCTCTGCGACAAGGTCACCGGCCAGTGCACGTGTTTTCATGGGTACGGCATGTCCAATGGACTGGGCGGGCGGGGGACGATCGCGGACTGCGGGTATAAGCTGGAGGTTGTTTAGTCTTCGAGTGCTTTCTTTGCGACCGTGGGGGCGTAGTCGTTGCGAGCCTGAGTGCTCACGTGCCTGAGCTGATCTCTAGAGCTGATCGGGTTTTTCATTTTTTTCATAGTTATCACAGGGAGGGATGGGCGAGTGCTTTAGCCGTGCTCGGCCTTGACCTCAGTCTTGACGCGAGCGCGCCGCGGCCGCTTCCGCGGCGGCGGCTCCGGGCTCGGCTCGCGCTCCGGCTCTTCTTCTTCCTCTTCCTCGTCGTCGTCGGACTGGATCTCGATGACCTCGTGGTGGCGCGTGATGCTGTCGAACGCCACGCCTCCTAAATGAGCGACGGCGTAGCCATTAATCAGCACGCGCCGCCCCGGCCGCGGCTCGACCCGCGTCACGCGTAACTTCCTCGATCTACCGGTCACACAGAGCATGAACACGCGGACCCCAAACGCATCAGCAAAAGCTTGCAGGAAGATCGTGTGCTGCATCTCGACCACAGCCGCGCCGCGCCGCGTCGCGAGGCCGCCGCCGCCGAGGCGCCAATCTTTTCGCGACAGCATCACTTCGGCGGCGCCCAGCCGCTTCAATACGACGTTCGGTGATGATGAGTCGGAGGACTGCTGGACGGATGCCTCGTAGCCCTCCTCGCCGTCCTCTCCTAGACCGCCTACCTCGTCCGGCTCGACCGCCTCGACCTGGACCAGATCTCCGGCCACGAGCGGCGGCGGATCGTCCTTCAGCGCGAGTGCGTCGTCGTACTTGGCACCAATGCGGACCGATCCCTTGGCCGCGCGGCGGCTCGCCACGAAGTCGCGCCAGTCCTCATACTCGCGCAGCGGCGATTTGGAGGGCCGGAACAGCTTGCCGTATTCGTCTCCGCACCACTCACCACCGGGGTAAAGCCTCTTGTCGTTTCCATCCCCGGCCTCGCGCCGCTCGATCTCCTCGATAACAACGTGCTCTACATATTTCGAGAGCTGGTGAGTCCCACAAAGCTGGTGAGATAACGCGTCGAAAAGACCGCGAGCCTCGCCACATAGCTTGAAGCCCTCGCTCCGGAGCTTGCTGTCGAGCTCAGCCGTCGCCGCCACCGCTCGCGGGGCCCGCGCGCCGCCGAGGGGCGAGAGCTCGGTGGTCCAGAGGTATGTTGGCGGCTCGGTGATGGCGTAGCCGGCGCGTAGCGCGCTACGCATCTCGCGCGACCGTAAGCGCGTCGCGTCAATCTCAGCAGTCTGGCCGTCTAGCCAAACCTTCGGCGTCGTCTTAGCGAGATGCAACGCTTCGATCGCCGCGTAGCGGAAGCTGTACGTCGCAATGGGCGTCGGATCCTTCTCGGTGACGTAGACGTGCCGCGTCGTTGCTCTTTGAGGCGCATCAAATGCCGCGCCCATGCCAAATACGTTCTTCTTGCCGCCGCCGGCCGCGGCGGCCGTGGTCATGGAACCGGCGTGTCTCGAGACCGTGGCCTGCTTTTGGCGGGGCGGAGCGATCTGCCGGTATACAACAACGTCGATGCGCCCTTGTTGCGACTGTGGCTCCGCGGCGCCGTAATCGACCACGGCCGGGGCGCCCGGGTCGCGCGCGGCGATGGGCGCGAAACGCATCTTCTGCTTGTAGCCCGTCCGGCGAGCATTGTCGTCGTAACTGCAGCTGGTGATGCCGGTGGAGGCGTTTACTGCGGGCGGGCTAGGACGATCGATGATTTTTTTGGAGACCAGGGCGCCGTCCACGTATACTCGGGTCGAGATGTCGTCGCTGCGCGCATTGCCGATGTAGATCTCAAAGTACTGCCCCGCCTCGACGGCAATGAGGCATTTGGTCTGGCGCGAGCACGCCGTGGTCCGCTCGACCATGTCGGACTTCTCCCGCGGCCGCCGCCGCAGCCACTCCCAGTCCCTCGGCGCCGCGTCGGCGTCCTGCATTTCCATCACCTTCCGCCCGTCTACGAGAACGTAGCACGAGGTCTGGGAGGCCTGGTCGGCCGGCATCTTGAGATCTCGTTGCTCTCTTGTTCGGTCGCGTCGACGCGGCGGATGTTAATTGGCTCTCACAGGCTCGCAGACTATTTGTTGTCTGCGGCACGACAGGCGATTTGCTTCGCTGCAGCGTCTCCCACAGCAGATCTGTGGTGACTGCGGGCACCGGCGCACGCTTCCTCGTCCACGCGCAGGCACACAGAGCTTCGCAAAAGCCAAGGCGCAGCCGAGCTAGCGGCCTGTAACACACTAGGAAAGCAGACCAAAAGCAGCTATACTCGTCGCACGGGTGCTTCCGAGTCCCATTCGTGTGTCTTGGTACGAGAAACGCTTGCTCTCGTAGTCCTGCGACAGTTGGTTGCGATTACGACAGCTGGTATCCGTGCGACATGGCTGAGCACTGGGCTGTAACCTACCAGATAGCAGGAGAGGAGGCGCACGGACTCAATTACGTAGAATTCACCACTAGCACAAGAACACTGCACGCAGCACAGCTTGCACAAAAACTACCGCCACCCCCAGAAAACGCGACTTGGCATCTCGCGCTGGTCTCGAACGACGCCGGAGACGCGAGGGCGCTCGCACCGACCGACGAACTGTTCTGGTCGCCGGAGCCCCTGCGTGTCGTCGTGGCCGCTGTCGCGCCCGCGGGCAACGGAGGCGACGACGACGACCGCGCTCTGCCCCCGCCACCGACGACGTCTTCGCCGCAAAAGAACCGGCGAGCGTCGCGGTGGCTCGCCAAGGGCATAAGCGCGGCCAAGAGCGCGACGGCCGCGGCGGCACGAGTCGTCGACGCGGCCGCCGCGGCGACGGGCGGGACCTTAACTGTCGGTACGCGCAAGGTGCGCGTCGGAGCTCTGCTTGACGACTCGACGCGACGACGGACCTTCGTCGCACGCGACGTCAAGGCTGCAGAGGAGTTCTCCCTTACGTTAGTCGTGTGCGATGGCAAGGACGCACTGCGCGACGTGCGACGGGAGGTGGAGCTGCTAGCGGCGGTCGGGCGCGAGTGCCGGCACTGTCCGATCCTTGTTGGGCAGAGCATACAGAGGGATGGTCCAAAGATCAGCGTCGCGCTGCTCGGCCGCCCATTCGTCGCGCTAGCGACGGAACGCCTGCCGGGGGCCAGGATACCTGTCGTGCTACGGGGCGTCGCGGCGGCGCTCGCACACATGCATAGCCGGGACGTGGCCCTCGGCGACGTCGGCCCGCGCTCGGTAGGCCTCAACCGCGACGGCGAGGCGCTGCTCGCCGACTTCTCGTGCGCGCGCTCGCCGTGCGCCCACGACACGGCCACGCGCGAGGCGTGCATGGCACTCGCCGCGACGCTCGTCGACGCGAAGAACCGCCAGTGCCAGGCGCCCGAGGTCGCGTCGTTGAAGCCTGGGGGTCCGCCGGTAGACGCGAGGGCCGACGTGTACGCGTTCGGGAGCTGGGCGCATCTTGTGGCGACGGGCGCGCCGCCGCGGAACGGCGTCGACAGCGCTCTCCCGGGTCGCCTCGCCGCACTACTCCGGGAGGCGCTCGCGTCGGACGTCGACGCCCGGCCCGACGCGGCGACGCTTCTCGCGAAGTGCCAGTTGCTGTAATGTATGTGTCTAGTTAGTGCGTCCGCCCCCCGCCCGTGACGCGGATGGACACGCTCGTCGCCTTGACGAACTCCGCGGACTCCTTCGGCTCGACGAGGAACCGCTCGCCCGTCGTCGACGCCACTTTGCCGTCCCTATACCGCGTCTGCTTCCGCAGCTCCCGCTTGCCGCCATCCGAGTGGACGATGGGATGGTGCTCCTTGACCTCCTTCTCCATATGGTACTCCTCGAACAGCCGCCGGCGCTCGTCCTTGGACAGGACGTGGTCGAAGAAGGCGTCGCGCGTGATGACGCGGCCCTTGCGCTCGGACTCCTCGCCGCGCTTCAACGCGTCCAAAGAAGCTTGGACGAGCGTCTCGGCCGCGACGTTCGCGTCGCCCTTGGCTCGGCGCACGTGCTCCTCGACCAACTCGACGCGCACCGCGGGGAAGACCTCGCGCAGCGCCGTGACGGCGTCGTCCTGCTTACTCCGCTGCACGGACACGCCGCCCCGCAACGCAACCAAAGCCTTCACGAGGGCTCTCGCTAGCGGCTCCGTCGCGTCCGCCTCATTCTCATCGTCCGCGAGGAAGGGCGCCGCGGCCTCGACGGCCGTCGCGACCGCGGTCTTCGCGTCGCCGTCACACAATAACTCGGAGAGCGCCAGCCGCGCGAGGTAGGCGCCCGCGTCCTCGTCCAGATTGAGCGTCTTCTCCAAATCTCGGGCGGCGGCCGCGACGCCGGCGTCCACCGCCGAATCGTCGTCGCCGTCGCTCGCGTTGTCGAGGGCCTGGGCTTCCGCCGCGAGGCGGTCGACCCACGGCGTGCCGTCGTCGTCGTCGTCGGTTTCCTCGTCCTTTGCGTTTGGATCGTCCCACTGCGTCACGCCGGACGTGCAGTCGTGCCAGTAGGGTCTTCCGGACTTGGCGTCGATGTAGCGGACCCAGTGGGCGGGCGGCGGCGGCCGGTCGTCCTTGCCTTCATGGATGCTGCGGGGTTTTGCGTCTTTTGGTTGTGCTGATTGATCTTCTCGGCGCCGTCCGCGGCGGTGCTTCGGTTTCGAGCTGGCTACTGTCTTTTGTGCTGTGGCTTCCGTCGTCGACGGTCCGGCGTCCGCTGGTTTCGCACGAGCGGTGAGTTCCGCCATGCTTTAACCTTCGTTTGCGCTCTTATATGTGGCGGACGCGAGCGCCGCTTTTTGTGGATTATCTAGCGGCCTGTAAGACACTAGGAATAACGCAGCGCAAGCCAGGGCTGCCCCGATTATCACGCTTGAACGCGCATTGCTGCCAAACGGATAAGAGCGGCGCGCCATGGGCTGCAGCACCTCCCGAATCAGCCCGGACCTCCCGGCGGCCAACAACTGGAAACAATGGCCGGCGGGCTCTTACCCGACGCGCTTCGTCGAGCTTGCGTCGCCGGAGGACGCGGACGACACGGCGGGCAACGGCTTCCTTTTTGTGGAGTCGTGCGCCTACAATAAAATATTTGACGCCGATAATTTCTACGTGCCCGTGCAGCACACCGACAGCTCGTGCCACATCTACAAGGTGAGCGTATCGGACGGGTCTAAGAAGGCGGAGCGCGTCCATCAGGTCGTCAAAAAGTCGGACGGCGAGAAGATGATCTCGCCGTTCGGCAGCGCGCTCTCCGACGAGGGCGTGCTGTGGCTGTGCTGCTTCAACGAGAACATGGTGTGTGGCGTCGATCTGCGCTCGGGCGAGATGGTCGTGGAGGCCACCGTACCGGCGCCGAATGACATCTGCGTGAGCGACGACGGCAAGTACGTCTACGCTGGCTGCGGGTCGTGGCTGGGCAAGGTCCCTCTCGCGCCGGCGGGCACGATCTGGCGCGTGACGACGGCGGCGCCATACACGTGCAAGAAGGTGGTCGGCGGGGCGCAGGGCGCGATGGCTGGGATCGCAGAGGTCAAGGGCAAGCTCTTCTGCGCGCACTTGCAGCGGATGAGCGTGTACGGCGCCAAGCGCAAAATATACACGCTGTCGGGGCTGAGGAAGCAGATCTGGACCGGATTGTGCAGCCAAGACGCGGATCCGGAGAAGGTGGATAAGTTCTACCTCGCCGACAACCTGGCCTGGTGGGACGCGGAGAGGCCCCGCAAGGTGATCCTGACGCCGGCCTACCGCTCCCTGCCTGCGCCGCTCGGCCATATCTTGGACAGGTCGATCGGGGTGAACGCCGTCGGCTGGTCGGCGGCGCGCGCGGCGACGACGCTATTGCGCCTGAAGGACGGTGGCATCGAGGAGGTCGCAAAGGTGAACGACGACGGCCTGAGCCCGGAAGTCGACCTAAAATTTTCCAAAGGCGACGACTTCCCCCACGTCCATCTCTGCCTGTACAACACCGAAACGGGCGCCACCGCGAACCATGTCTTCCTCCTCGACCAGGCGGTGCAAGGGGCCAACTTTGACGGCCACGTGACGCACGCGGAGCACGTCGGCGACGGCAAGGTCGCGTGCGTCAACTTCCTGAAGCGGAAGGTGCTCATCATCGACACGAAGGGCCTCATCACGCTGCCGTGAGTACTGTGTGTGGTGTGCGTATGTTGCTCGGCGACGCATACCTCCCGACCAATATCTACTCCTTTGTTTTTGGAGACGTTATCCTCGTGAAGAAGAAGAAATAATCACTATTAAAGATCTCGTCGCGCCTTAGCAGGCATGGGCCGCTCCTTGACGCGGCACGTCTCGAAGCGCGCGAGCTCGGGGAAGTCGCGGTGTAACATATCGTAGCCGCCCCGCTCGTAAATCTTCTGCGGGTCCGGCCCGCCGCCCCATGGCGGCATGTCCCCGTACGAATTCACGAGCATGGGCAGCACACTGCGAATAGCATCGTCATCCGCGACCGCAAAAGGCGTCTCCCACGGGTTCTCCCCGAAGGCGTTCAGTTGATGTCGAGAGGTCTCGGGCATGACGACGAACATCTCCGTGGAACGCGAGTTCGGTCCACTTCCAGCAAAGGCCACGTAGCCCGGCTTGAAGGGGATCGACTGCGGCGGGTCGTCCTCTATCGTTCGCATGCGCCACCAGGTCCTCGCTTCGTAGTCCGCCGCTATCCCAAACTGCGCCAGAAACTGCGGCACGACCCTGTTAATAGCACAGTCGTCAAAGAAGTGCTTCCTCACGAGCTCTAGGAACCGTCCCGCCCCGCGAGGAGACCAGTCGGGATACACGGTAAATCCAATTTTCCCCCTCCCCTTTGCACCGTACTTCCCACCGGCCACGACGCACTCGACTCTACATCTTCCATTCTTCGTAAGTGAGTAATAGGTCCTGTCGGCTCTTATAACTATATCCTCGACGCCGACGCTGTGCCCGCCCTCATAATGGAACTGGTGGCCTACATGCGTGTTCTGCGGCAGCTCGCCCCCATACGCCCTCGCGACGCCGACTTTCGTCTTTTGTTTCGTCGCGGGGTCGACCCAGTACAGAGTAGCGTCTTCGTCCATCTCGTTCCGGAAAATAACGGAGTGCGCGGCCGCTATTATTGAATAGGATTGGCCGGCGGCCGCGGCGAGGAGGAGCGCGCGGAGCATCCTCATCCGTAGTTGACGCCTCTCGCGCTGCCAAGTGCTTAGCAGTGCGCTGTCTGGCTGGGTTTCGTGCCGCGCCCGGGACGTGCAGCCGTTGTAAGCGTGCAATCTGCACGATTCCTAACAAGCACACGATCCGTGCGATACGCGCTTCGCGCAGCGTCGGCCGTTCGCGACTCAGCCCGTGCCAAAAACTGCTGCTGCAGAGGCAAGAGGAGGCAATTTGGCACGTCGCTAGCGCGCGCGAGCGGACGACTGCGCGCGTTTGCGCGCTGCAGTGGTCAAACGCGGTCGCAGAGGAGCCAAATCTAACAGCTCAAAACGCCGACGACGCGCACAGACACAGAGCAACACACTGCTCTCAATGGCGGCGATGGACCTTGTTACCGCGCTCCCGATAGAACGCAACGCGACCGAGTGCTCCTGGACGCAGCGAAGTAGCTACGCCCAGGGCGACCTGCACGAGGACCTCGTCGCTGATATCAGTGACGCGGTGCCGATCAACGCGGCCCCGGACGTGGAAGTACGTACTATTGCGATCGTCGGGGACCGAAATGCGGGAAAAACGACGCTGCTCCACGCGTTGATCAACGAGCACGACCGCGACTGGCTGCGCGTGTCCTCGTTGCTACCGATCGTGGCTGGCGTGTTCGAGAATAGGAGGTACGGCGGTGGCCCTTGCTCTCCAGAAAGACCGCCCGTCGCCGAGCCGCCGTATCTCGATACGGACGTCGCGTCGTGTACGGCTCTGCTATCCGCAGAAGATTTTAGATTTCTATGTTCGGAGTTTGAAGGAATTGAGCCCTGTTCTGCTACTTCCGCATATGTGGCGTTGAGACTTGTGGAGGTCGGCGGCGACCACCTCGAGGCTCTCGTTGGTCAGGCGACGCCGACGCAGTTACCGCTCCTCGAAGCGGCGCTAGAACGGTCGAAGAGTGTACTCGCGAAAGCCGACGCCCATGCGTATTTCTTGAACGCCAAATCACTAGTTGAGGAAGGTGATGCTCCTGCTAAACTAGCGCAACGAATCGACTGGCTGCGGGCCTTGTCGGGGGACGCGAAGGTGTCCCTGTACGTCTCGAGGGAGCCCGATCAGGTGGATATCGCGAAGATCATCGACGCGCTGCCTCCCTGTTCCGTGGAAGAGGCCGAGGAGGTTCGGTTTGAGGATAACGATGATGACGACGACGACGCGGAGAGGCGCGCGGTCCTCGCGGCGCTGCGGAGGGATACGCAGGCGACGCCGCTGTGTCGAGCGCTGAAAGAGCGGTTGCCGGTCGTGTCCGCGCGGTCGGTGCACCACGTGCGCCCGGGCCACGGCGCCTCCAGTAAAGTCGACGCGGCGGGGCTCGTGGCGTTGGTCGTCAGTCTACTGAGACGACGACGCCAGGTCCCGGACGAGGACGCTTCACAACGCTACTTCGCGCGCCACGTGACGGAGTGCTGCGCGATGGCGGCGACCACGGTCGAGGACGGCGTCAACGACCCGTGGGTCGACGCGCGGCGGTTTGGGGACTTTGTGGGGGCTCGTGATGGCGGCAATAGTTGTTGCGGCAACGCGAGCGTGGCTGTGGCCGCGGCGCCGGCGTCGCGGCGCTTCGGGGACGTGGCCGCGGGATTATGTGAGCGCGGCGTCCTCGTGCGCCACGCGAAGCACGGCCACGCCGCCGTGGTCGTTTGTGGAGAGGGTTTTACATTAGTACCGCCCTCGCAAGGCTGCAAACGGGCGGCTTCGGCCATGGACGTGGATCAGCCGATGGAGATTCCCGGCGTCGCGGCCCCGGCCGCGTCTGATACGTTGTTCTGCCGCGCGCCGTTTTCTCCATCATTAAGACGCGTCGTTCGCAAGGCGACGGAGCACGGCCTCGTCGCGGGTCCTTCTGATGACTTGCCGGCGGCTTTGAGACCCGCGCTCGCCGACGCGATCGCCGCGCTCGACCGCGACCTCGCGGGCGCGTTGGCTGCGCTGGACGCGTCGAGGCCGGCGTCGCTGCGTCGGGTGTTGTGGTACGCTGAAGAAAGGCTAGCGGCGGCGCGCCTCGCCGGGCATAGTGGTGACGTGGAGGTAGCCGTTGGCGCTTTGCCGGTGCAGGCGTTGGCGCACTATTCTTCCGCTGGTGTTTCCGATTCGGCTTGGGGGGTGGTCAGGGTTAAGAGTTGTTAGATTGTTACTTCTTGGGTCAGAGGGCGCGGAGCGCGGCTCGCGCGCTTTGCAAGTACTTCTCAATTGCCAACGTGAGCGGGTGCGCGCCACCGAGCACGCGCCGCGCGATCCGTGTCGTCTCCTCGAGTGTTGTCACGGCCTCTCGGACATCGTCGCCCGTGGCGCCGGGGTCCTCCGTGGACGACGGTGCGGAGACGGAGGGCGGGAAAGGCCCCAGACCGGTGGTTTGTACAATAAATTTGCGTTTCGGGCGCTTCGGTTGTGGGACGGGCCAGCTAACCGGCCTGACTGTCTACTACATTGCTCCGAGACCCCGAGAAGCTCGGCGCTGGTCGTCGGACTCGAGACCCCACTATCTCGCCAATTCGAGCGCCAGACCCAAATGTGCGACCATCAGCCCGTGTACCTTCACCATGGACCATAACGCGATCATTTGTTTCATGACCGACCGACTTGCGCGAGGTCCAGATCAAGATGTTCATGTCCGGAGCGTGGGCAGCCAAAAGTACCCTTCTTATAATGTAGATGCCATATACTTGTATTTGACTATCGGTGGGGTAGTATAGGGTCCAACGAGACCGCTACGGCGACTACTGGGGGCCCTCGGGTGATTGACGTTTTTGACGGGAACGGGGCGCCATCGGGTCCAAATTATTTACTTTTTTCGGATGCAGATCGGCTCGCAGACGCCCTCTAGGATAGGTTTGGGGTCAGGTAGTCGCCTACGCCGCATGCGCCGGTTCTTGGGGCTCCCCAGAGAGCTCTGGATCGAAATCTTTGGCAAATCATGGCCAATAGAGGTATAGCGCAAAGGACCATGGGAGATGTATCTTACACTAGAAGCGGCGGCGTAGGCGCTTGCACGTGTATAGTTCCGACCCTACGCGACCTCCGGGAGACCTCCGGGCCGCAAATCGACAGGATTCCATCGACGCGGCCGTCATGGCGGGACTCATCAATATCGCGAATAAAAAAAATATTTTTTTCGCCCCCCAGGAAGTGTCCCATTGATCTCTTTGGACCAGTAGCGAACAGAACGATACTCAAACGGCTGCATGACGCGTCTGCTGGTTTGCATGCTAGTGTCTTACAAGGCCGCTAGCTCGATCGGTCTTGGGAGGACGCGTCGCGCTTGCTGCCATACGCGCACACCGGTGCCTGGCGCTGCAATACTGGCCGCAGTGGTTACGTGTTAGCCGCACCGAGCAGTCAGAGGACAAGAAACGCCACTGTGCGGCCGTAACAGTCCTGCTGAAGGGCGGACGCGTTTTCACACCAAAAGCTCATAAACCATGGCCACCTCGCCCGCCGTCGCGGAGGTCATGAGCGGTGCCGCCACCAAGGGCGCCTGGTGCGGCCACGAGCTCGCCCCCGACTTCTACGTGCCGCGCGTCGAGCCCGAGAGGATGAAACCGACGGTGGTTGCCCGGCGCAGCGACGCGACCGTCTGCCAGGAGTGCGCAGAGGCGTGTGTCGGAACCGTCGCATGCGCGTGGTGCAAAAAGAAGTTTTGTGCGTCGTGTCGGAGCTTCTCGTTTGTGGGCTACGCCTACGCTACTCCCGGAGACTTCATCTGCTACAAGTGTCACCCGCACGACTGCTCGCCGCCCTGCCGGCCGAAGCGATCGCGGAGCACATTTCACGGCCCCATCCCGAAGGCTCTGCGGGACTTCAACGGCGCCGGCGCCAAGGATGACACCGCCGCGAGCAAAACCGCGCTCACGCGGAAGAGAGAAAGGGCGCCGACGCGGCGCTTCGCCGAGTACCTCATCGCGGACCACTAGAGCCGACGGGCGGTGAGGCGCAGGCCTCGCGTCGTCGACCACAAGGGACGACCTCGCGAGCGACCTCGCGTGCGCGCGGCGCCGGAGTCGAAGGAGCCGGGGCGGCTTTGATCTAGGCGTCGCGGCGACGCAACAAGAACTAAGAAGGACTATGTGTAGAGGTGTGGCGCCTGGGAAAACGGCGCAAAACCCGATCCAGCCTCTCGAGCTCGAGCCATCGGCTTGTAAATCGCTTTACGTCCTAACGCGCGCCTCGCTCGTGCACGCGAGATATCATAACAATCAACCTTCGCCTCACTGCTCGCCGTCACGCGGTTAAATTTGCAAACTATGGCCAAGAAGAGAAAGAGTGAAACCCCTGCTGTCGCGAGCGGTGCGAGAATCCATGTTTCACGGCGCCTTACCGCGCGCGGATCGTCGCGCCGACCTCCACGCCATCGACGCGTCGTCTCCTCGGTGGGCTGGCGGTACTGGTCTTCACTGCTCGACGACAAGCCGAGGGCCGACGTCCAGTTCTACAAGTTCCTCCGTCTCGGCACGACGGGCTACCGCCGCGTCTGCGACAACATGATGGCTGTGGCCGCCCGCATCCGCAAGGGTCTGAAGGAGCTGAAGCGCGCGGACGGCACGCCCTACGTCCAGCTCCTCGACGCGGGCGACACGAAGTGCCTCCCGGTGGTCGCCCCCTGAGTCCACGTGACCGTGTCTGCTCGATGGCGTGACGCTCTACTATCACGCAGGTCACGGCGCGCGTCAACCCGGCCCTGAACGCGCCCTACGACGACATCGACCTCCAGCACGCCATCGCCCAGGAGCACTGGTACGTCTGCGGCTACAAGATGAACATGAAGTGAGTGCGGCCGCGCGGATCACGGCGCCTTCGCGCTGGACCATCGTGTCCTCCCGGACGCCTCCACGCCGTCGCCGAGACGGCTTGATTCACCGGTCGCGTTCCACGCAGGCACCCGATCACCGAGGAGACGCACCACCTCTTCCACGACGCGGACCCGTCGACGCCCATGTTCCGCGTCGTCGTCAAGGCGAACCTGTCCATGCCCATGGCCGACAACCTCGTCGCGTCCATCAAGAAGTCCTTCGCGTTCCTCGACGCGCACGGCGCCGGCTTCAACAGCCACCCGCACCACGCGCACCAGCCGCACCACAAGGCGTGCTAGGACGGCGTTGGACTCGTCTCTCGCCTTCCCCCTTCCCCTCGCCAGAGACCTAAGCTCAGTTCAACTTCGCGACCTAGCGTACTGTAAAGACACTAGACAGCGAGCGCTGGGACAAGACGGAATTGTCGCTGTTCCTCTGGGTTTAGTCCATTGCAGTCTTCTTAGAGCTGCCGCATGGACGCCTAAGAACGGCGGTACGCGCTGAGAACATTCGCTGGGCCAGGGGAGCTATCAGCAAGCCCTTCAGAGCGATAGTGCACCAACAGCTGCCAGCGCGGGAGCAGCCACGCCGCCCTCAAACCAGAGCCGCCAAAGCTCCACAATGCGCGCCATCACGCTGCTGGCCTGCGCGGCGGCGCTCGTGCCGCAGAACAAGCCGCCCATCGCGCCCCTCGCCGTCCCCAAGACGACGCCCGCGCGCCTCCCGGCGTACGAGCCGCCCAATCTCGCGCCCCAGACCGAAGTCTGCGCCGAGCACGGCGAGCCGGTAGCGACCAAGACCGTGCTGAAGGGCACCAATGCAGGGCGAGAGTACTACTGCTGCAGCAACGCCATTCCCTGCGGCCACTTCCGGTGGGTGCCTGCTAAAGTGCCCCTCCCGACGGGTCGACTCGCCGGCGACGCCAACCAGATGAATCGAGTGACGGAACAACGCAAAGTTACGTCAAAGCGACCGGCGGACGTCGCCGAGGAGTGGTTGAACGGGACGCTCACGCGAGTGGTATATAGGGGAGACACGGGCTTTACGATCGCTCGCGTCTTGCCGGACGGCGAGAAGTCTTCTTTTGAAGAAGAAGGCTATGCCAATCCAGCACGGCCTACGAAGAGGAAGGCCCAAAAGACACTTGGGGTGCGGGCGGACGCGTGTTTAGTTTCTTCGCGTGTGGGAGACCACGTCCGACTAAAAGGATGGTGGTCCACCCACCCGCGCTTCGGCAAGCAGTTCAACGCTGATGAACTAGAAGAAGAGCAAAGGGAAGTGCTGCCTCGGAGTCGAGCCGCTTCGTTTGGCGCGTGGCTGGCTTCTGGTGCGGTGCCCGGCGTTGGTGTTAAAACAGCTCAAAAGGTGGTGGACGCTCTCGGTGATGACGCCGAGGCGTTGTTGTCGAGATATGGTGATTCCCAGGGCACGGATAAGGAAGCCGAAGCGGCTTTGGCTGATGCTCTCGGCTGGGACGCGACGCCTACCATAATAGGAAGGGCGGCCACCAAAAGACTGGCTACTGGAGTGGCCCGCGACGCCGCGTCTCGCGGTGCTATCTTAGCGTGCTTGGAGCTAGGACTGCCGGTCGACGCGGCCGCCGCGTTAGAACGGCAGCACGGGCCCCAAGCTGCCGGTACTTTTATGAAGGACCCCTACCACGCGCTGACGCAGTGCAAGGGCTGGGGCTTCCTAAGGACCGACGCCGCCGTCTGCCCGGGCCACCGGCCGCCTGATGACGCTTCCCGATTAAAACACGGCGTCGCGCACGCCCTCGCGGAGAACGCCGCGCGGGGCGGCCACTGCTGCCTGACCGCTTCGGAGTTGCTCGAGGTCTTGGAGAAGCCGAGTGGCCCCTTGCACGTGCCTGGTAGCTTTACGCCCTCGAAGGCGCACGCCCTGTCGGCGATCGACGGCTGCCTGTCGTCGGGATCGATCCGAGGGCTGCGAACGGGCGACGGCGATTTAGATGATTTGCTGCTGTTTGCGCCGTGGCTGGATGCGGCGGAACGGAGCATTTCAAATGCTGTTGAGATGAGGATCCCGCCCGAAGGCGCGAGAGAGGCCGAGGCGAAGGCTGCTAATGATGATCAATTACCAGGCGAGCACCGCTTGTCGGATGAACAGCGGACGATTGTGGCGTTGGCAGCAAAGCAGCCTCTCTCCATACTGGCGGGCGGGCCGGGCACGGGAAAAACTTTCGCGGCGAGATTTGTGGTCGAGAGGTGGCGCGCGGAGGGCGTCGAAGATGTCGCGTTGGCGGCGCCCACCGCAAGGGGCGCCGCGGCTCTCGGCGCCGCCATCGGCGCCAAGGCCTCGACGTTGCACCGGTTGCTCGAGTGGCAGCCGAGGGAAGGCGAGTTTGCGAGGAATGCGAGAAATCCCCTGGACTGCGACGCGATCATCGTCGACGAATTAAGCATGTTGGAGGCGCCGCTGGCTGCGAAGCTGTTCGCGGCCTTGCCACCTCATTGCAAAGTACTATTAGTGGGTGATCCTGACCAGTTACCACCAGTTGGGCCTGGTGCGGTGTTGAGAGATCTACTCGCATGCCGGGACGCCGTGCCTCGCATCACACTCACTCGTATTTTCAGGACGGGCACGTTACTAGAACCTTCCGATGAGGACCCGGCGCAGAACGACGCCTCGGACGTTGCTAGAGATGCCAAAGCGATAAACCAGGGCATCCCTCCGAAATTATCTCGTTCTACATTGCGACGGGACGGCTCCATCCCCGACGGCGTTGTTTTATTAGAGGAGGATCCCAGTGACGGCGCCAAGGTCCGCGACAAAATAGTGGAGGTTGTCAGTGACCTGTTCGAATTTTACGACCCCTGGAGTGATGTGCAAGTCCTGGCGCCCATGAAACGGGGCGCCACGGGGACGCGGGCCCTGAACGCCGCTTTACAGGACCTGCTGAATCCATCAGCAGAGAAAGTAGAGGACCCCGAAGAGCGGAAAGTGTTTGCGAGGACCGGCGATCGAGTGATGCAACTGAGCAATGATTATGAGGTCGGCGTCTTCAACGGCGACGTTGGACTTGTTGATGATGTCATGCGCAACGGCAGTTTCGTCGGGAGGTTTGTTACTGGAGTAGATAAACAGACGAGGGTGATGTACAGTTCGAAGGATGTGGGAGATACGGTATCCTTAGCCTATGCGTTGACCGTGCACAAGGCCCAGGGCGCCGAGTACCCTGTGGTCGTGTTGCCTTTGGTCAAAGATCACTTTCCTATGTTAAGAAGGGCCTTGCTGTATACGGCCGTGTCTCGCGCCAAAAGACTGTTAGTATTGGTGGGTTCGTCCGAGTTGCTGGCCGAGGCCGTGCGGCGGCCTCTCGCACAAAAGCGGCGGACGGCCATCTCGTCTCGGATCATCTCTGAGGAAAGGGCCGACGGCGTCTCCGCTTTGCCGGCGCACGTCCAGCAGGACTACGCCGCGGCCTTATTGCCCGCGCCGGCATCGGCGCCGGCCAACGCCACCTCCGTAGTGTCTCGCTGATACACTGCTCTCCTGGTGGCACTCCTTAACACTTACCTATCTGTCTTTTAGAGTACTCATTCGCGCGTTTTGATTTTCTCGAAAAACCCGACCCCCTTCCTGATTTTGCGCAATTGCGGAGTCCAGGGAGTTTGTGCCCGGGAGTGAGGCGTCCAAGTTGTCTTCAGCTGCCCCTGGCGCACCTTGGGTCCCTCTGCTCCGTCCCCAAGCTGCTGCACGTCGCGGCGCAGCGATAGCCTCATCATATCCAGGCATAAGAATGAAGGCAGCCCTTTTGACGGTGCTTCTCGCGTGGGCCTCGACCGCCGAGGCGGCGGCGCCCTGCAACGGAGATAACAGCGACGCCGAGCGCATCCTAAAGTGTATCAAGCAGTTCTCGGCGTCGGAGTGGAAGGGCTGTACGCACGATGAGAAATACGAGTGCTATTGCAGCAACGACGACGGCGTGAACTACTGCTGCGGCAGTGACGACCAAGCGGAGGCGATAGATATCTGGTCCCAGTGCCTCGGCGTCGAAGACAAGGGCTGCGACCGGAGCAAGTGTTCTTCGGCTTGGGACGACTGCTGCGCCCCGGACGGCGAGGCCGCGACCTGTCGAGACGGCTACAGTACGGTGTATACCGGCGGCGGCTGCGCGTGGTTCAACAACGGCGACTACACCTGTTGTCCGCCGGACGGCTCCTCGTCGCCCTCCGATGGGCTCTTCGTCGCTGGGCCCTCGACGGGCAATTATTATGAAGCCGTGGCGTACTGCTCAAGTATAAATGCCGAAGTCGCGGTTATCCGCAGCTCGCAAGAGAATGAAAAAGCGCGCCAGGCCTGCGGAACCAGTTCCTGCTGGATAGGACTCGTAGAAGAAGGCGGCAGCGTGGGTACTAGCCCGGGTAGTCAGGTATGGAAGTGGCCGGACGGCACCGGGCCGGCGTATGTTAACTGGCAAACCGGCGAGCCGAACAACTATGATGGCACCGACGAGCGCAACGCGATGATAAATTGCTTCGTTGAGGGCCTCTGCGGCGATGGCGGTGGCAAGTGGTACGACGCGCCAGACACTTGGGACGGAGCGAAGCCCCTCTGCCGCACGGACGACGGCTCGGGCAGCGGGGACGGTGGCATTTTTACGATCACAAGCTCAAACGGGGTCTGGGACGACTGTCCAAGCGAGTGTGCCGCCATCGGGGGCACCTTCACTTGCATTGCCGACGAGGCGCAGAACATCCAAGCCTTGGCGGCGTTCCGGGGTCACTGTCCCGGCGGGGCGGACGATTGTGGAGCCTGGATCGCGGTGAGCGACGAGGCGTCGGAGGGCAACTGGGTCTGCACGGCCGACGGCAGCCCGCAAACCTATCAGCCTTGGTCCGCCATCGGCAATGAACCGAATGGCGGCCCCGGCGAGAACTGCGTGAATATGTGGGGCCCGAACTCGGGAAGAAACGACGGCGCGTGGAACGACTACGGCTGTACCGACGCTCGCATGCCGTGCATCTGCAAGGGCGGCGACGCCGGCGCGGGCGCCACCTCTACTACTACGACCGGTACGAACTGCCGGAGTGACATATGCACTGTGCGTTGTCCGAGTCCGAGCCTCGTCGCGCCAATCCCACGCCATCGATGTCGGCTCGATGGGACCGAGATTTGATCGTCGACTGTCACACAGGACTACGCGGGCGACTGCTGCGCGCCGGGCTCGGAGCCGCGCGGGTGCAGCATGGCGGGGTACGAGGTCGAGTCGGACCCGTACGGCGCGTCGGGCTGGGGACCCTGCGTGAGCACCTACGGCCAGCAGAGCGTGTACCAGTGTTGCTCCGAGGAAGGCGGCTCCTCGTCGCCCTCCGAGGATCTCTTCGTCGCGGGCCCCAACGGTGGCAACTACTACGACGCGGCCGCCTACTGTTCCAGCATCGGTGCGGAAATCGCCACCATCTATAGCTCGGCGGAAAACGAAGCGGCGCGCATTGCCTGCGGGGGCAGTAGCTGCTGGATCGGACTGAGTGAGCAGGGCGGTACGGTCGGCACGGCCCCGAGCAGTCAGGTGTGGACCTGGCCGGACGGCAACGGCGCGTCGTATTTTAACTGGCAGCAGGGCGAGCCGAACAACTGGGCCGGACGGGACGAAAAGAACGCCATCATGAACTGCTGCGGCACGTGGGGCCAGGAGTCGTCGGGCAAGTGGTACGACGCGCCCTACGACTACGACGAACCGCGGCCCCTCTGCCGCACGGCCGCGGCGGGTTCGAGCTCGAGCTCGAAGAAGGGGAGCGACGACGAGCCGGATTCGGCGTCGGCGGGCTTCATCGTGGCGATCCTGCTCCTCCTGCTCGTCGTCGTTTTGGTCGGTGGGATCTATGTATTGTACAAGAAGGTCCTGAATCTCGAGGCCCAGCGCCGGCCACCGACGAATCCCGGGGCGTTCTTCGAGGTCGGCGCCGTCGAGCTGGAGACGACGAGTCACATGGCGCATCCGCCCAAGCCGGGCTACGTACCGCAATATCCCCAGACCGCCGCCGTGGAGGTGCCGGCGGCTCCGTACTCGCCGCCACGAGCCCAGGTCTTGACGGTCGAGCCGTCCGCGCCAGAACGGGGGACCATGGTCTAGGCGCGGTCCGGTCGTCGCGCGAAGCCTTCCTCTGGCCCTTTCCCAGGTGTTTATAGTACTTTCCTTACAAAAACCTTTACAAATAGCCCGCAAACCCGTCTCAAACCTGTCGACGAGACTCGTTTGGCCCGGCTACCGCTCGTTATTAATTTTCCTAGTGTCTTACACCGCTAGTTTTGAGTCACTCTGATCAACGACAGCGTCGATAGGGAACCGCTACAGGTTACCAGCTGGGCGCTGAGCTCATTTCCGCGTCACTTATTTGCGGCGATACCAAGAGAAGCTCCGCCTGCGGCTGCGGAGCCTGGACAGCTTTGCAAGGTCAGGGCTAGCTGCAAGCCTTTGTGAGCCGCGCGCCGCACACGAATCGCCGCGCGCGCTGCACACGAGCCGCACGACTGCGCCGCCGCGCCGCAGCGCACCAACACGATGCGCCGCGTCGCCAGCGCCCCGTCGGGCAACCTGCGGAGCGGCTCGTTGCTCCCTTTGCAGAGACGCGACTCGCCGCGGATGAAGGCAACACCAAGCAGGTGGGCGCGGCTCTCGCGCCAGGCGCCGCGGTTGTGTGGTTTCCTGATTGTCTTATTAGTGATAGCGCGGACCTTCGTGCTCCCGCAAGCCGTGCGCAGCGAGCGGAGCGAGCACCCCGATGCCTTCCACAATGCGGACAAAGTGAGCTGCCCCCGCTGGTACGACCAGTCCTCCGGCGCGACCATCAAATTACCAAGAGGCGACTGGAAGGTCGGCAAGCACCACCGGCCGCGCGTGTTTTTGTACAGCGTCTTTGGTTCTTCGTTGGAATCCACTCGACTCGCGAAGCACTTCCTCGACTTTTATGTGAGGAGGGCGGGCATCGCACCGGAGCGGATCCACGTCACGGTCCACGCGTCGCACGAGCACGACGAGCACGCCCAGACCCTACAGAATCTATTAGATAAGAATAGAGTGCACTACGACTTGTGGATCGGCACGTTCACGTCCGAAACCAAAGCGTGGCATCGGGACAAGCTCACGCAGAAGACGCTCGACAAGGACGACTGGTTAATAGTCGCGGACGTCGACGAGTTGCACCAGTTCCCTGGAGTTCGAGCACATGACGGCTCCGCGACGATAGACACGCCGTCGGACGGCACGGCGCCCGTCGACGCCTTTTTGGCTCATGTGGCCGAACGGGGCGCGAATTACGTATTGGCGGCGTGGGAGGACCGCGTCGCCGAGGGCGGCCACCTGAACCACATCCAGGACAAAGTACCTCTAGAAAGGCAGTTTCCGTTGCGGTGCCGCATGACGGAGTGGACGACGCCGGAAAAGACGTCGCTGATCACGTCGTTTTTGCCGAAGGCCGAGGACCACAAGGTCATCGCGTCGCGGAATTACCTGAAGGTTCACAGGAGCGCGCATAAAATACGGTGGGCGTCGTACTGGGAGGCGATCTTCACGTTCGGGCGCGTGTCGTGGCCGACCGTCTACGTACCTCGAAGTCACGGAGGGCCTTTTACCGCACCCGTCAGTGAATCGGAGCCGAAAATGATCTTGAACTTGATGCGGTCGCCTCGACGTCGTCGATGCGGCCGCCAGAGAGCCCACGCGTCGTGTCGCGACGGCTTCTGCTCGCGGACGTCTTCGTGAAACGTGGGTCCACGCAGGTCAAGTCGCAGCACTACAAGTGGATCGCTGGTTTAGTACCTTATCTAGATAGACGAGTGAGAGTATATGAGAAGTGCGGCCTGCTGTGGTCCTACGAGTCCGCTGCTGTTGTAGATAGGTTAGAATCGTACGGTGGTCGCGTGTGTGTGACGTGTGGCGAGTTGGCCTGTGCCCACGCTTCACCCGTAGAACGGAGGCGTGTCGCCATCGTCACGTCCGTGTGGGACGAGCATATCGATGGCGTGTCGATCACGATGAATCGCGTCGCGACCTATTTAGAACAGTCTCCCGTCGAGGATGTATTAGTATTGACGCCGCACGACCCGCAAGTGCCCGAGCCCGCCGTGAAAGGTTTAGACAGAATACCGAAATTTAGTACCGGAAGTATACCGGTCTTCGCTTTGATTGGAAGGAACGACTACGTCATGGGCGCGCCTCTCGCCAAGGCGTCGTCCGATGTTCTGACGTCGTACGACCCCGACGTGGTGCATCTCGTGTCACCGGACATCCTTGGGTTCTCGGCGCAAAGGTGGGCGCGCGACAACGGGGTCTGCGCCGTATGTACCTACCATACGCAGATCGACCGGTATGTGCGCTTTTATACCGCCAAGCATTCCTTGTTGGACAAATTACGGCCTAGAATAGCCGTCCAGAAGCTGTTCTCGACGTTCTACGGCGGCTGTGACGTGGTAGCAGTCCCAAATTCGGCCATCGCCGATAAGCTAGTGCTGAAGATGGGCATCCCCCGCGCGAAGATCGGGCTGTTTCCGTATTGTCGCGGCGTCTTGTTTTTGCTTCCGTGCGCGGCGATGCCGTCGACGCGACGCCGCCGCGGTGGCGTAGGAGTACTCGATCGTGACGATCGCGGCGATGGCGTGCGGTGGGCTTTACACCACCTCGACGCCATCGATGCGGCGGTGCGCAGAGAGAGGCGGGACTCGAACACAAAACCACCTCCACGCCATCGTCGTGACGCCATAAATCACACAGGCGCGGCGTCAACGCGACGCAGTACAACCCCGGGAAGCGCTCGAAGGCACTAAGAGCGAAGTTCGGCGCGGACGACAGTAATGTGGTCGTGCTCTGGGCCGCGCGCTTAGTTCCCGAGAAGGGCGCGGACCTCTTCGCGGACGCGTTCGTCGCCTTGTTCAACAACAAGACGCTGCTCGAGCACTACCCGGGCGTGATAGATAGGATTCGGATCGTGGTCGTCGGCTCGGGCCCGTCGCGGGCCCAGATGGAGGCGGCGCTGCCGCCGGACCGGACGGTGTTCTTCGGGCATCTCGTGGGCGACGAGCTGCGGGCCGCGTACGCGTCGTCGGACGTCTACTTCTTCCCGTCGCACACGGAGGCCTTCCCGAATACGTTGCTCGAGGCCCAGGCGTCCGGATTAGCTGTCTTGGCGCCGGCCTACTCCGTGAACCGAGCTCTGGTGCCGGCGGGCTCGGGCCATCTGGTGGACGAGCACGCGGGGGCCGAGGAGTTCGCCGACGGGCTCTTCACGTTGTTGCGCGACCCGCGGTATCGGAGGGCCATCGGCAAGGAGGCCGTGCGGGTGGCGCGGAACCGGACGTGGGCGAAGGCTTTCGACGGGCTTACGACGTGCTACGATCGGTGCAAGGCGCTGCGGCGGTAGCGTGTTCGCTTGGCGCGCCCCGCGAACTAATTACTATGATTGTGAGGAATTTTGGACCCCTTTCAGTTGCCGGCGCCGCGGGACGACGCGCGTTGTCTTCGGTTCCTACCCCCCTCTCGTTTTTCGCTTTCTGAGAGAGCGTGGCTTATCTTTGCTAACAAAACGGCGGATGCACGGAGCGATCTGTCAATACCCGCGCGCGGTTTTGCTCATTGTGGGCTTTGTCTAGCGGCTCCGGCCTGAGGTCTGTCAGGAGCAGAACTGGCTCGAGTGCCGCGACATGTTCGAATGCCTCCGGGCGTTGGGGTCGTGGAAGGCGGTTGCGCGACGCCCGCACGTAAAAATGCTCGTCCTGCGGGCCCTCGTCGTCCGCGACCGGGCGACGACGCGCGACGTGACTCTACGCCGACTCGTGACGCTGCCCGACGTGGTCCTCTGGCGCGTGCTGAGCTTCTGGCGCGCGACGGAGTAGTCCACATGTGAAGCCAAATGTGACTAACGTACTAGTAGTATGACTCGGAAAGTCTAGAACTGGGGAACCCACACTTTAGCGCGGACCCCCTAGATGCCCCCCTTCTTCGCGCGGTAGAACTGGAGGTATGACATGTGCTCATCCCCACCACCCTTCAGGCCCTGGACGAACTCCCAGGACGACTCCGAGACGAGGTCGTCGTCAAAAACGAGCCACGACCCATCTTCCCTTTTGACCCAGCCCATGTAGTGGCCGCCGTCCGCCGACCTTCCTTTGTGTGTGACAATAGCAAAGAGCTCGTAGTGGCCCTGGAAGTCCTTGTCGAGGCCGCACGATTCTAGTAATTCCCGGTTCTTCACGGCACTATCGTCCTCCATGGACAACGCGAGAGCGGCAGCTAAATCTTCATCGGGCTCCTCGACGTCCATCTTCGCCTTTTTTTCCTCGGGCTCGTCCTCAGTCTTCTTGATGTCGACGCGCTCGCCGAATTTGTCGCGGTTCGCCTTGATCGCTTTTTGGAGGTCCGCGTTGCAGTAGGGGAACACGTCCAACGTGTCCGTGAAGGACACAGGACGCATGATCTTGCACTTGACGCCCGTGTGGTCGGCGCTGTCGGGCGTCGCCTTCCAGAAGAAGCGCATGTACTGCACACATAAGTACGGCGAGAGCTTGGCTACTGATGAAGTCTTCGTCCAGACCGCGTCCCTGCCCAGGATCTGGGAGCGCTTTTCTAAAGAGCCGACGAGTCCTAATTTCAAACCCTCGAACAAGTGCGACACATTTTCTCCCACGGTGCCTCCTTGAATGTTGCACACGAGCTTGCGCGCCGTGTCCTTGCGCACCACTTCGGGCTCCTCCGTGCATTCCGGGCAACTAAGACGTTCTTCCAACTCCAAGCCAAAGAGCTTATCCACAATATTGGAATCGCCGTCCTTTAATGAAGACGCTAAGGTAGCTAACAACGACGAGTACAACTCCTCCGCATCCTGCTGCGCGAAGCCTCCCCCTCGGCCCCGCTGCGCGAACTGCGGGAAGGCACTTCTCAGGGTGGCAACGAACGTCGCCGGCTCGACGGGCTTCGTCGAGGCATCTAGCTGCGCGTAGGTCGAGTTGAGGGCACCGGCCAAATCTTGAGATTGCGTCTGTTTGAGGGAATCGCGGAGCTCAGGGACCGCTCTTAAACATTGTAAGGTCGAGTTCATGTAGCACGTGTTCCCCAAATTGGCGAAGCCCGCCGGTAGGACTAATCCACTTTTAGCTTGGTCCTCCTCCTGCGCGGAACCGAGACACTGTTGTGAGACGCGGCGCGTCGACGGCGTGGCATCGCGTCGACGCCATCGACGCGACCACGGCCTCTCTCGCGGGGCGCGTCGGCCCGACGCGGTTCGAAACAGCTCAAAATTGGGAAAAAAAACACCCACGACCTCGTCTCATGAAGAAGACGCGCGCCGATGGCGTCAAGGCCCCATGGAAGACGCGGACTCCGTACCTTCATGTCCTCCAAAAACTTCGTCTCGACCTTGGGCTTGAGTAAGACGTCGGCCGTGCCCATGAGCGTCACGTTCTGGCCGTCCTTCAAATCCATGGCCATGCCACTCTTCAAAACGCCGCGCCAGGCCCCGCGGGCCATGAGCTTCTGGCGCGCGACCGGGACGCCCGTTTTTGATTGGAGGTCGTTAAATAATTCATCTGGCGTTTGATTGGGCTTGATCTCGCAGGGCACGTTCTCCTTGCCCCACTTCACGTTAATTTTTATGGTCGCCATGGCGGACATCGAGCGCTGGCGTGTCTTGTGGAAAGGCGACCGGTGTCTCTGTTGCGCTTGTCGCTCGGCACAGCTGTGCAGAAGCAGCGGAGCGGTGCGTCGACAGCGTCACGAGATGTCGGAGCGACTAGGACGTGTGCTCTAGGCAGGCGCGGCTCGACGATGACTTTCGAGTTTGACCCCAACCGCTAGTATGTCTATTCTAGGGTTGCTTGGCGGAAGCTCAGGGAGACATGCCGCGGAAGCTTAGCTCGAAGACTGTTGCGCGGCGGTCAGAATTTGAAACGTAGAGTACCCGCACCTCGATCAGCGCAGCTCCATCTCCCACAGACTGAGTTTTGAGCTGCGGAACGCACGCGTCGCCTCGGCGGGACAAAGATGGGGCTGCCTCGGGACGCCAAGTAAACGATGCGTCGAGGGCTGCTGCTGGGGCTGCTGCTGCGCGCGGCCGCGGATGACCGCGTCGTGCCAAGGAGGCTGGACACCGCGGTGCCGCCGTGGCTTGTACGCGGCGCGGACCTCGAGGCGGTGCCCCTGGACGTGACGCGGGCGCTGCCACTCGAACCCGGCGGCGGCAGCGCGCATCGGGGCCTGCAATCCTCCTCCGACGCCTGCGACTACGTCTCCGTGTCGGGCTCCACCGGTTGGTCCTCCTATCACGGCCTGTACAATTCGACCGGAACCTGCGACTCCAAGCCCTCGTACGAGTGCCTCGACTGCAGCGGCTCGGGTCGAAAGATTTGGCATCACCCTTATGGTTATTGGTTCATGGGCACGGACGGCTGCGACTCGACCGCTTCGGGCATAAACATCATCTCAAACGACGATCTCGAGGACGTGTCCGGAGATTGGAGGGAGTGGGACGGGTCCGCGTGGTCGGCCAACTCCGCCATCGCAGTCACGTGCTACTCGTATTGTAAGGAGATTCCCGGCTCGACGGACAAGTATAGGTGCTTCGACTGCGCCGACGCGAGCGCCCCGGCGAGCGTCGGCGACGGCCAGTGTGATGCCGCGAACAACGTCGATCCGTGCTACGACGGCGGCGATTGCTGCGAAACGACTTGCGTCGACGGCAGCTCCACGTGCGGCTCCTACGACTGCAAAGACCCCGACGCGCCCCCGGTGCCGGACCCGTACTACCCCGACGCCGCGTGGTACCTCGAAGCGATCCGCGCGCCCGAGGCGTGGGCCGCGGGCTACACCGGCGATGGCGTCCAGATCCTCATCAACGACGACGGCGTCGACAACACGCACCCGGATCTTGCGAAGCTCGACGTGGCCAACTCGTGCGCCGTTTATGCCCCGTGCACGGGAAGTGACGGCACATATGATACTCACGGGACAAACTGTGCGGCGATTGCGGCTGGCGACTCGAACTCGGCTTGCGGGGTCGGCGCCGCGCCGGACGCCGGCATCGCGTCGTGCGTCCAAAGCTTTAGCAATTGCCCCAGCCCCTCAAGTGAGGACACCCTCACGCACAACTACAATGTGAACGATATATCGTCGAACAGCTGGATTATCTACAGGTGCGCGGAATACTCAACCTCGGCGACGGACTGCCCGTTCGCGTGTCCGTCGGTGAGCTCGGCCGACTGCCCGTGCGACGCGTGCGATGGCGACGACTGGGCGTCAGGGAACCTCTCGTCAACGTGCAAGGATGCTGTCGTGGATTACTGCACGACCTACTTCGACGACGACGTGACGCCCTGCTTGGAATTGGACCACTACTTCGTCGAGTGCGGCTACAGCCAGATATCGACCAGCGGGCACAACAGTCTTGTCGATGGCACGACAAACGGTCGGGGCGGCCTGGGCACGGTGTACGTGTTCGCCGCGGGCAACGAGTACGACCGCGGCGAAGACGTCAACTACGCGGGCTACCAGAACAGCCGGTTCACGATAACTGTCGGCGCCGTCTACGCCGATCTCACGCACTCCGACTACTCGCAGAGTGGCGCCCCGGTCTTCATCGCCGCGCCCGGCGGCGACGGGGGCGACATGGCCGTCGCGAAGCCCGTCGGGAACGGCGTGACCGATGATTGCGCCGACGCGGGCCAGGGCACGTCCTTCGCGGCCCCGCTCGTCTCCGGCGTCGCGGCCATGGTCCTGGAAGCGAACCCCAATTTGACGTGGCGCGACGTCCAGGGGGTGCTCGCCGCGACCGCGCGGACCGACTTCAACGACGAGGACGACGAGACCGGCCAGTGGACCACGAACCAGGCCGGCGTCAAACACAGCTACAAGTACGGTTTCGGGCTCGTCGACGCGCTGGCCGCGACGGCAGCGGCGACGACCTGGACGACCCTCGGCGCCGAGATCACGCTCGTGACGGCGACGACGAGCGGCGCGGCCCTGCTCGACTTCGACGGCACCGAGCACTGGGTCGAGTCGGAAGCGGCGGAGTTCGGTTCGTCCGACTTTGTCATCGAAGGCGTCTCGGTCTACGTGACCATCGAGCATCCAAGGAGAGGCGATTTGCGGATCGAACTCGAGCGAAACGGCGTCACTTCGCTCTTGACGGACGACAAGCTCGAGCTCGGTACAGACTACACGAACTGGAAGTTCACCACGCTTCGGCACTGGGGAGAGACCGCCGACAGCGGCGCGTTCACGCTCCGCGTCGCCGACCAGCGTGCGGGCTCGGGCGACGACGACGACCTCGGATCGCGGCGACGGCTCGACGACGACGACGGCGTACTGGTATCGTGGACGCTGCAGCTCTACGGTCATGATAGCGACACGTCGACGCCGTGGACGCCGCAGCCGACACCTCGGGGGGGTTGTGATTCCGTCGCCGTGTCGGGCTCCACCTCTCAATCCAGCAGGCACGGAACGTACTTACCTGACGGCAGATGCGAGGATAACGAGGATAATGTCTACTACAAATGCTCCGACTGCAGCAGCACGAATTACCTCTGGTATCACGACTCTTACGGCAGATGGTACATGGGCCCAGACGCAGTGGGCGAAGACGGAGTCGTCTGCAGCTCGTCCCTTTCGGGCATTTACATCATATCAGACGAAGACCTCGAGGACGTGTCCGGAGATTGGAGCGAGTATACTAGCTCTGGGTGGTCGGCCAACTCGAACATCGTTGTTCAATGTAGCTCATCGCCGTCGCCGTCCACGATGCCGACGGGGCAGCCCACGGCTCTGCCGACGGCGACGCCCATGCCGACGGGGCAGCCCACGGCTCTGCCGACGGCGACGCCCACCGCGATCCCGTCGTCCGCGCCAACGGCCGTGCCCTTGTCTGGGCCGACATCCCCGCCTTCGGCTACTCAAGAGACCTACGAGCCGACGGTCGAGGAGACCGCGGCGCCGAGCTACGTACCATCGAGCGCGCCTACATATCCGCCGACGGTCGAGGAGACCGCGGCGCCGAGCTACGAGACGTGGGTCCCCACGACTGCGCCGCCGAGTTATGTGCCGTCCAGCGCCCCGACCGCGGCGCCGGCGGCCCCCACGACTCCGCTGCCGAGTTATGTGCCGTCGAGCGCCCCGACCGCGGCGCCGGCGGCCCCCACGACTCCACCGCCGCCGAGCTACGTGCCGTCGAGCGCCCCGACCGCGGCGCCGTGGGACTCACCGACTCCGCCGCCAAGTTACAAGCCGACGCCCTCGCCGACGGTAACACCCGGAAATCCCACGGCGGCTCCCGTATTTGCGCCGACGCCGCGGCCTTCGTCGCCGCCTTCTAGCGCCCCGACCGCGGCGCCGACAGTGACCGCGGCGCCGACCCTTGTCTTCAGCCCTACGTTCCAAGAGACCTACAAGCCGACGGTCGAGGAGACCGCGGCGCCGAGCTACGAGACGTGGGTCCCCACGACTGCGCCGCCGAGTTATGTGCCGTCCAGCGCCCCGACCGCGGCGCCGGCGGCCCCCACGACTCCGCTGCCGAGTTATGTGCCGTCGAGCGCCCCGACCGCGGCGCCGGCGGCCCCCACGACTCCGCTGCCTACGTTCCAAGAGACCTACAAGCCGACTTATGTGCCATCAAGCGCCCCGACCGCGGCGCCGGCGGCCCCCACGACTCCGCTGCCTACGTTCCAAGAGACCTACAAGCCGACTTATGTGCCATCAAGCGCCCCGACCGCGGCGCCGGCGGCCCCCACGACTCCGCTGCCTACGTTCCAAGAGACCTACAAGCCGACTTATGTGCCATCAAGCGCCCCGACCGCGGCGCCGGCGGCCCCCACGACTCCGCTGCCCTCGACGCGGCCGACGCCCGCGCCGAGTTATAGACCGACGCCCTCGCCATCGCCGTCGCCGTCCACGGGGCAGCCCACGATTCTGCCGACGGCGTCGCCCGGGCCCTCGCCAGGCCCCACGGCAGTGCCGACGGCCGAGCCTACTTTTGAGCCGACCGCCGCGCCCAGCGCGGCGCCCTCGGCCGCGCCAACGGTCACGCCGACGCTGGCGCCGACGCCCGTTCCCAGCCCGGTGCCGACACAAGCTCCAACGCCCAGCCCGACAAATGCGCCGTCAACTGGACCCTCGCCAGCTCCGACGCTAGCGCCGACGGTCGAACCTACTTTGGAGCCAACCGCCTCTCCGACCGCGGCGCCCTCGGCCGCACCAACGGTCACCCCGACGCTTGCGCCGACGCCGGCTCCGAGCGTGGTGCCGTCGTTGGCTCCAAGCCCTAGCCCGACGGTCGCGCCGTCGCCCGGGCCGTCGCCAGGTCCCACGGCCGCGCCAACGCCGGGGCCTTCGCCTGAGCCGACCATAGCGCCCAGCGCGGCACCCTCGGCCGCCCCAACGGTCACACCGACGCTCGCGCCGACGCCGGCTCCCAGCGCGGTGCCGTCGCTGGCGCCGACGCTGAGCCCAACCACGGAGCCTACTCAGGAGCCGACCGCCGCGCCGACGGCCGAGCCCACGGGCATACCCACGACGCCATCTCCAAGCGCGGTTCCGTCGATGGCTCCGACGCCTCTCCCGAGCGCGGCGCCGAGCTCTGGGCCGACGCGAGCTCCGACCGCGCTGCCGACGCTGCGCCCGACGGCCTCGCCAACTTCTCAGCCGACGCTCACGCCGACGGCCACCCCCACGAGTATGCCTACGACACCAGCTCCGAGTGCGGTACCCACGCTCGAACCTACGAGCGAGCCCACGATCGAGCCTACGGCGGAGCCCTCTGTGGAGCCGACGAGCGAGCCGACGGCCGGACCAACTCCGGAGCCGACCGCGGGGCCTACTCAGGAGCCGACGGCCGAGCCGACGTTGGAGCCCACTGCGGTGCCGACGGCCGAGCCCACGAGCGAGCCTACGGCCAAGCCTACTCGGGAGCCGACGGCTCTTCCGACCACCGAGCCGACCTCGTTGCCCACTTCCTGGCCAACGCACAGACCGACGCCGCGGCCCAGCCAGCGGCCGACGCCCTGGCCCTCGCCAGCTCCGGCGCCCGCGCCTACCTTTCTGCCGACGCCGCGGCCGTCGCCGGGGCCATCCCCGAAACCGACCCGAAGTCCCACGCTCAAGCCGACGCCCGAGCCGACGGTGACACCCGGAAATCCCACGGCGGCTCCCGTATTTTCGCCGACGCCGCGGCCTTCGTTTCCGCCGACCTCGATGCCGACCAAAATTCCGACGTCTGCACCGAGCCCCCGGCCGACGCCGCTGCCCACGCCGCGACCGACACCGAGTCCCTCTCCGGAGCCGTCGCACAAGCCGACGCCCAGCCCGACGACGGCGATGCCGACGACGGCGCTCCCGTCGCCCGCGCCCACGAGCGTGCCCACGATTTCGCCGCCGCCGTCGCCGGTGCCGTCTCTGGCGCCAACGACCATAAACTACCGCCTCGCGGACTTCTCGGTGGCGGCGCCGCCCGAGCTGGCCGAGGCCGCCTTCACGGGGACGGGTCTCAAAGTAGAGCATCTGGTCGTCAACCTCACGGTCCCAGCAACCAAGCCCGTGAGGGTGACGCTGCGCGGCGGCGGTCGGAGCGGCGGTAACCTCCGCTTCTACGACGAGGACTCAGATAACCCGGGCTACGCGCTCACGTCGGACGCCGGAAGCGCCTCCGTCTCGAAATGGATCCCCGCCGGCGACACCAATTGTACGGTCGCCGCCGGCGCGCTCCGTGATCGCGTCGACAACGGGGACAGCGTCGCCCAGAGCGTCACGGTCCTCCTCTCGTCGACGGACCCGATCTATGGCCGCGCGCGCGGCTTTGAGAAGACGGTTTCCGTACATGTGCTGGACGTCGACGAGTCGCTGATCGCGGTGAACAAATTCCTGGCGACGACGGACCCCGTCACGTCTGGCGCAATAACGGCGAAAGCAAAGGAGAACGCCGCGACCTTCGTCTTCACGGCGGCGCTGACGAGCCTACCGTTTTCCGCCGTGCGCCTCGAGGTCGAGGGCGACGTCGACGCGTTCGAGAGCATCTCCGTCGACGGCGCCGACGGAATGAACCGCACCGTCGAGCCCGCCGACTGGGCCTCGCTCGCGACGTACGAGTTCCGCGTCGCCGACGACGCTGTATTATCCGGCGACCGCAACTACTCCGTCTGGTTCGTGGCGCGCTCGGCCGACGCCAACTACGACGGCGTTCGTTCTCCCAATATGACGTGCCAAGTCATCGAGGACGACGTCGCCTTCGCCACCGTGAGCGGCAAGGCGCTGACGGTCGGGGCCGGCATCAACGGCCCGACGTTCGGCGACGGCTACTGGATCACGCTGTCCGCGCCGCCAAAGGCCGACGTCGTCGTGTCGCTCGGCTGCGCCGACACGAGCGTGTTCTACACGAAGCAGCTCTTGTTTACGCCGGACGACTGGGATCGGAAGTACGTGGCCGTCAACGCCTCTCTCGCAGACCCAAACATCTTGGAGGGCAGGACGGCCATGCTCACGCACTCCGTCGCCTCCGCTGACGCCTTCTTCGACGGTCTCGCTGTCTCAGACGTCGAGATCGCTGTCGAATTCTCTGTAGATAGTGTGCCGCCGCCCAAGCTGGAGCTCGTGCGGTTCCTGGACGGCGGCAACGGCCTCGACGTGCTCTTCGACAGCGCGACAAACATGGTCGACGGCGAGTGGGATATTGATTGCGCCACGCTCTTCGAGTACGCGGCGCAGCAATTCGGCGCAGATGGTACGTGCTCCTGGACGAACTCGAGCGCGCTGCGCGTGACGTTCGGCGCGGGCGCCCAGATCGTGCCGTTCGACTACGTGGCCGCGACGGACCTCAACAGCGCGTATCTCAAGGGCGACCTGCTGAAGAACGACCTCGACGGCGCGACGCTCACGAGCGCCGCCCAGTACGCCGAGGCCCAAAAGCCGCTGCACCCCGTGGCGCCGGCGATCTCGATCACGGCGCCGGAGAGCGTCGGCGTCTGCGACGGCGTCGTCCTCGACGCGCGCGGCGCCACGGGCGGCGGCTCGCGAGCTCTGACGTACAACTGGGGCGTGCTGACGACCTGGGACGCCGAGACGGACGCCGACATGGCCAGCTTGGCGGCGCTCGAGACCAAGCTCGCGGCAGCCGACGCTGCCGGCGCCGTGACCTTGAGCCTCGGCTTCGACGACCTCCTCGCGGGCCGGGCCTACGACTTCCTCATTGCCGCGACGAACTTTCTCGGCGTGACGACCACGGCCTACGCGACCGTCGGCAAGCTTGGGTCGCCGTCGCCGCGGGTCCAGTTCCAGGGCGCGGCGACGCAGACCATGGTCCGGTCCGACCGCAAGACGCTCAAGCTCGACGTGGCCCTGCCGAACCTGACCTGCACGGACATGAACGTGTCGAGCGCCGCGCTGGGCTTCGCCTGGCGCGCCTGGCGCCTCGAGGGCGCCGAGTGGGGCGACGCGTCGCCCGAGCTCTCGCGCGCGGCCATGGAGGAGTACGCTGCGAACCCCGTGTCCTGCCGCCTGCCCGTCGACGCGCTGCGCGCGGGCGCGACCTACATGTTCCGCGCGACCGTGGGCTTCGCGGACACCATGACCATCAACAGCTCCGCGACGGCGACGGTCGTCGTCAGGTCTCAGGACTTGATCGCCTCGATATCGGGCGGCGTTGAGCAGACCGTCGCGATCGGCACCGCCGTCGAGTTGGACGGGTCCGAGTCGTACGACCCCGACGACAACGACGCCGAGGGCGCGATGGCATACGCGTGGACCGTGGCGCGCGTGCTGGACGACGGGGGCCGGGAGGACCTTTCGACCGCACTCCTCGACAACGCGACGCAACCCGTCCTCGCGTTCACGCCGACGACGGCCGCGGGCTGGGCGAGCGACACTTCGTACGAATTCACGCTGACCGTCTCGCGCGGCACGCGGAGCGCGGCCTACAGCGTGCTGGTGTCGGTCTCGTCGGACCAGTACATGCCCCGCGCGACGATCACGGGCTTCGACGAGAGCGTCAAGTACAATCCCACGGAGGGCGCGTTCACGGCGATCTACTTCAAGGCGACGTCACCCGATCCTGACAGAACGATCGAGCAAACCGCCTGGTCCGTCGGCGACGGGCAGTCCGCGGGCCTCCTCGGCAAGCCCAGCGGGGCGCCGTCTCCCATGCTCGTCGACCTCGGCAAGACGCGGCCCAACGCCGTGTACCGGCTGAAACTTACGGTCACGGACAGCATCGGGTCGACGTCCTCGACCGTCGTTTCCCTGACGACGAACGGCCCGCCCACCTCGGGCACGTTCGCCGTCTCGCCGTACCGGGGCACCGCGCTGACGACGGAGTTCGAATTCCTGCTCGACGGCTGGTCCGACGACGTCGACGACTACCCCCTCACGTACACGTACAGCTACCGCCAGCGGGTAAGCAGGGGCGGCGCCGGTCGCTTCACAAGCTTCGCGGACCGTCGGGCCGCGATCTCGGCCCTGACGCCGCTCGTCGCGGACCAGTACGCGAGCTCGTGGTTCGTCACGACGCTGCCGCAGGCGGACAACGTCAACCTCACCTGCGTCGGCCGCGTCTTCGACCGCTACCTGTCGTACGCGCAAGCCTTCACGCCCGTGCGAGTGGACGCGCTCGAGATCTCGACCGAGGACCTCTCGGCGTTCGCCGGCGATCTGTTGTCGGCGTCGGCGGACACGGGCGACGGCGAGGCGTCGCTGTCTTTGGTCTCGAACGTGGCGAGCGTCATAGGCGGGACCGACGCGAGTCGCCGGAGGCTTTCCTCCGAGCAGGAACTCATCGACGACCTGATGGGCCACACGATCAGCGCCGCGAGCCTGGTGGGCACGGACTCGTCCGCGGCGGCGGCGACTCAAGTCCTGTTCACCGTCTCGACGCTGACCGGGGACCCCGACTCTCTCTCTGAAAGCGCGCAGACGGGCGCGATCGGACTGCTGCGCGAGGTCGTCGGCGACGCCGCGACACATGGGATCGACGACGACACGGCGGCGTCGGCGGCGGATGCCGTCTCGAGCCTCCTGGATGCGAGCCTGTTCGCGTCGGGCGCGTCGAACAGCTCCCTGGACGGGCAGATGACCGGCACGGTGGGGGCCCTCGCGACCGGCATGATCGTGGGCGCCTACGGCGGCCAGAACAAGAGCGTCGTCACTGACAACCTGGAGCTGCGCGCCTTCCGGACCGACTGCGGGACGCGGGACGCGGCGTTTCGACTGTCCTCGGGGGCTGGCGTGACGGACCTGCCCGCCGCGGCCCTCGACGCAGCCGCCGGAGGCGGCAGCTGCGACGCCGACGCGACGGAAGCGCCGGCCGACGTGGACGTGAAAGTGGCTCAATTGAAGAACGTCCGTGCCTCTGAGGGCGACGGGACCGTCTCGGACCTGGTGCAGATCGAGCTCGGCGGCGAAGGCGCCACGGTCAAGGTTGACAGTCTCGCCGAACCCATCGTGTTCGACATCCCGTTCGACGACGACCCGACGCTCGCGGCCGGCTACGACCCGGGCAACCGCACGGGCACGTGTTATAATCGGTCCCAGGTCCTGAGCTTCGACTGCGACGTGCCCACGACCTTTGACTGCGGGGAATCTCACGAAGTGACGCTCCCCGACGGGTCAACGACAACCGTGACGGGAGCTAACCTTCCGCTCGAAATCACGGTGAGCTGTCCCGCCAGGACGGCCGCGTGCTCGTTCTGGGACAACGCGACGACAAGCTGGTCGTCCGACGGCTGTGCCGCCGTCGCGTCCACGGCGTCCGGCGTGACGTGCGCGTGTACGCACCTGACCGAGTTCACCGCCTCGACGAACGAGACGGACGCGGCATTTTCCGCGGACGCTCAGCCGTCGCCGGCGCCGACGCCGGAGCCCACGACCGGTCAGCCGTCGCTGGCCCCGACGTCGCAGCCGTCGCCGGGGCCGACCACGACGGCGCAGCCGACCACAAATAAGGGAACCTGCGAGTGCTTGGCCGCCGCGCCGACGAAAACAATTACACCGGCCGCGAAGTCGGCAATATACGGCTGCCCGCGCATTTGCAGCCTGTCGGATTGACCTCTTCTGTACATTCGATTCCTCTAATAGCTAATTATTAAGACCACAACAACTTATCACGTCCTCATATGCATCTCCAGGAAGCGTAGAGCGTCGCAAGCGACCGCTTATTGTCCCAGGTACACCAGCAGATCCCGGGGGATCCGGAACGGCGGCTCCGCGCGGCCCTTCTCGCGGCGCACGGCCTCCTCGCGCATCGCGCGCGCCTCGGCGAGCCGCTCCGCGCCGGTCCGGCGGCCGTCGACGAGCGTCGGCGCGATGCGCGGGCTCCTGCAGCTATTGTCGGCGGCGAGGCGCTCGGCCGCGTTCGCCGCCGCGTCGGCCGCGGCCAGGCTCTCCGCCCGGAGCATCGCTTGCTCCGCCGCCTCGGCGCGGTCGCCGGCCTTGTTGGCGCGGTCGCGGACGCGCCGCGCCTTCTCCAACACAGCCTCGCGCGGGTCCGGCGTCGGCGGCGGCAGCGGGTCGACGCGCGTGTAGCCCTTGGCGACCATGTCCTCGTGGATCGCCTCGGCGAGCGTCGTCGGTGATTTCGGAGCCGGCACGGGCGCCGACGCGTCGTCGCGCATGTCCGGAGGGACCAAGAGTTCCAGCACTGGGTCGCCGGTGAGCACGCGCACGAAATCGTCGTCCTTGTAAATCTCGGCCTGGTTCTGGTTCTGTAATAGCAGCGACGCGACCGCTTGCAAGGCTTTGTCCTTGGTCTCGAAGTCGGGCGCGTGGTCGACGGCGGCCAAGAGAGCGTGGCGGGCGCCGCGGTGGACCCAGACGGCCCGCCGCAGGGGCGGCGGCTGCGACAGGAGGTAGAGGGTCTCTATGACCGCGTACCGCGTGCCGGCGTCGCGGCCCGCGAGCCCGCCCGCCGCCGCGAGGTCCAGCGCGTCGCCGAGGGCCTTTTGGTCCAGCACAACCGTCGCCCCCTTCATGAGCCCGGCAAAGTCGCCCAGCGGCGCCGCGGCGTCGGCGTCGGCTTTTGCCCGGGCCTGCCGCGCGAGCGTCGCGGCGAGCGGCCCGAGCTTGGCCAGGAGCGTCGCGTCAGGTAATAGAGTTAGGAGGCGCTCCTTCGCGCGATTCACGAGGGGCCCCGGCGCGAGGCGCTCGAAGGCCGTCGCGTACAAGAGCCGCCTCAGGGGCCGGTGGGCCCAGAACTGCCTCTTGTTCGCCTCGTAGCCGGCCAGGCGGATCAGGCAATCTAAGGCGAGCGCGCGCGCGCGTGTCTCGACGCCACACTGCGACGCTACGAGTAATGCCTCGCGGACGATTTTGCGCGGCCAGAGGTTCGCCTCGCGAGACAAAGAGCTCAGGACCATGAGCGACCGTCGTAGAGCGGCAGTCTCGACGGACGCGCCCTCGGTGTTTGTGGACGCGTCCTGCTTGACGAGGAGGCATGCGCCATTATCCAAGGCCGCCTTGCGGGACGCGGCCGTCTCGGGCGCGCGCGCCTTTTCCGTCGCTGCTTTGTGCTTTTCCGCGTCGGCGGACCAGGGTGCCTCCCGCAGCTCGCAGCCGTACTCGTAGTTCGCCCGCGCGTGTTCGACGTAGGGGATGGTCCCGCCGCCGATGTCTTTATAGTAGTGGCGCCGGTCCCTCTCGTTGAGTCTCGCGCGTGTCCCAGCCTGCGTGGAGATCAAACAGTGAGTTGGGTCACGGGCACGACGTCGCGTCGATGGCGTCGGGCGTCCGAAATTTGAGTTCCACACAGGTCCCCACCAGATCTATTTCCAGGCGCTCGACCTGCTCCTCCAACAACTCATTCCGCTCCCGTAGCGAATTCAGGGTCGACAGCAGCGCGTCGCGGTCGTGCTTCACTCGCATGGTCAATGCTTCGATCTGGCTTTGCTTGGATCTCATATTGCCCAGCAGCCGCCTTTCCAGCTCTTCAGAGACGTATTTGAAGTGGTCGCGCTCGTCCGCCATCGCCGTGACGGTGCGGTGCAACCCGGTAGCCGTCGCTTCGATCTTTTTCAGAGCCGCTTGCGCGGCGACGGGCTGGCCCTTCTGGAGGCCGCAGCGCGCGGCGTGCGCCGCGAAGTCGAGCTTTTTGAGAGCGGCTTTCGCGCGCGTCGGGTCCGTCTTCAGTACTTTTTGGGAGGCAGCGTCGAGCACGGGATTGACGCCGCAGCCCTCGATCAATGCGAGCAGTTCCTCGCGCTTGGCGTCGCGTCGCTTCGCTTCGGTCCACGCGTGCGCCGAGCCGGGCCGCTTGGTTGGGATCGGTGCGACGCGTCTTGCCGCTGGGGCGGACCGCGGCCTGCGCTCCATGTTGCTGGTGGCAGCCCGCCCTCGTGTCTTGTGCCTTTACTGCTGGGTCGAAGGGCTGCCGCCCGGATTTCTGTGTCGCGCGGCTCGTGTGCGACGACGGGCAGCCTTTGTCTGGCGTTGCGCACGTCGTCTGCAGCTCCGCTCTCCGGCTGTCGTGAGAGCGCGAGTGCCACCCCGCGTAACAGCCAAACAGCCGTCGGGACGCGTTCCCCGACTCTTGCTGGACCTTCTGACGATTGCTTTGCCCCGTTTTGCGACGGCTCATTTTCAAACCCGTCCTTTAGCTCTCAAATCAGCTTGGCCGCGCCTCGCATTTTACGGCCACACAAATCACCGCGGGACGCCGTCGACGCGTCCTCGCAGTTCTCCAGTAGCGCCCGGAGCCCCAGCGCGCTGCGCGGCACGGATAAAGCCGCGCCCGCCGAGCTCAAGGCCGCACCGAGCACGATGTCGACGCAGCCCTGGGTCGAGAAGTACCGCCCCCAGCTTTTGAAGGATGTCGTCGGCAACGAGGAGACGGTGGCCAAGCTCCAGGCCGTCGTGAACGGCGGAAATATGCCGAATATTATCCTGTCGGGCCCGCCGGGCACCGGTAAAACGACGACGATGCTCTGTCTGGCCCGCCAGTTGCTGGGCCCGCTCGCGAAGGACGCGGTCATGGAGCTCAACGCGAGTGATGAAAGGGGCATCGCCGTCGTGCGCGACAAGATCAAGATGTTCGCCAAAAAACGCGTCAATTTACCAGCCGGGCAACATAAATTAGTTATTCTCGATGAGGCCGACTCCATGACGGCCGCCGCGCAACAAGCGATGAGAAGGACGATGGAGCTGTTTTCTTCCACTACTCGCTTCGCGCTCGCTTGCAACACCTCGAACAAAATAACGGAGCCGATTCAATCCAGGTGTGCTATTTTGCGCTTTACTAGGTTGTCCGACGAACAGTTGTTGAGGAGATTACAGTACGTCTGCAAGGAGGAGGGCGTGTCCTACGAACCGGAGGGCTTGGAGGCGCTCATCTTCACGGCCGAGGGCGACATGCGCAACGCTCTCAATAACTTACAGTCTACTCATAGCGGTTTCTCGGTCGTGAACCAGGACACGGTGTTCAAGGTGTGCGACCAGCCGCATCCCCACATCGCGCGCGGCATCCTCGAGGCGTGTCTGGAGGGGCGATTAGATGACGCCCTAGCGGGGTTGCGCGGACTGTCTGAGTCAGGATACGCTCCGGTAGATATCGTCGGCACCTTATTCAAGGTCGTCAAGTCGCACAAGATGCCCGAGGCGCGCCAGTTGGAAGTGATAAAGGAGGTCGGCTTCTGCCATACTCGTATTGCTGATGGCTGCGCGTCGCTCGTGCAGCTGACGGGCATGGTCGCGCGGCTCTGCCAGCTGGCCGAGGAGAAGTGAGTGGGGTGTGCGTAAGAGAACTAGCTTATTCTATGGTTCGCGCGGAGTTGCTTACAAGTCCTTACTCACATGTCACAGCGACTAGACGGGACCGTCGCGCTCCGTCCTCCAGAACGACAGGACCTTCCAGAACAGCACGTCGGGCAGGCGGTCCGACGCGATCCCCGAGGCTACACGGCGACGCGGCGACGGGAACAGGCGCGCGAGGAGGCCGCGGCGCGGCGCCGTCGCGCGGCCGCGCTCGCATAGCTTCAGGAGGACGAGCAGCCGCTTCCTCGGCTCGTTGACATAACGTTTATACGTGCCGGCCTCGGTCACATTCAACAGGAAAGCCAAGATGGCTCGCTTGTCCGCGGCAGATGTGATGGATCCTGAATCATAATCTTCGTCAGCCGCCATCATCGCATAAAGCAGAGCATCATCGCCTTCCTCGTTCGTCGCAGCCAGGTCCGCGCCGTGACGCAGCAGCTCTCGCAGAAAAACCACCGGCGCCGAGTAACACGCGGCGGCCATCAGAGGCGTAGTTCCCACTGAAAAGCGCCCGCCGCCCCCAGTTACCCGGAGGTCGACCGGAATGCCCTTTTCTACGAACAGAGGAATCAAAAGCGCACACTTTTCTGCGGCCGGATTCTCAGGAAGGTAGTAATCATCGGCGGTCATCATTACCGACAATTTGTGGAGAACGGACCAGGAGGTGTCATCATTACTAGGCGCGCCGCTCCTCGGGTCGGCTCCGTGCTCTATGAGAAGTCGCGCGACATTGACGTGGTCGGGGCTGGGATGCATTGAAAGGACTTGGTCGACGAGGTAAAACAGGTCGGCTTCGCCGCACCGCGCGCCGCGCTCGAGTAGGAACTCGTACATCTGCGTCTGAGACCCTAAGATTGCATTTGACAGTAAGCTACCATCCCAATCTCCGTCCTGGTTTACGTCGCCGCCACCAGAGAGCCACGCCTCGACGGCGCTCACGTCGCCGGCGAACGCCGCGCGTAGGTGAGCGGGTGTGTCTTCGTCAATGTGCGACATGGCGAGCAGCGATGCGCGGCGAGGGCGTCAAATTAGCCCGAGGAGTCTGAGGTCCAGCCCACCTAGGTGAGCGGGTTGCTGGGCAAATGGCTTGAACTTTGAGCGCAGTTGAAGCTCGCGGCAGCGCAGCACAGCGAACAACACGACAGTCCAACGCTAAGGACCACACAGCTCGCAAAAGCCAACCAAACTTGACCTAAATTGCTCAAAACCCGACCAGTTTTTGAGTCGGACCTACGATGCCTCTCGTAGCGCCAGCAATCCAACTCCCCGCCACGCCATCGCCGCGACGCGTCCGAGTAGGCGCCGTCGGGAGGGAGAGCCATGGAAGCCTCACAGCGTCCAGCGGACCAATAGACGGGCAGCCCAGCCGCGCTCGCAGGCAACGCGATCGCGCAGCGAAGAAACGGATCCCCAGCCGTCGTACCGCGGCGCTCCGAACCGCTCCCGGGCAGCCAGCGACGATGCTAAAGCTCCTCCTCCTCCTCGCGACAGCATGGGCGCAGATGACCATCAACCGCGTGCCTATTGGGAATGCACAAAGACGCAGCGGCGCCGGTTCCCTAGTACTGGAAGTCCAGGGCGTGGGCAACCTTACCGTGCCGGCGAACGAAGATCCCGCGACGGCCGTCGAGCGCTTCGCGGCGAGAGCCACGGAGGCGGGTTTCCGGATGAACAACGTGACCATGCTGAACATGATGGAGTGGCTCTGCGAGAGAAGGCAGTGCACGCGACCTTTGACCGGTCCGGTCATGCTCGAAGTGACGGGAGCGGGAAATTTAACGGTCCTGATGCACGAAGAACCGGCGGCCAAAGTCGAGGAGTTCGCGGCCATGGCCGTGGCGAACGGCATCCCGTTCAACGTCGAGACGATGCGGAGTATGCTCAAAAGTCTATGTAATTCTCGCTCTTGTTTTAGGGATATTGCCGGTCCTCTCACACTCAATGTGACAGATGTGGGGGAATTTACGGTGCTGCCCTGGGAGGAGCCGGCTGATAGAGTGGAATATTTCTCAGGATTGGTTGTCGAGGCTGGTTTAGGCATGACCCGTCAAAGCGCTCAACAGATGCTCGAGTGGTTCTGTCAGCGACGCGTCTGTCGGAGGGGTCTGACGAGGCCGTTGACTTTATCAATAGGAGAAGTGGGCAACGTGACGGTGCGACCCTTCGAGGAGCCCGCTTATGTGATTGAACGATTCTCGTCCGCCGCGACGGCTGCCGGTTTACAAATGAACGTCGAGACGATGCTCGCGGCCTTGGAGTGGTTCTGTGCCCGACGATCGTGCCACCGACCGATCACGGGGCCCCACCGCTTGGTCGTGAATGGGGTGGGCAATATTACGGTGCGGCCCTTCCAGGACCCGGCGGCCGTCGTCGAGCGGTTCTCGGCGCAAGCGTCGGAGATGGGCTATGGGATTACCGCAGATGCTATGCTCCAGATGCTCTCGTACTTCTGCGAGAGGAGGTCCTGCCATCGGCGATTGACGGGGCCCTGGACTTTGCAGTTGGATGTCGCCAACGTGACGGTGCGACCCTTCGAAGAGCCGGCGGCCATCGTCGAGGTGTTTGGAGCGAAGGCCCAGCAGGCGGGCTTGGAAGTCGACGAGGAGATGCTCCAACAAATATTAAACTTCTTCTGCGAGCGGCGGTCGTGTCATCGACCTTTGAATCCAGCATTGGAGATCAACGTGCCCGATCTCGGTACATTGAAAGTCGCGCCGCACGAGGACCCCGCCGACGCCGTGGAACAGTTCGCTTTGGTAGCGATGCAGAAGGGCCTGGACATGACTGGTAAACAGATGGTCGAGATGTTGACACTGATCTGCGAGCAGCGCGTCTGTCGCAGATTGGGCGTGCGGCCGCCGTCGGAGCTGAACCAGACTTCCACTGAGTCTCTGATGCCGCCCGAGGCGGAGGCGGCCGTCCCGGAGGCGCCCCTCCCCGCCGCCGAGACGAGCACTACCGAGTAACTAGACCTCCCTTCTGCTCAAGTTCCTGCTCGACGGCGTACCCGGGGAGGTTGCCTTTAGAAATAGGAATTACCCCCCGCTCAGCACCATGGCCGCCTCCTCGACATCTCCATCGGTCGCCACGAGCGCGACGGCCGCCCTCTGCCGGTCAAACCCCATGGCCACCAACTGCGCACACAAATCGTCCTCGGAGTGGAGCTCCTCACGCAATGGCGCCGATGACGTCACGGGCGTCGCCACGGGCAGGTCCCGCTCCGTGACCGTCGCATCTTTCTTCACTCTTCCGGAAAACTCCTCGGCGTCGTCGTCGACACCCAAGGCAAATAAACCGTCGACCCAGCGTTTCTTGGCCAGATCGACGACGATGGCTCGGTCCGAATCGTAGAGCACGACGCAGGGCCGGCCCGTTTCTTCCGCTAGTGAAAGTAATTCAGAATCATTGGCATCAAAGGCTTCATGCGGCGCCTCATCTATAGAAAGGGAGTACCTCCACTTCTTCACGGAATCCGGGTTCGCCACGCGTCTCACTGGTAATGCTGGAGGTAATGGCTCGGTCGCGGACGCGAAATCGGGAAGGACCGGATCCACAACCAACATCCGATCCAAATCAACGACGCACTTCTCAACAATATTATGGCCCGCCGGCACCTTGACGAGGCGTTGCTTGTCTCGAGTAAAGGTTTTTTCGATGACCTCGCACTGCCGCGGGCCGAACTCCGTCCACCCTTCACTTGTGAGAAAGTACCAGCCTCGTCCGTTTGGAGCGGCTTTCGTGGTCCTATCGCGGAACCAGGTGAAGGCGTCGGCCGAGCCTTGGAGTGTCGGGGCTAAGGCCCTCAGCTCAAGACGCGTTTTGGCCCTGCCCGGCGTTGAGTTTTTTGCGGGGGTGTCGCCGCGGCGCTCGGCGAGCTCTTTCAGCGTGCGGCGCTGCTGGTTCCTCGCTTCGATCTTCGCGTTCTTCCGGCGCGTCGTGAGGCGCTTGTAGGCCAGGTAGGTCATACTGGTGTGATGGTGCTGCCCTTCCGGGGCGCGCTCGTCACCGTGGAATCGATGCGCGGCGATATATGCTCTTCCCGTATGGTCCTTTAACCCGTTTGGGGGCGCCGGGGCAGCGGTGCTCTCCGACCCAGCCTGGCTGCTCTCAGCTCCATGCGCCGCGAATTTGCCGTGCTGAGGCTGCCAAACTCAGGCGAGGCTGCCCCTATTCGTCGTTTCGAGGCAGGCCACAGCCCAATACCGAGGTCACGATGCTGCCATGATGCGTGCACTGCTGCTCGTCGTCGTCGTGCACGGCAAGCGGGCGCCGCCGCTGGGTGGCCGCCACGGGGCGCGCCTCAGGACGTACGCGCAGCTCGGGCGGCGCCGCGTGCCGCCGCCGGGGAGCACGCCGGACCACGTGAAGCGCGTCTACGACGAACTCGACCGCTCCGTGGCCTACTTCCCGCAGACGACGAACCGCAGCGATGCTGCAAATATTGTGAAAGAGATCCTCGCGCACCCCTACGGCCTCGCGCTCCTGAACGGGCGTTTATTTGCCCATGAAGGGGTCGACCTGAAGACGATCCGGCAGTTCCGGTTGTTGTTGGAGGCTTCCGAGAGGCGGCGCGTCAGGAACGTCGTCGTCGCGCACAACTCGGCCTCGGATGGTAGGTGCGCCACCGTATGTAGGGACTGCGGCCACGGGAGCCACGAAAGAGATAGAGGAAGACGCCACTTACCTTCCACGCTGATAGCCAAGAAGGGCGGTTTCAAGGAAAGGTGCGGCGTTTTGGTGCCGAATCCCTACTTTGGGACCTACAGAGAGCGCACGAACTCGACAAATTATGTCGTGAGGACGCCGTGGGTCCGGCGGCAGAACCAGGCCTTTTGGAGGGGAAGACTGATCGAGCCCGGCAAGGCGTGCATGAAGGAGAAGTGCGTGCCCGACCCGAATTTATGTGAGGGCAACCTCGCGCGCTTCGAGGGTTTGAGCCTGACGTTGCGCCACCCGGAGTTGTTTGATGTCAAGGCGTTACATATCAGCCCGAGCTGTCGTGCGCTGCGTAGAAACCAATTGCAACGCGCTAAACGCCATCGACGCGATGTTGCTCACTAGTTTATTTGCGCACAGGGACCGACAAGGCGGCGCTGCGGAACCGCTCCTGTCTTCCTACGTCCTTCGCGACGAAGATCGCGAAGCGGCTGCACAAGGTCACCGAACCGAAGCACCGTTCTCACTTGTGTGGAAATCAAATTTCGGGCGTCCCACGCCATCGACGCGACGCCGTTCCCGTGGCCACAGTCGGCTCGATGGCGTGGAGGTTCACGATTCCTAACTCACTGGTTGATTTCCACACAGGTCCTCACAACTACTATGCGAGGTTCAAGATGAACCTCCACTTTCCCGGATCGACGACCGGTTCGTACAGTCGGAACCTCAACCGCGCGGCGCGGTGTCCTCGCCTTCACGCCATCGCCGCGACTTCCAACCAACGGCTGTTCTCGCGCAGACCTCTGGTCGACCGACGCCGTCGTGCTCATCTGGAAGCACGCCGCCGTGGAGCACTACTACCGCGGCCTGGCGCACGGCGCGACTCATTTAGACGTCGACCTCGCCTCGGCCGCGGCGACGGCGCGGGAAGTTCTTAAGAACCAGCCCCTCGTGGCGAAGCTCAAGGCCGGCGCGCAGGCCGTTGTTCGCGACCTCATTTGCCCTGATTGTCTGGAAAAGTTCCTGGCGGCCGCGCTCGCCAAGATCCGCGCGCGGCACGCGCAGAACTTAATTCTAGACGACGCGGGATCGCTGCGCGCCGCGCTCCGCGGCGCCAACTGCACCGGCCTCGTCGAGTACCGGCAAGCGCATCCAACCCAAGACGACACGCAGCTCGGTCTGCACAAGGCGATCGAGCGGCGGGTCAGAGTCGTGCCCCTCCCCGCTGCGAAGGTGGTCGGCGACGGCGAGGACCCCGCGTGCGCGGCGCTCGTCAATACTGTATTTAACAACTAATGTACACAAGAATATTAACAAGCTAGGAGCCGCGGTAGGTCGAGAAGGTCCAGGGCGAGCAGAGCAGCGGCACGTGGTAGTGCTCCTCGGGGTTGTCGATGCCGAAGCGGATCGGCACGTCCCCCAGAAAGGGCTGGGCCGCCGTCGCCACGCCCTTGGCGGCGAAGTACTCTCCAACATGAAAGGTCCACTCGTAGGCGCCCGCGCAGAAGTCCGGACCTTTCAAAGCTGGGCCGTCGAGGCGGCCGTCTTCATTGGTAGTGAAGGCGTAGGACGACGGGAGATCGCCATGATCACCTAAGCGCGTCAGCGTAACACTCATGCCCGCCGCCGGCGTGCCCGACGCGACGTCCAGCACGTGACAGGTCAGAAAACCTTTGCCGTTGCCTTCTACACTGTCTAATAACCGTAGCCAGGCGATCTTGTGGACCTGGGCCAACGCTTCCGCACGCTCCTCTACCAAATCGCCCGCCATGCGCCGCTCGAGCGCCGCAAAAATGACGCGCTTCGACGCGTTGCGGACCGCGAGGATGAACGGAAACCCGAACTTGGCCGTGTAGCGCTCGTTGAGCGACGTGAGCTTTGAGAGCTCCGCTTCCGTTAACGAACCGAGGCCGGCTTTGGCTTGCTCGGCGGCGGATTCGGCCGTGACGTCGCCGCGCAGCGCGGCCTTGCCGGCCAGGTCGGGGTGCGCTCTCAGTAAAGACAGGACCTCGTCGTCCGTCGCGTTGGCCAGCGTCTGCTTCATGGCCGCTGCGAGAGAGGTGACGCTCGCGAAGGGGCCCTGGGCGAAGGCGCGCTCGGCGACCCACGGGCTTTTTTCGTAGCAGCCGCCTACCGCTGCGACAAACGCGTCTTTGGTTGCGATCGCGGAGAGGGGTACTGGCATGATTTTTGCTTCACGGCGACTTTAGGCTGCGTAGAACTGAGAGCACACTTGAGCAGGCTGTCTGAGAGTACTGCTTGCTTACAAGCTTGGGCTGCAAAAGCGGCGATTTTTCGGCCTGTTCGCAGCGCACGAGTTGTCTGAGTCGCGCGGTGGTATCTGTGCGACCGAGGACTACCTGTGCGTTGAGCTTGAGGCCTTTTGCGGGAGCTGGCGCTCGCTAGCTATTGCCACTAGGAGGGCAACAAGGCCTTGCTCGGGTTGAGACCGCGTGTGAGTGTTCGAAAGCGGTAAGGCGCCCTCTCGTCGCCCCAAGGACCCATGCGACCACGCCCGGCACCATCCGGTGCTTAATTCAATCGGCGCCGCGGAGACTGCCCCCCGCCAGGGGGTTTCGCCAACTAGTCCTAGCAACGTAACAAAATATCTATCACAAGACGCCATCGCCGCGACAACAAAAAAAACTTCATGGGTCTTAGCTCTAGAGGTGGACGCCGCGCGTCCCGTAGTCCTGCTCGAGGTTCTGGCACAGCTCGAGCCCGTCCTTCGACGTGTCGAGGTCGCCCTGGTCCAGACCCAGCGCGAGGAAGTCCTTCGTGTAGAACCCGTCCGCGGCGATGTCCTCGAGGACGTTGTGCTTCGCGCCCTCCCAGCCAAGAGTGGACATGACCTTGCGCACGCGCACGGCGAAGCCCTCGGCGTTCGGCCGGAAGGGGAACGAGGATTTGGTGTCCGGCGGTAATGCCGTAACTAACGCCTCCTTGCCGAGCGCGTTCGCCGCGGCGATGCACACGTCGTCGTAGGAACACATCTTGTTCGTGCCGCAGTTGAAGATCTCGCCGCCCGCTTCACTTTCTTTGCCGACGACGGAACCGATCAACGAAGCCACATCTTCACAATGAGTGACAGAGACGGGCTGCTGCGCGTCGGCCGGGACCGGCATCGGCAGGTCCCGCGCGGCTCGGTTCAGGAACCAATCCAAATAATCGCGCTTGTTCGTGTAGGGGCCGTAGATGTACTGCGGCCGGAAGGCCGTCCACCTTCCGGGTAACTCCTTCTCGAGGGTCATCTCGACCTGTGTGGAAATCAAATTTTACGGCGCGTTCGTGCTGAAGCATCGCGCCGTCCTCCACGCCATCGATGCGACGCCTGCTCGATGGCGTAGCGATGCCGGTTCCTCGCCGCTCGACGGAGCCAGCACGGCCGCGTCATTGTGCACCCGACGCACTGGTTGATTTCCACACCGTTCTCGACCTCGCGCTGGCCGGTCGGCGGGTCCTTGACCTTCTTCTCCTCCTTCAACATCCCCTTGGCGGCGTACATGCCCGCCGATGAGACGAAGCTGTAGAACGCATCAGACTTCTTCGCCGCGGAGATGATGGGCGCGGCGTCGCCCGGTTTCTTCGAGTTGTTGTCGAAGACGTGCGTGGCCTTGTCGCCGCAGGCGGCTTCTACGGCCGACGCGTCGGACGTGTCGACCCACTCCACATTCACGGACGACGGGAGCTCGCCGTACTTGCTGAACGGCAAAGCTTCTTTTTTGGCGGCGCTGTCCTGCACGATGGTCACGGTCAGGTCCTTGTCAGCCAGGTTCTTGGCCAGATGAAAACCGATCTCGCCGTGGCCGCCGCCCTTGTTTTGTACCTGCGAGCGGGACACGCCGTCGAACCGACACATTGGGCACAGCGTCGGCCGAAGTTTGACGACATTGAGCCGACATCCGCGTACAGCGTCGACGGCAGCGAGGCAACAACTCGAAGACTTCCGACGCCGCAACCGCACGATGACCGCATGGCCGGCGGCGTTGAGGGCCGTGCTGGATCTAGCAGTGGGGGCCGGGGCGAAGCACTCCGCGCCTAATGCGAGAGCGAGGACGACGGCGGCGGCACGCATGATCACTGGTGTAGTAGCAGAGAGCTGCGTTGCGTCGGTGCAACAGCGGCGCGTATAGCAGCAGGATCCCTGAGCTGCAGAGACACATCACAAAAATGAAGGCGATCTCCCGTCCATCGCAATCGCATCTGATCCGTCTGTGACCGCTCCCTACCGTTGCGATGATGCGCTGGGAGGTTTGGCAACTCGTTTGTCTTCTAGCGTTTACGCCCACTAGAGTCCCGGGACCGGAATCGCAGTTTGATCATTGCCCGCGCGCCGCTGACCAAATTTGCACGCGCCGGACGTCACAAGCGACTCGTCAGTGTCCCGAGTACGCCACGCGAGCTCTGCGACCCCCGCGCGCCGCGGCTGTGAAGAAAACTGGTAAGCCTTCACTCACCTCTGCAGCGTGAAAAGCCCGCGCGCGCGGACGCGAGAGAGAGTACTTAAGCGGTCACGAACGCTAGACTAGCAAGCGATGGCGACGCCCGAGGTCGTCGCGCCCACGCCCGTGGAAGACGACGCTGCGGCGCCGGCAATCACCGGCTCGCGCCGACGAGGCGACACGCACTCGGTCGGGCGCCCGCCGCGCCGGCGTCCGTCCCGGCCGCGTGGGTCGCGGCCGCGATGGCGCTGGCGCCGCCGCGGCCGCCGGCGACGGCGCCGGTGGCCGCAGCTGCTTTGGTGCCGCGGGCCGCGGCGCTGGCTATCTCGAGCTGGCACGCGGGCACGTCCGACCCCGACGCCGACCTCGAAGCCGGCGCCGTCGCGCCGCGCCGCTTCGGGGGCCCGGCGCCCGCGGCTCCTGTCCCTCAGAGATGGGGGCCGACAGGCAGCCGAAAGCCCCTCGAGATGAGGAGAATCGGCGACGCGGAGTGGCGGACGTCGTGCCCGCGACGTCGCCTCCCGTGACGCCGAGGCAGCCGTCGCCGTGGCTCAGTGTCGTCTGCGACTACTCGGGAGCGTCCGGCCCGCGCCTCGCCAAGCGCGTGCGCCGGCTCTCGCAATCGCGGAGCGGCTCGCCGGTGGGCGTCGAGTCGACGGGCGCCGCGCTCCTCGGCAAGCGCAAGGCGGAGCCTTCGCTGACGCCGGCGGAGAAGAAGCGCAACTACTCCTACCACCGAGGCGGGTGGCCGGGCCAGTGAAGACTAATTATCTAACCGTTTACCTTAATCCCCGGCGGCTGCGCCCACGCGGGCAGCTCCCGCGGCTTCGCCGGGTCGAACTCGCCGCGCACGGGCGCGGAGCCGTCCGCGGGGTAGAAGACGGTGGCCGAGCCGTCGACGCAGTAGCGCTGGCCGGACAGCGCCGCCGGCGTGCCTGGGAATAAAGCACCATCAAGAAATCGATCCCCCAGGTGCCCGCCGCAGCGGCCGCACCGGATCTCGGCGCCCGCGAGGAACTCGAGCGCGGAGGATTCGACGGCAACGGCGGGCAGCTGCGTCGCGAACGACGGCCAGCCCGTCCCGCTGTCGAATTTCGCGCTCGAGGCGAAGAGCGGGACGCCGCAGCCGGCGCAGCGGAACTCGCCCGGGCGCTTCTCCTTGACGAGCGGCGAACTGTTGGGCGGCTCCGTGCCACCGTTCCTCAGGACGAAGTACTCGACGCTACTCAGTTGCCGCTGCCACTCGGCCTCGGACTTTTGGACCTCGTAGCCCTCGGTGCGGCTCGCGGTCCCGCCGGGCGGCTTGGCTTGCGCGGCGGCCGGGACTCCCAACGCGGCGGCCGCTGGGAGCGCGCGGCGCGTGACCCGCAGCGCGGATGCTGTTGCGAGAGTGGCAATTAAGAGCGTGCGCGGCATGCTAGCTTGAGCGTGTGAGAGCAAAGTGGTCAGGAGACCGTTTTAAACACGGATTGCTTGCAGAGCTGGGTCAACGCCGACCACTGATGAGTCCTTCGAATCTCGGTTGTGTTCAACGCGATCGTAGAGAGGCGTATGCGCCGATAGACGTGGTCCTGCTCGAGTGCTTGAGCTTGCTAGTGTCTTTACAGGACGCTAGCTCGGCTTTGCGGACGCGCGGCGGCTTTTTGACGCACTCCTGCGCGACGTCGTCAACGCATTACAAAATTTGAAAGCCCAGGAAGCGCTAGGACCAGTTGCCTGCGCCTTTGCCAGACAAGTGCATCCACCTGTCCAATTGCAGCAAGCTGCTTGCCTGTTGCAGCGCCCGCCCATCGCCGCGGCAGCATGAAACGACGAAGAACCCTCAACGTTGCAGCGCTGCTGGCGACAGCAACGGCGAGCAGCGAGTGGGGCGAGTGGGGCCCGCCGCCGCCGCCGCCGCCGCCTCCGCAGCAGCAGCAGCCACCGCCACAATATGATCCGCAGCAGCAGGGCGGCTATTACGGTGAGCAACAGCCACAATACGACCAGCAACAACCGCAGCGCCCGCCGGGCCCGCCGCCGCCGAAGCCGCCCGCGGGGCCAATTCTCGCGCGCGTCTCGTCCGTCGTCTCGGGCGCGGGCGTCGGTTGTGGCATAGGAAAATGCATCACGGGCAACGCCTCTCCCCGATTCGCGGCGGCCGGCGCCGTATCCTGCTTCCTGAGCTGTTGCATCGGCGGGCGTTTTGGGGACGCGGCGCTGGCCTTGGGGCAGACGACGGTCGGCGCCGTCAAGAAGAGTCGCGCGCTGCGAGATGGGCGGTATCCCGTCTTCCGCCAGTTCAAGGCGGGCCTGGGGTTGGTGCAGCGGGAGCCGTGGCCGCCGGGCGCGCCGAACCCCTGGAGATATAAAAGGCAATCCGCAATAGACCCGCGCTTCTCCATGTACGAGGCGCTCGGGGCGGCGCTGCTGACGGGCGGCGTCGGCATCAACTTCGTGCCGCTGCCGCCGCTCGTGCCGCGGTCGCTGTGCGCGCTGGGCGCGTCGTTATTTTTCATGTCGCTGGTCGTCGTGAGGGACGCGCGGGGCGACGCGGCGCGGTGTCTGGCGGCGCGCGTCGTGGCCTCCATCCGAGTCATGCTGGCCGCCGCCTCGGAGCAGCAACTCGTGTCGAAGACCGCGCAGGCCTGGGGCCTCGGCGCGATGCGGCTCGGCGCCGTCGACAAGAAGCTGGGCGTGTCGCGGACGATGGGCCGGCTCTTCTCGCGGGCCGCGTCGACGGCGCAGGCCGCGGCCGCGGAGGCCGCGGCCGCGCAGGCGGGCGGCCCCGACCGACGGCCACCGCCGCCGCCCCAGCAGCAGCATCCGGCCTGGGCGCCGGACTCGCAGAGCGACTGGGGCCACCCGGGCGCCGCGGGGCCGGGCGCGGGGCAGTGGTGACGCGTTCTGTCGCCATTAGCCCCGTGCGGCCACTCGTGCGGCCCCTCTTCGCCCATCATCGTGGACGGCGCAATGTCATAAAAAGTTATGAGTATGAGTATGCTTCTCCTCACGCGTCGTATCCCTGGCCTACGCGTGCACGCGCCGCCGCTTTCAAATGCCTCAACATGGGGTGTGTGATGTTTTTTGTTCGCCTGCTCGGACGTCGCATGCGCAGCGGCGGCGGCGCCAGCGGTTAAACCGCTCGATACAAATGGCGGTGCCGTTGCGGCGAAGCCGCTGTAGACGCAGCATCCTTGGCCGAGCCGTAGTCGCTGCGATTTTGCTCTCGGAAGCGGTGCAGTGTATTCAGTTCAAACGTAAGCGCGCGGGCGTGAGCCATCGTGCGGTGCGGCCAGCGGTGTCGACAGCTACGCCAGCGGCTCCATCAAAGGCCAAACCGTCGAATACGGCCGCGGTGACAGGAAAAAATAACATCCTACCGCTGTCGGCGCCGCAGAACAAAATCGACGCGGCCACGCTGACGGCCCTGGTCGCCGCGGACCCCGGAGACGAGCTGGACGAGCCTCTGCGCCTCGTTTCCGGCGCGATTCCGAAGGACCTGCGCGGCACGCTCTACGTGAACGGCCCGGCGCGGGTCATCGACGGCCGCGGCCGCGCGGCGCACCCGCTCGACGGCCACGGTTTTGTAAGGGCGTTTTCATTTGGCGCACGGACGGATGCGGCGAAGCTCGCGGCCGCCGCCTCCACCAACGCTAATGACGCGTCGACGTCCATTGGTGGCAGCACAGTGGCGGCAGACGGTCGCTCGGGCGTGACGGTCCGCGGGCGCTTCGTGCGGACGTGGGCGTACGAGATCGAGAACTTCTTCGACCGCAACCTGTTCCGGGGCTTCTTCTCGCTGCCCTTCGCGCCGTCGACGCCGCTGCGCCTCTTCAACGCGCTGTCGCTCTGGCGGAAGAACGTGGCCAACACGGCCGTCGTCGCCTGGGCGGGGCGGCTTCTCTGCCTCTGGGAGCAGGGCCCGCCGCACGCGCTGGATGTGGAGACGCTCGAGACGGCGGCCGGCTGGGACCACCTTAATTATTTAGAGACGCCGGCGTGCGCCGTGTCGCGATTGCGGCCGCTGCTGGCGCACACCAAGGTCTGGGTCGAGAATGATGGAAGGGAGCGCCTCGTCGGCCTGTCGGTCGTGGGCTCACATTTTACATTTTACGAGTTCGACGAACGCGGCGATCGCGTCGCGACCGTCGCCACGGAGCTGCCGTTCGCGAACCCGCTCACCCACGACTTCAGCCTCACGGAGCACTATTACATTGTCGCGGAGAACCCGGTGCGGTACGAACCGGACGTCGCCGGGGCGCTGGACGGGTCGCAGCCCGCGCTAGGGCCATCCTTTGTCGCTTCCGCCGACGACCGGCCTGGCCTGCTCGCGCTCGTGCCCCGCGACGGGTCCGAGCCGATCGTCCTCGACGCCGGCGACGCGTCGATCGTCTTCCACTACGCGAACGCGTGGGAGGAAGGATCGCGTATCAAAATCGCGGCGTGCGCGTTCGACCGTTATGAATTGGGCGCCGAGTACGGCTTCGACGCGGCGGGCGGCCGTTTCGATCCGAACTTGCTACTCCGTGACGATCTGTGTGGAAATCAAAATTTCACGTCGCGTCCTGCTGAATCGGCGGGTCGACCTCCACGCCATCGACGCTGCGCCTGCTCGATGGCGTGGCGATGCCGGTTCCTCACCACTCGACAGAGCCAGCACGGCAACCCGACACACTCTTGGTTTCCACACAGGCCACGACAACGCCTGGGGCCCGTTCCTCCGCGTGTCAACAATTAATCTCGCGGCGGCAACGGTGTCGCACACTACGGTGGAACACGTTCATCGGGACTTTCCCCGAGTCCATCCGCGAAGGGAGGGCCGGCCGACGAAGTACGCTTATGTCGCGGCGTCGCCCCATCTCCAGGAAGGCGAGCCGTTCTTCCCCTTCCAGTGCATTCAGAAGGTGGCGCTGGACGGCTCCGACGAAGTCATCACGTGGAGGCCCGCGCGCCCGGGCTGCTTCGTCGGCGAGCCGGTCGTGGCGCCGCGTCCCGGCGAAGTCAACGAGGACCACGCGTGGCTGCTGATAGTCGTCCACGACGTCCACGCCGCGGCGACGGACCTCGTGGTCCTCGACGCACGGACGCTCGCCGTCGCCGCAGAGCTGCGCGTCGACCGGCTCCTGCCGCTCGGCCTCCACGGCACGTGGGCCTGATTGTTGTTGAAAACACCCCCCTATATGTATAAAGTCTAACTCACTTATGCCGTGCGTGTTGCATCGCATCGGCCTAGAGCATCGGCCCTCGCTACGACTCGCTGCTAGGAGTTGGGCGGAGAGCTTGAAGACTCGGAAGGCCTCTCAATCCAGGCGCACACGTATCGTTGAGGCCGATGGTGCAGCTAGGCCCTTCTGCTGCTTTTGCGGTTTTGCAATTCAAACAAGCAGCGCCGCTCATAAGACACTTGCGTGGCAACAGAGACCAAGAAAAGACACACGCCGCGCCTCCAGCGTCATAATCGTCACCTCGAAATCTCGCCTTCATTGGCCCTCGGCGCATCGCAAATCCGCTGCCGTCCGTCGACCGTAGCTCGCATCACACACACGCTAGCGCTATGTAGCGCTAGCTGTGACGCGAGACGGCAGCGCGGCGCTGCGAGACCGTCTCGCGCCACACAAAAAACGCGGCCACCGCCGCCGCCACACATTTTCATCACCTTTAACCATGGCTACACGCAGCGCGCAGCATGCTACGGCGCGCCGCCTGGCTGACGAGCCGCCGCGCGGCCGCCGCGCTCCGCACGCACAAGCCAAGCACTACTCATGTGACCGCCGACGGCATCGACGGCGCGTCCGTCGGCATCTCGTTACCGGAGGAGACGATCGTGCCCGAGGCCGGCGCCTTCCGCCCGATGACCTACCTCAACGCGTCCACGGTCGTCGAGGTCAACCCGGCCACCGCCTTCGGCTCCTCTAGCCTTGCGGTCAAGCCAATTTTGGTGGAGCCGCCCAAAACCTTAATTCGCCCACCGTCCATCGGCACGAACCTCGTCGGCGGCTCAAGACTCCTGGACTTTGTCAGCGCTTCGTCGACGGCGTCCATCGAGTCCATCCCTAGCCAGTCGCCCATCAAGGCATCGCTCGACGTCGTGCCCATCAAGACATCGCTCGACGTCGTGCCCATCAAGACGCCCCTCGACGTCGTGGCGACGCTCGAGCTCCCCAAGGCCGACGAAGCAGACCTCGTCGGCATCTCAAGCCTCCTGAACATCAGCAGCACTTCGCCGACGGCGTCCATCCCCAGCCAGTCACCCATCAAGACGTCGCTCGACGTCGTGACGACGCTCGAGCACTCCTACGATGACCAGTCCTCGTCCTGGCGCCCGCCGTCGAAGGCGTTGGCAGTTCTGGTGGCTCTCGGTGTTGTTGGCACTTTGGGCGAGATTCAGCCCGACGCCGACTGCGCACGGCTTAAGCAGGGCTTGCGTGGCCCTTCTACCGAGTGTGACTGCCTCAACTTCGCCCAATTTCCCGACGGCGTCGGCGTCGACGCCTATCCGGACTGGGTGCAGCCGTGTGGTGCTAGGGTTAACGGGAAAAAGGCTCCTGGTAGTGCTGGGCCAGGTGCAGTTGGAGAATCGCGCCACGGCGTGGCGAAAAACTGCCCCAACTTTCTAGCGCACGAGGAGCTGTTTCTAGGACAGCCCGTCTTTGGCGGCGTCCATAAGGGCACGTCAAGCAAGTCGTGCGGCGTGCTCGGCAAGCCTACCGATTGTGACTGCATCAACTTCGTGCAACTGCCCGAAGGCGTCGGCCTCGACGCCTATCCGGACTGGAAGCAACCGTGTCGTGCTAGAGTGCAGGGGAAAAAGCCTCCTAAAGGCGCTCCCCCTGGGACGATTGGAGAATCACCGCACGGCGTGGCGACGACCTGCTCCAACTATTTAGCGTACAAGGATCTGTTCCCACGGGAGAAAGTTTTTGCCGGCGTCTGTAAGAGCACCCACTCGGGCCCGTCGGGCAAGCAAGCCAAGACGCCGCTGCCACTATCCCAGGAGATCATGAACGGCGTGGACGCGGGCCTCCCTCGCATCAAGACGCTGTTCAACGTCCTCGAGCGCTACCGGCCCATCCTCTCGACGATCATCCCGGCCGTCGACGAGAGCCCTAATGTCCGCTCCGCGCGCGAGGCCTGGATCAAGCTGCTGCAGGGCGCGAAGAGTTGCGAGGGCTCGACGCCGATAGAGTACAAGATGTTCGACATCGAGAAAATGCAGAAGACGCCGTGGGGGCAGGCGTTGCGCGAGGCTGCGCCCAACTCAACTTTCACGACGCTTGCGTTCTTTATTTATTTTAACACAGGCGCGACGAGGGCAAGGAGGGCGAGGCCGTCGCGCGCGAGGCGGTCCAGCTCGGCATCGTCACGGCGACGTTGAAACGGGGCCTGGCCTTCGGCGACCTCAAGGTGGTGCTGGATGATGCGGAGACGAGAGGCCTCGGCGAAGACCGTGTCCGCAACGACCTGACGAGGACGCTGGGCCACGGCGACAAGCTGTGCGTCTACGGCCTTTACCCGGAGCGTGATTTGTTGGAGTACTGCAAGTGCCTCGACGGCGTGGACTACATCAACGTCCACGGGGCCGTGTGTCACGCGATGGGCATGGACCCGCATGGCTATCACCGGAGGCCCGGCTTCGTGGCGCCCTGCCCGATCGCAAGCAGCGGGGAAATGATGGAGCAGCTGCGGAACGGCGTGTACGCTGAGGTCGTAAAGGACTGGAACGTCACGAGCTACCCGCACGTGGCGGCGCGCTCGCGCCTCGTGGACAAAAAAAAGGGCAAGGTCGACGACCCGTCGTTCATGGCGTTGCTGGCGGCGGATTTCGCCAATGCCGGTTTGGACGGGTTGCGGGCGGCCTGGACGGGGACCGACGCGTTCCTGGAGGGCAAGGTCGTGACGCTGCCGCCGCGGCCCACGGATCTCAAGAGCTGGTACGTGGACAACCCCTCGTACGACGTGCCTCGGGAGCAGCGCCCCGACTACCAGGAACCGAAGAAGCCCTCCAAGAAGAAGGAGGTGAAGACGGCGGCCATCCCCGACGTCGCTTTCAACGAGTCGACCTTTGTCTTCGAGGGCTGCGAGCATTACATCCGCGACGTGGTCTCCGTGGACGGCGTGATCTGCGTGGACCACTATCAGAAGGCCCTCGACAAAGGGGACTTCATTACGTTGGTCCGGACGCCGTTGGAAGAGCTCATGTCCAACGGGACGACGTCGGCGCCGGCGCCTGGCGCCATGCAGGCGCCGCCGAACTTCGGGAAGGACATCCGCAGCTATTTCGCGCCCGCCGCCACCGCTTCGGCCGCAGCGCCGACGGCGGGCGAGGCGCTCCCTGCCGCTGGCACGGATTTTCCGAAGATCCCGTTCAACCCGCGGGACTTCGACCTCAAGCCCGGTGCAACGGTCCCGACCACGCAGCCCACGAAGAATATTAGATGGGCGTTGCGATTGACGGAGTTACAAATGGACGAGGATGGCGACGCCAAAAACATGTGGAGACCGAGACAGAGACAGTCCGCACTCCGGCAGGCCGCCGCGGCGACGGCGCGGCGCGTCGTCGCACCGGTCGTCGAACCGGCCTCGCCGCCCGGCTCGCCGCAGCACGAGTCGTCTTCGACGCCGACGCCGTTCCAGCCCGAGGTCACGGACCTCACCTACTCGCCGCCGCCGCCGCGGACGCCGTCCCAGGAGCGCGAGGTCATCGACGTCACGGCCGACTCGCAGCCGTCGCCGAAGCTGTCGCCGACGCTGCCGCCGTCGCTGTCGCCCTCTGAGCCCATGGTCACGGACTCGCCGCCGTCGCCGACGCCGTCGCCGGCGCTGTCGCCGACGCTGCCGCCGTCGCTGCCGCCGTCGCTGCCGCCCTCTGAGCCCATGGTCACGGACTCGCAGCCGTCGCCGACGCTGTCGCCGATGCTGCCGCGCCGAGTGCTGTCGCCGCCGACGACGTTGTCGCCGACGCCGCCGCTGCCGCCGTCGCCCCCCCAGTCCATCACGGACCTCACCTACTCGCCGCCGCCGTCGCCGACGCTCTCGCCGACGCCGCGCTCGCCGCCGCCGCGCGCGCCCGCGGCGCGCGCGCCGCGGGCGGAGTCCGTCGCGCCGCCGGGGCTGGCCACGAAGAGACACCGCCCACCCCAGCGCACGACGAAGGTGCCGCGCAAGCGGGTGCGCCTCAACCCCGCCGAGGAGCCCGACCCGGTGGCCCTGGCGTGAGGGCGCTTCTCCCTTCCCCGACGTTCCTCTCTCATTCCCCGCCCCTTGATCCCCCGGCCTCCCGTTATCTCTCGGGTAAGGCTTTCGTGTGAATACCGGTTACTTAGCTTGATATCTAGTCGCGTCGACAGCGGCTCGCGGACGTAGCAAGCGCGCAGAGCCGCCCGGGCGAGGCCGCCAGGGGGTCGACGACAGGGGCATAAGTATGTTAAACTACTTATGCCTCGACGTCCCCCGTTGCGCGGCCTCGCACATGATTCGGTGGAAGCACTCATAATCATCCATGGCCTGGATCCGCTCGACGAACTCCGAGTAGTTGTCGTCTTCGAACAGGAAGCCCTCGCCGCCGGCCAAGGCGCACTGCACGTCCTTCATGAAGGCCTCGATCGTCCCATTATTCTTTTTGACCAACGCCTCGAGGATCTCCTCCATGATCTCGTTGTACTCGGCATGAGCGCTCCGCCACCGCTCCGCCTGCTTGATGGGCGTGCCCGCGCCCGTCCGATCCCCATCCAGCGCCGTTTCGAAATCGGCCGCGTGGGCATTGACGAACTGCGTCAGCTCCGATTTCTCCCCGAAGAGGTGCTCGTTCGCGTCGGCGGCCACGTACATGAGCAATTCGTTTTCATCGAAATCCTGCTTCTCCTCGGTCTTCGTCTCGGCGCTCTGAGCACTGCTGGCCGCGCTGTCCATCGACTTGGACTCGGCGCGCGGCATCCTTGCTAGGCAGTGGCAAGGTGCCCTCCCAGGGGTGTGGTGTTATGGCTCGTTACTGCGTCGATGCGCTGCCCCGCGCAGGAATTCTGCGCCTTGGCTCCTGTACGACGGCTGGCAAATGTGTCTGGCGTGCCGCACGTCGCGTGTTCCAGCAGGTGCTCTTTGCAACGCGAGAGTGGCTCTCACGCAGCAACCCCGCACCCATTTTACGACCACAAGCCATCCAGGGAGCCTGTGTGGGAAAGCCTGCGTTGGAACGCCGCGTCCCACGCGTCGCGTCAAACCCGAACCCGAACCCAATTGGCCAAAAGTTTGTGTCATCACCTCATCGATAATAATTGCAAAAGCACTGCCCTTCGTGCGCTGCACGCTCAGGACATCGTTGCTGAGGCTGCCCATTCGAAGACAGCGTCGCCCATCGTTGCTGAGGCTGCCCGACCGGTGCAATAACCACCACGGCTATCCGCCGGCGCAGCGCGCGCCTCATGGCCCGCGAGGCAAGCTACAAGCAAGTGCCCCAGCAGGAGGATGCATCCGAAAAAAAGCCCCACGGCCTGAGCCCCGCCAGAGCTGCGGCGGCGACGGTCCTCTACTGCCTCGCCGGCCCGTCGCTCATCTTCCTGAACAAACACATACTCGTGGAAGTAGAATTTCCCTATGGTTCCGCGTTATCTTTATTGGGTGTGACGATGTCCACCTTGCTCTCGATAATTGCATTGATGCTGGGCTGGTTCCCCTGCGACCAGACTCGGTCGTTGACGCCGCAGACGTACTGCACGCGCGTGCTGCCGATTGGCATCGCGCTCGGGCTGTGTCTGACTACTGGTAATGTGGCCTACCTCTATAACAGTGTAGCATTCATCCAAATACTAAAAGCCTTTGCGCCGGTCGTGTTGTTATTGGTATTATTTGCGGCTAGATTGGAAAAGCCGTCAGCCACGCTCATAGCCTCGATCATGATTATTTCGGGAGGGACCGCAGTAGCTGTGAGGGGGGAAGTGGAGCTTTCCTTGATCGGCGTCGCCTACATGCTCGCGTCCGAATTTTTCGAGGCCGTCAAGCTCGTCATGACGCAAATACTGTTGGTAGATCGGAAATTTGGTTCCGTGGAAGGACTAGCAGTTGTAGGACCGGCAGCAATGGCGGCGTTGTGCGTCTGCACGATTCTGGGAGAGGACTGGCGGGACGCGATGGAGAAGGTCGGGGAACGGCCGCTGCTGTTCCTGGCAGCTTCATTAGGTGGTGTGGTCGTAAACTTGGCCACAAACATGATGGTCGCGGCGACGTCGGCGCTGACTTTGAGGGTTACGTCGCTACTGCGGAACATCGGCATCGTCTTCGTCTCTACCGCTATTCTGAGAGATTCGACCCTCACATTGCTGGAAGGCGTCGGTTTTTGTATTGCGTTGACAGGATTCGTTTTGTATCAGCACGCGCGGCGGAACCCGACGCACTCCTTCGCCGACATCTGGAGAGATCTCACGACGTTCTGCGGGGGACGGTAACCTTACGCAACATAGCCTATTTCACGGGCACGCCGACCCACTTCCGGGGCGGCAGCTCCGCCTCCTCGCCCTCGGCGGCCTCGGGCACCTCGCCGTCCGGCTCGTACGCGCCCTCCTGCGTGATCAAGTCGCCGGTGGCCGTCAGGAAGTTGTACTTGCCCGGCCCGATGGGCTGGCCGTCCTTGGCGAAGGTGCCGACGTAGGACCCGGCGTCCTTGAACTGCCACTCGCCCTCCTTGAACGTGCCGCCCTCCCACGTCCCGTCGAGCTTCGACTTGCACTTGCCGAACTCGTACGTGCCCGCGCCCTCCTTCAAGCCTTCGACGTAGGCGCCCGAATAAATATCGTCCGAGGCCTTGTACTTGTACGTGCCGACCCCATGCATCTTCGACTCCTTCCACTCGCCCGTATACACATCACCATTAGGATAGGTCATGGTCCCGACGCCGTCGCGCTTCCCGTCCTTGTACTCGCCCTCATACGTCGCGGAGACGACCTGTTCTTCCACACCTTCTTCCTCGCTGGCCGCCATCCACGTGTACTTGCCCTGGCCGTGCTTCATCTTCTCATCATTAAACTCTCCTTCATACACGGCGCCGGAGTTGTACGTCACTCGGGCCTTGCCCGCGCGCGCGATCCAGGTGAAGACGCGCTCCTCCTCGGGCGCGTCCTCGGCGCAGTCGAGGTACTCGACCTTGTAATTGGACTCCTCGTCGGCCATGGCTGCCTCTCCCTTTGGCCCTTTGGAACTGGTTGGAGCCGTGCGTCCGGGCTGCCCCGGGTGCCTCTTTTGGCCGCCCTTTTCGGCTGCCTTTTGAGCGCGCCGGACAGGCCGCTGTCCATGTACGCTAGTTACATCTAGGCCTTGTGGCGGGCCTCAGAGGCGCCGATTTGCCCGTCATCTAGTCCTCCAGAGCTCTCGGCGGCGAGTCCGGCCGCTGGAGTCGGAGACGAGCCCGCGCGCGGCACGCGGGGTGCGCAGGCGTACTAGAGGACAGACAACACACACTTAGACACGCGCTCGCTTCGCCGGGACGTCTTCGCCCTCGTCGGCAAGCGCCAATAGCCGCTGGCGCAACCGCAGGGACGCGGCGTCGCCCGCGTCGGCTAAAGACGCCGCCACCGCGTCGACGTTCGAGCCGTCCACGAAATTCGTCGCGATGCCGACCGTCACGCCGTCGTTGTCGACGGCGTGCGGGCAGTCCGACGGCACAAATACAATATCACCAGGTTTCTGGCAGACGACCCAGCGCGGTTGCGCCGCGCCCGCCCTCGCGGCGTCGAACAGCACATCATCGGCGGACACAGCGAACCGTGGGTAGAGGAAGGCCGCGTCCTCGCGCCGCCAGACGCGCCACTTCTTCGCGCCGCCGTGGACGAGGGCCATGGCGAAGTGCAGCGACCCGCTGTCGACGTGGCACGTCGACCGCGTGCCCGGCGCGCCCACGAACAGCGACGGCCACGCGCCGGCGTAGGGCACGTCGTCGCCGCAGCGGCGCAATAAGTCGCCGCGCAGCCACCGCGGCGTCCTCAGTTCGTCGAGGAGCGCCTCCGGCGCGTTCCGCGGCAGCGACCAGTCGTGGAGGTACAGTCCTTCGTCGGGCCGCTCCAGGAAGGCGCCGAGCGGCAGCTGCCCCTTCGTGCCGAGCCCGGCCCAGGACTCGCCGCTCGACGGCGCGTCGGCGGCCTTGAGCGGAGCGCTCTTGGCGCCGAGCGATGCAGCGAGGGCCGCCGGCGCCCAGGCGCCGCGGGCCGCGACGCAGGCGTCGGCGCCGCCCTCGACAAGCACAGGCTCGCCGCGCGCGAGGAACGCGGCGACGGCGGCGGCTGACGCGTCTTTTTCTAGCCGCGGCACTTCCTCGGTCGCGGCTGCCTCGGGCATAGGAGCCGTCGCGCAGTCGCGCAGGTAGCAGGTCCGCCGCCGCCATCGTCGTAAATCGTCGAGGCCGTCGTACTGGTCGCGGCGCTCGGCTATAACCGTGGCGCGGGTCAGCAAGTCGGCGGCCTCCTCAAGCGCATCGCGGCGATCGGCATCGTTCCGTGTCGCGTGTTCGAGCCACAGCGCCAGCGACGCGTCGCGGTCGATGGACGGGCGCTGGCCGCGCAGTTGTTCGATCTCGCTGCGGCAGAGGTCACTCGTGTCCGGATCCTGGCTCGCAGCGATTCGTCCTTCACGGATCTCGCGACGCTTCCAGCGAGCTATGACGGCTTGTGGCAAGTCCATTTAGTTGCTCACTGCCATATGGCCACACGGATGCTTTTCGCAGGCCCTTCTGTACAGGGCAGGAGAAGAGCTACTCAGAAGTGCCTTGCATGCGATAAATAGCTCGCATAGCCGCGAAACGCTTGAGATCTTGGCAACGCGACCTAGCGGACTAAGACACTAGCAAGCAAGCAATAAGCCTCTGTGAAAAAAGGCCGCGTTTACGCCAACGCGTGCCCGCCGTACAGTCACTGGCAAGCAGCGTTTCCTACGCGTCGTCATTGTGCTGTAGGCCAAGCCGCGTCATCGCCGGTGAAGCACAGCCCCAGCTCTGCCGCCTCGCCGCCGCCGCGCCGCGAGCTGCCCGCGCACGAGCCGCCCGCCGCCGCGCGCCGTCCGTGCCACCCGTGTGGGCCGTTCGCCGCGCCGCGCACATTTATCCGCCGCGAGCCGCCGCGAGCCGCGCGCACACCACCCGCTTGCGAGAGCGCGCGTGGGCTGTTAAGCTCGCCGCCGTAGCGCCGCAGCGGGACCAAGATGTCCGCGATGGAGGACAAGGAGGGCGGCGCCGAGGACGAGTTCGCGACGGGCCCCCTCTCTCTCCTATTGCACAGCATGCGCACGAACTCGCAAGTACTGATTAATGTCCGGAACAACCACAAACTGCTCGCGCGGGTCAAGGCGTTTGATAGGCACTGCAACATGGTTTTGGAGAACGTGAAGGAGGTCTGGACCGAGGTCCCGAAGACGGGCAAGGGCAAGAAGAAGGCCAAGCCCGTGAACAAGGAGCGGTACATCTCGAAGATGTTCCTGCGGGGGGACTCCGTGATTTTGGTGTTGCGGAACCCGAACCTCGGGGCCTAAGATTTCTTACGATTATCTACCAAATTCCGCTTGCCGTCCTTCGTGTACCAGCCGATGCCGACCATTTTTCCGGAAGACCACTTGCCCTCGTACTTCGCGCCGCTCACGAAGTCGTAGGCGCCCGGCCCGTGCTTTCGCCCGAACAACCAGTGGCCGTCGTGGACGTCGCCGTTGAAGAGCACTACTCTCTCTTTTTTCGCGGTGCGTTCCTTTTCCTCCGCCTTGGCGACGGTCTCTCCACTCATTTCGGCCAAAGCCTCCGCGGCGTCGGTTCTATTGAGAATAGTGGACGCGACTGCCGAGCGCCCGAGTCCTAGCCGTCGACAATAGCGCTCGGGGAAGAGCTCCACCAGTAACGCCGCCAGAGATGTAGAATCGAGCGGCACGCACAGGGACGACCGGTCGGGCAGCGGCGCCCCCGGGTGCGCCCGCGCGTAGTTCTCGGCCAGGCCCAAAGCCACGACCTCGTGCAGGAAGCTACACGACGCCTGGGCCGTCGACGCGGCCACCGCGGTGAGCATGTCATCAGCGTCTGGGGCCTGGACGCGCGGCGCGAGATCTAATACATATGTCGCGTCGTCTAGTGTTGTCGAGGGTGGCGTGTCCGTCCACTCTACCTTGGCCGAGGCAGCACCAATAGAAACGCCGCCGCCGACAAACGCGGCGCCCGACTGCATGTCCACGGCCGGCTCAAAAGGGAGCCAGCGCGGCGTCGCTGTCATTGTTGATGTACTCTCGAAGAACCTTGATAATAAAGCGTAGGGCACCAAGTCCGTGTCCCTTTTTGCTGCTAAGAGTACAGAACTGAGGGACGCGGCGCATCTCAGTAGTGACACGAAGTAGGCCATCCTATCGTGATTCTCGGGAGGCTGCCAATGACCAAGGGGAGCTCTTGGAATGGGCACGCGCGGCAGCATCTTCTGACACAGTAACTCGCCTCGTTTCGCGACCTCTTGCGCGGCCTGTGATCCGGACCCGGCGTGGATGGCCACGCTCCACGGTATCGAGGCTCTCGCATGCAACGTCCGTCTCCCATCAGTCTCCTCGTCACAGACCTCGAGCACCTCCATCTGGGCCTTGACGTCCGCGCCCGTCGCGTCGCCGTCCCAGGTTCGTTCCCACTCGACCTTCCAGTCCCTTACCGTACTGTCGCCGAACATCTGATCCGACGTCCGGAAGGACTTGTAATTTTGTGAGATGGTCGCGAGGGGGTCCTCGGCGGGTCCTTTTAAGTGGGAAGGCCACTCGCGCTGCGCATTCGGCCCCCAGTCGTAGGTTGCGCACTCCTTCTCAAGAAACGTATCGCGTTCCTCACAATCTAGGAACAAGCCACCATGAGCCGTGCCACCCACGGCCTTCAACGCCACGTCCAATTCGAGGCAGCACCTCCCAATGAGCGTGCCGCGGTAGCACGGATGTAAGGTTGATAACCTTTTGGCGCCCCGGTCGCACGTCGACTCGAGAGATAACCAAGGCAACGCGCCGTAGGCGTAGACGCCGCAGGCTAATTCGGACGCGACGCGATCGATATCTTCCGGTCTTGGTCGGCCGCAGTCCGCAAATGACAATTTCACCGTCGTCGGCCGCGCGTCGCCGGACCGAAATAAACCAGGTAAGGCCACGGCGCCGGTCGAGACGCCCTTGACCTCCTGGCGCATCTTCCGCACCATGGCCTCGGGCGGCATGACGACGCGCGGCGCGCGCGCGTAGGCGCCCTGGCCGTCGACCGGCAGCGCCGCGGGCCCGGGCGGCGGCGGCCGGCGCTTCGCCTGCGCGGCGTTGAGGCCCGCGCCGGCCGCGTGGCCCACGGGGTCCGTCATCTCGCGCAGCACGCGCGCTCGGAACTCCGCATCAGTCTCCGCCTCGCGCGCGGCGTCGGCGCGGCGCTGCTGGGCCTGGCGCTGCTTCAGCTTCTCGGCGAAGGACTGCTCGGACCGCATCGTCGTCCTATCGGCTGCCCATTCGCATTGTCACCGGTTGGCACCGATGGCTGCCCAAGGTTGGGGCAGGAGGATGGCTCCCGGGCGCGACGTCGTCGCCGGGGGCGGGAGGCGTGTTCAAACCGACTACGCGAAGAAAAAGCGGCCAAAATCGAATAGTAGGCTAGTAGGATTACTCAAATCGAGGCCGCTGAGCGCGAGCGGGCAACAGGCATTTGTTGCCCAGAGAACGAACTATGAGGTGAGACCGAGCATACGAAAGCATTGGTGCCCTACCCTCGACGCCGTCGCTCCGACCCCGGAAAGGCTGCCTCGCGCAACACAAGGGGCGCCGCGCGGCTGCTGCCATGGCGCCTTCTTCGCTGGAGAGGAGTGGGCCGCCGCGCGGCCGCAGCGCGCCGTACACGCCGGCCCGCTCGCACCGCGGGGTCCCAACGAGCCCCCTTGACAAAAGCGGCGGCCCCACGCCGCCTTTTTATCAAAACCACGCCCCGCGGAAAAAGGCCGACAAATCCCACACAGGTGTTCCCGGTGCCTCGTCGCCCTCGCGGCGTGCGGTGATGCGCTGTCGCCCTTCCAGATCCTGAAGAGCCCGATCAAGAAGCTGCTCGGCAAGGACGCGGCGGCGCCCGCGACGGGCGCGCCGGACCCGTTCCTCAAGGACTTCTCGCGGCCCATGTCCATCCCGGAAGAGGGCATCGCGGCGGCCGTCGAGGTCATGCGCGGCGGCCGCCTCTTCCGCTACTGCGCGACGTCGGCGGAGACGTCGCACGTCGCCCAGGCCGAGAAGGAGTTCGCCGCGATGGTGAACCAGAAGTACGCGCTCGGCGTCAACTCCTGCTCGTCGGCGATCATGCTCGCGCTCATGGCCGTCGGCGTCGACCCCGGCGACCAAGTGATTACGAACGGCTTCACCTTTACGGCTTTACCGTCGACGATCATGCGCTTGGGCGCGGAGCCGGTCCTCGTGGAAGCCACGAAGTCCTGGACCATGGATTTGGACGACCTCGAGAAGAAGATCGCCGCGTTCCCGGACGCGAAAGTCTTGCTCTTATCGCACATGCGCGGCAAGGTCTGCGACATGGACCGGGTGGTGGAGATCTGCGAGAAGAACGGCATCACGTTGGTGGAGGACTGCGCCCACTCCTGCGGCGTCACGTGGCGGGGCAAGCAGTTGGGGTACCACGCGAAGGTCACGGCCTACTCGACGCAGTCGGACAAGGTCATCAACTCTGGCGAGGGCGGCTTCATCACGACCGACGACGACGAGATCGCGGCCAAGATCATCTACCTCTCGGGCTGCTACGAGCGCCGCTACGGCAAGCACGCCGTGCGGCCGGCCGACGAGCTCTGCGAGGTCGCCATGGCCGAGATGCCGAACCTCTCCTGCCGCATGAACGAGGTCACGGCCGCCGTCATGCGCCCGCTCATCAAGAACCTGCCCCAGCGCGTCGAGGACTACAACCGCCGCTACGACTCCGTCGTCAAAGTACTGAGGGAGGAGGCCGGCGATATTATTGTGGTGCCCACCCAGGATGAAAGAGTGGGCACGGTCGGCGACCACCTGAACTTCTACCTCACGGGCGTCACGGACGAGCAGAACGCGCTCTTCCGGCAGACGTGCGTCGCCATGGGCGTGCCCGTGTCCTGGTTCCAGTCGCAAGTCAACGCGCGGTGGCACGTGAACTGGCGCAAGTACGGCTCGCCGACGTTCGACCTCCCGAACACGGACGAGGTGCTGCGCTTCGCCTACGACCTCAAGATGCCGCCGTACTTCGACGACGCGGACTTCCCGGCCTTCGCGCGAGTGATCGCGTACGCCGCCCGGGTGGCCGCCGGCGACGACGACCTCTGAGCGCGCCAGGGCGGTGCCTGAAGAATTCCTCTCCTCTTGCCGGCCGCCGCTCGCCGACGCCCCCCGTCGACGACCCCCTCTGCCGCCAACCCCGCGAAGTTTTAACATGTTCCGCTCGCAAATTTACTCTTATTATTATCGCACGGGTTTCTTCCTGCTTTTGCGGCTTTTTTGCGGTGCTTGCGTACGGCGGCGGGCGAGCTAGGCCGAAATTATTCGATCAGTGACGATAACGTGCCAGTCGCATTGGCTAGACTGCCTATCTGTGCCACAGCTTCCTGGTAGACAATCATAACCAATCAAGCCAATTGCAGCGGCGCCGAGATCGCCCGCACAATTCAGCCGCGATCGACCGCACAATTCAGCCGCGACGACGACGATGAGGCTCGCCGGCCTCCTGCTAGCGTTGCTGATCCACGGAGGCTCGCCGGTAGAACTCTCGCCGGTAGACAAGGATACATTCCCGCGTTAAAACTCATCGGCGGGATCCTCAACGCGAAGGATTTGGGCATTGACAAGAAGAAGACGTACAAGAAGAAGCACCACCATCATCACGAGTATCGACCTGCGTGGAAATCAACCAGTGAGTTAGTGTTTCGGAGGGAGACGACATCGCGTCGATGGCGTGCGGTGCCTAAAATTTGATTTCCACACAGGGATCCGGTCACAGCCGCGGCCCATACGATCCAGAAATTGTTCAAAGGTAAGCAGTCGCCGGCCACGAGCCAGGTGTCCGCCGAGCTGTCGCCTTACGTCGCCTCCGAACGCTTCCGCAGCGAGGAGTCGCCGCCGCAGAACGTCGTCGTCGCCGCCGTGGCGTATCCCTTCAAGGCCGTGGCAGGGTTGTTTATGCCCGCGCCGCAGCGCCGCCAGTCCGACGGGGACCTCTCACCGATGACGGCGAGCCGACCTGTGAGCCGCGCCAACACCTCGACCACGACTATGCATTCGCCGCCGCCTGCGCCGCGGATGCTCGACGACCACGAGCTCCCGCGGCCACCGATCGCTCGCAACGAACGCGGGCTCGGGAGCACGTGGTACGGCGAGTCCTGAACATACTGTCGTGGCGGCTGATAGTGTATATACTAAGTACTTCTCTTACTTGGAGGACGACGACGACAGCAGGATCAAACGACCCCGAGCTCCTGGAGCAGTGCCGCGTTCGAGTCCAGCAGCTCGGAGAACGCCCCGCGCGCCCGCGGCGTCGGGTCGGCCTCGTCCGGGGACACGACCAACGTCCGCGCCGCTTCGCGCGACGATCGCAACGACGCCTTGGCCGTCGCCGACAACGGCGAGACGTCGGTGCCCCGCAGCTCGCGCGTCAGCGCGTCGCACCGCTTCGTAAGTTCATTCACAATGAGCGACTCGTCCCGCAGCCTCATCATCAGGTCGCGGCGGTCGCTCTCGTTCTTGTCCCGGAGCGCGCCGAGCTCGAGGTTCATCGCCGCTAAAGCTTGTCTGTGTCGTTGCCTCGCTTCTTGGGCGTCGCGGCGGCAGGCGCTCAGCCGCGCCTCGAGCACGCGGATCTCCGCCGACGCGACGGTGGCGTCGCGCGGCGTCGCCTGGAGCGCCTCGGCGAGCGCCTTGTTCTGCGTCGCGAGGGCGAGCAACGCCGCCCGTTGTTTGTCCGTGTCGGCGGGCACGAGCGCCTCGTCCTCCTTCGACGACACGGTGGTGTCGTCGAAGGCGTGGCCGCCGGCCGGGCTCGCCGGCCGCGGCTCCTCGGCGAGCGCCGCGCTCCGGAGCATCTCGTCGGACGACGACCGGTCGCGCGACGACGCCGAGCTGGCCGTGGCGGCGGCGCGGCGGCCGCGCGAGGACGCCGAGTCGGCGCCGGGCGCGGCCACCTCCTCGTCGACGGAGGATACAGAAGGCGAGGCTTTGCGACCACGTGTCGGCGCCGCGGCGGGCGCGGCGCTCTCGGTAGTGGAGACGACCGGGGCCGGTGCTGCCGCCGGCACCAGCGGCGCCTTGGGCGTCTTTGGCGACTTCTTGGGCGAGGCGCGCACGGCGCCGCGGAGTTTACCCCACTTTGACTTCTTCTTCTCGGGCGTCGGCGCCTCGGCCGGGGCCGCCTCCTCTTTGACGGCGGGCGCGGCCCTGCGGCCACGCGCCGGTGGCGCGGGCGCGTCTTCGTCAACGGAGAGGGCTTCGCGACCCCGCGCCGGTGGCGCTGCGGAGGCCCGGGCCGGAGGGTCGCGCGGCCGCGGGGGGAGGCCGGTCGCGCGGCGCGCGGCGCTCTCCGCCGTCTCGGATTCGTCGTCGCCCGCGCTCTCGCGGGACCCGCGCCACTGGCGGAGCCGCGCCTCGGAGGCCGCGTGGGCCCCCTGGCGCCCACGCGCCCGCGCGGATACGACGCCCAGGCGCGCGGCGGCGCCGAGCCCGAGCTTTGGCGCCGGCACCGTTTCGATGGCGGCAGGCGCGGGCGCGGCCCTGCGCGCCACCGGCGCGGGCGATTCATCGGACTCGACGGAGGATACAGAGGCTTTGCGACCACGCGCCGGTGACGCCGGCGTCGCCTCGTCGACGGAGGATACAGAGGGCGAGGCTCGGCGTCCACGTGTCGGCGGCGCGACCGCCTCCTCTTTGACGGCCCTGCGGCCGCGCGCCGGTGGCGCGGCCGCCTCCGCTTCGACGGCAGGCGACGGTCGGAGACGCGCCCAGCGGCCAAAAACAGCAAACGTCGCCCGCGCGTCCGCGGCCGCCGACGCCTGGACGAGCCGGTGCAGCGCGCGGCGGCCGAGGCGCTCCTTGATCCGCGCGCACTCCGCCGCGAGCGCCGCGTGCTCGCGCGCCGGCGCCGCGCCACGCGCATCGTCGAGCGCGGCCTGGAGCTCCCGGGCCTTGGCCTCGGCGGCGTCGACGGCGCGCTTGGCGGAGGCCGCGCGCCGCGCCGCGAGGTCGTCGGCGCGCTTGCGCTCGTCGCGGAGACGCGCCTCGTCGGGCGGCGACGACGCGACGGACGCCGGCTCGCGCGGCTGCGGCCCGGCGTCCGGCGACGACGCCACCGAGGCGCGCGACGGCGGCCGCGACGGCGGCGCCGGCGGCCCGGCCTGCAGCGCGGCGGCCATGATGCGCCGCCGCTCGGCGGCCGGCGTCGCCGCCGGGCCGGCCTCGTCGCCGCGCGGCGGCGCGGCGGCGGGCGACGGCCGCGGCGCCGAGCGCGGCGGCCCCGCAATGCCCCGCGCCACGAGGACGGCTCGTGCGGCGGTCCGCAGCCGACGCGAGGCCGACGGCGCCGGGGCCGCGGGCGTCTGCGATGCGGCAGGGGGCCGCGGCGCGCCGCCGCCGGGCGCGAGGCGCCGGGCACGCGCGCCGACGGGAGCTGCGGCGCCAGGAACGACGGCCAGCGCCGCGCCGGGCGCGACGGTCGCCGCCGCGGCGATGGACCCGTCGGCGAGCGCGACGACGCGCCCGGCCGGCATGGCCTGGCCGTTCGCGAGCAGCGTGCCGGCGGGCACCTGCGAGGCCGGCGCGACGCTGCCGTCGGCGAGGGCGACGACCGGCTCCGGGGGTAAGGCCGCGCCGGCCCCGAGCCCCGGCGCTGTAGCCCTCTGCGCGCGCGCCTCGATGGCGTCGACCGCGGCCGGCACGGCCTGCTGGCCCCGGGCCCGCGCGGCCGCGGCGCCCGACGGCGGTCCGGCATCGTGGCCTCGCCCGGGGCCGAGCGTCGGTTCAGCGGCCGCCTTCCGACCGGTCGGCGCAGGCTCGACGACGGCAGGCGCCGGATCCCCGCGGCCTCGCGCCGCGGCGGCGCTCAGGCGGGCGGCGACGCCGAACCCGAGCTTCGGCCCAGTGCGTGACCGGGCGGCGCCCGGCGCCGGCGACACGCGGCCGGTGCGCCGCGGCGGCGGCGGCGGCGGCGGCCCCTCCGGCTCTTCCGGAGCGTCGCGGATCGCCCCCAGCAGGACCCCGAGGTCCTTCCCCGCCACCGGCGGCAGGCCGCAGACCGCCGCCGCGCTTCCCAAATCGCCGGAGTTGCCGCCGTCGGCCGCGACGCGGAACTGCGCGAGGGCGATGCGCCGCGCGTGGCGCGCGCCGGGGTCCGACGCCTCGTCGCACGCATCCAATTGATCTAAGGCCCGCAGCACGCCCGGGACCGTGGCCTTGGCGTTCGCCAGCTCGCGCGGCACCTCGTCCTTCGTGGTGAGCCCCATGGCCGCGGCACCATCCACCACAGCGGCCCAGCGCTCTTCCAAACCGGTCTCGATACCCGTACCAGGTGCACTGGGAGGCGCCCCGAAGGCCTTCATGATGTCGCGCGACAGATTTTGCAACGCAACGTCCATCTCACCAGGATCGCCCGCCGCCTTCAACGCCGCCTCCGCATCGCCCAACGCCGCGTCGACCTTCTGGTTCAGGATCAGTCGCGCGCGCCGCTCCGCGAGGGCCCTATGTTCATGATACTCCGCTCGATCTTCGGCAGCTCTTACCTCCGTCTCCAGCAGCACGCGCTCGTCGGGCGCCGCTTTATTACGATTCGCGAGGGCCCGCTGCTTGCGCTGCGACGATTTGAGCTCCTCGCGCAGGCGCGTCGCATCGTCGCCTAGGGCCGCTGCTCTCTCCCGGACGCCGACTAATCGTTTCCTCGTCTGGTCTAGAGCTTTGTTGCAGGACTTCTGCTGTTGCGCGTGGGCCTTTGATCGCTTCTCCAGAATTTGCTTCGCTTTGGCCGTGGTCGAAGCCGCCTGTCGCATTTCAGCCTGGAGCTCCCTCATTTTTGATTCGGCATCATCGACGCGGGCGCGCTCCCGTCGTAACTGCGCGTGCAACTCGCGCCGTTCCCTAGCAAACGTCGCCTCGACCTTTTGGATTTTCGCCTCGGCCTCTTCATGAACACGTTTGCGTTCGCTCGCGTCGTGCTCGCGCCGCCTCTTCTCATACTGCTCCCTTCGTACCAATTCGGTCTCGTGGGCGTGGGCCTTGACGACGGCCTTGACCAAGGCTTCTTCCAGTTGATTCCGTGACGATGAGAAGGGCTGCTTTTTCGTGACCCAGTCACAAAGTTGGGAGAGCGCGCGCGTGTGGTCGAACGCTGTGAGCACCCCCGTACTGAGCGCGAGGGCCCGGACCCGAAACTGGCGGAACCGCGTCTTCAAGCGCGCGTTGGCCACGGCATCTAAGCGGTTCAGCGCCTCGGTCCTATACAGCTTCACAGCCTCGGGGTCGACTTTGATCAACCGCGGGCTGTGGGCGTCGGGCTCGTCGTCCGCGCGCGGGCGCCGGTCCCGCGGCGCGAGGCGCTTCTTGCCGGCCGCCTTCGGCTGCTGCCCGGGGGGGCGCTTCTTGGTTTTCAGGCGCGGGCCCATCCTGCCGCTACGAAGCCGCTTCGGCACCACTGGTAGTGCGGCACTGGGGGGCTGCCTGGGGGCCGCGCTGGGGGCTGCCGCTGCTTGCGGCGGACGTTGCGGCGTTGCTCCGTCGCTGCGGCGCGTAACAGTTGCGCACCGTCGCGCCGCGCCGCTCGTTTTTGGCACCCAGCTTCGCAATCAACTGGCAATTTTACGGGATGAACGGGCAGCCTGGGAGCGCTCGTCTGGTCCTTTGAGGGCTCGCATAGCTCTCCAGACACGTCCGTGTAGATATACGTAATGCACTCTAGTGTCTTACAAGCCGCTAGCTACACTCAGCTCGAGACTAGCTCGAGCCGGCTTTTTTGGCCCTAACGCTGCGCTTGACAGCATAACTGGGTTGAGGTGCGCTTATATAGCTGCCACAAATTCTGCGACCAGCTGTGCGGTCGCAACCCACTGATTTTGGACCTGTGCATTGAGACCTCCAAGGAGCCAGGCGAAGCCATCGAGCCAGCGCGCGCGGAACAATCACAGTTAATAGAGCCATGGCGCCCACCCAAAAGGACCGCAAGACGCCGCAGACCGCCGACGAGTGGAAGGCGGCCATCGAGAACGCCAAGTGGGAGAAGGGCGACCTGGCGCGGGGCTTCATGGAGAATTTGTTGGGCGAGCGGCGCGACACGAGCAAGGACGCGCCCATTCCCTTGCCGGACTTCCTGAAGAAGCCCCAACCAGACCAGCCGCCGGAGCCTCCACGACGGGACCCGGTCACGGGCAAGACTATTGGAGAGATCGCCGTCGAGAAGGCCGCTGCTTTATATGACGCGGGCCACAAGCCCCTGTTGATGGTCGGGAGGAAGGACCCCTGGCTGCAGCCCCAACCGACACCTGCCTTGAATGACGTTTCTGCCTCCGACGGGTCCTACGAGTTCTCGCACTGTAGGGATTGTGTGGTGGGGCCGTGGGCCGGGAGCTGGGCGGCCGTCTGTCGAGGTGGTTTGTACGAGGCGATCCCGAAGGCCTGCACGCATCGGGTGGTCGTGGACCCTCGCTGTTCTCGACTTATTCTCATCCTCGTCGACGGGACGCGGTCCGAGGGCGCGCCGAGGCGGGCCGAGGCGTGCGTCCAAAAGCTTGAAGGGAGACTGGCGAAGCTCCCGTCACAGAGAGCCGAGGTCGAAGACGTGAAGGCGGCCTTCAGGGGCCTCAACAAGGACAAGTGCCGCCCGGCCTGCGTCATTATTGAGGCGTCGGGCCGCGTTTTGGTAGCACACACGGGCAAGACGCGCGCCGCTGTAAGTGTAGACGGGTCCTTTACGTTCGTCACGCCGCCGCGCGAGGAGGGCGAGCTGTCGTCGGGCGGCAACCATCATATAGATGTGGACGTGCTCGGAGGGCCCATGGGCGAGCGCATGCGCATCGCGCTGTTTTCGAGGGTGCTCGCGGAGCACGTGCCTGTAGGTGACGTGTTGCCGGCGGAGACCGAGGAGGTCGCGGCGGCTGATGTGTTGGAGGGCCGCGCGCACGACTGTTGCCGCGTCTGCGAGCACAGGTCCTGGGAAAACGATAGAGAGGACTGCGGCATGCTCGACTGCATGTCGTTGCTGCTCGTTGATATTCGAAGGAGGCGGAAGTGTGACGTCGCGCCAGCGGTGGACAGCGACTCGGATACGACGGAATCTTAATTGTTGTAATTTTTTACTCGAAACCTACACAGAGAGCAGCTCGACCGTCCGGCTGATGTAGACCTCCCGCTCCCCGTTTGCGCTGCCCGAGCTGTCCTCGTGGGCCTGCAGGAACTCTGCGACGTTCGCGACGACGGCGTCCTTGCCGCTCTCATCTTGCGCGTGGAACTCAATCTCCCCCCGCGCCGGGAGGCCCTCCGCAGTGCCCCACGTATCTGTCTTCACGTCATAAGTAAAGTAAACGTCGGCGAGCTCAGTTCCTTTGTTTGTGCGTTCTTTTTCAACGTAGAACGTGCCCTGGACGACGACGCCTTTCACTATCGCGCGGCTTTCAGGCATGTCGGCGCAGGCGCGCCACGTATCGGTCCACGCGTCGTAGAGCTCGGCCGTCGCGGTCGCGGTCGCGGGGGCAGCGGGCGCCGCGCCGGGGGCCCGGGCGTTGATACCGCCGGCGACGATCAAATAGCGGTCGTCGATCACGCCGTGGGCGGCCGTCTCGCGGTCGCGTCCCCGAGTGAGCGCATCGTCCGTGTGCGTCCAAGCCGCCCGCCGGCGGCCGAGGTAGCCCCCGCGGCCCAGGTCGGCGACGGCCAAGGTCTCCATCGATCGGTGCCGCGGGCCCTGCAGCTCGCCGTTTTGCGAGTAGCCACCGACGGCGACGACGACGCGCGAGCCGTCGCTGCGCGTGAGCACCGCGACGATCGGGTCGCGCCGCCCATCTCGCAGGCTCGGCAACGCCTTGGGCGCCGCCCGGCCCTCACGGAGGAGCTCGGCCGACCGCAGCAGGCCGGTCCGACCCTCGCCACCGACGGCGAGGAAATGCGCGTCGCCCACGCACGCGATGCCGGCGTAGGCGCGGCCGGTCCGCAGCCGCGGCAGCACCCGCCAATCGCCCTCCGTGAGGCCGAGACCGGCTTCGATTTCGAGGCAGTCCTTACCTACCTCCGTCGCGCAGCCGGCGCGGGCGTAGACGCGGTCCCGCGCGTTCTCGTACCAGCCCGCGGCGACTGTGTCGCCCGTCATGATCGGTTGCGCGTCTGCGCGGCCGCACCCGCCGACGCAAATCAACCACGTGTGGCGCGTCTGCGCCCGCGCCCGCGCGACCGTGACGGCGCCGGTTGAGACCAGGCGCCCGAAGCGCTTGCACACGCTCCCGGCGTTTCCGAAGCCGTCCGCCGACGACAGCGCCAAGACCGCGCACGCGACCTCGTCCGGCAGAGATGACCAGCCGGTTGGCGGCGGCGGCGCGCTGCGGTTACGACGCGTTTTCATCTTTGCTCTTCAACTGGTAGTGGACACACAGACAGACGCTGCGCGCCGAGAATTCGTCCTGTGGCAGTGAATGCAAGCGCTGCGTACGCTCGTTTGCCGCCGTGCGTGAGCGCTGCGGCGTATTCAAGCAAAGGACAAGGCACTTTTTGACCTGCTAGCGTGCCTGTAAGACACTAGCAAGCAAGGAAAGGGCTGTTCGTAGCAAAGGGAACGCTCCCGCCGCGAGGACGAGTAGCTGCGAGCCTTTCGAGGACAGCGCGATTTCAATTCTATGCAAATCAGGTGCTGAGTAATTACTGGCGCGCGGGCTGCCTCGCATCGACACTTGAAAAGGCAGGGCTGCCTCGTCAGAGATGGCCGCCGACTGGCAGCCCCGCAGGGCCAACGCCTGGTCTCCGAAAGATGACTACCCCCTCAAATTGCAGCTAGGATTACCGAGAGTGGCCAAGGAGTGGAGCAACTCCTGCGCCGCCGCGGACAAGACCTGCAAGCGAGCACTCCAAGTCAGGGTCTGGGTGCGGATCACGCAGATTTTGAATGTTGGTCGACCGATGAACACGTTTCGCTGCGCCTTCGACCTGACCCTCGAATGGGAAGATCAGACGTTCAAACCGGTCATCAGCAACGACGTGCCCTTCGACCAGGTCGACTGGGCGCGCCACTGGCGGCCGCGCTGGTCCCTGGCCAATCTGGCCTCCGAGATGCATGTAGAACCGCTGTCGTCGTCGTGCTTCACGCTGCATCCGGACCCTGACACGTTGAAGCCTCGAGTACGGCTCACACAGCGCGTGGCCGGGACGTTCTTCGAACCTTTCAGTCTGAGAAGATTTCCGTTCGACGTCCAATCGCTAACAATTGCGATCTCCTGCGACGAGCCGCAGTCCTCGGTAGCGTTCGTCGACGCGATGGAATCCACATTAGATGCGGGGCCTTTTAGTCCACGCTTGGCGGAGTGGCTCCTACTGCGAAGGGACACGGGCTTACAAGCGAACCTACCGTTGGACCAGCGGACGCCGTTCACGAAGACAATAACCCAGATGGACGGCTCGCGGGCCTTTCCCTTTTCTGTCTTCGTGGCGCGGATGCCCGTGAAAAGAAAAACAGGATACTACCTCACGAATATCATACCCATCTACTTCATCATTGTCGTGTACGGTTGGCTGGCCTTCGGGAACCTACCGGACCAAGACAACCAGGACCAACTGAATTTTTTAGCTTCATTGTTATTAACGATGGTCTCATTCAAGTTTACGTACCGAGAAACGCTACCCAAAGTCCACTACCTCACGCTGATGGACTGGTACGTCTACGCTTCAGTGGTTATGCTTGGCCTACAAGGTGTTATTCATGTCTGGGCCAAACATAGTACACATAGTCAGAAGCGACCGCGGGAGCTGTATGGTTTAGTACTACTCGTGTGTCTGTGGTTCTTCATCCACGGCGGCATCATTCTCTATGCCTACCGGTTCTTCTCGTATTTGACGGAGCTCGGGCCCACGGAACTGCGCGACTACATCGACACGTTTCGCAAGTCGGACCACGGCATCGAGACGCAGAACGAGAATAACTACCGCACCCATATCGGCGGCCGCAAGCCGTCGGTGCCTTCGATAAGTTTCATGGCCGCGCCGCACCTGACCGGCGCGCGGCTCCCGACGGTGACCGCGGCGCAGATGCAGCGCGAGGGCTCGGTGCTGAACAGCCCCGAGATCGGCTCGCTCTTCTCCGGCGATGAAGATGTGGGTTCACCTGAGACGAAGGCGGAGTGCTAAGGCTTTCTAAGTCGTTTCTTTCTACTTGGTGTTAGGTCGCGCCCCGCGGCTCCCGCGCGACGGGTCCGCGGGCGCGCGCCGTCCGGCCGGGTCGCGGCGGTGGCGTATATGAGTTCCACGCCCTCGCGGCGACGCCGCTAGTGGCCCGTAAGACACTAGAAAAACCAAAGACCTGGGGCAAGTCGCCGCGGCGGAATCTCGCGCGACACCGGCTCAACAGCGCACCGACGCGCCCAGCAGCTCTGCGGCGAGGGCCCCAAGCTGCCCCACCCACCAACAAGCAGCCCAGGCAAACAGCCCCGGACCTGTCCCAACAACAGCTCCGCCACAAGCAGCCCAAAAGCTGCCCGCAAGGCGCCCGCCCCAACAGCAGCCCCGGAGCAAGCGCCCAGTACAACAGGCCCCATGGAAGAGGAAATGGACAAAGGGCGTATGGCGGAGGAACTCGAGATGGGCGCCGCGCCCGCGAACTGGCCGAGCCCCCGCGACTTGGACGACCTCATGGCCGACCGCGAGGTCGCGAACCTCCAATCCTTGCTCAAGGCGAACGGCCAGACGTCGATGCAGCAGTGGCTCCAAGTAGATCCGTCCCAAGGCCTCTCCAGCGATATCGAGAAGCGCCGAACAATTTATGGAAGGAACGCCTTCGACGCGAAGCCGCCCACCTCCTTCTTCGCATTCTGGTGGGACGCGATGCATGATGGGGCGATCATCGTTTTATCTGTCATGGCCGTCGTTACTATTTTAGTATGGCTCTTCGTCGAAACTCCTAAATGTGTTCCCAATGGCTATTTGGAACCCGTCGCTCTCGTGTTTTCCATCTCAGTTATTACATTAACAACAGCTGGAATAGATTTCAGCAAGGAGCGGATGTTCGCCGCCTTATCGGATCAATTGGATGCGTCCAATAAAAAATTCGTGCTGCGGAATGGACAAACGTTGGAACTGCCGGACGCGGAGATCGTCGTCGGTGACATCGTTACGTTTAATGCTCATAATGCGGCGTCGGTGCCCGCGGACGGCGTCCTCGTAGCTGGTTCGGGCGTGAAGATGGACGAGGCCGCTCTCAACGGCGAGCCCGAGCCCGCCGAGAAGAGCGCCGAGAAGCCTTTTATATTATCTGGCACGGTCTGTACGTCTGGTTCTGGCAAATTGTTAGTGTTAGCGGTAGGAACACATAGTGTATCAGGTAAGATCAAGGCCGCGGTCTACGGCGAGGCCGAGGAGGAAGGCGGGTCCCCGCTCTTCGACAAGCTCGACAAGATGTCCCTGAAGATCGGCAAGGCGGGCATGTACCCGCGTCTCGCTATCTCGGCACCGCGGCCATGTTTTCGGCCCAAACTCGGACACGACGTCTCTCTGATACAATCGACCGAGTTGAGCGAGCAGAACTTCTCTCAGACCACGAGAGACCACGAATTGAAGGGCGCTTGAACTTTGATTTCCACACAGGCATGTTCGTCGCGACGGTCGTTTTTCTTGTGATGACGATCGTGGGTGTTTTTATCAAGGGCGGCCCGGCGCGCGAGATCGTGCACTACATCGTCCAGGCCATTACTATTCTTGCGGTTGCGGTTCCCGAGGGTCTGCCGTTGGCCGTTACGCTGTCCCTGGCGTTTTCGTCGTCGAAGATGAGTCTGGATAATAATCTCGTGAAGACCTTGAAGGCCTGCGAGACCATGGGTTCTGCTACGACGATCTGTTCGGATAAGACGGGAACATTGACCGCGAACCGGATGACCGTGCGAGGTGCCGTGGTGTGCGGGGTCGTGAAGCCAGCCTTGGACCCTAGGATCGATACCGCCGAGTCGAGGAAGTCCGTCGGTCAACGACTAAGAGCAGATAAGAATATACCGAATGAAGCGCTGGAAGAGTTGGGAAGACTCATCAGCGTGGACACGATGGACGAGAGCGCCGTGGTCTTTGAAAATGGCGACAATGCGCCGCCGGCGTTCAAGGGCAACCCCACCGAATGCGCGTTGCTCGAACTTTGCAGGACCCTATCGATCGACTGGCGTGGGATTAGGGACTCAGCAATTGGTCGGAGTGATGCCACTCGTTCGCAGGGCCACCCGTTCATGTTCTCGTCAGCGCGCAAGCTCATGAGCTGGGCCGTGCCTCGGGAGCGGGGCTATCGGGTCTACGTCAAGGGCGCGGCCGAGATTGTTTTGTCAAGATGCGCCTGGGAGGTGTCTTCCACGAACCGTGTTCAAAAACTGAAGGACGAGCGGAGGGAGTCTTTTTATGTGAACGACGTCGTCAAGTCCTTCGCCGCCAGCGCGATGCGGACCATCGCGCTGGCCTACAAAGATTTCGACCGTCTGCCCCAAGATTGGAGTCAAACGACTGATGAGGTAAAAAATGCGGACGGGACCGACGCCTTCGTGGCGGAGACGGAGCTCGTGTTGATGGGCATCGTCGGCATAGAAGACCCCTTGCGAGATGAGGTTCCTCCCGCAATTAATCGGTGCTACGGCGCCGGGATTGATGTGCGCATGTGCACGGGCGACAACCTGGCGACGGCCGTCGCTATCGCGTCGAGATGCGGCATCCTGCGGAAGGAGCACTATAAACATGGTAGGATGTCGCCGCACGTCTCCGACTTGTTGAAGGATCGGGCCATGACGGGCAAGGAGTTTCGCAAGCGGGTCCATAATAGTGAAGGCGTCTTCGTGCAGGCGGCCTTCGACGAGATCTGGCCTCGACTCAGGGTCATGGCGCGGTGTGATCCCGACGATAAACATACATTAGCACATGGTCTCAATAAATCACTGCTCTTCCAGGACACGGAGACGTGCGCTGCCCTCAAAGAGGAGGGCATCACGATCTTTCCCGACCGCCAGGTCGTCGCCATGACCGGCGACGGGACCAACGACGCGCCGGCGCTGAAAAGAGCGGATGTTGGCTTCGCCATGGGCATCTCGGGCACGCAGATCGCCAAGGACGCGGCGGACATTATTCTGTTAGATGACAACTTCGCGTCCATCGTCACGGCGGCCAAGTGGGGGCGCAACGTCTACGATTCGGTGTGCAAGTTCCTGCAGTTCCAGCTTACTGTCAATATTGCCGCTATCTCCGTCGCGGTCGTCGGGGCTTTTAGATACCAGGAATCGCCCATAGCGGCGGTCCAGATGCTCTGGATCAACCTGATCATGGACTCTTTGGCTTCTCTCGCATTAGCGACGGAGCCGCCCGACGACGCGTTGCTCGATCGACCGCCCGTCAATAGATCGGATTCCATCATCTCAGAACAGATGTGGTACAACATGGTCGGCCACGCGGCCTACCAAGTCGTCGTCATGATGCTCTTGTATTATGATTTAGGTGCTTCCCTATTAGATACGGAGCCGAACGGGACGCCCCACCACGGGAAATGTGGCGGTGTTACCGTGTACTCGAAGCACCATTCCGCATTATTCAACTGCTTCGTCATGATGACGCTGTTCAACGAGATCAACTGCCGGAAGTTGCGGGGCGAGTGGAACGTCTTTGCAGGATTGTTCAAGAACCCCTACTTTGGTTCGATATGGGTGCTTACCATGGTGATTCAGATCATTGGTGTCCAGTTTGGAGGGGCCGCAATCGCCGTGCACAAGGACGGCATCACGTCGCGCCAGTGGCTCGTCTGCGTCTGCTTCGGGGCCGGCGAGTTGGTCTGGCAGCAGGTGATAAACGTCGTGCACATGCTCACGAAGGGCGGCGACGAACAGGTCGGAGAGAAGGGTTATAGAGATGCCGGCATCCTGAAGATCGGGTCCGGGCGTGTCGCGCTGCCGGAGACGGTGCGGTCCGCCTCGTCGCGGTCGAACGAGTCGTCGCAGCGCGACTTATCATTAAGGCGCCGCGCGTCGTCGAAGAAGGGGCTGTCGGCGCGGGAGCCGTCCACTACTCCTCGCATGGTCGCGTCGGAGAAGGTCTAGGTCGTTCTTGCCCCCGGCCTAAGGTTTCGCTCTATGGGAAGTAGCTATAGTCAATTCGGGTTGCGGGGGCGCGCGCCTAGAGGGGTGACGGGGGAGCTATCCCCCGCGAGCGTGTACAAGCTCTCGTGATTTTTTTGCGTCACGGGTTTTCGCCAAAGACTTCATTGATTCCTGGGTTTCGTCGGTCTGGAGCGTACGCGCGTCATCGGAGCGGTTTCTAGCAACAGTTTGACGCGACGGGGAATCGTTTGAGCGCGTGTAGTGCCCCAGGGAAAGTCAGGCACAGCTGGGATCATATAACGCTTGCGCCACGCTTGCGCCCCACAGCTTGCGCCAGAAGCACGTTGTCCGTGACCATTAATACTCTCCGCACGTTGACAGCCGACGATGATCGCGCAGCTCGCCCTCGCGGCGCTCGCGACGGGAACGGCGCGCGCCGCAAGTCTGCCGAGCCCGCAGGGTGCGTTCTCCTACAACTACACGACGGAGGCGCCGAGCGCGGCGCCGACCTACGGAGAAGGTGCACGGTCCGGTCACGCGCGCGTTTTTCGCCTGGACTCAGCGCCAGTTCGCGACGCCGTGAGGCCCTTCCCCCTTCCCCCTTCCTTCCCTGTCCCGTCCCCGTCCCATCCTTCCCGTCCCGTAACATAGATCGATCCCAAGCGGGGCTAGCGTCTCTAGACACTCTAGAAAGCTAGCCGAGCAAGCGCCGCCGCGGCTTATACGCGCCGCTAGCGCACGTATAGCCTTTTCCACGCGCGTGGGCTGCAGCCCTGTCTGATCGCTGAGCGAGCACACGCTGCGCCGCGCCGCCGCTGAAGCCACCCAAAAAGAGGTCAGCTGCGCCCTCGCGCCGCGCCGCGCACGCCGCCGACGCCGCGCGCCGCCGACGCAATGGCGGCCACGGCCCCCCAAACACCGCTCCTCCTCGACCCCTCCATCCGCGACTGGGTCGTGCTCCCGATGGTGGCCATCATGGTGCTCATGAATTTGATGCGCCACTACGCGCAGCAGGCCATGAAGGACTCGAAGCCCATCGACGCGACGGAGATGCAGCAGAAGCAACTATTATCACGAGCTGCTAGAATAAGGACGCGGGGCTCGCGCTTGCTCCCGTCCGAATCATTTAATGCCAGAAAAGCCTACTTCGTCGACAAGGACAAAGGTTTGTTAGCAAAGAAGCCCAAGAAAGCCACAAAAAAACCGATGGACCCCATGGCCATGATGGACGGCATGAAAGGAAATATGTTATATATGGTGCCGAACATGCTGATGATGACGGTGATTAGCTTCTTCTTCTCGGGTTTCGTGCTCGTGAAGGTGCCGTTCCCCGTGACGCAGCGCTTCAAGCAGATGCTGCAGCGAGGGGTCGATCTGGCGACGCTGGATACGTCGTACGTATCATCGTTGTCGTGGTATTTTTTACTGATGTTTGGACTGCGAGGTTTTTTGCGAGTCGTATTGGGCGAGGACCCTGATGCGATGGACGCCAATAGAGAGATGCAGATGCAGATGGGCATGGGCATGGGCGGCGGCGGGCCGCAAGGGTTTGATGCTGCTCCTGCGTATAAACACGAGAGGGAGGAGCTGCAGATGGCGCAGCACTCCTGGGTCTTGGAGGATGCGGAGCTGCAGCTGTGCGGGGCCGCCGTGGCGGCGCGCGTGCAGAACGCGGCGCTGGGCGCTCGTCCCGTGAAGAAGGCGGGCGCGCGCGTGAAGAAGGTCCGGCGCGTGAAGAAGTGAGGGTGTGCATAACTTATCTAGAGTATTAGCTTCGCGTCGATGGCGTCGAGGGCGGCGCGACGTCTGCTTCGGCCGGCCAGAACGAGAGGACGTGCCAGGCCATCTCGTTGGGCAGACGCGCGACGGCGGCGAGCAAGGCGTCGGGTTCGGCGCGTTCGCGGAGTGCAAGCGATCGGAGCCGTAGAAATGCCCTTCGCGGCAGCATGTATCTCCGGCGCCGCTCGTCGGCGATCAGCTTCTTGCACGCGACGAACTTTTCCTTCGTTGCATCGGTCGGTGGTCTTGTGCTACTATATGCGGCGTGGTACTCCGGAAATGCACTTGGATCCTCGATTTGTCGCAGACACTCCTCGGCGCTCCGCCCGCCCCAGCAGCCGTCCAGTTTCGCGCCACGGCGCAGGAGCAGAGAGACATAGGCGAGTCCTGTTTCTGCCATGTCAATTCTGTCGTATCGAAGCCAGTCAATCGCGTTGGAGAGAGCCGTCTCGCCGGCCATGTAGACACCTTCAATCGTAGCCGTAGTCCGTGTGTCAATGCTTGCACCAGCGTCCAGGAGCATGGTCGCCGCTTCCAGCCCGAATTCCTCATCGGATGAGCCGATTGCAGTGTATAGTGGATGGTCCCCGTCCATGTCCCCGGGTTTATTCACGTCGGCGCCGTGGGCGATTGCAAATTTCACGGTTTCGAGGTTATCAAATACTAAGCTCAAATTCAAGATGGTGCATCCGTCCTCGTCGACGTCGTTGATGTCTCCGCCATTTTCAAGCCAGTCTCTTATCGTTTCCACCTGGTCGCTGGCGTCGGGCTCGCGCGTCGCGGCTTCGACTATATAGCCGGGCAAGACCATCGTTTTATGCTGGCCCCGGGTGGGTTGTCTGGGACCCTGTAGAGATGCCCTACGGAGAGTAGTTCCACGGACTACAGCGATTGAAAGTCTTGGCGGGCGCTTGCGCTTATGAATTTTAATCGTTGGCGTGGCCGGGCGCGCAAAACTCGACCTGTAAAACCCGTTTTGTCAGCTCAAAATACAACGAGCTGGGCAGAACAGGCACAGCTAGACGCCATCGACGCGACCCAAAAGGCCATTGCAAGATACCCATGGCCGTTGGACTCGGATCTATCTATCCACCTTACGCCGCAACACGAGGCGCGGCGTCTCCCCAGCGTCGACCGCAGCAGCAGCAACAGCACGTGCCTCAGACAGACTCTTCCGCTGGATGTGCAGCTGCCCGCACGCCGCGGTTTTATCATCCCCTCTGGTCACCCGTAACGCCACATGCACTCTAGGCTCGACTTCACGAATCGCGTCCCGGAACAGCTCCAGAGCGTCGTCCGACGGTCTCAGGAAATCAGGAGCGTGGTCCGTAGGATTCACGGGAATCAGATCCACGTTCACTTTTTGCGCCACGTCCACGATCGGAGACACGAACGCCGCGAGCCTCCGCGCGTCTTCTGGCGAGTCGTTGACGCCCGCGATGAGCGTAGCCGCGAGCATGAGCGTGCGCTGCCGCGCCGGTCGCGGTTTCAACGCGTCGAGTAACCCGGCGCGCAGCTCGTCCACCGTATACTTCGCCGACGGAACCAACTGCTTCCGCAACGCGTCGTCCGCGGCGTGCACGGACCAGGCGAGCATGCCGTCCGCATCTGACAATTCCCGGAAGCAGTCCGGCGACGGTCCTACGGTGCTAATCGTGATCTTGGACCGGGCCATGCGGAACTTCTCGCCGTCGATCAACGACGTCGCCGCGAGCTTGACATTAATGGCGTTGCGGCCGGCGTCGCCCATGCCCATGAACACGATATTTGTTAATGGAGGCATTCTCGTGGACTGCGCCGCGACGCGGCTCGCGATGACGAACTGCGCGAGGATCTCGTCCGGCGTGAGGTTGCGCACGAGGCCCATTCTAGCTGTGGCACAGAACCTACACCCTTGGTCGCAACCGACTTGAGACGAGATGCATAATGTGGTCCTCGGGAGATGGGCATGCGGTATTAAAACAGCCTCGACGGCCAACCCGTCGGCCAGCCGCACGAGTAGCTTCGTCGTGCCGTCGGCCGCCTCGTCTTTGTGTTCTAGACAAGCTGGGACGAACGCCGTCAGGCCGCTCGCCTCCAAGACGCGTCTAGCGCCAACCGTCGTCGGCGCGTCCGCATCCAACGGCTCCTGGCCACTTCGTACGGCGTCCCAGATGGACCGCGCGCGGCCCGTGCCTCCCACTAGTTCACTGAGCTCGGCGAACGGCAGCGCTAGTGTTTGTGTTGAGGCCGTGGCCAGCTTCGGTGGCTTGAGCGTGGCGGTGCTTAGAGCGCTTGTATCGTGGAGTAATAATGCGAGGACGAGGGCACGCATGGTGGTCCTTGGTTCACTGCAGCAGCAAGTGGCAGCAGCGCTGTATGGGCCTTTGCGCTCGTTTTCCGGCCTTGCCACTCCCGCAGCAGCAGCAGCACAGTGCGATAGTTAGCGCTTGGAGGTCTGGGGCTTATCGGCGGCGCGTGTACGGCAAGCGCTGGGACTTCAGCTGAACATGGCTGAGTGCCTGCTTGCTAGAGCCTTACAGGCCGCTAGCGCGCCGCGCGCTCTTTCTCCTTTGCACCCGTCCTTTAAGCCCTTTTACGCGTCCCAGACTCCTTCTTGGTACGTTTGCGTGGTGGACCTCGCGAGCCCGAAGGCCGTGGCGTCACAGCTTAAACCAAAGCTGATTGTCCACACCAGCGTCTACCTTTTTGCATCATCGAATCGCTTCGTGGTCGTGCGCTGTCAAACGCGTCGCAGCCGCGAAATTCTGCAGCGACGTCGCATTTTCACGGAGATCACAAGCACCGGAGAGCGCAGCCAAAGATCCAAGGCGCGACACCGATCACGAGAGCAAAGACAAGGCGCCACAGCACGCCAGCGACGCATCCTTAACACAGGTCAAAGAATGGCTAAAGCCGCGACCATGTTCCTGCTGGCCGGCGCCGCGCGCGCGCTCCGCGGCCACCGCCTCCACCACTTAGCAAGACCTTCTAGAACGGTCATGTCCGCGGCGACGCTCGACCGCACGACCCCCACCAAACTCCAAGACGCCGAAAGTTTCCTCAAGGACATCGACGTCTTCATTTTTGATTGTGACGGCGTGATCTGGAAGGGCGATTCATTGATCGACAAGGTCCCGTCCGTCTTGGAATTACTGAGAAAGCTCGGAAAAAAAATCTTCTTCGTGACGAACAACTCGACCAAGTCCCGCAAGGGCTACAAGGGCAAGTTCGAGAAGCTTGGTCTTGACGTCGAGCCCGAGGAAATTTTTTCTTCTTCGTTCGCCGCGGCGGCCTACCTGGAGCAGACGGAGTTCAAGAAGACGGGCAAGAAGGTCTATATTATCGGCGAGGTCGGCATTGAAGAGGAGTTGGACCCTGCGTGGAAATCAAATTTCGGGCGTCCCGCGCTTCCGTAGCTGCGTCTGCGCGATGGCGTGGCGATTCCACGCCATCGACGCGACGTTATCCCCGTGGCCGCGTCGGCTCGATGGCGTGGAGGTCACGAAGGTCCACGCAATATTTTCTCGGGATGAACTAACTCACTGAGTGATTTCCACGCAGGCTGGACCTCATCGGCGTGCCGTACATCGGCGCCGGCAAGGACTCGGACAAGGAGCCGAACATGAAGCCCGGTGTGTGACCGGCGTCCCGTTGATGCGGCGATGGCGTGACGCGGCGATGGTGTCGCGTCCGATGTTACGCGTCGACACCGTGACGCGTCGCTCTGATGGCGTCGCGGCGGGAGTAGTCCTACCCCGCCCGCGCGCCATCGACGCCGTCTCGGGACCGCCCCCACGCCATCGACGTCATATCACGCAGGCGGCAAGCTCGAGCCCGACGAGGACATCGGCGCCGTCGTCTGCGGCTTCGACCGCGAGATCAACTACTTCAAGATCCAGACGGCGCAGCTCGCCATCAACGAGATGGGCGCCGAGTTCATCGCGACGAACTTGGACGCGGTCACGCATCTCACGGACGCCCAGGAGTGGGCGGGCAACGGCGCCATGGTCGGCGCGATCAAGGGCTGCACCGGGCAGGAACCTACTTTAGTAGGGAAGCCGTCGCCGCTCATGATCGACTACATGGAGAAGAAGTTCGGCCTGGACCGGTCGCGCATCTGCATGGTCGGCGACCGCCTCGACACGGACATCCTCTTCGGCAACGACAACGGGCTCAAGTCGTGCCTCACGCTGTCGGGCGTGACGACGGAGGAGAAGCTGCTCTCGCCGGAGAACAAGGTGATCCCCGACTTCTACGTCGACTCGATCGCGGACTACCTCGGGTAGGTTTGTATGGGGGCTAATTTGAAAAGTCTATCTCGCGGTCCCGTCTGTCGCGTCGAGGGGCCGTCGGAGGCTTCCCTATTGCGACTGGGGATTTTTCGAGGCGTTTCGATACTCACAGGAAACCGGCCGGCATTTGCTTGTCGGCGATGTCGGTGGCTCAATCTGGAAGCAGCACTCAGAGCCATCAAAACACTCTCGAGCCTCGCTAGCCACACGACTTAAAGTTTGCGTCCGGCGCGCTCCTGTTTTACGCTCGCCTCGCCGGCTACACGCATACGGAATCTCGCGAACTCGCACGCCGCGTGCATTGCAAACACTGGCACTCAACTTTGCTTTTGCAAATAGCGCGCGGCGCAAAAGGCCACGGGCGCGCTCGACCTGTGCCGCGCGCCGCCGCGGACGTCGCGTCGGCCACGGCGGCCAACACGCGCGCCGAGAGGACGCCCGCGCCGACGCGCGAAACCGCGAACACGTCGCGCAGGCAAAAAAAAGCACAATGACCTCATACTCGACCATGCCCTCGGACCTCGAGTCCGAAGCGAGTCTGCTCAACAAGCCTAAGCCCAAGACCTCCTTCAAGACGCTCGTCGGCGGCGCGGCCATTGCCGCATTCGTCCTCGGCGCGCTCGTACGTCAAGTTCTATTATGGATATTTCACCGATGATTATGAGCTTCACCTGGAGATGGCTGAGTTCGGGCCGGACGGTTTTGTCGGATATCATTACGGGGACGGCACAGGCTTTAACGGCCAAGTGTTCACGCCTGTGACGGACGACTACGACGACGGTCGTAATCGCGTGTGGTAGACACTCGAACAACAGCAGCAGAGGAGTTGAGACGTCTCCCCCCGCTCATGAATGAAAACTGGTTGAGCGCTGCCCAAGAAGCCCCCTCCCCGATCCCCCACACCACGAACCCTTCCCCACGCATAAGATAAACCAACATCCCATCTAAATTAAGCCGCAAAGCAGGCGCCATCGCCGCGTCGCCCGGGAAAGCTATATTGTAGTCATATTACTCACAGGGATAGGGCTAGAGAAGTGGTAGCTAGAATTCGGCCACGGCGAGCGTCTCGAGCCGCGGCTTCCCGTAACGGTCCGCGCCGGGCCGCGGCATGGTCGGGGCCTCGACGGCGTAGAATTGAGCCTCATCCTCATCATCCGACTCACTCTCCACCACCGCAGCAGGGGACCGCGACGCCCACGCGCGCGGCGACGCCGTGTCGCCCGTCCGCGGGGGCGGCGGCGGCATTAGAGGTGCCGACATTGTCCGATGCACGCGCCGCCGATCCAGCGCCGTCGTCGCCTCCAGCGAACTTTCTGGAGAAGTCGTCACGCGCGACACCTCCATGGCCGGCGACGGCTCCGGAAAGAATGATTCTGAGTCGATTTCCGGGAAGGGCGGCGCTAGCAGTTGCTCGACGGCGTGCCAATCTGTCGAAGCAAACGCGGGCGCCGCCCGCACGTCGTCCGCCAAAGGTCGGGAATGGGGCTCCTTCTCGAGGAGAGCTTCGAGCGTCACCGCCAAGGACTCGTCCTCGGGCAAGGAAGGCGTATCATTGAGAATAGACGCCATGAGCTGCCGCGGCGTCTCCGCGTGGAAGGGTGTACTACCAGTGGCCAATTCGCCGACGAGGATCCCAAGGGCCCACCAGTCGACGGCGACGCCGTAGGCGTGGCCCCGCAGGATTTCCGGCGCCATGTACTCGACGGAGCCACAAAAAGACCGGCACCCTTGGAGCGGGTCCTTGCCGAGGGCCGCGAGGCCGAAGTCGGCGACGACGCAGTGGCCCTGTGTTTTGTGACGGGTGAGGGGCGCAGCGACGGCGTCGCAGCGCGTCGCGTCGATGGCGTCGACGCGATACGCCGTCGGCGTGGCCCTCAGAGACTCTACGCGCCTCGCGAGAGAGCCGCGGCAGTTCGAGAAGGAACGGACGCCGGAAAACGGACCTGGTCGTCAATCAACACGTTCGAAGGCTTGCAGTCCCGGTGGACGACGCCGTGCGCGTGCAAGAACGTTAAAGCAACAACTAACTCAGCAAACGCAGCCACACAACTCTCGAGGGACACCTGTCTCCTTTTCAATAAAGTCTCCAAGGAACCGCGCGAGAAGTAGTCCGTGACCAGGTAGAAGGAATCTTGCGCCTGGAAGGCGTAGCGCAGGTCGATGACGAAGGGTCCTCCTTTCGATTGCAGAAACCCGAGGATGAACGGCTCGGCCTTCGAATTGGGCGGCTTCCGCCGGTCTTTTTTGCCGGGCTCCTTCTTCTGGCAGACCTTCATGGCAAACAAGCAGCCCTCGTCCGGGGGTTGGCGCTTCCTCGCTAATACGACGGTGGAAAACGCGCCTCTGCCAATCTCCTCAAGCACTTCAAAGCGGTCCTCGGCCTCGCGCGTGTCGCTCACGGACGAGGAGGCGGTGACATCAGATCGAGAGCGACCTAACGACAAGGCTGACAACGACCGCGTCAATCGCGACGACGTCCGCGACAGCGAGCGGGACCAGCTTTTCCGGAGGGGCTCGTCGCTCTTCGCCGTGTTCGGCTCGTCCTCGTGCTGTTTCCTGCTCTTGCGCCGGGGGCTCGACCGGCCGAAGAGGGAGAGGGGCATCTTTTCCCGGAACCGCCTCGGCGTTTCCGGCCACGCGTTTCCGAGCACCGAGCGTGTCGTGCGCTCTTGCTCGGCGGCGGCGCGCTTTGGGGCCTGAAGCTCCTCCCGAGGAGTTCTGGGCTGCGCTGCGGCCCCGCGCGAGCGGCGAGGTCACGGTTATGCTAGGCTGTGTGCCTTGTTGCTGTGCTTGCTCGAGCGCGAGGCTGCGCGACGGCGCCAGCTGAGCTCACAGGTTGCCTGGAGGGCTGCGATGCCCTTCTAGCCTCACGTATCCAGCCCTACGCGCGCCGACGGCGGTAGCGCCACCACGCTCGACTTTGCGCGGCGGGCCGAGCCGCGACGAAAAATCCGACGGCCGTCCGAAGAGATACGCCTCGCGCCCAAGCATACTTGATATCCACCACAAAAAAGCAGGGCGACCAAGAGGGCCAATAATACACCGGCCCAATGACCGGCATAGCACGTACCACAGACCGCAACAAAGCCTCGACGCAGCCACACCGAGTCGCAAACGAAGCGAGCGAAGGACTTATAGTGCGGGTTCGCATTAATTCCAAAAATTAATTGCCTGAACACAAAGGCTTTTGGAAGCTGCATCTGACACGCACGCACAGTCAGCACTGCTGCTCGTCGTCCAGCGCCGCCCGCAGCGCAACAAGTTCCAAGGGCTGCCCGCAGACCGAAGCAAAAAGAGTACCATAAAGCTACATAGGGCAGCCTAGATCATTAAGCAATGGTGAACGCGACGCGCCGCCGCTCCTACCTCGGCACGCAGGAGTTCATCCCCGGCGACGTCTGGCGCGGCACGATGACGAACTGCCAGCAGACGGAGCTGCATGTGAAGAAGAGGCGGCTGCGCTACGTGCCCATTGAATTGTCCATCGACCACGTCAGTGGACATGAAATTACGGCGACGTTCGTCACGCACTACGACCGCTCGTTCTACGAGATGACGGGGAGGTATGAGTCTGAAGGGAGGAGGTTGTACCTCGAACCGAAACGCGGGAAGTTGGGAAAGCACTGGATCGCCTGTGACGCCGAAGCCTTTGTCTCTCCAGATTTTAGTAGTATGTCGGGATTGACCTACAACTGCTTCGCAGATCAAGACAAGGAGTGCGATCCGGGCGGGGGCGAGTTCATGCTGCGGCACGATCGTACTAGATTCGTGGTGGAGGGTGCTGGCGACGCTAGAGTAAATGGCGAGTACGCGGCGCAACCGCGCCTCGGCAAGGCGAAGGCCGACGTCTTGTATGAAGGCGCGCCCGTCTATTTGCAGGAGGGCGGCCCCTTCGCGCTCGTTCACGAAGTGATCGGCCAGTACGGTTTTTGGAGGATTACGCAGGCCGTGAACCTCGAGTATCGGGTACCCGATAGTAGTGATGGCGCGTTGTACAGCGCGTGGAGCGAGGACGTCTACCCGCCGGAGAACGGCTGGCGGCCCCTACTGAATAAGAGGCGCGGCGCGCCGGCGCCGACGGTGCGCCCTGCTGTTAGAAGTATGTATGTTGGCCTGGCCATTCCCCGCAATTTGCGCGCGGGCGCCGACGACGACTCTGGTTTTTATGGCGATGCGTCGCTCTTGGTGGCCATGATCCTGGTCATCGGGTTGCTGCTGTGGTGCGTCGTCCTGAGGTGTGGGCGGCGCGTGCGCCTCAAGGGGGGGAACCGCACGAGGAGGCGGTCGCTCTCGGGGTCGAGCCCGTCGCCCTCCATGTCCGCGCGCAAGGCGTACGCGATCCCCTAACTTGTAGCTTCTGCTCGTTGGCGTCGGGGGGCTACTCCTGCCACAGTGAGCATCACGCAGCGCTTCCCCCGCCTCGAAGGCGGCGGTCGCCGCACAAGGCGTACGCGATCCCCTAAGTAGTACTTAGCCAGCTGACTCGTCAAGTACCGGCTCTATCTCGAAGAGCGCGTCCTCCTCGAAGGCTGCCGCCGCCGCGTCGGTACGCGCCGAACTCAACAGTTCGCGCGCGACGTCCGGCGAGAAGGTCGCGTCACTTCCCCAACTTAAAACATCAAAAACCGTCGACGCGGACCGAAGAGACGCGACGAGCAATCGCGTCGGCGACCGGCAGCCGTCGAGACACCCCTGGATGCGCTGGCACTCGGCGGCGCCGTCCAAACCGGCGTCGCTCATCCGCCCCAAATACGGCGCCAGATACGACGCCTTGAGCGCGTTCGCAATCAACGCCTGCTCCCGCCCGTAGCACGCCGTCATGCACAGATGGGCCTCGTCCCGTAACCGGTGTGCCGCGACGACGCCATCTTTCGTAAGAGGTAGTTTGATCACGAGATGGTCCGCGGCGCCGACCGCATCGAGTAAATCCAGGGAGCACTTCTCGTAGGCGTCGACGGAGCCGCCCCAGGCCTGCACCATCACTTCCTGGCAGCCCGCGCCCAGAGCTGTTCTCGCGAGTTTCGCGACGTCCGGCACGGTACAAGGCACGCCGTCTCTCTTTAAAATTGTGGGGTTCGTCGTGACGCCGTAAAACAAGCCCGTCGGCAGGAGCTCGCGCCAGGCGTCGACGGACGCGCTGTCGAGAAATAACCGGCCGCGGCCCGCGTTCGGGGCGATGGCCGTCGCCGTGTATATGAGTAGGGCGGCGCGCAGCGGGCGGCCGCGGCGGCGGCGCATGGCTGCTTTTGGACCTCGCCTCGGTGCGCTATTTTGGCCTCGCGTCGGCGCGTCGAGACCTTAAGACTGCCTAGCTGCAGCTCTGCCGATCTGAGGCCTACAGCGGGCGCGTCACAAGCCGCCGAGGCAAGAAACGCTGTCGGAGCAGAGTCGAGACGCGAACCTACCTTCGTGCCGGTCTACACGTGTCGGCGTCGCTTCTGTTGAGCCGCTGGGCAGGGAGAGCTTGAGGCTCTGCACACAGAGCGCTGCAAAAAAACGGCGCCTGGCGACGCGGACGGACTGCTAAAGCGATAGGACACGGTCTCAGGACCAGACCAGTGCTGCCAAACGCTTGCTGACGCTTGTAGTCACCTCGCGCCGAGGCACAGGGAGCAAATGTTGCAGCATGGTTTCTGGCATGGTACGGCGCCTCGTCGAGATCGAGGCCGGGTCGAACGCGACGGAGAGTCAGTTCTTCATCGACATGGAACGCCGCACGAGCCTGCAGATCTCGGTCGCCTTCACGCTGGCCGTCGCGGCGGTCGTCGCGTGCTGCGGCCTGCGGCGCTCGTAGCCCTCCTTTGCTTCGCACCGGCGGCGGCGCGGAAGCCAAAAGGCGTGCGCGCGAAGAAAAGCGGCGTCGACGCAAAAGCGCTGGCCGTCAAGGCCTGCTGCGAGGACGCGACGACCGCCGAGCTGATCGTCGCGATGCGCGGCGGCAGCGACGAGCGCACGGCCGCGGACCACGCGCTCGCCGCGCGCGACGGCGCCGACAAGACGATGGCCGTCGAGATCCAGGAAGTTTTGGACTTGAGGGGCTCGGACACGGCGTGCCTGCTCGCCCTGGGCGCCGAGTGGTGCGGGCCCTGCAAGGTGCTCAAGCCGTTGCTACGGAAGGCCGCCGAGGCGTCTCAAGGGACACTCATACTGAAGGAAATTGACGTCGACAAAGAAAGACCGATCGCGGAGGCGCTGGAAGCGACGCAGCTGCCCTGCGTCTACAGCGTGAGGGACGGCAAGTTGCGAGACGTCATCGTCGGCCTGCCGCGGTCGCACCAGGACCTCGCGGCCTTCGTCATGCGCGCCATGGATGGGGAGGGCGGTGCTTCCACAGTTCCGGGCAGCCGGACCGTCAATTTGGCGCGCGTCGCGGGCTCGGCCGCCCTGGGCGCGGGCGGCCGCGAGGCCCTGGCGGCCAAGTGCCGCGGCGCGCTCGACGCGTGTAGGGAGCTTGCGGCGTCCGACAAGGATACGGTGATGGAGGCGCTCAAGACGACGAAAGCGTACCTAGAGCGGGCCTACGGCGGCAAGCCGGTCTATCGCGACAACGCCGTGTTTGTGGAGAACTGTGTGGAAATCAAACAGTGAGTTAGGTTATCCTGAGATTTGTTGCGGGACGACGTCGCGTCGATGGCGTGGGGCGCCCGAAATTTGATTTCCACACAGGTGGAGAAGGTGGCCCCCTGCGCGCCGGCTTTGGACTTGTTTGCGGCGGCTGGGTACGTGGAGATTCCCGGCGACCCTGAGGGTTCAGATGACGAGAAAAGAGACGCCTTACACCCGACGCATCGCAATCTAGCCGTCTTCGAGCTCTGCTGCGCCGAGATCGACAAGGCAAGAGATGAGCTGCGCGTGATGACGTGAAGTACACCTAACAATATCTTACACTACAACTCAGCGCGCCGCCACTCGATGTCCAGCGCGCAGCCCGAGGCGACCACCATGTTCGCGACCGGGCAGCGCTCGTGCACGATGCGACCGATCTGCTCGATTGTCGCGTCGTCGTCGGCGTCAATGCTAACGTGCGCGACGCCCCAGATGCGCGTCAGGCGGCTGACGGCCGGCGCCGGCGCGTCCACCGGCAGGTGCGCGGCGCCTTGCGGATCTCGCGACGCTTCCAGCTCGAAATCGATGCTGCGTATCTTCGTGCGCAGCATTCTTGCAACAAAATCGGCCGTCGCGCCCTCGCACCCTATCAAGGCCGCCAGCAGCGTCTCGACCGGCTGCGGCGCGGTGTCCTTGCCGCCGCCGGAGGGCGGCGTGTCCGTATGGAGAATGTGACCGCGGGTCTGCGACGTCGACGCCGTGCCTTGGGTGGTGCCGGTGATGCTGTAGAGCTTTTCACGCGGTTTGCGCGTTGATAGCGTTCGTTGTCTCGCTGTGAGAGCTCGTGTCGTGCGTTGGCTCACTGTGAGAGCTCGTGCCACTGTGAGAGCCTGCACTCGTTTTGCGAGCGTGGCGGCCAGCATTGCTCTTCTACTGCTCTGGAGCGCACCGGAAGTCTCCCGTAAGATGTTCAATGATACCCAGTGGCAGTTCTAAGGGTTATTCACCAGCGCTGCGGGCAGACAGAGCTAGCGTAGATAAAGACACTAGCTCACAGTGCACTCGACCCAAAACGTGCTACAAAGGCTGCCCACGCGCAACGTACGCACCAATAAGTGCGATCAGGCGGCACAGGACAATGCTGGATGGTAATCATAGCAAGAAGCATCGCGTGAGGACGACGCCGGTGAGTCTTCTGCCGGGGGACCGCAAGGAGCGGCTCTGCGCCATGGCCGCCGAGGCCAGGGAGAAGCTTCGACCATGGGCGCTGCAACCGGCATCGGGCGTGAGCACGTTCAACCGGCTTTACATGGCGCTCGGCGAGCAGGAGAGCGTGGGCGGACTGCTGCACATCGCATCACTTGGCGCGGACGGAGGCGATGTGACGGAGGAGCACATCGACGCGTTCCTTGAGGAGAGCAATGCGTTCTTCGATGGCGTCTTCCACACGGTGAACCAATTCGCGATCGTCGCTGCCCTCACTTTTACCATCTCCGTGCCGCTAGCCGTGTACAACCTGGACGGCATCGAGACGTTCGGGACGCGGGACGCGGCCCTGGGCGGCGACGGGAGCCCGGCGTGGTATCGGGCCTGGCACGGGCCGCGGGCGCAGCACGCCTGCCACTGGGCGTCGTGCTGTCTGATCTCCCTGTCGGTGTACTGCAGCTGGGAGGCCATCTCGCGGTGCTTCATGCTCATTCCCACCTATAGCCTCTACATGCCGGACATGGAGGCGAGGCTTCGATTCTTTATGCTCGCCCCGGCGTCCTGGCGTCTTCCGCTTGGACGGGTCGCGGCGACGACGTCGGCGCGTCGTCTCGAGACCCACGCACGCCATCGCCGCAAACGCAGGCTTCACTACGATCAAATCATGTGGGTCTGGCCCTACACGTGGGGGAGCGGGTGTCTCCTGCTGTTGGCGTTGCCGTTCCTCGGTGCCCGAATTAGTCCGGTCGTGTCTATGTGTACAGCCATGCCCGCGGTCGGTGCCATTCGCATGATCAAGTCGACGTGCTGGAAATGGGGGAATATGTCGGGAGATTTCCAACACGAGCTCGCGAAGCAGCTGCTCGCCGCTGACGACAGTTCGGGCGGGGAAAAGGCCGTAAGCTAATCTAGCGTATCGACACACTAGCTGCAGCGCCGGGTCGACTCAAACAGCGCGGTGTGCTGTTGCTGCTGCCGAAGCGCAACGAACGCGACGCAGGGATACTCGCACGGTCTAAAAACGCGCGGCCAAGGCTGCCCGCGAGCAATACGTGCGATCAGGCGGCTATCACACCATGCTGGACCAAGGCAAAAGACACCGCGTGCGACCGACGCCAGCGAGCTTGCTGCCTGGGGATCGGAATGCGCGGCTCTGCGCCATGGCTGCAGAGGCCAGGGAGAAGCTGCGGCATTGGTCTAGTCAGGAGAAGACGAACACGTTCGATTCCCTGTACGACGGGGTCGGGGCGCATGAAGGCTGCGGCGGGTTACTCCGCATCGCAGCGCTCGACCCGACCGGCTCCGGGCATTTGACGGAGGCGGAGGCGGATCGATTCCTGTGGGAAAGCAGCCAGTTATTTGAGGAATTGATTCACTTTCTGAACCTCGCAGCCCTCGTCGCGGCGCTAGCGTTCACTGTCGCCGTTCCACTCGCCGTGCTCAATCTCGACGGACTCTCGACGTTCGACGCGATTGACCCGTCCCTCGGCGGCGCCCAGAGTCTGGGTTGGTACAAGCGGTGGCGCGGACCGAGGCTGCTGCATGCGATGCATTGGACGGGGAATGGTTTGATCGCGCTCTCCGTCTACGCTTCTTTCAAGGCCATCGCTTTGTGCTTCGTGATGATACCTAGCTATAGCTTCTACCTGCCGGACGTCGAGTCGCGGTTGCGATTCTTCATGCAGGACCACAAGGAGATCCAGTACGTCTGGGCCTATACCTACGGGAGCGTGGCGTTGCTGCTTCTATCGCTCCCCTTCCTCGCGGCGCGAATCTCACCGGTCGCGTCCACGTGCGCCCTCATCCCGGCGGCCAGCGCCTTCTCGGTGTTTCGGGCCCTCTTGTTTCGAGCCGATCACATGGCGAACTTCCAGCTCGACATCGCGCGGCGACTCATGGCGGACGGCGGCGAAATATTTCGGGGGGAGGTCGTAAGCTAGTGCTGATTGAGGCGTTCCAATCGTGGGTAAGGGTGTCGCGAGCCCTCACCAACGCGTCCACAGGCTTCACTAGCGCGCGCAGGCACTAGCACAACGCCAATCTGCTCTCACAGCGGCGCGTCGAAAAACGCCTCGTGCGGCAGCCCGCAGGTGCCACAAGCGCGCCCTCCGGCAGCCTCCGTGCCCCTACGCTGCGGCGCAGGCAGCCCCGCCGCGACAGCGCGCCACAACGGCCTAGCGCCCCCAGCGAAGCGCAGCGCAGCTCACACCGACGCAGCAGCGAAGCCCCATGGCTTCGAGCTGGCAGCGCCCGCCCGACACGGGTTGTGATGCGGACGGCATCCCCCACGGCTTCCGGAAGGTCATGGGCGACATGGCCGCCGAGATGGGTGATGATGAGCTCATGCGGGCGTCGCAGGGGAGCATCCACGACCCGCGCCACACCTCAAAGACCTTCTCGGACATCCACCAGAAGTTCTTCGGCGCGGCCAAGAAGGCGGGCCATATGGCGCTCGCTGCACAGGGGTTCCGAGAAGCGGGGGAGCGGCGCGTCATGCGTGGGGTGGATGCTCATGGGAATAGTATGGACTACTCCGGTGGAAAGTACGCGCGGGGCGCAAAATTGATGCTCTCGGCCCGGGCGGGCGGCCCGCCGCAGTGGGACCCGCGGCCCCAGCACATCCGGCAGGAGTACCGCGAGACGCGCGAATTGCGGAAGGAGGGCTTCGAGACGCGCCAGGAGCGCGACGCGGCGGTCCGGTCCCAGTGGGGCCTCGAAGGTGATAGAAGGAACCAGTTCCAGCGGGTCATGGTCCACAAGCAGGACCGCTACGGGAATTCCTACGGCCAGCCCAAGGAACACGGCCCGGGCATTCGGGACCGCTACGGGAATGATGCCGACTACGCGGGCGGCCGGTACGCGCGCGGGGCCCAGGCCATGGGCATGGGCGGCGACGGCCTTCCCGCGCCGCTCACGCCGCGCGGCGGCCAGGGGCGCGTGCCGCAGGACCAGGGCATGCTCTCCGTCGCGAACGCGCAGGCCGTCGAGATCCCGCGGCCGGCGGACTGGGACGCGCGCAGACGCCGAGACTACGCGGCGGGCCGGCACCCGCTGCCCCAGGGCGACGGGCCGCACTGGCACCCGTTCCACCAGTCGCAGAGCGAGGTCGACCGCAAGTTCCTCCAGCACGTCTGGCGCAAGAGCCGGAACCAGTAGCTGTAGAAGGCGTAAAGTCCAAAGAATCACAGTAATAGTTAAGAAAACCGGAACGTGCACGCGAGCGGCAGGTGGTCCGACGGGTGCACGAGGTCCGGGATCGCGCCGGCCGGCGCCGAGACGTCGCTCCGGTCCAGGGGCTCCAGGGACTCGTCGTAGAAGACATAATCGATCCAGAGTGACCGGTCGCCGTTCTTCGACGTGCACACGCCCTCGCAATCCGCCCAGCCGTGCACGGGCGCGAAGGCGTCCCGTAAGGTCCGCTCGCCCCAGAAAAACGCGCCGTCGCCGCCCCACCCGGTGGCGTGCTTGAAGCCCACGTCGCCGCTCCAGACGTGCGTTTCCGACGGCGGCGTGTTGAAATCCCCACACAGCACGACCGCGTCGTCGTCGTCCGCTCTCTCGGCGACTATGTTCTTTATTGTGGCGAGCTCTCCGGCGCGCACCTCGCCGGGAAAGCGGGTCACGCCGGGCCCGTCGCCTGTGTGGAATCAACCAGTGAGTCGGGTGCACACCGCTACGCCATCGAGCAGGCATCGCGTGCAGGTCCTGATTTCCACACAGCCCGTCGCGCGACGTCGTCATGAGGTGCACGGCCACGACACACACAATGCGACCCGACGCCTTGTGGCGCAGCCGCGCCACGGCGGCCTGGCGCCGGTCCGCCGCCGGCAGGTCCGTGGCCGTGACGCCGCCGCCCTCCGTCGGCGGCACGACGAGCGGGTGCCACTTCTCCAGCAGGTCGTGGTTCGACAAGGACACAGTCGTAGTGTTGCAGGCGATTATTCGATCGCTCTGCTCTTCGACGAGCTCGAACACATCGGAGCGCCAGAAGACGCCGAGGCCCGCCGGCGGCGTCCGGCCGATCAGCGGGTCCGTGAAGAAGGCGCCGTCGTAGCCTTGGGACGCCATGGCCGCGTGGAAGGGCTGGTCCCCGTTCTTGTACGAAGCGTGTACATTATGGATGTCGTACTCGCACAGCGCCACGATGTCGGCGCATGTACAGACGTCAAACACGCGCGGGCCGCGCGCGGCCCAGTCGTAGACCGTCGCGTCCTGCTCGGAGACCTCCGCGAAGAGCCGGAGGCCCTCGGCCTCGCCCAAGGAGCGCCGCAGGACGCCTCGCAAAGTGGTGGCCACGGTAGGCAGGCCTCCCTTGACGTACAGCACCTTGTCCTCACTCTCAAACTTCAGACCGCTCAGCTTCTCAGGAATGTCGCTATCGGACCTAAGCACCCTACACCCCCACAACGCGCGCATCGCCGCGTAGTCGCCGCTATGGAAGTTCTTGTGCCAGTGGCGCTTGTACTCGTCATCCACATTCGTGCGCCGCCAGGTGCCAAAGGCCTCGCCCGTCTTGTCCTCGATCCGCGCTCGCGTCTGCGGCGAGACGTTGAGCACCCACGGGATCGTGTTGCTGCCGAGGGACCGCGCCAAGATGTTGTAGGTCAGCACTCGGAAGGAGTGGCCGTCCGGTTGCATCGTGTGGTGTGAGGTCAAATGACTCCTCCAAGGCCCCTGAGCCTCTGTGCCACACCACAGCGCGCACAGCTCACGTGGCTGGCTGCGTCGCTAAGAGACGGCCAGAACCGAACGACCGATGCCCAACTGGGCCCCCAGCGGCCGCGCTAGCTCAGCTGCAGAGTCGGAGCTTGCTAGTGTCCTATTACGCTAGCTTCCTGCTTTGGGGAAGAGCCCAGCAACGCGACCAACCAGCCCGTCGAAGCTGCGCAGCTTCGCCCGGAGGTCCAGTGCACTCGTGCTGCATCGCTGTCGCTGAGTCGAACGGCTAGTTGAGCAGCAGCGCCGACGCATTGCCAGCAGGTCGCATTGCCAGCAGCAGCGCTGTCGCATTGATGGGCCGCCGCGGCGGCAGCGGCAGCCAATCCGTAGCGAAGGTCGTCGCAGTGTTCCTGGCAGCGTTCGTCGCCGTACACCCGCCGCTCAAGCTCTGGGTGCCGTGGGCCGCTGAATCATTCGTCGCATCGATCATCGGGCGGCCGTGGGGCTGGCGCCAACATCCGTGGCAACCTCTGGCAGACGTTCCGGTGCCACCGACTCGTGTGAACACCATCAATGCCACCGAACTCGCCGCCGGCGCGACGGTGGACCTCACGCGGCCGCTGCTCGTGCGTGGAGCCGCGACGGCCGAGGCGCTCGAGCTGTTCTCGGTCGAGGCGCTGCAGAGGCCACCGCTGGGCGACGTTGTGATTGACTACTTCGTCGACGCGACCCGGTCGGGACACCTCGTGCCCGACGGCCGCGCGAGACTTGGCGACGTCGTGCGAAACATCACGCTGGGCGCACCGCACAAGATCGGGTCCCAGTACGTTGTGTCGCGGCACGGCTGTTGTCCGGATAGAGCGGAGCGCGCAAAAACCCTCGAAGCGCTGCTCCCGCGGCCGCTCGCGCGCGCGCTCGGAGGAGAACGGCGCTTCTCGACGACGGCGCTGGATCTAAGCCTCCTCACCGTACCATTATTCGTCGCGGGCACGCCCGTCGGCGCCCGGCCGCGCACGGACCTGCATTCCGAGCCGATCGCGTCGGTGGCCGTGCAGCTCCGCGGGTCGAAGCGCTGGACGCTCGTCGACGCGGGTCGAAGCGCGGTCGTGCGGCCCAGGCCGTCGCCGGACGGCCGAGCTTATTTTCGAAGCGCCTTGCACGACTCGGAGGTCGACCGCATCGAGGGCCGCTACGAGGTCGAGACGGCGGCGGGGGACATGCTGTACGTGCCCCCCTGGACCTGGCACGCCGTCGCCTACGACTCCACGGACGTCTCCGTCGCCGCGTCGCTCTTCCACTTCGTGCCGTCCTCCTTTATCAGGAACCAGCCAGCCTTCGCGGCGGCCATCCTGCCGAACCTCGCGAAAGAGCTAGTGGGCGTAAAGACGCAGTGAGTAGGACCGAGAAAATTACGACGGGAGAGGGAGGGGAGCTAGGGCTTCCCGAAGAACCAGGCGGCAGCAGCGGTCGCGGCCGCAACCGCGAGCTTCTTCGCCTTGGAGGACTTCTTCACGCCAGCTTCCGCGGCGACGACGTCCTTGACGGCCGCCTCGGCCTCCTCGGCGGCCTGGGCCGCCGCCGCGAAGGCGTCCTCCTCCTTCTTCTTGGCCACCGCGTCCTTCTTGAGCAGCGTCTGCGCGGGCGCGGAGATCGTCGGCATCGTCGGCGGGCGCGCGGCAACAGGTTTTGATGGTGTGATCACGGGCGCGGGCTTGCGCGCCGGCAGGGGGTCCGCGGGCGCCGGCGCCGGCGCGGGCGCCGGGGCGGGCTCGGCCTTCGCGGGCGCGGGCGCCGGTGCCGGCGCCGGGGCGGGCTCGGCCTCCGCGGGTCCATCCTCCCGGGCGTCCGCGTCGGCGTCCGCTGATACCTTGGGCCGCAGGAACGACAGGAACTTCTTCGGCGCCGGCTCGGCCGCCGCCGCATCCGCGGCCTCCGCGGCCTCCTCGGCGTCCGTTTGATTTTTGCGCCAGGCGGCGAGACCGCCGCCGAGCGCCAAGACGACCGCGTAGGGCGTGATGTCAGGGGCCGCGCCGCTGCTGGTCGCGACGGGCCGCGAGACCGGTCGCGCGACGGGCGCCGGCGCCGGCCGGCGCGCCGGGGCGGCCGGCCGCGACACGGGCGCCGGCGCCGGCCGGTTCGGCGCCTTTTCCGCCATGGCGTCGGACGTGTCGTCCGGCGCCCAAGCCTTGAGCTCGTCGCGCATGGTCGTCGGGTTCTGGTACACGGGGAAGTCGCCTCCTCTATAGACCTTGACGCTCTCGCGCGTGAAGGAGCCGGGCAGCTGGAAGGCGTGCGCCGCGGCGGCCGCCCAGAGAAGGGCGCGCGTCGACATGGCGTTCGTGCTCTGAGGCCTGTTGCTCGAGCTGCACGTCAAGGAGCGTCCAGACGAGAACGTGTGGATGCGTGCGGCTGAGTCCTGTATCAGGGCTTCCAGCTTTAACGCTTCGGCAGTGCGAGACTCCGCGGTGGGGATCTATGAAGCCGATTTGACTCCAGATTGGGCAATCTTTGAGTTATTTTTTTGTGGCTAGACGCCAGTAAGACACTAGCATCCGTTTTGTTTGCGCAAAATGGCTTTGAGACGATCTCTCTCTCCCGATTGATCGGACATTTTGCCCAGGCGGCTCTACAGAACGGGAGTAGAGCTATGCTAGAATATGAAATGCCGCGGCCCGCCACAGGACCTAGAACCGCAAAGATAGAATACGACACTCGATTATACCTATACAAAAACACAGCAGAAGACTATGGATCGTGCGGCAGCAGCCGGCACCGCGTCGGGTAGAACCGCGTGCTGTCCGCGCAGGCGAGCAGGTGCTCGAGCCGCGACGTGTAGATGTCGGCGTGCTGTTTTAGGGCAAATGCGTACGCCGTCGCGTCCGCTCTATGGCGGAAGACCGACCCGAAATTCTCGTTGAAGGACCGGCGCATCTGCACGCGTATGGCTTCTCTCTCATCTTCCAACGCGTCGAGGCCCCTGACGTCGCCCAACGCCTGTACCCGCGTGAGAAGTTGGTCCGCCTCCACGGACCGCTCGTGGAGTGCTTTGTATTCGGCCGTGTTCACGACGTCCAGTTCTCTTTCCAGTTCCCGCACGATCGCCGCCGTGGCCCAGCCCTGCCGCCGCGGTTCCCTGAGGTCGGCGTGGACGTGGTCGCCCACATACAGGACTTCACTCCCCCATCCTGTGAGCCGCGACAGCTCCGCCAGCGAGCCGCCGAGCAGCACTCTATTTTTCTCCAAATCCCTACCAGAAGCCCGCGACCACTTGACGTAGCCGTGTGTTGACACAGCTCGGAACGGCTGGTCCCGCCTCCAGAACTTGGGCTTCCGCGCCGACGCGACGACGACGTCAAACGCGTCGCGCCAGGTATCACCGAGCAAGTATTTCATCCCGGTTTCGAGCATCGGTACCGGAGAGTTCGTAAGCACGAATAACTCCTTGCCCGACGCGCGGAGCGACGCCAGGAGTGATTCGAACCCCTCGATCGGGTGCAAATACGTCGCCGGGTCGCCGCGGACGGCGTCATGTAAGGCGCCCGATATATGCACGTGACTAATGGCTCTAGCGACGTCCTCGGCGAGCGCTGAAGCGTCGAAGGCGATGCCTCTATCGACTGCTAACTGGACCACGTCGGCCAACAGACATACTTCACTCAGCGCGAAGAGGTCGTTGAATTGGCTCATGTCGTCCGCGACCCTATGCGGGTCGCAGTGGAGGGCGGGCCCGTAGGCTCTTCTCAATTCCTCGGGCGCGAGCCGTCGCCGGCCCAGGAAGGCGGCGTCCTGGGCCACCGCGCGAGCATACGACAGCTTGACGAGGTAGCCCGTCCGTCTGTCAAACAACAAGCCTCGGATCGCGAAACTCGGGTCGTAGCTCGTATCAATGGCGGGGTAGTGGCTCCGCTCCATGAGGTGGTCCTTCGCTCGGTCATAAATAAATGCATTCAATGCGTTCGTGTAGGACGCCAGGGTATAATCATAATCAAACCCAATAGCTTTCACGTCCGCCATCCTTAATTCCCGGTTCGCGAAGACCTTCTCCGGCGGCGGCGTCGTACCGAGGAGGTTGCGCACGTGGGTCGGGAGCAGTGCTTCGAGGGGGCGGCTGGCCAGGCATCGATGCGCGCCGCGAGGCTGCAGGAGGCGACCGGAGCGCTGGAGGGCAGATCGCAGCCGGAGCGCCATCATGCCGCTGCAAACTTTTGTCACGGCAAGCCACGGATGTTATTAGGTTCTCCGTCAGCTGTGGCCCTGCACGGTCAAGCTAGTGTAGCTGTAGAGCTGCAAAAGGCCGGCTGCAGAGGTTTCCTAGTGTCTTACAGGACGCTAGCCTCGCATTTTGAAAGTTGCAGCGTTTTCAGCGCTTGCAGGACGTATTGCGACGAACAGGATGCAGCAGCAGTGCAACTGATCCGTCGTTATTGGACGACGCCAGCAAAAGCGGCTCAAAACGAGCGTATAGCCGTGTTGTAGGACTGCACCCTTCTTGCGGGCGTGCCGAGGCAGCGCTGGGCGTCGCATCGGTGGAACGCAATAGCTAGAAGCAATGGCGTCCGCCGCACAAATCGCCGCCGCACAGAAACTCGCCGACGAGATGGCGGCGGCGGCCGAGGCCGAGGACTCGGACGACGCGCCGCTCGAGTCGCTCGTAACCGTGACGAACAACGGCGCCGCCGACCGCGATGCGAGCGACGACGAGGTCATGCCGACGCCGAAGCGCCGCGGCCCGCCGACCGACGAGGATCTAGCAGAGGCCCTCGACACGGACCTCGCGGCCAGAAAACCGCTGCCGGACTTTAGGAGAGACGGTCCGAGGGTGGGCGAGACCATCCGACGCAAGGTCGAGCGCCCCACGGGCCCGGCCTGGGCCGAGGGCAAAATCATCGGTTATTTGGGACCGGACGAGAGCGATTTTGTGGACGCGAACGGCGCCAGAGCCGCGTTGTATCGCGTCCGCTACGAGAGCGGTTTACGGGAGTTGGTGGGCGACGAGGAGGACTTGGAGGAGTGGGAGGTCAACGACTCGTCGGCCGACCGGTCGCCGCTCGACGAGTTCGGAAGGCCCGCGAATTGTAGTGACGGCGACGACGGCGAGGCCCTGAGCAACTGGGCGCCCTTCACGCCGCGCGCCGCGCCGGCGCGGGCGCCAACATCAATGCCGCCGCGCCGGGCCGTGCCCGCGTGGGCGCCGCTCGACGCGCCGCCGCCGCCGCCGCGGCCCGAGCCGCTGTCGCCGGGCCGGCGGAAGAAGAAGCGGCCCCTGTTTGATGATGACGACGCCTCCGCCGGCTCGCTCGAGGCGGAGCTCGCGGAGCGGGGCCGCCGGATCGTCGAGCGGACTCGGCCGACGGTGCGCGACGCGGGGAGCGACTCCGAGGAGGACTTCGTGCCCGGCGCGCTCGACGTGGAAACGCTCCGCGCGATGGGCCTCATAGCCGGCGCCGCCCCGCCGGTAGCGCCGGCCTATGCCGTCGTGGTGCCCGCGCCGCCGCCGCCGCCGCCGCCGCCCGACGAGGCGCGGCGCCTCGCTGCGGACCCTTCCATAGACCTCCGGGAGGCGTATCGCCGCGAGCAGGCGTCGCGAGCGCCGGCCGTCGCGGCGCCGGCCGTTGACGAGGACTCGGACGATAGTGACGACGCGCCGCTCGAGTCGCTTATCACCGTGAGGCGGCGCGACGACTCTAGTGACGACGACTAAACTAGCTAGTGTTACCCCAGGCCAGCGCTGCCACGAGCAGCGCCGCCGCGTAGCCGTGCGCGTCGGCCTGGAGACGCCGCGCAACGGCCGCGACGAGCGGGTTCTCGCGCGGCGGCGCCGGCAGCGCGCGCATCGTCTCGGCCGCGCGCCGCGAGAGATCTAATGAAACCTCGCAGGCCTCGCGCGCGGATTCCGGCGGTTCTAGGCCCGCGAAGCGCCAGCAGCCGTCGACGAAGCCGAAGTACCTTTCTAAGAATTTGCGCCATTTTTTCGCGGAGTAGGACACGTCTTTTTGGGGAGCGAGCGTTCTAAGAACTGCTTTGCGGTCGAAATAGTGCGTGTGAGTTTTTTTGGAGACCTGGCCGCACAACTCCCGGTAGGCATTCGCCAAACCGGCAAACTCCTTCTCGCCGCAACACACGGGCGACGAGGCCAGTCGATGCAAGACGTAGATCGCTTTGGTTGTGGAGCGCGCGTCGGTTTCCGCACATCTAGACCACGCTTTGTGTAATAACGACCCGTAGGGGTCGCAGGACGGCGACGTGTAGGCCTCGAAGGCGCCGATGCTCAGGGCGATGGACTCGACGTGTTTGGGTTTCGGGGCCTGGCTGTCCGGTCTCGTCGCCTTCAGAAACGCCTGTTCAAAGTCCGACGACATGGAGGCTTTCAACTCGCGCATCCAGTTCTTTACCTTCTTGCGGGCGCGGTAGCGCAGGGCGCCCTCGCCGCCCATCGATGCTGGCTTGATCACGCTGCTGCTCTGCTGCTTTGCTGCGGCAGCGAGGGCGCAGAGGCAGCCTAGGTGCAGGGGGTGCATTTTTGGGGGTCGCAGCTAGAAAAGCGATGCGTCTTTACGGAGGGCAAGGTCGCAGCGATGCGTCCTTAAGGGCGAGCGCTTCCGGTCACCGCTGCGCGCGCCAATTTGGCAGCTGCAGCCCAGGCTGGCATGGGTTGCTAGTGTGTTACAGGACGCTAGCACGGCGTCGCGCTGGCGTGGATATTTTTGCGGGCTGCGGGCGTCTGGAGTCCAATGACTCATCCAATGCCACTCGCTGGCTTAGGCTATTATAGTTTCATAATTAGCACAGCTAGGGAAGGCCGCCGTCCCCCAGCGCGTGGCGTCTAGGCCATCGGCGCGTCGCCGTTCTACTCCTCCTCGTCCTCCTCGTCCTCCTCGGCATCCCCCGCCGTCGGCTGGTAGTCCTCGTCTACGTTGCCGGACCGGCGCGGCCGCTTGCTACTAGTAGGCTTGCTGCTGGTGGGCGCCTTGCGCTTCTCGCCGCGGCCTTGGGGCACCGACCGCGACTCCTCCACTGGTAGCAGCTGCTCTGCCCGGAACCACTCGTCGCGGTCGTCGTCGAGCTTGACCCAGACCTTGTCGCCGTCGATCTTGGTCACGACGCCCTCGAGCGCGTCGAGGGCCAACGCGACGGACTGGCCGACGACCAGGTGCGGCGGCGGCGTCTCGTCGTCCTCCTCAGACTCCGCGTACGAAACAGCCGCACGGGACCGCCGCACGTCGGGCACGGGCTCGACCTCGGCATCGGAACCGACGTCGTCCTCAACCACGTCATCAGAAACGACGAATGACCCAGTGGATGGCGCCGGCGCTGGCGAAGGCGCCGGCGCCCGCGCCGGCCGTCGAGGCGGCGGCGGCGGCGCCGCCGCCGGTCCGACATCCCGGCGCTGCGTCGTCCAGAAACGGCACGCCGTGGCCGCATTGACGACGTCGTCGAGCACCGCGCCGGGCAGCGCGATGAGCGCCGTCAGGCACGCGACCGCGAACGCGAAGAAGGCCACGACCGGATCCGACACCGTGCAGGAGCTCTCCACTAATTCTATGTGCGGCTCTATCATCCCCGCGATCTTCTCGGGCAGCTGGTCGAGCGTGCAGAAGGAATGGTCGATCTCATCTTGTAGGTCTTCAGGAAGTTCTGATCGACAGTCCCAGCAGTTATGTTCGGTGGTCGCGTGGACGTCCGCGAAGACCTTCTCCAGGACGGCCGTGCATTGAAAACCGTCGCATAGCTTCTGGTTGAGTGCCTTATTCGTCGTCGGCAGCAACGAGAAAATGACGTTGCGTCCGCCCTTGATCCAGATACGATGCCTTTCGACGCCGTTCTCACGGTCGCCGTTCTCGTACAAAACGTCGTACGTCGTAGCAATAGAATTTCCGTTGCCGATGTTGACCATGACCACGTGCCCGTCGAAGATGCGCCCGTCGGCCAGTCGCTCGACATCGACGTGATCGCCAACCTTACAGCTATTGACGAGGCAGTGTGCGATACAAGAAGCGTGCCTGACGACGATCGCTTTCATGTTCTGTTTAGTCTTCTGTCCTTTTTCCTTCGCTGCTTCAATAGCAACTGAAAAATCAGGAGCCCTATCGAACCCGTAATTCCTCCCAGCAATAATAACAGACACGCTGCGCGTCGCTCCGAATATACCCGCCCCCACAGCAAGTAGACCACAAACTAAAACGGCGACCGACGACTCGACGCCGGCAAACAGCCCACATGAAGAAGCTATTCCTAATGAATCGAAGCCGGCAAATAATAGAGAAGCGGCCACGAGAGCGACGAGCACGGCCACGTAAAACGCAAGCAGCGGACCGCGCCGGTACTTGACCGTCACCGAGTGCTTGGCTTCCGACAGCATGTCCACCGACGCCCCCATAATCCTAGGGAGGCACAGGCCTAGCGTGACGACGCATACACAGGCCGTCAGGACGCCGGCTCCCAGTCCACACCACGAGGCCACGACAGCAGAGCAGAAAAACGCTAGAGCGACGCCGATGAGGCGACACAACGCGGCACGCGCACCCGCCTTCCTTAACGACCGCAACATTTCGTCGACGCCGTGCTGATGCACCTGCCGTTTTGGATCGTCCCTCACCTCGTAATGCGCTTTCCTAAACGTTGTCGGCGTGCGCTTTTTCCAGGGCACGCCAGGGGGGAACTCCTTGACCGCATTGGCCGCCGCGACGACCTTCAGCGCGGCATCAGCAACATCGGTCGCCGGGACTCGGACGATCGTGTCCTTTGGAAGGACGTCAAAGCCCATGAGCGTCTCGAGCTGGGGTACTGAGATGGTTACAATTTCATGAGTCGAAGCTAGGAGTTGCCAACGACGATGGTTGTTAAGCTGGGAGGGCGCCGGTTTCACGTACACCTGCCACCCAGTCGTGTGATAAACAATTACCCCATTCTTTGTAGTGCTACTAGATGTCGGGTCGCACGGAACAAGGTAATAGTCCGGGTAGTCATTCCAACTTTCACCTGTCTTCAACTTAGGTGGCGGCTTATCTAGGACTTTTAACGTAGAGCTCCGTTTCCCATGCTTCCCACCCGCAGCAAAAAGCGCACCAATGTTACTTGCAACGCTCAATGCCTCTGCCGAGACGACAAAGACCTCCGGGACGCCGTACTGCTCGCGACCAAATCTAACAAAACCCACGACTCCTCCAAAAATAGCCCCAGCTAAACCACATCTATAGCCACCACCGACGATGAAATAGTCCAAAACGATGCCCAACGCACCAAACAACACCAATAATAACGCAACCATCAAGGGACAAGCCGGTCGCGGTTCTAGAAGCGTCCCGCGGGGCACGTGGCCGACCGCTATGAAATCCGCTTCGTCCTCCCGTACCTTTCCTTTATCATTTAACCTTAACCTTCCAGTTGAATCCGTCTTCACCTCTCCGACAACCCCCACATCATCCTCACTATACGAGGACCGAGCCGCCCTCGTCCAATCGTAAATGGGCATCGTCCAGCGGAATAAAGCGACAGCAGCGGCCACAACTAGCAGAACCACGACCACATCTTTCGTCGGCAGGTGGAATTGATACGCAAATCCACCGCAAATCGCCACCACAGCCAATAACACGGCCACGATCCGCCACCACGAAGACCTCACTTTCACCCAGACGTCGTGCATCACTTTCTCTGAGAGGCGGTAGAGCCCAAAACAAGGCTCGTAGGGCGCGATCGCGAAAAGATTGTCCTCCACAAAGGCCTTTCCGCCGCCGCCGATCGGCCGGCCTCCGTTGCCCGGGTCCATCGCCGCGAGCACTAATTCCGCGACGGACCCGGGCGCCCCGCCGCCCATCCTGTGTGGAAATCAACACTGAGGCGGGTGAAGTCACGCGTAGCCTCTCTCGCGCTCGTGTCGAGTTCGCTCGACGCGGTCCGAATGGCCTCAAAATCGAAAAAGAAACCACCAACTTCATCAGAAGATGGAGACGACGCGCGCCGATGGCGTGAAGGCACCGCGGCCGTCGTGAAGGTTTTTTTTCTGCGCCGCGCCCTACAACGCATCCTGGAAGCCCAGGTACGTCGAGATCCAAAGCCAGTAGACGCCAAAGTACCACACTACACCTAACCACCCGAGCAGGCCCGAGTACGGGATGTCGAACTCGGCCGCGATGATGGAGTCTGGCGCCGTCGGGCCGTCGCGCGCCTCCTCCAGGACTTCTGGGGGCGTCGGCGCCCACTTCTCCCGTAAGTCGAGAGAGACGAGCGGCAGGATCGCGTTGATGCCTTTCTCGTACCTTTGTGGAAATCAAACAGTGAGATAGGTCGCATCGATGACGTAGAATCTCCACGCCATCGAGCAGACGAAGTCGCAATGTTGCGTCGATGGCGTGAGGCGCTTGATTTGATTTCCACACAGCCAAGTGCAGCGACAGGAACGTTACCTCTACCGCGACGTCTACGTCGTCCGCGCTCGCGGCGCCTACCTTGCGGTAGTAGCGGCCCTTGACATAGCCCTTGAGCCACACCCGTCCTTCCTTCCACCAGTTGTGGAAGGTGGCGAAGCACACCCAATTGACGACGACGACGAGCCGCTTCGCCTTGGTCACTGGGTTCAGGATGATGGCCCAATTTATGAGAATCAGCCAGTTGAACGACATCTTGCGTGGAGGCGTTCAGCGCGAGCGTTGCGCGCGGTGGCGCAGATGTGTGTCGCGGCGTCGCCCGCCGCGGTCTCGTAACGCGACTGCGTCCGCAATGCGGCGCAGCGCGCGGCGATGCCCGTCGTCCCGGCGCGGCACGTAGCAGAGGAGCTCTCCGTCTCGCGGTGCGAGCGGTCGCCGCGTCCCAGCGCCGCAGCAAGGGCGATACTGCTCGGCGCCGCTGCTTCGGCCCCGGTTTTGCAGCGCAGCGCGTCGCTGTGCCGTTAAGTGCCCGTTCGAAGCTGAGAGGTGCTTTGCACAGCGCGTCGCTGGCTCTGGTGAGTCCAGCGCCGCGTTTGACCAATCCACGCTTCGATAGCAAGGCCAATAGCAGTACCAGTGCGCTCCATGGCGCAAAGCGGTGTTTGCTGCTACGCATTTTTGAGGAGAAGTACAAAACACTAAAGCATCACTATTAACAGTTCAGATTTGTTCACGCGCGTATGTACGCGCAGCAAATTCACTCGGTGCGTCGGTGAAACTGGCTGGACACAACCCGCACGCCCGGTGCGTCGTGCTTGAGTGCTAAAACGAGGAATGGCGTGCTAGCAGGTACTTTGCGAGAAATCCTTGCGCCCACTAGCCTCGGCTTGCCGCTCGACATCGATAGATTGCAAGCTGGTTTTTTTGCATCGATCGTGTCCCCCACACCGCCATGTCGGGGCTTAAAATCACCAACAACATAACGAACCTCGACGGCCCGGGCCCGCCGGTAGTCCAAACCGACTTCGAGCCGCAGGGCGACACCGAGATTAGGCCGTCCTCGATGCCGTGACCATGAGAGTGAGCGCGGAGGCGCGCCCCGACGGTACACCCACAGGAATACGACACGGACAAGGGCGACGGCAAGCTCACGATGAACGCCGCGCGCCGCCTGATCGGCGGTCTACGCCGCGGATACAGCCTGGCTGAGCTCGAGGTCGCGGCCGACCGCGCGATGAAGGACGGCGTCCGCTACGCGTACTGGCTCGCGCAGCCGTACCGCCGCGGCCTCTCGGACTCGCGGCCCACGATCCGCGCCTACCGCGAGGCCTACGCGACGCTGAAGGACTTGCCCGGCCACGCGCGCGCGGGCCAGTTCGGTGCCGTGAACCGCGTCGTGGGCGCCTGGGACGTTTACCGGCGCTACCCCTTCACGATCTGCGGCGGTGTCCTCATCGCGGCGGCCCCCTTCCTGTCGAAGGGGAATTGAGGTGGGCGAGGCGGCACCCGCGGACTAGACTTTGATAATATACTGGTTAGCCTAATGATAATAGAAGTCCTCGAAGATGTGCAAGTCCGGGTGTTCTTGGGCGAGCCAGCTCCACGAGAAGCCCTGGCCGCACGTTTCCGTGCCGAGGTCGAGGATCCGGAGCGTCGTGATCGCCGCGATGGCGGGCGGGAGAGAGACGACGTCCGCGTTGCCCGCGACGACGAGCAGCACGAGGGCCCGGAGCTCCGCGAGCCACGCGGGAAGACCTTGGAGGCCCGCGTCGCGGAGCGTCAGCTCGCGCAAATGGACGAGGCCGCGGACCGCTTCGGGAAACGGGGCGAGCGGGTAGCCCTGGAGGTCGAGGGCCCGGAGCGCCCGTGGGTCCGCGAGCGCGCGGTCCAGCGCCCGGTTGTTCTCGATCGCGTCGCCCTCGAGGCCCGATTGCGGCGGCGGCACCTGTGTGGAATACAAATTCCAAGGCCATAGCCTAACTCACTGGTTGAGTTCCACACGGGCGGAACGGCGCGCACGAGCTTGAGCCGGATCAGCGGCATGCCGCGCAGGGCCTCGGCGAAGGCCGGGATCGAGACGTTCGTCGCCGCGAAGGCGCGGAGGCGCAGCTCGTCGAGCCACATCGGGCACGGCCGCCAGCGGTGGTCCCCTATGTCGAGCTCCGCCAGGTGCGGCAGCCCGCGGACGTGGTCGAGATTTGAAGGCCCGTAAACGTGGCGAGCGATGCGCAGCGTCGCTGGGAGCGGCGGAATATCTCCGACCGGCCGCGCGAGCTCGAGCTCGACGAGGCGCGAGAACCCCGCGAGCCAGGGCGGCGTCCGCACCGTCGGTCCCAGCGAGAGCGCCCGCAGGTTCGGCAGCGCGCGGACCGCGTCGGGCACGGCGTCGGCGTCGCGCGATGCGTAGATAGATAGGACCTCGCAGGTCCGGAACCGGTCGGCGGCGTCCACCGGTGGCGACCTGTGTGGCACCGTCGCGTCGATGAAGCGCCGTCAAACGTCGCTTTCCGCGCCGGCGGCGACCAGTGGGCGAGGAGCGTGAGGTCCTGAACGTCGTAGTTAAGTGCGGCCCGAAAGGCCCGCGCCACCGCCCGCAGCGTGCCGATCGCCTTGAGGCGTTCCTGCGTCCGTCGCGACTTCGCGCCCGCCGGATCGTGACTCCCGCTGTTGCTCCCGTCCAAGTCCCACGTCCCGCTCACGCACAGGGCCTCCTCGACGTCGTACCCCCGGGCCGCCGCGTCCAGGCGATGCTCGAGCGGGACGGTGTGGTTCAGGGTGAGGGGGATCGCGGCCGTGCGCGTGAGGTACTTCACGAGGAGCGGGACGATCTTCTCGGCACGCTCGACCAAGACATCGCTCATGGTGCGCGTTGGGAAACACGGGTTCTCCACCGCCGAAGTATCCTCGCGCCGCAAGATTATCAACTCACTTTCAGCTGCAGACTGCTGGCGCTGACGATCCTCCTGGGTGTTAAGTGCGAACCAACGATGAGTTTGGCGCAGTGATCAATGGCTAGGCGCGTATATCTGGTCTGTGGCTTGTGAGCTCTCGCAATATTTTGGAGCCCTAGGCGACGTTTGGCTGCACAATCGCGGGCCGGGCGCGCTGCGACTTGCGGCCCCCGGCCTCAAGCTCCTAGAATCACACAGCAAACGCAGCCTGCGGCCGCGCAGAGGCACTCACAAATGCCCTTGTTGGTCACCCCGGGGAGCCGATGAAGCCAACATCCCCTTGAATTGAAGCCGCCGGCTCGACGCAATCACAACAAAAAACTTAGTCTGAACCAGAAACGACGTCGAGGCGGCAGCGCCCGTCCAACCCCAGCGAGTAGCGGAGCCGCGGCCCGGCGTCGAAGCGCACGAGGCACCGGCTTTCGGAGCCCTCGAAGCCGTCCTCATAACGAACGACGAGGCCGACCGCGTCGGCCGCGCAGCTCAGCGACACCTCGCCCTCGATGGCCCGGGCCGGGAACCCGTCGGACAACTTGAATTCCACTATCTCGCGCTCCGCGACGACGTCGCACTCGTACTCATCTAAATCAATGGGAACGAGCTCCCGCCGCGCCGCGCGCCACGCCGCGGCCGCCGCTTTTTGATCAACCCCGCAGATCCGGTCCGGCAGCGGCGCGTACGCCTTTGACAGATCAGAGGACCGGATCGCGACGGCGACGACGACCGCGCGACCCGGCGCGACGCGCACGCGCCGCCCCGCGAAGAGCTCCCTCAGTAAAGCGCATCGCCGCCAGAAGCGCAACGCGCAAGCGACGGGGTGGCCCTCGAGGTCGTGGTAGAACGGCTCGCCCGTCAGAACAATAACTTCAGCGTCGGTCGAGGGCGCCTCACTCAAATCAGAATATATGGAGAGGGCCACTTCGAAGCGCCTCGCCACATTTGATGCGTGCAGCGCGTCGCGCGCGTCGGCGCACCAGGCCACCGCATTATCACAGCCCGCGCGCAGGCACGCGAGCGCGCAGATGGCCCCGTCGCCGACGTCCCAGACTTCTGCGGTGTCGTCGCCCCTCAAACAAGACGCCGCGAGGGCCCGGTGGTCGCTTGGTAACGACGCGAGGCGTCCTGTGGAATATCCCACATGTAATCCGCAAGCACATAAAGCAGCCGCCGACGTCACGAAGCCGGCGTCGAAGAAGACGTCGAAGACGATGTCCGTGTCCGTGTGCGTCGCCTTCAGGCTGAAGGGCACGCCGGGGCCGATGTCGAAGGGCGCGTCCAAAGGTTGGGCCATCTGCCACCAGTGGTCCTGGAAGTCGTCCGCGTCCTCCCAATTCGACACGCCCTCGCCGAAGCCCAGGTCCATGCGCCAGCGGTAGCCGACGGCGTCGACGCGGCCCCGTTTTTGGACTTGTAGATCGACCTTCGCGCCGGCATGCGCGCCGCGCGCCGGCGGGCTCGAGAAGCTCAGGTCGAGGACGCGCACGTAGGGCGTGAGCCGCCTTGCGTTACCCAGCCGCGCCGGCGCACACGCCGCGCCGCCCCGGCACCGCTGCCGCCTGTAGTTGTCCGGGCCCCGCCGTTTCGCGAGCGACGCGTCCTCGAAGAGCGCCGCCTCGACGTACGCACCGCACGGTATGATTGTAGCGTCTTTTGATGCAGTGCCGCTCGCGAGGACCTCGCGCAGCGTCGGCAACAGGCCCTCTCCTAACAAGCCGTGGTCCGCGAGCTCGCAAACCTGTGCGCAAATCGAGCGGTGACCACGCCATCGAGATGAGCGCCGCGACATTTGATTTATGCACTGTCGCCCACCACGAGCGACGCCGGCGTCGGAAGGCTAATAGCGTCGGACCGCGCATTTACAATTGTACACCGCTCCTCTTCAAAACCTCCGGCGCGGACGCACGCCGTCGCGACTTTTGACAGAGCGGGCTCCATCTCGCACGCGACCACATGACCTATTCGGTCCTCTTTGCACAGGAGCTGGGTTAATAATCCAGTGCCGGCGCCGATTTCCAGCGCGACGCAGCCCTCCGGCGCAGCCTCGGCTGCTTGTTTAATCGCGCGCGCGTAGGCTCGATTACGTTCCGAGTCGTGGAGCATCGCCGCGAGCCACGGCTTGCGCGCGAAGTGCGCCACCGCGTCGTCGCGGTCGTCTTCGAGCCATCCTAATTCACAATCCTCGTCGAGCGCGCCTCTTAGTGATTGCTCGCGGCCCTCGGCGGCGACGCGGAGGCCGTCCCAGATGGACGTGGCGGTTACTAGCTTTTCTGGCTGGTGCTCGGTTTTGGTCTTTTTTGTGGGGGATTCGGCCATGTTTTTTTAGGCTGTCGTTTGCCGCGCGTCGCTCTAGCACTGCTGCAGCACAGCAGAGATAGCAGCTGATTGATGCAAGCTGAGCCGTGCCGATGCAACCCGGCGTCAACGTCGATCCGTGCGTGCAAGCGAATGTGTCAGGTTCCTGCGTGCGCTCTGGCAGCAATGCGGCTGCGACGGCTGCACGGCCGCCTTGGGCCCTTGCTAGTGTCTATAGCTAGCGACGCATTTCACTTTTACTCTTGTATTGCTGTAAGCCAGCCTTGTCACCGATCCGTCGACTCCTCTCAAGCAACGGGCGAGATTTCTGGAGGCTTGCTATTGACCTTGTATGCATGAAGCTCGGTGGAGGATAAGACGCAGTCAGCAGCGTCTGGTGCAGCGTCCAAGGACATTTGAGCGCGAGGGCAAAGCTGATGCTGTCGGCGCGGCATGCTGAGCCGCGCAGCAATGGATAGCGTGTCGTGTTTGAGATCGCAATCCACAGCCACATCAGGCTCCGAAAAACGCAGCCGCACGCAGCGATGAGGCACGACGCACCGCCGCGCGCCAGCCGCCGCGGCCGCCGCAGCACGCCGCTGCAATGCGGCAATTCATAACACCGCCATCCCGCCGCAGGCAACGCAACCATGCAGTCCGTAATAGTAGCGCTCGCGCTCACGGGCGCCGGCGCCTTAAGGACGCCGATGACCATGTCGACGGCCGTCAAGCACGTGACCACCAAATCCGACGCCATCATGAAGGAGGCCGCTACTTTGATGCCGGGTGGCGTCTCCTCCCCTGTCAGAGCGTTCAAGAGCGTCGGCGGCGGCCCCGTCGTCTTTGAGAAAGTCAAGGGCGCCTACGCCTACGATGTCGACGGGAACCAGTATGTGGATTACGTGGGCACGTGGGGCCCGGCCATCTGCGGCCACGCCAATGATGAGGTCAACGAGGCCCTCCGGGCCGCCCTCGAGAAGGGCACGAGCTTCGGCGCGCCCAGCGAGAACGAGAACGTCCTGGCCAAGATGGTCTGCGACGCCGTGCCGTCGGTGGAGATGGTGCGCTTCACGAATTCCGGTACGGAAGCGTGCATGGGTATGTTGCGATTGGTGCGGGCCTACACGGGCCGCGAGAAGATTATTAAATTTGAGGGCTGCTACCACGGCCACGCCGACGGGTTTCTGGTCCAGGCGGGCTCCGGCGTCGCCACGTTAGGTCTGCCCGACTCGCCGGGCGTGCCGCCGGGCGCGACGCAAGGTACGCTCGTGGCCGAGTACAACAACTTGGAGTCGGTCGAAGCTTTGCTGAAGGAGCACGAGTGCGCCGCGGTCGTCTTAGAACCGGTCGTCGGCAACAGCGGCTTCATCCCCCCCACCCAGGAGTTCCTCGAGGGCCTTAGAGCGATGACGACGAAGTACGGCGCCCTCTTAGTGTTTGACGAGGTCATGACGGGTTTCCGCATTGACTACGGCTGCGCGCAGAAACATTTTGGCGTGACGCCCGACGTGACGACGATGGGGAAAGTGATTGGCGGTGGCTTACCGGTGGGCGCCTACGGCGGCCGCAGGGACATCATGGAGCAGGTCGCGCCGGCGGGGCCCATGTACCAGGCCGGCACGCTGTCGGGCAACCCCCTGGCCATGACGGCGGGCATCAAGACGCTCGAGATCCTCTCGCGGCCGGGCCAGTACGAGAAGCTGACGAAGCTTACGGAACGCCTCGTGGAAGGCATCTTGCGGGAGGGCAAGGCCGCGGGCCACGCCATCTCCGGCGGCTCCATCAGCGGCATGTTCGGCTTCTTCTTCTGCGAAGGACCGGTCACCTGCTTCCGGGAAGCGACGGCCTCGGACACGGACAAGTTCGCGCGCTGGCACCGGGGCATGCTCGAGCGGGGCGTCTACCTCGCGCCGTCGCAGTACGAGGCCGGCTTCATGTCGCTGGCCCACACGGAGGCGGACGTGGACAAGACGATCGCGGCGGCCAAGGAGGTCTTCGCGACGATCTAGGTCCCTTGTCCCGGTTCATAACGTTTACGTGCGAGTCGCTTCGTCGACGGCGTATGGCTAGTGTCTTTCGGCCGCTAGGGTAAAATTAAACATTGGTGCACCGAAGTACTTATTCTCTCTCTATCATACAGGGCAGCGTCGCGTGGCGGGGTGGACCGAGGAACAGCGCTCCGGTGGCCGTCGGCGGCGTCTCCAACGGCGTCTGGCGTTCGCGTCGATCATCGCGGAAAGGGGACCCGCTCTTCTTGGGCGCGGGTTGCGGCGACTGCGCGGTCGGGCTGTAGACCATTTACTTCCCTCTGGAGGTGTTGTAGCTCCGGGACTTCGAGCGGCACGGCGCGCACGATCCAAAGCGAAACTGGCCCGCGAAGCGTCTCCGCACCGGCGGATGCCGGCGCCGCGGCCGGCGGGGGGGCGTCGCGCGTGCGCTGGCGCTTCTGGCGGGGTTCCGTCGACGAGTTCTTCTGGGTGAGCGGCGCGGCGCGCTTCTTGCTTCGGGCCGGCCCCCAAAAGGTTTCTAATGTGCTCTTCTGCTTTTGCTCTTCTTTTTTGGCCATCGCGACTCGCGAGGAGCGGCGGCGCGCGCGCGTCTGTGTCTCGGTGGCGCGCGGCGCGACTTCAGGGATCTGTCGCGGCGCGTCCCGCGCGACGCTCGCGTTTTCCAGCCTATTGATGGCCAGTACTCGGCGCGTTTAAAGCCCCCGCAAATTGGGGCAGTGCACGTCGAAAGCGGAAGGGTGGAGGTATCGTTCTAGGCTGCCCGGACCGATGGGATGAGTATTACTGTGGACTCTCTGGCTTGCTAGTAACCATGTTACGCTAGCTTGGGTCAGATTTTATTTTTGGTGCAAGCAGCTACTGAGGCATTATTCGCAACCGCTGGCCAACGCTGCGCTTCTACAAAGCGCAGCTGGACCGCCTGCAAGCGGCGATTGCACGCGTGGCGATTTGTACGCACAGATGCACGCTGCACCACAGAGCAGCCTCTGCAACAACAAATGCGAAAACGCGACGGCTGACGATGAGCGTGCTCAGAGCGAGCGCAGCGGTGGCGCGTGTCAGCAAGCCCGCGCCGGGCCGCGAGCTGCACCGGCCGGCGTGAACTTCGCTCCGTCGTCGCTGGGCGCGGCTGGCGGTCTACAAGGGAGAGTTTCTAGGCCACCAAGCCATGCGCAGAGGTCGGCGCCGCGAGTGCGCCTCGTGGAAGTATCGCGTCCTAGCTTGGTCGTCCTTGGACCAGGTGTTGCTTCGAGAACGGGACCGCTGATGCACGCCGCAGACTTCTGCTCCTGCGCGTGACGTGCACGATGTCCTTATTTTCTGCCTCGGAAGTGCACATCAAGTCGACGACGTCGCCACAACGCCATCGAGACGGAAAGGTGTCTGTAACAGCGTCTGCTCGATGGCGTGGAAGTTTTAGCAGTTCTGAATATCGTCGATCAAGATCCGCGTCCTGTATGTCTTCGCGGCGGCGTCGTCTCGAGGACTGCGTCCGCTCTAAAGGTGGAAGTTGTGCGAGCTTCGTGTCGCGATCTGGTGCCGCCGGGCCGGCTTGTGACGTCCTATTTCGACAGCTGAAAGGTCGACGTGCTTAAGGGCGCGCCCGGGTCACGGGCCGGTGGTAAGGCCCGAGGTCCAGTGCATCCTCGGCGACATCGCGTCCTCGGTCGCCGGGCGAGACGCTCGCGGTTCATGGGAGCGCGCACTCGGCGTACACCTCGGGCCGCGGGACGGCGGCGAAGCTCGTGGAGACAGATGACCGCCGCCGCGGGCCGCATCGCTCCACGTCGATGGCCCTGGCCAGCTGGAGCTCCCGCCTTTGTGCGGGTTTCTCTGCGTTTCTCTAGTTCTATGTAAGCGAAGGCTGCTATTTAGTATGTAGCACTCGCTGGCGTCGTTTGGGTGGGGGATGTACGGTTCCCAAAACGCGGCCGTCTCCCAGGCCACTGAGCCTCGACTCGCGTCGCGCAGGAGCAGCCCCGGCCGCGCAGCGCATCAATTGGACGCAGAGCGAAGTCGCAGCATTTCACGCCATGGAATATCTCAGCGCCGAACTCCTTAATGGCGCGCCAGTCAAGCTGTTCGAGGTGGAGCATGTGAGAGGTGACTTGGGCGTTGATGCCGTCGCGCGGCTGGTCACGCCGCCATACGTGCTCGCCTGGCCGAACCAAGGAAAGTGCTCCTTCTACGCCGGCGGCGCGAAGCGCCTCGATTTAGCTCGCGCGCGCGTGATAGCTCATACCATGAAGTCGTACAGCGACGTCGGCTGGAACATAAGCGATCCTGCGGCCGAGACATTCTCGTTTATTGTAAGAGTTACAGACATGGAGGAGGGGCTCACCGCAGACGGGCACAGGAGCCTGAAGAGCGGGGAGGAGACTGCCAAGCGCGAGTGGTTGGCGGGCACCTTCGCAAGGTTCGGAACGAACAACAAGAACGTCTGTGGTGACGCCGTCTACAAGGACCACGACGGTTCGGTGTGTTACTACGGCGTCGCCGCGAGCCTGGCCGGCCTCCAAGAACCCCGGAACCGGCGCCGAGCAGCGATTATCGCCGGCCAGCTGCAGCCGCCGCCCCGTTGCAAAATGTGGCCGGACGACGAACTCGATATTCTTTTTGCCCACGCCGAGGCCAACTTCCCGTTCCGCAACTGGAAGCTCTGCGTCGAGACGCTCGTCGAATTCGGCCACGCTAGCCGCTCGGTAGCCGCATGTTCTCGCATGTTCTCTAGATATGCGGACGACTTCGGCGTAAAGAGGGTAACGCGAGAAGATATCAACGAGGCGCGCAGAGCGAACATGATGGGTCGCGAGTTGGTATTGCAAACCCAATTCCGTGCTGAGGCGAAAGACCGGCTCGCGACGGCGGTCGTCGCCGTGGGCGCCGAGGTCGATGCTATTGTAGAATACGACGCGGAATTCTTTGTTCAGTTCACAAAGGAAAAGATCGCCGAGGAGATCGAGCGGCTGCGCGACGATCGCCCCGAGGTCTATGCAAGGGCGGGGCAGGGGCTCATGCAGGAGCCACAGCCGGTGTCTTCTGCGTCGGCGTTGTCTTCTGGGTGGAGACGACCGGCCGACGCCACGTGGCCGCCGACCGCGGTCGCGCACCTCGCGGGCCGGACTTTAGTGTTTAGTGGGAAATGTCACGAGCCGCGCCGAAATCAATAGTACAAGAGAGAGAGAGTCGGCTCGATGGCGTGGCGGTCGAATACATCGGTCTCACTGGTTGATTCCACATAGGCCTCGAGGTGCGGGGCGGTGCGTCGCAGCGCGACCTCCTGCACGCGTTGCGAAATGTGGATGGTGTGGACGACGTGAAGACGAGCCCTCGCCTTACCCACGACTGCATCGTGGTCTACGCGCCGGACGTCGCAAATCCGCCGCGCGGCAAGTACGGCGAAGCGATGAAGCGCGGCGGCTACGACACGATCGAGCTCGGGACGCTATTACAGATGCTGCCTGATGACGCCGTCCCGAGAGGCTTGCAGGCGGACGTGGCCCGCCTACGCGCGGCTCGCGCGGCTCGCCCTTCTTCCGAGCGGCCCCAGAAGCCGAAGAATGCCGACGATCTCGTGACGCACCACGTCGCATTAACGGGCAATGCTCCTGGAGGTATCATCCAGATCGACCTCGCCGAGAAGCTGAGCCCGCACGTGTCGTCGATTCATCTCGGTGGCATGAATCAGCGGACGACGCTCCTCCTCGTCGGTGACCTTAGTCGTGTCGTCGGTGGCGAATCCACGAACCTTAGAAAGGCGGAGAATGCCAACATACCGACGATCACGTACTCGGAGCTCTTTAGACTACTGCCTGCGCTCGCACCATCCTCTGGGCCGGCATCCTCTAGGCTGGCGTTGCCTCGGGCGCGATCGACTGTTGTGGCGCCGGGGGGGCTTCCCTGCGCGATCTGCGAGACTTCTTGCGATGCAAGGTTCGCGTTCTGTGGCCAGTGCTGGCGCTCGCCGCTCAAAGCCCGCCAGGCGGCCTACTGCGACGCTCTGGCCGCCCAGCGGGACGCACAACGGGAGATTATTGTCCGGGCGGCACCTTCTCTGAGGCGTTACGGTGATATTGATCAGCCACCCGCTTCGACGTTACCGACCAACATCGAGCAGCTCAAGTCCCGCGTCGAGTCGGCGGAGAGACTCTTGGGGCGCGAGTGGTGTCTGTCTCCACCGGAGCGGCCGGAGCCGCCCCCCCAGATACGACGCGAGCCGGGGGCGGCGGCTGCAGGCGCGCCGCACCCGTCCACGCCGGCACCGCCGCGGGCGCCCCCAGTCGCGCCGCCTCGGCCGCCGACCACGCGCCGCCCGTCCGCGCAAGCGCTGGTCGTCGATGCGGGACCGGCGAGCGGTCCGGTCGTGCGTGCTCGTAGTGGTCGAGGTGGTGCGAGCGGTCCGGTCGTGCGTGCTCGTAGTGGTCGAGGTGGTGCGAGCGGTCCGGTCGTGCGTGCTCGAAGTGGTCTAGGTGGTGCGACGAGGACTCAGTCTGGCCACTTGTCGGCGAGCGCCCCTGACGTCGACATGACGAACGTGAACACGCCCCAAGATGTCGAGCAATTTCGGGATTTCGGTGTGACTAAACTCAGGAAGCTCGGGCTGTCCGCCATGCGCACGATCCTCAGAGCGGTACGTGAGCCAGTGGAAACAACAGCCACAAACGGGGGGGCGGTGCAAAAGGAACTGGCCGATCGTATCCAGAAGTATTTCGACACGCACGACCCCCCCCCCCGCGCCTAAGGCCACCTCCTACGCCGTCGCCCCGAATGATCGAGTGTATAAACAGTTCTATGTTAATTGATAGTTCGGTCCACCCCCTCCTTCCGGCACCGTCCACTTGATATACTCGAGCGGCATCTTGATCGAGCAGCACTTGCAGTGCACGCAGTTCTGGGCGTTAATGACCAATTCGTCGTCCGGGTACTCGTAGACGCCCGCGGGACAAAAATTCGCCTCCGGGGCCCCGTATTCCCGCAGCGACCGCGCCGTCTTGCCCACCATGGAATCCCGAAACTCGTCCTTCACGACTAAATGGGAAGGCTGCGTGTCCGCGTGGTCGACCACGGCCCGCGCGACGTTCTCCAACAGAGGGAACGAGAGCTTGCCGTCGGGTTTTGGATATTGTATAGGTTTGGCCCGCGGGTCGTCGACCTTCGCCGTCGTCGAGGAGTCGACGGAGTCGTGGCGGAAGGTCCAGGGCTCCTTGCCCTTCATCACATAAGCTGAGGCACCCGCATAAGCTACCCCGCCGAAGAGCCCCCACTTCTTAAACGCGGGCTTGTAGTTCCTCACACCATATAACTCGTCGTAGACCCAGGACGCCTCGAAGGCCTCCTGGTAGCCGACGGCTTCCCGTTCCTCGGTCTGGATACTCTCAAACACCTGTGTGGAAATCAAAATTTTACGGCGCGTTCACGCCATCGACGCGACGCCTGCTCGATGGCGTAGTGATGCCGGCTCCTCATCGCTCGACCGAGCCAGTACGGCCGCGTCATCGCCGAGAAATGACTTAGTGAAGAATTGTCGGGTGCACCCGACGCACTGGTTGATTTCCACACAGACAAACACGTTCTCCGCGGCGAGCATGCCGCTCTTCATCGCCGTATGCGTGCCCTTGATCTTGGGCACGTTCAGGAAGCCCGCCGAGCAACCGATTAAGACACCACCGGGGAACGTGAGCTTGGGCACCGATTGCAACCCTCCTTCATTAATCACGCGAGCCGCGTAAGCGACACAATCGCCGCCCTCCAAGTGTTTGGCCATGGCCGGGTGGTGTTTGAGTCGTTGAAATTCTTTATATGGACTGAGATGAGGGTTCGCGTAGTCCAATCCAACAACTAATCCCACATGTACTAGATTAGGAGCCATATGATATAAGAAGGACCCACCGTACGTGTCAGACGCCAGGGGCCAGCCGATCGTATGTTGGACCAGGCCCGGTTGGCACTTCTCTTCGGGAATTTCCCAGACCTCCTTGACCCCTAGTCCGAACTGCTGCGGGTCGCAGTGCTTCCTCAAGTCGAAGATGGCCATGACCTCCTCGCTGCAGGAGCCGCGCGCGCCCTCGGCCAACAACGTCTGCTTGGCCAGGAGCTCCATGCCCGGCTCGTAATTTTCTCCCTTCGAACCGTCCTTGTTCAGGCCCACATCCCTTGTAGCGACGCCGCGCACACCACCACGATCGTCGTACAACACTTCGGCGGCCGAGAAGCCGGGGTAGACCTCCACACCTAGAGCTTCGGCCTTCTCGCCGAGCCAACGGACGACCTGACTTAATGAAGCCACGTAATTGCCGTCGTTGTGCAACGATGGAGGGCAAGGTAAGGGTATGGCGCCCGTCTCTGAATGCAAGTAAGAGAAGGTGTCCGCCTCGACCTTCGTTTGTAAAGGGGCATCGGCGTCTTCGCGCCAATCCGGGAGGAGCTCGTCCAGCGCTCGCGGCTCAAACACATTACCGGAGACAACATGAGCGCCTACTTCACTTGCCTTCTCGAGCAAGCAGACGGAAATTTCATTTCCTGTCGTCTCCTCCAGCTGCTTGAGGCGGATTGCGGCGGCTAGTCCCGCGGGGCCGCCTCCCACAATTACGACGTCGTACTCCATGCTGTCCCGCTCTATCGGCTCCTCCTCGCCGTCGACGGTGCTGGAGAGGCCGCGCGCCGCGGCTGGCGTGCTGGAGAGGTGGCGCGCCGCGGCTGGCGTCCGGGAGAGGCGGCGCGCCGCGGCTGGCGTGCACCGAGCGATAGTGCTCCGAGCAGTGGACAAGCTGCGGAGGCGCGTCGCTGTCGCGGCGCGCGCGCGGAGGAGTATCCTGGCCGACCGCATGGCACTGGTGCGGAACGAGTTGTCCTGAAAGCCCTCACGGGCGCAGCGGGCCGCTGTTTACCGTAAATAGTCAGCTTCTTTTTCTCGATAATCTGAGGCACCCTAGCGGCATGTAAGACACTAGCAAAAAAAGACCTGCTTCCGTTCAGAGCCGGCCTCGTACGTACTCCGGTAACCTGTCGGGCTTAGGCCTCCTACGGACGATTCCTGGCGCTTCAGCGAGAGGTTAGGAGTTACGCGATGCCCCGCCCACGACTCGGAGTCCTAGCACCGCAACAGAAAGTGCATCTTGTTACGCCACGAGCGACCCCGGCGTCGGCAGGGCCTCGCCGTAGGCCCGCTGCCAGTAGCCCCGGTGGAAGCCGGGCCCCTCCGTCATTTGGGAGGTGTTGTCGAACGCCGACGCGACGGTACGGTCGTCTTCGGTAAAGGGAGCGGGCGCCGTCGCGGCGTCGGCGACGGCCGCCGTCGCCGACACGTTTGGTGCTCGCTCCAGCGTCGGCGGCGGCAGGTTACGGTCCGCCGCCACGAGCGCCGCGACGCCGACCGATAAACCCGCCCGCGGTCGTTGTCGAGGCGGCTCCACATTTATTGCAGGCACGCTGTAGGCCTGGGCTCGAAAGGCGGCCTGCATGGCCTGTAAGCGCGACGCGAGTTCACCCAAACCGACACTCTGGACCGGTGGTGGTGGTGGAGGTAGATCACGATAGATATTTGTAGGCTGGACCGGTATGGATGATCGTTTCAATGCGTCCGCCTCGGCCCGAGCTTGCAATAAGGCAGAACGTTCCCTGTTCAGCTGCTCCGCATATCTAACTTCGACGTCAGATAAAGCCTGTCGGAGCGACGCGATCTCGTCGGCCTGGTCCCGGTCCCGTTGGATGCACCGATCTCTGACATCGCGCACGGCCTCGGCCAACCTGCAAGACCAGTCCTCGTCCGCCTCGGCCGCGGCCGCGGTTGCAATCTGTCGGATCTCAACTTCCGATTCGGCCTTGATGGCGTCGATGTTCGCGGCGTGGACCCGTTTCAGACTTTCGAGTTCCGCTTTTGCCGCGTCTCTGTCACTTCTTGCTCGTTCCAGAGCTCGTTCCGCTTGTAGCTTCGCGTGCTCCGCGGGAGCTGACGCGACGCCAATTTGCCTTTTGAGAGCGTTTGCTGACGCAGTGGCGTCCCGCAACGCCTCCTCCAAGGCGTGGCGTTCGGCGCGACCCGCTTCCTCTCTGTCTAGAGCGTGTTGCGCGTCCTCCCTCGCCACGTCGCGTTCTCGCTGGAATCGATCACATTGCGCTTTGAGATCTCTTAGAGATGACTCGTGTGCATGTTGTAAGTCGGCCAATTTCGACTCGGCCTCCAACGCTCTCCTAGAAGCTTCTGCAGATCTAGATCGAGCCGCATCTAGCTCCGACCGCGCCAAACCAGCAGCCATGGCGTGGTCGTGTTCGCGAGCATGGCGACGGGCCCGTTCGTCTCGCAACCGTTCCAATTCTCTCAAAGCAGCATCTCCGGCCAACTTCGACTCCGCGCCCAAGTGCCGGACCGCCTCGAGCTCCGCCCGCGCTTGCGCCGTGTCGTCCGCGGCCTTCTTCAGCGTCGCCCGCAGGGCGTCCCGCTCGCTCTCCACACTTTTCAAGGACCTCGTAGCATGGTGCGCATCATTCTTAGCCTTCGACGCCGTTAATTCGGCCTCCCGCAACGACTTTTCCGCTGTTTTATGGCGCTCGTCGGCGTCGCCGAGATCCAAACCCCTTCGTCTCAGTGACGCGTTCTCGACCTCCAACTTCGTTTTTATCTCTCGTAACTCCTCCAATGCAGCCTCAGCTTCGGTGTGGCGCGCGTGCGCGCCGCCGGCTTGCGCGCGCATATCAGCTAGGGCTCGATCTGACGTAGCCTTCTCGGTCTGTAATGATGCAACCAAACCAGCCAAGCGCGCCGCTTCTTGCCGCGCGGCCTGGTGGTCCTGGTGGACGCCCGACGACTGCGTCTTGAGCGACTCGGACTCAGCCTCCAATGATGCCACTCTCGATTGCAAAGAGCGCTTCTCGACCTCCAGCGCGTCGCCCCTAGACTTCTCGGCCTTCAGCGCGTCGGCCAGCGCGGCCGAGGCCCCTATTTTAAATTCTTTCTTCACAGAGGGAGCTTCCACTTTGGGTAACGATACGGCGGGCTTCGTCGTCTGCTTCGAGAGTCTACGCGAAGGCCTTCTAGCTGAGGAAGGTGTGACCGTCGTGTCGTCGTCCATGCTGCTGTCCAGCGACAAACGAGGAGACCTTTCGAGAAATGCATTTGCCTTCTCCACTACTGAAGATTTTGGTGTGATCGCGTCGACGCTCGAGTCCGTCGTGTTCCCGAGCTCGACGCCATCTATAGTGGGTTTGGGGGCCGGGCTCCCCGCGCCGATGGTGATGGACATTGGGGCTTTCTTCGGTGATGGTTTTGCAGGTGTCGGTGCTGGTGCCGGGACCCTCTTGACGACCTTCATGACGGGTCGCGACACGACGGGCTTCTGGGCGGACGGCGCGGTGTCCATGGACTCGCTGAGTGAGGGCGAGGGTGATCTTCGTCGAGGTAACGCGCCGCCGACGCGGACGCGCACGGGTTCTCTCTGGACGCTATCGTCGTCGCGGCGCGCGGGCGGCCTCATCCGTCGCGGCGACGGCGACCGGCGCCTTTGCGGCGACGGCGACCGTCTCCGTCTTTGAGGCGACGGCGACCGGCGGCGTTGTACAGGCCGTCGTTGCGGCGACGGCGACTGGCGGCCGCCGGGCCCGCCGGGCCCGCGGCGCACGGGGCCGCGCCGTTGCGGCGACGGCGACCTCCGCTGTTGTCGTCGGGGCGACGGCGACCGCCGCGGCCCGCCTCGCCGGGGCGACATGCGCCGTCGCTGCGGAGAAGGCGAGCGCCGACCACCTGGTCGACGGGGCGACGGCGACCGCCGTCGAGGTGGAGACCTACCACGCCCCCCGCGAAAGTCCCGGCCCCGGTCGGGCAGCTGCGGTCTTCGTGAACGCCGCAACCGCTGGAACTTCTCGCGATAAAAGTCGTCCGACGGGTGCGTCCACTGCGTCTCGCCCGTGTCTTCATTAACGTAGTACGGCTTGCCTCTACTTTCATCTTCGTGCTGCTCCCAGCCGTCGGGCAAGGGCGCCCGCATCGCTTCGTCCGCAATCCAGAGGAACTCGTTGAGGTCCTCGCGCTGCATACCTAATACGTCGCGCGCGTAGTTGCGGACGACGTCGTCCATGCTATGCTGAGACATGGTGCTTGTTTTCTGACGATGTCGAGCGAGAGTATCCCCGCCTCGCGATGGACTGGGCTCAATTCGCAAGACTTGGTGGTTGTTTTTTGGAGCGGCCGGTGGCTGCGGTTATTGTTGTCCGCGGGTGGGGCAGCCGACGGCCGCCGCGATCGCGGGACTACGCGGGCGTCCGACGGTTAAGGCTGCGATTCAGCCGCGTTGCTTCGCAAGCGCTTGTGCCCAACAACAACAGCCCCGACCGTTCGTCGTCTCCCAGGGCCCGGCGCGCCGTGTATGCGTCGCTATTAGATCTCTGCGCGGGCGCGGAGGACTCGTTGCCGCGGAGATTCATGAGTGCTAGTGTCTTACACGACGCTAGCTTCACAGCGCTTTGTCCAGCGGTTTTTGCGGATTACGCGAAACCAGGGGCTTAGTTCACGTCTTGTTTGTCATCAAACAACTCCTGTGCTGCGCGCGGAGAACCCTGCATCCAGTCGCTGCTTGAAACGGCTCAGTACACAGCAAATAAGCAAAGGCCCATCCTAGGGGCGTTGCGTAACAATGGGCTGCGGCGCGAGCCAGCACCGCCAGCCCTACGACAACACTCGACAAGTGCACCAGGACCACCAAGATAGCCGGAGACTGGTGCGGCTGCGCGATGTCGATGAGCGCAACACGCAGCGCCACTCGACGCGCGAGCTGCAACGGGTCGACGTCATCAAGGCGCGGCGAAGGGAGAGCGAAGCCGCCATCGCGAACCTGCCCAAACCATCAACGCCCGAAAAACTACCTTATCTAAAAAAGCGCATGTCGGCGCTCATGTCTCCGGAGCGCGATGCATTAAAACGCGACCTGTCGTCCCTATCGAAGAGCGATACTAGTTCGTTAGCGTCGCGATTGGCCAAGCTCGGTCTGGCCTCGCACGAGATGCGCGGCGACGGCAACTGCCAGTTTAGAGGATTGGCGTTCAACCTGTTCGGGAGTCAGGAGCACCACGCCATTGTGAGAAAAGCGTGTTGCGATCATATCAAGACCCATGCGGATTTTTTCAAAGTGTTCTTCGACGGTGATCAAGAATTTGAGAGGTACTTGCACAATATGTCTCAGGATCGGCACTGGGGCGACGAATTGACGCTGCGCGCGGCCGTCGAGGCGTATTCGTGTATAGCGCACATTATTAGTTCGGAGGCGCAGAACTGGTATCTTGTTTACACGCCTGAAAGTACCGATGATGTCGAGATGATGTTACCAGTGGGTGTGGCGGCGCCGCCCAAAAACAAGGATGTGTATCTATCATACGTGTCGCCGATCCACTACAATTCGGTGGTGGTTAGTACGGTCGACAACCAAGGCATGGCGGGCTGGGCGCGGACGGAGGACCCGGCGACGGGCCGGACCTACTACTTTAATGTGGAGACGCGGGAGACGAGCTGGACGTGGCCGCCCGAGACTTCGTGAGCCTCCGCGCCATCGAGGAGCCGACGCGATCACGGGGACACCGTCGCGTCGACGGCGTGGGGCGCTCGAAGACGGGCTTATCAGTAATGTGAAAGAAATGTGTTCAACAGACATGCCTTAGTTAAAATGGTAATAGTCCGTCCCTTCAATCGCGCCGAGCTTTTTAGCAGCGGCTCGCACGAAAGAAACGAGCTCCGGATTGCGCATCGACACGCACACGACAAATGGCGCGCGGATCTCGTCGACGTGCCGCACGGGCATCGACAGGCCCGTCGCGCCGTTGTGGTATGTCCCGAGCTTCGCGTCATCAACATCATATAGGGCCTCAACCACCGAAGCCCGGCCTAGCAACGCGAGCTCGTTCAAAAAGCAGCGCCCGTCGCGGCCCGCGCCCCAGACGTGAATTTTCCGGCCTTTCCACATCCCGTCCAGGATTTGCTTCACAAAAGCCGCGACGCGACACTTGACCAGTTCCTTGCGATGCGTCATGGACGACAATCCCTCAGACAGCGTATAAACGACGAGGTCCTCCTCAACTCGAAAAAGGCGGCCGCCGCGGCCCACGTGTCTCAAAAAAAATCTTAAATCGTCGCACGTCGCTCCATTATCATCGTAGCGGCCCGCGCTTCTCCATAAGGCCCGGTGGAAGAACCATGTGGGTTGAATTAAAGTGCACTCGCGGAACCTTTCGAGGAACAGCCGCTCTGAAGATAATGAGTTGGCCCACGCTGCATAACGCGCCGTCGCGTTGGGCGGGTGTCGTGAAAAACGGGACCCGAAGAGGGTGTTCTTCGCGTCAGGTTGCGTTTCGGCCGCTCGTCGTAACGCCGCGACGCGCCGCGGCCGGCTCGTGTCGTCCGCATCACAAGTTAAAATCCAGTCGTATGACGCGTGCTCTATTCCAACGTTCCTTGCGCGCGCCGCGCCGCCGTTCCTCTCTTGTCGGATGACGCGGAGGCTCATCTGTAGTCGTGCGAAGCGGGCCTGCCACTGTCGCGCTTTCACGGAAGTGCCGTCTTCAGACCCATCGTCGACGATTAGAACCTCGAGCTCGAGGTCCGTGCGCTGGGCGAGCAGCGACGCGAGGCAGGCGTCGATCGTCTGTGACGCGTTGAACGCGGGCACGACGCAGGTGACTCCATTGATGTTCGTGGCTGCGGCTAGCGCGGCCATGCCTGCAGTGCTACAGCTGTCAGCGGTCCCGGGCTGCGCTTTGAGCGCGGCGTTTTGGCCTGTTATCTGTCGCGTAACATCTGTACGACTGCCTGTGGCAAGCGGTGAGCCGTCTAGGTCGGCTGCTAGGGCGGGAGCTAATTTGCAGCTTTGGCAGAGCACTTTGCTGCCAGGGCTCTGCCGCCACACACGTCCACCAACACGCCAGCCGAGGACGCACGGCTGCTCAGGGAGTGCTACCCAGTCGCTTCTACTGGCGCAGAGACGCTTGGCACCGATGCGCGCCGCGCAACTACGCACTGCACTGCTGTGGGCGCTCTGCTCTGTGGCAGCAGCGCAGGAGGGCGTTCCAAGGCGTGGCCCTCCGCGCGGGCCCATCAAAGAAGATAAATCCACATTTTTCGGCAAGGAGGGCGACCAGTCGCATCCGTGCGGCAATCAACCGGCGGTCCGCGCCGCGGCGGCGTCGAGGACACGCCCTCGACGCCGTCGAGCAGTCGCACGCGCCGTCGCATCGACGGCGTACTCAGGCTTGATATTACAACGCGCAGGTCGCAGCGCGAGGCGAGCCCCTTCACGCAGTTCGCGCTCACCGGCTGCGCGCTCCTCCTCGTCGGCCTCGGTTTGCTCCAGATCTTCGGGACGATGGTTACTGTGAAAGCTAGAGACGAGACGAAGAAGAAGCAGTAGTTATGATGGTGCCGGCGTCGCGGGGTCTTTCGAACGCGCGGGCGGCCGGCGGCCGGAGGGTAATTAGGAATAGTAGGAGTCCATTTTCCCATCCCGTCTATCCACATGCGGCTTGAAACGCGGTCCACGCCGGCTGGTGCTCTACAAGCTCGTAGGCTGGTGATGCTGGTGGCCTCTCGCGGCGCCATCTTCACTGAAAATCAAGTGCGAGGCGATTTTGTCCCGGTCACCGGTACAGGGACGTTTCTTGGTCACCTTGACGGTTTTTTGGCGCGGTTTTTTGGGCGCCTTGCGTAACTTTCTAGAGGGTCTACGATGTCTCCAAACAGCATCGAACTCTCAGGCATTTAGAGTGTGCTGCGGCGTCGCAATCTGACTTTCACAGCTAATCGCAGTTGCGCATCGCATAACTGCTGCGTCGCACGGCGTTCCGACGCTGCTCCGAGCGCGATACGCCCTGCGCGCATCGCGGGAGACCACTGGCGCATATCGCCGCCTAAGCAGTAGCGACGCGGCAAGCCGGATACGCGCCGCGATAACCGCTCCACGGTCGCATCGCTCACCCCAGCAGACGCTGTCGAAGCGCCAAAACACACAACACCCATCACAACACAAAAATCCCGTTTTCGAACGCGTCTCGCCAACGCAGGCAAGAGATAACCATGTCCAACGTCACCGGAGAATCGGTAGGCATCGACCTCGGCACGACCTACAGTTGCGTCGGCGTCTGGCAGAACGACCGCGTCGAGATCATCGCCAACGACCAGGGCAACCGCACGACGCCCTCCTATGTGGCGTTCAACGAGACGGAGCGCCTCATCGGCGACGCCGCCAAGAACCAGGTCGCCATGAACGCCTTCAACACGGTCTTCGACGCGAAGCGCCTCATTGGGCGCAAGTTCACCGACAGCGCGGTCCAATCGGACATGAAGCACTGGCCGTTTAAAGTGACGAGCGGCGTCGGCGGCAAGCCCACGATCCACGTCCAGTACCGCGGCGAGGAGAAGACCTTCGCCGCCGAGGAGATCTCGTCGATGGTGCTCATCAAGATGAAGGAGATCGCCGAGGCGTACCTCGGCAAGGACGTGAACAACGCCGTCGTCACCGTCCCGGCCTACTTCAACGACTCCCAGCGCCAGGCCACGAAGGACGCCGGCTCCATCGCGGGCCTCAACGTCCTCCGCATCATCAACGAGCCCACGGCCGCGGCCATCGCGTACGGCCTCGACAAGAAGGGCGACGAGCGCAACGTGCTGATCTTCGATCTGGGCGGCGGCACCTTCGACGTGTCTCTCTTAACGATCGAGGAGGGCATTTTTGAAGTGAAGGCGACGGCGGGCGACACGCATTTAGGGGGCGAGGACTTCGACAACCGCATGGTCTGACTCAGTGTCCGTTTTTGAACTTCGAGGTCGCGTCGATGGCGTCACCGCGACGTCACGCCACCTCCACTTCTTCGACGTGGCCGCGAGAGCGTCCACGCGTCTCGTGAGTGACCATCGGTCGACACAGGTCGACTACTTCCTGACCGAGTTCAAGCGCAAGTTCAAGAAGGACCTCAAGTCCAACCAGCGCGCCCTCCGACGCTTGCGCACGGCCTGCGAGCGCGCCAAGCGCACGCTGTCGTCGTCGACGCAAGCGCACCTCGAGATCGACTCGCTCTTCGAAGGCATCGACTTCAACTCGACGATCACGCGCGCGCGCTTCGAGGATTTGAACATGGACTACTTCCGCAAGTGCATGGACCCCGTCGAGAAGGTCATGCGCGACGCTAAATTATCCAAGTCGCAAGTCAACGAGGTCGTGCTCGTGGGCGGTTCCACGCGCATCCCCAAGATCCAGTCGTTGCTGGCCGACTTCTTCAACGGCAAGGAGCCCTGCAAGTCGATCAATCCTGATGAAGCTGTTGCGTACGGTGCCACCGTCCAAGCTGCGATCTTATCTGGTTCGGATTCTTCGGAAAAGCTGTCTGACTTGCTGTTACTCGATGTTACTCCTCTGTCGCTCGGCTTGGAGACGGCGGGCGGCGTCATGACTGCTTTAATCAAGCGCAACACGACGGTGCCGGCCAAGAAGTCGCAGACCTTCAGTACCTACGCGGACAACCAGCCGGGCGTGCTCATCCAGGTCTTCGAGGGCGAGCGCTCCATGACCAAGGACAACAACCTGCTCGGCAAGTTCAACCTCGACGGCATCCCGCCCATGCCGCGCGGCCAGCCGCAGATCGAGGTGACCTTTGATATTGACGCGAACGGGATCCTCAACGTCTCCGCCGTCGAGAAGTCGACGGGCAAGGAGCAGAAGATCACGATCAAGAACGACAAGGGCCGCTTGTCGCAGGACGAGATCGACCGCATGGTCGACGAGGCCGAGCGCTACAAGGCCGAGGACGAAGCCAATAGGGTGCGCGTCGAGGCCAAGAACAGCCTCGAGAACTACTGCTACTCCATGAAGAACACCATGTCCGACGAGAAGCTCGCTTCTAAATTATCTGATGACGACAAGTCGACGGTCACCTCAAAGATCGACGAGACGACGTCGTGGCTCGACGCGAACCAGATGGCCGAGAAGGAGGAGTACGAGGCGAAGCAGAAGGAGCTCGAGGCGGTCGTGAATCCCATCCTTGCCGCTCTTGGGGGCGGGGCCGGAGGTGGAATGCCTGGGGGCATGCCGGGCGGTACTTGTGCGGTGTCTGAATTTTACTGAATTTCGCGTCGATGGCGTCGACGCGACTTCCCGTCGCCGTGAGGCCGTGTTCATGATCACGAGAAGCTATCGCTGCGATCTGTTACTTGACTCCGTCTTTTCCCCACAGGTATGCCCGACATGGGCGGCATGGGTGGCGGCATGGGCGGCGCTCCGGCCGAGGAGCCCGCCGACGAGGGCCCGAAGATCGAGGAGATCGATTAAAATGCCAGGAAACGGAGGAATCATCGCCTGCGACGGGCGAATTTCCCCGCGTTCCCGCCCTTTCCCGCGACGACGTAAAAAATGAGTTGTTTTTCCAATTATGATCGCGTCGAAGGCGCATGGCGTGGACCATGGCCCACGATTGCTAGTTCCCGGGATGCTTAGTTCGGGAGTAGGGATCTGGAGCGCGTCCTCACGGCGGGGTCCGGGGGTTCGCCATCGACAGGCGTGGCGCACCTCAGAGGAGCCCCAGGCGCCGCTTGTAATAAGGGACCCAGTAGCCGTCGATCACGATCGCCCCGGCGTACGTCCACGGCAGCAGGACGAGCAAGTCGGTCAGCGCCGGCTCATACGGGAAGCCCTTGAGGTAGACGTACACCGCGAAGGTCCCAAGGGTAAAAAGGGCCGTCGCCGTCAACTCGAACGCTGGGGAGCGGCGCTTGGGCTGGGGGCCGAGCGAGACGTCCCACTCCGGCCCCTTGGCGTAGTAGCCGCGGTTGATCATAATGCCGACGGTCGCTCTGCACAGAAGTGTCGCGAGCACGTACGCAACGGGCAAGAACAGGAGGAACTGGAACGGATTCAATGACTCGAGTCGCTCGACAGGAACGGAATCAACATATGAAGCCCACCCGAAGATAGAGAGTCCAATGGCCAGGAAACAAAAACCAACGACGCCGACGAACGCGCTCGTGGGCCACTGGAGCTCGGCGACGGCCAGGATCGAGTCGACGTCGACCTCGTCGCCGTGCGTGCGCAGGCCGTCCAAGTGCGGGGGGTAGACGTGCGGCTGCGCCTCCTCGGGCGAGTCCGAGGACGCGTCCGCCTCGATGAGGAACGGCGCTTCCTTCGACGCGCCGCCGGCGAGAAGCATCATGATGAGAGCGTAGTTAAGCGGGCACGGATCTTAGACTAACCCTTGCTACGAGGCCGTACAAGATGATGTCTCAACCTCTCAGGTGTTTTTTGGTATCTGAGCGTCTCAGAGAGTTGAACGCTCGACCGCGTGTTTGTCTCTGCTTCAGAGACTCGACGATTGACCGCGAAAACGCCTGAGCGAGCGCTTGGTGCCCCAAACCCGAGCAACCTAATCCTCAACTCCGGGAGCTAGCGGTCTGTAAGACACTAGGGAGGCAAAAAAATTTGCGAGGTCGATCGTCACGGCTCGCAAACGCAGCCCTTGGCAACGACATGGTTGCAAACCGTTGCTTCTAAAATAATTGCGAGCGCGACGTAGGAAGGGCTGCGGCGGAGGGCAGCCCAGCACCAAAGATGGCGGCAGCCCGCAGCCGCAAAAAGCAAAACGGCGTCCTGCCCTGGATCGCGTTGCTTCTATTAGCGGTAGTAGTAGCAACATTCGTCTACGCCCACGTGCACGTCGTGTCGCAGCACGGCACGGCTGTACATCCGCACATGCCGCCGCCGCGGGCAAGGCAGCTCGAGGAACCCGTGATACCAACAATGATTGAGACGCCGGCACCATCACAGACAAAACGCAAGAAGACGATCAACGATATCACAAATGAACTGGACCCCATGGACCGGCTGCTCGAGCAGTCGCGGATGCGCGCGGAACGAGGGGACGTCTGCGCCGACGATGTTTTTATTGTGCACTGGACGCACGTGCCGAAAGCGGGCGGCACGGCCTTCGCGGGCATGGCGAAGAAGATCTCCTGCGCGCGGAACCCGGCCATCGCTTCCTCGAACCCGTGCTGCGTCCGCGACGTCTGCGTGGCGGAAGGGTCGTGCCATTCCACCGCTTCCACGTGTCCTCTAGTGCAAGGAATAGGCAAGCACACGTCGAACATGGGTCGGTTGGCGCTCGTGCCGTGCTGCGGGCGGGAGTGGTACCTGTCGACCGTGATCTCGTTCTTGTGCCGACGCGGCGTGGGAAGCGGCCTTCAATATGTGTCGCGTCGATGGCATAGTGGGGCGCGAAGTCCACACGCGCCGTCGCGGCGATGGCGTGCTGGTGTGGTAGAAGTGCTACCCTCGAGACGACGCGCCGCGCTGATCAACTTGGTGTGGCCGCACGATGGCGTAGAGGGTGGCGTCGACGGTCGTCGTCCGCGCAGGCGCTACGCGATCCGGCCGGCGCCGACGGACGACGAGCTGGCCAAGTTCGGCCTAGCTTATGATCCGCATCGACCGTACCACCCCGTATATAACGGTGCAGCAATCAAAGCGTGACCTCCGTGATAGATGGCACGCACGGATACCACCTTCGAACGTCGCCGCGATGGCGTGCCGGTGGGGTAGAAGTCTCATCAAGCCGTCGAGCAGACGCGGTCGCGTCGATGGCGTCACGTGGACACTGAACCCCATGCCGCGCCATCGCCGAGAAACGACACCGATCGATGTCCGCACAGGTCAAAGTGAAAAAGGAGCGGCTCACGGGAAAAAGTGCGGCGCCCATGGGCGCCCTCGCGGCGACGGCGGGCATGGGCAAAGGGACCCAATTAGCTCTACGAGCCAAAGGTTATGCCAGTTGGCCGGTAGAAAAGAGGGTCGAATTTTTTGCGAAGACCGGAGTCAATTGGGCGGAGCTGAAGAAACGATTGACCGAGAAGCGCATGGCTCCTAATGATGACGAGTCTACCGGGTTGCTGAAGGAGTTAAGAGCTGTGTATGATCGCGTCGCCCTCCCGAAAAATATGACGTATGGTGGCTCGCAAAAACATAGATTTCCGCGACCGGGCGAGCCTTCCCTACAAGCTCGCTTCTGTGCGAAGTCCTCGAGAGACTTGGTGGAGGGCATAGACCGCCCCCACGAGTGCTGCCACAAGCGAGGAGTAGGAGCTTCAAGCGCCACGATGATCCGCCAACCCTGGGTGCGGGGCGTCTCGGCCTATTTTTATCGAGGCCACAATCCCAATTATGACGCTTATAAATTACGACCGGGCCTCTGGGTCCATCCGAACGATCGAAAACTGTATCCAGCACTCATCGGTCAAAAAACATACACTTTTAAGGAGTACCTCGGCATGCCCGAGTATCAAAATGTGATCACGAAGATGTTCGGGGATAGCGCGGAGTGCCCCCAGGTGCAGCACTGCCGGCGGAAGCCTGGCTCGGACATTTCGGCTACTTGCGACATGGTGACCGGGTGCCACGGGTACCGGAACACGACCTACTTGAACGAGGAACACATTGATGCAGCAGTGGAGAGTTTGAAGGCGCATGCCTTCGTGGGGTTGCTCGAGGCGTACAACGCTTCCGTGTTACTGGCTGCTGCGGAGTTCGGCGTTCATAATCTCGAGGAGGACGATTTTGCCCAATCTAGACCGTCTGCCGCTCTCCAGGCGGACTGTAGTCCGTCTCGGGTCTTGCGGGCGGACGCCGACGCGTGTCGAGCGGCCTTCTCGGCGTATTCCTTGGACAATATTGTGTATGAGCGAGCTCACAGACTATTCTGCGATCGCCTGGACGTGAAAGGGCTGCTTGAGCGAGATGATGTTCGCAAGGAGCTTACGAAGAGAAAACTCTGTGGCGAGGTCGACTATTCGAAGGTAGAGCACGTCTGCGGCCCTCTGGAGACGCCCGCGGCGTTTGAGAAATTGAAGACGCTGCGCGCGGCCTGCGTCCCGGGGGGCCTCGGCCGTCTCAAAAAGAACCCGCGCCAGCCGCCGCCTCTCCCCAGACCGCGGGAGTGGTGGCTGAGCACGTACGGCTATCACTACGACGGCGACCGGACGCCGGCGAGCTAACTAACTATATTTTGGTATTATTTTATTAAGTCACTAACAACACGTCGCCATACCCTCTCGTCGACGGCGTGGGGGCGGTCACGCAGATCTCCTCGCGTCGGCTCACGGCTAGTGCCCGAAGCTAGCGTAAGCCGCTTCGAATCGAGCGCGAAGCTGCCGCACACGTGCCGCGCCGGCGAAAGGGCTACCACAAACGCGCGCGCCTTGCCTGCTTTGCGTCGTCGCAGTGATCGCGAGGCCCGACTTGTGCCCCATCAGCGCGCCATCGCCGCGTTTTTTACCCCACCAGGGCTGCCCGGCACGCGTGTCAAAAATGGAGCGCCAAAAGGCCACCACATTGACCGCCGCCTGCCAGGCCTCTGCAACAGCACAACTGCCCCAGCTCAACATCTCCGAGAGGGAAGCGTTATCGTTGAGGCAGCACGCTGGTGATCAGACGACTATCACGATTGAGTGGGTCGTTGATGTGGCCGATAATAATCTGAATTGGTTCGTCGCGACGGCTTACAGTATAGATACGGTCCGTCGAGTACTGAGGGTCGCCATACCGGACCGCGACGAGCCGACGTGGGAGGGGGATTTGCCGCTCGATCCAAAAACAATTCATTTACTGGAGTGCTGCGACAACAAATCAATGGCGTTGTATAAACAATGTTGCCGAGAGGGCAGCATAAAGTGCAAGTGGACCGTGGAGTGGTGTATTGATGGAGCCTGGTTTTCCGGCGAGGCTTTGTATTATGGCCGACTCGCGAACGTCGTCTACTGTTCTGATGGGAGGAACGTAGCTCTACACGAAGTGACCATAGATGAGAACTTGCGGTTGGTCGAGTGCCTCGATGACGCGTCGCGAGGTGAGTTCGAAGAGCTCGTCGTCGACGGCGTCGTGCGGTGGCGGGGGCCGGACGGGGATGATCATGAATTACAACAAGATCCGGTGGCTGCGGTGGCGCGCCGACCGGCGCGAGCCCTCGCACAAAATTGTGAACAGCTAGACAGATTGGCGACGGACATGGCCCACTGCCTGGCGGACGCGCTGCGGATGCGCTGCGCGTCGGACGTCGAGCAGTACGAGGCCGCTTCTTTACTTAAGAGGCATGTTGTTTGTGGGGACTTGGACGCTGCTGACAGGTTAGATGAAGATGGAAGGCGAGATGCTCGGGCCGACCTCGACCGACGGCGGAGAGAAGCGCAGGAATCTTGTTTAGGTGCTATTCAAAGATGCGAGGGGCGTTTTTGGAGGGCTGCTGCCACGGGTCTGTTCTTTCGTCGACGTTATAAAGCGGGCGATGCGGTGGAAGTGGCTCTTTGCAGAGGTCTGGAAACCTGCAGAGGTGTCGTGGCCAAGTGCCATGACAACGAGACCTATGACGTGGACCTCGACGGCGACCGGCCGGAAGTCGGCGTGCAAATACCGCCCGAATATCTGAGGCCGTCTGTTCAGTCAAGACAGAAGGCCCAGGGGAACCTGTTCGCTGGAGTACATGACGAGGCATCAGAATCTAGAAGGAGAGAGTTACGAGCCGCCGTGGCCGACATGCTGCGGGAGCGGGAAGCGTTACGAAGCAGATTGGATGCGCTCACGCGCGAAAAGGAACATCTCGAGGACGTCATAGGTGTGCAACAAACTTCACAAAAGCCGCAGCGCCGCCACCAGGGCCCCGCCGATCGAACGACGCGCATCTGGTGCGGCACGATCCGTCTAGGATCAAAGGATGATTTAGGAGCCGCATGTGCGGCCGCTTTACCAGTAGGAACGAAAAATGAAGTGGAGAGAGCTGCCGGCTTCGACGTCGTCGTTTGTGCATTACAGGGGGAGCTAGATGGCTCTAAATGTGTCGCGGCTCTCAAGGCGCGGTTGCCGGGCGCCTGGGCCGCAACTTCTGCAAATTGTGGGAACTCTCACTTAATTGTATTTGCGCGGTCGTCCGCAGTTGTCAAGGACTCTGTGGTAGCGGTCCCTGCGCCAAAAGCCGCCGTCGTCACCGCGACGTTGCGAAGCGGCGCTCGCTTGGCCTTCTGCGCGGTCTGTGCCGGTGAGTACGACACACCACTTTCTACGGACCAGGCCGTACGATCCGCGAGAGATATGATGTGGCCCGCTTCCAGTGAAGATGTCGGACGGCCGCCGCTCGACTGTTGTGGAGGCGCGGACCACGCCTTCCTGATTGGGGACCTGGGCTTCGGCGCGTCTGCGGTCGGTCAGGCCGCCTCCCAAGAGTTAGTAGCTGCAGAGGACTGGGCCTCGCTGGCGAACCACGACGAGCTGCGCCAGAGCAAGAACGAAAGAAGAGCATTATCAGGGTGGGAGGTGTCGCAACCTAGATTTCCGCCGACCGCGCATAGATCATGTTGGCGCGAGCGGATCCTGTGGCGGTCTTCGCCTGGTCTCGTCGATCGCGTGCGGTTGGAGCTGCACACGGCCCGAGATATAGGTTTGGGGCGGGACGCCGTCGTCGCGGCCTTCTCGTTGAGTCCGCCGACGCGAGCTCCCACACCGCGGCCCGTGGAAATCGCCTTTCCTTCGTTGAAAGTATCTTTACGCTTAGAAGCGTCGTCACTGGAAGGACTGCAAGCGGCAGCTAAAGGTGTGGGGCCGTTACTGGTAAGTGTGGACGCGTCGCACGACCGCACTGGCGTTCCGCCGCGGACGTCTGATCGTTCGTTAGAGGCGGATGGAGACTCGTTGGACGAGGGCGAGCCCGCAGCTACGTCAATCTGGACTTTTGATGATGACAAGAAGCTCGACTCGTTGAGAACGCTCGCGGACCCCGACGACGACGCCGATCACATCACGGTGCGCGTCCTTCGAAGGGTCTGGCGCGAGGACAAGCAAGCTTTTGAAGATAACGGCGTGTTAATTGGGGCGGCGTTGCTGTCTGGGAGGGCTTTGGCCCGGCGCATCTTGCGAAGTGAGGCGGCGGTTGATTTCCAGGAGCCATTACTGTTGCGAGGCGTCTCCATCGGCACGCTGCACGGTTCGGCGGCTCGCGCTAAAGGAAGACTGTTGACGAAGGCCGCAGAACCTTTGGACGCGAGGATGACGGCCGGGGCCTCTTCCGAAAAACAGAAGAAGTCCTCAGGCTGGGGCCTCTTCGCCTCGAAAAAGAAGCTGTCCGAGAACTACAAGACGCGTAAGTAGTTTCCACTAGTCGACCGTCACGTCGCCTATCCCTACAGTACGCCACGGTGGCGCACTCGGGCGGCGCGTGACGCTAGGGTGCGATTTACGCGGAAAAAACGCGTAAGTTACACGTAAAGCACCGCTACAGGAGATCCCACGTAAAAAACGGCGTAAAAAAGGAGGTATCCAAAAGTCCTTCCAGGGCTCTTCCCGAAGCCGGCGCTAGCGGCCCTCTAAGACTCTAGCTCGCGATCAGCAGCTCGCAGAGTGTGGCTGCCCCAAACGTTGTCAGAGCCGAGCCAATTGCTAGTTGCATGCTGTTGCGAGCAAGGTGTGCACTCTAGGTGTGCGCTTATGCGCCGTGCTCGTGCTGCTATTGAGCTGCGTGGCCACAAGGCCTTGTTTAGGGGCTCTGGCTGCGTGTGTGCGGGTTTTATAAATAAATGCACGCGTAAATTACGCGTAAATTACGGCGTAAATGACGCTGGACCGTTTCTCACGTAAAGAACGCCGTGCGTAAATCGCACCCTAGGCGTGACGCCGCCGACTCGGACGAGTATATGTCCCAAAAAGCACTCTTAGGCCCCAGAAAACTCAGCAGACCCCGGCCAGCTCCTCCTTGAAGGCGACGTTGTTCGCCAGCACGTAGAGGTCCGGCGTGTCCTTGTTCTCCAACAAATCAAAGGCCTTGCCCTTGAAGCCCGCCACGTCGACGTCGGGGTTCTCCAGTAATTCGTTGATGGCCGGATGCCGGGACTCGTCCCAGACCGCTAATTGGACCAACCTAGATCCGGTGGGATCCTTCTCGAGGTCAAACCCGCACCAGAGCAGTCTCTCCTTCAAGGCTTCGAGCGGCCCGGCGGAAGCATGCACGCCGTTGTCCGTGCCGTTGGGCTGCTCCGGTAGTCCGAGCGGGTCCCACTGCTCGAGGAGCTTCTTCCTAATCGATCCATCATTGGCTTGCTCGGGATTCGTCGCGCCGATGACGTCGTTCTTGAAGGCCGCCCAGGACAGACGCGCGGGGTCCCAGGCCACGACTAGTAGATGCACTTCCGCGCCATCCTTCTCGTAGGCAGCTTTGAGTGATGGGTAGAAGCCGTTGACACAAAACAGGTTGTTCGACCCGCCGCCGCCGCCGTCCTCCTCCTCACTATCCTCTTCTTCCTCCTCTTCGTCGTCCCCACCCTTCAGCCGAGCCACATAGACGCCAGAAGCGATCTTGACCGTGGCGCCACACGTCGTCCAGAGATTATTTAAGTCCTTCGGAGGCATCGGATCACCGCCCTTGCCGAGCTGAAGAGCGCAGGCCGACGCCGACTTGATGCACTCCGCCGCCACCATGTCGTCGTAATTGCACCCGAAGGCCTCCTGGAACTTCTCCTTCGCTTCTGCTGTCGGTTTGAGGCCTTCGACGCCGTTCTCCGAGGCGTCGGCGATCGCAGCGTAGTGCTTGTCCACAATCCCGCCCTCCTTGATGGCGTCGGCGCCGATGGAGCACCCGCCCAATATCTTCACCTTCTTGCTCAGCTCGTCCTTCACGAACTCGATACAATCGGGCTTGTGCGCATGCGGCTTCACAAACACGAGGCCGAAGTTCGCGTTGACTAAAGTGGAGGGGCTCACCTTCTCTTCCGGCTCCTTGAGCTCGCTGCCGTCCGGTAAAGAGCCGACCTGGCCCATTGTCTTTCTCTCGGTCTCACGCCTACGCAACCGCCCGCGTCTCTTGGCTGCGTTTGCGCGCTTTACGGGCGCGGGGCAGCGCTATGGTTTTTCACCGGAAGCTAGAGCTGAGCTACTAGGGGCCGGCGCCACGTCGTGGTCGCTACCGACCGTCCGGGCAGCCGGTCCAGGGCTCTGTGGGCGAGTAGTGGTGCGCCCGGCTGCTTGCTAGTATCTTACATGCCGCTAGCTAATCACAGTGCAGGCACAAAACGCAGCGCACTCGGCTTGTGTGGACGCATCGTTGCTGAGAGTGTGGCATAGTCTCACTGACTGATTGACGCAGCTGCCCTGCAATTGCTTTTGTGCAGTACTGCACTGAGGCAAAACAACACCGCTCTTGCACAGCACTACGCAGCAGCGCTGCATGCGCCTGCTCGCAGCACTGCTCGTGTGCAAGATGTCGGCGCTCGCGCCAGTAGAGCAGATGACAGAGGTCCGCGCGACGCCGCTGAAAGGCAACTGCCTCTACGCCACACGAGACTTTGCAGCTGGTGCAGCGGTGACCGACGAGCGACCGCTCGTCAGATCGCGGCTAGACGACGATGCGGCCCTGACGGAGCGCGTCGATGCCGCGCACCGACGCAGCCCCTTCGGCTTCCAGCATATGCGATCCCATCTAGCGGCGCTGTGGACGCTGCAGAGCGCGCCTCCGCACGTCATCGACGCCATCGCGGCGAAGGCGGCCCCCACGGCGCCGGCCGCGGCGGCGCGCCTCGACGAAGAGCTCGCGGCAGTCACCAATCCCTGGCACGCGCGCTACGTCGGCGTCGTGCTCGACGCGGCGAGCGTCGCGGCCCTCCACGAAGCCGTGCCGCCGCGCCACCCCACCGTCACGGGCCAGTCGCACGTCACGCTGTGCTTCGAGCCACAAGGAACGGAGTGGCTGCCGCTCCTCGGCACCCGCTGCGCGCTGCGCGTCGACGAAGAGGTCTCTGATGAACGTGGCCAGGCGGTGACGGTGGCGCTCGAGTCGCCCGATGTTTCAGCGCTGTTGAATGACGGCCGCACGCCGCACATCACCATCTCGACCGCCGACGGCGTCGAGGCGGTCTACTCGAACGAGCTCCTGCGGACAGAGGAGGCGCTCCGTCCCGTCGCGCTCCGCCTGACCGGCGCGGTCGCCGTCGCCGTCCAGCCGTCGCCGGCCGCCGCCGCGAAGGCGAGGCGGCGCATCGTCGCGGACCCTGAAGAGGCGACGCGGCTGCTGTCGCCGGACGCGGCGCTCCTGCGGCGACTCACGCTCGCGTGGGAGTATAATGGGTTTCCTGCTGACGACGACGGAGCGCTGGAAATCTTCGACAGGGCTTCGACGGCGGCGCACTCGTGCGCCCCGAACTGCGCGCTCGAGGTCGTCCGGGGCCTGCGGCGCGACGACGGCTCCGTCGCGGACACGTTAGTAAAGGGTGACCGCGTGCGCCAGGCCCCGGTGGGGCTGCGGCTGAGAGCTCTGAGACCCATCGCCGCGGGCGAGGAGATCACGTTTTGTTACCTGCCTGATCTAGATCTACGAGCAGAATTTCGCGAGCGACGCAAGCAACTCGCCGCGCGCGGCTGGAAGTTCGTGTGCCACTGCGAGCGCTGCGTGGCCGAGGCGCGGGCGTTCCTTGACTCGTCCCGCGGCGAGTCCTCGAGCGACGACGACGAGGGGCCCGGTGTTGTGGTGGAGGCGATCTTTTGATGACTCCGACGGATGTGCGCGTGCGACGTCCGTTCCTTCTCGGCGTGCGTCTGCGTGAGTGTCGGGATGGGCTTCGAGCGTACTCTTCTACCCCACCAGCACGCCATCGCCGCGACGTTTTATGTGTGTGTAAATGTACTTATATACTTTGCGCAGCTTCCGCAGTGCGCCTGGCGATGGGTCTTCTAGCAGCAGCTCGCGCAGCCGCCCGGCGTCGGCGCATCGGCAGACGGCGAGAAGTGGCACGGGAACAGCCCGAAGTGCGTCGACCGGTCGCCCGACACCGTAAAATGCTTCCCGAGCCACGAGTCCCCGACCATCGCCGCACTGTTCCCACAGACGAGCATGGGCCGCCCCGTCTCGAAGCGGTGGTGGTCATCCAATTGATACGCGTGTCTGTGGCCCGGGACCGTGCCCTTGTAAACTGCCACTTGGCCGTAGTCCTCGCACAGCGACTCGAGCAAACCGGGGAGCTTAAATAACCGGTAGGTCACCGACGTGAATTTGGCTTCACCCACCAGCTCTATGAGTTGAGGGTCCTTCACGTCGATGGGAGCGCTATCCAACACGCGAGGGTCCTCGAACCCTACCCGTCTAGCGATCCTGAGAAAGTCCTGCTCGTATAATGCGCCGCCGATGCATTCGCCCACGAGTATTTTGTGTTGTGTTAATGCTTTCGGTAATCGTCGGTCGCCGTACACGTCCGAGAAATAAAACTCTCCCCCATTTCGCAGTACTCTATAAGCCTCTTTCAACACGGCAGGTTTATCTGGAGAGAGGTTGACAACGCAGTTGCTGATGATGACGTCTATGCTATCATCAGGTATTGCTGATAGATCTTCAATGGTGCCCTGCACGAAACTCATGTTCGCATACCCTATCGTAGATGCGTATTCATCAGCGTGCTTCCTCGCGACTTCTAGTTGTTGCGGCGTCATGTCGACGCCCGTGACGCGGCCCGTGGGGCCTACTAGCTTAGAAGCCACGTAGCAGTCTCTTCCGGAGCCGCATCCTAGATCTAAAACGTGTAAACCTTCAATACCTTGCGGCAGTGGACTGCCGCAGCCATAGTACTTCGCGATGACCTCGGAAGGTACCTTGGCGAGGATGTCCCTTATTTCCTTAGGCGGAGCGTTCGCTGTGCAGCACGCGTTCGTCTTTAGGTCGCTTGTGGTGGCTAGCGTTTCTCCATAATACTCCTTGACCTCACTCTGGATCTGCGAGGCGTCCTTGCCGCCAGCACCCATGATTCCTTGCGTTCGCGACCGCTGCGGTGTGTTGAAGGCTAGGGAGAGGCTGAACACAGGTTATGCGTGGCCTAGCTGCTTGCGAATGTTGGTGCACCGCGATGACAGCGTTCAGACTGCACTGATGCGACTCAACAGGTCAATATATGATCAGTTGTGTGGCAAGGAGCGGGAGAGATGGCCTGTGAAGCTTGGTGTGTAGAAGGCATGGTTTCGGTCTTGCGGGAGCCGTCTCTCGTGCTAATCGAATCTCTGCGTACGTCCCAGAAGAGCGATTCGTCTGATAAATAAAGTTTAAGCTAGCGGTGTGAGACACTAGAGCAACCAAGCGCGACGAGCAGCGAGGCCGCGCTGTTGCTGCGCGCTGGCCTTTGTTGCTTGCTGACTGACATAATAGCTGGTCGCGACGACGTCTCGCTGCAGCTGGCCGTAGCTGGGACGCGTCGCGCTTCCTACAGGGGCAGGGCGGGCTCCTAAGCGCCGCGCGCCTCGCGCCGTGCGCCACTCGCGCAGCGCGCGTCGCCCCGCGCACCGCAGTGGTCCTAGCGCGCCGCCGCCGCCGGCAGCGGTCTCGCAGTGTCCAGCGGCGCGCGAGCGGTCCCCGCGTGCCGCCGCCGCCGCGGCCCTCTCGTAGAGATGGTCTTCTTCTACAAGACGGACCTCATCTACGAGATGCTCCTGTCTCCCCAATATTTTGGACCGTCCATGAAGACGCGGATCAAGGACGAAGTAAATAAGCAGGTCGAGGGAAAATGTTTGGGACGGGAGGGGTATGTCATCGCCGTGACTTCTGTCAAAGATGAAGATGTGGATACCGGAGTGGTAGAATATGACACGGGTTGCGTGGCGGTGAACGTGCGATATGCGGCGATACTACTGAGACCGTTCAAGAACGAGGTCTTGGACGCGATCGTGGACGACGTGAGTGAATTGGGCGTGTTCACGTCCGTGGGACCGCTGCACATCTTCGTCAGTCGGCACGCGATGCCGGAAGACCTCCAGAACGGGTTTGATGCGGACTCCGACGCCTGGCTGTCGGATGACAAAGAAGTGGAGATCAAGAAGGCCTGCGTCATTAGATTGCGGCTGCTGGGCGTAATGTGCGACACGACCCAAATAACAGCGGTCGGGACGATCAAGGATGATTTTCTCGGATTGATCTCGCATCCCGACAACCAGGGCTTCTAATGTTTTTATGACACCAACCGGCGGGCCTGTGACGAGCGCCCGCTCGCCGCGCTTCGCGGCACGCGAAAAAAAAAATACAAGTAATACCATATAGTTTAGGTTTATGTACCTTGCGGGGTGCGCGTGGATGGCGTCTTGCGTCGACTGTACGCCGTGAATCTCTCTCACGACGGAATTTTAGTCTAGAACGGCCCGGGGGACCGCATCAGCATAACAAACACCCATCGGGAAGGGCTAGTCGAAGGAATACCTCATCAGCGTATTCCAGTCGTCGCACGATTGCCCTCGGTAGCCCATATTCTTAAAAAAAGTCGAGTTTTTTTTGCCCCGAGCCCTCGAGGTCGGACGGTCGATCCACGCGACAGAATGAGTGTTATTGGGGTCACACATGTCCAACGTTGGTTCTAGAATTCGCTCGGCGAAACAACACATCTTTTCGGCTGGCTTCGCGACAGCCTTGGCGGGAGTATCCCAGGTTTTTTCCTCCAGATTTTTAAACATATTTTTTACAAGTCGATCCAGATTTTCTCCAACATTTTTCCGCTTGGCGGAGCATTTGTCGAGTGAAGTGTAACAACTACCGAAGCTATCTTTATATGGGCATTTTTCGTCGTGTGGACGCTCCTCCGCATTCGCGTACACGCCACGATCGGGGTACTGCGCGGGAGCCATCTACGCCTCCGAGCTCGCACGCCTCGACGCCGGCGTACAGGCGGTCGCTTTGTTCCACGCGAACTACCAGAACCTTTCGGCGTTCACGCCGGCCATGTCGGACGTTTGGATGCAGTACCACCATGCCGAATTCGACAGAGTCGGCGACGACGGCCTTCTGGAGCTCGAGCACCACCTCGCCGGAGCCGGCGTCCAGGTCTGGGAGACGCTCAAGTACGGCGGCACGTCTCACGGCTTCGCGGATCCGACGAACAGCATCTACGACGAGCGCGCCGCGGACCAGGCCCACGCGACGATGTACTCGTTCTTCAAGGCCAAGATGCCCCCCAAGGCCGAAGTCGACGACGACACCTCGTGCGAAGATTCCAAGACCTGGCACAAGAACGGCGACCCCGCCAAGGACTGCGCCTGGGTGTCCGAGTGGTCGCCGCGCTGCCAGGTCAAGGGCGCAGACAAGTCCCTCGCGTCGGAGCACTGCACCTGCGCCTGCCAGTAGGCGCGCCGACATATACACCCTCCCCGACCACGCCCCCGACCCCCGATAAACTATCCGAGTTTTTAAAGAGTCAACAAACACACCGGCGTCGGGCAGGCCACCTGGTGCTTCTTGGCCAGCGCGCCCGTCTTTTGGTCGATCGCGAAGGAGAGAATTGTAGAAGAGTCCTGGTTCGCCACGAGCAGTAGATCGGACCCGACCAACGCGATCTCGCGCGGCGTCCGGCCGCCCGTCGTCACGTGCATCGACGTGAAGGGCGCGCCGTCTTCCGAAAGCGAAATGACACTCACCAGACCGTCCACCCCAATAGCTCTATTGGATGCGTACGCAAATTTTCCAGATGGATGCACCACCAATGCAGCACACGTCGACTTGGGCCTGGACGGAGGCGCGTTTACGGAAGACGGCGGGTAGCACTCCCGCGGCAGCGTTCTAGAGGACGCGAACGGCGTCTTGTCCAGGGGCTTGCCCGTTTGACGACACACGCGGAACGCCAGTAGTCTACAAGACAGCTCCGTGAGCACGTATAACACATCTAGTGAAGGGTGCCAGGCCGCGTGGCGCGGGCCGTCGCCGTCGTCACATTTGCAAGCCACGGCCATAGGTGTCAAAGAAGGCGCGTTCAGGCGCCAGACGACGTCGGCCCCCAAATCGGGCACGAGTAGCGTACCATTGGATGAGAGTAGACACATGTGCGCGTGGGCCTTGTCCTGTCGCTCGGGGTCGCCATTCTTAGGCACCACAAACTTTCCCAGGGCCGACAGCCTTCGTAAAGCGCTCGCGTCCTGTAATAAATCGGCCTCGGACGCGTCCGATTTAAGAGAGCCGTCTCCCCCCACGTGGAACGCCGCGCAGCTGCCGGCGCCCTCGGCACCTCCACAATAATTCGCGACGTAGACGTGGGTTTCTGTCGCCGCGACGTGGCAGGCCGAAGAATCTCCGGTCGCTAAACTTTCGCCCAATGGTACAGCCGTGCAGGCGTCCTTGTCTACTCGAATAGCCCGCACGCGCGCGCCCCGTTCCAGATTGCTCTCATCGACCACGTACAAAACGTCGTCATGTGTAACGGATTTGCAGAGGTACGTCGGGTTCGCGCCGACGACGTCGTTGCCTAACAAGGGCTTGTTGAGGAACGTCGCCGCGCCGAACGTGCCCGAGCTTGTGAGTCGGAACGCGTACAGTCCTTTTCCCTTGCCGTCGACGAAGCCCAGGTTTTCAGAATAGGTGCCCACGATTAATAGGTGCTCGTCTTCCGTGGCCATGGCTGCCATTTTGAGCTATGCGCGCGTCGACGGCGTGCTGCTCTCCGGTGTCCAGTAAGCAGCGGAGCTCTGGCGGCCGTGCGCGGGGATTCGTGCAGGAGTGGCGTGCGCAGGCGACTTATACGGTGGCCTGGACGAGCTCTGTGGCCTCGAGAGCTGTATGCGGCTGTGCACAAAGCGATTTTTGGCTTTGGCCGGCCCTAGCTGCTAGCGTCATGTAAGACACTAGCAAGTACAACACCTGGCGGCGTAGACGCTTGCCAAAGACACCGCGGGCGTGCGCGCTTGGCCAGTGGCGATCACTGTCGCACGCCTGACGATCGGCCGAAGGCGCAGGGCACGATCAAGGTCGAGACCAACGATCACAATTCCACAGCATCATGATGGACCTGGAGCCACCTGGAAAGTTACCAGAGGCCGTCCGCCAGGCCGCGCAGGACGGCGATATAGAGACGGTCAACGCTTGGTTGAGGAGGGAGCCGGACGTTCATGCACAGGATGAGTATGGTCGGCCTCTCATCTATTCGGTCGTGCGCGGTACAATCAATGCACCAAAAGTCGACTTGGCTCGAAGACTACTGGCTCTCGGCGCCGACGTGCAATCCTGCAATCCCGCTAATGGGGTCACCCTGCTACATGTCGCCTCTTGCGGATCAGGTGAGCAGGCGTCGGAGATGGTGCGACTGCTTCTGTTGGCTGGAGCCGACGTAAACGCTAGACTTCGCTTCGGCGGGATAACTCCAATGGGTTATTTCCCGGGCTATGCGTATCGTGACACGGAAAGAGTGCTCGGCCATAACCTGCTGGTCATATGCAAGCTTCTGTTGCGCGCGGGCGCGTCCATAGATGATGTCCATAACAGAACGGATTGGGAACCAGACACATCGATGGAAGCTGTGTTACAACAAAAAGCGCAACCGGCCGACGACGAACAGTGGCTCGCGGTCAAACGCTTCGTCGCCGACGTCCGCGCTTCGGGGGGGACCTACCGCTCCTACCTCCACGAGCACCGCAAGCAGGTGCTCGTGCTGCGGTGCCTCGCGACAAAGGGGCGCGCGCAGACGACCGACCCCGTCATGAATTTCCTCGTGAAGTTGGGGGACAACGGAGTCATCTGGACGGTCCTGAGCTTCTGGCCGCCGCCGCCGTAGTCGACGGCCCTATAGCTAGACTCATAAAACCAAGTATTAGTACGTACAAATGATCATCGGGAAAAGCGATTGAGGGGCAGCACGGAGTTCGCCGGGTAGCCGAGACGGGCCCTATACGTGTCCCGCCCGAACGGGTCCGACTTCGAGTAGTCTCTCACAATTTCGCGTTCGTATTCAGGAAACTGCTTGTACAAATCGTCCGCGCGCGCCGTCAGGATCCGCTCGTTGAAGGGCTTCGCGTCAATCTGTAGACCGTTCGCCCGGATCAACTGCAGCGCCAGCAGCACAAAGGACCACGTGCCAATGATGGGCTCCATCCACTGCCACGTCCAGGTGCCCACCTTCCAGACCGTGTCGATTTCACTCATAGGAGGTAATTCTACCCCAACATGTTCGGTAGCGAACCATATCGCCAGGTCCTTCTGGAACACTCCTAAAGGTATAAGAACGACGCCGAGCGCCCAAGCGCCCGCGATGATCGCTTGGTACGGTAACTTATGTAATGAAGTCCCGCCTTCCAGATGTAAATTCATCTTCGCGAGCACCGCGTAGGCCTCGACGTACGAGACACCGTCCACCCGCATAATTTCCCGGAGCATGCGTTCCTTCGACGCGCCGTGGACGCCCAGCGACGCCATGACCGCCAGTGTCTCATTACTAAATTCGCCTGCGCGCGCGGCCGTGGAGTCGTCGCGTCGACGGCGCGGGTGATGCGGGGACGCCGCGCCGCGCTGAAGCGCCTTCGTTGGTTCTTCTGGGAGATTCTAGCTGGTGTGGGGTGCTCGTACTCTTCCAAGACGGCCGCGAAGTCCACGGTTTTTTTGGAGAAGAGCGAAGGGCGGCCGTCGCGCGGGTGGCCTTGCGCCTGGCCGCCGTCGTCGTCGGGGGTGGCCGTGCTCAGGTGCCGCAAAACGCTCTGAACGATGCCACTGTCACTGCTGCGGTGTCGCACCAGCCCATGCTGCGGCCGGTGCGCGCCCGCGACGCGTGCCGCGAAAATGCGACCAGACTGGCCCTGCTGGGAGAGGCTCCGCAGGGCGCCCGGGCGCAGCGCTGCAGCAATCGACCGGGAAAGAAGCATGTCTGTTCTCTTTCTGACGATCTCTATGTGCTATACGATCACTAGAATTACACCAGTGGCGGCAGAAGAAACGAAAAGCAGGAGCTTGCTAGCGTAATGTAAGACACTAGAAAGTAAGCAAGCTGCCTAAAAACGACTGCTTCGCAGCCTCTGGTGCCTTACTTATCGCGAGAACATGCAAAGACGATAGCAAAACATGTACGGCCAAGGCGGCTTCAGCAATGGGCCGGTCGGCCGCGGCCGCGGCGCCGCGGTACCGGCATGGATGGCGGACCCGGCCCTGGCGGCGCAGAGGCCGGGCGGCGTATGGGCGCCGGACCCTCGCGACGTGGTCCAGCCGCCGCCGCCGCCGACGGGCTTTTCAGCACCGCCGCCGACGGGCTTTTCGCCGCCGCCGCTTGAGACCGACGAGGAGATGGCGCGGCGCCTCCAGGCCGAGTGGTCCGCGCCCGCGGCGCCACCAACCTTTCCGATGGAACCAGTATTCAACGCGCCGCCCGGCACTACGGTAACCGTGCAGCAGCACGCTTCCGCCGAAGAAGCATACGCCCACGCGCTGGCGCTCGTGAACGCGCACGTGCCGGCGTCGGCGGCGCCCCCTCCGATGCTCGGTGCCGGCCCGCCGTCCCTGAATCGCCAGCCGCCGCCGCCGACGCTCGGCCAAGGCCCGCCGCCCCTGAGCCGCCAGCCGCCGCCCCCCTCGACCGGCCTGCCGCCCGCGGCGCTCGCCGCGCTGCAAAAGGCCAAGGCCATCGCCGCGGCCGCGGGCCAGCGGGCGCCATCGGGCGGCTTCTCGGCCGCGCCGGCGGCGGGCGGCTTCTCGGCGGCAAGCGGCTTCTCGGCGGCCGCGCCAGCGGGAGGCGGCTTCTCGTCGTCGGGCTTCTCGAGCACACAAGGCGCCGCGCCGGCGTCGGGCGCCGTCGCGGAATTATTGGCGAAGATGGAGGCCCAGCCCACTACGACCGGACCGCTATTACCAATTCTGGCCAAGGACCGCGCGCGCAAAGCCAAAGCACTAGAGAAGAATTTGAAATTTCTGGAGCGGCTGGACGGCGAGGGCCAAGATTCCGAAGCTCTGTTTGCGGCCGACGACGACGTCGTGACTTATACGGACGTGCCTGGTCGGGCCCAAACGACGGCCGGCCTGGGCGCCAAGGGTTTCAACCGAGGTGAATCCGTGAAGGTCAACAAGGGCGAGAACCGCTCTGTATATGTGACAGGTCTCGAAGGCGAGTTCGCCTCGGAAACTCATTTACAACAGCTCTTCGCCCCTCATGGCAAGGTCGTCTCGTGCAAAATTTATAAAGATGAACTGGAACGACCGAAGGGCGACGCTTTAGTTACGTTCGCGAAGGGGGGCTCGGCCCGACAAGCGGCGGCGAGGGTCCACGGCGCGACGTTAGGTCCTTGTGTCTTGAAGGTCGAGCTCGCGACGTTTCATAGCGATGCCGCTTTACGGGGCGGTCCTGTACTCAGACCGGACGAGGAGCACTGGGATTCCGTCGTTGCATCGGCAACAGGGCTACCTAACTCTTTGTCGCCGGACACGAAACCTGTTGTATTATTACGACACTTGTATGACGTGGCGCAAGTCGCGAGCAAGCCGGGCCGCGTCTTCTTGAATGAGCTGGAGCATGAGATCAAAAATGAGTGCTTGAACTATGGTCCCGTCTTCCACGTCGTCGCGCCGTCGACGAAGGACCTCGAAGGTAGTGTCGCGGTTTCTTTTGAGACGGTGAAAGCCGCGGAGGAGTGCGCTCAAAGCATGGACGGGAGGTGGTTCGATAATGTGCAGATTTTGGTCGAGAGGAGGGGCTGCTGGGAGGACCTCGCGTCCGTGCAATTGCGGGGGACACAGTCGACAGTAGTACTTTCTTTGGACATCGCGCCGCCGGAGTGCTTCACGGTCATCGTGCACAACGTCTGGACGGCCAACGAGGCCGAGGCCTGCGGGCCCGCGTTCTTCGACGAGCTCGAGTCAGAGTTTTCCGGCGAGTGCGGAAAATATGGCCCTTTGCGAAGTTGCAAGGCCGTGCCGCGCGAACCATCCTTAGTGGGGGCCGTCGTCGTCGCTTTCAGTACGGAAGAGGCGCGACAGGCGTGCGAGGGCGACATGGACGGCCGCTGGTTCGACTTTAGAAGGTTGCGCGTCGAGCGGTACGCGGGGTCGGGCGCGCCGCCGACGCCGCCGCGGGGGGCGTCCCTCGACGACTTTTTCTCGTCGCTGGACGGGTCGTAATGCTTATTTGGTTATTTAATTTTACACCGCGGGATCTTCGCTACCGGGGAGCACAATCATAGAAACAGGGAGCCGGGCTTCGTCCCGGACTCAGTGCGCCGCGCGGAACCACGCGCCGAGGGGCATGTCGGGCAGGTTGTCCGTGCGGCACGAGGGTGCACTCGGCGCGGAGGCGCATCGCCGCGGCGTCGCGTCGACGAACGCCCGGAGAGCGACGACGGCCGGCGACGGCGGCTCGACCGCCGGCTCCGCCGGCGATGACGGCTCGACTGCCGGCTCCGCGACCGCCGGCTCAGCGTAGCCGTACGTCGCGTTGACAACAGCCGGCGACGGTGCGGTGCCACGCAGCGCTGGCACACCGTGGCCCACGGCGGCAGCCAGGACGAACAGGGGCAGCGCGACAGAGCGCGTCCAAGACTTGCCCGCGGCGGCGGCCGGGGCGGGTTCCTCCACGAGGAGCGGATGGGTGCTCGTCGACGTCGCCGCGTCGAGCTCCGCGAGGAGCGTCTCCGTCGCCGCCTCGTCGAGCGGCGAGTCCGGCATCTCGTGCACCGCGGGAGAAGGGTGCCCGATCTCCACGAGGAGTCGCGAGGGGCACGACTCCTCGCGCAGCTTGGCGGCGGCCGCCTGGCGCGCGAGCGCCGCCGGGCACGGTTCGTCAAGCCGTGCAATGAGCCGGTGCAGTGTGCCCGGCGTGGCGACGGCGGCGGCGCGAATAGGCGTCAACTCGGACACCGGCGTGAGCGGCGCCGCGGGGTTAGGTGTCGGTGGGACACTTGTGGAGCGCCGCGACCCGGCCCATCCGTCCGCGACGCGCAGCAGGTCGGCGAGCGCCGGCGAGTCCGGCGCGTCAGTGTCTTCGTCAAGCGGCGGTCGCGTCGGCTTTTCCGCTCGCGGCGAGCGCGCCAACGCGGCCAAGCGCCGGCCTTCCGACTGCGCGGCGTAGAGCGCCACGGACAGAGCGCGGCGCGTGCGTTCTTGTTGCGCGAGCTCGTCGTAGATCGGCGTGCCCGCGAGGCCCGCGATCGACGGCTGCTCGGAAGCGTAGTCCGGCGGCAGCGACGACGCGCGGCGGGCGCCCGGCACCGGCGGCGGTGGCTGCGACGACGTGCGCACCTTCCGCGCGCCACGGGCGCCGAAGTTGCGCGGCGCCGGCACGTGCGGTGCCGGCGCCTCTTGCGCCGCGGGCACGGCGGCGCCGACGATGCGGGGCTTCGTGTGCTCGCGCGACGGCGTCGCCCCGATGGAGCTCGCGCCGATGACGCGGGCGACCGACGGGTGCACCGCGCGTGGCGGCTTTTGCGCGCCCGAGGGCGCCGCGACGTTGGGGCTCAGCGCGCCCAGCGGCTTGCGAGCGTGGGCGCGGGCGCGCATCGAGCGCGGGGTGAACTCGGGCATGGTTTTCTACCGGCTCGCAGGCGTTTGTGGTTCGCTTACAGTGTTGCAGGCGTTCTTGGGAATTTTTCGGCGACGCGCAGCTTTTTGCGCCGACGGTTTCAGTGGTGCCAGAACCGGTTTTTTGGCGGCCGTAGGCGAACGCGGTGCGGTTAAAGCTGGCAGCTGCAGAGCCTGATATGTCAGGTGGCTGCTGACGGGCGCTGGCTGTCACAGGGGACCACTGTGCGCCGTAAAGGAGACCAACAGCTTGCAAAATAATTGTGCTAGCGGCATGTTAAAGATACTAGCAAGCTATACAAACGCGACATGCAGCCGTTTGAGTAGCCTTCCGTTCGCTAATGGTCCGAAGAGATCAATGGGACACGTACTGGGGGCTGAAAAAGGAATTTTTTTAATTCGCGGTGCGGAGGCGGACGATGCCACAGGCCGGCCGCGCCGGTTTAATCCTGTCAATCCCTGTCAAACAGGTCTCCCTGGGGTCGCCTAAGGTCGGTACTATACACGTGCACGCGCCTACACCGCAGACGCCGCCGCTTCAAGCATTTTTGGCCGATTTCTCTCAGCAGACCACTCGGTTTAGCCATCTTTTGGCCATGGTTTGCTTCCAGAGCTCCCCGAGAGCATTAGGCTGCTGCATCGATGGCGTGTGCGGTGTAGGCGCTTACCCACTACCAGACCTACCCCGAGAGGCCTCCAGGAGCCGATCTGCCACCGAAAAAAGTGTGCAATTTGGGCCCGATAGCACCCGTTCCCGTCAAAAACGTCAATCACCCGAGGGCCCCCAGTAGTCGCCGTAGCGGCCTCGTCGGACCCCATACTACCCGAGCGATAGTCAATTACAAGTATATGACATCTACACGCCGAGAAGGGTACTTTGGGCTGCCCACGCTCGTGACGTGAACATCTTGATCTGGACCTCGCTTAAGTCAGTCGGTCATGGAACAAACGATCGCGTTATGGTCCATGGTGATGGTACACGGGCTGATGGTCGCAAGTCCAGTCATTAAGTCCATTTAAGCAAGATACTGTGGTCGCGAGACCGATGACCCGCGCCGAGCATCTTTGGGTCTCAGAGCAATGTAGTACACAATCAAGCCGGTTATCTGGCCCGTCCCGTAACCAAAGCGCCTGAAATGCAAATTTATTGTACAAACCACCGGTCTGGGCCCTTTCCAGTGCCCCGTCTCCGCACCGTCGTCCGCGGAGAACGGGCAAGTCGGTCGATTGTGAATAGAAGAACGGCGTTATGATCCATCCGGATAGTGTCGTCGCTGATACTCGCATACCCAGGTGCAGTGCCTTCCTTTGGGTAAACGCGAGGGCGTGGAGATGCTGATTCGCGCGGCTCTAACGGAGCATCTAAAATAAATAGGTAAGTGTTCAATCGGCCTAGATGGCATCTACCGACAACAAACGAAACAAAACGAACATAAACTCGGGAGTTGTCTAGTAGAATTCTTCTCCCGCCCTCCGGGCGCGCGCCGTCGGCTCCGGTTCCGTCGAATTTGTATGAAAACTGGGCTGGAGTTGGTATGATGTACCAACTGGACGGTAGAAGGCGGCGCCAATCGCTGGTGTATTTTGGCGAGCCGCAAGACCTAGTGATCTAGCGTATCGACATACTAGGAATCCGTATATATATATACTAGTAGCTATTAGCGATTGATATTAATACAAGTATCCTAGTGGCAGCACGACCGGCGCCTATCGAAAGACCAGGCGCGTCGTGAGAGCGCTGTGGAGGTCGTCGAAGCCGACGTTGTGATGGTCGACATAGTCGTCCTCATAGTCGTCCTCGCCGGCGTAGTCCTTGAGCCAGCCGGTGAAGGTACAGAGAATCCGACGAACCTCGACGTAGCCCGGACCGACGACCACCGAAGCGTCCGGCGAGTGGGTCCAGGGTACGCCGTCTCGCGGGAACTCGGCGTCTAAGCCGATTTGCACTTCCGCCGTCACTTCATGGGCATAATCTCGGCCCAGCCGATTGAGCAGGTAGTCGGCCGTAAGGTCCTTCGGCATAGCGGGGTTGTGACGAATCGTATGCAAGTGAGGTTTGCCGAGCGCGGTTTGCTGCTCGCACATCGCCGGCAGGGACCCGCGGAGCGAGGGATAGGCCGCGAATTTACCCTTGTGGTCATCCATCCCAAAGGTACTGCCGCACCACATGTCCAACGTGTCAGCTGGCACGAGGGTCGCGACGCGCCCGTCGCTCTTGCGGATCACGACGTAGCTAACCGACACCGGCGCACGAAACGGAGGAAACGAATTGTCGGTCGACGTGTCTACTCTCGCACGCAGGTTCTCAAAGATTAAGCCAGCCCGGAGGCCCCCCGTGTCGAGGCTATTATGAGGGCAATTCCGCGTCATCACGTCGCGCGCCTCCCGCGCCACAGAACAGATCGCGCGCCCGTTCTGCGACAGCTCCAGCTGAATCAGGTGATCGTCGAGATCGAGGAGAGGCCGTGGTGTGGCGCCGCGCAGGGCGGCCGCGTGCTGCCGGTAGTACTCGCGCGGCCCGCGCCGCAGCACCGCCTGGCGGAGCGCACCGCACGCGGTGGAAGGCCAGCGCGCCTCGCACAGTGCGAGCCATAGATCTGGCGCGCGCGCCGCAGCCGCCCACGCTTTGCAGAGGGCTGCCCCCCTGGGGATCTCCGCGGCAACGAGGAACGACAGCGCGTGCTTTGTTATGTCGGCAGGGAGGCTGGCCATCGCTGGTCGCTGCTGGAAATCTTGCACGTCGATGGCGTAAGCCGGCGTCTGATGCCAACGAATTGCGCCGTCGCACACGACCGCAGGCCCGGGCAGCTTTCAAACACCCTGGGAGGCATCTCTGTGGTGCCGGAGCGAGGCCCCGCGCCGGTTTGTTTCGCCATCGTACGTCGGCAAAGAGTCTTCCACGTGTCCGGGACCGGAGGAATCCGTCGGATGCATTCCAGACACTTCTCGAACCTACTAGCCCTCAGCCCAAGGCAAAACTCGCCAGCTTGCCCTCGCGCTACAGCGTCGCGGAGCCACCGCCAGACACAAAGCGCAGCTTATCACTGCCAACCGCGCCCGCGCGTGCATTCCTGCCGCAAGCGCGGCGCGATTTGACCTCGCCTAGCCCACAAACAGCGAGGGCAAGCACTTCGCTGAATAAGCGCAGCGCGCCGGCGCCGCAGCAACCATGCGGATCGGCAAATGTCCGCGAACCGCGTCCAAAAGCACTCCGCCTTCACACTGTAACTGCGTGGCGCAATGGATAGCGCATCAGACTTCTAATCTGGGGGTTGCGGGTTCGAGTCCCGCCGTGGTTACACCGATTGAGACCGACCGATTGGCGCAACGGTAGCGCGTCAGATTCCAGTCCTGAAGGTTACGTGTTCGAATCACGTATCGGTCACGTCTCCAATCGCACACACACAACGAACGACCGATTGGCGCAACGGTAGCGCGTCAGATTCCAGTCCTGAAGGTTACGTGTTCGAATCACGTATCGGTCAGTTCCTTGGCGGCCGGAGAGCGCGCGCGCCCGGACTGAGTTGCCCGCAACTCACGCGTTCGCCCCCTCGCGCAGGCCACTTCTGCTCGAGCCCGATCTACCCCGGCCACGGCATCGCGTTCGCGCGCAACGACGCCAAAGTGGTACCGCGGCGGCGTCCGCTCCTTTACTTTCAACCGCGTGGCGCAATGGATAGCGCATCAGACTTCTAATCTGGGGGTTGCGGGTTCGAGTCCCGCCGTGGTTACGACCGATGGAGACCCTTTGACCGATTGGCGCAACGGTAGCGCGTCAGATTCCAGTCCTGAAGGTTACGTGTTCGAATCACGTATCGGTCAGGCGTCTCCATCGCACACACACTTATGTGAGAGACCGATTGGCGCAACGGCAGCGCGTCAGATTCCAGTCCTGAAGGTTACGTGTTCGAATCACGTATCGGTCACATCATCACACACGCCGAGGAGCAACGTCTCACGCGTACGTCCCCCGCCGCAGTTCCACTTCTGCCGCTCGAAATGCCACAAGAACTTTAATCTGAAGCGCAACCCGCGGAAAGTCCGCTGGACCAAGGCCTTCCGCAAGGTGCGCGGCAAGGAGATGGCCGTGGACCCGACCTTCGAGCTCGAGAAGCGGCGGAACCGGCCCGTGAAGTACGACCGGGACCTCGTCGGCGCGACGCTGCGCGCCATGGCGCGGGCCCAGGAGGTCCAGGCGAAGCGGGCCGCGGCGCACCACAAGAACCGCATGGTCAAGCACCGCGAGAACGACGCCGTGCGCGCGCGCGCGAAGATCGCGGAGCACGAGCTCGCGGCGGGCGGCGGCACCTTCGAGGCCGGGGACCAGCGGTATGTTTAATTTGTTAGTCGTTCATTTTTTGCTTCCCGCGATCGCGGCGACGCCGTCCGCGGCGTCGGGAGCGCGTCTGCTAGTGTCTTTACTACCGCTAGCTGCACTGGCAAGCCGCAGGACACAGCACAGCCGCGTTGCGCCGTTACTGGCGAGCTACCTCGCTGAGAGATAGCATTTCTGTCATATCAACGCCGCGCGAGCGCTGCGCTGACGCCGCCGCGCTGGGACTTACATAAACACTTGTGCAAGGCAAGGCAGGCTCGCTGGCACGCTCTGCAATAGCGCCGCTCGCTGCGAGACGCTCCCAGAATCACTGCGCAATCGCTGCGCTGAAACACCACAAAGAACACACCGCGCAAAGGACGATGATCTGCGTGCCCGGCGACGACGTCGCGCCGCTCCAGGACGGCCTCATGCGCGGCCACGGCACCTACGCGCACTCTAATCAGTTGGTGAGCTGCGGTGCTGGTAGGATCGAGCGCGTGAACAAGCTCGCGTCAGTACGGCCCGTGAGAGGGAGGTACACGGGCTCCGTCGGCGATTTGGTCGTCGGCGAGATCGTCGAGGTCGCGCACCGGAGCTGGAAGGTCGACGTCGGTTCGACGCGGAAGGCCACGCTAGCCATCACCTCCGTGACCCTCCCAGACGACGCGCAACGCGTGAGAACACATGAAGATACGCTCGCGATGAGGGAATTATTCAAGGAGGGCGACGTCGTCGTCTGCGAGGTCCAGGCCGTGAACGCCGACGGCCAGCTGCATTTGCACATGAAATCGAATCGCTACGGTCTGCTCGAGAACGGCTGTGTCGTTCGAGTGAACCAGCACCTCGTGAGGAGGCTGAAGCACCACTTCGTGGAACTGCCGGACATTAATGTGGAGCTGTGCGTCGGGCACAACGGTAGGGTGTGGGTCCAGCGGGCGATTCCGTCGCAGTGGATCGAGGCGGAGGCGCAGGACGGCGGCGGCGGCGCGGGCGAGGCCGACGCGCTATTGAGTGCGGAGGCGTGGCGAAGAGTAAGGAAGCGGCACAGCGCCCTGCCCCTCGAAGACAATGAGAGGGAGGCGTGCTGCCGCGCGCGGAACGCGGTCGCGGTCTTGGGGAGCGGCGGCTGCGTCGTCGACGGCGACTCGATTCTCAAGATCTACCGCGCGTCGCTGGGCGACGCGCCGTCGAAGATGCTGACGCGGGCCGTGGCTCAGAAACTCGTCGCGGACTTCCTCGGCGAGCGCGCGCCGGAGCCCATGGACGAGGGGGAGGACGCCATGCAGCTCTGACTCCATCGCGGCGACGGCGTGCTGGCGCGGATTTAGCGTGGCATATACGCCATCGACGCGGAGGCTCGTCACCGGGGGCAGTTCTAACTACATGTTTGTTACTTACCCCGTATTCCACTGCGCAGCTATCTCCTGGAGCTCGCGCATCGCGTTGTCCGACGCCAATTTCGCCTCGGCCGCGTCTTTTTTAATGGCTGCCCGGTCTCGCGCCGCGGCCATCTCGCGCGCGTAGGCCTCGGCCTCGGCCTTCCTCCCTTCCAGGGTCTCTAATTTCGAGTCCAAAGCGAAGTTTGTGTCCAATCGCGCATCAAGTGAAGAAGGGATCCGGTCCAGGCCCGCCTTGATGGACAGCCGCGTATTCGGCGGCACGAAATCCAAAGCGCCGCCGTCGTCGAACCGCACCTCTTTAAACAACCGCCGCAGCTCCCCGACGGACGTCCCTCCAACACCCTGGATGCGGCCCCAGTACTCGCCCGCGCCCGCGGCCTGTACCAGATCCTGCGCGATCCTCAAGGGCGTCGGCGTCGGGTCGCCCTCACTCAGCCTTGCTTTGAGGACGTCCGTCGGTGTTGGCCATGTACCTAAAGCCTCCAGAACTACGTTGTTGGGAGCAGTGGTAAAAATAGTAGCGGGGTAACAGGCCGTCTGCCACTTTGGGTGTAATAAAACTTTGCAGCCGCCCGCTTGACTGACCATGTACTTCAGGAGGCACTGGTGGCCTGAGACTTCGTCATACACACAATTCGAGGATTTATCATGCTTCGGTAGACCCGAACAAGGGTCGATGTAGTCGCACCAGTGCGGCTCCAGCTTTTTTCTCACTGCTTCCGCAAACGCGAAGAACGCCTCCAGACACCGATCTTTCTCTATAGCCGCATCATCTCCCCAATTGACCATTTGCATCGCGGTATGTTGTGTTGTTGGTATTGCTACTACCGCATCGTCGAAGGTGATTTTGCCGCCGAAGACCTGCTGCAGTTCCCGTAGTACGGCTCGCGGCGCGACGTGCGCACTCACTTCTATCTCGTCCTTGTCGTGTACGAGTAGGTGCGGCGGTTTGAGCGTGACTGTCGTCTTGCTCGGTAGCTTTTTGACGCGTTGGACGTGGGCCGACATTGCGCCTTACTGCACGTTCAGCACTGCACAGGCTATGTCCAGCTTTTTTGGTTCGCGGGGATGCTCGCTTGCGCACACCCTGCACACTCAGCACTGCACACTCAGCACTGCACAGCCAAAATGGCTGGCTTTCTTGGCAAAATAGATCGCGTTTGCTGGCTGCAGCGCAGTTATGTGTTGTTAGAACTGCCCGAGCGTGTTTATCGATGCTTTGCACACGATTTTAAGAGGTGTGTTGGCCAGCGCTGAGCCTCTGCTGCATGGCTCAGCCGCGAAGGCGTCGTGCCCGTCTGGAGCTGTCAATGACTCGTCTGTACAGTTGCTACACGTTCCAAAGACCAGAATGCCCGGGACCCGCACGACCCCGTCATCGAATTTTGCCCACCTTCTCCAAATTTGACGCTAAAATGGCCACTCCCGAGACCTTCTCGGAGACAGGAAGCGAGACGATGTACGAGAAGGTATGCTCCCAGCGTCCAGCTTGGCCCGATGTCTTAACGTTACGTACGGCCGGAGATCCAGCGACGAAGACCAGAGAGGCGCCCTCACTTTGCGCGCGCGGTGGCGCGTCAGCGCGGCCGCCAAGGCCTGCGCATCACGCTCCGCAGCACCCAGCACAATGTCGCCCGTCGAGACCGCCGGATATTATACACACGCTCATTCGCGCATCGTCCGGCCTCACGAACCCGCGGGAAAAGAATTTGGCGATATACCACGCTGCCGCCGCGCACCCGACGAAACGCTGCCGCCGCGCCACCCACGAACCCGCCGCGCGCAGGCCCTCGCGAAGCTCCAGTCGACGCGCGCGAGCCTCACGGACTACGCCTTGGAATTGGACAAGTCCGCCGACGCGAAAACCGGCTACAAGGCCAAGTACGCCGACGGCAAGGACTACGTGCTGGCGACGTACGAGAAGACGAAGACGCAGGTCAACGAGTACGCCGTGGAGCCGACGACGACCTACGCGACGGAGACCTACGCTTATGTGGGAGACAAGTTCGTGTCGACGAAGGACTACACGTACGAGACCTACGATTCCGCCAAGACCTACACCTACGACACGACGCTGTCGATCGTCGAGAACGCGCAGGCCATGGCCGAGAAGATGATGCTCGCGATGGGCAGCCGCAAGGAGGCGCCCGAGACGGTCGCGGCGGAGGCCGAGGTCATGGAGGCCTAGAGTGGTCTTTCCCTCCCCTGTTCGTTGCTTATAAATCCTGGTGAATAGTCTTCTTTGCTACGCGTCGGCGGCGTCGGGGCTGGGTGCGTCGAGATTCGTCGGCGGCTAGTCTCCACTAGATCTCTCGCGGCGGCGTCGAGGCGTGTGCGTCGAGATTCGTCGGCGGGCGCGGGCCGTGTCCTTCGTGACAGCATAATTCCTTCTACGGAGCGCCGCCTCGTAGGCGCGTCGTCGTCGTCGTCGTCGTCGTGGCACCCCGCATAAGCCCGGCACCTCGCTTGAGGGGGTCCGCCCGCGGCTTCGAGCTAGCGCCTGTGAGACACTAGCAAGCAGCCAAAGCCACCCAAGCATCTCAGTGCCGACAGCTGGGTTACGCTGCTCGCGAGCAGCCAAAAACCATCTGCGGACACTCTCAGTGAGCGCGACCACTGCTACACGCCGTGATTCGGCCTCCGCCGCTCTGCAAGCAGCGCTACAGGCAGGAAGCCGACGACGCTGTTGCGCCTAAAAACGCGGGGCGACGCAGCGCACGGGAGATTCTCGGCGCGCGTAGCACGCAGACAACACAGGACGCAACGCAAACAGCGCGGAAACGCCGCAAGCCTAAGAAATGACGGAGCGGGAAACGAGCGCCGGCTTCCACGTCGGCGGCGAGACTGTACAAACATACAACGACGAGCACTACAAGAAGCTCCGAGAGAGATGGGGTTTGGGAGATGACTTCCTCGCGACCTTCGACTTTACTAAGAACATGAAGGGCGGCGGCGGGAAGGGCGGCGACCTCATGGGGTTTACGACCGATAAACTTTTTATCGTGAAGGAGGTCAATCCGGGAGACCAGAAATCACTCCTGAAGATCACGGAGGACTACGCTCAACATCTCTTGGATCCCCACGGCTCTTTGCTAGCGAGGTTCTTCCTCCACTTTTCTAGAAAAGGAAAAGATTTCCTCGTGATGAACAACTGGATGCCTCCCCCTAGATACGATGCGGTCGATTCCATGGAAGAATTGGGCTTCGACCTGAAGACGAATTATAATAGATTCGACCTCAAGGGCTGCGCGGACGACAAAACGTTGGTAGCACTCGGAGAACCGGTCCACGCGGTGCACAAGCGCATCTTTAATGTGGGGATGTGGTGCGGCGACGCGCTCTGGACGCCGGAGCGCAAGCGCTACTTCGAGGGCAAGAAGCACGCGCGAGAGGTGAAGTTCCACGTGTCTCAAGCTACACACGACGAGATCTCCAAGCAAACGAAACGAGACGTGGCGTTCCTCCAGAAGTGGGGCCTCATGGACTATTCGTTGGTTGTCAGTTATCACGGCGTGCCCCGGACCCATCTGGATGTAGCTCGTAGTGTATACGCGGGCACTTCCGATGGAGGCGCCCAACCCTACTTAGCTGCATCAAAGGACACATTATACATAAGCTACGTGGGCATCATCGACTTCCTCCAGGACTGGACCTGCGCCAAGAAGGTCGCCATGTGCGTCAAGTGCTGCGAGCGCAACAAGGCCACGATCCCGCCGGTCTGCTCCAGCGTCCTTTCTTTGATGAACGCCGCGGCGACGGCGTGGGGGGTCACGCCTCGTCGTCGCGAGTGATGTACCCCGCCGTACGCCGCCGACGCAATGCATACGTATACGCGCAGGTTCCGTACGGCGACCGCTTCGCGTCCTTCGTCGACGCCAAGTTTGTTGGCGACTGCGCGCCCGTGCCCGAGGTCGTCGCGCTCGACGCGACGCCCTAGAGTAACATCAAGTAATTACACAGCACGCGTTATGGGGCGTCTCCGGTTTTGGAGGTAAAATAGGATAAGGAGCATCACCAGGCGCCCGGTAGATCCGCGAACTGCGCTTCGTGATCAGGTCCTTCATCATCAGCGACGGGAAGTGGACCTCGTAGCGGTCGCGATGTTGCGTCGAGGACATCGAACTTCCGGAGCCGTCCATCTCGCTCATGGCGAAGCCCGTGAAGCGCGCCACCGTCCGCCCCGACTTCGCCATGCTGTCCAACTGTTTTTGCATCTCGGCGTCGAACGCGCGCCACCGCTTCGTCCCGCGCTTTTCTTCCAGGAGGTGCCAACCGGCCTCCGTCGGCAGCGGCGGCTCGAGGCCCTCCTCGACGGCGACGTCCTGGATGTCCGCGGCGGAGCGGTCCATGCCGCGCCGCGGAGAGGCTGCCCCCAGGTTCCGGAGGAGCTGTGGTGGCTGCGTAGGCTGCCCGACGGCGCAGCGATGGCAGGAACCAAGTATACGTTTGTGTTTGCGGCTGCGGCAGCGTCGGTGTTATGCGTCGCTCGCAGCGGCTCGTAATCACGCTCTGAACATAAACATCCCGCCTTGTCGACATGATGGTCCGAAAAAAACCAGCGCGCTATTGTCGTTATTTCTCCTTGAGGCGAGTCAGGAGGTCTCGTAGTACGCGATGTACGGGTCCCGGGCCGGAGAGGGGCACATAGCATGAGCCCATCGGAGAGCAGCTTGAGAGGCGCATGCGCTCGCGCACGTCGCCGTGTACGGCCACTGCAAGCACAAGCACCCAGCATTGCTGTATCGTTGTGGAAACTGTTCCATAAAACGAGAACAGAACGAATTTGCATCGATAGCGGTGCTCAGCTACTGCAAAACAAAGGCTGCAACACGGCACACGAGCCGTAGCACTCGACTCGTCGCGCGTGACCAACAACAAACACTGCCAAGATAATGTCCTTCGCCGCCGTCACGGGTCGAGCCGTCCGCTGGGGCGTCATGGGCACGGGCACGATCGCGCACGACTTCGTCAAGGTGCTGCAGGCGCTACCAAATTGCGAAGTCGCCGCCGTCGGCTCGCGGTCGGACGAAGGAGCAGCTAGATTTGGGGATGCGCATAACATTAGTGGAAGGCATGGCTCCTATGAAAGTTTAGCGCGGGACGACTCGTTGGACATCGTCTACGTCGCGACGCCGTCGATGCGCCACGTCGACGACTCGTTGTTATGTCTTGAGGCCGGGCGCCACGTGCTCTGCGAGAAGGCCATGGCGCCCTCGCTCCAAGAAGCGAAGAAAGTAGTAGATAAAGCGGTAGCCGAGGACCGCTTCTTTTTACACGGCGTGTGGTCGCGGTTTTTCCCAGCCATGGCCGAGATCCGCAAAACACTCCGGAGCGGTATTATTGGAGACGTCTACGCGGCGCACGCGTCCTTCGGCCAGAATGATGGGGCGGGGCAAGCTTCCGCCACGTTGGAAACGGGTATTTACTGCGCGCAGTTTCTGCAGTGGGCATTTGATGGAGATGCTCCCGAATCTGTGGAAGGTGTATCTTATTCTTTAGCGGATTCCGGTCTAGATCAACATGTGGGCGCCTTGCTACGATTCCCGGGCGACCGCATCGGCACGTTCGAGTGTTCATTAAGGCACCCGACGCCGCGCGGCGCGACGATTTGTGGTAGCAAGGGCGTTTTGCAGGTGCCGTTCCCCTTCTGGTGTCCTACACAATTCAGTGTGCAGACGATGACCGGTTTAGGATCGCAGGACTGGTCCGAGCCCCAGACTTATACTTTCGACCTGCCTGCCGTGGAGGGCCCCTTCAACTTCGTGAACTCCGAAGGTTTATTATATGAGGCCCAGGCCGTCAACGACTGCCTCGCCCAAGGAAAGGCGCAGTGCGACCAGTTCGACCATCGGGAAAACCTCGCGGTCATGGGGGTCCTCTCCGAGATCCGCGGCCGCTGGGGCGGCTCCTAGTAGTAAGTAACAATTAACATCACATGGCTTGGGGCGGTAACATCTAGTACTAAGTAACAATTAACATCACATGGCTTGGGGCGGCAGCGACAGCCCGCGGCGGCGGGGAGGCTTCCGCCGCGGCGCCGGCGGTACGACGTCAGCGCGTGGGCGGAACGGCGCCACGGCGTCGTCGTCGGGACCCGGAGCGCTTAACAGTCCCGGACACTCGTCGACGAAGAGGCGTGCGGCGGCCGCGTCGCCGCCGACTGCCCGCAACGCGGCCGCCGCGACCCATATCTCGACATCACACTTCTGCGCGAGGTCGTACGCTCCTCCCCCGATTGGACCGCCGAGGGCCGCGTCCAACCCCACGGCGAGCGCGTCGTGCGCCACGGGGAGCAACGGCGCCTGTGCACCTTCGGCGCGGCGCAGATCGAGTCGTAGCTCGACGTCAGCCCGCGGCGGGATGGGGCTTCGATACTGCGGGAACACGTCTAAGGCACCGCGCGTCGAGATAAGGACGCCTGCCCCACAAAACCCCGCGTTCGACGCGAAGCGCAGGATGCGGGACCCGTCTTCCGCCCGTAACGTCACCGAAAATTCGTCGTCGAGCGGTCGTTTGTCGATGAAAACGGCCTTCGTCGCCGGCCGCGGCAACTCCGCGTCGTTGGCGAGCGGCGCGGCGCGTTAAGCAGTACGTTCTGCAAGACTACAAGCAGTTGCTCCGCACCCGGTCCCTGCTCGTACGCGACCGAGCGACCTTGGCCCCCGAAACGCCGGAGGTGATCCGGCGCCTCTTCGGCGGAATCGCCGCGGTGCCGACGCCCAGCTCCCGGCCGCCGCCGAAGCGCTCGGCGGGCGTCCCCGACCCCATTTTCTGGAAGGTCCTGGAGTACTGGCGACTGGGCGACTGGCGGCGACCGTGTACTCTCCCGCTCGAGCAGTAGTACTAAGCACAATTACTCACACGCATCGACCATCTGGTTCGGCCCCCGCGCCAGCGCCACCAAATCAACGTCCGCGCCATCGACGACGCGCGCCGCGCATGCCATAGCCCGCTTCCGCATCTTCCGCAGCTCGGCCGCCGCGGCACCAATAGTAATTTCGACAAACACAAGCTCGTCGCCGGGCCGGCACTGGCCGACCTTCCACAGGTCGCACCGCGCGACGACCGCCGGTACACTATAACCTCCGGTCGTCTGGTGGTCCGCTAGCAATATGACGGGGTTGCCGTCCGGCGGTAATTGTATAGTCCCGGCGGCGCAGGCCTCGGAGAGCTGCTGCCCCCCCTTTAATGACGCCGCGGCCTCCACCACCACAGCCATGCGGTCCGACCGCGGCGACGCGGTGAACGGGCCCGCGTCCAGCAATTTTGATAGTGCCGCGTCGGCGTCCGTCTCTGATGTTCCGTCGTCGCTCGCCGGGTCGCCGGGCCCGGGCAGCACGCGCAGCGTCCACGTCCGCGCGCCCGGCGTCCTTCCCATATGATCGTGCTTCGCCCGGCGCGGCGCCGCGCGGCCGCCCTCTTTGATACACGCGACGCCGTCCCCCGCCGCGAGCGGCGCCGGCCCGAGGCCCGCCCGCACGTCGCTCGACCGGCTCCCCAACACCAACGGCGCCGCGACGCCGCCCTCCAAACCAACATAGGCCCGCGCGCCGTCCCGCGGGATGCCGAGCCGGAGCTCGTCGCCCGCGCGCAGCACGACCGCCTCGTTGACTTTACAAGAGACGGAGCCGCCTCCACCTCTCAGTATCGTCGCCTGGCAGTCCGCGCCGGCGACGGAGACGGCCCGCGTCTCCCTACTCCTTAACCTCAACCCGCCAAGACACTCTAAAACAGCGGCATCGACCTCGTTCCCGACGAGCGCGTTCGCCGTCCGCAGACTCATCTCGTCCGCGGCGCCGCATCTACTAACACCGCACGACTGGTGCCGTCTTCCTAAATCCTGGACCAGCGTCTGCGGGCCGCCCGCCAGGACCTCGAAGCTCGCGTCTTCCACACGTTGTGGTGCTTCTTTCACTTGGGGCGCTGCATCGTCCAACGCCGCAACCGCAGAGAACCGGACGGCGTCGCCCGGCTTCAGCAGAGAAGGCGGCTCCCGGGCCGGGTCGAAGAGCACGGCGTCGGTCCGCCCTAGTAAATGCCAGCCGCCCGGCGTATCCCTCGTATACACGCCCGTCTGGCCCGCCGCGACGCCCACGGCGCCCCTTGGTACCAATTGCCGCGGCGTCGGCAGCCGCGGCACCTTTGCCAAACGCTCGTCCAAACCACCAAGATAAGGGAAGCCCCCCGTAAATCCTAAAAAGTAGACGCGGTACTCCGGCGCGGCATGGACGGCCGCGACGTCGTCCACTCCCGCGATCTCGCCGGCGGCCTCGAGGTCTTCGCCATCATACAACACGGGGATCTCGACAACGTTTCGTGTGGCGTCGCCGTCGTCCTCGCGGCTCGCGGCCTCATTTATCCAATTCTCGACGTCGTCCCGCGATATCTCCGTGCAGTCGTAGTGCACGGCCAGGGACGCGTAGGCGGGCACGGCGTCGGTGACGCCGCGCGGCTTTTCGTTCAGCGCGTCGAGGCGCCTCAAGACACTTTTGTTCGTCGCCTCGTCGATACCATTGCCGAAACGCAGGATCAGCGTGCCCTCGCCGGCGGCGCGGAACCAGGGCTGGCTCGAGAGCGCGCGCGTGCGCGCTGCTGTAGCTGCCATGCGGCGCATTGTGAGTGCTGCACCGCAGTGGTGAGCAGTGCCGAGCGAAATGTGGGTTCGCAAGAACGACAGCAATCAAGCACACCTTCCAAATCGAATTGTAACCTTGAGTAATGCTTGGCTTTTGGCTTGGGCAAAGTTCCTGTGGATGCTAGTATCTTTACGACGCTAGCTGCCAGCCGGGAGGACCGAGGCAAACGACGCGGTTAACCAGCCCGTCTCGCGCGCATAGATCGTCCAGAGGCTCAGTGCACTGCTGCCACAATGCTGCATCGCTGCGGCTAAGTCAAACGGCTGTCAAGCAGCAGAGCCAAGCACTGCCAGCAAAGCGAGCACAGCACACGCAGCGCCGATGCACTGCCAGAGGCTTGCGAGCACAGCGTAAAACCGACACGCAACCGCGCTGGTCAGTGCATTAAAACAGCGCCAGGAACCGATGACGACCACCAAAGACGTCCTACTCCCGCTCGCGACGTCCTCGCTCGCCTGCAGCGCGACCTTGATCGAGCTGACGATCCCGCAAGTCGTGCGGCTCAGCCAACCGACGGCCGCGCCGCTGCCCGCGACACCACTAACAGCGCGCCTGGCGATGCTGCCGCGGCTGCTCGGGCCCCAGACGGCGCTCACGGTCGTCCAATTTGGCTTCATCCGCGAGCTGCGCGACGCCATGGACCGCTGGCGCGGGCCGCACCCGCTGCACCTCAGCCTGTCCTACGGCCTCGTCTCGGGCCCGTGCCGGTCGGCGGCCTACAATTTGTTAATTGCCGGTACGTACGCGCACCACGGCCGCGCGTCGCCGGGCGACGCCTCGCTCGCGCGGTTCTGGCGCACGAAGGTCGTCCCGGGCCTCGCCTGGAGCGTCCTGCGCGACAGCGGCTCCGTCGGGGGCGGTATTGTGGTCGCGCCGCTCGTCGTGCCCCGGGACGCGTCGCCCCCCGTAAAATTCCTGGGCGGCCTCGGCTGCGGCGCGTGCTGCGGCCTGGCCACGCAGTTGTTCCACAACGCGGCGCTCACGGCCGGTCGCATGGCCGAGGCCGGCACGCGCCCGGGCACGCTCGAGGCCATGCGCCTCTGCCTCGCGGAGCACGGCGCGAGCGCGCTGTACGTGAACTACCCGTACCGCGTCGCCGTCATCGCCTTGTGGACGGGCATCCTGCACGTGGCGGACCCGTTTCGGAGGTGAGTTGTGATACATGTCAAAATTATTTATTCGCTCCCCCGCTCGACCGGCTCCCAGACGTCGTCGTCGTCGGGCGGCGCCTCCCAATCCCCTCCGTCGTCGACACTGAAGCCGATCATGCCCTCCGCGAGGTCCGCCGTTTGATTGGACGTGATCGCCGCGGCGACGTGCAGGTCCTCGAGCCGCCGGTCGTCCGGCGCGGCCGTCCGCTCCAAGTGCCAGCGCGCCCGCTCGCGCGCGGCCCGCGCCGTCCGCGCGTCGCCCTGCCAGTTCGCGATCTCGTACAATGTGAAGTAGTCGAGCGCGACGCGCGCGTGCGGGAGGGGCGCGTAGATCTTTTCTCGCAATTCGGCGACCTCGCGGAAGAGCTCGAGCGCGTCATCATACCTCTCGGACCCGAGCGCGCACTCCGCCCGGGCCTGCTGCGTCTGGACCCGGTGCACGTGCGTCTCGGAGCAATTTCCGAGCGCTGCCAGCGCTTCGTCCAGCAGCGCGGCCTCCTCATCCCCCTCTTTTTCGTGCGCCTCCCGTCGCAGTCGCTCGTTTCTCACTAAACGTTGTGGGGAGACTGATCTACCTTCTTCATCACCGTCCAACAACGCGTCCCGCGCGCTCCAAGGTGCGGTACATCTTTCACACGCGCAGTCGAAGCCATAAATTGATCTCAGCCTTTCCCGTCGCTGCTCCGTCGGCACGCCGCAGTCCACATAAGAATGTGTAATTTCGTCCCCCTCTGATATATTGCGGCACGCCATGAAGCACTGCCTCCCCTGCGCGTCGTAGGCCACGCAGGTTGTTGGATAACACGAGTGATTCAGTAAAGCCCCCACGGGCGACAACAGCGCCGATACTTCGTCCAACACGTCGTCCTGCCTACAAAAATTGTTCCTTCCACTCGCTTTGATCAGCTTCTGGACCAACTCGACGTCAGGCTCCGCACACCAGTCGGCGCCGACGCAGTGCCTTGCAATGGCTCGAGCTCTGGCGTCGTCTTCACTTGTACAAAATTTGAGCATCAATTTTACATCTTCAATAGCACCCTTCTCGCCGACGGGTCTCGAGCGCAGGTCGTTCTTGCGCATGCGCCGCGCGGCCCGGCACGCCAAAATAGCGTCCGAGACGGCGGTCTCGTCGTTATTCAGCGCTGCGGATAAAGCGGGCCCGCCATCGCACTCCCTCCTATGGTGACTCTTCCAGTCCTTCTTCTGGCAGGCCGGGCCGCAGTACAAAACATGACCGCAGCCACCGCACTTTTTTCTATGGCCAGCCTCGATGCTACAAAAACAGTGCGCGCACCGCCGTTCTCGGCACCGCGGTAATAATGCCGCCGCGAAGGGCTCGACCTTCAGCACGCAGCTGCCCTCCTGGAACGCGCGGCGGGCCACGAGCTTCCGGCCGACGCTCGCGTCCAACTCCACACCTAAACCAAACCGGGCGAGGCGCGCGTCCTGCTCAGCTACACTACTGTCCTCGACCTTGGACTGCTCATAACTCACATCGACGCGTTGCGCCGACGAACTCTTTTGCATTCGCTCCCATGCGTCTTCCAGACTCTCCTCGGGCTGCGTGGCGCCGGCGGCCTCGAGGACGTTCGTCACCAGCGACGACTTGCCGCTCAGGGGCTGCTCCTCGGCTAGGGCGCTCATTGTCCGCCGCGTGCACGTATGCAGCCGCGCGACGCGCGGTTTTGCGGATTTTTTTGACCTCCTAAATCATAGACATACTAGGAATCACTGTCTCGGTGAAGGTGGTAGGCGTAAAACGCACCCTTGGGCGGTTCCTGCGAGGTTTCGGATCGCTGCGATCGATTGTGAGCCGAGCCGTAACTCTGCCCGCTAAGCGCCGGCGCCCACCAGCTCCTCAGCCGGCCTAGCAGCCCTGGGAGGAGCTTTGTAGGCCTACGGGACGCGCGCGCAAACGGGACGCGCGCGGAAACAACGTCACAAAAAATGCGTCGCCGCCTCGCGCTGTACGCACTCCTGCTGGCGCCCGCGGCCGCCGCCCTACGCCGCGGCGACGCCGCGCCGGCCTTTGTCGGAGAAAACTATGATGGCCAACAGGTCACGCTCGCGTCGGCGACGGGCCCGAAGGGCCTGGTCCTCTGGTTCTACCCGAAGGCGGGTACCGGCGGCTGAACGCGCGAGGGCGAGAACTTCGAGCGCCTGCGGCCGCAGTTCGAGGCCGCCGGTTATAAAATAGCCGGCTGCTCGGTGGACCCGCCCGACTACAACCGCAAATTCGCCGAGGAGCACGACTTCGGCTACCCCCTGATCTCGAACGGCGAGGCGGTGATCCGCCAGTTCGGCGCCTGCCGCCGCGAGGACCGGTGCACGGGCAAGCGGACGACGGCCGTCATCCGCGCGGACGGCACGCTGCTGGACTTCGTCGACCCCTTCGACGCCGACAGCGGGCCCGACGACCTCCTCAAGCGGCTCGTTGCCGCGGACGGCGCGCCGCCGCTCACGCTCCACGAGCCCGGCGCGCACATGGACGGCCTGGAACGCGTGCGGAGGCGTCGCAAGAAGAAGGGCCTGCGCGGCCACGACACCTTCCACCACTCGGGCGAGCACCGGCGTGCGGGCGCGTGACGGCGCGGCCGGCGGGACCCGTGACGCGGGCGGGGTTCTTGGTGCGCCCCGCCCGCCGACATCTCCCGCCGACCGAGCTGTCTGGCGTTCTGTACCCCTAATTGTATTTTGTTTTCCACGAAGTATCCCGCGTCCGCCCTAGAGCTCGCGGCCGGTCTCTCTGCTTGTGCTACAGCGGCAGCGTCGACGGGATATGTTGATTTAGCCCACATCCGTGGACCCGCGAGACCACCCCCGGGAAGCTCGGTGGCGCGTATTCTTCGAAGAACCAGGAAGCATGTCCTCCCTAGAGCTGCCGGGCGCTCTCCGAGTTTGCTACTACGGCTCTAGCGTCAATTGACGTCAGCACGTGCCGGGACGTTCAGAAGCCTGCCTCGCCTCGGCCTCGCCGCTGCGATCCCAGCGCCGCAATTTCTTAGCTGCCCGAGAGCCGGCAGCTGCCCCAGAGGTCCAGCAAACCCTACAGCCACACTCTGCTCAAAGCACGCTGCCTCGCGCCGCGAGAACCAGCAAAAATCATGAAGCTCCTCTTCCTGCCTACCCTAGCACTCGCGGGCACTTTTGTCGACGACACGGGTGTTACCCACACCACAACCAAAGCAGCGCCGACCATTATCGCTGCCGTGGGCGACGCCCTTTCGCTGGCGCCTGTGCGGAAATCATCGCGACCTCGCCGGCCGCCTGTCTCAGTGCTTGATTTCCACGCAGGCTGGAACATATGGGCGTGCCCCATGCGCAAATTATCGGCACGTATGGCGAGCGCTGCACCTCCGGCTCTAATCTGAATGGAGCGTACGGCAACGGCAACGCGTGGGACGCCGACGGAGCTCTCGACCACACCGCCACCGCGCACGACCCCCAGCATTGGCCCACGGACCCCCTGAGCGCCGACGAGGCGGCCATGATCGCTCAGTCGACCGACCTCACGCCGTCCTGCTCGGGCATCTGCTTCTGGTGCGCCGGCAACGGCAAAGCCGAGATCACGACAATCCTCGACGCGACCGGCTGGCCCGACTACATCCTAGTGGGCCCCTACGGCGGCATTTGGCCGCTCGAAGGAACGTACGGCGATCCTTACGTCCTCGGCAACGCCACCGAAAGGGGCGTAAAGGTCATCACGATACTCGATAATTATAACGATGGGGCGCTCGGAGTCGGGACCGACCTGGCAGTCCGGGCCGGCTACATCGAAATCACGAAGCGCTACGAGGAGCTCGCCACTTTCCTCGGCGCCACCACCAACCTCGACTCCGAGAAGAGGACGTTCTGCGCGGAAATGAACAATTTCAAGGCCACGGCGGCGGCGGCGGCCACGCGTGGCGTGCGAGCCATGGGGGTTTTCGCGCCCTACATCTCCGTGGCCGGCGGCGTGACAAATGGCTACCTCTACGGCGCCATCACTGACCAGGTATCGTTCATGCTCGAAGAGTTAGGCATGCAAATATTGCACAATAACAGCGGCTACGCGCCCCTCGATGCCGCCACCCTCGGGAAACACTACCCGATCGACTTCTGGCTCTACGACGTCCGCGTCACGCTCGATTTTATTTCCGATACATTCTCCACGGCGTGGCCGCACCCGGCACTCGTTGCCGACCAGTACGCGCGCTACCCCAACGGTGGCCACGTCCACTCGTACGAGCACGGCACCGAGATCCTCAAGCACGTCGGTGAGGCGCTCGGCAAGGCCCAGCGCATCGAGCCCGCTACTACATGCACCGAGGTCGCCGACGTCACGGACGTCCACTACCGTACCGTCGGCCTCGGCAAGGGCCAGTACGCCTGCCCCAAGCCCGTCGAGTACGACTGGTGCGTCAATTACGTGTCGTCCGACTCCGCTTACCTGGCGCGCCCCGGAGTCGTCGTCGCCGCCTTGGCGGCCGTCGCGGCGGCCCTCCTCTGATCAGGAGTGGTCTGCTGAATTCAAAGTCGAAGAACGCGCGGGCTCCCCCCCACAAGTCGCCCCCAAGTGCTGCCGCGCGAAACTGTCAAAACTAAGTTGCTTGCTTGACTGCTCGGTGAATTTCCCATGACCGGTGGCGGAGCCATAGAGCACCCGTCCCGACGCCGCGTAGACGCCGCGGCGGGTTCGGGGCTCGAGCTCGTGGCACTTTGTGTCGGGGGCTGCAGTCCTTTGCCCAGTGCTTCCGCCGTCTGCTGTCAGGCTTCTGCCGCGGCGACCGCGCGCCCCGAACGAGGCCGCGGCGCGCCCCCGGGCTGCCCCGGCCCCACCAGCGGGGCCGTAGAACAACCATGGAGCCGGCCCAACTGAGCCAACTGCGCCAGCGCGCCGCCCTCGCCACGGCCCTCTTTTCGCTCCTCGTCTACCTCGTCTGCCTCTGGTGGTGGGAGACGAAGTCCTGGGAGCGCTTCGTCGTCCTCCAGGAGACGCCCAAGTGGATTACCTACGGCACGGCCTGGGAGGCGCAGTGGGCCATCGCGGCCTGCGCCCTGGCGCTCTGCGCCGCGGCCTGCGCTTTTTGCGAGGGGTTTGAGTTTCCCGCATCGATCACGAAGACGCTCGACAAATGGAAGGAGATCGAGCCCGTGCTGCCCGGGAAGTTAAGGCGGTTGCGGCTCGGCGGCGGCCACCGCCTCGGCACGCTGGCCATGGCGTTGATCCTGTGCCGCATCATCTCCCTCCACATCGTCATGTACCGCGGCTCGCGGCCGAACCACCCGGCGAGCTGGGGCAAGATGGTCGGGACCCTTGATTTAACTAATGATGGTAAAAAAGACACGCGCGCGGACCATATTAGAGCTTTGAAGTCGCACGCCTTCCAACTGGGCTGGGACTGCCTGGTGCCCATGTCGCTATTGGGCATCCCGACGGCGCAGTTCTCGCCACCGTTACGAGCGGTCGGGCTCAGCCACGAGGCGGCGATCGCCTTCCACCGCGTTTTAGGAAGAGCCACGCTGATCCTGGTGAGCGGCCACTTCGGGTTTTATGGATTAGCCTGGGCCATGGACGGCGGCGCCAAGCTCTTCTGGGACGAGACGCTGCAGGTCTGCCACCACGGGCCGCGCGTCACGAAATTACCAATAGGAAGGGCCTTCCGGCCAGGGTGCATGGGCATCTCGAACTTCTTCGGGTTCCTGGCCTGGGGCTTCGGGATTTTGCTGGGCATCGGCAGCTTCTACATGGTGCGGCGCCGGAGCTACGCGCTGTTCATGGCGACGCACCAATTGCATTGGCTCTGGTGGTTCTTCGCGTGTTTGCACTGGCCCGGGGCCCTGGCATTCGTGGCGCCGGCCTTGATCTTCTTCGTGGCCGACTGCGCGCGACGTTTAGTGTCGGAGAGAACCGTAAGATGTGCCGTCGTCCGGCACGGCCCGAAGATTACGACCGTACTCGTCCCGTGCCCCGGCTACACGGTCAGGCAGTTGACGGGCGGCGTCTTTCGGTTGCGGTGCTTCCGGATCAGCCTCATGTGGCACCCGTTCAGCATCGCCGGCGCGGTGGAGACGCCGGACGGGCCCGTGGCGCTGATCCACGTCTTCGACGCGAGGGACGGCAAGGAGGGCACGTGGACCAATGCCCTCTGCCGGCTGGCGGCGTCGGCGCCGTTCATCGAACTGGAATGCCGCGGGCCGATCATCGCTCCCATCAGTTTACAACAAAAGGCCCGGGAGGCGGCGCGCGGCCGGCCGTTGCTGATCGTCGCGGCGGGGTCGGGCCTCGCGCCGGCCGTGGCCTTCCTGCGATTGGTACGGCTCTCCAACCCGGTGCCGAACCAGCAGATCCGGTTCGTCGCCATCGTCCGGTCGGCCCAGCAAATAGAGGTGCTCGACGCCTTCTGCCTGCCGACGGCCGGCGCCGCCACCCAGGAGCCGTGGCTCCAGACCGAAATCCACGTCACGCGGCGCAAGGCGGCGCCCACCCTGGAGGGATCCCCGTCGATACCTCGGCACGGCCGCGTCGTCATACGAGCCGACACTAACGCAAATCTGGTGGCCGTGCCGACGCCCTGGCCCACGAACATCCTCCACGACACGAAGAACCCGCTCACCGGCGCCGGCGACGAGGAGGAGGCCAAGGAGGCGCCGCGGGTCTCCGACCCGGCGCCGCCAGGCCCAGCTTCTACAGAAGACGCCGTCTCCGTGCTGGCCGCGGCCTTCTGCTTCGTTTTTTTCAGCTACGTCGTGCTGGCGCGCGAGGACGCGCCCTTCGCCCGCGAGAGCGCCTACTTTTTTGATGAGTCGAAGACGGGAAATCCCAACACGATCTCCGGCGGCCTGTCGCTCATCGTGTGCACGGTCGCGGCCTTCGCGGGCGCCTACGGCTCTTTATTAATTTGCGGCTGGGTCCGGCGGCGGCGGAGCGTCGAGGACGAGGCCGTCTCCCCGAAGGACGTCGAGCTGCGCGTACCATCATCGCCGCGGGGCGCCGAGGTCGTTTTGGCGACGGCGGGCGCGCGGCCAGATCTCGGCGAGGTCGTGCGGCGCGCGGACGCGCAGCTCGGGCTGCGCGCCGAGGTCCTGGCGGGCGGGCCGGACGTGCTCCTCGAGGGCCTCGAGGACCGGCTCGGCGGACGGGCCGTCGAGCGGATGACGTGGTCCATGTAAAAGTATCGTAATTCGAGTTTTACTTCGACGGGATGGGGGGGGGTGGGGTTCGTGGGTGTTGGTTGATTGTGTACCAAGGTACTTATCATGGGGAGGGGGCATGTACGGCGTCGCCTACTCGGTGAAGTCGTCCTGGTAGCGCACGCCAGCACACATACCGCAGGCGAGGTGCTCCTTCTCGTTCAAGAACGTGCACTGCGCGCACGCCCACTTGTCGTCGACGACGACGGCGGCGGCCTTGGGCTTGGACGCCGGCGCGGCCTTCTTCTTCACGACGACCTTCTTGACGATGGGCTTGCGCTTGGAGGCCGAGGACGCGCCGCCGAGCTTGTTGCCGTTGCCGGAGAAGGGCGTGACGTGGGGGCGGCGCGCGCGCGGCTGCGGCCCGCGGGGGAGGCCCGGGCGCCGCGCCACCCAGGGCGCGCGCCCCTGGACGGCGCGTTGGCCGCCTCCGAACATGATCGCGCCGGCGGCCACGGCCTCGATGTCATGGGTGGGGGACGAGATGTCGTAGTCCAAGCCGCTCGCGCCGAGCGAGAACTTGCCGTTGAGCTGCGGGATGGTGCCGCCGGACATGGTGCCTGCGCGGCGAAAATTCGAATTCGTCGAGCAACGATGCGCGCGACGCGACGGGGACGACGCCCGTCGGCCGGCGCGGCGTCGCGGGGCCACTCGGGGGGTATTGTGGCGTCATTCGCCCCGCCTGCGACCGCCGCGCCGCCGCCGGCCGCTAAGCAAACAGCGCTTTCCTCAGGCTCACTCCAGTCGCCATAACTCTCCGCGCGCGGTAGTTTGGGAGCGGCGCCGCGGCCCACGGTTATATATGAGTTAGGAGGACCGCCCTGAGGCCGTCGCTAAGTCGAAATGGCTGAGCTGACCTAGCTAGGTGGCCCCCTAAAGCAAGCTGATCGATCGCGCCGTCCTCAGCGAGGTAAAGCTGCCCAAAGCAAAGGACAACGAGCCTTCATACACGTCTAAAACATCGCAAGACTCTCGGGATTTCTGGGCAGCCGCGCGAGGCCCGCGAGACAGGCACACAGGCAGGTCTTGGAGCGATCCGGGTCAAAAAACTTCCACACGTCTGAGAGCGACAAAATTCTCTGAGACCGCGTGATTCACGCGCGGGGCCGTCAGTACGGGTTTCTCGCGTTTTGCGCAGACACCGAGTCGGCCAGCGCATTCATAGCCATGGTGGCGATTTATTTAGTGCTGCTGTTGCAGCAATTGCTGTGCACTGCAAGCTTGCAGCTGCAAAAAACGCGAACGCCTGCGGCTACGCGCAGCGCATATACGCACGTAACTCAACTAGCTTCCGGTTTCGCGTGCGGCGCATGGCGGGCGTCATATGTCACATCACTGGGTGCTAGTCGTCGTCTGGGTCAAGATCGACAGCAAGTGGGTCCTGATTTATTTTTGGATCTGCCTCTCTCATTGGCATATTTTTGTCGAGGCCGCCGCGGCAAACGGCGTGAATTTTTTGCCAGTTTCGGCGTTCACCGTCGGCGAGCGCCACGTCTACCCGTTAACCGACAAGGTTACGGGTGTGCGCGTGCCCGACGCCGTCCGCTGTGAGGCTGCTGGCGGCAAGAAGGCGCCCGCGGTCGTCTTCGGGGGGCGTTGTGATTGGAACCCCGCGGATTTGCTCGAAGCTCGTCGCAATTTCAATAAGATAATGTGGAAACCTTCCGCCATGGGTTCTTTCTTACTCATGCTGGTCATTTCCTCATTCCCGCAAAATTGTTGGAAGCGGCGTCTGAATACCTTTTTTTCAACCACTGCGCCATCGATACGAGACGTGCCCACCGCTCCCGGCCGACTGGAGCGTCGCGTCGCCGGCGTGACACTGGCCACGGCCTCGACGCGCCGGGCGCCCTTCGAAGAGCGCGACGCCATCGACGCGAATTTACTACCATTTTTCACCACGTCGCTCGTTCCTCGCGCAGATGGGCGGCCTGTCGCCGGCGGCGCGACCCAGTTCGCCGCGACGCACGCCAAGGCCTCGTACTTGGAGCTGGTCCCGGGCTACGGCCGGAGCGGCGAGAAGACAATTAATGATGGTGTTCTTCGCCGCGACCTCGCCCAATTCTTAGCAGCTTTAGATGATCAAGACCGCAAGTTGACGCATATTGACGTCATCGACAGCGCTATAGAGTATCAGCCAGATCTCTACACGCTGGGCGAGTCCGTTGAGGCAAAGGTCGATTTCGCTGATCATGTTATTAAGTGGAACAGAGACGCCTCGATCGAGCGTGCGGACGAGGTGAACGCGGGCGCAGTGACGCGCCTGTCGCGGCTCGCCTCCGAGAAGCCCCGAACCATTGTTTTTGCTGCTCCGGTGCTCAAATACGCCGCAGATATTCATCTCCTACATGCTCTGGGCGGCAAGACGAAGGCAAACGACTTCGCTGTCGTCGACAAGTTGCCTAAAAACGGCAAGCTCGGCCCGGGCGGCGTCCATCAGGTCGCCGTCAGGACCCGGACCGGGGGTACTGCCTCCGCCCCACAATACACGTACCAGCTGCACACCTATCAAAAGAAGAAGTACTGGAAGCCCAATACGAGCCCGCCCAAGGCTCTCAGCATTACGTTTGAGTTACTGGATAAATTGCTCAAGAGCGGCCATTTACCGGAAGGTGCGCTACCGGCGTCCTTCAGAAGTGTAGAATGCCTTCACGCCATCGACGCGACTCGTGTCCATCTCACAATGAAGTGGGTGGTTTATTTTTCGATTTTGAGGCCATCTGGACCGACACGATGCGTCGTGGGTGCGTTAAGAGTACTCGAAGCGCCGCGGTCGCCGACGTGCGGTGCGTCGATGCGTGGCCCCACGGTTCCGCGGGGTCTCGGAGGCGCGGTGACGCCCGTGCCCGAGCGACTGGACCTTCGCGACGCGGAGCGACGGCCACGGCCGCGACGGGCCTCGACGCAGCTCGGAGGCGCCGCGCGTCCGACGTGCGGCGCGGCGATGGCGTGAGGCCACCTCTCCGCGGCGGCGCGAAGTTTCGACGACGCCCGTGCCCGAGCGACTGGACCTTCGCGACGCGGAGCGACGGCCACGGCCGCGACGGGCCTCGACGCAGCTCGGAGGCGCCGCGCGTCCGACGTGCGGCGCGGCGATGGCGTGAGGCCACCTCTCCGCGGCGGCGCGAAGTTTCGACGACGCCCGTGCCCGAGCGACTGGACCTTCGCGACGCGGAGCGACGGCCGCGGCCGCGACGGGCCTCGACGCAGCTCGGAGGCGCCGCGCGTCCGACGTGCGGCGCGGCGATGGCGTGAGGCCACCTCTCCGCGGCGGCGCGAAGTTTCGACGACGCCCGTGCCCGAGCGACTGGACCTTCGCGACGCGGAGCGACGGCCACGGCCGCGACGGGCCTCGACGCAGCTCGGAGGCGCCGCGCGTCCGACGTGCGGTGCGTCGATGGCGTGGCCCCACGGCTCCGCGGGGTCTCGGAGGCGCGGTGACGCCCGTGCCCGAGCGACTGGACCTTCGCGACGCGGAGCGACGGCCGCGGCCGCGACGGGCCTCGACGCAGCTCGGAGCCGCCGCGCGTGCGACGTGCGGTGCGTCGATGGCGTGGCCCCACGGCTCCGCGGGGTCTCGGAGGCGCGGTGACGCCCGTGCCCGAGCGACTGGACCTTCGCGACGCGGAGCGACGGCCGCGGCCGCGACGGGCCTCGACGCAGCTCGGAGCCGCCGCGCGTGCGACGTGCGGTGCGTCGATGGCGTGGCCCCACGGCTCCGCGGGGTCTCGGAGGCGCGGTGACGCCCGTGCCCGAGCGACTGGACCTTCGCGACGCGGAGCGACGCCATCGACGCGACGGGTGGTGCCGTGACGTTCTCGATCTACACAGGTACTATTGTAGAAGTCGCCTCTCCGGAGGCGATCGGCCCGGCTATTCTAAATGTTGTGAAAGCGTCGAACGCCGTGCGCAAGGCCTACGGCTTCCGTAAGCTCATGCCTACGACTCTTGCGCACGAGTACACGCTGAACCGCAACGACACGCGCGACAAGTCTTCTCTTGCAGTCCTGCATCTTCTGGAGTTACCAGAAATAAATGAATTAGTTCCACTGGGCTATGGTCAATCAGAAGTGAAACACCCCATCTCGTTTAAAGTTGACGATATTTATGTGCCGGCGTCGGTGGTACACGTCACGTACCTTATGGCACCTCAATCACACTGCGACGTCCAATGCCTTATCGATTCAACGGTGCCACAACCGCCCCTTTTCGAACATTCTGCCTGTCTTATTGCCCGCATCAAGCTACATGAGGACTCGAAGCCGTTTCATCCGAAGGCCGGCAAGGGCGGGGGCAGGCCGTTCTCTATTACAATTAAGGAAGAGGGCAAGGCTGATGTTGTTTTGGACGCCACATCAGAGCCTGATGGTATTAGGTTATTGGGAGAGAAGGGCATTACTGTATCACAGAAACCCATCAATAGTCGTTTGTCCGGGAAGGTTACATCAGACTTAACCCGAAACGGCAAGACGTGTAAATTTGCCTATAAGAAGATTACTCTCCCGAAAAAGGAAGAGCTGGAACAGGATATGTATATGGTGCTACCGTTAAATAATGAGAAACTTTTGGAGGCGTTGCATGCAGGGTTTAATTCTACTATTGCTGCGAGAACTGCGTTCATGGATCTCGACGCCCTACGTGCGGATCCACTAAGATTTTTCCTGGAGCGGGACAACATTGAATTAAGTGACGAGCTGAAGGAGATCGTGGCCCGCGGCTTCGTTACAAAGAAAGAGTTGAAGGACAAACTCCTGCCGTACCTCACGGGATACAAAGCGCGCATAGACGCGCAGTTCGACGAGTTCCTGCCGTCGGAGACCTTCATTAATACCAACGTCGCGTCTACGGAATTTGCTGAAGATGCGGATGCTCTGGAAACGAAGGTCACTGCGGAGATGACGTGGTTGTATGATGCGGTCGACGTCTTTGATAAGGAGCAGGCCGCCGCGGCGAAGCAGCGCAAGGCCGCCAAGGCCGCCAAGGCCTCTAAGGCGTCGCCGAAGAAGCGGAGCCGCAAGCGCAAGACTACTGTTCCCGAAACGACCTTCATTAATAGTGACGACGCGTCCGACGAGGAGGCCGTGGCCGACGACGAGGAGTCTGCTGTCGGCAGCGAGGACTGCGGCTTGGATGACGACGTGGAATCGTTCAAAGGGAACTCGTCGGACGAGTCTTCCTCCGATGACGACGAGGTTATGCCCGTGGCTCGACCGCTACCTGATAATCACGGTCCTCAATCCTTCGAGCCGTTCGACCGCGTGGAAGCGTTTTACCGCCCGGATAACATCTGGTGTCCGGCGACGGTTCACTCACCGAACGACGACGGGACCTATAATGTCGACTACGACGACGAGTATTTTGAGCCTAACCTCCCAGCGAATCTGGTGCGTCCGCTAAAGCGCCGCAAGGTCGCCGCGCCGCCGGCCGCGGGGGCTTATCAAATCGGCGACAGCGTCGAGGCGCGCTGGTGTGGTGGCGAAGACTGGTTCCCGGGCACGATCCACAAGTGCCACCCCGACGGCATGTACCACATCAAGTTCTTCGACTTCAGCGAAGACGACTCTGTATCTCCTCATCACGTCCGCCGCGCACCGTGACCGGACGGACCAATAGTACCAGACGCTCCTGCGCCTTACCATGACTACAGCGACCGCCACATTTGACTGGGTCCCATAGTTGGCGGTAGTACGAGTAAGAATAATATACCTATATCTATATATCCCGTGACCGCCAGCTAGCGGCTGTAAGATACTAGCAAGCGCTGCTGAGGCTCAGCACCGGCGGACACGTCGTCTGGCGTGCCAAACCACAATTGCGCAATGGCACGACTGTTATTCTTCGTACTGATCGCTGTGAACGCGTTGCAGCGACCAATGGCGCCGCCGCGACGGCTGCACTCAATAGCGCCTGCGCCAGCAGTGGCTGCCCTGCCTGCGCTACCTGCCCTGCCTGCGCGCAAGGCATCCGTAGTGCTCACCAGCGCGGTCATGAACGACGAAACAGCGGAAGCACCAAATGAAAAGCCGGAGCCCCTCTGGAAGAAGTTCGGCGAAGCTGGCGTGATCGCGTACGTCGGCATTAACGTGTTCTGGTACGCGATCGGCGTGAATTTGTTCCTGCGCGGCATGCCCATCAAGCAGGCGGGCGGCGCGAAACTCGCGTACAAGCGGTTCCTCGCCGCGTGGGGTCTGTGCTTCGCCGCGTCGCACAGCCTCGGCCCCGTTCTGCCCGCGGTGCGCGCTGCGGGGGCCGGCGCGCTGAGCCCGCTGTCGTCGGCGCTGCTCGAGCGCGTGCGACGACGGCTCCCGGCGTCGACGCCGCGCTGGGTCGCGCCGTCGATCGCTTTTATCGGCCTCTGCGGCCTCTTCGGCGTCCTCTCGTTCTTCACGCTCACGACGGAGCTCGTGCGCGTGGCCGCGGCGGCGTAGTAATGTACTGGTGGTTAGCCGGGGGTCAGGGGCCTAGTCCGAGTCGCTCGCGTAGCGCTTCGGCGGCGAGCGCGAGCCGGACGCCTGCAGGCGGCTGCGGAACCGGTTCATGAGCTCCGAGTTGTCCGAAGGGCGCGGCGCCTTGACGGGCGACTCCTCGGACGCCGACGACTCCTCGTCCGACTCCGAATCGGTCTCGTAGGACGAAGAGGAGGCAGCTTTTTGGGCCTCGGTCTTGGCGCGCCGGTTAGCGATGGCCTGCTCGAAGGGCGACGGCCCCGGCGTCCTGAAGGCGACCGCTGGGTCCTGCAACGAGGAGCTCGACGCCGACGGCGCCGCCGCCGGCGCGAAGGCGTCGCCTTGGACAGCAAAGGGGTCCGAGCTCACGCTCGGAGCCGACGGCGGCTGGCCGAACGGGTCGGAGAATCCCGAGCCCTTCGACGAGATCGAGGGGGCGGCCGGTGCCGCGAAGGGGTCCGCGCCCCTGGAAAATGACGAAGCCACGCTTGGAGCCTTGGGCGCGCCGTCGAAGGACGACGCAACGGAGGACACCGACGGCGGCGCGGGCGGCGCGCCGAAGGGGTCGGGCGTCGCCGGCGCCGGCGGCACGGAGCCGCTCCGTCGCTGCGGCTTGGCCTGGGCCGGCGAGGCCTTGGGCTCCGTCGACGAGCTCCTCCGGGTCCCGTCGCCCTTGGCTGCAAAGCGGCTCCGCGCCGCCGGCGGCTGTGCTGGCCTTACGAGGCCCGGGCCCGACGTACTCGACGCGACGGACGGCACCGAGGCCGTACCGAAGGGGTCCGAGAAGGCGCTCGAGGTCGAGGGCGCCGGCGCCGGCGCCGACCACTCCGCCTGGAGGCGCCGCGCCATCTCCTCGTCGGTCTCCTTGGGCTTTGACGCCTTAGGGGGCGGCTTCGGAGGTTCTTCCTCCTCGTCGGACGACGCCTCGGAGCTACCCTCCTCGGAGGACGACGAGGACTCGGCCGGCTTCGGCGAGAGGACCGTGCGCACGGAAGGCTTCGGCGCCGACTCGGCCGTCGCGTCGGAAGGAGCCGACCGCCGCGGTCGCAACGACGCCGGCGGCGACGCGCCGGAGCCGGAGAGGCGCCGCACGGTAGCCGAGACGTCATCCACGCGCAGCGCGAGCGCACTGTAGTCGTCGTGAGCCTTGGAGGCCTTGTGGTCCGCACCGCGCGCGCCGGCCGCCGCTTCGCGCGCCGCTCTTTCCAGGGCCGCTACCTTTCGTTCCAAGTCGGCGCATCGCTGCCGCGCGTCGTCGTCGACGTTCGTGCCCCGCGTCGGCGACTCCGCGTAGCGCCGGAGCGACTCGCGGCCCGGCGTCGACGGCGGCTCCGTCGCCGACTCCTCGAGGGCCGCCACGCGATCGCGCACGGCGTCGACGCGCTTCGGGATGGCGTCGGCGATCTCGCGCGCGGCCTCGGCGGCGTCCGCGGCCTGGGAGGCCCGCGCGGCGCCCTCGTCGACGCGACGGCCGAACGACGCCAGGTTCGTCTCGAGCGCGTCTCTCGCGTCGCCCAGCGCCGACTCGAGCTCGCGGCCGCGGTCGCGCGCCGCGCGCTCGTTGTCGTCCAGGGCCTGCTTGAGCGCCTGGAGCTTCTCCTCGCACGTCGCCAGGCGCTGCGGGGCCAGCTCGCCCAGCGCCGCCCGGTACGACGTCGAGGCCTCCTCGAGGCGCCCGACGCGCTGGACCACATCTCTTTGAAGTTCGGCGGCCGCGTCCAGCGCGGCCAGGTGCTCGAAGGCCTCCGACGCGTCGCCGCGCTGCCACGTCTCCAGGGCGTCCAGCCGCGCGCGGTCCGTCGCGCTCCGCCGCTCCGCGTCCCGGAACCGGCCGACCTTCGCGTCCAAAGCGTCGACGCGCGCGTCGACGCTCTCGACCTTGCCGGCGAGCTCGCCCGCGCGCTTGACGGCCGGCGCCTCCTCGGCGAAGGCCCGCGCCGTCGTCTTCGCCACGTCGAGCTTGCCCTCGATGGCGCCGATCGCGCGATCACATCTCGCTAAACCTCGTACTAAATCGGCGCGGTCGTCGCGCCAGTCGTCGGACCGCTGGTCGAGCGCGCCGTAGAGCTCCGTCCTCAACGAATCCAGGGACTTGTGCGTCGCCGCCCGCGCGTCGTCTAACGCGGCCCGCGCCGTTCTTGTAGCTTCGACCACTTGCCCGATCTTGTCGGCGCACTCGGCGCGCACCGTCTCCAATTGCTGCTCGAGCTTTTTCTGGGCGAGCCGCGCGTCGCGCAGATCGGCCTCCCGCGCGCGTTTCAGCTCGTCTACTTCATTTCGCGCGCTGTCGACGTCCCCCACCAACTTGGCCACAGCTTTATCGACGGCCTTGGCCGCGCGGTCGTCGTCTCCATAAGATCCGGAGGAACCTCCCCCCAACGCCGCCGCGCGGCTGTCCAACGTGTTCTCGAGCTGGCGCCGCGCGTCCATGAGCGCCTCGGACGCCTCCGCTCGTAAAGAGCTGCCCAACGATTTCGAAAGTTTGTCCTCGAGTTTTGATTCCGCGGCCGCGAAGGCCTGCTGCACCGCGGCCTGGACGGCGCTTTCCACGGCCGCCGGCGCCGCGCGCGCCGCGGCCATGTCGTCGCCGCCCAACGACTCGCCGCTTCGCAACCGCAACGCGGCGACCTGCCGCCTCAAGTCCTCGAGCTCGTGCTCCATGGCCGACTGGCCCGCCGCGACGGCGCCCTGCGCGGCAGCTTGCGCCTGCCTTCTCGCTGCATCTAAGACGCCCTTGACCTCGGCCTGCGTCGCGCTGCGCTTGTTGCTCTCGGTGATGCGCCGCTGCGACGCCTCGAGGCCGGCCTGCGTCGCCGCGGCCTTCTCCAAAGCAGCATCCACCCTGGACCGCCACTGCTCCGCGTCGGCCTGCCAGGCCAGCATCTTCGACGCGTGGCCTCTTCTGGCATGCACTTCTCTCGCAAGAGCATCTACGGTAGCTTCCCTCGAGCGCCGCGCCGTCGCGGCCGCCGTCTCCGACGCGCGTAGAGTGGCGACTTCGTCTTCGAGCCGCTGCAGCGCATTGTCTCCCCCTTGCACATTTCCCACGTTCCACCTTGCTAACGCCCGAGCGACACTTCGCTCGATGGCGTCGTCATCGATAAAAGTTTCGACGGACTCGCTCGGCACTGGTCTTTTATCCCTCTCTTCAAAGGCGTCCCAGGACTGGCGCTCCGCCGACCGTCGCACGGATTCCGCGGGGCGCGCGGGGCTGTAGCGCGTCGATAAAGCGTTGAGGTTGGCGTTCGTGCGCTCGATGATGCCGCTCAGTTGCTGCTCCCACTGCTGGTGGCTGAGCGAGGCGGCGGCGCTCATTTTTGGGCGTGCGGGCAGCTTTTGCGGCTTATGTGGAGTCGTGTGGTGTGCGCCGCACCAGCCTTCAGCCCGCAGGGCGCCCTAAATTTGGCGTCTCCGCACCAACTGCTGTTGTTTTTTGGCATGCAATTCGGGCGCTGGTGGTGGGCGCGCAGGAATACGAATCGCGGTCGTCCTAGAGGTCTGGCGTGGTGCCGGGAACTGTGTTGGTTTTTTTAATTTTTGCGCGGGTTGTCCGACCCGAATTTACACATGTTGCAAGGATGGGCAGCCCATCGCATTGCCTCAGGCGGACAAAGCGATGGAGGATTACGTCTCGCGCCATCATCAAGACGTGCTGCGGAAGGCTGAGGCGGGCGACGCAGATGCACAGGCGACATTGGGATCATTTTTTTTCAATGGGGTGCCCGAAGCTGGCCTCGAGCCGTACTTTGAGCTGGCAGCGAGGTGGCTTTCAAAAGCAGCTGGGGCACACCACATTCAAGCGCAGGCCCTCTTGGGTGTGCTGTACCTCCGCGGTAACGGTGTCCCCCAAAACGAGCGCCGTGCCGCGAAATGGTTGCAACAAGCGGCGGATGCGGGCGATGCGGCGGCGCAAAGTCAATACGGAGCATTGCTCTATACAGGGCAGGGAGTCGATAAAGATGATGCGCGCGGCGTGTCGTACTGGCAGAAGGCTGTGGCGCAGGACCACCTGCCAGCGATGGTGAGCCTAGGCGTGGCCCTTCACAAAGGCGAGGGTGTGAAGCAGAACAAGACCAAGGCTCTTGCGCTCATGTCGGCCGCCGCGCGCCAGGGTGATGAACATGCCGTAATGATCCTGGCTAAATGGGATTTGGAGGCGGCAGCGGAAGCGGAAAAGACTAAAATAGAGGCGGCGGCGGAGGAATCCCGGCGGCGCACGGACGAGTTTCTCTTTTCCACTGGCGTCGCCGGCGCGGCCGCGGACAAGCTCCGCTCGCTCGCGCCGGACCACCAGGCGCGGCTCCGCCGCCGCCTCGTGATCAGCGTCGCCGCGGGCGCGAGCGCCGCCGACCTCGAAGTCATGATAATGAGGGCCGACGACCACCAGTACGCGGCGATGGCGTCGGAACTCGCGGCCCTGGACCCGTCGCTGCGGCCCGTGGCCAAACGCCTTGCGCTGACGTCGGCGGCGGTGTGGTCCCTGTCGACGCTGGATTCGCTGCAGCAGGAGGGCCTCGCGTGCCGCTTCGCCGAACCGGGCCTCCTCGCCGACATCGTCGATCTCGATGACTTCATCGCCCGGGCTTTTGCGACGGAGAAGACGTTTGAAATTCTGTTGCGCGCAAGCGTGTCGTTCATGGAGCCGGATCTCGTCAACTATATTCAAGGCCTCCCCTTCGACCTGTCGCGGAGTTGCGTCAAGGAGCTCCGGGCCCTCGACGAGCAGAAGCAGCGTGGGGTGGCGGACACGCTGGCGACCGTAGACTTGCGCGACATTGACGACCCGTCTGCCTACGTCCTCGAGTGCCTTGACTTGTCGAAGCGGCTGGATGAGGACGCGGCGGAGCTGGCAAAAAAGGAGGCAGCGGCGGAGCGAGCGGCGGCGGAGCTGCTGCGCGAGGAAGAAGATGAGGCTGCGGCGGCGCGGGCCAAGCGCGCCAAGAAAAAGAAAGCCAAGAAGAAGCGGCGCGGTGCGGCGACGGCGACGGCGCCCGACGAGTCCAAGGTCGAGGTCGCGCCGGCGGCCGAAGAGAATAAGGTCGAGGAGGAGGACCAGGCCTCGCTGGACCTCGCGCAGCGGCTCACGCTCGAAGACGCGCCGCCGCCGCCACCACCGCCCGGAAAGGTGCTCGTCGACGAAATTCTCGACGATGCCGCTGCTCGCGCGGCCGCGCTCGAGACGTCCCTGACGGCGCACCAAGCGGAGCTCAAGCGGCTCAAGGCCGTTCTGAAGGAGCGGGGCGTGCCGGACGGCTACCTTTGTCCCATCTCGCTCGAGGTGATGGAAGATCCAGTGATCGCGGCCGACGGCCACTCCTACGAGCGATCGGACATCGAGGCTTGGTTCAACCGCGGCAACGACACGTCGCCCAAGACGGGCGGCGCGCTGCCGCACCAGTTCCTGACGCCGAACCACAACCTGAGGAGCGCGATCCAGGACTTCCTCGCGGAGGTCCGACAGTTCGCGGACATGTGAGTGTGATAAGATACAAATGTAACAATTAGAGCGGCTCCGTCTTCCGCACGAGCCAGTCGAGCGCCTGCCCCTCTAACAAGGGAGCCAGCTGCGCGCGCACGTCCGCGTGGTACGCGTCGACCCACTGTCTTTCGGCCGCGTCGAGCATTGTGACATCAATACAAGTCGCGTCGATGGGGATGAGTGTTAAATAAGAGAACTTGAGAAATGCCTTGCCGTCCGGCACCTTTGCTACCTCAGCCTTCTCAACGGCCAGTAAATTCTCGATGCGCACGCCGAAGCATTCAGCCTGGTAGTAGCCCGGCTCGTTACTCAACACCATGCCCGCCTTGATTATATTCGTGTTCCCGAAGCGCGGACTCACGGAGATGGGCCCCTCGTGCACATTTAAAGCAGCACCGACCCCATGCCCCGTGCCGTGGCCGTAATCCAAACCGCAGGCCCACAGGGCCTTCCGCGCAAACGCATCTAAGACGAACCCTATGGTACTCTCGGGGAAGATTGCTACGTCCAATCCGATGTGGCCCTTCAGAACAGCCGTAAATGCGCGCTTCTCTTCCTCGGTCGGTCTGCCAAAGTGCATCGTCCGCGTCGCGTCCGTCGTGCCGTCGGAATATTGGCCGCCCGAGTCCACTAAGAGTAGGGTGGAGGTCGTCACCGGCGAGTCGGACGGCGAACCATGAATCAGGGCGCCGTTGCCGCCCGCGCCTGCTATGGTTGGAAATGAAGGTTCGATGAACGTGGGATCTCGCGACCGCTCCTCTATCAATAGAGCGTCGACGTCGAGCTCCGACGTCGCCTCACCGCTCACGACCCGTTTTTCCAGCCGAGCAAAGGCCCGCGCAACGGCCGCGCCGTCCCTCACATGGGCCGCGCGCATCCCTCGTAACTCGCCCTCATTCTTCACCGCCTTGAAATCGGCGACGGGGCACTGTTCATTAATACGGTTGGGCTCGGGAATCGCATCCACCACAGCCGCGGAGCACCTCGATGGATCGACGCAGACCGTGGCTTCCGCCGCCGCGGCTCTCAAGAAAGGTAGCGCGCGGTCGTAGTCTCTTATATCCACACTCGCCGCTTGCAGCGCTTCATGTACGTCCTTTGGTACCTTAGCCTCGTCGACGAATAACGTCGCGGTGTCGTGGTCTATATAAGCGTACGCCAGAGCCACTGGATTGCAGGCCACGTCGCCGCCCCTCACATTGAACAGCCAGCAGACCTCATCTAACGCACTAATGACTAGACCCGAGGCGCCCAGCTCTTGAACGGCAGTGCGCACCCTCCCTAGCTTCGACTCAACACTTTCACCGGCGAACTCCAAAGGATGCAGCCGCAGCATCGACGAGGGCATCGCCGGCCGGTCGGCCCAGACCTTGTCGACGGGATTTTCGTCGAGGTGCCTCACCTGAACGTGCTCCTCCAGCGACGAAGCGAAGCTTGATGCCGTCACGCGCGCGTCGATGCCGACCGTTTCTACTTCTGATGCTTCGTCGGTGCCGAACCAGGCCGCGATGCCGTCGACGCCCGGCGCGCCGGCCTTGACCAGTTCCCAGCCTTCCCCGAGTTGTTGGGAGGCTTGCAGCCAGTACCTCCCATCCGTCCAGCACAATGCGCGGTCCTTGAGCACAACGGCCGTACCGGCACTTCCAGTGAAGCCGCTCGCGAAGGCCCTCCTCTCGAAACACGGCGCGACGTATTCGCTGAGGTGCGGGTCGTCGCTCGGGATGACAAACGCGTCCACATTATTCTTGTCGAGCTCTTCCCTCAAAGCGTCGAGTGTTTTTGTGGATCCGGCGCGCAGTCGTACACTGCGCCTGGAGATGGAGCGGGCCGCCGCCAGGCCCCGGGCGCGGCAGGCGGCCGCCGTCAGCAGGTACATATATAGCATATATGCACGACAGCTCTCAACAAGCTGTCTGTCTGAGTGTGCTCTCTGTGCTCTGCGTGGCAGCAAATGCACGACCTGTTGACTGTGCGATCACTGCCGAGCGATTGGTTTAGAGGCTGCTTTCGCTGTGTGCTATCTATCCGCTGCAAGCACGTCGATGGCCGCGCCTTGCTTGGCAAGCGCTAGCGTCGTGTAAGACACTAGGAAGCAAAGCGTCCGCGCCACCACGGTATATATCCGAGACGAGCGCATTCACACACTGCAGGACAGTGCGTTACCATCCTGACGCCTTCAATTTTGGCATCGAGGGGTCATCTCTGGGCTTTGAAATTTGCCATTTAATCTGGAGTCAATTTGGGAGCGGTTTCAGCGGCCGCGATAATGGCGCGAGGCCTCATACTCCTGTGGCTGGTCGCCGCCGCGACGGCCTCACAAAGGAGGAAGAACAAAAAGAAAGCTGATGCTGCCGCGGCGGGCCGGCCGCCGAGTATGACCCTCGACGCGCTCCCTCTCAAATACAAAGACGACGCCGTCGGCCGCTACGCGAAGACCTGGGCCACCGCGCACACGAACCGGAGCGGAATGGCCCACTTTTTGGAGCGCTTCGGCGCTATTGATGTGGGTTGCACCTACGACGTCGAGAGTTCAGGTGAAGGCGCCAGCCTGCCGCGGCTCGTTTTCAAGTTCGCCGACGGCTCATCAACACGCGCGGAGCCCGGCTGGCCGGACCACTTCAAGACGCGGCCGGCCGTCTGCGAGTATGCGCGAGGGCCCCGCTTTGATTCGGACGCGGCGATGTTACTGGTGTCGTCGTCGACGGACTATCTGTTTCGGCTGTGGCCGTTGTTCCTGAACAAGATCCTCTACGCTGCAGCTGCCAACCTACGCCTCTTCGTCTGGATCGGCGAGCTCCCCGCGGCGGCGACGCGGGCGACCGCCGCCGGATGCTACCTAAGCCAACCGAACCGAGCCAGGTTCGACCAGAAGCCCATGCTTATGCACGCTCAGCAAAGAAAGTTGGCCGACAGCTACACGACGGACTCTTACGACGTGAAAGACGTCACGCGCGTGAGCAATCATCACGTGATGCGCGGTGCGGAAATCAACCCGGTCCTGCGCCTGCTCGACGGCGTGGAGGCTCCGCGCCATGTGAAGAGTCTCCACGCAGGTCAAGATGCCCGCGACGCTAGCGGTGCTCGCCCACCCTTCAGTAAGAGGCGTGTACTACGTCGACTTGGATAGCGTCGCGCAGCTCCCCTTCAATTTGACGAATGTAAAACGGACGCACGGGCAGTACGCCGACGTTGTTTTCAAGTGGACAAAAAAATTAGGACCAGCTACGTTACGGTGGAAGGTCATGGGTTCCAGATTTTATGTGCGGGACACTCAGTTTGGGCGTCGCTTCTTCGAGCGATGGTTCGATAATCGTTGTTCGTTCAAGGACCAGTATTCGTTGTGGCACACGATCCTGGAGCTTTCTGCGGAAGCCGGGTGCGTCGATTATAAGGGCGAGATCTGGGAGCGCCACTCCTACGATTCGGTAAGACACATGAAGCCTAGTATGGCGGGCGCCGAGCTGCAGCTGACGTGCGATGTGATCCATGGGAAGTGCCCTACGTTTAAATACGGGAACGAGGGGCCCTCCCATCCTTGCGTTTACGACGACGTGCCCGACGTCCTGGACAACGTGTTGCACCACGCGATCCCGCCCGACGGGCCGGGCCTGCGCGAGGTGACTTATGGTGGGAAGACGCTGGTCGTGGAGAACACGTGCTTCTACGCGGGGAACCGGGCGCGCATCGACGATCAACGCGACCAGAAACGAGGCCTCTGCAAGTACGCGGGCAGCTGGCGCGAGTACCTCGAGAAGCTCGGCGTCGTGGGGAGGGATACTTCGGTTCATCCGTGGGGGGACTAAGTATTAATCCACACCGTCAGCGCCACGCGGTCCGCGCTGGCCGCGAGGACGGCGTGCTCGACGGCGCCAGAATCGAAGATCACGAGGCGTCCGCCAAGCGGCGCGACGTCGAACGGCTCGCGCCCGCCGATCCAGCACCGCAGCGCGCCGCCGTCGCGTTGTATTTGCCAGTCGTCGTTCAGATATAAAATAGCGGTCAGCGCGCGGCCGCGGTAGTCGCTTAATCTCAACCACTCCAACAATCCTAACTCTTCGACGCCAAGCGAACACCTGTCGAGGTGCCGGTCGTAGCCCTTGCCCCGCGACGTGTAGCGCGCGAGCTGGCACTGACGCGGCACTCTATGATGCGAGGCCTTAGTGGAAATAGACGAGTGAAGCGGGAGAGGGATGCGCGCCGCCGCGCTATCGAGGTAAAGGCGCCGTTGACGAAATTTGATTTCTGTTCACGTGATCACTTCGTAGCCGCGCCGCGCCAGCGCGTCGGGGACGCCGCGGAGGAGGCGCATGGCCTGTCGAAGGCCGGCGCCGACGTCGTCGTCGTCGCCCCGGACCCAGCACACGGAATCGCCGCGCTCACCGTGGTCGCCCGCGGGCGAAAAGCGCGCCAGCGTCGCCGCGTCGCGCCGGGCCGCCGCGAGCTCCCCGGCCGACAGGACGTCGTCGACGACCACGAGACCGCGCCGTGTCAGCGTCTCCGCGTTCGCAGCACTGAGGGCCAGCGGCGCGAAGGCGCAGGCCGCCGCCGGCTCGGCGTCGCCGATGGCCGTGCGGGTGTACGCTTCCGCGAGCATGCCCGCGCAGCCCGCCGGTACGACGAGCGCGAGGCACGCATCCCAGCTGGGGATGCGGCGGAGCGTCTGGCGCCAGAACCGAGCCATCTCAAGGTCATGCGTGAAGCATTGTAGCTTGCTCTTTAGAGGCTGCGATGGCTTGCACTGCGCTGCAGACTGCAGTGTGGTGGCTTGCACTGCGCTTAAGCTGCACTAGTGCACTTAACCACACAGCAGAGCAGCACTCGACTAAGACGATCAGCAGCAGCAAATACCAATGATTCCGCCCTGCAACAGCTGCTTGCTAGCTCTTGCACCGCAGAGCTTTTGCCGAGCTTGCTAGTGTCTTACGATCGCTAGCTCGAGTTTTTGCGGGTCGGCTCAAAAAAGCCGCAAGGCAGCCTAAATCGTCGGTTTCGGGGACGTGCGAGGCGGCTGCACAACTACCAGAAACCATCGAGTACTCAGAGCTGGGCGGGCGCGGCTGGGAAGCGCTGTAGTTTCCAATTTGCCCTGTATCGGCCAGGGCTGCAAATTGACGCGAAACGACGATGGCCCAGCCCGGCGAGCGCGTCTGGATAAGACACTCGACAGAAGTGTGGGAACCCGCGGTCGTCGATGCCGTCGACGGGTTGCGGGTCCAGGTCCACGCGGTCGGCGGCGCGCGCGAACTTACCTTCAAAGATGCTGCTACTTTAGAGGACGGCGTCAAGCGTCGCAACGAAGGAGATATTGCCACTGTGGACGATCTCGTAAGGTTGCCCTTCCTGCACGAACCGGCCATCTTGCATGTCTTAAGAAGTAGAGCCCGAGCCGGTTTGATCTATACGAACGTCGGCGCGATCTTGTTGGCGGTGAACCCCTTCAAGCGGCTACCAGAATTGTACGGTAATAATGCGGTAGAGACACAGAGATCAGCAGGAGCATTAAGAGCCGCGGACCCGGAATCCGCACAACCACCGCCGCCCCACTGCTTCGCCGTCGCCGACCAGGCCTACCGCCAGATGCGTTCGGCACTCACAGGGAGAAAACCCGCGGACCAGGCCATCCTCATCTCCGGAGAGTCTGGCGCCGGTAAAACAGAAACGACAAAATTCGTGATGCGCTACTTAGCCGGTTTGTCGTTGCAGGGCGGGTCGTTACAGGGCCTGGAGGCGCGGGTCCTGCAGACGAATCCCGTCCTCGAAGGTTTTGGGAACGCTCGCACGTTGAGGAATGATAATTCCTCAAGATTCGGCAAGTGGATCTCGCTGGACTTCGACGAGCGAGGGCGATTAGCTCGGGCGGGTCTGCGGACCTATTTACTCGAGAAGGTGCGGTTAGTACGACAGACGGAGGGCGAGCGGGGCTTCCACGTCTTCTACGAGGCCCTCGCTTCGAGAAAACTCAAGAACTGGCCTTCCTCTGAAAGGGAGTCGGTGTGCGTGTCTGGTAGTAGTAGAGGCGTCGATGGGCGAGATGATGGGGTGTTGGACGCGGATAGTTTTGAGGAACGTGTGCGAGCATTGACCACTTTAGGACTGGATCAAGATGGTATCAACAAGGCCTTTGCTACGTTATCAGCTGTTCTACACTTGGGCGCAGTCCGCTTCGTCAAGGAGCACAAGGGCGCGACACAAGACTCCGGGAGTAGCGTCGACCCTTCCTCGAGACATCGCTTAAATCAGGCGTCCGAAGCCTTAAAGGTCGAGCCCACGGCCCTAGAGCTAGCTTTGTGTAGGAGGAACGTCACAACAGCCGGAGAATCCTTAGAATTGCACTTACCCCCAGACGCGGCGGCAAGGTCGCGCGACGCCCTCCTCAAGGCCATCTACGGCGCTTTGTTTGACGACCTCGTCAGGTCCTGCAACCGCGCGTTGCAGGCGGACGTCCCGACAAGCGCCTCGATAGGCCTCCTCGACATCTTCGGCTTTGAAGTGTTCGCCACCAATAGCTTTGAACAGTTACTCATAAACTACACCAATGAAAGGTTGCAAGCGCACTTCAACAACTTCGTCTTCGAAAATGAACAAAGATTATATGCCTCCGAAGGTTTAGAGTGGGACGCCGTTGATTTTCCCGACAACACTGAAGTGCTGGCGCTCATCGAGGGGTCCAAAAAGTCTTTAACACCTTCCAAGACGAGGCAGACCCTACCTTCGGTCCAGCAGCAGGCCGCCATCGGGTTACTGGCTACTATAGATGATGAATGCTTGCTCGTTGCGGGACGGGCGGACGCCGAAACTTCAGATGCGGTCACCGATGACTTGGATGAGAGGTCAGCTCGAATCCTAGGTGAGCGCCTCAAAAAAACGTTCATCAACGAAGCGAGGTATGCTTGTGATGCCAAGCAGGAGCGAGGCGCATTATTCAGCGTTCATCACTACGCCGGCCCGGTCGAATATAGTGTCAGAGGCTTCGTGGCCAAGAACATGGACACTTTAGCTCCAGACGCGTCGAAATTACTCGCTACGTCGTCGTTCGCGAACGCGTTCGACACGTCATCTGCGACGTCGTTGTCTCCCGAACGCAAGTGGGGCTCCGGGCGACGTGTCACTGGTAGAAGGGCGTCTTCACTAGCGACAACCACGGTAGCGCAACGCTTCCGGACGTCGCTAGGTGCTTTATTGGTGGAGATTCGGGCGACGTGCCCGCACTTCATAAGATGTCTGAAGCCAAATGACGCGAACGTGCCCGACGTGCTCGAAGCACCTCGACTCGTCGAGCAGCTGCGGTACTGCGGTGTTTTAGAAGCTGTTAGAGTTGCTCGGGCGGGCTATCCTGTTAGGTTACCTCATGCGGAGTTTGCTCGCAGATACAGGTGTGCGGCCCCGGCGGGATGGGTCTACAAGCCGCCCAAACTGGACGATGCTTTGGACGGGGCGCAGAAGGCGGCTTTACATGCGGCGAGAGCATTAGTGTTAGTGTTGGCGCCGGGCGCGGAGTTAAGGGTCGAGCCCGCTACTCAAGGTGATAGGAGACGAGGCGTCGCCGTCGGCAAGACCAAGGTCTTCCTAAGGAAGGACGCGTTTGAAGCCCTCGAAGCGCTACTAGCTAGAAGGACGGCGGAGGCGGCCGTCCGGGTCCAGAAGGCGTTCCGCGGCCGCGAAGCGAGAAGGTACCTCCGCTCTGCTAGAAAGCTGGCTCATTTTGTTCAAGTAAGAGCGCGCCTCAAGTTACGAAGGAGGCGGCGGGCGGCTCTGTCGATTGCCGGCGCCGTGCGCGTCGTCGGCGCGACCCGCAAGTTTAGGGCCTCGCGACGCATCGCGCGGGCCGCGCAGACGGCGGGTCGGGGCGCGCAAGCGCGGCGGAAGCTCGGCTGGTTACGAGACGCGAAGGCCGCGCGCAAGTTGCAGAGGGTAGCGCGGCGGGGCGAAGCTAGAGGGAGCTTTCACAGGCTGCGGTCCGCGTGCATCACCTTGCAGTGTCTAGCTAGAATCCAACAAGCGAAGCAGGCGAAGCGCCACGAGCACCAACTCAGGAGGGACGCGTCTCTGGTGTTGGTCGATCTCCGCAAGGCCGAGGTCCGCACGGACGCGGTGCGCGCCGAGACGGCCGCGGCGATCGCCTCCGCCAAGCTCGCCAAACAAACCCACGACGAGAAAATCAAAATGTTGGATTTGGAATTAAGACGCCAGGCGACGGCGCGCGTCGCCGCGCGCGCGGAGGTGGCCGCTGTTAGAGCGGAGCGCGACGCCGCGTTGAAAGCCTTGCAGGCAGAACGGGATCTAAGGCAAGCACCTACTGACCCCGGCCTCAAGACGAAAGCGCGGGACGCCGCAAACGCCCAGCGCGACGCGCGGGCCATCGTCGACGCTTGTGCGCAAGATTGTCGAGATGCTGCTGCCAGAGCCTCGATGTCGCAGTCGGCGAAGAGTGCATTGGACGCCGAGGCCGGCCGCTCGGCCGTCGCCGCGACGGAGGCCGCGCGGCGGTGTACTGATATAGAAAAGAAGGCGAATCGGGCCGCCGCGCGCTTCGCCGAGGCGAGCGGCCGCCAATCGCGAGACACCTTCTCCGAGGACGGCGCCGTGATGACGCCGCTGGCGACGGACGATCGGCGTGCTCTAGATGTGGCGCGCGACGCGTCGCGCTTAGCCAAGGAGGCCTTGCAAGCAGCGCGTGCGACGAAGGAGTGCCGGGCACTAAGAGCTAGAGCGGCAAGGCGGTTGGCCGACGACGCGAGGCAGCTCCAGGCCGAGGAGCCGCCGCCCGTCCCGTTTGATCTGGGCATGCAGCAGCCCATCGCGTCGGATTCTGACGGCGAGTTCCCCGAGGAGGCCGCCTCGCCGGGCATGCGCAAAGCCCGGAAGCGCATCGGGCGCCAGAAGGAGGAGATCCACGCCTTGCGACGGTTGGTCTGCGGCGGCTGGATGGCCCAGTGGCGCATGCTCTGCGAACTGGGCGAGGACCCCGTGCCGGCCGTGGACGACGACCCGTCGACACCCTCACGCGAGAGCTTGGAGGACGACGAGGACTACGAGTTGGAGTTTAGTGGAGGCGCGCGCGTCGACCCGGCGGCGTTGGCGGGGCGCTTCGCCGCGGACATCTCGGCGCTCGACGCGGCGACGGCGCAGCTCGCCGGCGGCGCGGCCCCCGACGCGGAGGCGGCGCCGTACGCGTCGGCTTTGGCCGAGACGCTACTCCAGATGGAGCGCGCGTCGGGGTGTCTGCGGGCGCTCGCGGCCATCGAGGTGGCGCCCTGGACGCCGGCGCAGCTCCGGGAGCAGCTCGACGCGGCCTACGGCCGCCTCGAGGACATGAGCAGCCGGCGCGGATCCATCACGCGGCGCGCGACGCCGACGCGGCGGCCGGCGAACGGCACGAACTCCACGTCGTGGGTGAGCGTCTGGAACTGCGGCGCGTTTGGGCACCGCGACGAACTCGCGGCGGACGAGGCTTGACCACTCGGCGCGGCACGCGCCGAGCGGAAATATACTGATGAGTAAACACACAGTTTTGGTTAATTACACAGTGGCCGCCGCGGCGTCGACGCCGTCTACGCGGAGCGCTCGCGTCGCGCCGGCGAGCGCGTCGACTGGCTCGTCGGCGACGACGGCGTCGCGCGAGCTCTGGCGGACGTCTGCCTCGCCTGGCTTCGTCTCCTGGTTCGCGAGCCACCGGCCCGTGTTCTGCCACCCACCACCTGGTTGAATGACGCAGTACACTTGGGCGCCGAACCAGTTGTTGTCGGCGAGCCACACGTCCACGGGGCCCGCGACCGGCAGTGCGTCCAGGAACTTCCGCGCCGCGGCGCCGCGAATCGCGTAGCAGTGCGTGCAGAAGCCGTACGTCGGCCGGAAGACCTCCTCGCTGCCCGCAACGTACTCCCGCTCACCTCTGTCGGAAAACCCGAGGTAGACGAGCTCGGCATCCTTCGGCACGTGGGTGCGCCAGAGGTACGCGGGCGAGCCCGGCGTCCACCGCTTGTCGAAGCGGCAGTCGTCCTCCGTGATCAACAACCAGCCCTCCGTTTCGACGGCTTTCCGCCACAAGGCGACGTGTGATAAAGCGCACCCGCGCTCGCCGGCCGTCGCGCGCCGCAGGCCCGGCGCGACGTGTCGGTCCCACTCGGCGTTCCTCGTCGCGTCCCAGAGCGGGTCGAAGTCGTCGCCGTTCCCGACCGCTGCGCCGTCTACTGCTTCGAATCGCGTCCAGCGCAAACCCGTGCGTCTCGCCGACGCCTCGTACTTGCGGAGCCGGTCGCTGCGCCTTGCTAGATTGATGCAATAGCACTCGTCGAAGAAGTCGCTATACGCATTGTTGCTGCTGCTGCTGGCAGTGTTTGGGCCTTGCGCAGTGTTCTTGCCCGGTGCAGTGCTTTGTGCGGTGCTCTGCCGCTGTGCGGCAGCGCGTCTGTGCGGAGGTATGTACGCGGCCATCGTTGCAGCAATGGCGCCACAGCTGATAAACGCAGCGCGCGGGTCGGGTGCGCAGGAGTGATCCTAGTGTGTCTACTATGGCAAATCTGCCTTCATAGCTTCTATAGTAGCGTAGTGCGTCAGAGACGGGGCCTCCAGGGTTCGGAGACGTGATCTTTCGGATCGCCTCTGGTGACACACGGAGAGGCCGAAGGTCGGTGCGCTCGCTCATTTCGTTCGTCGCGGCCGCTGTGCACATCCGCGCGCTGCGAAGCCCCCAGAAGCAAGTTATCAACAGTCGCAGCCCCACAGCCATCATCACCAACTCCTTTCGTCGTCTTCCATCATGAACGGAAGTCCCATGCAAGAACCTCGGTTGGTGCCACTCCGCGATCATCTCGCTAACACCCGCTGTGTGCCTGTGACCCAAGACGGCGCCGGCGCTGATGCCAAAGTTCCGGGGGACTTCTTAGACAAGCGCGCTGCGGACGCAGCCGATCGCGGGCGGTCGCGGACCACGGACGACCCGGAGCTCGAAGCTACGCAGCTGGAAGACACTCAGCTGGAAGACAAAGAACCCACCGCGCCCCTACCTGCGCGAGTCGCCGTGGCGACAATGGCAGGAAACCTAGACGAACCCCGCAGTCGCTTCTTGACTTTACAAACGGGCCTAAAAGAACTGGGAATCCCGCTTCCGCCGCCCGCTGCGCCACCCGCTGCGCCACCCGCGGAACCCATTGCTTCGCCGCCGCCGACGGCGGAGTTACATGCGCGGTCCGTCGTCACAGCCGATGACGAGCAGCTTCAGAGGCTCGCTAGGTTGACTGAGGGAGGTGATTTACCAAAACTACATGAGCACAACAACGGGGGCGGCCAGGAAAGATTTGCCGGCAGTCGCCTGTGGCTGGATGATCATCGTCTTGAGTTGGTACGTGACAAGAAGAACCAGTCCGCGCACTACCAAGAAACTATGCAATGGATGAAAGAGGTGATAATGTGCTTTAGCAAACTCGGGTACTACTTTGATATCGGACTTACCGCAGACCCCCATGCCCGACTTAAAGGAAAGGACTATGGGAATCGCACTCGCGTTGACCAGAAAATGTACGGACTCGTCAAAACGGACGGCCCGGAACTTGCAAGGCAATTAGAAAAAATTTTGCAGGCATTTGCCGAGGAGCATAGCCTCAAGGGCTTCGCGAATCATCTCAAGGCAGCTGGGACAGGAAGATCGAAGGAGGGGCCGCAAACAATTTACCTGGATTACTGGAGTAAAGAACGGGACCCCCCGGAGTCTCAATACGACTCAGAGCCTTCCGATACTGACTCTGACGGCGAGGAGGAGGAGGAAGCTGTTGTACCTTCTTCTGAAAAAAAGCGAGCTAGAGCGGCGCCGGAACGTCCGCAAAGGCCAAAGCGAAAGTGTTGTCGCATTACACAAGATAAGGAGAGCGGCGACGACGAGATGAATGAATCCGAGCCAGGGCCTGAACCAGAGTCGGCGCTGACCGCTGCCCGGACGCCGCTGCCCGCTGCGCTGCAGCCGCCGGCGCCGCCCCCCGCGCCGCCGACGCCGCCGGCGCCGGCGCCGCGCCAGCGCGCCGCCGCTGGCGCCCTGCTTGACACGCCGGCGCGGCTAGGTTTCTTCGGGTTAGCCGACGGCGGAACTGAAGTCATTGACTGTGTCCAGCTGAATACCCAACGGCGCTCCGCATCGACGCCGGCCGCGCCCGCGCAACCGCCGCCGCCCGGCAGCCGCGTCGCCGTGCGGTTCAAGGACGGCATTGAACACGCGGGCACGGTCGAGAAGGTGGAAGACGCGAACCATGCGTTCGTGCGGTACGACGACGGCCAGAGCGAGACCGTGCGCTTCCCGGACCCCGACGTGCGCGTCACGGGCTTCGGGCCCGAGGCGCCGGCGGCCAAGCCGGCCGCCAAGCCGCGCGCCAAGCCGCCCCGCGCGGCGCGCACCGCGCCGCCGACCGCGCCGCCGCCCGGCACGCGCGTCGCCGTGCGCTTCGACGACGAGGATTACGAGGGCACCGTCGACGACGTGCTGGACGCGCACCGCGCCACGGTGAAGTTCGACGACGGTTCCGAGCATCCCATAAACTTCACGGAGCCCGGCATCCGCATCACGCGCGAGGCGCCCGCGGCGGCGCCGCCGGCCGCGAAGCCGGCGGCGAAGGCGAAGCCGGCAGCGAAGGCGAAGCCGCGCGCCGCGCCGGCCGCGAAGAAACCGCAGTCGAAGCCAGCGCCGCGGCCGCCCCGCGCCGCGCCGACGCCGGCCGCGCCCGCACAGCCGGCCGCGAAGAAACCGCGCACGGCGCCGCCGCCCGAGCCGGCGCCGGCGCCGCGCGCGCGGCCGCCCCGCGCCGCGCGCGGCGGGCCCGACGCGCGCGTCGGCCGCTGGGTCGAGGTCTGGTGGCCCGAGCAGAGCAAGTGGTACCTCGGCCACGTCGGCGAGGCGCGGTACTCGGACGCCGCTGCCGGCGTCGTGTTCCGCGTGGAGTACACCGACGGCGAGACGGAGGATGAAGTATTGCAGGAGGACGCCTTCGCGGGCGCCGGCGCGCCGCCGTCGCAGCCGGAAGGCGCTCCCAAGCGGTGGAGATTCTTCGACGGGCCTCCGCCGGCGGAGCATTACGTGCACAAGAAATGGACTCCCCAGGAGGAGAACGATCTGCGCAAGCTCGTCGCGGAGCTCGGCGAGGAGCAGTGGGCCGCCGTCTCGGAGCGCCTGGGCACGCGGAGCGAGAAAAGCGTGGAGACACACTGGAAGGTCTTGACGGGCCAGCGCACGGCGAGCGGCTATGGCAAGCCGCACGCGCAGCCGCTCAAGGCGGCGCCGGCCATCGACGCGCGCGTCGGCCGCTGGGTCAAGATCTGGTGGCCCGAACAGAGCCGGTGGTACCTCGGCCGCATCGTCGGCCAGCGGATGCAGTCGGGGCGCCACGAGACCAAGGTCGCCTACGCCGACGGCGAGACGATGTACGAGGCGCTCCGCGACGAGCCGTTCGACGGCGACGGAGAGCCACCCGCGGTCGTCGACGGCGAGCCCGAGCACTGGTGGTGGGCGCCCGTGCCGCCGGTGCGGAAAGTGGCGATCGATGCTCCTGCTAGCCCACGACAAGCGGGCAATTAACTTCCCCGGCGACGAGGAGGCGACGCGCGCTTATTTCAGATTTCAAAACGCTACACCCTAGTCCTAGTACCCCCGTTTAATCATCCACTCAATACATTCTTCTTCCCAAGTCCTTGAGCGCTCTTGACGTTAGTCCTAGCACCATAATAACAACTTGAACACGACCAAGAAAAACACTACTTAAACCATCCCTTAGTCCGCACAAGTATAGAACCGCAAAAATCCATCGAAGCCCGCCGTCGCGAGCTGCGGGTGCAGCGGCGAAAACGCCACGCAGGCGACGGTCTCTCTAGCGCCGCGGCACTTCCAGACGGCGTCCTCGGCGGCACCAGCGCGGCGCACGTCGTAGACGTAGGCCGCCTTGTCCTCGGAGCCCGTCGCCAGGTAGCGCATGCACGGCGAGAACGCGATGGTGGTAGGGTCGCGCCGGCAAGCGTGCGCCGAGAACCGCGCGACGGCGTTTTGCGAGCGCAGGTCCCAGAGCGCGACGACGCCGTCGACGGCCGCCGACGCGAAGACGTCGTTCTCTGATGACCGCGGCGCCGCGAGCGCGTGCGGCGGCCTCGCGTGCGCATCCACAATCTCGCGCGCGCAGCGGCCCGCGGCCGCGTCGAGGACCCGCACGGCCCTGTCCGAGGCCGCCGCGACGATGAGCGGCGAGTAGCGGTCGTTGAGGCACGCCACGCATTCGACGCGCTGGGCGTCACTCGAAAAGCGGTGGACGCGCTTCGCCCGGCAGCGGTCCGGGTTCGAATCCAGCGCGACCGCGTCGAGCACCACGTTACCGCCGTCCGGCCCCACGACGAAGCGGTCCAGGTAGTAGAACCGGAAGCCCGAGGCGCCGCTCGGTAGGCGGCAGGCCGGCGCGTCGACGTGGCGCGTCGTCGCACCGGGCGCGGGGAAGATCTGCGGGGCCACCGTGCCGCCCGAGGCGATGATGTATCCACCACACCTAGATATGTCCACATGCGTGGCATCGTCGACACCCAACGCACAGCGCGCGAGGTCCGTGTTTTTGTATTTCGCCACGGGCGTGCGAACCACAACGGGAGGGCCGCCGACCGTCGCGACGGCTATTGATCTCGCATCAGGAGCGAAGACCGCGTGGACGACGGACCGCTTATCCGTATCCACGGGCCCGTCGTGCTGCGGCTGGTGGACGTGCGGCGGTCCAGAAAGCACCGCGGCCTCGCGGCGCGGCGGCGGCGGCGGCGCGCGCGCCTGCTTCTTTTGGGCTTTGCCGGGCCCGTAGCCCGACGACTTGATGCGCGAGTGGAAGGTGATGGGCTTATCCACCAAAGCGCCCTTCTTCGGCCGCGGCGCCTTCTTCTGGTTGTCGTAGGCCGCCAACACCTTCTTCTCGGCCTTGCGCAGCGCGAGGTCCTTGCGCAGGGGCGAGGCGTCGGGGACGGCGTGCGTCGCGAAGAACGAGAGGGGCCCCGCTTCCACATTTGATGGACCGGCGGCGAGGACGCCCGCGACGACCGTCGCCTCGAAGGCGAGCGCGCGACAGCACCGCGCGCCGGCGACGCTCGCGGCCGCGGCGGCGTCGAGGCCGCGCGTCGCCGCGACCTCCCGCGACACGAGGTCGACGGCGAGCGTCATCGACGACGCGGCCACGTGCAGCGTCGCGCCGTCGAAGCCGAGCGCGAGCGGGTAGACGGCGTCGTCGTCCTTGGCCTCCTCCGAGGACCGTTTCGAGGAACCGAGGTCCACGGCGACGTCCTCGCGGCAGCCGCCGTCGCGCGTGCGCCAGACCCAGGCGCGCCCGTCCGCCGCCGCAACGGCGACGCGGCCGTCCTCGGCGAAGGCCAGACACGTCAGCGCCGGCGCGCAGAGCACGCTCGACTCGACGGCGCAGCACCGCCCCTCGAGGTCCCAGACCCGAAAGGACCGGTCCTCGCTGCAAGTCGCCACGAAGGGCCCGCCGCCCTCCCTGAACGCGCAGCCCGTGATGCGTCCTCGATGGCCCTCAAAGCTCACTATTTTTCGCCCATCTAAAGTATTCGCGACCTCGAGCACCTTCCCGACGCCCGCGGCGACGGCCGCGCCGCTCGCGTCGCAGGCGCAGCAGCCCGGCGCCTCGCCGCATTTGATGGCGAGGCGCCGCGCCCGGCCGTCGACGATCGCGAAGAGGCCGTCGTCGCCGCCGCCGACGGCGACCGTCGCGCAGTTTTCGGGAGGCAGCGCCAGCGCCGTCACGGTTCGCGACTCCGGCGCGACGTAGGACGTCGTCTCGTCGTCGGCCCGCCAGACGACCACCTCGGGCCTCGACCGCGGCAGGCTGAAGGCCGCGGAGCAGTGGTCGTCGTTGCAGGCGACGGCGGTCACGCGGCAGCCCGGGGCGACGAATTCATGTGGGGTAGGCAGCGCACGCATGGTTTTGGAGGCGTCCGGGCGGGCAGCGTCCGAACTCGAGGCCATCCGCGGCGGGCAGCGTCCAAAATCCAGGATGAGCGCGCGGGTTTCCTGGGCAGCCCCTCCCAGCGCCAGGCAGAACTATGCGGGCCACTCCTAAGTATAAGCTCGTCGCAATTCAAACGGTAAACCCGTGCTTCCATCGAGCGAGAAGCGAGGAACGCTCTCGCATAGCAGCGGCCTCTGGTGCGCGGCGCGGGCAGTGCGAGCGCGCGCGCAGCAGCATCAGCTCGTGCAGCGCGTAACACGACCGCGCCGCGGCAGCGCGTGCCGCGCGCGCGCCATCGCCGACGAGCGCGAAGCTTCATAGCCCCACATTGACTGCGGGCGCAGCGCGCTCACGACCGGAGCAGCCCCATGGCCGCCGCGACCATTTGCGACGGCGCGCGCGCCATGTACGACGCACTTCCGGCCGAGGTGAGACCGAGCGAGGGTGTCTTTTTCAACGCGCGGGGCATCGCGCGGCCCTGGTTCCGTGCAACTAGATGCTCTGCAGCCTCCGCGGCGAGCTCGCGCAGCTGCGCCGCACTTAAAGTCTTGGCCTCGCGCATGTAGCGGTAGGCTGGGGGCAGCTCCCTCTGAGCTCCGTGAGCGCAGCGGCAGCCGTAGCGCGCCACTCGTCTACGGCAGCCGGCGTCGACATCTCCGCGTGGTAGCACACTAACCGACCCGCTGCTCTGCAGACGTCGCAAAGGTCGTCAACTACCTTGGGCGTCGTCATCTGCCTGTTGGTCTGCGCGCAACAATAACACGGCCGCGCGTTCTCCGACGTCCCAGTCGCGAAGCCCTTCTTCGACACCGTCTGGAGGTTGGCCATGTCGCCCGAGCAGACGTAATCAACGTGAACGGCGCGGCCCTCTGCCTCTGACTGGTAGGTACTGAAGTGATCCGTGCGTCGTCTAAAGCTTCGTACAGGGGGCGGCTCTGCGGCGGTACGCGGCCATGGACAAGACGTGGGCCAAATTTAACAAAGACTTCACGACCGGCCCCATGGCCGCCGCGACCATTTGCGACGGCGCGCGCGCCAAGACGCGGGCTACATGGGGTGCGTGCTGCGGGCACGGGCCGCGCCGACGACGCCACAGCCGTCGAGGCCCACGCCGCGCCGCGCCGTGATCACGCCGCCGCCGCCTTTCCCGTCGCTGCCGCCCGCCGCCGTGTCGGCCGCGGACTCGGACGAGGCGTGGCTCGCGAAGACCAAGGGCGCGGCCACTTCGCATGACATTTCCGCGCTCGAGGCGCTGCGCGACCGGCAGCTCGTGGCGCGCGACGAGGCATTCGAGCTGATCGTCCGGGCCTTCCGCGAGACGAGGAGCATGTCAGGGTTCGTGGCGCGCGCGATTAAGCTCGTCGACGGCCTCGCGCGCACGAGGCGCGAGACCGTCGAGAAGTCACAAATTGCCGCCACCACGCCGTCGCCGACGCGGCTAGCGAAATTTGTGATCTCGCCCTCGACGATGGGTGTCTTCATCCACTACCGGTGCCCGCGCCTCTTGCTGCGTCTCGCGAAGCGCAACGTGGGCCTCGACTATCGAGTCCGGGCGACGGAGGCGTCCCGCGGCTCGACGGCGACGAAGGCCTTCGACAGCGGCTCCGCGTCAGTATAACACTTATGCAACTAGTCTAGTGGTGGCGCTTTTTGCTCCGGCTCTTCGGCGCCTTCGCGAGCTAGAGGTCGTCATCGTCCGAGCTCGAGAGTTCGGGCGGCTCGACACGGTGCGGTAGCGGGAAGGAGCGCGCGAGGAAAGCGCGCAGCTCGTCGTCGTCGGTCGGAAGTTCCGGCCGCGGCGGCTGGTCATGCATGGTCGTCCCGCCGCCGAACAAAGATTGGCCCCAGAGGCCGGCCTCGCGGTGCTCGCGCTCGGCCGCCTCCGCATAAAACTCGCGGCGCGCGGCGTCCTCCTTTTCCTGCTTGCGGATGTGCTCCGTCGCGCGTTCATCGCACGTCTGATGCATGTCGCCGCCGCCCTTCGACTTGTCTTTATGTGGGCCGCGAACGACGCGCGGGTCCTTGAGAACTTCGGGGTCGTTTCGATCGACCCGCCGCGCGCCTATTTTCCCGTGCCACGGCGATTTAGCAGCAACCCTCTTATCCAGCGCGTCTCCGATGATCCCGTGACGACAATTGAAGTGGAGGGCCGCATCTGATTGCGTGTCAAAACGAAGCATCGAACCCTTCCCCTTGAGTTCCGCGCCGTCCGGCGAGCCCATCCAGGCGTCGATGTCTCCCGGTACAGACTCATGGATAATTCGACGCGAAGAAAGTTGACGCCCTACTTCGTCATTGGCGTCTGCTCGAAGCTCCACCTGATTCAGAATATCGGTGGTGGTGGCGCTTTGGGCTGCTCCATCGCCGCTTTTCCGCAAGTATATGCCTCCAACGAGTTCGTCTTTTGTTGCCCTACGCGGCGTTGAAATCATGCTGCGCGACATACCGGTCCTCGTACCGTTTCTACTCAGGTCTACTATATATGATCTATGATAATGCTGGCTGCTTCGACTACAAGTTCTTGACCAATCTGAGGCGCCCCACCGGGGCGCGAGGGCGGTTTGGCTGGGCGGTCAAGAGCATCTTAGCTTTCTTCTGCCCGCGCGACAAGAAGCCCATCGAAGCCGACGAGGAAGAATTGGGCGACTTCAGCGACGGGGATGAGGACGATGAGGGGATGGTTTTAGATGATATCAAGCCGAAGGATGACGACGACATCAAGCCCGACCCCGACCCCGACGACGACGATGATGATGATGATGATGATGAGAAGCCGCCGCCGTGGTGGCTGTCGCTGGCGATGGGCCTGGCCGCGTGCGGCGCAGAAGTCACGAGAGAATTCATTGTGAGACATCGCGCTTCACGATTATTACACAGGCGGCGCTCGCGATCTGGCGCCTGATGCCCCTGGTGGACGACGGCCTGCTCGACGCCATCGGCGACGTCCCGGGCCTCGAGGTCTACAAGGAGTACTACGGCGGCCAGTGGTACCAGATCGTCGTCGCGCGGCCCTACAGGGGCGTCCAGCATCTCGTGGACGCCTGGGGTGCGCGGCCGACCATGGCCGACCTCCTGGGGCGCAAGGCCGTCAAGATGTCGGACCTGCGGCGGCAGCTGCCGCGCCTGGAGACGCCGGGCGCTTACCAGGAGTTCGCCGCGCGCGTCCGCGCGGAGGGCAACGTCAACTCGCCCGCGTGCGCGGAGGACTGGCAGGTTTAGGCCTGGTGACTATGCGGGCCACTCCTAAGTATAAGCTCGTCGCAATTCAAACGGTAAATTGAATCTTTATCAAAACTGGGCGAGCCCTCCACCCCCGCAAGGAGAGACCGCTCACAAAATTCCGATCTGACTGCTGTCCGGCGGCGGCGCCCGGAAGTCCCCGACGACGGAGACCGGCGTCGACACGAAGGCCGCCTCGACGAAGTAGGTGGCCTTCTCCGCGCCCGCGACCTCGTCGCGGACGCAGAGGAGCTGCGCCGTCAGGCCCTCGGCGACGGCGCCGACCTGGCGCCACTGCTTTTTCGGGGGCGGCGGCACGAGCAACGATGGTAAATTGAGCTGCTTGCCTACTATACGTTCCGCCGTCCCATCGCCGAACTCTACCACAACCGCTAAAGAATCGTCGACGTCCACGGGCTTGGGCCGCTCGAGCACCCACTTCTCTCTCCTCAACGAATTGCCGTCGGCGGCCTTGACGACCTTGGCCTCGCCTCTTTTGGAAGCTTTTATGGCGGGCTTGTGCGGGGACGCGCCGCGCGCGTCCTCGATGGACACGCCGACGACGTCGCGCGACAGCCGCGCGAGGCCCTGCTCGTCCAAATTATTGGAGTCGACGTTCTCCTTCTGGAGCTCTTTTTGCAGCGCGTCGAGGTCCAGCGGCTTCGACGATGCCTCCTCTTCTAGTAAGTGGTCGCCGGCATAGATGTCGACAAGCTTCGTCAAATCATCATCTTTCATCGAGACGGAGGACCAGATCTCGTCGATCTGGCGCTTGGCCAGCGCGTCGTAGTCGGCCTTCCTACAAATAGATTCCTGGAAGGCCGCGACTTGTTGCATGAGGCCCATCCTATCGTTGACCTGCGTGGAACGCGTGCTCATGAAGACGCCATCGCCGCGACGACGTCACGTTCACGAGACGTGTGGACTCTCGTGTGCTCATGAAGACGGCGTACGTTCAAAGACTCCGGTCACGTACCGCCGTCGGCTCCGGCGCGGACACTATCGCTAATTCGTCCATGAACCGTTGGAGGTCGGCCAGCACCGGGATCTGATCTAGTAACACGTCATTCACGAAGCGTCGCGCCCTTAGTAAAGTCTGTTTCCGGTACGCGTCGAAACCGTATCTCTTCCGGATTTCTTGATGCATGCTCAGCCAGTACAGCGCGAACCAGGCCTGGGCTTCGAGCTTCGTGACATCTAACAGTCGGTCGTGGGGCACGTCCGTCCACTCGCCGTTCTCCAATTTCTGCCAGACCCGCTTGGTGCCGTCCTGCCGCGCGCGCGTCCACGGCGGGTGCTCGATGAGAGGTATGACGGACAGCAGAAAGTCGTGCTTGTCCACTATTCTGGAAACCGCCGCCACGGTTAATTCGCCGACGTGCTCGCAGACCATGCGTACCAACGCGACGCACGACACGGACACCGTAAATTCGATCTGGAGAGCTTGTTCTTCCAACTCTTCCCTCGCGGTTCTATTTTTGAGCTTATCCGCAAAGTCCGCGGGCTTCTCGTCGGGATTCCTCGCCGGGTTGAGTTCGCGAAACGCCTTTGCTCTACTATGCAAAGCAGCTAACCGTCTAGCACAATAATCAGTCAAGTCTAAAGAAGCATCTTTAACAGCACCGACGGCGTGGGCGTGGTAGCAGAGGCACTCGAGCAGGTTGACCACCGTCGCTTCGTGATACAGAACAAAATAAGCCCTCATCGCCCGCGACCGCGTGGCCTCGTTTTCTCCGCCCCCCACCAAATGTTCGACGAGCAGAGGATAGACCCGTTCCCGCCACGTCTCGATGAGTATCAAATCGTAAATCAGAGTTCCCAATTTGTCGAACGTGAGAAACGCCTCAAGGACAAACTCGTCAGATTTATCTCGCGCCGACGCGTGGGCCTGCTGGTTCAGCTTCTCGATCTGGCCGTGCTGCTCGAGCCACTGTTTATTCCCGACGTCTTGCAGGTCGAACTCCGTGAGATTTTCTACTATGCGCTCGGCCTCGTCGACCGAAAGGCAGTGCGCGCCCCCGAAGCTCTCGTCCCGGTCCTGCGCTATTTCTATGCCTCCCAAACGCTCCTCGGGCACGGACCACTGGGACTTTGGTCGCGACGTGTCTCTGGGCATGGTGCTATGGCTGTGGCAGTGGTAACTTTTTGTTGGTGGTACGGTACGCGTCGACTGTTCAGCAGTGGTCTAGATCTATCGAGAGCTCTCTGAATTTAGATTGATGCGACTACTGCTTCACCAGCAGCCGAGATCTGCGGCGGCTGTGCGCCGAGCTCCATGCGGCCCAGCCGGCCAACTTTTTCGAACCGATTCGCGTTCTAGCGCTGCATCGCTCCAAGGCGAGCTCGCTTGACGGCCAGGGACGTCTCGGAGGTAAACGAGAGCTAACATGGAGAGTCTCTAGAATCAGTGGTCTAGGAGGCTCCGCGCGCGCGCCTGCGTGATAGCGGGCACCGCGCGAGCAAACAGAGCGTTTAGACAGCACGTCTCATCGATTAAATTTCGCGCGCGCTGCAAGACCAGCGGCCGTGGACCAGCGGCCGAGCAAAGGCCACCGCGAGGGAGAGCCTCGAAACCGCCGCGTGCACGAACGAAGTTTGAACGATGGCGAGCTACTTCTTCGCCCGCAAGAAGAAGCGCCAGCCCGTGGTCGCTGATCCCAAACTCTGGTCGACGTCGAGCGTCGACGACGACAAGCCGTTCCACGCCGAACCTAAATCGGAAAGCGAGAAGCAGCAGCTCGTTTCAGCTTTAAAAGATCACTACGTCTTCTCGGCTTTGAGTACGAACGACATCCTCCAGGTCATCCACCGCATGCGCAAGAGGTCTTTTGCGAGCGGCACGGACATCTGCACCGAAGGTCAAACAGGAGACGAGTTCTTCGTCCTGGCTGCGGGAGAAGCTGACATCATCGTCAAGGGTGAGAAAGTCGGTGCTTACAAGCCGGGCCAGTCGTTTGGGGAGTTAGCTTTGCTGTATTCTTGCACTAGAGCAGCAACAATAAAGGCCACGTCGTCGTGCACGTGCTGGGCCGTCGATGCGGCTACATTTAGGAAGGTTGCTATTCGGTCGAAGCAGGGGGCTGCTCGTGGAAGATTAGACTTCCTGAAGAAGGTACCTCTATTGCAAGGGTTAGATAGCGGCACGCTACAGCGCGTCGCCGACGCCCTGAAGCGCGTCGAGTTCGCCGCCGGGTCGAAGATCGTGACCGAGGGCGAGCCGGGCGACGACTTTTATCTGATAGAAGATGGCGAAGTAAAATGCACCAAAAGAAATGGTTCTGAGGAGCAGCACCTGCTCACGTTGAAGCGGGGGGATTATTTTGGCGAGATGGTGTCATGCGGCGTCCCTTTTCGCACGCGGCGACGGGCGTGCGGGCGCCTCGGGTCCGCGCCACGCCATCGCCGCGCCGCCGTCACCTTACATATCGCAGGCCCTCATGCTCGACGAGCCGCGCCACGCCACCGTGACTTCCACAAGACCGACGAAGTGCTTCGCCATCTCGTCCCACGACTTCTCGAGGTTGTTCGGCCCTCTACGCGACCTCATCCAGCAGCAGATGCGGATGAGGATCCTCAAATCAGTACCTTTGTTATCGCATTTGGACGACCACGTCCTCGACAAGCTCGCCGACGCCATGCGCATCCAGCTGTTCGACGCGGGCAAGTACGTCATCAAGGAGGGCGACAAAGGGAGTAGATTTTATATAATAAACGCGGGCGCGGCCAAGGTCACAAAAACCATCAATGGTAGTGAGGAGGACGTCGGTGTCTTAAATGCCAACGAATTTTTTGGAGAACGCGCGTTGTTGAGCGCGGAGCCGCGGCAGGCGAACATCATCGCTACCGAAGCGCTGGAGTGCTTAGTACTGGATCGTGACTCGTTCAAGAGGTGGCTGGCCGACGTCGACGACGTGCGCCAGAAGAAGGCCGCGAGGGATGCGAGACGCGTCGCGGCTCGACCCAAAGCGCAGGATCTACAACGCTTACGAACATTGGGTACGGGTACCTTTGGTAGGGTATCGTTAGTGGTCCATACCCCCACAAACAAAGTTTATGCCTTGAAAGCCATGCAGAAGTCCCAAATCGCCGAGACGCACCAGGAGCGCAACGTCCAGGCCGAGAAGGATTTGCTGCTGGAATGTGCGCATCCTTTTGTACTAGCATTGGTAGCGACGTACCAAGATGAACACCGATTATATATGTTGATGGAGATCATCCAGGGCGGGGAATTATGGTCTCTCATATATGAAAAAGTAGATGCGACTCGTTCGTTAAGAACTGGAGGCTGCGGCGCCTTCGAGCAGTCCAGTGCAAAATTTTTTGCGGGTTGCGTCATCGAGGCGTTTGCCCACATCCACGGGAAGTCCGTAGCGTACCGCGACCTGAAGCCCGAAAACTTATTACTAGATGAAAGGGGCTACGTGAAGGTCATCGACTTCGGCTTCGCGAAGCGCGTGCCTTTCACGGACGAGGGCGGGAATCGACAGGATCGTACCTATACTATTTGTGGTACTCCTGAGTACTTGGCTCCTGAGATTGTTAGGAGTGAGGGTCATACCACAGCAGTCGACTTGTGGGCGTTAGGGTGTTTGGTCTATGAGTTACTCGTCGGTCGCACGCCTTTTGCCGATGATTCGCAATCCACAATCTTCCGAACGATCATGAGAAGCAAGAAAGTACTGGGCGAGTCGAAGACCTGGCCTCGCGGGTTTCCTTCGGAGGGCAAGGCTTTGGTCAAATCGCTATTGGATGACGCCCCTTCGTATCGGTTAGGTGCCGGGCGGGACGGCCTCGACAGTGTCAAGCGGCACGCGTTCTTCCGCGGCTTCGACTGGAAGTCGTTGGCTGATATGAGTCAGCGCGCCCCGTACGTGCCGCCCATCAAGAACGCGATGGACACGCGGAACTTCGACCCCTACGACGAGCGCGACTCGTTGAAGCCGTTCCGCGGCGACCAGCGGACGTTCGGCGGCTGGTCGGAGATGGGGGCGGACTTCCCGCCGCAGAAGGTCTAGAGCTTGTGACGCTCGTAAGTTATGTTCTATACTACGACCTTCCGCATCGATGGCGTCGAGGCGTGACGACGCGCTCGCATCGCGCAGGGACGAGTCTTGAATCTTACGCGGCTCATCAGATAGGCATCGGCAGCAGGCACATCCCGAACCCATTGTCGTGGCCTTCTGCCCGCGGATCCTGGACGAGCCGGTCGAGGCGCAGGCCGTCAGGTAAAGGTGACCCCCGTGAGATGGTGGGCGCCGCTTCACTCACGTCGTCGCGCCGCACGCGCGACACCAAGGACCGACAGCGGGACCCGCCGTCGCGCAGCAAAACGGCGGACCCGTCGGGCGATGTTAACGCGCAGCCCAAATGGAACTTCTCGTCCTTTTCCGGTATTTTAGAGGGACACGACCGCCAGCCCAACACATCAAAATCGAAGACCTCCGCGCCCACCAAAGAATCCAACAACACGGCGCCGTCGCAGGCGCAGACGTTGCGGAGCTCTTTGGGGATCGACGAGCACCCGACGACGATCCACGCCTTCGCGACGTCGTCCAAGACATATATCGTGAGAGCATTATTCAAGTCCTCTTCTTCCGCGACGGCCACGAGCGTCTCACCTCTTGTTGTTCGCCTTCGTTCGAGCCACCTCATGGCCGCGTCCCTGCGCTCGCCCGAGTCGTCGACGGCGCCGGGCATGCGCGGCGGCTTGCCGATGTCAAAGGGGGTTGACCTCGCAAAGGGGTTGGCTTCATCTTCTGTCCTCATTTTCGCCGGCGCCGTCACGACTAGCAATTTAAGATTTTTGACCGGCCGCCAGGGCTTGAGCGAGGGCAATTTTTTACCAGTGACCGTAGAGACGACCCACTCCCTACAATCAGCTTTTTCCTTGGGTACGGTCGAGGCGGCCGCGGCGTTCAAGACGTTCAGGCCGTGCGCGCGACACGCCGTTTGGGCCACGACCAAGCCATATTGACTGGAAACGACGAACGTCCTCCTGAAGTTGAGTTGGTCGAGCTTGAAGCCCTCGTCGCAGCCCTGGATTATTGATGTGGAGCACTCTTCCGACGAAAATAGATCGACCGTCGACCACAATCCACTACAAGGGTCCCACCGGACGCCCTGGAGCGCGGGTAGCAAGTCCGCGAGCATGCCGCCGGCGTTGAACGGGTCCCTGCGCGTAGCTACGCCGAGCAACGTACCCTCCTTTTCGCGAATCCACTGCATCGGGGCGTGGAGGCAGTCCGCGAGTAAATTAGATGCTTCCGAGAGCAGTTCCCGTCGCCCATCGACAATTTCATAAACGCGCGGTTGTCTAGTCAAAAGCTGCTTGTTCTTCAATCGCAACCTTAATGCCGCCAAATCCCCGGAGTCGTCCATCCGCAACGATCGCAACCGAATCTGGCACTGGTTCTCGTCCAACTGCGACACCGCGTGGTTCGCCAGCGCCTTCAGTTCGTCGCACGCGCCCCAGTACGTCGCGACGTCGACGACGATGACGACGCCCGTCCGCAAGGCGTCGAGCCGCGCGAGCCACGACGCCCGTATTGTTCGCAGGTCGTGGCCCCGTCTCATGGGGAGTAAGGAGGAGTCGCCCGGGCATAACGTGGCCTTGCCCGGTCTTGCCGTATCTGGCCTCGCATCTCTGAAGAACTCGCGACACAAGATGGCCGCCGCGGCCTCGACCAACGACGACTCGCCGCCTCGCGAGCGCCGGCCGCGCATGGCCACGCCCGTCGCGCCAAAGGAAGCTAACGATGCGGGATCCAAAAAAGCCAAGAAGCCCTGCTTCGACGCCGCCAGCGCCGCCGGTATCTTTCGCAGCGCCCCGGGCAGGCGGCAGTCTCTTGTAATGCGCGTGCACCACTCCTCGAAGCGAATCTCCGTCAATGTTTGGGGGTGCCCGATCTGGGGCGCTCGTAACATCGCGAGCACGGGGCGCGGGTTCCTTCTGATGGGTGTCGGGGCCTCGGATTTTGCTACTTGTTTCGGGGACGTGGGTTCCGTCTCCATGGGGTCGCCCATCGTCCTGCTCGTTCGTTTGCGACGGCTCTGCAGCAAGGGGGCTTGGTTGTGAAGCCGCGCGACGTCGGCGCGGCGTCGCGTTGGCTGGGCGGGTGGCACCGCGTATCTGCAGCAGTATGCAGCCCCGAAGGCAGTTCGGGAACACGCTGGAGCTGCGAAATCCGCGTTGTTGAGTCGCGATAATTCCGCGTTGCTAGCTGATTGTAACACACTAGCAAGCCTGCAAAAAGGGCTGGTACACCCGAGCGCTGCGTCGCAACGTGCCCTGCGGTTCCTTTTTAGATTGCTTCGTGGTGGCCGCCAGCCAACGGAAGCCAAAAAGTGAGCTATCAGGCCGTCTTCCGGCTGTATAGGACCAGCTCCCTCCCAGCGCTGTTGCGTACAGCTCGCTACGTGCGCCGCCGCGACGCATACGTTGCGCAGAGACGACGCAGCTCTCGCACGACGCCGCTGCCTGCACAGCTTGCACTCTAGCACAGCCTTGCGCGCCGCCGCCGCGGTGCACTATGGCCGCCGGCGACCAGACCTGGGACCCGCAGCTCGAGGACAAGATGGTCCGCTGGACGGGCAAGTGGGCGGAGAAGGAGATCGACCGCGCGGCGCAGCGCCTGGGCGGCGACAAGCAATTTCGTAGGAAGAAGAAGGTCGAGAAATCAAAACCGCGCGAGGCCGGCGTGTACACGCACAAGGGCACGGCCGCGCGCATCGATGGTGTGGAGGCGCCGGCGCCGGCTTCGGCCAAGCGCACGCTCCCGGGCTTGGCACCGCCGGGCGGCCACGACGACTTCGACGCGCCGCAAATCGTCGCGCCGGAAGACGCGGTCTGCTCGTCGGACCGGGCGCGGCTCGCGGCCGAGCCCGTCGCCGCGGCGCCGCGGAGTCGACCGGCGCCCATCGCCGACGCGGGCGGTTCGCGGCGACCGCCGCCCGCGAAGCGACGGAAGCCGAGCGAGGCGCCGCGGCGCGCGAACCCGTCCCTGCTTTCTTTCGCGGAGGACGAGGAGGATGGGTTGTGAGTAAGAGTGTTTTTTGTGCGCTGTACGCGCTAGCGGCCTGTAAGACACTAGCATTTAGCCGGCGCCTCAAAAAGCGCACGCAAAGGGTGGCTTAACAGTGGTCATCGACCCTCGCGTTGCAGTTTTGAAACCTACCCGCAGCGCTGCGACTCCGCAGCTGCAACGGAGTCAGATTTCCCATCGCTGCACGGAGCAGATTTCAAGATGGCCAACACCAACGACCCGGTGGCCAGCAACATATGGACGCGAGACGCCTGGCTGGAATATGAGCGCGACGTGGATGATATCGCGCGCCTCAGCAAGGGGCCGTCCTGCGTCGTTTATCTCCAGCGCCACGGCTACGCCAACGGCGACGACGTGCGCGCGTTTGGATCCGTCCTGCCCGCGGCCGCGCGGCAGGTGTCGGCGACGGTGCTCCGGGCGCGCCGCCTGTCGCCCGAGCTGAAGCGCATTCCCGAAGACCTCGTCGTGAGGCACGTGCTGCCCTATCTGTTTGAGGACGAACCGGTAGGGGAGAGCGCGGAGGACAGATATAACCAATTCAGGCGCATGAACCTAACCGAAGATTGCGTCGGTCGATCACTGTCCTGTTATCTTGCGCTGCGCCGGGGCGACGCGTGGAGCCAGGGTGACGTACATCCTGGGTGGCCCAAATTCATCTTTGATATGGGGGCAGGATACGATCAAGGCATTCCCATCCACACCATCTGCATCATCAACATGCTCTGGTGGCAACTAAACCACGAAGGGGGCGACGCCGATGTGATGCTTCAAGCGGTCAAGCAGCAATATAATTTGGAGTCGTCGGAACACGCATCGCTCCTCCTCTGCGCGGGCGCGCTAAGCCTCTCGGTGGCTTTGCACGGCGATGATCCGGTCCAGGGGACCGGGCGGCCATTCACTGGCATCTTCGCGGCAGCGCAACCCCTCGACCTCAAGCGCGTCGAGGCCTTCATCGTCGCAAAGATCGGCTGGCGCTGCCTGCTCACGGCGCCGGATCACATCGTAGCGCATCTATTACAGTGTGGATCGACCTACGCGAATCTCACTGACGAGGAGGGAATGCTCGACGTACATGTCCGCAATGACTTGTGTAGGCGCTGTGCAAACGTATCTCGGATGCTGGCGTGCCAGGATTATTTCTTCTCGCTACCCCCAACGATAGTCGCCGCCAGCGTGCTCTACCACGTCCGCAAATCCCTTCTTACCGAGGAGACGGCGTGGAACCCCGGGCTCGAGCAGCTCTCGGGGTACGCTTCCGACTTGGTCAAAGACGTTGCCAACCTGCTCACCGACGTTGTTCCCGATCCTGCCCTCCCGGCGTGGCCGTGGATCCATATGGGAGACGCACACGACTCGGATTAGGAGTATGACTGGATGGGCGGCAGCGACACTGCATGTGATAAGTAACAATCAATTTACGACGCGCTGCTTTCCGCGCGACGACACGTGCTGGTATAAATACACGAGCGACGCCGGCGTCAAGCCACTAATCGCGCCGGCCTCGGCGAACGTCCGCGGCCGCGCCGCGACGAGCTTTTCCCGTTCTTCAGCAGAGAGCGCGGGAAGATTTGCCTCGGAATAATCTAAATCGGCGGGGATTTTGGTAGCATCATGTTTCCGGTAGTTGTCCATGTCCCGCTTTTGCCTCGTGAGGTAGGCGGCGTACTTGCACTGGGCCGCGACGGTGTCCTCCGCGTCGGCCGCGACGTTCAAATCAACATTCTGCTCCGCACAGAACGCCTTGAGCTTGTCAAAGTCCGCGTGGGGCATGGCGAGTAACTCGGAAGCCGTCTTGTGCGGCCTTCGTTTCGCATCTCTCTCTGCTTCCGCCCCTTCCAGGAAGAACGCGCCCCAGGCCTCCGGCGCGAACCTCAAACTGTCTAGATGTTGTACACCGTCATCTACTAATTTAGATCGTTCAAGGCACTTGTCTAGCCTGCCTGATTCCACCAAACCGACTTCCGCACCCTTCTCCGTTAACCGTAGATCCGCGTTGTCCGCCCGTAAGTGTAACCGATACTCCGCCCGACTGGTGAACATGCGGTAGGGCTCCATCGTGCCCCGCGTCACGAGATCGTCGACCAACACGCCGATATACCCCTGGTCACGACCGACAACAAAACGCCTCCTGTTCTCAAGAGGCAGGTCCCGATCCAAGGCGGATAACGCCGCGTTCGCGCCGGCCACAATACCTAGAGCTGCCGCTTCTTCGTAGCCCGTCGTGCCGCAGATCTGGCCCGCCAAGTGCAAACCTACGACATTCCTGACACCTAGACCATGATCCAACGACCGAGGATCCACAAAATCATACTCCACATCGTACCCCGGCTGGACGATCTCCGCCCGCTCCAGCCCGACGATGGACCGCACGATTTTCTCCTGGACGTCGCGCGGCCACGCGCCCGACAGGCCGTTCGGGTATACTAAATCAGTCTCAAGACCTTCCGGCTCCAACCAGACCACGTGGGAATCCCTCTCGGAGAACCTTTCCACCTTCTTGTGGAGCGAGGGGCAGTACCGCGGCCCGACGCCGTCGGTCGTCGTTGGAGCTAGCGTATGAACGTAGTCTCGTACTATATCATGGGTCTTCTGGTTCGTCGCCGTCCGGAAGCACTTGACCGTCTTTCTATCTTTTCTTTGGTCATTAAAGTAGGAGAAAGGTTGGGCTTCTTCGGAGGGCTGCTCGACACATTTGTCCCAGTCGATCGTTCGACCGTCGAGTCGAGGAGGCGTCCCCGTCTTCAGTCTCGATAAAGGCAAGGCCAAATCCACCTCGAGCGTCTTGGCCAGTCCACAGGAAGGCGGCTCCGTCGTCGCGGTATACGGATCGTCGCGGACGTAGCGCCCGGCCGGGAACGACTCGCTCCCGACAAAAATCTTGCCCCTCAGAAACGTGCCCGTCGTGATGACCGCGGCCTTCGTCTCGAGTTCGCCCGCCGACGTCTGGACCGCGCGGACCTCTTCGTTATCGAAGAGGACGTCCTCGGCCGAGGCTTCCACAATACTCAAGTTCGGATAGTCTGATAGTTCATTCTGCATCCAGTCTTTATATAAATCACGGTCCGCCTGCGCCCGCGGCCCCCAGACCGCCGGCCCCTTCCTCCTATTAAGCATCCGGAAGTGAATCCCCGCCCAATCAATCCCGCGGCCCATGACTCCTCCGAGCGCGTCGACCTCCTTCACGAGGTGGCCCTTGCCGATGCCGCCAATCGACGGGTTGCAGGACATCTCGCCCACGGTATCCGCGTTCTGCGTTACCAGAGCAGTGCGTGCTCCTGCTCTTGCCGCCGCGGTCGCGGCCTCGCAGCCCGCGTGGCCGCCTCCAATAACTATGACGTCGTAGGCGGCGGCCGGGCGCGCCGTCGTGATGCCGCGCCTTGTCGTGGGCGCCACGAGGCCCGCGCCCCGCCGGGCGAGGAGGAGCAGCATCAGCATGCAGCCTCGCTCCCTCTTTTGTTAGCAGTCACAGGTGGTCCTTTCGATCGCTGGCGTTACTGGCAGCACTATGAGGTTCTCTTCCAGTTATTGCTGATCCCACAGAGCCCAGCGCTCGCCTGTTTCAGTCCAGACTCAGCTTCACACAGCCTATAGACACACTAGCCTCAAAAAAAAATCAAGAGTCCTCGCCACCAATCGCCACCAACGGTCGTCGACGCAGCCGTAGGCCAGGCTTTCACCACCGCGCTCACTTCGACGACGTCGTCTTGGAGTCTGTTGCAAAATTGCCGAGGCGCTGCGTGCGCAAAGGAAGAGAAGAACACAGCCCCGCGCGGCCGCAGCGTCCCCACACCACGCAGGACGCCACCGCCGCGCTGCCCCCATCAAGAGCGGCGCCGCGCGCTGCGGTCCCCAACGAAATTTTCGCCCCCTCACTTTTTCGCCTCACGCGCCGCGCGCAGGCCATGGCGGCCCTCACGGAAGCCACGGACAACGTCGTCGACGCCCCGGTGCCGCCGCTGTCGGACAAGAAGCGCGCCAGCGACGCCAGTGCACCGGCGGCCAAGCGCCCGAGCCTCGGGCCGAGCAGTGGCCCGTTACTGAAATTTACGCCCGAGGACCAAGCCTTGCTTGTGGAATTGTGCAAGAAGCCCTTCGAAAGGCAAGCGAAGCACTTCATCAACGCCTTCTGGGACCGGAGTTCCACGAAACATAAGCCGTTCGGCGAGAATCAAGAAGAGTGCGAACGGATCTTTACTTGGTCCCATGAATTCGCCAAGCTCGACAAAGGCAAAAGAGGCAATGAACTCGATGAATTCGAGGCGCACCAGTTTCTGGAAAAGTGCGTCGGTGCATTAACGGTCCATGACATGCGAAGCGCCCTCAAAGCCATCGACATTGATTTTAATAGAATGATGTCCCTGACGGAATTCTTGATTTTCCACTACGCGTTGCAGGAGAAGGACTGGGTCTACCTCGTGAACTGGGCGCCTGGCATGTCTGTCGCGCAGCGGCGCTTGATCGAGGCCGCCCAGGCGCAGATGAGTGAAGCTAAGGAGAAGTTGGCTGTGTCGCGGGAGATGCTCGAGAAGTCGCAAGAATCTGCGGCTGTCGCAGCTAAGGAGCAAGAAAGTGCTCAGACGGAAGCTCAGCTGTCCGAGGCCGCGGCCGCGGAGTCGACGAAGGCGACGCAGGACCTAGAAGCGCAGGAGCAAGCTAAGAAAGATGAGTTGGCGAAGCAGGAGGCCATGGCTTGTGATGATACACTATCAGTCGTGAAGCGCTCTAGAGCTAAAGCCCAGGTGGCCATCCTGAAGAACGACAACGGCCAGTCGTTGCGAACGATGCGCATCACGCAGGGCGCTTGTGCAAGGAAGATGGCCAAGGCCGCGGCCAAAATGAAAGAGGCCGCGGCGAAGGCCGAAGCGTCCAAGCTGGAAGCGGAACAGGCCGCTCAATTAGCTTCGGAGGCGGTCGAGGCCGCCGACGCCGCCGTCCAGCAGACGACGCAGCAGCTCGAGGAGGCCAAGGCCGCCTGCGCCGAGGGCGGTTGTGAAGAAGGTACGTTCTGGTGGTTGGATCGGGAGTTCGAGGAGTCGATGAAGTACATGGGCCCCAAACAAAAAGCCAAGGCCCTCGAGGCGCGGACGGCGTCGCGGCGCAAGTCGGGTACTTATTCGCCGCAGCGGCCCTGATTGGCGCACACGGCGCCCCCCCGCCCCTTGTCCTAACGACACTGCTGCTCGTTTGACTCCTCGGCTGTTGTCTGAGGACTCCAGACTCATTTCTGAGATCTGTTAGTAGGGCTAGTGTGTTACCTGAGCGCTAGTTCGCAGATCCGAACGCCGCGCGCCCATTTCTCGGCCCCATCGGCTGCGTTCGATCGCTGCGGCGCCATTCCGCTGCAACTTCGCATCGCTGCGCCTTGTCAGCGAGTCACGCGTGCTCGCGCGCCCCCTACACGGAGAGCGCCAAGACCCCCCAAAGCTTGCTCGCGCGCCCTGGTTCGACAGAGCGCCCAAGATCCAAGCTTCAGCAGCAAATATGAAACGCGCGGCGCCCGGCGACGAGGGAAATGACGCCGCAAAAGGCTTGTTGCCCGAGGGCGACGACTGGATGGAACGGATGCCCGAGGCGCTCCGGAAACAGATGCAACAAATGCTCGACATGTACCTAGGCGCGGGCATCATCATGACGAAGGAGAAGTTCCTGGCAATGGCCTCGCAAGGCGCGGAGCACATGGGCCGCACGTGCCTCCTGACGCTGATCCGCTCGCCGGCCGAGGAGTTCGACGCCGTCGAGGACGGCGTCCTAGAGAAGATATCCAAGATGTCGCCGCAGGAGGCCACGAATATGTTGCCGCACGCGGGGCGCGCCTGTTGCGGCCCCGTGCTCGAGGCGCTCATCCGCCAGGGCGCGGACCTGAATAGTTTCAACTTTCAGCGCGGGGCCCTGACGGCCGGCGGCGCGCCCTTTGCTATAGTCGCAAAAAAGGCCAGGCCGCGCCTCTTACAGCTGATGCTGGAGGCAGGTGGAGCTGATCCCAACGCGATCGATTCGATGGGCTGGTCGGCGCTGCACATCCTCGCTCTGGCCGCCTCGGACAGAGGAGGTACGACGGAGGACTGGCAGCGAACATTGAAAAGCGACCGCGAAACGGCCGAGGCCACCCGCGTGCGGCAGCACGGCGACGTGATTGAGTGCGTGCGCGTCATGCTCGAGGCTGGCGCCGACCCGACGCTCCAGACGTCGCGGCAGGCGCTGAACGGTGCAGAAATCAAATTTGAGGCCTCTATCACCGACGTTTTCGCAGGCGATGATGACGGACCGCATCTACAAGGAACGGTTCTTCCCCCACGAGCTCCTCGCCGACGCGAACGGCGCGCCCGCGACGGATGACAGAAGCGAGACCATCAGAGGCATGCTCCTGGACGCCATCGCCGAGCGAGGCGGGTTACCGTCGCAGCGCGCTCAAGACCTGGCGGCCGCCCGGCAACGCGCGGCGCATCGCGAGGCCGTGACGGACGCGGCCCAACAAGGCGGCGATCCGATTCAACGCGCGGGGTGCAATGCGATGATGAGCCATCCCTCGTCGCGGATGCAAGTGCAGGCGCTCAAGCTGGACGAGGCGGAAGCGCGGGCCCGCATGAAGAAGAGCGGCCGCGCGCGCGTGTGCGACTTCTGCAACAAGCGCTCGGAGACCAAGCTCCGCGCGTGCGGCAAGTGCAAGTTCGTCGCCCTGCGGCGTCCTCGTCGTTTCCCTCAACGCCATCGACGACGATCTGCTTCCGCGCAGGTCTTCTACTGCGACGCGGCCTGCCAGCGCAAGGCCTGGCCGACGCACAAGAAGGAGTGCGGGAGCGCGCTCGACCGCCTCTGCCTCGCGCTCGAGCGCAACGCGTCGAGGATCGACACGCAGCACGCGGCCATACAGATGCAAGCGAACGAGGCCGACGACGCGCGCCGCGCCGCGCAGAACTGAATGTGCTTTAACGATGCGACCGAAGCCGCGCGACTGCCATTCTATCTTACGTAACGTGATTTCTTGTGAAACAGTGTGCCACTGTGTGATCTGAAATTGATAATACATAGCGTTAGGCGCATAAAGACCTCCCTAGAGCGCGCCCGGGATCTCGGGGATCTTCACGGCGACGAAGTAGCCCACGGCGTCCGTGGGCAGCGTGTGGCGCGGGATGCGCAGCATGTCGTCTGATGTGGGAGACGGCGTCATCTTGATGGCGCCCTGGACCTGGGGCGGCACGTCGTTCAGCGCGATGACGTCGCCGATGAAGACGCGCGTCGTGGAAAAGGTCGATTTGACGTCCTCGAAGGTCCGCGTCAGCTCCAGAATGAGCTCCTTGCCGTCGTACTCCCAGCGGCCCTTGGAGTCCGCGAAGGGGATGCCGTCCGTCGACCCTAGTAAAGCTTTGCCGTCGGCCGTCAGCTCCATGAGCGTCTTCGCCGAGTCGGCGTCCTCGCGCTCCTCTAGCTCGTACTGGCCTGCGAGAAAATGGATCCGTCGACGACGCGTAAAGGCAAACGCCGTTTCATGGTTGATTTGTACACAGCTATTGACCGACGAACGACGCGTCGGTGATCTCCTCATCGGGCGCGTCCTTGGCCTTGTCCGCCGCATACGACAACTCTGGCGGAGAGCTGCAAAGGGATACGCCTCGCAGCGCGACCGGCGCGCGTGGCGCGAGCAATGCATGCGCCTGCGGCGCTAGCGCCAGCGCAGCGAGAACAGTCGACAGCATCCTGCGATCGATCAGGAATGCAATGCGACTGGCAAGACTGATTGCGCCTGGGGCTCTGTAGAAGACAAGCTAATAATCATAGACATACTAGCCCGAGCAAAGAACCGCGCCAAGGAGTCTTCTTGCGCCAGCACCGCATGCAAGGGCTCGAAGACCGCTTGCGTGGCGGCTTTGACGGGTCCTTTCGCACAGGGCAAGGTGCTGTGGTCGGCCTGAGGCTAATTTATACGTGCATCGACGCAAAGTAGTCATCAATTTGCTGGAAAAGTCAATACATATTGGGGCGACAGCGAAAATCGATCGATTTCGATCGCTACGGCACGAGGCCACAGCAAAACACAGCCTTGCACATAAGAAGAGTAAATAAGAGATGGGCGCCTCCTACGCAAACGCTCCGGACGGCGCCGCAACGGGCGCGTCCTCCTTCTACACGCTCGTCGTGCTCACGTTGTACCTCGCCTTTATAGTACCAGTTCTCCTCACGCGCCTCGCAAAAGGCAACAAAAACGTGACCACGGTGGCATTAGCAATCTCCTGCGCCGGCTCTTTTGTAGCCTTCAAGCGGGTGCACCCCGCGGCAGTGGCGTGGGCGGATGCATCCTCAGTGTTCGACCCGTACGACATCCTCCAGATCCCGTCCACCGCCAACGCGACCGTCGTCAAGAAGGCCTACCGCAGCCTCAGCCGGACGGCACATCCGGACAAGGGGGGAGATGCCGAGACCTTCCGCAAGATCCAGAACGCGCACGCGGCGCTCGCGGGCGACGCGACGGCGCGCCGGAACTACCGGGACTTCGGCCACCCCGACGGCCCGCGGCCGTCCTTCGCGGGCTTCGCGCTGCCGCACGGCTTCGAGGCGACGGCCGTTGGGTTATATGTGCTGATGTTGATATTGGTATTGATGCCCGTGTTGCGCCTCGCGACTGGTGGTAGCAGTGCTCCAAATGCCTTGCCGAAGAAGGCCACGGTCCTGGCGCTGCGCGACGCGCTGCAGGAGGACGCGCCCGCGCACATTTCGACCTGGCTCCTCCTGCTCGGGAAACTGCTCGACGACGTCGAGGGCGTCGATGCGAGCGAGGTCTCGGACGCTGAGAGGGCGGCGGTGGCGCACGTCGCGGAAGACCTCGACACGGACGCGGGCTTCGCCGTCGTCCAGACGCTCGAGGGCCTCACGCCGACGGGCGCGCTGCTCATCCAGCGCGCCGCCGGTGGCCGGAGGCTGGACGAGGACAGCGATACCAGGACGCTCGACCTCGCCGCGTCTCTGGCCCGCGCGGCCTTCGAGCTCTCGTGCGGCGCGTGGCAGCCCCTCGCGAACCTGCAGACGGCCGTCGGCGCGCTCCAGTGCCTCTGCGCTCCCAAGAAACGCGGTTCGGCCTCCGTACTCGCGATCGAACTCGCGGTCTACGACGACGACGAGGCGCTGCCCGACGTGCGGTCGTCTGATCTCGCGACAGTCGAAGTCAAGTTCTCGCTACCCACGACGCTGGCGCGCGAGTGGTACTGTGTCCTGAGCCACGACGGCGCGAGCGTCGCGGCCTGCCTCGCGGTGCCGATTGACGATCTTGCTATGGATGAGTTCAAGAGTGAGCTTCGGGCGCGGGTCCACGTGCCGCGGAAGGTCGGCCGCCACCAGCTCACCGCGCAGCTCCGCGCCATGGACGCGCGCGGCGTCGACAGCGACGTGCGGCGGCACACCTACAAGGTGCTCCCGCAGGAGGACGAGGACTAGTCACGTTGCTGAGGTGGGGCTGGTGGCAGCGCGTCATGACGCCCAATGCGGGCGGGCGCAAGTGTAGTAGAAGACTAAGAAAATCGTGTGTTAAGCTAGCGCAGAGGAGCGTGCTGCGGCAGGCGCCACGGCGCTCGCGCGTGCCGCGGCAGGACCCAGCGCAGCGCCTCCCCATTTGTAGGCGCGAGGACGAGCTCGACGCCGCTCTCAACCGCGGCCGCCCGGGCTGTTAATGAGAAGGGGCAGAGCGTCGACATATGAGGAGAGTAGCAGTTCTCGCAGGCCTCGTCGCGGTCCGCGCGGCAGCGGCCCGACAGGCGCGCGCGGATCGCGGCGGCGCTTTCCGTCTCGTTCGTGCCCAAAGTAGGACCGCGATAAACCCATAGACCATCCAGCGCGTCGTCGACGTCGACAATATGAATGTTGGCACCTCGCACCACGAGTCGCGGCGCCGCGAAAGTGACACCATCAACAGAAGGCGCGCAGGCCACTCCCTCAAAAGAAGGGAAGCAGCCGAGGACCCAGGGCCCGACGCCCTCCAACCCCATCCGTTGAAAGAATTCAATGGGAATGGTCGAGACAACCATGAACTCGAATCTCGCATCCACAAGAACCGGTTCAAACGGGGCCCACGCGAGGCCGTCCCTCGAGCGCGCGACCTGCGCGCCGCAGCCATTCGCCCTCCCATAGAGCAGCCAGGCGTCCCCGAATTTCGTCACGGAGAGCTTCCCCCCGTCAATCTGCTGGAGCCGCCCGCCCGCGTACGGAGTCATCACGCGCGCCCAGCGGCCCCACTTCAACAGAGCGCCCGCGCCCTTGGTCATGATCGCCTCGCGCCGCCAGATGCCCCGCGACTCCATCTTCAGGTCGCCCCTCATAGCATGGGGCCACACTTTTCGGACGCGCGGCTCGCCGATGCCGCCGTACGCCACTAACACATCATCAACACAAGCGTAGGCCGTGTTCTCGCTCACGCCGAAAACTTTGGCCCGGGACGTGGGCATGGACGGCGTCCAGCCGGCTCCGATTGACACGCGGGCGCGCTGCTCGTGCTTCCGCACGAGCTCGCCGTTGACCGGTATAATGAGTTCCTTGCGGCTGAAGAGGTACGTGATTCCTCCGCACTGTATCATCGACAGGTACTTCTCGGAGCAGTCCAGTTGTAAAGACGTCGCGTTGCAGGCGTTTTCAGCCGGGATCCGTGCGGTCGGCGCCGCGCAGGTGTCCGCGCGCGTCGCGGCGAGGCGCAGACTGAGGAGCCAGAGGAGGCGCATCGCTCTGCTTGACCCGGCGACCGGTCGGCGGACGTCACTGATTTTTGTGTCACAATTTTTAATGGCAACCTGGCCGCTCCGACAGCGTTTCGCGGGACGCGTCAATCTCGGCCGGTCTCAGAGCGTCCCCTCTTGCCGCGGACGGTACCTGTCGCCTCGCGTCCCGTCGATGGGCAAATGCGTGAGCTAGCGGCATGTAAGACACTAGCAAGCAGCTCTTCGAGTCGGTAATTTGCTCGGATCTCAGCTGAAACGAGTCAATTGCATGCAAGGTTACGCATTTCTATTACTGCTTCTACCAGCGCACGCCCTCGAAACGAAAATGGCTGCGAGAAAGGTTGCCGCAGTGATTGGCTATGGACCTGGCATCGGCCACAGCTGCGCGGCGCTCTGGTCATCGAAGGGATACTCCGTCGCACTCGTGAGCCGCACGGCGTCGAAGCTCGAGACGGCCACCACGCAGATTCCCAATTCTGCCGCGTTCCCGTGTGATATTACTGACAACGCAGCGCTCACGACGACGATGAAATCCATCGCCGCACAACTGGGCCCCGTCGACACGTTATTGTACAACGCGGGCAACGGCGTCTGGAAAAAATTTAATGAGATATCTGTAGAGCAGTTAGACATGGCTATGAAGACGAATGTTTATGGGTTGCTCACCTGCGCCCAGTGCTGCACGCCGGCGATGGTCGACAAGGGCGGCGGCAACATCATCGTCACCGGCGCGACCGCTTCCTTAAGAGGTATGCCGTTCACGAGCGCCTTCGCCGCGGCCAAGGGCGGCCAGAAAAGCCTCGCGCAGTCCATGGCGCGCCAGCTCTGGAAGGACAACGTCCACGTCGCGTATGCCATCATCGATGCCGCGGTCGGCGACGGCGAGGGCAAGATGCACCCCGACAGCATCGCGCGCGAGTACTTCCACCTCGCCGAGCAGACGTCCGACTGCTGGTCGTTCCAGCACCACATCCAGTGCAAGACGTCGGACATGAGTCTGCTCTAGTGAATAAGTCATGACTGTGTTAGCTAGTCCGCGGCAGCGTCACGACCCCGAACGACACCGAGCTATGCCTCGCGGCGTAGGCGACAGAAAAGGTGCTGGCGTTGCGCCGCGGCGCGAACGCGGCGACGGCGCACGCTCCGGTTTGAGGTGAAATAAAGGGCGCGTCGAGGCGCCGGAAGCCGCCGTGACTCGTCGTGGGAAACCCTAGCTCGTGCGCGTTTCCTCTGTTGAAGAAGATGGACATATGCGGCGCGTCGCGCGACGCGTCGTTCGACCCCAACGGACTGTGCTGCGGCACGACCGCCACACCGCGGCCGACATTGCTCCGAGGCACGACGCCGCCCACGGACGCCGGTGGGTGCCTCGCGTGTCACGCTTGCGGGGGCAGCGCCGATTGCCCCGCGACGTCCTACTGCCGAGGCAACGGCGTCTGCCAGGGCTTCCCCGACTACCCCTCCTTCGACCCGCGCGGCGAGTGCTGCGCCCGGCCGTGACCTACTACTTTCTAGTATAATACAAAAACATTAAGCCTTCTTGGAACAAGCCGCGATCCCTGTCGCCGCGTACGACGCGCCCCAGTCCGTCCCGTCAAACTTGCGCACCTCCACCGAAGACACGGTCCCCGGATCCAAACAGTGAACAGTAATCGCGACGCCGTCCGGATTGGATCGGGGATGGTAGAACGCCTGGACTCCACAAATCTTGCAAAAACGGTGCCGCGCGACCCCTGTACCGAAGCGGTACTCCGACAGGTTCTCCTCGCCCGCGTCCAGGAAGAAATCGGAGGCCGGAACAATGAAGTGCGTGTTCTTCTTCATGTGACAAATACTGCAGTTGCAGTCCCACGCCACGAGGTGGCGCGGCGCGCGGACGCGGAAGCGCACCGCTTTACAATGGCAGCCGCCCGCGTGTTCTACTACCTCCTCCTTGACCGCCGGGAGCTGATTTACGATCGCCGGCAGCGCCTTTGCTACGCTCCGGACGCACGCCGCGGCGCTCGCCTCGGGCACGACGAGGACCAGCGCGTTCCCGACGATCGCCGCGGCGGGCGCCTCGAGCGCGTCGCCGGACGCGAGCGCCATGGCGCGCGCGAGGCCCGGCGCGCGGCGGTGCGCCGCGAGCGTCTTGGAAATGTGGGGCTCGCGCGGCGCGAGGCCGAGGCCGCCGCACGCGACGACGACGGCCGCGTCCCGGGCGACGGCCTCGATCTCGTCAGCGCTGCGGATCGGCGGCCGCGTCGCGGCGCGCAGGCCCGTCGCGGCCGCGACGACGTCGGCGCCGGCCGCCGCCGCGGCGGCCCGCGCATCAGCTGGCTCCTCGCCGCCGACGATCGCGACCGCGACCACGACGCCGTCGATTGGTGGTGGTGGTGGTGGTGTCGTCGCCTCGACGCCCGAAGCGGAAGATAGGAACGGCGCGCCCGCGACCAACGGCGGCGGCGCCGCGATCAGGAGCCCGGGCACGGTCGTCCCCGCCGGTAATGATGATGTCGCCCCGGGCGCGACGAGGCGCGCGCGGCCCCGCTCGGGCAGGCACGCCAGCGCGTGCGCGCCGCGCATCGAGAGCAGCCGTGACGACCGCTGGACGCCCGTCGACGCGGCGACGATTTCACCCGAATGGCGCACGCGGTACGGCTCGGCATTCCCATCACCGCCCCGCAGCGACAGCGCGACGCGGTGGAATTCCGGCCGCACCGCGTCCAACGACACTGGAGCAGAGAGCGTCACCGGGAGTTCACATGGTGCGCAGTTTGACCGCGCCACGCCCTGGAGGCGCTTCAGGCAGGGCACGACGAGTAGCGACGCGGTAGTCAGCGCAGAGACAGGATTGCCCGGCAGCGCGAAGGCCCATCGTTTTTCGCCCTCGACTTCATCAAAAAAAGAGCGTGAATCTAAGGTAGCAAAGGTCGTGGGCTTGCCGGGCTTCATGTGTAACCTTCCGAATCTCACTGAAGAGCGCCTCGCCCCCTCGAGCGCCTTCTTCGCAAAGTCCGCCCGGCCGACGCTGGCGCCGCCCGTCGTCACGACGACGTCGCACGTTCTCAAGGCGTCGCCCAACGCTTCGTTCCACGCGTCGAGGTCGTCGGGCAGGACGCCCCCGTCCTCGACGACCGCGTTGCCGCCAAAACTTGACCCGTCACTCAGCAAAGCAATAAGTCCCGCGCGGTTCGCGTCCTTGATCTGCCGCGTGGCGTCGAAGGGGCCCCTTACGTGCAGCTCCGCGCCGCTCGAGAAGACGCGGACGCGCGGCCTTCTGTTTACTATGATTGTATCGTGGCCCGCCGCCGCGATGATGGCGACGTCTGACGGAGTTAAAGGCGTCGATGCTGAGCAGAGCTCATCACCTAAAGCCCAGTCGCTGCCTACGGCTCGGACGTCGGCGCCCGGCTTGAGTGCCGGCAAGGATACGTCAGCACCATTCCGAGCGCAGTGCTCCTGCTTCGCGACGGCGTCGGCGCCCTCTGGTAAAGGAGCGCCCGTCGTGATGTAGCGGCACGCGCCTCCGCCGAGCGGCGTCGCGCGCGTGCCGGCGAGCTGCCTGGCCCCGTCATCACTTAACGTCTGCTCGGCACCGGTCGCCGCGCAGCAGTAGCCGTCGCTGATCGCCGCGCGGAATTGTGGGAATGGCGCGGCCGCCTCTATTCTTTCGGCGAGGCAGCGCCGGAGCGCCGGCGCCGTCCCATGCTCCAGCAGCGGGACGTGTTCCGTCGGCAGCGGGGCCGTGTGCTCGAGAACTATTGAAAGCGCGTCGTCGACGGCGACCATGGGGTACTTGGCGCCGTCGTCGTCCTTCATGGCGGCAGTGCTTTGTCTCAGCAGTGTTTGCGTGCGCGGGTGCGCGTCCGAGACGTCTTGTGCCGTACTTGCAGTGCCTTTTGAGCACGCGTGCGGCCTATTCACCACGCGTTCGTGCAGCGGCGCTTGGAATTGCTCACGAGTTTTTGGGAGAGCCTGCAGCAGAGGAGCGAGGTGAATGCCTCTTGCCTCGCGCACTGCCTTACACAGACGTTGAGATAGCTCAAAGTGCGCAGTCTCACCGCATCGATCGAAGGAGAGCGTTGCAAGCGCAGCCACTCGCGCGCGGCAGCCGGCACAGCCACACAAGCCTTGCACAAGCATTGCAGGCGAATGGCCGCCGTCGTCGAGCGCGTGCTGGCGGGCCTCGACGAGGACCTGCTCGAGTACGTGACGGGCCTCTGCGAAGACACGGACGACGACAGCGACCTCGCCGAGGCGGTGGCGGCCTTCTGTTTGTCGAGTGAGCTCTGCGAGGAGGAGGACGACGCGGAAGCGAAGGCCCAGGAATTGCTAAAGGCGTTAGGACGAGGCGCCTCGAAACCTGTGGAAGCGCCGAAGCCGCCCTCACCCAAGGCACAAAAACCGCGGGCGCCGAGCGCCGCGCTGGCGGCCGCGAAGAGCGTCTTTACAGAGGCGCCGAAGCCGCCCGTGGCACCCGTACAACAAACGACGCGCGCACCAGTCAAAGAGAAGAAGCCGAAAAAAGCACCGAAAAGAGTAGATGATAAAAATTCGGTAGCGAACAAAAAAATGCGCCTCGAGGCGGAGATGGAGGCGGCCCGGATCAAAGCTTGCCGGGCGCGGTGGGCTCAAGGAGCGCATAAAGGTGCTATTGAGGCCAAAAATTTTTCTCTGCCGAATCCTGGGGGAGGTGTCGACCTCGTCGAGGACGCGGCCTTTACATTAGTGAGAGGCCGGAGGTACGCTCTGGTCGGTCGCAATGGTAAAGGCAAATCCACACTGCTCCAAGCCGTCGCCGCGCGGAGAGTTGGTTCTGTTCCAGAGGCGTGCGCCGTGCACTATGTACATCAAGACATTCAACTAAGTAAGGAGCAGGAGGAATTGAGGCCCGTCGATCTCGTATTGGCGGCGGACGTCGAACGACGCGTACTACTGTCAGATCGGGAGGTCATTAATTCAAAACTGAAAGACGCCTCACCGTCCGAAGCGGCTACGCTAACGAAGGACCTGCAGAAGACGCTGGAGAGATTAGAGACCTGCGAGGCCGATAGTGCTGCTCGTAGAGCCGATGAGTTGCTGCAGAACCTGGGATTCTCCGAGGCGCTACGTAAGAGGAAGATGCGCGAATTGAGCGGAGGCTGGCGCGTGCGCACGTTTCTCGCGTCGGCGTTGTTCGCGAGGCCCGACGTGTTGTTGTTAGATGAGCCTACGAATCATTTGTCCATTGCTGCCGTGTTGTGGCTCGCACGCGAGTTAACCACCTCCGAAGTTTGGAGTGATAGAGTCGTCGTATGTGTCAGTCATGATCGAACGTTCCTCGAAGACGTTTGTGGGGATGTGCTCCACATCTCGGGCCACTGCCGACGTTTGACCCAAACGCATGGGGACTACGCGACCTGGCGCGCTCGTAGGGCCGAGAAGTTAATAACGTGGCAAAGACAGCAAAGAAAACAAGAGGCCGAGGTCGAGAAACTGAAGGAGTACGCCGGCCACGGCTTTCGCTACGGCGGGTCGCAGTCGCAGATCAACAAGATGAAGATGAAGGCTAAACAGGCCGATAAAGTCCAGGAGCAGATCGATGCCGACGCGGACGAGGCCCAGGATCTCCTCGAGGACCAGGAACTACCTTTAGAATTACAGTGCGGCGGGCACATTCCCGGCAATCTCATCGCGCTGAAGGACGTCGGGTTCCACTATCCGAACGGCGAGTGGTTGTTTCGTAATGCTGAATTAGGCGTTGATGGGAAGTCTAGGATCGTGTTCCTGGGAGAGAACGGCAACGGCAAGACTACTTTAGTGAAATTATTAACTGGTAGCCTGGAACCGGTCGAGGGCGAGTGCAAGCGGTCCCCGGGCGTTCGTATCTCGTTGGTGAATCAACACCACGCCGACCAGTTGGACCTGCGAAAGACACCCCTACAATTTATGTTGGATAAGTTCCCAGGAAACGGGAGCAACGAACACGAACTGAAGCTGAGATCCCACCTCGCGAAATGTGGCGTCACCGGCGGCGAGCCTGATTTACAAAATATTCCGGCGGCGGCTTTATCGGGAGGGCAACGTTCAAGAGTCGCATTGGCTGCTGTCAGCTATACGGCGCCCCACGTCCTGGTCATGGACGAGCCGACGAACAATTTGGACCTGGAGTCTGTGGCAGCTTTGGCTGATTGCGTGCGCGGGTTCAAGGGCGCCGTGGTCGTGGTCTCGCACGACCAGTTCTTCGTCAACGCCGTCTGTGACGAGGCCTGGGTCGTGAACCACGGCAAGGTGAAGCGGGCGGCGTCCTTCGCAGCGTACGTCGAGCGGCAGGTGCGCAAGCTCGAGCGGTAGCGTCTTCGTCGCGCGCGTCGATGGCGCCTCGCCGCGGCGTCGCCGCCGCGTTTTCTAACTTTAGTAGTGTGAGCTTTCCTTCTACGTACGCGGCCCGGGGAAGTAGTCAGTTAAGGTCAAGGCGATGTTTACAGTTCACTACAGGTCTTTTTTGTGCACGGTGGGGCAGCGGCGGTGGGGATATATGGACAGGTCGCCGCGGCAGGCTAGTGAAGGTGGTGGCGGGGGAAGGGCCGTGCGTGGATAGGTATGTACAGGTCGACGCATCACGGACGTCGGAGAAAAGCAAATTTCAGAGAGCAGCTAGGACACGGCGCAGGAGCCGTTCGACCGGTCCATCGACACGTTCATCGGGTCGCGGTCGCGGCTGCCGCGCGCCGGCGGGTTGAAGTGCAGGCCGCCGGTTTGTGGTGCGGGCGCGACCTTGGGACTTCGGATCGTCGAGAAGGAGAGGCTCCGCCGGATCGAACTGGAGGAGGGCGACGGTGACGCGGTCAGCGACGAGCGCGACCGTGACCGCGAGACGCTGTTGCTAAGCGAGTCGGGCGTGTCAATCAGGGACGACGCGCTCCGCCGGTTCACTGCGCCGACGCGCTTCAGGAACGCGACCTGTGTGGAAATCAAATTGTCGCGGTGCGTCTCCGCCACTGCTGAATCATGGCCTCCACGCCATCGACGCGACGTCAGCACGACAGCGTGGCGATTTCCACACAGAACGCGACCGTCTCGGTGTGCTCGCCGGCCTCGGCGTCCCTCAAAGGCGTGCCGCGCCACCGGTCGACGGCGTTGACATCCGCACCCCTGGCGACGAGATACTTAACCGCAGCGAGGTGCCCTTCGGCGGCTCCAAGGTGCAAGGCAGTTCTGTTGTCGTAGTCTGTGTGTGGAAATCAACCAGTGAGTCGGGTTTGAGGGACCCGTCGCAGCCGAGCAGGCGTCGCGTCGATGGCGTGAGGTTATGATTCAGCCGTAGGCGAGAAGCGCCGCGAAATTTGATTTCTTCACAGGGCGGCACCACCACGACACACTTCCGCGCCCGCGTCGAGCAGCTCCCGCAGCTTGACGACGTCGCCGTTCCTGGCAGCGTCGCAGAGCTTCCCGGTCATGTCCACGAGATCGTCGGGAGACGGCACACTCTCGTCCTCGACGCGCGACGGCCTCCGAATCGCGCCGTTCCTCTCGAGATACTCCACGACGGATCGATGGCCACCAGCCTCGGCGTCACGAATCGGCGTGCCACCCCAGCGGTCATTTTTATTGACCTCGGCGCCGTGGCACACTAGAAACTCGACCTGTGTGGAAATCAACCAGTGTGTCGGGTGTCGGGTGCACTCGATAATTCTTCACTAAGTCATTTCTCGGCGATGACGTGGCCGCGCTGGCTCCGTCGAGCGGTGAGGAACCGACATCGCCACGCCATCGAGCAGGCGTCGCGTCGATGGCGTGGAGGTCGACGCGGCGATTCAGGACGATGGCGCCGTAAATTTGATTTCCACACGGAATCCGACGGCATCTAAATGCCCCTCGGCCGCTGCCAAGTGTAGTGCAGTGCGGTTGTCGTAGTCTGTGTGGAAATCAACCAGTGAGTTAGGTTATCATCGAGCCGACGCGGTCGCGGAGACAGCATCGGATCGATGGCGTGGGGCGCCCGAAATTTGATTTCCACACGGGACGGAACCTCCAGTCGTGACCTCGGCCCCTTCCGCTATTAATTCGCGCAGCTCCGCGCAATCACCTCTAGTAGCGGCCTCGCAGAGCTTGCCCACTAATTCAGCTTTAGCTCGAGGATCGACGCGAGAATAAGCCGCGAACTCGTCGAAGGCCTTCAGGTCCTCCTTCGACGCCTGCCGGCCGTACGACCCGGGCCCCATGGCCTGGACGGCCGCGTCGGGCTTGAACGGGGGCTCACTTCTTTTCGACTCGAGCTTCGGCCAGTCTATACTAGCTAAAAAAGCATGACTTCGCAACGCTTGCGGGCCGTTCTCACCGCAGCCCAACCTCTTATCGACGTCGCGCTGCAACAACCCCAGGCAAAACTCACGAGATGAATCCGACAGCCGCAGATGCGACAGGTCCGCGCCCTTCGAGATCTTCTCCATCAACTCCGGCATATCCCGCGCGACGAACGGCGGCCGCCCCGTGAGCATCTCCACCGTGAGACAACCGAGGGTCCACCAGTCGACGCTTCGCCCATAGGGCGTCTTGGCCACGACCTCCGGCGCTAAATACAGCGGCGTCCCGCAGAACGTCTCGGTCTTCACGATCGAGTGCCGAAAGGTCTGGCGAAACGACTGGGCCATCTGCTTCTGGGCCCTTTTTCTTGCCTTGCCTTCGTCTTCGAGCCTCAACGTCTTCGCGAGGCCGAAATCAGCTAGTACCACATACCCGTCCAAGCCTAACAAAACGTTCTCCGGCTTGAGGTCGCGGTAGACCACGCCGTACGAATGCAGATACGCAAAAGCCGCGACTAATTGGGCCGCGTAGAACCTTCCTACTTCCTCGGCTAGCGTCCCTCGCGCCGTTATTAATTGGTATAAAGTACCACCACCGACGTAGTTCGTCACGAGGTACAACCGAAACTCGTCCTGGAAGGCGTGCTGCAGCGTGAGGATGAAGGGATGCTTCAGTTGCTGCAGGATCTTGTTCTCATCCAGTATATGTCTTATTGCTGTAGAGCCACAAGCTAAGATCTTGTCCTTGCGGACGGCCTTGATGGCGTGCAATGAATCGGTGCGCTTCTTCCGCGCGAGCACGACTTTCCCGAAGGCGCCCTCGGCGATCTTCGAGAGTACCACAAACGACTCTAAATTAAGATCTCGCCCTTCGTCTCGCGACAGGTGCGCGAAATTCTTGCCCAGCGCATCGGGCTTCGCCGGCAGGCCTAGATCATCATCAAAGACGTCGTTGCTGCCCGACGCCGACGCGCGGACGTCGCTTACATCAGTGTGCCCGGACGAGTCCATGGCCTCGCCGCCGCCGCGTCCTTCTGCAGCTCGCGCTCGAGGTCCGCGCCCTCGGTCGCCGCCGCCAGGTCTTGGCGCGACTACTCCGTGCGCGATGCCAGCTACGGGGCGCGCATCGCGGAGTTGCCCGTGTTTAGATTAACGTGGAGCGAGAGGGGAGCTCCACGGAGACGCTCTGCGGTAGCGGCTAGTTGGTGCAGGGAGCAGCAAGACAGGCTAGGGGTGCTGGTGGTGCAGGGAGAGCCGCAGGTGGCTGACGTGTGGTGCAGGGACTGGCGTGTGGTGGATGGGAAAGGGCTGCCGCTGCGGTGCCTGCGCGCCTCTCGGCACACGAAATGGAGCCGACGCGGAGGGCCTTATTCACTGCACTTTGCACCTAAGAGCATTTTTACCTTTCTCGTTTGAGGCGTCGCGGCGCCCGGGCGGGGAGCGCTCGGGCCCCGGGCGACGGATCCTATTTTTTTGCACTAGGCTGCTTCACCCTCAACCGCCGCCATTTTTGTGTGCCGGAGAGCGTTGAGTTAAACGCGCCGTGCCCGAGCGAGCGCAACCGAGGCTGCCTCTGCGCCGCGGCAGGTCGCCCGGTGCCTTCCGCCGCCGATAGGCAGCTCCGCGCCTGCGCCAGCGAGTCGGGCGAGTGGAGCCAAGCCACACCCAGACTCTTTGCATCTTGCATTAGCTGGAACGAGCTGAAACGCACCGCACCATGGACGTCACGCGCTCCGTCGCCTCGCCGAGCGACGACATCAAGAAGGCCGCGGTCTTCGAGAAGGACGCGCTCCTCAGCGCGCAGACGATGATCTACGACGACGGCGAGATGAAGAAGACGCTGCCGGGCGACGTCTACGAGCGCTTCAAGGCGGCCCTCGTCGACGGCGGCGCCACCAGTGATGAGGACCAGGAGGCTATTTCCAAAGCATTGTACGCGTGGGCGCGCGAGCGCGGCGCGACGGACTACGCGCACTGGTTCTTCCCCATGCGCGGCGGCTCGGGCGCCACGGGCGGCATGCGCGTGCCCCGCGTCCAAACGTCGAGATCGCGTCGATGGCGTAGGGGTGGCGCCAGACGCCATCGACGCGACACCACAAACGCACAGGCTCGGCGCGTTGAAATGTGACGCCTTCATCGACCTCGACTGGTCGTCGGACGCGGCGAACAAGCCCTTCAAGACGCTGTTTCCGTCGGGCCGCCTCCTGTGTAGAAATCAACCGGTGCGTCGGGTGCGTGACGACGCGGCGATTCAGCACGGACGCGCCGTAACATTTTGATTTCCACACAGGCCGCCTCTACACGGGCGAGACGGACGGGTCGTCCTTCCCGAACGGCGGGCTGCGCGCGACGCACACGGCCGCGGCCTTCACGTCGTGGGACCGCAGTTCGCCCTGCTTCGTCTACGACAAGGTCCTGCGCATCCCGTGCGCGTTCGTGACGCACTACGGTCGAGCCATCGACGACAAGACGCCTTTACTCAGATCGCAGGACGCCGTCGCGCGCGAGGGCCTCCGGCTCCTCAAGGCCTGCGGCGTCGAAAAGGAGGCCTCGACGATGTACGCTTACTTGGGCTGGGAGCAGGAGTTCTTCGTCGTGAGCGCGGACCTCTACAAGAAGCGGCCGGATTTGGTGAACGCGGGCCGCACGCTCTTCGGCCGGCTGCTGTGTGGAAATCAACGAGTGAGTGAGGTTACTCCGCGCCATGGAGCAGACGCAGTTATGCGGACAACATCGCGCCGATGGCGTGGAACCTCCACGTCATCGAGCAGACCCACTCACGGAGATATCTTGGCGTCGATGGCGTGGGGCGCCTGAATTTTGATTTACACACAGGCCGGCTCCCGCCGCGCCACCAGTCCGGCGACTTGAATTATTTCGGGGCGACGCCGGGGCCGGTCGAGGATTTACTCATAGCCGTCCAGACGGAGATGATGCGCATGGGCTCGCCCATGGTTTGTGCGCTGTGTGGAAATCAACCAGTGAAATCGAGCAGAAAGTTTGATTCCCGCGCAGGTCGTCCGCCACAACGAGGTGGCTCCCGGCCAGCACGAGATGTCGCCGATCTTCTGCGTGGCCAACGCGTCCTGCGACAGCAACGTGCTGTTCATGGAGGTCTGCGCCAAGGAGTCTCAAAAAAGGGGGCTCGCCGTGCTCTTCCACGAGAAGCCGTTCGCGGGCATTAACGGCAACGGCAAGCACGCGAACTGGTCCGTGGGCACGGATACCGGTTTAAATTTCTTCTACCCGAAGACGTATGGCGATGAACGCGACACGATCTACACGACGGCGCTCGCTTGTTTGAGTCACGGGCTGCTCGAGTACAACGAGCTCGTAAGGTGCTCCGTCGCGCACGCGGGCAACGACCATAGATTAGGAGCCCAGGAGGCGCCGCCGGCGATCATTTCGCTCTACCCGGGCACGGGCTTCGAGGCCCACGTCGACAAATTGATCGGTGGCGAGGGCGAGCTCGCAGATTACAAGCCCGAAAAAGGCAAGGCCGACCCGCGGTGCCGCGCCGCGGCGGCCGTCGAGGCCAATGTAGAAGATCGCAACCGGACGGCGCCCTTCCCGTTCTGCGGCAACCGTTTTGAATTTCGCGCGTGTGGGAGTTCCCAGAACTGCGCCCTGCCCATGACGGTCTGCAACACGCTCATGGCCGCCGGCATGGCCAAGGTCGCGTCATTGATTGAGGGCGGCGCGTCCCAAAAAGACGCCGTCGTCGAAACGCTCAAGGCGGCGCGCCAGGTCATCTTCACGGGCAACGGCTACGGCGAGGAGTGGCCCATCGAAGCTAAGGAGAGGGGCCTGCCCAACCTGAAGACCACGCCGGAGGCGACGGCGGCGTTCGCCTCCGAGAAGAACGTGGCCGTCTTCGAGGCCATGGGCGTCTACGCCCCCGACGAGACGCACGCGCGGGCGGAGGTCTTATATGAGAACTACACGAACACTCTGAGCGTGGAGATCGAGACCATGGTCGCCATGGCCAAGACCGGGTTTCTCCCGGCCTGCGCCAAGGACCTGGCGCTCTACGCGGCGGCGCCGTCCTTGGCAGGGGACAAGGCCGAGCTTTATGGGAAGATCAAGACGGCCTGCGCCGATTTAGAAGAGACGTTCGCCGCGAAGCCCGCCGACCTCGCGGCCGAGGCCACGTACCTCTGCGACGTCTGCAAGCCCAAGATGGACGCGCTGCGCGCGGCCGTCGATGCGGCCGAGGCCGAGATGGACGCCGCGCTCTACCCGTACCCGACCTACGAGGCTTTGGTGTATGGCCACCACTTCTAGTACATGTTCCCCCCCGCCTGTGTGCATAGCCCCCCTGTATCATAACTACATGTCTTAAATGGCGTAGCAGCGCCCTTCACCACTCCACTGCGGCCAGGGCCCCTTCACCTTGGGTTCAGGAGGCGGCGGCGGCGGCGGCGGCGGCGGCGGCGGTTCGACGATCGGCGGCGCGGCGGCGACGTCGTCTTCCTCAGATCTAGAATCCCACTCCTCGATCACCTCGTCCGTGCGCCGCGCGGCGTCGGGCGCCACGCCGCGCTTCTGGCCCCGCCTCAACGCCAGCACGCTCTCCGCGGGGTAGCCTTGCAAATCTTCCCGCAAATAGACGCGCAGCTTCGACGTACTTAAATGAGGCGCCTTGTGGAAGCCGAAGTTGTTCAATTGTCTTTGAAACGACGAGAACTTGCCCGTGCGGAAGAATTTCGCCAGGATGGGCTCGAGGCGCTCCTCCGGCCGCGCGACGACGACGCGGCCGTCGTCCCAGTAAATGAGGGTAGGATATTCCGTGAACATGCAGTACAGCTTCACGACGAAGTCAGGAGCTTTCGCGCCGCCGGATCTGAGCAAGCGCTGGGCCTCGCGGCCCGCGGCGGTGTGGCAAGCCGCGTCGAGCGCCCTTCTTCTCGCCTTCGCGTGGGCGAGCGCGGCCTTGGAGTCGCCGCGCCGGTTCGCCGCCTCCTTGAGCTCTTGTTCTTCGTGGGCTTGCGCTAATAGTTCGCTCGCGGTCGGCTCCTCCATGGGTTTGTCTGTCTCGCGCTTACGCAGCCGGCTCTTGGCAGACCCGAATGTTGTAATGCAGCAGCCGAATGTGCGCGCGCGCTCGTGCCGTGAGGGCTGCCGAGAACGATGCGCGTCTTGTCGTAGAACGTCGCGACGTTGTTCTCACGCAAAGGGCAGCCGCGTGCGGCTCCTCGCGGCACTTCTCTCGAACTTAAAGCGTTTGCTAGTGTCTTACAGCCGCTAGCAAGCCTCGCGTTTTGGCTCGGCTGTGTTGCGAAACGACAGCCTTGCGTCGCTTGCCGGCGCGTGATTCGTGACGTCCGGCTCCGCCGCTATCGCGCTGCCACGCGCAAGCGCATCGATCAGGCACAAGGAAGCCATGCTAGGCTGGCTCCTGCTGTTGGCGGCAGCAGCCGACGCGCGCCCCAAGCCAAACACGAAGCCCGACACCTTATTTAAGGGACCGGGAGTCACGATTCTAGATCGGCAGGGCGTCCAAGCCATCCGAAACGATAAAAGTGGTGCAACTGGATGGGTCGTCGCATTCTACGCGCCCTGGTGCGGCCACTGCCGCCACTACGCGCCCGAATTTAAAAAGTTCGGCGCGGCCTTGCAGGGACACCCGAACATCAAGGCGGGCGCCGTGTCGTGCACGGCCGAGCGCAAGGCCTGCGACGAGAACGCCGTCAAGGGCTACCCCACCGTCAAGAGCTTCGGGGTGCTGGGCCACGATATTGTACTGAAAAGGCACCAGTCGAAGGACCTGCTGGAGCTCGTGCGCTCGAAACAGACGGACGCCGCGTTCGCGGGCCTCGTGAAACCGAGGTGGAGTGAAGAACCCCCCAAGGTGATCTCGGCACCGACGCCCCAGTCGCCCTACGACAAGATCATGGCCACGGCTTTACCTCCCCCAAAGCTCCGCGCGGCGCCATCAACTATCGACGCGGCGGCGTCGCTGCGGTTCCTGCTGGAGAACGTGTTCGTCGGTGATCGAACGCTCACGGAGGAGAAGAGCGTCGCGCTGCGGGGTGTGTTAGCCGCCGTGGCGCGAGCGTCGCCCGAGATTACCGTGGCAAGCGCCATATCAATATGTCTGCAGCAGCAGCCGAGCCCGACTTCTACAGATTGGGCGTCTTGGCTGGAGGAAGACGGCGTCGTAACGTGCCACGATCAAACGACGCGCGTCCAGCGCAAGCGCTGGACCAGTAGGTGCGACCCCGAGGGGAAAGGAACAGACGGGACGGCGTACACGTGCGGGTTGTGGGGCCTCTTCCATGGATTGGTGCAATCACTAAATGCGCGCGACGGTCTGAGTGCGGTCCGGGCGTCCATGCACTTCTTCGGCTGCGAGGAATGCAGAGACCACTTCCTCGAGATGTACGATTCTTGTAGATACGGCCGCTGCGACGCCGACGCGGACGCGTCATTGTGGCTCTGGCGGGCGCACAACGTCGTGAACGCGCGCACGCACGGCCACGTTGAGGATGGCTATATTACGGCCAACACGCCGGACAACGCGGCGGCGTTTTGGGCCTTCCCGTCCGTGGAGCAGTGCGCCGACTGCCGCGACGGCAAGAAATGGGATTTGGACGGCGTGCGCGCTTTTTTAAAGCGCGAGTACGGCAATGGTTCGTCGTCGGCGTCCGGCGTCTCTGCGCGCGGACGCGCCCTCATAATGTTTCTCGCAGGCCGGCGCCGCTCGCCGCGGCGCCGCCGCCCGGCTCCTCGCGCCTACACGGCCTTCTGATCGTTTGTCTGGTTGGTGGCTGCGTGATTTGTCTCTGTCTGCTCCGGCGGCGGCCTTTGACGCGCCGCAGCAGGTACAGGTTGCCCCACTAGTGTGTAAGTTGTTGACGTTGTGTCCTTGTGTTGTTGACAGGGTACATCTTACACGAAGGGGGTTCAGGCGCAGCAGCTGGATTTGCAGAGCCCTTTCAGCCGCGGCCAGCGCTCCCGGGCCCTGGCGCGCGCGCGGGGGCTCTTGGGTTCGCCGTTCTGCGCGTGGAAGGTGTCGCCGGAGTCCTCGGGCGTCTTGTAGTTCGACCAGTATTCGCGGTCGTAGAAGATGCTAGAACGGTCGCGGGGCGGCGCCGTCGGGAAGAGGTCGGCGAGGAGGTCTTCCTCCGCGGGCGCCGGCGCTTTCGTTTGCTCTTTGGTGGCTTTGGGGGAGTCTGGCGGCGTCATCTCGAGTTCGCTCGTCTCCATGTGCGCGCTCCTGAGGGTGGCGCGAGCTCGTAGCGCTCGCTACGTCCTCGGGACCGGCAATTGCAGGCCACCAGCCTCAGAGCCTTATTCCTTGTTAAGCGTCAGTTTCCGGGTCGGGAGTTGCGTCGGGCTCGAGCCCGGGTTGGAATCAGACCGTCGCTCCCTCCCGGAGGTCGCTTGCGCCGCGAGTCGAGAGCAAGTCAGTCCCAAAAGTGAATATTACCGAGCTAGCGGCATGTAAGACACTAGGAAGCCAAGCCTTTGAGGGTACGGGCTGACTAGGGAAATTGGTGGGCTGACCAGGGAAATTGGAGCGAGGGGCTGGAAATTGGGGCTGACGCTGTCCATGGACTTTTTTCGATATATATTTAGGACTCCGGAGCCTGCGCGGCAGCCCCAAATCCTGAAGGAGACGTCGCCACTGGCAGGCAGGTCCAAGGCAGAGCAGCGGGACCACCTCGACCGGATTTGCGAAGCGCGCCACGGGGAAATCAACAGCGACGAAGAAGACGAACCGCACTGGTCGGTACCACCTGGAGCTAAAGAAGTGCTGCCCGCGTTCGAGCTCGACCCGCCGTCGAAGCGATCGAAGCGCGCTGGCACAAACTACGATTCTACAGACCACGTACCAGAAAGGACATGGATCAAGGTGAAGGGTGCCGCCATCAATGACCCGCCCGTCGCTGCGGCTCTCGATGAGCTGTTCGGCGAGGACGGCGCAGGCCACACTCCGTTGGGAAAAAAACCTAAGCCGAACCCGAAAAGAGGTATTAAGAAATACGAGTGGCGCTTCTGCAAGTTTGCCAAACTGGGCTGCCCGAAAGCGTGTCGCATCTCATTCATGGAGAACGGCGACGCCATCATCAAACCCAACAGGTGGGGCCACGAGCATCCGGAGGGCGATGCTCGTGAAGAGCTAGCTAATCGAAAGGGCCTGCCACCGACAGCTAAACTTGCACTGAAGCCCTTCGTCGACGCAGGCCACTACAAGATGGTGGATTGCATCGATACCTTGAAAAAAGGTGGGCATTTGGGCCCAAACGGGGCATACTACAACGAGAAGACCCAAAGGAAATTCAAAAAGATGATCAAAAACTACTTGACGTACGCCATCGAGAAGAAACACGGCAAAGGTGGGAGGTGGTCGTCGGAGTACGGTGATTTTTTGAAGGACGTGGAGGACGACTCCAAAACTGACGAGGAGGTGGAGGCCATGGTGGCCAACAAGGACTGGGACACACCATTTACTTTTGATGCCAATATATCAGGAGCTCAGAGCAAAAACTTTTTTTGTAGTGCTAACATCCGCTCTCTTAGCAGAGCTATGCAACAGGCTTTGACTGGGACACCCCAGGCGTGTGGTGATGGGACAGGCCGCATCAATTTAGAAGGAAGGTCGCTTGTATTCATCGGGACCGTCGACCGTGGGCAATCCTTCCATCACATAGCAGCTTTCCTATTATCAAAGGGCGAGACGAAGGAGGAGATTCTGCGTGGCCTCAGAGCCATCTCCAAGAAGATTGATGCTGTTCACAGGGCGATGCTTCGCCTACCAGCCGGCGAGGCTCTCTACAACGCCAGCGAGCTCGGCGCAGGCTACACATGGGCTCCGAAGACCGTGATGAACGACAACTCGGACGCGTTTTTTAGCGCCTGGACCGAGATCATTTTCGAAAGATTGAGGGAGGAGATCGTGCAGCTCAAGGCCGAGAACGCCGAACTCAGAGGCGAGCAGATGGACACCGACGAAGATGAGGAGGCCGAGGACTCGATGGAGGACGTCGCTTAGTAGATACATCCCGCTTCCCCGGGGGTTCCTACACGTCGGGGCCCCGCGTTAAGGAAGCTTTCATACCAAAACATAATTACACAAGGCCGGCGGCGCTGAGCTGCGGGTCACCTAGGACGTTCATTCAACGCCGAACCGATGACGTTCATGATGCCCGCGTCATCTATCAGACATGGAGAGACCACTGCGTCGACCTCCAGGTCGTCGACGCGAGGGAACTCGACTTGGCGCTCGTGCAATTGCTTGTGCGCGGCGGCCATCACCCGGCAACACCGCTCCGCAGCTCTTCTTCGCTAAAGGCTCGGCTGCTCGCGTTCTGGGGTTGGTGCGCTGTCAAATGGCACCGGGGCTCAACCCGCGATGCCGTCGCCGCGTCGTACTCGGCGCCCCATCTCAGGGAGTGGCAGTGGGCTGCCCACGCCGCGCGGTGGTGCGCGGCATCGCACCGGCGCTTCCGGCGCGTCCTTAAAGGACTCATGGGGCCCCCGGCGGCGCGTGGGCAGCCGGCGCGCAGCTAGGACAGCCTGGGAGATTAAGCGTGGCGATGAATTAGCCGGGCGGGTATTACGCGTCAAAATTCGGTTTTAAGGCCCCGCTAGCCGCCCTAAGCTGCGCGTCGGCTGCCCCACGCCACTGGCCTGGCCCAGAGGGCCGGATCGGCAGCCTGACGGGCCGTCTGGGCTGCCTGGGGCCAAAATCATGCCATCGTCCCATCGCGCTCTCCCAGCGCTCCATCCGGATTCCACCGCTCCATCCGGACGCCGGTCGTTCCATCGTGCCACCGGTCCAGGAAGGACTGATGCATCGCTCGGAGGGGCCCGAGCGAAGCCTGGACGGGCCCGCCCGATCCAACCTGGTTTGTGCCAGGCACAGACCAGGCACCTGGGCGGGCCCGCCCAGGTGCCTGGGCGGGCCGGACCGGGGCCTAGAGGGAGCGCTCCGGAGCACCCGAGATGTCTAGTTTACGCGCTATAGGGATGTCTAGGGCCCCTGCGCCAGGGTTCAGGTTCAGTTCAGGTTCAGTTCAGGTTCAGTTCAGGTTCAGGTTCAGCCCCAGAATCAACCAAAGGGGTGGGGAGGGGGGGCTGTAGCAGCTGGGGCCTTCGGAGGAATGCTGAAGCGCGGCTGATCAAAGGTGAGGGCCCCACCTTTCCTAGCCTTCCTCCGGCCCCCACGCTTCGTCTCTTCTCCGATGACCTTAATATCTTTTTCTTCTGGTATTTGGATCCTTCCGTGCTTCACATCCCAGGCCAGGCTGCAATCGCAAGTTTCCTTCATCTGGTAATCAATGCACGTGCAAGCGCACGAGGTCGCAGCACCGGTGCGGACAATGGAATAGAGCATACACGCACCCTTAGAGGATTTGTGAAAATCATCTAAGGATGTGATGCGGTCCATGTCTCCTGTGTATAGGAGCTCCTTATTCTGAAGGATCGGTTTGGCATGCTCCTCGATCGTGCTGCGTTCTCCACCATGCTTGGAGGCAATTGCCTTGTAGCTCTCTTTTGAGAGGAGGAAAACACACGTTGCCTTCTCCGGCGGGTGAAAGGGCGAATATGTGATTTCCAGCTCCCTCGTGGCTGTCACGTCGAATATGAACGTGTCTCGAAGTAACTGCTGTACGCTGCGCCATTGATCCTCTTTGATGTGCTCTGCTTTAGTGAGGAACAATTGGTTTGTGAAGGGATGTTTCCTCATCCACTCCATGTGCTCCCGGTACCAAGCACGGAGCGAGAGACGGTTCCAGTCAGTGGCCTCGTCTTTGTAGGTGCGATTCCCTCTTTCATCACCATTGTTCTGGTCGGGTAGCCCTGGTTCCTGGTCCGCCGTCGTCCAATTGACGGCCCGTCCGTGCAGGTACTCCTGGGAGAACCTTTTCATGACCTTCGGTTCGCGCCGCGTCCACTCGAACTCGAACAGCTGGAACACCCTGGCCTTCCACGGCCGGAGAGTGATGCCGAGCTTCGAGATGTCATAGAGCTCTTTCTTGAACTCCTTGCGGCTCTCGTCGCTCGTGAAAAGGCTTCTATATCCTCTCTTGCCACCCTTGTCCATGAGATGCTGTACATGTACTGAACAGGTGCCGAGCAGCCACTCTACCGTGCCAGTAGGCTCCGGCGCAGTTGGGGGCTTCTTCTTGCCTCGTGCCATCCCAATTTCCAGCCCCTCGCTCCAATTTCCCTGGTCAGCCCCGCAATTTCCCAGGTCAGCCCGTACCGCCTTTGAGGCTGGCTAACTCCTCGACACGCAGTGCATAGCTGCACAGCATTCGCGTGGGACGCGAGACTTACTCACAGATCAGGCTGCAAGCCGCCGAGCGAGGTCTAGGGACCCTGCTGCCGAGGCAAGCTGCACTGCTCTCCCTAGCACTTTTGGCCTGCACTCCACTCCACGCCGTCGACGCGAAATTACGAAATACCTCGTGTACAAATGCGCTGGTGCCTCGCCGCAGTCCTAGCGGTCGCGCCATGCACGACGGCGCTGGCCGCGCGCCGCAAGAAGCCGCACCGGCCGCCGCGCCTCGCGCGCGGCGCGATCACGGAACGGACGACGTTCGCTGCGACGCTCGTCGAGCGGAGCGACCTCCGGCGCCGCTCCCACGCGCCGCCCGAGCGGGCCATTTGTCTCGCGGACGTGACGACAAACGGCGCCGTCGTCGCGGACCACTGCTGGCTGAGAGGTGCGGACGCTCGGTGTTTTGATCGAGTCCAGCTCGACACCCCTACCACCTTCGACGCCGAGGTCGAGACCTACCGCCGGCGGGGCCGGAGGGACTACCGCCTCGCGCGCGTCGACGCCGTAAGCTAGCTGTTTCTATCTTGTACTCATCCCGATTCAATTTGGTTGAAGCCGCGCCGCCGAGCAGCCGGCCGCCGCGTCGACGGCGTGCCCCCCACAATTAGTCAACACTCCCGAATACTTACGCCTCCTCCGCGCGCAGCCGCGCGTTCGCGTTCGTCACCTTGATGTTCAGCTGCTCGGCGCGCTCGACGATGGCCTTGCGCTTCTGCGACGAGACGGAGTGCGCGATCTCCGCCGCGTAGGTCCGGTTGTGCATCATGAGGAGCTCCAACTCGGACACGTTGTTGACGACGAACTTGTAGAAGCCCGACGGGAGGCGGTGCCGCGTCTTCTTGTCCGAACCATAACCGATCTTCGGCATGGGGATCGTGCCCTTGAAGCGCCTCCGGACGCGCGAGTCGATACCGTGGATCTTCCGCCAGCTCGAGTTCCGGATCTTCATGAACCGGTTGCTGAAGTGGCGCGCGAACTTCTTCGTGCGCTTCTTGACGATCGTCGGCTTGTCGAGCGCCGCGACCTTCACCATCTTGGCGTCGCGTTTATAGGCCTTCGCCTACGGATTGAAACGGGTGAGTTGGGGAGGGGTTGGCGCGTCGTTGGCGTGCCTCTCGACGTGTGTGGGCGCGGCGCGACGTCTCTGGCTGCAGCCGGCGCCTCGCGCGCGCCCCGCGCAAGCGATGCAGCAGCACTTTGCAGGGTGGCCGTATGTCGCTGCTAGCGAGCGCAGCGGCTTACGGATTGCTGCACACGTTGGCTCAGTCTCTCTATATGTCCAGCGGAGGGGCCTCGTAGCGTCAACTCACCTCTAATGCGTCTGCCGCCGCCTTATTTGGTCTCCGCTCGCTCGAGCCCAGGCGATGCCACTAGGATTAGCCGTCGCCGTGATACCCGATGGATCTGTAAAGCACTCCGCCGATGACGCTTAGGACACCTCCAGGCCGGTGTGCCGCCTGGCGTCGCCGTTCGTGGCCGTGCTGTTCGGCGCCGCCGTGCCGCGGGATCTCTCCAAAATCCGGCCGACGCCGCCGCCCGCCGCCGCCGCGACGCCATCGACGCGAGCCACACAACGGCCACAATCTAAAATACAACTACTTACGACTCCGCGCCCTCTCCCTTAGTTCGGTAGACGAGATGTCCACGCGGAAGTCCGGGATCTCGAGGAACATGTCTCTATGGGAATCCGGCGCCGAGGCGAGCGCCTCGTGGGCGTCGACGAAGCTTTGTTCTCCGAGCCGGCCCGCCACCACAAACCCACAACCGCGGCTCCGCAGCGTGTCCAGCGCCTCCGCCAGGCCCTCGACCCCGCCGTAGTACTTCGCATCGAGGACCCTTGACGCGGTGTCCGCGCCCATGACGAAGTCGCAGGGCCCAAACAATTGCGACTTCTCGACGTACAGTGCTCTCCGGGTCAACGCGACCGCCGCATTCGCCTTCTTGAACTGGAGTAGGCGCTCCTCGGCCTGCTTGACGTCGATGACACCCTTGTCGGCGTTCTTGAGCGAGATCTCGTACAACAAGGAAGGCTCCTCGGCGTCTCGCTGTTTCGTGGCATCGAGCGCCGCCTCGGCCAGCTTCGTGTGGCCCTCGTGTAAAGGATCAAAACTACCGGGAAAGACCAGTAGGCGGCCCTTTGGCCGAGGGACTGTCTCGAGAGCTTGGCCCTTGGCCGAAATGACGACGAGCTCGGCCTCGCGCGCGAGGAACTTGGTCAGGAGGGCGAGCATTATCATGGGGCTTTGTTGTGTCTCTGGGAGCTTGCGCGGCGGCTTGGGAGGGTAGTGGCTTCCAGCGTCGCGCGTCGGACACCCGGCGCGGCGCCGCGGACGCCAGAGATCACCGTAGCGGTTCTGCAGAGAGCGCGACGCGTCGACAGCGTTAGACGCCAAATTAGAGGACGCAGCGCTTTAGCGCGCGTGGGCACGCCGGGGCAGAGAGAGCCTGCAGCAGGTGCTGCTGCCGCAGCTACCAGCGAAGGCGCGGCAGGCGCACGGATGGAAGCGCGGTTGATGATTCGCGTTCCTGGCTTGCCAGCGACGATCCCTATGGGTGTTTTGCAGACTTTGCGCGTCGCGTGCGCGGCAGTGAAAACCTGTTTTATGGGCTTTTGAGCAGGCCCAAAAACCGGCTTGGACGCGTCCAGAGTCCTGCAAGCGCATCCTGCCCGGCAAAATACGAGTTCCGCGCTGGGCGCTGGCAAGAAAGCTCTCAATGTCCAGCTGGACAAAGCCAAATCCACCGCGCGTCACGCCGAGCCTCCGACGAGCGCAGGCGTCGTCAGCGTTTGACAGCTCATAAGCTCAGCACAACTCAAAACTCCTCAGCGGCCGCGCAACGCGCACGCCCGCCGAAGCTTTTGGACCTCTCTCACAGCCAGCCAAGCAGGCGCGCCCGTCCAGCAGCCATGGCTCCGGCACCGATGCGAGCGGCGCTCCTCGTCGCCACGAGCGTGGCCTTCGCGCCCAAAACCGCGCGCCTGCCCTCCACGACCCGAGCGAGGCCGACGACGGCGCTCCAGATGAACTTTTTTGACCGGTTTAAGAGAGTGGCCGAGGCGAACATCAACAATGTGTTGGGGAAGATGGAGGACCCGGAAAAAGTACTGAACCAGGCCGTGGAGGACCTCCAGAAGGACCTCGTGACGATCCGACAGAGCTACGCCGAGGTCATGGCGACTCAAAAAAGGTGCGCTCGCGGCGTCCCGTCGTGTCGAGACGCCTTCGACGCGACTCGGTGGTCTCTTTTTTTGACGGAAATGCTCCGCGCAGGCAGCAGCGCCAGAAGGACCAGGCCGACCAGTTGGCGGACGAGTGGTACCGGCGGGCCCAATTGGCCCTCGAGAAGGGCGACGACGAGCTCGCGAGGGAGGCTCTCTCGCGGAAGCAGCAGCAAGTCGATGCTAGTACTTCGTTGGACGAACAGATCGCCATCCAGAGCGACTCGTTATCGAAGTTATATGATAGTATGACGGCGCTCGAGTCGAAGATCTCCGAAGCGCGGTCCATGAAGGACCAATACATCGCTCGAGCGCGAACGGCGAAGACTGCTACCAAGGTCAATGACATGTTATCTTCGGTATCAGGTACGACGTCGATGGACGCCTTCGAGCGCATGAAGGAGAAGGTCGAGATGCTCGAGACGCAGGCCGAGGTCTCGGGCCAGTTGCAGTTCGGGGCTGGCACGGCGGACATGGAGTCGCGCTTCAAGGAGCTGGAGGCTGGCTCGTCGGTGGACGATGAACTCTCGAAGATGAAGCGCCAATTGACCGCTGGTTCGGATGAACCAGCGAAGCCGGCGGCTCCTGCGGACCCGGCGGTCGAGGACGAGCTCGCCAAACTGAAGGGTGAAATGAAGGGGGAGTAACTTGTAAAATTAATCGGCCCAGCCGGCGCCGGGGCGGAGGAGGTTTGATGAGGGACACCTCTCGGGGCGGACGTTCGCGTGGCAGCCGCTCCACAATACCACAATGAGCGCGCCGTCGCCCTCGGTGAAGCTCTGGTGGACGCTCCCGGCGGCGTTGACGACGAACTCGCCCGCGGGCACGGTGCCGGCCTCCCACGCCAGCGCGCGCCGCAGGTCGGGGCCCTCGTCGCCGTCGGGCAGCGTCGGCGGGTCGCCGCAACGCACCTCGTGCAGCGTGCCGACGAGCGTCTGCATCAACTCGATGTTCGGGTGAGCGTGCACACAAAACCAGTCGTTGGGCTTGATTGCCATCACCGACAGCCGCAGCGGGCGCCCGTTCGAGAGGCCCGTGTCCAGCCAGGCGTCCAGCTCGTCGACGACGCCCTGCGCCTCGAAGCGTTCGCGCAGCGCCGCCCGCCACCGCGCGTTGAATTCTGCGGCAGATTCGATGGCGAAGCGCGTCTCGTGCGCCACGGAGTTGATGAGCGCCGCCGGGTCGAGCGTCGACAGGTCCACGACCCCTCCTCCTGGGACGGGCACGGGCTGGCTTACGAAGGTGCTCGTCCTCGACAGCAGCGCTCTCTTTGCCGCGTCCGTACCGTTCATATTGTTCTCCTGCTGCTGGGCCTTGGCCAGCGGCGTCTCAGTTGGCCGCTGCGACTCGGCAAATGCGGGCTGCCCCTTGCGGAGCCAGCCTCCGCCGCCGATGCAGGCTCGACATTGTGCAAACATTTGTTCAGGTGGCCGCACGCCTATCGTTTTCGGTCACGCCGTGGTATGCTTGCCGTCGTCGCGTGCACGGAGCGTTTTTCTCAAGCTAGAGCTCCTTGTCTCAAGCCTGCTTCCGGCGGGTTCTTCAGGGCGCTGGACGGAGATCTGGACGGCTGTCCGGACGCGTCGGTCGACGCAACGCCATACGTAGAATGACTTCAAAAACATTTATACTTGGATGTGGAACACGGTGCCCGGCGTCGCGTTCGGCGGGACGACGGCCTGGACGGTCTTGCCGTCGGGCAGCACCACTGCAATTTGCTGCCCCGGTGATGCGTCGGGCGGCACCGGCACGGCCATGGTCTGGGTGGGCGGCGGCACTTCGGCAATCGGGACAGCAATCGGAGTCGAATCGACGACGACCGGCTCCTTGGGAGCTTTGAGCTTGTTGAGCTCGACGATCTTCGCCTGGACCTTCGCTTCCTTCTCCCTTATTTTGACGAGCTGCTTCGCGTGCGAGGCATTCACGCCGTTCGCGTCGCCCTGGGAGTACAGATCAAAACAGGTCACGCCCCAGGCCTCCTTCAGCGACTTGATGTCGCCCTTCAGTAACGAGATCTCGGCGTAGAGCTTGAGCTTGGCGGCTTCGTTCCCTACTTTGTTCGCGCCACTCTGCAGAGTTTTCATCCAGGACGACATGGTGGGCAGCCTGGGCAGCCTGGGCAGCCTGGGCTGGGGAGGGACTCTGCGAGAGCTGGACGGTAGTGGTCCGTGGCACAGCTGCTGCTGTGCTGTAGACCAAGTGGGCTGCTGCCTAATACAGTCCGCGGGCGGGCTGACTATGCACGGTTTCGGCCTCGATGTCGGAGAGGTTCCAAGCTTTGCAAATTTCGGGTCCGCGGGCATTCATGGCCACGCCACCGTGACGCTTTCACGACGCCTCCGCGCGACGAGTCACGACGAATCCCGGGTTCGCGTTTGTGGCCAGCGTGTAAGACACTAGCAAGCCGGCAGCGGCGCAGGGCAGCTTTTTTTGCTTAAACGAGCTTGTACGACGGTCATTCGTGGTGGCAGCATCATTTCTCATTGCTGGACGACCGGCGGCTGCATTCCACCACTCGTGAGCCATGGCCGCCGTCGTGGAGGCCATAGCACCAGATCCAGCAAGCACCATGGCCGCTGTGGAGGGCGCCCAGCAAGACCTGGGCACCAGCAGCTCGTCGGAGCGCGTCTCGACGCAGCGCGAGCTCCCGCACTACTTCCACACCTATACTGATGAAGAAGCGGGCACGACAGAACTCGTCGAAGCTTTACGGGCGCGACTCGAGAGGCGCATCAACGGTTCTGTACTAGCAAATCTCGACGACAAGGGTGATGTGTTTGTAAGCTTCTCGGAGAAGGACCGGTCCGCGTCGTCGGACTTCTGGCGGGAGATCTGCGAGCCGCTCAAAATATTCCTCAAGAACACGCCATCATTGGCCCGACGAAACCTGCCCGCAACCCTAAAGCAAGAGGGCGGGTCCTGCATGTTCCAGGTCCAGTGGCTGACCGGTAGAAAGGCGAACTACTGGCACCAGGACGTGCGCTGGAAACAACATTGGGACGCCGTCTTCTTTCTGTATGCGGGCAACGACCCGACGCCGACGGACATCGCCTGCCCTTCGGAGCAGCCCGACGCGTGTGTCACTCCAAAAGAGTACGTGCGCTGCGCCGACGGCCAGCCGGATATCGCCCAGGCCGCGCGCAGCGGCGCCGCGATCACGTACCGGCCCGCGGTGAATAGGGGAGACGTGGTGGTGTGCGACAACCGGCGCGTCTGGCACCGCACGCCGCCGTCGCTGGACGAGGCGTGTGCGGCCGACGACGCGCTCATGACGGTGCGGCTCAAGCACTTCCCGCCGCGGTAGTTTTTGCTAAGTTTTGATCTCTTGTCCGTCGTCGGCGGCAGCGTTGCGGGTAGAGCCGCGTCTTTGCTCGATCCGCATGTTCCGGTGCTAGTACTAGTGGGCGGGGCTGGGGAGACACCGCGCGTCGCCAATTCATCGGCGGCGGGCGCGTGCCACGTTTTCATAACAGCAGCCCTCCTTCTAAATAGAACCGCCTCGGCAAACTCCCCCGGACAGTGCGTCTAGCTCGCTAGTATCTTACACCGCTAGGTCGAAAAATTAGTGAATTCGATTGGCGGCGGGAGAAATCCGCAACGTGTGAATTGCCCGAGTTTGCAATCGCTGGTGACGAACGCCAGCCAGAACCACCCAGCAAGCAGAACAGCTCCAGCCGCAAGCGACTCACAGCTCCCTTGCTTGTGTCGCCCGCCAAGACCTCCCTACAGTCTAAAGGCTGCGCCGACGGACAAACACAGCCTCCAAAAAGCATGGCCGGCCTCACGATCGTCACGCTGGCCGTCGGCGACCGCACGCGCCGCATCACGGTCACGGGCGGCTCGGACGTCGACGAGCTCCGCGCGCTGATCTGCGCGGCCTTCCAGCTGCCCGCAACCACCAGAACGGCGCCGGTGGCATTAATAGCAAGAGACACGAACGTCCTCGTGCCGCTCAGCGTCGCCTGCGCGCGGCCCGACTCGCTGCGGGCGCCGGCCTACGGCGTTTTGTGTGTGGGCGGCCAGCTCCTGCTGAATGAACCGGCCGGCGACCTCGAGAGCGAGGACGACGAGGACACCGAGACCGAGTCATCGGAAGAGGAGGACCAGCAGGTCGCGCCGGCCACCGATGATTCCAGGGATGAGCAGCTCGACCGGCTCGTCGCCATGATCGTCAAGTTCGCGTCCATGCTCGAGGCCTCCGGACATCTATCTAGGGATGAAGCCGCTGTGGCGACGGCGTTGGCCGAGCGAAGGGACACGGTCATATTAGCGGCGTACACGCTCGCGGCCGCCGCGCAAGATGCAGGCTACTTGGCGGCTTTGATCCGCAAAGTAGCTAGGGACTACCTCACGAAGCGCACGGACGCCTCCGAATCCTTCGACGGGCCGCGCGACCACGACGTGGCTGGTAGATTGCTCCACGCGGTCGACGAGCTGTTCGTTACCGATCAATTGTCAGTGCCGCAGTGCCGCTACTTGCAATCGTTAGTCTTGCTGAAGAACCCCGTCGTGTTTGCGGCCTTCGAGGTCTACGCGCAGGACGGCGACGCCGACGAGTTGTTCGACACGTTGCTGCGCGTCGCCGAGAGGGCGGGCCGCGCGTCCGATGAAGCCGCGGCTGAGGCGTCGACGGAATCCGAGGAAGAAGAATCAGAAGAGGAGGAGGAAGAGGTTGAAACGGACGAATCGTTAGCGCTCTTCCGGGGCGCGATCTGTCGGGAAGTCGACGATTTGCTGACGAAGGGCGAGCTCTTACCAAAAGCGGCCAAGGCCGTTCTCACGGCGTTGCGGTCCGAGGGCACCGATTCCGCCTCGCCGGTCGATAGGGCACTTTGTAGATTAGCACGGGCGGCCTACGAGGTCTATAGGTTGGATCGGGACCGCGGCGAGCTCCGCCAGGCGCTGTTGGATGCCTGTCGGGCCTACGCCGGTCTCGACGCCGAGCCCGAGGCGAAGCCGGCGCCGGCGCCGGCGCCGTCCGGCGCGGCCGTACTGCGAGAGTGCGCGCGCTGGCTCGTCCAGTCGAAGACGCTCGACGAGGCCGCGGCCGCGAATTTTTTGCGCCTCGCGGCGGGCGGCGACGACCGCGTGGCCGCGGCGTTGGCAAGATACGGGCGCGGCGGCGAGCTCGAGGAGTTTTTGACGTCGCTGGCGGCCATCGCCACCGTTGAGGAGGACGAGGAGGAAGTGCGTTCGCCGCAGGAGCCGTCAAAGCCCGCGACGAACGACGCCGAGGCCCTCAAGGAGCTCGCAGAATTAGTCCAGTGCCTCGCGGAAGACGGAAAGCTCCAAGGGAGTGAACGAGAATTGGTGGAAGGGCTCGTGAAAAGGGGCGACGCTAGACTATTAGCGGCCTACGACGTCTACGTGGACTCGCAGGACGTCGACGACCTCGTGGACACGATTCTGCGCGTCGCGCGGCGCGACGCCGAGCTCGACGCCCAAGACGCGCGGCCGCCCCAGGACTTCGCGAGCGTCTTCGCCGAGATCACGTCATCGAATCTGAGCGAGGTCGAGAAGGCCGCGCTCCAGCTCTGCGCCGCGCGCAAGGACGCGGACCTTCAGGCGGTCCTGGAAGTCTACCGCCTCGAGGGCGACAAGGACGACCTACTGGACTCCGTGAAGCGCATCGCGCGCAAGACGATCGACGAGACCGTCGCCGCCGGCCTGCCCGGCGGCGGCGACGAGTAGTAGTTTTCCCGAAGGCCCCCCCCGCCCCTCTCCGCGTCGTAAACCGAGTGCCTTTTTATTCTTGAGCGGGGTCCTCGGGCACGATTCCTCTCGCGGACCAGTACCCCGCGCCGTAGGAGAAGTAGAGCTCGGAATGGGCAGGAATGTCGGCCTTCGCGTAGAACGCGTGCGACCGGCCGAAGCGGTGGCCCGAGTCCGTGCAGAGCGCGACGTTCTGGTGGGCGGCCGAGGCGTGGTTGATGAACCGCCTGTGTGGAAATCGAGCGTCATCGCCGACAAATGCTGTTGAGTTCCACACAGTCAACCGCGTCCAGGACGACTCGACGCCGGCCCACGTCGCCTCCTTCTTGAGTTTCGTCCAATCGTCCGCGGTCCAGTCGTGGCAGTTGACTTTGCGCCCGTCGACGACGAGGCGGCCGGCCTCGTCGTAGGCGTCGCGGCTCGGCCCGCCGTCGCCCTCGACGATGTAGTCGCGATTCTCCGACCGCTTGCCGGCGGCGCCTAGATAAAACCCGACGCACTCGCCCCGCTTGATCGGTACGGTGGTGAACGCGCCGCCGCCTCCGGCCGCTATCCGCGATTTCCGGATTCGTATCGCGCGGCCGATCTCGTCCGCCCGCGCTCTTATCTTCGCGAGGCGGGCCGTGCGCGAGGGCTTCTTGGCTTTGGGTTTTGTGGTTTGCGCCATGTGTGCTCACGATCGATGTGTGCTCGTGCAGGTCACTTTTTTTTTAAATTTTAATGACTCAAAATATGGCAATAACCGGTGGCGCAACGACTGACCCGATTCAAGGAGCAGTGATAAGACAAATGCAACGAGCCCCGCGGGACGATGCCTACTCGCAAATACCCCGTCAATCCCACCCGGGCATGCTACACAAGACGGCCTTGTCTAGCGCTGTAAAGACACTAGCAGGCCAAGCAGCGCCCCTGCGCCCAGGCCTGCCCAGCTAGCAAACGACGCGGCCGAGGCTGACATTTATCGAACTGAAGTGTGCCGTGGCCCGTCAGATCGAAAGGTTCAACGCTTCCTTACGCCGCCGACGCTGCTGGCATAATCAGCCTGCTGCATTGGCTAGCTGCCAAAACTCTGCACGGCTGTGCGCCGAGCACTGGAAGGCTACACCTTTTAAAAAATGCGCCTCCTCGTCATCACGCTAGAATACGACGCCTTCCCCTTCTCCGGCAACGGCGTCTACGCGCAGTCGCTGGTCCGCGGCCTCGAGCAGCAGCCGGATGTAATTGTGGACGTCGTCTGCGGGTCGCCCGAGCACGACGAGGAGGCGTGCAACAGCAAGGCGCTCGTCAAGATCCAGCTGCCGCGCTGGTGCTCCCTCGACGGCGCGTGCTCGCACCGCGAATTTCGGGACCAGGCCATCAAGCGGCTCGACGCGCTGTACGAGGGCGGCCACCCGCAGCCGGACCTCGTGCTCTGCGTCGACTGGCACGCGCAGCCCATCGGGGCGCACCTCCGGTGGCGGCTGGGCGGCCTCGCGATGGTCTACCTCAACTTCCGCGTCTTCTCGCGCGGCCGGCCGGACGGCTTCCTCGCCTGCCAGGAGTTCCGGAGCGTCGACCAGGCGTGGCTCACGCTGGCGCTGTCCGAGTCGGACGCGGCGCTGCTGCGCGCGTTCAAGGAGGACGCGGACGTCCGCGTGCTGCTCCCGCCGCTGCGGCGCGACCTCGAGGTGCGGGCGCGGGACCGGGCCCCCGAGGAGCGCGACTTCCTCACGTGCGTCGTGCGGCTGTCCGAGGAGAAGGAGCCGGCGCGCTTCGTGCGGCTCGTCGAGCGCCTCGCGAAGAAGGGCGCCTTCGACGAGGGGCTGATTCCCGTGCTCGTGACGGGCCGCGCGGAGCTCGACGGCCGCGCGGAGCTCGTCGAGCGCTTCCTCGCGACGCACCCGTCGGCCCAGGCCTTCCCCTTCCAGACGCCGGACGGCACCTCGCCCCGTGTGGAGAATTACTGCAGAGACCTTCGTCAGCCTGAACGCCATATCGAGCAGACGTAGGAATGGAGGCGACCTCTCGTCGATGGCGTGGAATCTACACGCCATCGAGCAGACGTAGGAATGGAGGCGACCTCGCGTCGATGGCGTGGAATCTACACGCCATCGAGCAGATGCAGTTACGGGAACGACGTCGCGTCGATGGCGTCGGTCGTCCCCGCAGGCCTCGCCGCGCTCTACGCGCGGACGCGGCTCAACGTGCACCCGCCGCGCTACGACGCCTTCGGCATGTCGATCGTCGAGGCGGCGGCCTTCGGCGCGCCGACGGTCTTCCCGCCGGGCGCGGACGTCGGCGCGAAGCGCATCCTCTCGTTTCGCGGCGACGACGCCTTCTTCGAGCTGGACCTGGACGGCGACGGCGCGCTCGACCCGCTGCCGCCGGACCTGTCGCGCCCGGCGACGGCCGCGCTCGCGCCGTCGCGGCCGCCGACCGCGGCGTCGCGCCCGGTCTCGGCGGCCTACGGCACGCGGGCGGCCGCCCCGGCGCCCGCGCCCGCTCCGGCGCCCGCTCCGGCGCCCGCACCCGCGCCGGCCCCGGCGCCGGCCCCGGCGCCCGCGCCGTCCGCGCTCGCGCTGACCGGCGACGACGCGGTCATGGCGCTCCTCGCGGACCGCGGGCGCCTCGCGGCCGTGGGCGAGCTCGCGCGGAAGCGCGCCGGCTTCTGGACCGAGCAGGCGCACGGCCGCGTGCTCCTGGCGGACCACCTGCGGCCCCTCCACGAGGAGTGCGCGCGGTCGAAGGCCGAGCTAGAAGAAATAGAGAAGGAGGAGGCCAAGGGCGACGCGTGCGCCTACCTCGAGGGCGCCCCGCCCTACGACCCGTCGCCGCCGCCGCCGCCGACGACGGAGGAGGAACTCGCCGCCGAGGACGAGGCCTCCGCGGCGGGCCCGTGCGCCGCCTGCGGCCTTGACCCGCGCGTGCCGCGCTTCAAGGTCGACGCGCCCGAGGCGCCGAGCTGGAGGACGTCGTAAGGTAGGTTTTGTTCGTATCGCGTCGAGGGGCCCCCGCATTCTTGGCGGGCGCAATGGGGGTCTTCTGGCGTGCTCGCTACCGATGCGGATTCGCCAAGATTGAGCCTCAGCCTTTGCCTCAGCCAAAATGCCACTGCCACTAGGCAGAACCACACGATTTTGCGAGCTATAACTCACAACAGGCGCGATCCAGCGCATATTCACGACGACCGCGAGGTCCTTCGTGCTGTGAGTCAATACACACAAACCAAAAAAACTGGGAGAACAATCCGTGCCCTGATCATGGGAACTAGGCCCGACTCACTCGGCCAACCCGCAGCCGCCGCACCCCGCGCCCAAGCAAGAGCGGGCCCCCTTTGCGATGATCGACTGAACGCCGCGAGGCCGTCGGAGACGCCGACGACCGCCGGAGCGCTGTTCATCATCGGTCCTCCCCGCGCCGCGGCCGCTGCCCTGTATGACAGAGAGAGAATAAGTACTTCGGTACACGACTCGGGAATAGTAGAGACTTACGTAGTAGAAGCATCACCCGTCGCCGGCGGCGCTTCCGCCCGCGCCGCGAGCGCGTCCAGGAACGCGCGCACGTCGTCGACGTCGCGGAGCCGGTGCGTCGCGTGCGTCCGCGCCGGTCGCTCGGACTCGTCCGCGGGCGCCACGAGCACGCCGACGGCGCCGAAGGGCGCAAGGGCCTTGAACGCGTCCTCGTCCGTCACGTCGTCGCCCACGTAGATGGGCTGCACGCCGTCGAACCAGTCGTGCGCGCCGCCCTCGGCCTTGCGCACCATGTCGAGCAAGTAGAGGGCCGCCTCGCCCTTGTTCCAGGCCGCCGACGGCCGCAGCTCGAAGACGCACTTGCCGCTGAACTTCCGCAGCGTCGTCCTAAAGGGCGCCAGCGCCAGCACGGCGTCGACGGCCCCCGCGACGCGCGGCCGGTCGGCCTCGGCGACGCCGCGCCAGTGGATCGACACGGAGAAGACGTTGTCCTCGACGGACGCGCCCGCCACGTCGCGCAGCCAGACCTCGAGCTGTGACCGCGCCGCGCGGAGGATCGGCACCGCGGACGTCTTGACCTGCTTCCGGAGCCCGCCAGGTCCATCGATGTCGAAGCCGTGGCTACCAGCGTAGTAGAGATTTTCGACCGCCACGAATTCGCGGACCTTTTCCCGCGCCCGTCCGCTCACCACCGCCACGGGCGCGTGCCGCGCGAGCCGCGCGATGGATGCGCGCATCGGCGCCGTTAGCACGGCCGCGTCGCTCGCCTCGACGATGGGCGTCAGCGTGCCGTCGTAGTCGAGGAAGACGACGAGCCGCTTCGTGCCGGTATCGATCGTCTTCGCGTCGGGCAATTCGCGCCAGTCGCGCGTCTGCGGCGGCGGGACCGCGAAGGTGGCCATTTCTTACAGTGTGTCACCTGAACATAGCGAGCGCGCGAGGACAATTAGCGTCCTGCGGCGCAGATGTGCCCTGCAGCCTGAATTCGGCTGTGGTCTCACTAGCGCTCGCGCGGCGTCGTGCTGTCGGCCCCGACTGCAGTTTTCGAGAGGATTCCTGTGTGCGCCGCCGCCTGCAGCGCCTAAAATCCTTGCCTGGAGCAAAAAACCGAGCTAGCGGCATGTAAGACACTAGCAAACGATCAGTCCCACACAAGCGCACTCTCGCCAGAGCGCTGCCGCCGCCGATCCTCTGTGCTGCCACGCACACACTGTGCTGTGCAGGAGAGCTGCTTCAAAAGCAATCGTACAGCTCGAAGCCATGCCCGAGGACGCCAGCTGCAGCCGCGCAAAGTCGCGGGTCGCGCGCGCCCTGCTGCGTAAGCGCGGCATCCTAGGCGCGGCGATGCCGGCGACGTGTCCGCTCCACGCCGACCTCTACGGCGACCAGGAGCAGCACAAGCGCGCGCTCCGCCGGTCGCTCTACAAGTGCGCGTACTGCGGCAAGACCTTCTCGAGCGAGGACTGGCTCGACCGGCACTTCGACCGCAAGCACGCGGACACGCTCGCCGCGGACGGCTTCTGCCTCGGCGACCTGTGCGACGTGCTCGACTGCGCGGCGGCGCCGCGCCTCGCGCGCACGCGGCCGAGCTACTACGACGACGACGACGGCGCGCGCGATGACGACGGTTACCGCGGGTCGCGGCGGCGGCGGCGCTACGACGACGACGGCGACGACGACCGGCCGGGCCGCGCGGCGGTGAAGCGCGCGTCGGCCCTCGCGACGCCCTGCGACGCTGATTCCCTGGCGGCCGGCCGCGCGAGGTGCAAGGCGGCGCTCGCGGCCTGCTCGCTGGCGGCCGACGCCGACGCGCTCTGCGACGCGCGCTGCGTGAACGGAAGGGTGCTCGTCGCGCCGACCGTCGACGCCGGTCCCGCGGTGGCGGCCGCTCCGGCCGCGGGCAGCCCGCGGCTGTACGGCGCCTTCCTCGCCGCCTTCTACGCGCTCCTCTACTACTGCACGCGCGGCTCGTCGTCGTCGTCGCGCGATGCGCCGCGGAGGCGGTCGTCGCGGGCGCGGCCGCATCGCTATCATCGGCTCGACTGACTAAGATTTTCCAACCAATCACTACGTTGTGAGGCCGTCGTGTACCGAGGTACTTATTCTCTCTCTATCATACAGGGCAGCGGCGCGGCGCGGGGAGGACCGATGATGAACAGCGCTCCGGCGGTCGTCGGCGCCTCCGACGGCCTCGCGGCGTTCAGTCGATCATTGCGGCTGTGAGACGCTTGGTTCAGAGGGTTTCCGGGGCGCGATGAATGTGTAAGGTGCCGCGCGTGATCCACGCTAATAGTGAAGTGATTACTACCCGGACGCGTGCGTTGTAAGGATGATGAGACTGCAATACCTGCACTTCAGGCAAGCCAGTCGGAATCAAAACCCGAGCGATGATGAGTGGGTTGAATTGTTTGTCTTTGCTTTGCAGTCATTTCGACGTCTACTTACCGATGCCACGCTCCCCGGCGCGGCCAAACGACCGGCGCGGGGCGCGCGGGTCCGTCGCGCGCGAGCCCAGGATGCCGCCTTCGAGACGGGTATATTGACGCGCTCCTACTCGCCACGAGAACCCAACTCACTCGATCGCGTCGCGTCGATGGCGTGGAGGTGGGGCGTCGAAAATCATGATACGCGTCTCGTCATGCAAGGATGGCTTGGGTTTCCTTGTCGAATCACGAGAATTATCGCGCATGTCGCGAACCAAAACTCTTCTATAGCGTTGGACGCTGTGAATTTGCCCCAAACTTTTTTCAGGTGCGTCGTATTCTCAATGTACTCGATAGTTGTGCTTCATGCCAACTAGTAGGTAAGTAACGTAATTTTGCGCCCTCGCCCAGACCGATGCTAAGCTCCCCAGCGCGGCCGCGCGACGGGAGAGAACACTACAATTAAACAACTACCGCTTCTTCTTCCCCGACGACGACGACGACAAGCCCTCCGCGAGCAAAGCGAGGCCGTCGTCCTTCTTCTTCTTCGGCTTCGCAGCTTTCGGCGCGGGAGGAGGCGCCTTGCCCTTGCCGCGACCGCGACCGCGCCCCCGACCCGCCCCGCGCCCGCGCCCGCCGTCCTTCTCGAGCAGCGCCTTGCGGAGCCGGACGCCCGACCCGCCGCGGACGGGCACCCTCGCGATCAGGGCGTCGACGGCATCGGCGCCCTCTTTCTTGTCGGCGTCGATCGTCGCCGCGAGCTCCGCGAGCGCGGCGTCGTCCACGCCGGCCTTGGCGAAGGGCTCGACGTACTGCTCGAGCTCGAGGCGCTTCAGGAGCGCCGCGACGCCGCCCCGGCAGCGGCCAGCCGCGCCGCCGCTGGCCGCGGCTTTGCGCTCCTTGCGTTCCATGGCCTCGGCCCGCGCGAGCGCGTCGGCCCGGGCCGCCGTCGTCGCCGCGCTGTCGTCCCGGTCCTTCTTCCGAGCCAACGCGGCGGCGTCGACGGTCGTCGACGCCGTCGCCGCGGCGGCAGCGGCGGGCGGCGGGCGCCGCGCGGCGAGGTCTGCCTCGAACGCCGCGACGGCCCGCCGCCCGGCCCGCTTCGCCTCGGCCGCGGCGGCCGCGGTCGCCGTCGGCCGCGTCCGCCGCGCCTCGAGGCCATGAACCGCGTCCGCTTTCCAGACCGGGCTCCCGCTCGCGTCCTCCTCGACATACCAGCCGTCGGGCAGCGCGGACCACGGCGGCCGCCACCTCTCCAGCAACGCCGCGAGGAGCGCCCGGAGGGCCGCGTCGTCGCCGCCGGCGAGGAGCGACCGGACGCGCGCCCGCAGCGCCCGCACGCGGCCCTCGTCGCCGGGCTCCGCCGCGACGAGCGGCGTCGCGGCGGACGCGAACACGAGCGCCGCGAGCGGGGGCGCTTCTCCTAACCCGCGCGCCGACGCCTCGGCGGCGCCCGCCGCCGCCCGCACGAGGCCGCCGGTCGCGGCGAGCAGCGCACCGCTCTTGAACGCCGCGAACCCGCCCGACGGGTGCGGCTTGGCGGCGCGCACCGCGCCGGCCTCGTCGACGAACGCGAGCCGCGGCCGCGCGCCGGCCGCCTCGACGCGCAGGAGCGGCGGGTCGGCGGCCAGCAGCGCCGCGGCGACGAGCGCGCCGTCGGCCTTCCCCAAGTTCTCGCCGTCGCCGCCCCGCCGTGCCGTTCGCACCGCGAGCGCCAGCCGCTTCGCCTCGCGCGACACGTCGCGCAGGGCCCGGCCGTCGGCGCACGGCGCCTTCTCCGCCGCGGCCCGCACCACGGCCAACGCGTCGCTCGTCTTCTCGAGGGCGCGCTTCGCGGTCGCGTCGAGCGGGTCGCGCGGCGCCTCGGCCGCGGCGAGCGCCACGGCGACGGCCTCGCCCACGCCCAGGGCCGCGCCCGCCAGGAGCGCGCGGCCCGCGGCGGGGTCCGTCGGCAGCGCCGCCAGCGCGGCGCCGAGCGGCGTGAGCGCCTCCGTCTCCTCGTCGAGCGCGCCCATTTCCACAAGCTCGCGGACCGCCGCCGCCGCCCTATCTAAGGGCGGCGGCGCGGGGCAGGCCGCGAGCAGCGGCGCGACGGCCCCGCCGAAGAGGCTCTTGGCCCGTAGCGCCACGCCGCAGAGCGGCAGCGTGGCCATCTCCGGCGGCCGCGCGACCTCGAGCGCGTCCTGCTCCACGGCGCACCAGAGCCGCCAGCACGTGCCCGCGCGGACGCGGCCCGCGCGGCCCGCGCGCTGCTTCGCCGCGTCCGCCGACACCCGGCCCGTGACGACCCGCCGCGCCGCGCGCGCCGACCAGGCCTCGCCCACGACCGACCGCGCGAGGCCGCAGTCGATGACGTTCGTGCAGTCCGGGATCGTGACGCTCGCCTCGGCGACGTCCGTCGCGACGACGACCTTCGTGCGGCCCGCCGGCGCCGCGCGGAAGGCCCTCGCCTGCTCGGCGACGCTCAGGCGGCCGTGCAAGGGCACGACGACGCACTTCGGCTGGCGCTCGAGGGCCGCGCAGAGCGAGTCGATCTCGCGGACGCCCGGCACGAAGATGAGTATAGCGCCGTCCTCACAACTCAAACGCGCGACGAGCGCCGCGATGAGCGGCTCGTTGACGCGCGCGCCCAGATCTAATTTACGTAGCACGTCGCCCGCGCGCCCGAGCTCCGCGCGCGCGCCCGCCGCACCGAGGCCCTCGAGCCAGTCGTCGCCTGTGTGGAAATCAAAATTTTACGGCGCGTTCGTGCTGAATTGTCGCGTCGTCCTCCACGCCATCGACGCGACGCCTGCTCGACGGCGCGGCGATGCCGGTTTCTCGCCGCTCGACCGAGCCAGGACGGCAGCGCCATCGCCGAGAAATGACTTATGAAGAATTGTCGGGTGCACCCGGCGCACTGGTTGATTTCCACACAGATCGTCGCCCGCGCGGCCGCACGCGCCCGCTGGGAACGCGCTCGCCGCCCGCCGCAGCTTTGCCGCGCGAGCCGCAAGCGTCGCCGCGCCGTTCGACCCTTCCGCCGCCGCCACTTCTGCCTGCGTCGAAACAAAATGTCACTGCGCCTTCAGCTTGATTTCCACGCAGGCGCTACGGCTTCCTCCGCCTCCGCCGCCGCGGCCGCGGCCGCGCGCGCGGGCGTCAGGCTCGACGCCTCCGGCCGCGGCGCCGCCCGCGCGCCGGCGCCGCCGATGGCGACGTCGAACGCCGGCAGCGCGCGCACGGCGTCCTCGAGGAACTTGACGGCCACCGGAAACCTGTGTGGAAATCAAACTTCGGGCGCCCCACGCCATCGACGCGACGATGATCCCATTACTGCGTCTGCTCGATGGCTTGGAGGTTCACGAAGGTCTCCGCAATACTTCTCAGGGATAACCTAATTCACTGGTTGATTTCCACACAGCCGAAAACGTCCGGCCCGGCACGTCGACGACTGCCGCGTTGCCGCCGAAGTAGTCCTTGAGCGGCGCCGCGTCGACGGTCGCCGACATCAATACAATCTTCGGCTTCGGCGCCCCCTCAAGCCGCCGCAGGAACAGGAGCAGCAGGTCGCAGTCCGCCGACCGCTCGTGCACCTCGTCCACCACCACATGACTGACGCCCGCGAGCGCGCCGGGCTCCTGGAGCCGCCTCAGCACTAAACCCGTCGTGCAGTACTCGACCGCCGTCGCCGGCGTGCGCTTCGCCTCGCCGCGCACGCTGTAGCCGACGAGGCCGCCGACGGGCCGGCCCGTCTCCTCGGCGACGCGCGTCGCCAGCGCCGTCGCGGCGAGGCGCCGCGGCTCGCAGACGACGACGCGCGCGTGGGCGGCGCCGCGCGCCGCGAGCGCCTCGACGATCAATCGCGGCACCTGCGTGCTCTTGCCGCAGCCCGTCGCGCCCCTCAAAATCGTCACCGCGTGGGAGTCGATCGTGTCGAGGATGGCCGCGCGGTGCTGGAAGGCCGGCAGCGCCGCCCGCAGCGCGTCGCTTTTGCTCGTCGCGAGCGCGGCGCGCGTCGCGTCGCCGTTCGGCGGTGGCGAAGGTTTGCTGCTCGTGCGACTCGGCGGCGGCGGCGGGAGCGTCGTTGCGGCCTTGTCCTCCAAGTAGCTATCGATTGCCGCGCGCTCGCGCTTCGTGAGTTTCAGGAGGGTTGGTGTGGTCATCATCGCTGTCCGCGTTTTATGTTGGTACGCTGTCCAGCCTGTGCAGCCTGTGCAGCCTGAGTGTTGACAGCAGCAGCGGTGCTTAACGTCGACGCGGCGACGCTGTGGCAAAAACTAATGTTGTAAACTGAATCCTATGCAACTTCGACGCGTCTTGACGGCCAATGGGGCAAGTCTATGAGCCCCTGGGGGGCTTGCTAGTGTCTTCATGCCGCTAGCCCAGGGAGACCCTAAAGCACGCGCCACGCGTCCGAGCCCTAGCAAGACGATCCGGCGGAGCCCTGCAAGAATTCCCAGAGGCACCGAGAGCCGGAGAAGGTAGTTGGACTCGGCAGCGCCCATCTGGAGCCTGGCTCCGGCCGCCGTCCCTGGGCCCAGGCGGACGGGAGCCCCCGTCCTGCGACTGTAGACCACACACACAACACCAACCACCACCAACAACCACCCCGGACGTCGTCCGACGAGGCAGCCCCAGAGACCAGATGCCGGCGGACCTCGCGGCCATCCGCGACGCCGTCGCCGCGCGCAAGGCCATGCTCGCCGAGCAGGACACGGAGCCCTCGGCGACGGCCAAGGCCGTCGCGCGGTGGTGCGTCAAGCGGCCGGGCCCGAAGCGGGTCTACACCGCTAAGCACACGGGAAACCTCGACTTACTCAGAAGGACCTTAGATGAATTGGACGGCTGGCAGGAGGAGAAGAAGGACGGCCAGGGCTACAAATGTCGGTTAGTGTGGGTCGCGAGCGCGGGCGACGGGCCGAAGGAGTTGTTAAGGCATCAAATGATGAACAAGTTCGAAGGGATGGCGTCGCTGGCCGACAAGGCCGAGACGGAGCGATGCCTGCAGCGTGCTAGAGATGCGGGCGTGCCGGGTCTAGGACCGGGGGCTGGGTCGTACTTCCCGAGGACGTGGATCCTACCGGCCGGTCGCGCGGATCTGGTGGAGTACTTGAAGAGAAAGCGATTAAAGGGCTACCAGAAGCACGGTACGATCATCTACAAGCCCGCGAGCGGCATGCAAGGGACTGGGATCATGCTCATCCAGCACGAAGGCAATCTACCGACCGAGTCCGGTCATGTCGGCCGGAAGGCGGCCGTGGCCCAGGCGTATATACCTCCGTTGTTGTATGATGGCCTGAAGTTCGACCTGAGGTTATATGTGGTCGTGACCTCAGTAGATCCGTTGGAAGCTTATTTGCATCGCGAGGGCCTCGCGCGCTTCTGCACCGAGCCGTACAAGACGCCCTCGGCCAAGAACTTGCATCGGTGCTACGCGCATTTGACGAACTACTCTTTAAATAAGTACAACAAGGAGGGCTACGTGTTAGCTACCGATGACGATTCTTCCAACAAGAGCGAGTCTTCTGACGATGGACAGTCATACAAAGGGGCGTCGAAGCGACCGGCGTCGCATGTGATTGATGAACTCGATGTGCGAGGCTTGATCGATGGCGAGGAGTTCTGGGACCGGACCGAGGATTTGGCCGCGTGTGTGTTAAGGGCGATGCAGCCGGATCTAGCCTTGCGCTACCGCCGGAACTTCCCGAGAGATAGGGAGAGTCTGAGCGACGCGGCCGGGCCGAACCGAAGCGCCCCAGATTTAGATGACCGGCGCTGCTTCCACGTCATTGGTCTGGACGTGATGATCGACGAAAAATCACAACCTCGCTTGATCGAGGTGAACTCGTCGCCATCCCTGGCGCTGGACCAGGAAGTGGAAGTCCTGAATGAGGAGACGGGCGAGAGTCGCGTGCGGAAGCAGGTGTCGCCAGTCGACGTCGCGGTGAAGGTGCGCGTCATGCGGTCGGTTTTGCGACTCGTCGGCGACCGAACGCTCGAGGCCGATTTAAGGCCTATCTGCGGCGGCGGACGAGCGGAAGCGGACGAGTGGACGCTCGTCGATCGGTGTCGAAGGCTCTTCGCCGCGGTGCAGCCAGACACGTCCAAGGGCATGAGCGCGGCGCACTACGTGCGCTTCTGCAAGAACGCCGGGCTGCTGGAGCTGGGCGCCTTCGCCAAGGCCGACCTCGAGATCATGCATACGCAGCTCTGCGCGCAGCAGGAGTGGCGTGCCAACGAGCCCGCCCAAAAACTCATGCGCTGGGCGACGTTCGTGCGAGCGCTCCAACAGCTCGCGACGCGCGCGTTCCCGGATCAGGACGTCGGCGCGGCCTTTGGGCGGCTCCTGGACCACATCCATCGCAACGCCGTAGAAGGCACATAGGTTTTGTACTAATCGTATCGGAAGTTTAGCTAGCGGCCCGTAAGACACTCTAGACAGATTCGCAAAGCAAGCACCCGAAAGGCAGCCTTAAAACGACTGCGTGACGGCCAAATTGCTGCCCCCCGACGCCCGCGGCGGAAGGACAGGCAGTCGGTTCATCGCATCTGCCTTACGGCGCGGCAAAAAGGCAGGAGGAGAAACAGATAGCTCCGCTTTTGGGAAGCACTAAAAGCCATCAATGCGGGACGTAAAGTTTAGCTGGGGCTGCGTCGGGGCCGGCTCGGCCATCCTCCTCTTCATCGCAGCTCTGGCCAACAATGTGCGGCACGACACGCAAATGGGGGGCGCCGCCGACGCCGTCGAGAACAACTGCCTCGCCACGACGGACCACACGTGCGCCAGCCGGACGAACCTCGCCGCGAATAAAACCTGCCTCGTGTGCGTGTACCAGCCCTGCGACCGGTTCCGCCTGAAGGCCTGCGCGCCGATCGAACCGCTCAAGCTGAAGGAGTGGCGGCACGACGCCCGCAAGGAACTTGACATCGGCGTTGCGGCGCGGGACTTCAGCCTGACCGGAGGCCCCACGGACCTCCGCACCGGCGCGATCAACGACCTCGTCGTTCTCAAAGCGTCGTGGGCGACGGAGGCGGTCGCCGCGAAGCGCCGTATTTACGTGGACCTCGGCGCGAATTTGTACGAGTCGTCGATCGGCAACTGGTTCCGGGCGTCCTACCCCGACGCTGGAACGTACAAGGTCTACGCCTTCGAGGCGGAACACAAGTACGACGACAGCTACGCGGGCCACCCCGACGTGACGCTCTTACATTACGCCGTTTCGACGGCGAACGGCACGGTGAAATGGGGCAAAATGGAGAAAAAGGGGGGGCGTACTCGCTCAGGGTTCGCCCTCGGGCCGGGCGGGCGGCGGCGCCTCGGATCGGGGCACAACCTCGTCGCGGACGGGCGGCGGCGACTCGGGTCGGGGCACAACCTCGTCCAAGATGGCACGCGGCCTGCCATCGACATCGCCGACTGGCTGCGGCGGACCGTCCGCCCGGACGACTTCGTGGTCGTGAAGATGGACATCGAGGGCGCCGAGTACGACGTCGTGCCGCACCTCCTGCGCGAGAAGGTCGCGGACCTGATCGACGAACTGTTCCTGGAGATCCACACGGAGACGAACACGTGCTGCAAGCCGCCGCACGACGCCGGCCGCCACCGGCCCGACGCGATGCGGCTGCTCCAGAGCCTCCGCGACGCGGGCGTGTACGCGCACGAGTGGTTGTAACAATTGTATTTTACGAATCACAGAGCTCGCACGCGAGCCCGTCACCATCGCACGAATCACAAACAAGCAAACGCATGCGGCACCGGTCGCACCGCTCGTCCCCGTAGGCGTCCCAGGCGCGGCCGCAGCGGCGGCAGGCGCCGACAATTGGGGGAGACGCCTCGCCCGGCGCCCCCACGGCCATGCGGGGATCAAAAACGTAGCAGCGGCCGCGGAAGAAGCCGCCGTTGCCGTACCGCTCCTGGTAGCGGTGGATGCCTCCGTTTAACTGGCAGAGGTCGCCCGCGACGCCCCGCGACCGCAGGTAGGCCGACGCGCGTTCGCAGCGGACGCCGCCCGTGCAGTACATCAGGATCGTCTTTGCACTATCTAGGGCGCCGTCGTCGAGGGCCCTTGGTAAATCCGAGAACTGGCGCAGTTTCAGGTCGGCGTCGCGGACGCCGGGGGCCTCGAAGCGGCCGACCCTCCTTTCATAAACGTTGCGCACGTCGACCAGGACGACGCCGGCGGCGCCGCTCTCGAGCACGGAATGAAACTCGGCGGCGTCGACCTTGCGCGCGGGCGGCGCGCCGATGGCTTGTTGGTCTACGCCGCCGCAGTCCGAGAACGCGACGACCTCGCGGCACGCCTTCACGGAGAGCGTCCGGAGCTTCTGGAGTTCCAGGGGCCGCGCGGGGTCGGCCGCGCCCCACTTCCAGTCGACGTCGTCCACGGACACGCCCTGCCCGGCCGCCTGGCGCCGCGTCTCCTGGATATAGGCCTCGAGGGCCCGGCGCGGCCCACCGAGCGTGCCGTTGATGCCGTCCTCAGCAATACGCAGCCGGCCGCACAGTTGCAGAGCGCTGCAGGTCGCCTCCTGCGCCGCGCGGAAGGCGTCGCGGTCGCGCCACCGCGCGTACTTGTAGAAGAGGAGGACGGCGTAGTCGTCGTCTTCATCAGACTCGTCGTCGAAGAGCGCCGCGGCGCCGTCGAGCGCTCCGTCGTCGCCGCGCTCGCACGGTGGTGGCGCCGCGTAGAACATCAGCGACACGCGGACGTTCTGTGCCGCCGTGCCGGCAATAATGGCGTCGACGCCGTGCAGCGTCGTCGCGGCGTCGAGCGCGACGGCGTCGCCCGACCGGAGCCGCAGCTTGGCCGCGCCCGCCCGGAAGACGCAGTCTAGACCGAAGGACAATACGACGAGCGGCTTCGACCGCGTAGGGCTCGCGTCGACGTGGGGCGCCATCGACCCTTTGATACCGTAGGCCACGCACTGCGCCAGCAGCGGCGCCTCGACGAGCTCGCCGTAGAGCGCCGAGTCCGCCGCCGCCGCCTTTTTGAACGCGGCTCGCGCCGCCGCGACGGCGGCTTGTGGCGGGCCGTTCGGCAGTGGGACGCGCACGCCCTCATTCGTCGCTTTTACATCGCTGATGTCCAGCGCGGCGAGAATGGCGTGCGCATCAGCCTCAGGGACCAAGTTGGTGAGGTGCACGACGCCGGATGGCAGCGGTGCCGTGGTCCCGTGGTAGGCCGTCATTCGTGCGTGTGATTGCGTGTGAGAGTCATCATTCTATGTTGACACGGTAAGCGCCAGCATCAATTTGCAGGCTGCAGCCTGCTCCGGCGAGGAGGCTTGCACGGCTCTGCACGCCGCGCATTTATGCGATGAGCCTACGGTAACACGAGCACAAGTTCAAACCAGTGCAACATGCCTCCCAAGAAGACTCCGGCCAAAAAGCCAGCCGCGGCCGCCAAGGCACAGCCTGCAGCCCCTGCAGCAGCAGCAAAAAAGCCCGCCGCCGCGCGCAAGCGCGCCCGGTCGTCCTCAACCATCGCCCCACAAAAACCGCCGCGGACGCACCGCTGCGGCTTCTGGCGCTGGGCGCCCTCGGACATCACGGCGCTCGCGGCGAAGCGCGGCAGCGTCGTCGCCGCGGCGCGCGCGGACGGGAGCTTTGAGCTCGTGGACGGCGCGGCGCGCTGGACGTCCGTCGCGAAGGTATCGGGCCGGCGCGACGCCGCGGCGACGTCGCTCGCGTGGGTCGCCGGCCGCTGCTACGGCGCGACGGCGTCGGGGATCATCTTCGAGGTGGATTTTAATGAAGGACGCATCCACCACGAGACGGATGGATTAGGAGGCGCCGTCTGGCAGCTCCTCGCGGACGCGCGCGCGCCGGCTCGCTTGAACACGTGCTGCGACGACGGCTCGATCCGCGTCTTCGAGTGCGACGAACAAGGTGCTTTGTCGTACACCGGCGCGCTACGGGTGGCGACGGGCGCGCGATGCCTCTGCGCGGCGTGGGCGGAATTGGGCGACAGCCGGGCGCTGTTTGCGGGCTGCGACGACGGCACGCTGCGGCGCATCGATTCAAACACGGGCCGCTCGTCTCTGAGGTTGACGGTCGACGGCGACTCTCCTAGAGTGTGGAGTGTAGCGACGCTGTGCGACGCGACGTCTTGCACCGTCGCGTCCGGCGACTCGACCGGCGCGGTCTGCCTCTGGGACGGCGTCGTCGGGAGTCTCCTGAGGCGCTTCGCGCGGCACGACGCCGACGTGCTCTGTGTGGCTATTGCGGGCGACTGCGTCTTCGCGGCGGGCGCGGACTCGAAAGTCGTGTGTCTGGAGCGCCACGCGGACGAGTGGAGTTTCGCGGCGGCGCATCGGCCCCACGTGCTGGATGTGAGGGCTTTATGCGTGTCGGAAGATGCGGAGGGGCGTCCCACTTTGCTCTCGGGTGCGCTAGATGCCAAACTCTGCGCCTACGCGGCGTCGAACGGGCGCTCCTTCGCCGAGCGGCGGCCGGCGCGATTGTGGCCCTTCCCGGGCACGCCCTGCGTCCGGGCCTGCGATGCTACGAGGCTCGCTACTTGTAACCACGGCGCGCACGCGGACGTGTGGCGCCTCGCCTCATCCAGTGATGCGGCGCCGGCCGACCCGATTCTCGCTTTGAGGGTGACGGCGCCGGGCCCGCACAACTTGGCCTTTGCGTGCGTTTTTGACGGTGGTTTGTTGATGGTTGGTGACGGCGCGACGCGGACGCGGTGCATGCGTTTGATTGATGACGGCGACGCCCTTTCTACAGAACGCGTCGCCGGCGCGCGGCGGCTGCCTCCGTCCCTAGCCGCCGCATCAAACGACGGTGTGCTCGTCCTCGCGTGCGCCGGGCGCATCGTTGCCTACGACGTTTCTCAGAATGAATTGACGCCACGCTGCTCCATCGCCTGCGCGTGCCCGGCGCCGGCGTTGCTAACGGTGCGGGACGGCCGCGTCGCCTGCGCGGCGCGCGGCGGCCGCGTCTTCGTCGCGGCGCTCGACGATTCGACAGCGGCGCCGGCGCCGCGCGGGCCCGCGCGCGCCGCGGCGCTGGCGTTTCTGAGCGACGGGCTGCTGGCCGCGGCGACGCTGGACCCGGCGCGCCCCTTGTGCGTCGTCGACGCCGCGGCCGGCGAGGACGAGCCGCGCGCTATTGTTGAGCAGCGCCAGGCCGTCCTCGACGCGGCGGCGTCGGCGCTGACGACGCGCAAGGACGCGCCGGTGGGGCTGGCGGCGGGGCCCCACGATCGGCTCCTCGTCCACTCGCACGCCTACGTGTTGTTGGTTGACACGCACGCCGCGGCGCCGCCAGCGCCGACGTCGCCGCCGCCGAAGCAGCGCCGGCGATCGCGGTCGACGACCGCGGACGATCCGGACGATAGAATTGTCCCATGGACCTTCTCTACCTTGTACTCGCCGCTCCTCGCGGCGACGTGGCTCGGCGACGAGATCCTCGTGGCGGAGAACCCGTGGCTCGCGATCGCGCGGCAGCAGACCGTATCCGCGGTCGCGCGGCGGAAGTATGGCGTCTAACAAGTCTCCTTATGGTTCTAACTCCCGGAAGGCGGCGAGGACCGCCTCCTTCTGTGCCGCGTGTTCCGCCTCCCCAAGCAACCCCGAGTCCCTCGAGGAGTCGAGCCACGCGAGCTTGCGCGTGAGCGCGTCGAGGCGCGCGTCGACGGACTCGAGCACCTCGGTGCGGTTCCGCAGGCGCTGGAGGTAGGCCGTGGCGATGGCCGCGGCGACGTCGTCCTGCGTCAGGTTGAACGTCACATTCAGGGCGGCGCCGCCGACCGTGAGGTTTAAGAGTGGCGCGTCGTCCTCCGGCTCGACGGGCCGAGGCGGCGCAGGCTTGCCGAACTTGCGGCTGCTCTCGGAGGATCTCTTGCTGCTCCCCTCGGCCGGCGCCGTGCACGTCCGGGCGGCCGCTTCCCGCCACTCTTCGGCCAGCGCGCGCCACCACTTGCCGAGCGCCTGCTCAAGTACGGCCTCGACGTCCTTGGAGGCGCCCGACTTGAGCGACCAGCTCTGCGCGGTCTTGCCCGCCCGCGCTTTGGTCTCCTGGAACTCCACCCCAACGTACGCGAGCTGCGATCGGTGGACCACGACGAGCTCTGGACCAGCGCCCGGCGCCGGAAGGCCGCCCGGGTCTACGTCCCAGGGCTCCGTCGACTTCGGGGGCAGCGTCAGATTGGCAAGGGTCGCATTTAACTCGGCCTCGGCCTTCTTCTTATCAACCTTGCCTTTCTCCTCCTTCTTCTTGAGCTCGCGTTTATGCTCGGCCTTCTTTTTGCGCCGGAGATCCTCGAGAGCTTCGGCTGGGTCGTCCTCCTCACCAATGACTCGGAACTTGTCCTTGAGGTCACCTGTGCGCAAATCAAACAGTGAGCGCCGTGATGTTGATTTATGCACAGACACAGGAGGTCACTTTCGTTCAGCGGGTATCGTAAAGGGGGATCGAAGGCGCGTAGCGTGACGTTCACGTCTGGATTCGAGTTTTTGCCAGCTTTGTCTTCTTTTAGTTTACCGCCGATTATGTCTACGATAACTCCGAAGCGGAACCACCTGTGTGGAAATCAAAATTTTACGGCGCGATCATGCTGAATCGTCGCGTCGAGATCCACGCCATCGGCGCGACGCCTGCTCGATGGCGTGGCGATGCCGGTTCCCGACCGCTCGACCGAGCCAGGACGGCCGCTTCATCGCCGGGAAATGACTTAGTGAAGAATTGTCGGGTGCACCCGACGCACTGGTTGATTTCCGCACAGGGAACCACAGCTCTCCGGGCTTGCCGACGGGCGCATAGTGCCACGCGACGGCCTTGCCGATCTCGAGCGTCGCTGTCTCGTGTCTCGTATGGACGTCGCGCTTCTTCCACTCGGCCTCGTCCGCTTTGAGACCTGTGCGGACATCAAATCTCAGACGCCCTACGCCATCGACACGTTGATTTCCACACAGTTTGAGCACGAGCAACCACCGGCCGCTTCTCGACCTCGGCGATCCGCGTCCCCGACTTTCTGGAGGCAAACTTTGCCTTCTCTTCCTTCTCCGAGTCACTCTCGATCTTCCCAATCTCGCGAGACGACTTCCGCGCGCCGCGAGCATCTCTGCCAAATTTGTCCTTTTCGCCGTCCTCCTCATCCGTTCCGTTCGCTGCGCGCGCCGCGGCCCACGCGGCGCTCATGCCGGCGGCAGGGTCTTGCCCGGCTGACGCGTCGCCCGCGCCCGAGAGCTTGACGTCTATGTAGGCAATCGCGTCGCGTCGTAACCTAACGAGCCCCGCGCTCGACGAATCTCTTTCAAAGGGGCTATTCACCTGTGTGGAAATCAACCAGTGTGTCGCGTGCACCCGTCGAGCGGTGAGGAATCGCGTCGAGCCGGCATCGCGTCGATGGCGTGGAGGTCATGATTGGGCCAAGGGGAGATGCGCCGCGACATTTGGTTTCCACACAGGAATTAACGGCGTAATTCGAGACATGCTTGATGTATTCTTTGAAAAGCCGCACCTCGAGCAGCGAGTCCGGCGAGATGCCGTCGCCCTCGACGACGCTCAAGATCTCCGCGAGCGTCCACCAGAGCGACGCCTTGCCGTGTTTCGACCTCTTGTCATAGTCGTAGAGCCGCACGATGGCGTAGGACCCGGGCCGCGCGGGCAGGTCGTCGTGCGTCGACAGCGTCGCGCACTCCCAGGACTGATGCTTCTGGAGCTCCTTGACGTCTTCCTCTAAAGCTTTCTTATCTGCGTCCCGCCGGTCCGCTCCCTCGCGTTGCTTGTCCTGGCCCTCCTTCGCACGCTTCTCCCCGGACTCGTGCCGGTCTACTTCTTGGAGCAGCCTATAGAGCTCATCGTCGCACCTTTCTTCCAATGCGCTGTGCTCCTGCCGCAACAGCGACAGCGCTGCCCGCAGCCGCACGCCCTCGTCGACGAGCGTAGCGACACGCGTTTCTAGGGCGCTCGCGTGGTCCGTCGCCGTCGCCGCGAGTAGCGCCGTGAGCTGCGCTTCCGTCGAGTTCAAGGCGTCTCCCAGGCACTCACCGCCGTCGCATCGCTGCATGAACACGACGAGCTTGCTGTAATCCGCTATCGCACCGAGGCCTTCGAGGTCAGCCAATTCTATTTCCGTCTGGAGGTCGTTCAGGTGCGCCCCGTCGTGTTCGATAGCGAGACGCATCGCATCAATATCGGACAGGGCTACGTCGTGCGCCTTGCGCATGGCGTCGAGGTCCCTAGAAAAACAAAATAAGCACAAATCAAGATCACATATAAATACCTCTTGGCGTCTTTGGCGGCCTGAACGACGCTGTGCGCCTGGTAGACCTCCCACTCATCGAAGTCTGCGACCAGGGGCGGAGAGACCTCCAGCGGCGGCGCGCCGACGGCGACCGAGCAGACGAGCAGCGCCGCCCAGCGGGCTGGCATTGTTGCGTCACCTGTTTGATACTTCGGGCAGCATTGCGGCAGCTATTGTTGTGGCAGAGGCCCAGAGCCGCTGGGGCCAAAAGCTAGTGTCTTACAGGCCGCTAGCAGCGAACCAAGGCAAGTCACTGCTCGCAAACTGGCCGGCCTCTGTTCGGAGCGAAACCTCACACCACTCGTGTCTGGGTTCTCGGGGGGCAGGGTGAAACAACACCCTATCGCCAATCCCAATAGACACAGTGGCGAAGCGTTCGGGGTCCGTACTACCTGGGGGTGGGTTCAATAAGTGGCTCTCTCTCGCGAACGAGATTCATCGCGTATTTTGTATTAGCTATCCAGAGCAGAAATTATGCATATGCCCCGTCCACCGCCGGGAGCCGCGACGCCGCGTACGCCTCGCCGACGACGTCCGCGAAGCCCGGCGACGGCACGGGCGCAGAAGCGCGGGCCGCGTGGACCGCATTCGCCGCACTACGAAATTTGAGGCGGTTGGTCTCCCGCCGGTCGGCGGCGGCCTCCCGTCGCGACGCCCGCAGGGCCTCCTCGACGACGCCGGAGAAGCCCGAAGGTCGCTGCTCCGGCGGCGCGCCGGCCCGCTCCATCTCGAGCTCGAAGATCTTGAGGCGCGCCTCGGCGAGCTCGCGCGCGTCCTTCGTCGCCTGCTCGTGGAGTTGGCCCTCGAGCATGGCTATCCGTTGGTCCCGATGTTGTAAAGCTGCAGACAGGCGCACGGCCTCGCCGTGCGCCGACGGGTCCGCGCGCGCGACGCTCTCGGCGAGCTCCGCCTTGCGGCCGGCCGCGAGCTCCCGCAACGCATTCGAGACCAGATCCTCGAGCTTCGCAATCACTCTTTCCTGGACGCCGATCGTCGTCCGGTAGGCGTCGGCCTTCGCGCGATCATCTTGTAAACTCTGGACGTAGGCCGCCTGCTGCGTGTGCGCCCGCCGCAAATGGGCGTGCTCCGCCTGCAGATCTTTAAGTTTTGTCGAAGCACTCGTCGCGCCCTTCGACGCCTCGGTCAACTCCGCGTTGTCGCGTTTTAGTTGCGCGCAGAGCGACGCGGCCGCTCTTAATTGGGCCATGGGGTCGCTCATGTCTATACTACGCCCACGCGACCGCTCCGCGACGAGCGTTTCGAAGGTCCGGCGGTCGCTCGTTCGTTTCGCCTCCTCCTCGGCGACCTTCGCCTCCAGCGTTTCCTTCGCTTTCTCGGCGGCGTCGGCGCGCCGTCGAAGCGCGGCCATCTCGGCGCCGCATGCTCGTAGCGCGTCGCCGCGGCCCTCGAGCTCCATCATCAGCCGCTGCACCGCGAGCTGCTTGGCGGCGAGGTCGTCGGCGAGCCGTCTCACTCTAGGATCGCCGTCGTCGTCGCCGTGCGACGCGCGTTGGACGCGCGGCGTCGCGGCCTCCCATTCGGTGGTTGCGGCGAGCTGCGGCCCCGGCGTCAACCCGCGCGATAACAACGAGGGCGTCTGCGACCGCGCCGTCGCCGACGTTCGCGCCGTCGCCGGCGGCTGCGACCGCGCCTCGACCCTTACGCGCGCGGCGCACGTGCCGATCTGCGAGCCCGATCGGTGGTGCACGGCCACCGTCGATGGCACGCCCGCGTCGCCCGTCGGCGACGACGGCACGTCCAGCACACAAAAACCGACGTGCGCCGGCGTCAGGTCGCCCCGTTCCCCGTCGCCGGCGTAAAAGTCGACCAGTAAACACTCGCCGTCTCCCGTAAAAACGACGCTCCGGTCGTCCCAGACGGCGCGCCCGCCCGCGACCTCCGTGTATAGCGTCGGCCTTCGACAAATGATGTCGTCGTCACCGGCGTAGTCCTCTGCGGGTGGTCGTAGCGTCACGGGGAACAAGGGCGGCGCCTGCCGCCGCTCCTCGGACAATTTTGATAAAGCATGCCGTTGGACCAACTGAGCAACCGCAATAGCCGTCCCCGTCGGCGCCTTCGTCGGTCCGAGATCCAACACGGGTTTGAGGAGGTAGACGACATTCGCCGCGTCGTCGTGGGCGGCGACCGTCACATGCGCCGCCCAGCCGCCCGGGCCCTCGAGCGGTAGATCCAACGTGTAGGACTTGAAGGGTTTCAATTGATTGACGTCTATCGACGACGACCGCTCGCCGTCGCCTAGAACGCTTATATTGAGTTCAGCGTCGCGCGGCGCCTCGAGCACAAGCAACTCGTTCCACACGACCGTACAGGCCGCGCTACACACTTGGGCCGCCGTCTCGGCCGCGCCGCTTCCTGTACTGCACCTTAGTCTCAACTCGGCGTCGACGGCGTCCCCGAGCGTAGCAGAGCGGGCGTGCACGACTAATCTCACAACATCCGAGGCCGGCCGTTCCGGCGTCACGGCGTTGATCTCCGACAGTTCGGTAGCTTCCGACTGCATGCTTAGCGCGGGCGTCCGCGGCTTCTGCACAGGCTTTTTGACCTCCGCAATTTCGAGCTTGAACCGCCCGACGTCGATCTGCGTGTTCGACTTCTTCTCCAGGCGCGTGAAGGATAATGAGCGCGTCTCGGATTGCAGCGTATCTGAGGGTTCGAAGCGAGGCAGCGGCACCGTCACGCTCCCGAGCAGCTCGTGCGCGGACGTCGCATCCTGCTTCGTGAGCACGACAAACACGTCCAATGTCAAGGTTCGTTCTATGCTATCCGCACCGATGATGGCGAAGTCCTCCTCGAAGTCCGTGGTGCAGAAGGCCTCCTCGAAGACTGGATTCTTCGTCTCGGCGGAGACTTTCGTCCTTAATCTTTTCTTGTTCTCGTCGAGCTGCAAGGACAGGTAGTACTGGCAGGGCTGCATGAACTCCATATCACTTAAACGGAACTCGAGGTTCGACATCATGGTGAAGGCTGCCCTTCCCCTTCCCAGGGGGCACCCGGCGGACCGTTACCGCGATGGTGGTTGCCGGCAGCGTCTCTGGACGGTGTGCGTCGCGTACGGCACGACTTTGTCCGCCAACGAATGCGCTGGCCGCCTGGCCGCGGCTCCAGCGCCCGTTGCGTCGCACCGTCTCGACCGGTAGAGCCGAGCAAAGGCGGGAGGGCTCTAGGCGTCTTCTGAGCTCCTTCGCTGCTGCGGTACGTGGTAATGTACGCATAGACGAGTCTTTGGACGATCGGTTTTTCGTGCGGGTCAGGCTGCCCCTGGACACGCTCTTTTTGCCGGCCATACGCAACAATAAGTGACTTACGAGCAGAGTTGACTCGTTTCGACCTATTGTTTTGACCGCTGCGTGCTGCTGCAGTTGAAGTCTTGGGCGTCGAAGAGCACTTGACAGCTGGCAGCCTCATGCACAAGCAGTGTGCCGCCGCGTAGCGCAGGCTGCGAGCAAGCATTGCTGTAAATACTGCGCGCAGGCTGCAAGCAAGCATTGCTGCAAATTCCAGGACCAGGCAGTCGCAGTGAAATTACTGCATATCAGGAGCGGTGCCGCGCATCAATAGCTGATGGGTCGCCGCCGCCGCAGCGACTCGTCGTCGTCCTCGAGCAGCGAGGACAGCGAAGCGCGGCGGCTGCGTAAGGAAAAAAAGCGCCTTAAGAAGGAAAAAAAGCGAATGAAAAAGGAGATGAAGAGGCAGAAACGACGCCGCTCGAAGAGCCCAGTACAACGAAAAACGCCCGAGGGACCGCAACCGCCGCCGCCGCCCGCGCGGCCCTCGCTGCTCGCGGCGGCGATGGCGCCCCTCTCGACGGGCACCGTCGCGGGCGACCGCAGCGGCTCCTTTGTTGGGAGCGGCTGGTCGCACGGCGGCGCCGCTCCCGCAAAAGAAGGGCCGCTCACGGGCCTCCAGCGCGCGCACCGAGATGAATCCCGCGAGACCGCGCTCCACGCGCTCGCGCGCAAGCGGCCCGATAAGTAGAAACCTAGAATTTATTGCTGTGCACCCCAACGTACTGCTCCGCCTGGTCCGCGAGGACGTCCGTAATTTCCAGAGACGCGATCGCGCCGGACGCGTCCGCGAAGACGCGGTCGACCTGGATCCGCATCTCCGCGCCCGGCGCGTGCCAGTCCAGGCTCAGCACGCCGCCGGCCTCGCAGCGCGGCGAGCACGCCGCCGTCGCGCGGCCCGCGAGCCGCACCTCGGCCCGCGCGGCGCCGAGTTTCGGGTGCACGTCGAAGAGGCCCGTGCCCGCGGTTTCTGGAAAATCGCCCTCTGACCGCACGACATCCAAGTAGGCGAGCGCGCCCCGCTCGTAGACGGCCCTACATGTGAGCAGCCTCTTCTCATACGCGGTCCAGACGTCGCAGGCGAGCCGGTCGCCGTCCGCGCGCGCGAAGCTGAAGGCCTCGCCGTTCGCCGCGAGGCCGCCCACGGCAAACGACCCTCGGGCCAGGCCGTCGAAGTCGATTGGACGAAGAACGGCGTCGCCTAAAGCTAATTCATCCCGCTTTTCGTTGATCGCCACGCGCCAGCCGTCGTACGCCGTCGGCGCGCCCGCGTCGTCGTCCGTGTTTATGTCCAGGCTCCCCTCAAACGTCTCCTTCAGCGTGAGGATGCCCTCCTGCAACACGAAGCGCTCGCCTCTGGTAACGTAGCTCCCGCAGAACGCTTCCCTAAATTTTTGGCACTGGAACATCTCCTTCTCCTTCTTCGTCGCCGCGAGCTTCGCCTTGAGCTCCTCCTCGGGCAGCATCTCGTCCGGGACGGGGGGGCGCACCTTCGGCATGTAGCCGAGGCGGTCCCTTGGTAATTTCTCGATGGGCCAGTCCTCCCAGCCCAGATACTTGACGGAGGCGCTGCCGGCGTCGCACTCGACGACCTCGGCGACGTACCACTGGCCGTACTCGTCCCTCGCTTGCACGAGCGCGCCGGGGAAGACGTAGTCCGCGTCCTCCGGTGGGGTTCCTGCGGCGTTGAGATCAAAGTCCGAGTAGTCGTCATCTATCCTGGAGTCGACGGCGCGCCGTGGCGCTGGTCTCGGCAGCGCTGGTGCGAGGAATGCCGCCGCGCAGGCGAGCCACGCAGCTTGCACAAGCGTACGCATGGCTGCAATCTCTCGTCCCCTGCGATGGAGCGATGCGACTGCGGTCTGCGGCTGTCTAGCGGATCGAAAGGGAGCACGATGCCGCGCTTAGACTGTCTAGCAGCCACGCTGGTGCAAATAGCCGAGCGCCCGGAGCTAGCGTGATGTAAGGCACTAGCTCACGCTGCTGTGCCTGTAAAAACAGCAGTGCTGGCGCGCGAGGCCTTATTGACCTCTTTTGGATTGGCACTGCAAGGCCAGCATACGCCTGCAGTCGATAGTAACGAGCAACTGCTCACACAAGTGAGCAGTGCTCTCCCTGAGGCCTGTGCTCTCTGAAGCAGACCAGCGCCTGAAACGCTGCTACAGACCCGAAGCGCTGCGTTAGAAATGACACCACAGCTGCTACGCAATGTCAAGCGTCAGACGTGGCTCCTGACCTACGTTCTGCTGCCACTCATACGCGCGCTCGACTGGCTGCTCTGCAAAAGGCACTTCGGCCTGCGCCTCCTCGACCCCAACCATCTGATCACGAGGCGCCTCGACCCGCGACGCCTGATGCAAAAGGCGCGCGCCATCGCCGGCGACGGCCCCTTCCACCTGCCCGACGCGTTGGTCGAGGACAGGCTGCGGCGCGCGCAAGCGGCGCTGCGCGACGCGAATCTGAAAGGATTGGGGGCGCCCGGCGATCTCGTCGTGGGCCTGCCCGCCGTCGCCGTCTTGGAGCGGCGGCTGACGCGCGCGCTCGTCGCGGACCTGCGGGTCACGCGCGCGGTCGCGCTCGACGGCGCCTATTTCGCGTCGCCGCCGGGCGAAGACGCCCTCATCATCACGGGGCCGCCGCGGTCGGGCACGACGCTCTTGCTCGAGCTGTTGGCCTGCGATGAGGAAACGTGGCGGCCGCTGACGGGGCCGGAAGCTTTGGTACCGGGCGCCGTCGACGGCGATGGAGCCGTGCTCACGAGCGCCCTGGCCGGCCAGGCGCTGGCCTTCCAGAGCACGAAAGAAGCCCATTATGAAGAGGTCGACGGCCCGACGGAGTGCCGGTCGCTCCTCGAGAACGCGGGCGCGCCGTACGTGTTCTGGTGGGTGCTCGGCCTGACGGGCCCGCTGGACGCCTGGCTGGCGGACGACGCGCGGCGGCGGTCGGACTACGCCTTCTACCGCCAGGAGCTCGCGGCCGTGCGCCTCGCCGGCGGTCGTGCCGACACGCGGCGCTGGCTCCTCAAGGACCCGTGCCACCTCTTCTCGCTCGACGAATTATTTGACACGCTGCCCAACGCGAGGGTCGTCTGGCTCCACCGCGACCCGGCCACGGTATCGGCCTCGCTCTGCGCGTTGCTGTCCAAAGTCTGGCGGCTCCTCTACCGCGCGGAGGCGTCACCATCGCCGCCGCGGTTCAACGACGCCGTCGTCGCGTACCTCGGCAAATTACTAGACGCGGGCCTCGCCTTTAGAAGGAGGCGGCCCGGCGCGGCGGTCCACGACCTGTTGACCACTGATCTCGCGGATGACCCGCTGCTCGAGGTCGCGCGCGTCTACGCCTTCGCCGGCGAGGCGCTCTCGGACGCGGCGCGGGCGAAGATGAAGAAGCTCCTCGCTGATCGTTCGAAGGCGCCGCGGCACGTCTACGCCGCCGCGGATTTTGGGCTCGAGCCCGCGGATTTGGATCGAAGGTTCGCGAAATACAAGCGGGAGTTCGGCGTGTGAGTTGTTGGTTGTGCATAATAATGTATATATCACATATGCTTATGGGGCGCCACCGAAGCTAGCGCGCGCGATTGGTGTCGGCCCCGCGCGGCACGTATGATGGCCGCGCGGTGCGTCGTAATCGTCGCGGGCGCCCGCCGCGGAGGCGTAGCCCCTTAGATCGTCTTCAGGAAGTTCTCGGCGAACGTCGACTCCGGCGCGTCGTCGCCGGCCGGGTCGCTGTGGAGGCCGTCCGCGCCCTTGGGCCCCTCGGCGACGCTGAGGGACGTGAGCACGCCGTCGTCGTAGAAGGCAGCGAAACGCTTCATGCGCGGCCCGCCCAAATCATGCAGGTTGTTCGGGTGGTCCAGGACTAAGTCAAGAGCCTTCGCGAGCTCGCAGCCTGCGATGAATCGACGTCTCAAAAAACCAAGGCACTAATTAATGTCGCACGGGTAGCGACGCGCGTCCGCGAGCAACGTGACCTTGTGGTCCGCGCGGGCCACGTAGCGCGCCGACGCACCTGTGTGGAAATCATAATTTTACGGCGCGTTCGTGCCGAATCGTCGCGTCGACCTCGACGTCATCGACGCGCCATCTGTTCGATGGCGTGGCGGTGCGGGTCCCTCTCTCACGAACGCGTCGCCGGATATGAGTTTGTGAAGAATTCCACACAGCGCCCGTACGCTTGTCGTTGTCGTCGATGTCCTGTGCCGTCGCCCAGGCACCCATGACGGCGGCGTCGTTCACGGCCGAGATGATGACTTCGTCGATGTTTTTCTCCGCGAGCGCCTGTGCGGACGACCGGTGAGTATCGACCGGTCGAGCAGTCGCGTCGATCGCGTGAGTACACTGAGTCACGCCTCAGTAGCGGCGAGGTAGCCCGGGATGTTCTTCGTGGATCAGGTGGGCGTGAAGGCGCCCGGTAGCCCCAGAAGGATCACGCGGCGCCCTTTGCAGCGCTGTGCAAAGTTCACCTCCTTGGGAGCAGGGAAGCTCACATCTAATCCGACATCCGGCGCTTTATCACCGATACTAGCGAACGCGCGGCTGCGGCCGAGCAGAGATGGGCAACGCAGCGCGGTGCGGGCAATCATTGTGGCGCACGAGTCCAATTAAGCTGTGGCTCTGAGAGGCACACCTTGGTACGGGGTTGGGGGGAAAGAAAGACAGACCCATCCGTAACGAAATTCGCCAGACGCGCTTCTGCAGCAGTGGTAGCCGGGATTTCGACAATGAAGCCGCCACAAGGCTCACGCTCTCCAGATAAAGCGCTGCAAATAGCGCTGTGCCATCGCGAGCAAAAGACCAAGTGGGGTGTGTACGCTACGCCTCTTCGAGCCTGAGCACAGCACAGCTCAAAATTTCGACGCGTAAAGGTCGATTTGACCAGCAACAAGTAGGCAGCACGTGTCCGTGTCAACGATGGCGTCGCGCGCGCACAGACTCGTGCGTCGCTTGTCATCCGCTGCATCCTCGTACGATGCGCTCGTCATCGGCGGCGGGCCGGTGGGGACGGAGATCGCGAGGCTGGGCGGTCTCATCGGTCTCGACGTGGCGGTCGTGGACCCGCGAGGAGCTGTGTGGAAATTAACAATCAATCAACCAGTGAAAGCGTTTGACACAGGCGAGGAGCGCTGCTGGCCGCCCCCACGGGCTACGTCTCGAAGGTCCTGCTCGACGTGTCGAACTGCGCCGAACGCAACTCGCGCGTCGTTCCGCGGGAGTGGACGCACGCCAAGTACGCCCTCGACGCGACGGCGGTGAGAGCACTAGCGATGACGGCGGACCTCTTCCAGGACTCGTCCGTCGGCGCGGACGTCGTCGCGGGCCGAACCGAGTTCGCGCCGACCGTCATCCAAGGGCGAGCCGCCTTCAAGGGCCGCGACGCGTCGGGCTCCTACGAGGTCCAGGTGCACGGCGCCGCGCCGACCGTCGTGCACGCTCCCACGGTCTTCATCGCGACGGGCTCGGCCTCCACGCGGCTCCCCTCTCTCCCCTTCGACGAGGCCAACGCCACGGGTTGGATTTTTGACTCCGACTCGATCGTCGGCATCGGCCGCGTGCCGGAGCACATCTTCATCCAGGGCGGAGGTCTGATCGCCGTCGAGTACGCCTTCATCTTCGAGCGGTTGGGGGCCAAGGTCACGCTCGCGCTGCGCGAGGAGCGCGTGCTCCAGGGCAAGGACGTCGACATTGACATCTCGGCCGCCGTCGGGGCGCGCCTCGAGGAACGAGGCGTCGAGATTCGGTACGGAGACGGGAACGTCGTGAAGGTGACGCCGCCCGCGGAGCACGGGGGCGTCGGCTCCGTGGAACTCGGCTCCGGCACGGTCGTCGAGGCCGGCGCCTTCCTCTCGGCGCTGGGACGCGGCGGCGCGGCGAAGGGCTTGAACGTCGAGAACGCCGGCCTGCGACCGCCGCTTCCCTCGGGTCACTTGGCCGTGGACTACAACTCGCTCGTCGCCGAATCGACGGGCGGCGACTGCCGCGTTTTTGTGGCGGGCGACACGGTCAAGGACTGCGCTATCTATCCGGGCGGCCTCTTGAGCACGGGCCTGGCGCAGGGCCACGTCGCGGTGCGAGGCGCGTTCCCCGAGGCGTGGCGCGCGACGTTCCCGCCCGTCGGGCGCCGCGTCGAGGGCTCGAAGATGGACGCGTTTCCCGCGGTCGCGTTCTGGATCGACGACGGCGTGGCGACCGTGGGCGTCACGGAGCAGGCAGCTCGCATGGCCCACGGCGACGACATCGGCACGGCCTCTGCCAAGTACTCGGAAACCGTCAAGGCCTGCGTCCAGCCGCGGCCCGACGACGAGTTCCTCAAGATCGTGTACCTTAAGACGTCCGGGTCCATCCTCGGCGTCCACATCTTCGGCAAGGACGCCAGTGAGATGATCAACCACGGCGCGGCGTTCGTGAACCGCGGGCAGACCATCTGGGACGTCATCCACAGCATCCCGCCGGCGGTCACCTACGACGAGGTCTTCCTCCGCGCCGCGCGCCGGGCGTGCTACAGCATGGCCCAGTTCTCCGGCGAGCGCGCGTGAAGTAAAGTATTGTGTCTGACCAGAGTCTCGCATCCTCCCCCCGGTCTATTCCTCTGGGAAATGCAGGTCTTTCGGTGGGCTGTCGTTCAACTTCTTGATATTGCTTACGCACCCTCCGGCGGCGTTTCGCGGGCGCGGAGCGCGGCTCGCGCGTCTTGTAATCGGGGCTCAATCCATTCGGTGAGCGGGTGCGCTCCACCGAGCACGCGCCTCGCGATCCGATCCGCGTCCTCTAGCGTCGTCACGGCCTCGCGGAGATCTTTGAGCGTGGCGGCTGCGTCTCTGTAGAGCGCCATCGCGTAATTCGTTTTCATCCTAAGCGTGGTGTCACGACCCTCTCTAAGGACGCGTTGCGCCACGGGCATCGTCTTGCGCAGCAGTGACTTGGCTTCTTGATGGTGCTGTTGACTGACAAGCATATTCGCATAGTTGTTGGCCGCAACGAGGGTCATTTCATTTTCTTCACCGTTGAGCTTCAAAAACCCGGAGTATACTTCTCGCTCCATCCATAAGGCCTGTTTATGCCTTCCGAGGATATCATAAATGTTAGCAAGATTGCTCTGCATGGCGAGTATGTTTCTTTCTGATGCACCAAGCCGTCGCAGCGTTGACAACTCTGCCTCTCCCACGGACAACGCGTCCTCGTGGTGGTCTGCATCGGCTAAACCGTTCCCAAGCAGGTTGATAGCCATGCACCGAGCCTTGTCCGTCTCCACTCGACTCATGCTCAGCTGTTTGCAGACAACTACCATGATCCCCCAAAGTTTTGGATCCAGAGCTCACTGGAGAGCCACAAGCACCGGCGTATGCGGCCTACCCGACTACCCGACCCCAGATCTATCCCGGAGGGCGTCCGCGAGCCGATCTGCATCCGAAAAAAGTTATTAATTTGGGCCCGATGGCGCCCCGTTCCCGTCAAAAACGTCAATTACCCGAGGGCACCTAGGAACCGTAATAGCGGTCTCGTCGGACCCCATACTACCCCAGCGATAGTCAATTACAAGTATATGGCATCTACATTATAAGAAGGGTACTTTTGGCTGCCCACGCTCGGGACGTGAACATCTTTATCTGGACCTCGCGTAAGTCCGTCGATCATAGAACAAATGATCGCGTTATGGTCCATGGTGAAGGTACACGGGCTGATGGCCGCAGGTCCGGGTCTGGAGCCAAATATAGCCAGATCGTGGGGTCGGGAGTCCGAGAAGGCGCGGAGACCCTACGGTGAAAGAAATCAAATGTAGTTCACGCTCAGGCCAATTAGCTGGCCCGTCCCACTACTAAAGCGCCTGAAACGCAAATTTATTTCACAACTCACCGGTCTGGGGCCTTTCTGGTGCCTCGCGTACGCACCGTCGCCAGCGGAGAACGGGCAAGTCGGTCGATCGTGAATAGAACAACGGCGTCATGGTCCATCTGGGTGGTGGCGTCGCTGATACTCGCGGGTGCAGGTGATTTGGCCGTTTTTGTACAAACGTGGGGACCCGGAATCTCCGTTTCGCGCGGCTCCAACAGATCCTCTAACATAGCTCATCCCCGCCCAGGCGGCCTAGATGGACTCTAACACCAACAAACGGATTAAAACGAACATAAAATCGGGAGTTGTCCGGTAGAATTCTTCTCCCGCCCTCCGAGCGCGGACCGTCGGCTCCGGTTCCGTCGATTGTGGATGAAAACTGGGCTGAAGTTGATATAATACACTATTCGGATAGTAGATGGCGGCATTAATCGCTGGTGTATTTTGGCGAGCCGGAAGACTCATCCGCGAATGTCGCGGGCGGTGCCTTCCGGGAGGCGCGAGGGTATGTTCCCGGGCCCCAACTCTGAAATGTTTGGTCTCGGCGAACGAATAGGATGTATTCTGAATTTTGGTCATTCTTTTGACGCTAACGAGGCGCATCTTTAAATTTACTAGTATGTCGATATACGCTAGCTCGGTTGGCTCGTCTTTGTATAAACATGGGGGCCCGGAGCAGAATAATCTCGCACCTTGGTACATGGGACTACTTCGGGCGCTCGCGCAGCCATCGACTGCGATATTGCGATTGGCCCGAGGCGGATCTGCGAATTGCCCGGCGGCGCCGCGGAACTTCCGGGAGTGATAGATCGGGAGTGATATATTTTGTCGGGGGATGCTGACCCAGTACAACAACCAGAACCGTTAGGGCCTCCACCGCGTATCGTCTTCCACAGCATCAGTGTCGCGGCGACGTTCGGGCGCCGGCGGACCGCGCGGTGGCGGCCCGCGCGGTGGCGGGCGGTAGCGCGACGGCGGCGAGCGGCGTGGCGGAGAGCGACTCCGGCGCCATCGCGGCGGCGAGCGGCGTGGCGGTGAACGGTCGCGCCATCGTCGCGGCGACGGACTCCGGCGGCGCCGCGGCGAGCCGCGTGGCGGCGAGCGGCCGCGGTCGCGCCATCGCGGCGACGGACTGCGGCGGCGCGGCGGAGGCGGCCGCGCGGGGCGATACTCGCGGCTCCGGTCGCGGCTCAGGGGCCGGAAGCGGCGCGGCGACCGCGAGCGGGGCGGCGGCGCACGGGGCGGCGGTGCGCGGCCTCGGCTCCGCGAACGTGACCGCGCCCGTGGCGGCGGCCCACGGCCTCGACTCCGCGAGCGCGAACGGTCTCGGGAGCGGGGCGGCGGCGCGCGGCCTCGGCTCCGCGAGCGCGAGCGGGACCGCGCGCGGGGCGGCCGGTCGCGCGAGCGGGAACGGGACCGCGGCGCCGCGCGGTCGCGCTTGCGGCTGCGCGAGCGGCGCCGGTCGCGGCGGCGGCTCCGCGAGCGCTTTTTTTTGGCCTCCTCGGGGAAGCGGAGCATCCCGAGCTTCGCCATCGCCGTCGCCCCGTCGGAGAATTTAATCTTGAACCGCGGCAGCGTGCCCTCGGGCGCGCCGTCGTAGGGCGGCTCGACCTCCTCGATGACCCCGTCGGCGCGCCAGACGATCGCGTCCTCCTCGCCGTCGTCCTCGCCGTAAAAGTCCCGCGCGCAGCACAGAAAGCCCGAGGCCCCGACCGCCAAGGTGCTGAGCCTGGGCTTGTTCACCACGGCACGCTTCGCCACGTCGTCGTGCGCGGCCAGGTGCACGGAAAAGCGGTACTCGAGGATCGGCCCGACGGGCGGCAGCGGCGTCCCGTACAGGTCCAGCTCCGCCACGGTGAGCAGCCGCCGCGCGAAGGCGCCGACCGTCGTCGTGTGCATCTGCTGGATGCCGGGGCTGAACTCCTCGAGGTCGTCGCAGTACTCGCCGAGCCACTTCCAGTAGATACTGGGGTCGCCGCCTACGTGTATAGACATGAGAATTGCGACAAGGATTTGCGACGCCGGGGGCCGGGGTGCCGTATCGGACGTAGAGCATGCCCATGACCCGTAGATACGTCGAGTCGGGGTGGTCGAGCAGTTCCCTAACCTGGTCCTCCGTCAGCCGCAGATGGAAGAGCTTCAATAATAAACAAAAGGCCGACGACGGCTGCTTCTGGAGCGATCTTTTGGTGGAGGCGCCGCGATGCGTGAAGGGCTCGACGTACGTGACCTTCTCATATATCAAATCCACGACCTTGTCGAAGGTCTTGAACACATACAAGCATTTGAAGTACTCGCTCTGCGTGATCTTCGCGTGGAGCGCGGCGTCGAGGTTGAAGATCGTCGGGTTCACGCCGCCGATCTGAAAAAGTTTCTTGCCCTCGAGGCCGGGCTGCGCGACGTTCTTCGGCAGGCGGTCGCTGTAGACGCGCGGTCGCACCGCCACGCCGAGCTTGCCCGTGTCGGCGAAGCCCATTGGTCGCTGCCTCTTTTGCCCTTTCGCTCGCAGAGGCTGAATGTCCGGGGCGCCGCGTGCCGATGCCCTGCTTTGCCCTTTTTTGTTTGCAGGCCTTGCAGAGGCTTTTGTGAGGTACGAGGCTGCTCCAAACACTTTGGGCCTCCGAGATATGATGTGTGGTCGGTGCGCCGGCGGTTATTTCTGCTGCAGCGCGCGTCAAGTCCCTGCCATCCAAGTTTAATAATAGCGGCTAGCGGCCTGTAACACACTAGAAAGAATCTGCAAGGGGTCGGCCGTGCCACAGCGTCTACGCTCGTAGAGCTGATACCCAGGTTGTCAGACGCGTTATTGTGAAGTATTAGTATCACAGCCCAGCAGTTCTATCGGTTTGCTCACGCGCAGCCTGAGCTTAGGTCGCACCAGACCACACACACCACAGGGTCACTGCCCAGGGTCACTGCCAGCCACTGCTGTTGATACAAAAAGTATGGAGACCCCCCTCGACCCGGACATCGTACAACATGCCATGAAGGTCGAGCGCACGGCGGCAGCGCAGGGAAACGAGCCGCAGGCCTACACGCCCGCCACGGAGCTGAAAAGTCTGAAACCGTGGACGATGCTCGCGCTTGCGGCGCTCGGAGCCGTCATCATTTCGCTCTGGACCTGGCACTGGCAGATGGCGATGACGGCGATCCTCCTCGTCTCCCTCACGTTGGGCCCACTGCTCCGCTGGTGGACGCTCCACCGCGCGACGTGTCCGCTGGACCACGTCCTCATGTCGTTCCTCGGAGGTCTGTTCCTCCTCTCGACGGTCGCCACGATCATGGGCCTGACCTTCGGCATTCTCGCCGCGCTGATCGTGTCGCCGATCAGCATGCTCGCGGGGTCGGCGGCCTGGCGGCTGGCGGTCATATGCGACGGGATCGCGCGCTGGAGCGCTTTTTGTTTTGTGGAGGAGATGTGGCTCCTCGGCGCGCTGCGGTGGTTCCGGCGGAAACGCCAGCATCGCTTCGTCGAGAATAGTAATAGAGCTCAACGGGCCTTTGCGTTGTACGGCGCCGCTTCAGCCGTGGGCTATGCATGTGCGCAATGCATACTGCTGGCATGCGTTGTGACGGTGCGCATCCGTGCACAAAATTATCTCGGCGTTTCACTGTCTTCACGCCATCGACGCCACGACTCACTTGATTTGACCACAGGCGCACATGGACGGCCACACGGTCTTCGAGCGCGGCCACGCCGACGAGGGCGTCGTCACGGCGTCGGAGACGGGAGGTTTACTCTTCCTCTCACTTTGCTTCGCGTGGTTCTTGCTCCCGCTGCGCCTCCTCGCGAGCCATCTCAACGCGCTGGACTTGGAGCGCTACCCGGACCTCGGCGCGGACAACAACCTTTGCATCCCGCTCGGCGCGACTATTGAAGGTGAGGAAGCACCCGTGGGCCTCGCGTGCTCGAAGCGCCTCGCGCACATGTGGGAGGTCGTCAAGTGGCCCTGGGCCCTTAGGGCGGCGCACTACATCCAATTTACGACTTTCTTCTGGTTGCTCGGTGTGCCCATTACTTTGATGAACATAATCGCTTGGCTTGTGGTGACCTTCATAGTCTGGGTCGGCATCATGTACGTCGCGCTCTGGCACATCGGCGTCGTGGAACGGGCGCTCGGCCAGAACGGCGCCGCGGTCTTCTCCGCGAACGACGACGTCACGATGCGCTCGCTCTACGGCTTCGCTCTCTTGGACGACGAGGAGCCGGACCGCATCGCGCACGCGGGATCTCTCGCGCCGGACGACAACGGCGCCATGATCTGACCTCTCCCAATACTCCTCCCCCCCACTGTCTGAACAATCGTACGCGTAGTATATGATAAGAAACAATTACATGTCTTCAGAGGGGTTGGACGCGTCCCCCGCGCACGGGCGGCAGCTCGGCCCGCGGCTTCTGGACGTCGTCGCCCGTCGGCGAGAGTAGTCGTCGTGTCGTCCGCGAGCGCTTGACGCGACGCCGTAGTGGTCGACCGCTGCGCCACCGCTCCAGGAGGTCGTCCGCGCCGGTCACCTCCGCCGCCAGCTCCATCTCGTCGCGGTAGTCGAGCTGCTCCAGCTTCTTGTGCGCCGCGTCGGGCCCGTCCCGCCGCGACACGGCCAGCGCGCAGAGCGCGGCCCCGGGGCTCACCTCGCCCGCGGCCGCGCACTCGACGACGACGTCGTCGGACTCCGCCGGGTCGTGCGCCGCGAGCCACTTGCCCGCGGCGCCCTCCAAACTCTCGCGGAACGACGCGCAGTCGTAGCGCAGGTGGTCGCCGCGCAGCGCGAAGCGCACCTTGGCGCCGCACGGGCACTTCCAGACGCGCGGCCGCTTATCTCCTCTTGAAGCCGAGTAGGCGTCGGGCCGGGGCCAGGCCTCCGCGGCCTGCGCCGCCGGCGCCAAATTCAATCTCAAATTCCCCAACGCGAGCGGCGCGATCTTGACCCACGGGTCCGTGCCCGGGGGCAGCCGCGCGAGCTCCTCCTCCAACGCTCTCTTCCGCGCCTCGGCCTCCAAACGCAGCCGTCTTCTATTAGCTCGGGCCTTGGCGCCGCGGCCCGGCGTGTAGATCGGCTCGTCCTCCTCCGACGACACCTCGCGTTTGGAGGGAGTCACCTCGATGACGTCGTCGATCGTCGGGTCGCGCCTCGCGGCCTCCTCGGCGAGCTCCACGCGGATCTTCCGCGCGCGCGCGTCCACGCGATCAATCAACATCTGGAGCGCGGTCCTTTTGGGCGTCGGCGGCTCCTTGACCTCCGGCTGGAACGTGGCCATGTAGGCCGCGTCGGCGTCCTGCAAATCCTCCTCCTGTTTACGCTCCTCCTCGAAGGTCGCCGACGGCCCGGCCTGCTTGTTCAGGACCGCCCTTGCCAACATCGGCACGACGCCCTTGCTCATGAAGATCGAGATCGTGTTGCTGATGAACAGCGCGAGCACGATCGACAGTAAAGCCGCCTCGAGCCAGGCCATGCTGCCTTTATTGCCGCCGCTGGGCCCGCAGTAATGCGCCAACGTGTGCGGGCAGGTCTCGGGCGCGACGGGGCAGCTCACGGGGCAGGGCACGTCGCCCCGCTTCCTCTTGGGCAGGGCCAGGCATCGCTGCTGCTCCTCGAGACACAAATCCGGGTCGCAGGGCGCGAAGGCCAGATCGTCCTCGGCTGGCTTTCGGCACAAGTTCTCGTCGATGGCCCAGGTCGTGTTCGCCCATCTCGGCAACTTTGTTGAAGGATCGTGGAACATGTCGTTGTGCCGCTCGCAGCCGCCGCACTTGTTGATCTGGATCGTGAAGAGAAACACGTACAGCGCGCAGCCCAATATCACGAGCAACGCCAGCACATAAATCGGTGCGTTCAAATGCGGCGACCAGCCCGCCGAAGTGTGGTCCTTGACGGCGTCCTTCATCGGCGACACGAACTGTTGATACAGAAGTCTTGCTAATTTAGGCAGCTTTTTTAATTCTTCGTCCTCGGCTTCGATCAGAGCCCGCTCATCCAGTGTTAAACAGTGCACGGGCGGCGGTTTGGGCGGCAAGACTTTGTGTTTGACCTTCTGCCACAATGTGGAAGGTGGTTCGAGCGTCGCCTTGTGGGCCCGGTCCCTTCTCTCTTTACACTCCTTCGAGAAGTTCTTAAACGCGAGCTCCGCTCTTTTTAATTCGCCCTCGCACCGTTTGACCTCCTCCGCCGCGCTCGCTCTTTTCGAGACGCACAACTGACTAAACTCGTGGTGCTCCTGCGACGTTAATGCTCGAGCCTCCCCCAAATCACCGTCCTTCGCGAAGTGGTGCAGCCGCTGCAATTCCTCGGCCAGGTCGTGGAAGACGGCCTTCTGGGCGTCGCGCGCGTGATCCAAGGCCGCGAGCGCATCTAGCACACGTCGCCGCTTCCGCACCCTTACCCTATTCTCCCGCGCTAGGTTGCCCGGATCTACTCCCAAAAAGTGGTCCACGTCGCTATTTTTTTCGCCCGTCTTCGAAAATAAAAACGCAAATCCTAAGTAGAAGAACGTCGAGAACATGGCCGCGATGGACGAGTATGCCACTTTTGCCACGTGCGTCGTGGGTCGGTGCGGGGCGTTATGAATCGAGGCCTCCGTCCCTCCAATGGTAAAGGGCGGGGCGACGGATAGGAACAACGCGTTCGCCGCCAGCGTCGCAAAAATCAACACGGCGAGCACCGTGACGCGCTCCGCGCGCGTGTAGTTCCCGTCCGGCAGGTGGAAGATCTGCAATATTTTGTGCTCGCGGCGCATCGCCGTCACGAAACCGTGTAAAGCGGTCGCCGCGTACCGTTTGACGGGCATGGCCTGCCGCGCGTAGGCCTTGAAGACGGACGGCGTCAGCAGCCACGGCCGGCGCTCCTTCGTCCGAAAGGCCGCGGCGAGCGCGACGCGTTCTGTGGTGCGCGATATCTTGGTCGGCTCCTTCTTGACCGTGTCGCCCGGCAGGACCGCCTCGCGCAGCGCGTGCCGGTCCCGCTCGTCGGCCTTGTCGTCCATGACGCCGCGCGCCCAGAGCGCCGCGAAGAGAGCCAGCGCCAATAATAAGGTGATGAGCACCGTCAGGGAGTTCAATAAATCGGTAAGCGACAGGGCCAGGCCCATCTCGACGACGGACCCGGCCGTCGAGCCGACGTCGCCCGTCGCGCCGGCAAAGTCCGTCAAGTGCGTGCACTCGCACATTATCGACGAATTCGTGTAGCTCGCCACGGTACAACCGTCGCCGGCCCAGTCACTCACGTTCGCGTCCCAGAACTTGCACTCGGGCACGCGCCCGGGGCACGTCACCGTGACGGCCAGCGGCTCGCCCTCGCCCGTCACCTTCGGCGCGTAGAACGTGCGGTTCGAGCCCTCGGGGTGCAGCTCGTCGGGCGGGAACTCGATGAACTGGGGCAGCGAGCAGTTGAACTCCACGACCGAGGAGTTGCAGTCGAGTTTCAAGATCTGCGACGAGTTGAGGCACTTCCCGTGCCGCACGTTGTCTTCTTTCGTCGTGCTATTGCCATTGGACGTGGCGTCGGTCGCCTCGCACATGCCCGAATCGCCGCAGGCGACGCACCGGTCGCCGTCCCTATAATAACCCGGCGCCTTCGAGCCGTCGGGGCGCTCGACGAACGCCGCGCACGCCGTCAGCAGCGGATCTGCAGTTTCAAGCTTGATCTCGAGGACGATGGGCTCCTCGAGGCCCTCGACCTTCACCGTCTTCCCGGAAGCGCCCATCTCGATCTGCACCAGGTCCGAGTTCGTCCGGTCCGCGTCCGACGCGTAGACGTTCTTCATCTGCGCGACCTTCACGTCGACGTCGGCGATGTCGCCGTCCTGGAGCCGTCTCCTCGCTCGTCCGCGCCGCCTCTGGGCCTCATCACACGAACCGCCGCCCGCGGCGTCCATCGCGCTGCTCGGCATGCCCGTGACGCCGCCCTTGCCCGCGCCGAGCCCGAACCCGCCACCGAAGACGTCGCGCGTGCCGCAGTCCGTCCGCGACGCGCTCAGCTCCAAATTCGGCGTCGACAGCGGGAAGCTCTGGCCGCCGAAGGCGTTCGCGACCATGCCCGTCGCGAGCGCGCCGACGGTGCCGGCCATCTGGCCGCCCAGGGCCGCCTTGCTCGCCGCGGCGTCCTCGCCCGCGCCCTCGGCGGGAGCGGAGAAGAGCGACGCGTCCAGCAGCGACGACACGGCCGCCGCCGTCGACGCGGCGGCGTCGGGGTCGATGCCGGTCTCGGCCGAGCCGCCGACGACGTTGTCCAGCAGGTCGAGGGCGCCCGTCTGGGAGTCCTCGCTGAGGGCCTCGGGGTTCGCGCTCAGCGTCGACACCGTGCTCAACACCTGGGTCGTCGCCGCGGCGGACGTCCCCGTGCCCACGAGGCTCGCCGCGCTCAGCGTCGCCGCGAACAGGTTGTCGATGAGCGCCGTCTCCGCCGCGAGCTCCTCGGGCGTCTTCTCGACCTCGGTCCCGTTGACCGACTTGGGAGTCGTACCGAGCACGCTCGCCACGTTCGAGATGAGCGAGAGCGACGCCTCGCCGTCGGACGTGTCGAGCGACGAGCTCAGCAAGTCGTCGGCGAGCTCCGTGAGGTCTTCCGTGGAGATGACGAGCTCGTCGACGCGCGCCGGCTGCTGGACTTCGGCGTAGGACAGGTAGCGGTCGAAGGTGCGACCGACGCACGAGATGTTGACGTTTTTGGCCTGCGGCAGCGTCGTGACGAACCACGCGGAGGCGTACTGGTCCGCGACGAGGGGCACGAGCTGCTCGGGCTTGTAGCCGCTCGCCGTGCGCATCGTCCGGCGCTGCTGGCGGTACCCGTACGTGTAGGTCAGCGGGTAGTCGTCCGCGTCGTCGGACCAGCCGTCCAACAGAAACTCGAACTCCGTCGTGAGCGCCATGCCCCGGTAGGGCGTCACGGCCAGCGTGCCCGACGTCGGCGGGCCGTTCGTCGTCAGCGAGACGACGGTCGACGACGTGGACCCGATGCCGTCCGTGACCGTGAGCTTGAGCCGGTAGACGGTGTTCGCGCGCGTCGCCCCGAGCTGGACGAGCATGGGCGACGCCGCGTCCGCGGCCTTGCCCAGCAGGCAGCCCTCGTCCTCGGGCAGGCAGGCCGCGGCGCCCTCGACCTCCCAGGCCGAGTCGCAGCAGGACCGGCCGGGGTCGGGCGACGTCGCCTCGAAGTAGATCGCGGCGAAGGTGTCCGCCGTGGGGTTGTACTTGAGGCCCTCGTCGAAGTCCGTGACCGTCGCGCGCGGCATGAAGCGGTCCGACGACACCTTCACGAGGATGGCGTAGGCCGCGCTCCGCGCGCCGCGCGAGACGGTCAGCGCGAACTCGTAGGTCGTGTCGCCGAGCCAGCCACCCGTCGTGTCCGGCACGAAGGCGAGGATCGCGGACGTCGCGTCGACGGCGCCCAGCAGGGCCGGCGCGTCCTCGCGGCTCCCGTCGTCCAGGACGCGCGCGACGGTCCACGCGTAGGCGAGGGGCCCCTCGGCCTCGTTCTCGTCGGGGTCGTAAGACTCGGAGCCGTCGAGCTCCACGTCGTCGCCGATCGCCACGGCCTGCTCGACGCCGCCCAGGATCGAGGCCACGAGGTCCTGCGCGCCGACGACGACCGTCGCCGTCGCGGAGGTGTTGATGGTCATCGTGTCCGCGAAACCCACGGTCGCGCGGAACATGTAGGTCGCGCCCGCGCGCAGCGTGTCGACGGGCAGGCGGCAGGACACGGGGTTCGCCGTGTACTCCGCCACGGCCGCGCGCGAGAGCTCGGGCGACGCGTCGCCCCACTCGGCGCCCTCGAGGCGCCAGGCGCGCCAGGCGAAGCCCAGCGTGGCGCTCGACACGTTCATGTCCGTGCAGGTCAGGTTCGGCAGGGCCACGTCGAGCTTGAGCGTCTTGGGGTCGGACCGGACCATGGTCTGCGTCGCCGCGCCCTGGAACTGGACGCCCGGCGACGGCGAGGCGAGCTTGTCGACGGTCGCGTAGGCCGTCGTCGTCACGCCCAGGAAGTTCGTCGCGGCGATGAGGAACTCGTAGGGGCGGCCCGCGAGGAGGTCGTCGAAGCCGAGCTCCACGTTCACGACGCCCGCGGCGTCGGCGGCCGCGAGCTTGGCCTCGAGCGACGCCACGCTGGTGAGGTCGGCCTCGGTCTCGGCGTCCCAGTTCGTCAGCACGCCCCAGTTGTACGTCAGCTCGCGGGACCCGCCGCCCGTGGCGCCGCGCGCGTCGAGGACGACGCCGTCGCAGACGCCGACGCTCTCCGGCGCCGTGATCGAGATCGCCGGCGCCACGGGGTGCAGGGGCGTCTGCGCCTCGGCGTACTGCGCCGCCGCGAACAGCGTCGCGCCGGCGAGGTCCGTCTGCAGCACGCCGCCCTTGAGCCACACGCTGTTGAGGTCCGTCGCGTTCGTGTAGTCGAAGGGGATCAGGGCCGCGCCGGCCGTGAAGGTGACGCGCAGCGCGCTCGAGTTGCGCCACTGGCACGCCGCGCCGGGGCCGAACGCCGGCTCCGCGTACTCGAAGAGCGTGGCGCAATCAACGTCCCACGCGCCGTCGACCATGTTCGTCGGGCTGTCGAAGCGCACGTCCACGCCGTTGCCGCCGTCCAGGAACCGCACGAGCTCCAGCTTGGGCGGCGGCACGCTGTCGGCCGAGAACTCGACGGCGATCTCGACGTCGGAGACGGCGAGGCCGTCGAAGAAGGCGTCCTCGGACGACAGGGAGTGCGTGAGCGTGGCCATCCGGCTCCGCGTGTCGCTCGCGTTGCGCAGCGACGCGTTCACGGCCACGAGGTTCGGCTCCCAGTCGTCCGGCGAGAACACGAGCTGCCGGGGGAAGACGTAGACGTACGGGTCGGCGCAGCCGAGCGTCACGACGACGTCGGCCGTCGGCGGCGCGGACAGCGTGATGCTGTAGCCGTCGCTGAACGTCGGGCCGTCGACGCCGGCCCCGACCGTCAGCGTCTTGCCGCTCACGGTGGCGAAGGCGACGTCGTCCTCCAGCACGACGCTCGTCAGCGTCGCCGAGGTCACGCCGTCGTAGTTCGTGTCGTTGGACGTCGCCACGACGGTCACCTGGTAGTTCCGGTTGCCCTCCAGCACGTTGTCGTCGGCCACGTGCAGCGAGAGCAGCCGCGTCGCCGCCCAGTCCTCCGGCTGGATCGTGAGCGAGGCGTTCGCCACGCCGTCGAACTCGATGCTCTCGAACGCGTCGACGTCGCCCCGGACGGCGAGCCGCACCGGCGCGAAGGGCATGCTCGTGAGCGCCAGGGTGTAGACGTACGTGGCGGCGTTCTCGTCCCGTTTCAGGGGCACGTTGCCGCTCGTCACGGGCGGGATCTTCGAGAGGAACTTTCCGGCGCTGATGAGCGACTCGTCGACGTCGATGACGTCCACGCCGAACGTCTCCAGGAAGCGGCAGCACGCGTAGTTCGGGTCGATCGAGTCCAGGGACACGTCCACGGACTGCGAGAACGACGCGCCGTTGTTGATGCGGTCCCGGAGCGCGCCGACCATGACCTTGAGCGTCGTGGTGCCCGCGGGGATGATCTTGGTCGCCGAGGCGCTGCCCGGGTCCGACGCCAGCGCGTAGCCCGGGTCCGCCGGGTCCTCGTCGTAGAAGCGGAGCGCGTTCGACGCGGCGCCGTAGGCGCGCAGCTTCACCTCCACGTCCTCGCGCGGCACGGACTCCGCCGCGAGCTCGACGAGCAGCGGCTTGACGACGAGCTTCACGTCGAGGCTCACGCTCGCCTCGGCGAAGTCCGCGGGCGGCACGACCTCGAAGCCGGCGAGGCGGTAGCCCGCCGTCGTCGGCGCGAGCGACGGCACCGGCGAGGGCTCGAGGGTCCGGAAGAGCAGGACCTCGCCGACGGCGACGACGCGCCCGCCGATGCCGCGCGCCGCGAGGGCCTTGGAGAAGTTGCCGGCCTCGACGCTCTTGACGACGCAGGCCTCGACCTCGTCGGCGAACGCCTGGCCGCCGCGGTCCTGGAAGCCCGCGTCCACGTCCGCGTAGGCGAGGCGCACCTCGTAGACGAGGTCCTTGCGGGCGACGGCCGTCGGCGCGAACGTGGCCGAGGGCGCGGCCGAGGGCGTGGTCGTCGGGACCGCCGACGTCGGCGCCGGGGCGGGCGCGGCCGTCGACGGCGCCGGCGTCGGCCGGGCCGTCGTCGGCGCGGGCGCCGGCCGGGCCGTCGGCGCGGGCGCGGGCGCGGGCGTGGCCGGGGCCGCGTCCTCGAGGCGCCGCGCGGCGGCGCCCTCCGCGGCGGCGCCGTCCGCGGCGGCGCAGTCGGCGACCCGCACGTCGACGCCCGGGACGCACATGGCCCCGGCCAGGGCCGCGGCGTAGCCCGCGAGGAAGGCCGGGTCGGCGCACGCGCCGGGCAGCGCCTCGACGCCGAGCGTGCCGGCGGCCGCGATGAGCAGCTGCGTCGGCGCGAACGTCGTCGGCGTCGCGGTCGGCTCCGGCGTCGCCGGCGTCGGGGCGGCCGTCGGGGGCGCCGACGGCCGCGACGTGGGCACGGCCGTCGTCGGCACGGGCGACGGCAGCTCCGTCGGCGCGCTCGTCGGCGCGCCGGTCGGCGGCGACGTCGGCAGCCCGGTCGGCGGCCACGTCTCGTAGGTCGGCGCCACGGTCGGGAACGGCGAGACCGACGGCGCGCTCGTCGTCGGCATCGGCGACGGCACGGGCGTCGGCGCGCCCGTGGGCGCGCCCGTGGGCGCGGCCGTCGGGAGGCTCGTGGGCGCGGACGTCGGGGGGGCCGTGGGGAGCGACGAGGGCACCGGACTCGGCGGAGCCGTCGGCGTCGACGTCGGCGGCGTCGTCGGGACGCTCGTCGGCGCGGCCGACGGCGCCGAGCTCGGCAGGGGCGTCGGGAGCGCGGTCGGCGGACTGGTCGGCACGGCCGTCGGCGGCGGGCTGATGATGCCGTAGAGCACGCCGACCTGCCAGGCGTCCAGCGCGTCCTCGTAGACGTACACCTCGTCCACGGCGCCCCGGAGCGTGTGGGAGCCCTGGACGTCGGCGCCGATGTACAGCGGCGAGCCGAGGCTCGTGTTGACGGTCGCCTTCCAGGTCTTCTCGAGGACGCCGTCCACGTAGAAGGTCACGTTCCTCGACCGGCCTTTCTCTTTCGGGACCGCGGCGTACGTCACGCAGTAGTGGTGCCACGTCTGCTCCCAGAGCCCATGCCACTTGGGCTGCACCGCGGTGGTGCCGCCGCCACCGCTGGCACCGTTTTCAGCGTTTTCACCGTTTTCACCGTCGAGCGTGAGACGACGCGTGCGTCGAGAGTTCGTCGAAGAGCCATAGCTGTACGAATAGCTGCCGCCGTGCGAGTGGCTCTTCTCGTACGAAAAGGAGTAGCTCTTCGCGCTCGACGAGGACGAGTCCTCATGACTGGCGGCGGGCGCCGGAGCCGGGCCGTAAGAATAGCTGTCGCCGTGCGAGGGGCCGTAAGAATAGCTGCCGAGGTTGCCGGAGCAGGATAAGTCGCACGTGAGGCCTAGGAATCTCTGGGCCATGTCCTCATAATGGCACTCGACCCACGCCTGGTACTCCGTTTGGCAGACGGCGGGCCCCTCGCACTCTCCGTTCGAGAGATGTTGCTGGACGTCGTCGCAGGTATTCGGCGAAAAGTCGTCGTCGTCGCCGCCGGCAAAGAAGTCGTCGTCGAGGCTTTGTTGCTTGCTGAGGCAGTCTTGGAAAGCCGCCTCTTCCGCGGGACACGCCGACACGCACTCGTTGGGAAGCGTCGCGATCGAGCTGCCCGTGATGAGGTGGATGTCGTCGTCGAACGAGTCCTCCATGCACTGACAGTCGTCCTGGCACCAGCACTCCCCGTCAGGAGTCCAATCGATGGCCACGAGGTCGGCATACGTATTCTCGCACATTGTCCAGCAGGCGCTGGCATCCGACGTGCTGCCAATCAATTCGTCGAGGTCGGAGGAACACCAGCCATTGCCGGTTCCCCAGTACGTGTAGACATAGCTGTAGGAATAGCTGCCGCCGTAGGAGGGGCTTTTCGCGCTCGACGAGTCCGGGTCGTAAGAATAGCTGCCGCCGTGCGAGTGGCTCTTCTCGTACGAAAAGGAGTAGCTCTTCGCGCTCGACGAGGACGAGTCCTCATGACTGGCGGCGGGCGCCGGAGCCGGGCCGTACGAATAGCCGCTGTCGTAGGAGTAGCTCTTCGCGCTCGACGAGTCCGGGCTCGCAAGCGTGGGAGTTGGCGCGAAGCTCGGCACCGCCGTGGGAAGAGACGTTGGCGCGGAGCTCGGCACCAAGGTCGGTACCGGCGTCGGCGCGAGCGAAGGACTGGCGGCTGGCGTCGGCGCGGGCGTCGGACAGTTGCCTTGCGTGACGCCGCACGACGTCGACTCGCAAAGAGCGTCCTCGAACGCTTCCGACAGGCTTACGTCGTTGTCGACGCACCAACCGAGGTCTTGGTCGAAGGCCGATGCGCGGTAAAACATCTGCTCCATATCCTCGACACCCTCAACGCTCCAGCCACTAATATCTTGGTTGAAGTTTGAGGCCTCTTCGAACATATCCCTCATGTTCGTAACGGCTCCAACGCTCCAGTCACCAATCGGTTGGTTGAACGCCGCGGCGAATTCGAACATATCCATCATATTCGTAACCAAGGAGGTTTCCCACGCGCCGATGCTGTTGTTGAAGGACGAAGCGTCGCGGAACATCTTCTCCATGTCCCTGACCTTGTTGACCCGCCAGCCGCCGATCGGTTGGTCGAACGCCGAGGCCTCTCGGAACATCGACCGCATCGTCGTGACGCTGGTTGTATTCCACGCGCTGATGTCGTCGTTGAAGGAAGAGGCGCCACCGTTGCGGTACTCGCAATAATCTGATACGCAAAACAACTCCTGCATGTCCGTCACCCCGCCAGTCTCCCACGTAGAAATATGGCCGTACGCCGCCTCGGCGGCCACCAGGTTCCAGAGCCACGCCGTTACGGCCGTTCTGATGGTGCTGTCGTCAAGCTTCCCGGGGCCGCTGCCACCGCAACTCACTGCAGCTGCCCAATTGACGCCACACGACGTCAACTCGCAAGGAGCGTCCTCGAACGCTTTCTCCAGGCTCACGTCGTCGTCGACGCACCAACCGAGGTCTTGGTCGAAGGCCGATGCGCCCCAGAACATCTGCTCCATATCCTCGACACTCTCAACGCTCCAGCCACTAATATCTTGGTTGAAGTTTGAGGCCTCTTCGAACATATCCTTCATGTTCGTAACGGCTCCAACGCTCCAGTCACCAATCGGTTGGTTGAACGCCGCAGCGGATTGAAACATATCCCCCATATTCGTAACCAAGGAGGTTTTCCACGCGCCGATGTTGTTATTGAAGGACGAAGCGTCGCGAAACATCAACCCCATATCCGTGACCTTGTTGACCCGCCAGCCGCTGATCGCTTGGTCGAACGACGAGGCTTCCCAGAACATCGCCACCATCGTCGTGACGCTGGTTGTATTCCACGCGCTGATGTCGTCGTTGAAGGAAGAGGCGCCACCGTTGCGGTAATCGCAATAATCTGATACGCAAAACAATTCCGACATGTCCGTCACCCCGCCGGTCTCCCACGTGGAAATATGGCCGTACGCCGCCTCGGCGGCGGTCGCATCTGAGACCCATGCACTAACGGCCGCGCGGATACTGACGTCGCTCATTGGAGTGCCTCCACACCTTAGTGCGGCCGAGTAGTAGACGCCGCACGACGTCGAATCGCACGGGGTGCCGTCGAACGCGTCGCGCAAGTTGACGACGTCGGCCACGCACCAGTCGAGGTCCTGGTCCAAGGCAGAATTCTGGAATGCCTCCTCCATATCAACAACGGCTTCAACGTTCCAGCCGCCAATGTCTTGATTGAAGGAGGACGCGTCCTGGAACATCTCTACCATCGACGTAACGCCTGAGGTATCCCACGGGCCAATGTCGTCGTTGAAGCCCGAGGCGTCTTCGAACAACTCCGACATGTCCGTCACCCCTGATGTGTCCCAAGTGGAGATGTGCCCGTAGGTCGCCTCGGCGGCCGTCGCGTCCGAGAGCCACGCGGCGACTGCCAATCGGATGCCAACGTCGCTCATCGGGCCGCCGCCGCACTTCAGAGCAGCTGCTGGCAGAATACCGCACGACGTCGACGCGCACAAGGTGCCGTCGAACGCGTCGAGCAAGTGGACTTCGTCGTTCACGCACCAGCCGAGGTCCTGGTCCAAGGCAGCATTCTGGAATACCTCCTCCATATCAACAACGGCTTCAACGTTCCAGCCGCCAATGTCTTGATTGAAGGAGGACGCGTCCTGGAACATCTCTACCATCGACGTAACGCCTGAGGTATCCCACGGGCCAATGTCGTCGTTGAAGCCCGAGGCGTCTTCGAACAACTCCGACATGTCCGTCACCCCCGATGTGTCCCAAGTGGAGATGTGCCCGTAGGTCGCCTCGGCGGCCGCCGCGTCCGAGAGCCACGCGGCGACGGCCGTGCGGATGCTGGTGTCGTCCATGGCGTAACCGCTTGGTGCCGAAGGCGAAGCCGTGGGGAGCGAGGAGGGGAGAGACGTTGGCGACGAAGTCGGATCCAGCGTCATGGAGTCCGCGTGGCCGTACGAATAGCTGACGCCGTAGGAGTAGCTCTTCGCGCTCGACGAGTCCGGGCTCGCAAGCGTGGGAGTCGGTACCGCCGTGGGAAGAGATGTTGGTGCGGCCGTCGGAGCAGAAGACGGCACGCCGGTCGGATCCAGCGTCATGGAGTCCGCGTGGCCGTACGAATAGCTGACGCCGTAGGAGTAGCTCTTCGCGCTCGACGAGTCCGGGCTCGCAAGCGTGGGAGTTGGCGCGGTGCTCGGTACGGCCGTGGGAAGAGACGTTGGCGCGGAGCTCGGTACCGTCGTGGGAAGATACGTTGGCGCGGAGCTCGGCACCGCCGTGGGAAAATACGTTGGCGCGGTGCTCGGCACCGCCGTGGGATCAGGAGACGTTGGCGCGTAGCTCGGCACCGCCGTGGGAAGAGACGTTGGCGCGGAGCTCGGTACCGCCGTGGGAAAATACGTTGGCGCGGAGCTCGGCACCGCCGTGGGAAAATACGTTGGCTCGGAGCTCGGCACCGCCGTGGGATCAGGAGACGTTGGCGCGTAGCTCGGCACCGAGGTCGGTACCGACGTCGGCGCGAACGACGAGGTCGGTACCGGCGTCGGCGCGGGCGACGGGGCAAGCGTCGGTCCCGGCGACGGCCCCTGCGCGACAAGGCGGTTGGTGTCCGTGAGGTTGACCGTGACGTTGGTGTACGCCCCCTTCGTGTGCTGCTCGAGGATCGCGAACGAGCCCGGGGTGTTGTATATGCGCAGGCCGAACAGCTCTCCCTGGGGCGCCTTTCTGCCGTACTCGAAGATCCGGGCGTCGTTCTCCCACTCGTCGATCCGCGCCCAGAGGCAGATGGACCGCGGCTGGTCTCCGGAGATGGGCTTCGTCACGTTCTTGGGCAGCTCGATGTACTTGCTGTTGTTGAGCGCCACCGCGTCGCCCGCGGGGCCGTCGCGCGCCTCGGTCTGCCGCAGCTCCGCGGCAACCATCGTGGAATTCGGAACGTTAGGTTGATCGGGCCTCCATGCCTTGCCGTGGTATCTCGACGTGTGCGCGTCGTCCAGCTTGCCGTGCGTCATCGGATAGTACGCCACGAGGTCGTACTCGTACTCGTGCGTCGTCGGCGCAGGCGTGATCGTCGGCGCCGGGGTCGGCACCGGCGACGGCGCCGGGCTTGGAAGCGGCGTCGGCGCGCCGCTGGGTAGCGAGGACGGCAGCGGCGTCGGCTGGGAGCTCGGAAGATACGTTGGCGCGCCCGTGGGTAGTTGCGACGGCGCGGCCGTCGGCATCGAAGACGGCAACGGGGACGGCCCCGGACTTGGCAGCGACGTCGGCGCGGCCGTCGGCGTCGAAGACGGCAACGGGGACGGCGCCGGACTTGGCGGCAACGTCGGCGCGGCCGTCGGAGCAGAAGACGGCAGAGCGGTCGGCAGCGTCGTCGGGACGGTCGTCGGCGTCGACGAGGGTAGCGGCGACGGCGCCGGGCTCGGCAACGGGGACGGCGCCGGACTTGGCAGCGGCGTCGGTGCGGCCGTCGGCGTCGAAGACGGCAACGGGGACGGCGCCGGACTTGGCAGCGGCGTCGGCGCGGCCGTCGGAGCAGAAGACGGGACGCCGGTCGGCAGCGTCGTCGGGACGGTCGTCGGCGTCGACGAAGGTAGCGGCGACGGCGCCGGGCTCGGCGGCACGGTGGGCACCGAGCTCGGCACGGCCGTCGGCGGCCAGGTGATGTCGTCGAAGAGGAGCCCGATTTGCGGCGCGGTCAGAGCCGTCGAGTAGACGTAGATCTCGTCCACGGCGCCCGAGAGGGTCGCCGCCCCCGCGGCGTCCGCGCCGAAGCGCAGCGCGTTCGCGTCCCCCGTTTCGAGCACCACGCGGCTCCTCTGCCACGCGGTCTGACCGTCGAAGTACAGGGTGAGGTTCCCCTTCCCCCCGCGCGACGGCCCGTCGTAGGTCAGGCAGTAGTGGTGCCAGTCGGAGCCGGCCCCGAGGGGCACGGCGACGCGGTAGCCGCCGGCGACGATCTCCAGCACGCCGTCCTTGGTCCCGGCGCGCAGGCCGAAATGCTGCTTTAGCGCCTCGTTGTAGCCGTATGTCGGCGACGACGTCGTCGGCGCGGCGGTCGTCGGAGCGGCGGTTGTCGGCGCTGGCGTTGTCTTCGATGTCGGCGCAGGCGTCGGACAGTTGCCTTGCGTGACGCCGCACGACGTCGACTCGCACTGGGTGTTGCCGAACGCGTAGTCCAGGTCCACGCCGTCGTCCACGCACCAGCCGAGGTCCTGGTCGAAGGCCGAGGCGCTGCTGAACATGGCGTACATCCTTGTGACGCCGGAGGTGTCCCACGCGCCGATGTCCTGGTTAAAGGCCGAGGCGTAGCCGAACATGGAGTACATCGTTGTGACGCCGGAGGTGTCCCATGCGCCGATGTCTTGATTAAAGGCCGCGGCAATGTAGAACATCCTGTACATCGTTGTGACGCCGGAGGTGTCCCACGCGCCGATGTCCTCGTTGAAGGACGAGGCATCTTCGAACAGCTCCTCCATGTCCGTCACGCCTCCAGTCTCCCACGTCGAGATGTGGCCGTACGTCGCCTCGGCGGCCGTCGCGTCCGAGAGCCACGCGGCGACTGCCAATCGGATGCCAACGTCGCTCATCGGGCCGCCGCCGCACGTCAGAGCAGCTGCTGGAAGAATACCGCACGACGTCGACTCGCACTGGGTGTTTTCGAACGCTCTGTACGGGTTCACGTCGTCGTCCAGGCACCAGCCGAGGTCCTGGTCGAAGGCCGAGGCGGAGTAGAACATGTAATCCATCATTGTGACGCCGGAGGTGTCCCAAGCGCCGATGTCCTCGTTGAAGGACGCCGCGGCAGTGTTGCAAGCATTTGCTGTACCTCCGCAAAACAAATACGACATGTCCGTCACCCCTGATGTCTCCCACGTCGAGATGTGGCCGTACATCGCCTCGGCGACCGCCGCGTCGTCGAACCACGCAGTGACGGCCGTTCTAATCATCGTGTCGTCCATGAAGTAGCCGCTCGCAGAACCGTCGAGCCGCCGGCGCGCCGCCGCGCTCGAGTCCGAGTACGAGTACGAGTAGGACGACGCGCCGCACGTAATGTAGTGGCACGCGCCGTGGCTCAATTTCTTTTCCTCAATAAGAGCGCCCGCGGCGTCGCGGAGCGTGTACGTTTCCGTGGCGAGGCTGCAGCGGATGGATGTAGTCTCGGACCAGGCGTGGTACGCCGTGAAGTTGTACGTCGCCACGCAGTCGTCGCACGACGTGCAGCCGACGCCCGCCCGGATCGACCCGTCGGCGAGGCACCGGTACCAGCCCTCCCCGTCGCAGGCCTCGTCGGCCCCGCCGTACTCGAACAGGTAGCCCCCGGCCCACGAATCTACGCGTGCCAGTACACAGATAGTGCGGTCGTAGTCGCGGCCGATGTCCTCCGTAACAGCCGCCGGCAGCTCGAGGAAGCCGGCGTCGCCGACGAGTAGCGCGCCGCCGCGGTCCTTGCCGACCGGCTGGACGGCCGCGGCCGGCGACTCGCCGAGGAGCCAGGCGTGGTGCGCGCCGGCGGCGTCCCTCAGGCCGTCGTCGAACGGATAGTAGGCCACCAGCGAGCCCTCGAAGAAGTCGCCGGTCGGCGCGTCCGTCACCGTCGGCGCCGCCGTCACGTCGTCGTAGAGGACGGCGACGGCCGACGCGTCCAAAGCGCTCGCGTAGATGTAGACCTCGTCGAGGGAACCGCTGAGCGGGCGATTGTACGTGGCGTCGGTGCCTAGGCGCATGGCCGTCCCTTCCGGCGCAGTGTCCAGGAGCACGTTCTCGGCGGCCCACTGCTTGTCGCCGTCGAAGTAGAAAGTAAGATCCGAGTTGCCGCCTCGACTGGGCCCGTCATACGTGAGACAGAAGTGATGGAACTCTCGCCAGTCGATGCGGCGGCCCAGGTCCACGATTTGCCTCCCGCCTACGATCTCGAGCTGGCCCTCGACAGTTCCGGCGCAGAGGCCAAATGTCTGCTCCGCAAACTCTACCGCGTGGTGCGCTTCCGTCGCAGCTTCGGCCGAGTACGAGTACGAGTAGGATCCGGCGAGGCGGCGTCGCCGCCTCGAAGCCGACGAACCGCCGTACGAGTAGGAGTAAGAGTAGGACATCGCGGCCCCGGTGGCGTCCTCAGCCCCCCGTGCGCAGTAATCGGTCACCCAGGTGCCGTCGCAGTTCGCCTCCTCGATGAACGCGACGCAGTCATACTTGGACCGGTCCTCGCCATAGGATTGGATGGAGTAGCGCAGCACGAAATTCTCCGGGCAGCACCCCTGTGATGCGACCTCCTCCAACGTCGTGGCGCCATTGCAGTTGGCGAATTCGCAACCGTAGCAATACGTGCAGCAGCTTGCGCCGTCGCCGCCGCTGCTGGTAACCTGCGAACCGTCGCCGCCGTAGTAGAACAAGCACCCACCTTTCCACTCGTCGATACGCGCCCACAAACACACAGTCCGGTCGGCGTCGCCGAGCACGTCCTGCGTCGCTTCCGGTGGCAAAGTGACGGAGTCCCGGCGTTCCGCGTCCAGCACGATCGCCGATCCACCGTCCCGGCCCTCGGTCGCGGCCATGGTCGAGGGCATGCCATTCCAGCTGTTATAGGCGTCTTGCGTCGCCCCGTCGACGAACGGATAGTACGCCACGAGCGTGCCCTCGAACCAGTGGCTCGTCGGCACAGGCGTGACCGTCGGCGCCGCGCTCACGCTGCCGTAGAGCACCTCAATGGCCGACGCGTCCAGCGCGCTCGCGTAGATGTAGGCCTCGTCGAGGGCGCCGCTGAGCGGGCGTTCGTACGTGGCGTCGCTGCCGAGGCGCATGGCCGTCCCTTCCGGCGCAGTGTCCAGGAGCACGTTCTCGGCGGCCCACTGCTTGTCGCCGTCGAAGTAGAAAGTAAGATCCGAGTCGCCGCCTCGACTGGGCCCGTCATACGTGAGACAGAAGTGATGGAACTCTCGCCAGTCGATGCGGCGCCCCAGGTCCACGATTTGCCTCCCGCCTACGATCTCGAGCTGGCCCTCGACGTTTCCGGCGCAGAGGCCAAATGTCTGCTCCGCAAACTCTACCTCGTCTGCGCCGCACCACAAGCCGCCGCCAGCTAAGCACTCACTTTGGCTGGTACAAGTGCCGCACTCATCCTTTTGAGTTTCGTCGTTGGATGCGCACGACCCGGTAATGTAACACGCACTGCACGAGTCGCACGGGTTGGTGGCAGTTTCGGCCGAGTACGAGTACGAGTAGGATCCGGCGAGGAGGCGTCGCTGCCTCGACGCCGACGAACCGCCGTACGAGTAGGAGTAAGAGTAGGATATCGCGCCCCCGGTGGCCGCATCCGATCCTGCGCCGCACCACAAGCCGCCGCCAGCTAAGCACTCACTTTGGGAGGAACAAGTGCCGCACTCATCCTTTTGAGTTTCGTCGTTGGATGCGCACGACCCGGTAATGTAACACGCACTGCACGAGTCGCACGGGTTGCTGGTCCCCTGCGAACCGTCGCCGCCGTAGTAGAACAAGCACCCACCTTTCCACTCGTCGATACGCGCCCACAAACACACAGTCCGGTCGGCGTCGCCGAGCACGTCCTGCGTCGCCTCTGGGGGCAGCGTGACGGCAGCTCCGTGGTCCAGGGCGATCGCCGATCCACCGTCTCGGCCCTCGGTCGTGGCCATGGTCTCGGGCGTGCCGTCCCAACCCTGATAGATGTCATGCGTCGTCCCGTCGGCAAAATCGTAGTAGGCGATGAGGCTTCCCTGGAACCAGTGGCTCGTCGGCGCAGGCGAGACGGTCGGCGCGATCGACGGAAGGGCGGTCGGCCGCGCGGTCGTCGGAATACCGGTAGGCACGTTCGTCGGCTGTGGGCTGGGCAGAGGCGTCGGAGGCCCCGTGGGCACGGACGTCGGAAGGGCCGTGGGCACGGCCGACGGCGGCGGGCTGATGATGCCGTAGAGCACGCCGACCTGCCAGGCGTCCAGCGCGTCCTCGTAGACGTACACCTCGTCCACGGCGCCATCTAGCGTTTTGGAGCCCTGGACGTCCGCGCCGATGTACAGCGGCGAGCCGAGGCTCGTGTTGACGGTCGCTTTCCAGGTATCCTCCGCGACGCCGTCCACGTAAAAGGTCACGTTTCTCGGCCGGCCTTTCTCTTTCGGGACCGCGGCGTACGTCACGCAGTAGTGGTGCCACGTCTTCTCCCAGAGCCGATGCCATGGCGGAGAGCCGCTGTCGCTGTCGAACGTGAGGCGGCGATCGCGTCGAGAGTTCGCGTAGCTGTAGGAATAGCTGCCGCCGTAGGAGGGGCTCTTCGCGCTCGACGAGTCCGCGTAGCTGTACGAATAGCTGCCGTCGTAGACTGAGCCCATCGTCGGTCCCGGCGACGGCCCCTGCGCGACAAGGCGGTTGGTGTCCGTGAGGTTGACCGTGACGTTGGTGTACGCCCCCTTCGGGTGCTGCGCGAGGATCGCGAACGAGCCCGGGGTGTTCCAGGTGCGCAGGCCGAACAGCTCTCCCTGGGGCGCCTTTCTGCCGTACTCGAAGATCCGGGCGTCGTTCGTCCACTTGTCGATCCGCGCCCAGAGGCAGATGGTCCGCGGCCGGTCTCCGGAGATGTGCTTCGTCACGTTCCTGGGCAGCTCGATGTACTTGCTGTTGTTGAGCGCCACCGCGTCGCCCGCGGGGCCGTCGCGCGCCTCGGTCTGCCGCAGCTCCGCGGCAACCATCATGGAGTTCGGAACGTTAGGTTGATCGGGCCTCCATGCCTTGCCGTGGTATCTCGACGTGTGCGCGTCGTCCAGCTTGCCGTGCGTCATCGGGTAGTAGGCCACGAGGTCGTACTCGTACTCGTGCGTCGTCGGCGCAGGCGAAATTGTCGGCGCCGGGGTTGGCACCGGCGACGGCGCCGGGCTCGGCAGCGGCGTCGGCGCTGGGCTCGGCAGAGGCGTCGGAGGCCCCGTGGGCACGGACGTCGGAAGGGCCGTGGGCACGGCCGACGGCGGCGGGCTGATGATGCCGTAGAGCACGCCGACCTGCCAGGCGTCCAGCGCGTCCTCGTAGACGTACACCTCGTCCACGGCGCCATCTAGCGTTTTGGAGCCCTGGACGTCCGCGCCGATGTACAGCGGCGAGCCGAGGCTCGTGTTGACGGTCGCTTTCCAGGTATCCTCCGCGACGCCGTCCACGTAAAAGGTCACGTTCCTCGGCCGGTCTTTCTCTTTCGGGACCGCGGCGTACGTCACGCAGTAGTGGTGCCACGTCTTCTCCCAGAGCCGATGCCATGGCGGAGAGCCGCTGTCGCTGTCGAACGTGAGGCGGCGATCGCGTCGAGAGTTCGCGTAGCTGTACGAATAGACATAGCTGTAGGAATAGCTGCCGCCGTAGGAGGGGCTCTCCGCGCTCGACGAGTCCGCGTAGCTGTACGAATAACTGCCGTCGTAGGCTGAGCCCCCCGTCGGCCTAGGGCTCGCCCCCTGCGCGACAAGGCGGTCGGTGTCCGTGAGGTTGACCGTGACGTTGGTGTACGCCCCCTTCGGGTGCTGCGCGAGGATCGCGAACGAGCCCGGGGTGTTCCAGGTGCGCAGGCCGAACAGCTCTCCCTGGGGCGCCTTTCTGCCGTACTCGAAGATCCGGGCGTCGTTCGTCCACTTGTCGATCCGCGCCCAGAGGCAGATGGTCCGCGGCCGGTCTCCGGAGATGTGCTTCGTCACGTTCCTGGGCAGCTCGATGTACTTGCTGTTGTTGAGCGCCACCGCGTCGCCCGCGGGGCCGTCGCGCGCCTCGGTCTGCCGCAGCTCCGCGGCAACCATCATGGAGTTCGGAACGTTAGGTTGATCGGGCCTCCATGCCTTGCCGTGGTATCTCGACGTGTGCGCGTCGTCCAGCTTGCCGTGCGTCATCGGGTAGTAGGCCACGAGGTCGTACTCGTACTCGTGCGTCGTCGGCGCAGGCGAAATTGTCGGCACGAGCGACGGTAGCGACGACGGCGCCGGGCTCGGCAGCTGCGACGGCGCCGGGCTCGGCGGCACGGTGGGCACCGAGCTCGGCACGGCCGTCGGCGGCCAGGTGATGTCGTCGAAGAGGAGCCCGATTTGCGGCGCGGTCAGAGCCGTCGAGTAGACGTAGATCTCGTCCACGGCGCCCGCGAGGGTCGCCGCCCCCGCGGCGTCCGCGCCAAAGCGCAGCGCGTTCGCGTCCCCCTCCCCCGTGTCAAGCACCACGCGGCTCCTCTGCCACGCGGTCTGACCGTCGAAGTACAGGGTGAGGTTCCCCTTCCCCCCGCGCGACGGCCCGTCGTAGGTCAGGCAGTAGTGGTGCCAGTCGGAGCCGGCCCCGAGGGGCACGGCGACGCGGTAGCCGCCGGCGACGATCTCCAGGACGCCGTCCTTGGTCCCGGCGCGCAGGCCGAAATGCTGCTTTAGCGCCTCGTTGTAGCCGTATGTCGGCGAGGACGTCGTCGGCGCGGCGGTCGTCGGCGCTCGCGTCGCGCCTGTGGCTGTCGGACGCGGCGTCGGCTGCCATGTCGGCGCGGGCATGGGGCAGCCGCCTTGCGTGACGCCGCACGACGTCGACGCGCAGGGGGGTCCCGCTAGCCCATTCATCGCGCTGTCGTCGAACGCGCTATCCAGGTACACATCGTCGTCCACGCACCAGCTGAGGTCCTGGTCGAAGGCCGAGGCGCCGCTGAACATGCTGCCTATGCTCGTGACGCCGTTGATTGCCCAACCACTGATGTCCTGGTTGAAGGCCGAGGCTTCGCAGAACATCATGGTCATATCCGTGACGCTGTGAACTGCCCAATTACCAATGTCTTGGTTAAAGGCCGAGGCTTGGAAGAAGACTCCGATCAGATTCTTGACATTGCCAACGCTCCAGGCGCCGATCGGTTGGTCAAACGACAAGGCGTACTCGAACATCCCCTGCATATCAGTAACGGCCCCAACGCTCCAATCGCCGATCGGTCGATTAAAGTCCTCGGCGCCATAGAACATTCTCACCATCGTCGTGACGCCGGAGGTGTCCCACGCACCGATGTCTTCGTTGAAGGACGAAACAGCTTCCTGAGCTGAATCGCACCATCTACAAAACAACTCCGACATGTCCGTCACCCCTGATGTCTCCCACGTCGAGATGTGGCCGTACATCGCCTCGGCGACCGCCGCGTCGTCGAACCACGCAGTGACGGCCGTTCTAATCATCGTGTCGTCCATGAAGTAGCCGCTCGCAGAACCGTCGAGCCGCCGGCGCGCCGGCGCGTACGAGTAAGAGTAGGAGTACGAGTAGAACGACGCGCCGCACGGAATGTACTGGCACGCACTCATCTTGCCTTCCTCAAGGACCACGCCCGCGGCGTCGCGGCGCGTGAACGTTTCCGTGGCGAGGTTGCAGCGGATGGATGTAGTCTCGGACCAGGCGAGGTACGCCGTGTAGTTGTACGTCGCCACGCAGTCGTCGCACGACGTGCAGCCGACGCCCGCCCGGATCGACCCGTCGGCGAGGCACCGGTACCAGCCCTCCCCGTCGCAGGCCTCGTCGGCCCCGCCGTACTCGAACAGGTAGCCCCCGGCCCACGAATCGATGCGTGCCAGTACACAGATAGTGCGGTCGTAGTCGCGGCCGATGTCCTCCGTAACAGCCGCCGGCAGCTCGAGGAAGCCGGCGTCGCCGACGAGTAGCGCGCCGCCGCGGTCCTTGCCGATCGGCTGGACGGCCGCGGCCGGCGACTCGCCGAGGAGCCAGGCGTGGTGCGCGCCGGCGGCGTCCCTCAGGAGGTCGTCGAACGGATAGTACGCCACCAGCGAGCCCTCGAAGAAGTCGCCGGTCGGCGCGACCGTCACCGTCGGCGCCGCCGTCACGTCGTCGTAGAGGACGGCGACGGCCGACGCGTCCAGGGCGCTCGCGTAGATGTAGACCTCGTCGAGGGCGCCGCTGAGCGGGCGTTCGTACGTGGCGTCGGTGCCGAGGCGCATGGCCGTCCCTTCCGGCGCAGTGTCCAGGAGCACGTTCTCGGCGGCCCACTGCTTGTCGCCGTCGAAGTAGAAAGTAAGATCCGAGTTCCCGCCTCGACTGGGCCCGTCATACGTGAGACAGAAGTGATGGAACTCTCGCCAGTCGATGCGGCGGCCCAAGTCCACGATTTGCCTCCCGCCTACGATCTCGAGCTGGCCCTCGACGTTTCCGGCGCAGAGGCCAAATGTCTGCTCCGCAAACTCTACCGTTTGGTCCGCGCCCGTCGCAGTTTCGGCCGAGTACGAGTACGAGTAGGATCCGGCGAGGAGGCGTCGCCGCCTCGAAGCCGACGAACCGCCGTACGAGTAGGAGTAAGAGTAGGACATCGCGGCCCCGGTGGCCACATCCGATCCTGCCCCGTCGCCGCCGCTGCTGGTCACCTGCGAACCGTCGCCGCCGTAGTGGAACAAGCACCCACCTTTCCACTCGTCGATGCGCGCCCACAAACACACAGTCCGGTCGGCGTCGCCGAGCACGTCCTGCGTCGCCTCTGGGGGCAGCGTGACAGAGTCCCGGCGTTCCGCGTCCAACACGATCGCCGTCGAACCGTCTCGGCCCTCGGTCGTGGTCATGCTCTCGGGCGTGCCGTGCCAGCCGTGATGAGCGTCTTGCGTCGTCCCGTCGACGAACGGATAGTACGCCACCAGCGAGCCCTCAAACAAATGGCTCGTCGGCACGGGCGTGACCGTCGGCGCCGCGCTCACGCTGCCGTAGAGCACCTCAATGTCCGACGCGTCCAGGGCGCTCGCGTAGACATAGACCTCGTCCAGCGCCGCGCTCAGGGAATCACTGTACATCTGGCTCATTCCGAGAGACATCCAGCGCCCCTCTTCTATCTTCGTGTCGAGGCTTAGAGTCTCCTGCAATTGCTGGTCGCCGTCGAAGTAGAAGGCCAGCGTCGACTCGCCGCCACGGCTCGGACCGTCGTACGTGAGACAGAAGTGATGAAATTCTCGCCAGTCGATTGTGCGGCCGAGGCTCACTGACGCTCGCGTGTCGTCGGCGATGATCACCAGATCGCCTTCCACGGTGCCGACGCGCAGGCCAAAGGACGCCGAGAGCTCGGTCGTGAGCCGCCGCCGCCGCGACGCTGGCGCGTAACTATACGAGTAGGAGTGCGAGTGGGAGATAGTGCTCTCGCCTTCGTCGCCCTCGCCGGGGCCGCACTCCTGCGGCAGCGATGCGACCGCCGAGTCGCGAGTGATGAGGTAGACTTCGTCATCTCCGACATCTTGCATGCACTGACAGTCGTTCTGGCAGTAGCAGTCGCCGTCGTCCACCCAGTCGATGGCCACCAAATTATCTCCGTACGCCTCCACACACATCTCCGAACAGTCGCTCGGCGACGCCGCGCAGCCCACGAGGTCGTCCAGGCCGCTGCGGCACCACCCGTTCCCGGCGCCGTGGTTCGTCGTGCCGCTTGGAGAGGAGGTGAGGTCGCCGGACGTCTCGATGTTACATGACACGCAGTCCTCATACGAGCACCCTGGGAACTGTCCCACCTCGTCGACGTTGCCGTCGAGGTCTTCGTCGTAATAATAGGTATTCGTACCCGGCTCGCAGGTGACTCGGCCGCCCATTTCGGCCGTCAAGTCGTGTGTCGTCGCGCAGTCGTCGCATGATTGGCATCCAAAGCCCTGCATCACCGTTCCATCCTCTCGGCACTCCTTAACATCATACCCCGGCGTGCAGCCCTCGCCACTGCCTCCGTAATGGAACAGGTAGCCGCCGTTCCACTCGTCAATGCGCGCCCAGAGACAGACGGTTCGATCGGCGTCGCCGTCGAGGTCTTGCACCACCTCCCAGGGAAGCCAGACGGAGTCCCCGTGATCGGCGTCCAACACGATCGCCGTACCACCGTCCCGGCCCTCGGTCGTGGCCAAGGTCTCGGGCGTGCCGTGCCAGGTGTGATGAGCGTCTTGCGTCGTCCCGTCGACGAACGGATAGTACGCCACCAGCGAGCCCTCAAACAAATGGCTCGTCGGCACGGGCGTGACCGTCGGCGCCGCGCTCACGCTGCCGTAGAGCACCTCAATGTCCGACGCGTCCAGGGCGCTCGCGTAGACATAGACCTCGTCCAGCGCCGCGCTCAGGGAATCACTGTACATCTGGCTCATTCCGAGAGACATCCAGCGCCCCTCTTCTATCTTCGTGTCGAGGCTTAGAGTCTCCTGCAACTGTTGGTCGCCGTCGAAGTAGAAGGCCAGCGTCGACTCGCCGCCGCGGCTCGGGCCGTCGTACGTGAGACAGAAGTGATGAAATTCTCGCCAGTCGATTGTTCGGCCGAGGCTCACTGACGCTCGCGTGTCGTCGGCGATGATCACCAGATCGCCTTCCGCGGTGCCGACGCGCAGGCCAAAGGACGCATAGAGTTCGGTCGTGAGCCGTCGCCGCCGCGACGCTGGCGCGTAACTATACGAGTAGGAGTGCGACGCAGGGGGGCAGCAATTCGTGTTCTTCAGCCCACCGTACCAATTGTAGATTTCTGAGCAGCCCGAACCTCCGGTTGCGTCCCCGCTCTCCCGATGTCGGGTGTCGATCTCCTCGCAAGTTTGCGTGCACGAGTGCCCTGCGGCTCGCATATCGTCGTCGGACATTCCATTAGTGCTGGGTTCCACACCGTTACCGCTCTGCCAGCTCCCGCATGCGTTGCCGTCGAGCATCTCGCCCACCTGGCAGATTCCATTGGGCATCGGGCCGCACTCGTCGCCTCCGTCGTACGAACCGCCGTAGTGGAACAGGTAGCCGCCGTTCCACTCGTCAATGCGCGCCCAGAGACACAGGGTTCGATCGGCGTCACCGTCGAGGTCTCGCACCACCTCCCAGGGAAGCCAGACGGACTCCCAGCGCTCCGCGTCCAACACGATCGCCGTACCACCGTCCCGGCCCTCGGTCGTGGCCAAGGTCTCGGGCGTGCCGTGCCAGGTGTGATGAGCGTCTTGCGTCGTCCCGTCGACGAACGGATAGTACGCCACCAGCGAGCCCTCAAACAAATGGCTCGTCGGCACGGGCGTGACCGTCGGCGCCGCGCTCACGCTGCCGTAGAGCACCGCAATGGCCGACGCGTCCAGGGCGCTCGCGTAGATGTAGGCTTCGTCGAGGGCGCCGCTGAGCGGGCGTTCGTACGTGGCGTCGGTGCCGAGGCGCATGGCCGTCCCTTCCGGCGCAGTGTCCAGGAGCACGTTCTCGGCGGCCCACTGCTTGTCGCCGTCGAAGTAGAAAGTAAGATCCGAGTTCCCGCCTCGACTGGGCCCGTCATACGTGAGACAGAAGTGATGGAACTCTCGCCAGTCGATGCGGCGGCCCAAGTCCACGATTTGCCTCCCGCCTACGATCTCGAGCTGGCCCTCGACGTTTCCGGCGCAGAGGCCAAATGTCTGCTCCGCAAACTCTACCGTTTGGTCCGCGCCCGTCGCAGTTTCGGCCGAGTACGAGTACGAGTAGGATCCGGCGAGGAGGCGTCGCCGCCTCGAAGCCGACGAACCGCCGTACGAGTAGGAGTAAGAGTAGGACATCGCGGCCCCGGTGGCCACATCTGATCCTGCCCCGTCGCCGCCGCTGCTGGTCACCTGCGAACCGTCGCCGCCGTAGTGGAACAAGCACCCACCTTTCCACTCGTCGATGCGCGCCCACAAACACACAGTCCGGTCGGCGTCGCCGAGCACGTCCTGCGTCGCCTCTGAGGGCAGCGTGACGGCAGCTCCGTGGTCCAGGGCGATCGCCGTACCACCGTCTCGGCCCTCGGTCGTGGCCAAGGTCTCGGGCGTGCCGTGCCAGGTGTGATGAGCGTCTTGCGTCGTCCCGTCGACGAACGGATAGTACGCCACCAGCGAGCCCTCAAACAAATGGCTCGTCGGCACGGGCGTGACCGTCGGCGCCGCGCTCACGCTGCCGTAGAGCACCTCAATGTCCGACGCGTCCAGGGCGCTCGCGTAGACATAGACCTCGTCCAGCGCCGCGCTCAGGGAATCACTGTACATCTGGCTCATTCCGAGAGACATCCAGCGCCCCTCTTCTATCTTGGTGTCGAGGCTTAGAGTCTCCTGCAATTGCTGGTCGCCGTCGAAGTAGAAGGCCAGCGTCGACTCGCCGCCGCGGCTCGGGCCGTCGTACGTGAGACAGAAGTGATGAAATACTCGCCAGTCGATTGTGCGGCCGAGGCTGACTGACGCTCGAGTGTCGTCGGCGATGATCACCAGATCGCCTTCCGCGGTGCCGACGCGCAGGCCAAAGGACGCATAGAGTTCGGTCTGTTCGTCGTGCGTGAGCCGTCGCCGCCGCCGCGTCGCATCGCCCGCAGGGCTGGAGCCGAGGGTAGGATGGTACGTCGGCCTTGGCACTGTCGGCCGAGGTGTCGGGGCGCTCGACGGTACGTAGCTCGGCGGCGCAGTCGTGGGGACCCGCGTGAGGTAGCTTGGCGCCGCGGTCTCCTCGACCGTCGGCTCGTAGGTCTCTTGCAACGTCGGCGCGTACGACCCTGGGTGGGAGGAGCCGCCGTAGTGGAACAGGTAGCCGCCGTTCCACTCGTCAATGCGCGCCCAGAGACAGACGGTTCGATCGGCGTCACCGTCGAGGTCTTGCACCACCTCCCAGGGAAGCCAGACGGAGTCCCCGTGATCGGCGTCCAACACGATCGCCGTACCACCGTCTCGGCCCTCGGTCGTGGTCATGCTCTCGGGGTAGCCGTGCCAGGTGTGATGAGCGTCTTGCGTCGTCCCGTCGACGAACGGATAGTACGCCACCAGCGAGCCCTCAAACAAATGGCTCGTCGGCACGGGCGTGACCGTCGGCGCCGCGCTCACGCTGCCGTAGAGCACGGCGACGGCCGACGCGTCCAAGGCGCTCGCGTAGATGTAGGCCTCGTCGAGGGCGCCGGTCAGCGGGCGATCGTACGTGGCGTCGGTGCCGAGGCGCATGGCCGTCCCTTCCGGCGCCGTGTCGAGGAGCACATTCTCGGTCCACTGCTTGTCGCCGTCGAAGTAGAAAGTAAGGTCCGAGTTCCCGCCTCGGCTGGGCCCGTCATACGTGAGACAGAAGTGATGGAATTCTCGCCAGTCGATTGTGCGGCCCAGGTCAACGGTTCGACTCCCGCCCACGATCTCGAGCTGGCCCTCAACGGTTCCGGCGCAGAGGCCAAATGTCTCCTCCGCATACTCTACCGTGTGGTCCGCGCCCGTCGCAGTTTCGGCTGAGTACGAGTACGAGTAGGATCCGGCGAGGCGGCGTCGCCGCCTCGACGCCGACGAACCGCCGTACGAGTAGGAGTAAGAGTAGGATATCGCGGCCCCGGTGGCATCCTCACCCCCCCGCGCGCAGGAATCGGTCACCCAGGTGCCGTCGCAGTTCGCCTCCTCGATGAACGCGACGCAGTCATACTTGGACCGGTCCTCGCCATAGGATTGGATGGAGTAGCGCAGCACGAAATTCTCCGGGCAGCACCCCTGTGATGCGACCTCCTCCAAAGTCGTGGCGCCATTGCAGTTGGCGAATTCGCAACCGTAGCAATACGTGCAGCAGCTTGCGCCGTCGCCGCCGCTGCTGGTAACCTGCGAACCGTCGCCGCCGTAGTAGAACAAGCACCCACCTTTCCACTCGTCGATACGCGCCCACAAACACACAGTCCGGTCGGCGTCGCCGAGCATGTCCTGCGTCGCCTCCCAGGGAAGCGTGACGGCTGCTCCGTGCTCCAACACGATCGCCGTCGAACCGTCCCGGCCCTCGGTCGTGGTCATGCTCTCGGGGTAGCCGTGCCAGGTGTGATGAGCGTCTTGCGTCGTCCCGTCGACGAACGGATAGTACGCCACCAGCGAGCCCTCAAACAAATGGCTCGTCGGCACGGGCGTGACCGTCGGCGCCGCGCTCACGCTGCCGTAGAGCACCTCAATGTCCGACGCGTCCAGGGCGCTCGCGTAGATGTAGACCTCGTCCAGCGCCGCGCTCAGGGAATCACTGTACATCTGGCTCATTCCGAGAGACATCCAGCGCCCCTCTTCTATCTTGGTGTTGAGGCTTAGAGTCTCCTGCAATTGCTGGTCGCCGTCGAAGTAGAAGGCCAGCGTCGACTCGCCGCCGCGGCTCGGGCCGTCGTACGTGAGACAGAAGTGATGAAATACTCGCCAGTCGATTGTGCGGCCGAGGCTGACTGACGCTCGAGTGTCGTCGGCGATGATCACCAGATCGCCTTCCGCGGTGCCGACGCGCAGGCCAAAGGACGCATAGAGTTCGGTCTGTTCGTCGTGCGTGAGCCGTCGCCGCCGCCGCGTCGCATCGCCCGCAGGGCTGGAGCCGAGGGTAGGATGGTACGTCGGCCTTGGCACTGTCGGCCGAGGTGTCGGGGCGCTCGACGGTACGTAGCTCGGCGGCGCAGTCGTGGGGACCCGCGTGAGGTAGCTTGGCGCCGCGGTCTTCTCGACCGTCGGCTCGTAGGTCTCTTGCAACGTCGGCGCGTACGATCCTGGGTCGGAGGAGCCGCCGTAGTGGAACAGGTAGCCGCCGTTCCACTCGTCAATGCGCGCCCAGAGACAGACGGTTCGATCGGCGCCACCGTCGAGGTCTCGCACCACCTCCCAGGGAAGCCAGACGGAGTCCCCGTGATCGGCGTCCAACACGATCGCCGTACCACCGTCCCGGCCCTCGGTCGTGGCCAAGGTCTCGGGGTAGCCGTTCCAGGTGTGATGAGCGTCTTGCGTCGTCCCGTTGACGAACGGATAGTACGCCACCAGCGAGCCCTCAAACAAATGGCTCGTCGGCACGGGCGTGACCGTCGGCGCCGCGCTCACGCTGCCGTAGAGCACCTCAATGGCCGACGCGTCCAGCGCATTCGCGTAGATGTAGGCCTCGTCGAGGGCGCCGGTCAGCGGGCGATCGTACGTGGCGTCGGTGCCTAGGCGCATGGCCGTCCCTTCCGGCGCCGTGTCGAGGAGCACATTCTCGGTCCACTGCTTGTCGCCGTCGAAGTAGAAAGTAAGGTCCGAGTTCCCGCCTCGGCTGGGCCCGTCATACGTGAGACAGAAGTGATGGAATTCTCGCCAGTCGATTGTGCGGCCCAGGTCAACGGTTCGACTCCCGCCCACGATCTCGAGCTGGCCCTCAACGGTTCCGGCGCAGAGGCCAAATGTCTCCTCCGCATACTCTACCGTGTGGTCCGCGCCCGTCGCAGTTTCGGCTGAGTACGAGTACGAGTAGGATCCGGCGAGGCGGCGTCGCCGCCTCGACGCCGACGAACCGCCGTACGAGTAGGAGTAAGAGTAGGATATCGCGCCCCCGTCGCCGCCGCTGCTGGTCCCGTGTGAGCTGTCTTGCCCGCTGCAGCCCCGCAAGGACCCACAGCCCTCGTCCCGGAACCAGCGACCGATGTCCGAGCCGTCGTCGAAGTCGCAGCCGCCGCTCACGAACGCTGCGAGCTCGCTCTCCCCGATGGCGTCGCGGCAAATGTCGCAGTCTTCTCCCAAACAGTCACTGCAGATCTCCGAGTGCGGCTCGTTGCCCTCGCACTGGGAGTTCACGCACGCGAGACAGCTGTCCATCTCGACACTGCCTCCGTAATAGAACAAGCACCCACCTTTCCACTCGTCGATTCGGGCCCACAAACACACAGTCCGGTCTGCGTCGCCGAGCATGTCCTGCGTTGCCTCCCAGGGGAGCGTGACGGCTGCTCCGTGCTCCAACACGATCGCCGTACCACCGTCTCGGCCCTCGGTCGTGGTCATGCTCTCGGGCGTGCCGTGCCAGCTGTGATGAGCGTCTTGCGTCGTCCCGCCGACGAACGGATAGTACGCCACCAGCGAGCCCTCAAACAAATGGCTCGTCGGCACGGGCGTGACCGTCGGCGCCGCGCTCACGCTGCCGTAGAGCACCTCAATGTCCGACGCGTCCAGGGCGCTCGCGTAGACATAGACCTCGTCCAGCGCCGCGCTCAGGGAATCACTGGACATCTGGCTCATTCCGAGAGACATCCAGCGCCCCTCTTCTATCTTGGTGTTGAGGCTTAGAGTCTCCTGCAATTGCTGGTCGCCGTCGAAGTAGAAGGCCAGCGTCGACTCGCCGCCGCGGCTCGGGCCGTCGTACGTGAGACAGAAGTGATGAAATACTCGCCAGTCGATTGTGCGGCCGAGGCTGACTGACGCTCGAGTGTCGTCGGCGATGATCACCAGATCGCCTTCCGCGGTGCCGACGCGCAGGCCAAAGGACGCATAGAGTTCGGTCTGTTCGTCGTGCGTGAGCCGTCGCCGCCGCCGCGTCGCATCGCCCGCAGGGCTGGAGCCGAGGGTAGGATGGTACGTCGGCCTTGGCACTGTCGGCCGAGGTGTCGGGGCGCTCGACGGTACGTAGCTCGGCGGTGCAGTCGTGGGGACCCGCGTGAGGTAGCTCGGCGCCGCGGTCTCCTCGACCGTCGGCTCGTAGGTCTCTTGCAACGTCGGCTCGTAGGTCTTGCAACGCGTCGGCGCGCACGATCCTGGGTGAGGGCGCCGTAGTGGAACATGTAGCCGCCGTTCCACTCGTCAATGCGCGCCCAGAGACAGACGGTTCGATCGGCGCCACCGTCGAGGTCTCGCACCACCTCCCAGGGAAGCCAAACGGAGTCCCCGTGATCGGCGTCCAACACGATCGCCGTACCACCGTCTCGGCCCTCGGTCGTGGTCATGCTCTCGGGGTAGCCGTTCCAGGTGTGATGAGCGTCTTGCGTCGTCCCGTCGACGAACGGATAGTACGCCACCAGCGAGCCCTCAAACAAATGGCTCGTCGGCACGGGCGTGACCGTCGGCGCCGCGCTCACGCTGCCGTAGAGCACGGCGACGGCCGACGCGTCCAAGGCGCTCGCGTAGATGTAGGCCTCGTCGAGGGCGCCGGTCAGCGGGCGATCGTACGTGGCGTCGGTGCCGAGGCGCATGGCCGTCCCTTCCGGCGCCGTGTCGAGGAGCACGTTCTCGGTCCACTGCTTGTCGCCGTCGAAGTAGAAAGTAAGATCCGAGTTCCCGCCTCGACTGGGCCCGTCATACGTGAGACAGAAGTGATGGAACTCTCGCCAGTCGATGCGGCGGCCCAAGTCCACGATTTGCCTCCCGCCTACGATCTCGAGCTGGCCCTCAACGGTTCCGGCGCAGAGGCCAAATGTCTCCTCCGCATACTCTACCGTGTGGTCCGCGCCCGTCGCAGTTTCGGCTGAGTACGAGTACGAGTAGGATCCGGCGAGGCGGCGTCGCCGCCTCGACGCCGACGAACCGCCGTACGAGTAGGAGTAAGAGTAGGATATCGCGCCCCCGTCGCCGCCGCTGCTGGTCCCGTGTGAGCTGTCTTGCCCGCTGCAGCCCCGCAAGGACCCACAGCCCTCGTCCCGGAACCAGCGACCGATGTCCGAGCCGTCGTCGAAGTCGCAGCCGCCGCTCACGAACGCTGCGAGCTCGCTCTCCCCGATGGCGTCGCGGCAAATGTCGCAGTCTTCTCCCAAACAGTCACTGCAGATCTCCGAGTGCGGCTCGTTGCCCTCGCACTGGGAGTTCACGCACGCGAGACAGCTGTCCATCTCGACACTGCCTCCGTAATAGAACAAGCACCCACCTTTCCACTCGTCAATGCGCGCCCACAAACACACAGTCCGGTCCGCGTCGCCGAGCATGTCCTGCGTTGCCTCCCAGGGGAGCGTGACGGCTGCTCCGTGCTCCAACACGATCGCCGTACCACCGTCTCGGCCCTCGGTCGTAGTCATGCTCTCGGGCGTGCCGTGCCAGCTGTGATGAGCGTCTTGCGTCGTCCCGTCGACGAACGGATAGTACGCCACCAGCGAACCCTCGAACAAATGGCTCGTCGGCACGGGCGTGACCGTCGGCGCCGCGCTCACGCTGCCGTAGAGCACCTCAATGTCCGACGCGTCCAGCGCGCTCGCGTAGACATAGACCTCGTCCAGTGCCGCGCTCAGGGAATCACTGTACATCTGGCTCATTCCGAGAGACATCCAGCGCCCCTCCTCTATCTTCGTGTCGAGGCTTAGAGTCTCCTGCAACTGCTGGTCGCCGTCGAAGTAGAAGGCCAGCGTCGACTCGCCGCCGCGGCTCGGGCCGTCGTACGTGAGACAGAAGTGATGAAATACTCGCCAGTCGATTGTGCGGCCGAGGCTGACTGACGCTCGAGTGTCGTCGGCGATGATCACCAGATCGCCTTCCGCGGTGCCGACGCGCAGGCCAAAGGACGCATAGAGTTCGGTCTGTTCGTCGTGCGTGAGCCGTCGCCGCCGCCGCGTCGCATCGCCCGCAGGGCTGGAGCCGAGGGTAGGATGGTACGTCGGCCTTGGCACTGTCGGCCGAGGTGTCGGGGCGCTCGACGGTACGTAGCTCGGCGGCGCAGTCGTGGGGACCCGCGTGAGGTAGCTCGGCGCCGCGGTCTCCTCGACCGTCGGCTCGTAGGTCTCTTGCAACGTCGGCGCGTAGGTCTCTTGCAACGTCGGCGCGTACGATCCTGGGTCGGAGGAGCCGCCGTAGTGGAACAGGTAGCCGCCGTTCCACTCGTCAATGCGCGCCCAGAGACAGACGGTTCGATCGGCGCCACCGTCGAGGTCTCGCACCACCTCCCAGGGAAGCCAAACGGAGTCCCCGTGATCGGCGTCCAACACGATCGCCGTACCACCGTCTCGGCCCTCGGTCGTGGTCATGCTCTCGGGGTAGCCGTTCCAGGTGTGATGAGCGTCTTGCGTCGTCCCGTCGACGAACGGATAGTACGCCACCAGCGAGCCCTCAAACAAATGGCTCGTCGGCACGGGCGTGACCGTCGGCGCCGCGCTCACGCTGCCGTAGAGCACCTCAATGGCCGACGCGTCCAGGGCGCTCGCGTAGACATAGACCTCGTCCAGCGCCGCGCTCAGGGAATCACTGTACATCTGGCTCATTCCGAGAGACATCCAGCGCCCCTCCTCTATCTTCGTGTCGAGGCTTAGAGTCTCCTGCAACTGCTGGTCGCCGTCGAAGTAGAAGGCCAGCGTCGACTCGCCGCCGCGGCTCGGGCCGTCGTACGTGAGACAGAAGTGATGAAATACTCGCCAGTCGATTGTGCGGCCGAGGCTGACTGACGCTCGAGTGTCGTCGGCGATGATCACCAGATCGCCTTCCGCGGTGCCGACGCGCAGGCCAAAGGACGCATAGAGTTCGGTCTGTTCGTCGTGCGTGAGCCGTCGCCGCCGCCGCGTCGCATCGCCCGCAGGGCTGGAGCCGAGGGTAGGATGGTACGTCGGCCTTGGCACTGTCGGCCGAGGTGTCGGGGCGCTCGACGGTACGTAGCTCGGCGGTGCAGTCGTGGGGACCCGCGTGAGGTAGCTCGGCGCCGCGGTCTCCTCGACCGTCGGCTCGTAGGTCTCTTGCAACGTCGGCTCGTAGGTCTCTTGCAACGTCGGCGCGTACGATCCTGGGTCGGAGGAGCCGCCGTAGTGGAACATGTAGCCGCCGTTCCACTCGTCAATGCGCGCCCAGAGACACACAGTCCGGTCCGCGTCACCGTCGAGGTCTCGCACCACCTCCCAGGGAAGCCAGACGGAGTCCCCGTGATCGGCGTCCAACACGATCGCCGTCGAACCGTCCCGGCCCTCGGTCGTGGTCATGCTCTCGGGGTAGCCGTTCCAGGTGTGATGAGCGTCTTGAATCGTCCCGTTGACGAACGGATAGTACGCCACCAGCGAGCCCTCAAACAAATGGCTCGTCGGCACGGGCGTGACCGTCGGCGCCGCGCTCACGCTGCCGTAGAGCACGGCGACGGCCGACGCGTCCAAGGCGCTCGCGTAGATGTAGACCTCGTCCAGCGCCGCGCTCAGGGAATCACTGTACATCTGGCTCATTCCGAGAGACATCCAGCGCCCCTCCTCTATCTTCGTGTCGAGGCTTAGAGTCTCCTGCAACTGCTGGTCGCCGTCGAAGTAGAAGGCCAGCGTCGACTCGCCGCCGCGGCTCGGGCCGTCGTACGTGAGACAGAAGTGATGAAATACTCGCCAGTCGATTGTGCGGCCGAGGCTGACTGACGCTCGAGTGTCGTCGGCGATGATCACCAGATCGCCTTCCGCGGTGCCGACGCGCAGGCCAAAGGACGCCGAGAGCTCGGTCGTGAGCCGTCGCCGCCGCGACGCTGGCGCGTAACTATACGAGTAGGAGTACGAGTAGGAGATTGCGTTCTCGCCTTCGTCGCCCTCGTCGGGGCCACACTCGTGCGGCAGCGATGCGACCGCCGAGTCGCGAGTGATGAGGTAGACTTCCTCATCTCCGACATCTTGCATGCACTGACAGTCGTTCTGGCAGTAGCAGTCGCCGCCGTCCACCCAGTCGATGGCCACCAAATTATCTCCGTACGCCTCCACACACATCTCCGAACAGTCGCCCGGCGACGCCGTGCAGCCAATGTGCTCATCCAGATCGCTGTTGCACCACCCGTTCCCGGCGCCGTGGTTCGTCGTGCCGCTTGGAGAGGAGGTGAGGTCGCCGGACGTCTCGATGTTACATGACACGCAGTCCTCGTATGAGCACCCTGGCAACTGTCCCACCTCGTCGACCGTGCCGTCGAGGTCTTCGTCGTAATAATAGGTATTCGTACCCGGCTCGCAGGTGAATCGGCCGCCCATTTCGGCCGTAAAGTCGTGTGTCGCCGCGCAGTCGTCGCATGATTGGCATCCAAAGCCCTGCATCACCGTTCCATCCTCTCGGCACTCCATAACATGATACCCCGGCGTGCAGCCCTCGCCACTGCCTCCGTAATGGAACAGGTAGCCGCCTTTCCACTCGTCAATGCGCGCCCAGAGACAGACGGTTCGATCGGCGTCGCCGTCGAGGTCTCGCACCACCTCCCAGGGAAGCGTGACGGCTGCTCCGTGCTCCAACACGATCGCCGTACCACCGTCTCGGCCCTCGGTCGTGGTCATGCTCTCGGGCGTGCCGTGCCAGGTGTGATGAGCGTCTTGCGTCGTCCCGTTGACGAACGGATAGTACGCCACGAGCGAGCCCTCAAACAAATGGCTCGTCGGCACGGGCGTGACCGTCGGCGCCGCGCTCACGCTGCCGTAGAGCACCTCAATGTCCGACGCGTCCAAGGCGCTCGCGTAGATGTAGGCCTCGTCCAGCGCCGCGCTCAGGGAATCACTGTACATCTGGCTCATTCCGAGAGACATCCAGCGCCCCTCTTCTATCTTGGTGTTGAGGCTTAGAGTCTCCTGCAATTGCTGGTCGCCGTCGAAGTAGAAGGCCAGCGTCGACTCGCCGCCGCGGCTCGGGCCGTCGTACGTGAGACAGAAGTGATGAAATACTCGCCAGTCGATTGTGCGGCCGAGGCTGACTGACGCTCGCGTGTCGTCGGCGATGATCACCAGATCGCCTTCCGCGGTGCCGACGCGCAGGCCAAAGGACGCATAGAGTTCGGTCTGTTCGTCGTGCGTGAGCCGTCGCCGCCGCCGCGTCGCATCGCCCGCAGGGCTGGAGCCGAGGGTAGGATGGTACGTCGGCCTTGGCACTGTCGGCCGAGCTGTAGGAGCGCTCGACGGTACGTAGCTCGGCGGTGCAGTCGTGGGGACCCGCGTGAGGTAGCTCGGCGCCGCGGTCTCCTCGACCGTCGGCTCGTAGGTCTCTTGCAACGTCGGCTCGTAGGTCTCTTGCAACGTCGGCGCGTACGATCCTGGGTCGGAGGAGCCGCCGTAGTGGAACAGGTAGCCGCCGTTCCACTCGTCAATGCGCGCCCAGAGACAGACGGTTCGATCGGCGTCACCGTCGAGGTCTTGCACCACCTCCCAGGGAAGCCAGACGGAGTCCCCGTGATCGGCGTCCAACACGATCGCCGTACCACCGTCTCGGCCCTCGGTCGTGGTCATGCTCTCGGGGTAGCCGTGCCAGGTGTGATGAGCGTCTTGCGTCGTCCCGTCGACGAACGGATAGTACGCCACCAGCGAGCCCTCAAACAAATGGCTCGTCGGCACGGGCGTGACCGTCGGCGCCGCGCTCACGCTGCCGTAGAGCACGGCGACGGCCGACGCGTCCAAGGCGCTCGCGTAGATGTAGGCCTCGTCGAGGGCGCCGGTCAGCGGGCGATCGTACGTGGCGTCGGTGCCGAGGCGCATGGCCGTCCCTTCCGGCGCCGTGTCGAGGAGCACATTCTCGGTCCACTGCTTGTCGCCGTCGAAGTAGAAAGTAAGGTCCGAGTTCCCGCCTCGGCTGGGCCCGTCATACGTGAGACAGAAGTGATGGAATTCTCGCCAGTCGATTGTGCGGCCCAGGTCAACGGTTCGACTCCCGCCCACGATCTCGAGCTGGCCCTCAACGGTTCCGGCGCAGAGGCCAAATGTCTCCTCCGCATACTCTACCGTGTGGTCCGCGCCCGTCGCAGTTTCGGCTGAGTACGAGTACGAGTAGGATCCGGCGAGGCGGCGTCGCCGCCTCGACGCCGACGAACCGCCGTACGAGTAGGAGTAAGAGTAGGAGTACGACTGGGACATCCTCGACGCCGTCGAGCCGCCGTACGAGTAGGAGTAAGAGTAGGACAGCGCGGCCCCGGTGGTGTCCTCATCCCCGCGGGCGCAGTAATCCGTCGCCCAGGTGCCGTCGCAGTTCGCCTCCTCGATGAACGCGACGCAGTCATACTTGGACTGGTCCTCGCCATAGGATTGGATGGAGTAGCGCAGCACGAAATTCTCCGGGCAGCACCCCTGTGATGCGACCTCCTCCAACGTCGTGGCGCCATTGCAGTTGGCGAATTCGCAACCGTAGCAATACGTGCAGCAGCTTGCGCCGTCGCCGCCGCTGCTGGTCCCGTGCGAACTGTCACCGCCGTAGTAGAACAAGCACCCACCGTTCCACTCGTCGATTCGCGCCCACATACACACAGTCCGGTCAGCGTCGCCGAGCACATCCTGCGTCGCCTCTGGGGGCAGCGTGACGGCAGCTCCGTGGTCCAGGGCGATCGCCGTACCACCGTCTCGGCCCTCGATCGTGGCCATGGTCTCGGGCGTGCCGTCCCAGGTGTGATGAGCGTCTTGCGTCGTCCCGTTGACGAACGGATAGTACGCCACGAGCGTGCCCTCGAACAAATGGCTCGTCGGCACCGGCGTGACCGTCGGCGCCGCGCTCACGCTGCCGTAGAGCACCTCAATGTCCGACGCGTCCAGGGCGCTCGCGTAGACATAGACCTCGTCCAGCGCCGCGCTCAGGGAATCACTGTACATCTGGCTCATTCCGAGAGACATCCCGGTACCATCGTTGGTCTTGGTGTTGAGGCTTAGAGTCTCCTGCAACTGTTGGTCGCCGTCGAAGTAGAAGGCCAGCGTCGACTCGCCGCCGCGGCTCGGGCCGTCGTACGTGAGACAGAAGTGATGAAATACTCGCCAGTCGATTGTGCGGCCGAGGCTCACTGACGCTCGCGTGTCGTCGGCGATGATCACCAGATCGCCTTCCGCGGTGCCGACGCGCAGGCCAAAGGACGCATAGAGTTCGGTCTGTTCGTCGTGCGTGAGCCGTCGCCGCCGCCGCGTCGCATCGCCCGCAGGGCTGGAGCCGAGGGTAGGATGGTACGTCGGCCTTGGCACTGTCGGCCGAGGTGTCGGGGCGCTCGACGGTACGTAGCTCGGCGGCGCAGTCGTGGGGACCCGCGTGAGGTAGCTCGGCGCCGCGGTCTCCTCGACCGTCGGCTCGTAGGTCTCTTGCAACGTCGGCGCGTACGACCCTGGGTCGGAGGAGCCGCCGTAGTGGAACAGGTAGCCGCCGTTCCACTCGTCAATGCGCGCCCAGAGACAGACGGTTCGATCGGCGTCGCCGTCGAGGTCTTGCACCACCTCCCAGGGAAGCCAAACGGAGTCCCCGTGATCGGCGTCCAACACGATCGCCGTACCACCGTCCCGGCCCTCGGTCGTGGTCATGCTCTCGGGGTAGCCGTTCCAGGTGTGATGAGCGTCTTGCGTCGTCCCGTCGACGAACGGATAGTACGCCAACAGCGAGCCCTCAAACAAATGGCTCGTCGGCACGGGCGTGACCGTCGGCGCCGCGCTCACGCTGCCGTAGAGCACGGCGACGGCCGACGCGTCCAGCGCACTCGCGTAGATGTAGGCCTCGTCGAGGGCGCCGGTCAGCGGGCGATCGTACGTGGCGTCGGTGCCGAGGCGCATGGCCGTCCCTTCCGGCGCAGTGTCGAGGAGCACATTCTCGGTCCACTGCTTGTCGCCGTCGAAGTAGAAAGTAAGGTTCGAGTTCCCGCCTCGGCTGGGCCCGTCATACGTGAGACAGAAGTGATGGAATTCTCGCCAGTCGATTGTGCGGCCCAGGTCAACGGTTCGACTCCCGCCCACGATCTCGAGCTGGCCCTCAACGGTTCCGGCGCAGAGGCCAAATGTCTGCTCCGCATACTCTACCGTGGTGTAGTAGTCGTCTGCTGTTCCGTAGTACACGCCGTCGTTGGTGTAGTAGTCGTCTGCTGCTCCGTAGTACACGCCGTCGTTGGTGTAGTAGTCGTCTGCTGTTCCGTAGTACACGCCGTCGTTGGTGTAGTAGTCGTCCGCTGCTCCGTAGTACACGCCGTCGTTGGTGTAGTAGTCGTCTGCTGCTCCATAGTAATATGGCTGCTGGTCCGCGCCCGTCGCAGTTTCGGCTGAGTACGAGTACGAGTAGGATCCGGCGAGGCGGCGTCGCCGCCTCGACGCCGACGAACCGCCGTACGAGTAGGAGTAAGAGTAGGACATCGCGGCCCCGGTGGCGTCCTCGCCGTCGTTGGTGTAGTAGTCGTCTGCTGCTCCGTAGTACACGCCGTCGTTGGTGTAGTAGTCGTCTGCTGCTCCGTAGTACACGCCGTCGTTGGTGTGGTAGTCGTCTGCTGCTCCGTAGTACACGCCGTCGTTGGTGTAGTAGTCGTCTGCTGCTCCGTAGTACACGCCGTCGTTGGTGTGGTAGTCGTCTGCTGCTCCGTAGTACACGCCGTCGTTGGTGTAGTAGTCGTCCTCACCCCCCCGTGCGCAGTAATCGGTCACCCAGGTGCCGTCGCAGTTCGCCTCCTCGATGAACGCGACGCAGTCATACTTGGACCGGTCCTCGCCATAGGATTGGATGGAGTAGCGCAGCACGAAATTCTCCGGGCAGCACCCCTGTGATGCGACCTCCTCCAAAATCGTGGCGCCATTGCAGTTGGCGAATTCGCAACCGTAGCAATACGTGCAGCAGCTTGCGCCGTCGCCGCCGCTGCTGGTCCCGTGCGAACTGTCACCGCCGTAGTAGAACAAGCACCCACCTTTCCACTCGTCGATACGCGCCCACAAACACACAGTCCGGTCGGCGTCGCCGAGCATGTCCTGCGTTGCCTCCCAGGGAAGCGTGACGGTCGCTCCGTGCTCCAGCACGATTGCCGTACCACCGTCTCGGCCCTCGGTCGTGGTCATGCTCTCGGGCGTGCCGTGCCAGGTGTGATGAGCGTCTTGCGTCGTCCCGTTGACGAACGGATAGTACGCCACGAGCGAGCCCTCAAACAAATGGCTCGTCGGCGCAGGCGAGACGGTCGGCGCGATCGACGGAAGGGCGGTCGGCATACCGGTAGGCATACCGGTAGGCACGTTCGTCGGCTGTGGGCTGGGCCCGGGCGTCGGGACGGTCGTCGGACAGTTGCCTTGCGTGACGCCGCATGACGTCGACGCGCACTGGGTGTTGTCGAACGCTCTGACCAGCCACACGTGGTCGTCCAGGCACCAGCCGAGGTCCTGGTCGAAGGCCGAGGCGCCGTTGAACATATCCACTATGCTTGTGGCACTTTGGACCGCCCAACCACCAATGTCTTGGTTAAACGACGAGGCGCTACTGAACATCCTAATAAACGTGTTGACGCTGGAGGTTTCCCACGCGCTGATGTCCTGGTTGAAGCCCGAAGCCTTGGTGAACATGGAGTTCATTGTTGTGACGCTGTGGACCGCCCAATCACCGATGTCCCGGTTAAAGGCCGAGGCGGTGTCGAACATGAAGTCCATCCTTGTGACGCCAGCAGTATCCCACCCACTAATGTCCTCGTTAAAGGACGAGGCTTCGTAGAACAACCATGACATGTCCGTCACCCCTGATGTGTCCCACGTAGAAATGTGGCCGTACGTCGCCTCGGCGGCCGCTGCGTCGTGGAACCACGCAGTTACGGCCGTTCTAATCGTCGTGTCGTCCATGACGTAGCCGTCGTACGAGTACGAGCCCTGGTCGCCCGCGGAGCTTGTCTCGTACGAGTACGAGCCCTGGTCGCCCGCGGAGCTTGTCTCGTACGAGTACGAGCCCTGGTCGCCCGAGGCCTCGTACGAGTACGAGCCCTGGCCGCCCGAGGCCTCGTCGTCGTACGTCTCGTCGTCGTACGTCTCGTCGGACTGGAGCCGACTCCTCGCGTCTGTGACCCACGTGTGCGCGAGGAGATGCTCGGCGAAGCTTCCAAATTTGTGCCAGTCCGCGCCACCCCGCGTCGCACGGCCCATGCGCGGCTCCGCGTCGCCTCGGAGCAGCACGACGTCGGCGTACCTTCCCGCGCGCCGCCCGGCGTGGTAGACTTCGCTGAGCATGTACGGTCCGGTCGTCCGAAGGACGTCGGCGTCGCCGGGCGCGCCGGCCGCCGCCAGCGTCCGGTTCGCGGCCTCGTCGAGCGCGTCGACCAGCAGCGGGTGGTCGGGTCGCGCGCCGAAGGCGTAGTTGCCGACTTGCCAGTGTTCCCGCGCGTCCAGGACGTTCCTGCGGTGTCTTTCGAAAAACGCGTCGTCGGAGAGCCACCATTCCATGGGGAGCACGGCCGCGTGCGCGACGAGCGGCTCCAGTGACCGCTTGGCGTACACGTCGACGTCGAAGTAGAAGCCGCCCTCCCGCGCGACGACCGCCAGCCGGAACAGATCCGCGCGCATCACGACGCGCGGCGCGGCCTCGTACGCCTCGAGGATCCGCGTCCCCGCGTAGGCCCTCGCCATGTATTCCCGCGCGGCGGCGTCGTCGAAAAATACGCGCTCGAAGCCGGGGCTGGTCGTTTCGAGTCGTCGAGCGAGGTCCGCGTCGACGTCGGCCGCCGACCGCGCCGTCTGGAAGACGCGCCGCGGGATGCGCGGCGCTTGCGCCGCGAGCGTCCGTTCGAGGTCCGCGTCGACGTCGGCCGCCGACCGCGCCGTCTGGAAGACGCGCCGCGGGATGCGCGGCGGGGCCGAGTCTGCCGGCGCCTTCGCCGCGAGCGTCCGTTCCACGCCCGCGGCGCCGGGCTGCCCCAGCAGGCGGCGGGCGCACGCGGCTGCAGCGGCACCGCCGCCGGCCACGTAAAAGGCCCCACTCAGGAACACCGCGAGGCACGCAGCCACGGCTACGTGCTGCCGCCGCGCCATTTGACTTGTACGTGTGGCCCAGCGCAGGCGGGGGAGCGGATCAGGGTGCCCCTCAGCCATCCAGGGGCTGCCCCCCTATCCCCCGCGCGTCGGCCCCGGCTCCCTCCAAGGGGCAGGGCCCATGGGATGCAGCTATAACTAATGTGTGCAACGCAGCTTGGTCCGTCCCGCGTCGCACACGGGCAGCCTTTTGCCGGTCACTGGCGCTTTGCGGCGCTTTTTTGAGAACCCGGACCTTCGGCCGGGGCCGCGCGAGGGAGGGGAGGCCTCGGGCGCCGCGCACGAGACCTCCCCGGACTTACGTTGAGGACGCGCGCGGTCGGGCAGCACCAGCGCGCGGTCCGCCGCGCGGTCGGGAGCGGATGCGGTGCCTCGCGGCGCGTGACGCGGTCCGTTCGCGGTTTGAGGGGGTCAGGCGACGTCGTTTCCTAGAATCATGGCGGTGGGTGTTTTTTTATGCGATTTCGAGTGCATTCGGCCGCGACGCGGGGTCCCGAGAGGTGCTCGGCCGTGGCGCGGCGAGGAGCGGTGCTGGAGATGTCGACACTTAAGAGACAGCAATAATTAGGAGTAGCGTCAGGGGTTCATCGAGACGACCTCCTCGAGCGTCGCCGACCGGAGCGGCGCGACGTCGTGCGTCGCCCCACCCAGCGACTGCGCGCGCCGCACCTTCAGCCGCGCGAGCTCCTTCGAGGGCGCCGCCTCTTTAGACGAAGACAACAGCGACGACCGCTCGCTCAGCTTCGCCGCGGCCTTGACGTCCAGGGGCCGCACCTCGCTCTCGATCTGGAGCCGCGACGCCATGCTCCGCAGGTGAAAATAGTATTTGGCGTACTCGCTCGCGGCGACCGTGGCGTTGAAGCCGTAGGCTTTTAAGAGAGCCGCCTCGAGCGCGTTAATGCGCGGCAGCGTGAACTCCGCACAAATATGGCCAAAGTCGGCGTTCCACATCGATAGATCATCACAAACCTTCGACGCCATGATCATGCATGATAACAAGACGGGCCGCCAGTTGCCGGCTCGCAACCGAATCTTGCCCCGCGCCGCCTTCAGGAGCCGTTCGACGTAGATCAATGAGGTAACTATACACTCGATCTCCATCTGGCCCCTACTGAAGACATCTTTGTAGAAGGCCTCGAGCTGGGTGGAGGACGGTGTCCGCTTGTAGCTGTCCTCATAAAAAACCTTGAACTCGCCGTCTTTGCTGCGTGACTCTCTCGCAGAGGGCGGCTGGGCTTCCGCTGCCGCCAGATGGGCCCTCAAAACATGGCAGACGCAGGCGATGGTAGCCTCCTTGTCCGGCTTGTCGAGCGTCGCGCCGACGAACATGGTCCCCGTCGAGTTCCGATGCCTCTCGTTGCCGGGTTTCTTGCCCGCTAGAGCGTCGGCTCTATCCAAAGCTGCCGCTCTTGCAAACGCTCGGAGGTCGGCCTTCTCATCCGCAAAAGAGACACTTCGAAGCGGCCGCGGCGGTTTTTTGTTGATAGGTAGCGGCAGTGCTTGGCGCCACGCGGCCGTCTGCGGCGACAGCGACCGCCTTCGGTTCGTAGAACGCGACGACGATCGGCGGGACGTCGTCGCGTCCTCGTACAGGAAGGAGTCGTCGACCGTCGACAGCGTGCGCACGCGGCCCTCGTCGAGCGTCGACGACGTCGACGGCCGCGACACGGGCGGCCGCCAGCCGGGGCCGCTCGTGTGCTCCGTGCTCACGTCGGCGGAGCTCAAACCGGCCGCGATGTTCGCGCGGATGTTGCGCTCCATCTCGTCGAAGAACTTGCGTCGTTCCTTTTTTTCGTCGTCGAGCCGGCGGCGCTCGGCCTCGCCCTGGAGCTCGCGGGGCTTCGTCCAGCGCGTCTCTCTTGTCAATACGTCGTAGTAGTAGGTGCGGCCCGTCTTCGGGTCCTTGGCCGACCGCCAGACGCGCGCCGCCGCGGGCGCGGGCGCCGGCGCGGGTGCGGCCGGCGCGGGCGCGGGCGCCGCGGCCGGCGCGGGCGCCGGCGCGGGAGCTTTCGCTGGCTTCTTGCTGTCGTCCTTCTTGCCGCTCATGGCACGGCTGAGGCGGCGAAGCATCTTGCTACGCTGTGCCTACGCTGTGCAGGCAGGGTCAGCCCAAAAGCCCAAAATGTGTGTGCCCTCTCGGCGGCGACGCAAAAAACTACGAATGGTGTGCAGCTGCAGCAAAATGATTAATTCTTGCAGCGCATAGCTATATCCGTCTTTTGGCCCGCGTGGAGCTGCGATTTGCGAAAGACCTCGGCACAAAAAGCCAGCATATTTTTCAGGCTCCGGACGCGCTTGCGCGGCAGCCGTCGCCCGAGCCCCGCATGCGAGGAGAAGTCCACGCACGAATCGAAGCGCGAACCGCGGGATGTTCATCGCCGCGCGCAGACGCGCGACGCGGCGGCCGCCGCGTGCACGCTTAGAGTGCACGCCATCGCCGCGACCCCGAACCAACTACAAATCACGAAACACAGTAGTACTTACATCATCCGTCAGTCGTCGTCGTCGCCCCCGCATTTCAGCGCCGGCCCGCACAGCACCGCGAGGAACACGTAGAGCACGACGCAGCACACAAAGAAGATCAACAAATAGATCTTGACCTTCTTCCAGAACATGGCGTTCCTCAATTGCTTCGACGACTTCTGGAAGCGGAACGCGTCCAACTGGAGCTGTTCGCTCTTATCAACAAGTAACTCCAATTTCTCGCCCCGCTCCAAGACCATCTCGATATTTTGCACCATGACGCTCTTCACGTCGTCCAATTTTTTGTGGACGGTGGCGAACTGGTCCGCCTCCGGTCCATTATAAAATTCTACTTGTTTTTTCAAAGTCCGCCCGAAGTCCTCGTTCATGGCGAAGGCTATCGCAGTAGAACCTCTATCACCATAGGTCGCGAACCACCTCTCTTTCACGTCGTCCAGAAACGCGAAGGGCACCCTTCTTTTAAATGACTCGTCGGCCATGCACAGGAACGTTAATTGTTTCTCTACCACATAATGGAAGACGTACTGGTCGTACACATAACTCATCTTCCCGTCCTCGGGCGGGATCTTTCCTAGTAATACTCGCGTGATCGTCGGGAAGTTTCCGCTCGTGAACGTGTACTCGGCGAGGACGACATTTTGTCTAGCTACCAACGCGTAGAGGATGGTCATGGCTTCGTTTGGTGTTTGGCGCTGCGGTTTGTTTCTTGCGTCGGCGGCGTACGAGTGCTGGCAATAGCACAAGGGCTGCTCGGCAGAGGCTGTATTTTGAGTACAATTTCCCCGGCGTGACGCGTGGGCCTCCAGCTCGTGTGCGCGTGGCTGGACGAATTAAAGACGCGAACCGAAGCTCAGAATAACAGCTGCTGCCGCCGTGCGCTCCGTGCCGAGAAAAAAAACAAGCTGGGCTTATTCCTAGTGTGTTACGACCGCTAGCTCGCAAGCCATTGCCAAAAAAAGGCCAATACTAGGCTTATTGATCACAGTCGGATCGCTTCGTGAGCCAAAAAGACACGCATCGATGGCCTACACAGCATGAAAGACGAACCAGTTCCGCCACCGAGGAGCTCACCACCAGCCCTGCCACAGGCTCGGGCTCCGCCGCCAGCCCTGCCGCCAGCCGTCGGCCTGCGGCCGGAAGCGCCAAAAGCGCCGTCGGCAGCGCTCCCCGCGACGCGACCGGCGCCGCCGCCGCTACCCACACCGGACCCGCCTGTGGACCTCGTCGAGCGCCTCGTGGTTGCCGAGCCGCCGCTGTCGACGGCACAAAAGGTCCTGGTCGTGGCCGAGGGCGGCACGTTCCGCGCGCGACTCGACGGCGACGGGCCTAATCTCGGCCTGACGCTCAAGGCGACGCGCGACGGCCGCGCACTCGTGCAGGCGCTGCCGGCGCCCTCGCGCGCGCGCGCGGCGGGAATAAGGATAGGCGACGAGGTGCTGGGTGTGGACGGCGCCGCCTTCGAGCGGGGCGTTGGATTAAGGCACGTCGCCGCGCGGATCAAGGCCTCATCCACCAAAGTCCTTTCCCTAAGACGCGGCTTCGCGCCCGTCGACGTTGAAGTGTTAGCGGCGGTTTTACGAAGGCGGGGCGCGCTTTCCGAGGACGGCGCCGCGGCGTTGATGGGCGAGGTCGCGGAGGTCTGCCGGCGCGCCGCGCTTTGGGACGAGCGCGGTGAGGTCGTCTCGGACCTTGATGATGTGAGCGTCGACGTTGTTGAAAGGCGGCCGGCGCTGTGTTGTAGGGTCGTGGACTACGACGCGGAGGCCTACGCCGTCTGGACGCTCGACGCGCGGAGCGGCGCCGAGTGGCGCGTCCGGCGGAGCTTCGCGCGGTTTCGGGAGGTGCGCACTATTGTAAAGCGGCTCGCGCCCCGGGATGTATATGAGGATTTGGATAGGACGTTTCCCGACGAGGCCGCGTTTTACGACACAGTTTCCTCAATTCAGGAGCGGTGCCGCGCGCTCGAGAATTACCTGAGAAGCTGCCTCTCATTACTATTGACGGGCCCGCTCCATAACAACGCGGGCCGGCTCCACGCGGCCCTCGAAGATTTTTTAGATGTGCCCGCGCGCCTCGCGTCGCTCGAGCTACTGGAACGTAACCCGGACGCCCACCTAAGGAGGGCGGCGCAGGTCGCGGCGCACCAGGTTCTCGCGACGCCGTCTTTGGATGGCGTCGTGTCCACGATCGTGGCGGCGTGCCGCGGCAAGGAAGGTCATGATTTGTTGGGCGCGATGGCGACCGCGATTGATGGTTTGCAGGCGGCGCTCGTCGAGGGCTGCGGCCCGTTCTTCGAAGGTGTTGTAATGCGTAGGACTAGGAAAATGGGTCTCGAGGAGCTTGATTTATTAGTGAGGGCGGCGGTGCGGCGCCAGGTCGAGGCCGAGGTGTTCGTGCCCCTCAGTAGCGTGCTCGACGAGTCGTTGAGGAGAGATCTGGCCGAGGAGGAAACCATGTTAAGGGCGAGCTGCGCCGCGGCGCGCCTGAAGACGCAGGCGGCGTTGGGGATCGCGCCGGAGCACGCGTCGCCCTCAAAGTGGGAGGCGGCGGTGTATCGATTGGCCACGGTCGGGTCCTACACGCTGCCGTGCGACCGGCTCGACGTCTTGTTGGCGGCGGCGAGAGAAATTCCAGTAATCTTCGCGGCGGAGCATAAAGGCGAGGAGGTGCTCGGCGGCGACGACTTCCTGCCCATCTTCGTGTATGTGGTCGTCCAGGCGGGCATCCCCGATTTGAGATATCTCCAGACACTGCTGAGCGCGCTCTGCGACCCGGACAAGCGCCTGAGCGAGACGGGCTACTACGTGGCGACCTTCGAGGCGGCCGTGGCGCACATCCGCGAGCTGCCGCTGGCGCGCGTCCTCGAGGAGGAGAACCCTTTTGTGGTGTAAGTGTTGTTTTGTATAAAACTTTGTACACAGCCTACGACGACGCGTCGACGGGCGGCCCCCGGTGCGGGCTCTCCACCTCATTCCCGAGGACGTCTTCGACCCGCGCTTCGTGCACCTCGGTCACCAGCTCCACCAGATTCGCCACCGCTAGATCGGCCAGCGCCCTTCCATGATCCGCGGCGGCCTCCCTCGCGTTGCCGACGACGCCCGACGCGTTCAGGTCGTGCGACAGCCAGCCGCATTTTGTGGAGAAGCCCGGGGCGTGCATCCTTAATTGATTCCGCGTCGCCGGCGGCATGCGCGCCGCGCGGCTCGCGAAATCTTTCGCTGCGCTCAGGTCCACGAGGTCCGGCTTCAGGTGCAGCATGAGCGACGTCTCCAGGGCCCCGCCGTGGATCCCGTACATCAATTCCTCTTGGGGAAAGACTTGCACCGCCTCCTCATCAGCCGAAAAGTTCAGGTTGCACGCCAGGACGCAGAGGAGGTCGTGCTCGAGCCGGAGCTGGCGCGCGACGACCTCGGCGAGCGCCTGGTTGCCCCCGTGCGAGTTGTACAGAATCAGCTTGCGGAGCCCCGTCCGCGCCACGCACCGCCCTAAATCGCGCCAGAGCCGCGACGCCGTGTCCACGGACAAATCCAAATTGCCCGCGAAGCGCGAGTGCTCGCCGGACGCGCCGATGTCCAACGGGGGCAGCGCGAGCGCGAGAATATGATCAGGCAGCCGCTTCAGCGCGCGGTCCAGCAGCGCCTTGTTGTGCATCGCGTCGACGCCCAGCGGCAGGTGCGGCCCGTGCGGCTCCGTCGCCGCGAGCGGCAGGATCGCCACGGCCTCGCTCAGGTCCGTACCGGCAAAATCCGTCGTCTTCCACTCGGCCCAGTAGCGCGACCGCTTCTTCGTGGACACGTCCTCGTCCTGGAGCGACGACGTGTCCGCCAAGCGGTACGACGCGGCGAAGGACCCGCGCGGGTCCGCCGCTTCCTCCGTCGTGGCGCGCTGCTCGTCCCAGGCGCGCATCTTGCCCGGGTTCAGGACGCCGCCGGGGTCGGCCCGCGCCTTGAAGCCAAGCTGCGCGAAGTCCGTTTGCTTCATGCCGCCGTCTTCCAGCACCTCCGTGTGGGGGTTGAAGATGGGCATGCCGTTCGCTTCGTGCCATGCTAAAATTTCATGTAATCTTTCATGTGTCGACGGCCAGAGCAAGGCCAATGACGCAAAACCGACCTTGCCCCCAAACCGCACGCATTCCAAATGCTGGAGCAACTCTGATGAATCAAACTCGTCCTGGACCTTCTGCACCAACTCCAGTGCTTTGTCCGGCTCGAGCACACTTTGCAAATAAGTCGTGCTCTTGTCCTTGCGCCGGCAGTGCAGCGTCGTGTGGTTCCATCCAAACTCGTACATGGGCCGCGGCGCATCTTCGGCATTGATCACGCGCGACACCTCGCCCCCGTTATCTTCCGCGAGTCGTCGGATGGGGCCCACGCCGGCGGCCGCGCACTGCACGAGCGCCACATGATCTCCATCCGTCGAGGGCCGGTCGGCGTGCATGATCGACGGCTCCTTGTCGAGGAACTTGAACGCCAACGGAGCTTGATAGACGGCGGCGCCCCTACAAGGCACCGACGGCGCGTTCCCGGCGTCCAGCGCGAAGGCCGCCGCCTCCTTCAGTGAAGGGAAGCACGCCGTCACGTCGACCCAGGGCTGCGCCCGCGCGAGCGGCACCTCCACCGCCACAATAATACCGTTCGTGCCGTAGGCGTGGACCACGGGGAAGACGTCCCGTCCTCGCAACTCTAGCACGCGCGGCGTCGCTTCCTGTGTGGAAATCGAATTTCGCAACCTAACTCACTGGTCGACTTCCGCACAGGTCGCTACCGCGGTCACGACGCGCAGGCCGAGCACCGCGCCGTCCTCGCTCAGCCCGCCGTGCAGGAGCGCGCCGTGGCCCGTCGATCCGCCGGCCACGAAGCCGCCCAGCGTCGCGTTCCGTCGCGTCGACGGGTGCTGGCGCAGCTCCCAGCCCTGCTGCCGCGTCGCGTCTTCGATCGTGGACAGCAGGCTGCCGGCGCCCGCCAGGACCGTGCCTCGCTCGGCGTCGAGCTTCTCGATCTGGTCGAGGCCGCTCAGGTCCAGCACGATGCCGCCGAAGAGCGGCACGGCCTGGCCGTAGTTTCCCGTTCCGGCGCCGCGCGCGACGACCGGCACGTTTTCGCTGACCGCCGCTGCAACAACACTCACGACGTCGTCTTGCGTTTTCGCAAAGGCCACGGCGTCGGCCTCCAAACCTTCCAGCTTCTTCGCCAGCACCGGACTATATTCGAACGCGTCGCGCGACAGCTTCCGGATCATGCGTAGCTGGTTCGCGTCGTCGTCGGCGCGCGCAAACACCTTGACGCCGGCGTCGCGCGCTTTGGCTACGGCAGAAGCGACGGCGTCGGGCGACGGCCGCGCCGCGGTGGCGAAGCCGCGCGCTTTGGATACACATGACGCACTTGCCGTCGAGAAGCCGCGGCGCCAGCGGGGTTGCGCGCGCCGGCGCGGTCGCGGCACCGCGGCGATCGCCTCGACCTCCACGAGGAACTCCGGCCGCGCGAAGCCCGAGACAACCATCAGGGTAGAAGCCGTCGGTGGGACGCCTCCCATCGTTTCGTCGCGCGCTTTCATGTACGCTTGCAAATGGTCGCGATGCGTGACGAACGCATTGAGGCGCACGACATGTTTTTCGTTCGCACCGGCGGCGCGCAGGATCTCGAGCACGTTGCCGAGCGCCAAACGCGCCTGGGCCTCGGCACTTTCCGGAATCGAGCCGTCCTTGTGTATGCCGAGTGTGCCCGAGGTGAAGACAAGCTGCGAGTGCGGCTCGACGACCGTGCCGTGCGCGTAGCGCGCAAAGGGCGGGTGCAGGCGGTGCTCGGAGACGGCCACGGCGGCATGGCTGCTCCTCCTCGTTGCTACGGCGCGGGCTGCCACTGGTACGGCGCGGGCTGCCGCAATCGATGGGCGGAGCTTGGAGGCATGCGTCGACGGCGCATTGGCCGCGACACACTGGCGAACCCGGAGCAACATGGCTGCCCCAATGTTGCCATTCCCGAGAAATAATAATGCTAGCAGCCTGTAAGATACTAGCGAGCTAGCCCAGCCGGCTCAACACGCCAGTGCGCAGAGACCAGGCGCCACGAGTGCTCTGTTCGTGGTATTCGGTGCTTATTTCACGCAACTCTTTGGCGCGCACCGACTCGCGGCAACGAGATCCCTGCCAATTTTGAAGCTAGACAGATTACTGGTCGAGCGCAGACAGCATAGATGGAGGAAGACCGCGTCCTCCTGCGCAGCGGCCTCCTGCTCCAATCTCTGAACGACGAGCATGACTGGGCCTACCGCTACTGCGTCCTCACGACGAAGGACGGCGAGCGCTCGCTTCTCGTCTTCGAGAGTGCTGCCGCCAAGACGCCAGTGCGCACGGTCGCGCTCGCGAACGATGCGAGCGCGCGGCCCTTCGACGCAGCGGAGGCAGAGCGCCTCGGTTCGGGCGGCATCGTGCTCAAGGCCAACGACGCTGCGCCTGAGACTTTCTGGAGGGCTTTGGACGAGCGTGAGGCCTACGACTGGCGCCGCGCGTTGCAAGCGAATTTGCACTTCGACGACACGGACCAGGAGGGCGCCGGCGACGCGCTCATGCCCGACGCGTGCCACGGCGGGCCGCTGCTCGTCTGGGAGATCGGGCGCGGCGGCGAGGACGTCCGTTGGCAAAGGAAGTTTTGCGAATTGGGAGCCGGCCGCGGCGGCCGGCTGCGGCTCCACGCCTGCGAGCCGACGGACGTCGTCAAATGGCGCGACCGCGACCGCGGCGACGTTCTCGCGCCGCTCGCGACTGCGCGGCTGCAGCAGCGCCCCGACGCGTTCGCGACGCCGGGCTTCGAGGTCGCGCTGGCCGACGGGCGGCGCTTCGCCTGCCGCGCCACCGACGTGCTCGACGACTCGGTCGACGCCTGGCTCGCGATCCTGGGCCCGCTCTGCGCGCGGCAGCCGGAGCCCGCCGCCGTTGAGGAGGCCGAGGAGGCCGCCGCGCCCGCGGCGCCGGACGCGGTGACGTACTCGCGCCGCGCGTCCGTGGCGGCCTCGGTGGCCGGCGCGGCCGCTACCGTTGCGGGCGTCGCCGGCGCGGGCGCGACCGTCGCGCTGGGCGCTGGGTGCGTCGTCGGCGCCGGCGCGCTGGCGACGTACAGTTCCGCGGCGGCGGACACGTGCCGCGCGGTCGTCGACTACGCGCTGGCGCCGCGCCGGCGGTCGTCGTCGTTCATGGGGATTGATGAAGACGCGCGCGCGGCCGCGGCCGCGGCGGACCAAGCTCAAGACGACGCCGACGCGGTCGTCGCCGAGGTCGATGTGGACGTGCGGCGGGCGCGGCTGTTGCGGAGCGGCGGCGCGGACGACGCCCTGCCACCTACATTAAAAATCGACGGCGACGAAGAAAGTGGAGAGGGGCGTCTCCTCGAGGCGCCCGTTGTTGTGGTGGTGCGCCACGGCGACGCGGCGTTCAGCTCGTCGGTGATAACGCGGAGTTCCGGTCTGAGGCGCGTGCAGCTCCGGTGCGCGTTCAAGTGCGCGTCGGCGCGCCAGTCTATTGTCATCGAGGTCCGCGGCGCGGACGCGGCCGACCCGACGCGCGGACCGCTCTTCGGGCGGCGCGAGCTCTCGCTGTTTGAACTCGCGGAGCGCGACGCTGAGGATGAGTTGAGGCGCCTCCGGGCGCGCCTGCGCCGGGCCTGGGGGGCGGCGGAGACCCCTGAAGAGTCCTCATCAAGTGACTCCGAGGACGATCCCCTCGAACATAAACGATTCCACGGTAGTGCGCGGCCCGCAGCTCGATCATCACGCACGGACGGCGCCTGGCTCGCGCTCTTCAAGCCGGGCGAGGAGCCCAAGATCGATGACCATGAGGAACGCACTGATGGGTTCGCATCCGGGGATGTTGATGACGCGTCCGGTGTCAAGCGCGGCGCGGCCTGCGCGTTAATTGATGCGAAGGTGATCGTGACGCCGACGTCGTCGGTCGGCACGCTCGCGTTTGCGAATCCGCGCCTGCGGCTCGAGCGCGACCGGCCCGCGCGCGACACGGTGCCGTCGCCGGCCGTGACGCTAGATTTACTGAAGCGCCTCTTCGCCGTGGCGACGTGGTGCGCCGTGCAGAGCGACCGCATGACGGACATGCTGTACTGGCACGCACCGCTGCAGTCTTTACTGGTTACGGTCGTCTCAATATTGGTTTGTATCGCGGCAGCAAGGGACCACTGCTGGGTCCTGCCTGCTTTATGTTTTTGGTGCGTCCTGCTCCTCTTCGGCCTCGACCGGCTGACGGGCGAGTGGATTCTGCGGAGGGTCGCGCCGGGCGATACTATAAGAGACCGCGACTGCGCAACATTAAGACTCGCGGCGCTGGCCGTCGACGGGCTCGACCTCGACGCGGCGCGGCAGCCGTATTTACGGATACGCTACGTGCCGGCCTGCGCGCGGAGCCCGCTCGCGCTGCGCGTCGCCCGCGCGGCCCGCGACTCTATAATAGAAAACGACGACGCGCTCGAGGCGGCGCGGCGGGCCTGCGACGACGCGGTCGCGGCTGCAAGCGACGCGTGCCCCGCGGGCCGCGCGCTGCGGGCCGTGGCCGTCGCCACGGCCCGGTTAGAGGAGGCGCAGAAGGGCACGTGGCGCTGGGATTCCTTGGACGCGACGCCGCACCCGCACCGCCGCGAGAAGCCGTCGGGGCGCCTGTCGACGTCGGCGCCGCCGCGCATCGGCGTCCGGAGCCGCGCGGCCTACGAGGCCGAGCGCCTCATGCAGTGGGCGACGGGCCGGCCGTCGGTCACGCCGGTCAAGGCGTCCACCATTTCCCCGGTGCCGGAGCCCGTCGTCCAGACGCCGCCGCCGCCGGGGTCGCCGCGGGCGGTCGACTTAAAGAAGGAGGTGCCGGCGACGCCGCCACCATCTAAAGCCCCGTTCTTCTCGACGCCGCACCATGCGGAGGCCGACGTTGCTGCGGCAGCGTCGACTCGGTTCCGGGCGTGCTGGCGACGGAAGGGCGAGAAGGCCTACGCGCGGGCCTGGTCCGTCCCCGTGCTGCGCGAGCTGCGCGTGTCGGCGGGCGCGGGCCCGGCGGCCGCGCCGCGCGTCGTGCCCTGGGAGAGGGCCGCGGGGCGGCTCCGCGTCGAGCTCTACGCGCCGGAGGCGGCATCAGTAGGGGACGACGCGGCCCGGGACATTTATCGGCGGGCCGTCGAGGGCGACGACCTCGGGCTGGCGCCCGACGGCGCGACGCTGCTCGGCGTCGCCGAGGTGCCCCTTTCGAAAGTGAGCGTCGACGACGCGGCGGCCTTCGCCCCGGACGGCTGGGTCCGCCTCAATCCGCCAGGGAGCGACACTGCCGAAGCGCCGACGCCGCGCGTGCGGCTGCGCTGCCTCCTCGAGCCGGCGCCGCCGACGCCCTCTCTACAATCCGCGTCGCTGCGGCGCCGCGCGCGCGTCGAGGCCCTCGAGGGCGAGCTCGAGGTGCCGCCCTTCGAGGCGCCGCCGTCGCCGGCCGTCCAGGTCGCCGACGAGGGCGACGACGTCGTCGACGTGGGCGTCCTGTCGCGGCTGCGGCGCGCGCGGGCCACGGCCGTCGAGTCGCAGAATTTGTTGCGGGACTACGTGCGCCTGGGGGAGCAGTGCCGCGGTTTGGTCGAGTGGTCGCGGCCCGGGGCCTCGCTCGCGGTCTTCGCCGGGCTGACGTTGTTCCTGGTCGTCGCGGCGCGCATGCGCGCGGACTACCTCGGGGTGTTGGTGGTGCTGGCGACGATGGCGCCGGGGGCCATCTTAAGCGTGGAGCGGCGCGCCGCGCGAGCGAAGCGGAGCGCGCGGTGCCGCCGCGCGGCGAAGAAGTGCAACGACGCCGAGGCTTCATTAAAACGCGAGGCCGAGGCCTGCGAGGACGCGGACCGCGCGGCCCTGCTGGCGCGGGCCGCCGTAGCGTTGAACTGCGCGGCGCGCGCGGTCGCCGTCGCGGACGCGCACGCGGACGCGACGAACGGGGCCGCCGCGCGGCGCGAGGCGACGCGGCCGGACCCGCTCATCGACCCCGAGGAGGTGACCATCTGGACGCGCTTGCGGGCGTTGCTCGAAGCCATACCGGCCGAGCCCGAGCTCGAGCGGGTCTTCGTCGAGCGGCGCCGCGCGCAGGAGTGGCGGCGGGCGCGCCGGGCGTGTCGGGCGCGCTTGGGCGCGACCTGGGCGGGGCCCCTCTGGCGGCGGTCGACGGCGTGGCGGCGGCACTTTGCGTGCGTCCGGCGCGGCGAATTGCAATTCTGGTACTCGGCCTCGCACGCTCTGGCCGGCGTGTCGCCGGTCCTCGTCGTGTCTTTGGACAACGCGCGCGTCGTCGACGCGCTGGCGGGCGACGACCTGCCCGTTTTGACCTTGCACGCGCCCCTTAAATCAGCGCCTGCGGAGCACCGCGAATGGCGCCTCGCGGCCGCGCATTGCAGGGACGCGGACGCGCTGCGGCGGTGCGTCTGCCGCGAGGCCTCCTTCGCCGGCGACTCTGATGATCGGCCTGTTTCTCCGGCGCTGTCGGGGACTAGTTCGACGTTCTAAGGCTCTGGTTTTGTGTGTATGTATGTACTGTAGTTTTTATTGTGATTGTGCGCCCTTATTTATTTACGAGGTCCTACCTGTAGGGTATATGTACATGTTACCATAGGGATAGGACTTACCACATAGGAATTAGCCAGGCGCACGGCAATAAAACGCCATCGGCGCCTGGGCGAGTAAAAGACCTATTGACGAGTCCGCTCAACGAGCGCGCGAGTTCGCTCAACGAGCTCGCGTATGAAGACATACGTCTCTCTTCGACGAGCGCCGATGCCTTATGACCGCCGCCGTGTGGATAGTGTGGTTTGCCTTCGGTCTATTGTACTATGGCATCACCCTGCTTGTTACTAGAAGCTACAATGTGAACCGACTGCGTGGAAATCAAATATACAGCGCGTTCGTCCTGAATCGCCGCGTCGACCTCCACGCCATCGACGCGACACCTGCTCGATGGCGTGGCGATGTCGGTTCATCACCGCTCGACGGAACCAGCGCGGCCACGTCATCGCCGAGAAATGAGCACAAGACACACTGGTTGATTTCCACACAGGTGACCGACGACGACGACGAATTCAAATGTCGCTTCAAGTTTTGGACGATATTTGCCATCTTCACCAGTGAGTTAGCTGGTGCTTTGCTCCTGTTCGCGACCATAGATAGATTCGGGCGCGTCAAATGCGCGGTCCTGTCCTATTTGCTCGTTGCGGTGTTCCTCATCCCCGTCGCCCTTGAGGCGTCCGGGACGTTTGTCTGGCTCTACCTCGCGCTGGCATTTGGAACAGCAGGGTCGTCGACAACGTGGGTGCATACGACGGAACTCTATTCGACAGACATCCGGTCGACGGCGCACACGCTCGCCTTCATCGTGGGCCGGTTCGGCGGCTTTGCTTCGGGATACGTCGTCGAGAACGCAAACAGCATACCCTTCGCGACGACCGTGCTGATCATCATGGCGGCGCTGAGCGCGTTGGGGACGTTGACGCTGCGCGAGACGATGGGGGAGAGACTCAGTTAATACTTACGTTTGCGGTTCGAACAACCCCCCCGCCGTCGCCGCGTCGGGCGCAGGCGGAAGGGGCTGGACCACTGAGCTCGGCGGCGGCCGGACCTGTTGGTGCGAGTAGTGCCGCACGGAAAAGCGCGAGCGCGGCGCGAGCAGGCCGTATCGATGGAAGACCCATCCGGCTAGCGCGCCGCCGAGGTGTGCCGCGGAGCCCGGGTGGCCGCAGACGGCCATCAACGAGTCCCACGCGACGAGGGCAGCCCCGACGTGCGACGCCTGAAACGGCCGCGCGACGTAGAAGAGGTGCACCGGCGATGTCGGGTTCTTCAGGATGAAGACGCAGCCGCAGGCGTAGACGAGCGCGCCCGAGCCCGTCACGCCTCCTGACGCGCCGAGGGATTGTGATACCGCCGTCGCGCAGCCGCCTGCAATAATACTCGCCAACGCGAAGCGTGCGAACCGTTGTGACCCCGCGGAAGTCTCCACCGGCTTCGCCACGAGATAGAGTGCCAGTAGACCGAACCCCAGCTGGGACGGCGTCCCTGTAACAATAGCGTGCGCCGCGAGAGCGTGGAATCGTCGCATCTGTAAGGCGCGGCGGCAGCACACGGCGTGCCCGACGATGGAATGACGTAACTTGGGCCGCGTCGACGCGACGAACGTCAGGAGATGCGAAGCCGCCAGCGCGTACGTGATCGGTGCATCCCGTCGAAACGACCGCTGCCAGTCGCTAAACGCGTTGTTCGCGCCGCCGGCGTGAATTTTGCGGCATCGCTGCGAGGGTTGCAGCGCGCGGACTTTGGTGCATCGCTGCGACGGCTGGCGTGCACATGCGCGCGCGACGAGTAGCACTGCAACAAGGGCTGCTCTGCGCATCATCTCTCTGCTTGCTCAGAGTGTGTGCAGCAGTGAAATTACTGTCAGTAATAACCGGTGCCACAGGTTTCACCAGCTCTAATGCAATGAAACGAGTCTACGCCACTCGTTTGGTCCCTTGCTTGCGCTGGCTTGGTGGCTTGCTAGTGTCTTACACCGCTAGCTGCGCGTTCACGTAAACATTAATCCACACCCCCGTACGACGACGCCGACGACGAAGCAGACGAGTCGTCGAGGCGGCTCCGGCGTACGAGCTCGTCCAGGCCCCCCGCGTCCGCGATGGCCGCGACGTCGAGCGGCGCGCGGAACGACGACAGAGCCGACGCGCGCACGGCGTCGGAGGCCTCGACGACCCGCAGCTCGAAGGTTTCAGAAGGCGGCCGCGGTCCAGCCACGTTACGTCGGAGCGCGAGCACGTCGCCCCACTCGAACAGTAAAGGGTCCGTGCGCTGCGCCGCGACGTTCACGTCCACCAAGTAGGTGGAGCGGCGCTCGATCACGACGTCGACGACGCAGTGCGTCGGGAGACTCAGGGCCCGGTCGAAGAACGCGCGGAGCCTTGCGCGCATTTCATTGAGAGTGGATTCGTCACTCAGGTCGCGGAAGACCGTGTCGACACGGCGCTGGCACGCCGCGACGAGCCGCCCGTCCAACAGAAAGCAGCGGAACTCGCGCGACGGCTCCACACTCACGAACCGCCGCACGGCAAGCACGACATTCAATGCGCGGGCCGCGTCGTCCTTGACCAGGGACGACGCCGCGAGCAGCGCGAAGGCGTCGCCGGCCGTCGCGCATTCGAGGGAGCCGAGCCACGCGGCGTCCTTGGGCGCCGACCAGTTGAGCTTCACAAAAGCCGCGCCGCCGACGGCGGCGATGGCCTCATCAATAGCCGCCTCGATCGCCGGAAAATGCGGCGCAGCGCCGTCGTCGTCCGAGTCGCTCAGCTCGCAGTCGTCCTCCCTGTTATGGGTCCGCGCCGTGACGCGGGCGCCGCGTTTCGTGCGCGGCAGCACGCAGGGGCCGTCGCTCCGGAGCCATTCCACAAATGGCGCCGGCAGCGGCACGAGGATCGTTTTGAAGGTCACGTTTTTGTGCGCGTCGTACCAGGCGGCGATGGAGCAGGCGTCCTTTTGGTCGCCGCCGAGCTGTGCGGCGACAGCGTCTTCGATGCTGCAGGCGTCCGTTTGGTCGCCGCCGAGCTGTGCGGCGACAGCGTCTTCTTCGCTGGATGCTTCGAGGGCGGCCATCGGTTTAGCTGAGTTGTGGTCGAGGCTGTGAGGCTGCAGGCTGCAGCTCCTCTGCCGTCGTAGCGATGCAATAAGATGCAGAGCGATGGTCGCTGCGACTTGTGTGGATGGAAGCAGTGGCTGCTGGTGCGTATTGACGAGCGTACGGCCTGTGCTGCTCTCGCCGCAAGTGCTGCTTGCCTGCTTGCTAGTGTCTCACAGCTAGCGGATACCTCAAAAGCAAATAAGCTATTCCAACATCCACTTAAACTTCGTCGGCCGCAAAGCCCGCGCGACCTTGTCGTAATTCGAGATGAGACTCCGAACCGGGAGAGCTCCATGCACGACGTGCGTCGTGTTCTTGAGCGTCATTGTCCGCAGGCGACTCGCGTCCGGCGCCGGCCAGAGCCCCAGCTGGTACATGATCGTCGCCCACACTTCGGGCCGGTCGACGACTTCCTCGTACCAGTGGAGCCGCGCGTCGCCGCAGCGATTCCGAAACAGCGACGCGAGGCGCTCGTTCTGGTCGTACTCGTTCGCGATGCGCTCTACGAGCCCGTGGATGCGTATCGACGGCCGGAAGCGCCGGAGGTCGGCTGCAGCGGCGGCCGTCGCGGCGTGCGACGCCGAGCCGCGCATCTTGGCCGCTTCATTTGATATTTCTCGTCGCAGGACGTTCCGTCTCAAAAGCAGCACATAGGGCAGCTTCATTTCGCAGACGGCAGACGCTAGCGCCGTCAGCGACGCGAATGGGTGAGTGCCGTGCTGATGGTGGCGCTTCTGGCCCGACCTGTGCGGAAATCACATTCCGTCCCCGACGCCATCGATCCGACGTTGATTTCTGCACGGGGCCCAGACGTGTCCAGGTGCGTCATAAACTTGAATCCGAGCGCCGTGCGATAGCTGTTCCGCCGCTCCTCGTGCGCCCGGGCGAAGACCCGCCGCAGGGCACAGACGCACGCCGGCGACGGCGTCGCGGACGCGCACGCCCCAATCCCTGACTCTCTCTGCTGCGGGTGAAAAACCCGATTTGTTGAGTACGTGATCTGCGCAGGTCAAGCTTGTGGGCCAGATTGATCCTCACGAGAAGGATGTATTGCAAAACCGCGCGGTGGGCAACGCGGGGAGGGGTCATTAGGATCAACCTGGAGACGTTAGGCCGCGCCGTGTGCGTTCGCCTAGCCCCGGTTCTTGGGGTTCGCCGGGCCGTCGCCAATCGTCGTGTATCCGAGAATGCCCGCGATGACGCCGGTCAGCAGGAGCGTGAGGCCGCCGACGGGCAGGATGAGGTCGCCGGAGGAGAGGCCCGCGGCCAGCGCCGGCGCGGGCGCAGCGGCAACGACGGCCGCCGCAGCAGCGAGCGGGGCCTTCGGCACGGCGGTAGCGAGCTGCGTAGCACGCTGAACGTTCGGCGCGAGAGCGGCGGCACCGGAGGCCAAAAGGGCAATGGAGAGCTTCATTGTGTTAAATACCTGCGATGAATGCACGTTTCGCCCAGCACTGATGCGCGACAGGCGATCGCGCGCGACGGCAGTGACAGGGGTGCAAAACGGGGTACACGGGTGCGTGCGGCAGACGCTATAGCAGTGATGCGTGCAAGAGATGATTGAGAGCGGACTCCGTGCGAGAGTCCGTTTTGCGCAAGAAACAGACCTGTCTATCGGTGAATTGACAGGTATAGAGAAATAGGAAATTCCGCGGGCTAGCGGCTGTAAGACACTAGCACAGAGGTCTAGCACATGGCCGAGAGACTGCATTTACGTTGGCGACGCACCGACGGACGGCGCAGCGGCTCGCGCCGCCGGCTACGGGTCCGCAATCGGCTGCAGCTATGGCTCCCATGCCGCGTCGAAGCTGACGGCGTCGGGGCACTTCGACGCCGTCGTGCCCGACGTCGCGGCGCTGGAGAAGGCGTTGTTTCCGGACGGGTTTGATGACGATGATGAGGCGCTGGCGGGCGTGGTGAGGGGTGGTAAGTCATAGTAACATTAGATCACAACTACACGCGGAGCCCCGCGATAAACTCGGCGTCGCGGATTCCTCCGAGGATGGCGCGCGCCGCGTCCGAGTCAGAGGGAATCGCCATGTCGTCGAGGTCCGACTCGTTGAGCGACGGCAGCACCTCGTCATCGACGTTCTGTGACAGGAACTTCGTGAATAAGTGCGGGCGTTCGAGCTGCGAGAGGAAGCGTGCGACGAGGGCGTAGCCCGCAGGCGCGCCGCCGACGAGCGCAATCGCCGCGTCGTCGCGTGTCGCGGCGGCAGGCGCGGCGGCAGCGGGCGGCGGCAGCGGCCGCGCGACACCTAACGCGGCGTACGCACGCGCCACCTCCTCGTCGATGGCCAAACGTCGTCTCTCCGCGTCGGCCTCTACGGCCTGTAGCGACGCGGCCACCACCGCGTCGTCGATGACCTCGTCCGGCTCGTCAGCGACCGCCGGTGCCGAGGCCTCGCGCGCACTCAGCGCCAGAACGGCGCGCAGCTGCTCCTCGTCGTCGCCGTGGCGGCAGCTCTCCGCGCGACTAGCCGCGAGGGCTCGCTCGAGCTCGTCGTCCTTCGCCGAGGTCTCGGCCAGCGAGGCGGCCAGCGCGCGCTCGAGATCGACATCTTCCGTAGAAAAGACGACGCCCGCGTGCCGGTCCTCCACGGCCCTCGCCGCGTACGTGAGCGCTCCGCCGCCGATGGTCCAAGCCATGGGCCCGGGCTGCAGCATCGCGAGCGGCGCAGCCTCGTCGTCCTCGTCGTCGCTATAGTCGGTATCCGAGTCGCCGCCCTTCCTCTCTTCGTGACCATAAATGTCGCGCGCGGACAGGGCCGTCGCGCGCGCCAGATCCTCCGCCTCCCGCTGGCGCGCGACCGCGTCCGCGAGCTTCACTTCGGCCTCATCCCGCGCCTCCATGGTCGCCACGATCAGCTCCGCGCTTCTCCGCTCGGCCGCCTCCGCAGCCGCGTCTTCGTCCGCGCGCGCCTTACTTTCATCCAATGCGCGCTGCAGGGCCGCGGCCTCCTCCGCGGCGGCGGCATCTCCCGCCTCGGCGCTCACGTCGTCGACCGCGCGCCGCTCGTCGATCTCGGGCGCCGGCGCGCGGTCGGCAGCGCCCGTCGCGCGGTCGGAGGCGCCCGGTTCCGGCAGCACCGACACGGCCGGGAGCGCCGCCGCCTCCGACAGGAGCACGTCCGGTAATGATGGAGCCGGCGCGCCCGGCTCGCGCAGGATGCGGATGTGCCGCTCCGGCGACCGGTCGTAGGACCGCGTGCCCACGCCGTAGACCTCGCAGACGGCGTGCGCCTTGCGGCGCTCGGCGCGCCGCATCGGCCGGAGGCTGTGGGCCGTCCTCCTTGAATCGGCCACGAACGCGCCGAGCTCCTTTTCTAATCTCTTCACGCGCCGCGGGTCCTTGCGCGCCCACGTCAGGAGCTCGTCGGACCAGAGCTGCGCCGCGGCGTGCTTGAGACCGCCCGCGAAGACGTCGACCTTGCGCTTCGCCGCGGCGAGGTCGTCGAGGACGCGGCCCTCGCGCTCGGGGCTTCTCGAGGTCTCCGGCTGCGGCACACTCGTGCATTTCGAGTACTCTTTCACGGCCTTGAGCTGCTTTTCCACCGCGGCGCTCGCCGCGCGCCGCGAGGCCTCGTCCCGCACCGCCAGCTGCTTCATGCGCTTCTCGACGGTGTCTTCCGTCACCTGGAGCTGGTGCCAGATCCCCGCCAGTACCAAGTTCTTGCCCGTTCCTATCTTCATCCACGGCGGGACCTTGCCGGTCGCCGCCCAGGCCGGGCAGACGAGGCCCCTCCTCAAGGGATTCTTCGCCTTGGCAAGGTCCCGCCCCAGAGCCTCGAGTTCGCCGGTCGCGCGCAAGTCCAACGCCCGCGCGGCCACGCTGCCCATCGCCACCGCCTCCTTCGAGGCGGCGCCGTAGTGGTCGGCCAGGACCTTCCACGCAAAGGCGGACTCGGCAACGATCGGCCCGGCCTCCAAAATGAGCCGCAGCGACGAGATTGGGCCGTGCAAGTCCGACGACCGCGCCTCCGTGGCCCGAGGCGAGAACGCGACCTCTGCCACGCGCGCCGCATTTGCCGCGGCCGCGGCCTGCAGCGCGTCGTCGCCCCGGTCGTCGCGCGCCGCGTACGTCGCCGGCTCGACCGGATTCACGCGCAAGACGATCTCCCTGGCCGTGCCTTCGGCCACAAGGCAATATATTTTGTCCCCGTCATAGTCTCCGCCGGCCATCATGTCCGCGACGGGCCGCGGGCCCTCGGCGGAGAGGACCAAGAGGTTCCGCAAAGACCTACAATCCAGGCCGGCCGGCGGCGCGACCGCCGTTAATTTTCTGACGTCGCCGGGATGCGTGCACGGCGACCGCCAAACGAGGAGCTTGCCGCGATATTCTCCGCCGGCCACGAGACACTCGCCCTCCTTCAATCCAACCCACCGGTCGCAGACGCAGAACGCGAGCCACAGGTGGTCGCACGGGATGCTCATCTTGTTTTTCGCTAACGTCAGCTGTGTGGAAATCAACCAGTGAGTCGGGTACATCGCGTCGATGGCGTGGAGGTCATGATTGAGCCGTGATGAAGACGCGTTGCGACAATTTGATTTCCACACAGAACGTCACCGCCGCCCTGATCGCTTTCAGCACGCTCGCTTCTTCGGGCTTGCCGTCGACGCCCAGCGGACCGCGCAGCCGCAAGTCGACGAGGTCCTCCTCGTCGTCGCCCTCGAGCTCGAGCGACTCGTCCACGACCTGCAGCGCCTTCAAGGCGGTAGAGAGGCGGGCGAGCTGCTCGCCGGTCGCGTCTCCGCTGTAGCCGCCGCCGCTGCCGTCCACGTCGACAGGCGTCCACATGAGCGTCTTTCTGATGAAGACGCGCAGCAATTCGTGCAGGAGGTGCGCCGCGTCGCCCAACAGGTGCTCCAAGCAGACGAGCACCTGGAGGAACAGCATGTTCCCCTCCTTCTTGATGGACGCGAACTCCTTGACCTCGAGGCGCAGGTCGCCCGACGGCGCCTTGACCATGGACGGCGAGAGCAGCACGCGGCGCACCGTGGGCCCCATCCGGGGGTCGACGACCAGCATGCCCTTGCTTCCGCCGAACCTAACTTGCATGGCGCCACCGCCATCGCTTTCGTCGTGGCGCGCCCGCCGCGCGGCGTCGCGCGCCAGCGCCGGCGATATCAGGCCGCAGCCGTCGCTAAAGTTGTGGCCGTCGTGGTAGATGTCGGGCGCAACCTCGACCTCGTGGCGCTTGAGGCGCGACGTCGGCAGCGTCGTGGAGAAACTGTTCCCGATGTACTTGCCCCTCTTCGCGTCCGGGACCCCTTCAAAATCGCCCAGCGACGCGATCAGGGCCGGCACCGAGCGGAACGCCGGATCGCTATCGTCGGGCAGCGGCGCCAGGAACGTCGCGACCGGTTTGGGCCCTTTGTCGTATACGTAACAATAGACGCGGCCGCAGCAGCGAATCGGCGCCAGCTCGCCGTCGTCCGTCACGAGACGCTCGACGACGTCTACGTCCTTGAAGCCGAACTGTACATTGGCCCAACGATCCGAGTGTCTGAGGTTGCGGTGCGTCGCTCGCTTGTACTCCGACGCCAGCTTCAAGGACGTCGGCACGAGCCGGAGCTCGTGCGCCATCGGGTCGCGAGAGAAGGCCGCCCGGTAGTGCGGCACCGGCCAGCGCGCCGCGACGGAGGCGTCCACGCCGCCCGACCTGTGTGGACATCAACCAGTGAGTTAGGTTACTTGCGGAGACCTTCGTGAACCTCCACGCCATCGAGCAGACGCAGTGGGGCGTCCGAAATTTGATTTCCACACAGCGCCCGACAAGAGCTCGTGCTCCCTCCTCCCGACAGTCCGCTCCCAGTCCTTCCTAAACTTTTGGGCCTCGCGCAAGGCCTCGCGCACGGCGCGGCGGAAATCATTCAAGGCGTCGGCGTCCGTCTTGTTGCCGCGTCGTTGCGCGCAGAGCTCCGCGCGGAGCGTCCGCAGCGGCTCGGCGAGCTCGATCGCAGCTTTCTCCGCCTCGAGCCGCCCGCTTCCCTCGCGGTTCCACGCGCGCGCGAGGATCGCCACGACGTCCGTCTCGAAGGCGCGGAGCACGTTCTCCACCGCGACCGCGTTCGGCAGGGGCGTGTTCTCCGAGACCACCGCCTCCGTCTGGAAGGTGAACGGGAAGGGGAGCTCGGCCGCCGCCGCGCGCCGGAACGCGGCCAGCCGTTTCTTGCACGTGTCGTCGAGGATGCACGCCTCGAGCACGCGGACGCCGTGGGCACCAAGCAGCATCCGGTTCTGGTCCCGCCGGACGAATCGCTCCGCCGCAGCGGTAATCTTCGACTCCTCGAGTCCCTTCTGGTAGTCTTTGTCGTTCACGTCGTACTTGAGCTGCCTCCACTTCTTCATTTCGAGTTGCTGCTCTTCGGTCGGTTCGATCGGGGGCGGCTGCCACACCTCGATCTCCTGCGCGGTCCGGCGCCCGGCGCCGCCGATTGCGAACGGCCGCGAGGTAATGCCCTGGCGCAGGCAGCGTCGGCAGTCGAACATCGTAACCTGCTGCTCGTTCGCCACTAGCCCGTCCGCGAACAAATGTGCTCCGTTGTCGAAGGGCTCGTCTAGACCCGACGCGGGCCGGCAATACCCGCAGCTGCTGCAGACGGCTATGGGGGCCGAGAAGACGCCGCTTTGTCGGCACTCCCAGACGGCCATCAAACACCCGTCGGCCCCAACCCAGGGCTTAATGGGAGGCTGTAACGCGCGCCGTAGCGCTAAAGGAGCCCGGACGTCGTCCACCACTTCAGGCGTCGGCTCGCCCTCGTCTCGCGCGTCCCGTAACAATTCTTCCGTATCTACGTTGCGTGGATTCGTGCGGCGGAGCGCGGGGTGCCGCGACGCGGGCTGCGGCGGCCGCGGAGGCAGTGGTGCTGGCGTGTCGTTCGCGAAAGCACCTCCTGTCCGCTGAGGCGTCGTCCTCGCTTCGGCCTCTTGCCGGGCCGCCTCTTCCTTCGCCTTGACCGCCTCCTTTTTGAGGGCCTCCGCGTGACAGGCCTCGGCACGCCTTGCTGCGGCCTCGCGCTGAATCTGTGCGCGAAGCGCTTTTTGTCTTTGGCTGGGCATTTTGCTTTAGTTGTCTGCGACTCGGGCCACAACGTCTTGCGTAAAGCGACGCGTCCCCGCCGCTCCGAGCACTGGTGCAGAGTCCAGCTCTGCTACGGCAAAAAGCTCGCACGCAGCGACGCAGTTACGCGGGGCTCAGTGCTGCAAATAATATATTGACTGCTCTATTATAAGATATGCTGCTGCCCGACAACTGCACAAAGCAGTCGAGTGCTCTCCGCCTGTGAGAGCTAGCTAGCGGTTGTAAGATACTAGCAAAGCCATCGGAGACGTCCGAGCGCACAAGGTCAACGTGCAAGGCACCTGCTCGCTGGCAAAAGCTGGCATCGCTGCGAGCCCACATGATTCTCCTGCTGCGCATTTCTCTGCTGGCCTGCGTGGTGACTGGCTTAAGACCACCATGCAGCCACAGGCCGGCACTCACACGCGTTGCCAGCTCCAGCACGGACATCGTCGCGAAAGCCATGGGCCCGAACGCCGACCGCGCGATCCAGCTGCTGCGCGAGGCGGCGGATGACTTGGAACCACGCGAGGCGTACGTCTTCGAGCCGGAGGGGCCGGTGGAGGGCGTCGCGCATTTCATCGGCGGCGCGGCGCTCGGCACGTTTCCCCAAGTGGCGTATAAGGCGCTGCTGACGCGCGTCGCGCAAAAGTGCGGCGTCGCGGTGGTGGCCACGCCCTTCGACCTCGGCCTCGACCACGACGCCGCCGCGCGGACGTGTAGGACGGCGTTCCGCGCCGAGGCCGCGCGGTGGCGCGGGCTCCCTCGCTACGGCATCGGCCACTCGCTCGGCGCCAAATTACTCCTCTTGATAGCGTGCGACGACGCCGACGCGTACGAGAAGCTGGTCCTGCTCGCACCGAACAACTCCGGCGTCGCGGACTCGGCCCGACTCCTCGAGAGGCTCGTCGACGCAGCGGGCGGCGGCGCTGGTGAGAAGCGGCCGGCCGAGGGCATCGACTGGGGCGGCGTCCTGGGAGCGGCCTTCTCCATGGCCGGTCTGGAAGTCACGCCGCCGCCGGCGGAGACGTTGGAGCGCGTCGCGCGACTCCGGAGACCCGCGAGAGGCGTTACGTTCGTGCGCTTCGAGGACGACGACGACCTCGACGCGGCCGCATCTCTGGGCCCCGTCATGTCTGGCGCGTCGATCGACTGGCTGGATGGTGGACACCTCGCACCGGTCTTCGTCGAGGCCGGGGGCCTACGGCTCGGTGAGGAGAACCTCGTCGACGGCGTCGCGGACGCGATCGCTCGCGCGCTCGACGCGAGCGCGGTCGGGCTGCTGGAGTAATTGTGTTGTTGTTACCTATCGTGGTCCTTAGGGTACATGACCCGCCGCTTCTTGAAGTCGAGGTGCGCCTCGGGAACATCATGAGGATAAAGTCGGTTGTTGAGCTGGTCGAAGACGGCGCCGCCGCCGTCGTCGTCGTGCTCGGCCTGCTTCCCCGTCCGCACCGACCGCGCCACGGTCACGGCCTTGCCCCCGAGCGCGCGGCCCGACCGCTCGAGCGCGCGCTCGACGGCGCCGACGCCGCCGAACGTCACGATCGCGCACCCGTTGAAGACGCCCCGGTCGCGCACTTTTTTAATCGATTGCAGCACGCCGCAGCCCCGCAGGAACTGCTGGAGCTCGCTGTCCTTGACCGTCAGCGGGAGACCCGACAAAAACACGGACGTCGGCCGCGCGGCGTCCTCAACCACTACCGTGCGTTTGCGCGGCGCCTCGTCGGCGGCGCGCGCCTCGGGGTCGTAGTCGGGCCGCATCGACGGGTAGAGCGCGGCCGCGGCGGCGTGCGCGTCTTCTTTAGGCGTGTCGTCGGCCGGCGCGGGCGGCGGCGGCGGCGGCGGCGGGCCGGGCGGCGGCGGCGGGATCGTTGGTTCCTGCGGCTTTTCTTTTGGCTGCTCTTGCGGCACCTCTTTGGGCTTCTTGTCCCGCGCCTTGCCCGTGGCTGGGATGCTGAAAAACATGGCTGCTGCCTGTCTCGATGTGTGGCAGCGCCGCGCCGCGTAAGCTGCACTCGTGCGGTCTGCTTGCTGGATCACAGAAGATCAAATACGTCGAATTAGCTCAGCAGACTCACCGCTGAGGCCTTAAAAGCCGCGCAAAAGATGGGGTGAGCTAGCGATATACGTGCTAGCCTCAGTCTCATATTAATTTTTGCAGCACAGGTCGGCTAAACAGGCTCTTTCTTTCATTTCGGCATCAATCAAAGATACATCTCTATGAATGCTTTGACGCGGTAAACAACTTCGGCTCCTTGGGCACCAATTAAGCACGCTGCACACTGCACACTGAAGCATGCTAGGCACCCTGCAGCAGCGCCATAAAAGGCAGGACGTCGAGCAGCCGCCGCTGAGCCCGAAAAAAACGACAACAACGCCAGCGAACAAGGGCGCGAACGCGTTAGCATTACTAGCCCTCGTCTTCTTCGCGAGCGCCGCGCCCGTCGCGACGCAATTGGTAAGACGGCCCGACGGCTCGTACCCCTTTGAAGTGGTCGACGTCGTGCTCCGCGCCGAAATTTTGAAATTGTGCATCGCATCCACTTGCCTCGCGTACGAGCTCCGCGGTCTAGGAGAGACGGAGCGGCGCGAAAGGGCCCCAACGCCAACCACAAAAGGGCTGCTCCTGACGCTCGCGGTCGGCGCGGGCTACCAAGCCCTCAACATTTTGGGGGGCTTGGCCATGCGCGTCCTCGACGACCCGACGCTCTTCGCCGTTATTGTTCAATCAAAAGTCGTCTGGACGGGCGTGCTGGGCGTCTACGCCTTTGGTAGGCGGCTTTCGCCCGCGCGCGTCTTCTCCTTGGTACTGGTCGCTCTTGGTGCGTCCGTCTGCGCGGCGCCCAAACCTGTGTGGAAATCAAATTTCGGGCGCCCCACGCCATCGACGCGACGTGCCTCCGTAGCTGCGTCTCTCACTGCATGATTTCCACGCAGGCCCAAGCCGAACACTGATGTGGAGAAGGTGCGCACACGAATAACAGGCTGCCTCCTGGCCGGCGGCGCGGCGCTGCTGTCTGCTATATTAACCGTGGCCTGCGAGGCCGTGGTGAAGCGCGGCCGCGCGTCGCTGCACTGGCAGAACCTGCAGCTGTACGTTGTCGGCATCCTGGTGACGGCGTCGACGCTGACGCGGCCACCATCATTGGTGATCTCCTACGCCATGGGCGCCCTGATCGTGCTCGAGGCCTGCAAGGGCCTCGCCATATCGTTGGTATTGAAGCGCACCGACGCCGTCGTGAAGACGCTCGCTACCACATTATCGATCCCGGGCGTCGCGGTCATGGAGCGCCTCGTCGTGCCGGGCGTCGCGCCGATGGCGCTGCCCATGCTATTGGGCGGCGGCGCCGTCGTGTTGGCGATCACGGCGTACCACGAGGGCCCCGACGGCCGCGACAAGCCGTTCCTCGCCGCGGCGCTCGGGCTGACGCTGTTCGGGGCCGCGACGCTTGTGGTCGACGCGGGGTGGCCGCGCCGCGAGCTCTTGGGTTCCGAGTCGCCGCCGCCGGACTAAATTTTGTTTTGAAATTGCTTTGCTTAGAGCTAGACCGCCTAGCCGCGGAGCCGACGGCGGCGGCGCCTCCCTGCGAAACTTGCTGCGAAATTAGCGCCCGAGGCTCTTACACAAAGGGGGCGCGCGCTCCCGCCGCCAACGCGGGGAGGGGCAGAATCGCTCAGAAGCCGCGCTCCGCCATGCACCGCGCCATGCTGCGCTCGAAGTCCTTCAGGCCCCTATCGGCCGGACGCGGCGCCCACTCCTCGCCCCACCTTCGGGAGCAGACGCAGGACGCCCCATAACTTTCCATGACGCGCTCCTCCTCGCAGTCGCGCGCGCGGACGACGAAGGGCCGCGCGTGGCGCCGGAAGCGCTTCGAGTCGACCTCGACCCAGTGCTCCCGCCTCTGGTGTCTCCGCTCGTCGCGCTTGTTCTGCTTCTTGCGCTCCCTCTTCTCGCGCTTCTTCTTGCGCCTCCGTCGCTGGACCGCGCGGCCCTCGCTCGTCACGGACTCGGCCTCCGACTCTTCTGAGGAGGACGACGCGTCCTCTGATAATTCAGACTCGGAGTCCGAGTCCGAGCCGGCCTCGTCCGACGCGCTATCGTCGTCGTACTTGTCGTGGCGGTGGCGGAACGTGCGGTAGTCGCGGGCCTTCGCCTTGCGCTCCCGGACGGGTTTCTCGCGCTTCTCCTTTTCGCGACGAGCCCGCTTCTCGCGGCGCTTCTTCAGTTTTCTATCTTTTTTCTCCTCGACGACCTCCTTCGGAACGGGAGGAGGCGGCTTGACGTAGCCCGACTCGCGGAAGGCCGTGCCAAAACAGTAGTTCCCGGGCTGATAATGCGCGGCAAACGCGTCCGGTAATTCCGGTCCTTGATAATTGATGTGGGCCGGGTCGTCGAGCCGCGGGTAGTCCGGTTCGCGGTCCGTGCTCCCGATGACGTAGCCGCGGCGCCAGAGCGGCGGCTCAGTATCTTCGCAGAGCGGGCACTGGTTGTAGTTCTGATGCGGGGGTTCGATGATCTCCTCCCTGCGCTCCTTGCGCTTGCGGCGCCGGCGTCTGTCATCATCGCTGTAGTCGCTGTAGTCGCTGCGGTCGTCGTCGCTGCGGTCGTCGTCGCGGCGGCGGCGCCGCTCCTTCTTCTTCTTGCGGAGGGGCCGCCGGTCGTCGCGGTCGTCTCTGTTCCTTGGATGGCGCTTGTAGCGGTCGGTACCCATGGTCCGTGGCGTCCCGGCCGCGCGTCGCGCGGCGTCGAGGGCGTGGCGGTCTGTTGAGGCTTTGCGCAGCGCGCGTATGCGGCGCGAGCGAAGGGCTGCCCCTCGTGGAGTGCCGGTGTCCGCTTTAGGCCTGCCTTACGTGCTGCGAGGCCGTGCTGCTGGCGCGTCGGCCGCGCGCGCAGGCTGATCTGCTCTCCGGCGTTGCAAGCACAGCGCCAGGCACACTGGAGAGGGGAAGTGCACTTCCCCCAAACGTCCGACGCGGCCCGTGGACTTATGTGCTTCCCTATAGGTGATACTGGGAATGGTCCAACTCTACTCTAGAGTCCTTAAGGCCTAGCCATATGCCATGCAAGCTTTTCAGCCACCTTGCTCCGAGCACGCGAAAGCGATCGCTGTAGCTGCCATTGCTGCTCACAACTCGTCACGCAAGGGCCTCGCGCCGAACTTGCCAGCGCTCTGTTTGCCAGAGCACTGGCATTGCACACGTTGAGATTGCTGCACCACACAGCATTTGTCAGTTTTAGACGATGACCGATGCGGAGGCAACGGGCTCGCGCCGCGAGCGCTGCGCGCTAGCTGCGGCTTTTTTGCTCTCGGAGACGACGCAGGACGCGGCGGTCGCGGCGAGCGCTTTGGTGGCGCTCCAGTTGTTCGGAGGCTACGAGGAGTCGCTCTTCATCGTCATCGTCATGACGATGTTATTAATTGGCATCCAGCTGTCGCACGTCGTCGGGCGCCGAGGCTGGACGCTGGTCCTCGGCGGCGCGGCGGTCTGCGGCGCGGCCGGGCTTGCGATGCTCGGTGCGGCGCTTTCATCAAACTTCGGGCCGCGGAACGCTGGGATGTTGGCGATCGCTGGCTCGGTTCTGCTCGGCGCCCACCGCGCGGCGCACATGCTTTATAGGTTTGCAGCTTTAGAGATAGGTGGCGTCGCGTGCATGGGCGAGGTCTTCGCGGCGGCGACGTTGGGTGGTTTGCTCGGGCCGCAGTTACTGATAGATCTTGGTTTGCAGAAGGGCCTAGTTTGGGCCGCCGTGGCGCAATTGGTCGCCGTGATACCGATCATGCTCGCGACGCGGGGCCGCGACGCCGCGACGGCGGCCGACCGCGCGACGGCGGAGGACTCCGGGCGCTCGATCACGGCCGCGCTCCGGAAACTGCGCGATGCGGCGCGCGGCGACGCGCTGCTGCGCCTCGCGCTCATCTGCGGCGTGACGTCGTGGGCGATCATGCTGCTGGTGACCGTGCCGGCCGCGGCCATCGCCGTGGCGTCCTTCAAGATGACCACTTGCGCGGCGATCCGCGCGTTGCAGGTGCACATCTGTGTGGAAATCAAATTTCGGGCGCCCCACGCGTCTGCGCGATGGCGTGGCGATTCCACGCTATCGACGCGATGTTGTCCCCGTGACCGCGTCGACTCCATGGCGTGGAGGCTCGCGAAGGTCCACGGCCTAGCTCACTGGTTGATTTCCGCACAGGTTCACGATTTTCTGATGAACGCGCCGGGCCCGGCCACGGCCGCCGTCGTCGAGCGCTCCGGCCCGCGCGCGGCCATCGCCTTGGGGCTTTTGATCTACGTCGTGGTCGTGGGCGGCCTATGGGCCTGCGGGAGCGACGACGCGCTGTATCCTGTGGTGACGGCGGGTGGGCGCGGCGAGCGCTTAGTCCAGCAAGCCTTCTTTGGCCTCGTCGTGGTCTTGGCCCTAGGCTGGAATTTCATGTGGCTCGCGTCGACGTCGGCGTTGGATGCTGCCGCTCGCGCGGGCGGCGCGACGAGCTGCGGCGAGATAGCGCAGATCCGCACGGCGAACGAGTTCTGCATCTACTCTGCGTCGGTAGCGTTTCTCCTCGTGTCGATGGTCACGCGCGACCGCTACAAGGACGTCGTCCTCATCAGCGCGCCGTTCCTCGTGGCAGTGGCCGTGGCAACGGGCCAGGCCAAGTCGCAAGCCTATGGGGTCGTCGAGACGGAGCTCCCGTGAGCGTTGTGTGTGTGTCGCACCGTGTGTAAGCTATCGAGAATTTATACACCTAACATAGCTAGAACTAGTGGGCGGCCCTGCCCGGCGGGGGGAGACACCGCGCGTTGCCGATTCATCGACGGGCGCGTCAGCTTAGCAGAGCGGCGAGAAGCCGTACGTCGTCGCGTGGACCACCTGCATAATCCCATCATACGTCATGAGCACCAGCGCGATGAGCATGATGCTCGCGATGACAAGAATCACGATCGCGTCCTTTTTGTATTTTCTCACGACCCAATCGATAACCGACTGCCCGAGGAACGTCGAGAACAGGCCGCACGCCGCGAAGGCGAAGGCGTAGTCCTTTGGGACCTGTGCGCAAAGCAATCCGTGAGCCGCACCGCCACGCCGTCGAGTAGGCGTCGCGTCGATGGCGTGGATGCGCCGCAACCATGTGATTTATGCACTGACGCCGACGAGGCCCATGATCCAGACCTGCGCCAACCCCGACGTCGCCGTGATGAAGACGACGTAGGCCGACGTCGCCGCGATCGGCTGGGGGAGGCAGCCCAGCTCGACCAGCAGCGGGCCGAGGACCATGCCGCCCCCAATACCCAATAACCCCGCGGCTATGCCCGCGAACACACATAACATGGGATACAATGCCGTCGTCCGCCGGTCCCACTGCAAGTCGCCCTCGAGCGGCTCGTGCCCTAGAAACGCCTTCTCCGTGGCCCGGTCCAGCGTCTTCTTCCTTATCCACGCCGTCGCCGCAATAAGCACCTGTGCGCGAATCAAACCGTGGGTCGGGTGCACCATTTCTCGGCGACGACGCGACCGTGCTGGTCAAGTCAGAGAACCGCACGGCCAAGCCGTCGAACAGGCGCCGCGTCGATGGCGTGCAGGTCATGGTTCAGCCGTGGTCGGAGAAACGCCGCGACATTTGATTCATGCGACATTTGATTCATGCACTGATGAGCACGGCTAAATTGCTGATAAAGAGATACCAGTACAGGAACTGCGAGCAGTCCAAACCCGGGATCAGCGACGCGCCGCCGCGGCCGCCCCGCAGCAGCGCAAAGACGAAGACGATGAGCCAGATCACGCCGGTGGCCGTCCAGTTCTCGCGCTGCACGAGCGAGCCCTCCTTGGCGTATATTGCCTCGAGACGCGCCAGTTGATCAGGAGTGGGGTCCTGGCGCGCGATGGGCGGCGCGTCGGCGTGGCCCAGCGGCGTGTCGATCTCCACGTCCTGCAGGCCCGCCTCGTCGCGCGTCGGCCGCGGACTAAGTTTGTCCTCGCCCGTCCACCGTTTTATCCCCTTGTTTAGAGTGCGTCTTCCCGAATAGCCGAGCAGCGCTATGAGCAGAACCACCGTGAGCCACGGAGGAAACATGACGCTAAAAACGGAGCCGAACATGGTCCCCGCGAGGAGCGCGGGGCAGAAGAGCAGGGAAGCCTCGTAGTCGATGAGCGGTCGCTTGATAGTATCGTTCGGGTGGTAGCGCCGCGTATACGTATAGAGGTTCGCGATGGAGCCCCCCGAGATTGTTGCCAAAGATAACGCCGTCGCTTGCGTGATGGGGAAGCCGGCGACGAGCCGGTAGATGGGCACGAGTAACCCGCCGCCGCCGATGCCGCCGCCCGCGGCCAGCGCCGTCGCCGCAATCAGTAAAAAGATCGTCGCCCAGTCGTGGCCGTTCGCCGGCACCAGGTCCTTGTGCATACATATGCGCTCCCGAAAGTCTTCGCCGTCCTCCGTGTCGCGGTCCCATTCACAGCTCGTGCTGAACGGGCACTCCGTCTTGCCGGGGTAGCAGGGGCCGCCCGCGACGCCTTGCTGTTTCGCCTTGTTCTTGCTGATCGACTCATCCTCTGGTCTCAGCTCTCTGCGGAGCCATGGCTGCTCCTCCAGCGCTGTGGCTGTGCAGCAGAACGCTACGACAGCAGCGCTTCGACGCATGGTGCTGCTCGCCGCAGCAGCAGGAGCAAAGACAGAGGCGCAAAAGAACTAGCTAGCGTACCAACATACTAGAAAGTTGAAGACTCGTCCTGACGCGCGGTGTCTCCCCCCCAGGGGCCCCGCCCAATAGTCCTATCACCGTAACATCAGAAGACGACTAGTACCCCCCTAAGTTACACGGTCCCGAAGTCCCCGACGTCCTTCGCCCGCGAGTACGGGCACCGCCCCTCCTTGAGGACGGCGTACTCGAAGTCGTCCTCGTGGAAGAAGCGGTGGCACGACTGCGAGAGGGCCATGTGCACGTCGGGGATGGCGCTCTTGTAGTACGTCGCTCTCAAACCTTGTTGGCGCGGCTTGCAGCAGAAGACCTCGGCGCGGTAGAGCGATCTTAATGTTTCGGCGTCGACGGTCACGGGCTTGTACTCGTCGGCGCCGGCTTGCGCCTGGAGCGTGTCGTTGATCGCCCGCGTGAAGCGGTCCTCGTCGTCGTCGTCGTCGAACACGACGTCAGCTTCCTTCCCTTCACCCGAATTCTTGTCCTCCGGGAACTCCTTGATCAAATCCAAAGCCTCCTCGTCCGAGATCGACGCCTCCGGCACGAACTCGATGAGCGGCAGCACTTCAAAGTTCAGAAAGCTCCGGACGAACGGGTGGCCGCACGACGTGCAGACGTCGCGGTGCACGCTCGACCCTTGGCTATGCGATGAAGCAGGGTTCAATAGTGCATTGGAGGCGCCGCAGCGGTAGCAGACCGGCAGCAAGTCGCTCTTATCCCTTAAAGGCGCCGCATGGATCGTCAACGCCTCCACATCCACTTCATCCCGCCACGCATCCGGTAATTTCATCCTTAATAATTTATCATAAGCATATCTCGCTAATTTAAAGGCGCCGCAGGTCTTCGCTTGTTTGGCTAGAGTATACAGTATTTTCGCCCGCGAGATACCAAATGGGGCTTCTTTCCCACCCAAGCCATTAATTAAGAAGCGAGCGCATTGAAAGAGCACTTCCGGCCGCAACGGCGTATAAGGTAAGAAAAAATCTTCGACATGAGCGTAGGCGTAGTACAAGTCGGCCCTATGCAACTGCTCGGTGTACGTAGACATAACTTTCTGTAAGTTATCTTTTTTAGCTGCGACGCGTAACGTCTCGGACGCCAGCAACCAGTAGTAGTAGGACGCGTCCTTGAAGCGCGATTCCACGACGGCGTTAAACGTGAGCTCTTGCACCATCCGCGCCGCGCGGTCTTCGCGCCCCGACTTCCTATAAGCTTCCAGCGCTTCGTCAAATCTGTCGTGGACGGCGAGCCACTCGGCGTAGGGCAGATATAGGGCTTCATCAAATTTCGCTCGAGTTTCTTCGCTGAAGGTCCCGCTCGGGTCCTCCGCTAATTTGAGGGCCGCCTCCCAGTCCTGCTTTCGGACATATAAGCCTAGTAAAGATTCAACATCATCAAGCTTCACGTAGACCTCTTTGGCCCGCTCGTCGTCGCCTGCGGGGACATCGACCAGTGTGTCGGGTGCATCGCCACGCCATCGAGCAGTGACAAGCTCTCTCGCGACGCCTCGCGCTGCCCACGGCGACGACCTGAGGCGCTCATCCACTGATAGGGAGCGTCTCGCAGCACTACTTCCCCACAGTTGAGACTCGCGTCCGGCGACGCGTCGATGGCGTGGAGGTCGACGCGACGATTTCCACACGGATCGTCGCCGTTCGCCAAAAACGCGCGCGCGCACTGCCGCAGCACATCCTCCGCCGTCACCTGCCGTACTATGAGAGAAAGTTTCTCGATCCAGCCGTCCGGCTTGTGTTCGTGTAATAGCCTGTGCGCAAATCAACCAGTGAGTCGCGTGCACCGTCGAGCGGCGAGGAACCGGCATCGCCACGCCATCGAGCAGGCGTCGCGTCGATGGCGTGGAGGTCGACGCGATGATTCAGCACACAGGTAAGAACCGAACGGCCTGCAGCGCATTCCCGGCAGACACCTGCAGATCCGCGGCGGCGGACCAGTCCGACGTCTCTTCCGCCCATTCCGCCTGCTTCCTGGTTAATTCGGTCGCGTCGACGTTCTTCGACGCAGCGGCAAAGGCCTTGGCCTCGTCCCATTGCCGCAAGTCCGCGAATAGGTCGATGGCCTTCTGCGGCTCGCCGGCCTTCGCAAACGCTCTGGCCGCGTCCTGGTACTTGCCCTGGTAGGCCTGGAGCTCGGCGCGGAAGATGGGCGCTAGTTTCTCGACTTCTTCCGGTAGACCTGCGCGGAGCATCAAATTCGACAAAGAAACCACCCCCGGCCATCATTCCTGGAAACGAGTGAAGTGGAAGACACCTCAACGCCTCAAAACGCGGCGATCGAACCCTCCGGTTCCGCTTTCTTCCTCTTGGAGATCTTCTTCGGTTTCGCGACCGGCATCCGCCGCTCCATCGACGTCAGTAACTCGATCCGTCGCAGGTCGTGGACCTTCGCATACGCCGTTTGTGCTGTGGTCAAATCTAACGCGTTTGCTGCGGAGTCGGCTAAGCTTCTCCAATCCGTCGCCGTCACGCCGAGGCGCGCGCAACTCAACCCTCTAGAATGTTCATTCTTGGAGATGAACTGTTTCAGATGATCGGACTGGGGCAGGTCCAGCGACTCGATTTTGAGGTCCCTCGCCACAAATAATTTAGCCCCGACGAATCCGACGACTGACCCTGAAACTTTGTGGACCTTGGCGTCGTGGTCGCCCGTCTTCACTAATAATTCATCGCGGTCGTTCCGCGAGTAGCACAGCGTGTCGTCGAACTGGGCGTTGAAGCGACACGCCGAGACGCCCTCCGCCTGTGTCGAACGACAGATGGCTGTGTAGACGCTCGCACGGCCGCGTCGATTGTGTGGAGGTGGCGTGACGTCGTGGCGACGCCCTCGTCCCAAAGTTGAAGTTCATTCATCAAAAACGGACGCCGAGTCGGCACCGAGAACACGAGTTCTTTACTACGAGTGTCGACCACTTTGAGCTCGTTCTCTTGATTCACGACGGCCAGCTTCCTCCTATCACCCGTCCGATCTAGTAACTTGACCGCGGCTTCACCTGCGCGGAGCGTCGCGGTCGCTCGACGCCGACCGAACGGCCTCAAACTCGACAAAGAAACCACCCACTTCATGGTGAGATGGATACGAGTCGCGTCGACGGCGTGAAGGCACCGAAGCACCGCGGGACGCCGAGATCGCACCTCTCCAGACGTCGACCGGAAACGCGTTGTTCACGTAAATTTTCAGAATGGAACCATCACTACAACCTATCAGTACGCCCTCCTTGCTTGGTGGACCGCCATCTACTCTCAGACACGTGATATCAGCGTCGAGGATCCATTCTCGCTCCTTCAACTTCGAGAAGCCGTGTAGAGTTAACTTCGCACCAGAAGCTACCAACACATGTTGCGACGTCACCCCCAAATGATTCGTACGAGAACCGTCGACCCTCAACCTTTCTTTCCGCAAGCGATAGTGCATATCAATACTGTTGTCATCCCTCTTATGAAGTTCGTACACATTAATTCGATCCGGCAGTTGGATGGCCAGCCGATCCCGATAGATCGCCACCTTCCGCACGTAGTCCCTACTCTTAATACGCACGCGCTTCTCGGCGTGCATGTGGTGGACGACCACGTCCGTCAGGTGTTCCCGGACCGCGAACCGGTCGCCATCTAATGCGTATATAGGTTCAATTACGACATCCCAGAGCTGGATGGAGCCGCCGTAGGACCCAACCGCTATAGCAGGTTGGCGAGGCCTCACAGCGGTGGACCAGACCCACTCGTCTATACGACAAACGTCTTTGAGTCGCACGGCTTCCCTCGTACACAAAGTTGTTTTCTTGTCACTGCCACCGACCACTAAATACTCGCCGTTCGGGTAATAGGAGAGACTGGTCGGATAGCATCCTAATTTTCTCTCTTTCAAATGTTGGGTCCCGGACAGCTGGTAGAACGACAGCGTCTGGTCCCAGCACCCGACGGCCAGGAGGTCTCCCGGGTCCTCCTTCGCGGGACTCCAGGCCAGGCACCAGACTGGGGCTTTCTTTTCAATCAGCTTGTACTCCTGGCCACCCTTGTCTCGTATACTAATGCGACCGTCGTACATACCTGTGTGGGAACGATGCCGTCACGAAACCGTCTCCCTCGCGAGACGCGTGGACTCTCTGACGGCCACGTCGACGGCGTCGCGGCGGTGCGGTCTCATGAAGACGCCATCGCCGCGACCACGTCAGGTTCAAGTTCATTTTCTGCGCCGAGTCAGCACCAAGAGCCAAGTACTGCCCGTCGTGCGACCACCTCGCGGACAAAATCTTCGCCCCGACCTTGTGCTTCGTCACGGACTTGGCCGTCGAACTCCACAACCCAAAATCACCCTCGGTGCACGACGCGAGCTGGTCGCAGCAGGGGTTGTGCGCGACGACTTGGATGCTATCGCTATGCGTATATTTTAACACTCCTTCTCCTTTGCTGTTCCAGATAATCACGGTGTTGTCCGCGCCGCCCGACGCAAATTTAGAACCTTCCCTCCCATAACTGACGGTGTACACCAAGTCCTTGTGGCCTCTTAATCTGTGTCGCAGGTCGCCGTCTTCAGTAGCGTATACTAACACAAGGTTAGCTACAGCGACCACCAGTTCCGTCCCGGACGGGTTGAAGGCCATGCTGTAGACCGTGGCCTTGACGTCGTCCTCGCGCCGCGGCGGGAGGCCCGGGTCCGTCCAGAGGAGCTGGGGCCGCATGCTTTTTGTGAGAGGGGGCTGCCCGTACCGCTTCGCTGCTGCCCCTGGCCGCTGAAACTGATGGAAGCGGCCCGCGGCGCAGCCCGACGTCGTCGCGTGCGCCCGGCGCAGGCGAGACGGTGTCGCGCCCAGCTTAAAACCTGGGGCTGCCGGCCGCCCGTCGGGCGCGGCGTGACACATCATAACAGAGGCCTCGGGACCGCCGGCCGTATGGCTGACGAGGTCTGGGAGGGGGATCTCAAATATGAATAAAAAACGGGTTTGAACTACTAGTGTGTATAGATACTGCTAGCGTCCAAATTCCGAAGCGCGCACCCGCGGTTCTCGGGGGCCGCCCGGCCCCGCGGGCGCGCCGCGAGACGTCCGCCGGCGTTGCGCTGACAACCCGGGCCCTCGGCCCCGCGCGCCCGGCGCGCGCGGGGCGCGCGAGTACTACCGCCTGGGCGCCCGGGGGTCGCGTCCCGCTCGGGGCCGCGCGAGTCCATACCGGGCCCCGAGCTCCCCGGGACGAACGCGAAGGGGGTCGCGCGGCGCGACGGACGCCCCGCGTACCACACGCCGCGCAGGGGGTGACTCGGACCTTGGCCGGGGGGTCTCCGCCGGGCCGCGCAGCGCGGCTCGGAGACTCCTCTCGGGCGGAGGAGACGCCGCCGCCCGACGCCGCGCGCCGCTCCCGGGACGCGCGCGCGGCCAGAGCCGTCCCGGCGCGGGAACCAGAACATGCAGGGGTCGCGCCGATGCGTGCGAAACCGGGCCGGCCGCTGCTAGCCGGCACGTGCGCCGGGGCCCTGCCGCCGGGGCTTGTTTTTGGGGCTTGTTTTTGGCAGCGCCAATCCTTTGCCAGCTGCTCCAGAGGGCGGCCCCGCACCTGTTTGCCCGTCGTTTCCACGCCCGCGGTGTGAGCGCTGAGCTGCCCTTGCTGGCTAAACCCCTGCCCTCGCCCGTGGCCGGGGGCCATGCGGTTCCTCGTTCCCGTGGCTGCCCTCTTCGGCGGCGCTGCCGCGCAAATTGGGCGCGTCACCAGCGTCCGAATTCCGTGCGCCTTGGCCCCACCCCACGCCCCTCCCCCCGCAGCTCGCACCAGATGCTCGCCGGCTACCAGTCGGCCTCGGACGTCGGGCCGCACTCGATGATCGACCTCGACATGGAGGAGCTTGAAACTAAGGTGGGCGAGTACGCCACCAACGCAAACTGGATCACCGAGGCCATGTTCATCTACGAGAACGGCGGCGGCGGCTTGTGTTCGCAGGCCGACGTCGACGCGGCGATGACCTCGGACACGACGCCCTGGTGCACGGACACGACTCAGGCCTTCGGCAACTCCCAGAAGTCCACCTCGATCCGCACGCTCAAGGGCTTCGCGACGAAGAACTACGCTTCGGACAAACTCACCGGCGCGGATGGTGGGAATTACGGCGAGCGGATGCCCCCGATCTACGCCGGCTACTGGAACGACTGGGCGTGGGCAGACACGTTCATCACGAAGGACTACTCCGCGACAGTCAAACCCTCTGGGTGGAACCAGCTCATCAAGAAGGGCGCCAACTACCAGGCGGTCTGGATGTACGTCCTCCACGAGCTTGAGGACGCAATCGGCGACTGCTACGCCGGCGACATCTACGCCAACGACGGGACCCCGACCGGCGGCGCGCCGCACGCGTGGGACGAGGGCTGGGCGTTCTACGCCGGCTCTCAGGTCGCGGCGACGGCGGCCGGCGCCGTCACGGACGACGGTACGCTGATCTGGGAGCTCGCGGAGAAGCGCGGCAAGGGTTTCGACACCACACACTCCACCGGCCCCGCCACGGTGAACGTCAAGCTCCTCGCCAAATTCATTGAGGGCCGCGACCTCATCATTGCCGGCAAGTGCGCCGAAGCCGAGTCCCTCGTCGACCCGATCCGCGCTCAGATGACGGTGCCGCTCGTCCAGGGCACGCTCAATTACGCGTTGAAAGCGGCGGACCCGGCCAACGCCATTAGCGCTTGCGTCGTCGACGCCGGCAAGAACGCCATGACCGCCAGCGACGATTGCGTCGAGTCGTGGGCCGATGCCTGGGCCTTCGCCGCGGCCGTGCTCCCGCAGGTCGCCGAGTGCGACTGGGGAGCCGCCGAGACGATCAGGTATAACTTAGACATCGAAGCGGCGGCGCCGGTGCAAGGGGGCTTCTACAGCGTCAAGTCGGCGATCGAGTCGACGTACCGGTGCCTGGGCATCACGTGCGCCGACGTCGGCGCTTACCCGGGCACCATGCCCTGCAGTGAACCCGACGACGATGACGACGACGACGACGACGACGACCTCCTCGACGGCGGCCTAAGGGAGGTCATGTCCCTGGCGCCCATGGGCCTCGCGGCGATCGGACTTACGTTCACCGGTATTAGCATCGCTGCGATCGCGAATGCGTTCCAGGAACAGTGCGCCCTGGGCCCCACGATCATCTTCGAGGCCGGAACCACACATCCCTACTACATCACCCCGAACCTGTGCACGATCGGCGCCCACACGTACTCGTCCAAGAAGACTGTGCGCGACGCGTCGCCGCGCAAGGTGTGCCGCAAGTTCTGCGAAGCGGCGTCCGCTTCTGGGAAGCTGGCGCTCAAGCAGGTGCACGGCCTGACGTGTTACTGCAAGAGGAAATGATCAGGGGTCGAACTCTCCTCCTTCTCTGGACCCGCCCGCGAACCTGACCTTTCCCTTCTTTTGAAACCTGGGGCTGCCGGCCGCCCGTCGGGCGCGGCGTGACACATCATAACAGAGGCCTCGGGACCGCCGGCCGTATGGCTGACGAGGTCTGGGAGGGGGATCTCAAATATGAATAAAAAACGGGTTTTGCTCGATTACACAGATACACAGACCCAAGCTAGCGTAACGCGGTCTCTAGCAAGCTACCGCCGCCGTGACATTTTATTTAGAGTCATACTAGTAGACATACTAGCGAAGGGCAAACAGATACATATCTTACGCCCGCGCCTCGGTGAGCTCCGAGACGTCGTCGTCCAGGATCACGCGCGGCGAGCCGAGGTCCGACACGTCGTCCTCGGCCTCGCCGTCGACGTCGCCAAGCGGCCGCGCGGGCGACGCGGCGCGGTCGTGGACGGAGCCCTCGTCGAGCGCCGAGACCTCGTCGGGCAGCGGCGAGCAGACGGAGGCGTCGCCCTCCTCGAGGACGGTCCAGAGGTGGGCCGGCGCCGGCGCGGCCCCGGGCGCCGGCGCCGGGCCGGGCGCCGGGCCCGGCGCGGGCGCGGGCGCCCAGGCCGCGGGCGCCGGCGCGCCGTTTGGAGCCGGCCCCGGCGCCGGCGCCCCCACACATGACCACGCGTCCTCCGCGATGTACGCCGGCGCGTCGGCCTCGGTCGACGCCCGGGATCTCCGACTCTTCCGTTTCGGCCTCTTCGGCTTTTTATGTTTCGCGGCCACCGGCTCGATCCACGCCGACGACTTGCCCCACTCCTTGCCCGCCTCGCGCAGGACGTGCGCGACATCTAGGTCTCCGGTCGAACCGTTGCGAGCGTCCGTCAATAAAACGAACAGTCGTTGTTGGGCCGGCTCCGGCTCCGGTACCGCCCATTGCCCTTGTCGTAATCGCTCATCTAACTCGGCGGCGATATCCTGCGCGGAGCATCGCGGTTCGGTCCGAACGGCCTCTTCAGCAAAAAAGAAACGACCCCCGGCATCGTGAGATGGCCACGAGTCGAAGGCACCGTACGGGACGCCGCGAGCGCACCCGCAAATCCGCCATCGACGTCCTCTCTCGAATTTCGTCGGGGAACTCGCGAGACACCCACTTCTCCCGTTTGTCCGCCTCGATGGCCTCGCGCGTGAACGGTCGCAGGCGGTCCGGTCGACGCGGCTGGTAGTCCTCGACCTCGCCGCGCAGCAAGCCGTCGTCATCCTCATCATCATCATTGCTCTTCTTCTTCTCCTTCCCCAGGGCCTGGCGGTAGGTCACGACGACGTTGCCGTGCTCGTCGACGTTCGGCTGCTCGGAGGCGACCTGCGCGGAGCATCGCGGTCGTGGAGTGGTAAGGGAGGATCGGGCGACGTCGTGTCCGGGAATGGTGGCGGTGGGTCGTTTCTCGTTGAATTTTGAGGCGATTTCGAGGTGATTCGGTCGACGTCGCTCGACGCGGTCCGAAAGGCCCCAAAATCGGAAAATAAACCACCCACGACCTCCTCTGATGGTCACGAGTCGCGTCGATGGCGTGAAGGCGGACGCAGAGCTCGCACCGTGCTCTCGTCGTCCTTCTTGAAGACGTTCTCGTTCTTCTCTTTGGGCGGCGCTCGTCTATTATCCCGCTTTTCAAATTCGTCCATCAACAGTTCGTCGGCCGAGGGCGCGACGGCCCAGGCCGGCGGCGGCCAGACGTGTAACGATACCGAACCGCCACTTCTCGTCCGTTCGCGTTTCCGAGCTTGTTTTCTGGTGCGTAACGGGAGGGAGATCTGGGCCGGCTGAGAACTTGTAGGAGCCGTCGCCGCGTCCTTCGGCGGCTTGGGCACGGCTTTGAGCTCCAATAACAAATCCCCGGCACTTATCCGGGCTTCGCCCAAGCACAGGTCGCCCCGCAGCTCCTTGCGCCAGACTTCGACGATGAGCGTCCACTTCGGGGGTTGCCAGCTTGGCAACACCTCGTACGGGGCCTGCCATTCTCCAGATGCCATCGGCGGCGGCAGGGAGCATAGATAACTAAATGAAGCGGGCGCGCCCTGGACCCTCGTGCGACAGGGTTTTGTGGTGCCGACCTCCCACTTGATCAAGGAGGCTTCCTCCGCCTCCTGGCGCATGGCCTCGGCCGCGTCCTGGTCGAAGCCCTGTGTGGAACATATACAATCGCGAACCCGTCTCCGTCCACTCACGAGACGCGTGGACTCTCGTGTGATCATGAAGACGCCATCGACGCGAAGCGGCATCGCGAGGACGCCATCGCCGCGACCACGTCATGTTGAAGCTCATTCTTCACGCTGAGTCAGCACCGGCACGTTCTGCTCGAGCAAGTCAAAGCCCAGATCCGTCAACGCTTGGTCGATCTCGGGCTTGACGTCCTCCCTACTCATCAGTAGACACTCGGCGTCTTGGCGCTCCCGCTCCTTCTCTTCGGGAGTCTTCGCGTCCTCCAAAGCTTGTTTTCGCTGCCTCTCGGCCTCCTCGTACCTGCGCGGAGCATCGCGTTTCGAAGTGTCCATCTCAGCATGACGTGGGTGGGCTCTGGTCCTTCAATGAACCGGTTCGGACCGAGTCGCGACTCGACGGCGGTCGCGGTCCCGACTCGGTCCGAACGGCCTCAAAATCACAAAAGAAACCAGCCACGTCATCGTGTGTTAGGTACGAGTCCCATGGAAGGCGCCGCAACGCCTCAAGACGCCGCGCGCGCGCATGCTGATGCAATACACGAGCTCGTCGTAATCGAGCGTCCGGTCTCCGTCGACGTCGAACGCACTGAACACGGTCGACGCGTTCGCCGTGAGCCACGTCACGAAGGGATTCAGGTCCTCGTCGAACAGGGCTCTCTGCAGTTCTTGTATTGTTAGTTTCCTGTGATCCGTGTCGACGCCTCGCAAACGCTTAGCTGCGACGGCGAGCGCTTCCTCTAACGTCTCCGGCTCCTTCTCCTTCTCTTTGGGCGCGTTCGGGTCGGGAGCTTCATCGTCGCCCGTGTCGCAGATGTCGAGAATCTTCTTCGCGATCCTATACTTGTTGCCCGTCCCGTCGAAGACGACCAGAGACCGCTCCGACTCGGTATCTGAAGCATCCTCTACTATTTCGGGCTGTCTTTCCCGCTCTTCGATGCGCAGAACCGCGTAGGTCTCGTTCCTACCAAACACACTTTTGTGTTTCAACTTGCAGGCCTCATTTAACCTGAGAGGCAGCTCATCCACCCCAATTTCCTGGAGGAACTGCTCGCGATGAGCTTTGGTCTCCTGTCTCTGTTGTAATTGTTTTTTACTGATACTTCGAGCCTGCCGCAGAGCCACTGTCTCCAGCGCATTCGCCTCCTTCAATCCTAAAGCGCCGGGGTACTTTGAACACCACGCATCGACCACAAACTCGCAGGCCTCGGGGATGACCTGCCGCGTCGTCTTCCTCCGACCCTCGCTGTCCTTCGGTGTGCTATCAGCAATTCTCTCCACAGCGTCCGTGTGCAGCTCCAGCGGCTCCAAACCCCTTCGGACCTCGATGGACACCCAGATCTCCTGGGGCAGTTCTTTTACACTTGCCACAGATTCATCCTCAGAACTATCCGTGACCCACTCGTAGACCGACTCGTACTCGGGCACGTCGTCCCCGGCCTCGAGCGCCCTCCGCTCCGCCTCTTCCCGCTCCTTGCGCTCCTCGTCTTCGCGCTGCTTCTTCTTCGCTTCGCGCGACAATGCACTTTTCTCGAAGTCGTCGAACTTGCCGTACCTGCGCGGGGCGGCGGTTTCGCGTGCCGCGGCCGTCGGCGCGCGTCGCGAGGCGTCGAGGCGTGTCGCCTCCACGAGAGGAGGCGGCCAGTGGTCTTTTTTTCGAGTTTGAGCCGCTTCGGACCGCGTCGAGCGACCGCGTCCGAATGACCTCGAAGTCGACAAAGAAACGACCCCCAGCATCGCAACACCTCAAGACGCCGCGCGCGCGCAGCTTGTTCATCTTCTCAATATTCGTGTCGTCTTTCGCGTTGAAGGTCTTCCGCGCGAGCGCCGTCACCTCGTCGACGCCGTCCCAGCCCGCTATTTCGAGCCACTTCTCGTACAGAGTCTTGTCGTCGTCCCGCGAACATTCGGCGATCAATGAAGAAAGTACTGCTCGCGCCGGCCGGACGTCGCCGCGCGTCAGATGCGCCTTGGCCAGCAAAAAGCGCCACTTCGGCGGCCACGGCTCCGGTAGACTTCGTAAACATCTCTTGGCCGCTTGAACAGCTTCCGTGGCCAAACGAGCACCCAAACAAGCTTCAGCATAACAAGCACACAAGCGAGCGACCTCCACCTGATCGAGGGCCTGGCCCATGGCCTTCTCCTGGGCCTGTATCGCGGCGCGACACGCTCGTAAAGCGTCGCCCGGCGACCGTGTCAGACGACACTGAGCCATTGTATCCAAAGCGTCGTGGTATTTCGTGCGAGCGTCTCGCTGATTCTTTTCAGATCGATAAATGGCGTCGTTCTGCCGCGCGTTATCACCCTTGCGCGCGGCGTTCCGCCAGGCCGCCTCCGCATTTTGGACGTTGATAACACCTGTGTGGCACAGACACCGTCGCGACATTGTCTCCGTGCACTCGCGCGACGCGCAGACTCTCATGTGCTCATGAAGACGCCATCGACGCGACGCGGCATCGCGTCGACGCCGTCGCCGCGACCACGTCACGTTGAAGTTCAATGAAGACGCTGAGTCAGCACCAAGATACTTCGGGAAGCACTCGGCGATGGCCACGCCCCGGTGGATGAGCCGCGCCTCCTTGGCGCGCTGTCTTGCTGAAGCCGCAGCAGAGGGCTTGTTCTCTTCGTCGGAATCGGACGAGTCCGAGTCGCGGCGCTTTTCCTTTGAAGGCGCGGGCGGCTCCGGTTGCAGACCGAGGGCGATGCGTTCCGCCATGAACGCGGCGTGCGCCCTCAACTGCTCGGTGGGCACGTGCCAGTGCGGGTCGGACAGCGCCGCCGACGCGTTCGGCCCGCGGCTTCTCTTTAAGCGCGCTTCGCTGTGCGGGTCGCGGCCCCACGGGTTTTGGATTCGATCCGCATCTTCCCTTATTCCCGCGTTTCTGCCATCTACGAGTGCTGCGGCCGCATCTAGACACCGGTGCATGAACTGACGCCGTTCGAGCGCTCGCGCTAATAAAGGTCGTCGTCTCCGGCCGCCGTCCGCCGCGTCTCGCGCCATACGAGGATCTTCTCTCTGTAACCAAGTAGTCTTGGCGACGACTTCCCGCCCCAACTCGACGCCGTTCGCATCTCTGGCAACCACAATCAATCCGTCGCCCGCGTCCAACGCCGTCGAAAAGAAGGCTGCGGCACCACCTCTCGGCCGTCGGACCACCGCCGCGGCGAAGGGTAGCGGCGCCGGCCGCAACCCGACTTGTAATCGAGTTTTGAACGTTCTATGATTTCTTTCGGCGATACGCTTCAATGGACTTGTACCCTGCTCCGTCTGCCGACAGACCCAATGCGACACGCGCACGCAGAGCTCCCTACGCGCGTCGGGCGGCGCGTAGACCCAGTGCAGGTCGGCTTCCGCTCCTGCCCTATCTCTCCATTCATTTTTATCTACAGACATGGACTCGCCCTCGTCCTCTGAACTCTCGTCCGTGCTCTCGGCACCCGAATGCTCTCGCCTCCTGGCTTGTCTAGTTCGTACTCGTAGGGAGAAGCCGCAGTCCAACACGTCGCATCGTAACGACGTATCTGAGAGAGATCGCACGCTCCGACAACCAACTGGTGTAGCTAAGTGAGTGAAGCGCAACTTCGCGGCCGAAGCCGCCGCCGCGGCCGCGCGATCGCAGTCCCGCGACCGATATCTAATGATAGACGTCGTCAGCCTCGACAAACCCATCTGGTGCTTGCGCACCTTCTTCAACATCAGTTCCGACCGTCGCTGCAAATCCCCGAGTCGCAACGCCTCCGCGCCGCACGCACACAACGCGCACTCGACCTGGACGCGCTCCCGCCGCCTCGATTCCTCATTACTCACACCTATTTGGATCTTCTCGCCCAGGTCGTCGGGGTCCCAGGTCTCGGCCTGCGTGTTTCAAACTTCAAGTTGGGCTTCAACTCGGGGTCTGTCGTGGTCTGAGAGAGGTTCGAGTGTATCTCTCGGAGGTCGTGTCCGAGTTTGGGCCTCTCAGAGGGCCGCGGTGCCGAGACCGCTCTCACTCGGCGAGACGCGAGGATCGCATCGATGGCGTCGGACGATGCTCCCAGACGCCGTCGACGCATGGTTGATGTCCACACGGGTCTCCGCGAGCGTCGTTGTTTCTTCACTCGACACTTTCGCTTCGGGACTCTCCGGATCTAGTAATTTAAAGGCAGCGACCCACCAGCCCGCGGCCGGCGGCGCGAGATCCTGTATTCTAGTCCACAAGACCTCCGCTCGGTCGTGGATGGCTATCAATTGTCTTCCTAAGTCTAAAACTTCTTTCCTCAATGAAGACGCTTCGCTACGCAGGTCGTTCGCGTCCCTGCCGTCCCTGTGGGCCTGCCGCGCCTCGGGCGTGCCGTAGCGCACCTCGGCAATCCTCACATCTCGCAGGAACGACGCGCGACCGATAGCAGGTTTGCACGCCTGATGTTCACGCTGTTCTCGTCTAAGAACGTTCTCAGCGTCCTTTCTTTCGCGTCGGACGGCCATGCCGGCGGCCACGGCCACGGTGAGCTTGCCCTGGGCCTGTGTGGGAACGGCACCGTCGCGAAACGACCGCGACTCTCTCACGAGGCGCGTGGGCGCTCTGGCGACCGCGTCGACGACGTCGAGGCGATGCGGTCTCATGAAGACGCCATCGCCGCGACCACGTCAAGTTCAAGTTCATTTTTCACGCTGAGTCAGTACCGTTTCCGTGGTCCCACCCTTGAGAAGCTTTTTCGCTTTTCGAGTCGAGAACAACTCGAGCAGACCCTTTTCTCTTTCTAAAAACACGCGGTGCTGCTGCTTCGATTGAACGCCCGGTCGCATCGCGTCCTCGACCAGTAAAGTCGCGTCGTTGCGATGTCTATCACATACGCCGAGCTCGTCGTCGTCCCCTTCGTCGTCGGACGGCGGTCGCGCGCCCCAGGACTCGCCGTCGCTATCGTCCGATGGTAATTCTGCTAGCTCCACCTTCTCCGAGGCCGTCGTAATTAGCGAAGCTGCTTGTAGCGTCTGCACGGAGCCCTGGTGGAATTGTACTGTAGAGTCCTCCTTGAGCGGGGAGATGTCCGTGTGTAATGTGAGGACCGAGTCCGTTTGTAATCCCGGGGACGCCAGAGACTCCGTCTGGAGCGTTCTGGGGGACGCCTGCTCGTCGAGGATCGCCAGTTGTGTAGCACGGGGGCTCGCGTGCGGCGTCGCGTGCGGCGTCGTCTCCCGCATTTCCACAATTCGCGACGCGCGCGACGGCGCCGTCGCCTCGGAGCGTTGGCCGATCGTGGATTGGGCGAGGTCGTCGTCAATTTTCAAAGCCTTCTGGATGGAGACGGGCTTGCTCAGCTGCTTTTTCAACCGTCGCCGCTCCTTCCGGACCCGGCGCAGAGCCTCCCGTTCGACGCGCGTCTTCCGCGCTCGTCTCGGCTCGTCGTCACTCTCGTTGCGCCGCGGTTCGGCACCAACAATAGAGTCGACCTTCTGTCGCAAACGAGCCGTCGTCGGGTCCGCGAGACCGAGCTCTACTAGTCTAGCAGCGACGCCGCGCTGCTGGTCTCTGGAAAGCCACTGCAACGGCGCTCGCAATTGTCCTAATGAGAACCAACTTTCGATGGAAGTGACACACAACGCCTTCGCGCCGGACGGCACGTGCCGAGCTTCCAACTCAATTCGGCCGTCAATTCTTCGAGCCGACGCGAGCCACCTCTCCAAGCCCACTCGCCCTTCCGCATCGTCCTTTAAATCTCTCGAACAGGCCGTGCCGCAGGCCAACTTAATGACGGACCGCCAGAGCATGCGATTCGTATTCGCGAAGTGCCGCGACGTGACACCTCGTAGGCGCCAGTCACTACCGGAAGTACGAGGGATCCTATCTGTACTACAAGGCAAATCACAGCCGTCATGAGGCAAAGCGCACCATGTCTCAGCAGTGGGCCACACTAACGCATCGGACGGGTGCACACATAGCACCGGGACGCCGTGGCGCGTCTCGAGTCTTAGAGAAAGGGCTCGACACAATTTCGCCCTTTCAAGGTCCGCGAGCCACTCCAGCCTCGAACCATAGCCTAACAAGCGCCAGTCGCTCATTTGTAGCGAGTATCTATGAGCTCCTCTCTTCGAAGGAACGTGCGCGTCGCACCAAGCTAATACTATACGCAGCTCCTGTTGAGTGGTAGTGAACCGCAGCCGACACGGCACGTCTCTGACAAGGCAGGCCACGTCACAACTCCATTGCTCTTCCTCGTCGATGCTGTCCTCGAGGCCGTCGAGTACGAGTCGGCCCCGCTTCACATCGACACAATCGGCGACGGCTTCACACAATGAGGCGCGCGCTCGAGCCGACCAGACCGCATCCCCTCGGCAGTACTCCTCGAACCCGAGCCCTCGGATGTAGGACGACGGGAGGTCTCGCTCCAGATGATTCGGCGCGGCCCAGTCGCTCGCCGAGCGCTCGGGCGCCACGCTCCCGTCCTCGGTGCCGACGCGCGACGCCGCGGCCGACGTTGGCCGCGACGTCTCGCGCGACGCCGGTCTCGATGTTTCGCGGCTCGCGGGCCGGCTCGTGTTGCGAGAGGACGGCCTCGACACCGAGTTCTCGCGCGACGCCGGGCGCTCCGGCGAGAGGAGCCGCCGCGTCCCGAAGGCCTTGAAGGCCTCGGCGTCGTCCTTACGGGCTCTGCGCGACGAGCGGCGCCGGGCGAGCGCGTCTCGCGCCCCGCCCCGCTTCATGGCAGATGAAGTGGCCTCGCGGGCCTTCTCTCTATCAATCAACAACGCGTCGCTCCGGTCCTGGGCCTCATCTCTCCTCGTGCGGCCACACAAGCGCACGTGGACCCGCCACCGCAGGTCCTCCGGTGCTGCGCCGCGCGCCTCGTCTTCGTAAGACAATCTAACGATGCAGCGCCGGCCCTTCACGACTCTGATACATGAATAAGGTGGATTGCGCGGCTCTATTCTAGCTAACGCTCTTCTCACTCTGTCTAAAGCTTCCTCTCGCACCTCAAGGACATCAGAACCCTCCTCGTCACAAGAGGCCTTCTCGAGCGCGTGCAAAGGTAGCCAGTACCGCTCCGTGCAACACAGGCCGTCCAGCTCCACTTCGGCCGCATCTCTCGCGGGCACGACCCTACGAACCGTCCCCGCGGGCCCGATCGCACTCGATCGGCGAGACCAGAACTCCCGCTCGTCCCGCGGCGCCCAGGCGCTCACGACGCGCTGCCCCGCCTTCACGAAGTCGCCCCGCCGCTTGTTCGCGACGCGAAAGGCCTCGTGGACGTCCATCCTTAGCAGGCGCGGCGACCTGCGCGGAGCATCGCGGTTCGTATCTCGGTGTGAGATGATCGACGCGCGTCGTGACCACCTCATGATGAAGTGGGCGGTTTCTTTTGTGATTTTGAGTGAATTCGGACGCGATTCGGGGCGGTCGCGCGACGCGGTCCGAATTCACTCAAAATTCAATATAAAACCACCCCCGGCATCGTGCGATGGACACGAGTCGCGTCGATGGCGTGAAGACGCCGATATCGCACGTTACGGGAATCCACTTCCACGAGGTGTCGTCTTTCCCGAGCTCCCCAATGAGCACCTCGTCCTCCTCGTTATCCAGTTCTCCTCGCTCTCGGAACGCCTTAACATGGCCAGGAACCCACTCGCGGTTCTTCCAGCATAATACGGAAGCACCGTTCTCGAGGCCAGGAACGTTCTCGCACGAAGGCGCGTCGAGGCGCGCCCCCAGATGCTTCTCGAAGCGCTTCGTCGCCTGGGCCTTGCCTCCGGAACTAAATGCTGCTTTGGCCATACTACCTTGCAGTTTCGACTTTAGTAGTTTGTGGCTGAGGCTCCGCTTTTTTGGCGGTGGGCTCGTGACAGGTACCTTGCGGACGACTTGGGGCGACGCTGCGGCCTTTTGTTTGGCCGTGCGCAGCTGGATGGCCTCGAGCATCTGGGCCGCGGCTTGCCTCGACTCGACCCTTACTCTAAACCGTTCGTTCGCGCCCTGTCTAGTGGTCCCGCCGCCGCTCACTTCCGAGCCGCGGCAGCGACATATCGTCTCGTCCTGGGCCAGCAAACGACTGACTAATCGCAACGTGTCGGTGGTCGACGCGTAGCCCCTTGCCTCTGCGATGCGCTCGGCGGTCTCTTCGACGGCGGCGACGTCTTGTGCGGCCTGGCGCGCGGCGCCGCCGTCGAGCGAGGGCCGTCTTTGTAGTGTGGGGCGTTCCCTGGTGGAGGGCGGCGGCGGCGGCGGCACTACTACTTTGTCGGTGGGGCTCTGTGCCAGCACGGCGTCGAGGGCCTTGCTATGGGCTGGGTCCATGCTTTGGCTGCTGCCCCTGTTGTAGTCTGCTGGTTGGTTTTGTTATTGATCCATGCGACGGATCGATGCGTTTAACCGGTGGTGGCGGCTGCCCGAGCCATGGTCGCGGCTTGCCTTGTTTGATTGGCAGCTCGCACTCGGCGCTGCCTTGTTTGCTTTGGTCCGCGGGGCGGAGGGCTATGAGGGCGCTGCGAGTCCGTTGCGGGGGCGCTAGGGACGGCTTGGAGACGTCGCGACTGATACCTTGCTTTCCTAGTGTGTTACATGCCGTTAGCTGTCGCACTTTTTTATGCCGCGAACATTTTTTTGGCCAGTATTGTGTGCAACCGGGCCAGCGCTCGTGCAAGGTGCCGCCGAGCACTCATAGATTCCACTGCGTTCACCCTGCAACAAATAGAGCTCGCTGCGGACGCTCAAGACCGGTTTGGCCACAGGTGACCTGACCTGCAAACGCCATGTGCCCCGCGCCCCCAGCCCCGCCGGCGTCTCCCGACGCCCACTACGTCCGCCTGGAGGCGCCGCCGACGCCCACCAATGAAGCAACCGACGCAACTGAGGCAACGACGAGCGCCGCCGCGACGGCCGCCGTCCTCGCGAACGCCGTCATGGGCGCGGGCATCCTCGCGCTACCCTACGCCTACGCGAGGAGCGGCGTCGCCGGCGGCCCGGCGCTCGTACTGTTCGCGGGCCTCACGAACGCGTTCACGATGCATTTACTGTCGAGCGTGGGCCGGCGCGTCGCCCAGGACAAGGCTTCGTTCCACGCCGTCGCGTCCGCGACATTGCCTCCATCATTATGGTGGCTCGCCGATTTTGTAGTTTGTTCCATGATGGCTTTAGTTGCTACTTCGTATCTAATCGTCTTCGCGAACCTGGCGCAAGCGGCACTCGCTAGCAAGAGGAGGTACCCCTACGTCGTCATAGCCGCAGGCGTCTGCGCGCCCTGGGCCTACGCCGAGAAGCTGGGTGGCATACTGCAGTATACCTCCTATCTAGGTCTGATATTAGCTATATATGTGGCATTATTATCCATAGCGAATTGGCTCGACGCGGACCAGTTCAAGCCATGTCTGACAGGACACCACTGCGGCGGCACGTATCAATTATTTGAACTGAACCTAAAGACGCTCGACGCCTTCGCACTGGCGACGTTTGCCTTTACAGCGCAAACGCAAGTACCACAATGTGCCAACGGCCTTGACCAATACACCCAGCCGAAGATGGACTTCGTATGTATTTCAGCAGTGCTCTTCTGCGCATTGCTCTATGCAGTGGTAGGACACGCGGGATACGAGACGTTCGGCAGTGACGATCTCGGCGTCCCGTCGTGTTGTGGTGGTTTCACTTCTTCAATACGACTCGTCTCCATCAGAGAAGGCGATGGGTGCTTTCTTTGTCGAGTTCGAGGCCATTCGCGATGCCCCGCGCAGGTCTCGTGAATTCCGATCTACTAGAATCGTACCCCAATGCACCGGAAGTGGTGGCGGCTCGATTATGTGTAGCGGTCGTCGTCGCTACTTCCTACCCGCTCATGGTCGTGCCGTTTCGGGACTCGCTTCATTCGATACTCATGCATCAGACGCGATCACCGTCAGTGAAGGCGTTCGCTTCCCATCCACACTTCCGTGTCGTCGTGACGACGGGTTTCGTTCTCATATCTGCCGCGGTTTGCGTCGTTGTAAAGGATCTGGGGATAGTGCTGTCGATCGTGGGTAGCACGGCCGGGACGACGGTGGCCTACGCCATCCCGTCGTATGCGTATGTGCGCACGTTTTCTGGCGACCCCGACCGGAAGTGTTCCTTGATGCTCGCGCGGTGCGTCTTCGCGTATTCGGTGGTCGCGGTGCCGGCGTGCCTCTACGCGACGTTCCGGCCGTGACCCTTCGCTAGCGTGCTTCGCGATCGACAAGACGTGGTCTCTACGCCGTCGCCGCCGTCGAATGTAATTATATTATTGTGCAAGAAATTAGGTTGCTATGGGGATAGGAATATTGATGGGCCGCTCAGCACGCCGTCGACACCGTGCAGTCGCAATTCGCGGCTTGCTGGGCGCTGTCCTTCCCAGCCTTGACTAATGTGGAGACGAGGGTATTGACCTGCTTCAAGGACGGCGTCCAGGACGTCGAGACCGTCGTCGCTTGGAAGCATTGGTCCGTAAAATCCAAAGCTAAGGCATCATCATAAAACGTCGGCTCGAGCTCGCCCGCGCCGATGGGGCAGAGGCAGGCCATCTGGCAGCCGTCGGAGTCGTCGCCCATGTTCCCTTCCAGCTTGTAGCAGGGCGCGCCCATGCAGACCTCCACCACGTCGATCTCCCAGGCGAACCCGGCGTTGCTGTCGTGGGACTGGATATGTGTTTGAGCTTCGGAGTGGGACTCGCCTTTAGCTAAGGCTTTTCTGCGGCACTCTTCATTGGTGGCGCCCGTGTGGAAGGAGATGAAGTCGCAGCCGAGTCCCGACTCTTCGCAAATCGTGCCGTCGGTCAGCGCCGTGCAGAACGCGGGTAAATCGAGGGTCCCGGCGTACTGGGCGGCCACGGCGTTGCGGTACGTTTCACTTTGAGAGAGGTAGATGGTCGACGAGCCCATGCGGAAGGTCGACTCCATGGGCGTGCCTGCGCGTGATATGACATCGAGTCGCGATCTCGCCCGAAACGCGCTCAAAATCGAAAATGAGACCACCCACTTCCATCATTCCTGGAGACGAGTCGCGTCGATGGCGTGAACACATCGTAGGACGCCGCGAACACACCCTCGAACATCTCGTTGACCGTCTCCGGGGCGCACTTGCACGCGGCCACGTCCGGGTAGTCCTCGAGCCCCGAGCACGTCGTCAGCCCGCACAGCGCGTAGGGCTGCGTCCCCGGCGTCGACAGGTCGCAGGTCAGCTGCCAGAACTGGTCCTGCGTGGGAACGACGCGTCGTATTCACTGGAAACGGTCCGAACGGCCTCTTCAGCAAAAAAGAAACCACCCGCGACCTCGTCTCATGGACACGAGTCGTTTGAATGAAGTGAAGGCGCCGTAACACGTCAAGACGCCGAGATCGCACCTGCGTGACCGTGAGGTCGTAGACCCAGCTCACCGACGGCGTGCCGCGCGGCGTGCGCAGCGACGCGCGCAGGTCGGCGTAGCGCTGCGTTTTTGTAAGAGTGGCGGCCATGCAGAGCGTGCCGACGACGGCTGCTGCGGCGTACGGCCTGCGGCGCTTTTCGGTGAGGAGCGGTGCGCTCTCCATGAGGGGCGTGGTCGCCTCGGCGTCGGTGGCGCCGTAGTTTTTCTCCTCCATGGTCGTTGCTCCTGGGAGTTTGGTGCTGCCCGGGAGCGTCTGCGGGGTGTACGGAGCCCAAAACTCGCTGCTGCCCGAGACTCGGCCCAGGTCCGAAAGGAGAGAAAGATACTTTGAGGAGGGAGGGGGAGCTTTCGGAGGCGCCGCGCCGCCGCCGGACGTCCGCGCACCACCTCTCCGGCGTGGGGCGTCCGGACCTGTCGCGGAAATGGGGTGATGGCGCCGCGCGGTGGGGTTCTACAGGCCCGGAGAGCCTCCGGGACCCGGAAAAGCGTGATCCGGGCAGGCGGTCGGTCGTGGGCGAGCTCGTAAGCATCCGGGCCGGGCGCGCGGGCCCGCTGCCTCCGCAATGTCAATGCTGAAGCCATTCGCAGGCCGGGGCACCTCGGCTCGAGAGACAAAAGGGCTGCCTAAAACACCTATAGATATGGAGCCCGCCGACGAGGAGCTCCAGCAGCTGACGGCCCCGCCGGCGCGCGCGCCCACCCACAAGGCGCGCGCGCTCATCGGCTGCGTCGCCCTCGCCTCGACGGCCCTGCTCGTCGCAGTGACCCAACCACAAACGAAACGCGTTTCACCGGCCGTCCTCGCGGCCCGAGAGATCGTAAGGAAACAGATCAACAGCCCGGGCGCCGGCCCCCACGGCCCCGGCGACGCGGACGTTACTCACGACGTCGACAGCTGCAGCGACCCCTGCATCCCGTGCACGAACGCCGGTTCGTATTCGAGCTTCCCGACGATCATCCAGCACCTCATGGTCTACAACCGGGAGGCCACGCCCTACGGCGGAGTTATATTTACGGATAGAGGTCAATATGGGGATGCGCACCAGGAGGACCCGTACAATGTGAAGGATATGGTTTCCGCTGTTGTCGAGTCGTACGACGAGTTGCTCGAGACGTGTCTGAACTCGGATCCTTCGGACGGGTCGGACACGTGCTCGCACTACTACGTCAATAGCTGCGAGCTGGACCAATCCTCCAGAAATTCGCAGGTAAGTTGCGTGGAGGCCTGCGTGACGGATCGCTTCGCGCAGACGATGAAGGGTGTCATAGATGACGTCTCCGTCTGCGCGTACCCGGTCTCGTCGACGTTTCTCTTGGCCCCAAATGTGGTCAAGAGCTGCCTGGACCCGACGTACGACGCCAGTGAAGGGGGTCTCTACGACACGGACTCGGACTGCTACGCGTGCATTAGTGGATGCATGGAGGCGCAAGGCGGGGTGGACGCGTGGGTGCTCGACTGCGAGTAAATTTGGAATATAGACAATTAATAAATTAAGCGGTCGGCGTCCGGGCGACCGTCGCGTCGTACGTCTTGAGTTCGGTAGACGGGGGCGGCGCGGACTGCACGCGGATCGCGCGCGCGGCTGCGGCGGCGGCGGCCTCGCCGGCCGAGCGCGGCGGTCTTAATGGAGACTGCGCCCGGAGCCGCGCGCGCTCGCCGCGCGGCGGCGAGGCCTCGCCGCGCGGTCTCAATAGAAGCGCCCCGACGAGGCACGGCGCGAGTTCTAGAAGAACGTTCGCGAGGAGGTCCGCGGCGCACGCGGCGTCGCACGGCAGCGCATTCATCTCCCGGGCCCAGAGCGCGTAGCGCACGCCCTGCGCGAGGCACACCCCAGCAGAGAGCGCGACGGCGCGGTCCAGCAGTGATAGGAGGGCCGGCGGCGCCTTGGCCCGGCCTTGCCGCGGCGAGTCCCCAAGGGCTCGTAACAAATCAGCGCGCGTCTTCGCGAGGGCGGCCGCGACGACGGCGCAGCTTATAGCGTATACCACGAGCACGGCCGTGCCGCAGGCTTGGGCAATCGTCACATCGGTCGCCGTCGCCGCGCGGCCGGCCATCGTTACTACAAGTGCGGCCCACACGGCGACGAGCAAAGAAAATAACGCCGTCGCTCTAGGACAAGGTAAACCATCGACGCCTCTCCTCAATGCGAACAGAAACACCGCCAACGCCGCGTAGGCGCCCAGGAAGCCGCTCCCCGCCAAAGCTCGCACCATGCGACACGGCCAATCGACCTCTTCGCAGGCGGGACACGCCAGAATCTGCGCGCCGTCGGCGAGGCCCCGGCCCAAGCAACCTATAGTAACAAGAACCAGCACGAGCGCCCGCGCGGCGGCGCCCGGCGACTCTCGCCGCTCCTCGGCCGGTTGTTCGTTCGACGGTTTCGGCGCCGTGTTGAGGGAGAAGACCCAGGCGCCCGTCGCGAGGTTGAGGGCGCAGCCCGCGGCTCTTAGCGGGGTGCACATCTGATTTTAGTTTACGTCGTGCTACTCTCGGTGGCTGATTTTACGTCACCACTGAGGATGCCTACCGCCTCTCCATTATGTTTTGCTGGGTGCCGAAGTGCAGGCAACAAAAACTGCCTGGTCACAGTGCGGCGCGCCGAAGCTTTTGGTTTTTCAGCCTGGCGACGAAAGAAATCGCACTTTTGCGTCGCGTTGGCCTCCCAGCGCAGCGGGCGGGGCTAAAAAGCACACCGTGCTGCTTTTTGGGCTTGGGATAATGGCTAGCGGCCCGTAAGACACTAGCAAGCAGCAATGCATCCTTCCCAGGCCCCGCCCACTAGTCCTAGCACCGTAACAATATACACGCCTCCAATGAATCGGAAGGACGAGCCCGGGCGGAACATTACCGGTCTAAGACGGCGGAGTGCGAAATAAAATCGCAGCACTAAAACGGGCCCCGTCGAACGTGCGACAGAATCACCGCACTTCTAACCGCACTAAAACAACGGCTGCGAAGAAAAACAAACACAAAACCTACTGGGACTCGACGGCGGACCCCGGCGCCGACCAGGCAAAACGAGAAAGCCCCTCGGACTCGACGACGGCCGCCGCCGACACCGCTGCATCAACAGCATTCTTCTCGAAGTCGCGCCGCAGCCCCAACGCCGCGCGCACGTCGCCTCGACATACGCCCGCGGCCGACAGCCGCAGCGTCCTCACGTCACTCGGCGCCTCGACGCACAACAACGCCAAAGCGGCCGTCGTGGCCTCGAGCTCGGGACGTAACGTCGCCCGAAAGACCTCGCCCTCGCCCAGCGACTCCTCGGACGGCAATAACGCGCCCAGCGTCGCGAAGAGCTTCCGCGCGTCGCGCCGTAGCGCGAGGGCCCCCAAGGCGCCTACGTTGTCGCCGCTCGTGCACCGCGCCAATACCGCATTCGCAGCGTCTTTCGCTAATTTCCGACATAACGCTAATCTAGGCGCGCCCGCCGGCAGCGCGTCCAAGGCCGCCGTCAAAGCGGCATGATTTAGTACTTTCTCATAGGCGTTGTCCAGCGCCGAGTCGTCGTCACCAAGCACGTCCTGGTCGCCCAGTTTTGAGTACCTTCCTATTTTATCAGCAACAACATCAGCAAAGAAACTTCTCCGAGAAAGCATCAGACCGGGCTCGTCGAACAAAGCGGATAGTGCACCTGCGCGGAGGAGCATCGTATTCACTGGAAACGGTCCGAATGGCCTCAAAATCAAAAAAGAAACCAGCCACGACCTCGTCTGATGGACACGAGTCGCGTCGATGGCGTGAAGGCGCCGCAACACTTCAAAACGCCGAGATCGCACCGGCCGCGAGCTCGTCGTACTGGTGTGAGGCGTGGTCGAAGTCATCTAGTAGAGGCACGGCTAAAGGTACCGACCGCGCGAGCTCGCCCACCACTTCATCCTTCAGCGCCGCCACCGAAGAAGCACAGGCGAAGGCGCCGCCTGCTGCCACTGCTAAGGATTCGATCGACGCGCCGCGGACCTCCTCATCCACCGCATCAATTAACGACAGCTCCTTCTTCTCGCCCCTTGTAGCTAGTGAAGCCGCTGACTGGAAGACTTCGGCGTCCAGGGCCAGCGTCGCCAGCGTCCGGTGTAATTCCGCCAGCGCGGCCTGCTCTGATAGCGTCCCGACAGCTCGGTCCACGCCCCTCCGCAACACGAAGAAGGCGTCCTGCAAGGCAGCCAGCGGGTCGTCCATATCCTCAAGCGCTTCTCGCACGCCCGCATCTCTATACCTATCTTCCAGTTGGATATACAAACCTTCCAAGGTTTGTAAGGATTTCAGGAGAGTAGCCGTAACGGTCTCACCCTCCCCGAGCGCCCCCTCGACGAACCTCGTAAAGCGGTGGCCGAACTGCAGCGCGAACGAGCACTCGTCTAGTAAAGCATCAGCTTCAGTTAAGTTGGAAATGGGCTCCCTACTAACAGTTTCCACGGACTTCATCATCGCGAACCTTTCCAAAGCGTCGACGCCGGCGTTGACGCCTATTTGTAAAGGTTTTTCGGCGGCCTTTGCGCACCGCGCTTCGCCCAACACCGTACAAGCTTGCGCGACCGCCGCCGCGGCACACGCCGCACCCAGCGCATTTCCTAATGCGGTAGCGTGGGCGTGCACGCTGTTCTCCTCCTCGGGTATGGCACCTCTTATCTCAAGAGTGGCGTGGTTCGCTCGACGATGCGCCGCGGCGGCCAACGCCGTGCCCAGCGCTTCCGTCGCGTCATCACTCAAACCCAAGAACGCGAGGCGCTCGCAGGCCCTCGATACACTTTCAACAGCGTCGTCCTCGGTCTCGACGCCGCCGTCGCCGACAACTTCGTCGGCACCTCGGGCCGCGACCGTCGCCGCGACTTCCAGCGACGCGAGCAGCCGCGGTTTTGAACCTTTCAAGGCGGCGTCGGCGAGCGCTTTCACAACATCATCTCCCTGATGACGCGCCGCGTTCAGTAGAGGAAGTAAAGCGGCCACCACCTGATCGTCGTCGCCTTCTTCCCTTGCCACGTGGCACTGTTCTACCATGAGACCGATTGCTTCCATAGAATCGTCCTGCGGACTTCGCGGCGGCTTCGGAGGCTTCGGCGGCTGCGGCGGCGAGCGGTGCTTCGCGGCGCGCGCCGCGAACTTGGCGCGCGCCGGCGTGCGTCCCGGCGGCGGCTGGGGCACGTCCGGCGTCGCATCCGCGACCGGCTCGCCGCCCGCGCGCGCGATCGCCGCATCCATCTTCTCGTCGTAGTTGGGGTTCGCAGGGGGTCTGCTCATGATCTCTTTTTGGAGCCTGGCGCACAGCTTACTTTGGCACACAGCTCACTTTTTGGAGCCTTGAGCCTGGTGCAGCAATGAGAAGCGCTGGCGCCCGTTTTTTTGGAGCCTGGCACGCAGGTTGCTGTGGGTTCGACAAATGCCAGCGCTGGCCCGAAACTGGTTAAGTTTTACTAGCAAACAGGCTTGAAACTGGACCAAAAAATGAAAGCCAAGTAGTGAGATAGACACACTAGACATTCGGGTCGAGCTGCTAAAAAGTGCCTGCCTGCCGTCTAGGGACCGTCCCAGTCGCTGCGCACGCGTTTTCCTGCTTACCGCTGCCTATTATCGTCAGTGTAGGCAAAGCGCGGTACCGCTAACCGCGCCAAAGCCCAATCAGCTCCTGAGACTTCCTGGTCATCCGCGTCGTTCCGCTGCGAGCCGCTGCACCAACGACACCATGACCTCCCTCCGCCGATTAACGAAGGAGTTCGAGGCCCTCGAGAAGAACCCGCTCGACTTCTGCGAGGTCGCGCCCGCCGCCGACAAGCTGTCCGCCGAAGCAACACTCCAGGGCCCGCCCGGCACGCCCTACGCGAACGGCGTCTGGACTTTGGACTTAACCTTCCCCGAGAACTACCCCTTCAAGGCGCCGACCGTCACGTTCCGCACGGAGATCAAGCACCCTAATGTCAAAACCGACACCGGCGAGGTCTGCCCCGAGGTCTTCTTCCCGAACTGGTCGCCCACCATGAATGTTAGATTAGTCCTCTCGAACGTGCGCGAGGTCCTCAAGAATCCGGTGGTGGAGACGCCCCTCGAGGCCGAGCTCGCGGAGCTCTTCGCGAACGACCGGCCCAAGTTCGACAAGCTCGTCAAGGACCACGTGAAGGGCCTCGGGAAGAAGAAAAAGTAGAGCTGCTGTGTAACCTTGTTCTAGTCTTAAACAATCACATTTTTATGAGCTGCGTGTCCTCGGCCGTCGGCGGGCGCGACCCCGGCGACTCGGACGGCGCGGCGCCCTCGGCCTTCTTCTTCTTCGAGAGCCGTCCGAACAGCGACAGCTTCGGCGTCGGCTGCCGCTCGGACGGCGCCGGCGCCGGCGCCGGGGCTGGAGCCGGCTCGTCGACGAGGCCCGCCAGGGAGAGGTCGCCCATCGTGCGCCTCCTAGCTCGTAGTTCTTCGGCCCGCTCCGGCCAGAAGTAGGTCGCGCGGCCGTCGTGCCCGGCGAACGTGTAGTCGTGGCGCGGATCCAACCATTGGGAGGTGTGCGACGCGACGTGGTAGTGGAACTCGCGCTCCGTCGCGGGATCCGTAAATTTCTGCCAGCCCAGCGTCATCGCGTCGGCCGGTCTTCTCCGCAGAAAGTCGTCGCCGTCCTGGGGCACGGGCGCGGGCCATTCTCGCACCGGTCGTCTTCTAGGTGTCGCCGTCGTGTCTCCACTCGGATTCAGGTCCACGCCGCCTGATACCATAGGCACTCGTATCGGCGTATCATAAGCTTTCCAGATTGAATCGTGCAGTGCACCAATAGCGAAAGGTTTCTTATCAAATAGTAAATCGGCAAGTAATTTGCCGAACCGCAACCCGTACATGTCTCTCAGCAGATTAGTTGTGTTGAATATATATATACTATCCGTGAGCACCGTCTCATCGTCCAGGTCGCGACATTCATCCATCTCTAACTCCAGCCAATACGACGACGAACTCTTCGTATGTCGAACACGAATCCACCCCAGCAACCGGCGCGCCGTGAGCCGCCAGCTCTTCTCCAGCGTACTATGATTGACCAAGCTTCTTTCTAGTGATGGAGCGACCATCAAGCACCCGAACAGCGCCTCGTCCGCCGGATCGAGACACGGTAATTGATGTCTCGACCAGAACTCGCTCCAGAAGAACTTCCGCTGCAGCTGCAGGTGGAAGAGTCCTGCGTAGCGGCGGTTTCGCGTGTTGCCGCGGTTTTCTGGCTCTCTCGCGGCGTCGACGCGACTCGTTTCCATCAGAGAAGGCGCTGGGTGGTCTCTATGGCAATTTTGAGTCGATTCGGACGCCGCGCGACGCACGTAATGGTCTGAGTAGTACAGGACAAGCACAGCAAGCTCGTATGAGCTCAGGAAACCGCACATGTGTCTTCTCCCCGAACAACGATGAAAACAGGTGCAAATGCCCTTTCGGGGTCCCGCCATGCCTGTGTGGGAATCAACCAGTGAGTCGGGTGCTGGCTCCGTCGAGCGGCGAGGAACCGGCATCGCCACGCCATCGAGTAGGCGTCGCGTCGATGGCGTGGAGGACGACGCGACGATTCAGCAACGCGCCGTGAAATTTTGATTTCTGCACTGCTCCATGCATGAGTGATACTAAATCCTCAAAGGGCTTGAGGGGCACTAACGCGTTCTCCGCGATCATTTGCGGGTCCAACAACAGCCGGAAGAACTTGAGGATCACGCCACAAGGACTTTGCCGCGCGAAGTCGTAGCCCGCAATGAGGAAGCGAGGGAACGTAATACACCCAACATCGCGCGCCCTTTTGAGACCATGTAATTCTTTGACAAATAACAATGGGATTAGTATGAGTGAAGTGGCTTCGGACGTCTGGTGGTCGAACAAGTCCTGGAAATAATAAGTAGATATGCGGTTCGGTACCTTATGACCTGCGCGGCGCGTCGCAGTCGTCGACGGCGTCCTGATGGCCACGTAGACTCTCGTGGGATCACGACGACGGCGTGACGCCATCGACGCGACCGCTGTCTCTCTGACACGCCGCGACGGCCCCGACGTGGTCCGAACGGCCTCAAACTCGAAAAAGAAACCAGCCGCGACCTCGTCTCATGGACACGAGTCACATCAACAAAGTGAAGACACCACAACACGACGGGACGCCGAGAACTGACTGTCGTCCGGGTGCTTCTTCGCGTGCAGATTGTCGTAGTACGCCTCATAAACTTTATACATCTCGCCCTGCGTGATCTTGTGGTGGAGCGCCCAAGCTTCCAAGACCAAGAACGCCTGCTGGTCCATGAGCGACGGGGGAAACTTGGCGCCGCTCTCGTCCGGCCTTATGACCTCCTTGCCTTTGCTATCGACGGACGTCGTCTGGATGCGATATTCCCTACCTGCTCTGGTGCCGTCCGCTCGTTTCGAGGCGAGGTACTTCCGATAAGCCGCGACCACCCAAGCTAATTTGCCGCCCCGGGCTTTCGCGGCCGCTCGGCGCATGGCCGCGGCCCGCAACTTCCTACGTCTTTTCCGTTCCTTCACCGTTAATTTTCTCATTTTTCCTGTTTTCTCATCTAGTTCTTCGTCGGAAGACTCCTTGGCCCGGAGACCGGCCGTGAAGGACGCGCGCCAGGACTCAAGAATAGCGTCGGCCTCGGCCTTGATTTCGTTCCTTTTGATTTCTTCGGGCGTCGGGCCCGGGGGCGGCTGGTTCCGCTGCCGTCGCGCTCGTCGTCGCGCGCGCCGCTCCTGCCGCCTTCTTTCGTCAGCTTCCGCGCGCGTTTCCCGACCTTCCTTCGGCGCGGCCTCGGCGAGCTTGGCGCGCATCTCCTCCTCCGTGGGTCTCCTCGGTTCGTCGGCCATCGTTCCTTGGGGCAGCACTTGGGGCAGCCTGCACCGCCTCGTCGAGGCTGCGCGACCGCTGAGCGCGTGGATCGAACGCGTGCGCCCTCGATCCGCTGCCCTACTCCTGTCCGGGCGCGTAGGTGTCTCGCGGCGCGGCGCCGAGCACAGCGCTTTTTGCTAGTGTCTTACATCCGCTAGCTTGGCTCGAGATCCGGGCTTTTCACGAGCAGACGCGCATTGTTGGTGCAAACGCTGCCCCTCTACAAATGCAGGAGGAGTGGGGCCATGCGGTGGCCGCGGAGGCGCTGCCCGCGGAAGAAGGAGTAGTTATGGCCGAAGTCCTAGGTGTGGAGGAAGGTGACAATATGAGGGAGATGATCGTCGGCGAGATCGTGGATGAGCGCCCAACGCAAGATCTTTCTCCGGGTCCGTCGCCGCTGGGCTACATCGTCAACCGGTGGAAGGCGCACGACGGTGAGCATCGGGCGGGACGGATGCTGGGTTTTCGGGGTAGAAACGCCTGCCTCGAGGCGACGTGGGGACCCGGCGGAAACAAACCGGGCGAAGTGCCGTGGGAGCTTTTCCCCGCAGACGAATGGAACCCAAACACCGGCCAGCGCGTGGCGCGCGGGACGTGGAACCCGCTGCGCGGCAACCACGGCAGTCCGGGGACGTTTTCCCACCAGGGCGGCGGCCGGCTGTACTACATCGTCAACAGATGGAAGACGCACGACGGTGAGGGTCGGGCAGGTCTCATGCTCGGGTTCAATGGTCATAACGCCATCCTCGAGGGGCGGTGGGGGGAGCCGGGGGGCAGGGACAAGGTCGTGTGGGAGCTGTTTCCAGCAGATGAGTGGGATCCGCACACCGGCAAGCGCGTGGCACGCGGCTCGTGGAACCCGCTGCGCGGCAACCACGGGACGTCGGGAACGTTCGCTCACCAGGGCGGCGGCAAGCTGTATTACATCGTCAACCGGTGGAAGGCGCACAACGGCGAGCATCGAGCCGGGCGAATGCTCGGTTTCACAGGTGAGAATGCTGTCCTCGAAGGGACGTGGGGCCGGCCGGGGGGCAGGGACAAGGTGCCGTGGGAACTATTCCCCGCGGACGAGTGGACTCCAATGGGAAACCGTGTGGAACGCGGGTCGTTTAATCCGCTTCGGGGCGGCCATGGTAGGAGCTGTAGTCCCGGGGCGTTCTCGCACAGGCTTGGCGACCTGCCAGTGGTCATACCGCCGGCCACGGAGTGCTGCACCCTCATGTAAACTAAATAAATCTTCTGTCTTACCGGCTCCGCGGCGCAGATAAAGGAATTCCAGGAGAAGTCGCCTTCACGAGCGGTCGCAGCGCGCCGGCCCTCCCGGTCGCGTACGACGCCTGGATGACCACGTTGGCCCGGTGCTCCTGCACCGAGCCCAGGCGCGATGTGCCCTCAGCATGGGTCGCCGACTGGGCCGACAACGCCCCGTGGATCACTTTTGCTGCTGGTGCCCCATGCACGGAGTCCATGACCGTGTTGCACGCGATGCACCGCACCGGCGCCCGGCCGATCATCAGCGCGTCGTCGTGGGGCCGCAACCGGTCCATGGCCTCCCTGAGAGCTTTCGCGATCAACCGCAGCACATCTTCCCTTGCTGTTTTTCGGACGACGTCTCTCCTCACGCCTTCCAGATTCAGCTTCAGAGCTCCCGTGACCTCGTCGACGAACTCTGACAGTTCGTCTCGGGACGTGTCGATCATTTGGACAACAGTATCTGTCGAAGGCAGGCCATTCAGGATCGCCATCGCGTGCTCCAGCGACTCCGTGGCCTTCTCGAGGCCCTGGTGCTGCAATTCGACGGCCTTCTGCAACTCCGCGTCGATCTTCTTCTGCTTCGCGGCGAAATCCTCGAGGCCCGGGCCGCCGATCTGCCCGCGAATTTCCTCCACGGCCTCCTCGAGGACCTCGATCTTTTGGCCGTGTTCATCTAACGTACGGTTTGTATTTTCAGACAGCACGGCGAGGTCGCCGTCTACCTTCTGCTTGAGGTCCTCCCTCGCTTGGTCCTGCGTCGCTACGACTTCGTTCATCGACCGCTCGACGTCTTTTTTATCAGCTTTGGTCTCTCGCAGAACCGTAAGCTGCGCCTCCACAAAATCCAACAAAGGCTTGAGTGAGGTCTCGCCGCCCGCTATCGATGCCGTGACGATGCCCGCGAACTCCTCCCGTCCCATTCGTTCCGAGACGGCCTGCGAGTTCGCCGCCACTCTCTCTGAGAGATCATGGAACGGCTTCACGGCATCATCACAATACGCAATACACGTCTCGTTCTTGATGGTCTCCGCCAATACGAACTCCGCGCCGTCCTTCTCCACCACACCGACCTCCGCGAGCTTCGCCAGCGTCAACACAGAAGCTTTGGCAATTAACCCGGCCTCGTCGACGTCACCCCCATCGACCACCATGGGCCGGGCCCGCTGATCCCGCAGCGCCTCCAACGCGTCCTCCAGCGCGTCGACGCGCAGATCCAGGCGCTGGCTCAATTTCTCGAGCTCGGCGTCGAAGTTCATCTTCGGCGGCGACTTGGGCGGACTGCGCAGGCCCGGCTCGGCCTCCCGCCTGGCTATTTCCGCTATCAAATCGGCCTCGAGCGTGTCGACGCGTTCCGCTAGAGCCGTGACTTCTTTCATTCTAGCCAGGTCCGCGATGTCGCTCGCGTCGAGGAAGGCGTCTTGACCGGAAGCGATCTTGTCGAGGCTTGCTTCTAATCTCGCTACTCTTGGTGCAAGGCGATCCTCCAAAGCTGGTGCTCCGGACAGCGTGCCTCCGCGCACGCGCGCGCCCTCCAACCTTGCAAGACCTTCCTCCAACCCTTTTTCTGAAGTGAACACGACGCGCCCAATCTCGAAGTCGAAGCCGCCCGGGGCCTTCCTTACTTCACATTTCTCTACGTCTCGGAATGCTTTAGCAAGCATATCAGAAGACGCGTCCGGTTGCGCGGCCGAGATCACAAGAGTCCTATCTCGAGGCTCAACACCACAGAGCTCGTCGAGGGCCGCCCCCAACCTAAAAATGGAGTCCGCGGCGTGCACGGGGCCTGCCTCGACGCGCGCGCCACACACGAAGTGGCCAGCTAAAGCAGAAGCTGCCTTCAGCGCCTCCGCCCGGTCCGGAAATCTAATGACACGCAACCCAAACCGATCCAGCGACGACGGCTCCGACGCCGGCAGGAACTCGTCGACGATGCCGAGGACTTCGTCCAAAGCTGTTAATGACGCGACGTGTCTGACTAAAAGTTGTCTTTCAAACCCGTGGCGCTCGCGGTGGTTGTGCATGATCGTGGCCGTCATCGTCCGCTCGGGGTGGTCCCCTTCCTCATCTTCCTCCTCGTATTGGACTACAGGTTTTGGCGGGGACTTCGGAGGTGAACTGCCGACGTCCGTGAACGTCGCCGTCGTCTGCTTTTTGAGTTTCGGGGACGACTTCGGCTTCGGCGGGCCCTTGTGGTGGGCTCTCCCGTGCAAGGCTTCTACCGCTCGTAACGCGGCAGCAGCGGTATCAAAGTGCAGGACCTGGTGCGCCGCGGCCCACTTCTTCTCGTGGATCGGGTCTTCAATCTCACTGACGGCGTGCTCTTCTCCGGTTTCCGCTTCGTGCTCATCCAGGAGCTTCTTCATGCACTCATTGCTATGATCAGGAGGTAGGGAACCGACGACGACCGAATAGGGCTTCGTCTCCTCGATGGGCTCGCCCTTCGACACAGCCTGGATCTCGCCCCGCATGGCGCTCATCTCGTCGCTGAACCGCTGCTTGAGCAGCTCGTGCTCGGCGCGCTGGCGGTCGAGCTCCGCCCTGGTGGAAGCTATGACGACCTGTTGTTTTTGCACGACGTCGAAGACGACATTAATGACATCCTGGAGGTTCTCGGTCGCGCCGCCGAAGGCGAGGCCCACGCCCGCCGCGAGTCCCGCGGCCGCGTCTGCTGGGGGCGCCTCGGCCGCTGGTTCGGTCGTGGGCGGCGCCTCGGCCGCGGGCTCGGCTGCTGGTTCGCTCTGTGGCGGCTCGTCGGCCATGGTCGTGGCGGGCACCGGGCAGCCAAAGCACTGCGTGCGCACCGGGCAGCTCTGGGCCGGCAGTCCCGGGCAGGCGTTGCGCACCGGAGCCCTGGGGCAGCCCTTTTTAGAGGCAAGCTCTCCGCCGCGTTGCGAGCGCCCCGCACGTATTTCCCCTCGCGCGCGCTTTCACGCGACGGCGAATTTATTAGTGCTACTGTGGCCCGGACGGGTATGGGCGCGGAATGAGTTTTGCGCGCGGGTCTCACGATGGTCTCACTCTCCCATCGTGCACTGGCTGCCCGGGCAGCACAAACGCCAGAAGTTGGCCTTTTGGCAGCCTGATTGCTTGCAAATATGCGTGCGCCGGGCATCGTGCGCGTCCTGCGTGACGTGTCCGACTTTCTGGGCTCTTCCGCGCACGCCCGCGACGGTCCGGTCGCAGTGACCCCGGAGGACTACCTCGCGGCCTCGGGTGAGGTTATCGCCTTGGCTATGGCCATGTCATGGATCATGGCCGCGATCTGGAGACGCGACGCGATCAGGGACAACCCGCTGCTCGACCGCTTGGGCTATAACAACGTCTGCGTGGCCTGGGACGTGCCGCCCGCGCTGTACCCGGCGGCCTTCGTCATGCAGTTCGCCATTTACTGCGGTGTGCGCTACTGCGTGCTCGACTACGTCCGCGGCGCGGTCACGCCGGGCCTGTCCCGGCGCAAGGTGCGGATAATCAAATTCTGCAACACCCTCTACGCCGTGAGCATTATGGCGGTGTCGCTGCTCTTCGTGGTGACGCCCAAGGTCAGTCCCAGCGTGCACACCACGTTCTTCGTTCAGCTGATCATCTGCCGGTTCGTCGTCGTCGCGGGCAACTTCGTCGAGGTCGAGCGCATCCCACGCGAGAAGTGGGTCTTCCTTGGCGTGTACGGGCTGGTCTCGTTACTGCTTCCCGCATGCCTCTTCATCAACTTCGTCACGTACGACTCGAAGAACAAAAAGAAGCCGACCGTTCCCATGGCGCTCGGCATGATCTTTGACTACTCTTGGTTTGCATGCCTCGCGGTCACGGGCCGTTTTCTACCCGAACAGACGCCGCTGCAAATTACGTATCAATTGCAGCCCGGAACCGCGGGCGGCGTGGCAGAAAAACCTTCAGAGCGAGTGGCCCCTGCGCCCTAGCCCTGAAGGCTCGTACTAAGGTGTGGTGTGCTACTTACGAGGGGTCGCCGGGGTGGGGATTTTCCGGAGCGACCTTTCCCGGGTTCTCGTGGCGCGGCCCTCGACCCTCACCGTCGCCGTCGCCGCGCGGCTTCGAATCCCAATTTCCGGCGCCCTGCGCGATCGGCGTCCAGACCTCGGCGTCCTCCATGAGCATCACCGTGCACAGGAGGGTGACGATCCAGTAGAGCAGCAGGTGGAACTCGCAGACGATGCGGAGCTGGTTGTCGTGGAGCACGTCGCCGTCCTCGCACTTCGGGTTCACGCACGGGCTCTCGGTCACGAGCGCGGCGTCGTCCCATTCGCAGGGCCACGCGCCGAGCTCGGCGACGGTCAAATTGTACCAGCGCCGCGGTACGAGCTCGCCGAGGCACGCCGCCCGGCTGTCGTAGAGAATGCACAGGTGCATGTCCGCGGCCTCCTCCGGGTCGGCCAGGACGACCATAAACGCGACGAGGAAGCCAAGTGCGGCGAGCGCCGCGAGCAGGGCCGAACCGAGGGCGTAGCGCGCGCGCCGCTTTCCTTTGTCGGTCGTGTAGAGTTCCTTCATGGTCAAAGAACACGAACCGTCCGCGTTGAGTTCCATCGTCGTCAGCACGGCGCGCGCGAGCGCGGCGAAGAGCGTGATGCTGACGCCCCCGCCGATGCCGATGAAGTGCATCGTCCGCATGTTCCGGTTGTTGCAGGAGCCCGCGCTCGGGTCGAGGTCGCAGCTGTGTGGAAATCAACCAGTGAGTTACGTTTTCCTGAGGACTATGTGAACCTCCACGCCATCGCGCAGACGCACTCATTGGAACGACGTGTCGTCGATGGCGTGGGGCGCCTGAAATTTGATTTCCACACAGTTCGCTGCTTGTCGGCGCGGTCGGGCACGACCGCCGTGATGCAGACGAGGATGATGGCGTAGCGTATGACCATGTCACATCGCTTCCGCGCGACGTCGTCGCTCGCGCAGCATCGTTCTGTGAGCCTCCCCTTCATAGCCTTCACCGCCATCGTGCCCGACTTCAGGAGCCGTCCCGCCTTGCGCGGGCGCTTGTCGGCCAGCCGCTGGATCTTGTGGTCCTGGATGAAGTTGATGCGGCCCAGGATGTACACGGCGACGGTCACGAGGCTCACGAACATGAAGACGTAGCCCTCGAAGAAGATCGAACCCGACACGCGACTTATGGAGGCCGCGTAGCCGCCCGCAGACGTGCAGTCCTCGCGGAGCAGATACATGCTCATGATCGCCGCGAGGCAGCCCATGAGTATCGGTACCAAAAGGTACTCGGACTGCTGCGCGCGCACCACATAAGAGCACGACTCGAGCATAACTACTGCGATGCAGTACGGCACCCACAGGAGCGCCTGTGAGGACACCATGCTGCCCGACGGCTGCCCTCTACGGCGCCTGGCGCAGCGCGGCTCTGAGCGTGCGATCCCCGCACGTTTTTCGTATCTCTCCGCGACGCGGGCTCCTACTAGCCATGCTATGGCCCGAACGAATGCTGGTGCGGAGCTGTGAAAGCCGGAAACCCGCGGACTGCCGGCAAGCTTAAAGCGCTGGGAGAGCTGCTCCGAGAGCAGGTACGAGCTTGTAGAGCTAAAAGCTCGCATAGCTGCCCGACGGTGCTCGTTTGCGCCAAAAAGTCGGGCTTGAGCTCGGGCTGCCCGACTGGTTGAGCTCGGGCTGCCCAACAGCCAAGATGGTGGTCTGCTCGAGCTGCGCCGAGCTCTTGTACCCGCCCGGCGCCAAGTTCTGTGCCTGGTGCGGCACCGCAGCTCCCCAGTGGGCGGGCTCCTTGGCGGAGGATAGAGAGGCGCTGCGAGCGCTGCGCGAGGTCGACGCCGCGATCGACGAAGTGCTCGAGAACTCCCAAGTGAACCTGAAGGTTGCCATCGACCACGACTTTATTGATCAGAGCAACGACTGGGCCGGGATCGCGACGCTCGTGGTGCCGCCCGCGCACGTCGTCCGCGGGGCCACGATCTCCGGGCACTGGTGCGACCAGGGCAGCGGGAACCAAAAAGGCCGAGTGCGCTTGGTTCTGCTGCGGGACGGCGCCCTCGTCGCCGATGCGGCAGTCCCAGGCCTCGCCCCGCACGGAAGGGAGTCCTTTTCCGTCGTGCTTGAAGGTGACGTCATGCTGGCCGGCGACGTGGTCGCGGCGCAGATCATCGTGGGCGGCGGCGGCGGCCACGCGCTCAAGCTGAAGGGCGTGAAGCTGGTCCTGGACGCGACGCCGACGGAGGCGCTTGCGAAGAGTGGCTACGTGGAGGCGGACGGCCGCGTGACGCAGCTCAGCTTGTACGAATGTGAGAGCCTCGCGGCGCTGCCGCCCGCGATCTGCGGACTCTTGGCGCTGACGACGCTCAAACTGGAAAAGTGCTCGGGCCTCAGAGCGCTGCCCGACGCCATCTCCGAGCTTAGCGCGCTGGCCGAGCTCTGCCTGAGCGAGTGCGAAAGCCTCGTCGCGCTCCCAGACGCCATCGGCGAGCTTGGTGCGCTGAAGAGTCTCGACCTGTCGTTCTGCCGGAGCCTCGAGGCGCTTCCAGATGCTATCAGTGGCCTAGGCGCGCTGACGACGCTCAACTTGTATCAGTGCGAGAAACTCGTCGCGCTACCGGACGCGATCGGTGAGCTCGGCGCGTTGACGGAGCTCAAGCTGGATGAGTGCACAAAAATCACAGCGCTACCGGAGACAATTGGCGGGCTCAAGGCGCTAAAGATGCTCGACATGACCGACTGCTCGCGCCTCACCTCGCTGCCGGCCGCAATCGGCGAGCTTGGCGCGCTAACGAAGCTCGACCTGACCGGGTGCTCGAGCCTCGCCGCGCTGCCGGCCGCGATTGGCGAGCTCGGCGCGCTGACGGACCTCAACGTGAGTGGCTGCACGAGCCTCGTCGCGCTACCGGACGCGATCGGCGAGCTCGGCGCGCTGACGGAGCTCTACTTGAACGGCTGCACGAGTCTTAGCTTCCCGCCGTTGCGCATGCATGAAGACGTTGCGATGGTGAAGCGCTGCCTCGCGAGCGTCGGGCCGATCGTCGACGGTGCGCTGGCCCTGGAGGACGCGGGAGCCGACGAGCGGGAATTCTTTTTCGCCGACGTCCTCAAGCATCCGGCCTACGCAGACCGCCTCGGCGCGCGCGTCCGCAAGGACCCGGCGTTCGCCGACCTCACGAACGACAAGGGCCAGCGCGTCGTCGAGCTCGCGTGCTTCGAGTGCCGAGCGCAAATGCAAAAGGCCCTCTTCCTCCTCCGGAGGTACGCCGTCGACAAGACGCCGCCGCTGCACTTCTCGGCGACGGCGGCGGTCCTGGGCGCGACGGACCACGATAAATCCGACGTCAAGCCCCGACGCGCCCTGAAGGCGATGCGACGGGTCGACCAGGTGCTGGCGGAGCTCGAGGGCCGCGCGGGCCTCGACAGACGGTTCGTGGTCGCCGTCGTCGCCGTGCACGTGAGCGCGACCGTGTCTGCCGTGGACCACGATGAGGTTGCCGCAGCGGCGGGCAAGTTGGACGGCGTCGTCGTCGAGAGGGCCGAGGGCCTCGGCGAGGACCTGGCGGGTCTGCTCGCGGCGCGCGAGCAGCAGAACGACGCTTCCGCCGGCCGCTTCATGGGGTACGACTACCTCCTCGTCATGGAGCTCGCCGAGGAGAGCCTGAGCAAGAAAATCATTCACGGCGGCGTCTGCGGCGTCGACCTGGTCGAGATCCGCAAGATCGCGCGGGAAATGGCAGAGGCCCTGGACCATCTCCATCTGAAGGGCCGGATCCATGCGGACCTCAAGCCGCTGAACGTGGTCCGCGTCGGCACAACGTGGCAACTAGTGGATCTTGACGTGTCCTGTGCGATCGGCGATCCCTTTGGCACGAAGAAGCCGTCCCTAGGCTACTGTCCGCCGGAGATGGCTCAGACCTGTGTGGAAATCAACCAGTGCGTCGGGTGCACCCGACAATTCTTCACTAATTCATTTCTTGGCGACAACGCGGCCGTGCTGGCTCGGTCGAGCGGTGAGGAACTTGCATCGCTACGCCATCGAGCAGGCGTCGCGTTGATGGCGTGGAGGCCGACGCGACGAGTCAGCACGAACGCGTCGTAAAATTTTGATTTACACACAGGCTCAGACTATCCTCGACGCGATGGATGCCTCAGATCGGCTGGACACGGCCCTACTCAGCGCCTACACCGCGGACAAGGCCTACGACCTCTGGTCGCTCGGCGTCGTTCTTTTTCATCTTGCCACAGGCACACCCCTGTGGAAGACCGATAAAAATGACGACACGTCCCCGAAAGGCCTGCGCAAGCTGGTCAAGCGCTGCTTCGACCTCGATCGCAAACTGGCCGTCGCGGCGCCGCGCCCGACGGACGATTTCGATGGTGACCTCCAAATGCTGGCGTTCGACCTCATCCGCAAGCTTCTGACGCCCGAGCCGGACGAGCGACTCAAGGCCTTCAAGGGGGCCACGCCAATGCGAGGCGTCCTGCAGCACGGCTTCTTTTCCAACGAGCGAGGCGCGGCCGGGCGGGGAGACGCGGGCCGAGACGACGAGGTGATGAAAGTGTTCGCGGAGGTACGGGCGTCGCAGGCGCAAATCCTTCGGTCGGTCAACGCCGTCCGAGACCTGGGCGAAGAACATCGAGACGAGCTCCGGGCGACGGGGAAGTCCCTGCGGAAGGCTATCTTTGAAGCCAGCGAGGTGAAGACACCGACCGCCTTTGTTGTGCTCAAGGAGAAACTGCCTCCGCTGGAGGAGGACGAGCAGCTACGCGTGAAGGTCAAAGAGGATGGCGAAGTCGTGGCAGGTGGGGCGCTCCCCGACGAAGTGAACCACCGGGTAAAGCAGGCGAAGGCGTGGCTGAAATTCTGCAGCGAGTGCGTCGAAGGCGTCGCGGAGTGCTCTCCAAAGGCGATCGCGGGGGCAGCGAAGGGCGCACCCGAGTGCGTCGAGGACCTTAAGAAAGCCGCCGGAGACCTACTGGTCGGCGAGGAGATGTGGTTCTACCTTATAGACGAGCTCACCGGCGAGCCCGTGCGGAGCGCCGGCGGCGTCTACCCCATTCGCATCACCGAGCCCTCGGAGCTCGTCGGAAAACTGCTGCCGGTCATGCAGGTAGGGCTGCACGCCGCCACTCTCGTGAACGGCGTGTCAGGGGTGGTCCGCCTGTTCGGCTATCCGTTCCCGAGCGTGCCCGAGAAGTTGCGCGAGGGCGCGGAGCGCTCCGTCGAGGTGCTGAAACAGGAGAGCTCGGTTGAGAAGTTCGGGGCTATCCAAGAGCACGTCGAGACGCAAGACGAGCAGGCCACGAGCGTGCGCGGCGCGTCGCTCCGGGAGCTGGAGAAGTTCCTAGCAAAAGAGGACCCGCGCGGCACCTACGCCGGGCTCCAGAAAGTCGGCGACGATTCCGACGGCACGGCCGTGTGGACGACGCTGACGGACCCCGAGGAGGTACAGGAGGCGCTCAAGACGCGCATAGCGAGTCGGCGCGCCGAGCGGCGTTTCCAGGAGGCGGCGTCGCTCGGAATGCTCCAGGCGAAGTTCGCGGCGAAGCTGCGCGACGCGGTGCAGGCGATGCGCGCGGAGGACGGTGTGTAAGACTGTGACATCACACACAGATTAAGCACCTAAGAACGCCGGCCCCTCGTCCCGCGCCTGGTCGCTCGCGAAGGAGCTCACGAACACCGTGTGCGCGTCCTCGTTGAGCGTCGCGTGCCACCAGCTCGGCGGAAAGTAGAGGACCTCGCCGGGCCCGAGGACGCAGTCGTGGCGCGGCCGCTTATGGGGAGGCAGCGTCGGCAGCACGTCGCGGACCCACGCCGCCGTGGACACGTCCGGGTCGTGGCCCGGGGGCGGCGCGGCGGACGGCGAGTACAACAGCCAGCGCTTGCGGCCGTGGAGCACTTCCCCGAAGCCGGAGCCGTGAGTGTGATACGATACACCGGAATCGCGGCCCGCGACGCCGAACGAGGCCGCGAGGTTCGACGGCGCGCACCAGGCGCCGCCGCATTTCGGAAACTCGTACGAGGCGACGAGTTTAGCAAGCCGCGCGTCCGTCGGCGGCCCAAACAAGTAGTACGACTCGTTCGCGCGCCCGCCCGACGGCGTCGCCGCGAGGTATTCTGCCAGGGACGCCTCGACGGCGCCCTCGGAGAAGCTGTTCGAGCTCGTCAGGTGGACGCGCGCGTCGCCATGGTCCCGCAGCAGGGCCGCCCGCGCGGTCCGAATCCTTAACTCAGAGTTTGCGTGGAACGGAGCAAGTACCACCGGCTCCGGCGGCGGCCGCCTCCAGGTGAGCGCCGTGCTAATGGGTACGCGTCTCAGGCCGCAGGCGGGCCGGTCGTACTGTGATACGGCTACGGCTGCGCCCGCGAGTGCGAGCGCCACGAAAGTGGCGTCGCGCAGTGACGGTGCGTGCTCGGCCGGCGCGTGCAGGGCGCGGTCTTGCCGGCGTTTTGTCATGTTGCTGCCAAGTCTGCCAGCAAGGTTGATTGGGGTACCGCACGTGTTGGAGTAAGGCTTCGATTGCAATCGTGATGTAAACTATGGAGTCGACGGTGACCTCTGGCGGCTCGTACGGGCAGAAACGCTGCAAATACGTCCGCCCAGGCGCGCGCAGCGCTAGCTAGCGTCATGTAAGACACTAGCACATAAAGCCGCTTCGCAGCCCGGCAGCCGAGGCTGCCCCAAAGACGCAGGACCCATGTCAGACGAGGAGGACGCCGTGGAGGCCCTCCTCGACGAGCTGGCCGAGGCCCCGCCGGACGACGCCCTCGACGCCGCCGCGGAGCGGCTGGCCGAGGACGCCCTGGCGGCGGCGTGCGCGGAACAGCTCGCGGACGCGGCCGCGCGCGACGTCGTGAACGAAGCGGTGATTGACGCGGCCGCGGCCTGTATTGTCGAGAACGCCATCAAAACAGCGGGGAACGAGATCGACGCGGCCGACGAGGCGCTCGCCGCGAGCGCGACCGAATTGTTAATCGAGCACGCGATCATTGATGCTGCGGCCGAGACCGATGATCAAGACGATCGCACGTCGAGCGACACCGTGGCCCGGGTCCAAACGGAGGTCGCGACGACGATAATAGAAGGCGCCATTGATACTTTGAAGGACGACGACACGTTGAAGGAGGCCTTCATGGAAGCGGTCGACGAGAGAGCGGCGATGATTGCATCACACGCAATAGAGGCGGCTCGAGACCAGCTCGCCGCGGACGCGCAAATGGCCCACGAGGCCGAGGTCGCCGAGCGCGCCGCGCGCGAGTCCGAGCGCGCCGCCGGCTTCAGCCTGCTGTCCTCCCAGCTCGCGGACCTGGGCAGCCTCATGTCCGGCATTTTGGGCCGGACCGACGCCGACGTCGCGGCGGCGTTCCCCGAGCCGGAAACCGTGGCCGCGGACGACGGCAACGCGCCCGAGCTCGACGCGCCGTCGCCGGCGGGCGACCTGGCCACTCGTTTAGCTGATCTGGACGAGACGGTCTCATCGATGGGAGCGAAGGACGCGGACGAGGACCTCCCGAAGGACCTCGTCGAGCAGGAACAAGCATTGGCGGGCCTCCGGGCGCGCCTCGAGCACGCGCGCCTCGAGGGCGCGCGGCTCCGCGCGCTCGCCGAGACGTCGCCGCCCGCGACGGCCGAGCCACACAACGACGAGGACGCGTCGGACGGCGACGCCGCGCCGAGCCACGCGGACCTCGCGCGGTTGGTGGATGAGGCGCGCGAGGCGCTCGAGGGCACGCGCACCGCGCCGTCGGATCTGACGCAGCCGCAGCCCGCGGCGCCCCTCTTCGGCGGCTCGGCCGAGCCGCCGCCGCCGCCGACGCCCGTCGCCGGCAGCGCGGCGACGCTCTTCGCGCCGGCGCTGCCCCAGGGCCCCGAGGTGCTGGGCCGCTTCGACCGCCTCAAGTCGCAGCTCTCGGACCTCGGCGATAGCGTGGCAAACCTCGCCGACGGGCGCCGGCCGCCCGCCACCGCGCCGGCCGCCGTCCTCGTGCCCGCGGCGCAGCCGCCGGAGCCCGCACCTCCCATCGAGCAGCCTCCGGTGGCGGCGGCGCCGCGGCCGCCGCCGGCGTCGTACGGCTTCGCCGCCCGCGAGCCGGGCTTCCTCGCGCCGCGGCGCGTCGAGGGCGCGCCCGCGATCCTCTCGCCCGCGGGCACCACGCGGCTCGGCGGCTTCCGCGGGCCCGAGGCGCCGGAGTACGCCGCGTCGCCGCACTCCGTCGCGGGCGATTATTTTGCGGGCGACTACGCGCACGACGCCGCCGCGCCCGAGTCCGAGGTCTACCTGCCGACGCCCGCGGGCCCGGCGACGTACCGCGAGGCGCCCGCCGAGCCAACGTTCGAGGCGCCCGCCGAGCCGCCCGTCACGTGGCACGCGCAGCCGCTCATTTTGCCGCCGCCGCCGACGGCGCCCGCGACGCCGCAGCCGCTCCAGTACACGGTCCCGGCGCCGCCGCCGGGGCACGTCGCCATCCCGGGGCTGGACCTCGTCGACGACACGCGGCCGGGCATGCCGCGCTTCGGCTACGCGTACGACGACCGGAACGCGGCGCCGGATGCGCCGCCGGAGTTCATCCGGGACGCGGACGACATATAGTTTTGCTCTTGTTTTTACTACGTCCCACTGCCGCCATCGCCGCGTCTGCTCGATGGCGTGGAGCTTCAACGCCATCGACGCGTTCCCTAGTGTGTTGATGAGCTAGGTCTGCAAGCCGGAGGCGGCAAAAAAAGGCAACCTAGCTCGCTTGCTGACCTCGGGAAACTGCAAGAGTGCAGCATTGATGCACAGCGCTGGTCTTCACTCAACGGTTGCAGCACTGGATCCAGTTTAGGTGATTTCACCAGCCAGCAGCCTAGTATTGCAGTGCCGCAGTCCCGACGCGAGCGCGGTCCCGACGCGAAGGGCTACGCAGCATACCATGTCAGCCCTCGACAACAATGCAAACGACAGCGACAGCAGCGACGGCGTCCCCGAAATCGGCCTCGACGCGCTCCGGCCCGAGGCGCTGGCCGCGCTGCTGAGCGTCAAGCAGGCGCGGGAGACCGCATCAATGGATACGACGGCGCTGCCCGACGATTTTGGGATGAGCCAGTTCTGGTACACGGACGCGTGCGCGGATGCATTAGCGGCGGCGGTGCGCGACCGCGGCCGCGTCGCCGTCGTGAGCTGTCCGACGGCGCACCGCGCGCTCTGCCGCGCGGGTGATGGGGAGAGCGTCCTCTTCGAGTTCGACGCCCGCTGCGGTGTTAATTTAGGCGACCGCTTCTGCCGGTATGATTTTACCGAGGACTTCCATACAAAAATTCCGAGTCACTTCGAAGGGTCTTTTGACGTCGTCGTTCTGGACCCGCCCTACGTGTCGCGGGACTGCTTGGAGGCGTTTTGGAGTTTTGCCGCGTGGTTAAGTAGAGGCGCCGCGGCCAAGGTCGTCCTGACCTCGGTCGTGAACCGGCCCTGGCTGCGCGCGGACTGGGGCCTCGCGCTGACGGATTTTGAATTGCGCTTCACGTCGAAGCTGTGCACGCCGCTCCGGGCGTTCACGGACTGTGAGGAGGTCGCGAAACGTTTGGGAGGATTTGCGCCGCCGGAGGACTAGTTTAACAACAATTACCCACTACCGGACCTATCCCGCGAGGCCTGGACGAGCGAATCCTCGGAGACCTGGGGCGGCGACACCTGGACGTCGCAGCCTATCTCCGCAAACTTCTCCGCGAGGTCCCCGCGCAGGGACCTCGGATCAATGCGCGTGCCGCAGAGGAGCAGGCGTTTGAGGGAGACGCAGTTGACCAGCGACGGCGGCAGCGCTCCCCTCAAATTCGCGTTGTCGTGTAACAGTATCAATTCGAGCTTCGTGCAGTCGCCGAGCTCGTCCGGTAACTTGCCCGACAACCGGTTCCGCTGGGCGCAGAGCTCTTCCAGATTTTCCATGACACCAATGTTCACGGGGCCGAACAGGTTGTTGTCTTCCAGTCTCAAAACTCGCAACTGTTTACAGTACACCAAATCTGATGGAATGGCGCCCTCCAAGTCATTCTCCGCCAGATCTAAATGTTCCAAGGCGACCATATTCCCAATATCGCCCGGGATATTTCCCGACAGGGCGTTGCCTCTTAGGTTAAGAACGACGCACGTCCGCAAAACCGCCAAACCTCGGGGACCGGGCAGCGGTCCTTCCAACCCATGTCTTACGAGTTCGAGCTTGCACACGGCCCCGTCGACCCAGGTCACGCCCCGTCTGGGCTTGAACTCGAGATCTTTCCCGCAGAGCTTCTCGAGCGGATCATCAACATCGTCGTGCTCGTCCAGATTCAACTTGGGCGGCGGCGGCCGCCAGCCCTCGTCCGCGACCCAGCGCCCGAGCCGCCCGCCCGTGGAGCCCCAGAACTCGCGCAGTCCAAAAACCTGCCTCTCGTCGGGGCACAGCCTACTTTCCCAGGGGTCCCACCACGGCGGCCGCTCGACGTCCGCCGCCGTCGACTTCGACGCGATCGAGGCCGTGGGCGAGGCCGACCGCGACGCCGACCGCCCGCGGCTCCGCGACGAGCGTCCCGAGGACGCCGAGCCCGACCGCGCGCTCCGCGAGCCGTGCGGCGACGGCGTGCGGCGGCGGCTCCTTGACGATCTTCCGGAGGAGGCCGAGCCGGACCGGCCCGAGTCCGTGCGGCGGAGGCGCCGCGTCGGCGTGCGCGGCGGGGTGCTCATCGGCTGTTTTGGTCACTTCCGCGCCGTTTTCCGCGCGGGAAGCTGGGCGGGCCTCGTGGCTGCCTTCGTTGATGTCTTGCACGCGGACTGGCGGTCCGTCGCTACGCGCGGGCTGCCTTCGCGGCGGCAGCGGCGCTGCGCAGGGTCGGGTTTTGCCGGCGTTGTCCCGGCGGATTGGGCCCTGGACGCGCCGGGCGCGGCGGCTGGTCTCCGGAGCAGCATCAAGGAGGCCCCCACGCGACGTTCGAAAGCTGCACGGGTCGGCCGCGTACCGCTCACCAGGTGCTGGGGGCTGCCCACGAGATTGGCAGGTACGGCTCGTAGGACGCCGCGGCGGGGCCACACGGGCCGCGGACGGTTCCTACGGGCCCACACCCGTAGAGGGGGCAGCCGGAGACGATGGCGCTCCGCGCCCTCGTCCTCGTCGCGAGCCTCCGGCCCACGCTCCAACAGGGCAAGGAGGAGGACCCGAACATCCTGGGGCGCATCGAGCTCGAGACGACGCAGGTCGAGCCCGTCAACGTGCGCGCGCTATGCTTCGAGGGTTTGGGGCAGCAATTGCCAGAAACCAGCTGCACGATGCTCGATCCCCGTACTTGTACCAAAATTGATAGCAAAGGCCGAGAAACCTGGGATGAAGATACATGCGACACGCTCCCAAAAGGCTCACCAATTTTCATGGAACGAAGCCCGGGCTGGAACGCCGCCGTTCAATCCACGCCGGCCGGCGAGTCGGCCATGCTGTGTCTCCAGTGCTGCAATTCTATAGTACTAGAACCCTGCACGTCGAAAAACGGCAAACGACGGAAATGCAAGCAGAGCGAGGGCGTGAACGAGTACTGGCCCTTTCGGTGCCAGATCCCGCCGCGGCCGACGGGCGACGCGATGCGCAATATGCTACTCCGAGACTTCTACGGCTACGAATTTAGGTTTGCGCGGAACCAGGGGAACCGGGCCATGGGCGTGCCGCACTACGACGACAAGCAGGTGGTCAAGTGCGCGTTGCCGCGCATGGGCTGCCAGTACGAGTACCCACGCGGGGTCTCGTACCAAGAAGCGCGCGTCAAACGGACGCCGGAAACGACCATCGACCCGCACCCGGGCTACGGCGATCCGACGTACGAAATCCCCGAGTGCTGCACGGACAAGGTGATCCAGGCTGGGAGGGGCCCCGCGAAGCATGTTGAGAGCGGGTGCACCTACGACGCGCGGTGCATGTCCTCCCAGGTCTTTGAGCGGGGTTTGCAATCGTGGATCAACGTCGCCGAAGCGAGTGCGTTGATGGACCTGCCCGTCCCATCACCTCCCGGCAGGGTCAAGCTCTGGGAGGCCGCGGTGGCCGCCGTCGCCGCGGCCGAGGAGGCCGAGGCCGCCGTTGTTGTGGATCGGGCGATCTGTTCCAGTAATACAACCACCACAACCGAGGAGCAGGCGCTCTGCAGCGACCTCGCGACGAAGCAGCGCGCCGTCGAGAAGGCTAGGGACCACGAGAATCTCGCTCGATTGCATCGCGACCGGCGGGACCTCGCCTGTTCGTCGACGGCGAACTCCTTCGAGGAGTCTGACGACTTCGGGTGGAAGCAGAAGGATGCATTTAATCGGACGGAGTACAAGTGCCGGTTGCCCGGTTCTGTGTATCGGGGCGAAGGCCCTTACGGTTTACCGGACGGTTCCGGATCCCCGACCGATAAATTAGCGAAGAAGTACGACAATCCCGCCAACGTCAGTGACTCAGTGTCTGTTTCTGACGTTTTCTGAACTTCAAGTTCGCGTCGACGGCGTCGTCGCGATGCCACTTCGCGTCGATGGCGTCGTGATGATCACATGAGAGTCTACGCGTCTCGTGAGTGAACGGAGACAGTTTCGCGACGGTGTCCGTTCCACACAGGCGAGGGACGCGTACCTCGACGGCGTGCGGAGTCGCGAATTGGAGTCCTCATGTAATTACAGAGACAGCCGCGACCGAGAACGCGGTAGCTACTTCCTGAAGGGCTACGACCTCACAATCTTCGTCGAAGAAAAAAGTTCGAACACGTACGGCTTCTGGAAGAGCGTCGTGGGCTGCCACGCGGAAACTACCGAAGTAGAACAGTTGTACGTCGACGGCGACATCTCCCAGGAGACGCCGGACGAGTCCCAGTACTTCCAGCGCATCAAGCTGCGACAGATGTATTCCGCGAGCTACGATTTTACGTATCACGACCAGGGCCTGCCCTTCATCATTATTGGGGTTGGCGTGTTTTTATTTATTGTCAGTAGGATCGTGCAGTGTATTAGAGATGAGCCCTGTCCCACCTGTGGCACTCGCTTGATTCTAGCGGGTCTGTCGGAACTCGCACCGTATCCCTTAGATAAGCGGCAATGTGCTCTATGCAGATTTTATGGCGCGGAGATGCCGGATCCGGTGTTGTTAGCTAGAATGAAAGCTAGATCAAAGTTCGTGCACGGCCGGGGCTTCTGCGAATACATCACCAGTCCACCAGGCGGGCGACCGAAGGGCTATTTTGGATGGTGTCGGTTATATGTATACAGATGTATCCGGGCGTCCATCATCATGCTGGCCTACGGGATCTACTATACGCTGCGATATATATTCGTACTTTTACTTATTATAGGAGACGCTTTATTACATTTCGGCGCACGATGTATCCTTCGTAGGAGGAGAGGCCCGGGGCCCGTGTGCTTACGAACGTTTATCCCGCGCGAGGAGGACATTGTTGATGAAGATCCGCCCGTGCCCACCAAAATTTATGTCGCAGAACCGGCATTACGGTGCGAGAACTCGTTCCTGGCGTTAACACGACCCGTGCCCAACGCTGAAAGGAGGATGGTCACGAAGGAACAAGCCTATGTCAGAAGGCAGAGAGCGGAGAGAAGGAAGAAGAAAATTGTACGAAAACGGGAACGCTTGCAATACGCCATGCGCTACCTCGGCGCGAACTCCGAGAAAGATCAAGCGCAGCTGGCCAAATTGGATGCGGTGGTGGCGCACTTGGACGACGAGATCGAGAAGGCCAGAGTTGCGGAGGCCGACGACATCCTTTCCGTCAAGGAGGACGTCGAGGCGCCCTTAGCGTTGGAGGAGACGAAGGAACCAGGTCAAGCGGGGTTCGACGCCGTGCGCGCCGTCTCCCGCTTTGCGGATCCTGCTCCCGAGCCGGAGGAGGAGCCGTCGCCTCCTGAAGAAGAACCCGAGAAGACGCCCAAAAAGTTCGCCGTCGCCTCCGAGAAAGGTGTGGGCGCCGGCGTCGCCCTCTTCCTGCAGAAGGAGCAGCCGGAGTTCGTCAACGGCGTACGGGTCCGGGCGCCGAAGAAGGATAAATAATACGTGTGTTAACAACCTACCACAGGGGCCGCAGCGCGTAGACCTCGGCGTCGTCCACGGAAAAGTCGCCCTCCTCCAAACCGTGCAAACGAGGACTCCCAAAGGGCTCGGAAGCGTCCGACCAGCCCGCGGCGAGGTCCGCGTCGATACGAAAAGCGGCGCCGCCCGTCGCCGCATCCAAACCGACCGCGAGGTAGCTTTGTGTGCGCTTGCAGTTGATGAAGCCGGAGTCGGGGCGCGCAACCAACGGAAACGCCCGCTCGCCGCAAAACAAACCAACGTCGATGCGCCTCCTCCCATTCACCGTCGGCACCCGTCCTAGAAAGCACCCAAACACCTCACCACAGGCCTCGACGACGACAACAACAGGCGTGCGCCCGTCGAACTTCTGCAGCGCTCGATCCAAATCGTAGCCGTCCTCGGACGCTTGGTGTATCACCTCGAGCGTCCTTTCATGGAGCGTCTCGGGTACTATGGAAGCAATAGCGGCTCGTCTTTGAACAGAGGCGAGGAGGCGCCCCTTCGTGATCTGGAGCGGCTCCGGTTCTCGCGAAGGCGGCGGCTCGGAGGCTCTCCGGCCCCGATGTAACGGCAATCTTTTAAACTTCGTGCCGTCCACATAAAGCGCCGGCCGGACGCCCCGATATAGTTTTGATTCTACCCTCACATCAAGGGTGTGGGCCCCGGGCAGCGTTATCGAGTGCGACCGCTTGAAGCCTTGGACTCGTTCGCCGTCGACCGTGAGCGTCCGCTTGCCGCTCCACTTGCTCAGGTCCACAATAACTTCGTGGAGGCGGCTGCCGATCGCGAAGCTGTACGTGTGCTTCGTCTTCGAGGCGGAGACGCGCTTGCCGACCGAGTCCTGCCTTTTCATCACGGCGCGCGGCGTCGCGGCGCGCAGCTCGGCGTCCGACGCCACCGCGTCGCTCTTCACCGAGGCGCCGCAGGCGTCCACCAGGTCCATAATGCAGCCTGATTTGCTCTCCAAGGTGTACTGGAGTTACTGCACCAAACGAGCTGTCGCAGCGATGAAAACGCAACGTTTCTGGTGCGAAGACGTACTTGGAGCAGCGATTCTTGCCCAATGGGCAGTGCTACGCCCGCGCGGCGCTTGCTCAGCTCGATTGCTAGTGCCTTACAAGCCCGCTAGCTCTGCCTGTGCCGCCCGCGAGCCGTGCGATGCAACAGAGGACAAGATCGCACTGTTGTGCATCGCTTACAGCCCCCGTGAAGCATCGTGACTGAGCGCCGAAGTTACAACGCATCACTGCGAGAGCTGCGATTAGCACAGCATGCCCGGCGTTCAGAGGGACGCGGGCGCGTGGGACAAATCCGACGCGGGAACCGACAGCGATACTGACAGCAGCGACGGCCGCGTCGTACGCGTGAACATGGGCGACGCCAGCGACGACGAGGCAACGCCGGACGAGTACCGCTGGCTCGGCGACGAGCACGAGGACCTCGGCCGGGTTGATTCCGTGCCGGCTCGGCTCGACGGGATCGGCTGGACCGACGACGCCTTCCGCGCGGCGGCACTGCATGGCGAAGGCGACAGCAAGTTCCACGAGGTGCTGGGCCGCGCGGCGGAGGCCTCGCGGAGCTTGGACCCCTACGACCCGACGTGCCGGAGCTTCTACGTCCGCGTCGACGGCGTCGGTTTCACGAACTGGTCGAAGACGCACGGAATAGCGAAGCCGTACGACGGCGCCGTCCACGGCGCCTTCGTGAGCGCGGCGGCCGCGACGATGCGCCACTTCAGACAAAAGGGCCTGGGCGTCGTCGCCGCGTACACGCAGAGCGACGAGGTCACGTTCCTGTGCGCGGGCCCGGCGGTGCTCGCGGGCGGCGCGTCGGACCCCAGTAGGCGGCTCCTCACGCTCTTCACGAGCGTCTTCTCGAAGCGCTTCGAGCAGGCGCTGCGCGCGACGAAGCCCGAGGCCGCCGCCGAGGCCTTCTTCGAGGCGCGCGTCGTTGCCGCGGCGACGCGGTCCGCCGGCATCCTGGCGCTGATCTGGCGCCGCCTCGACGCCACGCGCAACGCCTCGTCGCAGGCGCTGCGGCACCTGCACGGCGTCCGTGTCCAGCAGGAGCTCCCGCCCGTCGACGAGGCGCTGCTCGCCGACCTCACGGCCGGGGGCGTCCCCGAGATGCGCGCGCGGAGGGCCCTGATGGCGGGGAGCGCGACCGCGGACGCCGCTCGAGCCTGGCTCCGGAGCCACGCGGAGGGCATTGATGACCCGATCGAGATGATCGGCCGCCCCCACGCGCGGCAGCGGCTCTTGTTAGCGGAATGTGGCACGCCGTGGGACACGCTGCCGCCGGCGCTTCGGTACGGGACTTTACTCTTCGCCGGCGACGACCGCGGCCGCCACGTTCGGTTACGTGTGCCGCGCACGCGCGACGAGGCCGAGGCGCTTGAGCGCGCCATCTTCGACGAGCAGTCCTGGGACACTCTTGGCGACGCGCATCCGGAGGCGCCGGCCGCGGCCGCGGCGGGCCCGGCACGCGGCAGGCCCGTGCCAGCGGCGCGCCCGGCCCCAGCCGCGCCGGTTATTGGACCGGCGCCCCCCGCTGGCTTTGTCCGCGTCGACCGGGGCTGTCCGGCCCTCGACCGAGAAGGCCGCGACGACCGGTGGTGCGACGCGGTGGAAACAAACCCGAGCCAGAACGCGTGGGGCCGCCTCGCCGAGCGCGTCGCCAACGAGTTCGCCGGCGTGCTGCTCTGGGCGAAACCGGTCCAGCCGGCAAGATCCGGCGATCCGTCGGCGGGTTGGCGCGTGGCGGTCCTGCGCCTCGAGCGCGTCGAGCCTGCCGGACCCACGCTCACGTTCGCCGTCGAGGGCGCGGGGTTCATCAGTCAACAGAAGGCGGCGAAACACGCGGCGGCGGCATCAGTGGCGCCCCTCCTCGACGCGGCGCTCGCCGCGGACCGGGCGAACGACGTGACGACCGCGCGGCAACGCGCGCGGCCGCTGAGCATCCTCGAGCGGCTGTCGCAGGCCCGCAGCTGGCCGGCGCCGGAACCTTCGGGAAGCGACGCGGTCACGTGGGGGCCCGAAGGCGCCGTGGCGCGCGCGCCAAGGTGCGCCAAGGGCGGCGGCGACAAGCTACAGCTCGCCGCGCTCGTCGCGCTGCGCTCGCTCGACCTGGACGCCGTCGCCGCGGCCCCGGTAGCACCCGCACCGCCGCCGCCGCCGCGCCCGCAAGAACAGTCGGTACCGCCACCGGCGCCCAGCGCGGCCGGCGGCCGCGTCCTCGACCTCGCGATCGCGATCTGCGGCGATACAAACGCCGGTCGGCGGCGGGACCGAGGCGGCCGCGAGATGACGCGGGAAGAAGTCGACCAGCTCAAGAAACGCGTCGAGGGCCGGCGGGTGGCATGGGGTTCTCCGGGCAACACGTCGAGCGGCGTTGTCGAAGATGTTACTCTCATCGGCGCGGACTCGCTCAAGTTGTCTGGATTTTCCGGTCTGGACGTGACGGTGGCGACCTACTACCGCCTCCAGGGCGACGGCGAGAAATGGGGCGTCCGCGCGGCCGTGAAGCACCTCGGCCACGACGACGACCGCGTCGCCGAGCTCCGGGCGGCCCTCGTCCGGCGGAAGCCGCTGGAGTACCAGTCCTTCCCGTGCCTCGTCGTGCGGCAGTCGCGGAAACAAAAAGTGCCGGACAACGTGCCCGTCGAGCTCGCGTCGCTCGTCGGCGCCTAGGTCGCGGCGCCATGTGTGTATGTTGCACTGTACTAGGAATACTTATTCGGCGACGTAAATGAGGGAGGCGCGTGGAAGGACTCCTTGAAGGCCACATATCTCGATAAGTCCGAAGCCAGCGCGCTTTCGTCTCGCAACTCCGCCTCGGACTTCGCGTTGTTGTAGTCGACGCACGCTTGCGCGACGACGCGTTCACACAACCTTTCCAGATAATGCGATGCCATGGCGTCGTCCATGGTGCACAAGACGGGCAACCGTCCTTGATGGGTCGTCTTCGCGCCGCCGCCGCCCCGAACCTTGGCTAGGAACGTTATGGTAAATTCGTCGCCACGTCTCTGCGTCTCGACTTCCACTTCTAAAGGTAGATTCGGCTTCCCACTCGCATCACAAGCCTTCAGGTCGTCTCTCCTTACTAAATGGCGGGCCTCTCCCGCTTTACTGACGGGCACGGGCTCGCTCTTTTTGAGGGGAAACCGCCCGACCGTGTAGGGCGTGTCGTAGTCGCGGTCCAGGAAGTCGCGGTCGATGATCGGCTCGGGCAGCGGCGTCACGGGTCTCGTATTGGGCGTCCGCACCCTTCTAGGTTCCGCACCTGGTTGATCGTAGTCTGAATCGTCTTCGTCAAATCCTGTGTGGGAACGACACCGTCACGAAACTGTCTCCGTTCACTCACGAGGCGCGTAGACGCCCATGCGGTCGCATCGACGGCGTCACGGTGGCATCGCATCGCGTTGACGCCATCGACGCGAAGTTCAAGTTGAGAAATTGAAGGAAACAGACGCTGAGTCAGCACCATCGTCCCCATAATTCTCGTCGGGGTGGAAGCCGTCGTCGCCCCTCACCTCCGAGGCCGTACCTCGTCCTCTACCAACCGTCGTGCCCGGCCTTCCTTCGTGAAAGCGTTTTTTCGGTTTTGTGGTTCCGGGCCGCGCCGCGGGACCCTCAAAATCAAAACCCGCGGGCATCTCGAAGTCGTCGTCGGCGTACTCGTCTTCACTTTCTGTTTCTCCTTTCAGTCTAGCCTTCATCTTGGCCAGTCGTCGCGTCTTGCCCGAGGCCAATGCAGCTAAATCGCGATCCCTCTGCACCAACCGATGCTTCGCTCTTTCCACGGCTAACCGGACCTTCGCTTCTCTCTCCGGAGTCGTCCGGGCTCTTCGTTTACACCACGCGTCCCTCGCCCTCGATATTTCCGACATCGACGGCTCCGGTTCCAAGGCAGCGCACTTCGACTTTTGGTCGAGCAGCGAAAAGTCCTTCATGTGCCGCTTCAGGAACACCAACTGGTCCATGCGATCCTTGTCCCACTGCTTCGACGAGTAGCAGGGGTTGAGCTTCCGGAGCCGTTCGGCGTGGTACGCGTTCGCCGCGTTGATGCGCCGTTGTTCTCTTTTCGCGCCGATGATGTTCTTACTATTCGAGATCTTGTGTTCCACCGCCGCCACTTCAAATTCGGTGGGCGTCGAAATAATGCTAGCGAACCTTTTTATCAACCCGACGTTCGCGCTCCGGATCTCCCTTTGTCTTTCGTTGTGGGCGGCCTTCTTCTTGGCCCCGTAGGTTTTGGAACCAAATCTCAGGTGTTCGTGCGTCGCCGAGTAGGGGAGCCTGCGCGGAGCATTTCTGTCAAGAATGGCCTCAAAGTCGAAAAAGAAACGACCCACGACCTCGTCTCATGGACACGAGTCACATCAACAAAGTGAAGGCGCCTCCACACCTCAAAACGCGGAGATCGCACGTGTGGTCCGTGCCCTTCTTGTCGGAGCCCGGTTTGCGATGCGCGGTCTGCTCGAGCGTCTTTCGGTGTTTGCTGTAGAGTCGGTTCGAGGCCTGGACCCTCCCATCGATGCGCATGACGGGCTTCGGCGCCTTGAGGAGCTTCTCGTACTGGTCCCGCACGGACGTCGGGCGCTCCTTGGCGGCGGCGCCCATGGTGGCTGGCTGCCCGCGCGGGCGGTCCGTGGGCTTGGCGTGGGCCTCGGCGCGGGCTTCGGGCACCCGCGGGCAGCCGGTGCTTGGCTCCTGGTGCGGCTGTGCTGCGGCTTTTGGCGCGGCGTTGAGAGCGCCTCCACTGCCTCCGCTAGAGGGGCGCCGTCGTCGGAAGGATGCCTGCCCTTGCCGAGGGATGTCCTCGCTCTCGACGGGTCCGCGGGGAAGCCTGATACCGACAAAACCCCGCACGTCGACCGCGCGCGGCCGGCCTGACATACCTCGTGCCTGCTCGACGGGATATGTTACTGGCTATGGCCCGTCGATGGGTCAACGGAGTTTTCACATGCTTCTTATTTCACATGAACGGGAGCTTGCCGTCCAATAGGGCGGGGTGGAACGGGAAGTCGTCGCCGACCCCCGGCGCCTCCTCACCGTTCTTGATGACCAGGCGCTTCGCGTCGCAGACCAGCGACGCCATGTAGGAGAGGGCGGGCAGCTTGACCGCGCGGTTGGCCTTCGGGTAGGCGTACGCGAGCGCCGCGACGATGCTCATGAGGACGTCGGGCGGGCACTGGGCCTCGTTGAGGATGACGCGGCAGTGCTGCAGGTTGTTGCAGCCCTGGATCCCGGCGTACGTGTTCACGAAGAACTCGTGCGCCGTCGGGTGCGTCAGGCCCGAGTCGACGAAGAGCGACGGCGGCACGTTCATGGAGCGGTCGTTGTCGGTGCCCGACTCGCGGCTCGGGAAGACGCGGACCCGGCTCTTGGTCATCGGGCAGTAGGTCAGATGCACCTCGCCGTCGAAATGCGCGGACGCTTTCTCGCGGATCCGACGCTTGATCGCCGCCGGCTCGAGCTCCAGCATCCGGCGATGGTCCTCGCCCGCGAACGCGCCCGTGCGGAACGCGACGACGAGCTGCGGTGGACCATTAATTTCTGCGAACTGGCTTAGCACGTCGCAGACGGCGAGGCCGATCACATCCGCGAGGTGCTCGTCCAGGCGCGCGTCCAGGGGCGCGACGCGCGACGCGAACCGGAACTGCGACATGAGTTTGTCGACGGTGCAGGCCGCCGTGACCATCGAGGGGATCGCCGAGTCGTAGGCGCCGGCGAGCGTGACGTGCACGGCGACGAGGGCCGTCGGCGCCGCGCCCGTCCACGGGTGGAAGTCCACCGGCGGCTCGCCGTTCGGCCTCGCGGACTCCGCGGAGACGACGGCCCGGTTCACGCCGCCGAACTTGGCGTTGATCTTGGCGGCGATCGCGCGGACGATGTCCCGGTACCGCGCTGATCCCGCCGTCTTCAGCGACTCGACGGTGACGCACGACGTCATGACGCCCGTCTGGTGCTGGAACCGCTTGATCACACCGTAGTCGTTCTCGCTCAGGGACGCCTGGGTTTTCTTGATGACGGCCAGTACGAGGTCCGGCTTGGCGACGCCGCAGCGCTGGCAGGCTCCATACACCTCGTGGGTCACGTCGCCAACAGAGGAATCCGGCCGGACGACCGCCACCAACACCGGGCCGGGGCCGCCCCGCCCCGACGGGTCGAACGGGTCGCCGAGCTGGATGTCGATGTCCCTGCACGCGCGGCGGAGTTCGTCCACGTAGTTCCTGACGGCGTCGGGCGACGCGCGGCCGCCGCCCATGTCGAGGACCAGGACGTTCCGGTGCTCGGGCGCCGCGACGCGGAAGACCTGGTTCTCTTGTCTCCACTCGCCGAGCTTGTGCCCCCCGAGCTGGAGGACGCGTCCTCGGTTCCGCGCGAAGAGAAGCGGCGCCGGAAAAATCTTGGCGACGACGGCGAGCGATCGCGGCGCGAGCTGGAGCCCGATCGCCGCGAGGGCCGGCGACGACGTGATGCGGCTCCGCGCGACGTGGTCGACGATCTGCCCGTGTCGCGCGGAAGGCCGCACGGAGAGCAACCTGATGATTTCGTCGGCCATGTTGATGCCGCGCGCGTGCTGGCCCTCCTCGAGCCGCAGGCGCTCGGCCGGGATGTAGATGACCTTCTCGATCTTCTTGCCGTCAGCGTCGCGCTTGGGCTGGCGCCGCTTAAGGCCGTCCTCGCCCATGACCTCTACGTACTCGAGGCCCGCGTCGATGCGGATGACGGGGTGGTGCGGAAACCGTAACGGGTGGCCCTTGCGCTCCTGGTACGTGGCGATGGAGATGGTCTCGCCGTTGCGCTCGAAGGTCATGTCGCTGGCCGACGTGGCGACGAGGCGGCCCTTGTCCTTGAAGTTCTTGCGCGAGATCTCCGCGAACTCGTCGGCCCCGCCGAAGTCCTTCCGCAGGATCGTGACGTTCTTGCGGTGCAGCAGCTGCTTGAGCTTCTCTACGTCTTTCGGCGAGCGCGGGCCCCGCTCGCCGAAGAGCGCGATGATCAGGTCCGCGACGGTGGAGAGAGCGCCCGGCGTGCGCACCGCTGCCTTCGCCACGAGGTCGACCGCGAGGCACATGCCCGCCTCGCAGTTGCGCACCCCCACGTCGACGCCGAGGAGGATGTCCAGGCCGCCCTCCCGGCAGCGCACCGGCTCGCCCTGGACCAGGTACGTGCCGCTGCCGAGGTCCCAGTACCCGTTCTGCGTCATGTGCGCCTTGATCGCGAGGTCGATGATGGTCGAGAAGTGGTGCCGCTCGCCCGTGCAGGCGTCCACGAGCTCGCCGCTCGCCGTCCGCGCCACGTCGACGGCGGTGCTCCGGAGCGCCTCGGCCACGTCGATGGTGGTGGCCGCCTGCAGCTGCACGCGCCACCGGCGCCACGGCTTGCCGGCCACGGGCGCGACCACGACGCCCGACGCGGACATGTGCGGCTCGAGCCGCCCGCACGCGTAGAGCATCCGCGCGCCGTCCGAGAAGACCTGGACGCGCGCCTGTTCGCCCACGGCGCGCATCGCCTCGAGCGTCCGCCGCTTCTGCGTCTCGGAGGGCTTGCGCGTGCCATCGGCGAGGACCTCCTCGGGCCGGGCGCCCGCGCCCGCGGGCGCGGCGACCACCGGGGGCGGGGGCGCCGGCGCGGCGTCCGGCGCGGCCGGCGCGGCGTCGCCGTCGGCCACGAACTCCTTCTTCAGGTGCCGGACGTGATAAACCCAGATCGTGTCCGTGGCGGCGCCGGGCGCCGGTACGAGGCGCCAGACGTTCGTAGCCACCGGCGCTTCTCTATAAGGCACCCCCAAAGACGGACCCCGCGGCTCGATCCATCCGCCGCCGACGGTGAGCGCCGAGAGTCGATCTTCGAGCGACCCGCCCGGCTCCACCGTGGACAGCTGCCGCTCCTCCGTGCCGACAATATCGTGGTTGTCGATCGGTATCAGCTCGCCTCGACCGCGGCCGCGGCCTCCACCGCCGCGGCCTCCGCCGCGGCCTCCTCGGCCGCGGCCGTCGAACGGGCGCCGCCCGCCGCCGTAACCGCCGCCGCCCTCGTGCGGCCGGCGCCTGCCGCCGGCGCCGCCGTACATGCTACTGGACTCCGTGTGCTACTTAGTGCACCCTCTCTGTAGCCTCTGCAGGCTGCGTAAAAAACGTGCCAGCTCGACCAATCGCAGGAGCTGCACTGCGGTTCTGCTTGCACGACTTCCGGAAGCTCCTGTGCTGGCGGAAGGCAACTGAGCGCAATTTGAGGGCTAGCGGCATGTAAGACACTAGCGCACAAATCCGCACGCAGGCTCTAGAGCCCTTCAAACGCTAGCAAACTAGTAGCTTTGAAGACAACCTCCGCCGGAATCCACCGGCTAGATGGCGAGCGCTCTCAGGTCCGAGAGCTTCGCCGTGTTCCCACTGAGCCCCGGCTGCCGGGTAAGGTATCGTTATGGTACTTATACCTCGGCAGTAGGGGGTCAGGAGCCTGAATCCGCACGGAAGGATACAAACAGACAAATTAGCCAGGCGGTGGCGGCGGAGCCGTCGGCGGCGGCGGCGACGCCGTCCGCTGCGCCGCCTCGGGATCCAACTTCGCGAGCGCGGAGTCCTGCGCGTCGCGCAGTACGGGGTGCGCCAGCAGCAGGAGGAGGTAGGACTTGAGCTTCTCCTGCGAGCGCGTCGTCTCCATGACGTAGGAGCTCCGGTGCACCAGGAGCTTCCGGAGCGTGTCGTAGACGGCCTGGACGTCGCGGACCGGAGGCGCCGCATTCTCGTGCAGGTAGATCGCGTCCAGGAAGAAGTCTCCCTTGTTTTTTAGTTCGAACTCGCCGGTCGCCACCGGTACGGCCCGGCTTCGACCGAAGACCACCAAACATCGGTCGACGGCGCCGTCCGGCCGCGCCGTCCCAAAGGCAGCGCCCAGCACGTTGTATAAACTAGAGAAGTCGAAGGGCGCGTCGGCGACGCCGTCGTCCTCCTCCTCGAAGGCGTCACGGCGCCGCGGCTGCGCCACGCTGTTCAGCGTCGCGAGCATGATATCGCGCTCCGTCGGCGCGAGGAGCAGTTCCGCCTCGGCGTCGCGCAGCACGACGAGGCCCCACTGCGTCGTAGCAGTTGATAAGCTGGACTTCTGCGTGATCCACGTCCGCAGCGCCGGCAGCACGACGGCGAGGCGCGTCGGGCCGTCGGGCCGCCGCGCGTCGAAGGCGTCGTGCATCTCGAGCCCGACGTCGAGCGCGACGCAGATGCGCTCGACCGTGCCGCCCTGTTCCGCCTTGCGGCAGTAGGCGTCGAAGCCGTGCGAGGACGGCATTTGTCGTGCGAATGCTCTCCTGCCTAGCAAGCACTGAAACGCCTCCGGGGATTGCGCACAAACTTTTGTGGGGAAACTGGCCACTCTCAGGATCACTGCCAGCTCGTTTGTTAGCAGCAGTTGCCCACGGGAGGGCGAGACAAGGCAGTCCCTCGATTAACAATGGCCCTAGCTAGCGGCCTGTAAGACACTAGCAAGACAAACCAAAACTCGGCCGCGCAGTTTGAGCTGTGCGCGACCTAGGCTTCTCCTAGCGCCAGGAGTAGTGTACTAGGGGCCCGGCAGTCTGCAGAGGCGCTTGCGCTTGCCGACCGCGTCGCGGGGACAGCTCGCATTCAAAACGGAGAGCAAAACCGCGGGGCGCTCTGGACGGCGCGCGAGGCCCTGACGCCGAACGCGTACACGGTAGCAGCACCGTAGCAGCGTTGCCGGACAGCCGCGCGTCCAAAAAGGAGACAAAACCGCTCAGGAGCCGCGGACACCCGACGCCGCACGTAACAACACTAAGATGGCGGACACCCCGGCATCAACAACCGGCACGAGCCATGATTTTGACCTGTCGAGCGACGAGGAGGACGACATCCTCCAGAACCTGAAGCAGCAGGCCCAGCGCGGCACACGGAGCTCGGCATCCTACGACCCCGACGCGTCGTCGAACTTCGGCAAGACGACGGCGTCGTCGGAGGGCACGCCGAACTTCGAGTCCATGCGCGACGCGTTTCGGGAAGCGGGGATGGAGGCCCTCGAGACGAAGTCGCCCGTCGCCGCGCCGCCGACCGTGGCGAGTGCCGACGAGTCGATCCGGGTGGACTTTGGCGCTGCCGCGCAACGGCAGTCGCTCGCGCACCAGTCCATCGCGTCGGTCGACGGCGTGATGCTGCAAAGCAGAGACGGAGGTGTCGATGCGGTCGCCGAGGAGCCCCAGCCGCAAACGGACGAGACGTCCGTCTACAGTCCGCCGGGAGCGGAGGAGGAAAAAGCACCTCTGGCGACCGACGCCACGTCGGTGTATAGTCCACCTGGCGCCTCGGAAGCCCAACCGACGGTGAACACGTCGGCCGACGAGTTTGCTGCGTTAGCCGCGGCGCAGGAGGACGACTCCGAGTCCGAGGAGGAAGAAGGCGACGATCCGGAGGACCGGCAAGCCCGCGAGGACGTCGGCGCGGCTCTCAAACCCGCCAAAAAAGAAGCCTTGGAGCGCCTCGTCGAGCAGTTGCAGCGCGACAACGATAGGTTACAAGCTTCCTTACAATTAGCCTATGAACGGGCCGAAGCGGCCAAGGGTGAATGGGAGGCTGAACGCGAAGGGTTGGTGCGCCAGGCCAAGGAGGCCGCCACCGAAGCTAAATTAGCGATCGCGTCATCTAAAAGTCCTACTAAGAGGGAGCCCGGGGAACTGGCGAAGAGCGCGATGGACCCGAGGGCGTCTCGCCTTGCCGCGGAGTTACAGCTAGCAAAAGAAAGAGATGCGTTGCGGGATGAGGTCAATCAATTGAATGCTTTAAGAGCCAAGGACCAGCAGACCATCAAGCAACTCCAGAGGCAGCCGCCGACGCCGCCGCCGCCGCGGGCGCCGCCGCCCGAGCAGCGAGCTTTTCAAGATGTGGAAAGGAGGTGTACCGATCTAGAAAGGGAGCTCGAGGACCAACGCGCGGCCCACGAGTACCGGATCCACGCTCTTAGAGATGAATTTGAGAAGCTGCGAGACGCCCACGAGCGGAAGCTGCGCGCCGTGAAAGCGGAGGCGGCGCGGAAGGCCAAACAACAACCAGTAAGGAAGGCACCTACACTGACAGAAAACACGGTGGTAGGCCCCAAGAAGGCCGCCGGCATCTCGCGGCAGGCCCTGCACGCGATCGAGGAGCAGAGTCGCAAGGACCATGAGGCGAAACTAAAAGCTGAACAGAAGGCCGAGCGCTTACAGAGAGAGCTGGAGGAGGCGAAACAGTCGTTGGTGCGCGCGCGGAACAAGCTCAAGGCGTCGAACGCGCAGCGCGGGTCCACCGAGACGCTCGCTTCTGTGTCTGCTACCTCATCACCGCCGCCGCCGCGACGGTCGCGCGAGAAGTCGCCTCACAAACGGAGAGATGAGGAGGCATCGAGTCCGGCGCCGCCGCCGCCCGCGAAACGTCGGGGCGTCGACGTAGGGACGCAGTCACCACGTAGAAAACACAAAGACGCCGAGGCGGCGTCGCCCGCGCCTCCACAAAAGCGCCGCGGCGTCGACGCCGGCACGCAGTCGCCCAAGCCTAGGACGACCTCGACCGGCGTGCAGTCGCCGCGGCCTCCCCAGGAACCGCGGCGCGCCGAGTCGCCCGCGCCGGCTAGAAGAGCGCCGCGCACGGTCGAATCGGAGGACCAAACTTTAGTTGCTTCTGTCGAGTCCGTGCCGCCGCCGCCTCCACCAGTGGCGCCTGATCTCGAGGGCGAGGCCACGAAGGAGCAGCTCGAGTTGAGGGCGCTGCGGACGGAGCTCGAGAGAGAGCGCGAGATCAATAGGAGACTGGCGGACGAGCGCGACGCGCCGGAAGAAGAATTAGGTGTGTACAAGGAGCGCGCGGCGGCGTTGAGAGATGCGCTGGAGCAGGCGACGCGCGACGCGGAGAAGGAAATGCGGCTGCGGAGAGAAGCCGAGGAGACGCTCCATGCGGTTCAAGCCCAGAAGCCTGAGAACGATGCTCTGACGAGTGAAGTCAACAAACTACGAAGTGAACATCGAGACATGGTGCGCGAATTGTCGTCGTCGCGGGAGACCGCACGCCTCGCGGCCGAGGACGCGGCTCGCTTGCATCGTGCTTTACAGTTACGAGGACCAGGAACGACGACGGAAGTTGCCGTCGCGGCCCTAGCGGCGCAGGTCGATGAACTTGAGTTAAGAGCGAAGCGCCGGCAAGAAGAAGTGGCTTCTGCTGTATTGGAGGCGAACGCGTCCGCGAAGCTCGAGCTCGCGCGCCACGAGACGCGGGCCGCGGAAGCCCTCGCGGCGAAGGACGCGCAGCTCATGCGGTTTCGCGGCGAGCTCGACTCGCTCTTGGACGCGTTGCGAGCCGCGGTCGCCGACAAAGCCAGAGCTCAGGCGGCCGTCTCCGAGAAATTGGCCCAGGACCACCTCACGTTTGCCAACGAAGCCTTCGACGTGGGCGCCGAGTAAATACCTACCTTCCTATGGCTCTAGCGCCCCGGATCGCGTCGGCCCGCCGCCGCCGCGCGTTGACCAGCTGCCCGTACTCGAAGTTCGAGGGCCTCGCCTTCGAGGGTTGGGGGTCGTAGTCCTTCAACAATTCCTTCGCGCGCGCGACAAGCTCCGCCTCCTCGGTCGGTATCTCGTATGAAGGCGGCGGCGCCGCCACGACCACCGGCGCCGCGGGCGCGCCCCCTAGGTCCGCCGTGATCTGCGCGGCCGTGTCCCGCAGCGCCCTCGCGCGTTTTAAGAGAGGGTCATCATCAAAAGTCGCGCCGGGCGGCAGATACGACGCGTAGGGGTTGTGGAGCTGCGGCGCTTGGGGTATCACGCCGTCCTTGTAGCCTAGACGTTTTCTGGCGGCGGCCAGGTCTCGTCTATTAGCGGCCGCCTGTTGCGTTGATTCGCGTCTTGCTCTCGTATTTTGCGTGATGCTGGCCCTATCATTCATCTTCCGCTCGGAGGCCTTCGCCGCCCGCGCCTCAAAGTTCTCCGTTAAAGCGTCTCTCCTCCTCTGCGCGTCCCGCGCATCCGCTTGTCTCTTGCTCTTGATGTTTGAGGAGCGTTGTTCGGCTTTGGCTCGCCGCTCGAGTTTCCTTCTCACCTCCTCCGGGCCCTCGCCGGACACGGCGCACGCGATCGCGCTATTCAGAGCCGCGGCGGCGGCGGCCGCGGCCGTGATGCCCGAGGCGCCCTGGCCCTGGTGCGCTCTTGCCAACGCCTCGAGATCTAGCGAATCGAGCGACGCCGCGACGGACGCTAATCTATTCGCGTGCTTGACGAGCTCCGTGTCGGCGGACGTGCCGTCTCTTGGTATTTTGCTCGGCGACGTCGGGATTTTGTTTCTACGGCGCAGCGGCGACGGCGACCGCGGCAGCTCAAGTACGGAGGGCGGCGGCGCCTGCCGCGGCTGTTCCATTACTGAGGGCGGCGGCGCTGCCTCCGCGGGCGCGGCGTGGACGCGCGGCGGCGGCGTCTCCGCCGCGGGCGCGACGTGGACGCGCGCGTCGCGGCGCGGCGCGGCTGCCTTTGGCTTGGTGCGTTTTTTGCGGGGCTTCGGCGTCCTCACGCGCGGCGTGATCTGGAGCTCTTCCCGGCATTCATCGAAGACGTCGTCGAGGAAGCCCATCTGGGCAGCCGTGCGCCGCGATGGCTCGGCGCGAGGACTCCTGTGGGGCGTGGGCAGCCCTGCGGCGCGCGGGGCAGCCCTTGGCCCGGCCAAAGGTCGATGCGGCGCTGCCAACCACTTCGGCTGTGGGCCCGGGGGTGGAAGGAAGGCTCGGGAGGCCCGAGCCAGCGGGTCGGGAGGGCGGTGAGCGCTCGGAGCGGCGCGGAAGGGGCTGGGGGGAGAGCGGAAAAATTAATTAAAATCCCGGTCGATCGAGCGGCGCGTGGCGGCCAGTGGCGGAAGTCCATCAAGGTTGCTTCGGTATGTAGGGTGGTTTTTGTAAAAACCGGGTAGATGAGGTTGGCGCGCTCGTGGGAGCGGCCGAAGTCAGCAAGCGAGGCGCTTACTTCTTGGAGGCCGACTTCTTCGGGAGAAGCGTGGCGTGGATGTTCGGGAGAACACCGCCGGACGCGATCGTGACCGAGCCCAGGAGCTTGTTGAGCTCCTCGTCGTTGCGGACGGCGAGCTGGATGTGGCGCGGCACGATGCGCGTCTTCTTGTTGTCGCGCGCGGCGTTGCCCGCGAGCTCGAGGATCTCGGCGCAGAGGTACTCGAGGACGGCGCCCATGTAGACACCGGCACCGACGCCGACGCGCGAGGCGTACTTGCCCTTGCGGAGGTAGCGGTTGAGGCGCGCCACCGGGAACTGGAGGCCAGCCTTGGACGCCGAGGACGACGAGCCGGAGGACTTGGCCTTGCCCTTGCCGCGGCCACCTTTACCTTTGCCAGACATGATGTTTTGGGGGTGTTTTTTTTCCGATGTGTTGGAGTGGAGAGGCAGCCCGCTGGAGCGCACACATTTCCGGGGCGTCAGCGCGCCGCTAATTTTTGGCGACGAATCATTTTGCGACCCCAATTAGCGGCTCGCTCACGCCCCGAAATGTCACAATTTCATTCGTCGCCAAAAGTTAGCGGCTCGCCTGCGCCCCGGAAATTCGAGCAGCACATCGGGCTGCCTCCCCCAGTCCAACACATCGGAAACAAAAACACCACAAAAATGGCCAAGACCCCCTCCAAGAAGTCGGCGAAAGCCCCCAAGAAGGCCGGCGGCGCCAAGAAGAAGAAGTCGCGCACGGAGTCGTACTCGACGTACATCTACCGCGTGCTCAAGCAGGTGCACCCGGACACGGGCATCTCCAAGAAGGGCATGTCGATCATGAACTCGTTCATCAACGACATCTTCGAGCGCATCGCCCTCGAGGCCTCCAAGCTGTGCCGCTTCTCCAAGAAGGCGACGCTCTCGTCCCGCGAGATCCAGACGTCCGTCCGCCTCATGCTCCCGGGCGAGCTCTCCAAGCACGCCGTGTCCGAGGGCACCAAGGCCGTCACCAAGTTCTCGAGCTCGTAAGCGCTCACCGCCGTCTGAGTAGCAGCTCGCGCTGCGATACGCTCTTGTGACGACGGCACCCACATTTCACCCGGTTTTTCTAAAAACCACCCTACTCCTCGAAGACACGAGACGGCAGCCTCGCGCGTGTGTTGGGCTGCGCCTTCCTTTTACCTTCGCGCGTCGCCGCGCCCCGAACGCCGAGAGACCGCTCCGCCACGCCGTCCCTTCGGCCTCTCTCCCGCTGCGCGCGCCGCCCGTGCCTAAGCATGTTCTGCTACTCTGCTTAGATAGAGCTAGGCTGCCTAGCCACCGAGCCGGCGTGCCGACGCCTCCCCGCCGGACCCCACGTGACCGCTGCAGACCGCACGCGCCGGCGCACGCGGCGCACGCCCGTCCCGCCCCCCGGCCCCCATACGCCGTTGCCCCGAGTGGTAGCTCGGAGACGACGACGAGGGGGAGCAGGCGGACGCCAGAAACCCGGGGCCCCGCCGGCCGCGGGGTAACTGCGCCAGGGGGGGGGAAGCCAGATTTTGACAGGCCACAGCGCATACATACGTAGCCCGGTGCGGTGGATTTTCATAAACTAAGGTTCCCGGGGTCTATTCCCACCTTTTGACCAAGGGAAAGACGAAACGGTTAGGATCTGACGATTTTAGTGGACCGCGAACGTCGCGCCAGTGGCGTTTCGTGCCGCGCCGGGCGATACTTTTGGCACGCCATCAAGCTAGACGATCGCGTTTGCGCATCAGCTCCACGGAACAGGTACCTAAGGGCCCTCGGGAGACCAAATCACCGGCGTAGGGCGAAGTTTATTTTTGAAGAAAACCCGAACTGGGAGGGTCGCAATTTGGTTGGCCACACCATGGTACTTTGCGTCCACGTCCCACCGCGAAAGTGACCCCTCCCGAGTAAAGCGGTGTCGGGGTGTCCTTAGGATGTCCCCAGGTGCCTTCACACCAAAAAGCCACCGCATACGGAGCGATAACAAATTGGGGATGTCTGGCGTCCCCCCCCCTACTGCGCCCTACCAGGAAAGGATTCTACTACACAATAAATTACTGAGTACGTTCGCGCCCGCAGCACCGCGACGCCATCGACTCTCACTACTTCACCTGACACGCGGCGCGCAGCGCATCAGAAAACGTCGCCGCGTCCCACTGTCCGAGTTGCCGCAGCAGCCGTTTGGCGGGCTCGGCACTCACCAACTTGTACGGGTCCGGATCCAGCCTAAAATGGTGCGCCGCATTCAATATAGTTTGGCAGTTCCGCGCGCGAATTAGGACATACAACGCGTCGATCTCACAACGTTGCAGGGGACAAACACTATGATATGCTGCCGTAATCGCACAAGCTCGCTGTAGAATCAACATGGTCTCGGCCGGGTCCAGCACCGAATCGGCCAACAGTGAAGTCATGCTTGACCCTTTCCCGTCGAAGAGCGCGTAAGCCAGCAAAATGGCCAGATCAAACACGCGACAGCTCCGCACGAAGTCCCCGAAGTCCACGAGACCCGGCCTGACACCAGCTTCGTCGACCTGTGTTGATTGATACCGTCGCGAAACTGCCGCTGCTCTCTCGCGAGACGCGTGGACTCTCATGTGGTCATGAAGACGGCGTCGACGCAGCGAGGCACCGCGGCGACGCCGTCGACGCAACTTGAAGTTCGGAAACGTTCGGAAATCACGCTGCGTCGCGGACCAGGATGTTCTCGTCGTTCGCGTCCCCATGAATTAATTGGCGAGGCAACAACGCGTACGGCGGCGACGCGAGGAAGGCGTCGAACGCATCCAAAGCTTTCGTGACTCTCTCCTTGACCTCGTCGTCGAACAATTCGTTGAGATAAGGTCTTGACACTGTTGAAACGTTCGCGAGGTCCCAAGCAAGCATCCTCTCGGAAGAGTCGGCTCCATCACTACGCGGTTCAAAGTGCTCCAATGCGACATCAGTTGCGCCCATGACCTGGCCCAGGGCCCGGTCCAAAGCGCCATTCGCCTGGCCCCGACACTCGCTCAGTGGAATACCCTCGACCCACGTAATGACGCGCGCGAAACACGTCAGGGACTTCCAGGTGAACTGGACCACGGCCTCACCATGATCAGACGCGCGGACGTCCGGCGCCCGGACGCCCGTCGTCCGCACGGCGCGCATCATCGTGTGTTCACAGTCCAAGGCCGCCCTCGTCGCGTCGTCGCCCGCATGGCCCCTACAAGCGGCGCCACTGGCAGCGATTTTGAGGACGTATGTTTTATCTATCGCTTCTTGTGAGCATTGGACTATCACTTTCCAGTTTTGGTCGTCATAAGACGGTAACGGTAGGCAGCGGCGGACGGCGCCGACTTTGGCGTAGTGGTCCTTCATTAATTGAGTGGCTTCGGCTGGCGTGAGGAGGGGGCGGACCTCTTCCGTGAAGGTGGCCATGGCGCTCGCGTTTGTTGGCAGCTTAAATCTCTGAGAGCGCTCTCGGAGGCTGTGCGGCACGAGGACGCCTGAGCTCTCTCGCAGCCAGAGAATGGTAAGTCAGCTTGCAAATGCAGGCGCACGCAAGTCTGCGGTGCCGTAGAGCGGCAGCTATAGCGACAACAAAGCTGCTCCCGGCCCCGGCTTAAAGTACGGGTTCCACCACCTCGTACACGCGTCCACGTGGTCCCTGGTGGCGCAGAGTCGCCGAACGGCATCCCAGACGCGAGAAGGACGGGTCCTTCTGTGCTAGTGTCTTTACAGGGACGCTAGCTAATTTTGCATGATACCGGCAACCATGGCGTATAACGCAGCGTGGACGACTCAGAATCACCCCAGAGCTCGGGGACCTTATTATTGATGCTCGCCGCCCGTCCTGGCTTTCAAACAGCTCGCGAAATGGCCGTCTTGGTGCCGAGTTAGCCGTGGCAGCTGCTCTGGGCTTTTGGAGGCCCAGCGCGAGCCGCGCGGCGAACGCGCAGCCGAGGACGTTCGCGACACTACCCGCCGCGCCGCCGGACCCGGCAAGAGCACCAAATTCGCACGACGAGAGCCGCCTACTGGACCGCCGTTCTCCGATGTCGACTTCGCCGGATGAGCCAACACCGCACAACGAGAGAGCCAGCTCGCCCAAACGAGCTGAACCGACGCGCAATTCGCCCGAAAGAGCCCAGAACGACGAGAGCCCAGAACGAGCCACATATCACACAGGCGCTCCGTTGTGGCGCTGCTGGCGCTCGCGCCGGCGAGCGGCTACGTCGCGCGCGCGCCGCTGTCCGCCCGGCCGCGGAGGACGGCGCGCGTCGCGCCGTCGATGGCGCTCATCACGGGCTCGCCCTTCGGCTACTTCGACCCCTTGCAGCTGTCCAAGGGCAAGACGGAGGCCGAGATGAACCAGCTCCGGGAATACGAGCTCAAGCACGGCCGCGTAGCCATGGCCGCGGTCTTTGGGCTCATCGTCGAGCCGTACATCCACCCTTTGGCGAAGTCGTGCCACCTCGCGCACCCGACGGACCCCATTCTCAGCGGAGTGGAACTGAACTTCGCGGGCAAGGCGCAAATTCTCGGCTTCTGCGGCGGCGTCGAGGCCCTCAACTACTTCATCAAGAAGGGCGACAAGTACAAGCCGGGCGACTTGTTGGGCGCGGCCTACTACGTCGCCGACGAGGAGGACGAGTTGTGGGTCAGTTACCAGGAGAAGGAGCTGAACAACGGCAGATTAGCGATGGTCGCGTTCGCCGGGTTCATCACGCAGTACGGCCTCTACGGCAACGTCGACGACATGCTCTTCAAGCCCATGATCAAGCCGGCGTCCGAGCTGACGTGCTACGGCTGGCTCTGCGTGTAGATTGTTTCTGAAGGGGAGTTAAGAAACATTCATTATCCTCATGCGGCGACGGCGTGCCCCCGTCGCCGCTCGCGACGCTCACTCCGACAAAACTACCTACGACGGCTGTGTGTGTAGAGTGCGGCTCACGGGGGGTCTAGTCCCTAGTCCATAGCATAAGCACAGCAGCAGAGTGGTAAGAGTGGCAGCCCTGGGCCGGGGGGGCGGCGGGGCGCGAACTAACTACTCAACCTTAGCTCCCTCACGAGCTCCGCGAGCTTCGCCATCGCGGCGCGCTTCCGATGGCCCGCAAAACCGTTGGAGGTCGCGTCCGAGACGAGGGATAAGAGAGACGCCGTGTCCTTCGGCGTCAGCTCGACCGCCTCGTCAGTCGCCGCCGCGAGCGCCGCCAATTTCTCCTTCAGAGTACTCTGATCAGTACCGTCCCCGACCATGCGCGCCATCGACACCAAGCGCGCCCCGTTCAGCGTCAGCGCGCGACTTAGCCGCTGCCAGCAGCCCCACGTCCGGAAGTGCTTGTAGAACAAGGACAGGGCCGGCTCCTGCTCGAGCAAGTGACAAAAGTCCATCGCATCCAGCGCGTGCATCTGCGTCACCGCCGTCGCGTGGCAGGAATAATGCCTCAAAATCTTCTCACGCGCGCCGCACGCCTGTGTGCTCAAAATCAAAAAAGAAACGACCCCCGGCATCGTGCGATGGCCACGAGTCTCATGGACACGACGGGACGCCGTATACATACCAGCATCGCGATGTCATCGCCGATGAACTCGTCGTCCTGCTTCACACTTATCCCGAAAGTTTTTCTCGCGTCGTAGTTCAAACAACACACTTTCCCGTGCTCGATGACGTACATGACGTCGTTCAGACTCAGGTCCTTGTGGACGATGACGTCGAAGGTCATGAACAGTCGCGTCGTGAATAAGGAAGCGACCTTCGAGAGAAATAGATCCCGCTGGAAGTGCAAGCGTTGTATTTCACCTCGTCTAAGATGTAACAAGTCCGGAGGTAGAGGTGGGGGCTCGATGTGCGTATGCCTGACGTTCTTTTGGACCTCGCCTGCGCGGAGCATCGCGGTCTATGGACACGAGTCGCGTCGATGGCGTGAAGGGACGCCGCGAGCGCACCGTCGTCGAACTGCACATCATATCGCAACAGTGAAGGAGATCTAAGTACGAGAGCAGGTCTACCCACACTCATTTCTTCATCGTCGCCCCGCTCCCACTCGCGGTCATGGACCAAGACGCGCTGGCCCTTGGGGTAGCCCCCCGTCCGCTGCACCGTGTGAGCATAAAAAGGGATCTTCTCGACGACGTGGCCCATCTTCTTGCGAGCCACTACCGATATAAGTGTAGGTGATAGTTTCGTGAGCATCTCCTTGTTGAAGTGGTCCCGGAAACAAGGTTCCGACAGCATGATGTACTCCCGCAGCTTGAGTCGTAGGTCGTTGTCGAAGCCGCTCCGATGCATGTAGTCGTTCAAATTATCTAAAGTTTGTTTAAATTCATTCGCCACGGGGTCCAAATTACTCATGATGTTCGACAGGTCGCCGATGAGGAACGCCATCACGATGATGCCCCCGAGCATCACCTGCGTGGCGGTTTCGCGTGTTGCCGCGGTTTTCTGGCGAGATGACGCCATCGACGCGACTCGTCTCCGTCTCACAATGAAGTGGGTGCTTTGGTTTTCGATTTTGGGCCGATTCGGGCGAAGGCGACGGGACGCCGCGACGCGACCAGCAGACCTAGCACGCCCTCGCCGTGCGTTCTTGTACTAGCCTCACCGTTAATAGCGACGAGCGCCCAGACCGCCGCCTCCACGTACTGCGCCCAGATGCCGTCCCGGTAGTTACTCGTCGAAGTTAATATGGTCTGGGGGCAATCATCCCATGAGCACTCTGCTAGTGTATACTCCGTCACCAATTTCAAAGCGCAGGCCGTCCAGTGGACGATGACGATGAGCACGACGCAGTATTTGATCACGGTCTGTAATTTGGTGGACATGTCGACGTGCTTGGCGATGTTGTTGACGAGCTCCTGCGACCGGAGGACCTGCGTGGCGCTTCGTCGATTTCGGAGGCGCGCTCGCGAGACACTCACCTTGGCGAGCTTCATCAGCCGGAAGACTCGCAGTAGTCTTATCGCAGAAGCTTGTTTGGATTTGATCATGTACTCGACGGGCAGCATCGACACAACGTCCAACGCCATCCAGCCGCGCGCGTAGTGGAGTGCTATCTGGTCGAAGCGCAACAGCCACTTGTTGAGCTGTGGATCGTAGACGGCCGTTAAGAAATTGAAGATAATATCGACAATGAATAACAAATTAACAGTCCAATTTGTTATAAACAATCCGGTATATTTATTGGGAAACGGCGTGTAGTTCTTGCTCCAGCCCACCGCAGACACAAAGGCCAGCTCGAAGGGCGTCACGATCATCACGAAGCCTGCGTGGAAGTGACGCTATCTCGGCACCGCGGTCCTCGGAGAGGCCCAAACCCGGACACGACGTTCCTCAGACCACGAGAGACCACGAATTGAAGGGCGCTTGAACTTTGCTTGCCACACGGGACCACACAGATCATGAGCATCATCAAAATGTCCCATTTCAATCGCCATTTTTGTAGAGGGTCCATGACCAGCCAGTGGGCCCGATGCCTCGGGAACTTGTTCGACCGCATGTCATCGAGCAGCTCCTTCTCGATGTCGTCGTCCTGCTTCTCGAAGAGGCCTATGAGGTCCGTGAAGGTCGTTCGTGAGCGGGCGCGTTTCATTTTCCGCAGCCGTTGGCGTTTTTCTTTCGCGAGGGTCGAAGAGGTGGAGTCCGACGACGACGTGCGCTTGATCTTTGCCGGTGTCTTGTGCCACGAACTTCGCGTCGGTGCGGCTTGTTGCGCCGTCATCGTCAATAATTGGCCGCCCGTCGGCGTTTGGTCAACTGGCTTCTTTTTGAGGAGCTTGGCCGGGTTGAGGAGGGAGACGGCGTGCTTGGCCTTGCGCCAGCGGCGCTTCGCTGCGGGTGTGGGAGGCGCCTGGACGTCGTCGGGGCTCCCCTCGACCTCGGGCGCGTCGTCGCTCGGCGTCGCGACCGGCGAAGGCGCATCGTTCAGGGCCGCGTCGGTCTGCCTTCGCAACGACACGACGTGCTTGACGTCGCCGTCCTTCGTTTCGCTGGGACTGCCCTTGTCTTCGAAGGACTCGCCGCGCGGCCGGTCGCCCGGCGCCGCACTCATCAGTGGTGCTGTCTGGGTTCGAAAAATGGGCAGCCGCAGCCCAATGGCGCTACCACTGGTGCGACCAGCGCGACCAGCACCGAGGCAGCCGCAGCCGTTCGATGCCTTCGCGCTCCGGCCTCGCGTGAAATATGACAGCACAAATCGCGAGTGCTTCCCGGCTCGGGCTAGTGTCTCACGGACGCTAGAGCTCGCCGTGCCTATCGCCAACGGAGGTCCCCGAGGGCCTCCCGGCGAGGAACCGGGACAGGTATGTCGCCGAGACGCCCAGAAAATGACGAAAGGGGCCGTCGCGGCGGACGTCGACGCGCGGTGTGTCTCCTCCCCAGCAGGCGCTCCGCCCACTAGTCCTAGCACCGAACCAATACACGGACGTCGTCGGTGCCACGAGAAGAGTCCCCCAAGTTACGCGGGAGCACAGACGCCTAGCCCCGCAGCCGCGCCTCGACGGCGGCGTCGAGCGCGGCGTCGCCCGGCACTCCCACGACCTCGGGCTCCGGCTTGCCGTAGCAGTGGGCCGTCAGCTCGTTCCGCAGCCCGTCCAGCCACTTCACGTGGGAGTGCATGCGGCCCTGCGCGTGCTCACGATTCACCGCCCACTCCCGCAGCGGCGTCGCCATCGTCGGTTGTGGTACTACGGGAGGCGGTGGTGGTGCCCAATGAGTACCAGAAGGTGCCTGGGCCTGGGCCTGTTGATAATAATCGTCCGTCGGGCGCGGCGGCGGAGGCGGCGGCGGCGGCATGCAGTAGTAGAAGGCTTGCGGCGGCCGGTACGGGTCGTACATGCCGTAGTGCACCTCCGGCGCGCGTCGATAACGGCGTCTCCTCCGGTGGGGCGTCTCGCTCACCGAGGAACAGAATGTTTCGTCGTCGAGCAGGTCGAGCTCCGCCAGCGGCGACGCGCCGGCCTCGACGCGCCGCACCTTCTCGTTCCTATCCTCGATCCAGCTCTGCGCCTTGCGCAGTTGCCTCACCAGCTTGTTCAGGTCCGACGCCTCGCGATCGAGGTGCTGGCGCTCCCGCGTCGACCCGCGCGACTCCTTGAGGGCCGCCCGGGAGCGCCACGCGTTCCGCTTCTCCTCGAGCTGTCGTTGGCGCTCCTTGAGCCAGGCGCGCTGCTTCTGTACCAATTCTTTGGCCTCCCTGAGCGCGCTCCGCTCGTCGTCGACGCGAGATCGGGGAGACTCCTGCTGTTGCCGTAACTTGGCCTCCGCATGTCGTAACGCGTCGACGGCGGCGTCGCGCTCCCGTCTCGCGGACCGCGCGGCGCGGTCGTCGTTACCGGGTGTCGTGGGCGCCTGAGTCCGCGCCCGGGCCAGCTCCGTCTCCAGGTGCAGCGCCCGCTTCGTGGCGGCGTCTCGCTCACTCTCGGCCTTCTCGGCTCTGAGTCGAAGCGACTCGACGAGCACGGCGTCGCCGCCGCCACCGTCAACCGACGCCCGCAAGGACGCGAGGTCGCGCTCCGCGGACACGCGCTTCGCCGCTTCGCCGTCGGCCCGCTGCGAGAGCTTGTCGAGCTTCTCCTGCTTCCACGTCTGCTCCTTTTCCAGTTCCGTGGCCCGGTCCTCGGCATCACTCAATTTGCGCGCCATGTCTCGCGCGTCGGCCTTGAGCTTGCGCACGGCCTCCTCGGACGCCGCCAGGCGCTCCTCGGCGTCGTGGCACTGCTGTTGCATTTCGTTCTTCGACCGGTTGGCTTCATCAGTATTGCGCTTGGCGCGTTGCGCGTCGGCCTCGGCGGCCTGCGCTCTATTCAGCAACGCGCTGTCCTGGGCGCCCGACCGGTCGTCGAGCTGCCGCCGCAGGTCGTCGATCGTCGCCCGCGCGTCGTTCTCGGCGCGCTTCGAGCCCTCGGCCCGCTCCTCCAACGCTCTCAATCGCGCGTCACTTCTCGATTTGGCGTCCTCGAGGGCCTTGCGCTCATCCCTACGGTCCCTTTCTAGCAATTCAAGGCGCGCCTCGGCCTCGCGCGCGCGGCGGTCCGCCGTGTCGTCCGCTCTAGCTTTGCTCAGTTCCGAGCGCGTCTCCGTCACCTCGCTTCGAGCCTGGCTCGCGCGGGCCTCGGCTTCAGAAAGCGCCCTCTGCGACGCGTCGCGCGCCGACCGCGCCACGGATAACTCCTCCTGCAGCGTCTTGACCAAGGCCGTCTGCGCGGCCAGCGCCGTTTCCTTGGCGCCGCACAACTCCTTGGCCTTGTCGGCGTCCCGCTGCAGCGCGTCCCTCTCGGCCTTGAGTTCCTGCGACGCCGTCTCGGCGGCCTCGCGGCGCCGCGTCTGCTCGGCCGCGTGCTGGGCGATCTCCGCGGCGTCCTTTTTCACAGTCTCCAACTCCCGTTCCAGCGCCGCGGCCCGGGGCAGCGACTCCCTTAACTTATCAGTTTCGTCGTCGCCGCTCGGCTCGACCTTTTGAACGGCATCTAAAGCCGCCTGGAGGCTCTCGCTCTTGCGCCTCTCCGCCTTGAGTTCGAGGTTGCGCTCGTCCAGGCACGTCTCGACGGCCTTCGACGCCGCGAAGTCGCGCGCCAGGTCCGCCTCGAGCTTCTTCACGAGCTCGTCCGCCTTCGCGCAGCGCTCCTCGCAGGTCCGCTCGGCCTCGGCCGCGCGGGCCTCTGCTGCCTTACAACGGGCCTCGGCCGCCTCCTCCGCCTGCGCCGGGGTTGTTGTTGGCTCTCCGTCGCACGCCATCGCCGCGCCCCCAGTGAAAAAAGACGCCGCCGCACGTACCGCCTTGAGGCGCTCGTGCGCGTCTCCAGTATCCGACGACGTGCGGAGCCGGTCGACCTCCCTCTTGAGCTCGTCTCTCTCCAGTTCCAGGGACTTCACGAGGGACGTCTGCACCGGCGATGCCGCCGTCGGTTTTGGTGAAGGCACGGCGAAGTCCTTCGAGTCGGCGACGGCCGCGAGCGCCCTATTTCGGGAGCGCGGCCGGTCGCCGTTGCTCGAACCGTTCTGCGACGGCGGCCTCTCATTATTCAATAAACCTTCGATCTTCGTCTCCGTTTGTTGGATCGTCGCGGAGACGTCCGAGTCGCTCGCGGAGACGGCCGCGGCGAGCTTGTTGCGCGCGCGCGACGGCGGCCTATCATCGTCGCCCGTGCGCGTCGGCTCCTTCTTGACCTCGCCCAGATGGTCTCCCGTCCTCTTCGGCTCCTTCTTGGCCATTGTAGGAGACGTCGCGCCGATCGGGGCCAGCTCGCTCTTCTTGTCGGTTCCTTTCAGCGCGCCGAGCGGGGCCTTCTCGAGGGCCTTCTTCCTCTTCGCCTTCTTGGGCTTCTTATCTAGTAATTTACGGACGTCGTCCTTCTCCTTCTGCTTCGCGGTAGACGAATTTTTGAGGTCGTTGGCCTTCTTCTTGCGTTGCTCCTGCGTGGGCAGTGCGAAGCGTCGACGTCCACCTCGACGCCATCGACGCGGCGCTTCTCTCCGTGTCTCTCTCCACGTCCTCACGCCATCGACGCGCAGCTTCTCTCGATGATGCGAAGGAGGACGCCGCGGCGGGACCTCGTAGAGCGTGCGATAGTACTCGTCGCAGGGGTGGTCCCAGGTAGATTCTCCAGAAGAAAAATTAAAGTAGTAGATCTCGTCCGTGTCCGTCGTCTTGCACGGTTTCCAATGTTCTGGTAGAGGCGCTTTCAGCCCTTCGCGCGCGATCCACTGCAAATCTTTGTCTTGCTGCAGGTCCATGCCGAGCCACTTCGCATATTCATCAATCTCGTCCTGGCTGGGCACGTAGTTCGGGTCGATCTCCTCCTCGAGGATGATCGAGTCGCCGGGCGGACTGGGGCCCGTGGGGGACGGGGAGACTTCCGGCATCGTTGCGCGCTGCTGCCCCGGCCGCGCGGCTGCTTTGGGTGCTGGGGCCCGCGCTGCTGCGCCGCTGCGCTGCTGGCGCGCGTCTTTGGGGGCCAAACGATGGCTTTTGGCAAAGGACAGTTTGGTGCAAATCGCACTAGCGGCGCGGCGGTTAAAACTCGAGTCGTGGGGTCGGGGGAACCCTGGGGATGCTTCTGGACGGATTGTTGCGACAAATCCTGCTTACATTTCGTGCGGGTTCCTAGTGGGCACCAGAGTTGCTTTTCAGCTCCAGCGGCCAATCCTGCCCTGTACGCCGTAATTATGGATCGAAGGCGGATATCCCTCGGGTTCTGGGCTTTGGCCACCGTTCTCAGCTTTGCACCCGGCGCGCGGCGCCCCGCGTCGCCTAGACGAAGAGTTAGCGCAGCCCTGCGCGTATCCACCGGCGACGCGGCCCCCGGCGGCTCGGACGCCATCTACGCCGGCCTCCGGGCCCGCTGCGAACAGCTCCAAGCCGCGGCGGCCCGGGAACTGACGGACCTCGCGGACCTGCGCCACGCGTGGGTCGTCCTTTTTAGGGGGGACGAGACGGGCGATGGGATCCACTCGCTGTCGAGCGAGGGCCGGGAAATAGTCTTAGCGTTTGAGGCCGGCGCGGAGGCGCAGCGCTTCGCCCTCGTCTTAAAGGCCCAGGGGTTCTACGAGCCGACGCCCCGCAAAATGGACGTCCGCGACCTCGAGGCTTTTTGTGCCTCTGATGAACGTATATCATTATTACGCGTGCCCGAGGGCACGGCGCTGGTGCCGCCGGAAGATAGGGTGGATGACGTCGAGTTTTCGCCTCGCGGCGCGCCGTCGGCCGAGTCGACAGAGGAGCTTGATGAAGCGTCGCGGTCCCTCGACGAGGCGCGCGCGCGCTTGGAATTGCTGTTCCAGTAGTCCTTTCCTAAGCTGAGTTTGTTGTAGTCACATGATCTTACGGGATGGCGGGCCGCAGCTCGAGGAAGCGGCCCAAACATTGGGCGGCGGCAACGGCATCATCGGGTGTCACTGCGGCCGCCTGCAAACATTGGCCGTAGATACTTGGCTCGTTGCTCGCCACGAAGACGGCCCCGTCGGCCCGGACGATGAGCGACGACGCCGCGCCGTCAAGCAAACCACCGGCGGCGACGTGCACGGCATTACCGACGTTGGGTACGAGACGCGCCCGCTGCCGCGCCTCTATATCGTCATCGGCACCATGACCGAGGGCCAAAAGGGCTGAGCGGTGAACGCCGCCCCACGTGTACACGCGGCCTTCGGCCGTGCGACAGATGGCGTGCGCGTGTCCGCAGGCCACGGAAACAACCTTCTCGTGGCGCCCTCCACGGCCCCAGAGCGCGTCGACCTCGTTTGACGAAAGATCGGACCGGTCAAAAATCTCGGCCGCCCACCGCGTGTCTTCGTCGCCGATGGGCACGCGCTGGAAGCGCTGCGCAACCGAAACAAAGAACGGCGGGCCGCCGAGGCCCATCGCGCCGGTGCGATTGGTACCGGCCGCGTGCACACCGCCGTCGGCGTCAACCGCAAGCGAGAAGGCGTTGCCGGCCGCGCAGTCGACGACGGTGACGCCGTCGAGCGAACAGGCCAATGGCACGAGCGGGTGGCTGCGTACTGGCATGGGCACAGCTCGCTTTTTTTGCCCGGGGTCGCCGAGCTGCCCAAATTTTCGGGCACCCCACGCATACAGGACTCCTCCGGCGACAGCGAGAGCGTGATTCACTCCCGCGGCGATGCACGTGACGCCGATGAGCTCCGCGCCGACGCCATCGCCGGGCTTCCAACGCCGCGCCGGGCCGTCCTCGAGGCCCACGCGACAGCGCTGCACGGAGGTTGTCCTTGCGGTGTAGTCGCCGGTCCCGAGCTGGCCGTGGTTGTTCGCCCCTAGACCGACAACCGCTCGGTCGTCGCCGACGATCCACAGCGAATAGTCGACCCCCGCCGCGCACCTCCACACGCGCGTCCTCAGCTCGGGAATCTGCCGCGGCGTCGAGCACGACCGAATGGGCGCTGGCGCGGTCCCAAGCTGGCCCTGCTCCCCGTTGCCGCAGCCGTATGCCACGCCGCCACCGATGACGAACACCGTAAAGTCCCTGCCGACTGACAGCTGCGCGACGCGCGGCGGCGTAGAGAATTCGCGGCCCCAGCGAACCGCCTCGACGTTGGAGGAATCGCCGACGCTCCAGACGCCGCGCTGGCCTTGGCCTCCGCGACCGCACGCAATCGCGCCGCGCGCGTCCGCCGCGACGACGTGGGCACCGCAGGCCGCGGCGACGCCCGCTATGTCTAAAAATGCCGCACTGTCGACAAGTGCGCCGCGGCACGGCGTCGTGCCGTCGTCAGCGTTCTTCGGCGCTTTGATACGCCGCGCCGCAGCGCGTGCAGCCCACGCGAGGCCGGTGCGACTCGTACGAAATACCCTGGCGAGACCGGTGCCATCGATTAGGTTGGTGTCCACCAGCAGGTCAAACACCAGCTGGTGCTGCAGGAGCATGTTTGAGCCGCACCGCTCGGACGAAGACTTCGCAGCGTCGCAGCGGTCAACCAGCGACCTCGTGCTCAACGGTAAGCGGCTGACAGGCTCCGCAAACCGGCGCCAGCGCAAAAAGTTAATGCGTCCCGCGGGCTAGGTGTAAGACACTAGCAGGCAAAACGACCCGTGCGCCCCGAAACGACACATAAAACGAATCACAAGTTACCGCCGCCGATTATGCAGCGGGTCCACGAGCCACGCCTCTCCACTAAGGGTCCCCGCGGCCAGGCAAAAGTCGACCGGCTCCTGAACGCCCGTGCAGCCGAAGCCCGCGCCGTGGGCCCAGTCATCTTTCGAATCCCCCATGAGCCAGGAGCAGTAGTCCGCCGCGTTGAAGGGCCCGTCCGTTGCCGAGCCAAATTCTGACAACCAATTGGCCTCCGCGAGCGCCGTGATCGACTCCAGTTGGTCTTTGCTACCCGTATCTACGTAATCTTTTGGTTTACTAAAGATCCAGGTCGCGTCGCAGTTGAAGAAGTAGAGTTTATTGGAGACAATGACCCAGGGCTGACCCATCGTCTTCTCTTCGTACGGATCTTTCTGCCCGACACAGATGGGCACGGACGAGTCGCCGGTCACGACCTTCGACGCGCCGTCGACGTAGGCCACCGACGCCGTGCAGTGGCCGCCCATGCGCGGGGCATAGCGCCAAGGATCGCTTACGAACAGGTCCCGGTTGTGACCGTTCCGGAACCAGAAGACGTACGTGCCGTAAGATGTGGAAAGAGAGGCGCTGTATTCGGAACTGCCGGGCACGCCACCCTGGCTCGGCCGGACCTCGCCCAGATGATACGCAACGACGTCGTACCCAAATACCACGGGGCAGCTCGCGGCGCCCGCCGTCGCCGTCAGCGCGACGGCGCGCGTCGGGAGTTTCGCGTTCCGGGCGCCGTTCACCGCAAAGAGCCCGAGAAGCGCTATGGCGCCCGCCGCGAGCTGCCGCCGCCGTCTCTTCGAGCTCAGGACCATCATGGTCGCCCGCGCGGCGTCGTCGGCGGCGACGCTGCCGTATATTGGTGCTGCTGCGGCCATGTTTGTTTTTGGCTGCCCTTTTGCCTAGCCAGGCGCGCGGTGGTCGTAGGGCCCGGCTCGGAGCTTCTTCTCTTCGGATGGTACACCGGGGCTGCCTCCGGGCGTCGCTCGGGCTGCCGTCCCTCTATGATTAGCGGATTTGGACCACAGCAGCAGGAGATCGAAACAGGAGTTGCACTTTTTAGGGGACGTGGCACTAGGATGGGGCGCATGTGGACGAGGGCGTCACGAGCAGGGTCAGCCCTTCGTCGGGCCGTGGCGACGGCGTCGTGTGGGTTGGGTGTCCTTGACTGGCGCGGACGCGCCGCCGCGGCCCGCGGACTGCGCTCCACACACCCCAGCACGCCGTCGAAGCGAACGATGTCGAAAAGCGAACGCCGCGAAAGAAGGATACTCCTATAGAACGTTACGCCGCACCTCTAGAGCAGCGACATCGACGTCATGCTCATCGACTGCACCTCGTCCGCGAAGAGGTCCTCCGTGATTTCCTCGATGATCGCGTCCATGGACAGCGTCTGGTTGACGACGGCAGTACAGATGATTTTCTGCACGCCAAACGCGACGTCGACCAATTTTAGGCCCTCCGACCACTTGAGCCCGTCCTTCACGACGGTCTTCTTGATCTTTGCATAGAGAGCTTTCAGGTCCTGGTCCGCCTCCCAGGGCTTGATCTCGAGGTTACACAACGACCGTTGGTTCGCCTCCTTCTTCGCGAGCTTGGCCATGGCCTTGGCCTTGGCCTCCTCGAGCTCCTTGGCGGCCTGGGCCTTCTCCTCCTCGGTCTGCTCCTCGTCGTCGCCCCAGAAGTCGTCGTCGTCCTCCTCCTCGGCGGCGGCCGCGGGCGCCGGTTTGGCGGGCGCGGCTTTTTTGGGCGCGGCGGCCTTCGCCGGCGCGGGCGTCGGTTTGGATCCGGCGCCGCCCGCCACCAACGCGAGGCACTTGCTGCCGCTCAGGGCCGCCGTGTGCACGTACCAGCGGTACGCGTGCGGGTGCGCTTTTTGGTCCGGCAGGCCGATCTTGCCAAACACTTCCACGTCCTTGGCGGAGAAGGCGTAGCCCTCGACGTAGGACCGCGTCTTCATGTAGTCATTTACTTCCGCTGCGGTGGAGAGACCCATGCTGCTGACTGTGACTAGCTTTGTGAGCTCGTCTTGTGCGGCTAGCGATGCAACGCCGTTGGCGCTGTGTTGCAAGCTGGTTTTGAATTTATAATGCAGCGCAGATGCACGTGTTGCCAGGCAACAATGGCGATGCGACGCGGCAAAAATAGATGCTTATCTCGCCAATGCTGGACGCTGGTCATCGAGTCGACGGCCTCGACGCCTCCTGCTCCGCCGAAGTCGTGACGAAGCCGTCCTTCCAAGACTCCTCTTCTCCTAAAAGGGATCCGGGCTAGCGGCCTAAGACACTAGGCATCCAAGCAAGCAAGCAGTGAGTGCCAGCGCGCGGCGTGTGGCGCATCCAAGGCGCTGTCACTCATTGATAAGATCAATACGAGCTGGTGCGATCCGAAAATCCAGCAGTTCAACGCCTATTGTCGCGCTTCGTATAGGTGCACTACCTGCCAGCAGAGCAGCACTCAGCAGCACTCAGCAAGGCAGCAGCAATGCGCGGGAGCCGCGGCGCCATCGCACGGCTCCTCGTCGCCATGACAATCACGCGCGCGCACCGCCTCGTCCGCCGCCGCACGGCGATCGCCGCGCTCGCACCCATACCAGCAAACGCGATGTGGCAGCTCTGGCTGCCGAGCGACATGGAGCGCTTCGTGGCCGAGGCCGACGCGAATGCTGACAGTGTCCTCGCGGCCATGGATAAATGCGCCGAGACGTCGTGGATGATGAACATGGGCAGCGCCAAAGGCGTTTTAATAGAAAAAGTTATACAGCAGAGAAGGCCCAAACGCCTGCTGGAGATCGGCACCTTCCTGGGCTACATGTCCATCCGCTTGGCAAGGAGCATGCCCGTCGACGCAATCCTGACGACGGTCGAAATTGATGAAGATAACTATGCGGCCTCGAGACGGATCCGGGCGAAAGCTCTGGGGAAGCGAGATGACAGTGTCGTGGCGCTCAAGGCGAACGCGAGCGAAGCTCTCAAATCGTTGAAGGGGCCCTTCGACTTCGTGCTCATGGACCACTGGAAGCCGGACTACGCGAGGGACCTCGAGGCGTTACGAAGAAAAGGTTTATTGGCAGATAAATGCATGGTCGTGGCGGACAACGTCTTGTTTCCGGGCGCGCCGGAGTTGCTGGATTATTTAAATGTACCCTACGTGCCGGCGACCGACGCGGTGAGCGGCCAAGCTTGTTTACAGGCTGCTGCGGATATTGACCAGAAGTTCCTGAAGCGCGCCGAGAACGACTTGAAGGCGATCCGGCGGCGGGGCGGCGACGATGTCGAGGCGGACCTCGCGGACGCGTCGGCGCGCCTCGAGGCGTATAAGCGGGCGGCGGCGAGCAGACCGGCGCGCGACGCGGTGTACTCCGGGAATGGCTTCGCCACGACGTTAGCAAGGACGCCCTTCGAATATAGACCGGACACGCCCGACGCGATGACGTTCTCGGAGTACTCTCGATAACTATTGTGTTGTAAACAAGTATCTTAACAAATCTAACGGTGCCCGCACCCAAACGCCACAGTCGGCGGGTCCCAGCCCAGGCCCGCCGCGAGGAACGCCAGGTTCTTGTAGTTCTGGCCCATATCACCCAAAGCTCCGTTGATGCCGCTAATCGACGACATGCGGACCTTGGCGTTGCCGCCGCTCGTCACGCCGACGGAGAACTTCAGCTGATCAACATACCCGCCGCTCGTGGCGTGAAACCCACTGGTCGTGTAGCGCCACGGCAACGCGGGAGAGAACTGGAACGGGTAGTCGCCCTGGTCGTCCTCGGAGACGTGTCCGACGGTGTCGCTCGCCGGGGCCTTGGCGTAGAGGCCGTCGCCGCCGCCGTTCTCGAGGTACGCGGCCAGGGCGTCGTAGGCGTCGTCGACGCCTCCATCGACGTGGACGTCCAAGACGCAGCACGCGTTTCCGCAGGACCCTTGGTCCCACTTGTCGCAGTCGACGGGCTGACTGCCCGCCTTCATGCCGCAGGTCGCGTCCCCGAGGGTCGGCTGATGCGTCGGCTGGCGCGACGGCGGCCTCGTATGCGTCGCGGCGAGGTACTCGGGCACGCGCGTCTGGCGCCGCAGCGAGCGTATCGAGACGGTGGCTGCGAGAGCGACGCAGCCCAGCGCGAGCACGAATGCGGCTGCGCGGCCGCCAGCGCCCCGCGGTCGCCGCTGTGGCCGGAAGGAGAACACTGGAGAGTCTGCTGAGTCTGCGTCGTCGATGGCACAGGCAGGGGAGGTCGTGAATTCCAGTTCAGGCATTGCTGTTGGCCTTCTTGTGTGAAGTAATGGCTGTATTTGGACGAATGGCAGCCAGAGAGCAGCTTGCTAGTGTCTTACCGACGCTAGGACAGCTGTGCGGATGCTTCTCCGCACCCCTCGCATCGCGCAGACGACAGCTCATTCGGGACGCGTCCGATTCAAAGCACAGCGTAGCACAGCGGAGGCGCAGCGCAGCAATATGATGGCAATTACGGCCGGCACGAGGACAGTGATGGACGGCCAGGGCGCGTGGGCGCTGCAGGCGGCTGCCCAGTGATCACGCAACCGGGGGGAATTCCAGCGGTGGCGCGCAGGACCTGCCGGAGACGAATTGGCACCATGAGGCTGCCCAAAGTCCTGCTGATGATGGCAGCCGCCCGGGCCCAGGAGCTCGAACAAATACGCCTCGAGTTCTTGGTAGATCATCTCCAGGAGACCATGGCCGACGCCTGGGACGTCACGGGCACGGTGGCCGAGCTCGTCGAGTCGGCCGTGCCGGACCACCAAGCTGATTTGGTAGGGGGCGCCGAAGCTTTACGCAAGGCCATCTTCGCGTCCCTGCGCATGTTGGCCGAAGAGGGCCGGGTCTACATGATGTACGCGGGCTTCGAGGCGGACGGGACCTTCTGCGGGTACTACGGCGAGGGACAGAGCTCGCGAGGCGACGACTACTACTACACGCTGCTGCGGGGCTGGGACTGCGCCTGGAACTACGTGGATTCGTGCGCGACGGACTGCGCCGGGGACTGCGTTGCAGACGTGACCGTGCCGTGTGTTGATGGCTACAAGGGCGCCAACCCCGATTGTAGGCGCTACTACGACGTGTCCAGCGACACGGGCGTACCTGATACTTGCGCCTCGGCCGTGAGCTGCACGACGTATTTTGATGATCACTACAACACGGCAGTCTACGACCCGCGCATGCGGCCCTGGTACACTAAGGTCAATGCCGCGACGCCGCGCGCCTGGTCGAGCGTCTACCCCTTCGCGAGCGAGGGCGTGCTGGGCATCACGGCGGCCTGGCGCTTCGCCAACAGCGGCGGCGGCGTCGTCGGGTTGGATCTGAAATTGGGCTCCATAAGACAGATCGTCGCCGACGCCTACGCCGCCGCCGACGGCTCATTCACGCCGGCCTACGTGACGACGGCCGATGGTTTATTAGTGGCCGCCTCGGATTCTAGTGTTGCGCTCGTGGATGGTGACGGAAATCCAGTAACCGCTACAAATTGCTCGTCGGCCGCGATCCGCGCCGGCGAGGCGTACCTGGCGACGTCAACCAGTTTCACGGGCCGGGCGGACGCGATCCTAGAAATAGAGGGCGTCCCGTACTGGCTCTTCCGCGGCGCCGTGGCCGACGCCTACGGCCTCGACTGGAGAGTCATCGCATTACATACAGCCGCGTGCCGCGCGGGCTACGGTTTGCGGGGCAGCGCCTGCGCGCCCTGCCCCAAGGGCGCGGCGTCGGCCGCTGGAAAACCGTATTGCGACGTCCGCGCGCACCACTACCGCTTCGTGGAGAACGCGGTTGAAGTGTATGCGTGCCCGGCGCACGACGACGCCTGCCGCGGCCAGCGCGGTGATCATGGAGCCGGCGACGCGTTGTGCGCGCGCCGGGCGACGGGCCCGCTCTGCATGAGATGTATGAGGGGGCACCACCGGGTCGTCACGCGGAACGGTAGAGCAAGATGTAAAAAATGTGGCGACTGGCGGTCCATCGCGGGCGTCTACGTTTATTTGGTTGTTTTTGTGGGCTTGGCGTTCATCTGGTTGGCGTGGGCGCGCAAGGCGTTAGCGCGCGAGGTGCGGACGCTCGCCGACCGCTTACGAGCTAGAAGCCGGCTCCAGGGCTTCGACCGCGCGCTGCCGACGCTCTGGATCGTGGCGCGCCAGGCCATCTACGCGATCACGGTCATGTCTCAAGTCAGGAGCATCGAGCGGTTGAGTCTGCCGCGGCCGTATAGTCATCTCATGGACGCGCTGACGGCGTTCGCGATCGATATTGATAAATACTTGGGGCCGTTGGCGTGCTTCGAACTTGGGTATTATCAACAATTGATATTTTGGACTCTGTTACCTCCCGTACTGTTGATGATAGCGGTGTCCCTGACGGTCGCGTCGGTCTCGATGCATCAATTACTCGCTAAACATCGCCTGACCTCAAAATTCAAGCGCCAGGACGAGTTCCGACGATCCTCAAGACCATCATTGCAGGAAGCTTCAAGAAGGGCCTGGGAGGCCGTGCGGACGCAGATTAATGCTGTGGTTGCCTTTAGAGCAAATACCCATTACAAACCACCTATACAAGAAGACAAGGTCGTGACGATGGCGGACGCGCTACGTAAAGTCGTCACGGGCTGGGTCATCCTGTGCATCTATCTCCACTCATTTATTTGTGGGGTCATTTATAAGGCGTTCGTCTGCGCAAGGCCTTTACAGAGTGAAAAGTTCTTGACGGGACGAGGTGAGAAAGCTTTTTTACGGGCGGACTACGGCTTGGTGTGCGGCACGCAAACACACAAAGCTTACGTATTGTACGCTACACTAATGTTAGTAGTGTACGCGACCTTCCCCGCTATATTAGCGTTACGACTTTATATCAACAGAAAAGACGGTAAACCGGACAAGTATCTAGGGTTCATGGTGTCCCACCTGCGGCCGGGCGCCTGGTGCCTCGAATGCGTCGCGATGTGGTATCGCATGGTGCTAAGTGGCGCCTTGTGGTTGTTTTTCCGGAGGGATGATGATGTGGTGCGCTTGGGGTTGTGTGTGGTCTTCGTCATCTTGTTCGTGGCCGCCATCAGTTTTTTGCGACCCTATGCCACGGAAGGTAAGAGGCAAGCGTGCACGATGATCCAGCACTCTCTCTTAATTTTCTTCTGTCTGGCTATTGCCGTCAAAGGTGAACTTTTCAGTCCGAAACGCTTCGCCTTGTTTGGCACTTTGGCGTTTGTCGCCACGATTGGACTGGCGTGTGGCGTGGCCTGGCATGTCTGGCGGGCCGACGTTCGAGCACTCGTGGATGGCCTGCACGCCCATAAGCTAGATAGACTGGCACTCAGAAGGTTGTATGAAGGGGCCGAGAAGGCGGTGATCGGTGAAGCGATCCTCGAAGCGGCGTTGGTACCGATCGAGGGCGGCGTCGAGGCTAGTGACGAGCGCTGGGAGTTTGTGGAGAGCGAGCTGTTCGGGTCGCATGGGGCGACGCGCGACGTGTTGCGGGACGTCTGGGACGACCCCGGTACCGAAGATCTGGAGCCCTGGCTTGGGGCCGTAAGAGCCCAGGCGTCGCGGAAGCTCTGGGCGGAGAATGATGACACGATGACCGTGGAGGCCTTTGCGAGTGACGTCGACGAGGCGGCGCCCTGGCTTCGAAATTGGCTGCGACCCTTTGTGGAGAGGGCCTACGCTTGCGTCGCTGAAGAGGGTCCCTTGAAATGTTGCGACGCGCTCTTGGCGTTCGACCTGGCGGTCATTCACGCGCTGGGCGGGGAGTGCACCGTCGACCAGGTGCGCAAGAAGCTCCACGGCCTGGCGCACCAAGCTACAGATAAAAAACACGCCTGGTCCTTCGCGCATGGTAAGGTGGCGCCGGCATCATCATTTTCTGATGCTTTAAGAAGGGCAAGTCGTACTATTTTACATCAGCACGACGACCCCTACGCCTTCGTCAAGCCCGAGCAGCCGCCGCTGTGCTCGCGATATACTGTTTTAGCTATCCGAGCCAAGGCCCTTGCGTTACAATCAGACGACGCGATGGCCCAGATAGCTAGAGTGGCTTTGGAGGACGACGCAGGTCTCAAATTGGTCGAACGGGGCTCTGTTGGTTTAGAGATGAGTGTCGAGCAGCCGTCGCTGACGGATGCACAACTGGCGGCCTACGTGCAGACGCTCGGCGGATCATCTTTAAGGGATCGAGTGGACGCGGACGCGCTGCCGGACATTTTGCACGATTTAGCTGGTTGTGCTCATACTTCTTTTCGTAATGCTCTAGAGGCCATCGTCAAGGCGTGCCCCGGCAGCTCTTTGCTAGGTGGATGCGCGTCGGATACCGCGGTCAAATCTGTCTCGAGGATGCGCGCCAAGGTCCACGAGTATCGAGCCGAGGAGGGGGCGACGTGGCCGGCCTGCGCGCGCGTCCAGGATCCGCTCCGCGCGACCATACTATGTGAAAGTAGTGCGGTCATGCTCGCGGCACTGGAGCAGGTCGAGGCAAGACCGTTCCGGCTGTTGCGGCTGAAGAACAACCTCGCGAGCGAGAAGAAGCCCTTCAACCTCCACGCGGTCCTCGAGTACACTACAAAAGCGGTCGGCGTGCCGTTGGTCGTCGAGGTCCAGTTGTTGTTTGACGACCTGCTCCCGCTCTTCGAGCACACGCACAACCTGTACTCCGTCTACCGGGCGCGGTCGTTCGCCGAAAGGCACACGTGATTGGGCCCCCAGGGCTCCCTGTGCTAAGTATCTTTGTGTGAATCTTTGAGAGATATCGAGATAAACCCGTTTTGTAGCTTTAGTTTTTAGGCGTTTTAGACGTTTTTTTGCATCCTGCGCGGCCGCATCCAGCGCATTCGCACATGCACTGCGCCTTTTAGCAGCTCTACTTGTCTATTAGCGTGTCTGCACCCACCCGTGCCCAGCCGCCTCGCGTAAAACAAGACCCAGCAGCCAAGCCAGTCCAGGCAGCAAAAGCAGCCAAGCCGCAAACCGATGGGCGCCGACCAGCCCCCAGCGCTCCTCGCCGAGCCGTCGGGCATAGTATTATGGCTCTGGTTCGAGGTCGCGGTCGGTCTGAGTGTTGTCGTCGTCGTCCTCTCGGCGCTCATTTTGGGGCTAGATGTGGACGGCGCGCCACCCATACCCGTCATCGTCGCGTTAATTTTGGGTGTGGGCTGCTTGACGCTGGCGCACCAGGCTAGAAGTTACAGACGAACAGCAGGCTGGGTCGATGTGGATGACGACGGCTGGGACGAGCTGCGGCGCGAGGCGCAGTCCGAGCGCGACCTGCGGGGCTGGGAGGAGCTCGCGCCGCCGCCGACGGCCGCCGACGTCGCGGCCGCGCGCCACGAGTCCTTCTCGGCGCACGCGTCGCGGCTCTGCGCCGTTGCCTTTGCGACGGTCATAGCGTGGGCGGGCCTCGTCGGTTGTCTGATAGCCGGCGCCGTCCTCGCTAAAGAGTGGAGCACGGAGTTTATATTGTGGTGCGCGTGCGTCGCATGTCTTTCGATCTCCGTTTCCACATTACCGCTGTTCGCGCGGGCGCACTCCTGCGCCGCGGCGAACGGCGAGTCGTCCGCATTACGATTCGCGCTCGCCTGTTCACAACCACCATGGCAATTGTGCGCGGGCGCGACGCGCGCGGCGCGCGGCACGGCCGCCTTCTTCCGGTCCGTCGACGCGCGACTGCCCTGCTGCCACCACGTGCGCAAGGCCCACAAGGCCGCGAGGGCGCCCAAGGGGCCGAAGGGTTCCGAGTCTCCTCGAAAGAAGAACGCGGAGGCGACGGCCGAGGAAACGGACGACCAATTCGCGGCCCCGGACGAGTTCCCCGAGGCATGATGTCCCCGCCATCGACCGCGCCTGCTCGTTGGCGTGGAGCCTGCAATTCATCGACGCGACGTTATTCCCGTGTAATATTATTCTGTGGTACTTATCACATATCCTCCGTCTCCTCCACGGCCCCGTCCCCGTCGGGCTCCTGCGCCGCGACGTCCTGTTCCGCGCACCACAGCGGGAAATCTAAAGATGTCCGCGTCGAGCGCGGGTCCGACAGCTGCGCTTTGCTGAGGTACTTCGGGATTAGGGAGAGCGGTTTGCCGCCACCCAACAACACCCCATTCCGTTTCAGCGCGACCCGCGCGATGACGTGGCGCAGGAGCCAGTCTAGCTTCGCGGCATGCACTTTTCGCAGCGCCGCGTCGGAGACCGGGACATCAACTTCCTCCGGTACATCAACGGAAGGAGCGTCCCGCAAAGCCGCGAGGTCCACCCCTAACGCCGTCTTGACGGACGAGCCCGCTTTCTTACCCTTCTTCTTCGGTTTCGCCGCCTCCTGCTCGGCGAGGATGGCCGCCCGCGCCTGCTCCGCCGCCTCGCGCCGCTTTTCCGCCCGCTGCGTTTCCAGCACGTCCTCAATTTTCAAAGGATCCGAGAAGTCGCACGCGCCCGGCAGCTCCGCACACGCAGCGGCCACGCGCGACAGCGCTTCGAGAAAGTCCACGAAGGCTAAGGCCTGCTCCGGTACCAAACTAAGGGGCCGCGCCCGGAAGAAGGCCAGGTGTAGCACCTGCGGCGTCAGTTCCATATACGTCGTCTGCAGGACGTCTCCGTCACTCATCAGGTCGAGCCACTTCTGGAGGGGCAGCCGCCCGTTCACGTGCGCTATGACGCGCGTCGCATCATCATCAGAGGCAGAGTACACCACAAAAAGTCGTTGGAGCTCCTTGACGTGCGCGCCAAAGGCCCGCTCCGTGTCCCTCGCATAAAACAACTTGGCCCTATGATCATCATCGGCCGCGGCCGGCGTTTTTGAGACGCGGCCCATCAGTTTGGAGATGGCCTGGTGGGGCCGCTTCTTGGACGCGCGCAACGCGAGTCTCACGAGCGCGTGCAGGAACGTCGCCCGCGTCAGCGTGGGACCCTCGGCGGCCCGCTCGAAGGTCTTGCGCGCCTTCCGCCCGGGCAGCTTCAGGCCGATCTCCCTGAGAAAGACGCGGAAGTGCGGCTCGTGGAGGCCGAACAAATTACTTGGGTCCACATAATTGGCCGACTCCGGCGCGCTGAAGAAACCTACAACTGATGCGGACGGCGAATTCAGGGGACTCATCACCGTCGACTCGAGGCTCGCCACCGTCGGCGAGTCGAGGCTCTGCAGCGAGCTGTCGAGGGTGTCCATGGCACTCGACTGGAGCGTGTCCATCGATCCTCTAGATGCCCGCTTGGATCGGATCTTGAGGAAGTTCTGGCACGCGCAGTAGTGGTCGAAGACCCTCGCAATAACACGGAAGTCCTTCTTTAATGAATCGTGGACGCTCTCGAGCACCACATCGAGGCCCGAGGGCGGCTTGGGCGTTTCCCCCACCTCGACCTCCTGCTGTAATTCGTCAGGCAGCTGTGTTTGAACGACACCCTCGACCTCGATGTCCTCCAGCCCAGATATGGCGACCTTCTGCTTCTCGAGCTCGAGCTTGTACTCCTCCACAGCCAAAGCCCGTTGCTTGGCCAGCTTCATCCGCGACTTGTGCTTCTTCTCGTCGTTTTTGGCACCATCCTTCTCGCATTTTTCTAGCAGCTCGACGAGAGCAGTGTTTGTTTTGATCGAATCCCAGTCGGCGGCCAGGACATTTCGTGATACTTCCTCAGAGTCGTCAAAGGTGTTAAAGTCGGTCTGGAACTGGCGCTGCGCGTAGAGCGACTGCTCGACGCGCCAGTCGTCTTCCTCGTCCTCCTCGCATGCGTCGCCGAGTTGTGACGTGACCAGCGTCAACGGTAGGACAGGTATCATGCTGTCCATCGGTGATGGTCTGGGTGCTTTTTTAGCGAGAATGACGGGAGGGAGGTTTATGGGAGGCGCCCTTGCGAGACGAGGTCCTTGCATGGCCACTTCCAGTAAAGGATGCGGGAGCTGGAGCAAGGCGTCAGGCGCGGAGGCCACGCAAGCGACCTGGGGCGCGTGGTAGAAGTAGCAGCCCTCTCCATTATCGTTGCCGACTGAGTCGAAGAGGCCCTCGGAGACGCGCGCGCCCGCGACTCGCTTCCACTTCACGAGCTTGGGCGGCGCCCTATCCAACGTCCGCCTCCTCCCATCGGACGCGAAGTGGAAGAATTCTTTTTCAGACGTGTCTGTCGATGCTAACACGACCCAGGACGCGTCTGGTGATGATGATGGCTCCGGTGGTGACGAGGGACCGGCCTCGACGGTCTGGTGGCCCCGCGCCAACTTCTCGCGCACCTCAGCGTCGTCCGGGCGCGTGAGCAACTTGGCCAATATACCAGCCTTTGACGGGCTCTTGCGGGCTTCGGGCGTGGCCTCCGGCTCCTCTTGCGGCGCGGGCGCGGGCGCCGGCGCTTCGACGGGCTCGGGTTCGGCTTCCGGCAGCGTCGTATCGACGCCGCAAAACCTAGACACGGGCGGTTTCCACCTAGAACCGTCCGCGCCGCCCAATAATAGTGTCGATTTATGAGTCGCGTTCAGCTTCTTCAGCTCAGTACCATCAGCTTGCCACAGGTTCAGGGCGCTGCCCCTCAACAAGGTATTGACGGCCGGCGGCACCAACGGCGGTGCCACCGGATACAGGTCCGCCCTAGACTTAATCTCCTTCGGCGGCCGCCTCCTTTTTATGGTCTTCCGCTGCTCTATCACACCTTTGGAGGCCTCGGCGAGCTGGTAGTGGTATAAAGCGGCTCGAGAAGCGCCGTCGCACATGAGGTTGGCCAAGACCGCGCGCGCGAAGTCGCCGAGTCCATCGACGTACGCCGCGGCCTTGAGCAGCAGCGGGACCGCCGCGTCGCAGAGGGCCGGCCTTGCACAGGGCTCCGCCGACAAATTGAGCAGCGCGCGGAAGGCGTCCGCGGTTATTGATCTGATCTTGGCCGATAATGAAGCGAGGGACGCGGACCGCGGCGTATTGACATCATCATCTTGATCCGCGCCGTCGCCGTGGCGCGCTACTGATGCGAGGGCTCTTACCAAGGAACGGTCCACGCCCAGGCGCTTCCTCGAAGCGGGCGCCGTCGTGAGTAAGACGACGGCCCTTACAGAAGCGGCGAGATTGCCAGAAGACCAGGCTTCATTGTCAGGCAGGAAGGACGCGCAGGCCACGACGAGGGCTCCTAATACGCTTTCGAGGAAGCCCGCTTCCGTACATCGCTGGAGCGCGGCTCTTTGCCTAAGTGATTGGTCGCACAGCGCGACGCCGAGCAAGACGGACCCCGCTCTCAGGGCGAGGCCCGGCCCCGCTTCACTAAGAGACGCCGCGTCCTTCGCTAGTAACGCGGCGACGGGCATCGGGCGCTCATCCAAAGAATCGAGTCTTGACTCGTCGACCTCGCGGCCGCGGACGAGCGCATATAAAGCGGCGACGGCCAGCGACCGTATGTGGACGAATCGGGCCATGTCTCCGGCGTCTGCCGTGCGCTCGCGCGCGAAGGCCCTCCCTGCTTCATCCGCGAGGCGCTCCAGGCCGCCCGCTTCAAGTAGAGCTCGGCCCTCGGTCCGCGCGAGCAAAGCTAGTGCGGCCAACGCGACGGCGTCGTCAACGTCCGGGCAGCGAATACAATCGAGCAACAGGTGCGCCGCGCCCGCCCTCGCGGCGGCGCGTCGATGTTCTTTCCGCCGCAGCAGCGCCCAGAGGGCGCGGCAGCCATGGCCGCGCACCTTGCCGCTCCGCTCCGACGTGCACAATGCGACCGCGGCCTCGACGTCGCACTTGCGCCACCCTTCAGTGTGTAGTATGTTGTTGTCGTGTGGGTCCGGACTGTTGGCTCTCCCGTCGTAGTTGTCCCGCGCTGCGCATCGAGCCACGAAGGACGCGAGGTGCTGTGCCGTGCGCCGCAACGCGGCCTCCGCCTCCGCGTCGTCCCCGGCGTACCGGATGCGGTCCTCCGCCGTTCTTATGGATGCTAAGGCCCTTATGCAAGTATTGTGTTCCTCGCGCGCCCAATTTAGTTCTGCGGAAGGCGCGGAACATCCAAACTCGCTCGCTTCGGACCGTCCAAATTCGCTCAAACATGCCGCAGCCGTCTCCATGACGTGCCACGCCGGCCCTCCGACCAAACTGGTCCGCTCTTCGTCGTCGATCGGGCGCGTGACCACGCACGCCGCCGACCCGCGGGGCCGCGCTGCCTCAACGAGCGCCAGGCACAGCGCCGGCACTTCATGCTCGAAGACTTTGCATTTGCATTTGAAACACCAGGGCCCCAGCACGGCGAGCGTGCCAAGAGCGGCACCGGCGGCAGACACGCCGGCGGCCGCCTCCCCTGGAGGGATGGCCTCGACGGGCGCCGGTGCCGGCGCCGGTGCGCAAGCGCAGTCCTCAAAGGCCGGCGCCGGCGCCCAGGCGTCCGGTTCCGCTTCATCGTCCACGAGGTGCGCCTTGGCCCGTGCCGCGACGGCGAGGCACACGTGCAACACCTTGTCGGCGTTTCCACTGTGCAGAACCGGGCCCCACTCGGTCGGATCTCCGTCGACCGCCGCGCGGGCCGCGCTCCAGAGGGCGACGGTCGCGTGCGCCAGGAGCCGCGGCGAATCACTAAGTCCTTGGGACCGCTGCGCCAGCGCCAGCCGCGCGCGTGTCGACGCGACCGCCGCTTCGTCATCCAGGAGCCGCACAGCGTCGGACCGCGTCGCCACCGCCTTGAGTAGTTGGTCGCACAGGTCGGCGAGCGGGCGTATCAAGGACGCGGCATCCGCGGGCAGGATCGACGCCTGCTCGTCCCGCAAGACACAACTCGCGGCCTGGCAGATCGCGGCCGCCAGCTCCGTCGAAGGTGATTTGAGGAAGGGCCCCAGACTTTGCAAACGATGTTGGTCCGCGAACGCCGCGCGCGCGGCCGGCACATTTGATAGCCACCCGCAGAGGGCGTTCGCCGCTATTTTGGAAGTGGCTTCCTTCGCTATTAATTGAAGGAGGCAGGGCACTGGATCAAAATCTCGCGGCGCGTTTCCGGGCGATTCGAGGCAGCACGCGAGCGCAGAAGCATGTTCAACACCCTTGTCGCGGCAGACCGCGTCCACCAAACGCTGGCCCCAGAGCAAGGACGCCATGCGCCTATCTAAATGCGCCGCGAGGCGCCAGACGACCCTCGCCGAGGCCTCGTCCAAAGGCACAGACTGTAAACACTCACTTAGAGCTCGACAAGCGTTCTCGTCAAAACCCCGCAAATTTGCAGAAGTCGACGCCAACATTTCAAGATCTTCCAAAGCCGTGCGGCGGCCGTCTTCCCCGTATTTTTCTGATCTAGCAGTAGAAGCCGCTTTCAGCACCCGAAAGTCGACCTCCTCGTCGCGCCTAGCACCACAGCCGTCGACCCACTCCCTCCAGCAGTCCTCCCACTCAACTAACCTTTTCATGCGCACCCGCTCGGTGGGGTGGCCCAGATGGCGTTTTTTCTTACCAGCAGGTGGCTTCGGACAAACGTCCACCACAACTTGTTTCGTGTACCCAAACTGCGCCGCCGCCGTCCTTCTCACGAGGTTGAGCGACCCCGTGAGTGGGAGGAGCTCATTTAGTTCCTCGCCCGTCTTTTGATCGACGATTTTTATCGGTAGGCCCTTGCCGTCGAGCACTTCAAAACCGGTCGTCGCGACGTCGCGCGTGGCCGTGACGTTTCGCACCAGAAAGCCGGCCTTCCTCCACTTCGACTGCTTGGCTGCTCCCCTCATGGTCTCCCTGTAGCTTACGGTCCTGGTTCTGCGACGCCCGGCGGTGGGCGGAGGTGTAGTTTCCACTTTCCACGAGTGGGGTTGTGGCCTCCGGGCAGCCCGGCGGCCGCTCCTCGCGGTGCCGCTCGGCCGGCGCTGCCAAGCTCTCTGAGCAGCAAAGGCTAGTGCCTCTGCTAGGCGAGTGTGACGCGAGGCCCCGCGAGGGCGTCGCGCGCGAGGCGTGCCTGGGGCCACACGCCTGGAGCGGTCCTCCGCCCCGCCTGTCTTCAAATGGTCTTGTGTGAAACCCCCAAGCTCTCCCAGCGCTCGGTGTTTGCGCGCCGCGCCCACGCCCCAGCGGTGGTGACGGGCGCTTCCGGCGAGGCAGCAGCACGCCGTGACACCGCAGCAAGCGCACCACCGCAGAGAGACAAGGGCAGCACGCCGTAAGAGGCAGCCCCCTCTACAGACAGCAAGCGCCCGGCCGCCGCCGCAGCGTAAGGATGCCCTCCATCCAGGCCGTACTAAAACGTAGAGACACGATCCAGCCGCCGCCCTTCCTTAAGAGCAAGCTAAAGAAGCTCGGCCCGCGCGCAACCACCATCGCTTTACAACCCCTCGATCTGGTCAAGAGGCGAGCCTTGGACGAGGATGAAGGGACACGAGCGTTCAGCAAGAAGCCAGTACCTCCCACGAGCCAGTTCGCACCGTTACAACGAAGACATTCCTTCCACACTTTGACAGACGAAGAACCGACGCTCCTCCACGACCTAAGGTCATATTTTGACCCCCAGTATCGACTGTACTTGGTGAAGAAACAACTGCTGAGCTTAGTACGCGACGACGACGTCAGTGTCGAGGAGATGTTCGACCTCGTGGATGAAGATTTTTCCGGTGTTTTAGAACGAGATGAGTTGTGTAAAATGATACACATGTTACAAATTAAGGTGAAGGAGGTCGAGATTGATACATTAATGGACATCCTGGATGAAGACGGCTCTGGAGGAGTGGACATCGACGAGTTCCAGGATTGGTTGTTCGCGACCGAAGATCAGTGGCTCGAAAGAAGACGTACTAGGGACGACGATGAATTTAATGATCAAAGGTTATTACAGCGGGATATTTTGAGGTTCGATGCGGACATACGAGGCATGCTCGGCGCCCTGTGGGACCTGGTCGATGCCGATGACTCGGGACAGGTCGACGTCGACGAATACGTGACGCTGTCTGTGAATTTACAACGGGCGGTCACGGACGACTTTGATTTAGATGAGGCAAAAAAGATAGCTAAAAGAGAATTCGAGTTCGACGCCCAAGGCCACGAGACGATGGACAGGACGCTGTTCTTTTGGTCGTTCTTTCAACTAGCGGACGCCTGGCGCGACGGGCCCGCCATCAACTCTGGGTCGTACTGTTATTTTATGGACTTTCTCTCGGATCGATGCACGTCCATCGAAGTTGTTGAGGGTAAGCCTACGTTAGTGTGGAAGTGGAGCAGCGACCCGGAGTGGTACAGTAAGATCGAGCCGATGCGGCTCGTGGAGAAGAGGCGTAATGCAAGGCGCAAGAAGGGCCTGCCGCCGGAACCGATACCTTCTTCTCCTCTCAGGGAGATGGCCCTGTACAATCGCCAGCAACAATATCCTGACGCGGTCGAGGCCTGTGTGGAAATCAAACTTCAGACGCCCCACGCCATCGACGCGACGTTGTCCCCGTAACTGCGTCTGCTCGATGGCGTGGAGGTTCACGAAGGTCTCTTGCAATCCTCAGGGTAACCTAGCTCACTGGTTGATTTCCACACAGGTCGAGGCCCCGGCGCCCAGCAAGAAACTGACCCTGAAGGAGGCCGCCAAGGCCGCTAAAAATGCAGTGAAAGCTCGAAAGAACCAGCAACGGCGCAAGGCGAGACGGTCCTGGGACCTCGAGCAGGAGGAAAAAGCACGACTGCAAGCTAGAAACGACGCCGACGCGAGTTATCTGGAGGCCGAGCGGCTGCGGCTCGAGATGGAGGCGGCTCGTTCCGAAGCTTTACGGGCCAAACAAGAGAAGCAGCGCGAGGCCCTTCGATCGAAAGCCGAGGCCAAAGCCCTTAGAGAGCTCGAGAAACGGGAAGCGGCGGCGAAGCGCGAAGCTGCGCGCCTGGAGAAGCTCGGCGAGAAGCAGAAGGCCGCTGACTTGAGGGAACAAGCTCGGAGAGAGGCGCAGCAGGAGCAGGCCCGTCTTAAAAGAGAGGCCGCGGCGGCGCGCGAATTCTCCCTGAAAAAGAAACTGGAGGACAAACTACGAGCGAAGGCCGCGTCCGCGGACCGGAAACGAAGACTCATGGAGGGCAAGGTCGAGGAGGCCGAACGTAGAAGATTGATGGACATCGAGCAAAAAGCGGCAGCTGCTAAAGCTCGCCGCCGTTCTTGTATAGGTGCGCCGGCGCCCGCTCCCTTTGTGGAGGACGATGAGTATGACTACCGGAAGATGCTCGGTTCTATTGCTAGAGAGTCGTACGACGACTTCAGCTACGCGTCGACGCAGCCGTCACCACCTGTGTGGAAATCAACCAGTGCGTCGGGCGCACCCGACAATTCTTCACTAAGTCATTTCTCGGTGATGGGGCGGCCGTGCTGGCTCGGTCGAGCGGTGGGGGGCTGGCATCGCCACGCCGTCGAGCAGGCGTCGCGCCGATGGCGTGGAGGACGATGCGACGATTCAGCGCGAACGCGCCGTAAATTTTGATTTTCACACAGGTCACCACCCAAAGATCGTAAGAAGAAGAGCTTCGCGTCGCCCCCGAAGGATGCGACGGAGTCCGAGGCCCCGCTGCCCGACTGGGACGCGGCGTCCTACGCCGCAAGCCATAGGAGCGACGGGCCGCCGTCGGCGCGAAGCTTCGCGCGGTCGTTTCGCAGCGACGGCTCCGAAGTTAAGCAGCAGGATCCCGATTTTGATGAGAGGAGCGTCTCAAAATCGTATCGGTCGGACGGCACGGAGATTAAGGAGGGAGATGAAGACTACGACGACCCGAGTGCGGTGGCATCGGTAAGATCTTACAGGGCGGACGGCACCGAACTCCGACCGGGCGACGCGGACTGGGACGACCTCTCGCACGTTTCTTTTGCTCGCTCCGTCACTTCTGTGGATGAGCTCTCGGTGCAGTCGTACCGGTCGGACGGCTCGCCGCTCAAGGTGCCGAGCCCCGGCAAATCCGATGCGCTCATCAAGGACTTCTTGTCGAGCCCCAGCAAATCCGACATCTCGTCTCATAAAGCGCAGTACCAGGAGGCGGCGAGCCCCGTCCAGTCCGACCTGTCCTCACCAGCAAAAGATGATCTCAGCTATAGATCGGACGGCTCGCTCATCAAGCCTACGGACCCCGACTCCGCGACGGACGGGCTCCGGTACCGCGAGGACGGTTCTCAGAAACTTCCTGAGGATGACGATTATAACATTCCACCATCGTATCGAAGCGACCGCACTCTCATAAAAAGAGGTGATCCCGACTATATCGCTGGTACCTTCGACCGACGTAAGAGATTGGCGGAGCAGGCGGCCGAAGAGCTGAGGATCAAAGAACAAGAGGCTCTACAGAGGAGGGAGGAGCGGGAACAGGCGGCCGCGGCCCGTAGATTGGCAAGAGCCGCCGAGGCGGACCAACGTAGGATACAGAGAGAGGCCGCAGCTTTAGCTAGAAAGCAGCAGCGCGAGGCCGAGGCCGCGAAGAAGATCGAAGCAGCTAGACTGAAGGGCGACCTCAAGGCCATCGACCGCATCTCCGAAGCGTTATCACTTAAAAACCGCAGGGAGGCCGAGGAGCTCGCTCGCGTCAATAAGAGCGAATTGGCGGCGCTCGAACGGGCGAATCAAGTATCGAGGCAGAAGCTCCGGGCTCAGCAGCTCGAGGACGAGCAAAAGTTGAGAGCAGAAGCGGCGGAGCTGCGGCGGCAGTTGCGGGAGGCCGCGGCGATCGAGGAGATCCATGAAAGTTGGGTTGTGGGTGACGAGATGAGAGCGGAGTCCATCGCCGAGGGTCTCGTGAAGGCTAATAGAGCTTCACTGATGGGGTTAGAAAGAGCTGAAGCGGACGCGGCCGCGGATCTGGCGAGGAGAGATAGAGCGTCGCTCGAGGCGTTTTCCGAGGCGTCCGGGCGAACCTATAGGACTGATGGGTCTTTAATACGAGAGACGGACCCCGACTTTCTGACGGACGGCAAGGCCTACCGCGCCGATGGCACCGTAAAACATCCTGGAGATGCGGACTACGTCACGCTCCCGAACTTTAGGAGTGACGGTACGGAAGTGAGGCGGGGCGACCCGGACTACTACTCTGGCGGGCGGCGGGCGGGCCCTCTGTCGCCGGTAAGTTACGACAGTATGTCGTCGCCCGCCAAGTCCCCGCAGCGAAGTGACGGCTCGTACGTCAAGCCCGGTGATAGTGACTACGACGAGTGGTCCTTCGTCTCGAAACTCACGAACCCCGAGGAGGCCTCGTTCACGACTGCTTCTTGCGTCGGGGGCGGGCCCGTCGGCGCGGAAGACATGGTCTCGTATCGTTCTGGAGACACGAAGACTCTAGAGTATGTGCCGTCGTCGCCTGGTGACCATTCGTCTGTCACGCCGTTTCCACGTGAAAAGACGCCGCAGGACCTCGCAAATGAAGCCCACGACGGCGACTTCGACCATTTGACCCATGAGTCGAGCCTCTCGCCCCTCGATAGACAAGGACCGAGGGACGCCGGCTGGTTCCCGCCCGGGGGCCACGGCTCGTACATCGCGCGCGGCCTCGTGCTGAACCACTCCCCCCAATACTTCAAGGAGAAGATGGCACAGAGGAAGCCGCCGACGCCGCCCGAGAAGCACACGGACTTTGGTTTAAGGTATTGCTACCCTCCCAGTAACAGTGTGGAAGTTTCGGACGGGGTCTGTTGTTCTCCTAGAAAACCTTCGGAGGACTACTTCGTGCTGGATCCCGGTAAACAGTCTACTTTCGAGCTCCCGGCGCCGCCGGTGACCAAGGAACAACCGCGGTGTCCGATCTGGAGCTTTGGAGATACGCCTTGGTTCTCGAAAGTTTTAGATGAACAGACCATGGCCCTCACGGACGGTGCGCTAGATGTGGGTGGTGCCCGAGCCATGCGTTTGATCTCGAAGCAGCGCCTGGCGCGCAAATTAGGGGCGCCGCAAAGAAGGCGGAACAAAAGACGTCATTTCGGCATCAAGCCGCCGCGGTGGGGTCCCGGCGACGACGAGCCCTTCGTGCCCGGCGGCGTGGCTATCAGGGACAAGCGGGACGCGCGCTATACTCGCTTGTTCTCGGGCGAGCCGCCGCCGCTCGAGGAGCCGTCGCCGCGCGAGTCGCTCGAGCGTCTTTCTTCCTTCATCGAGACATTCCGCCGTGAAGACGAGCCGAACGACGTCTGGGCCAAAATTAGCAAGGGCGGCGTCAAGCCCATGACTATTAGTCGGAGACGGTCCCTCGACTCCATCGGCGTCGGGCGGACGGTGCCGCGGGGCCAGGAACCGGACGAGCCGCGGCTCATTATGCGAGGAATGCGGTGAATAATTACTGTTTTAGAACCTATCCACCACCATCGAGCGCTCAGCGCTATGAGTGGCCCGAATGTACTAGTACTAGAAGTGTTACCTCCGAGTCACAAGTGGAAGACGAGCGGCCCGTGCCCATGGATCTCGCGCGCCCGACCTTTCCCCACCTTCCGGGCGATCATTTCTGCGAGCGCGCCATCTGCCGCCATCATGGAGCCGGCCCCCTGTGGTCGATTACCTGGACGTCGCCGCCCCGCGGCCAGCCGTTTCCCCCGTTCGTAGCGTCGAACAATAAAGGTCAGGTTCTTCCGGTCGAGGTACTGTGCCCTGAAAAGCATGGCTGCGAGATCGATGCTCTTGACCCGTAAGTGACCGGGCGACGACTCGTAGGGCTGATGGATCGACGATCATAGCTGCCAACAACTACGCGAATACCCTGATCCATCTAGAGCGCATCGAAGAATCCAAGGCACTGCTGCGCAGAACGGTGCCCGTGGCGCGACGTGTTCTCGGAGAGGATGATAGAATCACGCTCACGATGAGCTGGATTTACGGAGAGGCGCTCTACGAGGACTCCGCCGCCACGCTCGACGATCTCCGCGAGGCCGTGACGACGTTCGAGGACTTGGAACGGATTGCGCGGCGCGTGCTCGGTGGCGCGCACCCGACCACGTTGGGGATTGAACATAACCTACGAAAGTCGCGAGCCGCGCTCGCCGCCCGCAAGACGCCGTCGCCGCCTCCGGCGAGGAGCGTGTAATGGTAGCAATATAGCGACTAAACCACAACACCAGAAGTTACTCGTCCTCCCCCTCGGGAAACGCGAGCTCGACGCCGACGATCGGGTAGCGCGCCGCCGAGCAGTTCAGCGTGACGCGCGCGATCGCCGCATTCTTCAATTTCTTCTTTGAGAGGTGCGCCAGCGTCTCGTCCCTCGCCTTCGCCTCGGAAGACGCGAAGTTGTCAAAAACGGTCCTGAAGAATAAGGAATGGCCGACGACAATAATGTCGTCATCCTCCGACGTCCGCAAGCGGTCCACAAAAGCCTGCATGCGGTCCGTCACCGCTCTAGGCCCCTCGGGGCCCCACCAGTCCGCCTCGGCCTCGGTCACGTCGACTTTTACTGTTCCTCTGCTGATGGACTTGAGTTGCGTTTTTGGAGCGACCTTCTTCGCGCGGCGCACGGCCCGCCTCAAAATCTCCGATCCTGTTGTTCCTCTTATAGAGTCAAAACCGCCAACAGGATAGCAGAGTTCTCGACAAGCCGGCACGAGCGTCACTCCTTTCCCTGACGCCCTCAAACAAGGATGATCTCGCAGCGCCACGAGGCACGTCTGCAGCGCCCTCGTCAAGGGTGAACAGTAGATCATGGTGCAGCGCTCGAACGCGCGCCGCTCGTCCTTCCACTGCGGTGTCTTCGCGATGCGCCTCGCGAGCCGGTCGGCCTGCTCCAGGCCTTCGGCCGTGAGGGCGTGGTCGAACTTGCCGAACATTTTCACGGGATTGCGATTCGCCTGCGCCTCGTTCCACTGGCTCTCGCCGTGCCGCAGGAAGTACACCGTCTTCAGCTCTTCTCGGGCCCTTGTCGCGACGAAGGTCCTATCGGGAAGAAGCTTGAGGGGCGCGTTCTTCTTCCGTTTGGCTTCGTTGATCAAGGTCGCGGCCGCCAAGAGGAGGGTGAGTTTTTTCAGCGCGGCGTTGAGGAGGTGCTGCGGCACGCGCGGCACCATGGTGATCAATGCCGTGCGGTGCTTGCTCTGTTGAATGGGTGCCGTGCAGCTTTGCTGTTGAATGGGTGCAGTGCGGCTTGTAGACTGCAGCTGCTGCAGGTTGCAGCCGAGTGCAGCTTGCTGTAAGGTGCAGCTTTGCTGTGAGGTGCTACCCGAGTGTAGTCGATGCAAACGCGTTATACGTGCACGACGATAGGTGCTTGGGACAAATGGCGTGCCTTGTCGGCGACAGCGCCAAAAGAGCGCGGTTTTACGCGAGTGCCAAAGCGCTTGCTAGCGGCAGTAAGACACTAGCAAAAAATAGCCAGTGGCCAGTTCCACATCCTGACGGGGGTCGTCCCAAAAGAAGGGGGGGCGTGCGAGTCCCTGTGACTCAGCCCTTGCGTCCTAGTCCAGCCGGACGGGTGGGCCCGGGGGGAGCGGGAGGGGTACGGGGAACCCTGCGACGTAACTAGCCTCAGCCTCAGCCTCAAAAATACGCGTCGACGCCATCGAGATGCGGAAGATCTACGTGCAACAAGATTAGGCGTGTGTCATCGTCGCCCGAAGTCCGCCGCGAGCAGCTCGCGCGTGGACCTCTCCTCCGACGGCGGCGGCGGCGGCGCGCCGGCGGCGGCGCAGAGGTCGTCGAGCGCGGCCGCCCGCGCCGCGCGCGCGCCGTCGACGGCCACCTTCGCGGCCGGCAGCAGGTCCCGCAGGCGCGCGGCCGCCGCCGCCGCCGCGTCGCCGCGCGCCGCGTCGGCCGGCCCGGCCTCGTCAGCCTCAAACCCCCCCGCGGCGGCCAGCGCGAGGCGCAGCCGCTTCTCCCGTTCAATGGAAGCCTCCAGCTTGCTCTCCAGCGTCTCTTTGACCGCCGCCGCGGCGTCGAGCGCGGCGACCTTAAGGAGGTCGTGCAGGTGCGCGAACGCCGCGGCCGCGCGCAGCTCCTCCTCGACGGCCTCGCGACACTTCACGGCCGCGGCGCCGACGGCGGCATTTACAACAGGTTCACCGACGACCTCCTCATCCACTTGACAACCGCGGCTCACGCCCGGCCGCCGCAGCTCCGCGAGCTGCGCTCTCAACTCAGCCACGGCGCCCCGCTCGCGTCTTACCGCATCCTCGGCGGCGTCCCGCTCCGATTCGATCGACGCGAGCCGCGCGTTCGCCAGCTTCAGCGCATCCCTTTCATTCGCCGCGGCCTGGTGGAGCCGCGCCTGGCGCAGCGCGTCGTCGGCGGCGGCGCAAAAGGCCGCGCTCGCGGCGTCGTCTCTCATATCTTCCAGGGCGTTCTCGTAGGCGAAGCGCTCTTTCTGCGCTTGCCGGTAGGCGGCCAGCTCGCGCTCGAGCTCATCAATGCGCTGCGCGTCGCCGCGCGCCGCCAGCTCCCGCGCGAGGTCGGCGGCGCGACGACGCGCCGCCGCGACGTGCTCGTTTGTGTCCCGAACGCGGGCGGCGGCGGCGCCGACGCGGCCGTCGAGCGCACCGAGGCGCTCTAGTTGCATCCGCTGCAGCTTCTCGTGGTTCTTCGTGAGTTCAGACGCGACCTTTGACGCGTATTCGCGCGCGCTCCGCTCATCCAGAGAGCGCGCCGCGTCGTATAAAGCGCGTTGAGCCGCGAGCGCCGCGCAGCGCGCCTCCCAGCGTTGCGCTTCGTTATCATTCGACTTCACGACGCGTTCCGGCGACGCCGCTTTGACGGCCACGTCGTCCTTCTTCCCACCGCGTTCCGGCGACGCGGCGCCCCGCTTCATGCGCAGCTGGCGCTGGAGATCCTCGCGTTCGCGCGCGAAGTCTCGAGCCTGGTCGTCGAGGCGCTGGCGTGTTTGTGCGAGCTCGCTCTTCAACACGTCGATTTCCTTGCGGTAGCCGTCGACGCTCGAGTAGGAGCGCGTGGCCACAGCAAGCTGGAAGACGTCCGGCCGCTTGGTGCGCGGCATGGCTGCCCCTGTGCCGGTGTCTACGCTAGGCGAGGCAGCCCATGCGTGGTCACGGGGCTTGGTTTGTCGCCGAATCAATGCCGAGGAATGCGTGGCGGGCTCCCAGCTCCCTCGCGCGGTCGGATGCCAGCGGCCGGGCAGGCTTCGCACTGTCCGTCTAGTGGGTTTCCGTGGAACCGTTCGGCCCGCGGCTGCGACGCCGGCAGCGCATCCGAGGCGTCGGAGGGCTGCAACTACGCCGTGCGGGCAAGAAAAGCTACTAGCTCCTCGTCTTGCTCGGCTTAGCGCTCCTCACAAAACACACGGCAAGGGCTGCCCATCGACGCCCGCCGACAGCCGCCGAGACGCACCGGTCCACGCCCGTAGCCCCATAGCTGCGGCAAAAGCAAGCCGCGCCCGCCCGACGCGCCAGTGGCACACTCACATACACCAGAGACACCAGAGACAACACCAGCAACACCGCGAAGATGGCCTTCATCCAGCAGAAGGCCTCGACCAGCCGGGTCAACCCGACGCAGGACGACGAGCAGGTCCTGGAGGCCTTAGTAGGTTTCGACACCGTCTCGCAATCAACATTACTCTTAAAGAAGAAGAAGGAGATGCACCAGGTCGACGACCGGTTAGATGACGCCAAAGATGACTACCGACGAAGGGGCGACGCCTGTGAATTGCGGCGGAAAGAGTTCGAAAAAAGACAAGAGGAGATGCGGTCGCAAGTTTCCAGATTTGAGAAGTTCGTCCAAGAAAACGACGCTAAGAGAAGTAGAGCGGAGGCCAAGGCCAAGGGCGAGAAGCGCATGTTCCTCCAGAAAGTTCAGGAGCAGAAGAGGGGCGAAGAGGAGTTATCGAGGTTGAAGGTCGAGAAGGACAAGCAGGCCTTGAGACTAAAGAAGCTGTCGTCGTATCGCGAGTTTTTGGAGCGGACGGTCGACGCCGCGGGCGAGGACACGGAGGAGGTCTGGGATCTGCTGAATAGACATGATACGTTGCGGAGCGCGAATACGGATCTCCAAGGGCAAGTGCAGGAGGGCGAGAAGGCCGTCGACGGCATGCGGAGCGATCTGGATGCCTTGACCTTGAGTGCGGAGAGCGCTGGGTTGAGTCGTAATAGGGCAGTGACGGGCAAACGAGGAGCCCTGGAAGGCTTCCGGACGTCAAGGAAAGCGCGCGAGGAGGGCAAGGAGGCCGCCGAGGACAAGGCCAAGGATTCGATGAGGGAGGAGGCGCAGGTGGTCATGGCCGCGCGGAACTTGTACCAGCGGTGCGTGTCGACGCAACGGGGCATGAAGGTCGAAGGCGTCCGCTTCGACGAATGGGAGAGTCTGGACCAGAAGACGCGTCTGAAAAGGTTGACCGACGCCTTGGAGTTGATCGGGGACCGCATCTCCGATCTGACGGCGATCCAACGGGAGCACACGGAGGAGGAGCGGGAGAAGGCTCGGCTCGCCGAGACGGGGCCGCGGCAGCTCTACTACTAATATTTGGGTCTCCTAGTCTTGTGCGAGCGCGCGGCCAGGCAATGTTTTTTTTTTTTTTTTACGTGGGGGCCCCGACCATGCACGCGTTACGGTGACGTCCGTGGGCGTTTGTGAATACGAAAAGCCAGCCTTGCCACCGATGGTGAAGACATTCTTTTCGACTAATCCCCCAAAACACGCACCTCCCCTCACATCTAATGCGCCGCCGACCGAAGCGCCGAAATTCCACGAATCCTCCAGCTCGGCAGCGTGCGAGCCGTCGATGGCCAACGAGTAGTAGCTCTTCACCTTGTAGCTCTCCAGGAGCTGGAAGTCGTACGAGCACTGAGACGAGTCGTCATTGCAGCCGCCGCCGCTCGAGACGTCTTTGTCAAGGCCATTGGTGCCGGTAAGGGACTCGCCGTTGTAATTAATTTTTTTTTGTTTTTTTGGGAGGGCGCTCGTGTACCACGTTTACCTGCGAGCGGACGCAGTCGTGGACGTCCTCCCGTGCTGGCGCGTGGGCGCGCGCGCGGCGAAAATAGCCGATAATCGTCGCAGTTCCCGGTGGTCCACCGGGCGTGTGGCCCGAAACTGACGCCCACGGCCGCGCGGCGGCAAAGGCGCGGGGACAGGAGCGCGCCGCCCGCCCTGACGGCTACGCAGTCCGTCACAGTTGATTTGATACACCGTGCGCCCACCTTTTGCGTGTGCGTTGTGAAACTCCTTTATATAGGCCTGCAAGTGCGCTTATTTTTGCGCCTCGGGGCGCGCGGGCGTTTCTCCGGGCGCGTGGCGATAACGCTATACGTTGAGCACTGTCAGGACGAACCAAATTGATACGCGGTCGCGCGCGCGTGTGTTTTGATGCTCTTTTTTTGGCTGGTTTCAGCGGATTTTGCAAACTAGAACCCGGGTATCTCAGAGTTTTTAGCAGCGGCTTATACTGAGCGCATTAATCGTATCGAAGAGCGAAAGGAGCGGTAGGAGACCAAAAGCGTCCGGGGGCCCGGTGGGGCGGTCGCGGGTCCACGCGCCGCCCGAGCCGGGGGCTCGGAGCACCCTCTGCGAAAATGCAATTGTTTTCATACGCGCGGGCCTCCTCGACGAGAGAGACGTCCGAAGCCTGGGCACAAAGGCTGGCGCGCGTCGTCGCGGTATTAAATAATGTCATCAATAAATAATACCCGGGGTCCGGCGCGAGGCATTGATGGGAACACTGCGCCTGCTCGATGGCGTGGAGCTCGGCGAGTGAAACTTTGCCCATCGCACGGGTTTGCGCTGGCATCACCTTGTGACGCCAAATTTTAGGCTGCCGGGCAGCCTCGCGGCCGCACGCGTCCGCGGCAGACGCCGGCGCCGCGTCCGCATCGATGCGGGCAGCGATTCTGCTCGCGCACGCCGTACATGCGACGACGCAAGGTTGCCTGGAATGGAGTGCCGTCAATGCGACCTGGTTCGGCGACGAGCACGACGGACCGGCCCAGCCCTACTGTCTCCATAAAAGATGCCTCGTGGCCTTGAACGGCTGCGCCGTCTGGTGGCGCACCGTGTCCGACGACGTCATCCCTCCGATTCCCGAACTGGCCATACCGCTGCCTGATGATGACCGCAGGGGTGCCTGTCGGGGACCGACGCGAGTGACGGGTCATTTGGGCATCGCGGACGACGAAAATTTTGGAAGGTGCACCACCTCTGACAAAATTTTCGACAACGGCGGCGGCTTCGAGATTCTGCAAGCCCGGAGGCACGCGCCTCCATCCATAGACTGCGGCGACCGGCGCCGACTGAAAGCGAGGTGGGAGGCGTTGCTGGCGACGTTAACGGACGAGGACTACGCGCTCGTCGAGGCGGCGACGACGAGGCCGATTCGGAACGTGACCGCGGCCTTTGTCAACAAAGCGTCGGCCTGCGACTTCGCGGGGTTCCTGTCCTCCTCGCGGTTGTTCGTCCACGCCCTGAATGGCGAGGGCCTCCATGCACTACGGGCCGTCCTCGCGGAGCGCTTGCGGGACCTACGACTAACGAAGTACGCGTCCGGTTCAATTCTAGACGAGTGGTTTGAGCATGGCGTCTTGATCCGACCCTACACCAATGATCAAGATGTGTACGACCTCCTCAAAGTCGTGGCCGGCGAGCCTTCGGTCCCGGCGCCGCCCTACGACTGGGCCGAGCGGCGCATCACTTCTGTGGAGAACGACCCCCAGGGCCGGGCCCACGTCGACTCCTTCGCGAGCGTCGTGAAAGTGTGGCTCTTCGACGACGTCGGGGCGGACGCGGGACCGTTGCACGTCGTGCGCGGGAGCCACCGCCACACGGTTGACAGGCTCGCGTGGGAGCACGCGCGCGCGAATGGGAGGGAGGCCTTGATCGAGCCGTCCTTCCGTCTTACCAGTAATGAGTCGGATGCGGGGGACGCGGCGGCCTTCGTGGCGCGGTGCCAGCGGGACGCGGCGCCGATCGTGACACAAGAGCCGATCGTCGTGGTCGCGGACACGTCGCTCGTGCACTTTAGGGGCGCCGGGCGCGTTGGGGCCGTGCGGCGGTCGCGGCGGTTGCGGGGAGACAACGGCGGCGGGCTCGCGCGGCGGAACCCGTTCCGGTTCGCGGACGAGGAGTAATATCATGTTGTGACACTTACTACAATATACTATTCGGCGACGCGGCAACTATCGGAGAGCGCCTTCAGCCGCGCCGCCGCGACCCCAAGGATCTCGTCCGACTTGCAGAACGCAAAACGAACGAGCGGCCTCGAAGGTTCGTCCGTGAAGAAAGGAGAAGAAGGAATGGCCACGACGCCGTGCTCCGCCGCCAGCCATCTACAAAAAGCCCAGTCCGCCGCGACGCTCCCGTCCCTATACTCATCCGGCATGAGCTCGAGCAGGTTGCTCACGTCGCCAACCACGAAATACCCCCCCTGCGACGGCAGCGGCTCGACGCACGCTGCCCTTAATGCGTCGGCCAGCACCCTACGTTTGCGCGCGTAGCTCTTGGCCAGCCAGGCGTAGTACGACGGCTCGCCCTCGTACTCGCGATCGGCCTCGTCGAGGCAGTCGGCGAGCGCCTGCTGCATCGGCGTCGGCGCGCAGAACTGGAGGTAGGGGAGTAACGCCTGACAGGGTTGTATGAGATGTCTCGGTCCGACGATCCAGCCGATCTGCCAGCCTGTTGCCGAAAACGTCTTGCCCGCGCTCGAGACCGTCAGAGTTATATCATTCATATCTTGCAAAGAGGCGAAGTGGATGTGTTGCTCGTCGCCGTGGCAGACGTACTTGTAGACCTCGTCCGCTATCACCAACAACTCGTCGCCTGGTAACCTATTGCGGTTCTCCTCTCGTACTACCCTAGCTATAGTCTCGAGCTCCTCCCTACTAAACACCTTGCCCGTCGGGTTGTGCGGGCTGTTCACTATGAGTACACGGCTTTTCGGCGTGATGGCTTTCCTTAGTGTATCTTCGGAAAGACGCCACTCCCCATCTCCATCGACGGTCATCGGCGCCGGCTTCGTAACACCACCAGCTAACGCCACCTGCCCCACGTACAAATCAAAAAAAGGCTCCGGCAAGATAACTTCCGAACCCTTGTCCAGCGTCGCGATGAGTGCCACCAGTAAAGCTTGCGTGGCTCCGACAGTGACGGCCACTTCGTCAAACGGATCGACGTCCCGCGAAAAGTGGACCCCGTACCGCCTAGCTAGCACAGTCGTCAGCGGCGGGTGCCCCGCGCTCCGCGCGTACTGGTGGCCCCCCGCTGATTCCTCCGACGCCGCCCTTCTCAGTCCATCCTTCACAAATTGCGGCGGCGCCCAGTTCGGGAAGCCCTGGCCCAGGTTCGCGACGCCGCCCTCGAACTTGTGGTCGACTTCCCTGGCCAAATCGGCGAACTCGCTCCAGACGGTCGGACTCGTGCCGCCGCCCGGCAGCCGTCTCAGCGCGGCGGACGGCGGCGCTATTCTTGTGAGGGGCGGGTCCAATGTTGCGGCTTGTCTTGGTGTTCGTTTTGGGGTTGGCGTGTTGGGCGCGAGGGCTATTGTGGCTTGTGCCAGCCAGAGGGTGGTGCAGCACCTCATGCTGGCTGCTTGATGCCTCTGCTGGGCTCGGCTTGTTTTGATTCGTTGCTTGCACTGATGTGAGACCTGTAGCGTCTTTCCAAAATGTTGCTGCGTTGCGAGGCGACTCAGACAGCTCTCGCAGCTCCACCTACGAGGCGCTTGCATGCCATGACAGCCTTTGCAATGGGGCTCCAGGAAGGCGTCCAGGACGGTCGCCGCTCGCCACGGAAGGCTCTGTTGCGCGAAACAGTTGTCGCTGGCAGTAACGAGCTAGCGTACACAGACACTAGGCTGTTTTGCAGGCTCGCATTGAGCTCCAGATTGCTTCGCATTACGTGCCCGTGGGCCGCAGCGTACGACAGGATTGGTCGTTTTGCGCAGCGCTGCGCTGCGATAGCATCGCTACAGGCTGCGGCGCTCTGGTAATTGTTTGCAGCAGCAGGCTGCACCATGGCTACCAGGATAGCGCTCGCGTTACTATGCGCTTTACACACGACCAGTTTCACGCCGTCAGCGCCGCAGCGCACCCGCATACAACCGCTGCGGAAGACGCGCGGCGCCGGCGGCGACCTCGTGGACCCCGACGCCGGTGCTCCAGACGATGACGCCATGACGGAGCTGCGAGAAAGGATGATGCAGGAAGAACTCAAACAAAGAAAACAAACGATAAAGGAAGGCAAGGGCAACCGACTGTCGGCGCAGTACGTCGAGCTATTAACAGCACAACATCCCTCGGAATTAGTAGGCGCCTTCTACAGGGAAGCGGACCCGCGAGTCCAGGTCGCGATCCAGGACGCGATCATGGGCATGCTCGGGGCCGGCGCCGTGGACATCGAGTTCACGACGACGGGCTCCCGAATCGCGGAGCTGTGCTTCCGTCTTCAGATGACCGGCTACATGCTGCGGAACGCGGAGTACGTCCTAGCTCTCCAAGATGTTTTGAAATTAGCACCTACTGGAAGAACGCCGGCTCAGCTGAGAGCCGCCTTCTCGCGCGTCGATACGGACAATAGTGGATATATCGATGCGGACGAAGTGCAAAATCTGTTCGATGACGTGTATGGGGATTTGCCGGACACGGCTAGTACGGCGGAGATCAACGACCTGAAACAAAGGAAAAAAGCGGACGTCGAGTCGTTCGTGCGGTTCTTCGACGCGAACTCTGATGGGAAAATAAGCTTTGCGGAGTTCTGCCGCGCGCTGGGCGGCGCCGACGCGTCGCCGGCCCAGCAGGCCCTCGACAAGTTTTCCTCCGAGAGGCTCCTCGAGGCTCCATCGACTCCTACACCTATCACCGGTGAGTTGAAAGTAGGAGATCGCACGGTCGAAGCCTCGGACTACGTCGCCGAGTTAAAACAGGAGGCCGCTAGACTAAAAAATGAATTGGCGACCTACGCGCAGTCGTCGGGCCAGAACTCGTTAGCTGCTATTGGCCAATACATCGCGTCGATCGACCCCGAGCAGCGCGATCTACTCGTGTCGAAGATGACGCCGGAGGCGCGGGAAGCCGCCGCCGAGCTCGTCAATTATGTGCTGAAGGACTCGTCGCCGGAGGGCGCGGGCCAGAAGCTCGAGCCCGACCAACAAGTCACCATGGAGCGGCGCATCCTGGATCAAATTTGTAGGTGGCAGATCGTCGTCGGGTATCGGCTGCGGGAGCTCGAGGCGTCGGGCGAGGCGCGGCGGCGGCTCGGCTGAGTGGTGGGCAGCGTCCGTCTTTTTTTTTTTGAGATGCCAGTGACGAATATCCGACCCATTAAAGTTTGAGAACTGATCGCTCGTGACGAACCATCTTACGGACGTTCCAGCCGAGGCGTCGTCGTCGCGGGGCTGGCTTGGTCGACGGCGATGGGCGCGCGATGACTGGGGCGTCCCCCGCGCAGGCGTCGTCATCACCCGATCTCTTTGTAGTACATAATAAATTCGCTTGAAATAGCCTCTCACGAACACGCGAGGCTTTTGACGGTGCTAGTGTGTTTCGACACGCTAGCTGGTCTGCCGGCCAAGCTTGTAGTCAGGGTTCTCTCGCGGTCCACTAGTACTGCCAGGCCCCTTCCGTGGTGCTGTGGTGTGCGACAAAAACTCTCGCCAGCTCTCGTGCCAGAAAAATGCGCCGCCTTGCGCTGCTTAGCTTGGTGCCGGCCACCCTGGCCCTCACCGCCCCAGCCCTGCGGCCACGGGCGAGGGGGCAGTTACTGCGAAGCAGCCCGGACGACGACGAGGCGCCGCCCGAGATTAATGAAGACTTCCGCGACTTCCGCGCGCGATTGATTGCAAGGACGAAGGGCGAGGGCCTCACGGAAGCGGGCGACGAGAAAGCCGTGGCGGAAGGCTGGGCCTACGAGACGCCCTTGCTCGAAGCGGGCTGCCTGCTTCTGGGGGGCACGGAGCAGGACTTCGGGTTCGGGCTGCGGCAGCAGTACTTCCACAAGTGCGTGTTGCTCCTGACGCAGCACGACGAGTTCTTCACGCGGGGCGTCATCGTGAACCGGCCGTCGCGGAGGACGGTGAGGGGCTGGACGGTCTGGTGCGGCGGCGACGTCGAGGAGGGCGGCGTGTTTGCGCCGCATGGTGGTAGCAGTTCGGATAGGCCGCCGGCGCTCGAGTGCTTGTCCACCACTGTGTGGAAATCAAATGTCGGGCGCCCCACTCGATGGCGTGGAGCTTCACATACCTAACTCACTGGTTGATTTCCACACAGGTCCACCGTGAAGATCGAGGGCGCGGCGTCCTGCACGGAGGTGAACAAGGACCTCTACACGACCTCTTTTGACGACGCGAACAAAGCCCTGGAGCGGGGCTACGAAAAGTCGGACTTCATGTGCCTCTGCGGCTACGCGGGCTGGGCGCCGAAGCAGTTGGACGGCGAGGTCGAGCGGTCGAGCTGGCACGTCGCGTCGGTCGACGGAGGCACTTTGGTGAAGGATTTACTCGCGAGAGATGATGATGAAGATTTGCCCGTCGACGACGGCCTCGGGACCTGGGCGCAGCTCATGCGTCGCCTGGGCAAGGACCCCGCGCCTTCGGGCTTTGAGTTCGACGACGAGATGCTCCGGGCGTGGATCGCCGCGCGCTTGGACGCGCCGAAGGTCGATGTGAGTGCGCTAGCGGACGCGGCACGCAGAAAGCAGCGCGAGGAGACGTACCTCGAGTCGATTTTAGATGATAACGGCGAGGTCACGCCGGGCGTCGTCTTCACGTGTCAGGCGTTGGCACCCGCAGCAGACTTCCTACTCGAGCGCCAGTTCCTGCACAAGTCGGTCGTCCAGGTCATCGCCGTCCAGCAGGACACGGTCATCATGTGCTGCCTGAACCGGCCGACGTCCCGGAGGGTCGCGCTGAAGCTCGGCGACGCGGAGCGGGTGAAGACAGTAGCGTTCGGCGGCGACGTGCAGGTGCGGAGCGCGCAGGGCGGCGTCGTGTGGCTGTCGCGGGGGCCGCTGCCCGGCGGCGCCGGCGAGCGGCTGCCCGCCGGCGGGCTGGAGGAGGAGGACGCGACGCACGTCGTGGCCGCCCGGGACGTCGTCGAGGGTTTAAAAAGGGCGGACGTGCGCGTCGAGGCCGTGCTCGCGGCGTCGGGCGTCGTCGCCTTCCCGGTGGCGGAGCTGCGGCGGTTGTTGGGCGCGGGGCACGTCGTCCCCGTGCCGCCGGACGCGGCGCCGCTAGATCAGTGCTGGGCGCTCCACGCGCCCGGCGCGGCGGCGGACCCGGAAGACGCGTGGCGGCGCGCCTACGCCGCAGCCGTCGACGCCGCGCGCGGGGCCCCGCCGGCGGCGACGCCGGCCGAGCTCCGGGGCGGCATCGCGGACGAGGCCCTGGACCGGTTCGTCGGGACCTTCCTCTCGTAACGTCGAATTCTTGTGTGACTTTAGGCTCGTGCCCCGGGGGGGGCGCCTGTTTCGAATCTTATGCACACTTATGCGGCACGCGCGTTGCGCGCGTAGGTGCGCATGTGCTCGAACGACGACCAGCGGACGGCGAGCGCGCCGGGCGGCGGCGGGACGATGTCGATGTGGCGGGACCAGGGGACCCAGCGATCGAGCAGCCTGCGTATATCCTCCCGATACATCAACCGTTCAAGCCCATCAGTATAGTGTCCTCGGCGAGGGCCTGACCATACATCGGCTTTGAGACCGGCGTGAGGGGTTCTGGTATCATATTCCAGACGTAAACGGGCGCATCCAACTTCAATGAGACGGGCGTGGTGGAGGTCGTGCACTGCCTCGTTGTATCCTATCGTGGACGTTGCGAACAATCGTAGCGTCGCCCCACTACTTACAGTATTCAGGACCATATCCATCAGCTTGGCACACTGAAATCCCCCAGCGGTGCGACGGGAAACGAGGATACGAGCTCTGATGTCAGTGCCCTCCGCGGAGAGCTGTCGCACCGTTGTGCTCGTCGACAAGTCGGTGCCGGGAAAACGGAGCTGGAACCCATTCCCATCATTCGCAAAATGTATTCCCAACGTGGCCGTCGCGAGGAATAGTGGCGCGTCAGTACCATCAGCAGTCAGCTCGAGGGAGAACACATCCCCTCGTAACAAGAATGTCGATGGATACAAAGGTGGCTCGCCGCACGTGGGTGTCGTCACCTGGCCGAGGCGGTCGGGCTCGGCGCTGAAGATGTCCTTCTGGCTCATGACGAGGCCGCCCAGCGTCTTCGCATCGAGGGCTGACAAGTCACAGACCGTCGCGAGGATCGGATGGGCCCGCTGAACCAAGCAGTGCTCGGGAGCGAGCGAGAGGCGACCAACAGCGTCGCGCAGGAGGCGGCTCGCGCAGGCACAACCGAAGCGCGTCCGCAGGTCGCGGTACGATAGAACGTGTCTGAGGATTTCTTTCGGGAGCGTCGTCAGCGCGCAGCGCGCCGGGCTCGCGCCTCGGGCGTCGTCGTCGGCCGGTGGCAGCGCCGGGACGCTCGGCACGCTCGGCACGCTCGGCGCGACAGCCCGGGGCTGTGTCATCAGTCCGGCACGTTCGAACAGGCTGGCGAGGTTCAGCAAGATATCGAGCGGGTTCCCCTGTTGATCCGCGGGTACGCATGAAAGCAAACCCTGCAGCGTCGATTGCTCGTCCGATAGGCCATTAGCTGCGAGGGCGGAGAGGGCGGCGGCGGCGCGAGGGTCCATGAGAGGGCCGGGCGACGGCTCGGGCGGCGGAATAAATTCATGGCCCAATGCCGCGTTTATGGCGTCGTCCCCGTTACCCTGGAGGAAGTCGTCGATGAATTGCTGCAACGTCGACATCAATCAATTGGTGTCACTGGTGGTGAATCGCCGACAATTATAAAGTCTTTGCGATTATGGCAAAGCGGACCGCGGCCTGCACCACGAGGATAGCGTAAATCCACACAAACGCTGATCAAACAACGCACGTGCACTTATACGTCGGCCTCAATCAAGCGCCCTAGTGTCTTACCGCTAGCGCCCAAAATGGCAAGTGGACTTGACGAGAGCGTGCGCGACGCAGCCCATCATAGTATGACAACAATGGACGGCGCCGACGCGGCGGCCCTCGCCCGCGCGCGGCGCCGGGCAGCCCCGCCGCGGGCCCCCGTGCCGGCGCCCGCCCGCCCCCAGCACTACCGCGTCGCCGTGCTCGGCGCGGCGGAGGCCGGCAAGACGGCGCTCGTCGCGCGCTGGGTCGGCGCGACGCCGCCGTCGACCTACGCGCCGACGCTGGGCGCGTCACCGGCGGAGAACGATGTTTTTGTGGTTACCACTGACGGGCCCGCGCGCGTGACGTTGGTGGACTGGTGCTGGGACCACGCCGCCGACGCGGACGTCACGCGGCAGATGGCCGCCAGCAACGCGGCCGTCGCCGTGTTCTCGCTGGCCGACGGCAAGTCCTTCACGCGGGCGGCGGTGGCCGCCGTCGCGTACGGGAGCAAAAGGCCCGTGGTCTTCGTCGGGACGCACAGCGACGGCAAAACGAGATGCGACGCGGACGCGGTGTCAAAGCGCGACGCCGCCCTCTGCTCCTGCGCGACGGGCGCCGGCGTCGACCGGGCCCGCGCGAGGCTCCTGGACGCGCTGGCGCTCAAGGACTCCACTTCATCGTCCGAGGACGCGTGGCTTCTGAGCGAGAGGCGCGTCGACGCCTACGAGCGGTTTCTGAAGGACGACGAGGCGTGTGTACTGGATCTGGTGAAGCGGCGCCTCGGTTTTGATGATGGCCTTGCGCCGGAGGCGACGGTCGCCGCCGCCCTGAAGCTGCTCGGGTTCGCGGCGGACCCGGACGCGGTTCTGAAAGACAACCTCGCGCGCGCGGCCGCACTCCACGGCCTCGACGCGGAGGAGGAGGAGGAAGATGAGCCCGACGAAGTCGCGTTCGCGGCTGACGCGTCGGTGAAGAAGAAGGCGGTCAGTGACTCAGTGTGATTTCTGAGCTTTTCTGATCTTCGAGTTGCGTCGATGGCGTCGTCGCGATGCCGCATTGCTTCGACGCTGTCGTTCGACACAGGTCAAGCGGGTCGCGCGGGCGGCCGGGGACGGGGCCGCCGTCGACGTGGTCCAGGCGTCGACGGACGAAGAAGTAACCCGCGCGGCGCGGCGGCGGGCCCGAATCAACGAGCGCGACCGCGCGGACGCCGCGGCGGCCCGGGCGGCGCGCGAGCGGTTTTTTCGGTGTCCTTTTCCGATGCCCCTGGTGCTGCCGCGTATACGAGCCCGCGGAGCCTACGGCCGTATCGACGCGACCCTCCCCGCGACGCAGGCGCGAGGCGGAGGCGCGCGCCGCGGCCGGGGCCGCGGCGGCGCGCCGCGAGCGCCGCGCCGCGCGCGCCGCGCGCGACCGGCGCGCGGCCCGGGGCCCGCGCGCCGCCGCGGCCGACGCGCTCCGGGCCGCGGAGCGCGCGCGCGCCGCGGCGCTCAAGGCCGCGCTCGCCGCCGAGGACGCGGCCACGTCGGCGGAGAAGCGCGACTACGGCCTGCGGAAGGCCTCGGTCGGCGCCGCGTGGCCCGCGTGCGTCGTCCACGCCGGCTACGAGACGCCCGGCAAGGGCGTCTCGCTGCGGCTCGACGTGCCCGAGGCCTGGCGCGACGCGCCCCTCGCCAAGCTGCTCGCGGCCGTCGACGCGTGGGAGATGGCCAAGGCGCGGAAGAAGTCGAAGCGCAGGCGCCGGCCGGTGCGCGCGCGGTCGGCGCGCTGCGAGGACCTCGAGGGCTACAACCTCGACCACCTGTCGGTCTACGAGGCCATCGAGGCGTCGGGCGGGTGCGTCGTGCTGCGCTAGGTTTTTTGTCCCTAAGTATTATATCCCCGTTGTCCCATCTCGTTGTTGTACTCATGCTAGACTAAGACACGGCACCACCCTGCCGCAGGTCGACCGGAGCCGCCCCGGGCACCGCGTCCGAACTCGCACTCCCCTTTGCGCTCGCCCTAAAAACGCTCGAGATCGTCCGAAGTTCCGGAGACTACTGTCTTCACGAAATCATATTACTTCAGGAAAGGTGGCGCGGGGGCGACACAACGGGAGCCTCGTCCGGGTGCCCGTCCGCGCCGGCGCGCCCTCTAGCCGAGGAGCGAGAACTGGCCCTCGAACGGGACCATGACGTTGCCCGCGTAGGCGGGGAAGTCGAACTGGTCGAGGAACGGCACGGAGCCCGGGACCTGTGCATAAATCAACCAGTGAGTTTCTGACCGAATCGAGGACGCGTCGCGACAATTTGATTTATGCTCTGCCCGGGACCTTCGACTCCGCGAGGAGTGAAAAGAGCCCAATCATGGCCAGGCGGCCGTTGTTCACCTCGGCGTTGCGGCCGCGCGCCTTCTTCTCCTCCGACGCCTTCTTGAAGAGGTTGAAGGGGTCGTAGAGGTTGAGCGGGAGGCCGTCGAAGCGCGGGTAGGCGCCTGTGTGGAAATCGAATGTCGGGCGCCTCACTCCATGACTGCGTGTCTGCTTGAATTCCACACGGGTAGGCGCCCGGCTGGCCGCCGCGCATGTAGTGCTTGGGCTTGTCCGCCATGGCGGGCATCTGCGCCGCCGGGTTGTCGTACTGCCACTCGTCGTACCACTCGAGGCAGCCGATGGCGGTGATGATCTGCCACTTGGCGCCCTCCGGGATCTGGTCCCAGAGCGCCGGCACGCCGCCCTCGCCGAGCGTCGGCCAGGCGTCGCCGTCGAGCGTCATCTTGAAGGGCCACCTGTGTGAACGAAGCGGTCGACGCCGTCGCCGCGACCCGCTCTCAAATCGTCGAGCGCGGCGCGGCGGCGCACGTGATGCCCTGCGCGTGCACGAGGTAGCCGACGAAGCCGGCCATCGCGACGCGGCCGTGCTTGAGCTCGGCCTGGCGCAGGAAGCCGATGGTCGCCGTGTTCGACTCGTCGAAGAACTCCTTGAGCGAGAGCTCGAGGGGGTCGAAGTAGCCGACGATGGGGTTCTGCTCGTAGGCGAGCGCCTGGAGGCCTACGCGAAAATCGACCAGTGAATAGGCGTCGCGTCGATGGCGTGCAGGTCGCGAAATTTGAATCGTGCACTGCTGGAGGCCCGCGAGGTCGAGGCCGCCCGCGGACTTGGAGGGGGTGATCGTGTCCTTGCGGTTGCTGGTGCCCGTCTTCTTCGCGGGCGCGGCCGGCGCCGGCGCGGCCGCGGGCTCGGGCGCGGCCGTCTCCTCCTCGGCGCTGACCCGGAGCGAGGCGCGCTGCACCGACGGCGCGACGAACGCCGCGGCGCCGGAGAGCGCGAGGGCGACGATGAGCTTCTGCATCTTTTTGGACCTGTGTGCGGGCGCGTGAGCGTTTGGCAGCGCATGGCGCTACGCGTTGCGTCCCGCGCGCGCGAATTCCAAAGTGCTGAGCGGTGCCAGCCTCGCAATTTTTTGCTGCTGCTGCTCCGTTTGCGCTGAGATTTCGTGCCGGCGGTGGCACTGTCCGATAGACCGCAAATGTTACTCTGAAGTCACGAATGATTGCGTATACACGCCGCGCTCACAAGGAATATAGACTGCCTCGTGCCCAATCTTGTAAGTGATTGAACGACGGCGTCATCGCCGTGGACCCAGTCAAACAGTAAACATCCTTCCCGCTAACGGATGCCAAGCACCGCGTCAAACTCACATTGCAGCTTTAGCTTGAAAGCGCACCTCCTTCGCCCGCGGCCGAACGCCGGCGTTCATTTTGATGGGCATGTGCGGACGTAACGCGCACAGAAAGACAGCTCCGCGTGTGACTTGCGAGCCTCGTGAAACTTGCGATCTAGAGATGGTGGCGCTTCCTCGCGCGTCCGCGTTTACGCTCGCAGCGGTCCCGCGGGGCGCATGGCTCTTTCTTAGCTTCGAGAGCTGTCCGTGCCCGGACAAACCCTGCGACAGGTGTGCTGGCACGGTTGCGTCAGCGGACCAGTGTGGTGTCGACTTCGACGTTCAGGCGCGTGTGCTGGGTGGCAGTCGCACAACAACTTTAAAGACTGGATCCTCGATAGCTCTATTGCAAGCTTTCGGCGTCAGTGGTTACGCAGCGCACTGCGCACAGTCTCCTTACCCACCGCGCGGGACGAACCGTGGAAAAATCGGCGCTTCGCGCACGCTGTGCAGCAGTTTATGAGACCTCTTCAGGAGCTGCTCGAATATCTGCAGCCAGCGAACGCGGACGCTGCCGCGCCGCCGCGGCAAGCGCACCGCTCGCCGCGCCGCGGCCCGGGCGCGCTGCGCACGCAACGCCGCCGCGCGCCAGAGCCGCCGCGCGGGCGTCGGTCGGGACGCGGTCGCCTCACCGTTGAACAACGCAGGTCACCAACATGCAGAAGCTCATCGCCGCCCTCGCCCTCTCCGGCGCCAGCGCGTTCGTCGCGCCGAAGGCCGCGCGCGCCGGCGTCGCCGTCTCGGAGACGAAGGCGGACCTCGAGAAGCTCGCCGTCGAGCTCAACCCCATCGTGGGCTTCTGGGACCCGCTGTCGCTCGCCGACGCCGAGTTCTGGGACACGACGAACGAGCAGACGATCGGCTTCCTCCGGCACGCGGAGATCAAGCACGGCCGCGTCGCGATGGCCGGCTTCGTCATTAACGGAGTGGAAATCAAATTCCAGGCGCCCCACGCCATCGACGCGACGTTGTCCCCGTGACCGCGTCGGCTCGATGGCGTGGATGTGCACGAAGGTCCACGCAATATTTGAAACCTACCTCACCGGTTCATTTCCACACAGGTGGGCTACTGCCTCCACGCGAACGGCTTCCAGTTCCCGCTCCACATCCCCGGCGACTACACGACGAAGTCGCCGGCCGAGCTCTGGGACCAGGTGCCGACGAACGGCAAGCTCCAGATCCTCGGCTTCGTCGCGTTCCTCGAGTTCTTCGGCGAGCTCGGCGGCCGCGTCGGCGCGCCGGCGCACTACATGCGCGGCGGCCTCCCGGGCGCCTACCCGTCGTTCAAGAAGTACCTCAACGGCGTCTTCCCGCACCCCGTGCCGCTCGACCTCTACGACCCGTTCGGAATCTTCTCGAACGCGTCGCCCGAGAAGAAGGCGCGCGGCCGCCTCATCGAGATCAACAACGGCCGCCTCGCGATGATTGGTCTTTTCGGCTTCCTTTCGGAGTCGAAGGTGCCGGGCTCCGTGCCGGCGCTCGGCTCGATCGTGCTCCCGTACGACGGCGACTACATGGCGCCGCTTGAGCCGCTCCACTTCCTCAACTAGGCGCCCGCTGTTGGAAGAGATTGACGATGAAGATGTAACGGGCACCGCGGAGGACGCGTGTCGCCCCCGGGGTGGCGTTGGTTCCGCCTAACGGACTCCGGATTATATATTTTACGACTCTTCGCGGCGGCGGCGTAGCTCGTGCTTTGCTTGCTTAGAGCTAGGCCGCCTAGCCACCACGACCGCCGCGGGTTACTACAAGTACTAACTTACTGGACCTCATGGTTGCGCGCGCGCTTCGCGGGCGGCGGCGGGTACTCAACACCAGCCAAGAGAGCGCGCCGCTGGGCCAACGGTAATTCGTACCAGGCCCTCGCTTGGGCCGCCGCGTCCATCTCGTCGAACTCCTTCTCACGCTGAGCCATCATGGCGGCGTGCTTCTTGTGCGCTAAGTTTCGCTCCCTCCTCCGCTCCTCCGCGGCTTTTTCAGTCGCGTCCAGGTTGGCCTGGGCCACGGCGAGGTCGGCTCGGGCTCGCAACAAGGCCGCCTGTGCCTGGGCCTCGAGCGCGAGCGAGCGAGCGCGCGTCGTGGCCGGCGCCGCGCTACTCCTGGCCTCGCGCTCCCGCGCTATATCCTCGGCCTGCAGGCGCTCCGCGGCCGCTCTTCTTTGCGAGGCCGCTATTTCCACGCTGCACGCGGCCGAACGGGCGCGGGCCGCGCGGCCGTCGGCGATCGCCTCGCGGAATCGGGCACCCGCCCTGAAAACTCTCGTCACGTCCTCGATCGTACGCACTATGCCGGACGACAGTTCGCCGTTCACCTGTACTGACTCGGCCATTATTTGGATGAGGCCCCGCTGTAAAGGGGTGAATACATCATTTTTGTCGGCTAAGTCGGCGAAAAGTTGCCACGCTTTCTTGTAGTCCTCGCGTTCCTTGTCGCTCATCATCGTTTCGTCGTGGCTTACCGCCGCGTACGACCGTATAGCACGTGCAAGAGTGAGCTTGACGTGGGCTAGCTGCATAAAGACTCTAGCAATAAGTCCAGCGGACGGGTGGGCCCGGGGGGAGCGGGAGTGGTACGGGGAACCCTGCGACGTAACTAGCCTGAGCCTGACGGAGTGTTGGAGGGCCTTAGAACGGAGTCGCGGCTCAAGACAGGTGCGGATTGACACTCTTACTCCCTAGAGCGGCATGCCCTCCGCCTTGAGCTGCTCCACCCAGGCCGTCGCGCGGTCCTCGCTCTGGTCCATCTGGTTCTGCTCGTCGCACATGAGGCCGCAGAACTTGTCGTCGCGGATGGCCTTGGAGTCGTAGTGGTCGTAGCCGTCCTGGTCCGTGAAGCCGACGACCGTCGCGCCGCGCGCCGTGAAGCAGTCGTAGAGCTCGCCGACCTGTGTGAAAATCAAATTTCGGACGCCCCACGCCCATCGACGCGACGTCGTCCTCGGAACTGCATCTGCTCGATGGCGTGTAGATCCCACGCCATCGACGCGAGATTGCATAACCTAGCTCACTGTTTGATTTCCACACAGGTGTCGACGGAGTCGCAGAAGTTGCCCGAGTAGCCCGCGCTGTCGCCGAGGCCGAAGAGCGCGACCTTCTTCCCGCTGAGGTCCGCGTTCGGCAGCTCGCTGTAGAGCCAGTCGTCGATGTCCGTGCCTGCGTGAGCGTAGCGTCGACGGCGCGGTGTAGGTGGTTACTCACCGGAGCGCATGTCGTCGGCGCCCGTGTTCCAGGTCGGCGCGCCGCAGATGATGCAGTCCGCCGCCTCCAAGTCCGCCGCGCTGACGTCGGCGATGGGCGTCGGGCTGATGCCCGTCGCGTCGCCGATGTAGCCCGCGATGCGCTCCGTGTTGCCTGCGGGCGGGCGTGTCCGCGACGTCAAATGAAAAATTCGTTCCGAACGTCTGCAAAACGCGGCATGGAGCAATGCTGCCCCGCGCCTGCAATGTGAAGCGTTCAATCTGCACTGGATCGTGCCGCTCATCGTGGCAAAGCCAATCAAGCCGCTCATGATGGTGGTGCAACGCGCAGCATTCGTGCGTTTTGCTCCGGATTTCAAGGTGCGCGCAGTGAATGCCTCAGAGGTGCCAAGGATGCACGCTACAGCGTATAGGCGCAGCATAATGGCGTCGGATATTGCACGTGCGTGAGAGCAGCGCTTTAGCTAGTTTAAACATACTAGTAACGCACCAGACGACATCGTACAGGAAATTGTATACCACGGACATTGCCAGGCGCCCGGTGACGCGTGCTCCCACCGCTCTTGTTGGAGCACAGTTCGGAGGATGTAGGAACAAGCGCGATGGCGGCGGCCAGGAAGGTGGCTCCCAGGGCGTTCGGCCCTAATTCCTGTGCAACATCCGTCGACACGAGCGCCGCTATTTTGTTGTGCGTCTGTAACTAAGCCACTTTGACAACGTCGTCTCAATAGGAGATAGCTCTTCTGCTCGCGGCGGGTCCCGCGTACCCAAATTACAAGAACCACGCCACGCTGCTGGTAAACGCGGTTTCTTCGTTTCCGACGCTCCGTTGTAGACTTCTAGAACTTATGGGGCATCAAGGGCGAGTATTCGCGGGACGCGGATGCTGCATGTGTCACATGGGTACTTATACCTACAAAGGCGCGTGCTTCGGCTTAAAACGACGCGCGTAGCGTTGCTTAGAATGGGGCACGCGCGGGGTCACGCAGAGAGCCAAGCAGCACGGGCCTCGTCGACGGCCCAAATTGGCTTGCTGTGTCCACGTTTTGGCCTCTGACGCTAAGATCCACTGCGCGACGCCGCGTTGCATCCTCAACCCTTCCAAGTACCGCTGCGGGCATTGCAAAGCGATACCAAAGCAAGGGCGTGCACCAAAATTGCCGCACTGACGCTTCGATCAGGCTGCAATCCCGATTGTAGCGACAGTCGGGGCGCCAGCGCCGCTCCCGAGACTCGTCGCCTCGCGCGCCGCCGCCGCATGGCAAAAAACAAGAGAAAGCAGCACACGTCACCGCTTGCACCCCTCACCGCGCGCACCGCAGGTCCACGATGAAGTCCGCCATCCTCGCCCTGGCCCTCAGCGCGCCGGCGTCGGCGCTCGTGCCGACGAAGACGTTCTCGACGCAGCAGCGCACGTCCGCGCGCGCCGCGGCGCCGCAGATGAGCCTGGAAAAGTACGCGGACGAGCTCGTCCAGACCGCCAATTCCATGGTCCTGCCCGGCAAGGGCCTCTTGGCCTGCGACGAGTCGACGGGCACGGTTGGCAAGCGCCTCGAGTCCATCGGCCTCGAGAACACGGAGGCGAACCGCCAGACGTGGCGCAACCTGCTCTTCACGACGCCGGTCCGCGACTCGGTGTCCCATCTTTTCGACCTTCGCGTTGCGTCGACGGCGTCGTCGCGACGCCGCACCGTGGCCGCCAGAGAGTGGACATGTTGAACGACGCACAGGGCATCAACCAGTACATCTCCGGCGCGATCCTCTACGAGGAGACGCTCTTCCAGGACGACCCCTCCGGCAAGCCCTTCGTGGACGTGCTCAAGGCCGCGAACATCATCCCGGGCATCAAGGTCGACATGGGCCTGAGACCGCTCGTGGGCGCGGGCCCCGGCGAGAACTGGTGCACGGGCCTCGACGGCCTCCTGGAGCGCTGCGAGAAGTACTACGCCCAGGGCGCGCGCTTCGCCAAGTGGCGCACGGCGCTCAAGGTCGACGTCGCGAACAACTGCCCGACGGACCTCGCGATCGAGGTCGCGGCCCAGGACCTCGCGCGCTACGCGCGCATCTGCCAGGAGGCCGGCCTCGTGCCCATCGTCGAGCCCGAGATCATGATCGACGGCGTCCACGACATCCAGACGTCCGTGAAGGTCCAGGAGCAGGTCCTGACCACCGTCTACAAGAAGATCCAGGAGAACGGCGTCATGCTCGAGGGCTCGCTCCTCAAGCCCGCCATGGTCGTGCCCGGCGTCGACGCCGCCGACAAGAGCGACCCGACCGAGATCGCGCAGCTCACGGTCCGCACGCTCGAGCGCTGCGTGCCCGGCGCCATGCCCGGCGTGACTTTCCTCTCGGGCGGCATCTCCGAGGAGGACGCCTCCATCTACCTCAACGAGATCAACAAGGTGCCGCGCAAGACGCAGACGCGCCTCACCTTCTCGTACTCGCGCGCGCTCCAGTCGTCCTGCATCAAGACCTGGAAGGGCGAGGCGGGCAACGTCGACGCGGCGCAGAAGCAGCTCCTCGCGCGGGCCCAGGCCAACGGCGAGGCCTCCAAGGGCGAGTACGTCCCGGGCTCGCAGCCGTCCGACGAGGAGTCGCTCTTCGTGAAGAACTACGTCTACTAGGCGCCGGTCTGATCGCTCTCCCCCTCGTTTATCTCCCCTGGTGTTAAAAGCGACACTGTTATATATATGTGTCCTGGGCGCGCGATCGTCGGCCTCTAGTCGTCGCGAGACTGCTCACAACCGTCGAGGCTGAGGCTGAGGCTAGTTACGTCGCAGGGTTCCCCGTACCCCTCCCGCTCCCCCCGGGCCCACCCGTCGATGACAGCTAGTATCAATCTACACTAGCTGGCTGACGAGTTGCTCCGCGGCAGAGAGCACGTGCCGTTCAAACTCGACGCGGTGATTGGCAATCTCGGTCTCAAAAGTGTCAAACGAATCGCTGGTAGAGTCATTTTTTCCGCAGGATCCGTGCACAGCCTCAGCAAGCAGGATCAGCTGCAGCAGCAAGCAGCAAAGCCAATGATCCTCCCGGTCGTCCTCGTCCTCACGGCGGCCGACGCATTTCTCGCGCCGCCACGCGTCCGCACAGTACCAAGCCGCGGCGCCACCGAGGCGCCTGAGCTCGACGACGCCGACCTCTCCGCGCTCTCGACGGCCGCGACGCGGATGCAGCTCGAGCGGCGCTTCTCGCGCAGCGTGACGCGACGGCGGCGCATATATTTGCCCTACGCCGACGCCGCGCGCTGGGCTCGTGGGCTGGGCTTATCGTCACGTGAGGACTGGGAGGAGTGGGTCGGCCTCGGCGAGGGCAAAAACGCCTACGTGCCCAGCCGCCCGGCGGACTACTACGGCGGCCGCGGCGAGTGGGTGTCCTGGGCCCACTACCTCGTCGGCGGCGCCGACGCCGACGCCGCGCCGGCGCCGCCGCCGGAGGTGCTCCCTCAAAATTACTTCGCGGACCTCGACTACGCGGGCGACGCGGTGCCGTGGGACCTGCGCGGCCGGCCGCAGCCCGCCGTCCGCAAGGCGTGGGCCGCGGGCGCTTTCCGCAATTGTCGGGAGATCCTCGACTGCGGCTGCGGCGCCGGCGACAACGCGAACTACCTCGCGAGCCGCGGCCACGCCGTCGTCGGCTTCGACCTGTCGCCGTCGGCCGTCGCCGCCGCGCGCGAGCGGGCCGCGGCGCCGCCGTTCGCCGACTCCATCGCCGACGCGGGCGGGTCCGCGCGCTTCGAGGTCGCGTCGTGCGCGGACCTCTTCGACTCGCCGGTCTACGCGCTGGCCGAGGAGATCGGCGGCTTCCCCGTGGCGCTGGACTCGGCGCTGCTGCACTGCTTCGACCTGTGTAGAATCTTTACATCATCGAGCAGATGCAGTTACGGGGACTGCATCGGATCGATGGCGTGGGGCGTCCGAAATTTGATTTTCACACAGGCCTTGACGACAAGATGCAGCGGCGCTACGTCGCGGAGCTCGCCAAGGTCGTCCGGACCGGCGGCCGGCTCTACGTCGGCTGCTTCAGCGACGCGAACCCCGACCCGTGGTCGAACCCGCGGCGCCTGTCCGAGGCGCACCTGCGGGCGCTCTTCGCGGGGCCCGCCTGGCGCGTCGAGGCCGTCGAGCCCGCGTGGTACGAGCGGCCGCGGGCCCTGAACGAGGGCCACCGGTCGGGCGCCTGGACGATGGCGTGGTGGTGTCGGATTTGTAGGTTGGGGGCTATGTAACAATAACATACTTAACTTGAACTAAGTAAATACCAAACCTAAATGCCGCCTTCATCAGGCCCCAGCTTCATTACGAAAACTCACAAGGGCTACAACCGCGACGGCCGGCCTTTTGAGGTCGAGGACAAGAAAGAGACGGGCGAGGACGGCCTCGCGACGCTGGGCAAGGAGCTGCTGCGGGCGCAAATGAACGGCAAGAAATAGAGCCTTATCACAAAGCCGCGACGACGCGCGTCGCCCCGGCCGGCGCGGGATTCATCGGCAGGACGCGCCCGATGGAAGGAGTCGAGCTGTAGAGCACGCGTAATAACACTAACGTGACGCGTGTTTCGGACGGCTCAAGTAGGCTGCCTCGTGGGGCCCGTGCCCACAGGGTCGACGCTGGGAGTGGCCATGCGCTCTGGGTTTGATCAACCTGCGCGAGGTCGCAGTCTGCATAAAGTCCGCTTGACTTGCCGAAAAGCTGCGCAGCAGCTCGCTGGGAAGGTCGCAACAGCAATCCGCGCAAACCAGACCTCGTTTGGTGCAGTTTAGGCCCAGGACCACCGGATTCATCTTTCGTACGCGCCAACTGCACTCTTATTGCAACACCATGTCTCCTCTCCTAGAATACTTCACCAAGGGCGGCCCGATCAACAAGGAATTGTTCCTAAATACTCTTCAAGCGAACCCGGGCGCGGCGGCCGACGTCGACCCGAAGACCGGCAACACGCCGCTGCACTTCGTCTGCTGCAACGGCGCGCCCCGCGACCTCGTCGAGCCGCTGCTGACCGCAAATCCGGGTGCCGCCGCGACGGCGGACCTCGACGGCTTCCTGCCCCTCGTCGGCGCGCTCAGCTGCGGCGCGGCCGCGGACGTCGTCGACCTCTTACTGGCGGCGCACCCCGGGGCGGCCAGTTGCATGGTCCAAGGCCGCACGCCCCTCCACTACGCCGTGTCCCACGGCTGCGACGTGCGCGTCACCAAGGCCCTCGTCCGCCTCTTCCCGGACGTGTGCGCCTGTGTGGAAATCAAATTTTACGGCGCGTTCGTCCTGAATCGCCGCGTCGACCTCGACGCCATCGACGCGAGACCTGCTCGATGGCGTGGCGATGTCGGTTCCTCACCGCTCGACGGAACCAGCGCGACCGCGTCATCGCCGACTCGACGCCGAGAAATGACTTAGTGAAGAATAGTGCACCCGACACACTGGTTGATTCCCACACAGGCGTGCGCGACGCGCGACGCCGACGGCAACGCGCCCCTCCACTTCGCGCTAGTGCGCTGCGCGGCGCCGGAGGTCGTCGACGTGCTCGTGCGCGCCCGGCCCGGCGCCTGTGGCCAGCGGGGCTTCCTCGGCCGCCTGCCGCTCCAGCTCGCGAAGCTCTACGGCGCGGCCCCATCCACGTTAGAAGTCCTAACGGACGCCTACCCCGGCGCCGCCGACTGCGACAAGCCGGCCATCACGCAGCGCACGACGCCGCCCCGCACCCGGCCGTCGAAGCGCAAGGGCGCGGCCGCGCGCCGGCCGTCGAAGCGCGTCGCGCGCACGGTCACGCCGCCGGACCTGCACAACGTCGTCCCGCCCTTCGACGACGACTACGACGCCCTCGGCCTCGGCGCGGGCTGCGGCTGGCTCGACGACATCTTCGACGAGGGCCACGCGCTCCAGCCGTCGTACGAGGAGTCCCTCGAGGACCTCGGGCTCGACGAGGTCAAGGCGCGCTGCGCGGCGGCGGGCCTCGACACGACGGTGCGCAAGACCGACGGCGAGCCGGGCAAGGGCCGCTTCAAGCGCGTGCTGGTCGCGCGGCTCCTCGCGTCCGCGGCGGCGGCGCGCACCGTGCGCGACGTGTCGCCGGACGCGTCGCCGCGGGCCGTCGCGTGCGTGTGACGGCCCCTCCCTCCTCCTGTCTGTCCTCCCCCCCGCCCGCCGGCCCAGACGGGGCTCCGCGCCGGGCTCTAACCCTTACTCTTTCTCTAGTATACCTCAAATGCCCGTTCCCGACGGCGCGCGCCGCTCCCGTGCGCTCGCCCCATCTATGTTCTTTGTCCGGGGGCATTGATCCCTTGTCCTACGGCGCGCGCCGGTGGCGTGCGGGCCCCGGATTTGAAGACTGCGGCGGTTCCCTACCGCGCACGCCGCTCGCGCGTGGCCCGCGTCGTCGAAAACTGGGGGACCCGATCGTCGCGGCGGTTTCTAGGGCTCTCGACGCAGCCGAGAAGAGTCACACGAGCAGTGAATAAAGGACGTACCAGAGTCCGACTTGGCCGCGCGCGTGCGGCAGCCGAGCACCTCGTACGACTATTGGTGGCAGTGGAATGTCAGCTTGACGGGCTTCCGCGCCGCAAATCCGCAAGGATCAAGCCTAAAACTTCTCTCTCATCAACCTCGAGCAGCTTTTCCTGCGCGATTTCGCTGTCGCGCTGATAAAAGCGACAACACAAAACTCGGGCAGGATTCGAACGAGCTGCACGCGATGCACGCAACGTCAACCACCACGACGCGCCGTCGAGCGCGTCGTGGCCGCGGCGCGGCCGCGTCAACCAGCACGAGAACGTTCGCGCTTCTCGTCCACGCCGCCGCCGCGCTCGCGCCGCGCTCGCCGCCCGTCAACCGGCGAACGACGCTCAAGGGCGTCGCCGGCGCCTGCGCCGTCGCGGCGGCGCCGTCGCCGGCCGACGCCGTCGAGAAGGCGTCGAAGTCGCGGGCGGCCCAGCTCGCCGGCGTCCTCTACGACTGCCGGCGCGGCCTCGCGAGCCCCGCGACGCCCGACGCGCTGACGTCGATGATCAACACGAACGTCCTCGGCGCGGGCGCGCCCCTCACGCGCGGCGTCCTCTGCGTGAGCGAGCGCCACGACTGCTTCGACCACCACCTCGCGCAGCTCTACACGATCAAGCAGCTCCGGAAAGCATTAAGGCAGCGCGAGGACCGGGCCCAGGTCGCCGTCGGCCTCGAGGCCTTCCAGCGCATCCACCAGACGTACCTCGACCGCTACGTGAGCGCGGACCCGAACTACGGCCTCAACGAGCTCTTCCGCGACGTGGACTGGCAGCAGACGTGGGGCTACGACCCGCTGCACTACGCGCCGATCCTCGAGGACGCGCGGCGGACGGGCATGCGCCTCGTGGGCCTGTCGCCGCCCGACGAGCTCCTCGACGCCGTGGCCCGCGCCGGCGGCGTCCGGAACCTCGAGAGCCCGCTCTGGCCGTTCCTGCCTGTGTGGAAATCAAAATTTACGGCGCGTTCGTCCTCCACGCCATCGACGCGAGCACCCGACGCACTGGTTGATTTCCACACAGGTTCCTGCCCGAGGGCGGCGTCTGCAACGACAACGCGCCGGGCCGCGTCGAGCGCCTCTACGGGTCGAGCGTCGACGCCGAGCGCCTGACGGCGGTCCAGAACTTCCGCGACGAGTACATGGCCGACGCCGCCGCGCGGCACTACGACGCGAAGAAGACGCGGGACGGCTGGCTCGTGCTCCTGGCGGGCCAGCGCCACGTCGCGAACCGCGACGGGCTGCCGGACCGCGTCGCGCGGCGCGTCGCGCGCGCCGCGTCGACGCCGGCGCACGGCGACGCCGTCTTCCGCGGCGTGCACACGATCCTCCCGGAGACGACGAACTTCCCCGTCAAGCTGGCCTGCCTGCCGTCGTCGACCTACGGCGACGTCGTCTGGCTCCAGCCGAAGAGCGCCGACTTCGACCCCTCCAAGGTGAACCGCGCGCCGCGGCCGGCGAAGAGCCGCGCGTAGTCGCCCCCTTCCCCCCTCGTAAGTGTTGCTTGTGTTTTTCTTCCCGGTGCCACGAGTGTAAGGACTTTGACACTCTAATCATATGCTTCGGCGGCGTTTTCCGGCATCGAGGCGGCAAGGGACGCAAAACCCGGAGCTAGCGTGATCGACATACTAGCAAATTCAAAGATACGCTTCGATAGCATCAAAAGAATGACCCAAGTTCAGAACACATCCTAGTCGTTCGCCGAGACCAAATATTTCAGAGTAGCGGCCCGGGAACATACCCTCGCGCCTCCCGGAAGGCACCGCCCGCGACATTCGCGGATGAGACTTGCGGCTTGTCAAAGTAGACCAGCGATTGATGCCGCCATCTACCGTCCGAATGGGACATCATATCAACTCCAGCCCAGTTTTCATACATGATCGACGGAACCGGAGCCGACGGCCCGCGCTCGGAGGGCGGGAAAAGAATTCTACTAGACAACTCCCGAGTTTATGTTCGTTTCCTTCCGTTTGGTAGTGGTAGAGGCCATCTAGGCCGTTTGAACAACTACTCATCTATTAAAGGTTCTCCGTTAGAGCCGCGCGAATCGGCATCTCGGCGACTTCGCGTTTACATAAAGACGAGCCACTATCCTAAACCTGCGAGTATCAGCGACGCCACCATCCAGATGGACCATAACGCCGTTGTTCTATTCACGATCGACCGACTTGCCCGTTCTCCGCGGACGACGGTGCGTAGACGGAGCACCGGAAAGGCCCCAGACCGGTGGTTTATAAAATAAATTTGAGTTTCAGGCGGTTCGGTTATGGGACGGGCCAGGTAACCGGCCTGACTGCCTACTACATTGCTCCGAGACCCCAAGATGCTCGGCGCGCCTCGGCCAACTCCCGAGCCCACGATCTCGTTAATTGGGGCATATATCCCGGACCTGCGACCATCAGCGCGTGTACCATCACCATGGACCATGACGCGATCGTTTGTTCCATGATCGACGGACTTACGCGAGGTCCAGATAAAGATGTTCACGTCCCGAGCGTGGGCAGCCAAAAGTACCCTTCTTATGATGTAGATGTCATGTACTTGTAATTGACTATCGCTGGGGTAGTATGGGGTCCGACGAAACCGCTATCACGAGTCCTGGGGGCCCTCGGGTAATTGACGTTTTTGACGGGAACGGGGCGCCATCGGGCCCAAATTGCACACTTTTTTCGGGGCCAGCTCGGCTCGCGGACGCCCTCCGGGATAGGTCTGGGGTCGGGTAGTCGCCTGCACCGCATGCGCGAGAGCTTGGAGCTCTCCAGCGAGCTCTGGATCCAAAACTTTGGGGGATTATGGTAGCTGTCCACGCACTGCCATGAACCTAGCATATGTATCTACCGATGGAAGCTGCCGCGCATGCGGTGTAGGCGCTTGCACGTGTATAGTACCGACCCTAGGCGACCCCAGGGAGACCTCAAGACCACGAATTGACAGATTTCGGCTGGCGCGGCCGCCGTGGACCATGGCGGCATCGTCGCCGCGAATAGTAAACACATGCTTTTTCGGCCCCCAGGAAGTGTCCCATTGATCTCTTTGGACCAGTAGCGAACCAAACGACTCAGGGACGGCTGCATTGAGGTCGCATCCAACACCCCCCCCTAACTGCTTGCACGCGCCATCCTCGATTTGACGCACATCCGCTGTCGTCCGAGTGCTCGCGGTGCCGCAGCGCAACTCAAACACTGAGACGTGCTCCGACGCGCTGTACCCATCGCTGTTGCAGCGATACTCGAAAATCGCGTCGCTCAACGCTCAAACAGCATCTCTTGGCACATCCAGGACACAAAATATGAAAGTGCAGCGCCTCGTCGTCGTCCTCTTCGCCAGCGCTGCAGCGCTCGTCCCGAGCCGCCGCGCGCCGCCGCGGCCGAACAAGCCGACGGCGCTCTACAACGCGATCAAGGCGCCGTTCGAGAGCCCGCACGCGCAGCAGTACGTCGTCTGCGCGCGGCGCGCCATCGACGACGGCGCCTTCGACACGGCGCGCAAGACCTACGCCTACTACCACGAGCGCCACTCGCTGCGCCACAAGCGCGACGCGGCGAAGATGGTGCTCCGCTGGGCGCTGCTCGAGCAGCGCGCGCTGAACGCGACGGGCGCGCGCGCGGTCTTCAAGCTCGGGGCGCGCGTCGTCCACGACGAGCTCCGCAACGGCGACGCCGACCTGCGGCGCGCGGCGGCGACGCTTTTTTGCAGCTGGGGCCTCGCCGAGTACCGCCACCAGCACGAACTGGGGTCCAAGAACGCGCGCGACCGCGCCACGGCGCTCCTGCGCCACGCGACGACGCTCGACGAGAGCAAGGCGCCCGTCCTGAAGTGGCGCATGTTCTCGGCCACGGAGGAAAAACCACCGACGGAGACGAAGAAGAAGAAGAAGATGGTGCCGCCGCCGCGGCGCACGCCCATCAACCAGTTGCCGGCCGAGGGCAGCGCGGACGACCCCTTCGCGCTCAACGTCTGGAAGCGGCGCATCCTCGAGCGCTTCGCGCGGTTCCACGACGACCTGCTGAGCGCCTGCGAGCGCGACGACGCGGCCGCGGTGGAGGCCGCGTGCAAGGTCCTCGAGACGCGGAACGGCAAGCGCTGCCCGGGGCGGTCCAAGGACCTCGTCGGCGCCTGGACGCTGCGCTGGGCCGCGGGCGCGCGGGCGGCGCGCGAGCCGCTCGTCGTGCGCGGGCCCGGCGGCGTCGACGCCGTGCCCGACGGGCCGGGCAGCCCCAAGGACCCGTTCCTGGACGTCGGCGCGGCCTACGAGTGCGAGGGCCTCGCCGCGGGGCTGACGCCGCGGTCGGACCGGGCGCTCGCGCTGGACGGGGCGCGCGGCGCGCCGGCGGCCTTCGACTGCACGTACCTCGACGAGCGCGTCTGGATCGGCCGCGACGACCGCGGCGCGGCCGTCGTCTTCGCGCGCGAGCCGTGAGTAGGGACCACATGTTTTACTCTCTAGGGAAGCGGGGACGCTCCTTGCGAGGAATATGCGGCGCGTGAGCTCCCCTTTGTGAGCATTTGTATGATCTACTGGGTGCAAGACGGTCACTTGTCGCGTCGACGGCGTCATGGAGGATGGCGAAGCTTCCACGTTACCCGTACACAAGCTCAGGCTCAGGCTAGTTACGTCGCGGGGTCCCCCGTACCCCTCCCGCTCCCTGGCTAGTGTCTTACATGTCGCTAGCGCGATTAAACTCACGACTCATGCTGGACGTCGCGGGTCCCTACCTTGCGCCTGAAATAAAACAACCCGAATCAAAGGCTCCACGCACGCGTGCGCCGATCCGCGAAGCTGTCTGACGAGCACGAGTCTGCGAGGAGAGTAGCAGCACAAGCATGCGCAAGTGGGTCCTCGGCGGCTGCCTGTGCGTCGCGTCGACATCGAACAATCCCTGCGACGAGGCCGTCGCGGCGGCGAAGGTAATAGACGTCCACGCGGCGCAGAAGCACCTCGCCGTCGCGCGCGAGCACGACCTGCCCTGCGTCGCGGACGTCGGCGCGTGGGCGCTGCGCGTGGCCCAGGCCGGCCAGCGCGCGGTCGAGCAGGGCGACGCGCGTCGGGCGCCGCCCCTCCTCGGCGCCGCCTGGGCGCTCGCGCCGATCGACGAGTCGCTCACGGCCAAGTACATTACCGCTCTCGGCTTCGCGGACGCGCCGGAGCGGACCGCCAAGGACGCCTTGCCGGACCGCGCCGCCCGCGTGCTGGACGACGCCATGGCGCGCGGGGTGTGGAGGGACCCGCTCCAGCGGCCGGGCGAATTCGACGCGGCGCTGCCGTCGCTGGGCGGCTGGCCGGAGGCGTCGCCGCCCGTGCGCGCGTGCATCGCCGACCTGGAGCGCGCGTACGCCGAAAACGGCGCCGCGTTCCGCGCCGAGGCGCTCGCGCTCCTGGAGGCGCGGGGCTACGAGGCGCACGAGGGCCTCCAGGACCCGGCGAAACCGAAATGGTCCTACGCCGACGTCGACGACTCTACGTTAGAGGTGAGCCGGCCGACGATCGACAGGGCGGTGGCGGCCTGTGTGGAAAGCAACCAGTGCGTCGGGTGCACCCGACAATTCTTCACTAAGTCATTTCTCGGCGATGATGCGGCCGTCCTGGCTTGGTCGAGCGGTGAGAAACGAGCACCACCATGCTATCGAGCAGGCATCGCGTCGATGGCGTGGAGGTCGACGCGACCACTCAGCACGAACGCGCCGTAAAATTTTGATTTCCGCAGGTGGCGGCCGTGAGGCGGACGTGCGGCCTCCAAGCCGCGGGGATCTCGCGGCTCGAGCCTGGCTCCGCCATCCGGCCGCACACGGGCCCGACGAACCGCCGCTGGACGCTGCACCTCGGCCTGGTCGTCGACGCGGCCGACGTCGAAAGGCTCACGCTGACGGTCGCGGGCACGGCGCGGGCGGGCGCCTGGGTCCAGGGGAAGGTCGTGCTCTTCGACGACTCCTACGAGCACGACGTCGTCCACGCGGGCGCGCGCGACCGCGTCGTCCTGGACCTGTCCGTCGACCACCCGTCCTTTTTCCTCCGGGGCGGCCGCGGCGAGCTCTAGTAGGCGCGTAATTCTGTTGTGTGTTTGACCTCATGCGCAGCATTTTTAAGTGCGGCGCGGGGGGTGGGGGTGGGAGTTACGCGAGCAGGAGCGCGAGGACGGCTGCGGCGACGCCGAGGGGCGTCGCGGCCGCGCCGTCTGAGCCCTCCGCGGGCGCGGGCGGCGCGACCACGGGCGGGGGCGCGGCCGTTGGCTTCGTCGTCGGCGCGACCGGCGCCGCCGTCGGTGCGGGCGAGGGCGCCAGCAGCGCGTAGCCGCGGGTCCCGTCGCGGAGGCACGCGTCGTCGGCGGCGCGAACGGCCGCACCGTCGGCGCCCTCAATCTCGATGACCTTCATCATACCTTGATCCGAATGGACATAGTTGTGGCAGTGGACGACCATCGGCCCGGCGAAACGGTCGGTGTAGAACCGGAGGCCTGCGCTCCGCGAGGGCTCGAAGAGCGTGTCGTGCCAGTCGCCAACGCGGAAGTAGTTCGCGTCCCGCGCGCCGATGCTCGTGAGCTGGAAGTGGTTCACATGGAGGTGTATGGCATGCTCGTTGAGCGAGTCCGCGACGACGTCCACGAGCGTGCCCGCCGGCACCCGGTTCCATCGCTTGTCTGGTTCCTCAGGGAACCCGCCGCCCCAGTCGCCCACGCTGAGGAAGAGAGTCGCGTCCGGCGTCTCGGCGCGCGTGTCGCTCAGGTAGCACGGCCGCTCCGTGGCGACTCGCCCCACGCCTGGGACGACGGGCGCCGCGCCGCACGCCTGGGACGAGGGCGTCGCGTTCTACGCCGGGTCCCTCGAGGGCGAGGCCGGCACGGGCTCCGGCGGCCAGCTCCTGCACAACCTCGCGCAGAAGCGCTGCGGCCGCATGGACACGTGCGACGCCGACGGCATGGCCGAGGCGAACGTGGAGATCTACAAGCTCTTCGACCAGGGCCGCGACGAGATCCAGGCCGAAAAGTGCGAGGAAGCGGCGGCCACGCTCAAAAAGATCATCCCGCTCATGACGCTGCCGCTCGTCCAGGGCACGGTCGAGTACGCGTACAAGTCGGACCCGAAGTCGACGTACGACTGCAAGCACCAGGCCGAGGGCGAGCGGGACTGCCTCAAGGAGTGGGCCGAGGGCTGGGCCTTCGCGGCGGCGGCGCTCCCGCAGATCGCCAAGTGCGACGCCGACGCCGCCGAGGTCGTCCGCAAGAACCTCGAGGTGCCGCCCGCGGGGGGCAAGGCGGGCGACCAGGTCCCGGACGGCTACATGAAGGTCAAGGAGGCCGTCGAGGGCACGTACGAGTGCCTCGGCATCACGTGCGAGCAGGTCGGCGTGTTCGACGCGGAGAATTCCGGCATGGAGGTGTGCACGGGCGGCGGCAGCTCCGACGCCGCGCTGGGCCTCCGCGCGTCCCTCCTCGCGGCGCTCGCGGCGCTCGCTGCCTACGCGCTCTAGACGCGACCGCGCCCTTCCCTTCCCCACGACCTACTAAAAACGCATCAGCGCGTTAGAAGTTCCCTAGCAGATCGTACGCTAGATAGAGCATACATACTAGTCTTACTCAGGGCGAGAGGCACTCAGCAGTGCTTTTGCGCGCGCCGCGACGCAGCCAAACGGCTTGGGGCTGCCAGCACGCAACTTCACGCCAGTCAATTTCATGGGGGATGACGGCTGCGCCGCGGGCCGGGGCGCGACGCCGTCGGAGATCGTGTGGGTGCTCGCCCCGGTCATAGCAATCGTCTGCGCCATGGCCTTCTTCGGCGCGCGGCGCTTCGGGCTGATCGGCGGGCGCCCGGCGGCGGCGGACCGGCGCCCCGAGGCGTTCGCCGCCGACCTGGTCGTCTCGCACCCCCTGAAGGTCATCGCCCTCAACGTGTGGCTGATCACTGCGCTGTCGGTCCTGTGTGGAAATCGATTGGATCGTGGGAGGTGATTTCCACACAGGTCAGTCTCGGCCTTCGTCGACGTCGGCTGCGGCGAGCTGCGCGAGTCCATCGACGTGCTGCTGGACGTGGACGCCTACACGAAGGCGGACAATCGCGCGTCGGAGTGGTACTCCGCGTTCGAGGCCGCGAAGGCCGACACGCGGTACTGTACCGGGAGGTTGACGCGGCGGCGCCTCGGGGAGTCGTCCGGCGCCCGCATCGACACGCTCACGCTGGTGTACCTGCGGAAACCGCTGCACCAGGACGCTATTCGGTCGCCCGCGCTCCACGACGCGCAGCGGGTCGAGAAGGATTTGATCCTCACCGTCTTTGGGGGCCAGGGCTGGCGCGACCACTGCCTCCCCTTGCACTGGAACGACACAGCTTCTTCACGAGTCTGCGCGCCCTGGGCGCGCGACTCGAGCGTTCCCTACTACTGGACGGGCTCGGGACTCACGACGGACTCGAAATTGCGAGACGTGGAACAGGTCACGACCTGGATGGCCCAGACGGGCGTCGGCAACGCGTTCTTCTCGGCGAATTTTGGGACCGTCCGCCCGGGGTCGGAGATTGTGCGCTCCACGTTCACGTTCTTGGCCACGGACGAGGTCGAGTTCAAGACGTGGCTCGTCGACCACGTCTGGCCGAAAATACTCCAGGAATGGGAGACGTCGTCGTCGTCGATGCGGCTGCTGTGGCTGCAGGGCGACATCAACGACGCGGAGGTGGCGTCCGCGCTGGGGCTCGACATGGTGCTTTGCGGCATCGCGCTGGTGCTTGTGTTCGCGGCGCTCATCGCGCACATGCGCTCGCCGGTGCTGGCGATCGTCGCGATGGGCCAGGTCCTGGTGTCGATCCCCGTCGCGCAGTACTTCTACCTGCGCGTCTTCGACGTCTACATCATCTACCTGCTGAACTTTCTCAGCGTGTTCATCGTGGCGGGCATCGGCGCCGACGACGCGTTCCTGTTTTTCGACACGCTCGCGCAGACCATGGTCGAGCGGCAGCACAAGCGGGACGGGCTCCGGCGCGTGACGGCGCTCCAAGACTACAAGGGCGACCGCAAGGACGAGCTGAGCTTCAAGACGGGCGACGTATTGATCGTCGAAGACGAGGCCGGCGACGGCTGGTGGCGCGGCCGCCTGGCCGTCGGCGTCGGCAAGTTCCCCGCAAGGTACGTCGCGCCCTGCGAGGGGCCGCGGCGTGTCACTGCGATCGTCGACCGTAGTCCCCGATGTCGTACGGAAGAGGGCGAGCTCTTCTTCCAGACGGGCGCCAATATCCTGGTGGAGGACGACTCGGACGCGACGACGTGGCGCGGGTCCCTCGAGACCGGGGGCGCCTCCGGCCGGTTCCCGGCCGCGAACGTCGTCGGCGGGAAGCGCTACAAGGCCAGGTTCGACTGCGACGCCGACGCGCCCGACGAGCTCGGCTTCTACGAAGGCGACGTCATCGAGGTCTCCGATCAATCGGACCCGGACTGGTGGGTCGGGTCCCTAGTGCACGCCAAGGGCGTCTTCCCGGCGACGCACGTGGCCGCCGACGACGAGACGGAGGCGTTCGACGCCGTCGGGCGCCACGCGCTCGCGGAGGCGTACCGGCGCGCCGGCGCGTCGATGGCGACGACGTCGGTCACGTCGGCGGCCGCCTTCTATGCGCTCGCCGTGTCGGAGCTGCCAGCGATCCAGGCGTTCGGCATCTTCACGGGCACGCTCATCATGGTCAACTTCGTCCTCGTCGTCTCGGTCTTTCCCGCCGTACTGGTCCTCTTCCCGCGCTCGCTGCGCGCGGGCCGCCCGAAGCCGGCGGAGCTTCCCATCGTGGACGCGGAGAACGCGACGCCGGCGCCCGACCGGCCCCAGAAAGACGTGCTCAACCCCCTGGTCCGGGGCCTCGGCCAGAACGTGCGGAAGTTCCTCGACCGGCCAGCCGTCAAGTACGTGACGAGCTCGCTGCACGCCGCGCAGGAAAAAGTTGGAAGGGGTCTGGACCGCGTGTCCGAGGCGATCGCGCCCAGCTCGAAACGCGGAAGGTTCCTCGACCGCGACCGCGCGGGAGGCTCGCGGTGGCGCCAGACGCTCCAGGCAGAGGTTGACGCCGGCAAGATGGGCTGCCTCGACCGCTTCTTTGGCGTGAGCCTACCCGGCATTCTCGTAAAGCGCGCGGGGCTGATCGCGGTGCTCACGGTCGCGATGTTGGTCGCCGCCGCGCTGAGCGTAGGGCTCGTCGCGTCCGTCGACTACGCGCCGCCGCGCTTCTTTCGGCGCGACCACAACCTGGGCCTCGTCTATCAAATCCGGGACAAGTACTTCCCGGCGGACGGCGGCGTCGCGACGCTGCTCGGGGAGGCCGCCGGCGACGAAAACTACGAGTACGGTTCAGCGACCCAGCGCGGGACGGGTGGCTACGACGAGACGCAGTGGAGCCCGCAGTGCTCCGACAAGGTCGGCACGAACGGCGAAATATGCTCCGGGCACGGCACCTGCGCCCACACGACCGGGTTTTGTCAGTGTTACGACGGCTACATGGGCTTGATGTGTGATTCTCTTGACGAGGAGTACACGGAATCGCCAGTGTCATCGCCGCCGACGGTAACGCCCCGCCCGACGCCGACGCCGGTGCCAACGGTCAAATTCGGCGCACCGACGCCAAGCCCGAACGCGGCGGTCGCGGGCCCGTCGACGACGCCTGCGCCGGCGGCGGGCGCCGCGCCCGCGCCCGCGCCCTCGCCCGCGTCGCCCTCGCCCGCGTCGCCCTCGCCCGGCTCGCCCTCGCCCGGCCCTCCCTCGGGGGATTCGGGAGGCGGTGCCGCTTCGGTGTGCAGCGAGAACGCGTGCGGCCGCTGCTCGTGCAACTCGAATGGCTGTCAGACGGCAGATGGCGCGTGCGATTGCTTCCCGGACTACCGTGGCGATAAATGCGAGTTCTATTACCCCTTCGACCTCCAGCACACGATCACGCTAGACGTCGTGCAGGGCGTGCGGTCGCGGCCCGGCCGCCAGTCGGACGCGCATCCGCACGGCCGACCGCGGTACTGGCGGTCGTACGACTGGTCCAACCCGAACGTGCAGATCTTCGCGCGCGACGCGTGCGCCGACCACGCCAAACACTCGCATCTCAAAATGCGCCGCGAGGACTCGGCCTGTATTGTTGAAATATTCGAAGCCTCCTGGCTCGTCCCGAAGCAAAAGGCGTTGCCGCTCTCGCCGTTTGAGTTCGAGACGGAGTTCCTGGCCTACGTCGACAGCAACCCCACGGTAGGCCTTGGCGGTGACTCGATCCTCGACTACGTCGGCGTCGACTGCGACGCCGGAGGCGCGCGGACGGTCCGCTGGATGCGGGACCGAATCCTCTTGGACGTGCGGCCGGACGCAGCGCTTTCGACGCGCGCCGAGATCTACCGGAACTGGGTGCGGTACCTGCGCCGCCGCGACCACGGAAAGCCGCACGGCGCCACGCGCTCGGTGCTCTCGTCCAATAACTATGTGCTCACGGCGCTGGTCGGCGGCGTCATCCGCGACACATTGATCGGCGCCGCCGTTGCGCTCGCGTGCGCGTACCTCTGCGTCCTCGTCGCGTCGGGCTCGCTCGGCCACACGACGCTCGTCTTCTCGCTGGTCGTCGCCGAGTGCCTCGTGCTCACGTTCACGGTCACGTGCCTGCTGGGCTACGAGATCGGCATCATCGAGGCGGTCTCGATGCCCATCTTCCTGGGTCTGTCCATCGACTACTCGTTCCACGTCGACCACGCCTACCGCGTCGCGGCGCACGACAACCCCAACGCCGAGCCGGCGAGGCTCGTGCGGCGCGCGCTGGAGACCGTCGGCGCTCCAGTCTTCGCGGCGGCGTTGACGACGTTCTCGTCGACGTTCGTCCTCATCTTCGCGCGGCTCCTGCCGTTCTCGAGGCTTGGCGTCATCGCGTCGATCAACACGACCTACGCGGCCCTGACGGCCCTCGTCGTCCTCCCGTGCTTCCTGCACCTGATGCCGTGCCTCCGGCGAGAGCAGGGCTGTTGGCAACGACCGCGGCCAAAACTACAGAAGCTCGCGCGGCGCTCGCGTAGCCTTCTGCGCAGCCTCAGCCCGGCGCCCCGCCCCCGGACGCGGCCGGCGGATCTCGAGATGAAGCTCGTCAAAATCACGCCCGGCGTATGAGATTAAGTGCACCGCGGTCAGAATAGAACATACACCTGGGAACACATAGTTCCATACGACGGAGGCCCCATCCAGCCCCCGGCGGCTTGCGGAGGGTACTAGGGTGCCAGCCCGAGGGCGCTGTTCTCTCGCATTTATCACGCCGGTCCAAAAGGGCTACTACTAGTTGTGTGAGCTCGTTGGCGTGGCGCCGGAGCCGATATGCTTCCTGCCGAAGACATCCCCCGGCTTCCTGTCCTGGGGGCGCCACTCCCCCGTCGAGGGACGTGGCCCGTCGTGGGCGTCGCCAGCACAAGTTTGCGCCAGCCCTGGGCGTCCTCAGGTCCTACTAGGCTATGTCCACTACCTCCGCTAAGGCCAGCAGCTACACGGCCACCCGGGCACTAAGGGGGGGGGGCGCGCGCGCGAGGGGGGGTTGGAAGTAGGGGGGCTACGCGATAAACGCAAGCGCGGCGCCGGCCAGCGCGGCGCCGGCGACTTCGCCGGCGCGGCGCGCGGCCGCGTCCGACATCGGAACGGCGCTGTTGGAATCCGCACAGTTCGAGAATTCGCAGAACGTAGGCCGCGGCGTCTGCGGCGACGGCGTTGGCGCGGGTGCCGGGGGGTCCGCACACGCGTCCATGCCCGAGTAGACGATGCCGCTGGCCTGGAATTCACCGACGTCGGCGCAGGTGATGCCGAGGCACGCGTAAACGCTCTCGACGGCGGTCTTCACCGCCGCGACGCCGTCCTTCATCGGCTCCGCCGCCTCGACGTCGAGGTTGTCTCGGATAGTCGTGGCGGCCGCCGCGTCACACTGAGCAATCTGCGGGAGTACGGCCGCGGAGAAGGCCCAGCCCTCGGCCCAGGACTTCGCGCAGTCCTTGCTGTTGGTAGCGTCGTTGGTGGCGACGGTGGCGGCGTCATTTCCGGCCTGGCCGGCGCACGAGTCGCCGTTCACCGGGTCTGCCTTCCACGCGTACTTCAGCAGGCCCTGTGTGTGCATTTATGATTGATGAGAGTTGCGGTCGCGTCCACGAGATCGCACGACCCCCACGCCATCGAGCAGACAGCTTTCGCGTCTATAGCCTCGCCGAAGGCGCGAGAAGGGAGTTCCGACACCGACGGCGCGCCTGGACGAGCGGCACGGTCATCTGGCTGACGATGCTGTGGAACGAGGCGGCGAGGCGCGCGTCGTCGCAGTAGGTCCCCCCGTGGATCGTCAGGTCGCGGCCCAACGTCGAGTGCTCGTTCAAAATGCGATCGTTGACGTTGGCGAGGGTGCTGCTGTCCGCGCCAGTCGCGCACGTCCCGAAATCCGCGCAGCGCTTCTGTGCGAGGTTGTAGAGGAGGTTACCCGTGCTGGCGACGTCTGCCGGGACAGACGTCTGGCCCTCCATTGACCCGACGTAGTGGGCCATACCCTTGTCCCAGTCGTTCGTGGAGCACTGGCTCCGTCCCACGTCGAACGAGTGGGCCGCGTACATCCAGACGCCCTGGTAGGCGATGCCCTTCTTGATGAGCTCCTTCCTCATCGCGTCCGGGAGCGAGCCCGTGTACGCTCCCTCGACGAACGCGTCGGCGTAGTCGTACCCGTTGTTCCAGTAGTCCTTGTAGACGGGCCACCACTTGTCGCTCGCCATGGAAGTCGCACCCGGCTTGGACAGGCTCGCGAGCGTCTGGACTCCGTTGGTGCCGCCCTGGTACTTGGCCATCGCGCCGGCGAGGTCGTCGGCCGTCAGTTCTGCGAGGATCTCTTCCATGTCGAGGTCGATCCGGGCATCGGCCTCCACATTGGTCTCCGGGCGGTAGGTTGTGAGAAGAGGGTAGCTCCTGCGTGGGGGCGGCGAGGGTGGCGGCTCCTGCGGGGGCCGGCGGGCCGGCGAGGGCGCGCGAGACGCACCCGAGAGCAGGGCTGGCCGCGAGGGCGCATGCGAGCACCGCGCGAAAGGTCCGCCCCATCATCTTGGCTTGTTGAGTGTGGCGGCGCTTCCTTGAGCAGCGGCGGCCCTCCTGAGTCAAACAACCCGCACAGAAACTCGACACATGTACAGCAAGCAAGCATACTTAGCCTGGACTGTAGTGCTCACAATTTCGCTGAGCCCGGACAGCTCGGACGGCTGAGTCCCGGCGGCAACTTGAGCGATGCCCGCCGCGCCGTCCGGACCGTGGTCACGAAAACCACCTAGCATCAGTGCAAAGGGTTTCGGACTCCTTATGCGGGAGTCCGGGGCCTAGCATCGGGGGGGGGGGAGGCGGTACTTGGCGGGGACGGCCCGGGCGGGGGTCCTCAAACTCAAAGGAGGAGCGCCGCACCCGCGGCCGCGGCCGCGGCGCCGAGCGCGAGCGCGGGCGCCGTGGCGTCGTCCGAGGCGGGCGCCTCGCAACCGGCCACGGGGATGGGCGCGGCGGTGGCGGGGAAATTGGCGGAGCACGTGGCCAAAGCCGGCTTCGCGGGGATGGCGGTGCACGCTTCCGCGCCAGCGTAGACGACGCCGCTGCTCTGGAACGCACCGATGTCGGCACAGGTCACGCCCAGCTTGGTGTAGCAAGATTCGATGGCCGTCTTGACGGTGGCAAAGCCGCACTTCATCGGCTCGTTCGCCCCGGCGTCGAGGTTGTGGCGGACCACGGAAGCCACCTCGGGGTCGCACTGGTCGAGCTGCGGGAGCAGAGCCGCGGCGAACGCCCAGCCCTCGGTCCACGACTTGACGCAATCGTCGCTGGCGGTCAGGGCGGTCTTGCCGGCGTCGGCGGAGCAGTCGCCAGCGTTCGCCGGGTCCGCCTTCCACGCGTACTTGATCGTGCCCTGGATGAGCGGGATCGTCATCTTCTTGATAATATCATCGATGACGGGCTCGGCACCGGCGCAGTCAGCGGCAATGATTTTGTCGCGGCCACTCTTGAAATCGGTAACAAGTCCGACGTTCGCCTTGGACGGACCGGTGGTGTCGAGGGTGCCGAAGTCTTTCCCGCGCTTCTCCGAGAGCTCCCAAATCAACGTGCCCTCCTTCTGAAGGCCCGTGCCTTCCATGGCCGAGTCGGCCGCCGTCGCCGCGACCAGAGAGCCGGCGTAGAAGGCCCAGCCCTCGTCCCACGCGTGCGGCGCGCCGCCGGTCGGGGTCGCGTCGTTGGCGGTGATGTCACCGGCGTAGCAGTCGCCGATGGCGTCCTCAAGCTCGTGGAGCACGTACATCCAGACCGCCTGGTAGTTGGCGCCCTTCTTCATGAGCTCGGCCCGCCCGTTGTCTTTGACGTTCGTGTAGGTATTCGTGACGAACGAGTCCGCCCACGCCCAGTCGTTCCAGTAGCAGGCGTAGATCGGGGGCAACTTCTCACCGTACTTGCCTCCGTCCGTGCCCCGGAGTTTGGCCGTAGAGTAATCCTTCGTCGCGAAGCCCTTGAGCGTGCGGATCGAATCGGACTTGCGGGAGTTGCCATAGGCGGCGCCCGCCGCGCAGCCGGCGCCGTTGTCGTTGGCGTTCACGCATGTCCCGTTGCCGCCGAACTCGTAGATGCGGAGCGCCTCGGCGAAGCCGGCGGTGGTCTTATACCCGACCTGTTTCTCGAACTCCTCCATGTCGAGGTCGATCATCGCGTGGGGTCCGACGTCCGAGGCGGAGTCGTAGCCGGCCATCGACTGGTGCGAGCTGCGCGGGGGGGGAAGTGAAAAAAGACGCGCGGGGCTCGGCGCTGTCGACGCACCCAACCTGCGCGGCAGCGCCGCCCAAGAGGGCAGCTACGAGGGTGATGCGCAGCATGTTTTAGGTGCTTTGCGGTCGGTTTTAGCGGTCGCTGCCCAGAGAAAACAGCGCCAGCTCTTTTTTAGCACTTTTGGCACGTGCGCACGTGCTTGCCCCGCACTTTTCTGCCGCAGAACCCGAGGCGCACGAGAGAGTCCTATAGGTAAGATACTATATATGAGGATCATTACGGCCAAGATAAGACGGCATACAAGGCCTCGGCCGTTTCTAAACATACGCTTCGCCACTACAGGCCAACTCCTACGAGGGGGTTTAGTCCCTAGTCCCTAGCATAAGCTCCCCCCAACTCCTGCGCTTTACCGCACCCAAGTAAAAGGCACCTACAACCGAGAGAATTACAAAACCGCCCAAAGATCGTACAACCTGGACGGGCCAAGTACCCTCAGAGCTCGCTCTGTGGTTTTCCACTGCGCGCGCGCAGGGCTGGGTGGTCGATGGACAGGTCCAGGACGACGCGGTCGCGCGCGCCCGCGTGGACGACGTCGTGCTCGTAGGAGTCGTCGAAGAGCACGACCTTCCCCTGGACCCAGGCGCCCGCCCGCGCCGTGCCCGCGACCGTCAGCGTGAGCCTTTCGACGTCGGCCGCGTCGACGACCAGGCCGAGGTGCAGCGTCCAGCGGCGGTTCGTCGGGCCCGTGTGCGGCCGGATGGCGGAGCCAGGCTCGAGCCGCGAGATCCCCGCGGCTTGGAGGCCGCACGCCCTTTTTAGGGCCGCCACCGCCCTGTCGATCGTCGGCCGGCTCACCTCTAAGGTAGAATCGTCGACGTCGGCGTAGGACCATTTCGGTTTCGCGGGGTCCTGGAGGCCCTCGTGCTGCTCGTAGCCCCGCGCTTCCAGAAGCGCGAGCGCCTCGGCGCGGAACGCAGCGCCGTCTTTGGCGTACGCGCGCTCCAAATCGGCGATGCATGCACGCACGGGCGGCGGCGCCTCCGGCCAGCCGCCTAAGGAAGGCAGCTCCGCGTCGAACTCGCCCGGCCGCTGGAGCGGGTCCCTCCACACCCCGCGCGCCATGGCGTCGTCTAGCACGCGGGCGGCGCGGTCCGGGCTGTCGTATAGCATCAGCGCCGTGTAGTACTTCGCAGTGAGCGGCCCATCGTCAGGTGCGAGCGCCCAGGCGGCGCCGAGGAGGCGCGGCGCCCGACGCGCGTCGGACGCGCGGTACGCGTCTTGGCCGGCCTTGGCCACGCGCAGCGCCCACGCGCCGACGTCCTCGACGCAGGGCAGGTCTTGCTGGCGCGCGACGGCGAGGTGCCGCTGCGCGGCGTCCACGTCGAGACGCTGCGCCGCCGTGATAGCCTCATCGCAGGGCGATGCTGCGGCGGCGGGGCAGCAGCAGCAGAGGACCGCCGCGGCCCTGCGCATGCCTTGGCCTCACGCACCCGTCTGAACAATCAGGTGGCTGCCGAGAGAAACGCCCGGGCAGGTGGGCAGCCGGACTTCCCTGAAGTCCAGTCCACGATTGTGCTCGTGATCGATCGAGCGCGCTCGGGAGCTACAAGCTCGGCTCCCCTCCCTCGGGGGGCATTAGAGCTATGTAGGAGAGCTATGTAGCATCAGACTCAGCACCTACGGGTTTCACAGACAAGCCCCTGATTCGAAACTTCTGGGATTCCGCAATATGGGACGGGCTAAGGGGGGGTCTCTCATTCTATCGATTTCTAAAAATAAATGAGGACGATATATGCGCTTAAATTAAAGAAGGAGCAGGGCGCCGCCGGCAAGAATGCCCAAATACACGTCCGCAACGCCGGCAGCACTGGTCTGGATCGGCGTCGGCGCGGGCGTCGGCGCGCAGGTCCCGCCCGCCCGAAAGTGGATGCCGCACCTCAAAAGAGAACACGCAGTGCCTTGGTGCGAGTCGCTGCTGAACGCGGCGTCTTCGGCGAGGCACCAGCTGCCGAGGTCCTGGTCGAAGGCGTAGGCGTAGTAGAACATTGACTCGAGGCTCGTCACCCGCGACACGTCCCAGTTGTTGAGCGGCTGGTTGAACGACTCGGCGTGGGCGAACATAGACACCATACTCGTCACCCCGGATACGTCCCAGTCGTTGAGCGGCTGGTTGAATTGCTTTGCGGAGCCGAACGTGGCGAACATATTGGTCACCGCGCTCGTGTCCCACGCGTTTATGTCGTCGTCGAAGTTCGAGTTCTGGAAGAGCTGCGCAATGTCCGTCACCTGGCTTGTGTCCCAGGACGAGATGTGGCCGTACGTCGCCTCGGCCGCCGTCGCATCCGCGAGCCACGCTGCTACCGCATCACGGATGGTCGTGTCGTCCAGCACGCCGGCACCGGCGGCAGCCGTGATGAGCCCCGCCAGGCAAAACGAGACCGGGCCGGAGGCCGCGCGCATAGTGCGCGTTGAGGGCTAATGACCCCTGGGCACACACTGTGTCGAGTCCAACTCTGATCGGTAGCTTTACGAGTGGGCTGCCAATGTAGTCAACAGGCAGCTCCAAACAAAGAAAAGGTTTTCGCGTGTTCACTTCACTCCGTTCAGCTCCCGTGAGCACGCGCGCCCGAGCGCGCCCGAGGCGAAACGAAGCGGCGCTGGTGCCCGTGACACTTTTCTTATCCCGCTCGATTCTACTTCATTCCTAGTAAGAGACATCCGTCATTTGTTTCGGACTAAAGCCGGTGCCTGTGGCAAGCTTTGGTAAAGAAGAAGCCTGGAAGCACGTGTAGACGCAGCGCGCTGCGCGTCGGCTGCAATACGATCAAATATGCTGCCCCGTGTACTGACTGCGGCGGGCTTTGCTTTGGCAGCTGCCCAGACCTACGTGACCGATGAAAACATCAGTGCCACAGTCACAGAGTGGCGCAACGACGCGGTCGCCGCCGAGGCGGCGCACGGCCACATATCGACCTGGGACACTTCTGACGTCACAAACATGGATAATCTGTTCCTGGAATGCACCTCCTTCGACGAGGACATAAGCGCGTGGAATACGGCGCAGGTGACAAGCATGAACGGCATGTTCAGGGGAGCAATTTTTGACTCCTCTGTCGCGACCGGCGTCATAAGCGATGCCTTCGCAACGTGGTGGCGCTGAACGCGTTCGAGAGGGGCCGCTTCGCTGCCATCGTGCCTCTAGCGACGCCGTCGCGCCGTCGCCGCGAGTCATCGACGCAGACATTTCTCTCCCGCTCAGGTCGAGGCGTGGGACGTCTCCAACGTCAGGGACATGACGCGCATGTTCTCCCGGAACGCGCGCTTTAACCAGCCGCTCAACGGCTGGACGACGACGTCACTCGAGAGCACGCGGGACATGTTTGGCTACGCCGAGGCGTTCAACCAGCCGCTTGATCAGTGGGATACGTCCTCCCTGACCGCGATCGACAACATGTTCGAGTGCGTCAAAGGCTTCGACCAGGACCTGGGCTGGGCGCTCGGCAAGGAATGCTCGGGGGCGGTCCGCGGCGGCGCGTGGGCCTTCCTCAACACGCGGTGCGAGGACTGGGACTGCGGTCTGAACGGCGCGACCCCCCCGCCGTCGTCCGTGCCCACTACTCTATCGCCGTCCGCGTCGCCCAACCCCACGGCAAAGCCGACGTATCCGGAAGCATCGGGCGCGGCGGCGGCGACGCCCCTCCTCCTGCTCTTCCTCCTCGGAGCGGCCGCCCTTGCCTAGTACTAAGACCTCTTGTTTGCGCTCTCGAGACTCGGACTCCGCTGGCCACCGCTCGGCGCTGCGGCCGCGGGTGCGGCAGATGGTGCGGCGCTCCTTTGAGATTAAGGACGCCATCCAACCCCCCTCCCCTCCCTCCCACAAAGGCTAGGCCCCGGGGAGCCCCACTCACTCCGAGTCTAGGAACCATTGACACGGACCTGTAGAGGAACCTGAGGAGTTAAGCGACCGCGCACGCTAGACTAGCCAGCTGCACGACAATCCCAGGCCCGGTACGCGCCGAGGACTACGGCCGCGTACAAGGCGAGCCGAGCGGCGGGCCGCGTCGACGCGGGCGGCGTCAAAAACGACTCGCCGTACATGTAGGTCAAGACCCGCTCGGTCTCGTGCGGACACCATGCGGATACGCCTTCGATTTGGCATCGTCGCAGCGGGAAGATCCAGTCGGCCGGGAAAACGGGGACCTTCCGGTCATCTTTGCGGCGCGTCTTGCAGGACATGCACGTCCCGGTCCAAGCTCGCGAGAAGACGCCGTGCACGAGGCCCCCTCCTTGGTATGCGACTTTTTCAGTTTCCGTCAAGTGAAGGGCTACCTTGTGCGAGAACCGATTTTCCAGAGGCTTCTCGCGCTCGTACCGGAAGTACACGAACAAGTCGACGTATAGTTCCGTCTCGGGGTCAACGACGCGCGCGATGACGTCTTCGACCCGGCCTGTCCAGTCGAGCCGGAGCGCCCGCTCCGCCAAGAAATCGTCAAGCGACTGACACGGGGTGCGGCGCGTGGAGTTCATTGCCGTACACCAAATAGTCTCGTTCGCCGCGGAGAGCGCGCTCAGCTTGAGGTGCGCCGCCCGGCTGACGCCCAGGTCACCGTCCTCGTCCCACCGCAGCACGCGCCCGCTGCGCCGCGCTCCCAGCAGCGTCCCAGAGTCGAGCCAACATTCGTCGAGGAACGTTTCGCAAAGCGCCACTGCGCCACGTACCACTCTGACCAGCGACGCCAGGTGAGCACTCTGGCTCCGCACGCGCCGCGTTTGCTTACTTCCGTCGTCGGCTGTGGCTGCGCTTTTGACGCCCACGACGACGAACTCGTTCGCGAGCAGCGCGAGGAGCAACGCAGCCCCCAAGACCGCAGCGCCCTTTCGGCGGGTCATTCTTCATGTCACGCTTGCGGTCTCTCGCACATCAGTGAGACACAGCCAGGCGTGAGCGCAGCTTCCGCGCGAATGGTGTGTCGGGGCAGCCTTACACCACTCCAAATGCCCTTACCTGTTGCTGCGGTGCAGCCAACAGAGCCAGCGGCACGGTATCACGAGGCGCTTTTCTTGAAATCAACCCCACCAAAAGCTAAGCTGTGCATTAATATTATGCAGGGCACCCCGGCTCTCTAACTCGAATGTCCCCTAGGGCGTGCACGACTCTACCGGATCCTTAGTTTTATAGACAAAACCAAACCGCCGTAGAAAGCCGCGCTGTCGCGCCCCTCCCCTTTTCGCGCCGCTCTTGCACGTCATCCGCGCGACGCCTCGAGACGGCTCTAGGGACAGGCATATAGGTGTCGTTAGAGACGGCGCGCGCGCGCTTCTCGCCGCGGCCGGGGGGTCCTAGGCGAGCGCCTTAGAAGGCGACGCCCTCGCCCTTGAGCTGCTCGACCCAGTCGTTGGCGCGGCCCTCGCTCTTGTCGTACTCGTTGTCCTCGTCGCAGAGGAGGCCGCAGAACTTGCCGTCGCGGAGCGCCTTGGAGTCCGAGTAGTCGTAGTCGTCCGTCGCCGTGAGGCCGACCATGGTGGCGCCCTGGGCCGAGAAGCAGTCGTAGAGCTCGCCCGCGGCGTCGCAGAAGTTGTCGCCGTAGGAGCCCTGGTCGCCGAGGCCGAAGATGGCCACCTTCTTGCCGCTGAGGTCGAGCGACGGGAGGCGGTCGTAGAGGAACTCGTCCCAGGCCGTGCCCGAGCGCTGCTCGTCGGCGCCCGTGTGCCAGGTGGGCGCGCCGCAGATGAGCGCGTCCATCGACGTGAGCGTCTCGTCGTCGACGCTGTCGATGTCGACGGCCTCGATGCCCGTGGCCGCCGTGAGGTAGCCCGCGACGGTCTCGGTGTTGCCCGTCGTCGTCGAGTAGTAGAGGCCGACGGCGTTGAGCGGCGCGGCGCGCGGGGCGGCCTTCGCGGGCGCCGGCGCGAACGCGGCGGCCTGCGCGCGCGGTGGAGTCAGTCAGTCGCTCGCGTTCGGGGCGGCGGTCGGCGCGAAGCGTTTGGTGCAGGTGCGTGCATGCACTTGTGCACCTTTCTTTTGCGCGCAAGAGCGCGCGCGGTGCGAAGGCGTTTTGCAGCGAGCGCCGCGCGGCCTCGCGGTTGATGTGCTGACTAAGATGCATCGTCAATGAGTGCCGGCCTTTTTGCTTGCATCGCTTCGCGCTTGCGCGTTTTTTTTCCGGACGCAGCAGCGAACGGGCGAGAGTGCGAGTGCGAGGGCGAGCTTGGACGGCATTTTGCTGCGGTTTTGTATGTGCTGGCCAAATACGTCTCTAATGCTAGGCGGGTGGCAGAGAGGCGCGTGCTCGGCTACTAGCGTCGTACTAGCGTAAACCGAGTTTGTAGTTTCCTTCTAACGACCCTTAACGTCGCAAGAGGCGCATCGGAACGAGTAAAACGGGAACAAAAGGACGGCAAGAAAAGAATAGGGGCAAGGCCGACTCAGGCGGCCACAGTGCGCCGCGACGAGCAACATGTTGTCCCCCGGTCGACGCCGCGCGGCCGCCATATGGGCGTGCGCCCTGTTGGGCTGCCTCCCTACCGCTCGTGCGCTCTCACCGAGTTTGGCCCTGCGCGGCGCTGCATTTCTGGGCTGCCTTCACCGCGCGCAGGCGACGCCAGGCGTGGCCAAGGAGATCGTCGACTCGGCGCTCGTCTTCGACAATGGCGAGGTTGCGTCGGGCCTGTCGGGTAACGACGACGCCGTCCAGTGCCTCCGTGCGGCGATCGCGGAAGTTCTCACGAAAGGCTCTGATTCAGTAGTTGGTGAGGGGATACCTTGGGTGAGCTCCGTAAAGGCCACGACCTACGCGGACCCCGACGAGGGAGATCAGGACAGCAAGGTTGCGTTCTCCATCTCCATGACAGGCATCGACGCGCAAACGGTACTGGACGATTTGACGAAGGCCGCAGTAGAGACGACCAACATGATGGCGCAGCTGAATTCGTGCGATCCTAGTTGGCCCTACGGCGACCCCGACGCGGAGCAGACGCGCCACGTGCTCGAGACACAAACGTTCCAGCGCGCCGGCGTCGCGTCGGTGGGCGCCGTGATCTCCTCGGCGCTCGTGTTCGACGGCTTCGGCGCGCGCAATTTCAACGCCGACTCGGTGGCCGTGTTGCGGTTCAAAGACGTGGTGGCGGATATCCTGAGCGCGTCACCGCTCCAGATCGACAACATCGTCGCTGAGGAGTACATCAACAACCCCTCGGCGATGGTCCGCTTCGACGTCGCCGTCCACGCGTGGCCCATCGGCTCGGCGATCCTCGAGACGAAGGAGGCTGTGGCGCAGGAGCTCAAAGACGCCCTTGTGGATGGCCAGGTCGACGCGGCACTCTTGTTACACGCACCAGATTGCGACTGCGTGCTGGCAGTCGGCGTCCTGAACGTGGACGCGTCCTCTGCCAAAATCGACGAAATAACGATGGAGGGCTCGCACGGCATCACGTCGCCGCCCGTGGCCTGCACCGACTGCGACGACGACGAGGACGACCTCGGCGCGGGCGCGCGAATCGCCATCGCCCTGGCGGCCGTCTTCTGCTTCCTCGGCGGAGCGCTGGCTTCCTTCTTGTATATCAGCCGGCGGAACAAATTCAACGGCTGCCTTTCCCCGGCCAAACGGCGGATCAGCGGCTTCACCGGCTCGGCGGACCTCGAGCTGCGACCAGTGGACCCGACCCAGAAGGAAGAGGTCCGGCCGGCGAGAGATGTCGTTTAGGTTTCTCCTCCCCTCCACAGTGTAAGTAAAGTATTAGTTCTAGCCCGGTGTACGTCGGACGTCCCCGCCGCGGGAACGTGGAAGCTGCTGCTAGGTTGCCATATACCTGAGGGGTTATTTACCCCTGGCGCCGCCCGGGGTTAATAACCCGGGTAATTACCGGTTATTTATTTATTTATTTAGTACGGATTATTTACCCTCATGAGCTTATAGAGGGGTCGGGAGGGGTGGGCCACAGGCCACCGGCCTCGGTGCGCGCGCGCGCGGCGGCGCGGCGCCAGGCCGTGCCCTGTACCGTTAACGGTACGGTGCACACAGACCCTAGTGAGTTTTGCGCCACTAGCATTTAAGCTGTTTTGCGCCGCTCGTCAAGTTGCCATTTGAAAGCGAGCTGTGAGCGAGCACAAAGCGGAAACCTGTGGCGCCTCGGAGGGAGCCAGATTCAATCTGAGCAGATAGTTTGAGCCGCACCGCCGGCTGCCCCTGCAAAGATGGCTGCTGTCCGGCGCGGCCTCCTGCTGCTCGTGGGGTGGCTCGCCAGCGCCGCTGCTACGCAAGGGGTCCCCTTGGAAATCGTCCTGTCTGCGCTGGTTTTCGATGGCACCGCAACCATGGATCTGAATGGCCCAGGCAACGACGCCGTGCAGTGCTTACGGGCCGCCATCGTGGCCGTGCTCCGCGAGGAATACAGTTCTGCGTTCGTCTCCGATGTCACCGCCACATCCTATGTGGCGGACGGCTCCACGAACACAAAAGTGACATTTCGGGTCGCCGACGACGGCATCAATGCGGAGTACGTTCGGAACGACCTCCTGTCCGCCGTGGTGGAATCGTCCAACTCAGACTCGAATCTGATGCTGGCGCTGGGCGACTGCTGGCCGTACGACGATATCGACGCGGAGGCGGCGAGTCACGTCCTACAGACCGAGACGTACCGCCGCGCCGGCTTTGCCGACGTGGGCGCCGTGGTCTCGAGCGCGGTCGTCATGGACGGATTTACCGCGTCCTACTTCAACGCAGACGCGGTCTCAGTGGCGCAATTTGGCGTCGTCGTCGCGGACGTCCTGCGCGCGGCGACGGTCCAGATCGACAACGTCGTGGCCGTGAATTTCTACGGTCTGGACGAAGGGAATGATGGTGTAGACGCCATACATTCGGGGACCGTAGCCCGAGGTTCGGTCATCCACTTCGACGTGGCCATTCACTACTGGCCTGCCGGCGCGACCGTTTTGGAGACGCCGGAGGCCATTGCCCAGGCGCTGCTCGACGCCCTGGTCGCCCCAACGCCGACAGCGTTCCAGAAAGCGCTCGATCTCTACGGAACGGACCCGCAATTCTGCGACGGCTGTGTCCTCTCTTCGGGAGTTCTGAACGTGGCCGCGTCCCAATTTTATATCGACGAAGTCACAATGGACGGGTCGCACGCGGTCACCTCGCCGCCCGTCCCCTGCACCGCGAACTGCGGCGGCGGCGGCGGCGGCGACGACGACGACGGACTGGACGAGGGCGAGGCCGCGGCCGTGGCGATCTTCGTCATCCTCGCCGTCGTCGGCGTCGCCGGCCTGATCTTCTGGCTCTACCGCAGCAACAAGCTCCGGGAGTGCTGTCCCTCCGAGGAGGTCGAGGCCAGCGCCGGTGAGCTCGAGCTCGACAAGGTCTCCCGTTCCGCGACCACAGCCGAGCCGCAGACGGAGATGGTGTAGTCGCGGGCTTGTGGGATTTTCCAAGCCCACATATATCCTTGTGAAATGTTGTCCGACGCCAAGTCATCTACTAGTACGGTATGGGGACTTGTATGGGGCAGACTCACAGTCCAGATGCTGGTGGCGCGGCGGGCGATTTCTTGCGGAGCAGAGGCCTAAGCGAACCTTGCCGTGCTTATCATGAGGCTGGAATACATCAGCGAACCAGACCCGCGCGCTCGAGCACGTGATTGGAGCCTCGACTTCGCGCGCTACCTCGAGCTCCTCGTCGCGGACGTCCGCGCCGGCAACCACTCCATCGGCGACCCGGCCAACGAGCCTTAGTTCGTGTTGTAAGCTTTTCTATTTTGTCACTTGAGTACTCGCACGTCGCCTACCCCGCGAGTCGCGAGTCCGTCCGATCGAGGCGCGGCGTACCCGCGGACTAACGGCGCGCGCGGCGCGCCTTGCTTTGTTGGACGTGGTAAATGTGTCCTAGCTATCGTGCACGTTCTATTTAGCTCAGGGTATGTGTACATGGCGGCTTTACGATACCCGCGCTGCGGCACGCGCTTCCTGGGCTGGCGCCATCTCACGTGCGATTATGGCAATACACAAGCACCTAATTGACGCTGTCGCGCGCCAACTATTGCCCGGACAACCAAATAACAGCCTTTCGCAACTCCCAGCGCCTCCCGCCAGCCCGCGATGGCCGAAGTTCCCGTCCAAAACGATGCTCCGGTCATCTCGGAGTCCGATTTGGTGAGTAAGGTGCAGATCGAGCCGACGACGGAGAAGCGCCCGCGCGAGGAGGTGTTCACCCGAGTCCGCCACCCTTCAGCCTGGAGAAAACGCAAAAAAAACGCGCGTGCCACCAAAAACTGACTCGTCGACACCCGCGCAGCCCTCTGTCGAGCAGGCCGCGGCCGCCATGCAAGCGTTAGTCCGCGCGCCGGCCCCGGCCCCGAGCGTCCCGGCCCCGCCCGAGTCGCCGCGCCAGGCCGACGAGGAACGCAACCGCGAACGCAACCGCGGCTACGCGCGCGCCTACCGCGAGCGCAAGCGCCTCAAGCTCCAGACGCTCGAGAACTGCCGCCAGGAGCTCCTCAAGGAGAACGCGCGGTTATTGGAAGAGGCGCAGGCGCGCGACCGCAAGGAGGCGGCCCTGAGCGCCGAGCGCGACGCCGCGCGCGACCGCCTCGCGCGCGTCGAGGCCGAGAACCGCGCGCTGCGGGCCTGGATCCACCAGCTCAACGCGCCGCCGGCGCAGATGGCGCTCAAGCAACCGATGATGGGCATGGGCGTCGCCCTGGATCCGCAGGTGCCGCGGCGCGCGGTCCTCGTGCCCCGCGACGCCGTGCCCGTCAGCGAGTAGGCGAAGAAGCAGAAGAAGAAGAAGAAAAGTTCAAGAAAAGTCGCGTGCCCCGAATATTCTCCCGGGGCGTCCGCCAAAGACTAATAAACCCTGTTGCAAATTCCAGCTGCAAATGCCACGGCGGGGCCGCCGAACCGTCGGTCCTAGCCGCGAGTGACGGGCCGAGGCCTGGCGCGACGCGCCTCTCTCAAAGTTGCAGAAAGGCCGTGTGGGAGTGGAAGCGGAAGAAGTCGTCGCTGAAGCGCTACCGACTGATCTGCGCGCGGTCAGCGCGCTGCAAGGACCTCGAGAGAGGGCAACGACCTGGACCACCTGTCGGTCTACGAGGCGATCGACGCGGCGGGCGGCAAACTTAAAGAAGCAGATTGTAGAGTGTTCCCGTCAACTTAAAATTCAAGTTGATCACTTTTCTAGGGAGTCGAATGCTATATAAAGCTTAAAGAAGGAGCGTAGCGGCACCGGCAAGGACGCCGGTGAGGGTCCAATAGCGGGCTGCGACCGCGCCGGCAGCACTGGTCTGGATCGGTGTTGGCGCGGGCGTCGGCGCGCAGGTCCCGCCCACCCGAAAGTGGATGCCGCACCTCAAAAGAGAACACGCAGTGCCTTGGTACGCGTGGCTGCTGAACGCGGCGTCTTCGGCGAGGCACCAGCTGCCGAGGTCCTGGTCGAAGGCGTAGGCGTAGTAGAACATTGACTCGAGGCTCGTCACCCGCGACACGTCCCAGTTGTTGAGCGGCTGGTTGAACGACTCGGCGTGGGAGAACATAGACACCATACTCGTCGCCCCGGATACGTCCCAGTCGTTGAGTGGCTGGTTGAATTGCTGTGCGTAGCTGAACGTGGCGAACATATTGGTCACCGCGCTCGTGTCCCACGCGTTTATGTCGTCGTCGAAGTTCGAGTACTGGAAGAGCTGCGCCATGTCCGTCACCTGGCTTGTGTCCCAGGACGAGATGTGGCCGTACGTCGCCTCGGCCGCCGTCGCATCCGCGAGCCACGCTGCTACCGCATCACGGATGGTCGTGTCGTCTAGCACGCCGGCACCGGCGGCAGCCGTGATGAGCCCCGCCAGGCAAAACGAGACCTTGCGCATGCCCTCGTGCGCGCTCGGCGGCGGCGCGATTGCCCACTCACCACCAGGGCAGCATTTGCGTCGGGCAGCAAATTCTCATCTCTGCCCAGCTCTAGGCAGAGCCAAGACCAGCCCCGCACGCCGACTTGTAACGCCGCGCCGACCGCCAGAGGGGCGGAACGGGGATGCCTATGGGGTGGAATTCAAAAGTGCAAATTAAGATTGGACGGACGACCGGGATTTGTCTCGGAGCGCGTCCCGTAGGTGCGCGCAGGAGGCACCGCCCACGTACGTGGCCTGAGGGGCCTTGTAGGGCACCGCCGCCGCCACCACGATAGCTTGTCGGGGGGAGCGGCGGCGTCGTTTCATACCTATGCTACACGCGGCTACCCGACTTTGCGACCTTGGCACCGTTGTTCTCTTCACGATCGACCCACTTGCCCGTTCTCCAGAACTGGCCGTGCGTCGACGGGGCACGGAAGAACCAGACGGGTGCTGTCTATGTATTACCGTCGTTGCCATTTGTTGCCGTCCGGCCATTTGATGCCGTCGGCCACGATGTCGCCGCGGAAAACCGGCACGATGACGTCGTCGACCGATTCCATCGTCGTGCCCGCGGGCGGCTGCACTGAGCCTGGCTCGACGAGCAACGCGATCGTCGAGTCCGTCGCTAGCCCTTTGATCGACCAGACGGGGCCCCCGGGGTCGTCCTGGCCGGTGATGCGGGCGCGGTCGCCAGTGACCTTTATTTTGCGCCAGCCATTGACGTGGTTCGGGTCCGCATACTCGCCCTCTAACTGCAACGCGTTGCTTCGTCGCGTTGTGGCGAGTGCCACGGCGGTCGCAAGGGCTGCGCGACGCGTCGTCGTTGCGGCATTTGCGAGTGCTGCGCGACGCGTCGTCGACGTCGCATGCGGTCCGCGCATTCGTTCGACGCGCATCGATGCGACGAGTAGCGCCTGGAGCAGCAGTAACAGCATTGGCCCGGCCGAGGAGCGGCCCCCTTTTTTCAAGAGCTCGAAGAAGTACGAGGCGGTCACGCCGGAGCGAGGGCAGAGGCACCCTCGGAATTGATTGGCATCGGCCTGTGGCTGCTGCTAGAGAGGAGTGCAGCGCAGTTTGTTGCCGCGATAATCGCGTCGCCCGTCGCCCGCACCTTCGTTTCGGCAAGCGCTGCTGCACGTGTAGTAGCAGTCAGCAGTCAGCACGGTGGCACAAGCGTGCAAGGCCACATCGAGCGCAATCAGATGGGCTTCAGCAACGTGACCGGCAAGTATCGACCGAAACGCGGCGGCTGCGAGACCGCCACGCAGCGCAAGAAGCGACGCTATCGGACCGGCGACCAGGAAACCGCCCAGGACATCCGCGTCGTTAAAAAGCAAAAAAGCGAGCGCGCCGTCGGCGACCGCGCGCCGGCGCAGCTGCCGAAGCAGAAGAGCGCGGCGCAGAAACGGCTGAAGGCCCTCGTGAAGAAGAACGAGGACATCAAAAAGCTGCGACGAAAGGCGGAGGCTGGTGCCGCGCTCGACGCGCAGCAGACAGCCAAGCTCGCGAAGGGCGACGCGGTCTTGCTCGAGCTCCACGAGTTCCTGGAACAGCACCCCGCCGAGGCGGCCGCCTACGCCGCCGCGCGGGACGAGGCGAGCAAGCCGCGATGATAGGTGAACACCTCCTCGCGCGGGCGCTTCTCCGTCGTCGGCTCGATCTGCACCTTACTCACCAAATCGGACTCCGAGATGACCGGAGCATCGTTTTGGACGGGAACTTCGGCCATCGCGGGCTGGCTGGAGGCGCTGGGAGTTGCGAAAGGCTGTTTTGAGCCTCTTGCGCTATTGCGGTGCTGCGTTTGCGTCTATTGCAACTCTAAAGCACATGACCAAGACCGTGCCCCGCCAGACGCCAGGCTCACGTGCCAGGCCGTGCGGGTCTGGTTTCTCGCTGAATATTCCAGCCTCATGACAAGCACGGCCAGGTTGGCTTAGGCCACCCGCCTCGCTATAGGAATCGCCCGCCGCGCCACCTGCAGGTTCCGCGTTCCCGCGGCGGGGACGTCCGACGTACACCGGGCTAGAACTAATACTGTACTTACACTGTGGAGGGGAGGAGAAAACTAAACGACATCTCTCGCCGGCCGGACCTCCTCCTTCTGGGTCGGGTCCACTGGTCGCAGCTCAATCACGTGCCAGGCCGTGCGGGTCTGGTTTGTCACTGAATATTCCAGCCTCATGATAAGCACGGCAAGGTTCGCTTCTCTGCTCCGCAAGAAATCGCCCGCCGCGCCACCAGCAGACTGTGAGTATGACCAATAAAAAGTCCCCATACAGTACGAGTAGATGACTTGGCGTCGGACAACATTTTACAAGGATGTATGTGGGCTTGGAAAATCCCACAAGCCCGCGACTAAACCATCTCCGTCTGCGGCTCGGGTGTGGGCGCGGAGGAGGAGACCTTGTCGAGCTCGAGCTCACCGGCGCTGGCCTCGACTTCCTCGGAGGGACAGCACTCTCGGAGCTTGTTGCTGCGGTAGAGCCAGAAGATCAGGCCGGCGACGCCGACGACCGCGAGGATGACGAAGATCGCCACGGCCGCGGCCTCGCCCTCGTCCAGTCCGTCGTCGTCGTCGCCGCCGCCGCCGCCGCCGCAGTTCGCGGTGCAGGGCGCGGCGACCGCGTGCGGCTCGTCCATCGTGAGCTCGTCGATCTTTACATAAGACAACTCGACGTTGACGGTCGCGTCACGCAACACGCAGCTCGCGCAGAATTGCGGGCCGGCGTAGAAGTCCAGGTTGGACTGGAGGCTGCCGTCCGAAATAGCCGTTTTTAGCGCTTGGGCGATCGCCTCGGGCGTCTCCAAGACGGTCGCGCCGACGGGCCAGTAGTGGATGGCCACGTCGAAGCGGATGGTCGTCGTCAGGCCCTCGTCGTAGTCGTCTTCCAAGACGGGGACGGGCGGGTCGTCGTCGTCCTGAATGCTGGGCGGCTTATATTCCTCGGCCACGATATTGTCGATCTGGACCGTCGCCGCCTGCAACGCACCCGCTATAACGATTCCGAACTGCGTGATGGCGACTTCGTCCGCATTGAAGTTGTGGGCCCGCAAGCCGCCGAGCACGACCGCGCTCGAGACCACGGCGCCCACGTCGGCGAAGCTAGCGCGGCGGTACGTCTCGGTCTGCAGGACGTGACTCGTCGCGTCCGCGTCGATATCGTCGTACGGCCAGGAGGTCCAGGTTCCGTCCGGTAGAGAGCAGTTCTCCAGGTTCGCCATGAGTAGCGACGGGCCCGTCGACGGCTCGACGACGGCGCTCTTGAGGTCGTCCCGGACGGATTCCGCGTTGATGCCGGGCAAATTGACCGAGAAGCTCACCTTGGTGTCCGTTTCCCCGATATCGTAGACGTAGGACGTCGCCTCCGGCAGTGAGAGAAACGCTTCACTGTAGGTGGCGCGGAGCGACGCCCTCACTGCCCAGCGCAGGCACTGCTTGGCGTCGCTGTCGTCATTCAAAGACATGGTTGCTGTGCTGTCGAAGACCAGCGCCGACTCGACGATTTCCAGGGGGACCCCTTGCGTAGCAGCGGCGCTGGCGAGCCACCCCATGAGCAGCAGGAGGCCGCGCCGGACAGCAGCCATCTTTGCAGGGGCAGCCGGCGGTGCGGCTCAAACTATCTGCTCAGATATATATATATTGAATCTGGCTCCCTCCGAGGCGCCACAGGTTTCCGCTTTGCTCGCTCTCAATTTTAAAGTGGCTTCTTGCTCAGGGTCAAGGGGTGGGTATTAGCGCGGGCGTCGCATCCGCGCAGTTTGTCAGGGTAGGTCTGCCCGCGGGAACATGGCTTGCCGTGGAAATCTACCTTCGAAAGCATAACCTTCACGAGTCTGGCCCGGTATACCGGTATCGAGATTTTATGCCGTGAGCTCGACCGAGGCCTCTGCTTCAGCAAACGTTGTGGATTGATGGCGACGAAGGTCCCCCAGGCAAGTACCACGGCCTGGCGCCGCGCCGCCGCGCGCGCGCACCGAGGCCAGGCCTCACGTGCCAGGCCTGTGGCCCACGGTCACGGTGCCCCTCCCTACCCTTCTATAAGCTCCTGAGGTAAATAACCCGTACTAACCGGGAATTACCCGGGTTATTAACCCGGGCGGCGCCAGGGGTAAATAACCCCTCAGGTATATGGCAAGGTTCCTAGTGGCCGGCAGACACCTCCTAAAAATTCCGCGCGTGCAGTGTCTAACGCTGACTACTCAAGAGCGAAACGTCAGTTAGGGCACGGCGCCGGACCCCTCCCCCGCTGAGATAAGATAGTGTATGGTGTGTACCCAAAAGGGGGGGCGCGCCGCGGCCGCGGCCTAGTCCGCCGCGGGCGCGTCGGGCATCTCGGCGTCCTCGGGCGCCGCCGCCGCGGCGTCCTCCGGCGCGGCGGCGGCGTCGTCCATCTTCGCGTCGCCGTCCTCCTCCTTGGCCTCGGCGGGCGGCGCGTCCGCGGGCGGCGGCGGCGCCGCCTTCGGCGGGAGCGGCTTGGGCTTCGTGAGGATGGGCCGCGTCGCCTGGTCGAGGTCGTAGAGCTTGTCCTTGATGTGGCTCGGCAGCAAGACGGGGTCCTGGCACTGTTCCAGACTCCCCTGCTTCTCGAGCGACTCGAGGAGCCACTCGGACGCCTTCGAGGCCGCGTCGCGCACCGTGCCCCGGTCGTCGTCGCCGATGTGCGCGTGTTCTTCTGAAGTCGAGTTGCAGAACGTCTTGAGGGCTTCGACCTTGGCCTGGAGCTCCGCGACCAAGGACGGCCGCTCGCGGTCGGCCTTCCTCCGCAGCTCCGCCGCGTCGCCGATGTTCCGCACGTCCTTCAGCCTCTGGGCATACTGGGATTTGGTGGCGTCGTACCCGTCGCCCTCGTACAACCACGTCTCCGCGTCGTTTAAACCGGCCTCGAACTTCTGCTTCGCGTCGTCCGACACGTACGGCCGCAGGTCGCCGATCACCTCGTCGCGCATCTTGTAGATGTACGCCTCCAATTCGTTGCGCATGTCGTTCGTCTCCCTTATCACTCGGTCCTGGTTCGCCATCTGGGCCTCGGTCTCGAGGCACGCGTTGAGCTCCTGGCGCGTCATGCGCGCGACACTAGATTCGACCTCGAGGGGCGTCTTCTTGTACTTGCGCTTCTTCTTCGTCGGCTCGGGCTCCTTGGCCTCCTCCTTGGCCTCCTCCTTCTTCTCCTCGGCCTTCTCCTCCTTGGCCTCGCCCTCGTCCATCTTCGCGTCCTCCTTCGGTTCCTCGTCGGGCACCTCCTGGACGAGCTGGGCCGACGCGACCTGCACCGTGCCGTGGACGCTGTGCGACACGTTCACGCGCACGCGCGCGGAGCCCGCAGGGACGCCCTTCACCGTGAACGCGCCGATGGCCGGCGAGACCTGGTCGGGCAGCTGGGCCGGGTCCGCATAGCTTGCTTTGATCGTGAAGTCCTCGCCCCGCCGGAAGGTCAATCTCTTGGTGGACGGCGTCTCGCCGTTCCGCGGGAACAATAACACATCGGCGGAGTCGTTCACCTCGTCGTCCGACTCGTCCCCTTCCATGGGTTTCGTCGAGGGCGCGTCCCAGGACAAGGACACGCCGAAGGGCGTCGCCTCGAGGATGTTGTACTCTTTTACTTTGAACCTCGGCGACAACATGGCCGCTTGCATGGCACAGCCCTTCGACGTGCACTCGTCGGCATTTAAAGTTGTTTTTAACCCGTAGTTCGGCTGCGTTTTGTCCGTATTTAGCTTCGTGGCGAGGACGCGCTTCACGGACGCTACCCTAGAACCGCCGCCGCAGATTTCTACCGAATGGAGTTGATCAACGGACGTCTCGGAGTCGGCGAGGGCCCGTTCCACGGGGTCCAATAAGCGATCTAGCAACGGCTGGACCAACTCCTCGAACTTCTCCAGGGTAAGCTTGCAGTTGAAGTCCAAATCGTTCATCAAACACTCCAAGTAGATGTTCGCCTCCGCGACGCCGTGCGGCGACAGCGTCTTTTTCGCCTTCTCCGCGGCATCGAGCAGCTTCATGCGCGGCTTCGGCGAGCTCATGGGGTCGCACTTGTGCTTCGCTCGGAATTCCGACGCGATCCACTCCGCGACCCTCATATCAAAATCTCTACCTCCAAGTGTTCGATCATAAGTCGTAGATTTCACGGTTAACTTCCCGATGACGTAGTCCACGACCGACACTTGGTACGACGAATACCCGACGTCGACGAAGAGCACTCTCTGGGCTTTCTCGGCGTCGAAGGCCTTTTTGGCCGACCGCCAGATGCCGTACTCGAGAGCGGTAGCCGTGGTATCGTGCATCAGCCTCAAACAACGAACCCCGGCGATCTCGCACGCGTCCAGCATGGACAGCCGCTGGTCGTTCGTGAACCAGGCCGGCACGGAAACGACACAGTCGGCGATCGGGACGCCCTTCGTGGCCTCCTCGCAGATCTGCGACATCTTGCAGATCATCATGGCCGCGCACTGCTGCAAGGTGAGTTGCGTCGGGTTGCCGTCGTAGGACACCTCGACGCCGACGTCGCCATTTTGTAATTCCACGAACTTGAGGCCCGGGACCCGGGCCATTTCTTGCTGCACTTCTGGTTCTTGATATTTCCTTCCTATAAACCGTTTGATGCAGGACACGGTGTTCTTGTAGTTGCTCCGCGCGATGGACGCGGCCGCTTCTCCTAAAAAGCGCTGCTTGCCCTGGAACGAGACCTGGCAGGCGTTCAGTCTTTTAGAGTTCTCGTTCAGCAGGACCGTGACGCCACCGCGCTCGGCCTGGGCGACGACGGCGTTCATGCAGCCGAAGTCGAGGCCGACGACAGCCATGGCTGCGCTGGCCTACGCGGCTGTATCGCTGGCGGGTGGCCTCCCTGGAAGGAGGCGCCTACGTTGGCTGTATCGCCGGCGGGTGGCCTCCCTGGAGTGGAGGCGAGCTGGCGCGTCGTTTCGCGAGCTGAGCGTCGACAGGCGTGAACACTGTGTTCAGGACTGCCCCTCGCTTGCACTGCGTTGCACGATGTGCCTCACAATTCGAATGCCGAGTGACGCTAAGTCGCATCGACATCCATCGATTATTTCGTGCGGGGCGGCCGCGGACCGCTCCGAGAAACCTTTTCCAACACCGAGGTCAAGCAACAGACGTCGCTCCTGCTTTAGAAACGGGTAAAACGCCTTTCGCCATGGAGGACGCACCCGCGGGCGGCCGCCGCGGACCTAAGAACCACGCCAGTCACGCCAGGTAGTAGAGCCAGGTAGAGACGCCAGGACCAACGCCAGGACCCGCCAGGCGTCTACGCCAGACGCCAGACGCCGCCGCCGCGACAACAGAGCAGTATATATATAAGCAATCTTACGCACAAGCGCCACGAAACAAACTAACCGTGGTAACCCTGAGCGATAATAAAGTGGCCGCCCTCGCGGTAGCGGTGCAGGTACGAGAAGGCGACCTTCTCGATGGGCGTCGGCGCCATGCCAAAGTCCGCGAAGGTCAGCACGCCCTCCCCACCGGAGCAGACGACGTCCAGCCGATCCAGTTCCACGTCGTCGGGCACCCACAACGGCACGGGCAGCACGTCCACGAAGGACGCCGCCGCCGACGCCATCGACGCCGGCACGTCGATCAATTTCGCCTTCTGCTTCGTGATGTCGAACGTGAACTCGGCGAGCTCCCTCCGCGTGTACTCGGCCGGCCCGCCTAGCTCCACGACCTTCCCCTGGTACTGCGATGGCTCGGTCGCGATCTTGTTGATGACCTTCGCGACGTCCGCGACGTACGTCGGTTGCACGACCGCCCGGCCGTCATCCACTAGTGGCACCACTTGGAGGGGCATGTTCGCCACCGTAGCAAACCAGTTCAATAACCTATCTTCGGGCCCGAACAACGCGCAGGGCCGGACGATCGTGGCGTTCGGGAACTCCTCCAAGACCGCTTGCTCGCCTTTGGCTTTGGCCCTTGCCCAGGCTACGGGGCTATCGGGTGATTGCGCGGCACAGGAGACATGAATAAAATGTTCGCAGCCCGCCTCGCGCGCCGCCTTCGCAATCGTCCGCGCGACGTCCACATTTGTTTCTTCATACGAGTAGTTGACCCTGCTTTTACTTCCATCGGGTTTTTTCGTGGGCACCACGCCCTTCGTCTCGTAGTACTTGCCGACCATGTTCACGGTACACGTAGCTCTCCCGATGACGTCCTGGACCGACGCCGCGTCTCTGGGAGAATAAAAGGGCGCGTGGAATTGACCGTGATCAAAGGACACCTTCAAGTGCCGCGTCTCATCATCACTCCCGCGGTTGCCCACGCGGACCCTCGTGCCGACCTTGCCCATCTCCGAGCAGACGTATCTTCCTAAAAATCCCGTCGCTCCAAATAAGCTCGCTCGCACGCCGCTCACGGAGTGGCGGCCGCCGAGGCCGTACTCTCCGGTTCGTAGGGACGACGCGCTCGCCTCGTGGGCGTCGACGGCGCCGACGACGGCCGACAGCGACCGCGTCGCTGTCGCGCGGGGGGCCCGCCGGAGGCTTGAGGCGAGCATGCTGCTTGAGGCTTGACCTGCTCGGCGGCCGGCGCGGATCGGCTAAGAGAAACGCGGCGGGCTGGCGCGTTTGTAGGAGCTCTAAAATAGCCTCCGGCTGCGCTGCGCGGCTGGCGTAATGTGGTAAAAACTGAGCTCAAAGCCGAGAAAACCCGATTATTTTTGGGGCGGCGCCGCGCACGACGTCAACGCGCCCCACCGGAAATATCATCACCATATTTAGTCATCCTCGTCATCCTCGTCGTCCTCCTCGTCGTCCTCGTCCTCGCCCTCGCCGTCCTCGCCGCCGTCGTCGCCGTCATCAGCGGAGACCTCGGTCCAGCCGTCGGCGTCGCGGTACTGCGCCAGCCCCCGCTCGGAGCCGTCGTCGCCGGCCCGCGCGAGCGCCTCGTCGGCCACGAGCGGCCGGTAGAGCTCGTACAAATACGCCTCCTCGTCGAGCGCCATGATGAGCTGCTGCGGGCCGTTCAATAAGACCTGGAAGAAGCCGTCGGCGTGGCGCGGGCCCCGCGGCAGCATGTACCACAGCACCTTCTGGAGGTAGCGCGCCGGCCGCGTTTTGAGAGCCAATGCCACCGGCAGCAGCAGCAGCAGGAACGTCTTGCGGCCCGCGTCCTTGACGCCGACGTTCGCCGCCACCAAGAGACCGAGCGCGACCTTGGCGCCCTCTTTATAATCCATGTCCAGAATTAATGAAGCGCGCTCGCCTATCGTGGCTTTTTTCGACACCGCGCGGCCGCTCTCGAAGAAGGCCTTGCGCGGGTCCCGCTTCGCCAGGAGGCCGCGGCCGTCCCTCACGATACCTTCCGTGACTTTCGCCTTGCGCCGCTCGAGCTCCGGTGCCAGCGACGCGAGGAGCGCGCGCTCGTGACGCCGCACGTCGTTCGCCACGCGCGCGCACACGCCCAACGCGTCGTCGTCCTCCCCCTCCTCAAGATCCTCGTCGAATTCGTCGGCCAGGACTCGTCGCATGTGGTCGAGCGCGGCGCTCTCGGCCGCGTAGGCCCGGACCCGATCTTCCAGGTCGTCCGGCGGCCGCGGCCGGCCGTCGGCGACGGGCGGCACGACGTCCAACGTGAGCGCCGTCCGCGTTCGTTCCTCGTCGTCTTCCTCCTCATCTTCCCTCAATGACGAGGCGGGTTCGTCGTCTTTTAGTAATCGGCTCCCGAGGAAGAGCCTCTGTACCGATCTAGGTGGGCCGCCGGGGAAGCGCATGGACAACATGTCCTTGAGCTCGCCGATCGTCAAAGTTTCGTCGTCGAGGTTCACATCAACCTTCTTATCGAGGAAGCGACTGCCGACGGCGGTGGCCACGCGCAGCTCCAGGGCTTGCGTAACGGCGCAGCAGAGCAGCAGCAGTCGTGGTGCTCGTCGTCTTTTCATCCTTGCGATGCGTGCGCGCGCAGCGGCGGCGTGCGCACAGCGGCTTGCAAGGACAAGTGGCAAGCTTTGTGAGCACACTGCTTGCGTTACGCGAGCTTGCGCTACGAAAAATGAATCGCACGTATGGCACGATTGCTGCGCATGCACTTTTGCCCGTGCAGCCCTTTGCGCAGTCAATTAGCTCGCTATAGCATGCTGCAGCACAAAAGCGGAGGCCTCCAGCGGCACCGCAAAGTCGAAGCTACGAGGCCTTGCGAGCCTTCTCTACGCGTGACGACCGATATGGCGCCTCAAACCGACCTCGAGGCAGCCATCGAGCTCGCCGGCACTGTGAGAGCCTCGCATTATCAGGCGCGCGAAGGGCATCATCAGACATGGCTGTCCCAGACAAAGTAGCTTTGGGGTTGTTCTTCTTCTGGTGGTAACCGATCCAGCGTTTCGAGCCACGCCCAGCAGCAAAACTTGCAATGCCCCTCATGTTGCAAAATGACGCCGCGCGCGCAACGCAGGTATGCCGGCAACACCAAGTACAACGAGTACAACAAGGGCGCGCTCGACGCCGTCGGCGGCAAGACGGCGGGCATGACGATGACGGTGTCGACGATGCAGCTCGGGGTGTGCGCGCTCTACGCCTTGATTTTGTGGGTCGTTGGCTTGAACCCCGTCAAGCTCTGCGGCTTCCAGGCGCCCGACAAGCAAGCCTTACCGAAGTCGACGAAGGACGACATCATCAAGACCGTGCCCGTGGGCTTCTGCGCGGCCGCGGCGCACTCTTCATCGGTATTTGCCCTGGGCGGCGACCCGCTCTTCGGCCAGATCGTCAAGGCCGGCGAGCCGGTCATGAGCGCGATCGTCAACACGCTCTTCTACGGCAAGCCGCCCTCCATCTTAAAGGCGGCGTGCCTCCCGATCATTGTGGGTGGCGTCATGTTCGCCTCGTTAAAGAAGCAGGCGGAAGGTGGCTACGCCCTCAAATTCGATATGACCGCGCTCCAGTTCGGGCTCCTCGCGAACTGCTTCGCGGCCTTCAAGGGTAGCGAATCGAAGAAGCTCATGACGGACCCGGGCATCAAGAAACGCTACGGCGGCGTCGGCAACCAGTACGCCGTCACGGAGATCCTGGCCTTCCTCATCTCGCTGCCGGTCATGTTCCTCACGGAGGGCGCCAAGTTCGGCGAGTTCGTCGAGCTCTTCAAGACGTCGTCGGACCTCCAGTTCAACCTCGTGATGTCCGGCATGATGTTCTACCTCTACAACGAGCTCGCGACGATGACAATCAAGGCGACGGGCGCCGTCACGGCGTCGGTGGCCAACACCGCGAAGCGGGTCATCGTGCTGGTGTACATGGCCATGGTCACGGGCAAGGCCCTGACGGACGAGCAGAAGATCGGCGCCGCCGTGGCCATCGGCGGCGTGCTCCTCTACTCGGTCATCGACGACCTGTTCAGCTCGAAGAAGACTAAAACGAAGTGAGCAGGCTGTGGCGAGGCGCGGTTGCGTGTCTAGGGACAGTAACATTCTTATTTCAACAAACTCTCAGGGCCGCCGTAACCCGCAGACCCAGCACTCCATGGCCTCGGCCTTGTTGACGCTCGTGCAGAAGCACGTCCAGGCGCCGGGGTCGACCGGTGCCGGCGCCGGCGCCGGCGCCCTGGCTACGGGTGGGGGCGGCGGCGTCGGTCGCGGGCGCTTCGGAGCAGGTGGCGCGTCGTCGGCGGGCGTCCAGACGCCGCTGCCCACGGTGACCTCGTGGTAGCGAGGCCGCGCGATTCTCGTGAGCCAGTGCGCGAGCTCCTGCTCGCCCAGGTTGTAGCCGCGGCTGCGGTCCTGCAGATTGTCCGCGACGATCGTGACGCCCTTCGCCGTCGCCGCCTCCAGTAAACGGTACGCGGCCGAGAGCGCGCCGTTCTGGAGGAGCGCCACGCGCCCGGCGGTCTGGCCGTTCACGGAGACGAAGACGCGGTCGAGCGGCGAGTAGCGCGCCTTGTTCGCAAGATCTCCCGCTGCCAGCCGATATTTTTCCGTCGAGGAGCCGGCCTTGCCGCGTCCGATAAAGCACGTCGCGTCGCGAGCCTTGCGCAGGTCCTTCTCGAGGGAGCGGTGGGCGTCCGCGTCGCGCAGCGTCGCGAGGCGGCCGTGGAGCGAGGCCGGCACAGGAGCGGCCGGGGGCGGTGGCGGCGGCGGCGGCGGCGCGGGCGCGACCGTCGGCTTCGGCGCCTTGGCGCGCGGCGGCGCGGCCTCGTCGTCCGACGAGGTGTCGAGGATGGGCTTCTTCCGCTTCTTGGGCGCGGGCGCCGTCTCGGCCTTCACCGTCGGCGCGGGCGCGGGCGCAGGCGCAGGCGCCGGCGCGGGCGGCGGCGCGGGCGCGGCGGCGCGCTCCGGCTTGATGCGCTTGATCTGGAGGACAGTGCCCTTGCCCTGGACCTCGCGACTCGCCGTCGTGAAGCCACCTCTGGATTCCGCCCAGCGGTGCACGGCCATGCGCGACGCCTTGTCTAGGCCCCGCACGTCGACGCGGCCGCGCGAGCCGTTGGCGAACGTGAGGATGGCCCCGGCCCGCTGCTCGCCGAGCGCGGTCGTTAACGCTTCGTCCGCGTCCGGCGGCGGCGGCGCAGCAACGGGCGCCTCGACCGCCCGGCCGTCGATCGTCGCGCCGCTCTGCGACCCGAGCACGACCAACGACTCGCCACCGCCACCGAGGACCAGCCGCAGCGGGCAGTGGTCCGAGCCCATGAAGCCGATGCGCTCCGCGCCGCGGCCCAGCAGCTCGCACGCCGCCACGCCCAGCTTCACGGAGACGAGCGCGTGGTCGATGCGCATGCCCTTGCCGTAGTAGCGCCCTCGACCACCGTCGCCCGCCGCGCCCCGATAGCTGAAGTTCGGGCCGTCTATGTCGACGTCCGAGTTCTTCGCGCGGAACGCGTCGACCAGCGCGCCCTCGCTGAGCAATTCGCGGAACATGCGGCACTCGCGTTCCGAGCAGCCGGGCTGGCCCTCGTCGTCGGGGTCCAAGCGCTCCGTGACCCAGCCGCCCGCCGGCGGCCGTCCCAATCTTCTTTTATTTACGTTGTTCTCCCGCTTGAACCACGACGGGTGGCTCAGGTCCTCGTCGCGCGGCGCTACATTTAAATCGCCGACGTAGACGAGGGGCTTGCGGCCCCACTCTTTGATATCCCGGGCGAAGGTCCGTATCCTCTCTTCCCAGGCTGCTCGCTTCGCGAAATGGGGGCCGTCCACGCCGTTGTTCGGGCTGTACGTGTGCAGCAGGAGCAGCGTCTCGTATTCTAACAGTATAATCCGTCCATCAAGCTCGTGGCGCGTCCCGAACCGGGGCGACTCCTCGTCCAGCTCGCCGACGCGGGGCAGGTCGAACCAGACGCGCTTCGGGGACGCGCCGCCTCGTTTCAACAAAACCGCGGAGCCGGCGTACTTCGTGTCGCTCAGCGAGTAGACGGGCGCGTGCCAGGCGTCGCGATCGAACAACGCCCGGACGCGATCTAATTCCTCGTCCTTCGCTTGTGGCCTCCGCCGGTCCCGCTCATGGCCGTCGCCCTTTTTGTGTTTCGGCACGCCACAATAGGCCTTGAGCCGCACCTCGCTCAAGAACACGCAGTCGGCGCCGCACGTCGCCAGGAACCGTCGTACCTCGTCCGCGTTCTTCTCGCTGCGCGGCACGACGCCATTGATGTTCCACGAGACGATGGCGGTCGGGTCTCCTGATGGTGTTGTCTCAGTGAGCTTCGCGAGTTTACGCGAGGCGCCCTCCCCGCCGAGGAAGCGCTTCATTGTCGCATGCGCGCTGGCTGCTTGTGAGAGTGCTTGTGTCTGCGGGTGAAGGCTTTCCAAGCAGCAATGCGGCACAAAAACACGAGCTGCGAGGGGCCCATGCGATGTATACTTATGGTACCTTATGGTACCTTACTGGCACGGGACCCTTTGGCTGCCTAGGTATCTAGAAACGATGGGAAACGGGCACCTGGTATTTTACTGATTATGTCACGCACGTAAGGGGGTGGGATAGACTACGACGCCAATCTTACTGGGGCGGGGGATTAAATTTATGATCAACCGACTATTCTCCAGACGTGCGAACGACGCGGTTATTAAATTTATGAGCGACCGACGGCTTCGCGGCGGGACCCCCGAAAAAGCGTGGTTCAATGTGTGCAGCGATTAATAAACCCCCGCGCTCGCGCGCAGAAGCCCACAACAGGGACTACTCGTCGCCGCCGCCCTCGCGGTCCAGGGACTGCGTCGAGCCCGACGTCGGGAGGTGGCCGTTCGCGGGCGGCGCGTGGCCGTTCGAGGCCTCGCCGCCGCCGCCCTTGCCCTTGTACGCGTGCGCGCCGAGGCCGTAGATCTCGCCCCGGTACTTGTCGTCGACCAGGGCGTAGCGGTCCTCGGGCATCGCCGAGGCGAAGGCCAGGTCGACCACCCGGAAGAAGGTGGCGTTCGTCAGCATGCTGTCGGACCCCGCCTGGTGCATGGGCCCGACGCGCTCGACCTTGAGCTCCTCCGCGATGCGCTGGAGGCCGCCGTGCAGCCCGTCGACCTGCGTCACCACGAGCTTGACGTCGAAGATCCGCGGGAAGTAGATGTGGAGCAGCTCGAAGAACTGCTCCTCCGTCGACGGCAGCGCGGAGCACGTCAGGATCTTCAGCAGGTAGCCGAAGTCGTAGCCCGAGTGGAACGAGATCCATTTCACTTCGTCAACCAAGACGAGCCCGGACATCATGATCAGCTCCCCGAAGCGCTGCACGTCGATGCCCTCGGCCGCGTGGCGGTCAAAATCAATCCCCGACTGCTTCAGGAGCTCGATGGAGTCCTCGGCGTACATGTCCTCGTTGAGATCAAATCTAAAGTTGAACTGGTAGCAGTAGCAGCCCTCGGCGGGCGTCTCGCCGTTCTCGCCGCAGAAGCTGATGCCGAGCTGGATGATCTTCAGCAGGTCCACGTTGCACTGCAGCGTCTGGTACGCGAAGCCGTTCGAGCTCAGGTCGCCGACGGGCTTCGCCACGACGCCGGGGAACTCCGTGTCCATGGCGACGTAGGGGTACCGCTCGACGAGCTCGCGGATGACGGCCATCTCGGCGTCGAGCGTCGACGCCCAGACGTCCTTGATCTCGACCTGCGTTTTTGTGGGGGGTGAGAGGGCGTGCTTTCACGGTCGCGCGAGCCCCGCGGCGATGGCGTGGGGGCCGCGAGAGCACAGCTCGTGCGCCAGCGCGGAGAACCTCGGCCTCCCCTCGGCCCGGACGCGAGGAGCCCCTCTCGGCGCGGGCGGCGCGAGCGAAAGCGTACTCCTCGTATCGCGCGCCACGCGACGGCGAGCTGGCGCCCGCGGCCCGTGGTTCGAAGTGATTTCCTGGCGGCGCCGGTATCTCGCCATCTTTCCGTCGGGCCCGGGGTACCTCTGCACATCCTTCGAGGGCGCTGCATCTTTTTTATCTATCGACAGGCCCTGCAGGGCCTCGCTCGCGCCCCCATCCGGGGGTGCCGCTTCTCTAGCAGGCTCGTCGCTGCTCATGCGGCACTAACATAAAGCGCAGGGCGCGGCCTCTTCTGTCGAGTTGTGAGGAACTGGCTATCGTTGGCTATCATCTCTGCGTCCTCTGGGCGTACCGGAAGGCGTCGCCGGGCGTCCCTAGGGACTGCGCGGCGAGCTCGATGGCGGCACGGCGCCCAGGCTAGAGGAGGCGGACCTCGCGCCCTGTAACAGGCTTCCCACGGGTGGTTTCAGCCTTGTGCGGGAGGTCAGAATGAAGCAGGGACGGGTCTGGAAAAAGGCTAGAGTGTCTTTTGGCACGCTAGAACGAGCGCGGGATAGTTTTGCCCGAGGTAGTTTGCCCTGATACTGGTTGAAAAACCAAGCGCGTTCGCCGCAGCGTTAGCTCCGCGCTGCGTTCGTGCTGTCACCGCGCCACTGGTAAAAAACGGTACGCCTGCGCGCCCCACGTACGCGCCAAACGCCACCTGAAGCATCCAGCCGCGCAGCCACCGCGCGGACGCAAGCACCACCAATGGACGACTCCAGCGACGACGACCTCGAGATCGGCCCGCAGAAGTCCGCCGAGGAGCTCCTCCGGGAGCGCGAGCGCCTCGCGGAGGCGCGCGGCGACGTCGTCGACGTCGGCGCGGACGACGCCGACGCCGCGATGCCGCCGCCGGTCGCGGTCAAGCCCGAGGCCGTAAAGCCGGAGCGCAAGCCCCACCTCGCCTACGAGGACGAGGGAATGGAGGCCAACGACGCGGAGCCGGAGCACGCGCCCGAGCCGTGGTGGAAGAAGCTGCAGGGCAAGAAGCGGCCGTCCAAGGCGCCCGAGGCCCTCGCGGCCGAGCTGAAGGAGCTCTCCATCGCGGCGGCGGCGCGCGCGCCGCGGCCCGCCGCCGCGCCGCTCCCGCCGGCGCCGCCGGGCGCGTCGCGCTTCGAGGCCTTCGCGCACCGCGAGGGCAGCGCGCCGAGCGCGCCGCCGAGCGGGCCGCCGGTGCCCATGGGCCGCGCCGAGGCCATGATCGCGCAAGCCGCCCCGCCCGAGGCCCCCGAGCTCTGCGACGTCCCTTGCACGGTAGATGCGGCGCGGACCAAGTGCACGCGGAGCTTCCACGGCGTCAAGGTCGCGTTTGCCTTCGACACGCCGCTCACGCCCCAGCAGAACGTCATGCAGCGCGTCGTGAAGGCCATTCTTAAAAGAGAGACGGCCTTACTGGAGTCGCCGACGGGGACGGGCAAGACGCAGGCCCTCCTATCGTCGTGTCTGGCGGCCCAGCGCCACTTGATGCTCCAGGGCCAGAAGGTGGGCAAGATCATCTACGCGACGCGGACGATCGGCCAGGTCAAGCAGCTGCCGGGCGAACTAAGGAGGAACCCCTACCGGGCGCTGGCCGCGCCGCTCGCGTCGCGCGCCCACTACTGCACGAACGACGCCGTCAAAGCCAGGGAGGGCGACAACGCGAGGTTAAGCCAGGCCTGCCGCAAGATGGCGAAAGCGGTAGAGAAGTTTAGGGGCGGCGGCGGCGACGTGATCTGGGACGACCAGAACCCCCATCATGAGCGCCAGCAGACCGTGGGCTGCCCCCACTACCGGGCGCTGTCCTCGCCCCAGACGGCGACGACACTGCACGCGACGCGGCCCGGGTGCTGCACGTCATCATCCCAAGACATCGAGGACTTGGCGGGGGTCGTGAACATGGACGACCTGCGCCGCCTCGCGCGGGGCGACGAGCCGGGCCACGAGGGCGCCTGCGCCTACCACTCGGCGACGGCGTTGGCCAAACGGTCCCACATCATCTTCTGCCCCTACCAGTACCTCATGAACCCCAGTATTAGGCAGGCCATGGGCATCGAGAACTACCTCGAGGACGCCATCGCCATCGTCGACGAGGCGCACAACGTCGAGAGCGTCGCGCGCGACGGCGGCTCCTTCGACAAATCATTATTTGACCTGGCGCAGCTCGAGGACTACTGTACGAGAAGGCAATCTGTAAGAGGGAATTCCGTGAGCGCGCTGGGCGACGTCGTGAGACGGTTGCGGACGGGGCTCCTCGCGGCCCAGGAGGTCTGGTGCGGGCCGGCCCGCGATGACGATGATGACGAGGACGATTCAACAAAGTACCCATGCGATATATCAATGGCGAAGCGCCAGAGATTTCGCGTGTCGCCGGACGAGCGCGACGTCGTGCCGGGCTTCGACTGGGGCGCCGCGGACCGGCGGCCGACCACAGTAGGGTTCTTCGAGAAGTTCCAGCTGTCTCCCGATTTACTGAACCGGGCCGCGGGCGAGGCTTCGGTGGTTGCAGAGGAAGCTAGGAACGCGGACGGCGACGAGTTTATTATTGGCGACCAGCTGGAAGGCTTGGCGGGCTGCTTGTTATTGGCCTACCAGCAGCGGACGCACTACGCCATCTGCTGCCGCGCGTGGCCGAACCAGAGTTGTGAAAGGCCCAAGCGCTTTAGGGATTCGCTCCACAGCCAGGACTTGCAGCGACTCTCGGGCACGGAGCCGGCCTGGGGGTTTGAATTATGTGTCTGGCTGCTGCACCCGGGCGTTGTTCTAGATGACCTCGCGAAGAAGGTCCGGTGTTTGGTGCTGGCGTCGGGGACGTTGGCACCCCTAGATCAGACGGAACGGGAATTGGGCATCGAGTTTAGTAGGAGGATGGCCACGAAGGCTTTGGAGGCGAAGCACGTCGTCTGTACCAAAAGGCAGGTTCTTGTTAGAGCGGTAGGAAGCGCCGCCTTTGAAAGTAGGCCGCCCGTGCAACTCATGGGGAATGCTGCCAATCTAAAAAAGGACGAGTATCGATTGGCGCTGGGTGCGGCCGTCGTGAAACTTGTATCAAGGTGCCCCGGCGGCGCGCTCGTGTTTTTACCGTCCTACAAAGTCCTTTCGTCGCTACGATGGACGTGGCGCGACGACCGGCTCCATTTGAGGTACGGCGCCGAGCGACAAGGTCGAGAGGTCAATACCATCCTAAGACGACTAGAAAGGGCCAAGGGCACGGTGCTCTTCGAGGGGAAGGGTGATGGTGGTGACGCTACTCATGAAGAAACGATAGCGGACTATAAAAGGGCCGTCGCGCGGCGCGGCTCGGCCCTGCTGTTTTGCGTTTATAGAGGAAAATGCTCCGAGGGCATCTCATACAACGACGACGCCTGCCGTTTAGTAATAACGGTGGGGATCCCCTACGCGCCGGCGTTCGACCACCTCGTGATGCGGAAGCGGGCTTATAATGATGCGAAGATCAAGGGCGGGCTTGCCTTAGGCATGGCGCCGGGCGCCTGTGATCGCGGCGTCATGTCGGGCCAGGCCTGGTACGCCACGCAGGCCTTCCGCGCGCTCAACCAGGCGCTCGGGCGGAGTGCGCGGCCGCGTTTGAATTTGCGTTGTTGTGGCGTTTATGTTTCCACGCAGGCATCCGCCACCTCCACGACTACGGCGCTCTGGTATTACTGGACGCGCGCTTCGCCGACGACCCCGCGGCGCGGCGCGGCGTCGCGGCGTGGCTCCGCGGCGCGATCGAGGCCGCCTCGCTGCGCGACTGCGCGCGCGACTGCGCGGCGCACTTCGCCCCAAACGGCGCCGCCGCCTTTGTGGCGCGCGACTACCGCGAGCGCATGGGGCTTAGAGCACTGAAGCCTGCCAACGTCGTCAAGCCTGAGGCCAAGCCGGACGTGAAGCCCGACGTCAAACCCGACGTCAAGCCGGCCGTCCCGCCGGCGCCTACGGTCGGCGAGCTCAAGGCGCGGCTCCGGGCCCGGGGCATTCCGGAGCAGAAGATATCTGCATGCCTCGAAAAGCGCGAGCTGGTCGCGCTCCTGGCGGAGGCCGAGGCACCCTCGCCGCCGGCCGCGTCGATGGCGCCGCCAGCGCCGCCGGCGGCGCCGCCGTCGCAGGCGTCGGCCGCGTCGCAGCCGTTCGTCTACGACCTCGCCGGCTCGTCGAGCGACGAGGAGGACGGCGGCGCGGCCCGCGACGCGAAGCGGGCGCGCTTGTCGGAGGAGTCGTCGCGGTCGCTGCCGAGCTCCTTCTTCTGCGCTATTTCCCACTCCGTGATGCGCGACCCGGTCGTCTGCGCCGACGGCATGACGTACGAGCGGGCTTACATCGAATCTTGGCTCCTCGCGCACGACACGTCGCCGCTGACCAACCAGCCGCTGCCGCACAAGCTGCTCGTGCCGAACATCGCCCTCAAGCAGGCCATCGACGAGATGCTGGAGCGCGTGTGAGTGTAAAGAAATGTGCGCATGATGCAGCCCCCGGGGCGCCCACCACAGGGTGATTGCCTACGCCCCGGCCCGTGCCCCGCGAGAAGAATGGCACCACTCGTGTGAAGATTCGCGCGCGCATCCGCGGCGGCGCCTACCACTACGCCGGCGCAGGACGTACCGAGCGCGAAGGATAGCTCGGCACCCCCAATCTAAGAGCACCTCCGCGGAAAGCTGGAAAGCGTGGCGCGCCAACGGCTAGCGAGTTTTGGGTTTCACACCCTCAACGACAGCCCGCTTACCTCGCCGCGTGTGGGCCCGCAATCCCGCGCCCACGGCTCGCAGACCACCGCCTCGTTTGTGTGGTGGAAACTCGCGGCGGACCGCCACCGGGGCAGCCGCAAAGATGGCGCGCCGCCGCCAGTGTCGCGGCAGCCTGGCCTGCCGTAAGGCCAGGGGCAAGGGCATGCTGGGCTTTTGCGCCGCCCTCGCTATGGCTGGGGTGGCCATCGAGTCGAAGCGCTACTTCGCGGGCGAGCTGCACGTGGAGGTGGAGCAGGAGGGCCAGACGCATCGGCGCCTCCAGATGGTCGAGGACCGCGCATGAATCACATTGTCGCGCCGCGTCGCCACGCCTCCGACGCGGCGCCGGCTCGATCGCGCGACTCACCGGTTGACTCCACGCACAGGCCAGCGACGCCTTCATCGAGAACAAGTCGCGGTGCAAGGCCAAGAACCAGCGCCGGGCCAAGCTCAAGGAGTCCCACAGCAACCACAAGAAGAACGCCGACTGCAACCGGGGCATGGTCATCTTCCACATCCTGGGCGTGATCTACATGTTCCTGGGGCTCATGATCGTCTGCGACAACTTCTTCGGGCCGGCGCTCGACGTCATGGTCGACAAGTGGTCCATCGACGACGACGTCGCCGGCGCGACGTTCATGGCGGCCGGCGGCAGCGCGCCCGAGCTCGCGACGTCGTTCATGGGCCGCTTCGTCTCGAAGTCGGACGTGGGCTTCGGGACGATCGTGGGCAGCGCAGTCTTCAACGTGCTCTTCGTGATTGGGCTGTGCGCCCTGGTCGTGCCCGGCGGCGAGGTGCCGCTCACGTGGTGGCCGCTCTTCCGCGACTGCTCGTATTATATCGTCGGGCTCGCGGTTTTGGCGGTTCTCGTGAAGGGCGCGGACTCGATGAACTGGTGGGAGGCCTGTGTGCTGTTCCTCATGTACATCGGCTACGTGACGATCATGTTCTTCAACGAGAAGCTGGAGACCTTCTTCACGAAGCTCTTCAAGATGGAGAAGAACGCGAAGGTGCGCGACGACCCGAAGCCCGTGGAGGGGGAGAAGCTCGAGAAGGGCGAGGGCGGCCCCGACGGCGCCGAGGAGGAGGGCGGCGGCGATGGCGGCGACGACGACGACGACGACGAGTGGGACGACCCCTGGGAGATGCCCGACGAGAAGCCGGCCTGCGTGCTCTGGGTCGTGTGCCTGCCGCTGAACGCGATGCTGTACGGCACGCTGCCGGACGTCGCGCGGCCGGTCGACGACAAGCCCGGGCGGACCGTGCCGTGGATGCCGGCGGGCGAGGACTACTTCATCGTCACCTTCTTCGCCTGCCTGCTGTGGCTCATCGTCTTCAGCTACTGCATGGTCGTCTGGGTCACGATCATCGGCGCGGTCTTCGGCATCTCCGACTACATCATGGGCCTGACGATCCTGGCGAGCGGCACGTCCATCCCCGACGCGCTCAGCTCCATGTACATGGCCAAGGAGGGCCGCGGCGACATGGCCATCTCGTCCTCCATCGGCTCGAACGTCTTCGACATCCTCGTCGGCCTGCCCGTGCCGACGATCATCAAGTACATCGTGGTCGCGGCCCAGGGCAACAACCTCGACAAGCTCGCGCGCTGGAACTTCGACACGGCGGGCATCGTCTTCGACACGGTCCTCCTGCTGATGATGGTCGCGCTCATCGTTACGAGCATCATGCTCACGAACTGGGTACTGAACATCAAGCTGGGGACGATGATGTTCTTGCTGTACTTCATCTTCCTGGTCGTGTGCATCCTCAACAAGGTGACGGGCGTGGCCGCGTGAGCGCGCCGCCCCGGTTCACCCCCAGCTTCCCCCCGTCGGCGGACGCGCCTAGTAAATGCTTATAGTACTACCTACCGAGCCGCCGTCGCAGGGCCTCGGCGGCGCCCGAGTTCGAAGATCCCGCGGGCCGGTCGTCGGGCGGCGGCCGAGGCGCCGGCGGCGGTGCGTCGTCGTCGCCGCCGCGCCGCCGCCATCCGCGGTCGAAGGACGACGATCCGCCGCCGAGAGTGGTCCGCGCCGAGATGCCGACCCAGCCGTCGCCGCCGGCGCGGTCCGCCGACGACTGCGGCGCGGCGGGGGCGGCGGGCGCCGCGGGCCGCGCGCCCTTGAGGCCCTTGACGCCCTTCATTGCCGCCCCGAATTGCGTCTCGAGCTTCTGGGAATAGCTCCGCAGCAGGTCAGCGTCGGTCTGCTCGCCGTGCAACCGCACCTTCGGCGCGCGCTCGGCCGGCGGCGCGGGAGCCGCGCGGCCACGGCCGCGGCCGCGCGGCCGTCGTGGCGCGCGCCGGGCCGCGGCGTCCGCGGCGCGCAAAAACGCCTCCGGCGCCTGTCCGCCCGTCAGCTCGCGCACGCTGCCCCACCGCTCGCGCACGCAGTCCTCGAGGCTCCGTTTCGTCCGCTCGCTCTCCGCCATCGCCCGTTTCAGCGCGGCGGCCCGCCACTGCAGCCCGCCGTCGCCGGTGGCCGCGCCGGGCGCCGCGGTGCCGTCCGCGGGCCGCGCGCGCTTGAGGCCGGCCTTGGGCTCAGCCGGAGGCGCCGCTGCTGCTGCAGGGACGGCGGTGGTCGTGTCGCCGCCGTCGTCTTCGTCTTTGTCTCCGGACCAGATTATGCCCAGGAGGATTGGGGTGGCCATGTGTTGTCTGTGCCAGGCTCTGTTACAGCAGGCAGTGCTGGTGTGGCAGCACGGATCAAATGCTAGTTTTGCACAGTAAACGCAAAGCTGTGTGAGCCTGCATCGCGCCTGCTGCGAGTCTCCTCGTGAGAGCTAGCTAGCTAGAGAGCTACTAGTATTTCTAAGCGTCGTCCGGGAGGAGTCGTCGGCGGGCGGCGCAAGGGGAGAGGTCGGTGCCATCCTTGCTCGCGAAGCGCCCGCGAAGCTGCGAGAGGCTGGCGCTGCATGGCAAAGAGGCTGCCCCGCAGCATAAAACCAGCATGGTGCTCGTCCACGTGAAGTACGGCGAGGCCTCCATGGCGCCGGCGGTCTTTAACCCCGACTGCGACAGCGCGACGCTGCTCGACTATGTAAGAAGGCGCGCTGTGAAGGACACGGAGGCCTACGCGCGGCAGGCCGACGCGCGCGTGTCGGCCTTCGTGGGCGAGGTCGCGAACGACCTCGCCCGGGCGCGGGCCTCCTTTGATAGAATCAATCGCGGTCTGGAGGGCGAGGTCGACGCCGAGGACGAGGCGGCCGTCGCGGAGCGCGCCGAGGCGACGGCCGCGGCGGAGGCCGCGGCGGCGAAGGTCGCGCGGCTCGAGGAACTTGAAAAGGTGCGGACGGCCCAGAAGGACGCTTTGATAAATGGCGTGGGCCTCTTCAAGGGTTTGGACGCCGTCGATCTCCAGGAGGAGGGCGGCGCGGCTCTGAATTTGAGGGGCGACCCGAAGCGGAACGCGAAGGACGTCCTCGGCCACCGGAAGACGTACGTCGTCGTGCGCGTGGGCGAGCCGCCGAGGCCGCCGCGCGAGCCGACGGACGAGGAGGCGGGCGAGGAGGGCGAGGAGGCGGCAGAGCCCGAGGCGGGGCCGGACCCCGACGCGCTCGTCCCGCTTACTTTCGAACTTCCGCCGGATCCCGTGGAGCCGGTCGAGGAGCCCGCCGCGGAGCCTGCTGCCGAGGAGGGGGCGGAGTAAGAGGCGTTCTCTATGTACCCCCTACCAGGTATAAGTACCATGGTACCTCGCGTCGCGTGCGCTGGCGCCTTGTAAATCGCCCTTGCTCGCGGCGTCGTTGCAAGACGTTGCAACCTGACTTGCAATTACTGCACCTCTGTCCCAGCACTCGACCTTTGGAGGCGTAACCCATTCTTTGGCAAGCGCTAATCATGCCTAGGCTGCTGGATCTGCTCGTCCTGTGCACAGCTGCACAGGGCTTCGTGGTGCCGCTTCGAAGGCTGCGCGCGACGCAGCACCGATGTCGTGTCGATTTGCAAGCGGCCGACCTGGACGACTTCGAGCCGTACATGAGCCCGGCGGCGCGCGCCGCCGCGCGGGCCGCTGCGCGGGCCGACGAGCCAAACGCGCTGCTGGCGGCGGCCGGCATCGTGGCGTTCCTCTTCCTGGCGGCGACGGTCTTCACGGTCGAGGAAGACAACGCGACGCCGCCGCCGCTCGGCGCGACCTATCCCCGCCTCGACGTCTGGACCGGAGCCGAGGAGCCGCGGCGCGGCGCGGCGCCGACGGAGACGACGTTCACGCTCGCCCCGGTCGTGACGCCGGGCCAGCTCTGGTCAGCGACGATCTTCCAGTGGCGCGTCTTCTCGCTCGAGACCAACGTGCCGACGGGCTTCCAGCGCGGCCCCGGCGACCCGGCCGCCATCGAGCTGCTGCGCGCCGTCGTCGAGTTCTTCACGCGGGGCCTCCCGAACGCGAAGCGCTACGAGGGCCGCGTCGAGGACGAGTTCGCCGCGGGGCCCGACGGCACGCATGGACGGCCGCCGGCGCCCGGCACCTTTCGCGCCGCCGACCGACCCGACGCCGTCGTCCGCCGCTGCTCGGATTTTGTTGATGGGTTCGGCCTGTCCGTGACGGCCGACGCGGCGGACGGCGAGCGCCTGGGCCTGGCGAGCTTGCGGTTGCGGCGCCTGCCGCCGCGCGAGGCGCTGTGGCCCCGCGAGGGCGAGGACGATCACGGCGACGGGCACGACTACCGCTACGCGGCCTACATCACGGGCCTCGCCGTGGCGAAGTCCGCGCGGCGGCGCGGCGTCGCGTCGACGCTAGTCGATTACGCCGAAAGGAAGGGCGCGGCCTGGGGCGCCGCCGGCCTCTGCCTCCACGTGAATCGGTTGAACACGCCGGCGCTGCGGCTCTACGACCGGCTCGGCTTCTCCGTCGTGCCGGACTGGTACGGCTACAACAACCAGCGGTTCCTGCTCTTCAAGCCGCTGAACGGCGAGGCGGCGGAGACGCCGCCTCCGGCGCCACCGCCGCGGAACGCGCTGTCGCCGCTCCAGAAGGAGATTCTCGTCGACGGCGAGACGGAACCTCCGGGCGCGTCTGCCAGACCAGGCGGCCTCGATTATGACCTCAGGCAGGCGTACGGCACCGCGTTTCCCGCGGAGGGTGCGTACCGCTGCGTCCGATGTTCCGCCAAGGTCTACTGGGCCCGCACCAAAATGGGGTGCGGCTGCGGGTGGCCGGCGTTCTACGACTGCGTCGAGGGCGCCGTCGACGAGCGGCCCGAGTACAACGACCCGCTCTCGTCGGCCCCGCCGAAGTACGGCGTCGAGGCGGTCTGCAAAGCGTGCGGCGGCCACCTCGGGCACGTCATCAGGGGAGAGGGCCTCGGGACGCCGACGGACGCGCGGCATTGTATCAACGGGGCCGTGCTCCGTTATGATCCTGCCGCGGAGGGGCAGCCCGACGACGTCGCGCAGATGGCGGAGGAATTGTTGGGGGAGTGAACGTCGTGTGTTAACTTGTGTCTTCTAATTTCGCAGGGTGTGCAGAGGGGATGGGGGCTACAGAGGCTTCTGCCCGGACGAGACCACCGCCGGCATGCGCAGAGCTCCGCGCCGCTCACGGAAGCGTCGCCTCAGCTCCTCTCGGACGGCCTCCGCCTCCGTCTCGGTTTGGCCGCGCAGGAGCTCCCGCGTCCGCGCCGTGCCCTCGAGGAATATCTCGTACAGCTCGTCGGCGGAGTCCACGTGCCACTCCATCCAATCCACGGTCGTCACGTCGACGTCGACGAAGCCGGCCTTTGCCAGGGCCCGGCGCACCGTCGCGGGATCCGCGTACTGGAAGAACGGCGGCCCGGCCGGCAGCGGGACGTTCGGATTGCCCGCGGCGTTCACGGCGCCCAGGACCAGGTCGAAGCCCTCGGTGGCCGGCGGCGCCGCCCAGGCCGAAAAGGCCAGCCGCCCGCCCGGCTTGAGAACGCGGTAGCTCTCCGCCAGAAAGGCGTCCGGGTCGGAGAGGTGCAGGATGCCGAAGTTGCTCGTCACGGCATCGAACGCGGCGGCGCGCAGCGGCATGGCCTGGGCGTCGCCCAGCGCGAACTTCAAGGTCACCCGGTCCGGCGTGTTTGGGTATTTGGCGCTGAGACGTTCCTGGGCGAGTCGGAGAAAGTTGGGGGAGAAGTCGAGCGCGGTGTAGGCGCCGCCACTGCCGGCTAGAGCTATCGCGGCGTCGAGGACCTGGCCGGGGCCGCACGCGACGTCCAGCAGGCTGCCAACCTCCTTCAACATGCCGCTCAATAGCACACCGTCTTTTTGAAATCCGGCCCGGTCGAGGAGGGTCGGCACCGCCTGCGACGTGAGCGGGCCGAAGCCCTTGTCGTACGCGTCGACGGCGCGTTGCCAGTTTACGTACTCGAGGTCCGTAAACGCGTCTTTCTCCTGACCACACGATGCCGACGTGGATAATGCTATGGCGGGCCACGCCGCCGTCACGACGAGGGCAAATTTAAGCGCGAGACGTGTCATTGCAGCGGCTGCGTTAAATGCCAGGTGCCAAATGCAGCAAGGTAAGGTTTCAACTTTCAAGGCTTTCAGAGGGGCCAAGACTCACTTTCAATCTCTTCAGGTCGAAGCAAGGGTAAATTATTTGACTACCTCCGTGTCTGAAACGCGGGTCGTCCACTACCACGCGGACTGTGCCTCTCGATAAAATGAGGCTAGTACCTTTGCGCTAGGCGCGCCCTGCTGTAGTCGGGCCCGCTGGGCGCATTTATCGAAATTGTTACTGTCGATAGTGACTGCGGCGGCTCAAACCGCGGCTGCAGAGATTGGCCTTAGACTAGCAGCGATCCAGGCCTTAGACGCTGCGTTGATCAGTCGCGCGAGTTGCTCTCGCGTAGGCCGCCGCTACAGCTCGCAGAGCATAGCACCTATTGCGTCGGAGTCTGGTAAGAGCCAGCAGCACACAGTGCACAAAGAGAGCCATGGGCGCCGTGCACGGCGTCGCCTACAAGTACGTCGCAATAGCGGCCGCGGCCTCGTACGGCGCCTACCTGAGCCAGCCGCACTCCTACGCGCGCCTCGGCCTGGGACTCGTCGGCGCCACGAACTCGGTCATCGTCGTCCTCTTCGTGGCGGACCGCGGGACGCAGCTGCTGGGCAAGGACGCGGTCACGGGCAAGGCGCCGTGGTACCGCGCGCTGCCCTGGGCGGGCTTTCTCCTCCCGACGTGGCTCTACACGTACGTGCACACGCTCGTGGGCCGCGTCGACACGGCGACCGAGGTCGCACCGGGCTGGTGGCTGGGCGGCCGCTACGCCGACAGGGCGCCCGGCCGGCCGGAGCGCTGGGCGGGCGTTTTGGACCTGACGGTGGAGCTGCCGGAGCGGTGCCTGGACCTGTGCGACGACTACCTCTTGGTGAGATGCTGGGACGGCGCGCCGCCTCATTTGCATGATCTCGAGCGCGCCGCGGCCTTTTGTGCGACGGCGCGGCGGCGCGGGCCCGTTTTAGTACACTGCGCGCACGGTCGCGGCCGGTCGACGACGGCCATGTGCGCGGCGCTCGTGCGCGCGGGCGTCTGCCGCGACTGGCGCAGCGCCTTCGAGAAGTGTAGGCGTGCCCGACCGTGCGTCCGGCTCAACAAACGCATGCGCGCCGCGCTCGACGCGTGGGCCGAGGAGTATCCTTCACCAGTCTCCTAATATTTGTGAACACAATTTACACACCTATGGCTTCGAGCTCGCCGCTCTGGGCGTTTCGGTTCTTCCAGAGCCCGCCGTACTGGTAGTGCGGATGACTGGCGTCGCCGTCGGGGACGCCGCCGGACACGCCCTTCCAGCACCGGCCGCAGACCATCCGCCACTTTTTCGTCGTGTCGGTACGGCACCTCACCAAGAGGTTGACGCTCGCGTCGCAGAGGTCGCACTGCTTCTGGCCCGTCGCCTCGTCGGCGACGCCGGCGCGCTTCGCCCGCCGCAGCGCCTTCGTCGCCTTCTTCGCGGCCTTGCGCAACGAGGGCGCTTCGTCGTCGACGACGACGGCGTCTGGCGCGGGAGCGCCTCCCCTTTTCCGCTCGGCGTTGCACCGTTTACTACAGCACGTCACTTCGTCCCAGCAGCGTTCCCACTTCTTGCGCCAGGTGAATGGTCTCTGGCACACGACGCATACTTTGGTGGGTAGGTTTTCCTTCGATACGCCGTTTGGCATTCTGCCACCTCTGCCGCCTCGACCACCGCGGGCCGCGAGTGTCAACGATCTACCGCGTAGCGTGCTTACGCGAGTAAAGCTTGTCACGCTGCGAATCGTCGATGCTGCGAGAACGATTGCAACGCGCATCGAGTCAGCTCTGTGATGCTGCTCTCTGGTGCTAACTTTGCAAATGTCTGCCGTTGCTTGCAAACAGTCGTGCAGCGCCGAGATCAGATAGGCTATGCTCGCATGCAATGGATAATATAACGTGAGCGGTCGCGTGTGTGACGGTCAAGGCCCTACAGCTGCGCTGGCAGATTAACTAGTGTATTGAGATACTAGCGTCACGCTAGGCCGCGGGGAGGGGTCCCGCAAACCCGTTGGGTTGAGAGTGGCTTAGCCAGGCTTCACTCTAGGAAATTAGGAGACGAGTTCAAATTACGCGTTGCGCGCGCGCGTTTAGTTACACGCCTTGCACTCGCTCATTTCGTAGCTTTCCAATTTGTGGCAAATGCAACGGTGCGACCTGGCCTTGCACTCGCTTCGCTCGTAGCTCTCGAGTCTGGGACAAAGGCAATGGTGAGTCGTCGCCTTGCAGTCGCTTCGTTCGTAACTCTCGAGTTGGGGGCAGAGGCACGCGTGCGTCGTGGCCTTGCAGTCGCTTCGTTCGTAGCTTTCGAGATGGGGGCAAAGGCAGTCGTGCGTCGTGGCCTTGCAATTGCCGCGCTCGTAGCTTTCAACGTGGCGGCAGCAGCAAGCGTGATGAGACGTCGCCTTGCACTTTCCGGGGTCGCCCAGGCGGCACGAGCATTTGTGCGCGCGCCGCGACACGCAATCGTCCGGGCCCGCGCGCAGGCACTCGCAGGGGCCGTCGAGCTTGCGCGCAAATTCCGCGACCTGCTGTTCGATGTAGCCTTCGGGGGGATTTTTAAGAATCCGCGTCAGCCACATGCGCTGGTGGCCGACGGGGTCGTGGATCTTGCGCCACATCTCCTCGTCCGAGCCGTGGATGTCCGTCGACGTGCCATATCCGAGCGCATCGCTTTTGGCAAATAAGTTTTTCAGGAGACCCATCACCGGGCTTTCGCGCTTCTTCGCGCAGTGCGCCTGCCACTCGGGCGTCTCCCAGGGCATGGTCGTGGGGCTCGGCGCCTCCTCGTCGTCGTCGTCAGACTCGATCTCGATGACGCGACGCCGCCGTTTCGGAGCCTCGCCTTCGGAGTCGGACCGCGTCAAATCGATCGTGGCTTTGCGCTTGACGGGTGAGGGAGTCTCCATGGTTGACGAGCCTAGATCACGGCTCGGCTGAGTGACGTGCCTCTATGTTGCCTTGTGGCAACTCAATGTAGGGCCAGTTACGTCGCACGCTGCTAACGCAGTACGTAGCGGCTGAATATTGAAGCGTATCCCCAGCGCCCGGTGTCGCAGAACGATTTATCCGCTGAGCTTTGCCGCCTCCAAAAAGCCAGCCAGCGAGGTGCCCACAGCACCGTGCGGAGAGTATGCGCACCTTACTCTGTCCTAGCCCGACGGATGGGTCCAGGAGGAGCGGGAGCGCCTGGAGGGCGCGCGCGTCGTAACCTTAAGACCCGGAAGTGACGGAAACTAAGTTACGCGCGGAAAGGAGGACCAAACGACACTCAGGAGTTGAGGATGTCGTCGAGGTCGTCGTCGTCGTCCCAGGCGGCCGCGTCCGTGAGGTCCGTGAGCGGCGGCGACGTGGCCGCGGGCGGCGGCGGCGGCGGCGGCGCGGGAGCGGCCCGCGGCGGCGGCGGTTTCGGCCGCGGCGGCGGCGCGCGGCGCGGCGGCGCCGCCGGCCGCGACTGCGAGGAGGGCGCCGGCCGCGGCGCCGAGAGCGCGCGGCCGGACGCGTCGAACTTGGGCTTCGCCTCGAGGCCCAGGCTCGCAAAAGGGTCGTCGCCGCCGTCGGCGCTCGGCTTGCGCGCGGGCGGCGGCCGCTTCGCGGGCGTCGACGCCTCGGCGGGCCGCGGCGGGCCCGGCGCCGCCGCCGGCTTGGAGGCGCGCGCGGCCTTGCGCGCCTCGCGCTTCGCCGCGAGCTCCTTGCGCCGCTCCTCTCTTCTGATCTCCGCGGGCGACGGCTCCTTCTTCTCCGGTTTTGCGGGAGAGGCCTTCTTCTGCGGCGGCTGCGGCGGGCTCTTCTTGAGCGAGATTGCGGCCTTCGGCGGCGGCGGCGCGTCCTCCTTGTCGCCCCAGGCGTCATCGTCATCATCGTCGTCGTCGTCATCATCGTCGTCCACGAGGGGCTTCTTCTCCTCGCCCCGCTCGACGTCTGGCGTGGAAGTCAGCTCGACGGACGTCGGGACCTTCGCGTAGGCCGGCCCGCCGCCGCCGAACGCGCCCTTGACCTTCGTGACGACCTTCTTGCACATGGCCACGAGGAGCCCGGCGAGCACCGCCACAATCACCAGAGGAAAGATGCGCTTGGCCTCCGCCGCGGGCCCATCGTCGTCGGACGCCGTCATGGAGCCGAAGAAGGCACTAATACGTTCCACGGGCGACGGCTGGATGTGCGAGTCGTCGTCGACGACCTCGTCGTCCTCCTCCGCCGCCGGCGCCGGCGCCGGCGCCTCGCGTGGCTCCGAGACGGCGTCGCGGATCGCCGACTCCGCTTCGGATTCAGGCGCCGGCGCCGGCGCCGGCTCGGCGTCGTCGGTCCGGTCGTCGGTGCTCGTCGGCGCCTCGTCGTGCGCTGGCTCTTCGGGCTCCGGCTCCGGTTCTCTCGCACAGGAGCCGCCCTCGCCATTGGCCGTCGCCGCGTCGACGCACGCATCATTCACCCAGGCGCAGACGGGCTCCGCCGCGCCGCCTCGTTGTAAACCCCGCTGGAAGCTCCCATAGTTCATGTCGCCGCCGTAGCCGTCTTCGCTGCCGAACTGGCGCCCGCCGCCGTAGCCGTCCCCGCCGCCGAACTGGCGCCGGCCGCGGCCGCGCCGGCCGCCCCGCGGCGCCTCGAGGCCGTCGTAGGCGCCGCCGCTACTTCCGTACTGCAATAACGTGCGGCGGCCGCCGCCGGGCCGTTTGCGCTTGCGGCCGCCGCCGCCGCCGCGGCCGCCGCCGCCCCTGCCTGCCAACGACGCGCGCTTCGCGAGGCACGCGTCGCAGGTCGTCGCGTCCGCGCAGATGTTCTCCTCGCACGTGTCGCCGGTCCAGACGCCCTGGCAGCGGCAGCGCTTCATGCCGTTGCGCTTCATGCACTTGCCGTGGTCGTTGCAGTAGCCGTCGTCGCAGGGGCAGGGCTGGTCCTCCTCGCAGTCCTCCTCTTCTTCTTGTGCGGGCGCCGGTGCGGGCTCTTCCGCTGCGGGCGCCGGCGCGGGGTCCTCGGCGGGCGCTGGCGCAGGCACGGGCTCCGGCTCGGGTGCCGGGGCCGGCGCCGGCGCAGGCTCCGGCTCCGGCTCGGGTGCCGGGGCCGGCGCAGGCTCCGGCTCGGGCGCGGGCGCCGGCACGGGCTCGGCCGCCCGCTCCTTCGCCCCGGAGTGGTCGATGTCGAGCACGGGCTTGTCGTCGTCGGCCGGCGCCGGCGCGGGAGCCGGCTCCGCCTCGGCGGGCGCCGGCTCCGGCGCCGGCGCGGGAGCCGGCTCCGCCTCGGCGGGCGCCGGGGCTGGGACGGGCTCGGGCTTCGGCGCAGGAGCCGGCTCCGGCTCCGGCGCGGGCGCGGGCTCGTCCTGCTCGCCGATCGCGGCGACGGGCGTGCTCGTCGGCGGCGGCGACACGGGCTTGGGCGTCGGCGCCCGCGTGGGCTTCTGCGTCGGCGCCTCCACGGGCTTCTTCGTCGGTTCTTTGGAGGGCTTGTCCGTCTCGGGCGCCGGCGCGGGCGCGGGCGCGGGCTCCGCCGCCGGGGCCGCCTCCGCCGCGTCCGCGTCCGCGTCCTTCTTCTTCTTCTTTTTCTTCTCCTCGCCGCCCGGCTTGTCCGACGAGATGTCCACGACGGCGTCGGAGTCCGCGTCCGGTTTGGCTTCCTCGGCCGCGGCGCCGTCGGATTCGCTCGCTCTCCGGAGCGTCGCCTCGAGGCTGTCGAAGAGGGTCTTCTTGTTGTCGACGAGCGCCTGGAGCTTGTCGATTTCGTATTTCGTGTCCTGGCTGCTCTCGGTTTTTTTGGCGGCGGCGAGCGCCGCCGCCAGCGCCAGCGCGGCCCAGAGCCGCATCGCCGCAATGGCTGCTGTGCTGAGGCTACGGACTAGGCACTATAACGCCCCCGTCGCAAGTCCGGACCGCCTCCGCAATTTATTTGAGGAAGTGTGGCAGCCAAAAATAAAATTGGCTGGGAGTTGTCCGCGGCGCTTCACCGTGCTTGCTCCGGAGGCCGACAGAGACGACGACAGAGCGTTGCGCAAACGGCCTTTGCCCGGATTTGAGGCTGTCGGCAGTGGTTTTTGCTACGAGGACGATCAGTGCTAGCTGCAAGACACTAGCAAGGACGCGTCCTAGTCCAGCCGGACGGGTGGGCCCGGGGGGAGCGGGAGGGACGGGGGACCCCGCGACGTAACTAGCCTGAGCCTGAGCCTGAGCCTGAGCCTGAGCCTGAGCCTGGTCGAAGGCACGTCGAGAAAAACAACAACAAGACTTACACTAGACGCTCTGAATGCGCTTCACCCGGTTCCGGCGGAAGAAAGCACAGAACTTGAGCGACGCGACCCGCACGACGAGGCACGACAGCGTCGTCAGCGACAGCGACACGAACAAGCGGAAGAGGCCCCGCGCCTCGGCCTTCGCCACGCGCCGCCGCTCCCGGTACACGCGCTTCTGCCGCCGGTCCCGCGCGCGGCTGATCCAGCCGAAGGAGAACAACGTCGCGTCCTTGACCTCGAACTTCAGGACGCACCGGTCCGGGATGGGCTCCGCGGCGCCCTTCCACTGGACCTCCTCGTCCACGGCGTCCAGGAGCATGGGCAGCGAATCTTCGAGAGAGCGCCCTTGTACCAGGTCGCCGCGCTCGTCGTGGACCGCCACGCGCAGCGACCCCGTGATGGCCGCGGTCACGACGGGCGCGCGGCCCTTGCACGGCAGGACGCGCGACGTTATGATGGAGGTCGACGGGCTCCGCAGCCCCGCGAAGCCGTCGGCGTGGAACCGATACAACGTGAGGGACGCGTTCTTTTTGCCGTCGAACGCGTAGACGCGCAGCTCGCCCGTCGCCGGGTCGCGCAGCGGATTCAAAGGTGTGTGGCACTCTTCGATAACTCCTCCCGCCAACACGGTCCACTCGAGCGCGTCGCCCGACCACGCGAAGCGGCACGCGTCCGTGATCCCGACGTAGATGGAGTAGTACGGGATGACGATTGCCGGCGCGTCGTGCAGCAGCTTCGACGCGTAGGGCCCCGGCCAGACCTCGCTCTCGTATCTCACAGACGTGGCATTACCTAATTCTTTGTACGCGACGTAGCTCCTCCTTCTCGAATCGTAGAACGCGCTCCGTATGGACGAAGGCGCGCGGCCGTCCTTCGCTCGCGTGAAGTGCAGGCCGTCGGACGACGAGAGCGCCTCGCCGTTAGCAAAGGCCTTATAGCGCCTCTTTCGCTCGCGCCTACTGGGGTCCTCGAAGACGTGTCCCTTCACATCGAGGCGCGTCTGCTTCCAGGCGACGCCGTCCAAACTCTCCGCGTGAAAGCCCTCGGACCAGAGCCGCCAGGCGTGGCGCTTGCGGTCGTGGATCATGCTCGGGGCCCGCGGCTCCGTTTGGTGCAGCACGACTTGCGCGTGCTGCGGCGCGCCGACCTTCACCGTGGCGCCGCCGGCGTCGGCCACGGCGCGTTCCGTGTCGACGGCCGCGTACTTTTCGCGGTTGAGGAAGCCGCTGCGGGCTGCCGCTGCGGCGTGCAGGAGGCAGCAGAGTTGGAGGCGCATGGCTGCACTGCTGCAGCGCCGCCCGTCGAGCAAAATAGTTGGTTCGAGGAGCTGCGCAAGGGTGCTTGCAGCGCACAACGACCGTTTCGAGCACAGCAGCTATCAATAAGTCCGCCGTCCGAGGCTTTTTGAGCACAAAAAAACGAGTCTAGTATGTTCGACGCTAGCTACCCGTGCGCAAACCGGGACTATTCTTCGGGGCAGCGCCTGCTGCGACCGATAGCGGCGGATCTAGGAGGCTTACGTGACCTCTTTTTCCAAGGCTGTCAAAAAGACGAAATCGGCCAGGGCAGTCAGCACGCTGAAGCGGCGCTACCCAGAGCGAGCTGAACAGCGCCGCCCGGTACAAAGCCTCCTCGCAGTGGGTGGGCGCCCTGAGCGAAAGCGCAGCCGATAAGAAAACCTTTGAGAGCTCAGAGCAACTCAAAAGTGCAGCAGCTGTTGTCGGCGCTGTTGTCGGCGCCCCCGCGGATATCCGGATATCATGGCCTCCCTCGCCCAGCGCGGCATGGACGAGAGCCCCACGAGCGTCCTCGAGCCAACCGACAAGAGGAAACCGGATCAAAAGCCGGCGCGGAGCCTCTGGTCCCTCTCGGTCTTCGACTACGGCTCGCCACCACCAGCAAAGGCCCTCCCGCGGCGCGACTCCTTCGAGGAGCTCGGCCAGGACCCGGCCTCGCCGCGGACGCCGCCGGCCGTCGCCCTGAGCCCCGTCGCGCAGCAGCCCTTTAACCCCTTATCCTGTTACAAAAAGCAATGGGGCACACGGCCGTCGCCGGAGCAGCAGCGCGCCACGGCCTTCCGGCGGGCCGTCGCGCCGCTCGCCGCCGAGCTCGGGCCGCGGCTCCGGAAGCGGTCGCTCAGTTGCCCCGAGCTCATCCCCGAGGAAGGGTCTGATGAAGACTGACCTCCTGAATTCGCTCCCTACACGCGGCCACCAAGAAGGCGCCGCCCCCCTCACCCCTCCGATATCGCTGTTGTGTGCGTGCCCTGCGGCTTCTCGCTGTCTGTACATACTAAGTCGCATTGCACAATATCACATCGTTAATTCTCTAGGATCGCCGCAGCTCGACGCGCGTGAAGGCGTCGCCGCCGTCGTCGTGGGCCGCGGGCGACGCGCTCTTGACGCGCGCATCCGCCTTGAGGAAGCGCCGGAGGCCCGTCTTGAGCGCGCCCGTGCCGTGGCCGTGCAGGATGTAGCACGGGCCGCCGCTCCGCGTCATGCGGTCGAGGAAGTAGTCCGTCTCGCGCTCGGCGTCGTCGTAGCGCTGGCCCCGCAAGTCGAGGGTGTTCTGCGCCGTGCGCATCTGGGGCGTCTTCTCGGCCGCCTTCCCGTTGTTCGACGATGGTTCAGTCCCGTCGAGGCCGACGAGCTGCTTGGGCACCTTGCGGCCCTTGCGCTGCTGCGGAGACGCTTGTTGTTTTTGTGCTGGCATTCCGGCCGGTGCCCTTGCTAAATCCTTGCGCTTGAGCTTCAGGGCGCCGCCCATCTCGGTGGCGACGCCGTCGACGTGTACCAATACTACACCCTTGTTCAGCAGAGCTTCGACCTTCGCGGTCCGCGCGAAGAACGGCCCACGTTTCAGGACCGCGACGGCGTCGCCCGCGCTCAACGAAGCGTCGCTCGCGAGCGGCTCCAGGCCCTTGGCCTCGACGGCGGCGGTCTGCGCCTCCTTGACCGCCGCGGCCTTGGCTTCCTCGATGACCTTGCTGCTCCCGAAGGCGTCTGATGCCCCTCTGCGCATGTCCCGCTGCAGCTCCTTCTCCAAAGCAGCGACGCGCGCCTCGTAGTCCTGCGCTTGGAGCGCCGCCTTCTTCTTCGCCTCGGCCTCGACGGCGAGGAAGCGCTCTTCCGCGCGAGCCTCAGCTTCGCGGGCGGAAGCTAAAGCCTCGTTCGCCCGGGCTTCGGCCGCCTCGGCGCTCTCTCTAGCTTTATCCAAATCCCGCGCCAAGGTAGCCAGTCGCCGCTCGTCGTCGCCGAGCAACACTTCGGCCCGCTCCAGCAACTCGGGCGGAAAGTCGGCCTTCGTCCGCGCGGCCTCGAGCGCGTCGGACTCGCCCGCGCGGCCCTCGATGCACTTGAAGCCCGGCGCCATCGCCGCAGCTCTGAATCTTGAATCGTCCTCCTGGAGCCCTAGGGCCTTCAGAGGTCTCGCATGTGTGGTACACACGACTAACGCGCCGTGCTCAACAAGATCTTCCAGGACCGCCCGTCCCAACGCCGCGCCCTGGGCCGCGTCCGTGCCCGAGCCGAGCTCGTCCAGTAAAACCAGAGGCGTCAGCGTTGCGGAAGATCGAGCCTCGGCGACCGCCGCCGCCGCGACCCGCAGATGCCCGACGTACGTCGACACGTTGCCCTCGGCCGACTGCGCGTCGCCGACGTCGGCGAAGACCGGGTCGAAGACGCCTATGGTCGGTTCGCCCCTGCAAGGGATGGGCGCGCCGAGCCGCACGAGCGCGGCACATAATCCTAATGTCTTGAGCCAGACGCTCTTGCCCCCGGCGTTCGCGCCCGAGATGACTAAACAGCGCGCGTGGTCCTGCCCGAGCGCCGCGTCGTTGCCCTTGGGTTCGGGGCCGCCGGCGGCGCTCCGCAACGCGAGCACGGCGTGGCGCGCGTCGCGCACCTCAATTGAGTCGCCCTCGTCGACGAGCGGGAGGCTGCCTTCCACGTCCAACCCAAACCGATGCCGGGCCCGACACGCGTCCACCCTCCCAACGGCTTCTAACGCACATCTCAATTCATCGGCGTGGCGCGCGAGGACCGTGCCGCACTCCCTCAAGGCCGCGGCCTCCTCGGCGCGCACGGCGCCCTCGGCCGCGCGCCACTCGTTCGTCGGCGCGACGAGGGGCGCCGGCTCGACGTACTGCGTCCGGCCCGTCCGCGACGCGCCGTGGACCAGGGCCCCGGGCGGCGCGGAGCCGGCGCGCTGCGACACGACCCAGCGGCCCTCGTGGAGGAAGAAGCCGCCCTCCTTTTCCGCGGCTTTCAGGCCTCCATCTAGAGCGTCCTTCTTGCTGGACTCGACGGCTTGTCTCGCTCGCTTGGCTCTGTCGCGCGCGGCGCCGAGGTCGGGAAAGGCGACGCCGGACAGGATCGTGCCGTCGTCGGTCTCCTCCAGCGCGAAGCGGATCGGGTGGCAGTCCAACCGGGCTTTGTACGCGTCCTCGTCTTCGAGGGAGAGGGCCGAGCCCGCGACCATACTGGACAAGGCGGCGGCCTCGGCGCCGTCGAGGCGCCTTCTGGAAAGCCAGGCGTAGAGCGCGTCGAGCTCGCGCAGCGCGTCCGCGGCGAGCGCCACATCTGAAACTTCCGGGATCGTCGCCTTCTCGCAAGTGTCTAACAACGCGTCGAGGTTCGCCGTCAGGGCCGTCGCGAGGCTGTGGTTCGCCAGCGCGAGGCACGTCTCGTCGTGCGTGCGCTCGGCCTTGAGGAGCCACCGTATTTCGTCGTAGCGGCGCGTCGCGTCCTCGACGGTGTTTGCGAGATCGAGTCTTCGGAAGGATTCAGCGCCTCTGTATGTTGCTGTCCTTTGTTGAAGGGCTTCTAGCACTTGTGCGATGCCTAGGGCGTCGTACGCATTTGCTGTGGCGGCTGTGTCAGGGGCTGCAGAGCTTCTTGTGGGGGCTCGGAGCTGTGCAGATCGTGGCGGCGTGAAGGCATAGGTGCATAGCAGTGTTATTGTATGTAGGATGTGCATTTTGGGCATCTCTACGCGCGTTTTGCAAGTTGACTGTGTGATGGGCTGATGAGACCCGCACGCTTAGGGGGGTGCACAGACCTAAAAAAAAAGAAGGTGAAAAATATCACTGCTCGACGCCGACTCCAGCAAGAGTCCTATTAGGGCCCCCTTTTACACAGCCGCGAATTTCACCAGTACAAGTGCCTGCGCAAAGCAAACTGAAAACGACTTAAAAGTACAGCGCGGCGCACCGCTAACGTGGAGACTTCGCACAGTGCACCGCTTACACCTCCTCGACCGATAACCGCCGCGCGCGGCGCTTGCGCGCCTCGCGCGCGCGAGTTACAAGCCCTGCGACTCAAACCGCACTTTGTGGCTTTTTGAGCCGACGGGCGGCGCGCGCGCCCGCGGGGAGCGCAGCGCGGCATCCGCGCAGCCCCTGGAGCGCCGCTGCTGCGCCCGCGCGCGCCGCGCCGCCGCGGCCGCAAAATTCTTGCGCCGTGACGGCGAACTGTCAAAGAAGGCGTGCACAGGAACGCGACCGCGGCGCCGCGCAGCCGGCCGCGCCGCCTCCCAAGCCCTCTTGGATCGCAGCGCGGCGGCGCGGCGGGTCTCGCGACCGCACACACACCAAAACCCCACACACCGCTCGCTTTTCGAAGTACCCTCACCGAACGCGCGCCCCACCGCAGCTAACTCACCTACTCAACCATGTCTGGCAAAGGAGGCAAAGGCGGCAAGGGCGGCAAGGGCGGCAAGGCCCCCACGTCCAAGAAGGCGCCCCAGACCAAGTCGCTCAAGGCGGGCCTCCAGTTCCCGGTCGGTCGGCTCCACCGCTTCCTCAAGCTCCGCGTGACGGCCTCGCAGCGCGTCGGCGCGACGGCCGCCGTGTACACGGCCGCCATCCTCGAGTACCTCACGGCCGAGGTGCTCGAGCTCGCGGGCAACGCGTGCAAGGACCTCAAGATGAAGCGCATCACGCCGCGCCACCTCCAGCTCGCCATCCGCGGCGACGAGGAGCTCGACACGCTCATCAAGGCCACGATCGCGGGCGGCGGCGTGATCCCGCACATCCACAAGTCGCTGATCAACAAGACGTCCAAGAAGAAGAAGGCGGCCTAAGTCCGCGGTGGCGTTGGCGCTCACGCGCTACGTCCTCGCCCGCCCGTTCTTTCTCGGCGGTCGGGGCGCGGGTGGCGACCTGCCCTGTGCAGTGCGCGCCGCCGGCCCCTCTCGTCGAAAGTCCTCTCCACATCCCGCGTAAATACTTTATAAACTAGAGCGCCTCACGCCATCGCCGCGACGGTCGCATGCACTGTCACGGCGACGGGCGTCCCAACCCAGGCATTGTTTAATTGTTTTTTACGCCCCCCCAGCTCAGTAGTCCGCCTTCTTCGCCGGCGCCTCCTCTTCTTCCTCCTCGGACTCATCTTCGTCCTCCTCCTCCTCCATCGCGGCCTTCTTCGCCTCGACGCGCGCCTTGCGCTCCTCGTACGTCAGCTTCTTGGCCTTCTTGTACGTCGTCCGGTCCGTAACCTCGAACTCGCTCTTCTCGGCCGGCGAGGGATCCTCCCGGATCGCTTCATGGACCGACGTATACAAGTCCTCGAGACCGTCCGGTTCCACGCCCTCCTCGATGTACTTGCTGAACAGCTGCTGGTACTTCGCGTTATCCTCGTCCATGAGCTTCTCCATGTACTCACTGACATGAGCACCCTTGATCCGGTCGGCCATGGCCTCGGCATCATATTCCTTGGCCTCCTTGTCGTAACCGGCGAAGCGCTTGTGGTTGTGCGGGACGTCGAGGCCGCCGTCCGACGCGCCCTTCAAAGCCGCGAAGACGCGGTGGCCCGTCGTCGTCGTCGTGACGCCCACATCTAGTAAACATTTGAAGGGCCGCTTGTCATCATCGAGCTCCTCGACGAAGTACGTCTTCTTGCCCGCTTCGGTGGACACGACCTCGCCGTCCGGGTCGTCGTTGCCCTCGTAGAGCTCATCTAAGCCCACTTTCTGGAGGAGTCTCCTAGCACATAGTAAACCAGTGGCGTACGCAGCGGCAAAGTTCTTCAGGCCATTTTTCAGCCCGTATCTAGGTAACTCCTTGGACGTCGCCGTGCAGATGCACTTGTCTCCCACAACTTCGGCGCAGTGGACGGAGACAGTCACGAAGCGGTTCGAGAACCGCACGACGAGCCGGTACTTGGCCGTGCCGTACTTGTTCTTGTCCTGCGTAATTAAACGCTTGCGCGCGCGGTAGTCGGTCTTGCCCTCGCGCCTTCTTTTATATTTCACCTGGTAGCGCTTGAAGTAGGCCTTGTTCTTGATGAGCTTGACGAACGGCATCGTGCCGTCGGCGCGTCGCGGGACCTGTGTGGCTCTAGCGTTGAGCGCTTGCGCGGCGACGGCGTATAGGGGGTCGTAGGCGTGCGGCGGAGGCTCTCGCCGAGCCGCAGCGGCGCCGCGGCGGCTCCTCTGGGCAAATCGCCGTCTGCACTTGGCGTCGCTGTAGCGTCGCCGCGGCGCGTCGAGACGCAATACCGCTTGCGCAGGGCTTTCACAAGGTCCGTTCCGGCACGTCTGTTGCCTCGTTTGTGATCGACGCTGCGTTGCACCTCGTCCACAGCCGCTGCTCGCCTACACTGAGGGCATCGCAAAATGGACCAGGCAAAAACGCGACTAACCCCGCCGCCTTTTTTTAGCCTCCTTTGCGCCTCAGAGACGTCCTCCAAGTCGAATGGAACCGTGTTCACGGCCGTTTCGCAATTCCCGATAAGCCGACTCACATTTTCACAGCTTATGCTTTGGCTGCGGATAACGCAACTCGTAAGGCATCTCAGCACTCGAAAGCACGCTCAGTACTGCCGACTACAACATATAAACAACATATAAAGCAGCGGCCTCCAGAAAAAGCGTAAGGCTGCGCACCCAAGCAGGCATCCTCAGCAGCCAAAAAAAATGCGAGGCCTCCTCCTCGCAGTCCTCCTCACGACAACAACCGCCGCAACGGAAACGCTCTTCGACCTCTTCGGCATCAGCCAGGTCGAACTCCCGGGCCTCGACGACTCGCAACTCAAAAAGCTCTACAAGCGGCGCGCGCTGGAGCTCCACCCCGACAAGAGCGACCACCCCGACGCCGAGGATCGGTTTAGGAGGTTGCAAGAAGCCTACGAAGGTTTGAAGGACCCCTCGACGCGGTCTTACTTCGCGAGATTTGGCCAGTACGATGTTTGGAGGAATGTGAAAGAATATGCGGACGAGAAACTCCACCATACGAGGAGAGGCTGGGTCCGCACGAGGAGAGGCGTGCAGATGGCGTCGGAGCGCGTCGACATCCGGGACGAGTTCGTCCGAGGCGACGGGCGGGTACTACCCCTCCATAAAGATTACTACGACCGAGCCTTTGGTTTTGATGGAGTCACCGTGCTCCTCGTGGCGGACCACGACGAACCCCACGTGACCCAAAAACCGGCGAACGCGCTCCGGGCCTTCGCGTCGCGGGTGACCAGCAACCAAATCCGGGTCGCTTCCTTAAATGCGGCGGCGCTGGGCAACGGCGACTTGGCCATGAACCTCTGGGATGCGTTCGACATGCGGCGCGGCGCGGCGCTCTGCGTCGTCGTGCCGCCTTTCTCGAAGCCGACCAGCGGCGTCCGCGTGCCCTGCGACCCCTCGGCGTCGTTACCTCTACGTTTATCAAGGGTGGCCAAGTGGCTCAAGGACGACACGCTGGAGGCCGTCGCTTTTGCTGATGGCGGCTACTGCCTCTCCGACGCGGTGTCGAAGACCTGCAAACGCGTCGAGGGGCCTAGAGCCGCGCTCGTGGTGTCGACGCATTCACCTGCATTGTCAAAGGCCGCGCGAAACGCGCGTTTGAAATTTAGACCCTTCGCCGAGGTCGTTATGATTAAATGTGACAAAGACTGCGCGAACACGCCTCGACTGCGCGTCGATATTGATGATAAATCCGTGGACCTGCCCTTAAACGACAAGCACCAGGCCGACGACGAGCGCCTGGCGGTGACCTTCACGCACCTGCTCGACGGGTTGCTGCACGGGCTGATCCCGCAAGAGAGGGCGCCGTCGTCCCTGGTCGTGGGAGGCCTCGGCGACCTCGAGGGCAATTGCAAATTACCGGGCCTCGACGGCCGCTTCGCGTTCGACGGCTATAGATTAGGCAGGCCGTCGTGGCGCAAGCGCAACGTGTACCTGCGGTGGCAGCCCGCGGCCTCCCGGAGCCGCGGCGTCGGCGCATGGTTGTTAACAGATATGGCCGACGAAGATAGAGCGTGGGGCTTCCTCGAGATCGATACGCTGACGCCGCTCGACGCCGCGGCGGCGTGCTGGACCTTCTACTGCCGGGGCCGGGCCGTCGAGTGGGAGTGCTCGCCCCACGTCAGTGTCGTGAACGGCGAGACGCCGGCGCCGAACCCGTCAAACTCTGTGTAAGTGACTATGTTAATTCTTCTAGCAGCTCCGGGAAGGTCGACCGTTTCTCTGGGTCCGGCGCGAGCATGCGCTTTATCATAGCTCGAAGCGCGTCGGCGGCCGCCTTCGACGCGGAGAGCGCGGCGACGCGCGGCAGGAGCCACTCCCGGGCCGCCGCGTCCCAGACGTGCACCCTGCCGTCGAAGGCGCCGCACCTATTGGAGATACATCGGGACAACTCCGGCGCGCCAGTAAAATTGCCGGCGCAGCGCGTGTGCTGGTCGACGTCGCAGGCGTGCCACCAGTAGGTCCGCGACGAGCAGCCCCGCTCACAAACTTCGCCGCCGCGCCCCGGCCGGAAGTCTCGCAATAGCGTGTCGAGGTAGGGATTTTCGCGGCGCCGCTCCAGGCCCTCCGGGTGGCCCGTTCTCAACAAAGGGTCGTCCGCCGCGTAGCTGTCGCGCAGAAAGTCGACCAATAGACCGGTGTTCGGCGACGGCCCGTCGACGAGAAAGATGTCCTCGCCTGTGTGAAATCAAATCTCAGTTCGAGGCTGACGAGTAAAATGTCACACAGGCGATCGCCGTCGAACGCGAACTGGTCGATCTTGAAGTCGGTGAGCACGAAGCCGCCCTCCACGATTGACTGAAAACAGCGGAACCAGGCCCTCGCTATGTCCAGAGGGCGGTCGCGGCACGCCTGTTGATACGCGTCGCTCAGCGTGGACAACCTTCCGGCGCGGTCCTTGCCCTGGCCGACGATCTCGCCGGCGTGCTGCACGACCCAGACCAGCCCATGCTCCGTGCGCCAGCCGCCGTACAGCTCGGGCACGCCCGGCTCGCCCCGGAGCACTTCCAAGTACAGAATTTCGAAGAGCACCGCGGCGCGCGACCGCAGGTCCTGGCCGTGGCGCGTGTGGCCCTCGTTGAGGGCCTTGACGACGACGTCGTAGGTCTCTCCTCTATACGCGAAGGCCGACGCGTTGACTTCCTTCTGCCAGTGGCCGGCGATGCGTCGCGAGTCGGCGAACGCTCGCGGCGGCACCCACCACATGCTCGTCGCCGGCACGCCGGGCCGCACGCGCCAGAACTTGGGCGCCGGGCCGCCGTGGAACCAGTCGTTCACCGCCTTCAGGCGCGCGAGCGGCGGCGTCCACTTTTGTTGGGCGCGGACGTAGTCGAAGCGCGGCGGCGTTGCGGCGCGCGCCGCGGCGGCGACGACGAGTAGAGCTTGGATGCTCATCCGTGCGGCCGCCGCCGTCCGCTGACGAGCCGTGCCGGTCCCGTCGCGCCGCTTAGCTTAGAGTCACTAAAAAAGTGCTTGACTGCTCTCTCTTGAAACTGCTCTAATCGATCCCGTTTCTCTCTTGGCCGACTTTTGGACCACTGATGCGTGATCGAGCGAGGTTACTGAGACCACGCGGCCGCGTCTTGCGCGATTGCGAGCGGCTAAATTGTCCCTTGTGGTATCAGTCTATATCACTCTCAGGAGCAGCAATCAACTGGGATCAATGAAGCCTCTCAGGGCGCTGGCGGCGCTCGCGTACCTGGCGCTCGCGACGGTGACCTGGTCCTCATTTATCGCACTGATGGTCCGCATGCGCGCGCGCCGACACAAACGACCTGAATATTGGCCAAGTAATGAGCCTTGGCCAGCACCAGACGGTCCAATCAACGGGCACACGGATTCAAAACCCCCGACGTACGTGCTATGGTCCGGAAGGTGTGTGCACGGAACGACGCGTTTGGATGATTTCGACGACGGCGCTTTACTGAGCAAGCCCGAGAAGTGGAACCATTATACGTTGGGGAAGGGTGACACGTCGCACTACGCGGTCTTGGGCGTCGCGCGCGACGCGACGGCCCAACAGATCAAACGAGCCTATAGGGAAAAAACCAAGACGTGCCATCCCGACGTCGACCCGTCCGACGAGGGACGTGCCCACTTCCATCAGGTGACATTCGCCTACGAAACGCTAAGAGATGATAGGAACGCCTACGACGGCGCCTTGCAAGTCAAAGAACTACAATGGTTCTGTTCCATGCTTCGACGTCTTAACCCGGGGTTGTGCGAATCCAACTGGGTCTTGGCAAGTTGGTTGGCCAAGTTACGGCGCACCAGGAAATACTCGATTATTGGTCTGTAGGGCTCCAACGGCGCCAGCAATTCAAACCGCGACGGCGCCGCCGCGCGCCGCCGACCGACGCGCGCTTCTACGACCGCCTGCCAGCCAACGTCCCCGCCCGCGAGGGATAGCTGCTTCCCACCCCCATCCATCCCCTAGACCCCAAAACCCGAGAACTATGCTAGCAGCTCGTAAGATACTAGCCAAATCTGAGTTTTTTTGAGCTCGAGCGCCCGCGCCGCGCCCGCGCGAACGCAATAAACCGCAGCCCGTGACACACGAGCATCGCATTCCTGCGAAGGGGGGCTGACACACGAGCATCGCATCCCTGGGCCGGGGGCTGCCCCAAGCAAAAACGATGGCCACAACACAACAGAAACACAACCAAGAGCACCAGCTCCAGTGCGAGCGCGACTCAAAACGATGGGCCGCCTGGATCAACAGCCGCCTGCGCAAGGCTATTAAGCGCGGCGACCTCGCACCCTTGGAAGGAGCAGACTTCGCGGAGCGACTGCGGAGCGGCGTCGTCTTGTGGCGGCTGCTCGGCACGTGCGCCGACGATTTGCCGCAGACGCCGCGCGGGCTCCGCCTGACGCGGCCGCTGTCGCGGATCGAGTGTTTGGACAACTTGGCGTTTGTGTTCAAGGCACTCGACAGGATAGGAGTGGACCACACGGGCATCGGGCCGCTCGACGTCGCCGACGCTAGGTTGGAGCTAGTACTGGGTTTAGTGTGGAGCCTGATGGCCCACGTCGCTTCGAGAGAACGGGACAACGTCTTCAAGTGGGCCGCCATCACGCACGCGAAGGCTGATGTCGTTGTACCACATACAATAAGGAAGATCGACGCGGCCGCGTCCGACGCCTTACCGGCTTCAAATGATGCAAGACGGGACCTCGCGGACGCACTCACGTACGCGGAGCGACGCTTCGGCGTGGCGCCCCTCTTCGACGCCGACGAGCCCTCTGTGGATGAGCGGTGCGTCGTGGCCTACCTCGCGGAATTGAGAAGGAAGGTCATCGACCCCTCGCCGCCGCCCTCTCCCATTAAACAACGGGAGGCGCCCTGGCTCGCGACCTTAAAGGCGTGGCGCGACCGCGCAGCATCAAAGACAAACGGCGAGGGCCGCGCCTGGGCGGCAGCTTTACATGACGCGCTCGACTTGTGCGACGCCCCTCCTTCCAAAGCTTGGGACGCGTTAAGGGCGGACGCCGACACATTATCGAGGCGAAGCGCGGCGGAGGATGATAGTGAGGCGGCCGCGCTCGCCGCCGGGAAAGCGATGGGCGCGGCCGAGGGCCGCGCCGAGGCACGAGCGGCACAAGCTGTCTCCAGAGCCATCGAGGGCAAGGAGGCCGCCGCGGCGCGCATGAACGTGCAGGCGCGCGCGGCGCTCAAGGCCGCGACAAAAGCGGACGCCGCGGCGGCGGCTGTTGTCGCCGAGGCCGCGGCGAGGCTACAAGACGTCGAAGAGAAGCGCCGCGCGGCCTTCGAGGAGGGGTGCCGGACGGCCCTGAAAGATGCCGCCGCCACGAACGCTTCGACAATAGTCGACGCGGACGCCACGCTCGCCGCGGCGACGGCGGCGACGGCGCACGCTGTCGCAAAGGCGCGACAAGACGCCGACGCCCAGCACGCGGCGGCCAAGCGCAGCGCCATCGAAGAGCAGGTCAAGCGCCTCGGCGAGCGCCACGGTCATGCGATTAGAGCCCTGCAGGAGCACGCCGAGGCCGCCATCGTCGAAGCTCAAGCCGCGGCGAAGACTGAAACCGTCATCGAGGCGCAGATTGACAATCTACAAGCGGCCTTCGACCCGGAGACGGCCTTCCAAGCATTGAGTGCGACGCTCGAGTTCGTCAGGGGCCACGCCGTGTCGCTGCATAGACGGGACGCGGGCAAACTTATTAGAGCGGTCGACGCGGCCTACGACCGGGATCAGAGACTAGCGCTCGTCAAGAAGGCGCATTTAAAAATCAAGGAGGTCGTGGTCCGGTTGACGCGGACGGAATTTCAGAGAGAGGCGCGGTGGACGCCGCGGCCCTCCGACGACGAGCTTGCGCGTTTGATCGAGCCCCACGAGCGAGCTCTATTATTATCACATCTGCGGAATTTTGTGGTGGCCTTTGATAACATGCCGGCGGCGGAGCGGCAGACGCTGTCGACGATGCGCGAGGTCGTCGTGAATTTAGATTGGCTCTGCGCGCTGGCGAAGCTGGGCGTCGCAAGCGACCGGCGGCGGCGCTCGTCGCAAGGGTCGCCGTCCGCGGCTCCTCCCGACGCTTCTCCTCGGCGGCGTGCCGATTGGGCTGCGACGCCGCCGCGGCCGCCGATGCCCCTGGCGCTGTCGGCGGACGAGCGGTAAGTTTCTGTTTGTTGTTGTTCTTTTTCTTCGGTGCTTTGCGATTTGTGGTGCTCCCGTCGCGTTCGTCCGCGAGTGTCGGAGGTGTCTTGCGATCGCTCGGAGGCGTCGAGGACGGTTCCATGGACGGGTCTTGTGTTTGCCTTGCGTCCTTTCGTGGGCCGCCTTGCGCATAACTTGCCTGAGGAGAGCGCTCTATGGGGCTTTTGTTGTCTCGTAAGCGCGACGTCATCGACGAGAGTACTTGCTTGGCGTTTCAAATAGCCTTCATAAACGTGACAAGTCGACTTCGCAAGCAATCGTTGATAACGCTTACTCTACAAATAGTTACACAGAGCACTGTCATCTCCCCGGCGGGACCGTCGCCGACCAACGGCCCACGTTCCGCCCCCCTCAGTTTTGCGCTTTTGGATGTAAGTGCTATGTTAATAATATGAGTGCACCATGCACCAGCCCGACTCGCGGCGATGGCGTGCTGATTTATGACTCCGAGATTCGCGGACGGGCCACGGACGCGAGCAGCCAAGGGGCCCTACTCACGACGAAGCGCCACCAGAGGCCTCCAGCTCCCCGTAAAGAAGCTCCCCCGACGCGTGCGTGGCGTTTGGACGAAAAACCTCGGGTCAGGCCGGTTGCTTCAGGCCAAAGACTTCACCCAGCCATCGCTGTCAAAACAGCTCGATTTAGGCACCGCGCAGCGTACCACCGACAGACACACTTCGCCATCTTGCCGTCTGACACGGGGCCTTGGCCGCTGCCAGATTGTTTCGCAGCGCTGCGCCCCTCCGCGCGCGCAAACACAAAAGCAACCACACTCGCTGAAGAGTTGCCGCAGCGATGCAACGCCGCGCGCGCGCGCCCCACACATCGCCCGCGCGCGCTGCGGCAACGCCGCGGCGCGCGCTGCGGCAAGCAAAAGCGCGTAAACCCACAACTTCACCACGAGCGCTTCAACCGACTCACACGACAAAACCGCGCAGGCCCTCTTCCGCACGAAGCAGGGCAACCACGTCCAAGCTGAGACGATAGCACCACATCCTACACCGCGCGCGGGAGTACCACGGTACTCTCTGAGAAGCAGCGCCAAGACCCGGACCACGGTAATTCGTGCGGCGGGGAGCGTGTAGTTTATCAACAACGATGATTCATCGTTTGTTACAAGAGGAGCGGCCCTACGACATCCCCGTCGATGCGGCCTATGGCGTGCTGTTCGGCGTGCTCGGAGCGACGTTCCTCCTCACGGTCGCCGGTTTGTTCATGAAGAAGGGTTCTGGACTAGCAGGTGTCCTGCGGCCGACCGACGACTTCCTGTCGGCGCGGAACCGCTACAAGTGGCCTACTTTGGCTTTGTCGTTCTTCGCGTCGGGCATGGGCGCGTGGGTCATCTACGGCTCTCCGGAAATGGGCGCGATTCGCACTACCAGCTGGTGGGGCGTCCTCGGCTACTCTTCCGCCTCGGCGGCGGGCGGCTGGGTGCTCATGTGGCTCGGGCCCGTCGTGAAGCGCAAGGTTGGGGAAGACCAGGGGTTTTCGGCCGTCGACTTTGCGTTGAAGCGCTATGGTCGACTCATGCAGTTGCTCGTGATGGGCGTCTCGACCTTCTACATGTTCATCTATGTCGTGGCGGAACTGACGACGATCGCGAACGTGTATGCTACCTTTGTTGGTAAGAGTACGGTCGGGACCGACTCGGAGCATTACACGACCAAGATCAGTAGCATAGTGGTCATCTTCACCTGGGCTTACACGGCGCTAGCGGGTTTACCGGCGTCGATCCTCACGGACAAGTTCCAGGGCGTGACCATTTCTATTTTCGTCATCATGCTCCTCATTGCGACGACGACGCTCAAGTCGAACGAGGTACCGGCGCGGCGTCCCTATTCAATATTTATGGGAAGGGGGTGTAGCTCAGTGGCAGAGCGTCCGCTTTGCATGCGGAAAGCCCAGGGTTCAAACCCCTGCTCCTCCAAATCCCTTTATACACAAAAAACAACTCCGTGGCGCAATGGATAGCGTATCAGACTTCGAATCTGGGGGTTGCGGGTTCGAGTCCCGTCGGAGTTGTTTTGTATCATCGCTGTGACTGATCGCGCGGCGGCCGTTCAGTATCCGTGGCCGAGTTGGTCTTTCGTCGTTTGACGAGCCAAAAAGGCGTTGGATTTAAGCCCCAATCTCTTCGGAGGCGTGGGTTCGAACCCCACCGGATGCACATGAACGCCGTCGACGCGATACCGGACGGACTGGAAATCTGAAGGCTACGGGTTCGACTCCCGTGTCGGTCTACCGCGGTTTGGACTTGTGATAGTGTGGCCGAGTGGTTAAGGCGGTAGACTTGAAATCTACTCCCGCAAGGGTCGCAGGATCGATTCTTTGACCAAGATCGATGCGCGTTCGAACCCTGTCACTATCGCACACGTTGATGATGTGGCCGAGTGGTCTAAGCTCTTCTGAGCGACCAGAGGCGCTGGTTTTAGGCACCAGTCTTCGGGCGTGGGTTCGAACCCCACCATCATCACTTGAGTTCCATTCCGCCCATTTGTATCCGTGGCCGAGTTGGTCTAAGGCGTTGGATTTAAGCCCCAATCTCTTCGGAGGCGTGGGTTCGAACCCCACCGGATGCATTTGGACCGATTGGCGCAACGGCAGCGCGTCAGATTCCAGTCCTGAAGGTTACGTGTTCGAATCACGTATCGGTCACACTTTATCGTGTCGTATCCGTGGCCGAGTTGGTCTAAGGCGTTGGATTTAAGCCCCAATCTCTTCGGAGGCGTGGGTTCGAACCCCACCGGATGCACACGAACCGCGTGGCGCAATGGATAGCGCATCAGACTTCTAATCTGGGGGTTGCGGGTTCGAGTCCCGCCGTGGTTAGCTCGCTAGACCGGTACATCTCCACACAGGTCTCGCAGAAGCAGTTAGACAACGCGTCGGGCTGGTTCTCGGAAGGCTTCGAAGCCTTGGTGACGCTCTGGATCGCGATCATCTCCGCCGAGTTGTTTAATCAAGGCGCGTGGCAGCGGGTTTTTGCCGCCAAGACCGACCGCGACATGCGCATCGGCTTCGGCGTGGGCGGCTTCATGATCTTCCTGCTCATGCTGTTCTTTGGCATCATGGGCATGATCGCCTATGCGAGAGATCGGGAAAGTTACGATAACTTCATGAAGCTCGGGTACTTGTCGATCTTTGATTTGATCCGCAATTTGCCGCAGTTCTGGCATTATGTTACTCTCATATTGTTGACGACCTTAGCGGCGTCGTCCATTGATACGCTCCAGAACGCTTTGGCTTCGGTCCTGTCGCACGACTTGATCAAGCACAAGCTCTCGCCGAACTGGTCTCGACTCGTCGTGATTGCTTTGAATATCGGCGCGGTCATCATGGCTAATAGACGCTACGAGGTCGTTCCCTTATTCTTAGTTGCTGATTTAGTATGTGCGACGTGCGTCTTCCCCCTGTTCCTGGGGATCAGGACCGAAGACTGGGAGATTGGATCCATCAAAATCCCGGCGCCGACGGAGCTAGGAGCCTTCTTAGGAGCCATCAGCGCCATGGTCGCCGTCATTATTAATGGTGAAGTGAACAATGTCAACAAGGCCATCAACCCCTACACGGGCAAGGTCTACGACCGCTCGGCTCTCGCCTACTTCTGGCTCATCCAGAACCCGACCGAGGAGTGCGCGTTGTGTGGTACGAAGACCATGGTGACCTTTATCATCGTGCCCCTCGTTGGGTTGTTTTTTACGTTCTTCTGGTCTTGTCTAGATGTGCTCGTCAGTGGCAAGTACGCGCGCAAGCCCTTCTGCTTCATTCCCCGGTTGGATGATGTGGATGAGGAGGTGCCCCTCGTCAAGGATGATGAAAAGAAGGACGAGCCGCTCGAGGCCTAGTGCCTCCCTTCGCGACGAAGGGACACTACCCACCTTTTGTCGTGTTGTTTCCCCTCCCCTCCCCCGGCGTCGACCCAACGGGGTCCGCTAACACGTTTACGTTTATACATTCACTAGTACGTCCCTGCGGGCAGCGCGACGCGCGCCTTCTTCCGGCAGAGGGGGCAGGCGACCGACACACCGCTCCGTCGGCTCATCGACCGCTCCGCCTCGACCTTGGCGTAGGTCTCCGAGCACGAGGCGCAGAGGGCGTGCGCGCAGTCGAAGACCGTCGCATCCGCCGCGAGCAGCTCATAACATATGGGGCACTCACCCGACGGCGCGACGACGGGCGTGGCCGGCGGCGTGACAGGCGCCACCGGTTCGACCGGCGCCGCGGCCGGTGGCCGGCGGCGGGCGCGCTTGCGCGCGGACGGTTTCGGCCGCGGCGTCGTCGGCTCGCGCTTCGACGGCGTCGCCTTGGGCGAGAGTGCCTTTTCGACGGCCGCCCGCGCCTGGGCGTTGGGCCCCCGCGCACCTACCTTCGCGCCGCTCGGCGGGTTTTCGAAGACGTCGCGCAGCCACATGCTCTGCCGCACACCGTCGTCGAAGACGATCGAGTAGCACCGCGCGTGCGCGACGCCGCTAACGCTGATGACGGTGCCGCACCACCACACGTCCGGCTCAAATAACGCCCACACGCGGCGTCCGACAGCGTCCTGCTCTGAGTCGCTCTGTGGCGCGGAGCGCCGCCGCGCACTCCCGTCCGAGGGCTCCCGCGGCGACGCCTTGACGCGCGGCGGGCCGTCAGCCTTCCGCAGGAACTTCGGCCGGATGAACTTGGCGCCTTCGGCGTCGAGATTAACGATGTTCCAGCCGTGCTTTTCTCCCGCGACGACGCCCGTCTGCCCAGCGAAGCGCGGGTCCTCGACGCGGACGCGCGTGCCCCTAGGCAAGCAGCTCGTCGACGGCACGGACGGCGTCGGTGCGGCCACCGACGAATCCGCCACGAACTCGCTCGCGTAACGGAAGACGTTTTGTCTGCCGTCCGCCTCGACGCGACAGCATTGATCTACAAGGGACTTCGACATGCCGTTTATGGCTCCGGCGCCTCGAGGCGAGCAGTAGTGCGCGAGAACGTCTCCGGTCGGCGAGACGAGCAAGACCTGTCCGTTCCAGTCTCGCTGGTGACACTCGCAGTCCGGATCGTCGCCGGCCGAGCACGCCATCTTCGAGCACGTGATGCCGCCGTCGGTGCAGGTCCACGGGGACGAGGCCGCCAACGCAGCCGTATCCGCGTCGACGACGCGCCACTTGTCGCACGCCACGCACTGGACCCAGGAAGCCGGCTCCGGCTCCGGCTCGGGTCTTGGCGCCGGTGCCGGCGCCGGCTTCGGTTCTGGCGCCGGCGTCGGCTCGGTCCTCGGCCGCGACTGCGTGCCGCGCGCCACCGACGGCGCGAGGACCAGCGGCGCGCGGAAATCAGCCACGTCCAGCGCTTCGGTTCCGTCGGGCGACTCCGATCCGTCGCTATGCGACGCCTCCGCGTCGGACTCGTCGGAGAAGACCGCCCCGTCGGCGCGACTCCACTCGTTGCCGTGATCGGCTGGTTCGGAGTCAGACGCGTCGTTGTCGTCCCACTCGTCGGTTCGTCGGACGCGTCGTCTTCGGTTCCGACTCCGCGGCTGCCGACCCCCCACAGAATAAGCTTGACCGGACCGGGCCCCCTTTATGTATAAGCCGCAACCGCTTTGGCCGGGCGCCTCGTCGTTCGGCACCAGCGACGTCTTCCAGATCTGCACGAGAGACACGCTGGCGGTCAGGTCTATGGACCCGCCCTTCTGCCGCGCATCAGAGCGCTGGACGAGCTTGAACTCGCGGCCCCAGTAGCCGTGGTTGTCCTCCGTGGAGATCTCGGTGCCGTTCAAACGGAACCGCGACATCGTCCTTGCGTTGACGCCGCGCGTCGGGTCCTGAGGATCCCACCAAAACGCCCCGGGCTGGAAGCGAACCCTGATGGCGTCTTCGGGTAGCACTCGATATTCGCGAACCGCCTTCGACACGAAGAAAGCTAGATGGGGGGTCGTAAATGGCTCGAACGCTATGGCAGAGCCGTGAACGGCAAAACCCACGGGAAACGCCGAAGCGTCGTGCGCTAACGCGAGCCGCCGCAGCAAATTATAGGCGCCGTCGGGCTTGACGAACTCACCCGCATTGAGGCGCCGCACCGCGTCGAGCTCGGCGGGCGTCGCCGGCGCTGCGGTCAGGGCTACGTCCGCCCGTCGAGGCGCAGAGAGCGCCACACTCGCCGCACCGCCATAATTTGACTTAGGCGCGATCTGTCGTCGCGCCGCCTCTTCTCCCACGGCCTTGGGTGCGACGTATCCGCGAGCGGCGCGCCAGCGGGTCTTGCGGTCGGCCAGCCACGCTTCGAAGTCGGCGCGCGCGACGCGTTTTAAGCTTCTCCCGAGTTGCGGCGCCGCTGCCGCGTCCACCTCTTCCGTCATGCTGCGACAGAGCGCCCGAATCTCGTGCCGCGCTAATTGCGGCGAGACCAACAAATCGACCGCTTCCGTCATTTCGTGACAGAGCGAGGTGATTTCTCGTGTGCTCTTCGCGCGCTCACGGAGATCGTCGAGGTCCACTTCCGAAAAATCTGAATCGTACTCGTACCCCCGCTCGGCGCGCCAGCGGGTCTTGCGGTCGGCCAGCCACGCTTCGAAGTCGGCGCGCGCGACGCGTTTTAAGCTTCTCCCGAGTTGCGGCGCCGCTGCCGCGTCCACCTCTTCCGTCATGCTGCGACAGAGCGCCCGAATCTCGTGCCGCGCTAATTGCGGCGAGACCAACAAATCGACCGCTTCCGTCATTTCGTCCAGCGCCTCCCGGATGGTGTCGTCCAGCAAGTGTGGTCGTCGCGCCTCTTGTCGCAGCGCCGGCGCCGCGACGGCCTTGGCGGGCGCCGCGACGACGGCCTCGAGCGGCGGCGCCTCCCTCTGCGCAGACCTCTTCGCAGCCGCGTGTCGTCCAGCGCGCTCACGGATGGTGTCGAGGTCTACATCAGAAAAGTCCGAGTCGTCTTCTGCAGCCATCAGTGCGCGTTTGCGGCTGTCGGCTGTCAGAGCGACGCCGAGTGATGGTGCGTTACGCGTGCTGTGAGAAGCTGCAAGCAGTGAATGTTTGCGCGCACTGCGAGAAATGTTGCAGCAAGCCTACCTACCAATGCGTACCGTTGCCGTGCGCTTTGAACCTGCACAGCGCGAGAGCAAAAGGGAGAGCTTGCTAGTGTCTTACAGGTCCTAGCAGAAGTTACTCGTCCGAGCTCCGGCGGCGGCGTTTCGTCGGGCCCAGGGACAGCGACGTATGCATCTCCTCGGGTAGGACGACCTTCGACGGCGCGCGACAGAGCGGACACGTGACCGACACGCCGCTCCGCCGGCTCATCGACCGCTCCACTTCGGACTTTGCGTACGAGTCCGAGCACGAAGCGCACATCGCGTGGGAGCACTCGAAGACCGTCGCGTCCACCGTGAATCTATCGTAACAAATGGGGCAGTTCCCTGACGGCGCGACGGGCTTCTTTTTCCGTCGTGGCGCTGGTCTCGGCGCCGGCTCGGAGCTCTCTGCGTAGGCGGCATAGAAGCCCCTTTTCGGGCGCTTCCGCGGTTTCGGGCGCACCGGCGTCGTTGCCTTGGCCGAGAGGGCCCTCGTGACCGCAGTCCGCGCCTGGGCGTTGGGCCCCTGCGCGCCGACTTTGCCGCCTGCCGGCGGGCTAGACCACACGTCTCTCGCGTAGAAGGTTTGCGGAATGCCGTCGTCAAAAATGATGCTGCACATGCGCTTGTCCTCGACACCACGAATACCAACGACCGTCCCGCCCCACCACACGTCCGGCTCGAATAACGCCCACACACGGCTGTTTCGTCCCAGCGACGCCCGCCACCCGACCACGCGTCCGACGGCCGCCGCCTCGTCGTCGGCTGATTCGTCAGGCACCGGCGTGCCCGCGGCCGGCCTAAGCGCGTCGGCGGCGGCGTCGTCGGGCTCCGGCGCCGCGGCCGCGTCGGGCTCGGTCGGCGCGTCATCGTCGTCGGACTCGGTCTCGGACCGCGGTCGCTTCGCCTCGAAGGCCCGTAGTTTTCTTCTAAAATCAATCGGCAAGTCGTGGGAGCCGCGACCAATCCTTCTAGCTCGCATCGCCTTTTGCAGCTGCGACGATGATAAATCGGAGAATTCGTCCTGAATGTGCGCGTCCGCAGCCAATTCATCCCATTTATCCTCGACGTCCCGGGCAGACCGGCTAGTCCCGAGGAGCTCCGCTATCTGCCTCCACTCGTTTGACCCAGTCGGGTGGTGCTCCTCGACCAGCTCCCGGAGCTCGTCCTGCTCCTCGGCGCCCCAGCGCTTCCCCGTAACTGACACTGATAAATCGGAACATTCGTCCTCCTGAATCGCGTCCGCGGTCAGTTCTTTCCATTTATTCTTGACGGCCGACGTTGACCGGCCGTTCCCGTGCAGTTCCACTATTTTCCTCCAATCTTCTGAGCTCTCCGGGCGGTGCTCCTCAACAAGCTCCCGGAGCTCGGCCTCCTCCTCAGCGTCCCAGCGCGTAATGACTATACGTGAGACTATACGTGAAACCGGTGGTGCCACAGAAGCCGGGCGTGCCGCTGCGACCCGCTCATCCACCTCTTCCGTCATGCTGCGACAGAGCGCCCGAATCTCTTGCCGCGCTAAATGCGGCGAGACCAACAAGTCGACTGCTTCGGTCATCTCGTGACAAAGCGAGGTGATTTCCCGCATCACTGCCGCGTTGACCGCACGCGACACGCCACGCGTCGTCGCACGGGTCATCGCGGCCGGCGGGTTCTGTCGGCGCGGCGGCGGCGGCACCTCTTCTCGTAATGAGGCGGGCAGCGGCGGCAGCGCGGCCAGCGTCATTGTGGACGGCGCCTCGTCGGGAAAGTTCAGGGGCACCCTGGCGCTCTTCATCAACGCCTTCCACTTCGTGCGCGCCGCGTCATAGGCCCGCGCGGCGTCGGCCTCGTCCTCGAAGTCGCCGAGCGGGATGCGGTAGCCCTTGACTTGTATGTTCGCGCGCCACCTTCTAATCCTCGCGTCCCAGCAGCAGCCCGCAAACCTAGAAGCCCGGTAGGTCGCACCCATGGGCGGGTCCGCGGTCAATGTCGGGGGCGACGGCGGCGACGCCGTCACGGCCGTCGGGGGCGGCGACGGCGCCGGCCAGGCGACGGGCGACGGCGGCGCCGGCGGCACGACGGGCTTGGCCGGCCGCCGCGCCGCCTGCTCGCGCCGGTACGCGGCGCGGATCTCCGCGACGCTCGGCGCCGGCGCCAGCGTCGGCGGGGCCACAGGGACGACCTTCGGCGCGACGCGGCTCGCCCGGTAGGTGGCGCCTGTGTTGAGAAATAGCATGGACCTTCGTGAACCTCCACGCCATCGTGGGGCGCCCGAAATTTGATTTCCACACAAAGGCACGTGCCGGTGGGAGGGTCCGCAGTCAGTGAAGGGGGCGATGGCGGCGACGCCGTCACGGCCGTGGGAGGCGGCGACTGCGCCGCCAGCGGCAGGTCGCGGGCCTCAGCGTCGGCGAGCGGCGTTTCGGGCGGCGACGTGAAGGGTGCAGGCGGCGACGCCTCTTGGGCGAAGGCCCTTTCCCGCGCGGCCTTCTGCTTCGCGGCGCACGTCTTCCCGTGCTGCACCGCAGCCGGTGCGTGCGTGAAGAAGCGGTCGCAGCCGGCCGGGCAGGGGAACCGTTTTTGAGAGACGGCGCGCGGCGAGTCCGAGGAAGGAGGCGTCGGCGTCGGCGACGCCGACGAGGCGATGTCGTCGTCCGACGCCGCGAGCGCGCGCGCTGCCGCCTCGGCGGCCGCGAAGGCGCGCCCCGCCTCGCAGTAGCGGTGGTGGTTCGACCGGCCCGAGAGCGTCGTGAAGGCGCGGTCGCAGCCGCCACATTTATAAGTTTCGGGCTTCTCGAGCTTGGGCCTCGAGCCGCCTCTGAGCCATCGCGACGGCTCAGCGGCGGCGTCGTCGGACTCGGACTCGGCGCGCTGTCGCTTGGCGGCGGGTGGTAGCTTGCCGCAGCTCTTGCCGTGCGACACCGCCGCCGGGCCGTGGGCGAATGATCTGCCGCACCCCGCCGGGCACAAGTAGCGGCCCGAGCTATCGTTCACCCGCGCTGGCGCGTGCGCCCGCCGCCGCGGCGGCGCGTTCATGTTCGCGGCGGGCTCCGGCACTGGGGCGGGTTCCGACCTCGGCTCCGGCGCGGACTCGACCACGGGCTCCGCTACGGGCTCCGGCGTATCGACGGCCATCGGCGCGGGCGCTGCACCCTCGCCCTTCAGCTCGCGCCAGGCGTCGACGAATCGTCGCCGCGTCAGGACCGGCCACGAGTTGAGTGCCAGCAGCGATTCGAGCTCGTCCAGGTCGGAGCAGCGGAGGTCTTCGAGCGTGTCGGCCACGGCCGAAACCGGCGCGCGGTAGGCCTCGCTCACGTTCGCACCGAGCCACATTTGGAGCTCCCTCGAGCCCTCGGCCATCTTTCTCCTCATTCTCGTCGTTCGTGTGGCTTATATTTTCAGCTAAATATCGGAGCCTTCACTACTCGCAAGCCGTGCGCGTCTGGACGAGCTGTGGAAACTCGTACCTTGGTACTTTATCGGTATAGGTATAGGTATAGAGGCCTAGCCAAAACGGGTTCCGGATTCGCTAGTATGCCTCCGTGGGGGGAGAAAGCAAACCCACCCACCAATCAGGACTCCCAAAACATAGATAAAGAAACGTAGTATTAATACCTCACAACACCCCCTCGGGCAGCGCGAGGCGCTCGGGCCGGCGGCAGATGGGGCACGCCACCTACACACTACGGAGGATGGTGATCCGTCGTTCACTCTCGCCTGGATCCCGCCCAACAGTAGCGCTGGTACGCAGTCGGGCCCGCTTCGGCGAGGGCAGCGGCGGCGCCGCGTCGGCGCGGGGCCGCTTCGACTTGCCTTCGGACTCGGCGACGATGGCCCGGGCACGGGCGTTGGGCCCGTCGGCACCAACTGTCGCCCCGGGCGGAGGCGAGCTGCGGACGTCCGCCGCCCAAACGCTCCGGCACTCGCCGTCGTCAAACACGACGTGGTAGCGCGTCTCGGCCACGGGGCCGCTGCGAGACAGGACCGTCCCGCCCCACCATAGATCCGTATCGAAGTGGGCGAAGATTCGGTCTCCTGGTTCACTCTCCGTGCGGCCCGCGCCGACGCGTCGCCGCCGCCGCAATTCCCACGTCAGGTCATGCGCGTATCGGAAGACGTTCTGCCTCCGGTCGGGATCGGGCTTGAGGCAAGCGTCGTGCACAGTCTTGCGCGATAAACGGTGACACGCCGCGGCGCCCTGCGGCGAGCAGTAGCGCATTTCGACGTCGTTCGCGGGCGAGACCAGCACGACCTCGCAGTTCGACGTGTGGCACTCGCAAGTTGCGCACTCCGTCAGCGAGCACTCGACCGACTCGCAGGTCTTGATGCCATCGCGACAGGTCCACTCCTCCGGGAGATCGGCAAGGTCCGTTCCGGGGGGCAGCACGCGCCATTTTTCGCAGCGCGCGCACTGCGCCCAGGACGCCGATTCCGGTGGTGGTATTATTGGTATGGCCGCGTCGCGCTCCAGGCGAGGCATGTTGTGGTCCGGCGGTCTGGAGGCCGCCGCGCGTCCCGCCTCGCAGACGAGCGCCGCCGCGCCTTCACTATCGAAGTTCCCAAGGAACCCATCGCGCTCGCCGAGCTGCGCGCGGAACCGACCTTCGGTCCCCAGGCGGTAGACGCCGCGCCGCCGCGTCGCCACGGCGTGCGCAGGCAACAGCCAGTCCGTCTGCCAGCGGAAACACACGCCGTCAGCGTCCTTGGCCCGCCCCTCGAGGCAGTCGAACACGGCCTTTTCTGCCAGGCCGAACTCGGCGGCCGCGGCGGCCGGCGTCTCGTACGCGTAGAGCTCCTCCACCGAATTCGCCGGATCAAACCACGCCACCGTCGCGACGGCGTCGCCGACGGGCGCGGCGGCCGACGGGCGCACGACGTGCTGGAATCTCTCGAGTAAGCGCAAGTCGCACGACAGCAGCCGCGTGATGGACCGCCGGCCCTGGATCTCGGACACCGCGCCGCTGCGCATCGACTTGAGGATGTCTTTGAACAGGTGGCATACGGGGCCCGGCTGGCGCCTCAGGGCGGCCTGGAACGCGTACAGGGCGGACGCGTCCCAGCTCGCCCGCGTTCCCGCCGCGACGTGGACTGATGAGATCATCTCCCTGCCAAGCTCGCCGAGCACCGCAGCGACGGGCCGCTCCCTGGCATAGGCCTCGCGGATAGCCTCCAGGTCGGCCGCGGCGAGGGCCCGCGCTTCCGCCGCGGCCGCTTCGGCGACGCGCACCGCTTCGTTCATTAACCGGTTGAGCTCCTGCTCGAACGCGCCCTTCGGCTCGCGCTCTCCGTCCCGCAGCTTGGACCAAGTCGAGAAGCGCATGGTAGCGAACCATCTGTAGACTTGTTCCGGGGTCTTGCCCGTCTGTCGCACGAGCGTCGCCCACTCGGCCTTGTTAGGATATGGGTGCGCCGCGTGCGCCAAGGTCCACTTCTGGAGCAACTCGAGCCAGTCGTCAGCCAGGGGAGGCGCGGCTGGAGCCGCCGTCACTACGGCGTCCACCGAGTCGTCGTCCGGCTCCGAGTCAGAAGAGGAGAAGCCCGCCGTCGGCGGCGCGGCCTTTGGTCGCGGAGGCGGCGGCGCGTCCTCTGGCACCGCGTCCTGTCGCGTCGGCGCGGGCTCTTGTGGGGGAGGCGACCCCTCCGTGGGCAGGACCGGCACGCCCGGCGGCGCGGCCTCGGCAGTCGCCGCCGCCGGTGCGAGGACAGCGGCCGTCGCGGCGGGCTGCTTTGGTCCGTCCGCCCGCATCGCCTTCATGAGGGACGCGCAAGTGACCTTGGGAGCGGGAGGGATGTCCAGGACTGTGACATCTCCGTTCCAGTGATGAGGTTTGGCGGCTGCGGGCTCGTCTTCTTCGTCGAAGAACGCCTCGTCCGTCACGCAGTCCCCGTCGCCGTACCGCACGTGCCACAATATCGCGCCGTCCTCCTCGACACAGTGGACGTCCAGAAGCGTGCCCGTGAACGTCTCGCCGGCGTGGTCCGCGGCGAAAGCCTCGCCGAACGCCGTTGCCGGGACTTCGACGACCATGCCGGGCCGATACTCGGACTCGTCCGGCCAACTCACTTGGGTCACCACGTGCTCCATCGTCTCGCGGAGCGCCGCCTGTGAAGCGGGCCCGGTACCGGCAAGCGCCGGCGCGGGGTGCTCGAGCCGGCGCGCTAGGAGCTGCTGGACGTGCCTCTTGCTGTGGGTCGCCCGATAGGTGACGCCGTAACGATCGCACATCTCGAGGACGTGCTGGTGGTCGTTCGGGACGAGGCGCCGTCTAACCTCGGCAGCACTCCGTTCGTGCGCCGTCGGCGACGGGAACTGGAGTGGCGCCGCGGCCGCGGCCAGGTCGGCCGTGGCCCACGCCACGGCGACGGCCGCCTTGGCCTCGTCCTGCTGTCGGAGCAACAACACCCGGCGTTCTCTCCTCGTCTCGAGCGCGTCCCGAGCGGCGGCGCCGGCCCGCACGCGTGCCTCCCACGCGCCCCGAAACGCCGTGGGGCCGCGCCTGATGTCATCGTCGTCCTCGTCATCGTCGGTTTCGATTGTCTGGACCTTTGTATCCATTGTGCCATCGGGGTAGGTCGTGCCGCGCGGCAGCGCGCGCGGCGGCCGGCGCTCGCGTTCGATCTGGCGAGACGCCACGCCGCGCGTGGGTGGCGACGGTAGCGCGTCCAGCACATCGGCGCGCGGCGCTTCCCCGGGGAAATTGAGCGTCCTCCCAGAAAGCTCGTACTTTACTACCGCTGCGTCGTAGTTCCGCGCGGCGTCCTCCTCGACGTCGAAGAGGCCGAGTTCTACTGTAGACCCTCGCACGTAGATCTGCGCCTTCCACTTACTGTAACTGTCGTGCCACGAAACGCCCGTAAAGCGACTGGTCTTGGCGCGACCGTTATAGGCGCGGCCAGACACCGGCGCCGCGGGAGGCGGCCGCGCGCCGCGCGCCGCGCAGAACCTGCCGTGCTGAATGGCCGCCGGCGCGTACGTGAAGGTCCGCGCGCAGCCAGCCGGGCACCGGAAGCAGCCCCGCGTGCTGCGCGTGCTGCGGTCGTGCTTGTACTCGGCATCGGTTCGGTAGGCACCACCGGTTCCCGCGAGGGCGAGGGCGCCGTCCAGGTACTTCCTCAACGTGGCCAGCCCAAACACGTAGTCGCGGGCTGCGTATTCCTTGCCGACGATGTCGTAGTAGCACGGGAAGTCCGGCGGCACCGTGATGGCATAATAATCACCTGATCTCCCCTGTTCCGGACCGCAGCGGAAGCCGCAGCTCGTCAGCGATTTGCGGAGGCCCCTCATGTTCGTGAGGTCCTTCGCGGCCTCGAGCAGGTCCGCGCACGCGGCGACCCAGGGCGACGCCGCGGACGCGACGTGGGGCAGCTCGCACGGCCGCTCCGCGTCCGCGTCCGCATCTGCGACGGGCGCGGCGGCGCCCTCCGCGCGGCGCCCTTTGAGCGTGCTCGCCGCCGACGCCGTCAGCGCGCCCGCGCCCCGCGCCGCGTCGTCTGCGTCGTCCGCGTCCACGTCGTCGTTTAGGACCTCGCAGATGACCTCGCACATCTCATCGCATATCTTCTCGCCGAGGAGGCACCAAAAAAGCGCCTCGCCCGCGCTGGCGCGCGCCGCCCCTGAGCTAGGTGAGCTAGGTGAGCTATGCTGCCCGCTGCCGGCCCGCGGCGCCGCCGCGGTTGCTTTGCGCTGTTCGGTGGGTCTGCTGGGGACCATGTAAGCTCAAGCTGCCCCTGCGGGTCCGTATCGCGCGAGCGCGCGCAACCTACATAGGAGGCGAGAAGGCCACCCCTTTGCCAGAGAGCGAGCTAGCGCTGCGCAATTGAGGCATCGGACGCCTCCGTCGTAGGCAGAGAGACGTCGCAGCGACGCCTAGCCTCTTTTTTTGCGCGCCCTAGTGGGCATCTGCCGCTAGCTAGCTGCGACACGGACGAAGGACAAGAGCGACAAAATCCCGGCATCGATCGCTTCAGTCGACAAAACAAGGCAGAAAGTGCTGCCAGTTGCGGGCAGCATCGATTCTGCATCGCTGCGCATCACTGCTGGACTACAAGATGGCCAGCCTGCAGCACCTCCACGCCCAGTCGGCCGACTACGCCAACGCCGCGGACCGGTCGGATATAGTAGAGACGCTCGCCGCCGCGTGGTCGCGGCGGGGCGCGCCGCGCATGGCCAAAGACGCGCCCGACGAGGACGCGCTCGGCGGCGCGAGAGCCGCGCTCGGCGAGGTCGAGAGCAGTTCGCTCAAGGCGGCCCGCGCCCGGGCGAACGCCTGGGAGACGCTGGGCAAGGGTATGTTTGTTTGCCGCTCGGCCCTGAAGCTCGCGGCGCTCGACGCCGCGTTCCGCTTTAAAAAAGATGGCTTCGTCGACGCGTGCGCGGCGCCGGGCGGCTTCTGCCAGTACCTGAGCGCGAAGGGGAGCCGCGGCGCGGCGCTGTCGCTCGTCGGATGTAATACTGATGGCAAGGGCGCCAGATGGGAGGCGCCGGCCGACGACCGCGTGGTTGTTGTGGAGGGGGACGTCTACGAGAAGGGCAGGCGGGACGCCCTGGTGGACGCGGCCCCGCCGTCGGTCATGCTGTGTCTCGGCGACGGCGCGCACGATTCGTCGAGCGGCGCGCCGGACCAGGACGCCGCCATCGCTCGGCTGGCGCTCGCCGAGCTCGCCGTGGCCGTAGCTTGCCTGAGTGAAAAGGGCGACTTTGTCGTGAAATTATTTCTGCCGCTCCGGTGCGCCGCGACGGTCGCGCTCGTCCACGTCGCCTCGCGGCTCTTCGACACCATATCGCTCGCCAAGCCGGTCACGAGCCGGGCGTCGTCGGGCGAGGTGTATCTCGTCGGGCGCGGCTTCGGGGCGCTGAGCGAGGCGGAGCGGGGCGGCGTCGTGCGCGCGCTCGACGCGGCCGTCGCCGACACGACGCCCGTGGACCGAGAGCTACCGCAGACCGTCGCGCGGACGCTCGACTTCCTCGCCGGCGCGCGCCGCCTCTTCGTGCGCGAGCAGCTGAACGCCTGCACGAACGTCGCCGCGCTCGCGGCGGGGCTGCCCGGTACGAATGGGGAGAAGGTCGACGCGGAGGCCTACGAGCGGGCCTGGGGCCTCGCCCCGGGGAGCCTCGGGAAGCGGCGGCGGCCCTTCGTCGTCGGGCTGGCCGGGCCCTCGGGCTCGGGCAAGTCGACGCTCGCCGGTCGCCTCGCCGCGGCCTTGGACGGTCGAGTCGTCCACGAAGAACGGTCCTGGTTCAAAGCGAGCGCTGCGCCATCGTACGCGTTCCGCGACCCGATCTCGGAAGCGCCTTGTCACGTCGACTGGTCTTTGGCGAAGGCGGCGGTGCGCGACGCGATCGCGGCGCCAGGACCGGTTGTTGTCGTTGAGAACTATCTGTTGCTTGCCCCGGACGGCGGCGGGCGCCACCTCGAGCCGGAGGTCGACGTCGTCTTATTGCTGGATGGACACGGCGCGTCGTCGCGCCTGCGAGAGAAGTGCCGCGAGCGCCGCGTCGCGCGGAACCTGGAGCGGCCGGAGGCCGAGAAGACCGCGCTGCGCACCTACTACGACGAGCACGTCTTCCCTGCGTATCAGAAGTACACGCGCGGGCCCTTCGATCGAAGGACCGGTCCGAAGGTCGAGCTCGACGCGATGGCGTCCGCAGACGACGTCCTGGCCGCGGCGGTTGCGGCCGTTTCTAACGCGCGGGCGAAGCGCCGGCGAGTAGTGTGAGGCGCTATGTTGTTATTTTGTACTTGAATTAGCTGTTAATATACATAATACCTGAACGCTCGACGTGACCAACGTTGCAACACCGAAGCCGTCGCCCTAGAAGTACCGCCGCCCAAATACTCTCTCGTCGAACTCTATCTTCCAGGATTCGCGCGGCTTCGGCTCTACGGCGTTTCCGTCGTCGTCTAAGCACACCCGATTCATGCGCGGGTGATAAGGCGCGGCGCAGACCGCGCGCTGCGCCTCGCTCATACCGGCAAGCATCTCCGCGGGCCATTCGACGTAGCCGCGACCATAAGCGCTCCCGGCCGGCGCGAAGCGGTAGATGACCGTGCGGCGCTGGTGGTCCGCGGTCCACGGCAAAGTACCGTGCAAGGTCGCCTCAGAGAAAATCAGGACATCGCCCGCGTCCAGCGCGGGCTGCTGCACGTACTGGGCCAATTCCTCGTCCGCCAGGTCCGCCAACGCCGGCGGGATCGGGAAGTTCGACTTGTGGCTTCCGGGAACGGCGCAAAAGCCGCCTGCGCCCGCTGGCGCCGGCGTCAGCTGCAGGCACACCGTGAGAAGCTGGTTGCGCATCTGGCCGCCGACGCACTCGTACCGCAAGGGCCAAGCGGGCTCACCAGCCTCCGTCACGGCGCCGCCGTGGAGCGTGTGGCCCTCGGCACCTTTTTCCATCGCCAGCAAGAGGGGCGAGTGGTCCAGGCGGTAGCCGGCGCCCATCAGGTCCGTCATCGCGCCGACTAGTTTGGGGTGCGCAAGCGTGTTCCGGAACGGTTCTCTGTGTGGAGCCGCCCATCCTAACATGCCGCCGCCGTCGATGCGGCCCGTCTCGCCGTCGCCCGCCAGCGCGCTCGACTCGCGGCCGTAGAGCGCCGACGTCCGGAGCTGGCCCTTGCGCTCGTGCAACTTATCACTATTCGCGTCGATGGCCTCGTTGGCCGCCTTCACTTCGTCCGGCGACAGCGCGCCCTTGAGCACGAGGAAGCCGTTCAGGTCAAACAGGTAGCGCTGCTTGGCGCTGAGACCTGCCGTCGTCGTGTCCGGCGCGTCGTGCTGGTTCTTGAGATTGTCCGCGGATAAATGACCGCTGTGGCCGACGCCAGCTCGCGTCGAGAGCAATCGGCTTGTTGCGATGACGCGTCGAGTTGCAAGGAGCATGATTGATGCGCTAACGGGTAAACGTTGATCGCTGCGATTAGTGACGCACTGCTGCTGGCCTGTAGTGCACCACACAGCGAACTGCGAGCACGGTTGACAAAACACGCCAGTGGCAAAAAACGGGTTTTTCGGCGCGCGGCGACGCGCTCGGGAAATTACTAATATGGAAGGCACAATGGCCCTCTATAAAAGTAAGCTAAGAAAATTTAGAGAAGAACGAATGGCGCGGTACTGCTTGAAAGCAGAACTACGCCTCCGGAATAAAGTGCGCGACGACGATCGAGAGGAGTGTCGCCGCCGTCATGCCGCACTGAAATATCAAATTGAGGAGATGTGACGCCTCCTCCTTGCGGGCTGCGTTTTGCGTGGGGCCGCCGGCCTCCGCTCCTGCGAGTTCGATGGTGAGCGTGTTGATATAACCGCTTCCGAACGAGAAGTAGGCCACGACGGCTACGACGGCCAGGTCGGAGCGCGGGATGAAATATACGGGCCCGAAGACGTAGACGAAGTAGAAGGCCATCCACACGATGCGCTGTAAGGTATATATCAACACACCGCCGCCGCCCTCCTTGACGATCCAGCCCGGCTTATATATCTTGGCGAGAGGCCTCCCGAGGAAATCGCCGTAGAGCCGTGCGAAATAGAGAATCTCGTTGATGTCTCTACCCTCCGCCGACTTGGCGTAAGCGTAAAACGGCGCCTGAAAGACTGAACAGAAGAGCGACACCCCGAGGGCGATAAGGTAGGTCCGAATCGTTTTTGATACTGGATCCGCCGGCTCCTCTGCCGCCTCGAACGTCGACTCGCGTGCCTTCGAGCGTGGCGTCTTGTCGGCCTTGGCTCGTTCTAGGTTCTCGAGGCGGCGCGCGCCGTGCGCGCTGCCGAGGATGTAAATCCAGCACACGAGGCCGCCCGCGGAGAGAAGCGCCGAGCACCAGAGGAATAAACTAACATCACGAAGGCTCGAGGCGGGCCCGATGTGCAGGGCGATGGCGAGCGGCAGGGCCGCGAGCTCCGGCGCGCGGAAGCCCGTCTGGAGGGCAACGTTTGCGTCTGGAGGGAAGAGAAGTGTGACAACGCTCGCCGTTCCGTGCGACCACCAGGTCAGTACCCCGGAGAGGAACATCATCATGAGCGGCGGCCCGCGCCCGCCGCCCACAAACGACGCCGGGAAGGCCAGCATAGCTATCGCGAGGCCGCCCATACAGAGCGTGCTCCGCACCACAAAACTCGACCGCACCCCCAGGCGTTCGTCGAGGAACGTGTCCAGCCGCTTCTGGATATACGAGACGCCGATGCCGGGCATATAGAATGCGGCCGAGAGCACGACGAAGAAGCTCGGACCGTAGTGGGCGTTGAAATAGGAGATGAGGACGCCCACCATGGTGAAAGAACTCATATATCCCAGCGACGTCAGGAAGAACAGGCCGTAGAACCAGCCTGGAGGCTCCGGCAGCGGCCGCCGCGAGAGCTGTTCCTGGTACGCCTCTAGCAGCCACGCGTCGACGCCGCGCGCCATCGCCGACGAGTAGGCCGACGACTTCCGGCGCTGCTGGCCGTAGAGCCGTCGCGTGTCGCTGTAGAGACGGTCGCCGACCGATGGTGCGGCAAAGTGCGCGGTAGGTTGCGAGCCCGACACTGATGTTGGCCGCGGGCCTCCTTCCTCGTCGATGACCGGCTCATAATGAGTGCGATCACCAAACAGCCGCCCGTAGAGGCGGTCGCTCAGTGAGCTTGCGACGACATGTTGCAGAGGCTGCGAGCCCGACACCGACGCACTACGCGTCAATCTGTTGTCAGTGCCCGCCGGCCGCAGATCAATGGGCGGCGCGCTCCGCGCCCGCTCCATGCTCTCCCTCTCCATGCTGTGAGCCTCCAATTGCCCTACGAGCACCCGAGGCTGCCTCGCTGCGGTGGAGGGCAAAAGGATTCGATCAGTGGTTTGCACGCTGCCCAGCCGTGCCCGCCCCACGGGGCTCAGCTCCAGAACGCGCAATCCTTCTTGGAAGGATTGCTAGTGTGTCAATCAATACGCTAGGTTTCAGGGAGTTGCCGAGAGGTCTGGCTCTGGTGCTAGGGAGCAACGGACCAATCAACTTTGCTTTCTGATCGTTGCGCTGCAGTGTGGTGCAAAGCCGCCCGCAATTTTTGCTGCGGCGCCGCGTAAAAACCGACGCTCTCAGCCACCACTTGCAACACAGACCGGGGCGCCGGCGCCGCGCAAGACACCGATCTCCACAGCCACCACAGAGCAACAAATAGACCAGGGCGCAGGACGACGGGCGCCCGCCACGCATGCGCATCCTCACCTTCATCGCACCGCTGCTCGGCAGCAGGAAGATGACGAAACTCCAGGGCCACGAGGAGGAGGCGCTCGGCGACGCCGTCGCCTGGTGCGTCGCAAACGGCGGCTGCTACGCGGACCCCAATGATCCCAAGTTGTATGGGCACGCGCCGTTTGCCCTCGAACCATTTCCGTTCCCTCGTGCTGAGTACGATCGGGTCGTTGCTCTGCAGCCGGCCTTCGGCCGATTGGTTGATTGTGTCGCGCGCGACGCGGCCTGGCTCGAGGAGACGCTCAAGGAGACTGCCGCGTCCGACGAGTTTACACGGAAATTACTCGAGTTACGCCGAGAAACCGACGCGAAAGGTCTCAAGCAGACCTGCTCGTTAGGTCTACTCAGGAGCGACTACATGCTCGACGCCCCCGGTTCGAATGCGGAAGACGGCTCCGGGCGAGCGTTGCAGGTCGAGCTGAACACGATCGCCTCGTCCTTTGGGTGCCTCTCGACGGTCATTTCCGGTCTGCATTCATATATAGCGCAGAAGTACGAGGGGGCATCAAATGGCGTGTTACCGCCTAATAAAGCCAAGGATGGACTGTGCGCCGGTCTAGCGGCGGCCCACGCCGAGTTCCTGCGCCAGTTTCCGTCGTCGGACGTACCGAGGCGCGTCGCCATGGTCGTCCAACCGGGCGAGCGGAACCAGATGGACCAGCGCATGCTCGAGCACGGGCTCTGGGAGGGGCACGGGGTGGATTTGCGGCGCGTCACTTTACTAGATGTCGAAGAGAATGAGGGGAAGTTGATTTTTGGTGAGGGTGATGATAAATGGGAGGCGTCCGTCGTCTACTTCCGCGCGGGCTACGCGCCCGACGACTATGCGTCGGACAAGGAGTGGCAGGCTCGCGCTGTTATTGAGGAGTCGAAGGCGATCAAGTGCCCGACGGTCGCCTATCAACTCGCCGGCACGAAGAAGGTGCAACAAGCATTGGCGGCGCCCGGGGTGATCGAGAAGTGGCTGCCCGACGACGCGGAGTCGTTACGAGGCGTCTTCGCGGGGCTGTATTCTCTAGACGTGGCCGACGGTGCTTCAGTCGACGCCATCGTCGCCGAAGCTATTGACAACCCTGCAAAATTCGTGTGCAAGCCGCAGCGCGAGGGCGGCGGCAACAACCTGTACGGCGACGAGCTGAAGGAGAGTTTGATGAAGTTCTCTCCCCAAGAACGGGCCGCCTACGTGCTCATGGACCGCATCCAGCCTCCGTCAAAAACGGCGACGCTCGTCCGAGGCGGCGAGTCTATTGTAGGTGCCTGCGTCTGCGAGCTTGGTATTTATGGGACGATCCTGACGAATGGTGAAGGCGCTACTATCTTCGAGAACACGCCGGGCCATCTGCTGAGGCAGAAGTCGCTGGGGGTGGACGAGGGCGGCGTCGCCGCGGGCTTCGCGTGCCTGTCGTCGCCGGCACTTGTGTAACTACTAAGCTTATGAACCTAGGCCTTTTTGGCGAAGAAGCTCATCATGGACGTCTGCTTCTTCCCGTCGGGCTTGCTCTGGAAGAGGTGCTTCGCCGCCTTCGGCGGCTTGGGCTCCTTGGGCTCCTTGGGCTCCTTGGGCGCCTTCTTCGCCTTGACCTCGACCATGGGCGCGTCGTCCTTGTACTTCTGCTTCGCGGCATCATCCAAAGCACCCCACATCTCGGCGAGCTTCTTCATGACGGCCTGGTTCGCTTCCTTGGCCGGCAGGTCCGGCTCCGCCGCCGCGACAGCAGCCTTGGCCGCCTCCCGGTTCTGGGCGTTGTGGTACATGTAGCCGCTCTGCTTCTTCATCTTCGGCTCGCAGTCGTCCTCGGCCGGCTCCGCCTCGCTCTTCATCTTCTCGGCCGTCGCGGCGGCCTTCGCTTCCTTCTTAGCGCCCTTGGGCGTGCCTCCCGTACTCTTTTTCTTCTTCTTCTTGACCGTGGTCTCCTTCTCGGGCGCCTCGTCCTTCCACTTTTGTTTGTCGGCGTCGGAGAGCGCCTTCCAGAGCGCGCCGATGCGCGCCAGCACCTCGCGGTTCCGCTCCTGGGGCGTGGCCTCGGCGTCGATCGACGCCTCGACCTCGGCCTTGACGGCGGCGCGCTTCTGCTGCGAGAAGTAGATGAAGGGGTTCATCTTGCGCATGACGACCTCCGTCTCGACGGGCTCCTCCTCCTCGTCCTTGGGCGCGGCGGCCTTGGTCTTCTTCGGCTTCGGCGGCGGCGCGTCCTCGAAGTCCTCGTCCGAGGCGTCGCCGGGCGCGTCCTCGTCCTCATCAGACTCCGCGTCCTCGGACGCGTCCGCCTTCGCGGCCTTGCGCGCCGCCGCGGCCTCGGCCCTCGCTGCGGCCTTCGCGTCCTGCTCCTCGCGCTTCTTCTGGCGCCGCGCCTCGTCCTCGGCGTCCAGCGCCGCGAAGCGCTCCTTGGCCTTGGCCTCCATCTCGGCGAGGCGCGCGAGCGCGTCGGTCGGCGTGACGACGGGCGCCGCGGCCGCCGGCGCCGCGGGCGCCGTCTCCACGGCGAGGGCCGGCCGCGCGGCCGCCGGCGCCGGCGCCGGCGCGTCGGGCGCCGGCGGCGCCTCCGCGGCCTCGGGCTCCGCGAGGACGCGGCGCTCGGCGTCGAGCAGCGACGCGGGCTCGACGGCCATGGGCGCCGGCTCGGCGGCCACGGGCTCGGCCGGCGCCGTCGGCTCCGCGTCCATCGCGTCCGCGGCGCCGGCGCCGGCACCGAAGGGCTCGGCCGGCGGCGCGGCCGTCGCGTGCTCGCCCGTCGCGACGGTGGTCACCTTGGCACCCTCCGCGGTCGCTTCCTTCGTGGATTCCGCGGTCGTCGCCTCGCGGTCCAACGCCAGCGGCGGCATGAGCTTCTCGAGCTCGCCTTGTTCCAAGTCCGCCAACGGCACGTTCGAAAAGGCCTGTTCGGTCACTAATAAAGCCTGGTAGGCCTTGAGTTTGCCCAGCGCGTGCGTGTAGGCCCAGCCGTTCGACGTGTCCTCGCCGTGGACGACCTCTAATCTTTTCCCGCAGTACTTGAGCAGCTCCGTGTCGCTCCCGAGCGTCAACGGACTTTGATGATCACAAAGCCGCGCGCGGTCGGGCCAGTGCGGCAGCGTCAGCCCAATACCCGCCGCGCACCGCTCCAAGACGACCATGACCTTGTCGGTGTGCGTCGCGTTCTTCGTGGCGAGCACGGGCGACCTCTCGAGCGACGCGAGCCAGGGCGGCCGCCGCAGACCAGGCATGGCCGCCATGACCCTCCGACAGTCGCTCGCGCGGTTCCACTCTCCTTCTAACCGGCTTCGCGCTTGCTGCGCCGCCTCCCTTTCAGCCTCGGTCAACGACCCCGTCTCGCCGCAGACATTATCCAGGGACGTCGACGCGTCTGCGGTGAGGCGCGAGCCGCGCGGCACGCGGAAGTGGGCGCAGCGCCGCGCGGGCGCCTCGGCGTCGGCCTCGGCGAGCGCGTCGCGCCGCACGTCGAACAAATCGGGGGCCGGCTCGCCGGCGAGGCGGCTCGACTTGCGCTCGCCCTCGCGCGGCTCCCAGTCGCGCGGGCGCTTGGGCCGCGGCGCCGCGGCCGGCCGTCTGAGTTGGGGCACGACGACGCCGAGGCCGCCGCCGAGGCCGAGCGACCGCATGAACGCCTCGTTCCGCGCGATGCGCTCGTCGCGCTCGATCTCGTACTGGGACTTGGGGGGCGGGACGTAGTTTGACGACATCTTACTTGGCGATACGGCGCGGCGCGGCGCCCTTAGGCTGTGAGAGGCTTTGGTATTTTTGAGCTTATTGGCTGCTGCGCGGCGTTTCAGCCAACAATCACGCGCGCAGTGGAAGATACCGACGCGCTGCTGCGTTAAAGCCTGCTGGCTCGTGTGCTATTTGCTGCACAGCGGCGTCGCGCGGGCGTTTGGTTTGCCTTGGCTCGCATCCCGCCAATAAGCTGAGCCCCCCCCCGGCCCTCGACCGCATGGACCATTCCCTGGAAGGCATTTGGCGTGCAGGTGACGGATCCCCCGATCATGCGTCGCTTCAGGGGCGCTCCCACGCGACGCGCCCCGACGCGACCACAAAAACATATATGGATACTTACTTCAGCGAGTTCCCGCTCCCGCTGAAGGCCGCTTTATTGGTTTTGGCCCACTTGTTGGTGGCCGGTCTTCTAAAAGCGGGCTTCTTCTTCGCGGGCGCGGCTGCCTCCACGGAACCGGACGCGACGGTCTGGCCCGACGACGCCCAGGCCTTGGACTGTTCAGAAGCCGTCGGCGGCTTGGGCATGGCTTCGAGCTGCGACGCTTGGGTAGCCTTCAGTTCCTTCCCATCTAGGCGTTGCCCACCCCCAGCAAAGGCCTTGAAACTTTCCGTAGGCTTGTTCTCCTCCTCCTCGCGGGCCTGGGACTTGGCCTTCTGGGGCGCGGGCACGTTCGCCTTCGGGGCCTGGGCTTGAGCCTTGTAGTCGGGCTCTTTATAACCGACAGGCGCGTCGAAGTCGACGTTACAGTCGCACTCGATGATGCACGCTGCATCTCTTGGCTTCACCTCTTGGACCTCCAGGTAATATCTCCGGTTGTTGTATGGTAAACAAATTTGATCACCAACAGTAACGCACGAGAACATCCTTAGTTGTTTCTCTAAGACTGCTCTTGGATTGGAAATGTCCAGAAAGTCGACGTGCTGGGGCTTGAACTTGACGAACTTGGCCTTTGGCAGGGAGACGTTTCTTACCGACAGTACTGAACCTTCTTCCAGTAACAGGTTGTTCATCATCCAGTGGGGCAGATACACGTTCCCTTCCGCGGCCGTGAACTCGAGCACGCCGCAGTGCGTCCGTTTTCCACTCTGGGTCCGTAACTCAAAGAGCATGGGGTAGCTGATCTGTAATCTCGCGAGTTGTTCGAAGGCCGACGCCGGCAGCAGGATCTTGTCGCCGCCCTCGAGCTGCGGCTTGTCGGCGAAGGCGCCGCTGTAGCAGTGGTACTGCTCGTCGAAGGGCTCGGTGTGGCCGAACATGGTGGCTGGGGAGTTCTTTTGTACTGCTGAGTATGACTTGGCGCGCGCGCGCGGCGGCGGCGTACTGCGCTAGGGCTGTATTTTTCGACTGATGCTCGACAGCGCGCTTGCCCAGCGGCGCTCGTATGAGCCGTACCGCCCGATTGTGGCGGTGACTTGCCGAGCCTATAAAAATCCGTGGGCTAGCGGCCAGTAAGACACTAGCGACCAGGTGAAAGCAGGTGAATTGTTTTTTAATCGTAGCGGAAACGGGAATATTCGATATATCTTGATGGCGTGTTGGCGGCCTAGAGGCGAACAACTTCGTGCGACGAATTCGAAAGCGATCTAAAGCGATCGACCCACTCGCCCTGGGGTGACTCGCTGTCGCCGTCGGATGCGACGCGCGCTCGTCTTCCTCCTCGGCGCCCTCGGCGCCCGCGACGCTCTCGGTCTATTCGGACCGAAGCCGTGGGCCCGGGGCGCCGCCAGCTCTCGCGCGGCCGTCGTCGCCTCGACCATAGCCGGGCGCGTCGCGCGGCGCGCGCGACTCACTGGTCAACACGCAGGCTACCTCGAGTGGAGTGCGGTCAACCGTTTTGACCGGTGCCTATCCTGCGATTTACTCGAATTCACACCTCGTCCGCACGCAGGCTACTTCTCCGACGTCAACAACCAGGACGCGAAGCTGGCCCGCGACGGGGACTTCGCCAAGGCCGAGTCCATCGCGTTCATGGACGAGGCCATCGATGGCGAGCTCAAGCTCTTCTCGGTCGCCGATCGCGAGTAGAGCGCGCGGGTAAGAATCTCCTTGAAAATTACCACTAATAGACTACACCGGGAGCGCCCCGGAGCCTGCAAACTCGGCTCATCGGAATATGATGAACGAGGTCGCAGATCGCGCGCATGCGGCCCGTCGAGGCGCGAGAGGGTCGTCGCCGTAGGGCTCGCCTCGCGTTTGTGGACCCGCGGCCGAGGTGTTGGCGCGCGACGCGCCGCGCGTCAGAGGTCCTCTCCGAAGGTTCCTGGTCGCGTGGCCTCGCGAAGCACTGCTTTGGCGTGCTTCGTAGGACGCGGCGCCGCGGAGGCGCGACCACGCCATCAGGTCGCGGTGGCCGCTCGCCTAGTAGTAAAGGTAGCCACATCTCCGCCAGAGAGACCAATTGCGACACTCTGGCCAACATGTCCCCTCAAAGGAGGCCCTGAGCGCGGTCTGTCTGGAGGCACGGTGTCATAAAGGCACGGCCCACCGGAAGTCATGAGCGGCCTTTGGCGCCCGTGGCGCAGATTTCTCGGAATCTCCTCGCGATGTGACGCCATCGTAAACCGCGTCGTGTCCATCATGCGATGCGGTCGGCGCACGCCGCACGCGTCCCGCAACGTTGCTCACACGGCGTCGCCGCGCTCAGGCACCTACAGATGCCGGCGGCCACGAACGCGCAGCAGTCATCGCAGCGCGTCGACCGGTTCCTGGCGGTCTGCGCATTGATGCTGGACGTACGCAGCGATCTCTTGCCTCACCGCGCCGCGCGTCCTGTCGTCCGTGATAGCTGCATCCTCACTCATGCTCGGCGTCGGGTGTATGCACAGCGCGACGACGGCTTCTTCGTGCGCGCGACGCAGCGCTGCTGCTGTCTCGCTTGACATGTGACTCCTTGCACCGATTCGTTCTTGTTTGGCTCTCGCAGAGCCGCACACGCACGCGACAAGCCATGTGCTTGCTAGTGTCTTACTGCCGCTAGCCGAGCGACTCTCTCCCTCACGAGTCGCCCGGGCCCAAGTACAGTTACAATTATTCTTACCAGCCTATAAGACGCCCATCCGCTCCATGTTTCGCAATCTCACGGAAGCGGCGTGGACGGTCGAGCCCACGTGCTTGAACCGCGCGTGGCCCGTATAGCGCTTGATCTCCGCTTTCTCGCGGCGGCCCTTCCAACGATAATAAAGTTCGAAGGGGCGCAGGACGACGGCCTCAATGACGAGCTCGTACTCGGAGAGGACCGTGTCCACCTTCCAGAGGCGCCGGATCACGCGGTATTGCCGGGCGGTCAGCGCGTCCTCGAGCCCGTAGACCTTCTGAAGGATGTCGGGCCCCGGCCCGTTCGGGCCGAAAAAGTCGCGCTCGATCTGCGCGACGCGCGCTTTCCCGGCCGTGTGCTTCGCCCGGGCGCCGTAGAAGATCGCCGCGAAACGATCGTCGACCTCGCCCATGCCGAGGAGCAGGTCCGGCGGGCACGGCACCGCAAGGTGCCACCGGCGATCCAAATCGACGCCCACTCTGGAGCAGATCAGCCGGTGGCGCGCCTCGATAATCAGGAACTCCCGCTTCAGCCTCGCCGTGGGCTTCGTCTGCCACGCGCGGCGGCGGTGCAGCCGTTCCCAGTAATCGCGGTAACAGCGGCTGGACGGCGGCGGGTGGAGCGGCGCGGGCTCGTCCGGGTCGTCGTCGGAGTGGTCGCACTCGGTGCTGTCGGAGTCGGAGGCGTCGTCGTCCGACGGCGGCGGCGGCGGCGACGCGGCCTTTTTGCGGCGGCTGCGCTTCGAGCTCGACGGGCGGCCGCGCGACTCGCTCGATGCGCTCGGCGAGCGCGGCGGTATCGGCGATGGCGTCGGCGACCGCTGAGCAGCACCGCGGCCGCGGCCGCCGCGGCGCGCGCGCGCGCCGCGTGGCGACGCGGCCGCCGGTGCCGGGGCAGCTGCCGCGGCGCGGCGCGGCGGCTGGCGGCGCCGCGCGTTGGCCGCAGCTTCCGGCGCGGCGGCGACGGCGCCATCGCCGCGGCGGCCGTGCGTCGGCGAGATGGGCATGGCGTCCCGGTCGTCCTGGCCGTCGCTGCCTCTACCAGACGGTTTGGGCTTCTTTGACTTCCTCCCCGCCTTCGCGGACGACGTAGGAGCTGCCGTCGGCCTCCGTGCCGGCGTCTTGTCTCGAGGCCGCCGCGGCGCGGCGCCCGCGCGCGTGGGCCCGGTCGGCCCGCGGCGGCCCCGCGCCGCCGGCGGCGGCGGCGCAGGCGCAGGCGCGGGGTCGGCCGCGGCCGTGGCGCCGCGGCGCCGCGACGACGTGGCGGGCGCCGGCGCGCGCGCGGGCGGCACGCGCGGCGCGGGCGGCTCGCGGCGCCGCGGCGGCGGCCGCGGCGCGGGCGCGGGCGCGGGCACGGCGGCGGCGCCGGGGCCTCGGCGCGCCGCGGCCCCCGCTTCTTGGGATCGGCAGCGGATGCACACGTAGTCCTCGGGGCACTCGGCGTCTTCCGCGCCGCCGGCGCACATGGCGTGCTGCCACGTGTTGCACGCCGGACACTCCCACATGGCCGAGCCGTCGTCGAAGTTCGTGCCGGACACCCCGCACAAGCAATCAAAGCGCCACGTGGCGGCGCTTTCCACGGGAGTCGGCGCGCGCGCGGCGGGCGCGCTGCGCCGTCGCGGCGGCGCGGTCGGCGGCGGCGCGGTCGGCAGCGGCGCGGTGCGGTGGCCCCGCCTCGACGCGACCGCCGCCCTGCCGGGCTGGTTCGGCAGGTGCTCGTCCTTGACGCCGCGCTTGCTCGCCGCGAGGTTTTCCCGCAGCTCCGCGTGGCGCACCGCCTTGCCGCACCTCTTCAGCACGAGGTCGGCCGCCTTGGCGAGGCCGTTCTTGTCGCGCCGGAAGCGCTGCTTCTTGCGCACGCGCTGGCCGCGCGGGCCCTCGTAGTACCAGACCTCGACCCAGTTGTCGGGGTCGACCTGGCAGGGGCGAATGCCCGGGCCGAGGCCGAGGGCGCGCCGCAAGGCGCTATATCCACCGCCTTCTCCCACGAGGCCGCGCGGAACGTACCCGCCCGCCGCCTTCCGCCGCGCCATCTCCGCGATGACCCACTCCTTGAAGGCGCGCTCCTTCTCGGTGCCCACGGGGAGGCGCTTCTCCGCGCCATCGTGGTCCGGGTGCAGCGCCAGCGCGACGACCGTCTCTCGATGCGCCCGCGTGAACGCCTCTTCCTCGCAGTCCTCCCGCGTGACCGCGGCCGCGTACCTTGCGAGTTCTTCGGCCGTCGGCTCGCGGGCGTCGCCGTGCGCGTCGTGGAAGCGCCGTCGCGCCAGGTCCTCCCGCATAGCGTCCGGCGCGAATGAGACAGAGTGGCGCCCCATCAGGACCGGGTACCAGACACCCTTCCCTCCATTCGACTGGAACGCGAGCACCTCCGCGCCCGTGCCGTCGTCCGACGCGTCCTCGTCGCGGCCGTCGTTGAAGACGACGGCTACCACCAAGTTTTCGCCCGGGCCGGCGGCGTCGACGCCTTTGTGCCACTTCTCCTTGGGCGGCGCTTTCTCCTCCGGCTTGCAGGTCTTGAGAATTCTCGTTAGCAGCCCACCGTCGGGCGCCTTGCGCTGGAACGTGATCCCCGGTTCGGTTTTGTTTCTTTCGCCCCACACAGGACCGGTGCACGTCACGAAGTTCAACAACTCGGTGGATTGTTTCAGCTGGTATTTCTCGCGCGCGATCTTGAGCAGCCGCGCGAGTTCGGGTATGTGCAAGGGGTTCTTGCTGTTGAACGGCGTCGGCTTTGCTTTTTTTTTGGCATCACCCTTGCGCTGACCCTTAGAGGCCATGGCTGCGACCGATAGTCCGAAGAACGAAAGAATGCACAATTCTGGGCAGCTGGAGCCACCGAGAGCAGCTATACGACGGCTAGTGCTGCAATCGAACAGCGACGACGAGGCGGAAAAAAAGGCGACTAGCGTATTGACATACTAGGATCGTGCGAGTCCCACTCTAGTCCAGCCGGACGGGTGGGCCCGGGGGGAGCGGGAGGGGTACGGGGGACCCGCGACGTAACTAGCCTGAGCCTGAGCTACCGAGCCGCAACAAAGACGCATAACACAAATTAAAATCACGCCCCGTACCGCTCCCGGAGCACGTCGCGCGACAGCAGCCCGCGCGCGAGGACCGCCCACCGCTGATGGACCTTCGACCGCTTCTGAGAAATAGACTTGCGCTTCGCGACGGCCCGCACGCGCCGCAGCTCCTCCACCACTTTGTCCGCATCCTCATCCCGCACCAAGACCCCGTCCTTCCGCGGCCGCGTACACCCCCGGCGCCGGTCGAAGCCGACGAGCACCGGCGCGCACTCTACGCTAAGAGAAGCGCACGCCTTCGACGCGTCGTGACCCTTGACCCAGGTCGCGCCCGGCGGCACGCGCCGCGCGTCTCCATTCAAAATCTCGACGTCCCCTTGCTCGTTGGTGGGAAAGCCCTCATCTATTGAAGCTTGGACGAGGGGCTCGGTCTGGTCCTCGCCGTACAACCCGACGGCCCGGCCCTCGGCCACATCCAAAGCAACATTTCCCGCCTGAACGATGGGGTCGGCGTCTTCCTGGGACCCGCCCAGAGCACCTCTAGGCTGCTGACCATCTTTCACCCGGCGATGGTGGCGCGCCCAGTCCGCCTTCGTACGCAGCGTCTCCACATCCTTACGAGCGAAGACGGGCTCGCCGCGAAACGTCGCCACGGGTTGTGCGGAGCCTTTCAATCGCTCCCTCCTCAAGAGCTGGCTCCGCAGCGCGAACGCGTGATGCGTGCGAAAGGCGCCGATGGACGTCGGTAATGCATCGGGCGCCGGCGCGCGCCAGGGGTTTGATGAAGACGCGGCGTTGATATCCCGTAAAGCGTCCGCGAGCCACTCGCGCGAAAAGGCCGGCGCGCCTCGCGCGTTGTAATTAACACCGACGTCGTACAATGAACCATTCGCGTCGCAGGCCATGATATACGCCCTCGGTTTTAATCTTGTTCGTGTCAGTTGTTCACTCGACAACACACAAGTCCCGGCCGCCGCGTCCACAAAAACGAAGCGCCGCCCGACGCGCGCCTCGCACCACAGCTCGCCCCGCGCCTTGCCCTTGGTATGAACGTCGAGCTGGCCGACGAGCCGCGCGTCGACGCCGCAGCCGCGGAGCGCCGCCACCAGCAACATCGCCGCGGCGCCCTCGTCCTTCTCGGCCGGGGTCGCGAGCGCCGCTCGTGCCAACGAAGCGGGCGCCAGGCCTAGTTTCGTGCCGGGCTTGAGCCCGCGCAGTAGAGTCGAGCGGCAGGCGTGCATCACCGCGGTGACGGCGCCGACGCAGTCGCCCTCGGTCGCCTCTCTCATATTCCGCCAGGCGCGCCCCGGGACGCAGGCCTCGGCGGCGTCGCGCGCGACGGGGTCGTCGCACCACCTGCTCAGCAGCCGCAGCCGCGCGAGGAAGTACGCGACCGCGGCCTCGTGCTCGAGCTTCCTTCGCCGCGTCTTCAGTCGGGCGGCCTCCGTCTCCTGCTTGGACCGCCGGCGCTTCTTCTTCCTGGGCGGCGCTGGCTCCTGGAGCGGCGGCGCTCGCTCCTCGGCCTCGTCGTCCTCCTCGTCCAGTACCGGCTCGCCGTCGGACGAGTCGCCGGCGGCGTCGCCGGCGGCCCAGTTGACGTTGTCTTCGTCGTCGGACGAGGAGGCTTGCTCCATGCGCGCCAGCCGCTCTGGTGCTCTCGCACCTGTGGTGCTCTCTCTGCCGCACGCCGCTTCTGGCTTAATTGGCCCGTCGCTTGGATCAATACTGGTGCAAGTGAATCGAAACGCAAGTCAGAGCTGGGCTCTGAGGCGTCGACGGCGCTGCAGCAATTGCTCCAAAAGCAGCCTGCCAAAAAGACTAGAATTTGTGAAACCGGCGCGCGCGGCGCTAAAATCTGAGCTCGAGCAGCGGCGAAGGAGAGCAGCGCAGCGCCCAGTCAGGACAACGAGAAGCGCTGCGCAACTTCGACGAGTGTGCAGCAGCCACTGATAGCAACAAGCCAGCACAAGTCCACAGCCATCGCCGCGCCTACGCCGCGGCACGCCAGCTTATCAAGGATGCGGCTCCTCGCCGCCGCCCTCCTCCTCCACGCCACAAAGGCCGCGGTAACGACGCTCCTGCCGGGCACGGCCGAGCCCGAGTCGAGCGACTCCGTCAAGTTACTGAAATGGATCAACGAGACGGAAAACGGCTTCGTCCATCCCACCCATTCCGTGAGACGATTGGGACCGGGCTTCCGCGGCATCTTCGCCCGGACCCCAATCGAGAAGGACGCGGTGCTAGCGGTCATACCGTGGGATTTATGTGTCACGCACCCCATGGACCAGGACGGCCACTGCGGCTTGTCGCGGAAGGCCGTGGATGCATTGGTGAAAGGCGAGACGCCCTACGCGAAGATGCTCCGGGAGTACGACCCTAGTCTCCCGAACGACTGGCCGCCGAACGCTCGTCAATCATTAGATGGGTTGCCGCCGGGCGACTGGGACCGGCATTTGAAGTGGTTCGAGGCGGGGTGTCTCAAAAGAAAAGCAACCGAGGACGAGCGGCGGGGCATGTATCTGATGGTGGCTCGCTCTGGAAGTTCTAGAGCTTATGAACAGGGCGGTTATTTGTTTTTGGCTCCTTTATATGATTTGTATAATCATAGAAATGGCAAGTATCACAACACGTTGGTGAAGGTCGAGGAAGGTGAAAGTATCTCTATCATCGCGGGCAGGGACATCAACGCTGGAGAGGAGATTTTCAACACTTACGGCGAGGGTACGTTGGAGTTGTTCCGCGACTACGGGTTTGTCGAGCCGCTACCGCGGGTCTGGAACCTGGCTTCGTTAAGGTTTGTCGAGGACGAGGAAGGGCGCGTGACGTGGCCCGCGGCCGGCCCGCCGCGCGGGCCCGCGCGGGACGAGTTTTTGAATAGGCTCGCCACCCTCAAGCGCGCGCTGAGCGCGCCGCTGCCTTCACCTGATGATGACGCGGAGGCGGCGTTGTTGGAGAGGGCGTCGGCGTTCATCGGCGCGGTCGGCGGGGCCGTCGACGCGGCGACGGCGGACCTCGCGAACAACCGGCTGAGCGGGGAGCTCTAACTCTAGATTCTGTAGGTAGCTACGCCTGCGAAACCCGTTTTGTTTGCTGAATTCCTGCGGCGCCGGTGCGCGACGCGACGGCGTACCGCTCGCAATTACCACCGCGCACAGTCACCAGTGGTCGCCGAACACCAAACGTCTCTAAGAAGGCTGCCCCATGGCCGGCACGCGATGACACCACTACTATGCTGGCTGCTCACAACAAGCGCCGCGGCCACGCTCCTCGACTTAAAACAGGAGGACACAGTATGTCAAACGAAGACGGCCGCGAGCTTCCAGCGCCACGCGCACCATTTACCAACCAAGTGGACCGCGCGCTACTCGCGCGCCGCGGCGCCCGACCGGCCTGGTAGGTACCTGGAATTGTGGGGCCGCTTCGGGCTACTGAACAATCGGTTGCGGTGCCTGGCGAATGCCGTGGGCTTCGCGGCGCGCGCCGACGCTTCGTTGGTGCTGAGCGGGCCCTGGGAGCTGTTCGCGGATGCCGCTATAGACACTGATTGGTTGATAGAATCGAGAATCGCCGACGTCGTGATCGTGGACCGGGACCACGCCTGGCCGCCCTCCGAGTACTTCGCTAATAGAACCGTCCGCCTGAGCTGCGCGGACGCGTTCTACTGCGGCGGCGTTTGTGAGAGGGGCAAAGGCGCCCGGGATGTTAAGAGGAGGTGGCCAGGTGTAAATTGGCGAGATTTGAGAGCCGGCGGTCAAAGGATAGAGACGCGATCTTCTGAACTGTACGCGGCACACAAGGAGCCGGCGCTCTGTGGGTATGCGGCGTTGGCACCTCAATCGCGGATCCGCGAGGCCGCCTTACAATGGCGGGCGCCCGCATCATTCATAATAGGCCACCACCAGCGCCTCGAGACGACCGTATCCAGAGAACCCGTCGCCCAGATGTGCCACAAGGCCGCTGCATTACTGAAGGGCGCCTTCTACGGGAAAGTTTGTGACGGTCAGGCAAGGCCCGCCGACATCGCCGACGGTGGTAAAATTCTTCTGGCGAGCGACAAGTTTTTGAAGGACGTCCATGGGGCGTGGGCCGCCGATCAAAGTGTAGTGCTGGCGGCGGCGCCTTCAGAATTAACTGCGTCGGAGGCGACGACGTACAAGGGCCCCTCGGCCATGTTCAACACGAGATTAGGAGAGGCCCTCTACGCGCCGGGGTTTCGGGGAGGGCCGCGCGCGCGGCGCGCCGCCCTCCAGACCCAGGTCGCGCCCGTGCTCTTCGACATGCTGCTGCTGGCCGCGCGCGCGGAGCGCTTCTGGCCGACGCCGGGCTCGACCATGTCGCAGACCGTATGCTTCTGGCGCGCGGCCTGGGGCCTGGATGGCGCCGCCGCCATCAGTTCCTGCGAGGATATTTGTGTGGCGCCCTGAATAATCTTGTCACATGTACTTACTTACTTCGTAGTCGTCAAAAAGAGGCCGTGCGTCGCGCCCTAACTTGTCACATGTACGTACTTAACCAGGGGCCTTGTGCCCCTCACGCGTCAAAAGGCCGGCGACGCGACCACGGACGGTGGTCTTTCTGATTCGTCGTCGGCCTCCTCTTCCAGATCAGGCTCCTCCTCTTCCAGCGCGCAGACCATGTGCTCGAGGAATATCTTGTCCTCGCCGCTATCGCTATCCACGAGGTGCTGCACGCCCAGGATGCCCTGGGGCGAGACGCGCACGCACGTCTCGCGCGCGTGGGGCAGGGCCCGCATGGCGTGGAGGAACGCGCCCGTCCGGTACTTCCACCCGGTTCTCCTGGGAGGCGGCTCGAAGAGCACGAAGGCGTCGCGCGGCACGTCGATCTCCACCGTCCCCGTCGATCCTCTAGCGGAAAAGCGCGCGCGCTGGCGCCCGACGCTTAGGCGGATGTACTGCGCGGCGACGGCGGATTCATCTAAATCCTGGACGACGTCCCGCAATGCCGCCGACGCCGCGAGCAGGGTGCACGCCGGTGCGGCGGCAGCGAAGGCGTCCCTCAGGTCGTCCTGGAACAGGTCCTCGTCGTCGCCCGCGTCGAGCGCGCACAGGTCGCACGCCGTGAAGGCCCCCGGTTCTTCCAACGTCAGCTTGACGATCTCGTCGCGCTGGGCATACGATAAACTCACGTCGCAGTCGCCTAAGATGCGGAGGCAATCCACCAACCCGCCCCCGTCCAGCGAGAGCGCGAGGGCCTCCTGGTCCGCGCCATCCACAAACTCGTTGTCGTGCTCGTCGCGTGCCTCGTAGGCCTGGAAGCACCCTGAGGGGAACGTGAGCCGCGCGCGCGTCGTCTTGCTCCTTCCTAGGACATGGAACTCGACGTTCGCCGCGTCGACGACGACGTGCACCGCGTCGTCCGAATTCTGCATGAGCAGGCACTCGAGGAGCGCCGCCATCTGGTCGGCGCGGTCGAGGCGCGCGCAGAAGCTCATCCTCGCGATGAGGATCGGTCGGGGCGCTCGTATTTCGCAGCGATTCGGATCTATAAGTCGGGGCGCTCGTAAGGCGCAGCGATTCGGATCTATAAGGCGCGCGCGCGCGGATTTGTTCCGGTCTGGGGTGCCAGATCCAGGCGCCAAATGCGTGTAAGCGCCCCAGCGATGGAGAATCTCGGCGCTACGCTGCAGACTTCCGACCTACGATCCGTGCGTCCCTCTGCTGCGGCCGTCCTGTATTTTGAAAGGCTGTGCGCTCCGCGCACAGGCCACGGCGCTAGCGATTTGTGCACACACTAGCCCTCCGTGTGCGCCGTGTGCGCGCGAAATAAAAATCGCTCCGTTTCACACGTGGGGCTACGAGGGGTGTCCTTGGACCTCGAACGACTGCGCGCAGGCTTCACACACGGAAAAAAACGCGCGCGCGCATGATTTTAGCCAAAAGCGCTGCGATGCCTACGATCGGTCACGGCCGCCCGTAAACGCCGCGCGGACTCATTTCGCGCCACGGGACAGTTGCCGACCATACATACAACACGTCCGTTGCGCCAGCATGACTTATAACACTCTTTAGGACTCGCACACACCCATGCGCCGAGACGCGTTTTCGCACAAGTGCAGTGCGCGGATGAAAACCAGCCACTGATCGCTATGACGCGCTGTGGAGTCGCATCGCTCGCTATACGTGATCATGGCAACTGTGGTGCTCCGCCAAACTGGCGGAATCGATCGTCGCGGCTCGTGCGGTCGTCGGGTGGCCGTCCGCGAATGCGCGACCCGGCTCCCGTCCGCTCTAGGCCTACTAGGGAGGCCCTATGGGCGCGTCGGGTTGGGCTGTAGGGCGTTTGTTCCTTTCTGGGGCCGGGAGTGGCCAGTAGGTCCCATAGAAAGAGTCCCTGAGAAACCCGTTTAGTATATTTAAGAAATTGAATTTTAGGAAACAAAGGCGCTAAATGCCCCGACAGGCGGTTTCCGAGCCGATAGAAGCGCTCGCGACGCTCCACGAGTGCTGTGCGACCGCGCGCGTAGCGCGCATCCATCTGTTCGGCACTTTTGCGATTGCGCGTTCGTTCTCGACTCGATGCGCCGGGCCGGCACGGCTCACAAAATCCTTTGAAGTCGCGTCAGAGGTTTCGCTGCGTCCCAGAACTCACGCGAAACGATGCCGTGGGCCTCAAAGTTCGCAAAAACGGAAGGGCGTGAAAAATTGCATCTCGGCGATTCTCGGCGAACGCGTCTTTCGCGCACAGCGCGCGTCTAGAACCGTTTACAGCTAGAATTTTTGGCGTCGCGGCGCCCTAGGATGTCTGGCAGCTGCTGCGCGCGGTTGCAGCGCGCGAACGTAGAGTTCGCGGCCGTCGAAAGGCCTCGAGAGCAGTCGTGCCAAAATCCGTCCAAATCGCTAGCGCCGTGGCCTGTGCGGCTTCACATGAGGCCTGTGCTGCACACGCAAAAACACGGCTGGCGGCTCCGCTGCGCAGCTTCGCTGCTCCGCTTCGCTCGCCAACCGTGTTTTTGCGTGTGCAGCACATGGCCTCATGTGCAGCCCGCGCGCGCCCTGGTGCCTGCTAGTGTCTCACACCGCTAGCTCTGAGCCAGAAACGTAGAAGAACGAAGAGCCTTACTTAGTGGCTTGTGTAGTGGTGGCGCCGTCGCCGTGTGCGACGGCTACCGACGACGGCGCTCACTCGAGCCAGTCGCGCGCCACGATCGCCTCCTCGACGAAGTGCGCGCGCTCGTCGTGGAAGTCCCGGACCCAGCGCTCGATCTCCCCGGGCGGGAGCATCAGCGCGCCGGGGGCGTTCGGGTCCTCGCTCGCGTTCTCCATTTTCTTTTTGGGTCGGCGCGGCGCTGTCTCAATCCGTTATAACTCGTTGACCTTCGATTTGTTGCTATTTGCGGCGTCTCTCGCGATTGAGGTGGCGCCCGCCCTATTTTGGATGGACGTCTGGTTCCTCAGACTCACCTCACGCGACCTGTGACGAATTGAATGACCGTAAGGCGCCGCGCCGGCGCGCCGGAGCCCGAGTTAAGCTAGCGGACTGTAAGACACTAGCAAGCTGGGCTTAGGGACCAAAAAAAACATACTGCCTGTCGGCTGTAGGACAGCACGCACCCGCATCGCTGCGCAAGCGGGCCGTCACGCATCACTAAACCCAAAAATGGTAGGGGAGGAGGACGCGGCGGCCTGGGTGAATGCCGTCCTTGCGGAGGCGGCGGCCGACGGCGGCACGGTCGACTCGCGCATCGCCTCGGTCTCGCTCAAGCTGCAGACGATGAGCGCGGACCTTCACGCGGACGTCGACGCGGACATGCGCGCGCTGCTGGCGGCGGCGCCGCGCGCGGTCGGCGAGATCGAGGACCTGCAGGCGGCGCTCCAGCGCGTCCAGGACGAGCTCGCGGCCGTGGACGCGCGCGTGGCGCGCGCGGTGCGCAACGCGACCGAGGCGGCCACGCTCGAGGAGCTCGACCGGCTGCGCGAGCACCTCGAGGCCGTGGGCGCGACGCTCGTCGAGGCGGCGTCGTGGCAGGCGGCGTCGCGCGCGGCGGCGGACGCGCTGGGCGCGTTCCTCGCGGACCGCGGCGCGGCCGACTGGGCGCCGGCGGCCGGCGGCGTCGCGGAGAAGCTCGAGAAGATGGAGCGGGCCGAGAAGGTGCTAAGGACGCTGCCCGAGGCCGACGCGCGGCGCGCGGCCGTCGACCGCGTGCGCGAGGACCTCGAGCGCGCGCTCGCGCCGCGGCTCGAGGCCGTGCTCCGCGCCGGCGAGGCCGACAAGCTGCCGGGCCTCTACGCCCTCTACGAGCGCCTCGGCCTCGGCGACGCCTTCCGGCGCACCTACGCGGAAGCGCGCCCCTTCGCGGCCCGAAATGTGTGGTTCGCGGGCGACGGCGGCGGCGCGCTCGCGCCCCGGCTGGCGGCGTTCCTCGACGCGCTGCTCGCGGAGGCGATCGCGGAGCGCGCGGCGTGCGAGCGGTGGGCCGCCGCGGACCGGGCGGCGGAGGTCGCGGCGCGCGTCGCGCGCGCGGCGTGCGCGCCGCTCGCGCCGTCGCTCGCCGAGGCGCTGCGCGGCGCGGCGGCGGCGAGCCTCGACGACTGCGCGGCGTGCGCCGACGCCTGCGAGCGCTTCGTCGTGGACCTGGCGCGGGGCCTGGGCCTCGACGCGGGCGGCGCGCTCGTGCTCGACGCGGGCCACGCGCTCGTCGACGCCTTCGCCTTCTTCGCGGCGCCGGCGCCGGCGGCGCCGGGCGCGCAGACGACGACGCTCTACGGCGCGCTCGAGGGCGCGGCGCTCGCGCGCGCCGCGGCCGCGGACGCGGCCGCGTGCCGCGACGCCGGCGCGGACACGGACAGCGACGCGGCCGCCTTCCGGGCGACGGTCGCGGCGGCGCGGCGCTGCGCGGCGCGGGCCGGCGGCGTCGGGGATGCCGCGCTGCGGCGCTGCGCGGCGCTGACGGGCGGCGCCGCCGCGCGCGACTGCGCGGCGGCCGTCCGCGCGGCGCGCGTCGCGAGCTGCCGCGGCCTCGCGCGGCTCTTCGCCGACTGCCGCGAGGCGCTCGTGCCCGCGGCGAGCGGCCTGCCGCGCGACCCGTCGCTGCTGAGCGACTGCTGGGCGCACGCGCGCGAGGCGGTCTACGCGCTCGACGTCGCCGGCGTCCTGGCGCGCGACGCGCGCGCCTGGCCCGACGCGGCCCAGCGCGCCTTCGACGCCTGGCGCGCGGACGGCGCCGACGCGCCGCCGGCCGCCGCGGGCCTCGCGCCGCCGCCGCCGCTGCCGCCCGTGGCGCGCCGCGCCGCGCGCCGCGCCGGCGCCGGCGCGGCTGCGGCGCCGCCGCGCGTCGTCGCGGAGTCGCCCTTCGCGCGCGTCGCCGTGGACCGCGCCCTGGACGCCGTCGCGGCCGAGGCGTGCGCGCTCGCGTTCGAGTGCGCGTTCGCGCCGGTGCGCCGCGCGCTGCGCGCCTACTCGGCGACGCGCGCGGCGCCCGACCCGCCGGGCGCCACGACCTACTGCCGGCCCGTCGCCTGGGCCGCGGGCGCCGCCGCCGCGCCGCCGCCGCCGCCGACCGACGTCGCGACGTTCGTCGGCGAGCACCTCATGTCGGCGCTGCGGCACCTCGAGCCCTTCCTCGAGTCGCCGGCGGCGCGGACGGCGTCGCTGCTGCGCCTCGAGGCGCTCGGCCGCCTCACGGACCAGCGCGAGTGGGCCGGCGTCGCCGCCGCGCCGGGCCTCGACGCGGGCGACCGCCGCGCGCTCGTCGCGCTGGGCGGCGCCGTCGCCGACGAGGACGGCGGTGCGGCGCCGGCGCCGGCGGACGCCGACGCGGCGACGCGCTTCTGCGCGGCGTGGCTGGCCGTGCTCGTCCGCGCGACGGCCGCGGCCGTCGTCGACGAGGCGCTGCGGGTGCGCGCGCTGGACGCGGGCGGCTTCGCGCAGCTGGCCGCCGACGCCGCCTACCTGCTGAACGTGGCCCGCGCGCTCAACGCGCCGCGGCCCGCCGCGCTGGCGCGGCTCGCGACCATCGCGGCCGCGGCCGCGGCCGGCGAGGCCTCGAATCCGCTCGGCGGGTCGTCGGGCTCCGTCGAATCCCTCCTCGCGAAGATCGAAGCCGTGCTCGTGGCGAAGGGGTCCGCCGCCGACGAGGAGGAGTGGGAGGTGGTCCCTGCCGCGGCTGGTGAAGTCGCGCCGGCAGACGTGCCGGTAGACGTGCCGGCAGCGGCGGGCGCGGAGTAATATGAGTAATTGGGATGGATTGGTCGTTCGACGAGACCGTTTAGCGGCCCAGGAACGCGTCGCATCTATCAATAATACCTAGCGTATCGACATTCTAGCAAATTCAAAGATACGCTTCGATAGCGTCAAAAGAATGACCCAAATTCAGAATACATCCTAGTCGTTCGCCGCGCCCAAATATTTCAGAGTAGCGGCCCGGGAACATACCCTCGCGCCTCCCGGAAGGCACCGCCCGCGACATTCGCGGATGAGTCTTACGAGTTGCCAAAGTAGACCAGCGCTTGACGCCGCCATCTACCGTCCAAATGGTACATTATATCAACTCCAGCCCAGTTTTCATACACAATCGACGGAACCGGAGCCGACGGCCCGCGCTCGGAGGGCGGGAGAAGAATTCTACTAGACAACTCTCGTGTTTATGTTCGTTTCCTTCCGTTTGTTAGTGTTACAGTCCATCTAGGCCGATTGAACACGTACTCATCTATTTTAGATACTCCGTTAGAGCCGCGCGAAACTGCGATTCGGGAGCCCTACGTTTTTACAAAGACGGCCGCAAAACCTAAACCTGCGAGTATCAGCGACGCCACTATCCAGATGGATCATAACGCCGTTGTTCTATTCACGATCGACCGACTTGCCCGTTCTCCGCGGACGACGGTGCGTACGCGGGGCACTGAATTGGCCCCAGACCGGTGGTTTATAAAATAAATTTGCGTTTCAGGCGCTTTGGTTACGGGACGGGCCAGATAACCGGCCTGACTGCCTACTACATTGCTCCGAGACCCAAAGATGCTCGGCGCGGGTCAGTAGAAGGGGGCGCTTTTAGACTATTATGGCAAGTTACCTTTTGGCGGATAACGCCCCACTAGCCGGGGTCGCGGGGTCCCCGAGGGAGTGGGTGTTGATCCCGGCCTACTCGGAGAGGCCGTGGAAGAGTCCTGAGAAGGGTGCCCATCCTCTGCTCCCCCGCAGCGAAGAGAGCGCGTAGTGCCCTCGGCGCGTAGACGACGAGGCGCACGACAGCATGAGCTGAACCTTGAAACACTAGCAGGTACTGCTGGCCTGGACCATCCTGCATGGAACGTGTTCGCGGTTCGGAATTGCCGACGATTACGATCGAGTTGAGACGTCGCAGCAGATGCGGCGTCGATAGGGTGCAAATGCAACATTCAGCAAGGTATAATATGGCCATTATGAGTTTGCTTCATGCCATTCGCACCAGATATATATATATATATATATATATATGTATGTATATGGATAGAAATATTGAGGAAGTGAAGGCCGCGACTGTAGAACACCGGGCAGCCACACAGCCGCGCGCGGCGCCCGCCGCCAGGCGGCGGGCGCCGCACACAACGGCGCAGCCGCGCGCGGCGGCGCGCGGCGGCACCTCCATTAAGCAGCCCGCTCCGAGGGCCGCACGTCCCGCGCCGGGCCCTCCGGCGGGCGCCCAGTCATAACGTCGACGGAGCGCGCGAAGCGATCGCGGTCCTCGGCTGCAGTCATGGCATTGGCCGGGTTCTCGCCGGAGCGGACAAACCGAGCGTCGATCTCGTTTGCCTCGAGCGCGTCGAAGATAAAGCCCAAGTGCACACGGATGTGACGCGACCTCGCGGATAGGTCGCGACGCTTCAGCTGTAGAAGTACGGAGTTGTTGTCGCAATGAACAATGGTCGGCGGTAGCGTGACACCGACTAGAAATGTGATGAGATGGCGTAATGCTAAAACCTGGCGAATCACCTGTACAAGCGCATAGAGCTCGGCCTCGAAGGTCGACAGAGCAGTTGCCCCTTGTACAGCGGAGAAGGCGCTTACGACAGCCATGTTGAGCGTAATGAAGCCACCGCTTCTAGATTTGCAATAACCAGATGCTGTGTGATGTATCTCACGCCCATGAGATGCGTCGCACCACGCCTCAAGTCTGATTTCACTATTGTTTAACCGCTGGAAGAGCAGCCCGAGATCCGTCGTGCCTACCAGATAACGCAAACTCCTCTGAAGAGCTGCGCGGTGACCCGGGCAAGGCGCCTCGGGGCAGCTCGCGGACGGCGCAGACACTGTGGCCAGGACGCCGACCGAGAAGAGAAGATCCGGACGTGTACGTGTAGCGATGTACATGAGCATGCCGAGGACCGACCGAAACTTCGCCGAATCAAAGGCCGCCGCGCCCTTGGGTAGGCCGCCACTTGGAGCCTCTATAACACTTGCAGTAAAGTCTGTAGGGAGCGGTGTCTTGACCGGTTTGGCGTCGCTCATTTCGAGGCGCTCAAGTATCTTTTCTGAATAGCCTCGCTGCGTGACTCGCACGCGACCGGCTCCTGCATCATGGTCTATTTCCATGCCAAGATAATTGGTGCCTGAATCAGTGATTGGTACAAGCGTCTTGAGTGTAGTTTTGACTCGATGGCAAAGTTCTTGATTGCCCATCATTAGAATGTCATCAACATATAGGAGAATGATGCAAACCGTAAAATATTTTTAACAAAGGTCAAAGGACCGATAACAAAGGTCAGTCCCCAGCAAAGTGAGGAATCCGCTTTGCTAAAAACTATTTTGCTTTTTTTAGCATGGTAGTTGTCTGCGCACTGCTGGGGACCTGTACTGATTTGTATCCACCGATGGAAGCACTGGTACATGCGGCGTAGGCGCTTGCCCACGTCTAGTACCGACCCTATTCGACCCCCGGGAGACCCCAGGGCCGCGAATGGACAGGATTTCACAACTTGAGCCGCCCCACTACACGGCGAATCCGACGCGCGCGCCGGCGGTTCAGAAGTAGCTCTCAAAAAGAAGTCCATGGACATGCCCCCACCCAACGCCGTCGACGCGCCATTCAAGAAAAAAGCAACAGCCTTAGAAGGGCACCCCCCTAAACTGCACCCGTCTAGGCGCCTCCAGGTCCCGCGGGTCGCCCGTCCGGTCCGCGCCCGTCTCTTGCGCCACCCGCGCCCCGCTGGCGGCGAGCTAAGGAGCGAGCCAAGCGCTCGCGAGCAAGGGACGCACTAGCGAGCATACGATGCGCTAGCGAGCAAACGACGCGGAATCGGACAACCCGAGTATCGACCGGCTCCACGAACCTTCGAACCACAACAAGTCAACAACCACACAATTTCCGCGAGGGCCGCGGCACTAGGCGAGCGTCATCTCAATGTCGCCGCCTGTGGCATCGTCTTCGTTCAGGCGGACCCGCGCGTAGCGCCGCGGCGGCTCCTTGGCGCCGAGCGCCGCGAGGACGCGCCGCGCGGAGAAGGGGCCGCCGCCGCCGCCGTCGGCGTCGTAGGCGATCGACGCGCACCAGCAGGCGGCCGCGCAGGCGCAGGCGCAGCAGGCCCCGAGGACGAAGGCGCCCAGCGCGACGGTCGCGAGGGCCTGGCGCACGGCGCCGGGGTCGAGCGGCGCGTCTGCGGCCGCGGCGCGGCAGACGACGCCGCCCAAGAGGGCGAGCCGCCGCGGTGGCATAGGCCCGAGCCCTCGAAACAAAAATCACCGCAAACCCGAAAGTTAGCCAAGTAGCATTCATATGCAGGCGCCGACCCAATCCTCCCATCGCGTCCTCGGGAGCCCTCACTCCCGGGACAGTGCGAGCGCTCAGATCATAGGGAGAGCACCGATACCCGTCAGCTCATCGAAGTTAAGCCCTATCGAGCCCGGTTAGTACTACGGTGGGTGACCACGTTGGAATCCCGGGTAGCGCTCTCTTTTCTTTTTGCCATTTTTCCATTTTTTTTGCCCCCCTGCTCCCTGCGCACGGCCAGCGCCTTCGAGCCTGCATGCCAAAACGGATTCGAAAAAGCGGACGGACGGCACTCAAACTCGTCAGAGGACGTCTCCCGCGCCGCCCTCCGACCGGCTTCGGCCGGCGACGGGCTGCGAGCCAAACCTTGGGCGGAGAGGCTTGGCGTCGCACGAGCGCACAGAGCAAATTCAGGTGCCTGGGAGTTGGTGTTCACGCGAGGCCACACCGATGCCGTCGAGGACGCTCGTCGTCGCACGGCTGCTCGCGACGTATGCGGTGGCGCTGACGCCGCGGCTCCGGCCGAGGCTGCCGCCGAGGGGTGCCACCAGGCTCGCGTCGACGCCGACGACGGACGCGGAAAAGGCCTACTTCGAGAAGCAGGACACGGTCTACGACGTCGACGAGGGCGCGTGGAAGAACGACGCGTTCTGGGCGCAGGTCGACGCGGAGCTGCCGGGCTGGCGGACGGACGCCGCGCTCGAGCGGTTCCGCGGCTTCTGCGAGAACCTGCGGACGAAGCCGCCCGGTGCGGGCCCGGCGCCGAGGCCTTCGGTGGGGGGTCGCGTCGCGTCGGCGGCGAGCGCCGACGCCGGCGAGAGAGAGGTCCCGACGCCGCCGCGCGCGCAGGCGAGGACCTGTTCATGGACAACCGGCAGCAGCTGCTCTCGCAGTACGTCTACCCGGGCCTCGGCGAGGACGCCGCGTCGGGCGAGAGCGTGCCGCGCGGGGCGTACCCGCACGACGCGTACCCCGAGCTGGCCGAGCTCCGCGCCAAGCTCTCGACGGAGGTGGCGGCGGCCGCGCGCGCCGAGTTCGACTCGGTGCTAAACGCGCGGCCGCTCGCCGACGACGAGGACGGCTTCGACGCGGACGCGGGCGAGTGGGACCCGCTGGGCCTCAACGAGGAGGAGGAGGACGAGACGTGGCAGAAGGCCGCCTGGTTCGGCTGGCAGTTCCTGTCGCTGCGCGGCGCGAAGACGACGGCGCCGAAGACGACGGCCGCGCTCGTCGCGGCCATGGGCGACCTCGGGCCCGCGCACCGCTTCGTCGGCTTCACGCGCCAGAAGGCCGACTCGCGCGGCACCGTCCACTCCGACGGCCGCAACTACATGCTCTCGACGCTGACGCCCGTCGACGCGCCCGAGGGCTGCGGCATCTTCGTCGACGACGAGGAGGAGACCATCGCCACGGGCGGCGACGCCGTCATCCTCGACAACACGTACCCGCACTACATCTACAACACGGCCGACCGCGACCGCATCTGCCTCATGAGCGAGTGCTGGCACCCCGCGCTGGCCGCGGCCGAGCGCGACGCGCTCGCCACGCTCTTCGCCGTCAAGGACCGCTTCACGGTCCTCGACCTCGGCATGGCGCCCTGGGGCTACGGCGAGGACGACCTCGCCAAAGCGCTCAAGTCGGGCGCCGTCAACGACCTCGACTACTGGCGGCGGCTCGACTACGAGCCGCCCAAGCGGAAGCCCAAGGCGCCCAAGAAGAAGAAGGTGGGCGCCTCCGGCCGGAACAAGAAGAAGGCCGCCAAGTCCCGGGCCTTTGGGTAACACCTGTGTTTGAACTCCGCGTCGCGCGGGCCGCGCTCCACGATGTCTCGACTCCTATCTCCCGTCGCATACCTCCCGGGGTCCCTACGAGTCGCGAAGGGACGAAACGTGGGCCGTGCGCTTTCGTCGGCTGGCCGGAACACCAAGCGCATTCTTCCTGGTTCCGCAAAACCCGCCGAGCAAGCACAGTCCAAAGCACTGCACTCAACCTCAATCACAAAAACTCGCAATCGTAGCGATCACGGCGTGAAACCACTCGCCCCAGACGCCCGCGCGCGCGACTCGAGCGCGCGGACGCGCGCTCACCTTTGCTGGCTCACAGGCACAAACATCACAACTATGGCCTCTTACGCTACCATCCCGGCCGAGGCCGAGACCGAGAAGCCGCTTCTGAACCGCGACGTGCGCGTCAACCTCAAGACCGTCATCGGCGGCGCCGCCGTCGCGTCGTTCGTCCTCGGCGCGCTCGCCGCGGCCGTCGTGAGCGGGCCCGCGCGCACGAACTCCGCCGCGCTCTACGCGCACAGCGGCTACCAGCTGAACGCCCAGACGCCGATGGCTTTCTCGTCTGGTCTTTTAAAGGACGGCGCGCATTGCAAGGGCGACAATTTCTGCGCGAGTGGTGATTGCCAGGGGCGCAACAGCAAGTGGTGCCTCGCGGTCGAGGACCACAACAACGTCCATGAAGGCACGAAGCTCCAGCTCTACGAGTGCTCGCACCCGGTCGGCCAGACGTTCCAGGTCGAAAAGAACAAAGACGGCTCGATGAACCTCCGCTACGGAAACACTGACTTCTGCGTGGACGCGCTCGGAGGCACCAAGTTCACGAACCACGGCTCCTACTTCGGGCTCTACCCTTGCCGCACGAACGGGTTCAACCAGGAACTGACGCACACCAAGATCGGCACGCTCGAGCTCACGGAGTTCCCGGGGAACCTTTGCATGACGGTGAAGAACGGCCTTCTCGCCGAGGGCTCGCACATCGTCGGCGCGCCCTGCACCGGCCACGGCGGCCTCCTCGACCAGTTCCAGCTGTGGGACATCGAGGGGTCCACGCCCGCGCCGGCGCCGACGCCGTCGACCAACACGTGCGGCAAGACCTGCAAGAGCAACAGGGACTGCGCCACGGGCGGCTTCCTCGAGTGCGGTCAGTGCAACCTTCAGCACGGCACGGATGGCTTCCAGACCTGCATGGCCGCGCCGACGACGCCTCCGACGGACGCGCCCCCGAACCCGTGCGGCAAGCCGTGCAAAGAAGACAAGGACTGTAACGGGAAGGGCGGCTTCTTCGGGAACACGTGCCTTGTCGCCGGCACCCGTTGCGCCGGCCACTGTGCCAAGCGGGACTAGGCGTCTGAGACGACCAAGCTCTCCTTTTCCTCCCCGCGCGACCCGACCTCTCCCCGCCCACTTTCGAGTAATCTCCACCAATTCTGAATTCCTGTGGGCGCGTCCGGGCCCTGAGTCCTCCTCAGCAGATTTACAAGGCGCCCGCGCCGCACGAAGTAAGACCCGTTTTTTCTTTCGACCGCACGAAGTATCTCCTCCTACGAGTGCATCGCTGGAGCCGGCATCCTTCTCGGGAATACTAGAGCAAAGACGTACGGGCAGCACTTTCACAGGAGGTTGGCGGCATACAAAAAGTGGGCAGCCGAAAGCACCATGAGTGCCGCGTCGCACCACGACGCGGCGGTCCTGAGGCAGTCGTTCGCCAAGTACGACGCGGATGGCTCGGGTTCGATCGACGTCCGCGAGCTGCGCGCCTTGATGCACGACGTGACCGGGGAGGAGCCAACGGACGAGGAGACGGCGGAGTTCTCACGCGCCGTGGACATCGACGGCGACGGTGCGCTGTCCTTCGATGAGTTCAAAGCCATCTACACCAAAGTCAAGAGCGGCGAGCTCGCGTTCGGCGGTCTGCAACTCGCCATGGACGCGTTCGACACGCTGGTCGCCGCGGAACCCGACGGCAGCAGCGACAGCGAGGCCGAGGCCGAGCCGGAGCCCGCCGCCGAGGCGGCGCCAGCGCGCGTGCCGTCCGCGGACCGCGCGCCGGCGGCGGACCGGCCGGCGGCCCCGGCCGAGGCGAAGATGAAGCCGAAGCGGAAAAAGGATATCACGGGGGGCGACATCGAGGCGCCGGCGCCGGAGGCCCCGCCGAGTAGCGCCTGGGTGTGCCTGCGCACCTGGTTCGGCTGCCTCTGCGGGTCGACGGTGCTCTACAGCCGCGACGCGTTGAAGCGCGCCGTGCGCAACGGCTGTCCCTGCCTGCATCCACGGGTCGAGCAGGCCGTCGTGTGCCTGGCGCTGCCGCCGCTCTGGATCTGGATGGGCATCCGGCTGCTCCTGCTGCCGTGCCTGTACGCGTACGGCGGGCGCTGCCTCGGCGCGTTGTTTCGCTTCTTCTACGAGGGCTTTGAGCGCTTAATGAGCCGCTGCGGCTGCAACTGCGACATCCGGTACCACGACCCGTTCTTTTCCTGCCGGGACGGACCGCTGTCCGGCTTCACGGATTCGGAGGGCGGCGACGTCGCCGAGGACGTCGTCTGGCTGCGACCGCACCAGATCTGGGGCAAGGAGGGCGAGGAAGGATCGCTCTTCGAGAACGGCGTCTCGCCCGACGACATCGACCAGGGGAGCCTCGGCGACTGCTGGCTGCTGGCGGCGTTCGCGTCGGCGGCGGAGTTCCCCGGCGTCGTCCGCCGCGCGTTCCTGACGACGGAGGCGAACTGGCGCGGCCGCTACGCCGTCACGCTCTGGGACGGCCACAAGCGCCAGTGGACGAAGATCGTCGTCGACGACCGGATCCCGTGCAAGGCGGGCACGACGACGCCCGTCTTCTGCCGGCCGGCCGGCAAAGAGCTCTGGGTGGTCCTCCTCGAGAAGGCGTTCGCCAAGTTCGTCGGCGGCTACCCGAACCTCGCCGGGGGCTTTAGCATCTGGGCGCTCCAGGCGCTGACCGGCGACGACGCCTACACGCTGAGCCGCGACAGCGCGAAGGACGCCGCGCGCCCGTGGTACCGCGTCGACATGAAGCACGCGCCGACGGCCGAGAACCCGCGCGCCGTCAAGTGGCTCCACCACCTCGGCGCCGACGGCGAGACCGAGCGCTTCGCCGACGACCTGCTCTTCGACATGCTCCTCAAGTACGACCGCCTCGGCTTCATCATGAACGCGTCGACGTGCTTCTCCGGCCGCAAGGACGGCCTCGTCGGCGGCCACGCCTACTCGCTCATCGCCGCGAAGCGCGTCAAGGTCAAGGGATCGGACCCCGTCCGCCTGCTCCAGCTCCGGAACCCGTGGGGCAATTTCGAGTGGACCGGCCGCTGGTCCGACGCCTCGGCCGAGTGGACGACGCACAAAAAGGTGGCCAAGGCGTGCGGCGTCGACCCCGGGAAGCCGAGCGACGACGGCGTCTTCTGGATGGCGTACGAAGATTTCCTCGCGTACTTCGACTCGATCGACGTCCTCAAGCGGACCGAGGACCTCCACGACATCTACCTCGACACGCACGAGGACATGAAACCGCGCGTCTTCGGGCCGCTCCGCGGCTGCGTCGTCGGCCTCTGCCGCTACTTTGTCGCCTGCCAGGGCGTGCGGAAGCTCTGCTGCGGCCGCGCCCCGACGGGCGACGACACCGTCGAGGTCGACCAAAAGCGGCTACACTGCTGCGGCCGCCAGTGGTGCTAACATACTTTTAAGTTACTTTGTGTACTCGACCGAGGCGCCGCCGCTGATGTGCCAGTGGCGCGTGTTGTCGATGATGAGCTGGCGCGCGTTGTCGTCCTCGCGGTTCCGGTGCTCGATCTCGGCGTGGGGCGTGCCGTGCTCGAGCAGGAATTTGTAGGCGCGCATGGCCTGGGCGCGCGCGGCCTTGACGAGCGGCGTCTCGCCGGACTGGCAGCGGGGCTCGAGGTCGCAGCCGACCGAGCGCAGGTACTCGAGCGCGTGGGGCGAGTCGAAGAGCGCGGCGACGTGGACCGGCGAGTTGCCGTTGTTCATTTTCCCCTCGAGCACGTCGATCGGCGGCGGCGGCGGCCTCATCGCGTCCTCGAGGAGCGCCGCGGCGCGGAGCTCGGCGGCCCGCGCGGTCGCCTCGGCCCCGGTCGCGACTTCGCGCGCGTCGATGACGTCGAGGTCCACCTCGGCGATGCGTTTCTCGCGCGATTCGTTCTTGGCCAACGCCTTCTGGTGCTTGATCCGCTTCTTGGTCAGCTTGTCCTCCTCCTTTTGCATGCGCGGGTCCACTCGACCGTCCTTCTTTATCTTGCGGCGCTCGAGGTCTTCCTCCTTCTTCTTCCGCGCCGCGACCTCGGCGGAGAGCGTCCTCTTCGCGACCTCGAGCTGGTTGCGGAGCTCCCGCGCCTTTCGCTCGAGCTCGTCGAGCTTGTCCCACGCCTCGTTTGCGGATGCGCGCGCGATCGGGGCGGGCGGCAGGGTCGCGCCCTCGTCGTCCTCGGGCGACCGGAAGTCGTAGCCGGGGCACCCGCAGAAGTTGGTGCAGTACCGGCCCTTGCGGCCGAAGTCGTCGTCGTCGTCGGGCCAGCCGTCGTCCGTCTCGTCGTCGTCGTCGTCGCCCGCCTTGCCGTCGCCGGACCTCGTCGACGCCCTCGACGCGAGCGACGACCGCGACGCGCGCGACGTCGTGCGGACCGCGCCGGACCGGTCGGCGTCGCCGCCCTCGAGCTTGACCCTGGGCCTGGGCTGGCAGCGGTGGATCGTCGCCAGGAGCTCCGGGTTGTCGGCCTGCGCCGCGTAGTGGGCCGGCGTCGCGCCCGTGTTGTCGCGCTCGCGGACCGAGAGGCCCGTCTCGTAGCTGCGCGGGACCAGGCGGTGAGCGACGAGTCGCGTCGACGGCGCCCCGAACTCTAGGGAGGCGTAGACGCGGTCCGACGCTCGCGCGTCGAAGGAGGACGCCGGCCGTCGACAGCGCGCGGAAGACCTTTGCGTGGCCGCCGACGCACGCGGCGTGCGCGGCGGTCCAGCCCTTGTTGTTCCGCGCCAGCGGGTCCGCCTCGTGGTCCAGGAGCCGCTCGACGAACTCGAGGAAGCCCTTCTCGCAGGCGAGGTGCAGGCACGTGTTCCCCCAGCGGTCGCGCGCGTCGACGTCCCCGGTGCGGAGGAAGTGGCCCAGGCCGCTGAGATTATTCGTTTCGGCGCACTTGTGCATCGTCGTGTACTGCGTCGCGAAGATTTGCGCGCCCTTGATGTATTGCTTGTGCTGGAGGTCGTTGATGCGGTCGCGGATGGTCCGCGGCTTTGGCTTCTCCGCGTCCTCCTTGCCGAGCACCTTCTGCATCGCCGCGCGGTCCTTTTGCTTCTGCAGCATGCGATTCATCTTGGCGTTTCGCCCCTTGGCTGCCCCGCGCCGCGCGGCTGCCCGAGCCGCCTCGACAACGGTCCCTGACGATCGCGAACGTCCTGATTACGCCGCCAGGCGGCGCGTAGGCCGGGCAAAGCGTTGGGGCAGCGCCTGTGTGAAATCTAGTGGGTTATTAACTAGCTCAATTACTGGATAACGACGGGAACTACTCAATACCCGCACGTCCTTGGGTCAAGCTTCAGCGGTCGACCGGTCGTCGGGACTGCGCATACTAGTCCTAGCACCGTAACAGAAAATGCCCCAGGCACAAGCTGCGTGGAATTAAAATTATGACGTTGCGGGCCTACTCGGCGGCAGGCTCCGCCGCGTCGGCGTCCGAGGCGCCGGCGTCCTCCGAGGGGCCCGCGACGGCGGCCTTCCAGAGAAACGCGGCGGCGATGGCGGCGACGACGGCTGCGGCGCCCTTGGCGCCGGCGGCGGCGAGGCTCGACATGATGAGTCCGGCGACGATGACGCCCGCGAATATGGACGACATCGCCTCGGAGAACGGCATGCCGAGGACGAAGGCGACCATCGCGCCGGTCCAGGCGCCCGTGCCCGGAAACGGCACGCCGACAAAGGCCGCGAGCGCGGTCCAGCGCGCGTTGCCCGAGACGGCTCCGGCCTTGGCCCGCGCCTTCGAGAGCGGCTTGTCAAGCAGCTTCTGCACGAAGTTCGATCGCAGCGCGAGGAGCAACGGCGCGATCGGGACCATGTTGCCCGCGACGCACAAAAAGAAGACCTTGGGGAGCGGCATGCCCATCATCGCGCCGACGGGGATCGCACCGCGGAGCTCGACGACCGGCATGGCCGCAATCGTCGCGACGATCCAGGCGTCCGCGAAGCCCGACGCGCGCAGCTTCGCGCTCACGACGTCCGCCAAATGGCTGGCGGACGCCGGCTGCGGGGCCAGCAGCGCGAGCGACGCGACCGCGGCGACTTGTGCGACACGCTTTGCTCTGGGCGCTGCCGCGACCGCCGGGGCTTTGGCAAGCCGCGGCGGGGCGAGGCGGGGCGCCAGCCGCAGCGCGCTCGCAGCGGAGCACAGGACGAGGAGGCGCTGCATGGCGTGCGAGCGTGCTCAGAGTTGCGCGAGCGTGCTCTGTAGCGAGGGTGCAAAGGCGAAGGCTAGCGGCATAAGGCCACTAGCATGAAGGGCCGGTCCCAGTCGCGTCCCGCGTGCGCGCTGTCCGCGTTGAGCAGCAGCTTCCAGAGGCTGCAGCTGTCAGACGCAGCAGCGCGCTCTCGCAGAGCAGCGCTTTTGAGCGCTAAACCGCATTCTCACAGGAGGAACAAAAATAATGGACCTCAAATTCCTCCCGCTCAGCGTCGAGTGCACCGACGGCCCGCCGCCGGACGTCGAGAGCCTGCCGCACCCGCTCTGCGCGCCGGGGTTCGACGGCTACCACTCGAACTCGTGGCCGCGCGTGGACCTCTGGGGCACGCTCCCGACGGGCCAGCGCGCCACGGTGCACGTGCACGGGTGCTTTCCGTACTTCTACGCGCGGCCGCTGGAAGAGGACGCGGAGGCCGTCCGGGCGTTTAGCGTCGACCCGAACCTCCGGTCGATCTGCAAGCGCACGGCGGAGGGCCTCGACGAGATGCTGCGAAACGGCGACGGGGCCCACGGCACCGGCGACGCGCGCGTGCGGTCGGTGACCGTGGCGACGCTGACCCCGTTCTACGGCTACCACCCCGAGCCGCTCCCGTTCCTGCGCGTCGCGCTCTACCGCGCCCGCGACGTCGTCCGCGCCGCGAAGCTGCTCCTCGACGAGGGCTGCTGCAAGTACCAGGGCCGCGCGCTCCGGCTCCAGCCGTACGAGTCGCACGTCAACGCGCACATGAAGTTCTTCGCCGACGTGGGCGCCGGCGCGCTGCGGCCGCTCGCGCTCGACGACGTGCGCTTCCGCCGCGCGCCGAAGACGGCGCGGGTGGAGGGCTGGGTGTCGGAGGCGACCGTGCGTAAGGCGGGCGCCGGGTACGCGCCGACGAAGAGGCGCCTCGCGGCGCCGACGCTCGCGGCCGACGACGCCGTCGAGGTCGACGTGGCCTTCGCGCGCGTCTCCGCCGCGACGAGCGTCCGAGGCGACGACGACGACGACGACTACGCGGTCCCGGCGCTCCGCGAGCTCTTCGACGACGAGGCGGACCGCCTCGCGGCCGACCACGCGCCGGCCGAGGTGCGCCGCCTCGTCGCGGTCGACCCCGCGTGGCGCGCGCCCGACGGCGCCGCGGGCGCGACGCCGACGCTCGGGCCCGGGACCGCCGAGCGCCAGGCCCGCTGGGCCGAGCCGCTGGCCGCGCTCCGCCGCGTGCCGGATTCGCCGGCGCCGGCGCCGGCGCCGCGCGCCGACGACGTCGCGGCCTCGCAGCTGCCGCCGCGGCTGTCGCAGGAAATGTGCACGCAGGCCGACAAGGAGGCGCGCGACCAGGACGACGCGAGCCACGCCAGCGACGACTCCCTCGACGTCCGGGAGCGAGAGGGGCGCCTCGAGGAAAACGACGACGGCAAGGAGCCCGACCCATGGTTCGACGACCCGAACGAGGGCGACGAGGACGACGATCGCGCGCGCGACGCCGCGTGGGACGCGATTCTCGGCACGGACGACGCGGACGAGGGCACGGACGAAGACGACGGCACGGACGAAGACGACGACGCGCCGTCCGCCCTCCCGAAAGCGTCCTCTCAGACCCCGGCGGCGCCGCGCGCCCTGACGCCGACGGGCGCGCGCGTCCTGGCGCCGGCAGAGCCGCCGCCGACGGCCGCCGCCGTGCGCGCGTCGCTCCGCGAGCTCGCGCCGCCGCCGCGGCCGCTCTTCTACGGCGACGCGGCGGACGTCCCCCGGCGCCGGCGAGCGAACGACTGCGGCGCCGTCGACCGCGCGACGCACGTCGCCGACGCGCCCGAGTTCTTCCCGCCGGACGGCGCGTGGCGGCGCCTCGTCGCGGGGACGCGCGGCCGCGGCGCCGCGCGGCGCCGGTGGGCGCGCGCGGCGCGCGTCCTGGCGCCGCTCGCGGACCCGCCGTCGCGCGCGCGCGTCGAGGCGACGCTCGCCGCGGCGACCGCGACGGCGCCCCGCCCGTCGGCGTCGCCGACGGGGTCCCTGCTGACGCCGCCGAACCGGACGCAGTGGACTGAGGCGTCGGGGAGCAGGTCGCGCGACGGCGCGGGCATGCGGACGCGCGCTGCCGCCGACGGCACGCCCGGCGTCGCCGTCCTGGCGCTCGAGGTGCTGGCCGCCTGCGCGCCGTCGCAGCTCCGGAGCGACCCGAAGAAGGACCCCGTGCGCTGCGCGTGCTGGCGCTTCCGCGCGCACCACCTCGCCGACGCGGCCGACGACGAGGTCGGCGTCGTCGTCGTCCTCGACGCCGCCGCCAGGCGCGCGGACGAGCCCTCCTGGCGCCGCGCCTGGGACGCGACCGACGAGGCCGTGGCCGTCGAGATCGTCGCCGACGAGAGGGCGCTCGTCGCGGGGCTCCGGCGCCTCGTCGCGCGCCTCGACCCGGACGTCCTGCTGGGCTGGGACACGGCGCGCGGGTCCTGGGGCTACGTCGAGGCGCGCTGGGGCGTGGTCGCGCCGAGTGACCGGAAGCAGCTCTTCTCGCGCGACACGAACGCGCGCGCCGACCGGGGCGACCGCGGCCGGACGTACGCCGCCGCCCGCGGCCGCGTCGTCGTCGGCGGCCGCGCGGCCGTCCGCGGCGACGCCCTGCTCGTGCGGCTCCTGTCGCACGACCTCGCGGCCGTCGCGCCCGTCGTCCTCAAGCGGCGCGCGCCGCCGACGCACGACCGAGCGGAGCTCGCGCAGCTCTTCGCCGCGCCCGAGGTCGACGCGCGCGTCGCTGCGGTGACGCACGTCCTCGCCGAGACGACCTGCGGCCTCGAGATCGTCGCCGGGCTCGACGTCGTCGGCCGCGCGGCCGAGCTCGGCCGTCTGCTGGGGATGCCGCTCGCCGACGCGCTGACGCGCGGGTCGCAGCACCGCGTCGAGGCGATCCTGCTCGGCGTCGCCAAGCCTCGGCGCGGCGCGAACCCGCTGACCTTTCTGGACGCGCGCGGCGACGAGCGGCCGCCGCCGGGCGCCACGTGGTACGCGCTCCGGTCGCCGTCGCGCGCCGACGTCGCCGCGCAGCCGGCGATCGAAGAGACCGCCTGCATCCTCGAGCCGGTCTCGGCCATTTACACGGACCCCGTCGCCTGTCTCGACTACCAGTCGCTCTACCCGTCGATGATCGTCGCGCACAACCTCTGCTTTTCGACGTGCGTCGGCCGCCTCGCGGCGGCGGGACCGCCGCGCGCGGCCGGCGACGTGAAAAAACGTCCCGACGGCGACGCGTCGGACTCGGACTCGGACTCCAAGTCCGCGGCGTCGTCGCTCGACGGCGCGCCGCAGGCGGCGCGACCGCGGGACCCGGCGCCGGCGCCGGCGCCGGGCGCGGCGACGACGGGCCGCCTCGGCGTCGTCGCGCACTGGCCCGCGGCGGAGGCGGCGCGCGCGCTCGAGCACGCCGAGGCGAGCGGCCCCGTCTACGTCGCGCCGAACGGCGCCGTCTTCGCCGGCCCGGCCGCGCGCGAGGGCGCACTGCCGCGCATGCTCCGCGAGGTGCTCGCGGCGCGGTTCCTGACGAAACAGGCGCTGAAGCGCGCGCGCGCCGCGCGCCGCGGCACGCTCGCGCGCGTCCTCGACGCGCGCCAGCTCGCGCTCAAGCTCGTGGCCAACGTGACCTACGGCTACTGCGCAGCGTCGTTCTCCGGCCGCCAGCCGTGCGCGGACCTGGCCGACGCGATCGTCGCGTCGGGGCGGAGCTGCCTCGAGGACGCCGTCCGCGTGGCCGGCGGCGCGGGCGCCGCGAACCCCGTCAAGTACGGCGACACGGACTCGATCTTCGTCGAGATGGCCGGGGCGTCGGTGGCGCAGGCGCTGGACCGAGCGCACGAGATATCGAAGACCGTCTTCGCCGGCACGCCGCCGGCGGTGCACCTCAAGGTCGAGTACGTCTTCGACGGCTGCGCGCTCGTGTCGAAGAAGCGCTACGTCGGCCGCGCCGTCGAGGCGCCGGGCGATACGCCGCACCTCCTCGTCAAGGGCCTCGAGCTGAAGACGCGCGACCAGTGCGACTTCGTGCGGGAGCGCCTCGAGGCCGTCGTCCGCGACGTGCTCGCGACGCGCGACCTGTCGCGGGCGAAGCGGACGTTCCAGCGCGCCGTCGTCGGTGTCGAGGCCTGCCCGCTCCAGGACCTGATCCTCTGGCGGCGCTACCGAGGAGAGGGCGCCTACAAGACCAACACCCACGACCTCGTCGGGCCCGTCAAAGAGCTCGACGCCAGAGGCAACCGGACGGCCGCAAAGGACCGCGTCGGGTACGTCGTCGTGAAGGACCCGGGCTTGAAACTCTACCAGCGCACGCACGCCGCGACTCACGAGGCCGGTCTCGCGCTCCGCGTCGATCGCACGTTCTACATCAAGAAGAAGCTGCTGCCGCCGCTGTCGCGCATCCTCGACGTCTGCGGCGTCAACGTCTTTGCCTGGTACCAGGCAACGCCGAAACCAGCGCTGCGCGTCCGCTTGCCGGCGCCCGATGCGCGGCCGACCGGCAAAATTACCTACTTCTACCCATCCAGACACTGCATCCACTGCGGCGTCGTCGCCGCCAAGCCGCCGGTCTGCGACGCCTGCGCCGCCAGGCCCGACTTTCTCGCGGTCGAGCACTTCATCCGCGAGCGCGGGCTCGAACGCCGGCGCTGGGAGCTCGAGCGCTCTCTGGCGGCGGCGGGCCTCGGCCCGCGAGCGTTGCCCGCCGGGCTCCACCTCGCGCCGTCGAAGACGTCGCTCGAGGACGACCGAACCTTCGAATATCGCCGCGTCCTCGACGCCATCGAGGACAACGACCGGCGCTGGCTGGCGACGCTCGAGTACCTCCAGCGGCGCAAGAAGCGGCGGCGGGACGATGGCGCGGGTCCGGGCCGCGCGCGGCGGTGCTTCTAGGCATCTGTGCTGTGTGTAAGTGGTCCTGTTCAAGTTATCATATTTAAACCGAGCCCCTGCCCAGGGCTGGGGGCGAAACACCGCGCGTTGATCGACTCGAGATTCAAACAGGCTTAAAAAACGGGTTTGCCTCGATTGTCGCCGCGCGGCCTTATTTTTGCTCACAGATCACGAATTACTGTCCAAATGGGCTTACTCAAGAGCGGATGGATGCAGCCCGTGGTGGAGGAGTCCACGGCGGCTGACTCCGAAGCAGAGACCGAGATTCAAGCCGAGACTCAAGCCGAGCCGGGCGCCAAGGCGCTCATCTCGGACATCCCGGACGACGCCTTTGGCCACGTCCTCTTCTGGCTTCCTCCGCTCACGAATCTCGCGGCGGCTCGCGTGGCGAAGCAGTGGCGCGTCCGCGTCGCGAAATTCTTTGCGACATTGCGCGAGCTCGACGTTACGACCGAAGAGATGAGCGCGTCGCTGGTGCGGGGACGCAATCCAGCCGTCGGCCCCGAACGCTGGGGACGCAAATCCAGCCGGCTTGCAATGCTGCTTGGCAAATGCCGCTCGTTGGAGTCGTTGACGGTGGGGTTTGGTGAATACGAAGAGTCGCTCGGCGAGTGCCCGAGCCATCTCCTCCGGTCTCTCTCCCTCCGACGGCTCGTAATTGCTGGAGACTACATGAGTCCAGAATGCGTCCACAACATCGCTCGTTTGAGTCCGAATCTCGAAGAATTCAAGTGGCGAGGCCGCTCTGACGATACGTACAGGGTCATGGGCTACGGAGCAGTAGGGACCTTACGGGTGTTCCACCGGCACTGCCGACGCCTCCGCCGATTGCCCCCATTCGGGTGTTGCTGCAGCCGCGGTCCGCTGGAACCCGACGGCCCGTGTGGTTACGAAGCGGAGGCCTTCGAGTTGCTTAAGACGTGGCCGTCGCTCGAAGCGATCGAAATTCATCAGTGTTTCCCCCTCAGTATCGGTGAAATGCAGCACCGCGCCCTCGGTTTTGGTACGGACAAGGGACAATTTAAGGGAATATTGCGGGTCGTTATGCACGACCTCGATGATCTCGTGTTTGACGAGGTGGCGGGTGGGGAGGTACCGGCTGAGCTCATCCTCCAGAGAGATTTCGGCAAAAACGAGAGACGGCCCTTACGCTTTGGAACTATTGAAGACCTCCCGCCCTACTAGTACGACTAAAGACTCCTAAGACTTATGACGAACACGTTTCCAACACGCCTTTCCGCTCAGCTTCCCGCCACCGGCTCGCCGGCACCGTACCGATACGGCGCCGGGCGCGCCGGCCTCGCAGTCGTGGGCGCGCTTGCCGCACTCGGGCCAGACGGCCAGCAGTCGTCGCTGCTTCCGCGTCGCACGCCACGGGAACACGGCCCGGAAGTAGTCTTGGGAACGCGGCCAGACGTCGACGGCGGGCGTGTAGTCTAAGTGCGGGTCGGTCGCAGCGTAGTCGATGCGGACGTAGTGCTCCAGGCGCGGATTGAGCATGAGGAGCGCCGGCACGAACGTGCCCTGGCCGTAGACGATTCTCCGCGCCCCGATTACGGCCGCCACGTCCGCGCTCAGCGACTGCTTGTCCCAGTCCGCGCGGCCGGCGTAGCGCCGGAGGAGCGCGCCGACGACGGGGTTGCGGTCGTCCTCGGCGAGGATCCGCAGGCGGCGCCAGTCGGGGTGCGCGTCGATCGCGTCCGCGTAGTACGACACGGGCGGCGGCGCGTAGTGCGTCTGGTCGTGGACGGCGAAGATGTCGCCGCTCCGGACGTGGACGTGGACGTCGTAGTCGTGCGCCGCCGGCGTCACGGCCGACGCGGAGCGGAGCATCTTCAGCACTTTGGCGCGCGCGTCCGCGTCATCGCGCATGCGAGACACGTCCCAGAAGCTGTCCTCGAAGACCGGCCGCGCGCCCCGGGCTCGGTGGTGGTGCCGCGGCGCCGCGAGGCGGCCGAGGCGCGACACGTTCAGCACCGCGTCGGGCCCGCCGCCCGGCAGCGCGCACGCGCATCCAGCGCCGGCGTCGACGGCGACGGCCAACGACAGGCAGTTGGCCACCTGGAGCAGCGCGTTGCCGAGGCGCCCCGCCCAGGCGCGCACGCGGAGCAGGCCGCCGGCGCGACAGACCGCCGTCGCGTTCGCGTGCCGGGCGGCCCGGGAGCTCGGGAGCTCGGGCGCGCCGCCGGGCAGCCCGAGCGCGACGCGCTGCCGCGCCTGGCGCGCCGCGTCGCGCTTCGCTCGCTTGCACTTGGCGCGGCACCGTATGTCGCCGCCCAGCGCCCGGCACGTTTCCGAGCAGGTGTGCGCGAAGACCGACGTGACGAGTGGCTCCTTGCGCAATTGCTCCGTCGTCGGTGGCACCACCTGGGCAGGCTGGAGCCAGAATAGGGCAGCCGTGCTGACGAGGGCTGCCGAGGCGTAGGTCGCGAGCCGCCGACGGTCGCATGGCATCGTATTGTTTCTATCAATGCAATCGCTTATTCCATCAGGCCGCGGCAGCAGCTCCACGAGCCTCTCGCGATGAGCCCTGGCCAGTGAGGGGAAGCCCTCGGCCCCTCAGCCCTTTCCTATTGTGCTAGATGATAGAGACACTAGACTCCCAAAAAAAGCGCAACGAAGCCGCACTCTGGGCTTCGCCCGGGCCCTTGGCGCCACCTGGTACATCACACAACGAGCCAAGTCTGCCTATACTCGAGGCCTGCTGCGCGCGCGCCCGTGGTTCTCGCTGCGGACTCAAAAAAGGAGCAGCAGCACCAAGAGCACGTTAACTCCGCGTTCGCGCCAGCGGTTCGCTCTGAGGACTCGAAAAGGGAGCAGCAGCACCAAGAGAGCACGTTAACAGCGCGAACGCGATGGACCTCGCCTACGAGGACGACGTGGTCGACCTGACGGGCGCGACGGAGTCGCCGCCGCGCCCCCTCGCGCCCGTGAGCGCCAAACGCGAGGCCGGGACCGCGAGCGGCGCGCCGGCGAAGAAGAAGCCCAAGGCGGCGCCGGCGGCGACGACCAAGACCGGCCGGCGGCGCGAGCGCCAGAAGCGGAACGCGGACGTGCGCAGCGGCCTCAAGCCGCTGCCGACGCCGATCGTCGACTTCGACGCGGAGGCGGCGCGCGGCATGCTGACGCTGACGCGCGAGGGCGTGCCGGTGCACCTGCCGCGCGCCCGGCCGCCGTACCGGTCGCAGCTCCAGGTCATGGACGGCGCGATTCGAGCGGTGCGGGCCGCGCGGTCGGCGCTGCTCGAGTCTCCGACGGGGACGGGCAAGACCCTCGCGGCGCTCGCCGCGGTGCTGGCCTGGCAGCGGCAGCACGCGCACGACACGCCGACGCGCGTCGTCTGGGTCGCGCGGACGCACGACCAGCTGCAGCACGCCGTCCACGAGTACAAGCGGTCGTGCCCGTACCGGCCGCTCATGTCGCTGCGGCTCTCGCGCGAGCGGTTCTGCCTGCACCCGAACATCGCGACGGCGCCGAACAAGGCCGAGGCCTGCGAGGAGGCGACGAAGATACGCAAGCCCTCGACGAAGAAGAGCAAGGGCTGCGCGCACCTCGACAAGGCCGAGCGCATCGGCTACCCGCAGGGGAAGAAGTGGCGGCCGCACTTTCGCCTCGGCGGGCCGATGGTCGTCTGGGACATCGAGGACGCCGTCAAGGAGGGCAAGGCGACGCACGTCTGCCCGTTCCACATGGCCCAGGACCAGATCCAGGAGGGCGCCGCGCTCATCTTCATCACGTACTCGCAGCTCGTCGACCCCGTGATCCGCCGCGCCGGCGGCCTCGACGCGGTTCTGGAGGACGCGGTCGTCGTCGTCGACGAGGGGCACAACCTGCCGTCGGTCGCGCGCGACGCCGCTTCCTACGAGGTCACGGAGGACCGCCTCGCGGACATGGTCAAGACGCTCGAGGAATTCGCGCCGCACCTCGGCGAATACCCCGAGGCGCAGGCCATGCTCGAGAGCCTCATCGCGCCGCCGCCGGGCTCCTTCGAGGCCGTCCAGGCGCGGCTCGACGCGCCGCCGCCGACGAAGCGGAAGAAGAAGCCGAAGCTGCGGTTCCGCGTGACGGCGCGCGGCGGCCCGCTCCGCTCCCTGCTGGCGTGGCTCCGCGGCGCGACGGCGCCGACCTGCGCCGCGGCGCCGCTCGGCGCCCCGGCGACGAGGAAGCGCGACGCCTTCAAGGACGAAGAGGAGCGCATCTGGCGCGGCGCGGACGCGGCGACGCTCGTGCGAGACGTCCTGGGCCTCGAGAACGCGGAGCGCGTCGACGAGCACTGCAAGATGCTCTGGAAGATGCGCAAGGACCTCATCGACGAGGGCCTGGAGAGCGGCGCCGTCCGGTCCGACACGATCAACGACCTCGAGGCGATCCTCGTCAAGCTCCGGTACCTGCTCGACCCCGCGGCGGCCACGCGCTACAAGCTGATCGCCACGTCGGCGCCGCGGCGCGACGTCTTCCCGAAGGGCGCGACGCGGGCCGCGCGCGACGCGCGCAACGCGATGACCGACGCGCAGCGCCGGCGCCGCGTCCTCGGCTGCGACGGGGAGCGGCGCCGCGCGATCTCGTTCCTCTGCCTCGAGGGCTCCGTGGCCATGGAGACGCTGACGCGCGGCCAGCGCGCCGCGGGCCTCGGCCAGGCCGAGTGGCGGCGGCCGTGCCGGTCGCTCCTGCTGCTGTCGGGCACGCTGCGGCCGTTCGACCTGCTCGCGCGCGAGCTCGGCTTCGAGCTCGGCGCCTGGGACCGGACGGACCTGCCGCCGCCCGCGCTCCCGCCGTCGTCGGCGCCGGCGGTCAAGGACGAGAACGCGGCGCCCGACGCCGGCGCGCCGGAGCCGAAGCTTCTCTCCCAGGCGTACGCGGCGCACGCCGTCGCCGCGTGCCACCTGCCGACGCTGGCGCCGGCGCCGGGCCGACCGGCGGCGCTCGCGGCGCTGCAGCTCGCGCGCGCGGCGGGCACGGAGCTCGACGGCTCGTACGCGAACGCGACCAAGGACCCCGAGTCGACGACGTCGCGGCGCTACTACGACGCCGTCGCGACCGCGCTGCTGGGCGTCGCGGCGGCCACGCCCGGCGGCGTCCTCGTGTTCTTCAAGTCGTACCAGCTCCTCGAGCTCGCGACGGCGCGCTGGGAGACGACGGGCGGCCGCGCGAGGCTCGAGGCCGAGAAGCGCGGCAACGTCTTCGTCGAGGTCCGGCGCCAGTCGGGCGACGAGTTCGACGCGCTCGTCGGCGCCTACCGCGCCGCCGCGGCCACGCCGGCCGGCGCCATGCTCCTCGCCGTCATGCGCGGCCGCTCGGCCGAGGGCGCCGACTTCAAGGACGACGCCGCGCGCTGCGTCGTGATCGTCGGCGTGCCGTACCCGCCGCGCTTCGACGCGGCGACGCGGCTCAAAATCGAGCACGCCGGCCGCGACGGCGAGACGTGGTACAAGGCCGAGGCGTACCGCAACGTCAACCAGGCCGCGGGCCGCCTCATCCGCCACTCGAAGGACTACGGCGCGCTCGTCCTCCTCGACCGCGCCCTCCACAAGCACCCGATGATGTCCGAGTGGTTCGCGGAGCGCATCGAGCGGCCCAGCGGCGCCACGGAGCTCCACCACCGCCTCCGGAGCTTCTTCTCCGCGCGGGCCCCGCTCGTGATCGATTAGTAAGAGCAAGTTATGCCTGTGCTTGGATCCTTGTTTTTCGACGATCAAGATTGTTATGGTGCTAGGACTAGTTTGCGGAGCCCCTGGTACCCGTTTTGGTGGCTAGTGTCTTACTGGACGCTAGCATCGACGCTTGGACTCAAACCAGCAGCACAAGTGCCCAAGGAGGGCGACTCGCTCCTGCAGAAGAAGCACACCCCGTTTAGCTTTCCACGCGTCAAAGCGAAGTCGTCAAGGTTGATTTGTAGCAGTTGCAGACACTGCTCTCCCTCTGCACTCGCGAGCAGAGAGCGAGGCAGCAGTGCGAAGCTAAAGAGCGAATACATGGCATCGCTGCTCGACCGCATAGGAGACGCTCCGATCGCAGACGCCAGCTCCGACGAGCTGCGCTCGGCGGTCGAGGCGATTGCCAACGCGAGCAGCGATGCGTACACGGAGTGGGCCCGGCGGACGCTGCAGATTGCGGTGCACGACTGCTACCGGTTGAGTGGTGGCGGAGGCGATGACCGCGGCGTCGTCGCGGCGCGCGCGATCGACGCGTCGCCGTCGCAGCCCGTCGAGCTCGTCGTGGTACCGTTCGACGCGATGCTGCACGCGACGGCGGCGCTGGTCTGCAACTCGCAAGCCGAAGCGGCGGCGGCGAAGGCGTTCGCCGTCGTCGCAAACAAGCTCACGAGAGAAGACGACGTGCTCGCGTGCCGCCTGCTCTTCGAGCGGCACCTGGGCGACCGCTCGCGGTGGTTCCAGCACGTGCGGCGCCTGCCCGACATGCCCGACCACTGTGTCCTGCGCTGGAGCGACGCGGAGCTCGCGGAGCTCGCGGGCTCGGACGCGCGGCTCATGGCGGCCAGATGGCGCGAGCAGGTCGCGGCCGATTTCAAGGAAATTGAAGCCGCCGCCGCCGCCGCCGGTCCAAAGCGCGAGGCGTTCCCCTGGCTCGAGGTCGACGCGTACCGTTGGGCGATAAGCATGGTCTTCAGCCGCGCGATCACGGTGCGACGCGGCGCGGGCGCGATCAAAGCGCTCGTGCCGGTCGTTGACATGTTTAACCACGACCCGGCGGCGCCCACGGCGCACGCCTTCGACGCGGCGCGCGACGCGCTCGTCGTCCGCCGCGAGGCGCCGGCCGCGGCGGGCGCCACGCTCTCGATCGTCTACGAGCACGCGACGGCCTCGCGGCTCCTGCTGCTGTACGGGTTCGTACCGCCGCTGGCGCAGACGCAGCACGCAGGCCGCGACGTCTTCGCGGGCCTGGCGCCCGACGCGCCGAATCGCGTCGAGAAGCTCGCCGTCCTCGCCGGTTTCGGCGTCAAGGCCCAGGCCGCGGGCGAGGAGCCGTTCGTCGTCTCGGAGGCGGACCCGCTGCCCGACGCGCTCGCGCTGACGCTCTACGCGCAGCGCTGCGACCTAGACGCGCTCGGCCGCCTCGTCGCCGACCGCGCAGACCGCGACGCGGCGACGGCGCGCGCGGGGCTGGGCGACCTCGTCGCGGCGTGCGACGCCATGCTCTCGGGCTACCCGTCCAGCGAGGCCGAGGACCTCGCGGCCCTCGCTGACGGCGGCCTCGAGCCGCGGCGCCGGCTCGCGCTCCTCGTCCGCGTGCCAGAGCGGCGCGCGCTCGTCGCCTGTCGCCGCGAGGCGGCCGCTCGGCGCGAGGCGGTCGCAGACGTCGACTAGGAGCAGCACCGCGGGGCGCCTTGTAAAACTGTTGAGGAGGACCCAGGGCCCGGACGCGCCCACAGGAATTAGAATTGGTGGAAATTACTCGAAAGTGGGCGGGGAGAGGTCGGGTCGCGCGGGGTGGAAAAGTAGTGCTTGGTCGTCTAAGACGCGTGCTTGGCTTCGGGCCTAGTCCCGCTTGGCACAGTGGCCGGCGCATTGGGTACCGTGGACAAGGCACGTGTTCCCGAAGAAGCCGCCCGATCCGTTGCAGTCCTTGTCTTCTTTGCACGGCTTGCCGCACGGGGTCGGAGGCGACGGCGTCGGCGCCGGAGCCGGCGTGGACCCCTCGATGTCCCACAGCTGGAACTGGTCGAGGAGGCCGCCGTGGCCGGTGCAGGGCGCGCCGACGATGTGCGAGCCCTCGGCGAGAAGGCCGTTCTTCACCGTCATGCAAAGGTTCCCCGGGAACTCCGTGAGCTCGAGCGTGCCGATCTTGGTGTGCGTCAGTTCCTGGTTGAACCCGTTCGTGCGGCAAGGGTAGAGCCCGAAGTATGAGCCGTGGTTCGTGAACTTGGTGCCTAGGCCATAGTTGTGATGTTTGTGCCTGAGAGCCAGCAAAGGTGAGCGCGCGTCCGCGCGCTCGAGTCGCGCGCGCGGGCGTCTGGGGCGAGTTGTTTCACGCCGTGATCGCTACGATTGCGAGTTTTTGTGATTGAGGTTATTTGACTGTGCTTGCTGCGGGTTTTGCGGAACCAGGAAGAATGCGCTTGGTGTTCCGGCCAGCCGACGAAAGCGCACGGCCCACGTTTCGTCCTTTCGCGACTCGTAGGGACCCCGGGAGCTATGCGACGGCAGATAGGAGTCGAGACATCGTGGAGCGCGGCCCGCGCGACGCGGAGTTCAAACACAGGTGTTACCCAAAGGCCCGGGACTTGGCGGCCTTCTTCTTGTTCCGGCCGGAGGCGCCCACCTTCTTCTTCTTGGGCGCCTTGGGCTTCCGCTTGGGCGGCTCGTAGTCGAGCCGCCGCCAGTAGTCGAGGTCGTTGACGGCGCCCGACTTGAGCGCTTTGGCGAGGTCGTCCTCGCCGTAGCCCCAGGGCGCCATGCCGAGGTCGAGGACCGTGAAGCGGTCCTTGACGGCGAAGAGCGTGGCGAGCGCGTCGCGCTCGGCCGCGGCCAGCGCGGGGTGCCAGCACTCGCTCATGAGGCAGATGCGGTCGCGGTCGGCCGTGTTGTAGATGTAGTGCGGGTACGTGTTGTCGAGGATGACGGCGTCGCCGCCCGTGGCGATGGTCTCCTCCTCGTCGTCGACGAAGATGCCGCAGCCCTCGGGCGCGTCGACGGGCGTCAGCGTCGAGAGCATGTAGTTGCGGCCGTCGGAGTGGACGGTGCCGCGCGAGTCGGCCTTCTGGCGCGTGAAGCCGACGAAGCGGTGCGCGGGCCCGAGGTCGCCCATGGCCGCGACGAGCGCGGCCGTCGTCTTCGGCGCCGTCGTCTTCGCGCCGCGCAGCGACAGGAACTGCCAGCCGAACCAGGCGGCCTTCTGCCACGTCTCGTCCTCCTCCTCCTCGTTGAGGCCCAGCGGGTCCCACTCGCCCGCGTCCGCGTCGAAGCCGTCCTCGTCGTCGGCGAGCGGCCGCGCGTTCAGCACCGAGTCGAACTCGGCGCGCGCGGCCGCCGCCACCTCCGTCGAGAGCTTGGCGCGGAGCTCGGCCAGCTCGGGGTACGCGTCGTGCGGGTACGCCGCGCGCGGCACGCTCTCGCCCGACGCGGCGTCCTCGCCGAGGCCCGGGTAGACGTACTGCGAGAGCAGCTGCTGCCGGTTGTCCATGAACAGGTCCTCGCCTGCGCGCGCGGCGGCGTCGGGACTCTCTCTCGCCGGGGCGCGACGGCCTCGGCGCTCGCCGCCGACGCGACGCGACCCCCCACCGAAGGCCTCGGCGCCGGGCCCGCACCGGGCGGCTTCGTCCGCAGGTTCTCGCAGAAGCCGCGGAACCGCTCGAGCGCGGCGTCCGTCCGCCAGCCCGGCAGCTCCGCGTCGACCTGCGCCCAGAACGCGTCGTTCTTCCACGCGCCCTCGTCGACGTCGTAGACCGTGTCCTGCTTCTCGAAGTAGGCCTTTTCCGCGTCCGTCGTCGGCGTCGACGCGAGCCTGGTGGCACCCCTCGGCGGCAGCCTCGGCCGGAGCCGCGGCGTCAGCGCCACCGCATACGTCGCGAGCAGCCGTGCGACGACGAGCCTCCTCGTCGGCATGGGTGTGGCCTCGCGTGAACACCAACGCCCAGGCACCTGAATTTGCTCTGCGCTCGTGCGACGCCAAGCCTCTCCCAAGGTTTGACTCGCAGCTCGTCGCCGGCCGAAGCCGGTCGGAGGGCCCGGCGGGAGACGTGCTCTGGCGAGTTTGAGTGCCGTCCGTCCGCTTTTTCGACTCCGTTTTGGCATGCAGGCTCGAAGGCGCTGGCCGTGCGCAGGGAGCAGGGGGGCAAAAAAAATGGAAAAATGGCAAAAAGAAAAGAGAGCGCTACCCGGGATTCCAACGTGGTCACCCACCGTAGTACTAACCGGGCTCGATAGGGCTTAACTTCGATGAGCTGACGGGTATCGGTGCTCTCCCTATGATCTGAGCGCTCGCACTGTCCCGGGAGTGAGGGCTCCCGAGGACGCGATGGGAGGTCTGGGTCGGCGCCTGCATATGAACCCTTCTTGGCTAACTTTCGGGTTTGCGATGCCTTTCTCGAGAGCGCCGGGCCTATGCCACCGCGGCGGCTCGCCTTCTTGGGCGGCGCCGTCTGCCGCGCCGCGGCCGCAGACGCGCCGCTCGACCCCGGCGCCGTGCGCCAGGCCCTCGCGACCGTCGCGCTGGGCGCCTTCGTCCTCGGGGCCTGCTGCGCCTGCGCCTGCGCGGCCGCCTGCTGGTGCGCGTCGATCGCCTACGACGCCGACGGCGGCGGCGGCGGCCCCTTCTCCGCGCGGCGCGTCCTCACGGCGCTCGGCGCCAAGGAGCCGCCGCGGCGCTACGCGCGGGTCCGCCTGAACGACGTCCGATGCCCGACGACGCCTTCGCGGCCGCGAGCTGGCGGGACCCGGCGTTCTGGCGACGCGTCGCACCGCTCGGCATCGGCTCGCCGCCGCAGAGGAAGCCTGCACCGCTCGGCATCGGTTCGCCACCGCAGCGCAAGCGGAAGCGCCCCGCGGATGATGCAGGCGCCGTCGTTCGACATGCCGAAGCTGATGCCGCCGCCGACGCCCGGCAGTTCGCGCGCGACGGCTTCGCGACGCTGCGCGGCGAAGCGACGACCGCCGCGCTCGCGGGCCGGTGCGCCGACGCGATCGAGCGCCTCGCGGCGCGCGGGCTGCCGGCCGCGTGCGTGTTCCTCTACGACGAGGCCTGGGCCCTCGTCGCGGCCTTCGCGCCGCGGCTCGTAGCACTGCTCGCGGCCGGCGCCGCCATGAACTACGACTGCTACGCGTTCCGCGTGGCGCCCGGCGCCCGCGGCTGGGCCGCGCACCGCGACCGCGCCGGCGACGACGCGACCACGCCGGGCTACGCGACGTGCTGGGTCGCGCTGACGGACTGCGGCCCCGACACGGCGTGCGTCCGCGCGGCGCCGCTGCGCGCCACGGAGGGCCTCGCGGTCGACGACCCGCGGGCGCTGGAAGCAGCGGCGAGGCGCGCCGCGGTGCCGCTCGCGCTGCGGCGCGGCGACGCGGCGGCCTGGGCGGGCCGGACGGTCCACTTCGGCGGGCCGCACGCGGACGCGACGCGGCCGCCGCGCGCCGCGCTCGCCTTCGCGGCGTCGACGCCGGCGCTCGAGGACGACCGGGACCGGATCGAGGCGGTGCGGGCGTGGGCCGGCGGCGGCGCCGCGCTGCCCTTCGACGCGCGGCTCAAGCTCGTCGCGCTCCAGCTCGAGTTCTACGCCGACGCGGAGCCCCTCGACCCGCGCGTCCGGACCGTCCTCGACGCGCTCGACGCGGCCTGGTGCGGCGACTAAGTTTTGTTGTGACAACTCCTGCGATCTGAAATTCGTGGCCGGCGGGTTTCGCGCGTACGTCGTCGCGCAAAAAGCACCCCTATCTCCCGATTCGTCCACCACCGAAGGATCCGCAAGCTTGAGAGTGCTATTTGGGAGCCCCCCTCGCGCGCGTGAAGCGCGTGCGGCGACTGCTGCCACACATAGCTCTCTCAAACACACCTCAGCAGCAGAGCTCTCTCAAAACACCAGAGCGCAGTCAGCATCGATGAGGAGGACCGCCCTCGCGGCGCTCTGCTGCGGCTCCGCGGCGGCGCTCACCGGGCTGCCGACGCTGGATCTTTATCTTGACCTGCGCATGACCGTGCGAGGCCCCGCCGACGCGCTCGAGACGATCGCGGCCCAGCCCGACGGCCTGATACTGTGGGAGAGCGCCGCGGCGCCGGACTGGGGCGACGAGCTCGAGGGCCTCGACGTCATCGCCGTGGACCCGGGCGCGAAGAACGTCGCGGGTCTCCCGAGCGTGCGGCGCGGGCGCGCCGCGCGGCTCTTCGAGCCGCCCTTCGACACGCAGGAGGTCGTGGGCGCCTGCAGCCCCGGCGGCGTGCTGCTCGTCGACAGCACGGCGGACGTCTGGGAGCGCGAGACGCTGCCGCTCATCGAGATCGCGGCGGCGGCGGCGGCCGACACCGCGAAGGTGCTCGTGTCGCTCTACGACTCGACGATGCTCGCGCAGGTCAGCGAGAAGCTGGTCCTCGGCGCGATGACGGGGAGCGCGCTGCCGACGTTCGGGGCGGCCGACGCGGGCGCCGGCGCCGGCGGCCTCGGCGTCGCGCTGCCGCCCGACCCGGGCCTCTGGAAGCACGCCCAGACGTACAACATCCGCTAGTGTGAGGCGCTGTAAATTGATGTGCATACCTCTAGCGGCCTGTAAGACACTAGCGCGTAGGTTTGGCATTGCAAATTGGCAAGCCGTCTGGAGGCAGCAGTCATCATAATAATCAGTGCCGAGCGCTAGTCAAGTGCTCAGCGTGCGCACCGGAGAGCCATCAGTCCGGAGAGCAGCCACCCAGTTCGGAGAGCCCCAATCAATCCGGAGAGCAATAGCAGCAGCGCAGTGAAATCCTGGGAAAACCTGGAAACTCGACGACTGCCACAATGCTAAAACGCATGACACTCCTCGTCGCACTTGCACGCGAGACGTCGTCGCTCAACGGCGCCTGGCGCCGACGCGGCGTCTACCGCGACCGCAGCGACATGCCGCCGCTCGACGCCGTCGCGGCCGCGGTCGGCGCCGCCGCGCCCTGGGCGGCGCCGAAGTGGGTCTGGGCCTTCTGCTGGCGCGCGCACGCGCGGCTGCTGCCCGCGCTCCACGCGCGCGACGGCCTCACGAACACCTGCGTGAACCTCCAGGTGCTCTGGCTCAAAGCGCTCGCCGGCGACGACGCGGCGTACGCGCTCTTGCCGCGCGGATTTCGCCTACTCGTCGCGCCGCCGCTGCGGCGGTTCTACCCGAGGCTCCACCACCAGAACATCAAACTCCGCGCGAAGTTCCTGGACGACGCCGTCCGGGACGAGCTGCGCCGCGGCGACGACGACGTGGCCGTCGTGGCGCTGGGGGCGGGCTTCGACGGGCGCGCGGCCCGCGCGGTGGAAGACCGCGGGCCGCGCGCGCGCGCCGCCGACGTCGACCTGCCCGAGGTCATCGCGCAGAAGCGAAGCGTGCTGGGCCGCGCGGACGGATACGGCGCCGAGCTGATCGCCTGCGACCTCGCCGGCGCCGGCGTCGAGGCCGCGCTCGCGCGGGCGATAGGGAACCGCACGCGCGTCGTATTCGTCGTCGAGGCACTCCTGATCTACCTCGACGCCGCCGCGGCGGAGCGGCTCCTCGACGCGTGCCGCGGCGCGCCGTGCGCCGCGGTGTCGCTCTGCTTCGCGGACCGGCTCGCGATCGACGGCGTCGACGAGGCGGCAGCCGCGCGCCTCTTCGCGGACCGCGGCTTTGACCTCGTCCGCTACCTCCCGAAGCCGGGCCTCGCGCGGCACATGGGCGTGGCGCGGCGGCGGCCGCGTCGTGGGGAGAGCTAACGTCGTTTTTGTGTCGTCGTCGTTCGACGTCGCCGTTTGTCTGAAGGGTCTGCCAGTCCGCGAGCATGGGTGGGTTTTTCACAAACATACGTCCGCCAGAGGAGGACCGCTCCGGCCAGATATACCGGATGGGCACACGCGAGTAGGGGGCTCGCGGCTTGATCTGCAGAGCAGGTGCATGACGACACCGCATTGGTCGGCGTAAATCGCACCAACTGCGTAAGGTATAGTCATAAAATAGAGGCGACATTCAGCGGTCGTGCATTTGAGAGCCGCAGACCGCACCGCCATGCTCGTCGCCACGCGAACAAAGCCCGCCGGGCAGCCCTTGGGTGCCGCAGCAGCAGGGGCGGCCCCCATCTTCGTCGAGACGAACGGTCGCGGCGACGAGGTGCGAGTCGTGCCCGACGAGGCGTCGCCGGTGCGGCCCGTGCGCGTGACGGAGGACCCGCTGCCCCTGGAGTGGGTCGTGCCGCGGCGCGCGCGCTCCCCGAAGGACTGCGACACCTACGCCTCGGCGCAGTCGAGTTTCGACGACCTCGCGTCGCTGGCGTCGGAGCGCTGCTGCGACGAGGACCCGAGGAGTCCGGACGCGGCGCTCGACGACGCGTACCGACGCTACGTGGCCGCGCGCGACGCGCCGGCGCCAGCGCGGACGCCGACACCGGAGCCGACGACCTTCGACGCGTCGACGACGCCGCCGCCGGGCCTCCGCGTGCACGCGCGGCGGCCGGCGCAGGCCGCGACGCCGCTCGACGTATTCCTGCGCCTGCGGGGCCTCGACGCCCACGCGGACGTGCTGTACGGCCTGGGCGCGCGGAAGATCGGAGACCTGCGCTACCTGCGGAAGGAGGACTACGCGGGCGTCGGCCTCGACCTCGGGGACCTCGACATGAAGGTCCAGTTCTGAGTAAGTTCAATATATTCTTCCGTTTGCGATGTTACGGTGCTAGGACTCATGAAGGCGCCTCCTGGGGCGCGTCACCGATTCATCCCAGGCGCGCGAACTTGCTAGTGTCTTACTGGACGCTAGCTCCACTTCCTAAAACACACGCCACGCTGGCACGGCTCCACTAATCGCACAGTCCACGCTGGCACTCAGCACGTATCATTTTATAGTGCCGCCACAAGCGCTGCACAAGTGCTCGGTACTGCACGTCTGCTGCACAAGCGCTACTAGTCATGCAGGCCTGCCTCGCAGCAGCACTCCTCGCCACGGCCACGACGGCCCTAGCACCAGCACCGGTACCACCGCACGCCGCCGCCCCGGCCCGCTCGCCGCAAGGTTTAGAAAACAAATACTGGGCCTGGCGCGGCCAGGCCATCCGCTACCAGGTGACGGAGCCCACCACGCCGACGGGGCAAAAAGCTCTCCTCGTGCACGGATTGTTTGTCAATGCCGACCACTGGCGCAAGACGCTGCAAGCGTTGAGTGAGGCGGGCGTGACGGCCTACGCGATCGATCTGTTGGGCTGCGGCTGGTCGAGCAAGCCGCATCCGACGTCGGATGAAGCTAAGGCGCTGTCGGGCGAGAAGGGTAGAGACGAACTCGAAGATGTTGACACGTTCCAGGGCGTGGAGCTGGGCACGGCGTCCGGCAAACTGCGGACGGTGTCCTTCGTCGACAAGCGCCATCCTGTTGATGGTAGTTGTTATAATTTCTACACGTGGGCCGAGCAGCTCTGCGATTTCACGGACGAAGTTATTGGGGGCGACTGCGCCTTGATCTGCAACAGCATCGGCACGATCTCATCCCTACAAGCTTGTTTAGATAAGCCGGAATTGTTCACCGGTCTATTAACCGTGTCGCCGAACTTCCGCGAGCTCCACACGGCCGAGGCGTCGCCGTTGGCGATGCCTCTGGTAAAAACTGTGCAGCGCTTATTGAGGGAGCGGGGCCAGGGTTTGTTCGACGCGCTCGCGAACGCGAACACGGTGAAGAATATACTGAAGGAGCCCTACGCTGTGAAGGACGCGGTGACGGACGAGCTCGTCGACGTATTGTTAACACCATTACTCACGGTGGGCGCCGCGGACGTGGTGTTCGACACGCTCTCGTACTCGGCGGGGCCGCTGCCGGAAGACCAGCTCGGGCGCCTCCCCGGTGGTTTGCCCGTCTGGGTCTGCTACGGCGGGAGCGACCCCTGGACGCCGCCGAAGCGCGTCGACGCGCTGCGGCGGTTCGACGCGGTCGAGGAGGTCCGCGCGTTTTCAGAGGTGGGCCACTGCCCGCACGACGAGGCGCCCGAGCGCGTGAACCCGTTCGTGCTCGAGTTCCTCGCGCGGTTGCGGGAGTAATGTTGTTTTCTTGACCCCGCACCTCAGCTAGGCAAGTTTGTGAAGGCGAGCTTTAGTCGGCTTGTTTTTTAGGACGCCGAGGCGGCGGTTTTGGACGCGTAGACAGGCCTAAGGTCTACACACCGACGCGCGTGACGGAGGCGCCGTCCTACGCGCCGACGACGGACACCTACGCGCCTTCAGAAGCGCCGACAGGCGTGCCTTAGACGACGACATCCGCGCGTGGCGGCGTCGCGGAACCCCTCCTCCTCCTCCTCCTCCTCCTCCTCATCCCTCCCCCGCGCATAACTCCACTCACTATAAGTCAGGGGCCTTCGTGCTAGCGGCCTGTAAGGCACTAGCTTTGCAGAGCAGCCTCAGCAGCTCACACTTTGCAGAGCAGAGCGCGCGAGGGGCAGCCCTCGGACGATTGCAAGCAAAAGCGCATGACGTCGGGCAGCTGTAGCTGGCACGCGTGCGGGATGGACCGCACAAGGCTGAAACGCAGCTAGAGATGGTGGAGCCCCTCGCGGACCGCGTGCTGGCGCTCACGCTGGCCGACGAGCCCGGGCAGCTCGCGGCGCTGCTGCTGGACCGGCCGCGCTGGGAGGGCCCGCTGGACGTCGAGGCGGCCTTCGGCGGGCGGACCCCCGAGGGCGCGGCGCCGCTGCACGCGGCGGCGGTCGGCGGCCGGAGCGCCTGCCTCGCGGCGCTGCTCGCCGCGGGCGCGCCGTCGGCGCGCGTCGAGCCGAGCGGGCATACCGCATTGCACCTGGCGTGCCAGGGCGGCCACGTCGCGTGCGCCGCGCAGCTGCTGGCCGCGTTCCCCGGCGATGTCAATGTTGAAACGGCCCGGGGCCACACGCCCCTCATGGTCTGCCTCGAGACGACGCACGGCGACGCCTCGCGCGCCGCGGCGACGGCGCGGCTCCTGCTGCGCCGCGGCGCCGACCCGATGCGGCGGCGGCCGACGGAGGCCGCGGGCGTGCTCGCGAACGCGGCGCTCTACGAGTGCTGCCTGCTGGGCCGCGACGCGCTCTGCCGCGCGCTCTGCGAGGGCTACGACGTCGCGGCGCAGGTGGCCTACAAGACGCGCGGGCAGAGCCACAACTGCTTCCACGCCGCCTGCGACCGCGGCCACGCGCGCTGTTTGCAAGCCGTGCTGGCCGCGTGCGGTGCGTCGTCTGAAGGAACGCGGGCCGCCGCGCGCGCGCTCATCAGCGGGGCCGACGGCGACGGCGCGTGCCCGATCCACCTCGCGGCGCACTCGGGCGCGGCGGCGTGCGTCCGGCTGCTCCTCGACTTTGACGCGTGCCTCTTAGGCCTGCGGATGAACGCGTCGCATCAGACGCCACTTTATCTGGCCTGCGCCCGGGGGCACCTCGAGACCGTCGAGGTCTTGCTCGGGCACGCGTCGGATGAAGCGGCCGAAGCGCCCGAATTCACGCCGCTCCACGCCGCGGCGGCCTCGGGCGCGGCGGACGTCTGCGCGCTCGTCCTGTCGGCGCGGCCGGAACTGCTTCGAATCGAGGACCCGGACCACCGCACGCCACTCGCCACGGCCGTGTCGCACGGCAAGCTCGAGAGCGCGCGGCTCCTCGCGATCGCCGGCGCCGCGCCGCGCTACGGAGCCGTCGACCTCGTCGACGAGGCCCACGCGCGAAACCTCCCGGCGCTGGCCGCGTGGCTCCGCGACATCTGCGTCTTCCGCGCCGCCGACGAGCCGCTTCCGGTTTTGTGCTTCGCGCCGGACCTGGGCGCGACGCACGTCCGGGCTCTGCTGCGCGCCGGCGCCGCCGCCGACGTCGTGGCGATCCGAGCGCTCGGAGACGCGGTCGCCGACGGCGCCGACGACGCCGCGCCGGCCCCGCCGCCGCCGCCGCTCGCCGCCGCGACGCGGCCCTGGCAGCCGGCGACGCACGAGCTCTTCCCGCGCGCCGCGCGCGTCCGCGCCTACGTCGCGCTCGTCGTCCTGCGGCGGCGCCTCCCGGGCCTGCTGGTCGTCGACCGCGTGCTGCCGTTCGCCGTCGACCGGGGTGGCGCTCGCGTCGACGAGCAGGCCGCGCTCATGGCGCTCGTCCTCGGGCGGAGGCCGTTCACGCTCGCGGAGCGGCTTCGCGGCGTCCCGTAAGGATAATACTGTGTTGGACTATATTGCCCGGAGGGGATATCTTTAACGGGGGTGGGACTAGTCGGCGGCGCCCCTGGGGGGGCGATCTACTGCTTGGACACGGTGAGGACGAGCTTGCCCTTGGTGCGGTGCGTCATGGACGCCTTGACGATGTCGCCGACGCCGGCCGTGGTCAGCGCGAAGTCGCGCGCGTCGACGAGCGGCTTGAGGGCCCCCGACTCCACGAGCTCGGTGAGCGTCCGCATGTCCGCCGTCACGGCGGGCGCGTCCGTGCTCGTCAGGAAGACCTTGTACGTCGGGCCCAGGACGCCGAAGACTCCCTTGACGTTGCGCCAGAGCATCGACGCCATGATCGACGCGATCGAGCCGCCGTCGCCGACGATGGACAAATATATGCCGCCCGTCTTGAGGGCCGCCTGGCCGGCCACCCAGTTGTCGTAGCCGCCCACGGTGTCAAAAACGATATCCAACTCCAACCCGGTCATCGCCGCGACGACGTCCTGCTCCTTGTAGTTGATGACGGTGTCCGCGCCGAGGCCCTTGATCAGGTCGACGGCCGAGCCCGTGGCGTAGACGTGCGCGGCGCCGAGGGCCTTGGCGATTTGCACGGCGAGGCTTCCGACACCGCCACTTCCGCCCAGGACGGCGACCTTTTGGCCCTCCTTCAGCTTGCCGTGCGTCTGGAACGCCTGCAGGGCGGTGAGGCCGGCCAGGGGCAGGGCCGCGGCCTCCTTGAACGAAATGTTCTTGGGCATGCGGCCCAGCGCCGCGGCCGGGACCAGCGCGTACTCGGCGAAGGATCCGGGCGTCTTGATCGCGTCGGCGTAGACGCGGTCGCCCACCTTGAACGCGTCGCAGCCGGGCCCAAGCTTCGCGACGGTGCCGCTCACGTCGCAGCCGAACGGACCCGCCTTCTTCCCGGGAAAGTCCCCAGCGACGAGCTTGTAGTCGATCGGGTTGACCGAGGCGCACGAGACCTTGACGAGGACCTGATCCGCCGCCGGCTCCGGCACCGCGGCGTCGTCGACCACCGAGAGTACGTCCGGAGACGTCGGATCGCCGTTCTTGTGCTGGATTGCGGCCTTCATGGCTTCGTCTTAGACTCGACGTTGAATACTTAAGCGGCTCACCTCAAGTCGCGCTGCTGGTATCAAAATGAGTGGACCACCCAAAGGAGGAGCCCAAAATAAGGACTTGGGACCAAAAAGGAGTGACGTAGGCGTACACACCGGCGCGGGCGGTCGAGGAGAGACGACGAGTGGTGTCTCGCCCTTGATAGGGAGAAACCTACGCGTTAAATGTGTGGAAAAAATGCAGAGCTAGAGTCATAGACACACTAGTTTTGCAAGCTTAACTCGGCTCGCCTACAGCCGCAGCTGGCGCCCCTCCCCAGTACAGAAGCTGTAGTGTAGCTGTAGTGCTCATCTGCTCACTCATCTTCAGCGAGGACGCGTCGCGCGTGCTCTGCGGCGGCCCACGCGCACACCAGCCTAAGCGCCGCGCGCCGCCGGGCGGCCCCCGGGCGCGCGCGCGGACCAAGCCCACAAAGCGCAGCCATGGCGGAAGCCCCCGCGCCCGCCGCGTGGAAGGCCGGCTTCCTCGACGACAAGACCAAGAAGCGGCCCGGCGACGCGAAGGGCAAAGTACCGGATAAAAAGGCCAAGGTTAAGCCCGCCGAGGTGCCCGGGAAGTACGTGCCGAAACTCGTGATACCGGGCGACGGCCCGTTCGGGGACATCGAGGTCGAGCCTTCGCTACATGTGCCCCAACCCAAACTAGGCCCGATGCTCATGCCTATACCAAGCTTACTCCCACAAGTCGTGCAACATAAGCGGTGTTCGCTCGACGATCCGAAGCACTGGACGCTGCATGTCGAGCCGGGGTTAGGGGTGGAGATCGACTTGATACGAGGCGACACGCCACCCGGCGACCCGACCAATGTCCTACCACCGGAGGACGAGGCCATCCTCAAAGCCCTGGAACCTCTATTAAAACAAGCCACTATCAGTGACGCGGGCGACGTTCTCGCCAAGGGCAAGAAAAAGGCGAAGGACGCCGTCTGGCTGAAGAACACCACTTACTTGTCGAACAACTTACATGCGCCCGTGCACGCCTTTGGTTCTCGGTCGAAGGAGCAACGCGAGCAACAGCGCGCCGTCGACCAAGCTGCTGTTTCGAAATTACAAGGTGTCGGTGGGGAGTCAGATATTCAGAAGTCGTTTAGTGATGCCGCTTCACTTAATAAGGATACGTTGCGGCACCCGACGAAGCCGCACCTCAGGGCCGAATATGTGTTACCGGTCGCGCCGGACTCAGCGTTGTGGGCGAATTCTTATGTGCAAGTCTCGATCGCGGACGACCCCGACGCGCCATTTAGGAACAAATTGGATGGGAATGGTCAACCACTACCGTTACCTACGGAAGCCTTGGTCTCCAAAGTGGTGACCACATCACATAAGAAGCGGGGCGCCAATGTACTGTCAGCATCCTACTCGCGGCCGAAGGACGATAATTACGACTGGTCGCGGCAGTACCAGCTCAACTTCAAGGAGGAACGGGCCCAGGACGGCGCGCGGCTCGTTTTGTTGATTGACGAAGCTGAAAAAACGGCGACCTTCGTGGCGCCCCAGCCGAAGCGCATGGAGCTCGATAAAGGGCGCAGTACGGACGCCGCGCGCGAGGACGCGGACACGCCCATCGACACGGAGTGGAGCGGCGTGACGGAGGTCGCCTACGAAGCGACCGACGGGCATAAAGCAAGGGGCTTCGACGCTACATCACGGAACGCGTGGCGCGCGCGCATGCGCGCCGTCGACGCCGACGACATTTCCGCGGACGAGGACGTCTCCGAGTCCGAGGAGTCGAGCGACGGCGAGGAGGGCTGAGGAGCTTTTTAAGGACCTGGTTTATTCTATCTTTCGCGTCGGCCGGCGTGCAGGCGGTCGCTTCATCCGCTTGTAGAGCTGCGAGGAGGTGTTCGGGGCTAGAGGGGCTAGCTAGGGTTCAGTCGATCGAACACCACCCGTCGCGCGTGATTGGTCATATCCGGCTGCGTTGCAGGCTGGGACGCAACATCTCGTGATAATTTGCGCTTGCAGGCTGCGCTGCCGCGAGGCGCCTGCAGCTGGACCTCGTGCTGCAACAGGGGCAGCCCTATGGCCCGCTGGCTCATATTATGCACATTGGCAGCAGCACAACACTGCCCCGGCGCGGATGACGACGCCTTGACGCTCTCGACGAAGTCGCGGGCGGAACTCGACGAGCTGCGCGCCTGCGTCCTGGGCACGACGGCAATAGACCGCACCGTCACGCGGATCTTGCTCGCCGGCACCGACGCGGCGTTGACCGACGCGCGCGTCGTCAAGTTGGATGCCTCGCTTCCCGTGAAACAACGCGCGCAATTCTTCGCGGCGGCTCGCGTCGTCGTCGGCGCCGGCGCGGCGTTGGCTGACATCGTGTACTGCGCGCCCGGGACTTCGGTGGTAGCGGTCGGCGCCTGGGCCCACCACGAGCGCCTCGCGCGGACGTTGGGTTTGACCTACGCGAGCGTGGCCGCCGGCACGAAGGTGGAGGGGGAGAGGGACCGGCGCGGGCAACCGTTCTGGCAGGACCGGGGCCCCGACGTCGCGGCCCTCCGGCGCGCCGTCGACGCGGCCCTGGGAAGCAGGCGCCTCCAGCAGCAGACCTGGGCCCCGGTCACAATTGATGATCGGTCGCCATGCGAGGCGCGCGTCCACGCGGTCGTGGTCGGAGACGAGGACGCGCCAGCCGCCGCCATTTTGTCGTACCGGGCCTGGCAGTGGCGCCACGCCGTCTTCACGACGGTCGCGACGGGAATATCAAAGGACCACTTCCACGACGCCGTGCTCAAGGCCGAGGGGCCCTTCGCCTCGCCCTGGGCCGCGGGCCACCGCACCGGCCCGAGCAGCCGCGCGGACTTCTTCGACCACCTCGTGAAGGCCGTCGTGAATAAGGACGGCTGCCAGGCCGGCAACCGGTCGCGCCACGAGGCGCACCACGCGCGCTATTTGGAAGCGCTGGCGGCCGCGGCCCCGCGCAACGCGGACAGCGACTGGGCCTTCGTCGTGGACGCGCGCGCGCACGTGCGGCCGAAGCTCCTGGGCAAGCTCGTGGCCGCCGCGGCGCGGTTCGGGGACCCGCGGGCCGAGCGGATAAGGGTAGGAAGGCGGCACACGCTGCACCCCGGCGGCGGCCACGCGCGCTACCTCTTGTCGTTCAAGCGGCGGGACGCGCGCGTCGTGGCCTTCCAGGCCAGGGCCGGTTTGCTTGTGTCGCGGGCAGCATTGGAGGCCATCGACTGGCCGAAGGTGCTGAAGGCGCAAGCCTGCGGCGCCCTGCGGGGCCTCCCCGCCGACGAGCGGCTCGAGCGGGTCTTCGGCCGCAGCTTCGGTACCTACGCGACGGCGCCCGCGCTCGCCGCCGCCAAGGCCCGGTCGCGCATGTTCATGTTGGACGCGGCGGTCCACGCGGACGCGTTCGCGGGCCAGGTCCCCTGGGGCGAGGCCCCCGCCACCGCGGCGGTGTTCTTGGACACACCATTCTCCGAACCCTTTCAGGAGGGGCACTGGACGCAGATGGACAAACTCCATCACGCCGACGACGGGGCCGTCGGTAGCCTCTGCGCCGCCCCGATCCCGGGGGCGAACGCGTCTTCATTGGTGTCGTTGCGGTGCGAGGGGCCGGGGATCTGTCGGTGCGTATAACTCTTAGTTAATATTCTTATTGCTGCTGCGGGTCCGTGACCACGCGGCGCTCGAGCGTGTTGTAGTTGAGGAGCTTCTCAATCAAATCGACGTGCGTGAGCACCATTCGCCGGCAGCAGTACCGCTTCAGCCCGAGCTCGTCGAGGGCGTCGCCCTCGGAGTAGTCCGCCTTCAGCAGCTCGAGGTACGAGTCCCACTTGTTGCCCACGACCTTGCCGCACGTGAAGCAGCGCACGGGGATGATCATGGCCTGCGTGTGGCGGCGGTTCAAGACCCGGGTCCACCACGGGCGGGCGGGCGGGCTCTGTTAACCCGGCGCGGGCCTCTCTCGCAGCGGTACGTGAACCGTCGCGTTTTGCGCGAGCGGGACGGCTATTAGAATCCTGCTGCTCTCCTTTCCACCGCCCCAGCACCGTCGTCGGCGCGCGGGGCTCTTGGCAGTGCAGTGCGGCGAGGAACGCGGGACTGCCGCGCGCGCACTTTTGATCACTCGATGCTGACTGACGCTGCACAAGACGTCTCTGGCGAAGGCCTGCGCCCGCTCCCAGCCTTGGCAGGTCTATAAACGCGCCACGGCGACTCTTTTGATGAGTGCCAGTGTTAGCTAGCGGCACGTAAGACACTAGCACGGGTTTTTGCAAGGCCAGGTACTCACTATGCAACAAATTACTCGGGCACAACGGCGTCGTAGACCGCGAGCGTCTCGACGTGGTCCGACCCCGGGAAGAAGACGTGCGCCTCGGCGTGTGTCAGCTTCCAGCGCCGCGAGTTCAACAACGCCGCCTGGTCGCGCTCGAGCGCGTCGAAGCCGCACGACACGTAGACCAGGCGCTTCACGTCCAGCTCGCCCTTGACCAGCGCCTCGCGCACGCCCTCGCAGAGGCCCTTGCGCGGCGGGTCCACGATGAGCACGTCTGCGCCTTCACAATCATCGAACACAGCGTCCTCGGCGTCCGCGACCGTCATCTCAACCGGACATAAATCCTCCAATCTCGCATCCTGGTCGCGCCGCGACTTTTCAAAACAGTCCAACACGTTTTCATTAGTCTCCGAGCACCTCAAAGAGGACAATTTTGGCCGTAACGCCAGCCCAATCGCACCGACGCCGGCGTAGAGCTCGCAGACGTGCGAATCGTCAGGCACCCACGTTGCCAGCCGCTCGACGAGCCCCGCAAACGCTCGAAGGTTCGCCTGGCGGAAAGTTAATGGAGTGAACCAGAGTTTGAGCTTCGCATCCAAATCCCCGACGTCATCGTCAAACAACCGCTCAATCACGTACGTCTCGCCCCGCAGTTTGGCCCACTTCTGGGGGTTGTAGTCGAAGATCGCGTTGCCCGCCTTGTCCCCGCGATAGTTCACGTGGATCGAGTGCCATAAACTAGAAGAAGAGAGCTCCTTCACGAGGCGAGGCAGCTCGGGCTGCGCCTCCTTCGCGCTCCGCTCGTTCCAGACGAGGGTCAGGGCCACCTTGTTCCCATCCGTGGAGAGCTGTACATATCTCAAATTACCATCACCTTCACTATCCAACGCCTTGATGCCCACGACCGCGCAGGCCTCCTTGATTTCTCCAGCGGCTTTATTGAGAAGCGGGTGGTGGGTTCTACAATCGGGAATCGCCACGACGTCGTGGCTCCGCGGGCGGTAGAGGCCTAACGCCACGTCTCTTAGTCTATAAGTCTTCCGTCCTCTCCTACCGCGCGCCGTGAGCTTCGTCGCGCCCGGCGCGCAGGCCAACTTCGCTTGCGTGCGCCAGTCCTTCGCACTTCCGCAGATTACCTCGAACGGTTTCTGCAACAGGGGCTCGAACATGGCGCGCGCGCGGCGCGCCGTGTCGACCTCATCGAAGCCGCCGTCGATCGTGCACGACGGGCAGTCGGGCGCGTGCGGGCACGGTTCGACTTCGGCGGGCGGCCGCGGCGGCGTCAAGGGCTGGGCTTTTGGTGTCTTGGCGCGGCGCGTCCGGGGCGGCGCCGCGGCGCGCGCTAGGATGAGGAGGCTGGCAGCACTGGCAGCATAATGCCTGGCCCTCATCTTCTTTGACCGCCGCTACAGCAAGCTCTGGGCTGCAAACTGGAGCTAGCGCCACAAGGCTACTAGCACTGTCCTCATTTTGCGCTAGCAAAGTCGCTAGCAGTCAAAAGGCGGCCACGCGTACCAGGCAGGGTGCTAGCACCAAGTTGTGATAGCGCTGCACACTCTCAGCAGCGCAATCCATCCGTGCGACTCCTAGCATTGCAGGAGCCAGCAGCCACTACTGCTAGAGTGCAGCAATATGCGGCGCCTCTACCGACCCCTGCTCGCGGCAGCCTCGTCGTCGCGGTGCCATGTCGTCTCGATGGCGTCGGCAGCCAGTACGGCCGGCATCATCGCGTCGGGCGTCGCCGCGCCGCTCGCCGCGCTGTACGTAGGGCAGCGCAGCGTGATCTACCCGCGACCACCGGTCTACGACGATGCGAAGGCCTACGGAGGCGAGCATGCCGAAATCGTGCGCGCCGACGGCGTCGTGGGCCTGTTCGTGCCCCCGCCAAAGGCCGACGAGCAGATCGTCGCTCTCTATTTCCACGGCAACGCGGATCAAATAACCTGGGGCGGCGCGATGATAGGCCAAGCGCTGCGTTCGCGGGGCATCGGCACGTTCGCCGCGGAATATCCGGGGTATGGCCTCGCCGACGGCGACCCGACCGAGGCGTCGATCACGCAAGCCGCGGAGGCGGCGCTGCGGGCCGTCAAGGAACTTCGGCCCGAGGCGAAGATCGCGCTCGTCGGCCAGTCGATCGGCTGCGCGCCGGCGCTCGCCGTGGCCGCGGCGCATGGCCTGCCCGTCGTTTTGATCTCGCCCTTCACGAGCCTCGCGGCCATGGCGTCGACGCTGTTGCCATTCTTGCCACAGCGAGCTCTCCGGTTTCTTGTCAAGGATAAATTTGACAACGCCGCCCTGGCACCGAGCGTGTCGTCTCCCGTACTCGTGCTGCACGGCACTAAGGATGAGATCGTGCCGTTCACGATGGGGAAAGCGATGTCCGAGGCGCTCGCCGACGCGACCTTCGTTCCTCTGGAGAAGGCGGGTCACAACGACGTTCTGAGCCCGCCACATGACCAAGTAGTCTTTGATGCCATCGAACGGTTCGCTCGCGGCCACTGCGGGGGCGGCTCGGACGTCGAGCACTACCGAGACGTCATGACCATGCTCCAGACCCGCTGGGCGGGACTCACGGCGGAAGCCAAGACTAAAATGGCGGCCGTGAACGAAGACGCGACGCAACGCGAGGAGAGCATGGCCGAGTTCATGGCTACGTGGAGCGCCCACGCTGTCGACGGAAAGCTCACGCGAGACGGTTTCGTCGCCTTTAATCGACGGCACCTCCAAAACATCAAAGCGCGCCTCGGCTGGGCGCCGGACCTGACGACAGACGACTCCGAAATGATCTGGGAGGCGATCCACGCCCTGAACCCGGACGACGGCGGCATCGGCATGGCTGACTACGGCCGGTATCACACTGTGATGAAACTGTATATCAACTAATGTTAATTTTAAACAATTCACTTCTTGCGGCGCTTCTTTTTCTTCTTCGACCGCGCGCCACCGCCCCCAACAACAACGGGCGCGAAGCGCAGCGGGTCGTCGAAGTCGCTGGCGCCGGGCGGCCTCCGATCGGCGAACTTGAACGCGATCAACGCCGCGCGCCGCGCCGCATGATCCATGGCGCACGCGCGCGAGCAGTAGACGAGGTCGCACGTCAGGCGGCACCGCCGCAGGCCCCTTTTTACACCGCAGGCCGAACACGCGTCGAGGACGCACATTTGCGAGGACGCACTGGGCCGCCAGACCGTCAGCGCCGCCGACGTGTCGCCCCAGTTCGGGATGGGGCATTGGGTGACCAGCTCCCAGCGCCTTAGAAACGCGGCGTCGGCCGCGGCCGTGTCGCCGCGCCACTCGCCCACGAGCGCCAGGCAATCGCCTCCTCTCTCCGCGAAGTGGCTCGCGGCCCTTCCCAGGAAGGCCTCGTCCTCGTCGTCCTCGGGCGGCGCGTAGCACGCGAAGAGCGCCGCGCCGGCGGCCGCGGCGGCCTCCGCGGCGCGCAGGGCGTCGCCCGTCTGCAAGTCCGGGACGTGCGCCGCCTGGCGGCCGTGGTAGGCGTTGGCGATTACCGACGGCGGCCGCACGTCGTACGCCGTCACGGCGACGCCGCGCGTCCGCAACGCGTTCGCCCAGTAGCCCGTGCCGGCGCCGGCCTCGACGACCGGGCGGGAGAGGGCTGTGAGCGCGTCCAGAGCTTCATCACAGGGCACGGCGTAGGCGTACTCGCGGCAGGCCCACGTCCGCGCGGCGTCGCGCCACTTGTGCACCGTCGGCATCGCGACGGGGTCGTTGCGTTTCGGGGTCGTCGTCGGTTCGCCCGGCTCGAGGCGCTCGTCGAGCCGCCACGGCGCCGCGGGCCCGAAGAGCCAGGCGCCCTCGCGCCACCGCAGCCGATACAACCGGTGCAGCGGGTCGTCGCTCTCGCCAATCCTCAGGTCCGGCGGCAGCGTCTCCATTAATGCGTCGGCCGCCTCGTCGACGACGGACCCGCGTCCCAACAACTTCTCGAAGACCTCATGCGGCGGCGGCACGGCGTCGCGCCGCGCGTACCGCAGCCGGTGGTACGCCTCGTCCAGGGCGCCCAGCGCGTCCACGAGCGCCGCCGCGTCCCGCTTTTCGAGGCCCGGCTTGGCTCGATGCAGCCGTTTCACAGCGTCGCGCGCCGCGCGCCGCGCGTCCGCCGCCTCCGGGCCGCCCTGGACCCGGGCGAAGGCCGCCTCGAGCGCGGCGCCGTGGCGCGCCTCGCCGCGCATGGCCGCCGCGCGGCAGGCGACGAAGGCGTCGACGGCCGCGCGGCACACGTCCGCCGGGGACGCCTCCTTGCGCGGCTTTTGGCGCTTCTTTGGCCGCGCGGGCCGCGCCGCCGGCGACATCTCCGCGAAAACCGCGTCGACGGCCTCCGAGGAGGGGAGCGGCGGCGGTGGGCGTCGTGGTTGTGGTTGCTCGCGGCGGCGCTTCTTCTTTTCCTGCTTGCGCGCCGCCGGCGCCGGCTCGCGAGCCGCGCCGGTGTCGATGGAGCCGCGCCGTTTCTGCTTTTGCTGCTCGCTCCGGAACTTGCTCACGGCGCCTTTGTTGGACTTCTTTTTTTGTGGTCTCTCCTCCGCGGAGCCTTTGCTCGACTTCTTTTTGGTAGGTCGCGGCGCTGCAGCGCTCTCCTGCCCCATGGAGTCCAGCAGCCGCTGCAGCTGGGCCTCGTCGTTGTGGGCGAGGTTCCCATCGCTGTCATCCGCCATCGCTGCGATCGATGCGATCGCTGCGGCCCGGCGATGGTGCTGCACTCTGCTGCACTCCTGCTTTGTGTGTCTCTGCTGCACTTACTGCGGCGGCAGCCGGACGTGTGCTATTGATGAGCCCACGGTAAGCGTATGCGGCTATATCCTTCGGCCCTGCGCTCGTTTTGGGCTAGTTCTCCCCGCGCTGGCGCTAGCGTCCTGTAAGACACTAGCCAGCCACGCTCTGCTGCCATTTTTGGACCAGGAAAGCAGCTTACGCCTCCCTCCTCGGACGTTGCACGACGCCCCGGGACGGCTGGTGCCCAACCTCTCCAGCTCGAGCGCTCCCAACCATGTCTGCCTCCTACAACCCCCTCCAGACCGAGGACCACCAAATCGAGGCGGACGCCGCCTACGCGCGGCGCCTCCAGGCCGAAGAGAGGCGTAGCGCGACGACGCAGTCGCCCCTGCACGACGTCAGCGAAATTAGTAGAAACCACGCGGCGGCGCCCGAACTGCGGTTGCCGACGATCCCGTCACCAGCAAAGCTCGTCGAGGGCCTCAGCCGCGAGCAGACGGCGGGCGCGGTGTTTGCTGCGTTCGTCGCCGTGAAACTGGGCCTGGGCCCGGCCTTCGCGCAACTGACGTGCGTCGCGCTGGGCCTGGCCGTCTTCCGCGTCGCGCGGAAAGTCGCCAATTTAGACGACGAGGGCGCGTTCCGGGCGGCCTTTTCTGCCTCACTATGTCTTGCATTCGTTATCGCCTGCGTCGGGGTCACTGCCGCCGACGTCTGCGCTTTGTTAGCATTAGGAGCGGCGGCGACGAAGCCTCCACAATCATCTTTTACTGGAGACGCTTTGAAGACTGTATTGAAGGCCGAGCGCAAGGCGACGCGAGGCCCGAAGCCGCGGGACTTCTGGGGCAAGCTGCAGCGGAAATTCACGAGCGCCGTCGACGACTTCTTTGCGACTTTACAGGATAGAGCCGCGGACGTGCGCTTTTATGATTGTGATTTATTTATGGTCTGTAAAGTCACACCACCGGGCGCGGATCCCGTGTGGTTGGTGGGAGCGTTTTATCAATGGCACAACGCGAACGCGGTCGCGGTCTACGTCAACCGGTGGTTGGCGGACTTTGCTTCTGCGCACGCCGCGGCAACTAGAAGGAGAGGTGCGGCCCAACAGATGCTCATCCGCGTGCCGCCCGGCGCGCGCGCGGGCCAGCGCTTCCGCGCGAACACGCCGCGGGGAGACTCGATCGAGTTCGTCGTGCCGAACGGCGCGGCGGCGGGAGACGTGATCGTGGTCGCGTACTGATCTGATCCCCTCCTCGCGGCTCTTCGGCGAGGCGCGCCAGAGCCCGCGCCCGAGCCCGAACCCGAGGCGCCCGCGGAACGACCGCCTTTGTGTGACTAATCTTATTTTGTGTATCGCCGAGAAAAGAAGTCACACACTGCATGCTTAGGTCACACCGTCCTAGCCGGCCGGCGGCGGCCGCGGCACCGGCTTACGACGCGCTGGCGCCGGCGCCGGCGCGCCGAAGACCGCCCCAATGTAGTTCGCCGCCGCGGACAGCTTCTTGGACGCCATGTCGGACACGCTCGAGTACGCGCCGTCGCCCTTGGCCGCCTCGGCAGACGTGTAGGGCTGGCGCCGCCGCGCCGTGCGCGGGGCCGGCCGCGGGCGCGGCCGCGACGACGTCGTCGTCGTTGTCGGCGGCGGCGGCGGCGGCGAGTCGGCCTTGCGCGGTTCGGCCGTTGGCGGCGCGGGCGCCGGCGCCGGCACTGGCTCGGTGACGACGGGCGGCACGCTTGCGCTGCGGCGGCGCTGGGCGCGCTGGTCGGCGATGAGCTGCCGGCCCAGATTCGCGAGCTGCGCGGACGAGAGGCCGTCCGTCGGGATAGACTCCTGGGGCGGCGCCGACGAGCCGCGCCGCCGCGGCGGCCGGGTCGCGCGCGCCTCGTCCTTGAACTCCTCGGCGCCCTCTCCTCCTCGAGAGCTGCGCCGCCGCCGCCGGGACTCGCGCCACGGGACCTCGAAGTCGTCCGACGCGCCGCGCGACACGACGCGCGTCGGCGCCGCGCGGCCGCGGCGCACCTTGCCGTCCTTTCCTAAACGCCCTTCGCGCTTCATCTGCCTCCGCATCGTCGTCTTCTTCAGTACTAGACCGTCCCGCGCGGCGGCGCCCGTCGTGTTGTTGCGTCTCCGATGCCTCGACACGATGTCGTCATAATTATAATCGTCGGCGTTCTGGGGGCGGTTGCTGTCGGCGGACCGCTCGCTGCGCTTCGCGAGGTAGCCCTCGAGGGCGTCGTCCCTGGAATCGAAGCGGCTCTTGACTTTTGGTTTGCTCGTTAAGAGGGTGGACATGGTGCTGGGCTTTTTGTCTCAGCGCGGCGGGGTGCCAACAATGGCTTGCTGGGCTGGGCAGCAGCTCCGCAGCGTCGGCGCGCGCTTTCGATGCCTGGCAGCGCCTGGGGGGCTGTGGAAGCCCTTGCAATGCCGCGGTAAAATTCCGGGTCGGCTGGTGCGCCGCAAAAAGCCGGTGAAAAGCAGGCTCTCAGCAAGCTCTCTAGTGTCTTTATGCCGCTAGCAAGCACGGGGCTTGGCCAGTCAGTACGCCGTGAAGTGGCCGACAATCAAGCCGGTTGCGCGTTAAAAATCTCCAGTGCTCCTCAGTGCAGCGTCCGCCGAGCAAAAACGCACAGATGATGCACGCCGCAGGAGTGTGTGTGCTGACAGCACTGCGTGCAGCGGCCCTCACGACGCCGCCGCCGCGCACCGCACCTCGGACGCGCCTCGCGGCAACCCCGCGCTACACCGCGGATTCTTTCCCGTCGGATTTGGCGGCGACGGACCGCGTGCAGCAGGCCTACGCAAGCGCGCCCGAGTCCGCGAGCTTGCTGCCGCCCGAGCTCGTGCAGTTCGGCACCGGCGCCCTCTTGGCCTATGCCATCTACCTGGGCCCGGACTGGATCCTCGCACCACTCGGATGGGAGACGAATATACGACCGGGCCGGGCGGCGACGGACGTATTGGGCCAAGTCATCGCCCCGGACTCGGAGTTCGCCCGCGAGCGCCAGGCCGGCTTCGACGCGGCGGCGCCCGTGACGGTCCTCGGGGCCGCGGCGCTGCTGTTCCTCTGTTTAGGCTTCGGCGCCGAGGCGGCGCTGTGCGACGCGCTGGGGAGCTCGACGACGTTCGTCGGCGCGTGGGCGACGTGCGCATGCATCGCCGGCTCGGTCTACGAGGTCGGGCGGCCCGTAACGCTGAATAGGGAGGAGGCGATGGAGGAGGCGACGCTTGAGGAGGCGTTCGCCGACTTTGCCGAGCGGCGGTTCGAGCAGGCGCCCACGGCGGCGACGAACGTCATCGAGATCACGCGAGCCTTCCGGCGGTCCGCGCGCGGCAAGGCCTCGAAGTACCGCTCCGCCGAGGCGTCGGTCGCCGACGTGCAGATCGAGAGGCTGGCGAAAAGATGGCTCCGCGAGCGCGGCGGCGTCGTCACGTCGAGCGGGTTCCTGAAGGGCGTGCGCCTCTCCGACGAGCCCGACGTGTTCCGGTAACTTGTGCTGTTTTTTTATCACGCGGTATTGTTACGGTGCTGGGACTGTGGGCGGGCCCTGGGCGGGGAGACACCGCTGTTTTTTAATTGCTAGTGTCTTTACATCCGCTATCGCCTAGTTTTATTAACCGGCAAAACGCAGCTGCAACGGAGCTAATCGCTCGCCAACTGGCGCCTGCTGCACATCAGAAGCACGTCTTACAACGCACAGCTCGAGCTGCAAAGCTTGGACGCGCAGCTCTTGAGTGGTGCTCTCTCAAGCAGTGAGCTCTCCAAAAAATGGCCACATTCCAGCAACCACCCACAGAAGTATTAATCTGCAGCTTGGTGCCCGCTGCTGAACTGGAGGACGTCGGCATACAAACCAAATGCGCGTTCGCAACTCAAACACCGGGCGACCTGCCCGTCGCGCAGCGCATGCGCGCGGCCTACTGGCTCAAACACGCCTACGACAACGGTGACGACGAGGCGGAGAAACGGTCGGCACGACGAGCGTTGGAACGAGCCGCCGCGCACGCGCCGCACGGATCGTTGCTCAGGCACGAGTGCGCGTACGTCTTGGGCCAGCTCAGGGACGCGCAGGCCGCCCCTGCGCTCCAGACGATCCTCTGCGACACGGCCGAGGACGCGATGCTGCGGCACGAGTGCGCCGAGGCGCTGGGCGCGATCGGCGAGGGCGACGCGGTGCTCGAGCGCTTGTCCAGGGACGCGAGCGAACCGTTCGAGGTGCGCCAGACCTGCGAGATCGCGCGCGACTTCTTGAAATGGAGACGAGCGGGTTCTGAAGGCGCGGCGCCCATCGCTTGTGCTTGTATGTTATCACCATTTAACTCACACGATCCCGCGCCGCCGGACCCAGCTCATGTCAATTGGAGTTGTGATCAATTAGAAGATAAACTGCGGGATGCGTCCGCGGACATGTTCGAGCGGTATCGGTGCATGTTCTCGCTGCGGAATAGAGGTGGGGAGGACTGCGTGCGGGCGTTAGGAAGGACCCTATCTTGCGATCAGTCGTCTCCCTTGTTACGCCACGAGGTCGCGTTCGTCCTCGGGCAGCTTCAGCACCCGGCATCTCTCGAATACCTGGAGGCTTCGTTACGACGAAAAGGCGAGCACGCCATTGTGAGACACGAGGCCGCCGAAGCGGCAGGCGCGTTGGAGGGCTGCTGGGAGGCGTGCGAGAAACTACTAGGAGAGTTTCGGAACGACGCCGACGTCGTCGTGGCGCAGTCCTGCGAGGTGGCGTTGGACGCGGCGGACTATTTTGGGCGGGCGTCGTTCGCGCAGGAGAAGGCCGGGCACTTCAACCTCGCCGGCGCGCTCGGCGACCTCGCCGTCGCCACGTCTGGGGACTAATGTGTATTGTGTCATAGACGCCGTCGCCGCGCCCCACTCTACAAACTACGAGAACATGAACCTAGACTTGCGGGGGGAGAGGGGGATCGTACATCTACTCATATTCGGGCGGCACCTTGCCGCCGCCGTCCTTGATCGCCTTGACGAGCGTCGCTTTTGCCTTGGCGCCGTACGCTCTGATTTCCGGGATCGGGACGTCCTCCTCGACCTTCTTGAGTTCCGGCAGCAGCTTGTCGACGAAGGGCTCGACGTCCTTCGCGTCGCAGACGAGCTTGCACATGTTGTCGACGACGACGCAGCACTTTCGCTTCGTCTGGACGTCGCGGTCGCGGAGACCCCTTCCAAGTACGGGCACAATAATAGCTAACGTCGGCCTGTCCACTTGCGACACGAAGGTCGTGCCCATCAACCGATCCAGAGCCGACACGTTCTCCTTGGGGTTCGCGTTCGCGCTAATCAACACGGGCACGATGGGCTGGACGTCGGGGTTGTGGATGACCGTGCAGCACTCGCCGAGGCAGGCCTTGGCGGCCTGCTTGACCTCGGGCTTCGTGTCCCACATGTTCTCGGTGACCTTGGGGACGACCTCGGGGAGGAGCTGGCCGATCTGGGTCGGCGCCGTGTGGGCCAAGGTACCTAACAGTTTCAGGCAGCCGACCTTGGTCTTCCAGGAGATCGTGCCCATGCCGGCGAAGAGGAAGGGGAGTAAGGTAGCGGCGGCGTAGGGGTTGACGGCCTGGACGAAGGCCGAGAGGCAGGCGTCGACGGCGTTCGCGACGGTCTTGACCTTGTCGTCGAATCTCTCAATGAGCGCGGGGAGGACGAGGAGCATGTAGGGCTCGAAGTGGAGGCCGAGTTTCGTGTGGAGCGCGTGGCAGACGAGCACGGCGCCCTCGCGCGCGGCGACGTTCTTCGCTTCTCCTAAGGACGCCATGACCTTGGCGGGCAAAGCCATGGACATGATGCTCGCGACGCCCGCGGCCTCGACTCCAGAAGCGAGCTCGGCGGCGGCGGCGGAGCGCGCGTCCGACGTCTCCTCGGACGTGGCCTTCGTGTAGAGCGCGGTGAGCGCTTCGAAGGCCGCCATTGTTTCGATGCCTGTGGGGGTTCGCGGTGATGCGGGCGACGTGTGGCGCGCGGCGATCGGATGCGGCGGTTTCGTGGGCGCGCGCGGCTGACCGGTTGCTGTGCACGTGTGTTACGAGTCGCGGTTGCTAGCCGCGCGCCGCGCGTGCGACGAACACAAATATTGGCGGGCGATGAAACTGCGCTGCAGCAAAAATGGATGCGCGAGCGCGCGCCGCTGCAACTGAGTTTTGTCGGCATTTAAGTACGCGTCTTGAGACCTGTTCGCGTGTGCTTAGACGCTGTTGCATTACGTTTGGCGTAGCGCGGCAGTCCGGCAAAAAGTCTATAGCCAAAATGAGTGCTGACACACGCGAGGCCCCAACGTATGTACTACAAATTGCCGATAAAGGTCCTCAAGAGACGACTGGACGCGTCCTGTGACCGATCCAGGCGGCCTTCGTGCAGATTGGCGACAGCTTGGTCGCAACGCGGCCCGCGGCGTCGTCGCGTGCCGAACTCACGGAGCGACTCCCGTCCAAGCGAAGCACCTTGCAACGGAGGGGGCGACCCGTAACCCAAGCGCCACGGGCACCGTCGCATCGTCCTCCTTGAAGTCGCGGCGTCGGGTCGTGTCGAGCCGCGCCGCGTCAAGTTGCGCGTTTCCACTCGTCCGATTTTTGCCATCGGCCACGCGCACCGCGTGGAGTCGCTCGTACGGGTCTCGCCGGGAGGCTGCCAACTGCCCGTCACATTTACGAGAGGCAGTGCATTAAGCGAAGAGGCTGTGCATCGAGGTCAAGTTGCAACCAGGGCCTCCGCAGTCACGCCGCAGAGGTATATTTCAGAGTTATCACCGCTGCGCAACGCGCGCGTGCAACGCCGCGCGACAAAAAGATTACGAGCGCTGCAACATCGCAGGCACAAGTGCAAAGCGGCGCGTCGGACCGCAGCGGTGCCGCGCGTGCGCCCGGCAATTGCTATACTGCTGCTCGTCGCCGCATTGATCCAAGTCAGCGCGGCGCGCGGCCTACGACCAAAAATGTTCATCGCGAGAGCGGCGCGGCCCGCGCTGCAGCGGCCGGCGCGCCGCTGGCTCCGGGCGGCGGCCGCCGCGCGAAGCCGGAAAGGGCTCTTACAAAGGGGCGGCAGGAAGGCCGCGCTGGCGACGAGCGCCGACGTGCCGCCGGACCCCTCGACCTACGCGCGCGTCGCGCTGATCCTCGAGGACGGTTCCGTGTTTGAGGGCAAGTCCTTCGGCGCCGAGCCGCCGGCCGGGGGCACGTTTGCGGAGGTCGTCTTCCAGACCGGCATGGTCGGCTACGCCGAAGCGTTAACGGACCCGTCGTACCGCGGCCAGTCGCTCGCGATGACGTACCCCATGGTTGGGAATTATGGCGTGCCCAACAATAACGATAAAGATCCCCTCCAGCCGTTGTTGCCCCGTCGTAGCTTCGAGTCCGATAGTATTCACGCGGCCGCGGTTATTTGCCAGGACTATTCCAATCACTTCTCGCACTGGGAGGCGACGCAGTCTCTCGGAAGATGGTTACATGATCAAAACGTGCCTGGGGTCTGTGGTATTGATACGAGAAGATTGACGAAGGTCCTGCGGGAGCGCGGCTCGATGCTCGGGCGGTTGGTGAAACTCGGTCCCGATGATGCCTTACCGACTTCCCATGGTACGGACGCCGAAGCGACTGCGTTGCGCGCTAGACATTTAGTCGACGAGGTGTCCATCACGGAGCCTATCACGTACAAGGCGCCGAACGAACGATTGTCGGTCGTAGCCGTCGACTGCGGCATGAAGGCCAACATGGTGCGCGAATTTAATGCCCGAGGCGTCACGGTGACGGCCGTGCCCTGGGACTATGATTTCTTGGACTTGCTGGACAAGTCCGACGGGTTATTTGTGTCGAATGGTCCCGGCGACCCGACGCAGTGCCAAGTGACCATCGACAACTTGAGGACGGCCCTGAACCGAGAAGGCGACGCCTTGCGCCCGATGTTCGGCATCTGCCTGGGGAACCAGTTGACCTCGTTGGCGTGCGGCGCGTCGACCGTGAAGATGCCGTTCGGGAATCGCGGCCAGAACCAGCCCGTCCTCGACGCCCTGCAGCCGGGCGCCTGCATGGTCACGTCGCAGAACCACGGCTACGCCGTCGATCCCACGAACCTCCCGGACGGCTGGCAAGCTTTGTATACGAACGCCAACGACTTGACGAACGAAGGCCTGGTTCACACGTCAAAGCCCTTCTTCACGGCGCAGTTCCACCCGGAAGCCCACGGCGGCCCGACGGACGCCGCTTATCTCTTTGATGTCTTCGCCGATGCGTGTTCACGGTACAAAGCGGCGAGAGCGACTGGTTCTACAGTAGATCAAGCATTAATATGGCCCAAGACCATTAACGACTACACGCCGCCGGCCTACCCGAAGAAAGTCCTGTTACTTGGGTCAGGTGGCTTGTCCATCGGCCAAGCGGGCGAGTTTGATTACTCTGGTGCGCAGGCCATCAAAGCACTTAAAGAGGAAGGCGTCGAGGTCGTGCTGATGAACCCGAACATCGCGTCGGTCCAGACGAACGTCGATCCGTCGCAGTCCCAGGAGGAGCGCTTGGCCGACAAGGGCGCCGCGGATCGGGTCTTCTTTTTACCCGTCACGCCGGACTACGTCGAAGCCGTCCTCGAGAAGGAGAAGCCCGACGCTATTTTAATAAGTATGGGCGGCCAGACTGCCTTAAATTGCGGTATCGAATTGGACGAGTCCGGCGTGCTCGCCAAGCACAACTGCCGCGTGCTCGGGACGTCGATCGAGACCGTGATAGCCACGGAAGATCGCGAAATCTTCAAGAACAAATGTTTAGAAATAGGGGAGCCCTGCGCCAATAGTATCGCGACGAACACCGTCGAGGAGGCCTTGGCCGCGGGCGAGAAAGTGGGCTACCCTCTGATGGCGCGCGCGGCCTTCGCTCTCGGCGGTCTAGGAAGCGGCATCTGCCAGGACGCGGACGAGTTAAGGACGCTCGCGACGAAGGCTTTAGCTGTTTCTCCCCAATTGCTCATCGAGAAGTCGATGCTCGGCTGGAAGGAGGTCGAATACGAGGTGCGGCGCGCGGCGTCCCTTTGACCTTCGACGCGACGCGTCTCCGTCTTCTGATGAAGGGGGTGGTCTCTTCTTCGATTTCGAGTACCGAGACACTGATATACAACACAGGTCGTCAGAGATCAACTCGACAACTGCATTACCGTGTGCAACATGGAGAATTTTGATCCATTAGGCGTGCATACCGGCGATTCGATAGTCATAGCACCGTCGCAAACTTTGTCGAATGAGGAGTACCACATGCTTAGATCTGCCGCGTTACGAGTCGTCCGACACTTGGGTATTGTCGGCGAGTGCAACATCCAGTACGCCTTGCATCCCGAATCGTTAGAATACTGCATTATTGAAGTCAACCCAAGACTCTCACGCTCTTCAGCCCTAGCTAGCAAAGCGACGGGCTACCCCCTAGCCTTCGTCGCGGCGAAACTGTCCATGGGCGTCACCCTGCCGGAACTCAGGAACACCGTGACCGGCGGCGCGACGATCATGGGCTTTGAACCTGCATTAGACTACTGCGTGACCAAGGTCCCGAGGTGGGACCTGGGGAAGTTCCAGGGGGCCAACCGCGTGCTCGGTTCGGCCATGGCGTCCGTCGGCGAGGTCATGGCTATTGGCAGGACCTTCGAGGAGAGCTTCCAGAAAGCCTTGCGCATGGTCGACCCGTCGAATCCCGGCTTCGAGCCCATTGATGGGATGGAGTTACCCGACGACTCGCTCGAGAAGAAATTGGTTATTCCGACGGATCGACGCGTCTGGGGCATCGCCGAGGCGTTGTACAAGGGCCAGGGGTGGGATAAACACAGAGTCAGAGACCTGACCAAAATTGACGACTGGTTCCTCAGTCGCTTGGACAAGATCGCCGCGACCGGTAAAGATAAGGACAAGTGGGCCGCCTTGAAACCTCTTATTCAATCGCATGATGCGAAGGCTACCTCGTTACTCAGAGAAATAAAACAACTGGGCTTCACCGATGAACAGATTGCGAACTTCTGTGGTGGTTTATCTGATGACGACGTCCGTGCTTGTCGCAAAGCTTTAGGAGTGATACCTAGAGTGAAGCAGATCGACACCTTGGCGGCCGAGTACGCGGCAGAAACAAATTACTTGTATACGACGTACCATGGGGACGATGATGACCAGTTAGCTGGCGACGCGAAGGGAGGCACGCTCGTATTAGGCTCGGGACCGTACAGGATCGGGAGTTCGGTAGAATTTGACTGGTGCGGGGTAAGTGCCATGCGCGCGTTGCGAGGCTCCGGCGCCAGAGGTGTCATGGTCAATTGTAACCCGGAAACGGTCTCCACGGACTATGACGAGTGCGACGCGTTGTACTTCGAGGAACTCAGCAAGGAACGAGTCTTAGACGTGTACGAGCGCGAAGGTATCGACACGGGGTGCGTCATTTCGATGGGGGGCCAGATTCCCCAGAACCTCGCCGGTCCCATCCACGCCGCCGGCGCGCGCGTCCTAGGCACGCACCCGGACATGATCGACGCGGCCGAGGACCGGTCGAAGTTCTCGGCTCTCATGGACGCGGCTGGAGTTGATCAGCCGAGGTGGGCCGAGTTATCTTCCCATCAACAAGCGGTGGACTTTGCGTCGGAGGTCGGCTATCCTGTTTTAGTAAGGCCTTCGTTCGTTTTGAGCGGTGCGGCCATGAAGGTCTGTAGGGACGAGGAAGGCTTGCGGGCGCACCTAGATATCGCCAAAGAAGTCAGCCAGGACTACCCCGTCGTGGTCTCGCAGTTCGTGCGCGGCGCTAGAGAGCTAGAGATGGACGGCGTCGCGAAGGATGGGGAGGTCGTCTGCTGCCAGGCGCATGAGCATGTGGAAGACGCCGGTGTTCACAGTGGTGATGCGTCTCTCTTGTTGCCTCCCCAGACTCTATCGGATTATGTCCTTAGACGTGCTAGAGAGGCCGTGCGGGAAATCGTGAAGCAATTGCAGATCTCTGGGCCGTTCAACATCCAGTTCTTGGTCGGTGGTCGTACTAGTGGTAGTAAAGATGAAGATGAATTAGATGGTTCGTTTGCGTCGATGAATGATGTGAGGGTCATTGAATGTAACCTGAGAGCGTCTCGGAGCGTACCGTTCGTGTCCAAGGCGACTGGAGTCGACTTCGCGGACGTCGCGACTCGCGTGTTGGCCGGTTTGCCTTTACCGGATGAGGAAAAATTACCGCAACTCTTCCCGAGGGAGGGGCAAGCCCCGCAGAACTTTGTGGCGGTGAAAGCTCCCATGTTTTCATTTGCTCGGCTGCGGGGCGCCGATCCCGCGCTCGGCGTGGAGATGTCCTCGACGGGCGAGGTGGCCTGCTTCGGTCGCGACAAGGAGGAGGCCTTCCTGAAAGCGTTACTGTCGACGACGATGAAGGTGCCCACGGCTGGCTCCGGTGACACCGTCCTTGTGTCGTTCGCGGCACCGCTCGCGCATCGCGCCCTAGGCCCGGCCTTCCAGTTGCATGATCTAGGCTATGACTTAGTCGGCACGGAGGCCACGGCCTCGTACTTAAGGGGACGGGGCGTGCCGTGCAAGACGGTGGCCTTCCCCACGGACGACTCGATGGTCGAGGACGCGACGGCGACCGCTCTGTTACGGGACAAGAAGATTAAGTTGGCGGTGAACTTACATGCGCCGGAATCCAAAAGATTGGAGGACAACTACATGATCCGGCGGACGGCGGCGGACTTCGGCATCGCTTTGGTCACGAACCCGCAAGTGTTTGAGTTACTCGCGGCAGCTCTCACGCGGCACAAGAAGGGCGACATCCTCGCGGCGAACCCCTCGGACCTCTTCTCCTACTACGAGCGCGAGCCGTCGACGGACGCGTGGACGGGCGCGAACGAGTTCCACTAGTCGTGCGCGCACCCCGCTCTCGAGCGGAACCCACACCTATCCATAAGCTCCCTCACGCGCGCCTAACGACAAAAAATCTATCTAGCACATTACGCGCGGCGGGCGGGGCCCCTTTTGGGCGGGGAATTGGGGGAGTCGCCTCAGCGCGCGCCGAAGGAGATGATCGGCTGGGACCGGTACCGCGAGTCGAGCATGCGGCCCATGGAGCCCTGGATCTGGTACTTCGGGCCCGGCCGCACCTCGAGCTTGTTGCCGCCCTCGCCGGCGTACGGCCGCTGCGCCGCCGTGCCGAACGTCGCGGAAGGATAGCTCTTCTGGGAGGACAGGACGGGCTTCGCCTCGCCCTTCTCGTTGCGGCCCTCCTTGAGGGGGTCGATGTAGTGGCCGGGCCCCGGCTCCTGCGCGCGCGTCTTCGCGCCGATGTTGTGTCTCCCACCACCGATCGTCGAGATTTTTGAGCTACGGTACTTGGACTCGATCTGCCGCCCACAGCTCCCGTGGGAGTCGTACTGGCCCGGAGCAGGTCTAGATTTGTTCTCGCGTTCCGCGGCGTTGTTGTAGGTGCGGGGCCCTGTCATGAACTTGACGCCCGGGATGTTTCTACCGGTAGACAGCATGCGCTGGCCCTTCTCGATGGCCGCCGCATCGTAGGTTTGCGGCGACGGCTCGGCCATGCGGGTCTTCGTGCCGGGGCCGCTCGTCGCCAATCTAGGTCCCGTGGAGAACTTCATGCGCGGCGCGCTCCGGATCTTGCTCTGCACTTGGATACCATACGTAATATTGTCCAATTGATACTTCGGGCCGGGGTTCGTCGAGGCGTTCCCCAATTGTTTCTCGATGGGCCTCCCGCAATCGTTGATCGCTTCGCGTCCAATGCAGGCCGACGGCTCGGACCTCGTTTTCGACTCGACGGACTTGACCTCGCCGTTCTTGTTGCGTCCCAGCGTCAGAGGATTGATGTACTGGCCGGGGCCCGGCAGGTTCGGGTCCGCGCCCATCTGCTTGTCGACGACGGCCTTGCGCGCGGCGAGGCAGAGGCCGAAGGAGGCGAGGGACTGGCCCGTCTCCGTCATGGTGGCGTTGCTCTTGCTGTTGCGTGTGCGCCTTACGGGGCCGCGCGGGGCGGTGTGGCGCTGTTTTGGCGCTCTCTGGCTGTTTTGCTTTACGCGCGCGCGGCGGGGCTGCGCTCGCGTTCCTTGGCCGCGCGGTATGTAGCGCGGGCTGGGCTTAGCTTGTCTTGGGGCAGCGTTGCCTCCTTTTAGCGTCAGAGACTCACAACTTATTCGATGAAGCGAGCGCTGTGGCGCTGTCCTCAAGGAACGTTGGGCTCTGGGGGAATTTGGGGTACGCCGCAGACGCGATGGCCGAGGCAGTTCCGCGTAGAAGGAGGTATGCTGTCGCGAAGGACGCGACCCGCGCCCGCCGCCGACGACTCGGCGACGCGCCCGCGCCGCCCACGAGTCCTAGGAAGTCCCTTACTTCTTCCCCCCCTTCGAATCACCACCTTCAAGGCCCGCGATCAACTCCTCGAGGCGGTCGCAGTCGCCCTTGAGCTCCTTCATGAACGTCGCGAGGTGCGCCGTCTGCGTCCAGAGCGCCTGGAGCTCCGACCCGAGCGGCTCCGGGAATGTACTAGAGGCTTCACCCGAAGATGACACTTTCTCGGCCAACGACGCCGACGCCGCATCCAAGTCGGCGTCGTGCTCCTCCTCGGGCGCGAGGTCGGGCATCTGGTCGTCCGCGTTCTGGAAGTTCAGGACCTTGTCAGAGAACATGGTGATGACGAGCGGCGTGGCCACCGACGCGGGGGGCTGCGTCGCCGGGACCAATGTATACGATCCGGGTTCCAACCAGCAGGCGGCCCAGACCTGGCGCTTCGCGTCGAAAGCTCGCGTCCCGCCGACGATCTCCGCAGCCTTGAACTTCGCCGCCCGCCGACCGCCCTTGACGTGCTGGATCGAAAACCCGATCCCGAACAAGTCCTCGCGCCCCAAGGGATCCGGCTTGTGGAACCTACTATCTTCCTGTGATAAGGTAGCGCAAAATCTAGTAGCTTCAGTAACATCAAACACGTACTGGGGATTCTGGGGCCAATCTCCATCCGTCGGCGGGCCGCCCGTGCCCGAATCTTGGGAACCGGGCAACCAGGTCCCTCGATAGGACATGAACGACCCGTCCTTCTCGTATTCCCTCGACACAAGTAAAGTGTCGAAGGCCCCGACGAAGTCGGTCCACTCCATCCAGAACTCGTGCGCGTCCTTCTCCCGTAGGATGGGCATGCCATCCTCACCCAACTCCAGTTTCTCCTTCATGCCGCACTGCTCCGCGATGGGCTGGTACTCGTTCCAGAGCGCATGCCCTTCGCACCAGCGACCTTTCCACTTCCCGAAGCGCCACGGCGTCGTGAGCTTGACCATGTGCTTCTCCATGTAGTCGTACTCCACCGTCGCGTCGGCCTCGCAGTGCTTGATCTCCAAGACCGTGTACATGTGCGCGTTCACGAGACCGTCCGGCTCGAGGTAATCGGCGGTCAAGGGGTCGCCGGACCGGCGCGGCCCTACGCTCCGACAAACACCAACCAATCCTTCTCTGGCAAGGGCATCGATCAGGTCGTTCCACAACGTCTCTGACGACGAGGGCATCGCGATCCGTTCTATCGCTCGGCCCGTGACGTCCTCCATCGCTTCATCCAAGGTACCCCCACCCAGCGCTTCGTAGCAGCCATGGAGCTTCGCGTAGGCCTTCTCGACGACCATGACCCACGTTTCCGACGGGTCGACGGACCGCGCGAAGTGCGGCGTGCCGTTCCGCCCGCAGGGAATGCGGTCGTCGACGTGGACGTAGCGCCACCGTCCGCTCTTGAAGAATTTCACCGTATATATGCCCTTGTCCGCGCATTCCGACGAGACCAGTACTCGTTTCACCTTTTCTGCCGTGTTTAACAGGCCGAGAGCTGATAGGAACCACCTGTCTCGTAAAGCGCCCTGGACCAGGCCGCCATGCACCTCATTTATTGGAATAGGTTCGATTACGCCCTTGATGGAACCCACCTCGGATATTCGCGGCCAATTGACCACGTCTGGAGGTATCCCGTACTTCGGCGGGTGCAGCGGATCATAATATAGAGAAGTGCCGTCCGCTTTGAAATGGGGATCCTCGAACTTCTCGTCGTCCTTTAAGCTATTTATGAGCTTCCTTTCGCCTATGCGAGCCTTATCATCGGACTCGTAGCTGCAGTAGTGCTGGGCGAAGGCGCCGGCGTCGAGGGAGCGGGCCATGCGTGGAGAGGGCTGCCTTCTCCAAAAACGTGCGCCGGCGCCGGCCTAAGCGCACGGCGGGCAGCCTTAATCCGCAGCGCTCCCTCTGTGTTTTTGAGTGCCGGGTTTCGCGGATGCGGCCCGGGACCCGTCCCCAGCGGTCCGAGGTCTCCCCCGGGCGGCTGGGACGCCGTGGTTGCTCCTTGTTCGTGGTCGCTCTGCGTCTGGCGCGAGAGCACAGCGCGACACAGCGCTTTACGTACGCGAGGCATTTCAAGTCGCGTGAAGGCGCACAGGGCCGCGGCGGGCGGACTCGCAGCCGTCGGGCCTCCGCCATCGAGTTTGGGCTGCCCGGCCGCGCCGACGGCGCCGCCACTGGCCCAAAAGGATGACCCTCCCGCCCATCACGCCGCACACCACGACGATGCAGCCCGCCATGCCCACCTTCGCGACGCACTTCCGCGAGCGCGTCGGCGGCGTCCACCGCAAGCGCAACAAGCTCGCCCGACGGCACCTCGGCGCGGCGCGGCTCGGCATCGCGAAGGAGCACGCGCGCGACGTGAAATTGCGGCTCCGCGCGGACCGCGACGAGGTGTTGAGGCGGCGCCGCGCGGAGCTGAAAGATATGGAGCGACGGCGGAAGAAGATTGACGTACAGCGGAAGGAGATGGAGGAACGCACAAGGCACATGCGGTTGATGCGGCACAAGGTGGAGACGGCGGACCTGACGACGCGGTGGCACGGTGTTGGAGGCGCCGAGGTGCCGCGGCGGGATTTGCGGACGATGAGGCGCGCGCGTCGAGTACCAGAACATAATGCGTTCTCGACGGTGCTGGAGCGCGACCGCATGGCCGAGGCCGCTTTGGCCGAGAAGAGCGCCGGCGTGTGCATGAACCGGCGCCTCTTCTCCATTCAACAAAGTGAAGAAATCGACAGGAGGACCGAGACGGCCTACCGGGACCATAGGCATCTCGTGGACGAGAATCAAAGTAGAGCTCGAGTCCACGTCAAGGCGCCCTGTCCCCGGTTTGAACAGAAAAGGGTGCTGGACACAAATGACGAGATCGCCGTCACGTTGGAAGCGGAGAAGTGGCTCGCGGTGCACAAGAACCGGGACAAAATAATCGCCAAGCTTGAGAGGCGGGACCTGAAGAGTAGGTGCAAGGCGCGCGACGACATGGATCGGTTCTGGGATTCGACGAGCGAGCGCCTCGCGAAGCTGCCGCCACCGGTCAAGATTATACCGAAGGGCAGCGCGTGGCAGCGCCTGCCCCAGAACCGCCTGCCGGAGTGGTCTATAGATACGACGGTCTTCCTGGGGGCGCAGCCGCCTGTTACGAGCCTCTAGCTTTCCTTGTCGGAGCCGCCCGCTCGCGCCCGCGCCCCGCGTTCGCCTGTGGCGCCGCGCCGCTCGTGCCGCTGCCGACGCCGACGACCCCCGACGCCGTCGAGGCGACGCATGTATGTGTGTTAAGAAGAAAGACGATAGAAAATTAGACAGTTCCTAGGGCACGACCGCGGCCTTTTTTTTCGGCTTCTCGACGCGACCGGCTCGCTCGAGCGACCAGTCCTCCAACATAAAGGCCGGCTTGTACTCCTCATTTGATAGGAGCGCCGGGTTTCGTTTCGTCGATGAGACTGATCCTAGTGAAGTGTAGCCCTCGTCGTACAAGGAACAATAAGGCAGGTCGAACGTCCTCAAGAAGCTCCAAACATCACCGTAACTCCAGTCCAAAATAGGGTTCACGCGCATGAACGCCGGCATCCACTCCGACGACGGCTCGAAGGGCTTCTGGTCGCCGCAGTTCGGGTCGCCCTGGCGCGTGCCGAGCACAAACGCTAATGCTCGGGGCTTCGCGTCGCTCACGAGTTTTTTGAGACCATCGACATAGCCGACGTCCGGCGCCACGGGCTCCACGGCTAACTCATCAGCTAGCGCCTCGCAGGTATCTCTCACAAAGGTGCGGACTTCCCCGAAGTCGTCGGACGCGTCGAAGTAAATACATTTCGGTTTTTCTCTATTCGAACTTTTGACGGCGTGGGCGTGTCTAGCTGCTCGTAATAAGTGCAAGATCACACAGGCGTCTTTCCCTCCGTTGAAGGACGCGTAGACCTGTGTGGAAATCAAATTTACGGCGCGGTCGTTCTCCACGCCATCGATGCGACGCCTGCTCGATGGCGTGGCGATGTCGGTTCTCACCGCTTCGTCGCCGAGCAATGACTTGTTGAAGAATTATCGGGTGCACCCGACACACTGGTTGATTTCCACACAGGCGTAGACGGCATCGGGCCCAAACACCCGCAACGCGTCCTCGAGGATTTTTATCGAGTTGTCGATCTTGTGCCTTAATGGCTCGTCGCTGTAGTCGACAAATCTAGCGTGGAGTGCCGCTGCGTCGCCCACATCTTGTGCGCGCAGCCGAGGCGTGGACACCATCGCTCCGGCCAAACTGCTCATGATCAAGATCGCTCTAATCATCGCGCCGGCCGCATGGCGCAGTGGTGTGAGCTGTGCCGTGTGCCTTGTCTACGTCTGCGCCACTACTGAGCCTGGCTGGGCAAGCTGGCCGGCTCATTTTGGTGGCCTAGTGCCTCTCTTTGCCTAGCCGCGCCCGGTACCCGTAGGCCCGGAGCTTTCGGGACCGCCCGAAACGCGACGGCTCCGTGGCGAAGCATCCATTTTTTTTGCCCACGCGGCTTCAACAGTCTGTCCTCAAGTTTGCAGCCGCAGCCAAATGCGAGAGCGCCACGCGCAATGCCGCCCAGACGGAAAAAACGGGCGGCGGCGAGCGGCATTGATGCCAGTACGCGCGGGGGACCGGGAAATTCATCAATATCGACGCCTGCAGCGCCCGAGCCAACTGCAATTCAAGCTCCCTCAGCAAGCGTGCACGCAACCGCACCGGTGCAGCCCGCAGCCGTAAACGCGACGGCGCCGTCGCCTGTCAGCGCGCCGGCGCCCGCGGCACCGGCCGCGCCGCCCGCAGCTGTAAATGCACAAGCGCCGCCCGCGGCGCCGGCCGAGCGGCGCATGACCGACCTCGCGGCGGCCGCCGCCGAAGCGCCGAAGCCGGACCCGCCGAAGCGCAAGCGACCGAAGAAGGAGGGCGGCGCGGCGCGCAAGGGCAAGTGGACCGTCGAGGAGTACGAGTACACGACGCGCATCATCGAGCTGTTTAACGGTGGGCTGCTGGAACTGCCCGAGGGCGTGACGCTGCGGGCGCATCTGGCGCGGAAGCTGAGCTGCGACCCGATGCGCATCACGAAGAAGTTTAGCGGAGCGTCGTGTCTTGGTAATAAAGTTTTCCACAGCGCGGGCGCGCGGCCGCGCGGCGACCGGCCGCGGCCGTCGCCCCAGCAGCTCGAGGAGGCGGCGCGCGAGTTGCAAGTTCTGGAGGGCCGGTTCCAGGACGCGTGCGTGCGGTCGTCCGAGTCGAAGGACGTGCGCATGATCGACCTCGAGGCGCGGTTCCAGAATTCCGATCGGGTCGTGTCGACGCCGGCCATCGACGCCTTCATCATGCAGAGCTGCCAGCCGACGTGGGACCCCGACCACGTGGCCTCGGCGCCGCCGCCTCTAGCGGAGCCGCGGCCCCTCGCCCCAGCGCCTAGTGCGCCGGCGGCGTCGTTCCCCGTGCCGCAGATCACGCAGCTCCCCGCGCCCGCTGCGGCCGGACCGGCGCCGGCCTCGCCCCAGACGTCGAACGACCAGATCGCTGCTGGTCTACTGTTGGGCTTCGGCCGGGCCTGCTCCCAAAATAGTGGTGACAGCTCGGAGCTCGTCGGCTTCGTCGAGGACGTCACCAGCCGCGCGGCCGGGCCGCCGCCGCCGCCGCCTGAATCCTGATCTCTCTCCTTTCTTTGCTTTGCTGGAGCTGAAATCTAGTCGTTGTGTAATGTTCGCTTTATCGTGTGCCTAGAAATCCCCAAGCAAGCACGGATCCCCCACGCCTCCGCGCGTCCACCACCCGAGCGCCTCGAGCTCGCTCCGGCAGTTCGTCGAGTGCCGGTCGCGCACGGCGCCGTGCGCGAGGCCGTCGGGGTACCGCAGCTGCATAGTCTTCGGCGAGCAACCCCCCTGCGCGCAGGGCTTGAACGCGGGCTCGCCCGTCCGCTTCCGCCGCTTCGCCTCGCGGAAGAGCCAGCGCCGCCACGGGTGCGCGTAGACGGTCGCACGGGAGTACGCCGCATAGGCAGCAAAGAAGAGGTCGTCGACGAAGAAGCAGCTCGGCAGGCGGCCGCCCGGGAGTAGCTCGCGGCCCCACCTGCGCGGGAGCGAATCGCGTCGATGGCGTAATAGCGACGAATACAAGACGCCGGCCGCCGACCGCTCGAGCTCGCCGAAAAGTGACAAAGGCGCCGCGAGCATGTCGCCGGCCTGGGCGACGCAGACGGAGTCCTTGATGGGCCGGCCGCGCGGATAAAAGTAGGAGTAGTAGGTCCACACGGTCTTTGTGGCGTCGTAGCCTACAGGTTTAGACGACGAGAAGCCGACGTGCAGCAGCGTCGCCAGCGCGAACGGCTCCCACTCGTGGTCGTCATCGGCCGCCACGACGATCGCCTTTTCACGGTCGTCGCCAGCCTTCGCGAGCAAGGCCGGGTCGCTCCGCAGCGCCTCGACCGCGCCCACGAGCTTCGTCGCCGGGCCGTAGTCGTGCGCGGGATTCGCGACGACGACGCACGGCGCGCACGGCCCCTTTGTTGATCGCGCCGCGGCGTCAAGCTGCGCGAGCCACGCCGGCGGCTCGATGCGCTTGCCGTTCCAGTGACTGCGGCGGTTGTTGTAGACGTCGGGGATGCTCACGACGATCAGCGCCGGCTGCGACTGGTTCAATAGGCTTCGCACGGCCGGCTCGACAGCGGCCACGCGCGTCGGAGTAGTCGTCAGCGCCACGACCACCGGATTGCGGACGGGCGGCTTCGCGAGCAGCGCGCCGGCGGCCTTGAGCGCCGGGTCCTCCGGGTACTGCGACCGGTGCACGTGGGCGCCTTTGACTGTTTTGAGGTGCGGTCGGCTGTCCAGGATGGCTTGCATCCAAAGCGGGACGTCTTTGCTGGCGCACGTGGTGACTAGGAGGGCTGTCAGGGCGAGATTGCGTCGCATTTTTAAGGTGCGAAGCTGTGCAAATGGACCAGAGGTACAGGCGGACTGCGGAGCAAGCGGTTTGGTCGCGTGTATGCGGTGGTGCTTGTTTTGCAGCGGCGTGCCAGCGCCCGACAGGATTTTCACCATCGAAACTGAGGTTGAGTCGGGGGCAAGTGGCGGATGGGTGAATCAAAACATAACATGCGCCCAGAGGAAATACGCGCCCCAGAGGACAGGATGGAGGGGGAATAACCAGCGAGCGTGCCGAGCGACGCGGGTCGGAACAGCCAAAAGAGAAAGGGCAGCCTCGTATGAAAAGGGTGGTTTTTGTAAAAACCGGGTAGAATTGGGGTGTCCAGGCGGCCGTGAAACACGTGAATGTTTCAACAAGGCGCTTTTCGCTCGCGAAGGAGCCGCGCCGTTGACCGCGGACGGTGCGAGCTGTTTAGCTCGACGAGAACTTGGTGACGGCCTTGGTGCCCTCGGACACGGCGTGCTTGGAGAGCTCGCCCGGGAGCATGAGGCGGACGGACGTCTGGATCTCGCGGGACGAGAGCGTCGCCTTCTTGGAGAAGCGGCACAGCTTGGAGGCCTCGAGGGCGATGCGCTCGAAGATGTCGTTGATGAACGAGTTCATGATCGACATGCCCTTCTTGGAGATGCCCGTGTCGGGGTGCACCTGCTTGAGCACGCGGTAGATGTACGTCGAGTACGATTCCGTGCGCGACTTCTTCTTCTTGGCGCCGCCGGCCTTCTTGGGGGCTTTCGCCGACTTCTTGGAGGGGGTCTTGGCCATGTTGCTGGTGGTTGTGTGTTTGCTTTTCTTCCGATGTGTTGGTGTGGAGGGCAGCCCGCTGGAGCGCACACATTTCCGGGGCGCGGGCGAGCCGCTAACTTTTGGCGACGAATGAAATTGTGACCCTAGTATCTTTTTCCCCTCTAGGGTCGCAAAATGATTCGTCGCCAAAAATTAGCGGCGCGCTGACGCCCCGGAAATGTGTGCGCTCCAGCGGGCTGCCCTCCACTCCAACACATCGGAAAAAAAACAAACTCTTACATCATGTCTGGCAAAGGAAAAGGTGGCCGCGGCAAGGGCAAGGCCAAGTCCTCCGGCTCGTCGTCCTCGGCGTCCAAGGCTGGCCTCCAGTTCCCGGTGGCGCGCCTCAACCGCTACCTCCGCAAGGGCAAGTACGCCTCGCGCGTCGGCGTCGGTGCCGGTGTCTACATGGGCGCCGTCCTCGAGTACCTCTGCGCCGAGATCCTCGAGCTCGCGGGCAACGCCGCGCGCGACAACAAGAAGACGCGCATCGTGCCGCGCCACATCCAGCTCGCCGTCCGCAACGACGAGGAGCTCAACAAGCTCCTGGGCTCGGTCACGATCGCGTCCGGCGGTGTTCTCCCGAACATCCACGCCACGCTTCTCCCCAAGAAGTCGGCGTCCAAGAAGTAAGCGCCTCGCTTGCTGACTTCGGCCGCTCCCACGAGCGCGCCAACATCATCTTACCCGGTTTTTACAAAAACCACCCTGGACACCCGAAGCAACCTTTGCACTTCCGCCGTCGGCCACCACCGAGGTTAATTTTTTTCCCCCTCCCGCCCCAGCCGTCCCGCGTCGCTCCCAGCTTTAGCCAGCGGCCCCGCGAAGCCCCCGACGTGTCCGCGTTTTTGCCCCGCACCTAATCTCTCCTCGCGCACGACATCGTCGTGATTTTTGTGGGCAGGGCAGCGGATTGCACGCATTACTTGCGTGTTGGCTGGAGAGCCGTCGCATTGCACGCATTACTTGAGTGGAGTTGGAGTTGGTTCGTGGGACGCACCCACCGGGCAGCCGCGGCCCACGCCCACTCCACTCCTCCCATGGGGCTGCCACCATGCCGCGCGCTGCTCTACCTCACGACCGCGGCGACGGCGCAGAACCTGATCCACTACGCGGCGCCGGGCGGGAGCACCGGAATCACGAGGGAGAGCGGCCGCGCGCGCGTCAACATCGCCGTGTCGCCGCACCACGTCAGGCCCACCTTCCGCAAGCCCTTCTACCAGAAGCCGAAGACGGACCCGGCCTCGCTCAAGAAGGCTTGTAAAGCGTCCATCAAGGAGGCCTGGCGGCCCAAGACCCAGAAGGTCGGATATACCTACCACAAGAACGCCTGCTCTCGCGACGCGCGCGCGTCGCAACGGCGCACGTGGCAGCCCGCGAGATGTCCCCACGTCACGCCATCAACGGCTAAAAAGTGCCTCGCGAAGAAGAATATTACCAGAATCGTTTTGATCGGCGACTCGCTGACGATGCAGCTCTGGGGCTCGCTGCTGTGCCGCGAGGAGACGAAGTGGGGCTTCGGTGCGAAAGTTGATGGCCAGATACAACATGAAAATGTGAACTACGACCAGCGGAGCCAGCGGGGGTTTTCGGTTGCCGATGCCACGGTGGGAGACGGTCTGACGTGGACCTATTTACGAGTAAGGGGCATGCAAAGAGCCGGGGCGTTGACGCGAGCTTTAGAAGTGGCGTTCGACCGGGGGATGTTGGATCAGAGGGCACTGTACGTCGTGAACGCGGGTTTGTGGCACCTGCTCTGCACCACCAATATAAATGAGTGCCTGGAGACGTACGAGAACGACGTAGACAAGTTCCTGAAGGTGCTCACCGCGCGCGCCGACGGCCCGGTCGTCTGGCGCTACACGACGGCCGTGCATCCGGCCCTGTTCCCGCGGCGCATGAGTCCCGTGGATCAGCGGAAGTTCCGGAGTTTCACGGACGAGAACGTGCGCAGCTGTGTAGAAATCAACCAGTGAGTTATGTTATCGCCATCGAGCCGACGCGATCGCGGCGACAACGTCGCGTCGATGGCCTGAACTCCACGCCATCGAGCAGACGCAGTTACGGAGACGACATCGCGTCGATGGCGTGGGGCGCCCGAAATTTGATTTTCACACAGGTGCGGCGCCTCAACAAGGTCGCAGACACCGTCATCAGGCGCGACTTCCGCGACAAAGTAACCGTCCGTCGCGACGCGTACAACTTCACGGTGAATCTCGAGGACGAGGCCTATCTTAGAGGAGACGCGCGGCACCCTGCGTCGGGAGCGCTCAAGTCCCTCGTCTCGTTGCTATTCGTCGAGGACGCGTGCGACTACGGGCGCCTCGCGCGCGGCCTCGTGGGTCGATGGTGGCAGGACTGGTAGTTAGTGCGCTTGTGTAAATGTATTATATTCACTCGCGTGGACTCGTTTGTACTAGCGCATTGTGAGACACTAGCAATCGAGCACAGGTCCTTTGCACCCGGTGACCCGCAGCCGCTACCGGCACCGGTATCCATCCGCAGACCACGCACATAGGTTAGCGGCAGCGCTTGCGCCAGAGGAAAAGCCGTGAAAACGAGTGCCACACATAAATAAGTGTGTGCCATAAATACTTGTGTGCCTGCTGCACGCTGCCACGCTCAGCATTTATGCAAATAGACGCGCTCTGGTGCGCCTCCATCGCCGCGCTGCTGGCACCGTTCACGTCGCTGCTCGTCGCCCACCGCACGAAGACCGGGAACCCGCCGACGCCGCTCACGGAGCAACTCGTGGCCGCGATCTACCGGCGCGCGGGCGGCTACGGGTTAGCAGCACTTCCGTTCCTCACGATCACGACGGGCTACGTCTACGTGTCGTCGCTCGACGCGTTCTTCAAAAGAGTGCGGCAACAATGGAGTCCGACAACCTGAAGGCCTTCGCTGCGAAGGTCAGGCGATCGTGGGCGGCTAGCAAGCCAAAACGCGACGCCGCGGCGCAGCGGCTGCGCCAGTCGGCCGAGGAGTTCTCGGTGATTGTCGCGGACAGCGCGTCGGCGGCCGCCGCGTCCGCCAAGCGCAGCTGGGCCGAGGGCGCGCCGGCGCGCGCCGAGGCGGCGGCGCAGCTCCGGCGCACGGCGAGCGAGACGGTCGTGGCGATGGAGCGCGGCGCGCAGCAGCTCGCGCGCGCGGCGCAGGCGGCGCGGGACGCGCGGCGGCGGGCGCGGAGCAGCCAGGTGCCGCCACGGCCGAGCGTCGCAGGGCGCCCCGCCGGCGCGGCGAAGACCGCGGCTGTTCTCAGGTTACGCCAGCGCAAGGGCGGCAACCGCCGCGGCGGCGGCGAGGCGCGGGGCGCGGACTACGCGCTGAACCTGTTAGCGTATGTCGGCACGTTCGAGGGCATTGCCTCCGCGCGGAGCGTCTGCCGCGGCTGGTACCGAATTCTGGCCGCCGACGCGCGGGCGCAGGACCTGCGGCGCTTCGTCGCGCGGCACGGTTCCGTGACGCCGAAAGCGCGGCGGGCCTTGTGGCTAGAGTCCTGCCGGCTGTCGCCTTGCAACGTGGTCGACGCGGGCCTGCGGGACGCCTACGCCGACGCCGCGCGCCGCGGGCAGGAGGGCGAGTGGTGCGAGGCGATCGACACGGACGTGCCGCGGACGCCATTGGTGTTGTTGGCCGGTATCGAGCGCAGTACGCTCGCGTCGGTGCTGCGCGCTGTCGCGTTCCGGCGGCCCGACGTCGGCTATTGCCAGGGCATGGACTACGTCGCCGCCATCGTTTTAAGAGCATTGCGCGAGGGCGGCGATTCCGAGGACGACGCGCCGCCGCGCGCGTTCGCCATGCTGGCGTGCCTGCTCGCGCGCGACGGCATGCTGCGCGGGCTGTACACGCCAGGCTTTCCCGAGGTGCGGCGGCGGTCCTACGCGCTGTCGACGCTCCTCGCGGCGACGCGGCCCGAGCTCTCGGCGCACCTCGAGAGGATCGGCGCGTGCGTCGAGGTCGCGGCCTTTGCCCCGTGGCTCCAGACGGCGTTCGGCTACCACGCCGGCGAGGCCTGGCCGTATGAACTCGTTGCTCGAGCATGGGACGTGTTCCTGGTCGAGCGGCACTGGAAGGTGTTTGCGCGCCTCGCGTTATATGTGGTGATCGTGCTGCCCGACGGCGGCCCGCTGGAAGAGGTGATGCCGCTCATGCAGCGCCTGGAGCACGTCAAGCTGGGGGCCGACGCTGATGCTGACGCGTCGCGGTTCGTGCTGGAGCGCGCGCTCGACCTCAAGGTCACGCGGGCGATGCTCGACGCGCTCGGCGACGAGTTCGAGGCGCTCACGGCGCCGGCCGCGCCCGCGTCGCCGCCGCCGTCCCAGCCATCCAGCCCGCCGCCGCCGCGAAGGGTCTCGAAGCCTCCGCTTCATGCTATCCCCGCCGCGCCGCAGTACTCCGTCCCGCCCCGCTCGAACCCGCCGCCGCGGACGGACGCGCCCGCGCGGCGAGACGTCCGGCGGCCGTCGCGGGCCCGAGCTTCGGGGCCGCCGTCGCCGCCGCCTTTCACTGATCTATGAGTAAATTTGTGCCTATGAACTAAGAAACCCCCTCACAAAGCTCCTCGCGCCTCGAAACCCGTTTTGACTAAGATTTGCGCGGCGCGCGCCCGCGCGCGTGTTGGGCAGCCCAAACGCTATTTGGAGCGGACTGGCGACACGTGTTTGACTGCCGAACAAATACTTTCACCGCGCTCTACGCTTGCGCCCGGAAGCTGGCCGTTCAAAGCATCGGGCAGCCTCTAACACCATGAAGCCCGACGACGCGCCCGTCGACGATCTCCTCGCATTGATCCGAAATTGTCTCGGAGACGCTGCCCAGGGCTGCGCATCGGAGCTCAGGACTCAAGGCGTGCAAGGCGTCGATGACTGGTCGATCCTCGAGACCGCGGGCGAACAACACTGTCTTGACGTCCTCGCGGCTGTCGCCACGAAGCACTCGTTGAACGCCGTACAGGTCGCGCGCCTGCGCGTCGCACTGCGGGGGCAGGGGCAGCGGTTCGCCGCGCCGCGCTGCGACGCGGCACCGGTCAAGGACGGCCTCCGACTACCCATCGGGCAGGCGTTCCGTCGGTTCACGCTCGGTAACCTGCTGGAGATGATGTTTCTCTTCAGCAATAGGCCGGGCTGGTACCGCGCCGTGTTCGACGCGCTGGACGGCTACCGCCTCCGGGAGGCCTACTTCGAGAGCTGCCAGATATTTATGTTGGTGTCGGCTCTTCTGATGGGCGGTAATTTGACCCTCATCACCTACGATCTCGGTCGGGACCAGACGCGAGGGCCGCCATTGCACATCATCTGCCTCACGCTCAACCTCTTCGCCTTCTTTTGTGGCTTCTGCGCCGTCCTGTTCCAACTGTACGCGCTGCACGCGTACCTGCCCGTCCACGTCGACAATTTGCGGGACGTGTTGCGAGCGAGTCGCATGCTACCAATGACGGGAGGCCTCTACTTCGGGCTGTCGGCATGGGGCATTTTCCTCGGTCTCGTGTGCGAGAGTATGCGCCCCCTTGAGGGCCTCAACTTCTGGCTGTTTAGGGTGAGGGACTTTGGGTGGGGCTGGCGCATCGTGCCTCTGCTGGCGATGGGTGTCTGCTTCGTTACGGTCCAGATCCCGTTCTTCATTCAAATATCCGGGGTGGATCGAATCATCGCGCACTCCGGCGCACTTGGGGAGAGGCAAGTATTACCGAACGAGGCCGTCGCCTGGTCCGCGTCGACGACGAAGCGGTCTCTGGCGGCCGTCGCCCTGAGCGAACAGAACAGAGACCTTGAGGAGCTGTACGTGCGTCGCCGGCGCGCGCCGCCCGCCGGCGACGCGGCGCCATCGCCCAGGCGCGGCGCACGACTGATGCCCAAGGCCCGTTAATGATCTTCAAAATCTTAGCACCTCCCTCTCGCCACCCGCCGCGTGGCCCGCATGAACTCGTTCATCTTCAGCTCGGCGGCCTTGCGGTCGCGGCGTCGCAGCTTTCGGCGCAGCGCGGCGCGCAGGATACAGCGCGTCAGGTGCGTCTCCGCGTCGCGATCGTCGACGGAGTCGCGCGCGAGCGCCTCTGTGACCGCGGCGACCGAGGGGCCCCGTCGCTGCGGCGCCGACGGCGGTTCGGCGGCCGGGGGCTCGGCGCGGCGCAGGGGCGATGTGGCCACCTCGGCGCGGCGCGGCGACGGCGCGTGCTCGGCGCGGCGCGGCGGCGACCGCGGCGGCGACGCGGCCACCGGAGCGGCCACCGGAGCGGCGCGCGGCGGCATCTCGGGCGGCGGGAGCGGCCGGGGCGGCGCGTCGGCGCCGCCCGCTCGAGCTCGGGCGCCGCCCAGGCCCGGCACGGTCGAGCGCGGGGACCAGGCCGCCACCGCCGTCGCGCGGGGCGGCGATGCCTCTCGCGCGGTCGGCCGCGGCGGCTCCGCACCGGCGGCCGGCGAGAGCTGCGGCGCCGGCCGCGGCGCCGGCGGCTCGCAGCCCGTGTCGGGCGCCATGGGCGGCCGCTCGGACGCGACGGCGTCGACGGCGCCGGCGGCGCGCGGCCGCGCCTCGAAGTCGCGCGCGAGCGCGTCGACGCGCGCCGCGAGCGCCTCGATCGCCGCCGAGTTTTGCTCCGGCACCGCTCGTTCTCTGCTCTCCGCGAAGGCGTCGATGCGGTCGGCCAGCGCGCGCAGGCCCGCCTCGACGGCGGCGCCGTCGAACGCCGCGGGCGCCGCGTCGCGCGCCGCGCTTCTGACGGCCGGGCCGCCCCCGGCCGCGTCCACCGCCGACCGCCGGGGCGCCGCGGGCGGCGGCCCCGCAGCGTCGCGAGCCCCGTCGGGCAGGGCGAGGGCGCTCAAAGGCGGCGGCCCCGCAGCGTCGGGGAGGACGAGGGCGCTCTGCGCGTCGTCCCAGAAGGCTCGCGGGAACGTCGGCTCCGCGCGGCGGCGCCGCTCGGCGGCGTCGCAGTCGCGCTCGGCGCGCGTCCGCGCCGCGCGCGCGCCCGCGAGCGCCGCCTCGAGCCGCGCCGTCCCGGGCGAGGGGCCCCCGACCACAGGCAGGCGCGGCGGCGACGCGACCGTGGACGTCGCGTAGGACGACGGCCGCGTCACGTCCTGGTCGGTCGACGACGACGAGTCGGCACGCCCATCCCTCCGATCCAGCGCCGCGAAGAGCTCCCGCGACCGTTTTTCGGACTCGCGCAAGGCGTCGATCTTCCGCGCCAGCTCGTCGGCCGTCTCATCTAACGCGCGCCGCGCCGCCGCGGCGTCCTCGTCTTCTTCATTATCGGACCGCGGCGGCGTCGCGTTTTGTGCGAGCGCTTGCACTGCGGTCCTCGCATTGTCGGAACAGCACAACAAACTGCTCAGCTGCGCGTCGCCTTCCAACGTAAAGCGCACGTGGCGCTCCTTCGTCAGATCCAACGCAGAAGGGAGGTCCCACAAATGAAACTCGCCGGCCGAGGCGTCGGGCGTTCTGAGCGTCGCCAGGACTCGGTACGCGTCGCCGTCGCTTGACGCTTCGACCGTCGCTTGTACAGGCGCGTGGCCCGGCGCGCAGCGCCAGCCGACGCTCCTTACAAAATCGGCGCCGAACCCTAATCGAGGGGCGCCCGCCGCGCTGAGCCTCAGGGCCACGCGCGCCGCCTTCGCGCCGCGCCGCGCGCGCCACACGAGGTCCCGGCTCTCGTAGAGCAAGTTCTCGGCCTCGCAGCCCGCGGCCTCCGACGAGCACGCTATAATTCGTGCGCCGACGAAGGCCGACGCGAGGTTCGTCGAGCGGCCTTGTACCGGCAGGGGGGACTGGGACGGCTCCGAACTGAGCACGGTCATTGGGTCGTAGCGCTGCGTGCCCGGCGTGACCGCGCTCGAGGCGAGACTGCTTCGGGCTCGCATGTTTGTGTCCTTAGTAGTGATCGGCACGGCTTCTCTCGCGGATTGAGCCCTGCTCACAGGCTAAACCGGTCAGTGAGCTACCTTCTGACGATTTATGGGCAGCCACAATGACGGCTGTGGCGCGTAGCAGGCGAAAAAGCTGTGGGCAAACGTGCAAGAAACCCGTGCAAAGGCAGGAGTACACGACGAAAGAGTATGTGACACGGCGTTGTCCCGTCAGAAAACGAGCCGTCCCGCACGCCGTCGACGAGAAAATGAACTTGCACTTTTAGACAGGGGCGGCCACGCGCGGCTCCGGACGGAGGCGCGGGTGCGAGGGAAAACCGACCACGGGGCGTCTAATAGCGGTACGTCTCCGGCTTGTACGGGCCCTGGACAGGCACGCCGATGTAGTCGGCCTGCTCGGCCGAGAGCTTCGTGAGCTCGACGCCGAGCGACGTGAGGTGCAGCGCCGCGACCTTCTCGTCGAGGATTTTGGGGAGCGTGTACACCTTGTACTTGCCCGGGCCGCCGGCGAAGTACTTGCCCGAGTCCTTCTCCTTCCAGAGCTCGAGCTGCGCGAGCGTCTGGTTCGTGAACGAGTTGGACATGACGAACGACGGGTGGCCAGTGGCGCAGCCGAGGTTGAGGAGGCGGCCCTCGGCGAGGACGATGGGGCCCTTGCCGTTCGAGTAGACGAACTTGTCGACCTGGGGCTTGATGTTGATGCGCTTCGTCGCCTTCATGAGGCCCTCCATCTGCGTAGGGGGGGTCGCGTCGATATAGGCATGTGAAAGATTGACGCTGATTTCATGCGTCAATCTCGTTGTCGAAGTGGCCGATGTTGCCGACGATGGCGTTGTCGCGCATCTTGGCCATGTGGCTGTTCATGATAATACCTATGGAATCGACCGGTGAGCCATGACACCATCAAGAGCAGACGCCGCAAAACGCACCCTTGTTGCCCGTCGTCGTGATGACGATGTCGAGCGTGTCGAGCTGCGACTCGAGCGTCTTGACCTGGAAGCCCTCCATGGCGGCCTGGAGCGCGCAGATGGGGTCGCACTCCGTGACGGTCGTCACGCAGCCGGCGGCCTTCATGGCGAAGGCGCAGCCCTTGCCGACGTCGCCGTAGCCGCAGATGACGGCGCGCTTGCCCGCGAGCATGACGTCCGTCGCGCGGCAGATGCCGTCGGGCAGCGAGTGCTTGCAGCCGTAGAGGTTGTCGAACTTGGACTTCGTCACCGAGTCGTTGACGTTGATGGCCGGGAAGAGGAGCTCGCCGGCGTTCGACATCGTGTAGAGGCGGTGCACGCCCGTCGTCGTCTCCTCGGAGACGCCCTTCATGCGCGCCGCGACCTTGTGCCACTTGTCGGGCTGCTGCGGCAGCGTGCGCTTGATGATCGTGAGCACGATCTTGAACTCGGCGTTGTCCGTCGACGACGGGTCGGGCAGCGTGCCGTCCTTGGCGTAGGCGTTCTCGGCCTTCCAGCCCTCGTGCACGAGGAGCGTCATGTCGCCGCCGTCGTCGACGATGAGGTCCGGGCCGTCGCCCTTGGCGTCGGGGTTCGTCCACGTGATGGCGTTCATCGTGCACTCCCAGTACTCCTCGAGCGTCTCGCCCTTCCAGGCGAAGACGGCGGCCGAGCCGTCGCGCGCGATCGCCGCGGCGGCGTGGTCCTGCGTCGAGAAGATGTTGCACGAGCACCAGCGGATGTCGCCGCCGAGCTTCTTGAGCGTCTCGATGAGGACCGCCGTCTGGATCGTCATGTGGAGCGAGCCCGCGATGCGCGCGCCCTTGAGCGGCTGCGCGGCGCCGTACTCCTCGACGGTCTTCATGAGGCCGGGCATCTCGTACTCGGCGAGCTCTATCTCGCGGCGACCGAAGTCGGCGAGCGAAATGTCCGCGACGCGGTAGTCACCCTGTGTGGTGTTTTTGTTATTTGTGCGTGCGTGCGTCGTACGCGCGGCGCGTGGTCGCGGTGGGTCGTACGCTCGACGCGCGCGCAATTGCCCGCAGCGCGCCGCCCGTGGCGTCGGGTGCGCCGTCGGTGCAATTTTTTCGCGTCTTCTTTGTGTGATTGTCGCTTGCGTTGCAGCGCGCGCTGTTGCGATGCAACGCGGCTGGAAGTTGCAACGCATGCGCACAGTAGTGCCTCTGCGTGCGTTGATTCGGCCGATAGGCGATGAATTTGCTTTTTGCCTTGCGCTCGTTGCATTAGCACGCGCGCGCCTCGGTCTGCAGTTTAAGGCGTCTTGTTACTCCACGCTGCTAAATGCCTGAGCCATGGTTGCAATGTAGTGTTAGTCCTGCGACAATTGGCAGACGACACGTCGAACTCACCGATGTCTGCCGACGGCCGCCTCCGCCCGTTTGCAGCCGTGGGCGCGCTCTTCAAGAGCCCTCCAGACCGATAGGCCCAGTTCCAGGACATTTGTCTATTATCGCGCGGGTTTCTCGACCTGCGAAACCGATTTGGATTTCAGGCCCGTTCCAAGGCCGTGAGTGACCTTAGAACGCAGTGAACATCTTCCCGATACCTTCGGACAGCGCTCGAAACGAACCGAAGCCGACGCGCCGGTCAGCGCCGCAAAATCGACCTAGCCTCAGGCTGCCCGCACAGCCCGCGTTCACGCCGGACGCAAAAAACAGGAGCTGAACGCCCCCGCCGCAGCGCCTGCACAGCGCAAGCAAAAACAGGATCGAACGCAAACTATGGCCGCCGTCGTGAACCTCCGCCCCGTCAAGGACGACGCCCCCGTAGTACCTGTGCGCAAGGGCAGCGCGTCATTGGGCCACATCAAGGAGAAGCGCGCCGACGGGAGGGAACCGTGGGACCCGGCACCCGTCGAGATCGTGAAGAAGAGGCGCATCGCCTGGCCTGGCGGTAAAATATCCTCGAACAAGGACGAGGCGCTCCTGATGTACTTCAGCAAGAAGCTCGCGCGCGGCGAAACCCTGACCGACGCGCAGAAGACGGCATTCGCCCACGCGACCAAGGGCACGCGCTTCGAGGGTTTATCTGAAGAAGACGCGATGGCCCTCGCGGCGGCCGAGGCGCCCGCGCGTGAACCGGAGCCTGTTGAGGCGCCGCCGCCGAAGAAGGCCAAGAAGCAGCCGAAGGGCAAAGGTGGCAAGGGGGGCCGGGGCCGCGGGCGCGGCCGCGGAAAAGGTCGCGGGACGAGGCGCCCCGAGCTCACGGCGCGCATCGACTCGGGCCTCTCCACCGGGCGGTGATGTTTTTTAATCTTATTTCCTTGTCACACTCGGACGCGGCGGGGCGGGGGGGAATGCCTTCTTCTAGTCTTCTTACACGAGGACGCCGCGCGACTACTTCTTCGGCGCGCCGACGCCGTACGTCGCCGGCTGAGCGATGCCGCGGATGTTGCCGTAGTACTTGGGCTGCGACACGGTGCCGGGCTTCTTCGCCTCGGCGGCGAGGCGCTCCTTCTCGGCGGCGGCCGCGGCCTTGGCGGCTTCCTTCGCGGCCTTGGCGGCCGCCTTCTCCGCGAGGATCCGCTCCTTCTCTTGGATGCCCCGGTCTTCGGCGTCCTTGTAGCCCTGCTGCTGGGCCTCGACGTCGAACTTCTTGCGTTCGGCGTCGAAGGCCTCGCGGAGGGCCTTCTGCGCTTCCGGCGTCTGATCCTTGGGCACGGGCTTGCCCTGCTTCTCCCAGTTCCACATGCCGAGGTAACCGTTCTTGGCCTGGAACGGTGCGCCGGGCACCAGGACCTCGCCGCCCGCCGGGAAGCCGATGCGCACGATGCCGTCCGTGCCGACGCCGACGCCCTTGTAGACGCCGCCCTCCGCGACGGGCGGCGCCGTCAACGTCGACGCCGCGGCGAACAGCACGAGACCCGCCGCGCCGGCGGCGCCCACGGCCGGGAGCGCCGAGAGCGGGTTTTGTCGCGCCTCGGACACAAAGTCTATGGCCGCGATTTTCAGGTCCTTCGTCGACGGCAGCGCGGGCGCGGACCTGCGGGCGCGGCGCGCGATGAGTTTTCATTCACATTCAGATAATTGATTTGCGACGCTGGCGGCTGCGGGAGACTAAGCGAGACTTCTCCGACGCCCGGGAGCTGCAAGGCGGTAGCCGACGACGCGCCAAGAGCCAGCAAAATGTGGCGGCTGGAAGGCATTGTGTGTTTTGACGCTGTGCTTTTCGTCTCAGCACAATCTGATAAGCGAGGCGAGCACACGCGGGCTCAGGCGCACTACCCAGCGATACTTTCAAGCTAATATCAACAAAAGCAGGTCTGCGTTGGCAGAGGACAAGGAGGCACTGAATAAGAAAAAAAGCAAGGGCACACGCCCCGCCCGACTCGGCGCTGTTGCGCGCATGACCCGTCTCTGAAAGGCCTCGCTCCGGGCTGAGAAGACGCATGGCTCGTCAAGTCCCGACGCATTTCTAGTCGCGCGGATCCGCAGTAGTGGAATATAATTACGCGCCGCTTTTTATCTCAAGCGCGCTACGTCGCCTTGTCGATGGCCGCCCAGACCTCGTCGAGGCCCTGGTTCGCGTCGACGCGCGCGACGCATGAAGAGTAGTGCTCGAGGATGGGCACGGTCTGGGCGTGGTAGCCCGCCAGCCGCGTCTTGAGCGCCTCTTCGGTGTCGTCGGCGCGCTGCATCAATGCTTCCCCCGTCTCGTCGTCCAACATCGTTTCTACGGACGGCGCGGCGCCGCCGAGGGATTTGGGCGGCGCGAATTTGGCGTGGTAGCTCCGCCCCGAAGCCTTGTGCACCCAGCGGCCGCAGATGCGCTCCGTGAGCACCGCGTCGGGCACTTCCAACGCGACGACGGCGTTCACGCATTCTCCTTTTTCCGCGAGGCACCTGCGCGGCGATGGGGTCTCGGTGGAGTCCGGGCACCGGCCCGAGGCGTCGCATCGATGGCGTCGAGGGCGCGAGCGGTCGCCCTCGCCCCGACGCTCCGATGCCCCGACCGCCGGCGGCTCGAGGGCGCCCCGACGCCGCCGCCGCGACGTCCGGGCGGTGACTCTCACACCCGTAGCAGGTAAGCTGGACGCCGCGCAACAAACGCGTCCAGCATCTTGGCCTGGTCCACCGTGCGCGGGAAGCCGTCCAATATAAACCCCTTGGAGCAGTCGCTCTCCTCGATCCTATCTCTGATGATACCGACCACAATATCGTCTCCGACGAGCCCGCCGGCCTCCATGACGGCCTTCGCCTTCTGGCCCACCTCGCTGCCCGCGGCGACGGCCGCCCTTAACATGTCGCCCGTCGAGAGCTGGGGCGCGCCGAGCTTGTCCACGAGCTTCGGCGCGTGCGTCCCTTTGCCGCTGCCGGGCGGGCCGAAGAGGATGACGACCTGGCGCGCGTCGCCGCCGCCCGCACTTATCCGCGTCGGCGGCCGCAGGCCCTGGGGTGGCCGGCTGAAGGCCGTGATCGTCGTGGCAAGCAATGCAATGCTGGGGAGCTGCATGGTGTCACTGCTCCTTGTGCTGGGCTCTTTATGCTGCAACTGCAATGCGTCTGCAGCAAGGGATATTTGTAATCGCTGCAAATGCAATCTTTTGGCTCGATCCGCGACTGCTGCGTGTGATTTAGCTGCGTTTTTGCGTGTTGGAGATGGCATGCAAGCCACATGAGAGCTCAGGTCGACCGGCATAAACGTGTCTCGAACCGCGTCGGGAGGCCATGCAGCACTCGCAAGGGCGTTCTTCGCGTTGTCTGTGCAGGCTCGACCTCAGCTCCCCGCGCGGCAACGAAAAGCGGGGACCGCGATCTGAAGCGTGCCACGAGCCTATGACCTTGTTTGGAGCTGCTATCTTTGCTATTGGGCCAAGGTCGAAGAGCGCTTCACGAGCTCGCCCCGTGGCGGTATTAATGGGCACGCAGCGGCGCGATTTCGCAAACGAGCTCTGTCTAAGCAGTACACATTACCAACGCGCCGCGGAAACCGGCACAAGTATCGAAAAAACCGCGCGAGAGACGGCGACCGACTGAATCTCTTATAGAGCTGGATTCAGCTATCTCGCGGCGAACGCCATGTCGGCGGCCGCGGCGCCGTTCAGCCTTCCAGCCGCCGTAGGCGCTGCGAACTGTAACGCCGGCGGAGCTCAAATGGACCCGCGCGCGCCGGCGTCCCGTCGTTGACGTCGTTTTCCGCGAGTTCACATGTTTGTCTAGGGGGTTGATTCGCCCGCAAAATGGCCTCACAGCTCACACCACCACAGGTTCCTCGCCGCCGCCGCATCGGACCTCAAGCGCACCTCGCCGTCGCCGCGCGTCGTCTCGTCGGAGTCGGACGACGACGTTCCTGAAGTGAGTTACCCGTCCCAGCCGAAGGTGGCGGTGCCGCGCGGCGACGTCGTCGAAGCTACTGGCGACGACCTGCGCGGCGTCCTCGAGGCCGAGGCCGGCGGCTTCGCGACCTTCGACGACGACCCCTCGGGTTTATTAGGCCTCCGCCGCATCGACACCGGCCCCGGGGACGCGCCCCGTGTTTTTTTTCAAAAGTGGAGCGAGAGGGGAGCTCCACAGGGGTCTCGTGGCCGCGTTTGCGTCGATTGCGCGTCGTCTCAAGCTGGATTAACGTCGCTGGCGGAAGCAGGCCAGCTAAGCTTGTTTTGACACAACTTTCGAGCTTCGTACGTTTAGTGATCGCGGTACCGACCGAGGGCGAACAAACGAGTGCGACAGTCCAAATCCCTGAAAGCGGCGCGTGATCGGCGTTTTGACCGGCGTTTGCACGCGCCGAGAGGCCAAGCAAAATCATGAGGTTGTCTTCGGCCCGGCGGCGCAATGAGCGCTCCAGCAGCCAGAGGAGCCCTCCTGAGCCCATTGGTTAGCGCGATAGGCGTCCCGAGATCGGCGGGAGACCTGGGGTCTGCGGCCGGCGGCGGTCCCGAGGCCGCCGCCCGGTCGCCGCGCGGTGGGCGACATACTGATACCCCAAATTCAAAAACGAAAATATTATCGTTCAGAGACCAAATCTTCAAGGGCAGGGCCGAAATAACATACCCTCGCGGCTCAAGTCCGCGGCGCCACTGCCCAATTCGCAGAGCGGAAATTAAGCTCTGAACTTCACTATTCGGGGGTCAGTCGGAGAGGTCTGTTTTCAAAAGCCATCCGCCTAGGCCTGTATACATGTACTATATGTATGATATACATACATAAATATAAATATAAATATATATGGATTCCTAGTGTGTCGATACGCTAGATCACCAGGTCTTGCGGCTCCCCAAAATACACCAGCGATTGACGCCGCCATCTACCGTCCAATTGGTACATCATATCAACTCCAGCCCAGTTTTCATCCACAATCGACGGAACCGGAGCCGACGGCCCGCGCTCGGAGGGCGGGAGAAGAATTCTACTAGACAACTCTCGCGTTTATGTTCGTTTCCTTCCGTTTGTTAGTGGTAGAGTCCATCTAGGCCGATTGAACACGTACTTATCTATTTTAGATACTCCGTTAGAGCCGCGCGAAACTGCGATTCGGGAGCCCTACGTTTTTACAAAGACGGCCGCAAAACCTAGACCCGCGAGCATCAGCGACGACACCATCCAGGTGGACCATAACGCCGTTGTTCTATTCACAATCGACCGACTTGCCCGTTCTCCGCGGACGACGGTGCGTACGCGGGGCACTGAATTGGCCCCAGACCGGTGGTTTGTACAATAAATTTGCGTTTCAGGCGCTTCGGTTCCGGGACGGGGCAGATAATCGGCTTGATTGTATACTACATTGCTCTGAGACCCAAAGATGCTCGGCGCGCCTCGTCGGACTCGCGACCACAGGATCTTGTGAAATCGGGGCACCAGACCCGGACCTGCGACCATCAGCCCGTGTACCATCACCATGGACCATAACGCGATCATTTGTTTCATGACCGACGGACTTGCGCGAGGTCCAGATCAAGATGTTCACGTCCCGAGCGTGGGCGGCCAAAAGTACCCTTCTCGTGGTGTAGATGTCATATATTTGTAATTGACTATCGGTGGGGTAGTATGGGGTCCGACAAGACCGCTACGGCGACTACTGGGGGCCCTCGGGTAATTGAAGTTTTTTGCGGGAACGGGACGCCATCGGGTCCAAATTGCAGACTTTTTTCGGGGGCAGAACGGTTCCTGGAGGTCTCTCGAGGTAGGTCTGTTAGTGGGTAGTCGCCTGCACCGCATACGCCGTCGATGCGGCAGCCTAGTGCTCTTCGAGAGCCCTGGAAGCAAGACCTGCCCTAAAGATGCCTAAACGCAGTGGTCTGCTGAGAGAATTCGACCAAAAATGCTTGAAGCGCCGGCGCATGCGGTGTAGGCGCTTGCACGTGTATAGTACCGACCCTAGGCGACCCCAGGGAGACCTTTTGGGCAGGGATTGACAGGATTCAGCCGGCGCGGCCGCCATAGACCGTAGGGCGCCCTCGGCCGCGAATTAAAAATATTTAGTTTTTCGGCCCCCAGTACGTGTCCCATTGATCTCTTTGGACCATTAGCGAACCGAACGGTACTCAAACGGCTGCATGCCGCGATTCGTTTTTGCTGGCTAGTGTCTTACCGGCCGCTAGCTCGACTGCGGCGCGAGTCGACTCACAGCTTGCAATCGAGGTCACCAGCGATCGCCGCGGTTAATCGCAGGCATCGCTTCGACAGGGCAGTCACACACTTATTGGCTGGAGGCGCACCGGGCGCGCTGCATACAGTGCATAGACATCAGCTGTGCTGCAAGGCGGCCAAGCTCCAGCTCGGCCCACGGCTGCTCAAACAAGTTCGTTGGAACAAGAAACACCCGCTGCGGACGTGTTCTCACTGCACTAAAAGCTGCGGCAACCGCGGCCACACGTACACGCCACACTCGCGCCGCGCTCTCAGAGAGGCGCGAAACCGCAGAGCACAGCATGCAGGCCGCCGCACCACCACCCGCAAGCGACCCAGCGTCTACCAAAAAAACGCAGCGCGGCGCGTGACGAACGCACAAGCATTGGGAATCTCTCTGACTAAAAGTGAAGAGGAAGCTCTGTCATCCTTGTACCGACGCCGCATTCCTATACGACGCCGTCGACGCCCACGCCACGAAGAGCACGCGCAAATCTAAAATCGCGCAGGCGCGCCAGGCCTACGTCACGCTCCTCACGTCCGACGGCTACCTCCCGGGCGCCGAGTGCTTATTGCATTCCCTGCGCCAGAGCGGCACGCGGCGGCCCGTCGTGACGCTGGTCACGAGCGCCGTGTCACCGCGGGCCCGCGCCAAACTCGAGCAGCGCTGCGATCGAGTGATTGAGGTGCCCGCGGTGCCGAACCCGCATTCATCAAGACCAGACCAGGCCGACAAGTGCTGGACCGACGCGGGCTACACTAAATTGCAAATCTGGTCCTTGCATGACGATTACGACCTCCTTGTTTATATCGATGTGGATGCTATCGTAAGAACAAATATAGACGACCTGTTCGCGCTCGACGTCGATTTGGCGGCGGCGCCCGATGTCTTCCCTCCCGATAAATTTAATGCGGGCGTGCTCGTGGTACGGCCGTCGCCGGAGACGCACGCGCGGTTGTTGCAACTCGCGCCGACCGCCCCATCGTATGACGGAGGCGACACGGGCCTCCTCAACTTTTGTTTTCCGGGCTGGTTCGCCGGCCACGAGCGGTTGCAGCGGCTGCCCTTCGCCTACAACGCGCAGCGGACGATGCACTGGCTGACGCGGGCCGCGCCGGGGTACTGGCAGGCGATTGGTGAGATCCGCGTCCTGCACTTCTCGTCGGCGCCGAAGCCCTGGGAGGCGCCGGACCGCAAGGGTGATTTGGAGCTCGTGTGGTGGGAGGTGTTTTTATCATCCCAAGTTGCCGGGTTGGGCGTTGGCGTCGGCGCGGGTGGGACTTTTGGGGGGTTTTAGTTTGGTGTAAGTTGGATGTTTGTGCTTTCTTTCTTTCGATTGTCACGTGTGATTTTTCACACTGGCTTCGCGAAGCTTCGCGTCGACGGCGTAAAAAACGGGTTTTCCAGGGCATTTTTGCTCCTTGCACTACTTTTGCGTCCTTGGCTTGTGTAGCCCTGGCTTGCGACTTGAGTGGCGTCGAGGAAAACCCTGCACGTCGGAGCGTCGGGAGCACCCGGCCACGCGCAAAAGCTTTCAGTTGAAACAAACACTGGGTGCGCGTACTTGAGCGACCCCGACCTGTGGCACGACATGTCCTCGATCGAAGCCATGATTAGGGACATCAAAAACAAGAGCTTGGCCAAGTCTCCGTACTTTCTCGGACGCTCGCTGTGCGTGAGGAACGCCGGCACGATGACCAAGCCGCTCTCGCTCTTCTGTCCTCAGGCGTGCGGCTGCCATCGCGGTGACCAGGATTGTCCGCTGTCGTGCCCGGAGCGGACCGCGCCCGATCCGCCTTGCCCGGCGTATCAGAAGGCAACGTACTGGCTAGACAACTCCACATGCCCGCGGCTGCCCGCGGCGCAGACCTTCGACGTCGGAGTCGTCAGCGACATCGCGGGCGTTGCTATCGGGTAATCCATCCTTGAAACAAACAAACTTAGAGTGGAAGCACAGGACCCCGCGGGTCGGCGCCGCCGGCACCAGTAGTTGGTGCCGGCCGCGCGTCATGGTGCGGGTCCGGAGCGCTTTCCAAAGCACGGCCCTAGGCCGTTGTCCCCTGTCAGGAGGATCCCATGCCGGCCGTGCAGCCGTAGCAGTGGTTGTCGAACTTTATCCGCGCGTCACGAACGTCTTCCGTAGAGGTCAGGTCGAACACCGATTTTCCCGACCCTAACGGCAGATCTAATTGCTGGTTAAAATCGCAGTCATAGACCCGGCCGTCCCAATTAACGCTTAGAGTGGTCCGGCACATGAGATTTGGTGCAGTCTCATGATTGAAATTCCTAACAAGTAGGTCCAGGTAGTCGCCGAGCTCCCCTCTACGCGACAGGAAGTCCGCGAACCGTTTAATGGGCATGTTCGTCATCGTAAACAACTCGTTGAACGACACGCCGAAGTGCTGCTGGAGCTCCTCGGCGTACTTGGTTTGTAAAGCGTCTTGAGGGGGTGGTAAAAACGCTCCGAGCGGGTTATATACAAGATCTAATTTCAGCTCGCGTCCGTAGCCTACTTCATTTAATCGTCGTAAGCCTTCGATGCTCCGCGCGAAGACGCCTCGGCCCCGCTGCATGTTCACGTTCTTGTCCGAATAGCAAGGCAGCGACGCGACGACGTGCACCGCATGATCGGCCAAAAAGTCGGCCAAGTCCTCCTGGCCCGGTTCCGCCAATACGGTCAGATTGCACCGATCAATAATATCGACGTCGGGCCGCAGTTCCCGACATCTTCGCACGATCCTCCTAAATTCAGGCTGCAGCTCGGGCGCGCCGCCCGTAATATCTAACGTCGTCACGGACGGCGAATTTACCAAAATATCGAGGCACTTGTCCGCGACGTCGCTGGACATGGCCTCGTGGCGCCGCGGACTGGACTCGACGTGGCAGTGGTTGCACGCCTGGTTGCAGTACAGGCCGATGTTTAACTGTAAAACCTCCGTCGCGAAGCGCGTGCCGTCGCAGCCGGCCTGTTGGAGTAAATGTTCCGTGAATTCGGGAGCGCCGAGCTCTTCCAAGCACCGCCGCCGCCGCTGCTTCTCCTCGAGCGTGAGCTTTCTTTGACCGGACTCGCGCAGCTTCTTGGCTGTGAGCTGGAAGTCCTTGTCGTTTTTCATGTCATTTAACGTGTCGTCGACCAACGAGCCCTCCGCGGCTAATCTAGCTCTTAAATCTTTCAGCCCCTGCCAGTCGCCGCGCGCGGGCTTGCGCTTGACGGGCTTCGGTCTACTGAGTTTTATTTTTGCAGTGTCGACGGGCGTGTTGTAGTCGGGGAGTGATCGGGTCGAGAGCGCCGCTCTGGTGCCACCGGGCGGCGGCGCCGTCGCGAGCGGCGCGGCCCCGCGCCGGGCGAGGCGGCGCGCGGCGCGGAGTGCCATCTGCACTGGGTGTTTACCGGCTTCCGCGGTGCTCAACAAGGTTGGCTCGAACTACACCGGCGGGTTGGACCGGTGTGCAACTTGGGCCAGGCTGGAGTGCTACAACCCTGTGGGGCTTGAGCGGCCGGCGTCAAGTGATAAGTGGCACCGCCTGCTAAGAATGCTATTTCCAGAACTCAATTCCTAAGGATGGCTCCAGCAGGCCGCTGGAGGCGGCCGCCAGTGTTGTCTCTTGGCATCGAAGCAGCCGCTTCAGCTTTGCTTGGGCTCAGCCGCAGCCGTTACCAGAAGCGTGACTCGCGGACCTACGACTCGTCCAATGGCATGAAGACCTGTCTGCTTGCTTGCTAGTGTCTTACAACCGCTAGGTCGTTCGGCTTGGGGCCGCGGTTCGCGCTGGCAGGCCGCGCGCCGCGTGCAACGCGGTAAAAAGCGCTGTCGCAGTGCACCAGGCAGTTCAGCACTGCAGCGCTGCGGCACAAGACGCGGTACCTGCCGTGCGCAGCTCGGGGACGGAGATAACTGTGCACTGCGGTTTTTGAGCTCACGGCAGACAGCGGCGACCGGACAAAAAAGCAAACGATGAGCCGCTCCCGCTCCAAAACCCCAAAACCCGCCAGCGACCAGCCGCGCATCTTCGTAGACGTCCGCCTCAGCGACGGCATGGACGGCGGGCTCATGGTGCGCGAGATCCTGGAGAAGCTCGGCGCGCGCGTCCTGCGGTCCTGGGCCGGGACCCGCGCGCGCGCGACGCACCTGGTCTGGAAGGACGGCGACGCGCGGACGCAGGAGGAGGCGCGGAACTGCGGCGCCGCGGTCGTCGGCCTGTCCTGGGTGAACGCCTGCCGGGACGTCAACGGCATCGCGCCGACGCGGGGCCACGAGATCGCGCCGGCCGCGCGGTCGACGGCGCGCGCGTTCCTCATCCAGCGCGAGCTCGCGACGACGGCGCGCAAGCGGCGCCAGACGCCGCGCGCGCCCGACACGGCGCGGCTGCGCGCCGAGGACCTGCCCGGCAGCGACGACCCCCGCTTCCGCTCCACCACTTCCGGCGAGCGGACGCCGGCGATCGCGCCGACGGCGCCCTGGAGCGACGGCTCCGAGGGGGACCCCGCGCCGCGCACGGTCGGCGTCGTCGAGGGCACTCCAGCCGTCGAGGCGCCGCGCACGGCCATCCGCGAGGCCTGGTCCTTCACGCAGCGCGACCGGCGGTCGTCCGGCGCGGCGGCGCCGACGCAGGCCGTCTCGAGCGGCAGCGGAAAGCGGTCGTCCGCCGCCACGGACATCTACTCCCAGAGTGGCACCGAGGCCGCGCCGACGCAGCCGACGCAGCCCCAGCCGCCGCCCGGGACCCTCTTCTCGCCGCCGGCCGAGGCGCCCGCGCCCGCGCCGACGACGCGCGGCTCGCGGACGTCCGCCGCGGGCGGCGCCGCGAATTTACTATTGTCGGCGCGGGACCGCTACTGGGACGACGAGCCGTCGGCGCGCCGGCGCGCGCGCGGCCGCCGCGCGACGCGCGGCTCGCTCGCGCCGGACCCGACGCTGCGCCTCGACGCGCGCCTCGAGGCCGCGTCCCAGGAGTCGTCGCGGCCCCGGAGCGGCGCCACGGCGCGGTCGTCCCTGACGAGCCCGCCCGCGCCGGCCGCGCGCAAGCGCCGCCGCGCCGTCGGCGGCACGCCGCCTGCCGCGCCCGAGACAACGCCGGCGCCGCCCGCCGCGCGGCCGGCGCCGGCCCAGCCGCGGCGCGGCGCGGCGCCGGCGGCGACGACAGCGAACCCGTTGCACGCGCGCGCCTCGCCGAAGGCGGCCGCGCGGTCGCGCAAGCGGCGGCGCGTCATCCCCGAAGACCCTGCCGACGCCACGCCGGCGCCGCGCGACGTCATCGTCATCGACGGCTCGCCCGAGGAGGCAAAAGCGGCGGCTCCGGCTCCGCCGCCGGCGCGGCGGCGGGGCGCGGCCGTGGCCGCGCCGCCGGAGGAGGCCACGACGAACCCGCTGCTGCGCGCGGCCGCGTCGCCGCCGCCGGCCGTGCCCGCGCCCGCACTCGCGCCTGCGCCGGCTGCACCGCCCCGCGCGGCGCCGGCCCAACCGCGGCGCGGCGCGGCGCCGGCGACTTCCAACCCGATGCATGCGCGCGACTCGCCGACGGCGAACCGCACGCGCCGGCGGTCGCGCGGCGCCGCCGCCATCGACGACGACGAGGCCGCGCGACCGGCCAAAAGGCCGCAGACTTTAGTCATATCCGCGTCCGGTGTTGATCCAGCGGGCCGCACGGCGCTGCGCGCGGCGGCCGCAGCCGTCGAGCGCGCGGGCGGCGGCAAAGCGCGCTTCGCCGACGACGAACTGCTCGCGAAACTCAAAGGGGTGCTGCCCGCGCGGGCGACACATTTGGTGGCCCAAGCCACGGATGAGGATGCGAAGCCACCCCGCACGCTCAAGGTTCTGTTCGCGCTCGCACGCGGCGGCTGTGCGATCGTGCGACCGTCTTGGGTCGAAGCTTCGCGGAGTGCGGGACGCTGGGCAGACGTCGACGACCACCTCGCTGGATATGGCCCGCCGCGGGCCGCAGGCGCCGGCCGGCGTATCCTCGACGGGCTGGCCGTGCACGTCGCTCCCTCGGCGCTCGGGCCCAAGGATCCTTCGTCGTCCGCGCTGACGGCGCTCGTCTCGGCGGCGGGCGGAAGGTCTGTCGCGTTGCGCCACGCGGCGGTCGCGCTCGTCGGCACGAACTGGAAGCCCTCGGACTGCCGCCAAGCGGGGTTGCGAGCACTGCACCGGAGCGGATGCGCACTACGCTTCCGATGGCTCTGCGAAGCCGTCGAGGCGGGCGACGCGGGCGCGGTGGCGCGGGAGTTGTACGCGACGAACCACTAAGTATAGATATAAGTCCGTGCTTCTTCTTACGTGTGCGAACGCCTTGTGCGCTCGGCTTGGGAGGGAATCTTCGTATGCGCGGCGCCTTGTGCGCGCGCGTCAAAAGGGCGAGCGCCTTCACCAATGGTAGCGGCGTGGAGGCAGCGAGCCGGGCGGGTGCCAGAACGCGAGAACCTTCGAGAAGACGTCGTCGGGCATCGACCGCGAGTCAAAGATGCGCGTTAGACTCACGCTCAAGATTAGGAAAAATTACGCGCGGGCGCTTTACAAGGACGACAACGCCACCCTCGATGATCTCCGCGAGGCCGTTAGGATGCTCGAGGATGCGGGACGGACCGCGCGGCGCGTGATGGGTAGCGCGCACCCTCTCACAGCGGCAACAGGACGATCTGCAAGCCGCGCGAGCCGCGCTCCGCGCCCGTACCGAGTAACTACGAAATTCTCGGGAAACAAAAACGGGGTTAACCGCGTTCAAACGTACGACCTCGGACGTCAACACTAAAACAACGGACTGATTCACACAATATATATATGTTACAAGAGAAGCAAGTAAGCTTCGCAGTCTCGCCCGGCGGCGCGGACGTGGCACGAGACACGACCGCACAGCATCAATAAGCTAAGGCGACTCGAAGTGCCGGCGGCGACGGCCTGACCCTGAGCCTGACCCTGAGCCTGATCCCGTGGCGCTGCGCGGCCGCCGCGGCCGGCCGTCGTCCCCCGCCTCACGGCGCTGGCGCCGTCGACGTCTGCGTCGTTCAGCGGGAGTCTCGTCGGCGAAGCCTTCGCCCTGGATCGGCGATTGGGCGTTTCCAAAGTACGCACCAAACAATCCGGCCGTGGCATCAGTCTCGAGGGGCGCGACGTCTCGTCGTCGGCGCCCGCTACGGCCTGTGAGCCTTCTCTTTTGCACCATGGTAGCATAGCCCAGTTGCACTGCTCTACAATCTTGAAACACTCCGTCCGGGAAGTGAGGTATGTCTGGTTTATCAAGTTCGGCGTGGGGATAGTCGGGTGAAATTTCGACGCCACAGCAATAGCAGAAGTCCGTGCGTTCGCGTGTACAAGGCATCACGTCCGTTGATTTGTGAGTCATATGATTGCACGACTCGGGGTCATCCTTTTCTATCACTTTAAAACCTGTGTGGAATCAAAATTCGCGACGCGCTCGACTCCACGCCATCGCGACAGCTGCTCGACGGCGTGGAGGTGCCAGTTCCTCACCGCTCGACGGAGCCAGCACAGCCGTGAACCCGACGTACTGGTTGATTTCCACACAGCTTGAAACAACCGGGACAGCGCTGCGCGCCATGCTGTTCTCTCCACTCCTCCACCTCGACGTCGGCCCGCTCGCTACACTTGATATTCGGGTGCCACCTGCGTAGAATTCAACCGGTGAGTCAGGTTGCGTCGATGACGCAATGAAAATTGATTTCCGCCCAGGATCCACGGGCACTTGCAGCGGACGCACCATCTATAGGCGCAGTACGGGCACTGCACCATGGGGTCGCCGTCTCTAGGTAAGTTCACGAAGCTGCCGCACTTCAAACAATGTATACCTTCACCGAGCACGGATCTATCATAAAAATCGACGAACTTGCGGTACTCCTTCCGCCCGAGCACGCGCCGCGCATGCAAATCAGATATATTTGTGGTGCAGCCGGCGTGATGCATCGGACAGCGAAGGGGAAACCTGTGTGGAAATCAAATTTGGGCGCCCCGCTATCGACGCGACACATCCCGATGACATCCCGACGACTCCGTCTACTCGATGGCGTGGAACTGTTACGCCATAGACGCCACGTCGCCCATGTAATCGCGTCTGCTCGATGGCGTCGAGGTTCACGAAGTTCTCCCGCAATAACTCTCCGGATAAGCTAACTCAATGGGTGATTTCCACACAGGTAGAGACATCGAGATATCACCTAACGCAGCGTGGCAGTAGCTACGCATACAGCCGACGCAGACGTCGTGGTTGCACGACTGGAGATGTATAACAGCATTGTCCTCGGCGTAACAAATGCAACAGCTCCCCTTTTTCGTGAAGAGGCGGTTCTGGACCTCGTGGAAGAGCCGCCCGTAGTGCCTTGCGTGGTCCAGTTTGGGTGCAACGGCCGCGGCCTCGACCGCCCTTGGGGCCCACTGTTTTCTGCCGCGCGCGACGGCGATGCGCTGCCGCTTCCTCCTATCTTCCGCCGAGCCCCGGAAGACAATACCCCCGGAAACGCCCATGACCAGCGCGAGGAAGCCCCCAACCGCCAGCACGACGATGACCACCGTGGGCATCCTGTACTGTTTTTCTTTCACAGGCTGGGACCCGTACAAGGGGTCGTCCCAGCAGAGCTCCCAGTACGGCCTACTTTCACGCGCGGGTCCCGCCGTCAAGCGCACATTTACAGTTGTGTTCTGGAGGTTCGTCCCGACGTTCACGTAGAGCCTCGTTAATACCCTGCCGCAGAAGATGCGTAAAGGTCGTAAAGTGCGTGTACAACACTCCGCGCCCGAGATTTTATCTCGACAGTCCTCGCACAGGAACACGAGCTGGCCCGCGGGCGTGTCGCCGCCGTAGACGGCGAAACTAATGCCCTGGCGCAGTTGGAGCGGCGCGTCGAAGGACACGTCCACATAAGTCACGGCTTCGGTCGCGGAGGCCGCCCAGCCGCAGTCGGGGTACGCCAATGTCGCGTTGCCCTGCCCCAGCGCCCAGGCCTTTGTCGTAGAAGACGTCGTGTACGTGAGCTCGTCGCTCGCGGAAGGGAGCGCGTACCGATGGCGTTCGAGCACGGCGGGCGCGTTGACCGTGCCGCAGTGGCGCTGGATATCCGTTTCCAGTGAAGCGCGGGGCGGTATCGCGGCGTGTCCGTCCACAAAGTCCACCTGCCGCTGCTGGACCACTTCCAACCGGTCGTCCATTCGCACCGAGAGAGACGTCTCCGGGGCGAGCTCGGCCCGCCACGCGGCCGTCAAACCTGTGTGGAAATCAACCAGTGAGTTAGGTCGTGAACCTCTACACCAAGGAGCAGACGCAGTTACGGGGACAACGTCGCGTCGATGGCGTGGGGCGTGCGAAATTTGATTTCCACACATTGTCAAACGAGGCAGCGCCTTGCCCGCCGCAAGCCCGGGCCCCGCGATGTGCGCGTCCTCGGGCCCGTCTTCAGAAGCGGCGGCGAAGCCCTCGTCGGTCCCCGGCGTCTGGAGCAGGACCTTGTCCGTTTCCGTGTTCGGCGCAGAGGCCACGAAGTAGTGCGCCAGGAAGCCCGTGCCCCAATCCAGGTCGTCGGAACCCTCTAACGTGGAATAGGCCACGCGGATCGCGCATCGGTCGGCATACGCCAATGACCCACAGGCCACGGATAAAGGTGGCGGCGGCGCGTCGCAGCCGCCTGCCCTACAGGAGAAGAGCACGGCGCCCGTGTCCGCTTGCGTCACGTTGAAGGACCCCGCATCACCTAAATCCAAGCGCGGGAACGCGACGACGACGCGCGTCGTCGCCGTGACCGGCGGCGCCAAGATCCACTCGCAGTCTTGCGAGGGCCGCGCGGCCGCGTCCGGCGCGGAGCCGTCGCTAAACAGGAACGACGACGCTCTTAACACAGAACGCTGCTGCGACGATGATGAGGCCCACCACTGTTGATCATCACCGGTCAGGGGCGCGAGGGGCACGAGGTGCGCGCCGCAGCCCTGCTGCGGCCGGTCCGAGAAGTAGGCCACGTCGAAGCCGCGGCCCGCTATTTCCGTAAAGGTCTGCAACCTCAAAATCATCTCGGGCCCGCTCGAGGCCAGCCACTTCGTGGAAGTACTACCGCAGAACGTGTCCAGGATGGCGTCGTTGGACACGCTGCCGTCGTAGATTGTTAAAGATCCCTGGGCGCAGTCCGGTATGTCAATCGCGTTCGCCACGAGCAAGACGTTGGAACCGCCCCCTACGTCGACGTGCCAGTTGAGATCCAAACCCGACGCCAGCGTGTCCCCGACGTAGGGCGCGCGCACGGATGGTGCGGAGGCGGCGGCGAGCCGCATCTCGCCGTCGCCGACGCCTCTGCCTTCTGTGAAGGAGGCGTAGTAGCGTGCCTCGAACCCGAGGCCGTCGGGCTCCGCCTCCGTTTCCAACGTGACGTACAATGCATGTGATGAAGCGTGTAAGATGGGCGGGATCTCCTCGCAGCCCGCGCAGTCCCAGAGTAAGGTTGAGGTTGCATTTGCACCTCCATAGATCCGGAGCCGCCCGCCGCCCAGGTCGACGCGGTAGAACGCCAGGCTGATAGCTGAGACAATGGGTTCCGGTCGTACGAGCCACTCGCACTGCAGCGAGGCGGCCATGGCGTCGGCCGGCGCCGAGCCGTCGCCGAAGACGAAGGAGGCCGCCGTGAGCACGCCGGGCTCGCGCACGTGGCCGCAGCGGTACTTTGGCGCGTCACTGTAGTACGCGAAGTCGACGGCGCCGCCCTCGGAAGTCGACTGGGAGAGTAATCGTAAAGTAATGCCATCAGAAGCAGGTGGCGCCGTGAAGGCGTCCGCGACCAACCAGGCCTGCAGGTCGGACGAGCAGTCCCACGTCTTGAGGAGTGGGGGCGACCCCGCCTCCTGATAAGCGAGGGCCCACGTCGCCTCGTCGTCGCTCACCGCCCCGCCGTACGCCTCGACGACGTCGCCGCAATCGAGGGATAACGCGTTCCAGGCGATCGCCAAAAAGTCTATAGAACCGCCAAACACTTTTGGATGTACGACCCACCTATAATCGAGACTCCCCTTCCAGTTATGCGGCGCTCGGATCGACGTCGCCGCGCCACCGACGAGCTCTACTTTTTTAGAACCAGCACCGGCGTCCCAGTCCGTAGTTTCCGTCCAGTAGATGGCCTGCCAGCCCGTCCACTCGCTGGCCTCCTCGGTCACGGGGTCCGTGTAGTACGCGGAGCCGCTCCCGGACACGTATTCGACGTACAACGCGTCGCCCGACGCTTCTAAGGGAGGCGGCGCCGTGAACTGGCAGCCGGCGCAGGACCAGAGGAGAGGAGCGTTTTCACCGTTCCCGTCGTAGACTTTCACACTACCTTCGTATTTTACGGACACGCGTTCGGCCACGAAGATTAAGGACGGCGTCCAGTCGCTGCGCGAGGGTGGCGGCCACGTTAGTGATTGTATTGAATGATCCAACAATGAAGGCGCGACCAGCCACTCGCACGCGTCGGGGCCGAGCATATTTCCTGTGGCGGAGGAACCATCTGTTAACAAGGCTGATGGTGCCGTAGCCAACGAAACCTCATCCAACGCCCCGTGCTCTCCACAACTACAATAACTCCCGACGTGGCACGCGTCGGCGCCGGCCGCGACGTACCGCGCCCGAAATATGAAATCGGGTTCGTCCTCGGCACTGCCCGAAGCGCTACCCGGTGCTGAAAGTTGCACCATGACGTTGCCCCTTCGACCATAGACCCACTGCTCTGGAAAATCGGCGTGGGTCCACCGTGCCAGCAGGCCCTCGCCGTCGCTTACCGTGACGGTGTCGCCCTCGCGTAACGTGGCGGCCTCCACATAGACCGCCACGTCGCACTCCGTGCAATCTTTAGGATTGATCTTCCAATCATACAACAAGGGTCGGGGCGCTTTGCCGCTGGCCGTCTGCGGGGCTATCATGAGGCCTTGCGCCATCTTGAGCTCGACTTCGTAGGTCTCGCCGTCCGCCCGCTCGCCCATGTCGTCCGTGTGGGCCAGATACCTGATCTTGAAGCCGGAAGCGCCGCCTCTCGGGGCGCTAAAGGTGATAAGAGCAGCGGTCTTCGTTGTTAAGTAAAACGGCGGCGGCAGCACTTCCCCACAAGAAACACACCGCCACAGCTGCGCCTCGCTCACGCGCTCCTCGCCCTCGTACATGAAAATCTCGCAGCCGTCACATTGCAGTTCTTCGAAGACGAGCACGAGCGTCTGCATCGAACTGGAACTGCTCGGCTTGATGGCGTAGGTGCACTTGTCGCCCGGGTCGAGTCCTCCCTCGATATACGTCGCGAGGTTGAGGCGGCCCGTCAGTGCTGTGACCGTGGCGTCGTGGCAAATGGCCCAGGCGCCGGTGGCGAGCCAGAGGAGGGCCCAGAGGCGACGCATGGTGGCTAGGTGTGAGCCGTCTGCGTCATCGGTCGCGCGGCATGGTTATTCCGTCCGGGGGCAGCCCGGCGGCGCGCTCAGGTCTAGGCACAGCGTCTGAGAGCGCCGCGCCGCGCTGCCGCTGAACCCGACCTTTTCTTGCATTTATTATGAGCCATCGTACGTTTGCTTCCACTTGTCCTAGGAGTCCTCGAACGAACCAGCGCTAGCGGCCTGTAAGACACTAGCAAACATCAACCAAAGCAGGCTGAGGCAAACCTCGCGCTGTCGTGCCACATACGTTGATTGCGTTACGCGTGGCGTAGTCGAGAGACATCGTACGGCTGCTGCCACGACGAATAACAGATCGCACGCGGCTCGTCCGCCAAGGCTCAGAGGCACAGAGAGGTTTAGGGCTCTCCGAGAGCAATCCCGTCAGCAGCACCGAGCACAACAATGCCACACACCGCAGCGCTCGTCGTGAGCCTCGTTGCCAGCGCTAGTGCTCTCTCCGCGCCGACGTCGGCGCCCAAGGCAGCGCTCTACAACGCAATCGATAAATTCAACGCCGCCACGGCAATCGACGGAACCGTACCCATAGACTTTGGCGTGAAAGGCGGCGAGCTCGACAAGAAGTCTCGCGCCCCGCGAAATTTATTTCCGGACGGCTTCGACGCCGTGTCAGAAAACGTGGGCACAGCGGCCAAGGGCGTCATGGCGGCCGTCGACGCACTCGCCGGCGAGGCGTCGTTGGCCGCCAATGCTGCGGACACCTGGAAGACGGCGGACTCGCCCCTCACGGGCGAGTGGAGCAACCTCTGGACTACCGCTGCTGATGCCACGTTCGATTCCAAGAGCGAACGCGGCGCCGCCAAGGTTTCCAATGTGGTGGACGCGAGGAAGGGCCGCATCACGAACGTCATTAAATTTACGGATCCCGAGAGCAAGGCTGATGCGCTGAGAGTGAGACTCACAGCCAAGGCCGTCGGGGCGCGGCGCCTCGAGCTCACGTTCCGCTGGGTGTGCGTGACCTTCAAGAAGCGGCTCTTCGGCCTCTTCAAGAGCGTATACGTCCCGCTCGTGCCGGCGACGTTCCTGGCACGCCTGATCTTTTTGTTCCGACCCAAAATCAAGCCCGCGACGCCGTTCTTCGATTTGCTTTATTTGGATGACGAGCTCCGCGTGCAGAAGACGGGCGAGGGGAATGTGTTCGTGCAGAAGAGACTAGTGCAGTAAGGAATTGTTGTTTCTAGTGTGTTACAGGACGTAAGCCAAGCGTGGGTTAGGCCCGCTGCCCTCAACGCCACAATATTGCACCATAAGTGTGCAATTGTTGGCGAGCAGTCATTTTGGGACGTCCTGCCTCGAAAAATAGTGACGGCGCAATCGCTGCGCATCGCTGCGCGTAGTTCCTTAACTCTTGGAAGTGGCTGATTACGCAAAAATCGCCGTAGCGATGGTGTCCGGCCGCGCAAAGCGCCACGCAGCAATAGCAGGCATCGCCATCGCGACCGGCGTATTCATGGAGCTCCTAAAAAACGCGCCGACGCCGCGCCGCGGCAACCCTATTCGCGAGCTCCTCTATGACGTGAAGCTGGAACGGCTGGAGAACGAGTCGCACTTGGCAACTACATTCCTAAGATCGCAGCCGGATGCGGAACTCGCGGCCTTCCTCGCCGAGAGCGCCGCCGCGACGAACTCGACGTTGGGCAGGATGAGGGCGCTCGCAAAACGAAGATTATTTTGGGGCCTGCAGCGTTGGTTGGGATTGAGCCGCACGGACGCCTCGGGCTTGCTAAGCATGGCGACGCTCTACGTCGGCTCGCACCAGCAGTTCAAAGCGCTGGTCAACGGCACGGCGGCGTCGCTCTTAGACGTCGGAAGCGGCACGGGCACGGAAACACAAAAGTTGGCAAATGTGCTGGAATCCGACGACGTCGCCTGCCTCGAGAGCTCCAAGGCCATGCGCGTCACATTAAGGGGGATGGGCTTTCGCGCCGAGGCGACGCCGGACGAACTGGGCGACGAGGCCTTCGCCGCCGCTTCACTACTAAACGTGCTGGACCGCTGCGACGAGCCCGGAGCGTTGCTGAACTTGGTGGCGGATCGAGTGGCCGACGGCGGTCTGGTTCTGATCGCTTCTGTTTTACCTTATAGTCCGATGGTGCATGAAGGACGCTTCTTATCCCCGTACGGCAAGGCCCAATCACGTCGAGCGAAGCGCCCGTTGCAGGTGAAGCCCGCGCGGACCTTCGAGGCGGGCGCGATCAACTTCGTGAACAGCGTGCAAGCGGCGCGGCCGGGACTCCAACTAGAAAGCTGGACGCGGCTGCCCTACGTCAGTTCGGGCGACACGGGCCGGACGCATTATGTGTTGGACCAGGCGGTCTTCGCGTTCCGCAATGCCATGAAAGACGCGCCGCCCGCCGCGTGTGCCAAGCGCGGTGATGATCAAATTTACAAGTGGCTCGGGACGCACTTTGAAGAAGGAGGCGATATGTTAGATGCGGGCACGGGCTTCGGGTCGCTCTGCTGGCTGCTGCGGCGGTCCTACGACTCGCTGACGGCCGTCACCGCGACCAATGAAGGCATGTACGGCGCCAAACCATTACGGGAGATGACGCGGAACCGGAACGTGAGCGTCGTCATCGGGAACTGGCGGGACGATGGTTTCTTGAGCGATCAGACATATGATGTGGTCGTCGCGGACTACCTGTTCGGCGCGACGGAGCGGTACTGGGCCTACGGCGCGGACGAGCTGCTTGGTAGGTTGTTAGATAGGGTGCGGCCGGGCGGCACGTTGCTCATCGTGGGCCTCGAGCCCTACGAGCTCGTGCTCGATAGGAACGAGAAGGACGACAGGCTGGTTCTCGAGGTCGAGGCCATCGGCGACGCCGCGGCGACGGCGGCGTTCGAGCCGAACTACCGCGAGCTGCCCGAGCGCTGGATTCGTGAACGGATCGCGCGGACGACCCAGTTCAATGTTGTGGCCACGGAGCGGTTCCCGATGCGCCTCACGGCGCGGTCGCTGCAGCGGCAGCTCGTCTTCGCGCGCGACTGCCTCGTGAAGATCGAGGACGACGGCCTCCGGGCCGCCTTCGAGGCGCGGGTCCGGGCCCTCGACAAGGAGCTTAGCGTGTGGGCGCGCAAGGGCAAGTCCCACCGCCGCGCGCGCAACTACGCGATCGTCGTGCGCCGCGCCGCGCAAGAAGGGGAGGCTGCTCCGAAAGAGCGCAAGCGGCGCTTCTTCGGGAAGAAGAACTAAAACAACTGTGTTTAGACCGGCGGCCGCGCGTACTGGACGCCGGGAACCACGCCCGTCGTCGCGTAGAAGTCGTATTCTACGGAGTAGCCGTTCGACGCGAGGTATTCCTGGCGGGCCAGCTGGTCGAGGGCGCACGGCCCGCACCAAAGCATACAACAGCAGTCGTCGCAACCCGCGCACCAACAACAGACGTCGAGCGACTCGAGGCCGTACGCGCATCTCGGCGACGGGATACCCCATTTGCGCCGAATGCGCCGTCGGAGCGACCACCCGATGCAGTAGAGGCCGAGGAGAAAAATTCCCGCGAGGACCGCGCCAACGGCAAGGGCCGAGGAGGCACATGCCCGGAGGAACGCCGATAACACCAGCAACACGACGCTCGCGACGAAAAGCAGACCACAACACGTCGTGATGCAACGGTGTCTCCCGCGGTGCCCCTGCTTCTCCATGAGTTGGCCGCACATATGGCACGGACAGCAAAAGCTCGCGAGGCCGGTACCAAGGTAGTCACTGTGATTAAATGAGTCGCAAACGTCCGTCTGGAACTTTCGCTCGTGTTGGTCCGGCGCCATCGCCGTCGCGCCCATCCGTAATTCGTCCGCGGTCGTCCGCCCCGACGGCGGCTCGACTGTCACAACCACCGCCTCGGCCGGCGGCGCGGTGGGCGCCAGCGGCTGCTTATATGACATTATCTCTGAACTGAGACTCCGGTCTCTCGAGCTCGGTCGCACGTTGCGGCCACTGCGCGAGTTCACCTAATTGTTTCGTAGATCAGAACCACGCGTCGTAGCGCTTGGTCATGCACGGCTCACCGGCAGGACTGCAGGACTTGTCTGACTCCTCCGGGAGATCACGACGCGGACGGCGGCGATGATAAAAATCGCGCTAAAGAAGATGAGACCGTAGAACCGGGCGAGGATGTCGGCGCTCATTTGGCCTGTGTGTGCGAAGGTGGGACAACGAGGGAGCTCGTCATCCCACCTGGACCCACCATGCGCGCGTGCGTCGACGGCGAGCGAAGGCGGTCTCTCCTTTGGGCTCGCCGGGAGACGGTGAATGTGCCGGGTCCCGCTTGTGGGTTGCCTGGGCCAGGTGGCTCTTTGTTTGCTTGTATTAGTTGTAAGTTGTTCAGGGGGTTTACAACTAATTTTTGAAGGTTGGTAGTCAGAGCCAGTACCAACTCAACCGCGGCCGACACTTCAGCTCCCCCCGACTCTCTTTTACGCATTTTTTACGCCGGTCAACGCACCTGCCTCGTAATTGGGCAAAAGACAAGCATGGCTAGCGGCCTTGTAAGACACTAGCAAGTATCGCTCGCAGAAGGTGCGTATATGTGACTACACGGCGGAACCCCGACAGAATAAATAAAACTTAGTAGTAAGGCAACGGGGAGCAAGTCAGTGGTTGTGCCCTGCGTGCGGGTCCTCGACCTCCTTGTCCCCGGAGCAGTGCGAGTGGTCGAGGAGCACGAGGCCGATCGCGACGGCTCCGATGATGAAGAGGACGGTGTTGAGGAGCTTGAGGCGCCACGTCGGGTTCTTGTGCACGAACGTCGCCGCGCACTCCGTCGCGGCGACGTAGACGTAGACGCCGCCGCTGAAGGCCAGCAGCATGCCGCGGTCGCCGTTGCCCGGCTCCAACCACAAAAACCACCAGGCCCCAATAACGACGGAGGCGCCACTCACCACATTCACGGCGAGCGCTTGTACCGTCGTGAGGCCGCCGCGCGTCACGAGCATGAAGAAGTCGCTCACTTCTTGGGCGAGCTCGTGGGCCACCGTCGACGACGCGACGGTCCAGCCCTTGGACTGCTGGCAGTCCAGAAACGCGTTGGCGATGAAGATGCCGTCCACAAAATTGTGCAGAAAGTCCGAAAGAAAAATCGCGAAGCAGAACGACGCGTCGACCTTCCTCGCGGGCCGTTCCGTGTTCACGGCGTCCGCCTTGATGATATCTGAACTCTCGGGGCCGCCGCCGTCCTCGATCTGGCAGCACGGCTCCTCGCAGTCGTCCGCCACGTACAAATGCGACGGGTCCGCCGCCGCCGACACCATACCCAACAAATAGCCCGCGAGCACACAAGTCCCGAAGCGCCAGTTCCCCTGCACCTCCGTCTGGTAGGAAACCGCCAACAAATGGCTCGCCTCGATCAGCAGAAGGTAGAAGGCCGTCGCCAATAAACAACCCACGGCGAAGGCCGCCACGCCCATCGTGAAGGGCTCGTTCTCCTCGAGCTTGCCCACGCCAAAGGCAAACCTCAATATCGCCCCGACGACCGTGCAGGCCAGGACCAAAAACGATGCGAGCGTCGCGTTGCGCCACGCGCGCGCGTCCTTTTTGTTTTGGTTCTTGTCGGACAATGGTGCGGCGCACTCCGCGAGGCGCCGCCGGTGGTCGTGGCCCGCGTGGGGATCGACGCCTTCACCTAAAGTGCAGACGGGCTCCACATCAACACCGGCGGCGTCCTTGAGGTAGTGCGTCGAGACCTCGATCTCATCGAGCCCGTGCTCGAAGAAGAACGCGAAGAAGCCCGTCGCCTCTGCTAATCGCCGGCCGTGGTCGTGGCCCGCGTGCGGGTCCGTCGCCGCGGGCGTCGTTATTGTGGTCGCGCCGGCGACGAACAAGGCGCAGGCCGTGACCTCGAGATCATGCGGATTTGACGCATTATTGTTGCACTTCGAGAGGCCGCTGGCTAATGTTTTTGCCTCGTCGAGAGCGTAATAATCCAGTGCGTCGAGGCCGACGCCGACGGCGAGCACCTTGACGTCTATGGCTGTCGTGAAGATGTAGTTGGTCTCGGCATTGAGCTCGAAGACCGCTACACTCTCATACGCCGCCGCGCAGCCTACCAGGAGGGCTGCCCGCAGCGCGGCCATCGCGGTCGCCGTCGCTGGCAGGTGTCGACAGGCTGGGTTGCGTGCCGCACAGGTGGGGCAGCGGCTCAGGGGATGCCTGCAGGTACGCGCTCTGTGACGTGCAGCGCTTCGCGCAAGCCGGGCAGCTTTTTGCCCAAGCTCTTTGTTGGGGGTGTGGGAGCAAATACCCGAACCTTATCCCCCGCGCCGCCCCGGAGGAATCCGTGGCAGCCCGACGCCCTGCGGGCGGCGGGCGGGCAGCCCTCAGCCCACCCCCTACTTGACGCCACAACAGAAACTCGCTGTGTTAATTAGCCACTTGCACGGGAAGTACGCGAATAAGGTAACGGCCGGCGCCGTGGAGGCATTATAGCATGCGAGCGTCGCCGCGTCGTGGCTGCCCCGCGGAGCGCTTTCGCTCCTGTTGCAACAGCGACGCGCAACCGAGGCTGCCTCCCACCTGCCAGAACGTCCGCGACGCGCGCCAACGCCGCCGTCCCGCAGGCATTATGTCGCTCCGCAGCCTCCTTTTCCTCGCGATCGCGGCGCCGGCCGCGGCGGAGTACGAATGGTACGGGGTGGTGAAGCTGGCGCACTCGTCGGAGTACACAATGACGATAAAGACGCTGACCGAGACCATGAACCTCTACATCGCGGAGATCAACGAAGGCGCGGCGCTCGACGTGGCAGCGCTGGACACCATCGCCGACGGCGCCGAGTCCTACATGAAGACGTACGAGGCAAGAGACGGCACCATCGCTGACGGGGACGAAATCGATGTCGGGGAACAGACGGTCGTGACGCTCACGATGGGCACCGGCGCCACAACGACGTACGAGCTCCACGTTGGGGCGCACTCCCACCGCCGCCGCCTCTCGGGCGACGACGTCTACTTCGCCATCTTCGCCGGGCACGGCATCGACGAATGGGAGGACTCGTCGGCTCACTTCCTCAAGTGCGGCGCGGGGGCAGCGTGCGGGGACGTCGCGGCCGGCGCCGACATCGAGCTGGAGTGCGTCGGTGACGTCGACCACGCGGGCCACGACCACGGCCGCCGCCTCTCGGGCGACCACGAGGAGGCCGCCCCAACGTGCGCCAAGCCGTCGTCGAGCGACGGCGCGTCGACGCCCGCGGCGGCGGTGGCGCTGGCCCTCGCCGGCCTCGCCGGCGGCCTCGCCCTCTTCCTTTAGGCCTACCCACCGTTCGGCTAGGTCCCCCGAGCACAAGAGTAAGACTCGACGCTGTGGGTCTCGGGGCGGCGTTTTCTGTTCAAGTTACGGTTCTTGGGTCTGCTAATTAGCTATTAGAGAGGTTAGAGAATGAAGAGAAGAAATGCGTTTCGGAGCGCGAGTACGGGTTAGCATTCGGGTTCGAGTTCCTGTTCCAATTCGGGCGCCCAGCTCTGCGCCGGAGGCGGCCGCTCGGCGGCGAGGACGGCCTCGGCGGGTACCTCTTCCTCCTCGGCCGCGAAGGCCCCCGCGCCTTCGTACCCATACGGGACTTCCACTCGCACATCCGCTTTGGGTATGGGTACCAGGGGCGGCGGCGCATCGGCCTTTGAGTCCGCGGCGTGTTTGTGCCGGGCCTTGTACGCGGGGCAGCCCGCACACGCGAAGCAGCACAGCGCGACGCAGCACAAGATAAAGACGAGGGCGCCGCACGCGAGGCCGGCGACGAGGCTGACGTTTAGTTTGCAGCACGCGGACGAAGACGAGGCACAGCAGGTGTCTTTTTGGCAGCCTATCTCTTCCATTCCCAAGACTGTCCAGTCTTTCCACCGCCCAGTCTCGAGCCAAAAAACACCGCAGTGACCGTCGTGGAGATCTTCGGCGGCGCAAGTGCCGCACCCCTGGATGTTCCTGAGTGTGTCGAGCGCCGCGACGGTGTGCGGGCAGTACCCGGGGCCCATGACGTCGGCGCTCCATTGGTAGAACCCTGGGATGCCCAGCTGAGTATTCTTCTCCGTGCAGCCGTCCTTGTCGACGAAGGAGACGCAGTCCCAACCGGTCTGGTCCCCCTCCAGGGCTGGGTCGAGCTGGAGCGAGTACCGCGCGATGAAATCTTCCGGGCAGCAGCCGCCCGCCTGTACCTCCGCCAGGGTCGTGCCGCAGCCGTACTCGTTGTCGAATTTACTTCCGTAGACGCTGACGCAGCACTCGCCCTCGGCCGCCAAGTCCACGATGCCATCGCCGTCGTTATCCTTTGTGGCGTCGACGGCGCACTCGTTGTCGCCCGAGAGGCGGCGGCCGTGGTCGTGGCCCGAGTGGTCGACGTCACCGACGCACTCCAGCTCGATGTCGGCGCCGGGGAAGACGTCCCCGCACGCCGACGCGCCGCACTTGAGGAAGTGGACCGACGAGTCCTCCCACTCGTCGATGCCGTGCCCGGCGAAGATGGCGACGTAGACGTCGTCGCCCGAGAGGCGGCGGCGGTGGGCGTGCGCCCCGATGTGGAGCTCGTACGTCGACGTGGCGCCGGTGCCCATCGTGAGCTCCACGCATTTCTGGGTCGTGTCGATCTCGATTTCGGTGCCGTGCGCGGCCGTCGCTCCGTAACAGTACGTCTGCATGTAGGACTCGGCGCCGTCGACGATGGTGTCCAGCGCTGCCGCGTCGGGCGTCGCGCCGATTTCGGCGATGTAGAACCTCATGGTCTCGGTCAGCGTCCTTATCGTGAGGTCGTACTCCGACGAGTGCGCCAGCTTCACCACCCCGTACCACTCGTAGGCCGCGGCCGGCGCCGCGACCGCGAGGAGAAGGAGGCTGCGGAGTGCCATATTATGCACCAAGTGGGGCAGCCACAAGAGTGTGCCTCGCGCTGCGCCGGCGATTCCCAGCGGGCCAGCGCCAATTGATTCGATCCAATTAGCTGCCCCTGGCCCCAAACGCTGTCGGGTGGGCCAAGGGGGGCTAAGTTTGCCCCCCATGGCGGCGCCCGCGATTGCTAACGTCAGTAAGACACTAGCAACCACGGCGGGCCGAGCTGCTGCTGAAACTGTTTGTGCGAGTGCTGTGACCGTACTTGTTAAAACGCGTCCTTGCAGCCCACCACCGCGCTACGGCAAGGCAACAGCAGCTAGTACTATATAGCCCTCCTCGCCACCTAGCACGCGCGCTGCCGCGGCGGAGCGGCGAGCGCGCAAAACAGACAGCCGCGGCGGAACGGCGGCGACGCGCAAAAAAAAAAAAAAGATGGCCGCCTCCGTCGCCTCGGTCCTCGGCTTCGCCGAGGAGCCCGTGGCGGAAAGGAACCCCATCGCCGCGGCGTTCGGCTTCCCGGGCGCCTACTGGTGGGAGGCCGACTATAACTTACAACAGCCGCACCGCTACGCGTCGTTTGACGCCGGGTCTGTCTCAGGAACGCCGGAGCGACGGCCCGACGCGCGGCGTTATAGCTCAACAGCACCTGCCTGGTTTTCTGGCACTACTCCTCCCAAAAAAACTTTCACCGTGAAGCCGAAAACGCCTCCACTCACACACCTCGACTTTAGACCAAGGCGCCCTCTAGGCAAAGGCAAGTTCGGCGAGGTGTACCTGACGACGCACCAACCGTCTGGAAGATTATACGCCTTGAAAGTCTTACACAAGCGCTTATTGTACAACTCGAAGCTACGAGAACGGGCGAGGAACGAGAGACGCATCAACGGCGCGCTGGGGCCGCATCCCTTCATCATCCGGATGCAATACGCGTTCGCCACAGAACGATGTCTTTGTTTAGTGTTGGATCTGGCGCCGTGCGGCGAGCTCTTCCAGTTAGTAAAAGTGGCCCACCCCTGGAAGAACGGCAAGACCAAGCCGGGCAAGTTCCCGGAACAGGCGGCTCGCTTCTACGTCGCCGAATGTTTATTAGCGCTCGAGTTTTTACATGAGCGACGTGTCTTATACCGTGATCTGAAGCCGGAGAACGTCCTCATACAGCGCGACGGCCACGTCTGCATTTCTGATTTCGGTCTATCAAAACCAGGAGTGAACCATCCCCTGCGCGGCGCGCGGTCCATGTGCGGCACGCCCGAGTACCTCGCGCCGGAGATTCTGAGAGGGTCCCACGAGCACGGGTTGGCTGTCGACTTCTGGTGTTTGGGGGCTTTATTCTACGAGTTACTCGATGGCTATCCGCCTTGGTTCACCAAAGATAAGAAAAAGTTACTTGAAAGGGTCGCGCGGCGCGACTTGGAGCTGAAACTACCGCGAGGTCTGAAGCCGAAATTATCAAAAGATGGGGAGCTGTGCTTAAGGGCATTGTTGCATCGGGACGCGACCGTCCGACTGGGAAGCGATGGCGACGCCCAGGCCGTCAAGGACCACCCGTGCTTCGGCATGGTCGATTTTCAGGGTCTCGCGATGAGGCACGTCGACCCGCCCTTCCTGCCGACGCGTTTCGTGGCCGATTTGCGGAGTGACGAAGAAGTTTTATGGAGTGACGTCAAGGTCGATGCGGATCGGAAATTGCAGAGGATGGATATTAGTGATGACCGCTTCGACGAGATCTTCGCGAAGTTCGAGTATCGGGGGGAGCGCGACGTGCTCCTCGAGGAGGCCTAATAAGTTCCAAACATATTACCGGACGCGTCGCAGGCTACCAATAGGCCTAGTGCGCGTCCGACATATGCAAGGGCGATCCTTGAAAAGGGGTCGAGGGCTTTCCAGATTTCGTCGACGCGGCACGGCTCTTGCGAAACGGCGCCGAGCAACTGCGGCAGCACGGCCTGCAACTCTTCCCGCGCTTGTAATCCGCCGCGGTCGTCGCGCTCGACGTCGTCGCGGTCTTCGCCCGACCGTCTTCGTCTCACATAAACACCCCGGTCCGTGACACCCATGCCGTCGCGACCGGCCAGCGGCGCGTCCTGCGCGGCGCGGTGCGGCGCGAGGCGCTCCTTCCACGCGCCTATCACATCATTCGGCTCGACGCCGACCACGCCGGCCAGCTTGTCGAGCTCCGCGACAGCCCGCTGCCAAGCTTTGGAACCATGCCCGTCGCACACGAGGGGCGGTGCCGCGCACCTTCTCCAGTACGTGTACTTCTCGAGGCGCGCGGCGATTTTCGCCGGCGTGCGGCCGAGCCAGCACTCCTCGGCCGCCGACGCGCACAGCTTCGCCCAGGTCCAGTCGTACGTCGCGACGGCGACGGTGGCGTGCAGCGACGGCTCCGCGCCGCAGGTCGCCGCGTGCACGAAGCCGCGGGGAACGTACAAGACGTCGCCCCGATTTAATGTAGTTTCGACGGCCCGCGGCGCTTGAGATTCAAAGTCCGCGGGCAGCGCAAAGGCCTTGCCGGCTTGTTCGTCGTTGTTCGGGAACGAAACTGGCGGCACGGCGTACACAACCCAGGACTTCCGCCCTTCGAGCTGGACGACAAAAACATCTCGATCGTCGGCGTGCGCGTCGACGGCCTGGGCATGTGGTGGCGTGGCGTACAATTGAACATAGGCATGAGGCAGGTGCGTTCTCAGTGAAACCGAGAGCCGCCGGCACGCCTCGTCCACGCAATCCGCGCGGTTCACTATTAACGAGCATCCATCCAACCACGCGTGCGCCGCCGACGCGTAGTCGCGCGACGCGGCGCCGTCCCTCATGACGATGCCTTGGGCGGGTGGCGTTTAGGCTGCCGCAAAAATCGCGGACAGGTCGCGCCAGCGCGGCAGCGACGCTAGTATTGATGCGTCGCAGCTGCGTCTGTACAGTTCCGGCCGCTGCTCCCAGGACTCGCGGAAGAAGTACTTGGCGCTGCGGGGGCCGAGTAGCGCCTCGATGCCCAATCGTCGGCGGTTTTTCCGTTCTCTTGCGGCGGCGCGGCGCGCGCTGCGGCACCACTTTCGAGTTCTACGGCCAGCGATGGCCATCGCTTGCTTTGGGGCTGTGCAGCCGCAAAAGCCAGCAATGCAGCCGCAAAAGCTTGCGCAGCGCAGCGCAGTATGTGCAGTGTGCTCACGTTGCTGTTCGCCGGCCCGAAAAGCAGCAGCACGCTGTCGCAGCGTAATGAGGTTTATAAATTAAAAGGTTTGATAGCCGAATAATGCAAAAGACAGCCAGCGCTGCACCAATTCAGCTGTAGCGCCGGCTTGCTAGTATCTTACTGCCGCTAGCACACCGTACCGGCCATCGCTTTCCTTGCCGCCTGTACGGCGGTTACGACTCATACGACTGGCCCGCATTTCTTAGATTAACCCGGTGCGCTGCCCGCTGCTCCTGAACTGGTAATTTTGGCGCCTCGGGGGCCGCCACAAGCACCGAGGCACTATGACAGCCATTTTCAACTCCGCGGCGGCCCCGAAGAGCTACGAGTTCAAGGTCGTGCTGTTAGGCGACCGCGGCGTCGGCAAGACCTGTCTGGTACTACGATTCATCGAGGGCCTGTACAACGCGCGGCAGCAGTCGACGATCGGGGCGTTTTTCCTCACCAAAAAAATAAAAACCGCAAGAGGCGACGACTGCAAGATCCAGATCTGGGACACGGCGGGCCAGGAGCGGTTTCGGGCCATGGCGCCCATGTACTACCGCAACGCGGCGGCGGCCGTGGTCTGCTTCGACGGGACGGACCAACGGACGTTCCAGACGATGCGGACCTGGGTCGAGGAGCTGCGCGCGAACGTCGACGATAAGAAGCTTGTCATTGCGATCGCGATCACGAAGAGTGATTTGGACGAGAATCGGGCCGAGACGCGACGAAAAGCCGAGGAGTTCGCTTCCAGCATAAACGACGCGTTGGTGCTGGAGACGTCGGCGAAGAACGATGTTGGGGTCAGAGAGCTCTTCGCGACCGTCGCGGAGCGCGTGATCGAGTTGCGGGGCGAGGAGCTCCTCGCGGCGTCCGACCGACAAAGGGGCCTGTCCCTGAAAACCGAGCGGGCGCCGGCGCGGGAGCCCGAGCCGTCCAATAGTTGCTGTTAAAAATTATACACAAGTTAGTATGACTACCAGTGGCTCCCATCGTTCACGTCCGCGCCGCCGTCGCGGGGTATGTTAAAGACTCGTCGGTCTCCGAGAAGTTGCGCCGCGCCCAGGGCGCTTCCGAATTCTCGCGTTCGAAATCGCCAAGCTGGCTATCCAACACCTCCGAGAAGGAGCGGCTCGCCGCCGCGCTCGGCGGCTCACGCGGTAAAGGCCGCGCCACAGCGATCGAACGCACGCGACCCACGGCAGGAGACGCCAGCGGCGACGCCGCCGCCGTCAGCTTCCGGATGTACCTCCTTTCATGCTCCAGCGTCTCGAACCGATACGCCACCCGGATATCGGGCACGTTCGTCATGCGAATGTCGTTGCCGCCGGCCTCATCATAGCCCTCTCCCAGAAAATGGCGCTTGAACCTATCTTCCACGCCACTTTGTAGTACGGAATTCCTAGCGATCTCGCAGATGTCCGTCGACGACAGCTTCCAGACCTGGGCCGCTACCGAGTATTCTTCTACCAGTGGGTCTTTGGTAAAATGTAACATGAGAGGATCATCGGTAGATAATGAGACATCTAAACCGCGCTTGAAGTACTTCGGGAAGGGGCTCTTCGAGAAGTCTAAGAATAACCTATTGTTGGATAACGGCGACATCGCGATGCCCATGCGCGCCAAGTAGTACAAGTACTGCAGCGGCGGACTCCTTCGCAGCTGGATGCCGTGGTTGATCTTCTTCGTGAGTAGAAAGGCCGCGGTTAGATGATCCACATCACCCGCTTCACCACCTGTGCGCAAACCAACCGATGAGTCGGGTGCACCCGAAAATTCTTCACGAAGTCCTTTCTCGGCGACAACGCGACCATGATGACTGAATCGAGTGGTGTAGGACCCACACCGCCGCGCCGTCGAGCTGGCGTCGCGTCGATGGCGTGGAGGCCATGATTGAGCCGTGGCGGAGACGCGCCGCGAGAATTTGATTTATGCACAGCTCACCGCAATGAGGTCGGAACTCGAACGTCGACAGGCCCCGCGACCGTCGTAACGCATTCAAACTTCGAATATTGGCATAGAGGTGGTACATCCAGTAGGCATAGCTCGGCTCGTCGGGCTGATTCCACTCTGACGGTGTAGCTATAGGGTACCTCGAATCAAGCTTGCGGTCGGGTTTACTCTCGTCATCGACACTATCAAAACCGACGAGAGCCTCCAAAAACGCGTGCAACTTCGGATGCGAGGCCGGGTCGAGCGAAGCCTCGAACAAGGGCCGGAAGACGTTATCCAAGACTTCCCCGAACGACTCCACCAGACCAGATTTGCGGTATATTGAATACAATCGGGGAATCTGTACGAGCCACCGGACGTTCGGCGACGACAATTCGTTGTCGACAATCCAAGCCGCTAATTTACTCCATTCATCCAATTTCCGGCCATAGACACTGACCCGCCACTCCGCGATCTGGTACTTCGACTGCTCTAAATCGGCAATCACCTCTTTGGTGATTTCCGCGAGGTACCGGCCCTTCACGTGGTTATCGGTCTTCAGGAAGATTTCCCTCAGTCTCGATTGCCCAGCTGGATTGTACTTGAGGTTGAATCGGTCGAAGCGGTGGAACGTGTCGTGGGCGTGCATATCTAGCGTATCTATGGATAGGTCATATGCGGTTAGCTTTAACGAACGAAAGACGTCCGCTAATGTTAACAAAGTACCATCCCTCGATAGAACGATATCCCCGGGAGATTTCTTGAGTTTCGACTTGATGAACCTTAGTAGGTGTTTTTGGTTCATGCAGGCCGAGTGGTGGACATGAGTATCGACTTTTCGTACATTATAAAAGTCTCTATGTGGTACAGCTTTCTGCGCGGCCAATTCCCGCCAGCCGTTCAGCAACACGTGTAAATTGAATCGTTGTTCTAGCAAGGCCAAGCGTTTGAACGATAGCGATTTCACGGGCCCGCTCGTCGTGATGGTCCTCAGTTCTTCCAGTGCTGAAGCGAAGTCCTTCAGGGAAGGTATTTCGGTATCATCGACGACGAAGACGCCGTCCCGACAAGAGAGGCGTGCGAGGTCCATCTTCGCGTAATTACAAGCCTCGTGCGCCGCTTGGAGAGGCGTATACGTGAGGGGGTCCCTCCGTCTCAGTTTCGCGGTGGTCCGCGGCGTCGACGGTGCGGACCGCGACGGCGATTGGGGCGGCGTGCAGACTTCTGGAGTGTCGTCGACCTGCCACTCGGCGTGCAGATCCAGAGCTCGTTGGAGTTTTGCGGCCCCCACGTGGACGTCGTCCGACTCTTCTCCTTCGTCGTCGAACTCGTCGATGTGGATGCGCTGGAAATGTCTAGCTTCCTTGGCTTCTAGATAAGTAGGGATCTCAGGAACATGGAACAATTCCTGCGTTTGTTCCTGCGTCGACTTGTGAGAACGCGCCGGCGACGCGATTGGTGGTGGTGGCGGCGGCGGCGGTCCGTCGCTGTCGTCACTCTCAAAACCAGGGGGCCGCTCCTCTTCCACGCCATGGAGCGCGGCGCTCGTGGCCCTTATATGTTTGTGGACCTGCAGCATGACCTCCTCCTCGGCCGCTTCGCCGACCTCGGCAAGCGTTTCATCGTCGAAGTCGGCGGCGGCGTCGCCGGCGGCTAATGACAGGTTGATGGAGGACATGGTGAGCTGTGCGCTGACGGAGAGGCTTGAAAGAAGCAGTGCAGATCGGGATGCTCTCCGGACAGCTTGGGGGCGCCCGGGGACGCGCAAAAATCGGGTGGACTGGTGAGGAACGAGCGATGGAGCAAATATATATGTATACGCCCGCAGTGCACAGCCCTGCTACGTAAAATGCGCCCGATGCCCAAAATCTGATGTACCTAGTGCCTTACACGACGCTAGCACCAACTTTTGGTCAAGCGCTTAAGAGCCCTTTGGGCCACTAGACACACTCAGTGGTTTCAATTCCGACGAGTTCTGAGCTCTTACATCCTTGTAGGCAACTGACAGAACCACAGCACGACAGGATGATTCTAGGCCTGACCAGGTTGCTCGACGCCCTGCTAGGCAGCAGAGCAGAGGAGCTTGCCCTCATGGAAGCGCATGGAGTCGCCACCCCTCAGCCGTTCTCGCGCGCCGACCCGCCCTTCGACGTGATCCTCGACGAAATGGCTGGGTACCTCGGCGTCGCGACTGCGGCGGCCGGACGGATGACCTGCCGCGCCTGGTGCACGGCTCTCGGCCGCACACAGACTATGGCACAGCTCGTGCAGCGCGAGGCGACGGCGTGCGGGCGCGCGCCACCGCTCGGGTTTGCGGAGTCGCTCGCGCGCAACGACGGCGCGCACCACGCGTGGCGCCTCGCGCGGGCCGCGCTGCGCCGGCGCAAGCTGGTCGTCGGCGAGCGCTGGGCCCCCCAAGCCGTGCGTTCGATGCGGGCCGTTCGTGACCTCGTCGCGGGAAATTTTACGAACCGCGAGCGGTGGGCGGGCACGCAGTTTCTCCTTCTTAACGAGAGTGACGTGCCACTCTACGTTCACTGGATTAACTTTGACGGTGAAATCGAGGTCCGCCCGGGCGATCGAGTTGAGCCGCGCCCGGCACCGTTCACGCGAGGTGGTTACTTGCTCGGAGCCGCCTACAGCGTACCCGCGGGCGTCTTCTATCACACCTCTATCGTTTCTCATGCGTTTGCGATATGTCTGGAGGCCGGCGGCCCTCCCATAGCCTGTTACCAACAGCGCCGGTCCTATCTGCCGTTTAGCTTTGGCCGAACGTGGATCATCTCTCACGTCCACGGCGTCGCCGTGAGACGCGGCGCGGATGGGCAGCTCGAGGTCCACGAACTGGCCTGCGTGGACCGGAAGCTCCTCCGGTCAGCGCCCGCGGACGCGCAGACGCGGGTGTCCTTCGACCACATCTACGTCGCGCCGACGGCGGAACCGATGCGCCGGATCCGCGTGGAGCCGCTGCACGTGCGCGTTCCGCCGCGGGACGCGGACGATTTCGCCTGGTCGACGGAAATCGAGACCGACCTGACTCCCTGTGCGCTGGCCGACTTGGTCGCCGGCATCATACTTCCGACGGACCGGCGCGAATGGCTGGCGCAGAGCCAAAATCCGTGGGAGGCCTTCCAGGATTTGCGGCCCACGCAACACGGGTGTCCGATTTCGTATTCTTATGCTGACGCTGGCCTCATTGGACAGATGCTCTGGGAGATGATCTGGCGACACTATGACGCCGGGAACTCGCCGCCGCGGCCTGCCGGTCCCCGCTACGCGTTCGAAGCGCAGTAGTGGTGTTGTTGAGTAAGTAGCCCTGTACTAAACTCTTTGGCTCGGGGCCGGACACCCGCGCGGGCCAGGCTCGCGCGCGCACCGGCGGGCCCAGCGCTCGCCAGCCCAACGACTCTTCCTCCAACCCGAGATGTGCGTCCGCGGATCGGACGGCTCGCCGAGCCGACGTGCGGGGCCAGACGAAGACGGTAGCCGGAGCGCGGCCAACAGGCAGCGTATCCCGCCGCCGCATCGCTGCCCCAGGACCGTGCGAGGACAGCACGGCCATCGACCAGTCGTCAGCACGCCAGCCAGCGCTTCGCTACGGCGACACGATGGCCGCCATCACCACCCAGGAGGAGCTGGCCCGGGACGCCACGGGCGCCGGCGCGCGCATGACCAAGGCGATCCTCAAGCAGTGCGCCGTCGACAACGAGGGGTACGAGAGTCCCGAGTTGAACGACAATTTGTATTTACATTTTAAGGGCTTCCGTAAAATCGAGAATTTGGAGGAGTACACGGAGCTCAAAGGTTTGTGGTTGGAGGCGAACGGTCTTAGGTGTATAGAGAACATCAATCATTTGTCCAAATTGAGATGCATCTTCCTGTCGCGGAATTTGATCGAAACGATCCCATCGACGGCGTTCCAGGGCGTTTCTAGTTTGGTTATGTTGGACTTGTCTGAGAACCGGCTGACCAAGCTCGAGCATTTAGCTGATAATTGCCCTAATTTAGAAACGTTGAACGTGAACAAGAACGCCCTGCCTGATGCGGCATCGATAGCCGAACTCGCACTACTTCCCAATCTGAAGAACCTGCAAATAGAACGCAACGAGCTCAAGGGCGAGGACATCATCCAAGCGTTGGCCGCCCCCCCGCAGCTCTGCGGCATCAACGCGGCGGGCAACCCGTGCGTGCGCGAGATCCCGCAGTGGCGCAAGAAGTGTCTGTGCGTGATGCCTCTCTTGGCTTACTTGGACCGACCGGTGTTCGAGAACGAGCGCGAGGCTGCGTTGGCCTGGCAAGAAGGCGGCCACGAGGCGGAGCTCAAGTGCAAGCAGGACTACGCCCAGCGCAAAAAAGACAAAGATAAACAATCGATGGCGCGCTACCGCCAGTGGCAGAAGGAAGTCCGAGCTCAGCACTTAGAAAGGAAGGCTATGAGTGTTGATGATAGTGTTGGTGCGAGGTTAGATCGGGAAGCGAGGGAACAACGAAGAGATACGGAGGAGTCGCTCAGGATCGAAGCGCGCGCCCAGGCGGAGGCGGACGCGGCCCAGATACAATCGGGCAAGATCTTGAGTGCGGACAAGCCGGCGGACCACCGGCCGTTCCTCCCGAAGAACCACCCCGAATATATTGAAGAGTCGTCTGACGACGAGGACGCGTACTTGAAACAGGCTTATGGTATTACCGACGACCTGCCGCCGCCTCCCGTCAAGCCGAAGGCGTCGAAATTCACGCCGAAGCCGCCACCCCCACCGGAAGACGTCGTGGAAGTCGTCGAGGAGGATCCCGTCCAGGAAGCGCTGAAGGCAGTGAAAGAAGTGGTCAATGAGGCCGCGGCGGAGGCCAAGGAGAACAATTTGCCAAACGAACAAGTCGATCGGGTCCAGGAGTCCTTGTATTTGTACAAGAAACAGAAGGAAGCGAAGAAGGCCGGGAGGTTGGCTCGAGAGCGGGCGAAAGTTACGAAGCCGGCGCCTCAGCAAAAGGTGTGGACCGAGGCCATGGACACGCAACTCTCGGCTCTCGTACGGGAGACGTGTTTTGATTTTGAGGAGGTCGCCAAGGGTCTCGGCGAGACGGCGGAGGCGTGTAGAGAAAGATGGAGCTCATTGGATGGCGTCGTCAACGAGGGACCGCAGGACTTTGGCGGCTTGCGGGGCCCCGTCGCGGGCGTCGCCGTGAGACGGGGCGACGCGCCGGGCGAAGTCTACAAAGGAGATCGGATCCCGACCTTTGATGAATTGAAGCGGCGCGCGGCGGCGCTGCCGCCGCGCTTCACGGTGGACCCGGCATCGCTCCCGTCCGTCGGCGACGTGTCCGACGACGACGGCGACGAGGTGGCGGTGTTTTCGAAGACGGACTTCGACACGCTCGAGTAAGCTAGATATATGAACTTGTTTGCGCCCATGGCCCGCTACCCGTCCGGAAAGCTGGTTTTTTACCCCGAAGAGCTACGACCGCCGCGGCGAGCCGTCCGGAGGCCTCGCCGGGACGGCTCTCAGGGTGGCTGGGCTCAGGAAATTGCCTGGTCTCCCAAGATTGCTCCTGAAGGCTGAACTGCAGAGTTGCACGTCGTGCAGAGCATGCCCCTGAGAGGCAGCTGCATAACTGAGCCATTGCCTTCGAGCTGAGCGCCGTGGCTGCCCCTGACCTCTGCCTTGCTTGCTACACTGCGTGCGGCTGTCATCGCTTCTGCCGTGCTAAACTACTCTACCCGGCAATATGGGCGCGCCGCGCCTCGTGTTGGTAGCCGCGGGCTCGGCCGACGCACTGCACTTCGACAACGCGGCGACGCTGCGTTCGGGAGGCACCGCACCACTGACGGCGAACGGCAAGAACGTCAGTCCCTTCTGGTCGCAGCCGCGGAATGCCTGGGGCCACTGGGATTACATTGACCTCGGCGTGACCGACCGCGCGCAGCCGCTCCACGTCAATCTCGAAGGGCCTTACGTCGTTTGGTACGGGCCGCACGGCGAAATGGTCTTCGATGTTGCGATGTGGAAGCTCCACGAAGGCACGCACCTCGTCGCCGTCAAGGCGTGCGCCGGCAATCCGGGAGGACCGACGCGCATGTCCAAGGACGCGTGCGGACGAGATTTTGTCCTACACGCAGACGGCACGATCGGACCGCGCACCGCTCAGCATTTGCGGCTCGGTGCGGCTGGTGGTGCAGGCGGGGGTGCGGGCCTGAGGACCGTGGCGGGTGTCGCTTACAGTCTTTCTGGTCTCGCTACCGGTGCGCCCACCGCAGCCCATCTTGCGTACCATGCGGCCCCTGTTGTGGCAGCGGAAGTTGCGACCGCCGCCGCGGGAGGGAACGCTGCGGCCGTCGCCGCGGTCTCGGCCGGCTGCAGCATTCAGTGATATATTGCGCAATCGAATCGCGCTCCGAGCCGGGACGTTCGGCCTTTCCTTCCCTAACTATTCCATGATCATTCAGTAAATACACTAGGCCTTAGGATCATCACGATCTAGAAGAACACCTTCTTCTCCCCCACGCCCGCCTTGGGCATGGCCTTGGACGAGTCCTCGTCCGAGAAGCCGAGGTTGATCGTGCCCTTCTTCGCCAGACCTAAGGCCTCTTGGCGCAGCACGGCCATCTCGACGGCCGTCTTGCCCCACGACTCGCCGTGGTTCTCGCCCGCGTAACTTCTCTTGGCCGCCTGATCCTCGTCGAGGACGGTCAGCACGCCGAAGGCGCAGGGCACGCTCGTCTGGAGCTGGACGGACATGAGGCCCGACGCGACGGCCTCGGCGATGTGCTCGAAGTGGAGCGTGTCGCCCTTGATGAGGCAGCCCACACACACAATCGCGTCGACGCGGCCCGATAAAGCCAAAAAGCGCGCCGCGCTCGGTAATTCCCAGGCGCCCGGCACCTGCGTCTCGAAGATGTTCTCCTTGCTCACCTTGGCGTCGAGGCAGGCCTGCTTCGCGCCGTCCGCCAGCGCGTTGACGATCTTCGGGTTCCACTTCGTCTTGATGATGCCGATGCGCGCGCTCGTGCCGTCCAGGTCCTTGAAGGACACCTCGGTGACGGCGTTGGCGTCGTGCACGCGCGTGAGCGCCCGTCGCTGGGGCATGGCTTTGAGGAGGCCGTCGGCCGCGGCGAAGAGCAGGGCCAGCGAGGAGAGCAACCTAGCCATGTTTAAAAGCGGGCGGCTGGTGGCGTGAAACGCGTACGGCTTTGCGCGGGGCTGGCGGCGTCGAACGCGTCGCGTACGGCTGCAATGCACCGAAGGTCGTTGCGCGTGCTGCAGACGGCCAGCTGGTTTGGAGCGGGTGTTGGCGCTAGTGCCTTACGACCGCTAGCTACGATTAATTTTGCTCGGACCGCGCTATTTTGATCGCAGCGGGACATCCTGGGCTCGTCAGAGATCTAGAATTGCACATCAGCAACCGCTGCCCAAGCCTCAGCTCCCAAAACTGCCGTAAAAGTACTCTGCCAAAAAAAGATGGCAGACCCGGCACCCGCTGCGGCCGACGCGGACCCCTTCGGGGAGGACCTGGGCTTCACGGCCGGCGACGCGCCCTTCGCGAAGCTGGCCTCCTTCACGGCCGACGACGACGAGGACGAGGAGCCGGCCGCCGAGGCGCCGCCGGCGCCGGCGCCGGCCAAGGCACCGGAAGAGCCGCCCAAAGAACCGGAACAACTCCTCGCCTCCGTCGCGCTCGAGCCCCCAACACCGCCGGCGCCCGTCGTCGTCTCGACCGAAGACCTCGCGGCCATGGCACCACAGCCAGTGCCTTCACCCGAGCCGGTCGCGAAGCCGCCGCAGCCGGACCCGGCGCGGACCGAGGCGTTGCAGGCCGCGCGCCAGGCCGAGATTCGGAGGAGACGGCTCTTCGGCGCCGAGTTGGTGGGAGAACATTCTAGGTATGCGGCGCTCGACCGACTGCTGGGCCGCGGCGTCGTCGAGTGCGGCTCACTAAGGCTATTAGTCGCCAGAACCGTGGAGAGCGAAGCAAGGAGCGCGGCGGGCTGCGTGGCCTTCGCGCGGTTCCCCGCGGACGCGCGCCAGGAGTTGGGGGCCGAGCCCGCGGCCTCGGTGAGCGCGCAGAATGAGACGACGACGTACGGCGTGGCGCGTTTACTCGCGGCGCGCGTCGCGAGCGAGGCCGACGCGCACGAGCAACACGCATTGAAACTGCGGAGCGAGTGCCTCGGGCCCCTCGTCGAGCTTGAGAGGAGGTTGCGGGCGACGCATCGCGACCTGAGGATGAGGGGCGGCACGGCCCTGTCTAGGGCTCGGGAAGCAGCTAGAGGCGTCGAGCGGTTGTACGACCAGGTTGTAAATGCAGGGTCGAAGGGGGACGTCTGGCTCGCCACGGTGCAGTACACGGCCGGTTCGGCAATACTAGCGCGGACGTGGGCCGATGCGAAAGCCTCCTTAGATTCATTATTTGCGACGGCCGCGGCGACCGAGACGGAGCGCCGGTCTTTGGAGAGAAGGTGCCTCAAGGCCTTCCTGGCCGCGCGGCGCGAGTGCCTCGCTACCATTGACAAACTCGCGGCGCCGGATTTAGCCGCGGCAGAAAATGCCCAGGACTCGCGGGACGTCGCGGCCGAGGTCGAAGTGTCCATCAAGGCCGAAGTGAAACGCGTCGCCGAGCGCAACCAGCGGAGAAGACCCGCGCCGCAGACGCCGTTGCCAGAACCCGCTGAACCACTGGAACCTCTGGCGTCTCCATTGGTGAAATGTTCATTACTAGGAGAACGCAAAACCAAATTGACGCGGTGGCGGCCGGCCTTGGTGGTTGCGACGGCCGATCGACGCGTCCACGTCTACGAGGGCTTCTCCTCAAGTCCGGATTTGACCGCGGCGGCGGCGCTGAGTGGACTAGTGCCGTCTTCCGACGAGTGCCTGCGCGGGGCAGCCCCGCCTTCCAAAATGCCTTCTTCGGTCTCTGAGGCCCAAACCTCGGTCCAGAACTTCTTCGCCGGGGCGCCGGCGCCGCTCGCGCCCTCCACCACACTGGATGTGCGGGCGACGCGCGCCGTCGCCGTCGACGCCAACACCTTAGAGTTACTGGAGGCGGCGCCGGCGACGGGCGCCGCGGCGATCTTCTCGAAGACAGTTGAAAGGAAGGTGCAGCTGCGCTTCGCTACTTCTGACGCGGCGCAGGAGCTGCTCGCGTGCCTGCGGGCGCGGTGATTTGGCCTAAGTTGGATATTATGTGCTTTTGCTTTTCTTTTTTCGGTACTGGAGGACTCGTGGGCGGCGCCCCTGGGCGACGAAAGTCGCCGAGTCATCCGAGGGGTAAGCGCATTTCCTAGTGTCTTACGGTCGCTAGCTGCAGTTGTAATCGCGCGAAAAAGCGCTTTGGTGTCACAGCGATTGCACCCTGCTCGGATTACTTGCAAATTTCTTTTTGCTTGCTGCGCTGCCGCTGTGGAACGGTTGTGGCATCGCTGCGCCGCTTAGTGGAGCCGCACTGCAAAGCGTCTCAAAACCACTGCATTCTAAGTTGGCGCACGACCGAGCAGCAAGCGACGATGGCCGCCTACGGCTCCACAAATTTAACAGTAGAGACGCGGTCGCCGCCGCGGGACCAGCAAAAAAGACCCTCGATCACGACGCACTCGCCCGGCGCCACCACTATTGTATATGACGAGGAAGCGGCGCCGCCGCCGTCGCCGACGGACCAGGCCGAAGCGAGAGTGATGCGTCGTTCTCTTGAAGCCAACGTCGTGCTGACCGTGGCCAAGGTCGCCGTCGCGTTCCAGAGCGGCTCCCTCGCCGTATTGGCGTCGTTGATAGACAGCGCCCTGGACTTGATCTCGCAAATCGTGCTATTTGCGGCGTCCGCGCGACGAAAAGACCGGGATGTCGAGTATCCGGCCGGAAGGGCGCGGCTGGAACCTGTTGGGGTCGTGGTGTGCGCGATGCTCATGGGTGTGGGTAGTGTGTATGTCATCATCACCTCTACCGAGCAATTGACGGACATCGTCAAGGGCAAGAACGTGCACGTGGCCCTGGATCGTATCAATGGTACCATTATGGTCCTCGCGATCGTCTGGAAAGCATTACTCTATGCCTGGATTTCAAAAAGGCATAGTGCGCTGTCCGCCTCAAATCCGGGCGTCGCCGCCGTCGCTCTGGATCATTTCAACGACGTCCTGTCCAATTTAGTCGCGGTGATCGCCGCGGTACTAGCGGCCTGGTACGGCCTCGACGCCGCGGATCCAGCAGGAGCCATCGCCATCTCGTTGTACATCGCCTACTCGTGGCTCGAAACCAGCATCGAGCAGGTGCAGCATCTGGTGGGCCGGACGGCCGATCCCGAATTCCTCGAAGAATTACGGGAAGCGGCCTCGACGTACTCCGAGAGGATGCAGTGCGACATCGTGAGAGCGTACCACTTCGGGCCGCGCTACCTCGTGGAGCTGGAGATGGTCATGGAGTCTTCTACGCCTTTACGCGTGTCGCACGATTTGGCTTTGGACCTCCAGCAAAAGATCGAGGCCTTCGACGACGTGGAACGGTGCTTCGTCCACGTCGACTACGACTTCCGGGACGTCGACGAGCACGACCCGGCGTCGTGGTCTCCCAAAATCAATGCAGACAGGAAAGTGCCTAACTTAGTTTAACAGTTTTACTCACGAGTAGTCGTACCCCAGCGCTACGCCGCAGCACACCAGCCCGCCGACGGCCAGCCCCGCGCCCTGGGCGAGGTTCACGGTCCGCGCCGCGGCGACGGCGTCGTCGAGCCGTCGTACCAACAACAGCGGGCCCTGGATCAGCACGCCGCCCACGATGGCGTAGATACAAAAGCCGACCGCTATATATACATCGAAGCCTGCCGGCAAATCACTGGAAAAAAACAACGCGGGCAGCACCAACGTACGTATAGCGCAGCCTATTATAAGAGCGTACTCCGACGGCACGGCGAAGCAGGAGACGACGCCGCGCGATAACACATTCCCGGAGTTGAAGGCCACGTACAGCACCGACGCCAAGTCGCTGTACCCTGACATCGCGGCTAGGGCGATCACGGAACACGCCATCGCGAAGAACTCAATCCCGCACAAGTTGACGAGGGTCGGCCGCTCGCCCTCCTCGCGCCGTCTCGGTTCATGAGAGACCACATTTAAAGCGATGACCACATCATTGTCCGAGAGCAATACTAACGAACAGAGTAACCCGACCGCGGGAAACGACACCCCATAAAGGAACGCGGACGAGCCCATGCCGAGATATATCACGAAGAACGACGCGAGGAAGGACACCTGCATGCCCAGGCCCTGCGAGACCTGGCCGCCGGTCTGTGCGGCAATGGCGTTCAGCGTTCCGTTGGCCGTCCACGCCCCAAACCCGATCAACGCCGAGCACGCGTATAGTGTTGATGAGCTGGGCCAATCTGTTGATGCTCCCAGTAGGACACAAGCGACACCTTGCACGATGCATGATATCACTAACCGGAAGACCGAGGCCGTCCGCAGACCATATTGTATGTCAAAAGCGGCGTCGGCGGCGTACTGCGCCGCCGTCATGGGTAGTGCGCTTACAAAAATGAAGCCCACGACGTAGACGTAGGCCGTGTCACTATATGCAGATGTGATCGCGGACACCAGTGCTAGCAAAGCAGCCGCGGGCGCGATCGTCGTAAACGCAATGGCAAAAAATAGAACCTCTACCAGTAAGGAGGTAGGCGCCTCGGTGGGCAGGAGGGCCGCCTCCTCGTCCTTCTTGGTGCGGAATTGGAGCATGCTGCTGCGTCGAGGCTCTCGACCAGAGATGGCCTCCAGTGCAGGCGGTGGCTATCGATCAGTGATGGGCTGCTGCAGGCGCCAGGGGCAGCCTCCCACTGGCAACGCGCGCCTTCTCGAAGAGTGTCGTGTCCGCGTCCTCCGTTTGGGCAGTGGGGCAGTGAGCCACGATCGATGGCAGACGGCCTGGGAGAAATGAGAGGTTCTAACCCCGCACGGTACTCGGTACGGCTCCGGCGCGCGGCGGAGGGTTGCGTATGGGTCGTAAAGAGCACGGTGCGCTCGCAAAACTCAGCTGACCTAGCGGCGTAAGACACTAGCAAGCCGAGGTAGAGGACGCGACGCCGCCGCAAAATTCGCCACAAGTGGCGCGTATAGCACCGCGCGCTCCTACACGTGTGTCTAATCGCTGCGGCAACCGCTGCGCGGGGACGCCGCGCCGCATTCAGCGCCGAGGCAAGCACTCGCATCACTGCTGCAGCACACCCAAGACGCCGCATCACACGCGCACCGATGGCCGCCGCCCCGCGCCGCGACGTCCACGTCACGCAATGGGTCGCCCGCCCCGCCTTAGGTTCCAGGCACGAGGAGATGGGTTTACTAGGCGTCGCGAAAGTAGTCTTGCGAATACTTCTCGTCTTAGGAGCGACCGCATCAGCACTCGTAGCCGCATGTGTGATAAAGTGCTTGGTGTTTCCCATCGACAAGGTCATAGGGAGGGCCTGGCTCGACCGGTACGTCGTGGCCGCGTGGGCGGACGCGGTTATCGGCGGTCCGATACTACCGCGGGGGCCCGCACTCAAGCTGTCCGGAGAGCTCCCGGCACCTGAACGACGCGCTGGTATTCTCATAGCGAACCATCAGTTGGACACGGACTGGTTCTACTTGTGGGACGTGTGTCGAGTTGTGGGCGCGCACGGCGCATTGAAGATTGTTATGCTCGACGACATGCGGACCGTACCTCTGGTGGGCTGGATCGCGCGGTTAGTTGGTTTTATCTTCGTGTCTCGGAGGAAGCGGCACGCGCGACCGCAGAATGATGTGGAAGAAATACAGAGAGGTGTAAGTGAAATAGCGGAAGGCCAGGCGCCGTCCCTGATCTTATTGTTCCCGGAGGGGACGACGGTGAACGAGGAGGCGAAGCGGAAATCGGACCAGTACGCTTCGTCGAAGGAGCGGCCTAGACATGAACTACTACTAGCACCTCGGACGGCCGGCTTCGTCGCGGCGTGTCGGGGCTATGTCGCGAGAGGTGTACCTCTAGACGACATCATAGTCTACGACGCAACCATGGCCTACGCGGGCTACCGAGGCGAAGTGCCGGCCTGGGACCTGGGCTTCGAGCGGAACGACGACGTAGATTTACCGAACGCCGCAAAATTGTTCAAGGGGGCCCACGGCGACCATGTCCGCGTCCATGTGAACGCGTACCGGGCGTCGGAGATCTTCGAGGACGACATTCGGGAAAATGGCGATCAGAAAGCGACAAAGTGGCTCGACGCAAGGTGGGTCGAAAAAAACGCGCGGATGAAGGCTTTTGCGACGACTGGTGATTTTGAGGCGAGTGATGTCGGAGAAACGGTCCTCCTCAAGCAGCCGGCCATGCTGTTGCCCTTCGCGTTGTTGACGGCGGGCTGGCTCGGTAGTTTATCATTTGCGGCGTTCGTCGCGTTCCTGGCTTTCCTGGTACTCTTACCGGTGCTGCTCATAACCATGTGCGGGGCCTTCGCTTGTTGCTTAGTTGTGGTTCCTTGCATCGGTCTAGGTTTGTGCGCCTTGGGGCCGTTAGCGGCAGCAAAGCGCATGTACGAGCACGATCGACGCGTCGCGTCGCCATTACTACGGCGGCCCTCAGATAAATTTGATGATGATGGCGACGAGCCCGTCGTCGTGCAGCAGTGAGCGTGGGTGTCGGTGTGTTGATTTATGTATTTTGAGGCGCTGAGGACGAAAGTGAGCTTTCCTGGGGGTATGAGAGGGCGCCAGAGGGCATGCCCGGCTCACTACCGGGGGTGACCCCTCTCGCACGCGATGCTTTGAGAATGAAGCCTACGAAGCGCCTTTGTTTTTTTCCGTTTGCGACCGACGCGTCGCTCGTTGGCTCTGACGCGCGCCGTCCCGCCGCAGGTCAAAGTCCGACCCGTGGGTCTTCGACGACGAGGGCGAGGACTCGGCCGACACGCCGCTGGACAACGGGAGTGGGACGCCGGAGCCCGCGACGCCCGCGTGAGGCTAGGATGGCGTCGTCTGGTTCGCTTCTGCTCGGTCCCATGACGGCGCTTGGGCTTGTGCCGCTCCTGCGCCTGACGACCGGGCGGGACCGGCCTCCCTCTGGACATAGATACTGTAGTAATTCGTTTTTTAGTACCAACGTGCGGGGCGCCGCCTCCAACTGGGCAGACGATCGGTACCACTTGTAGTAAGTTAAAGCAAACGTTTTTACTGTCCTAGGGTCAGAGAGGAATCCGTAGTACGAGGGTTGGAAAGACCATGTGAAAGTGAGTGGGGTGATCAAGTGTGACGCTCACTGCTCGATCGGCGGAAGGCCGAGGTTGGCCCGATAAATCTCAAGCATTCTCCGTCGGCTCCGAAGTGGGCTCGGCGGTCACGAAAGCCCAGAAGCGCGCGCCAAATCCGCTGCGCTCGGGCTCGTGCGGAATCGCGTCCGCCACGCTAGGTCGTCTCTCGAGCTCGCCCAAAAGCACGGGCCGCCTGCAAAACGGACACGGGGCTCGATTCGTCGGCGGGTTCGTCCGACACACTTCCGTGATGCACCTCCGGCAGAAGCTGTGGTTGCACTTCGTCCACGCGCGTTCGATGTACGGTCCGAGGCAGATAGAGCACTGGACGTCCGACTGCTGCCGTTGGGGGCGCGGCGGCCCGAGCGGTAGTGGTCGGGCTTGCGCGTCGACAGGAGATTTCCGAGTTCTTCTCTGCATCAAGCCGATATTACATAATAACAGTAACGCCTGGAAGAAGAGCCCGCCGATGAGCCAATCGCACCACTCCCCGCGCCACGCGTCCTGCCAGCGTCCCCAGTATTCTTCGCACTTGGTCTGGCTCGTGAAGAGCGGCCGGCAGTCACCCGTTTCTTTTGCCTCCTCCCACCGGCTTATCTGTTCTTCACCTCCTTTCGCACCGAACGAGCCATTTGTTTCCTCCTTGGAGGGTTCTTGTGGGAGTCCGCACCCGTTCAGGCGTCTTCTCCTTCCCCAACCCCAGTATTTGCCAGAATCTTCCGCTGCCGGGAAGTACCTGGCGCCCCTCTCGGACCACCAATAGCCGTCGGCGGACAGGTCCACGCAGGATATCTCGTCGGAGCAGTCGTCGCACTCGATGCGCCCGTCGGAGCGCAGACCCCCCTCTTGGCAGGAGCCCGCCCAGGGCTCGCACGTCGGATCCGGAGTCAGCGACGTCACGCGGTGCGTTTTCATGGCGAGCAGGACGATGGCCACGACCAGGAGGAGCAGTCCTAGTACATATATCAAGAGAGCGGCGCGCATGAGACAACGGTCTTCTTTTTGCGCGCTTGTGAACGCTAAAGCGAACGCGACCATGAGGAGGAAGAGCACGCAGCCCGAGGCAACGTCGGCGAGAACAAACCCGATGATGGAGAAGCTGAAGAGGTAGAAGCACAAGTGCACGCAGTCGAACTGCTCGACGCCTTGAACGACGGCACAAATGCGTCGCTCGGGCAGCCCCTCCTCGCTCGGCAGCTCCTCCTCGCTCGGCCGCCCCTCCTCGCGCGGCAGCTCCTCGCTCATCGTTGTCTAATGCGTAGCGGCAGCGCGGTGGTCTTGATTGGCCAAACGCGGTCGACGTAGAGCCCTTCCCGAGTCAAGCTGCCAAATTCATTGTGCTAGTGTAGTACATACTAGCAAGGCGGCGAGCGCAAAGAGCTGCTGTTTTTGACATGTGTCCTCGCGTCTCGGGCATCGCCTCCCTTTTGAATCAGCTCAGGTCGCCCCCTACGTGGACCCGCGCGACGTTGTAATGTGGGCGCACTCTTGCGGCTACCACCGCCACACCTTGCGGTCTTACGGGGGCCTCGTGAGAGGAGATCGGCGTCAAGGTGGGACGACGAAGGGTCTTAATTGGTTTGCCGACTCGGACTCGGACGACGAGTTGGAGGAGGACACGTTCGGACGACTCGACTCGGACGACGAGTAGGCTGGTTGAAGGAGGTTAAGTTTAGTAACATATCCACAATATTCTTTACATTTCTCGGCTGGCGTCTTCTCGGCTGGCGTCGGCGCCGCGGGTCGTAGAGTACCGACGCTTCGACTTCGACCGACTCCGTTCTGATGTCTCGGATCTTCACGGATCTTCGCGGGCTAAAAATTTCAATTGCAACAACTAGTACATTCAAAGGCTTTAGTCCGCGACGTAGTCGGGCGCGCGCTCCATAAAGAATAAATAGGCATCCTTCGCTTCGCCCGCGTTCTTATCGACGAGCCCTGCCTCGCGGACGATTGATCTACCGCCGTCCACGCCGGCGCGCACGACGCGGCACGACGCGTCGGTGTAACTCAGACACCACGTGCGCTCGACGCCCGGCGGGAATTGCTTTTCAAAAATTTGATTGCCAAACAACACGAGTCTGATGCTGCGAAATGTCACGCGCAGCTCCTCGTTCGAGCCCGCGAACGTCGCTTCCAGGGTGACGCGGGCGTTGCCGCCGAACAAGCGCAATTCGTTCGCGTAGCGCCGCTTCGCGACGTCGACGATCTGCAAGCCGTCGCCGCGCAGCGGGCCCAGCGCGCCGTTGCTCGGAGACGGCGCGTTACTATATACGACACGCCACGCCCCGTCCAGCGCCTCGAGCGGCGGCTTCGTTGTGCTCTGTTCAAGTTCGAGGCACTTCGCGTCGACGGCGGCGGCCACGTCTGCAGGCACGCCCAGCGCCGGTGCGCCGTACGGCGCGAGCAATCCGTTTACGTCGGACTGCAGTGCCTCTGCGGCTGGCGTCGCGACGGGTGCCGCAAGTCGAACTGACATCAATCTTGGGTACCGCTGCGATGCCAGCAAGCTAGTTGCGACGGGTAGCGCTACGAGAGGGTACAATCTAGGGTGCAGCCGCTTGGCTCCCGGCTGCGCCAGCGTGCTCGATCTCTTCTCAGCTGGTGCACGACGGCGAGAGAGCACGCAGTCCGCACTCTGAGCACAAATGCTGCCAAACTAGTCGCAGCCAAAATGATCAGCTAGCGTAATATAAAACACTAGCAAGCTGCCCGGCCAACGGGTGAGGGCGGCGCTGCGAGCTCCGAGGCAGCTGGGGCAGCCTTCACACGTGACGGAAGCACCAAGCAAGCCACGGAGCCCGTAGACGCCGCGCCGAACGATGCCCGTGGTCCGCCTGCCGGCCACGCCGGACGGCGGGCAGCCCCCGCGCCTGCGGCCCGAGGACATCGCCGAGATCCCTCCCTTTAGACCGAGCTTCAAGCCCGAGGACCTCGCCGAGATCCCGCCTTTCCGCGGTGCTTTAGATGAGATCCCGCCGTGGCAGCCGCCCGTGACGACGAGTCCGGTTTCGAGCAACCCGGAGGGCCCCGACTTCATCGATGATGATGCGAGCTACGACGACGCGCCCGTCACAAATGATGCGGGCACGGAGTACTGTGTGCTCTGCGCGCGCGCCGTCGAATATTCCGCGGACGGCAAGCATGCGGAGGCGGCAACACAGATGGACGCGGCGCTGGCGACGGGCCTGGCGTCCGAGGACCCGGTCATGCTCACGACGGCGCGCGTCGACGGAGACCGGGCCTACTTCGGCGCCGGTCTCCTGAGTGAGGGGGTCGAAGTGGTGGAGGGCGACAGTTTACTGCATCTATTGCTGCGGAACGAGGCGGCCGTGGACACGGTCAACGCTTGTTTAAAAGGTGGCGCCGACGTGCGCGCCGTCAACGCGCGGGGCGAGCACTGCGTCGGTTTGGCCCGCAAGGCGCGCGCTAAAGCCGGCCAGCGCCGCGGCAGCTCCGAGACGGCCACGGCAGAGGCCGCCGCACGTAGGGAAGTTGCGGCGCAGGTCGCGCAGCTCGTCGACAAGAAGGCCGCGCAGGGCGGCGCGCCGCCGCGGATCTCGATGGGCACGCCCCAAAAAAGTGGGCCGTCGACGCCCAAGTCGCCCGGCCGGCGGCTCGCGACGACACCGAACAGGAAGGGCGCGCCGTCGCCCGTCTCGGCCGCCCGCGAGGTCGACTGCTGGCGGCGCGTCGCCGCGCGCGCGACCGAGGCCGCGGACGCCGTCGAGGCCAAGGTGCGGGGCTTCGTCGTCGAGGGCGACCCGGACCAAATGGGCGAGCGGGCCGTGACGGCGACGCGGACGACGCTGGCCGAGGCCCTCGCGTGTCGAGGAGAGACGTCGTCCGACGCGGAGTTGTACGCGCGGGATTTGCAAAGGTTGCGCGACGACTGCCGCATCTCGCAAACCGCCGAGGGCGAGGCGCGGTCTTTGTACGTCGAGCTCGAGGCGGCCCACGAGGAGTTGCTGGTGCGAGCCCAGGAGACGGAGGCCGAGTGCCGGCGGTGGCGTGCTGTGTGGAAATCAACCACGGCGACAACGTCGCGTCGATGGCGTGGGGCGTCCGAAATTTGATTTCCACACAGGTGGCGCGAAGGCGACGAGCGGAAACGGCACCGCCGCGAGCGCGAGCGCCTCGAGAACGAGCGCGACGCGCTGCGGGACGAGAACGACGCGCTGCGGGCCGAGATGGCGAAATGGCGCGCGTGGGTGAAAGAGCGCGGCGACACGCTCGAGGCCTACGGGCGGCGCGCGGTCCAGGCCGAGCTCGACCAAGCACGCGCTCGCCTGAACAAAGTACTAAAAATGACGGAGGCGCTCCAGGCGAAGAACGTCCAGAAAGCGCAGGAGCTTGGCTTGGCGAAGCGGCGGCCCCAGAGCGCGCGGCCTCGGCCCCAGAGCGCGGGGCCGGCGCGCAAGGCCGTCGCGATGAGCGCGTCGCTTGCGCAACTACCGGCCGTATGACTTAAGTGTTACTCTCGAGCGTCTACGTCGCCCGCATGACGATCCAGTAGATGAGGTAGGCGAGCGACGCCGCGCAGACCGCGAACCAGCCGACGCAACAGAGCACTCCCAACGGGTCGTTCTTAATGTCGTAGCCGATCTCCTTGCACGTCGGGCAATCGTTGCGCGGCCGCAGGCACGGCATCGTGCGCTTGCAGATCCGCGCGACGCAACAGCCCGGATCCTCAACATCTTCATTATCAACGAGCCGCGTCGTCTCCGTGACGGACGTCGGCGTTTCCGTGGGCGGCATCGGGTTGTGCGTCGTCCGCGGTTCGGCCATCATCGTGGTTTTCTGGCGCGGGCCCCGCCGCGGAGTTTCAGGACGAGTTTTCGCCCAGCTCTTGTGTCCCTTCTGTCACGCGCACGAGAGCCGCGCCGCGGGCAATTTAGCTTTTGCCTCTGTTCCAAGGTTGGAACCTATTTTTCGCGGCTTGCGCGAGCAATTCGCGGTCGTGGGTCGAAAGGAATACGATCAGAGAGCGCGTAAGTCCGCGAACTGCGCTATTGGATGGCCAGCAGTGCAGCGCAGGCCGCAAAAATTGCACCTGGAAACCTGTTTTAAGTTGGGCGGCTGAGATTCATAGAATTCTTCCGAGAGACGTATGCTTTCGTTACGACTCCTGCCGACGCCGAAGGGCGAGGTCGGCAGAGCTTTGATTGACAGCTTGCAAGTGAGAGCATTGGCTTTTTTTGGCCGCATAGGTGGCCCACGAACAAAGGAGCGCTGCGCAGCAGCCTTACTGCCAGATAGGGTGTCGGTGCGCACTCAATTTTCAGCATTGCACACTGAACAGACGACTTGGGCACACTGGGCACATCTCAGCAGGACAGCCCCACGCCATCAACGCGATACACGTTCGAACAACGATGCGCCTGCTCTTGCTGCTCGTCGCGACGAGCGTGCATGCAGTAAAGGAGCGGAGCACCGGCTTCGACTTCCCCAAAAAAAACAAGCTCGGCGCGCTGCGAGGCTTAGGCGTGCGCACGAAGGGCCCCATCAAGGTCTACGCGGTCGGCCGCTACGACAAAGGATTCTTACTAAAAATGAAGATGGGCGTCGGCGCGGAAAAAATGTCTAATGCGCTCGTCGATGCGGTCAAGCCGCGCTGCTCCGATAATGCGGCCGTCGACCAGTTCAAGGAGTTGATGGTGAGCGGGTTGCCCGACGGCTGCAAGAAGGGCATGGAGCTCGGCTTCGACACGTCGGGCGGGAAGCTCGGGCTCACCGTGAACGGGCGGGGCCGGGGGAGCGTGTCCTCCAGAAAGCTGTGCGGCGCCTTCGAGGGCGTCTACACGGACTCGAAGGCCGTCTGCAAGCTCAACGCCGTCGAGGACGAGTAAATTTCGATTCTAGTGTCTTTAGACCGCTAGCTAATATCCTTGAAAGCAAAACACGCAACGGCGTTAATCTCGCGTTCTGAACACGTAAAGTCAACCTAGAGAGTGTGTACAACAGCCCATACAATGGCTGCACAACACGCAGACCCAAAATCCGCGCTGCCGCAGCGTCCGCCGACGCGGTACCAGCGCCGAAGCGCAGCCGAGCGTTCGTTCGCCCTGAACGCCGTGCCGGAGCCGCCCGAAGAGCCGCCGCTTCAGACTTTGCCGCGCGACCTCCTCCGCGCCCACGTCTTCGAAGCACTGTCGCTCTGGGATTTAGGAAGACTCGGCTGCGCGGCGTCGTGGCTGGCCGAGACCGTGTTCGACGACCAGAAGGCCTGGGAGCGGCGCAACGGCCTGCTCGTCGGGGGCCTGCAGTGCATGCACGGCGGCGTCCTCGGGGCGACGCGCGCGGGCCGCGTCGCGGAGCGGTGCTGGACCGGGATCATGTCGGCGGCCATGGAGGCGCCGCGGTCCACCACAACAACACCCTACTGCGCGGCGTCCTGGGTCGCCGTCAACGTCGAGGCGCGGCGGCGCGCCGAGGCGGCGGCGGTGGCCGCGCGGCACGGCGCGCCGTGCGCGCTCCCTCCCCAAGGCGCGCGCGCGCGCGCCGCGTCCATCGACGCCGAGGCCTCTCTGGATGGATTCCTCGAGGACGCCTACGCGTTGGCCGCTTTAGCGACGCCGTCGGAGCTGACGCAGCTTATTGCCGAGGCCGGCGGCACGGCGCGGGCCGTGAGCCTCGTCGCGACGTTCCTGCGCGTCGTCGACGGCCACCAGCTGGGCCTGGGCACGGGCGTCGACGCGCTCGCGCCCGTCGCCCGGGACGCGAAGCTGCGGGAGGCGCTCCGCGCGGCGGCCGCGGCGGACAACGGCTACGACTACCGCTGCGTGGTCTGGGACCTCGGGGGCCTGCAGCTCTACCGCCTGCGCGACGCCGTCCGGTGGTCGGAGAGCAGCCCGCGGTGCGTCGCGAGCGGCGCCCTCTTCTTCCTCGAGCGGGACGCGTTCGTTCCGGCGCGCCACGTGATGCAGGCCGCGAACACGGGCTTCCTCGAGCAAATCCATTACCAGAACCAGCTCAAGGTCGCGGCCGCGGCGGCGGGGCGGTTCGTCGGCTTCCTCGAGGACAACTTCGGGCGGACGCTGCCGGCCGGCGTGCGGAAGCCGGTGTTCCAGGTGCGGGTAACGACATAGTTTTCCACATACTTACGCACTCCCCGACGGCGTCTCGCGGGTGGTGAGCGCGTCTCTCAACTTTCGAAGGGAGTCCTCAACCCCCGTTGTGAACGGGTGCGCGCCACCAAGTACGCGTCGCGCGATACGTTCAACGTCCTCGAACGTCGTCACGGCCTCGCGTAGTTCGGGGAGCGTGGCGGCGGCGTTGCAGCAGAGCGACTGCGCGTAATTACACCTCAAATGAAGCGTGATCTGATTACTCTCTCCGAGAACGCGCCGCGCCGCGGGTATCGATTTGCGCAATAGCTTCTTGGCTTGTTGGAAGCGCTTGAGTCCAATAAGGGATGACACGTAGTTGCTGGCCGCTTGGAGGGTTCTACCATGTTCTTTGCCATGGAGTTTCAAGGTTCTAGAGTATACCTCTTGCCGCAGGGACAGGGCCTCTTCGGATCGGTCGAGCGATTGATACGTTTTTGCAAGATTGGATTTAACAGTGAGCATGTGATTCGCGTTCTCTGATGTGCCAACGCGCCGCCCCGTAGCCAACTCGGCCTCTTGCACGACCAATGCGTCCTCGTAGTGACCTCCGGCGGATAAGCCCTTCCCTAGTAAGCATAAAGCCAATTGCCGAGTTGGGTCCATCTCAGGCCGACCCACAAACGTCTTCCAGCAGGCCCACCCGAGGGCACACCGCACAACGCTGTGGTAACTTTGCTCGCACAAGCTACACTGGGTCCACCGATCCCACCTCGGCTGCATCGCCTCGTAGTCCAAATTGTTCTCCTCACCCTCGGCGACCAAAATCTTCGCCTGCTCCACCAGACACGACACGTGCACAACGCCTGCCGTCCCGCGGCACGAGCACCCGCGCACGAGGCCCTCCTTCGTTTTCCAATGGAGCGCCTGCGTGCAGATGAAGCACGTCTGGCCCTTCGTGTCGTCGGCGTACTTCTCGGCCGCGACCGCGACGGCCTCCTTGTATTTTTTTTCGGCGTGGTATTCTTCGGCGCCGCCGCCCTTTTTTATCATCTTGCAGAGCTTGTCATGGCCGCCTGCCTCCCAGTGTTGTTTCTGGCAGGCCGGCCCGCAGTAGCGTGTACTGCAGCGGCCGCACCTCTTTCCGCCGGTGCCAAGCTCGGTAGCGCAGACGGCGCACTGCGTGAGGATCATCTCGAGCCCAATGCGTCGTTGGAAAGGGCAGCGCGTACAGAGATTATTGAGAGGCCACACAGGGAGATGACCCTGGCGTCCCCGTCGAGCTCCGGACGTCCCTGGCTTTCGGAAGACGTCTGCCGCGGGGGCACTGAGTACAAGGGACCATCTGGAAGGCTGCGTTTTTCGGCGCTAGTGTCTCTCCATGTACGCTAGGTGACTTCATTTTTATGGCGAGCGAGGCTATTTTGCCCGTGTAAAGAGCTGCTGCGGGCCAACCAGTGGTCGCCAGCTCACGCGCGCAGCCATAAATTTAGAGTCGCGCGCCGAGACGCGGCGCCGGCGACCAGCGACGCGCAGCGAGCTCCCTCGCTAGCATCATGGCTAACCAGTACTTTTACGTGCGCACCCGGCGTCCGGCCCAAAAACGCGCGCCGGAGCGCTGTCTGAGAGATGATACGTGGACGCGCGTCGGCACAGCGGTCGGCGGCGCGCACGGCTGGGGCGCGGCGCCGCGGGAGAGCCCTCTCGGCGACGACGCGTGAGCGGTGAGAGCCCCGCACCGCCACGCCATCGAGCCGACGTCGCGCAACGTAGCACACACACACACACACACCGCTCACCCTTTCCTCACACAGAAACCCGAGAATGCCCTGAAGCGCGCGAACGAGCTCTCGGCCATCGGCAACGAGAAAGGAGCTTTACAAGTGCTCCATGACGTCCTCACGGCGAAGAAGTCGCGGACCTGGGTCAAGGTCCTCGAGTCGATCATGCTGAAGTACATCGACATTGCGGTCGATCTGAAGCTCCACCGCCACGCGAAGGACGGCTTACATCAGTACCGGAACATTTCCCAGCAGCAAGCGCCGCAATCGCTCGAAGCGATCATCCAGCACCTCCTCAAAGCAGGAGAGTCGAGGGTCGCCAAGGCCGCGAAGGAAGCGCGGTCCATGAATCTCGGCAAGGGCAAAGCTGTGGCGGACTTGGAGTGCGAGCAGACGCCGGAAGCGATCATGTTGTCGACGATGACTGATGAGGGCGACGGGGATCGTTCAGAACGAGAGGTGCTCGTTCCTTGGCTCAAATTTTTGTGGGAGACGTATAGATCGGTCCTAGACATTTTGAAGACGAACTCCAAGCTAGAGAAGGTCTACCACCAGACGGCGCAGCGAGCCTTTGAATTTTGCGTCCAGCACGAGCGCAAAACCGAGATGCGGCGGTTGTGCGAGACGTTGCGGCACCACCTGTCGAACCTGCAACGAGCCACGGCGCAAGGCAACACGAATCGCCTGCGAGGCTGGGAGGGCTGGACCCAAGAAGGTATTGAGTTACATTTAGCTACTCGCTTCGCGCAACTCGAAGCCGCGTCCGCCCAGGAGCTCTGGACCGAGGGTTTCAGAACGGTGGAGGACATCCACCAGGTCATGCGCATCTCGAAAAAACCGCCGAAGGCCAAGCTCATGGCGAAATACTACGAGCGACTCACGAAGATCTTCTGGGTGAGCGGCAACTACTTGTTCCACGCCTACGCCTGGTGGCGCCACGCCCAATTAGCTAAGGAAAGCCAGAAGCGGCCGCCGCCCGTGGAAGATCAAATCCAGATGGCCTGTTCCGTTTTACTCTCAGCCTTGGCCATCCCCGACGCGTCCGACGGCGCGCCCGACGAGCAAGGTTTAGGACAGTCGGGTGATCCCGACGACGTCGACGCCGAGAAGATGGCGCGGATGGCCACTTTGTTAGGCTTTCGGGGCCATCCGACGCGGGCGGCCTTGCTGGCGGAGATCGCGGCCGACGATGAGTTGGTTGACGTGTTCGGGCACGATTTGCCCGCCCATGTTCGGGCGTTGCACGAGGCGCTCGAGAACACCTTCGCGCCGCGCAAACTCGCGGGCACGGTGGCGCCTCTGCTGAAGGAGTTGAAAGAAGCTACTCCTAGACTCGCGCATTATGCCGAACCTCTAGCTCGCGTTGCCGTCTCGAGGGTCGTGGCCCAATTAGGCCGCGTCTACTCCGTCGTCACCCTGGACAACTTCGAGCAGCTCGTCGCTCCTTTATCTGTCCCGGCTGATGATGTTGAGAAGCTCATTGTTGGGGCCGCGGGCGGACCGGGCGGCGGCGCTTCCAGTGGAGGCGCCTTGGCGCGCGTCGACCATCGCTTAGGCGTCCTGCGCTTCCCCGAGGAGCCCCAGGCCGCGCCGGCGTCGCGCCACCTCGGCGATCTCGCTCGCTACGTCGCGGAGGCGGCCCAAGCGGCGAGGGACCACAAGCCCGAGGAGATGCGCGACCCCGAACGAGCGGCGAAGCGCGCTAGATTATTTGAGATGGCGCGCGCCGCGTCGGCGCGGGACCACGAGTCGGCGCTCGAGCGCAAGCAAGTTATTGAGAGAAGGAAGGAGGAGCAAGAGCGATTGATGGCCGAGAAGAAGGCCGCGGAAGACGCGGAAGAGCGCCGGCTCGAAGCCGAGAGGAAGAAGGAGGAGGAGGCTCGGCTCGAACGGTGCGACGCGGCGTCCTTTGACCTTTCTACGATCCTACGCCATCGACGCGACTCGTCTCCGTCATCCGAGGTCGTTCGTGACTCCGTATCCTACACAGGGAAGCGAAGCGCCGCGAGCGCGAGAAGCTCGAGAAGATGCGCGCCGAGCTCCAGGTCCAGGAGGCCAAGGAGCAGATGAAGGCCCTGGGCAAGGACGTCGGCGACGAAATTATTAACATGAAGGAGGAGGAGCGCCAGAAGCTCATCAAGGACCAGCGCGACAAGCAGCGCAAGGCCGAGCAGAACGAGGCCAAGAAGATGCTCGAACAATCCAAAAGGTTGGACTACATTACTCGCGCTTTGCGGTTGGAGGAGCTGCCGGTCCTGGAAGCGAGGTACGCGAAGCGGCTGGAAGAAGATAGAGCTAGGCATGATGCGCAGTACGTCGAGAGCGTCGAGAAGGGCAAGGTCGATCATGCTGCCGCTTTATTGGAGAAGAAGCGGTTGGCGCGGGTCCAGAGTCATAGAGAGAAGTGGGAGGCCGGTGTTTTGGCTGCGCGGAAGGCCGCCTATGTTAAGGCTCGCGCGGATGCAGAACAGCAGCACAAGGAAGAGGCCATCGCGCGCAAGGTCGCCCGCGCTCGTAGGCGCCGGGAAGATTATCTCGACGACTTGGAGCGCGCTCGAGCCGAGGACGAGGAGCGCGCCTACGAGGCGGCCGCCGACGCGTTGCGCGCCGAGGAGGAGCGCGCTTGGGAGGCTCAGCAAGCTGAACGCCGCGAGGCCGAGGAGGCGCAGCGTAGAGAGGAGGAAGAGAAGAGGGCGGCCGAAATCGCCCGGCACCGCGCGGAAGCGGAACGCCTGCGCGCCGAACGCGCGGCCGAGGCCGAGGCGGCCGACGCACAAGAGCGCGAGAGGCGCCAGGCGGCGGACGGTCCCAGCGACTGGCGCCGCGGCGGCGCGCGCCCCGACGACGGTCCGCCGCCGCGCCGCGGCTTCGGTGGCGACGACGGGCCCCGGCGCGGCGGATTCGGTGACGGCGACGCGCGCCGCGGCGGCTTCGGCGACGCGCGCCGCGGTGGCGGCTTTGGTGGTGATGAGGGTCCCAGAAGGGGCGGCTTCGGTGATGCTCGCCGGGGCGGCTTTGGAGATGATGCTCCGCCGCGTCGGGGTGGTTTCGAGGATGGACCTCCTCGCAGAGGCTTTGATTCGGGAGCTCCGCCGCGCCGCGGCGGCTTCGAAGATGGGCCTCCTCAGCGGTCGCGCTTTGAGGATGACGGGCGCCCTCCGCCGCGGCGCGGTGAGGCCTTCCAGGATGGCCCCCCTCCTAGGAGAGGCGGGTTCGAGGACGGGCGCCCGGCGCCGCGGAGATCGACGGCCGGCGGGGACGGCGAGCCCGACGGTGGCGGCATGTGGCGGAGAGGTGGCGCCGCCCCGCCGGGGCCGCCGCCCGCTCGGTCCGAGCGGCCGCGCCGCGAGTCCAAGCCTCGCGGCCGGACGGACGGCGAGGCCGACGCGAAGGACAACTGGCGCCGCGGCGGCGGCAACTAGGAGGCGGCGACGGCACTTCCACCCCTTATTCCCCCCCGTATAACTATCTCGAAACTAACAGTGGCCTGCGCCCACCCACAATTAACAGCGGCGCTTCCCATAGCAGCTATATTGATAACAAACAGTCCCAACATGCTACCATTAGACGCTCTCCGACGGCGGCGATGAGGACGGCGTCTCGCGGGCGCTGAGAGTGGCTCGTGCGCCTCCAAGCGCCTGCTCAATCGCCACTACGATCGGGTGCGCGCCGCCGAGCAGGCGCTGCGCGGTCCTTTTCGTCTCAGCGAGCGACGTCGCGGCCTCGCGGAGATCGTCGAGCGTGGCGCCGGAGTCCAGGGAGAGCGCCACCGCGTAAACCGTCCTCATCCTGAGCGTGTGATCATGACCCGCACCGAGAACACGTCGGGCCACGGGGGTCGTTTTGCGCATCAGTGACTTGGCTTCTTCGAAATGCTGTAGTTGAACAAGGGACGACGCGTAGTTGAGGGCTACTACGAGGGTCTGTCTATGTTCCTCGCCGTTGAGCTTCAAACGTCCGTAGTATATATCTCGCTCCATGCTTAGGGCCTTCTCAAGGCGTCCAAGCGCAGCATACGTGTTCGCAAGATTGCTCTGCACGGCGAGAATGTCTTCTGCTGATGCGCCGCTGCGCTGATACGTAGACAACTGGGCCGCTCTCACGGACAACGCGTCCTCATAGTGTCCTGCAGTGTATAAACCGTTCCCAAGCAGGTTCATCGCCATACGCAGGACCTCATCCGTCTCAGGCCGCCCCACGTACGTCTTCCAGCATGCCCACCCAAGCGCACCGGACACGACGCCGTGGTACCGTTGCTCGCACAGGCCGCACGTGGACCATCGCGCCCACCTCTCATTCAACACCTTGAAGCCCAAATTGTTTTCCTCGGCCTCCGCGACCAAAATCTTCGCCTGTTCCGCCAAGCACGACACATGCGCGAAGCCCGCCGTCCCGCGGCACGCGCACCCGCGCACAAGGCCCTCCTTCGTCTTCCAATGAAGGGACTGCGTGCAGATGTAGCACGTCTGGCCCTTCGTGTCGTCCGCGCATTTCTCGACCGCGACCGCGACGGCCTCCTTGTATTTTTTGTCGGCGTGGTATTGTTCCGCGTTGCCGCCGCGGTGTATTTTCTTACACATCTGCTTGTGGCCGCGGCGCCAGTGGTCCATCTGGCAAGTTTTGTTACAATATCTTGTATGGCACCTTACACATCGCGGCGCGGTGTGGGCCAGTGGGGCGGCGCAGGCGGCGCAGTTTGTGAGGATCATTTTGCGTTGGCGTGAGTTTCGTGGGCCAACTAAGAGTTGGCGAAAAAGTTGATAAAGCTAGCGGTCCGTAAACACACTAGCCAGCTCCTCGACTGAATCGAGCTCCTTTACTCAATTGCAGTGCAATCTCATCGGGTGCCGCTTGTACGGTGCCCGAGCTGTGCTGACTTTTTAAAAGTATTTGAATAGCTAAGAGGGGAGACGTGTATGACCGCCGCCGCGGCACCTACGAACACGGCGGCGGCCCCCCCGTCACCGCATCTTGCGGAGCGCGCAGCCGTGCTCACGCCCGCGACCGCGCGGCGGGCCCGCTCGGCGAACTCGCCAGATGCCCTGCCGCTGACACAGCTCTCGGACAGCTCGCCGGCCCGGCAGCGCGACTCGCCCAAGCTCCCGCAGCAGCCGAACAAGCCTTTGATAGACCCGGCGTCGGGCTACGTGCCCGAGATCGACGCCCCCCCGTCGGTGGCCGTCTGCTCCGGCCACCGCTGCGTGCGCGGCCGCAGCGGCCCCTGGTGCTTCTGCCAGCGCGGCCCGTCGCCGTCGCCCTCGCCGAAAAAGAAGGACGGCGACGGCGAGCCGCGGTCGCCCGACGCGCCGAAGCGCGACCCCGTCGTCTACGAGGGCGAGCCCGACGGTCCTTTGAAGGGCCGCACGGGCCGCGCCCTATCGAAGGTGACGCGCGACGCGCTGACGGAGCGCATCTACAAGCGCAACGCCACGGACGAGCGCGAGGCCTTCGCGTCGCTGGCCGGCGGCCGCTACATGTGCGCGCGCCTCGACAAGCGCTGCTGGCTGGAAGTCGAGGACAAGCGCCACCGCTACGCGAAGAATTTGAGGCGGTACCACTACGAGTGGGTGCGCTTAGAAAGACCAAAGGGCGACTTCTTCGCGTGGCTCGACAGCCACAAGGAGCCCTTGCAGACCTGCACGCGCGAGAAGCTCGAGTCGGAAGTGGTCCGGTACTGCTCCCAGGACCAAGCCCGGAAGTATATGTTGAGGTGCGTCGGTGGGTTAGTTTTTCACTTAAAAACGGACGACCACCACCACGCGCGCGACCTGTCACGCGATAGAAGGGGCCACCGGGAGCGGCACCGCTCTCCACAAAGACGTTCTAGAGAAGAGAAGCCCCGTCATAGGAGCCCACCTAGGGAACCGACCCAAGCTCAAAAGAGCGCGCCGGACGGCATGGCGCCACTCACAACAGGTCCCAAGGGCTGGATTTTTGTACTGCACGACGGCGGGTTCTACGCGCGACGCAAGGGTACGGCCGCGGGCAAGGCGCGGTTCCACCATTCCTCGTTCTTTGGCGGCGAGTGCGTCGACGCTGCGGGGATTGTAGTAGCGAGAGACGGCGTCGTCCAGCGCATCCTGCCGCACTCGGGGCACTACCGGCCGCGCGAGGCGCACTTCGCCCGCTTACTGTTATACTTGAGGGACAACATGGGGTTAACCTTAGACACCATCGAGGTCGACGTGCAGCGCGTTTTAAGAATAGCAAGGCCGGAACACGCGCGCAAGATGGACACGCCGCACTTCTGGTCTGCGGCGCAGGCCTTGGCTTTTCTGACGCATAAAGCGCTCGCGAAGCTGTCGAACCTATTTCACGCCATCGAGAATAGAGGAGCATTAGATGCGTTACGGATGCGCGACGCGGCCTACGCGGCCAAGGCCGCTGCTGCTTTAGCGCGCGGCGACAACATCGCGGCGCGCGTGTCTCAAAGTGTGAGGCGCGCCAGGCGGCCGTCCGAGGACCGCACGAATGATGTCTTGGAGGCCTTCGACGAGTCGACGGGCCCCTTCTCGCCCCGAAGACCCCGCGGCAATTCCATACAATTGCCGGCCGGCGACGCGCACCTGCGGACCATCACGCCGGGGACCTTCCCGACGGAGCTGGGCGTCGAGGACGAGGCCCTGCGGCCCACGACGCCGCCGCCGCGCCTGCAAGACGCGCCACCCCTCTCGCGGTCGGCGCCGTCGAGCGCCCAGCGGCCCCACGTGCGCCCGCGGCTCTCTCCCAGAACGTTCGACGAGCCGTCGTCGCCGCCGTCGCCGCCGACGCCCACGGCGCGCGGGAGAAGTCCGTTGCCGACGTCTCCGCCGCCCGCGCCGCCCTTCCGCATGGTCGCGCCCGGCAGCCCGGCTGCGTCGCTCGCCGCGGCGCCGCCGCCGCGGCGCCGCGCGCGGTCCGCCGAGCGCCGCGACGCGCGCGACGTCGTTGGTGCTACCTCAAGGGCTAGGTACCGCCGCCGCGGCGACGCCGCGGCGCTGCTCGGCCTGCGCGAGGACCCGGCGCAGCGCCGCGCGCGGACGGCCGCCGTCGCGGCCGCCGTCGCCGCCGCGGACGACAGCGTGCTCGAGGAGGCCCGCGACGACCCCTGGTGGGAGGGCGCGTCGCCTCCTGGTTTAGCGATGCGCCGCAAGCACGACGCCGACGACGAGGCCCGGAACGACGACGGCGCCGCCGACTCGTCGTCGGATTCCGACGACGACGACGACGCCGCGAGCGACGGGGGCTCGTCGTCGGACTACTCCGGCGACGAGGCCGAGCGGCGCCCGCGGCGCTTGGGCTTCGCCGGGAGCGGCGGGTCGCTCTCGACGCTTGTCGACGACGAGGAGGCCGCGCCGCTCGTCACGGAGACGGACTCGCCGGGCGACGGCGACGACGATACGGCTTCGCCTTGAATGTTCAAGTGTAATGGTCGTTGATTCAAAACTTATTCATTCGTCCTTCTTCGCGTCGGCGATGAGGCGGTCGAGCTCCTTCGAGAACTTCGTGAAGCGGTAGGCGTACCAGCTCGCGCCGTTGTAGGAGCTCATTGTGCCGACGAAGCCGAGCACACAAAAGTGGATCCGCATCGAGCTCCGGAAGAGGACGTAGGTCGCGCAGAGCGTCAGGGCGTTGCAGACGATGCTGAAGCACTCGTAGCGGATGAAGCGCACGCGGTCGCTGCCGTCGCCGAGCTTGCCCAGGACCTTCGTGAAGATGTTGTTGCCCTTGCCCCCGCCCAAATTATAATGGAACGTTGTCGCATAGCCCTTGTCGCCCAAGTCCAGGCCCCAGACGATGAAGAAGGTCGCGTGGAGGATCGCCCATATTAAGAGAAAGATCACCGGGGGTAAAGCGTACGTCTGGAAGTCCACGGAGGCATCGATGGGAAAGAGCTCCCGGTCGACGTCGAGCCAACGCAAACAGTAGGCCGTCATCGCCGGCTGCAGATGGATCAGCAGCGACATCATGTGGTCGGGGCTGTGCGGCACAAGCGCATTGCCCAGTAGAACAACGGCGGCCTGAAGCGGGCCCGCGGCCACGGCGAAGAAGAAGTGCGTCATCGTCGTGCGGTGCTCCGGCGGCACGAGCGCCGGGCGTATATGTAACGTGATACAGTATCCCGCGAGGAATAGATTCGAAACCCAGCAAAATTCCGTAAGAAACACGAGCCACTTGAGCCTGGCCCAGCGGTAAACCGTTACCGGATACAAGACCAGCATCTGCAGCGCGTTCCAGGCCGGGAACTCGTGGGGTGCGTGCCCAAATATGTATATGGTGACGTAGGACTTGAGGAAGCCGAAGAACACTTTGTATTTGTTGAAGGGCATGGTGTGCGTGACCGTGAGAGCTTTTTCCTGTTTCGTGACGCTCCGCTTCGCCTCCTGCAGGCCGTCGAGGTAGGTCTTGCGCTCGTACTGCAGCGGGCTGCCGACGATCGACTCGTAGGCGGCGTTGACGTGCTCCATGGCTTGTCGTGGGTTGTTATTTGTGCGGTAGAAACACGCGCAGGCTCTGCACTGTTGCTGGGAGTGATAGGATTTTCGGGGCCTGTTCTACTACGGTAGGTGTTGGTTACTCCTAAGAGTTCGCACGCTGTCGCAGGCAGGCAGTGGCAAGCTTGTACTGAAACGTCGCAGCTTGACGTTTGCTTCTCCCCACGGACCTGGCTGCCCAAGTCCCTGGGAGCTGAGGATTATATTTTTTTGCTAGCGCCTCGACACACTAGGTTCCTCCGCGCCATCGACGCGACACATTATTCCCCGTATTAGTAACCCGGCCCGGGCCGCCGCACTTGCCACCGCCTGCTGCTGGCGGGGAGATTGCGGAAGCTGAGATACGCGGGGCGCCCGCGCAGTGTAGGAGATAAGCTACTTATGTACATATGCAGTCGCGCGCGCGCCGCGGGTCGACCTTGATGACCAGGGCGCGTTCGGTCGATACCTTGATGACCGGCGCGAGGGGAACATATCCCGTCGACGGGATACAGACGTGATTCGCAAGGGCATCTGAATGTTGATGCATCTGCGAGCTGCGAGAAACAAAAATTTCGAAACGGGGCGCGGCGCGGGCCGGCGCACGCCTCCGGAGCGATAGGGAAAGTTGCTTTGCTTAGAGCTAGCCGCGGAGCCGACGCGGGTCCGCGCGACTGAAGCCCCCGACCCTCACACGCCGTCGCCCCGAGTGTTCGTTAATGGTCTTATTTCACTTCTACTAGACTCGGGAAAGGATCTAGGAGGAGGACAGGCAATGGGAAGGGGCGTGGAGGGAGGGAAGGGGTCCAAACTACGCGACGGCCCGCAGCGGGGACCGCAACTCTGGTAGAGGCGCGGGTGGCGGCTCGACGAAGACGCCCGCGAGGCTGCGCTGCGCCCGCGGCGACGGGCACTTGCCGATCGTCTTCTGAGTGTCGAGCGGAGGCGGCGCAATCAAAGGCGCGAGGAAGTTCGGCGAGCGGTGCGCCCGCCGCGAGACCTCCGTGAGATTTCCATCAACCTCGCGCCGGAACACGACGAGCTCGTTCGTGTCCTGGTTGCCCACGACGATATGCGAGTCCAACACAGCAAAGTTCCGCGGGCACGCGCCGCCCGTCTCGACCACGTGCGCCCGGCGCAATTGGGGCCTTTCACCATCAAAGGTCACGGCGAAGACCGCGAGGCTGTCGTGGCCTCTATTACCGACAAACAGCCACGATCCGGTGGCATCCAAACGAATCTCGGAGGAATGGCTCTTGGCCTTCCATATACCGTTGACGCAGTGGTGCGCGTTATCGTAGCCGTCCGGGAGCGTCGAGACGCACTGCGTTAATTTGAGGCAGGCCCGCGGGTCCGTCGTTTCCAACATACCCGCGGGCGCGGCGTCGTCATAAACGAACGCCGACACCGTCGACGAGAGCTCCTGGACGACGAAGGCGGCTTTACGGGTTGGGTGGAAGACGACGTGGCGCGGACCCTTGCCCCGTTCGAGGCGCGTGGCGCCCTGGCACGTCAGGCGGCCCACCGCGTCGTCAAACCCATAATGGTAGACGGCGTCTTCTCCCAGATCCACCACAAAATGCGTCTGCTGGGCGTAGGGCTCCGTGACGACGCAGTGCGCGTGCGGCCAGCGCTGGCGGTACTTCCAGTGCTCCTCGCGCGACGGCTTGTGCGTCGCGCAGTAGCTGGACGGCTCGGCGCATCTTTGTGAAACCTCCTTGCCGTCGACGTCCCGCAGCGCCGCTTGCGGCGGTAATGCGTGGTGGTCGGCGGCCTTCTCGCCCAGCGCGGCGCCGCTCACGGGCAGCACGGCCACGGACGCCTCCCAGTAGTTCGTTAGTCTTAACCACTTCTTGGAAGCATCGAGGGCCAGGTAGCAGGTCGACTTGCCGCGGGCCGACGCGCGGTCCACGACGTTCAGCTTGATGTCCTCGCCGTCCCTGCTTAAGCGCAGCGAGAGCACCTCGCCGTCGTCGTCAATACGTTCGGTCGACGCGTACAGCGTCGTCGGGTCGTCCGGGTGCTGGAGCAAGAAGGCGGGGTTCGGGCCCACTTCCAGCGCCCCGGCCGGCTTGAGGGTTCCTGTTGTGGGGTCGAGCCAGTAAAGCGAGACGCCCGCGTCGTTCTCGGTGCCTTTGGGCGTGTGCGCGAGGATGCTGGTGTCTGTGTAGTTCGAGACTGCTATGAGTGTGGCCATTTTTTGTTATGTAGCGCTCGTAATAGGGCGGTTCTGTTCTTTTGTTCTTCGCGCTTTGGCAGCGTTAGCTCTCCGACGGCAACTTTATTCGTGGCGTAGGTGGTCGTCGTCAGGTACCAGGGTAGAAGACACTTTCCTCGCGCGACGACAGCTTTCCTATGTCTCTTGGCGCGCGTTTTTGGCAGCTTTTAAGCAGAGCTAAAAATCAGCTCCCCGGCAAGCCGCCGCGTCAGACATCCCCATTTTTGCTCTGCGACTCTGTTCCAGCACCCACAAGGCGCCCTGAGAACGATGGTGCCCGGCGGAGGCGGTTTCGCCGAAGGCCAAAAACCCGTCACCCAGCCTCGGCTTTGCTTGTGTCGCCCGTCGTGCGTAACCGGACGAACGGCGCGACCTATGCGTTGAATCGTTGCACAGCTCTGCGCTGTCTGCATACCGCTGCGAATTTCTAGCGCCGCGAGAGCGCCAGACAGAACCTAGACCACAGGCCGCACAAGGAGACAAGCGCCTGCAAAAGAGATGCCACCCTCAAACAAGCCAGTCCTCATAACCGGCGCGGCAACGCCACTAGGCCACGAAGTCTGCCGCACGCTCCTCGCGGCCGGACGGGAGGTCGTCGCCCTGATCGACGAAACCGACACCGAGAGCCTCACCGCCGTCGAGCTCGAGGCCGAAGGCGCGCGCTACGCGTTGGCCGTCGGGCACGGCCGCGCGGCGGTCGTCGGCCGCGCCAATGATGCTGATGCGCAGTTCGCGTACGATCCGTCGATGTCGGCGCGCCACTGCCGCGTCGAGCACGACGGGAGGGCCGTCATCGTCCGGGATCTCGAGTCCATGAATGGCACACTCGTCGACGGCGCCGCGGCGCCGCGGGCGCTGCGCGTCGGCTCGGTCATCGAAGCCGGCGACACGGACCTCCGCGTTGTAGCCATCGGACCGGCGCGCGACCGCGCCGCCCTCTCTCTGAAGCGCCGCGGCGCCATCATAGTTACGGATCTGGCCGCCGCGCGCGGCTGCGCGGCCGCCGTCGACTGCGCGCCGCCGCTCGAAACGCCGGCTGCGGAACGACAACGCACCCTCGCCGTCCGCGCGGCCGTCGGCGGCGGACCAATCGCCGCGGTCTCCTCATCCGCCGTCTACGACGGCGCGCGCGCATGCCACGGTCGTCGGCCTTTGATAGAGACGGACTTCCTGCCGCGCGAGGCCACGCCGGCGACGCCGTGGGCGGCACGCGAGCATGCGCTCTCGGACGGCCGCGCGGTTGTGGTGCGCCTCTTCGACGTGTTCGGTGGAGATCTCAACTGCGGCGCGGCGCCAGCCGGCGCCGCTGCGTCGCTGGTGCGCGCGCTCGCGCGCGGCCTGCCCGGTGGCGCCGCGACCTACGAGGGCGATGCGTCGCACGTGTCTGAGGCGGCGACGTGGCTCTGCGCGGCGCTCGACGCGGCCGAGACAGGTGACCGCTTCGTCGTCTGCAACGGCGGCCGCGGCGCGACGACGCGCGGCTCGGAACTCGAGGCCGCCCATTTTTCACGCGGCGCGCCACCCTCCTCGCCTCCGGCCGCGTCGCGCTGCGCCGACGTCTCCAAGCTGCGCGAGCTGCTCGGCGTCGCCGGCGGCGGCCTCTCGGTGGCGCGCGGCGTGGCGCTCTGTGTCGCCGAGGAAGCGGCGGCTCGAGGCTGCGTGTCGGCGGCGGTGCCGCCGAGCCTCCCGCGCGCTCTCCTGCGCGCTCGTCGACGGGTGCGGCGCGGCCTCGCGATCGCCGAACAGGGGCCGACGCGGCGGGCGGCGCACAGCGGCCGCGCGATCCTTCCGGCGCTGCCCGCCGACGCCCTCACCGCGGTCCTTGCCTTCGTCGACGGTGCCGACCTCGCGCGCCTCCGGAGCGCGACCAAGGGCTTGATCGCCGGCGCCGACGCCGCCGCGGTCGCCTTGTGCCGCGCCAAGGGCTATTCGCGACCGGATTGGGCGGCGCCCGGCGCGCCACGTTTGCTGGCCGCTGCCGGAGCGTGGCGTCACCCGGTCACCGTGTCGCGCGGCCGCGACCCGTTCGCGCCGCGCGTCCAGCACGCGACGGCCACAGTCGGCGGCCGCGTATACTGCTACGGCGGATTGGGCGACGACGGCCGCCCGACCGACGCGCTCGACGTCCTCGAGCTGTCCGCGGACAGGACCGTCGCACGCTGGCTGCCGTTTGCGACGACGGGCGACAAGCCGGACGCCGCCGAGAACGCGCGGATGACTGCGGTGGAGCTGCTGGACGGCCGCCAGTACCTCGTCGTTTTGGGCGACGCCTGTTGCCACGTCCTCGATCTGTTGTCGCGACACTGGAACGGGTACCAGTGGCCGCTGTTTGGAAGCGCGCATTTTGCCACTATGAATATCAGCGGCCGGCCGCACGTCGTCTCCATCAATAATAGCTACGAAGCCTTTTGGGTGATCGACGCTGAAAAGCTGGTCAGCGGTGACTCTACGGCGTGGGCGCTAGCGAAAGTGCGGGATGGTGTGCCCTTCAGCCCGCGAGAAGGCGCTGCCGCCGCCGTCGTCGGCGGGTCCACGCTCGTGATCACCGGCGGGCGGACGCGGCTTTTCGCGGGAGAGATAGATGAGACGCTCTTTCTGAATATGGCGGAGTCCTTCACGCTCTTCTATGATACATTCCTAGAGAAATACGTCGTAGACAACGAGCGGTGGAGTAACCCCAACGGCCGCAATGACGTCCGGCGCTCCCACCACGCCGCCGTCGCGCTCGCGGACGGCTCCATCCTCGTCATAGGGGGCATCGAAAATGGCCAAGGCGTCACCGACGCCCAGATCATCCGCGAGGGCCAAGATGTCGTGCCCTTCGACGCGCTCGGCGAGCCGGGGCATCGCGTCGCCGCCTCGGTGGCACGCGTCGGCGACGCCGTCGTCGTTGTCGGCGGCCAGGGCGCGCTCGAGCGCCGCGGCGACGTCGACGTGCTCGTGCTGCCGGAGAGGAAGGAGATCATCGCACCGATGGCGGGTAGCGGGGTCTTGTCCGTTGTAGCGCAGCTACAGCTCGAAGTGGGTGCTTGAATCGAATGCCTCCCCCCTTGTTTGTCCTCATGTAACAACAACTGTACTACTTAGAGTTCGGACCGGTCGCGCCGACCGAGGCGCAGCAGCACGTCGGTCCAGTGGTCCACCGCTCTCGTAGACCGCCACATCTTGTGGAGGTTCGCGGCAATTTTAGCTTTGATAGAATCCCGCAGATCATCATCACGTCCAATCAACGCCGCGAGGCGCGCGTAGTCGGCCTCGTCTGTTGCTATGGCCTCCTTTATACCTAAGATCTGATAAAAGGCGAGCGTCCACCTACCACCCAAATATTTCGCCGGCAGAGTAACCACAACGGCGCCCATCTCGAAGGCTTCCCTCGTAGTAGTACAACCCCCCGCATAATACGAATCTAGCACAACGTCCGCCTCGCGGTACAAGGCTAGTAGTTCATGGTGCGGCAGCGGATCCAGGAAGACGACCCTATCAGAATCCAGGCCCCAGTCCCGATCCGCTCCGGCGTGCAATATGATGACACCCTCGGGGTCCGCGTCCAGTACTTTCCGCAGCATATCGCCAAATCGCGCGTGCAGCTTGAAGGGTTTTTGCATACACACGTACCATCTTCTACCAGTGATCGAGGGAAACAGCGCCTCCCGCGAACCGTTTGGTACTTTATGATGAGTTACCGTAGACATACCATTAATAAGGACGGGGTCGTGGTACTGGTGCATATCGGACGAAGGTAGCAGTACTAACTCCTCCGTGTAATGGTCAGCAGACGACTCAACCTCGGCAGCAGCCCAGGACACGTAGTAGTCTATCGTCTGTATACCGGACGTCACGGGGTGGCCGTGGCTCGTGACTTGTACGGGTGCCAGCCGCGACATGGCCAGTCGGTGCGCCATCGTCGACATCGTGAGATCCAGATAAAGTATGAGATCTAACTCCATCGCTACAATTTTGGTTCTGGTAGTAGCGAGCCACGTCGGCACACCATCCACTAAAGTTTTCTCATTATAGACCTCTTCGATACGTGCCGTCGCGGCCCACGTCTTACACGCCGGCGAGACGGGCAGACCTTGTTCACTCAGATAAATTAAGTAGAGAGCGAATTTATCTGAAGGTAGTCGTGCCAGTGTCCCGCCAAAGTCGCGCATGACGCTGTTGGAGACATGCAGAAACGCGGACACGACGCCGACTCTGAGAATTTTACGAGGTGGCTCCCTTTTATAATTCGTATACTTGAGTTGGGGCCAAGCTTTCACCGCGAGCTCGTAGTGGTCGCGTGCACTTGCGCGCCAGTCCGCCTCATACAAAGTTTCGAGGTAGAAGGACGATAACAAACAGTAGACATAGTGGTCGTTCGCCGGGTCCTGGACGCCTCTTAGATCAAGATCTCTCCGCAGCAATGAATGAGTCAAAGCCCGGCCGTCCTTCAGCCAGGCCTCGGCCGCTTGAGGAGTCGAGGCGTGGGCCGCGAGCGCGTTCCGCAGCGTCGCCTTTTGCAATGCGGCGCAGTCGCCCGGCAGGCGCGACGTCGCCGCCAAATCGATGAAGCGCCTTGCACTTTCGTACTCGCCCCTTTCATGATACCATCGCCCCGTCCACATGGCCAACATGCGGCCCTGGGCCTCGTCCATGGAGTAGGGCCGCGGCGTCGCCCAGTCCGCGAGCGCGCGCTCGAAGTAGCTGATGCCTTTCCGCTGCTGCGCTTCATTTGGATTGCCCAAGAGTCGAATGCCGGCCTGCGCGAGCGCGTCGCGGCTCGTGATACTACTATCGAGGTGCGGCTCGTCTTCATTATTGCCGAGGCCGGCGGCGAGCACTATTAAGGTCAGTAGCGCGAGGCGAGGCATGGTGCGTCACGCCGACGGCGTTTTGCCTAGCGTTTCCCAATGACCCACTTGCTAATGCAGATGCTACGGGCCGTAAACTCAGCGAAACTGCTGCGGAGCTGGTCGGAGACAGCTGTAGGCTAGCTTTGCAGGCTGCGAGAGATCCCTGCTTGCAGCAGCACCTGCACACTCCAACGCCAAAGTCGGGCTAAAAAAAAAACTGAAGCTAGCGGCCAGTAAGACACTAGCAGCAACCGGTCGAGCTTGTAGAACCACTGGTCGGAGCCCGAGCCGGCTTCGGTCATCTCCTTGACACGAATTTTGATGCTTCAAGGCCCGCGCGGACGCTTTTCTGGGAAGCGCGCTGTTTGCCCCGCCGCACACACGAGTCCTAGGATCGCAATGGAACCAAAAGCTACGAGGCACAGGGAGACGAACTTACTATATTGAACGAGGCGCGCGCACGGGCGCCCGGAGCGGCTTCGAATGCCCACCCCACGCCGCCGCCAAATCGCGGTCCAAAGCCGCGGCCAGCTCCGCGTCGCCGTAGTAGCGCGGCGGCGGCGCCGTGTCGTTGTCGATCGGTGCGGAGGCGGCCTCCGCGTCCAGCCGCGCGTACTCCGCGTCGAGCTGTCTTTGCAAATCCTCCCTCAAAGCGCCCTGTGCTTCTTCCAGTCGTCGGTTGTCGTCGGCACAGCTCCGGTCGCCGGGCTCACATTTAGGTGGCACAAATCGACTCTCCTCGTAGGAACAAAGACCGTCTTCCGGGCAGACGCCGCTCCGCTTCCGTCGCGCCGCTTGCCGCGCCTTCCTTTCCGCGTTCTTCCGCTGCGTCATGGAGGGCTGCGCCGGCTCGCCCTCCAGGCCTTTCAATCGCCTAGCGGTCGCCACCTTCTCGACGAACTGGTCCTGGAGGCTGCCGGGGCCGTCGTCGGGCTGGACGCATTCGATGGCATTCCCCTGCTCGTCGACGCAGGCCTGGGTCTGGGGCTTGTTCTTCGGATTGAGAGCTAACGGATTGAGAGCTAAGCCGAGGCAGAGGAGCAGCCTGACGGGGCTGCCCATGGTTCGTCGCTCTCGCATCGTTCAGTCGACGTCTGAAATAATTTTGAACATACCCGCACGCCCACTGGGGGTTCCGTCGCGGCGACGGAGGCCTTCTCCACGCGGGCGAGGGGTGCTCGGACGGGTTTCTGGGGACCGCGTTTAAAAATGAAAAAAACGGGGTCCGAGATGGTGGCTGCCATGCTGGCTTTCAGGCCTTCTTTCCAGCACACGCTGCCGAATGTGTGAGCGTTAGCAAGTGAAAACAGTACGGGGATTCCCCAAGAAGGGCTGCGTCACGCGGCGCGCCGAGATGATGCCTGCTGACGCTAAGAGCATCACACAGGAGCTGAACAAAATCTGTGAGGCGTGGGCCGTTGCAGAAGGCCGCGCGGGCAGCAATCTAGCACAATATGGGGGCCCAAGCGCTGACTACCTGAGGCATCTCGAGATCTACGCAACGGTCCAGAGGACGCTTATGAGGGCCGCCGTCGGTATGGGGGAAGACAAAGCTTTGCGACGCGTGCGGCGGAGAATATGACCGGACTTTGTTCTCGAAGAAACAATGGCAAGCGACGGGGCAACGCCGCTGCGGCGACTGCGTCAGTCAAGGGCGGCCGGCGAGATTTACGGATGCGTATCGCCCGCGGGTGCCGGGCCACTCGCAGCTTGACTTTATGCTTGGCCAGGGGAAACTCATCGAGCGTGCCATCCGGGTTGCCGCGCAGGAAACGGGCATGGAGGGCACGGAGGTGGAAAAAGTCGTCGAGGAAACGACCCAGCTTGCAAGGCAGCAGAAAGAAACGTTTATAAGGCAAATGAGGCTCTACTACTATAAGCAAATCCTTTTGGAAGACATTACGAGCGCTGGTGTACCAGATCTGGAACGATTGATCATGAGGCGTGCCATCTATTTTTTGACGGAAGATCTGTTCATGGGAATTTCCAGCAAAGTTCGAAGAGCGATGTCGAAGGGGAAGGCTAAACTGAGGAAGGTATGCAAAGAGGTTTTCCTTAGCGTTGACCGTAATGTTGAGATCACACACCCCAAAGACGACGAAGAGGCCACCGTAGCTTCGAGGTCAACGGAAGAGCCAGAACCGCCACGGGACAACCGCGCCGACGAGGCCGACTTCGTGCCGAGCGTCTGGCGCCTTGTGGTCGACCTCGTTCCAATGTTGGACAAGAATCAAGACGCCAGCCGCACCTTAGGACGGGCGCAGTTCCTCCTGTCGCGTCCAAATTACCCAGGGCGGATCGAACAAGTCCAGAGGTGCTTCGATGCCATGTTTGTGTGTGACATCAACTTTGCGGAAAAATTCAACCGTTGCGTCGAGCGCCAGCGAGACGAATTCAGGCAACAGGCCACGGAGTCACAGCGGTACAAGCCGACCGATCTGGGGCTACCGCTGCGGCGACGATGCGACAACTGCGGAGTCGACAACGCCCTGGCTGAGTGGCGATACCCCTATTGCAACTCGTGCAACGTCTATTGGTTGTCTCCCAATTTCCGCAAGATGGACCGTCCCAATGGTTGTTGCCCTATCTGCTTGCTCCCTCCCAAATCAGCAGAATTCTCATATACACTGCGATGCGGCCACACGCTACACTGGAAGTGCCTGGAGTACGCAAAGTCCGTCAGAGCGGAGTGTCCAGGAGAAAAAATTCTCAGCGTCTGTCCGGTCTGCAGGGACCCCATCACCGACGACCTGGAAAAGGTCGTTTTCGTCGAGGACGTGTGGCCGGAGCATATGGGGTTGTGGCCGGGCGCCCCAGACCCGCACGACGTGGCCTTTGTCGCCGAGCGCGCGGCCAAAGGCGCCTATTTGGCCGCTAAGGCCGCCGTGAGATACGCAAGAAAAAAGGTCTCTGACGCCATCGCGATGGGGGTGTGGGAAGACATATGGCGCGGGCGCGAGGCTGACACTGACAGTCTCGGCGCTTAGTTGTTGTAATGTGAACCGTAGTACTTATCATCACAACACATAGCGAGCGAGGGTCAGTAGTCCGACCCGTCCTCGTCGTCCGACGCGGCGGCGGCGCGCGCCCCGAGCCGGTGGTGGTTCTTCGCCACCCACCGCCGGTACTCCTCCGTCTCGACCAAGCCCGCCAATGCTTCAGCAGTGGCGTCGGCGGCCTGCTCCTTGTACTCCTCCTCCGTCAGGTAGCGGTGGCCCTCCAGGAAGTTGCGCGCGGGCCGCGGCGACGGCTTGACCTCCGGAGTAGACGGCATTCTAGACGCGACGAGCGTCACGACCGCGCCAAACGACGAACCGCCCAGGATCTGCGCCACCCCAAATCCGACGGCAAATAACAAACCGACGGCTACCGACCGCGTCGCGTGGAAGGCGATGAACAAAGCAGTCAGCCTCACGGCGCACCGCACCGCGTCGAAGAAGACGTCCGTCGACCGCGCGGCCCGCGTCCCGAAGACGGAGAAGGCCATCGTGACGCAGGCGTAGGTCGCGATCAATCGCGGGTAGCTCGTCACCAGCGACCAGACGACGCGCCGCGCATGCCTCATGACCGCCGCGGAGTAGCCCAAGAAAGAAAGAGCTACCGCGGTCCGCCTTTTCGTAGGCGACGAGATCATAACGCAGAGAATGCTACAGACGAGCACAACCACACCAAACAGGAGCCCGAAGGACACGCCGACACCGTAATGGAGGAAAGCCGACTCGCCGATGGTGGGCGCCGTCTGGTGTAACAATATGGACGCGACGAGGGCGGCCACCCTTAAATCGCGTCGTTTTGTAGACGTGGCGAAGGACACGGACGCGCTGCCTATTGAACCGGGAAGCACCTGCGGCTTCACCGCCACGCGGACACAAGCCTCGCCGAAGGGCGACAATCGTAAAATACATGTTGTCGCGTCGTCCCAAGGTGCGGGGCAGCCCAGCAGCGGGTCCTCGTACTTGCCGCTGCCCAGTTCTCCCGTGAGAAGCACATTCCCGAGCGCGTGGAAGGCGCCGACCAAGGACGAATCAAAAGACCGGTGCTGGACCCGCAACCTTTTCAGGTGCGGGCCGCTCACCGTCGCCGTCCGGGCGTCGAAGGCGCGCCAGACCTCGTACCAGCGCGCGCCGGCGTCGCAGCTCTCGAACGGCGGGCTGCCGCACGTCGCCGTGCCTCCATCTGTATTTGCTGAGGGGCACACGGGGAATGCTCTATCGTAGGTGGCGTCGAGGTCGTCCGCGGCGGCGCAGCGCGCGGCGACGGCGAGGAGTAACGCCACGCGGCGGACCATTATCTCTTTGTTTTTGCGCGCACAGATGCCTCGGCGTCCTGCCGCGCGGATCGCCGTTCAAAATGCGGGTGCTTGTGTGGCGCGCACAGATGCGGCGGCCAGCGGATGCGGCCGCAGTCGGTCGCAGCGGTGCCCGAGGGTGCCAAAAATGCTCGCGCTTCGGCGCAAGCGACCGCGCGCGCTTGGTTTTTGTCCTCTGGCGCCGGGCGTCCTAGTATGGCTGTACGCTAGCTTTGCGTATGGCAAAAGGAGCCGGTGAGTCCTCCTGCAGAGTAGAAGCCGCGAGGCAGCGGTTATAATTAGCCGCGAACGTGCGCGCAAGGTAACAGCAGTCGTAGCTATATTCACGGCTGTAAGAACTGCGAGCTTTGCGCATACTGCCAGGATCGGGCCTATAGCTGCCGCATAGATCGGCACGCGTCAATAAAGACAACATAAACACTATGAGCGTCTCTGTGGACGACACCGGCAAACAACTGCCAGAGAACGACGCCGAGACCCGTGCGACCGACGCCGTCCGCGAACTCAAACGAGGCGCGAGCTGCAAAGACGTCCTCGCGACGCTCTGGCCGTCCGACGCCGTCGACGAGGCGTCGCTCGAGGCCTTCGCACGGATTTTGAGAAACGACGCGATCCTCTCCCGCTGCCCGCCGAAGCCGTCCTACCTGCGCCAGGTCCTCGCCAAGGCCGTGAGCCAGGCGACGGACGCGGGCTATTCCGACGACGCGCTGTGCGAGGAGCTCGCGCAGGCCGTGGTCCGCGACGACGACACCGAAGACGCCGCGAGCCACGTCGCATTAGGAAAAGTGGTCATGCGGACGGTCGACCGCGCGAACGAGGTGGGATTGAGATTGTGGCCGGCGGCCGAGGTGTTGGTTGAATGGGCTCTTGACACACTAAAACCTTCACGCGTCCTCGAGCTCGGCGCGGGCCTGGGACTCGTCGGCCTGGCGCTCGCGCGGCGGCCGGGCTTCCGCGTGACGCTGTCCGACGGCGACGCGCGCGTTTGCGCGAATCTGCGCTACAACGCCGCGCTCAACGACCTCGACGAGGACGTCGTGAGGCAGTTCCGCTGGGAGGAGGATTTCGGGGAGCTCTGGGCCGCGGCGGGGCCCTTTGATGTGGTTCTGGCGGCGGATTGCGTGTACGACCCGGCTTTGGCGCCGCCGTTCGCGGCGGTCGTCGACGAGGCTTTGAAAAGGGGCGCCGACGTCGTCCTGGCGAACGCGGTGCGCAACCCGGAGACTTGGCGAATTGTTGTTGAGGCGCTGGCGGCGCGGGATTTGATTTTTGAGGACCTCGCGTGCGTTCAGGTGCCGCGCCTCGTGCCGGCGCGCGCCTGGGCGGGCCACGCCGCGGCGCTCGCGGCGGGGGCGCTCCGGCTCGGGCGCGTGGTCCGAAGGGTGTAATTTCTTGTTTTGTAGACATCATAATCACAACTTATCACGAACAAATTCACTTCACCTCTCGCGGAGCGCCGACGCCCCACCGCCTCGCCAACGCCGCTACGGCTCCCAACGTACCCGGCGCCGGTTCTGCAGGAGGCGCCTCCGAGGCCCCGCCAAAGGATGCCGCCGCCGCTTTGACGAGCGCGTCGAACGTCGCCCGGTCGCAGCCCTCGCCCGCGTCGATTTCGGCCAGGACGTCGCTCGCCGCCGAGGATCCCGGCGCCAGCAGGCGCGCCACGTCCTTCGCCGTGATGAGGCCGTCGGCGTCGGCGTCCAAGGCCACGAAGGCCGCGTCGCGGTAGGTCTCGGTGCCGAAGAGGCCCGCGGCCATGGTCGCGGCGATGAACTCGGACTGCGACAGCGAGCCGTTCCGCGACAGGTCGCACCGCTTGAAGACATCTTCCAAGTCGTCGTCGACGACGCCGCCGTGTTTTAGAAGAGCGACTCGAAGATCTCGTGCACCAACCTCGCCGTCGACGTCCGTATCTAACGCCTGGAACGTGCGGCACTCCGTCTGCGCCACGTCGCGGCCCGCCGCCTCGTGGGCCTCCACGAGGATGGCGAGCCGCACGAGCGCCGGCAGCGCGGCGAAGCGCCTCATTTTATCAACGCACGCAACGTCGAACTCCGCCTCGCGCGCGACGAAGGCGTGCCGCAACGCTTGTAATGCGGTGATCCTTTGCTGCGGATCCGGACTCAACATCCTCGTTAATAAGTCATACCCTTGGGGCGGTAGAAGCGGCCGCGCCTTTTGCTGGAGACGCCGCTGGATCGCCTTCGCGTCGCACACCGCCTTCCTCGCGTCGTCCTCCGCCGTCACCTTGACGCCCCCGAAGGCCGTTACTACTTCCCCACCACATAAACCCTCGATCAGGTGCTCACCAGTAACACAGAGAAAAAACATGCAGCCCAGCGCCCAGACGTCCGCGGGCTGGCCGTAGAGGCCCTTCTTCGTCAATGTTTCGGGTGCCGTGAAGGTTAAGTTACCTGCCCTTATACCTCGACTATCAATATCCACATCTCGAGACAGGCCGAAGTCTATCAGCTTGAGCGAGCCGTCCTCGGCGTACACGAAGTTGTCCGGCTTCAAATCAGCGTGCAGCAGGCCGTGCGCGTGGCAGCATGCTACTGCTGATAGCATCTCTCGTAATGCTTGGGCCGCTTCGTCTTGCGTAAGTCGCTTCTCCTTCCGCACGCGGTCCAATAACGTGCCTCCTGATAAATACTCTTGGACCAGGAGTAGTTCATCTCTAGATGAGTCCACGAAGTACTCAAATAACTTCACCACATGAGGATGATCCAGCTCGCACAGCCGCCGCACCTCGGCCGGCACCGACGCCGGCCGCGGCGGCCGCGGCTGCCTCGTATCATCGTCGCTGATGCCGCCCCGGTTATTGTCCAAAAAAGCCTCGACCCAGTCCAATTCCTCACCTTGTTCTTCAACGCCCGTCCTTCCATCGAGCATCGCGAACGCGCGGTCCCAGGCCGCGCCCGCCTGGCCCGACGCTTTTTGGAAGGCTCGCGCCGTCGGGTGGTCCGGCCGCATGCGTTTCACGGCCCGCTGCTGCCAGGTCACGGCGTGCGTCGCGACCTTGACCGTCCCGTACCCGCCTCGACCAATGGTCCGCGTCTCGCGGTAGTTCCGCTGGAAGTCGCGCTCGTCGCCCCCAAAACGCACCAAGCGTGTCCTAGGCACCGCAAAATCCTCCTCGACGGGCTGGCGGCCGTTGTCCAGGAACAAGAGAGCGCGGTCCGCGTATTTTGGGGTTCCAATAGCCTTTGGTATGTATTGTCTACCTTCGTGTAATGCTACGATCTTTTCAAGCGCTTCATTTGCTTTATCCTTCGTCAGTCCCGCATCATCTCTAGTTCGTACGAAGTGCTCCCGCCGCAATCTCGGATTGCGCCACGGTAAATTGAGATCGTCCAGCACGAGCCAGCACCGGTCTACCTTTCTCCGTTTCAAGTAAGAGAAGATCTCGTCGACCCGATCCAGGCCGCCGCCCTCGGCCGCCGTCGGGACTAGAGTCGTGGCGCCCTCCGTGAAGGACGAGAGATTCGCGTCCACTAATGATGTAGTAGCCTCGGGGCCGTAGTCCGGCGTGACGCCGTCGATACTTAAATTGACGTCCTTCAGGCGCGCCTCGACGGCCTCGGTCGTTTCCGGTTTAAGGCGCCACGTCGACGAGAGCACTATTTTACCTTGGCGGCCGGTCTTTTTTTCTGCCTCTCGCATCAATGTGGACAGCGTCTGCACTAATTCCCTATCGGGCGCGTGTCTCGAAGCGATGGGCGCGTCCGGCGCTTGGGCGTCGCCCCTATCCCGGGTCGCGCGGTTGTTGAGCACGCCGTCGACGTCGAGGAAGATCGTGAAGACGCGTTTCTCGTCGTCGCAGCGGGCCGTCGTGAGCCATGCGGTGGCGGTAGTAGCGGCGGCGCGGGCGCTTAGTGTGGCGAAGCGATGCATCTTGATCTTGCGCCTTTTTTTTCACGATCGGTGTCCGGCGCGCGCGTTTAGCTGCAGGAGTAGTGCACCAGGCTCCCCCCTGCAGAGAGGTTACGACCTCTCTGTGCTCGCAGAAGTGTGCAGCCCGGACGATGATGTTGCGACGTCACAGGAAATGCGTCTTCCACGACGTATCAGTGTGCTTGCGCCGCACACGAGGCGATTCCGCTGTGAAAATCAGCTTGAAAACCCGAGAGCTTTTTGGGAACCCACTCGTTCCGCGACGACTCGTCTTGATACGTCTCCAAAGAGCTGCCATGTTCCGCACAGCTCGCTCGGATGCAATCGCGCCGAGCTCCAAACTCGATGACTGGGGACAGCAAGCCTGCTTGAGACGGTGCAAAAACGCTAGCATAATGATGCTCTGCCGTGCTACAAATGTTGCTCGGGCAACTGGCCGCCGGACGTTCGCGGATGGGCCCCTCTTGAAGACCATGCTCTACGACCTGCACGTATGCAGCCAGCGCACAGCAAAAGATCCATCGACCGCCCGCGCGCCCAATCGCCATTAGCGATGCTCACACGCTGCGCGACGCCGCCGCTGCGCCGATGCGCAACCGCCCGTGCACCGACGGCACCGGTTTGCACACACGCGCCGCGACGCCGTCGCCGTGCCGACGCATAAAGGACACTCACGCACGCAGGTCGAGCGCGGCGGCAAGATGGTGCCCTTCGCCGGCTACGAGCTGCCGGTCCAGTACGCGGGCGCCGGCGTGCTCAAGGAGCACACGCACTGCCGCGCGCCGGGCAAGGCGTCGGTCTTCGACGTCGGGCACATGGGCCAGATCAAGTGGACGGGCGCCGACCGTGCTGCTTTTTTGGAGAAGTGCGTCGTCGGTGATATCAAGGGGCTCGGGGCGGGCGAAGGCCGCTTATCATTATTGACCAATGAGTCGGGCGGCATCCTCGACGATACGGTCATCACGAACGCGGGCGACTACATCTACATGGTCGTCAATGGCGCCTGCAAGGTCACGGACATGGCTCATTTGGAGAAGATGATGGCGGAGAATTCGGACATGGACGTGCAGATGAACTACCTGGGCGATGATGCGACCCTGGTGGCGCTGCAGGGCGACGGCGCGAAGACCGCGCTCCAACCCTTACTGCCGGACGGCTTCGACATGGAGCGCTTCGCGTTCATGACGGGCGTCGATACGACTGTGGGAGGCATGGAGTGCCGCGTGACGCGCTGCGGCTACACGGGCGAGGACGGCTTCGAGATCGGCGTTACTCATACCAAAGACGCCGTCGCCGTCGCTGAACTCTTATTATCGAATGAGAACGTGGAGCCGTGCGGCCTGGGCGCGCGCGACTCGCTGCGGCTCGAGGCCGGCCTCTGCCTCTACGGCAACGATCTTGATGATACGGTGAACCCCGTCGAGGGCACGTTGCTCTGGACGATCGGCCCCAAGGACACGCGCCGCCGCACGGAGCAGGGCTTCCCCGGCGCGTCGAACATGCTCACGGCCGAAGGCAAACCGAAGAAGTTCGGCCGCAAGCGCGTCGGCTTCATGGGCCACACGAAGCCGGCGCGGCCGGGCGCCGACATCTACTCCGCTGATGGTACGACGAAGGTCGGCACGGTCGCCACCAGTGAGGAAATCAAACGCCGCGGCGCCGAGATGGCGAGACTCCCTGACTCACTGGTTGATTTCCGCACAGGTCACGAGCGGCACCGTCTCGCCCTGCCTGAACGCCCCCATCGCCATGGGCTACGTCGAGACGGCTCTTGGGAAGAATGGAACTGAGTTGACTGTTGACATTCGTGGCAAGAAGATTCCTACCAAGGTTGCGAAGATGCCCTTCGTCGAGCCGAACTACTGGCGCGTGCCCGAGTAGATGCTGGTCTGCTCGAGCGGTAGTTTAACTTGATGTCACATAATGTCACATATATAAAATTAGGCGCGCGCGTCGCGGCGACGGCGTGCCGGTGGCGTAGACATCCCCACGCCGTCGACCAGTCGCGGCGAGCAGCCGACGCGCGCGGTGCAGTGTCGCGCCACCAGCGCCGAGAAGAACTAGCGACCCTTCGCCCGCGCATCCAACCACAACGACGGCAGGTACACCTTCCCGTCGACGCCGTCGACCCAGGCGAAGCCCGCGTCTTTCAATTGCGCGAGGGCCGTCGTCGCCCTCAGAGTGGGGTCGCCGCCGGGCAGGCGCTTCGCTAGGTCTTCCATCGAGATGCTTCCATCAGCCGTGGCGACATCGAGCGCCACCGCGCTATCATCAGACAGCTCCGCCGGCACGCTGACCACCGCATCCCCCACAACGCGAAACCCGTCGCCCAGCACCTTGAGCTTGGACACGGCCCACTTAATATCATCTGTCGATACCTGGTCGTCGTCCAGCCGATCCAGTAGATCGTCCAGAGCGATCAGGCCGCCGTTTTCTTCGCGCGTCGCCGCACAGACGCCCACGACCTTGACCCCCAGCTCGTAGTAGAAGTCGCCCAGCCCCAACCCGCTCCAGAAGCCTTTGTTCGATCGTAACGGATCGACACCAGCGGCATAACACATCTCCGCGAAGGCGCTTCTGAATGAAGCGTCATCTTTGATTTTCTGTCGATGCTTCTCCGCGAACGTAGCTAGAGTGGCCTTGAACGTGCCCAGGACCTTCTCGACCGATTCGGCATCAACCCTGGATTCTTCTTCGGCCTTCTTCTTGAAGCGTTCCCGCTCCTGCTGTTTCCTCCGGAGACCGCCGACGCCCACGCCCCTTCTCCTATGCATACTTGCGCGTGTTGTCGTAGTCGTCTCCTGTCCGCCAGAACTCGCGCGCGAGCCAGACTTCTTCTGTTTCCACGATTTTTGTGGGTTCCAAGTCGGGCAGGACGTACTGCTCTCCTTTATCGACGCAGAACAACGTCGTGCCCTCCGGTGCTGATCCCAGCAGCTTCGTCCGCAAATCGGCGTAGGTCGCGCCGGCGTCCAACGATACTGTCTCGAGGATAGTATCACAAGGTACGCCGCGCGGCGCGTCGCGCACAACGACCTCCCTCGCTATCAAAGGAGGCGGCGGGACGTCCGCCTCGTTGCCCTCCCTCAGTACCTTCCAGGAGAGGACGGTGCGGGGGTCTTCTGCTGGAGTTTCCCCTTCACCGTACTTGAGGTCGGGGTACTGCAGCGACCGGTAGTCTTCAGTATGACCGATCGGCCGCCTAAATTCGCGCTCCTCCGCCGCGCCCCACGCCTCCAAATTGGCCGGGTCGCCGACCTTTGGGATTTCGGGGTAGACGCCGAGCGCGACTTCACCAGAGCTCAGCTCCGGCTCCGGCTCCGGCTCCGGCTGGCGACTCGCGGACGACGGGCGGCTGCGATTTGCCGACAGCGGGCGGCTGCCGCGGCTGCTGCGGGTCGCCGTGTTGCTAACTTTGGGGCGCTCTGCCGGACTTTGGTCCTGGCAGCGATCCCCGGGCGTCGTTGAGCGCTCTCCGGGCTGGGCGCTTCGAGAACTGATGCGAAGCCTTCCGCTCCGATCGCCCGGGCGCGTACGGGAGCACGCAGCCCAAAAACTACGCGTTACGCTGGACGCTGGGCGCCGGGTGAGGTATCGGTATATGTTACCTTATACCTCGGTGGTAGGGTCAGGAGCCTGGTCGTCTTGGAGCGAGTGCGTGGCACCGCGTGTCGGGTTTCTCGAAGAGTACAATATTAAAGCCGCTGCGTCGACTCGGGATTCCCCGCCACTAATGGCAGCTCGGTGCCCGCGGGGATCGTCAGGTCCATCGGTTGTGACAGAGGGCGCGCGACGACAGGCTGCCGCGCGGCGAGCGACAGCAGCGTCATGCCGTTGCCGCCGCCGCGCGTGAATAACGGCGCCGGCGCGACCGACGACGTGTCGGACGCGGCGTCGTCGACGTCCGCCATCGGTTGGGGCGGCGGCGGCGCGGCCGCGACGACGACGCGGCCGCTGTCGTCGCGCGACACGCGCGACGCCAGGATTGGATCGATAGACTTTAACACACTTTCGTGGGTCTCGCACAACCGATTCTGTGATGCCAATTCTTCCTCGAGCAATTTGACGCGGTCCCGTCTCTTTTCATACCGCCGCCTTTCTAGAATTTCCGCCTTCTTCAGTCGCTCGTGCCCCTTTTCGAGCGTCGCCTTGCGCGACGCGAGGACGTGCTGGGCGTAGAGCAAATACTGGGCCGCGAGCTGGCTCGTGCGCAAGGCTTTCATTTCGAGTTGACTCCGCTCCGACTCGTAGTCCACAAAGCCATCATCAATATCCCCCACGCACACGTCGGCCAAGAACTCCCGCAATGCGACGACGTCTCCCAACTTCTCGAGGCGCCGCACATCTGTAGAAGCGACGCGCGGCCAGTCGACGGGCGCCGTGCGCTCCTCGAAGGCGAACTTGGTCGCGGCCATGGCGTACGGAAATGGGCTGGGTGGTGCTGCTCCTGGGTGCGGCTACTGGGCAGCCTGAAAGTGCGGCGCGTGGGCCAGGCTCCTGGGCAGCCTGGAATCGCTTCCTGGGCAGCCGAGCTTGGGGCAGCGTGGTGGTAGACCGACGCGCGCGTCGGTGGCGGACTGTTCGGCAAGCCGAGGCTCGCTCTGGTGTCGTTTGGGCGGTATTTGGTCGCAAACCGACGACAACTACGACAAACCGGCTGGCAGACCCGCGGCCGTGGACGCGTGCGCGGAGCGCTCCGGGGCGACCCAACATGAGCATAGGGGTGTTTCGGCCGCGCAACGACACTTCGATTCTGACGTGATGGCGACGTGTCACCTTTCAAACGTAGCTCTGCTCTTTTGCTCAACTCAACAGGGCGCTAAAAAAATTCAGTTGTACGCCCCCGGACGGCGCGCGCGGCCAGGCCACCGCCCTCGTAGGGTCCTTGGGCCTCGACCAGAGAAGGGGCAGCCCCGGGAGGCGTCCACGATGCGCCGCGCACCGAGTTTGGCAAGTCCACCACCCGCGCTCCGCCTGCCGCGCGCGCGCGACCGCGCTGCCCCACCTACGGTCTCGTCGGCCCGCGAGCGGAGCCCGGCGCGCCTCGACACGATGGGAGAGCCCCGGGCGGCGCGGTTGGCGCGCGAGGCGGCGCGCCGCAAGAGCGCGCCCGAGACGCTGGCGGCCCTGCGCCTGCCCCAGGCGGCGCCGACCACGCTGGCGCCGGTGCGGCACCAGCCCAAGCTGCCTTCCCGTAATTTCGCGCCGAACACGCTCAGCCCCATGGCCTGCGCAGCGCCCGGCGAGCTCTTCGCCTGCTCTGCACCATCGCCGTCTTCGGTGGCGTCGCCGCCGGCAGCGCACGTCGCCGCGCAGCGGCCGTCGAGCGCGCGGCCGGGCCACCGCGGCGGCGGGCGGCGGTCGGACCGGTCGCGGTCGGACCGATCGCCGTCGGGTGGCGGCGCGCGGCCCCGGTCCGCGCCGCGCGGCGGCCGGCGGCGCAGCGACACGGACTTGATTTTTGTGGATGACGCCCGCCGGCCCTCCTGGGCCGAAGCCATGTTGGAGGCGCGACGGTCGCCGCGCGCCGTCGCGCCGCCGCCCGAGAGGGCGCCGCGCCGGCTCGGGCCGCTCGAGCCCCTCTACCCCAACCCCGCGCGGACAGCGCGGCCCTCAACCCCGGAGAAGCTCGTGCTCCGGCGCCCGCGTCAACTGGCGGCCGTCTACTAGGACGCGCCGCGGCCAATTCACAGAAGACCCCCTTGGAACCATCCCCCGGCCTTAAGCAACGAGCCATCTATGGTCTGTTTGTGGTTGCGAAAACCCGGCGCGCGCCGATCCTAAGTTTCGAGCGGCTCGAGTCGCTCGCGCGCGCGCGCGCGCGCGGCAGGGGCAGCCGATCCTGAGCTCGAACGCTCGAGCGCCACCGCGCCGGGGCTGCCCACGGGCAGCGATGGCGGGCATCTCTGAGGATCCGCAGGGGCCGGCACTGCGGCTGGTCCTGGCGGCGGCGGTCATCTTGATCGTCCTGCGGGACTCCCTGCTGGAGGACCCGAACCGCCTCCTTTGCGCGGCCGTGGCGTCCGTTCTGGTGGTCGAGTGGGTCGGCTGCGGGCGGCGCTGGTACGCCTGGCTCTGCGGCTCCGGCCTCGCGAAGTACTGCGCCGCGACCAGACGCGCGTTTCCCTGCGACCGCCGCGGCTTCGGCGACGACCACGACCGGTTGTGGGGCTGCGTGCCGGTGCCGGCCGTGCCGGTGGCGGGCATGGACGCTCTGCTCTTCTTCATCGCAGCGCCGCTATTCCTCTTCCCGCATTCGCAAGCGGCGCGCGCGCTGGCCGCGGGCGCCGCCCACGTATACGTCACGAACCTCCAGACGCACAAGACGGGCGGACAGCACGGCATCCTCGTGCTGCACGTGCTCGCGCTGCAGGCGCTGCGGTCGGAGGGTGAGGGCGCGCTGTGCCTCCTCTGCACGCGGGCCGTCGTGCTGAGCCTCTACTTCGGGGCGGCCCTGTCCAAGCTCAAGGTGAGCGGCCCGCGCTGGTGCGACGGCGGCACGCTCCAGAAGGAGCTCTTCGAGAGCACGTTCCTCGTGCCCGGCGCGCCCTGGCAGCTCCGGGCGACGCGCGCCGTGGCCCGCGACCGGGCCCTGTGCCGCGTCGCGTCGACGGCGACCGTCGCCGTCGAGTTCTTCGCGCCCCTCTTGATGCTTATGTTTCCGGGCTTCCCGTTCGAGTGGCTCTACGTGCCCGTGCACGTGGCCATCTACGTGCTCATGGGCGTCGACTTTGTTACCTGGTGGGTGCCCGTCCTGCTCCTGTTGGGCCTTTTCGCCCGCGAGCCCCCGCCCGCGTCCCTGTCGTCTAGCCCCGCGATGCCCCTCTACGCGCTCGTGCAGCTCGTGATTTCTCTCGCGAGCGCGGACCTTCGGGGCGTGAAGTGCTTCCCCTTCACGTGCTGCCCGATGTTCTGCGACCGCAAGGAGCTATTTGGAGAAGGGGGCGGCACGTGGACGCTCACCGACGCGCCGCTCCCGGGCCTGCTGACGCCCTGGTACCCGCCCTCGTACATCCAGGGCAAATTTACGGCGAGCGAGCTGCCCCGGCTCCCCTACCGCTACGCGAGCTTCTCCTTCGGCGCCGGCGACGCGCTCGCGCTGACGCGGCTCCGGCCGAAGCGCGAGCGGCCGCGCGACGGGCACGAGACGTTCGCAAATTTCGAGGTCACCGGATGCCTCCGGGACCGCCTCCGGGACGGCGCGGCCTTCGTCCGGCGCGGCGACGCGGGCTGGGCCTGGGACCGCGGCCGCATGGACGAGCTCCTGGCGCACCAGAGCGCCATCCAGGACGCGATGCGCGCCGCGTGCGCGGGCGAGGACGCCGACGCCGTGCGGCCGCCCCCGAGCAACCCCGGCGGGTAATGTTTCCAAGTTTTATTTTATGCCTCGTCGGGCCGCCGCCGCGCCCCGGACAGCAGGGGCCGCGACGGCTCCTCCGAGTCCTCGCCGGACTCCTTCCAGTTGCCGTAGATGGCCACGAGCACGGCGCACACGATGAGGCCGGCGCCGAGGGCCTGCTCCCACGTCGGCGGCTCGTCGCGCACGGTGCACTGGTACACGTACGCCCAGAAGATGTCCGTGATCTGCAATACGGAGCCGACGTGCGCGGGCAGCTCCTGCGTCGTCAGGATGAACCCGAACTGCGCAAAGACGAGGAGCACGGCCTGGCCGACGAGGCAGGCCCAGACGGTCGCGTTCAGCGGGTCCACGATGCGCCACTCGGGCAGCGCAAAGCTCAGGACGAGCGCCGCGAGCATGGTCATGGCCCCCGCGGCGAACATCACGTTGCCCAGCGGCGTCCCCCGCGTCATCCGGCCGACGGGGTACTGCAGCCCGAAGGTCAACGACGCGCTCAGCGCGCAGGTATAGCCAAGCGTCGTGATGGAGTCGGCGTCGTCGGTCGTCCCAAAAATGAACGTGGGCTGCGTCAGCGTCGTCGCGCCGGCGAGCGCAAGTAATAATGCAACCGGGAATATCAATGGTAGTCTCTCCCCGAGAAAGACGCGCGAGAAGAAGGGGCCCGTGATCGGGTAGAGCGACGTCAGGACCACGGCGTCGCCGAGCGGCAGCTGCGTCAGCGCCGTGAAGTACAACATAATATTCGCCGCGGTGATGGCACCCCGCAGCCAGGCCCAGAGCTGCTGCCTCTCGCGTGGGAAGTACTCGCGCTCGCCCCGCAGGAGGAGGATCGCGGTCAAAATTTGCAGCATGCCCCGCGCGAGCGTGAACTCGCCGACGGGCAGAGAACCGTCAGCCGAACCGATCTGCACGAGCAGCCCGGCGCTCGCGTAGGTGAAGGCGGACAGGAGGCACACCACGAGCAGGAGGGTCTGCGACGCGTCCCGCGGCGCGCAGGTCAGCACGGCGAACGTCTCCGCCAGGCGGGCGCCGTCGCACGAGCAGGCGTCCATTATTCCTTTTTTTTTTTTTTTGCCTGTGCGCCTGTGCTGCACGCGGCAGCACACGCGGGTATCCTCCAGCAGCCGGGAGCTGCCTCTTGTCCAGCTGCCTGGGCTGCCCCGCTACGTATCGCTCGCTCCCCGCTACGTATCGCTCGACTGCGTACTTGTTTTGCAAGTGTCGTTCGACCGCGCACTTGTTTTGCAAGCAATCGTACGCTGCCCTAGCGTCGAGGATCGCGAGGACATGCGAAGATTTTCCATTTCACGGGTTTTAGGAGCGGACGGACCCGTAAAATGGGCGCTGTCCGATCATGGCACTGTTCAATGGACGAATGTACTGCGTGCGGGACAGTGGCGGCCGTTCGACTCGGACTCGAGTCGAGGCCGCAGGCGACTCCGAGTCGAGCACTACCAAGACCACTGGCAGCCAGACGCCATCGACGCGCAAGACTCCGGGAATCTACTTACGTACAAAGGGACCGCCTAGTCCTCCTCCGACGGCGTGAACTTGGCCATGAGCTCCTTCTCGACGTTCGGCGGCACGAAGTCGTACGAGGCCAATTTCATCGAATAGGACGCGCGGCCCTTGGAGATGGAGCGCAGCGTCGAGACGTACTGGAACATGTTCGCGAGCGGCACGGACGCGCGGATCGTCTTCGCGTTGCCGCGCTCGCCCAGATCACCGACGAGCCCTCTTCTCGAGTTGATGTCCCCGATGACATCGCCCATGTAGTCCTCGGGCGTCGTCACGTCGACCTGCATCATGGGCTCCATCAATCGGACCTTGCCCTTGCGCAGGCCCTCGCGGCAGCAGCCGCGGCCCGCGATCTCGAACGCGAGGACGGAAGAGTCGACGTCGTGGAACGCGCCGTCGACGAGCGTCGCCTTCATGCCCAGGACGGGGTAGCCCGCCAACACGCCCGTCTTCAGGACGTCCTCGATGCCCTTCTGGACGCCCGGAATGTACTCCTTGGGCACGGCACCGCCCTTAATTTCCGAGGCGAACACAAAGTCCGCACTTTCTTCGCCATCGAGCGGCTCGAACTGGACCTTGCATCTAGCGTACTGGCCCGAACCACCCGACTGTTTCTTGTGCGTGAAGTCGACCTCGGCCGGCGCCGTGATGGCCTCGCGGTAGGACACCTGAGGAGCCCCAACATTAGCCTCGACGCCGAACTCGCGCTGCAAGCGGTCCACGATGATCTCCAAGTGCAGCTCGCCCATGCCGCTGATGATGGTCTGGGCGTTCTCCTCGTCGTACTTCGTGCGGAACGAGGGATCCTCCGCCGCCAGCCGCGCCAACGCCTCGCCCATCTTGTCCTGGTCCTTCTTGGACTTGGCTTCCACGGCCACGCTAATAACGGGCTCGGGGAAGTCCATCTTCTCGAGGATGACGGCGTTGTCCTTGTCGCAGAGCGTCTCGCCCGTGGTGGTCTGTTTCAGCCCCGCGACGGCGATGATGTCACCAGCCACCGCTGATTTAACCTCGGTTCTATCATTGGCGTGCATCTGGAGCATGCGGCCGACGCGTTCGCGCTGGCCCTTCACACTGTTGTAGACGCCGTCGCCCGCGTTGAGGATGCCCGAGTAGATGCGGCAGAACGTCAGCGTGCCCACAAACGGGTCCGTCATGATCTTGAAGGCCAGAGCCGAAAAGGGCTCCTCGTCACTCGAGATGCGCTCCATGGCCGTCTCGCCGTCCAAGCTCGTACCCTTGATCGCTTCGACGTCATCAGGGGCCGGCATGTAGTCGACGACGGCATCCAACAAGGGCTGGACGCCCTTGTTCTTGAAGGCCGTGCCCGTTAACACGGGCACGAAGGCACCGCTCAGAGTACCGGTGCGGATGCACTTCTTGAGCGTCTCGGCGTCGGGCTCCTCGCCCTCCAAGTAGGCCATGAGCGCGTCTTCGTCCTGCTCGACGGCCAACTCGATCATCTCGGCGCGGTACTCCGCCGCCTTCTCCTTGATGCTCTCGTCGATATCCGCGTCGGCGATGGGAACGCGGTCGAACTTCGCGCCCATCTCCTCGCCGGACCAGATGATGGCCTCGTTCGTCACCAGGTCGACGACGCCCTCGAAGTCCGCTTCAGGGGGCGTAGGGGTGGTGGCGATCGGCACCTGCAAGACGGCAGGCACGGCACCGAGCTGGTCCTTGATCATCTCGACGCAGTTGTAGAAGTTCGCGCCCATGCGGTCCATCTTGTTGACGAAGCACATGCGGGGCACGCCATATTTATTACCCTGGCGCCAGACGGTCTCGGACTGCGGCTCGACGCCCGCGACGCCGTCGAAGACGGCCACGGCGCCGTCGAGGACTCTTAACGAACGTTCGACTTCGAGCGTGAAGTCGACGTGGCCCGGCGTGTCAATAATATTGATCTGGTGCTCGCGCCAGTAGCACGTCGTCGCGGCGGACGTAATAGTGATGCCGCGCTCCTGCTCCTGCTCCATCCAGTCCATGGTCGCGCCGCCCTCGTGGACCTCGCCGATCTTGTAGGACTTGCCCGTGTAGTAGAGGATGCGCTCGGTCGTCGTCGTCTTGCCTGCGCGACGAGTCGGTTTCGCGTCAACTTCAATTCTATTACAGTGTATGCATTGGACGCGGGCACGGACCGGCGTCGATGTGGGCCATAATACCAATGTTGCGGTAGTTGTGCATGTCGACCTGGCGGCCCGTAGTCTCTGACACTTTGACGTCGGGCTCAGCCCTGGCGGGCGCGACCTTCACGCCTCGACGCGCGGGCGCCTGCAGGCCATAGGCCGGCGCGAGCAGCGCGAGCGCTGCGATGAGCTTGGCCATCGTGCTGTTCGTGTGCGCTCTCGCAAACACGCACTGCCTGCAATCGTGTTGGGCGTCTCGCTAGACGCAGCCAATAATCGTCCCAAAGCCTCCAAGATCGAGCCAGAGTCGTCCCGCGACCACTCCTCCGATGCACTGGTTGAGGCTTAGCGTGGGTTTCGAGACTCTAGGCTGCTCTCAAAGCCTGCGTGTTTTGCGTTTGAGGCCGCAAATATAGACATCGGCGCAGCCGATTCGGAGCAAGTGCAAGCGTAACGTGGTCCATTTCGCACATATACGGCAGCTGCAGAAGCATTGGTCTTAACGATACCACCTCGTGGAGCTAGCAGTCGAGGAAGCTGCAGGCACCACTCACAGCACCAAAAAGCGCAAGCGCTATATCTGGCCATGACGCCGCCGCCGCGCCGACTCATCGCAGCACTGCTCTTGACTACCCGTGCTCTGGCGCTGGTTCCGCACTGCAGCCAGCGTCGTCGACCGGCGCCGTCCACCCGGCACGCATCCAGCGACGACGCCGCGGACGTTAATGACGCCAACGACGCCGACGACGACGAGGCCACGCTCTTCTCCAAACGCAAGGCCGCCGAAATAAAAATACCCGTCGAGGTCTATGACACGACGCCGCCGCAGAACTTGGTGGGAGTGTACCCGCTCTCGCCCACGGTCGGCTGCGGCGACATCCTGCGCGTCGAAAAAGAAGAAATCGAGGCCTACGTCATCAAGCGCGTCGAGTCGCGGAAGCGCTGGATGGACGGGAACTTCGTGCTCGACTCGATGCGCGCCGACGCGACGGAGGTGAATAGGGCGTCGCTCGAGAAGCGGCTGCGGAGAATGATGCCCGAGTAATATGGTGTGTGTATTTTAGACTCGGTGGCGCCACGTCGATGGCGTGGAGGGGGGCGCCGTGCATTGCGGGAGAAAAGCACCGGGGTCGGTCGCGAGAGACGTCGCGCGCCGAGCAATCGCGTGCGCCCCGGCGCATGCCAGGCCCGCCGGCTGCTTAGTTCCTAGTTCGCGGGGGTCTTGCCTCGCCCACCTAGTCCGATCGCGGGCGCTTTAGCTATACAGTGCTAGCGTATCAGACACACACTAGTTTGACAACGCTGAAAGTGCCGCTGCTCAACTCCGGACGCAGCCGTGAGGCAGCCCATCGACGCAGGAATGATGCGGTAACGCACCAAACATGTTCAAGAAGAAGGTCCCCAAGCCCTCGAGACCGGACGGGGTTGCCCCCGGCAAGACTGGTGGAGATGGTGCCCCGCCCGGCCCCCCCGGCGGCATCCCGCCCCACCTGCGGCCGCAGGAAGCGAAGAAGGGCGCGCCGCCGCCCGGCGCGCCGCCGGCCAACGCCATTAAGCCCGGCCAGAAAAAGGCCAAGCCGCCCGTCGACCGGACGAGCCATCTCGAGATCTACTCGACGACGAAGAAGGCCAAGGCCGAGGCGAAAGGGAGTCCCGAGGAGGCCGCCGAGGCCAAAAGTGGGGGAAGATCCTGGTTCGGGGGCAAGAAGAAGGACAAGGGCCGGCCCCCACCCAAAGGGTTGTCGAAGCCGCCGGGCGCGCCGCCCCTCGATAGAAAAGATAGCGAGGGCAAGCCCGTTCCTGTGAGTGCGGCAGCGAGAGCCGAGGCCAAGGCGTCTCGAAGCGAGCCCGTCGTCGTGAAGGAGCCCGAGCCGGAACCGGTCTATGCGCCGCCGCCGGAAGACGAATACATAGCGCCGCCCAAGAAGCAGGACAAGCGGAAGAAATTTAAATTAGAGAAGCCCGCACCCGCCCAAATAGAGGAGCAGAGCGTCCAGTCGAGCGTCCAGGGACAACAACTCACGAGGGCGGAACCGCCCCCGGACCAATCATTTAAAAGACAAACACCTCCGTATCGACCGCCGCCCGGCGCGCCGCCGGGCAAAGCGCCGCCTCGCGGTGCGGATGGCCATTCGCAGCCGCCGCCGGGCTGGCGACCGCCCAGGGAGCAAGAAGAGTTTGAAAAGCAGGAGGCGAAGCAACAACAAATGCTCGAGCTGGTCAAGGGCGCCCCGAAGGGGCGGCGGCCGCCCGGCGCGCCGCCTCCAATAAGAGCGGCGCCGCCCACGTCAAAAGACCACCCGGTAGCTGCGGGTAAAAGACCGACGAGACCGGAGCAGCCCCACGAGGATCTAGCACTTGTCAGTTCTGATGACGAGGACCCCGGCGCGCCCGACGAGTACGAGGAAGCGCGAGATGAAGGTGTTGTCGCGCCGCGGGACAAACCCCCGGCTGGGGGCGTACCACCACCCCCGAGAGAAGCTCCTCCTGTGACGGGAGTGCCACCCCCACCAGCCGACGTTCCGGTCGCGCACTTGGCCGGCGCCAGCGCACCTGAAGCCGACATCGACGCCCATCTGAAGCGAACGGTGAAAGCGGGACGGTTACGAATACGCTGTGTAGAAGCACACAACGTGCACAGGCGAGGCAGTGCACCGACCAAGACGAAGATCGACGCGTTCATGCGGTTCACGCTCGGGAGGCACAAGAAAGCCCCGAGAAAAAAGACGAAGATCTATCGACGGAGTAACCACCACCCCATCTTCGACGACGAGGAGATCCGCTTTGATTTAGTCGATCCGTCGGACTACGTGGCGAACGGCGACATTGACCTCACTCTAGAATTGTTCGACCAGAACGCGTGGGCCGACGAGCTCATTTGTGCGGGCAACATTTCAATACTAAGATATATGGTCGAGGCGGGAGGCGTCGTCGAGACCGTATCCCTAAAGGTTCCTGGGGAAGATCGCGCGGACACGACCTTTACTGGAGAATTTACGTTCGAACCGGCAGTCGTCGGCACTTGCGTCTTTACCCTGTATGAAGGCCGAAACCTAGCGAACATGGATTCCGTGGGCAAGCAGGACCCCTACGTGAAACTCACGCTAGGCGACACGACGAAACAGTCGAAAACTTGTGAAGATGGCGGCACGGATCCCTATTTTGAAGAGGAGGAGCTCGTGCTGTGGATCGACGACACGGCCTGGACCGAGGACTTATTGGTGCAGGTCTACGACGAAGATGTGGGGCTGGATGATCTCATTGGCCAGTCCCATGTGCCTCTGTTGCCCTACATGGCGGTGCCGCCGCAACACGCCAAGGAACAAGTTTTCGAGCTGTTTAACAAAGTCGACGCGAAGAAACACCGCGGGGAGTTACTGATGAAATTGCAATTCCTACCAGCTGGTAAATTGACGATCAGATGTCTCAGCGCGAAGGGTTTGAGGAATCGAGACACCTTGGGAAGGCAGGACCCCTACGTCATCTTCACGACGTCGGGGGAATGCCACCGCATCCAGGAACGAACGCATGTCGACCAGGACGGCGGCACGGAGCCGACGTGGGACTGCGACGTCGAGATGAGGGTCGTCGACCACCACGAGCTCTGGATCGAGTGCTACGACCACGACGCGATCGGGTCGGACGACCTCATCGGGAAGTGCAAACTGTCGTTATTGCCCGTATTTAAAAGAGGTTTAATTGATACCTGGGTGACGATCAAGGAGGAGACGGAGTGGGGCAAGCCGAAGCCCGCCGGCGACATCCACCTCATATTTGAATTTGAGGCGCCGCCGGGCATTCGGTATCCCCAGCACGCCCCGGGCATCGACTCCTTCGACGAGAAGGACCGTATTAGCAAGTTAGCTGAGGAGTTGAAGGCGAAACAAATTGCCGAGCTCGATGCGGGCCGCAAGGATAAAGCCGAATTAGCCGATCAAATCTTGGATCGCCAACGAGCCGCGAAACGCGTACGCACGACGGAGTTCACGGACGGAGAGATCGAAGCAGCGTTCAAGTTTATAGATTTGGACCATAATGGGTATGTGGGAGCCGCGGAAATAAGGCATGTACTCGTATGTATGGGCGAACTCATCACGGACGAGGAGGTGGACATGATGATCAAGATGGTCGACTCCGACGGCGACGGCCAAGTTTCGTTTACGGAGTTCTATAATGTGGTCACGGACCCCGACCCGGCGCACACGGACTTCGTGAAGATGGCGGCCCAGGAGGAAGAAGATCCGGCGCAATCGGGCGACCCGGGCCAGATGGACGCCAAGGCCCACGAGCGCCACAAGGAGATTACTCTCAGAAATAAGAAGCGCGAGATGATGGAGGCGTTTACCGTTTTTTGTCAGTGTGGCAAACTTCAAGCTGTGCTTCAATTTGACGCGTGTCGCGGTTCGCGTGAGGTGTTGCTCTCTGAATATGGATCTCTTGGAGATCGTGTCCGAGTTTGGGCCGCTCCGAGGGCCGCGGAGTACTCACCGGTCGATGTCCCCACAGGTCGAGAACGGCGTCGGCCCCGCGGAGGTGCTGCACTGCTACTCGAAGTTCCTGCAACTCCCGCAAGAACGGAGGGTGGACTGCAAGGTCGACTTCGAGACGTACTGCGAGATTCTGAGTATAGAACCGACGGGCGAGACGCACATGTTGTTTTCGCTCTTTGACGAGGGCGGCGACGGCGACGTGGACATGAAGGAGTTCTTGCTGGGCATGTGCAACTTCACGGCCATGGACACGACGGAGCGCATCGACATGATCTTCGATCTTTTTGATGAAGACAAGTCGGGCTTCTTATCCACCAATGAATTGATTAAAATACTGCAGGCGAACCACATGCAGTCGTCGGGATCGGTCAAGAAGAAGGCCGAGACGATCATCCAGCAGGCCGACAAAGATAACAGTGGGACGCTATCTCGCTCCGAATTTGATATTGTGGCGCAGAAGTTCCCCTCGGTCTTATTTCCGAAGCTGCGGAAGGAGGACAAGGAGGCGGCACAAACGCGGAACATCCAGATGACGGGGAAGACCGAGCTTGCCTTGCCTGCCGGCTGAGTAATGTTTATGAAAACTAATATTTGTAGCACTCTGCGGCGATGGCGTGTGGGCGGGGGTCTACTACGCGTGCCATGATAGGATTTACTATGTACAAGGGGGAGCGGTGGCCGCGCGAGGCGCCACCGCTGCTCGGCGACCTCACGCCGGCACGGACGCCAGCGACGACGGAGTCAGCGCGGACGCCGTATGGAACGACTCGTCGTCGTCTTCGCCGCGCGCGCGGCGTTCGATGGTCGAGTCCATGTCGTTGCGGAAGAGCGACCCGGCGCCCCGGATGTTGATGCCGAGCGTGAGGAATGCACTCAATATGATAATGATGCCAAGGTGACGGTAGCCTTGCGGACCGGAGCTCCCAAACATGAACATGAGGCCCCACCTGCGCACGATGCGTGTGACGCGGGCACCGGAACGACGTCGCGCCGATGGCGTGGAGCCTCGACGCCGTCAACGTGATCGAGGAGAACGCCGGCCGCGCACGCAACCGCTCCCACATTGCCGCCTGCGCCGACGACGCCGGCGACCGCGCCTAGCGCGTTCGGCGCGACGAAAGGAACTATCGCGAACGTCGTGCCCTCGGCGGCCTGCGCGCGGGAACAAGTTTTGGGCCGCTTCGGCGGCGTCGAGCGCCACGCCATCGATGCGACGTGTTTTGGCGCGGCTCGCGACCTGCGTCAGGATCGAGAAGACCACCAATGTAAAAATCGCCATCCCTAGCCCCGAGACGTAGGAGAAGCATACGAGCACGAGACCTTCGGCCAGCAACGACACGCCGTGGACCGCGAGCCGCCCGCGCATGCCGCAGTTCGTGTTCGCCAGGTCCGAGCAGTAGCCCCCCAGCCCGCGCGCAAATAAATTCATCCACCCGAAGAGCGACGCGACGAGGCCCGCCGTGCCGATGGAGAGCCCGTACTCATCATAAAAGTACATGGCCATGGCGTTGTTGACGTGGAGCTCGACGCCGAAGCACGCCGCGTACTGCGCGAATAAGATCCAGGAGTTTAGATTCTTGAGGCCGTCCCTTGCGGACTTGCGCATCGTCTGGCGTTGCCGCGTGCCGGCACGAATCGCGTCCCTTAACGTGCCCTGGGGGCACTCGTCGCTGTACGCGTATAACGCGGCGGCGACGACGAGCACTATACATCCAGGAAAGTAGAAGGCGTTGCGCCAGGCCTGGTTCCGGGACAGGCCCGCGCTCCGCAACCTGTGTGGAATCCCCGTAACTGACGCCATCGACGCGAGTTTGATTTCCACGCAGTCCGCGACCCCTCATACACATAGCCCATGATCAGGATCGTGAACCCGCCGCCGCAGTTCCCCCAGCCCGCCGTCAGGGCGTTGGCCAACCCCACGACGTTCTTGGCGAACATCTCGCTCGTCCAGAGCTGCGTGATGACGAACGTCGCGCCCGCCACGCCGATGAAGAAGCGCAGCACGCAGAGCTCCGCCAGGTTTTTGGGGAGACCACTAAATAACGTACAAACGCCGACGAACGTGAGGAGACCGGCCTGGACACCTGTGTGTGGAAATCAACCGGTGAATCCGGGTCGACCGCGAAAGTTTAATTTCCACACAAATAAAATACGAACGGCGCCGTGCTTGTCGCCCAGCGGCCCCACCACGAAGCGCGCGACGACGCACGCCGCCACGTTGCAGACGTTACTGAGCCAGATCCCGCGCGTCGAGATGTCGAGGTCCTGGCGGATAATAACCAGGAGCGGCGCGTAGGCGAACCACGCCATGAAGGCCACGAAGAAACTGAGCCACTGGAAGTGAAACGCGCGCATGTGCGGCCGCGCGAAGGTTAGTTTGGTCCCGAAGAGCGGCCAGAGCTGGAGCTCCGTCGCCTTGTTGTGCTGGCCCAGGTCGACGGCCACATAGCCGACGCGCGCGACGCCGGCCTCGTCGACGGCGTAGGGATACTTCGGCGCCGGCGGCTCGGACTTGGTCATTTGATGCTCCGCGTCGTCGTCGAGCGACCTCGTCGGCGTGATGCGCGACGGCGAAGACGGCGTCTTGAGGTCCGGGGCCTCCTGCCCGATTCGCGCCGGATTGCTCATTTCTCGCTCCCAGCGGTCGTCTCTCGCGCGGCGCAGCACGGGCGCTGGGCTGGCCTGATTTGAGAAATCTCTCTCTCGAAGATCTCGACGGTTTTTCTACGTCCCGTGAGTATGGTGGTAACGAAGGTATCTCAGAGATTTCACCTTGCCTAAAATTGATGCAAACGGCGGTCGTAAGGCGGCCGTTCAAGGTCAGAGCTCTTGCTTGCTAGTGTCTTACCGACCGCTAGCCTCAGGTCTGGTCGCAAAGTTGAATGCTCAGCGTCTAGGCAAGCCTGGCAGCGCACAGCTCGGCAGCGCACGCTGGACTTCGCTCCTGAAGCGTGCACTGCGTTCTCCGACGTCTCATCACGCCTGTCGCCAGCACAAGAGCTGTTTGCAGTAAGTGCGTGTACGGCCGTGGCGCGCGCATAGGTGCAGCACTGATGAGGAGGAGGATGACGCTCGTCGCCCTGGCGAGCGGCCGCGCGGTGCGGGCGCTCCGGCCGCTGGCGCGCGCGCGGCAGCCGCTCCGGGCCGCGACCGCGCTGCGGAGCACGGCGACGCGGCCGGCCTTCCTCGACGCCAAGGAGCCGCTGCCGGCGTCCTACGACTTCGGCGTCGAGGGCCCGTTATATGAATGGTGGGAGGCCAGCGGCAAGTTTAAACCTAAGGAGGAGGAGCACGAGCGCGGCGCGTACACGTGCCCCATGCCGCCTCCCAATGTCACCGGAAGGTTACATTTAGGACATGCGATGTTCGTGGCGTTGCAGGATATTCTGGCGCGGTTCCACCGGATGCGGGGGCGGCCGACGCTGTGGTTGCCGGGTACCGACCACGCCGGAATAGCCACCCAATTACTTGTGGAGAGGGCCATCACGGCGGAAGGACTGAACAGAGTGGAGATGGGCCGCGAGAAGTTCCTGGATCGAGTCTGGCAGTGGAAGGAGGACAACGGTGGGGCCATCTGCTCGCAGATGCGTAGATTAGGAGCGTCGGCCGATTGGTCTAGGGAGAAGTTCACGTTGGACGACGACATGTCGACGGCCGTCACGGAGGCCTTCGTGCGGCTCCACGAGAAAGGTTTAGTTTATCGAGGTTCCCGCATGGTCAACTGGAGTCCCAATCTCGGCACCGCCGTCTCTGATCTCGAAGTAGAATTCGTGGAGAGAGAAGGATTGTTATATTACTTCAAGTACGAGGTCGAAGGCGGCGGCTACCTGCCCGTCGCGACGTCGCGACCAGAAACCATACTAGGAGATACCGCGGTCTGTGTCAACCCCGACGACGATAGATACAAAGACTATGTGGGCAAGCAATGTATCGTGCCCATGAGTGGTGGGAGGACGATCCCCATCTTGGCGGACGACTACGTCGACGTCGAGTTCGGTACGGGAGCTCTCAAAGTGACGCCCGGCCACGACGCGAACGATTATGCTATTGGTCAAAGAAATAACCTGCCCATCATCAACATCATGGACGAGAAGGGGGCGTTGAACGAGAACGGCGGTGATTATGCCGGGATGGATCGGTTTAAGTGTAGGAAGCAGTTGTGGAAGGACATGGAGGCCGCGGGATTGGTCCTGAAGACCGAACCGCACGTCTCGCGCGTCCCGATCTCTCAACGGGGCGGGGAAGTCGTCGAGCCGCTCGTCTCCACCCAATGGTTCGTGAAGATGGACAATATGGCTTCGAGAGGTGTCGACGCCGTGCGACAGGGAGACATTCAGATCGTCCCGAAACGCTTCGAGAAGGAGTGGTACAATTGGCTCGAGAACATCCAGGACTGGTGCGTGTCGCGCCAGTTGTGGTGGGGCCACCAGATACCCGTGTATTACGCGGAGGGGTATGACGGGTACTTTTGTGCGAGATCGGAGGAAGATGCGAGGAAGCAAGCGACCGAGGCCGGCGTAGCTACGACGACACCATTAACGAGAGACTCTGATGTATTAGATACCTGGTTCTCGTCCGGTTTGTGGCCCTTTGCCACTGTAGGGTGGCCCGAGAACACGCCTGACTTCAAGAAGTTCTACCCCGCGACCTGCCTGGAGACGGGCTACGACATCCTCTTCTTCTGGGTCGCGCGCATGGTCATGATGGGTCTGGAGTTTACGGATGAGGTACCGTTCGATACGATATACATGCATGGGTTAGTGAGGGACGAGAAGAACGAAAAGATGTCAAAGACGAAGGGCAACGTCGTGGACCCGCTCGACGTCGTGGATGAATACGGTGCTGATGCGTTGCGGTTCTCGCTGGTGACCGGAGTCACGCCGGGCCAAGACGTCCCGCTGTCGATGGAACGAGTGAAAGTGAACCGGAACTTCTGTAATAAATTATGGAACGCCGCGCGCTTCCTGGAGCCCAAAATGGTCACTTCGGGTGGTGTCATCGACCAGCAAGAATTATCTGAGATGCCTCTGTTCGAACGGTATATCGTGTCCGAGGCACACGCTTGTGCCGAGGCCTCGGCATCAGCCTTGGAAGACTACTCGATAGGCGACGCGGGCACGCGGGCCTACCGCTTCTTCTACGACGAGTTCGCCGACTGGTACGTCGAGGTCAGCAAGACGCGAAGTGCGGAAGATCAAGAGGCGTCGCAGCGGGCCTTGTCGTATTCCTTCGAGGTGTGTCTCAAATTACTACATCCCTTCGTGCCGCACGTGACTGAGTACTTGTGGCAGAAGCTCTTTAATTCTGATGGTGCTGATAAGGCGCTCATGACCGAATCTTATCCATCATTGGAAGGTCAAAGCTTAGCGCAGGACGCGGAAGCCGTGGCCTTGTTCAACGACTGGAAGGAACTTGTTAGGGCTATGAGGAACATCAGGGCCGAGTACAACATCGAACCCGCGATAAAAACGGGGCCGACGATAATATGTAGTGACGACGCGTTGGCAGATGTTATAAGGAGGGAGACGAAGGCTCTGGCGTTGTTAGCGAAAGTAGATCCGGAGCGAGTGACGGTGGTCAAGAGCAAGAGTGACGCTGTTATAGAGGACGACGCCGTGCAATTAGTCGTGTCCGATGGTTTGGAAGTCTTCCTGCCCCAACAAGACCTAGCTAAAGATGTCAAGAAGGAGTTGGATAGACTATCCACGCAACTAAAAAAGCTCGTCAAGGACATCGGCGGCCTGGAGGGGCGCCTCGGCAACCCGGGTTTTGCGGATAAGGCGCCCGCGGACGTCGTCGCGGCGACGCGCGCGTCCCTCGAAGAGAAGCTCGAGCAGAAGGCGACGCTCGACGCGTCGATCGCGGAGCTGGAGAAGCAGTAAGTTCACATTATTACACGACTAGAGGCTCGCGATGATCGCCTTGAGCTTGTTTTTCGCGACGGCGATCTGGTCCTTGGGCTCTTTAGTCTTGACCTGCGTGGGAACGGAGGAGTCGCGCGTCGATGGCGTGGAGCCTGACGCCATCGACGACACTGCAGCGCACCTTTCCGTTCCCAGGCTGGAAGTAGATGAAGTTGTTGTCGTAGACGTACCTGCCGGGAACCGCGCGTCGTCGCGGCGACGGAGTCGAAGCGTCGAAGGCAGTGTGTCGCGGCGATGGCGTCGCGGCGGCGTTTTTTGCCAGACGCGGCCTCGCACTGGTCCGTCAACTGGAGCGCCGACGACAGGTCCTCGGAGAGCTCAATTAATTCCGGGTCGCCGGCGCTGAGCGCCGCGGCGCGGATCCAGTTCTTGGAGTTGCCCGTTTTCCAGAGCTCGACTACTGGCGATTGCGCGAGCACCGTGCGCACGGCGTCCCACTTGCCGTCGTCGACGAAGCCGCTCAGCGGCTGGAGCGCCTCGAGGACCTTCTCGGCGTCGGTCTTGGTCGAGGCGAGCGCCGGCGTCGGCACGAGCACAGGCACGACCGCGGCGAGCGACCCGCGCTGCAGCGTCTGCCGGCGCGAGAGCGCCATCGATGCCGTTTCGCGCATCACTGCTGCTGCAAGGATGGCAAGTCTAGCCATCACTGCAGTCTGGATGCAAAACTGCAACGATCAAGGTTGCACGATGCAGCAAGATAATAAACGCGACAGCTGCGCTCCGGGTGCTGGTTGTAAAGCCTGTTTTGCTCTCTGACCAAGGGCTTGAGCTCACTAGTGTGTTACACGCCGCTAGCCGGATCGCGTTGGACCGGCGGTTCACGTGGCCCGTCGTCGTCGTGGGAGCCCCTGTAGTTTTTTTACAAAATAAACACTTCTATGTACACGTGCGGGAGCCCAGATCTCAGGCGCCGTGAAGGACCGCCTCCCCCGCGAACTCGGCGCGGAAGAGCAGTCGCTGGTATTTGTCCGCATCGAATGGCGACGCCGCATGGAGTAGCTGGCGATTGTCCCATAGCACTAGGTCGCCCTTCTTCCAAGCGTGCGCGTAGACGCCCGTCTCGATGACGCGCTCCGCGAGGCGGCGGACCATCGCGTCGCCCTCTTCGACCGTCCTGCCGGACCTGGCGGGCCACCCACTGCGCGGCAGTCTGCACACGCGCCGCGTGTTCTTCGGGTTCAGGTAGAGAGATAGGCGACCCGTGTCGGGGTGGCGTCGCACGAGCGGCCAGCAGACGTCCGGTTTTTTCGCCGCGTCGGCGGGCGTGATTTTCTGGCGCTTGGGATCCCGGCGCTCGAGGAGGTGCATGAAGCTCTCCCAGGAATGGACCGACGCGAGCGCTCCGAGCTCGGCGCGTTCGCTCTCCTCCAAGGCGTCGTAGCCGCGCGCGCACGACGCGAAGCGCGTCGCCGCGCCGACGGGCGGCAGCGCGTCGTCGAGCCAGGCCGGCGCGTACCTGCGGGGCGTCGTGACGATTTGCCGCGGACGAGGTGCGACGCCGGAGTCGGCACAGCGCGATGGCGCTCTTCGGAGCGGCGAGGAATGAGCCGTCCGTGTGCCACTCCTCGACGACGTTGAACGCGGGCTTGAATTCGCCGATCTGTTCGCCCTTCCGGCAGCCCTCGACTATTTCTCCGTCGCGCCTCGCGCGGTAATTTCCCAGGAGCGCCAGGTGCTGACAGCCTCGGACGCCTCGCGACTGGCCCGGCCAGCGGTCGTAGCGGATCAGGGCTCCGAAGTGCTTCGCGAAGCGTCCCAGCCCGCGCTCGAGCGCTTCCGGTGTCAGATCCTGGTCGCGCAGACATACCACGCCGCATCCATTATCACTCTCCATGGCGTCGTAGATGCGCCGGACGTCGTCGCCGGTCGCGTCGTCCAGGTCGCAGCCGATGACCTCGACGCCAAAGGGCCGCATGCTGCGAATCTCCATGTTCGAAAGCGTCGACGCAGGGAGGGAGGCGTGCTCGGGCAGCCCTCAGCTTGTGGGCAGCAGCTTGTGGGCAGCCTCAGCTTGTGGGCTGTCTGGAATGCCGGACAGATGCGCGCGCGTCGTCGCTGCAGGATCACGCGCGGCGATTAGCCGTGGGTTAGAGGCCCGGCAACGATGAATGTACCACGGTGCTTTGGCATCACGAATTGTGAGAGGCTCTGCTGTGGTCCTCTGAGATTACACCGAGCACCGAGCGCAGGAACGGAACCGGGCGGTGACACGAGTCCTCAGGATCGGTGCGCCCAGCAAGCACTTTATGGCCTTCCATGGCGTCGTAGATGCGCGGACGTCGTCGCCGTTCGCGTCGTCCAGGTCGCAGCCGATGACCTCGACGCCAAAGGGCCGCATGCTGCGAATCTCCATGTTCGAAAGCGTCGACGGTCGGTAAGACTTGTGGGCTGTCTGGAATGCCGGACAGATGCGCGCGCGTCGTCGCTGCAGGATCACGCGCGGCGATTAGCCGTGGGTTAGAGGCCCGGCAACGATGAATGTACCACGGTGCTTTGGCATCAAGGCTCTGCTGTGGTCCTCTGAGCGAGCTGAACCAGCGCCCAGCAAGCAGCGTTTCTCAGACCTAGCGGTCGGTAAGACACTAGCAAGCACCAAGCAAAGTGCAAAGCGCTGCAGAGCTGTCTGTCTCGCGCTTAAGCCAACCACACGCGTCTAGAACTCGAGTAGCAAGGCTGCGGTCTCGCGTATCAGTGCAAAAGATGAGATCGCCGCAACTCGTCTTGCTCGCCGCGAGCGTCGCGCACTCCTGGGCCGTCCCACCGACGCTAACGAAGCGGAGCCCCACGCTGCGCAGCCGGCACCTCGCTGTTAATGGAGGCACGGTCGTCGAGCGGCCGCCCTACGCGCTGTCTGGCTTGGAACGACCGACGCACCGAGGGGCCGTCATGGGCTTTTTGCACAACACGGGCGCGTGGTACGCTCTGTCGGCGGCCTACGTCGCGGCGGCCTTGAAGCAGCTTCAACCATCATCGTTCTACCCGTCCTTCCTGAGGATAGCTTTAGTGGCGGCGTCGTCCTACTCCATTTATATATCGGACTGTTATCATAATGCCGACAAACGGAGGGAAGGCGTGTCCGAGGAAGGAGAGTTAGCTGTATTAAGGAAGGACTACCTCGGCATCTCCCTCATCCTGTCGACGAATACGTGGTTGTGGGCTCATAATTTAGGTGGTTCTCCCATCCTAAATAAGCTTTGTGTAGCAGCTACGGCGTGTACGGCGAACGTGGCCTTCCAGTCGTTCTGTGTGGTCAATAAATACATCGGTCACGTATTGATAAAACTGACCTTCGCGACGCAGTTCGTGGCCATCCTCGGGACCCTATGTTTGATCGCGGCGAAGTCACCGATCTCCGCGTGCGCCTGGATCTACGCGGCCTACGCGCCGGGCTTTGTGATTTACGCGACCAAGTTCCCGAAGAACAAAAAGTGGGGCTACCACGAGTGGTTCCACGTTTCGGTGCTCATGGGCAACCTCGTGTCGATGGGCTTCGACCTCGGTATTCTTGGTTTGTTCAAGCCCTGCGCGGAGGGCGTCGCCTGCGCGTCGCTGGCGTCGCGGCTGACCTTCGGGCTGCTGCCCTGACGCGGCGTGTCTCAACGCCATCGCCGCGAGGACAGATATGTTTAATTAATTTTACTACTACTACTTCTTGACGACCCCGACCTGCGCCGCTCGAATGGTCCGGCCCTTCATCGTGAAGCCCGTCTTCACGACCTGGCCCACGGTCCCCGCCTCTTTGTCTTCGTCGGGGTACTCAAACAACGCTTCATGCAGCCCGGGGTCGAAGGCGTCACCAACCGCGCCAAACTCCTCGACGCCCTGCGCGCCGAAGGCCTTGACTAATTGGCCCCGCGTGAGTTCCACGCCCTCGATCAAGGATTCCAGCGACGCGTCGTCGCCCTTTGCTGCTTCTAAAGCATATCCCAGACTGTCGGAGACGTCCAACAGACTCTTCGCGAAGCCCTGCGACGCAAAGTCCTTCGCGGCCTGGACGTCCCGCCTCGCAATCCTTCGCGTGTTCTCCTGCTCGGCGATAGCGCGCAGCAGCTGGTCTTTTAGGTCCTTCTTCTCGTTCTCGAGCTTCTCGAGCGCGGCCGCGGCCTCGTCAACTGGTTCCGCCTCGTCGGCGTCCGGCGCCGGCGCCGCGGCTTCTTCCTCCTTATCAGTATCGTCCTTCGTGCTCAGCGCGCGCCAGCATTGTCGCCTACTGCGTGGTGCCGCAAGGCAGGGTGACCGCACGCTGCGCTGCAAGGCGCGGCTCGCCGTGCGCGCGAGCAGCAAGGAGGCCATCGATGCGACGGCTGGCTTAAGCACGACGTATAATGACGCTCTTGCACGTCCTCAAGGGCAACTTTTTGTATCGTCGAGCAAGAATACCCGCACGACTTTTAGGCACTTTTCCACCCTCCCACCCGTGCCAGGCCTCGCCAGGCCTCGAATCAGGCCTCGATAAGCCCCCTCCGAGAGCCAAACTCCTTCCTCATACTAGAATACCTCTCCCAAACTTTTTGCGCGCTGCTATCTCAGGCAGCCCCAAGCACCGCCGCGCCGCGCGACTACACGACAGCCCCCCGCACCACCGCCGCGCGCCCGCGCGCCCCTCAGCCAGCCACCACGGGGTTCTTCGGCAGCTCCAGGCCCAAGCCCAAGCCCAACATGCTCTTCGAGGAGACCGAGGCCGAGCCCACGGGCCCGGACCTCCGGCCCGATACCGAGTTCATGTGGTACTGGGAGGAGGACGGCCATCGGGTGAAGAACCATCACACCTGGGACAAGCAGGGCAACTTCATTGCCTATCCGCCGAAGGTGTCGACGTACCTCGAGCAGCAGTGGACGACGGGCCAAAGTGCGGACAACCTCCAGATCACTTACAAGCCCTTCCACTCGCACACGGGCTTCTCCTACAAGGTCTGCTTCCAGGACATGAACCAGATCAATAAAGGGACCGGGTATCGCAGAAAAATTATGCGGCGCCAGAACCCGAACTACGTCGCGCCCATCGCGTCGGCGGAACCGGTCATGGCCACAGCAGTACCTATTGAAGAAGGCATGGGCGGGCTAGCCGTCAGCAACTTTGGGGGCCTACCGCAGCCTCCGGAGGATCTATTTTCCTATGCCTTGCAGTCCATCTCCCTGAAGGACTTCGAGGCCAAGACCAAGGGCACGAACCTGGACCACTCGTCCAAGGCCATGGGCGGCACGTTGTTGACGTGGGCCGCGGAGTTCCACCGGGTCGATTTGTGCCAGTCGCTCTTGGATAGAGGTGCCGATGCGAATTCTAGGGACTGGACGACGGACCAGTCCGCTTTAGGCTGGGCGACGTCGACGCCCGTGCACGGCGAGGAGATGCCGCCCTGCGACCGCGCGGCCACGCTCGCGCTATTGAAGGCGCGCGGGGCGCGCTAGACCACATCCCTCCCCGTCATCGAGAAGACATCCCCGTTCCTTTTCCTAATTTCTTTTTGAGTCACTCTCGACGCCGCCGCCGCGCCCCCAGAAGTCTAGTAGGAGCACCTCTTACGCCGGCGTCGCCTCAGCCAGCACCACGGCCGGGTCGTCGTCGGGGATCACCGACGCCTGCATGAGGTCGAAGCACAGCAGGAGCGTATGGGGCGAGTCGCAGACCTCCAGCTTCCGATCGCGACACAAGTCGGCGCACCGCGCGACGAACCAGTGTTCCAATTCGAGCAGCGGCACGCGCATCGTCGAGTCCCTGCCCGCCTTCCGGAAGGCGTCGTCGGCGTGCTGCAGGACGTCCTCGTCCTGCGGCAGCGACCCGCGCCGCGTCGCGAGGCAGCAGCCCGCGAGCACGGTCAACAGCGCGACGACGACCTCGTCATACGACAGGGACCCGACCTGATTAAAGTCGAAGAGCCGCAGCACGAAGTTCGCCTTGCCCTCCAAGGACCCCTGCGAGACGACCGCGAGGCCGCCGAGCACCTCGAGCGCGTTCACCTCTCCCCCAGAATCGTACTCCGCGAACCTAGGCCAAATCATGTCGCCGACGACGTCCTTCTTCGCGTCGGGGAAGATGGCCCGGACGATTTCTTTTATTTCTTTTCTGTGCAGCCCGAAGCCGTGGGCTCCAGCTTGATGTCTCCGCCACAAGGCTTCCACATGTTCCAAACTCCAGGTCGTCGGGTCGTTGTCTATGACTTGAATCGTGCGCTGGACGCCGGACTCGAGGTTGCCCATGGTTAGTAGGTGCTCTTGGTGGGATAGCTGGGCGTGTCGGTGGCGTGGAGGCAGCCCCAAAAGTTCTGCGCGCTTTGCGTGGGATACGTACGGCAGCTTCTGGTTCTCTGGTCGTCGAGAGGCTGCTCAGACGACACACAGCGGCCAACTTTGGCGCTGGCCGCTTTCCCTAGTGTGTCAATAGACGCTAGCTAGCTGCCAGTGCAAACCAGGCCCAGCGGCCATTCCAAGGCACTACGCGTTGTGCGCGGTCGCGGTACTGTTTTGGACAGCGCCTCCAAAACCCTCGGAGCAGTCATGCGTCTCGTCAGCACGCTAGCACTGCTGAGGGCAGCGCCAGCCAGTGCTCTGGCGCCCATCGAGCGCCGCACCCTCCTCAAGGGCGCCGCCGCGGCATCCACCATCAGCGCAGCACCCGCGCTGGCCAAAGGCAGCGTGGGCGGCCCAAGCGTCAAGCTCTGCGACGGCACGCAGTTTCCCGTGGCCAGCTTCGGCCTCCAGGTCTACGACGACGAGGCGGCCTACAAGTACACGACGCTCGCATTAGAGTGCGGCTACCGGAACTTCTTCGCCAGCGTGCTCGCGGGCAACCAGAAGGGCTTCGGGAAGGCTGTAAGGAATTCGGGCATTCCCCGGGACGAGTTATATATATGCGGCTCCGTGCTCTCGAATCGAGCGCGGGGCGAGGAGGCCGCCTTCCAATCGACCAAGCGAGGCTGCGACGCGAACTTTAGGGATTTGAATATCGGAAAGCTCGACATGATCATGCTCGACTACTCTGGAGCGGGACCGCCGACGCGGTCCGTTCGTGCTTTGGGAGGGTCGTCCGAGGTCGTTTCCTAGAATGATGGCGCTGGGTGGTTTCTTTTTGATTTTTGAGCCGGTTCCGGCGGGGTCGGAGATCCCGAGAGGGCCTCGGTGGGTTCGGGGCGAAGGGCGGTGCTGGGGCGGTCCGGAGCGGTGGCGGGACCGCTCTCGACGCCGTCGGCGCGGCGCCGGTGCCTTGGATGCTCTGGAGGTCTTTAGGGGTGCACGGGCGCCGTCCGCGGCGCCGGCGGGGTCGCGAGGGCCCTTCGGGCAGCCTACGGTGAAGAACGGCGCCGGAACGGGCACGGCGGTGTGTGATCGAGGGCCCTGTACGCCTGTCGACGCGGCGGCGCCCTGGATGTGGTCTGGAGCCCTGGCGTGCCGCCGGCCGGTTCATGACGTGGACTGTGGAGCGTAGCTTTGTCAGAATCCGTTGACAACGATCACTTTTATAGGGATCGGGCCGAGGTCGAAATGTCCTCAAGCCCAACTCCGCTTAAACGAGCTATCGAAGAGGTGTGCAATGGTCGCGCGGCCGTCAAGCTGTCCCAGGCGAGGCGTATACGTACGGCTCGTGGCGCGGCGTTTTCGACTGCCTGAGGCCCCGGCGGGACGTCGTCGATGCCGTCGACGCGGACGAAGCCATTGATGGGTGCTCGGAGCCGTGCCTCTGGCGGCTACAGCTACACATTACGTCTCGCGGCGAGGTCCTACGCCAGCGAAGGCGGCGGCCCGGACGACTAGTTTTTGCTAATAATTGCTGTGTGTCTCGACTGCGAACTCCTTATGAGCGCTGGGGGAAAGAGGAAACGACACGCGGAGGATGTCGGCCATGCCCCAGGCCCGGCCTTCGCTGCTGGGCCCCCGCTCCACCCGGAAGGTGCAGCCGGTCCAGTCGTCGCGCGCCTCGTTCTTGTGGTTGTTCTCGTCCGTCGCCATGGTCCTCTGCGCCGCGCTGGCGCCGTAGACGGCCGCCGCCCCAGATCGTTCTGCGCTCTGCGATTTTTTTGATTCGCAAAGGGGCCTCGCGCCCCCCGGCCGGGTCCGCGGCGCGGGCGCGGCCCGGGAGGGCTCGGGGGCCTTGGGGGAGGTACTACTACGGAATTACTAGTCGCTGGAGGCGTCGGGGACTGTTGCCGCGCGGGCCGGCACCCCGTTTAGATGTTGCCATGCTGGATGATGGACGACCAATAGTTCATTAATTTACAGAACTAAGTTCTCGCCGTCCAGGAACGCGAGGTCCTTCGCCGACAGCTCGAAGTCGAAGACGTCGATGTCCTCCTGAAAATGCTGGCGGGACGTCGTCTGGCACGTGTACGTCGCGCCCTTGGCCAGGATCCACTTCAGGGCGATTTGTTGGGGCGTCTTGCCGTACTGCTTCCCCACCGCGGCGCACGCGCTCAAGGCGCCCGAGTTCAGCACTCTGAGAGGAGACCAGGCCTGCACCAATACGTTGCGCTTCTTGTTCTCCCGGAGTAACTCCGCGTTCTGTTTCGTCTTGTAGCCGACGCCCAGCGGTAATTGATTGACCGTCGGCCGGCCACCACCACTCTTCAGCACGACATCCAGCTGCGCGGGCGAGAAATTCGACACCGCGAGGGACGTGACGCCGCCGTCCTTCCGCATCGCTTCCAAGCCGCGCCATTGGCCCTGGATGGACTCGGCGTCCGGCCCTGGGTAATCCAACATAATCATATCCAACTTGCCGACGTTCAGATCCCTAAAGTTCGCGTCGCAGCCTCGCCCCGTCGACTGGAAGGCGGCTTCCTCGCCCCTAGCTCTGTTCGATAGTACGGAGCCGCATATATATAACTCGTCCCGGGGAATGCCCGAGGCTCGCACGGCCTTCCCGAAGCCCTTCTGGTTGCCGGCTAGAACGCTGGCGAAGAAGTTCCGGTAGCCGCACTCCAGCGCTAGTGTGGTGTACTTGTAGGCCGCCTCGTCGTCGTAGACCTGGAGGCCGAAGGACACGACAGGGAACTGCGTGCCGTCGCAGAGCTTGACGCTTGGGCCGCCCGCGCTGCCTTTGGCCAGCGCGGGTGCGGCACTGATGGTGGACGCGGCGGCGGCGCCCTTGAGGAGGGTGCGGCGCTCGACGGGTGCCAGCGCGGTGGCTGGCAGCGCTGCACTGAGCAGTGCTAGCGTGCTGAGGAGACGCATGACTGCTCCGAGGGGTTGTAGGCGCCGGCCAGAGATGCGCCGCGCCGCGACCGCGTCACGAAGCCTGGCTGCCTTGAATGGCCGCTTGCCTTTGCTTCTCGTGCTATTTTTGTAAGCAAGATAGTGGCAAAAATACAGCGTTTCAGTCGTTTTGTTTGCGATGAGCTACTACTGGTGCTGGTGCTGCCAGAGCACGCGCAGCAGTCGTTGCTGCGGCGAGCGAGGCTACGAGGGAGCTTGCAAACGAACGCCTTGAACGCTTGAACGTCCTCCCGGTCAAGAGTCCGACGAACGTCGCAGACCAGGCCTCCCTGGCTGGGAGAGCATCAGCAGCCTCACAGCCCTCGAGCTCAACCGAGCCGCATTGATCACCAAAGGGCGCAGCGGTGCCTCAGGATCACGCATCGATGCCAGCCGGCGACCATTGGCCTCTCGTTTGATCAGTGCCGCGCCGCACACACACTGCATTGCCTCAGGGGCTCTGCAGTAGTACCTGAAAGGCGTGGCGTTACGTCGCGCGTCGCGTCGAGGCGTAAGGGTGGACGAGTCACAGTCTCTCGACGGATACTGAGAGCTGCGCACCGCCACGACGTCGACCGGTCCTGTCCGCGGGACGCGCCCGGCTCCGCCCGAGCTGCTCTAGGCGCCCGGGACCGCCGTCACGCCGTCGACGCATCGGCTGGCGTACCACGACCGCGCCGCACCGGCGCACGGCCCGCGACGGCGCCGTTCTCGAAGCTTCACCAGTAGCTCCGGAACCCGACGACGTCGCGCCCGAAATGGCCTCAAATTCGAAAAAGAAACCGCCCCCGGCCATCATTCCTGGAGACGACGCGCCTCGACCCCCCGAAACCTTCGCTACGCGACGGGAGGCCGAGATACGACGGGGCCCTTCCGGTCGTCGGTAAGTTGGATATGATCATGCTCGACTACCCGGGACCGGACGCCGAGTCCATCCAGGGCCAGTGGCGCGGCCTCGAGAATATGCGGAAAGATGGTGGGGTGACCTCTCTCGCGGTGTCGAACTTCTCTCCCCAACAGTTAGACGTCGTGCTGAAGAGTCCTGGACGTTGTACGGTGAATCAACTGCCGCTCGGCGTCGGCTACAAGACCAAGCAAAACGCGGAGTTGCTCCGCGAGAACAAGAAGCGTAGTGTCTTGGTGCAGGCCTGGTCGCCGCTAAGGGTGCTGTCGTCGGGCGCGCTCAGCGCTTGTGCGGCCGTGGGGAAGCAGTACGGCAAGACGCCCCAGCAAATCGCCCTGAAGTGGATTCTCGCCAAGGGCGCGACGTACACCTGCCAGACGACGTCCCGCCAACACTTCCAGGAGGACATCGACGTCTTCGACTTTGAGCTGTCCGCGAAGGACCTCGCGTTTCTGGATGGAGAGAACCTAGTTCTGTAACACACGTTTAGTTATTTTGGGGCCGCCGGTCGTCGAGCATCGCCACGTCTAAACCGGGCGCCGGCCGCGCCGCGCGGTCGGCCTCGGCCGCGCGTAGAGCCCGGGCACCGGCGTCCCCTATTTTGTTGCCGCCGACCTCGACGGTCTCGACGGCCGACCTCGCGAGCGCCGCCGCGAGCGCGATCGCGCCGGTATCTGTCATGCCCGTCTTGCTAATTCCTAATGTACGCAGGTTCGACTCGTCGGGAGGAGGTTTGCGCAGGTCGACATCGGCAAGGAAGGGCGCCTCTATGCACTCCGCAATGGCCGTCACGCCGTCGTCGCCGAACGCGTTATCATTGATGAAGATCGACGCCGCGCCGCCCCCGATCAGAGCAATGGCGCCTCTCGATGAAATCCCCGTGCCCGACGCGTCGATGACATCCAAGGGCGCGTCCGACGCGGCGACGGCTTCGGCACCGGCGTCGCCCGCTTCCTCATTGTTCGCGTACCGCAGCTCTACCAATGAAGACGCTTTTTCTGCTATCGCTTTGATCGATGCGGCGTCTAAGCCGCAGTTCGACACGTCGAGCCGAAAGAGCTTCCGGCCCGGCGCGAAATCAATACAGTCGAAGGCGCCCGGTGCTAAGTCCGCGCACCTTAAACTCACGACGTTCGCGGCGAGCACGGGGACCCGTCGCGCCTGGAGGCAGCCGGACACGTCGAGGTGGCGCAGCGGCCTTTCTCTCGCCTGGAGTGCTTTGCCGAGCGCCACGATGCCCGGCTCGCCGACGTCGTTGCGCGCCAGGTCGAGGCGGTCCAACCCCTCGGAGAGCGCCGCCGCGAGCGAAACGACGCCGGCGTCGCCAATACCCTTGGCCTCGAGGTGCAGCTGTTTAAAGGAAGGGCAGCGAAAGCACAGCGCCAGGGCTTGGGCGCCGTCGTCGCCGAGCGTCGCGTCGCCCGCATCTAGGATCTCGAGCGTCGTCGACGCGCCGGCGGCGCGGCCGAGCGCGGCCGCGCCGACGGCACTGATGGAGTGGCCGCTGCACCGTAGTTCCTTGAGTTTGGCCGTCGGCGACCGCATCGCGGTCGCGAGCTTTACGGCCGCGGCGTCATCGAAAACGCGGCCGGCGAGCACGACGACGCACGCGAGGCGGCCGCTCTCGACGCCTTCTACTAAGTCATCGATGCTGCGCTTCTGCGCGCCCCAGGCGCTCATCGCTGGGGGAGGGTGGAGTCTTTTTGATCTATGCGGCAGCCGTACGTTCTACCGTTGTGTGCTGAGGTGCGTGACGGCTCTGATTTTGATCACTGCGACTACTCGGACCGGCGTTTTGTCCATTCGGTGCCACACGGGCGAAGCCAGCTCTCGCAGCCTGGCCACCAGCCACGGAGAGGCAAAAGCCAAATCGGTGACTGCTCCCGCGGGAAAGCCGTCCGTCGGCAACAGCGTTTTTAAAGAGAAGCGAAGGCGTCGTCGAGGCCGCTGCGTGACGTTTTCCGCGCCGCCGCGTAACCGCAGCAACAAGCCTGAAATCCAGGGACAAGCAATCGCTTGCGAACGCAAGTAGCCGCGACGCGCCGCACCGGAAAAGCCGACCAAGAAGCAGACCATGGCCGCCGCCGACGTGACATGCGGCCTCGCCGAAGTGCTCGTCTTCATCGGCGCGCTCGTCGCCGGCACGGCCTGCTCGCTCTGCTCCAAAGTCCTGCTGTCGATGCGCAGCGTCGGCGCGAGCGGCGAGGAGCAGAGCTTCCAGAACCCGCTCTTCCAGACCTGGGGCATGTTTTTGGGCATGGTCTTCGCGCTGCCCGTCCACTTTGCGAGGGAAGCGTTGGAGCGGAGGCGGTCGAGGCGGGGCTACGACGCCATCGGTATTGAGAGAAGGCCGTCGTTCAAGGAGATGCCCCGGTCGACCTATTTGTTGCTGGCGGCGCCGGCGCTTTTTGATCTCGCGGCGACGGCGCTGTGCATGTTCGGCCTGACGCGCGTCGCGGTCTCCGTCTATCAGATGCTACGCGGCGCGGCGATCGTTTTTGTCGCTATCCTCAAGCATTTTGTGTTGAAGGACAAGCTCGCCAAGTACATGTGGGTCGGCGTGGGCCTGAACGTGGTGTCGATCGTCTTGGTGGGCGCGACGGCGCAGTCGTCCGACAGCGGACAGGGAGACCCGTTGGTCGGCGTCGCGCTCATCCTCGCGGGGGCCTTCGTGCAATCTTTACAATACGCCTTCGAGGAGAAGGTCATGTCCTCGGACGTAGGGGCACCGCCTTTGCTGGTTATAGGTATGGAGGGATTTTGGGGTTTGTTTGTCTGCACCTTCGTGCTGTACCCGGCGGCCTACGCGGCGGGCGTCGAGGACCCCTACGACACGTACGTCATGTTCCGCAATAGCCAGGATATCCAGCGCATGTTCCTTTTGTACTTTGTCGCTATATTTTCGTACAACCTCTTGGCCGTGCTGGTGACGTACATGCTCGACAGCGTCTGGCACGCCATCCTCGACAACTTCCGGCCCATCTCGGTCTGGGGCGTCGATTTGGCCCTGTTCTACGTCGTGACGAGCGGGGCCTTCGGCGAGGCGTGGGCGTACCCGGGCAGCTACGTCCAGGTGGCCGCCCTCGGCGTCCTGCTCTACGGCACGGCGGTCTACAACGGCTCGGTCAAGGTGCCCGGCTGCTCGTACCCGCCCGACGCTCAACAGCCGCAGCTCCTCTCGCCGATGGTCGTGCGCGCGTCGCCGGCGCTGGCCTCGTCCCAGGTCATGAAGTCGCCGCTCATCCACGGCACGCCGCTGTCCCGCCGGAACACGATGGAGCGGGCGACGCTGCCGCGCGTCCAGGAGCTACCGCGGGGCCTGCCGCGGCCGCGGAGCGGGAGCCTCTGAGTACATAGTTAGTGTGTAATATCGCGATTCGTCGACGACCTGACCATATATTATTCATACAACTTAAGCGCCCGCGCGTACGGCTAGTGGTGGAAGTCCGGGTCGCGCACGAAACGGAGGCCGCAGTACTTGCAGTCCGTCGGGATGGTGGGGTCCACCGTGTTGAGCGTGATGTACTCGATCGGGTGGCCGAGCGCGCCGCCGCCGCCGTTGCAGGTGGCGACGTTGCCCTTCACCTTGATGACGGGCACCGCGGCGATGAGCGCCTCGGCGTCGCTCCGGTGGGGGTTCACGTACTCCACCGGGTTGCCGCCGCTCGTGCCGAGGGCGCGCACGGCCGCCGGGGCCCGCGCGCGCGCCGCCGCGAGCTTCGGGGCCTGGCCGCGGCACGCGCGGCACCACGCGCCGGACCAGCGGCCCACGGCCTTCGGCAGCGACGCCATGGTTTCGCGCGAGCGCTTCCTTGAGTTGCTGGCAGCAAGTGCTGGAGAGGCGGTTTTAGCCCAGCTCCGACCGCCGCTCGCTCCAGCCTGGCTGGCGACGGCAGCGACTGAGTCCGAAGAGCTTTTGTAGGGGGTCAAGCTCACCTTAGGGTCCCCGCTTGGCCGGTCGCGGCGCCGTGCGGCTGGGGGCAAATAATGAGCTAGCGTAAACCCTCTAGACGACACGCCAAAAATAATTGCTCACGGCCATCGCACGTCGCGTCGTCGCATAAATGCAAGGGCTGCCTTAAGAATGCGTCAAGTACGTCCGCGCCGCCACGCGGCGGCAGCCCGCGCCGGCAGCGGCCGTGCGACGCGCCGGAAGAGCGGCGGGGCAGCTGTGCCCATCCTCCCACTCCTGCTGCTGCTCGGCACGAGCCCCGTCGTCTACGTCATGTTGCGCTACGAGACACCGGACGACGCGGTCGCGCCACCGCCGGCGCCGGCGCCGAAGCGACCGCATCTGCGGCCGCGCGCCCCGCCGCCGCCCCGGCCGGACCCGAGGCCGAACAAGCAGATCGCCGGCCTCGCCGAGCGGGCGCGCCTCGAGCGAGAAAAGGCCAAGGCCGAGCCCGTCGCCGACATCGGGCTCCCGCCCATGTACGGCGGCCCCGCCACGAAGCCGAAGACGCTCGGCCTGGACCGGTGCGCCGCGTTCCGTTCAGCTCAGGGGCCGCGGGGCCGGCCGGCCGTGGCGGGCCTCTTCAACACGGGCACGAATTTTCTGATGAAGCTGCTGAGGCTGAACTGCGATTTTCCGGACGCGTGCCCCGCGCAACCGCACATAAAAGTAGATAAGGACAACCCCTACGAGGCGGAGATCCGCATCATGGCCGAGATGCAGATGGCGCGGCGCAACAATTGTAGTCCGTTTTTGCTGCAGGTGCCGTGGGGGAAGCACAACCCCGTGGACTGGCGCGGGCAGCACGCGGCGCAGGGCCTGGAGGGCGTCGATGTCGACGGTGTCCTGCCCGTGGTCGTGGTCAAGGACCCGTTCACGTGGATGCGGAGCATGTGCCGCATGGATCTGTGTGGAAATCAAGTCATGCTCCGCGGCCCTGGTTTCGGCTCAAACTCGGACACGATCTCCGAGAGATACACGCGACCAACTGGCCCGAGCGGCACCTCCCGCAACCCACGACACGCCTCACATTGAAGGGCGCTTGAACTTTGGTTGCCTCACAGGTATGGAGTACGCCGCGAAGTTCCGGCACGGCCAGGCCCAGTGCTGCCCGCACCCCGTCATGAAGACGAGGACAGTGGTTAGGTTTCGTCGTGAAAGGCCTCCCAGAAACTACACGTCCATCGTCGACATGTGGCGCGAGTGGAACCAGGCCTACGTGGACGTCGAGTTCCCCCGGCTGATGGTGCGGTACGAGGACTTGCTCTTTAACAGCCAGGAAACCACCAAAGAAGTGTGCGAATGTGCGGGCGGGAAGATGAAAGCCGTGTTTGATCCCATTGCGGAGGGCGCGAAAGGCGGCGCCGGGCATGGGTATCATGAGACCGGGCATAATGTGGCTGCTCTCAAATTCTCGAACGAGAGTCTGAGGTACGCGCATCTGACGGACGCCGACGTGGCGTACGTGTTGGACCACGCCGGGCCGTTGCAAGACAAGTTCCACTACCCCGCGTCGATTAGTCGGAGGAGATTGTTCGGCGAGAAACGGATCTGCCAGCCGGACCGGGAGAAGTGGCTGAACTCGGTCGGTTTAAAGACGTCACGGGACGGCCCCGTGCCCATCGACGACGAGTCGGACGGGGTGGTGGTCAACGGCTTCTTCTTCCGGAACCCGAAGAAGCCGCGGCGGCCGGGCCAGATCTTCCAGGCCATCCAGAAGGCGAACCGGGCGCACCGGGGGCACCGGTGAGGATCTTAAATTTAATTAGTCTAGGCGTTGGGCGTCTCGTGCGCGGCTTGCAATTCGACTTCTATCGTTCCGCGCGGCGTGTCGGGAGAGGCTCAGGCTAATTGCGTCGCGGATCTACCGCCCCTCCCGATATGAGACAGAATGACAAAACGGGTTTTGCAGCTAACTTTGACTTGAGTTCACGCGCTCGGAGTGCTTTTGTGACTTGGAACGCGCGACGTGGTTGCATTCGTCGCACGCTCAAAACACGCGGAGTCCTGCGATACAACGACGCGAAACTGCGATGCGCCGCCAAAGCTCGACCGGCCGCCTCGAGATGTCGTTGGCGGACGCGCCGGGCCGGAAGAACTCAAGAAGGAAGTACGCCAACGAGACGCGGCGCTACGGTCATCTGAAAGGTGGGGATCTGGAGGCCATTCGACGCGATATTGATCCAAGATTATTGGACGCGTTCCGCTACGCGTTTTCGGATGCGCGGCGGCGCGAGGTCGTCGGCGGCGACGCGGCGTGTTCGGCGGCGTCGTCGTCGCGGTGGCGCGGTCACTAGGTTAACTTTCTTATCATCTCCTCCACCTCGGAGCTTGCGGAGACACACTAGACTCACAAAAGCCTCTCTCGTCCTCCATAGCCCGCTCTCGCTCTCACACGGGATCGACGCGGCATCACTGCACGAAACGTGCACAGGACAGCGCACTTGTGACAGCGCGCAAGAACTTTGACAGCAATAATGGCCGAAGCGGTGGGTAGAGACCTGGCGGAAGCAAAAGCTTTACTGGCGCGGGCCACGCGGCCGAACGTGAAGCAGGTCCTCGCGTCGTTCATCAAGACGCAGACCGCGCGCGAGCTCGAGCTGCTCACTGGTTCAGCGCAGGAGGGCGAGGACCCCTCCCTCAGCACCGAGTTCCCGCCCGACGGGCCTCCGAACCCGTGCCCGCCGGAGCCCAAGAAGAACGCCTCCGATCCGGGCGACGCTTTACCGGTGGCGCCGCGCTTCAAGGTCGCGCCGTCGCAGCTGCCCAAGGACGTCGCGAGTCCCGCGCCGACGAAGCTCGTGAGGGCCGGCTCGGCCGCGCCCTCCACCGCAAAGACGACGTGGGTCGCGCCGGCCTACGGCTGGGAGCAGGGCGAGTACAACTCGCCCTGGGTCAACGTCCTCATAAGCTTGGAGGGCGTCGGCGCTGCGAAGGAGCGGTGCCACTGCGACTTCGGCATCGATTCGTTCGATTTGAGGGTGACGGACGTGCAAGGCACGAACTACCGATTGGTCGTCGAAGCCCTGGACAAGGACATCGTGCCCGAAGAATCAAGACTCATAGTGAAGAAGAATAGGATCACCCTGAAGCTGAAGAAGGTTAAAGGAGAATACTCGTACGACCACTGGACGGACCTGAAGAAGAAGGGCGGCAAGGCGGCCAAGGACAAGTCGAGGAACAAAGATCCGAGCGCGGGCATCATGGACATGATGAAGGACTTGTATGATAATGGGGACGACAACATGAGAAAAATCATCGGGGAGTCGATGATGAAGTCGCGGAACGGCGAGAAGCAGGACCCGAACGACATTGAATTACCGCAGTCCCCTGGTATAGATGACGACGACGCGACGGAACCGGACAAGGGGGGCTTCGATCTGGACGATACCAAGACAAAAATGCCGCCGATGCCGGAGGGCCGCCTGCCGGACCTGTCGAGCATCCCGGGCATGGAGGACTTCAAGATGGACCCGACGAGCGAGTAGGCGATTCGTGGGGGTCTAAGAAATTACACAGTCTCACAGACGATCTTCCCGACGGACTGGCCGCCCTGGATCAGCGCGTGCGCCGCCGCCAGCAACTTCTTAGGTAGCGGTCTCGCAGACGATCTTTCCCACGGACTGGCCGCCCTGGATCAGCGCGTGCGCCGCCGGTAACATATCGAAGGCGAAGGTCTCGACGCGCGCGACGCGGAGCTGGCCCGCGGACACCCACGCGAGGAGCTGCGCCATGTACGCGTCGACCAAATCCGTCTCGTCGGCGAAGAACGAGAGGTTGAAGCCGTGGATCGATTTCGAGGACAGCACGAGGTCCATGGGCTCGAACGTCGGCATCGACGCCATGCCCTTCGCCATGCGGAGCCAGTGCCACGGGCTCAACGTCGACGAGACTGTGGGCAAGTTCGTATGGAAGCCGAAGATCACGAGTCTTCCGGTCTGCGCGAGGGCGTCGTACGAGTTCCGGAGGGTAGAAACGCCGTTCGCGTCGAAGATCGCAGCGTAGCCTTCTGGCGACGCCGCGGCGACGTCGTCCCACCAATCTTGACGCCCTGCTTTGCAGACGACGGTGTCCGCGCCGCACGCCTTGCAGGCCTCGACCTTGTGCAGCGCGCCGACGACGCCGACAACAGGAGAACAGCCCAGCGTCTTCGCCATCTGGACCAGCATGGACCCCACGCCGCCGGCCGCGGAGTGCACGAGCACGGCGCGGTTCCGCGTCGGCGGCGCCGCGGGCCAGAACTGCGCCAGCGCCATCGCGTGGAGGGCCGTGCCAGCCACCGACGGCAGTGCAGCGGCCTCGGCGGCCGTGAGCGCTTTCGGGGTTTTGCGGCACTGGCTCGCGGGCACGAGCAGCCGCGACGAGTACGCGCCAAAGAATGTGATGCCGAAGACCGCGTCGCCGGCGCGTAGGTTGTCGACGCCGTCGCCGACGGCCTCGACGACGCCGCTGAAGTCAAATCCCGGCACAATAGGATAACCCACGAATTTGATTGCGCTCTCGTACAGGCCCCACCGGATCGTCACGTCCGCATAGTTGACCGAGAAGTGCGTTATTCGCACAACAACGAGTCCAGGCGGCGGCGGCGTGGCCACGCGCGTCAGCGACCGCGACCGCGGGTCCCGCGGCGCGATCGCTTCGGACACGTTGTAGCCGACCGTCGCCAGGTCGTCGTCGAGCGGCCAGAACTCGAGCCGCTCCGGCCCGCCCGGCGAGAGCACGACGATGCAGCGCGCCTTGCTGTCGCAGTCTGCCAATTGCAGCCGCGGCTTCCTGATCTTGAGCGTGACGAGCAGCCACGACCAGACGTTGGCTCGAATGGCCATCAGCTGGTGCTGCACAACCTCCAGAGTTTGGCCCGTGAGGCGCAGGCAGAGGGCGTCGAGTGAAGGCATCTCTCAGGGAGTGGTGTCTTATGGGCCTTAGGAGTGGAAATTAGGCAGTGCGTCCGCAGTTGCAGCGTTAGCAGCGTCGAAATGGATCACCGATGCGTTTCAACAGTCCCAGGATTGCATACAACTCGCAAAAACTTGCTTGCATGCTTCATTCCTAGTGTCTTACACGACGCTAGCGCGGAGCAGCACGCCAACAACACGTGACGATTCGCGAGCCAATCGTCGCCAAAACAGAGCTACATTCAGCATTCGTGCATGCGCACTGCGCCAGGCCGATCCGCGTGAGCCCCCGCTGCAAGAGCAGCAGCCACAGCACAGCACCACAGAGCAGCACCGCAGCCGAGCTCAAATATGCACGCATCGATGCGCGCAGCCCTCCTCCTAGCGACGGCGGCCGCCGACTTTCCCCTGCTACCCATCGCGCCACCATTAACAACACTAACAAATCTGAAGACGGACCCGACCGACGTCTTCGTCTGCTCCTGGCCCAAGAGCGGCACGACGTGGATGCAGGCCATCGTCGCGCATCTCGTCGCGCCGGACCGGTCCAGTTGGAAGCACGTCTCCGAGGTCACGCCGTTCTACGACGTCGCGGCGTCGTGGGACGGATCTGAGCCGTCGCAAGCGCTCGCCCAACACTTTGCGAAGCGCGGCCGGCGCTGCTGGAACACGCACCTGCTCTGGTCCCTCATACCTAAAGGTGGGCGCTACATTTATGTTGTGCGCGACCCGGCCGACGCCGTCGTGTCCTTCTGGCATCATTTGAGGAACCAGCGCGGCGCCGCGGGCACCTACGAGGGCACCCTCTCGGAATTCGCGGCGGAGATCAGCGAAGGGACGCAGCCGTACGGCGCCTGGGCGGCGCACGTCTCGGACTGGGCGGCGGCGGCCCGCGACCCTTCTGTGTTAATTGTGCGCTACGCGGACATGAAGCGCGACGCCGCGGCGGTCGTGCGGCGCGTCGCGACGCACCTCGGCGTGGCCAACGTCGACGCGGACGCGATCGCGCGGCTCACGTCGTTTGAGGAGATGAAGACCGACGCGAAACGCTACGCGCCCGTGTCCGTGGAGTGGGCGCCGGGCTTCGAGTTCATCCGCGCGGGCCGCGTCGGCGACGGGGCTGTCCTTGATGAGGACGCGCGGCGGGCGTTGGTGGAGGGGCTGACGGAATCTGGGCGGGCGGTGGCTTTCGGCGACGGCGGTTTTGGGGAGTTGTGAGCTAAGTATTGTTAGAAAAATGGAGCCGGTGCAGGGCGAGGGCGACCTCTCGAAGGTCTTCCTTGTTCTGGGCCCGCCGGAGGAAGCGCTCGAGCATCGCCCCCGCGTACCTCGCGAACGGCGTGCGCTCGGTCTCGGACAGCCCGAAGTAGAAGCGCGGGAACATGAGCCAGAAGTACTCGCCCAGCTCCGGGGGCGTGTCGCCCTGGGGGCACAACGCGAAGGCAGCGACGTAGAGCGACCTCGAGGGCGGGGCGGCCCGCCTCTGCAAGGACTGGAAAGCGTGCGCGACCCGCACCCCGAGACGATCGAGGACGGGGAACACCTGCCAAAAGTGGGCGAGCCGAGCGAGCTGCGCGATCTCCCTCAGCGACTCCAGTTGCACCCCGCAGACTTGGAGCCCCATGACGAACGTGACGTTGCAGGCGATGGCCGTGGCGTGCATCACGTACTCGCTCCAGTGGCCGTGCGTGTTGCCGACGGGCTCCTTGGCAAACCAAGCCCAGTAATTACGATTGCGGAGCTTAACTTGGCGGACCATGTCTCTGCCCTCAGGTGCTGTTTGGCGTCGATTGGTAGATTTGTTTGGCCACCCCGCGGCGCGCCGTTTAAGTGCGAATTGCGCCGCTGGCTCACGCGCCACGTGGGGCTTAAACAACCCCGCTATCAAGAAGGTTTGTGCTCGCAAGCGCAGCCGGAAAACCCGTTTTATCGTTCGCGGAAGCCTGATCGAGCCCGAACACGCGTGTTTTTATCACATCATTACAAAACGGATTCCGCGCGGGTCCCCTCCGCGTGCGCTGGACGTCGGACCTACAGCTCGCGCGCCCGCTCGCGCAGGACGAACTTCTGGATCTTCCCTGTCGATGTCCGAGGCAGCTCTCCAAAAACCACGGTCTTCGGCGCCGCGAACTTGGGCAGCCGCGCCTTCGCGAAGGCGAGGAGCTCGGCCGCGTCGACGTCCTCCGTCGTTTCGACGAAGGCGCAGGGCGTCTCGCCCCACTTCTCGTCGGGCCGCGCGACGACGGCGCACAACGCGACGGCGTCGTGCTCCATGAGCGCCGCCTCGACGCTGAGTGAGGACACGTTCTCGCCGCCCGAGATAATCAGGTCCTTGGACCGGTCGCGGATCGCGACGTAGCCGTCCTCGTCCTTCACGGCGAGGTCGCCCGACGCCAGCGCGCCCAGCTTAAATGCGGCAGCCGTCGCCGCCTCGTCCTTGAGGTAGCCCTTCATCACGACGTTGCCGCCGAAGACGACCTCGCCCATCGTTTGCCCATCGCGCGGCACCGGCGCGCCCGTGTCAGGATCGACGACGTCCAATCGTCCGCCCGCGGCGTGCGCGACGCCCTGGCGCGCCGTCTTCGCCGGGATGTCAGAAGCGGGCCACGTCGACCGCTTTTCACAAACCGCGGCCGGGCCGAACGTCTCGGTCATGCCGTAGACGTGCGTGACGTCTAACCCCGCGGCGGCCGCGCGCCGCAGCGTCGCCGCCGCGGGCGCCGCGCCCGCGGTCATCATCCTTATTCTACGCCCCGGCGCCGCCCGCTCCATGGCCTGGATCGCGAGGTTCACGACGATCGGCGCGCCGCAGAGGTGCGTCACGCCCTGCTCGGCGAAGGCGTGCGCGATGCCGTCGACCGTCACGTCGCGGAGGCAGACGTTCGTGCCGCCGACGGCCGCGAGCGTGCTCGGGAAGCCCCAGCCGTTGCCTGTGCGTTGTACGCCATTAGCACGCCATCGCCGCGATTCTTTCGCACACGGGCACAGTACAGTGGAACATGGGCAGCGTCCAGAGGTAGCGCGTGCCGCCGTCGGCCGGCAGGCCCCCAAAGTCGATCGCGTTCGAGAGGGCCTGGACGTAGGCGCCCCGGTGGTGCACGACGACGCCCTTTGGTCTTCCGGTCGTCCCCGACCTGTGTGGAAATCAACCAGTGTATTGGGTGCACGATGACATGGCCGCGCTGGCTCCGTCGCGCGGTGAGGAACCGACGTCGCCACGCCATCGAGCAGGCGTCGCGTCGATGGCGTGAAGCGTAAATTTGATTTCCACACAGTCCCCGACGTGTAGTTGAGCGCGAGCGCGTCCCACTCGTCCTCGGGTGGCGTCCACGGCGCCGCCGCGTCGCCGCTCGCGACGAGCGCCTCGTAGCCGTCGGCGCGGCCGCCGACGACGACCAGGGGCGGCGGGTTCTCGAGCGTCGCGAGCGCCTCGCGGCACGTCGCCTCGTAGCGCTCGTCGGCTATAAATAAGCGCGCGTCGCTGTGCTCGAGGACGTACGCGACCGTCGCGGCGTCGAGGCGCGTGTTCACGCTGCCGAGCGTCGCGCCCGACATCGCGACGCCTTGTTGGGCCTCGACCATCTCGGCCGTGTTGTCGAGCATGCACTGCACGACGTCGCCGCGCCCGCAGCCCTGCTTGCGGAGGGCGTCGCCGAGCCGCGCGCAGCGGTCGTAGAGCTCCGCCCACGTCCGCGTGCGGTCGCCGTCGACGACCTGTGTTGAAATCAAACTTTACGGCGCGTTCGCGCTGAATCATCGCGTCGTCCTCCACGCCATCGACGCGACGCCTGCTCGATGGCGGCGATGCCGGTTCCTCACCGCTCGACCGAGCCAGGACGGCCGCATCATCGCCGGCACCCGACGCACTGGTTGATTTCCACACAGTGGACGACCGCGGGGCCGTCGGCGAAGACATGCCTAGCGCGGTCGATGAACGCCAACGGCGTGAGCGGGATGAAGTTCGCGCCGGGGCGTTTGGGGAAGGCGTTGACGGAGAGTCGTCTCACAGCGAGGCGGTGCATTTTTGCGGGATGCTGTTCTGGCGTCGGTGTTGACGACAGAGGTCTGCGTCGCACGAAAGAGAGCGCGAGGCCGGCGTCGCGCCGGTCGCGTAAGGAGGCTTGCCGCGCGCTGTGCCACGCGTTTGTAGGTGTCAGCGCTGCGTGCCGCGCTCGCTTTTGTTGCGTTTTGGCAGCAAGAGGTTTTTTGCCTTTTACTGCGCGTGACGGCCCTCGTTTTGCAGGCGGCTTCGCGAGGCGTGGCTGTGGGATGCCTGGTTTGGGTTTTTGCGAGTTTCGGGTGCGAATACAGAGATTTGCTGCCGGCTGCACGGGTCAAATCGGGAAATTCTCGGGTCACCGGAGGAAAAAAGGGTTTTGCGATTGAACGATTTAGAAACCCAAATTTTTACTATTTCAGCTTTCCCAGAGCTGGCAGACATCGGTCGCCGCTCAAATACGCATCTGTGGCCGCACGCACTAACACGCGTGCCACTAGTGGTCTAAGGCGCTGCATTCAAGTCGCAGTTCTTTCGGGAGCGTGAGTTCGAACCTCACCAGATGCATTTTTACACTAATGATGTAGTGGCAACATCTAAGATTCCCATTCTTAGTCCCCGGGTTCGATTCCCGGTTGGTGTATTTTTTTTGCCCCCTGTGCCCCTACACCCCCCCTTGCCCCCCTGGGCCGAAACGAGGTCCCACGAGTACCCGAGGTTGGCGGGAGACGCAACCGACTTTGGTTGCGGTCACCGTTCTGATCTGGGTCGCGTGTGCGACTTCTGGTGCTGGAATGACCTAGAATGGACAGGATGCAGCCGAGTTACGGGCCACCGAACCGAGACGACGGTAATTTTTTTTTTGGAGCTAGGAGCCGTTCCGATGCGGGGATCGCGTCGATGGCGTCAGAACGGCCTCTATTGCAAAGCATACCGGCCTTGGCCCGCACGCGAAGATTCCTCGACTCGAGAGCTTGCAAGCCCAAAGTTGGGCTCCGCACCGCTCACACACAGCAGTGCTATTGCGCTGTGAATTAGCAATCAACGAGTCGAAGAAGATGGCTGCCCTCGCGCGCAGAGAGCAATTGGCTGCCCTCGCGCGCAGCGAGCACGAGCGTGCTGCCAGGAGCCTGCCGGCCGCAGCGCTGCCCCAACGAGCGTTCAGTGAGAACACGACCAAACGCGGTATCGCCGCGTTCGTCCGCACGCGCATCCGCGAGTTCGAGGCGGCGCGCGAGTGCGTCGTAATTCTGGCCGCGTGTCTCGGCGTCCTCTTCTTCGAGTCGCGGCGATGGCGTTCTGCTCGATGGCGTGGCGAATGAGCGGGATCTCACGAAACACACAAGAAAATCACAAAAACAAAAAAAACAGGCCGAGAAGTCGTCGCACACGATGCGCGTCGCGAACGCCGACTCGGACTGGGACATCCACTGCTTCTACCTACCGCGCGACCCGGCGGCGGCCTGGTGCGGGGTGAGCGAACGGCATAACTTCGAGAAGCAGGTGTACGGCCCGCGGCGCACGGGCGCGCCCGCGGACGAGCCCGACGTCGAGCTCGGGTTCCACGACGCGCTGCGCGTGGCGAGGCTGGTCGCGAAGGGCGACCAGATGACGTTGGAAATCTTGCTGTCGCGCCCCGTGTACGCCATCGCTGAAGAAAACGTCGCGTCGATGGCGTGAAAACACACAGGTCGCCCCTGGCGTACGTCGAGGAGGCGCCGTGCGTCGCCGAGCTCCGGTACCTCGCGGTGCGGCGCACGTTCGGCTGGCGGGGCGCGGCGGCGGCGTACGCGAAGAGCGCCGGCGGCTTCCTGAACAGCGCCGCGAAGAGCGCCGAGAAGCTCGGCTTGGCGTCGGGCAAGGCCGGCAAGCAGCTGGGCTACGCGCTCCACCGCACGCTGTCGGCGGAGTGGCTGCTCCGCGAGCGCGACGTCGTCGGCCTGCCCCAGGGCCTCCCGGAGCTGCTCGACGGCGCGATCAGGGCAAGCGCGTTGCGCGACCTGCCCGCCGTGCCGGCGCCGCTCGTGGCGCTCGCGCGGCGCCTCGCCGACGGCCTCCGCGGCGACGCGGCCGTGGGGTCGAAGGATGAGTTCGCGGCGCACCTCGCGGCCCTCCGGTCGCGCCTCGACGTGCTCGTCCCCCTTTCCCGGGACCTCGCGCGCGACGCGCCCGGCCCCGAGGGCGGCGAGAAGTCCGTCGCGCTAGACGTCGTGCGGGAGCTCGACGCGTGGACGCGCGCGCGCCTCGTCGAGGGCCTTCGTGCTGTCCCTGTGTAAGCTTCGGTTTTGACCTCGCGTCGATGGCGTCGGGCGACGCAGCCATCGTACGCTGTCACGTAGAAACCCAGCAGCTCTGGTCGCAAAACCCGATTTGTCAAGCCAAAAATTCTCGGTGCGGCTGCAAGAGCGGCGGTTACGCGGCAGAACAAGCAACCCTCACGCCAGTAAACGCAGCGCTCGCCCCACACGCTATCGACGCGGAGCGCCAGCGGCAGAAGTTCCGGCGAGCAGCCAGCGCTCTCCTTGGGTGCAGCGACCCCAGGAAAGAGCACACCCCGCGTTGGCGGAAGAGCCGCAACGCCACCGCCGCGTGGATAAAAGCACGCTCTGCAGCGGCCACGGGAAAAAATGCTGAAGACGCGCATCGAGCACGCCCAGAGCCAGGTGCGGCGGCGGCGGCGGCGCGGCCTGTCGCGCGACTGGCGGAAGTTCGGCGAGAAGTGGCGCGGCTCCAAGGCCGCGGCGCTCGGCGCGAACCTCGTCGGCGCGATCGGCTGCATTTTGGGGAACAAGCACGTCATGACGCACGGCGCGCGCGCGCCGCTGTTCCTGACGTTTATGGGGTACTTGCTGATCGTGCTCTATCACCAGCTCCAGCGCACGCGGAATATAGGGATTGCGCCCGTGTTCGACGTGGAGGGCGCGCAGCTGCCGCCGTATCGACCGCCCACAAAAGTCGTGGTCGCTCTGGTACTGCTGACGGCGACGGCGCCGTCGCTCGCGAACGCGTCGCTCATGTTCAACAGCGTGGGATTCACGCAGCTGAGCAAGGTGCTGACGACGCCGTCGATCGCCTTCATCGAGCGCGCGCGGGGCCACGGCCACCCGCTCGACGCGCCCCGTTTGTTGTCCATGGTCTTCATCCACGTCGGCGTCTACGTCGCGTCGGTCGCCGACGTGACGCTGAACCGGACGGGCTGCCTCGTGGCGCTCGCGAACGTCTGCGTCACGGCGCGCTACAAGACGGCCTGGTCGTCGGCGTCGCGCGACGCGATTGCGCGGCGGCGCGCGACGCGCGCGGCGCACGAGGCCGCGCAGACGCTCGCGCTCGACGAGCGCGCGGCCGTGCGGGAGCTCGTCGAGCACACGCTCCCGTGGGCCGCCGCCGCGCTCATTCCGTTTATCGTATTCTTCGAGGCGGCCGCGCTGCGGAACATGGTCGCGACGTACGACGCGCTGGCCTACGCGCGGCTCTTCTGCATCGCGGTGCGCGGCCGCGTTCTACGCCATCGCCGCGACGCCATCACCGCGATACGCTACGCAGGTGCTCGGCGCGTGGACGTCGGCGACGGGCTACATGGTCATCGGCCGCCTGAGCGCGCTGACGCACCAGGTCCTCGGCCAGTTCAAGATGGCCTGCCTGCTGCTCGGGTCCTACGTCGTGCTCGGCGCGGACTTGAATCGGCAGCAGCTCGGCGGCGCGTCGCTCACGATGGCCTCGATCGTGCTCTACACGCGGTGCACGCTCGCGCAGCGGCGGCGCCTCGAGGCGCGGCGCCGCGGCGACGAGCCTTTGGGGCGTTCGCCGTCCGAGGACCCGCTCCTCTCGCCGGGGCGGCGGCGGAAGGTCGCGAACGGGCACTCGTCGTCGTCGCGGCGGATGCCGGGGGTGCTGAGCGCGTCGCGGTCCTCGAGGGCTGGGGTGGCGGTGGTGTAGTAGGGATGTTTAGTGGTTTATCTATCTCGTACGGCGGCGTCGCGCCGCGAGGACTTGGGGGTAAAACAGGTTTTCAATCGCGATACGCGAGTTGCGTGGCGAGCTCGGTACGGCCGCGTAAGAGCCCAAAAGGAGGCGCCGCGCGCAACGCTCTCGCACAAAGCGATGGCCGAGCGGCCCATCGCCGGCCCCTGGACCAAAGCTGGCGAGCGACCATAACGCGGCCGACGCGGCAACGCTGGGAAGTGGGCGCCAGCGCCGCTCGAGGCTGCTGGTGGCGCGCCGCCGCCAAAAAAAGACCTTCGAAGACGCGTGTGTGGAGGAAGACATAACAAGCACCGCCCCAAGCGGACGAAGAAATGAGCCGGTCTACAGCTTGCGGCGGCGGTGAGAAACTGGAGCGGCGGCTAGCAATACATGTACATATTATTCGCGCCGGAGGAGCGCTACAATCGCCAGAGCGATAGCGAGCGGCGCGACGAATGATTGCGTCGTCGCTGTTGCGCTGTCCACGGCCGTGCCGTGACTGCTGTCCGCCGTCGCGAGTTCCCACGCGAACCCGTCGCCCGGTACCGCCTGCAGGAGTGGGTCCCAGTAGAAGGAACCACATGACTCCGGTGCGTCTGAGGCGTTCGCTGTGATGCTGAAAACGGAGCCGTGCGGTCGGTACGAAATCCCGCCCTCGACACACCGCCCGCCGGCTCCTAGATAATTGACGCCCACGCCGGTAAAGTACGGCGTCGGGTTCGCGGCGTCCGTACTCAATTCGTCGAGCGCGTACTCCCGGTACACGTCGTCGTAGAACTTCACGGAGGCCGCCACGCTCTCGCCGGTGGCTTTGCACACGAACGTCGAGGCGAAGCGCAGGAGTTCCTTGTATCCGTCGGAGTCGCACGTCGACAGGAACGACGCCTCCTTGAGCGCCCGGCGCTTCACGACGACCACGACCTCCTCGCCCGTATACCAGACGTGTATGGCGTTTCGTAGACCCGCCTCCGTCTCGCAGGTCGTCGCGTCGATGGGGACGGTGAGCTCCAGGTCGATGCCTCCACCGGCCTTCGGCTCGATCTCCCACACAACCTCCGTATCACACCCGTTCTCGCCCGTGAAGGTTTTGGCGTACTGGAGGCCCTCGTTCCGGCCGTCCTGCTTGGCAAGCTCGCGGTCGGCATCGCTCTTGAAGATATACGACCGCGTCGTGGCCGGGCCCCTCGTCTTCTCAATCAGGACGCCACCGTCGTAAAAGGCTCGTTCATACGTGACCTCGCCGTTGTTGTACTCGGAATCGTCGCAGACCGTACCTTCGACGCCGTAGGGGAGCGAGTGCCTAAACGATTCCCCGGCGGCCCAGCTCTCGTGGTTGAGGTGCGGATCGACATGGTTTACGTTTCCCATGTCCATCAGCAACCCGGGCCAGTGGTTAAGGCTCTGTCCGGTGTGGGGCAGCGTCGTGAGCCCCGCCGGCGGGTCCGGGTACTCGCACGACTCGTTCGAGGGCTCGGCGCAGTCCGTGAGGCGCCTATCTTCGTGGGTGGAGTTGGTAGAGTTGGTAGAGTTGCGAAGGTCCACCGGTTGTAGCGGCCCAGGCGGAGGCCCGACTTGCTCCTCGAGAAACTTGCACGGTTTCTGAGAATGAAATTCGCTGGTTGCGCCTATCATCGTGTATTGCGCGACGGGGTCGAGCGCGAGCGTGGACCCCTGGCCGTCGGGGCCTTTGGTGGCGCAGGCGAACGAGTACTTCGGCGAGTAAGCGCCGACGACGTCACAATCGTTGCCGTCGCAGACGTACGACTGCGAGAACATGGTGATGGCCCGCTCGCCGGCGGCGAAGCCGTCGGTCCATTTCTGCCATTTATCTACGCACTTTGGGGCGCCGGCCGGGCCATTCCACTGCTCCTTTGGTTCGGCCGATGCGACAGCCAGGAGTGCGAGGAGCCGAGGCCCCAGCATTTGTTTCGATTCGTGTGTCGCTGCCCCAATCGCAGTCCTGCGGCCGCACGCAAGAGGACAAAAATTGAGATGGGCAGTGGGGCCAGAGGCTGTGATCCTAGTGTCTTGCGTCGGAGTGCTGAGGACTAGCTAGCCGGGTTAGAAGTTTTATAAAAGAGTGCTGAGGACTAGCTGGCCACCTTACGCCATCGACGCGAAGCAACATACTAGAAACGTTCGGCAGCCGCCCGGCGCCACGATCGACGAGGAAGACGCACTGCGACCACCCGCACGCCATCGACGCGGCGTCGTCCTGGTCGAGACCCGCCACACCCGACAGCCGACCACGGAGAGCGGCCGAGTTGCAATAGCTTCCGAAGCTCCCCTAGTCAAGGCGGTTTGGGTTCGGCAAGAGGGCAGCTGCGTGGTCCGGTCGCGATGCGTGAGTCCAAAAATGCAAAAAAAGAAGGAGCACGACGTGTGCTAATATGCGAATTACCCGGATCGAACGGGTGACCTACAGATCTTCAGTCTGGCGCTCTCCCAACTGAGCTATCGATACCCAAGTGGAATACAGGGGTCAAATCCGCGAGCGTTGAGTGATCACCATTTGTGAGCTCCTGACTGGAGAAATGAATTCGCCAGCGAAACCCCGATCTGAAATGCGTTGCCGAAAAACCCGGTTCCATCCGGGGCCGCAAACGACTCTCAAAAATCAAACAAACGAGGGCCTCGCGAACGCGGCCGACGCGGCAACGCTGGGAAGTGGGCGCCAGCGCCGCTCGAGGCTGCCGGTGGCGCGCCGCCGCCCGGGAAGCAGCCATGGGCCGCAAAACCCCAGAACCCGTAAAACAGCCGAAGCCGAAAAAAACGCCGGACGACAAGCGGCTCATCTCCTTCCGCATCGCCCACGCCGTGGCGGACCCGGACGCGCGGCCCCCGCCGCGGTCGCCCCAGGCCGCGTCGCCCAAGACGCGGCGGTCGCCGTCCGCGTCGCCCGCGCGGCTGCCCATCTCGGCCTCGTCTGAGTCCAAGGCGGCGCGCCGCGGCGCCGTGCCGCGGTCGCCGCCTCCTTTGCCGCCCGTGCGTTTTTCCGCGTCCTTCCACGCCTTCGGAGTCCCCACGTCGCGAGGACGATACTTTCTGTCCAAGATCTGAGAGAGAAAGAAGACAGAAGCGCAGCGTCGATGGCGTGGAGGTGGACGTACAAAGTCATCCGTGGCGTCGATGGCGTTGGAGAGAGACGGAGCCAAGACGCGTAGACCTACGATGGCGCGAAAAGTACACGAGGACGTGGAGAGAGACAGAGAGAAGCTACGCGTCGATGGCGTTGGACAGACACGGAGACAAGACGCGAGAGACACACGTAGAGACAAAGACAAAAAACAAACACAGGTCACGGCCCTCAGCCAAGTAGTCGCCTTCGAGGTCGACGCATCGGGCAGCGACGCCGCGCCGCCTAGAAGAAGGCGCTCCGCCTCCACCACTTCCGCGGCGTCGTCGACGGGCATCCCGCCGTCGAATTCCCAGACGTCGCTCGCGTCGTCGGCGTCGTCGACGCCCGGCAAAAAACCCTTAGCGGACGGCGGCCGCGCGTCGCCGCGGACGATCGCCGCGCGCAACGCCGCGACGCAGTCGACGCCCCAGGACGACAAGGAGAACCCCGTCCGCGTCGTCGAGAAGCGCCTCGAGGCCGAGCGCCGCCTCACGGAAGCGTTACGAAGGGAGGTCGCCCTCCTCAAGGAGCAGGAGCGCGACGCGCGGCGCGACGCCGACGCCTGGCGCAAGGAAGCCGAGAAACTGCGGGACGAGGCCGCGCGGCACGCGGCTTCCGCGGCGGACGCGAGCCAAGGCTTAGAACGCGAGGCGGAGATGGCCTGGCGCGAGGCCGAGACCTGGGTCGAGCGCGAGGAGGCCCTGGAACGGCGCGAGGCCTACGCGCACGAGAGCGCGCTCGGCGACGCTGAACAAATCGCCGCGCCGTCGCCGCGGTCCTGGCCCTCGTCGGCGTCGTCGTCGAAAGGCCGGCGCCGGACGCACTTCGCGCCGGCGAGCCCGCCGCGCGGCCGCGACGATGATGATGATGACGAATCCTGGGCCGTGGCCTTACATCGCAACGCGGGCAAGGCCGAGGAGCCGCCAAAACAAAAGAAGAAGCCCATGTCGCTGCACGAGAAGCTCTCGAGCCCGCGCGTTTTGCGGCGTCCTTTGCTGATCGCGTCGACGGCGTGGGGAGAGACACGGCGTCGACGGCGAAAAAACAATACTAAACGCAGGCACCGCCAGCCGCCGTCGCCCGCGGAACAGAAGCGCAAGCAGGAAGCCAGACAAGAAAGCGCCCGCCGGAACCGCGGCCGCCTCGAGCGCGAGCAGGCCGCGAGATTGAGAGAAGCGGCGGATAGAGTGAGGGACGTCCGCGCCACCAAAAACCTCTCGAAATTTGAACGAGAAGCCGCGGCAGCCAAGCGCCACGGCGAGGCCGCTAGAAGACACGCGGCGCACCTCGAAGAGGTTCGGAGGCGCGCCACGAAGGAGTCGGACAAGGTCGGCGAGGCGGCGTTCGTCCACGAGCTCGGGCTGCGGGGCCACGCGGCAGACCTCAAAAGGCGATTGGAGGCCATGGAGGCGAGGATCGACGAAGCGCGCGACCGGCGGCGCGACTTACTCGCGGACAAAGAGTCGAAAAGACGCGATAGAGAGCGGGCGCACCGCGAGCACGTGGGCACGCAGCGCATCGAACGGGCCGAGCTGGCAGCCGCGCGCTGGGACAAGCTCCAGTCGCGGTTGGAAGCGGTGGAAAGGAGACGCGCGGCGCGCATGGACGCGTTGGGCGACGCGGCGCGGCGCCGCGACCAGCGCGCCGCGGCGGCGGCGTCGCGCGTGGCGGCGGCGGCCGCGCGGCCCAAGGCCGGGCCGCCTCCATTGGCACGCGCGGCCGAGGCCGCGGCCGCCGCCGACGCCGCCGACGCGGCCGCGGCGGCCAAGGCCGCGCTGGCCCGCGACGAGCCGCCGCCGCCGCCGCCCGTCGTCGTGGCGCCGAAGCCCGCGGCCGCGGCGCCGCCGCCGCAGCAGCCGCCGAAGCGCCGCCGCCGCCGGCGCACGCGGAGCGGCGGCGCCGAGATGGCCAAGCCGCTGGACGCGGGCCCGGGCGCGGCCGCTGCCGCCGCGGCGCGCCTGCTGGCGGACGCCTGGGCCGGCGACCGCGACCACGACGGCGACGGTAGTCCAGAAGCGATCTTCGCGAAGCGCGTCGCCGCGGCGGCGAACGCGGCGAACGGCGGCAAGCCCCTCGATGCGGATTTCAAAGACCGCGTCGCGGGCGCCGCGAACGACGCCGCGGCCTGGGCCCTCGCCAAGTACGTGCGCGAGGACGCGTCCCCGTCATCAAAAGAGTGCTGCCTGCCGGCCTGCGTCTGCCTCGCGGCCGCTTTAGGTGACGACCCTTCAAGATTATCGGCGTTGGACGATGCCGTCCTGGACTTAGCAAGAGACGTCTGCCTCAAGTCGGCCTGCAAGCAGCACAACGACGTCGCGACGGCGGCGCTGGCTTGCGTGGCCGCCGCGTGCACGGCGGGGCCCGCGCCGGGTTTTGTCGAGCGGGGCGCGGGCGGCGCCGTCGTCGCGTCCTTGGTCGAGGCGTGCCTCGCGCCGGACGGCTCTCTCCTAACACCGTCGGCGGCGGCCGTGGCCGGCGAAGGTTTGAAAGCCCTGAACGCGATGGCGAGGACGGATCGCGAGGCGGTCTGCGAGGCGGTCTTCGCGGCGCAGGAACTGAGACCCCAGTTATTGCACCTCTGCGACGTGCTCTTCTCATGTTTACACGTGGGCGGGCCCTTCCAGCGGACGGCGTCGGATGGTTTAGATGCCTTGGTCGAGTTGGTGGGTCATCTCGCAAGGCACGACCAGGAGTGCCTGCTCTGGGCGTCTCCATCCAGACCGGCGCTCATGGAGCGGTTGGTCAAATTGCCGATCCGCTACTTTTCTTCATCTTCTGGAATGAACGCGCTCTTCCCGACGCTGGCCGCGGCGTGCGTGGGCAACGACCGCGTCTCGGCCAAGGCCGCGGAAGATGTCGGTTTAGGTGCGGTCGCGGACTACGTCCGCGGCGCGTCCTCAAATAAGACGGCGGCGGAGGCGCTGCGCGGCCGCCTGCCCGAGGCGGAGTGGGCCGCGGCGGCTGCTTATCTGGATAGGGTCGGCGACGCGGGGTCGCTAGACTAAAAGTTTTGAAAAGCAAACATTTACTACTACGGAGTTCCGGGCTCGAGGTCCGAGTCAGACTCGTCTGAGCCCGAGTCTGATTCCGAGTCCAAGCCGGATGACTCGGAGGAGGACGATGACTCCGCCGGCGCGGCCGTCGCCACGACTCGGTCGGGTGCGAGGAGATTGACCAGGACGTCGATCTGGGCAGCGAAGGGCCCGCCGCGCCGCGCGAGGCCCTGGTCCCGCAGCCCCTGGACGATGCAGGCCACAGGGTCGGGGACGTCGTAGACCCCGTCGTGGCCGACCTCCGCGACGAGGTCGCGGCAGGCCTCCCAAGCGTCCGCGCCGCACTCAAGCAGGTAAATAGCCACCGCCGCGCACACCTCTTCCGCCCATCGCTGCCCGAAAATGGGCCCAAGAGATAGCCCGCCGAACGGGTCAAGCATGAGCGACGCCAACGCCCACGCCAGCGGCGTATGCCGCGGCTGATATGACGGCCCCGCGCCGATATTCTTGACTTTGGCGTGGATATCGGCGCCCCCCGCGACGAGCGCTCGCGCGACCGCGAGGCCGTTGTCGTGGCCGAAGCGCGCGGCCCAATGCAATGGCGTCGCCATCCAATGCCCATTTGAACCCGCCACGACGGCGCGTACGCGCTCGTTGGGACTCGCGCCGTAGGCGAGGAGCCGTTCGACGAGCTCCGTCGTGCATCCGCCCATGTGCGGCGCATACTGCACGCTCGTGGCCAGGTGACGGCCCGCCGCTCGCCGCGTCTGCCAGTTCACGTCTGGTGCCAGTACTGCGTCGAGCAGCTGCGCGGCCTCGCGCACGGTCAGGCCCGGCCGCCCGCCGAAGCGCGCCCGCTCGAAGTCGTCGACGCCTCTCCGCAGCGCCAGCCGCTGGTCGGCCGCGCCGCGGCTCGCGCAGGCCACGACGACCGCGGACGCCCCGGAACATGTAGCGATGCGGCGCAAGACGTCGTCCGGGAGAGCGGTGAAGACCAGCGTCGGTGGCGGCTCGTCTTCTGCCATGCCGTCACCGCTGCGCCGGCGCGCCGTAGCCCTTGGCCTTGAGCGTGCGGTACTTCTTGAGCTGGATCAGCGCGCGCATCTCGCGCAGCATGTAGCGCCCGTAGCCGACGGCCTTGCGGATGTCCGCTTCGGTCCGCAGGTCCGCGCGCTCGCGGAACTCGCGCTTGGCGCGGTCGCGCACGGCGTCGAGGCCCGCGGGGTAGGCGCGGCCGACGACGAGGATTTGCTTGTAGAGGTCTCGGACCACCGGGCGCATGCGCTCTCTATGCAGAGGCTCGAGTGGTGTGATTGGTGATCGATGCGGGTGCTTGCCGCTCACAGAGGTGTGTATCACCGCTGTTCGCAGCGTTTTTTGCGCCTGTACTGCTTGTTGCTAGTGTCTTACGTGCCGCTAGCTGCCTGTGTCGACGGCGCGCGCTCCCCCACTGCTTTGTAGGCGTTCTGCGAGCTGCCAGCTGTTGCCGTGAACGGCCGCAACCAGCGAACGGCTGCCAGCGCTACGCCAGCGCCGAGGTGCTCTCCAAAGCTTCAAAAAGCCAGGCAGTCGACCGCCGCGCCGTCGCCGCGCGCGCGACAGATCAAGAGATAGTTAAAAAAGCAGCCATGCTCGCCGACGCCTACGACTGTGTGGTATTCGACTGCGACGGCGTGCTGTGGTCCGGCGGCGAGACCGTCGCGCAAGCCAAGGCGACGCTCGACGCCTTGAAGGCGCAAAACAAGAAGGTCTACTTCATGTCGAACAACTCCTCGCGGGGCCCGGACGTCTTCCGCCAAGTCTTTGAATCGCACGGGTTAGGAGAACACGTAAAAGACGAGCGCTTCATGTGGAACAGCGTGACGGCCGCGCAGCGCTGGTTCAAGGGGCGCAAGACGAAGAAGGCCTATGTGGTCGGCTGCGCGGCGCTCAAGGACGCAATCAGAGGTGCTGGTGTGACTGTGGTCGAACCTTGGAAACAGATGGGCGCGACACCAGAAAAACTTGCGGAGGAGGCGATCGATCCGGCGATAGACGCCGTCGTTTTAGCTTTCGACAAGGACTACGGGTACTTTGAGATCTGCTACGCGACCCGGTGTTTGCTGGAGAACAACGCAGAATTGGTGGCGACCAATAGAGACTTCCAGTTCCCGGCGCAGAAGAATAGAAAACTACCGGGCAACGGCGCCTTCGTCGCGGCGGTCTGCGCCGCGTCGCGCCGGGAGCCGGACGTCGTCGTGGGCAAGCCTAGTCGCTTTGCATTGGACGCGATCGTCGCGGACGCCGGGGTTTCGGCACGAAGGACGCTGATGGTCGGCGACATGTGGTCCGACGTGGAATTCGCGCACAACGCCGGCTGCGACGCTTTACTTGTGTTGTCGGGCGTCGCGTCCCTCGATGACGCGCGGCGGTGGTCTGGTATCACGCGGCCGGACTTCGTCGCTCCCGATTTGACGGCGCTGCTCCGGCCCGTTGAGCGGTTCCCACCGGCGCCGTCGTCGTCATCGCGGCGGTGGCTTTTGCCTTCTATCGTCGCGGCGGCGGCGGTCGCCTTTCTTGTTTCGCGGCGGCGGGGGGGCGCGCCCCCGGACCGGTCCGACCTCGACGACGCGACGCGCTGGCTGACGGCGAAGTAAATTTCTCAATGCAGTCGTCAATTGTTACGGTGCTGGACTCATCAGGCAGTCGTTGCCAGCTAGCGGTATCACACTAGCTCCGAGGAGCTCCCACCAATTTTCAGCACCAGAATTCAGCCACAGGCGTGACACAGGAGGCTCAAAACTCATGCTGATGCAGCGCGTGGCATTCCTGCTCGCGGTGGCGCACGCCGCTGCGCGGCCGGCCGGCCCAAAGGCGCGGGCCCTGCCGCGGCAGCAAGCGGCCCAGCGGCGGAAGGGCTGGACGGCCAAGCTCAAGTTCCTGCGGGACGACTGGCAGGAAGCGGTTCTACGGCCGCGCGGTGGCGCGTCGTCGACGCAAGCCGCCCTCAGACCGCGCGGCGGCGCGTCGAGCCTCACGACGCTGACGCACGCGGCGCTCGGCGCGGTTTTTGAGGCCGGTGCCCTCCTCGGCGTCGTCAAGGCCGCGCGCGCGTTGCCGCCGGGCGCCTCGTCAGCCATCGCGAAGCTCAAGATCCTGCCGAGTGACACCATCAAAGGGCTGCCGGCCGCCGAGTGGTTCGCGTGGTGCGTCATAATCTTCGGGTCGTCGGCGGTCGGCTCGGCGGTGGACGGGTCGCTGCGCGCGGCCACGAACCAGATCTTGATGCCCACGCGCGTGGCGGGCGAGCAGGGCTGGTACGCTTCTTTAGACAAGCCGCGCTGGGAGCCGCCGGGCTTCGTCTTTCCCGTCATGTGGTTGCTCGTGTCCAAGCCGACGCAGCTGCTGGCCGTGGCCAAGGTCTGCTCGTCTGGTACAAGCGAGGGCGAGGAGGCGGCAGCTTTACCGTGGGTGCCGCAGCTCGCGGCGTACTGTCTGCACCTCGCGCTCGGCGACGCGTGGAACAAGGTCTTCTTCGGCCAGCAGAAGGTCGCAGCGGGCGCGCTGATGATCACGGTCTTTTATGGCGCGCTCCTCGCGTCGGCGTATTTATTTGCCCAGGTCGACGCGACGGCGGGCCTATTGATGGTCCCGACGTGCCTCTGGGTAACGGTGGCCGCTGCGCTCAACTGGTCCATCTACTTCCGGCTGGGCGGCGCGGCGTCGAGCGACTCGGATTAAGAGTATTATAGTTAGGAAGACGGGGGGATCACGGGGGTTCGTATGAACGTTCAGGGGCCGAACGCGGCGCCCAGGAGCCACTCGAACGCGGCTTCGGCCTGCCACACCTGGCCGCCCGGCGCGAAGAAGCCCTGGAGCGGGTTAGTGGTGATCGAGACGTGGTAAGTCTGCCCGGGCACCAACGCGATGTCCCCGGCCGGCACGACGTAGTAGCCGGCGCCGGAGCTCTGGATGCAGTCGACCTTTTTGCCCTCGCCCTCGCAAAAGTCCGAGTAGAGCTGCTGCAGCTGAAAGACCGGCAACGACGCGGCCTCGTCCGTGGATGGATTCCCGAACCGCTCGTCCTGCTCCGAGATGACCGAGAAGCGCTTCTCCGGGGGCAGAATGACGTCCATGAACATGCCAAGCGGGGGCGGAGCCGACGGACCGAGCGGCGCGCCATTCACGAAGACGGGATGGTAGTATTGCGGGAGATCGACCCCCAGCGCGCCCGCGCCGAAGAGGGGCGCCCAGGCGAGGGTGAGCTGCGCCGTGATCGGGAGCGCGGGGATCGTGCCCAAGCTTAGAACCGGCAGGGTGCTCAACATCGTCGCTATTCCCGCTCCCCCGGAAAACCCGGCCACCGCGATCTTCGAGCAGTCGACGCCGTCGATCTGACAAAACCCATCTTTGATTGCGTCGTAGGCGGCGACGGCCACCTCGGTCCAGTTCCCAAGAACAGCGGCGGCTGCTGCCGGAAAGTTGGGCACGGGAACTGCCGGCGGGATGAACGGCAAGCCCGCTCTGTCCGGATAATCGTAGTAGTCGGGACCGATCAGCGCCACGCTGTAGCCCTGCTCGGCGATCTTGTCCATCGTCGGCTTGAGGATCCCGAGCGTCACGTCGAACTGGGTCTCCGAGTACGGCAGGAGGACGACGGCCGGCGCCGGACCGGGCTTCTTGGACCCGACGATCCTTTGGCAGGGCCCGATATCACCGCAGAACTCCTGGTCGATGGTCTCGAGGGTCGGGCCGGTGTACGGCGCGAACGCCGCCGCGCCGGTCGTAGCGGCGGCGAGTAAAAAGGCGCGCAGTGTTGGCGACATGGAGAGAGTAGTTAAGCGGTCAGCGGTCACGGACGCAGCCTACTCTGGTCTTGAGCAGCTGAATGGAAATTCCTAAATATGGGAGGCCTATACAATCGACTCGGTTGCGGCCGACTGTATACACCTTGACGATGATTTCTGGTACTCTGGTCGTGGCAACAGGCCCGCGCCGAGCTTGCCGAGCAAGGACACACGAGACAAAACCCGCCAGGACTCGGACAGAGACGCTACAGAGTACTAGCGCACCGCATCGGAAAAGAAGATTACCCATCCGAGTCCCCAGCAGCCTTAGCAACGGCGTCCAGGTCGATCGCCCGCGCCACGGGCACCACCTTGGAAGAGGACCCGAGGACCCACGCGTCGCGCAGGAACTCGAGCGCCGCGGTCCAGCCCGCAACCGGTACCAAATCGGCGTCGAGCTCCTCCTCCACACACCTCCCTTCGGACAGTTGCCGCGCGACGTGGGCCGCCTGCGCGCTCCGCAGCGCGTGGACCGCGTCGAAGGCGTCCCGCGCGCGGCCCCAGGCCCCGTTCATGACCTGGAACAACGCCACCGTCGTGCCGCTCATCCAGTCCTCCTTCCGGAGCTTGTCGAGGGCCATGTTCGCTTCGTAGACAAAGCCCCGCGTCTTTTCGACCTCGCCCTCATACCCCTCCATGAAGGACACTTCAAATTCGTCCAGGAAGTCCGCCATGACCTGCTGGTAGGCGTCCCACGCTTGTAATAGCTGTGTGGCAGCACTTTGAGCGTCGAAGAACAGCTGCCCAGTGGCAGGGGCACTTCGGGTCCGCACCCACGCGCCGGACATGTCGCCGCGCGCCGTCTTTTCGAGAGCGGCGGCGCAGGCGGCCTCCTCGCTGAGCTTTTCCTTGACCGCGCCGCCGCCCTCGATGGCGATCAAAGCCTGACCATACGCACGGGCGTTCGCGAAGCGCTGCCTCTCGACTGCGAGGGCATCCTCGGAATCCTCCGCCACGCCCAAGATGACGCGCGTCCGCGCGAAGCCCTCGGTGGACCGTAACGCCTCGGCCGCGCCCACCGACACCGTTTGTGCACTGTCGTCCTCCTCCTTTGGTTGAGGCGGCTTCACGGCCTCCGCGGCCTTCTCGACGCGATCCTCGACGGCCGTGGCCCAGTGCCTTAACAACATATGCAGGAACGCGTCGACGTCGCCCTGGTCGTCGTATTGTCGCAGTAATTCCATCTCGCCCACAATAATATCCATCTCCCTTGAATTTTCTCCTAGCCTCGCATCTAACAACTGGTGCGCCGTCTTCTCCAGCAGCTCCAAGGGCGCGAGCCAGAAGCCGCACCTGTTGGCGTCCGTGCCCGAGGCGTGCGTCTCGGGGAAGAGGGGCCCGTCCGGGTCCAGGTCGCAGTTCTTTCTTATCAACAGTATAGCGTTGACGTAGAACTCGAGGGCGTCTCCGCTTCGCCGTTGGATGGTGTTCTCCTGCCGCGCCTTCGCGTCGGCGAGGAGATCGAGCGTGCTGCCCAGCGAGCCGGGCTGCAAGAACGAGACGGCGGGCAGATCACCCTGGCGCACACCGGCCAACAGGCAGAAGATGCGCAAACGCGGTAATAGACCGCTACGCTCGCGGCAGTTCAGGAACAGGTCGTGCAGTTCTCTTTCTGCCAGTGACGCGACCCCGAAGCGCTGGAGGTGGTACCCGTGCACCACGTCGACAAAATTCGTCTGGAGCATGAACCACCACTCGTATATGAGTCCAACCCGTCCCAAGATGTCCGACGAAGGCCGCCGGATCTCCCGCTCCTTAATAGAACCACGTCCACTCATGTAGCCCTTGCGCATCCTTAGTCTAATCGACTGCGGCGCGCCGTTTTCCCGCTCCTGCCTCCGCTTCCAGCTCTTGTTCACCCGACTAACTGCCAAAGTGGTTTGCAAACGCTGGACCATGGTCCACGCTTGGGGTTCCTTGAAATCCACTAAAACCAACTCCATAGATCGCAATTCTTGCAGAATATTCATCACAAAATCACCGGGCGTCATCTGGTTCGTGTAGAGCCGCTTCGCGAAGCCGCCGCAGCCCGAACCCTCCGGGTAGTCGCTTCCTAACTCATAAGATCGCAATCGGTGATCAATGCATAACTGCAATAACCGCCGGTAGGCCGCGAGCGGCTGCATCCCGTCGACGTCGCCCACGGCATTATCGGAAGCGACTTCCAACGCGGTGTCGAATTGAGCCCTTAAGAATTTGAAGCGCGACCGCGCGTGGTCCGCCAGCGTCCCTTCGACGCGGTCCATGAGATTAGACATCATGCGCGCGCGCATCTGGACGAGGCCTCCCAATTGTCTGCGAGCTTCCAACGGCAGCGGGAAGTCTCTCGGACTCCTCGCATGGTGCGGTAGAGCCAGCGCCCGCGCGAAGAAGCGCTGCTTCTCGCACGTATCTAAAAATACTTCATAGTCCACGTTGCCCTTGGAGGCCTCGTGGGCCTCTCGGTATAAGGCAGCAGCGTAGGTCGTCGACGCGTCTGGAAGTAACGTACGGACGATCGCCACGAACTGTGGTAAATCGACGCAGGGCGGCGGCGCCTTCGGGTCGTCGTTGCGCTCCGGTGCTTCTGGAGTACGACCCGTGCCGTAGTCCGGCGCGTGGACCGCTATGGTCCCTGCTAACGCGGTTTCGAACATCAACCTCACCGCGGCCCTCCGATGGGCCTGCTCCTCCCGATACAGATGCGTAAGCACTCTGAGCCAGAGCGCCATGTCCACGCATTCTAACTGCTTGGCGCCCCACTTGCTGCTACGCCCTTCCGCCTCCACGGCGATATCTCGAGTGGCTTTGAGAGCGCCCTCCCGTAGCCGAGGGTTGCCCTTCTGGAGCACCTTCTCCGTGGCCTCGAGCGCGTCCACCAGCGGCAGCCAGACGCACTGCTGGCCTCCTAAAGCCAAAGCGTCGGCGTCGGAAATGGCCGCGAGGCGGTCCCACGGCGGGTCCGCGGGGTTCGCCCCGACCTTTTTACGCATCTTCGCGTGCGCTTCGAACTCCTTGACTTTCTCCTTGAGTTCATAATATGTGTTCGCGAAGACGCAGCCCTGGGCATTTAGGACCACTCCGGCGGTGGTCTGGATGAGTTCGTTACAGTAGAGATAAAACGCGAGGAAGTCCCCACCGTGCGACTCATCAAGTAAACTCCAGAATAACTTGGCTTCGTCCGATTCTCTGCTTAACATCTTCGCGCCGTAGTAGAGGCCCCACCGGTCGTCATCGGCCACTTTGATCGCTTCGCGCCTCTCAGTGCTATGTAGACTATCAAGATATTTCCGAGGCGGCTCGAAGAAGGCATACGCAAATTCGGGAAACCTCGCGCGTCCCTCCTGCTGGGGACCGTGCGAGGCATGATCCCTCAGCAAAGCACCGATGATGGCCCGCATACACCGCCGCACCCACGTGATCGACCTAGGTGGTCTTTCACCACCAAGAGGAGGTAGGAGCAGTCGATACCCATGGCACACCAAACGAGGCGGCTCCGGCTCCGGTCCTACTATAGCCTCCCGTATATTGGCCATATCAGATAAAGATTTCCCACATTTAATGCATAGGACATTGGCCAGCGGATCTTCTTCCGCATCGTCGAGCTCTTCCTCGGGCTCCTTTTCTAAATGCCCGTCTCGTTCCAGAGCGGCCAATTCGCCTTCCTTCTGCGCCTGGCGCTCTTTCGCAAGTTCCTCCTCGCGCAACTTAGCGGCCTCCTTCTCCTGGTACATGGCCACGATCGCTTCCCGATCCTTGAGTTTGGCCTCCAGCGCTTCTTGGGCGCGGTGCATGGACTGGATCGTCTTCTCGAGGACCGGTACTCTCATACTATCCTTCTTGCAATGGCGTAGCTCCTCGACCTCCTCCCGCAATGCAGCTAGTTCTTCCTTCTGGCCCCGCATGACGTTCCTCATATCACCCTTGTTCACCAGGTCCTTGTCGCGCTGCATGTCCTGAAAGATGCCGTTCAGACTTTTGACGGTCTCCTTCAGCTTCCGGTTGGCCTGTCGTTGCTCGTTGTCTTTTTTATTAAGTTCTAGTAGTTGATCAGAGTGGTTGTTGTTCGCGTCCTGGAGGGCCTCCCGCTTTTCTCTCTCAAGGTTGACCTTGTCGTCTCGTCGTAATTGCTCTAATTCTTCAATTCTATCCTTCGAAGAAGAGATCTCGCCGCACGCTTTATCAAGTTGCCACAAGGCATCCGAATGCAACCTACAGACGCGATCGAAGACGCTGCCGAACCGCTCTCTCAGAGAATCGACCAATCTGCCGTGCTCCAGGCAACCGACCGTGACTTGAGCCACTAGTTCAGAACAGACCTGGTCGGCCCACTTCTGCTCGAACACGCAGGCGCCGAGGTCGTCTCTGGCATTTTTCCATAAGTGTGAGGTGACGCCCATCGATTGTGCTGAAGCGGCGTCCGCCTCTGCTTCGGCGGAGAGCTTCTTCCGTTCAGCAAAGGCATTAGCGACAGCGGAGCAGCACTCGAGGTAGTCGCGCGCCGCCTCGGGGGCGTCGCGGTTCTGCCGCGCCAATCGCCCGAGCGTCTCGCCGATACTCTTGTCTCTCGGATCTCTCTGGTCGGCGATGCTCATGGCGTCCTCGAACTTGCGGGAGAGGGCCTTGCCCGCCCCCCGCGCATTGCTCGCCTCGCTCGCGACGCTTCCGATCGTTAATTGAGTCTGGGCCGGCCGCCTCGTCTTCTTCTTCTTCTTGAGCGAGCGCTGCAGGGCTCGTCCCGTATTTTTCGGATCGACGTCGGGGAAGATGGTCGCGGCGAACTTGCCGTAGGCGTCGCTCCTACTTTCTTCGTTCCCGTCGTACGTGAGCAGCGTGGACGGGATCGCCGCGGGCTCGACTACCGTCGGGCGCCGCTCGCCGAGGGGCGCGCTCGTCGAGCGCGGCTCCAGGTCCGCGAGCGTGACGGCGCGGCCCGCGTAGCCCGCGAGCTGGGACATGGTCTGGGAGGCTGCCCCTCTGGGTGTGCTGCCCAAGCAAATAGCAGCGGGCTCACGCTAGGTCGTGGCTGTCCACCCGCTTTCGCACGCCCACGCGCGTCTTTGGTACGGCTGGCCCGGCGCCGCGCTCGTCCAGGCCGCACCGTTTTGTGGCGCTGCCGGCCGAGTTTCAGGCTCGTGACCCCCTACCACCGAGGTACAGAGGTATAAGGTAACTTACCGATACCAGCCTCGGCTCACAATGGCGGCGGCGTGTTAGCACGAACCAGACGTTGCAAGCATGCAACGCTGGGCGGCATTGCTGCTCCTTGTCCTAAACGCGACAGCTTTGCAGCTGCCGTGGCTCGCGTGGCGTGCACTCACGCCTAGACTGCCCGGCGGCCGGATCGATGAATGCCTCAAAAACGCCGCAGCGGTGCAGGTGCCGTCCGCCGCGGCGACGGGCACAGCTATCAAGTCTTTGTGCTTTGACACGGACATGGGAGGGCACGTTGTTGCCGTCGTGCGAGCTACTGACGGTGTCGACGCTGCGCGATTAGCGTCCGCCATCGGTGCGCAGACCGCGAAGTTATCTCGGCCGGACGCAGTCGAGGCGGCGACGGGATTCGGCGTCGGCTGCGTGCCGCCGGTGGGCGTCGCGACCCCAGTCGTCGTCGACGAGGCCGTCGCGGCCCTGCGCGGCCGCGTCGTCGGCGGTGCTGGCGACGAGGCGCGGCAACTCGTTATTCGCGACGGCGCGGAGCTGCTGCGCCTCTCGGCTGGAATCCGGGCGGACATCCGGGGCTCGGGGCGCCCAACGCCGTCGGCGCCGACATACAGAGCGCAGGGCTTCGACGCAACCGGAAGAAACGTGACAATCGTGGGCCGCATCGCGTCGAAACGCCAGATGGCGAAGAAGCTCTGCTTCGTGTCGCTGACGCCGCCAGGTGGTGGCCGCTGGCGGCCGCTCGGGCGATTGCTCCCGTACCCGGACGTCGAGCTCCAGGTCATCCTGGGCGCGACACTGGCCCGACAGCGCGGCAACGACGCTGCAGCAAACGTGATCCGGCGGCTCCGCGTCGGGCAGGTCGTCGTGTGCGACTGCGTGCCAACCTGGCGCGACCGGCCCTCGGTGATGGGTCGATTCATCGAGCGGTGGCGCCAGGTTCATAAGAGGCGCCAGATAGACCTCCGCTGTTCGGACGTCGGGACGGTCCGCGGCTTCGGCGGCGCCGGCGACAAGCCGAGAACCAGACGGAAGGAGCCGGCGCCGCTCCAGTACCTGGAACTCCCGCGAGACGTCGCCCTTCACTACGTGACTGACGCGAGCGAGGCGCCGGCCGCCATTACCGCAATCGCCGACGCTGCCATCGTCGGCCTCGACGCCGAGTGGGAGCCCGACTCCTCCAGCGACACGCCGGCGGCGACGGTGCAGCTCGCAACCAAAGACGCGTGCGTCGTCCTCGACCTCGTCGCGCTCGCTACGAACGAAGGAGGCCTCGCGGCCGCCGACGCCGTCGTCGCCGCGGCGCTGGCGAACGCGGTGCTCGTCGGATTCGGTCTGGAGACGGACCTCGCGCGGTGTCGACCCTTGCTGACGAGCCTCGACGCGCCGGAGACGCGCGAGCTCCAAGGCACGGCGAGCTCACTCGCCGCCCTCGTCCGCAGGACGCTGGGCCGCGACCTCGACAAGCGCCTGCAGAGGAGCGCGTGGGGCGCGATGCCGCGGCCGCTGCCCGACGACTGCGTCACGTACGCGGCACTCGACGCCTACGCGTGCGTGATGGCCTACGACGCGCTCGACGGTGAGCCTGTGGCGCCGGCCACGGCCGCGCGCGACCTGCGCGTGACCGAGGATGTCGTGGAGCGGTGTTTGGGGAGAGGCCGCGACCGGAAGCGCGGCGAACATCCCAAAGACGCGGCGTTGTCGTTTTTATCGGGCGAGGAGGCGGTCGGCGGCTACGACAAAAGAGGCGGCGCGGCGCGCATAGCCGACGGCTCGGTGCTCTTCGTCAACTGGCAAGGACGCGGCGAAAATATCCGCACGACCTACTTCGACCGCAAGTACCCGAATGCGATAGCCGACGGCTCCGTGACGTGGTGGCCTCCGAAGAACTTCGACGAGGAACGGCTGTCGGAGCCGCTCCACCTATTTGGCCGACGAGGCAAGAGCAGTTTCCTGTACCTCGGGCGCTTGTTATACGTCGGACCGATGGCGCAAGCCGGCACCGCGCCCGGAGGTTTAGTATTGAAGCTCCTCGACGCGGAAGAGCTCGAGCGGCGCGCCGACGACGGCGACGCGCAGCCCGGGCTGCGGGCGCTGCTCGACTCCGCGGCCGCTGTTGTTTAAGAAGCTAGTGTTGGGGCAATCTGACGTTGTCTGGGAAATATAAGTGGGAACAAAATACAATTAAGCTGGGCGGTCGCGAGGCGGGTGCGTCGCGGTCGGGAGGCGGTAGGAATTGGGCGCGATGTCACTGGGTGACGGCCGCGCGCGTGTGCGAGAACCAGTAGGAGTCCTGCTCCTCGGCCGGGTCGAGGTCGAGGAAGTGGCCCCAGTAGTCGTCGTCGGCCTTCGTGGGCGGTTCGGGCGGGAGGAAGAGCGGCGGCGGCAGTTCCAGAGCGGGCGGCGGCGCCTTGGGCGGGCTCGCCGGCGGCGTCACGGGGTGGACGACGTTCCGAGACGGCGCGTCGTCGTACGTCGACGGCTTGGCCTTGCGGCGCCACGTCGTCCGGCGCGTCGGCGTCACCGGCACCGCCGCGGGCGGCGGCGGCGCCTTGACGACGCGGTGCGCGGCGTCGCCCCGATGCGACCGGCGCCGCGCCGCGGAGGCCGCGGCGCGGAACCGCGCGGCGACGTCCGCGTCGGGTTTGATACTCGTCGGGGGCGCCGCGTCGGGCCGCGGGGACTTGTACTTGGGCGCGTCCATGTCGCCGCTGTCGGACATGGAGACGACGGTCACGGCGGACGACATGGTCACTTGACGCCCTTGCAGCGGGCTGCCTCTGGGCTGCCTTGCGCGCGCGCGGCAAGGGTCTCCGGGGTACCGTGACAAGGTCAGGTACCTGGGCGTCCCCCGCGACAGCGACGAGGTCCCCGCGCGGCGGCGGTGAGCGGATCAGGCCCTTGATAGGCTGCCTTCTCTCCCTGATTGCAAGTTCTCGCGAGCGAGCCACTACAACCTGGTTGGGCGAAGGGCAACTTACCCTTGGGGCCTCTCTGTCAGGGCCCTCGAGGCGTCGGCGGGCCGCCGCGAGCTTTGCCGAGCGGCATATTGGCATGTGCGCGCGTACGGACACTGTATCGCAAGAAGCCTGTGCAAATGCTGGTGCGGGTGGCGACTAGCTGATCCGATAAACATATCCTTCGGCTTTGGCCCTCCCATTAGACACTTTGCTCGAAGTCGAATAAAACCCGAACACCATGCAAAGCTGAGTCGCGACCCCTGCGCGCGTCCTAGTACCTCATTTCACCAGTAGCGCGTCGTCGCGACACATTGATACATTACCGGACGGCTGCTGCATCAATTCCTAAGGCTCGCCGCTTCAGGACAGTGCAGTGGGTGCTGCACTGCCAGCAGGTTGCAAAGAGTAAATAGGAGTCGCAGCGATGCGCACATTGACGGCGTCGGCGCGCGTCTTGCGAAGACTGAAACCGCGGAGGCTTCTGGCGTCGCTGCCGCACGTCGTCGAGCACGACGGCACGCGGGCCGAAAGGAGCCTCATCCTGCTGAAGCCGGACGCGGTGGAGCGGCGCCTCGTGGGCCGCATCCTGAGCCGCTTCGAGGACCGCGGCCTCGCGATCGTCGCGCTGCGGCAGCGAATCTGCGACCGCGCGCTGGCCGAGGCGCACTATGAGGAACATCGCGACAAGCACTTCTTCGGGCGCGCCTGCGCGTTCCTCTGCGCCGGGCCGCTCGTGAGCGCCTGCCTCGAGGGCCGCGGCGCCGTCGCCGCCGCACGCAAGCTGGTCGGGCCGACGGACCCACGCGACGCCGCACCCGGCACGATCCGCGGCGACCTGGCGACGCACTGGCGGCGGAACCTGGTGCACGCGTCGGCGAGCGCCGACGACGCGGAGCGGGAGATTGGGCTGTGGTTCGACAGCACCGATCTTTGTCCGCCGGCGGCCGCGCTCGACGCGTGGCTGTACGAGATGCCAGGGGCGAGGATTGGGTTCGACGACGATGATGACGAGCAGGGGGTGTCCTAAGATCTGGAGTAGTCCTTGTCGGCTTGTCCGCGCACAGCCAAAATTTTACGTGGCCTGATAGACGAGCCGCCGAAGCCGAGGCGGCGCGGCTGGCGGCGGAGGCCCTGCGCGAGGAGATGGCGGTGCGGCTGGCGGCGGAGGCCCTGCGCGAGGAGACGGCGGTGCGGCGGGACGTGATCGAGGCGCTGCATCGGCGCGTCGAGGAGTTGGAACGGGAGCTGGCTATGCGCGCGGTCCAGGAGGTGTGAATCGCGGCGGCCTAATTCTGCTAAAATTACTCACCATTATTACTCCCGCCATTCGCCGCCGCGCCGGTCACCCGCTCCGCCGCCTCCTCCAGAAACTCCATGACGCCCCGCTCGACGCCCCGCAGTCGATCGTCGCGCACGTACCGCGGCAGCACGGCGTGGAGCCGCCGGCCGTCCCGCTCGAGCTGCGCGTACTCGTCGCGCGACAGAGAGCGCGTCCGGACGGACGCGGCGAGCGCGGCCGCGAAGCGTGACAGCAGCGCCGCCGCGAGGCCGACGCCCGTCGTCACGTCGTCGGCAACGCTCTCGCCCGCGGTCGCCTCCTTGGCAAATAACTTCTCGACGTCCATTTCGACGCCCGACCGCGCGGCCGCGCCGGACGCGCGCGGCGTTCTTAATGAACGCGCGCGCCGGTCGACGGCGTCGTCGCTTATCTCGATTTCCGCCACGTGAGTCTTGCTCCGCAGGGCGGCGTCGACGCGTTTTGAGGCGGCCGCGATCATGGAGACGCAGGCGTCTATGTATGAAGCGGGACCGTCATTCACAGATATGGTGGCGATGGCGTCTTGCGCCTTCTGATCTAAATCTTCGCCGACGACCGCGACGTGCCGCTCCAGGAGGTCAGTGGACAACGCGTCGTCGCCGCGCAACCGGCACAGCGCCGCGAGCGCCACGATCGTCGACGGTTGCAAGCCGCCGCGCGCCTCGATCATAGATCGGAGCCACGCCTCGGATTTCGCGGTTCTCTTAGAAACGGAGTCCTCCTTCGATAGGAACGGCTCGAGCGGCGCGGCGCGCTCGCGCAGGGACCGCGCCGCTCGTCTCAAAGCCACGTCCGCGTTCGTCGGCGCGCTCCTCAAGGCTTGGGCGTCGTCCGATTCTGTAGAAGCGGCGAGGTCGTCGAGGGCCTTGGTCGAGGCGCTCTCGAGCTCCCTTTCCGAAGCGTCGTGCGCCTTCGCCGCAATTGTAGCAGCGACCGCAGAAACGCGTTCCGGGTCGACGGCGACCGCAGCTCTTAACGCGAGGGCAACGTCGCCGTAGTCCGTTGAATTTGAGACCATTTTCTGCACCTGGTCCACGAATTTGGCCGTGGGCCCGGAGGGCAGCTCCACGACGCCGTCCAATTGACCTACAATAGCGTCGCGCGGCCCGCAGAATTTATCAGAGAGCATTGTAACCCTCCTTTCCAACGAAAGGGACGCGTCGTCGTTTCGTAAAGCGTCGTCCAACACACCACACAAATAACGATCGGCGCAGTCCGCCGCCGCGGCCCGAGCCTTCGAAGCGTCCTCCGCGTCGCCGACCTTTGTGAGCAGCCGCACGCGCGCCGCGAGATGGCCCGAAGCCGCCAATGTGTCGTCAAAGACCTGCAGGTCGCCCTTGAGAGAAGTGACGATGCGCCGCGCATCGTCATGGATGTCCCGCAGCGACGCCACGTGTCCATGGGAAGATAATACCGCGTCCGCGGCCTCATACATCGAGACGGCGTCCTCGTGGCGCCCTTCGCTCACCGCAACCTCCAGCTTCTTCGGGAGTTCGAAGAGGAACTCCAGCCGCTTCAGCAAGCGACGCGAGCGCACGAGCGTGTCTATTTGCGAACGCTTGTCCGCCAGCGAGCCGTTGACTTGCTTCGCGAGAGCGTCGACGTCACACAGCGTCGCATCTAAGCACGCGACGCCGGCCTCCATGGCGCCTACATTACTATTCATTTCTTGGATCGTCTCCGTGGCCGCGATGAACTTGGAGTAGTTTTCGTAGACCAGTGCCTGCAAATCGGAACCGAGCGTCCGCGTTTCTCGTCTTAGAGCAGCGTCCCGTTCTAACAAGCGATCCAGGGGCTGCCTCCTTAGCAATTCTTCGACATAAGTTTTGGCTTCGAAATCAGTTCTATCTAGGGGCTCGGCGGGCTCGGCGTCGTCGTCGTCGTCTTTTACTGGTGTTTTTTCGATGCCGTAGAAGCTCGCGAGCAGGTTCTGCGACGTCGGCGCGCCTTCATCGTCGCTGCCGCCTAATGAGTCGTCGCTCGAGTCGTCGGACATTTGCTGCGCGTGGGCGCCTGGGCAGGGCTGTGTAGCGAGTATCTCAACGCGGTTTCGCGATCGCTGCTGCAATAGTGAGTCTGAGGGCTACCAAATGAGAAAACGGAGCAGTCTGCGCGCCTTTCTGGCGTCTCTATGCCAAAAAAAGTGCTTGCTAGTGTCTTTACGCGACGCTAGCCCCGGTTTTGTGCAGCAATTTGAGGCAAAACACACGCGCGCCGCAGCCGCGGTTGCGTGCGTAGAGCAGTTTCGGGCGCAGACACCACCGCTGTCCAGCGCAGCGCCGACCGACCGGTCATAACTACGTGCTTTTGGCCTTTTGGCAAGGTCTCACATCACCGCTGCAGAGCGGTGCCAAACTCACATGGCCGAGCCCCACCCCTGGCAGCCCGACGCGGCGCCCTTCGTCGCGCAGCTCCTCAAACATCTGGACGCGGGCACGCTGCCGAGCGAGGTGAATCCATTACCGCACGTCGCGCGGGGCCGCGGCCACGGCGCGGCGAGGGACGCATCAACATTATACGCGCCGCACGTTTTGGAGGAGTGCCTCGCCGGCGCGCGCGAGGAGCGCCAACGACGTGAAAGGCGGCGCGTCAAGGTGATTGTGGTGGAAACGACGCCGATCGGCGACCACAATTTGCGGTTCGCGCTCCTCAAGAAGAAGGGGTCTGATGGAGACGAGCTCTTCAGCGACCGCGTCGCGTTACTGGGAAGGAGCAATCGAAATGAAGCGCACTGCGTCGTCGTGCCGACAAGGGAGGCTTCGAGTCTCCATTCCACCAAGAGTTCGGGCAAGACATGTAGGGTGGCGTTCCTGGGGAACGGCGTGTTTATCAGAGGCGCGACGTTAGATGTAGAGTTACGCCTCGACGCTCTACCGGCATTCAGGGAGAACTCGGCCCTGCAGACGCTCGAGAACATCAATCAAAGCCTGCTCGCTCCGTTATTAGCTCATACCACGGAAACGCCAAAAGCTGCGCCGCGCACGCCAGCTCCCCTCTGGCAGGCCCTGCGGTCTTCTTCAAACGCGTCGCAGTTCGCGGCCATCGCTGCTGGTGCTGATGCTACACCCTTCGCGCTCGTGCAAGGGCCGCCGGGCACGGGCAAGACGCGCACGATCCTGGGGGTCTGCGCCGCTTTATTACATGGTGATCTCGCGGAGCCGCCGCCTCCACAAAGAAGTCGGCGGGGCCCGGGCATGCTCTCATCACAAACGTCGATGCGCGCGACGACGCGGATTAACGCCCCTGGTGGTTTACTTCAAGCCGCAGAACGGTCGCGGCGCATTCTGGTGACGGCGCCGTCGAACGCGGCCGTCGACGAGGTCGCGGCGCGGTTCGTAAGGGAGGGCGTGCCGGGGCCCGACGGGCGCATTAGGCGTGTTCGGTTATGTAGGGTGGGTACCGTGGGCGGGAGCCATCGCACCGAAGCGACGCCGCACGAGGCGTTGTTAAGGGGCTACACGTTGGACGTGCTGGCGGAGCGGCAGGCGGGACGAAGAGCGGAAAGAGTCACGTCGGCTTTATTACAGGCCGACATTGTAGTTGCCACTTTATCAGGGTGCGCGCATTCTTCGCTAGCCGAGGCGCAACAATCCATCGCGCCGGAGCCGTTGTTTGATGCCGTTGTGGTGGACGAGGCGGCGCAAGCCGTCGAACCTTCTACATACATACCGCTGCGCTACGGCCCGAAGCGTGTCGTGTTAGTGGGCGACCCGGCGCAGCTCGCCGCGACACTACTGTCGCCGGCGACGGAGCGCGCGGGCTACGGGCAGTCGCTGTTTGAAAGACTGTGGCGCGGCGGCCACCCTACTTCTTTATTACGCACGCAATACCGCATGCAGCGGGACCTCTGCGATCTTGTTTCAAGGCGCTTCTACTCCGGGTTGCTGACGAGCGCGGACCGCGTCACGAGCCAGTCTCATTCATTACCGCCCGCCTTGACGGCGCTCGGTAGGACACATAGTGCGCCGCTCGCCTTCCACGACGTCACGAGCGGTGAATCAAGAAGGCCAGACGGCCGTTCCTGGGCGAACGCGGCGGAAGCGCGCGTATGTGCGAGATTGGCAGGGGACATCGTGCGGACGACGTCACTCTCCGTGGGCGTCGTCGCGCCCTACCGCGCTCAATTAACCGAGCTCCGCAACGCGTTGAGAGGTATTAATGGAGACGTCGAGGTCTCGACGGTCGACGCGTTCCAGGGGCGCGAGAAGGATGTCGTGATTGTGTCGTGCGTTCGGGCGCCGTCCCACGGACGCGACGTCGAGTCGATCGGGTTCCTCGCGGACCGGCACCGGCTCAATGTATTACTGTCGCGAGCTAGATTGGCGTGCTGGGTCGTCGGCCACGCGTCGACATTGAGGCGCAACGACGACTGGAGGGCGTTGGTCGAGGCCGCCGAGCGCGCCGGGGCGCTGTTTTCCGAAGACCGGCCCCGCAAGAAGAAACGGCGGTCGCCGCCGCCGGCGTCGCCTCCCGCTAAGTCGCCCACAAAGCGGTCGACGCCCTGCCGCGCCGCGCGCGCCGCGCTGCCGTCGAACGTCGTCGCCGCCGTCGCGCCGCCGCCGCGCTCGTCCGAGCGCACGGCCGCGATCCGCCGGGCGCGCGAGGCCGAAGCTAGAGGCGAAGTCATCGACGTCGACGCCCCGCCGGAGGTCATCGTCATCCAGGACTCGGACCCGGAGAGCGAGGCCGAGCTGATCTGCCGGCCGCGGAAGGTGGGGAAGAAGAAAAAGAAGCGACGGCGGACTCGCTAGCCTTGTTGTAATGTGTTTGGTATCAGAGTCACACAGTCAATACTTAGCGAAACGAAAGCGCGCGACAGGGTTATACTCGGAACGAGTCCCGCTCAGCGCCCAGGTTGAGGTGGAGGAGGCGGCCGCGGCGGAAAAGCGCGGCCGCCCAGGCCGCACTGCCGCGCGTGCGCCACCCACGCGAGCGCCGGTGGGCTTCCGCGCGGCCCGAAGCCGAACGCCTTGCCACAAGGGCATGCCCACGGTAAGGCTACCGTTGGCGCGAAGAGGGGCAGGCCGGGCAGCGACCCCGCGCGCGGCCGTGGCAGGAGCGGCAGGCCGGGCGGCGACATTGAGTTCGCGCGCGGGCGTTGGAAAAGGAGGCCCGGCGACGGCGTCGCGACCGGCAGCGGCATCGGCGACGTACTCGCGGCGCGCGGCCGCTTGGCGACGGGCAGCGGCGTCCGCGACACGACGACGCGCGGCGGCGGCGGCGTCGGCACCCGCGGCGGCGTCGGCACGGGAGACTTCGCCTTTGGCACGGGTCGCGCCCGCGCCGGCGTCCAGGCGCGCACGGTTAGTACTTTGTCGCCCGCTTTTTTCACGTCCTTGGGCTCGAGGCCCACGGTCTGCCCGGCGACGCTCCGCTCGTAGCGCTGCGCGCCCTTGCAGACGTGGTTCGCCTTGGGCTCGCCGCAGCGCGAGCAGCGGTAGCGGCCGCGTGGGCGCGCCGGGTCCGGCGTCACGATGGCGACGGGCGGCGGCGGCGGCGGCGGCGTTTCCTTGCGTTTCGGGTCGAGCGCGTTGAGCGCCGCCAGGGCGCGCGACGCCGCGTTGTCGTCGCGCGGCGGCGGCGCCTCGGAGACGCCCGCGAGGACGGCCGCTGCGTCCACGAGCGACGGCGTGCGCTGGTGGCGCTTGCGCTTGACCACTTGCGGCGGCGAGTCCTCGGCGGCCAGCGACTGCGCGGCGCGCCCGAGCACCGTGGCCGCCTCCCTCATCAGGGCGTCGACGCCGTCTTCCTCCACCGGTATCGTTTCTACGGCGTTCGGTGACTCCTCGGAGCGGCTGCGGCTGCGGCCGGCCTCGCAGATGGCCGAAGCGATGGCGTCGACGCGCGCGTGGGTTGGGGGCTCGATGTCCATGGTTCTGGTGGTTTCGCGTGCCGGCTGCCCCTTGTCCCGGCGGTGTCCGCTGCGGCCCAAAGTCTCCGCGCGCGGTCAGCTCACTCAGGGGACCACGCTGCAGCGTTTTCCCGCCCTAGTTCGGGCCACGGCGTGAGCACGAGGGGCCTTCGCACAGCGAAAATTTATCGGGTGCTCTGCCTCGGACCGGTTGTGGTAAAGTTGCCTTTTTGAACCGGTTCAAGTTCGCGCAGCACCTCTAAGAACGGGGTTCTCGCAAGGGCGAGCCCCCGCTGGAGTCCTGAGACCAAACCCGACCCAAAACGCAGAAGCCGCGCGGTGGCGCATGAGCAGGCTGCCAAAATCCTAGTCGCCGAGCGATTCCCCTCACGACGAAGCTCAAGCACGCGCAAGGCAGCTGTCGGAGGTCGATGCACCGAAAATCCAGTCCAACAAGGCCCTCTCAACGACGTGGCGCGCGGCCCTCGCGTCCCTTAGTTACCACATCGTTACTATTCCTCTAAAAAGCGCAGGTCCACGAGTTCCCCCGAGCCGTCGAAGCGACGCTCCACAGCTTTTGACCGATGCGCAATGCGCACGGCACCATTCTCGAAGCGGAGCCCGACGTCCGCCGGGAACAAGCGCATGCCATTCTCCTCGCGCGCGCCGGCCCAGGCGTCGGTCGCCCAGCGCGGCGGCGTCGGCTGCGAGCGCCGGAGCCGGAGCCCGAACGCGCCGAGCCGTATTACTTGAAAGCCAAGCATGCACGTCCAAGCAGCGCCAATACCGAGACCAACACGCTCAATGACGGAGAACGCTGTGACCATCGCCGCGGCATTTATCGCGTAGAACGTCGATAAAAATCCAAGATCGCGCTTGGCGAGGAGGGCTCCTTCCATCGCACACATGGGCGCGAGGCACGCGACGCACGCCGCCGCGAGCGGGGCCAGTCCGCGCAGCCGCTGCACGACAGCCGCGTCGGCCGTGAATATCGCACCCGAAGAATAGAGCGCCGCCGTCGCCGCGAGCGCCGACCCCACGCCGACGCCGACGCCTACTTTGAGTAATCGTCGCGTGAGGGGCCACTTCTGCCGCGCGCCGGGCAAAAAAGCCTGCCCGATTTGGGAGCCAACTTCCGCGAACGGCCAAAAGGCCCAGTACAATCCCATGAGGATCCTATGCGCGGCCGTGGCGGCGACGCCGTCGGCCGTGGCGACGTGTGCTAACGTTGAGTACGCGGCGATTTTGCCTAAAAGCGTCACCACGAGTGGCCTCGCGTAGCGCGCGAACGTCTTCACTTCATTGCGCGATGGCAGCAGGCGCCTGGCCGCCTTTGATATCGTCGGCAGGCGCCGCCGCGCGGACGTGAGGAGCGCAGCGGCGACGAGCGCCTCCGAGACGACCGTGGCCGCGGCCGCGCCGGCGACACCGCGGCCCAGGCCGCACACCAGTAGGATGTCGAGGCCGAGATTCAGAGCGCCCCCAGCGAGCAGTGCCAGGAGCGGAGTTATGGCATCCTTCGAGGCGAGGCAGAAGGCGACCGACACCTTGCAGAGGAGCGCGAACGGCGCGCCGACGGCCCTCACGCGCGCGTAGGCGAACGCCGGCGCCACTATCGCGGCCGACTGCCGCGCGGTGTATCTCGCGAGCAGCTGCCTGCCGAAAACGAGCTGGGCGGACGCGGACGCGACGCCGCAGACGACCGCCAGGCGCACGGCGCTTGCGAACAGAGAAGCGACATCCTTATCTTCGGCGAGCGCCGTCGCGATCAGGTTCGTCGTGGCCACCGAGAGGAAGCTGAAAAGATACGCAGCGTTGTCGCCGATCAAGGTACCGGGGCCCAGCGCTGCCAATTCGAGCGCCGTCGGGCTGCTGCGGCCGACCACGGCCGTGTCCACCAGCGTCAGCATGGGTGAAATGAGCCACGCGCCGAGCGTCGGGGCGGCGAACTTTGCCAGCGTCCGGGCGGACGGCAGGTCGCCGCGGGACTCGACGGCGATCCGGAGGCGCGGCTTCCGCGGCGAGACCTTGCGACCGTCGCGCGTCGTCCGCAGCGTCACGCGCACGCGAGATTCGTCGCTCTTAAACGTGGTGCGCAGATGCCATTCGTCCTTCGTCTGTCGGTCGTCGTCATCAAAGACGCAGGCGTCGTCGGACGCGACGAGCCGCCCCGCGTCCACGATTGATGTGGACCGCTCGACCGGCGTGACGAAGGTCCGCTCGAGGACGTCCCCGTCCAGGCGCTCGCGCGACGTGAGCTCGTAACCGGCGGGCGCCGTGCCGCCCTCTACGTCGAACTCGCGCTGCCAGCCGGCCCAGGTGCCACCAACGAGCGTCCGGCCCGGCGGCGCGAGCGCGCGCGCGCACGCACACGCGAGAAAAAGCCTCATCATCCCGACCGTCGCGGCGTCCCGCCGGCGGCCTCTTCCAGCTCCAGGTCGTTCCAGCGCTCCGGCTCCTTCTCCGTGAGGACGTCGCCCGAGTCGACCTCGCCTGTGTAGTAGTATTATGGTCAGAGGAGTATTGAGGGGTAGGAATGTGTGCGATGTAGAGCGAGGGTCCTCGGCGATCTTGGTGATTGAAAAAGGTCGTCATCGCGACGCTCGAGAGTAGCAAATATGTTGTGTTCGTCAGCGGACCCAATTATGATGCATGTGACGCTGGGGATAGGCACCTTCGTCGCCGAAGGTTTCGCCCGCGGGCAGCTCGACCTCGTCGTCACTCAAGCAGTCCTCGGCCCAGGCCTCGTCCACCACCTCGTGGACCTTCTTCCACTCGCAGAGCTTGCTGAAGTTGCTGTCGGACATGGTCTTTGCTGTGCGCGGCGGCGGCGTGCAGGGGCTGTTACACGCGGCGCGGCGGGCTAAGCGATCGCAGCGCTGCCCGTGCGATTGCTGCGGACCCCTTCGACACCTGCAAGCTCAGCGAGCGCGTCGACGCAGCGTTTTTAGCCTGCTTGCTTTGCTTGCCCGGCTTTGCGGCTAGTGTGTCACGGCGCTAGCGCACGGCGCGTCCACAGCCAGTTTCGGGCGCTCTGTCACGACTCGAGGCGGCTGACGACGTCTGAATTCAAACTTTTGCAGCCCGCCTCTCCAGCCAAGCCTCCGTCTTCGCAAACCCCATCTCAGCTCCGTGCTCACTCGCTGTCGCAGCGATTGCAGTTGACAGCTAGCTGAGTGCTACGTCGTCGCGTGCTTGCGCTGCAGCTTTGAAATCGTCGCTTGCATCGCTGCGCAACACGCCTTGCAAGCTTTGCTGCACAGCCTATTAACAAAAACCAGCCGCCCGCGGCCGCAGAACTCGCAAAAACCATGTCGAACATGCTCGAGGACGAGCGCTTCGACGGCATGCTCTTGAATTTTGCGCAGCAGTGCCAAGGTATTGAACCATTACTCGACACGCTGTTCTCGTTCATGCGCCGAAAGACGGACTTCTTCCAGTCCGGCGACGACGAGAAGGCGAAGAACATGGTTCTCAAGATGCTCGAGAAGCACCAGAGTTTAGCGGACAAGACGAACGCCCAGAAGAAGAAGTTGTCTGCGGACGCCGAGGCCGCGGCGCAGAAACGGAAAGCTGCCGCCAAAGCCAAAAGGGAAGCCGCGCGCGCCAAGGCCGCGTCGACGCCGCCGCCAGCGCCCGTGCAACCCGTCGTTCCCGTCAAGAAACCGGAAGATGACAAAGAAAATAAAGACGCGAATGATGATGATGATGACAAGGAGCCGCCGCCGCCGGGCAACGGTGGCATCATGCCCTGGGGCGTCTGGACGCAACAACTGGCCGATCTCGAGTTGAAGATTCCCATGGCAAGTGGCACGAAGGCCAAGCAGTTGGTGGTAGACATCCGCAAGCAGTCGATCAAGGTAGGCTTGAAAGGCCAGCCCCCGGCGCTCGAAGGCGAACTCCACAAGAAGGTCATCGTCGACGACTGCTTCTGGACGCTGGAGGACGCGCCCGGTGAGTTAGGCGAGAAGGAGATCGTCATAGCCCTGCAAAAAGAGGACAAGCAGATGTGGTGGAAGAACGTGATTGTCGGCGACCCCGAGATCAACACGCAGAAGGTCCAGCCCGAAAATTCCAAACTCAGTGAATTAGATGGGGAAACGCGCATGACCGTCGAGAAGATGATGTACGACCAGCGCCAGAAGGCCATGGGCAAGCCGACGGCCGACGAGCAGGGCAAGCAGGACGTCCTCGAGAAGTTTATGAAGTCGCACCCCGAGATGGACTTCTCGAAGGCGAAGTTCTCCTAGGCGCTTTTTGTAGAGGGGGTAACAGACACTACTTTTACGCGGCGACGGCGTGCTCGCGGGGTAGGAGTAATCACCGACTATGCGTCTGCCGGATAATCTCCGCTACAAACTCGCAAAGCTCCTCCGGCTTGTGGAAGAAATGCGGATAACGGCTTTCTTCCACGTTCCATAAAAGCTCTTGCCACCTCGGAGGCGGCCTTGCTTCCGGGAAGAAATCCACAAAAAGAAGGCGCGAGTTGTCCGGAGTGGGTCGGAGCGCGAGCGTGGGTGACAGCAAGCAACAAGCTCCGCACTCACCAAAACCACTCATGGAATTGCAGCTAGAGTTGGTGAAAAATACCGCATCTCCGTCCTGCAAATATGATGGGGTGTGCGGCCAGTTTACGTCCGTAATGAGGACAGCTTCGGGGACGGTCGGCGACACGAGCGTGACGCAAAGGAAGCTTCGCAGGTCGATAACATGTAGCTCCTGGCGGACGCGATCTAGGCGATCTCCCATGAGTTCCGCGACTGTCGCCTGCCCTTGCTCATAGGCTTCCAAATTTGCGAACGGCCCGAGGAGAACGGACGGCGGTTGCCATCGAAGAAATTCACGGTTGCCAACGACGGGGTCGCTTTCCTCATCCCAGCTAGCGACTCCCGCGAAGTCTCCGACGACAGCGATAAAGGCCAGTTCCTCGAGCGCGCCCTCGCCTGGCGCAACTACGTTCTCGATATCCTCCTCTGCGTCCTTCTTCGTACAGAAAGCTCTGTAGATCTGTCGCGCGGGCGCGCGCGGCCGGAGCCCGAGGCGCCGCTCGTGGTCGCCGAGCGAGCAGAGCGCCGGCCCCTCGCGCGGCCAGCGCGCGCATATGCAACCGCACCACAGGGATTCTTGCTGCTTGTGCCGCGCCGGCGACCGAAGCAGTTCCAGTAACGCGCGCGACGCCGTCTCCAGCGCGAGGAGGCTGCTCGCGTCGCAGTGGCCGAGCAGGTGCAGGAGGACATCGTCCGGCACGTCAGGGAATGCGGGCCGGCGCGTCGCGGCGTCCGGGCGATCTTTATTTAGGGTCACCGCGCACCCGCTCGCCGTCAGCAGCTTTCGCTTCAGGATCTGCTCTTGTACTGCTTTCGGCGTGCAGTACATGACGATTTATGCTCGTCCACTCCGCGGCGTCGTGAGAGGGAAATTGTAACGCGCAGCAGAGCAGCTGCTCTGGGGCGCTGCTACTGGTGATCTAGCTTTAAATATGGTGTGAAACTGCAGCTGTAAGGGCCCAAAGGCTGCTTTTTTTGGTCGTGGGAGAGCGTGAGCTAGCGGCCTGTACAGGTAAGACACTAGCCGCACAAAATCAAGCGGCACCCGTAACAAAAGCCGGCGGGCGCCAAAAAGTCACAATGAACTACTTAGGGCGGCGCCACGCTCCGGCGCAGGGACATCCGCAGCTTCAGGTCCGACAGCCGCGTCGACGACGGCGGCGGCGAGAGCAATGGAGGCCGCGGCGTCGCCGCCTCCGTGATGCGATCGACCGTATTTTCGCAGGCGTCGCCCGACACTTCCTGGGAATCCTCTTCGACACAAAAGAACGGATCATCTAACACTTCAAAAGCATGCGCCCGCTTCCGCGGGTCGCGTTCGAAGCACCTCAAAATCAACGCCTTCAGCGCCGGAGACAACTCATACGAATCGATCGGAGGAGGAGCATCCGTCGAAGCGACGTGGTAGAAGAGGGCCATGGGCGTCTTGAACTCCAACAATTTCCACGGCGGGTGGGTGGTCGCCATTTGTAAGATGACTCCACCGCAGCTCCAGACGTCCGAGCGTCGTCCGAACTTGTCCTGCGATAATACCTCCGGCGCCATGAAGTAGGGCGTGCCGCGCATCGTTAATTTCGCATCTCGCGTTAGCGTGCCGTCGGCACCTAGTCGGTGCGAAGCGCCAAAGTCCGCGAGCTTGGCCACGCCGTGCTGATCAATAAGCACGTTGCCGCACTTGATGTCTCTATGTATGATGTGGTTCTCGTGCAAGTAAACGAGTCCTGACAACAAGTGGCGCGCATACATACGAACGACTTTTTCACTGAGAGCGCCATATTGTGCGGATTGAGCTGCTAGCGAGCCACCGGGCACCCACTCCTGGAAAATATAAAGTTGCAACTGCTGGTCGTCGACGTGCGTGCCTAGGTACCGCACTATGTTGGGGTGCTCCAAGCTTCTCATAAGTTCGATCTCCGAACATAAAGCCCTTAACTCAGATTCGGCTTTGGTTGGTCCTCTAGAAGGCGCGCCCTCGGGCGCGACGGACGCCGTCGGGATGGCCATCATCTTGCAGGCTATATGCTTGCCCGTGACAGAATCTAAACACGTATAGACGGAGCCGAACGATCCTTGCCCAATACACTTCCCGAGCTTCCACTGGCCGTTCAGGATGTGCTTCGCCGTTCTTCTCCGGACGCCGGCGGCCTGGCTCAGCCTTTGTTTTTGTTCCATCGAGAGGCGTTGTGGCCGTTTCTCCGACTCCGGAGGTAGAGGCGTCGGCGTCGGCAAGTTACTCGGTGGCGGCGGCGGTCGGATGACCGGCGTCTGGGCCACGGCCGGCGTCGGCAACGGCGACGGTATGACCAACTGCGATGGAGCATCAAGAGACATCTTCGCGACGCTCGCCAAATTAACACCACCTCCGTCGCCTTCGTCGTCGGACTCGAAGGCGTCGTCCTCGTAGTTGTCGGACGGCGGCGCCGGCACCTTCGTGGACGCGAGGTCGACGCGCAGCATTTCTAGAGAAGCTCGGACAGAATCAACAAAGGTCCTATCATCAGTGCGCTTGCGCTTGTGCCGCTGCCTCGCTTGTTGCGCGGCTGAAAGCACCGCTCTTAGGAGAGCGATCGCGCCGCGACTGACGCCCCAGCCCTCGAGGATCGAGGTGTCTCCTAGGAGCGCGTCGACCGAGCCCCCCTGCAGAAAGTACATGCGCAGCCTCCTTAGTAAGCGAGGCACCTCGTCGTGGGGCGCGCCGGCGTCCGATAATAATCTGGATAGCTCCGCGTCGTCGACGCCTAATACGGAGAGGGTGGTGGTGTCCATCGTGCGAGGCCCGAGCGACGCCCCAACGCGGACGGCTGGCGGAAGCGGGCAGCCCCCTTTCAATATGTCGTGTGCGGGCCTACGTGCGGCTCTTGGGCGTCATCGTGGGAGACCAGAGCAGGCCACACTGTTTATGGTACCGGTCTGTGCTATCGTAGAGGCACTAGCCTGCGTGCTGTATGGTTCATGCTCGCCGAAGAGCCCCGGTGCTTGCTTGCACTCCGTATTGGACGACCAAGGAGTCGTGCTCAAACGGGCTAGAGGGGCTATAGGCTAGCAAAGCTGAGGGGTAATTTTGTGCGCAGAGCAGCAAGCCTGTACGCATGGTGGAACTGAGTTGAACGGTACGAATACTTCGCGCGAGTAGTGCTGTTGTTGTGCGTGCGTTGCACAAGCGCAAGCCGGGACTGCTGAAACCACTCTGCTGCAGCACCCAGCCAAAAACCTGCGTCGCGCATTGACAGCATGTCGACCTTCGAGACGCCGGTCCGGCCCGACGTCCAAGTGCCAAGAGGTGACATCCTAGCCGCGTTACGGGCACCGCCGCCATCCGCCGTCCGAGCGGCGACGCCACCACATAGACCAACAAAAGCGCAGGAGTTAGAAATAGAACAGGAGCGCCAGGCCCAGGCTTTAAGGGAGTTAGATGCGTTACGTTTAGTGTTCAGAGGCGCGCACCATCGACGGGGCGCCTTCGACGAGGAGGAGGCGCAACCCGAAGAAGAAGCCGGCTGGGCCGACCTGAGCGTCGAGCCGACGTGGCGGTTGCGCGAGCGCATGAAGACCGTATCTGTTGCTTTGGTATTATGCTTAAATATAGGGACGGACCCTCCCGATGCGGTCGCGGCCTCGCCGAGAGCGAGACGGGAGTGCTGGCTCGAACCGTTTGCCGGACCTTCTAGGCAGAAAGCTCTCGAAACAATCGGCGCAGCTCTACAAGCGCAGTACGAACGGTGGCAGAGTCGCGCGAGATATAGGCAGTTGTTGGATCCGACGGCGGATGAGTTAAGGAGGCTGTGTGCGGCATTACGAAGATCAGCCCGATCGGACCGGGTCCTCGTCCACCTGAACGGCCACGGCGTCCCCCGACCGACGGCGAACGGCGAGGTCTGGGTCTTCAACAAGAACTACACGCAGTACATACCTCTCTCGGTGTATGAACTACGAGCGGTCGTGCAGGCGCCCGCGGTTTTTGTCCTCGACTGCTCGGGAGCTGGGATTTTACTACCACACTTCCGAGCGGCCATGCCCCGCCCGAACGACGACGACGAAAAACCGCAAACACCGTTAAAGGACGATTGCATCGTGCTGGCGCCGTGTGCCGCGGACGAGACGTTACCTTCTGATCCTAGATTGCCGGCTGATCTATTTACGGCTTGCTTGACCACACCCATATCGGTAGCTTTGAGGGATTTTGTGAGGAGGCACCCCGACTCCGCCCGAGGGAGGTTAGACGAAGAAACGGTGGAGGCGGGCGTGCCCGGGCGACTAGGCGACCGAAAGACACCGCTCGGGGAGTTGAACTGGATCTTCACGGCCGTCACGGACACGATCGCGTGGAACGTGTTACCCGCTCGGTTGTTCCAGCGCTTGTTCCGCGAAGATTTGTTGTTGGCTTCATTGTTCCGGAACTTCCTGTTGGCGGAACGAGTCTTCAGACGCCATGGGCGGACACCGGCCACAATCCCAGCCTTACCGCCGACGGCCGACCATCCTTTGTGGGCGGCCTGGGATTTGGCCGCGGAGGGCTGTCTCGCGAGATTGGCGTCGGCTCAAAACGCTTCACCAGTAAAACAGCCTTCCGAAACGCCGGAGAAGGCGCCCGAGCCGTCCCCCAAAGAAACTGAAGACCAGCCGCGCGTCCATCACAGATCACTGAGAGTTTTGGCTCGCGTGCCACCAGCACCACCGGAGCCCACAGAACCGTCGCCCTTCTTCGAGGAACAATTGACCGCGTTTGAAGTTTGGTTGAGGTTTGGCGCTGGAGCTGTCGCGAAGCCGGAGCAACTGCCCGTGGTATTACAAGTACTACTATCACAAGCGCACCGTGTGAGAGCACTAGTTTTGTTGAGAAGATTTCTGGAATTGGGTCCGCGCGCCGTGGACGTGGCGTTATGTGTCGGTATCTTTCCTTATGTACTTAAGCTGCTACAGTCGCCGGCGCCGGAGTTGCGACGGCCCTTGGTGGCGATCTGGGCGGCTATCTTGGCTTTTGATGGAAGTTGTAGAAGCGACCTAGCTAGAGACGGCGCGAGGGAAGCGTTTGTAGCTCATTTAACTTATCTAAGCAGGGAAGACGATTCAGGAGAAAATACGGAACAGAAAAGATTAGCTTGTTTTATCTTAGCGACGGTCTGTCGGGGAGAACCGTCGGCGAGAGACGCTTGTTTAACTAAGAGATTGGACGCCGTACTCTTAGATCTGCTCCGGAACGACGAAGGAACGCTGACGACGTCGCATCTGAGGCGGTGGCTGTTACTATGCAGCGGCGCTCTGGTCGACGGCGCGGCTCCCGAAGCGACGCAGGACGCGCGCGGTCCTTTGAAAGAGGAAGTTATACGACTGGCTTTGGCTGACGCGGATCCGTGCTGCCGCGCCTGCGCGTTAGATACTGTTGGGAGCATGCTCTGCGTCGACGAGGACGTGACGGAATGTGCTTCTATACTAAAAACAGCATGCCGGGACGGCTCGGCGTTCGTTAGAAGGGAGGCTGCTTTATTGATTCATGCATTATCAAAGAAGGGTCATCAAACGGCATTGAAAGCATTAACTGAAGAGGGCCAAGGCGAAAGCAAGGGCGACGACTGCTACGAATCTATATTTCGAATTTTACAGCTTCTTTGTAAAGATCCCTTCGCACCGACCGCAGAAACAGCTCGTAGTGTATTGGACGCCATCACGCAGGACACCCCTATGACAAGGGAGGGCGCGCGGCAGTGGGCGTCGAAACGCTTCGGTCTGAGTCTTAGAAGTACCAGTGTAGCGGCGGCCTTCTCGCAATCATCTACGAGCTTGGAAGAGCTCTTAGAAATGGACCCCCTATCTTCTGATGGGGAGATGCGGTTATACAGAAGACATCGTAATAGATATTGTCTGCGAGAAGCCTCAGCATCCAGAAGAAGGGCCAAGGAGGCCCTCGCGGCGCGGGAACAGGAGAAGCGCGGCGCGCCGTCGACGCAAGTTCTAAGATTTGCGCAGACGAAGACGTTCGAGAACGTCGGCGCCGAGATGACTTCTGTGATGCGGTTCCATCCCTTCGAGAGCGTGTTGGCCGTCGTTGATGAACGTTCAGGTGTCTCGCTGTGGGATTTCAACGACGGGGCGGCCGTGGCGCGCTGGAACAATGGGGACTTGCGAACTACCAGTATAGAGTGGGTGAATGCGCACGCTTCGTCATTGCTCTTAGCGGGTGACGTCGATGGTGTGGTGCGCGTCTGGGGCGGTCTTGGTCTAGAACAGGGTCCTTACGAGGAGCGATCTGTTAGGGTTGTGTCTGCATTCAGAGCTATTGATGTTGTTTCGTTCCAGAAGAGTGCTGGCTTGGTTTGTAGCTGGTCCGCACGAGAGGCGCATTTGTACTGTGCTGGTGATGCCAATTCTCTCGTGAGCTGGGATTTGGAGCGGGAATGTAGCGTAAGGGCCATGGCTACCGACACGGACGCCTGTGCGACGGTGGTCACGACGCTACCCTTGCAGCCGCATCGCGTCACTTTGGGCTTTGCCGACGGCCAACTCAAGGTCTTTGACCTGCGAGATCGCGCGACGCGGCCCTGCCAGAGCTATGCTCATGAGCACTCGTCCTGGATCGTCCACGCGGACGCGCATAAACATTCACCTTCCGAATTATGTTCGGGGTGTGTTGCTGGTGATTTGAAATTTTGGGACGCGCGCATTGCCGGTGTTTCTAACAGAACGCTCGACGTGCAAAATTCAGCGATGACCGCGTTGTCGGCGCACGCCGAGGCGCCGTTACTCGCGTCGGGCTCGCACAACCAGTTCGTGAAGTTCATGCTGCGGGACGGCGACCAGTTGAATATTGTGCGGTACCACGACGGGGTGTTCGGGCAGCGCATCGGCCCCGTCGCGTCCTTGGCGTTCCACCCGACGAAATTAGTGGCCGCGGCGGGGTCGACGGACGCCGTCGTGGGGATCTATGCCGCTTCCTAATAATTGGTTTGTATCTTATACACAGTGGTCCGTCCACAGAAGAACGGACTAGAATACGGCTCCGGACGCGACGGCGCCGCCGAAGGCCGTCGCCGCGAGGCCGACGACCCCTAGAATTTTCATGCTTGGCGAAAACGTCTCCGCCTCGGCCTCCTCCCCTGGGAGAGACGGCTCGCGCGTCAGAGAAACGCCCTCGCCCTCTGCAACTTCCTCAGTCTGTTGTACATACTCGCGCGCCGCCCGGGGAAAACCCTCAGCGAGGAGCTCCTCGATGCATTTCTCTATCGATTTGTCTGGGTATTTCCCGCCCATCGATTCTGGTAGAGCAGACAAGGGAATGCCTGCTTTCTGCATCGCTGGTAAGTAAGCCGACTTGCCCCCCAAGATCTTGATCTTGTCGCGCGTGACCGGATGTATGAGGGGCGAGATCACCTTGTAGGCTGATCTGAAAATAAAGGGCGCGTTCACGATAAATAGCTTCCATGCTGTTTCTGGAAAGAAACTTCCAGCACCCGTCACGATGGCCTTGGCCATGTCCCTCACACTGGACGAAGACATACTCATGGTAGAAAGTTTAGATAAGTCCATGACCTGTGCGTAAATCAACCAGTGAGTCGAGTGCATGATAATTCTTCACTAAGTCCTTCCTCGACGAAAACGCGACCGTGCTGACCGAATCGAGCGATGGAAGACCCCCACGGCCGCGCCATCGAGCCGGCGTCGCGTCGATGGCGTGGAGGTCATGATGCAGCAGTGGCAGAGACGCGTCGCGACATTTTGATTTATGCACTGTGCACCACGTAGACATTTTTATATCTACGGGGCCCTCGCGTCTCGCAGGCGCGGATCTGGGCCGCTCGGATTGCTTCCAAGGTCTTCATCCTCAACACCTTGGCCTCGTCGACCGTTAAACCCTTCTTCACGACTCCCGCGATGTCCCCAAGTTGTTCGCACCACACGAGGTGACCCTGAAAGTCGACACCGCCCACTCGCGCGTTCATGACTCCATTCAATAATTCTTCTTTGGGTAATTTTTCGCTGAGGATGGACGGGTGCTCCCGGAGCCATTTCCCGACCGTACCATAAGTTTCTATGGCCTCTTGCACGTTTTCGTCATCAGTACCATTGTTGTTCGTGATCATGCCTCGGAAAATCCTCACACGACTCGTCTCGTCAAAACTCTCCATCACCGACGCGTCCTCGAGCTTCGCGACGATTTCGTCTTTGAGCTTCGTTTCCTCTTGCTCAGTGAGAGGCTTGCCCTCCTCGAGCTCGTCATTCAAAGCCAATCCTAATTTGGCCAACTGGTCGTCGTCGGCCTCGACTCTTGGATTGACGACCGTGCCGAGTTTTTGTTTCGTGCTCCGCCGCCTCTCCAAGCGCTCTTCGGGCGTCGAGCCGTCTTCTCCCAGCGCGGCCGGCTTCTTCGAGGCGCAACAGCCCATTTTTGCGCTTTATCTCGTCGGTGTCGCTGGACGCGATCCTGCTGCGATTGCTGGCTGTCGGGAGCGCCGCTGTGGCTACCCGGTTGCAAGCGATGAGTATGTGATGCGCTGCGGCTGCGGCAGATATATATGATGACCGCTCGCGCCAATCTGTTGGCCAGCGGTGGTTAGGCTCCTCGCGACGCTGTTGCTTGTGCTCGGCTAATTCTTAGCGTCCTGTAACACACTAGGAAGACGGGCCTTGGCCAGGTGTGAATAAAACCTACACGCTGGCTACTGCTGCAAGATAGCGTGCGCGAGCAACTCAAGCCATTGTACTTGCATCGATGTGACAGTTTCTTGCATCGATGGAGCTCCCCAGACTCTCCGGCTCGGGCGGACTGGCTGCGGCCGTCTCCGCCGCTCTGGAGAGCGGTGCGGCCTCCCGCACGCTCCTGGTCTTCGACTTTGACCGCACGCTCACCAACGGCATCTCGAGACCCGGCGACGAGATAGTCAAGGTGGTGCGGGGCGGCGAGGCCACGGTGGCGGCGCTGCGCCGGGCCCACGACGCCGGCGCGGGGCTGTTCATCGTCACGGCGCGCCGCCCGGCGCGACTCTCCGTGGAGCAGATCTTCGCCTCGCTGGACAACGCGCAGGCGGCGCTCTCGCCCTTTTTCCCGCGCGGCGACTGCGCGGAGTTCCGGTTCAATGACATTCCAATGGCCCGCGGCGGCAGCGTCTACGCGTCGGGGTACGAGAAGGCCGCCGCCCTGGCGCACATCGTCTCCGCCCAAAAACGGGCGGGGCTGCGCGTCTTCTTCTTCGACGACAGCGTCGTGAACTCGTACGTCGTGGCCACCTCCGCGGCGCAGCACATGGCGGGGGGGGCGCTGGCGCCGGCGGTGGCGGAGCTGACGTCGTACTGGTGGGACTCGTACGCGGAGGAGATGGGCCCCGGCCCGACGATGGGGCCGTCGCCGCTGGGCACCGCCGACAGCAACTACCCGGACCACCTGCGGCACATGCTCCGGGCCTACGGCGTCACCGCGGCCGAGCGCGACGCGCGGATCGCGGCGTACCGCGCCGCGGGCCACGTCCGGCCTTCGGTCGCGCGCGGCGTCGGCGCCGAGCGCGCGCGCGTCGAGGCCGCGAGCCAAGCCAGCCGCGCCAAGATGAGCGGGCTGGCGGAGACGTTGGGCGCGCGCTTCGCCCGCGGCCCGCGCCCTCCGCCGGCGCCCGGCGCCGCCCGCGCGCCAGCCAAGGGCGGCGGGCTCGGCGCGCTCTTGGGCGCGCGCCGGCCTCCGCCGCCACGGGCCTCCGCGGGCGTCGCGGGGGGCTGGCGGGCCCAGGCCGCGGCGCAAAAGGCGCGGGCCGCGGCGGCCGCCGCTCTCTTCGGAGGGCGGAGCGCCGCCTCGCTCCCGCCCGGGCCGCTCTCGGCGCCGCGGTGGGAGACGGCGTTCCAGGTCGGGCGGCCGGCCGAGGGCACCACGGGCGGGCTCGCCTTCATCGCGACGCTCGCCGGGGCCTTCGCCGTCAAGGCCGCCGACGACGTCGCCGAGGAGTTCGTCGGCACGCGGTTCCTGCGGGCGGCCGGCGCCCCCGTCCCCGGCGCGCGCGTCGTGTTCCCCGCCGACGCTGAACACGCCTCCATCCTCGCGGCGGTCGAAGCGGTCGCGAAGCAGTACTCGCGCCGCGGCGACGCCGAGGGCGCGCAGGCCGTGATGGTCCACGTCCTCGTCGGCCTGCGCAAGTACGACGGCCCCCTCCTGCTGCTCGAGCTCGTACCCGCCGCCCGCGCCCTCGACGACATCGGCGCCTCGGCTGCGCTCCTGCTCGAGCCCGCCGCGGGGAGTAGGGCGCGCGCGCGGCTCGAGGCGATGGGGCGCGTCTGGATCGTCGATGCGGCCCTGCACTTTCACGACCGCTTTGCGTCGCGCCTGAGCTGCGCGGGATACGACGCCGCCGCCGCCGCGTACGCTGAGGGCGCCGCTGCCGATGGTGTGACGGGCAACCTGGGCAACATCCTGCTGACTGATGCTCCCCCCGGCGTGGCCGCCGTCGACTCCCACGTCAAGCTCGTCCGCGGCGCCGCGAGCGACGCCGCCGCCCTCGCCGCGGCCCGGGCCGAGGCGCGGGCGCGGCTGCGCACCGAGCTCGGCGAGCTGCTCGCGGAGGCGCGCGACGCGGCCGAGCGCGGCGCCCTCGCCACGGCCCCGAGCCGGAGCCTCGGCTGGCTCCGCGTCACGGTCGAGAGCAGCACGGGGCACTCGCTCTCCGACGGCGCGCTGGCGACCGCGCGCTTGGGTGCCCTCCGGGGCGTCGCCGGCGTGCCGGGCGCGGTGGCGTGGGCGCGGTCGGAGCTCGCGGCCGCGCGGCGCGGCGACGTCGGGGACGCCGACTGGCAGGCGGCGCTCGCCCGCATCGACGAGGAGGCGCTGGTGGCGGTGGGGCGGATCTTCGAGGGCCTGCTCGCCGAGCACGCCGGCCTGATGGCTACGCTGCCCCCGCCTCCCGCCGTGCCCGCCGTGGTGGCGAGCGGCGGAGCGGCGGTCGCGGAGCCCGCCCTTCTCGCGGAGTCCGAGCTGATGGCGGCGGAGCCTCGCCTCTGGGCCGCGTTGAGCTCTGAGCTCAGGAACGCGCTGCTCGACGAGCGCGTCCGCGGGGTGCCCGCCGGGCCGCACTCGGTGCAGTGGCCGGGGTGGTAAGTAGTAGTGAGTGTTAGGTGTCACACAACACACTTGTTAGAAAACTACGGCCCGCCCCACGCCCCGGGAATGAAGACTGGTGCATCTGCGGCGAGCGCTCCGAATTTTGCCGCCGCCGGCACAGGCATCGCCAGCCGCACGGCCGAGGCCTCGGCCACCTCCACCGGAGGCGTTGAAACTTTCTTCTTCTTCTTCTCGCGCTGCGGCTCGCCCGGGGGGATGGCTTTGGACGGATCTAACAGTATCTCGTCCAGCCGCTTGATGACGGCCCTATATTCGTCCACGGCGCCGTCGTCGGAGTAGATGGCCAGTACTGAACACGATTGTTTGCGCAGGGCCTTGCCTAGTCTCCTTTTCCCGAGCGCGAACGCGACGGGAATTTTGGCCGCGGCGGCACCATCTAAAATCTCGGTGATCTGCCTCTGTAACTCTTCACCGTCACTGACGTTGGGCGCCACGATGAGGCACTTCACTTGCTGAGCGCGCACGCCCCGTCTCACCTCCCTGAGTCCGAAGACCACTCGTCTCCTCATCTTCGCCTTGGTAGGATCCCGCAGCCGAGCCCTTTCCTGGAATTCGAAGAGCTTCGACACTAGTGCGGCGCAGGCGTTATCTAATAAACCATCTCGGGGATGCGACGCGTAGTCCCGCGACGTCTCGTCCCTAGCTGGCTTCGGCAGGTCCCTAGCCGCGGCATATTTGCGCGGCAGACGCACGACCTCGCCGCGCTTGTTTTTGATGAGCAGCTTCTGCGCTTCAATAGCCTCGCGCACGGCCGCCTCGGCTCTTCTTCGATCTTCCTCGAGCGCCGGATCCGCTACTGCCTCATATGAAGCGTTCAATAACCGCATCTTGAGCAGCTGGCCGCCCAAGACAACGCCAGCCAAGGCGCTCTGGGCGAGCTTGCACAACCGTTCCGACGGGAAGCTTATTAACACGTCGTGTTCTTGGTGGGACACCTCGAGCACGCCCGACGCCTTCTGCTCGATGAGTCGACGGAGGTCGCCAAGGGCCTCGTCCTTCGCGTCCTCATCTGCTAAGTCGTCGGAAGATAGAGCTTCTAACAATGAGATGACCGACGCATCTCTCGGAGAGCACTCGACGTCGCACTGGAGCTGTGAACCACCAATAGTAGTCTTGGCGAAGGCTCGCTGCGCCTTCAGGGCGTGCGTCGGCGTCGAGAAGGTCAGGCGCACGTCCCTATTAACCTTCGATAAGGCTCCTGGTAATACCTCTGGTGGTGTCGCGAGGGCACCATGAACGCAAGCTAACCGAGACAAGTCCTCGAGGACTTCGTCGCGGCAGTCCTCGTCCTCGAACTCGTCTTCATCGAGCGCGTCATACACTCTGACAACACACGACGCGTCCCGCGCCGGAGGGCGTAGAGGTTCAGCTGACAAAGCAATCCCACCGACGACCCGCTTCTGCAATCCCTGCAAAGCTTTGTGCGCCTCGTCGGCCGTCGAGAACGACACGTCGATGGGCACGAACTCATCTGTCACAGCGTCGCCGACCTCGACCGCTACAACCGAAGCATAGGCGGAACAGATGTCCCCGACATCTCGCAGGATCTCCTCCCGCTCTTCGTCGTCCTCCAGCTCCGGAGCCGTGCAGGCGTTCTCGACCCTTACGACAAATCGCTTCTCCAAGCCAGTGGCGTCGGAAAAGGCCTCCCAGGGCACCTCCTCCCTCACTGATGCTGCAGGACGCATCTCCGGGTGTGCTTGATAATATTTCTCCTGCCGTTCGAGCAAGATGCGCTTCTTTAGTGAGGACAAACGTTTTTTGCGGACCTTGCCCGGAGCTAGTCGCGGCGGCGGCATCTGGATGACGACCTTAGGCTTCGGCGGAGTCTTGATAGGCTTCTTCTTCTTCTTCTTGGCCGCCAGGACGTCAAACACGACAAAGTTGCGCTGGGGCTTCGGCTTGAGGAACCCTTTCTTGGATGGTGGTGGCTTCGGCTCCATGACGGAAGGCCGCAATACCAAGGGTGCTTGTCGTAGGGCCGGGAAGTCGCCTCCTAGGGATGCGGCTGGTCTCACAGGCGCGCCCCACGGGTTCGCCGGCGGCCTCTGCGGTGGCAGGCTCTGTGGCGGCGGTCTCTGCGGCGGGCTCGGCGGCCGTCTGGACACAACTTCGAGACTCCGGAAGTCGACGGGCGCCTGGCGCTGGCCCTGCCAGGGCGCGGGCGGCGCCACGTACACGGGTTTGGGCGGCGGCGGCGGCGGCTTCGGGGGCCGCCTCTCGCCGCGCGGCGGCCGGGCCGGCGGCGCGCGCATGCCGCGGCGCCAGTTCTGGTCGCTGTCGGCGGTGGACATCGCTGCGGCCTATATCGCTTTCGCCGGCGTCCGCAGGCGTTTTGTCACAGGGAGAGCACTTGGCTGCTGCGCAGCGTGTCAGCCGCTATTGATTCTTTTGCTAATATGTCACGTCCAGCACGTGCGAATCGTGCGTTACAAACACAGCAAAACGTATGAGCGCTGGCGCGCGGCGCTGGCGTCTCTTCAGCGGCGGAGAGGCTGGCTTGCTAGTGTCTTAAGCCGCTAGCTTTTATCGCACGCTTCCCACGACTCCCTTCCAGAGCCGCAGGCCACGCAACGGACGCCTCCAGGAACCCCCTCCCTCCAAAAGCAATCAAAGCGGGTGCCAGCAACCGGTGCGCCAGTTGCGAACTTGGGCAGCCGCGCAAGCGGCGAAAGGCAGCCCCAACGCAATGCCCGTGCCCAACCCGAGGCAGAGTATATACGCCCTGCGCGGCTGGATCGACCGCATCGAGCAGGACGCCCGCGCCGATGCAGCTAAGAAGTACGGCACCCTCGACGAGGCCAAGCCGGCGACGCCGCCCGAGGCCGCGAACCCGTGGGGCGCCGGCGAGGTCTCCATCCGCCTTACGCCGGAGCACGGCTGCGCGAGCGGCCCGCCCACGCGCGGGTCCGTCGTGACGCCCTCGCCGACGGAGGCGCCGCGGCCCTCACCGCCAGAGGCGGCGCGTGCACCGCTACGGAGCGAGCGCGCACCGCAGCGCGAGTGCGAGCGTGCACCGCTCCGGAGCGAGCGCTCACCGGCGGAAGAGCGGCGCGCACCGCAGCGCGAGTGCGCGACACGGGACTCCGACGACGCCGTCGCGGCGGCGCACGCGCGGGCCCAACGCTACGAGGCAGAACGACGCGCCGAGCCCGCGTGCGCGCGGCGGCCCGAGCTGCGCGAGTGCGCGCCGCGGCCTGACAAACCTACAAACTTGCGCGCGTCCGCGCCGGCCGGCGGCGCGCCCGGCTCGCTCGACGAGGCGCGGCGGTTGCTGAAAGCCTGGTCATTCGTCGAGGAAGAGGCCCAGCGGCGGCGCGCCCGGGCGCTGCGGCGGTCGCCGTCCCCGGAAGCGCCGGTACAACGACGGCGGGCGCCGAAGCCGCGCTACAGCGATCCCGAACCGGAACCGCGGCCGCGCGCGCGGCGGCCGCCGGAGCCGCGGAGCCCGCCTGCGGTCGCGCGGTGGGGCGGGCCGCCGCCGCGGAGCCCGCCGCCTCCGCTCCGGCGCGAGGCGAGCCACGCGACGATGGGCCGGCCGCCCCAACGGGCGCGCGCGCCGCCGCCGCCCCGGGCGCCCGCGCTGCGCGTCGGGCGCACGCCCTCGCCGGCCCCGCCGCCGCCGCCGCCGCGCCGCCGCCGGCCCGCGGCGCCGCCCGTCGCGGTCCCCGCGCGGCCTCGGATTGATATGAAGGACCGCCACCTGCGCGCGGCCGAGCGGCGGCGCGCCGACGCGCTCGTCCAGCGCGAGCGCGCCGAGGCGAAGCGGTTGCAGCGAGCGGCCGAAGCGGAGCGCCGGCGCAACGAGGCCGAGGCCGCGGAGCGCCGCGACAACCAGCAGCGCCTGCGGGAGGCGCGCCAGCAGAAGCAGGCGGCGCTCGACGCGTTAGAAAGAGAGCGCGACCGGCGGCGCCGCGACGCCGTTGAAAGGAAGCGCCGCGCCGTCGAAGACAAGCGTCGGCACGAGGCGAGGGAGCGCGCGGCCCTCGAGCAGCAGCGGCGCGGTATGATCCTCGCGAAGCGGTTCCGCGCGGACCGCGTCGCGATACTATTAGCGAGGATCGTGCGGGTGTGGGGCTCGTACGCGTGCAGCACCGCGCACCGACGGCGCCAGGCCGATCGGAGAGGGAGAAGGCTGCGCGAGCGGTTCCTGCGGGCGGCGCCCTTCCGCCGGTGGGCGGCGTTCACGCGGAACGCGAGGCGGGAGCGGCACGCGTTCGCGCAAGAACGGTTGCTGACGAAGCCGTTCCGCGCGTGGGCGGCGTGGGTCGCGTCCAAGAGAATGGTTTTGATGCGCCTGGCGACGCTCTATGAGTTCGGGGGCCTGTCGAAAGCGTGGAAGGTCTGGGCGCGGGCGACGGTCGTTTTGCGACGACGGTCCGAGTACGACCGCCTGCAGAGTCAATTAAGGCGCGACCGCGTCAACGAAGCCAAGGCGGAGCGCCACGACGAACGGCGGCTCGCGGCGAAGGCCTGGCGCGCCTGGGTGGTCTCAATGGCCGGCGCGTCGTCGCTCGCGAAGGTGCAGCGGCGGCAGAAGGTCGCGGCGCCGACGCGACCGGCGCGCGCCGCGCCGCCGCCGCGGAGTGCGCCGCCGCCGGTCGCGGAAAGACGGCGCGCGGCGCCGAACCGCGTCGCGCCCACTTTGGATGAGAGACACAAGCAGCGCCAGGAGACGCGGAGGGCGCTCGCCGAGCGGACGAACGCGCGGCTCGCCGAACGACGCCAGCGCGAGGAGGCGGCGCGCGCCGCGCGCGCCGTGACGCACCAGGCCGCCTACGAGGAGCACGAGCGCCTGAAACGCGAGGAGAAGCAGGCGGAAGAGCAGCGCAGGGAGTTGATGCGCCAGCAATACCGCGTCGCGCGGCTCCACTACAATCGTGCTTTGCTGGTGTGGCGCTTGAAGGCGTGGGTGACCTTCGTCGAGACGGCGCGATCCGACTGGACGAAGGCGCGCAAATGGTATGATGACGGCCTCGCCCAAAAGATCTTTGATCAGTGGACGCGGTGGCGCGTCCTGCGGCGCGAGGCGACTCTAAAAAGGCAGCAGAAGATCCTGGCGGACGCGGCGCGGCTCACTGAAAAGGCGGCCGTCCGGCGGCCCTTTGCGACGTGGGTCGCGCGCACGAACGACGTGTTGAGGAGAGCCGCGGACGTCGTCTCCCTAAAGAGACGGAAGACGCTCCAGGGCCGCCTCGTCGCCTGGCGGTTGAGAGCGGCCCGCGAGAAGCTCCGCTGGCAACACGCGGATGTGCGCGCGGACCGGATCTACAACAGGGCGATGCTCGTGAAGCTCGTCAGGAACTGGCGCGTGGCCGTCGACGCGTTTAAGCGCGACGCGGCGATCGCGGCGAGGGTCGCCGCGAAGCGTGCGGAAGTGAAGGGCTGGCTTGCGGGCGGCGACCTTGGGGCGTCTTTAGATGGCTCCCTGTCGGAGTCGCTCAAGTTTCTCACATGATTAAGATTTTCTACGGAACACTAGGACCCGCGCCGTGGGGTCGTGGACGAGCGGCGCGTCGACGGCGTAGGGCGCGAGGAAGTCGTCGCGGAGCCCGTCGACGAAGTCGTCGCCTTTTTTTAGGCGGAGCGCGTGCCAGGGACCGCATTCGGTCATCGCGTCGAACATTTCCGACGCGTTGGGCCACTGGATTCTGTATTTGAGCGGGTGGGAGAACAGGACCTCGCCGCCGGCGCTTTCTATCGCAGACGGGAGCGAGTCCTCCCAGCCCTGGACTCCGCGGCGCGCGCCGTCGCCGAGCGCTGCTCGGAGCAGGCGTCCCCAGTGCGCCCACGGGCCCCGCTTTTCCACGCCTTGGCCCATAGGCCAATAGATAACGACGGCGACGCCGCCAATTTTCAGACAACGTGTCCACGCTTGTATAGCTTGCGCGTGGTCGGGCATTTGTTGCAGTCCGAAGACGGAGAATAAGGCCGCATATTCGCCCGAGGGCGCCATCGCGTCTTCGACGGCGCACGAAAGTCTCGGATTCCCTTCGCAGCGTTTTTGCGCGACCTCAATCATACCTGCGTGGTGGCGACGGCGTGACCGAAGGCTTCCCCTTTACGCCATCGACGCCGCGTCGCACCGGGTGCCAAGTCCGTCCCACGCACGTTTCTATTCTTCAGCAACTCCGCGACGAGCGGCAGCTCGTGGCCGGGGCCGCACGTCGGCACCAGAACGTCTCCTTGTGGCAATTTGAACTCGGTGCTGCCCAGCAAGGCGAGCGCGTTGTCCGTCCAGGGCTTGAATCTAGGGACGAAGATCTCGTCGTAGCCCTCGGCCGCGATGGACCACGACTCGGCTAGGATCGATGCGGGCGCGAGCGTGCCTTTCGCGTTGCTCGTCATGGAGGCCATGCGAACGCGTGCAGACGAGGTCAGCAATAATTTGAGCGTTCGCATTCGATGGATGCCGGGTGCTGGCAGGACAAGGAGATGAGAACCGCCGAAGGGATGCTCTGTACTAAACCCAGCGCAGTGCACGGTAACAATTAGTAGCTGCCAACGATTTGCCGGTGTCCAGGTCCCCGCAGTGCACTCGTACGGCAGTTTTTGGGGTGCGCACTCAAATGCTAGTGTCTTACATGCCGCTAGCAGCGCGCTCCGAGGTGAGTGCCTAACCTGCCTAACCGGTATCATTTCACGACTCCCGAGCTGCGTACGCAGCCCATCTTTAACCGTCATCCAGTCCTGCGACAAATTTGGGCGGTTTAAAAGCTACCTGAGCTTTGTGCTCTCCCTGGCCTTCAGCTGCGATGATGCACGCGCTGCGACTGCACCCCGGCGACGAGCTAATGGGCTCTCTTAAGCAGTACTGCTCCGACAACAAATTGGCAGCAGCGTACATTGCCACCTGCGTCGGATCCTTGAAAGCAGCAACGCTACGACTCGCGAACGCGGACCGCGACCGACCGAACGAGATAAAGACATACGACCAACGCTTCGAGATCGTCTCGGTGGTCGGTACCATATCATGCGAGGGAGCGCACATCCACTTGGGCCTGGCGGACGCCACCGGTGCGTCGATCGGCGGCCACCTCATCTCCGCGACCGTGTTTACGACTGCAGAGATCGTGCTCGGAGAGGTGCCTTGCATCACATTTGATCGCCAGTTCGACGACGCGACTGGCTTCAAGGAACTGGTCGTGGTGCGGCGGCAGGACGTCAATATCCTGCGACCGGCGGTCGCCGGAGCAGCGCTCGTCGCGCTCGGGATTGTGCTTGGGCGGCGGACGCGCTAGTGTCGTATTGTTTTGTGTATATGTTTCACAACAATCAAAATTACAGCCCGTCCGTGAGGGTGAGCCGATACGGCGACAGCGAGTGCCTCTCGAGCGTCACAGCGACTTCGGGCGCGTTCGACAGCTGGTAACGGTCGATGCCGCCCTCGGACTGCGTCGGTGCCGTCGGGTCCTTGGCGCCCGTGACGGACCGCGGGAGGGCCCGCTCCTGCAGGTACTGTATGACAAGCGACAGCAGCGATATACCACCTGTGTGGAAATCAAATGTACGGAGGATCCTTCGAAACGTATCAAACGGAGCCACCCGCGCGTGCCGCGCGTCGCGCAGTTCCCGCTCCAGCTCCAGCTCCTTAAATATGAAGCCGCCGAAGAGCGTGATGAAGAACAGGGCCACGGTCGAAAAGAACAACGTCCGCTGGCGAAATTTCGGAATGAAGGGAGGCTCCGGCGGCGGCGCGAGTGTCGAGCCCAGCGCGCGCGGCGGCCTTTGTGGGACGCCCTCCGTTCGTGACATGCGCGTGACGGCGTCCTCGATCGCCGCTTGAGCTGACGCGTCGCCGAGCACCGAGCACGGCCGTCGCGCGCCGTTCGGCACTTTGTCTTCCCGCGCGCTCGCGGCTTGGAGCAAGCGCAGGCCTTCGGCGCGCCACGCTCGAATGTCGACCTCGAGCGCGGTTTCCTCGATGATATCTGTGGCTTTCCGTTCGTTCAGAATCGAGTTCGAGCGGACCGCCTCGTCGGCCGCGTCCGCGACGAAGGGCGTAGGCATGATTCCGCGTACAGTTTTGAGTTTTAAACAATCTGGGCGACGGCGTATATATTGCTGTGGCCGCTTACGGTCACGCGGCGGCCCACCTCTGAGAAACAAAGCAAACCAAGGTGTAAACTAAATCTGGTGGGCGAATCGATCGCGTTTCGAAGGCGCGCTATGTCAACTGGTTGTCGTTGACAAAATTTGCCCGCAACACGCGCCAAAAAATCCACAACCGCGAAACCTTCGACCTAGCGGCGTATAGACACTAGCAAGCTGCAGCAGCCCCGAGTCAGCATCGACGTACGCAGCGCATTCGTGCAATTAGCGGGGTGCAACAGCAGGACACACATTGCAGACATTGCAGAACCACTGCACAGCAGCACGCAGCGCAACAGCAGCGCGACGCGACAGTGCAGCTGCAATGGCCGTCCGCACACGGCGACAAAGGCAGCAGGAAGAAGAAAAAAAGCAAAAGCGATTGCCCTACGCCGCCGCCGCAGCCATCGCAGCCGTCGTCGCGGCCCACTACTACAACGCGACCGTCATCCGGTCCGACGACCTCGGCACCGGGACGATGTTCGACCGCATCGCGCCGCACTACGACAAGGCCAACGATTTTATGTCTCTAGGGTTGCACCACGGCTGGCGCGAGGCGTTGATTGCTGGGCTGGACATATCATCGAATGACAATGCGTTGGACCTCGCAACCGGGACCGCGGACGTGGCCATCCTGCAAGGAAAACGCGGCGCGACCGTTCTGGGTGTTGACCCTTCCAAAAACATGTTGGACATCGGCCGCGGAAAAGTTACCGAAGCGGGGCTCGACGATGTCGTAACGTTGGAGTTGGGCGACGCCACCTCCCTGAACCTCAATTCGTCGATCTACGACAAGATCACGATCAGCTTCGGGATTCGGAACATCCCCGATATTGATAGTGCCCTGCGCGAGATGCGGCGCGTCTCTAAACAAGGCGCATTGTTGGGCGTCTTGGAATTTGCGCTGCCCGAGTCTGGTTTGTTGGCGCCCGTCGCGCGCGCCTTCGTTTCCGTGGTTGTGCCCGTGCTCGGCGCGGTCCTGTCGGGCGCCCGGTTCGACGAGTACGCGCATTTGGCGCGGTCCATCGCGGAGTTTCCCTCGCCTGACAAGTTTCGCGAACGCATCGCGGCCGCGGGCTTCGAGGCGCGGGAACCGCAGTTGTTTGCCTGCGGTGCGGTTGTCTTGTACGTGGCGACGGCGGTGTAAGTTCGATTAGTTTAATCTCTGCTCGATGGCGTCTGCTGAGGAATCCCGAAGCTTCCTCACAGATATCGAGAGGCCTTGGGAAACGCGGCCGCGCCCTCCGCGCCCCGGCCTTCTGCCACTCATCTCTGCCACTCCTGAGGAGAGCTTTGGGGCAGCCTCTGAGAGGCCAGCGTCGCACAAAGATCATCCAAACTCTCGTCTACGCAGCGCATGCACGCCCAGCGACGGCAGCCGTGGACTACACATCGGTGAGAGTAGGATTTAGATCATCCTGCCGAGTCAGGACTGGGGGCAGCCAAGCCGTCGACGCGACGCGTTGCCTCAGAGCGCTTCCCGCGCCCAAGATCACGAGAACACAATGCTGCCGCGGCTCGCGAAAGCCGCGCTGCGGCGCGCGCCCGCGCGGCGGAGCCTCTACGTCCGGGGCGAGAAGCAGCCCAAAGAGGACCACAAGCTGTTCTACGTCGCGGGCGCGGTCGGCGTGTCCGTCATGGGGTACTATGGTTGGCAAATTCGCAGGGAGGAACTTAGGCGCGAAGCCGGGGCGGCGGCCGCGGCCAAACGAGCGGAGTAGAAGGCGCCGGCCGAGGCGGAGGGCGCCGGCTCGCGGCCCTCTTCCCGACGCCGCCCGCTTCCGGGGAGCCATGACCTTCGTTCTTATGTGTGACTAATCGTCGGCGGCGCTTCGCGGGCGGCGGCGCCTGTGTGCCGTACGGTCACGAGGACCTCATGTCGGCTCCGCGGCTCGGCACTGCGTGGACATCAAACCGCGACGGAGCCTCCGTAGCTGCGTCGCCACAACAGTTAATCTAAGCCCAATTAGTCCTGGAGGTAGATGTCCCCCTCGAAGCCCGGGAACGCGACGAAATCGATCTCGTAGTACAGGTCCGCGCCGCCGGGGATGCGCGGCTTGCCCGCGGACGCCTTGCGCCCCGCGCTGCCGAAGGCGAGGTTGGCCGGGATCTGCACGGCCCACTTCTCCTTGTAGCGCATCATGGGCAAGATCTCCTCGATGCCCGCAATCAAACTACCAGTCCCGACGCGGTAGTAGAGGGGCTCGTCCGTTTTTGTGGTATCATCAAAAACGTTGCCGTCCGTCGTCGCGCCCTTGAAGCGGATCGCAATCAAGTCGCCCTTCACGGGCTGCTTGCCCTTCGGGTTCGACTTCTGGACCTCGTAGATCAGTCCCGACTGGGTGCGCTGCGCAGCTTGTGCGGGTGCGGCGAAGGCGAGTAATGCAGCGACGCCGGCGCCCTTGAGGACGTCGCTGCCTGTGTGAAATCAACCAATGAATTATTGCGGACCTCCATGCCATCGAGCCACCGCAGTTATTACGGGGGCAACGTCGCGTCGATGGCGTATAATCTCCACGCCATCGAGCAGATGCAGATGCAGTTACAGGGACGACGACGCGTCGATGGCGTGCAGCGTCCGAGATTTGTTTCCACACAGGTCGCATGCGCGTGGCGCAAAGCGCAGTGCTGTGTGCCTGAGGTGCTGCTGACTGGAAGGCTGCAGCCGTCGAGGCCAAGCAAAAAGCGATCGATGCCCGCATCGTTGCGGTCACTGCTGCGGTCACTGCTACGTCCCTAACTGCCCCGTGCGTGCTGGTGTAGCGTCTCACGAGGTTGATGGCACCACCTCTCAGCCCTCGGCTGGCTAGTGCCTTACAGGCCGCTAGCTGTGCTCAGTAAGTACAGAAAGAGGCGTCTTGGACCCCGAATAAGCCTACGAGCCGACGCGTCTAGTAGGAGCGCTCTCGACAAGCAAACAGGAGAGGCAAAGCGCGATAACACTGCGTGCCGGCGGCTACAGTGCTCCATCCACGCACAGCGCTCGGCCACACTCGCACAGCTCGCGTATAAAGCGACGCACACAAAAGAAACGACGAGCAACCGCGCGCATTCCGAGAGACAGGCAGGGCAACCATGTGCACCCGCCTGCAGTTCGAGGGCTCCAACGAGATCGGAGTTGTAAGTATGCTGACGAACGGCTACGCGCTGGCGTGCCAGGGCAACAGCGAGAACTTCTACAGCGTCCTAGAGAGCGAGTTAGGAGACCATATTCCCGTCGTCCACGCGTCGATTGCGGGGTGTCGGTTCGTCGGGAGGGTCACGGTGGGCAACCGACGAGGTCTGCTGGTGCCGAACATGTGCGGCGACCAGGAGCTGCAGCACCTTCGTAATGCATTACCTGATAGCGTCGTGGTGCAGCGCGTCGACGAGCGGTTGTCAGCACTGGGCAACTGCATCGCATGCAATGATCACGTCGCTTTAGTACATACGGATCTCGACCGAGAAACGGAGGAGATCGTCGCCGACGTGTTGGGGGTGGAAGTCTTTCGACAGACGATCGCGGGAAATGCCTTAGTAGGAAGCTATTGTCGGTTCACGAACCAGGGCGGCGTCGTCCATCCGCGGACGTCTGTGGATGATTTGGAGGAACTCGCTTCACTACTCCAGGTGCCCCTCATCGCGGGGACCGTGAACCGCGGGTCGGATGTCCTAGGCGCCGGCCTCATCGCGAACGACTGGGCGGCCTTCTGCGGCGCGGATACGACCTCTACCGAAATCAACGTCATCGAGAACGTCCTCAAGCTCCACGACGACGACAGCGACGACGGCGCGCCGAAGGCGGCGCGGATGCGGGACGCGCTCATCGACACGATTGTGTAAGTTCGTACAACAAACAACAGTGTTATTGTGGTCGCGTCGATGGCGTTCGAGCGCTCTACCGCACGTCGATGACGCCCTCCGCGACGAGCTGGCGGACGATGAATCCGGAGATAAAAGTCGGCTTGGGGTCCTCGGCGGCGTCCACCGCGAGGTCTCGGAGGGAGACCCACTCCCTTTCAACTTCCTTCGTGCCGAAGAGGTCCAGCGCGGGCGGGATGTCGTCAAGAAGACCAGTCGCGTCCAGCGTCAAATAGACACCGTGTATCGTATTGGAGACATTTGGCGTGCTGATGTGCGTGTAGATTCGTCCGTGCTGGTCGACGTGGGGATCGCGACCGCTCTGCCTCATGCGCTCGGCTCGGGTGTCCATCTCCTCCCGTAGTACTTCGGGCGTCGCGGTGGGCGCCGGCATCGGCGACGGCATCTGCGGAAACATCGTGTAGATGCGCACGGACTTAGCGAGGTCGGCGGCATTTCGTGTCGCTTTCTGTGCAAAGGCGCCGCTCATGCGCAGCGTGCCTTGGATCGCCGCGAGGGAGTTGGGCTTGTCGAGGACGCTCCGCACCACCGCCAATGTAGACTCCTCCCAGGCGTCGCTTCCCGCCCGCGCGGCGAGGTGCTCTATCAAACCATCTCGGATTTCGCCGGCGAACGCCTCCAGCTCGGGATCTTCGCCGGCGAACGCGTCCTCGCGGATGTCAATCTTGTCATAGGACCAGTCGACGTCTCCCTCAAATTCGGGGAAGTTGCTCGCGGCGAAACTCATTCCGTTCTTGACGTAGCCGACCGGCGCCTCCTGCGACGACAGGATCCACCGCGTAGCCGGCGCGCCCGTGCCCACGCCATACTTACTCGTGCCGTTGGCCGAGCGCCGTACCAAGACTTCTGCCGTGCCATCGCGTATGCGTCGGTAGACTATCACGAAGAACTCGACGGGCCACAGCGCTTGGTTATGTTCGTACTGCTTGACGTAGTCATTATCCGGGATCGGTGCGAAGCCAGCACGGTCCTTTGTGAGGTCCTGTGGCGCCCAAGCATGCGTCGTTGGCGCTTTTAGAGACAAGGCATTTGGGAGAGCCAGGGCAAGGAGCACCTGCAGCAGTGCCATGACGCGCAAAAGCTATCAAAGCTCGTGCAGTCAGACTGGGCGTATCAGATTAACTTATGCGCTTGCCCAGAAGCAGCGCGTATCAATTTTGCGAGGGGTGCGGCGTCTGCGAAGCTAGCGGGCTGTAACACACTAGCAAGCCGACTAAAAACCACCTCACGCACTCTATTATCGCAACAAATTGGCAAAATGCGAGGCCTATTAGTCGCATCGATGCTCCTCACTAGTGAAGCGCTCGCCCCGCGAGCGGCAAGCCTGCGTGCAGCGAGCGCAATGCGATCAGCCAGCGTTGACGTGGCTGACCTGAAAGTCTCGATGGACGACCTGGATAAGCCGTTAGAGGAGTTGACTGTCGACACCCGCGGCGTGGACCACACCTCGCGAACCGGCATCCAGGATGACGGTTGCGCGTGGACCGAGCGCGCCGACAGCGTTGAGGCGGTGCTGCGGATACCGGGTCTGCGCGGCCAGCCGTCGGGATCGCTCTCGGTCGACGTCACGCCGACGTCGTGCACCGTTTCGTCCTTTGGCATGGCGGTGTGGTCGTGCCTGCTCAAGGGCCGCGCGAACCCCGAGTCCGTCGCGGTGGACGTCTCCGACGGCGCGGACGCGGTGCCGACCATCGAGCTCCGAATAGGCAAGGCGGAAGGCACGTCCGGTAGGTGGGGCGGCTTCATCGAGAGCATCGGCGAGGACAGCATCCTTTGAGCATCTCGGCCGGGCGCTGAATTAATATTTGTGTTAACTAATGTACCGAACAGGTCAGTTCGGCAAAAGACCAATCTAATGAAATACCGAATGGGCTCGCGGCTTCCAGTTCGCTTTAGCTAGCGGTAAGACACTAGCAAGCCATGGCTGCCTTGTCAGCCTCAAAAAAAGCTGTCATAAACGGTGTGCTTGCAGGCGTGCGCAGCGCCAGCAGTCGTCCGCGACAGCATTCGTTCGCTGCAAGCTTGGCGAGACAAATAACTGCGTTTTGCGCCTGTGCGGCACCCCTCACAACAATGCACACTCATCTCATCATCATTGCATCGATCGCACCCGTCATCAACGCACTGCAAACGCCACCTCGCAAGAAAGTAGTAGTCGTCGGTGCCGGCTGGGCAGGACTCTCGACCGCCTGGACGCTGAGCAAAAACAACGTCGACGTTACCCTCGTCGACGCGGCCGCGCGGCCGGGTGGAGTGGTAAGAGACGGTTTCAAAACGCGGGGCGGCCGGCCGGCGGAGGCGGGCCAGCACGGCTTCTGGGAAGAATATTTCAACATCTACAAACTGCTGGACGAACTTAAGCTCGAGGAGGACCCATTGACGGGGTATGCCGAGCAGGGCCAGTACTCGCCCCAGGGCCTGGTCGCGAACAGTGCAATCACCACACCTTCACGCCATCGAGCAGACCCGTCGATGGCGTGTGGCTGACGCGGTCGATCATTCACGCAGGAGGCCATCTGGCCCGTCTACCGGGACAAGCAGAACTTGCCGACAGGCCTAGCGCAAGCACGGTACACGCGCTTCCTCAAGCTCTCTCCTTTGGATTTGGCGACGGCGGCGCCGCTCGTCGCCGCCTTCTCGGAGTTTCTGTCGGACGATGGCGCGTGGAGGCGCTACGACGAGCTCTCGTTTAGAGACCTGTGCACGAAGCTGGGCGTGTCGCGGAAGCTGTACCGGGAAGCGTTCGAGCCCATGATTTTGACGGGCTTGTTCGCGCCAGGCGAGCAGTGCTCGGCGGCCGCGGCGTTAGGTATGGCCTACTTCTTCGTGCTCAAGTCGCAGACGGCATTCGACGTGCGGTGGTGTAGAGGTAACATCGGGGATTTGATCTTCGCTCCCTGGTGTGATCAGTTAAGGGAGCGCGGCGTCACGCTGCAATTTGACACGAGGATTGAAGGTGTAGAGCTTGACGGCGACACGGTGACTGCCGTCAAAGCAGCGGGTGAGACCATCCCCTGCGACGACATCGTCTTCGCGGTGGGGATGCGTGCTCTCAAAGGCCTGGCCAAGTCCCCGGCGCTCGCGTCGCGCGACGAGTTTCGCAGATTCGGCAACTTGAGGGGCACGGACGTCCTTGCGACCCGTCTTTTCTTCGACCGCGACGTCGAGACGCCGTACAGCGCCAACGCCTGCTGGGGCTTCGACGACAAGGTGGGACAGACGTGGTTTGATCTGAAGAAGCTCCACGCGCCGCGGCTGGATGACGAGCCCGGAGCGGTGGTGGAAGTTGACTATTATCACGCCGGTTCTCTCCTCGGCCTCTCGGACGCGGAACTCGAGGCCAAAGCAAGGCGGGACCTCGAGACGATGGTGCCCGCGTTTAAGAGCGCGGAACTCGTCGACGCGGCCGTTGTTCGCCTACCGGAGGCGGTCAATTGGTACTTCCCCGGCAGTTACCAATCCTGCCCTACGACTGAATCCGAGTCGCTCCGGAACGCGTACTTCGCGGGCGACGTGGTCAGGGACCTGGGCCACGGGTCGTGGTCGCAGGAGAAGGCCTACGTCTCCGGCGTCGCGGCGGCGAACCGCGTCCTGGGCCGTTCGGCGCTCGACGGTGTCGAGTCGTTGCGGCCGGATGAACCGCACGTCGCGGCCGGCGCGGCGGCGGCGAAAGCGCTTCGGCGGGTCTTCTCGTTCGGGGGTGACGGTCCGAGTCTTGCGTCCGTGCCGTGGTGAGTAAATGTGAGATGTGAACTTTCTAGAGGGCCAACCTAGCGCTCACTAGGTGCCAAGCACTGCCCCAAGGAGAGCGGCCGCCTAGCACGTTGCGGATCGCTCGCGAGCTGCAGATTGCAGCTTGGTTCTCCTCCACTTCGGTGAGCAGCAGACCAGACGCGCGCCGGCACGAGACGCGGCGCGTTGCTCCAAATTCCATACATTGACCCAGAGCAGTTTCATTGACTTAGCGGCGCGAATCGGCACGAAGCGATGGCGAGCAGCGACGACGAGGAGTGGGAGAACGCGCCCGAGGACGAAGACAGCGAGGACGCCGACTTCGAGCCCGAGGCACCGCCGGACCCCGCGGCGATCCGCGCGGCCTACGCCCGGGAGCAGGCCCAGGCGCCGCCCGCCGCACCCAAGGCATCCGAGCCGGACCCGGACGACGAGACGTTAGACGACCTGCGCGCCAAGGCCGCGGCGAGCCAGGAGGAGGCCGCCCCGCCGGCGCCGGCCGCCCCCGCCACGACCGACGGCACCGCAACAAACGGCGCCGCCGCGCCCGCGACGACGGCCGACGCGGCCTACAGCTTCGTCGAGCTCCCCGCGCCGCTACACAAAGAAGCATCGAGCGACCTCGCGCCGCGGCTACGACGGGGCCTCGCGTCTGTACTCCAAACGTACGTGATCAACGTCGACGCCACGGCGCTCGTCGAGTCCCCGGACTACGAGTCGATCGTGATTGTCGACGCTAACGCGGATCTGAGCGGCGCGGACTTAGCTGGCCAAGTCAAAGGCGGCTGCTGTTATAGGGTCTGGCCGACGGTCGACGGAAAAAGGCGCTTCATCGAGCTAGCTTTAATCGCCGTGCGCCACGAGCGCCAGGGCCGGGGCGTCGGTGCCGCGCTGATGCGCCGGCTGAAGCAACGCGCTTTGAGAGAACGCGGCGCGCAGCGCATTGTTACTTATGCTGACGAGCGGGCCTTTGCTTATTTTAGGAGGCTGGGGTTTTCGCGGACGGTCACCTTACCTTTCCGGGAGTGGAAGGGCCGCATTGTAGACTACGGCAACGGTGCCGTCGTCGCGGAGCTACGAGCCGACGTCACGGACCCGTCCGCTTCTGCTCGCGTAGCGAGGCAGCAGATGGGCGGCCGGGCGACCTCCCAGCAGCTCGCGACGGGCGTCACGCGGTGCACGTCCGGACGGCCGAACTGCTACTGCAAGTCGGGGCGGACGCGAGCCATCGTGAGGTACGACCCCGAGACGGGCGAAGATCTGGAGGAGTACTGCTCGACGTCGGACGCGGCCCGCAAGCTCAACTTGAGGGGCCCGTCGATCACACACGTCCTGAGTGGGACGACGGAAGACGCCGACGGCCACAAGTTTAGGTACAAGGTCGAGGTGCCCTGGGTGAGGTCAGGAGGCCCCAAGGCCGTGCAAGAAGTGAACCCGGCTACCGGTGCTGTGATTCGCGAGTTCACCTCGGCCACGCACGCCGCGCGCGTGACCGGGTTTAGTAATGGCACCATCGGCCAGGTCTGCAACGGGAAGGTGGATAGCGTGGACGGGCGCGTGTTTAGATTTCGAGATTTGCGGGCCTTGCCGTGTTCGGTGTGTGGTTCTGATGGTGAGGCCAATTCATTATTATTATGTGACGGCATGAGCGGAAGGTGTCCGTCGACGGCGCATTTCCGGTGTGTTGGCTTAGATAAAGTTCCCGAAGGCGACTGGTTCTGCGCGTCGTGCCAGGCCAACGGCGGTAAATCGAGAGCCGTGCACGTGCAAGCTCGGAAAAGATCATCAGAACCGGGCGCGCGCAAATCCTCTAGACCTAAAAAACGGGTCGCCGTCGACGATAAACCAGGGGAAATTCGCAAGTCGTCGCGTCCTAGAAAAGCCACGACCTTTGGGGATGAGGTGGTGACGCCTCCCGGGCTCCCGCCGCCGCGCGAACTCGTAATCTCGGATGAGCAGGCCGCGGACGAGCGCCGGAAAGCTCAGATGGACGGCTGGACCACGGTGGGGTCCGAGTATTTGGGGAGAACTGTGAGAAGAACGATTCTAGACGCGGCGGGCCGGCCCGTGTCCTGCAGCGACGGTATTATTCGAGGCTGGCTCGACGCCGCGACGAGCGACTACGTCGACTCAAGCGGTCAACCAGCGGCGCTGTGGCACGCCTACCTGAGCACGGGGGAACTCGCGGGCGACGAGATCGACCTGGAGCTCTACGAAGTCTTGGAGTCGCTCGTGCCCGTCCAGCCGAAGGTCGAGGATCCGGAGACGGCGCGCGCGCGCGCCGACGGCTGGCGCGTCGAAGGAAGCGAGTACCTGGGCCGCACCGTCCGGCGGACCGTGCTCGACGCGAGCGGCCTCGTGACGTCGCACAGCGACGGCGTCATCCGGGGCTGGCTCGACGCCTCTCGGTCAGATTACGTTGATGACAATGGCAAGCCCGCCGCGCTGTGGCACGTCTACCTGGCGACGGGCGAGCTGGCCGGCGACGAGATCGACTTGGAACTGCACGAGGTCCAGGACTCGCTCGTGCCCGAGAAGGTGGATGCCTCCGCAGCGCGGCGCCGACAGGAGGAGGCCGACGCGGCGCTGGCGCGGGCCCTCGCTGAGGCGGACGCCGACGTGCCGGCGCCGGCGCCGAAACCGGCGCCGCGCAAGCCGCCGAGCCCGAGACCCGAGCCCGAGAGACCCCGGAGCCCACGCGCGGTCCAATGGTCTCTAGCCGAGGAGCGCGTCATCCGAGCGGCCCAGGCCGAGCTCGGGAACAAGTGGGCGGAGATCGCCAAGCGGCTCCCCGACCGCACGGACAACGACGTGCGACTCGGCGTCGAAACGCGGTCGCGGCGATGACGTGCGCCGTCGACGCCACCTTCTCTACGCACACAGGTCAAGAACTACTGGTACTCGCAATCTCGCAAGGCCGAGCGCAGCGGAAGCCCTCGCGGCCAATTGCCGCCGCTGCCGCCGCCGCCACCGGCGCACCTGCCCCACATTGGGTGCCGCCAGGCGGGCTGGGTAGCCGCCTGTACCGAGTTACTGGCCGTCGTCGAGGCCAAGAGCGGGATCAATGGCATGCGCGACCGCCTCCGGAGCGCCGGCTTCCGCTGCGGCAAGCCGGTAGCGGGAAAGACGTACTTCGACATCGCCGTGCCGCTGACGTTTCCCTGCTGCTACGACGTCGCCGGAAAGAACTACGCCGCGAACCAGGACGTGCTGCGGTCGAAGCCCCAGCTCGTGAAGTACCTCGAGGGCTGCCTCGCGCTCGCCCGCGAGGAGGCTTCCTACCGCACGGAGTCCGAGCGCGAGGCCGACGCGGACGAGGACGCACGGCGCGCCGCGGCCGGCGTCCAAGACTCACGCCACGGCCGGCCGTCCGAGCCGGCGTCGGCCGCCGCGCCCGCCGCCGCGGAGGTGCCGCGGACGTCGCCCTCGCCGGCGCCGACGTCCGAGCCGCCGTCGCCGCCTGAGAACGACGAGCCGAAGCGCCGCCGCGCGGCTCCGGGTTTGAGCTACGCGGAGTACGACGACGACGTCGACATGGACCGACCTCCGACGCCCGCCGAAGACGTCGACCTCGCGCGCGCCATCGCTGCGTCGAAGGCCGACATGGCTGCGCCGGCGCCGGCACCACTGGACGAGGAGGAGGAGGCCGCGCTCGAGTGCGTCCCGCGGACGGCGCCGAAACCGGCGAGCGCGCCGGCGCCGGCGCCGGCGCCACGCGAGTTCCCCGAGGACTACTCCGACGTGTTCGGGCCTTCGGCGCCGGCGGCCGTCGTGTCCGAGGAGATGTAGATGGCTGCTATGTGTAGTGAGAGTAAGCCATGGACTCTTCGTAGCTTTCGTTTGTTGCTAGTGTCTTACATGACGCTAGCGCACGCAGGCAAGCGTCCGACCGAGGTGGTCAGTGCTACAAGACGCAATCGAACTGGCAGGCGCTGACAGGCGCTGCCAGGACTCCTGTGCGGCCTGTCAAGGACTGCTGGATCACTCATGGCTCGCCGCATCCTCACACTTTGCCTGACGACCCTACGCATCGATGCTCTCCTGGCACCGCCAGCAAGGCTGAGGCATAGAGTCCTGTGCCGCGCGTCGGACGACGAGGCCCCCGAGGTGGAGGAGGACTGGCGCGCATTTCGGGCGAGATTGGTCGCCGGCGGCATCCCGACGACGACCGATGCAGATGAGCCAGCGCCAGCGCCGGCGCCGGCGGAGGAGCGCCAGGGCCTGGACGAGGACAACGTCAAGCTCGCGACCTCCCAATCGAAGCGACAGGGCGATATGTTAAGAGAGGGCACGTGGGCGCACGAGGTCGGCGCGCCCGAGGTCGGCGGTCTGTTGCTGCGACTGCCGCTCGAGACGCAGCTCGCGGTTGCGAAGGACTCGCACTGGGGCCAGGAGCTGCGGCGATTCGCGAAGCAGGAGGTAACTCGAGCGGCGATGGAGGACGCGCGGCGAAAAGGGCTGCCGGCGTCCGAGGCGCCGCCGCCAGAACCTGTGGTGGAGACAGAGGCGGCTTTATATAGAACCGCGGGCCGGTTCCTGCGGGCGCAGCTCCAGCGCATAGCACAAAAGGGACAAGTAGACGGCTCCGGGCGCTTGGCTATCGATCCGCGGTCACTGGGTGATGCCGATCGGCAACTCCTGGACATGCACCAGCGCTACCTCGGCTCCTGGCAGGAGGTCGTCCTCGTGATCAAGGACGACGCGGACGGCGCGGTAGGCGTCGTGCTGAACCGGCCAGCCGCTACCGAGGGCGCGCCTCATCTTAGTAGGGCGCTCGTCGAGGCGCTCGAGAGTGATGGAGGCGCCAAGGTTACTACAGATGCTTTCGACGGAGCGTTCGGGAAGACGATCGCCGCCTACGTCGGCAAGCCGGCAGCCAGAGAGGGTGGCTCGGCAAACAAAGCCATGGTCGTCCACGGCCTCGAAGAGTTGGAGGGCGCGCGGGAGCTGGCTCCGAACCTGGGAATTTATCGCGGCGGCGCGGCGGCGGCGGCGGAGCGCGTCCGCGCGGGCACGGCGGAGCCGCTCGACTTCCGGTTTTTCATAGGGCGCTACGAGTGGGGCCCGGGGGAGTTGGCCAAGGACGTCCGCGACGGCGTCTACCGGCCGGCGGCCTGCTCGCGCGGCGTCGCGCTGAAGCAGTGCCTCGGGCTGCCGAAGCCGCTCTGGCACGAGGTCATGGACATGCTCGGCGGTAGCTCGGCGGACGTGTCCGCGCTCGAGCTCGCGCGACGTAGTGACCAATAACTTAGTAAAACATTAAACGACGTTGGAAAAGATCCGCAAGGGCGCCGCGTGGCTCGACACGAGGACCTGGTCCCCCAGCTCCAGGTCGAAGGCCGTGTGGTGGCCGTCGATATACACCCTACCGTGCTGGCTGTTCCACCGCACCTTCAAGTGGTGCTCCTCGTCCACGAAGCCGTGGGACTTGTCCCGGACAAAGGCCACGTCGTCGTTCTCGCCTACCAGGTGCTCTCTCACCAAGTACTGCAGATCCCTGGAGTTCACGTCCACACCCATATCACCCCCGGCAGAAGCCATCACACCGGTGGCACCGGTAGGCGTCGACACCCACAGACCCGAAGACCACACATTAAACGAGAACTCGTCGGGGTCGTCTGGAGAAGGGCAGAAGTCGTTCCGGAGCCGATCCAAGCGGAACCGCGACACCGCCGCCGGCGACGGGTGAGCCACGAGGATGTCGTTGAGCGCTGGCGGCATGCGCGTCTCCGACAGCGAGCCTCTTATTGTAACAGCCAGGCGGTGCCTCTTCTGGATCGCCGCGTCGAGCTCCCCTCGAATAGCGCGCGGCACGACGTCCTCGAGATTACGAGCCGATGCAAAACATAAAGCGCCCAACGACCGTCGTTCGTCCGACGTTCGCGAACACGCGCCCAACCGCTCGTGCGCGCGCGTCGGGTCCGAGTTCACGCCTAAAACGACGGGGCCCCGCGGCTCGTCAGAGGACTGCGAGTCGACGAAGTGCGCAGAAGATAGGACCGTGCCGTCGCCGCCCACCGAGATGAGCAAATCGACATCATCATCCACATGATGCCTCGACAGCGCATCTCTAGAAACGACGGTGACGCTATCGGCTTCCCGCTTCGCGACGGACACGACCTGCTCGACGCACGCCTGGTGGTTCGCGTGGCGCTCCTTGAGGCGCTCCCACCGTAATGCTTTGGGCGCCTTGCCCTGCAGTTTTAATTGAGTGTAGGCCTCGTAGGGCGTGAACTTGACCACCACTAAGACGCGCTTGTAGCCGATCGAGCGCGTTCCTCGTGGCGCTTGGCGGCGCAGCGCGCGCGCCGCAAGCATGATGCAGTGGTGAGTAGCAGTGGTGAGTGGCCAAGATTTATGCGTCGCCGCTTTAGGATCAACGTGGAAACGACAGATTGATCGTACAAACGCCTGCAGCTTCGTGTAACTGTGCTGGATAGGTGAGCTTTTGCCACTGCGATGTTGCTCCAGCCAGCACAAGCCCAAGCCAAGCAATGTGCGGGTTCGCGCAGGAACACTCGTCGCAAGCGCTCTCAAGAGAAGCCTCTGTGAGTGCCGTCCTAGCAACAGCTGGTTTCTGTCGGGTTCGAGCCAGTTGGGGCAGCGCCAGCAGCTCGTAAATCGGGCACAAAGGCTGCCCTCTGCCCTCTCTCGATCACCGGAATGCGCGATCGAACGAACTCATGCAAGGGCTGCGAAGCCTCAACCCATTACCCATGAGCCAACAGCCCTAGCAGCCATGCCCCGGGCACCCCCTGGTGGCAAGCCGCGGCCGCCGCCGACGCGGCCCAAGATGCAGTCCGTGGGCGAGGATGATAGCGACGAGGAGAGCTTCGCCTTCGTCGTGCCGAGCCGCCACGGCTCGCCGCGCGAGCCGAGCCCCCGCATCCCGGTGCTCTATAATGTCGGCAAGGAGAAGCCCCGGCCCCCGCCGGGACGACCACCGGTGAAGAAGGACGCCTCGGCGGCGGTCGCCGCGGCGAACGCCATGTGGGACGCCATGGCTACTGATCCGGAGGCTTTGGCTGGTCAAAACGCGTTGGCCACGGATCCCATTATTAGAGGGGCGCAAAGGGACTCCTTCGACGATTATATCGGCGCCCGTCGCCTCTCCGACGACCTGGGGGACGACTTCCCGGCCGACGACGAGACCACGGCGAACGCGTTCGTCGTGCCTTCCAGAAGCCAAAGTAGATCGAGAAAACCGGCACCACCGAAGAAGCCACCTCCAACAAAAAAGCGTGCTGCACCGGTGGAGTCGTTATCGTCGGACTCGGACTCGTCCCTCAGTGACTCGGACGACTCGGGCGTCGGATTTGTCGTGCCCACGAAACACAAGGCCCAGCCGTCGCAGGCGGCCATCGAAAGAGCAAGGAGAGCGTCGCAGGGCCGGCGCGAGGCCTCCTCGTCGGAGGGCCGCCGCGACGAGGAGTCGAAGCCTTCTTCGCAAGCTGTCGAAAGAGCCAAGGCCGCGTCGATGCGGGCGAAGATGGCGCACAAGCCGGCGCCCCCGAAGGGCCCGGCGCCGCCGATGGCTAGGCCTTCCGCTCCTTTATCTGTCGCTACTGAAGGTACACTGTCCCGGACGGGTTCATTTAGAGGGCCGCCGCCCAGAGGCCCGCGGCCGCCGCGGGGCCCGCCGCCACGTACAAACTCGTCGTCTTCTCTGGTCAGGACGGGCTCGCAACAACACCTAGTAAGAAAGGACAGCTGGCGCGACGTCCACCAAGGTTTGGAAAGAAAGGACAGCTTCCGCGAGCCGCCGAAGATGCCGCGCACGGCCTCGTCCCAGAACTTGACGCGCGCCGGCTCGAGCCAAAACCTGGTCAGGAAGGGCAGCTTCCGCGCGCCGCCGCCGGGCCAGCCCCGGCCGCCCGGCCGACCGTCGACGAGTGATGGTAGAGGACTAAAAGCTCCAAGCCACGCGCAGCTCGCCGCCGCGCGCTGGGCCGCGCGCAAGGGCCCGTCGGGCGCGCAGGCCCTGGCCGCCGCCGAGCGGCGCGAGCCGCCGCCGCGCGGCATGGTGCCGCCCGGAGCTGCCCCTGGTTTTAATCAAGAAGGCCCGCGGCCGCCTCAAAATAGACGGGAAAGGGCCGAGGCCGCGCCGGCGCGAGCGTCACTCCAACAGGAGAAGCCCCGTTCGATGTCACCGGCGCCGCCATCAAAGGCCCCAGATCTCAGAGACGCGCGCGCGGCTCGTTTAGCCGCGCAGCATGCCGGTGGAGGGAATAAGCGACGGAAGCTCGAGGACGACGAGGATGACGATGTTGGTAAAAGAGTAGCGATGCGGCGGCCGGCGTCGACGGAGAATCTGTTCGACACGGGCGACCTGGGCGCGCCGTGGCGCGACCCGGCTCCTACACTCGCGCTGACGCGGAAGGCGTCGCAACATAACCTTACGAGGGCGGCGAGTGCTGCCAATGTGATGGGCTTGGAGGAACCTCTCCTACAAACGGTGGCGCGGGATTTAGCAAGGCAGAATTCACGTCAAGATGTACTGAAGCGGCCCGCCTCGACCAACAACATGGCCCTGCCGGATCGGGTCACGGTACGGAAGCGCGCGCCGCCCGGCACTCCTTCGCACCGTTCACCGCCGAGCCACCCGCCGCCCACGCAAAACAAGGGCAAGGCGCCGCCCGGCCCGCCGCCGGGGCCGCCGCCGGGCCACAAGCTCCACATTCCCGGAAGAAGTGCACCGGCGAAGCGGTCGGCGCCGCCCACACCCAAAGCTAATAGGCCAGCGGCACCGTCACAGCCGCCGGGCAAGGACCCCATTTTTGATACTGGAGTGATTACCAAAAGAAGCACTGGTAGAGCCCCTCCACCGAGGGAAGGTAGACCCCCACCGGAAAAGGAGACGGCCCTCGTGATAAAGAAGAAGCCCGTCCCATCATTGGATCTGGGCAGCTGGGCCTGCCCGCTCTGCACCTTCCGCAATTCTCCTCAATCGGAAACGTGCGCGACGTGCCATCGCGCGCGCGGCGACGCAGAAAAAGCAGCTGAAAAATTATGGGCCGGCCCGCCCGCTCCCTCGACGACCGGCCGCCCGCCACCCCCACCGAAACCAAGAGCGGCACCTTTGATCGATTCACGACCGGAGGAGGACGCCCTCGCGACCAAAAGACGATTGCTCTACTACCGGAAGAAGCCGCCCCCGAAAAGGCCCAAGATCATGCGCCCGCCGCGCGCGCCTGGTACTCAACCGCCGGCCCACGCCCTGCCGGCTGGGGTTGTGTACAAGGAATCTCCCCGACGGAAACGACGACGAGAGAGACAGCAAAGGCGGAAAGCGCACGCCGTCCAGAGCAAACACTTCACGTCGACGTACAACAAGGACTGGGAGGACGCCAGGGCTTCTAGGCCTCTATCTCTAAGAGAGACGGCGGACCGGGGCTTCAAGACCGCGCAGAGTGCGCTGGACGCTGTGCCTGAAGGCGTGGTGTTGAACGAGCTGAGAGATATTGGTGGCGTGCCCTGCGGCATCACGGTCATCCAGAAGGAGTGGCGAGCGGTGGTTCATGCCGTTGATTTGGAACGGGGCGACGAGTACTCGGCGTCTTCGGAGTTGCATGCTCGGTATGTGGAAGCGGCGGCGCCCACGCCAGACCAAAAAATAAACTTATATAGGGAGCTCGTGGACGCCTGTGCTTTTAGAAGTACCTTAGAAGGTCGAAGGAAGGCCCAGCGCAAGTTGGAAGTGATGCCGTCTCCCAGACTAAGTGCGGCGCAGAAACAAGGCGGCCGCGTGTGCGTGTTGCGGGAGCGGCTCGTCGTGAGCGGCGCACTCGTCGAAGTCTCGGCTCGGGCAAGGTCAAAACCGGACGTCGTCGAGTTGCGACTGAGGGACCCAGCCTCGAAATTAGAAGCGGCTCTCACCTTTCCATTGGTCGCCGCACCTCGCTTGGCCAAGGTCGCGTACGACAGCCACGTCGTCAAGGTCCGAGAAAGGTTACTCGCCACGGAGCACTTGGACTGGGAGACGCCCTGGGCCGCCGCGGCGGCGGCGCGGGCGGGGCCGGCGTTTCCTGGTGACAGTGTCGAGCCGTCGAGGGATGTGCGCGCCACAGTCGCCATGGCCGTCGAGTTCGCGTGCCACGAGCTGGACATGTCCATGGTCGATGAGAACCGGAAGACGTCTCTGAAGCTCAAACCGTCTCCAGTACTAGTTGCGCAGATCGCGGAAGGGTGCCGCCACGCTCGAGCTGCCGTAGTATTGCAGAAGAACGCGCGGGGCATGTCCGCTAGGTCTCCGGAAGGCCAGGCAGCGAGGGCGGAACGTTTGCGAAGGGACGCGTCGAAAATATTGCAGGCACTTATTAGGATGAGATTCGCGAAGAGACGGGCGGCGATTCGCCGGGAGTCAATACGAAGGGAAATCAGACGGAGGGAAAAGAAGGCGGCCACGTCATTGCAATCCGTTGTACGTGTAGCGCAAGCCAAGTGCCTCTCAAAGATGTTGCGCTACCTCAAGAAGGACGCCGCGCGCGCGAAGAAGGTCGCTGCCATCGCGATGGCGAAGATGCGCGACCGGGAGCGAAGGGCCGCTCAATTAGCCATCTACCGGACAGCGCGGGCGCGCATGCAGATCCAGCGCTGGTCGCGCCAGGCGATCCAGAACATGAGACGACGGAAGCGCGAGGAGCGGTTGCGGCGCATCGAGGCGGCGCGATTGCAGGCCGAAAAGGACGCATTGGAGCGGAAAAGGGCCGCTATTAACATTGGAAGGATGTTGAGAGGCTGGGTGGCGCAGCAGATTGTGACACGATTACTGTGGGAGAAGTACGAGCTCGAGAAGGCGGCATCTACTTCTATACAATGTATGATACGGTGCTGGTTCGCGCGGTACGAATTAGCTGTGCGGGATTATGAAAGGTTGGCCTGCCGGGCGATCCAGGCCCTTTGCAGAGGTGTGTTAGAAAGGAAGATCATCAGACAGGACCGGGCGTCTGATACCATTGCTAGGTTCTGGCGTTGTGTGGATGCGAAGACGACCGCGCGCATTATCCTGGAGCATAATCGTAAAGAATTGCTCCAGAGAGCGTCGCAGTTCGCCCAGGAAGCAATAGACGCGGATCGGAGATACGCGGACGCCGTCGCGGCGAAGCTCCTCACGGACAAGATCCAGCAGGAACGGGCCATGGCCGTCATCAAGGCCATGCGCTGCGCTTCTGAAAGCGCCGTCATTGCTAGAAGACGCCGCTCGACCTGCAAGGAGCTCGCGAATGAAATCAGAGACGCGATCCGCACCAGAGCGTCCACAACACTCCAGTGCTTCATCCGACGACTATTGGCGGGAGCGGAGACGAGAAGACGCCGCGAGCTCAAGAAGGCCTTGGGCATCGCTGCCATGGTGCGGAGGAAGAAGGCCGAAAAAGAAGCCAAAGAACAGGCCATCGCGCGCAAGAAGGCGAAGCGCGAGAACGCGCGACGGGCGCTCATCCGCTTCCAGTCGGCCTGGCGCGCGCACCAAGCTCGGCAGGTCTATCTGGTCAAATATGTCCAGAGGCATGCTTGTATCCAGTTCCAGTCGTTGGTTAGAAGGTCGCAAGCTCAGAGAAAGATTGGTAATTTGAAAGCGAAGCAGTCCGAAATAATAGAGAAGAAGCTGCAGGCTCATGCCGCATTAGTGTTCCAGAATTGCTTGCGGCGGAAGCTGGCGCGGAATCTGTTACTCACGAAGCGGTTTGTTCGAGATGATAGAATATTGGCGGAGAAGACGGCTCAGGCGGCGAAGGCGGAACTTTCGAGATTGGCCCAGGAGGCCGAAGTTCAGCGGCTGAAGGACGAGGCCGAGGCGCTCGAAAGAGAAATCCGGGAAGCTGAGGAAAATGAAAAGAAGAAGGCTGAGGAGGAAGCGAGGAAACTCAGAGAACTCAAGGAGGAGGCCGCCCGGAAGGCGAAAGAAAAGGAGGAGCAAGACCGGCGGGACGCCATGGAAGCTAAACTGCGCGCCGAGGCGGAAGCGTTGATTCAGAATAATGCGGCAAGGAACATCCAGCGCACGGCGCGAGGCCGACAGTTAAGGGTGTGGATGGCCTGGGAGGCCCAGCAGGCGGAAGAAGCGAGACTCGAAGCGGAAGCGCAGAACGACCAGGCCTGGCGCGAGTGGGGGGCTTCGATCATCCAGGCCTGGTATCGCCGCCTCGTGACCTTACAATCAGAAGCAAATGAGCGGGCCTGGAACTACTGGGCCGCGTCCATCGTCCAGACCTGGTGGCGCGAACGGTTAGCTATCACCAATATAGAAGCAGCAAATGCGATGTGGCAGCGGCAACAGCAGCAAAAAGAAGAACAGCGCCAGCGCATGGCCACCATCGCGCAGAAAGCCATGGCTCGAGAGTCGGCTCGAAGTCAAGCGATGGCCCGGAAGAAGAAGGCCGCGCAGGAGTGGAATAGGGAAATGGAGAACCAGGGCGGTTCGCGACCGGGCTCGGCCTTCACCTGGGCCGACGCCACGCCGAGAGATACTGCTCGTAGTGAGTCGCATTTCTCGCCTCGTGGTGGTTTGGATACGGCTCGGTCCGATGCCACCGATGTGTCCGACATCTCGGATGCTGGTAGATTTGTCGATGAATTTGATGCCGATGATAAGCAGGACGTCGAGAAGCTCTTTAGGGCCGTGCGGCATGGTAGGAGGGATGCTATCAGACAGTACACGGAGAAGGGCTTCGACGTGAATCTTCGCAATAAACATGGGCATACCTTAGCCATGGTCGCCGCGCAGAACAACCAGAAGGCAATTCTGAAACAACTCTATAGATTTGGGTTGGCCGATTCCATCAACGACCAGGACTACAAAGGGAATACAGCATTACACTACGCGCAGATGTACGGCTATACCCAACTGGCGGAGTACATGGTCTCGAAGTTGGGGGCGGACGAGACGTTGGTCAATCGCGACGGGGCGTCGGCGTGGATCAACGTCGAGGAGGCCACCGAAGTGGCGGACTAACTTTGTATTGTGTTATCCCGTACTAGTGCTAAGCAGCCGCGCGCCGCCGTCGGCCGGCGGGCACGCAGGTGTCGTACTTCGCGCGCCCAGCCGTCCGAGGACGTGCCGGGACGCCTCTTGGGCCGGAAGATCGGGTGCGCTGCCTGCCCGCGCGTGTTGGGCGGTTTCTTCCGCGGACACGGCCGCTTCACTATAGGATGTTGGAATTGCTAAACTTAGCTAAACAAAGGCGCCTAATGCCGCCCGTAACTCGGCACGCGGGCATCCTCGTGCAAAACACTTAGTGTACGCCGTAGGCACGGGCAGCCGGGCTACGCGTTGCAAAAAACGCGGCAGCAATTGGGCTGCCTCTCGCCGAGAAAACGGCCAAAAACCATGCAAAAAGCCATGCGATCGTCTTTTTTGGCGCCGTTTCGAGCCGATCGGGCCACCGCAGCGTCGGACATCGTAAAGCATGTGGCCGCGGACGATTTAAAACACTAAACAGGGGCAGCGGTCCGTGGGATGTCAGTCTATGCGTGGTCCGCGTTTACGGCGAGAACGCGGCTTCGGGCGAAAATCGCGCCCGTGGGTCGCGAGATTTGGCAGAGGCCTTCTCAGCCACCATGACGTGCATACGAGGGGCGTCGAGGGCTGTGTTGAGGACCACGGGGAGCAGCAATGCCTGGAGCGCGTCGCGGCGGCGCCGTGGGCTCGAAATCTCAAAAGTTATGAGAACGTCACGTCGATATCGTCAGTAGGCATGGTGATGGAGCGAAAACGGCCGAAGGTTCTCATAACTTTTGCGCTCACGGCGGCTGAGAGGGCTATATGTCCGGCCAAATGGGCAGCCCCTCTCGCTCCCAGGAGCGCCCGCGAGCTGCTACTTTTTTGCTCATCCGCGAGCTGGGACATCGGACGACGTGCTGCGGCCGCGCTTCCGCTGAAAACAGGCGCGGCGACCGGTGAACTCCACCATTCACGCTGCGCGTTTAGCTAAACAAAGCTAAACTTTTGGCATGCGCCGCTGGCGATTTGAGGCTTCCCGTCCGCGGCCCGGAGGCCCTCAGGCACGGGATCTTACGTATAATGCGCTTTTATTTCCAAAATCCCTAATCTCGGCTTTTGGTGCTACCGTGCGGAGCAGCGCCTCGCAAAAAGCTCCAGCTCTCCGAGCAAAAGCTGCCAGATCAGCACGCAGGTCGTCCGCCGACGCCAGCGCGCACCAGTTCAGCAACTTACGCAAGTCTAAGCGAGCGCCGGGCAGCACCGGGCAGCCCGACAGACCAGCTAAGAGGCAGCACAGACACACCCACAAGCAACCATGGGCGCCGGCGCGAGCGCCGAGACGAAGATCACGAAGAGCGACGCGCTCATGGCCGTGCACGAGGCCTTCCATGGGAAAGGCGACGGCGAGTTATCCATCCAGGAGATCGTCTCCGCGGCGCCGGCGCCGACACCCAAAACGGCGCCCGCGAGCTCGCAGGACTGGAGCGCCATGTTACGGGCGCCGCCGGACCCTTCCGTGGCGGCGCGCTACGCGGCCGAACATCGCAAGGCCGTCGATGTGCCGAAGCGGCTGCAGCTCGCCTTACAAGATGAGGGCGCCATGTTCCGGCTGTGCACGCACTTCCAGCGCAAGGAGGACAAGAATTCCGATGGAGGGTTGACCATGGACGAATTTACCCATTTATTCAATCAAATCGACCCGGACGCCCCGAACGAGATCATCCAGGAGATGTTCACGCTGGCCGACACGAACCAGATGGGGTCCGTCGACACGTGGGAGGTCATGCCCATCATGCACCGCATGATTAATCACGCCCTTCATACGCGCATCACGGAAGAATTGCGCAAAGCCGTGGTGGAGATTTATGAAGCGGACATCAACGTCACGGCGTCTTTACCAAGCAACAACGACGGCGACCTGGCCGGTTCGCTGTCCAAGTTCGCCTAGAATTCGCACGCGCGACGCGACGGTCGACGCCTAAGTCCTATGTCCTAAGTTCGAACCCTCCACCCCCTTACGAAGCGCGCGAGGAATCGCGCGAAACCCGCGAGCGTCTGTCGAAGCGCGCCGGGCGAGCAGCTAGCGGCTGTAAGGCACTAGCAAGCGAGACAAGTTTTTGGGCTGCCCCAGGGCGCACCAAAAGCCTTAAGGGTCGCTCGAAGCGCTGCCATAGATCATGGCCCACCCCCGCGCGGCAGATGGCACGCTCGACGCAGTCAACGAGCAGCGCCAGACGCCGCTCCTCCTCGCTGCCGCCGCGGGCTCGTCCCAGGCCGTCCAGCTCCTGCTGCGCCACGGCGCGGCCGTCGACGCGCGCGACGCCCGGGGCCGCGCGGCGCTGGACCTCGCGTGTGCGGCAAGCAGTGAAGCCTGCGTCAGCATGCTGCTGGCGGCCGGCGCGACGCCCAACGCCACGGACAGCGAGGGCGCGACGCCGCTCCATCGCTGCGCCGAGGTGGGGGCGACGGCGTGCGCCCGGGCTCTGTTAGCTGCCGGCGCGACGCTCGAGCGCGACAAGAGGGGCGACTCGCCCCTCCACGTCGCCGCCGTCCGCGGCCACGTCGACTGCATGAAGTGTCTAGTACTGGCGTCGAAGAACCATGGCGTAGACACGCCGCGCGCGGCCGACATCCGCCAGTCGCTCGCCGACGCTCCGCCGACGCCGCCGGCGTTGGACTGGATCCGCTACGCCTACGAGGACGGGACGCCCTACTGGTACAACCCCAAAACGGACGAGTCGCAGTGGCACGAGCCGGGCACGGCGCCGCCGCCGGAGGATGCGTACGCCTACGACGAGCCGGTGTTTTCGCCCGTCCCCGTCGAGGCGCCTGCGCCGCGCGACACGCCGGCCTTCTCGCCCGTCGACTCGGCGGCGCCCGTCGACTCGGCCGCGCCCTTCGAGACGCAACGGCCGCCGGCCTTCTCGCCCGTCGACGCGGCCGTAGAGACGCGACCGCCGGCCTTTTCGCCCGTCGAGTCCGTCGCGCCCGTCGAGACGCCGCAGCCGCTGCCGCTGGACCCGCGGTCGCCGCCGGACGACGACAGCGACGGCGACGGCGACGACGCGCCGCCGCCCTGGGAGGACCCGCGGTCGCCGATGCGCGCGAAGCGCGACTACGTCGACGGCCTGGGCCAGCCGGCGGTGCCGCCGACGCCGCACAACTCGCGCACAAGCCTCGCCGAGGACGCGGTGCCGCCGACGCCGCACAACTCGCGCACGAGCCTGGCGGAGGACTTCGAGGTGCAGCTTCCGGAGCCGCCCGTTGAGGAGAAGCAGCCCGAGAGCGACGCGGAGTCGGACGGCATGCGCGCGCAGCAGCGCCACCTCGACATCTGGGAGCGGTTCCTCACGAACGCCGCGACGCGCAAGTTCTCGGGACCGCGCCGAGACCCCGCCGCCGATAAGTTACTCGCGGCGGCAGCCGGCGACGGCTACGACGATGCGGAGGCCGCGAAGACCATTGGCGAGCTGCTGGCCGGGGGCACGGCGCCGGACGCGTCCGACGAGCAGGGGCGCCGGCCCCTCCACCACGCGGCCTTCGCCATGGCTTTAGATAGGTGCCAGCTCTTATACGACGGCGGCGCGGACGTCGATGCGAGCGACAAGGGTGGGAATAGACCCCTGCACGTAGCGGCAGCTAGAGGGGCGACGGCTATCGTGGACTTCTTGCTGGGCTGCGCGGCGTCCGTCGACGCGTCGAACGACGACGGGGACCGGCCGCTGCACCTCTCGGCGTGGATGGGCCACGCCGACGCGACGGCGCGGCTCATCGAGGGCGAGGCGAACGTCGACGCGCTGAACGGCCAGGGCTACGACCCGCTCGACAACATCCTGGAGCGGTCGCCGTGCGTCGCGAAGCAGCGCGCGCGACTGCTCGCCGGCAAGCGGCCGAAGCCGCTCCCCGGGCCGTTGAGGGCCACCGTCCAACTATTGGAAGAAGTGCGCGTGCGGCGGTCCGGAGGCGCAGTCATCGAGGAATTGTAATTAATGTCTTTAAACTTCGACGGTCCCCGCGACGACGTAGCTGTGCCTTCGATAGATGTCGTTCGCCATGCTCGTCGACTGGCGCCAGCGCGGGCTCCGGAAAGGATTGGGCCGACACGTCCTCACCCGACAAACGAGCTCGTATACTTCGAGCTCCGCCTTGAGCTCGGGCAGCGAGTTCGTGAAGAAGGCGATCGGCTTGCCGGCCGGTAGTTTTTCGAGCGAGGGGCCCCAGTCGTAGGCGTCGACCTGTGCGCAAATCAAGCAGTGAATCGTCGATGGCGTGCAGGTCATGATTCATGCACCGGCGTCGACCGTAAGCCCGAGATTAAATCCAATGATGGCGTCCGCCGTAGTTAGAATGTCCTCCGCCGTCTCACATAAATAATCCAGTCGCACGTCACAAGTCTCCTTCCAGGCCTCGGTCGGTTCTTGGGGCGAGAGCTCGGGGCCGACCAGGACGACGGTGAACGACCCGCGCAGCCCGGCCTGGCGGAAGCAGCTCAACCACACGTGCGGTGCGGCCGCCGCTTCCGCATCGGACGCGCCCATGATGACGATACGAATCGCGTCGCTCTGGGCGCGTCGCCGCACCTTGCGGAACGGAGATAGAGCCGTGAGGCAATGCGCCACGCTCAACGGATAGGACATGGTCTCCGCGTAGGCCCACGCCGGCGGCGTGATCTCCACGACCCCGAAGCCGTCGTTCGCGAGCCGCGCCAGGCCCAGCTCGTCTCTCTCAATGGATACGGGCTCGCCGTCGTCCTTCAACATGTCGATGCGGCGCAGCACGCGCATCGAGGGCGCGCGCGCCTTCGCGTCCATAAGCATGTGGTGCGCGCTGCAGTAGCGGACGCGGCGCGACACGGGGCAGACCTTGGTGATGAACTGGCGCGCGCAGACGGCGCAGCAGTTGATGCCCGGGGCCAGATCCGGGTTGTTCGCGAGCCGAGCGTCCGCTTGCGGGTAGTATCTGCCATTATTGCCATCTCTGGCCCGCAGATCGGCGCGCTGCAGGCGCGCTGCGCGCTTGCTGCGGCGGCGGCCGGCGTGGAGGCCCATCAGCACTATAGGAGTTTCAGTTGTATGCAATCGCTGATGCAAATAGTGCTATTGCCAGAGTTGTGGGTCCGAGGGCCATCGCTCGCTAGTGTCTTACTGTACGCTAGCTCGCTTGGAAGACCAAAGCCATTTTTTGCCATTCCAATCGCTGTGGTAGCCTAAGAACTGTTTACGGAGTGCCATTGCCCAATTCCATCGCTGCTGCGTGCACGCTAGCCGCCCGCGGCACCCGCGGAGCCCCTAAACCATGAGTGAGCTCGCCGCGGCCCCCGCGCCTGCAGCCGACGACGACCCCCTGAAAGGCGAGCCCACGCCCGAGAGCCAGCAGGACGTGATACGGATATTCAACGGCTTTAAGCGCGACGCCCAGATGATCATCTCCAAAGTCAGTGAATTGGAGTACGAGATCGGCGAACACGAGTTAGTGGTAGCGAACGCGCGGGAGCTGCCCGACGACCGGAACGCCTACCGGTTGGTAGGTGGTGTATTAGTGAAGACGACCGTGGGAGACGCGCTGCCGAAGGTGCAGCAGAACATGGCGAACATTCGCGCGACGATCGACAAACTGAAAGTAGCATTGGCGTCGGTCAACGCCAAGTCGGCGGCCTGGAAGGAGAAGTACGGCATCAAGACGCAGCAGGAGATGGAGCTCGAGAAGAGGAATGCGCAGGCCTCGGGGGGAGCGGTGAAGGCCGCGACGGGGGTGCTCGCGTAAAATTTTAGAGAAATACTACCCCGCGGCGATGGCGTTACCCCGCGCGCCGTCGCCGCGACGTTTAGTAGACATACTTACGGGTACGTCGTCCGCGGCGCCCAGTCGATCGTCACGATGCGCGGTCTAATAACGGTATCCAGGTGCGTCTCGGGCTGGCAAGGCCCGTACACTCTCGTGTTGTTCAGGTTCACTTCAAAATAACCGTCGTACTGGTTCATGCACTTGCACTGCTTCATGCCCGGCTCGTTCGCAAATCTACCAGGAGGACAGCGCAAACAGTCGAACTTCGAGGCACTTCCAACATTCACGTTGAACCGGCCGGGCTCGCATTTCACACAAGACTCCATAAACCTACCACCTTCGTCCTCCCTAAACCGCCCGTGGGGGCAGTTGTCGCATCTGGTCACGTGGTGGTAGTCGACGTCCCGGTACTTGCCCGGCGGGCAGCGGTGCATGATCTCGTGTTGACAATAAGATCCCGGTTGGCACCGCAAGTTGCCTATCGAACACCCGTCGTAGCACTCGAAGCGCGCCACTTCTGCTCGATCCGAGTAGCCCGGCGTCACGTCGTAGGTATACGTATCCTGGCACACCTTGCGACAGCCCGCTACGGTCCGGTTGAAATAGAACGCCGCGCAGCCGAACTCGCAGAAGCCCGCGTAGGCCGGGTTGCCGACGGGCGCGCCGACGTGCGGGTGCGGTAGGGTTGTCGTCGGTCGCGTGGGGCCGTACGGTCTCCGAATCTCATCAATGACGGTGCAGTTCGCGTTATCAATACACCCGATCGACGACGACAGATCGAGTCCATCATACGCGTTCGCCTCCCACCACGGCGTGAGGCCGTGCGACAGACCAACTATGGTTTTGTTCTTCGTCGCCCAGTCGCCGATGTCCAGCCAGGACATGCGTATCTGGCCCGTTTGGATGTATAAGGCAATTTGATATTCCTTCGAGCCGTCGGGCTGCTTGAAACTAATCACTATTCTTTCTTCAGGAGTACCTCTTAGTGATTCAGAAATGTACTGCATCTTGAATATAGTTTTATTGGCGGGCATGTTGTCGACACACAAGACACAGGCCGCATCTCTAATCCAGAAGCCTGACCCGCCCTTCCACTCGCCGCCTACCCTTCTTTGGTCGCCGATAAACCGTTCATCATACATAAATTGATTGACATCATCCCAAGCTGTGGGTAATCTCCCCGAGTACGTTTCTTCGTCGGCTCTATACACTGAGAGTGATGGATACGAGACGGCTTTAAAACCAATGGCGCCATAGCCATACAACCTTAATCTGTTGATCTTATGCCCATAAAAGTCAAAGTACTTCGAGGTCTTGGCACACTTCGAGAACGGCCTACCGGCGCATTCGCCTCGACCGGCAGTACCGGCGGGCACGTTGGAATCGATGTACGCCGGCCCTTCCGGCTCGATGTAGATCGTGCCCGTCTCATCTGGATTGACTGGAACCTCAAAAGCATCAGCAGCGGACGGATCATCAGGTAATGTCGCCGCGTCGATGCAGGCCTGGTCTCTCGGCGGCTTCGGCCCCCTATCACAGATGATGTCGCCCTTCACCGAGTAGCCCTCACCTTCCGTCGCAAACCACTGGTAGGACATGCGACTGTGGTTCGAGTTGTTGCAGGGCGTGAACATCATCGTCATGTACTCCAGGTCGAAGACGACGTCGTTCCCGTCGAAGCCGTCGAAGATTTGTAAAGGGCCGTCGCGGACCGGACACCAGCCCTCCTTTCTCGATAATTTACATTCGGCGTTGCAGGTGGCTAGCGTTTGATGGCTTTGGTGGATCAAGGAGGAGGCCGTGGCCGCGAGCAGGACGCGGTGCGGTAACCCCATAGTGCTGCCCCTGGCTCCAGACGCACTGGCTGCCCCTAGGCGCGCCGCTGGCTTACCCACCCTGCACGGACGCTCTGGCGGCTGCTTTCTTGATCTCTCCCTCCCGTCGTAGTGGCGTCGTCTGCGCGAGTCCACGGCGTAAGGCCAGCGCTGTTACGCTGATAAAACTAGTGTGTCGATACGCTAGCCCTCGCACACCCCGACACCGGTGACGCGGCACATGAATCGGCGACGTGCGGTGTCTGCGCCCGCCGCCGACTAGTCCTAGCACCGTAACATAAACACGCACCCGGAACAGAAATCCCGGACGACGCGCCGAGTCGTCCGCTCTATGAAGGCGCGGCCCCGCGCCCGCCGCCGAAAAATCGGCGACTAAATAGAAAACTACCCGAAGAAAAACCTACCCCGCGCCCCCGGGTCAATCGCGGTGAACAGTGCGAGCAGCAGCCCGAACTGCAGTTGCAGCTTCGCCGTCCGCCCGACGTAGGGATTTAAAGCCGCGCCGTCCTCCTCCATGATACCTAGGCAGCAGCCCACGGCGGCCTTGGACGTAAGTATTGGTACCGCGGCCCACGCGTACGGCGCGCCGAATAAAAACGGTGAAAGGAACGTCAAAATGTGCGCCCACCGCACCAGATTGACGTACTCGCGGACGGCGAACATCTCACCAAAACGAACAGCGAGCGTTCGTTTGCCACATCGAGCGTCCGTCTCGCGGTCTCGCAGGTTGTTCACAACAATAATAGCCGTCGCCAGGAACCCTAAACAAACGGCCGCCACCATCAGTTGTGAGGGAGCGCCCGTGCCACCCGACAAGTAATAGGGCGCCACCGTCGCGACCACGCCAAAATACGCAAAAACGAACACGTCACCAAGCCCCGTATAACCGAGCGACACCCATCCTAAGCCGACATAGCCGAGCGGGTAGGGCCCGCCCGTGTAGGCCACCGCATTAAAAACTGATGTCCATGTAACGAACCACATCCATCGCCCCGCTTCTCTAGATAACTGCACGCCAATGCCGTGCGCGAGTCCTAATGAAAGCGTGGCGAGCCCCGCCGTCTGTCTCGGTGTTAACCAGCCTTTTTGGGTCGCCCGCGCTTGTCCTATCCTGTTTTCGTCGTCGGCACCCTTCACAAAGTCGGCGTAGTCGTTGTGCAAATTCGTGCCAATTTGAATCAAACACGCAAAGACCCAGAAGCGGAACGATTTATTTGCGTCGGCGGCGCTTCCTAATAAGTGCCGTGTGACGCAGTGGCCGACGAGCACGGGCGTGAAACTTGCAGCGAGCGTGTTCGGGCGGGACGCGAGCAGGAGGACCTTCCACAAGGGCGGTTTTGCTTCTTTTTGCTGGCGGCGCGTGGTGACCATGATTGTGATGCCGCGTCAATGTCTGGCGCTCTCCTTGTCAGTTTGCTCTCCTTGTTGTGTCAGAGAGCTGTGAGCAGCAAAGTGTCGCAGCGATGGCGAACGATGGCGAAGGCCAATGATACGGAGCAGTGGGGCAGTGATGCTTCGTGCCACGGAGCACCAATGCTTCCCGCTGCCCTTAACACCGCAGGCAAGCGCGGAGGGCTTGTTTGCTAGTGTCTTCATCCGCTAGCTGCTTATTGAGCCCTGGAAGCCGCACGGCCGCGCGTCCACCTAATTCACGGGTTTGCGCGTCGATTGTTTGTCATAGAATAGCCCTAGAAGCGAAACGACTCGGTTCATCGTACGCGCGTGACGTAAGAGAGAGAAGTCCTTAGTACATGTCCGGCACGACCCGCGCGGCCCCGAGCTGGTACTTGCGCCCCGGCGACCGCGAGAAGTACCCCTTCTTCGTGGCCTGGCCCTTGTAGGTCTCGGCCAGGTCCTCGATCTCGGAGACGCCGACCCACTTGCCCGCGTCCGTGTCCGGCTTGTCGTCGCGCCACTCGCCGATGAACTGCGAGCCGTCGGCGTAGGTGCACTCGCCGAGGCCGTGGCGGCCGTTCGCCGCGAAGTGGCCCTCGTACACATCACCGTTCGCCAGCTTGAGCACGCCCTTGGCTCTATGGTCGTTCCAGTACTCGCCTTCGAACGCGGACCCGTCCTGGTCGCGCGCCGCACAGGCGCCGCAGCGTAGGCCCTCGGCCCACATGCCCTCGTAGTGGACCTCCTTCGCGGCGTACTCGGTATCTCCTCGAGTTCCGGCCCACGTGCCCTGGCCGTGGCGCTCGTTTCGCTCCCACTCGCCGGAGTAGCGCCCGAAGGGATTTTCATAGTCACCGGTGCCCCACCGTTGCCCAATCTGCCACGCTCCTTGATAATCGCCGCCGTCCGCGTAGATTTGATGCCCGGATCCATGTCGCAGGTGCTTTTGGAAATACCCCTCATAGACATCGCCCGCCGGTTCATCTAACCGACCATGATATCTAGAATCATCTCGGAACTCGCCCTCGAACGTCGCGCCGTCGTGGTACTTGCTGGAAGCCATGCCGCACCTCAATCCAAGATGCCACGCGCCGGCGTACGCCGCCTCGTCGTCGGGCCTATTGATACCTTCCCAGTCCCCATAACCTTCTTCCTTATCTTGGGCCCAGCCGCCATGATACACGCCGTTCTCGTCCGTATGCGTGCCCTGGCCGTGGCGCATATCATCCAACCACTCGCCTTCGTAAGCAGCTCCCGACGCATATTTTTGTGAACCCCGCCCGCACCGCACGTCGTGGACGTATTTTCCGATGTAGTGATCTCTATTCGCGAACCGCATGTCGCCGTCGCCGTTTCTATTACCCGTGCGCCACGACCCCTTGTAGACGCCCCCATCCGCGTAGAACATGTCTCCAAGGCCATGCCTCAAGTCGTCCTTCCACAGGCCCTCATATTTACCACTATCAGCATAGTCGCAGACGCCCTCGCCGTGCCTTCCGTGTTCCCCGAAGTAGCCCACATAAACATCGCCGTTCGCGAGCCAATATGTGCCATAATAACGCCAGTCGTCCCTATATTCTCCTTCAAATCTAGAGCCGTCCTCGTACCTCGAGATCCCCTTCCCGTGCCGCAGGTCCTTCTCCCAGGCCCCTTCGTAGTAGCACTCGCCAAAGGTATCGCGGCCGGGGCCCTCCCACGTACCTTCTCCATGTCTCTTGTCGTCCTTCCAGTCCCCATTATACACACCACCTCCATTAACAGAAGCGTACTGGCAGCGGCCCGTGCCGCACCGTAGGCCCGCGACGAACTGGCCTTCATATAAATCGCCGTCCTCCGTCTCCTGGCGGCCCCAGCCCTCCGCTATACTTTCAAATTCTTCGGGCGGCTCCTCGTAGGAGTGGGCCAGTCGACATTCCGCGAAGCGGCATAAGTATTCACTTGTCTGGAGCCAGCACGTCGGCACGCTCGTCGAGTCGACAACATCAATACCCACGATGCTATCCCGCGATACGCCGCCCATACACAAAATGCCCGGCGCGTCCTCCAGGTCGACATATATGGAAGCGTGGCCGCAGGGCTGATACGCACGACCCATCTTCGGCTGCGACGTTTCATTTCGCCACTCTCCAGCTGTCAAATCTAATGAAGCGACGTGGTCTTCTTCCAGCTCGCACGGCACTTGTAACACTACGGCATCATCGTCTTCCCCATGGAACGACGCGCCGCCCAGCACTACCAACGTATACGTATCTCCTTTGACGTAGCTGACAGCAGCATGCAGAAAGCGCGGCACGCCCTGCTGCTCCACACAGGCCCAGCGCGCCGGGTCGCGCACGGGCACCTGGTCCAAGGACGGCTCCTCGTAGAAGAACGCTGCCGAACAGTCGAGGACCCATAACTCCTCAGGAGCATGAACTAAATCGCCATTCTCCGCCATTACAAGACCACCTGTTAACACAGCGTGCCTCGCCTTGTCGCCCACACTCGTGAGCGTGTGGAAGGCCCTTTGACTAGGCTTCGGGCCTTTTGTTGCTAGTTTCGCCCAGGCCGGGGATTGGTGCGGATCCAAGACCCAGACGTCGTCCATTAATGAATTGCCATTGCGGCCGCCGTGCACGAGGCCGACATCCCTTGAGTTCGTGCCAGCCACAACACAGTGGCCGGCCCAAGCTCGTTGTGACGGCCCGACGCCGTCGAGTGAGGTCCATTTTAACCCTCTCGTTGACAGTTCCGCGGCGTCCGTGCTCTCCAAAGTATTACTTTGTGAATCCTCGCCCCCGAAGACATATAAAGCATCTTGGATCGAGAATGCGGCGTGGCCCCGTCTGTTCACAACACCTTCGTTCTCGCTGTCCGGCGACCACACGCGCCCATCGCCTTGGACGAGCGAGGCGCACCTCACCTTCAACCAGGGGTCCGCCACGCCACTCGCGTTCGGGTCGTGTCCGCCCACTAAGTACAAGACGTCGTTCGCCTGGCTCAGCGTCGCACCTAATAAAGATGATGAGGTCGTCGCGTCGAGCTCGTGGACCTCCTCGATGGTCTGCTGGCCCAGCATGCCGCCCTTGACGGCGCCCAGGGCGAGCATGGTCTTTGCTTGCTTGCTCTCCCTGAATGTGGGATGGGGCGCTACTGCCTTGCTGCCTTTTTGGCTTGCGCGCCGGGAGAACGGCGGGTCCTCGGGCCTTGTGCCTGCCGGTGGCTGCCCTTCCGCTTCCTGCGGCGGACGCGGCAGTAAGGAAGTAAGGAGGGAGAGCCTTTGGCGCTACTTGTGTGATGCTTGTTGGGAGCTGCGCTCGCTAGCGGTCCAGGGCGTGGGTTAGGCGTGCTGCGACGGCTGGGCTTAGGTTTTGGAGACGAGATACGACGCGCTAGTGCCTCACATCTCGCTAGCTAACTCACCGAGGCTGCTCGTAAAAAAGCGCGCACAGGCGTGGACGCACGCGGCCGCGCGTTACTGTGGCCTTGAGCGGTGTTTTCAGACCGCAGTTCCATATTTGTCGCGTCGGCGCTGGATCCAGCAGCTCTGTGCCTGGCCTAGACGCTGGCCGACGCGCAGACGCTATCGACGCGCATCACTCAACCTCTCATATATCATGGCGCTCGCGCGCGCCCTCTACCGCGCGGCGCTGCGCGGCGCGAACGCCGTCGAGCAGGCGGAAGGAGGACTGATGCAAATTGTGGGCCCTGTGAACAGCGCCGAGTGGGGCTCATACCGCCGCCTGACCGCGCAAGACCGCGACGAGCAGCGAGAAGCACTGTTTCCCTGGGCGTCAAGTGAGGATACACTGTCCGAGCCTGGTGCACTCACCGGCGGGGAGCTACGGGCGCTCGCGCGGCGGCGGTTCCGTTCAACAACAACTGACGCCGACGCGGCCTTGGACGATGGCTTGGCGGCTCTGAGGGCGTTGAACGACCTCCTGGAAGTGCACGCCGGCAGCGCGTCCCGAGAAACGGCCGGCGTGCGCGTGTCGGCCACCGCTTCTTACGTGGGCATGGCCAACTCGGGCGCCCACGTCTTCGCGTATCGGTTGCGCATCGCGAACAAGCGGCCGGACACCGTGCGGCTCGAGTCGCGGCGCTGGGCGATCACGGCCTTGCCCGACGGTGAAGAAGAGGAGGTCGTGCCGCGCGGGTCTCCGGGAGTGGTCGGTCAGACGCCGACACTTGGGCAAGGTGCCGAGTTCGAGTACGCGTCGGGCACGGAGCTCCAGGCCGCGGCCGGGACCGTGCGGGGCAGCTTCGAGTTCGTCTCCCTCGAGGGCGACGAGCGCTTCGAGGCCGAGGTGCCGCCCTTTGCGCTGGTGGCGCCTCCCTCCTCCGAGGCTAATATGTGAGTGTTACTTAGGCCGGTCGTCGTCGCCGCGGTAGAAGGCCTCGGTCGCGCGCGCGACGGTCTCGAGGCGCTCCGTCGTCGACGCTGTTTTCGACGCCTCGACCATCTGTTGCACGCGGAGCGTCCTTGCTCTCGCCTCCGCGAGCGCGTGTTCGTCCGCTTGGCGCAGGCGCGGGATGCGGCTCATCTCCTCGCGGGCGCGCGCGAGCCTCTGTTCCGGGTCGGTGGCCGCGGTCAACGCGTAGACAACCGCGCCGGCCGCTGTCCCGCCACCGCATGCGAGTACAATCATCTGTGTTGGTGAGAGCATTTTGTATGCCCTCCAGAGACGGTGCGAAGCCATCTCTATGCTTTCAGTGTCTCTCAGTGGCTGGTGAGACTGTGCTCTTGCGCGACGCACTGGTGCTTAAGCTAGCACCAAGTTGATCGACTGGTTACCGCAATGTATTGAAACCACCTCGGTCCATAAATAACACCGCAGCACTGGCGAATAGGCCGCCAGCTTGCTGGCTGGCCGGCTTGCCTTGCTAGTGTCTCACAGCCGCTAGCGCACGCGGGATTTCCTCAGCGCGGAGCCCTGAAAGCCGCCTCCCTGGGAAAGCTAGGGCACGCAGCCCACGGGTTTCGGCAGCAAATAACAACTAGGTTCATACATGCCGAGCTTATCTCGGGGGATAGGATCTTGGGTCTTCTACGATTTCGGAGGATTCACGAGAAGGCGTAATTGCGTCGCGGCCTTGCGTAAGGTCCGGTCCGCCTTGCACGTCGTGCACGTCTTGTGCCGCTTGCCGCTCGAGGCGAAGCGCTCGAACTCCACGCCGTCGCAAGGTCTGCCGCCGCAATTCGCGCAGGGCGTCTCGTCCGAGGTTCGCGGGACCGGCGCGGCGTGCGCCGACGTGCGCCGGGCGGCGGGCGCGTCCGCGCGCCGGCGCTTGCGCGACGGCTTCGGGACCAACTGGCCGTCGACGACCGGGTTCGTCTTGCGCCGAGCTTGGACGTCTGCAGGCAGCGCGCGGACCGCCGCGTTGTAGGCGTGCGCGGCCAGCTCCTGAGTGTCGTGGAGGCCGGCCGAGCGCGTCTTGCCGTCCGCGTCTTTCACGTCCGCTCTCCAGCGCTTGTTCTGCGAGTCCCACCGCACGCCCCAAAACTTGGAAGCCCTGATGAGCTTAATCCCGCGTGGGCTAGCGGCCTTTAAGACACTAGCAAGCAGTCGGGGGGAGCGGGAGGGGTACGGGGGACCCCGCGACGTAACTAGCCTGAGCCTGAGCCTGAGCAGTAAAAAACCAGCGCCGCCACGCTCGCGACTCATTCGTCGAAGTGCCGAAGACGCGTCGCGTCACGCTCGCGCGTGGAAGGAGTCTGTACTAATACGATGCTTAGGCCGGAGCGGGTGCCGGCGCGTCCGCCGGCGCCGCTGGCGCCGGCGCCGGCGCCTCGGCAGCCGGTGCCGGAGCCGGCGGCGCCGGCGTGAGGATGGAATCCGGGAAGTCGAGCGCCCTGACAATATGCTCCCGCGTGTCGATGACCGTGATCGGCGTCACGGCCACGGTGCAGCCCGAGAGCTTCCACTTGATCAGCTTCTCGCGCATGGGCAGCGGCGGCCGGAAGAAGGGCTCGCGCTTCTCCCGCGGCGCGCGCGGCTTCGGCACGCGCGGTTTTGGAGGAGACGGCGCGCCGCCGCCGTTCGTGACGCCGCGCTCGTCGCGCGGCGTCAGGCGCCGGTGGTGGTCCAATAACTCCACCAGGCGCAGCGTGTCGCCCTGCAGCACGTCGTCCTCCAGGTTCCTTCTCAAATCCCGCGCCATCTCGCCCAAGTCGGCGGATTCCCTCGCGTTGAGCAATTGATCTAAAATATGAGCCCACAGCAATTTGTTCCATCCTCTCGGTATCCTCTTCTCCAATGTAGTGACGGTCATGTCGATACCTTTGGGCTGGATCGCGCTCACGACCATTTGATACAATATACAACCCAGGCCATATAAGTCGACCTCGCGCCGCCACGACGCCCCCTTCAGCGCCGGCGGCCAGGAGTACTCCTTGACCTGGCACGGCGACCCTTCGCTGGCAAGAAACCTTTGATCCTTGTCGAACGACCGGAGGTCCACAGATATCGAGTAGTCGATCAACGTCACGTTGTAGCCAGCGGCCGCAATTGCGTCCACAGAAGGCCCGGCACCGACCCTTGTCAGGTCCCCGTAGGACACGCATAGGTTGTCCGGCTTGATGTCCGCGTGGATAAAATCGGCCAGATGCATCTCCTGGCACGCCTCTAGCACACCGATGGCGTAGAATAGGGCCACGGGCTCCGTGAACCGCATCTTCTGGGCGTTTAACGCTTTGGCCAACTCCGATAAAGTCGTGTCGGCGAGCCGCATGGCCACCGCTGACGCGTCTCGATAGCCGAAGAACGCCTTGAGGTCGGCTAAACCACCGACACTCTGGGGGCCGTCTACCGGTGGTGCCTGGGCCGGTCGTATACTTCTAGCTTGAGCATGAACTAAAGGAGGCCCTCGGTCCAAGACGCGCGTGTAGCCGCGGGAAATATCATATTTCAGGTCCGCCTTGGTCCCTCCCTTCTCACAAAATTCCTTCGCAGTCGTCGAACCCTTGTAGGCGTCGAACCTCGCTGCGGAGGCGCCCTTCTTGGGGTTCTCGGTCTGGATCTCGAGGGGCGCGGCGCGCTCGATCAAGCTGCGCGCGTCCTCTGTTAATGGAGGCAGGCTCGTGGGATCTGGTGCCGGCGCGGGCGCCTCCGCGGGCGCGGGCGCCGGCGCCGGCGCCGGCTTCGCGGGCCGCCGCCGCGACACCTCGGCCAGGACCTCGATCTCGCGCTCGATGCCGAAGCGCCGCTCCCTTCCTCCATTAAAACAGATCTTCAGCGCGCAGCGCTGCGCGTCCTTCCCCTTGAGCGTCACGTCGAAGACGGCGCCAAACGCGCCGTGGCCCAAGGCCCGATTCGCGACCCACGGCGCATTTAACAAGGAGGAGGAGCCGTCCGTGCGGGGGACCATGGTCACGTGCTCCGGGGTGGTGGCGGACATGGGCTTCTTTTTCAGCTTAAACGGCTTGTTTTCCCGGGCGATCGTCGGTTCCACGCCGAGCTGCCTCAGGTCATCGTCCCGCCCCGGAAAGTCGCGTTTCAACAGTATGTAGGGATCCAACACTTCACCAGTAGCCTCGGGCGTCGGGTTCTCCTCGTCCCAGGGGTTCTTCTTCGGCGCGAAGTCGTCGTCCGAGTCCTCCTCTTGGGGCTTGGGCGCGGGGGCCGGCGCCTCGGCGGGCGTCTCTTCCGGCGTCACCTGTTGGGGCTCCTCAGCTTCAGCGGCCTCCTTGGCGGGCTCGGGCGCCGCGTCGTCGTCCTCGTCCATGGCGTCGCCGCGCTGCGCGGCGACCAGGCGCTCGACGAGCGTCGGCTTGTTGCCCTCCGTCGACGCGCCTACGGCCTCCAGCGCGGCCCGCAACTCCTCGACCTTCATGCGCTTGGCCGCGCTCGTCGCGGCGGCCGCGTCGAAGGCTTCTGGGGCCGGCTCCTCCGTCGCTTGCGGCGCGGCCGCGGCGCGCTGCGCGGCGATCAAGCGCTCGACGAGCACGGGTTTCGTGCCCTCGGTGTCCTCCGCGCCCGCGGCCTCGAGCGCCGCGCGGAGCTCCTCGACCTTCATGCGCTTGGCCAGCCGCGTGGCGTCCTCCTCGTCGAAGGCGGCCGGCGCGGCTTCGTCGTCGTCATTGTCGCCGGCCGCGGCGCGCTTCTTCGCGGCGACAAGGCGCTCGACGAGCGCCGGCTTGTTGCCCTCGGTGTCGTCGACTCCCGCGGCCTCGAGCGCTGCGCGCAGCTCTTCAGATTTCATGCGTTTGGCCTGCCGCGTCGCTTCTTCTTCGTCGAAAGCATCCGGCGCTGCGTCGCCCGCGCCGGCTTTCCGTTTCATCTGTGCTCTCTCTGAAAAGTTGATACCAGTTTCCGGGCACTAGGGCTCGAGATTTCTTCGCTTAGGCAGCGATTCTCACAAATGCTGATGCTCCGCGCTGTGCGGGCACCCACAGCGCTGCGTAAGCGCGCACGTCGCTTTGTTCAGCGTCGTCGCGCCAGCTTGATGGACGGCGGTCTAGAGCTCCTAAAATAAATTGGTTGGAGGCCTGGAGAACTTCTACGATACGTCTCGTTCGGCTGGATCTCAAAAAAAAACGCGGCTGCGTCTGTTGTGTTTTTTGAAAACGGGTTTTGCGTGATAGCCGAGCGAACGCTATCGACGCGACGTCTACTCCTACGGTTATACTAAGGTTAAGCGCGGAGGATTGCGCGCCTGCCACGGGTGCCGCCGCCGGTCGCGCGCGTCGACGCCGAGCCCCGCGACATAAGCAGAGTAGTTCGCCGGGCACTCCGCGGGGTCGCGCCGCCGCTTTCCTTCAAAGCACGCGCTCTCCACGACCATGGCGTACGACCGGTCCCCGTACATTACGGAGAGGGGAAACGTCTGCTGCTCGCTGTGGTGAAAGATCTGCGGTAACAGTTTCGGCGACTGGTGGAGGCCCGGCCGACATTGGGCGCCGCCCGTGTTCGAGAAGCGCCAGCCCGGGCACCGCGCGTCGATCGCCTCGCAGGTCAGCGCCAGCGGCGCCGGTACTTTATGTAACTTCGCATGCCGAGCCATGCGGTACGTGAACCGTGCGTATAATTCGCCCTCGTAATCGATACATCCCTCCCGGCCCGCCATGGATAGTATCGTGTGCCAGAGCGAGTACTGGTCCTTGAACCTGCGTTCGGCGTGCCACGTCGACGGCGTCGACGCGATCACCCTTGTATTTCCACGCGACAACGCACGTGCACCTATGTCTGAACCACGCCGCGAAGAAGTCGCGGCCCCGGCTCGTATCGCGCACGTAGAAGCGGCTGCCGTGGACCTTCCACCGGAGCACATCCATGATCCCGAAGCTCACGTCGCTCAAGTTGGCCCGGTGCTCCGCGAGCAGGTCCTGTGGAATCGTCCAGGGGTGCTCCACCACGGCATCCAGATCGACGTAATACAAGCCCGTCACACCGGGCGCGGCCAGGGTCGCTAGGGTCGCGGGCATTTTTACCTGTGTGGAAATCAATCAGTATAGACACCCTCCGAGCAGCCTTCAACAACGATCTTCGTGGTCTACAGCGCTTGGAAGAAGCCAAGTCATTGTTACTAAAAACGATGCCCGTGGCGCGACGCGTCCTCGGAAAGAATGATAGACTCACGCTCAAGATGAGGGCGTGTTACGGGCAGTCGCTCTACATGGACGCTGACGCCACGCTCGACGATCTCCGCGAGGCCTTGACGATTTTCGAGGAAATTGAACGGATCGCGCGGCGCGTGCTTGGTGGCGCGCACCCGCTCCTAGTATCAATAGAGCGCGACCTGAAAAGGTCGCGAGCGGCGCTCCGCGCCCGCGAGACGCCGTAGTCGAGATACAAGCTCACCATATAACCTAAATTACCCGTACCCGCCCGCCACAGCCCGGAACCGCGGCCGCGCCGCGCCCGGCGCCCGCGACGACCTAAATGAACAAGCCCCACCCTTCCGCGGCGCCGTCTCGTTCAAAGCATCCACATCATCGTAGAACAGCGCGAGCGTCACATTGCCCGGCCGCGACGTGTCCGGCAGGCCCTTCGTGGCCACGTAGCGCCCGTAGGCATCGTCCAGCGCCCTCAAATCCACGACGACCAGGGGCCCCGCCATGCTCAGGGGCACGAAGTAGGGCTGCGAGCCCTTGCGCGACTGGCGCGTGTTCGCTTTCAGGTTCGCGAACGTCAAATCGGAGACCAACCACTGCTCGTTGAGTTTCGGGCAGTAGTAGACCCGCAGCGGGCACGCGGGGCCGTCCAACTCCGGTTCTAAGAGAGCGAGTCCATCGGAAGCGACCTGGGCGAGGTCCACTCGTCTTATTTTCAGAAAGACCGCCGCCACGGCCCTGAGATAATTCGTCTCCCGCGAATTGTAGGACTCCGTGTCGTCATCGGCCGCGAAGGCCGCCGCGGCGATGCCCGCCGCCTCGGCCGCCGTCGCCGCCGCCATCGATTCCACGCGAGCTTTTTGCACGAACTTGTCGTAAGGGAGTTGTGGCCGTAACATGAACCGATCGAGGTACCGTTCCGAGTGCGTCTCGTTCGGGCTCCGCGCCCAGCTCCGTACCTTGAGCAGGTTGTAGGACGGCTCCGACGGGTATTGCGCGTCCACGGCGCCGTCCGCGAGGACGTCGATGATGCGTGCTGTCCGTTTCAACGCGAAGGAGCTCCGTGCCCGTTTTGTGGATGAGGGAAAGTCCCGCATCGTCCGCGGGAAGAGGACGGCGTCCGGTGCGGAAGCGATGCGCGCCGTTTTCAGCGACGCCGTCGGCAGGTCGCTCAGCCGCATCTGCAGTAAAGCCGCAAGCTCGCGCGGGCACCTATCTAGCGTGCGATGGTTCCGCGCGCCATTGACGGCGTAGTCCGCCACGGGCACGTCGACGAAGCGCGGCGGGCCCAGGCCCGCGCGCGCCGCGACGAGCGAAAACGCGACGTCCGCGCAGCCCTCGACGGCCTCAATATAAGCGTGGACTTGCGGCGGTAATAAACACCGGTACACGAACAACAACCACGCCGGCACGACCTGCAGGCGCCCCGACGCTAATGAGAAGGTAGAGTCCTCGCCGCCGTTCAGTCCGACCTCGAGACCGTCGTGCGACATAACTAGGGGCGAGGCAATGCCGTTGCCCTCTCGAGCCGCGGCCAGGAGCGCGTTGAGGGACGACGCCGCCACGACGACGTCGTCGTCGGCGATGAGGACGTGCGACGTCGGGACCTCGAACAGGGCATACCGCCGCGACGGCGCCGCGAGGGGCCGCCAGAGCGTCGTGACGGCGACGTCGTCTCCTCGCACACTCTGGACGACGCGCCGCGGCGCCGGGTCCGCGAGCGGCGGGCTTGAAGAGTGCCACGCGATCACAATTCGTTGTACAATTGTAGCGTTCGCGTAGTGCGCCACGAGCCGCTCCAGAGGTATTTTTGAGCCATCAATAGTATTCAGGACCACGGTCAATCTATGGGAGATGCGGTCGTGGCCTCTGGTGGCGAAGTGGGCCTGGACGTTTTCACAGGTTCTAGGTCTACATAACGCCAGCGTCGAATTCTGGCAGAGGGCCACGCCGCACCTTTGGCCTTGAGATGGGAGATGGGCCGCATATCCGACACATCCCAAATGGGCGGCGGCCTCGTCGGCACTGCGCCACCACCGCAACCATATTACTGGTGCGTAGCTCCCCACAAAATCTTTGAATGAGGACACCCACCAGGGCTTCGCGCCGCCGCCGAAATGAACTGAAGCGAGGCCGTCTTTTGGCGGCGCGCCCATGCGCGGGTCCTTCGCCTCGAGCTCCCAGCGCCGTTCTAGACCTTGTACGAGTTTCGCGCCCGCGGGATCATTTAGATGAGACGGCGCCAGGGCGTACTTCGCATCTAACGAGAGCCAGCCTTCCGTCTCGGTATCAAACCGCGCGTCTTCCGAACGCTCGTCCAGATGGCCTTCCAGGACTTGCGCTGCACCTACATCATCAAATTGCGCCTCGCTCCTTGTGATAAGATTCTCCATCATGTCGATAGAGGGCTTCAATACTAATAAAGATGAAGATAGACTTCGAGGGTAGGCGCCCGGCACCGCACCGAGCCGGTCTATTTTAAATAACGTATCGAGCGGCGCGACGACAAACGAGTCCGCGTCCAAATAAATGACACGATCAAAACCAGATAACCCGAACGCGCGGAAGCGGGCGTAGCGGCAGTGCGTCGCCTCCGTAAAGCCCGGCCAGCGGACGTCCCTAATTCGCCGCGGCTTCACGCGCGACGGTGCCATCATCCGCAAAATCTCCTCCGGTTGTTTTGATACGCGCGGCGTCAGCAGCGGGATGAGCTGCGCGTCCGTGCCGGATCTTAACAAAGACATGAGCAGCACGACGGCCGGGAGCGCGTCGCCATCATCACACAGTACAGTGGAGAAGGCCTTCCTTAACACTTTTGGTGCCTTCGCGTTCGCCTCGCGCGCGGCTTTGTCGGATGCGGCGGCCTCCTTGACGAAGAGCGGCGCCTTGGTCGTCGTCGCCACGAAGTGCTGGCGCCCGCGGAGCGCCGGGCGGCCCTCATCGTCCGTGCGCACGCTCATGGAGTAGAAGACCATCAAGCCGCAGCCGTACACCAGCAGCACGATGAGTGCTAGCGCGGCGACGCTGCGGACGCGCATTGTGCTGTGCTTTTTATCTATCCATGCGGCATCTTAAGCATGCATTTTACCGATGCAACTGCACCGATACAACTGCTGTGCGCGCGCCGCGCGTATGCAGGATAACAGGCGAAAAATCGGTGTGAAAAAACGGGTTTTTCGCGGCGTTTGCAGCTCTGCAGACAGTGCCAAGGACACGAAGGATACTTACACGCACACCGGACCTCTCCACTACGCCATGGCCGCGGCCGAGGAGGGGTTGTCGCACTCGAAGGACGGCGTGTCGTCGGACGCGAACGTCGCCGCGGCGAGCTCCTTCATGTCGCGGCGCGTCAGCGACCAGTCGAAGAGCTCGACGTCCTGCTTGAGATGTTCTGGAGAAGACGACTTCGTCACAACGGCCGCGTTGAGCTGCACGAGGTACTTGAGAGCGACTTGCGCCGTACTCTTATTGTGGGCCTTGGCGATCTTCGTCGTGAGCGGTCCAGATAATATGTCCGACGAGCCGTGGCCGCCGGACCCAATCGGCGAGTAGGCCTGCGAGACGATGCCGCGCGCCGCGTTCATCGCGAGGAAGCCCTGAGGGTCGGGACCCATCCCTACGTGAAGCTGGAACTGGTTGACCATCGGCTGCGTTTTAAAGTCCTTGAGGCACTGCAGGCACTGCGTGCAGTAGTTGGAGACGCCGATAGCACTAAACAGGCCCTTCTCGTACGCCTTCACGGCCGCGGACCACTGCGCCTTGATGGCGTCGCATTCCGTGCAGGAGATCTTCTTGTTCGCGTTGCACAGGGCCATGCCGTCCTTGCCGACCAGACACGGGGGGAAATGGAGCAGTACTAAGTCGACGTGGCCCTGCAAGTCGTAGCTGCTGTTGAGCAGCGCGTAGTCCTTTTGCAGGTACGACAACGTGGAGCCCTCGCAGTCCTTTGGGTCGACTCCATTAATTCCGCAGCCAGGCACTTTCGTAGTTATGAATATGTCCTTTCGGGCGAGCTTCGCGGCAGCCGCGCCCGCGGCGAGGCCCTTGCTCACGCCCGCCTGGTTGCCGTAATCATATGCCGTATCGATGTGCCGAAACCCTGAAGTTAGCGCCGCTTGCACGCTGGCTTCGGCTTCGCCGTCGTCGTACTGCCATGTGCCCGCGGACATGGTCGGCATGACGAGACCGTTGCGGAGCACCTTGCCCTGCTGATTCTGATTATCGTACCCGCCCGTTCCGGCAGCGATCGTCGGCATCACCACGCCGTTGCGCAGCGTCTTGTGCGAGGTGGAGCCATCCTGCTCTGTTTGTAGTGCCGCCACCACGCGCGTTGTCGCGAAAACGAGGCAGAACAGAGAAGTTTGGGTCATCGCGACGCAAATGCTGGTTCCTTACTCCACAGATCGTGTGCGATACAGCACCACCTAGCTGCTCTCTTGTGTCGACCTAGTGCATCGACACACTAGAAAGCAGCTCCGCGTCGTAAGTACAAAGAACAACACTAAGAACCCCCTCGCGCAACCTTGTCCGTCGCGGCAACCGGCTCCGACGAAGCCTCCCTTTCCATCCGCCCGAAGAACGCCGCCGCCGCGTCGCCCCAGTAGCTGATCCCCGGCAGCACCGGCGCCGGCGGCACGCAGCTCCGCGCCGCGAAGCTGAACTCCTTGCGGACGGCCTCGGGCGTCGGCGGCTGCGTGCAGGTGCGGCCCAGCCTCTCGTCGGCCTTTTCGTCCATGGGCGACCGCGCGTTGCCGAAGCTGAACGTGTAGGGGCACTTGCCGGCGCGCCGCGCGCAGGCGTCTCTATATAAAACGCGCACGAAGCTGGACTCGTAGTTGTGCACGACGGCGTCGCATGGTGCGGAGAGTTCCAACGACGCGTAGATTCTAGCGAGTTCCCGCGGGCCTCTTCTAAAATGCCCCGAGAGGCGCTCGCCCGATTTCGACGAGCAGCTCACGTTGCGCGGGACCGGCTTTAGTAAATTGTCCATACCCTCCCGTCGGCAATGCGCAGAAACGATGCCCGTGGCCGGCGCGACGCGCGCCTTGACGGAGGGGCCCAGGTTTTGCGCGTCCTCGCGCACGTCGCCGTCGTCACTCAACGCGAGGAGCTGGTAGGGTCCCCCCGTGTGGAACAGACCTTCCAATAACGCCACGGCCTCCGCCGCGTACCGATGGAAGTCCACGACGAAGCTCCGCGTCTTGTGCGTGCGGACCCACCGGTCGTACAGCTTGTCCCCGTGGCGCATATACACGAACGCACACTTCCCCGTCGACTGCGCGTCTACTAACGACGTATCATCCGCAAAGGGCCGCTTCTCGAGAGCGATGGCCCGTCTCAACCGAAACGCGGGCCGGTGCCACAGCGCTTTGTGCAGCAGCGCCAGCCGTCTATCGGAATCCCAGTGCTCGCCGGCGCCCCCGGGGAAGACGAGCTTCGAGGAGCTCCCGTGGGCGTTCGTGTGGGGCGGACACTTCGCGTGGGACGGCTCCTTGCGGTCGCAGAGGAACACTTCCGCATCGTTCTCCTCGACGGCCACCAGGGCCCTTCCAGAAAACGCCGACGAGCTCCCCAGCAGTTTTGAGGCTGCGGCGGACGTGGGACCCTGCAGAGCCGCCTCGACTTTCCCATGGGTCCCGCAATTATTCCAAGGTAAAAAGAAGCACTCCCAGCGGCCGCGCGCCGCCCCACAAAAGTTCGCGTCGTGGTCGGCCATGTACCAGCCCTTTGTTGACAAAGGGTGCTGCACGGAAAACCCCCGCCTCAGCGTGTCCATGCCGACGTGGTCGTACTTGTTTAATGTGGCGCCGAGCGTGGCCAGCTGGCCCAGCGTGACGACCTTTTTACAAGCGTCCGCGCGCTCGAACTGGTGCCGCCGCCACAACTGCGCGAGCTGCACCTCTCTACTATCGTAGCGCAGCTCCACGACATTGCCGCCATCAAAGGGTTCTCTGGCTATCACATACTCCAAACGCGTCGTCAAAAATCGATCCACAGCCTCCGCCGCGCCCGACGCCGCGTACCAGTCGGCGCCCGTCGTGATGTGAGCCGGCGCCGTCGCCGTGAGCGTGGCTTTTACAGAGGCGGCCCGCGCGAGGGCGGCGTCGAGTTCCGGTGCTTTGCAGGTCGTCTCGAAGCCTCGTGTAGATACGGTCCAGAGCGTCGCATCGCTCGCCGCCGCGCCCAGGGCCGCGGCGGAGCACCACAGCACGCCTCGACGCGCGCGCATGGCAGCGTTTTGTCGCCCTTCGCGGGCAGCCCCTTTTTGCTAGTGTGTCGATACGCTAGTCCATCGACCCGGGCGGGCGGCGCCGCGGAGACACTGGAGCAAGCGTTGCACTTGTCTAGCTGTATCGACAGCACCACTATATAGCTCACGACAGCGCGGACAGCAACGACAGCAGGGGCGCTCTTGTATTCCACAGCAAAAGCACAGAGACCCTGCCGCAGCGAGCGCGGCGCTCTCGGCGCGCGGACAGCAAAGCAAAGCACAGATGGCGCCGAGCGAGGCCGCGCTCAACCGCGTGCTCTACGTATTACTGGTCGTCGTGGGCTACCTTTTTGTTAAAGAGATCCAGCGAGCGTACGAGCGGCGGCAGCAGGCGCTCTGGGACGATCGGTATATAGATGCGGTCCGGTCGTCGCCGGAGGAGTGGAAGCTCGGGTGGCGGCTCGAGGACCTGGAGTCGAGATTGCATTCGCAGCGGCGCGTCGCCGACGCGCTGGTCGAGGCGGACGGCGACGTCCAGCACCTCGTCAGCGCCGTGTCAGGCCACGAGGAGGAGTACCACACGCTCGAGTGCGTCTCGCGGCTGGGGAAACGCGTCCACGTCGGGCCGGACGAGTTCCGGGACATGGCAGATAGGTGTCATTTGTTTAGTGGCCTGGACGTGAAGGACGCGCCGGCCGTGGGGCCCCACGAGCTCTTTGAGGTCGTGCCGCTGGACGACGACGCCGTGGGACTGCGGGCGCTGTCGAACGGCAAATTTGCAAGGGTGAGGGCTCCCGGGGACGAGGCCGCCTGGGACGCGCCCTGGACGGTGGAGTTCGCCTCGCCGCTGCCCGGGCTGGCCGAGCGGTTTCAATTACGAAACGTGCCGAAGCCGTCGGCGCAGGATGATGTGGTCAAGGCCCAGGACGACCCGTGGTCCGGCGTGACGACCACGGAGACCAAGGCCTGGGCGCCCTCATTCAGGATGCTCTACTCGGAGCTCATGCGCGGCTTCATCCAGTGTAATGGTGGTGGGGTTTCCGAACCGGTGCGCGGCTTTTCGGGGGAAGCGGCGGACGAGTCGCGCGTCGAGTTCCAGTTCAATCTTACAAGAGCGGATGCCGCGACGATGGCCAAGGCCCGGGAATTGCTAAGGGCTTCAAAGCATGCCGAGGAGTTGAGAGCCAAGGCCGACGCGAATAGACGAGCCCGTCTCCTGGCCGCCTCGGCCGAGCGGGGCGAGAAGTTTAGTCTCAAGCCCGGCGAGCGGTTACCGAGACGGGGGCCCTCGGCCCTCGATTCTGGCTCTTTGAAAGTAGCGATAGTGGTCCCGATGACCTCGCGGGGCACCGACATGGACGGCGTCGAGCAGTCGCCGCTCTGGTTCAATTTGTTTGCGTCGTTCGTCGAGTCCGTAGACTGGCGGAAGAACCGCCACACCTTCCACTTCTACCTCGGCTTCGACAAGGGTGATGATTTGTACGACACGGGCGACGCGTGGTCGGAGATGCGGCGCGCGTTCCGGGCCCACGCGAAGAAGGCGTTGCGGTGGCTGGGCTACGGCAACTTCACGGTGGCGAGGGTCGCGGACGGTATTGATGGTTCAAAACCGGCCGTCGATTTGACACTGGTCCATTTCTCGGACACGGCGGGCGCGCCGTCGCAAGCGGTCTCGCAGATGGCGAGGATGGCCGTCGGTGAGGGCGCGGACTACATCTATCAGTTGAACGACGACACGATTTTAGTCTCGAAGGACTGGTTGGCGACGGTGTGGAAATCAACATCGTCAGCTCGATGGCGTGGAGCTTCCACGCCGTCGACGCGACGCTGTCTCCGTAACTCACCGGCTGATTTCCGCGCAGGTTGACGACGTACGTGAAAGCGCTCGAGAACTCGGAACTCGCGCCGAACCTAGGCGTGGCCGGTCCCTTGGACACGACGAACGAGCGCATTCTGACGCACGCCTTTGTGCACAAAACGCACGTCGAGATCTTCGACGCGTTCTTCCCGGCGACCTTCAAGAACTGGTGGAGCGACGACTGGATCAGCCAGGTCTACGGGAGAAGGGCGACCTTCGCGCGCAAGGACGTCGTCGTCACGCACAACGTGCAGTCCCAGAAGACGGGCGCGTGGAACAGATATGATGTGGACCACTCGGCGCAGCACGCGTTGCATTCCGAGGTCCAAAAGGGGTTCGTGACGATCAACGCGTGGCTGCGGGCGCGCGACTACCCGAGCATGCCGCTGCCTAGCGTCTGCGGCTACTCGCCGATGATGACGCGGGTCTACGAGCGGCTGATGAAGCGGGGGTTGTAAGAGTGCGTGTGGTTTCTTGGTTCTTCGTTTTCGGGGCCCGGGATTTAACGCTTGTAATAGTCCCCAAGTAGATTATGATTTTAGATTCACACTTTACTCCACTTTGTGTGTCGTGAGCGGGCATACGTGGTCGCTTCCCGCGTCAGATGCGTATCAACAAGATGAAGCGCATGAGCACTACGAGACTCCTTCGAGGCGCCCTCACGGCGATGGCGTGGCGTCAATCGTCTTCGAGAGGCCTAGCACGGCCATCGCCGCTAACCCTTCCACCGGAGCTAGCGTAATCGACATACTAGCAAATTCAAAGATACGCCTCGATAGCGTTAAAAGAATGACCCAAATTCTGAATACATCCTAGTCGTTCGCCGAGACCAAATATTTCAGCGTAGCGGCCCGGGAACATACCCTCGCGCCTCCCGCAAGGCACCGCCCGCGACATTCGCGGATGAACCTTACGGCTCGCCAAAATACACCAGCGCTTGATGCCGCCATCTACCGTCCAAATGGTACATTATATCAACTCCAGCCCAGTTTTCATACACACTCGACGGAACCGGAGCCGACGGCCCGCGCTCGGAGGGCGGGAGAAGAATTCTACTAGACAACTCCCGAGTTTATGTTGGTTTCCTTCCGTTTGTTAGTGGTAGAGTCCATTTAGGCCGATTGAACACTTACCTATCTATTTTAGATATTCCGTTAGAGCCGCGCGATTCGACGAATCCGCGACCCAGCGTTTACACGATGAGGGCATTTTAAGCCGGACCCGCGAGTATCAGCGACGACACCATCCAGATGGACCATAACGCCGTTGTTCTATTCACGATCGACTGACTTGCCCGTTCTCCGCGGACGACGGTGCGTACGCGGGGCACTGGAAAGGCCCCAGACCCGTGAGTTATGAAATAAATTTGCGTTTCAGGCGCTTCGGTTACGGGACGGGCCAGGTCACCGGCCTGAACACCTACTACATTGGATTACCTGTCCCATTTACAACTCGCGCCTTGTCCAACTCGCAACCCCAGCATCTTGCTTATACTGGCGAATTGCTTGGATCTGCGACCATCAGCCCGTGTAACATCACCATGGATCATGACGCGATCATTTGTTCCATGATCGACGGACATACGCGAGGTCCAGATCAAGATGTTCACGTCCCGGGCGTGGGCAGTTCAAAGTACCCTTCTCGCGGTGTAGATGCCATATACTTGTAATTGACTATCGGTGGGGTAGTCTGGGGTCCGACGGGACCGCTACGGCGACTACTAGGGGCCCTCGGGTAATTGACGTTTTTTACGGGAACGGGTGCCATCGGGCCCAAATTGCACACTTTTTTCGGGGGCAGATCGGCTCGCGGACGCCCTCCGGGATAGGTCTGGGGTCATGTGGTCCGCTGGGCCGCATGCGCCGGTGCTTGGGGCTCCCCAGAGAACTCTGGATCCAAAACTTTGGAGGATCATGGTCCAGAGCAGTGGAGCGCAAAGGACCTGTACTCATTTGTATCCACCGATGGAAGCGCCCGCGCATGCGGCGTCGGCGTTTGCGCACGTCTAGTACCGACCCTAAGCGGCCCCAGGGACACCTCAGGACCAGGAATCGACAGGATTCCACCGACGCGCCCACCCTGGTGGCGTCGTCAATATCGCGAATTAAAAAATTATTTTTTTTCGCCCCCAAGGAAGTGTCCCATTGATCTCTTTGGACCAGTAGCGAACCGAACGATACTCGAAAAGCTGCATGTCGCGTTTGCTATTGCTAGTATCTTACATGCCGCCAGCTACCTCCGCAGCGCTGCAGCCGAGCACGGGAGTGAGTGCGCAGCCGTGAGACGCATCGACGCACACAAAACGCCTAGGCATGCAATGCGGTGCAGCAAGCTAGTCATGTGCGCACTCAGCAGCACTCAAGCCCTCGACGAGGCACTGGTCCGCAGCGTGCAGTGCTCGAAGCAGGCGCGCAAGGCGCTGGCACGCGGCGACGTGCCGGTCGCGTGGCTCGACGTCACCGCGGCCGACGACGCCGTCGCCGAGCGCCTCGCGCCGCTGCTCGCGGGGCCGGCGCGCTGCGCGCACGACGACGACGCCTTCGAGGCGCACAACGCCCGGACGAAGCGGGAGTTCGTCGAGCTCTTCGCGGGCGACGGCCTCGACCCGGCGAACAACGAGCTCGCGCCGGCCACGGCCGTCGCGGTGGCGCGCGGGCTCGATCTCGACGCCGCCGACGCGTTCTGCGACCTGGGCTGCTCGGCGGGCGCGCTGACCATGGCCGTCGCCGTGGCGACGGAGGCCCGGCTCGCGCACGGCGTCGAGCTGAGCCCGCGGGGCACCGAGCGAGCGCTCCTCGCGAAGGAGCGGTGCGGCGACGACCGCGTGGAGTTCTTCCAGGGCGACCTGCGCGACGGCGTCGACCACGCGGCGTACGACGTCTTTTACTGCGGGATCCGCGGCGTCGCGAGCCGGCCGCGCGTGCTCGGGGACCTCCTCGAGACGCTCTGCGCGCAGGACAAGCCGTACCGCCTCGTCTGCGCCGGGTTTGGCGTCGACATCCGAGGCCTGTACGGGGATCGCGTCTCGCTCGTACGCGCCACGGTGCTCCGGCGGGCCGGCGCCGGCGCGAGCTATGCGGACGCGATTCCCCTCTACGGCGAGGGCGAGGGGCCGAGGGTGTTGTTGGAGTATAGTATTACGTAGTATATTAGACAGGGCACAAAGCGAGCGAATTCACCAGGGGAAGCCTCTGCGAAACATCCGTTCCATCTGGCGCGATTGGGCCATCAGGGCCCGATGCTGCGCCTCGGCGGCCCGATGCTGGGCCTCGGCGGCCCGATGCTGCGACATCGCCGCGGCGAAGCCGCCGTAGCCCTGACTCCGGTCGAACTGGCTTTTCGACACGCGCCGACCGTCCACGAAGTATTGCGTTCTAGCATTGGCTTTCAAAGGTCGGTAGCCGGCGCGGTCCTCCGCCGAAGGATTAGATAACCGCGCGAGCAGCTCGGCCTTGGTCCCCCCGACCTTGAGGCCCCGAGCCCGGCAGCGGTCCTTGAGCTGGGCCACGGTCACGCCGGGCGCGGGCGTCGAGCGGCGCTTCTTGCGCGGCGGCGGCGTGACGAAGACCACCTCCTCTTCCTCCTCTTCTGAGTTCTCGTCGTCGGAGATAATTATCTGGCGGCGCTTGCGCTGAGCGTGCGTGTCGCGCGCGCGGCCGTCGGCGCCGAAGGTCACGTCGTCAAGCCTGGATCGCCGCGGCGTCTGCGGCTTGGCGGGCGGTTCGTCCTCGTCGTCATCGCTACTGAGTTCGAGGACGTCGCCTTTCGCCTTGGCTGCCTCGTAGCGCTGCGCCGCCAGCTCCTCGGCGGTGCATGTTGGGCCGACCTCCATGTCATCGTCAGCCATGATTGAGCGTCTGGTAGATATGTAACTCGAGCTGTATGGATAGCTCGGGCTGTATGGTGGGTCAGCAGGTCAGCTGGTCAGGCACAAACAAGCTAGATACTCTGAGCCCGCGCAAAATTCGCAGCAGCAGCGCGTGCGTGACGCACGATGCACTACGCGTTGACACGCCTGGAGTCGGACAGCGGTTTGAACGCGTACGCAGCGCGATGACTCTCCGACCCACGCAGCGTCTCCGAGCTCGGGTGCGGGTCCAAACGCGGCGCTCCGCAGGGAAGTAAAAATTATTGTTAATTCACTCGTCGTGCAACCCTGGACACTCCGGCTTGGACCCGTGGTCCTCGTAGGAGTGGTGCTTCGACGCCCGTCCCGTGTCCGGCGCGAAGCCGTAATGGATGAGCTGCCGCGAGAAGTTGAGACCCGGCGCGGGGCATCTCGCAGCGAAGAAGCACGGGCAGGGGTCGCCCCTCGCCGAGAACGGCGACGCCATCGGGGACGTCGCGGGACACGCCATCGCCGCGCGCACGGAGTCGTCGGAAGCAGCGGCGCGCTGCGCGGCGATCCCATACCGCGTGCTCGAGTACGCCCAGGACTTCGCGATGGCGCTGAAGCCCGCCGACTTCGCGAGCCTACCCGCGCTCGTCAACGCGCTCCGCGTCACGATCAAGTACAAGACGCCGGTCGATTAACGCGGAACAAAGGAAAACTACCGAAGCGAAATGAAATGCGGGGACACGAATTCTCGGCAGGAGTTCATTCACGAGTTCCCGGTCACGTTCCAGCTCACGACGAAAGGCGTCCTCGCGCGGGAGCAGGCGCGTCGAAAGTCGCGCCGGTTCAACAACTACGACAACTTCGGGCCCGACGGCCCGGACTACTAGACTCGCTCGCTACCCCCGCACTAATACATGCACAAGTCTTACAAGCAACAATACACAAAAGCCTCACGACGACGCAAGCAGCCCGTCAATCGCCCGCTGGACGTCGCCATTGACTCGCTCGAGCGCCGCCACCGCAGCTTTCCGCGAGAAGCCCATCGCCACGATCTGCGCGACGGCGGCCTCGTCCACGGCCGGAGGAGGTGGCGCGGGCCGAGCGGACGAGCGCCGCGGCTTCTTCGCGGGCGGCCGCCGCGTCTTCCGCCACAGAGCCAGCTGGCGCTCGATGTCCGCGCGGATCTCTGGCGGTAGTTCGGAGAGCGTCTGCGGGTCCACCTCGGCGCCGTCGATGCCCGTCGTCGACGCGGTCCCGGGCGATGCTGGTGGCGCGACCGGGGCAGGCACGGGCGGCGGCGGTCGAGGCGCGGGCGCCTTGCGCTTCGTGAGGAACGAGCTAATGTCCGCGTGGCCCGCCGCGTCGATCGTCTTGAGCGTCACGCCGAGATTGAGAATTGACAGCGTCGCGCCGTGCGGGTAGAGGGCCGTGAGGAGCGCCGCGGCGTCGGCCTCGAGCTTCGATGCTAAAGCTTCGCACGCGGCGTCGTCAGTCAGCGTTCCCACGCGAGCGCGCGCCGGCCGCGACTTGGCCTCGCGGCCCGGCGTCTTCTCGCGCTGCGCGGAGGCGGGGCCCTCGGCCAAAGTCGAGGTCAGGGCCCGCGGCGACCCGCTCCGCTCGGCCGCGCGGCGCGCCGAGAGCTGGACGTTCTCAAGGGGCCGCGCGCCGTGCGCCTTCTGATCGACGGCGAGCTTCCGCACGAGCTTGCGCGCCAGCAGCTTCAGCGCCTCGTCGGCGCGCTCGGACGGCACTTGCAGTGGCCTCGTCCAGAACGATTCCTCGGCGCCGATCGACTTGGGCGCGCCCGTCTGCTTGACTTGGGACGCGTCGTCGCCGCGGGCCAGCGCCCGGAGCCGCTCGATATCTGAGATCGAGGAGGGCCCGGAGAAGTCGCGCAAGTCTCCGACGGTGGCGACGCCCGCCGACGCGAGCTGCTGCGCCGTGCTGTGGCCGATGCCGTAGACCTTGCGCAGCGGCAGGTCGTCGGGCAGGACCAGGCGCCTATTGCTAGGTGTATCAGCGAGGACGGTCTGCTGGAAGGGCTTGTGGAGGCCCGCCACCGTCTTCGCCAGCAATTTAGAAGTCGACACGCCAGCAGACGTCTCCAAATTGAGCTCGCGCTTCGTCGCCTGGCGCAGGCGGTCGCAGAGCCGCGCCGCGCTCGCGAGCCGCGCGTCGTCGAGGACGTCGTCGCCGTGGACGTGACCGATCTCACCAGCTCCGCCCGCGCCGTGCGCGTCGACCGCCGCGGAGACGTCCACAAATAGCTCGTCTAATCCGGACTTCTCGACAGGGCACCTGCTCCCCACGAAGTTGGCCACGAAGGCCCGCCACGCGTTGCTCACCTCCGTGTAATGGCTAATGTCCTCGCCGTCCTTGATGACGATCTGCGGACACTTGCGCCTCACCTCGGCGAGCGAGTCGCCCTTGCGGATGCCGAACGCCCGCGCGGCGTAGTTGCTCGTGATGACGAGGTGTTTTTGCCGGACGCCGACGGGCTTGCCGGCGAGCGACGGGTCTCGTCTCGTCTCGCACTGCGCGTAGAAGCAGTCGCAGTCCAGCGCGAGGACGAGGCGCTGCGGCGGCGGCTTGCGGGCGGCCATTCTTTGAGCCACGGCACACACGCTGCTGATTTGCGTTCGCAGCCTGTGGCAGCTTGCTCGACCTCTGTGCTCGGCTACGGCTGCACAGCGCTCGGAAAATTGCAGGTTGCTGTAGAGCAATCAGATGTGCGCACGATTTGGCACTGTTATCGCTCGCAAAACTGCACGCATTGGACGCCGATGGCTGGGCAGGGCTCGACCTCTCCAGAGCACGGGTTTTCAAAACGATCGAAACGCGTCCCGAGGCCCCCACAGTGATCCCAGGGAGGCGAGGGAGCCATATGAACCCCATTGATCACTCCGCGGTTGAGGAGCTCTTTTTACTCGATCTAGCCTGGTGTAATTGCAAGGCGAACAAAAGGGCAAGCCCCAGATAAAGCCAGACGCCTGCGACACGGCGCACTGAACATGGCGTCCATGCGGACACTGGTGCTGCTTCTCGCGGCGCTTGAAGCCGCCGGCTTCGCGATCTGCAAAACCAGCTCACGGACAGCTGCCCTGAGATCTCCCGTCTCCGACGGCGAGACCTCGCAGCTTGTATCAATGAGGTCGACCGTCGCGGACAGCGAGAGCTCGCAGCAGGTCGAGATCAAGCTCGCCGCGCCCGCGGCCGCCGCGTTCGTCGAGACGCTCTTCGAGAAGAACGTGAAAGTGAAGGCGGGCACGGTCGACAAACGGCGCACCACCAAACGCGCCCGCGGCCAGAATCCGATAGTGGTGGGCTCGCCCGACGCCGGCGAGCCCTCCAAGACGGTGGATAGGCGCCGCAAGCCGAAGACGACGTCGACGGACGCCTTGTTCACGACGCAGTTGTTGGATGCGGCGCAGGAGCGGCGGCTCGGTGGATTGACCGTCGAATTGCTACGCTTGGAGAATGTGAGAGACGATTTACTGAGGGAGCGCGGCGGCCGCACGCCCGAATCTCTCGGATATGCTGGAGACAACGAACTCGAGGACCAATTGTTAGGTGTGGACTGCGACGGGTTTCGGGCCGACTGGTGCGTGCGCGCCGAGCTCAAATCGCCGGAGGAGCTCACGAAGCGGATCCGCGACGGGAGAGCTGCGCGGCAAGCTTTAGTTGCGGCGAACATGCGGTTAGTTGTAGCCGTGGCGAAGCGCTACGCGGGTCTCGGCATGGGCCTCTCCGATTTAGTCCAGGAGGGCTCTTTGGGATTGATGCGCGCTGCGACGAAGTACGACCCGGCGCGAGGCTGCAAGTTTTCGACGTATGCTTGCTGGTGGATCCAGCAAGCGGTCCTACGAGCCGTGGCCTTCCAATCTAGATTGATCAGACTACCGATGCACGTGCACCAGGACCTGGCCAAGGCGACGCGCGCCCAGCGCGACTTCATCCAGGACAACGGCCGGGAACCGACCGATGAAGAACTGGCCAAGATCTTGGATATGACCGTGGCGAAGCTACGGAGGGTGCGCACGGCGGCGAAGCAGTCCGACGCCGTCTCCACCGAAACGCCGCGCGGCTTCTCGTCGAAGATCGGCGGCGGCGAGGCCAAGTTCAACCAGCGCAACGGCGGGCGGCGCAAGGCCAAGACGCCGGGCGCGCCGGCGCCCGCGGCCGCGCCGGCGCGGACGTCTGGTAGAACGCTGAAGCTCGAGGACACGTTGGAGTCGGCCGAGCCCGGCGCCGACCGCGCCGTCGAGATGAGTTTGTTGCACGGCGCCATCGCCGAGGCGTTCAAGGACCTGGACGAGGACGAGCAGAAGGTCATTTCCTTGCGCTATGGGCTGGAGGACGGCGTCGCGTGCTCGCCCTCGCAAGTCGCCGAGCGCTGCGAACAATCAAAAGACTGGGTGCGGCGGTGCGAGATGCGCGCCATTCGCAAGCTGCGCAAGCCGCACCACCTCATGACGCTGCGGCCCTACAACTCGCAGCGCCAGTCGCTCACGGCCGTCCCGTCATAAGACTTTTGGAAAGTTGTTTTTGTATCGCCTCGGCGGCGTCGGGGCGGGGACCGCTGCGACGGCGTCGGCGGCGGGCTTGATAGCGATCACGCTCGACGGCACGGACGCGTGGTGTCAATACGGCGGGACGACGAGCATCGCGCGCGCGTTATATGGTGACACTATTACGCCGTCGCTCCGAGTGTTCGCTCGGAGGCGACGACTGCGAGGGGGGAGCAGGCCGGACGCAGGAATCCCAAGGCCGTTAGTTAGAACACTATCGAACTCTTAGTTCCGAGAGATACTTCGCGCCCGCCGCAACCAATTCGAGGACCGTGCGTAGGATCTCGCGCAGCAGGTCCGGCCGCGCGGCGAGCGCGTAGGCGCCCGCGCCGAGGACGACAAGGAAGAGGAGCCATCTGATCGCTCCCGCGAACGACCAGGAGGACGCCAGGAACGGCTCGCACTTGCCGCCGGCGCAGGCGCTTCCCGTTTCCGCGATGAGGGCGTCGAGCGCCGGCAGTTCGCCGACGGTGAACGACGGCAGCAGCAAGGTCTTTGGAAGTTCCAGGGGCGTCGTGTCGCCGCCGTAGAATTGGGACGTGATGCCCGCGTCGTGCCGGATCGCCGGCGCCTCCGCGAGGATCGTGGACGCCTTCTTCCGGGCGCCCGCTCCTGTGTGGAAATCAAATTTACGGCGCGTTCGTCCTGGATCGCTGCGTCGACCTCCACGCCAGGACCCGACACTGGTTGATTTCCACACAGGCAAGCACGGGTCTCGAAGGTCGGCTTCTCAAACTCGAGCTTGCCATCGGTCGCCGCGGACCACGACGCGTAGAGCGTCGACGCGAGGGGCAAGGCGTCGTCGGCGCCGCACTGGCCGCGCCACCAGAGCGCGAGCACCTGCGACGACCAGGCCGACCGCTTTGTGAGAAAAATAGAGGGGTCGAGGTCCCGCCGCATGACCAGCTCCGCCGCCGGCGCGAGCGCGAAGTATGCCTCCGGCGCGTCTTCATCATCGCCAAACGCGAGGTCCGACAGGAACGCCGTCCCCTCCATATACAGCACGCGGTCCGGCGGGTTCGGGTCCTCGTAGAGCGAGAGGAGGGCCACGGCCTTGAGCGACGCCGAGCTCCCGCGCTCCCGGCACTTCGCCCACGGCGCGTCCAGGCGCGAGTGGAGCAGCTGCGGCACGCCGACGAAGACGTAGAGCGGACGATTCGTGCGCCGGCAGTAGGCGGCCTTGTTCAGAAAGGCCTGCCAGGTCCCGGAGCGCTCGAGGTCGCTCAGCGAGGGCACCGCTACTAACAAAGCGGTCTTCGTCGAGACGACGGCGGCGCCGTGGTCGACTTTGCACAGGCGCAGCGGCACGTGGGAGAAGGCGGCGACGCGGCCCGCGGCGCTCGCCATCGCGAGGCCGTCGCGCGGCGGCGTCGAGGACATGAGGCTGAAAAAGCACTTCCTGTTGACCTGTGTGTAAATCAACCAGTGCGTCGGGTGAACCCGACAATTCTTCACTAAGTCATTTCTTGGCGATGACGCGGCCGTCCTGGCTCGGTCGAGCGGCGAGGAACCGGCACCGCCACGCCATCGAGCAGGCGTCGCGTCGATGGCGTGGAGGTCGACGCGACGATTCAGGACGAACGCGCCGTAAAATTTTGATTTCCACACAGCTGTTGACCGATTTGCGGATCGGCTTGAACGTGGCGAGGGCCTCGTCGGCCGCGGCCTTCCACTTGCGCTCGGAGACCTTCGTGGCCTCTGTGGCCGCCGCGAGGCAGAGGAGCAGCGCTTTCCGGTAGGCAGGCTGCCCCATGGCTATGATGCCTTGACAGGGCTGGGCTGCGTTCACACTAGGATGCCTGACTTATGGTCTCGCGCCTCGGGCGCGCTGGGGCTACCGGACGACGGCGTCGACAAGCCCGCGCAATGCGCTTTTGCTCCAGCAAAACACTGATTTGCAAGGCCTTAAGGCTTGGCAGGCTTCGTGCGGGGCGCTGGCTTGCACAGTCAATTTCGGATGGGTACCCGTCATGGAGAGGCCGGCGAGCGCTCGCCAAGAGATAGGCACCCAATAGCGGGCTAGCGGCCTGTAAGACTCTAGCAAGCCCAAAGCCAAGCCCTTGAGAGGCTCCCCGCGGCGCATACAGCGAGCGCGAACTCGCCCGCCGACTGCGCCACAGCTTAGCAAAAAGCTCGTTGGCAGCAGTAGTCCAAGTCTGAACGCCCGGGCCTGCGGCACCGGCCCAAACAAAACACTGGCCAACCCAAGCCGAGGAAGCAAATCGCAGCGGGGAGTACCGGCCACGGGATACGCCCCTTCCAGGATAGCCTAGAGAAGCAAAATGGGCCGCGGCGCCGGCCCCCTCCTCGACGACGACGATGAGGACGTCGCGCTACGTAGATCAGGCCTCGCCTGCGTTTTTACAAGAGAGGGCTCGATGATGAACAACGGGCGCTGGGTGAAAGTAGCCGCGGACCTCGAGAACCTCACTCTACGCTTAGATAATCGAGCGTTGGCTGGATCTACTAGATCGAGATCTTCAGAAGTCTACAACAAGGAGATGCAGATCCACCGGGGCACCAAGGTCGAGCGCGCGCCGCAGCCGTCGCGGCCCTTTGTCTTAGCCGTGTCCAATTTCAAAGGAGGGAAAGACAGAAGACGATTGCTCGACTTCCTGACGAGGGAAGCTGGTGATGCGTGGTTCGACCTGCTCTACAAGGTGGCTACCACAGATTTGAACACTCTCTTAGAGCCGCTGATGGAGGCTCGCGATAAACGCAGAGACGCGGTACAATTAGAGGAGGCCCTGGCGGCGCGGCCGGCGCGGGTGGAGGACGCCCTAGAAGCTTTAAGGAGAGGTAGGCTGCCGGCGGACTTTGTTGCTAGAGATGCGTCGGGGCGAGCCGTGACGGCTTTATTAGCGGCGGCTAGAGCTGGCCGAGCGGATATCGTGGAAGCGCTCGTGGCTCTGGGCGCGAGACCGGACGGTCCTCCATTACCAGTCGTGGCTGATAGAAGGCCCTCTTCCCCGGACCGAAGACTAGAAAGACAGAGATCCGGCGGCTCGGGCTCGGGCAAGGAGGTTTCCGACGCGCCGCCGCCGCCGTCCTCGGAGGACGGCGTGCCCACCGTCGAGGAGACGCCCCTACTCGGGGCGACGCGCGCCGACCGCCACGATGCTGCTGCTGCTTTATTAAGGGCGGGTGCTGATCCCACACTAGGTGATGCTCGTGGAGCGAAGGAGACGCCATTATTATGCTGCGCGCGGCGGGGCTCCGCGGAGATCGCCCGAGCTTTGCTACGAGCCTTGGCCGGTAGAGCAGCGGCGGCGGCCGACGACGCCCGGCGCCTCAAGCTGCTGTGCCACGTGGATAGGAGATTCGGCCTCCACCCCGAGACGGCTTTGGAAGCAGCAGCGGTGGCCGGCCACGCGGCCGTCGTCGTCGCGTTGTGTGCCGGTGCCGAGTGCAAGGGCGAGAACGGTCAAGTGCACGTGTGTCGGGCCGACGCGACCCTCAGAAATCCGTCGGGCCGGACGGCGATGCATCTGGCCTGTGATCGGGGGCGGGCGACGGTAGTAGCGCCTCTAGCGGCCGCGGGCGCCGACCCCGACGCGCTAGATCCGGACGGCCTCGCGCCCCTGAGCATGGCGGCGCAGCACGGCCACGTCGCTTGTGTTGCGGCTTTGTTGCAGCGAGATGCGACGGCACCTTTAGATCCGCAGTTACTGCAGGGCGCGGATGCGGAAAGAGCTGGGAGGTTAGTTGTCGCTACTGATGCCCTGCGAGTGGCTTTAGGTGCCGACACATTCGACGCCAAAGGGGCTGCGGACCTCGCGAAAGCCGTCCGAGCAGAGATCAAGGCCGGCGAACTGCCGCGGACCGCGGGTGCTGCTCTCGCGAACTTTCCCGCGGACGTGGCCCAAGCGGCGGGTCGGAGGGACTCTGCCTTGCTAAGATGCTGCGACGCGGGCGACGGCGCCGGCGCCGACTTATGGCTCACGCTGGGCGCGGACGTGAACCACGCGGACCATGGGATAGAGAGAAGAACACCATTGATGGCCTGCGCGGCTCGCGGAGATACACAATTAGCTTCCGCCTTACTAGCGACGGGCCGATGCGCCGTGGATGCTGTTGATGGAAAAGGCTGCACGGCGCTCATACGAGCGGCGGAGGCCTCGGCGTCGTGTCGGGCCGATCCCGTGCGACAAGCTGCTGCTAGACGAGTGGCCGACCTCCTACTAGAGCACGGCGCCGACCCGCTGGCCGTGGACGCCAAAGGTAGAAGCCCACTGAGCCTCGCGGCGGCGGACGCGCGCGATCATAGGTTAGTGGCACGCATGCTCGCGTTTCCCAAGGTCCATGCGGACTTCGCCCATGGTGATGATGAGGCCACGGTGCTCATGTTGGCGTCGGCGCTGCCGGAGGCGTCTTCCGTTTTAAGGACGTTGTTAGGTGCTCCGGACCTCGCGGCCGACTCGGGATTGAAAAACATGCGAGGCAGAAGAAAATCGGCAGCAACGTGCGCGCGCGCCGATCTGAGGAGAAAGGACGCTCGGGGTCGAACGGCGCTCTTCTACGCGGCCGAGGCCGATCGCGCCGAGAACGTTGAGCTCTTACTCAGTCTGGGGCGGCGCGCGTCGTCGACCGCAACCGACCGAGGCGACGTCCTGGACCAGATGCTCGATGTGGACGAGCGGGACGCGGCGGGCCAGACGGCATTACGGGTGGCGACGGCGGCGGGCGCGCGAGGGGCGGTTGGTGCGCTCTTGCGTTTCGGCGCGTCGGCGTCGGATGCGGAACGAGCGGCACTCCAATCGGAGGACGACGAGGAGCAGCTCGTCAAGTCGCCGGGGCCGCCCTTACCCACAATTCCGGAGACGGCGGCGCCCATCGCGCGCACGCTCGGAAGGTTTCGCGCAGCCGTGGCGAACGGAGATGACAACTTGGTGTTGCGGTACGTGGCGCGGGGCAACTACGACGTCGACGAGCCGACGAGCGCGGAAGATGGCGCGCGCACGGCGCTGATCGTCGCCTGTGCCTTAGGGAACGCGGCCGGCGCCGCTCGACTGTTAGATGCTGGTGCTGATGCCAACGGGAGGGACGCGTCGCGAAGGACGCCTCTATTAGCAGCAGCGAGATCGGGCGCGTTAATTGACGCGACGGCGAAAAGACGGGGCGACGCGACCGATCGAAGCTTAGCTGAATTACTGCTCGATGCGGGTGCTGATGCTACTGCTGCGGACGGTTTGAGGAGGGAAACGGCATTACACGTCGTCTGCGGCAGCATGGAGGACATCCTGTTCATTGGGGGTGCCCGTCGTAGAAGGGAGGCGGCGGCTTTGTTGTTGGAACGAGGCGCGGACCCAGAAGCCGTCGATGCCGCGGGCCGGACGCCCCTACTCCTAGCGAGCGGCGAGTGGCCGCCCTGCGACACGGCCGACTACCTGGTCGAGGCGCCGGCCACACCTAATGACTCGACGCCGACGACGCCGACCGTTTCAAAAAAGAGCGGGCCGCAGGACCTCTCCGAGCTCATCACGAAGTCCCACTCGAAGCTCGCTTCTCATAATTTGGTGGTCACGGGCGACGACACGAAGCCGGCGGACCATTCGACCTGCGAAGCGCCCCACGCCGATGCTGTGTTGGAGGCGTTGTTAGTGCGGGCGGCGTCGGTCGACCTTGATAGGAGACACAACCTCAAGGCGAACCGGAAGACGGGCGCGCCGGCGCGCGTCGCGACGGCCTTGGGCGAGGCCTGCGTGGCCGGGCGCATCGTGGCGGTCAAGGCCTTGTTGAGAGCTGGTGCGGGCCCCGACGCCCCTGCTGATGGAAGAGACAGAACAGCTTTGGCCCTCGCGGCGATGAGCGGCCGCGCGCAAGTCGCTAGACGATTGTGCGAGGCCGGGGCCGAGCTCGCGCGGGCGCCCCACGCGGATGGTGGGAGAACAGCTTTACATCACGCCGCGGCGCGGGCGCACCCCGCGGCCGTCGCCGTTTTGTTACGGGCGGGCGCGCCGTCCTTCGCTAGAGATTTAAGGGGACGCACGCCCTTGGACGGCTGCGGCGTCACGGGCGAGCAGGACGTCGAGGTCATCGTGGCCGGCCCCGAGGCGCCCGAGCGCGCGGCGCCGGACCCGATGCGGATCCGGTCGGTCGGGTCGGGGGGCGGCGACGATTTGGGACGGCCCTTTGAAGATAGAGCGGCGGCCTGCGCGAATAGATTACTAGCGTTGCGCTTCGCCGTCGACTGCGGCGACTTCCGCAAGGTCAGTGATTTGGTGGCGTCGGGCGCGTTTTCCCTGGAACATGGGGCCGGTCCCCGGGCCCTGGAGAAGGCGGCCAAATTAGGAGACGCCGAGGGCGTGGACATCATTTGCGACGCGTACCCCGGCGGCGCGCCGCCGCCGGCCGTCGCGGCGGCGGCCTTAGACGCCGCGGCTGCTGGTAGAAGGGCCTACGCGGCGGCGGCGTTATTCAGGAGGGGCTGCCGCCCGGCGGCCGACGGAAAAGCGGCTGCTGCATTAGCAGCTCTAGCTGTCGACGTGGGCAACGACGAGTTGCTCCGACTAGCGCTGGACGCGGGCGCCGACGCCGCCGCGCCGACGACCGGTTTACCTGTGGATGACTCAACACCAAAGTCGAGCTTTCTATCTGAGTTGTCTACCGCCCAGAAGCGCATTCGAGGCGACGAGTCCGAGGAGGAAGTGCCACCTTTATCGGCGGCGGAGCAGCGCGACTACTATGCTACGGCATTATGGGCGGCGCGGAGCGCGGGCGCGCCGACGTCCGACTTGGTCGGCGATCCAAGGGAGGCGCAGACGCCCCTCTCTGCTTTATCTAGAGCTGCCGCCGCTCCTAGACCGCGCGGGCCGCGCGCATTAGGTGTTCTACTGGACGGCACGCCGCGCGCCGCGCAAGCTCTGAGGAGAGCCCTGCGGAACGCGTCCCAGGGGTCAGATGTCTCACCATTACACGCGGCGGCGGCGGCGGACGCCGTGGATGCCCTCGCGACTTTAGTACGGGCCTGGCGCCGCGAGTGCGCGACGGACCCGGGTCGGGACAATGCCGGGGCGTTCGCCAGGGACGGCGGCAAAAGAACACCGCTGCACGTCGCTTGCGCATTAGGGGCGTACGACGCCGCCGCGACGTTAGTAGCATTACATGCGGGCGACGAAGCTGCGAGAAAGGCTCTACTCGCAGCCGAGGACGCGCGGGGCCAGAGACCCCTACATAGGGCAGCTAGAGCGAACGACGGCGCCGTAGCTTCATTATTACTAGGTGCGGGCGCCGACAGCGAAGCGACGGACGACGCGGGGCGGACAGCGAGAGACGCGTGTGCTATTGGGGCCGCGTCGGCCGCCCGTCGTTTAGATGCCATGCGCCGCGCGGTGCGGGACGGCGACTTCGACAAGGCGTTAAGGCTGGTCGCTCGCGGTTGCTTTCCCATCTCCTCGTCCACGAGGGAGGGCGATACGGTGCTGACGCGGGCGGCCGCCGCTGGTAGAGGTGATGTGGTGGATGCCGCAATAGCTTTAGGAGCCGGCCAAATCGCCGAGTCGACCACCACGATCCCCGAGAACGCCGCGGCGCCCGTCGTTTCGACGGGCGCACTCGTGTCTCCAGCTAGGCCAGACCGCGTCGGGCCCGAGGTGTTGCAAGCTCTTGGAGCGGCCGCAAAAGCAAGACAACTCCAAGCCGCGGAACGGTTGTTAGCCTCCGATCCGAACGTGCGGCCGCGCGAGCACGACGCCGCACCTCTATTGAGGGTCGCGGTCGCGAGAAGGCGGCACGCCCTGGCGGAACTACTGTTGGTGCGAGGCGTCGAGCCGTTGGCGCCGTGCGCGCCGGTGGCACGAGCGCGCGCCGGCGGCGACGTTTTACCAAAAGGCGATTGTAGAGTTGCGGACAACGCAACGAGCCAGATCGAGGTGAGTGACCCGGAACCGACGACGCCTTTTTTGGTGGCTGTGGAGTCGGGCGACTTGGCTGCTGTACGAGTGTTCTTAGACCAGCACAACGCCATCTTTGACGTCGATCAGGTCGCGAGAGACGGGTCGACAGCTCTCATGACCGCTTTATCCCATGGTCATGTGAGGGTCGCGCACGCTTTAGTGGCTGCGGGCGCGGACGTCACGGCCACGGACGCGAGGGGCAGAACCGCTTTAGAAAGGGCCTGCTTCGACCACGAGGCCTTGAAGGCTGACTTGCGAACAGTAGCGGCGGCCTGCGACCGCGCCGACTACCTCGCGCAGAGGAAGGCCGTCAAGGCGGCTCTAGACGAGGACGCGCGCGACTCGGAGATCGAGAGCTCGCAGGAGGAGCCGCGCCAGGTGTCCGACGACGAGTCCGGCACCGTTACTCCGGCGACGCCGTCGCGAGGTGGTCGCATTGCTGCTCTAGCGGCGGCCTTCGAGCGCGGTAAATCTGGGTCGACGCCGCCGCCGTCGCCCGGGCGAAGGGCGTCCATAACCTCGGACGAGGGGTTGAGCGCGACGGACCGGAGTTTGCTGGATCGGGCCCTGGTCTTAGCCGTGCGGTTACGGGACGCGGACGCCGTTGATAGATTACTAGCGGCGGGCGCCGACGCTCTTGCCCCCGTCTCGGCGTCGTCGCCGGAGACGGCGCTCTGGAAGTCGTGTGCTGCGCCCGACCTCGCTACTCTGAGAGCTCTTGTGGCGCACGCGGGCGACGGCTTCGACGTGAACGTGGCCCACGGCGTGGTACGGGCGACGCCATTATGTGTCCTGGCGGCGTCGGGCGACGCCGACGCCTGCGCCATCCTGTTAGATGCGGGCGCGGACGCATCAATCAGAGACGCGCGCGGCCGCGGGCCGCTCTGGCACGCGGCGCACCGGGGCCACGGGAATGTGATTCGGTGCCTCGCGACGCGCCTCGAGAACGAAAGAGGTAGCGATGTCGTGCGGAGTGTGGTAGATGCGCGGGACTGCGACGGCATCACGCCCCTGCACGCCGCGGCTAGAGTGGGTGCGAGGGCGGCCCTCGCCGCTCTCCTGGAGGCCGGCGCCGACGCCACGATAAAGTGCGAGCAGGGCCGGACACCTAGGCAGCTCGCTATTTTAGCCCAGCACAAGGACGCGGCGGCGCAGCTCGACGCCATGTCGCTCGCGATCGTCGATGGCGACTACGCCGAGTGCATCAGACTGGCGCGCAACGGCAACTGGCCCCTGGACTGGACGGCGGGCGCCGACGACGTCGAGGGCTACGAGGACGACGACGACGTGGGGGAGGCGCCGGCGCCGGCGCCGGCTCCCCAAACGCCCGAGAAGGACGACGCGCCGGCGCCGCCGACGTACGAGCCGTACGTACGCGGCGCCGCGGACGTGGATGACGACGCCGACGCCGGCGGCGACGACGATGCCGACGTGCGGCCGCCGACGCCTCCCGACGACGACGCGGCGCGGTCGCAGAACTCGCAGGACTTCGCGTACTAGTTGGCAGCTTCTTGGCCGTCGTAAAATCTGGATTTTGCTCATAGTTATCCTAGCACCGCCGCAGCCAACGCCACGAGCAACCGGTCCTGCTGCGCGCCGTCGAGGCCGTGCGCCGCCGCCGCCGCGTCGACGAGCGCGGGCAGATCGTCCCCGTCCGACGCGGCGAGGCGCACACGCACAAATCCCAAATCGACGTCGACGTCGCGTTTCGGAGGCGGCGGTCGCGCGCTTAGGACGACCTCCTCTCGCTTCGGAGGAGGTGGAGGCGGTGGTGGCGGCGGCGGGCGCTCGCTCTGCGGCGGCTTCGCGCGCGCGACCGGCGTGACGGACTCGCGCCGCTTCGCGTTCGGAGTGAAGGTGCACTCGTCAGCTTCTCGCCGGTTGCGCTCGACGCGCTTCTCCGCGACGATTGATTGGGCCCGCGCCGCCTTGACGCGCGCCGCGTCAGTAAATGAGAGCCCATCAGCGCCGGCCCGCGCGTTGGCGCGCGCCGCGAGCGCCTCCCGCTGCGCCTTTGGCGTGGCGAACGACGGCGCGAAGGGGAGCACGGTTTCAGCTAGCTTTTCCTGTCGGCGCGCCTCGGCCCGCGCCTTGGCTAGCGCGGCGCCGTGACGCACGGCCGCAACGGCGAACGCCGCCGCGGGACCCGTCCGCTGCGCGACGAGGCGCCGCGCCAACGCCGCCGCCGCGACGGTCTCCTTGGCAGCGTCGAGCTCTGCAGCCGCCCAGACCGCCCACGCGGCGCGCTCGCCCCAGGCGCCCTCGTCGTCGCACGAACCGCCCCCTAAATCTGGTCCCACGGCGCCCCATCTCCGATAGGCCAGACAGAGAAAGGCGACATCGCTCTGCGCCACGATGCCCGCGACCGCCGCGGCTTCTCCGGCGTCGCCGTCGTCGCGGGCCCGGCACGCCGCGACGAGCGCGCGCTCCAAGGATGCGGCATCGGCGGCGCGGCGCGCGCGCGCGACCCTCTGGCGCGGCGACGGTTGTTTCGGTGTTGGTGCCATTTTCACCGGCGCGGGCCGGCGCGGCGTCGTCTTCGCGGGCGACAGTCTCGTCGCGGAGGCCTCGAGCGTCGGCGTCGAGACTGACGTCGGCGACGGGTCGAGCCGCGGGGTCAGCGCTGGCTCGTCGCGCGTCGGCTTGGGCGAGGTCGGTCGCCAGCGCGCCGTGAGGCGCGGCGTGAAGAGGGGCGCGCCCGCCTCGTCGTGCGTGGCCGCGCGCTTGCGCCTCGCGTCGAGCGCGGCTCGCCGCGACGCGGCGTCGCGGTGCAGGCGATCCGTCGTCCGCGCCGCCGCGCGGGCTTTGACGGGCTGCGGCGACCGCGCGGGCGGCGCCGGCTCGCCGGAGAAGATGCCGTCGAACTGGCGCTTCAGCGCTCGCTCGTCGAGCGGCGGCGTCTTGGGCACCGGAACCTCGTCGACGGTCGGCGCGCGGCGCGGTGCGGGCCGCGGCCGCTTGGGCACCGGCGGCTTGCGCCTCACTACGACCGCGGGTCGCGCGGCCGGCTCGGGTCGGGTCCGCACGCGCGGGACCGGCGGCTTGCGCTGAACCACAACCGCCGGTCGCGTGGCCGCGGCGGTCCACTTCGGGCCTTCGGCCTCGCGGTCGGGTGGCTTCGCGGCGGTCCAAATGATCCCGCTGCTGCCCTGTTGCGCCTTGGGGTCACTTTTATGCAGCCCAGATTTGCATTGTTGCGTGTCGTACCAAGACGTGACCATGGCTGAGTCGTTTTGGCTCCTCCCTTTTATCTACACTATCATTGCTCTTGTAGCGCGCGACGCGCGAGGCTCGTCCAGCGCGCGCGGGCCGCTCTGCGACCCGCGGAATAGCAGCCGTTCAAGGCGACGCAACGAGACGTCGCGCAGCGCATACTAGGAATCTTAGACGAAAACACAAAAGCCGCTGCTAGCGGCCTGTAAGACACTAGGCAGCCCCTGGCTCGAGCCTGCACAAGCGGTCCGCAGCGCTGCCGAGAAGTCTTGCAACGGCATGCATGCGCGATGGCTAGCAGCCACACTGGCATGCAGTGCTACCGCACTGGTCGCACCGCGCCCTGCACTGCAGTTACGCATGGCTGCAGCATCGGAGGAGCCGCCGCCACAGCCTACACTAGCTGCTGAAACGCTTTCCGGCATCAACGTAGCCTTCTCATTGCTCTCAAAGGCGGTTGCGTGCAGTGCGATCGTGGGCGTCGACCCGCTGGCGGGCCTCTGGTCATCAGTGGCGCTGGGCGGCGCCAGTCTCGTCGGCGGCATGCGCCCTGGCGTGATCGCAGGCTCGGCGGCAGTGGTGGCCGTGCCACTGGGTGCATTTGCAGCGACGCACGGCACGGCATTGGTCCCGCTCGTGGTCTTGCTGGCTGCATTGCTGGAGGGCATAGCCGGCGCGCTGGGCCTCGCGCGGGCCGTGGATCTCGTTTCTGCCGAGGTCCTCGCCGGCTTCCTCAACGCTCTCGGTGCGGCTCTACTGATGTCGCAGGTTTCCACACTGGCTGCGTCGCCGTACGCGGCCGGAGTCGCGGGCCTCTGCGTGGTACTCACGCGCCTCCTACCGTCCAAGCCTGTGCCCTCCTCCCTGATAGGGCTATTCGTCGCTTCCGCGGTCGGCTCCGCATTCGGCCTGGACAGCCTCGCGGCGACGGCGGACCCGGCAGCCTTCGCCGGCGGACTCGCAGCGCTCCCGACGCCGCCAGACCTGGCACCGCTCCTGAACGCAGACGCCGTTGCAGTGGCACTCCCAGCGGCGTGCGGGATCGCGTTCATATCCATACTGGAGACTTTACTTGCGGCGCGCGTAGTGGATGATAACAGATGCGAGGAGCTGTGCACGTTCTTTTACGATGAGAATGATGAAATCGTACTCGAGGGTGGACAAGGACCGCTCGACGTCCCGACGAGTAGTGTCTTGGCCCTGTCGTTAGGCAACGCGGTCTCAGCGGCGACTGGCGGCTTCGGCGGGTGCGGTCTAGTTCCTCAAACGGTCTTGAATCTACAGTCTGGCGGTGCCGGAACTGCGTCCGTCGCTGCCTACGCGTCGTCGATGGCGCTCTTCGGCCTCGTTTTGGCGCCGGCCGTCGGACAGATTTCCGCTGCGGCGCTCGCCGGTGTGTTGGTGAGCGTCTCCATCGACACTATACAGTGGCGGCCGACGCTCGAAACAGTGCGTGCGGCACTTGAGGACGACGACGACGCGCGACGACGACTCGTCGTGCTCGTCGTGACAGCGGTCCTCTGCTACGAGGTCGGCTTCGCCGCCGGAATAGTCGCTGGTGTGGCGCTGGACAAGGCGCCATCAATGCGACGTGTGTACTAAGTCTATATTGTTGTGCTATTTACGCCTCCGCCGCGTCGAGTTGCCCCCGCGCCCTTGCAACGAACCCGACGAATTCGGAGTATGACACAGTCGCGCCGTCGGGGTCCTTGGCGAAGGCATCAATAACAACCTTCTCGCACTCGGCCCGCGTCATATTCTCAAAGGCCGCTCCCAAGCCCTTCAGGCCCTCCAGTAGTTCGTCGACGGTGAGCTTGCCGCTCTTGGAGACGTCCCAGTTGTCGAACGCCGTCCTTAACGGATTGCCGCCGTCCTCGTAGAGTTTTAAAACTTTGCCGACGCGGAGCGAGGCCTCGGACAAGGGTACCGTTTCGGGCGCCTCCTTCGTCTCCTCGTCGGCCGGCGGCACCCAGCCCGCCGCGGCGAGCTGCTCGCAGCCGCGCCGGGCGAAGGCGAGGAACTCGTCGTACGACACGACGCCGTCTCCATCCAACTCAAAGTCCTCTATACATTCATCAACATCTTCCGAACTCAAGTCGCCGAAGGTATCACCCAAGCCCTGCAGCGCCGCGTGGAGCTCCGCGACGGCGAGGTGGCCGTCGTCATTGGTATCGAACTGGCCAAAGGCCTTCTTCAGGTCACCGCCGCCGGACTCAAAGGTCACGAGGAGCTTGGCCAGCTTGAGCGACGTCTTGGCCTTGAAGGGTTGTAGCTGCGGCGGCGCGGCGGCTGGCTCGGCGGCCGGTTCGGCAGCTTCGGGCGCCGCGGGAGGCGCCTCTGGCTCGGCGGGTGCCTCAGGCTCGGCGGGCGCGGCCGTTTCGGGCTCGGCCGGTGCCTCCGGCTCGGCAGGCGACGCAGCGGGCGCCTCGGCGGCCGGTTCGGGCTCGGCGGGCGTCTCGGCCTTGGCCGCGGACACCACGACGCGCGCCGGCTTGGCCGCGGAGACCACGACGCGCGGCGCCGGCGCCGCCGCGGGCGCGTCGTCGGCGTCGTCGTCGTCGAAGGTCTCGACCGTCACGTCGGCGAGCGCCGCCGGCGCGTTCATCGGCGCCGCGTCCAGGGCCAGGATCCGGCCGTTGCCTCCATTCGCTTTCCACGCATCTACCAAAACGCGTTCGCCCGCGGAGCCCACGGGGTTGTGGCGCAGGTCGAGGCGCTGAGGGGGCGTTCTCAAAGCCTGTGCCAAGTATTGGGCGCAGGCGTCGTCGAGGCCGTTGTAGGACAGGTCGACGGAGCGGAAGGCCACGACGGCGTCGAGCAGTTTTCTGCCGTTGACCGAGGTATTACCGTCGAAGCGCAGGCCGCACGCCGACAGGCCGAGCGTGACCTCGTCATAAGTTGAAAGCGTCTCACACAAATCCGCGAGCGCGGCGACGCCCGCTTTAGGTGGTGTGCTCACCAGCGGGTTCTCATCCAACAATAAAGTGAGCTTGCCCGCGCGGCCTCGGAGCGCCTCGGAGAGTGCCCGGACGCCCTCGGGGCCGATGCGATTCCCGCTCAAATCGATGAGCGTCAAAGGGTTCGCTTCGATGAGCGACGCGAGCCGCGCGCAGCCTCGATCAGCCACGCGGCAGTGCGCGACGGTGAGCTCCCGCAGCGAAGATGAAGAAGCCAGTTCCGTCGCGACGTGCGACGCTCCTACATTGCCCAACGACGCGGCCTCAATCCTTAACTCCTCGAGCTCGGGCTTGGCCCGCAGATGGGCTGTTAACGAATCGCTTGGTCCATCGAGACACGCGAGGACGACGGACTTGGGCCCGTCTCTGGCCAACGGTCCACTCGGTGTCGCCGGCTCGTCGGCCGTTGATGGTGGAGTTTGGATTTCATCGGGCGGCTCGTTGTAGGCTTTTTGCGGGCCGCAGCAGTTGCCCATCCTTGCTTATTTGCACCTGGCAGCCTTTGTCCAAGACCCTGACGCTGCTGCACGACCGGGGCAGCTCGCCGGCGGTGTAAAAATGGGTCCGGCGACCAGCGCTCCTTCCGGTTCGGTTCGGATCCGCGCTGTTTTCTCGGGCAGCTAACGAGTTTTGCCGGAGTTTGCTGGGGCCGGCAGAAGCGCAAGAGGAGCGTGGCCACGGGTGCGCAGGCTCGGTGAGGTGCTTGGTAGCCGTGCGAGAGCTCTGCAAAATAATGCTTTCTAGTATGTCTCTGCAGCTAGCTAGCTCTGCTCTCGGCTTTGGAGCAGCTAGCTAGCCCGCACAGCTGCATATTTCCGGCCCGCACGCCATCGCCGAAGAGTTCAACCCATGGCCGCAGCCGTGATGCAAGTGGACGACCGCTCAAGCACGCCGACGCCAAGTATAGCAAGGTGCATCGCGACGCTCGAGGGCCACGAGGAGCGCGTCTGGCACTGCGCCTGGTCGCGCGACGGTAGACAATTAGCGAGCTGCGGGAGTGATCGAACAGTCAGGTTGTGGCGGCGCACCGGCGATGCGTTCGTCACCAGCGCGACGCTCGACGACGCTCATGATAGAACGGTGCGGCGCGTCGCCTGGGCGCCCTGCGGCACGTTGTTAGCAGCCACATCCTTCGACGCGACGTGCTGCGTCTGGCGGCGGTCGCGCCAGGACGACGCGTGGGAGATCCTGGCCACGCTCGAGGGCCACGAGAACGAAGTCAAAGGTCCGTGACTCAGCGTCTTTTTGTCAACTCTTCTCAGCTTCAAGTTCCGCTGCGGAATCATCGCGTCGCCCTCCACGCCATCGACGCGCCGTCTGCTCGATATCGCATCGATGGCGTCGAATCGCTGCGGCTCCGACCGCGTCCCGTGCAGGCTGCGCGTGGAACGCGTCCGCGTCGCTGCTCGCGACGTGCTCGCGGGACAAGAGCGTGTGGCTGTGGGAGTTTGTGGACGACGAGGCCTTCGAATTGTTGACTGTTTTACACGGGCACGAGGGCGACGTGAAAACCGTGGACTTCGACACGTGTTCCTCTTTGTCCGAAGATGATTTACTTGTCTCGTGTTCGTATGATGATACGTTGCGGGTCTGGGGTGATGATGGGGACGACTGGAGTTGTAGGAGTACGCTCGAGGGTCATGCGTCGACCGTGTGGGATGCTTCGTTCTGTGCCACTTCCAACGGCGCGAGACGGATCGTGTCCTGCGGCGCGGACCTGAGTGTGCGGGTCTGGGCCGAGGCGGCGCCGGGCGATGCGTCGAAGTGGGTCCAGCTCTCGGTGTTCGAGAACGCGCATAATCGCCCGGTCTACTCGTGCGCCGTCTCTGGAAATAGGGTCGCGTCCTGCGGCGCCGACGACGCGTTAATGCTGCTCTCGTTTGATGTTGAGAGTGGAGCGCTGGCGAAGCTTGGCAGGGTGGACGCCTGTCACGCGGGCGACGCGAACGCGGTGCGCTGGAACCCCGCTTGTGCGGACATGCTGGCGACGGCCGGGGATGATGGGGTGGTGCGGGTGTGGCGGGTCTAGTTTCTAACGTGGTTTTTGTAGTCTTCTGTACTGGTGGTTTGGGGCTAGTGGGGGTCGTTGTTTTGAGCGCGGACTTTCCCCGCTATCAGGTGCTTGGCGATGGATGGGAGGGGTGCTGACGATGGTTGGGCTGGTAGCGAGCCGAGACAGGCACACGCCATACGGCTAGCCCATCGATCCAGCCTGCAAGACCATCGTCAAAATGGCACTGCCACCGGGTCGAAATACTTCGCAACGCTGCGCCTGGCCGCCCAACTGGCCGCGCGCATCCGCCTAGCCCAATCCAATTGCAATCCGATGCGCGCGTACCACGCTTGACTATATCCTCGCGCCCTCTGCTGCAAATTTCGCTGCGGCGGAGCGTCCGGTTTTCACCGCGCGGCCGCTGAGGATTGCTTACAAGCCCAGCGAACCTCTTCGCCGTGTGCTGAGCACAAATGCGCGGCCACTAGCATGCGTACGGCCTTGGGTCGGGGAACACCGGTGCGATGGCAAGAGCCTGGCCGCTGCGCTCTGCGGCGGCGCGCCACCGCTGTGGTGAGCGGCAAGCCTTCTATTGCGGACCGCTCCGGGGCCTCGCGCTGGCAAGCCTCTGCACGACTTACGGTGACGTTCGACCGTTCGAAAACACACACACGTCACACCAGTATATCACGCCCCCCACAAAAAATCACCATCAAATCCCCACCGCAGAAGCTCACCGTCGCTCTCGCCTGCCTCCCGGTCGCCGCGGCGTTCGTCGCGCCGGCGCCCGCCGGCGCCTCGGTCAAGGTCCAGGAGACCAAGGCCGACCTTGAGGCGCTCGCCGTCAAGCTCAACCCGGTCGTTGGCTTCTACGACCCGCTCGGCCTCGCCGACGCCGATTTCTGGGGAAGAGGCAACGAGTACACCATCGGCTGGCTGCGCCACGCCGAGATCAAGCACGGCCGCGTCGCGATGGCCGGCTTCGTCGGCTACTGTTTGCATCTGTGTGGAAATCAACCAGTGCGTCGGGTGCACCCGACAATTCTTCACTAAGTCATTTCTCGCTGCTGGCGTCGCGTCGATAGCGTGGAGGACGACACAATGATTCAACATTCAACATCAACCTTCCATAAAATTTTGATTTCCACAGGCCTCCACGCGAACGGCGTGCAGTTCCCCATCCACATCCCCGGCGACTACTCCACCAAGTCGCCCGCGGAGCTGTGGGACCAGGTCCCGGAGGCGGGCAAGTGGCAGATCGTCCTCTTCGTCGGCTTCCTCGAGTTCTTCTCTGAGTCCGGCGCGGGCGGCGCTCACTACACCAAGGGTGGCAAGCCGGGCGCGTTCCCGAGCTTCAACTCGCCGGAGGCCGGCGACCAGTTCAAGATCCCGCACCCGGTGCCGCTCGACCTCTGGTACAGGTCCGTGCATAAATCAAACCGTCCACGCCATCGATGCGACACGGACCGCACCAGACTCACTTTTGATTTACGCGCAGGGACCCGGTCGGCTTCACGAAGAACGCCTCCCCCGAGAAGAAGGAGCGCGGCCGCCTCATCGAGATCAACAACGGCCGCCTCGCCATGCTCGGCCTCTTCGGCTTCCTCGCCGAGTCCAAGCTCCCGGGCTCCGTGCCCGCGCTCGGCGGCATCGCGCTGCCGTACGACGGCGACTACATGGCCCCGTTCGCCGCCGACTTCCACATCTTCTAAGCGCCTGAAGGTGGACGGCCGCGGTGCGGGTCTGCTGGTGCCCCTTCGATACGCGATGGATGGGATGGCACAGCAGGAGCTTGAGCTTCGGCTACTTTTCTAAAACTCTTGTAAAAGGCTCACAAACTCCACACCGCTAGAAAACGCAGCTAGCGGCTGTAAGACACTAGCAAGCCAGCCCTCAGCAGCACTTAAGCGATGCCAGCGGCGCACTGATCGCGATACAATTCGAGAGCATACATCAAAGGCGGATACGCGCGATAGAGCTTCGCTGCGCCACCGCTACTCCTCTTACGCCAGCTGTGTGTGAGATCTCTACAGTGATCGAGCTGCACCGCGACGCCGTCAGCGCGTAATACATTGAGTGCTGGAGCGTATTGCTGCCGCTGCAAGACACCGCAATCGGGGACAAAAAATGGTCGTCCGCTCCTCCCTGCACCGCACGAAATACTCGCGCGGCCGACCCAACGCCAAGAAGCCCGACGTGCAGCGCGAGCTGCCACCGGAGCTGCGAACCCAGCAATTATTGACGTTCGATCAAGCCAACTACGACCTCCGCGGCCGCGTCTGCGAGTTACTATCAAAAGTGCCGAGCGTCGGCGCGACCGGCGACCGCCTCGAGGACTTTGCGATGGCGCCGGACGCCTGGGCCTCGAAGGACCTGCAATGTAAGCTCACGGAGGCGGTTCTTGGTGATGACGCGTTCCTGGACGAGTACGACCGCTTCGTGCGGGAGGTCTGCGTCGTGCACGTCAAGAAAAGGCTGGCGGCCTGCGGCTTCTGCGAGCTCGAAGTGCCGCTGAAGTTTTATTACCAGCGGCCGCCGACGTTGCGCCTCCAGCCTGGGCCGTCCGAACGGCACGTCGCGCGGCACGACGACGCAAAGTACGGCCACCAGGCCGGCGAGGTGAACTTCTGGCTGCCGCTCACGTCGTTGGCGGAGACGCGGACGACGCTGTGGGTGGAAAGCGCGCCCGGCGCGGACGACTTTAAACCGCTCGAGGCGGACCTCGGCCGCTGCGGCGTCTTCCACGGCACTTACTGTCGCCACTACGTGCCGCCGAACGCCTCTTCCAAAACACGCGTCTCGCTCGACTTCCGGATAGGCGTCGAGGGCTGCTTCGACCCGCGCTGGGTGCTGCGCGGCACGCTCGACGACCACCATCGGCGGGAGATAGTTCTCTAGTTGACGCGTCGATGGCGTCTAACTGTATGTTGTACTAGTACAAGTGTCATTAGAAGTTCAGGTCGTCATCCACAACGTAGTTCCCGTACGGGTCCTTGTCGCGCTGCTTGCGGCCCTTCTTCCCGTGCTTGTGGTTCGATCTATTGGAAACGTCCTTCTTCCGCCGCGGCGGCGACGCGACCGGTGCCACTGGAGGCGGCGGCGGCGCGTCGGAGATCGAAAAGCCCGCCGCGCCGAGCGACTGCAGCACGCGCGCGTGGTGGTGGCCCCCGCGCTCGGCGCGCTTGATCGCGTCGTCGACCTTGCTTCGCACCGAAGCGGAAGCCAACGCGGTAGCACGCGTGTCCGCCCGGAACGCTTCCAACTCGGCGCCCGTCACCAACGGCGGCGCGTGGCAGTAGAGCAGGTCGCCGTCGACGTACGCCTTCACAATCAGCCGCCCCGCTCTTCCTAAATCTAGAGCATTGGAGCCGCCACACGTATAATCGCGCGCCCGACACACCTCCTCGAGCGCCTCGTTCGCCGTCAATGGACCCTGATTCGATGATAAGTGGGTCCCGTACAGCGCGTCGAAGAGCGCCCGCGGCGTCCGCGCGGCGACTAATGAAGCAGGCGCCGTCGGGTCCCTCATTCTGGCAATTGGGACAACACCAGCACAAAGCAACTCGGCGGCGCCGTGCGTCACGAGTGCCGGAAACACCAACCCAGGACAATCACATAATTCCAAACCTGGTCGCACCAATAACGTCTGCAGATGCTTGGTCTTCCCGGGCGTCGCCGACACCGCAGCTCTAGCCCCAACCCCATGCTTGTCCTTCGACGCGTTCCTCAAAACATTGACGCAGGAGCTCTTGCCGACATTTGGATAGCCCACCATACCGACACACAAAGGCCTTCCTTCACAATCGTCCGTCCTATTCAAACGGCACGTCCGCGCCAACTGCTCGGCCTGGTTGAGCAGGTCGTGGCGCGACGCGAGGCCGTCGGTATTTGATGGCGTTGTCGCATCGACAGCGTCTGCCGGGCCCGTCGCGTCGCTGGCGTCTTCCGCCGCGGCCGTCGCGAGGCCACCGTCTTCCGCCGCGGCAGCCGCCGCGGCCGCCTTCGCCGCGTCGTCGAGCTCGGCCTGCTCGCGCCGCGCGGAAAAAAAGATCGTCTCGAGGCCGTGCTTATCGAGGAAATGCCGTCTCCAAACCTCCCGTTGCGACGGAGACAGGTAGTCGGCCTTGTTCACCACTACTTGGACACCTCTGTTGAGGGAGCGGGCGTAGTCCACCAAATCCGGAGGCGCGTACAGATCCGGCCACCGCGCGTCCACAATGAGTAACACACAGTCGCTCCTCTCTAACGTGCGCCAGAGCTGCCGCCACACTTCTAAATTGCGCTCGAAGGGCGTCGCCACGGACGCCGAGTTGGCCAGAGACTCCTGTTCTCGTCTAGATCGCTCCGCTTCCTCGGTGGCGGCGATGCCGCGCCGCCACTGGAGAAAGGCCTGCTCCTCCTTCTCCGTCAATTGGTCTTTGGACGTTTGCTCATCCCACGCGGGCCGCCGGGGCACCGGTAAGCTTCGAAACAGGGCGTCGCCTTGTGCGCGCAGGGGCTTCACGACCTCCTGCGCCTCGGGGTCCACGAAGACCGCGCGCGACTGCTCCAGGCCCCGCGCGGTCTCGTACGTCTCCGTCTCGCGCTTGGCCCGTTCCAGAAACGACTCGACGGAGTCGCCGGCCTCGAGGACCGTGGTCGTGTCCTTCTTGACGCGTTGTACAGTATTGCGCTTGGGCTGGACGGTGGCGTCGCGGCCGCTCGACTTGCCGCGCGCGACGATGAGCGCGCTTCGTTGGGCCTTGGGGCCCGGGCGGCCCTTGCGCGTGCGCTTGATGTCCGGCATTTGACTGGTCCTCGCTTACGCTCGCGTCGGCTGGCGTGCAGTGCTGCTGGGCAGTGTGCCGCTGTCTCGCGGCGACTGGCGTGCCCGCTGTGTCGCCGCGGGCGCCGTGTGCAGTGATGCTGTGCTGCACTGCAGCTAGTCGCTCGCGTTACGGGCGACGGGTCGTGGTTAGAAGCCCAGCAGAGTGCTTCTGGGATACAGCTGCGTAGCTGCACTCACGTATCGCTTCGACGGCGTGCTGTGAGGCAAGAGCTCCTGCAAAAGCTCCAGAGTTTTTATCTCCAAAAATCAGCATAGGTGGTGCAACAAACGGCTCGTAAAAGGAGCTAGAAGTGGATACGGGTGGCGCAGCAGACGCTCCGTGACAGCTGCATCGGTCTTCGGCAGCTGCTGGTCGTGCGCGCGCTCGCAGACGAGCTGTGTAGCAAGCAGGCCTGCAGCACAAAAAAAATGGCCGAGATCGCCCGCGACGCCATCCTCTACGGCGGCAAGGACGTCGCGAAAGCGCAAAAAGCCGCCGAAGACCTCCTCCAGAAGCTCGTCGCAAACGGGTGCGACGAGGCGAAAGCAGCCCCATTGTCGCGCAAGGCGGCCGCGTCACTGAACGAAGCGAGATCGGTCATTGTCGTCCTTTGTGGAGAGGGCGACGGCGCGCAGGAGCCGAACTTCGATCGATTCTGGCGCTACCTGAAGAGGAGCGCGGATCGCGTCGACCAGCTGACGACGGCGGTCTTAGACATTGGAGACGGCGCTTTAGGTGCGCTCGTATCCAAACGCTTCGAGGAGCTCGGGTCAACGCCCATTACTGATGTTGAAAAGGTCGTCGCGGCTCTGAAGCCGACGGCATCGTCGACAACAGAAATACAAGAGAGACTCTGCGTCCTCTACGCCTCGCAGACGGGCAACGCCGAGTGCATCGCCAAGGACGTTAAGGTCGAAATTGAGGCGCGGTCACCAACTTGTAGTGTCGTCGTGAAGCCGTTGGACGCGTGGCGCGAACGCGTCGACGGCACGGAGCTGATAGGCAAGGGCGCAACCTGTATCATAATAGCCTCGACGACGGGCAACGGCGACGCGCCGGACAATGGGGAGCGCTTCTGGCGGTACGTTCGCAAAAGAGCACAACCATCTGATTTACTGGAAGGAGTGCGCTACTGCGTGCTGGGTTTGGGGGATACGAACTACGACAAGTTCTGCCACGTCGGTAAGGTGCTAGATGGTAGGTTCGCCGAAGTGGGCGCGGACCGGTTCTATGAGCTGGGTTGCGCCGACGAGGCGATGGGCCTCGAGCACGCGGTCGACCCGTGGCTCAACGGGTTGTGGCCCGCGTTATGTGGTTTGGGGCTGATTGGGGATGGGAGTGTGCGAGAAAAGGTGGACCTGGGGGAGCCGGTGCCCGTGGCGTGCTGTTGCTCCACCGACCACGCGGGTTTATTGTTACGCGGCTTCGACGTGGACAAATTCTTAAGGGAGAACCCGCGCGGCCTCGACGAGGCGCAGCTTCCCAAGGTGCGCGAGGCGTCTTCTGCAGAAGTGACTGCTGCAGAAGAGAACGGCCGCGCGGGCGCCTTCTCGGCCGTGAGGCCTTTCGAGGCGCCCGTGGTCGGGGCTTCAGTATTAGCGGACGCGAACGGGCGGCGCGTCGTCCACGTCGAACTAGATTTGACGGCGTCCGGGGCGCGCTACGAGCCGGGCGACTCCGTTGGTGTGAGGTGTCCCAATGATCATGAGTCTCTGAAAGCGGCGGCCGCGGCTCTCGGTGTGAAGGAGGTGTCCTCATCAGAGCTCATTCACAACGCGGACTTGAGCGCCGCGCCGTCGCGGTCCGTATTACGCGCATTGGCGGGCTGGTGCTCCGATACGAAGGAGCGCGACCTTTGTTTAGCTCTCGCGGCGCGGCCCGCGGGCAAGCTCTTGTACGACGCGTGCGTCGCGCGGCCGCGCCTGAAGGCGTATGAATTACTAGCGGCGCTGCCGTCCTGCAGGCCGCCCTCGGAAGCGGCGCTGGCCGGCGCTCTACCTAGACTCTCGGCGCGCTACTACTCCGTGGCGTCGTCGCCGTTAACACCGGACGGCGCCGCCCGGAAAGAAATAGTGAGCCTCTGCTTCTCCGTGGTGAAATACGAGGCCGGCGCCGGCACGAACGCCGCCCACTCATTAGAGGGAGCGGACCGCGTCTACGCACGTAAAGGATTGTGCACGACCTGGCTCGACGAATTGGTGAGGCCCGTCCTCGCCGGCAAGACCATCACGGACAGAGTGCCGTGCTTCCTCAAGCCGTCGGAGGCCTTCGCCCTGCCCGAGGACCCCGACGCGCCGATCCTCATGGTCGGGCCGGGGACGGGCGTCGCGCCCTTCGTGGGCTTCCTGGAGCACCGCGCGCGCAAGCGCCGCGCGACGGCTGTGAGCGCGCCGCCGCCGCCGCCATCGGCGTTGCCCGGCGCCCGGCCCGCGCTGCCGGGGGCGCGGCCCGCCTTACCGGGCGCGCGGCCCGCCTTACCCGGAGCGCGGCCGTCCTTACCCGGAGCGCGGCCCTCGGTGCAACGGGCGCCGCAAAAGCCAAAGACGACGACGACGACGCTCTACTTCGGCTGCCGCGCGCGGGACGTCGACTGGCTCTATAGGGAACGCATGCAGGCGCACGCGTCCGCCGGCCTCGACCTGAGGCTCGCCTTTTCTAGAGAGGACCCTGATACAAAAGTGTACGTGCAGCACCTGGTCAAGGAGGACGCGCGCAAGGTCGCGCAGCTCCTGAGCGACGGCGTGGGGCGGGTCTACGTTTGTGGTGATGGCGCGAATATGGCGCGCGACGTCCACCACGCGCTCGCGCACTCGTTGGTGGCCGCGGGCAAGGCCGCGGACAAGGGCGCCGCGCTCGCGGCGCTCGAGGTGCTCAAGAAGGACGGGCGGCTGCTGCACGACATCTGGTCGCCCATCGACGAGTACGAGGACTAGTTGACGATATGTGTTTGAGTACGGTCCGCCGGCGCCGAGGTTTCTCGCCGCCGCCGGACGCTTCATGTTTTAATTGTAGTCAACAATATACTTAGATCACTGCATAAATCCAGGCAACGGCACGCGGAACTCCTGACCAACCGCAACTCCAGCAGGCACGACGACCGAGTACCGCTGTCCGCGACCCCGCGGGTCGGGATCGGTGAACTCGACGTTCATGCCGGGGCGCGCGCCCGCGGGACACCGTAGATTGATGAACCGCTGTGGGGGCGGCGGCCGCCGCTGCCCAGCGAGCCGCGCCCGCGCGCCCGCGATCGCGGCCTGGAAGTCGAGCAGCGCGCGCGGCGCGCGCGGCGCCGGCGGCATCGGGACGTACTGCAACTGAGGAGGCGCGACGCCCCGGCGCCGCGCGTCGAGCTGCGCCGCCGCGTGCCGCCGCATAGTCTCAGCTTCTTGCTCGGGTCGGTGCGCCATCATCAGGTCGTGCGCCCGCTGGCCGCCGTGACACTTCGCCGGGTCGTGGGACTCGTGCGGCTGCAGACAAATAAAGCAAAAGCTTTTGCCGCAGCCGCCCGGCGGCGCGCATAACACGTGGTTACAGCCGCCGACCTTCGTGATGCCGTTGCCGCAGGCCGGGCACCGCTTCGTGTCGGAGCCGAGGGACTTGAGCACGTCCTCGCCCTCGTCCACGTCCTCGCACGGCTTGCCCGGGTGCGCGTGGGCGCCGCACTTGATGCAGTAGGACCGCTCGCAGGGCTTGCCCGGTAGCCCCGGGCACTGGACAATGCCGTCCTCGGGCTCGTCGCCCTTCAGCACGACGCCGCGCGCGCCGCAGACGCACTCCAGCCGCGCGGCCACATCACTACGCAGCGCCACCGCCGCGTCGCGTTCCGCCGCCCGCGCCTCGAGGTCCTCGAGCTCCCACGCCGACAGGCACCCCTTGACGTGGTCCGTGCCGACGAGCGCCTTGCAGCTCGGACACTTGACCTGGGAGGCGCCGGCGCCCTTCGTGCCCGTGACTGTCAGGTAGTTCCGGAAGCACGGCTTGCAGAACCAGTGGAGCTCGTCACCCTCGCACGGCACCGAGTCCGTCAGCGCGAACGTGTCGCAGCAGATGCCGCACTCGACGCCGTCGGCGCCGTCGACCGATTCGATCTTGCTGAAGGCCTCGGCAACCGCGTTGCGGCCCGCGTAGAGCGCCAGCCGGTTCCCCAGGAACAAGAGTTCGCCCTCGAGAAAGACAGGGTCGGCGAACATCCCGTTCACGACGGATTGATCGACCGCGCCCCAGAACTCGTCGGCGCACGCCGCCAGCATGTCCCAGAGCGGCTCGTCCGGCCGGTCGCGCTTCCACCGCCACTGATCGAGGGCCCCGCGCGCGACGCAGCAGCGGAAAAGCTTCCGAACCAGCCGCGACTTCGCGTTCTCGCCGGCGGCGCGCCACTTGGCCTCCGCCGTCTCGAGCGGCGACTTCGGCGCGCCGACGCCGCCGCGGCGCATCGCCGGCGTCTTCTCGAGGCGCTCCGTCTCGCGCTGCTTCGCGGCGGCTGCCTCGTCCGTCGAGATGCCCGTCGTGGCCTTGCGCTCGCGCTTTTCCACGTGCGTGATCTCGACGTCGTCGTCCGAGTCCTCGTCGCGGGCTCGTTTTTTCTTTTGCCGCAGCGGCGGCGGCGGCGGCGCATCGTCCAGCTGCGTCAAATCTATCACTTCCGCCATCGCTGCGCCGCGTCTTGTTAGCTGCAGAGTGGTCCACTGATTTGGGCTTCGCAGCGCGCGGCTTTTCGGCCCTCGCGTCAGCCGCTCAGCGAGAGGTCTCGGCGCGCGCGTCGGAGAGCACGCAGCGCTGCCGGATAAGCCAGCAATCTGGCCGGCAGATGCCGTGCAAAACTAGTATGTGTCTACACGCTAGCAAGCTCCTTTGCTCTGGAGCCCATACGGCGCACAAGATGGCCGCATCAGCGCCCAGGCTCGTGCTATGGCTAGCCGCCAGCGCGCTGGGGCTCTCCCCAAGCCTGCGTGCGCGTTCGCTGCCGGCGCGAGCAGTGAGAGCGCCTGTGGTTCAAAACCTGCAACCGCTGGCGCCCCGCGCGCGCGACCTCACGCGCCGCGCCAGCGACATGGAGCGGTCCTACGACGGCGTCGACCTCACCGCCAGCGACGCAACCGATGTGATGGACGAAGAAGGCTGGTTCGAGGACGACGACGAGCGCGACGCGGCCATAGACATCCTGGCGGACCGCGACGAGAACAACGAGGAGGTCGACACGTCTTCCGTGTATTTTTTTGGGAACGACGACGACGACGACGAGGAATTAAGGCGATTACTTAGTGAACTGGAGAGCCAGTTCGCCGGCAAAGACGACGCGGCCTCGCGGTCTATTTTAGCATCGGTAGAGGAGTGCGGGAAGGTCTTGGAGAAGGAGCACACGCCCGTGGCGCTGGACGCGCGCGCTGCACTAGCGTTTGCCGCGACGGCGCGAGGCGACGCGCCCGTCGATGAACTAGATGTAGAAAGAATCCCAACAGTAGACGATGAATTAGTAGAGGCCTTCCAGGCATTAAATACAGACGACTTCGACGGCCACCTGGACGAGATGTACGGCTGGCTCGTCGGGAACAGTTCCGAAGCGACTCATGCTGGAAGTACTTCATCTAAAACAAGGTTCGGACGGACCGTGGGCTTGGATCTGGGCACCACAAACAGCGCAGCCGCCGTCGTCGACGCCGACGGCGCGCCCAAATTGCTGCCACCCGGTTTAACCCCGTCGGTGGTATGTTTTATCGACGGCGAACTGGAGACGGAGCCTGTGGATCGAGCAGGCAGAGTAGCGCTGCGGGACGATGACGGCCGGGGCGTCGTCGCGGTCGTGGGCAAAGAAGCCGAACAGATGAGAGACGGCGTCCACGCCGCGTCCGTGTGTTCTCGGGTGAAGCGGGTATTAGCCCGGGACGCGACGCCGCGGGAGATGCGCCGCGTGTCGGCGGGCGAGTCGGAGAAGCTGACGCACACCACTACCCTAAGGATCCCGGCGCTGCCGAATAGAGTTGCAGCCTCCGAAGTGTCCGCGGAAGTGGTCCGGAAGCTGCGGGACGACGCGTTGGCGTTTCTGGACGGCCACGCCGGCGCCGCGACGAAATGTGTGGTGGGCGTCCCGGCCCGTTTTGATGAAGCGGCCGTCGAGGCGACGAAGACCGCGTGTTTGTTAGGTGGTTTTGAGTCCGCAGAGACGATTCTGGAGCCCGTCGCGGCGGCTTTAGCGTACTCGGCGACGAAGCAAGTCGGCAAGGAGACGGTTTTGGTGTTCGACCTCGGAGGTGGCACTTTTGACTGCTGCGTCGTGGAGTTGGATGGGAATAGGGCGGAGCTCATAGCATTAGGTGGGGATGCGAAACTCGGTGGCGATGACTTTGATGCCGCAGTTGCTGAACATCTGGCCGACCGGTTCTACGACGCGCACGGTCTGTCCGTCAAAGCGGCGACGGCTAGATTGCGTTTATTAGCCGAGGCGGAGCGGTGCAAGATCGCTTTATCTAGATCCAACGCTACCAAAGCGTTCGCCCGCGGTTTAGCTAGAGTCGGTTCTGATGGGAGACGCGCGCGGGGCGGCCGGCCCCTCGATCTAGAATGCGACATAACGCGGCCCGTGCTGGACGCGCTCTGCCAACCGTTGTTAGCGAGGCTGGAGAAAGCCATGCGCGCGACGTGCGCCGAGGCCGGCGTCGCGTTGCCCGGTGATAAGGGCACTCGATCGCTGGACGGCGTGCTGCTGGTCGGCGGCGCGACGCGGACGCCGGCGGTCGGGCGCATGCTCCGCGCGGCGACGGGCCTGCCCCTCGCGAAGATCGCGGCGCACGGGTCTGTCCACCCGGACGAGGCGGTGGCGCTCGGCGCCGCCGTCCGCGCGGCGGCGCTCGACGCGAGCAGCGTCGGGGCTGCTGCGCCGGACGCGTCCGTCGTCGACAAACGAGCTGCTGTGTAACAAATTAACTTTATCCTGAAATCATGTTAGGCAGTCCCTGACTCGCCGTTCCATGTTTTCGGCGCCGAGCGCTTCGACGGCCGCGACGTTCCGCCTCCAGACGTCGTGGCCGTCCTTCGACTCCAAGGCCCGCTCGACGTCGGCCTCGCGCAGCAGGTGGAGCACGGGGAAGGGCGACCGATTCGTCCAGTGCGACGCGGCGTCCTCTGGAGCGTCGCCGAACTGGTAGGCCGGATGAAACGTGGCTAATTGGATCGCCCCGCGGTGGCCCGCCGAGTCTATGGCGTCGTCGACGGCGTCGACGAGGTCGAGGTAGTCCTCGAAGGCGCAGGCGTCGCTGATGGCGATCGCCACCGTCGCGTTTTCTGTCGCTACAACCGCGTCGAACTCGCGGCGCGCACATTCCAAGGCGTCAGTGGTGGTGGATTCGACGATGCGGAGATCACCGTGCTGGAGCGGCGCGCCCGCCCACGGACACAGGTTCAGGCCGACGACGACGTCGCGGATCCACTTCCGCGTTGATTTTACTGGGCAGGCGGCATCACTGTGGCTGTACACGCGTGACGCGACGCGCCGCGAGCTTCGGTAGAGCAGTCCGTGGGCTGACGCAGCGACCACCAGCCGTACGCTCCGCATTGCAGCTCAGAGCCCAGAGGCAGGTTCAGTGATTACAGTGGAGACAAGGCGGACGGCTGAGATGAGTGGCTTGGCGGCTGCGTCTTGATATATATGGTAATAATCAACCTTTCAACACCACGGTTGTGCCTTAGCACGCCCGCTTTGCGTCTGGCGCCGCGGTAGAGCTAGCGGCATGTAAGACACTAGCCAAGGACGAGCCTGAGATATTCAGGCTCCAAACTCGCCTATTTCGAGTGCACGGTAGCTGCGCAGCCGCATTTGTCTATTAGACAGCCACTCGCTGCCATCCAGACCAAGAACGTCGCCGCCGGCCCTCCATAAGACATGCCTCTACCAGCCTCCCTAGCGGGTCACGCCGCGGGCGCGAAGGAGCTGCTCGCCGCGGTCACTAAGGACCCGAGCCTGCTCGAAGACCCAAGCCTCGCCTTCCTGAAGGAGTTCTGCGCGAATTATCCTCCCGAGGCGCCCGAGGCCGAGACGGACGACGACGCTGGTGGCGAATTCATGAAGCGCGAGAAGACGCCGTTCCCCGCGGTGCCGGCGAACGCGGCCGAGGCGCCGGACGACGCCGACTGGTCGATCGCGTCGACGAAGAAGAGCGCTGCAAGCGCTGCAGCGCCGGCGGAGGCCCTCGACCTCTACACCGAAGCCTTACAAGCGGAGGCCGCGACCGCGTGTTTGTCCGCGACGACGCTCGCGAAGCGCGCCGAAGTCCTCTTGAAGCTCGAGCGGCCGGCGGCGGCCATCAATGATTGTGATGCGGCTCTGAAGCTCAACCCCGACTCGTGCCGCGCGCTGAAGACGCGAGGAAAAGTCCGCGCGGCCCTCGGCGAGTTCGTCGAGGCGAATTTAGATCTGAGCAAGGCCCAATCGATAGACTTCGACCCGGACCTCGCTTCTTTATGCGCCGAGGTCAAGGCCAAGGCCGCGGAGACGAGCGCCAAGCAAAGGGAAAAGGAGCGCGCGGCGGATCTGGAGAAGAAGAAGAAGGCCGCGGCCGAGCGCCACCGCCGCGCGCAGGAGGCGCAGGCGCGGAGCGCGCCGCCGCCGCCGAGTGGTGGGATGCCAGGGATGGGAGGTGGAATGCCGGCGGGCGTGCCGCCGGGCATGGCCGGCATGGCGCAGGGCATGATGAACGACCCCGACGTCATGGCGGCCATGTCGAACCCGAAGGTCATGGCCGCCTTCCAGGAGATGATGGCCGGCGGCGCGCCGAACCCCGCGAAGATGATGCAGTACATGCAGGATCCCGACGTCGGGCCCGTGCTCCAGAAGATGATGGGCAAGTTCGGCGGCGGCATGGGCGGCATGCCTGGTATGCCGGGCGGCATGGGCGGGATGGGTGGCATGGGTGGCATGGGTGGGGGCGGCGGCTTCGACGCGGGCGCGCCCGACATCGAGGAGGTAGGAGAGGATCTTCCGGACCTCGAGGAGGTCGACGAGGTCGACTAGAAATAAGTGTGTTACTACATGACCGTCGTCGACTTCGGCGCTTCCTTGCGCTCGAGGTACGCCTTCCAGCCGCTCCCTTCCAAGACCTCGGCCTTGCCGAGGACCTCGTCGCGCTGCGACGCCGCGTAGGCCTCGAGCGCGTCGGCGAGCGCGTCGTTCGACGTCGACAGGATGCGCGCCGCCAGCAGCCCCGCGTTCGTCGCGTTGCCGATGGCGACCGTCGCGACGGGCACGCCCCGCGGCATCTGCACGATCGAGTGCAGCGAATCGACGCCCGACAGCGCGGACGTCTTCACGGGCACGCCGACGACGGGCAGCGGCGTCATCGCGGCGACCATGCCCGGCAGATGCGCGGCGCCGCCCGCGCCAGCCACTATTACTTTCAAGCCTCTGCGTCTGGCGCTCCGCGCGTACTCTACGAGTCGATCCGGCGTGCGGTGCGCGCTCACGATCGTGCACTCGTACTCGATTTTGAACTTCTCGAGCATCTCGCAGGCTGCCTTCATGACCGGCAGGTCGCTGTCGCTGCCCATGATCACGCCCACGAGTGGCGCCATGGTTGATTTTGCAGTGTTTTATGTCGCAGCGATAGCGTAAGACGAGAGATTTGGCACAGCAGCCGCCGCGCGCGCCGCAGCAGAGCTAGCGGCAGGTAAGACACTAGCGGATTTTGGGCTCGTGAGCCGCCTATACCTGCGCTGCGCGGCGCATCGCTCGGTCAGCGAAGCCTTCTTCGCAGTTCTTTGCAACGCTGGGACCCTCCCATCTGTGGGCCCACGCGTTGCCCAAAATCAGCGTGACCCTTCTCAAACCACTGCCTGAGCCAGGCGCCATTGATCGATGAGCTGTCCCATTTGCACGGCGCCGGTGGAGAACGAGTCGTGCGAAACGTGCGGCTCGCTCGAAGGCGTCGACGCGAGCGGTTTCGCGGCGTCGCGGGTCTTCGGCTACGACTGGGCGGCGGGCTCGGTGGCGCCCTGGCGCGACGCGCAAGGCCGCGCCTACGCGACCCCCTCGGAGCTGGCCGAGGTCGCGCTGGTTGCCGCGGGCCTCGAACGCGGTGGCTACGCGATCGATTTAGGGTGCGGCGACGCAGCGATCCTGCGCGCTGCGGCGACGCGGTACGGCTGCCGCGGGCTCGGCCTCGACATCGACGATGGCGCCTTGGCCGACGCTGCGCGCGCCATCGAGGCTGATGGCGTCGGCGAGCTCGTGAGCGTCCGTCGCGGCGACCTGAACGAGTTCGATCTGGCTTGCGAGATCGACCACGCGGATGCACCGGTCGTCGTGACGTGTTATCTGCTGCCCGCGACGCTCCGGGAGCTGCGACCGAAGTTGGAGGACGCCTGTCGCCGCGGCGCTGCCGTCGTCCTGTTCCGGTGGGACTGCGGCTTAGCTTGGCAGGGCCCGGTTGGCCGCCACGACGACCGCGGGTTCACTGTGTACCGGCAGGATCCGGACCGGCTCTCGCCGCTCATCGAGGTGTTGGGCGTCGAAGCTTTACAGTACTTAGACACGGCGTCGTTGGGCTGCCTGAACGCGTGCGCGCGGGCGTTTGGCAAACAGTCCGAGGCTACCGGGCGCTCGCCGTGCGAGGATGAGGCCTATCGGCGGTTGCGCGCGCATCCGAAGTTCCGACGCCACGATGGCAAGATGCCCGAGCCAAGCATCCACAGACCGGCGCGGGGCGGCGGATTTCCGGGCTGGATCTATGTGTTGAACGACTGGGAACGGTATTGGGTGTTTAAGGCTCGTGGAGAATTCCGTGGCTATGTTGGGGTACCCGCGGACGCCTTTAGCTTCCGACGAATCGTGTACATCTTGGGCCACGCTAATGTGACGCGCTGTCCACCGAAATACAGCCAATGCCGTCCGAGCCCCGACAAAGTAGCATGGTCGCGAGACTACGACAGATACGTGGGATGGTCGGACCGCCTGTCGATGCTCGTTGAGGTGCTCGACGTCAACGCGTTGCGTCACATGGATGCGACGTCGCTGGGGCGTCTGAGCGCGTGCGCCAAGGCATTTGGCCACAAGCTGGAGAGACCTTGTTTACCCGATGCGGAGGGGCCGGACCGTTGGCGCTCGCTCTGCGAGGACGCAGCATGTTATCGCTTGCGCGGGGACGTCTATAAACGCTTGCATGCGGACAAACGGTTTCGAGAATCTGATGCGTTTGTTTACACCGGACAGTTCCCACGATTCGATAGCTCCGTGTGGGGGCGGGACGGATTATTCTCGGGCTGGCTACACGTATTGTTCGATTGGGAGCAGGCCCTCAAATTCGAGCGTTGCGGCGGCTTCAACGCGTTTGATCTGAGCGATAAGCTCAGACACATCGAGGAGATGAATAGCGGCGCGCAGAGCTTTCGACGATGGAAACGCATCCTGGGCCACTTGGGGGGGTCGATGCATTAGAGATATGTAAGTATGACAAGTTACGAATTCTTCCGCGTCACGCCCCCCTCCTTGTTCGCGCCGGGGCAGTCGTGCGTCGCCGCGTGCTCGTGGTCCAGCTGGGAAAAGAAGGCGTGCGCCTTCTCCGGCGCGACGCGCGCGACCCAGACGTCCATGAGGCCCGACGAGCAGGCCCCAAAGTCGGAATCGGTGGCGCCGCCGGCGACGACGTCGCCGTCCGGCGCGACTACTAACGCGTTGAGGTCGTCCCGGCCGAGCTCCCCGAACTGCGCGACCCACCGTCGCGAGCCATCAAACGCGTCGAGCTCCGCGATCCAGGCGTCCGACTTGCCAGCGATGGTCTTGTTGAAATCGCCATAGGTCTGGCCGCCCACATAAACACTCTCGCCGTCCGGCGAGACGGCGACCGCGTTCAGGAAGTCGACGCGGTTCGTCCCCAGGACCACGGACCACATGATCCGACCCGTTCGTCCATCGAGCTTCGCGACGAACCCATCCCGTCCGCCGGGCTTGCCCGGGGCAGACGCCGGGTCCTCGGAGCCGCTCCCGTCGACGATGGCCGCGCCGAACGTCGAGCCCGCGACATACACCGCGTCGCCAGGGCCGGTACTCGCCATGGCCGTCGGCTCCTCGGCCCGCTCGGAGCCGATCTGCTTCACCCAGAGCTCCTCGCCGGTCTTGCCGTCGTGCTTCGTGACCCAGACGTCGCCCTTGCCAATGAACGACCCGTCGGCGACTTCCCCAAACGTCTGGCCGCACGCGAAGACGGCCGAACCGGACGCTGTGGACGCGACCGCCGCGACCGTATCGGACTTCTCCGAGCCGATCTGCCGCGTCCAGAGGTGTCTTCCATCATCTCCAGAAAAAGCGCCCAGCCACGCGTCGCCCATCCCAAAATGCCTGTGGTAGTGGTCGTCGTAGTCGTTCTCGTCGTGGTGGTCGTCCACATGACCGTAGGTCTGGCCCGCCGCGAAGAAGATCGACAACCAGGCGTCCGAGGCCACGCCCAGGATGGAATCCTTCTTCTCTGAACCTGCTTGCAAGACGCCCTCGCCGCCATCATCATGATGCCGGCCCCACTGGCCCCTCCCCTTATCATCCCATCTTCCTCTCCAACCGTCCATCGTCCCCGCGAGGCCCTCCTCGCCCCAGTGCCCGTAGGTCCAGCCGCCGCCGACGACATGACCATCCCCGGCCGCCAATCCCTCGACCTTGTCCTCCCTATTGGTCCCTATTTGTGTCGACCACTCGTGCTCTCCAGTATGAGAAATCCCGGCCATCCAGACGTCGCCGTAGCCTCGATGTTCGCCGCCCACAGCTCCCATCGTACTTCCAGCGCAGTAGACGCGCTCCGTCGACGCGTCGATCGCCAGCGCTCGCAACTCGTCATTTCTATGAGAACCGAACTGCACGATCCACTCCGTGCCCTCTTCTCCGCCGCATTTCACGACGCCATTGATCGACGTGCAAGTTTGGTCCGCATTGTCCAGGGTGTCCTCTCCCCAAACGCTGCCCAGCGCCGCGGCGGCGAGGAAATGCCGTCGGAGCATGGCACGGCTGGTCCTTGCGTGCCGTTGGTGCTCTGCGTTGCTCTGCGGGCAGCGATGTAGCGATTTCGCGTGCACGCGGAGCTTACAAATTTTGGTAAAGCACGGGTTTTGTCGGAGGCCGTTCAAGATGTCGGAGAGGTGGAAGCTACCCTTCCGACGCGTGGCTCGCGTCCAAAGCCAGGGCGCCGAGCTGGTCCGGTGTGGCACCACAGCGCGGTTGGTGCACAGCGCGAGCGCAAGCGCGAGGCCGCAAACAAACGCAAAGGCTGCCACCGCGAGCGAGAGTCGCCTTCGAACCGCCGCTCGCTGCCCACCTGCGCGGGGCAGCCGTTTCGCTCTGCCCATTTGTTGCACGAGCAGCTGTAGGCAAAAGCAGGACAGTAAGCCATGGAGCAGGCCAGCGTCCAGGAGACCTATCTCCAGTTGTGGGAGGCGCTCTGCCAGGGCCACGACGGGAGTAGGGAAGGAAGGCGCCTCAAGCTTCAGGTCGTCGACACTATTTTATTCAGAGGCGGCCGGCCGTGCGGCTGGGTCTTTACGGACAAGGAAGGTTTTGTGCGGGCGAAGCACCGATCTAGGTTGGAGTGGGTGCAGATCACGCGGCATTTGTTGAGGCTATTGCCATCGAATGCGGATCGGGACGAGGCCGCTGCTGTCCTAAGGTATGTGACGCCACATTCATCAAAGCTCCAGACTTTAGTGCTGAACCGGAGGGAGCTGCAAGACTTGGGAGGCTCGCCGGCGGCCTGCTCGTCCGCACTAGGTGGTGGTGAATTAGTCGCATTACAAGCAGCACCACAACCCTACGTCGGAGACGGGTCCGGCGTCTTCGCGTGCCGGTGCCGCTTCGGCGAGCCCGAGTTCATCAGGAGGATCGCGGCGGATCCCGGCACGCTAGATGCGCAGTTGACCATCGCTACTTCAGTGACTCGGGAATACGTGGATTGGCCTGAGAAGCGTGCTGGGAAGAAAATGATCTCCGAGAGGTCTCGAGCGGCGGACCCGAAAGGAGTTAAACGAGGAAAGCAATGTGCAAATGCAACGGGTTCCGTGGCGGCGCACGCGTCCCATGTAAGGGGCGTGGAAGCCCCTCGTGGATTGACCTGCGAGTTTTCTTTCGACAAAAAAGGACGACCCACCTTATGTCACGTCCTGGATTTAAGTGGATCTTCGCAGCGCATAGCGAATTGCCCGACGCCTCTCTCAAATGGCCTTCCTCATGAATATATTTCGCCGACGTCGGACGAGTTCCCCACGCGGTCCCCGGACTTTGCTTATTCGCCGCCCTCAAATCCAAAATGCGACGAGGCCTTCGCGCCGTCTTCGCGACCTCAGGCGTGGGGCGGCGCGTCGAACGCGGCCGTGAAAAGTGACGCGAAGCGGCGGTCGCAGAAGTTCCGGCAGCAGCTCGACGCCGCGTCGCTGTGGGAGTGCGCTCCCGCGCCGGCGCCAAAAGCTGCCCCATCCTTGGATGAAGTGCCGCGCTCCCAGACTGCCACGTCGTCTCGTATTCGACAGCTCGACGGCCGCATCTTCTTGAGACCGGAGGCGAAATCAGATAGGAGGATCGCGTCGCAAGTGGCGCTGGAACGGCAGTTCGCGATGCGCGACGGCGACGCCGGGCGCGAATTGCGGGCGGCCTGTGAAAGAGCAGAGAAACAGCGCCAGTCGATTCGACGAGAGCAAGAGGTTGAAAAAAGAAGGCGCGACAGGTACATCGAGGTCGAAGATGGATTAGATGTGATCCGGACGAACCCACTCATCGACGCCCGGAAGGCGGCGGAAGAAGAAAGATTAGCTGCGAATCTGAGGAGGCAGCGGGACATCCAAAAGCAACGCGAGGAGACGCAGTTGAGGTTGGAGAAGCTGTCGCAGCCTCTCAGGAGGCCGAAGTCGGCGCCGGCCCGACGACCCATCTCGACGGCGCCGGCGCCGGCGCGACGACGCCGGCCTAAAACTGGGAGACGAAAGCCCAGAAAGAGCGACCTTTCGACGAAGCGCTGGCGCGAGGCCGAGGCCGAAGCGCAACAATATCCTTTATATGGAGAAAAGACCGTGCGCTGCGTCCGCATGCGCGATCCCCGCACGCTGGCGAAGCAGTGGGACCAGCAGGTCCGCGACGGCGCAATCTGGTGGGTTGGGAAGCCGCTGGAGAACGCGCCGCCGCCGCCGGGCGAGCCGGACCCCGACAATCTGTGGGACTGCGTCGGGAAGCGGAACCCCAACGCCAAGATGCCGTCGCCGGTCGGGCGCTGCCCTTCCACAGCATCCGTGGGTCTGACGGACTCGGAGGTGCGGCTCGCGCGCGCGTTCACGAACCAGAATCTCGTCGAGAGGTTGGTGCCGCGGAAGGAGCTTTCTCCTCGGTCCTACATGGCGGGGAAGGCTTAATTATGTGGCACATCTGCTCGTTTGGATTCCTAGTGTCTTACATGCCGCTAGCTCGGCGGGAACTTCGCAGCTCGGATATCGAGGGCTTACAGCTCACGTTTGATCGACCTGAAGCACACACGTTGCCTATTTTTGGCCGTGATCGCTTTTGCCTCCGCGAAACGGTGGCTGAAGGCAGCCAGAGGGAGGTTTTTACCACTGCTCTGCTTAGCTAGCGCCACCTAGAGCCGACGCGAGGCTGCCGTATAGATCACTGCTGCTGATTTATCACTGCTGCTGCTACAGCAGCATGGCTCTCCGTCTCACAACCCTCCTGCTGATCTGCACACGAATACGCGCCTTCGCACCCGCCCGACCACTCGCCACGAAGCGCAGCGCCTTCGCACCCGCCCGACCACTGAAGCGCAGCACGCGACTCCACGCCGTGCCCTCCGTGCAAAAGCGCGGCGGCGACGCGATGATCCTCACGGCGCTGAGCGTCTGGCAGGCGCTGCTGCGCGCGCCCTGGGCCACGGACCCCGACGCTTATTTGACGGTGGACTTCGAGGGGGCGGTCATCCGCGGCAGCCGCCTCGCATTGTGTTTGTACATCGCGGAGAAAGTTTTTAAAGCGCTGCGGGCGCCGGAGAGCGTGCGCGAGGTGCCTGTGCCGGTCGAGGCCGCGGCCGTCGCGCTGCTGCTCAACCTCGGGATCGAGTACACGCTCTGCACCTGCCCGCTGCCGGACGCGCTCGCGCACTCGGTCGGCGGCTCGCCGGCGGACGTCGCGACGACGTACCTCACGATCGTCGCGTGGCGGATCATCTACGCGAGCAGGAGCGGGCGGATGTAAAATATTTGTACTAATAATACTACTTTGATATGTCGAGGAGCGGCGACGACGCCACGGCCGTCTTCGAGATGGCCATGGGCCGCGCGGTGTACGCGAGCCGGCCGGCCTCTGTCGCGAGCTTGAAGGCGCGCGCCATCGCCGGCGCGTCGTCGGCGCGCGCGACGGCCGAGTTCGCCAGCACCGCGTCGGCGCCGAGCTCCATCGCCAGGGCCGCATCCGACGGGCACCTGAGTCCCGCGTCGACGACGACGGGCACGCCCGCCTGCTCGACGATGACGCCGATGCACGACGACGCGTCGATGCCCTGGCCCGAGCCGATCGGCGAGCCCAGGGGCATGACCGTGGCACACCCAATGTCCTCGAGATGTCGACACAGGACCGGGTCCGGCGAGCAGTACGGGAGCACGGCGAAGCCCTCCTTTACGAGTTGTCTAGCCGCGGCCAGCGTCCCCACGGGGTCCGGTAGTAGGTACGTCGAGTCCGTGATGACCTCGAGCTTCACAAAGTTGTTGTCGTCCTGGCCCAGGGTTTTTGCTACTTCTCTTCCTAGACGCGCGACCCTCACAGCGTCTTCCGCGGTCGTGCACCCGGCCGTGTTCGGCAGCAGCCAGACCTTGTTCCAGTCGATGGACGTCTCCAGCATGCTCGTGACGGCGCCCTCGACGCGGCGCACCGCGACGGTCACGACCTCGGCCTCGGACGCCGCGATGGAATCGGCCATGTCCTGCGCGGTCTTGTACTTGCCCGTGCCCAGGAACAGGCGCGAGTTGAACGTCTTGCCGGCGATCACGAGCTGGTCGTTGCTCGGTGGTGCCACTGTCAGTGGGCTGCGGCGCGTCGCCGTGGCCGAGAGGGCGCTGGCGGCGCTGAGCAGGCTCAGGGTGGCGAGGCGGCGCGGCATCATCCGTCGAGTCGTTCTGTGGCTGTCGCGGCGTACCGATGCGATGTTCTGGGCGCTCGTCTAGGTTATACCGAATTGCTCGCGGCCTGTTTTAACAGCCAGCTCTGGACTGCAGCGAGCTGGAGCCAAGAGCACAGCTCACAAACGCGGCGCAGGCGTGCCTACGCTAATCTACACGCCCGCAGTGGTCCTCACGACTCACAACAGGACGCTACAGAGGAACGAAGAGACGCAACGCCTCGCCGCACAGCCTGCACACTCTCCTTGAGCAGTGGTGCTTGTTGAGGACTCAGCGCGCCACACCTCCGGAGCAGTGGTGCTTGTCGAGGACTCGTAGCCCCCGAGACGTTTGCAATGATGCGCCTCGGCCTCACCTTAACCGTGCTGCGCTCGGCGCGCGCGCTGCGGCAGCTCACGCGACGGCACGCCAGTGCGAGTGCAGGCGAGAAGAAGCGCGTCGTCTTCCTGGGCAGCCCGGGCGTCGCGGCGCTTACCCTAGGACGCTTGCTCGACGCCGATTCCAATTTCGAGGTCGTCGCGGCCGTGAGCCAGCCGCCCGCCCCGAAGGGTCGCAAGCGCGTCCTGCAGCCCTGCGAGGTGCAGGCTTTAGCCGAGGAGCGCGGCCTACGATGCCTGACGCCGGCGAAGGCGCGCGATCCGGACTTTCTGGACGAGCTTTCAGCATTAAAACCGGACGTGTGCGTGACGGCGGCCTATGGGCAATTCCTGCCCAAGAGCTTTTTGAGCATACCATCGCTGGGCACGCTAAACATCCACCCTTCGTTACTCCCGCGGTGGCGCGGCGCGGCGCCGGTGCAGCGGTCTCTGGAAAATGGCGACGAGAAAGTGGGCGTCACTGTTTTACAAACGGTCCTGAAGATGGACGCCGGCCCCATCGCCGCTCAAAGTGTACCTAGACCCGTCACGGAGGGCGACACGGCCGCGACTTTACTCGACGAGTTGTTTAACGAGGGCTGCGACCTGCTCATAAATGACGTGCTCCCTTCACTGTTCGACGGGTCGCTTGAAATGCGGGAACAAAATGACGATGACGTGACGGAGGCGCCCAAACTCACGAAGGACGAGGGCTTTCTGAACATACACGAGTCTCCGGACGCGCGGTCCGTCGCGGAGGCGTGCCGCGATAAAGTGAGAGCCTTCGCGCCTTGGCCGGGCACGTTCCTCAACGTCCGGGCGGGCGACGCGGCGTATCGGCTGAAGGTGCTCGAGGCGCGTATTGGTGATGCCGTTGACGGTGTGAGCTACCGCAAGCCGGCACTCTCAATACCGTGCGCGGACGGCTCTGTTTTGGATTTGTTGAGGGTGCAGCCGCCGAACAAGAAGGCGATGGACGCGGCGTCGTTCTGGAACGGGCTGCGCGGGGCGGAGCTGGAGTTTTTGGGGCTCGAGGACCCATGATAAACTGACAAAATTTAGTACTAGGGCCTCGTCGCGTTCAGAGGCGTCACGCTCCCGTGATTGTGCCGCCTTCTAGGACTCACGAGCACGGCGAACAACGTCGCGGAGAAGAGCGCCAGCAGCACTAAAGCCGCGAGCTTGTGCGTCGGCGCGCTCCGGTACGCGTACTGCGCCTGCCTCCGGCCGCGGTCCCCGGCCGCGCCGTAAATTTTGCGGGCAACGGCCGCGAACGCCGTGCTCCGCGAGGCCGGCGGCCGCGCCGCGTAGCGCCTTTCATACCTCACCTGGTCGAAGGTCGTGTCCTGGGCGCAGTTCAGCACCCACGCCGGCTCGGGCAGCGCATCAGTCATCTCGATGGCCGCGCAGCCGGGGTCCGCGCAGGCGTTGGAGGTGCAGAGCGCCTGGCGCGCCTCGTCGTCGTCGAGGTCGTCGGCGTATTCCAGTGGTTTGTCCATTGCTTTGTCCTGTACTGCGGCGTGCTCCCTGTTTTAGCCTTTGGGAGCACCACCGCACGAGCTAGGCTGCCGCTGCGTCGTCGCTAGCGCTGTACGCTTCAAAATAAGAAGCTGCGGTGCTGGTAGCGCGAGACGCCTTCCAAGCAACCAGTTGTTTTGCGGTGGGCAAAAGCGTCTTCTAGCGTATAAGCCCTCTAGGCCTGCGAACGCCGTCCGCCCCCATACGCCGTCGCCCCGAGTGTTAGCTTTTTCACATAACTTCATATACGCGAGGGGGAGCGAACCTAGCGGCACTTCGCCAAGCACCGATCAATCCCGTCCTCCTCGAACTCGCGTTTCGACATCCAGAACTCGCTCCGCTCGCGCATGATGTCAGCCAAGACTGAACCACCCAAGAACACCAAGTGCTTCCTGCGGGGCGGGTCCTCGATGCGGAGCTTGAACTTTTTCAGGCGGTCCTCGTTGCCGTTCAGCACTTCGGCGAGGTAGCGCTGTGTGATGTCCCTCTCCAATCTAGAAGGTAAGCCGGGGTACATGGACGAACCACCCGATAACACTATATGCTTGTAGTACTCGGCCCGCGTGTCGATATCGGCCGACTGGATCATATCAAACACCAGATGGCCCATGCCCTTGGACTCGACATCGATGAGCGAAGGATCAAACAAGCACTCCGGCGCCTCGAAGCGTTCTCTTCCGAGCTTGATGACTCGGCCATCTGGTAGGGTGTGCGTCGTTTCTAGGACGGTCGTCTCCTGGGCGAGTCTACGTTCAATGTTCACGTCGTGCGCCACGTAGCAGAACTTCTCCTTGATCTGGCGCACGGTTTCGAAATCAGCAGTACGGTTAAAAGCGTAGCCCCTCAGTAACAAGAGTTTGATGAGGTACCTCGTAACATGTCGGCCCGCGACGTCTAATCTCCTAATCAAGTTTTGCGGGACGAATCCGTCGAAGACCGGTACGACGTGCGTCACGCCGTCGCCCGTGTCGACGACACACCCAGTAAGTAACCCTTGAGCGTACAGAGTAAGCATCGCTTGGATCGACACGTTGCAGTGCCCGAACCCGTACAACTCGAACATGGCCGTCACCAGCTTCTTCCGATTCGCCAACGGGTTCATGGGCGGCTCCGTGAGCATGATCTTGTAGTCCTTGGGGTCAATACCGAGCTTCTCATAAAACGTATAGTTCCACAGTAACTCCATGTCGTCCCAGTCCTTGACGATGCCGTTTTCTACTGGATACGAGCAGTCGAGGGACATGCGGACCGCAGCCGCCTCGTCGCCGCACATGACCTCCTTGAGCGTGACGTCCTCGGAGATGGCCTCCTCGGCCCGCAGGATGGGGCGGCCGACCATGGACGGGAAGATGCTCCTCGGGAAATTTTCTGAGGCATACCCTACTTTGACAAATCCAGTACCGTTGTCGCAGACGACGCAGTGGCTGTCGCCGAGCGACGCGGCCATGGCTGGCTGCCGCGGCGGCGGGCGTGTAAAGCTCCGGCGCGCGCGGCGCGGCCCGTTTCGCGGCAGGCCAGCGAGCGGGAGAGAGGACGCGTTTCGCTGGCAGGTTTGTCGCAAACCGCAGTGTGTCCCGCTACCGCAGGGCTCGGTCAAATCCGCGCAAATTGCTGGAGCTAGCGGACTGTAAGTCACTAGCGAGCAAGCAGGGTTAGGGGTTCTGTCTCAGCACCGTAAAATCAGAGTATAGGGGTTTCACCGAGGCCGTTCTACTCACCACCAAGGCGTGCTATCAACGAAAGACGCAGCCCAGATTAGTCCCAGCACCGCGCCACCAGCAGAGGCGACCCGCACGTCTGATGAGTACAAATTATGTTACGCCCGATCGATCAACCCCAAAACTACCCCTTACCGCCGCCGCCGACGATCGACCGGACCTCGGTCAAACAGGCCGTGTACTTGTCCGGCTGGATGTACAGGTCGTAGCCGATGCCCGTCAGAAAGAACTTCTCCATGGCGTTCACGGCCTCCAGCTCTAAAGTTTGCCCAGGCAAGGCGCAGCGCCACGCGACGGTAAAATCGATATTCCGCAGGCACCGGTCGTCCCAGTACTTCTGGCTGATCATGAGCGCTGTGAGCAAATACCGCCGCCACGTCCGGTCCGTCAATTTCAGCGAGGGCTGGTAGGCGAAGAACCGAATAAGTAAGATCAACGCGATGACGTTGCACTCCGGCGTATACCGACAGATCTTCGCCATATCTCTCAAGAAAGATCTAATAGTAGCCAAGTTCGGCTCCGCCGCGACACTATCTTCGAAGGCCTGCACCGTTTTTTCAGGTGGCTGGTCCTCGACCTCGGCTCGTGCTCGCATCATGAACTCTAGCAGAGCTGCGATACCCGCCAAGATCTCGGACCAGTTCGCTTGCTGGAGCAAGCGCGGGTCCACGTTCGCGTTGACGCCGATCGCGCGCAAACCCTCCTCCGCCGCGGGTGCGGTTGCTGTTTTTGTCCGTTTCGGCGACGGCGCGCTCGGCGCGTCGTCCGGAGATCTCCGCTTCGCGGAGTGCGTCGACGACGGCGCGGAGGCGGGCGAGGGCACGGCCGGCGGCGCCTCGGGTGGGGGAGCGGGCGGCGCGATGGCCGCGCGCGCGGCCTGGGCGTCGCCCTCGAGCGTCCAGCCGCCGATTTCCGTTTCCCAGTCGACGACGGACGCCGGCACGGGCCCGTCCGTCGCCTCGGCCTCCCAGAACTCGAGGCGCTCCTCGCAGCGCAGGGCTTGGAGGTCGGTTTCGTGGACCATGGTTGTTGTTTGTTGCGAGCGAACGGGCGGGCGACAGCGGGGGAGCAAGCTATGTACAGGGGGGGCGCCGCGGCGTTCCTATCGTCGCGGCGGCGCTACAGCACTGTTTCAGGCACAGCGCGGGCGGCGCCGTTTCTCGGGCGTCGGCGGCGTCACCACACACTGTTTCCCATGCAAGGAGGGGCACAGGTTTTTGAGGCCGCTGGCACTTCGCGCGGCGCGGGGGCGCCAGGCAGCTGGCCTTCGAGGACAGATAGAACTCTGGAGTCTCCCAAGAGAGTGGCTTGTACCGGTATCGCGGGACTTCAGCAGGACTTGTCTCAGAGATTTTCATTGGCTAGTGTCTTGCATGTCGCTAGCTAACTTTTGACCAAAAAACGATGAGTACGCCGACTAAAACGCCCGGGCTACCGCAAGGTATCATTACGCCTTCGTGCGACATAACTCCGACGCGCGAAACCGCCCGCGAGGACGCCGCGTACGACGATTTTGCCTTGACCCAAAACGACTGCTCCGAGGCGCCGCGAGACGACGCGGCGCCGTCCTCGGCGCCCGCGGTAAGCGTTGAGCCCGCGTACGACGGCGCCGAGCCGTCGCCCTCCTCGCCCTTCACCTACGACGGCGACGGCGACCGCGCCGAGCCCGCGGGCGGTTTCAACTCTTTCGATCCGTTCCCGGGAATCCCGGCGCCGACCAAGCCGGAGGAGGTTCACGAGGCCGCCGCCGCCGAGCCAGAGACGGCGGACGACGACGCGCCGGCGACGCGCGCGCTCAGCACGCTGAGCCTCGTCGGAGATGACCTGGACCCCTACGCCGGCGCGGAAGAAGAGGACCTCGACGGCGTCGACTCGATCCTGGACGCCATCCTCGGCGAGGAGGAGGAGGGCCGCACGCCGTCGCCGCCGCCCATAAATAGGGAAGGCGAGGCCTGGGCCGAGGTCGCGCGCTTGCGGCGCCAGGTCGCGTCCCTGACACGCCTTCGGGACGCCGTCGACCGCTCGCTCGACGCCGACCGGGCGTGCGCCCAACGCCTCCGCGTCGACACCCTCGAGGTCCGGAAACTGCGGCGCGAGCCTGTGCGGAAATCAAATTTCAGGCGCCCCACGCCATCGGCGCGATGATGCCTCCGTAGCTACATCTGCGTGGAGTTTCCAGGCCATCGACGCGATCATCGTCGCGATGTTGTCCCCGTGATCGCGACGGCTCGATGGGATGGAGGTTCAGAAACTAAGTCACTGGTTGATTTCCCCACAGGCGCGCGCTCCGTGGCCTGCGGCAGCTCCACCGCGCCTACGCGGAGCGCGACCAGAACGCGCGCCAGGTCCGCGCGTTGATCCAAGCGGAGCGCGAGCAGCGGGTGTTGCTCGAGGAGGCGACGTTGCGAGAATGCGCCGCGTACGAACGCGGCGTCAACGACGCGGAGCGCGCGCTCCTCGAGCCCACTGTGCGGAAGCAGATCCGCGCGGAGCGGCGGGAGCGGCCCGCGGAGGCTGTATCAGCCGCCGTCCGGCGCGCGTGCCTCCAGGCCGTGGGCGTCGGCGTGCTCGTCGGCGCGACCGTCTACTACTTCCACGACGACGGCACCGATTTCCAGGTGCCCGCGCGCGTCGCGCACCACGTCGAGCTCGCGCTCACGCACGCGAAACTAGCGCTTTCATAATAAACTAACTTACAAGGGAGCATCCTTCCCGGACGCGGCGAAGGCGCGGCGCCACTGGTCCTCGCGCCGCGTCGAGCGCTCGAGTTTCGTCAAAGCCACGACCAACTGCTTCTCCAACGCATCATATTGCCGGCGGAGCTCGATCGGCACCGCCCGCTTCGCGGCGACGGCGTTGTCCCGCTCCAGGATCGCGACATCCCGCGCCGCGACGGCCGTCTGCGCCTGCTGCGCGAGCTGCGCGCAGTGCAGGCGCAGCTCGTCGCTCTCGCGATGGTGCTTCGCGGCGGCCTCCCGCGCGTCGCACTCGAGCTGGGCGATCCGCTTCCCCAGCTTCTCGCTCTCGGCGGCCGACGCGAGCGACGGCTTCTCCGCCGCCCGCAGCCGCTGCAGGAGCCGCTCGTTCTCAACCGACGCATTCATCGACGCGGTCTGGAGCACGCCGACGCGCTTCTGCCGCTCCGCGTGCTGGCGCTCGAGGTCGGCGAGGCGCCGCCGGAGCCGCTCGTTCTCGCCCGCGGCGGCGGCCCGCAGGCCCTCCGTCTCTGCGGCCTTGACGGCCGCGGCGCTCTTGAGCTCGGCGATGCGCTGGCGCAGCATATTGATCTCCTTCGCGGCGACGGCCTCGTTTTGGGCTGCCGCGGCGCGGCCGTCGGCCGCCTTTTTCGCGTCGACCTGGGCCGCCCGCGCCTGGTCGGTCAGTTTCCTCCGACCGGCCGCGCAGCGCTGCTCCAGCGTCGCGTTGGCGGCGCCGAGCTCGGCGACGCGCGCCGTGAGGCGCGCAATTTCATCCGTGGATTCGGCGGCGGCCCGCTCGAGCGTCTCTATCCGTTTTTGCCGCGCGGCGTCGGCCGCCTCGAGCTCGCCGCCGCGCCGTTTTGCCTTCGCGAGCGCCTCCCGCAGCTTCTCGTTCTCTCGGCCCACGGGCGCGTCGAGCTCGGCGACGCGCCGTCGTAGGCGTTCGTTCTCGGCCTGCACCAATGCGAGCGTCGCCGGCGACGCCTCGACGTGCCGTGGTGGCGGCGGCGGCGGGCAGGCGGCGCGGGCGACGGCGTTCGCGGCACTGGGCCCGTCCCAGGCGCAGGCCGCATCCCGCCGCGCCCGCACGTCGAGCGCCGCCCGCTCCGCCTCGATGGCGGCCACTGCTTTTGCGTGCTTGGCCAGGCGCGCGTGCAGCTCCTCGCTTCGAGAGGTTCGTACGGCCTCGCGGTGGCGCTGCCCGATGCGGGCCATGAGCTCGTCCCTATCCTCCTGGTCCGCCGGGCTCGGGACGCTCGCACGGGGCAGCGTGTCGTCTTCCCACCGGGCGGGCATGGACCTGCTTCGCCTGCCGCCGGACGGTCGCCGGCGTGGGTAGAGGGCCATTGCTGCTCGCTCCAATTCAGCCGCGGCTGGTCCTTAGGCAGCACCAATTCGAATTATGGCTACCGCGGCGCCTTGCGCAACATCCCGAGATCACAAGGGCAGCAGTTCGGCCGCGTTCGGCGCGAGAGCTTAATCAAATTAGCTTGCTAGTGCCTTAACGACGCTAGCAAGTGATTCCCGCAGAGATATGTAGTAAGTACTTTCCCGTACCACGTTGAGTAAGCCAAACAGTGCAGAAGGCTCTCCGTAGTATTCCTATATTTTATTCTTTATTATAAGTATGATCGATATAAGTATCCCCAACAGGTATATTGCTAGTGTCTTACTGGACGCTAGGTCTCATACCAGCGCGCCACCAACGGCCTGTGAGCTGTAAGCTGTAGTTCGAGAGACGCCCGCATTCATGCGTAACGAGCAGATCGAAGCGTGCTGTCTCATTTGACGCCTAGACCGCCCGTACACACAATGGCCCCATCAGAGCCTAAAAAGGAGAAAAAGGAGCGGACCCTCACGGGCCTCCACGTGCGCAAAAATCTGCGCCGCATGGCCAGCGGCGGCAGCAGCCGAAAAGACGAAGAAGCGGCAAACGAGGACCTGCTTCGCGCCGACCGCGCCGAGGCCGCGGCGGCTGCGGCGGACGCCTGGCTGTGCGAGGCGCGCCTGGCGCACGGGCGCGAGGTGGCGGCGCGCGCGGCCGCGGATTGCGATAACAGGGACGCGCTCGACCGCGCCGAGGCCGCGACCGTCGCCGCCACTGCTGCGCTGGAGCTTGAGCGGCGCCGGGCGTGCGTGCTTGCGGACGAGAAGCGCGTGCTCATAGCTGAAGTGAAGCGCCTGCGTGGCGCGGCCGAGGCCGCGGCGCAGGACGCGGCTGCGGCGCGCGCGGACCGAACGCGCCTCAAGAACGAGCGGCGGGCCCTCGCGAGGGAACTCCAGGCGACACGCACGGCGCTCGCGGCGGCCTCGAAGGCGCCACCGCCGCCAGCACCACCGCGCCCACCGCCGCCGCGGCCCCGCGCGTCGTCGTCCGAGGATCCCGAGGACGCCGTCGTCCTCGAGATGCTGGGGATCTGTTAGTAGTTGAATTGTGTGTTACCTATCTGGTGGCAGCGGCTCCCCCTCGACGTAGTTGCGCCAGGGGACGTCCTCGATGTCGTCGAGCTGTGGGTCCCACGCGCCGGTGTGCAGGTCCTCGAGCCCGAGCCGCTCGCGCGCCTCCTCGCTCAGCAGCTGGACGACGACGCGATCCAGATCCACGCAGACCCAGTCGTCGCCCGCGCCGCGCTGGTGGCCCTCGGCGCGTGGCCTCGGGCCCGGTCGCCGCTTCGCCTCGACGAGCAGCGCGTCGGCCAGCGCGCGGAGGTGCCGCTGCGACCGCGCCGACGCGAGGACCATCGCGTCGCACAAGTCGACGTTGCGCGGCCGTAGGGTCGTGACGTCGACGGCGCCCTCGGCTTCGAGGAGCGTTGCGACGGTTTTGGCGTCGAGCGGCTCAGTTGTCGGAGCGCGCCGCGCTCGCGTTTTGCCGCTTTTCTCCTTCTTCGTCGCCGGCGGCTTCCAGGTCCACGCGTCGGCGGCGTCGTCTCCTCCTGTGCTGCTTTGGAGTCGAGTGCTGCCCTGCAGCGTGATTGGTCGGACTGCACGGCAGCGGAGCGCGTTGAAAGCGCTGGCATTGATGCGAGCTAGCATTATCTGGCGTCAATGCTCATGAATAGGCGCGCTGTAGCCGTTTTTTGCCATGCTCTCTGCGAGGCTAGCGGCCTGTAAGACACTAGCGCCAAATCGTGCAGCTATCCTTCTTCGGCCTACCCGTCGAAGTCTCAGTTGAGACCTCTCTGAAGCCGCATCACACGTTTTTGCCGCAACGCCGCGGAGCGCCGCAACAGCGCCAAGAGCCGACGAGGCGGCAGCCCCAAAGAGGCAGCCCCCGCAAACAACGAGGCACAGCGGAGCGTCGACGAGGCGGCTGCCCCACGACCGGAGCAGAACCCAATGGCGCTCTACGACGCGCTCCGCGTGAGCCCGACGGTGGACTTCGCCGCCGAGTTACTCCACGACCGCGGCAGTGACGAGATAGCCACGCTGCTCGAGGAATGTGGTATTGGGAGCGGCCCCGAGCTCCTCGCGAGGCTGCGGGGCCCGCCGCCCGGAGATGATGATGTAAACGCGCGCGTCGCGACGCTCAAGGAGACGTCGGGCCGCGTCCGGGACGAGATCGTCGTCCTGGAAAGAGTCAAAGACAAAATCCACCCCGGCCACGACGAGGCCGAGCAGGCCCTGGAAGGACTGGACTCGCAAATCCGGGCGCTCAAGGCGACGACCACTCGTTTGGAGGGCTACGAGACTGCATTAATACCACCTCCAGAAGGAGTGAGTGGAGGTGGCGCGAACGCCGCGAAAACACTGCGAAGTACATTAAATCAAGGCCCCCTCCACGACCCGACGCCGTGGTACGTCGACACCGGGCCTAGAAGGGACCCGGACAAGCCCGTCGACTTGCGGGCCGTCTTCGACGCGTTCTGCGCCCTGTACCGCCAAACGCACATGTCGAACATGACCTTCTGGAAGTTCTCGAACGACTCGTCGCTGATCGACGAGAACTACGTAAAAGCGGACGTCGACATCTTCTGGACCAAGATCGCCAAATCGCGGCAGCACATCCCCTTCGAGGACTTTTTGCAGCTCGTGGACTTGATTGCCGAGCGCAAGGGCGTAGACCGCGCGGAACTGGACTTCTACATTGTGGAAAACGCCAAGCCGAAGATGACGGGTACCCGGGGCGCGGAGGCCTTCAGCTTCTGCAAGTGGGACGAGCAGAAGGCTGCGGAGAAGAAGCGAAGGCTCGAGGCCGAGGAGGCCAAGGGGACCGCGTGAAGGGGCGCGCGTAAGAACGAAGAGCAACTTAGGGGGTACTGCGCGCCGAGAATCTTCGGTGGGGCCCGGACTGCGCCGCAGCAGATAATCTTCGGGTGACGAGCGGGAATTGAACGACGACCGCGCCCGCGTCCGCGGCGCCCTCGTACGCGTAGCCCAATTCCTTCTCTACGTCTAGGTCGATGCCCGCGCGGACCCCGGCCATGTCCGCCGACGAGAGCGCGGTCGTCGTCGTGGCTGGCGGCGCGACGCTCACCAGAGAGGTCTCGTCCGTCGCGCACTGCATGCCCATCACGTCCGTCAGGTGGCGGAAGAGGTCGAGGGGGCGCTTCCTCAGTCCTTCGAGTCGCACGCAGACGACGTTCGCCGGCGCGTCGCGGCAGCTGTCGCGGCGGTTGCGGTACCGCGCCGCCCGCAGCTTGAGGCCGTCGGCGTGGCTGCCCGGCGGCGCGCGCAGCTCGCCGTAGCACGGGACCGTGCTGTTGCCGCAGAACGTCTCCGGCGCCGGCTCGCGCGTCGCCGTCTCGGCGCTCTCCAGCAGAAAAATAATGATATGGTTCGCCGAGACCTTCTTGAGGTCTAGAAGCCCACTCCGCGCGCCCAGCGCGGCGCCCTGCGCGAATTTTGTAGGACCGTGGTCGGTGAGCGGCAGCCAGAAGGACCCGTTCGCGCAGTTCTTCTTCAGGAGCTCCTCGACCCAGGCCGCATTTGGATCAGCGATGGCTTGCCGGCGCCACCAGGGCCGCAGGTCCGGGGCGTCATTATTTGATCGAGCGGCCGCGTCGCCCTTGACGACGACGGTGCGCCCTTGGGGCGAGCGCACGGCGCGCGGCGCGGGCAGCGGGTAGCCGATGGGGATGCGGGGCGCGGAGCCGACGCCGTGATGGGGCCAATCGCTGCCGACGCGGCGCGTGCCGCCGGCCCAAGCCGTCGCGACCAGGGTCGCGCCCACGAGGACGGCGCGCGTGGCGGCTGCCGGTCCCATCAGCAGGGATGGGGGGTTTTGCACCAGCGGAAATCTGCAGGGGCAGCGCGTGGCGAGGCTGCGATCAGCTCAAAAAGTTGTCTCAAGGGCTGCCGATTCTAGCCCTCCTGGAGTTGCTCCCAACTGAGTCCCCTCTTTTTTTTGCACGCTTGCTTGCTGGTGTACCGTAGGTATGGTACCATACGGTACCATACTTATGGTACCCCGAGGGGCCTTAAATAAAAAAAAGCTTTGCTTAGAGCTAGGCCGCCTAGCCACCCGGCCGCCGCGGGGTCTGCGTGACCGAACGCCCACCAAAAAATTATGTGGCGGTCACGGGGATTTTTTTTCTGCAGAACCCGCACAGTCGAGCCGGTCCCCGCATCTATCATAGATAGATAGAACGTTTAGACATAGGGGGAGAGGTACACGGTGGCACACATGTCAGGGGAGAGAGGGGAAGCTTCAGTAGTCGGCGCCGTCGCCGTCGGAGGAGGACGAGTCGTCGTCGCGCATGCGGCGGTGCGCCGGCGGCGGCTCGTCGTCCGAGGCGTCGTCGTCGGACATGTCCTCGACGAACGCGGCGAGCCCAGCGAGGTAACGCAGCTTGTGGTGCGGCATCTTCTTCACGTCGCCGGCCGTCGCGAGGACCGAGAGCGCGTCCGTGCCGCCGCCGCCGCCGGCGGCCTGGGCCTCGCGCGAGCGGTAGGCGATGAGCCGCTCCTCGGCCGTGCCGCGCAGGAAGTAGCTCGTCGTCGACACCGAGCGCTCCTGGCCGATGCGGTGGCAGCGGTTCATGGCCTGCGCCTCTTCGCCGACGGAGAGGAACGGTTCGAGCAGGAACAGGTGGCGCGCAGCCGTCAGCGTCAGGCCCGCGGCCGCCGCGCCGGCGTGGAGGACGAACACAGCACAGTCGGGGTCCTCGCGCCACTTCTTGACCGCCTCCTGCATCGCGTCGGCGGAGTCGCCCTTTGCGACGGAGACACAGTCGAGGCCCGCGCCCTTCAGAGCTAAGACGCAGTGCTGCACCGCCGGCTTGATCGAGCTGACGACGACAGCTTTTTCGGCGGGGCCGCCGGCGATAGCCGCCGTGACATCTCTCAGGAGTCGCTTCATCTTTGTCGACGGCGCCTGGCGCGCCGTCAGGATGTGCGCGAGCAGGTTGGGCGGGATGTTCGGGTACGCGTGGCGGTCCGCGAGGCGTACCGGGACAGAGGGAGGCGCGAGCTCCTCGAGCGCGGCCTTGGGCGCGTGCGGCGTCCACTCCGGCGGCCGCGCGGCGTCGAGCGGCGGCGGCGGCGCGTCGGCCATGGGCTCGTCTCCATCATCTTCTTCAATCTCGGGGGCCGGCGGCGGCGCGCGCGGGGGCTCCGTCACGAGCACGCAGTCTCTCACGACATACTCGCGGCGACACAAAACGCACGGCGCGGCGAGGCGCCCATCGTTGGCCAGGGCGACGGCCCGGTCGCGCGGCACGCCCCGGCGCGCCGCCTGGTCCACGCCGTTCGAGAGCACCTGCTGCTGGGCGCAGCCGAGGCACACGGCGTGCACGCACGGCGTGTAACACAGCGAGGCGATTGAAGATGGAGCGTTCGGGTCCGTGTTGAACGACGCAAAGCACACGGGGCACTTGCCGGCCTTGCCGCCCTCCTCGAGCTTGGCGAGGTCCTGGAGACCGCTCTGCTCGACGCGGGCCTGGAGTTCGATCTTCGTGGAACCTCTATTCTCGAAGAAGGCGCGCGCCTCGCGCGGCATCGGTCGGAGCACTGCCTTGCGCGCCTTGACGTAAGCGTCGCGCTTCCTCTTCCAGGCCGCGTAGAGCTCGTGCTTCTTGTCCGGTCCCGCGGCGGCCGCGCGCGCGCCGAGCCGCGCGACGAGCTCCGAGTCGCGCTCCGGCGCGTGGGCCTTCTCGACGGCCTCGACGGCCGCCTTCTGCTCGGCCGTCGCGTCCGCACCCAGGACTTCCAACGCGCGCATGTAGTCGCGCTCGCCGTCGCGCGCCGCCTTCATGTGGTTAAGAGCTTCGTCCTCTAGACCTTTGAGCGCGTCGTCGCCGCGCCGCTGCTGCAAGACGTGGAGCTGCGACCGGGCGTCGGACGCGAGCGACGCCGCCTCGGCCGCCTCGCTTCGGAGATGCGCGGCCGACGCCGCCTCGACCTGGGCCGCGTGCGCGCGCACGTCGGCAGCGACGACGGCGTCGAGGGCCTCGCGGCACGCGTCGTCGCGCGGGCGCCGCCGCCGCAGCTCGTCGAGCGTCCGCGTCGCGGCGGCCTGCGCCGTGTCGCGCGCCGCCGCCGCCGCGTCGCGCTGCGTGCGGTGCTCGTCGGCCGACGAGCGCAGGCGCGTCAGCAGCTCGCGCACCGTGATCAGCTTGAGGTGGTTCTCGGCCGTGGCCTTCGCCGCCTGCTGCGTGATCTCGCGTGCCGCCTTCCACGCAAAGATCCGTAGCGGGCCGCGGCCGGGGCGCAGGGCGCCCGCGTCGTCCAGGCCGTCGACTAATGCTTCGATTCGTTCGAGGACGGGCGCCGTCTCCGCCACGCCGCGCTTGGCCAGGTGGCGCCGCACGTCCGCGGGCCGCAAGCCGAAGTTAATCACAAATCTAGCAATGGCGCGGCGGCGGCGCCTCACGACGAACGCGCGCTGAGCGTCCGTGAAAGCGTCCAGGTCCGCCGCCAGGTGCTCCTCGGCGGCGCCCGCCCCGAGCGCGAGCTTGTGCAACAACCACCAGAGGCAGCCCGCGAGCGCGCCGGCCCGGAACTGGAGGCGCGACTCCTCGAGGTCCGCGGCGTAGGACGCGGTCTCGTGGAGGCGCTGCATGAGGGTCAGCGTAGAGTACTGCCGGTCCGTCGCGCGCGCGCGCGAGTTGGCGTTCCCGTGGCCGACGAAGTTCTCGCGGCCGACGCCGGTGCGGTCCTCGCGCGCGCCTCTCGCGAGCCGGTCCTGCACGCCCTGGGCCTGGCGCGCCGCGGCTTGGTTTCTATCAGAGGCGCCAAAGTGCGCGATGGCGTCGCCGGGCGTCATAAGCGGCGGAGAATAGGCGAGGACGCCTGCCCCCGAGCCTTGGGCGCTTCTGGACCGCGCGTCGCGGCAGCGCTGGTCGTAGATGCGGCAGACCTCGTTGAAGCGCCTAAAGTCCGTGAGCGCGTCGGCCCGCGTATCCTGGACCTTGACCCTTCCATCCAGCCCGACGCACGACTGGCGCAGCACCTCGAGGCACACCTGCTTGTGGCGGCTCAGGTCGCGGTTCGCCTCGCGCGACATGCCGGTCGTCGACGCGGGCATCGCCCCGACGACGGCGCCCACGGCCGCGTCGATGGCGCGCAGCGCCAGTTGTTCCGAGGAGCCATCTTCCAGGTCGACGGCGACGACGCGGTCGCCGCGCGCCGGCAGCTCCAAGATCGGCCGGCCCTCGGCCGGGCCCGACGCCCAGACCTGGGCCTTGGACCGCCGGAGGGCCACGCGCCTCAGTAAAAGTTCGAGCCGCTCCAGCGCGACGGGGTCCTGCTCGCTCCACGGCTTCTGGACGCAGTGGCTCCAGAAGCCGTCGGTCGCATCAGACAAGGAAAAGGGCAGTACTCCCAGAAAACGTAATTCGCCGTTGAGGTCCTGGATGCCCTGCGTCAGCGGCGTGCCGCTGACCATCCACCTGGACGTCGTATGTAAAGCAGCGCAGGTCCGCGCGACGGCCGTGTTCGGCGACGAGACCATCTGCATCTCGTCGAGGACGACGCGCCTGTGCGGTAAGCCTAAGACGCTTCGTGCGAGGACGCCAAGCACTCTCGCGCTGCGTCGAGGCGGCCAGAATAGTAAATAATACCTCCAGGCTGGCCTGACGCACTGGTTGATTTCGCACTGCGACGCGCGTCCAGCGGATCTGCGCGAGCGGGTTCACGTCGCCGCGCCCAGAATACGGGCCGCCGGCCTGCATCGTGTTGTAGGTGACGATCACGATGTCGTGGTCCGCCAGTCTCTCCAGCGACCTTTTCCGGACGGCGAAGAACTCCTCGGACTTCTTCTGCGAGCCCTTGCTCCGCGGCGCGATCAGTGCCTCGCGCTTTTTGTCGGTGACGAAGACCTTGACGGATAACGGGTTCGAGGCCACGATCGACTTAGTGATCTCGTTGACCCACTGCGACACGAGCGCCGGCGGCACGACGATGAGCGTGGCGCGCGACGCGACGAGCGGGCCCTCTTCATTATGATTCTTCGCGAGCCCAGGCGCCTTGAGCTGTTCGACCGTGGCCGGCGCGGCACACACTAAGCCCAGTAATTCAACCGTTTTCCCCATGCTTATCTCGTCACATAATAACCCGCCCGACGCAGTCGGCGGCTCCTCGAGGCGGCACTCGCCTAAGTCGGGAGCGAACCAGTACTCGCCGCCGTCCGCGAAGGCTCGCTTCTCCCAAAATAAATCGTTGAGGTTGCGGCCCTCCATCTGGCGCATCCAGCGGATCGCCTGGAGCTGGTAGGGCTTCATCGGCAGCGCGATCCGAGACGGCTGCGGGTCTTCCGCGCAGCCCGTGTGCTCGGCGGAGCGCATGACGCCCTCGAGCGTGAAGGGCGCCGCGCTTCCATTTTGTGAGGACGTCGCGAAGAGGTCTAGCTGCGTTGGTGGCGCTGCGCGCGGCGTCACGGCGCCGGCGAGCGTCGTGAGGCCGTTGAGCACGTTCCGGACCGAGGGGTCGGCGATGAGATAGAAGAGAACCCTCGTCGCGTAGGCTCTTATTTCAACAGTGAAATCCGCTCCCTCGACCTTCGTCACGTAACATAAACACTTGAGGCACGGCGGCATGTTTTTGGGGAGTTGGGCCGGGGAAGCTAACGAAGCAGCCGACGCGAGGAACGTCGCCGCGTCGTCGTCCTGTGCTAGGATCTTGCCCGCCGCGACGTCATCTTCTAAACGTCGGACGGTCGTCGTGACGCCGTCGTTCGGCTTCGCGGCCTCGCCGTCGTTATCGTAGTTCACGGGACCGTAATGCCTTTGAGTTTCTTTGCGCGTCGCTTTCACGCCCCGGCAGAGCTTCTTCACGACGCTCGAGGCGTCGGTGCCCGACGGTAGCGAGAACTCGAGCGTGCGGGACCCCACGAACCGACAGGGCTCGTCGACAGCCGTCCATTGCATGGTCATAGCGCCCGACGCCTCGGAGCTCCACTGATAGACCGTGCCATTCCTTTCCAACCGCTCGAACTTCTCGATGGGGCGCGCGAAACGCGCGCGGGGGCCGACCCTTACTTCTCCGGTGCGGACGGGCGCGCGCGGCGCGCCGCTCGCGAAGCCGATCGTCGCGGCCGCCGGCGGCAGGGCGAGGGTCCGCGGGCCGGGCTCCGCCTTGACGCGCGGCTTCTTCGCGCGCTTGGGCTTGGCGTCGCCTTCCGCGGCGGCGCGCTTGGCCGGCTTCTTGGCCGCCGGCTTGGCCGGTTTCTTTTCGGTTTTAACCTTCTCGGTTTTCACGGTGACCGTGCTCTTGCGTTTGGGCGGCATGTTAGCGTCCTTCCTTCGATACTGTGGTGCCGGGTGGCGTTAATGACGTGGAGGTCTCACCGTCTGCGTCCACGCAGGAGCTCGAAGGCGCGCTTCGCGCGCTTGCCTTCGCCTCGGCTTTCAAAAAGTCCGCGCTGCACGATCAGCTGCTGCCGTTTCGCGCTCCAATCGACGCGCGCTGTGGAGCAGTGTAGACAACAATGCTCGGCTACGCTGTGTACGTCACGTTTGCGTCTAATGCGATGACCGCAGCGCGATTAGGAGATCGATCTAGCGACCTGTAAGACACACTAGGAAACCAAGCCTCACACTGTGAGTCACAGACACAGAAGTTAAGCAGACAAGTCCCCAAGGATCCCGTGCAGCGCCCCGACCTCGGCGGACGTCGCCGCGGCCCGTCGCAACACCCGCCGCGCGACCGCGAGGCGGGGATCCGCTGCCACCTGCGTGGAAAGCAAATTCCAGGCGCCCACGCCATCGACGCGACGTTGATTTCCACACAGGCGGACACCTTGCCGCGGCTCGTCGCGCGGAAACCCTCGTCGGCCCCGAGCGCCGCGCCCAGGCGAGACACGAGCGCGTCGATGGTCGCGTCGGGCGCGACGTCGGGCGCCGCCGGCGCCTCGGAGTCCGCCCTCGCATAAATGTCCGCCAGCGCGATGGAGACCGCGTGCGACAGGTTCAGCGACTCGGCGCTATCAATCTCGACGGACGCGCCGCACCGCGCGAGCTCCTCCGCCCGCAACCCGTCCGCCTCCCGCCCGAACACGAGCGCCGTCCTACCGTCAACGCGCGCCGCGAGCGCCGGCGCGGCCGCCGCGAATTGATCATTTGCGCGTCCGCGCCCGGAAAACGCCACGGAGAACTCGACGTCCCGTAACGCATCGTCCAAGGTGTCACATACAATGGTCCGCTCGTCCCGCACCGCGCGGCCCTGGGGCATCGCGAAGCGCCTTTCATAGGTCGCGTCGGCGTCGCGGTCGTACTCTGGTTTGACTAATTTCAGCCGCCCGACCTCGAAGCAGGCGCACAGACGCAATGCTTGTCCAACGTTTGAAGCGTACTGCGGCCCAACTAGCACGACGTCGATGTGCTGCAGTCGGAGAGCGCTGGTGACCGGCAGGTGCAGCAGCAGCAGCATGCATGCAACGCAGCGTTTCTGGCGCATGGTTCGTGTGCGACCTCGATCCGGAACAATGCCACAATCTATTCGTCCAGAGAGCGTCTGATCAGCGCGTTTGCTCACTTTGCTAGTGTCTTACCTCACGCTAGCACCTCGATCCTGGGCATTTGCGAGGTTCACGGGGCTCAGAGATCATCAGCAGCTCGTCGGTAGATAGCTGAGTCGTTGTCCGACCACAAGAAACCATGCGCGTATCAATCTCTGCTGTCCTGGCAGCTATCTTGCCAACCGATGCGCTGCAGCTCACGCGGCGCCAGCTTGCCGGCGCCGCAGCGTTTGGATTCGTGCCGGCCGCGCGGGCCGACGTGCCAGTCGACCCCTTCAACAGCATGTGCCTCGGCTTCGGCTGCAACTCGCCGCAGGGCGTCGACAGCCCCGGTGCGCCGGCGCCGACCGACGAGGACTCGATCCCCTGGAAGCAAGCCTTGGAGCTCATCGAGGCGAAGAAGGTCAAGAGTGTGGAATTCAACGACGTCGCGATGGACAAATGCTGGGTCGTGACGAGCGACGGGCGGTTTAGGGTCGGAGAGGGGTACCCGTGAATTGCGGCGTCCTTTGGTAGTTATACGAAGATACGCCATCGACGCGTATCTGACGGCGTCTGTGCCACACAGGATCGAGGACGGCCGGTCGTGGTCGTCGCCGCTCTTCGTGACGCGGATCTTGGACAACAACCAGATCCCGCGGACGTACGTCGGGGGGCTCAAGCGGAAGTCTAGGTAACAACAACATTAGGAGTCTTCTCGAGGCGCGCCACGAAGAGCCCCGACGTCTCGCCGCCCGCCGGGAAGCGCACCGTGCCCGGGATTGAACCCGCGACGGCGACTGGCGGCACTTCTAGAGACATAAGCCGCGCCGCCGGCTCGTCCCGTAGAAAGGCCTCTACAACATCTTCGTTCTGCGCTTTCGTCAGCGAGCACGTCCCGTAGACCAAAACGCCGCCTCTTCTTAATCTCCCGAAGCCGTTCCGTAATAAAGCAGCCTGCAGCTCTAGCAGCGACGAACACCGTTCGGCGGAGACGTTGTCGACGGCCGTGCCCTTCTCGACCATCTTCTGGACGTGCGCGTGCGAGCCGTCGGTCGTGCAGTCGGCGTCCACTAGCACGCGGTCGTAGGCTTCTGCACAGTCCTCCTCGGGAAGGGCTTTCAGGCGCTTCGCCTCGCGCTGCCGCGCGGACTTGTTCAGGCGCTTTCTGGCGCCGCGCTGTTCGAACGAATCGGCCGCACGCGAGTCATACAACAACTCCCGCTCGTCGGGGAAGCGCCGGCCGTCGCTCCTGTATAGGCGAACGCGCGCCGCGCCTGCCGGGTCGTGGTGCGCATCTAATAATTTGCGCGCGACGCTGAGGCGCTTCTCGGAGACGTCGACGCCGTCGACGGCACCGTTCACACCCACGGCCTCGGCGAGACACAACAGCTTCGCGCCCGGCGCGCAGCAGAGGTCGAGGACGCGGTCGCCCTCATTACAACCGAGCGCGCGCGCCGCGTAGCCCGACGCCGCGTCCATGGCGAAGACCCGGCGGTCCTCGTACGGCGCGCTTCCCTTCAAACGCCGCGCCGCCGGCATGCGCAGGAAGCCGGGCAGCCACGCCACGGGCTCGGCGTCGAGCGTGCTGCGTATCGCGTCCGTTTCGCTCGCGTCCTTCACGCGCGCGTAGCGGTACCGCGGGGCGAGGTCCGCGACCCGGGCTATTTGTAATCCCTGCTCGCCGTACCACGCGGCGAGTTCGGATGGTAGCTCGTCGCTGGCCGCCTCTGCGGTGTCGTCTTCATTGCTGGCCGTCGCTGCGGCTGCGGCGTCCATGCTGGCCGTCGCTGCGGCGGCCTCGTCAATGCTCGTCATCGCTGCGGCGGCGTGCAGAGGCTGTGCTGTCAGGAGCTCTTTTGTAGGCTACTGATGGGCGTTTCGAGCCGGGTAAGCGGCTGCAGCTCGAAGCGTGAACTGTGTCAGACGATAGCACAGCGCTGAGCAGCGCTGTGCGCCTACGAATTGCAGCTTTTTGGCTTTTTGCTGTTGTTGCTAGTATGTTACAGGCCGCTAGCTCGGCGCGCTGGCAAAAAAATCGATTCCGCAGCCAAGCGCGGCCAAAAGGCATCGATTACGCAAGATAATCATGTCCACAGTCAAGGTATCAACAACTTTTGGACAGATCACGCTCAAGCTGCGGCCGGACGCGGCGCCCAAGACAGTAGAGCACTTTTGCAAGCTCGCACCGCTGTTTGATGGATGCTGCTTCTATAGGAGTGATTTTGTTATTCAGGGCGGGCTGCAGCGCGCCGACGGCTCATCCGTACCAAACCCGATGAAGCCGATTCCGGTCAACGAAACCCATACGGACGTGGTCCTCTCGAACGTCCGCGGCACGGCGGCCTTCGGGCACTGGGACGTGCCGGACGCTGGCAACTCGGACTGGTTCATCAACCTGAAGGAGAATAGCCATTTGGACAGCGCTTATGGTGGCTACGCGGTCTTCGCGGCCGTCGACCCGGGCGACGCGGCCTCGTTCGCGACGATCGATTCGATCGCTCGGAACATTCTGGAAGGAGGGAAGCCGACGATCAACTTCGTACACGTGGAGTAATTAAAATGTCGCTAGCGGCCTGTAAGACACTAGCAATCGCCGGCGCTTGCAAGCTTTGCGGGCGTTTCTTGCCGCATCAATGCAAAAATGAGGACGTGAAGTGTGCGTTAGCCCCTTTACGCCTTCGACGCGACGCGCTGCGAGTTCTAAAGGCGCAGCGCTAAGTGCACGCGCTGCAGCCAAGACAGACAAAAAAGTATGGCGCCCTGCCGCCACCGCGTCGCCGGCGTAGCAGACATGCTCGGCACGCCGGACGTGCCCGCCTACCAGGAGGCCTGCCTCGCGGCGCGACTCACAAGATTAAGGGTGCTGGGCTGGCCGCTCGCGCTGCGCTTGTGTACCACGGACGATGGGAATGAAGACGCGACGCTCGACGAGCTGCGGGTGTACATGAAGGAGACGCATCGATTGAGGGAAGCGCACGGCCAGGGCATCCCCTGGTGGAGTGCGGAGTACGGGCCGGAACGAGCGCCCGTCGTTGGTGCGAACGCGCCCGACGGGCCCCTCAAGTCGGCGGGCCTCTCGCGATCATCGACGCTTTTACAGGTAGTGCGCGAGGCCGCTTCAAAGGGCCCGCCCGCGTCTCGACGAAGCTGGTTCCCTACACCAAAGGCGCGCAAGGGATTGGTCGGTGTCGTCTTCTACAGCGCGACGTGTCGCGTGTGGAACTGGGGCGGCGTCTGGACCTTTCCACAATTGTTGAATGACTACGGCGTGCCCATTGTCTTTGTCTACGTCAGCGAGTACTCTGTTACCGATTCGGACGCATTAACAGATTCAAGCTATGTACCGGTCGTCGACCAGCCGAAAGAAGAAAACTGGAAGGCGGCGAACTGCTTGTTATTTGGTGTGCCCATGGTCGCGGCGGCGCTGGGCTGGCGGCCGGACCGCGTCGACCAGTATGTTGATGGAATGGACCGCGCCCTAGAAAGCGCGTACGAGGCGGCGCCTTGGAGGGTGTATGTGCTCGACGCGGCTTCATCTACCATCGCGTTCCGGACGGGGCCGGGCCCTCTGAATGGGATCGCCAAAGCCAGGGCTTTGAGCGACTTCCTCGCTGCGAACCGGGAGTTTTGATTTTAACATCTGTTGTTTTACTACGCGGTCCACGTACGCCTCTTCGCCACGTACAACCCGACCTCGTTGCGCCTCAACAAATTGGGCGTAGCGAATGGGTCGTGGTAGCCGTAGGTCAGCGTCTCCTCGGGGCGGCGGACCTCGTAGCCGTGCTTTGCCAGCGCGGCCTCGAGCCTTGCCCGTTCCTTGGCGACGCGCTGCTCTGATGGTGGCTTACCGGAGAAACGTACGAAGGCGGCCTGTGTAGCAAGATGATGTCGCGTCGATGGCGTTGGGGGAAATCCACGCTCTCGAAAGACGTCGTCGCGAGCGCCCAGATTGAGTCGATGACACCGAGTCGGCACCATGTGCGGCTTGATCTGCCGTAGCGCCATCGACGAATCGGTCGGCACAGGTAGGGACCGGACCGTCTCGTTGGCGCTCATCACGAACGAGACCTTCGTGGCACGCTCGGAAGTCTCCATGCGCACTGGGGCTGTCATGCTCATGCTCCGAGACGTCTTCTTCAAGGAGACGCCTCGGACTCGGTTCTTCCCACCAAATATATAGCCGGCGCATGCTCCAAACCCGGGGCCCATCGATTGTCTCATCGGCGTCCCTTTCATCGTCGCCTCGGCGACAACGTAAGCGTCGTAGCTTCGTATCTCGACGCCTCCAGGCAATTTCTCGACGACGCTGTACTTGGGTCTTTCGAGCAGCTCGCTGACGCGCCACGCGTAGAGGCCGAGCCCGTAACGTATCGTCACTAATGCGCCCACAATGCCCCCGATGACCTTACTCGCAATCATTTTGCGCTCGTAGTTGTCTCAGGTGTTGTATTTCGACAGATGCCTGTCTCAGTAGCTTGGTACGACCGCTGCGGCTCGGAGAGCGCTGGTGCGTCAGTGTGCTCTCCCGACCAAAGAAATGCTGCACGCGGGCAACCGATTGCCGAAGCGCTTCTGAACTAAGAATGCTTTGATACCTGACGCGTTGCAACCTTGCAGCGCAGTCGCTGATGGCGCACTCGACCGGGCCTCGGTGTGAAAGCGCTGGCGTGCGGGTTGGAAGCGATCTCTCAGACGAAGCGCATCTCTCGCAGACGAAAGGGACGTCATTTCTCACTCAACCTTACAGCCCCGCCCCCGCGGCGGCCGCGGACGCCGCCTGCGCCGCGGCCTTCGCGGCCTTCTCGGCGATGACCTCCTTGGCCGGGTAGTGGAAGAGCGGGTCCAGGGCGAACTGGAGGAACTTGTCCACCCCCAGCACGTAGATCACCATGACCGCCGTGATCACCACGACTAGTCCCAGCGTGTTCAGAACTTCTTGCGGCCCCGGCCAGATGATCAGATCTAATTCTTTTTTCATCCCCTCCACCACACCTAAGCCGTCGGAGTACGCGAGGGCCTCCTCCTCTTTTTGCGTTTCTTCGACGGCCGTGTCGACCATGGACTGCAGGACGTTCTTCTGTTCCGTGGCCTCGAAGACCTCCTTCGGCTTTGTCGCCTTGAGGTCGAGCTCGGCAGCTCTAGCTTTGATTCGTTCGCGGATGTCGGCGTATTGGTCCGCTTCAACGGCGGGCGCCTCCTCGACGGTCTCTGTCGCTGTCTCCAAGATTTCTACAGCGGCGGCGTCCTCCTCCGGCTGCTCGTCGCCGGGCAGGTCGTCCTTGTCCCGCGTGAGGCCCGGGATGTTGGAGTCGGGCAGCGGCTTCGACGACGAGGCCAGCTGCGTATGCCTGTGGCGCGGCGCGGCGAGGCGCGGCCGCGGCGCGAAGGTCGTGGCGCGCTGCGCGAGCAGGACGAATAAGAAGCTGGTCGCCGGCCTTCGTCGTCGCGTTGGTGGTGCCATTTGTGCGGCTGCGGCGGCGTGGCGCTGCGTAGTGTCGCTGCAAGGGTGGCTACGTGATCGCTGTGGACAACTCTGGAGCGCTCCCGCGAAGGTGGCTGTGTGCGCTGCGTCTGAGCAAGTATGCAGACGACTCAACGAGGTGTCTGTGTGCCTTCCTGGCACACTGCAATGGCACTTAGTTGTTGCATCAATGAGCATAATACCTAGCGTAATAACACTAGAACACGCGCTCTGAGGCGTATCTTGCACGCCTCCCGCGCCCCGCAGGAGTCGTGGCTCCCAAGAAACCGCGTAGCTCTCAAAGCAAAAAAAGCCTCTCAAAGCAATTCGCGCGCGCCGCCCGCCGCACCGCTACTCGAGCCGAAAGGCAACGGCACAGGCCGTACGCGTCGTGGACGCACTCATTTCGAACGCCGGGGCAGCCATCAAAGCAATGGTGCTCACCACCGATGACAGCCTAGAGGACATCCTGGCTGAGACTGTGGCCGCGGCGGAACAAGCGCTGCGTGAAATGAAAGGAGAGGCCGCGCCGCCGCCGCCGCCGCCGCCCGCGCCTTCCCTGAAACCGTGGTGCGGCGCCTGCGAATTGGCCGGCGACGGCCTCCGCGTCGCCGCGGGCTGCGCGGTGGCGAACGGCAGCGTCGCGTTCTACGACGCCGACCAGAAGGCAGACGAACCGGTGCTGTCCGTCGCCTGCGACGCCGTGGCGGCGAGCTACACACTAGGAACTGACGGTGTGACATTCCGCGCCGACGATCTCGCGTACGGCGTGCGCTTCGAAGATCCAGGGGACGTGGCGGGCTTCTGCCGGGCCGTCGCGGCCACGGCGCGCGCGACACGCATTTTCGAGCTCCGGGCGTCGGCGGATGAGAGAGTGGTACAAAGGGAGGACCTCTGCGAGGTCGCAGTTAAGGTCTATCAAGGTGGTGAGCTGGTGCTCGACGACCCGGACGCGGCCTGCGCGGCGGACGGTTCCGTCGAACCGGTGCCGGGCCTCGGTGCGCGTGTCGTCGGCGCGCGGCGCGGGAGTGCCATCGGTATGATGATAGGCGACCGCTGGGTCGAGGCGGTCATAGGGCACATCGCTGGTGGCGACGTGGTCGAGGACCCGCCACTACTCGAAAAAGAGGTCATCGAGGAGCGGGTCGTGACACCACCTCCGAAAATCCGGCCCGTGTCCTTGGAGAAGGCGCGGCGCCAGCTCGATGACCTGCTCCTCCGAGCCAAGGAAGAGCCTGGAGAGGACCCGCGCGTGGCCGAATTGCTGCAAGAGCGCGACGTGTTGCGGTCGAAACTGCGCGGCAACGAGGACGCGCTCGCCAAGCTGCGCGCGTTCATGGAGGACCTGAAGAAGCCGCGGCGTATGGAAGAGCCCGAAATCCCGCCCGCGGCGCGCGCCTGGAAGGCCGAGGTCGACGCCGAGGTCGCGTGTAGCAAAGCGGCCATGGCCGCGGAGCAGGCCCGCCTCGCGGCGCGGAACGCGGCCGTGATGGCGGCGGTGCCCGCGCCGCGCGAGATCCCTCCGGTCAACGGCCCGATCGCGGACGCGCTATTGCGATCCATAGCGTTCGACCTCGAGGTGCTGGAGCGGCGGGGGAGCGCCGCGGACCACGCGCGGTACCTGGACGGGCTGCGGGCGGTCTTGCGGCGGGAGGAGGGGCGTAGGGACCTGTTCTAGGTAGGATTCGTTCGGTTCGGGCACGGGTTTGCGCGCGAACGTCGCGTCGATGGCGTAAGGGGGACACCCAGTCAAATCGGGGTTATCAATGGCGCTTTAAGACAGGCTATTGAAGACGAAAAGACTGCTTAAGTAGGCTTTGTCGCTTGGCTAGTGTGCTAATGTACCCTAGGTAACTATTTTGCGAGTACAGCGAGACGAGTTTATTGCTCGCAAGTGGCAGTGTCTGACATATCAGAGACGATCAAGCCGCCGCACGGACGTCTGCGCACCTCTCGAAGCGCTCGACGCAGCACGACGCGCCGGCTCGCCGCAGCTTGTGGCAAAATCGCCATTTTGCCCAGCTGGCTTAGGAGCCGCCGACACACGCCGCCGATGGCAAGAGACGCCGCCGACGCCCCACGGCAGCCACCTAACCCCTACTCTCGCACGCAGGTCCCCCACCAACACGTCGCAGCGACGATAGCGTAGACAAGTCGGTCGAGTCGGCAGCCTTTTCGGAGGCCCCCCACTCCCGCACAGCACACTTAGCGACCATGTCCAAAAAAGCCGAGGTCGTCAAGGAGGTGACCACCCTGGGCCCCAAGCTCACCGAGGGCGAGACGCTCTTCGGCGTCGCGCACATCTTCGCGTCGTTCAACGACACGTTCGTGCACGTCACTGATCTGTCGGGCCGTGAGACCCTCGTCCGCGTGACGGGCGGCATGAAGGTCAAGGCCGACCGCGACGAGGCGTCGCCCTACGCGGCCATGCTTGCCGCGCAGGACGTCGCCGTGCGCTGCAAGGAGCTCGGCGTGACGGCGCTGCACATCAAGATCCGCGCGACGGGCGGCAACAAGACGAAGACGCCGGGCCCCGGCGCCCAGTCGGCGCTGCGCGCGCTCGCGCGCGCGGGCCTCAAGATCGGCCGCATCGAGGACGTGACGCCGATCCCGTCCGACTCGACGCGCCGCAAGAGCGGTCGCCGCGGTCGCCGCCTCTAGGCGTGCTGTTGCTTCTGTAATAGTTGACACATTAGTTACAATTCCCGCGTCTGCAGCACGAGGGCCGTCTGGTCCTCGTCGATGGCGTCGAGCGTGAAGTTCCTCACTCACTCGCGTCCGGCTCGGAGAGGATCCACTCCACGCCCCACTTGTCCCCGCGCTTCGCGAGGCTGAACGTGTAAAGGACGTCGTCGATCTTGACGCGTCTTACGTAGCGGTCCTCGCCGTCGCGGAGCTCCGAGACCGTCGTCGGGTCCGAGGCGCCCGTGAGGAGCTTGCAGTAGGGCTCGGAGCGCAGCGCGACCCAGAAGTCGTTCAGACGAGCCACGTCGCGCGGCGCGAGCGACCGGAAGAAGTCGCTCCGGAAGGAGAAGGGGTCGACGTGGGCGGCATCATATAAAGCTTTCACGCCGTCGGTAGAACGGTACTCCTCGTGGTCCCACTGGATGTCGTCGCGCCGCCCGAAGTCCACGGAGCGCGTTTTGAGGCCTTCGAGTAAGGCGTCCAGCGTCGCCGCGGCCCCGATGCGTCGAAACAACGCGAGCGTCTCCAGAAAATTGGCGTTTTCGCTGTTCTCGTCGTAGAGCCGCGCCGGCCGCGCGACGCCGCGGACTTGCGAGGCCTGGTGGGCCAGTCTCCTGTTGTTGCGCGGCGACGCCGGCGCGTGGAACGCAGCAGCCTCGACGATCAATAAGCAGAAGAGCCTCATCGTTCGCAGCTACGAAGCAGCGGAACAAAACTGGTGCCACGATCTTTTTTTACTGTAGGCTGATGCTATGCGATTTTTGGGGCCGCAGTTGTCCAGCAGAGGTGGACAGCGTGTAGAGGAGTTACGGAGTCTGCTCAGCGACGTACAGCGCGCTCACGGAAGAAATCTGCCTTAATTTTGGGAGCTAGCGGTAAGATACTAGGCATTTTTTCGGAACCCGCGACGTAACTAGCCTGAGCCTAAGCGGCTCTGAAGCGGCTCTGTGGGCGCTGGGAGTACCGTGGTGGCAAGGATTAACTCCGAGGGGCGGTCCGGTGTAAAAACGACATCGACAGCAAAAAGTGTTACGCGGCGGCGTCGACGGCGTCGGAGGGTTCGGGCGACGGTTCGAGCGAGGGCACTTCATCATTTTTCGCCGGCGACGCGACGACGCGGCCCGAGGCGAAGAGCGCGGCGACGAGGTCGTCCTTCTCGACGCACGCGTCGTCCTCCACACCCAAGTCGTCCATGAGCGCCTTGAGGCGTTTCACGGACCAGTCCCTCAGGTCGGACTCGTCCATGACGACGACGTCGTCCTCGGTGTCGTAGACGTCGACGACGCCCGCCTCGACGACGCGTCTTACTAGGTCACGCTTCTCGCCAGGTACATCGCTATCTACCGGCAGCAATGCTCGCAATTCCGACATGGACTTGCGGAAGAGCTGGCTCATGGAACATCGTGGCCGTCGCTTCGACATGCGCTCGGCCCGACCCTCTTCGAAGGACGCGTCGTCCGTCGGCAGCTCATATCTACAATTCGGGCAGGTGCAATGTTTGATCAACCAGTCCTTGACGCAGCCGGGGTGGTAGACGTGGCCACACGGCAGCTTCGCGACCTCGTCGCCTTCGCTCAGCGCCTCGAGGCAGACGCAGCACGTCGAATTCTCTCCACTCAGCTCGTCGGCTCTGGCTGGTTGGACGGGTAAATTGGCGAGGGTGGCCGCCGACGCGGGCGGCGGTCCTTTCGGCTCCTGGGCCTCGGCGACGCGCCGCGCCGCCTCGGTGCGCTCGAGCGCCGCCTGCAATCGCAACTCCGAGGCCGCGAGGGCCGCGAGGATGGCGAGCGACGACCCCGGCTGCAGGCTCAGGCCGTTCGTCGTTCCATTATTGGCCACGAGCGTCCCGTTCCTATGTATAATCATCTGCGGCTGCGCGCGCGCGCGGCCGTCGAGTAGAATAAAGTTGCCGTGGTTGCCCTGGCCGAGGCGGATGATGCGCGGCTGCGGCCGGGGGCGCGGCTCGGCCGACGCGCCGGCGCCCATGGCGGCGTCGGCGCCCGCTGCGTGGTGTGCTGTTCCGCCTTAAGTGCTGCCCACTTGCGCGCGCCTCGGTCGTAATCGGCCCGGGAATCAATCAGGACACAGTGATGGCTGCCCCACGCCGCCCGGGGCCCTCCTCGCCGTCCCGGCACGTCTTACAAACTCCGTGCACTGGGAGAGCAAGCCCTGCCAGAGACCACAGCGGCCAGATTGAGCAGGCAGTCCCGCTGCCCGTGGGCCGTCGCCGCACGTGAAAAGCCAGCAATCCCCTTGGAATTACCAGAGGAAGCGCTGGCCGCCAAAAAAACGGGAGCGGGGGCGCTCCGTAGCGCACTTACAGCCACAGGGAGAAGCATAGCAGCACAAAATGACCTCCTACGGTATCTGGCGCGACAAATACCCTCCGAAGCCTGACATTCCGGACGCGGCGCTCTGGAAGGACAAATATAAGCAGCCGCTGCGCTCATCCAGCGCGTACCAGGCGTCCATCGCCCAACCGAGCCGCCCGAAAAGCGTGCGGAGACGGCGCCGGCGGCCGACGCAGTACCAGCGAGACGCGTCGACTGTTGGCAGCTTCGACACGTTGAGCTACCACGACGGCGCGCGGACCATCGTCATGGTCCACCGCAACGACATCTGGTGCCGCGAGCACCGAAAGGTACTCGATCCTTGGGTTGTCGGGGTCTTCCAAAGGCCCGACTGCCGCTACCTTGAGCTCCGCGCGAAGCGCGAGGCGCCGCGGGGCTTGGAGGTGAGTCTGCGCATCAGCGATCGACAGATTAACGCGCGGGCGCATCCGTACGACCTGCAGCACTGGGCGACGCGCGTGCTCCCGTTCGCCGTCGAGCTGTACTTTCCCGGCCGGGACCGGGCCCTGCCCCGGCTGCGGTTGCGGAGAGACTTCTTCAAGTATCTCATCGACGACGTCATCCTCGACACGCCGAATAGCGTCCGGGCGACGCTGAACGTCGCCATGGTAAACTAATCACATGTTAACTAAAACTAGAGGCCGTCGAAGAAGGTCTCCTTCTTCGCCTTCTTCTTCGGCTTGGCGTCGTCGTCCGAGTCGTCGGAGGAGTCGCTCTCCTCAGCCAGCATCTGCTTGATGCGGCTGGCGTTTGTCGCGTCGAAGAAGCGCACGACATTGTCGTGGCTCAGCGAGGCCACGAGCTCGTCGCCGGACGTCTTCGCGAGGACCTCGACGGGGAAGCCGCCGTGGGCGCCGATACCGCCGATGTCCGTCAACGACGCGTCCTCGCCCTCCTCGTAGGCCCGGACGACGCCGTCGCCGGTGCCCGTCAAGACAACATCCTGGACGGCCACCAAGGCTTCCACCGAGTCGTGCTCCGACGCGATCACCGAAGGTTCCTTGTCCAAGTCCTTGCGGCTCCAGACCAGCAAGGGACCCGTCGCCGTGCCCGCGACGACGGAATGCGGCGTGACGCAGCACGAGAGCAGCTCGTCCTCGAAGGGGTCCGTTTCCCCGATGCTCTTCAAGTTCTTGCGGAGGTCCATCGCCGCTAGTACGCCGTCGGCGCCCGCCGAAACGAGTACCTCGTCTCGGATCGCGCACAGCCCCGAGACGTAGTCCGCGTGTGGCTGCGTCGAGATGGCCGGACCGCGGTCTCCGCTCAAGCGAGCGTCCCGCAGCGCGATGCGACCGCCGTCGTCGCCGACAGCCAGTAAACCTCGCGTGCTCAGCATCGCCGTCACCTTGTCGCCGCGGCCCTTCGCCTTCCAGGCCTTGGCGCCGCCGTTCGTGTCCCAGCAGCAGACCGCGCCGTCGCCGTAGCCGGCGCAGAGGCCGCCGCCCCACGCGACGGCCGACGCCGCGCCGCGGTCGCCGTGCCAAACACGAGCCAGCGGCTGCGCTTGTTTCGTGCTGTGGATCTCCACCCTCCCATCGACGCAGCCGACGGCGAAGTGCCGCCTGCTCTCGGGTTGCCATGCCAGGGCGATGGGCTGGGCCTCCAGGGTCTTGGGTTGCGGGGCTTTAGGCATGCTTATCGTGCAGCGATTGCAGTGGGCTCTTCGAAAACGTGTCCTGGCGTGCAAATTGAACTGCGTGCGGCAAGCCTGCACGTCGCGGGGATAGTCGGAGCTAGCGGCATGTAAGACACTAGCACGAAATCAGGGCAGCTGCCGATTTGTGCGCATTATGCCGTAGCGGTTAACGAGTGCAGCACAAACTAACACTGCGAGCATACTGGGCAGCTGAGCCAAGTCTTAGCAGCGTTCAGCCACCAGAGAGGGTGACAAGTCAGAGAGAGCGTTTTAAAAATAAATGGCTGAGCGCAGCGTCCGCGGCAGCGTCGTCAAAGCGATAGCAGCGGAAGCCACGCGCCGCAAGCGCGATGCGGACAGCGCCACCGAAACGCCAGCCGCCGAGGAAGGACCACGCCGCAGCCGCCCCCGGCGCGCCTGCCGCGACGCTCCTGTCCAGACCCTCGCCGCCGCCGCGCCCGCTGCGGCGGCCGCGTCGCAGCCGTCGCTCCCGCTGAAGGGCAAGCTCCTGGTCATCCACGCGAACACGAAGACCTATGGCCGCGGCGGCGACACCGCGGCCGCGGGGGACGATCACAGATTAGTCGCGGCCAAGCGGTCGAACCGCGAAGATTTCAAGTTTGCCGCCAAGGATTATATAGCGATGCGCGACGGCGGCGTCTACTCGGGCGATCCCCGGGAAAACAAGCTGCTGCCGCTCCCAAGACCGACGTACACGGAGTTCATCAACCGGGCCCAGCGCGCCAAGGCGTTAGACCGCCTCTTCTTTGTCTTTTGTCCGCCAGATGCGCCGCGGTTGCCCCGGTTGAACTATCGCGCCTACGAGCGCGTCGTGTATGCTGGTGTGTCGTTCAGGCGCTTTGCCAAAATCTGGCAACCGGAGCGCCACCATTTCTTCAAGCCCCAATTTCAAGCGAGGGTCATGGCCATGCTCCTCGCGCGGAACCGCGCGCAGCGCTCTGGGTCCGCCTTCGGAGTGCTCCCGGACGAGCTCCTGCACGACATCCTGGCCTTCGCGTCGAGCAAGAAGGACGCGCGCCGCGACGACTACGACGACCTCGCGACCGTGAATTCGGGCCAGCGCCACTTGTTCCTGCCGGCGCCGGGGTCGAGCGGCATCCGCGACCATCTCTTCGACGCGGTCTTTGGTCTATAAATTTGTATGCTCTGCTAGAGCTTGGCCGCCTAAGTCCCCTCGGCCGCGAACACGGAGCGGACCTTGGACTGGACCTGCGCGACAGACGATGAGTCGCGTCGATATACGGACGCAGACCGTGACCTTGATGATGAGGTCGCGCTCGACGTGGACCGAGAGGCCCAGGTTCAGGCCCTTGCACACGGGCTTCTCGAGGCCCGCGGCAGCGGCGAGCTTGTGGTACTCCTGCGCCGGGGCGTTGCGTTAGAAAAGTGCTTGAGTCGTTGTAAAGGACGCCGGTCGAGCGCCTCGAGACCGGTCGTCACGAGCGCGGCGGCGAGCTCGGCGGAGGCGACGGTCGGGGTCACGACATCGATTCCGCGGACCTTGATGCAGCCCTGGTACTTGCCGCTATACTTGCGGACGTAGTGGTAGAGGCCGGTCCCGTAGAAGAGCGTCGCCGCGACGACCGAGCGACAGGCCTCGAGCACGGACGTCGGCGTGTTGACGGGCAGCGCCTCGCGCCGCGCGACGACGTCGTAGGCGGCGGCGGCCTGTGCGGCAACGCGGTTCGGTCCCGGACGGTCGACGGAAGCGGACGCCGGGTCGCGCCGCTTGCGGTGTCGCGTAGGCGCCGTTCTTCTTGTGGGACTTGTCGGTGCCCGTGTTCTCGCTCGTGATCGAGAACGTGTAGACTTGGTTGCCGTCGTCGTCCTTAACGAAGTTGGTGCCACTGGAATTTTGGCCTTGAGTCCGCGCCTTGAGCACGCCGAAGCCGAGCGCGGTGAGCCCGCCTACCCTCGAGCCGCCCTTGACGCGAGCGTGCTGCGCGCGCGAGATGACGTGGTGCCGCGTCGGCGTGAGGAGGGCCGCGACCTTGTCGCCGACCGTGCGGTGCGGCTCGTCGTAGGCCGCCAGGAACGACCGCACCTCGGGGTAGGCAGCGAAGCGGTCGCGTAGGAGCTGGATGGCACTCGCCTGCGCGATTGAGTCGTGAGTCGCGTCAATGGCGTCGGACGCAGGTAGGCGACCTCGTCCGGCGCCAGGAGCGTCGCTCGCGAGAGGCACAACGCCAAGCGGGCCTTGATGCCGCCGGCGGCCTTGATCTGCTCGGCGCGCGTGGGCAGCTTCGGGCCCTCGTCCATGCGCGTCAGGGCGGCGGGTACATGCATGTACAGGCGGCCGCCGGGAGAGAAGTAGCAGGCTTGTCCGTGTCGCGCACCCACCTCCCAGTTGTCCGTGTCGTGCTCGGCCGCCTCGGCTCTGGCCTTGAACTTCGGCATCGCGTTCGTCGCGACGCGCTTCGACTTGGGCGTCAGGAGCGGCTTGAGCGCAAGCGGCTTCTTGGGCGCCGCGGGCGCCGCGCCGTCGGCCGGCTCGGCCGCGAGGAAGATCGCAAGCGCCTCCGTCTGCGCGGCCGGGGCCGTCGGGTCCCGCACGACCGGTTGCGACGGCGGTCGCGCTCGCGAGCACGTGTGAGCGATACCGCCGTGGTGGCCCACTCTGCGTAGCGAGTTGCACGCGTCGCACGTCGGATCGAACGCACGCGCGGGCGCGGCCGGCACGAGCGCGGTCTCCGTCGCGGCGGGCTCGAGCGTCGCGGCCGGGGCCGTCGGCACGAGCGCCGGCGCGCCCGCGTCGACGTCCATCGGCTCGGCGTCGTCGTCCTCGTCGCTTTCCTCGACCGCGAAGTCGTCATCGTCCGAATCGTCGTCCGAATCGTCGGTAGACTCGGGAACGGACGCTTCGATGAACTCGGCCTCGGCTTCGGCGTCGATCTCTTCCGGCTCTTCGATCACCGCGGGCTCGATGACGAGGGGTGCCGCGTCGTCTTCGTTCCAGCGCTCCTCTTCGAAGCGCGGGTCGGGACGCACCGCGTAGCCGAAGATGGCGTTGAGATCAACCGCTTTGACGGGCCCTCCGGCCAGCTCGGCCGGCAGCTCCATATCTTGCTGCTCGCGTAGCAGGCGCGCGTCTAGGGACCAGTCGGCCTCGGCGTCCGAGTCGGAGTCTGAGTCTAAGAGAGAGTCGACCGATTCATCATCAGACGAGTCTTCTCCCAACGAAGCCACGCGGCGGCGCGACGGGAAGTCCGTGGCGGCGTCGTCCTCGTCTAAAGCGTCGAACAGACCCCTGGGTAAGAGCAGCACGCCGTCCTCGGTCGAGGGCGCGCCGTCGCCGTCGAGCTCGTCGGACATGGGCTGCAGGTGATCTTCGGCCGGCCGCGGCTCGACCAGCATCGGCGCCGCGCCGCTGTCGTCGTCGACGTCCATGGCGTCGGCCTTGGCCTCGGCCGGTTCCTCGAACCTGCGTGGGACTGAGTGAAGCCGCCGTAAAGTGAAAATTTTGGCACCGACGCGAGACGTGATGGTCAGCTGCGTGCCGGGCGCCATCGTTGCAATAGCTCGTAAGTGCAAACCCTTGGACCCGTCGGAAGCCGTATGGCGGACCACGACACAATTGGCCTCGCCGGGCGGCGCCCGTTTCTTCACTAATTCTCTTCCGACCTACGTGTGGAAACGAGTAAAGCGGCCGTAAAGTAGAACTTGGGCGTACCTTGCCGGACGGGAGGATCGTGACGATGCGGTCGCGTCGCACCGGCTCCCGCAGCATCAGGGCCTTGCCCCCGACGCTCCCGCCAGCTATCTCGACCTGCGCGCGGAGGTACGTCAAAACCGAAAATCCCGAGGAGGTGCGCTGACTTCGACGGCGCAGGGCGTCATCACGACCACCGACCCGTTGGGCAGCCGGAGCTTTTTTTGCCTGCGCGCGAGACCGTCTCGGACGGCCGACGGAAGCAAGGGCGCCGGAGTATACTGCATGTCGAGCTGGGCGATGGCGAAAATGTTGCCCATGACGCGGACGGCCCGTTCACCTGCGAAAAAGGGATAAAGCAACGGTTCGGCGTCGGACGCTATTCCGCGCCGTGTACGTGGCTCCCGAGCGCCGGCTTGGCAATCAGTTCAAACCGCAGCTCCGTGCCGACGCGGACGAGCGGAGCGGAGCGCTTGGGCGCCGTGCCACCGATCGTCTTCTGCCCCGTGTAGACAGGGTCGCGGTTCCGCGTCGAGCGCACTGGCCGCCGCCGCGCCGGCTGCGCGGGCTGCTCGGGCGCCGCCGCGCGGCCGCCCGAGGGCGCCCAGTCGGTCGAGTCGTCCTCGTAGGAGCGCACCTTGTGCGCGGCGACCTCGGGCTCGGCGAGCGCCGGCCGCGTCGGCATGCGCTCGAAGAGCTCGCGGGACGTGACGGTGTCCTGCATCGCCTGCGACGTGGCGAGTTGATGTTGAATGGAGGATCGAAACACCGCACCTTCTTGGCGAATTTCTCGAAGTCGAACCCTTCGCGCTTCAGCATCTCGCGGTCCAGCTCGAAAAACCGCGTCGGCAGGTTGCCGCCCTCGCCGAACACGGGCGCCATGTCGTCCTTGCCTATGCGTAGAAACGTTGGAACGGGCTGCGCGCGACGACGACCGCGCCGGCTCGCGCATTTGACCAGTTGGAACTGCGCCTGGGCGTAGCGCATGCGCCAGGCGCGCGACTTGTAGGTAAACAACGACGTGCCGGCCTTGCGCCAGAAGGGCGTCGAGCCGTCTTCTCCCGTCCTGCGGGCGTCGGCCGAGTGAGGCGCGCGAGAAAAAGGCCCGCGGCGGCGCGGCGGCGAAGAACACCGATTCGAGTAGCGGACGCCGGTCCATGCGTCTGCGGAGGGGAACGAGGCGTGAGAACGATGACGCGTCGAGCGCGCGGAGGATGTCGGCCATGCCCCAGGCCCGGCCTTCGCTGCTGGGCCCCCGCTCCACCCGGAAGGTGCAGCCGGTCCAGTCGTCGCGCGCCTCGTTCTTGTGGTTGTTCTCGTCCGTCGCCATGGTCCTCTGCGCCGCGCTTGCGCCGTAGACGGCCGCCGCCCCAGATCGTTCTGCGCTCTGCGATTTTTTTGATTCGCAAAGGGGCCTCGCGCCCCCTGGCCGGGTCCGCGGCGCGGGCGCGGCCCGGGAGGGCTCGGGGGCCTTGGGGGAGGCAATACTACGAAGTTCCTAGTCGCTGGAGGCGTCGGGGACCCGTTGCGCGCGGTGCGCGCGGTGGACACATCGACGCCTTGGGGCCGCTGCAAGTACACGTATCACATTACGGGTGGCGGCGGCGGGAGGTACGCGGTGTCGGCGCGCGACAGGGTCACGACGACGGCGTCGACGGCGTCGGCGTCGGAGGGGTTCGCGGCCCGACGGCGAGCACAGGGCACGAGGCACCGGCCGACGTGGCCCTCCTATGGCTTGCTACTCCGACTCCGTCTTCAGGGCCTCCGGCGGGCCGACGCTCGCCGCGGCCGCGTCACACTCGTCGCGGAAGCGCGCGATGGCCTTGCGGAGCGCGTGGTTCGGCACGACCTCGGTCGACTCCAGTCGCTGATTTGTGAGAGGCGACGTCCCGTGGGCCGCGAACCAGCGCTCGATGGCCCGCCGCTCGTAGGAGTGGCCGTCGGGCGCGAGACAAGGATCGACCATGGCGTTCAGTGTGATCGGGCACCGGTACTCGTCGGGCAGGTGCTTGACGCGGGGCGCCCGCGTCCGGCCGACGCGCGTCCACGCGTCCCCGGAGCCGTCGCCGTCCCAGCGGTAGACGACAAACTGCTCGTCGTCGGACACGTCCTCCTCGCGATCCTCAGACGTGTCCGGTGCCGGAACCCGCCGCCGGCGGGCCGCTCGGAAGACGCCAAGCTCGCCCCGGAGGCGCCCCTCGTAGAGCGCGCGGTCGCTCTCGAGCGGCAGCGCGTCGTCGGCGCCCGTGCGTCGCCGCGCGCGCGCTGCTCGCCGCTCCGCGACGTCGGCGCGCCGCTCTGCCCTGTCGCACCGGTCTTGCAGCTGCTGCGTAATGGCCGTGAGGTCCTCCGCGCGCCGCGAGAACCGCTGTAGCACCTCGCGCCGTTCGCGCGCGTCCTGCGTCAGCGCCGCCGCCCGCACCGCGTGCGCCCGCGCCTCCTTCGCCAGGGCTGCGGCCCGCAGCCGCTCCGCCTTCAGGGCCCCGCGCAGCAGCACGACTTCGTCGTCGGACTCGTCGTCATCGCGCGAGCGGAACGCGCCTCGTAATAAAGCGCGCTCGACGGCGTCCAGCGCGCCGCGCTCCCTTTCCACATCGGTGTCGTCGCGGCCCGACTCGCAGAGCTGGCGCAGACCGCCCAGCATCGCCGAGTACGCGCGCGTGATGCGCGCCTCGACCTCCCGGCATCTCTTGGAATCGCCCTGCGCCATCGCCGCATCCAAATCACCATCTAATTGGGAAAGGACGGGCGCGCTCGGGCCCCGCGCGCGGTCCAGCGCGCCGGTCAGCGTCTCGACGCGCTGGCGCCGCGGCACGGGCGGGCCCTCGTCCGAGCTCGACACCGTCGACGATCGTAAGATAGCTGAGACCTGGGGCATCCTTTGTGGTGGCGGCGGCGTATTTACCGAAGTGGTCAGCCGGTAGGGCGCCGCCCGAATCGTGCACCGCGCCGGCTCCTGGACCCGGAACCCGTCGAGCGCTCTTGATACACTTTGCGCGGCCTCGTTGGACCCCGTCTCGACGAAGGCCGCGCTACCATTTCCGTGGGCGAAGGGGCCGCGCACCTCTACGATGGACGCGCCCGCGCGCAGCGACGCGTCCCGCAGGAAGCTGCGCACGGCCGCGCCGTCGTCGCGCTCGACCTGCGGCAGCGCCGCCACCACCACAACCGCGTCCAAGGAACACCGCGGCGGCGCCTGGGTCCGTCGCAATTGCGCGTACGCGGCCATGGCGTCGCGCGGCCACGGGAACTCGGCGTCCGTCTCGACGACGGGCCGCGGCCGCCGGATCCAGAGCGACGCCCGTAATGCGTCGAAGGCCTTTCTCCACGGCCCGGCCGTCTCCAGCTCCGACAGCTCAGCGGACGCGTCGGAGGCGTGGCCGGTGTTCGCGTCGGAGACCTGGCCGCCCGAGTCGCGTGGCTCCATCCTATTCTAGCGTTGTGTCCGCACGGATTAGTTGTGCAGCTCTGGGGCTCTGGTCTCTGAGTCGCTGTGTGCTTGTTGCTGAGGCTCGAGATTCGCCTCAGGCTGTGCCCTAGGTCAAACGAGTGTGACGGATCGGTCACACGAGGTTGTGGTATATCTATATCAGCGCCCTGGCCCCAAAATCTCGAGCAAGGCTAAAGCTAGCGGCCTGTAAAGACACTAGCAAGCAAAAAAACCGGAATCGCGACGCGTCCCAGGCGCCGGGCACTCTTCTTTTGATGCATCCCACCCCGACGGGACACGTATAGGACGCCGGCCGAAGCGGAGCAGCAAACCAAAACGCAGCGCAGAGAGGGCTGCCTGGTGCGTCGCGCGAGGCACACCGCTGGTGAAACCAAGCCGCGGGCGCCCACGAGAGATGCTACTCCATCATGAGGCTGCGCGAGCCGTCCGCTTGAACGCATAAAGAGGCTGCCCACAGCACCATGTCTCTGGCGGCCCCACCGCCGGCCACGCCCGATCATCTCGCCGCTGTGCCGGCCACGCCCGTGCTCGACGAGCCCAGCGCATTACTATCACCAACCGTGTTGAAGGCGTCGCCCCCGCGGTCGCCGCTGCGGTCGCCCGGCGCGCTCTCGGACCTGTCGCGGAGCCCCGGCAAGCTCATCTCGCCGCGCAAGGCCAAGCTCGCCCTGAAGACGGCGACTTTTAAGGCGAAGCCGCTTGAGAGTCCGACGGCCATCGAAGATGTGCTACGGAGGTCCAATTTCCTGGGAGACTTCAATTCTCCTGGTTCAAAATCGACGGCGTCGTCCTTCGACGCGGGGCCCTACAGCCGCAAAAGGTCGATAAGACTCCCCTCGGAGCCAAAAACGAAGCGGTTGAAGAGGAGGCAGCTGCCCGCGCTTGGGCCTCCACCTGTCGAGAGACGGGCCTCACTGGGAGAACCTCTAGACGTACAAAAACTGAACGAGCAAGCCAGAGAAGCGTCTACATCAACCTTACCGAAAGATCAGAGAGCCCTCGCGCGCATCCAAACGAGGAAACGCAAGGAAGCTTCCGCGGTCGTCATGTCCCGTAGAAAAGCTCTACTACCTCATTTAGAAGGCATCACCTACATCCACGACGAGCTCGGCAAAGCGAGAACGTCAGCCCTCGGCAAGTGGTGGCCCGGCGACCCGAAATATCTTGTAAAGACCCAGCTAAAGGACTACTTCACAGAGGATACTCGTCTGGACGAGTCCGACCTCAAGCGGAGGCGCGAGACGGCGGAACGGCGCACGTTACAAAGTTCGCAGCGGTTGCGGCCCGGTGGTCTGTGGGACTTGCCCGGGACGGCCGACGCGAAAAAGGCGCGGAAAGTGATCGCTGATCTCGATGAAGAACAATCAGCATCAACGAGGCAGCGCTTAGATCTATTGGCGGAACCCGTCGACGCCGAATTATTACATGAGTACTCCGAGAAACTACAAAAGAAAATAAAAGCCCGCGAGGAGGAGGCGGAACGGATACGAATAGGCGCGGCGCCGTCGCCGGACAAGACGTTGCTGGCAACGTCGTCCACGAAAGTTTCGTATGATCGCTTTTCTCGGTTCGCGCATCGGTGCCGCTTGGCAGCTCTAGACGACTATCCCGTGCGCGACCGAGGCTCGCAGTTCTTACTAAAAACGTTGAGTGATGCCTACGACGCCGTCTGGCAGGCGAACGCGGCCGTGACGGCGCCGCCGCCGAGCGACGACCCGAATGTTGATGTGAAGCCTCCGGAAATTCCCGTCGTGCCGGACGTCGTGGCCGACATGTTCTGGCGGAAGTGCGGCACGCTGGCGCCGCAGCAGGCCCTCGAATTTATCACGGAACTCGAGAAGGCGGAGCGAGCTGGATGTAGAGAAAGTGCTTTGTTTGCTGGTTTTCTCTCGGAAACGAGAAATGAGGATGGACTCCTCGTACTCTGTCAAGCTCGTAGAGTCGCGATAGGCCTGTATTCGTTGGATCCGTCCAAACCCACACAACTCATCAGGGACGGCGCCGACGGCCGCTTCGGGCAGAACGGGCTGCTGCCTCAACTCGATCAATGCCCTCTGCTCTCAGCCCACCCTCTCTACGCGTCGCCAGAATTGAAGGACAAGAAGTCGACGTTGTACGATAGGAACGTCGTCCGCATTTTACTACCGAGGAAGGCCGCTCTGGAGATCATCAGGGAGTTATGCGGCCAAGAGTCGGGTGCCGCACGCGCAAGACAAGACGAGCTCAACTCGCGAGGCCTCAGCGCAAGAGCAGCGAGGGAAGCCCAGAAGAAGCGCAAGGGCTCGCAGCTGTCCCAGCAGTCGTCGCGCGTATCGACCGCATCTTGTACGTGGTATTGGGCTGAAGATGACGACAAAATATCAGAGCACGACCCGTCCGTCGTGAAAGCCCCGAACTGGGTGAAATTTGATGATCAATCGCAACTTACGATCGAGGAGGCTTTCAGTCGAGAAGAAAGATTTATTGAAACGCCTCACCATGATGCTATCGTGGACTTCCCGCTCATGGAGCAGATCAACGAGAGCAATGGTTCTAGAAGAGCTGTGCTGAGAGATGTCCACGAGGAGGAATGCCTCGAGGACGAGTTCCCCGCCGAGCTCGGGGAGCTGGCGGCGAATCCGGAGGCGATCGCTGATGAATTGCTAGAGAAATTGGAGAGAGAAGCTATCAACAACCAGGAGGTCTTGTTCGATGACGCACCTCCAGATAGTATCCTGGCCTTTCCTGCGGTCTACGGCTCTACCAATAGGGAATACGTTGACTTTGGGAGATTACTAGAATCATTGGCGGATTTCATCGAAAACGCCTTGCCCGATGATATCCTCGCTTATGTTAGATTCGACGACGACGGTGAACGACTCACACTAGTCCAACAATTAGCGAGCGCCCAGGAGGACGCCGAGAACGCAAGTGACTTGGAGGACGAGGTAAAGGCCGCGCGACGAGCACTTGTCTTAGCTAAAGTAGCCGCGCAGAAGGTGGCCATGGGCCGGTCTCGGTTGGACAAGATGGAGGCCTCTGGGGATGCGGCGGCCGCGGGAGCGATTGTCGCTTTCCGTACTAGGTTAATGATCGCGGAAGCGGATGTCGTCAGGGCCCAGAACATCTTGGATGAGCTCGAGGGCAACATGAATAATCTAGTGAACAGGTCGGAAAAGACCTGGGCGTCACTCATCGAAGCTTCGTCCAACAATGAGAAGGCGCCGACGTCGCCGGCAGCGATGGCGGCTGCAAGACGAAGGAGACTCATCGACGGTGCGCGTAGGGACATCTCACGCGTCGTCCAAACAAGAAAGGCGCGCTCGAACGCCGCGTCGTCGATAAACACGGCCTGCCGCATGGTCGCGTGTGCGGGCGCTCGGTATTGTGTGGATAAAGCGAGGACGGCCTTCTTTGCGCGGACGAAGGAGGCCTGGACTCCACCTTCACAAAAGAAGAAGACCAAGAAGCGGTTGTTGGAAGACGATTTTGGCCCTCCCGATAACACGGACTTGTACGATGCCGCCCTCGCTTCCGGGAAGCTCGATGAGTTGTTGAAACCGATCCGAGATGAACAAAATGCGGCAGCACATATCATCGGCCAGCGCGTCAAAAGTTACTTGTGGCGCCAGAGGGAGCTACGGATACCGGTGGTCGCTGCTTTAGCGAAGAAGAAGGAGGATGATAAGTACTTTAAAGAAAGGCGAGAACGCTTGGCTTTCGAAAAGCAAAGGCGCATCGAGGAGAAGGAGCGTTTGCAATTGCTGCGGTTACGAAGGGACGCGGACGCTCGTAAGAAACGTCACGAGGACGCGAAAAGGGCATTGTTCTTGGAAAATCAAAGGCAGGAGGTCGAGTTGAGGTGGAGAACTTGTGAGTTGCGCTGTATGCGGGCGCATTTAGATGCTTTAAAGCAATACCTCGACGCGGTGCGGTTCCAGCGGCAGTTCTTTTCTCGTTTACTGAAAGCTTGTCTTAAGAATTGGCGGGGCTTCGCTGTTGATAGTATAGCGGAGAAAAAGTCCGCTCGGTTAATGCAGGCCTGCTGGCGCATGCTCCAGGCCATGGCCACCGTGAAGGCCAAGAGGGCTGAAAATGCCAGAAAGAGGCGCGTCTTCGACCGACTCTTCGGCAAGGCCATGGATCGTCGATTGCGGAGGATTATTGATGCGTGGCAGGACTGGGCCTGGAGCGAAGCGGCGTGTCGGGGCTTTCAGGAGGAGATCGCGGAGAGGTTGCAGCGGAAGGTCTTGGACGCTTGGTTTAAACATGCGAAAACAGCTCCATCTCGTCGGAAAGGTTTGGTAAGGAAGCTCCAGAAAGGGGTCAGGTCTAGATTAGGTACGATGCACATCATGGCGAAGCTCAAGAGGGATAAAGAAGCTGCGATAGTTCTGCAGTGTCTCTTCAGAGGTAATAAAGCGGTGGCGCGCGTCGTTGCGTTACGACTCGCCAAGAAACTGTTGAAGGAGAAGAAGGGACGGGAGGCCGAGGCTATAAGGATGAAGCAAGCTTTGTATATAAGGTGGAGGAACCGCGTACTGAAACACTGGATCCGGTCCGACAAGTGCGATAAACTCGGCCAAAGGTTCAATTGCAGTATAGCATTTAGACAGTGGGGCATCGCCATCGACGCCTACAAGTTCGAACGGCACGTGCTGCACACGGCGGCCTCCGAACGCATCGCGAAGGTCGGGAGGAGATACGTCTACGCGCAGCGCTTCAAGGGCAAGGTGCATATATATAGGATGGCCAAGCGCATCCAGAACTCGCTCGTTCGCATAGCCCTGGCCAAGAGTGTTTTCAGCTACAAACTCGCGAGGAGGAACGCGGCTCGAGACATCCAGCGCGTCTATCGGGGAGGTTGTAGGCGCGATGTCATACGAGAGTGGAATAGGCACGAATTACTGGCGCACGCGTATGCCAATGCCGCTCGGTTACTCATCAAGCACAACCGCGGCGCGCGCAAGATCCAGTCGCTGCGGACGACGGAGGCGCTGATCACCAAACATGAGAAGGACGGCGACTCCGCCATTCACAGGGCCGCTAGAGGGATTGGCGACCAGTCGGTCTACGCGTGCATCAAGCACCTGAATCTAGCTGCGGATGCTTATAACGATGCGGGAAGCGCGCCCTTGCACATCATCGGGTTGGACTTAGATCCACCTCTTAGGATCGCTCGTATTAAAAAGAGAGAAAGAAGAAAAGCGAAGGAGGCCGCGCTGGAGGCCGCCGAAGAGCGGGAAATTTACCTGGCTTGCGAAAGGATGGGCACCGTATACAAAAACAAGGCCGAGCGCATCGAAGAAGCGAAGAACAACGGCACCTACGACTCGCCCGAGCCGTCGCCGCGCGAAGAATTCGGCTCGAGACCACCTACAAGAGATCTTTTATACGGAGAAGACCGAGGCTTCGACTTCGAGGAATTCGCCATATCAAGACCTAATACCGCGGAACAACCCCAAATAGCAGGAGGCATCATGGACATCCTGGGCACGTTTGTGGAAGAGGATCCGTCGACGAATTCGATCCTCAAGAAGCTCGACTCCGACTCGGAGTCGGACATGTCCAAGTCGTCCGACGAAGCTCGTAGTGATTCAGCTTCGGACAATGAGGTGCTAGCGGGTGCTATTACCGCCGCAGAAGCCGAGGAGATGGAGAAGGGCTCGGAGGTGTTAAATAAAGTGGTCGACAGGTTATTGGAACATGGTGCCGATTTAGAAGCGCCGGACGCCGTCGGTCGGACGCCTCTCGCGGCGGCGGTCGATCGAGGCGACCTGTCGTTGTGTGGCGTTTTACTCACGCGAGGTGCTTCGGTGAACGCCCTCGACTACGCCGGGTATAGTTGCCTATCGTTAGCGGCGGCGAAGGGGCGCGTGCTGATCGCGCGCTTGCTCATCAAGAAAGGAGCCGACGTCAATCTACCGGGCAGAAATGCCAGGAGGCCGATCCACGAGGTCTGTCTTAGAGCTAATAGAAGATTTGCGCCGCGATTCTTACGGTTGTTACTCACGCACCACGCCGAGCCCGATGTCCCAGATGATGATGGAAGGACGCCCCTGATGCATTGCGTCGGTCGAAAACATCGCGACGAGTTCCAGGACTCTTCTGACAGTGATGACGAAAATGACGCTGAGGGAACGCCCGAAGCGGCGTGCCTGCAGATGTTACTAGAAAGACAGGTGGACGGCGATCGGAGAGATCGGTCCGGTTTAACAACATTAATGATCGCGGCGAAGGCGGACCGCGTCGATGCTGTGAACAAGCTCGTGCGGTTCGGCGACGTTGATATGTTAGCGAGAGACGCCAAGGGTCGAACGGCTTTACATTTAGCTGCTCGGGTCGGTTCGATAAAAACGTTGAAGGCACTGCTACACAACGGACATGATGTAAGAGTCGTAGACAAGTCCGGTAATCAGGCGATCCACGCGGCTTGTAAGGGTGGTTCAGTGCCGACGGTGGAGACACTAGTAGCGTATGATGCCCCGATGGGCTGCCGGAACTGGGACGGTCTGACGCCGATCGGCGTGGCTCGGTTGAGCGGCCAGAAGGACGTCGCCAAATTCCTCGAGGAGCACGTCGCGCCCTCGTCGATGGCGCAGGACATGACCCAGGAGTTGGCCAAGCTCGAAAACACCGTGGACGAGAAGACGCAACGGTTGAGGGAGAGGAAGATTAGGAGGTTGAAGCGCAAGGCTCGACGGGAAGGCAAGCCCGAGGACCACTACCTCACGGGAACGTTGTCGCCCGTGTCCTCGAGACCCTCTACCGCATCGTCTGATGGTTCAGTGGACTTCCCGCCGGAACCTGAGGGTGATGGGAGGCCGGTCTGGGACCACGACCTCAAACGGTGGACCTTCGCGCGGCACGGGTCTGCCTCACCTAGGCACTTGGTCGCGACGGCGAACGAGGCCGTCGCGGCCACGACCTGGGACAAGCCGATTGCGGAGGAAGCGGAAAAATGGATCGAGGGCTGGGAGGGCGAGGAGGGCTTCTCGCAGAAGACCTGGACGCATTTTGAAACTGGTGAAATAAGGACGGAGCCTCCACCAAGTACGGTGGACGAGGTTCGAAGCTTGATCCAGGCCGCCTGGCCGAGAACCAAACTGCGAAAGCAGCTCACCGTGAAGAAGAAGAAGGCCGACGCGGAATTGAAAGTAGGCGCCGCCGAGTACGGCTTAGACCTCAAAGAGTTTGAGGAAGAGGTTGAAGAATTAAGGGAGATGCACCGGGCCGCGAAGCTCATGCAGCGGTTGTGGCGGCGCATTGATGCGGTGAACTACGCGGACTGTTTGAGGGAACGAAGGGACGGGGCTCGGAGCTTCCAGCGCCTCGTGAGGTGGTACCAGTGGGACCAGAAAAGGTTAAGGAAGATCAAGCTCGATAAGTCCGTGCATCTGGCTCAGAGGTGCTTCCGCGGGTATAGGGCGAGGATGAAATTTTATAATTTCGACTACGAGCGCTACTGGTGGCGGAGACAGGAAAGGTGGCTGGCTACTCGACTCCAAAGAATGTGGCGCGGCCACGTCTGGCGGCGGAAACTCAAGCGCGTCCGGTGTATTAAATATGGTCCCCAACGGTTTGACGGGTGGATGACCGTGGTACAAAACTCCGGCAAGGCCCACCGAACGTACGGTATTTATGAAGAAAAGTTCTTCCCCAGAGCGTATGCCCATCCCAAGGACCAGGGCCCCATCGAAATGCGAAAGAACAAGTTCGGCATGAAGGAGCGGGTTTACGTGCGCGGGGCGCTGATGCGGGACATACCGTTCTACTACAATCGGGTCAGTGGCAAGTGCACCTGGGAGCAGCCCCAGGACTGGGTCTTTGCGGACCGGAAAGCTTTTGAACGGCGCGAGGAAGTGCGGAAGCGCGGGTTTACGGAGGAGGAGAACCAGATGGCCATCCGGCTGCAGACGATGTGGGCGGGGCGGCAGACGCGGCGAGCCTTGCGGGCGACGATGGACGGCGCCAAGATCATGAAGAAGTGCGAGTTTAATTATCTGCAGGATCCGAGGAATCTGACGAAGATGACGCACTATTGTCTCTACTTGCATACGGTCGGGAAGGACCCGGATCGAGCTAGACCGATGTACCAGACGTGCTACAGTCGCATGATCGAGCTCGGGCCCGACGACGCTTGGGTTTTATTGTCATATGCGATCTTCAACGCCGCGACGGGCGAGGACGACTGGCCGAACATCGAGGACTGTGCGAGGCGCGGCGCGCTGGCGCCCGGAGGTACATTACATGGAGATAGACATGGCTACGACCTCGCGGACGGCGGCTTCTTCCGGTCGGCGGCCGCGCAAGATCCCTGCGGCTGGACGTGGCACAACTACGCCTTGTGTCGCTGGCTGGCGTTCCGGGACGATAGCGCGGCGGAGGAAATGTTCGTGCGTGCCATTCAAGGAGATCCGCACAACAAGGTCATCCAGGAGAACTTCGATTACTTCCTGTCCAAGAAGTACCCGAACCAGCCGGAGATGTCGTCGGCCGACGTGGTGAGAAGGCACGCGACGGCGGAGATGCTCAAGGACGTTGAAATTGAGCAGGCTCGTCTCGAAAAAATGCACGCCGATCCTGCGTACCAGGCCGCGACGCTACGCGTGCAGATGGCCTGGCGGCGGCGCCAGTTCTTCAACGAGGTGCTTGGTAGAGACAAGGGGAAGCATCAAGCTTTGCTGGAAGCTGCTGCTGCCGTCGAGGAGTCCTCTTCCTCATCATCTTCTGAATCTAGTGATTCCGAGGAGGAACGGTTGCGAGGCAGGCGCGCTCTACGTTGGGAACGGGGCGCCGACATTCAGGGCAGGACGTACTACTACGACAGTGTCACGGGTATCACGCAGTGGCACGCGCCCGACGATCCGGAGGAGCTCGTCTACCTCGGCAAGCAGAAAGAAAGTTCGTCGTCGGAATCAGAATCGTCGTCGTCGGAAGACGAGGACGAGTCTGAGTCCGAGGACGAGGACCCACGCCTGCACCCGGAGTATGAGGAGCACGACGATGGCGAAAACAAGTACTACTTCCACGTACCCTCGGGCATGTCCACGTGGACACGGCCCAAATTCCCATCGCCCGAAGAGCTCGAAGAAATACAACGGAAGGTGCGCACCGCAGATCCAGCGATGGTCTGGGAGTGCTGCCGCGAGGACGGGACGCTCTTCTACTACAACCCCTTCACTGGTATGAGCCAGTGGACGCATCCTGGGGAAGATGCGGTCATTACCTTCGTCTCCAATGATAGCGACGATGACGACGAGGCGCCGGGCGCGCCCGCGGAGGACGAGGGACCCGTCATGGGCGTCATCGTCGAGGAGTGAATAGTGTAACTTTGTGTGTGAGTACTAGGATGAACCCTCCGAAACTATACTAGTGCGTCAATTCAGGTCGACTGCGAACTCCTTATGAGCGCTGGGGAGAGAGAGGAAACGACACGCGGGGTAAGAGGACGATGTGGGGGTAACAGTGCAGGGGGAACATGACGGCCTCGTAGAGAAGACCGTTCGGACCCGGAGGGGCGTGGAGCCCGCGGGCCGGCCCGCCCCGACGTGAGGTCGAGCGGGGAAGAGGAGCACGAACGAACTCGTCCAGGACGTTCGCGCAGAGAGCTGGTCGGCCGCGCTCGCGGGCTGCGCGGCCGGGCGGTGCCACCGTCGTGGCACCTGCGTAGGTCGCGATGAGAAGCGATGGTAGCATAGTGGGACGCCGGCGCCGCGCCGATGATCTTCGGCCGGCCGCGGCTCGACCAGCATCGGCGCCGCGCCGTTGTCGTCGTCGACGTCCATGGCGTCGGCCTTGGCCTCGGCCGGTTCCTCGAACCTGCGTGGGAACCAGTGACGCCGCCGTAAAGTGAAAATTTTGGCACCGACGCGAGACGTGATGGTCAGCTGCGTGCCGGGCGCCATCGTGGCGATGGCTCGTAAATGCAAACCCTTGGAGCCGTCGGAAGCCGTGTGGCGGACCACTACACAATTGGCCTCGCCGGGCGGCGCCCGTTTCTTCACTAATTCTCTTCCGACCTAGGAGGCCCACTTTAGAGACTTTGCAAACCGAGGGTTTCCGCGCCAAGCGTCGTCCAGACGGAAAGGTCTACTGCGGTGGTGCACAGACGCGCCCGTAGCGCGATTGACCGCGCGCCGACGACGCGCTTATGGGCGCTTAATTCCCAATAGAGCCACAGGCTAAGCAACAGACCAATTCCACCGAGGCCGCGCAAAAGTCGGAGAGACGCATCCTACGCATCGCTCGGAGAGCTCTGCGACGCCGCAAAACCCGCGTTAGTGCAAGCCGGGATGCCCTCCTTGTCATCGAGGATAACGTGAAGCTCGCTCGTTGCACAGAGCTCGCTGCCCTGCGCAAGAGGCCGCAGCAGTGCTGCGCATCACTCAGTACGCCGCAAACCAACGCGCAGTGCATAGCTTGCTGTAGCCCAAGAGATTGGCTGCAAAAAGAGGCCCATCGCATCCTTGCAGCGCCATGGCCGCTAGATTGCCCGTCCTCTTCGAGGACATCGCCATCGCCGCCACCCGTATAAGAGGCGGCGTCGTGCGGTCGCCGGTCACGCATTCGTACTGGCTCAGCCAGCTCTGCGGCTGCGACGTCTTCCTGAAGCACGAGCAGTTCCAGTTTACTGGCAGTTTCAAGGAGCGCGGCGCGAGGAATGCGTTGATGTCTCTGTCCGAAGAAAAGAAGGCCAAAGGCGTCGTCGCGGCCTCTGCGGGCAACCACGCGCTAGCTCTGTCGTGGCACGGCAAGCAGCTCGGCATCCCCGTGTCGGTGTTGATGCCTACTGTGGCTCCGTTAGCCAAGAGATCGAAGTGCGCCAAGTTCGACGCCAACATTGTTGTTCATGGCGACAACATAGGGGTCGCGAAGAAGTACGCCGAGGAGACGGCGCCCTTCTCGGAGATGACTTATGTGAATGGGTACGACGACCCAGAGATCATCGCCGGGGCCGGTACGATGGGCTTGGAACTCGTGGATCAGGCTCCCGACGCGGACGCGTACGACTACATCATGGTCCCGTGCGGCGGCGCTGGTTTATTAGCTGGCGTGGCGTTGGCGTCGAAGACGCTGCGGCCCGCGACGCGCGTGATTGGTGTCGAGCCCCGGAATTGTGCTTCCTTCACTGCTGCGCTCGAAGCTGGGGAACCGGTCCCGGCACCTACGACTTCCACCCTAGCGGATGGTCTCGCGGTGCCCACGGTCGGAGGCAACGCCTTCGAGGTCGCTCGCGCCCACACGGACGAGGTCGTCATCGTCGAAGAAAGCGACGTGGCTCTATCGGTCCTACGGTTGTTAGAGAACGAGAAAGTGATTGTGGAGGGCGGCGGCGCCACCGGTTTAGCCGCTATTTTACCCGGCGGCCCGATGCACAAGGAGGTCCAGGGGAAACGCGTCGCGGTGCCTCTTTGTGGCGGTAATATTGATGTGACAACTCTGGGACGAGTCATCGACCGCGGCTTAGCGGCGGATTGTCGCTTGGTACGCTTCGTCGCCGAGGTCTCGGACCGGGCGGGAGGCATCGCCGAAGTGACGTCGCTCCTCTCGGAGCACGGTGCGTCCGTCAAGGACGTCTTCCACGAGCGGGCGTGGCTGCAGTCGGCGGTGGATCGCGTCCAGATCAAATTTATTATCGAGTGCACCGGTTCGTAGCTGTGTGGAAATCAACCAGTGCGTCGGGTGTGTGGCTCGGTCGAGCGGCGAGGAATCGGCATCGCCACGCCATCGAGCAGGCGTCGCGTCGATGGCGTGGAGGTCGACGCGAACGCGCCGTAAAATTTTGATTTCCACACAGGTCCCGAGCACTCCGTGCAGGTGCGGGACGCCGTGCGGGCGGCAGGCGTGCCGTTATTAGTGTGGGGCAAGACGGTGTACAACGCGGACGGGACCGCGCGGACGCTCGGGTCGACGACCGGAGGCCCCGCGGAGCCGGCGCCCTTCGAGTAGGGTGTGCGGGTAAGCTTCTAGGTACTGACACGCGCCGATGGCGTAAGGGGGAGCCCCACGCCGTCGACGACGCGACCTACTTAAATATACTTACGAGCAAGCGCTCAGGACCGCTTCCCGATGAGTCGCAGGACGAGCGACTGCGCCCCAATAATCAAGCCGACGGCCGGCAGCGGCCCCCACAGCTTGAGGCCCACCGGCAGGTCCCCTAATAGGAGACAGAGCCCGCCCACCAGCGCGGCGTAGGGCCCGGCGGTCCGGACGTGGTCGGTCAGCGGCACCCGCGTGGCCAACTGAGTCAATATCGTCGTGTCCGCGATCGGCGAGAAGACGTTCCCAAATAAGGAGCCGCCCAACACGCAGCCGAAGCAGTGCGTCAGCAAGCGCTGGTCGCCGCCGCCCAGCTCCCAGGCGAGCGGGCCAATTAACGGAAACAGGATGCCCATCGTCCCGAAACTGGAACCGGTCGCGAAGGAGATGACGTACGACAGGATCGAGGTGGACGCGGGTAGAGCCCAGGCGGGCAGGCCCCCCGACGTGAGCGCCGCGGCGATGAAGGAAGCAGTCCCGGTCGACTGGATGATGCCGCCCAGCGCCCACGCCAGCGCCAGCACGATGATCGGTTCGATGACCTCCTTCATGCCTTCGACTACTGTGCCCATGGCCGTGTCCAAATCCAGGATCTTCTGCGAGAGTAACAAAGTGAGGGCGGCCGCACAGCCTAACGTAGAACCCCACAATAAAGCAAGCACGGAATCGCCCTTGGCCAAGGCCTGCATGACCGTTACGCGGCCCACGTGGCCCGAGGCCTTCACGGCTTTTCGTCCATCGAGGATCATCCCACCGAGCGTCGCGCCAATAATAGTACCAAAGGGCACCAAAGCGTTGACCGCCCTTAATGGCGTTGACGGCGAAGGCTCCATGGCGCCCATGTCCGGCGCAGCGTCACCATCATCTTCAGTTGTTGTTGTTGTTTCCCGTTCGCTCTTCACGACCGCGTCGCGCATCGGCCCGAAGTCCCTTCCTGTGGTAACCGTGGCCGCCACAAAGGCCAGCAAACAGAGCGGAAAGAAGCGGTAGGGCAACGTGCCGAGCGTGAGCACGAAGGGGCTCGGGAGCTTGCCCGCGGGGACGCCCGCCGTGGCGGTCGACACCATGCCCACCTGCTGGCCGATCCAAGACGACACGGGCGACGACGCGGAGACGCAGACGGCCACGAAATGCAACAACCCGGCGAACTTCTCCTTGCAGACTCGTAACGCTGGGAGTAGAGGTCGGAACGAGTTGCCCACAATCAATATAGAGGCGTAGTCGTCGAAGAAGATCAATCCGGCCAACGCGCAGGCCGTCGCGAGGCAGCTCCTTGCATCTTTAGCGAAGCGCTTGAGGGACGCGGCCAAACCCTGGGCGCCGCCGCCTTTTTGCACTAATCCTATGGTGGCACCTAATATAAGATTGAAGAGGATGACCGTCGCGTGCTCCCTGTCTACGACCGCATTAACAATGTGCGTGTCCAGAGTCTTGAGGAGTGCCACCAAGGGGTTCAGGTCGTAGAGGAGTAAACAACCGGACCAGATGCCCACCAACAGAGCGGGCGTGACTTGTTTCGTGGCTAATGCAAACGACAGCGTCGTGACCGGCGGTAATAAGGACAGCGGGCCGCCGAGGCCCACGCCGCCGCCCCTCAGAGCGAGCGCCGCGGGGCTCGCGGCCGCGACCGGAGCGCGTCGTTGCTGAAAGCGCGGCGGTTTCGCGAGGGGCGGCGCCGCGAAGGATGTGGCGCCGACAGCGAGCAGGAAGATGGACGAGCGCATGATGGTGCTTTGTGCTGCACTGCCTTCGCCGGAGAGCACTGCTTGTTTGAATTGTGTGCAAAGCGGGCTGGCGCAAATGGTTCGCAAGGCTTTGTTTGCAGAAATGACGTACAATCCAGAACGTAGCGGTTGCCAGCGGCAGTAATCACGTGTTCGCGCGAAGCCCCTCGCCACACTGCACAGTCTCTGGTGAGCGTGAGTGCCGCCGAGCCAAATTAGCACCGACGCCTGCCCGAGAGGCTCAGGAAGGGTACGGAGGCCTAGCAGGGCGCCGCTCCGCGGGTGTCGCTGGGGCCCAAATAGGCTTTGGACATCTGCCATCCAAGCTTGATTAGGCGGCCGCGCGCGCGCAAAAGCCGTAGCCCCGGAGCCCGTCGGCCACCCCGACGCCCGGCGCCACCGCGCCCAATCCCACGGAAAGGCAGCCCCGCGCCCCGGGCGCCCGCCGCTTCGCAGGAGCCGAAACCACACCAGTAGCAATATGGCCGACGGCACGCGCGGCGCGAAGCGCGTCGCGGCCACGCTGGGCCCTGAGCAGGGCCGCGAGCCCGACGAGCTCGAGCGCCTCGTGGCGGGCACGCTCCAGGGCCTGGTGGCGGCCGCGCCGGAGGCCGCCGGGGGCGTGAGCTGGGTGAATCCCAAGCAGAGCGCGCGCGTTGTCAAGAGGAGACGCGCGAGGTTGAAATTCAAGGGCATGGAGAAGAGCACGCGGGCCCGCGCCGACTACGCGTATGAATCGCGCCACCGCCACGCTTGCAACCGCCAGCGCGACGCGAACGGACGCTTCCCCGCGCGCAAGAAGAAGGACGCCGCGGCTCCCGCGCCCGCCGCGCCGCCTGCGCCGGCGCCGCCCGCGCCGCCCGCGCCCGCCGCGCCCGCGGCCGCTGCGCCCGCGCCCGTGCCCGCCGCGCCCGTCGCGCCTCCGCTGGCACCGACTGCGGTGTGATAACGCATTCATTTTGTGACTCTGCCTACATTGTCACCGCAGTCTACTGATTGCTTGCTTGCTGAGGCTGAGGCTAGTTACGTCGCAGGGTTCCCCGTACCCCTCCCGCTCCCCCCGGGCCCACCCGTCCGGCTGGACTAGGACGCAAGGGCCGAGTCGCATGGACTCGCACGCCCCCCCTTTTTTGGGACGACCCCCGTCAGGATGCTTGCTTGCTAGGGATGCCTAGTGTCTTACAGGCCGCTAGCTCGGCTTTTTTGGCTTTCACTCGGGACGACACAGCGGCCATCTCTGGCTCATTTTAGGCAAACGTCCTTGATGAGGTGAACAATTCATCACGGAACCTCCCAGATTGTAGCAATTGTGCCCGCGGGGCGAGAATCTAGAGCCGAGAGCAATTGAGGCCAGTTTTATATCCGCCGCTCCTGACAAACCGCTCTAACGACGATGCTCCCGGCCCTAGCGATCGCGTTCGCCGCGACCGCCGCGACCGCCACCGAAACCGAATCAAGGAGGCGAGCGCTCGCGGCGGGCGGAACGAGGACGCAACGCATCACATCGTTCCTGCCCTTCGTGAACGTCGACGGCGAGGCCTTTTACGGCCAGCGCCAGCTCGCCATCGTCGCCGCGATGGCGATACGGGACTTTAATGCGCGCGACGGCCACCTCGTGCCGCGATTCGCCGCGCTTGACGAGCCCTGCGACGTCGAGCTCGAGATCCAGTTCTATGCGCGACGGCGCGTCGTCACGAGCCCTCGTGGGCATTCTAGCGCTCGACCGGGCGGTTGGGGCCACGGTCGCGGACGAGTCGCGCGTCGGGAATTTCTCGCGCGGAGACGAAGCTTACTTCTGGCAGAAGCTCGGGCGAGCGCTGCCAGGCGTCCTCGACTTTACGCTGGCCGCCTCGCGGGAGCAGCGCGCACAATTGGCGGCCGCGCTTAGAAACGTCGCCGCTTTCGACCACCACCGGCGCGCCGTCGGCGCGCGGCCCATCGCCGTCGCGATCGTCGAGCCGATCGACTGGGCGTCGCTGCTGCGGTACTCCATCTTCGCGTCGCGCCGCGACCTGAACGTGTTGCGCGGCGTCGTCGACGGGATGGTGAGAGCTGACCCGCGCCTCCGCCGCGAGGCGGAGAACGTCCGGGCCCCCATCCGTGTGGCCACACGGATCCAACGGGCCTGGCGGGCGCGACGGGCGGCGAAAGGAGACGCGCCGTCGTCGTCCCCATAGTCTTGGTGTGTATACTACTTGTTTCTTGGACCCGTGTGAGAGAGAAGACGTCGTTCAAGTGCGACTTGCAGCTAGTGGCGTGCGACTTGCAGCTAATGGCGTGCGACTGTGTGTTAGTGTGTATATGACTTAGGGCACCAGATTATTTTTTTTCCGGTGGCTCGAACTCGATTGCCAGGAACGCCCGTAATATGGCGCGCCTGTGCGTCATACTTGGCGTGTGCATTGCAGGTGTCTCAGCAGAAGATAATGCAACACTTCCTGTTGCAACGACGCAGCCGCATGCATCTCTGCCCCGCATCCCCGAGGAGGCTCAGCGGCTGGAATCGATCGTCGAGCCGCCTCAGCGCAGCGAATCGATCGTCGACTTGCCTCTAGAACCACCACCACCGCCCGAGCCGAAGCGCACGCACGCACCGGAGCCGAAGCGCACGACGCCGCCGCGGCCGGCCGAGCCCGTCGAGGGCGCCTGGTCGTGCGCCCGCCGCGCAGCGCTGCCGACGACGATCCGGCTGTTCCTGCGAGCCGTCGGCGCGCCCCAAAACTGGCGCGACGCCGCGGCGCGCTACGTCCAACCTATCGAGGGCCCCTGGACGTGGCGAATCGCCGACCACCGGCCGCCCGTCTTGCTCGTGCGCGCGGCGACCGGCAAGGTCTCGCGCGTGGCCTGCGCTTCTGATGATCGCTGCGCCCGCTTCTTCACCGAGACAAGTGGCGGCTGGCGGTTCCAGGCCACCGAACCCGTGTGCGTGCGCGGCGCGGCGCTCGACGCCAGCGACGAGCCACCTCATGGGTGGGCGCGCGGCGCCGGGGGCGCCCTACTATTCATACAAGCGTCGGCGCTCGCTTCGACGAAGCGGTCGCGCGCGGTCGTCGGCGCTGTGACGGCCGCGGCCCTCGCCGCGCATTACGCGGACGCGACTTCATCAGTATCAATACCGATCACCTGGCAGCGCGGCGTCTCAGGTGTCATCTGCGCCTTCCTGAGCCTGCGCTGCGTGCCCGTGTCCGCGATCGTCGCGCTGCTGGCGCTGGCCGCCGCCGCCGTTTACTTGGCAAGGAGCGCGCCCGCGAGCCTCTGGACCGCCTGGCCGCTCAAGCTGCACCCGGAAAATTTGGAGGACCTCGTCCGCGTCGAGATCGGCACGTCGTCGGGTCTGATACTCGTCGTGTCCGCCGCGGGCCGGCGCCTCGCGTCGTCTTTGTTGGTCGCCGCCGCGGCCGCGGTCGGCGCGCGCGCCCTCGCGGGCGCAGACGACGAGGAGGAGGAGGAGGACGACGCGGTCTACGATGGGTTGCGGGGCTTCTTCGTGCCCGTGTCCCGGCCGCCGACCGACGACAGAGTCGGTAATGTATTAGACGGCCTCGCGTGCGCCGCGACCGCGGCGGCGGCGCGCCTCGCGGGCCTCGCGCTCGTCGCGACCTGTAGTGACGACCCGCGCCGCAACAGCCAACTACTCGTCGCCGTCGTGTTTGGCTGGCCGCTCCTCGCGTGGCTCGCGTCGATAGTACAGCGCTTGCAAGAGCACCGCCGGACAAAGCGGCGCTTCTGCTCGCCCGGCGCCTCGACGAACGCGACGCGCTACTACCTCGAGCTCCTCCGCCAGTATTTGGTCAGGAACCGGGCCGAGCTTGGCAAGCTCGCGCCGCATCCGGCGACGTCTCATCAAAGGGACGCGGAGATCGAGCGTTTTGTGGCGTCGGGCCAGTCGCTCCACAGTTATCGGCTCACCTACTAGAAGTAAGGATTGTTTATACTAGCTAGCTAGTTGATCTTCACGCCGTTCGACGCGGCCCACTTGGAGATGATCCGCACCATGTACTCGACCTGGGGGTTCGACGTGTTGCGCACCATGGCCAGCACGTCCCGCAGATCCTCCTTGGCGCCCTTGCCCGCCACGACCTGCTGGAACACGCCGACGCACGCGCCGCGCTTGCCCTCCCAGAACTCCGGGTCCGGGTCCAATCTTTCTAAAACATCAAAGGCCTTGGCCGCATACAAGAACTGGCCCATCCTATAACAGTCGTTCGCGATCAATTGCAGTAAGTTAAATGATTCGTTGGACGTGTCCATTTTCAAATACAACTCCCAGGCGTTCTTCGGCTGGCCGTTCATGACGAAGCACCGCGCCAGCCAACTGACGTAGCAGTACTCGGCCTTGTAGCGCTCGTTCTGGACTAACAGCAAGGCCTCCTCCGCGCCTTTGTAATTCCCCGTCTGGGCTAGACTTATCCCATGGTTCCAATTGAAGTCGTCGTCGCCGTACATGTAGGCCTTGATCGAATTCAAGTAAATATTCACGTCCTCGAACTGTTTGAGTAGGAAGAAGCAGGACGCCATGCACTGCCGTCCGGGGATCGTGTCGCACTCCGACGCCGACGCTCCCACCAGCTGGAAGAACTGCTGCGCCATCTTCACGTGCTCTCTCGAACCCAATGCTTGGCCCACCGAAGCGTTGACGACTCCCTTCAGAATGTACTCTTGGGGCGTCGACGGTTCGACGTCCTTGATGAGCTCGTGGGCCTCCTGCATGCCGTCGTGGCGGAAATGGTAGATGACGAGGTTCAAACGAGCTTCCGGAACAAAGTCCGCGAGCCTCGGTAGTACCTGTAACGCCCCTTCGCCCTGCGAGAAGACCACTCGATTATGTCTGATGAGATCATTGGAACCCAGAGCGTGGCCCTGGTCCTGCAACACCTTGAGTTCCGCCTCGGCCGCTTTCCCGTTATACAACCGGAAGTGGTTGCAGGCCTTCAAGTTGACGGCTATTGCGCTATCAGGATGCGCTTGTAAGTACACGGCTAAGATCTCCAACGAAACATCATAATAATCAAGCTTGTAGTAGCACATCGCGACATAGACGTTCAACGCTAAGTCATCGCGATTCTCCAACAGTAATCTTTTATAGATATCGGTCGCTTCCTGGAAATGCGATCGCAAGTAATGAATGGCCGCTAAGGATAACTGGTCCTCGTTCGCATCCGTCAAGTCCTGGTGGCGCTGCATGAGTTTGTCTTGATCATCTCTCTTATGCGCGCAGTGGAAGAGCAGCCTATTCCGCAGAGCCCGTTCCGCGTCCTGCCGCGCGCCGTCCTTCCCGCGCACGTCGTCCTCGATCTTCTTCAGTAACTCGTCGTCCGACAACAGCCCCAAACCGCCCTTCTGGCCCAGCTCCTCCTGCAATTGTTTCCGCTTCGCGTTCATGGCCGCGGGCGTCTGCGCGTCGCGGATCCTCCGCTCTAGGTCACTACCGGCAGAATCGTACTTCTCGACTTCTTTTTCTGCTTCTTCGTAGGACTGCATGTAGAACAGGCAGCACGCGGCGTAGAGGTGGACCTCCCGGGGCGGCTTCTCCTCAGCCTCCTTCCCTTCATCTTTCCCTTCGCCCCGCCTCAACGAGGAAGACATCGTACCACTGAGAATCTCCTCGTAGGCCTCGTGGGCCCGCTGGTAGTTGCCCGCGTGGCACGCGCAGTAGCCCACCCAAAGCAACGCGTCGCGCTGCTCCTCGGGCGACGCTCCCTTCCTGTTAAATTCGAGTAAAGCTAACGCGCCCGTGTAGTCGCGCTTCTTGATGTACTCGTCGAGCCGCGTGAGCTTGGCCGACCGCGACTCGGGCTGCTTGTGCTTGCCGCCTCGCAAGCGCCCGGGCTGGCGGGACATGAGCATGGTGCTTGAGGGGCTGCCCCGCGCGGAGGCGGTGGCGGGCGGTGGTCTGGCTCTCGCTGGTCCGACGACGGCGGCCGCGGGCTTCGTCCGGGGCGGCGCGGGCCCGGCCAATACAAACCCTGCCCAGCACTGGCCGAGACGAGGCTAGTGTCTTCTACCCCGACCGCGGAGCGCCCGGCCGCGCGGAGCAGTGCCTCGACAGGTCGCTGGGACTCGGTCTTCGATGCGCACGCGCGCTTCGGTGAACGCAGCGCGCGGGGCCCCAGCGTAGCGGCGAAATCATCGTGTCGTCGCGGCAGCCTTCCAGCACGTTTCACGCTAAGCGGGCAGCGATCGATGGCTGCCCTCACGAAAAATGGCTGGTGCGAGCCCACGCGGGACGACGAGACGACTAGTGGAGAGCCACCAGCTGTAGGGCTCGTCGAAGCCCTCGTCAACGCGCCGGCGCGCGGCGCCGTCGCGCGCCAGGCGCTGCCAGCGACCGCGCGGACCTGGACCGGCGCCGTCGCGCGCGCCGCGACGCGGAAGATCCTGACGTTCTACCCGTCGACGAGCGATTCGATGACGGCCTTCTCGCGCCAGAAGTGCCACGAGACGCGCGCGGCCATCAAGCCCTCGCTCCCGTTCCTGGAGTGGCTTGCATCGTCGAGCAGTCCCGGCTGGCAGCTGCGCGGCGACCTGGACCTGGGCGACGAGGAGCTGGGCGCCATTCTCGGGGAGGAGCTGCGGCGAAAGTTGCGGGTGACCTCGACCTCGCTGTGGTCCGGGAGCGGCGGCTCGCGGACGCCCTTACATAGGGACGATGTCTCCGCGTTGGTCTTCCAGTGTGTGGGCCGAAAAAGGTTCTTCCTGGTCGCCGAGAAGGATGTGGAAGAAGCGGTCGCAAAGGGAAAGCTCCCCTCCGCGGTGCTGGAGGGCGGCTCGGAGAGTCATTGTCAGGATGGCTCTTTGGAGGACGTCTTCGGGCTGCACGAGGCGGAGCCGACGTCCGCGCGGGGCGAGCTCGCCGTCCTGGACGAGGGCGACTGCCTCGTCCTGCCGGCGGGCCTCTACCACGACGTCGAGTCGAGCGACGGTCCCTCGATGAGTTTGACCATCCGTTTCGAGATCATTGACGAGGCAGAGGAGGAGCCCGCCATCGACCTGAAGAAGCTGTCGATGGCTGGCAATTCAGACCTCAAGAAGTTCATGATGCGCCTCGCGCTGAAGAAGGCGATGGCGGCGAAGCGGCAGGAGCCGGCGCCCGTCGAGATCGAGACGCGATGAGTTCCCTTCCAACGCGTCTGTCACACTTAACATGTTATCTATCTAAATTCGACCTCCACGCCGTCGACGCGACGCCTGCCCGGTGGCGTGGGGGTGCCAGCACGGTCACGCCATCAAATCGTATGGCTCCGCTGCCGGTCGATGGGTAGCGGCGACGCGGGCCGCGGGAGCGGCACGGGCACGAGCTCCTTGTAGGCGAGCGTTCCGTAGACCAATAGGGCAAAGCCGAGCAATTCCAGGAACGACCAGCCCGTCCAGCGTTCGCCCGCGCTGGCATCGTGGAACGCGTAGTACAAAACGAGCGACGTGAGCCAGACGCCCAGCGTGCGGCAGCTCTCCAGGATGCTCCGCATGACCGCGGACAGCTGCTTCGTCACCATATTTCCGACTAGATTGTAGAGCAGCAGGGCGAGCGCCGACGCGAGCGTGAGGGCGATCAGATCGCCCGAATGGGCCAATTGGTCAAACGTCTCGGCGAAGTCCTCATGCCAGAGCGCCGCCGCCGCGACGTCCGAGTCCGGCGTCAGCGACAGGACTGGAGCCAGAGCGACGAAGTAGAGGACGCCCCAGAGGCCCTCCCAGCCGACGAGGACGACGGGCGACAGGCCCCGTTCCACCATGAGATGTTCTTCGAGGCAGAACTGAAGGGCGCCGACCGCCTGGCCGACGACGATGAGGCCGAGGCCCAGGACGTAGGAGCCCAGGGACGTGTGCCCCTTTTCGCCGAAGCGGCCCGCGACGCCCACCAGCGCCACGGCGGCGCAGACGACGGCGACGGCGACGTAGTGGTGCGGCCGCAGCTTTTGCTTGAGCCAGCGCACGCTTAGGATACAGGTAAAGACCACGACGCTGCCGCGCGTCATCTGGTACGTCGAGGATGAGACAAAAAGTAGACCCGCCTGGGCAAGGGCCGTTTGCAATAAATCGGTGAACGCCGGCGCCGCGACGGCGAGAATGGCCGACCGGTCCGGCGTTTGACGAGGTGCTTCGTTGGCGAGCAGCGCCTCGGCAAGCTCGCCCGTCGGTTTCCGTCGGCATCTTCGCGCGACCCAGGCTATCAACAAGCACGTCGACATCGCGACCTTCATGACCAGGGTCTGGAAGTACGGCTTCGTGAAGGGGCACCTCCTCGTGATGCGGTCGTCGTAGTGGCAATGTTCGAAGCCCCGACTTCGCACCTCGTACTGGAGCTTGCTCGTGATCGTCGAGGCCGTGCCGCACACGACGATGAGGACACTCAGCAGCAGCGGTCCGGCGACGCAGCCGAGCTCTTCCTCGGAGTCCTCCGTGCAGGCGCCGCAGCACAATGTTTTTGGCGTTCTTGGCGCCTCGGAATCGCTACGAGAGTCATCTTCCTCGATAAGAATGCCCTCCATTTGTGCGAAAAGCACGCCTTAGCGTCTAGTTGTGGCGTAAGGCCGTTGTTCGCGGTGCGGCCCTGGCAGACTTGCTAGTGTGTTACAGCACGATAGGTCGTAAAAAGGGCTGAAGGTGCGCCGCGCACGAGCTCGGGCAAATCGCCATGAATGATTCTCCGCAACTCGCCACGCATGTCTTCGCGCCGGCAGTATAACATGCGGCCCGCCGAAGACACGCAAGAGGCCCTCCTAGACGCCACACCCAGGCAAGCGCTGCTCCCCTGGGCCGCGCTCGCGTGCTTAGGCGCGGCGAACGCCGCCGAGGCGGTCGAGGTGCTCTGCGCGTCCTACCTCCTCAAAGGATTGAAAGGCGCCCCGGCGCGCGCGGCGGTCTCGTCTGGCGTCTACGCCGGCATGCTCGTAGGCGGCGTCGGCGGCGGCCTTTTAGGAGACGCAAAAGGCCGGGCCCGGTCGATCTGCCTCGCGATGCTGCTGGCTTTCGTGGGAGGCGTCGGCGCGGCCCTCTCCGGTTCTGTAGGAACGATGGCCTGCTGGCGCGTCGTCGCCGGCGCGGGCGTCGGCGGCGCGACGCCGCCACTCTTCGCGCTCGCGTCGGAGCTGTCCAACGGCCCCGCGCGCGGCCGCGGCGTCGCCTTCGTCGCGAGCCACTGGATGGTCGGCTCGCTCTTCGCGGCCGTGCTCGCCAAGGCGACGCTTTCTACAAATATCGAGGTGGACTTTTCGTCGTACGACGGCGTCTGGCGCCGCTACGCGTTCATCTGTGCGCTGCCTTCTCTCGGTGTTGCGGTGCTCTTCTGTTTCAGGAGGAACCTGGACCGGGGGAGCAGTAGTAGGAGCGCCATGGAGCTCGACTTCCCGCCGGCAGAAAAACGATTGCTCGCGATCATGGCCTGCACGTTTTTTGGATTGTACTTCGGCTACTACGGCCTGTCGACGTGGATCGCCGTGCTCGTCGACAGCGCGGGCATCGGAGACGCGTACACGGTCGCGATCTACTACGCGCTGGCTACTCTGCCGGGCAACGTGGTCGGATTTTTGCTCATCGATAGAATCGGGCGGCGTCGCTTACTAGCGGGCGCGATGGGCCTCTCGGCGTGTTTCGGGGTGCTGCTCGTCGCGACGCTGGCCGTCGCGCCGGATTCGATTCGTTCGACGCTCGCCGTGGCCGCGGCGCTCTTGGTGAACGCCTCGACGACGGCCGGCTTCGCAGCTTTAGACGCTTTAGCAGCGGAGTCGTTCTGTACCAAAAGAAAAGCGACGGCGGTGGGCCTCCTGTGCGCGGTCGGGCGCGTCGCGTCGATCGGCGCCCAGGTCGTCAACGCGTCTTTATCGAAGTCGCCGCCATTATTAGTCGCCGTCACGGCGTCGCTCATGGCGCTGGGGGCCGCGTCGGTGTTTGCGCTGCCGCCACCCGCCGCCGAGGAGGCCACGGTCGACGCGGCGCGCGGCGAGCCAATCGTGTAATTGTCTGTTCTGAACTCACCACCTTCGAGGACACGCCAATCAGCGGGAAGGTTCCTTTTGTCACCCTTGACCTACCCTTGACCTTTTTCTCACACCACTCTGACTTATGCGCTACTTCCCCGGACCGGTTTCGCACTCCCGGATGTTGGGCCAGCAGCATCGTCCCAATCGTATCCCGGGATGCACCCCTCGAGGCCCTCGAGCCGCGCCTCGAGCTCCTCCACGCGCTTCGTGAGCGCGTCGAAGTCCCCGACCGACCGCCGCGCGTATTTCGCGATGACGTCGACCTCGAGGTTCACCTCATCACCAATCGCCCGCTGCGGCAACACGATGCACTTCTGCGTGTGCTCGATGAGCATGAGCGTAAAGCTCTTCTCAAAGACGTCGACGACGGTAAGGGATGTGCCGTCGACGGCGACGTAGCCCTTGGGCACGATGCACGCGAGTAGATCGGGGTCGTTCACCTCGATCTCGACCCAGAGCGAGTCGCCTTCCAAAGTCTTCTTGAGGACTTTTCCGGTCGTGTCGACGTGACCTTGCACGTAATGACCCGAATTCCGGCCGTCCGCAGCTAACGATCGTTCGAGGTTCACCTTGTCATTCTCTTTCAACGCGCCGAGGTTCGTCCTTCGTAAAGTTTCCGGCGCGAGCGTCAACGAGAACTTGGGCTGGTCATCGATGTTAATCCGCGTCGCCGTCAAACACACGCCGTTCACGGCGATCGAACACCCGACGTAGGCGCCGTCCGACGCGACCGGGCCGTCCACAATGAGCTCCGTGCCCTCGCCCGTCGTGCCGTCCCAGAGCAGCATCTCCTTGTCGGTCTGCAGCGACACGACGGTGCCCATCTCCTCGACGATGCCGCTGAAGACGTTTTGTCTTGTGGGTTGGTGCCGCGCTGTTCTGTGGTGCTGGAAGGGTGCCGCTGACGGCAGCGCCAGCAGGACGAGGAGACGACGCATGTTTGCAGTGTAGTGCGTGTGTCTGTGTCTCAAAGTGCTCTTGTCACAAGCACCGCTTGGCAAGCGTGTGCGCCTCCAATAAAACGCGTCGAGAGGTAGCGTTTAATGCGCAACACGCTCTGTGCAAGCGTGCACGTGTGCTGAAAATGCGGTCGAGTGCGCTTGCTAGTGTCTTACATTCTGCTAGCTAATTATAGATTTTGGCAGAGCAAAAGCGCATTTGTACGGACCTGCACAAGCAGGCATCGGATTAACACGTGAATTGGTCATTGAGGCATATATCTTTACGGTGAGACAAGTCAGAGTTCGGTTTTGGCGCACCGCTAGCTGCCTTTTGGCCCCTCAGACCACAGTGCTGCAGTGATATCTAGCTCGTGCCGCAATTCGTGCCGCCATCGCACGCCAACGACGCGAACAACCATGCGTGCAATCATTCTCGTAATCTTGACCAGCATCCGGGCCTGGACGCCGTCGCCGCGCCCTCGACGCTGCAACGCGCTGCGCGCCCACCCGGCCTTCAAGCAGAAGAAGGACCCGAAATACAGCCTCGAGGCCGCCGTCGAGGCCGGTGAGGCCGCGCAGCGCGCGAGCGTGCCGCAGTCCTTCGACGACGTGCTCGACGAGATGGGCGCGAGCGTGGGCGCGGCGCTCGACTCCGGCGGGGCGCGGTTCCTCGTGGAATGTTTACCGCCGGGCCTGAACCCGGAGCTCGAGATGACGTGCCCCTACGACCCGTCGCGGGAGCTCGCCGTCGTCCAGGCGCTGCTGAACGCGATCCCGCGCCGCGTGATCCGCGTGGCGTGCCCCTCGGCGGGCGACGCGGCGATGGCGGCGCGCGCGTTGGATATCGAAGGATGCTCGTTCTGTGGTTTGTCGTCAGCGCCGGGCGCGGGCAAGGACCCGGCCGGCGTCGTCAAGCGCGTTTTTGGGAAAGCGCCGGACGTGCCCGACTGCGTGCTCGTTGTGAGGCCGCGGAACTCGGTCGGCGACCCGGTGATCGAGGACGTGACGACTTGTGTAGAAATCAAAATTCCACGGCACCTTCGCATCGACCTCCACGCCATCGACGCGACGCCTGCTGATTCCACACAGGTGATGACCTGCGCCGAGGCGGCCGGGGGCGTCGGCGCGAGCGTCGTGCTGCTGAACCCCGACCTCGGGATGAAGGTCGCGCTCGGCATCCATCAAAAGGACCGGTGGGCGGCGTTCGTGCGCTCGTTCGCGTCTGGATCTGTGCAGAAATCAACCCGTGCGTCGACGATGCGCGGCCGTGAAATCTTGGTTTCCGCACAGGCCGGCCTACCACTTCTCGAACTGGTGCGCGTTCGCGCGGCCGAGCTGCCGGCAGATCGAGCGCGGGCTCGTGCGATATACCCATTCAGGGCAGTGGGAGGGCTTCCACGCGATCCCGCAGCTCGACGAGTTCAACGGGGATTTGAAGCGGTATGGTCGGCCCTTCGGCGCCGAGGGCGCGCCGCCGATGCCCTTCTTGCGAGCGTTCGGCGGCGCCGAGCGGCTCTCGCGCGACGACCTCGCGCGCGAGATGAAGCACGGGGCGAAGCTTGCGAAGGTCCTACGGGCTGCGTAATCAGATGTAAACAAATTACTCCAGGCTTCGTCCTAGCCAGCTTGAGCTCGGTGTTCTTAGTCCACTTTGAGCTCTACGTCCAGCTCGACGAGCGTCGCGCCGGATCCGTCCTTGAGGTAAATGACGCTCGGGTCGACGACTTTGATCGACTTGAAGGGTCCGAGGTTCGGGGCCTTTCGCGGCAGCGTCAGGTTTGTGGCGAACTCGGCAGACGTTACGGCCGTGGGCGGAGGACATTCGGCGAGCGGAATGACCGGGTTCTCCGCGAAGGGTATCTCGACGACGCAGGTCGATCCGAGCGGTCCGCACACGGGGCATTCGCCCTCGATCTTGACGGGGAAGAGCCCGGCCTTCGCCGTGAGAGACCAGCCAATTTTAGCACCCGTCGACGTGAGTGGCTTGCCGGGCGTAGTGACTTTGGCGGACACGGCCACGGTATCGCCCCAGGCGAGGTCAGCGGCGGAGCAGCCGTGCACGTCCGTGTCCGTGCAACCCGGGTCGAGGGATAGATTGAAATCGTAGCCCGGCGCGAGCGTCTTGACTGTGCGCTCGAAGTCGATGCCGCCCGAGGCGGCGCTTACGATGTCGAACATAGGGTTCACGTGCGAAACCGTGGACACGCCGAGGGCCGCCAGAACCAGCGCGGCGACGCCCGCGACGCCCGCGGCCTTTCTCGTCGACGTCGTCTTGGGTGGCTGTGAGATGAGGGACTCCTCATCTGCAAATGTTTGGTAGGTCGGGGCCATTATTTTCGTTGGTCTTGAAGCTTGATCAAGGTAGAACCACTCAGTGACGGAGGGCACTAACGCGTGTAGCCAACGCGCCTGTAGAGACTCAGGACGAGAGAAATACGGAGAAACCCGTCCAAATTCGCAGGGATTGGCCAGACACACAACACACACTTACTCTTTGGCGAAGAACGCAGCACCCGTATCAGGGTCGACGCGCTTCACCCACCCGCCGCCCGCCGCGGTCCCCGCGCTCGGCTCCGCGGTCGGCTCCGAAGCAGGCTCGGCCGGCGCCTCCGCGAAATGAACATGCTCCTCAGACGGGCCGAAAATCTTTGTGAAGTCGTGCCCCGCGGCCTCCAAAGCTTCGACAGCTTCAGTTTGGCGCTTCGTCAATTTCGCCTTGGACGGAGGAGGCAATATCTGGTCCAAGCCCACGCGCAGCACGTCGTCCACGAGCTTCGGTATCAATCCCTCCAACAAGGGACAGCTCCACGTTTCGAGGCACGGGTTGCTGTTAATCTCGATCAAATCAACGCGTAAATCAGCATCGAGCATAAAGTCAAACCCGAGCAATTCGAAGCACGCCTGGCGCTTCTTCGGGTTCAGCCTGGCGTGGGCGGCGTCGATCGTGTACCGCATGATGGCCTCCATCCTTGGTATGAGCGTCTCCTCCAGCCAATTGGCGGGCGCGTCGACGCGTTGCGCGAAATCCGCCAGCGCCAGCTTGTTGCCGGCCTCGAACTTGCCGTAGGACTCCTCTTTGTTCTGGACGCCGTCATTGACCAGATGGACGCCCTTCTTGGCCAGGTCCTGGGGCTTGAGCGAGTACTTGGTGGAGGACGTCCGCACGTAGGAACAGGACCGGTGCGCGTAGGCCTGGATGCGACCCTTCCGGTCGGTCACCAGCAGGCAAAAGGCCCGAATATCGAACTTTCTTCCGTCGATGAGTAAGGGCCTTTCAATGTACTTCTGACAGACCCAGCCGCCGCATCGCGCGTCCTTCCGCGCCTCCGTGCTCACGATGGCCTCGATCTCCTGCGTTGGGGTTCAGCAATGAGCCGCGTCGATGGCGTGCGGGCTGTACCAAACTCTCGCGGACGGCGTCGCCGGTCGCTCGCCGCGTCGATGGCGCATGAGGCGCTCTCGCAGACGCCATCGCCGCGACGACTCACCGACAGAGAAGGACGCCGGAACACGTACCGCCAGGTCGTTCGCCACCCGGATGCCGAAGCCCCGGTTCGACATGCTCGCCGGCTTGAGGATCCACAAGTTCGTGGCGCGCGCCTCTTGCTCCTCAGTAGAGTGCTTCACGAACGCCGCCTTGAACGACGTCCACTCCTCATCTTCCAGAGTGGTCACGTGGAACGTGAGGGGCATGAACTGATCCATGGGCTCCCGTCCTTCAGTCGCACAGTACGCGCGCATCGTCCGATACAATCCATCTTTATTGACCAGGCAGGTGTTGTGCTCGAGGTGGTTGCACGCGATGCGGTTCTTCTCCCTTTCAAACCGCTTCCTATTGCGATACATCTCCCAGACAAAGACGCGCTGCTTTGAGCTATCATTCTTGGGGACGAACCACGGTCGCTTCCTCAGGGCCTGCAGGATGAGGCGCGAGTTGTTGCCCTTGCCGACGTGGTACTGGTAGGTCAGCGGCGGCTTGGGCGCCGTCTTGTGGAGGAGCGTCGCCTTCTTCTTTCGCGCGAGCAATTTCGTCGCGGCGACGGCGGCGACCTTGCGCCGCCCGAAGCCGACCTCGGGCAGCGTCGAGGGCTTCGTGGGGACGACCTTAGCGTCTCCCATGGTCTATCGTGGCTCGCGTCGACGGCGTCTGGCAGGCAGCCCCTCTGCTGATCTGTCTTGGTATGCCCCCGTTGGAGGGCGTCCGGCAGCCCCGCGAGGGCGCGAGTTGTGGTGGTAAGGCTGCGAGCGCTCGTCGCTTTCTCGGCTGCGGTAGGGTGCCGTACAAGCTGCCTAATGGCCTTCGCAGGCTTGGCCAAACCGCTACAAGAGGTACTATACTTATAGGGTAAGGTACCTCGACCGCTATACGAGCTTGTACCCGCACGCCCTCGACGCGTCCCAACAACGACAATCTCAATACTTAATACCACAGGGGGGGGACTAGAGGAACGTCGGCGGCTCGAGCGTCTTGTTGAGCCGCACCTCGGACAATCCGGAGGCGATGTGAGTGGTCACCCAGAAGACCTCGGGGTAGCACCTCAGGAAGACTTTCGTGGACGTCCTAATTGGAGGCGGCCTTGTTCGTTTCACCTCCTCGACCAATTCGGACAGCATGACCTGCCTATTCCCAATCGTCTTCACCAATAATTCGCGGTACTGGTTCTTGTAGTACTCCAACGGGTGCCACATCCAGAGGCCCATCTCCTTCGGCCGGAACTCGAGTAAACAGTTGTTCGCCGTCAGGCCGACTCTACGTAAAGACATGCTCCACTCAGATTCCGTGATGTTCCTATCATCTCTTTTACCTTTCGCGAGGTACACCGGCAGCACGATATCTAAACGAGTGACGTGCATGGGGTTGCCGTGCTCGCCGTAGTCCGGCTCGTCCGCGCCCTCGGGCGTGAATCTCTGTCTAAGCACGTCCTGGACCATCTTGATGATCTCCGACAACTGCTTGTCGAGCGGGACTTCGAGGACGATGTCGTCGCCCATGGTCCACCAATCCCCAAAATGGTCCTTGTCCCGACCTCTTATGATGAGGTCGACCTCCATTGGTGGTGATCACGCGTCGATGGCGTGCAGGTCGACAGCACGCAGGCGCGCGGCTGCCGACGTATTGCTGCCCAAGGAAGGCTGCCTAAGAGAGCTGCCCGCGGCTGCCGGCGTCCTATCACTGCCCCCAAGGAAGGCTGCCCAAGAGAGAGCTGCCCGGCTTCCTATCACTGCCAAAAGGGCTGCCCAAGAGAGAGCTGCCCGCGACAGACCGCAAAACGCCTCGATTACCTAGTATCGATCACGCTAGCTCCGGCCTCCCAGCGCTCTGAACGTGTGCCATACCCGGTTGGTATCTTGCACGGTTAAGGCCTGAAAAATAATCGCTCCACCATGCTGGGCCGTCTCCTAATCGCCATCACCGCTTGCCATGCGCTGATCACTCCCCGGCTGCTGGTCCAAAGAGCGCCAGCCCTAAAGAGCACCGTCGCCGACGCCGTAAACAAGGGGAAGGCGGAAAAGGGCAAGGTCTCGTTCCTCAAGACGGCCTATCCCGTCGCGAGCGCGGCGACGACGCTCGCGTGGACGGCCTGCGCGATGCAGGCGCTGGGCACGCACCCTCGCTTAACCTTACCGCCTCTCCACACGCGGCTCACGATCGCGCAAGCGCTCGTCCCGCTGCCGCTGGTCTGGGCTTCTTGCGACGCGCTGAAGGCTGCTGCCGAAGTGGGCTGGTCACGCCTCCAATCCGCCACTTACCGCCGACTTAATTTAGCGTTATGCGCGTCGTCGTTGTGGCTCGCGTCGGCGTGCTGGTTCGCCCCGGCGTTCACGGGCGCCACCACGGTCACCTACGCGTGTAAATTGAAGGCCGGCGCCACAGCTATCCATCTGGCGACGGCCGGTATCGCCGCGGGCGCCTGGTTCGAGTCGAGCCCGGGTTCGTTACTCCAAGCGCCGGGCCGCGTCGTCAAGGGACTGGCGGGGTCGGTCATGTCGCTCGTGCCGCCCGGCGGCGACAAGCTCGCCGACCCGGACAGCGCCGAGGCCAAGGTCGTGGCGCCGGCCCTATTGACTGCGGCGCTCGGCGCCTGGACGTGCGCGGCGCTGGCGGCGCCGTTCCCGACGGCGACGCTGCCCTACGCCCTCGGCCGCCGCCTCTCGCGGGCCGCCGGCGCGCACACGCTGCTCGCCTGCGCGGCGGCCTACTGCGTCCGCGACGCCGAGGTCCGCGGCCGGTCCGACGCGTCGACCTTTGTGAAGCTGCGCAAGGGCCTGCGCGCCGTCGGCGTGCTCCACCTCCTCTGCTTCGCGGCCAAGGTCGCTTTTGATGATTGGTCCCAGTACCCCGCGGCATCAACAAAGCCGATCCTCTCAGTCGCCTCGCTCGCGACGTACGCGGCCGCCGCAGCTATCTAGAGTAGGTTTCTATTCTTAAGATCAGGGGGGTACTAGTCCTCGAGCGTCGCCAGGAGGTCCTCGGCCTCGATGTTGTCGCCGATCGCGCAGAGCACCGACGTGACCGTGCCGGCGGCCGGCGCCACGATCGTGGACTCCATCTTCATCGCCGACAGGACAAACAACGTCTCGCCCTTGGACACGACGTCGCCCTCGCCCACTTTCACGTCGACGACGACGCCCGGCATCGGCGCGCCGACGTCGCCACTGCTGGAAGAGGCCTTGCGGCGCATTTTGCGGGCGGACCCCGCGCCGCCGCCACTCGCAATGGTCATGGCCTCCTCGTCCGTGACGCGGAACTGCCACGCCTCGCCGTTCACGGAAAACACCACCCTCCTCGAGCACGTCTTGTCGTCGAGCTCCGAGATGGATCTGAGTTCAACATACTCGGCGCGGCCGTGGCCGTCCTCGAACTCCACCTCGTCGTTCAGCGCCATCGGACGTAAGAAGACATGCGTAGGTAAGTGCCCAACATCATCATACACCAGTCGGTGCTCCATGTAGTCCGCGAAGACCGAGGGGTACAAGGCTTCTGACAAGACGTCCTTCTCGTCGATGTGGTAGGCCGCGCCTTCGAACTTCTCGGACAGGTCCTTAGCGGCTTGCTCGAAGTCGTAGGGCTCCATGGACAGGCCTGGTCTCCCTTGGAGAGCCTCGACGCCCCGTGCTTTCAGCACATGCGCTCTCAAAGGTTCCGGGAACCCGCCTGGTGGTGTCCCGAGGCCACCCTTCAAATAATCGACGACACTGTCGGGGAGCTTCCCGACCCACTGCTCCGTGTCGACATCTTCTTCCCTCAGTTTGTTGGCGACCATGAACTGGGCGAGGTCGCCGACGACCTTCGAGGACGGCGTGACTTTCGGGATGTCCCCCAGCAATCGGTTCGCGGCGGCGTAGGCTATTTTGACGGCGTCGAACTGGCCATCTAAGCCCAGTTGCCTACTCTGGAAGAGTAAGTTCGTGTACTGGCCGCCCGGGATCTCGTGACTATGAACATCGGAAGCCGTTGCTAGCTGGCCCGACTCGAAGGGCGCATACAGCGTCGCCCTCACGTCGTCCCAGTAGCTCGAGACCTTGGCGTAGGCGTCGCCATCCAAGCCGACCTCGGGCACCGCTTCCGCGATGGCACCCAGCGACGGCTGCGAGGTCAGGCCTGACATCGCGTCGACGGCACCGTCCACAATGTCGGCGCCCGCCTGGCTTGCAGCTAACATCGACGCCACGCCCAAGCCCGCGCTGTCGTGCGTGTGGACGTGGATCGGCGTCGTGGGGAACTTCTGCCGCAGCGCTTCCACCAATACAGTAGCTGAGCGAGGCGTGAGCAGCCCCGCCATGTCCTTGATGGCCAGAGCGTGCACGCCCAGGTCGATCATGCGCGTCGCCAGGTCCAGGTAGTAGTCCAGGTCGTACTTCTTCGATGAGGTCACGTCTCCGGTATAGCATAGGGTCCCCTCGACGAAGCCCCCGGCGGCCTTCGCGGCCTTCACGCCCAGCGCCAAATTCTCAACGTCGTTCAAGGAATCAAACACTCGGAAGATGTCGATACCACTCTCATAAGCCTGCTCGCAGAACTTGTAGATGACGTTGTCCGGGTACGCCGTGTAGCCGACACCATTGGCCCCCCGCAGCAGCATCTGGAAGGGGATGTCCGGCGCCAATTCCCTCAATTGCTCTAAGCGCGCCCAGGGGCATTCGTGCAAGAATCGCAGACAGACGTCGAACGTCGCGCCGCCCCACATCTCTACCGAAAAGGCGCTTTTGCCGAGCGCGTCCTGCGTCTCTCGGGCCACGCGGGCGATGTCGGACGTGCGCACGCGCGTCGCGAGTAAGGACTGGTGGGCGTCCCTCCAAGTGGTATCGGTCACGAGTAACGAAGGAGAAGCTCGCACGGCCTTCGCGAGCGCTTCAGGGCCCTCCTCCCTCAGAATCTTGCGCCAGGGCCCCGGCTCCTTCCTAGCGACGTCGGGCTTCGGGATGTAGGTCGTGCGCACCTTGTCGAGCTTCGACGCGTCCGCGCCGAGCGACGACGGGTGGCCGTTCACCGCGACGTTCGCGAGGTAGCGCAAGTTCCGCTCGACCCTGAAAACTTTGTCTTGGGATGATTGGAAGTGCATGACGTCCCAGGCGCTCTTTCCTATCGAGAGTAACGACGGGTTGTCTCCAATAAATGAGGTCGTGACGTCGCCCTTGACGAAATCAGGATGCTCAAGCACATTCAATAAAAAGGGCACGTTCGTCTTGACGCCGCGGATGCGCATCTCGAGCAACGCTCTCCTCATCCTCCGCACGGCGGCGGGCCACGTCGCCGCGCGCGCCGTGTACTTTACCAAGAGTGAATCGAAGTACGGCGTGATGCGCATGCCCGTGTACCCGACGCCGTCGACGCGCATGCCGACGCCCTGGGCGTGCCTATAGACAGCTAGCGTGCCCGCGTCCGGCGCGAAGTCCCTTTCTGGATTTTCTGTGGTGATGCGGCACTGGATCGCCACACCTCTAGGCTTGATGTCCTGCTGGATCAGGCCCAGCTCTCTCAGAGACGCACCGGCCGCAATGCGGAATTGCGTCTGTACTAAGTCAATACCGGTCACCTCCTCGGTCACGGTATGTTCCACTTGGATGCGCGGATTCACCTCAATAAAAAAGTGCTCGTCAGACTTCACATCGACCAAAAACTCGACGGTGCCCGCGTTCTTGTAGCCCGCCGACTTCCCGAGCCGCACGGCGTCGTCCTGGAGGCGCTTTCTTAACCCATCGTTCAGATTCCACGCGGGCGCGATCTCGACGACCTTCTGGTGCCGCCGCTGCACCGAGCAGTCGCGCTCCCAGAGGTGGACGACGTCGTTGCCGTCTCCAACAATTTGGACTTCTACATGGCGTGGATCTTCCACGTATCGCTCCAAGAAACAAGAACCGTCGCCGAACGCCGCCAACGCCTCCGACGCGGCGCTCTCGAACTGCGACTCGACTTCATCTAACGTTCGCGCAATTCTCATCCCCTTGCCGCCGCCGCCCATCAACGCCTTGATCATGACGGGGAGGCCGAACTCCTCGGCAAACGCGCGCGCTTCCTGCGCCGTGTCCAGGGCATTCTCCGTGCCGGGCACGACGGGCACGTTCGCCGCGATGGCCATCTTCCGCGCCGAGACCTTGTCCGAGAAGGAGAGTAAGTTCTCGACCGTCGGCCCCACGAACGTGATGCCGCGCTCGCCGCACAATCGCGCGAGCTCCGGCGATTCGGACAAAAAACCATAGCCCGGGTGCACGGCCTCGACGCCCTCGCGCTCGGCGATGTCCACGATGGACTTGGGATCTAAATAAGCGCCGACGGGCGTGTCTCGCGCCGGCAGCAAGAACGACTGGTCCGCGCACCACCGGTGCGCCGAGTTCCGGTCCTCCATGGCATACACACCGACCGTCGCCATGTTCAGCTCCGTGCCGGCGCGCATGATGCGCACGGCGATCTCGGCGCGGTTTGCGGCCATGACCTTGTTAAAGGGCGGGACCTCGCACGCCTCCTTGACGACGCTCGCGTCGTCCGGCTTTACTTCCGTCACGGGCGCGACGACGGCCTTGCGCGCCGTCAGCTTGCGGGCGGCGGGGTTGAGCGCTGTTGTTAACGCGCAGACGGCGAGGCAGCGCTGGAGAGCAGCCATGGCTTGAGGTGCCCTCCGCCTCTCCTACGTGCCGCGAGCTCGCGTTTTTCGACGTATGCCGACCGTGAGGCAACAAAGAGCCCTCGGGCGCGCCGACCAGGACTTTGGCTCCGAGTTTGCAGTCCTTTGACTACTGCTATGAGCTCTCGCTGCCTTTGGCCTTTGTGTGCTACTGCAGGCGCGCGCCTCGTCCTGCCACGTCTCGGGGCCACAGACGCGTCGAGAGGGCTGCGAAGGTAGCCTTGCCTCGCCTGTTCATCCCGTCTCCTTGTTGCAGACTAGGGCCCCAGGCAGCCCCACTACAAGCGACGTTTGTCCTTTCTGGGGCGTTTTGGGCGTTTTGGACTTGGTGGGTGGCTTTTCGAGGTGCTCGGCTTTGAAACGGCCTATCAGATCGCAACTCATCATCTCTCCAATCGCGGAGAGACACAAGTCTAATTTGCAATAGGTGTTTCACTGCACTGCGCCAGCGTAAGAATCGACTCGGCACGTCGAGAGTCATATCAACAACGCTCCACGACTGCAAAAACGCAAGCGCTGCGACGCGCGGCAACAAAAGTTGCATCTTAAGACCTCGAGAGGCAGCGGCAGCACCAGGGCGCGGCGCGCGTGCATGCAGCGGCAGAGCGATGCGATCTCAGCCCGCGCCGCGCGCAGGCATAACAAGATGAAGCTCGCCGTCGCCCTCGCCCTCGCCGGCGGCGCCGCGGCGCTCCGCCCCGCGGCCCGCGCGACCCGCGCCACCGTCCGCATGGGCGCCGAGCCCCTCAGCCAGCAGACGGGCAAGTACGCCATGGACCAGGCCGTCCTCGACAAGTACGCGGCCCTGCCGCGCGACAAGATCCAGGCCGAGTACGTCTTCATCGACGCCGACTGCACGGCGCGCTCGAAGTGCCGCACGTTGGATGCGGCGCGCGTGAAGCAGGGCGTCGACCGCCTCCCGAAGTGGACCTACGACGGCTCGTCGACGGGCCAGGCGCCCGGCGACGACTCCGAGGTCATCATCGTGCCGCGCGCCGTCTACAAGGACCCCTTCCGCGGCGGCGACAACATCCTCGTGCTCTGCGACACTTACGACCCGGAGGGCAACCCGCTCCCGACGAACTCGCGCGCGCCGGCCGTGGCCAAGTTCGAGGCCGGCAACGCCGCCGCCGAGAAGCCGTGGTACGGCCTCGAGCAGGAGTACACGCTCTTCAACCTCGACGGCGTCACGCCGCTCGGCTGGCCCGTCGGCGGCTTCCCGAAGCCCCAGGGCCCCTACTACTGCGGCGCCGGCGCGGACAAGTCCTTCGGCCGCGCCGTCTCCGACGCGCACTACGCCGCCTGCCTCTACGCGGGCCTCGAGGTCTCGGGCACGAACGCCGAGGTCATGCCCGGCCAGTGGGAGTACCAGATCGGCCCCTCCGTCGGCATCGACGCCGCCGACCAGCTCACGATCTCGCGCTACATTTTGGACCGCATCTGCGAGGACTTGGGTGTGATCGTGTCCATCGACCCCAAGCCCATCAGCGGCGACTGGAACGGCGCGGGCTGCCACATGAACTTCTCGACCGAGTCCACGCGCAAGGCCGGCGGCCTCAAGACCATCGAGGAGATGTGCGAGAAGCTCGGCAAGAAGCACCAGGAGCATATCGCGGCCTACGGCGAGGGCAACGAGCGCCGCCTCACGGGCGACTGCGAGACGGCCGACATCAACACCTTCTCCTGGGGCGTCGCCGACCGCGGCTGCTCGATCCGCGTGCCGCGCGACACGGCCGCCGAGGGCTGCGGCTACCTCGAGGACCGCCGCCCGTCGTCGAACGTCGACCCGTACGTCGCGACGGCGCTGCTCTTCGAGACGTGCACGAACTAGGTCCGGGCCGCGCAGGAACCATACCCCGCCCCCTGAACATTTCTCCCGGCCCCTGTGGTGTGTGCGGCAGAATCGTGTCATTCTCTAAAACAGCAAACTGAAACTCCTTTGTTGGGAGTCCCACGTGGTCGGATTCGACTGCGAACTCCTTATGAGCGCTGGGGGAGAGAAGGAAACGACACGCGGGGTAAGAGGACGATGTGGGGGTATCAATCAGTGCAGGGGGAACATGACGGCCCTGAAGAGGACCGTTCGGACCCGGAGGGGCGTGGAGCCCACGGGCCGGCCCGCCCGACGTGAGGTCGAGCGGGGAAGAAGAGCACGAACGAACTCGTCCAGGACGTTCGCGCAGAGAGCTGGTCGGCCGCGCTCGCGGGCTGCGCGGCCGGGCGGTGCCACCGTCGTGGCACCTGCGTAGGTCGCGATGAGAAGCGATGGTAGAGTAGTGGGACGCCGGCGCCGCGCCGTCGTCGTCGTCAATCAGTCGTCGTTCGAGATTCGTCATATCTCGAACATCAGCGGGGGAAGAAGGGAAAAAGGGGGAGGGAAAACGTATTGGACGGTCGCGCCCTCAGCGTGCCGTCATGTACCACCAGGGGTGCTCGTCGTCCTCGAGCGCCTCCTTCGGCCTGTTATCATCGACACCGTAAACTCACGAGACGCGTCGACGCTTCGACGATGACGACGACGGTGTCACGGCGGCGTCGTGATCATGACGACGCCATCTTCCCAAAGTTGAAGTTTCTGCGAGACGCTGACTCAGCGCGGGAACAAGAGCCCGACCGACACGAGGAACTTGTTGTTCCGCTTGATCTTGGCGCGCCGGCCGAGTTCGTACTCCGACAGCACGGGCTCGACGGGCGCGGCCTTGGTCTTGCGGCGCCGCTTCGGCCGCGGCGCCGGCGGCGCCTTGCGCTTGCGCGACGTCGGCTCCGGGTCCCGCATCGTGACGTCGTCGTCGGGATCGAAGTCCGGGTCGACCTCGTCGGCCTCCTCGTCGTCGGAGTCGGCGTCGTCCGCGACCGGTTCCTCCTCAGCGGCGCCGAGCGCGAAGCCGGGCCGCGCGCCCCGCGGGCCGCCGCCGCCCCGGCGCCGCGCGACGACGCCGGCAGCCACGGCGGACTCGAGGGCGCCCTGCTCCTCGCCGTCGTCGTCGCCTGTGTGGAAATCAACCAGTGTGTGGAATTTCTCGGCGATGACGTGGCCGCGGGAAGAGGCGCACGGAATCTAAAGCCCAGGATGCGACGTCGTCCTCGGAGTCGGAGTCCGAGTCCAAGAGAGAGTCGACCGATTCATCATCAGACGAATCTCCCAACATAGTCTCGCGGCGCCGCGACGGGAAGTCCGCGGCGGCGTCGTCGTCGTCTAAAGCGTCGAACAGACCGCGAGGTAAGAGCAGCACGCCGTCCTCGGTCGCGGGCGCGCCGTCGCCGTCGAACTCGTCGGACATGGGCTGGAGTCGATTATCTTCGGCCGGCCGCGGCTCGACCAGCATCGGCGCCGCGCCGTTGTCGTCGTCGACGTCCATGTCGGCCTTGACCTCGGCCGGTTCCTCGAACCTGCGTGGGAACCAGTAAAGCGGCCGTTTTAGTCAAATTTGGCACCGACGCGAGACGTGATGGTCAGCTGCGTGCCGGGCGCCATCGTGGCAATGGCTCGTAAATGCAAACCCTTGGAGCCGTCGGAAGCCGTGTGGCGGACCACGACACAATTGGCCTCGCCGGGCGGCGCCCGTTTCTTCACTAATTCTCTTCCGACCTACGTGTAGAAACGAGTGAGGCGGCCGTAAAATAAGAAATGGCCGTACCTTGCCCGACGGGAGGATCGTGACGATGCGGTCGCGTCGCACCGGCTCCCGCAGCATCAGGGCCTTGCCCCCGACGCTCCCGCCAGCTATCTCGACCTGCGCGCGTAGGTACGTCGAGTCCGAGTATTACGAGAATCGCGCTGGCATCGACGGCGCAGGGCGTCATGACGACCACGGATCCGTTGGGTAGCCGCAACTTTTTCTGCCTGCGCGCGAGAACGTCTCGGACGGCCGACGGAAGCAAGGACACCGGAAACGCGCTGCATGTCGAGCTGGGCGATGGCGAAAATGTTGCCCATGACGCGGACCGCCCGTTCGCCTGTTAAATAGTGTAAGCAACGATTCCATCATCGGACGCGGATCCGCGCCGTGGACGTGGCTTCCGAGCGCCGGCTTGGCAATGAGCTCAAACCGCAGCTCCGTGCCGACGCGGACGAGCGGCGCGGATCGCTTCGGCGCCGTGCCACCAATCGTCTTCTGCCCCGTGTAGACGGGGTCGCGGTTCCGCGTCGAGCGCACCGGGCGCCGGCGCGCCGGCTGCGCGGGCTGGTCGGGCGCCGCCGCGCGGCCGCTCGACGGCGCCCAGTCCGTGGAGTCGTCCTCGTAGGCGCGTACCTTGTGCGCGGCGACCTCGGGCTCGGCGAGCGCGGGTCGCGTCGGCATGCGCTCGAAGAGCTCGCGCGACGTGACGGTGTCCTGCATCGCCTGCGACGTGCTGAGTCGATTTTGTATGGTCGAGGACGTCGCACCTTCTTGGCGAATTTCTCGAAGTCGAACCCTTCGCGCTTCAGCATCTCGCGGTCGAGCTCGAAAAACCGCGTCGGCAGGTTGCCGCCCTCGCCGAAGACGGGCGCCATGTCGTCCTTGCCTATGCGTTGAAACGTTGGAGCGGGCCGCCCGACGACGGCCGCGCCGGCTCGCGCATTTGACCAGTTGGAACTGCGCCTGGGCGTAGCGCATGCGCCAGGCGCGCGACTTGTAGGTAAACAACGACGTGCCGGCCTTGCGCCAGAAGGGCGTCGAGCCGTCTTCTCCCGTCCTGCGGGCGTCGGCCGAGTGAGGCGCGCGAGAAAAAGGCCCGCGGCGGCGCGGTGGCAAAAAACACCGATTCGAGTAGCGGACGCCGGTCCATGCGTCTGCGGAGGGGATTTAAGGCGTGAGAACGATGACGCGTCGAACGCGCGGTGACGGTGTGTTTTTGTGAAGGCGCCTGGCTCGAGGCGCGACGTCAAAAGGCTCTCACAAGTCTTGAAGAAGTCCGAAGGACGCAGGAGTAACACCGCTTCGAGGAACACGTGCGTAATTTGGAACTGCGTGCACCACGCGAGGAAGCACCTGCGCGGAAGACGACCTCCACGCGATTCAGGAGGCGTAGATGCAAATTTGAAGGTCTTCAGTCGTTTAGTCATCGCATTACTCGATGATATCAAGTTTTCGGGTGAAGTGCACTGGTACACACCTGCGCGGACGTACCCTTCTGATTCGGAAGCTCGGCCGGTCGGATCCGACAAACGATGCCGAGAAGGGTCCCGTGCCCACCTAGAATCGAAGAGCAGCACACGAAAGGATCCTTGATCGCATGAACAGGTCCAGAAGGCAAAAGGTGGACGCCGAAAAAAGTACGCGACGAGCCGCGAGCCCGCCTGCAACGAGCCGCTCGAGCCCGCGCGCGAGCGGTAGGCCGGACTCGTGGCCACGGCGTGGCAGTAGACCGCGGTGTCTCTCCTGTGTTGAAAAGCGTAAATAGAGCCCGCCGCCGGCGCGAACGGGTCCCGACGCCGACGCGCTCACCACTCGAAGGAGATGACCGCGAGGACCTGCGCGAATCACAAAGTCACTTCCGCAGTCGATCATGGCTGCGACGGGACCGCACGCCCAGGACGTCGCTTTCGAGGCTCGCCTCCCAGAGCTGCGCGCGGGGGGCGCGGTCGACGGCGTCGCGCGCGAAGCGAATTTTCGGGCGCGCGCGCGCGCGCGCGCGCACTCTCGCAACGGCCACGCGCTGCGCGGCGCGCGGGCTCTCGCGGGGCGGGCGGGCGCCTTACCTCGGCGAAGGCGCCGCCCGCGCGCGACGTGACGACGTTAATCCAGTGGTCTTCGGCGTGGCCCGCGAACGCCTGCGCGGGGGCCGTGAGGCGGCGCGGTCGCGCCCGGTCCCGCGCGGGGCGGCGGGGCGAAATTCCGGGCCGCGCGGGCCAAACGCGGCGCGGTACGTCGGTCAGGATGTCGGCCATGCCCCAGGCCCGGCCTTCGCTGCTGGGCCCCCGCTCCACCCGGAAGGTGCAGCCGGTCCAGTCGTCGCGCGCCTCGTTCTTGTGGTTGTTCTCGTCCGTCGCCATGGTCCTCTGCGCCGCGCTTGCGCCGTAGACGGCCGCCGCCCCAGATCGTTCTGCGCTCTGCGATTTTTTTGATTCGCAAAGGGGCCTCGCGCCCCCCGGCCGGGTCCGCGGCGCGGACGCGGCCCGGGAGGGCTCGGGGGCCTTGGGGGAGGCAATACTACGAAGTTCCTAGTCGCTGGAGGCGTCTGAGACCCGTCAACACGCCGCGCGCGCGACGGCACAAACCCTCTACTAAGTCACAGAGGAGATGCGCCACCCTTCGCTCAGCTAAGAAATCATACTTATGCGTCGTCGCCGAGGACCTGCTCCCTCACAAACGCCGCGGCGTCGAACGCGTCGTCCTCGGACGCCGGCGCGTTCTTCTCGACCTGCTGCACGAGCTCCCGCAGGAACTCCGCGGACACGCGCTGGGAAAAGGACCCGTTCTCCTGCAGTAAAACGACGCGCTCGATCTGGGCCTGGACGATGGCCAGGACATTGCGCTTCTTCACGGCGCCGTCGCCGTTCAGCCGCTCGCTCAACAGCCGCGGCCACGCGTCGGCGTCGCCGGCGAGCAGCTCCTCGTAGAGGTCCGCGGCGGCGGCGTAGTCGGGGTGCAACGCCGGCGCGTCGCCGCTCAAATCGACCTTCTCCGCGGCGTCGGGCGGCATCATCTCCGCGAGCTGCTGCGCCGCGAGCGCCGCGTCGAAGCGCAGTACTCTCGAAGCGTAGAGCTGCAGCACTTTTCGCAGGATAGAAACCATCCCGTCCAACCCGTCGTCCTGGGCCTTCTTCGCCCAGGCGTCCACCGTCGACAATGCGATTTCCCCCAACTCGCCGGCCTCCATCTTCGTCCAGACCGCTTTTTGCAGCGATGAGAACCGCTCCTCCGATAACGGTACCAAAAACTCGCCGTCGGGCTCGGCGCACGACGCGACGACCTCCTGCAAGATGGCGGACGAGTCGTCGATCTTTTGCTCCGCGGACTCGACGACGACCGTCAAAGTCTTCGCGAGGTTATCGGCCAACGCCGTGAGCTTCTCGCGTTCTTCCTCATCCGCATCGTCGCACAGCTCCGCAATGCGCAAAAAGAACTGCGGCCGGCCGACCTGCCTCAAAATGGTCTCTTGCCTTACTTTGGCCGGGAGGTTAAAGACCTCGGTGTCGGCCAACTCCTTGATGAGGGCATCCGTGCGGCCCTGGGCCAGGGCCGCCTCGGTCTCGGCTCGTAATAGAGTTGGTCGCCGCGCGGTCAGCGATGGCAGCTGCCATGCGGCGGCAGCAGCCATCAGCAAAAAGGCCAATCGCTGCATCCTGAGCATTTTGCGGCGCTACGATTCAATTTTATTGCACGCGCGTTTCCAGCGCAAAGAAACGGTGCAGCCGAACCACAGCTCACGCGAAACGCAAGGAGATAGCCAGTATCCGCGACGGAGACGGCCCAAGTCGTCAGCGGTCTCGTGTGCGGGTTCTTGTCGGACTCGTCTCAAAGCAGGTTCTTCGTCTGTGGAAACATCTCCTTCGCATGAATGGACGGCGAGAAGGGGAACTCGCACTCTACTAACTTCGAGCAGAGCATGCCTGATGCTCTCCGAGTGTGGTCGCGCGCGTGGCAACTCTAGGGCGCGAATCGTGCACGTTGAGCCTCCTTGAGGCGCTCAGACGAAAATCAATTGAGAAATCCCAGTCCTTTCCATCGCTGCCGGCTCAAAAACTGCAGCCATGCCACTTTCACTGCTCCTCGCGCTCGCGACCGCGCACGCGATCACGCAGCCGCCCGACGTCCTCATCACGGGCGCGACGGGCCGCCTCGGATCGCTGCTCTACCAGCAAGCGAAAGCCGACACGCGCATCGGTAGCGTAAGAGCGTTCGTCTATAATGTGACGAAAGCTAGGGCCGCGCTCGGCTGCCAGAAGTGCGACCCGTCGGAAGGCATCTACGTGGGCGACGTGCGCAACCCCTTGGCCCTGAACGCCGCGGCGAACGGCGTCGACGCCGTGCTCGTCGCCGTCGGAGCGTCGCCGAGTGATACGCCGGCCGTCGCCAAGGCCATCGAGGTCGACGGCGTCGAGAACACCGCGCGCGCGATCTACGCCTCGAAGGGTGCGGCCGGTCAAGTAGTCCTATGCAGCTCCATGGGCACGACGCTCCCGTCGCCGGACCCGCGCCAGGGCGGCTCGATCCTATTCTACAAGTTAAATGCGGAGGCGAGTCTTCTCGCGGCGGACGTGAACTCGGTGGTGGTCAAGCCCTGCGGCCTGAGCCTGAGCCCGGCGGGCCAGAGCGATTTACTAGTAGGGCAGGACGACAGCCTCCTCAACCTCACGGTGCCCGTCGTCGCGCGGGCGGACGTGGCCCGAGTCATGATCGAGGCGACCGTGCGCCGCGAAGCGCAATTACGCTTCGACCTCTGCGCGCGCCGCGGCGCGCCGACGACGGACCTCGGCGCGCTGCTCGACGCGGCGCGCTACCCGTCGGCGCGCCGATGACTCCGATCATATGTGGATTGTTAAACACCTAGTTAATTCCGCCGTCATGCCGCGTTCTCCTCGAGCAGATGCCTCTTCTTCTCGTCCTCCTCGACGGGGTCGTCCCGCGCGCCGATGCACGACAGGAACGCCTCGCAGCAGGGCAGGCTCATGAGCTTGTAGCAGCCCACCTTGACCGCGTCCTGCACGAGGAAGAAGGCGAGGTTGTAGACCCAGACCACCAGGCACGCCTGCTTCGAGATGGCGTACATGGGGTACGTCTTGTCGGAAACGGTGCCGAACATGGCGATGAGGGTCGCCGAGCCCGTCGCGACGAGGAACGCGCAGAAGAGCGGGACCGCGGGCGCCCGCGAGAAGAAGGGCCCGCGACACCGCGCGCAGAAGAGCGTCAGGAAGTCGCTGATGCTGACCTTGAGGTACATGAGCATCAGCAGCTCCTCGTACTTCAGGTAGTAGAGGTCGCCCGCCTCGTTCTGGTAGTCCGACGGCACCTTGCGGTTGAACAGGAAGGCCCACGACGGGTAGAGGCCGTCGGCGCACTTCAGGCCGAGCCACAGCAGCAGGAGCGACGATCCCAGCGGCACGCAGCCCAAGACGACGGCCACGAGCCGCAGCTCCGGCAGGTTCCAGTCCTGCGGCGTCTCCGCCGGGATGACGTGGTCCCGCGCGATCGTCAGCATGCAGCCATCATTTAAGATCGTGATGATCACGATGCCCAGCACGGGCAGCGCGAACGCGAACTGGGCCGGGTGGTAGAAGTACGGGTAGACGCAGGACGCGCCCTCGGAGTCGTGGCAGTCGCCGACGTCGGCGAGGAGCGTGCCGCTGTCCGGGTTCGTGTAGTCGCAGCTGTCGAAGTAGGAGCCGACGATCTTCCGCTCGTCGTCCATGTAGCAGTAGTAGTCCTCCGGGGCGAAAATGAGCGATGCCAGGAAGAAGAAGCCGACGAGCTGCAACGTACACGCTATCCGGTAGATCACGTAATTGCGCACCCTCGCGAAGATGCACCGCGCCGTGAGGATGGCGTCGATGATGACGCCCAGCCCCGGCTCCGTCAGCACGATGTCCGCCGCGGCGCGCGCCGCGTCCGTGCTGCCCTCGACCGCGATGCCGATCTGGGCCTTCTTGAGCGCCGGCGCGTCGTTCACGCCGTCGCCCGTCATGCCCACCGTGTGCCTCGCGCCCTGGAGCAGCTCCACGATCCGGTATTTGTGTTCGGGGTAGACCTCCGCGAAGCCGTCGACGCGCTCGCACATGTTCGTCGCCGCAGCCTCGGACTGGGCCTCCGCCTTCTGGAACTCCTTCATGTCCAGGATGACCGGCTTCTCCGCGAGAGCGATGGCCTTCGACGTCTCGACGGCGATGGCCGTCTGGTCGCCGGTGACCATCTTCACGCGCACGCCCATGGCCCGGGCCTTCTCCAGCGTGTCCCTCGTGTCGTGGCGCGGCGGGTCGAAGAGCGCCAGCACGCCGGCGAAGACGTAGCCCTTGCCCACGTCGCGGCAGACGCCGATCGACCGGAAGCCCCGGTCCGCGAGGTCCTGGTTCGCCCTCAGGACCTGAGCTCGCACCTTGTCCTTGTCGCGGCACATGTCCAGGATGACCTTCGTCGCGCCCTTCGCTATCCGCACCTCCTTGCCGTTGGGGCCCGCCAGCCGCGCGACCGTCCGCTTCGTGACGGGATCGAACGGCTCGAAGTCCAATTCGTCATAATCATCAAAGCGCTTCTTGTCGTCGTTCGACACGGCGTTCGTGACGACCGTGTCGATGGCGTCGGCGCCCTCGCTCATGCGTTTTGCTGCCAAAGCCGCCAGGAAGACCAACTCGTTCGGCGTGAGCGACGCGTCGACGACGACCGGGTCGAAGAGCTCGAGCTTGTTCTGTGTTAAGGTCCCAGTCTTGTCCGAACAGAGCACGTCCATGCCCGCCAGTTCTTCGATGGCGGACAGGCGCGCCAGGATCGCCTTCTTCTCGGCGAGGTCCCGGCCGCCGACCGCCATGACCGTCGTAGAAACAACTTGCATGGCGATGGGAATGCACGCGATGAGGATGACGATGGTCGTCGACAGCGCGTCGAAGGCCGTCAGCCCGCTTTCGAAGAGCTTGATGTAGATGACCGTACATAAGACGATCGACAGCGAGAGGAGCACGAGCATGTTCTGGAACATGACGCGCTGGAAGCGGCCCTGCTGCTCGCCGGCCGCTCTATTAACCATCTCCGCCGCCCTCCCAAAAAAGGTCCGGCCGCCCGTGAAGCAGACGATCGCCTCGAGCTCGCCGCGGCGCACGATCGAACCCATGAAGACCGTGTCGTCCGCCGACCGCGTGACCGGCAGCGATTCGCCCGTCAGCGCCGCCTGGTCCACCTCGAGCGGCTTGCCCGGGCCGAGCTTACTGTCGGCGGGAACGATGTCGCCCAATTTCAAGTTGATGCGGTCGCCGGGCACGAGGTCCTTGGCCTCGATCGTCGTGAAGCGCCCGTCGCGCTTGACCGAGGCCTTGGGCGCCAGGGACTTTTTCAAAGCTGATATCGCATCCCCGGCGCTCCGTTCCTCGAAGTAGCCGACCGTGCCGTTGACCAGTTGTAGCACCAGCAAAACCGTGACGTCCTCCTAGTCCCGCTCGATGCCGACGACGATCGTCGCGATCCAGATCATGAAGGGCATGGGCCCCCAGAAGAAGCCCAGGAACACGAGCAGCTCGTTGCGCTGCGGCTCCTCGAGGACGTTCGGCCCGTAGCGCTCGAGGCGCTCGGCGGCCTCGGCGCTGCTCAGGCCGCCGGGGCCCGTCTTGCAGGCGTAGGCGATCTCGCGCGCCTCCATTGCTTCGCGGCTCTCGCCCTCGGCCGCCGGCGGCGCGCCGCCGGACGTGGAGGCACCGTAGTCGCCCTGGCTCTCGTTGCCGAGGAGCGGCTGCCGCTGCTCGTCGTCGCCCGCCATGGTGCCTATCGTGTCATTCGTGCTGCCCTGGGGCTTGGCGCCTGCTCTAGGGCTGCCTTTTTTGCGGCGCGGATGCGATTTTCCCCTCGATGCCCCCGCCTCGAAAAAGGAAACATAAACCTCCCGACTCTGCGGCCCCGGCGGTGATGTATACGTCAGGCGCGCTGGATGTACCCATGGGGGCGCGGTTGATCATGCTGGCGCCAGCCGTGCTAGGCGTCGAAAAACCATAACTAGTAGCTCTACCTCTACCTGAATGCAGGCGGATGCGCTTGCCACCGGCAGAGTGCGGTGCATGCGTTCACCAGTCATTTGTTCGACTTTCACGCTCCTTTCACTGGCTCCTCGTCGTCGGCTCGTTTGATTCGTCAGCTTTGCTGGTTTTGGCTGCCACTGCAAAGACATCATCTTGCATGCACCGCACAGCAGCCCGTTGCCTCACAACGCTCGCACGAGGCATGATCGACCTGCGTCGCGGCCACCCGCCCACCGCAGAGCTGCCGCACGCCGCCCTGGCCAAGGCCTGCGCGGCCGCGGCCACGGACCTGACCAGTAACGCCGAAGCAGGCCTCGCGATCCAGTACGGCGCGCCGCGCGGCTGCGCGAGCCACCTGGACACGCTGCAGCGGTGGCTCGAGCGCCGCTACGGGTCGATGGTGCGGCGCGACGGCCTCTTCACGACGAACGGCGCGTCGCACGGCCTAGAGCTCTGCGCGGCCGCGCTGACGGCACCGGGCGACGAGGTCGTGATGGAGGCGCCGACGTACTTTCTGGCCGCGCAAGTGTTCCGGGACCACGGGCTGTCGATTCGCTCGGCGCCCGTCGACGCGGGCGGCCTCGACGTAGATGCGCTCGAGCGGGCGCTCCGGGCGGGCACGTCGCGGCCGAAGGCTTTGTACGTCGTCCCGCGCCACGGCAACCCGTCGGGCGCGTCACTGGACAAAGATAGGCGCGCAAAGCTCGCGGCGCTCGCGCGCGAGTTCGGCTTCTACGTCTTCGCCGACGACGTGTACCACCTCCTCGACTGGTCCAGCGCTCCCTTGCGGCGGCTCCTCGAGTACGACGCGGCCTACGCCTCGGGCGAGTCGGCCGGCGGCGGCGACAGCTCGGATCCCGCCGCCGCCGCGGGGGGCGACACCGCGGCGCTCGCCATCCCCGACGACGCCCGCGTCGTGTCGATTTCGTCCTTCTCCAAGGTGCTCGCGCCGGGGCTGCGGTTGGGCTGGATTGAGGCCGCGCCGTCCATCGTCGCGGCGGTGGCGCGCAGGGGCTACGTGGTCTCGGGCGGCGGCTGCGCGCCCTTCACCGAGCAGATCGTCGCGCGCGTCTTGGAGAGCGGCGACGCGGACACGCATCTGGACGCGATGCGGCGGCGATGTCGGAGCCGCTGCGACGCGTTGCTCGGCGCGCTTGACGACGCAGCGGACGTCCTGCGGCCGCTCTGCCGACCCACCGGCGGCTTCTTCGTCTGGGTCGAGATCCTCGTCGAGGGCGTGACGGCGGCGCGACTGCGCGACGCCTGCGCGGAGGACGTGGCGTTCCTTGTCGGGGACGCCTGCGACTGCGATGGCCTTCCCATCGGCGACGTCGCACCAGCGTGTCTGGACCGGCACCTACGTTTGTGCTTCGCCATGCTTGATGAAAATGAGCTGGTCGAGGGCGTCGCGCGCATCGCGAGGCGTGCGCGCGAATTACGGTAATGAATGTGTGTCTAGGCGCGGGGAAGTAGGGCGCCCGCGGTCACGGGGGGGGGGGAGCCTAACCTATGTGTCACGAGTCGACTGCGAACTCCTTATGAGCGCTGGGGGAGAAGAGGAAACGACACGCGGGGTAGTAAGAGGAACGATGTGGGGGTAACAGTGCAGGGGGAACATGACGGCCCTGAAGAAGGCCGTTCGGACCCGGAGGGGCGTGGAGCCCGCGGGCCGGCCCGCCCGACGTGAGGTCGAGCTGGGGAAGAAGAGCACGAACGAACTCGTCCATCGCTCGTGATCGAGGATGTCGGCCATGCCCCAGGCCCGGCCTTCGCTGCTGGGCCCCCGCTCCACCCGGAAGGTGCAGCCGGTCCAGTCGTCGCGCGCCTCGTTCTTGTGGTTGTTCTCGTCCGTCGCCATGGTCCTCTGCGCCGCGCTTGCGCCGTAGACGGCCGCCGCCCCAGATCGTTCTGCGCTCTGCGATTTTTTTGATTCGCAAAGGGGCCTGGCGCCCCCCGGCCGGGTCCGCGGCGCGGGCGCGGCCCGGGAGGGCTCGGGGGCCTTGGGGGAGGCAATACTACGGAGTTTCTAGTCGCTGGAGGCGTCGGGGACCCGTCAACGCGCGCGCCTGTGCGGCGGCACAAACTTCTTTCACACCCTACTTAGACGACCTCCAGCTAGCTCACTTCTTGTCGACAAGGTGCGGGAACACGTCCCGCTTCAGCTGCTTCTCGTAGCGCTTCCACGCCGCGAGCGACTGCGTGTGGAACGGCGGCGCCCGAGCCTCGACGGCGCCGTAGGACGTCAATGCCACCTCCGTCTCGTTCGGCGTCAAACAGAGCTCGCACGCCTCCAAGCCCAGCCACGCGACGACGTCGTTCAACACCTTCTGGGGGTTGCTAATCAATTTCTCGTACTCGACGAGTTTCACCCGGTCGGGCATCGTTTTGAGCCAGTGGTCCTCGAGTTTGCGAATCGCATGCAACCGCGCCCCCAGGTCCTCGGGCTTGTCCGCCCAGGCCCGTTCGCCGTTGGCGAAGGCCGCCTTGTAGCAGCTGAACGCCACGGCCTTGGGGTCCCTCCTAATAATCAGCGCCTTGAAATCCGGCGCCTCCGCCTCCAAATACTGGGCGGCGGCCCCCAGCCACCACACGTTTTCCAGCGCGGCGTCGATGGCGAAGGACGCGTTCTCCTTTTGCGGCGATACGGCTCTCGCGTGGTGCCGCCTCCTATAAGCGCGTCCTAAATCGGCGAGGTCCTCCTCGGAGGCGCGGTCGAAGAATGCGAGGCCCCGCTCCGCGGCGAGGTCCGCTAACACGGGCGTAGCGTCGCCGTCCGTCGCGATGCCATCGTGCCGCGACAGCGCCGCGTGGAGCAGCGTGCCGCCGCTTCGCGGCGCGCCCATGATAAACAACTGGGCGGGGCCCTCGACGGGTGAGGGCCGGTTCTTGTTCGCCTCGTCCTTGAGCTCGATGGACGCGTCGCCGGCCACGTGGTCTAAGAGGTCCTGGTCGGCCTTCTTGCGGTCCGCGCGCTTCTGCTTCGCCTTGGCGCCGCCCGGGAAGGCCCGGATGAAGTCCGTCGCGGCGCCCTCCGAGATCTCGGGGGCGCTCCCCTTGACGATGTGCGGCGCCGCCGCGTCCCTCCTCGCGGCGTTCGCCGCCACGAGCGAGGCCCAGGCCCGTTCCGGCTCGGCCTTCGAGTAGTCGAGGTAGACGAACTCGGCCTGCTTGATGGCCGCCAGGTCCGCGGGGGACCCCTCCTTCGTCGCCTGCGCCGCGAACTCCTGGAGCGACTCCGCGAAGCCGTCGAGCGCCGCCGGGTCGCCGAACCCGCTCCTTAACAAGTCGACGCCGACCGCGTCGCCCGTCGACGCGTTCGCGGACGTCGCGAGGTGCGCCAGGGCCAACACGGTCTCCGGGCGCGGGTCCACCGTCCAGGCGAGCTTCTCGGCCTCCGCTGCCTCGCGCAGCTTGCCCAGGGCCACGCCGGCCTTGGCGTAGTAGCGGTGCGCCGCGGCGTTCGCGGGGTCCTGGCTCGAGGCCTTGCTCCACGCCGCAATCGCGCTCCGGAAGTAGCGCGCGCCGCCGCCGCTATACTGGGCGACGCCGTAGTTCACCAGAGCCGCGGCGCGCTCCCGGTCGTCCTTCGCCCGGGCATAGCCTTCGGTGCACATCTGGAGCGCATCGGCGTACTCGCCGAGGAGCTTGAGCGCGTGGCACAGGTTCGTGTAGGCCGGCGACAAGGCCGGCGCGAGCTGGATCGCGTCCCTGTAGAGAGAGATGGCCTCGTGCGGCGCGCCGCGCGCGACGGCCGCGTCGGCTCGCGCCTGGACGACGGCCCACTCGGCCGCGGCCTCGGCGGTCGTCTCGATCGCGGCGGCGGTCTTGGCCCGGCTCGCCCGGCGGCTCGGCTTGCGCGGGAAGAGCTTCCGTCGCGCGCGCGGCCAGGCGGTCTTGGCGGCCCAGGCCAGCACGGCGACGGCCGCGACGCCGGCGTAGCGCCGGAGCCACTTGCCGAGCGCGTCGCGGCGGTTGCGCCGCGCGAGGGTCTGCTGCGAGCGGCCGGCGGCGCCCGGCGGGAGCTGCGCTTTTTTGGGCATGGTGTTAGCCTCGCCGAGGTGATTTGCACTTGCAGCCACTCGCTGGTGAAATTGCTATGCGGCGTTGCTTAGAGCGTTTTTTAAGCTGCGCAGCGGTTGCCGGGTAAAAGCCAGTTCTTCTCTGCTCAAACACACAATATTAGTTAAGGCTGTGCAAACCTGGGCGTCGCAAAGGGCAATAAATGACATCTAGTGTCTTAGGCCGCTAGCTCGTGATGCCGCGCTCGCCACTAGTTCAGCACCGTAACAATATAACTGGTACGCTCTCCTTCCAACAACAGGTTTACGCCCAAATCGACGACGACCCCTCCTCGTCCCCGGCGCGAAGGAGATACACGAGCTCAAGGCGCCGGATCGCTAGCCACGTCCCGAGCCCGGCACCGTCATAAAACGCCTCGGGCACGGCGAACAGCTCCCCGCGCTCGGCGCCGGCCTGGGCAAGCGCGTCGGCCACGTGATTGCCCGCGACGTCCGCGTGCGCAGCTACGGCACTTAACGACGTCTCCGCGCCGCGAAGGCGCAAGATCGCCATGCATGCTCGCGCCAGGGCCGCGCCCGGCGGCGCCAGGGCAGAGGTGGCCTCGCCGCTCTTAAGCGTCCGGAGGGCGAGCGCCGAGTCTGAGTACACATCCAGCGGTGAATTGCGGGCGGCGCAAAAGATCGCGTGGAAGATCGCAGAAATCTCAGCGATGTTGTTCGCGCCAGGCGTGGTGCCGACGCGCGGCGGCAGCGCTAGCGAGCGATTCCGTGCGTCGCCGTCGGCATAGTAGACACCGCATCCCGCGCGGCCGCCCCTCGCCGAGCCGTCGACGAAGCATGCCCTTGCGCGGCTTTTGCTGGTGTAGAGCTTGGGCGGGTAGCCCTTGCGCGGCGCGCGCTCGGTGATCTCGACGCGCTGCGGCCTCGTCCATTGCGAGGCCACGAGAGCGACGAGGGCGCGGAGGTAGGCCGCAGCCAGACGCAATATTTGCAGTGGTCGCGCCACGATGCTTATTCACTCATGCTGCCGCGGAGCCTGCACAAGCCTGCACTGAGCAGCTGGTCCAATGGTGATCGCACAATGCGGTGCGCGTGCCGCAGCTTGCAAAACGTGACGGACAAATAGCAGTCTTGCACCACTATATCGATCCCGTCGTGGTGTTTTTTTTTGCAGTCTCATAGCTCTGTGCCAGAGCCTGGCAAAACCAGACGAGAGATGCAGCGCTCCGGGCCAGGAGCCGTCTCGCCGGAGTCAATATCTTCACTGACACCGTTGCTTCGCTGTCGCAAAAACCCGCGACCCAAGCAGCAAGCACTTGGCTCGCAGAGAACACGAGACAGCAGACGGCCGCGCCGCTGCCTGCCGACCTATTCACTGCGGTAAATACCACCATGCATTCGCGCCTCACACTGTGCGCATTCCTGCCGGCGCTGCTGCAAGCGCTCCAGCCCGCGCGGGCACCGCCTGCCAGGCCCGTGAGCACACGGGCACGCGCGACGGTCATGGCGAATAGTTTGACGACCATTTCCGCCAACAACCTCAAGATGACGGATAACATCAAAGCGTGCGGCGCGCCGCGTCCCTTGGATACCGCGCGCCGCCCGAAACCCCCGCCAGGCGGGAGAGAAGGCGGGAGAGAAGCCAGGCGCGGAGAGGAGCCAACGCCACCGCGCGCAGGTACGTCGAAGAGAAGATCGGCGGCGTCGTCGAGAAGTACGCCGGCGTGTCCCAGAGATGCGACACCCACCTGAGCGTGATGCGGAACCCCGCCGTCGCCGACAGCGACGTCGCCGAGGTCGTGGTCTTCTGCAAGGGCGAGGTCGTCCGCGCCGAGGAGCGAAGCCCGAGCATGTACTCGTCGATCGACCTCGTGGCCGACAAGGTCGCGCGGAAGCTCCGCAAGGTCAAGGAGCGCCGCGAGGGCAAGCGCAACAAGCCGCAGCTGAAGATGAGCCTGGGCGAGATGCTCGAGGACCCCGTCGAGATGGAGCCCGAGGTCTTCGACGCGACGTCCCTCATCCGGCGCAAGACGCACGCGATGCCGGCGCAGTCGCTGTCCGACGCGATGATCTGCATGGACGGCCTGGACCACGACTTCTACATGTTCACGAACGAGGAGACGGGGAAGATCAACGTCATGTACAAGCGCAAGGAGGGGGGCCTCGGCCTCATCGAGCCCGAGAACTGAGGCCGCGGCGCCGGGGCGCCTCCGGGCTAACGTATCTTCTATTTAGTGAGTACCTGGGGCCGCCTCCGTCCTCGATTCCTAACTTTTTTATCTATTATACAGGCAAGGGGACGAAGGGGAGATGTATACATGCCGCCAGAGGAGATGACCGGGAGCACGCACATACTTGAGTTCATCTTTCCGCCGGCGGTTTCGCGGTCGCGGTGGTTCGATCGCCGCCAAATTTGTGGTGTCGTTGGTGGTCCTCCGGCGGACGACTGAACGCGTGTGAGACGCTGGTTTGCGCGCTAGCTACGGTCTCGGTTTTGGCCACAGTTCAGGGCCTGTCGTCTTCCAGATTGGGTTTTGGCCGCCGCGGGATCGTCTGTGGTTCGCGCCGCTGTTTTTGGCTACAGTAGTAATAAGTTTTTGCGGATAAACGAGGACGGGCCCGCGCGGAAAAGGTGAGTGTATAAGCCTTTACTTTGGCCTCATCAGGCGAAGGCTGCTTTACCTTGAGCCTACAACTCGCGCGACTGTTTTCTCTGGGCTCGTAGTCGACTTATTAAGACAGATATAAAGAAAACGTAGCTTCGCACGGGTTTTTGCCTTTTTTGGAGCTTTGAAAGAAGCCGCTTTTGTGCCGCTGCACAGCACTGCTCTAACAGCTTTGCAGCTTTGGACCGCTGTGTCACCACAGCTCAACCCACAGCTCACCGATCGAGCACGACCAGGAGATGGAGCATCCACCACCGCTACCCACAACAAGCCTCGAGGACCTGCCGCCGCCCTACCTCGACTACCTCGACGCGGCGGCCCTCTGCCGGCTGGGCTACGGCACGACAAAGAAGCAGCACTACGGCGTCACGTCCGCAGTGGTGCGATGCGCGACCGAACGCGACGCGGTGCCGTTGAGCACCTCGACGCCGCCGGGCGCGCGTGACGCGCTTGAGCTCCTGCGGCGGCGCGAGCGGGCCGTGTGCTGGGAGCCCTTCGGCGCCCGCAGCCAGTTTCTGCAGCGGCGGTGGCGCCGCGGCCCGACGACGCCCGACGACGCGCCGCGCGACGGCGACGACGACGACGAGCCGCCGCGGCCCTGGCGCTACCGCGAGCTCCGAACGACGGCCGCGGGGCTCGTGCTGGACGGCGGCGGCGAGATGAACTTCACGGGCGTGCACCGGCCCTTCGGCGGCGTGCGGCGGCCGACGCGCATCCGCTTCCAGTACTGCGCGCCGGCGCGGTCCGCGTCGCGGGGCTACTGCAACGTCTGCTTCTCGTCCGCCGACGCGGCGCACCGGGCGCTGCGCTTCTTCCGGATCGGCCACCCCGACGTCTTCTCGTTCCTCATCCCGCTCTGGGCCGGCGACCGGCTCCAGCTCTGGCTGCCGCGGTCGCGGTACGCCGTCGCGCTCGCGGGGCCCGACGAGGCCGCGGCCGACGCGAAGCACGACGTCGACTGTCGCTTGCTTTGGGACGTCGCCGGGGAAATCGGCGCGCCGGCGCTCTGGATGGACGTGCGCGTCGACGGCCGGCGCCACCACGACGGGCCGCTGGCCATGAAGCTGCCCCCGTCGTACGACGGCCTGCGGCACGTGTACCTCTTCAACTGGGTCCAGGACGAGAACACGTTTGTGGGTACGCCGCCGGCGCAGCGGCCCCCGTCGCCCGTGTCGAACGCGCGCTGCGTCATCAGCGATCTGTTCGTCGAGGACGGCCCCGTCGACGCGGAGTTCCTAACGAACGTGCGGAGCGAGGCGCGGCGCCGCGCGGAGTGCTTCCGGCACGGCGTCGAGCTCGAGGGAGTGTTGCAAGCCCTCGGCGTCGGCGTCCAGAGCGCCGGCACCGACCCGGTCATCGTCGTCGAGGGCGACCCGCAAGCGCACACGCTGGGCGACTTCGACGAGAGGGACGCGGACGGCAGCGGCGACGACGACGACGGCTCGATATTCAGTTTTGACGACGACGAGAGCGGCGACGGCTCCGACGCCGAGTCGCGCTCGGACTTCGACGAGGAGGACGAGGAGGACGAGGGCGTCGCGCGGCCGGCGTCCTTCGCCGAGATCGTCGACGACGACGTCGACGTCGACGAGGCGCCTAATCTGTCTGTCTAGCTCTATTGATTGGAGCTAGCGTCCTACATACTAGGACTACTTGCACGCCTGTGCAGGCTGCACGCGCACGCCGATCGCCCGCATTTGCACACTCAGCTATGCGCTGTTAGCCAGTCATCAATTCGCAGAGCGCACGAGATCATTTGACATTGCAAAGCAATTGCTCTCAATCTAGGAGATGCTTCGAGCAGCCCTGATCCTCGCGGGCACGAGCCGCGCGCTGGACCCGAGCGTCTTCGGCCGCTTCCGCACCTGGCCGATCACCGCCGTGCAGGAATTGGAGCAGCCGCTCCGGGACATGGGCCTGAACGTGCCCGCGTCCGAGATCGACGGCACGCGAGGCGACGGCGCGGTCGCGCTGAGCGACGCCTTGGTCTCGATCGGTGCCGCGGGCCGCGGCGGCACCGGTAGTTTCGTGAGCGACGACGGTTTGATCCTGACGAACTGGCACGTCGCGTACGAGTACATCCGGCAGGCGTCCCTGCTCGAGGGCGAGGACTTCGTCAGGGACGGTTACGTGGCCAAGAGCCGCAAGGAGGAGCTCCGGGCGCCGAACTGCGAGGTCTGGTTGACGCGGCGCGTCGAGGACGTGAGCGACGCGGTCCTGGACGTCTTGGACGAGCCCGACCCGCTGAAGCGAGCCACGGCACTACGTGATAGAAGGCAGCAGATCGCGTCCTACGCCGAGAACGTCCTGAGGCAGCAGGCCCAGCAGCTGGGCGTCAGCGCGGAGGGCGTCCGCTGCGACGTGCAGGAGATGTTTGCCAACGAAAAGTATCTCTTATTCACGTACGAGCGGCTGCGCGACGTGCGCATCGCCTACGCGCCGCCGTCGTCCCTGGGCTCCTTCGGCGGCGACTCGGACAACTTCGAGTGGCCCCGGCACACGGCGGACTTCGCCCTGCTGCGGGCCTACGCCGACGCGGACAACGCGCCGGCGGACTACGCCGCCCAGAACGTGCCGTACACGCCGTCGAAGCGCCTCCGGCTGAACCCCGAGGGCGCGGACGACGGCGACTTTGTGTTTCTCCTGGGCTTTCCGGGCCGGACGTTGCGGTACGCGCCCTCTGCTAGATTGGAGTACAACAAGCAAGTGACGATTCCGGCCATCGTCGCGGACTTTGAGCGTAAGCTCGAAGCGATCCAGCGCTTCGAGGGCGACTCCGAGGAGACGCGCCTCGCGCTCGCGGGCATGCGCAAGTCGCTGGCCAACGAGTTGAAGAGGAACCGGGGCAAGCTCGTCGTGGCGTCGAAGGTGGACGTGCTGGAGGAGCGGCGCAAGGAGGAGAAGGAGCTGTCGGACGCGTATCCCGCGTGTGCCATCTTGCTCCAAGAGCTGCAGAACATCTATGTGGAGTTAGGCGAAGGCCAACCGGTGCTGGACGCGTTGTCGGAGCTGCGGGGCACGGTCCTGGGGTCGGCCTATCTGGCGGCAGCGCACGCCGTGCACGAGGCATCCGTCGAGCTCGCGAAGCCGGACGACGAGCGGGAGGCCGAGTACAGGGATCGGAACCGGCCGTTTCTGGAGAGGCGCTTGCGGACGCGCCTGGAGCAGGCCTACGCGCCGCACGAGGCGGCGCTCGTGGCGCACGCGCTGGACAGCGCGAGGCGAGCGGGCGTGTCGACGCACGGGTTCTTTTCGAAGGGCGGCGTCGTCGACGCCGTGCGCGCGTCGCCGCTCCCCGAGACGTTTTCGTTGGACGGCAGCTTAGACGCCTACGCTTCGGACCCGTTTGTGGGGCTGTCCGCGGCTTTATATCCGTTGTACGCGGCCGTGCGGGACGCGGGCAAGGCCCTGCTGAGCGACCGCGACCGCGTCACGGCCAGATTACTCGACTTCCGCCGCGCGACGTCCACGGAGCGCCTGTGGCCGGACTGCAACGGCGCCCTGCGATTATCCGCGGGCCGCGTCGAGGGCTGCGCGCCCCGCGACGCCGTCGTGCACGGGCCCCGGACGACGCTCGGCGGTCTGTTGGACAAGGCGCACGAGGCCGAATTGAGGGGCGACGACGACGGCACGTTCACGCTGCCGCCGCGCCTCCGCGAGCTGCTGGAGGGCGGTCCGGAGGCGCTGGAGCGGCCCTGCTGCCTGCTGTACTCGACGGATACGGTCGGTGGCAACTCGGGCTCGCCGGTTCTAGACAGCGACGGCGACCTCGTCGCGATCAACTTCGACCGCGCGCGCGGCGGCCTCATGAACGAGTTCGCCTGGTCGCAGGAGCTCTCGCGGTCCATCGGCGTCGACGTGCGGCTGATGCTCTGGCTCGTCGGCACGTTCGACGGCGCGAGCGACCTCGTGGCGGAGATGACGACGGAGAGTAAATCATGACACTATTCTTAGTCTTCCTGGGAGTACGTGGCGGTCTTCCGGCGGGGGCGCGTCTTCGCCACCGGCGCTTCGCTGCTCTTGCGCCGCGCGCGAGGCTTCGGTTGCTCCTGCGTCTCGCCGCTGCTCTTGCGCCGCGGCCGCGTGGGCGCCTCCTCCGTCGCGGCACCGCTGCTCTTGCGACGCGGCCGCACTGCCGGCGCCGGCGCCGGCGCCTCACCGCCACTGCTCTTGCGGCGCGGCCGCGCCGGGGCCTCCGCGCTGGACTTGCGGCGCGCCCGCGGCTTTGGGGCCGCGGCGCTCGGCTTCGCCGCGGGTTCTCCGCCGCCCTTGCGCTTGCGCCGGCCCCGGCCCTTGTACTTGGGCGCCTCGGCGACCGCCGCCGCCTCCTTCGCCTTGCCCTTCGGCCGCCGGCGCTTGCGGCCCCCTGAGACCGGCAGCGCTGGCGTCGCGAACGGGACGTGGGCCGTCGTACTTTCGCGCGGCGCGGCGCCGAACTTGAGCCGCTCGAGCGCGAGCGCCGACGCGCTCGGCCGCGCGTCGAACAGGCTCCGGTGCGCGCGCTCGTCGCTGACGAAGATGTTGTCGGCGACGCGCGTCCGCCTCTCCACGACGGGCGGCGGCGCCGCGACCACGGGCTCCGCCGGGACCTCGACGAAGTCGGCCGCCGGCTCGGCGAGCTTGCGGCGCTTCGCGGCCGCCGCCTCGACGCGCCGCAGCGCGCCCGTGCGCCGGCGCGCGCGCGCGGGCTCGTCGTATTCCACGGCCGCGGCGTTCGCCGCGGCGTCCGGCTCCTCGTCCGAGAAGCCGTCCTCGTCCACCGTCCGAGGCGCGTTCCCGGCCTCCTCGGGCGCGTCGTCGTCGTCGTCGGAGCCGTTTGGTGCCTCCTCGGGCGCGTCGTCGTCGCTGTTCTCCCAGGCGGCGTCCTCGGCGTCGAGCGCCGCTTCGCGCTCGAAGTCGTCGTCGTCGTCCATCGCTGCTGCTATTTTGTGCGACGCTGCAGTTGCATGCAGCACAAGCGAGCAATTGCTTCTCGTGGGCGCCACGGCTGCTATGTGCGACACAACGGCAGCGATGATGAGTGCCAGTCAGTACGCTTGCAGAGCCTCTGTCTCCGCAATTTATGTCGCTAAGCCGCGGTGCGTACAGCCCAGCTGCAGCTGCTTGCTAGGCATCCCTAGTGTCTTACAGGCCGCTAGCAAAGATTTGCTCGTCGCCGAGGAGTCGCCGGGAGGAATGCCGGCGAACACGCTGTTGCGCCGCCGAGGAGTGGCTGGGAGGAGGAGGGGACACGAGGTTAGAAACGCGCGCGAACGCGCCTTAGTCCAAGGGAGGAAACTACATACAAAGCACACTCTTCTCACTGGGCCGCCGGCGGCGGCGGCGTCATCGACGCCGGCGAGTCAGCAGTCGGCATTGGTATGGTGTTTGCGGGACGCTCCGGAGACTTGCCCGAGAATGCGCCGGTGACGCCGCTCAGTCTCGACGCCTGCTTCCGGAGGCTCCGCAACGGCGTCATCGATTTGCGCGTTTTGTCAACCTCCACCGTAGCGGGCGTCTCCGCGTCCTGCTGCTGGGCCTTGGCCAGCGGCGTCTCAGTTGGCCGCGGCGACTCGGCAATCGCGGGCTGCCCCTTGCGCAGCCAGCCTCCGCCGCCCATGCAGGCTCTACATTGTGCAAACATTTGTTCAGGTGGCGCCCGCCTAGCGTTTTCGGTCACCCATGTTTCTTCAGCCAGGTGGCGGACCCCGCACCTAACCTGCTTCGCTTCTCGAAGAGCTGCCAGCGTGCACGAGTAGTGCTGGAACGACCTGTGCGGTGAAGAGTCGAGCTCGGGGACTTGGCCGGGGCCGTGTCTTCCGCCGCCGCCGCGAGAGCTAGCTCGTGCATAATCTCGGCTGCTTTACGGTGCATCCGGCGTTTTCAATCGTTTCGGGTGTCCAGCATTGATGCGAGACCGTCAGCATTGTCTGCTTTTGCACGCGTATCCGCTCGCCTTGGACCCACCGAGAGGCCAGCCTCCAGCCGCGCGCGCTCGCAGGCCCGAAGAAATGAAACTCCTCCGCGCCATGGTTCCCGCGCTCTCGGCCGCCCTCCGCGCGCCGGCTCGCCTCGTGGGCCGCGGCCGCGCGCTGCACGCGACGGCGGCGCGCGGTGCCGGCTCGGGCGGGCTCTTCGAGGACGCCACGGCGCTCGTGGGCAACACGCCCGTCGTGAAGATCAGCGACAAGCTCTGGCCTGTGTGGAAATCAAGTTTCGGGCGCCCCACGCCATCGACGCGACGTTGTCCCCGTGGCCGCGTCGGTAACCTAACTCACTGGTTGATTTCCACACAGGCTCGCGCCGCCCGGCGTCGAGGTCTACGCCAAGTGCGAGTACTTTAATCCGCTCGCGTCGGTCAAGGACCGCCTCGCGGTGGCCATCATCGAGGACGCTGAAAAAAGGGGCGAGCTCAAGCCGGGGATGACCGTCGTGGAAGCCACGTCGGGCAACACGGGCATCGCCGTGGCCATGGTCTGTGCCCAGCGCGGCTACGACTGCGTCATCTGCATGGCCGAGCCCTTCTCCGTCGAGCGCCGCCGCCTCATGCGCATGCTGGGGGCCAAGGTCATCGTGACGCCGAAAGCCGGCAAGGGCACGGGCATGGTGCGCAAGGCCGAGGAGCTCTGCGCCAAGAACGGCTGGTTCCTCTGCCACCAGTTCGGATCTGTGTCGAAATCAACCACTGAGTTGCGTTTACGTCGCGTCGATGGCGTGCAGCGGCTGATTTTTTTTTCCCACAGGTTCGAGAACGAGGCGAACTGGAAGTTCCACGAGGCCACGACCGGCCCCGAAATCATCGCTGATTTCAAGGCGTCGGGCAAGAAGTTGACCCACTGGGTCACCGGGTACGGTACTGGAGGTACTTTCCACGGCGCGGGCAAGGCCCTCAAGGCGTCGATTCCGGACCTGAAGATTGTGTTGGCCGAACCGGAGGCTGCTGGATTATTGGCCTCTGGCGTGGCCACGGAGCGCAATGCTGATGGGTCACCGAAAGCCTCGCACCCCGCCTTCGCGGCGCACCCTATTCAGGGCTGGACGCCCGATTTTATCCCCAAGGTCCCTCGACAGTGCATAAATCAAATTGTCGCGGCGCGTCTCCGCCACTGGCCACCCGACTCACTGGTTGATTTGCGCACAGGTCCTCGAGGACGCGCCCATGGCCGAGTTGCAGGACGAGCTCTTCCCTATCCCTGGCGATGCGGCCGTGAACACCGCCAAAGCTTTGGCTGCCAAGGAGGGCCTGCTCACGGGTATCTCGGGTGGCGGCACGATGTACGCCGCGCTCGAGACGGCCAAGAAGGCCCCCAAGGGCTCGGTGATCCTCGCCATGCTCCCGGACACGGGCGAGCGCTACCTCTCGACGCCGCTCTTCGCCGACATCCCGGCGGACATGAACGACGAGGAGCTCTCCATCGCCAAGTCGACGCCGTCCTTCCAGCTCATCCCGGGCCAGGAGCCGGTCCTCGCGGCCTAGACGAACGAGTACGTAACAATGTGCTTATGCTAGACTCACTACTTCCTAGCCTTCTTCTTCTGCTTCCGCTTCGCGAGCTTCGCCCGCACGGACGCCGCCAAATCCCCAACAGCTGGTGCGTCGTCCTCGGCGTCGCGCTTCTCCGCCGCGGCGGCCTGCGCCGCGGCGTCGTCGCGCTTGGCCCGCCGCCGCTTCGACTGCTCCTCGAGGACAGCACTCATCCCGGCCGTCTTCTTGAACTCCGGCGCGGACGTGTCCACGCCAAACCGGTCGTCGCCGTCCAACAGCCCGCGGAAGCGGTCATCTTTCGCGTCGAACTCGAATCCCGAACGATCCTGCTTCGCGAGCAAGGCGTCGCGCTCGCGCTTGCGCTTGCCCTTGAGCTTCGGCTTCGCGGCGAGCTTCTCCGCGCGCACTAATTTGGACGCGTCGTAGTCTCTGTCGTCGTCACTATCATCATCGTCAACAGCGGGTCGCGTCGCGGGCGCCTTGCCGGCCTTCTTCGCTTGCGCCTCGCGCTGCTTCTCCTTGAGCTTCTGCTTGCGCGCCGCCTTGCGCTCGCCTGCGTGGAAATGGAGTGTCGAGGCGCCCCGCCATCGACGCGACGTCGTCTCCGTGACAGGGATGGTTAATTTCTGCACGGGCGCCTACGCTTGCGCCGCTCGCGCGCCTCCCAGGGCGTCTCGCCCTCGTCGTTCGGCGCCTCGCCGCCGAACTCATCAAATGACACTTGCACATCTTCCGCCGTGGTGTCGCCCTCGGCAGCCCCAAAAAAGTCATCATCAAAACCCTCGCCCGACGCCTCCCGCGTCGGTTGGTCCTCCGCGGGCTTCTGCGGGTCCAAGCCGAGCATCTTCCGCAAGTTCGCCGCGTTGCCGCCGTCGTCGTCGGAGTCGTCGCTGTCGGCGAGGTACTTCGACGCCGTCGCGGCGTCGGGATCTTTCAGCATCTCCTCGATGGCGTGCTGGCGGTGGCCGTCGTCGTCGTCGAAGGTGCACTTCACCTTCGTCTGTTGGCGCGCGGCGCAGACGTACGCCTTGGGCGGCTTGTAGGCTTCGGCAGACGTGGCCTCGTCGCGCTTCCGCCCTTCGTCGAAGGTCGTCTCGTCGGGGATGAACGACAGGTTCAGGGGCACGGACGTCGCTTCGATCTCGACGCCGTCGCCGGACGCGTAGACGGCCTCGGCCGTCGCGGGCGCGTCGAACGTCGCGACGGCGAAGTACCGCCGCAGCTTCTTGAGCTCGTAGGCCCGCAGCTTCTCGGCGTCGAAGCCCTCTTCCGCCTCGTCCTCCGACCCGGAGTCCGACGACGCGTCCGGCGCGTCGTCCGCGAAGATGCCGCCCGGCCCGAACTTCTCCTCCCGTTCCATCTCGCGCGCGCCGTACTCCGACGCGTACACCACGACTCGGGAGCACTGGCCGCCCGGCGGGCAGAGCGACTGGAGCATCACGAGTAGGTCCTGCGCGCGGCAGTGCTTCCACTCCTGGTCGGTCACGGCGAGCCTCGCGGCCTCGACGCTCCCCTCGACGGTGTCGTGCGTCGGCGGCAGGTCCGCGTCCCAGGCGCGCACCTCGACCTCCTCCAGCTCGTCGCTCTCGTCTCCAGAAGATCCGTCGTCGGACGACGACGACGCCGCGTCGTCGTCATCCTCGCCGCGCATCTTCGCGTCGAGCTCGGCCCGCCGCGCGCGCTCCGGCGCCGTCAGGCCGTCGTCGAGCTCGTAGAACGGCGCCAGGCTCTCGGCCTGCGCGTTCTTGTCGACCTTGCGGCCGCGCTTGTCGACCTTGCCTTGCGCGAGTCCGAAGCGCTCGTCGTCCAGCGCGCCCTTGAAGCGCGGGTCGATCTTCAGCTTGCGCTTCTTGCGGCCGCCTCGGAACGTCGGGTCCGTCGCCGCGTGCGCGAAGCGCTCGTCGTCTTCGAGCCCGTGCTTCTGCTTCGCGGCCATGGCCTTTTTTATTTGCTTGTGGGACTTTTTCTTCGAGGGATCCATGCTTATTATATCCAGTCGCGCCGCGGTGGCACACCTGTGGCTCTCTGGGCTGTGGCTCTGTGCAGTTATTGATGCGCAGTTGCGTTACACAAACGCTGCTACGGGTGCGTTGCACGCGTGCGATAACAAAACGCGTGTCGGGCAAAATGCACGCTTGCGCAGTGCCGTTTTGTATATCGCCTGTCGAGGCTGCAGAGACCAGGCAGTGCAAGGCCTCTACCAGACTTCTGCCATGCCAGGGGGCGCATTAATCGCGCCGGGACTGTTCACGCGTCTGTAGCGACTTCTAAAATGAGCTGCTAGCGGCCTTAAGACTCTAGCAATATTGCGAGTTTAAGCGCGGAGCCGCGGGCGCGGCTAATCGAGCCAAACCGAGCAAGACACAGCCTGTGCGCTAGCTGACAGCCATACTCTTGGCTGCGAGATCGCGCTGCACAAGAAACCGCCGCCGCCGGCCGCGCACCAGCCAAGCCAAAAGCCAAGTCAAGCCGGTCGCGCCCTACATACAAAAACCATGGCCGACTTCGACGTCGCCGCCAAACTGGAGGCCTACCGCGGCGAGCTCGGCGCGCAAGTCAACGCTATACAAGAGAAGTCGCCCTTCGAGGACTACCGCCAGCCGTACCTGAACGAGGCGGCGGTCTCGGGCGACGACGCGTTCCCTTCGTCATTACTGCCGCGGCTGGCGTCCCTGGTTCAGGGCCGCGCCGAGCCGTTGGCACTCGTCGCGACCGAGGCCCAGGCGGAATTGGGCGAGGGCGCGCCGGCTGTAGATGTCGTCGTCGCGAAGATCCGGTTAGTAGCGGAGCGAAAAGCGTACGGCGTCAACCCCAAGAAGGCCGTCGTCGTCGCCGACGACGAGTCCCAGATCCACGCCTGGTGCTGGGAGGTGTCCGCGCCCGAGGCCTACTTCCCCGCTGAAAGCGTCAAGCTCATCAAGGCCGCGCGCCAGGCGCGGAGCCGCGAGGGCAAGCTCGTCAAGGCCACCGCGAAATTAGTTGACGTCCTCATCAAGGGCGACGCCACGAAAGCAAAAGCCGAGGAGGAGAAGGTCCTCAAAGTGAAACGGGACGCCGAAGCGCAGCGCCTCAAGGCCGAGGTCGCGCAGCGCAAGCGCGAGGAGGCCGCGGCCAAGAAGGAGGCCGCCGCCCTCAAGAAGCGCGAGAAGGAGGCCGCCAAGGCCGCGAAGCAGAACGCGTCGCCGAAGAAGCCCGCCAAGGCCAAGGTCTCGAACGCGTCGAAGAGCGTCATGGCCGGCTTCCTGTCCAAGGCGCCGAAGCGCGACTCCACCGAATCGCGGAAGGCGCCGCCGCCCAAGCCCGCGGAGGTGTCCACGGTCAGGACCGTGGCCCTGCTCGACGCCCTGGAGAAGGCGCGGGCCGCGCCGCCTCCCTTGGAGGACCTGCGCGCGGAGCTGCGGCGGACGCGGGCCGCCGAGGAGGAGCCCGAGGTCCAGATCCTCGAGCCGCGGCGGGGCTTCTTCGCCTTCCACACGGACTTCGGCCCGCCGCGGCGCAAGGAGGTGACGCGGTCGGCGGTCGTGACGGCCACGAGCCCCTTCGCGCGGGACCCGGCCGTGGACTACGACTACGACAGCGACGAGGAGCGCTACGCCAACGAGGGCCTCGTCGAGGACGGCGAGGACCTGTCGGACGGCGAGGACCTCGAGGACGAGGACGACGGCGAGCTCGACAACGAGGACGGCTTCTTCTGCGGCGACGACGACGAGGGCGGCCCGGCCCAGCGCGCGGCCCTCGAGCGCGAGGTCGTCACCGTGTCGCCGCTCAAGGCCGGCGAGGCGGGCGACGCGGACCGCGCCGCGGCGCTCGCGCCGTTCGCGCCCGTCGTCTTCTTCGACCCGCGCGTGCCGCTGCCCGCCGAGCCGGCGCCGCGGAAGCGGTCCTCCGCCGCCAAGCCCGCGACGCCCGAGGACGCGCCGGCGGCGAAGAAGAAGAAGGGCGCGGTCTCGACGGGCCAGAAGCAGCTGACGGCCTTCTTCGGCGCGAAGAAGTAGGGCGGGGCGGGGCCTAACCTTATGATGTCACGAGTCGACTGCGAACTCCTTATGAGCGCTGGGGGAGAGAAGGAAACGACACGCGGGGTAAGAGGACGATGTGGGGGTAACAGTGCAGGGGGAACATGACGGCCCTGAAGAAGACCGTTCGGACCCGGAGGGGCGTGGAGCCCGCGGGCCGGCCCGCTTGACGTGAGGTCGAGCGGGGAAGAAGAGCACGAACGAACTCGTCCAGCCGCGAACCCGCCTGCAACGAGCCGCTCGAGCCCGCGCGCGAGCGGTAGGCCGGACTCGTGGCCACGGCGTGGCAGTAGACCGCGGTGTCTCTCCTGTGTTGAAAAGCGTAAATAAAGCCCGCCGCCGGTGCGAACGGGTCCCGGCGCCGACGCGCTCACCACTCGAAGGAGATCACCGCGAGGACCTGCGCGAATCACGAAGTCACTTGCGCAGTCGATCATGGCTGCGCCGGGGCCGCACGCCCAGGACGTCGCTTTCGAGGCTCGCCTCCCAGAGCTGCGCGCGGGGGGCGCGGTCGACGGCGTCGCGCGCGAAGCGAATTTTCGGGCGCGCGCGCGCGCGCGCGCACTCTCGCAACGGCCACGCGCTGCGCGGCGCGCGGGCTCTCGCGGGGCGGGCGGGCGCCTTACCTCGGCGAAGGCGCCGCCCGCGCGCGACGTGACGACGTTAATCCAGTGGTCTTCGGCGTGGCCCGCGAACGCCTGCGCGGGGGCCGTGAGGCGGCGGCGCGGTCGCGCCCGGTCCCGCGCGGGGCGGCGGGGCGAAAATCCGGGCCGCGCGGGCCAAACGCGGCGCGGTACGTCGGTCAGGATGTCGGCCATGCCCCAGGCCCGGCCTTCGCTGCTGGGCCCCCGCTCCACCCGGAAGGTGCAGCCGGTCCAGTCGTCGCGCGCCTCGTTCTTGTGGTTGTTCTCGTCCGTCGCCATGGTCCTCTGCGCCGCGCTTGCGCCGTAGACGGCCGCCGCCCCAGATCGTTCTGCGCTCTGCGATTTTTTTGATTCGCAAAGGGGCCTTGCGCCCCCCGGCCGGGTCCGCGGCGCGGGCGCGGCCCGGGAGGGCTCGGGGGCCTTGGGGGAGGTACTACTACGGAATTCCTACTCGCTGGAGGCGTCGGGGACCCGTCACGCGCGGGCGCGCGGGTGGGACGCCTCGGCGCCTTGGGGCCGCTGCAAGTACACCTAACATCACATTACGGGAGGGGCGCCGTTGCAACCTCCGAAGATGGACCCTCCACACAGCAACCGTCCTCCTCGCATCGGGCGACGAACGCGCGCCACGTGTCATCCGACGCGAGCGTGCCTGGGTCCCCCACCACCACGACCGCCCTCCGCGCCCGCGTGAGGGCCACGTTCAGGCGGCGGTCGTCAGCGACGAAGCCCAGGTTGCCCTTCTCGTTCGACCGCACGGTCGAGATGAGGACCACGTCCTTTTCGCGGCCCTGGTACGCGTCCACGGTGTTGACCTCGACGTCGCCCGCGAGGGCGTCGCGGATGAGGCGCGCTTGCGCCGCGTAGGGCGTGATGACGCCGATGTCCCGCTCGGCGACCGTCGCGAGCAGCTCGCGGACGACCTTGACTAGCGCGGCGCACTCGGCCTCGTTCGAGATCGACGCGGCGTCGGCGTTGCTCTCCCGCGACTCCGCGCCGCGGACCGCGACGAGCGCGAGGGGCGCGCTCGCGTTGGGCCAGGCGAAGCCCGCGGGCAGCTCGGCCGCCACGCGGCGCGCCTCGACGGCAAGACACGTCCGCACCGCCCCGCCGTAGAAGCGCTCGGAAGAGAAGCGGTTCAGCTCGGGGTGCATGCGGTACTGCGTCGTGAGGAGCCGCGGCCGCAGCCCCGTCCCCACGAGCCGCTGGAAGAGCGACGCGCGGAGCGCGCCCGCGTCCCGCGAGAGCACGGTGGGCGGCAGCTGGCACGGGTCGCCCACGAGGACGAGCTGCGTCGCGCGCGGCGCCGCCGCGAGCGGCACCAACGCCGCGGGCTCCGTGGCCTGGGCCGCCTCGTCGACGAGCACCAGCCCAAAGTCGAGGAAGTCCTCGGACTGGCCGGGCCGGGGCGCGAGGCCCAGCCACGGCGCCAGGGCGTCGGACCCCGCGCCGACGCAGCTCGCGACGACGACGTCCGCGTCCAGCAGCGCCCGCCGCCGCAGCTCGTCGCGCGCGTCGGGCCGCGCGCGCGCGTAGTCGTCGCCCCCCAGGCGCAGCGCCCAGGCGTCCAGCGTGTGGTTGCGCAGCTCCTCCCGCGTCGCCGCCGGGTGGCCCACGCGCACGGCCGAGACGTTCAGCCGCAGGAGGGCCTCGAGGAGGTTGTCCGCGGCCACGTTCGACACCGCGCACGCGAGCGCGCGCCGCCGCTTCTCGGGCCGCAGGCGCGACTTGCTTTCGCGGTCCCGCAGCGCGACGGCCGCGGCCAGCAGGGCCGCCGCGGTCCGCGTCTTGCCCGTGCCCGGTGGGCCCTGGATGAGCGACACGCGCGCCGTGAGCGCGGCCACCGCCGCGCGCACCTGCGCGTCGACGAGCTCGCCGCCCGAGACGTCGTGGAGCGCCCGGCGCGCGGCGGCGTCGTTCGGGCAGCGCCGCGTCAGGCCGCCGGCGCGCTCCGCCGCGAGGACGGCGTCGTCGCGCGTCAGGACCTTGCGCAGCTCCGCGGACGCGTCGTCGGCGTCGCGGCCGCGCGCGTTCGGCGTGAGCGCCTCGACGGCCGCGCGCATGCGGTCGTACGAGACCGCCGAGAAGCACTGGTCCAGCCGCGCCGACGGCTCCCGCGCCAGCGCGTCGGCCTGCTGCGCCGACGAGAGCACGACGTCGACGTGGCGCGGGCCCGTCTTCAGGATCGTACCCTCGGCGGCGCCGCAGCCGCCCATCGTGCCCGGCGCGACGATGCACAGGTCGCCGGACCCGAAACGGTGGTGCCGCGGCAGCAAGGGCGGCGCGCGCTCGCCGCGGCGGCGCGGCTTCTCGAGGCGCACGACCGGCCGGCCGTAGAGGCCGCGCGGGAGCCGCGCGCACCGCACGTCCGTCAGCGAGAGGCCCGCGTCTTCGAGCCGCTTGTCGGACCACTTCTCGAGCCGCTCCTTCGCCACGCGCTCCTCCTCCTTGCGCTCGTGCGTCAGGAGGCCGAGCAGCCGCGTCGCGTACTTTTGCTCGGCGTCGCGGCGCTCGTGGTACTTTGCGGCGCGGCCGCGGCCCTTGGCGTGCAGCAGCACCACACTTTGGTGGTTTTTTGGGGGTGGCTGGAAGCACTGTGTGATTGCGAGCAGTGCGAGTGTTTTGAGATGCTGGTGTGGCATTGTGCTACGATGCATGCATGCACGGCACGCGTCTCGAATCCTTACACCGGACGATTGCCACACGCTCCCTTGCCACCAGCATCCCTAGTGCCTTACAGGCCGCTAGCTCTCACGCGTCCTGTGTTGATTTGAGCAATGCTGAACGGGCTGTAAACGTCCCCGCGACTGAAGCGATTTACGCTTTTTTTTAGCTCAAGATTATGCATCGATTCTGTGCTAGTTGCTAGCTAGGCTTGGGCAGCGGGAGTGAGTCTCCTGCGCGGCCAGCATTGCTCACAGAGCCCCACGCTAGTTTTCTTGCAATAACCCAACGCTCTGCTAGTAAAACGCATCGCTACGCAATGTCGAGGCAGCTGCAGCGGCTGCTCCCGGCCGCCGCCAGGCGCCGGCACGCCGTCGCCTGGCGTTTGGCCTCGTCAACTGCAACGACTGAGCGCGACGACGCAGCGAAGCGCTCTTTCGCTAGTCGTCTCAAGGACGTCGGCGTCGGCTTCGCCGCAAACGCGAGCCGGAGCAAGGAGGAGAAGCAGATCAACTTGGGCAAGGCGATGACAGGCGGCCTGCCGGACTTTGTGGAAGAGTGGACGCCCGACCTTTTCCGGAAGGTCGGCAAGGGTCTGGGCGTCGCGGCGGTCGCGAGCTGGCCGCTCGCGTTCCACCACGACATCTCCCTGCTCGTGCCGCTGTTAGCGAGCGGCGCGACGGTGGGCTACTGGAAGATCGGATTGGACGACCTGAAGCAGACGTCGTCGGCGCTCCCGAAGAACTTCCCCGTGCTCATTCACCTGCGCTACATCCTCGAGTCGATCCGGCCGGAGATCCAGCAGTACTTTATTGAAGCGGACGAGTCGCAGGGCCAGGTGCCCTTCACGCGGGCCATGCGCAGCACGATCTACCAGCGCGCCAAGGGCGCGCAGGACACGCGCGCGCTGGGCACGCGGCGCAACGTCTATGGCGAGGGCTTCGAGTGGGCGAACCACTCCATGTTCCCCGTGTCCCACGCGGACGTCGAGGACCGCGTGACGATCGGCGGGTCGCGGTGCGCGCAGCCCTACTCGGCGTCGCTACTCAACATCTCGGCGATGTCGTTCGGGGCCCTGTCGGCGAACGCGATCGAGGCCTTGAATCGCGGGGCCGCGCGGGGCGGCTTCTACCACAACACGGGCGAGGGGGGCATTTCCCGCTTTCATCTGTCGGGCGGCGACGTCGTCTGGAACGTGGGGACGGGCTACTTCGGCTGCGGCAAGACGATCGACGACAAGGGCACGCGCGCCTTCTGCCCCGACCAGTTCAAGGAGAACGCCACGAAGGAACAGGTCAAGATGATCGAGATCAAGCTGAGCCAGGGCGCCAAGCCCGCGCATGGTGGTATCTTACCTGCCGCAAAAATTACGTCGTTGATCGCGGAAGCGAGAGGCCTAGGTGAGGGGCCCTGGCTCACTGATTGCGCGTCGCCGCCGCGCCACTCGGCCTTCGGGTCGCCGGCGGAGTTGATCCAGTTCGTGCAGCAGCTCCGAGAGCTGTCGGGCGGCAAGCCCATCGGCTTCAAGCTCTGCGTGGGCCAGCCCCACGAGTTCGCGGCGCTGTGCCACGCCATGCTCGACGCGAACGTCGCGCCGGACTTCGTCACGGTCGACGGCACGGAGGGCGGCACGGGCGCCGCGCCCCCAGAATTCCAGGACTCGATCGGCATGCCGCTCGCCGAGGGTCTGAGGATTGTGGACGGCTTCCTGACGGGCGCCGGCCTACGGGACGAAGTGAAGGTCATCGCCGCGGGCAAGATCTACAACGGCTTCTCGTTAGTCAGAACGCTTGCTTTAGGTGCCGATGCCACAAACTGCGCGCGCGGCATGATGTTCGCTTTAGGGTGCATCCAGGCCCTGAAGTGCAACACGAACAAGTGCCCGACGGGAATCGCGACCCAGGACGCGGCCCTGTCGTCCTCGCTCCACGTGCCGACGAAGGAGGTGCGCGTCGCGAACTTCCACCGGGCGACGGTCCACGCCGCGCGCGAGATCATCGGCGCCGTCGGCGTGAAGCGCGGGCGCGACGTGAGCCAGGACCACATCTTCAAGCGGCGCGACGGCGTCCAGGTGCGGTCGCTCTCCGAGGTCCACACGAACTACTTCGCGAAGCTCAAGGCCGGCCAGCTCCTCACGGAGGAGGGCCTCGCCGAGACGTCGCCGATCATGCGCCGCTGGTGGCGCGACGGCTACGACGCGCATACCGCGTCGCAGGACCGCGCGATGGCGGCGTAAATTAGCTCTTACTTTCCGCGGCCGCCTCCTGCTCGCCGTGGTAGCGGCCGAGGTAGTAGCCCGCGTAGTACCAGCTCGCCAGGACGTCGTGGAGGCCCGCCGCGTCGGGGCCCGCCGGCGGGACGGCCGGCGGTAGCGGTGGCGGCGCGGCGGCCGGCGGCGCCGCTGGCCGCTGGACGGGCTCCCACTCGCCGTACTCGCCGACGGTCGGGTCCTTGACCGGCGAGGCGGCCGTGGCGGGCGTTGTTGCTGGGACGGGCGCCTCGAGCAGCGCGGCGAAGCGCGCGTCCGCCTCGGCCATCTCGTCCTCGTCCTCGGCGGCCGCGCCCGCGTCGAGGTTCTCGAGGCCGCGGCTCACCGCAGCAATCAGCTCGCTGTCGTCCCACTTGTCCGGGTCGGCCTGCATGGTTTTTTTCCACCGCTGCGTCTCGCGAGCGCGACAGCACCTCTGCAGTGCCAGCCTCTTGCCCGCTGCTTCGCGCGACGAGTTCAGCCTGGACGAGTGGTGTAGTACAAAACGGTGTTATAACGTATGCGCACTGCAACGCCAAAAGGTGGGTTTGGACTGAGTAAAACCCGTCTACATTTTTGCAATTTGGGCAGAGCGGCGTTTCACGCTAGACGGGCGGCGCAGCACGACCGAAGAGCTCATCTGTGCTGGAATTTGTGGCAGCACAACCCAAACAAGCAGTTTCACCCCGATGGACGCCTGGGAGGCCTACGCCGTCGACGCGGCGGAGGAGCAGGGTGACCAACCCGCCGAGGACGCCATCAGCAAAGGGCTGGAGTCGTTGGCGGACTCGGCGAGCCAGTGGCTGGCGCCGGGCGTCGAAAAGGCTGCTGCGGCGGCCGACGGCCTGCGGCAAAAGGGCCTCGAGGCGGCGAACCAGGGCCTCGCGGCGGCCAAGGACCGGGCGAAGTTGTTTGACCTGAACGCGTTGCAGGCGAACGACCCGCTCTTCGCGGCCGGCGAGCAGCCCGCGGCGCCGGCCGCCGAGCCCGACGCCGCGCCGACGACGAACGACGACGCGCACGCGCGCGAGCTCGCCCGCGTCAAGGAGCAGTCGCTGCGCGACGCGCGGCGCGTCGAGGGCGAGCAGCTCCGCGAGAATCGGAAGCTCTCGCAACGCCTCGCGGAGCTCCAGCGCGCGATGGAGGAGGCGACCGCGCGGGCCGCCTCGTCGGACCGCGCGGTGGCGGAATTGCGGGAAAGCGAGCGCCGCGCGGCGGGCGACGCGCGGCGCTTCCGCGAGGAGGCCGAGGCGCTGCGGGAGGCGCAGCGCGACGCCGCCGAGGCGCTCGCGGGCGCGCGGGACGCGGCGCGGCGGGCCGACGACCGGGCGGCGCAGGCCCTGGCGGACGCGGAGCGGGCGCAGCGCGAGCTGCGCCGGACGGCGTCGCGGACCGAGGCGCTGGCCGAGGGCCGCGAGGACCTCGCCGGGGCCGTCGAGCGGTCGCGGGACGAGGCGGCGCGCGCGTCGGCCGCGGCGCTGCGCCACCGCGACGACCTGGCGGCCGCGCACGGCGAGGTGGCGCGCCTCCTCCACCGCGTCGAGGCCGAGGCGCGGGCGCGGCGGGACGCCGAGGACAAGCTGCGGCGGCTCGCGCACAAAAAGGCGCCCGTCGCCGCGGCGGCGCCGCCGCCGCCGCCGGCGCCCGTCGTCGTGCAAGAGGACGACGGCCAGGTCCGCGCGCTGCGCGAGGAGCTCGCCGCCGCGCGGGCCAAGGCGGCGCGCGCCGAGCAGCGCGAGGCCGACGGCCAGCGCCGCATGCGCGTGCTCGAGGCCGCGGCGTCCAAGGCGCGCGCCGAGGCGGCGGCGGCCGACTCGGAGGCGCGCCGCTACCGCGACGGCGACTCCGATCTGAGGAGACGGTGCGAGGCGGCCGAGCGCGCGGCGACGCGCGCGACGGCGGCGCGCGAGGAGGCGCTGGCCGAGGTCGACGCGCGCGTCGACGCGGCCAAGCTCGCCGGCGAGCGCATCGCGAACGCCGCGAAGCGCCAGGTCGCGGCGCTGGACAAGGCGCTGTCGGGCCGCGACGCGCTCGTCGCGTGCACCGAGGCGCGGGGCGCGATGGCCCTCCGCGACAAAACCAGGGAGCTCGCGGACGCGAAGCGCGCCTTGGGCGTCGCGGAGTCGCGGACCCAGGCCGCGCGCCGGTCCAAGGCGTTCCTCTTCGGCGGCGCCGTGCGCGACGAGCTCGCGCGCCTCCAGCGGCAGAACGACCGGCTCCGCGAGGAGGTTCTTGCCGGCGGCGGCGAGCGGGACGAGGACGCGGCGCCGCCGCCTCCGGCCAAGAAGGCGCCGCCCGCGGCGCGGCCCAGCAACGACACCTTCGACGCGAAGACGCGCGCGACGTACGTCGCGCTCGCCGTGTCGCAGCTCTGCGCGGCCGCGGGCGCCGGCGAGGAGTCGCGCGCCGCGACGGTGGCGCCCGTTCTACGCGAACTCCTGAAGCAGCCGCACAACGCGGTCAAGCACTGGCTCGCGTTCCTGGAGCGGGACGCCGAGGCCGCGGCGGCGACGTGCGCCGCGCTCGACTTGTTGCGGGACGCGCTGGACGAGGGCGCGGAGCGCGAGCGGTCCGCGGCGTCGCTCGGCGCGCAGCGGGCGCTCTTGCGGTACGACGCGCGCCTCGCGGCGGCCGCCGTGCTGTCGGCGGCGCGCGACAACGCCGCGCGCGCGCGCGAGGACACGCGCACGCGCGCCGCGGCGCAGCGCATGTGCGCCGCGGCCGAGGCCGCCGTCGCCGACGCCGTCAAAAGGGTTGAAGCCGCGGACAACGCGCGGGACAACGCCGTCCAGGAGGCGGCCGAGCTCCAGCGCGCGGTCGCCGAGTCCGGCACGTCCGTGGAATTCGCCCACGCGCGCGCGGCCTGCGTCGCCGTGTTGCGGAGCGGCCGCGGCTCGGCCGCGTACAACAAGCTGCTGCCGCTGCTGCGCGGCTTCCTACGCGTGCCGCACGCGGTCGTCGAGGACAACGTCCTCGCGCTGCTCGGGACGGGGTCGGGCGCGGACTTCGTCGAGGCGCTGACGGCGCCGCCGCCGGCGAAGGAGAGGGCTCCGTCGTAAGGGTTTGTGTTGGCTTTTCTTTCTTTCTCCCGCGTTATGATGCGAGTGAGCTTCGCTTTTCGTCATCGTTTTTACTAGCGGCTGTCCCCCTGTTGTTCGCGCCGCGCGAAGCTCAGGTTGAAAAAAACCCATGATTGAACGACCTGCCGCTCGAGGAGAACGTAGGAGGGCTTCTTGTAGTCTTGATCGATGATGGCACAACCGGGGGGGGAGGATGGCGCCGACTCTTGCCGGACTGACTCTAAAGGCATCGCCCCCGGCTCCTCAGTGCACAGCGCGCCACAGCAAGTTTGCTGGCGTACAGACTTTTATCGACGTTTACCTGAAGCCTGCGTAAAAAGCGCGCTGCTGAACGATTGCGTCAAATATCGCTGTGGCCAAATAAGAGCCAGCTCCCATCTTGGCTCCGTTTTCGTCATGGGGAGCTTAGAAAATCCTTCTGTGACGCTCGATGATGGCAGGGACTGCCTGAGGTGCGCTTCGGCGTCCGTTGCAACGGTTTCGTCCGAAGTCGTTTCCCGCTGGTTCCGCGCTCGAGCCAAAAAAAATAATTCTCTCCGAATAACCCACAGGCTCATGGTCCTCGACTACGACGACACGCTCTGCCCGTCGTCGTGGATCTCGGCGGCGCCCGAGCGCGTGCACGCGGCGACGGACGCCGACGCCGAGTGCCTCCGGCGCTTGGAGGACGGCATCGAAGCCCTGCTGCAGCGCGCCGAGGCGCTGAACTGCAAGGTCGTGATTATCACGAACGCCGACGAGGACTGGGTCCGCTTCTCGTCGCAGCAGTTCCTGCCGCGCATCGTGCCGCTGCTCCAGAACCTGCGGGTCGTGTCGGCGCGGCGCTACGAGCACCTGTACCCGGGCCGGAGCGTCTGCTGGAAGGCCGCGGCTTTTACGCACGTGGCCAAGGCCTTCTTCCACGGCGAGGACCCGAGCGGCACGCGGCCGCGCGAGATCGTGTCCATCGGCGACTCGAACGACGAGCGCCTGGCCGTGCGCGCGGCGGCGGCGCCCCTGGACGCGACGGCGAAGGCCATTAAGTTGGTCGACGCGCCGTCGCTCGACACCGTCGCGTGCCAGCTCGTCGCCGTGACGGCCGCTCTCCCTTTCCTCGCGGCGGCGAAGACGTCCGTCGACGTCGACGTGGCGGCGGTGCTGGCCTACGTGGGCGCGGCGCACCGCGACGACGGGCCCGCGCAGGACGCCGTCCAGCGCGTCTGGAACGACGCCGCGTGGGGGCTCCTGACGGCGATCCGCTTCCAGGACGCGAACCCGGCGCCCGTCACCGATGGGACGCCGGGCTCGCCCGTCTCGCCATCGATCACCGCCCAAGCTTAGCTGTGCACTGTGTGTTTGCTTGGTATCTAACGTTAGTTTATATTTCTCGGCGACGTCTCCCTTCACGTCTCCCTTCGTTTGGAAATTAAGCTCTGAACTTCACTATTCGGGGGTCAGTCGGAGAGGTCTCTTTTCAAAAGCCATCCGCCTAATACATGTATACTATATTAATGTATATACATATATATATATATATATACGGATTCCTAGTGTGTCGATACGCTAGATCACTAGTCTTGCGGCTCGCCAAAATACACCAGCGATTGACGATGCCTTCTACCGTCCAAATGGGACATCATATCAACTCCAGCCCAGTTTTCATCCACACTCGACGGAACCGGAGCCGACGGCCCGCGCTCGGAGGGCGGGAGAAGAGTTCTACTAGACAACTCTCGCGTTTATGTTCGTTTCCTTCCGTTTGTTAGTGGTAGAGTCCATCTAGGCCGGATTAGCGCCCACTGAGCTATTTTAGATATTCCGTTAGAGCCTCGCGATTCGTCGTCTTCGCGACCCCGTGTTTATGCTCAGACGGGCTCGAAGCCTGAACCCGCGAGTATCAGCGACGCCACCATCCAGATGGACCATAACGCCGTTGTTCTATTCACAATCGACCGACTTGCCCGTTCTCCGCGGACGACGGTGCGTACGCGGGGCACTGGAAAGGCCCCAGACCCGTGAGTTATAGAATAAATTTGCGTTTCAGGCGCTTCGGTTGTGGGACGGGCCAGATAACCGGGCTGAGCGCCTACTACATTGCTCGAGACCCCACGATGCTCCGCGCGGCTCGGCCAACTCCCGAGCCCACATCTTGTTAATTTTGGCTTCAGGCTCAGACCTGCGACCATCAGCCCGTGTACCTTCACCATGGACCATGACGCGATCATTTGTTCCATGATCGACCGACTTGCGCGAGGTCCAGATCAAGATGTTCACGTCCCGAGCGTGGTCGGCCCAAAGTACCCTTCTCGTGGTGTAGATGTCCTATACTTGTAGTTGACTATCGTTGGGTTAGTATGGGGTCCGACGAGACCGCTACGGCGACTACTGGGGGCCCTCGGGTAATTGACGTTTTTGACGGGAACGGGGCGCCATCGGGTCCAAATTGCACACTTTTTTCGGGGGCAGATCGGCTCCTGGCGGTCTCTCGGGGTAGGTCTGGTAGAGGGTAGTCGCCTGTCCCGCATACGCCATCGATGCAGCAGCCTAGTGCTCTCGGGGAGCTCTGGAAGCCATTGCCAAGTAATTCATGCTAAATCTCCGTGGGCTGCTGAGAGAAATCGACCAAAAATGCTTGAAGCGGCGGCGCTCGCGGTGTAAGCGCTTGCACGTGTATAGTACCGACCCTAGGCGACCCCAGGGAGACCTGTTTGGCAGGGATTGACAGGATTAAACCGGCGCGGCCGCCATGGTGCGATCGTCAGTCGGAGCCGCGAATTAAAAAATAAATTGTTTTGGACCCCAGTACGTGTCCCATTGATCTCTTTGGACCCGTAGCGAACTGAACGATACTCAAACAGCTGCATGTCGATGTGTCGCGTTTGCTAGTGTCTTACCGGCCGCTAGCTCGTCCAGCTCCGGGCCGGCAGAGCTGGCGCGCAGTGTAGTAGTGCTGTCAAGACTGACAGACGTGGAGAGGAGCAATGCGACCGCTCGCGACCATGCTCATGCTGCGCTGCACGGCAGCGCTCGTGCCGAGGGCTCTCCCGCGGGTGAGCACGCGCCTGCTCTCGACGCAGACGGACGGCGTGACGGGCTGTGTGGAAATCAAATTTACGGCGCGTTCGTCCTGAATCGCCGCGTCGACCTCCACGCCATCGACGCGACGCCTGCTCGATAGCGTGGCGGTGTCGGTTCCTCACCGCTCGACGGAGCCAGCGCGGCCATGTCGTCGCCGAGAAATGACTTAGTGAAGAATTATCGGGTACACCCGACCCACTGGTTGATTTCCACACAGGTGACGGGCACCAAATTCGAGGAACCCGACGAGAAGAAGAACCCCCAGCGCCGGGGCGGCCACCAGGTCAAGGGCATGAAGGAGGTCGACCCGGAGACGGCGAAGCGCATGGAGGCGGTCCGCGAGCACCAGTCGAACTGCCCGCGCCTGCCCTGGGCCGACGAGATCCGCACGATGGCGGCGCAGCCGCGCGGCTTCGCGTCGCTCTCGACGGTGTCGTGCGCCGAGGGCATCGAAGGCTTCCCGTCCGGGTCCGTCGTCGGCTTCGCGACGCTCGACGACGGCACGCCCATCTTTTGTTTTTCGGCTATGAGTGGTCACACGAAGAATCTGCTCGCGGACTCTCGGGCGTCGCTGACGGTGACGGAGCCGGGCTTCGAAGGGGCAGCGGATGCTCGAGCCGTCTTCACGGGCCGCGTCGTCCCCCTCAAGGCGGAACAGGCCGACGCCGCGCGCGAGGCCTACATCAAGGCGCACCCGACGGCCTTCTGGGCCCAGTTCGGCGACTTCAAGATGTACGGCATGACGGAGATGCTCGACGTGAGCTTCGTGGGCGGCTTCGCGCGCGCCGGCGGCGTCACGGTCGACGAATACTTGGAGGCGAGCGTGGACCCGTGCCTGGCCTTCTCCGAGCCGGTCATGGGCCACATGAACGGCGACCACGGGTCCTCTTTGAAACAGTACGTCGAGGTGCTCGTGGGCTGCGCGCCGGTGAAGAGCGCGCGCATGAAGCGGCTGGACCGGCTGGGCTTCGACGTGCGCGTCGAGGACGCGGAGAGCGGCTCGACGGGCGTGCTGCGCGTGCCCTTCGACGAAGAAGTCACGGAGCGGAAGAAGATCAAGGACGCGATCGTGGCCCTCTCGAAGAAGTGCGCCGCCATCAACCCCGACTGGCGGCCGCACGGCTCCGAGGAGGAGTGATTGCTAAGAATATTTGTATGACAGACCTACGCCCCACCACTCCTCGCCACCAGCGCGACCGTCGCGACGGCCGCGCCCTTCCGGCCGCCGAACTCGAAGGTCGGGTAGGGCACGCGGTCCCTCTCGACGAATCCCCGCGCGGTAAATAGGGCGGAGACCTCGTCGGCCGTCGAGTTGCACGTCGTGATCACGAACACGCCGCCCGGCTTCAGCGCCGCGAGCACCGACGCCGCGTAGCGGTCCACGCTGGCGGTCGCCCCGAGCATGTACGCGTCGAAGGTGCCCTTGTCGAGCACGAGGCCGAACCGCTCCTCCAAATCCTCCAGGCGCGTCGCGTCGGCGTGGCAGAAGCGGACCTGGCTCAATCCGCGCTTCTGCCCGACGTTGGCCGCGAGCGCGACGGCCACCTCCGAGTAGTCGATGCCCAGGAAGCGCCCTTCCCGGTTCGCCGCCAGATCCAAAAGGAACACGGCCGAGCCGCAGCCGAGGTCGAGGACGCCGTCCTCCAGAGGACAGTTCTCCGTGACGTACTCCATCAGCCGGTCGCCGACGTCATCCGAGAACCAGTCCACGCCCTCGTCGCTCGGGTCGTGCGCGAAGTTGCGCAGCTCGCGCTCGTAGACGCCGTCCCAGTGCGCGCGCGTGCCGAGCTTCGACTCGAGCGCCGTGACGCCGTCGGCGCGCTCGCCGGCGTCCGTGTCCAGCGCCTCGACGTGCTGTTCCCACGCCTGGCGGGCGGCGGCCCAGTCGAGCGTTTGCTGCTTGTCGTCGGCGCCGAGTTGTGAGGCCATATGGCGCGTTTTTGAGGCGCAGAGCTGGCAATTTGACCTTCCAAGCGGTGTTGTTGCAACACAGAACGGCTGCTGCGACTTGTACGCGCGATGCACCAATGTGACGCTCAGGGCCCCCCTTTTGCAGCCTAGATAAAAGACACTAGACTCAAACCCGCGCAACCCCTTGGACTGCCCATCTGTCTGGTACTCGTCCTAACAGGTACCGCGCCCCGTAGGACTCGAAGACAGCATGGTGCTGCTGCCACTCAGTAATGACAAGCTCAGTGCAGGGCCAAAAACCGGGCGTCCTGTGCGGCATCGCTGGTGATTCGGACGGCGTCGGCTCAGCATTCATTGTGCTTGTTGGCGTCGAAGCAGTTGCGAGAGTTTTAACCGACGCCGACCTTCTCAAACCAGACCTCTAAAGCTGCCGTCAGAGTGCAGTGAAAAAACACCCTCGGCCCGACCGATCGCTGCCGGCGGCGCTGCCAAAATGGCGGCTCACAGAGTGCTCTCCTTGGTAGCACTCCTCGTCGCACCAACCACCGCACTGAGCTACGACCCGGCGCGGTCGCTCGCGCCGCTGCACCGCCTGCTCTTGCAGCGCACGGTGCAGACGCAGACGGTCTATCTGACGGACTTCCACGACGAGGCCAAGGCCCAGTGGCTCGCGAACTACCTGGACCCGCAGGCGCCCATGGACACGGTGCGCATGTCGAACACGGAGTGTTTGCCGCGCTACAACGGTTTGGACGGCTTCCCGCACGCGACGAACGAAGAGTACCTAAGGACGATGATCCGGAGCGAGCCCATCACCTACGAAGTCCGGTACAAGGTCGGGACCTGGGCCGGCGGCAACCAGGGCACCGGCGGCGCGGTCGGGCCCTCGGAGGAGCCCGCGGCGGACGAGGCCTTCCGCAAGGGCATGGAGCAGAAGCAGACCTTGGACTTCTGGGGCGGCTCGAACAACGCCGCCGCCGCGAGCACGCGGCGGAACAACCCGTTCCTCGGCGAGCACACGGCGAAGTACCGCGAGTACGAGGAGACGATCGTGCCCTCGCGCTTCGCCCAGCTATTGATGACGACGCAGCAGCAGCTCGCCAAGGAGTGGCGGCGGGACCTCTGCGCCATCTACGACGGGTCGCTAATCCTGCCGCGCGACCCCGACGCCGACGAGGCGCAGGCCATCGCGGCGGAGCAGTCGCTCTCAGTGCACAAATCAAATTGGCGGGGCGCGCCTCTTCCACGCCATCGACGCGACGTCAGCACGACGGCGTGGTGGTGTGGTCTCTCGCCGCTCGTGAACCCGACTCACTGGTTGATTTATGCACAGGTCGCTCTACGCGCGCGTGATTCGCGACAAGGCCATGGGCGAGGACCCGGACGAGCTCGGGCGGTTCGCGACGTCTCCGCTGCGGGCCGCGAACCTGGATCTGTGCGAGCGGCTGGCGACGCGCGTGGCCGCGCGCGAGCTTTGCGTGGACGGCGACCTGTCGCCGGCCCAAGCGCGACGCCTGGAGGAGTGCCTCGAGCGCCTCGAGAGCAGCGAGCCGGCCGAGCCGGAGGCCGGGCCGACGGACGACATCCACGCGGCGCTCGCCGCGAAGCTTGAAACCATGACGCGCGTCGACGCCTTGGGCGGCCACGCGCGACGCCGCGGCCTCGCGCGGCGGTGGCTCGAATCGCTCGAGGACGAGGCGCTCGCGGACGTCGTCCGCCGCCGCCGGAACGAGCTCGCGCGGCACTGGGCCGAGTCCGTCGTGGACGAGGTCGCCGCGACGCACGCGCTGCTGCTCCGGGAGTCGCTCGAGAGCCAACTCTAACTTATTATAAATGTTACTAGTATAGACACCATGTGATTACTCAGGCGGTCACGAACATCTTTTCCAGCTGGAAGGTCCCGTAGATCACGGGCCACATCGCCAGCAGCGGCCACGACGCGAGGAGCGCCTCGCGCGGCAGCTCGAAGGACAGCTTGTTCTCGTCGAACTGGTCCTCGTTCTCGAGGTCCGCGTTCAGCGACGCGTCCAGCTCGAACTCGCGCGTCAATTCGATCTCGAGCGTCGGGTCGACGCCGAACGGCTCGACGACCTCGAGCACCTCGGCGTCCTCCTCGAGGCCCCGCTCCGCCAGGCGCGCCTCCTTGTCGTCGTTCGCGACCTTGGACAGGATCGTGACCCAGACGATCTCCATGACGTCGACCCACAGCAGTTTCAGATCCAACGGCACGAGGTGCGAGAACGAGATGCAGTGCACAAAGGGCCAGAAGCGCCACGAACTCCGCAGCGCCGGCCACGACGTCGCCTGGACGTCCTTCCAGACCTCGCGCGGGTCCCGCAGCGCAAACGTGCCAATCAGGAAGGAGTAGCACGCGTTGAGGTAGAGAGACCACACGGTCTGGTCCGCCAGGACCTTGACCCCCGTCCCGTACCAGGCCCCGTCAAAGTCCAAATAAGTCTCCATGAAGACCTGTGTGGAAATCAAATTTCGGACGCCCCACGCCATCGAACTACATCTGCTCGTTGATTTCCACACGGATGAAGACCATCCAGTAGTGGCAGAGCGGGCCGTGGCCCACGAAGCCCGCGGCGCCCGACCGCGCGGACCGCGCCAGGTCGACGGTCTTCAGGGTCCGGCCCTGGTAGACCTGCGACACGAAGTCGCCCAGCGTGTAGGCGACGCCCGATGTGCAGGCCTTGTAGAAGACGGGGTTCGTCGGCACCAGGGCCTCGTAGCCCCGGATGGAGTCGCCCGGCAGCTTCGCGAGGAGGTCCACGGACGTCGCGAGGCGGTAGGCCAGCGCGTCCTCCATGGGCCGGTCCTCGGGCAGCGTGTACTTAAAGAGCGCCAGAATGGCCTCGACGTCCACGTGGAGCAGCTCGTAGCCGACGCCGATCGCCACGAACGCGAGCACGGCGGCGTTCACGTACGCGATGAGGTTGAGGCGCTGGATCACGGCCAGCCGGTCCGCGGCGGCCTGGCGCCGCGCGGCCTTCATCTCGCGCTCGTAGGCGGCGTCGTCGTAGTCGACGCCAGTATCCGCGGCCAGCGCCGTCGACGGCCGGTCGCCGGCCGCGTCTTTCACGGCCGCGAGCACGGGAGTCCTCCTTCTTGCCGTTGGTCGCGCGCGCTGGCACGGCGTTGGGGCGAGGCCGTCCGCGGCCAGTATTGCGCAGGCGACGAGTACTGTTGTGAGTTTCCGCTTTTGCAGCAGCAGCATCATGCTGACCCACGGCAGCAATGAGATAGCTCTTTCCTCGTTCTTTTTCTACGATCGCCGAGCGATATCAGTTGCACACTACGAATTGCTGTGATAGCGTATCCTTACGCGGTGTGACGAAGGTATGACTCCGCTGTGTGTCGACAGTGGCGCATGATGAGGTGCTGGCTGATTGGCCAGTCAACGAAACCACGACTCCGTCCGCGAAGTAGATTACTCTGGCTGACGTCGCACAGGCCCAAGCGGACTCGCGGCTTTTTCTGCTAGCTAACAGCGCGACGCGCGCTAAAAGGCACTCATACAAAACAGACTAACTCGCTGCTAGCTAACTAGCGCGACGCGCGCGAAAGGCACTCATACAAAACAACTAACTGGAGAGGGGCAAACACGCGCTCCCCACGGCCGTGAACCCGCCGTCGACGGCGAGGTCCTGGCCGTGGACCATCTTGCACTCGTCCGACAGGAGGAACAGGACGGCGTCGGCGACGTCGGAGGGCTCGGGGAATCGTCCCAACGGGATGCGTCCGAGCATCGGCGCCGATTTAGCTGGATCCGCCCACGCCTGGCGGCCCATGTCCGTCATGGTGACGGTGGGGCTCACGGCGTTGACGCGGACGCCGAGCAGACCGAGCTCCAACGCCATGCAGCGCGTCAGCTGATTCAAGGCGCCTTTGGACGAGCAGTAGGCCGCCCGGTGGGGCATGGCCCAGCGCCCCGACGGCACGGACGAGATATTCACCACCGCTCTTCCACTTGGAGACGGGTTCGCCGCCCAGAGTTTGGCGACAGCCTGCGTCAGGAACATGGGACCGCGCACGTTCGTCGCGTAATGCGCGTCCCAGTCCTCCGGCGTCACCTCCAGAAACGGCGTCGGCCGCGCCACTCCCGCGCAGTTCACGACCAGATCAATACGCCCGAAGGCGTCCCACGCCGTCTTGACGCCCTCGCGGCACGCTTGCGCGTCGGCTACGTCTAGGGCGAAGCCGCTGAAGGAGTCCTTGAAGCTGTTGTTCAGCTCCGCGAGCGATTCCACCGAGCGCGCCACGCCAAAGACGCGGCAGCCCTCCTCGACGAGCTGGACGCAGACCTGTCTTCCTATTCCCCTACTCGCGCCGGTGACCAGCGCTACTTTGCCGTCGAAGCGCCTGGCGTCGACCTGGCTGGCCGAGCTGGACTGCTGGAGCATCCTGACTGTGAACAGTGTTTGCTCTGTAGTCGTCCAAAAAAGACCGCTTTTAAGCACGGCTGAAATACAAAATAGTCACAGACTGGGCGGGGAAAGTACAATGTCCCGCGTAGGGTAAGTCTTTGCCCAAAATAATCGATAGCGTCAGTAACACACTAGGTTAGCAACAAGCTTTTACCTGGGCCAGCCAATCACCAGTCCTGGGAAACGCTTAGGCCCTTTTTTGGGCGTCTATGCATTGGGGCTAGAGTTTGCGGCCTGCTCTTACGATTTTAACAGCTACTACCACCAGAGAGCACGCCGTAACAAAAGCTTGCATCGGCAGCGTTGCAGAAAAAGATGCAGCAATAGCACAGGGCACGCATGCGCCTGATGCGCCTCGGCCGCCTGCTCTCGTTCATGTCGTCGCGTGCGAGGGTGCTCCCACCAGCCTCGCTCACGGCCGCGATCGAGTCGCTGCCGGCGGCGCCGGAGAGCGTGGCGGCGCTGGCAAGGGTGCGGGCCGCGCTCGACGACGACGACGGCATCGACGCGGACGAGCAGCTGGCCGCCGCGGCCGCGGCGGCCGCGACGGCGCTGGAGCGGGCGGCGCACCGCCACGGCAAGCGCGGCTGGACGACGCTGCGCGACGCCGCGCGGCCGGCGGCCGCCTCACCTGCGGCGGCCTGCGGGCTGGGGGCCGCGCTCGCGCTGTGGCGCGACCGGCGGCAGAACACGACGGCGCCGCACGGCGATGCCGCGCCCTCGCGGGCGGCGGCGGCGGCGCTGTTCGCGAGCGTCGACGCGCCGCTCGCCGGCGCGGGGCCCGTCGTCGACGCGCTGCTGCCGCACAAGCCGGACCTGAAGATCGTCGCCGGCTTCGCGCGGAGCGCGCGGTGCGACGTGGAACCCGCCAGGGCGGCGGCGGCCGTGCGGCGCGAGGTGCTGAGCACAGACCCGCCGCCGCCGCGCGACGCGATCGGGGGCGCGCTGGCGCTCGCCGCGGAGGTCGGCGCCTGGGACGCCGCGTGCCCGCCGGCCGCGCTCGTGACCGTCGCGGCGGAGGCCGGGCTCTGGGCCGCGGCCGAGGGCCTCGTCAAGGCGGCGCGCGACCGCGGCGACGCCGGCGCCGCGCCGGCGGCGGAGACGCTCGTCGACGCCTGCCTCGAGCGCGGCCTGCACCGCCAGGCCGACACGCACGCGTCGCAGTTCTCCGACCTCTGCGGCGCGGGGCGCCTCGTCGAGGCGCGCCTGCGCCACGGCGAGGACACTATCCGCAAGGTCGTGAAAAAACAACAATTCCAGCTCGTGGAAAAGGTCGTGGCGGGCGTCGACCGGGCCGCGCGGCAGAATAAAGACGTGGAGGCGCGGCGGCGCGTCCGCGCCGTCGCGCTCGAGGTGCTCGCGGAAGCGTCGGAGCGGGCGCTCGCGCGGGACCTGCGCAACACGTGGGCGGCGCGGGACGGCGTCGAGGTGGACCTGGGCTTCGCCGACACGGGCGACCTGGCGGTGCTGGACGCGGCGGCGCGGCGGGCCAAGTACGTGCAGTGGGACGAGGTCCTGCCGGCGGTGCCGGAACTTATTGACGACGCGACGCGCCTCGACGCCGCGGTCGACGAGTTGGGCGCCGGGCCGCGGGCCTTCGACGTGGAGTGGTCCGACAGGGCGGGCGCCGCGCTTTTGCAGCTCGCGACGAAGGAGGGCGCCGTCATCCTCGACGTGCCGCGGCTCTGCGCGTCGCGCGAGGGCTGCGCGGCGCTGCGGCGCGCGTTCCGGGGCGCGCCGCTGCTGGGCTTCGGCTGCTCGCAGGACCTCGCGCGGCTCCGCGCGACGCCGGCGGCCGCGCCGTGGGTCGACGCCGACCAGGAGGTCTACGACCTGCAGACGGCCCTGACGCAGAAGCGGGGCGGGCCCGGCCTCGCGGCCGCGGCGAAGGCGTACCTGGGCAAGGCCCTCGACAAGTCGCAGCAGTGCTCCGACTGGGACGCGCGGCCCCTCTCCGAGGCGCAGCGCGCATACGCGGCGCTGGACGCCGTCGCCGTCTTGCTGATCCACGAGAAGCTCCGGAGCGTCGACGACGCCATCGAGAAGCTCCGGCGGATCCCGCCGAGGTAGGTAGCACATTAAATTAGTTAAAAATCTCCCCGGAGTCAGCCGAGGCCCTCCCAGCCGCCCCGGTTCCAGTCCTCCTCGTCGGAGTCGACCTGGGCGCTCCGTTTGGCGTCGCAGGCGGCCGCCGTCGAAAGGGCGAGCGTCGCGAGGTCGACGCGCGGCGCGTCCGGCCCCTCGAAGAAGCGCGCCCCGAGCGCCTCCGCCGCCGTCGCGCGCCGCGTCGGCTCGAGCACGAGGATGGTCCCTATCAGCTCGAGCGCCGCCGCGTCGGCCCGCGGGCAGACCTCGGCGAGCGGGAGGGGCTCCATGGCCTTGAAGCAGATCTTCGGAAAGTCCGGCGTCGCCGCGGCGGACGGGAACCGCTCGGCCGTTGGCGAGCCCATCTTTTTGAAGACGACGAGGAGCTGCTCGATGTCGCTGCGGCCCTCGAAGAGCACGTAGGCGTGCAGGATTTCCGCCAGGACGACGCCGACGGCCCAGAGGTCGATGGCCGTCGTGTACGAGCGCGCGCCGAAGAGCAGCTCGGGGCTCCGGTACCACCGCGTGCTGATCTGGTGCGAGAAGTCGCTTTTTTCACCCTCCTTTGCGACGAGGGGCCGCGCCTGGCCGAAGTCGCCGACCTTGAGGACGCCGGCGTCCGTGATCATGAGGTTGCTCGGCTTGACGTCGCGGTGGCAGAGGGCCCGGGCGTGGATTTCGCCTGCGCGCGGACGGACGGCGTGAGTTGTTCGCCCTCCACGCCGTCGACGCGGACCGGTGGTCAATCAGGGACGCGGGCCACGGACGCAGCCCCAGCAGCGCCATGCGCGTCCAGGCCCGCGCGACGGGCGCGTCGAGGGGCGCCTTGCGCACGTCCATGACGCTCTTGAGGTCCGTCGCGCAGAACTCGAGGACGATCGCGATGTTCGGCCCGCGCGGGAAGTGCGCCACGTACTGCGTCACGTGCTCGACGCCGACGAGCTCCCGCAGGCACCAGATCTCCCTGAGTAAGCCCTTGGGGACGCTCTCGCCGTCGTCGCGCTCCGCGCCCGGCACGCCCGACAGCCGTGCGAGCTTGACCGCCACGCGCGCCTGCGTCAGCCGGCAGAAGCCCTCGTGGACGTCGCCGAAGGCGCCGCCGCCCACGTTCCTTCGTAGTTCAAAGCGCCGCTTGTCCGGCAGGTCGCCGATGCCGCTGCCGGGGACTTCGGGCGCCTCGCCGCAGCCCTCGAGGATGTCCTCCTGGAGGGCCGGGCTGTGGTCCTCGGCGTAGGTCTCGCTCTTGCAGTCGTCGTCCGCGAGGCTACTCATCGCACACTGCTCAATTACTCTGTGGGCCTCTCACTCTGTGCTACTCACGTTTGCGCACGCCTTGCAGAGCACGCGACAGCGGCAGGCGTGCGGCAAAATGCTTTTTCTTCACTCTTAGGCCGCACTTGGCCTTTAGAACTGCTCCTATGGCCCCTATGGCCCCAAAAGGTAAATAGAGCCAAATCGCGCGTTTTTTTTTTGCAAATTAACGGGTTTCTTTCGCGAAAAAAAATCAGTGCATTACGCACTAGCCCCATCACCCCATCTCAAAAGTCAAGACGATAGCACACCTGTGGCCCCCACCCCACGCCCGCAGCGTAGCACCTGCGAGAGGCTGGCTTATGACCTGCCAGAGGGACGGATGCTAGAATGGACTTCACTCGGTCTCAGACTAAGCAATTTTCCTAGTTTTTGTTTAGGCTTGTGGCATGGGCCTGTCTGCACCTCTGGTGCCGGACTTGTGGCGGGAGGGCTGGGTCACGCGCCGTCGCAAGCTGGGATAGGGGGTGCTCTCCAAGCCAAAGGGCGCGGAGTCGCTCTCGACAAAAGAGCCTCTGCGCGGCCCAAATTGCCATTGCACGAGCCAACGCCACAGCGCCCTCAACTTCATCAATTTACTGTGCCGCCCGCGCCAGAAACGCGGCGCTTCGCGCAGCATTTCCCAGCGATTACAGGATTTTAGGCGGGCCCGCCACAGCCGCCAAAAGTAGCCAAAACGCTAGCAAACCCTCCCGAAAAAAAACTCAAAATGGCCGACAACAACAACGACGACCGCCGCCGGCGCCACCTGCGCCGCGCCCTCAAGCAGGCCGCGCAAGCGGCGCCGGGCGGCCGGCGTTCGAACGAGGGGCCGGCCGAGGGCCCCGGCAGCCGCACCCGGAGCCGCTCGGCGAGCGTCACGGACGACCAGAGCCGCTCGGCGAGCGTCGCGGACGAGCCCGCGCCGGCGGGCGAGCCCGCGTGCTTCCAGGTCCTCGAGAACGCGTCGGGCGTCGCCGCCGAGGTCGCCGCCGCCGCCGACGCGGCGAGCCTCGCGCAGCTCGGCGCCTCGTCCATGCGCGCGCGGGCCGCGGCCCTCGGCGCCTCGGCCCAGCTCGCGCGGCGGCGCCACGGCGTCGCGCTGCCCGAGATCGCGTGGACGACGGACGTCGCGCGCGACGGCCTCGCCCAGCGGCGCGTGGCCCTCGCGACGGGCGCGCCGGCGCCCGACGAGACGCCGCTGGAGCTCCTCCGGTTCCTCGAGGCGCGCGACGCGGCCGAGCAGCGCAAGGGCAAGATCTTCGCCGCCTTCTCGGCGCGGCACGCGGTCTTCGTCGACGGGCGGGGCGCGGCCTTCGCCTGCGGGCGCGCCGAGGACGGCCGCTGCGGCCTCGCGACGCCGGCCCTGGATCGGTGCGAGGCGGGCGGGTCCGGCGCGCTGCTCTCGCCGACGCCGCTGCGCATCGACGCGCGCGCCGCCTTCGAGCGCGGGGCCTCGCCGCCCGCGTCGCCGCCGCCGCGCGCGGCCGCGGCGCCGCCGTCGCCGCCGCCCGAGCCCGCGTCGCCGCGGCGCAAGGCGCGCCGCGGCGCCGACGGCCGCCCGGCCGAGGCGACGCCGACCTGGGGCCCGACGCCGCCGGCGCGCGGCGCCGCGGGCCGCGCCGGCGCGCTCGCGCCGCCCAAGCTCCGCGGCAGCGCGACGTACCGCGTCGACGTCGAGGACGCGGCGCCGCGGCGCCTCACCGCCGGCGCGCGCCGCTCGCCGCCGCGGCGCAAGACGCGCGCGCGCCGCCCGGCCGAGGTCACGGTGGAGCACGAGGACCGCGTCGTGGCCGTCGCCGCGGGCGCGGGCCACTCGATCGTGCTCAGCGCCGCGGGCGTGGCGTCCTGCTGCGGCCGCGGCGCGCCGCGGTCGCCGGCGCCGGCCCTCGCGCTCTCCTTCGACGACCTCGGCGGCTCGGACGACGACAGCGACGAGTCGGACGTGTCCTCCGTCTCGGACTCGGCCTCGTCCGGCGACGAGGCGCCGGCCCGCGCCTGGGTCGGCCGCACGCGGTCCGCGCGCGGCCGCGCGCCCATGAAGCGCGCGCGCAGCGCCGGGCGCTCGCCCTCGTCGGCGCGGTCGTCGCTCGCGTGGGCCGCGCCCGTCGCGGCCGTGCCCCGGGCCCTGGGCCTCGGCCCGCGCACGCGCATCGTCGTCGTCTCGGCCACGGCGAACCACGCCCTCTTCGTCACGGCGGGCGGCCGCGCGCTCTCGTCGGGCGTCGGCGCGTTCGGCCGCCTCGGCCACGGCGACGAGGCCGACGCGCCGGCGCCGCGCCCCGTGCGCGCGCTGCGGCACGTGCGCGTCGTCGCGGCCGCGGCCGGCGCGGCGCACTCGCTCTTCGCGGCGGCGGGCGGCGACGTCTACGCGTGCGGCCAGGGCGAGGACGGGCGCCTCGGCCTCGGCCGGCCGCGCGACGAGGACCTTGGCGACGACGCGTCGTCCGACGACGCGACGACGCGCCTCCGTAGGGCGCCGCCGCGCCGCGCGTCGTCGGGCCGGCGCGCGCCGCCGCCCTCGGTCCTGCCGCGCGGCCGGACGGCGGACCGCGGCGGCGACGTGCTGGCCCCGCGCCGCCTGGCCCGCGTCGGCGGCGCGCGGGGCGTGCGCGACGTCGTCGCCGGCGCGCACCACTCGCTCCTCGTGACGCACGCGGGCGGCGTGCTCTCGTGCGGCCACAACGCGGCCGGCCAGCTCGGCCACGGCTCGCAGCGGTCCTTCGCCCCGGAGCGCGTGCCCTTCCCGGGCGACGACCGCACGGTCATCGTCGGCGCCGCCGCGGGCTACGCGCACAGCCTCTTCGTCGACGCGACCGGCCGCGCGTTCGCCTGCGGCTCGAACGCGCGCGGCGCGCTCGGCCTCGGCGACCACGTGGACTCGGCCTACCGCCCGGCGCGGACGCCGCCGCCCGGCTCGCGGGCCGCGCGCGCGCTCGGCGCCGTCGCGCGCGTCGCCGCGGGCGGCGCGTCGTCGGCCTTCCGTGCCGCCGCGGGCGACGGCGTCTTCGTCGTCGGCGCGAACACGGACGGCCAGCTCGGCCTGGGCCACTTCTCCGACGTCTACGTGCCGACGGCGCGCCCGCGGCTCTGACCCCGCTCTCCTCTTGTTAGCGCCCCCACCCGGCTGCCACCGCCTAAGAGACTACTACGCAGTTCCCCATCAATGGTCTACTTCGACTGCGAACTCCTTATGAGCGCTGGGGAGAGAGGAAACGACACGCGGGGTAAGAGGACGATGTGGGGGTGAACAGTGCAGGAGGAACATGACGGCCCTGAAGAAGACCGTTCGGACCCGGAGGGGCGTGGAGCCCACGGGCCGGCCCGCCCGACGTGAGGTCGAGCTGGGGAAGGAGAGCACGAACGAACTCGTCCATCGGTCGGCTCGGCCGCGAGGAAGATCGCGAGCGCCTCCGTCTGCGCGGCCGGGGCCGTCGGGTCCCGCACGACCGGTTGCCGCGGCCGCGCTCGTGAGCACGTGTGAACGACGCTATGATTTCCGCGGCGCTGCTCTTGGCAGCACGCGACGCACGTCGGCTCGAACGGGAGCGGCGCGCGCGCTACGTCGGTCAGGATGTCGGCCATGCCCCAGGCCCGGCCTTCGCTGCTGGGCCCCCGCTCCACCCGGAAGGTGCAGCCGGTCCAGTCGTCGCGCGCCTCGTTCTTGTGGTTGTTCTCGTCCGTCGCCATGGTCCTCTGCGCCGCGCTTGCGCCGTAGACGGCCGCCGCCCCAGATCGTTCTGCGCTCTGCGATTTTTTTGATTCGCAAAGGGGCCTGGCGCCCCCCGGCCGGGTCCGCGGCGCGGGCGCGGCCCGGGAGGGCTCGGGGGCCTTGGGGGAGGCAATACTACGAAGTTTCTAGTCGCCGGAGGCGTCGGGGACCCGTCAACGCGCACGCGCGGGCGGCGGCCCCAAACCCATTACACGGCTCCATCGCCGCGACAGACGTCCGGCGCGCCAGGAAACAAACTAGGCATTACTCACGCGGCTCTGGAAGTCCTCCCAGCCGTCCCGCCGCTCGCGCTCGGACATGTCCTTCGCCGTCGTCGAGTCCGCGGCCTTGGAGGACTTGAAGCCGGCGCCCGCGAACATAGCCATAACGTCATCCTTCTTGCTCCCGCCGCCCGAGAGCGCCGCGGCGGCCGCGGCCGCGGCCTGATCCCGCGCGGACCGCGGCACCATGCGCGGTGCCTGGCGCGCGGCGCGCGGGACCATCCCGGCCGGGGCGCGGGGCTGTCGACGCGGCGGCGGCGGCGCCCCGCCACCGCCCGCCGCCGCGTTCATGCGGAGCACCTCGCCCGGCGACGGCAGGCCCACGTGCTCGGCCGGCGCGGCCGGTGCGGCGCCGTCGTCGAACGTGTACGACGTCGCGTAGCCGGGGGCCGTCACGTCCATCAGGTCGACCTGGCCGCGGTTGCCGCCGGCCTGGCGCTGGCCCAGGCACCGGGCCTTCATGTCGCGCCGCGCCTGGCCGACGAGGCCGTCCCAGGGGTTCCGCTTCTTCTGTTTCTGCCGCCCCTGGGTCGGCGGCGGCGGCGGCGGGGGGGCCTGGGGCGGCGGCGGCGCCTCGCCTCGCAGGCTCGCGAGGCGCGCGGCGACGTCGGGGGGCAGGCCCGCGTACGCGTCCTCGGCCGGCGGGTCGGCGGCGGCCGGCGGGGGCGGCGCGGCGGCGGCCGGCGGCGGCGCCCGGCCCCGCGGCGGCGGCGCGGCGCCCGGCGGCGCCCCGCCGTCTTCGAGGTAGTAGCCCGTGCGGCCGCGCCGCGTCGTGAAGACGTAGCCCGGGCGCGCGCCGAGGTAAGTGGCCGCGGCCACGAAGCGCTCGCGCGGCGGCGGCGGCCCGGGGTAGCGCCAGGTGGAGGCGCCGCGCGCCGCGTCGAAGAAGTAGTAGGCCCACGCGTCGACGTCCCAGGTCGCGACCCAGCCGGGCGGCACCTCGGGGCACGGCGGCTTGCGCTCGGCGGGCCGGTACTGGTCGGCGGGCTCGTCCCAGGTCGACTCGCCCGTCGCGTCGTTGTGGTAGTAGCGCGCGCCGGTTGCGGGGTCCTCCCACGCGGCCCACGGCAGCGTCGCCGCGACGCGCGGGTCGAGCGTCAGCTCCGCGAGGGGCCGCGTGACGCCGTCCTCCGAGACGTAGGCGAGGCACCGCTCGCTCCGCGGCGCGAAGCACCGCGGGCACTCGTAGCGGATGCGCTTGACCTCCTCCTGGCACTCGGCGCAGCGCCACGCGCCGACCTCGAATGTCCGCCCGGGGGCGAACTGCGCGTCCGTGTCCGGATAGGCCGCGTCCGTGTCGGGGTAGGCTGCGTCGGTGTCCGGATAGGCGCCGTCGGTGTCCGGGTACGCGCCGTCCGTATTCGGGTAGGCGCCATCAGTGTTCGGGTACGCGGCGTCGGCGTCTGGGTAGGCGTCCGGGTAGGCCCCGTCGGTATTCGGGTAGGCCGGGCCGGCGGGCTCGTCGACCTGCTCGACGCGCGGGCCGGCGTAGTCCTGCGGCACCTCTACTTCGGCGTCCGAGTCGTCGTCGCTACTGCTGCCGCTGTAATCGATGAGGGCGTTCATCGCTCCTGTCTGTGCGCAGCGCAGCAGACCGCTGAAAGACTGGTGTCCGAGGCGATCGCTATGTGGGCGCGCGCGTTGTTGAACAATGCAAATCGAGCAGCGTTACTGCTCAACCGCTGCTCGCGCCCGCGACGTGTGCCGCACGGGCTTTGAGCCTCACGAAATGCCTGCAGCTGAGCCAGCCTCTGCCAGCAAAGGCGCACAGCGCTTGGAAGGCTCCAAGCGAGCAGCTTGCCAAGCAATGCGATGAATCAATCGAGGAGAGCCGTGCGACAAACGTTCGACGCGTAACCGCACGCTGGGGCAAAAACACGACTGCCAGGCCAGCATGCTGCGGGTGGCCCTGGCGCGGCGACGCGTCGCGACAAAGGTCGTGGTCAGCGGCGGCGGCCCGGCGGGCCTCGTGACCGCGCTCGCGCTCGGCCGCGCCGGCACGCCGTGCGCGCTCGTCGAGCCGCGGACGGCGCCGTCGGCCCACCCGCGCGCGCACGTGCTGACGGCGCGCACGCTGGAGATCTGCGAGGACCTGGGCCTCGGCGACGCCCTGCGGCAGATCGCGCCGCCGCTCGAGCGCTGGCGGCGGTTCCGCTACTGCGACCGCGTCGACGGCGCCGACTACGCCGTCGCCGACCACGGCGCCGCGCCGGCCTGGGCGAACCTCGAGGCGGCGAGCGACCAGCGCGTGCAGCACATCTCGCAGCCCGTGTTCGAGGCGCTGCTGCGCCGGGCCGTGGCCGACGCGGACGTCGAGACGCGCTACGGCCGGCGCGTCGTCGACGTCGGCCTCGGTGGTGACGGCGTGGCCTGCGTCCTCGACGACGGCGCGACCCTCGGCGCGGAGTACCTCGTGGCAGCGGACGGCCCGCGCGGCGCCGCGGCGGGGGTCGTGCTCAATGCCGCCACGGATGCCGCGGACCGCGTGCCGGGCGTCGCGCACCACCTCGACGCGCCGGCCCTCCAGCACTTCGTGAGCGTCGCGTTCCGGTCGCGGGACCTCGCGGCGCGGCTCCGCGCGCGGCCGGCGATGCTCTACTTCGTCTTCAACCAGGAGACGACGTCGGTCGTCGTCGCCCACAATCTAGACGAGGGCCTCTTCAACCTCCAGTTCCCCGTGTTCCCGCCCGCGGAGCGGCCCGGCGACGCCGCGGCGCCCCGGAATGTGCGGCGCGAGGTGCGCGCGCTGACGGCGACGCCCCTCGCCGATTTGAAGATCGAGAGCGCGCGGCCCTGGCTCATGCGCGCGCGCCTGGCGGACCGCTTCGCCCTCGACAGCCACAAGGCGTTCCTCGTCGGCGACGCGGCGCACGAGATGCCGCCGAGCGGCGGCTTCGGCATGAACACGGCCGTGGGCGACGCGCACAACCTGGCCTGGAAGCTCGCCCGGGCGAGCGCCGGCGCCGCGAACGGTCGGGACCTGCTCGCGTCCTACGAGCGCGAGCGGCGGCCAGCCGCGGCGGCGAACGTCGCGCTGTCGGTCGATAATTGGAGGCGCGGTCTCCTGATACCGGAGGCGCTCGGCCTGCCGCCGCGGGCGTTGGACCTGGCCAAGGTCGCGGCGCCGACGAGCGCCGCGTTCAAGACGACGACGGCCGCCGCGCGCGCCGCGGTCCTCGCGCGCGCCGCGGCGCCGCACGGCGGCGTGACGGAGGTCGTCGCCGGGCGGCGCGAGCTGCCGCTGTTCTTCCCGCACCACGACCTCGGCCTCCGCTACGACGGCGCGTCCGCGCGCGCCGCGGCGGCCGACGCCGTGGAGCACGCGCGGCCGGGCTCGCGCGCCTACGAGCCGCGCCTCGCCGCGGGCGAGCGCCTGCCGGCGGCCTACGCGCTCGGGTCGCTCGACGCCGGGCGGTACGCGCTCGCCGTGATCGGCGCGGCCGACGACCTCGCGGCGGCGGCGGCTGAAGCGGCCGCGGACGACCGGCTCGCGGGCGTCCTCGACGTGCGGCCGGCGGGCGGCGCCGGCGGCCCGGCGCTCGCGCTCGTGCGGCCCGACCGCTACGTCGCCGCAGTCTGGACCGGCGCCGCGGACGCGGACGCGCTGCGGCGGGACCTCCTGCGCTTGACGTTTTGTGTGTAATATTTATGCGTGTACTTTTTCCTCTCCTGGACCCACGCAACCGAAGGGGCCTACTTTAGCATGTGTGGTTGTTCTACCCGGCGCGAGGCCGCTAGCTCCCGAGAACAGAGGCCGCCGGTGGTAGCCGTTGCTCTTACTGGTGCTAGGACTAGTTGGCGACGAAGGCCCATCGGGAACACTGCGTCGCCAGGATCCCGCACGATAGGATCGATGATCGAGAGCGTCGCGCCGGAAACCGGGCGCCTCGAGCTCTGGCGACGAATTATCGCCCCGCACCACCGCAGGACGTCGGCCGCGACCGCAGCTCACGTCGCCTGCCCCCAGGAGCGGTGCAGCTTGCCTAGCCGCCGCGGCTGCGTGGGGCAGCCGATCGTCTCGGAGAGCAGCAGGCCTTGGACCGAGGATGGCCGACAAATGGACGGCGCCGCGGCCGGACGCGGACGAAGTGCCGTACTGGGGCGTGAACGACTCCTTCGAGGAGGAGGGCGACGACGCCGACGCCGACCTCGACGCCGACGGCCGCAAGAAGCTCACGGTGCGGCAGCAGTGCCTGCGCCTGTTCTCGCTGGTCATCTTCGTCGTCTTGTTCCCGTTCGTTGTTATCGCGCTCGGCGCCTACCGCGCCGCCTCCGTGGTCCGAGGGCTTTTGCGGCGGCGCCGCGTCGAGCGATGATGGGGCGTAAGTGGGATCGTCGTTTTATGTAGTTGAGTGCATATTATTGAAGTAAAACGGAAGTGGAGCGTGCCAAAACCTCGCTAGTGCCTCACCACTCTAGCTAAGGGAGCAGGCTAAGCCGAGCCACGAGCTGAAAGCACTTAGACTGCCAGTTTTGCAGTGCCATTGTAGCGTAAGAGATTGCTGCTTGCTCGTTGCTGACAACTCGCTGCGCAGCACACCACCAGCAGTTTCGCTTCGCATTGGCACCCTGTGCACTCGCGGCGACGGCCGAACAAATCGATGGCCGAGGCGCCGCGCTACCAGCGAGGAGAAAAGTCCTCCGCTGCGGCGCCGCGCGATGCGAAGCGGCAGCGCACACAGCCCTTCGCGGCGCAGACGTGCATGGCGTGCGACGGGCCTCTCGCGGCGTCGACGGCGCCGGACGCCAACGGGCTCCTCCTCTGCGGCCGGTGCGTCAAGTTCAACAACAACGCCAAGCCGCGCAAGCCGCGCGAGAAGGTGGTGCCGCCGCCGACGCGCAAGGAGGCGCTGGCCGAGTACTGGCTCGTCGCGCAGACGCTCGCCGACACGTCCGGCGCGGACGCCGACGCCGTCGCGCGCCTCGCTCCCGTCGAGAAGGTCGACGCGCTGCAGCGGGCCATCGAGGGCTTGCCGACCGCGGGCCCTGCGCGGCGCCGGCGAAAGGGCACGCCAAGGAAGCGTCGGCACGACGGAACTCTCGAGCCGCCAGCGCCGAGCTGAGGGCAGTTTTCTTCTGTGTGTGTAGTTTGTAAGAGGTGTAAATGCTAGCGCCTGTAAGACACTAGAGAGCTCTGGAGGCAGCGCTGCGCAGAGCTCCTTTGCAGTACATGTTAGCTCGCTTGGCATTCGCCGTATATGCTACTGAGTGCAAGATCTCCCACTCAGCACCTGGCTCAGCAGTAGCGAGCTGGCACTCTGCTGCAGTGCAAAATAGACAACAATGAGCGCCTTCGGCATCGACTGGTTCGGCCTCGTCATTCCCGGCCGGCCGATCCTGGTCAACTTCGAAATGGTCGACCCGACGAAGTGCGCCGCGACGATCGAGCGGCCGGGCGACGTCGCCGAGATCTGCTTCTTCCTGACGCCGAGCGGCGCGCAGCTGCCGCCGGACAAGTGCGCGGTGCTCTACCTGTCGCTCGACGGCGCGGCGTGGACGCTGCTGGGCACGCTCTCGCTCGCGAAGCCCTCGGGCCTGTTCCGGCTGCCGAGCGACGACGCGCGGGCCCGCGCGCCGGCGGCGCGGCTCGGCGTCGCGCTCGAGCCCCTGGCGAGCGCGCGGGACCTCGACAGCGCGGCCTCGCAGACGTCGGACCGGCGCCTCTTCGCGCGCGCGATCGCGCGGGACCTCGGCGCGTTCGTCTCGTCGTTCGAGCGGCCGCCCGCGGACGTCGTGGACCGGTGGCTCCGGCGCTTCGACGAGAAGTACGCGCGCGACCCGTCGTACTTTCTCAAGGCGTAATTTAGTATGTGGAATTTTCCTAGTGTGTCACCGCCGCTAGCTCGAGTTTTTGCGGTTTTGTGCGAGCCGCGCGAGGCGCTGGGGCAGTCCGTAGCCGCCTACGGTCTCGCCTCGACACGTCAGTCACCCGAGGCCCACGATATAGTTGTGAGAGAAGACGTGCATGCGCATCCACACGGCACGCACCTATCTCAGCATCCTAGCCTCGGCAGCGGCGAGCACCTGCAGCGCGGCCGATAAAATGAAGGCTGGAGTCGTCTTCCTGCACGGCCTAGGCGACACGCCGGCCGGGTGGTCGGACCTCAAGCACCAGTTGGCGCGCTTCGACGCGCGCCTGAAAAGCCCGGAGATCGAATGGACCTTTCCGGCCGCGCCGACGATCCCTATAACGATCAACGGCGGCGCGACGATGCCGGGCTGGTTCGATCTCTTCGATTGGCCCATCGGCCCCGACGCGAAGGACGACCGCGCGCGCGTGCTGCAGGGCGTCGAAGCCGTGAAGACGCAGATCGCGAAGCTCGAGGCCCGCGGCGTGGCGCCGGATCGTATCGTCGTCGGCGGCTTCTCGCAGGGCGGCGCGATCGCGCTCAACGCCGCCTACCGCCACGACAAGAAGCTCGGCGCCTGCGTGGCGCTGTCGGGCTGGCTCACGCTCAAGGAGGACTTCTCCGGCGACCTCGGCGCGGCGAAGGGGACGCCCCTCTTCTGGGGCCACGGCGTGCACGACGACAAGGTCCTCTTCCCGCACCAGAAGATCGGCGTGGACCTGCTCACGCAGCGCGGCGTCGCCGTCGACGCGTCGCAGTACGCGATGGGCCACGGCGCGCACCCCGACGAGATGGCGAAGCTGGCCAAGTTCGTCGGCGACGTCCTCTTCCCCGAGTCGTAAAATAACCTGACAGAATTTTACGATTGGTGCAGCTGTGCGTCGGCGTGGTCCTCGGCGTCGCCGAAGAAGCCGTCCTCGTCGTCCGCGAGGTCGACCTCGACCTCGTCCGACGTGCCGCGGCGCGGCCGCGCGGCCATGTCGCTCCGGAACTCGGACGACTCGAGCACCGACAGGATCGGCGCCGGCCGCTCGGGCGAGAGCGCCGCCGCCGGCGCGGGCCCGTCGGTCGAGTCGACGCGCAAGCGGTTCAGCAGGGCCCCGGCGCCGGCGGTCGGCGGCGCGTCGAAGGACGCCGTGCGCACGGCGCCCGCGCGCGCGGAAGCCACGTCGTACGACGCCGGCAGCGCCAGCGGCGGGATGTTCGACGCGAGCCGCGACGGCACGGGCATCGAGCCGATGACGGGCGCGCGCGGGCAGGCCAGCGGGCTCGACGCGCCGCCGTGCCACGAGAGGCCGCGGTTGCGCGGGCCGCCGCGCTCGCCGATGGCGATGGGCTGCGTCTGGGTCGCGTGCGGGTCGGCGTAGCCGCTCATTTTTTTTTTTGGCGCGCAGGGGTTTCCGTGCCCTGGTTGGCTTGCTGTCTCAGCACCTCTCGGTTCGCTGAGGGCCCGCGGGGGGGCTTCCCTGCTCGGTTTGGCTTCCTGCTCTTTAGCAGCTCTTTTGGCTGGAGGAGGGCTGCGGATCGACTAACCGCCAGGCGAGCCGGGTGTGCCTTTTGGGGGTGTTCAGTGGTAACCAGCGTGACCGCAAAGGGTCCAGAGGGCGCTGCTACGGCGCTTACCCGTCAGGGAGGCAGACTCGAGCTCGAGCTCGGGTTTTTGTCGATTAATAGGGGCCAAGCTGCGATCAAGGCGTAAGAGCGCGAGCAAAGCGTGAAAAGGTCTCTATACGACGCTCCGAGCACACACGTAACGAGCAGCGCTCTGAAATTCGCTGCCGTAAAGCACCAGCCCTCAGCCTTGGCTTTCGGCTGGCAAGCACCACCTTCCGCAAAGCCAGCAGTCCAAAAAAACTGCCGAAAGCGACGCCGAAACCATGGGCCGCTGCCGCTGCTGCCTCTTGGTCGCCGCGAGCCTGCTCACGACCGCCGCGGCCGCCGCGTTCGGCTGGTTCTACGTGTGGCAGGTGCTCTACGCGCCGTACCTGCAGGGCGCGCGCGACATCGTCTACGACGCGGCGCGGGAGCGCGTGATCGTTTCCGCGCTGCACAGCAACGTGATCGCCGTCGTCGACGTGGCGACGCCGTCGAAGCCGAGGACCCTCGGCTGGCGCGCCGACGACGCGTTCACGAACGCGCACGGCTTCGCGTACGACCACGGCAGCGCCACGGCCTACGTCGCGTCGTACGGGCGCGGGTCCCTCGCCAAGGTCGACCTCCGGAACCCGGCGCGCGACAAGCTGCCCGTCGTCGCGACCCTCGAGAACGACGAGCTATACAGCGCGACGCACGCGTCCTACGACGCGGCGCGGAACCTCGTCTTCGTGACGGCGGCCGGCAGCCACGACCTCGGCGAGGACGCCGACGTGCTCCGGGGCGGCCACGACCTGCTCGTCGTCGACGCGGCGACGATGCGGCGGACGGGCCTGCTCACGGACTGGGGCGCCGGCGCGGAGCCGGCGTACCCGGTCTACTGCGTCTACGACGCGGCGCGCGCGCTGCTCTTCGCGTCGAACGACGCGCGGAACCGGCTCGAGGTCGTCGACGTCGGCGACGCGGCGCGGCCCGCGGTCGTCGGCGAGGTCGCGGCCGTGCCCGAGCTCGCGTACGTGTCGCAGCTGGCCCTCGACGCGCCGTCGAACCTCATCATCGCGGCGTCGCAGAAGGGCGACTCCGTGGCGGTCGTCGACGTCGCGGACGCCGCGAACCCCAAAATTCTGGGGTCGCTGACCTCGGACGCGCTCGACGGCGCGACGGGCGTCGCCTACGACGCGGCCCGGCGCCTCGCGTACGTCGCGAGCGAGTTCGCCGGCACGCTCAGCGTCGTGAACGTGACGGACCGGGCGACGCCCGTCATCGTCGCGGGCGTACGCGCGCCGTGTGGAAATCGACCAGCGAGTCTCGGTCAGCAGACGTCGCGTCGATGGCGTGGGGGTCACCGCGACGATTTCCGCGCAGGTCGCGCACGACGCGCTGCGCGGGGGCGAGGCCGTCGCGTTCGACGCGGCGCGGCGGCGCGTCTTCGTCGCGTCGCGGACGAGCGCGTGCCTGGTGGAGGCCGACGTGCGCGACGCGGCCGCGCCGACGGTCGTCGCGGCGCTCTGCACGCCGCGGACGCCCGCGGACGCCGTCAAGGTCGTGGCGATGGTCGCCGGGTCCTTGCTCTTCTTTTTGCTCGCGCTTTGGCTCGCGGCGGCGGCGTGCTCGCGAAAGCGGTACGCGCGGCAAGGGTACGGCCAGGTCGACACGTTCGACGAGGACGGCTACGACCTCGGCGACTTCGAGCTCGGGCGCCTCGAGACGAAGGACGAGTACTGCGACGACGACGACGACGACGACGACGATGGGGAGGGGCTGCCCCAGGTCAATCCGCTGGTGGTGCCACCAGGTAAGGGTGATTAGTTTTTAGTAGTCCCCGACGCCCGGGATGTCGAGCTCTCCTAGATCGGCGGCGATTTCCTCGCCTTCGTCGTCCTCGTCGTCCGCGGCCGGCCTCGCGCCGTTGTCGATGAGGGGCTTTCCCGCTAACAAAAGCGCGCATTGCTCGGCGAATTGGCCCTGCTTGAGCATCCACGACGACGTGAAGACCTGTGTGGAAATTAACCCATCGGGTGCATTCCTCGGCGGCGACGCGACTGCATTTCTCGGCGGCGACGCGACCATGCTGAGAGACCCACACCGCCACACCGTCGAGCAGGCAAAGCGTCGATTGCGTGCAGGTCATGATTCAGCAGGACGCGCCACGACAAATTGATTTATGCACCGGTGAAGACCTCCTTCCAGACCAACACCCCGTTCTTGTCGAACAGGAATAAGAAGCCGGGCGCCGGCGCCTTGCCGATCGCGGCGAAGGCTTCCTTGACCTTGCGGCCCTCGTCAAAAGCCAGAGACATGTCGAAGATAAGCTCATCGATCGACTGCGTCGGCATAGCAGTCCCGTTCTTCTTGAGCATCGCCTCGCAGTCCTCCTTGGCCGCGTCGCACGAGACGCCCAGGACCTGCGCGCAAATGAAGGCCATGATTGTAGCAGTGGCGGAGACGCGCCGCGACAATTTGATTTATGCACTGCGCAGCACCTGGAGCTCGGGCAGCGCCCTCATCAAATACGAGACGTGGACCATCGTGCGGTAGTCACCCTTGGCGTACTTCCCCCAAAATAATACTGCGCACGGCTTGCCGGCGGCGGGCGCCTGTGTACAAATCAATCCGTGAGTCGGGTGCACGCAGACGTGCTGGCTCCGTCGAGCGGCGAGGAACCAGCAGCGCCACGCTATCGAGCAAACGTCGCGTCGATCGCCTGGAGGTTGACGCGACGAAGGCGCCGTGGTATTTTGATTCATGCACAGGTCGGCGCCTCGCCCTTGACAAACTGCAGCGTCGACAGATCCGGCATCTTGAACGTCCCGTCGAGGCCGCGCGCGTCGGAATAGGTCGCCTTGTCCTCGGTCAGGCCCGGCTTGCTGGCCAGCGTGGCTCCTTCAGGTGAGGCAAGGTCGGGGAGCGCCATTTTGCTGATCGCTGCATGGTCGACGTTGGCAGCCATGTGTGTCGTTACGAGTCTGAGACTAAGCTAGTTGCAAGCTTGCGATTTGTAAGCAAAGCAACGTGTGTGATTCGCCAACGAGCCTAGCGTATACCAACACACTAGAATCCGGCAATTCTCAAATTGCGTTTATCATGCCTCAGACTGACTCTGCGCGGCAGGAAAACCCACACAGCAGGCAGCGGCAGGCGCGTCACGGTTCCGTCCCGCGTCCCGGCGGCCGTGGACGAGTCGTAGCTTTCCTCGTCCTCATCATTGCGTAGGAGCAGTGTTTAGGTAGCAATCTATCAAGTCGCAGGTATACTGGCGCACGGGGTAGGGCGGCTATATACGATATACGTAAGGCTATGTTATGTATATAGAGGTACAGAGGCGCCCTAAGCAAGGCGGCGGCTGGTCAAACTAACGACGCCGTTTCTCTGATCGCGATTACGTACGCTAGAAAAAATTGGTGGCTCAATCGTCGCAACCAATCAATTGATGTTGACTCATAAAACTCAGTAGTCCTAGGAGATGGCAGACCTAGAAACCATGTACGGCGAGGACGCCGCGCAAGCCCTGTACATGTGGCGCTTCGCCGGCGTGAGCTTCGGGCTCGAGGCCCGCTTCTGGTGGACGCTACTGGGCTCGCTGGCGACGGCGTCGCTCACGGCGCTCGGCGCGATCGTGTACAAGGTTATCGACGAGCGGATCTCAGACAATACCTGGCTGACAAACGAGCTGAAGGACGGGCTCCCCTACGACGGCACGACGTCGGTTCCCGGCGGCACGCGAGCCTTCGGACGCTGGGGCGGCGGAAAATGGATTTGGATGGCTCAGAGCTGTGTGGAAATCAAAATTTTACGGCGCGGTCGTCTTTGCGTCGACCTCCACGCCATCGACGCGACGCTTGCTCCCGAAACACTGGTTGATTTCCACACAGGCTTACAGTATCGCCGGCGGCGCGGTCATAGAATACGAGATCGTCTCCTCCGCGCCGGACGGCGAGCAGCTGGCGGACGACTACGAGGAGCTCGGCGGCGGCCGCTGCGCCGTCATGTGAACCCCCAACCTCCTCATTATAAACAACATGTCCATCACAATCTTGAATTAAACTCCGGCCGCGGCTGCCCGCGGAGCGCCTGCTTCGCCGCCCGGAGCGCGTCAGACGCGCCCGGCGGGCCCGCCGCGGCGTTGCGGGACTTCCGCGGCGCGCGCGCCGGGACGACGGGCGCCGCCGTCTTTGTCTTGCGCCGCGGCGCCGGCCGCGACGACGACCCGTAGGGGCCGGCCGCGCGGCGCGGCTTACGTTTGCCAGCGTTCCTGCGCGGCTCCGAAGGGCGCCTCGGCTCTTGGACGACCGGCTCGTCGTCGTAGTCGTCGTCGTCGTAGCGCTTCGGGGCCACGGCCGGGCGGACTCGCATGGGCCGCGCCTCGGGGCTGTGCCAGGGTCCGCGGTCGGGGTCGCGCGGCGCGAAGACCGGATCGCGCGGCGGCGCCGGCCGGGGCTCGCTCCGCGGCGGCTCTCGCGCCGGCTCGGTGCGCCGCGCGGGCGTCGTCGCCGAGAGCAGCGGCGCGTAGTACGACGCCGGCCCGCGCACGAAGCGGTTCGCGCCCGCGGCGCCGCCGAGCGCGAGCTCGGGCGGCCGGTCCAGAGTCGCCGGCGCGGCGCCGACGCCCCGCTCGCGCAGGGAGCACAGGAAGCAGCTCGCGAGGCCGTGGCGCGCGCAGGGCTCCGGCGACGCCGGGGCCGCGGTCGTCGCGGCCGCGACGGGCAGCGCGATGCCGCCGCGGACGCCGCAGACGGGGCAGTCCGCGACGCCGTGGACGGCGCAGCCCGGCCGCGGCGCGGGCAGCGGCGACGTCAGGCTCGCGCCCTGCAGGGAGCAGAGGAAGCAGTCCTTGAGGCCGTGGCGGTCGCACGCGGCGCCCGCGGGCTTCGGCGCTTGCTGCGTCGGCGCCGCCGGGGCCGTCGGCGCCGGCTGCGCGAGGTAGCTCGCGACGGCGGAGGGCTTGGGCGGGCTCGCCGCCGGCCGGGCCCGGAGCGTCGCGACGCGCGGGTCGGAGCCCTCGAGCGACTCGGCCGACGACACCTCGCCCGGCGTCGCCTCGCGGCGGCGTCGCGCGGCGCGGCCCGACGACGCGGACGGGCTCCGGTCCTTCCGCGCGGGCGTCCGCGCTGTGTCGCCGCCGCGCGCGTCGTCCTTCCGCGCGGGCGACCCGCGCGACCCGCGCGACGCGCGCGACTCCCGGAGCAGCGCGCGGGCCGGCGAGGCGGCTGCTTCCTCGGCCTGGGCCTCCGCGGCCCGGGCGACGGCCGCCTCGGCCTTTGCGGCGACGCGCGCGGCGCCCCTGCCGAGCTCCTCGACCCGCCGGCGCCGCCGCCGCGTTTCGAGCTTGGCCGTCCGGCCGCGCTCGGCGGCCTGCAGGCGCGCGGCCGCGGCGTCGCGGGCCGCCGCCTCCTCGGCGCGCGCGTCGGCCGCTTCCCGGGCCCGCCGCTTGGCGCCGCGGCCGCGTTCCGCCGCCTGCAGCCGCGTCGCGGCGGTCGAGTAGGCCTCGGCCTCGGCCCGCGCCTTCTCGCGTTCCGCGCGCTGACGCTCCCGCTGGAGCTCGGCCAGCCGCGCTTCGTACGCGGCCGCCTCGGGCGACCAAGGCTCCTCGGGCTCCTGCCTTGCTAGCGGCGTCGCAGGCGACCGTGCTGCGGCCGGCTCTCGCCTTTCCGCAGAGCGTGCGGGCGACCGCACCTTGGCTGGCTCCCGTCTTTCTGCAGAGCGCGCGGGCGGGGATCGCGCTTTGGCGGGCTCCCGCCTCTCTTGAGAGCGCGCGGGCGACCGCACCTCGGCCGGCTCTCGTCTTTCTACGGAGCGCGCAGGTGATCGCGCTTTGGCAGGCTCCCGTCTCTCTTGAGAGCGCGCGGGCGACCGCGTCTCGGCGGGCTCCCGTCCTCCTCGAGCGCGTGGTGTACTCCTCGCAGCGCGCTGGGGCGACGGCGCCTCGACGGGCTCCCGTCTTCCCGCAGAGCGTGCGGGCGATCGATCTTTGGCAGGCTTTCGTCTCTCTGCGGCACGCGCGGGCGACCGCGCCTCGGCTGGCTCCCTCCTTCCCGCAGAGCGCGCGGGCGACCGCGCCTCGGCGGGCTCCCGTTTCCCGGCAGCCCGCGGCGTCCTCCCGGCAGCACGCGCGGGGGACCGCACCTCCTCGGGCTCCCGCCTTCCGGCAGCGCGCGGTGTCCTCCCCGCAGCGCGCTGGGGTGACCGCACCTTGGCTGGCTCCCGCCTTCCCGCAGAGCGCGCGGGCGATCGATCTTCGGCGGGTTCCCGTCTCTCTGCGGAGCGCGCGGGTGATCGCTCTTTGGTAGGCGGCGGCCTCCGGCCAGCACGCGCGGGCTCGGCCTCGCGCCTCCCCGCACCTCGCGCGGGCTCAGCAGGCAGCGGCCGCCCGCGGCGCGCCGCCGCCGCGGGCGACCGATCCGACGTCTTGCGGGACCGCGGGGCGTCGGGCGTCGTGTTGCGGAGCCGCGGCGGCGAGAACCGCTTCGCCGGCGTGACGCGCGGCCGCGGCGGCGACGCCTGGGGCGAGTTCCGCGGCGTCGAGACGGGCGACTCCGGCGGCGGCGACGCCGGCCGCACCGGCGCCGGCCGCATCGTGTCCGTTTTGTCGGCGCGCCTCCGCGTAAGCGACGGCGGCGGTGCCAGGCGGGGCGAATCCCGCGACGGCGAGATGTAACGCTCGAGGATGCCGTCGACGTCGTCGTCGATCGGCGGCGTCGCGAGCCCCGGCGGCACCTCGTCGGCGTCGTCCCAGAAGCCCGGCTCCGCCTTCTTCGTCGGCGTCGGCCGCGGCCGGAACCGCTCGTCGTCGGCGTCGTCGCCGGCCTCGGGCGTCGGCGCGCGGTGGCGGGGCGTCGACTTGCGGAGCGGCCCGCGCCGCCGCTTCTGGCTCGGCGGCGTGCGCGCGTCCGCGCGGAACGTGACCTGGCGCGTCGGCGACGCCGGCGTCTTGGGCGTCCGCTCGCCGGTCCGCCGCGGCGTCGCCGCGTCGGCGTCGGCGGCGAAGGACACGCTCCGCGCGGTGCGCGTCGACTCGGGCCGGCTCGGCCCAAAGTCCGACGACGGGGGGCGGCTCGACTCGAGCCCGAGGTCGTCGAGCGACGAGCCGCGGCTCGAGAGCGAGCCGCGGCTCGAGCGCCGCGACGTGGCGTAGGCGTCGTCGCTTTCGACGTCGTACTCGTAGTCCGTGCGCGAGTCGACCGACGACGGCGTCGGCGGCCCGCGCGACGCCGTCGAGAGGCGGGTCCGCGCGCGCGCGACGCGCTCCGCGACCTCGTCGGCCGTCAGGGCGCCCGTCGGCGCGAGCGCCGCCAGCAGCGCGTCCGCGTCGCGCCGCGTCACGTCCGAAAAGGACCCGCCGCAGCGCCGCAGGCCGCGGTGCAGCTCGGCGGCCGTCACGGGCCGCCGGCCGGACGCCGCGTCCAGCGCGCGCCGCAGCCGCACGCCGGCGGCCTCGCAGGCGTCGAGGAGCGCCTGCAGCCGCGCCGCCTCGGGCCCGGCCGACGGCGGCGGGGGCGGCGCCCGCGCGGGCCGCGGCGGCGGCGAGCCGCGGTAGCGGTCGCAGAACCGCTCGAGCTCGCGCCGTGAGACGCGGCCGTCGCCGTCGCCGTCCATGGTCTCGCAGACGCGCCAGACGTCGGCCCGCGTGAGGCCCTGCGTGCCGCTGCCCCGCTTGAGCGCCGCCCAGAGCTCCTCCGCCGTGAGCGGTGCGTCGCCGACGTTGCTGAAGTAGAACCGGAGGGGCGTGCCCCGCGCCTCCCGCTCGAGCAGTATGGAGGCCAGCCGCGCTGCAGAGGCCCCGGTGTGACGGTCGTCGGGGCTGCGCTTCTTCGGCAGCGACCGCGGCGCGTTGCCGCCGTCGGCGACGCCCGGCGTGGACACGGCGAAGCTCGGGCGCGGGGCGGGCCGCTGGGGGCGCGCCGGCGCATTTTTCGGGGCGCGCTGGGGCGGCGGCACGGCGGGCGGCGGTCGCTTGGGGGGCGATGGACCTGTGGGCGCGGGCCGCCCGCGGAGCCAGGCCTTGCCTTTGGGGGGAGAGTGGAACAGTCGCTGCGCCGCGAGCTCGGCCATCTCAGCCCGCTCCTCTGCGGCCGTGGCTCGCCCCTCGAGCGTCCGCGCACCTGTGCGGAAATCAGTGCGTCGGGTGCACCCGATAATTCTTCACCAGTCATTTCTCGGCGATGACGCGGCCGTGCTGGCTCGGTCGAGCAGCGAGGAACCGGCATCGCCACGCCGTCGAGCAGGCGTCGTGGCGATGGTATGGAGGTCATAATTGAGCCGTGAAAAGTGCCGCGAAATTTGATTATTGCACTGCCGTGCACGTGCCTCTGCGCGCTCGGCGCGCTCGACTGCCGCGGCCGCTGCCGCCTCGAAGGGGTCCGGCTTCGTAGGCCGCCCCGGCCGTCTCACCGGACTCGGTGACGGCGTCCGTGCTCGTTGCTCCGCGGCTTGGAGTCGCTTGCGCAGGCGCGCAATCTCTCGCTTCGCTTTGACGAGGCGACGGCTATCGTCGATGACCTCGTCGACGCCTGTGTGGAAATCAAATTTCAGGCGCCCCACGCCATCGACGCGACGTCGTTCCAATGACTGCGTCTGCTCTCCACGCCATCGACGCGACATTGTCACACCGTAACTGGGCAGCTCGATGGCGTAGAGGTTCACGAAGATCTCAACAACCTAACCCACTGCTTGATTTCCACACAGGTCGAGGCGGAGCCGCGCCGTGACGCGCGTGGCGCGCTGAGCAAATGCTAATGTGGACGCCGTCTCGTCGTAGGCGTCCTGGGCCGCCGACGCCGTCGCGATGACTACGGCGCGCGTTCCGCCCCCGAGCGCGTCCTGCAGCAACCGTGTCAGCACCGAATCTCTATAAGGAACGTGGCCTCCGCCCCGATGAGCCTCCGTCGCCAGATCCGCGAGCGCTGCGATACAATTTCCTAAAGCGCTCAGCGACGTGTTGATCGCCCGGAGCTCGCGAGCGAATTGCTGAGATGCGGCGACCTCGTCGGACCTATGTGAAAATCAAATTTCGAGCGCCCCACGCCATCGACTCGATGTCGTTCCCGTGACTGCGTCTGCTCAATGGAGTGGAGATTAAACGCCATCGACGCGACGTTGCCTCCGTAACTAGCGGCTCGATGGCGTGGATGTTGACGAAAGTCTCCGATAACCTAGCTCACTGGTTGATTTCCGCACAGCGTCGGACCACTTCTCAGAACCAGCCAGGTCCACGAGCGAGAGCTTCGCGCGACGAACCACCGTGCGCGTACCGGCCGTGCCCGGCGTCTGGGCCGTGGACGGCGGCACGTCGGAGGCAGCAAACTGGCTCCATCGCGCCGGGTCGTTATTCTCGTCGTTGCCCTTCTCCACGGACTCGACCTCGAGCGCGAGCTGCAGCACGGCGTGGCTTCGCGACGAGTGCTCGTTTGACCGCGTGGCGCGCGTGGCGCGGCCTTTCGTGCCACGCGCGACGAGCGCGAGCACCTGTGCGCAAATCAACCAGTGAGTCGGAGTTCACGGCGATACCGCGGCCGCTCTGGCTGAATCGAGCGGTGAGAGACCGCACGGCCACGCCGTCGAGCAGGCGTCGCGTCGATGGCGTGGAGGTCATGATTCGGCGAACCACGGCGACGACCCGAGGCGCTCATCCACTGACACAGGGAGCGTCTCGTAGCAATTACCAGCCGTACGTACAAAGTACGAAAGGATCTGGCTACTTCCCCACCGTTGAGAATCGCGTCCGGCGGGCATGGAGGTCATGTATCAGTAGTGGCTGAGACGCGCCTCGACAATTTGATTTATGCACTGGTGAGTACATCCGCCGCTGATGCGACCTGGTACTCCGAGAGCCCGCGCACGAAGACTGCGCCCTTGGATCCTAGGTTCGAGGGCGCCTCGCGCACCTGGAGCGCCGGCGCCTTCGAGGGGTCCGGCACCAACAAATCCTGGACGCGGTCCCCGTAGATCTGGAGGTAGGAACAGTGGGCCGTCGCGCGCACGATCGTGCCGTCGGCAGAGCCCGTCGCCAGGGCCTCGAAGAGCGACGCCGCCGCGCGCGGGATGACGCCCGCATCTCCCGGTAACTGGCCGGCCTCGGGCGCTGCCGGCGCGCCGAGCATCGTGAAGGTCTTGCCCGTGCCGGTCTGGCCGTAGGCCATGACCGTCGCGTTGACCTGTGTGGAAATCGAATTTCGGGCGCCCCACGCCATGCTCACTGGTCGATTTCCACACAGGGTGTTGACGCCCTTGCGTGCCACGTCCTCGACGGCCGGCGCGACCCAGTCGTAGACGTCGCCCTGCGAGCAGTCTTCGGGGAAGACCTGGTCCATAGCATGCGTCAGCGACGCGTCCTGGCCGTGGCGCGCCTTTATTATGACGTCGTTTTCTTCCACTCTAAGACTCCGGAAGGCCTCCGGGGGCAGCGGCAGCAGGCGGACCGCCGCTCTCACTCTCTCCTCCATCCTACTCCGGTCGCGGGTCGCCCTTCGTGATGTATCGTCGTTCACTGGCCGCAGGCCTTTATCGTAAGGTGTGCTGGCATGGTGGGGCAGCCCCCGGCCGCGAGTCCCGCTCCTGCGGTTGCGTAGGGTTCTGGAAGGAGACCCCAGGGCGCTTCGCGGCTTGGCCGGCCGATCGGTTGCGCGGATCACAGAGCTAAGTTTGTAGACATACTAGGTTTTCCTCCTAGACGGCGCTGCGAGACTTTTTTGCGTTGCTTTCGTATAGACACGCCGTTTGCTCCGGAGAGACACTTCTCGGCGGCCACTGACAAAAATGTGATCGGCTGCCCTGCATTATGCAACTGCTCTGGGCCCTATGGGCTGCCTGTGCCACCGCCGACGTCGTGCGGCTGCCATCGCTCTGGGCCCTATGGGTTGCCTGTGCCACCGCCGACGTCCTGCGGCTACCCGTGACGACGTCCTTCCACCGCCGGGGCAACACAATAACCCAACGCGTGCGCCGCCGCCACGGCCGCCGCCTCCGGACGACGATTCCCATCACCGCGTGCAACGATGCCGTCTACTACGGCGACGTGCTATTGGGCACGCCGGGGCAGCGGCTTCAGGTCATATTTGATACGGGATCCGCGGATTTCTGGGTCAACGGCCAGCTCTTCGACGGGAGCCAGTCGGAGACCTACGTCGGGGACGAAACCTACCCGTTCAGCGTACACTATTCCGATGGAGACGGCGTGAGCGGGTTCCGGGCCTTCGACACTCTTACGGCGGGAAGCGTTACAGCTCCGAGCGTGGCCTTCGGCGAAGCGGAGGCGATGGGCAACTTCTACGTCTGCGGCGCCGAGGACGGCGTGTTCGGCCTCGCGTTCCGGGCGATCTCGCGGCTCAACGCGCCCACGGCCTTCGAGATGCTCGCTCCCTACCTCGACGAAGAGATGTTTGCGTTCTCCGTCCCGACGGATACGTTGGCGGGCGAGCTCGTGCTGGGCGGCGTCGACGAGAGTAGGTTCGTCGGCGAGCTGCAGTGGATCGACGTCTCCACGCCGCACAAGTACTGGCAGGCCGCGCTGACGTCCGCGTCAATCGGCGCGCAGCCGCTCGCCGGCTCCGCCGCGGTCTTCGACACGGGCACGACGCTCCTCGTGACGACGGAGGCGAACGCCTGGGCCCTCGCGGGGGCGCTCGACGCGTGGTGCTACGCCTGGGTGAACGCCTGTGCGGAAATCAACCAGTGCGTCGGTTGCACCCGAGACACAAAGTCATTTCGCGGCGATGACGCGGCCGTGCTGGTTCCGTCGAGCGGCGAGGAACCGGCATCGCCACGCCATCGAGCAGGCGTCGCGTCGATGGCGTGGAGGTCGACGCGATGATTCAGCACGAACGCGCCGTAAAATTTTGATGTCCACACAGGTGAACGCGACGAGCTCCTACGATGTGCGGCGCTGCGCCGAGGCCGACGCGGCGGCTCCGTTCCCGGACCTCGTCGTGGCGCCGTGCGGCGCCGGCGACGATCTGGTCTTTCGCTTCGGCGCCGTCGAGGCCCGCGTGCCGCGCGACCAATACCTCTACGGCCAGGACTGCGACGAGGCCCTCGAGTTCCGCGACTGCCGCGGCGTCTGCTGGCCGAACGAGTACCTGAGCTGGATCGACGACGTCTACTGCGACGACGGGTCCGCAGGCATCTTCCTGAACTGCCCGCGCTTCGGCTGCGACTTGTGCCCCGATAACGACTGTATCGAGGACCCGGCCGACGACGCGTGCCTCCTCTCGGTCGCCGCGGACGACAGCGTCGGCACGTGGATCCTGGGCGACGTCTTCTTCTCGGCGACGTACGTGGCGTTCGACCACGGAAACGCGCGCCTCGGCCTCGCGCCGCTCGCGTCGGGATCGGCGCCGGTCCCAGCGCCCCTGTCGCCCGCACCGTCGCCCAGGCCCTCGCCGGAGCCGGTGCCGGCGCCGACGGTAGGAACCCTGTCGTCCGACTCGTCGCCTGGGCCGACGGTCGCGCCGACGGTCGCGCCGGTGACCGGAGACATGACATTCTCCGGTCTGAGCCTCGCGGTTGCGCGGGCTAACGAGGCCGTGCTCGTCGATACGATCGCCGCCAGCGCCGGAGTCGAAGACACGTCGCGCGTGAGCATAGTCATCGCTGCCGCTGCGCGGCGCCGCCTCTCGGACGGCGTGGTCGTGACTTACACTATCGCCACCGACACGACAGCAGACTCCGACGCGGTCCTCGGCGCGCTGTTGGCCCTCACCACGGAAGATGCCAAGGCAGCCCTCACGACCGCGGCGGCGGCGCACGGCGTCGCCGCGACCTTCGCAACCGTCGAGATCACGCAAATACACGCATCGTTGTTTGACTACCGGGTTCCGGCGCCGACCGCGCAGAGGCCCGCCGCTTCCCGACGGCGTCGCCGCGCCGGGGCCTCGCCGGCCGCGAAGACCGCGCTCGCCGCGACGCTCGCCGTCGTCGTTGCCGTGGTCGTCATCGCCGTGGCGGTCTGTGCCTGGCGACGACGGCGGCGACGGCGCCAAGAAACGTACAACAGCGTCGAACTGGCGACCAAGAGCCTCGAGCTCTCGGACCTCGCCGTCGACGAGAGCGGCGCGTGGATCATGGACGATGTAGCTAACCCTATGAGATAAGTAAATAGGCTAGGCAGGCGGCCTAGCTCTAAGCAAAGCAACATACATTACGAGCGAGACACCTCCCGCCATTTCGAGGCTATGAGCGCTCCGAACGTGTCGGGCCGCGCCGCGGGACACGACTCGGCCTGGCACTGCAATAGACTCAGGGTTCGCCTTTGCGACTCGGTCGCCGGCGGTATTGGCGTTTTAGAGTCCGGATAGAAGAAAAAAACCAGCGACAGGCGCTTCTCCGGCCCGAGGACGACTCGGTGGAACGGCGATGCCGTGTCCGCGGCGAGCGCCATAAAGTCTCCCGCGTTTGCGATCAGCGCATTCTTTGGCGCTGACGCTTTCCTCCATACGCCATGGTCGTCGAATTCGAGGGAGCCGCCCGCGACGTCGTCTGCGACGACTAACGTGAGCAGTCCCCAGTCCGTGTGCGGACTGGAGCCCGTGAAGCCCTCCTCGTAGGCCTCGTACGCGAACAGCCGCGAGAGCGCTTCCTCCGTCGCGTCGCCCGCGCAGCAGTCCTCCAGGCGCGTGGCGCCAGCTGCGACCGCCAATGCGACGACGCGCCGCGCCGCGCGCGTCAGGTTCGCGTGGGCCGTTTCCAGAACCACCCTCGCGCTCGTCCTCCACGGCCACCGATTCCCCGTCGCGCCGAACGCGAAGCCCTCCTTCGCCTCCCGCAAGCCCAGCGCGCCGGCCTCGGCGCCGCGCGGCAGGAAGCCGCGTTGGCTTCCCTTTGCGTCGAGCCGCCGCTTCGTCGCCGCGCGCGTCTTCTCGAAGAGGGCGCGGCCCGCGGCCAGCGTCGCGTCGACGTCGACACCGTGGTCGACGAGAGCGGCCGCGCCGACGCCGCGGAATGCTGCTAGCAATGCGTGGCCGCTGTCGGTGCGACTGATGTCGACCGGGCTCAGCGCCAAAGGGGTCCCGCATTCCTCGCTTGCGATGGCTGCGGCCATGACGTTTATGATAACTGCTGCCAGTGCCGGATTATTACAAAGCTGCCTACTTAGGCGCGCCATCGGCGTTACCGTTATGAAATCTCACGAATCGTGCGTGCGATGTTTTTTTATCCACCTGCCAGCGGCTGCTTCAACGGAATCGCATTAATGCGACTGCAGGCTGCACACCAGGTTCAGCCTCGCGCGGCCAACACCGCCTCGCACGACTAGCGGTTGTCAATTAGTTACCAGAGCACGCGCACAGTTATTGACCCTCGCGTAGAATGACGCTCGCCGCTGCGCGCGCAGCCCTGGCGCCTCGAGGCGTGCTCCGTGCAGCTATCAATCTGAGCAACTTTTTACTTGTCTCAGATCAGACCGGGGCGACGCCGCGCGGCATCTCGCCGTCGCTTTGTGGCGCGTTGGCACAGCGTTTAGAAGTGCCGCTGGAACTCGTCCCGTATGCCAATCCGGGCCTCCTCGCCGACGCCGCGACGAGTGACGAGTGGGACGTGGGCCTGATCGGCGCCGAGCCGGCGCGCGCGGCGACGATCGCGTTTACTAGACCATACGCTCATCTGGAAGCCACGTTTCTGGTGCGCGACGGCTGCCCGGCCCGGCGCTGCGACGACGTCGACGCGGAGGGCTACTCGATCGCGGTCTCGCGGCGAGCGGCGTACGCGCTCAAGCTGGAGGCGTCGCTGGCCTCCGCGACGCTGAAACAAACGGCGGAACCCGGCCTGCCGGCCTCCGCGGACCTGTACTTCGCGGAGTCCTGCGACGCGCTCGCGGGCTTGCGACCCTGGCTGCTGGGCCTCCTGAAGAACGACGAACGCTTCGTCGGATCGCGAGTTCTCGACGGCCGCTTCCACGTCGTCGAGCAGGCCGTCGGCACGCCGAGGGGCCGCGGCGACGCGGCGCTCCCGTTCCTGGAGGCGTTCGTCGCCGAGGCGACGGGCGGCGGCCTCGTCGCCGAGCTCATCCGCGAGCATGGGGTCGAGGGGAAGGTTGTTGTGGCATCTTAGCGATACTAGTGTGTTTCGTCGCCGAGCTCATCCGTGAGCATGGCGTGGAGGGGAAGGTTGTTGTACCATCTTAGCTATGGCTATGGCTAGTTACGTCGCAGGGTCCCCCGTACCCCTCCCGCTCCCCCCGGGCCCACCCGTCCGGCTGGACTAGGACGCAAGGGCTGAGTCACATGGACTCGCACGCCCCTCCCTTTTTTGGGACGACCCCCGTCAGGATGTGGAACTTAGCGATACTAGTATGTTTATGCGCGCTATTTGTCTCTTCGTCCCGGCTTTGGGCAAAAGTGGTTGTGAGTAGAGAATAGAGCTCTAGCAGCTTGCGTGCTTGGGCATTTATTCCTTAAAGGTAGCAGCCGTGTAGACGATACTGCTACACGTGCACCGCTATTGCTCAAGAAACTCGAGCCACTTCCTGCATGGGCACCAAACATAGCAAGCCAGCGAAGATGAGCACCCAGCACACTGTTGACGCCACTGGCGGCGACGCCGAGGTCGCATACTTTGCGCTCGGCTGATTCTGGACCCCGGAGCCCGCCTTTAAGCGGCTCCGGGGCGTACGTGCGACGCGTGTCGGCTACACCGGTGGCCAGACGGACTCGCCAACGTACAGCAAGGTCTGCTCCGGCAAGACCGGCCACAGCGAAGCGGTCAAGGTCGTCTTCGATCCGTCGACCATCTCCTACGCGGAGCTCGTCGACAAGTTTTTCTCGCTGCATCCGTATCAGTACGAGTCGAAGCCGCAGTACATGTCGGCCTTGTTTTATTTGAACGAAGCGCAGCGCGAGGTCGCCCAGGCGAAGATCAACAAGCTCAAGGCCGGCGGCGCGACGGTAGCGACAAAGCTACTCCCGGCGACCATGTGGCACGACGCTGAGGAATACCACCAGAACTATCACGCCAAGAATTCAAAAATGTGGTAGTTCAGCGGCAAGAGTGGTGAGCGAAGCGAGACGCCCGTGACCCCCCGGCGCCGCCTCCGCAGAGGCGCGCCGGGGGCGACTTTTGCGCCTCGCCTTGCTCTGTGCTGTTGTGTGCCCCAGTGTAAGATCCCCCGTTCCTGAACGCGTGCGGGGAACTAGACCCTCGATGCAGAACTAGATACACAACTTTACCACACCCCCACACACTCAGTCGCCCGTGTTGAGCATCGCGCTGACGCGCTGCATGATGTAGTCCTGGGCCGGGTCGTAGGGCATGTCCTTCGACGGCATCTCGAGCACCGTCGGGATCGTCTTCGAGTAGTCGTCGAGGAGGTGGCGGATCTGGGCCGCGACGTGCTGGTTCACGAGCACGATGCCGACGTCGTCGCGGTTCGTGAACTCGAGGAAGGCCTTCTCGATCTGCGGGAGCGGCGTGCCCTCCTTGACCACGAGGAAGTTGCTAGACTCGGCCGTGCGGTGGCCGACGCCCGCGAGGACGAAGCCCGTGACCGTGTCCTCGTCTCCAATGATAGCGATGAGCTTGCCGTCGCCGCCCACGAGGCCCGCCATTTGTATATTGCTCCGCGCCGCGCCGGGGGGTCGCGACTCGCTGGCTGCTGCTGCTCCTCCAGTCGCTGGCTGCTGCTCCGCCAATGCCGAGCCAAAATCCGTCGGTTTTGATACCGCTGGGCGTTCACCGCTAATATTACTAGTCCAAAGTGCAAGCAGCGCGCGCCGGCTGTCTACGGTGTAAAATGCCCGACTTTTTGTGTGGCAAAGCTTGAGAAACCCGCACGATTTTGCGAAGGGTCTGATCCGTGTTGGACACCGCAGCCACGCCTCCTGAAAAGCAACAGCAGTCGTCTCTCCACGCGGCAGCCGGCCGGCCGCAAAGCAAAACAATTTAAAAAAAGACTGCTGGCTGGGCGTCCGGTGCGCGCACGAAAACGGGAAGCGCCGCAGGTAGGGGCAGCCCCAACACCTCATCATGGCCTCCCTCGTGGCGACGGCCCAGACGGGCGACGCCCAGCTCGAGGACCTCCGCAGCAAACTGGACGGCCTGCTGCGCGACGCCGACGCCTACGGGAAGATCCGGGAGGCGCTCGACGACGCCGGTGCCAAGGAGAACCGCGGCCAGGGGCTGCAGAAGGACGCCCTGCTCCGGCGGCTCATGGCGGCCGCCGAGCGGAGCCCGGCGCCGGAGCTGCTCGGCGGCTCGGACAGCACGCGCGGGGCGCCGGCGGGCGACGTCCTCGCGCTGAAGATCGACGTCAAGGGCGGCGCGGCCTTCGTGGCCGAGCTGGCCGAGACGGACGGCGTGTCGCGCGCGGTGCGGGCGCACCTCGCGTTCGACCGCCAGCGCGCGTCGACGCGGCTGGCCGCGGCGCGCGTCGACCCGGAGCTGCGGGGCTGCTTCTTTTTTGAAATTGCGCGGCCCGCGCCGAAGACGCCCGGCGCCTGGCGGAAGCTGATCCAGGGCCGGGCGTCGTCGCTCCGGATCGCGGTGACGCGGGAGCGCGTGGGCAACGCGCTCTCGCACAAGCGCGAGCTCGTGGCCACGGCGTCCCTGGACTGGCGCAAGGCGCTCCTGGACCGGGGCGGCGCGCGGTCCATCGCGCTCAAGGCGGCCGGGCCCGACGGCGTCGACGGCGAGGTCGCGACGCTGGACGTGGCCCTTGACGTGGTCGCCGTCGGTGGCGCCCTGGACCTGCCCTTCCAGCCCGACGACGTGGAAGACGCGATGCGCAAAGCGAGGAGCGAGCACGCCGAGGCCGCGCGGGCCTTTTACCTCTACGCGAAGCAGTGGTGGGACGGCTTCGCCAAGGGGGCCGGGCGAGATTTGCAGCAGCGGGAAGTCAAGCTCTTTGCCCGCGACGAAGCCGGCGAGATGCGGTGCGTCTGCTCGTACGTGCACCCGCTCCGCGCGAACCGCGTGCTCGACGGGCCGCACCAGGCGGCGCGCTTCGTGTCGCTGCTCCCGCTCGAGAAGGCGGGCAGCGTCGCCGGCGGCAACGCGGACACGTGGCACACGCCGCTCGCCACGTGCGCGCGGGGCTCGGGCGACGTCTGGGACCACGCGACGCTGCTCTGCTCGCTGCTGCGCGGCTACGGGCTCGACGCGCGCGTCTGCGTGGGGAGCATGTCGGACGGCCGCGGCGGCGCGCAGCCGCACGTCTGGGTCGCGACGTTCCTGCGGACGTCCGTCGACGCGTCGGGCCGGGCCCGGCTGCGCGTGACGGCCTGGGAGAGCGCGACGGGCCGGCGGTGCTCGCTCGCGCCGCTCGACGCCCAGGCGCGCGAGCGCTACCTGAGCGTCGCGTGCGTCTTCGGCGACGACTCGTTCCACGCGAACAAGCAGCCGTCGGACGCGATCCTGCGCTGCTCCTGGGACCTCGAGGACGCGAACGCCTGGCTCGCGCTCGACCCGCGGCGTCTGGCGGCGCTGGAGAACAACGCGGCGAAGGGCGCCATGGCGGACTTCGGCCTGGCGGCGCCGCTGCGGGACCCGCGCGCCATGGAGCTCGAGATGGAGCGCGACCTCAAGGCCCTCATCGAGCGGCACCGCGAGGCGTCGCGCGGCCTGAGTACGCACTGGGACGCGGACCTGGGCTACATGCTCCAGCCGTCGCTCGCGGCCTACGAGCAGGAGCGCGTCACGGGCCACGCCGTCGACCACGCGGACTTCCAGGACGCCGTGCGGCGCCGCGTGCCGCGGGGCCACTGCTTCAAGGGCTTCCCGACGTGCTTCCCGCACGCGCACGCGGGTCGCGCGCTCGCCGCGCTCGAGCGCGGCGACCTGAGCCGCGACGTGCTCGACACGCAGGGCGAGCAGGTCACGCACGCGCTCCGCGTGCGCGTCTTCCCCTACGCGGAGAACGTGTGCGCCGTCTGGGTCATGCTCGCGGTGCACTACAAGAAGGCGACGTAAGCACTACGGGGCGGGCCTAAGCATCCCCCATATACTGCATACGCGGGCCAGATACGCGTAAACGCAGCTAGTGGCTGTAAGACACTAGCACGCTGCCCCAAACGCGGCGGACGGCACGCACGGCTGCCCCAAAGCTCACCATGTGGCGCCACGCATGGCTCCTGTGCTTGGTAAGAGCGGACGAGTCCCTGTTCGTGCGGCACCCGACGGTGTACGATGTGCCACGAAGCTTCGACATGTGCCTGCAGGAGATTTACGTAAAGGACGCGCCGCGCACCGTCCGCTTCCGCGCGAACGAGACGGCACTCACGTGTGCAGCGCGGTCCGTGGCCTCGGGCGGCGGCGACGCCGGCAACAACGGCACGATCCGACACATCGCGCGCTTCCTCGAGCATCGGGCGTCGATGGCGCTCATGGCGCGGCGCGAGTTTCGGAGGGCCCTCCGCTGGGCGACGCGTATAGGAGCGCCTGCCTTGTTGGTGTCGTCGCAGGAGTGCCCCGAGGGGCCCGCGGATACCGACGTCGCGGCCGTCCTGGATCGGTTCGACCCCTGGCTGGCGCTGGACCTGAACCATTTCAACGCCTTCGCCGCAAGCGACTGGGAATTTTACCTCGGGGACCGGCCCCTCGCGGCCTTCGCCATGGCGTGCCGCTCCACCGCGCCGCTGGACGATAGGGCGCTCCGGGACACAATCACATACGCCTTCGCCGCGCTGCTGCCCGGCGCGGCCGTGGAGCTCGCCGTCCACCAGGAGCGGGCCGCGGGCGTGGACCGGATTCTGTTAGAAGCGGGGTTCGTCTTCGACCAGCCCGCCGTCGAGAGCGAGCGCGGCCCGCTGCCTTCGATCTTCGAGCTGCCCTTCGCGCCCGGCGAGCTCCAGCGGGAGATGGCCTGCCGCGGCGGCGCGGAGTCCGTTTTGGTGCGGGCCTTCAAGCCCGTCGACTTCGCGGCGGACGCGCGGCGGATCCAACGGAGGCCGCTCCCCTACGTCGACGGCGTCCACGTGCTCAACCTGAAACGACGGGAGGACCGCTGGGACGCCGTGCGGGCGAAGTGCGACCGCGCGGGCTTCGCGGCGGGCGGGCCGCGGCGCGTCGACGCCGTCGACGGGGCGACGCTGGACGTCGCGGCCGAGGACGTCAAGCGCGTCTTCAACCTGACGTCGTGGCGCTACGGCGGCGCGAAAAACTGCCACCAGGACCACGGGTATAGGAGCCGCGTCATCGGCTGCGCCCTGTCGCACCTCAAGGCCTGGCGGCTCATTAGTGAGGACGACGACGCGCACGCGCTGCATCTCATCCTGGAGGACGACGTCGAGTTCGCCGGGGACTTCGCGGAGCGGTGGGCGGATCTGGGACGGCGGCTCAAGGCGGACTACTCCTGGGACCTCGTGCACCTGGGCGTGTTAGATGACAGGAACCTCTACGACGACTCCCCGGTCGAGGGCGTGCCGGGCGCGCGGCGGTTCTCGGCCGCGCAGCGCAGCTTCGGGGCCGGCGCCTTTGCGTACGTGATCCGGCCGCGCACGGCGCGGTGGCTCCTGGCCAAAGCCTACGACATCGGCATCCAGCAGGCCGTCGACTGGTGGCTCGTCGAGCGCTTCGGCGAATTGGTCGCCTACAAGGCGGCGCCCAAGCTCGCGGCGTCGCCCCAGGGCGAGGGCCGCGACTCGGACAACGACGAGGACTACGACCAGGACCGCCTCGTGCTGGACACGTACCTCGACGACGACAAGAACGCGTCGCTCGACTCGCTCCGGATCATCCAACCGGACCCCGGCGCGCGCGTGGCGGCCAACGCGAGCCTGGAGGTGCGGACGGAGATGCTCGTCCACGGCGACCCGCGCGCCTTCTTCCTCGCGAGGCAGCTCATGCGCCTGTGCTACGAAGTGCACCGGCTCGCGCACTACGACGCGCCGACGAACGTCTTCGGGCCCCTCTGCCTCGGCCTCGCCAAAGCAAAGAACTACCAGCTGCCCGCGCCTACGTTCTCCGTCCCGGCCTGGTACGCCCTCAACGCGACGCTCGTCGACGAGTTCGGGGCCGAGCTCGCGGCGGCAACCGTCGTCTTCGAGGCGCGCGAGCCGGACGTGCCCGAGACCTACGAGCTGCCGCCCGCGCTGACGCCCGACGCGGCCGCGCGGCTCGTGCCCATCGAGGTCTCGCTCAACGGCGCCTTCACGTCGCTCGACTGCGCGCGGCAGCCCGACCTGTTCGACTGCGTCCGCGACTTCTGCGTGGGCAACGAGATCGAACCGGCGGTCCAGTGCATGGCGTCGCTGATCTCGTCATTCCAGGCGCAGGTTTTGTAACTAACAGTTTTGTATTCACTTCGCGCGCGGGGTGATGTGCGTTAGACAAGTACTCTTAGGGGTCCAAGATCGCTCGCACCAGCACGTCCGCCGCGCGTCTTACCTCGGCGTCCGTCGTGTGGCGGCCGACGCTCAGCCGCAGCGTGCCGACGGCGAGCTCCTGCTCGACGCCGACCGCCTTTAGCACGGCCGAGACCGCCGCCGTGCCGGAGTGGCACGCGGCCGACGCCGACGCCGCGACCTCGTCCTTGACCTTTGAGAGCACGCTCGACGCGACGCAGCCGCGCACCGCGAACGACAAGACGTTCGGGAGCGCATTCACGGTATCCCCGGCGCCGAGGGGCCCGTTGACGGCGCATCTACTAGCACCCAGGCGCTCCTCGAGCGCCGCCCGCAATGAGTCGCGCTGCTTCGCCGAGTGGGCGGCGATCGCCGCCCCCTCGGCCAACCAGATGTCCGCCGCGGCGCCTAGGGCCACAATATTTGGCACGGCCTCGGTGCCCGCCCGTCGTCCATTCTCCTGGCCGCCGCCGTACAACATCGAGGGCAAGGGCACACCTTCGCGGTGGAAGAGCGCCGCCACGCCCTTGGGCGCGCCGAACTTGTGGCCCACGAGCGTGAGGTAGTCGACGTTTAACTCGCTAACGTCGACGTCGATCTTTCCCACGGCCTGCGCCGCGTCCGTGTGGACCAGCACGCCGGCATCGACGGCTTTCACCGACTCCACGATCCGCGAGACGGGCTGGACCGCGCCGACCTCGTTGTTCGCGAGCATGATCGAGACGAGGGCCGTCTTGCCGGGCCTGATGGCCGCGGCGACGGCCGCCGGGTCCACGATGCCGCATTTGTCGACGCCGACCTTTGTGACTTCACACCGTCCCTGCTCCTCCAGCGCGTCGACGCACGCGAGGATCGCCGGGTGCTCGATGCTCGACACGACGACGTGCGTCCGGTCGTCGCGCAGACTCGCGGCGATGGCCCAGTTGTCGGCCTCGCTGCCGCAGCTGCAGAAGGTGATTTCTTTGCTGTCTGCGTGAATGAGCGTCGCCACGGAGTTCCTCGCCTTCGTCACCGCGTCGCGGCAGGGCGCGCCGTAAGCGTGGCTCGACGACGGGTTGCCCCAGTGGCTGTAGAGGTAGGGCAGCATCGCGTCGCCCACTTCCGGATAAATGGGGCACGTCGCCGCGTAGTCGAGGTAGACGCAATTGTTTTGCTGCGGCAGGGGCTTTGGGCCTCTCCGTCGCAAGCGCAGCGCCTGGGCGACCGCTGCTGCGAACGTGACGGCTAGGATCGCATGAATGGGAGTCGTTGCGGGCATTTTCTCTTGCCTCGGCGCAGTAGTTGGCTGGAGTGACAAGCTGCTCCTGGTTACACTAGTGTCTTATAGTACGCTAGCTATATGACGTGTGCCCTTGACCGCCCAAAAAGCCCGCCAGCAGCGAAATATCGCAAGCCGGATCTCATTTTGCCATCATTGGTCTACAGTTATCGCACCCCCCTTCACAAGGACAGAGCAGAGGGCTTCAAAAAGCGCTCTCACAAGCCTCACAGATTGTCTGGACACCATAGAGGCTGCAGCAGCGCGCAGTCTATCCTCATAAACGGCACGGAGTGCTTGAAAGGCTCTCACACTAAGTCAAGAAAACCCAAAAATGCTGCTCCGCCGGGCCCTCCGCCGAGCCGGAGCCGTCAGACGCTGCCGCGAGAAGTCTAGCTCGCCCAAGGAGGACCCGTTTCACAACCGCGCCACGGCGATGAACTTCGAGGAGGGGGAGGGCTGGCTCCAGCGCCTCGTGGGCACCACGGGCCGGACGACGACCGAGTTCGAGCGCTACAAGGCCGCCGCGAAAGCTGCAGTCAAGACCGACGCGGGCCTCAAGAGCGGCGACGAGCTCCTCTTTGCGGGCGAGGACGGCGACTGGCTGAAGAAGCTCGAGTCGTCGTCCGAGGCGCGCCAGCCGCGCACGCCCAAGGTCACCAAGACCGCCCGCACGACGCGGCGCCTCGAAGCCATCTCGAAGTTTTCGCTGACGCCGCGCGAGCTCAAAGCTCGCCTTGACACGTACGTCATCGGCCAGGACGAGGCGAAGAAGGCGCTCGCGGTCGCGCTGACGGACCACTTCCAGCACGCGCGGCGCGTCCTGGCCGACCCCGCCCAACACCTGGACGAGCCGTACCACAAGCGGAACGTGCTGCTCCTGGGACCGAGCGGCGTGGGCAAGACCGCGTTGCTCCGAGCCGCGCGGTTGGCTGTCGACGCGCCGTTGGTCGCCGCGGATGCGACGGCGTTCTCGGCCACGGGCTACGTGGGGCGGGACGCGTCCGACGTCGCGGCGCAGCTCGTCACCGCGGCCGACGGGGACAGAGACCTCGCGTCGTTTGGCGTCGTGTGTGTCGACGAAGTCGACAAGCTGCGGTCGCGCAGCGAGGGGAACGAAGTCGGTAAGCTGGACGTCCAGAGCTCACTGCTCAAACTAGTCGAGGACGCCGAGATCGACCTCGACGAGCGCGGGTCGGGCGGCGCGGCGGACCCAAAGCGCGCGCGACTCCTGAATCCGGACTCGACCTTCGACAACCTTTTCTCGACGAAGCACGTCCTCTTCGTGTTCTGCGGCGCCTTCACGGATCTGGCGGAGAACGACCGCGTCACGCCCGACGACCTCGTCGAGGCCGGCCTCATCCGGGAGCTCGTCGGGCGGCTGCCGGTGCGCGTGCGCCTCGACGCGCTGACCGCGGACGACCTCGCGAGCATCCTGGCCGCGTCCGGGCCCGCGTCGCCGCTGACGCAGATTAGGGGCGAGATGGCGGCCTATGGAGTCGACGTCGACTTCTCGGACTGCGCGATCCAGGCGTGGGCGGAGCGTGCCTTTGCCGAACGAACCGGCGCGCGCGGGCTCGCGACGGCGGTCGAGGACACGCTCCGGGGCTTCAAGTACGAGCTCCCGGGATCGGGCCGAGACTCCCTCCGCGTGACGGCGGACCTCGTCGCCGACCCCCGGGGCGCGCTGGCGCGGCTGCTTTCCTAGATGTAAATATACGGTGTTTGTCGTTCTACGATTAGGGGACACAACAACAAAATTAGCCCATCGAGGCGGTCGCCGCCGCGGCCACGGCGAAGCCGACGCTGACGAGCGCGAGCGCCGCCGCGGTCCGCTCCCGTCGCGCGCGCGACGGCGACGGCGGCGGCGACAGCGACGCGGCCCGCGGCGCGGCGACGGCGCGCGCCGGCCGCCGGCGCGCCGCGGGGGCCCCGCCCGCGGCGTCCTCGATGTCCACGGCGCCGCGCTTCTTCTTGAGGAGCTGGCCGCAGGCGCCGGCGACGTCGCTGCCCATCGTGACGCGCACGCAGCAGAGGAGCCCGCGCTGCGTCAGGATGGCCTGGAAGGCGCGCGCGCGGCCCTCGGTCGGCCGATCGTACGGCAGGTCCGGCGTCGGGTTGTAGGGGATCAGGTTCACCATGAGCCGGCCCGCGAACCGATGCTCCAGCAGGTCCCCGAGGGCCTCGGCGTCGGCGTCCGAGTCGTTGCAGCCGCCGAGCAGGATGTACTCGACCATGATCAGGGGCCCCTTGGTGATGAGGGGCAGCCGGAGCGCGACGTGCGCGTCGACCGCGTCCAGGACCCGGTCGATGCGGTGGCCCCGCGCGGCGGGCATGATCGCCTCGCGCTTCGCCTGGTCCGGCGCGTGCAGCGACAGCGCGAGGCCCACGCGCGGCTCGTCCTCGCCCAGCTGCCGGATGCGCTCGACGACGCCCACCGTCGACACCGTGACGCGGCCCGCGCGCAGCGCGAGGTACTGCGAGTCGAGGAGAAGCCGGCAGGCGCCGACCACGCTGTCGTAGTTGTTCAGGGGCTCGCCCATGCCCATAAAAACGACGTTTCTTGTCGACGGCTCCAGCGACCGCGCGATGAGGACCTGCTCCACGATCTCGCCGCGGCTCAGGTCGCCGCGGTCGCCCATCGTGCCCGTGGCGCAGAAGGAGCAGGCCATCGCGCAGCCCACTTGCGACGACACGCAGCAGGTCACGCGCGTCGACCGCAGCGTCGCGTGGCGCATGACGACGGCCTCGACCTCGGCGCCGTCGCGCAGCTCGACGACGACCTTCGTCGTCGTGCCGTCCTTGGAGTCGTGGCGCGACGCCACGCGCGTGCTCCGCACGGAGAACGCGTCTTCGAGAAACGCCGGCAGCTTCTGGGGCACGCGGCGCTTGAGCGCGGCCCAGTTCACGTCGGCCCAGGTCGTGACCTCCGGGTGGTGCGCCAGGTACGTCAGCAGCGCTTCGCCGTGGCGCCAGTCGACGTCTATGCTCTCGAGCTCCCGCCGGAGATGGTCCACGTCCCAGACCGACGGCGGGCGCGACGCGCTCGCGAACTTGCGGCGGCCGCCCATTATTGTTACTACGGTTATCGCAGCTTGTTTTTTTGCTGCTGCTCTCCCACGGCACAGAGAGTGCTCTCCAGGCTCTCAGTAGTGTAACAAATCCAGCACCGATGCACGAATGCGTTCGATCAATGCAAATGTAAGTATGAAACGCAGCGCTTGTCGCGCACTGCCGTCCGCGTATAGCAGCACGTCGCCGTGCCGTGTGCAGCCCAGCAGCTTGCCAATGGTGCCTGGAATCGTCGCACCCCCAGGAATCGGTCGTCGAGGCATGCGATGAGAAGTATACAGATACGGTAAAAAGCGTGCGGGGCTGAGACATCCTGATTTCAAGCCATTGCGTGGAATTTGCGTGCTCAGCTGACGCTTGCGCGGCGGCGCGCGGACACAAGCTCGCTTCCTCCGCCGGCGTCGCCCGCGGGGCAGCCGAGAGGAGCCGAGCGGCCTTCTAAAATGTGCATCTGCTTCTTCGACGATGGGCCCATCGACAAGGACCCGCGCGCGAACCGCGGGAACATGTTCAAGGTGGGCATGAAGGACGCGCCCTGCAAGGACCCGGCGATCTGCTGCGCCGGCTTCCTCTGCAACCCCTGCGTGGGCTTCTACATGCGCAAGAAGGTGCTGGGCGGCAACCTGGACCTCTACATGTGCTGCCAGGGCTACTACGACGGCCTCTGCTGCGGCCACCCGAAGGCCGGGTCCTACGGCGACACGGGCAACCCCGCGTGCATGGCCTGCGAGATGTGCTGCTGCCCGGGCTGGGCGACGTCGGCGACGCGCCAGTACGTCATGGACCAGTACGACCTCGCGAGCGACCCCTGCGACCGCCAGATCATCCGCTTCAACAACTTCATGCAGCTGCTCAGCTGCATCTGCTACACGCTCGCCATCATCGAGCCGTCGTGCCGCGACCTCGCCGACCTCGTGGGCTGCATCGCGGACCTCGTCTTCTACGCCACGGCGGCCTGCATGTTCGCCCAGGTCAACTACGAGCTCACGGAGCGCGAGAAGGGCGGCACGCTCGGCGCGCCGCGCGGCGGCGGCCAGGCCATGACCGCGCCCAAGCACCTCCAGATGGCCAGCCGGGGCGAGGCCTACCCGGCGGCGGCGCCGGTGCAGGGGCAGTACATGCAGCAGCCGCGCACGTTCCCCGTGGTCATCCCCCAGGGCGCCTACGCCGGGTCGCAGTTGACCGTCACGGCGCCGGACGGCCGGCAGATGGCGTTCGTCGTGCCGCCCGGCTCCGCGCCGGGCCAGCAGGTCCTTTGCCCGTACTGAGCTACGGACTAATGTGCCAGGAATCTATAGGACTATAGGAAAGGGGGGGCGGGGGCTTAGGCGTCCTCGTCGTCGTCGAAGTCGTCGTCGATGTCCTCCTCGGCCGCGCCGTCGGAGTCCTCGGCGTCCTCGCCGCGGAGCTCGATGCCATGCTTCGCAGCGAGGGCACGCTCAAGGCCGCGCGCGAACGCGCTGGGCACGCGGCCCCGGAAGAGCGCAAAGTCGCGGATCGCGCCGCGCAAAGGCCAGCGGCCGAGGTGGTCGGCGCCGAGCACGACGCGGTCGCCGAAGCCCCGCGACCGGGCGAGGGGCGCGCCCTCGAGCTCGCGCGCGCCGTCGACCTGCGCGCGCGTCGTGGTATCGGTACGGGCGGCAGGCGAAAAGTTTGATAAGGCGCGCCGCCGCCGACGAAGAGGTCCGCGCCGAGGTCCTGCTCCGCGGCCCGCTTGCCCCGGGTCCGCTTCGTCAGCACGACCGTGTAGACGCGGAGCGCGCCCGTGCTGCGCGTGCGGCCGCGGTGCACCGTCGCGCGCGCGCCGCCGCGGCCGGGCTGGAAGAGGGAGACGCGCGGCTGCGCGGCATCCGTGGCAGGAAAGGGATACCCGTGGCAGAGCTCGAGGCGCTGGGCGCCCTCGGTCGACGCGCAGTCGAAGATCGTGCAGTCGCCCGCCGCCGACGCGACGACGACGGCGACGCCCTCCTGGATCGGCTCGTCCAAGTGCTCGAGCACGAGGCCCGCCGGCGCCGGCTCCGCCTCGGCGCGGGGGCCGCCCGCGGCCCCGGGCCGCGCCTGGGCCTGGGGCTTCCGCCCGAGCGCGTCGCGCCAGACGTGGGCGCGGTCGGGCGCGACGACCTGCGGCGCCCGGAGCCAGGCCGCGTTGCGGGCCCAGCAGGCGGCCAGGCCCCGCCAGGGCGTGTGCTCGACGTGCACGTCGGCCAGCGTGCTCCACTTTTGTCGTATCAAGACCTCGGCGGCCGTCTCGCAGGCTCTGCGCATGTCGCGGCTCGCCGCGGCCACTTCTAATTCTGGGAGAAGGCCCAGGCAGATGTCGACGAGCACGCCGTCGGCCAGGATGTGGTCCATTCTTGCCCCGTGACCCTTCTTGCGCTGTCGGCGAGCAAAATTTAAAGTACCTGCTTCACCCGAGAGACGCCGAGCTCTGCGAAGCCTAGTTCAAATTTGGCTGGGTCTCGCGCTGTGTAGGGTGAGATGGCAGCACAGGTACCTCGAAAAAGGGCCCAGGCGAAGCTCTGGTCAGTATATTGCGACGCGGCTGGTGAAGAACTGCGGACGGCACTGGATGATGCTCATCCGCGGCTAACCCCCCCTCGCGTTGCACGAACCGATGCGCTATCCGGAGTACGAACCATCGTCCATCGTCCACCGTCGCGCATTACCTATTGGCTGTGACGCGCAAAGTTCTGACGGCCAAGGCACAGGCACCGCGGACGTGGCGGCGGCGACGGCGACCAAGGAACTACAACGATTAGTCGCGATCACATCAGCGCCAGCCGCTCGAAGAGCAGCCCTGGCACGCGCTGCGTCGCGAGCTTGAGCGCCGCGACGTCGTCCGCGGCGCCGAAGCCCGCGGCCGCGTAGCGGTCCACCGCGGCGGCGAACTCGGCGTCCGAGAACTCGCCGACGGGGATCTCGAAGGGCGCGTGGGCGATGCCGAGGCGCCGGTCGCGCGGCCCGAGGCCGGCGCCGCCGCGCGACTGCGAGTCGGCGAGCACGTACGCGCCGCGCGCGAGCCGCCGCTCGGGCGGCACGCCGGCATTTCCAAGCCCCCGCAGCGCGCGGATGTGCACGAGGTCGTCGGGCTTGAGGCTGACGCCGTCGTAGTAGTAGGCCGTCGCGGGCTCGAAGAGCGCCGAGTACTCGTCGACCGCGATCAACACCGGCGCCGCGTCGTGCGCCCTCAAACCGTCGACGACGTCGGCCAGCGCCGTCGACGCCTCGTCGCCGCGCTTCTTGTCGTCGAGGGCGGCGCCCACGACCTCGCGCAGCGTCGCGCCGCCCCAGCGCTCCGCGGCCGCGTCCGTGCACTTGACGGTCGCGAGGTCGTTGCCGTGCGCCTCCCTAAAGGCCTCGAGCACTTCCCGGCTCCGGGATGGCTCCTCGAAGCGGCCCGCGTGGTGCGGCGACGGCACGACGTAGTCGCCGTGGTGGCCGACGTCGCGCGCGCGCGCGACGAAGAGGCAGAGCCAGCCGCGCGCGCGCGCCTGCGTCACGATCTGCGCCAGCGCCACGGACTTGCCGGCGCCGCGCGCGCCCGTCAGCAGGTACGCGTCGCGCGGCGGGAGCTCGTCCCGGCACCGCCCGCACTTGGCGCACGTCAGCCGGAAGCTCCGGCTGGCGAACGTCGTGAAGCCGCAGTTGGGGCACGTGAAGTCCGCGTCCGCGTCGAGCCCGTCGCCCTCGTCCGGGTTCGCCGCGCGCCGCTCGAGCGCCTCGACGACGCGCCGCGTCGCCTCGCGCTCGACGAAGAGCGGCGCGCCGTCGACCACGTCCGTCTCGCGCTCGACGGCGCGCACGGCCTCGGGCATTTCTTTGATCTCCGCGAAGCGCACGGCGCCGCCGCTGCCGTCGGAGAGCGGGCGTCTCGCTGTCCGCAGCACACTGAGCGTGCTGCGCGACGGCGTGCCGGCGGCGACACGGCGGGCACAGCATTGAGTTGCCCTCCGCATGTTGTTACACGTGCGTGGATGCGTGCAACAAAGGCAGCAGCTCAGCCTCGTCTCCCTGTGGCTTGTTGCTAGTGTCTTACTGCTCTAGCTCTGGCTGATCCATCGACACGCGGTATCGGACACTACACCTCCCCGCGAAGAGAGGACCACTACTTTTCGGGTTGCGGCCGCTCGGCCCGGCCTGCCAGGCACGGCGCTGCAGAGTGGCAAGCAATCGCAGCCTGCGAGGAGGTCCGGCAGTACGGGCGTTCTTCGAGGTCGTGCCAAAGTGCCAGTTCCGGCCCGATTCGTGAGTCCTTGGGCAGTCCTGCGAGCAGGCCAATCGGGCAGCCTTAAGCAGGCCAATACCTCGGGGCAGCGGATGCCGGCCTTAGCCCAGACGGTCGACCGCCCGGCCGGCCCCGTCTACAAGCAGGGCGCCGCCCAGCAGCCCGGCAAGGCGAACCGCTCGACGTTCTCCGTCTCGCAGCGCGACGCCATCGAGCGGGCGGGCGCGCTGCGCGGCCAGCGCGGGCGGGCGCAGCAGCCCTACTCCGGCCCGGTCGTGGTCGCGCCGACGAAGCAGCGCGGGCCGGGCTACGGGCTCGCGGGCGTGCTGCGGACGCGGCGGCCCCGGGCCAAGGACTCCCGGGGCAAGGGCGACAGCCTGCTGTTCCTGCGCGACCGCGAGCACGCCAAGCTCGTGAAGCGCGCGCAGGAGGTGCGCCAGTCGGCCGCGGACCGGTGCCGCCGCGCGAGCCGCATCCACCGGCAGCGGCGGAAGCCGACGGACGACGACGCGTACCACATGCGGCCCAAGTGGGACACGCACCTGGAGCGGTGCGTGCGCGAGGACCGCATCGACGAGCTCTGGCAGCCGAAGTCAAAGCCGCCGCGGGAGACCTTCGAGGGGCCCCCGCCCGCGCACGTCGACGCGCCGCACACGATGGACCCCGGCGACAAGCTCTACCCGGCGCCGCGCCACACGGTGGACGTCGACGCCGAGGCGCTGCGGGCGTCCCGGCAGCAGGAGGTGCGGCGGCCGCGGTCCGGCTGGGCGCCGCCGCCGCACTTCCTCGCCCGCGGGGCGTCGCCGCCGCAGAGCAGGACGGCGGCGAAGCTCCGGCAGTGCCCGCGCTGCATGGTCCTCTACCTCGCCGAGAACCACACGTGCGTGCCCGTGTCGAGCGCGCCGGTGGAGAAGTACGACGGGCGGACGGACACGCGCGTGCGCCTCCCCTCGCCGCGGACGTCGGCGCATAGCGGGCTCCGATGATAAGGTCCAAAAATAGTTATCCCCAAAGAAAATCCCCGTCGCTGATGTGCCGGCGATGCCTCTGCGGCGCCGGGTTGTTGTTCCGCGCCATGCGCGCGGCCCAGTCGGTCCGCGCCGGCGCGTCCTCCAGCAGCCCGTTGTATTCCCTGACGTGTGCTTCCAGGGCGGCGCGGCGCTGCGACAAGAGACAACAAAACAATACGGACCAGACCCGGACGTTGCGGAGTGCGCTCTCACTCCGCGCCTTTCGCTCGTGCAGTAATCGCAGCGCCAGATCGTCGCAGGCGGCAGACCCCAGTGCGTAGTAGCCCCAACCCATTGAGCCTTCACCGAACAGGTAGCCAGCGGTCGGCGGATTTTGGTTGCGAGGAATGAAGTCGCGACCGCCCGGCACTGACGGCGCGACGGCGGCGGCGACGACGGGCTCGGCCGCGATGGGTTCTGCGATGGCGACGGCCTGCGGCGCTTGCGCGACGGCGACGACTGTGCCGGTCGGCATCGGTTGCTCACCATACATGGTGGGTGCTGTGTGCTTTTTCAATAGATGCTGTGCTATCTGTGCTTATTATGCTATCTGCCGCAAGTCACACGTTTGGGGCAGCACTCGCGCCAGCCTATTGGTCACAACAAACAACAACTCGGAGGCTGCCCCTGGCTGCCCAACAAGAGAGCTTCCCCCAGAGCTTGCTAGTGTCTTAAGGCCGCTAGCGCGGATTTCCGAAGTGAGGTTTCCGCAAGGCACACGAACAACAAAAGTTAGGAGGAGGCCGCACCGCCGCCACTGAGGCGCCGCCGCGCCGCCGATGCGACGCTTCTCGCGCGCTCCGACAACGCGTGCCATCCCCGTACACACCATGCTCCCGCGCCGGCCATCTGGCCCCAGGCGGCGAGGACACCGAGGACGCCGCCGACGGCTATCAGGGTGAACTCATCTTCTTCGAAGATCGGGTGCAGGAGCCGCTCGAAGTCGCGCGACGGCATCGCCGCCATGGCGTCGCCCAGGGCTGTTTCTAACCCGAGCGCGGAGTCGGCGTAGGCGTAGAGGCCGTCCGGCAGGGCTGCCGGGAGCTCGAGCGCGACGTTATTTGTCACGCTATCTAAAAGCGCGGTGTTCGCCGACGCGAGCGACGGAACGCCAGAGATGCGCTCCGTCCCCCTGATGAACGTCTGGACGCGCCGCCGGAGGTGCGGTCTAAAAGTCGCGGCGCCGCCGGGCGAGAAGAGCGCCGCGTGCAGGAGCTTTCTGGCCGTCAGGACCTGTGTGGAAATCAACCAGTGTGTCGGGTGCACGCGGCCGTCCTGGCTCGGTCGAGCGGCGAGGAACCGGCATCGCCACGCCATCGAGCAGGCGTCGCGTCGATGGCGTGGAGGACGACACGATGATTCAGCACGAACGTGCCGTAAATTTTGATTTCCACACAGGTCAGCACGCGCGTCGCGAAGAAGCGCGCGAAGTCGCGCGCCACCTCGGGCTGCCGCCGCAGGAAGCAGCCCTGCAGCGTGACCGGGCCGAACCTCCGCGGGTCGACGGGGATGAAGATCCACAGCAGCGCGATCCAGTTCGTCACGCAGCCCACGACGCCCGACCCGACGAGCGGCACCCAGCGCCGCTCCGGCTCGGCCGTCACGTTCCGGCCCGCGCCGCCCAGCCGCCGGGGCAGGACCAGCGAGCACCCGGACTGCAGGAGCCCGAGCGCGAGCCCCACCACCAAGCCCGAGTTGACCAGCAGCCGCAGCTCCCGCTTGCCGACCTCCTGGAAGAGGTCCACCAGGCCCTTGACGTTTGGGCCCGTGAGCTCGCCCACGCACAGCGCCGTGAGGTCCAGGCCGTCCGCCGCGTGACTTCTCACGTCCTGCGCCACGCCGACGGCCAACGCGCGCGCCTCCGCGTCGAGCGCGACGCGCGTCGCGTCCGGCGCGCCGCCCACCAACCACCTTCCGAGCGCCCGCCCGGGCCGGCCCGCCGCCGTTCCCGCGACGGCCCCGACCCGCGCGGGCGGCAGGAAGTCCGCCACCTTCGCCGGGTCCAGGTTCTGCAGCGTCCCGGGCACGCTGACCAAGTCCGTCGTCACCTCGACCAAGTCCCGGGCCATGCGCGGCGCCTTGGCCGGCACGATGCCCTGCCAGCCGAGCAGCGGCCCGAACGGCGGCAGGTCGCCCAGCGCCGAGCACGGCCGCCGCCTCAGGAACGGAAAAGGCGAGGGCACGCCGCGCCACTGGAGCGGGTAGAAGAGCATCTGCACGCCGACCCAGTTCGTGAACCAGCCCACGAACGCCGCCGTCAGGGGCGTCGCGACGGCGTAGCCCCACGGGTTCGCCCGGAAGCGGTCCCGAGCCGTCTGCCTTAGGTCCTGCGACAGCGCCGCCGTCGCCGCGGCGCCGAGTCCCAGCGCGGCGACCGCCGGCCCCGGGCGGCCGCACGCCGCGAGGACGCAGCCCGGCAGCAGCAGCGGCGCGGCGCGCGTGGCGTTCCAGGCGCGTTGCGCCGCGCTGGCTTTCGTGCTTGCGAGTGCCATGCAGCGTCTGGGCTTTTGTCGCAGCCGCGGCGGCGCGACCAGCGCCGTGCAGAGCGCTGCTGTGGCTAGGAGTCGCATGGCTGCTTAGCGAGTCATATCGATGTCTAGATGCCGCATGGCTGCACAATGGCTGTCGACGTAGAAACCCGCGAGCTCTGGAGGCTCGGGGCTCGATCGCAAGGCTGCACAAAGCCGGCCGTGCAAGCGACCTAGCGGCTTGTAAGGCACTAGTAATTATCTCGAAGCGCGGACCCGGCGGGGCTAAATCCGTCGATACGCACGAATAAATATCATCCGGACGCCGCCGCAGCGCAGCGGTGCTTTGGAGGTGCTTTGGTGCAGAGGTGTGAGCTACCATGGCCGGCGTCACGGTCGTCGAGGACTTGGACGCCGAGAACCTGCTCGAACACCTTTGCCTCGAAGAGGAGGCCAAGGAGGTCCGGGGCTGGGTCGCCGAGAAGACGCCGCGGCCCGCCGGCCTGGACAAGCGCCTGAGCAGCGCCGCGAAGCTGCGCGGCAAGGGCAACGTCGCCTACGAGCGCAAGGAGTGGGACGCGGCCGTGTGGCTCTACCTCGCGGCGCTGCACCACGTCGACTACTCGCTCAAGGACTCGCGCGCCGACAAGCTCGGCGACTCCGTCGTCGGGACGGCGAAGCTGCAGGAGGAGGTCGCCCGCGTCTGCGCGAATCTGGCGGCGGCCTTCTCGGCGAAGGACGACGCCTACAACGCGGCGCGGTCGGCGGCGCTCGGCCTCGACTACGCCGAGAAGTGCCGGTCCGTCAAGGACGACAAGCGGGCGCTGCGGGCGAAGCTGCTCTACCGGCGCGGCGTCGCGCGCTCGCGGAACGCGGGCCGGCCGAACGCGGGGCCCAACGACACGGTCGAGGACGGGCTCGCGGACGTCAAGGAGGCCTGCCGCCTCGACGAGTCCCGGGACCGGGGCATGCGCGAGGCCTACCGCAAGCTCAAGCGGCGCGCCGACGCGGAGCCGCCCGCCTACGCCGCGGGCTTCCTGAAGGCGGACCTGCCGCCGGGCGTCGAGGCCGTCGCCGACGACGACGCCTCCGAGGCGCCCGCCGCCGCCGCGCCGGCCCCGGCGCCCGCGCCCGCGCCCGCGCCGCCCCGGCCCGCGCGGTCCGCGCCGGCGCCGGAGCCGGAACCATCGCGGCGGCCCGGCCGCGTCCGCCGGGTCCTGAACGCGCTGAGCCGCGGCGTCGAGCGCATGCCGCCCCGGCGCCGCGACCGCGTTGTGGTCATACTCGTCTCGACGCCCATCGTCGCGGTCTTCGCCGCCGTCAGCTGGGCCTGGCGCGACACGCGGAGCCCGCACCAGGTCGTCAACATCGTCGCGATCTTCGCGCTCATCGTCGCGCGGCTCGTCGACACGTACCGCAAGTTCCGGCGCGCGGCGGAGAAGCGCCGCGTCGTCCGGGGAATGCTTGCGACGAAGAAGAAGCATGCGTAATGAGTTTTTTATTCTGGTATCTACGTTCTGCCGAACCGCCGAGCGCCTCGGGCCCCTAAATGAACGAGCTCCCAATTCGCAATTCGCAGTCGATGGCTGCGCGAGCGCCCGAAGTAGTCCCCATGTACCAAGGTGCGAGATTATTCTGCTCCGGGCCCCATGTTTATACAATGAAGAGCCAAACCGAGCTAGCGTATATCGACATACTAGTAAATTTAAAGATACGCCTCGATAGCGTCAAAAGAATGACCCAAATTCAGAATACATCCTAGTCGTTCGCTGAGACCAAAGATTTCAGAGTAGCGGCCCGGGAACATACCCTCGCGCCTCCCGGAAGGCACCGCCCGCGACATTCGCGGATGAGCCTTACGGCTCGCCAATTTATACCAGCGATTGACGGCGCCTTCTACCGTCCAAATGGGACATTATATCAGCTCCAGCCCAGTTTTCATCCACAATCGACGGAACCGGAGCCGACGGCCCGCGCTCGGAGGGCGGGAAAAGAATTCTACTAGACAACTCTCGCGTTTATGTTCGTTTCCTTCCGTTTGTTAGTGGTAGAGTCCATCTAGGCCGATTGAACACGTACTCATCTATTTTAGGTGCTCCGTTAGAGCCGCGCGAAACGACGAATCCGCGAGCACGCGCTTATGCTAAGACGGCTCAGAACCTGGCCCCGCGAGTATCAGCGACGCCACCATCTAGATGGATCATAACGCCGTTGTTCTATTCACGATCGACCGACTTGCCCGTTCTCCGCGGACGACGGTACGTACGCGGGGCACCGGAAAGGCCCCAGACCGGTGGTTTATAAAATAAATTTGCGTTTCAGGCGCTTTAGTAGTGGTAAGGGCCAGATAACCGGCCTGAGCGGGTACTACATTGCTCGAGACCCCACGATGCTCCGCGCGGCTCGGCCAACTCCCGAGCCCACGATCTTGTTAATTTTGGCTTCAGGCTCAGACCTGCGACCATCAGCGCGTGTACCATCACCATGGACCATGATGCGATCATTTGTTCCATGAACGACGGACTTACGCGAGGTCCAGATAAAGATGTTCACGTCCCGAGCGTGGGCGGCCCAAAGTACCCTTCTCGTGGTGTAGATGTCATATACTTGTAATTGACTATCTTTGGGGTAGTATGGGGTCCGACGAGACCGCTACGGCGACTACTGGGGGCCCTCGGGTAATTGACGTTTTTACCGGGAACGGGGCGCCATCGGGTCCAAATTGTTTACTTTTTTCGGGGGTAGATCGGCTCTCTGACTCCCTCTCGGATAGGTCTGGGGTCGGGTAGTCGCCTACGCCGCATGCGGCGCCGCTTGGTGCTCCCCAGAGAGCTCTGGATCGAGATCTTGAGGACTTGGGCTCCGGCCCGACAGCTGGCTGAGGACCTGCACTGATATGTATCTACCGATGGATGCGCCCGCGCATGCGGTGTAGGCGCTTGCGCGTGTAAAGTAACGACCTCGACCGACCTCCGAGAGGCCTCAGGACCACGAATCGACAGGATTCCACCGACGCGCCCGCCCTGGTGGCGTCGTCAATATCGCGACATCAAGAAATTAATTTTTTTGACCCCCAGTACGTGTCCTATTGATGTCTTTGGACCAGTAGCGAACCGAAGGATACTCAAACAAATGCATGGCGTTCACATCAAAAGCAACAAAACGGGTCCACCACAACTCTTGCATTTTGCTTTTCAAGTGCTTTTTGATCCCTATTTTTGCAATTTACGTGTCCACTCGCGTCCCAGCAGCGGTGACACACCACAGCTTTCACGCCGGCGACGTGTGCCAGCACATGCAAAACTTCGACGCTACAGCCACACTCCAGCCTTTGCACTTTGGGTCCTCACACGCAGCCAAGGTCTCAGCTCACACAGCTCGCAGCATGACGACTACCCCACGGCTGCGACTATGGGGAGGACTGCTGCTCCTCGCAGCGACGAGCGAATCCTTCCAGCGCACGCCGCCGTCGCGTGCGCACACGCGCTTGCACGCATCCACGACGCTGCCGGAGCTGCTCGAGGCGCTCAAGCCCTATGCGCCGGTACGCTGCATCGTCGTGCTTCCCGGCGCCGGCGCGATACTGGAGTCGGCGGTTGACGCATCGCGGTGGACGATGTCGGAAAGCACGACCCCGACGGGCAAGACGCTTCTCACGTGCAAAATCGCGGACGGTGGTGACTCGCCGCCGCCCTTTGAACTCCACCTCGACGTCGATCGGGCGAAGAAGGCGACGCTCGGCGTGTCGCCCAAGACGGGCGGGCCGATCGTTCGCGTGATGGACGGAGATGGAGCCGGTCTCGTCACGTTGCTCCCGACGGGCGATTCCTTCGTCGACGACGTCGTCGGCAAACTCGGCGAGGAAGTGGACCTCGTGCGAAGGTAACTACGATAGATACAAAATTACTAGAGGGGGCTTGCCCGGCGGTCCTCGTCGGACGAGGTCCCCCCGGAGTCGTCGCCGATCACCACGACGACGCCGTCGTCGGCGGAGGAGAGAGCGCGGCGGCGCCGCCTCTTGCGCGGTCGCCCGGGCGACCGCGGCGGCGGCGCGGGCGCCCGCTCGGCGATCTCCCACGACCGGAGGCCGCGCCGCGGCGTCGGCGCCTCCGAGCGGCGCGCGTCCGGGGTCAGGTCGCCGTCCTCGTCGATCTCGCCGTCCTCGAGGTCCAGGGCGATACTCAGCTTTGGAGGGGTGACGGGCCGCGGCGTCGACTCGGCGCTCGGCGGCGTCGCCGGTTCGCCGTAGTAGAACAGTGTGGTCTTGGCGTAGATCTCGCGCAGCGACAGCTCCAGCAGCGCTTGCTCGCGGTCGGCCATGGTTGTAGCCGCCCGCGCGGGGCGCGGCCGATCGCGGTCGCTACAGCAGCAGCCCGCGTGCGCGCCCGCGCGCCGAAGGCGCTCCGCTGAAGCTGAACGAAGAGTGAGCTCTCAGTCGCCCACAGCTTGCCAGTGGCAACCCGTTGCCGGCGCCCCAGCCGGGCGGCAGCGGTGCACACAGGCGCAACGCCAGAAACAGGAGGGCGTGTACGACGCCCAACAATACGAATTCAGCCGGAGACCCGCGATAATCGTGCTGGGACGGGTTTTTTTCCGCCCGACTGCAAACGCACAAGACCACTCGCACCGAGTCGAACCCGTTGCGCGTTTCAAACCGGACCCTAAGTGCTTTTTGACCTCTGCGAGCAGTCATCAGCATAGCAGTGCCATAAGCGCAGGCACACGAATCACGATGCTCCTGCTGCTTGCAGTATCGGCATGCGCCCTGCGCGCGCCGCCGCGGCACGCCATCTCAATGTCAGCAGGCACGCCCATAAGGAGGAGGCAGCTGGGCACCTCTGATCTGGTCGTGAGCGACGTGTGCCTCGGCACGATGACCTGGGGCAAGCAGAACACGCTGGAGGAGGGCGTGCAGCAATTAGACTGCGCCTTCGACGAGTACGGCCTGAATTTTTTGGACACCGCCGAGATGTACCCGGTGCCGACCGAGGCGGAGACGCAGGGAAAGACGGACGAGACGATCGGCGCCTGGCTCAAGAAGCGCGGGCGGCGGGACGACGTCGTCTTGGCCTCGAAGATCTGCGGCGCGTCGGAGCGCATCACGTGGGTCCGCGGCGACGGGCGCGGGACGCGCGTGACGGAGGCGGACATCGTCGAGGGCGTCGAGGGCTCGCTGCGCCGCCTGGGCACGGACTACATTGATCTCCTCCAAATCCACTGGCCCGACCGCTACGTGCCTTTATTCGGGAGCGGCACGTACGACGCCTCCCAAGAGCGCGAGGCGGTGCCGTTCGTCGAGCAGCTGCAAGCGCTCAAGAAACTGGTGGACCAGGGCAAGGTGCGCCACATCGGCGTGTCGAACGAGACGCCCTACGGCGTCTGCCGCTTCATCCAGGAGCACGAGCGGGACGCGAGCCTGCCGCGGATCTGCTCGATCCAGAACTCGTACTCCCTACTCGTGCGGTCCGACTTCGAGAGCGGCCTCACGGAGACGTGCGCCCAGACCGACGTCGGGCTCCTCGCGTACAGCCCGCTCGCGGGCGGCATCCTCTCGGGCAAGTACAGCGGCAGCAAGGCGCCGGCGGGCGCGCGCCTGAACCTGTTCCCGGGCTTCATGGACCGCTACTCGCAGTCGCTCGCGAAGGAGGCCGTCGTCGAGTACGAGCGCGTCGCCGCCGCGTACGACGTGACGCCCGCGCAGCTCGCCCTGAAGTGGTGCTACAGCCGGCCGCACGTCGCGTCGACGATCATCGGCGCGACGTCCATGGACCAGCTGCGCGAGAACATCGACGCCTTCTTCCTCGACGACCTGCCCGAGGGCTGCCTCGACGCCGTCGCCGACGTGTACTCGCGCTACCGCGACCCGAGCAAGACGTCGTAGTAGTTTCGCGCTTAACTTGTTGTTGGTCTTTTTGGATCGCCCGGCGGCGTCATGGCGGGCGTTGAACTTGTTGTTGGTCTTTTGATCGCCCGGCGGCGTCATGGCGGGCGAGATGGCCGGGCGTTGACCTAACTGCGCGATTTTTGCCCTGAGCGATTCGGTGCAAGGGTCACGGCCCTCCCGGATCACTCGGGAGGCCATTTGCAGACGTGCGCCGAGGCATGCAGAAAGGGAGTGATGCGGCGTGGTAAAGCCAAAGCCGCTGTCCTTGTCACAGGATAAGTAAAACTGGCACTTGACAGTTGGCACATTTGAGGCCACACACGCGGCGATATCGCAGCCCATCTGCCAGCTATCGTTGAGCCACACACGCGGCGTATATCGCTGGTGGATCCAGAGGCTGCTAAGGCCCATTTTTACCGCATCATAACACGCGCAGCGGCCGAAAGATGCGCCGGGTCGTGGCGCTGAGCCTCATCGCTGCAGCAGCGGTGGCGCTTGCGCCGTCGCCGCTGCGCATCCGCGACCGGCTCGCCGCGGGCGTCCGACGGCCCGCCGCGAAGGACTACTACGCCTTTCGACGGGAAAACGACGAGACGGTGCTCGACCGGACGGACGAGGAGACCGAGGTCGAGGCCGACGACGCCGAGGCGCCGCTCGTCAGGGGGCAGTCGCTCTACCACGAGCGGCACAAGAAAGAAATCGAGGACGGGATCCTCTCGCACCTGACGGAATTGGGCTTGACGCTCAAGGAGGCCGCCGAGGCGCTCATGGGCGGCCACGACGACGACGTCGTGGCCTTCAGCGAGACGGGCGAGTACCGCGACCTCCAGAAGCACGCGCGGGCCATGGAGCAGGAGCACCTGCGGGAGCTCCTCGAGGACCCGCAGCGCTTCAAGGCCATGTCGCTGGAGGCCAAACACTGCGGCGTCTTCCTGGACTGGACGCGGCAGAAGGTCTCCGAGGGAACGATGGCCAAGCTCTTCGAGCTGGCGCGGACCATGGACGTGCCCGCGAAGATCAAGCAGATGCAGAACGGGGAGCGCATCAACACGTCCGAGCGCCGCGCCGTGCTCCACACGGCGCTGCGGGCGCGGCGCGGCGACGCGCACCACGACGTCTCCGAGAACGTCGCGCGGTACACGTCGATGTTGGAAGAGGCCGTGCCCATCGACGACGCCATCAAGGCTTCGTGTGATGTGCGGGACCGCCTGCTGGCCTTCGTCGACGACGTGCGGAACGGGCGGGTCCGGTCCGTCCGCGGCGAGCCCTTCGAGTCTGTGGTGGTGGTCGGCATCGGCGGGTCGTACCTGGGCCCGGAGTTCGTGACGCAGGCGACGGCGGGCGAGAAGGCGCCGGCGGAGGACGGGCGGCGCGTCGACGTGCGCTTCGTCGCGAACGTCGACCCCGTGGCGTTCGACGTCGCGACGGAGGGCCTCGACGCGACGAAGACCTTGGCGATCGTCGTGTCCAAGTCCTGGACGACGGCGGAGACGCTGCGCAACGCCCAGAAGGTGCGCCGGTGGATCGTCGACGGGTGCGTCGAGAAGGACGCGCGGCTGTCCGAGCCGCAGATCGTGCGCGCGCACTTCGTGGCCTGCGCGTCGCGCACGGCGTCGGCCGAGGTCGAGGCCTGGGGCGTCGACAGCGACGCGCGCCTTTTTGAATTTTGGAACTGGGTCGGCGGCCGCTACTCGTCGACGTCGTCGGCGGGCGTGCTGCCGCTGGCGCTCGCGCGCGGGTCGACGGCGGCGCGCGCCTTCCTGGACGGCGCGCGGGCCATGGACGAGCACTTCTTCGCCGAGCCCCTCGAGACGAACGTGCCCGTGGTCATGGCGCTCCTGGGCATCTGGAACGTGAACTTTCTCGGGCTCGGCGCGCGCGCCGTCGTGCCGTACTCGGAAGCTTTAGCGCGCTTCGCCGCCCACGTCCAGCAGCTCGAGATGGAGTCGCACGGCAAGTCCGTGACCATCGACGGGCGGCCGCTGGACTTCGTCACGGGCGAGATCGTCATCGGCGAGCCCGGGACGAACGCGCAACACTCCTTTTTCCAGTTGCTCCACCAGGGCCAGGCCGTGCCGACGGACTTCATCGGCTTCCTGCGGCCGGACGACGCCACGTCGGACCTCGCGGGCCACGACGAGCTCATGTCTAACTTTTTCGCCCAGCCCGACGCGCTCGCCGTCGGCCGCGCCTTCGAGGACGTGCTCGGCGACGCCATGGGCGCGGACGGCGGCGACCTCGAGAACTGCCCGCACCGGACGCTGTCGGGCGACCGGCCGTCGCTGACGCTGCTGCTCGACAAGCTCGACGCGTTCCACGTCGGCGCGCTGCTCAGCCTCTACGAGCACCGCTGCGCCGTCCAGGGCTTCGTCTGGGACATCAACTCCTTCGACCAGTGGGGCGTGCAGCTGGGCAAGGACCTCGCGGGCGACGTGCGCGCGAACATCCGCGGCGAGGCCGGCGCGCCGCGGATGAACCCGTCGACGGCCGCGCTGCTCGAGAGGTATCGGGTCGCGACGCGGGCCGCGCCGCCGTAATTTGCCACGGAAATCTAGTTGCCCCTACTAGCTGCGAACTCCTTATGAGCGCTGGGGAAGAGAGAACTAGCCACGGAAGTCTAGTTGCCCCTAGGGAAGGCCGGCTCGACTGCGAACTCCTTATGAGCGCTGGGGGAGAGAAGGAAACGACACGCGGGGTATCGCGCCGCGCGACGACGTCGTAGGCCGCGGCGGCCTGCGCGGGAACGAGGTTCGGTCTCGGACGGTCGATGGAGGCGGACGCCGGAGTCGCGCTGCTTGCGGCGACGCGTAGGTGCCGTTCTTCTTGTGGGACTTGTCGGTCGACGCGTTCTCGCTCGTCACCGAGAACGTGTAGAGCTGGTTGCCGTTGTCGTCCGTCACGAGAAATCCATTGGCGCGCGCCTTGAGCACGCCGAAGCCGAGCGCGGTGAGCCCGCCGCCGTTCCCGCTGACGCGAGCGTGCTGCGCGCGCGAAGCAGCGGACGCCGAAAAAAGTACGCGACGAGCCGCGAGCCCGCCTGCAACGAGCCGCTCGAGCCCGCGCGCGAGCGGTAGGCCGGACTCGTGGCCACGGCGTGGCAGTAGACCGCGGTGTCTCTCCTGTGTTGAAAAGCGTAAATAGAGGCCGTCGCTGGGGCGAACGGGTCCCGACGCCGACGCGCTCACCACTCGAAGGAGATCACCGCGAGGACCTGCGCGAATCACGAAGTCACTTCCGCAGTCGATCATGGCTGCGCCGGGACCGCACGCCCAGGACGTCACTTTCGAGGCTCGCCTCCCAGAGCTGCGCGCGGGGGGCGCGGTCGACGGCGTCGCGCGCGAAGCGAATTTTCGGGCGCGCGCGCGCGCGCGCGCGCACTCTCGCAACGGCCACGTGCTGCGCGGCGCGCGGGCTCTCGCGGGGCGGGCGGGCGCCTTACCTCGGCGAAGGCGCCGCCCGCGCGCGACGTGACGACGTTAATCCAGTGGTCTTCGGCGTGGCCCGCGAACGCCTGCGCGGGGGGCGTGAGGCGGCGGCGCGGTCGCGTCGGGTCCCGCGCGGGGCGGCGGGGCGAAATTGCGGGCCGCGCGGGCCAAACGCGGCGGCGCACGTCGGTCAGGATGTCGGCCATGCCCCAGGCCCGGCCTTCGCTGCTGGGCCCCCGCTCCACCCGGAAGGTGCAGCCGGTCCAGTCGTCGCGCGCCTCGTTCTTGTGGTTGTTCTCGTCCGTCGCCATGGTCCTCTGCGCCGCGCTTGCGCCGTAGACGGCCGCCGCCCCAGATCGTTCTGCGCTCTGCGATTTTTTTGATTCGCAAAGGGGCCTTGCGCCCCCCGGCCGGGTCCGCGGCCCCCGCGCGGCGCGGGAGGGCTCGGGGGCCTTGGGGGAGGCAATCCTACGGAGTTCCTAGTCGCTGAAGGCGTCGGGGACCCGTCAACGCGCGTCGCGCGGCCGGAGACAAAATGCCCCTACTACTTAACAAGCTTCACCGAAACGCTTCCCGCGCTACTGAACGCTTCCTCGCCGAGTCGAGCTTCCGATTTGTCGCCGCGAGCGCATCACGCGACGCGGCCAAGCGTGCCCGGGACGTTGCGAGTCGGTCGTCACCCGTCGTTCGCGCACGCGATGGTCCGCACCGCGATTTCTTGGAGGATGTCGGCGGTGGTGGCGGCGGGGCGTCATCAACGCGAGGCGACGGTGCCCGGGGCGAGGTCGGCTCGCGACCTCGGCGGCGCACGTCGAGGCCGTAGAACTCGCCGTCCGGCGGCGGCAGCCAGGTACAGAAGCACCGCCGCCACTTGTAGGCGCGGATCACTCGCGGCATGAGATCGCCTGCCGCGTCGGCGAGCGCCGCCTCCGCCGCGACCGGATCACTTGCACGCTCGATGCGCATACACAGCTCGACGAGAGCCGGCGTCAGCACCAGGCCGCTCTCCCCGCACAACAAGCGTTCGAACGCGGCCATGCGCCGCAGCTCGGCGGCCGCCGCCACCTCCGGCCACCGAGAGTCGGAGGGTATGTCCGTCAACGCTTGGGACGCGGTCTCGTCATCACCCGCCTCGCAGGCCGCTCGCAGCCGCCGCCGCGCCTGGAGCGCGCTCTCGACCCTCGCATACGCGGCGCGGGCCTCCCGCACGCCACCCAGGCCCACGGCCTCCGCCGCGTCCAGCAAAGCGGGAACGTCCTCTCCGGCCCGGAGCGGGTCGGCAACGAAGGCATCCAGGTCCCGCGCGAGCCGCTCCTCCCGGTGAACACGGTCGAGGTCGTCCGCGGCGGCGCGTATCGGGGGGAGGTTCCCGAGGCCCAAGGCCTGCGCTTCCCTGAGCCTCGCCTGCAGCGCCTTTGCGTCCCTCCGAGCGTGCGCCGCTTCTACCGCTTCGAGGGCGGCGCCGTTCCGGCGCAGCACCGCGCACCGCGCGGCGACCGTCTCTACGAGGTCCCTAATAGCGCGCTGCGCCGGCCGGCGCCGGCGCCACGGCAGCAGGGCCGTTTCCAAATCCCGAAGCGCCGCCGCGTCGACCGGTCGACCGGCATCGCGACCGTAGGCCGCTTTGAGCGCGGAAATACGCTCGCGCTGCCCCCGAAGCGCGCGGCGACACGAGGCGCCGCGCGCCCACCGATTCAAAATCGAGGCGGCGGACCGCGCAACCCGGGCCCGCTTCGCCCGTTCCAGGGCGGACCGCCGCCGCCGCCGCGCCGCGCCGAAGCGCGCCCGGAACGCCCGCCAGGCCGCCTGGATGAGCTTCGCGAAGCGGCCCAGCCGCTGGGCGCGGAGCCGCTCGAGCGCGCCACGCGCGCGGCCGTCCTTGATGAACACTTTTGTGCGGCCCACGCAGACGTCGAACGGCCCGTCGAAGAGGCCCTTCACGGCCGGCGCCGCGAGGACGCGCTCGCACGTCTCCTGCGGCGAGCCGATCGCGTTGCCGACGAGCACCGCGTAGCGCTTCGCGAAGGAGGCGTGGGTCTCGCGGTGCGCGTAGCCGGCCCGCCGGATGCGGATCGCCTCGAAGAGGCCCGAGTAGCGCAGCTGCTCGAGGCAGAGCGGCGCGTCGAAGGCGTCCGGCTGCTTCAGCGCGTTCGACTTGATGCACCGAATGAAGTGGGGCTGCGTCTTTTCCAGGACGCGCGTTAGGCCCGCGAGCTGCTTCCGGAAGGCCGAGCCCAGCGTCTTCGTCCGCGCGTCGTCCGCGAAGAACGACGCCACGAGGCGATTTCCCGTCGCGCCCAACGTTTTCAGCGTCGTCGAGAGCTTGTCGCGATTCTTGGCCACGAAGCCCCGCGTTTCGTAGGCCACCGCGCCGGCGAAGTGCCGCACGGCGAACTGCGCGCCGTCCGGGCCCCGCGCCTCGAAGTGCGGGTTCTTCCGCGCGAACGTCGCGGCGCACTTGGCGCCGAAGCGGTCGTCCCGCGCGCCCTCGCCGCCCTGGCACTCGTCGTCGAGCAGCGAGAAGAGGTTGACGGGCCGGCCGTCGAAGAGGGCCACGCACCGGGCGTTGTCCTCGAACTGGACGTGGGCGAACGGGACGCCCTCCTCCTCGTAGGTCCGGAGCTCCTCGCCGAAGACGCACGCGTCGAAGAACAGCTGCAGCTTCTCGTTCGCGTAGTTGATGCAGAGCTGCTCGAACGAGTTGTGGCGGAAGACCTCGAAGCCGAAGATGTCCAGGACCCCGATGCTGCTGCTCGTCGGCGAGTCGCCTCGGCGGAGCGACTCGTTGACGCGCCGGACGAGGTAGTCGAAGAGGCCCCCGTACAACGCCTTGGCGAGGGCGTCCCGCGCCGAGCGCGCCTGCTTCGTCGTGAGGCGCAGCGTGACGATGGAGCCCCGGCCCATGCGCTCCGTCCGCGTCGTCACGGCCGTTTCGACTTCGGTCGCGTCGAGGCCCAAGAGAGGCGCGCACCGCCCGATCGACGTCTCAGCGTTCACGCACCTCGCGTCGTCGCCGTCGAACTCGGCGCAGCCCAGGTGAAGGACGGCCGCGACGATGTCCAGGACGTCTTGCCGGTCCGTCACGCCGAGGGCGTCGAGGGCCCGCAGCTGCGTCGCGAACTCTTGGGCGTCATCTATACCATCAATACGCAGACAGCCGCCCCGCGCGAGGTACGGGAACTCGCGCGCCTCGCCTTCGATATCGCTCAGGACCTGGTACAGCGCGTGGTACGTCCGTTCCCCGGGCCCGCACCCGACGACCCGCGACTTCTCCAGCAGGTACGTGTCGATGGCGCACCCGGCCACGCGGCGGTTGGCGTCGAACGCCACGGTCATCCACTTGCCGAAGCGGCTCGAGTTGTCGTTCCGGAGCGTCTTCGCGTTACCGTAGGCTTCGAGGACCGGGTTCGACTCGAGGATGCGCCGCGCGACGTCGTCCTGGGCCCCGCCGGCGACGCGCGCTAGATAAGAGAGGATGATTTTTGTGGTCTCCGTCTTGCCGGCGCCGCTCTCGCCGGAGACGAGCACGGACTGCGGCGCGCCGGTCTCTCGGAGCGCGTCGTAGCATCGCGACGCGACGGCGTAGGCGTGCGGCGCGGTCGCGTCCGCCCGGAACGCGTCGACGATCCTGTTGGAGTAGATCGGCAGCTTCTTGAACGGGTTCACGGCGATGAGGATCGACCCGACCCAGGTGTAGATGACCGACGCCTCGAAGCGCCGGCGGACGTGGTGCAGGATGCTGCCCTCCGTGAAGACGTCGAGGTCGCACAGGTCGTCGCCGCGCGCGTTCAGCGCGCGCCCCGCCTCGGCGACTTGTGACATGCGCGCCTCCCGCCGGCGGCCGTCGACGTTCAAACTGACGACGCGTGAGCCCCGCCGATCGACGCGGCCCAGCGTCCACGCCCTCTGGGGGTCCTGGACAAAGAGCCATTCTCCCCTGTCTAGCGACGAGCGGCGCCGCAGAGCAGTCATATGTGTTACAAGCGCCGCCTGCGCATAGAACAAGCTGCAATGGCTGCCCCGCGAGGCGGCCTGCAGGGCAGCCGTGCCCATAAACTGGAGCTTGCTAGTCTAGTGTCTTACAGGCCGCTAGCTTCGGATCCCTGTCTCCACCCCTAGAACCGCAACAACGAAGGAACCCTGGAAGCTAGTCCTAGCACTGTAACAAGGGGTCACCTGGAAGCACATCCTAAGGCATCATTAGGGCCAGCTCCGCGTCTTCCTCCGGGGGCGGCGGCGGCGGCGCGACCTCCTCGGGCTCGCCCGGCCACCGCCGTAGAGCCAGCACCTCGGGCAATTCGTCGGGCGCCACGTAGCGCGACACGACGTCGGACGCCTCGCCGCGGTCGTCGAGGCCGAGCAGAGTGGCGACGTGCTGCGCGAGGCCGAGGCCCTCGCGCACGGCGGCCGCGACCTCGACGCCGCCCCCGAGGCCCGCGGCCAGCGCCGCCCGCAGGGCGCGCACGTCCCGGTCGAGCTGCAGCGCCCCGAGCGGCGTCGCCTTCTTGACGCGGGCCCGGTCCCGCAGCTCCTCCAACAGTGCGTCGCCGGCGGCCGCCGCGGTCCGGCGCGCCGCGTCCACGAGATTTCGAGGCGCGAGATGCGCCGTCGCTCGTGGCGCGCACGCGTCCGCGGCGCGGCGCGCCGCGGCGCCAAAGTCGTCGACGCGGCCCAAGGCCTCGTAGAGCGCCTCGGCGCAGGCCCAGCGGTGCGGCGCGACCGCGTCGGTGTCGCCGAGCGCGAAGCGTGCGCGCGCGCCGACGTCGCCGCGGCCCGCGATCGACCGCGCGATGGGCTGGGCGAGCGCCGTCGACGCCAGCGCCGCCCGAGCCTTCTCGAGCGCGTCGCCGAACGCCTCTCCCGCCGAGCCGCGGCGCCCCAGCGCCGCCACGGCCTCCAGTAGTTTCGCCACGGCCGGGTCGCCGCGGTCGGAGCCGTACGACGCGCCGACCTCGTCTTCGAGGTGCAGCCGCAGCCGCCCGAGGTGCGCCTCGCAGGCCGCGTCCAGCCCGTTGAGCGCGACCTGCGCCTCGACCAGCTTCGTCCGCAGCGTCCGGTCGCGCTCCGCGGCCGCGCGCCGCGCGAGGCCCGGGTCGACGACGCCCTCCTCCAGTTCCAGGCCCGTCGCCTCGGAGATGTTCGCGAGCACCTGGGCCGTGCCCGCCGCGAGGGCCTCGCCGTGCTGCTGGAGCCCCGCGCCCACCGCTTTCAGAGTCTCGTCGGCCGTCCCGCCCGCCAGCGCGCCCCCGAAGCCCTCGTGGGCCTTGATGAGCGCGCCCGCGCCCGCGAGCCCGTCGAAGCACCGCGTCGCGAGGCCGTGCAGCGTCTCGCGCGCCAGGCGGTCGCACACAAAGGCCACGACGTTGTCCGCCGCGGCCGCGTGGCCCGACGAGAGCGCCCGCGCCGCGGACCGGCGCGCGGCCCAGAAGGCGTCGTCGGCCGACGAGCCGTGCGCGACCGTCGCCGCCGCCGCCGCGTCCCCGAAGACGTCGACGTCGTCGCGCACCAGCGACGCGACGACGTCCGCCGACGTGTCCAACGTCTCGGCCGCGCGGAGCGCCGCGAGGCAGAGGCGGCACTCGAGCACCGCGTACCACTCGCCGAGCTCCGCCGCCGCGGCGTTCAGGCGCGTCTCCGCCCCGAAGACGTCCTCGCGCAGCACGCTCCGGGCCTGGTGCGCCGCGAAGCGCCGCCACGTCTCCAGGTGCCGCAGCGCCGTCGCCGCGTCCTCCAGCAGCCCGTCCAGCGCGTCCAGCGCCATGGCCGCCGGGCCCTCGGTCGGCCACCGGTCGTCCCGGAGCGCCTCCGCCGCGCACGACGCGATCCTCGAGTCCGCGGCGAAGCGCGCCACGCACGTCAGCGACGCCGTCTCGCAGGCGTCGTGGGCGAGGAGCAGCGCCCGCGGCCCGCCGCGGTGCGCCTCGAGCGCGCCGTGGGCCTGGGCCAGCGTCGACGACACGACGCCCGCGACGGCGTTGATCGCCGTCCGCAGCGTCACGAGCGGCGGGCTCTCCGCGTCCTGGAGCACCTTGGACACGGCCTGGCGCAGGTCCTCGCGGAAGTGGTCCAGGAACGCCTCGGTCGCGGCCTCGTCCGCCAAATTCAACTCCTTGAGCAGCGGCAGCCACCGCCGCACGGCGTCCCCGTCGCGCGCGACGCAGGCCTCCCGGAACCGGTCGCGCACGACGCCCTCGACGCGCGCCGTGCAGCGCCGCATGGCCTCGAGCTCGCCCTCGAGCGCGGGGCCGCCCGCCCGCGCCGCGCCCTCGATCAACCGAAACTTGGCGACGTGCGCCGCCGCGGTCTCGAGGTCGTCCGTCGCCACCGCCGCGTCGACGCCGGCCGCGCAGTCCCGCAGCGAGAGCACGTCGGTCGCCGCCTGGATGGCTTGCGCGAGCCGCGCCCGCCGGTCGTCCGCGCGCCGGATCCGCTCGGCGAGGGCCCCCGCGCGCCGCGCGGCGTCCTCGCTCCGGCCGCACAGCGCCTCGAGCCGCGGCGCCGTGCGCGCGACGTTCGCGGCGTGGAAGGCGATTTTTTCTGCCGTTGTGGCTGCCATTTGTTTAGTTGGCTGGCCGCAACCAATGAATTATGTCGAGGCAGACCCGCGTCGGCTCCGCGGCTAGCTCTTAAATATATGCTTTTAGCCAAAAAAAGTCTTTGTGTGGGCGTCTCCGTCGGTTCAGCGTTGTTGGTTAGCGCACACTTGATACCTTTTTTTGCGTTTCACTGGCAAACGCGCCGCACGGGCAGGCTGTGGACTCCGGCGCCGGCGCCGACTTTGGGGCTGGGCTTGCTAGTGTCTTACACCGCTAGCGGCACACGCGAGTGGAAGGATAGATCCTCTCAAAGAATTCCTGTCAACACATTCGCCGGGGGGGCTACGTTGCGCCCTGGTCCAAACCAGCGTCGAATGACAGGGTGGGCTGCCTAAACAGCGAGGGTCTCCGCGGGAATTCAAAAGGCACAGCTCGCTGCAGCCTCGAATTGGGGCCATGGCGCCGTCCATCCTCACGAACCTCGGCTGCGCCGGCGGCGCCGCGGTGATCACAGTGACGTTTATACACCCCATCGACACGGTCAAGACGCGCCTCCAGGTCTCGGGCACGGGCAACGCGCGGAACTATGCGGAGCTCGGCCTGGCGGGGACGTGCTCGACGATTGCCAAGGAGGAGGGCATCGCCGCCTTCTGGAAGGGCATCCCCGCGGCGTGGATGCGCGAGGCGTCGTACACGTCCTTCCGGCTGGGCCTCTACGCGCCGCTGAAGAAGGCGTTCGGGGCGGACAAGCCGGACTCGCCGTTTATCATGAAATTCGCGGCGGGCGGTGCGTCGGGCGGTACGCGGCCCGGCGTCGCGATTGTTGATTTCCCGGTCGGCCGCGTCAACTGAGGAACGTGACCCCGCGCAGGCCTCGGCTCCATCGTCGGCAACCCGTTCGACATCCTCAAGACGAAGATGATGGCGTCCGAGACGGGTCTAGGATTGGGCGCGACGGCCTCGTCCATCTACAGCAACCAGGGCCTCATCGGCTTCTACAAGGGCATCGACGCGAACATCATGCGCGCCATTGTCAATAATGGTACGAAGATGGCCTGCTACGACCAGTCCAAGTCCCTCATCAAGAACAACGCGCCGGCGCCGCTCAACGATGGCGTGCCGCTCCAGGCGCTCGCGTCCTTCGTGGCGGGCTTCTTCATGACGTGCACGGTCGCGCCCTTCGACATCTGCCGCACGCGACTGATGAACCAGCCGGCGGACAAGCCGAAAATCTACAACAACCTCTTCGACACGTTCGTCAAGATCGCGACGCAGGAGGGCCCGCTCGCGCTCTGGCGGGGCTTTATCCCGATGTGGGCACGTATCGCGCCGACGACGACGCTGCAGCTGCTCTTCTTCGAGAAGTTCACCAAACTCGCGGGCATCTCGGCGACGTAGAGTCCTCGTTCGGTCGTGCCCCTCGTGACGCCGGGGCGGCGGTGGCGAGGGGGTGTAAATTTTGCGCACATACGCTTCTTTGTAAGGGCGCATGTGTGGCTTACTGGCCAAGTTCGGCAGTCGATGTTACGGTGCTAGGACTAGTGGGCGGAGCCCCTGGGGGGGAGACACCGCGCGTCGCCGATTTATCGGCGGCGGGCGCGGGCCGTTTCTTTCATAACAGCGTACATAACAGCGTACCTCCCCCTTAAGGATAGCTAGCGAGAGAGTCACTAGCACACACCGGCTTTGCAAGCTCACCACACTTGCATGCCTACCTGCTTGCACCAGCAGCTCGTGCGCGGGAGTGAATATACTTGCTGCACCGCTTGTCTTCACTGGCGCAGCGCACTTGCTGCACTCATCACAGGTCTATCACTGCTGGCTGACCCAGCACTGAGCTCAGCAGCTCACGCGCAAAAATGCGCCGAACCATCATAGCTCTCGTACCTCTCACCGCGACGACGCTGGAACCCACGACGCGGCGGCGTGCCGCGCAACGCCTCGCCGCCGCGGCCGTGACCCTCGCACCGCTCGAATCCAACGCCGTCCCGCCGATCCCGCTGCCCGAGGGCCGGCCGCCGCCCGAGGTGACCGCGCCGTCGAGCAAGCGCCAACTGCGCGTGGTCGAGGCGCTGAACGCCAAGGGGTTCGAGTTCTACGGAGCGTACTGGTGCCGCTACTGCGACGAGCAGCGCCGCGTGCTCGGCAAGCAGGCGTCGGCCGCCGTCGCGTACGTAGAGTGCGACCCCGGGGGCCTCGGCGCCGCGCCGGGCCTCTGCAAGGCGGCCAAGATCGGCGCCTACCCGACCTGGGCGGCGCCGGACGGGCGCCTCTTCTCCGGCGTGCGGTCGCTCGACGACCTCGAGGTGCTGGCGGGCCTGCGAAAGGCGGCGCCCGCCAAGAAGCCGACGACGAACAAGCCGCCGCCCGTCCTGCAGCCGTCGTCCCCCGACGCGCTGCGCGTGGCGACGGCCCTGGCCAAGAGCGGCGCCGTCTTCTACGGGACCTACTGGTGCCGCTTCTGCGACCAGCAGCGGCAGCTCTTCGGCAAGACCGCGTGGCCGCGCGTGCCCGCCTACGAGTGCGACCCGCGCGGCACCAAGGCGCAGCCGGCCAAGTGCGCCGCCGCCGCCGTCGAGGCCTACCCGACGTGGGTCGTCAACGGGAAGACGCTGACGGGCGTCCAGACGCTGGCCGCGCTCGAGGCCGCGCTCGGGGCATCTCCTTCCACGGCGGCGCGCGCCGCCGACGCCATCGTCGTCTCCCCCGAAAACGTCAAACGGCGGCGGACCGCGCCCGCCGAGGAGCCCTGCGACGACTGCGCCGTCGACGCGAAGCCGAGCGTTCCAACATAAGTATAGAAAACAATCTTAGCGGGCCGCCACTTGCGTCGTCGACTGCATGAGGTTCTTGCGGATCTCCATGAAGGTGGCCGACGACTCCGCGGCCTGCTTCGACTCGAGGACGGCCTGCACGTTGCGGTTCCGCTGCAGGAGCCGCTTCGAGTCCAAGGTCCTTTGTTTGAGGTGCTCCTTGCGCCGCGCGTCGATGCGCTTGAGGAGCGCCTGGAGCTCGGCCTGCTGCTGGTTGCGGAACTGGCCGTCCTTGCGCGAGAACGCGCCGCCGCTCATGTTCTCGCAGGACTTGCGCTCCTTGTCCTCGAGTTTGTCGGCGATCTTCTTGATGCGCTGGGCCTCGGCGTAGTTCTTCTGGCGCGCGAGCATGTGCTGCCGCCGCCGCCACTCGAGGAGCTCGCGGGACCACTTCGGCGGCCGCTCGGCCATCTCGGACTGGAGCTTGCGCTGGAATTCCAGTAAGTTCGTCGCGTGGCGCTCCGTCATCTGCTGGATGTAAATCTGGGCCATGCGGTCGTACTCGGCGAGGTACTTGTCCCAGCTCGCGTTGAAGTCCGTGTACTGCATGTTGTGGGCGATCTGCACGTCCTGCCGCTCCGCGATCTGCCGCGCGCGCACGGCCTTCTGCTGGCGCTTCTCCTCCTGCTTCCGCAGCATCTCGAGCTGCTGGTGCGCGCGGTCCGCCTCGAGGTAGTTGCCCTCCTTCTCGCACTTGCGCCGGTACTGCTCGAGGATGCGCAGGAATTCCAGGACCTTGGGGTCGGGCTCCTCGCCGGGCTGGTCCGGCTGGCCCGCCTTGACGAGCTCCAGGAATTTTGCGAAGTCGACGGTCGTCGGCTCGGTCACGTCGAAGCGCTCGATGAGCTCGCGCGCGGCCTCCTGCTTGAGGCCGATCTTCTGTAAGAGGCTCTCGAGGTCCGCGGACGAGATCTCGCCCGTGCCGTCGGGGTCGTAGAGGGCAAAGATGCCACGCAGGGCGCTGATCTCCTCCTTGGAGTAGGCGGGGGCTGCCATGGCGTCTCCAATAGTCTCGCAGCAGAGCCCGGGGCTAATGAGGCGGCGGGGGCTGCCCGAGCCGGACGAACCGGGGCGTGGAGGGTGCCTCTTTGCCTATGTTTGCGCAAAGCGCTATTTTACCCGTACGATGCTCCGGAAAAGTTTTGGGCGTATCCGTGCGCGCACTCGGTCCGCGCGGAGGTATCTGTACACGGGTGCGAAATTTTCACGAAAAAAAATGCCTGTGGGCAGGCGGAGCTAGCTGCCCGCCGCGCGGTTTTTGGTGCGCAGAGACGCACGCGAGAGCAAAACGTTCAAGCGCTCGGCACGAATCATCGACCGCGCCTGTTACCGGAGCCGACGCGATCACAAAAGAGCCTCTCGGCAGCAGCCCAGGAATAAGGATCAGCCCACAAGCAAGGAGGAAGGCAGCCCCGCAGCAAGCAACAATGGCGGCCATCGTCCAGCCGCTCGGCGAACCGACCTTCGAGGACACGCACCGCGAGATCCGGCGCGAGCTCGAGCACGGCCTCGACGCCATGGGCAAGGAGCAGCCCGGCCTCGCGGAGACGTGCTACGCCGCCGCGCTCGAGCGGGCGTCGGCGCTGGACCCGGACAGCCGCCTGACGGCGAACTGCCTCGGCTACCTCGCCAAGGCCTGCGCGGCGCAGCGGAAGCACAAGATGGCCGCGACGATGCACGAGCGGCAGCTCCTCATCCTGAAGGAGCTGGCGGGCCGGGGCGAGGCGTCCGCGCTGGACCGCGCGAGCGTGCTGCTGGAGCTCGTGGCGATTTACGGGACGCTGGGCAAGGAGGACGAGGCCTCGAAACTCCGAGGCGAGGTCGACGCGCTCATGGAGGGCGTGCCCGAGCCGCGGCCGCCCTCCTCGGGCGACGATTCGTCCTCGGACGACGACGACGACGACGAGCAGACCGCGGAGGCGGCGTACATCGCCAAGCGGTCCGCGGATAGGTGGGACGGGACGTTTCGACTCGGAAACGGCTACCCGACGGCGTCGGGGCAATTGCCAGAATAAGAACTTCTAATTACGCGACGCCCTGGGGCGCCCCCTGCTGCGAGAGCATCGTCGCGACCGCACTCAGTTTGGAGAGGACCTCCTTGCGGAAGCGCGCCTGGTCGGCGCGGAGCTCCTCGAACTGCGCGCGCAGCCGCCCGTCGACGGCTTGCACGGCGCCCGCGCCGCTCGCGTCGAGGCCCGCCGAGACGTTGTCGCGCAGGTCGGCGCCCTCGCTCGTCAGCGCGCCGCGCTGCGAGCCCGGGTCCTTGCAGGCGTGCGACACGAGGTTCGGCAGCGGGTGGAGCAGGTTCCAGTGCGACCGCGCCGACCGGCCCGTGCGCCGCGGCGTCGACGAGATCGACGACGTTATGGGCCGGCGCGGCGTCCGGCGCGGCGTGGTCGTGCGCGACGACGGCGGCGTCGGCCCCGCCTGGGGCGCGTCCTCGGAGGAGTCGCTGCGCCGGCGGAAGAGCGCCTGGTTCGCGTCCTCGCGCGACGTCAGCGTCCGGCGCATCGTCACGAGCAGCGAGTTCGACGTCGCGTCGGCCTCGTCGGGCGTCGGCGGCGCCGAGTCCCCGGTCTGGGCGGGCTCGACGCGCCGCCGCCGCAGCGAGGGGAACCTCGACGACTTTCTGCGGGCCTTGAGGAGGTCGGCCGTGCGCAGCGCCGCGAGCACGTCGCGCTCCGACCGCCGTACCGCGTCGAACATGTCCGCGCGCGACAGCGTCCGGGCCTCCGTGATCATGATGGCCCGGATCGTCGCGTTGCGTTTGGCCGGCTCGGCCATCATCGCGCCCTCGCCGAAGAACTGGTTCCGCGAGAGCAGGGCGACGCGCCGCTGCCGCGCGCCGACCGACACCAAGACCTCGACGGCGCCCCGTACCAAAAAGAACATGGCGTCGGCCTCGGAGCCCTGCCGGACCACGACGTCGCCGGGGCTGAAGTGCGCGATGTGCAGTTTCGCCGCGATCGCGCGCAGCAGCGCGGGCGCCGCGGCGTCCTTGAGGAAGTTCACCTGCTCGAGGAAGTGCAGGTTCCTTTCCAGCGTCAGCTTCGACCGCAGCTCGAGCGTCAGCCCGTCGAGCAGCCGCTGCTCCTCCGTCAACGTAAGCGTATACCGCTGGGCCTTGGCCACGGCGTGCTCGCGGATCTCCTGCCTTAACCCCGCCGAGATCTTGTGCTCGTCCATGTATAAATTTAATTGGTGCATCGACTGCGCGAACTGGCGCTTCTTCCACTGGAGCTGGTCCCGCAAATGAATCATGGACGACGTCCCGACCGTGAAGATGGCCGCGCCGACGATCATGACCACGATGCTCAGGCAGCGCTCCGCCGTCGACGCGCCGGCCACGTCTCCTAGCCCGACCGTCGTCACGATCATCACCGTCCAGTAAAAGGACGCGATGTAGTGGTCGACCTTGCTGCGGCCGTTCATGCCGTGGCGCGCGATCCACGTCGCCGGCCGGAAGTCGCCCTTGCGGTGCGCGTAGTACACGCAACTCCCGGACGCATCCCGCTCGGCGCACCTATCGTCTTGAAAACGGTTCTGCGACGCGACGAAGTAGAACGCGCACGCGAAGAAGTGGCAGAAGATGAGTGTAATTACGAGGAAGTTCAGCATCTGGAAGTAGTTCTGCGACATGATGAACGTGTACTCGAGGCGCGCGAGCACCCGGTTCATCCGCAGAAACTTGAAGACCTTGAGCGCCCGCACGAGTCGCATCGACTTGAGGAGCTTAAAGTACCGCACGAAGTTCACGTCGCTATCGAGGCGCCGCCTCTCGTTGTCCGCCTTCGTCGGCGTCGCCAGCGCCACGATGTCCAACAACAGCGGCACGATCGCCGCGAAGTCCACGAGGAACCACGTCCGCAGGTATTCCGTGGCGATGTCCCTCCTGTCGGTCAGGAGGCGCCGGTGCACCTCCCGCCCCTCGACGTGCTCGACCTCGACGGCGGTGTTAAAGTTCAGGAAGATGTCCACCACGAAGAAGAAGTCCACGATCATCGTGAAGATCATGACCCCGTTCGGCTCGCCCGTCCGCGTCCACATGGCCACTTCGAAGCACTCGACCACGGGCATCTGCACGGCCGCCACGAACAACAAAAAGAGCGTCGCCACGTCCCAGGACGACCGGAACGTCGCGAACGGGTGCAGCATGTACTTCGGGAACTCGCGGTGCGCCTCCATCTCCTGGTTCTGGGCGCTCGAGCGCTGCATGAGGTTCGCGGGCAGCGGCGCGATGCCGTCCGTGTCGACCGTCGGGCTCTCGGCCTCCTTCTGCTCCCCGGGCGGCTCCCCCCTGGGCTCCTCCATGGTTACCCTGCCCTCGTGCGGTGCCTCGGGCTGCCCGCGCGGGCGCGCGTCGGTGGATCCCACTGGCTAGCAGCAATGCCAAGGCCCGACGAGGTCCGGATTCCGCTGCACCAGTGTGGTCCTTAATAGCGCCTCGCGCTCCGCTCTCTCCCGCTTTTCTACCTTTTGTTTTTTTGATATTTAAGTCCTCATGGAGCTCCTCCTAGGACTCGCATGGTCCCTACGACTCCGCGCGAGCGGTCCGCGAATAAGTGAATTTGTGCTGAGGCTTTTTGCCAAGCCTCTCCGGCGCTGCACTCTTCACGGCACGGGATCGCTGCCTTTTTGCTGCCTTTCTTGGCTCACGCGTCTCTCAGTTGGCCACGATGCCCCGGCGCGCGGGACGGCGCGGCGGCCGGCGCGGCAGCGGCTCTCGACCACGGGGCCGGCCGTCGGTGAGCCCCGTGCGCCCCCGGGGGGCCGCGTCGCCACCCGTGATGCCAATAGGGATGTACGGCCAACCCGTCTACTACGCGCCGCCTATCGCTTACGCGCCGATGTACGCGGCGTCGGCGCCGCCGGCGCCCGGCGGCGGCAGCCCGCCGACGGGCTACTCGCAACAACCGTACGCGTCGGGCAGCCCGCCGCCAGGCTACTCGCCGCGCTCCGTCGCCGAGTGGCAGCGCTACTACGCGAAGCCCCAGCAGCCGTACCCCTACTACGGCGCCTACGCGTCGCCGCCCTACTCGCAGACGTCGTCGCCGCCGCCCTCGCCGCCGCAGCACGCGCCCTCCTACGCGGCGGTGCCGCCCCTGTCGCCCGAAGAGCCACCGCCGCCGCCGACCAGAAAGCGGAACCGCTATACGACGACCTATAAGCAGGGCCAGAGCGCCTTCCGCTTCAAAGGGACGGCTGCAAATATCCCTGCGACGCCGGCCGACGACGTCCAGCACTTCCCGGACGCGCGCGGGCGCCCGTCGGAGCGGTCGCCGCCGTCGAAGCGCGACGTGTCGCCCGTCGTCTCGCCGCGCGGGACGACGCGGTTCCGCATCAAGCCCGGCGCCTACGACAGCCTGTTTCCCTCGTCGCCGGACGCGGCCAACGATAACGTCTCCGTGGAGAAAAGCGACAATGCGGTGCCGCCGGCGCTGCTCGAGCGCTTCGAAGCCATGGACGCGGCCGAGACGCGCAAGCGCGCGGAGTCGGCGGATGCTCAGTCCGCCGCGTCGAGCCCGCGAACGATCGCGTCGCCGGGCACGACGCCGCCGGCCTCGCCGCCCTCACAACCGCGGCCCGTCTGGTCCGGCGCGTGCGACGACAACGCTTCGTGGGCGGAGGAGCCGGCGCCGGCAGAGCCCGGATTAGTGCATCGCGGGGAGATATTTTTTTCGCCAGGCAAGCCTGAAGTGGTTCCGACGCCGCGCGGCAGCCGCGGGTCCAAGTTCGACCTGCCGTCGCCGTCGACGGCGCTCGGGGCGCTCCAGAACGACCTCTTCTAGGTCCTAATATACCATCGTGTTTTCTAGAGGTGTCTTCGTAGGCCGATCCGTGGTGTTCCTCTCGACCGCGCGACGACCCCGGGCCGGAGCAGTAAGCGTCTCACAGATGATGATATTTACAACTAGGTGGGCAGCGGCCTGCCCTTGGTGACGTCGAGGTTTCGGATCTGGATCGTGCCCAGGATCTGCTCGGGCAGCTCGTCGTCGCGCTTGCCCTCGATCACGAACGAGATGTCCACCACGAGGGCCTTGGCGTATCCCCCGCAGAGCCGGACGACGCCCGCGGCGATCTGCGAGCTGCCGATGTCGATGTCGATCTCGAGGTAGTCCGCGCCTGTGCGCAAATCAAACAGTAAGTCGGGTGCACGGCGACAACGCGACCTTGATGACTGAATCGAGTGGTGCAAGACCCACACTGCCACACCATCGAGCTGGCGTCACGTCGATGGCGTGGAGGTCATGAGACGATCGAGTGGTGCAAGACCCACACTGCCACACCATCGAGCTGGCGTCACGTCGATGGAGACGCGCCGCGACAATTTGATTTATGCACAGGTCCGCGCCGCGCCAGTACCACTGCTTGAGCTGCTTGCCGAGGACCGCGGGCCGCTGCCCGACGGCCTTGCGCACGACCCAGTTCGAGTCCAGCATGCGCGGCGTCAGCTTGAAGCGCGCGTCGCGATAGGTGTCGTCGTCCCCGAAGAAGAAGGGCCGCGCGACGCGGCCGAGCGGCGTCGCCTGATCTTTCAGCGCGGCCGGGTCCTTGCAGACGTAGTACATGGCCAGCGTGTAGGCCGGCGGGCCGGGCACGACGAGCGTCACGACCATCGTGAACGCGTCGCAGCCCTCGTAGGCCTTCCGCGCGAGCGCGAGCCGGTTCCGCGGGTGGCCGCAGACATGCAAACCCTTCCGCTCGCCGTCGTCCGCCTCGATGCCGGCGGGGTCGCGGTGCCACAGGAGGTCGACGGCCGCGAGCGCGAACTGCGCGTCGCCGCGGTTCAGGACCTTGATCCGGTCGCGCAGGTAGTTCGCGCCGCGCACGGGGAACGTGTCCGCGCGCGGCGACGACCAGTAGCGCTTGCCGCACGTCGGCGTCGCGTCGTGCAGCGCCCGCGCCCAGGGCCGCCACGCCGCGTTCTCGTCCGCCTCGTCCGCCTCCTCCACGAAGGCCGCCTCGGCCTCGTCGTCGTCGTCGTCCTCGGCCGTCGCGAAGCGGTCGAGCTCGACCCGCGCGCGCGCGCCGACGTCCACGAAGCGCCGCGCCTCGGCCGCGTCCTTGGCCGCGAGGCCCAGCAGCGCGACGCGCCGCGCGATGGCGTCGAGCCGCTCGGCCGCGAGCGGCCGCCGCGCCACGGCGACGGCCTCGCAGTCGAGGGCCACGCCGTCCCAGTCCTGGCCCTCGCGCACGCGGAACGTCGCCTTCGTCGACACGTCGTCGCCGTCGGAGAAGTGCGCCTCGAGCGACGCGCCCCACGGCTCCGCCGTCGCCAGGCAGGGGACGCTCTCGTCCGGGCCCGTGGCGAGGGCCGCGCCGCGCCGCGGCGCCTGGACGCGTGTTATGCGGCCGCCCGGCGCCGCGTGGACGCACTCCTTGACGGCCCGGATCAGGTCGTCGCGCGTCGACCGCACGGACGCGGCGCACCGGCGGACGCTCGACTCCTGCGCGCGGCGCCGGCGGGCGCCCGGCTCGAGCGCCGCGCAGCTCGCGACGTGCTGCCGCCACGTCTCCGCGCGCCGGCGCGACGTCGCCGCGAGCAGCACCTTCGCGCCGCCGGCGCGCTGCACGCGCGGCGCGACGGCCGCGAGCAGCGCGGCAGCGAGCGCGAGCAGCGCGGCGCCGGCGAGGGCGAGGCTCGCCGTCGCCGCCGCGCCGGCGGCGAGCGCGGCCGCCGCCGCCGCCGGCAGGAACGACCGCGGCGGCGGCGCGTCCGTGACGACGGAAAACCGGTGCGTGCCGTCGCGCGCGCCGTCGACTCTGCCGACAGACGCACCGCGGAGCTGAAGGACACAACACGGGGCATCAAACTTCTCATCCGTAAAACAGAAAAGCTGGCGCTCGTCGACGGCCAGCACGACGTAGGCGCGCGCCCACTCTGGCCGCTGCGTTTGGGCATTTTTTTGACGGATGAGGAGCTCGCCTTGCTGGGTGGTCATATTTGTTGGAAGTGTTATTGCTGCCCAGCGGTTTTATCTCCGAGCGCTGCACCAGGAGCACCGTTTGCGGCTTCGTATCGATGTGTGCTCGTCGTGTGAACTGTTCACGCGCGCGCGGCGCGCGGCGCGCAGGCTAAGCCTCCCCGGCGCGCCGGCTCATCATCCTCCGCGCCGGGATCGCAGCTAACCCATCGTGGAGGGGTCGGAGAGGGTATGAAGGGTCGGGACGTGCAATCCACGCGTCTTCGGCGCCCTTTTCACGGGTTTTGTCTAAATGAGGATTGGCTCAAAGACGGCAAAATGGCATCGCGAACGCTCGTAGCAGCTTGTCTGCTTTCCGTGGCGGCTGCGTACAGTCCCAGCGTCCACCTGGCGAACTCCGCTACTGAAATGATTGGGTAGCCGTCGTGTACAAGCTGGAGTAGTAGAGCGCCAGCCGGCGGGCTATTTAGGGCCGCGAAGGCACAGCGAGCACACCAATTGCCGCCACGCGACCGCGCGGCCACTGCTCATGCAGCGAGAAGCGGTCGCGAGACTGAGGCTTCGCACGGCGAGACGTCCGCCGCGCCGCCGCCGACTCGGACGCTTCTTAACCGCTTCCTGGACACCACCCTAAACGCCCCTACCCCGCCGCGCAGGTTCGTCGCGCCGCAGGGCGCCGTCGCACGAAGCGCGCCGCTCCTCGCGGAGAAGGCCGCGTCCTCGGTGAGCGTCGCGCAGGTCGGCCAGGCCGCCGCCGCGACGACGCTGCTCGCCGCGCTGCCGGCGAACGCGTTCTCGGCGGCCTACCTGCCGGCGATCCTCGTGCCCGTCATGTGCCTGGTCATGCCGGTCCTCGGCATGGGCCTTTTCACCCTCCTCACGCAGAAGGAGGAGATCTAGGTGTTCCGAGCTGTAAAATTGGAGGTTCCCAAAATCGACTTCCTGCTGCTCCCTTACAGTTAGGCAGCTGGCACTCGTCTCACAATAATGCTGCGCGGCTAATTAAATCGTCGAAAAACAGGTTTTGTGAGCCAAAGTCGCGCCCGTCGCTGCCTTGCCATACGCCTCCACGTGCTCGCTGTATTGATTCTGACCTGTTTTTAGCGTGCAAGCAGTGGGGCGAACTTATTACGGTACACCGCTGCCGCAACAGCAGCGACAGAGCGACAGACACTTTGCTGCCGTCGCCGCGGCCGCGTGTCTCGGTGCCGCAAGCGCCGCGACGCGTAAGCGATGGCCGGCGTCGTCTTCCAGGACGATTTCGAGGTCGCGCAAATCAACCCGGAGGGCGCCAAGTTCGAGAAGGTGAATCGTCTCGTGTGCAAGGGCGTCGTCTACGAGATCGAGTTCCTGATCGACGTGAACTCCGAACTCTTTGAGTGCGAGGAGGGCGACAAGCTCACGGTCGCGCTCGCGACGTCGCTGAGCGTGGACGGCGTCTCCGAGGCGAAGGCGATCGACTACGCGCGCGGCGCCAAGGCCTCGCTGCTGGACCAGTTCGACTACGCCATGCACGGCACGGTGTACAAGTTCGAGCACGTAAAAGACACGAAGGTGGAGGCTTACGTGTCGCACGGCGGGCTGCTCGCGCGGTTCCGCGGCGACCAGCGGCATCTGAAGAAGCTGAAGGTCGACGCGGAGGTGTACACGCTGCTGCGCAAGGGGTCGGCATAGCGTCGCTTTAAGTTTAGTCTCGTAGTGGATAGAGTGGTGCCAAAAGGTTCTTTAAAGAACCTTTTGGAATAGGGGCAACCCGCACCTTTTTTAAAGATTGCACGTGAGGTTCTGAGAAACTTTTCGGGACCTCGCGTCAGATCATGAAAGGTTTCTGAGAACCAAAAGACCCCTTACATTTTTGTTTATAATGAGGTGTAAGGGGTCTGGAGGTTCTGAGAAACTTTTCGGGACCATCGGCGAATGAGATGACGACTGCCCGAAAGGTTTCTTAGGTCCCGAAATCAGAACCTCCAGACCCCCCACACCTCATTATAAACAAAAATGTAAGGGGTCTTTTGGTTCTCAGAAACCTTTCAGGATCTGACGCGCAGGGGCGCGCGGGTTCCCCCAAACCTAAGGCACGCGCGAACCTGGATGGTGGCCTGAAGTTAGCGCGAACCCTAGGCGCACGTGCGCGGTCGATTCCGGCCACGTGCGGGTTGGTCACGTGCAATCTTTAAAAAAGGTGCGGGTTGCCCCTATTCCAAAAGGTTCTTTAAAGAACCTTTTGGGGTGGAAGAGAGGAGTATGAAGAGAGGCCCACAAGCTCGCGCGCGATGACGCGAACCTGCCGCGTCCACGCACACGCTGCCCGGCCCGGAAGACTCTTCCGGACCCGTCCACGGGCGTCGACGGCGCGCTCCGCGGACGACGCGCGCCGCGCACAAGTCCGCTGCAGACATCTTCGAGCTTCGCCTCTGTTAAGGGCCAAAAGCGCCGCGTCGCGAGCGGAGGGCTGCCGCGCCGCGATGGCGCGCTACTACGGCGCGGCCCTGGCGGCGCTGGCCGTCGCCGGCGCCCAGGACGTCTCCCGGGAGTGCAAGATGAAATGTAACGAGGCGCTGGGCAACCTGCCGCAGGCCCTGGACTGCCGCGACTGGCGCATGATGCTGCCCCGGCCCAAGGTCGGAAAGGCGTGCACGCAGGCGTACGACGACGCCGCCTTCGCGGTCTGCACGGCGCGGTGCGAGGGCCGCGAGCCGCCGCGCAAGGAGGCGTTGACGGGCAACTTCTGCCGCGAGTACACCGCCAAGACGCCGAAGCCCACGATGGGCAAGAGCTGCCGGAGCGGCTACGCCAAGGGCTTCGACAAGGGGCTCTTAATTGACGTGGGCCGGAGCGCGCCGGAGCCGGCCAAGCCGGAACCGAAGCGCGCGCCGGAGCCCGAGCCCGAGCCCGAGCCGGAAAAGCGGGAGGCGCCGCCGTCGCCGGAGCCCGCGAGCACCGAGCCCAAGCTGCTCGTTTCGCTGCCTGTTACGGTTGACGACCAGGAGATTTACCTCCAGGTCTTCGAGGGCGAGGACCACATGAAGAAGATCGAGGCCTTCTGCATGCAGTACATGGCCGACAGCTCGAGCTCGTGCGTGACGCAGCTCACGCCCCACGTCGAGAAGAAGCTCTAGCCGCCCGGTCGTCCGACCGCCGCCCCCGGGTAACGACCGTGTGTCAATACTTCTTCCCATGATTATGTGCACTCGGAAAATTTCGTCGGATGCGCCGGGTGTCGAGTCACGACCGCGAGAGTCTCTCGAAAAGCGGCGTGAGCGGCTTCGTCAGGTCCACGCCCGGGAACGGGTCGTAGAGCGACCGCTCGATCTGCGCGGCGAGCGCGGCGGCCGCGACGGTCGAGACCTGGGGCGCGGGCCGCCGCACGCGGCCGCACTCGATCAGACCCCTCAGTCGGTAGACCTCCTTGCGGATCCCGACGCCCGGCTGCTGCTCGAAAACCAACAGGGGCAGGAACTGCGCGTAGATGGCGTGCGCCCGTTCGACGTTGCCCGCGCGCGCCGCGCCGTCGATCGCCTGTGTGGAAATCAAATTTCGCATGCCCCACGCCATCGACGCGTCGTCCTCCCCGTAACAGCATCTGCTCGATGGCGTGTAGATTGCAACGCAGTCGATCGCCATCAGAACCTCTGGAAAGGCAAAGCCGGTCATGAAGCCGTCCGTGCCTTGCTCGACATCAAACCCGCCGTAGAGCGCCCCGAGCCCGGTCAGAATCGAACATTCAGGGAAGGCCGGGGGCTGCGCCGCCCAAGCCTTGCGCAACGCCGCGATCTTGGGCGGCGTCGGCACCTGTGCGCAAATGAACCCGTGCGTCGGGTGCGCCAAGTGAGGAGCCAGAGAAGCGCCGCGACATTTGACTTATGCACTGGTCGGCACGGCCTCGAGCTTGATGCACTGTACCGAGGCGAGGTGCGCGCATATCTGCACCAATAGCTCCGCACCCATGAACACGCCCGTACTTGCAGGGTGGTCCTGCAGCACGATTGGCAGCGCGCAGCCGTCCTGCACGGCGGCGAAGTAGTCGAAAAGCTGCGCGTCCGACTGCGGGAAGGCCTCTTTGGTGGGCGTGACCATGACTGAATGCGCGCCTAGGTCTTGGGCCATTTGCGCCAAATCCACCGTGGCCCGCGTGCCCGCGTGAGACACGCCGACGCAGATTGGCATCGCGCCCGCCGCGCCGACGGCCGTCTCCACGAGTTGAGCGCGCTCCGCGTCCGTGAGCCGGTTCGACTCGCCTAGCACGCCGCACACTGTTGCGCCCGATGCGCCGCACTCCCGGAAGAAACGGATGCTCTTCGCGAAGCCCTCGAGGTCGAGCGCCTCGTCGTCGTGGAACGGCGTCGCGACGATGGGCCAGACGCCCTGGAAACTCTTGCTGCCGCTGGTGTTGCTTTGAAACCTATGGCTGCTGCTGGTGCCGGCCAAAGTCCTGCGCCTGACTCGCGTCAGCTTCGCCAGCGCGCGCATGCTGCCGCGCATGCAGCCTCCTTTGTGTCTACAAGTGTGGGAGGCTGCTTTCCTGAACACTCGCGCGCCGCAGTGGTGGGAAACACGCAAGTTCAGTATTGCGCGGTTCGATACAGACCACCCGCTCGAACCTCTGCCTTTGCTTGGCGGACCAGGCGAGTTGGCAGCTAGCTCTCCCAGCCTCGGCCACCACACCGGCACGCGCAGTCCTAGTCCGCCTCCTAACAAATCAGAGCGCCAGACGCAATCGACGCGTGCCAGAATCCACCCTTGCGTGAAACCCGAAGCGCCGACAGCACACAGAGCAAAAGCCCACGGAGAGCATGCTGTCGCAGAGCCTCCAGAAGCTCGCGCGCCGCGCCGTGGCGCCGACCAGGAGGACCTTCCAAAAGGGCGCGCTCCCGGCCTGGGCCACCGTCGACCCGTGGGCCATGTCCGGCGCGGCGCCGGCGAAGGGCCGGAACTTCGTCGACGGCGAGTGGCGCGACGCCGCGCACACGAAGACGATCCCGGACCCGCTGAACGGCGAGGCCTTTCTCGAGGTGCCCGACGCGCAGGGCGCGGACCTGGACCCCTTCGTCGACGCGATGCGCCGCACGCCGAAGTCGGGCCTCCACAACCCGCTCAAGGCTCCGGAGAAATACTTCGAACTGGGCGAGTGCAACGCGCTCATCGGCGCCGCGCTCCGGGACGAAGACACGCAGAACTTCTTCGCCGAGCTGCTGCAGCGCGTCGTCCCGAAGCACGACAAGCAGGTGTTGGGGGAGGTCACGACGGTGCGCAAGTGGGTCGAGGGCTTTGCCGGTGATGGGGTCCGGCGCCTCGCCCAGGCGACGTCGCTCCCGGGCGACCACGCGGGCCAGGAGACGCGGTCCTACCGCTGGCCCTACGGGGCGACGTCCGTGATCACGCCGTTCAACTTCCCCCTGGAGATCCCGGCCCTCCAGTCGCTCGCGTCGGTGTGGATGGGCAACAAGTGCACCGTGAAGATCGACGAGCGCGTCCAGATCGTCTACGAGCAGTTCCTGCGGCTCTGCCACGCGTGCGGCTTCCCGAAGGACGCCTTGGATTTGATCTACTGCTCGGGGCCGGCCTTCAACGACGTGCTCATCCGGGGCGACGCCAAGATGACGCTCTTCACGGGGAGCCAGGCCGTGGCCGAGAAGCTCACGCTCGACCTCCGCGGCAAGGTCAAGCTCGAGGACGCGGGCTTCGACTGGAAGATCCTGGGGCCGGACGTCGACGACTTTGAGTACGTGGCCTGGCAGGCGGACCAGGACGCGTACGCGTTCTCGGGCCAGAAGTGCTCCGCGCAGTCGATCTGCTTCGTCCACGAGAACTGGGAGGCGGCGGGCTTCACGGCGAAGATTAAGGAAACGGCCGCGCAGCGCAACGTGGGCGACCTCTCCGCGGGGCCCGTGCTGTCCTGGTCCACGGACAAGATGCTGGACCACGTCGGGAAGGTCGCGGCGCTGCCCGGCGCGAAGGTCGTCTTCGGCGGCCGGAAGCTCGCGGGGTCCGAGGCCTTCCACGCGGCCTACGGGGGCCTCGAGCCGACGGCCGTCGAGGTGCCGCTGGCCACGATGCTGGCGTCGCCCGAGACCTTCGAGCTCGTGACGACGGAGCTCTTCGGCCCCTTCCAGGTCCTCGTGCCCTACGCCTCGGCGGAGCTGCCGGCCGTGCTCGAGGCCTGCGAGCGCATGACGAACCACCTCACGGCGGCCGTGGTCTCGAACGACGCGAACTTCGCCAACGCCGTGCTCGGCGCGACGGTCAACGGCACGGTCTACGCGGGCCGCCGCGCCCGCACGACGGGCGCCCCGCAGAACCACTGGTTCGGCCCCTGCGGCGACCCGCGCAGCGCCGGCATCCACACGCCGGACGCGATCCGGCTCTGCTGGTCCTCGCACCGCGAGGTCATCGCCGACGTCGGGCCGGTCGGCCACGACTGGACGGCGCCCGCCCCCACGTGACGTAAATCATTCAAGTTAGATTAGCCGATGGCGGAGGACGCGCGGGGCAGGGCCCGAGGCCCCGTCAGCGGTCGTAGGTCGCAGAACCGCGTCGCCTCGTCCCGCTCGAAGTAGAAGAGCTCCGTGATCTGCCGGCGCCACCGCCACAGGAGCACGAGCGTGAGCAACAACAGGGACGACGAGACGAGGGCGTGGACCACGTCGAAAATGATCCAGCAGTAGAAGATGCCCGTCCACACCGTCGCGGCGATGCCGAGCCAGAACAGCCCGAAGACGTGCCGTCGCAGCGAGTAGATCGAGTCCACCGACCGCACGATGCTCCCGTCCGCGCCGCGCATCGACAGCGACGTGCCGCAGACGCTCAGCATCGTCGTGGTCGCGATGCACAGGATGTTCGCCGAGAGCTGCAGCATCGTGCACGTGTAAAAGCCGAAGAGCAGGAAGGCGTGCGTCTCCTCGTGCGTGTGAAACTTGACGAGCGCCGCGAAGCCGAACCCGGCCAGCACCGAGGCTTGCGTCGAGACGGTCGTCAGGTTCAGGTGGTGCAGCGAGAACTCCTTCCATTTCAAGCGCGTGACGCCGCGCGCCAACTTGCCCTCGAGGTAGAGCTTGTCGGCCGCGAGCATGGTGTTTGCTCCAACAGAGGCTCTCCTATTGTCCTACGAGGGTGCAATGCCTCTCAGAGATGGTGTCCTCACCCGTCTGTTAAATTCCAAACGTCAGGTGAGAGGCAGGTTTTCCAGCGTCTGAGCACGTCTAGTGATGCGCAGTGATTGCGTACAGCCGCGCTCCTGAGCGCTCGGCTTTTTGCCAGGGCTGCTGGCATTCCTAGTGTCTTACAGGCCGCTAGCTCATACTTAGTCGCGCCGCGCCGAGCTCTTCAACCGTTGCGCACGTCTCCGTTTCCGGACCTTGTGCTTGTTCATCATCTTCTTGCGCCGCTTCATCGTCGACTCGCCGCGCGCCGGGACGAGGGTCGTCGGTCGCGGCGGCGCGAGACGAGGCGTCGTCGCCAGCGCGTGCAGCGCGCGGCGCGCGAGTGGTGCTCCGCCAAAGAACGATAGAGTTGCGTCCGGCCGCCGCGCCGGCGCTGTGCGCGCGGCGGGGCCCGCGACAAGCGCGAACGGCGTAGCGCTATTCCAGAGCGGCAGCGCCGGCACGGCTAGTGCGCGCGCGGGCGACCGCGTGCAGCCGCGGGCAACGAGCTGCGCCCTGGCGTGGAGTGCTGCTCGACTCACTGGCGCTGATGCTTGCCGCAGCGAAGGCGCAGCAAGGAATCGTCGTGCAGCGTGCATGGCGTGCATGACGCGAATGTAATGGCCCGCTGCGGCCAAGCGGTGCGGTACGCTTGCTCCAGTCTCGAGTACGCGTAAAGCCGGTGTCGTAACTCGCGGGTTTAAGGTATTTCCTGTCAGAGCTCTCTGCGAGTTATCCGCCGAGCAAGGAGCCGGCATCGAACCTTCGGTTGCCGGGGAGCGTCCTAGGAGGCCTAATAGCTGCCTGGCAAAAGTAAAGGCTGTAGCGCCGCAGTCTGTAAGCGCCACCGCAAGCTCGGAGGGCCAGCCGTGAGGCTGCCGGAGCTAGCTTAGCGGAGCCCAGAGAGGCAGAGGGCAGCCAAAAAAGCGCCGGCCTCAGGCTCGGGCTAGCTCAGCGGAGCCCAGAGAGGTCGAGGGCAGCCAAAAGAGCGCCGGCCACGATGCCGGACCAAGACAAGGAGCACCCCATCAGCCCGGACATCGTCCATTTCGAGAATGTGCTCGACCGCCTGGTGTACGTGCAGACCATCTCGATCCGGAACTATGCGGACAAGGCGCGGCGCGTGCGCATCGCCGGGCCCCACGGTCCGGCCAACAAGTCGCCGTTCTCGCTCGTCTACACGCCGACGACGTCGCTCGCGCCGGGCCTCGAGTGCGTGTGCGACGTGCACTTCGTGCTGCCGGACCCCGACAAGGCGGTCGCGTCGGCCCTGGAGACGGGCATCTACCGGGACCGCTTGGTCGTCACGTTCGGCGACAACGAACAACGCATGGAGATCCCGCTGACGGCCTCGACGCCGCAGGGCCGCATCATGGCCGTGCCCACGGCGCCGAAGCGGCACCGCGTCGCCGGGCGCGACGTACAAGTCGTGCCGGCGCCCGGCGCGCCGGGCCTCTTCCACTGCCGGCTCGGGGACGTCGCCCTCAACGCACCGGCGCGCGTCGAGATCGAACTGCGGAACTTTGGACCCGTCGCGGCAGACTTTGAACTGGAGGCCATCAGCGCGGACGACGCGGGCGAGCCGCTGGTCGTGGAGCCCAAGCAGGGCCGGCTCGGGCCGGACCGCCGCGCGGCCCGCGACCTCGCGCGGCTCGCCGCGCGCCGCCCGGCGCCGGCGAGGGGCGCGGACGACGACGACGACGACTCCGAGCCGCCGTCGTCGCGTGAGGCGACGCCCGGGGACTCGAAGCTGTCCGTGGCGACCAAAATCAAGCTCATCGTCCCGACGGGCGCGGCGGGCGTCCAGCGCTTCCGCGTCAACGTCAAGTCGCGGCAGCCCCTGCCCTGCGCGCTGGACGTCTCGGCGGTCGTCGCGCCGCCGCGCCTCGAGCTGTACGCGGCCGAGGGGCCCGACGCGGGCCGGCTGCTCAGCGACGTGGACTTCGGGAGCATGTTCTACGGCCAGGCGCGCGAGATCAAGGCGATCCTCGTGAACAACGCGCCGACGGCCTGCCCCTTTGTCGTGTCCGTGGCGTCCGACCGCGAACTCGCGGTCGCGAACGCCAAGAAGCGGCTCGAGCAGCAGGCCGCGGACGAGGACCTGGGCGAGCCGAAGGAGAAGGGCTCGGACGACGACGACGAGGACGAAGACGAACCGAAGACCCGGGAGGTCCAGTTCCGCGACGAGTGGGCGGTCGACGACGGCGCGCTGACCGTCACGCCGGCGGAGGGGTTGCTCGAGCCGCGGGCCGAGCAGGCCGTGGTCTTCAAGTTCGCGCCGCCTATTCCGCCGCCCGCCTCGGGCTTCAAGCACCAGATCTTCGCGCCGATGACGGCCGAGGACGACGACGCGCACGCGGGCGAGGCCGGCGGGCGGCAGCGACGGAACGTCCCGGCGCGGCCCTACGGCCTCCGCGTGCGCCTCGGCGCGGAGGGGGACGAGGAGGACGGCAAGCACCCGCCCGTCGAGGTCAACGTCGCGGCGCACGCGGCCGAGCCGCACGCCGTGCACGCGACGCCCGGAATTTTAAGATTTGGGCGGTGCGTCACGCGGAAAAAGAAAGTCGGCGCCTTAACGATCGAGAACGCGTGCGACGTCGCGGCGCGCTTCGAGTTCGCGCACTGCCCGCAGTTCCGCGTCTTCCCGCGCGTCGGGCGGCTGGCGGGGCGGGCCCAGGCGCGGGTTCGGGTCGAGTTCTACCCGGCGTCCATGGGGAACTTTGAGGTCGTCTGCGACCTGAAGGTCGAGGGCGGCCTCGCGACGCAGCAGCTCACGTTCCGCGGCAAGGCGGTCCAGGGCAAGCGGGAGAAGGACCCCAACAAGTCGCTCATCGCGGGACCGGGCATGACGTGGGACCCCATCCAGCAGTCGTTATATGGAGACGACTACCTGAAACTCTTTTCGTCGTTCGAGGGCCAGTCGACGATATTGGCGGACGGCACGGTCCTCGAGTCGAAGTATGCTGCCATCGAAGATGAAAAACTAAGGGAGCAGAAGCAGTTCTCCGACGCGAACGCGAAGAAGTACGTGCAATACTTAAGAGACTGCACGAAGAAGCGCGAGGGCCGCGTCGACCGCGACGCGGCCCTGCGCACGGCCGCGCTCTCGGGGCGGGACCTGAGGGATCCCAAGGGTGTAGATCTGGCCCTCCATCCCCTCGAGGAGCCGCCGCCGCCGCCGCTGCCCGACGGCTTCGCGGAGCCGCTCTGGATCCAAAAGGGCGGCGGCCGGAAGAGCGCCGCCGCGACGGCGCTCGACGCCAACAAGCTCGTGCAGGAGAAGTTCAAGCCCCGGCCCACGACCCAGGCCGAGATGCGCCACTGCTCCGCGCGGCTCTCGGCCGCCGAGCTCGCGCAGGTGACGCCAACCACAGCACTCCTCGACTTTGGCCGCGTCTGCGTCGGGTCGACGGCCGTGCGCAACTTTGGCGTGGCCAACGGCCTGGACCACGCCGTGCTCGTCGCGTTATCGGACGAAATGCCGCCCGAGATCACGGGCCGGCCGGCGTCGCAAGTCGTGCCGCCCGAGGCGCAGTGCGGCTTCGACATGAGCTTCCACTGCGACAAGGAGATGAAGGACTACCGCGGCGTCGTGCAGTACACGATCAACGACGCGCACGTGCTCACGTTCGAGGTCACGGCCGAGGTCGTGCCGGTCCGCCTCGACCTCGACGTGACGGACCTGGAGCTGGCCTTCGACGCCCACTCCCTCGAGCCGTCGGTCGACCAGGAGGTCACGCTCACGAACCCGGGCAACTCGGCCGTGGACTTTGTCTGGGCGCCGGGCGCGCCCTTCGGCATCTCGCCCGAGGAGGGCACGATCAAGCCCTACGGCAGCGCCACGATGCTCGTCACGTGGACGCCGGAGCACGGCGTGCCGAACGCGGCCAAACTGCACGCCCACGTGCCGGGCGCCAAGGCCGACCTCGAGCTCGCCGTCTCCGGCGTGCTGGAGGAGGCCACCTGCGCGTTCAAGCAGAAGAAGGTCGACTTCGGCAACGCCGCCGTCGGCGCCGTCAAGGACTTTGAGATCACGCTCGAGAACACGGGCGACGTCGCGGCCGTCTGCACGATGGAGATCCCCGGGGAGCTGAGCGACTGCGTCACGTGCTCGCACGACCGGTTCCGCCTCGCGGCGGGCCAGACGCAGCCCATGACGCTGCTGCTGAAGGCGACGGACCCGCGCAAGCTCGACGGTTATGTTGTTTGCGACGTCCGCGGCTGCGCGCCCCTCAAAATTAAAGTAGAAGGCACGGCCATCGTGCCCGACGTGCGCATCGCGCGCGAGGAGATTTCATTCGGGGACGAGGAGCCGGCGCCGCTGGTCTTCGACTTCGCGTCGCAGTTCGTGGGCTTCGAGTGCCGGCGGCGCGTCGTGCTGCAGAACGCGTCCGAGATCCCCGCGAACTTGATTCTGGACCTCTCGAACCACCCCGACTTCGACGCGGAGCCCTGCAAGCCCCGGGACGAGCCGGCGCCCGCGCCCGCCACGCAGGCGCGGCCCACCTTCGGCCGCACGCCGGCGCCGGCGCCGGCGCCCGCGCCGGCCTCGGCGCTCGAGACGTCCGCGGGCTCGAGCATGGAGCACGTCGCCGCGCGCGACGACGACGACGAGACCGTGTCGACGCGGCGCAGCTCCGCGCCGGCCTTCGAGCACTACACGCTGACGGTCGCGCCGCACGGCGCGCTCGCGTTCGAGCTCATCTTCGCGCCCAAGGCGCCCGGCGCGCACGACTTCGAGCTCCCGCTCGAGCTCGTCGCCGGGGGCGGGACCTTCGACGCCATGCTCAAGGCGTCGGCCCTGCGCCCGATGCTGGTCCTCTCGCAGACGACGGTCGACTTCGGCGAGCGCATCTTCACGCCCGACGAGACGCGGCGCGTGCCCTTCTCGCAGGACGTGGTGGTGACGAACCACCACCACGGCACCCTGACGTGGCGGCTGGAGGTCGGCGACGACGTCGAGTGCTTCGCCGTGACGCCCAAGGAGGGCAGGCTCGTGCCGGGCGAGACGACGACGGTGCGCGCGGCGTTCACGCCGAGCGCCCCGAAGGAGTTCGAGGCGCGCCTGCCGCTCGAGTTCCTCACGGAGCAGGAGCAGGAGGACGGGCCCATGCCAGACAAGCCGGCGCTGGACCTCGTGCTGCGCGGCGCGGGCGCGAACCCGCGGCTGGAAATCGAGGCCCCGCCGACGGAGGACGACGTTGAGTACCAGCGGTGCGAGGGCGACGTCTTCATCATGCCCACGGTGCCGATTGGGGTGACGTCGCGCGTTTTAGTGTACGTGCGGAACATCGGGTTCGAGCACATGACGCTGGAGCACGAGGTGCCGCCGACGTGCCCCGTGACGCTGGACGTGCAGTTCCCCGACGGCAAGACGCTGTCCGCGGCCATCCCGCGCGTGCCCATCATCGTGTCCTTCGCGGCGACCGAGCCGGTCTCGTTCGCCACGAACCTGCGGTTGTTGGATTCCGATGGGAGGTCCTACGACGTCCCGCTGGCCGGCGCCGCGGACGCGTGCCTCCTCAGCACGCACGCCTTCCTCGACCAGTACCGCTACGACTGGACCTTTTACATGAAGGACGGCCGCGCGCCGAAGCTCGTGCCCGCGCTCCTCGCGCGCGAGATGATGGAGCGCGAGCTCAAGGAAAAGGAGGCGGCGCGCGCGAAGAAGCGCGCCTCGCTCTCGGGCAAGGGCAAGAAGCCGAAGAGCCTCGAGGACAAGCCCGCCGCGGCGCCGGCGCCCGCGGCGGCCAAGCAGAAGATCCCCGACGGCGTCGACGCGCGGAAGGAGCGACCGCTGCCGAACGACGAGCTTGCGCCCCTCGTCTGCCAGTGGCTGAACTACCACGCGCTGAGCGCGACGCCCGGCCCGAAGGCGCCGCTCAAGGCCATCCCCGAGGACTGCTACGAGAACAACGGCAAGGTGCCGCTCGACGCCATCGAGGCCCTCTGCGGCAAGAAGCTGCCGGGCCGCCTCCAGCGGACGATCTCCAACGACCGCGAGCTGGCGAACCAGCTGCTCGAGCAATACAAGGCGCTGCTGCTGTTCCTCATCGAGCGGGGCTGCCTCCTGAACCAGGTGCGGCCGGAGCAGCTCTTGGAGAGGCACCACTACATCCTGATCAGAGACCAGCAGGCCGGCGCGGCGCCGACGCGCTCGATCAAGGAGGCGCGCCACGCGTACTGGGACGAGACCCACGCGACGGTGGCGCACGAGGCCTGGCTGTCCGTGCTCCTGCAGACGATCCGCGTCTTCGCGCTGCAGCGCCTCACGCCGAAAGCTTTCGCGAGCCTCCCTGGCGTGCTCGTCGCCAAGCCCCCGGAGCGCAAGGACGACGACGACGCGTCGCGCAAGTCCAGCCGGTCCAACAAGTCCCAGGCCGACCCGGAGATGGGCGGCTCGAACGTCTATTCCGTGGGCGAGTGCGTGCTGCTCAAGTGGTTCAGCTACCACTCCGGGAACGGCACGGGCGCGCCGGCGGGCCTCGGCAAGCGCTACAACACCTTCGGCAAGGCGTTCGGGGACGGCGCCGCGGTCTGCGGGTGCGTGGCGTCGAACGCGGCGCACCTCGTGGAGAGCGGCGGCGCGCTGGCCAACCTGAAGACGCTGCTCGAGCCGCAGAACGACGACGAGAAGGGCGAGCTCCAGAAGATGGCCGCCGAGGCCCTCGTGAAACTGAGGTGCGACCTGGGCGAGGCCGGCGCCGACGAGGACATGATCGAGGCGCTCGGCGCCGAGGACTTTCCCCACCTCGACGGCGCGCGGGGCGTCCTCTTTTGTTTGCACCTCTACCTGACGCTGCCGAACTTCGTCCCGAAGACGACGATCGAGTTCAACGCGACGCTCGGCGCCGCGCTCTGCAAGACCATCGAGCTGAAGAACTCGGCCGCGCGGGACATAGTGTACGACGTCCAGCTCGACGGGTCCCGGGACTTTGTCGCGCTCGACTCGCGGGGCAAGCCGCGGGACCGTGCCAAGGCGGCGACCGTCATCGTCGACGCCAAGGGCAAGGGCGACTACGCCGTCGAGCTGCTGCCGCGCTTCTCGGCGCCGGTCGGCGGCCGCGTGACCTTCTTCGCCAAGCCCTGCGACCGGCCGGGGCTGCGGGCACCGGCTCTAGTTTTTGGACTGCAGTCGCGCGTCGAGTCGCACAAGGCCTGCGGCTTCGCGCGCGTCGAGGCGACGTGCTACGAGCCGAAGACGTTCGACGTGCCCATCGCGACGCCCTTCAAGGAGCAGGGCGTCTTCGCCGTCAAGGCCATCACCTGCGAGTGCATCGAGGCGTACCGCCCGGCGCGGCCGGCGGCGAAGAAGGGCGGGCCGGTCTCGAAGAAGAAGAAGCGCGTCACCGTCGACGCCGCGGACCTCTGGCTCCAGGAGGGCCGCTCGGGCCCGGTCCAGCAGGCCGCCAAGCTGCTGCAGGAGCCGTTCCACCCCGTCTCCAAGCAGCTGCGCGTCTCCAAGGAGGGCGACGCCGAGTTCAAGGTCGAGGTCCTGGCCTGCTCGCCGGGCGTCTACAAGTGCGAGGTGCGCTTCCTCAACGAGGACATTGGAGAATTCGTCGTCGAGGTCGTGGCGAAGGTGGGCCTGCCGAAGAAGGCGGAGAGCTTCAAGTTCGCGCTCGAGGCGGGCGCCGACGGCCAGACGTCGGTCAACAAGCTCCTCAAGTTCTCGTCGACGAACCCGGCGCTCGAGCGGGCCCTGGGCTTCCTGACGGAGCGCGTCTCGTCGAACGCGGAGAAGGCTTTGGTGCGGCAGGCCCTGCAGCAGATGTCCCGCGGGCCGCCGCCGCCCGACGACGCCGACGAGCCCGTCGACGACGAGCCGGGCGCCGACTTCACCGTCGTCGTCGACAGCCCCTTCTTCCAGGCCGCCGACTCCGTCTTCATCGCCGCGGCGGGCGGCAAGACGAAGGGCCCCGCGAAGGCGCAGCTCGCGGACGTCAAGGAGAGCGACCCCCTCGACGCGCCCAACAACCTGCTCCTGTCCTTCTACCCCCAGAAGGCCGGCGCCTACGCCGCCGGCATCGTGGCGCAGGCCCGGCCGGGCCTCGTGCACGACATCCGCACGATCACCCTCGACGCGGCCGTGACGGTGCCCAAGATCCCGACGACCATCGAGTTCCGGGCGCCCGCCCGCCAGACCATCGTGCAGGAGATCCCCCTGCAGAACGCGACGGACGAGGACTGGAAGTTCACGGGCAACGTGCAGGGCAGCCGCGCGTTCTCGGGCCCGAAGACCCTCGAGGTGCCCGCGGGCGGCACGGCCCACTACCCGATCACCTACGCGCCGTCCTGGGTCGGCGAGGAGAAGGCCAAGCTCGTCCTCAAGCAGGCCAAGTCCTCGGACAGCTTCGAGTACCAGCTCGAGGGCTCCGCCGAGGAGCCCCTGGCCGAGGACCACGTCGTGCTGCAGTGCCACGCGCGCGAGCCGCACCGTCACATCTTCCAGCTCAAGGGCGGGCCCAAGCCCACGACCTACACCGTCGAGGCGGACCTGCCGTTCGTCAGCGGCGCGAACGAGGTGCAGGTGCCGGGCAACAAGACCGTCGACTTCCCGCTCACGTTCACGCCCGCGCTCGGCGGCAAGTACACGGGCGCCGTCACGTTCAAGAGCGCGCAGGGCACGTTCATCTGGTGGACCGTCGAGGTCCACGTCGAGAGCCCCCTCGCGGACCAGGCCATCGACATGCAGACCGTGGCGCGCAAGGCCTGCTCGGCGGGGATTACATTGGTCAACCCCCTGGACGAGGAGATCGCCTTCGACGTCGTGTGCGAGGGCGACGGCGTGAGCGGGCCGGCCCGCTTCGCGCTGCCGCCGGCCGGCGAGGCCACCTACGAGCTCATGTACGCGCCGCTCATCTCGAAGACGCACCGCGGGTCCGTCGCCTTCCTGAACGACCGCGTCGGCGAGTTCTGGTACCAGCTGAACCTCGACGCGACGCCGGCGCCGCCCCTGACGCTGGCGCCCTTCGCCTGCGCCGTCGGGGCGCGGGTCTCGACCAAGGTCACGATCGAGAACCCGCTGCCGCAGGAGATCGAGCTCGCCGGGTCGTCGAGCGGCCCGACGTTCGTCGTGCCCGAGACGACGGTCGTCGCTCCGTACCAGGCGGTCGAGGTCGAGGTCACCTACGTGCCGTCGGAGCTCGATGCGGATCAGACCGCCACGGTCAAGCTGGCGCACGAGGCGCTGGGCGAGTACGAGTACGTGTGCACGGGCCGCGGGACGCGGCCCGGCGTCATGGACGAGCACCGGCCGTCGGCCCTCGTGGGCGACCCGCAGTCGTACATGTTCAACTTCAGGAACCCCTTCGACGCGCCCATCGACGTGGACGTGGCCCTCGAGGAGGACGCCGCGTACCCGGGCGCGCTGCAGCTCATCCTGCGCCGCCCGTCGCTGCGGCTCGCGCCGCGGCAGCAGACGGCCGTCCCGCTGGCCTTCGACCCCCGGGTCATCGCCGAGCACCACGCCGTCGTGCGCGTCGAGACGGACTACCGGGGCGAGCGCCTCACGTGGCGCTACCCCGTGCGGGGCATGGTGAACGCGCCCGTGCAGCTGCGCGCCGTGCGCCTCGCCTGCAAGGCCAAGACGTCGCAGCAGCGTGAGGTAAGGCTACGGCTGAAGAATCTGGCCGAGCTCGCGCCGGGCGGCGAGGACTTTGAGTTCGAGGTCGCGGCCGACGACCCGGAAGCGAGCGCGTTCGCCAAGCGCGCGCTCGCGCTCAAGCCGGTCAAGTTGCACCTCGACGGCATCACGGACGAGCTGCGGTTCGACGCGACGTTCCGGCCGCTGCGGGCCTTCGCGGGCTCGGTGAATCTCGTCGTCCGGCGCGAGACAGGCGGCCGCTGGCCGTTCGAGGTCCAGCTCGAGGCGACGGAGCCGGAACCCGACGACACAATAGCTCTCGAGGCGTCGCTCCACCACACGGCGAAGGCGCGCTTCGCGCTGGTCAACTCGCTCTCGACGAACTTCGAGCCCTTCTCGGCCTACTTCACGACGGACTCGTCGCGCGCGCTCGCCGTGCAGCCGACGCAGGGCCTGCTGGCGCCCGTGGGCGCCGAGGGCACGGCCTTTGAGGTCGCCTTCGCGCCGACGAAGTACTCCATGCTCGAGCGGGGGCGGCTGGTCGTCAAGACAGCGGAGACGACGTGGTCCTACGAGGTCCGCGGCACGAACCCGCCGTTCGTCGTGCCCGAGGCGACGACCAAAATCGACACGCACATGTCGGCGAGATATCTGCGTAATTAGTATGACCGGGTTTGGGGCCGCCGCCCGCGCGCGCGTTGACGGGTCCCCGACGCCCCCAGCGACTAGGAATTCCGTAGTATTGCCTCCCCCAAGGCCCCCGAGCCCTCCCGGGCCGCGCCCGCGCCGCGGACCCGGCCGGGGGGCGCGAGGCCCCTTTGCGAATCAAAAAAATCGCAGAGCGCAGAACGATCTGGGGCGGCGGCCGTCTACGGCGCAAGCGCGGCGCAGAGGACCATGGCGACGGACGAGAACAACCACAAGAACGAGGCGCGCGACGACTGGACCGGCTGCACCTTCCGGGTGGAGCGGGGGCCCAGCAGCGAAGGCCGGGCCTGGAGATGTCGGTTCCTTACTGCTCGACGGAGCCAGCGCGGCCACGTCATCGCCGAGAAACGACTTAGTGGGTTGATTGCCACACAGGCGACGACGACGGCGAGGAGCAGGGCGCCCTCGAGTCGGCCGTGGCCGCGGGCGTCGTCGCGCGGCGCCGGGGCGGCGGCGGCCCGCGGGGCGCGCGGCCCGGATTCGCGCTCGGCGCCGCTGAGGAGGAGCCGGTCGCGGACGACGCCGACTCCGACGACGAGGAGGCCGACGAGGTCGATCCGGACTTCGATCCCGACGACGACGTCACGATGCGGGACCCGGAGCCGACGTCGCGCAAGCGCAAGGCGCCGCCGGCGCCGCGGCCGAAGCGGCGCCGCAAGACCAAGGCCGCGCCCATCGAGCCCGTATTGTCGGAGTACGAACTCGGCCGGCGCGCCAAGATCAAGCGGAACAACAAGTTCCTCGTGTCGGTCGGGCTCTTGTTCCCGCGCTGACTCAGCGTCTCGCAGAAACTTCGACTTTGGGAAGATGGCGTCGGCACGATCACGATGCCGCCGTGACGCCGTCGTCGTGATCGTCGGAGCGTCGACGCGTCTCACGAGTTTACGGTGTCGATAACAGGCCGAAGGAGGCGCTCGAGGACGACGAGCACCCCTGGTGGTACATGACGGCGCGCTGAGGGCGCAGCCGTCCACTACGTTTTCCCTCCCCCATTCTCCCTCTCCCCCCGCTGATGTTCGAGATATGACGAGTCTCGAACGACGACCGATTGACGACGACGGCGCGGCGCCGGCGTCCCACTATTCTACCATCGCTTCTCATCACAACCGACGCAGGTGCCACGACGGTGGCACCGCCCGGCCGCGCAGCCCGCGAGCGCGGCCGACCAGCTCTCTGCGCGAACGTCCTGGGCGAGTTCGTTCGTGCTCTTCTTCCCCGCTCGACCTCACGTCGGGCGGGCCGGCCCGCGGGCTCCACGCCCCTCCGGGTCCGAACGGTCTTCTTCTTCGAGGCCGTCATGTTCCTCCTGCACTGTTACCCCCACATCGTTCCTCTTACTACCCCGCGTGTCGTTTCCTCTTTCCCCCAGCGCTCATAAGGAGTTCGCAGTCGACTGCTGTTTCAGGCGTATGCCACGGGGAAAACACTTAGGCGCTACGAGCGGCTCGCCTGGGCGCCGCAGGGCGCGTCCGCGGCGCCGGCGGCTTGAGACGCTTCGCCGAGGGCTTGGCCGCCGGGCGCCGCCCGGATTTCTTCGTGCGGGCGCGGCGGCGATCGTCGGGCGTCGGCCGCGGCGTCGGCGCGCTGCGCTTAGGCTTGGGCCTGGGCGTCGACGCCGCAGCCTCGAGCCGCCGCCGCTTGGCCTCGCGCCTGGCCTTGCACTCTTCGCAGTAGAACTCGCCGCGCGGCAGGCGCGTGATCCCAACGCACGCAAAGTGGAACCAGTTGTCGCAGCCGCCGTCGCAGCCGACCATCGAGCCGTGGTACGGACCGTTGCAAATGCAACCGCGCCAGTCGGCCCACTCGTCGCCGACCGCCGCGCGCCACTCCGTCAGCTCCTCGTCGGCGGCCGCGGGCTCCGCCTCGACGACAGGGTCCGGCGGCGGCGAGGCGGCGCGGACCCACTCGCCCCTGGCGCCGTCCCAGGTCGCGCCGAGGGGCGCGTGCCCGTGCGGCTTCGGGACCTTGCCGGGCGTGACGACCGCGCTCGGCGCGGCGGCGGCCGCGGCCGCGGGGCCGGGCGTGACGACCGCGCTCGGCGCGGCGGCAGGCGCGGCGGCGGGCGCGGCCCGGCCGGTCGTCTGCGGGCGCGGCAGCGGGACGTTCGCGACGTCCGCGCCCGGCGCGCAGATCGCCGAGAGGTAGGCGTAGTAGGGCCCGTAGCCGCCCCGGACCCAGGCGTTGGGCGCCGGGAAGGCCTCGCCGGGCACGACCGCGCCCGGCGCCGCGGCGCGGAGGCGGTCGAGGCCGATGGCCGCGAAGACCTCCGCTCCGATGGGTATGAGCGCCTTCAGGTGGCCCGCCGCCGCCGCCGCGCGGACGACGTGCTTCGTGTAGAGCTCCCACGAGAGCGTCAGCGCGGGCGTCTTGCACCGCTTCGGCGGCCGCTCCTTCGCCTTGCGCTGGACCTCGCCGTTCCGCGCCGACCGCACGTAGTACGTCGCCTGGGGGATGTACCAGCCGACGACGCACGTGTCGAGGAGCCAGATGCCCCGCGCCTTGAGGTCGCGCATGACGCGGAACTTCGCCGCGAGCCGGTCCGCGAGCCGCGGCGAGCCCAGCTTCAGGACGTCGCTGAGCTGGCCGCCCGGGCCGACGACCGGCGTCGCGGGCGTGGCCGGCGCGAGCTCGCGGCTGCACGCCGCGAGGAGCTGCCAGAACTGCGTCGAGCCCCGGTCGGCGGCGCGCCCGTCGGCGCAGAGGGCCTGCTCGCCGTAGCCGAGGCAGTTCACGAGGCGCACGTAGCCGCGCGGGCCGTCGTAGCCGTGCTCCCGCCGCAGGCGCTCGAACGCCGCGTCGGACAGCCGCTTCGCCGCCTGCTCCTCCGGCGCCGTGAAGACGTGCGACTCCGCGAGGACGATGGCCCGCACCTCGTCGGGCTTCCAGTGGTCGTAGTACTCCTTCGCCAGGCGCACGCTCGACAGGTCCTCGCAGTCGCCGTCGGGCAGCGCCGCGGCGCACGCGCCGGTCGCCGCCGCCAGCATCGCGTCGGTGGGCGGGGCAAAGCCCGCGACCGTGTCGCCCGTCGCGATGAGGTCGACCGACGCGGCGTGCGCGGCGAGCGCGGCGCGGAACGGCGTCTCCGTCGCCCGCAGCGCGGCGTCGTCCTCCGGCTCCGGCGCGGGCGCGTCGTCGTCCGCCACGGGCTCCGGCGCGGGCGCGTCGTCGTCCGCCACGGGCTCCGGCGCGGGCGCGTCGTCGTCTGCCACAGGCTCCGGGGCGGGCGCGGCGCCGTCCGCCACAGGCTCCGGGGCGGGCGCGGCGCCGTCCGCCACAGGCTCCGGCGCGGGTGCGTCGTCGTCGGCGTCCGGCTCGGGCGCCGCCGGCCCGGGCTCCGCGGCCGCGCGTCCTCGCGCGGCGCGGGCGGCCGCGACCGTGATGGGCGGATACGGCTGCAGGCCCGCCTTGACGCGCTCGCCCGCGGGCGCCCAGCGCGGCGGCACGCAATTGCGCAGCCGCTGCTGCTCGTTCCAGACCTCGAGGAGCTCCGGCTGCGACTCGTGCCCGAATTCCGGCAGCGGCGTGTTCGGCGGTGGTGATGATCGTGGCGGCGTCGGCGTGACGCGCGGCGGCCTCGCGTCGCTCGACACCGGCGCCACGCAAATTCGCGCCACGCATTTCTTTCGCAAGGTTCCCGGGCCGCCGCGCTTGCGCATGTCGAGGCAGGGTTTGCACAAACCGCATTCCGGCGCGAGGCACGGGCCGCAGCGACCGCACGCCGACGAGCGCGCGCGTTTTTTTGGGGGTGCTTCGGCCATGGTCGTTACGGAGAGCTTCACAGCACTGCTGGAGAGCTTGTTTTACACTGGCTCGGTGCCGCGAAAAAAGACGAGCTGCTGGTCCCGCACAAATGGTGCCCACAGCAATCGCCGGGCTGTTAGAATTTTAAACCGGGCGCGTTTTAGGTCTCCTCGCCTTCAGCGGAGGCGTACGGTGCTGCTCCTCGATCGTCTCTCAGATCTAGCCAACTGCGAAACAAACACTCGTCTGTTTTTCGACACCTGCAGATCACTTCTCTTAGCGGCAAAGCTGCAAAGCAAAAAACGGTATTCACTGGGCCCCGCACCTTGGCAATGAGACTCGAGTACGATGAGGCAGCCCCTGCGGCCAGCCGCTCGATGCGATAGCTGATGTGGAAGGCGTCGCTGCTGCTGGCCGCGGTCCGTGCCGACTTCGACGATGCCATGGTGGCGGCCGGGCAGCGGGGGCAGCGCAGGGCACACAAGGCGGGACCGGCGCTGCTGGACGTGCTGCGCGTGCCCGTGCGCACCGGCTGTGCGCTGACCTATGCGGCCGGCAACCGCACGCTGACGTTCCGCGGCGCGCGCCGCATCAGCTTCGACCCGGCGCAGGACTGCGACGGCGCCTGGCCGGCCTGCGGCGCCGGCGCGCCGCGGACGCCCCTGCTCTGCTCGTTGGGTGCAGGTGCGTCTCGCCCGCCGCGGCGCGCCCCCCTCGCGCTCGCGACGTCGGTCACGGACTTTCGGTTCCTCTGGCGCTTCTGGCGCTGGGCGGCGAACACGGCGTGCTACGCCTCGCAGCACGACCTCCCGTACTACGTCTTCGTCGGCACGCCGCTCAAGCGGGCGACGAAACGGAGCGCCGCGACGACGTGCCCCGCGCGGAAGGAGGAGCTCCTGGGCCACACGTCGAAGGCCCTCTCGCTGCACGCGCTCGCGGCGCTGGGCGTGGCGGACCGCGTGCTCTTCCTGGACGCGCGACTTCTGTGCAGAAACCGAAATTTCACGGCGCCTTCGCGTCGACATCCACGCCATCGACGCGATGCCTGCTCGACGGCGTGGCGGTGCCCGTTCCCGACTCACTGGTTGATTTCCCCACAGGCGGACATCTGGATCGCGCGCCACGTGCCGCTCCGGGCCTTTCTCGAGGCCGCCGGCGCCGCGGACGTCGCCCTGCCGGCGCCCTGCTACCGCCAGCTCTTCGGCGCCGCCGTCGTGCTCGTGCGGTCGACGCCGTGGGCCGCCGGGTTCCTGGCCACGTGGTTCGGCCTGCGCTGCGGCCCGAAGGACCAGCCGTCGCTGTGGCACCTCGTCCTGCGGGCCGCGGGGCTCGACGGTGCCGCCGAAGAGGTGTTGAAACTCTACCACGACGAGCGGTGCGTCGTCGACGGCGCGCTGACGAAGAACGAGTGCTCGTGCGTTGCAAGTGGCCGCGTCGCGGCCGACGACGCGACGTGCGGCTACTACGCGGCGTGGAAGGCGGCGAACCGCGCGTTCCTGGCCGGCGGCGCGTTCCCGCCGGGCGCCGTCGTCGACGCGGGCGACGTGTACGCGGTGCGGCGGCCGACGTTCGTCGAGGGCGGCCGCGTGGCGTACCTACCGAACGTCGGGTCCGGGTCGCTCCTCTGCGGCGCGGCGGCGCCGCTCCGCCACGTCAAGTTCCTCCGGAAGGAGGACCGCGACTTGCCGGCCGCGTGCCCCGCGCTGCCGCCGGGGACGGGGTGGAAGGGGGACTAAGTTTGTAGGTGTTGTGTTCGAAAAAATGGGATTATTCACAACAAAAGACGACAGGAGAAGGGGGGGGCGTGGGGAGATATCAACTTCACTCGATGGTCCAGAGGCCGCTGTGGCACAGCTCTTCGATGACGGCGTAGTCCTTGACGAGCTGCTCGGCGTCGGCGTTGGCGAGCTTGACCGCACCGCCCCAGCCGAAGAGGTCCTTGGTCGGAGCGACGGCGGAATCGAGCTTGGCGTGGAATGTTGAGAGCTTTTTACTCAAGCTAAAAGAGAGAGCGCAACTTCTATATGAACAGAGGACCTCGCCAGCACCACCTATCCGCTCAGGGACGCGTGTGGCAGGAGTCTGCCCGCGACCACGGGTCCTTGAAGACGTATGCGACCCGCCGGGCGCGCGCTATGCCCACGGACAGGCGTTTCTTTGCATTCGTACATACATTCGTCCCCACTTCGTATCCCGGGCTCGCAGGGAGTAGAAGGCCGCCCGTAGCCGTCTCTCCTCGGCGGGCTCAGGATGATCTTGTCACTGTTTCGGCGGGAGGCTCTCCAGCCGAGGGCAGCGTCGTGGTCCGCCCGAATAGCCAGACGCGCCCACGGAAAGGCAGCCCAAAACACGGACAGGGCCCAAAACAGCAGCCCACAACAGGACAGGGCCCAAAACAAAGGACAGCCATGGACGAAGTCTACGAAGAGATCAAGGAAGCGGGCAACTACGTCGTCGACGGCGTGGAGAAGACGCTCACGGACGCCGCGAATTACGTCGAGGATGTGGTGGCCCCGGCCCCGCCGGTGGCGCGCACGCTCGACCCCGCGCACCCCGCGCCGCCGCCGCCGCCGGACGAGTTCGAGCAGCGCGACGGCCTGGGGCTGAGCCGCGACGACGTGCTCAAGGCGCCGGCGGCGGCCGAGGCCGACAAGCGCTGGGACTACAAGAAAATGTACGCGCGGCGGGTCGTCGTGCAGTGCCCGGTCCTCGCCGTCGCGCTCTACGTGGCCGTGGCGCAGTTCTACGACGTCGAGGCGCGGCTCGCCCTCGCGCGGTCCATGGACCTCGGCTGGGCCTTCCTCGCCTGGTACGTCGTCTACCTCGCGCGGCAGTCCGTGGCCATCAACGCGGCCGCGTGCCGCGCGGGGGCTCGGTGTCCGCGGCCGGACCAGCACGTCTACCGCATCGCGCACCCGGACTTCAACGAGAAGCCCTACGTCATGATGGCCAACGCCGGCCCGCAAGGGCGCTTCAACCGCGCGCAGCGGGCCGTCTTCAACTACGACGAGGCGCTGCCGCTTTTTCTCTCGGGCCTTCTCCTGAACGCGCTCCTCGGCCCCGCGGCCTTGATTCTGGCCGTGCTGAACGCGTCCGGCCGCCGCGCGTTCGCGCGCGCCTACACGGACTCGCTCGAGGGCCGCGGCGGCGGCTTCGTCCGGGCCGTCGCGCCGGAGCACGTGTCCGCGGCGCTGAATCTGGTCATCGCCGCGCTCATCTTCGCGCCCCGCTTCGACATAGACGTGCCGGCGCCGCCGAAGTTTCTCCCTTGACTGATACGCCCCGCCCCTGCCGTCCTGTACGTAACACAGATTCACTTAACTAACGGCGTGTCGCCGCGGGAGCCCCGCGCGCGCTTGCGGCACAGCGGGCACGTCACGACGACGGAGCGGCGCGTCGTGCCGACGCCCTTGCCGTGGCGCTCGAGCGTCGCCAGACACGACGCGTGGAAGGCGTGGGAGCAGGACAACACCGTGACGTCGCGTACCTTGATGGGCGCGAGGCAAATGGAGCAGGGATCCGCGGGCGCCTTGGGCTTGGGCGTCGCGGGCGCCCGCTTCTTCGCCGGCTTCTGCGGCGTCTCCGGCGCGGCGCCGCCCTTCTTCGACTTCTTCCCCGCGAAGCGCGACACTTTCTTCGGCGCCGCGGGCGGAATCGGCGGCGGATCGCGGGGCAGGCCCGCCAAAACCGCCCTTATCCGGGCGTTCATGGGCTTGATCTCCGCGCCCTTGTCCTCCTCAGCGGCGTTACCTGTGTGGAAATCAAAATTTTACGGCGCGTTCGTCCTGAATCGCCGCGTCGACCTCCACGCCATCGACGCGACCGACACTGGTTGATTTCCACACAGGGCGTTACAATAGGCGACGGCCGGGTCCCAGGTATTCTGTGAACAACTCCAGTCGTCCGCGAGGGAGTGCGGCGCCGCTTTACCCGACAATGGCCCAGGCAGCCGCCGCAGCGCCGCACAAGCCTTGCACTGCACAAAGTCCGCGACCAGCGCGAGCACGTACTTGGGGCTTCTCGCGACCTCGTCGTGCGGGCTGATCCAATACCTGTGTGGTGCGTGAGTCGCGGCGATGGCGTGACGGCGGGGACACCGTCGCGTACGGATCCCAGTGCGCCGGGTTCGAGACGCGCGGCACCGGCGCGCACCGCCAGCCCTCCAGGCGCGAGCGCGGCCAGCCGTGGCGTTCAATGTACGCCGCGGCGTCGGCGAGGCACTGGACTTCGAGGTCGGCGCTGCTGGCCATTTCTTTTTTTTTTTACGCTGTGTGCTTCTTTTACGCTATGTGAGCTCACGTGCTGCGCAAGCAGACGGATTGATGCCGGAAACCGCGGGCTCGCTGTAAGTAGCCTTGTAGGAGCACCTTATAAATGGAAGCCAGGAAGTGGTTGGCGCTTGTTCGCAGCTAAGAAGCAATCAAAGAACAGAGGAAAGCAACGGGAAATTAAAATGCTGCGCCGAAACCGGTCGCAAAAGCGCGCGCGCGTCCTGGACGCCGGTATAGCAGTATTATAGCAGTATGCCTATGCATACCTAACATACCTGACCCCCCTTGCCTTCGATTTTTTTTTATCCTTTACCTGCCCACTCCTTAACATCCCCCGTGACGCGCAGCATACATAAATAGAAATCTTATAAACTTATGATTGAATCGAAGAGTTCCTACCCACGAGTCTCACAGAGGCCCAGACGAGTTTTGCGCGATCAAAAGAGACATCACATAGAATTAATTCATCGACCCGCCGCCTCGCGGAGGAGGTCCGACAGGGACCGCTCCGCCGGTGGCGGCGGCGCTGCGGCGGCCTCGCGGTCCGCGGCCTCGCGGAGCAAATCGGAGAACGACGGCTCCGCGGGCGTCTCGCGGTCGGCCGCCTCGCGGAGTAGGTCGGAGAAGGACGCCTCCGGCGCGGCGGCCCGCGCCTTGACGGTGTGCTTGAGGCGCGCGGCGGCGGCGCCCGCTGCCTGAAGAACGCGTCCCGGGCCGACGATCGCGGCGTCCTCCTCGGCCTCCGGGGGAGCGGCCGGCGGCGCCGCCGTGAGCGAGGCGATCTCGATTGCGGCGCGGCGGATGTCGTCGTCGAAGACGCCTTTGGAAAGCTCTGCGCGGCCGATCGACGCTATCAGCGAGCGCGCCGGCCGCAGCCGCGCCGTCACGACGACGTCGAGCGTCGCCAACGCGAGGCGGCCCGACTCCGTCGACGACGGCACGTTGACGGTGACGCACAGGCGGCCCTCGAGGCTCGCCTCGCGGCCGAGCGCGACGTGGTACGTCGCGCCCGCAGCCGTGTTCGAGACGGCCGCTTGCGCGCCGCTCGCGTCGAGCGCGGAACCGAGCGCCACGAGGCAGTCTCCAAACAACGACTGGTTCGCGAGGCGCAGCAGGTACGCGTCGTCGCCCTCCAGCGCACCGAGCCGTGCGGCTGCGTCGGTCACCTCGACGCCGTCTTCCGTCACGACGAAAGTGTTCCGGGCGAGTTCCCGTTCGATGGTGTAACGCGCGAGCTCGGGTCGATCGTCGTAGTAGCGCCACGTGTCCACCGCGCCGGCCGACTTGAGCGTCCTGTCGACCGCTGCGGCGATCGCCGCGTCGGCGAGCGCCTGCTGCAGCGCGACGACGGCATCGCGCGCGCGACACTCGTCGGTTGTGAGCACGCGTTGCTGCGTCGGTGGTGCCGGCGGCACGGCTGTCGCTGTGGCTGGCCTGGCAGGTGCGCGTGCTGGCGACCGCGCGGACGTCGACGACGAGCGCTCGAGCGCGCACTCCGCCAGCAAGGCGTCCAGGCCGTCCGAGCCCGCATCACTCGTCACTTTTTTTGATCCAGCTGTGGGGAGTGCACGCGACCACATGAATTCTATGCAGCCTATTGCGATCAATGCTTCCCGCAGCGGCTGGTGAGGTCTCTCTCACTGCATGCACTCCGCCAGGCCACACACACCCGGTCGACTAGCTCTACGGTAGTAGTGTGGGCTATAGCAGCGCTAAGTTTGCATCTGTGCCGGCGACAGGCCGCAAGCAGCCCAGGAGCCATCTACGCTAGTGTCTTACAGCTAGCTCGATGTCACGCCATATTCTCGTATTTTCACAACAATTAAGAAGAAGAAGAAGAAGACACCTCCGCATCCCTCGTCACGACCGCCGCGGCGCGGACGACGCGGTCGTGCATCGTGTAGCCGCGCTGGAGCACTTCCGCGACGACCGGCGGTCCCGAGGGCGGAGACAAGGCCCGGAGCGCCTCCATGGTCGCCGGGTCGAACGCGTCGCCGGGCTCCGGCGCGAACGGGGTGACGTTATTTGCGGCGAGCGCCGCGTGGAGCTGCGCGTCCAATGCGTCGTAGGCCGCCGTGTCCGCGGAGCTTTGCCGTGCGAGCGCCAGCGAGTCCGCGACGCCGAAGAACGACGCCGCGACCTTTTGCGCGCCGAACCGCTTCGCCTCGGCGACGTCGCGGGCCGCCGTCCGCCGCGCCGCGTCGGCGTCGGCCTCGGCGGTCTTGACCACCGCCGTGAGGCGTCGCAGCGCGCGCCGGTCGCGGGCGCCGGCCATCAACATGCCCAGGCCAAGGCCCACGCAGGCTGCTCCGGTTGCCACCTTGGCATCCCTCGCATCTATGCGCAGCCGGCGCCACTGCGCTCGCGCGGCGTCGACCGGGTCCCAGGCCATCGCTAAGTATCACTTGCGCACTGCTGCGCGTTGTCGTGTGCCCGTGTGGTTACTGCTCCGGACTTGAGTGCTTTGGCTCTCAGCTAGCTGGCAGCCGTATTGTCAGGCCGATGAATGTTGAAAGAGTATGAGGCTGCTCGTGGTGCTGGCCGCAACGCGAGCGCTCACGCCAGCACCCAAGCCTGCTGCTGTCACTCGACGCACCGCGGTCGCCGGTGCCACAGTGCTTGCGTTCGCATCACCAGCAGGGGCGCGGCGCCGAAACGCGGCGGAGCAGCTGCGTCAAGCGGTCTTCGGCGCCGTGGCGGACGATCCGACGGTCGCCGGGGCGTTGTTGCGTCTCGCGTTCCACGACGCGGTGCGACGGGCCGATGGGCAGACGCGCGGCGCGGACGGCTCGATCCAGTACGAGATTCCGGACGCCGAGAACGTGCGGCTCGGCCGGCCGCTGGCTCTCGTCATGGCGATGAAACCGGACGGCCTGAGCGTCGCTGATGCGGTGGCTGTGGCGGGCGCCGCGGCCGTCGAAGCGAGCGGCGGTCCGCGCATCGCCATAGGCCTCGGTCGCCTCGACGCGAGCGCGGCGGCGCCGGCGACGCTCGGGCGGCCGATAGCACAGCCGGGCGACGAAGCCAGGGACGTCGTCAAACGCACGCTGCCCGAGCCGGGCCTCTCGACGGTGGGCCTGCGGCGCTACTTCCGCCGCGTCGGCCTCTCGGACCAGGAGCTCGTGGCGCTCATGGGCGCGCACACGCTCGGCCGGCACAACACGCTGCTGAACATGACGAAGGCGTGCCTCCGCAATCTGACGCGGGAATGCCTGGAGACGGCGCCCGTGCGCGCGCCCTTCGAAAGTAGGACGCCGGACGCCTTCGACAACTCGTACTACTCCTTGCTTCTGGCGTGGGACGACCGCAGTTTAGAAAGAGGCGAGGCGAACTTCATCCCGACGGACGTGGCCCTCGTCCTGGACGCGTCGTTCCGGCGCCACGTCGTCGCCTTCGCGCGGTCGGAGCCGCTCTTCCGGGCGACGTTCGCGCGCGCGTACGCGAAGCTCGTGCGGTAGTGCGTGCTCTGTAATTTCTGTTTGTGTTCTGGCAGCGATACATTCGCTCTTGTTCGATGACTATTTTTCCTAGTATGTCTATGTACTTAGATAACTTCCAGCTCAGCTAAGCTCAAGACTAAAACGCTAGCATTTTCAGGCCGTACAAGGCCAAGTCCTGCCATTGAATCAATGGCTCATACCACTGTCAATCGCTAGAAGCCATCGCAGAAGCCATGCCTTCGACGTCGACCGCTCTCCGCGTCATCGTGGCCAGCGTGCTGGCGGCGGCCCTCACGCCACCGCAGCTGCTTGCGGCGGCCCTCACGCCGCCGCAGCCAGGGAGGCACGCTCTCCGGGCCAGGCCCCAGCAGCCAGGGAGGCACGCTCTCCGCGCCAGGCCCCTCGCCGCCGCACTCGTCGAAACCGCGGGCCTCGTCCCGGACGGCGCGCGCCACGTCTCCGAGGACCTGGTCAAGAAGACGCACCGCTTCGACGTGAGCCTCACAGAACCACTGGGCTTAACACTCGGCGAGGCCCAGGCGGGCAAGGACACCTGCGTCTACGTCAAGACCGTGGACGAGAGCGGCGGCGCACACGCGGCGGGCTGCCGCGCCGGCGATAGAGTGGTGGCGACTTCGGCGACGCTGGGCGACGCCATGTGGCCCAAGTCGTCGATCGCGGGCGTTGTTTCCGCCGTGCGGTCCCGGCTGCAGCTCGGCAACCAGAAGGTCTCGTTGCGAATCGAGCGCTCGCTGGACGACGACGAGGTCGCGCTCGCCGAGCTGAGATCCAGGGAGAGCGTCAAGGAGCGCTGGGAGGTCGAATTGCAGAAACCACTCGGTTTGACCTTGAAGAACGTCGACGGCACGCCGACGGTCGCGCAAATAAAAAAGGGCGGCTCCGCGGAGCGGTCCAAGGGCCGCGTGCGCATCGGCGATAGGGTGGTGGGCGTCGAGTCGGCCTTCGGCGGGCGCATGTACCCCGTCACGACGACGAAAGAAGTGCTCGCGGCGGCCGCGCTGCCGACGCCGAGCATATCATTACGATTGGAGCGCGACGTGCGCGTGGGGCCCTGGAGCGGCCTGCTGCGGTCCGACGGCGACGACGACGAGGACGCCGTGGCGCCGCGCGACCGGCGGTCGTCGACGCAGTCGCAGGTCCAGCGCGACATCGGCGACGCACTCAACGTGTATCTGGAACTGCGGCGGGCCCAGCTGCCGGCGACGGCGACGGCGTCCCTGCTTTTAGATAGGTGCACGTTCCTCGCCAAGACATACGCGCGGCGGGCGTCGTCGCGCAAGGCCTTCCGGTCGGGCCGCGGCGACGCCCAGGACCGATTGGACGCTTTGCTCCAAACTCTGGAAGACGCCGAGGTCGAGCTCAGCGCCAAGTTCGCGACGAACGCCGTCTCGGCCTTCGTGAGCGTCGGCGCGCCGAAGCGGGGCGCGCGCCTCTTCGAGCGCTGCGCGCGCGGCGACCCGGGCCACCCGCGGCCGAACCGGCGGCTGCTCACGGCGGGCGTGTCCGCCTACGCGCGCCTCGGCCGCGTCGACCAGGCCTTCGCGGCCGCGCGCGAGGCGACGACCGAGGAGAACATCGACACGCGGCTGGGCAACGCCCTGCTGGCGGCGGCGGCGGCGGCAAAGGACGTGCGTCGGGCCGAGGCGGTCTTCGCGGCGATGACGCGCGCGCCCTCCACGGAGCCAGCGGGCGCGGACACGGGCGCGCGGCTCATGCCGAGCTTCGCGCCGCAGCCGCGCGCGCCGCCGGCCGCGCCGCCCCGGGCCCTCGCGGACGCCGTCACTTATAGAACGATGATCGACGCCTACGCGCGGGCCAAGCGGCCCGACGACGCCCAGGCCGTGCTGGAGCGGATGCGGACGGAGGCGGGCCTCGGGCCCGACCGCGTGGCGTCGACGGCGCTCATGAAGGCCCACGTCGAGGCGGGCGACGTCGACGCGGCCGAGCGGTGCCTCGAGGAGCTCCTCGAGGCGGCCGACGAGGTCATGGAGCGGACGCGCGTGCTCGTGGCGAAGGCCGCGGCGCAGTCCGAGGACGGCGAGGCGCCCAAGGCGTTGCTGGGCGAGCGCGCCGCGGCCTACCGACGGGCAAGACCGGACGCGACGTGCTGGAACACGCTGATCCGGGGCTACGCGCGCACGCTGCGGTGGCGCGCCGCCGCCGACTGCTTGCAGCGCATGCGCGACGCGGGCTGCCCCCCGGACCTCGTGAGCTACACGAACGTGGCGACGGCGTGCCTCCGCGCGGACCGGCCCAAGGAGGCGCTGCGGCGCCTCGACGAGCTCGAGCGCGCGCGCGCCGCGGCCGTCGCCGTGACCGGGCCCGGCGGCCGCGCGGCGCGGCGCCTGCGGCCGAACGTCGTCGCGTACACCATTGGATGTTTGGCGCACGCGAAGACGGGCGACCTGGTGGGCGCGCTGCTCGTGCTAAGGAAGATGCGCGACGCGGGCGTCGCGCCGAACGAGCGGACCTGCGCCGCGGTGCTCGAGTGCTGCCTCAAGGCGGGGCGGCCGAGCTCGGCGATGGGGCTCGTCGAGGAGATGCGCGCGAGCGGCGTGCGCGAGGACGTCGTCACGTCCACATTATTGCTAAGGTGCCACCTCGCGGCGGGCGAGCCGGCCCAGGCGTCGCGGCTCCTCGACGAGATGGAGGCCTCGGCCGTCGACGGCGCGGTCAGCGCCGTCGACGGCCAGCGCGGCAAGCGGAGCCGGCGGTCGACGGCGCCGAACTTGGTGACGTACAACGCGGCGCTCGCCGGCTTCGCCAAGCTCGGCGCCTGGGGCGAGGCGCTCGACGCCCTGGATCGGGCGGCGGCGCGCTTCGCGCCGAACCGCGAGACCTGGGCGGCGCTCGCGGGTATCTCGCAGGACCGCTCGCGTGGCCACGACTTCCTGCACGACGCGCTGCGGCTGCTCATGCGGCGCGACCGCGCCGTCGGCGCCAAGGCCTACGAGGCCTGGCTTCTGGCCGCGGCGCGGGCGAACGACGTGGACCGAGTCGACGCGCTCGCGCGCGCGCGCGCGGACGGCCGGCTCCGCATCGTCGTCGGTGAGCGGGGCGCGCGGCGGCGGGCCCTCGACGACGGCGTCCGCCTCGACACGGACGGCCGCCTCGACGAGCTCGAGGCGGCGGTGCTGCGGAGCCGGCGGACGTCGTCCGCTGTGCCTGCTAAACGTTGATCTGTTTTACCTTTTTGGGAGCCCCGTCCGCTCATCCCCTCCCCCCGGACCCGTCCCTATTGTTACGGTGCTAGAAGGGAGACACCGCGCGTCCGTGCCGCGTCCTTCACCACAGCATACCTCCTTCTAAGCAGAACCTCGGCAACAAGTCTCGCTAGTATCTTACACCGCTAGCCCCGCGTGAGCTCCTGAGCTTGTCGCATTGCCTTTGTGCGTCGAGTGGCAGTCTGGTGTTTGGTCGCTTGTTGCATCATTTTGCATCATTAGTTCGCAGCGATAACGCTTCCCCCAGCTTTCGTAAGCTCTCCGCATTAAAAAGCAAGCGATAGCTCAACTACTCCGCAGAGCAATTGCAAAGCGGCGATAAAAGCTCAGCGCAAAAGCAAGCGATAAGCTCAACTCCGCAGCAGCAGCAAGCGATAAAAAACACCACTCGTGCAGAGCACTATGGCGATCAGCAAGAAGAAAGCGAGAAAGGACCGTAAAGCCGCGGCGGCCCAGGCCGCCCGGGCCGCGCGCGACGCATCTCACGAGGACGCGCCGGACGAGGACGACGACGAGCGCGAGATGGCCGAGATGCGCGCCGAGCTCGCGGCGACGAAGGACGCGCACGCGAAGGAGGCCAAGGCCAAGGCGCGCGCGCGCGCGGCGGCCGCGGCGGCCGCGGCGGACGACGGCGACGAGTCCGAGAGCGAGAGCGAGGACGAGGCGCCCGTCGGCGCGAAGCGCAAGCGGCCGGCGCCTACGCCCACGCAGCCGCGCGTCGCGTACCAGAACAAGCAGCGCTGTTTGGTCGTGTGCTCGCGCGGCGCCTCCGCGCGGCACCGCCACCTCCTCGAGGATTTGAGGAGGCTGATGCCGCACCACAAGGCCGACTCGAAGATGGACTCGAAGTCCGACCCGCGCCAGCTGAACGAGGTCTGCGAGCTCAAGTCGTGCAACGGCTGCCTCTACTTGGAAGCTAGAAAGCGCACGGACCTCTACCTCTGGCTCGCGCGGCCGCCGCGGGGCCCGTCGGCCAAGTTCCTCGTCCAGAACGTCCACACGATGGACGAGCTCAAGCTGACGGGCAACTGCGGCCACGGCACGCGCGCGTTATTGTGCTTCGACGCGACGTTCGACGCCGAGCCGCACTGGCGCGCCGTCAAGGACCTCCTGGCCGTGACCTTCGGCGTGCCGCGGGGCCACCCGAAGTCCAAGCCCTTTTTTGATCGGTGCATGGCCTTCGCGATCGACGACGGGAAGGTCTGGGTCCGGCACTACCAGATCGTCGACGACGCCCTGGACGACGCCGACGCCAAGGTGAGGAGCGGCGTCCGTGTCAACCACAGCCGGGGCCGGGTGACGACGAACCATATTTCATAGACCTGTTCTGAACTTTCGCGCGCGGCGGGCGCCGAAAGGCGCCCGCCGCCGCGAGCCGATCTGAGCGATAAACACATGCACCACTATCCGACGGCCCGCGCGCCCTCGTTCGTCGTCGGTCGCGTCGCGGCTCCCGCTCACTTCTTCGTTACAACGCAGCGCCAGGACGGCACGTCGCTCGTCGAGGTCGGCCCGCGGCTCGTCCTGGCGCCGATCCGCGTCTTCGCCGGCAGCTTCGGCGGCGCGACGCTGTACCACGACGCCGGCCTCGTGCTGCCGAACGAGGCGCGCCAGCGCGAGCGCCTCGACCTCAAAAGGGGCGGCTCGAAGTACGAGCGCCGCAAGGAGGCCCAGGCCGCGCGCCGCGAGCACGTCGCCGCGAACACCTTGCCGGAGGACGAGCTCGCGGACACGTTCCGGGACGACGTAACGGGCCTCTAGTCTCTCTCTCGAGTGTGGGTTTCTTCGGTCGGAGCTCTATTCGTCGAGCTGTTTGCGCAGAGAAGCGGGGAAAGGTGCCGTACGTGTTTCCATCCCGGAACGGAGAGGGTTCTTCCCGCCCCAACTTTTTTGTCCGGCGCAGCGTGTGTTTTTGGCTGCTGAACGTAGCTTCTGCGGAACAAAAAGAGACAACGCTCCTCCACGAGGGTTTCCTGGCTGGTGGTGCTCTCCGCTCTCACTGACAACAGCGACAAGACGCCGCAGGCCGCGTTAGAGCTCAATAATGGCTACACTCAAAGTCGGGCTTCGTCCTCGCGTCGTGACGATGCCCGAGGACAGCGGGGCCGCGGACGAGCCGCTGTCGCCCCAGACGACAACAGCACGTACAACCAGCCCGAACTGCGTCGTGACGATGACGCCGCGGACCATCTCGCCGCCGTCGTCGCCACCAAAGCGGCTGCAGTACTCGCGGCCGTCTCTCCTCAGAGAGAATAGCTGCTCGCAGACCCTATTTGCTGACTGCTCCGACTTTATGGTCTCCGAGCCGGCCACGCCGGCCAAGGAAAAGACCGAGCCGGCGCCGGTCGCCGCGCCGAAAAAGTCCGTGCGGTTTGCCGAGGGCACTAACTTTCCGCCGCCGCCGCCGCTGGAGCGCGCGCTGACGATCGACAATTTGGAGGAGGGCTCGCTCTTCGGAGACGTCGCGCCGCCCGCGAAGCGCCTACGCATCGACTCGCCCGAGCCTGAGTCGGTCGACGACGTCTGGGCGCCGCTGGACGAGACCGGCGACGAGTTCGGCCGCGACGTGCTGTTGAGCGCCGAGGACGTCGAGCTCATCGCGGCGCTCTGAAGATCCCCCCTAGTCGTCGCGCCGGCAATTGTCCCCGCCGATGTCGCGCATGTGTAAGAGAGTTTTACGTTGACCTTAGTCTCGCATTCGTCACCGCAGCCCGCACGGCTAGTACCTCTTGAGCTAGCTGCCTAAACCCAGCCTGTCCTCCAAAACGCTCCTCCGTGCGCTATTCCTCATAACGATTGAGCCATCGTAGCGCTCGTACACCATCGCAGCGCTCGTACACCATCGCAGCCCTCGTACACCATCGCAGCGCTCGTACACTGATCCTACACATCTATCCTACACTCTTCAGTGGCGTCGTCGGCACGCTGCGGAGCCGTCAAGGCCCAAGCCACACAAGCGACACCAAGCGGGGCCAGAAATGAACCGTCCCACTAAGCCAAAGCTCTCCGCAGCACCAAGAGATGCCCTCTCCGCCCTGCCGAAGGAAATGATGGCGCACATCGCAGCCTTCGCGGGCTGGCGCGGTCTCCTGCAAGGGCTAGAGGTGACGGGCAAATGCGGCCGCGAACTGGCGGCACAGGGCTACGCGCACGGCATCGAAAAGCTGCGTGGGCGCGTCGGCGCCGTCGACGCGCGCAGAGCGTGCCTGGCGGTCGCCGCGACGCGGTGGAACCACGCGCTGCAGCCGGTCTTCGGCGACGGGGCTCTCCACAGAAGGTCGAGGCTACGGCCAATATCTGGCATGAATCGTCCAAGAGGAACTCGAGATTTTGAGGCGAGACTGGGATTCGCTGCAAATTCGGCGCGGACGCGGCCCGACGATGCCGCGGGAACTGTGCTGGTCTGCGATGTCCTCCGACGAGTTTGGTGGGACGGTGGCGACGCCTATGTGACTGACCGACCGGCAACACTCGTCGGAAGCTGGGTTGTCGATGGCGACAGATGCACCCTCGCGCACGGGAGCACCATAACACAAGAGTGGGGAGGGTTCCCCGTCGCACCAGGCTCGCTGTGCGCGTTCACTGTCTCATTTGGGTCGGAGATTCCTGTGCAGGCTTCCTCTCGCGAGTTATGGGAGAGAGAAACTGATTTAAAGTTCCGTCTCTGGGCCGTGACGAAGGACGGTGCTGTCGCCTGCGTGCTCTGGGATAATGTGGAGCTCGATCAGCGCGAGGGCATTTTCCACTGTGTCACCACTGAGCCACAGAACCTCGTCAATTATCCGAATCCTTGGAATGTGGGCACTACGCAGTGCGAGGTGCGACCCTCAGCGACCATCGAGGGCGACAGCTTCTCGCTCCGCGCGGCGACTTTTTGCTTTGTTTGTGCAGATGACGTAGATGAGTCGTATGAGGGAGAATTTCTCGACAGCCTCGTCGAAGAGGGAGTTTGGGTGCCGACGCGCCCGCGAACAGTCTGAAGGTAACAATTTTAAAAATCACAAACTCACACACTAGCAGCATCCCGCAACAGCCCCCCGAGCAACCCGCCGTCGGGCGGGAAGCGACGGGTCGCGAGCGCCAGGGGGCCCTCGGGCGGAAGCGTCGTGCGCCGGTTCTGGACGGATACCTTGAGCACGACCGGCGTCGGCGACGCGCCTTGTGCAAGGAGCGCAGCGGCGACGTCGCGCGCGGCCGCCCCCGGCGCGTCGGCGCGGAGCACCGTCCACGTCAGCGGCGTCCGGCCCCAGCGGTCGAGCCAGTCGAGGCACCCCCGGCGCGCGCCCGCGGCCGCGAGCACCTGCGCACAAATCAAACAGTGAGTCGGGTGAAATTTGATTCATGCACTGGCGATGACCTTCATCGTCTCCGCGTCGCCACTCCGCGCGCAGAAGTGCACGGCCGACTGCTCGGCGCGGTCCCGCATCGCGATGGGCGCGCCCGCCTCGAGCAGGAGCCGGGCGCACTGCGCGCCGCCGGGCGCCGCGGCGCACCGGTGCAGCGGCGCCCGCGCGTTCGAGTCGACCGCGGTCGGTGCGGCGCCCGCCGCGAGTAAAGCCGCGATGGCGTCCGCGTTCGCGGCCGCGGCCGCGCGCGCGAGCGGCGTCGAGCGCTTGTCCCGCGTCCGGCTCAGGTCGAGGCCGCGGTCGCGCGCCGCGCCGAGGAGCGCGGCCAGCGCGTCGCCGCGCCGCGCCTCGGCGGCGGCGCCCAGGGCTTCATCCAACGCCGCCAACACGGCGTCTCCCTTGAACGGGTCCGGCGGCGGCTTCGGCGGGAGCTTGGACCAGGGCGACGCGTCGCCCCGGACGAACGCGGGGTCCGGCGCGTCCGGCGGCGGGGCCCGGGCGTCGATCCCCCGCTCGAGGAACGCCGCGTACTCGGCCAGCGTCTTGCCGAAGCAGTGCCGCGGGTGGAAGGCGTCGCGCGAAAACGACTCGCCGTAGTAGTCGTCGCCGTCGCCGGCGAAGGGCCGGCCCTCGCAGAGGCGCGCCTCGAGCCGCCGGCACGCGCGCAGCGCCAGCAGGCTGTCGCCGCCCAGGACCTCGAAGGTGTCGTCGCGGGCCGCGTCGCGGCCGGGCGGCGCGACGCCGATCTCGCGCCACGCAAAGGCCACGGCCTTCTCGACGCGCGTGTTGGGCGGGCGGCGCCCCTGCGGGCTGGCGTCGCGGAGCGCGCGCGCCGCCGCGGCCTGGCACGCGCGTCGGTCGACCTTGTCCGTGCGCGTCCGCGGCAATTCCGTCGCGAAGAGCACGGCGGCGGGCTGGACGAAGCGCTTCAGGCACGCGCCCGCGGCGGCCTGGAGCACGGGCCCGAGCACCGGATCCGCGTCTAAATTCGCAGAGCGGGCCGCGGGCGACGCGCAGCACGCCACCAACGCGTCGTCCACGAGCACGAAGCGGCACGCGGCGACGAGCGCCGTGGCCTCGAGCGCCGCGTCGAGGGCGCCGAGCTCCGTGCGCCGGCCGCTGCGCTTGATCTGGTCGTCGAGGCGGCCCTGGAGCCGGATCGCGCCGTCCTCCACGGCGCCGCCGTCGCCCGTCCGATAGTATCTCCCTTGTCCGTCGGACCCGTGGCCGCCGCTCTCCCCGCCCAGGTACGACGCGCCGTCGACGAGGGGTCCTCGCAAAACAACTTCGCAGTCCTCCAGGCTTATCGTGCCGACCAGCGCCGACCCCAGCAAGCCGCAGTCTCCGACGGCTTTTACGACACGATGCGCTTGGTAGACGCAGCACTCCGTGACGCCGTAGACGCTCACGAGCGAGAAGGCGCCGCCGCAGGCTTCGACGAGCTTCGGAGGCAGGGCCTCGCCGCCGAGCGCCACGACGCGCAAGCACGGGAACGCGCCGCCGACGCACGTGGCGAAGAGCGGCGGCGTCGTCGTGATGTGCGTGCACCGCGACGACCGCAGGAGCTCGGCGAGCGCGAAGACGACCTCGCGCCGCGGCGCGCAGCAGAGGGACGCTTGGGAGAGGGCACACTGCGCGACGTCGCCGACCGTCGGGTCGAACGCGTGGTGCGAGGCCAAGAGCAGCACGGACGTCGCGTCGACGCCGTCGACGCGGTTGCGCGCCCGCGCGTAGGTCGCGAGCGCGTTCCGCGACACCAGGCAGCCCTTGGGTCGCCCGGTGCTGCCGCTCGTGAAGAAGCAGTGGGCGTAGGCGTCGCTCGCGAAGGGGACCGGCGGCGCGGCGCAGGCCTCGTTTACCACAAGTGACGCGAGCACCGGCACCGTCGCGAGCCTTCTGAAACGTTCCGCGTCCTTTTCTTCGCAGACCACAACCGCGGCGTCGAGGCGTTTGACGACGTCGGCCAGCTCGTCGTCGCGGTCCTCGCAGTCGATCGGCGCGACGGCGGCGTCGATGCGCCAGGCCGCGAGGTAGACGAGTGGCAAGCTATAGCCCTCGGAGATACTCGAGACGACGAAGCGCTTGGTGCAGCCCAGCTGGGCGAGGCGGCTGGCCAAGGCTGCGGCTTGCTGTGCTACCTTGGTGTGTGCTGTGGCGTGCCATTGGTTGTCAGCATGCGTGCGTAGTTCGAACGCTTGCAATGCGTCTTGCATCTGTCCAAAAAGTCATCAATGGAGCAGCTCACGCTCGGCATTGCCCCAGCTGCAGGCTGCTGCTAGTGTCTTTACAGCCGCTAGATAGCGTTGAACCCTCGGTCCCTTGGAGCGGGTCCATCACGCGTCATGTTCTTCCCCTCAGAGGGATGTTTGAGGGGCCTACGAGGTCGAGACGAGGACGGTGTAGCAGTGTCCGCAATTGCGTCAGTGCTGTCGCTTCGTTCGTCTACGCGCCGGCAGCATGGTGGCGCCACGGCGGGTCATCACCGTGCTGCTCTTCGGTGCCGCCGCGCCGGCCGCGGCGTTTCAGCCGGCCCGCGTGAGCTGCCAGCAGCGACACAGAGTTGCTGTCTGCAGCACAATTGACAACCGCCGGCGCTCGCGCAGCGACAACGAGGCGAGCGAGGGTTTAGGAATCGTCAACGTGCCAGTCACGGAGGACGCTATCAAAATGGCGAAGGACAAGCTCGAAAGTCGTTCCGGCTCGGTCGCCTCCGCCGCGACGGCCTCCGCCGTCGCCGCTGCCGCCGCGGCATCCGACGCTCTCCCCGATGTTGGGTTTGATCCTTGGTCTCCCTTCTCCTGAAATTCGTGTTGTTTATAGTCGAAATCTTAAGTATCATTCGTTTCGCAGTCGAGCCTCGAATCACGCTCCTACACACAAACACTTAATCACCCGGCGGCGTCCGGTTCTTCGGCGTAGCCCGAGGCCACGCCCGTGCGCCCCGCGGCGGCGACGTGGACCTCGGTCTCGCCGCGGCGCACCTCGAGGCCCTGCCAGTCCCTTCCATGCAAATACTCGGCCGCCGCCGACGTCCACTTGACGATCTCGCCCTGTTGATCGGGTTCGTACGCGAGGTCCACGCGCGGCCGCTCAAACTGCCCGGACGCGAGGTCGAAGTCCGGCGCGTCGTCGCTGTCATGATCTTCGGAGTCGATCGCCAAGTCCGCCAAATCGCACGAGTAGAACGGCGCGTCCTCGGGCAGCCACCTCGATCGATCGAGGCACACGGCGAGCTCCGACGCCGCCACGAGCGGCACGGCCACCTCGCGCCCATAGATCTCGAGCGTCTCGACGTCCGCGCCGACGATGCACAGCGCCTCGAGCTCCGCGAAGTTCGCCAGCTTCGCCGGCGTGATGGGCCCCACCGCAATCACGTACGACGCGCGGCCCGTCTCCCGAATCAGCGCGTCGCACGCCCGCGCCGCGCGCGCGCTCTCGGCGATGCGGCCCGCGCCCGCGACGACGACGCCCCAGCGCGACGCCTGGCGCGCCCTGCCTAAGGCGTGGCGCCTCCTCGCCAACGCGCGCGTCGCCCGCGACGCCAGCGCGTCCGCGTCCTCGCCGCCGCCCGTTGGGTCGACGGCCACGAAGCACGCGCACGCCGCGGCCCGCAGCGCCACGGCGTCGCGGAGCGGGCCGGCGGCGCCGACGAAGGCGACGCGCCGTCTGCGAAAGTCCGCCTCGTCCGCGCAGTCCGTGCCGAGGCCCGCGACGACGAAAGGCGACGACGGTCCGGCCTCGTCGTAGACGTGCGCCGGCAGCGACGACGCCGCGCAGGGGCCGACGCGCGGCTCCAGCTCCGCCGCGAGCGCCCCACCGAAGTCGGCGTGCTCCGGCGCGACCAGCAAGAGCACGGGGCCCTCCTCGATTAGTAATTCCTCTATGTGCCGCGCGACGCCGGCCACGTCCACGGCCGCCGCGGGCCCGCGCACGAACAAGGTCGGCGGCGCGCCGTCGGGCGGCGGCGTCAGGCAGTCCGCACCGCACTTGACGAGGGCGTCCGCGTCGACGTGCGCGGCGCCGACGCAGTCGACGGCGCCGCGCGGCACGGGGTCGCCCAGGACGTAGATCTCCGGCGCGGCCCCGAGCCGCGCCGCGAGGGCCGTCGCGACGGCCGGCGCCTCCCCGAGCAGGTGCGCGGGGAACTGGAGCGCGAGGACCGTCGCGCCGTGCTTCTTCACGAAGGCCTCGATGCGGTCGAACTCGAAGTCGCGGCTCGTCGTCGCCATGGGCCTGGGAAAAGATGGCGTGAATGTCGTCTCCGAAGACCCACCGGGCGCGGCACGGGGAAAGCCTGGCCCGGCTTGAATGGCGCAACTCCGCTGGTTGCGCCGTGAGGCGGGTTCGCTCTCGCAGGGTTAAAATGCCCGGCGCGCGCACGGAGGCGCAGCGCGGCCGGGTTCTAGCGCCTGCCCCTTCGTTTTTGTTGAGATGGACGCGGGGCGCGGACGTTCCGAGCCTGCGTGCGTCGCGCGGTGGGCATCACGGATACAAGCTGTGCGTCTTCGAAAAGAAAAAATGGCCCTCACGGCGCGTGCTCTCGCCACCGGAACCTCGGATGTAAATTACCCATTGCGTTCGTCGCTCACCGGACGTTGTGTCTGAAGAAGCCATGGACGCCGGGGCGCGCACCTCCTTATTTCAAATCAAACGGCGCGCCTGCGGAGGATGACCGATGACCGCGGCCGCGGCTCGGCGGCGCGTGTTGTGCGCGGCGAGGGGGGGACTCGGAGATGTATCGTCATCGACACGTGTTCGTTCGGAGACTCTAGTCCAAAGATGTGTTCTCGTCACGGTCCCTCGTGTGTCCTCGGAGTTTTAACCAAGCACTGCTTCTATCCACACGGTGGATGTTCGGTCGGGTAAACAGGATGGTCGTCATCGGACGTTTTGGTGCGTTTTTTGGGCGAAGGCTGCGGCGGACGCTGCGGCGGGCGTGGTCAAGCGCAGCGCTCACCGATGCGACGAGTTGCATGCAGCGCTCATGGCGAGCTGCACTTGTGAAGCTGCTGTGTGGTCTGCTGTGGTGCCGCAGCGCGTGCGCGCGATAGGGCACTGTTTGCAGCGCTCGATGCGGTGCACAAACAACAACTAACTAATCCTGCCGAGCTCTCTCTCGCTGTGGCAGCTGAAGCTGGCTAGCAGCTGTAAGACACTAGCAAGCAAGCCGCACGGGAAGGACGCTGAGGCGTCTCTGAGGATCTCTCGCTCGCCGCCAAAAGCTTCTGCGACGCATGCCTCTTAGATTGTCATCATCTCTAGCACTCCTTCACTCAGCGCGGCACGCGATCTGTGCATGTAAGGCAGCCAGGGGCAGCCGCCTCACGTTCTCCTTTCTACGGGATCGGAGAACGGTGAATGGACACCAGTGCATAGACAGCTCAAAGGATGGGTGCCGGAGCATCTGCCCCACGGCAGCCCCTACAATCTCTCAGTGCAGACAGCATCAAGGAACTCGTGGAGTCTTTGGGTCCCAAATTCGCAGACATCGGAGAACAGCTGCAGGAAAATGGGTACGACGGCGCGATCCTGGCTGACGCGTCCGACGAGGACCTTGACGAACTCTTCGATGAGCTCGAGGTCCCAAAGCTGAAGCAAAAGGTGTTACGGAAGAAGCTTGCCTGGCTCAAGGAAGGGATTTCTACGGCATCACTTGACGAGCACCCGGCCGCGGCGGACGGCCCGCCCGCCGCCGCGGCGCCGAAGGACGAATACGTTGTCGACGCATACGACTGCTTCCTGTCGCACAAGCGCTCCGACTGCCAGGATGTGGTCGCGCGCGTGCATGACCGGCTGACGGATGCGGGCTACCGCGCGTTCATCGATCGGGAAGAGCTCGAAGAATTACCAAAGCTCAAAGCAAGCGTGCGCGCGTCGGGGAAGCTCGTCTTCTTTATGTCCCCTAAGATCTTCGAATCGGACTGGTGCATGTTAGAGCTCTGCACGGCGGTCGACAGCGGCATTGACGTACTGCCGGTCACCGTCGAAGGCACGACGTGGGGCGGCGGCGCTCGAGTGTTCCCCGACGTCCAACAAGACGTACCGGAAAAAGTAGAGATCCAGGGCCAGGTGTACCATCCGCGCGCGGCGGCGGCCAAGGCCTTTGCGCACGCAATCGGCCTCGAGCACTCGCGCAGTTACTTCGACGCATTTATTGACAAACTTTCGAAGCGCATCGGCCCCTCGAAGCGAGTGGTGGCGGACGGGCCGCCCGAGGGCAGCGTCGCTAGGCAGATCTGGCAGCAAGCCGGGGGTACCCCGTCGTGGGGCGACGTACTCAAGACGCTCCGCGAGACCTCAGGCGCGGCGGACGCCGTCGACGCATCGCGCCCGGTGCTCGCGCGCGCCCTCGGCCTCGTCGACGGCGCCGACGAGAGCTCGCCGGTGAACGCGGCGGCGCTCGCCGCCGTATTTCCGCCGGGAACGGACGTAGCGCAGACCTTGCGGGCGCTCGCGGCGCGCACTCAACCGGTGGGCGTGACTGACGGTGGCGCGGCGACCACCACTCCAGGCGGCGGCGCGGGCGAGGAGACATTAATGCCCGTGGTGATGGCCGCAGATGCAACAGCGTTAGAGGAGGCGGAAGCGGCGGGGACGGCAGCAGAGTTACCCGACGCCGGACTTGCACTCGTCGGCGGCAACACGTCGATGGCATCCGTGCGTGCGCAGCTGATCGAGGCTCTCGACGAACTCGGAATTGAGGGCGACGAGGGGCTGGGCGACACAATCGAGCGCATCAAAGGAGGAAAATTCTCATTTCTGCTACCGATGAAAGGGAAGCGGCGGCGACGCGTCGTTATGCGCACGCAAGAGAGGCTCGTTCGCGGCGCCACGGCGATGGGTGATCCGATCGCGCTCATGCCGACGACCAAGGCGGCTGCAGAGCCGCTGGCTGTAACGGCGGTGGCGGTGGACGGGGCGGCCGATGCCGCTGCGGAGATCGTTTCCCGGGCGGCGCGCAAGGACGCGGACAAGCTCAGTATCGACGCGGCCCTCCGCGACCCGGACCTGTTCACCGGACTGCGCCGAATTCTCCATGAGGAGCGCGCTGGTGGTGATGCGCCAGAAGAGGAAGCGGCTGTGCTCGCGTCGAAGGTGGCGGAGCTCAAAAAACTGCTCTCTGGTGGCGGTGACGGCGGCACGCTCGCCGCAGACGTTCGCGCGCTATCAACTGCCGCAGCCGCGCAAGACGGAGCAGTCGCGCGTCTCGCGGGCGCGGCGGCGGCGCAGAGCGTGGCTTCGGCCGCGGCCGAAGGCGGCGACGCGGCGGCGCTGGTCGCGGCGCTCGAGCCCCTCGCGGCGGCGGCGCGCGAGGGGCTGGCGCCCTCGCTCGAGAAACTACGCGCCGAGATTGCGCGCGACGGCGCGACGCCCTCGCTACCCAAGTCATCGGTCGGGTCGCGGAAGCGCGTCGTGATCGCTGGAGGCGGCTTCTGCGGCGCGATGGTGGCGTACCGCCTCGATAAAAACCCGGAATTCCATGTGACACTTCTTGACACGAAGGAATACGTCGAAAATACGCCAGTAGTGTTAAGGCTGATGTGCCTCGCCGGCAAGGAGTTCGAGGACATGTTTAGCAAGGCGCTCATCGAGCATAAGGCCTATGTTAAGAATGGTGACGTCGTGGTGGGCTCTCTAGCCGCCGTGCGCACCGACCACATCCTCTATGGCGCGAAGACTGGCGTTGCCGCGCACGTGCTGCCCTATGATTATCTCGTCATCTCGACAGGGACGGCATACCAGTCCGACATCAAGACCGATGGTACGTCAATAGAGCACCGCAGGCGTTCCTACGAGATTGAGCACCAGCGCATCGCAGATGCTCCCGCCACTGTGGTCGTGGGCGGCGGGCTGGTTGGTACAGAATTAGCTTTGGACATCTCCACATTTTTCCCAGGCAAGAAGGTCGAGTGGATCTCCGGGAACGAGACGTTGATGTCGCGCATTCATGGTTTCCACGACCCAACCATGGAGGTCGTTGAGCGCGAGGCTGCGAAGGGCCACCTAAAACTTTCCCTTGGCGAGCGGGCCATCTCGGTGAACCAGGCCGGGTCCATACTGACCGATAAGGGCAATGAGACGACGCCGGGCGCGCGCGCCTATTGGTGCACCGGCTACCGAGCGAACAACAGCTTTATGAAGGACCCGCGCACGGCTGCGAGCGTCGCATCCTGCCTGGATGACGAGGGCTTCATCAATGCGGGCCCGACGCACCAATTGTCTCACCCAGCGCTCTCGCACGTCTTCGCCGGCGGAGACATATGCTGTCGGGATCGGTTTGGCGGCGGCGAGCGGATGGCGGCGTACGGGCACACGCACGCCATGGTCATCTGCGAAAATATCGAACGGCTTGCCGGCACGCTCAGCGGCCCGCTGCAGGCGGCGCGCATCGGCATACCAAAAAAGGGCGCAGACAGTGCCACCGATAACGAAGGCGTCCTGATCTCCCTCGGCAAGACGGACACCGTTATGTTCTCGAAGAATCCGCTGATGCGCGCCTTCTACCCCAATCCCGAGGAGATGGAAGAGAAATACGGGCCGATAGACGAGGCACCCAACGGCTGGATCCTTCTCGATGACCAATCCTCGCTCAAGTTTGGGTTCGGTGTGGACCTGCTGGCCGAAACGTTCCGAGAGGGCAAGGACGAGTGGTGGGCGGGATTCGACGGACCGCGAATGTACGACTTCGTGCCTTAATTAGGCTTTCTACTAGTTCCTTTTTTCACTCACAGGGGTCGCTTATCCATGCTAACCTCGTGTATTCGCTTCAGGAGGTCCTGGTACGCGTCGTCGATCGCTTGTCGCTGGGCGGCGTGCGACGCGCGTTGCGTCTGCCAGGCCTCAAGCTCGGCCTCATACTCGGGGGAGCGTGCCGGCGGCTTCCCGCGAGGCGCGTCGTCGCGAGTCCGCGCCGCGACGGTCGCCCGTCGCGGCTCCGCGTCCTCCTCCACCTCGACCACCGCGGGAGGCATGTCCAACTGCGGATCGTCGTCGTCGACGCCCTCGTCGCCGTGGGCGTAGCCGAACCCCTTGGCGCCGTGGGGCGGTCGCGGCCGCCGGTTCGCGCGTTCCGCCTCGGTCAAGGCGGCGTCGCGGCGCTTGAGCTCGTCGATGGCCGCGGCGAGCTCCTCGTGCCCGTTCTTGAGCGCTTTCTTCCGCAGGACGTCGAACTTCGCCTTGCGCCGCAGGGCAGCCCCCGTCGTCGAGCTGTCCCGGCTGCCCGGCAGCGTGCGCTCCCAGCTCGCTTTCCTTGCCGCAGCGGTTGAGAGCAGTATGAAGAGGCGGTACATGTGCACCATTTTCAAAATGGCAGCCGAACCGGCCGCAAGGGCAAAATTATTTCATGCTTGCTCGCTTGCTAGTGTCTTACAGCCGCTAGCTGCGCTGTCAAGTTTCTCGGGTTTAAGGGGGGCTAGCACCTTGGGGGTGGGTGCACTAGGACCAGACCTCTAACGGCCCGGGCCCGGCATCGGGACGTGGTCGTCCGGCGGGAGGGTGGGGCGTCGCGGGGACACTCTCACAAACAAGCTAGACAAACAAGCGAGCTTAGTAGTACCTATAGTACTTGGAGTGGCTCTCGCGGAGGTGCAGGAACGTCTCGGGCGAGTGCAGCGGCGGCCTCACCTGCTCCCCGTCCGCCGCCGCGTCGACGAACTCGTTGGCGGCGCGCGCCTCGTCGCGCGCCGCGAGGCGCTCCTCCGCGGTTTTGCCCTCCTCGCTCGCGTCGGAGGAACAGATGGTGTCCTCGTCGAAGGTCGCGGCGGCGGCCGCGGCGAGCGCATCCGCCGCCGCCTCGGCCGCGACGGCCGCGTCGTCGATGGGCGGCGCCGGCGCGTCCTCTGCGGGCGCCGGCGCCGCGGCCGCCGGCGTCGGCTCGATGTGGAGCGCCGGCGGCGGCAGCCCTAGCAGGCTCCGCGACGGGGGGCCCTCCCAGCCGCCCTTCGTCTCCACGGCCGCGTGCACGTCCAGGGTCGCGACGCGCCGCTCGATGGCCCGGAGCTCCGAGTCCGTCGACCGGCACGCGTGGGGCAGGGCCTTGAAGACGGTCTTGAGGCACGGCGGCGGCGGCGCTTCTTTCGGCTTCGGCTTCTTCTTTTGGACCGTCTGGGGAGCTTTCTTGACGCTCATCATGCGCCGCGGCGCCTTCCGGACGGCCGCGGCGGTCTTCACGACCGCAACGACGTCGAGCGCCGCCATCTTCGAGGCGAGGACGTCGGCGCCGAGCTCGGCCGCGTCCACCGTAAAGGCGGCGGGCAGCTTGATGACGGGGAAGGGCGCCTTGGCGGGACTCGCCGGGGGACTCTTCGTCGTGTCGATGGGGCTCGGCCGCCGGCGCGCCGCGCGCGTCTCGACCATGGTGATGACGTTACTGGTGTGTCGGTGCGTGTCAGGTGCCTCTCATCGCTGTGCGCGCCTGGGGCAGCCCAAGCGGACGACTTGTGGCAAGGTGGGTCTTAGTCCCTAGTCCATATCATGAGATAACGAGCCCAGGATGCCCTACCGAAACTGCAGAATCTGATCTATCTAGTGTGTGTGTATACGCTAAGGTTTTATCTTTGGCGTCGCCGCCGCCTATCCCGGCTGGCACAATGGCAGATTACGACGCCCTGCGCCAGCAGGTCGAGGCCGACGCAGGCGATTTTACGTCTTGGTCCAAACTTCTCGCTGCCGTCGAGGAGGGAGCGACAGCCTACCCCGAGCGCGTCGCGCCGACGTTCGAGAGCTTCCTCGCGAAGTTCCCGCTCTGCTTCGGCTACTGGTGCAAGTACGCGGACCTGCAGCGGCGCCTGGGCGAGGCCGGGTCGGTGGACGCCGCCGAGGCCCAGGAGAAGGCGGCGACGATCTACGACCGGGCCCTCGAGGCCGTGCCGTTGAGTGTGGAACTGTGGAAGGCCTACACGGCGCACGTCAAGGCCGCGACGGCGGGCCAGTCGTCGGAAAAACTGCGCGCGGCCTACAAGAAGGCGACGGGCCGCGTCGGCCACGACGCCGCGGCCGCGGGCCTCTGGGACGCGTTCATGGAGTTTGAAGCGGATAGGGGCACGCCGGAGACCGTCTGCGACGTTTTTAAGAGCATGTTGGGGGTGGACGCGTCGGGCCGGACCGACGAGTTATGGCGGCGCTTCAAGCACCTCTCGAAGTCGTACCAGACGCCCGAATTAGTATCTGAAGAGGATAGAAAGGCTCTTGAAGCGCGCTGGAAGGCCCAGAAGAAGGAGGGCGACGCGAACGCGGAATTGGATGCGCTCGCGAATAGTAGGGTCGCGGGCATGAAGGAATTGGAGCTGCAACGGCAGATGGAGCAGCTCCTACTCGAATGCGAGCAGGCGAAGAACGACCTCGTCCAGAATCGGTTGGAGCGCCAGCACTACGAGGCCGGCGTCAGAAGGTGGTATTTTCACGTGAAGCCTCTGGACGAAGCCCAATTACGCAACTGGCGCGAGTATCTTACGAGAGAGGAGACGGCCGCCTACACGGACAAAGAGACCCACGTCAAGAAGGTGCGCGCGTTGTTTGAACGGTGTTTGGTACCGTGTGCGCTCTACGCCGAGTTCTGGCTGCGGTACGCGGCGTGGTGCCATTCCAACATCGACGCCACGGCGGCTTTAGCGGTCGCGACGCGCGCAGCGACCGTGTTTTTACCGCGGCGACCCGACGTCTTAGCCGCTCTCGCCGCTTTGCTCGAGTCCGCGGGCCGCCTCGACGACGCGCGCGCGGCCTACGAGGCCGTGGCCGCCGGCGCCGTCGAGGCGGACCACAAGGCCTACGGCGCGGTCCTGGTGGCGAACTTCGAGCGGCGCGTCGGCGGCGACGTCGTCGGGGCCTACGAGAAGGCGCTCGCAAACGGCGCGGCGCCGGCGCCGACGCGCGCGCACCTCGCGCGCTACCACTGCGTCGTCCGCAACGACGTCGCGGCGGCGCGGGCCGTTCTCGATCAAGCCCTGGAAGCGGAGCCGGAGCACGCCGGGCTCTGGCAGGCGCGCGCGCGCGTCGAGGCGCACCGCGTCGCGGACGACAAGGCGGCGGCCGTCTTCGCGCGCGTCGCCGAGGTCTACGACCGCGCCCTCGGTCCGGAGTCGACGGTGCCTGTACAAGAGCGCGGGCCGCTCTGGCAGCAGTACAAGGCCGTCGCGGACGATCTGTGTGGCGACGCCGCGAAGCTGCTCGAGATCGCCCGCGGCTACGCGAAGTGGCGCTCGCGCGCCGACGTCGAGGCGCAGCCGCTGGGGCCCATCCCCGCGAAGCGCAAGCGCGCGGCGCCCGTCGCGGCCGCCGGCGACGCGTCCGCGGACATCGCGTCGTCCTACGGGGCCTATGCGTCGTATTCCTAAGTTGGCTACCTCTTCTTATACACACACGCGCGAAACGCGCTACGGCGCCTAAGCATCGTACTCCTAAAGTAGAATATGACTACTACCTCTTCTTGTACACACACGCGCGAAACGCGAAGGCGGGATCCGTCTTCGAGGGCCTCCTACTGCTCTTCTGGAAGTCGAACGCGACGAACATGCGGTTCGACGCGTCGTAGGGCTTCACCAAATCGAAGCCCGCGCTCCGGCAGCCGGCCACGAATTCATCGATCGAGGCGTCCTCGAAGCGGCTCCGCACCTCGACGACCTTCAGGAGACCGCCCGGCTTCAGCACCCGAAACGCCTCTCCGACGAACCGCCAGAGCGACGGGCCCATGAGCGCGAGGCAGAACACGACGACGTCGCACTCCCCATTTTTCAGCGGCGTCCGCTCGATATTGCACGCTATAACTCCGGGCGCCGTCGCGACGAGATCGAAGCTCCGCACGTCGTGCCGCTTTCCTAATTCCGCCGCGAGCCGCGCGTCGCCGCAGCCCATGTCGGCCACGACCGCTCTTGAAGGCAGCGCCTGCAGCTGCGCGATCACATCGTCCAAGGGGTTCCGCGGCCAGCCCCGCGCCTGCTCCCGGAACCCGCGGTGGTAGGCCTCGGCGAGTTCCGGCTCGGCCTGGAACCTTCTAAAATTCTCGCCGCCGCTGTTTGTATATAGTGCTTCGTTCAGGGACCGAAAGCGCCCACCCGCGAGCCTCGCGCGCAGCTTGTCGGCGAGCGAACCGCTCGATTTTTTGGCTTGCGGTTTCGCCGGCGCATCGCTTTTCGCTGCGCTTGGCTTGTCGGCGGCCTTTTTGCTGCGCTTTTTGCGTTTATTTTTGCCCATCGTGGCTGCAGCTATGAGATAGGAGGCTGCAGCTGGCGGCGGCGAAACTGTGTATCGCGGTGGGTGTAGCGATGATAATTACTGTGTACAACAATTGCCTCCCACTGCTGCACAGCTTCAATTGCGCAGCGGCCAGCAAGCAAGCTAGCGGCATGTAAGACACTAGAAAACAAAGCCGGGAGCAGCAACTGCTAGGCCAAACGACTCAAAAAAGGCCCAACTGGTCTCTATAGAGATGATTGATCAGCCGCATCGATCGTCCAGATGACGCTGTGACCAAGAAAGCGCGCGCGTGAGCGGTAGGGGCTCCGCATAGACACCTACTGCCACCCAGAGCGAAAACTCGCGGGCCCGCCGAAACGAGAGGTAAACGGTAATGGACCTCGACGCCGAGACGCGCGCCGCGGGCCTCCGCTGCAAAAACTGCGGTTCCACAAACTTCGAGACGCCCGAGGCGGGCCGCGGCGCCGTCTGCCGCGAGTGCGGCGTCGAGTCCCAGGACTACCTCAACACGGCCTTCGAGGACTGGGGCGAGGAGTCGCAGCTCTACCAGGGCGGCAACAAGAGCAAGGTGCTGCGGCGGACCACGTACGTGGCCGCGGACCGGAAGCGCCGCAAGGGCCGCAAGAAGAAGGAGTCCGCGGCCCTCTCCTTCGCGGCGCGGCTCGCGGCCACGGAGAAGGTCGTGGCGGCCGTCGCGTCGGCCCTCGTCCGCGACTGCGGCGTCGCCGCCGCGGCCGAGCGCGCCGTCGCGGCGGCGTGGGCCGCCTACGCGGCGCGCGCGCGGCGCGGCGCGGCCGCGGCCGAGGTCGAGAACGACGACGCGCCGGCGCCGGCGCCCGCCGCCGAGGCACCACCCGCGCCCGCCGAGGAGGGCAACGCCAAGAAGAAGGAGGGCGGCGCGGCGCGCCTCCGGCGCAAGCGCCAGCGGGAGCCGCGGCCGCCGCGGCCGCCGCAGGCGCCGGTCGACCTCGACGCCGACGCGTACGCGAGCGTCGGCATGGAGGCCGTGCTGCCCCTCGTGTACGACGCGTGTCGACGGGCTCAAATACCCGTCTCGGCCTGCGACCTGAGCCGCTGGTCCTGGCACGGCGTGCTGCCGTACCTGTCGGCGTGGCGGGCCGGCCTGGATGAGGCGTCGCGCGAGGCACTCGGGCGGCGGGCGGCGCACAACTTCTCGCCGCGCCGCGCGCCGGGCCCGGGCGAGATCGTCTACGTCGCGGAGCTGCGCTTTTGTCCGTACCACGGCGCGGCGTGGCGCCCGATGGGCCCGGCGGAGGCCTGCGCGCTGCACGCAGACGCGGTCGTCGACGGCGGCCCGTTCCGGCGCTTCGTCGCCGCGCGGGCGGAGCGGTTGCTGCGCCTCGCCGCGCACGCGGCGCCCGAGCTGCGGGTCACCGAGCCGCGCGCGCTCGCGGCGGTGTGCCTCGCTCTTCTCCGGTACGCCGACGGCTTCGTCGTCGGCCCCGGCGCGGACGGCACGTTCCCGGTGCTGCCCTGGAGTCAGGCGGACGCGGCGACGCACCCGCGCCGCGCCGACGACGCCGCCGCGTACGCGGCCTTCGTCAGCGCGCGGGAGCGCCGCTCGCGAGGGGACCGCACGGCCGACGCCGCCGGCGAGGCCGCGCTCGAGGCATATGCCGATGCCTTGGACCGACGCGCGGCCCAGCTCGACGCGGGCCCGCCGCCCGCGCGGCCGCGGCGCGACCGGCCGCTCGCGCCGTCCGTCGTCGTCACGCGCGGGGGGGTGGGGGCGGACGCCGGAGCACTGGTTGAGCTCGGCGCAGAGCGGCTCCAGTGCCCGCCGGGCGTCTTTCGGGCCGTCATGGACGACGTCCGCGACGCCGTCGACGCGGCGATCTTCGCCGACGACCGGAGCGACTCGGAGCACGCGGCGCGGCTCGACGCCGACGCGAGGGAGGTCGTCCTGGACTCGTCTTTCTACTAAGTTATGTTACTGTGCTCGGCAGGAGCTCCTCCCCGTCATCGCCAGAAGCGGACGCGCCGCGGAGGCGTGGCGGCTCCTTCGCGTAGAAGAGCGCCAGGCCGGCGACGACTATGGCGACGCCCGCTGCTTTGGCGGGCGTCGCGCAGCCGGCACCCGATTCTGTATCGCACGAGAGCACGCTCGACGCGACGAAGACAAACACGACCTGCACGCCCTTGAGCATGGCTGCGGAGACGGCGCCGCGCTCGCCGAGCGTTGCGAAGAACGACAGAGCGTGGAGGCCGTCGATCAAGATTAGTGGCGCGTAGGCAAGCGCGACGGTGTTCAGGCGTTCTGCGTCGTACGTGACTTGTAGCGAAACAAAAACCGCGAGAACTATCGTTTCCGCGGCGCCCATGCAGCTGCTGAGGCGGAAGGGCGTTAGACCCGCCGCCTTCGCGCTTTTATTTTCCAGTGCGTGTTCGGCCATCACAAACATCCCGCTGTGACCCACCGATCCAAGGAACGCCAGAAGCGATCCCCACAATCGCGCGTCGGCGGCGGCCCGGCCTTCTCCTTTGCATGCTAACTCATACAAGGCGAGACCGAGCGTCGCGAGCGCCTGTGTGGAAATCAACCAGCGCGTGAAGGCCGTGAAATTTTTATTTCTACACAGCGAGCACGATCGCGACCCACTGCTCCCGCCGGATCTGGGCGCCGGCCGCCGCACCAATGGCAGACACGAGAGGGGCGCACGACGCGTAGACCAGCGTGAACGCAGCGGCGCCCGCGTAGAGGAGCCCGACGCAGAGCAGTGCCGCGGATCCAAAATCCAGCGCCGCCGCCGCCGCGAGTGGACGCCACGACGCGCGAATGGTCTGCGCGATTGGCGCGGGCGACCCGACGCATGCCTCGCGCGCGGGCGCGACCAGTGTCATCCCGAGCAAGTTCGCCATCATCGGTCCGAGGAGTCGTGCCGGCGCCAGGCCCTGCTGTTTGAGCTGGTCCACCAGCAGTGGTTGCAGCGCACCTGTTACGGCGTACGCTGCGACCCATGCGTGGGATGTTCGCATGGTGCAGCTGGCAGCTTTGTGCAGAGGCCCGTTACGTCGCCACGAATGTCGTCACTCAGCCCGTTTTTTTGTCCTTTTAAGACGCCAGCGCCTCGAAAGCAGCGCTAGCCACGCCGCGGCGGAGCAACCGACCAGCCCTCTCTGGCGCATGCACTTTGCTCTCAGGCGCCAATCGGCCTTAGCGCATGGGCATTGATCGAATAGACGTACTCCAATGAGGCTTATAACACCCGCAGCGCTGCTGCTCGCAGCTGCGGCCGCATTTCAGGGCGCGCCGCCACAACAGTTGGCGCCATTGGCGGTGCCACCAGCTGTGGGCAGTCAGGCATGCGAGACGAACGCGCGGAGGCGCACCCGACGGCGTGGCGTGCTCGACGATCTCGCGGCGACGGCGCAGGACCTGCTGAGCAAGGTTTCGCCCGCTCCCGCGGCCTACAACGCGTCGCGCGTCAAGCCGGGCAATATCGTGCGATGCGGCGCCAAGGCACAGAACCAGTCGCGCGTCAAAGGCTGGACGACGAACAAGCCCTCGGTGCCCGGCTTTGTTATTTCGTCGACAGGGTGCGGGAACGACTTCAACAACTACCGGACGGCGAAGTTACGCGGCGACAACGAGCGAGCCGTCTCCATTCTCACGACGGACGTCCTCGGGGCCCTGAACGGCGAGGGCTGGCCCGTGCGAGTCGGCGATTTGGGCGAGAACCTCTTCGTGGACGGCATGCGCTACGACGTGTTTGCCATCGGCCGTCGCGACGCGGCGTTGGTGGACCTTTCAACTTGCGGATGTCGCGGCCACGACGCCTTCACGCCATCCGACACAGGCCGGTTTCTGTTCGGAAAGACGGCAATTCTAGAAATTACGGAACCGATCGCCCCGTGCGCCTACCTCTGCACGCTGCCCTACCTTACGCCGAAGTGGCGGTGCGCGGACTTCATCCGGACGCTCGACCGACGGAGAGGCTGGTACGCCAAGGTCGTCGCGACGGGGCCCGTGGCCGTCGGCGACGCGGTCGTCGCGCTGTAAGAGTGTTCCGAGTAGTCCACCTACTACCTATCTAGACGCCATCGACATCTCCATACTTATCTCCATCGACGCCGCGGCGGCACGTGCGGCGGCCCGGGCAGAAAAGTCCTAGTATTCAATTTAAAATCGCACGCGCGTCTCAGCACGTGCACACTGACGCGTCCGGCGTGCCCTGAGCACACGTCGGCACCTCGGAGCGCCCGGACGCGGGCGCCTTGAGAGACACGGCGTCGAGTGCGATGCTCTCGTACCAGTCCGTCAAATCCCCCAGAATCCGCAACCCAGAAAGTCCGGAAAGCACCTCGATCATGTCGCACTGCGAGGGCTGGGGCCACGCAAACAGACTATTTTTCGGGTCCTTGCCTGTGTGGAAATCAAATATTACGGCGCGTTCGTCCCGAATCGCCGCGTTGACCGATGGCGTGGCGATGCTAGTTCCTCACCGCTCGACCGAGCCAGGACGGCCGCGTCATCGCCGAGAAATGACTTAGTGAAGAATTGTCAGGCGCACCCGACGCACTGGTTGATTTCCACACAGGTCCTTGCGCCAGCCCGCCGTCTCGTCCAAGGGGATAGAAAAGGTCGTCGTCGATCCATCAAATCTTTTGGCCGCACTCACGGGAAAGGCCAGCAGCACGCCGGCGTTGACGTCGCACGTGGCGCACTCCAATTCAATGAAGTTGTGCGCCTTCGAGGGCACTGACAAGTCCCCCGCCAGCGCCCCTATCGTGAATTCGAGCGTGCCCTTGTAGGCCGCGTTCTGGTCGCCGGCCCACGACGGCGGCGCCTCGAACATCCACCGCGACGCGTTCGTCTCGAGGCCACTCGACGCGTCCCGCGCGATGAGTTCGTCCGTGGCCACGACGAACCGGTTCAGGCCCTTGCCGAAGGACGACGCGTCGTGCGTCGCCGGGCCTGAGCCCGCGCCGTTCCTTACAATAGACCACTGCTCGTGCGAGGCGTCGAAGGGCGACGCGACGACGCGCCGCGAGGGGCCCACGAGCGTCACCGTCGCCGCTTTTGAGGTCGAGGTCCCGTCGTTGATGGTGTAGGCGAAGGAGGCCCACTTGCCACTGCTGGGTTCGACGTCGTACTCGGGCCGCACGTAGTGCACCCGATTCCGCGACCCGGTCACGGGCGCGTTGACCGACGCGGCCTTGCCCTTCTTCGGATCATAACCGTGCGTACTATATACTTTGCTCAGTTGGTGCAGCGCGCCGGACGACGGTAGCGACGTGATCGTCGCGCTCAGCGGGTCGCCGTCCGTGTCGTAGCCCCGCAGATCGACGACGGCCTCCTCGCCGGGGTTCACGACGACCGTGACGTGCTTGGCGATGGGCGGCGCCGCCGAGACCAGGCTCGTCGCGGCTACTATGCAGCTGATGGTGCGCATCGTGGCGAGTTGCCCCGGGCTTCGGGGTGGAGCTCGTCTGGGAGGTCGTGGGAGTTGATAGATGTTCCTGGAGCTGCCCAGATGGGCGTCGCGGCAGCGCTCCCAGCGGTCGAGCTATGGGACAGCGGACCGATTTTACTAGTAGCTTTCAAACCCGGCCGAAACGCTGGACGACCACGGGAGCGACGTCCCACCCCTACAGAGCGGTAGCATCGCCTCCCGAGCCCTACCGCGCGGGTACCCACTAGGACTTGGCAGCCGCAGCCTGCGCACCGGTTGACAATGGCAGAGCCGCCGCACGGCATCAGTGAAAGCAAAAACGTGAGCATCATGCTGCCATAGCACCCGCACCGGCTGCCCATCCCAAAAAATGCATCGCTTGGCGTCGTTGCGATCCAAAATAACCAAAAAGGAGGAACCCCAACAAAATACAAAAGAGGCCGTCCCGAAGCAGTGGCGGGCCCTCGCCGAATGCTTGACGAGCTTCGCGCGCGCGGCGAAACGCGACGAATCCACGAATTTGAGGTATGTCTACGACAAGTTGGGCGCGTTCGCGAGCCGCGACGTCGTCGATAGGACCATAGACGCCGCAGCTGTATCAAACGACGCGGACCACCTGCAACCGTCCGCGCGGCGCGTCCTCCACGGCGGCGAGGCGGCGGCTCGAGGCACGCCCAAAATTATGAATCTCGTGGACGACGCGGGCCTCGCCGAGGCGAGAGCCGCGGCCCAGCTCTTCGCCGAGAGCGTCAGAAGCACGGTGCCGTGTCCGGAAGGCTATAACCTCACGACGACGCGCGCGATCCGCTGCGGCGCGCCGCACTGCTTCGCGCGGGAGGGCGCGCACGACTGGTTTTCGCCCCAGATAGCCTCATCAACCGGAAGCGGCCCGCGCTTCCACCGCGACGGTCTGAATGTGGAAACGGAACGGGGCGAGTTCGGCGGGCGCGCGGGACAGGAGCTCGCTCTCTTATCGCCGCGCGGCGGGCCGCTCGGGGCCTGCGAAGCAATAGCAAGGTGCGCGGCCGGCGGCGGCGCATTGCATCGACGGGGCGCCCCGCTGCGCGTCGTCGGCGTCCAGGTCTCGGTGCTCGTCGCGGGGCCCGACCTCGAGCGGGCCATGGAGCTTTTTGGCACCGTGGTCCTCCGCGAGGCGCTCCAAGCGTCCGAAAGCGAGCGCTGCATCGTGCTCGCGCTGGAGACCGCGGGCGTCGCGACGGGCGGCCCGACGGCGCGCGACGCGCTCGACGTCCTCGAGGCCACGACCACACCAGCCGCGGCCGCGGCCGTCGCCGTGACCGCCGCCGCGGAGGCGGCGACGCCCGCGCGGCGCTGGCGGGTAGCGCGTCTGAAAAAGAGGCGCGACGCCGCCGCCTTCACGACGGCGCTCAAGGGCAGCACCATAAAGAAGAATGCGGCCCGGTTGGCGCTCCTGCTGAGGTGCCCGGGCGGGCTCGTCCGCGTCGAGGCCACGTATGCGCTGCACTTCGCGGAGCCGCAGCGCCCGGTCCGGGCCTTCTCGGCGGAGCCGGCGGCGTCGATCCTGGACGGCGTCTTCCCCACGGACGTTGATGCGGACGCCTACGCCAGCCGCGCGGCCGCGCCGGCGGAAGATGTGAGAGACGCCGTGCTGCGGTGCCAGCGCCTCAGCGCGGCCGGGCTCCGGTGCGGCGACAAGGCCCTGGCCGCGGCGGCCGTGACGCCCGCGCGCCCGCAGCTCGCCCCGGGCGCCGCCGCGCTGGCCGCCGTCGCGGCCGACGCGCGCGAGCTCCGCCGGGGCGCGCGGGCCGTCGCCGACGCGCTGCGGGTCATCGCGGACGCGCTGCGGCCGAAGGCGGCGAACCGCACGGCGCACGCCTTCTGCGGGCCCGCCGCGGCGTGCGCGCTCGCGTCCGATGCGATGGACGACGACTGGGGCCTCTGGCAGCCGGCCTCGGACGACGTCTCCGGCGACCCGTGGCTGTTCGGGGGCGTCGGCGCCGGTCCCTCCGACGCCCAGAAGGCGCGATCTAAAAGCGGCCTCGCGTCGCCGGCCAAGAGCAAGCGGCCGGGCACGGGCGCGAGCGCGGCGTCGAAGCGCGACGACGACGCCGAGGAGACGCTGTCGCGCGCGGCGTGTCGAGCTTGGTTGCACGTCGCCGAGCACGATTTCATGAAGTGGCGCGACCGGGCCGTCGACTACGCGCGACGAGCAGGGGCGGCGCAGGACGCCGAAGACGTCGACACGGTTTTCCTCGCCTCGGTCCTGCGGCAGGACCTCGCTGCGGTGTCCGAGGGCGGAGACGACGCGCTCCGGGCAGGCGCGGCGGCGCGGTGGGACCGCCTCGCGGCGGCTGTGGCGCTCGAACGGCCGGACGTCGTCCTGAAAAGTGGTTCATCATACGAAACGGAGGACGGCGACGCGCCGGGGCTGCTTCTAGGCGACGGCGAGGACGCGCTCGGGCGCGTCGGCCTGCTCGGACCCGGTCGGCGGCGCGGCGCGCTGGCCGCGGCGGCCGCCGACGCGCACCGCGACGCCGTCGCCGACGTGCATCTGCGGCGGGACGGCGGCGGCCTGCGGCTGCCGGACCTGGCCCGGCTGTTCGCGGGAGACGACAACGCGGAGGTGCTGCACGCGGAGGCGGACGTCGACGTCGTCGACGGCCCGGACGGCTTCGTGGAAGTGGCGGCCACCAGTGATAGAGTAGTAGCGGTCCACGGCGTCGGCTGCCTCGGGATGGACGCCCGGGCCGTCGCGGCCCTCATTGACGCCTCGCTGCAACAGCCAAAGACCACGGACGACGAGGCCTGGTTCGCCGACGCGACGCAGTCCGCCAAGCCTCCGCCAAAGCCCAAGCCCCTCCGGCTCGAGCGGCCGGGCAACGCCCCGCTCGACGACTGGGCGCCCGCGCGCCACGTCCTCTCGGCGGCGCTGCACGCCGCCGCGACGCGGCTCGAGCGCATCGGCGGCCTCTTCGGCGTCGCCGAGCGGGGCCTCGACGCGCGGGCCTGGGCGGCGGTCGCGGCGCGCGCGGCCGACGACGTCAGGAACGCGCGCCTCGAGCGCCGGCGGCGCCAGGCCGCGGCGGCGCGCGCGGAGCGGCGGCGGGCGCGCGGCTTCGAGGGCGACGCCGCCGTGGCGCCGGAGCCCGTCGAAGAGGTCAGGGACCCCGCGAGCGTCGTCGACGCGCTGACGGCGGTCGCGAAGCGCGCGCGCGGCGCCGCCAAGAAACTGCGCGAGGCGGAGCTCGCGCCGTTACGTCCCGAACCTTCGCCGTCCGCGGCACCTACAAAAATCGAGGGTGGCGACGCGGCGGCCGTCGTCGTCAAGACGGGCGCCGCGGCCTGCCTAGCGCGCGCCGCGTACGAGACTGTCAATGATGCCTGGGCGCCGGCGCTCTACCGCGTCGCCGTCGCCGCGTACCGCGGCGCGAACGTCCAACGCCTCGCGCGCGGGGCGACGGACGCGGCCCTCTGCTTCGACGCGCTGGGCCGCGCGCCGCCGGAGCCGGGCAAGGAGCCCGTCCGCATGCGCGCCGAGGCCGACGCCGCCCGGTTCACGGAGAGCGCCGCCGCCGCGCGGGCCGCGGCGGAGGCCCAGGTCGCCGAGCTCCGGGCCTCGCTCGCCAGCGCCCAGCTGGCTTTACAAAAAGCCGCGGGCTTCGGCGCGACGAGCGCGGCCCAGGTGCGGCGCGAGCTTGGCGCGGCGCTGCGCCTCGCCGACGCGAAGACGGCCCGGTTCGCGGCCCACGCCGCGGCGCGGTCGCTCGACGAGCGGTCCGCGACGCGCCGCGCGGCCGCGCTGCGAGCCCAGCCCAGCGCGGTCGGCGGCGTGTGGGCCTGCGAGGGCGTCTACGGCACGCGGCGCGCGGTCGCCTGCGTGTCCAGGAACGCCCGCTTGATTTTGAATCGCTTCACGAATGCGTTGCTGCCCCGCGGGCCGACGATGACGCCGACGTTCGACGGCGAGGCGCCCAATCTCCGTGCGCACGTCGCGTTGCGCGGCGACGCGAGTTCCTATATTCGCGCGCAGCTCGACGTGCTCGCGACGTGCCGCACGCCGGAGCATTCCAAGAATGCGCCGCGCGCCGGCGCGGCCGCGTGCGTCGAGCTCGCGGCGGCCCTGGACGACGCCGACGTCGCGCAGGGTCTGTTCGGCCGCGCGAAGCCTTTGAGAAAGGCGGCGCGCGCGGCGGCCCTGCTCAAACGCGGTGGCCTGGCGAACATCGTGCGGGCCGCCGCGAAGAAGGATCCCCTGGAAGCGGCCGCGCCGAAGCAGGAGCTCCTGCTCGTCGCCGTCGCCGCGGGGCCCGGCGCCGACAAGTGGGGCGGCGGCGCGCTGCGGTTCGGGAGCGGCGCCCTCGCGACGCGCGCGGGCCGCGAGCGCGCGCTCAAGGACATCGGGAGGCTCCAGCTCGTGTTCGGGGGCCAGTGTCCCCTGGGACTTCACGCGCTGTTGCCCGTTGATAAAACCTACGTGGCGGTCGTCCTCCGCGTGGCGCTGTGGCAGATCGGCCCGGCGGCCGACGCCTCGCGCAATAACCTCCTGGTCGACGCTTCGGCGCGCGAGAACGTCTCGGCGTCGTCGGAGGGCGCGCAGGCGCTCGCGGCGACGGCGGCGTCCTTGAAGCGCGGCGACCACGAGGGCGAGGTCGCGCAGACGCTTTCGGACATTCGGGAGGCGGCCGAGCGCGGCGAGTGGAGACGGGTCTACTCGCTAGATCGCCGCCTCGCGCTCGCCGGCGACGTGGCGGCGACGAGCGCGCCGCCGGCGACGGCGCCGGCCGAGGCGTTGCGAGGTCTCAGCGTCGCCCCGCTGGAAAAAAGGCTCGCGGCGCACGTGCGATTGTTGGATGGTACCGTCCAGGACGCCTTGCGGCTCGAGGGCCTCTGTGGTGTCTTGCGCGCGTTGCTGGTGTTGCCCAAGCATCTGCGAGCAAAGGTCTCGCCGCAAAAGATCGGGGACCACGCGCAAGTCGTGGTCGACGGCGTCGACGCCCTCGTCGCGTCGCCGCAGAGCGTCCACTTCTCGGGCGCCGGTCGGTCCCTCGCGGGGAAATTACGGGGCTCCGACGCGACCGCGCCCGGACTCGTGGTGACGTCGCTGGCCGCCGCCGCCGCGGCCCGCCTGGCCGACGCGGACGTGTCCGAGGGCCGACAACCCGCGAATGCCACCAAGGTCGCGGGCGCGCGCGCGCAAGCCGCGGCCCTGGCGCTGCTGCGCGAGGCGGCCGATTTTTCGAGGGCTCTCGGGGAAGCGGCGGCGGCGAACGCCCACGCCGGAGACTTCGAGATGGCCGTCCACGTGGCCGCGCTGCGGTGGGGCGCGGCGCCGGTCGACGTCGCCGACGGCCCGGAGGATGCGACGTCGCCGGGCGTGCCGACGCCCCGCGGGTTCTTTGACTAAGTGTTTCTGTGTATCTATCTTGAAGGTGCCTTCTGTTACGGTGCTAGGTCTAGGTGCTAGGACTATCTACAAGCCCGAGTCTGAAGAAGGCCCGCGCGCGGCGAGCCGAACTCGGCCTAGCCCCCGCGGGTTCCGCCAGGACTAGTAGGCTGCGTCAACTAGGCCCTCAGATGTCCTCAGAGGCCTGCTGCGGAGGACCCCCTATAGCCTGAGCCTTTTTGACGTCCGCCGGCTGGAGACGTGCGACGGCTGCGCCTTCGGGCCGATGGCCCGATGAGGCAGCAAGCGCTGTGTTACTGGTGCGCGGGCGTGTCGCGGTGACCCGGAATTACTCGTTGGGCAGCCCTCGGCACCAGGCGTGCCGCTAGGCACACACTGCGGCAGCAGGGCGGCCGCAGCGCGAGCATGAGCTTCGCTGGCGACGACCAGGACGGCGGCGGCGACCGCAGCTGGCTCCGCAGAGTCGCGGCGGTGGACGTCGCCCTCACGTGCCTCGCGACGTTTTACGTGTGCTTTAGCGTGCCGTTTCGGATAGCCTTCGTGCCGGGCTTCTCGGTGCGGACGCCCGAGTACGCGCCGTGGGTGGCGTGCGACTATGCGGTGGATGCGTTTTTCGTGTTGCGATGGCTCGTCGAAATGTCAATGCTTTGTTTTGAGCCCGAGGACGCGGTCACGGTCCAGGCAGCTTGGTTCTCGACGGGCACGGGCACTCTGGACACGAACTCGCCGACAGTTCGATTCCTCCGCGGGCTACTTTACCACGCTTCTGCGACGGTGCCCCTCGAATTAGTAGCGCCGCGTATCGCGTCCGAGTGTAGCTGGGCCTGGAGCGCGGCCTGCTTCAATAAGGCGCTACTCCAGGCGAACCGCTTGCTCCGCGTATTACAGGCGCCGGAGGCTGCGCGACGAGCATTTTCTCTACTGGAGCATCGCATGGAGGTCGGCCGGCTGCGCATGTGGCTGCTCTTCCTGATCATGAGTATCGCGGGCCACTGGGCAGCGTGCGCCTTCTTTATCGCCGCGAGACTCGACGAGGCCTCGCCCGTGCGCAGAGCCAGAGAAGACGCGACATGGCCAAGAGTGGATGGCCTCTGGAACACCACCCTCGTACAAGATGACGTCTTCATAGAACTGGAGCGCTCGAGGCTCCACGCTTATGCGCGGTCCTACTACTGGGCCTTGGTCACCATGGTCACCACCGGCTACGGCGACATCGTCCCTAGAGCAAGAGTGGAGACGTGGACTTGTATCATATGCATGTACGTGGGCATGTCGATCTCCTGCGCCGCGATCGCCAATCTTACGTTATTGGTCATGTCGGCGAACGCGCAGAATGCAGGCCATCTCGCGCGGCTCGACGGGTTACGGAGGTACGCGAGATATAGAAGATTGCCACCGAACGTCGCTCGGCGCGTCGTCGCCTACGTCGAGCACGAGTGGAACCGGCGCCGCGGCGTCGACGCTGTGGCATTCGACCGCGAGCTGCCGGCTACATTAAGGCAGGCGTGCGCGCGCGTCCGAGCCGCGGCTCTGTTGCGAAAGCTGCCGGCACTGGCTGAAGGCATTGCCAACGAAGCTGTTGTGAACGCGCTGGCCTTGAAACTCGAGGCTAAAACGTACGCGCCGCAGGACGACGTAGTGAGGCCCGGCGAGCGGGTCGCCGGCGCGATCCTCGTGAGCCGCGGCGAACTCGCCGTGCGCTCGCGCAAGGAGGCCGAGGAAGGCCAGGTCCTGCGGCTGAAGAGCGGCGACGCCTTCGGCGTGCGGTCGCTGTTCGCCGTGCACCAGTCCACAGTACTAGTCCAGGCGCACAGCTACTGCGACGCCTACTGGTTACTGCGGCGGGCCTTCGTGGCCGTGTGCCGGGCCCAGTGCTCGCCCCAGGAGCAGCTCGCCATGGCGAAGGCGGCGGACCCGCCGCCGGGCGACGTCGACCATCTAGGGTTAGCAGGCGGCGGCGGTGGCGCTTTGGTGCTGACGCCGTCGCCGCACAAAAAAGAGAAGAAGATGCTGAGGGAGCGCAAGGCGTCGCGGCTCTTCGCCTGGGGCGGCTTCCTCGGCGCCCGGCGCGTGTCTCCTCCAAAGGCAGCACCGGAAGCGCCGCCCCCCTCGACCACTCTCAATAAGCCCCACAAGCACGCGTGGCACCGGCCCGGGAGCCGCGGCCGCGCGCTCTACGAGGCATGTTGTTTCGCGCTCGTCGCGTTCTATGGCGTCGCGCTTCCGCTCATCCTCAAGACTGCCTACGCATCATCTATATTCAGATCGTGGGGCGGCAAGGAGCGGTTGCTCCTGGCAACGTATGTGGTCGACGTGTGTTGTATCGTCGACTTGGTGCTGCGTTCCACGGTCGTCTCGGAATTGGAGCATGGGGTGTTGGTGGACGACGGCCTGGGTTTGCGGCGATTGCTGCGGATGAAGCGCTACTGTCTCCTCGAGGTGTTGTGTCTGCTGCCCTGGGATTTGTTAGCGCTCGTCCTGACGTCGGGACCGTGCTGGCCCGCGGTCCTGCGCGCCGCGAAACTACCTCTAGTCATGCTCCGCCTGCCGTCGCAGACGCGGGCTTTAGGGGACGTCGCCGGCGCGCGGTGGCGCGTGTCCAAGGCCGCGCAGAAAATCATGGCGCTGAACGGCGCCATGCTCCTGGCGTGCCACTGGGCCGGCTGCGCATGGCTCCTCGCGGGGCGCGCCTCGGTTCGAGTGTACGGGAAAGACATGTCATGGATCACGCTCGACCGCGCATCCGTAGACAAGGGCTTCGTGGAGGGACGCCACGCGTTCCTGCGCAACTACGACACCAGCGCCTGGAACCACGCCACCTGCACCTCCTCGTCTACAAAGGCGGTGTGCACGTATCTGCGAGCGGTCTATTTCGCTCTGGTAAGTATTTCGACGGTGGGCTACGGCGACATCCGGCCGGCGCCCGAGAATTTGGTGGAGACGATCTTCTGCTGCTTCGTGATCCTCTTCGGGGGCCTGATGGTCCCCGCGGTCGTTGGTGGTTTGGCGTCGCTCATGGCCGATTTGAACAAAGATGCGCGCGAGTATCGAGCGCGCGTCGCGGAACTGAGGCATGCCATGGACCGGCACGACGTCCGCGCGAAGTTACGACGGGCCTTGTTACAGTACCACAACTACGTCTGGGCGCGGCGGCGGGGCGCGGACGAGCGCGAGGTGCTCAAGGCCCTGCCGGCGCCCTTGCGGCGGAGAGCTTTACATCGGACCATCGGCAGTTCTTTTCTGCGGACGCCCTTCTTCTCCACGGAAGCCGGCGTCGAGGACGTCGCGCGGCAGGAGCTCGTGTCGAGATTGGAGCCGCGGGTCTTCCTTCCGGGCGACCTTGTACTAGCCGAGGGCGACCTCGGGCGGCCGTCCTTATTCCTCGTGGAGCGGGGCGTCGTGGACCTCTACGCGGCCAAGGCCGGGTTGGCGAAGCTCGCGTCTCACCTGCGAGGCGGCGACGACGACGAGCAGTTGCCGTCGCCGCAGCGCAAGGCCTCGACGGCGTCCCTCATCTCCGTGGCGTCGTCGGAGACGCAGCCGCCGCCACGCAAGGCGTCCATGGTCAGCGTGCAGTCCTGGGACTCGTCCGCGACGATGGAGTCGCTGCCGCGGCAGGGCTCCATCACCAAGCTCTCGCACCTATTCAAGGGCTCGAGCTTCCGCGCCCGACAAAAGCAGCGACGGGCACCGCCCCAGCAGGCGCCGGCGCCCATCGCGGCCGTGCCCCTGTCGATCGTGTCGCCCGTCGCGCGGCGCGGAGCCGGCGACTTCTTCGGCGCCGAGTGTTTATTGGAGTCGGGCGGGCCCTGGTGCGCCGACGCCAAGAGCGCGGCGACGACGACGGACGACGACGACGACGCCGGCCGCGCGCCGCGGACGTCGGCCGTCGCGCGCGCCTACGCGGACTGCTTCGAATTGCATAGAAGCAGGTACCTGGACGTGCTCAAGGGCTTCCCGTCGTCGGCCCAGGCGATCCGCGGCGCGCTCTGGCGGCACTGCGCCGCGGACGCGCGGCGGCTCGACGCGACGCTCGAGAACCTGGCCCGCGCGCACGTCGACGAGCGCGCGGCGCGGCGCTACGGCCTGCCGCGGCGCGTCGCGACGGACGCCGACGCCCTGCGGCTCGCCACGGCGCCCGAGACGCTGTCGACCATGGCGCTCAAGCGCAAGGTCGTCGAGCGCGCGGACGACGACGTTTCGTTAAGGACGGAGTCGCCGCGCGCGGCGCCGCCCCCGCAGAGGAAGATTACAATAAAGCGCCTCGAGGGCCTGCTGGCGAAGTGGTTCGGCGACCCCGAGGGCGAGGGGCAGGTGGCCTGGAGCTGCCTTGTGGTCGTGGCCATCGTGTACCAGCTGTTTTCGACGCCTTATCATTTGGCGTTCCTGCCGCGGGAGGCCCACGTCTACGCGCTGGACTGGTGTTTTGATGTGGCGTTCCTGGCGGACGCTTTCCTAAGGGCGACGGCCTTCGGGTTTGTGGAAGACGGCAAGCTGGTCGCGGACGGGCCCGATATTTGGCGGAGGTACCGGCGGCACTCGTTAATGTTCGACGTCGTGACGTGCGCGCCCCTGGATTTAGTATTTTATGGAAGCGGCGTGGGCCCGCTCGGCGTCGCCTTAGCTCGGTTCCCCAAGGCGCTGCGGGTCATCCGGTTGGGCGCGGCGGCGCGCGTCGCTCGGCCCGTCGTCGACGTGGTGGAGGCGCACACGCTCGGGAACCGCCTCGGGACGTTATTACGATTACTCGGCACGGTGATCCTCATCGCGCACTGGGCGGCTCTACTGTTCTTCGCACTAGCTAGATACAAGCGCGTCCACGGCATGGACGTGTCGCTCGAAAAAAGGTGGCGCTGCACCTGGGTGCGGGCCCAGATCTGGGAGGAGCATTTGAGACCGAAGACGGGCTTCGGGCCCAGGGACCGGGCGGCCCAGTACCTGCGGGCCCTGAACTGGGCGCTGCCGACTTTAGTGGTAATCGTGATCGGCGACGTCGTGCCGGCGACCTGCGCCGAGACGCTCTACGTCTTTTTATGTATTGCCGCGGGCATGAGCGTGAACGCGATGATCATCGGCAAGGTGGCGGCGGCCATCGCGAACTCCGAGGCGGCGTCGACCGAGCTCGCGGCGCGCGCGGACCGCCTCGAGAAGTACATGCAGCAGCACCGCGTGCCTTTACACCTAAGACGGCGCGTCAACGCCTTCGTCGACGCGCTGCAGAAGGCCAAGGGCGACTCGAGCGCCGCCATCGCCAACACGGCGCCGTCGGACGCGCTCGCGGCGTCGCCGCTGCCCCACACGCTCCGCGCGCGCGTCTGCGTCGCCGTGCGGCTTCCGGTCTTGAAGCGGTGCCCGATCTTCGAGAGCTGCCCGGAAGCCATCAAGCGCGCCCTGGCGCTGCACCTGACGCCGGAGACGTACGCTGCGGGCGACCTCGTCGTGCAGTACGGCGACCACGGCGACGCGATGCACTTCCTGACGCGGGGCACGGTCGAGGTGGTGGGCGAGGACGGGCGGACGATCTACGCGACGCTCGACGCGGGGTCGTTCTTTGGCGAGGGCGCGCTCTTCTCGAACGTGCGCCGCGCGGCGTCGATCCGGTGCGCCTGCTTTTCGGAATGCCTGGCGCTGTCGCGGGCCGACCTGCAGCACCGGCTGCGGGCCTTTGGCTTCCCCCAGCGGCGGTTATTGGACGAGTTTACGACGATCAGGAGGCGGAACGCGGACGTCAATGCCGCGATCAGCCGCAACCTCAAGGAGGCCGAGCGCGCGGGCAGTAGGTTGCGGCGCGTTCTTGGGGATGTGTCCCTGCGTTTGTCGACGAAGCGGCAGACGTCCTTCGTGCAGCGGTTCCGGAGCTTCCTCGGGCAGCGCCTCGCTCGCGGCACGGCGGGCCGAGCCCTCTGGGACGCGCTGTCGGCCGTCGCGGTGCTCTACGAAGCCTTGGTCCTGCCCTACCGCGCGGCCTTCACGCTGCCCGATGCCCTTGCTAGGGTCGTGCCGGGCGCGATGGGGCCCGACTACGCGTGCGACGCGTTCTTCCTGCTTTCTTTGATTTGCCGGTGCGCGATGAAGGACGACGCCGAGGAGCGGCAGAGCCGGGGCAATCTTACAGAGGTGCTCGACGCGCACTGTGTCGGCGCGCGGTACCGGCGGTCGCGGTGGCTCTGGCTCGACGTCCTCGCGGCGCTGCCCCTCGAACTTTTTTATGTGGTCGTGGCGACGAATGTCGAGAGGAACGTCGTCCTGGCGTGCCGGCTGAACCGGCTCCTGCGCGTCGGGCGCCTGAGCGGCTTCGTGGACGCCGTGCTCCGGCACCTGGCGCTGCGCCGCGGCGTGCGCGTCTCCAAGGCCGAGAAGGCCCTGGCGGCTGTCTACCTGGCCTACCTCTACGTGAACCACTGGTACGCCTGCGCCTGGTTCGCGATCCACCGCTACTTCGGCGGGGACAAGACGTGGGCGACCGTCGACGGCATCGCCGCGCTCGACGACATCTGCCGCATCGACGTCGCGGACTGCTACGCGCGGAGCGTGCACCTCGTGATCACGACGATCTCGTCGGTCGGCTACGGCGACATCTGGCCCCAGACGCCGCTCGAGACGGGCTGGCAGATCGTGGTCGTCGTGACGGGCGCGTGTCTGTTCGCGTCGCTGATCGGGGCGTATACGCTCATCCTCGAGGCCCACGACACGGAGGGCGCCTCGGCGTTCCGCGCGAAGCTGAGAAGGTACGACGCGCACATGCACCGCTCAAAGCTGCCGAAGGAACTGCGGGAGAGTGTCCTACGGCACCACGAGCACCGCTACGCGCTGACGCGCTGCGTCGACGAGGCGTCGATCACGTCGGACCTCACGGCGCCGCTCCGCATGGATTTGGCCTTGTACGTGCACCGCGCGGCGTTCGCGAAGATCCGCGTGTTCTCGGCGCTGCCGCGGTCGACGGCGCGGCGGCTCGCCGCCGTCGCGCGGACGCAAAAGTGCGGCCGCGGCGAGGTCGTCTACGCGGCGGGCGACGTCGGGTGGGACGTCTACTTCGTGTTCGCCGGCGCGGTCCGGCTGTCGCCGCCCGAGGACCCGTCCATCCTGGACTTCCGCGGGCGCGACGCGCGGGAACGGTTCCAGCGCGACGACCCGGCGCGGCTGGCCGACCTGCTCGCCGTGGGCCGCGGCCGACCCCTGCTGGCGTCGCGCGACGAGGTCTCTGAGAAGAACGTCAAGACGGCCGCGCAGCGGCGCACGGCGTTCCGCTGCGACGAAACCTTCCGGCACGTGCCAGGCCGCGGCTTCGGGCGGCGCGTCGCGGGGAACGCCCACCGACGGTCCGTCGTGCGGTCGTTCGTCGCGCCGACCGGGGACCAGACGGAGGCGTACCCGGTGGTCGCGGGCGTCGTCGACGAGGGCGACCACTTCGGCGAGTTTTGCCTGCAGTCCGAGTCCGGGGTCCGCCAGGAGACGGCGCGGTGCGTCCTGGCGAGCGAGCTGTACACTATCTCCCGCGCGGACCTGGAGGCGCAGGTCGTGTCCTACGAGAGCGACGACGTCATCGCGGTCTTCAACGATCTGCTGCAGGTGCATTCGCTGTCCTAGAGTCTTCTCTGCTAACAGTTACTGTTGTTATATATCCAACTTACCTATATATATTATTATATATCCTAGCTTTCGAACACTCATCCGCCCGTAGTCCCTCCCAACATCTGCATAAAAGCAAGTAAAATTTACCGATAAAGTACCGACATACATGTATACAATATAATTCTCGAGATCAAAATAACCATAAGCCGAGAGACGCAGCCGCGCCGTAGCCCTCGTCCAGGGGCGAGCGCAACAGTCAGGTCACAGTCAGGTGTCCGCCTGATAGGAACCGACGGTCTTAGTCGTGAATTTTGCGCGCGTCTGTCCTGAAACTTTGTTTGGATCTTTAAGATAGATCCTTGGCCGCGCGGAACCGCGCGAGGGAACGACCTTGGGACCCAACACCATGCCCGACGTCGTCACCATCTTGACGAAAGACCCCAAGTCGGTGCCGACGACCGCGGCCTGGCTGGCGGCACTGGCGGCCGTCACGATGCTCATCGAGAGCAATTTTCTCGAACACATGGATATAGCTTGGCTTGGATTTCCAATCTGGACGCCAGGGACCCCGTTTTACGGGCAATGGTATCGGGCCCTCGCGTCTCTCTGCACACTGGGCTCTTTGAGCTTCTCGACATTGATCTCTGTGTACTTCATCGCGTCGACCGCGGTCCCGTACGAGCTAGCTGTGGGAAGGGCTCTCTTCTTCTGGCACATGCTCTTAGGCACTGTCGCCGTCTTGGGGGTTTGTGCAATCGGTGGCGTCGTTCCGGGCCGTGGCTACCCCGAGTTTTATTTTCCGGCAGCAGCACTGGCTCACTACATCGAGACTCTTCATTTGTGCTACCAGCCTGATTATGTGGTGTCGATTATGGGCGTCCGTCACGTCAAAATGAAGCACGTGCCTCTCTTTCACATGGGCTATGGTATCTTTATGGACAATCGCTGGATCAATATGGGTCTCTTAATTGGCTACGTGGTAGGGCATTTCGTGCACTCCAATTTTAAGCTCTTCCCGTGGCTCGAGAATCCGTACCTGGCGTTGGCCGCGCTGGCCGAGGAGGATAACCGGGGCGCGCCGGCCGCCGCACCGAGACGCGAGGCGCCGGCCGCCGCGGCCGACGATCCCGCAGCCACGCGCGCGGAAGGACCAGTCGCCCTCAAAATCGGCGACGCCGTCACCTTCGCCTTCCCGGACACGTCCGCGAACGCGCCGCTTACCGGCAAGCGCGGCGTCGTCGAGGCGCTCCCCGGAGGCGGCGATTTCCCCGACCGCTACGTTGTCTTCCTCGCCGCGACGGCGGACTCCGGTCAGCGCCGCCTCGCGGTGAAGCGCGAGCACCTCGAGTTCTTCGCGCGAGGCCTTTGAAATAAGACTCACAAAATTTACGGCGCGGATATATTCGGGGTAGGACTCGCGGTCGACGGCGCGGCAGTCGTCGGTTCCTGCGTCGGCGGCGATGCCTCTTCCTCCCAGACGCCACCGCGGTAGAGCACGGCGGCGTGCAGGTCGGACGCGGCAACGGGCGGCCAACTCGTCCGAGTCACGTCGACGCGGAGCTGGCCCTCATTATTCCAGTAAAGCCAATCAGCGTCGTTGGCAAAACAAACGAGCTCGCCGTCATGCGTTGCGGTAAAGTCTAGATGGGAGCCGACTCGGAACAGCGACGCCGTCACTTCTGCCTCGCGCAGGGGCATGTAGGCGGCCGTGTCGTTGCCCTGCCCGTCACTCTGCTCCTGCAGGCGCCAGACGTACTCGCCCACGCCGCACACCAATTCGAACCAGTTCGCGTCGAGCAGTCTGCGCTTCGCGCCTAGGTAGGCTCGACACCTTCCGGCCGCGACCCAGCACTTCGAGACGGCGTCGTACGAGGCCGTGTAGCCGTCCGCGTCGATCTTGACGAAGCCGTCGACCCACCGCTGGTGGCCCCGGACCTCGATCCTATACGTCTCGTTCGACTGGATCGCGAAGCCCGACGGGTTCCACCGCAGGGACGCATTCACCCAGAAGCTCGTGGCCGGCGCGGCACCGGGGTTCGCGGCGAGGCGCTCGAGCGTCTCGGCCACTCGTCTCTCGCGCACGTATTCGCCGTCTCCGGCCGCCGCGACGCCCTGCTCGATCTCGGACTGGACCTTGGCCAGCGCGAGGCGCCGCCGGCCCGCGGGCGCGTCGCTGACGGCGCCGCGGTGCAGGGGGAACGCCGGCGCCGTGTCGGTCAAGGGCGACACGGACGAGACGCCGTCGCTGTAGCGGTTCGCGTCCACGGCGTAGGGCAGGTTCGGCAGGTCGTCGTCGCCGCGGCCGCCGGGCAGGACGTCGTTCGCGTACTCGTTTTCGTAGACCTCGTAGGCCCGGGCGAGCGCTAGAATGGCGAGGGCGCGGCGCATGGCTGTCGTATGCGCTAGGGCTCCCGTGCGCACTGGGCAGCCCCTGTCCGCACGATGGCACCAGATGGCCCGCGGGGCAGCCCGTGTCCGACGGCGGCGCTAGCTGGCTCCCGTGGGACCAGGTCCGCACGCGAGGGCGGGGCTGCCTTTTTGACTGCGTGCTGGGGCCCGCCGGGCAAAGGAGTGTGTCTGCGTTCGCGACGGCGCCGACGCTGGTAGCCAAGGGGCGTAGGGCAGCCAGAGGCGTGGCCGCAGCGGCTCTCTGCTTTTCTAGTATGTTACTATACTAGCTCATCTAGCTGTTATCTTTCGTGGGAAGGGGGATGTGTACGAGCTCGAGAGCGGACCAGAGGAGAGAGCCCTCGGGGCTCGGAAGGCGGGATGCCGTTTAGCCCAGGACGGCCTTGAGCACGGCGAGGCGGGAGCCGGAGTCGACGAGCGCCAGGAAGAACAGGGCGACGAGGAGGAGTCCGGCGAGCGAGCGACCGAGCATTTCGAAGAATCCCGGCCACTTGTCGTCGAGCGGGTACATCGCCGCGATCGCTTTGAACTGCCGCAGATCGTACCATAAGAGGACGAGTATGCCCAAACGAACCCGCTCGATAAGGAGTAGGGGCACTATCTGACAATAAAAATCGCAACCACAACAAACCTTTACTTAGTCTCGACGTCCACGTCAACGGTCGTCGACGGCGGCGCCACCTTGGCGCCGATCTTCGCCGCCGCGGCGCGCACCGCGTCCTCGGCGTTTTCGAGCTCGACGTCGCGCCGCGGCGGCGAGACGCCGAAGCCCTCGAAGTCAGTCACCGACCGCGCCGCCGGGGAAGCCGGCGGGGACTCGTCCGCCTCGGCCTGGAGGCGGTCGCGTGCTTGCTGGAGGTCCGCCGCCGCGGCGCCCGATGCGTGGAAGCTAAAGGAGCCCGTGTCGAATTTCGACGGCGGTGCGTTGTTGCGCGGCGAGCCCATGGATCGCCGCCGGAAGATGGCGGCCGCGCGCGCCGCGATGCCCAGGCGCGGCGACGCCTGACCGGACGGCGGCGTCCGCTTCTCGCGTTCGCGATTGATATCTGCGATCACGTCGGGGTTGTCGAGGAAGGCTGCCCGCGGCGTCGAATTCGCCGACCGCACCGACCCGCGCGGCGTTGTCCCTATCGACGACGCCGTCGGCGACGAGATGTAGAGCGGGTTCTGCGACCCGGCGCAGCCAGGCGAGACCTCGGGGTCCCGGCGCCGGGGCGCCGGGTCGCGGAAGCCCTGCGACTCCACCGTCGAGTCGTCCGTCGACCGGTCCACCGCGTAGAACGGCACCTTCGGCGGCGGGCCCACCGTGGGCGACGCCACGACCGCGTCGAAGAACTCCTCGTCGTCCAGCATCTTCTCGGCGGCGAGGACCGAGGGCGACGGCGAGATGGGAATGTCCCGCGGCGGCGACGCGCGCGGCGGCGAGCGCCGCGGCGGCGACCGCTTCGGCGAGCGCGCGGCGGTCGCACCTTCCAGCAACCCACAGATGGCCGCCAGCGCCGCCGCGTCGGCGCGCTGCGCGGCCACGGACGCGCGCGGCGTCGCCTTGCCCGACTGGTCGCGCCGCCGCCGGGCCTTGGCGTGCGCGCGCGGCGACCGGCCGCGCCGGTTGCGCGCGCCCAGCGGCGCGCCGTAGCGCACGAGTAGGGACGCGCAGGCGTCGCGCCGGTGCCACACGGCGCTGTGGAGCGGCGTGTCCTGGTTGGTGTTGCGCGCGGCGGCGTCGGCGCCCGCGTCGAGCAGGGCCGCGACGGCGGCGGCCGCGCCCGCGCCCGCGGCCGCGTGGAGCGGCGTGTTGCCCCGGCTGTCGCGCGCGTCGAGGTCCGCGCCGAAGTCGCAGAGGGTCTGCACCACGCCCTTGGCGTCGTGGCCCGGCAGCGCCGCGGCCGCGCGGCCCGCGACGTGCAGGGGCGTCACGTTCGCGACGGTGTCCGCGGGCGCCGACGGCGGCGCGCCCGCCTCGAGCAAGCTTTTGACCTCCATCACGTCGAGGCGCGCCGTCGCGGCGCAGAGCTGCGCGGCGTCCGGCGCGTCGGCCCACTTCGACTCCTGCGTGCTCTCGTTCCAGAGGTACTTGTCGCCGGCCTCGGTCCAGCACTCGACCCAGGCGTCCGGCCGCGGCGGCGGCGGCGCGCGGGGCGGCTCGGCCCAGGCGTCCGGCGGCGCCTGCTGCGCGCGGGGCGACGGCGACGGCGTGTAGTCCGTGTCGTCGTCGTCCTTGCCCTCGCGCCAGGCCGCCGCGGGGATGGCGATCTTGGTGGGCGTGGGCGGCGAGGCCGGGCTCATCGGGCGGGGCGGCGGCGGCGTCGGCCGCCGCCCGCGCGGCGCGCCGCCGCGCCGGACGCGCTCGTAGATGGCCACGGCGGTCTTGGTGTTCGCGTCGCGCGGCCGGCCGGACCGGTCGCCGTCCGCGCGCAGCAGCGCCTCGAGGCAGTCAGGTGCAGCGACCGCGAGGTGCAGCGGCGAGTTCCCCGCGTCGTCGGCGACGAGCGACGCGCCCCGCGCGAGCAGGACCCGGACCAGGCTGAGCCGGCCCGCCTGCACGGCGACGGCGAGCGGCGTGCGCCCCGCCGCGTCGCGCGCGTCCACCGTCGCGCCCGCGTCGAGGAGCTGCGACGCGCACGTCGCGTAGGCGCCGTCCAGGTCGTCGTCGTCGTTCGTCCCGTCAGCGACGTAATGTAATGGAGTGCGCCCGCGCGCGCCCCGCAGGTTCGGGTCCGCGCCGTGCGCTAAAAGAACAGCGAGGCCCTCGCTCGAGCCCTGCGCCGCGAGCAAATGGAGAGAAGACGCGCCCTGGGCGTTCGTGTCGTCGACGGAGGGCGGTCTTCTATTCGTGGACGTGGGCGTCGTGACGGCCAAAGGGGCCGCGTCGCGGGCCGCCTGGGCGGCGAAGAGAGGGGCTGCCTGCATTTTGCGAGGCTGCCCCTTATTTGTTCTTCTGTTTCGCAGCCGCCGGTCCTGCTGTGTGTAGTTTTGGAAAGGGCTCTTCTTGTTCGTTCGTTTGTTCTTACGCAGCGCCGTTGTGCGTTCACAGCCGCCGGTTGTGCCTGCTCCATGCGAAAAAATTCCACGAAATTGCTTTGCACCAACAAAACGGGTTTCGCGCGCGATCTCGCGGGATACACTCGGGTTCTGGAGGGGCTAGCTACAATAAGTGACTCTCTCACGGTGGGGACAGAAAAGAAACTCAGCAAAACCAATTAAGCCGCGACGCGCGGCACACAAGAGACCACTCACCGCGGCGAGTCCATATTCAGGGAGAAGGACGAGTCGCCCGACGTCGACGACGCGCCGTCGGACGACTCCTCGGCCTTCGACTCGCCGCCGAGCGACTCCTCGTCGAAGGACCGCCGCGGCGTGAAGAGCCGCCGCGCAGCCTCGGCCGTGCCGCGCGCGCGCTCCGTCCAGTCCACGGGCACGGTCGGGTCGAGCTCGCGGTAGACGGGCACGAAGGACTGGCGCCACTCGATCTTGGGCACGCGCTGGATGTAGCGCTTCACGCGGAGCGTCTCGACCGGGCCGAGCGGGTCGTCCGATTCCTTCCGGCGATACGTCAACCGCGCCCGGCGCCGGATCGTGGCGACGGTCTCGAGCTGGTCCTCGCAGTCCTCGATTGCTTCCTCCAATTGCTTCTTTCGCTCGGTCAGGACGAACTCGTCCCGTCGCAGCTGCGCGCGCAATCGAGCCCCATCTAACGGTGGCGGCGTCGTCTTCAGCATGAGCCGCTTCGCGAAGAAGACGCAGAAGGGCAGGTGGCCCAGGAACAGGATATCATCTAATCTCGCGACGTACCTATCTATAAACCGCTCCAACCGATGGTTGTTCGACCCCTTCCAGGACGTCATCTCCGTCACGGACACGACACAAACGATCAGGTTCGGCACGAAGAAGATGTAGTAGAAAGCCACATAAGCGTTCGCCAGAAACAATGCGAGCGACTTGCAGTTGTTCGAGGCCGGCAAAAGCACGTAGACAGCCCCAAACAAGCCGAGCATGAAGCTGAGAATCGTCAAGAGTGCGAGGGGCACGCGCGTGCCCGAGTTCTCGAGCCTCGCGAGACACAATAACGCCCGTTCGCCCCGCTCGGTCGCCTCCTCGATGGGAATCACGACGTCCAACGCGTGCGGCGGGTGGTCCTCGGTCTCCTCGCCATCCGACGACTTCTGGTGTCTGGGTGATTTTGACTGGCGCCGCTCTTCCCTTCTGACGCTTCCGGAGACGCGCCGCTTCGTCGTCCCCCGCTTCACCTTCTGCTCCTTCTTGGAGTGGGTCGACTTCCTTCCTCGAATCTTCGCGATGGAGTGCTGCACGAAGCTCGTGAAGAGCTTGGCTCGATGTGCCCGTCGGATCGCGGCCGCTTCCACGCCTTCGCCGCGAAAAAACGCCCTTACCACGGGCTTCGTGATGCTATGCCGCTTCGCCCGCGTGATCACGATACTAATGTCCGTGACGACCTGGGCCGTCAACCACGCCGTCATCGCGAAGAAATTCGTACCCAGAAGGCCGCGGCACTCCTCGTCCGTGTTCTTCGCGAGCTGCGGCACCCACCCGAACACATCCTTGTTGATGGCCGTCAAGACGTCGCCCGCGATGATCGGGAGGGATATGACGATCAAAATGATCTTCGGGCTCATCTGCCACAGGTTCGAGTAGTGCCTAAAATAAAGTACGAGGGGACCGGCCAACACCTCCAGGCCCGAATCGATCTCCTTCGGGTCTCCAGATAATAAAGCATCTAAGATGGGCGGCCGCGAGTCGAGCAGCTGGTCCTCCCTTCGTCTCTTCTCCTCCTCGTCCTCTGGGATCAACGCTTGCCCCGCGTCCGCGGCACAGCCCCGCAACGTCCGCCGCGCACCCTCCTTGAAGCTCCGTTTCGCTTCAGCTACCCTTTTCGCCACGGCGAGCTCCGCGGCCATCACCCTTTCCGCACATCGCTCCAGGTGCTCGAAGACCGGTTGGCCCTTCGACCGATCGTCCTCCACGTCCTCGCCCGCCGCCCGCCGTCTCCTCAACTTCTCCTCGTTGATCTGCTCGACGCTCCGGTGGATGGCCACGTTCGCGGCGGCCCCGCTCACCAGCCCGATATCCTGCAAGCTCCTCCTTCGCGGCGACGCCGGGTCGCTCCGCGACAGCGCGATGCTCGCCGCGCTGTGCGCCGCCGTGCGCGCCCGCACCACGTGTAATAATGTTTCTTTTGCCGACTGGCGGAGCTGCTCGTCCTCTCTCACATGATTCACGGCCTGGCTGCGCAAGGACGCGGCGCCCTTGCCGACGGCGCGCTCGAACTCGCGCATGGCCTCGTCCATGCGCGCCTTCTGCTGCCCGCTCGGCTTCTGGTCTTTTGGAGGCATGGCGCTCTGTTACTCCTGATACTCCTTTGTCAGCGCTCAGTATTAATAGGTGGCCGCTCACGGCAATGGCGCGCAGCGCAAGGCACCTTTTATGCGAAGCAGCCTATCAGTAGCGTACAACGATGCCTTGTCTTTACGCTTGCTCTGCCGCGCGCCGGCGCTTGCGTGCTTTCTAGTGTGTTACGGGCCGCTAGCTCGTCCTGACGACTCTCGCGCGGCTCGCGAATGGCCACTAGTCCCAGCACTAAACAGCAAAAACACACAGATCAATTTACGCCGCGGACACATCGGGCTCCTCGGCGACAGCGGGAACGGGATCGTCGCCCGGCGCAGTGTCCTCCTCCACAACGTCCACGACGGCGTCCTCCTCGACCGGAGCGTCGCCCGGAGATTCTGGCGCGTCCGGCGCCGCCGCCGCGTCTGCGGATGAGGCATTCGTGGACGTAGACACGTCCGGGGCCTCCTCGGAAAACGTTCGTACGGGCGGCGGCGGCGGCGGCGTGGGCGGCGGCGGCCGCGGGACGGACCGCAGGTCGTGCATGTCGCGGAGCTTGCTCTTCGTTTTGCTCTGCGCGGCGACGCCGTACCACCGCACGGCCGCGGCCGGGTCCTTGGCCACGCCGTCGCCCCTCGAAAGCAGGACCGCCAGGTTCGTCGCCGCGCGCGCGTCGCCGGCCTCGGCGCTCTCCGTGAAATATCTCAAAGCTTCCTTGCCGGATTTGCGCGCGCCGCGCTCGCCGAGCAGGTGGAGGATGCCCAGGTCGCAGGCAGCTATTCTATCACCCTGTTTCGCCCGCTCCTTCAGCTCGCCGTGCGCCACAGATTCAGGCTGGCGGTCGGCCCACGATTTACGAGCATAGAACGTAAGCTCCTCCGTCGACGGGCCCCACCTACCGTCCTCCAGCGACTGCGGGCCCTCGGGCTTCTTCTCGTCCGTGGGTTTCGTCCACGTCTTCTTGTCCGTCGAGCCGCCCCAGGCGTCGGCGTCGGTGGGCCGCACAAACTGGGTCTTTGGCGCATCGGCGGCAAATGCCGCAGAGATTTGAGCTTCGATCGACGCCATCAGCAGTGCTGCAGAAATGCTGGAGATATAAAGTCTAATCAGCCCTTCCTTGCTTGCTATTTAGGCTTTGTGCTTTGAAGCGCAGCTAGCGGTAAGACACACACTAGCAACCACGGGAGTTGTGCACCGGGGCAGCCCTAAAAGTGGGGACGCTGGGGGCACTACGACGAGGCAGTAAGTGACGCCAAAGCACTCGGTGCCAGGGGCATCGCTGCGGCTCGTGGCGTGGGCGTGGCTGGTGCTAAACCAGCTCGTACCACCTCGACAGAATGAGTGATGCAGCCGCACGAATGGAAACAACTTATCGAGAGCGCGCAAAACGTCTCACGGAGGCGACAGAGGCTCAACAAGGCGATCCGCTAGCCCTCCTGGAAGCCGAACGCGCCCGACGTGCGCGCGAGGACGCCGCCGATGACAAGCGGAGACGAAAACTCGGGCTCGAAGGGACGCTGCCGATCGAGCGCCGGTCGGACGCCCGGCCCGTGGCGCGCGGGTTGATAGACGTTCGCGCGATCATGGACGACTGCCTCCGATCGCGCCTTCCGCCGCCGCCAGAGCCTCCGGTGATCAACCTCGAAGGGGCGAGACACGCGCCGACGACGGAGATCGCCGGCTACCTGCAAGCGACGAAAGCCGCGGCCAAGCGGTCGACGAAGACCATCGCACGCCGAGAACTCCGCGAGGCGAGGCGTCCAGCGAGCGTAAGCAAACTATAGACAAATAAGTTATACAAACACTAGCTGTGCGGCTTCTCGCCCGCCAGGCGTGTCGTCGCCACGAGCCGCCGCGCCACGAGGCGCTCGCGCTGGGGATCCAGCTGCGCCGCGCGCCGGTTCGGCAGGTTGTCGTACCACTCCTCGACCTCTTCCGGCGCGTCCTCGGCAAAAAGCGTTCTGTAGAGCTTGGACGTGCGGTCGGAGCCGTCGAAGTAGTCGCGGACGTCGGAAGACGGCAGGATGCCGTGGCGCGTAAGAGTGACAATAGCGGCCCGCGCGTCGACGGCCACGCGCCGCCGCAGGAGGGCCGCGGTCAGGCGCGCGTAGGTCGTCTCGGACACGACGACGCGCGCGCCCCCGGCGGCGAGCTTCGTGGACGCGTCCTGGTCCGTCGCGCCCTCGGCCCAGTTCCGCGCGGTGCCGACGCGCGCCGACAGCGCCGCCCGGACCCTCGTGGCTTCGTGGGCGGCGTCGCGATCGGCCTCGGTCCGCTTCCACGACCCCGCACTGCCTTGCAATACCTTGGCCGCCGCCCGCACGCCGGTCTCGCCGCCGTTCACGAGCGCCGAGCAGAGCGCCGCCCGTGCCGTCGCGTCGACGTCGCCGGCGATTTCCTCCCACGCGCCGAGGGCGCTCGAGATCTCGCCCGCCTCGGCAAACGACACAGCCACCGCAAGCAACGAGCGGGGCGCCACCGCGCCGCGCGCCTCGGCCAAATTAAGGATCTCGCAGGCCGCGTCGGGCCGGGCGCTCAGCGCCGCGGCGCGCAGCGCGCCGTAGGACGCGTGCTCGTCGTCGCCGAGGCGCTGCGCGACGTGCGAGGCCTCGCGCCATCCTCGCGCCGAGGCTAGTGCATACAGAGCGGCGTCGGTCGGCGCCGGGCGCGCGGGCGCCGCGGCCGCGATCGCCACGACGCAGTCCACGGCCGCCTGCCGCAGCGCCACGTCGGGGTTGTTCGCCACGAAGGCGCCCTCGTCGCCGAGCCGCGCCGTCGCGGCCGCGGCCACGGCCTCGCAGGCCTCGAGGCACGTCGTGAGGAAGGCGTCGTGCGCGACCTCCTCCGTGTACGACGAGGCGGCCCGCAGCGCCACGTCCGCGGCCTGCTTTCCATCGGACGTGTGGATCAGCGTCAGGACAAGATCACTCGCTGCGCGAGCAGCGTCTAAGCTTGGATGCGACCCCTCGGCCGTCTCGCGCACTTCGAGGGCCGCGTTCATGACTCTCGGACCGCGCGCCGCGAGCGCGCGCGTCGCCGCCTTTAAGGCTGAGGCGCCGGCCTTCTGCCGGCCGAATGCGTCGGCCGGCGCGACGGCGTCCCGCTTCCGCAGCGCGTCCAAGGCGCCATTTACGTCGCCGGCCTCGGCGCAGGCGTCGAGCAGCACGTCCAGGGCCGCCGCCTGGCCGCCCGCCTCGCCCCGGCGCTCGAGCTCGCCGATGATCTTCTCGGCGGCGTCGCTGTCGCCCCGGCCCAGCGCTTCGCGCAGGACGCCCCGCAGGACGGCCGGCGCCGATTCCTCGACGGACGAGCCGCGGCTGCCGGCGCCGCGCCGCAGCGCGCCCCGGACGGCGTCCAGGGCGCGGCGCTCGTCTCGTTCGACGTGGTAGGCGATGGCCGCGACGGCGCACAGCGCGTCGCGCGTCGACCGGCCTCGGGGCGCGCCGTCCGCGACGAGCTCGGCCCAGGCCAACGCGGTCGCGGGCGTCACGACGTCGCCGTGCAGGTCCCGCGCGAGGAGGTCGCAGCCTTCGTCGCTCCCGGTCGGCGCGAGCGGCGCCGCGACCGCCCGCCCCAGCAGGCACGCCTCGTCGTCGCCGGCCGCGGCGTTCGCCTGGAACCGGCGCGCGGCATGAACGAGCTGGAGCCCGAGAGCGCGCCGCGCGCCAGCGCTCAACCAGCCGTTCGCCGAGCCCTCGTCCAGCAGGGACAGCGCAATCTCAAGAGCTTTTGGCGCGCGGCACGGCGTCGTGCACAGCGCCTGGACCAAAGACGAGCGGGCCTTCGTCCCGAGGCTCTGGGCCGGCTTGTTGGCGAGGGCGCGTCGCAGGTAGGCGCCGCAGGCGTCGACGTCGCCGAGCCGCGCGCTCGCGACGGCCGCGGCGGCCGCCAGGCGCCGCGGCGGTTTCGCCGCGTCTAACGCGTCGCGGCGGTCGAAGAGCGTCGCGGCAGCGCTCGGGCTCGAGGAGTTCACGGCCCTGTCCCACGCGTGGTCGACGAGCAGCGCATCGATGGTTCGGCGCTCGTCCTTGGCCAGCGTCGGGTCGGCGCGTTGTCGCAGGAGCTCGTCCGCGTTCGCGTTGGTTGCAGCGCGTCGTCGCGTTTGGATGATGGAGCGTCGCGGCGCAATGAATGCGCCAGCACTGACGGCCAGGGCTAATGTCAGCAAGGAAGTGTGCATCGCTGCAAGGTTGTCCCAGGTTCGATCAACTGGTCAAGTAGGAGCAAGTAACAACCTCTGGTGCTATCTGGAGCCGTTTACAGCACTCACGAAGAGGTTCAAAGTCTGACAGTGCACGGCTAGCGGCATGTAAGACACTAGCAAGCAGGAAAGGTCGAAAACGCGGCATCCCTCAAGATGACGCCTACATAGGCGCTCCGAAAACCTTTTGGGGAGAGCGCTCGTTTACCGCACGAATGGTCAAAGCAAACAAAGGGCCTCCGAAGGCACAGTTCGGACCGCGCACGCGAGGAACGCGGGTCTCCGTGGTATGAAACGATGCGCAGCCCCATGAACAAAGAGAACCGACACACCACGAGGACCGTCGTCGCGAAGCGCGGCAGCGTGGTCCTGGCCCCGGTCCCCACCGCGCGCGAGCCGCAGCGGCCCCGGAGCCAGCAGACGGACGCCGTCCTGCAGCTCGTGACCGCCGTCAAGGACCACCTGCGCTTCCGGCAGCTCGCGACGTACGCCGTCGACACCTTCTCCAAGAGTCTGGCGCCGCCGAACGCGGATTGGAGGGCCTACGTCGAGGCCGCTTTGGACGTGGACGCGGCCAATGTCGTCGTGTCAGCATTGGACGCCCACGCCGGAGACAAGGACGTGCTCGGCGCCTGCGCGACGTGTCTAGGACGACTGGCCGTCGACGCGCGGCACGCGTCGCAAATCGCGGACGCCGGCGGCGTGCGCAGCGCGCTGCGGGCGTCCGCCCAGTGCCAGGCCTGCGCTGTGTCTGTATTATGCTTCGCGGACGCCATGTGCGCCCACCCAAAGTCGTTCGCGGCCGTGGCGGCGGCGGCCGCCGACGTCGCCGGCGCCATTACCGAGGAGGCCCTGGCGCCCGGCGCCCGCGTCCTCGTGCGGCTCTGCGGGGCTGAAGGTTTGGACGAGGTCCTCAAAGCAAAAAGGGACGTCTCGGCGGCGCTCTTAAAAACGCTGGAGGCCTCGGCCGACCCCGCCTCGCGAGCCGTCGGCGACGCCGCGAAGGTCCTGACGGCAATAATCGACGCGGACGGGAAGGAGGCGTCTTATTTAGCAAGGAAGGGCGCCGTGGACATCTTTCTCGACAAAATCGCGTTTCTGGAAGGCGACGCGGCGGCCGCGCGGGACGTGGCGCGGCTGCTCGCGCGCCTCGTCGAGGGTGGCGTGGCGGAGCTCGTGAAGCGCTTGAAGAGTACGGGAGACGCGCGCGCGGCCAAATTGCTAGCAGCGCTCGCCGCGGACGGCGACCTCGCGGCCGAGATCGCTTTGTGTGGAGGCGTCCGCGCGCTCGTCGCGGCGCTCGAGGGCGATTTGTCAGCGGCGGCGCTGCAGGCGGCCGTCGACGCGCTCCACCGCCTCGCGGCCTACGATTTGCCCGCGGGCGCCGTCGAGGCGTTGCTCAAGTGCTTGGCGCGCGGCCCGGGCGACGAGGCGTGCTTCAAGATCCTGCGCGCGCTGAACGCCATCATGCGGCAGCGGAGCGTAGATGCTGTAAGCCGCATCCCGAAGGCCACGGAGATCGTCTGCCGCGTCGTCGCCGACCGCGCGAAGCACGGCGGCGTGGCGTCGGAGGGCTGCTTCTACGTTTCCATGGTGTGCGACGACGACGCCGAGGCCCTCGGCACCTGCGAGGGGGGCGTGCGCGCCGTGCGCCGGGCGCTCAAAGCCCACCCGATGGATCAATTGGTGCAGCGCCGCGGCCTCGACGCGCTCGCCGGGCTGGCAAGATTAAAACCGGCGCTCGTCGCGAAGAAGGGCGGCGCCCTGCTCGCGGTGGACGCGATCGTCAATTTTAGTGGCGACGCGCGCATCGTCGCCCAGGCGCTCACCGTGCTCGCGCTCGTCGCCGCCGAGGACGCGTATTCCGTCCGGGACGCGTGCCCGGGGGCCGACTGGCTCGCGACGTTGGCTCCGGCCGCCGCGGACCACGCCGACGTCCGGGCCGTGCGCCGGGCCTTCGCCGGCGTCGCGTCGAGAGTCGCGACGGACGCCGACGTCCGCGGCGTCCTCAAGGACCTCCAGGACATCGCCGCCGTGGTCACGACGGGCCGCGACAAAGCGGGGCTGGACCGCTTAGCAAGGACGGCGGCCGCTGCTGCGGCCCTCGGCTTCTGCAAGGAGGCGCGGCGAACCCTAAAGGAGGCCGCCCCGTCAACCGTCCACGTCCTCACGGCGGTCGCGGGCGACGCGCGCGTCGACGCGAGTACGGTACGCCACCTCGTGACGGCCCTCGCCGCCATGGAAGACGACGGCTTCGCGCAGGATGTGTTGTACGACGACGCGCTGCGGGCCGCCGTCGGCGTCGCGTCGTCGCGCTGCGCGTCGCCCAAAACGGCGGCGACGGCCTTAGATTTCGTGACGCGGCTGGCCCTGCGGAGCGCCGACGACGCGCTCGCGGCGGGCGCCGCGGAGGCCGCCGCGGCGGTCGTCGCGTGCCAGGCGCCGCGCGGCGACGACGCGTTCGCGCGGGCGGCCGCCGCGTTCCCGTGCCTGGCGGCGCTCTGCGCCACGTCAGAATTGACGGCGAGCGTCGCGGCGCGCAACGGCGCCAAGCCCTGCGTGGCGGCGCTGACGCGCGTGACGGACTGCCCGGCGCATCGACGGGCCGTCCGCGGCTGCACGGAAGCGCTGCGCGTCCTCGGGCGTTTGGGGAGGACCGACTTGCGGGGTCGCGCGTCGGCCCTGGACGCCGTTTTTGCCGCGATGGACGTTGTGGAAGACGCCGCGTTCCAGGCGCAAGCGGTTCGGACGGCATCAAAGCTCGCGACGGATGCGCTCGCGCGCAAGGCCATGCAGAAACTAGCAAGCGTCGACGCCATTAAAAAGCTGGGCCGCGTCCTGGAGTGTCGAACGGACGCGCCCTGGGCCGCCGAGGCCGTTGATATTCTCACGAAGACGCTGCGGCGCGCGTTGCACGAGGAGGACCATGCGAAGGCCCGCGCGTGCGTCGTGGCGCTGCACCGGTCCCGGAAGCACGCCACGGAGGACTACGCCGGTATGTTCCTCGACGAGTTGAGGCGCCACCCGACGCGCGATGTGATCAGGGACACCGCGACGCTAGTATCGAACGAGGCCTTCCGGGCCGCCTTGATCTCAAGTGATGGCGTCAACGTCCTCCTGCCGCTGGCGCGGGACGCGGCGCTCGCGGACGCCGCCGAGCGGTGCCTCGCGGTCGTGGCGGCGCACCCGCGCGGCGCCGCCGATCTCCTCAAAGGCGGCGCCGCGCGGCACGCGTGCGCGCGCCTCGCCGAGGATCCCACGAGCGGCGGCTCTTCCTTATTATTAGGCGCGCTCGCGCCGCACGCGTCGGCGGAGCAGCTCCGCAAGGCCGGCGCCGCGCGGGCCGTCCGCGCGGGGCTGCTGGACGACGACGACGAGGCCCGCGAGCGGGCCTGCGGTCTGGTGAAGGAGATGACGCACCTGAGGAGCGACCTCCTGGCGTCGGCGCCGCGCCTCGTCAAGCTGCTCGGAAACGACGAGGAGAGCCCGCGGGCCGCGGCGCGCGCCGTCGACGCCCTTTGTGCGGGAGACGACGCCGTGCAGCTATTCGTGGACCTCGACACGGCGCATAACATGCTGGGCGCGATGCGCCGCTGGCCGGACGACGACGAGTTGGCGCGGACGTGCGCCGGCGTCCTCGCGCGCCTCTCGGGCGGCGACGGCTCGGGGTTAAGTGAGGTGCTCGCGTCGGCGGCGACGCAGTGCGACCGCCTGCCGGAGGCGCTGGACGACCTCGTCGCGGATTTAACGCTCGCGGGCCACCTCGTGCTCCTGCCGGGCGCGGTCGACGACGCGGGCCCGGTCCTGGACGTCGTCGCGCTGGTCCTCGTGCGCACGACGAATGGCAACGCCCTGGACGCGGCGATGACGCTCCTGGCGCGCCTGCTGCAGGTTCGCGACCTTCCCGTCGACGCGGCCGCCGCGGCCCGGTCCATCAAAGGGGCCTTTCCCCGGGCCATCGCGCGCGCGGCGGCGGCAGCCGTGGCGCTCGGGCGCCGCGGCGCGGGCGGCATTCGAGAATTGCATCGACAAGGCGTGACGGAGGGCCTGAAGCGCGACGCGCGCGTCGGCGCCGCGACGCTGTCTTACCTGCTGGACGCGGCCGCGGCGGACGCCAGCGCGCTCGCCGACGAGACCGGCGCCGAGGCCTTCGCCGAGCTCCTGGACGCCGTGCCCGGGCGCGCGGGCGCTTTAGCGAAGGCCGCCGACACGTGCGCCCAGGCGCTCCTCGAGGCGCTTCCCCTCTTGCAGGACGACGCCGCGGCGGGGCAGGTCGTGGACGCGCTGGTCACGCACGCCGTGGCGGCGCCGCAGGCCCAGGCCGTGCCCTGCCGCGTCGAGCACGTGGCCGCCCTCTGCCGCGCGCGCGAGAAGCTCGGCAAGGACGACGCCCTGTCCCTTCACCAGGCGACGCTGGCGACGGCGGACGGCGGCAAGTTGTGTTTTGGGGGCTACGTCCCTGCGTTCAACGACTTTGTGAAGGGCGACCTGCGCGGCGCCTCGTCAATGCGAGCGCGAAACGCGTGCGAGATGGTCGCGCGGGGCGCGGGCCTTGGCGACGCCGACGTCAATCAAGCGTTAATAGAAGGGAGGTTCCCCCACGCGCTGCTGGACGCGCTCAAAATGCCGGAACGTTTGAATGACGAGGCCTTCGCCCAGAACGCTTTATATGCGCTGCGGTGCCTGCTCGAAGGTGGTCAAACGGTCGACGTCGCCTTCGACGCGGCGCGGGTCGTGAGAGCGGTCGCCGCCGCGCACCCTCAGAATACCTACATCGGCGAGACGGCGCGCGCGGTCTCCACGCTGATCGAGGAGGCGCAGGCGGGCGGGCCCGGCGCGCGCGTCGCGGCGCGGCTCGCTGCCCTAAAAGCGATCCACGCGGCGGCCGCGGACTGGACCTGCGCCTTGTCCGACGAGGGCGGCGACCCCTACTACTACAACGGTGCTACGAAGCAATCCGCGTGGGCCCAGCCGGCCGAGCACGCCGCTTTGGTCGCGGAGTTGGATGATCTGGGCGATCTCATGGAATTGTGCGCCGGCCAGGTCGACCCGGCGAACTGCGGGGCGCTGGCGGCGTGCCTGTCGACGCACGCGCGCGACGCCGTCGTGTCGTCGCGCCTCGCGAAGGTACTCGAAGCGGTCGGGCGCGACGACGCGGTCGCCGATTTATTATGCGACGTCTGCGGGCTCGAGCATCTGATCCTCGGGTTGGAAAAGGCCTCGGCGCCGGACCACGTGTTGCACGTCGTGGCGCTGCTGGACCGCGTCGCTTCCCTGGAAAAGATGCGCGCGCGGTTGGGGACGAAGCAATATATCACGATCCTGAATCAGGTCTGCCTGGACCACATGGGCCGCGGGCCGATCGTCGAACACGTCATTTCCATCTTCGGCAAGCTGTGCACGGAGGAGGGGGCGGTGGCCATCCAGATGGAGGCGAACGTGCCCTACACGCTCAAGTGGGCGCTGCAGACCCACTCCGCCGCGAAACGCCTTTGTGAGAAGTGTGTTTTGAACGCGTCGCGCCTCGTCGCGGGCAACGACGACGCGCGCACGGGCTACGTCTGCGAGCAAGTCACGCCGGAGCTTGTGGCAAGCTTGGAAACGCACAATGGAGACGCGGACTTCGTCGTGGCCGTCCTCAAGTGCTTTGGGGCCTTTTCGCTGCACGACCCGTCGATTCTCGCGATGGTCTCGCACGGCGTGACGGAGAAAGTAGTCAGCGCGACGGAGCGCCACGGCGACCACGCGCAACTACTGCGGACGGCCGTGGAGCTCTTCGGTAATTTGGGTGCAGCCGAGGACGACGATCTGGACGCGCGTTGTACGGCCCTTTTGTTGGAGGGGGGCGCTGTCGACGCCATCGGCTCGATTCTAGATTCGTGCCGGGCCCGGATCGACGGCGACGCGCTGGCCCTGATTGGTGCTTGCTTCGACGCGCTTTATAATTTGGCCAACGACACGAACGCGGCGGCTGCGGTCGTCGAAGGGGGTTTGTGTGAGGCGTGCGTCCACTGTGCGCGCGTGTACGACGCCTGCGACGCGCTGGTGGTCCAGGGCGTCAAGTTGATTGGGGTACTCACGTATGACAGTAATGCGGTGCAGCGCCTCTCCCGGTGTGGGGCGGCGGCGGTGCTCGCGGACGCGCTGCGGTCGCGGGCGGACGACCACGACTTCGTGTACGACGCAATATTGGGCCTGGCGAACCTCGTGACGCTCGACGAGAACGCGGCCGCGTTCCGGCACGACACCAAGCGGCTCGACGCGCTGGGTGATGTTCTGGAGGCCCACGGCGACGACGAGGACATCGCGACGTTTGCCCTCAAGGCACTCGTGCGTCTCGCGGCGGACGACGGGATCTCGAAGGCGATCGCTGAATTGGTGGGCAAGGTGGCGCGCGCCGCTCCCGACCTCGCAGAAAAGCCGCAGACACTGGCCTTTGAGCTGATCGCGCACCTGGCTTACGTCCCGGAGAACCGCGTGGCCTTGGTGGCCCAGGGCGGCGTGCGTGCGCTGCTCCTGGCGCTGGAGGGGCCGTCGACGGCGTCCGTCCTGGAACGCGCGCTCAAGACGCTCGATGTGCTCGTGGCTGCCGACGTCGAGTACGCCTCGGTCGTGCTGGAGCTGAACGGACGAGCCGCCGTCGAGCGCCACGTCCACGAGACGACGCGGTCGGTCGCGGACATGGCGCGGCGGGCGTTGGAGACCATCGACGCCGTCGTTGGCCACCAACCACGGGGCCAGCGCGCGGCGCTCCGAGGATTGGGCATGGCGTCGGGAAATAACTCTAGGCGAGCCTCGGACGTCGAGCCCGCCGGCGACCCGCTCGGGCGGTACCGCGCCATGCTCGTGGCGGGAAGCCCGTTCAAGGAATGGGCCGCGGGCAAAAGTAGCGCAAGAAAGATAGCGCTCGCCGGCGACTTCACCTCGCTCGTCACGCTGAGCGGGGGGAAAGTCAAGACGCGCTTGGCGCTCAATTCCCTGCTTCGCTGCGACCTCGGCCGGGGCGCGGCGCACGCGAAAAAGAAAATGCTCTCGTCCACGAAAGTTCCCGGCGGCAAGGCGGACGCCTGCTTCGTGATCAAGGGCCTCGCGGAGAACGACGTCTTATGCGGCGAGTGCAATAGCCGCGCGGACGCCGTCGCCCTGAAGGACGCGCTCAACGCCCTACTTCGGTGCGCCGCGCGGTGGCCGCACCGGTTGGCGAGCGGGTAACAACAACATGTGATTATTCAAAAACTAGAGATCCGTGGTGCGGTCGTGGATGTCCCGCTTCAGCAATTCCATGATCGTGATCTCCAACGATTCCGCGCGGTCGAAGAGTTCCTTCGTGCGGGACCCCTTCGTGTCGACCATGAAGCCGCGCCGCTCCTTGGGCGTCGCTTGTTCCAACAGCCGCAGGAGCCGGACGCCGTCGCCCGTGCGCTCGTAGGCGAGCGTTGCGCGCGTGACGGCCGCGTGGCGCTTCAGGCGCTTCCCGTCGGCGCGCTTGCCGAGCAAGCCCGCCATCTCGGCCTCGGCGTCGTAGAGGCCCGCCTCGTAGAGCATGGCTTCCCGTTTATAGTCGTCCCAGAAGTCCAGTTCCGGGGTCAACGGGTCGGGACATTGTTTATGGCCATGTCTCGCACAGATCTGCTCGAGCGCGGCGACGTACTTGTTCCACTGCGTGCCGAACTTCTCGCAATATCTTTTGAACCCGTCGTAGATGCGGCCCGCCTCGTCCGAAAGACCCGGAGGTTTACCGGAGCACAACTCGGTCGCGTACTCGCCGGCGTACGGAGTTCTATCATCTGCTGACAGCTTGTGCAGCTCCTCTTTCGAGAGCGGCTCCGGTTTTGCTGTGGCAGCATGCACGAGTAGGAGCACAAGTTTTCTAATCTTGCGCATGGCTGCTCTATCGCATCGAGGGGTACCTAGCTAGCGCACCGAAAATAGCGCACTAGCGCACCAATGCGCTACGACGAGCTTTTATAATAATTGGCAGAGACGGAGAGCTAGCGGTTGTAAGACACTAGAAAATCGGGTTTTGCGGAGCGATGATTCGTGAAACTCTAAAAAATACATTTAATTTATCGCGCACGAGTCGCCCCCGATGATCGGGATCGGCGGCGCCCCGGAACAGCCCCAGTCCTGCGCGGTCGCCTCGGGGGTCGCCTGGACGTCGGCGCCCACCAGATCGAAGTTCGGCCGCGGCGCCGACAGCTCCGCCGCGAGCGCGGCCGCGGCTTCGTACGCCACGGCGTGGCCCGCCGCGAGGTACTCGGGATCGCGCTCGAGCGCATACACGGCGTCGCAGTGCGAGGCGCCACGGGGCGACTCCTCCCCGGCGGCCCGTACGAACTCGCGTCGACGCGAGTCGTGCCGCGCCCGCAGGACGCGCCAGACGGCGTCCGCCGGCGCCGTCTGCGAGGAGTCGGTCCAGGCGAAGCGCCCGCTCGAGACGGCCAGCCGCTCGACGCCGTTCTTCACGCAGCGCCTCGGCGCCAATATCCGCAAATCCACGGGCCGGCGCGATGCGACGTGCGTCGCCGCGGCCACGTCGATGCCGAGGCCGTCGAGCGCCGTCGTCAGGCAGATTCCGGCGCCGCAGTGCACTACCGCCCACACGCACGCGGCGGCGGCGATGCCCGAACGTGCGACGGAGAGCTCGACCTTCCGCGTGGGCGCGAGGCTTTCGTCGTCCGCGAGGACTGCCGCGCGGTCGCACAGGTCGTCGTCCGCGACGTCGACGGCCTCGGTTAGGCGCGCTCCTAACGAGGGCAGGCCGTAGCGCGCCCAGTCGCCGTTCGCGCCCGCGTCGGTCACGAGGCAGCACCGCACGCGACACCTTCGGGGCACGACCTTCGCGTCGAAGCGGAGCGCGCCGCGCCAGCAGGCCGCCGCGACGGCGCGCGTGTCCCGCCTCAGCGCGCCGCGGTCGTCAAAGGGATCCATGATCAACAAGTCGGCACGCCTGCCGCGCAGGACTGACGCGGCGTCGCGACCCGCGTCGCCGACCCTGACCTCGACGTGCACGCCTACCGCACCGTCGACGCCGTTCTCCGCCACGAGCCGCCGCGCGACGGCCGCGAGCCGCGCGTCTCGGGCCATGAGCAGGACTGTGGCGCGGACGGCGCGCCCAGCCGCGGCCCGCGCCGCGAGCAGCGCGAGCACGGCCGCCAGGTCGCCGCCAACGACCAGCACCAGGGCCGACTCGCCCCTCCTTTGCGCCCTTTCCGCCGCTTCCGGCACGGCAACGTCCACGGCTTCCCGAAACGCGCTCGCCGTCGGCGCGTCCCGCACCGCCGCCGCCCGGTCCCAGCGCAGGGACAGCGCGTTCGCCAGGAAGGACGCGCCCGGCCGCCGCGCCAGCGTGAACGCGACGCCCGCGGCAGTGTAGGTGCAGTGGACGCCGTCGCGCAGGCCCGCGGCCGTCGCGCGCGGCAGGGGCGTCCAGGCGTGTGGCAGCGACGCGGGTAGTGCCCGCGTGATCGTGTCCGCCCCGAAGGGACCGATTTCGGGCCAGCAGACCAGGGCCACAAGCGCGCCGCCGGCGACCGCCGGCCGGCCGTCGTCGAACGCGTCGCACGGCAGGTCGAGCACGACGTCCTGTTCAGTCAGCGTTTCGCTCAGCTCCAGCGACACCGCGACGACCGGCGGGCTCAGCCACTTCATTTTCACAGCTGACAAGTCTACTTCCACGGCGCGCGGGTCGTCCCGCAGCCCCCGCGCGACGGCGGCGTCAAAGGCGTTCAGCGTCAGCTTCTCGCCCCGCGCGTCGTGCGACGGCGACGATATGGCCACGGCCGCGACGACGAGCCGCGCCTGGCCGGGGACGTAGGTCGCGCCGGGCTCGACCAGGCGGGCGCGCCGTAGCGCTGTGAGCTGCGGTACTAGCCGCCGGTTGAGCAAAGCGCCGCCAAAAAGCCGCGGATCCACCAGCACGACGCGGGCCGCGTCCCGGTCCAGCCCGTCGACGTCCGCGCGGCACCGCTCCGCCGGCGCTAATACAACATCGAACGCGTCCGGCGCGGCCTTTGCCGCCTTCCGGGCGGCGCAGATCGCCACCAGATCCAAGGCGGCGCCGTGCGGAGTCGCGACAACGACGGCGCCCTTCGCGTGCAGCGCCGCGGCCCGCAGGAGCGGCACGGTCGTGACACCCAAACAAAGCGTCTTCGCGCCGCCGTGGTCCAGGGCCGCGCCGACGACCTGTTTGATGACGTCCACACCTACTACTTCAAACGCCCGCGCGCGGACCGGCGCCGCGAGCGCGCCGCGCTCGGCCGCGAGCGCCGCGGCGGCACACGCGAGGCGCCGCGGCGGCGGCTGCCAGGCCCGCGGCGGCCTCGGGCTCTCCTCCTCGTCGTCGTCGTCGACCTCGAGCGTCTCCGCGGCCTCGACGGCGACGGCGCCGAAGGGCGACGTGTTCGCCGTGAGGCCGCCGCGCGCGACGGCCGCGTTGCGGAAGGCCTCCTCGGCCTCGACGTAGCGCGCCATGCCCACGAGGGCGCGGCCCGCGGCGATCCAGGCCGCCGCGCGGTCGCGCGGCGTCGTCGACCGCGCCAGCGTCTCGCCCGCGGCGCCGAGCGCCGCGCAGAAGCGGCCGCGGCCGAGATACACGGCCGCGGCGTCGTCATCCTCGTGGCCGCCGCCCTCCTCGGCGTCGGGCCCCGCGTCGACGGCGTCGTCGGGCGGCTGGGAAGCGAAGGGCCAGAAGACGCACGACGTGAGCGACGTCGTCCCCTGCGCCGCCCAGACGTTCGCCGCTACCGAGAGGAGCGGCGCCGTCGCGTCGTCGCGGCTCCGGTCGTCGTCGGCGCAGCTCTCGAACTTGGCGAAGGCCGCCTCGGCCATGAGCGCGCCGACCTGGGCGTGCGACGGGCCCAGCACGTGCTGCAGGCCGCGCATCGCCGTGAGCAGCGCGGGCAGGCACTCCGCGAACTCGCCCCGTCTCAAGCGCGCCGACGCGAGCCAGCCCGCGCCGAGCGCAGCGGCGACGCGGTCGCCCCGGCGCTCCAACAGCTCGGCGCGCTGGGCGCCGCGCTCGGCGTGCGCGACGGCCGCGTCGTCGCGGCCCGCGGCGGCCATCATCCAGGGCGTCTCCGGACCGGTGCAGCGGGCTAGCTGTTCGAGAAGGGGCTGTTGCGCCTTGTCGAGCTCCTCGCGCGCCTCGCGGAGCAGTTTCCTCGTTTGCTCCGGCGTTTTGTTTTTGGGGGCCATAGCGGTGCCGGGGCAGCCAAATACCTCTGCTTACACCTTCGTATGGTTCATGCGGCAGCCCTTCGAACCTCTTCGTCGTCTCCGCGCCGCGCAAAGGACGCTCGCGGTTGGGAGAGCGGCATGAAATCTTGAGTGGTAGCGGGTTTTTTCAGCTTCACGCCGTCGTCGACGCGAAAGATCTATCTTCTACATACCAGGTATTACGACTGACCGGATCCCGGCCTCGGCCCGGTCGGTCGAGATGGGCCCGACCTCCGTCCGCCGCAGCTCCTTGCCCGCGTCGAGGAACGCGAAGTGCGGGATCTCGTCGACGCCGAGCCGCTCCCAGAGGACCCGGTTGCTCTCGTCCTGCGTGTCGACCATGACCCAGGACACCTCGGGGTGCGCGCGCTCGACCTCGTGGAGCCGTTTCGACGACTCGCGGCAGTGCGCGCAGTCCTTGCTGTAGAACTCGAGGACCACGGGCTTGCTGGCGCCGAAGGCTGTTTGTAGGTCCATGCCGTCGCGCGCCATGGCCGCGAGCTCGTCGCCGCCGCCGGCGAACGCGACGCCGGCCGAGAGGCCGAGCGCGCCGAGCGCCGCGGCGAGCTGCGCGCCGAGGCCGCCCAGGACCCCCGCCGCCGCTGGTGCCGCCGCGCTTGCGCCTACGGTGCACGCGCCGCCCGCGCACGCCGTGCCGGCCGCCGAAAGCATCGTGGCGCCCGCGGCGGTCGCGGCAGTACCCGCGGCGACCGTCGCAGCTGCGGTGGTGTCAATTTCTGTTTCTGTCGGGGGCGCGGCGTCCTCTGGCGCCTCGGCGGCCCGCAATGCGATCTGAGTTGGCAGCAGAGCGCTGGAGGATGGTGATGGGCTGAACGCGGCGGCCGTTCCGAGCACAACCACAGCGACCTTACGCATGCGGGCCATGGCTAAACGTGTCAAGTAGCTTTTTGGCAGGAGAGGTTGAGCTATTAGCGTCTTTATCAGCAGCAGCTTGCTTGCTTGCTGCTAGTGCCTTTCAGACGCTAGCTCACGACGCGGCGCTTTTGGGCCCTGGCCAAATTATTGGTGATTTTCGGCCTCCGGTGACACCCTGAGAAGCGCGCTGTGCTCACGTATCGCCCTGACAAAGCTGCGCTGCTCCCGGCATCGCTGCGAAGTAAAGAGCTCGAACTCGCAGCACCTCGCTCACGACGCCGCGCCCCTGCGCGCGTATTTCCCACAAGCAGCTCTGCTGCTCCCAGCATCGCTGCGACGCGTAAAGGACTCTCCAGCCCCTCGCTCGCCGCCGCTGCGCGCAAAAATGCTCACCGACCTCGCCCACTGGGCGTCGATCGTCCTGCTGGCCCACGCGGCCTTCTCCTGCGTGCACTTCAAGAGCCTGGTCGACGACCCGAAGCTCGTGCCGCCGACCGACGTCGTGATCGAGGTGCTCGTGGCCGTGCTCCTCGCGACGTACAGCTCCGTCGCCGCCGCGCCGCCGTTGAAACCGATCCGCTGCGGCCAGGACGTCTCGCCGGAGGTCCAGGACGCGGCGTTCCACGCGCCGGAGTTCGCGCACGTCCACCACCGCGGCAAGGCGCTCGCGGCGCGGCGGCGCGCGCTGAAGGCGGCCTCGGCGCCGCGGCTCGTCGACTAACATATTGTACATTACACAGCCCCTCGCACGTCGACCGGCGTGCCGAGCGCTCGCGAGCCCGCCCGCACGAACTCCGCGAGCGGTCCGAAGGCCGGGTTGATCAGGACGGACGTCGAGCCGGCGCACGGCAACGACGTCGAGGACAGAATGCCGGCGACGGCGGGGAGCTTTGCCTCGTCGAGGAGCAGCGCGGCGCCGCCGGAGTCGCCGTTGCATACGCCTGTTCCGCCGCCGCGCAGCGGCTTCGCGAGGAAGTTGCTGTCCGTTGATATTCGTGGCGACGTGTTCACCAGGTCGACGCTCCGCAACAGACCGGACGTGTAGTCCTCGTCGGACTCGATTCGATCGCCGTACGCGTAGATGCGCATGATGTCCGAGTAGGCCTCCGGCGTCTGCCGCGCGAGGCCGACGGCCACGCGGCGCCAGGCCTTCGGCGCCGGTCGCGCGAGCTTGACGAGGAGCAGGTCGTTGGCCAATGGCGCGTCGGACAGTTTCAGTCCCGGCACGTCCGAGGGCCGGAGATACCGCGCCACGGGCACCGACGTCGCCTTTTTGTCGAAGATATTTGTGCCGAAGACGACCTTCGTTAGTTTGCCGTTGAGCGTTTCGGGGATGTCGACGCAGTGTTGCGCGGAGAGCACCAGGTCGTCAGCAATTAAAGTACCACTACACGCAGCAGGCACGTCGTGGCGGCACACGTCGCAACCCGTCAAATCGATCCAGAGCGCGACGGCGCCCGTTTGATGTGCTTCGCTGAGAGTCGTATCGCTGCGTGGGGCATCGCGTCGATGGCGTGACACGTGGCACCATCGACGCGACGTGGACGTGGCACGCGATGCCAACGCGAACAACGCGAAGATAATAAAGGACGCCGCAAAAGCACTATCCCGCGATGACGGCGCGACTCGGTCGTGCTGTCGCGAATGGCAGCGCGGCGCCCATTGCGAATGCTTGTCGACGCGACACGCCCGCAGCGAAGGCGTTTTGTAACGACGAGGATTTATGCGGCAATAATTGCATCCGTAGCGCTCGTGTAGGAGTGATCTGTGTTTTTCGCAGCGCACGGCGTGGCATAAGCGCTGATGCTGCCGCCACAGTTAGCAGTGGTACTGATACGACTATGCACAGCATCTGACTTCTATAGAATTGCATGTTTACGCAGCACCGACGCTGCCACCGCAGAGCCTTGGCCCCAAAGTACGGGTTTTATAGACACGCCCCACGCCTCTCTCGCATTCCGACATGGTCAAGTTACTCCCCTACTAGCGGTGCATGAAGAAGTTCTGGTACACCGTCAGCGCCGCGAGCAGCGACCCCACCACGACGAACGACGTGTTCCGCTTCTGGAGCTTGTCCGCCTCGAGGTCCGCCTGCCGCTTGTCCCAGGCCTCCTGGCCCTTCTCCGCAATAAAATACTCCTCGTAGGAATTGAAGCCCGCGTCCCTAATTTGTTCGTTCATTTTTATGATCGAGTACCCGTCCGGGTCGAAGAGGTACTGGTTGTACCGTTCCACGGCCTCTTCATACGTACAATCCTCCTTGACCATGGTCTCCTGGACAATGGCCTCGTAGCCCGCCGCGTCCTTTGCCTTCGCGATCGCGCCGGCCATCTCCGGCGAGAGCGCGGGCCGCTTCGTCATTGGCAACGCGTTCAAGGTGGGGCGGACGAAGGCGTGCGCGCTTGCGACCAGTAACGCTAACGTGGCGCGCGGCATCTTGGGCAGTGGTGGGCTCTCTTAGCTGTGCTGGTCGTGTGCTTGACTAGGGATCGTCAAACTGCACGAGTCGGTCAAGCAGTCGGATAGGGTTGTTCCGCTGCTAGCAGCTCCCGTCGTTTGTGCTGCAGCGTGAGCTGAAGCCGGTTTGCGCAAAGATTGCTTGTTGCTAGTGTCTAAGTGACGCTAGCGCTGGATTTGGGCGGCAAGCAAGCGAGACTTGTGTGTGGCGGATCGAGCAGTTACGCAGGTCAGAAGAACGCCTCGCTGGTGGACAGCAAGCAGACTGCACACTCGCGCTCAGTACTGCACAAGTAGCCATATCACTGCCTCGAGCAAAAACGGAAGAGGGTTGCGGTAGACGCGCAAAAGCTGAGCACACACAAGAGAGATCGCTTACTAGGCGCGCAGGAGGAAGATGAGCGCCGCCGGAAAGCCGGAACCGCTGCGCCGCCGCCTCACCGCGCCCACCATCGACCCCGACATCGGCGCGAGCGAGCTCACGGAGCATGATGATGATGACGACGAGGCCGTCGCCACGCCGCCGAAGCAGACGAACTGGGCCGCCACATTAATAGCGGGCGGCATCGCGGGCGGCGCGTCGCGGACGAGCGTCGCGCCGCTCGAGCGCATCAAGATCTTGTTCCAGGTCCAGGGTATCAGTGCGGGTAGTAGGCCCGTGCTCCACACGTCGGTGGCGGAGTCCCTGCGGAGTCTGGTACAAAGAGATGGTGTGAGAGGCCTCTGGAAGGGCAACGGCCTCAATTGTGTAAGGGTCGTGCCGTCGAGCGCGATTCAGTTCGGCGCCTACGCTCTGTACAAGCAACTGCTCTTCGGGGCGAAGGCGGGCCAGCAGAACCTGCCGACCTACCAACTCATGGTCGCGGGCGGCCTGGCCGGCGCCACGTCGACGGTCTGCACGTACCCGATCGATCTCGTGCGGGCGCGGCGGACGGTCGATTTTAGGGACGCGGTGCCCAAGAATTTGGTGGCGTCGTGGGTCGACATCTGGCGCGCCGAGGGCGCGCACGGCCTGTATCGAGGCGTATTACCTTCATTATGCGGCATCGTCCCGTACAAGGCGGTAGACTTCGCGGTGTTTGATGTGCTGAAGCGAGTGTGTAGGAGGAATAAAATCGGGGTCGACGAGAAGGGCGACTGCCGGCCCTTGACCAAAGTTGGTGTCGGAGGTATTGCTGGTGTGTGTGGTATGACGGTCGCGTTCCCCTTCGATACGGTGCGCCGTAACTTGCAGGTCGCCACGCTTAAGGTAAGACACGAGGAGAAGCTCGAGACGACCATGTCGGGCTCGATGCGCGCGATTACCTTGAATTGGACGCGGCCCCTGAATCTCTACCGAGGGCTGTGGCCGAACTATCTGAAGGCGGCGCCGTCGGTCGGCATTTCCTTCGCGACCTTCGAATCTGTGCGCGACGTCCTGGACAGGCGTTTCGAAAAGTAAATAGTTATATCGTACGTAGGCGGTCTTCTCACGCCTCGCCTGCAGCCGCAGCCTTCGCGTTGGCGAGCGCCTTCATGTCACCGGCGATGGTCCGGAGGTCTGTTTCGCTCAATTGCGGCAATATCCTCAGGACGTCGTCGATTGGCCGGCGGCCGTCGATGGGCACGCGGAGATATGACGTCGGAGAGATCATGCCGTACTTTTTCTCGTCGGCGCGCGCGAGGGCTTCCAACGCGGCGGTCCGGAGCTCGTCTTCGGAGACATCCGCTACACTCAGTATAGATTTGGCCAGGTCGAGGTCGCCGAATGCCTCGCCCCGCCCCTTTTTCTTGGAACGAACCAACTCGGGCGGCGGCAGAGGTTCGTCGCCACTGGCCTTGACGGCGCCATCGTTGTTGTCGGCGAGATTTACGTCTTCGTCGATTTCACGGCCGCCTTGAGGAGAAGGCGACGCAGTTTTCGCACCTCGTTTCGAGTGCATCTCTCCGTCCTCGTCCAGATGCTGTTTCACAGGGGTGTCCTTCGTAGGTGGCGTCGAAGCACGCGGTGCCGGAGAGCCTGGCACGTCGGACGATTCGCGTGTTACCAGCGCCGCCGTTGCCTCGGTGAGGTCGCGCATCTCCGTGTCTCCCTTGGCCTCCTGCTCTGTCGTCGCCGACGCGAGACGTACGGCGGGCTGTACGGCCGACGCCGCGGCCGTCGCCGCCGCGCGTGGCGCCACCGCCACGGCGTGTGCCGCCGCCGGCGCGGCGGCCGCCGAGGCGTCTTCGCCGGCCGCCTCGCGGCCCTCGCCGCCGCGCACGAGCGCTTCAATCGCGGCGCTCGGGTCGTCCGCCGCCATGACCTGCCTCGCTTTCGACTCGTCGAGCTCCCGGACGAGGAGCCGGCGCGTCGCCGCGTCCAAGACGCCGAGCGGCATTGCTAGAGTTTATGTGGCTTGCTGAATGTTGTCTCCCTTGCGTCGAGGGACCGTCGCGAGGCGTTGTCGGTCGTCGTCCAGTTCTGTTGATCGCGCCCTGTGTGGCGAGTATCCCAATCGCCGCGCGCGCCGTGTACGCGCAAAGGCTGCAAAACCCGTCACACAAAACCCGATTTGACCAGCCGCGGAGCGTGCAAGCACTCTCACAGCCGTAGGAGTCCAAGCAGTGGTCTAAAAACAATTGATAATTTAACGTAAAAAGCCCTCAGAGCAGCTCGCTGCAGAACTGCGCTCGACATGCTGCGGGCGGCGATGCTCGCGAGGAGCTGCGCCAGACTGCCGTCGGCGGCGTCTGCCGCACGACGCGCCGCGTCGTTAGCGCCGAAGAGTGTACGTGCTACTGCACCGCGCCTGCTCGCGCTAAGTGAAGGAGAGCCGGCGGCGCAGCGGCTGCAGGCGCTGCCGGCGTCGCTCGCGGCAAGAGGACGGGCGACGGAGAATCTCCAGTCGCTCGCCTTGGAGCCGCTGTCAAGCAGGACCACTCTTACGCTGGTCGGGGGCGGTCTTGTGATTAGTGGATGTGCCGGGCTGAAGTCTACGAAGTGCGCGTCGGACGACGACGACGACGACGACGCCGGCGAAGAAGATGATCCGCTCAAAAGCAAGCTCTGCATCACCAACCTCTACAATTATAAGTACTGCGTCACGGCGCGCATCTTCAAGTGCGCGATGTGGGACAAGCACGACGAATTCCAGCGGTGGTGCATCGACGCGTGCAACGCGGCCTACTGCCAGAAGCTCTGGTGCCTGCGCACGGAGAGCGCGGTCCTGGACGGCACGGATGCGATGGTCCGCGCGCGAGGGCTGTCGCAGGCGCGGGACCACTTGGTGAACACCCTCAACGTCGTCGCCGACGGCGACTGGAAGAGCGACGCCACCAAGGTCCAGTTCGCGGAGACTGCGGTGAAGTACTACGCGCTCGGCTTCGTGGACTTCTTGGGCAACGACGCGGTCTCGCTCCGCGGCGCGGCGCGCGACGGCGTCGGGTTTCAAGAATTATGATCTTGGACGAGTCCGTGACAGCGCGTCCTTCACCACAGGTCCAGACGTCGATCGAGGAGTACTGGGACCTCTTCCACCCGGTGGCGGCGCTCCACCAGGGGGCGCCGCCCGAGATGCCCTTCGACGCCGCGCTCCTCATCCTCGACGCGTCGTACACCGCGCTGGGGAACGAGGACCTGCGCCAGCACGTCGACCTCGAGACGATAGTGAGGATACCGGTGTCGGAGTACACATAGACTTGCGAGAGAGAGACGCGTGCGTGTTGCTGTTTCTCACCAGAACCGACCCAACGCAGACCAAAGCGTGTTGCCGCACGGGCAGCTCGACGGAGACGAAGCTGGCCGTCGACCACGTGCTCGAGGGCACGGAGCAGGCCTACTGGAGAGCGTCGCGGCGGTGACGACCCGTGTCCGACGGGGGCGCGTTTCGTCTCTTGAATCGCAAACACGACGTCTGTTTCAAACACAGGTTCCGGCCCTTCATGCTCGCCGCCGAGACCGCGGGCCAGGCCCTCGCACGCGTCCGGCCGGCGATCGACGCGCTCGCTGCGTTCTGTGAAGCGCGCGCGTCGGCGGACGCGCCGCTCGCTCTCCCGAGCGACGCCGTCCTGGCGCTGGGCGCGGCCGGCGCCGTCGAGGTCGCGGCGGCGCCGCTCGCGACGGCCGTCGCCGACGCCTTCGTCGACGCGTTCGTCGGCCGCGACGACGTCACGCGCGACGACGTCCTCACCTGTGTGGAAATCAACCAGTGAGTTAGGTTACCTGAGAAATATTGCCATGAACCTTCGTGAACCTCCACGCCATCGAACCGACGTGGTCATGGCGACAACATCGCGTCGATGGCGTGTTACCCGAAATTTGATTTCCACACAGGTCCTCGCGGGCCTCCGCGCCTGTTTGGCGGCCGTCGAGCGGTTCGACGAGCCGCTGGCGGCGCTGCGCGAGGCGCTGCGCGGCGACATTAGCCGCGCGGCACTCGCGCCCGGCGTCGCGGCGGACGCGGTCCCCTTCGCCGACATCGCGTCGACGCGCGTGCCGGACGTGCTGGAGGCCGCGCGCGAGGCGCTCGGCCGCGTGGCGCTCGGCGTCGACGACGGCTCCGGCGGCGGCGCGCTCGAGTTCCTCGGCGGCGAGCTCGCGCACCAGACCGCTGCGTTGGATCGGGCGGTCGCGGACGGGCAGATCTGCCTCTACGGAGAGGCGGGGAACGGCTACGGCGGAGACAGCGGTGGAGCGGAGATCTCTCGATTGCGCGACGTTGTAGATTGGGATGCGATGGACAAGCGGGACGACATCGACACGAGGGCGGCGACGCTGTCCGGCGGCGATCGAGCGCACATCGCGCTCATCCTCCGCGGGTCCAGCGAGACGCACCACATCGTCTATGAGGTCGCGCCGTTGACGATGGGGGGCTTCGTCGTCGACGAAGCGCCGGCCTTCTCAATTAGCTGCGTCGTGCGCGCGGCCGACGCGAACGTGAATACTTGGGACTCGCTGCCGCGGCACCTCCTCGAGACGGACGCCGCGTGCACGCTCGCCGCGATGCGCTTATGTTTGCACTCGATGCACTCGGGCGGCGCGCCCATCTCCCTCGACGCGGTGGGCCTCACGGTGGATTACTTGGGGAGGGAAGTCTACAATTTGTTCCGGAAGACCCCTTTGCCGAGCTCTTTATCATGTAGCGGTGCCGTCCTCCGCATGGGCATGGGCTGCAAGACGCTCGTGGCCCTCGTGGGCGGCGACCGCTACGATGTCTACGGGCGCGGCAAGAACCACTTCGGTACGCCGGCGTACTTCCCGTGGCAGTCCTCCGGCTGCGGCGACGTCGAGTTACACTGGTCGGCCACGGTCGACCCGGGCGCCGTCGACGCCGTCTTCAATCGCGCGACGGGCCTGACGGCGGACGGGCTGCAGCGCGTGTACGACCGGGCGGTCGAGACACTACCGTGGCGGAAGAGCTGCTACAACGTCTCGGACGCCCTCTGCTGCGTCACACTCGTGCGCCCGGACGAGTGGGACATGGTGACGTCGGTCGATGGGTCGGGCGTGATCGAGGGCTCGATCATCGTGCGCGACTTGCGCATGGACGTCGCGGAGGAGAACGCGGGCACGGACGGGTTCCTCGCGCAAGTCTTCGCGAATGCGCTCGGGCTCAAGTCGGGTACCGTCCAGTGCATAAATCAATGGTACGACGCCTTCAGTCGACGTGGCGTCTGCTCGACGGCGTGCCTCTACGCTATTGTCGCGACGTCTGCTCGATGGCATCGACGGCTTCTACACGCCACTTGTCATGAGGGTCTTTACTACCGTACATTCGTCCACGATTAAGCCAGCACGACTGCGTCGTCGCCGAGAGGTTACCGAGGAAGAATTATCGGTGCACCTGACTCACTATTCGATTTGTACACAGGCGCCGTCGCCGTCACGGTCGCGAACGCTGCGATTGCGGCAGACGTCGCGCTGCTGCGGGACATTCCGCGCGGGAGCGCCGTCGTCAGCGGGAGCGTCGATTCTCTCGAAGTGGCGATGGTCGGCGGCGAAACGCCCTTGGAGGCTTTGACGCGCGCGCTCGACGTGCACTATGCTTTAGAAGAGGCCGAGAGCGACAAGGTCAAGTACGAGTCGCGCGCGGCCGGCTTCGCTGAGAGCCTCACTGAAGCGCTCGACGCAGCCCAAGTTGGCGAGATTTCGAAGTTGCTGTTATTAGGTGCGGACTGCGTCGGGCCCAATAGCCACGCGGCGGTCGTTGGACGACCCTTCCGGCCGATGGTGGTTGGGGTTAAAATCGGCCCAAGGCAACGGCAAGTTTACTACGTGAACGACCAGGGGGACAATGTCAGACCGCACGCCTGTTGCGTCGTAGACGACGACTTTTTGTCCACGCTCTCGAAGGTAGCTGAGGCTGGAGGGTCGTTTACCCATCGGGACGGGTCGCGTATTGGGAAATTACAAGATTCACATGTGGACATCGTCTTGGTCCCGATCGACTTTCCTATCCGGCATTCATTAACTATTAAATCTGAAAATGCTGCCGAGATGAGGAAAGAGGCTCGCTACCTTTTCACGACCTACGTCGACGCTTTATTAGGTTCGGACGTGTCCTTCGACAATGAAGAACTCCGGCGCCATCACGCCGTTTACAAGCTGCAAGACTGGACAAGAAACTCCAGCAAGTACAACCCTTGGTTAATGCCGGGGCCGCCCACGGAGCCTTACCCGCCCGGCTTCGGCGAGTCCTGAGCTTCTGGGCCTGTATACTATGTGATCCCGTTCCAGTCCCGCCCCCCTTGATTCTAACGACAGTATTACGGATAGAACTAGCATGCGCACGTCGAGCGCCTGTAACACACTAGCAAATGCGACCGTCGCGTCCCCGACCCCCACCCATTCTCGAGGCGGTCCGCGACGTCCTGGACAAGAAATTCGTAGACTAACTAGTGTTGTTAATTTCCTTTTGACACCATTCCTCCGCGAGCGGCGCCGTGTTCACGAGCCTCAAGAGCCCGGCGAGCTCCTTGCCGACGCCCTTGTAGCCCAAGTACCCCTCCGTCGACTCCGCGACGCGGCCTCGGCAGCGTTTGACGCTGGTCGCGAATGCGACCAGGAACTTGGCTTTGTTGTTGCGAAAGTTGACCATCGAGATGACGTCGGCGACGCCCTCCTTCGCCGACAGCCACGCCGGGTCCAGGTCGTCGGCGCCGTCGGCGCGCGCGGCGTCGCGCAACGCTTTTATTGCTTTGCAAGCGGTACCAGTCAGCGTTTGCGACGAGAGGATCACGCCGCAGACGATGATGAACCGTCGATTTGCCGGTGACGAGGCGCCGGCGGCCATGCTCTGCCACGTATTGATCAGCACCTCCGGCCGCGTCTCGTGGCCGATCGTTCCGGGGCCGTCGCGCTCGCCGGCGCCCATGAGCGGGAGTGGTTTGTGCCGTTTCGCCGGCGGCGCGGCGGCTGGCGCGTCGTCGGCTGGCGCGTCGTCGGCTGGCGCGTCGTCGTGTGGCGGTGGTGCTGGCTCGCTCGCGAAGAATGACGAGGTAGCAGCAGCTGGCGCGTCATTGTCTGGACTGCTCTCTTGTATTATTATCTCATCTCGTGCGACCTCCGGCTCTTCAGACGCTGCCGACGCGTCCCCATCAGCATCATCAGCAGCATCCTCAGGACGGTCCTCTACGTAGGCGAAGCGAGCAAACATCGATGCCCCGCCGCTCACACGTCTCGTGCGCTGCCGTTGGCCACAGATGCGGCTTCAACGGCAGCGTTAAGCTCCGAAACGACTGCCGAGAAACTGCGCTAGCGTCATGTAACACACTAGCGAGCAAAAAAACAATGACTATCTATCGAAAACCCCTCTTAAAAGTATACCACGCCCAGCAGAACATCAAGGCGCGCTCGGGTCGAACAGCAGCGCGCGCAGCGACGCGCGGTACGACGAGAACGCGTCGTTCGGCTGGTCGGGCTCGCGCGGCGAGTAGACCTGGAAGTTTTTGCACGCGAAGAAGTCGGGCTTGCCCGGGCCCGTGATGACGTTGATCCCTCCACACAAAACGACGGGCCGGTTCTGCGCGAGGTGCTTCGGGACCAGGCGCAGCACGTCCTCGTAGGTGGCCTGGTACAACGCCTCGGCCATGACGACGGCGCCGTTCTTCGCCGGCGCCTCTACCACGACGGGCTCGGCGGCCTCCTCCTCGCCCTCGGCCGGCGCCGGCGCCGCCGCGGGCGGCGCGTCCGCGTCCTTGATCGCCTCCAAATTCTTCAGCGCGACGGCCCGGACCTTGTCCATCTGCTGGTCGTCGGCGTCCTTAGGCGTGGCCCCCTTGTTCTTCTTCGCCCATTCGACGGCCTGCGCGGCCGCCGCGCCGCACGGCGCCGGCGCGTCCTGGCCCGCGTGTGTTACAAAACCCATCCTTCCCTCCTCATCGCACCCGACGTGCGGCCCGAAAAACAGGAAGATGGCCCCGACCTTCTCCAAGGCATGCGACGCCACGAGTTCTAAGCCGGTTTTGCCCGCGGCGAGCATGCCGCCCAGCCCGCCAATGTCAAACGTCGGGGCGGGCGTCTCCGAGACGACGTCCGTGGCTCTTCCCTCCAAGTAGGCCCACCAGTGGTGCTCGCGCGTGAACTCGTCGCGGCTCGTGCTATTGGCAAAGACCATGTTGTTCACTTCAAAACCCAAGCCATCCAGCGCCCGCTGGGCCGCGCGCCCGCAGGCCACGGCCGTCGCCGGCCGGTCCTCGTCCGTGCCGAAGGCTTTGTTGATTGCCTCTATTTCTTTGGTGCACGAGTTTGTTAGATGCCTTTCAATATTCACCTGGGAGTGGCCGTCGTCGAGGGCCTGGGCCACGCTGGCGTAGTCCGTGCTGGCGCCGGCGCCCATCTTTACGTCGCGTCGATGGCGTCGGGCAGCCCTTTTGTTTGGGAGAGGCTGCCGGCGCTATCGATGTGAGAGCTCGCAACCCGAACGCGCTAGGACGCGTGAGAGTCTCGTATGGGTCCTGGCCACCGAGCCTTCGCGAGGTTTGCATTCAGTGCTAGCGACTGTAGGACACTAGCGCAAAGCTACAAGCCTGGCACACGCCTCGACCGCTGAGCCGGAGAGCGGTGCTTAGGCGTGAGGAAGAAACACAAAAACTCTAAGAACTGGTGGCCTGTGTTGTGGCAACACTTCCCCAAAAGACTGCCCTCGGAAAGCCCAAAACTGGAGAGCAAGCAGCAGGCACAGTGACATACGTACTCAAACAGCATGGACGAAACTGACGACGAACACTACACGTCCGGCGAGGGCGCTCCGGCAAGCTACATCCCGAAACCGGTCCAGTTCGTCGTCGCGACCGCGTGCACGGCACTGGTCGTCTTCGTCCTCGTCATCGCGTGCTGCCTCGCCAAGTCGCAGTGCGCCTGGCACGAGCCGCTCGTGCGAGTCGCGAAGCAAATAGAGGGCACCGAAAGACGACGAAGAAGGGCCGAGGAGCGGCAGCGGCGGCGCGCGCTGCGCGAGACCGAGGTCTCGCCCTTGCAACGGGGCGCCTTCGCGACGATCGCCGCCCGTCTCCCTTCAATTGAGTCGGTGCTCGGGCGCCAGACCTACCTGCAGGTCTGGAAGGGCCTGAAGACGCGCGCGCGCAACAAAACGACCGCCACGTACTTCGGCTACCCGACGGTCGTCTGGTTCTTTAAGTGGTTACTTTACGCGACGTTCAACGGCCGCAAGAGCACGGGCGACATCGAGCAGTATTTGGCCTTGCTGTCGTTTGTTTTCGTGCTGCAGAGCACGGCCTCCACACTGTGTGCAGAGAAGGCCGCGAAGCTGCGCGAGTCTTTGAGAGCTATGGGCCTCCGCGAGCTCGCGTATTGGGCCGGTCCGTTGATCGTCGACGGCCTCTTGTACGCGACCGCTCTCGGTTTGATATTAGCGTGCATTGTGACGCCCTGCCGCTTACTGCACAACGCCGGGCGCGGGAACAACGTGCCCGCGTCGTTTGCGCAGTTCTGGGAGGTCTTCGGGCTCTTCCAGGCCGCGGCGGCGTCGTTTGCGGCCGTCGCCTGTTGTATTTCGACGGTCTGCGGCTCGGCGCCCGCGGCGTCGCAGCTCGCCTTCGCCCTGACGATCGCGTCCGTCGTGTTGTTCATCGTCCTCAAGGTCACGGAGCCGGCCTCCTTCAGGAACGACTACATTGAGCTATGGCTCGCGTGGCCGCCGACCGCTTTACAAACCGCGGCACTGGGAACTGCCTCATTCACCGGCCGCTTTCCGGCGTGGCGCTTCCAGATCGACCTGCCGCGCGTGATCAAGTGGCTGTGGTTGGATGCCGTGCTCTGGTCTTTATTAGCCCTGTACCTCGGCGAGGTCGTGCCGCAGGAGTTCGGCGTCGCGAAGAAGTGCTGGTTTCCCCTGACGGAGCTGCGGGCGTGGTTTCGGCGGAAGGCGCCCGAGGCGGCGCCGGACGACTACGAGGCGCTCGACGGCGGCGAGGCGTCGGAGGGCGCGGTCGAGTTCGCGGGGCTGGCCAAGACCTTCGGGAGCTTCAAGGCCGTCGATGGCGCGGCGTTAAGGCTGAACCACGGCGAGTGCACGTGCTTGCTAGGGCACAACGGCGCCGGCAAGACAACTTTGTTAAGGATGCTCACGGGCCTGCTGCCGCCCGACCACGGCGAAGCAACTGCTAGAGCCTACGGCATCGACTTGCTGACGCGTGATAACGAGGGCACGGCGCCGCTCGGCGTCGTCCCGCAACACGACGTCTTATGGGAGGAATTGACCGTACGAGAGCACGCGCACTTCTGCGCGGTCCTGAAAAGCGGCGGCTACGAGGCGTGCGCGGCCGCCGACGACCTGCTGCGGACGTTCCACCTGGACGATCGGCTGGCGCACTTCGGCTCCGAATTGTCTGGAGGCATGCGGCGCAAGCTCTCGACGGTCTGCGCGCTGGCCGGCGGTTCGAAGTTCGTCGTGCTCGACGAGCCGACGACGGGCCTCGACCCGCTGGCGCGGCGCGAGCTCTGGGACGTCCTCGCGCGCGAGAAGAGCGGGCGGTGCCTGCTCCTCACGACGCACTACATGGACGAGGCCGACGAACTCGGAGACGTCGTCGCGATTATGGTCGCCGGGCAGATAAGATGCGCCGACGCGCCGGCCGCCTTGAAGCGTTCGCTGGGCTGGGGCGCGAAACTGGTGGTGGAGGTCCTAGAAGACACGGACGCGCGCGACGCCGTGAGCGATGGGCCGCGGCCGACGACGCCGCCGGACGCGCATGCCGAGGGCGAGATCCAGCTGCGCGCGCCGAGCCCCGAGCCCTCTTCTGGGGGCGCGAAGCCAAATGGCGCCCCGCACCAACTGATGGACCGCGTCGCGGCCATCGTCCAGCGGACGGCGCCCGGGGCCCGCGCCTGGGAGCGGCGCTTCGACGACGACGGCGATGAGATGTCCCGCCAGCGCGTCATCGCGCGGACGGCGCCGCGTTTAGAGTTTGCGCTGCCCGCCGACGCGCCCGTCGCCGCGTGCCTCGAAGCCCTCGAGGCTTTACCCGTGCGCGTGGGCGTCGGCGGCACGGACCTCGAGGATGTCTTCTTGCGCGTCGGCGACGAGGAGGAGCGGCGGCGCGCCAACCTGCTCTCGGCGCTGCCGCCGGCGCGGGACTTCGCGCGCTCCGACGACGGCAACGCGTGGCGCGCGCTGCGAAAACAGGCGCGGGCCCTGGTGACGAAGCGGCTCCGGACGGCCTGGCACGATCCTGGAAGGACGGCGTTGTGCGTCGCTCTACCAATCGCGGCCGCGGTCCTCGCCTTCGCGTGCAACGCGCGGGACGACTTCTCGGCGCGCGGGTCGTTCCCCGCGAACGCGACGACGTGCGTTATCTGTATGCTCGGCTTCGTGCCGCTCGTGGGCCTGATTGCGGAACACGTGGCCGCCGAGCGCGCGTCGAAGCTGCGCAACGTGCTCACTGTGGCCGGCTGCGACGCGCGCGCGTACTGGCTCGGCACGCTCTGCGGCGACCTTTGCTTATTGCTGGGCGTCGCGCTCTGCTTTTCCATGGTCGCGACGATAACGGGTACGTACGGCGGGCCCTACAAGCCGGACCCGTCGGGCGCCATCATTAGCTATAATAGGGCCGAGCACCTGTCGCAGGCCGTCTCCGACACGCCGCCGGAGTTCCTGGACCTGGGGGCCCGCGAGTACGGCCCGAAGGTGCCCGAGGCCTCCCGCGACCAATTTATCGATGACGACGCGCGCCGAGCCGTCGAAAGCGAGGACGGCTGGCTGCTGGATGATTTGCTCGACGACCCGGGAGTCGTGCACGACGCCTTCCTCGACAAGCTCATCGATGAGGCCATCAACAAGACGGGCGACCCGACGGTCGGCGAGGCGCTCGACGCCATCGGGCACCACGTCGACGACGATGCTTCACTGTCCATAGGACTCAATAGTGTCGTCGAAGAAGTCTACGGTTTGAAGAAGTGGCTGAAGGCCGAGACGTGGCTCTTCCCGCCGCTTTTTGTGGCACAGGTCGCGGCCTTCGCCTACGCGATCTCCTTCGCGTCGGCGGGGCCGCGGTCGGCCGTGGTCCTCGCGCCGATGGCCGTCCTCGGGCTGCTGTTTGTACCTATATCATTCTTAGCGACCGTGAACCTCTCCCTCGGCGAGCAGGGCCTCGACGTCGTCCACCTCTCGAATGACGCCTTCCTCGGCCTGTTGTACTGGGGCGTGTCGATTTCGGTCCCCCACGGCGCCTTCCTTATGGAGCTCTTCCGCATCTCCACTGATTTATCAGAGCGTGCCAAGGCGTACCCGTCGCGCGCCGCGGTCTGGACTATTGTGATCGTGGAATTGGTGTTGTTCCTGTACGCCGCCTACCGTTTGGACGATCGCGCCGCGGCCTTCAAGGTGAAGCGCGTCGAGGCGCCGTTGGTCGAGGTCCTCGAGGCCGACGTGAGCGCCGAGCGGGACCGGGCGTCTAGCAGCGACGCGGCCCTCGTACTCAGGGGCGTGCGGAAGGTGTACAACGTGGGCAAGCCGAACGAGACGGTGGCCGTGTCTAATTTATCGATGCGTGTGGAGCTGGGGGAAATTTTCGGGCTGCTAGGAGCGAACGGCGCGGGGAAGACGTCGGCGATAAATGTGGTCATGCGGGCCGCGTTCCCGACGGCGGGCGACGCGCTCGTGCGCGGCCACTCGGTGCTCGACGACTTTAAGCGGGCTTCGACGCATCTTGGTGTCGTGACGCAGACGGACACGTTGTATGACGCGCTGTCCTGCGCGGAGCATTTGGATCTGTTCCTGGATCTGAGGATGGCCCACAGTAGCACAACTATATCAAGCACGCAGCGCGCGCTGACGGTGGCGCGCATGCTCGAGGACGTCGAGCTCGGCGACGCGCCGGATCGACTCGCGGCGCGGCTGTCGGGCGGCATGAAGCGCAAGCTCTGCGTCGCGTGCGCGCTGGTCGGGGAGCCGTCGGTCGTGTTGCTGGACGAGCCCTCGGCGGGCCTGGATCCCGTGTCGCGGCGGCGGCTCTGGACGGTCCTACGGCGCGCGATGGTCGGAAGAGCCGTCGTCCTGACGACGCACTCCATGGAGGAGGCCGAGGCGCTCTGCACGCGGACGGCAATCATGGCGAGCGGCCAGCTGCGCGCCGTCGGCACGCCTTTATCTCTCAAGCGGAAGAACGGCGCGGGCTGGCGGCTCTCGATCAGGACGCGCGCCGGCGCCGACGCCGCCGCGATCACGGCGCGCGCGTCTACGATTGTGCCGGACGCGGCTCCGAGCGACCTGCGGCGGCGCGGCGTCGTCCAGTTCACGCTAGCGGACCGTGAAAATATGAGTGAAGTCTTCGCGGCCCTCGAGGCCGACATCGCAAACGGAGAACTGGGCGCGGCGGGCGCGCGCGACTTCACGCTCGAGCAGCCGAAGCTCGAGGACGTTTTTATGAGGGTCGTCCGCGCCGCCGAGGAGGACGAGGCGCTGTCCGGACCGCCGGCACCTGCCGCCGCTACCGACGACGTTGAGGCGCCGCTGGCCATCCCGCTGCTCGACGCGCCCGACGAGTCCGGCGCGTCGGACGAGCTAGCGCGGTGCTGTTTTGGTTTAGATAGAAGGGCGCATGCCTTCCTCGCGTGGGTCCTGTCGATCTGCGCCCTCGTGCTCTGGCTCACCCTGTCGGGGCTCCTGGGCCCGATCGAATACGACGACGACCACCCGCGGTCGATGGGCTCGGACCCGGACGGATGCCACCACGCAAAGGGGACGGAGCCCTGCGCGGTGGCGGCGTTCTACACGAACGGCGTGCCCTTCCTCATCGCGTTTGTGGGGGCCGTGATAGGCTGTTGCGGCGTGTGCTGCTGCATCCCGAAGAAGGCCGACGCGATGCTGGCGACGGCGGGCGCGTCGCCCTGAAGCGTGTTTACTAGTTTCTAATTTCGTGTTTTCTCTACGTGTTTTCCATTATTATGGCATTAATGCGCGGGTGACGATAGGCCTACCCCGAAGTATCACGCGAACAGAGCGCGTGCGTGGCAGGAAGTGGTCTACGACGACTTGCCCTTGCCGGTGCCCATGATGGCGACGATGTACACGGTCGGGACAATCGTTTCATAAAGCAGCGGGGGAACGCACTCCGTGAGCGGAGCGAAGGGGTAGATGAAGAGGCAGCTCCCGCACATGGCGCACATCGCAACGTATGTCCACGCGAGGAGTTTCTGCGCCTCCGCGTTCATCTTCGTGCCGGCGTAGCACTGGAGGGCAATCATCATATTCTTAGAGAAGTCAACGCCGGCAAGATGCAAGGTGAACATGTCGGGGTCGGTGAGTTGGCCATTCGTGATGGTCTCGAGAAAACCGCTGATACCGCTGGTGAAGACCGGCAGGCAGAATAGGATGCCAACAACGGCATGGATCTGGAACGCTTGCGTGAGTGTGAGACCCATGGCTGCCAGAGACTGTAGCTGACTGTTCCAGGCAATATTGCTGCGATGGGGCACGAACAAGTCGGATTTTTGCACTCGAGAGGTAGGGGAGGCTGGGGACGGCCGAGACGCGCGCGTGACGGGTTTGGGGGCAGCCCTATGACGCCGTGTTGCTGCCTTTTTCGCGGCCAGAAGATGAGCTCCGGAGAAAACGTGCGGGTCAGAGAAAACCAAACACTTATCCCCACAATCGCACAACATAGCCACCCGCAACGGCGAGCCCTCCGTAGAACACGACCAGGAACGCCTGCACCAGGTGAATGTGCCGCCGAAAGCTCGCGGCGTCGTTGACGCGCGGGTAGGGCGCATCCGGTATGGGCTTGCCGAGGAAGGCGCAGAGCGGCGCCCAGCCGTCTGTCGCGCGGTGGACGAGCAGGCGGTCGGCGGGCACCGTTCGCCGGACGCAAGCTTCGTGTGCTCGGAACGCGCGTTGCAGCGCGTCGACGTCGTCGAGCGACGGCTCGGCGCCGCCGAAGAAGCGCTCGCGGTACATGCGACACATGTCCTGCGCGCGCCTCCCGAGTAACAAACGAAAGAGCCAGTGCTTCTCGAGGAACTGCGGGTGCCAGATCGTCGCGCGGACCGACCGCGCCCAGTCGCCGGCGTCGCGCGTCGACAGCACGACCTTGGCGCCCGGGTGCCGATGCGCGAGCTCGTCGACGAAGGTCGCCGCGGGAAAATCCGTCGTCGCGTCGTAGCCTCGCAGGGCGGCGTCGAGCGCCGCGCCGTCGCCGCGGCCCGCACGCAGCCAGAACCCGAAGTGGTCGTTTTTGACGCATTCCTCCATATGATATGGGTTATAACCGAGGGTCTTGAGTGCCTCGCGGAGCGATGAGGTCCCTGTGCGGCCGCATCCGGCACCGATCACCTTGAGCTCCTCCGTCATGGCTGCGGCTGCCCCGGCACTCCGTCACGCGCAAGCAAGCTGCCCCGGCGGACCACTATAGCTCGCATGCGTGCGCGCAACGCTCTCAGAGAGCTAGCGAAGTGACATGCTAGCTTTTTCGCTCTGTTTCTCGCCTCGGGAGCGCGTGCGGCTGCCATCGCGGGCTAGGCCGAGCGGGCCGGCTCATCTGACTCTTGTTACATACTGCTTGCGCTTAACTGTCCCTATCGACTCGGGGGGCAGCCATCACGATGGCGAGCAGCGACGAGGCACCGGTGGCTCGCTTGGCCGACACGCTCTGCGGCCGGTTCGACGGCGAGACGGAGAGCCTCTCCGGATCGGACCTCGACGACGCGGCGCGGCGCAGCCCCGTCGACGAGCGGACCGACCGGCGGCGCCTGCTCGCGGCGTCGCACCGGCCGAGCGTCCTGCAGCGCGAGCAGGACTGGGAGGACATGAAGACGCACCCCTGGCGGCCGCACGAGCGCGTATCCATCGCGTCGGCGATCCGGCAGTCCTTCACGGGCGCGCAGGGCTTCATGGAGTCGACGGAGAAGATCTTGGGGGCCAAGGGGGGGCTTAAAAGAAAGAAGCACCGGAACCAGGTCGCGCGCGACCTCATCGCCCGGCTGGACGACTGCTATTTGCGGGTGGAATCGATCGCGGACGCGTCGAGCACGTCGCCGCATCGACGGGCGCCGCCGTCCTTCGAGGACGTGGGCACGTTCCCGTTCAAGCTGCACGCGCCCGACGCCGACGAGTACCCGATCAAAGCCCCGAAGCCGTACATGGAGTTGTACGGCGACCGCTGGTGGTTCGTCAAGCTCTTCGCGCACCCGCAAGTCGTGACGAGGTTGCTGCGGCAGCTCTGGCCCCACCTCTTCGTCGTGGCCCTCTTCCAGCTGGGCATCAACGGCCTGACGGCCCTCGACGTGGACCCGCCCGTGTCTGTGTTGCGCGAGCTCGAGGCGACGCAACATTTACTGGGGGCCGTGCTCTCGCTCCTACTGGTCTTCCGGACGAACTCGGCCTACGAGCGGTATTACGATGGAAAGAAGCAGTACGGCATCATCGCCAATCAAGTGAGGCAGATCATCATGAACGCCTACGCCTTCATAAGCTTCCACGAGGACCCGACCGGTAGGTTACGCCAGCGGTACGGACGGGGGCTGGAGTTGGACGACGAGCACGAGGCGGAGTCGCTGCACGAACTGCGGGAACGAGTGAGGAGGCAGGCCATCGTGTTGTTCGCGGTGCTGCGGCAGGATCTGCGGGAGCGCCGGTGCGGCTTCGTGCCGTCCTCTACCTTAAAGCACGTGCCCTTCACGCGGCACACGTGGATCCTAGACCCGTCGCGGCCCCGGCTCGTGGACTTGTTGACGCCGCGCGAGATCGTGGACTTTGGGAGGGTGTCGTCCGGGTCGCGGGTCATGCTCGCGTGCCACAACCTCATGGACGCGTTACAGAGGTTGGCGCCGCGCATCGCCCAGGACAAGCCGTTCACGGACGCGTGCACGCGGAACGTGCAAGATTTGATCGACGCCGCCAAAAGCTGCCAGCGCATCGTCGACACGCCGCTGCCCTTCACGTATACTCTAATTCTCGGCGTGCTGCTCTTCATCTTCGTCTACTCCTTCCCGTTTATCTATTGGTACAAGCGCCACCACCACCACAACAAGGTGAGCCAGTGGCACGACTTCTCGGGTCTGATCCCGGCCATGTTCACGACGTTTTTTTACTACGGCGTCATGCAAATTGCTATAGATGTGGAGAACCCCTTCAACTTCGCCGACGTCGATCACTGTGTGGAAATCAACTAGTGTGTCGGGTGTACCGTCGAGCGGTGAGGAACCGACACCGCCACGCCATCGAGCAGGCGTCGCGTCGATGGCGTGGAGATCGACGCGGCTATTCAGGACGAACGCGCCGTAAATTTGATTTCCCCACAGGTCGATCATGATCTGGACAGCTTCTCGAAGCGGCTCCACGACGAGACGCTGGTTGTCGCGCGCGAGGTGGCCCCTCCCGGGACGCGCTGCCGCGACTACTGGATCACGGAGCGCAAGTTCGCGGCCCGCAACGGGTCAAAACGCAAGAAGAAGAAGCGCACGGGCGAGGGCTACTTCAAGCAGGTCTCCGAGAAGCTCGTGACGTACCACGACGAACTCTAGGGGCCCGCCGCGACGACGGATTCCCGCGGCGACTAGGGGCCCGCCGCGACGACGGATTCCCGCGGCGACTTAGTTATCTAAGTTTAATTCAGTTTTACTATCACACGTCCTTTCCCGTCGCCAGCGTTCCCATTATCACGCGCTCTTGTGAGTCCCCGGATCCACAGATTTGAGAAGCGCGAGCGACGTCCCGCCCGACTTTGCGGCCAGCGCTTGTGCCGCGCGTTTACGCTTCCGCTCTTGCGCCCGGGCCCACGGCGTCAGTTCGCCGGGCTTCAGTCGCTGTTTCAGTTTCGTCCTCTGTTCCTGCCTCGACATATCTCTATTTCTCCTCGACATGGCCTGCCGCTCCGCGAGCTGCTGGGCCGCGCGCTCCTCGCGGATCTTCCTTAATTTTTCCTCCCAAGCGACCATGCGCGCCGCCGCGTCGCCCGGTGCCACCGGTCTATCAGAAGCGGGCACGCCGTACGCCTCCTTGCGAAAGAGGGGTAGCTTGCTCTTGGACCAGTGGCGCCGCCCGCCCTGGTTGTACGCGCCGATGATCTCGGGCACGAGCCGCGGCCCCCACTGTCTGATGACGAACCGGTCCCCATCGAGCTGGCCGGGGATGTCCTCCGCATCGGAACAGTTCTCGTACTTCGGCGAGTCCCCGAAGCAGTGGTACCCCACCAACGTGTGGCCCTTCGTCACGTTGTCGAGGCCGTCGTGGATGGCGCTCAGCAGCGACTGCGACCCGACGCTCCAGATCAGCTGGCGGTTGGCGATGAGCTCCGGGCCCTTTTCATACACTAAAAGCATCTTGTCCCTTAATTTCAGCAGTGTCTGCTTGAGGAACGCGGAGCCGGGCCGCGCCGCGGCCATGTTCGTCGCTCGCACCCTTCTCCTCACGCGCGCCTCGGCGGCGCCGGACGGCCGTTCCTCGAACACTAGATCATACGTTCCGAAAGCTCGAACGACGCCAGCTAAGCCCGGCGGCGACAGCCAGATCTTGGCGTCGTGGTAGATACCTCCGTAGACATATAGAGCCGCCAGCCTGTACAAATTCGAGAAACACGTCGCGTGCTCCACCTCCAACCGGTCCCAGAGCCACCCCAGGTCGGGGTGGACTTGGCTGACGATACTTCGCGCGTGGTCAAAACCCGCCACGGTGATGTTCACGCGCAGGCCGTTCGCCGCAGCTGTCTGGGTGTAGTTGCGCACCATCTCCCGGATCATCGGAGGCACCTTGTTCGGGTTCCGCGGGTCGTCTCTGTCAATGAAGAAGTAGTGCACGGGGATCGGGTGCTCCGCGTCCAGGCGCTCGCCCGGCGCAAGCGGGGGTGCCGCGTCGACCAACTCGATGTGCGCCTTGGCCCAGCGCTCGTGCCGCGAGTTGATGCGGTGCGGCAGCGCGTGCTTCCGCTGGTGGGTCAGCCAGTCCAGATGTTTCTTCGTGTTGACGGCCGCCCTCGCGCCCGCGAGGAGCAGGAGCCAGAGACGCATGACTTGCCGCGGCTTCAGTGTAGATGAATGCGAGCGCGGGTGAGCTGTGAAAGCAGCGGACTCGTTTGTGAGAGAGCCGTGCTACCTTAGATGCATGCAGTGTCTCGACAGCTCGAGTGCAATTTCTTGCAGCTCGCAGCTTCCGCGCGTCAGCTCGGTAGGAATGCGCTCTCCAAAGCGGGCTGCCTTCCCACACGTCAGCTGCAGCCTGAGTGAAATTTTTTTGCCTGCTCGCTTGCTAGTGTCTTTACAGGCCGCTAGCGTCTTTTCTCCCTCCCCGGGTTTTACTCGCGGGTTTGCCAGCCCTCTCCGGTCCCAGCGAAGCGCCAGCTGAGGCTTCGCGGGCTATACTACTCCGGGGGAATGTGGTGCGGGCGCGGCACGTCGTCGACGCCATCCCATATGACTAAAAAAGGACGTTACACGCCATATCACGAGCTACTTGTCCTTCTTCTTCTTGTCCTTGTCCTTGCCCTTCTTCTTGTCGAACTGGCCCGTGTACGCGAGGATGACGACGACGATGACGCCGATTATGGTGAGAATGATGAACGCAATCAACATCTGCATCTTGCACTTCTTCCACCACATTTGTTTTCTGAGTGTCTTCGCGCGCGACTTGAACATGCCCGCCTGCGACTGGAGTTCGTCCGCTTTCTGGTCGATCGCTTCCAGACTTACGCAGTTCTGGAGGGCCAGTTCGATCGAGTCCTGCATGACGACTTTCACCGTCTCGACCTTCGCTAAGGTCGCGTGCAAGGAGTCGACGTTGGCCAGGTCGTCGTACTGGGCACATAACCGCTGGAACTTCCCAGACATCGCGTTGTTCAGCGCGCCCTCGCCCCGCGCGTTCAATCCAGCCTCAGCCTTCGGCTGGAAGCTCGTCCTCAAATCCCTTAGTAAACCGGCGGCGTGCCTCAGGGGGTAGGAGGGCGACGTGATCGCGACGTAGATCCACGCGGCTCCATCACTTTCCAAATGCCAGGCCACGCCGCTCGTCTCGAAATTATAGTGTTTGTTCGCATCGACGGTCCGCATCTGCGCCGGATCTAACACCGATCGGACGCCGCTCTGGTCGACGTGCGCGCCGTGCGACGCGTGCGCCACAACGCATCGGTCCGCGAGGCGCGCCACGGCCACGTAATTCACGTTCTGGCCGTTGAGCGGGTTGCCGACGCCGGCCATGGCTGCTTTTCCACGCGCTGGCTGCTTTTTCCCCCGCGCTCACGGGCAACTGGCCTTTGATGTGTCTTTTGGGTGTTTAGTCTTGAAATGCAAGTGCAAAGCGCAGCACTGCGGCAGCGCTAAACGATGGGATCGATCGTGCGCCTGCGATTGTAGGGTCTTCTGCTTTGACGCCTACGCAGAGATCCCAGCCGCCGCGGCTAGCACGCATAAATTTATTCTAAGTGTGTTACGACCGCTAGCTCAAATGGGATTAACTTTTTTAACGAAGCCGATTTGCCACACTCGGGCTTCAGGGGCTGCAGCTGGTTTAGGATTGAAGTATTGCTGCCAACTGCTCTCCCGCCGAGCGCCAAGCTAAGTTTCAGGCAGTCCTGCAGCCAAAAATAAGGGAGCCAAACATGGAGCCGGAGCGCGTCCAAGCATTACGAGACACGAAGGCGCTGTACGACGAAGGCATCCTCGACGAGGCTGAATATAAAGCAAAGAAGAAGGAACTCCTCGCGGCGCCGCCGGCCAAAGCACTCGACGACTGCGCCTTCGTCGCGCCGAAGAAGACTGAACAAATCTTCGAGCCGAGCACGGCCTTTGAAAGACGTAAAGGCCTGGGCGCGCGGCGGGGCTGGGACGCGCGCATCACGCGGGACCCCGAGGACGCTTGCGAAATTGCTGAATTAGTCAATAAGGCCTACGCGGCGGACTTTGGAAGTGGAGGATTTAGGGAGGGCACGACACTCATAACGACAAAAGACGTCGAGTCGGATTTTAACGACCCGGCCGTCTCGTGGCTGGTGGTGGAGGCGATCTCGGATGAAGCTTTGTTGGCGTGCGTGCGCACGCGCTTCGTGGGTGGACGGGAGAGCGGCAACCGGTTGGCGGTCTTCGACTGCCTCGCCTCCTCAAAAACGTCGGGCGACGCCGGCGCCGCTGCCTTAAACACGGCCGAGAGCGCCGCGCGCGCGCACGGGTGCTGTGCCTGCAACGTCGAGGTGCCGACGCCTCGTATTTCGGATAGAAAGACGCTGGAGGCGGCGGGCTATGCCGCCGTCGGGCCGGCGCTCAAGCTGCCCGGCTCGTCCACCACGTACGCGACGCTGCAGAAGAAGTTAGGTGAAGCGCCGCCACCGCCGCCGCCACCGAAGCGGAAGCTCGGCGTCACGTCGTCCTCCGAACAGTTCGTCGCCAGGCCCCCGGCCGAAGGCGTCGAGGCGCAGCTCGAGCTGTGCTCCGCTTTGCAAGGTCTGGGGAAGCTCCTCGACGGCGGCGGCGACGACGCTTCCACAAAAAAGAAGAACCCCGACGACGCGAAGCTCGAGGGCCTGGTGGGGGACCTCATCGGGGCGCTCAAGACCGACGCGGGCAAGCGCGACTTCGACAGACTCGCGGCGGCGCAGAATAATGATGAAAGCGACCTCGCGGCGAAGAGCCCGTTTCCCGGCTTCGTCGCGCGGCCGCCGGGCGAGCGGAAGAGCTTCTCGGGGCGGGGCCCGGCGTCGGTCGAGGTCAACGAGCCGCGGGCCTTCGTCGAGTTGCTCGCGTCCGATAGCCGGTTCACGCGGGGGAAGGAGTGAGTCGCCCGGTTTTTTTTGTTCGTCGCTCGCTCGGAGTAAATGGATTTCTCAATCATGAGTACAACATGCACTACAACAGGGCTCCGGCGTACCATTAACTAGCGGTGTAAGACACTAGCCCTGGCAAAAAAGTGCCTTCATTCAACTAGCTCTAAGAAACGGCTCCCTGTAGCACGCGTTTTCCTTTATCAGTACGCACAACCCGTTGCTATAACTGTCGCGCAGCAAACCCTACCCTCGCGCCGCACAGTACCACTTATATAGCAAAGCACAATGCCGCGCTGCACCAGCCTCGCCGCGCTATGTGTAACGCTCGCCGCGGCCAAGCTCGCGCCGCCCACCCATAGCGCAGTGAAGCTGGCGCCGCGGAAGGCGGACTACCCCGTCGCAAAGGCGCCTGTCGCAAGGATCAGCAGTGGCGGCGCGACGAAGACCTTGGAGCTCCTCTTTGGCGCCGGCGGCATCTACGCGGCCTTCCTCTACTACGGAAGCCTGCAGGAGGACGTCTTCCGCTACGCGAGCGAAGAGGGAGACAAGTTCACGCAGGTCTGGTTCCTGCAGGTGCTAGAGGCGTTATGCAATGTTGTCGTCGGCTTTCTAGGCCTGCAGCTGACGGGCGGCGCGACGCCGGACCTGCCGCAGCCCTTGTTCGCGTCGAGCGGCTGCTCGCAAGTTTTAGCCAAGTATTGTACCAATGCCGCCTTAGCGAACGGCCTGTCCTTCCCCGTGGCGACGCTCGCCAAGTCGGGCAAGATGGTGCCCGTCATGGTCGGAAGTCTCTTGCTGGGCGGCGCGTCGTATTCCCTCAGACAATACGCGCAAGTGGCCATGATTGTGGCCGGCACGGCGATCGTCTCGTTGTCGAAAAAGAAGGCATCCTCAGGAACAACGGCAACGTTGGGAGTAGCTTTTATTGTTGCTTCCTTATGCTTCGACGGCGTCACGGGCGGGCTCCAGAAGCGCGTCAAGTCCGAGACCAAGGCCCGGGGCGCGGCCCCCAAGCCCTACGACTACATGTTCCTCACGAACATTTATATGTTGGCGACGGCGTTAGTGTTTGCGTTGTGTAGAGGTGAGGTGCAGGACGGTCTGAAGTTCGCGCTGGACAACCCGGCGCTGTGGGGCAAGGTCCTGCGCTTCGGCGCCTGCTCGGCGGTGGGCCAGAGCTTCATATTTTATACGATCTCGACGTTCGACCCGCTGGTCTGCACCACCGTCACGACGACGCGGAAGATATTCTCGGTGCTCCTCTCCATTTTCCTCAAGGGCCACGAGCTGCCCCTGATGGGCTGGGGCGGCGTCGCGCTCGCCTCGGCGGGCATCCTGGCGGAGGCGTCGTCGAAGCGGCACTAGGTCGTGCTGCGAAGTCGTATATATATAAGTCGTGATTTATACTCCAAGCGAGAGCCGCGCGCGGGGCTTTTCGACGGAAAAGAAGCGCCCCTCCCAGTCCAGCGCCAAACGCAGCGCGTGGAGCGCCGGCGTCCGCGGGTCCGCGACGAGCGCCGCGCCCAGCGCGTCGCGCGCCTCGCCCACGCACCGTTTGAGGCGGCGAAAGTGGTCCAGCCGCGCGTCCGCGTCGTATTCATCTAAACAGGCCGCGGCCGCCTCGTCCAGGGCGCGCTCGAGCGGCGCGCCCACGGCTTCCCGCAGCGACCCGCCCAGCGACGCGACGACTAATGAAGGAGCGTCTTCGGCCGCGAAGTAGCGCAGCAGTGCGACGCGACACGCTTCATAATCCGCCGCGCCGCCCGTTCTCACGCGCGCATCCAATAAAGCGTCCCCCAAACAGCTCCGGCAGTGGTCCCGCAGCGTCCGGACCACGAACTCGCAGGCGTGGAGCGCCACGTCTAACGATCGCGCGGGGCGTCTCCTCCGGGACCGCGCAAAAGTTTGGCGGAACGCCGTGACCGCATCGTAGACGCGGTCGCACTTGCCGCAGAACGCCGCGGCCTCGTCGAACGAGCCGCCGTACGTTGCTAGTATAGCGTCTACATTATCATCCATCAAGGGCGCGCCGTCGAAGCGTCGCCCATGGGCCTTCTGGAGCGCGTCCGCCACTTCTAAACCATCGAAGGCCGATTTGCTGTTTTTTAGAGCTTCAGCATCTGCTCTCAAAAAACCGGGCAGCGCGTATAACGAGGACGGGGGCTTGGGACGGACGTCCAAAGGTGTAGGCGCATTTGACGACGGCGCGTCGTGGCTCCAGTACTCTCCACCCGATTCCACGAAGCGCCGCTCGTCGGCCGCCGTTTCAACGCTGAGCGCCTCGACCAGTTTTCTCAATTGGTCGTCTCGCTCGATGCGCACGAGGTCCCTGATATCGCGACATTCTTGAACAGGTTTCGTGGACAAGAATCGCGGCGGCGCCTCGTAGATGGATTTGGCGGGTTTTGGAGGTGGCTTCGGCAATGGTAATGGTGGCGGCGGCGGCATCGCCGGCTCCGCGCACGCGACGAAGAACGGGTCGCCCCCATCAGAGATGTCCGCGCGCCAGGCGTCGACGCGGACCCGCGCCACCGGCATCACGGGAGCCGTTTTCGTCGTCGAGAACAGCTTCTCCACATGAGGCGCCTCTGCGTCCGTGCCCAGGACGCACCGCGCCGCCGCGAGCGGCTCGGCGCAGGCCGCGAAGGCCCGCGCCAGCGATTCGGCGTCGCCGCCTCCGCTTAACCCGCGCGCGAGGCAGGCCGTTTTTAGGGAAGCCGCGGCGCGCCGCGCGACGCCGCTTAGCTCGAGCGGGCCCACGTCGAGCGACGCACCGCCACCTCTAGCTTCCGTGATGATGTGCTCCAACACCAAGCCCCGCCGGAACAGGGGCGCCCAGGCCCGGTCGATCGCTATTAATGTTGCGCGGTCCGCGTCGCGCCATTTCACGACAATTCGTTCCGCGTCCTCGACGTAATCTGCGGCTGCTTTGGCGACGGCGTGGGCGGCCGCCGCGGCGGAAGGCTCCGCCTCGTTTAAACGGGCCGCGCGTGCCACGGCGCCGGCGAAGCTTCTAGCGAGCTGGATCGCGTCCGCGCCGCGCGCGACCCGTTCCAGCACGCCCCGGGCGGCGGCGGCCGTCGCGCGGGCGCAGTTCAGGTCGCGGCGCTCGATCTCTCGCGTGAGCCGCCAGCGGCCGTCGTCGGCGCTTCGTTCGAAAGTTGCGCTATTTGTGCCGCAGACGCAGTCGACGCAGTCGTTGACGACGGCCGCGTCGGAGCGCTGGCGTGGGCGGAGGCCCAGGAAGGAGTAGCGCGTTTGCTGCGTTTGGGTGGTGGCCATTTCTTTGCAGCTTCGCGCGCTTTGAGAGGCGCTTTGTCCTGTGGCCACTTTGAGGGCTGTGTTGGACACGCCGCGGAGGCTTCCAGCGTTGGTGGGCGATGGCTTATGATTTATTGGCTGCACTTTCTCCTTCAAGCGAGCGCCAGTCTTGCTAGCAGCGCTCAAACTTCGGGGCGCGAGAGTGCCGCGCGAAACTAGCGTCGTGTAAGACACTAGCAAACAAAACCAACGCGGCGCGGGAGACGCTTGGACCCCCTAACATATCCCGTCGACGGGATATGTTACCCCATATGTGGCGGCGTCGCCAAACGCCGTCGCCGCGTCCTAGAAACGCAATTCACAGAGTGTATATATACCGCGCCCCCCCAAAGACGAAACCTACGCCGCCGCCGACAGCGCGTGGCACTTCTGCACGACGTAGGGCCGGTAGCCGTCGTCCTCCTCGTCGTCCACCAAGCCCACGGTATGGCGGTGCGCGAACATCTGATCCAACGCCTCGGCGAGCTTCTGTTCCTTGTACTTCCGCGGCACGAGTAATACAGTGAGGAAGTCCACGGGCAGCCCGTATCTCAAAACACTCTCGACGAAGGCCCGCACGATCTTCAAATGAATCCACGCGACAAATGACTCCGCGAAGTGGCTCCGGCACCACCGGACGATCGACGCGTGCAACCGATCGCACTCCTGTTCGAGGGTCGCGCGGTCCGCCGATGTTCTTGCTACTTTCTCCGCATCATACGCGAAGGGTCTCACGACGAAGCCCAGAGATCTAGCTGCTGTGGTGTATCGGGGGACGAAGTCGTCGAAGCCACTCGGCCGCCAGCTGTCGCCCTCGTAGGCTCCGGACACGTGTCTGCCCTTGAGTAATGTTAAAGCATAGAGTGACGCTTCTCCGTCTGAGACTAATTTGACAGCACTCCCAGGCACGGCGGGCGAGCACGTCTCGCCGTTCTCGCCAGAAATGCAGTCCGGCGCGATCTCCGTGTAGGTTTTGAGGAACTCTTGATCTTTCGCTTTAGGAACAGCCACGACGACCGTCACTAAGTACTCGGTATCGATGGCCTTAGCCTTGGCGACGTCGTCTGCCGAAAGGACCTCCTCCAGAGGGGATAATGAGAGTGAGCCCCTCCCTTTGCCCGACGACCGCTTCAAAGCTTGCAATTTTTGCGTTTTATCAGCGTAGGTCGACGCCAGATGTTTAAGTTCATCATCAGTCTCCGACACCGTCTGCCTCAAATGTTGTACGAGTTCCGGTAGGGCCCTCCTATGCGGATACTTGGCGTGCTCCCACACAAAGCTAGGTAGGTAGCGGTCGACGGGCACGGCGTCCACTAGTAGTGGATCTCTCGTCTTTGGAGTGACTTCGGCGTACTGCCTCTCTACTTTCCTTACTACACTTTCGATGGAGGCGTCGACCTTGTCCATGTCCTCGCTCAGGGACATGAGCGAGTTGAGCGTTCCTACGGTTAATGAAGGGACTTGTATGAGGTAACCTTGCGACGCGCCGTCGGTGTGCCTCCTCAATTTTTCAAAGGTCGCCTCGGGCGTCTGGCCTTCTTTCGGTACGGTTAACAACCAGAACTCGTTGGGCGCGGCCATGGCGTCGCTTCGGTGGCGTCTGAAGCGACTGGCTGCAGGAGGTCGGGAGCTGTATTTACTGCGGCGGCGTCGGCGCAGACTCCGCTTTGTTCACGCGTGCTGAGGGCCTACAGCACGTGTCGCACAGGGCTCCGCCAGCCCACCGGTGCGCTGGATGAGCCGCCGCGACAATGGGCTTGATTAGGCTCGCTGGCTAGCATAAAGGCACTAGGAAACCTGGGCGCAAGCAACTTTTTGCGGGCGATGCGACAAAACGAGGCTACAAGACCTCTTAACACTCGCTTTTGCGAACCCTAGCGATCGTTCAGTCAGCGTTGCAGCGGCCGGGACGACGAGGCGGCTTAAGCACCCGTACAACACACGGCGTCGCCACGCGCGCGCGGCAGTCGCCCGGCCGCGGCCGCGCTAAGCAACAACCATGGGCGTCCCCGCCTTCTTCCAGTGGCTCAAGGAGCGCTACCCGACGATGATGCACGAGGTGCTCGAGGGCGAGTCGTTAGATAAGGCCGAGGCCAACGCCAAGGAAGAGTCTAGAGATCCGGTCCAGTGGTGCGACCACCTCTACCTCGATCTGAACGGGATCGTGCACCCGTGCTGCCACCCGGAGGACGGCCAGCCGCTGCCCAAGGACGAGGACGAGATGCTGACGAGAGTCGAAGCGCATCTTGACAGATTGATGGAGCTCATGCGGCCGCGGAAGTTTGTGTACTTTGCTCTCGATGGCGTCGCGCCTCGCGCGAAGATGAATCAACAGAGAACGAGGAGATACGTCGGTGCGCAGGAACGCGCCGAATCGCAAGCAGTAGAGCAGGAGATGCGCGAGGAGATGGTGCGCGAAGGGCGAGCGCCGCCCGAAGCCGCTGCACAAAAGTGGGACCACAACGTCATCACGCCCGGGACGGAATTCATGCGGAAACTAGCTACGTACTTGAGAGGCTACTGCGCTAGAAGAGCGGCCAAGCACCCTAGGTGGTCGAAAATATCCTTCGCGTTGTCTGACGCCACAGTCCCGGGCGAAGGCGAGCATAAAATTGTGAATTATGTGCGAGCGTTACGGCAACAAACGGGCTACGACCCCAAAACCAGACATTGTATTGTGGGAGAAGACGCGGACCTCATCATGTTATCACTAGCCTTACATGAGGAGAACTTTTGCGTGCTAAGGAAACGCATGAAGTGGGACGCCCCCGATCTAGATCAAGATGTGGCGGCCGAAGTCGGGGGGAGTGGCAATCCTACCACGAATTGGGCGCTCGGGCAAGACGAGCAGGGTATTCCGGACGCGGCGCCGTACGGTTTCCATCTGGTGCAGATAGATGTACTGAGAGGGTATCTGAAGGCCTCGTTGGGCGACACGCCACTCACAAAGAGAGTGCCACCAGCACAAGCGGCGGACTACCACGAGCGCGTGATTGATGATTTCGTGTTTCTCTGTTTCTTCTGCGGGAACGACTTTTTGCCTCATTTACCCTCCTTTGATATTCGCGAAGGCGCTTTGGATGTCATCTTCGAACTCTATCGGCGCCGACAAAATACTCAACAACTAGGTGATGCTTTACTGACGAATGCGGGGACGATCATCCCGTCGAAGACGGCCGCGTTCTTAGCCGCATTAGCTGAAATTGAAGCGCCCATCTTCGAGCGACGCGCGAAACGTAGACAAAGGGAACGACTGCCCAAGTCTCAAATCGACTGTAGGGAATTTCTACAGCGCGGCGCGTGCAAGTACGGCGACGCGTGCGAGTTCCGGCACGGCGACCACTGCCCGCGGGATCGCGCCGACGCGAATTTGAGATTGGAGATCCTGGATTTTTGTCGATCCGACCAAACGGAGAAGGCTTTATCGCCGGAACTACCGTCCGGAGCTAGGAAGAAGGCCCACGCCATCTCGGAGGAATTTGGTCTGGACCATGCGTCAGAGGGCGACGGCATGCAGCGCCATTTGGTGTTGAGGAAAGGTTCCAATTTCTGCCAGGACCGCTTTCCCGCGTCGCGGGACGAGGAGCCCAAAGTGTCTGCGGACCCGAAGATCGCGGCCGATCAATTTTTGGCCGAGGTCAAGAAACGAGTGGCAGATAAGGCGGGCGAGACGCATTCCGACGACAAGCACAACGCCGTTGGGTTAGGTGAGGGTCCAGGATGGAGAGAAAGATATTACCGCATTAAGCTCGAGGCGGACGACCAGACGGTAGGAGATATCTGCCGGGAGTACTGGAAGGGTTTACAGTGGGTTTTATCGTATTACTACGCGGGCTGCCAGTCGTGGCGGTTTTATTATGATCAACACTACGCTCCTTTTGCCGTTGATCTAGCTGCGCACGCGCCATTGGCGCCACCACATTGGAGTGATGGAGGGGAGCCCTTCAAGCCCCTGGCGCAATTACTAGCGGTCATCCCACCGGGCTCGGCGCATTGCTTACCAGCGGCCTGCCGATTAGTGATGGACGTGAAAGTGGACGCGCCGTCACAAGCCGTGGTGGCAGGCGCGAAACGCGCAAAAGATTTGGTAGGTCCCAAAGGCCTGGAAGAACTCTTCCCCACCAAAATTAAATTAGACCCGAACGGCCGCAAGCACCAGTGGGAGTGGGTCGCTTTGTTGCCTTTCATGGACGAGCGGCAATTGGAATTGGTGTTAGATTGCGTCTCGGATACCTTTGACGCGTCGGAGCGAGATCGGAATAGACAAACAAGAGCTTTGGCGGGCGCCGGCGCGGGCTGCCCCGAGCCGCCCTTCGATATCGCATGGTTAGGGTTAAATAAGTCGGACGAGCCGCCCTACTACTGCTTCGAGGAGCCGAAAGATCTCCAAAGGCACGTGTGCAAGCCGCTCGCGCGCCGGAACACGCAGACGCCGCTGACCGGCGCCTTAGGTCGAGAAACGGAGCCCGTCTGGACGCCCGGGCGGCCGGCCGGGAAAATAGGCGACTCGGGCGAGCTTAGAAGGCGGCCGCGCATGACGCTTGATGAGCTCGAGAGCGCCGGGCGCATGATCCGCCACCAGATGGGCGTCGACGCGCGGCTCCAGCAGCTCCAGCAGCAGGGCGGCTGGCAGGCGTCGCAAGGGATGCGCGCCGACGCGCCCGCGTATCGCACCGGGCCGCCCGGGGCCCCGGGCGGCGGCTACCCCTACAACGGCGGTGGTGGTGGTGGCATGCGGGCGACGGCGCCGGCCTACGGCGCCCCGGGCGGCTACGGCGCGCCGGGCGGCTACAACGGCGGCATGCGGGCGAACGCGCCCGCCTACGGGGCGAGCGGGGGCTACAACCAAGGGTACGGCGGCGGCATGCGCGCGAACGCGCCGGCGTACGGCGGCGGGTACGCCGGCGGCGGCTACAACGGTGGGATGCGGGCGAACGCGCCGGCGTACCAACAGCAGCCGCAATACCTCGCGCCCGGCGGGCTCCAGGCGAACCACCCGCTGCTGATGCGGCGCCCGCCGCCCCAGGCCTACGCGGCGCCCCCGGCCTACGCGCATTCTGCGCCGCCGGCGAATGGCGGCTACTCTCATTCTGCGCCGCCGGCCGCGAACGCCGACGCCGCGGCCGCGCTGCGAGACTCGCTCCGCGGCGCCATGAAACGCTCGGCGCCGCCGGGAGGCCCCGCGCACGATCCGCGGAGACGACGAACGTAGGAAATTCTCGATCGTTTGTGTAATTCATTCGTCGACCGTGGTACACTGAAGTTATCCTAGCATACTTCGCAGCGCCTCGACGGCGTCCTCGAGGATCTCGCGCTGCCCATTCCTATAGAATGCGACCGACGCGGACCGGCCGGCGCCTAGCGCCGCCTTGGCGTCGGCAATTTCCGACCTCTTGAACGGAGCGAGCTTGCGCTCTAACGTCGCGAGGAGGACTTCCACTGCCTCGGCGTCGATTTCAGGCGGAGAGTCCGAATCGGAGGACACGGGGTCGCCCGTCGGGTCGGCGAGCGCTCGCCACAGCGCGCGCGGGAAGTCGCCTCCGCGGCGCAGGTAGAACGGTCCGAGCGTCCTTCGGCCGTCCCCGGAAGCCACCGTCATCTTAAGGGCGAAGCGGTCGTGTTCATTATTCTGGAGCGCAAAGCCGTGAGCCAGTAACAATTCATCGTTCGCCTTCGAGCCGTAGTTATTGAAGATTTCCGCTTGCGCCTCGATGCCGTCGGCACCAGCCGCGAACGCCACAGATTGCCCGTCGCCGCGCCACTCGATTTCTGTACCCTTGCCGTGGTTGAGCAGGTCAAAGAACGGGAGAAGAACGCCCGGTGCGCCCGCCGACGGTGCCTCGGCGTCCAGAAGTCGCGGCGGGAAGCGACGAGACAGGTAGCAGCCCCGCGCCCAGCGCATCTCCTCGAGCGGAACCTCGTATGCGGGGCCCAGCAACGCATGTATCCGCTCGTGCTCCGCTGCAAGAACCTCGTTGGCGTCAGCTGCGGCCGCGCCGACGTCCGTGCCGGCGAGCGAAGCGAGCTCTTCGGCCGTCCACGACGCCACGTCGGGAGCGTCCCTCGGCAGCGCCGCGAGGTAAGGGTGCGACGCGTGCGACTCGTCACGCCGCCCCAAGGCCATATCGAGCCAGAGCACGTACTCTGGGCTCGGCGGCGAGGATAGCGCGTTGCACGCTCGACCTACGGCGCTTGCTGCGGACCGGCCCACGCTCATCACGCACGTCGCTGGTATGGAAGCTATCGCTTCACCAGGCGCGATGCCCGCGTCGCCCGACGCCACTCCGACGCCCCCGTCCGGCGTCGCCTGCACTTTGATAGCGTCGAGGCCCGTGGCGCCGGCGGCGATAAGCCAGTCGAGCATGCGTGCGACAACGTCGAGGCGCGGCTCTCGCTTTGCGCGCTTCGCTTCCGGAACGTCCATGTCTTACGGCTCTAAAACTTTCACATTCGACGGGTCGACAGGCTGAAGCTCCGCATCAGCATCGGCGTTATTATTGGAGGCTCGTCGGTTGTGGCAGAAGTACGGGCACCAGTGGCAGGGACCGGTTGGGTTGATCAGCATCATGAACACGAGGACGCAGAGGATGACGATGAGGATGACGAGCCAGCCCGGCATGTTGCAGGTGCGCTCCAAGGGCAGCCCTTTTGTCGTGACAAGCGCAGCCCTTTGTCGTGGCAAGCCAGATTCGCCCGCACGCGCGATCAAATCTGCTCGCTGGCTAGTGTCTTACAGCCGCTAGCTAAACGCGCGGGATTTCTAAGCGCGGGAGCCCTTGAAGCCGGGCTCCTCCGGGCTCACGCACGTCCAAACCCGCACGCAACTCAAACACACTTACACTCAATAATACACGTCCAGCGCCGGCCGGAGCGCCTCGGGCGCGGGCACGAAGCGATACAGGCTCCAGAGCGGCGCCGCGAGCAGCGCGAGCGCGACCTGGAGGTACGTGCCCGGCGACGCGTCGACCTCGCCGTGCCGATCAAATTCATCTGAGGCGACAACTGGGGATGCGCCCGGCCCGCGGAACCGGAACTGCGCCGGCGCCATCGTCGACGCGACGACGCGGAGCCACCGCCGCGGCGACCTAAGAAACACCGCCCTCAAGTCCGGCTCGCAGCCGACGTGGTGCCTCGCCAGGTAGTTGGCGAAGACCATCGTGACCTCGGTCGGGAACTTGGCGAGCCCCCGCTCGTGGTGGCTCCGGATCCAGGCCTCCATGGCGCTTTTTGAGGGAAGGCGCCGCTCGCCTGTAAATACGAGCGCCGCCCAGCGCGCCTGCATCTCGGCGCCAGCGGGGATCGAGCCGATGCCGCCTCGCACGGAACCCACAAAGGCCACGTTCTCCAACTCGGGGTGGAACGTGAACAAGTAGCGCTCGTGGACCGCGTGGGTCTTGAACGCGTCCGGGAGAAAATTGTAACACGGTTCGAAGCCCGTCGCAACCACAACAGAGTCGCAAGGCACTTCATGTTGACCGATCCTCACGCCATTTTCCATAAAACCTCGCAAATCCTGGGGCCAGACGCGGCAATTGTCGCACGCTGCATGAGAGGCTGCCTTCGTGACCTGGATGCGCTTGCCCATGCTCAGCGCGGCCAGAGGCGACCTCACGAGAGGGTGGAAGAACAGGGACTTCAAATGGAGCTCGAGGAATTTCAGGGAGAAGGTGTCGGCGCCCGGCGGGTCGATACCGGTCAAGTACCCCAGCAGCCACGTCGTTGTGAGCGGCAGCGCGAAGACGACGAGCCGCACGAGACGCGGCAGCATGAACAGGAGCCGCATTTCCAGGTAGTCCGGCGGGAAGAAGGGCGCGTGGCGGGCCAGCCAGAACGTCGGCGACCGCATGACCACGTGGACGACGCGCGCCGTCCGGGACACGTCCGCGGCGACGTCCGAGGCCGTCTCGCCCGCGCCGACGACGACGACCCGCTCGTTTTCGAATGATTGGTTGCCCTCATAGTGTGTGACGACGCGGCCCTTGAAAGTATGCAGTCCCGGCGCGTCGAAAGGCTTTTTCGCGTGCGCCAGGCCCGTCGCGACCACTACATGCGTAAACGTCTCACGTGTTGTCAATTGGGCAACATCCCGCGGGCCCTCGAGCCAGCCGACCTCGTACCCATCTCCAGCTTTCCGCACGGTCACGACCTCGGCATCGCAGATCACACACTCCAACACCCCAAAGCGCTCCGCGTACGCGCGCAAATAACAGCGGTACTCGTCTCGCGAAAAGTGGCGCGGGTACGCACCCCTATCACTACGTACCGTCTCCACGAAGGCCGGCAAACTGAAGTCCGAGAACGACGTGTTGAGTAGTGACGACGTCGACCGCGTGCCACCCCAGGCCTCGCGCCAGACGCCGCCCAGCTCCGGACCCTTCTCGAGCAGCGTCACGGCGCAGCCTCTCTGTAGAAGCTCCTTCGCGGCGACGACGCCCGCCATGCCACCGCCAATAACGCAGACCGTCGGTTTTGTATTTATTTCGTCGGGCAGGTCCGTGGAGTCGCCTCCATCGTTAATCGGTGGCCGGCGCGGCACTTGGATGGTCTTGGCTTCGTGGCGCTCTACGTCCGCCGGGCCGCGCGCGACGTTCGCCACCAGGGCGATGACGTAGAGCGTTGTGGCGGTCGCGCGCCAGGGCCACTTTAGATAGTAGTCGCAGACGAATGAAACGGCGAGCAGCGGCGCCGCCGCCGCGACGCATTGCAGCAGCAGCAGCCCGCCGATGGGCAGCACGATCACCGGCAGCGTCGGGGCCAGCGCGAGGGCCGCCGCCGCGCGCTGGGGCCATTTTGCTTGCGGCAGCGCCTCGCCCGCCGCCGCGAGGCAGCCCGCGCCGCAGATGATCATGGTTGTGTATGTGATGGTATGGCCGCCCCAGGCTATGGCTGTGTGCCAAGCTGCCCATGTGCATATGAGGTAGAGGACCGCGACCGCTGCCACATGGATGCGCCAGCGATGCGGTTCGGATGGTGTTGGGTCGTCTTCTTGCATAATGATGCGAGTGCCGGCGCGCGGCGGCAGCCCTGCCAGCAGAGCAAAATTATGGCCCAAAAATGGCTCCAGCCCTTGGCAGCCCTGATACCAACCGACGGACGAGTAAGAAAGCTGCAAAACCAAGGGCAAACACTTCGCAAAAAACTCAACTCGTTCGGGTTCATAGAAACCACAACTTGATGATGATCTCAGAGGCCATCGGAGCTGCCTGCCGCCCGCCCCCTCAGAGGCTGCCCACGCCCGCGCCGGGCGCGTCCGAGGCCATTTCAGAGACGCTCTTAAAGCGCCACGCCCGCGCGCGGCCATGGCAGCGCGCTACGACTCCCTGGCGGACAGCCCGGACAGTGACGACGACGAGGCGACGCCGCTCCGGCGGCAGCGGCAAAAGAACGACTCGGGGTGGTGGGTGCGCGGCGCTCTGCTGTTAGGGTTGGCGGTGCTCGCTTCGTTGGTCCTGGCGTCGCAGCCGGCCGACGAGACGCGCCGCCAACGGCGCGATGAAGCGAAGCGACGCAGCAGCCTTAGCGCGCCAAAAAAGCACGCCTACTGCGTCGCGCACGGCGCCTACGGCAACTACACGCGCGTCGCGCGCGTCGCGAGCCGCTCGAAGCGGGCCTACGCGCGGTCGCGGGGTTATGGGTTTGTGGAGCTCCTCGCCGAGAGTCGGGATGACTTTCTCGAAACGCACTGCCCGGAGCTGCGGGGCGAGGCGGAGCGGGCGTTTTCGAAGACGACGCCGGTCAAGGCGTGTGGCGTCTGGGCCGCGCTGCGCGACAGCTGCGAGGCCGTGCTCTGGACGGACGCCGATTCGATCGTCGTGGACGGGCGTCTGGGCGTGGACGAGCTCCTCGGGGACCGCGAGGCGGCTTTCTTCCTGGAAACGACGGGCGTCTCGGGCGACTGCGGCACCGCGGACGAGTTCGCGGCGCACGTCGACGCCGGGGCGTTCGTGCTGAAGAGTGGATCATGGGCAGAGGTCCTGCTGAGGCAGCAGCTGGCGCTGAGCATTTTCGACAACGAGTTCCTCGAGCACTCGCCCTGCTCGACGCGGGGCCTGGACCCGTTGAACCCGAACTGGGACCAGTGCCACTACGCGGGCAAGACGGAGCAGTGCACGCTCGGGTGTTTGTATAGGACGCAGCCGCAGCTCCTCGAACGAACGAGGTGCGTCTACGCGTCTCTCTCATCATCGCCCCTCGGCGGCGTCCTGCTCGAGCCGGACTACCAGGTCGCGGCCTACGGCGTCAACGCGTCGTCCGTCGCCGAGTTCCTGGGGGACGTGTTCCCGGCGATCGCGCCGCGCGCGGACGGCCTGCTCGTCTTCAACTGCATGGGCGGCACGGCGGCAGAGAAGGTGCTTTGTGTCGAGTGGGCGACGGCGTTTTACGGCGGTGGGGGTGATAAGTGAGAAACGCTTGTTTTTACGGTGCCAGGACTAGTGGGCGGAGTCCCTGGTGTGGAGACCCCGCGCGACGCCGTTCGAATCAAATTCTCTAGTGTGTTTACGCTATCGATGACGACAGCGGCGCCGGGGCACTTTTTTTGTCCGAGCACGTCGTCCGATCTCACCGGTAGCCTTAAAAAGCTCAGGACAGCGCGACATCAGCCGTCTTACCGTGCTGCACCACCCGCCGAGTCTAACAGTTCTCTCGGCGAATTGGAAGCGAGCAAATTTCCCAACCAATTTTTTGAAACAAGCATATTTGAGGAGTAGCAACCTCCTCAGGGCCTGCCAACGCCGAGGAACAACCACCATTCTACGTATAGGGGGGTAGGGACCTCGAGAAACAACGCCATGCTCCGCCTCGCCGCCACAAGAGCAGCACCGGTCATCGCCACCGGCGCCGTCGGCGCCTGGGCCGCCGTCACGACCTCGAACGACGACTGGGACGAGTACTTCCCGCCGGCGCCGGCGTCGACGGACCGCGAGCGCATCGTCATCCTCGGTTCGGGATGGGCCGGTCTCAACGCGATGAAGAAGTGCGGCGGCGAAGGTAAAGACATCACCATCGTATCACCGCGCCCGCACTTCCTCTACACGCCGCTGCTAGCCGGCAGCGCGGTGGGCACGACGACCCTCAGAAGCGTGTGCGAGCCTATTAGAGCGGTCATCGAGAACTCGTGGACGACCGACGCGAAATTTATCAGAGCCGACGCGCGGGCCATCGACGCGGCGAAGAAGACGGTGAGCTTAAAGACAGGTGATGGGGATAAAAACCTGGAGCTGCCCTACGACAAGCTCGTCATCGCCGTAGGAGCCCAACCCAACACCTTCGGAATTCCCGGGGTGCAAGAGAACGCCTTGTTCCTCAAAGAGGCCGAAGACTCGGCGAAGCTCCATGCGCGCCTCCTCAGCAACTTAGAGAGAGCGTCTGCGGCTCTCGCATGCGGCGAATGCAACCAGGTCGTGGACGCGCTGCTGACCGTGGTCGTCGTCGGCGGCGGCCCCACGGGCGTGGAGTTGTGTGCCGAATTAGCTGATTTCAGGAAAGACGACATAGCGAGGAGATATGGTGATGAAATTGCGGACCGCTTCCGCATCGTCCTCGCGGAGGCGATGCCGCGGGTCTTGGGACCCTTCGACCCGCAGCTGGCGGATCTAGCGAGAACGCACCTGGAAACGCGCGGCGTCGAGGTGCGGGAAAAGTGCGCGGTGACGGGGGTCACTGCTGACGCGGTGACGTACCAGCCGTCGCTCCCGCGGTCAGCCACGGCCGAACAGAGGCTGCAAGCGGCGGCGGAAGCCAAGACCGAAAAAGTTGGTGCCTTGGTCTGGGCGGCGGGCATCGGTGCCAGGCCCGTCGTGAAGAAGCTCGCCCAGCAGTTGGGACAGGGCGAGAACGCGCGCGGGCTCAAGGTCGACGACCGCTTACAAGTCCTCGGCGCCGACGGCGTCTTCGCGATCGGGGACTGTGCCTTGTCTGGCAACGCCCCGACGGCCCAGGTCGCCGCCCAGCAGGGCAAGTATGTTGGAAGGGCCATCCGCGACCGCTCGGATAAACCATTCGAGTACAAGCACGCCGGAAGCTTATGCTGCCTCGGCTTCGGCAACGCGATTGCTCAACTCCAGCCCCAACACCAGGCGTGGAGATCATTACACTCGGCGGCGAACACGAAAGTCGTGGGAGAAGACCAGAGGGCCGTGACGGGCGCGCCGGCGTTCGCCTTATGGCGCGGCATGTACTTCACGCAGCTCCTCTCGCCGTCGACGCGCTGGAGCGTTTCCGCGGACTGGATCCGCACCTCGCTCAAAGGCCGCGACGTGAACGAGCCCGTGCTGAAGCGCACGATGACGCCCGCGGAGTCGGAGTAGGCGCCGCCCCGAATTGTTTTATACTAAGATGTCAAGTAGCTACTCAAGTTACGCCGCCGTCCCGCAGCTCCGTAATCGCCTCGTGGAGCTTCCGCCGCGGCCCAAGCGCCAACCCGGGGATCGCCCGGAGGTCGTCCAGATTTAACATGCGCAGCGTCTCGATGGAACCGATATCCTGCGCCCGCAGCAGCTCGAGGACGTGCTCGCCGACGCAGACGTCGTTCAAGATGAAGTCCGAGAAGTCCTCGGGCGACGGCGCGGCCGCGGCGCCGCCGGGCGACGGCGGCGGCGTGAACGCGAACAACTCCGTCGCGTGCGCAACCACAAAGGCCTCGAAGCCGCCGTGCTGCTTCTTGACCTTCTTCATGTCCTGGGGGTTCGCGTTGCCGAACTCCGAGCCGAGCCGCGACACGAACTCGAAGCGCGACGACATCGCGCGGTAGTCCTCGGGCCGCGACGCGATGATGCGCTGGCACGCGCGCACAGCTCTAGCTTCGTCCTTGGCAGCGACGTCCATCGTGATCGGGGGCGGCTTCTTTTTGCCGTTCTTTTTGCCGTTGGTCTTGGGTGAGGACGTGGTCCTTTTGAGCGGCGGCGGCGGCGGCGGCGCGTCGCCGGCGCTCGGTTTCTTCTTGCGCGGTTTTGGTTTCTTCGCCTTTTGCGGGTCGTCGCCGTTCATGACGTCGATGACGATCGTGGTGTCGTCGTCCTTGCTGCCTTTCTTGGGTCGCGGCGGCATGTTGTTCTGTGATCTATCGTGCGGCGCGGCGCCGTTTTGGCAGCCCTAAGCGTCTCTGCTGGAGGTTTTGGAGCCGCTGCGTTTGCTGGTGACAGAAGCGTTGGCTCTGCAGCGATCGCAGCGATCGCGCAGTGCAGAAGAGATGCTCTGTGGCCGCAGCAGCGAGAGCGACGATGAGCGCGCGCGCGAGGGGTTTGGCAGCCTTTGGAGCAGAGAGCAAAACCGAGAAACGACGGCTGCGCGACGCGAGCGGAGGGATGGCTCACCCCACGTCTCGCAGGTCACGAATGGGGGGGCTTGGAGGCGAAAAGCGGCAAGAGGCTAGTGGGCGTTTCAGGTCCATGTAACGCTGCGCGACTGCGGGCCGTGCAAGCCGGGGAAAGGCCCCTGGAGCGAGCCGCGGCACGAAGCAAAGACCGCCCGTGCCACTACTGCACGAAAAATTGCTCACGCAGCGGCGCCGAGGCTGCCCTTAGCGAGGAGGCTGCCTGTAGCAGAAGCTGCCCCACGGCGAGCAAGCGCGTGTGTAGGCCCCGTTCTCCAGGGCTTCCGCGACTGCGACATTCGCCCCAACGCACGCGCGCGCCCGCTCCAGTAAAGCAAGATGCCCTCCCGGCGCGGCGGCCGGCGGCGCGGTATCGGCGGCGGCGACAAGAGCGGCGACATGAACATGACCGACGTCGCGATTGGCGCCCGGAAAGTGGAGAGGGCCGACGCGCAAAGAGGTTCGAAGGAGAAGGAGCCCAGGGACTACGTCCAGGACCTGAATTTGATTCTCTTGGCCCTCGACTGCATCGCTTTGGTTTTATGTGTATTGTCCATCGAGAACGGCTGGACGGGCAACAGCTGGGACCCGAACGTCCTCACGGAATTGAGTAAGTGGGGCATCACGATCGTGAGTATCGCGTCCGCGGTGCTGATCCTCATAAGATACACGTACCAGCTAGAGTGCATGATCGAGGAGCCTCCATCTCTACCTCAGCTGATACTAGAAGCGCTGGTCCACTTCCTGCACGTGCCGCCGCGCTCCCTCTTCGGGAATCCCGCGCCCAACGACTGGATGTTCCGCGTCGGGTATCAATACGACCCGCGGCACGGACGGTACCCTTTAGATAATCTGAACGCGCTGCTGGTGATTCGGATGTATATTATGCTAAGGGTCATCTGCGAGCAGTCGTATTATGATGATGAAAATGTCATGGCAGTAGGGGCTTTAAATCACGTCCGCATCGACCTGCCCTTCGTCATCAAGTGCATCATTCGACGGTCGCCGGTACGTTCTTTAGGAATATCTTTGTTATGCACGCAGATCTGGGGCTCGTATAACATGCGGCTCTGGGAGCGGCGGTACTCCCATCATTTGGATGATGACTTTACGATTGCGGGGTCGGAGGCGGACTGGTCGAACGCCTTTTGGCTGGTCTTTGTGACCATGACTTCTGTTGGTTATGGTGATTACTATCCCAACACGCATCTCGGGCGGGTCACCGCGGCCGTCTGCGTGTTGCTGTTCACGTTGTTCATTTCGCTGTTCATCGGCGTCGTTGCCGACGAGATGCAACTCGGAAGCGCGCAGGAGAAGGTCTACGAGTACGCCGACGCGCACGCGAACCACCAACGAGTGCGGCAGATCGCGGCGGAGGTCCTGACCCAGTTCTTAAGGGCAAAGGCGACTCCAGATTTGAAAAAGAAGCCCTGGCTGAAGCCGCAGTGGGTCCACGACATGTACGTCAAGCACCGCCTCGCGCATCGACGGAAGGTGGCGCCGTCGCATGGGTCGCCGACGACTGGAGGTCGACCACGGAAACAGATGCAAGAAAAGAGCATGTCGACGATGCGGATCGGGGGCGACGCGAAGATCGACCGCGACGAATTGAGCGGCGTCTCCGACTACCTCCTCGACACGTTCAAGGTCAAGCTCGACCTGCACAAGCGGGCTGTGGCGAGAGGACTCCCAACCCAATACGAGACCCAGAACAACGCGATGTACGACTGGATGAAGAAGTCGCAGGAGCGCGAGGCGGCCCTCGTCCAGATGGTCGAGGGCATCTGCGACAAGCTGGGCACGCCGAAGCCCGCGCCGTCGCCTTCGAAGAAGCCGCCGGGGGGCGGGTAAGGGCGGATTTATTTAGTGGTTCCCACTGCGACGGTGCTAGGACTCCGTCGCGTCGCCGATTCGTCGGCGGACGCGGGCCGCGTCTTCCATCACAGCACACTTCTGTCTCAGCCGAACCGGCTCGGAAAGCCCCTTGAGCAGTGGTCAGGTGAAAACGTGCTGTCTGTTACGGTGCTAGGACTAGTGTGCTAGGACCGGTGGTTTTTGCTGGCTAGTGTGTTTCAATCCGCTAGCCTCACTTTTTTTTGCTTTTGGGTTGGGTGGCGCATACGACGCGGATATACGTTGCCACTAGCACTAGATAAGGCTGCGTTAACCCTCCGGCCGTTCTGCTTGCAGGAGAACCTTTTGAGGTGAGGCTGCAACCAGTATAGACACAGCATCCAACACTGCATTTGAGCCACACTGCATTGAGCCGCTGCCGCCGCAGCTTTGACCAGCTGATATTGCAAAAGAATAGCAACACTGCACGGCATCACAAGCGCGGGCAAGATCATGCAACGCACGCGCAGCTCGCGCGCCGGCGGCGACGAGGAGGACCCGGGCAGCGACGACTACGACCGCAAGCGGAAGGGCGGCGCCGGCCGCAAGGCCGTCGGGCTCTGCTGCGTCGTGCTGGCCTGCTGGGTGCTCTGCGTGGTCGCCGCGGGCCTGGATGCGGCCGCGCGGCTGCCGCCCCCAAAACCGCCCGTTAGTCCAGCGGAGGCGGCGGCCGCCGTCGAGCACCTCCGGAAGCGGGCCTACGGCCCCTCGGGCGGTTTGGATCATGACGCCTGGCGCCGCGGGAGCGGCAAGGCGGCGTTTGTAAAGCCGCAACCCGTCGCGCCGGCCCCTGAGCCGCCCAAACCGGTCTTCAAGCGGAAGAAGAAGACGCGCAAGGCGGAGAACATGCCGCCCTTCGACGCGCCGCGCCTCGACCCGTTCCTGCACAAACGTAAAATCAAAGGCCCCCTGGACATTGCGCAGTGCCAGGCGCATGAGAAAGCGGTGCCCTTCCACCAGCGGGCGTTGCAGAAGATTGACATCAAGAAGACGGCGGATGCCCCGTCACTACTCTGCATCATTTACACTTATAAAGCACATCACACGAAGAACGCGCGCACAGCCGCCGAAACGTGGCTGCCCCGCTGCGACGGCGCCGTCATCCTCAGTGATCAATCTGATCAGAACGAGGGTATTGTTGGAGTGCCCCATGAAGGTAAAGAGGAGTACAACAACATCTGGCAGAAGCAGCGGAGCAACTGGCGGTATATTTACGAGTACTATCGGGACGATTTTGATTATTTTCATATCGGCGGCGACGACACGTTCGTGATCGCGGACAACCTGAGGAGTTTTTTGGCAAGGCCCGAAATTCGAGAACAGAACGACGCCGGCAAGCCCCTGTACCTCGGAAGACGCATGAAGGTCGGCGGCAACGCGAACCATTTATTCAACACGGGCGGCGCGGGCTATGTCTTCAACCGCGCTGCTTTAGAACTCTTCTACGACTCGCTGGACGAGCCCTTCTGCGCGCCGCACCGCCACGGTTTTTATGAAGACGTGCTCGTCGCCGACTGCTTCAAGAACGGTCCCTCCCACCTAGTCCCGGTCGACACGCGCGACGCGTCCGGCGCGGAGCGCTTCCACATGCTCAACCCGGGCCAGCACCTCGCCTACCGCCGGGCGCCCAAGGACTGGGTCACGACGTATAGTTTCGACCTGCTCGAGGGCCTCGACTACTTCTCGCCCGAGTCGACGGTCTTCCACTACTGCGAGCCGTCCCTCGTCGAGCACATGGACGCGCTATTGCATAGATGTAGGTAACATTGTGTTTCTTAGGTGGGATGCCACTTCTTCTTCTGGTATCCGGCGTAGCGCTTCTTCCGCAGCGCAGCTTTCCGGGCTTTCTTCTTCAGGAGCTCGCGGCGCTTTCCCGGCTTCTTTGGCGGAGCCGCCGCCGGGGCCGCCGGCGCAACAACCGGCGCGGACCGGTCGCCCGTCGCGGCGGACAGCGTCTTCACGGCCGCGTAGAGGGCCGCGCGCCTTGATGATGGCGTCGCCTCCGCCGCCGCCGCGCCGTGGACGTCGGCCTGCACGAGGCGCGCCAGCGGCCGCATCGCCTCGACGTCGGCGAGCGGCGCCGCGAGGCGGTCCAGCACGCGCGTCGCCACGGGCGCCGAGCCGTGCACCAGTGCATTTAACAGCGGCCGGCAGAAGCGATGTGCTGCAGATGGGGGAACCTCGAACTCGACGAGGGCCTCGAGGAGCACGTCGCCGTAGTGTAGGCGCGGCCCGTCCGGGCACTTCGGCGCACTGAACCAGCCCGCGTCGATCGCCGCCGCGAACGCGTCGACGCTCGCCGGCGCCCAGTCCTTGGCGCGGCACCACGCGAGGCTCTCTCTTACAAAGTGCCTCGCCAAGAGGTAGTACTTGTCGAGGCGGTACTTGTCGAGGCGCGCCCACTCGGCCGCGAGCGTACTACAAAAGCAGAGCGTCCACCGTCGTACTGCATCGTCCTCCCCGAAGCGGTGGACGGTCTTCGCGACGGACCGGGCCAACTCGTCGTGGACCTTCGGCAGGTCGGCCAGCCACATGGCGAAAAAAATGCTCCGCCACAGCTTCTTCATCGCGAGGTCGTCCAGGTCGTCTCTTAGAAAGTCCGACAAAGCCTGCATGGCCTGCCGCCGCGTCCGCGGGTCGGCGCTGTCGGCGAGGCGCTGCTGCAGCGTCGGCATCGTGCACAACGTCAGGCGCAGTTATTTTTAGACCGCTGCGCTTCACAACAGCGCGGCCGCACTGGTTTGCAGCAATGCCAGCGTCCACACCAAGCCGCGAGCAGCGATGCCGCTGTATTCCTGCTTGCACTTTGGCCGTCGCCCGGAGCTAAGCGTCAGTAAGACACTAGTAAGCCATCAACCTAAGCTCTTTTGAGACTCAAGGCCATATACGTGCAGAGAGTGCAACGGGCACACACTCCCTGGGTTGGTAGAAGAGCGCCCGAGGCAGCATTAGCGTTTTCGGCTCGTTTTTCCGGGCAGCAAACAAGAGAGCACCCAAGCAGCTCTGAGAGCAAGTGCAATCTGCGAGAGCCTGCGGAGAGCAACAGCTATTTTAGGCAGCAGCGATGCGCGCTCTCATCCTGCTTGCAATGCTAACTGGCATCGATGCGCTGAGCACCGGCACAGCACCAGTTCGGCTGCACGTCGAGTTTTGCCAGCAATGAAAATATAACCTCAAGGTCGACCGCCTTGAGGACATGCTGCGAGACAGATTTGACGGCGCTGTGATTGTCGACCCAGAACACGGGAGAAACGACCCGGAACATCTCGCGCGGCTCTCGCCGACCGGCGAGTGGCGCGTCGGCGCGTTCGAGATCACGCGCCTCGACGACGACGCGGTGCTCTACTCGAAGCTCGAGACGAAAAAGCATCTCGTCGGCACGCGGATAAAGGTGATGGGTCAGGTCATCCACGACGACGGACCGTTCAACGAGTGGGTCGAGAAGTGGTTCTAGGCACGTGGGAGAAACGATGACGGTTCGCGCGGCAGCGATGCGCCGCCCGTGCGAACCCGAGAGACCTCTCGCTGTGTAAATTCTATATTGTTAGCCAGGCGGTGGGACGCGAGCGAGGCGGGCGGCGAGGCGCTCGGCGGGCGCAGGTGCAGTTGTTGTCTCCTCTGCTACCCCTCCGGTGGTGGAGGAACCACCCGGCGGCACCGGAACAATCCCGCTCGGGTTCAGCGGAAAGAGCGATGTGTAGTAAGACTGCGCCGCCGCGCGGGCGTCGACGGTCTCCGCTACTCCTGCCATTGCACGCATCCGCTGCGCCCACGCAGCGACGGCCGGGAAGTCCTGCCTGATCGACGTCGCCGTGCGCAGGAAGAGCGGCGCGTAGCACGCGTCGAACCTTTCTACCGTAGGTAGCAGCCGAATGTCTGATTCGGTGACACGCCCCCCCGCGACGTAGTCCGACGCCGCCAGGACGCCGTCGAGGCGCTTTAACTCGTCGAAGACGTCGCGCACCGCGGCCTCGTAGGGTCCTTGTTTCGTCGCGAAGCCGGCGCGGTAGACGCCGTTGTTGACGCGCTCGTAGATGGCGTCGTTCAGCGCGTCGATGTCGGCCGCGAGCGCCGCCGGTCGTAAATCCGCGTCGTTCGCGCGCGAGCCCTTGTACTCGATGAGGGCCCGCACGATGTCGCCGCTCTCGTTGCTCACGAAGGTCCCGTCGCTCGCCACCAACAACGGCGCCGTGCACCTTCCTTCTAACCCGAGCTCGTCGTAGACGCCCTTCAAATCCTGGGCGGCCCAGATCGGGTCCGGCGCCGCGTCGGTAAAACTCCAGCCGCCCCGCCTCGCTTTGGTGGGGTCGTCGTCCATGACAACGACCTTGACCATGGCCTGGCACTCGCGCAGCGCCCGCACAATCGTCGTCCGGTGGCACCACGGGCACGCGTTGCCGACGTAGAGGACGTAGTCGCGATCTTCGAGTTTAGGCGCATTCACCGATCCCTTCTGAGGCGCCGGCCGCACGTAGGCGCCCTCGGGAGATTGGGGCGCGAGCTCGGCCATCATGATGCCCCACGCCGTGCGCCAGCCGAACTTCGCGACGCTGACCAACGCCTTCTGCGAGGGCAGCCATTCGAGTAGGCGGAGACCGCCCGAGGACCTTTGCTCGGCATGCAGTACGACTCGCTTGGCGCGCGGCGACGGCGTCTGGAACGCATTGGCAGCGTACAGGAGGCAGCAGAATATGCGATTCATCATCTTTTGCGTATGCAGCTCGCGCGTGTTGCTAGGTTGTGAGAGCAGGTTTGTGAGAGCAGAGCAGATTGCGAAGCTGTCAGCGTCTAGAGCGAGGAGTCCGAGCTCGGGCTGCCACGAGATCGTATTAATCCCTCGCAGTGCGGCGTGCAGTCAAACTAGCCTCAATTAGTTCTACAGCTCCTACAGCTCAGAAAAAAAAAAGCTGGCTAGTATGTTACAGGACGCTAGCACGTCTCCGCGCCTCTTGCGCCAAGCCCTTGTGCGAGCGCAGAATCGACGTCCAAACGATTGCATAGCGCGGTTCTACCTCAGAAGTGATCGCAGCAGCGGCGGGGCAGCCTTTTTTTGCGAATCGGTGATGTACGCTGCCCTGCTCTCCGGATGCGTGTTTGCGGCAGCTCTGGCGCCCGCCGTACCGCTCAGTTCCACCCGTATGTCCGCCTCGCGCATCATGCGGCAGCCGGGGCTGAGCTGGACGGGATTGTACGACGAGCGAGGAAGGCCCGTGACGATGGACGAGCTCCGCCGCCATAAATTCCCTCCCGACGCCGACAAGTATGGTAATTGTCCTTGGCGGGACGCTACCGAATCTCCTACCCATCCAATTTGGACCGGACGGCGGTTCTATGGGGCCGATGGGCCGGAACCGCTCAAAAATCCGTGGAACCACATGATGAGCCTTTTCTCGGGCTACCGGGAAGGCTCCCTGGGCTCTCAGAGGGAAGGCCTACCATATTATCTGTACCACTACACGTCGTCCGATGCGGCGGCACAGATCTTCGAATCCGGGAAGCTGCTGCCGAGCATCAAAGAGAACGGCGACGCTATGGCGGGCGACGGCGTTTATTTCACGTCGATTCCTCCGTGGGCGGAGCCCGACGTTCTTCTCGCGAATAATTTCGACGGCGTCAGTCGCCGCCCAAAATATAGCCGCGCTGAAGCCTACATAAGAATCGAGGCGTGGATGCTCAGCCCAGATGTTCAAGTCATGAGGGCCAACGTTCAGCAAAATAGCAAGGGGCCCATGAAAGATAAAGTGCGCGACGTGTACCTTGTGCCCGGTAAGGAGGCGCTTGACCTGTCGAAGTCACAATACACGCTGCTCATAACCGAGCCTGAGGCTTGGGCTAAGAGCAACGCGCGAAAAGAATTGATCCGGATGGAGACGGATATGGAACGCAAGAGTGAGGAAATGCTGGCGATAAATCGCGAATCACGCAAAGCCATGTATGACGAGTTGCGCGAGGAGGACCCTTGGGTGGACTTCTCAGAGGAGTACGCGAGCCTCGCGGAAGAAGAACGCGAGGCCCAACTCAGACTCCAATACCCGGAGGAAGAGCGCTGCCTTGATGGCTGTCTGAGAGGCTGGGTGTATCAACAGCAGGGCGGCCACTTTCGCTGGGAAATCAAACAAGCCAAGAAGCAACGCCCTCGATCGCGGCCGCGGGGTCGATCTAAGACTAAGTAGTATTCTGACAAAAAAGGGCGACGTAACTTACCATGGTGGGCGGGGAGGGGATAGCTTGTGTCGATGCGAGCGAGCGAGCGTACCTTCACACCATCTTCGCGACCGGGGCCGCCTCGACGACGGGCCGCGCTTGCGACGGATTGAATTGGGCCATGTATTGCTTCGCCCGCTCTTTCCTCTCCTCCGCCGTGATCATCGCTATCGGATTATAATTTATCCGCTTCTTGCGGTGGCGGCAGTGGCGATACACGACGATGATCAAGACGACGAGGATGAGCGGCGAAAAGAGAATGATGAGCGGCAGGATTTCATACACGAGGATGATCATGGCGCCCATGATCAAGTCATCAAAAACCTTTTTAACACCGGTACTTTCTAAGAGCCACGCCGTCAACTCTGATCTGGCCACACTGAGGGCAACAAGCAAGAGAGAACATGCAATAAGAGCCCTGAGAAGATTTACGCGGCGGGCGGAAGGCATCGACGTTGTCAATGTTGTGTGATACGTCGCGGGGCCACGGAACCGACGGTAGAGCTTAGTGCTCACCAAAGCATAAAAAGTTTTGGGACTCGAGCGGGTTTTATCGCGAGTGCTAGGCTCCTAGAGGAGGGCTAGCCACAGGCGACTGGAAAGGAATAGCACCTTACGCACTCAAAAGGCCACTAGGCGCTCTTCCGGAACGCGAACACCGCCGTGTCCACGAAGGACACCGCGTCGAGCCGCACGACCTCCTTGGACTTGGCGTGCCAGCCGAGTAGTGATTCCGCACGCAGCTTCTCGACGCCGGCGTGCGCATCCAACAAAAGGCCTTTGCCTTTCGCCTGGGCTTTCACGTACTTGACGCGGTGCTGCCAGCGGCCCGTAAATTTCAACTTGAACGTCTCTCTGACGCTGTCCGACGCGAACATCGAGACGTCGTCGTCGAGGACGTCGGCGTTGAAGACCGCGAGGCCGCCCGGCCGCAGCGCCCGCGCCATGGCGTGGAGGAGATCACCTAAGTCGCCTACGTAAGGTACCGCGTCCACGGCCACGACCAAATCCACGCTCCCGGGCGACGCGTTGCGGATGTTCGTCGCGAAGTCGCCGCGCTCCAGATCGTCATACGTGTTGGTAGAGGCGGCGAATTCCAACGACACCGCAGAAGCGTCGACGCAGTGCAATCTATTTGCGACGCCTCGGAGCAACGGCCCCAGCGCGCCAGATCCACACCCGAGCTCGAGCACGTCGAGCCACGGGCTCGATTCCGTCAGGTTGACCTGCAGCGCCGACGCGATGGCCTTGACGTGCGCCTTCGGGAGGCGGTCGTCAAAGAGCAACCCGTGCGCGTGGTCGAACAAGTCGGTCTTCGCGAGCGGGCGGTCGTCGTCCTCATCTGTACTGTTTGGTGCGAGTTGCGCGATCGTTTCCGATGTTGAATCCCACGAATCATCCTCTTCCCGGAGCAGGCGCCTTCTCGCTCGCAGGTCGAACAGCCGCTCCACATAGGCCACAGGTGCTCGATAGCCGAATTCCTTCGTCGCCGCGAGACCCGCGCCTCCCAACGCCGCGAGCGCGTAACCGATGTCTTTTGCGGCCGGCGCCATGGCCGCCGCCGCCCTGTAGGACCCGAGTGCCTCGCCGAAGCGCGCCAACTCCAACCGCGCGCCGCCGAGAGCCGCCAAGGCCGCGGCGTCCCGAGGCCGCCGCGCCACGACTTTCTCTAGCGCCTTCGCCGCGGGCCCCGGCCGCGCCAAATCTCTATAAGCGTCCGCCAATAACGCGTGCGCGGCGGCCAAACCCGGCGCCCTAGCCACGGCCCGTCGTAAATGGGCCGCCGCCGCCTTGACGTGCCTCCGCGTCCCGCCGGCTAAGAGCCGCGCAGCTAACAAAACATGAGCATCCGCCGCGTCGGCAGCACGTGTTGCATCTGGTTTTGTGGCATTGGCGCCCAGCTTCAGCACGCGCGCGTAGGCGGACACGGCCCGCTCGACGGAGCCGCGCTCGACGTGCAATCGCGCCGCCGACGCCAAAGCGGCCGCGCGTTCCCGCGGGTCATCGTATAAAGCCGCTGCTCTTTCGTAGTGCGCCACGGCCTCCCTCAATCTTTTTACCCTTACCAAGGTCTCCGCGAGGAACACGTGGCCGTCCGGCGTCTCCTCGACGGCTACCGCTCGTCTGTAAGCCGCGGCCGCTTCAGAAAAGGCGCCGTCCGAAAACAACTCTTCCGCCCTTAGGACGTAGGCCTCCCGCGTCCGCGACCCGCCGTAGAAGGTCGTCGGCACGCAGGCCAATCCAATGACGAACACCGCGCTCCAGAAGAGCTCGCCCCCGAGCCAGGGCCGCGGCGGCGGCGGCGGCGCCGTCTGCACGCTCTGGCGCCGCTCCTTGCGCGCGCTCTTCTTGAGGTTTCCCTTCGCCATGGCTCCCGTTCACCCTACACCAGTCCACGCGCCAAACGAAGCGCCGCGTGCTGCTGAACAGGTTGAGGACTTCAGTGGCAAGAGGCTCGGCAGCGACTCTCCGCTGTCGAGTGGAGCCAGATAATTCTGCAGAGCTCCCGAAACCAGTCAAGGCACGCCCAGCCACGCCGTGGCGTCACGCCGCGCGTCCGCGAGGAGAGCCGGCGGAATTTGCTAAAGTGTCAAAACGGGTTTATCGTGCGGGCCCAGATACCTATCCAGGCGGATGGAGTACAGAAAACAGAAAACCGAGTACAGGAAACTGGGAACGCACACGAACAAAAAACCAGAGTCTGCACTGGCGCCGCTCCTTGCGCGCGCTCTTCTTGAGGTTTCCCTTCGCCATGGCTCCCGTTCACCCTACACCAGTCCACGCGCCAAACGAAGCGCCGCGTGCTGCTGAACTTCAGTGGCAAGAGGCTCGGCAGCGACTCTCCGCTGTCGAGTGGAGCCAGATAATTCTGCAGAGCTCCCGAAACCAGTCAAGGCACGCCCAGCCACGCCGTGGCGTCACGCCGCGCGTCCGCGAGGAGAGCCGGCGGAATTTGCTAAAGTGTCAAAACGGGTTTATCAAATCCAGCGGATCAGGAAAAGCACACGAACAAAAAACCAGAGACAAACAACAACCTCCTTAGAAGACTAGTCCGAATCAGAGTCGAAGTCCGCCTCGACGTCGCCCTCCCACTCCGCCGTGAACCGCCGCAGGTGCTGGATCTTGGACGATTCCACGGCGAGGCGCTTGTTGATCGCCCCCAGGTCCATAATACCATATTCCCGCTCCTCCTCGTCCTCCTCCTCGCCCAGGGCCCGCCGCGTTCGGCGCATGGCCGCCTTCTCTTCTCTGGACAGCGCCTTCGGCATTTTAGGGGCGGTCGTCACGGAGTCCAAAGCACCCCTTAATTCCTTGGGCCGCACGGTCACGACGGGCTGCCGCGTGCGCTCCTTGAGCTTCTCGCGCTCCTCCTTCTCCCGAGCTTTGGCCTCCTTCTCGGCCGCCTTGCGCTCGGCTCTGGACAACACCTTGGCGGTCGACGCGACGCGCTTGAGTCTGGAGGAAGGCGTCGCGGCCGTCGAGTTGGACCGCGACGACGCCTCGTCCCGCAGAGGGGCAAGCGTGTCGACGCGCGGCGGCGGCGGCTCCTCGGCCTTGCTCTCCTCGACCCCTTGTTCGGCCGGGGCCGGCGCCTCGGGCGCGGGCGCGGGCGCCGGCCGGGAGCCGGGCAGAACTGCCGAAGGCGCCACGTACGACGCGGAGTCGAGGGTCGCCGGCGAGGCCAGGGCCGCAGGCGCCGGCACCGCCTCAGTCGAGGGCGTCGCGAGGCTCGCAACGGCCTCAGATGCACCCTGGGACCCGAGAAGGGTCATCGGACTCGTGAGCGTCGCCGGGCTGAATGCCTCCTGGGAAGAAGAGGGGGGCGCCGGCGCCGGCGCAAAGTCGAGCTCCTGCTCCTCTCGCACCACTGCCCAATCCGCAAACGACCCGAACGAACTCCGCGACGCGCGCGCGGACTGCGACACCGTCGCGAGGCTCTCGATGTCCGAATACTCGGCCGTCGTGTCGTCCCACGACGACACGATCGTCGAGGCCGTCCCGGGTTTCGCGGGCGCCGGCGCGCCTTCAACATCATCGAAGAGCGGCGCGCGTGCCGGCAGCGGCGCGGGCGCGTCCGCGAACAACGGGTCCCAGGTGCCCTCGCGCTTCCGCCGGCGCTCCTTCGCCGCCGCGGCGCGAGCGCGCGACTTGCGTAATCTTTCTTGACGCTGCCGCTGCATGCGCAGCTTTTCCCGCTTTTCCCGCTCGATGCGGTTGGATACTAACGAAGCGTTCGCCTCGGACCGGCTGCTTTGAGCGGTGAGAGCTCTACTATCCTCAGAAATTCGGGACCGCGTCCGCGTCTTTGCTCTCAAATTGCTCCAGTTCACGGGGTAGGGTCTATATTCAAACGTATCGCTTCCATCCAGAGCGGCCCGCGCCGCGGCTTCATTGACCGGGGTTAGTAGTTCTTTGTACGGGACGACCTCGACCTTCTTTTCTGGTAAGATGGGCGGCAGAAAGCTCTGCTCCCTCTCATGATGCTCCCGCGCCTCGGCCTCGGCGTCTTCGCGCTGCAACGCGCCCACCAATTGACCGAGCTGCGCGGCGAGTTCACTCTCGATGCGCTGGTTCCTTTCATCTTCCGTTTCCACCGGAAAGTCGTCGCGCGCCGTCAGGGGTCTTGACAACGGCGACGCGGCGCGCTCCTCCACCGGATCCACGACTTTGAGACGCCGCACGGGCGACGGCGGCGGCGCGCCGCGCGGCGACGGCTTGCCCACTGTCAGCGAGGCGGGCCGGTTTTTAGATGAGCGGAACGCATGGGCCGCGTCCGTGGCCGGCGGCCCCGTGTTCATGCCCCACTTCGGGTCCGGCCGCCAGGGCTCCGGTTCTATGACCGGCGGCAACGGCCGCTTCTCCGCCGCCTGGCGCTCGCAGAGCTCGAGCTCGGCGTAGGCTTCGGCATCTTCCGGGTCCGTCGCGCCGAGCGCCGCCGCCCAGGCGCGGTCGCGCTGGTCCTCCGGTAATTCATTGAGAGCGTCCACGGCATCATTCGATAGAGCGGCTTCCAGGGGCCCCAGGTCGTGCCGGTGCACGCCCAGCACTTCTTGCCTCGCCAAAAATGCAGCCCTTCTTCGTAACGCGTCTCGCGAGGGCGGCCGCGTGCCCTGGAGCACGGCCTCGCGCGCTACAAGAGCGGGCGCGCCCTGCGGGACGGGTCGCTTCGCCAGACCGTTCATCTCCATGACCGACCCGTCGTCGCCTCTTCTTAATCTTTCCTCGTGCGCCTCGCGCGCCGCCCGCGTCCGCGGCGTCTCCATGATGAGATCTTCCACCACGGGTGCCTCTTCTTCAAATGCGGGGACCGGCGCGGCTTCAACGTCGTACTCGTAACCGAGCCCGTCCTCGGACCGGCGCAGATTCACGCCCGGTAGGATGTCCGGCAGCGAATCTATACTGGAAGTAGGCCGCACCGTCCGCGACGATCGAGACGGCGCCCTCGAACCGGCGACGCCGTCCTCCAATACCTCATCCCCATCATGCTCGAGGCCAAATTTCTTTTCTAGTAATAACTGGTCGGCCGCGGCTCTATAGGGCGTGCCCGCCGTCCGCGCGCGCTCCCTCGTATATGCATGATGCTCCGTCGCCAGGGAGGGACTCCCGTTGCGCCACCATAACCGATGCCCGGCCTCGGTCGCCGGCCGTCGAAACGACGCGGCGAGCATCGTCTTGCGCCGCTCCGCCGCCGCAATCAACAATTCATAATAACCGGCGTCCTTGTCGCAGTCGTCGCAGTGCACGTTCGGGCCCTTGTCGTCCTCGTTCTTCGGCTCCGTGGCTAGGTCCTCCGGGGGCCATTGCTCGCCTCGCAATCGCGCGACCTCCTCGAGGAAGGACAGCCTTTCTTTCTCCAGTTGTTCGGTCGTCGGCGGGCGGTTCCCATAGACCTCGGAGATGGGATGCTTGGCGGGGTCGTAGGGCGACGGCGCCTGAGCCTCTTCCACTTGAGCCGTCGCCGGCCTTGAAGACTCCTCTTCGGCAGCCATCTGGACCCGTTCTTCCTCCTCTCGCACCGCAGCCAAATACGCGTGGGTCGCAACGACGGCGTCGGCCGCCCGCGCGCCCTCGACGGCCAGGAACGCGCGCCGCGCGTTCGTCCGCGAGTCCCGTCTTGGTTTCACGTGCATCGTGGGCGCGAAGGGCTCAATCTTCAGGCGCGAGCCGTGGTAGACGACGCCCGGCGTGATGCCCGGAATCACTTCAACTGATTCTACAACGGGCTCCGGTTCGGGTTCCGGCTCCGCTTCAACGACGACGGGCGCCTCGGCCGGCGGCGGCGCCTCCACCACCCTAGGTACGCCCTGGCGGTAGTAGTCGTGGATTTCCGGACTGGTACCAGAGTTCGACAGATGCGACCCCCAGGCGCCCAGTCTCGTCTTCGTCCAGGCATAGGTGACTTCCCACTGCTTGGGTTTTGCCGGGTCGTTGGCCGATTTTGGCAAAGGCGCCCTCTGTTGTGTAAGATCTCTTAATGAGTTCTTGATGAGCGCATGCTCGTCCGGAGGTAAATTGCAGTTGTCCACGGCCTTGGACAAGAACCGGGCAATATTGAGCTTCCGCCGGGCCACGACGAACGACCGCACGAAGAAGCCCCACTGGCTGAAGTCCCGCGCGACCATCTCGTGCTCCTTGTGGCCACCTAAAGCTACCCTATGCAACGCCCGCAACATCATCAAATGAGACATCTTGATGCGTGGGGGAGGCGCCGGCGCCTCGGCCGGCGCGGGCGCTTCCGCCGGTGCCGGCGGCGGCGGCCGCCACTGGAAGGCGTGGACGACCTTCGTTTGGAGTTCGCGCTTCCTTTCGTCCTCTTGGGCGATCTTCTTCTGTCTTTCCAATTCTTCGTCCAAATTCGCGTTCGACCGGTGGCCGGCCTTCCTCAGCCGCTCCTCCCGTAGTTTAGCTTTCTGGTCCTCCAGCCATAAGAATGGATCATAAGCCTTCAGTCGTAGCGTCTCGGCATCAGCTGAAGCCCGGCGCCTCATGGCTCGAATGGGGTCGGCTTCATCAAACCTCTTCATGGAAGCCTGCTCATCATTAATGGACACGGAGTTGCCGATCTGTCGATCCAACACGACCATCTTCTCGCGAGCCGCAACGCGAGCTACTTCTGCTGCTGCTGCGAGATGTGCTTCCGCGTGCTCAGGGTCCTCGGCGGCCTTCGATAAGAATGGAGTGACTTCAGAAGTCTGCCACATGGCCATGGTCGCGTCGTTCACTTGTGAACGGTCCCGTTGCAAGTGCTCTATTAACTTGGGGTGCGGCGGCGCCGGTTTCCCGGCCTCCTTCGCGTCTGCGACGGCCGCCTCGTGCACTTTGTCCAGTAGCTCCCCATCAATGCTACCCAGATTCCCATACGCAAACCGAAAGGCCGTGCGCTCCATGGCCGCGACGGCCACGCGATCATCTTCCAGTGGCTTTTCTTCGTCGGACTCCTCCCTGTATTGGTTATGTCCAATGGTGCCCGCGAGGTTGCGCTTCCTTAAACCTTTATTGATCTTGCGCCAGTACATTCTGAGAGGGCCGTCAATAGGACCCGATTGATCTTCGTCCGACGGCGCCGGCGCCGGTCCCACCGCATCTGACAAGGTGGTAGCTCCGGCCTCCACGCCAAAGGAAGCTCTTGCTTCCGCCTCCTCCCGTTCTCTCTGTGCTCGCGCTATCCTTTCTTCCACAAATAGGAGCTGCAGCGCCTCCTCGTACTTCTGCTCGAGCTCGACCGGTCCCGAATTGGCCTCGGCCGCAGCGCGTAGTCGAGCCCGTTCCGCTTCGAGCGCGTGCTCGACGGCGGCCCGGGCGTCCTCGCGGTCCGCTCTTAATCGTTCGAGTTGGGCGAGCACGTTCTCCTCATCAGAACTTTCCGAGACCGACTCCTCGTCCTCGCCAGACTCGTGGGCATCCTCGAGGCTCGAGAAGGAGCCGCGCTTCAGGCCAGGCGCGTCCGTCACCTCGCCCGTGCGCGCGCCGTGCTTGTGCCACTCTGAACTCCGCGACAGCGCGTCGGGCGACGCCAGCGAGTCGCTCGCGAACGATGGGAGTATGTCATCTTCGCCGTCGACCAGCATGCCCATCTTGATGGCTCGTTCATCCACTGAAGGACGGTCGTGGCTCCGCATCTTCGACTTGACCTCGCGCAACTCCTTCGTGATGACTTGCAGGCGTCTTGCATCTCTCCTATACTCGTCTTCCACTTTGAGCCTTTCCTGGTCGACGCCCTTCCGCCGCTCCTCCAGCGACTTGAGGACTTGGAGTTGGTCTTGCGTCGCTGAACGCAGTTGCTGGCGAAGCGCCTCGTGCCTCGCTTGTAATTCATCGAGCTTAACTTTACAAGAATCGCGGCGTCTCGTCGCGCGACGGACTTCCCGCTCGTGCACTTCCTGGGGCGTGCACGGCTCGTGCGTCGCCACCGTGTCCGCCGAGGCGTCATCTCTAAAATTGATGCGCTTCTTCTTCTTTTTCTTTTTCACTGGGACAACAACAGGAGGAGGCTTGGCAGCACGCCGACCCTTCTTCGAAGGCTCCTCCTTGGGCGGCGACGGCGGCTCTTCTTCCACAGGAGGATTCAGCAACTCATCCAAGGCCACCGACGCTCGCCGGAAAGCCCCCTTCTTCTTCGCGAGCACGGTCGGATAGTATTCGGCAAACATGGTGTTGATATCTGTTCTGCCGAGCGCTTTCAGGTTCGTGGCGACCGCACTCAACGCTTCGTCGAGGGTGTAGGCCGACTCGCCCGCGACGCGTAGTCGCTCTCGTCTCGCGAGCACGTCGCGCTGCGCCCTTCTTCGATGCTGTTCCAGCGTTCGTTTTTCTCCGGCGAGTAACGACCTTAACCGGAACTCGTCGAACCACGGTCTCGGTACAATCGATAGGTCCCGCTCTCTAGACGGGTCGAGCGGGTGCGGCGACAACTCAGAATCACTATCCAATTTCTTCTTCTTCCTTCTCTTAGGTTTCTTGTAGGGCGACCCTCGAACTCTAGGTAACACGATCTCCTCCTCGTCACTCTCACTATCACCGTAGTCGGGCCGGCACTCCTGGACGACCGCTTCCAACTCATAATTGCCGTCCGTGTGGTGGAACATCGTATCGGGGAAGGCCGTACAAGAACTTCTAGGTGCCACGGTGCAGACGGGCACGCCCAGGAACTCGGCGACGGGCGGCTTTTCATGTATGACGATAAAATCGTCTCTTAATGAAGCAGCTAATGCATCAGGATTCCCATTAGTGGTCCACAGTGCGACTTGTTCAGGCAGCTTCCTCGGTTCCTGAGACGGCTTCGTGGGGCTCAATGCCGGATTCAAGGCCTCGCGCGTGGCGAGGGGTTTGGTCTCCCAGGCTTTTTGCTCCTGCGACGCTCGTAACTCATCTCGTGTTTCCATCAAGTTGGCGTACGCCGCGTGCGTATCTAGAACCAGAGCCCTTGTCAGGCGGTCGTCGTCGCGCTGGAATTGCGATCTTAGAGCCATCACGCGTCTCCTCGCTTCTTTTTCGAGCAAGCCCGTCACCGCTGCTAGAGTAGGTGCCCCGCGGAACGTCCCACTCCGTTTCTTCTCGTCCGCGCTCCGCCGCTTCCACTCGCCCAGCCACAAAGCAGCTCTATGGTTCGCCTCGTACGCATCCGTCCCATCTTGTTCTGGAGGCGGCGGCGCCGCGTACCGCAAATCATCTCTACGAGCAGCGACATCTAGAGCAAGTTTTAAATCGCGCCGTCGGTCGCCGGACGCGGTCCGCGGTCTTATCGGTTCCTCCTCCTCCTCCACTTTCACGGAAGCGGCCTTCTGGTTCACCGGCAGGCGCGCGATGCGCGCGGCCTCTTCGGCCTCGAGGAACTTCCGCTTGGCCCGTTGGAACTCGAGCGTGTAGTCGCCGGTCAGGAACGGTGCTTCGGCATCACAAGTAGGCTGCCGCTGCTGCCCCTCGAGCATGCGTCTCGCTTTCAGGACCCGCACGAATCTCTTCAGTAAAGCGGGACAGTCCGCATCTTTCGAAACGTCCATGTTCTGCTTGACCGCGAGCGCTTTCGCCAGGCCTTGCGAGGTCGCTCCGGTCCCGAAGACCCAGGCCCTTTCCAATTGTATTGAGCGCCTTGCCGACGCGGCGCACTCCCTCTCGCCGGGTTGGGCTTCCCCTACTTTGGGTGTTGCTGGTGAGCGGTCGAGTTGCTGCTCCAGGCGGCCCGCTAGTAAACCTAAACCCCGATAGATGCAGCACTTCCAGAGGCACCAGAACGACACACTTCGCTCCAGTTCTTGTATTCTCAATTCAAGATACTGCCGTCGCTCTTTTCGCGTATAAGCCCTGGACTGTAGTCGAGAGCGATGGGCCACGAGTAGTTTCGCGATATGCGGGTTCGTGGCCGCGTCGATGGGGATCTTCTTGTTGTCGTCTAAGGCGCCGGCGTCGGCGCCGCAGTGGAGCAAAGTTGCTACCACATCCACGTATCTGGAAGCTAAATGCGAAGAAGCGAGGTGCAGCGCCGTCCTCCCGAGCTCGTCGCGACTGTCGACAGAAGCGCCGCTTCGTAGAGCGTTTTTCACGGCGTCTAACTCACCTTCATCAGCGGCCGTCCTTAGCTTCTCCGACTGCACGACGTCGCCGTGCTCCGCTAACGCGCGCCGCCGTCGCTCCAGATCCTCGATGAAGAAGTCGTCATCATCAATACCTTCGACGGGGCACTCGTGGCAGTCGTCGATGCCTCCTCCCCCGAAAGATAAAGCCATGGCCCGATCCTCAACTAATAGTTCCGCTTGGCAGTTCTCGACGAAGACCTTGTGACACGTATCCGCGAAGCGGTCCAGGGGTTTTAGAGGATCTAGCGACAAGCGCGAACCATTCGGTAATAAGCAAGGTACCGCAGCCCCTTTGGCCACGCCCTGCCACGCTAACAACACGGTCCGTTGCAATTGCTTGGCCATGCTATGTAAATATAAATATCGTTGGCGCCGCCACCGTACTGTAGCTTTTATTACTCGCCTCCATTCAGTAAAACATTTCACGGTATACCATAAAGGCCCCCTACCAAGCAGTAACAAGCCGGCGCTGTACGCCGACAAATGCCTTCGGCGAGCCACGGCATCCGCATCACTTGCATCGAATTCATATGGTTCTGGTTCTTTATCTTCCTTGCATACTCGTATAGTAGAAGGTACAGTCCTCTCATACTGCGGCGACGGTTGCAAGGTCAATCCGCGAGCGAGCTGAAAAGCATATAAAACCCGAGCGTCGTGGACCTTGCGCACCCACGTTCCAATCCCGTTGGCACAGGCCCACTCGTTTACTTTATCTTTAACTCGCACTTTGGTCTTACGTAATCGCCTTTTCCGAGGGGCCCAGCGCGCCCACGCTGCAAAGTAGACCGCGCCTCGTCTCATAGTACGACCTCTTTGACGACAGTGGGCGTTCCAGGTCCGCAGGATATTGACCACTTGCGCTTCCAGCAACCGCGCGCGAGCCTTGACGACGGCATCCTCCAACCTTTTACGATTAAAAATAACCCAACGCCAGGCTCGATGGTACCTCCGCTTCATCGCTACTTTCCCGACCTTCTCCGCTTTCCTCGCCCTAACTCGTCGACCCGTGAATAATGTAACGTACGCGTCCCACTCCGGCAGCTGCGGCTTGCCAAATCTAGGCGGGTTGTTTTGCGCTCGCACGGCTTTTTTGAACTTCGCGAGACGCGCCCACATGTGGAAGGTCAAATGAACCATCTCGACGACCACGCGCCCGAATTGGCCCATCCTCCTCAAGCATCGCTGTAATACCGTAGAAACTTCGAGTTCCGCCCGCTTCTGGTCCGAGAGATACTTGCGCCAGCCCCGCCAGATCACGCCGAAAATCTTCCGTTGAATACCGACCGTCACCGCCTTGATTGTTGGTGAGGGAGGCGGCGGCATTTCACTGGATTCAAAGAAGAGGTTCACGGCACAGACCGTCAAATTCTCCTTGCCCAGCCGCTGCTTGAACATCGCCCACGTGACAATGGCCTGCTGCTTCTGGTCCTCCGTCTGCAATCTCCAAGCTCTCAAATGCCTTCTCATGTGGCAATGCGCGAAGAACTTGGCCCCTTGCGTCACCGCTCTCCACCCTAGTAAGTGGTGGAGCCTTTTCGCGTTTCGACGAGCCCATCGCTTCGCAAACGCTCTTCGTCGCGGCCGCATTCTGATAAACGCCTGGATCTTGACGCATCGCATACTAAGCTTCCTTTGGTACTTGTACCTCCTCAGGAACGTTTCTACCGATTGAGACTCCTTGCGCGCTTCCGCCTCGTCGTCGATGGGGAAGAGGCCCGTGCCGCTGAGCTCCCGGTGCTGGCGGTCATTGAGAAATGGCTTCTCGACCAGTAGGCCGCGCTTCGTCCTCTTCTGCGTCTTCTTTTTTATGGGCGACGGTTCCCTTGGCTGTAATAATTCGTTCGTCCGCGCTTCGAGCGACGCTAGGAACTGGTCGATGTTCTGCAGGTCCTGGGTCGTCGGCGCGCCCTGCTTGCCGGAGAAGTTCGGGCGTAATTTCTTGGGCCTCATCTGCGCGAACTCGGTACCGGGCGGTATAATACCGGGAGGGGCATGCCTGGTCTTGTCGGCGTGCGTCCACAGGATAATCTCCTTCCGTTCGGGCACGCGGTCGCGGGTCACGCGGCGCGCCATGGTTGCTTGCTTGGTGCTGCCCACTTGCTGGGGCAGCCCTTAAGCACGCCTAGCGCTCGCAGCACGCGTGGTGACTGCTTCGGCCGCTGCCTCGCCCGTCCCGTTGCTGTTGGGGCGACGACAGCTTGCCGGAGACAGGCAGCGCGTCCCGCTCCACACCGGCGCTGAGTTTAGCTGGGGCAAGCCGGGCAGCTAAAAGCGCAATTCCCACGGGCTCTGCGAGTCGTCTTGGTCCTCGGTACCCGTAGCCCATGCCCGAACGAGGAAGATATAAATTGCACGGGTTTTCGTGCTTTTGTGGTGGCCGATTTGGCTTGGCACGCTGCTTCCTGCAGCCGTTTCGACTGTGTCGAGTCGGCATTCATCATTACGTACCAAGTTCAGTAGCAATTTACAGCCGTTTCACCCCTAGCATCTCCCTACTCTCTGAGAGCAGTCTGCATGATGCTGACAGGACTCGTAAGACGACGGCTCGCAGTCGCCGCCGACGCATTACTCGGCAGTGAGGTATTCACAAAGCTGCCGGCAACTAAAACTGTGCTCTGCGTCGTCGCGACGTCGGGACCGCCCGCCGCGCTGGGTCTGGCCGTCACAGATCCTTATTTAGGCCACGCGCGGGCCTTGCCGCCGCTCGCATGGAAGGGCGAGGATGCAATCCGGCAGATCGCGGAGGTCGCCGCTGAACACGACGCCGGTGCGCTGGCATTCGCGCTACCGCTGGCCGAAACCGTGACGACTGACGCTGTGGGCGAGAGGGACGCGTTGATCCGGCTCGTCTCGCACTACGACTCCGGTGCGATGGAGTACTGGTCGGAGGCGAGAGGAGCGCCCTTTCGGGCACCTAAATCGCTGATCGCGGGCCGACACGGCCGCCAGGCGGCGCACAGCGGCCCCGCGCTGCCGCCGCTGCGATGTCTCATCGACGAGCGATTGGATTCAAAGGCGGTGGAAGCGGCGAAGGCGGAGGAGCCGGAGGTCTGGGCGGACACTGCTGGAGAGGGCCCGTCGAACGACGCCGCCGCCCACCTGTCGAGCTTCCTCTACGCGTATTCGGGGGGCTGGCGGAATACGTTCGGATAATTGTTGACTTGTTTACAAACACACTATTCTTCCTTGTTGGAGTCCTCGTCCGGCGGCTTGGCGAGGATCGTGATGTTGAACGGCCCCGTGCCCACGGTCGCGGAGATGACCTGGCGCACGGTCGCGTCGTAGTCGTCGGTGAACTTTTTGGTGAGCTGCCCCGTGCCCGGCACGAGCGACGCCTCCTTGCCGAGGGCCGCTAATACCACACTAGCGAATATGGCAGTAGCAAAGGCGCCTCTGACATACGGATCGGCGCCGGCGTAACCAGCTAATGTCAGGGGCACGCCGATGGCCGACGCCAGGTCCAGCACAATAGCATGCCTCGCGCTGAAGCGTTGGAGTCGCGGTGCGGCGGCATTGGAGCAGATGTTCGACAGTAAAATGAAGACTAGTAAACCACCAAATGGAAAGCCGTGATAAGCTACTGATAATTGTTCCAAGGGAGCCAACACACCTTGTTGGATGTTCTCTTGCGTCGGTGGGGGTAGGATGTCCAGTAAAGGCAAAAGGTAGGCCGAAGCTGATAACGCTCGCGTCGCCGCGTCGGTCTTATTGGCGGCAGCCTCAAATTCACCTAACCTTTCGGCCCTAGTAGCGTTCTCCTCCTTGAGCTTGTTCTCCTCGCGATCCAGCGACTGCTGCTCTTTTCTATCCGCGCGCCACTGCTCTTCTAGTCTAGCTCGTAAATCAGCCAGAGGCACAAATTCTTCAGGTTGCAGCACGCCGTCCTTGTTCACGTCGAGCGCGTTTACAAGTTGCTCGACGTACTTCTTCTCAGATGCTAGTAAGCGCTCGACCTTCGACGCGTCCCGTTTGTTCTCGTTGTCCGTGACGAAGACCTGTTCTAGCGTCGCTTTGAGCTCGTCGACCGTGACGACGCCGTCTCCATTCACATCGGCCTTGGCGAAGGCCTGCTCCATGGCCTTCTGCATCTTCGCTTCCTGTTCGCTGCGCATCGCCTGTTCCAGGGCCTTGGCCTCGTCGCGCAAAGCCGCGGCCTGGGCGAGGAGGGCCTCGGGGTCGTCGGCGGCGCGCAGCGGCGTCAGCAGCTTGCGCGGCGACGTCGTTTGCGGGCGCACGCCAGCGAAGCGCGGCGCCGGGACCACGAAGGCCGTGGCACATGCTGTGAGCAATACAAGCTTCATGCTGTGTTATCTCGTCGCGTGGTGCGTAGTTGTTGGTCCTGCTGCAGGGACAGGTGGCAGGCGTACTGATGCGACGTATCACGCAGCGGTGTTGAATACTGTTGCGTGGTTTCCTGATTTCTGAGCCCTTATCTTGAGGCTGACTCCCCAAACTTGATCCTTGTCCCCCGGGTTTTTGGTCGAATAACTGGAAGGACTCCTCTTACCCAAGCCCCTCGAGTAATCTAGTCCCGGTCCTCGCTCTTCGACGCGGCGGCGCGCGGGTCCGCCGGCGGCTTCGGCTTCAGCGTTAATGCCTTCGCGACGAACGTGTCGTACTTGAGCATCTCGTGCGTGAAGAACGTGTCGTGCGACGCGTTCTTCGGCGGCTCGTCGACGCGTATCAAGTCGCCGTCCACATAAAAGTGCAAATCGGGGGCCGTTTGAGGGGTGGACAGCTCTGCACCGACTTTACGATAATCAGCTTGGCGCATCTTGGCCTTGGCTCCCACTAGTCTTGCACGGAACGCGGCAACATCTTCGTCGTGGAATCCTGCCAGTTTCTCAATACCAATTGAGGAGTACAATTTCAAGTACGACCGCAACTCCGCCACCCTAGCGTGAAACGCGACTTCGCCATTAAATAATCTGAGTTGTTGATGGAAGGCGTCCTTGGAAGCGTTCAAAGGTTGATTATAATCGGGTATCGACGGCACGATGTGCTTGGGGGAGGCATACGCGAGCATGGCCTCGAAAGTAGGTTGATCATTTCTCTCGAGCATCCGATACTTGTCCCCGTACTTGTCCCTTATACCATACATGACGCCGTCGTCGACCACATGACCCGGCGCCAGCGCCAGACAACACGCGTAGAGAGCGAGCATGCGATCGTAGGACTTCTGGACCTGGTTCTCATCAGGAAACGCCTTGAAGCCGCCGTGTTTGGCCGCTCTCGCGAGCTGCGCTAGGACCGGATCAAACGTTCTGAGAGCGTCCCTATATCTCCGGAGCATCATGAGGGCGTAGCCCAGGTGGTACAACATATTTAGCCGACACCCGAAGATCCTCGAGACTTCACTGGCTTCGTCGAAGACGTCGATGCCGTCCAACGCTTGGACACTCGCTTCGTAGTCTCCCAGTAAACACTCCGCTCTCGACAAGCAGACAGAAGCAAACGTCGCGTAGTAGAAGTGTAAGGGAGATCTAGCCTGTGCTTTAGCCGCCATGCCCCCCGTAGGAGCACAGCCCCTTAACCTAGCGAGATATCTGAGCACGGTCGGCGCGGCCCAGGCGTCGCCCGCGGCCTCGAGCTTCATGCGTTCCTCCGAATTCCGTCCCGCGTTCTGGCAGCGGAACTGGCAAAACGACTGGAACTGGTACACAAATTCGTGCAAGACGTCAAACACCCACTGCGCCGTCAGTTCGAGCGACGCGTCCTCGCTCGCTAAGACAAACTCGAATAATTCGCAGTAGTTGTTCCACGCGTTTAATTTGTCGTCCAAGCTCGTCTTGAGCTTCGCGAACATGTGTCTATACACGAGCTCCTTGTACACACATAGGAAGTAGGCGTCGGGCTGGCCGTCATTCCCGATACATTGAGAAGAAACGGCGGGCGCCGAGGGCCAGGGCGCCTTGTCGCAGTACTTGTCGCTCAGGTCCTTGAATTCGAGGTTGTAGAGCCGCTTGAGGTCCTCCGCGATGTGCGAGCGTCTCGACGCGTCGTGCAAATCAAACACAAAGTCCTTGATCTGCTGGTTCACGAGGTAGTCCTCGGGCGTGGCCTCCATTTTGCTGGTGTTAGCTGGGTAGCTCAGCGATGCGAGTGTTGCGTCGGCGACGGCGGATTTGCAGCACCGGTCAACCGCGCAGCACTTGTAAGTGTCCTGTGCAGTGGCGAGCTCGCAATGGAGCACTATGGGCGCGCAGCGAGGACAAAGCCAAAATCGCCGTAGGCTTTATCTACTGTGCAAGGCACTAGAAAAAATTTTTCGGCATCCAAGACTCGTCTACGTTCGCTCATCTACGTGTTCAGACCCTTACCGAGACGACTAGTGGCGCTAGCACGCACCTGACTTTGAGCAGAGATCTGTGCAGCCACAGGTGCGCGCCCACGCCCGCCGCACGAAGCGGGCTGCCCTAAAACCAGACAACGCGTATCTCTGTCGTAGCTTGGAACTGCTGCGGTACTGCCTGCGGAGCACGACACGCTGACGAGGACAACACTGCTTGGTCTGCCTGTGGAGCTACATTCGGTTGCGACATCGATCGAACCGCACCGCAACATGGTCCAGAACTACTTCGCCACGCACCTCGCGCCGGTCTGGCAGGCTTTGAGGGATGAGACGCAGACCGCTTTATTAGCTGGTTTAGCCGGAGGCATCGCAATATTGGTCATCCTCACCTTGTTCCCCGGCGACCCCTTCGACTACGGCGCCGGCGACGACGGGAACGCCGAGGGACTCAAAAAATACCGCGCCGCCTACGAAAGAGCGCGGCAACGGGGAGAGAAGCCGCCGCCGATGCCGACACCTACCGAGTTGAAAAAGCCGGAAGCGAAGAAAGAGAAGGATCCGCCGCTCGTCATCGACGAGGAGCGCCTCGCCGAGAAGGCGCGGCAGGCCGAAAAACTTTTTGGCATCAAGGCCGAGCAGTATAAACAAGCGGTCGTCGAGGCGACGGCCGAGGCGAACGCCGGCGTCCATGTTGATGATAGGGATATGGATCTGGGCGGCGGCGGCTCGATGCTTTCCTTGGTACCGTTTCTGTTGTGCGCCGGCGTTTTAATATCGTACGTGCGCTCGGCGAGTTCACCGGCGGGACCGCCGCCGTCCTTCGCCGCGTTCCTGGCGCGGGCCTTCCCGCGCGAGGCGCGCGTCTTCGGCTGGGTCGCCGAGTCTGTCCCGGCGCCGCGGCTCGCGCCGACGCTGGTCCCGTCCGTCTCTCCTGATATCGCGTCGGCGGCCGGCGGGGAGTTGTAGTAGTTGCGTTTCATCATACTGTCTGCTAGGACTCGCCTTAGCGGAGGCGATTTTTTGAACCCGAACCCGGCCTGGCCAGAGCTGCAGCGCGCGCGGCCCGCACGCGCTGTTGGTGGCTCTACCGCTGCCCGTGCGTGGTGGCGGCCGGCTCTCACGCACTCCCGTCGATTGCTCGCGACGCGTGGTGGCCGGTGCCCGGCGCCAGCACCACTTGGGCAGCCTACAGTACTGATAGCAGCACTGGAGCAGCACTGGACTGCTGAGCCGCCTTGCCGCGAGCCGCGCCGCCTCGATAATACCCGCACCACCCCGTAAGCATGGGCCTGGCAGACGTGATTGATGACGATCCGGCCAAGCTGCAGGCATTGCTCGAAAAGTTTGTGTACATCGATAAGGACGGAGATGGAGCCATCTCGTTAGAAGAGTTGCAGGAGGTGTACCAGATGTTCGACCCGAATTACGACGCCGACGCGGTGGCGACGGAGTTCGTCCAGATGGATTCCGACGACGACGGCTCGATCACGATCGCCGAGTTTCTGAAGGCGCAGGGCATCGACACTTCGAACGTCGCAGAAGCGGACTTGGAAAGGGCGCGCTCTGAGGAGGTCAAGGCGGAGGAGGAGGCGCTGCGCCAGGGCGTCGCGGCCGTGGAGATCGTGCCCGACGGGTCGGAAGCCCAGGCCTGCGTGGCCGCCGTCGAGGGTAGCTACGCGACCGTCGAGGCTGCCGGCGCCGTCGCCGTCGCCGCGGAGTGCGTCGTCGCGGACGGTGACTTCGCTTCTGGTGATGCCGTCGCGGCCGTGGCCGTCGCCGCGGAGCCGGTAGGCTAGACGTGCGATAAAAAGTACAGATTAGGACAGGGCTCCACACTAACTAGTCGGTCAGGCCGCGTACTGCGCCGCGTACTCGTCCGCGGCGGCGACGAAGGGGTCGTAGGTCCCGTTGGGGTCGCAGGCCTCGAGGGCCCAGCCCGCGCCGGGGACGTCGATGTCTGGCAGGGGGGGCGGCGTGAACGCGCGCCGCACGGCCGTCTCCTGCCAACGTTCGTTGGGAGCCGGCGTCGGCGGCGTGGCCGGCGGTAAATGCTTGATGGTGGGCGGGGGCGGCGGGACGGCCCGGAGCTCGCGCTTGGGCCGGATGCGGAGCTCGCGCGTCGAGTGGGCGAACTGGCACTTGCCCTCGGCCTCGAAGGGGCAGTGCCCCGCCAGGAAGTACTTGCAGATCTTCGTGAAGCGCCTTCTCGCGATCTCGTCATAATGTCGCGCCAGGCCGAACGTCGTCGCGTCGGCCGCGGGCGGTGTCAGGCGTCGTTGGGGCGTCCGTGGCGGCGGCCACGCCTGGGGCGCCGTGTCGTACTCGAGGAGGTCGGACGCCTCGGCCGCCGTCGGCGTGACGGCCGGGAGGGACGTCGAGCCGACGACCGCCGCGCGGCGGCACCGCAGCTCGTCGCGCGAGTGGGCATACTGGCAGCGGCCCTCGTCGCGGTAGGGACACGACTCGCCGTAGCGGCACATCTTCGTCTTGTACAGCTTCGCCGACAGGCGGCTGTCCGGGGCGAGGTTCGGCGGGCCCTGCCGTAACTCGTCCAGAGAATGGGCGAATTGGCAGCGCCCGGCGGCCGCGAAGGGGCACTCGGCGAGCGTGTAGCGGCACGGCCGCGTCTTGTACGTGGCCGTCGTCGTCGCGGGCGACGGGCGGAGCTCGGCCTGGCCGTGGGCGAACTTACATAGAGCGCCGTGCGGGCACTCGCCCAGCGGGTAGACGCAGAGGCGCGTCTTGTACGTCGGGTCCTGAGGCCCCCCCGCGTACGCGTAGGACAGCTCGTCGGCGCGGGGGCTCGGCGGGGGCGGGCTCGGCGACGGGCTGCCCGCGCCGTAGTAGCCCGTCGGCCTCCAGCCGAGCCGCTCCGCCATATCCCGCGGCTCGTCCTCGAAGCCCGTCGGCTCGTAGCCCGTCGGCTCGTACCGCGGGCTCTCCTTGCGCTCGTACGGGTACGCGTAGGCCGGCGCGTCGGCGCGGGGGCGCGGGCTCGGCGGTGCTTCCGTGTATGCCGCGTCGACGCCGGGGCTCGGCGGCGGGCTCTCGTTCAGGACGGCGGCGGCGACGCTCGAGGGGACGACGTGGCTGGCCTCCTCGTCGGCGGCGCCGGCCGGCGGGAAGAAGCGCGGTACTGATGGAGACGCCTTGCGCGCCGGGCGCGCGTCGAGGGAGCCCTTGGGGGACGTGTCCTGCAGACTGCGCCGCGCCTTGGGGTAGACTTCGGCCGCGCTGGCGGAGAGCCGGCGCTTGGGGGTGGCCGCGCTGGGCTCCATTGGGTTCGTGGGCGTGCCTCGCGTGCTCGGGGGCTGCGGATTTCGGATAGCGGCCTCGTTCGGTGGCACACAAATGAGAGGGGCCAAGGCACATGAAATTGGCGGGCACCCGCGCGCGTGAATTGCAGCAGGAGGCCTCCCTGGCCATTGTACTCCGTATATATCGCTGCGACGGCCACCGCACGGATGCTCGACGGGAGCCGAAGAAACCCGTACGCTTAGCTATAATTTGTGGCGCAGCGAAGCGAGTTTGTGCGCACAGCGGTGCAGCACACCTGGGCTCGATTGCATTTCTTGAAAGGAATTACTTTACAAAGCAGCGATCGCCTGCGAGCGCTGCGGCAAGGCGAGAGGCACGCTGCAAAAGCCACCCCAGCCAAGCAGAGCAGCAAAAGCGATGGCTGCAGACCTCACCGCTGCGATAAAGCGCTGCAAGCTCTCGCCCGAGGCTGGCGCTGCGGAGCTGCGAAAAGCGCTCGAGGAGACCCACGAGCTCGCAAGCGCCGCCGACGCCGCGGCCGCGGCGGCCGCGTCGCTCAAATCCGGCAGCGCGACGGCGCGCGGCCACGCGCTCGCCGCGTGCATCCTGCTCGCGGGATTAGTGGAAGACGCCAACGACGCGGCGGACGCCGTTGCCGCCGTGCTCGAGACGGCGACGGACTGGGCCGCGCGCGGCGCGCTCGCCGGCGGCCTCATGGCCCTCGCGGCGAACGCCGGCGCCGGCGCCGGATTTGTAAGGGCAACAAAAGCGACGGCCGCCGCGGCGACGAAGGCGAGCGGCGGCGGCGACGACGCGGCGGCCGCGGCCGCGCGCGCTGCCTGCTGGGCCGCGTGCGCGGTCTGCGGCGCGAGTCTGCGGGAGCCCGTCGCCGACGTGACGAAGGCCCTATCACAGGACCTGAAAACCGCGGCGGCGCCCGCCTCCCGAAGCCGGGCGCCCGCGGCGCTCCGCGCGGCGGCCTCGCTGCTCCACGAGGGGCCTGGCGACGAGCCCCTCGAGGCGAACGCTTCACCAACGGAAACGGAGAAGTCGCCCTGGGTCGCGTCGTTGCGCGAGGCGCTGCCCGCGCTCGAGGCTCTGGCGCCCAAGGCGCCTCCCAAAAAACCGAAGGCCGCGGGCCCCGCCTACGCGGCAGCCCAGAACGTCCTGGCTCTACTATCTGCCACGCCCAAGGCGCGGGCCAAAACCCTAGGTGTGGCCGCGACGGACGGTGGCGCCGTTTTATGGGGAGGCGCCGACGCTTCCTCAAAGTGGGCCGCCGCGTCTGTACTGAGACGCGCTTTTGACGGAGAGGCCGTGGCGTCCTTCTCGAGTGTGTCGCCCCACTGCTGGCGGGGCCTCGCGCGCGCGGCGACGACGCGCGAGGCGTACGTGCGCGTCGCCGCGCGGCGGGCGCTGCGCGCGGGAATTGGGAAGTGGCCCAAGGCCGTGGCGTCGTCGCACGCCGAGGAGCTGTGGGGGCTGGCCCGGATTTGTGAGAGGGGCGACGGCCCGAAGCCCATCGATGAGGAGGGCAATCCCGAGGCCGCGAGGCCCGACCTGCGGCGGGCCGTCGCGGATCTGCTGCGGGAGACGCGGCCCCTCGAGGCGTTTTCCCCCGTCTTGACGGCGAACCTCGCGCTGCTGTGTCACCACGCCGCCGTGGCGTCGCCCAAGGTCTCGGCGAGGCTCTGGCGGCGCGTCTCTGGCAAGTGCGCGCTCAACGACGCCGGCCGCGACATCCTCAAGGACGCGCTCCTCGCGGTCGATGATGAACCTACAGCTGTCACGAACGAACGCCGCGCCGCCGCCGCCCGAGCCTTCGCCGCCCTGAATGCGGACGCGTGGCCCCTGGTCGCGGACGCGCTGCGCGAGGCGACCGCCAATGCACCGTCCGCGGACGCGCGCAAGGCCTGGGCGGGTGCCGTATCAAGCGAAGCCGACGCGCCGTCGCTCTTCGAAGGTACGAGTACCGCCAAGCCCAAGGCGGCTGTCAAAAGCGCGAAGCGCGGCAAGCTCTACGGCTCCGACGACGCCGCCTGGGAGTCCGAGGTGCGCAAGGACCTCGCGAAGAAGAAGACTGGGACCGTGGACAACGCCGTATCAAAACGCGTCGCCGAAGTGAGCCAAGAGGTCGCCTCGTACCGAGCGACGGCGACGGCCGCCGTCGACGCGTTTGTAGCGCTATCAAACGCGGGCGCGTTTTCATCGGGAACGCGCGACGCGTTGGACGCGCTCGCGGCGCTCGACGCGGCGGTGCCGGATCTGAACGCATCGACGGGCTTCGCTGCGATCGGCAATTCGTCGGTGCTCGGCGCGGCGCTCGCGCTCGCGCACGGTCACAGCGTCGACGCCGTGCTGACCTCGAACGACTCCATCCAGAGACGGGTTGTAGAGAGAGGCCTCGTCGTGCTGGGCGAACGGGAAGCAGCGCCGGAGTGCCTCGCGTTAGCTTGTGCCGCGCTCGAGGCGGCGCCGGCGTGCTTCTCCGGAAACTTGCCGAACTACGAGCCGCCTCTACGAAGCGCTATTGTGGCTGCGGCGCGCGCCCTGCAGCGGTGCGTGGGCGCGCCGCATCTGGTAAGAGCCGATTGCGTTTCGGCGACGCTCGCGCTCACGCGCGCCGCTGCCCTGGACGATCAGCTCCGGTTGGCGCTCGACAAGGCTAATATAGAGGTGGACGCGACCGCCGCCGCGCTCTGCTCTACAAAATGCGACGCCGCGACCACGTCTATCTTGTGCGGCGCCGGCCCCCGCGCCGCCGGCCTGCTCTCGGCTGCCCCGGCGGAGCGCCGCGCGGCGCGCGGTGCTTTGAGCGAGGCCCTCGCGCATAATTCGCCGCTCTCGGACGCGTCCGAGGCCGCCGCGGCCGTCTCCTCATATTTTGAAGACGACGCCGCCGAGACGCCGCTCCCTACCAAACCTGCGGCGGACGCCCTCGTGGCGCTCGCGTTAGATGATGCCGACGACGACGACGCGTATGCAAACGCGCGGGCCGCCGCGCGGCGCGCGTGCGCCGCCGTCGACGGCGACGTCTGGTCGGCGTGCCGCGCCGCGTTCGACGCGGCCGCGGCGCCGCCCGAGGAAGCGTCGTCGTCGAACGTCTTCGCGGCGCCGGGCGACGACTCTCTCGAGCGCTCCGCCGAGGCCAAGGCCCAGGAGCGTTCTTCTAAAGCGAGACGGCGGCGCCGCGCCGCGCAGCTGCTGGCGGCGCTCTGCGCGGCGGGAAAGGCACCCGGCGACGCGTTTCCCTGGGTCGTGTCCAAGCTCGACGACCCCGACGACGGCGTGCGGTCGTCCGTCGTCCAGCTGGGCGTCGCGTGCGTCGACGCGGATGGCGACGACGGCCTCGCCGTCAAGATCAAGGCGTGCGAGGACGCGCTCGCGAAGGCCACGTCCTGCGAGGCCGTCACGCTCCTAGGCGCGGCGGCGTCGCACCTCGCGCCCGACGATGTGAGAGTCGCGGACGTCGCCGACCGGCTGGTGGACGTCTTGGTCGCGACGACGAAGGCCGACGAGCCCCCTCCTCCACCAAAGGAAGTGAAGAAGAAGCCGCGCGCCGTCGCGGCGAAGACGGGCATCGCCGCCATCGGCATGGCGCCCCAGAAGAAGAACCCCTTCGCGAAGCGAGGTTCAGGGCCGGCCAAGCCTAGGTTAGGTGCCGCCGACATTGGTGGTTTGAGGAAAACGCGCGCCGAGCGCGAAGGGAGCGTGCCCGAGAAAAAACAAAGGACCTTTGATATCAAGCCCGTGGCCGACTGCCTCGGCAAGCTCGCCAAGACCATGAAGAAGACGCACGCCGAACGCGCGGGCAGCTTAGTAGAAAGGCTGCGGGAGACGAGCTTTAGTGATAGGGACCCGGCGACGCGGCGGAAGGCGTCAACGGGTCTGGCGGCGGTGGTCAAGGGGCTGGGCATCGGCGCGCTGAAGAAGCAGGAAGTTGTGGAACGTATTAGAGATGCTTTAGATGCGCGAGCGGCGGGCGGCGACTTGAATGCGGCGCACGGCGCCCTGTCCTGCATCGAGGCGCTGGCGAAGACGTTGGGGGTGCTCTTCGAGCCCTACGAGATCAAGTTGCTCGCGCCGCTGTTGAATTGCTTTGCTGATTCAAGTGACGTGGTCCGGAACGCCGCGAAGAACGCCGCTCGCGAGGTCTTTGGGGGTCTCTCGGCCCACGGCGTCAAACTCGCACTACCGGACGTGCTCAAGCAAGCCGCCGGCGAGGAGACGACATCGTGGCGGGCGCGAGTCGCCGCGATCGAGATGCTCGGCGCTACCGCGAGTTGTGCCCCGAAGCAACTCGGCGCGGTGCTGCCGAAGGCCGTGCCCGCTCTGGCCGACGCTTTGGCGGACACGCACGATGGGGTAAGAGAGGCGGCGCGGAAAGCGCTGGAAGAGGTCTTCTCCGTGGCGTCGAACCCGGAAGTCCGGGCCGCTCGCAAAGAGTTACTTGCCGCTTTATGTGATCCCGCGCACTGCACGTTGCAAGCGTTGGAGGCCCTCGAACAGCGAGAATTCGCACGAGCGCCCGACGCGCCGGCCTTGGCGTTGTTGGCGCCCATCCTCGCGCGGGGGCTGCGAGATCGCGCCGCGCTCACGAAACGACGGGCGGCACTGGTCTGCGGCAACCTGGCCGCGTTGTGCGCGGGGACGGCCCAGGAGCAGGCCCTCGCGCCGCACCTCCCGCTATTCCAGCCGCTGCTCGAGACGAACGCCGTGGGCGACGCGCACCCCGACGTGCGCCTGGCCGCGGCGACCGCGCTCGCGCAAGTCGTCGACGCGCTGGGCGTGGACCGCGTGCCGTTCATCATCCAACGCTTGACGAGGGCGGCGCTGTCGCGGACGGAACCCGACGAGTGCGGCGACATCATCGCGAAGAAAGGGGACGAGGTGCTGGCCGCGGGGGCGTCGGAAAGATCGGGCGCGGCCCAGGCCTTGTCGCTGGTCTGCGTCGAGAGCGGGACCGTGTCGGCTCTCATGCGGGATGATTTAGTGCCTTTATCTCGACATCAAACGCCGGCGGCACGCGAGGGCGCGTTGTGGTGTTTGAGATTCCTCGCGCGGGACGACGCGGACTTTGGGGACCACGTGCAGGACGCGTTGAAGGCCGTGCTGGACGGGTTGGCCGACGACGCCGACGCGATTCGGGACGTGGCCTTGTTGGCGGGCAAACAACTGGTACGAGCGCACGGCGACGCGCAGCTCCACGTGCTACTACCGTCGCTCGAAGGCCAGCTGCTCGGACCGAGATGGCGCCTCCGCGAGGCCGCTGCCCGTTTATTGGGAGAGTTACTCTGCCTTATTGGCGACGCCAGGCAAGTGGGCGTCGCCGAATTCGACGACGCCGACGCGGCTTTGGGTGATGAAGAAACGGCGAACAAGCTGCGGAAGCGCATCGGCGGCGCGGCCTGGCGCAACACTATTTCATCGCTGTATATTGCTCGTTTAGATGCGGTACAAGGCGTCCGGCAGGCGGCCGTCGAGGTCTGGAAGACGGTCGTGCCGAACACGCCGCGGATGTTGAGGGAGGTCCTGGAGACGTTGGTGCGGCGTCTCGTAGCGATGCTGACGCCCGTGTCTTCATCACAAGACGACGCCGAGCGCTTGCAGGGCGTGCAGCAGCCCGAGTACAACACGAGCGACGACGAGGACGGCGACGAGCTCGAGGCCGACGACATTAATGTGGAACGGCAGCGCGTCGCGTCGCGGGCGCTGGGAGACGTCGTCCTCAAGATCGGCGACCGCGTCATCCCCGAGCTCATGCCCTTGCTGCAGGAGGCGTTCGATAATGGAGACGAGGCGACGCGCGTCGGGGTTTGTTTGGGGTTGGCGGAGGTCTGCGGTGCTACTCCTCAAAGGCAAGCCAATGAGAAATTGGACCTGCTGGCGCCGCCCGTCGTTGAGGCGCTCTGCGGCCCCAACGCCTCGCCTAGGATAACCGCGCACGCGGCCATGGCATTCCACGCGCTGCACGGCCAAGCCGGCCCCCGAGCTGTTGAAGAAGTGGTCCCCGAAGTGCTAAGGCGACTCGACGACGATTCTGACGACCGGGGCGCCACACGCGCGCGGGGCGCTCTGCGCGAAATTTGTCGGAGGCGCGCGCGCGAGCTGCTGACGGGCGTGATTCCGCAGCTCCTGAAACGGCCCATGTCTGAGCGTCGCGCAGACGCGCTCGGGGCCGTCGCGGACGTCGCAGCCTCGGCTTTAAGGCCCTTTGTGGCGACGGTCGTCCGGGCCGCGCTCGCGGAGCTCGGCGCGGAGACGGAACACGCAGAGGCCGTCGCCGCCGGCGCGGCGGCCGTCGCGGCGGCGGTGGCCGCGGGTGGCGACGCCAGTGCGGCCGTCGGGCCCCTCGCGTCGCCCTTCGCTGACAACGCGAAAGCCCCGTTGCGACGAGACGCGTCGACGCTGGCGGCGGCCTTCTTCCGCGCGTGCGACGATCGGTGCGACGCCGAAGGGGCGGCGCCCGATTGTAGAGATAGGTTACTGGAGGCCGCACCCTTATTACTGCGGGAGCTCCTGAACAACCTCGCGGAGCCGGACGACGCGTGTCGCGGGCAAGCGTTGGAGGCGTTAGCCTCGTACGGCGACGCGGTCGCCGTCGAGAGGCAGGCCGAGCATTTGGATATGTATAGGGCGACCTTGCAGTCGGCGGCGTCGGCGGCGCGATTGGGACGTAAACAAGTGGAGGAGCCCGTCCCAGCCCTGAGCCGCGATGGCGGTCTGAAGACGCTGCTGCCTCCGTATCTACATTCGCTGTTGCACGGCGACCCGGAGCAGCGCGAATCGGCAGCGCTGGGCATCGGCGAGCTCGTCCGATTATCAAGTGAGGCCACCCTGAAGCCCGTGGCGATCAAGGTCGCAGGACCCCTCATTAGGGTTGGCGGCGACCGGTTCGGCGGGCCCGTGAAGGCGGCGGTGCTCGAGGCGCTCGCGGCGCTTCTAGAAGTAGCGCCGAAGCTCGTGAAGGCCTTCGTGCCTCAATTGCAAGCGACCTTCGCCAAGGCGCTGCGGGACCCGGCCCTCGAGGTGCGCCGAAACGGCGTCACTGCATTGGGACTGTTGGCGCCGCTGTCGACGCGGCTCGACGCTCTGGTCACCGACCTGTCGTCGGGGGCGACGGCGGACGACGCGCCCGACGCCGTCGCCGCGGCGTGCCTGAAGGGCCTAGCAGCAGTTTTCGGGAACGCGACAGGGCCGAAGCCGCCCTCGGACGCGAGCCGCGACGCCGCGCGCGACGCGGCCGAGGCGCTCGCGGGGCACGAGGACCCCGAGGTGTCCAAGGCGGCTGCGGCGTTGTCATCTACTCTGGGGGGTTAATACGTATCTATGGTAAACCGTTTTAAATACCTTGCCCCCATGACGACGGTACCGCGCGACTTGCGGGATATTTTTGAAAATAGTCAAGTCAATCAATCATAAATCTAATACCGGTTCCTATGTTCTATGGGGTATTGGCGTTATCGCTGATAGTCGCAGATTATATCCTTGCCTGTTTTAAATACCTTGCTCCCATGACGACGGTACCGCGCGACTTGCGGGATATTTTTGAAAATGGTCAAGTCGGTCGATCATGAAACTAATACCGGTTCCTATGTTCTATGGGGCATTGGAGGTATCGCTGATAGTCGCAGGTGTATTCCCGTGCACCGTTAAAAATTCTACCAACCAGTCCTAGCCAGTAGTTCTAAAACAGCCCTTAGTACTACTAGAGATCGTCGTCGTCGAAATCATCTAAATCGTCGTCGGGCGGTGCCGTGTCGCCGCCGCCCGTCCCCTCCGATTGCGATGACTGGTACGCCTTCTGCAAGATCGGGTTTGCCACCTCCTCGAGCGCCTTCCGCTGCGCGTCGCTCTCATCCTTCGGCGGCGCGGGCGACGCGTGGTCGTCGAGCCACGCCGTCGCCGCGTCGAGCGCTTTATCGAGCGCGGCTCTGTCGTCGCCGTCGAGCGTCAACCCGTCCAACGAGCCCCGCAGCTGGTACGCGTAGGCCTCGAACTGGTTGCGGGCCTCGACGTTTTCTCGCAGTTGCTTGTCCCCCTCGGCGAACTCCTCGGCTTCCCGCACCATCCTTTCGATCTCGTCCTCGGACAATCTCCCTTTCTCCGCAGTGATCGTGATGTCTTTTGAGGCGCCCGACGCCGTGTCCCGAGCGGAGACAGATAAAATACCATTGGCGTCGACGTCGAACGCGACCTCGATCTGCGGGACACCTCGCGGCGCCGGTGGAATGCCCGTCAATTCGAATTTCCCGAGTGACCGGCAGTCCTTCGTCATGGAGCGCTCGCCCTCGAAAACCTGGATGAGCACGCCCGGCTGGTTGTCGGCGTACGTGCTGAAAACTTGTGTTTTTTTTGCTGGTATGGTCGTACCGCGCTCGATAAGTTTGGTCATCACTCCACCAGCGGTCTCGATGCCCAGGGACAGAGGCGCTACATCTAGTAACAACACGTCCTTGGTCGCATCGCCAGTGGCACCAGACAGAATGCCAGCCTGCACGGCCGCACCATACGCCACGGCCTCGTCCGGATTGATGCGTTGGTTGAGTTCCTTCCCGTCGAAGAAGTCCCGCAGTAGACTTTGGACCTTCGGGACCCGCGTAGACCCACCGACCAACACCACCTGGTCCACGTCTGCTTTCTTGAGGCCGGCATCCTTCAGCACCCTAGCTACCGGTTTCAAGGTACGTTTGAACAAGTCGGAGCACAGCTCCTCGAACTTCGCGCGCGAGATAGGTATGGACAGATCAATCCCCTGGTGCACGGCGTCGACGTCCACGGTAGTTTGGGTCGCAGAAGACAACGCCCGTTTCGCGAGCTCGCACTGCTTCCGGATGCGCTGCAAGGCTTTGGGGTCGTCGCTCACGTCCATGCCCTTGTGCTTGCGCTTGAAGGATTCGACGCAGTGCGCCATGAGCCGCTGGTCAAAGTCCTCGCCACCGAGATGCGTGTCTCCGGAAGTGGCCCTCACTTCAAACACGCCGTTGTCTATGGTTAATAACGTGACGTCGAAGGTACCACCTCCCAAGTCAAACACGAGGACGTTCTCCTCCTTGCCGCCGTCGCCGACCTTATCTAATCCGTAAGCAATAGCGGCCGCTGTCGGCTCGTTAATAACGCGCGCAACTTTGAGGCCGGCGATCGTGCCCGCATCCTTGGTAGCTTGTCTTTGGGCATCGTTGAAATAAGCAGGAACGGTAACCACGGCGTGCTTCACCTCCCTTCCTAAGTACGCTTCCGCGGTCTCCTTCATCTTCGTGAGGATCATCGCGGAGATTTCCTCGGGCGAGAACTGCTTCTTGGCGCCTTTCACTTCGGCCTCGATCTGCGGCTTGCCCTTGGCATCTTTTATAGCAAAACTAAAATGGGACGCGTCCTCCTTGACGGACTCGTCGGCGAACTTTCTTCCAATGAGTCGCTTGGCGTCGTAGATCGTGTTCGTCGGGTTCTGGGCCGCCTGGTTTTTGGCGGCGTCGCCGACCAACCGCGAACCGTCTTCGCAGAAGGCGACGTAGGACGGCGTGATGCGGTTCCCCTGGTCGTTCGCGCAGATCTCGACGCGGCCGTTGCGCCAGACGCCGACGCAACTGTACGTCGTGCCCAGGTCGATGCCGATGCAGGGGCCCTCGATCGGCTCCTCCGACGCGCCGCCGCGGAGGCGTCGCACGGGCGCCGCGGTGCGCAGGCCGCGCGGCGTGAGCCGCGCGGCGGTCGTCGCGAGGAGTGCGCTCAAGAGCGCACTGCTCCTCCGCCGAACCATGGTGTCTTGTGTGCACGTCTACGCGCGGGTGAGCTCGCTGCAGCTACTGTGCAGTCGTGTCTGGCGTGTCTGCTGCCGCAGCGATTGATCGCTTTGAACTGCAAGCGATTCCTTGGTATAGATGCGTGTCTGGAAGCAGTCGACCTTGCAATTTTAAGCCACAAGCGCGCAGCACAGCATTGACCAAAGCCAGTCTCAATGCTCCAAGTGGCACCTCTAGGAATGAGCGCAGGCATGCTTGCGCCCTCTACCCGTGCGAGGGAAGGCCTCTTACGTACCGTTCCGAGAGCTATGTCGCGATTTCATGACGGGTTTTCTAGCTAAAAGTCCGCTTTGCGAACGCCGTCAATCGATCTATTCAGGATGGACGATCTACGGCTTATGGACGCGATTGCGCCGCCCACCACAAGCGCTCAACCGCCGGCGGAGCCTCCAAAAGCTGTCGAGCTCAGTGAGCAGACGCCCCTCTCGGGCTTCGACCGCAAGCAAAAGCAGGTCGAGGCCGGAGAGATCTCGGACGTCGGCGCGAGCATCGAACGTGTCGGTCAAGGCCGACCGCCGGCCGCCGCGAGCTACGGCGCGGCCGCCGCCGTCGGCTGGGAGGAGACCAAGGCGGCGGCGCGCGCCGACGAGGACGACACCTACGCGTCTGGGCTATTGGCGGAATCGGCGGACGCGGCGGAGGCGGGCGTCCACCTCGGCGCGCGCGTCCACGAGCGCCTCGTCGAACAGAGGAGGGCGATGGAGGGCGCCGGTTATTTACTGACCGACTTGCGGCGCATCCGGACCGAGGCTGGCACGTATCTAGAAGAGGTCCGGCGGCGGAAGATGCGGCGGCGAAATTGTTTGGTCGGCGTCGCCGCGGTGTTGTCGGTTGTGGATGTGGGGCTCTTCTACGCGCTGTGCAAGGGGCACGGGACATTTCGGGGGTCATAAATTGTTGTTCACAAGGCCATCGAGTACATCGCGCGACCGAGATGATCGAGAGCTAACGTTGTGAGGCACTAGCACAGCATCAAGACAGCGTGGCTGGGCTCTGCCGTGTCTAGAACGCCTAATATTGGCAAGATGCGTGTTTTATCCTTGGTGGTGGGTACCGCTGGTGCCTTCTCGACGTCGAGGAACCCGCTTGCGACGGCGCCGCGGAGGCAAGCCTCGTCGAGCCAGCTCCAGATGCTTGATGCTGCCGTAATCCAGGGCGGCGCGGCTGCCGTCGGCGGCCTCGCCGTGGGATTGGGTATGGCGTGGTTCAGCGAGCAGCAGGTCGAGCAGGGCGAGCAGCGCGGCAGCGACGCCGTCTCCGAGGCGACGCGGGCCAAGATGTACTTGCGCGGCGTCTTCGTTGTATCTTGAGCGTGTCGCGCGGGCGCGGCGACGGCGTCGCCGCGACTGCACGGCGCCACCACGCCGTCAACGAGAGTCTCGGCAGTTTCGCGACGACGGCGGCGCCCGCGCAGGTCGGCCATGTTCATGGAGGACGAGGTCCTGCCCGACACGACGCTCGACGACACCGTGAGCCGCATGGAGGCGGCCCTGGCCGCCGCGAAGGGCGAGGCCGCCGTCGAGGAGAAGGTCGAGGAGAAGCCGGCGTCGTCGATCGACGACGGGTGGTGAGCTGTTCTCTCGAGCGTTTGTTTCTTTGCTTGGCGTAAGAGTGCTCGTTGTCGATTCTCTAGACCGCGTAGCTGTTGTGCGCGCGCAAAACCCGCCAGCTGGCCGGCCGCGCCGCACTACGGCCTACTGGTAGGATACCAAGCCCCCCTAGTTACATTATGTATTGCAGTAACTTGTAGGAAAACCAGGGGGTAGCTGAGCGCCCAGCGGCGCTGCTAAAAGCGCTGCGATCTCGGTCCAGCTGCATCGCATTAAAACTTGATTGGGGGAGGCAGCCCACACGCAGCTGCTGCGCAGCATACTCTAATCAAGTTTTAATAACTTGTTCACAGCCCGAGAACGTTGGTGCTGCCACGATGCCGCGGGTGTGGAAGCCCGCGGCGGACGATCAGCACATCTTCGACGCCCTGCCAATGCCGGAGGGGGACGTCTTCCTCAGCGACGACGAGCTCCTCATGGAGATGGACGGCGTGGCGACGCGCGCCGCGCTCAACGCGGCGCTCGGTCCCACCGCGAGGACAAGGGTGACCTTTGATGCCGAGGGTCGGTACTGGCGGAAGTCGTACGAAATTGATAAGGAGCCGCGGTGCATCTACTTCTTGCCAGCCGTGCAGAACGCGCGCGCGCTCGAGGAGTACCCCGATGGCGTCGAGCCGCCGTTCCCGCGACCAGAGGAGAAGTTCCAGTGCAAGAGGAAGCAGCCGCCCCGAGCGCCGCGCAAGCCGTCGAAGACGACGGCGCGGTCCGGCGAGAAGCGCCCGACGTCCGCGCGGCCTAGGATGTACACGACGCCCGGCGAGAAGGTCACGCGCGTGGATCCGGTTGATGATGCTGAGCTGCTCGTGCCGGACGAAGACGTGGTCGACCTCGACGAAGTCGCGCCAGTACCACGGCCCGTGACACGACGAGATTTAATGGCCCTAGAGCAGCGCGCCGAAGACGCGCTCGCGGCGTGCGACCGCGCGGAAGCCGCGCGCGCCGCGGCCGTCGCGGCCCACGCGGAGCTACGCGACAGACAGGACGCAGTCTTCGCGAGGAGCGCCACCGACTCGGCAAGACTTATGCTTCTCTCTCTGGACCGCGAGGCGAACGCGCTCTCCGCGGAGAGAGCGGCACGACGGCGCGACGTTGATCGCCTTAGAGCCAAATTTTCACAAGAGAAAGAACTATGGAAAATAGACTGTGAGCGACGCGCGGCGGCGCGGCTAGACGAGGAGCGGCGGCGATTGGAGGAGGGGTTCCGGACAAACACGCGCGAGTTGCAGCGGCAACTCGACGCGCAGAGAACTGAAGTCGCCGATTTGAAAAAGAAACAAAGCCAGCTCAACCTCGAGCTTTATGGCCTTCGACGGCTTCGAGGCGCCTGGCTGGGTTCTCGTGTTGCGTATTTACCGGAGGAGCCGCCGCCGGATTCGGACTTCGAAGGCGAGTCGTTGTGGCCCGTGGTCCACGCCGTCGGCGACTTTCTCAGTAGAATTTGTGGTGGTACGCTCAAAAGAAAGCAACAGAAGTGTCTGCGTCTCCTAGCCGACTACGCGTGGTGTCAACACTCTCGCGGGCGGGGGGAGATTGGCCTCGTGCGAGCTCACTTTGCGTGCGCGGAGTACCGGCGCCTCCAGGAGATTTTCTCTCCAGCCGAACACTGAAGACCATGGACGTGGAGATGACGGGAACTACGCTGCGAGCGAGCGCCATGCGGGCCAGAGAGCGGGCGGCTCGTTGCGCTCGGGAGCACGTTGGGCAAGCACGTGATGCTGTTATTCCCCCAAGTTCGCGCTCCAGGAAACAGCCAAGCTGGTCGAGAGTTGCTGATGGCCACAAGGTTTCGGTTACGGAAACGTCCGCGGGCGACGGCACTTACGAGGCGGTCGGCATTGCGACGGGCGCGGTCCTCGACGCGTCATCGGAAAGCAGTATGGGCCTTGAGACTGGACGCAGTCCCGCGGATCCGCGGAGGATCAGAGGCACGCAAGACGGCAGCAACATCACGAAAAGCGACGACTTTACGATGCAAGGGATCCACGTCAACGACAGCCGCGCGGTCGACCGATCACTGGGCAAGCCTATCACCGACTTCCAGTCGCCTGATCGGGTTCATATTACTACGTTAGCCGTTGGCCACGAGAGCCATGCCCTGTACGAAGCTTTAGACGACGTGACGGATCACTTCAGTACAGCGGCGACGGCGCAAACCGATGGTGTCTACCAGTCAGAGGCAGAGGGCCGCGCCGTTCACGTTGATTACGTCTGCTCGGGCGACATGGCCAACCTCCAGACGGTGTCGAAGAAGGGCTTCGCGACTGGGACGTCGGAGAACGCGCGGCCGTGTTATTGTTGCGCGCAGACCAACAGGCAGATGACGACGCCCAAGGTAGTTGACGACCTTTGCGACGTCTGCAGAGCAGCGGGTCGGTTAGTGTGCTACCACGCGGAGATGTCGACGCCGGCTGCCGTAGACGAGTGGCGCGCTACGGCTGCCGCTGCGCTCACGGAGCTCAGAGGGGAGCTGCCCCCAGCCTACCGCTACATGCGCGAGGCCAAGACTTTAAGTGCGGCGCAGCTGCGCGAGCTCGCCGCGGAGGCTGGGCTCGATGCGGGCGGCACCTCGGCCCACTTGCACGCGCGCTTCGCTGCTTATTGCGGTCAGCATTGCTTGGAATTGGAAAACCCCAACCAAAACGGGTTTTACGCAAAGTTCGACTGTCGAACTGCGACCCCAGCACAAAAAACGCAATTTTCGCTGGTCGTGAACGATTGTCTTGTTGATTTCGGCCTGGCGGTGACGGGCAACCTCGGTTCGCGCGTCGAGAAGCTGACGCAGCGCCTGAAATTGGTTGACCAATATTACGAACTTCAAGCGCAATTAGAACACGCCACGCCAAATTCTGATGCGCTCATCTCCCTGGTCGAGCATATGGTCCCGTGCGTCTTGCATTTAGAAAACCGGACGCGCGAGAAGCTGTTGCGGCTCATCCTCAACAATTTATTTGTGATCTACGAGAAGAGCGTGGCCCTGGCGAAGCTGCGGCCGCTGGAGAAATTCGATTAGAACGAAAGGCCGGCTGCCCGAACGGCCGCGAGGGCAAGTGGACGGCGCCGCTCTCCAGGACGAAGATTCCGTCGAAGCCATCCGTTGAATTGCGGCCGCGCCCGGAAGATCTTTGCTAACGTCGGCACGGCTCATCGGGCGTGCTTCCCGGACGACGCCAAGCGGCGGGTCGTCCTCGACCTCGTCCGCGGCTACGAGGAATTGATGGTGCTATATCGAAAACGAAGATCTCACGGACGTCGAGATTGCCAAAGCCGACGACCTCGCCCAGGAGACCGCCATCGGCTACTGACGGCCACGGCGAAGGCCCTCACGAACTACTTCCACATGATCGGCTCGGGCCACGTGCGGCTTATTTGCGAAAGTACCGGAACTGCGCCGCCGCGCTCGAACCAGGGGCGAGAGCGTGAACTTGACGATCGGCGCTTCCTCACGCGGACGCAGCGCGGCGGCCACTGCGGCCACGAGGCGACGCGGGCGACGCGCGTCGCCGCGCTGGGCAAGTGGATGCAGCGGCGGATGATGTGGCTCACAGGCCTGGTCAAGCCCGGCGAGCTCAAGGTCATCGGCTGGAAGCAGAAGCGCGTGATGGGACTGGTAAATTGTGACGCCTTCGTAGGCTGCGACGGTGGCGCGGACTTCGAGGCGACGGCTGAGCGTCGGCACGTCCGCGCCGGCGACCGGGTAGGCCTCCCTAAACTCGCACGACGCCGCCGTCGCCGCCGTGATAGTGTAAACGACGCCGTCGAGCTCGAACTGTTTCATCTGCAACTCCGCGACGACCGTCGCGGACAGCGTGTCTTCGACGGGCGCGACGGGCTCGACGGCCGTCTCCGGCGGTGGCAACGGCGACGGCGCCGTCAGATTCGTCACGTTCGTGGCACCGGCCTCGGCGGGCGACTTGACCTCGAAGCGGGCGTTGAGCTTCAATTCGCCGGTGTCGACGTTGTAAGTGCACGTCACCCGCACGAGCTTGTTGAACTCGTCCAGCGTCGTCGGCACCCTCGTCTCCTTGAAGCCGCCTTTTAGGGGTACTCGTAGACCGCGTCGCCGCGCCAAGATCCGGAACTCGCTCTCCAGGCGCACCACGTCATCGCCGCTAAGCGAGAACCGCTCGAAACGGTAGAACTGGAGGCGCGTCACGTCGGCGCCGCCTGGCCGCCCGCGCGCCACGACGCGCTTCGCCGTGAACTTCTCGATCCACATGCCCGACAGCTTCGAGAGGTAGGCCCAGTACAACTTCGAAACACACGTCGTAACGGTACCGCTCTTCTTTTTCCCGCGGAGGAGCTCGCCGACGGCATCAGCAACGGCGACGCGCACGTTTAACAAGTCCCACAAGCCGCTCATCGTCGACGGCCTGTCGTCGATCAGCGACGCGACGCAGCGCTCTGGAAGCGGTCGCAGCGCCGGCGACGTACCATCAAACCACTGGTCGAGGGTGTAGACTCGCGCGAGGCCGTCGTAGGCACCACTTCTGGCCTTGTCCTGCGACACGACCCACACAGGCCCCACGACGGAGGTCACCGAGACCTCTCTAGAAGTCGACGAGAGGACGACATCGCAGGTGGACGCAGTCGACCTGTTGATGTGTTTGGGCAACGCGTCGATCTTGTAGAGCTCCAAGACCTCGATCCTTGAGGACGACGAGGGCTGCAGGAAGACGACCATGCTGCCGTCCTTGAGCAACAGCGAGTCGCCCGAGAAGATGGGTCCGACCTTCGGGGCGAAGAACGGCGTCCGTCGCGCGGCGAGGACGTCCTCGAGCGCCTCGGGAGCGCGCGCCACCGTGACGGCGGTCTCCTCCTTCTTCACGACGAGCGGTTCCGAGCCCTGCGCGAACGGCTGGACCTGCACAGTGTCGCCGACGACGGCAATGGCGGTGCCCTCGACGCGCTCGTCGTCGCAGGCGACGACGACGCTGTCCAGGGACTGCGGGGCGCGGTTTGTTATGGTCTGAAGGACCCGCGGCCGCGCCGCGCCGTCGCCGCGCGAGCGCTTCTGGGACGACGAGGGCAGCTTTTCCCACGTCTCGCGGCGCCTCTTCAGCCCCTGTTTCTTGGGGGCGGGGTCCGGGGACGGCGGCGGCGCGCGGCGCGACCGCGCGGCGCGGGGCAGCAGCTCGGTGGGCTTTACCCAGCCGCGCGAGCGCGCCTCATCCTCGACGTACTTCTGGAAGGTGGCCTGGTCCGGCGCGAGGCCCTCCAGGTACTTCAGCCTGCCCGGGGGCAGCGTATTTGCGGCCATCGTCCAGTTAACTGATACCAGCAAACGACCAGTCTCTACATCTAATAAAGTCAACCAAACAAAAAGTCAACTTTGTCAAATCCCACTAGTCGGCCGTAGTGCTGCTGCAGTCGCGCTGCACTCCGCACCAGAGGCTCCGTTGTCGTAACGAAGCGCTTCTGGCATTAATTCTATCGCTCACCAGTACGCGTGTGAATCCTCAAAGCCCAGCGCTACGTAGTTCCACAAAAAAGCCTGTGAGAGCAGTGAGTGCATAATGCGCCGCAGCCTCTACGCCGCCGCCGCGCTCCTGCAAGGTGCAAATGCATTACTCGCAACGCCACCGCGCCGACGACAGACGCGCCTCCAAAACCTCAACGACCACATCGACGTGCTCCAGGGCCAGTTCGAGGCCTCGCCCGTCGACGGCCTGCCGGACTGGGTCCAGACGACGCTGGAGCAGCAGGGCCTGAACGTGCTCACCTTCGACGAGGGCAATGCATCGCTGCTCTTCGCGAACATCCTGGTCATCGCGCTCGCGTCCTACGTCGGCAAGCAGACGGGCAACGCCGACACCATGGAAATAGCGGACGGCATGCGGCGGGAGCGGCGGCGGCGGGGGCGCATGGACGTCGAGAAGGCGCTGCCGGGCGAGGACGACGTCCGGGGCTGGTTCGCTGATGATCAGGACGAGTCATAATACACTAGACATTACTCGGCCGGGTCGCCGTCCGCCGCGACCGCGTACTTCGAGCCCTGGACGACGCGGTAGTTCATCTGGCGCTGGGACTTGGCCGGCAGTGGCGGCTGCGGCGTTCCCTTGCGGAGGAGCTTTCCGTCGTCATCGACCAGCACGAACGAGGAGTAATTGTCGGCAGGTGTCCAGACCAACTTGAACGCGATTTTGGATTTAAACTGCACGTGCGCTACGTCTCTTGGCGGGTCCGACGCGCAGCCATTCGTACAGGTCGACCAGGACCCGCCTTCGCCCAACTCGGGCAGCGACGCCTCGCGGATGCCGGGTCCGAGCAGGTTGCTCCGTGAGATCTCGGCTACGCTACCGTCCGCATTTGATTCGTCCTGCACGTCTCCCAGCATCGTGGTCAGGTCGCAGTGATTGTAGTCGTTGAACGCATGGCCCGTGTACCCTTGGCCGGGACGAGCGTTCGGCAAATCGCGCAGGCCGCCCGCCCGCAGCAGGGCGCGGCGCGCGTCGGGCCACGGGCCGTCGAGCTCAGACTGCGGGATCGCAGCCAATCGCTGGTGCACCGCTTCGAGGCGCGCGACCGCAGTTCCAGGGTAGACGGGATCGATCTTACGCGCGGCCATGGCGAGCGTTCTCGTGACGGTTGCCAGCGTGATGATGGCTTTGCGCATCGATGAGTGCTCAATGATGCACTGCTCAGTGATGCGCACTGCTCAGTGATGCAGGCGTGGCAGGGTGGACTGCAGCGCAATGGCCAGCAGCGATGCGAATTCGCTCCGCTCCGAGTAGCACAGTATCTAATGGGTTGCCACGCAGCGCGGTACGATTAACAACCTCGCTACGTCGCGAACGAGTCGACTGACGTTTTAGCTAGCGGCATTAACGTACTAGTTGACATTACTCAAGTCGGGATCGCCTGCTGTTGCGGCCGCTTCAGCTACCCTCACACCGTAAGGCTACGGTAGCATCACTGTGACACCCCGGAAGCGTACGCAAAGATGAAACTCGCCGTCGCTCTCCTGCTCGCCCCCGCCGCGGCCTACGTGCCGCTGCGCGCTTCCATGCAGCGCGCCTCGACGCTGGTGCGCGCCGACGAGGAGCCGGAAGCCATGGACTTGGACCTCGGTGAAATGTTCGAGCTCTTCGACGAGGCCGACCCGGAAGGCGTCGCCGAGCGCGAGGCCGCCAAAAAGGCCGAAGAGGAGGCCGCCGCGAAGGAGGCCGCCAAGCTGGCTATGATGGTAGAGGGCGCGTCGGCGCCGTTCGGCTTCTGGGACCCCGCCGGCCTGTCGAAGCTCGGCACGCCGGCGACGCAGGCCTGGTTCAAGGCCGCCGAGCTGAAGCACTCGCGCGTCGCGATGGCGGCGACGGTGGGCTGGATCGTCAACGAGGCCGGTATTGTGTTCGACGGCAACATCGCCACGGGCGTGCCGTTCTCGTCGCTGGGCAAGGGCGTCCAGGCGTGGGAGAACGTGCCCGACGCGGGCAAGCTCCAGATCATCTTGGCGGCGGGCGCTATTGAATTTGCCTCGGAGGCGAAGCAGCCGCACTACATGCGCGGCGGGCGGCCGGGCCAGACGGCCGGGCCCTTCGGCTTGAGATTGTGGGACCCCCTGAACTACAACGGGGGCATGGACGAAGAAACCAAACGCACGAAGCGCCAGATGGAGGTGAACAACGGGCGGCTGGCGATGATCGGCGCGGCGTCCTTCGTCGCGGCGTCGTACATCCCCGACTCCGTGCCCGCGCTGCCGTCGACGTGGTAGGTCGAACTAACAACAGTACTTAACTCACAGCCGCCAGGAGGTCCTCGTAGTCATGGGCGTCGTCGCCGTCGAACCCCTCCTCCGCGTCGTCGGGCTCGCGCACGGCGAGGCTCCGGTCCGTCCACTGTGTCGGGCACTCGAAGGTCCTGCGCCGCGCCGCCGCGAGCTCCCGCTCGAGGCCGGCGACCTCCTTCGCCGGCGCGTCGACCCGCGCCTTGCGGAGCCGCCGTTCCAACGGTGCGACGTCGTACGCGTCGGCGCCGTGGGCGGCCCGGAACGTCGCGAGGCACTGGCGCCGCGGGCCGGCCTCGGCTAAGATAGCCGCGACGTCGCCGTCGGCGAGGCCGTACGCGCCCTTCAGCAGGCCCGCCACGTCCGCCGCGTACACGAAGGGGCAGTCGTGGCATCCGCCTTCCTCGCCCTTGCCGGCCGGGTCGCCTTTGATCATCTTGTCGCAACCGGTGGGGGAGTAAACCACGCGTTGGCCCTCGAGGCCGTAGGCGTGTCGCACGCCGTAGCTCCACTTGTTCTCACGCATCGACCAGTCCTTCCAGCGCACCTTACCGAAGGCGATCGTGATGTCGACCGGCGCCCCCAACGCGGACAACAAGCACCAGTACTGGTACCGCGCCTTGTGCTTCAGGTGTTTTCGGTGGCGGAGCTGATTGTGCATCCGCACGAAGCAAGGCGCCACGCGGCGCTTCGCGACGGCGTCGTCGACGTCGCCAATACAATTGATTGCCAGGCGCGCGCCCGGCCGATGGGCCGCGGCGACCGCGCTGGCCCACCGCACGAGCCGTTCCGCGGCGGCCACCGCCGGGTCGTCGGAAATGCCGACGACCGCCTCCGCGGACCGCAGCGCGCCGCGCCGCAGCGCCGCCGAGAGCTTGCGGCGGAAGCGCCGCACCGCGATGCCGCGGCACGCGGCGCCGTCCCTGAGGAAGAACGCGACACGCCGGAACACGACGACGCCGCGCCGGTCGCCGCTCATGTCGTTGAGGAACGCCGGCGTCGCCCGTCGCGCGACGATGGCGCCCGCGCCGCTGGGGCGCAGGTACGCGGCCACGTGCTCCGGCGCCTCGAGGTCGGGGTCGTCCTGGCGCTCGCCGGGCCGCGCGCGCGCCGCATCAACAGCGGCGAGGCGCGTCGCGCCCGCGTGGAGGCGTCGGCGGTAGCGGTCCACCTCCTTGTCGAGGAACGCGCGCGCCGCGGCGCCGCGGTGACCGACGGCGCCGCACGCGACGGCAGCGCGCGCCGCGAAGTGCGCCACGGCGTCGAGGTCCGCGTCTTGAAACGTGGACGACGCGTAGCGATACGCGAGCGCGGACTCGACAGCCTCGAACCGCTGCTCCGCGTCCGGACACGCCGCGTACTCCCAGGCGTCGTCGTCGCTGTCGTCGCTGTCGTCGCCGCTCAGGTACGCGAGGTCGCCCGCGCGGGCCTCGACCGCTACTCGTTTCACTTGCGCGGCGCGGTCGGGCTCACCGATGGCCGCGGCGGCCTGCCGGAGGACCGCTGCGATTGCTGCATCCATGCCGCTGCTGCTCTGCCCAGCAGATTGCAGTGTGTGCGCGTAGCAGCGCTGTGCGAGCCCGTTCTCTCCAAGCGGGGCGAGCGTTATCACTACGGCCTACTGGTAGGATACCAAGCCCCCCTAGTTACATTATGTATTGCAGTAACTTGTAGGAAAACCAGGGGGTAGCTGAGCGCCCAGCGGCGCTGCTAAAAGCGCTGCGATCTCGGTCCAGCTGCATCGCATTAAAACTTGATTGGGGGAGGCAGCCCACACGCAGCTGCTGCGCAGCATACTCTAATCAAGTTTTAATAACTTGTTCACAGCCCGAGAACGTTGGTGCTGCCACGATGCCGCGGGTGTGGAAGCCCGCGGCGGACGATCAGCACATCTTCGACGCCCTGCCAATGCCGGAGGGGGACGTCTTCCTCAGCGACGACGAGCTCCTCATGGAGATGGACGGCGTGGCGACGCGCGCCGCGCTCAACGCGGCGCTCGGTCCCACCGCGAGGACAAGGGTGACCTTTGATGCCGAGGGTCGGTACTGGCGGAAGTCGTACGAAATTGATAAGGAGCCGCGGTGCATCTACTTCTTGCCAGCCGTGCAGAACCGCGCGCGCGCGCTCGAGGAGTACCCCGATGGCGTCGAGCCGCCGTTCCCGCGACCAGAGGAGAAGTTCCAGTGCAAGAGGAAGCAGCCGCCCCGAGCGCCGCGCAAGCCGTCGAAGACGACGGCGCGGTCCGGCGAGAAGCGCCCGACGTCCGCGCGGCCTAGGATGTACACGACGCCCGGCGAGAAGGTCACGCGCGTGGATCCGGTTGATGATGCTGAGCTGCTCGTGCCGGACGAAGACGTGGTCGACCTCGACGAAGTCGCGCCAGTACCACGGCCCGTGACACGACGAGATTTAATGGCCCTAGAGCAGCGCGCCGAAGACGCGCTCGCGGCGTGCGACCGCGCGGAAGCCGCGCGCGCCGCGGCCGTCGCGGCCCACGCGGAGCTACGCGACAGACAGGACGCAGTCTTCGCGAGGAGCGCCACCGACTCGGCAAGCAAGCGGCGCTCTCTCTGGACCGCGAGGCGAACGCGCTCTCCGCGGAGAGAGCGGCACGACGGCGCGACGTTGATCGCCTTAGAGCCAAATTTTCACAAGAGGCATGGAAAATGGACCAGTGAGCGACGCGCGGCGGCGCGGCTAGACGAGGAGCGGCGGCGATTGGAGGAGGGGTTCCGGACAAACACGCGCGAGTTGCAGCGGCAACTCGACGCGCAGAGAACTGAAGTCGCCGATTTGAAAAAGAAACAAAGCCAGCTCAACCTCGAGCTTTATGGCCTTCGACGGCTTCGAGGCGCCTGGCTGGGTTCTCGTGTTGCGTATTTACCGGAGGAGCCGCCGCCGGATTCGGACTTCGAAGGCGAGTCGTTGTGGCCCGTGGTCCACGCCGTCGGCGACTTTCTCAGTAGAATTTGTGGTGGTACGCTCAAAAGAAAGCAACAGAAGTGTCTGCGTCTCCTAGCCGACTACGCGTGGTGTCAACACTCTCGCGGGCGGGGGGAGATTGGCCTCGTGCGAGCTCACTTTGCGTGCGCGGAGTACCGGCGCCTCCAGGAGATTTTCTCTCCAGCCGAACTACTGAAGACCATGGACGTGGAGATGACGGGGAACTACGCTGCGAGCGAGGCCATGCGGGCCAGAGAGCGGGCGGCTCTCGTTGCGCTCGGGGAGACGTTGGGCAAGCGCTGATGCTGTTATTCCCCACGAAGTTCGCGCTCCAGGAAACAGCCTGGCTGGCAGAGTTGCTGATGGCCACAAGGTTTCGGTTACGGAAACGTCCGCGGGCGACGGCACTTACGAGGCGGTCGGCATTGCGACGGGCGCGGTCCTCGACGTCATCGGAAAGCAGTATGGGCTCCTTGAGACTGGACGCAGTCCCGCGGATCCGCGGAGGATCAGAGGCACGCAAGACGGCAGCAACATCACGAAAAGCGACGACTTTACGATGCAAGGGATCCACGTCAACGACAGCCGCGCGGTCGACCCGATCACTGGCAAGCCTATCACCGACTTCCAGTCGCCTGATCGGGTTCATATTACTACGTTAGCCGTTGGCCACGAGAGCCATGCCCTGTACGAAGCTTTAGACGACGTGACGGATCACTTCAGTACAGCGGCGACGGCGCAAACCGATGGTGTCTACCAGTCAGAGGCAGAGGGCCGCGCCGTTCACGTTGATTACGTCTGCTCGGGCGACATGGCCAACCTCCAGACGGTGTCGAAGAAGGGCTTCGCGACTGGGACGTCGGAGAACGCGCGGCCGTGTTATTGTTGCGCGCAGACCAACAGGCAGATGACGACGCCCAAGGTAGTTGACGACCTTTGCGACGTCTGCAGAGCAGCGGGTCGGTTAGTGTGCTACCACGCGGAGATGTCGACGCCGGCTGCCGTAGACGAGTGGCGCGCTACGGCTGCCGCTGCGCTCACGGAGCTCAGAGGGGAGCTGCCCCCAGCCTACCGCTACATGCGCGAGGCCAAGACTTTAAGTGCGGCGCAGCTGCGCGAGCTCGCCGCGGAGGCTGGGCTCGATGCGGGCGGCACCTCGGCCCACTTGCACGCGCGCTTCGCTGCTTATTGCGGTCAGCATTGCTTGGAATTGGAAAACCCCAACCAAAACGGGTTTTACGCAAAGTTCGACTGTCGAACTGCGACCCCAGCACAAAAAACGCAATTTTCGCTGGTCGTGAACGATTGTCTTGTTGATTTCGGCCTGGCGGTGACGGGCAACCTCGGTTCGCGCGTCGAGAAGCTGACGCAGCGCCTGAAATTGGTTGACCAATATTACGAACTTCAAGCGCAATTAGAACACGCCACGCCAAATTCTGATGCGCTCATCTCCCTGGTCGAGCATATGGTCCCGTGCGTCTTGCATTTAGAAAACCGGACGCGCGAGAAGCTGTTGCGGCTCATCCTCAACAATTTATTTGTGATCTACGAGAAGAGCGTGGCCCTGGCGAAGCTGCGGCCGCTGGAGAAATTGATTAGAACGAAAGGCTTCGGCTGCCCGAACGGCCGCGAGGGCAAGTGGACGGCGCCGCTCTCCAAGGACGAAGATTCCGTCGAGAAGATCTCGTTGAATTGCGGCCGCGCCCGGAAGATCTTTGCTAACGTCGGCACGGAGCTCATCGAGGCGTGCTTCCCGGACGACGCCAAGCGGCGGGTCGTCCTCGACCTCGTCCGCGGCTACGAGGAATTGATGGTGCTATATCGAAAACGAGAAGATCTCACGGACGTCGAGATTGCCAAAGCCGACGACCTCGCCCAGGAGACCTACCATCGGCTACTGACGGCTTTCACGGCGAAGGCCCTCACGAACTACTTCCACATGATCGGCTCGGGCCACATTACTGCTTATTTGCGAAAGTACCGGAACTTGTACCGCTACTCGAACCAGGGGCAGGCGCGAACCGCGATCTTGATCGCCGCTTCCTCACGCGGACGCAGCGCGGCGGCCACTGCGGCCACGAGGCGACGCGGGCGACGCGCGTCGCCGCGCTGGGCAAGTGGATGCAGCGGCGGATGATGTGGCTCACAGGCCTGGTCAAGCCCGGCGAGCTCAAGGTCATCGGCTGGAAGCAGAAGCGCGTGATAGACTGGTAAATTGTGACTTACTCTTCGTAGGCTGCGACGAGTGCATGGACTTCAGACGTTGGACGCGTGAGCGTCGGCACGTCCGCGCCGGCGACCGGGTAGGCCTCCCTAAACTCGCACGACGCCGCCGTCGCCGCCGTGATAGTGTAAACGACGCCGTCGAGCTCAAACGTTTCATCTGCAACTCCGCGACGACCGTCGCGGACGCGCGTCTTCGACGGGCGCGGACGGGCTCGACGGCCGTCTCCGGCGGTGGCAACGGCGACGGCGCCGTCAGATTCGTCACGTTCGTGGCACCGGCCTCGGCGGGCGACTTGACCTCGAAGCGGGCGTTGAGCTTCAATTCGCCGGTGTCGACGTTGTAAGTGCACGCCACCCGCACGAGCTTTGCTGAACTCGTCCAGCGTCGTCGGCACCCTCGTCTCCTTGAAGCCGCCTTTTAGGGGTACTCGTAGACCGCGTCGCCGCGCCAAGATCCGGAACTCGCTCTCCAGGCGCACCACGTCATCGCCGCTAAGCGAGGTCCGCCGCCCGGTAGAACTGGAGGCGCGTCACGTCGGCGCCGCCTGGCCGCCCGCGCGCCACGACGCGCTTCGCCGTGAACTTCTCGATCCACATGCCCGACGAGCGAGAGGTAGGCCCAGTACAACTTCGAAACACACGTCGTAACGGTACCGCTTCTTCTTTTTCCCGCGGAGGAGCTCGCCTGACGGCATCAGCAACGGCGACGCGCACGTTTAACAAGTCCCACAAGCCGCCATCGTCGACGGCCTGTCGTCGATCAGCGACGCGACGCGCCTGGAAGCGGTCGCAGCGCCGGCGACGTACCATCAAACCACTGGTCGAGGGTGTAGACTCGCGCGAGGCCGTCGTAGGCACCACTTCTGGCCTTGTCCTGCGACACGACCCACACAGGCCCCACGACGGAGGTCACCGAGACCTCTCTAGAAGTCGACGAGAGGACGACATCGCAGGTGGACGCAGTCGACCTGTTGATGTGTTTGGGCAACGCGTCGATCTTGTAGAGCTCCAAGACCTCGATCCTGAGGACGATTTGGGGCTGCAGGAAGACGACCATGCTGCCGTCCTTGAGCAACAACAGCGAGTCGCCCGAGAAGATGGGTCCGACCTTCGGGGCGAAGAACGGCGTCGTCGTCGCGCGGCGAGGACGTCCGGCGCGCTCGGGAGCGCGCGCCACCGTGACGGCGGTCTCCTCCTTCTTCACGACGAAGCGGTTCCGAGCCCTGCGCGAACGGCTGGACCTGCACAGTGTCGCCGACGACGGCAATGGCGGTGCCCTCGACGCGCTCGTCGTCGCAGGCGACGACGACGCTGTCCAGGGACTGCGGGGCGCGGTTTGTTATGGTCTGAAGGACCCGCGGCCGCGCCGCGCCGTCGCCGCGCGCGCTTCTGGGACGACGAGGGCGCTTTCCCCCGCCGTCCGCGGCGCCTCTTCAGCCCCTGTTTCTTGGGGGCGGGGTCCGGGGACGGCGGCGGCGCGCGGCGCGACCGCGCGGCGCGGGGCAGCAGCTCGGTGGGCTTTACCCAGCCGCGCGAGCGCGCCTCATCCTCGACGTACTTCTGAAGGTGGCCTGGTCCGGCGCGAGGCCCTCCAGGTACTTCAGCCTGCCCGGGGGCAGCGTATTTGCGGCCATCGTCCAGTTAACTGATACCAGCAAACGACCAGTCTCTACATCTAATAAAGTCAACCAAACAAAAAGTCAACTTTGTCAAATCCCACTAGTCGGCCGTAGTGTCTAGCGTACATCGACACTAGCACTATGGAGCTTGAGCAAAAAGCTGTCTGAAGCGCGGCTGCAGTGGAAGGACACGTTACAGCGACGGGCGTCAACGCCAGAGTGCATTCACAGCGGCGGCAAACGAAACCGGTACCAGCGGCACGATTACTTTTGAGTTGGGAGAGCTGCAACAGAGCACTCTTTCACAAGCATCAGCGAGAGCAGCAAGCGATGGAAAGCCTCCCCGAAGAATGCGTCGTGCACGCCCTGGGTTTCCTGGAGCTCGAGGATGTCATTGATTTCACGCGCACGACGAAAGACGCGTCCGCGTTCGTGACAAAGCACGACAAGAGCCTCTTCGAGCCCGCGCTGGAGCGGCTTCACGCTTGGCGCCAGGGCGTCGGGCGCCTTGAAAACGAAGGACCTCCCCTCCACGAGCGCCGCGTCCTGGCGATGGACAACGTACCCTGGCGGGACCGCTACCTCCGCGAGCGCGCCGACCTGACCAGGACCGCGATCACGCGAGATGACCTCGTCGCCCATTCTTGGCGCCTGCGCTTCCGCGAGCCGGGCGGGGGCGTGCAGGTGCGGGAGGTGCCCCCGAAGGGCTGCCGTTTCCTCTCGGACGGCATGTTTCGGCTGGAGGGCTTCCCGCCGATGGAGTGGAGCGTGGCGGAGGACGGCGACGCGGTCGTCATCTCGAACTTTCCGCCCCACCGCGTACAGCGGCGCGCGCACTACGACCACGGCTGGACGCTCGAGAACAAGAACGTGATCCTGTGGTCGGTCGACGAGATGTCCCCGCACTGGGCGCGCATGAGCAGTCGCCACGCGGCCGCCGCCGCGAAATTGTCCGGCAACCGCCACGCGCGTGAAGCTCGAGAGTTGCTCACGCGGGGCGGCGTCTTCGAGCGCGCGGGGCGGCACGACCGGGCGCGCATCGCCTTCATGGACGCCCTCGCCCACGCGGGCGGGACGCTCGCCCACCTTCCGCTCGGCGCGACGGGCTACCTGCCAGAGGACCCGCTTGCCGAGGACTTCGAGCGCTACCAAACCGACCCCGGCGCCATGGTCGTCGAACTGCAAGAATGCTACCAGCTGGAGACGCTCTGGCACGAGCGCAACAATAGGTTGTACGCGCTACTCTCGCTCGCCCGCGCCGCGCTCGAGACGGGCGAGGCGCGCCAGGCGCTGGACGCGGCCCGACGTGCCGCAATGAACGTCCTCCACCAGGGCGACTTTCACGGACGCGCGGAGTGCATCCGGGACGTCGAAGACCTGCGCGCGCGCGCGCTCCTGGCGTTGTCCGAGGAGCAGTCGGCGCCTCGGCCGCGGAGCGAGAGCCTCCTCGCCCAGGGGCTGGAGGGCCTCGGCGTCTAGTCTAACTGTGCATTTTTTACCAGCCCTGGGGTAGGTCGTGCGGATGCACACGTTCTTGTCGCGCGGTTTCAAATTGGGCTAGGCTTGTGCCCGGCAGTATGTACAGCGACGTCGGGAAGGGGAGTTTTACGACCGGCGGCTCAGCCGCAGCGCGGCGATGAGGCCGCGGTTCGGATTGACGGCGCCCGTCGCGTCCTCGCGACACTTCGGGCATTGGATTGCGCCGTCGGCCTTGCGGAGCGCGGCGACGCACGTCCGGCAGATTTCGTGCGCGCCCGAGCACGGCAGGACCATGGGCGCGTGGACGCTCGTGTCGTAGAGCTCGCAGCAGACGACGCACTCGAGGTCCAAGTCGTTCTCCTCGGCCTCATCGAGGTCGAGGGCGTCGAGGGACAGGGGCGGGCTCGGCGTCGGCGACGCCCGCCGCGGCGGCGAGGTCTGGAGGAGCTGCGCGACGGCGTCGGCGTCGGGCTCGAACGCCTCGAACGCGCGCATCGCCTCCTCCGCCGCGGAGACGTCCTTCGTTTCTTGCCAGGCGTTTGTGGTCTCGATGGACCGCGGCGATGGCGACGGCGCGGTCGCCACGGCGGACCACTCTTGCGCCGGGAGCGGCGCGCGCGCCGGCGGCGGCGGCATGAGCAACGGCGACGGCGGTAGATCTTGCGCGGCGGGCGCCGGCGCGCGCGGCGGCGGCGGTGGATCTTGCGCGGCGGGCGCCGGCGCGCGCGGCGGCGACGGCGGGGCGGCGCGCGCCGGCGGCGGCGGCATCGCGGGCCAGTCTTGCGGCGCGGGCGCCGGCGCCGCGGCCACGAACTCCGGCGGCGGGCGCGGCACGGCCGCGGCCGTCTCCTTTGCCAGCTGCGCCTGGACGGCGAGGCGCGCGCGGCGGCTCGCCGCGAGCGCGTCGGCCGCGAGGACCGACGGCGTCACCGAGGCGCACGCCAGCAGGTCCGGCGTCACCACCTCGATCACCGAGGCCTCCGTGCCGCGCTCTTGCCCGGGCGGCGGCGTGCCCGCGCGGACGCGCAGGCCGTGGCCCGCGCCGCGGCCGCGCACCGCGACCTTGAGCGCGAGCGACGGCGAGAGCCCGATGGCCTTGACGGACGCCGCGTGGCGCGGGTGCGCGTCGAGGAACACCTCGGCCGATGATATGTCCAGGGACGGCTTGTCGCCCGCCGCGAGCCACGTCGCGAGGTCCGCCAGGAGGCTGTCCTGCGCGGCCGGGGCCCACTCCGTGTGCTCCCAGGGCGTGTCGTCATCCTCGTCCTCGACGTTGACGCCCTCGAAGCGCACGTCAATGGCCTTCGTGCGCTTGCGGTACTCCGTAAGGGCGAAGGACACGCGGTCGCCGCGGCGCGGCTCGAAGTCCACATCTACCAAATGCATGAAGACGTCCTCGGCGCCGGTCGTGTCGCGCCGGATGAAGCCGTAGGTCTGGCGGAGGAAGTGGATGAAGCCCGTGAAGCGCTCGCCCGTCGAGCCGTTCTGCGACGTGAGCTGGCGCCGGCGCCGGCCGCCGATCTTCGGCGCGGGCAGCCGCTCGGCGCGGCTCCGCCGGAGCTGGCGCAGGTACGCCGGCGTCTCGCCCGGCGGCACGGGCGAAGAGGGCGTGATGATCGGCGTTAATGTTATGGGCGTCCGCGGGCTCAGGTAGCCCGTCGCCGTCGACAGCGAGCCGGGCGACTCGTCGCCGTCGCCGATCTGGTACTCGTAGAACGACAGGCCCGAGTCCTGCCGCCCGTAGGAGTCCGCGCGCGTGTAGGAGTCCGCGCGTAAATAATTTCGGTTGCGCAGCGCCTGGACCTGTTCTGCGGTGAGGCTTGCGGCTGCCGCGTCGCCAGGAAACGCCGGCGGGACGGGCGGGAGCTCGCCGGGCTGGTAGGGTTGCGACGAGGGGTTCATCGCAAGTGCTTGGGCGCTGATTTTTATCTTGGGCGGCGCCGCGGGGGCTCGGAGAGCCTTGGTCAGCTTTTCTCAGGTGTTGGATTTGGGCCACGGCGTGAAGTTTCGTAGCTTACGAGGCCCCCACCGTCTGTAGTAGTATCTGTGAGGCCTTGGCGCCGCCGATGGTGGGGATGCGCGTGCGCGAGCTCGACCAAATGGGCTGAGTGAAAGCAATTCCCATGAAATCGGCAAGCAAGTCCGTGACGCGTCTGAACTGCCGAGAGGGAGAGAGAGAAGTCGCTGGGTTGCTCTGATCAGCACGAAAAATCGACCGCCGCGCCGCCGCGCGCGCCGCGCATCTCGCCGCGCAAGTTAAGGGGCAAACCCATGGAAGAAGGGTCGCCACTCGCCTGAATTTACTCCGGCGGGACCACAAGGATCAACGCACGATACCAGCCGGAGCCTGGTCACAACATAGTAGGCTGTCGCTGCTCAGCTGGTGATGTTGGAGGCGACTGCCGCGCGCAGGCTCAATTCTACCCAACGCGGAGGCCGTGGTGCACGCTACCACGCGGAGGCGCAGCATGGCACCGCACGCACAGGCTGCCCGCGGCGCCGCCCTCTACGCGCCGTGTGAGGACGAGCTCAACACTTGGCCGAGAGGCCGTCCGGCAGACGGCAGCGACGACGATTACGGATTGAAGGCCGACGGCGCTTTATCGCAAAAAGCAGCCGAGCTCCTCGACGCGTGCGACGCGGAACCGGACGGCGACCGCCGCTTGGCCCTCGCGCGGCGCGCGTACGCCGCGGCCCCAACGGCCAAGAACGCGCGGCGCGCCTACGCCCTCGCGCTCGCGACGTCTAAAAGGTGGGGCCTCCTCGCCGACCTTTTAGAAAAGTGGGACATCTCCACAACGTTCGGCGACGGCGACGTCGCGTCGCGCGCCGCGGCGTGCGGCCTGCGCTTCGCGTCGCGCTACGGCGCCGCGGAGCTCGCCGCGCCCGCCGACGTGGCCCTGGGCGCGGCGCAGGCGGCCGCGAAGCGCGCTGGCGACGCTTTTTTTGCGGTCGGCCACTTCGCCGAGGCGGCCGAGGCGTACGGCCGCGGCGTCGGCGTCGCCGCACACCCGACGCTCTCCTGCGACCGCGCCGCCGCGCTCGTCGCCGCGGGCGACTTTCAAGGCGCGCTGGCGTCCTTCGACGCGGCCGTGGACGCGAACCCGTCATGCTGGCGGTGCCGCTGGGCGCGGGCGCGGTGCGCGGGCGCCGTCGCGGTTCTTTTCGGCGTCCTGATCCATGCGAAGGCGCCAACCGATCGACGACCGTACGCAGGCGCAAGGCCTCGCCCTCGACGATAACGACGACGACGAGCGCCGCGTCGAGACCGCGCGCGCGCGCGCCGAGGCCGCGGGCAAGGTCGCGTTGGAGGACCTCGCGCGGCTCCGGGGCGTCGACTTTTTCGCCGCCGTCGCGGCGTTACGCGCGGCCGCGACGGCCTCCGTCGCCGCGCTCCAAAAGCGGCGGCGCTCGGCGCAAACGCGCGCGCGGGCGCGTCGCCGGGAGGCGCGCACGACCTACGCTCGGACGGCGCCCGCCCGGACCGTCCGGTCGCACTACGACGTCCTCGGAATTTCGAGAGACGCCGGCGCCGCCGCGGTGCGCCGGGCCTACCGGAAAAAGGCCCTAGCGACGCACCCGGACAAGACCAACGGCGAGTCCGAGGCCTTCCTCGCCGTCGGCGAGGCGTTCCGCGTCCTTTCCGACCGGGGCCTCCGGGAGGCGTACGACGCGGAGCTCGACCTTCTTTTGTCGTAACTGTGCTACGTATAGTGCCAACACTCGGGGCGACGGCGTATGAGGTTCGGGGGCCGGGCGTACGAGGCCTCGTCGGCTTCCGCTGCTAGGTGGCATAGCTCTTAGCAAAGCAAATCAGGCATCGAGGACGGAAGGACTGACACAAAACTTTCAAGTTACCGCGAGCGCCTCCATCGCTTGGGCGAGCTCCTTTTCCAGCTCGCCCCGGCGCGCGAGCTTCTCAGCCTGCTGCGCGTTGGGCTCGAGTCCCGCGGCGACGCGCGTCTCCAGCTCCGACACGGCCTTGAGCTTCTTCGTGAGGCCCTTGGCGCGCCGCCGCAGCTCGTCGCCGGCGTCCGCCGCGGGCGCCGGCGCCTCGGCCGCTTCCGCTGTCTCGGCGACGGGCGCGAGCGGCGCGGCCTCGCGTGCCCGCCGGCGCGCGGCGGCGCGACGCGCTGAGCGGCTCCCGGCCGGCGCCTCGCGCTTGAACAGCGGCGGCGGCAGCGGCGGGCCGGCGGCTGCTCCTGGCGGGTTCGCGGGCCGCCGCGCGCGCACCGCGTACTTCTTCACCTCGTCCTGCGGCACGAAGGACCGCCAGCTGCCGTCGGGCCGCTGCTCGGCGCGCACTCTTAAATCTTTCCGTCGCGTGCCGTCCGGCCGCAGCGAGCCGGGGACGACCACGGACTTGTCGGCGTAGACGTCGCGGCCGTCCTGGTCCTTGCCCACGATTTCTTGTGTTTTTGCTGTCATGGCGCTCATAATGCTCTCCCTGTTTATTTGCTGCAGAGCTCTGTAATACGTGCGTCACTTGGGCGCAGCTCGTTGTGCCTTGTGTGGCGAGTCTGTTGCAGATTCCACGCCTACTCAGGCACGAGAGGCGAGCAGTTCAGCGCATCCCATCTCATGAGCTGCTTGCTCTAGAGTGTCTTACCTGTACAGGCCGCTAGCACGAGCCGTGCGCTCAACATAACAGTCGACACGGGATTTCGCCAATATTAATACATTAAGATTACTCACCGCCCATCGCCTTCGCCGCGTGCCCCGCGCCCCGCCGCCGCAGGCCGAGCCGCCGGTTCCGCAGCTGCACGAGGGGCGAGTACTCGCCGCGCTTCTCGTCGGAGACGTAGTAGCGCATCAAGCGCGGCGGCGGCCGCGCGCGCCGCGGCATTTGTTCAAATTTGTGCGGCTTCAGCAACGCCCGCAGCGCGAGGCGGTTGTAGTGCGCGCAGGTCACGGTGCCGCCCGCGTCCTCCACGGCTTTGATCGCCGACGCCGACGCGCGCGACACCTCGATGTGCACTGATGACGTGATCTCGCCCTCGCCCAACAACTTGACGCCGGCCGTGCTCCCCTTGAGGTTCACGAGGCCGCTCGTGTTCAGGTCGCGCATCGTCAGCATCTCTGTGTCAGAGGGCTCCAGCCTTCCATTCTCGATCCACTTCTGCAAACTCCCCACGTTCACGACGTCAAAGGCCTCTCTTCTAGACGTGAAGCCGACCTTCGGCAGGGCTTTGTGCAGTGGCGTCTGCCCGCCCGCGAACCCGGGCCGCACGGAGCCGCCCTGTCGCGCCTTCGTCCCCTTGTGGCCGCGGCCCGCCGTCTTGCCCTTGCCACTACCAATACCGCGGCCCACCCGGATCTTGGGGCGCTTGTTGGAGCCGGGGTTTGGTGCGAGGTCGTTGAGCGCCATCGGCGGCTCCGCCGACGAGAGCGCGCGAGCTGGTCGCGTCCGCAGCGCTGCGGCGCGTCCGGCGCGGGCGAATAGGTGCATGGTTTCTGCGGTCGCGTCGACGACGTAAGCGGCGGCGAGAGCAGCGCAGCGATTGTGCAAGGGCAGTGGAGCGGCCTAGGCGCAAATCACAGCTCACAGACCTCAACGTAGGCGTTGCGAGATGATAATCAGCAACCCTAGACTCGCAGAGAGGGGCTTATCGTGCTGCACGACCAGGTTTTGGGTGCGGCTGGGCTTGCTAGTGTCTTACAGGACGCTAGCTCCACTCTGTCGATCGCGGCAGTCGCTAGCCCGTCCGTCTGGCTGGTAAAACGAGCCCGCGGATACGTGCATTAGTCCTCTATACGTGTAACAAAACGACAAAGCATCAAACGCTGCGCTAGTCGTGTAGCTCTCACAGCGAGTCAGCACCTGCCCACAGCGAAGCGCAAAGCGATGCTCCGCACCGCGCTGAACGCCCCGCGAAGGCTGGCCCGGCGCCTGCGCTTCTTCGCCGACGACGCCGACCCGACGGAACTGCCACAAAAACCGCCGCCCGTGTGCGTGCCCCGCGCGGCGCGGCGCGCGTACGCGGACAAGCTCGCCGAGCAGCGGCGCGGCTGGGTCGCCGCCGTCGAGCGCGAGCGGGCAGAGAAGCGAGCCGAGGAGACGGCCGCGCGCGAGCGCCGCGAGGCGGCGCGGCGCGACAAGAAGGCCGCGCGCGAGGCCCGGGCCGCGGCCGCGCGCGAGCGGCGCGAGGCCGAGAAGGCCGAGGCGTCCGTGAGGCGGCGCGACCGCATCGGGCGGGCGAGCGCGGCCCTCGACGGCCAGCGGGCCGAGCGCATCGAACGGCAGGAGCGCCTCGTCGACGCCCTCGAGGACGAGGCGAAACATTGGCTCGTGGACGACGCGACGATCGACGCGAAGATCACGCCCGAACTTTTCTCGGGGCCGCCGGCGTCGACGGGCCTCGTGACGCGCGAGTCGCACGCGTGGTGGCGCTACGCTGCCCAGGTAGACGGCCGGCCCGACCTCTCCGCCGAGGACGAGCTCTTGCTGAATCGGGATGAGGAGGCGACGCGCGTCGCGACGACGACGGAGCGGCTCATTTGGACGCAGGCCGCGCACCCGCGCGAGTTCCACCGCGTTTTAGATGATGGCGCGGCCATCGCGGAGGCCATCGCCGACCTGGACGTGCAGCACCTCAAGCCGCGAGTCTTCCGGCCGCGGGGGCCGCCCCCTTCTAAAAGTTAGGTAGGTTTCTTTCTAGTTTCTTCTCTTCAACAACTTACTGGACGTACGACTGCGCCCGGCAGAGCGGGCATAGCACGGCGGTGCCACGGCCGCGCGTCCGTCGGCTCGACGCCGCTGCTGCGAGCTCCTGCATGCAGGCGGCGTGGAACTGATGGCCGCATGCGAGCGCCGGCGCGTCGTCGAGGTCCTCCAGGCAGATCGGGCACCTTCTGGTAGGCTCGGCCGTAGGCCGCAAAGTGGCTTGGGCCAGGGCTAGTTGACGAGCTTGACGAGCTTGACGATCTATTTTCTTATAGCGGCACTTACATCGCAAGCTCTTGACAACATTCTTGCAGCTAAGGCTGCAGTAGTAATCCGTCAGACCCTCTCTCTTCAAAGAGGCGCTCACTTGCAAGAGGAAGGCCCTCTTCTGTGATTGGTCCGTCGTCAGCTCATTATTATTATTGCAGTCATCCAACGATGCAAGTGAATTCTCTAGCATCTCACCCTTCACCAAGACAACGCCCGCGAAAAAAAACGCGCAGTTATTCATTTTATCTCGGCAACACGCGAGGTACGCTACTTTCTTGAAGAAAAAAAAAGGAGCTTCATTTGATGAAAAGCCCCCGCAGTTGCGCCGCACCAAACTCATGGTCTACACAGCAGAGGGCCTTCCAGGCGCACCGCAGCTCCACATTTTCATAGCTTACCCGGCGGCCTTCGACGAGGACAGCTTCGAGCTCGACAGTTTCCCGCCGGACCGTTTGGACGACGAGACGTTGGCCTTCTTGGTCTCCGAGATCTTCGAGGACATCTTGTCCATGTACTCCTGCGTCATGCTCGCGATCTTCGACGTGTACCTCTTAATAGACCAGCGGAGGACGGGGTAGAGGAAGAGCGCCGCGTAGAAGAGGTAGATGAGCATCTGGGCCTCGGCCTTCACCAAATTCTCGACGTCTATTTCCACTTCTTTGGCTGCCTTGACGGTGGGGAGGAGGCATGCTGCGACGAGGGCTTGGTGCGGGGCCATGGTGCCGCCTCTCTGCTTATGTCCGGCCCGGGTGCTGAGCCCGGGGCAGCCCTACGGCCGCGACGTCGCGTTACGCTGGAGCCACTCCACTACGGCCGACTAGTGGGATTTGACAAAGTTGACTTTTTGTTTGGTTGACTTTATTAGATGTAGAGACTGGTCGTTTGCTGGTATCAGTTAACTGGACGATGGCCGCAAATACGCTGCCCCCGGGCAGGCTGAAGTACCTGGAGGGCCTCGCGCCGGACCAGGCCACCTTCCAGAAGTACGTCGAGGATGAGGCGCGCTCGCGCGGCTGGGTAAAGCCCACCGAGCTGCTGCCCCGCGCCGCGCGGTCGCGCCGCGCGCCGCCGCCGTCCCCGGACCCCGCCCCCAAGAAACAGGGGCTGAAGAGGCGCCGCGAGACGTGGGAAAAGCTGCCCTCGTCGTCCCAGAAGCGCTCGCGGCGCGGCGGCTGGCGCGGCGCGCCGCTGGTCCTTCAGACCATAACAAACCGCGCCCCGCAGTCCCTGGACAGCGTCGTCGTCGCCTGCGACGACGAGCGCGTCGAGGGCACCGCCATTGCCGTCGTCGGCGACACTGTGCAGGTCCAGCCGTTCGCGCAGGGCTCGGAACCGCTCGTCGTGAAGAAGGAGGAGACCGCCGTCACGGTGGCGCGCGCTCCCGAGGCGCTCGAGGACGTCCTCGCCGCGCGACGGACGCCGTTCTTCGCCCCGAAGGTCGGACCCATCTTCTCGGGCGACTCGCTGTTGCTCAAGGACGGCAGCATGGTCGTCTTCCTGCAGCCCTCGTCGTCCTCAAGGATCGAGGTCTTGGAGCTCTACAAGATCGACGCGTTGCCCAAACACATCAACAGGTCGACTGCGTCCACCTGCGATGTCGTCCTCTCGTCGACTTCTAGAGAGGTCTCGGTGACCTCCGTCGTGGGGCCTGTGTGGGTCGTGTCGCAGGACAAGGCCAGAAGTGGTGCCTACGACGGCCTCGCGCGAGTCTACACCCTCGACCAGTGGTTTGATGGTACGTCGCCGGCGCTGCGACCGCTTCCAGAGCGCTGCGTCGCGTCGCTGATCGACGACAGGCCGTCGACGATGAGCGGCTTGTGGGACTTGTTAAACGTGCGCGTCGCCGTTGCTGATGCCGTCGGCGAGCTCCTCCGCGGGAAAAAAAAGAAGCGGCGGCCGTTACGACGTGTTTCGAAGTTGCGCTGGGCCTACCCTCGCGGCGTCGGGCATGTGGATCGAGAAGTTCACGGCGAAGCGCGTCGTGGCGCGCGGGCGGCCAGGCGGCGCCGACGTGACGCGCCTCCAGTTCTACCGTTTCGAGCGGTTCTCGCTTAGCGGCGATGACGTGGTGCGCCTGGAGAGCGAGTTCCGGATCTTGGCGCGGCGGCGACGCGGTCTACACGAGTAGCGCCCCTAAAAGGCGGCTTCAAGGAGACGAGGGTGCCGACGACGCTGGACGAGTTCAACAAGCTCGTGCGGGTGACGTGCACTTACAACGTCGACACCGGCGAATTGAAGCTCAACGCCCGCTTCGAGGTCAAGTCGCCCGCCGAGGCCGGTGCCACGAACGTTTAATCTGACGGCGCCGTCGCCGTTGCCACCGCCGGAGACGGCCGTCGAGCCCGTCGCGCCCGTCGAAGACACGCTGTCCGCGACGGTCGTCGCGGAGTTGCAGATGAAACAGTTCGAGCTCGACGGCGTCGTTTACACTATCACGGCGGCGACGGCGGCGTCGTGCGAGTTTAGGGAGGCCTACCCGGTCGCCGGCGCGGACGTGCCGACGCTCACGCGTCCAACGTCTGAAGTCCATGCACTCGTCGCAGCCTACGAAGAGTAAGTCACAATTTACCAGTCTATCACGCGCTTCTGCTTCCAGCCGATGACCTTGAGCTCGCCGGGCTTGACCAGGCCTGTGAGCCACATCATCCGCCGCTGCATCCACTTGCCCAGCGCGGCGACGCGCGTCGCCCGCGTCGCCTCGTGGCCGCAGTGGCCGCCGCGCTGCGTCCGCGTGAGGAAGAAGCGCTTGATCAAGTGGTTCACGCTCTCGAAGCCCTGGTTCGAGTAGCGGTACAAGTTCCGGTACTTTCGCAAATAAGCAGTAATGTGGCCCGAGCCGATCATGTGGAAGTAGTTCGTGAGGGCCTTCGCCGTGAAAGCCGTCAGTAGCCGATGGTAGGTCTCCTGGGCGAGGTCGTCGGCTTTGGCAATCTCGACGTCCGTGAGATCTTCTCGTTTTCGATATAGCACCATCAATTCCTCGTAGCCGCGGACGAGGTCGAGGACGACCCGCCGCTTGGCGTCGTCCGGGAAGCACGCCCCGATGAGCCGTGCCGACGTTAGCAAAGATCTTCCGGGCGCGGCCGCAATTCAACGAGATCTTCTCGACGGAATCTTCGTCCTTGGAGAGCGGCGCCGTCCACTTGCCCTCGCGGCCGTTCGGGCAGCCAAGCCTTCGTTCTAATCACCCTCCAGCGGCCGCAGCTTCGCCAGGGCCACGCTCTTCTCGTAGATCAAATAAATTGTTGAGGATGAGCCGCAGCTGCTCGCGCGTCCGGTTTTCTAAATGCAAGACGCACGGGACCATATGCTCGACCAGGGAGATGAGCGCATCAGAATTTGGCGTGGCGTGTTCTAATTGCGCTTGAAGTTCGTAATATTGGTCAACCAAGCCAGGCGCTGCGTCAGCTGCTCGACGCGCGAACCGAGGTTGCCCGTCACCGCCAGGCCGAAATCAACAAGACAATCGTTCACGACCAGCGAAAATTGCGTTTTTGTGCTGGGGTCGCAGTTCGACAGTCGAACTTTGCGTAAAACCCGTTTTGGTTGGGGTTTTCCAATTCCAAGCAATGCTGACCGCAATAAGCAGCGAAGCGCGCGTGCAAGTGGGCCGAGGTGCCGCCCGCATCGAGCCCAGCCTCCGCGGCGAGCTCGCGCAGCTGCGCCGCACTTAAAGTCTTGGCCTCGCGCATGTAGCGGTAGGCTGGGGGCAGCTCCCCTCTGAGCTCCGTGAGCGCAGCGGCAGCCGTAGCGCGCCACTCGTCTACGGCAGCCGGCGTCGACATCTCCGCGTGGTAGCACACTAACCGACCCGCTGCTCTGCAGACGTCGCAAAGGTCGTCAACTACCTTGGGCGTCGTCATCTGCCTGTTGGTCTGCGCGCAACAATAACACGGCCGCGCGTTCTCCGACGTCCCAGTCGCGAAGCCCTTCTTCGACACCGTCTGGAGGTTGGCCATGTCGCCCGAGCAGACGTAATCAACGTGAACGGCGCGGCCCTCTGCCTCTGACTGGTAGACACCATCGGTTTGCGCCGTCGCCGCTGTACTGAAGTGATCCGTCACGTCGTCTAAAGCTTCGTACAGGGCATGGCTCTCGTGGCCAACGGCTAACGTAGTAATATGAACCCGATCAGGCGACTGGAAGTCGGTGATAGGCTTGCCAGTGATCGGGTCGACCGCGCGGCTGTCGTTGACGTGGATCCCTTGCATCGTAAAGTCGTCGCTTTTCGTGATGTTGCTGCCGTCTTGCGTGCCTCTGATCCTCCGCGGATCCGCGGGACTGCGTCCAGTCTCAAGGAGCCCATACTGCTTTCCGATGACGTCGAGGACCGCGCCCGTCGCAATGCCGACCGCCTCGTAAGTGCCGTCGCCCGCGGACGTTTCCGTAACCGAAACCTTGTGGCCATCAGCAACTCTCTCGACCAGCTTGGCTGTTTCCTGGAGCGCACTGTGGGGAATAACAGCATCACGTGCTTGCCCAACGTCTCCCCTGAGCGCAACGAGCCGCCCGCTCTCTGGCCCGCATGGCGCTCGCAGCGTAGTTCCCCGTCATCTCCACGTCCCGGTCTTCAGTAGTTCGGCTGGAGAGAAAATCTCCTGGAGGCGCCGGTACTCCGCGCACGCAAAGTGAGCTCGCACGAGGCCAATCTCCCCCCGCCCGCGAGAGTGTTGACACCACGCGTAGTCGGCTAGGAGACGCAGACACTTCTGTTGCTTTCTTTTGAGCGTACCACCACAAATTCTACTGAGAAAGTCGCCGACGGCGTGGACCACGGGCCACAACGACTCGCCTTCGAAGTCCGAATCCGGCGGCGGCTCCTCCGGTAAATACGCAACACGAGAACCCAGCCAGGCGCCTCGAAGCCGTCGAAGGCCATAAAGCTCGAGGTTGAGCTGGCTTTGTTGTTTTTTCAAATCGGCGACTTCAGTTTTTCTGCGCGTCGAGTTGCCGCTGCAACTCGCGCGTGTTTGTCCGGAACCCCTCCTCCAATCGCCGCCGCTCCTCGTCTAGCCCGCCGCCCGCGCGTCGCTCACAGTCTATTTTCCCGCGTTCTTTCTCTTGTGAAAATTTGGCTCTAAGGCGATCAACGTCGCGCCGTCGTGCCGCTCTCTCCGCGGAGAGCGCGTTCGCCTCGCGGTCCAGAGAGAAGCCGTCTTGCCGAGTCGGTGGCGCTCCTCGCGCCACTGCGTCCTGTCTGTCGCGTAGCTCGCGCGTGGGCGCGACGGCCGCGGCGCGCGCGGCTTCCGCGCGGTCGCACGCCGCGAGCGCGTCTTCGGCGCGCTGCTCTAGGGCCATTAAATCTCGTCGTGTCACGGGCCGTGGTACTGGCGCGACTTCGTCGAGGTCGACCACGTCTTCGTCCGGCACGAGCAGCTCAGCATCATCAACCGGATCCACGCGCGTGACCTTCTCGCCGGGCGTCGTGTACATCCTAGGCCGCGGGACGTCGGGCGCTTCTCGCCGGACCGCGCCGTCGTCTTCGGCGGCTTGCGCGGCGCTCGGGCGGCTGCTTCCTCTTGCACTGGAACTTCTCCTCTGGTCGCGGGAACGGCGGCTCGACGCCATCGGGGTACTCCTCGAGCGCGCGCGCGCGGTTCTGCACGGCTGGCAAGAAGTAGATGCACCGCGGCTCCTTATCAATTTCGTACGACTTCCGCCAGTACCGACCCTCGGCATCAAAGGTCACCCTTGTCCTCGCGGTGGGACCGAGCGCCGCGTTGAGCGCGGCGCGCGTCGCCACGCCGTCCATCTCCATGAGGAGCTCGTCGTCGCTGAGGAAGACGTCCCCCTCCGGCATTGGCAGGGCGTCGAAGATGTGCTGATCGTCCGCCGCGGGCTTCCACACCCGCGGCATCGTGGCAGCACCAACGTTCTCGGGCTGTGAACAAGTTATTAAAACTTGATTAGAGTATGCTGCGCAGCAGCTGCGTGTGGGCTGCCTCCCCCAATCAAGTTTTAATGCGATGCAGCTGGACCGAGATCGCAGCGCTTTTAGCAGCGCCGCTGGGCGCTCAGCTACCCCCTGGTTTTCCTACAAGTTACTGCAATACATAATGTAACTAGGGGGGCTTGGTATCCTACCAGTAGGCCGTAGTGCTGCGGCTCCGCAGCAGAGCTACCCGCACGCTGCGACGTTGGACCGCAGGCGCCTTCGCACACGCTAGACGCCTGCGGTGATATCTCGGACCAAGCCTGGGGCCCGCCGTCGACCTATAGCTTCGTCTGTTGGTTTGCCCGGCGGAGCAGGACAAAACGGGCAGCCCATACGCGCCGCTCCCGCGGTTTGCTGGGGCACAAACGACTCGCATCATGACGCCGGAGGAGCACTGGACGGAGCACGCGCCGCGGCCGCGCCGGCCACGCCTCGGCCCCATCCTGCACCGCGTGGCCGCGGAGCTGCCGCACATCAGCGAGGCCAAGGGCATGCGCATGGAGGGCGGCACACGCCTGGCCTTCCTGTCCTTCTACGGCGTCCAGAACGCGAGGACGTTGGTGGTTCACGCCGCCGAGCCCACGTCGAAGAGCGTGTCGCTGCTCGCGCTCGACGAGGCGTTTCTGCGGGCGGCCGTCGCGGCCGCGGGGTGGACGCGCGGACCTGTGCAGCACGACCAGGTGGACGCCGCGGGACCGCTCGCGCGCTGGCTCGGCCCGCGCGGGTCGTCGGTCGCCTGCAAGCGGCGGCTCTCGCGGTCGCAATGGGCCGAGACACTCGGCTGGCTCGTGTCCAAATTGCGGCTCGTGGGCGACAAAGATTCGTTGACTGTATGTGTCGAACCGGTCCAGGCCGTGCCGCCGACGCCAATCGTGGAAGCGGAGCCGGAGATGGTGGAGGACGAGGACGACGGCGACCTCGCGGATTTGGGGCTGGACGCATTCGCGGAGGCGTATTATGGGCGATTGCGGGAGGCCGCGGGCGCGCCGGGGTCGCCGTCGGTCGCTTCCGTCGTGCCCGTGTCGCTCCCGCCCTCGCCGGCCGAGGAGGAGTCGTACCCCCTGTCGCCGCCCGAGGTCATCTCCGATGTTTATGGAGGCGCGCGCGAGGCCGCGCTCAACGCGATCGATTTCGAGGAGGTGCGGCTGCGGACGCGGCGGCCGCTGCCCAACCCGCGGCCGCACGCGCAGCATCTGGTGCTCGGCGCGCGCATCGACAACATCGAGCGATTGATCAATGAGAAGCTTGACCAGGCCGATGAACTATCGGTCGGCGGCGTCGGGCTGGCTTGCTAAGAAAATTAGTACACACTACATCATCGCCGTCGTCCACGGGGCACGACGCCTCGAGGCCCCGGCCCGGCCGTCGCTTTCCTGGAACCGCGCTTTCTTTACAAAACCGGGAAGCGGCACTCGTGGTCGATCGCACAGACGCCGACCGAGGGCACTTTGCAGCAGGCCCAGTCCTTCCGCAGCCTCCGGTAGAAGTAGGGCGACGCCGCCTTGAGCCACTCGTAGCGCACGGACTTGTAGTTCGACTTGCAGTTGAACTCGGGCGGCAGCGCCATGATCCTCGCGTCAGAACGGAGTGCTGCTTCGTTGAAGAGCCGCTGGTCCGTCGTCGGCGCCTTTTGGGCTTCGTACGTCCGCAGCCAGTCTAGAAACACTTTCCGCGTGCGGTGGTGGCCGTTGAAGGCGATGACGCCGGCGTTGAGCCAGTGGAGCGCATGCGCGTAGCCGCGCCGCATGGACGAGTGCGTGGCCATGACGTCGTACCGTTCTAATGCGGGAGATAATTCCGCGTGCAGCCACTGGAACGAGGCACAGGGGAACGCGTCCGCATCAATATACAAGGACTTGTCGTACGGCGTCGCGGTGAAGGCCCACAATTTTGCAGCTCTAAACCCGAACGTCGTCGACGCGTTCGCGACGGCGCAGCGCAAGCCCGCGAGTCGGTCTTTGTAATTGCGCCGGTGCTGGCGTCTCAGCGAAGCGCAGGCCTTGGCGCCCGCGGCATCGGAGAAGAGCGTCGCATTGAAGCCGTCCCCTAGCGCGACAGCACTTCGAAAAGCCCGCTCGACGAAGGGCCCGTTCGCCGCGTAGATGATCCCAAAAGAGCCGCCTCGGTCGGGATACGTCGGCTCGTAGGTCTGGTCGGGCGTCTTCGGGTGCGCCGCGTGTGCGGCGCTGTCCGTTAATGAGGCGTCAAAGTTCAGCAGCAGGAGAATTACTGTGATTGCGACGAGGGCGGCGCCGGCCAGGCGTCGACGCTTGTCGGTCGATGTGTTCGCCTTGCTGCGCGGCGCCGCCATGGGGGCGGCGGCACCTAGTTGCTTGTTGCTATTTGCGCGGCGCGTGTTGAATGGCACGCGGCTGGCGTGCGTCGAGGACTCGCGTGCGTCGAGAAATATACTGTTCACGTGTGACTGCGAGCGCTTTCGCCGCGGCGGCCGCACAGCTAGCTAGCGGCATGTAAGACACTAGCCGGGGTCATTTGTCGCGCAAAGAGCATGGCGCGAATGCTGGCGCTCTTGAGATTGATCCTGGTCGTCTGGCAGACACGCATCTCTCCCCGGCGGGAAAATATAAGTTCACAGTAGTAGTTAAGACTTCAGCGAGACGACGACGACGACGTACGATACCGCAGCCCGCCCGCGCGGTTCGCGGGCAGGAGCTCGCGGGCGGCCCCGCCCGCGGACACGGCGAACCGCAACACGAAGAAGCCGCACAAACACGCCCAGGCGCTCGTCACGAGCGGCCTCGCCGAGAGCAGCGCCACGGTCGCGAAGGACGCGACGAGCGCGTTGACGAGCGTCGCGCCCGCGAGGTAGCGGTAGCGGCCCGCGCCGAGCAGCACGGCCTCGCAGAGCGCGTTCGGCCAGACGAGTGGGACTGATAGCGCCGCCCAGCGGAAGATAGTTTTCGTGGACTTGGCGGCTGCCGTATCCGTGGGAAAGAACGCATATGATATGGGCCCCGCGGCGGCCGCTAAAGCCGCGGCCGTAATCAGTCCGATCGTGACCGTCGCTTTACCAAGCCGCTTCACGACTCTTGCGGCGCGCGCCTGTGTGGAATCAATGAGTCGCGTGCCACGTCGCGTCGATGGTGTGAAGGTGAGAAATTTGATGTCAGCACGGGCGCGCGCTCGCCGGCCCGTCGCCAGGTAGCCCGCCGAGATGACCTGGCCCGCGACGGCCGGCGCCTCGGCGGCCAGGACGAACAACAACCACACCTTCAATACGACGCCGTGGGCGGCGATGGCGCGCGCGCCCAACCGTCGAGACACCTGGGACGCGACGAAGACCCAGGTGCCCAGCTGGCACGTCGACCGCAGCAGCAACGCCAGAGACGTCCCCAAAAGCTTGGTCTCTGTCTTCGCGGCCGGCACATCAATCGTCGACGGTGCTCGATTGCCGCGCTTGCCGTTGAGCTCTATTAACAACAATGCGCAAGCACAAGCCTGCGAGATCGCCGTCGCCGCGGCGGCCCCGGCCACGTTCCAGCCGCATCTGAACATGAGGACGGGATCCAATACCACATTCATCAACCCGGCGAGCAGCGCCGCCCGTAACGGCGGCTTCGTGTCCCCGAGGCCGCGGCACACTCCTTCCGCAGCGAACTGCGCCACCGCGCACGGCAGCGCGAGCGCCCGGATCCGCGCGTACGTGAGCGCGTCGGCATGCAGGGGGCTTCCGCGCGGGCATCCCAATAAACCGACGGCGCCCGGCCCGCCGGGGCCCAGCAGTATTAACGTAAGTAACGCACCGACGCCAAAAGCGGTCAGCAGCGTCTTCGCGCCGTGGGCCTCGGCCTCCCGCCAGCGGCCCTGCGCCGTAAGCCGCGCGATCGTCGACGACGCCGCTTCTCGGAGCGCAAGTGACACCGCTATGACCAGTGTGAAGATTTCGGAACTTGCTGCGACGGCGCCCAGCGCCGTCGTCCCGAGCCGCGAGACCCAGGCCGTGTCCACGACCGACAGCAGCGGGTCGGCGAGCGTGCCGAGCAGCGCCGGGCCCGCGATCGCCTTGATCTTCGCGTCGTCGTCGTTCTTGTTCGCAGCTGTTGCTGCTGCAGCTATCGATGTGGCGGCGTCTGCTGCATCCGATGCGGCAGCGCTGCGGCGCGACGCAGGCGACGGGCGAATGCCGACCAGCGCTGCTGTTTGCGGCAGCAACCATGCGGCAATAAAGAGGTGGGAGAGATGCATCACTACGCGTCGTGTTGCACACCTTCGCGTCGTGTTGTTGCACCCTGAGACAAAGCACTCTGTGTTGCCAGTGTTGGGCACTCGGCGCTCTCTTCAAGCGCTTTTCGCGGCACGACAGCGAACCGGTGCGAATAATGCACGCCTGAAACAATCAATCTATGCAACGCACGCCTGCTCGACGGCGCCACCAACCTGGGAGTGAGTGGCAGACTTGATTGATGCTGCGAGGAGCGTCGACCCACCGTGAGAACCGGTCGAGCGGTGCGCCAGATCGTTCTATGATCCCGCGAAGCGTAGGAATGACATGCCCACTAAGTGCGGGTTCCCCCTCATTAATTCTCGTTTGCTGGGCAGGGCGTGCTAAACATGCCTCAAACGCTGCCCATCGACGAAAACACGAACCCAAAACCAAAAATGGCCGAGCCCGACGCGCGCGAAGCGCTCCGGCAGAAGCTGGCGGAGCGCGACAGGGCAAGGGCAGCCTTGGTCGAGGTGGTCCAGGAGGAGGACCAACGCATAGCGCAGCTCCGCGAGAAGCGCGCACAAGATCGGGAAATGAGGCGCAAGGAGCACGAAGCAGCACAAACACAGCCACCACCGGCCCAACCACCGAAGCCGCGGCGGCGGCGCCGCAAACCCGTTTCTGATGTGGAAGACGCTAGACGGCAAGAAAAGGAGCGCACGGCGGCGGAGGAAGCGGAAAAGGCGCCGCCGCCGGACCCGCGCGACGCGGAACGACGGGAGCTCTGGAAGGAGCTGGGCGCGTACGGCGATTCCCTGAGGGAACGAGTAGATTTCCCGGAGAATTACGACGAAGTGGTGCAACTCATGTCCCGGAACGATCTCACACAAAAGGAGGAGACGTGGTCCGAGGCCGCACTAGCCGGCGGCGACTTCTCGAAGTACGCGAATTTGTTCGCAGACGACGAGAACGACAGAAAGCTGCGGGCCGGCCTGGCCACGATCGAACGATTGGACCGGGAGCTCGCGAAGGTCCACGCGAAAGCTAGAGCTGTCAGGGACATGGGGCAACTGCCGCCACCACCTCTTCAAAGACCGTCGTCCGCCGATAGTACGTCAACGAATCGCACGGGGCCGTTCATCACGCAGAAGCGGCTGCACAAGCGCGTGCAGCCCCGAGATGACGTTTCGGCCATGTCCGAGGCGACCGTTGTCCAGGGCACGGACTTTGTCCTCAACAACAAAGTACAAGGCGGCGACAAGTCGCTGCTGACGATCGAACAGCAGGATAGAGCGTACCAGCTCGAGCTCGGCGAGGACGAGAACGATGAGGTCTTGAGGGGTTTGTCTGAATATGTTGTGGACGATGAGCGACTAAGGGAAATAGATGCCGAACTAGCGGCATTGGGCCGCGAGACGGACGAGGTGCTGCGCGACGCGGAAGCGCGAGCCGCCGCCGTCGCCGCGAGTGCGAAGGAGGGCGAGGTCGGCGCGTCCGACCACGAAAAGGCGCGGAACTTCCTCCAGCTCGCGCGCGAGGCGCGCGCGCTCAAAGCTAGACAGAGTGACGTGGACGCGCAGCTGGCCGAGGTGCGCGCGCGGCCCCTCGTTTTAGCTGAGGACGAGGACTCCGAGGGTGTGAAAGCGTCGGACGTGAAGAAATTGGTCGAGGAATATAGGGACGCGCCTCCGGTCCCGCGCGAGCGGCTCGACGATCTTCTAAAATCGCTGCGCGCCACCGAGGCGCCGTCGCAGCTCGCTCTGGCGTTGAAGGACGCGGAGATGATCCGGGACGAGAAGCGGCGCGTCGACGAGCGGGCGACGCCGCGCCGCGACTACCAAACGTTCGGCGACGAGATCCACGCCGTTATGGAACGGCGGAGCGAGGAGAATCCCTTCGCACGAGACGACGATCGGCTCGAGGACGCGCTCCTCGAGGCGTCGCTGCGGGCCGAGCAGGCGCTCCGGAATTCTGACGCAGTGTTGGCGCGGTCCTCGGTAGCGGAGTAGTAAAACTTTCTAAAACTTACCACAACGGACGACGGGGCTGTCGAGCTCGACGAGCGCGAGGTAGTCCCTTACATCTGAATGCCACGCGAGCGCGGCGGCCAGAACACAAAGGTGCCAGAGCTGGTGCGACGCGCCGACGATGCAGAACTTGCCCGGCCACCGCGACTCCGGCCACTTTGTCGAGAAGAAGAAGAAGCCTAACCCATAAAAGAAGAACATGAGCATGAGCTTCGGCACGAACTGCCGGATCTCCTCCGCCGTGCCGTGCATAGCGAAGTCCGCCGTCGGCAGGAGCCCGATGGCTACGAGTGACGCGAAGGCCTTGGCGCTGTGGCGCTTCGGGAAGCACTCGAGCGCGAGCATCGCGCCGACGATGAGCAGTATCAACGCCTGGGCCATCCACACCAATCTCGCTCGTGGCCGGCAGCGAAACCCGAGCCATATGCCCGGTATGTAGCTGCCAGCAATCATCAGCGAGATCCCGAGCTTGTCGGCGCGCAGCCAGAGCCGCATCGCCCGCGGCGAGATCGCCCCGAAGGTGTGGTAGCCCGCCGACGACGCGAAGAGGTTCAGGCAGATCAACCGGAAAATGAGTATCGTAGACGCGTCCCATGTGGATGTAGAGCTGTCCACACGTATCAGGTACGCGAACCAGAGCGCGCCGAGCCAGTGCGTCCAAATATTAATGGTTTCGTTGTGCACCTCAAAGATAGAGGTTATACATCCACACGAATCGTAGCCGACCCGATAACCACTCTGCACGAAGGGCATCGTCTCGTAGCCGTCCGGGACGTCCTGAGCTCTTACGACCTTCTTTTTCGTGGCCCAACCGGCGCCGGGCGTGTCGAGTGTTTGTGGTGGCGGGGGCGACGTGCGCCTCGTGGGGAGCAGGCTCATAATTGCGGTTCCGCCTGTCTACCACCGCACTGTAGTGCACCTCACAAACGCGTTTTTGATAGATGCGGTCCAGCACTGATGCCACAGCAGGGAGTGTGCTCCCACACAAACGCGTTTCAAGAGAGAAAGATGGTCACCGACGAAAGCTGGCATAAATGGGGACCCCGACGAGACAACGAGACGGCAGCTATTACGTGTACGATGGCACAGAGCGGCAGAGCATGGGCCGTGCCCACCGGCCCGGCTAGTAGGTTCGATAGCCCGGAGTAACACCCGCACTCAGTTTTTTTAGGGTTTTTAGCCAGTAGCTCGACGCGCAGGCAACCGCGTGCAACAAACTCACTGACAAAGAAAGGCCATAATAGCCTATCGACACGCGGCAAAAGACGCGGCAGCGATTGGGCTGCGTCTCGCAGAGAAAACGGCCAAAAACCATGAAAAATGACACTCGACAGCCTTTGGCTGCCCCGTATCGCGCCGATCGGGCCACCGCAGCGTCGGGTATCGTAGTCCGTATGGCCGTCGACGATCTGAGACAAAAATCAGCGGCAGCGGCCCATGGGATGTCGGTCTATGTGTGGTCCGCATTCTCGACGTGAACGCGCGTCGGGCCGAAAACGCCACCAATAAAGGCGAGATTTGGCTCGGGCATTCCCAGCCACCGTGTCGGGCATCTCAGACGGTCCCGGGGGATTTAGCCGCCCGGGCGCCCCAAACGAGCGTATCGGGGCAGCCTAGAGGGAATACACCGATTTTTGTCAATAATGGGCGGCTGCCTCCTCTAAGTGGCTTAATCGACGCGTCTTGACATTCTCTTTCGATTAAGCCGCTTAGAGGAGGCAGCCGCCTGACATTGACTGAGATAGCAGCGCGAAATGGGGTCCACAAAACCCGAAAAGCCGTGCGGGTTGGGGCTGTCGAACCTACTAGCCAGGCCGGTGGGTGTGCAGCGCTTTTGCTACCCGTAGGAAGAGCGGCGAATGTACTCCCGCATGCGTCCGTTGGCTTGGGCGAGACGTCCGTGAGGCGCCCGCGACCAAAGCACGTTTTTTCGTTTCGTGCGGGAATTTCACCTGACCTCTGACTTGGAGCTGCTCCAGACTGATGAATGACAATGATACAGTCTTCCACGGCCAGATGACCTACAACAAACAAGCATGAGGTCCCTCCTCGCCTTCGGGTGCCTGGCAGCATGCGCCGGCATGTCGGCCCCGGTCTCGCGGCGGCCCAATGCCTTTTCAGCCAAAACCAGCCCAGCGGCCCCCCGCCGCGGGCCAGCGCTGGCGCCGCCGGCCGGCCGCGACCGCCGGCCACGCCGGCGCCCCCTCACCCTCGAAACGGCGAGACACCTGCTGAACAAGGGCGCGCTCTCGCACGACGACGCCGTCGCCGCGGTGCGGAGCGCGACGCGGCTGGCCCAGTCCCCGGCGCCGCGGCACAAGACGCGGCCCACACGAAACGACGTCGACGCGTTCGTGCGTGATGTGTTAAATGCCCCTTCTAGAAGCTGGGAGCCGACGGAGCGCCTCTGTGCGGTGGCATTGGACGCGCACGCCAGGGACGGCGACGTCAAGGCGACGCGTCAGCTGATCCGAGCGGCGCGGAGTCTAGGCGGCGTCCAGCCGGGCCCCGTCTCCTTTTGTATTTTGATCAAGGCTGTCGGTCGAAGGGGCGAAAAACTCCCGAGCGGCCGCGAAAAGAGGACGCTGACCAAATCCGTCGACGAGGCCATCAAGGGCTGCGCCCGCAATAGTGTACCGGACGCTGTATTATTAAACGCGGCGGTCGACGCCTACGCGCGACTCGGCGCGGTCGACGACGCTTTGCACTTAGTCGGCTCCTTCGGGGACTACGGCGTGCAGGCCGACGCGCGCGCCTACAACGCCGCCCTCAAAGCGTTAGTTAGAAGACCGCGCGACGCCTTGGCTTTACGGAGACGCATGCGGGCCGCCAACGTAAAACCGACGGCGGTCACGAACGCAACATTAATAAACACGATCGCGCTCCACAACCCCGCGCGAGCGCAGCGGCTGCTGCCTACGCTGGTGCGCGACGACTTCGCGCGGGACCGCGACGCGTTGAACGCGGCGACGGCCGCGTACACGTCGGTCGTCGGCGCCTTCGCGTCACAAGGCGCGGAGCGGGCGGCCTATGACGTGGCCGGTCTCATGCGACGGCGTTCCGTCCCTCTGAACGCGGTGACCTTCGCGGAGTTATTCAGAGCGGCGTCTACCGCGACGAAAGGCTCCAAACGGGCGAGGCGCATCCGAGGCTTGTGGCGGCGCCTCACGAAAGATAGGATCCGCCCGACGCGCGGGTGTTATGATGTCGCTATTGCATCTTTAATTGGAGACGTCCCAGACCCGGCGTGTCTGCGGCTAGCTCTGGACCTGTCGGCGACGATGCGGGCCGACGTGGGCTGGTCCACGACGACTCTGAATCTGATACTGGCCGCGTTGTACGCGAGCGACGCGCGCGCTAAGGAGGCTCGTTCGACGTACGACGCGCCGGTCGCGAGCGATCGCAATGCGAAATTAAGAGCTGCGGAAAGATTGTTCGATCGCGCGGAGCGGGACCCGAGGACGTGCGCGCCGCCCGATTGTGCTACGTACACCATCGCTCTACGAGCGAGAGCTCGGCGCGGCGACCTCGATGGGTGTAGGCAAGCGTTCCGCTCATTGCGGGACTCGCCGACCTTATCCGTCGACAACGTGGCGGCGACGTCCATGCTCGTCGCCCTCGCGCGGGCCGGTGCGCTGTCGGAGATGTGGCGGCTCCTCGAGGACATGCGCAACGTCGAGATGTGCGAGGACCTGCCGACGCCCGACGCGGACGCTGTTGAAGTTGTGGTCAGGGCGTTAGCTCGGGCTCGCAGCGGTGTCGCCGCCGACAAAGCGATCGCGCTTTATGAGAGGCACTTTGGCACGCGCGGCGACCTCGGTGCGCCCTCGGAGGCCTGCGTGCAGGCCGTGCTCTTGGCGTGCGCGCGCAAGGCGCCGCCGCCGAAGGGTCTCTTCGATCTGAAGCGGTCCGTGCGCGACGACGTCAAGGCCGCACGGGAGGTGCTCGACGGCCTCGAGGGGCGGCTTCCATCTGATACGGTGCGCGACCTGCGCCAGTACGCGCGCGAGACGCTCGCCCAGTGCGAGACGGAGACGTGGCGCGACGGCGCGGGCCAGCGGCCCGGAGGGCGGTGGACGGAGCCCGAGTCGGCCTCGGATCGGCTCTTCTCGCAGAAGGGCTGGAACTCCGTGGATTCGGGGTTCAAGCTCTTCTGAGTAACGGTTATTATGTATCTCTAGTCCTCCGCGGTGAGGTCGACGACGGCGTCCTTCTTGGTGCGCTTTTCTTGCGGCGGGAGGAAGCCCGGCGAGTCCAGGTACTGCGTGTCGGGCTCCTCGGCCTTCCGCTTTGTCGGCGATGGCGTGCGGCCGAGAAGCGCATTCACGAGGGCGACGTTCTCGTGGTCTTCTTCCGAAGCTTCGAGAACTTGGTCGAAGCGTTCGCCCTTGCCGATGGGTTTCTGGCGATTCTTGAGCATGCCGACGAGGCCCGCGACCTTGCTCGGGTTGTTGAGATCGCCGTCGTGCTCGCCTCTGGAGGCGCGAGCCTTGGCGCGCTCGATGCACGTAGACACGTCCGCCGTGAACCGTAACGCGACGACCTCGACGTTGCAGCGCTTCGCGATCTTCACCCAGTGCGAGCGCTGCTTCGGGTCGAGATCGGTACGATCCACCTGTGTGGAAATCAAACGTCGAGCGTCCCGCTCAGGTCCCGCGCCAATGCGGCGCCATCGACACGACTTCGTTAATTTCCACACTGCGACGTGCGTAGGCCACCTTGCCCGCTCGCACGGTCTCCTCGACGAGCGCCTCGACCTTCTCGCGCCGTTTTAAGAGATCTTGACAGCAGCGGACGGCGTCGGGAAGAAACTTCTCGTGGAAGCGCGACTTGCCGGCGCCGGGCAGGCCGACGGCGACAATTACCAGGCCTTTGCTTTCCATGATTCTTCGGCGGTCTCGCGCGTGATTATAGGCGCCCGGCGCGCGGCGACCAGTAATATGAGATATGATCTATCCGCAGGACTGGACAGGCAAGCGCGCACGTTGGTTGACCAACCAATGAGGCGACGGCCGTCCAATAAAAACCCACGAACAACCCCGCTCGCGCTAGGGGCGCGTAACCAAGCCCAATACGTCGAGCTAGCGGCCTGTAAGACACTAGCAAGCCGCAGAGGTCGCAGATTTGGACCTAATTAGTGGTTATACATTGCATCTCTGCGCGCAAGCATGGCCCCACAGCTGCCAGCATCCGCGCTCGCAGCGATATCTGGCTACATTGATCGGGAAGAGCCAGCTGAGCCACCAGCCCCAGCAAGGCCCGCGGCAGCCGCGGCCGCCGCTGCGCCTCCACAGCTGCCGGCAAGTGCTCTCGCAGCGATTTCGGGATACATCGACCGCGAGGAGCCGGCTGCACCACCGCTGCCGCCGCCCGCACCGGCTGCGCCGCCACCGGCGCGCGACCGCGAGGAACAAACACTCAGAGAAATCGAGCCGCTCGACGCCTCCGCCGTCTTCGCGCTGCTGCACCCGGACGGGCCCGGCTACGCGGTCGTCGACGGCGTGTTGGGACAAGAAACGGCGCGGAGGGCGGCCCGCGCGGCGGCCGCCGCACGAACACAATTGAAGCGCGCGCGCGTCGGCCGCGGCGACGCGCGGCGCCTCTCCGACGAGCGCACGGACGAGGCCGCGTTTTTGGATGAGAGGAGCCAGCACCCCGATTTGCAAGTGCTCTGTCACGCGCTGCGGAAACTGCGGTCCTCGCTTTGTGTAGGAGGCGCCTGGGACGACAAGGCCGCCGAGTTACGTTTGGATGCAACAACAACCTCGACGCAGCTCGCCTGTTATCAGCCGGGCGGGCGCTACCGGCGCCACGCGGACGCGTTGTCCGATGACGACGCGCGGCAGCGCGACGCGCTGCGCGGCAAGCCTCTGTTAACGCGCAATCGCCGGATCACGGCGGTCTATTACTTAAATGAAAACTGGAATCGTGAAGATGGCGGCGCGCTCCGCATCTATGCCGATACATGGACGCCCGACGCCCAACCTTTTGATGTTTTACCTCGATTGGACCGCCTCGTTTTGTTTAGGAGCACTCTACAACATGAGGTCCTCGTGACGCGCAGGGAGCGCCTCGCGCTGACGCAGTGGTGGTACGGCCGCATCGACGATGATAACGAGCGCGTGCCGTGGCGGCTGCCGGCGCCGGGTAGAGCCCTCTCTGGTTTATCGACCGAGGGGCGAATTTTTGTTTCCGTGGCCGCGTACCGAGATCCGGAGACGGAGCGGACGCTGCAGCACTTGTTCGCCACCGCGAAGAACCCGAAGCGCGTCCGTGTGGTGGTCGTGCAGCAGTACGACTGTCTGGAGGGGAGCGATGATGATCTGGTAGGAAGGCTATATAACCACGAGGCGGAGGCGCGCGTGACGCGGATACGCGTCGATTTTCGCGACGCGAACGGCCCGTGTCCCGCAAGGGCGTGCGCGCTGCGTCGCTTGACTGATGAAGACGACTTCGTCCTCCAGATCGACAGCCACACGCGCTTCCGCAGCCACTGGGACGCGTATCTGATCGATCAATTAGCCAAGTGTGATAGTAAGGAGCCCGTGCTGACCGCCTACCCCGCGGACTACGACAAGGATTCAGCTGCCCTACCTTCCGACGTGCGGCCAACTCTGTTAGTCCCCTCGGGCTTCGACAAGGACGGCGTGCTGCGGATCAAGGGCCGGCGGCTCGCGCGGGTTCACGAGGAACCGATCCCGTCGCCGCTCTGGTGCGCCGGGTTCTCCTTCTGTCGAGCTAAAGTGTGGCGCCGCGTCACATACGAGCCGCTTCCCCATTTATTTTTTGGCGAGGAGCTACTGCACGCCGCTCGATTGTTTTGTAGTGGCTGCGACTTCTTCGCGCCGCCCGAGCAGGTGATCTTCCACCGCTGGTCGCGGAGCGGACGGCGGACGCTCGCCGAGGACCAGCCTCGTCGAAACGCGGCGGCCGCGCGCGGCCGCGCCTTCGAGCTGCTCGAAACAATTGAAGGGCCGCGGTCGCTCGCCGCGTTCGAAGCAAGGGCGGGCGTTGATTTGAAAAAGCGCGTCTTATTGCCCGGCGCCGACCGGGGCGGCCTGTCCCCTGAAGCGTTCGCCGACGGCGCGTCGTCCTCCGCGGGCGCGCAGGTCGCGGCGCTGCTGGGGCTGAAGCTTTGATTTATTATAACGTTGTGTTTTCTGTTCCGTTGTGGATGCCTGGTTGGAATTCGTCCAGGAAAGCTAGTGTAGTGACACACTAGTAATAGGCGCCGCACTGAACCACCGCGCATCGCGCACAGTCGTCGTGCGCACGGCCGTTTAGCGGCAAATACACCGCCGCAAAGGCAGTCACACGCTGCGACGCCGCCAGCGCGGCGCACGGAAGAGCCCTGTGATTCACTGCTAAGCTGCTTATGGTACAAACGCACGCGTACTTGAGGGGCGCGGCCACGCTGGCCTTCCAGGCCTACCAGTACCAGCGACGCCTGGACGAGGGCGACGACTCCCTGAATTTGGATTTTAACACGGGGTCGAAAGCCGGCGACGCCGTCCTCACTTGGTTCCTTGTATTTGTGATGGTCTTCCTGTCGGCCATGTTTTCTGGTCTTACCTTAGGGTTGTTGGGACTGGACAAGACGGGGCTGGAGATCGTCATGGGCGGCGGTTCGCCGCAGGAGCGCGCGGACGCGAAGGTCATCTATCCCATCCGCGAAGACGGTAATAGATTGCTGTGTACCTTATTGTTGGGCAATGTGGCCGTCAACGCTTTGTTGAGTATCACTCTAGCGGACATCGCGTCGTCGTTGATAGGCTTCTTCGCCTCCACAGCACTGATTGTCATCTTTGGCGAGATCCTGCCTCAAGCACTTTGTAGTAGATACGCGCTCCGAGTCGGGGCGTCGTCCATGCCTCTCGTGAAGTTCTTCCTCATCATATTAGCGCCGGTCGCGGTACCCTTAGCAAAGGTCCTGGACTATTTTCTCGAGGAAGACGTGGGAACAGTGCATACAAAAAATGAGATGATGCACTACTTGAAGCTCCACGCTAAAAGGGGCGGCCTGGACAACGAGTCCGGTTTAGTGATGCGCGGCGCGTTGGAGATGAAGGAAAAAAGAGTCAGAGAGGTGATGACGCCGCTCGAGGACGTGTACATGTTACCGGAGTCGACACGCCTGTCGTTCAAGGTCGTCAGGGAGATCTTCGAGCAGGGGTTTAGTCGGGTCCCGGTCTTTCGGGGAGAACGGCAAAGAATAGTAGGATTGCTCTTCGTGAAGGACCTGATTTTTGTGGATCCCGAGGACGAGACCGCATTGACGTCGTTGTTAGGTATCTTCGCAAGAGGTTTGCAGATCGTGGACGAGACCGATAGTCTGGATGATGTCTTGAGGATCTTCAAGGCCGGCCATGGGCATCTCGCGTTGGTGAGGCGAGGCGAAGTAACGAAGAAATTAACAGCGATCCAAGAAGACAGTAACGAGTCCAAGGAAGTGGAATTAACAGAAATGGGCGCGCCGCCCGTACCTGATCAAGCACCGTCGGTTTTCGTTGGGATAGTCACTCTAGAAGATATCGTCGAGGAAATTCTCGGCGACGAGATCATCGACGAGACGGACGTCTTTGTGGACGTGGACAACCACGTGAAAGTTGCTGGAAGATCTGATTTTGATTTTACCAAACTAAGAAGGCTGGACGCGGAGTTTGTTGATGAACGCTTGAGTCCGGAGGAGGTGCAAGCGGTCACTAGTCATCTACTCACGAACGTGAAGGCTTTGCGACGTTCGACAACTCTGGATCGGGACGAGATGGCGCAATTAGTACGAAGATCAAGAGTTGTGGAGATAAGACGCAAGTCCAAGAACCCGCATTCCGACAAGATTCACGCGCAGGATCGGATCTATGTCCGGGGCGAGGCCGCTTCTTATGCTACGCTCGTGTTGAACGGCAAGCTCAGTGTCCTAGCGGGTGTTGATGGGTTCAGAGCCGAGGCCGGGCCCTGGACTGTGCTCGGGGCTGACGCCCTTGTGTCGGATGAAGGGTCATTTGTTCCTGATTTCAGCGCCCACGTGGCTACGGATAGCGTGCGCTGCGTCCATGTCACTAGAGCCGAATACGAGCGGGCCATTACGGGTCGAAGAAGGAGAGGGAGGCGAGGCATGGGGACGGACGGCGAAGAGTCCGATACTGGTAGGAGGGCGCGGCTCGGCCGGCGCGGCGAGATGGCCGAGAAGCGCCGACGTTTAGCAAGGATGGCCGGTCAAAATAGGGGCGCGCGCGCCGGCCGCGCGGCGCTGGACCAGTTCCGGGGCGAGCAGACCGGCGCGATGTCCGACGGCGAGCGGCCTTTGGCGGCGGCCCGCGGCGAGGAGAGCGGCGCGTCGTCCCAGGCGTTGGATGCGCTGGACGTGGGCTACGCCTCGGACCCACAACTCGGGTCGTCTCGCGAGGACCTGCTGGCGAATGCCACGAGCGGGAACGAGAGCGGGAGCGACGTGGACTGATCTGATGTGTGTTTGGTTTGGGGTGGTGCCTGCCCTGGTAATCGAACTTTCTGTTGAATTTTACTAGCCTTTGGGTGGTCGGGCCTCGCGCGCCGCCGCCGCAGTGGCCCGGAAGCGCTTTTTGAGGTAGCTAAGTGTGCTTTGGGGCGGAGAGGGACTGGTGGCGTCCACTTGCATCCCCGGGGCGAGAGATTCGCATCCTCGTAAAAAACTACTAGGGCGGTTTCTCCACGAAAATCCCAGCTGCGGCCGGCGGAGGCCTTCCGAGGCCCCCGGGGCGTGCTTAAGAGTCCTCAGGCGCCGTGGCGACCGGAATTGCGGCCGCCACGAGGAGGAGGCGAGCTGTTGCGGCGCAAGAGCTCGCGTCGTCTTGTGCGCGCCGTCGAGCCGGAGAGCAGCGGCGTAGTGGGTGGTCAGGGTCCTCAGCCAAGCCGCTGAGCCCAGCAGCACGCCCGACGCGCTCCGTAATACGAGCAAGAACCCGAGAGTGCTCTCCCAGCACTTCAGGGGCTTCGTACGTCGCGCTACCCCCCTTTGGGGCCGCCGCGACCGGTCCCAGACCTTGCGGCCGACCTAGAGTCGAAAAAGGCCAGCCTAGACCACCAGAAAGCTAGCGCTCCGGCCGCCGCGGCCTCGAGCAGCGCGAAACCCCGAAGAAGCCAGCGCTCCGGCCGCCGCGGGCCGCCGGAGCACCATCGGCAACCCGTTCAGCATGCCGCGCCGCGCGGCGGCCGGCAAGCCGCCGACCTATTCCTTTGTGGAGGTGCCCGACGCGGCCAAGCGGCCGCCGCTCGGCGACTCCATGGTCGAGGTGCCCGCGACGCGCCAGCGCTGGCTGGGCATGAAGGACGAGCTCAAGGGGCTGTGTGATGAGGCTGTTAGAAGACGAGCGCTGAAACTCCTCAGTCGAGGCGCAAGGCCGAGGACCGCCTTGGCGTCGGCCGGCGCGCCTTTATACGAAGCCTACATCGCCGATAGATTAGATCTCGACGACCCCTTGGACGGTTTAGTAGTCCGCCACCGCGTCACGGGCTGGCTCCAGGGCTTTGTCACGAGGACGACGTTCACGACGTGGACCCCGCACTTCATGTGGGACAGCCGCCACCACGCGGCGGGCCTCAAGGGCCTGGTCGGGAGCGGGCGCAAGCTCGACAGCGGCGTGGCGCGGGGGCGGAGCGGCGGCGGCGCGCTGCCGCCGCCGCCGCGCGCCGGCGGCGCCGGCGCCGACCGGAAGCGCGCCTGCAAGGTCACGGCGCCGCCGACGAACGACCCCCACTTGCTGCCCGGTGAGTCTCTGGCGGAAGCGTTAGAACGGCAACCGAGAGAAGGAGACTGGCGGACGACGGGCATCGTCTGGCCGCAAGTTGCGGAAGTGTCGTTGTTAGCTGCTTTAGGATGTGGCGACTGGCTGCTCGGTGTGATCCTTGAAGAGTTATCAAGGGACCCGCGCTACGAGTTTTGTGTGGTGGCTTCTACTCCTGGTGCTGCGACGTTTTATGAGCGCCATGGCTTCGTAAGGGTGGGTGCCATTGCGCGCTACCTCGATCCGGAAGTGGATGATGTTGAGTCCACCGCAGCACCAGCAAAACCCTGGCAGGCTTATAGACATTGGGCCTGGGGCGACGAGCGGCGCGAATCTTTGCGCGACAACCACGGCGAACCGTCGTACATGATGGCGCGGCGGGTGAGACCGAGAACCGGTGATGATTTAAGGGCAGCCAACGCCGTCTTGCGCCAGCGCGACGAGCGCATGTCGCGGCCGCGGCCGCGCGTGCAGCCCTCGCAAAACCCGGCGCCGGCGCCGTCGTACAGCTCGCCGGACTACTTCGTGCCGCCGCCCACGTCCTACCAGGCGCCGCGGTCGCCGTCGCCTTCGCCGCCGCCGCCGCCCGCGCGCAAGCCGGCAGCCAAACCCGCGGCGCGGAAGCCGAATCCTCCTCGCGCCGCGAAGCCGTCGTCGAAACCTGTACAACCGCCGCGCGCGGCCAAGCCCGCTTCCTATAAGCCGGCGGCGAAGCCCGCAGCGAAGCCCGCAGCCTACAAGCCCGCGGCGAAGCCGTCGGCGAAGCCGGCCGCGAAACCATCGGCAAAACCGGCGAAGCGCAAGACCCCGGCCGCGAAGCCGTCGGCACCGCTAAAGAAGAAGCCGCGCGCGAAAGTAAGCAACGCAAAGCCGCCGCGGCGGCAGGCCGCGCTCGCCGCCAAGGACGCGCTCCTCGACGACGCCCGGCGGGGCAAGACGTAGCGTATGTGTGCCGCGTCTTTTTTTATTTCGTTGCGTCGAGAAGACGAGACCGAGATACTTCTTTCCCCAAGTGACCGACTCTGAACAGACCAAGCCCCCGGCGCCCTACTTACAAGCCGGCGTTCGGGCGGCGATCCGATCGACGAAGCCTACACACCGCGCGTTCCGCCGTACTCCCGGTCCGTTTCTCACCGCCTCCGCCCGCGCAGGCACATCCAACTTCCCTCTAAACAAGTCCGGCCCGCGCGCGCGCCGCTCGCGCGCGGCCAATCGCGGAGGCGCACCTGGCCCCTCCGCGCCGCAATCATGAATGCTGCGTGTATCTAGTATGCGGACATAACATTATCGCACCGAGTTTGTTCTCCTAGTCGCGTGGCGTCGCGTCGATGGCGTGAAGTGGCGTGGCCGCGTGGAGTGAAGTGTGCCATTGGAGTGCTAGTGGCGTACTAGACAGATTAGACAGGGTACGAACTTAAGCCACGACAACAGTCTTCTCGCGCGCCCAGCGCGACGCTTGCCCGTCGCCGTCCGCGAGCGCGGCGACGACCTCGGCGAGATTGTCGCACGCGGCGCACGTCTGCTCGAGCTCCGCGGGGGTGACGTCCTGCGACGCCCGGGAGTCCCAGGCTTGCCAGAAGGCGCCCATTTCGAGCGCGTCCATTTGTCGCCGCAACACGTAGTGCTCAACCATCTGGCGGGCCTCGGTGCGTTGTACGTAGCCGAGCCGTAGCCGCACGTCGACGCGGCCCGGCCGCACGAGGGCCGGGTCGAGCCGCTCCGGGTGGTTCGTCGTCATAATTAAGATTCTGTCCGGCGTATCCACAACACCATCGAGCACGTTGAGGATTCCCGACAAGTCGAGCCGGTCGCGGGTCGGCTTTAACGCGCCCGTTAACGCCATCGTGGGGCCGGAGATTGCCTTGTCGTCGCCATTGAAGAGGCACTCGAGCAAAGCCTTGATCGGGTCGCCGTCTTTCTCCATGGGCGCTGGCGCCGGCGCAGGCACCGGCTCGGGCGTCGAACCCGACCGCTTAAGCACGACCGACGACGCCGCGTCGACGTCTTCCAGCACGAACACGGTCTGCTTGAAAGTTAATCGAACGGGCACGTCGGCGTCGGCCACGCCGTACTTCATGTCGAAGACCGCGTCGAAGAGCTCCTGGTTCGTCTTGATGCGGCCCAGCGGGATCGAGACGATAGAACGGTCCAACCGCGCCGCCAGGGCCTTGATCAGCGACGTCTTGCCCGTGCCGGGCGGGCCGTGCAGCAACACGCCGAGCTTCTTCGGCGAGCCCTTGACGGCAAATCGCCCGGCACCGGCGTGGAACGCGTCTAGGAGCGACAGCAACTCGTCCTTCTCCGGGAAGAAGAGCGAGTCGAACGTCTTCGACGCCGCGAGGCGGTAGCGCTTGTACGTCGCCGCGCCGGATCCGTCGTCCGAGTCGTCGTCCTTGGCGCCGCCGCCGCCGCCCGCGCGGACGTAGAGGTGCCGGCCGCCGGCCTCCTCCTTCGCCGTCTGCTCGACGTACGCGTCGAAGGCCGTCTCCAGGAACGCCTCGATGGGCGAGAGCTCGTCGCACGCCAGGCGGAAATCGATGGACGTCGTCGAGTTGTCCTTGCCCTCCTCCTTGTCCTCCTGGCCGTCGTCGACGGCGCGCATCACCTTCAGGTCGCCGGGGGCGCCCGGTACCGACACCCACACGTCATCGGGCACGGCGGACACGACGTCGTACTGCCTGAGGAGCGCCGACGTCGTCCCGAAGGACTTGTTCCAGCGGTGCCTGCCCGCGCCCTTCTCGGAGGCGCCGCGCGCCAGCAACCGGAGCTTCGCGTCGTCGGCGCCGTCGAGCGCGCCGCACCGGACTAGATGCCAGGCGATCGCCTTCTGGAGCACCTCGTTCTTCGCCTCGGGCTCGATCTTGGAGCCGCGGCCCCAGCGCGTCGGGCGCCGCTCGACGCGGACGATGCGCTCGAAGCGCTTCTTGCGTCGCAAGCCGGTGCCGGCCGCAGAGCGGATCACGTCCCGCAGCCGCTCCGACGACGTCGCGACGAGCGCAATGAGCGTCGGGAGGAACGCCACCACGAAGAGGTCGACGTTTCTGTTGCCCGTGCGCAGGGCGTTCATGAGCCCGAGCTCCAGCGCGCCCGTGCCTCCTCGGTTGTCGCCGCCGCCCGCCATTCCTATATTGTGTCGTTATGCAAGAGATTACTTTGTTTGCGCGTTTTTTGTTTGGCTGCCCCAACTCTGGCAGAGCGCGCTTTTGGAGAGTGTTCCTCAATATATCCTTCGGAATGACGCGGCACCATTACGGGGCGTCTAGGGACGAGTCTAAGGACGGATCTATGCTTCCGCTTGGAACTCCTAGAAGCAAGTTCCTGGGCCAAGGAGCATCGCTCCCAGAGGCTGCCCAAATCACGTCAACCGTCGCATAGAACGCGACCACGACGCTGCAATTTGTGCAAAAGACACCAGCAACCACGTCTCCAGCAACCGCATCCAGAGGCGTGCCGTGGCGACGGCGGCGGGGACGACGGAAGCTGCAGACACAGCAAAACACTCGCTACACACAGCAAAACACTCGCTGCAATGTCGCACAACGCGACTCACACTATGGACAAGGAGCACGGGGCCACGGCGTCGTCGCTCTGGACGATCCTCGCGGCCGTGGCGCTGCCGCTCATCTTCAACGCGCTGCTCGAGCAGTCGCAGAGCGCGCTCGTGAACTACGTCAACGCCTGGGGCAATTGGCTCGCGGGCCTCGTGGACGGCGAGCAAGTCTCGCGCGTCGTCGAGCGCGTCGAGGTCTTCGACCGCAACGGGTACGGCTGCGGAGGCGGCGCCGACGACGAGGACCGCAACGAGATCCTCATCACGGCCGTCCTCGCCTACGCGTCGGCGCATCCCGTTAAGGGTGAATTGACGGCGCGCGTGAGCTTGCTGCCGCAGGATGTCACGCACTCAAACGACGACTCGGACTCGGACGCCGACGAGCCCTACTCCGCGGCCGGCGAGCTGCGGAAATTAAGGGTCACGACGCGGCCGGCGCCGGACGTCGACGTGACCGTGGCCGAGGCGTCGGCCACGCGGCCGCGCGTGCGCCTCCGCCTCACGCGCGCCTCGAAGACGAAGAAGGCCGACGAGAAGGCCGCGTCGGCGGCCTCGGGGCAGACGACCGTCACGACGACGCTGCGCCTGGCGGCCTGCGGCGCCAAGGCCGAGGAGGCCATCGACGAGTTCGTGGACCGAGCCTTCGCGTTCCACGCGGCGCGTTTGAAGCGAGCGGAGGACGCGCAGGGCCGCTACATGTTCACGCCCATCCCGGACTCTGACGCCTCCTGGAAGAAGTACCGGCTCTCGGACGAGAAGACCTTCGACTCGTTGTTCTTCGCTGAAAAGGCTCGCGTGCTGTCTTCGCTAGACGCCTTCGAGGCCAAGACGGGCAAGTACGAGATCCCCGGCTTCCCGCACAAATTGGGATTGCTGCTCTGGGGCCCGCCCGGCACGGGCAAGACGTCGTTGATCAAGGCGATCGCCAACAAGACGCGGCGCCACGTCGTCAACATCAAGCTGTCCCAGGTCGGCACGAACCAGAAGCTCGCCGACTGGCTCTTCGACGAGCGGTACCACGTCGACGGCGAGGCGACGAAGGTCGCGGTGAACGAGTGCATCTTCGTCTTCGAGGACGTCGACTGCGTCTCTGACGTCGTGCTCTCGCGCGAGGCCAAGGGCGCCGACGCGGCGCCGGCGGGTTCGGATGATCGGTTGTCGCTCGCGGGGCTCCTGAACGTGTTAGATGGGGTGGTGGATTCTCCCGGTAGAATCGTGATCATGACGTCGAATCACCCGGAGAAGCTGGATCCGGCGTTGGTTCGTCCAGGACGAATTAATTTGGCGCTCTACCTCGGCTTCGTCACGGCGGATTCGGCCAGCGCGATGGTCAAGCACTACTTCGGCGACGACGGCTCGGCCGTCGGCGTCGCCGTCGATGCGCTATCGCGTTTCGACCGGCGCTTCTCGCCGGCCCAGCTCGAGCATTTGTGCGCGACGCACGCCTCGGCCGCGTTACTGGCGCAGTCCCTCGCCGCGATCCTCGACCGCGCTCGCGCGGACGCAGACGTCCATGAGGTCCAAGCTGTCCTCGACGACGTCGTTGCGGCCGTCGTGGCGCGTGCAGACAGCAAGGAGGAGGCGCCCCTCGTTGCGCGCGTTTCGTCGGAGTCGCTCGCGGATCTGGAGAAGAAGGCCCCGTGCCTACGGCGATCCGTCTCCGAGGCCGGGGCGCCCTAGTTTAGTTGTGTGATCAAGTTTAAGATACAAAACTATTAAGCACGTCCCCGACAGCCTCGAGCGCCGCCTTCGGTCGGTCCTCGCTGGACATCGCGTCGAGGGCCGCGTCGCTCGCTTCGAGGGCGTCGAGCGCGCTCCTGAGCATTTCCGATTCGTCTCCAACATTGATGTCGACGGTCCGGACGGGGACCTCCACAAGCGGCGGTTCTTCCAGTCCGATCCCGTCGTGGTACTCCAGTACGAGAGCGACCGCCTTTTCGGGCAATTTTCGAGGCAATACCAGGCGCACGGCGGCCTCGTAGTCGTCGCGCGCGGCCTCGGCCATGAGTTTCGCGCCTAATTCATTATCTCCTACATCAAAGGCGCGCTCGGCGGTCTCGACTCTCGCCTCGGGCAGCTTCTGAGCACATGCGTAGGCGAGCAGGAAATCAGAAAGTCTATCATCATATTCCACGACCAGCCCCTCGAGAAACAACCCCGCCAAGTCAAAGCACGCCGACGCGAGGCCCATGAGCGCCGCCTTCCGCAGCAACAAATAGCCCCGCGTCCTCGCGCACGTCGCTCTTGCCAACGCCGCCTCGGGCCCGTCCGGGTCCGCGCGCGTCCCGGACGTCAACTCCCTCAATTCGCGCGAAAGCACGTTGCGCCTGGCTTTAAAACTCTCGATATCCGTCAGCGTCTCGTCCTCCTCGTCCACGGCGCGCCGCGCGCGCTCGACGGCCTCGTAGAGGTCGATCAGCTTCTCGCCGGCCGCGAACGTCTCGCCGTCGCCCGAGCGGTACTCCCACCAGGACCAGTCGTAGACGGCGCGCGCGTCGTCTCCTTTCAATGCCGCGTCCTGGAGCCGCATCAGCTGCGCGTAGGCGTCGTCACGATACACGCCCGAACACACGGGGCACTCCTGATTCGGCGCCGCCTCGAGGCACCGTCGACAACACATCTTGCCGCAGCAGGGCGACCGGTGCCGATGTTCCAGGCGACACCGCCGGTTCAAATCGACGCGGCACACACTACATAATTCTCGGATCGAATTCGATGGCAGCGGCCACTGGGGAAAGTTCGCCGGCGCGAGCGGGTCCAGGTCCACGTCCTCCTTCATTTGTACGACGTCGGCCTCCGCGGGGATCGTGTCCTCGAGCCACGGCTGCACCGGCGGCGGCGGCGCCTTGGGCCTCGAGTCGTCGACCCAGAAGTCGTCCGGCTCCGTATTCTCGTCGTCATCGGCTAGCTCCTGCATGACGCTGGTTCTGTAGGCGACGTTGCCGCGCGCGCGGGCCGCGGCGGCGCCAAGGCGCGCGACGGCGCCGAGGCCGAGCTTCGGCTTGATTGTTTCGCGCACCGGGCGGTGCTTCGTCTTCGGCGTCGGCGCCGCCCGCCGCGGCAGGTCGCGCTGGCGCCTGGTGGTTTTGGGTGCTGAGTTCCTTGGTGCGAAGGCCATTATCGGTGCTCAAAAGGCTGCCCTGGCTCGGCGGTTGGTGGTGCAAGGCGGCTTTTTTATTGTGGCGAGTGGATTAAGGCTGCATCGCAATTATATTGCCCTGCTCTCATCGTGTTCAAACTTTCTAGTGGGGGGTCACGCTAGCCATCGAACCGGTCCGGGAAGAATGGCCACGAAAAGAAGGGGGAAGAAGCGGCGCAAAGCTGCCGCCAGGCCCTTGTTCACAACGAATTTCGTGCGGGTACTTACGCGTCAGTTGTCGCGCAGCCCCGCGATGTCCTTCTGCAGCCCGCCGAGCTCCTCGGTGGCGGCGCGGATGATGCGCTCGAGTTTTGATGCTCGATCCTCCAACGCCTTGATGCGCGCGGGGTCGACCGCCGGCGGCCGCGGCGGCGGGATGGCATAATACAGGTCCGGCTCCGCCTTCGGGGGCGTCTTCTTTGGAGCTGGCTTCGGCTTTGTCGCCGGCGCCGCTGTCCGCGCGCCGCGGGACGGTGGCCGCCGCGCCGGCTTCTCCGCGGTACAACTCCGCTGGTGTATCGCGAGGCGGTCGGGCGCGAAGGTCCGGCCGCAGTGCTCGCACGTGGCCATGTTCGCCTCGAGCGCGGCGTAGGCCATGTCGTTGTACTGGTCCGGCGTCATTCCTTCCGTCGATGCTGTGGGCGCGGTGGGCGGCGGTCTCCGCTCGCTCGGCGGTAGTAGTGCTTGTCTTTGGTTGTAGAGTTCCAAGCACTGCTCGAGATGAATAGGCATGCTGTCTTTAAAGTACTGACGCCCGCAGATGTGGCACACGAGCCCTTGCGGTGCCATTGGGGTGTCTAAGGAAGCAGCAGGGCTGCCCTGGAAGCGGGAAACGACCATGGAGCGTGGCGGCTGCCACTATTTGTTCAACGAGAACGACTCTTCAGGCTCGGGCAGCTCGTGTGGCGTCAGGCTCGTATGGCGGCGCGTAACAGGTGAGAATGTTATGGTATACCTAGGTATGTATGGTATGTGGCCGAAGGGGGGGTATCTTTTTATCGCGATCGGCGCTTGCGTGCCCCAGCGATTTGAACGGCAGCGGGTGCCAAAAGTGCAGCCACAGCTTGCAGAACCTGCGCAAGCACCCTCGCTTGCAAACAAAAATAGTGCTTGCAAGTCCTCCAGCGATATGGCGGCCCACATCATCGGCTCCATAGGAGGCACGCAAGCCGACAGCGTGCCGATCAAAAGAGCGCTCCTCTCGGTGAGCGACAAGACCGGCCTCGTGGAGCTGGGCAAGGCCCTCGCGGCGAAGAATGTCGAGTTGTTAAGTACCGGTGGCACCGCAAAAGCACTAAGAGCCGCAGGCTTGACAGTGCAGGACGTCGCGGACTACACGGGCTTCCCCGAGATGTTGGGCGGCCGCGTGAAGACGCTCCACCCCAAGGTACACGGCGGCATCATGTACGTGCGGGGCAACGCCGAGCACGAGGCCTCGGTCAAGGAGGCGGGCATCAAGGGCATCGATCTGGTGGTGTTGAATTTATATGCCTTCGAAGCCACGGTAGCCAAAGGCTCGGACTTCGAGACCTGCGTCGAGAATGTTGATATTGGTGGGCCGTCAATGCTGCGGTCGTCAGCTAAAAATCATCGGTACGTGACCATCGCGACCGCGCCCTCCCAGTACGCCGAGTTGATCTCCGCACTAAACAAGGACGGCTGCACACCTTACTCGTTGAGAAAGAAGTTCGCCGCCGCGGCCTTTGCCCATTCTGCTCGTTACGACGCGACGATCGCCTCGTGGTTCGCGGGCCAATTGGCCAACGAACCGGACGCGGCGCCTGCACTTTTAACGCGGTCCTGCGAACTCTCTCGCCCCTTAAAGTACGGCAACAACCCCCACCAGAAGCCCGCGGCGTTGTACCGGCCGCTCGGAAGCACGGAGCCGTTCCGGGTCCGCAACGGCGCGCCGGGCTACATCAATATGCTGGATGCGTTCAACGCCTTCCAACTGGTTCGAGAGCTAAGGAAGGCCCTGGACCTGCCGGCGGCGGCGTCGTTCAAGCACGTGAGCCCGGCGGGCGCCGGCCTCGGCGTTGCATTGAATGCGTCGGAGTGCAAGGCCTACGACATCGCGGACCCGGCCTCGTTGACACCGCTCGCGACGGCCTACGTGCGCGCGCGCCAGGCCGATCCCCTCTGCAGTTTTGGCGACTTTGCCGCTTTGTCTGACGTCGTCGACGAGAACACGGCCTTGGTCCTCAAGAAGGAAGTCTCCGACGGTATCATTGCTCCGGGCTTCGAGCCGAAGGCCTTGGAGATCCTGTCAGCTAAAAAGGGCGGCAAGTTTGTCTGCGTCGAGGTCGATCCCGACTACACGCCTCCAACCCTAGAGTACCGAGAAGTGTATGGCGTGGGCTTCGCGCAGAAGCGGAACGACCGGGAGATCACGTTGGATGACGTGAAGACCGACGAAGTGAAGAAGGGGCCCATGCCGCCGGACGCGCAGCGCGATCTTGTTTTAGCGGCGATCACGGCGAAATACACGCAGTCGAATTCCATCTGCTTCGCGCGGGGCGGCCAGGTCGTCGGGGTCGGGGCGGGCCAACAGTCGCGCGTCGATTGTGTCAAGCTCGCCGGCAAGAAGGTCGCGACGTGGTGGCTCAGGCAGTCGGAGGACGTATTAGCGTTGCCCTTCGTCGCTGGGCTCAAGAGACAGCAAAAAGTGAACGCTCGGGTCCAGTACCTGGAGGGCGGTTTCGATTCGTACGCTCCCCAAGAAAAGGCGGCCTTCGACAAACTGTTTGCTTCTGGGACGTGCCCTCCGGAGCTGACGTCTTCGAGACGCGCTGAGTTGCTTGGCCAATTAACGGGCGTGTCGCTCGCCTCGGACGCGTTCTTCCCCTTCCCGGACAACATGGACGTCGCCGCCAAGTTCGGCGTCAAGTACGTCGTCCAGGCCGGCGGCTCGGTCCAGGACGAGGCCGTGCTGGCCTGCGCGCGGGGCCACGGCATGGCCATGGCCATGAACGGCATCCGCCTCTTCCACCACTAGGCAGTGGTGTCTGATTTCTGACCGGGGGCTTGCTAAGGATCCCGGAGAGACTCCCGCAAAAAGCGACTAGGGGGTCGCGCGCCGTGTAAAACCCGAACCCGAACCCGATGCGAAAAAAGTAGCACACAGCCACACAAGCAGCGCCGCCGTCGGCTCGGGCGCGCTCCGCACGCTGTCACATCGTGGCCACGACGAGGCAGCCTCGTCTGCGCCCACTGGTACGCCACCGAGCAGCAAGTGAGCCGAATCATCGGGCTGCCCATCTACGCGACAGCCCATACTCACGAACACGTAGACGCCCTCGACGCAACAGTAAGCCATGGGGCAGCCCATCTACGCGACGCCGACCAAGCCGTTCCTGACGAATACTTATCTTGAGCTCTACGTCATTATCGGGATCACGATCTTCAGCAGCACGGTCCTGTTCTGCATTTTTAAAGACGTGAAGCGACGGGACGCGATCCGGAGGACGCTGTCCGGCGCGCGGCTCTGCGGCATGGACAAGGTGGCCTAAGATGCGCATTCTGCTCCTCGCGGCGGTCGCGGCGTACGACCCCGAGAACCGGGCGACGTACCTACCGACAAGATACGACGAGAAGGCCGATGACCTCGCGGCGCACGCGCAGCACCTCTTCGACCGGGCGGCGCGAGCTGCGTCGACGGCCCGGTGCCGGGCGCCCGTCGCGGGACACAAGCGGTCGGGCTTCGGCTCTTATTTAAGGATCCTCGCGCACGAGGCCGAGGATTTGTTGATACGAGGCCGCGCGCCGACGCCCTTACTGCAGCACGCTTTATTAGAAAAAGGCGTCGGTAGTGTTGGAGACGGCCGGCCCTGCGCGAAGAAGCAGCTCTCGAGCTGCGTCTTCCACGACGCCTTCGTCGAGGCCAAGTCGTTGCCCATATGCCCTTGCGCGAATCCCAACCCCGTGAATTGCCGGGGCGAGCGCCACCGCGCCCTCCCCTACAAGGACGGCGAGGCGAAAAGAGCGGTCGAGGACTGGCGGCGCTTCGCCGAGACGTACCCGTTCTGGGCGTCCTCGGCCCTCTTTTCCGCTGTCTTACGACCGCAGAAGCGCCTCCGGGCGGCGATCGCCGACGCTACTACGAAGCTCGGCGACGCGCCACGGCCGTGGGTCGCGGCCCACTTGAGGAGAGGCGACGCCTGCCGCGACGGCGCTTACATGGGCCGCACGTGTAGCAGCGGCGACGACTACGCCCGGGCGTGCTGCGACGCGGGGCGGAAGTACGGCTTCGGCACGCTGATCGTCGCGACGGACTCGAGTAGCGCCTTGGCGGAACTGACGGCGGCGCTCGCCGAGAGGAGGTGCCCCTTCACCGTCAAGGCGACCTCGGACACGTCCGTCGACGACAAGACGCGGGAGTCGGCGCGCGTCGAGGATTTGCTCGAGTCCAACGTCCTCGACTCCGCGAAAGAGTTCGCCGGCGTCCTGGTGGACGTCTTCCTGCTCGCGTCCGGCGACGTCTATATCGGCAAGTTCACGTCGAATCTGGATCGCCTGGCCTACGCTTTACTCGTCGCCCGGAAGGGCGTCGCGGCGCCCTACGTATCGTTGGATACGGCCTGGTCGAAAGATACACCCGCGTTGTTTGATGCAGCAACACACCGACCGCTCCAAAAGCTCCTCAACGAGACGCTCCACAAGAGCCAGTTGCGCAACATCACGCGCAAAAAATTGCGGGTCGACGAGTGCCGCGCGCCGCGCGCGGTCGCGGGCTGGTCCGAGACGGGGAGTCGGTGGTGGTGCCCCGCGACTACTACTAGCGCGTAAGGGTGGTCTGTACTCCGGCGTTCGGAGGTTGCGCGCACGCTTTTCGATGCTGGTATCTCCTCAGGCAAAAACGTGCCCTTGGGCAGCCCTTTGGGTAGCACTCCATGTACATGCGTCAACCGAGCGATAGTAGGAAACTAATCGTTATGTTAACGACTTCACTCGTCGCGGGCGGCGGAATTACGGGCGGGCCAGGCATCATGACGTACTACTATGTTAAACGTTGGGGACACGTACGTAGCGGACGACGAGGGGGAGGGAAAGAGGGACACGACGACGACGTCAGGACGTGCGGCGCCGGCGCGCCGGCGGCTCGCGCGGCGACGGGACGTCGACGAAGTCGTCGTCCTCCATGGCGATGCCGCCGGGCGCGCCGGGGAACGGGGGCAGGTTCGCGGGCCCGCCGCCGCCGATGACGACCTGGAACGGGAGCATGCCGCCGGGGAAGCCCAGGGGCGGCGCCTGGCGCGCACCGCCGCGGTTGGCGTCGCGCACGTTGCGGCGGACGCCGTCGAAGAGCGCGCGGAGAAACGCGGGCGGCTCGCCGGCGCCGCCGGTGGAGAAGAACGGGCCAGGCGGGAAGCCCATCATCGGGCGCGGGGCGCTGCGGCCGCCTGGAGAAGCGGGCGAGCGGGGACCACCCGTCGCGCGGCCGCGGGGCGCTGCCGCGCCGCGGCCGCGCGGCGAGGCGCCGCCGCGGCGGCGCGCGGGCGCCGGCGCCGGCGCGGCGGCGCGTCCGCGGCGCCGAGGCGCCGCGGGCGCGCGGCGCGGCGTACCTTGGCCAGAGGGCCCGCCGAAGGGCGACCCCGCCCCGAACAAAAACGGCGGCAAACCAGCCTCGCGCGCCGCGTCCGCGAAGGCTCGAGCGGCCCCCGGCGGCGGCGGCGGCACGGCGCCCACGAAGATGGGCACGGCGCCCGGCGGCGGCAGGCGCTTCCGGCGCTCGTCGTCGCGCTCGGCCTCGTCCTTGAGCAAGGCCACAAGCTCCTTCTTCTCGACGACGCCCTTCGTGGGCACATCTCTTTCTTCACATCTTTTGCGCAGCTCGGCGATGGGCAGCTTCGCGTAGTCGCGCTTTTTCTTCTTCGGCGCGTCTTGCAAAGGCGCTCTGCAGGTAGGACACTTGTCCGACTCCTTCGTGAGCCACTTGATCGCACAGGCCCGGTGGAAGCGCTGGCCGCAGCAGGGCATCCTCAAACAGTCGCAGCCCGGGTCCCGCGTCTCGATACATATGGGACAGTTGATCTTGTCCTTGACGTCTTCCAGATCGAACTTGCGCTTCGCGAGTCGCGACCGGCCGGCCCGCGTCGTCGTGACGACGGCTTCTTCCACAATTTCATCTGGTTGTGGTTCCGAGTAGGCGTGCTCGTCCAACAAGTGATCTAATCGCTTCCGGTCGGCCGGTCTGGCCCTTCTCATTCCTTGGGCCTGGGCAAACGCTTCAATGCCGCCAAAACTCCTAGGAAGAATAGAAGCTAACAATTGTTCGACGTCCACGGGCATCTCGTCGTCGTCGTCGCCGCCGGGCGACGGCGGACCCCCAAAAAGCATCTCGAGGCCGCCGGGCGGCGGGCCGAAACCCCAGGGGGGCAGGTCCATGGTCGTTTTTGGGCGCGGGGGCGTGCGCGGCACGGGTGCGCCGCGGGGATTTATTTGGCTTGCACTGGTGGTTCACTGCCGCTGGCCGCTGCGCCCGCGTGGGCCCCAGGCGTGGCTCTGGCGTGAGCGAAGGCGCTTGGCGGCGCGCTGCGGTAGCGAGCGGGCACTCGTTTTGGTTTGGGCGTTTTGCGCCGAGTGAGCGTCGTTCGACTGCGGTCGATGGCACTGGACAAGCTTCGTCTACTAGCCCACCCACCTAGACGCCTAGGCCGCCCCGACTACTCGTGACGGTACCATGGACGGTGACCACACAGGCAGAAGACTCCTGGGTGCGTTCATAAGGGCAAACTAGCGGAGCTTGCGTTTGGACTTGGATGTGTAACGAGGTCAGTGCGCCGAACATTGGCGTCCACGATGGAAGCCGCTATTAGAGGTGGCTTGACATGTAGAGTAGCCAACGCCCACAGCGGCGCCATCCACGAAATATCAGTCCCCGTAGACAGCGGAGACGACGCCTACGAGGCGCTGAGCCGCGCGGTCGAGAACGCGCTGGGCGGCGAGAAGATCGTCCTCTACGGCCCGCCCTGGCGGAGCCTCGACGCCGCCGGCGCGCGCGCGGCGCTCGAGGACGCCCGGACGGCGTCGGGGGCCGCGCCGCCGCGGGTCGTCGCGTTCGACCCGGCTCAAATACGGGGCGAGGCGACGCACGCGAGCTACGAGGCCGACGCGGCGGCGGGGCGCGCCGTCGAGGCGGGCGTGCGCGTGCCGCGGACGCTGGCCGAGGCCAAGGGCTGGGGTTTGGTGCGGCGCGAGTCGTCGGCCGACGCCGAGGCGGGCTCGTCGCCGGGCTCGGGGCCGCTGCAGCGCGCGCTCGGCGACTTCGCGACGCAGTTTCGGTTAAGACGCGCCCAGGGCACGACGCGGCGTCGACGACGTTTTGGGCGCCTTCAAACGCATCGACGCGCCCCTCGATGGCGTATATGTTGCGCGTCGATGGCGTAGAGGGAGACGCCAAACCTACGCAGGTGAAGCCTACGAGCGCGCCGCGGCGGCGCGCGCGCACGCGTGCGCGGGCCTCCGCCAGCGCGCGGCGGTCCGCGACCTCGGCGTCCGGGCCGCGCTCGCGACGCTCGTGGACCACGCGGCGGCGCTGACCGAGGCGCACGACGCCGTGCGGCGGCGCGGCGCGCGCCACGGCGCCGCGCAGCGCGACGCGCTCGAGCGCTTCGAGGACGACCTCGACGTGCGCGCGCGGCGTCCGGTATCATTACGCCATCGATAGCGTATATTTCTCGCGTCGATGGCGTGGAGGGAATCCTCCCATCTGACGCGACGCATCGCCAGAGATCGGAAAAATCAACGCGCTGACGCGCAACACCGCGAGAGAAGAAAAAAAACAAGAACAAAAACACAGGCCCTCGACGGCGCGCCCCTGCACCCATCATTAGCCAAGGCCCTGGACGAGACGGCCGGCACGCAAACCGACGCGAAGACGCTCGCGGCGTGCGTGCCGCGCGACCGCGTGCGCAAGTGGGCGGAACACTGCGCGCGCGCGCTCGCCCAGTTCGAGGCCGACGGCGATAGAATAAGGGCCGTGGTCGGCGACGTCGCCCAACGCGTCGGCACGAGAGTGGGCGCGGCCGCGGCTCAAGCACGCGCGGACGCTTTGGACGCCGTCGAGGCCGACGCGGCGGTGTGTGCGGCACTAGCGCAGCGCCAGGCGGCCCTGGTCGAAGCTCTAGGTAGGGACGAGCGCGACGCTTCTGACTTGGTGGCGAAGCACTGCGTCGACGACCCGAGCGTCGGGGACCTCGCGGACGACCCTACTTCATCGCCGCGGGCGCAGTTCGACCTCGACCTGAGCGGCGACAACGTGCTCAAAGGAAGCTTGTTGGACGACGACGACGACGAGGCCGATGATACTTTTGGGACGCCCACCAAGTCCTCGGCCGTCGCGCTGGACGCGTGTCGAGAGTTGCAGGCGCGCTGGGAGCGGCGGGAACGCTTGCTGCCCATCATCAAGGCCACGGAGCGTAGTATAGCGCAGTGCGCTCGAAGCTGCGCGTCCCGAGCCGACGCCTTAGCGACGCGATCCCTGGAGGAACTACGAGGTGTCGGCGAGCTCCAGACCACGATCCACGACGCCCAGGCGAACCACCTCGAGACGCATAGTGATGCGTTGGAGGCGAAGGCTCGCGCATTTGCCCAATTGGACACGGTGCGCGCTTTACCTAGAGTGCACGCCGCATTATGTCTGGAAGTGGCGCGGCGCCGTTCCTACGGCACGGCCGCCGCGGCCGTCGTGCAAAAGGCGACGGAGGACGTGGCGCGGCTCCGGGAGGTGGAGACGAAGCGTCGAGCCAAGTTCAGCCGCCTCCACGGCGCGCGGCTGCCGCGGCCTTTGTTGAGAGCCGTGCCGGGTTTGGTCGACCCGCCGGCGCCCTTTACGCCGACCTTCGCGCCGGACGAGCGCGAGCTGCCGTGCATCAGCGTCGAGGATTTGAGAGAGGACGGCGCGCCGCGGCCGCGCGCCGATTCCTCTGATTCGGCCTTGGCGCCGCCGAACCAAGCGTCATCACATCATTCTTCCGATGTGGCCATGGAGGAGAAGGAGGGCTCGAGCTCGTCGGACGACGACCACGACGACGACGACGAGCAGGCGCTGCGCGCGAAGTGCGCGCGCCTCGAGTGCGAGCTCGCGGCGCTGCGCGCGGAGGCCTGCGAAGAGAAGCCGCGCGCCGTGTCCGCCGAGGACGTCTCCGAGGCCGAGGAGGGGCCGCCGCAGATTTCGTTCCGGCGCTTCGAGCTCGGCGACGTGGCGCTCTTCCTGCCGACGGGCGCCGGCGACGGGCGCAAGTCGTACCTGGCCTTCCACCACGGCTGCCCGCACCGCTACCTCGCTCCGTCGAGCGTCGAGGCGATCCGGGCGGCGCACCAGCGCTACCCGGACTTCATCCTTGGCCGCGTGACGCGGTGCGACGCGCGCGAGGCCTCGGACGCGGACAACCCGTTCCGCCTGCCGCCCGGCACGGCGTTCCACGTGCTGACCGTCGAGAGCCTCTGACCCTTGCTGCCCTACCCTTGTCTCTAGATTTAAAGTTACTCGTAATACTACCACAATACAATACGTTTCCGTCGTGTTTCTCTCGTCTAGTAGGGCGGCACGCAGTCGAGGCCCGGCTCCTCGCTCTCCTTGTCGACGCACATGGCGTAGAGGAAATCTGTCGTCTCGCCGCCGCCGAAGCCCTCGCTCGTGGGCGGCAGGACGTCGACGCCTCCGCCGGCGAAGACGCGGAACCGGTCGACGCTGTCGTAGTCGAGGTCGCTCCAGCAAGCCCGACACCGCCCGGTGTCGCAGCCGAGCGCTCGCCGCAGCTTCGGAATGCGGCAGTGTTCCCAAGCTATCAGGACCGCTGGCGACTGGCAGTCGTCCGTCGCGGCGAGGCTTCGAGCCGTCCGCATCGCGTCGGCGGCGAGGGCCTCGGTCTCGAAGGCGCCGAACGACACGTTTATGTGTATGCCGAGCGCCTGTGCCAGCGGCGCCACCGTCTCGTACTCCCGCCGCACGAACGGCGGCGCGCTCGGCGACGTCGCGTAGACCGCGGCGAACCGTGGCCAGTCGCCGCTCGTCACGAGGCGTTCCAAGTTCTGTGCGCGGTCGACGCCGGCCGGCGACAGGTCGAGGTCGAGGGTCCGCGACGCATTCGCGGCCTTTTCGCCGTGGCGGATGATCCAGATCTCTGAGGACGGGCGGCAGCGCAGCTGTGTCGTTGTCTTTCGTTGCGTGACGAGGACTGATAACGCGGATAGGAGCAGTGCTGCGGCTGCAGCCACTGCTCTTTGCATGACTGCTGCTGTTATGTATTCAATCTTCTTCTTCGCGGCAGTATGCAGATAGGTGCGAGCTTTCTTGGCTCACTACCGTGACCTTACCCTCGGCTTGTGCGCTTACAATCGGTGAGGAAAACCCGTGCACAACCACAAAACCAATATTTACTCCCGAGTCAGACCGTCGGCAGGCTCGCCTGGACCGGATCCAACACCTCGGGGCACGGGCTAAACAGCGTGTTCTTGCAGCACTGCACGACGCACCACCGCCCCTTCGGCACGTAGGACGCGCTGTACCAGACCGCGCAGAAGAGCTCCACGGCGAGCATGAGGAGCACGATGAAGACCGCGACGTGCAACAAAGCCAGCACGAGTACCAATACGAGCGACACGAGGTACATGGCCGTCGCGCCGCGCCGCGTCGAGTTCCACATCTTCTTGCACATGAGCTTCGGCCCGACCCAGAAGGCCGTCGCCATGATCGCGATCAAATTGCCGCACACGTACAGCACCGAGAACTTGCGGATGTTCCGGGCCGTCGGCCCGCCGATGAGTGTAAGCGTACCGCAGATCTCGAGGATGTACCCGAGCACGCAGCAGCAAATTAAGGCAATGAGACGCTGCTTGAACGTCATCGTCGGGCACATCTCGCAGACCTGCTCCTCGATGGTCTGTTCCTCGACCGGGACCTGCATGCCGACCGCCCGCCGCGCGCTGATCGACGCGGTCCGCGCTGCGCCCGCGACGGAATTCGCGGCTTGGGTCAGTGGGTTCTCCGCATCGTTGTTTCCGCCGAGGTCCATGTAGCTCTGCTCCTTCTCCTCGAGTCCGAGCCAGGCCTTCATTGTGCGTTGTTTTGATGATGTCTATGGGCAAAGGATTGGTTGTTTTTCGGGTCTCGAGCCGAGGCCTTTTCTTTTGAGGGGCTCGCAGTACTGGTCGCGTGTGCTGCTGGAGGCACCACTGCAGCGCTGGCGCTATCAGTGGTGTACAGAACCGCCTAAGTTGTGTGTTTTGCGGTGCTTTCTAAGGCAGGAGCAAACTCGAGGAGACATCCTAGTGTGTGTGTGTTGTTATAGCCTAACCCCCTCGCCCGCTAACGAGCGGTTGCGAAAGACGAGACTTGCTGCCCCTCACAGCCCCAGGAGAACTCCAACGGGAAGCTTCCGTCGATCTTGATCGGAGGGCGGTTCTTCCGTTCCCCCGTCGGCCGACGTGCCTAATCACCCGCCGCTGCACCCACCGACTGACAGAAACCTCGGGACTGTGACTAATAAAGACGCGAGTCATCGTTCGTCATGGCGCTATGAAGCAAACTCTATATCAGAACCCGATTACTGACCAGTACGATGGGGGCTCATGCCCGAGTGTCCGCACCAAGGAAGAGCAACTGGGACAGATAGGTCACGATGAGTCGATCACCAGTCCCAGAGCCGGCTCCAAGGCAGTGACTATTAAACTTTGGGTAACTTGGTCAGAACACCGTCGTTCATGAGCAACGCCTGCGAGACAAAACAGAAAGAAGAGAAAACGCACCGTGTCAACGCGGCCTTCGTGCCGAACCAGGAGATCGTCGAGCGGAGGGCCCGGCCGCCGCGAAAAAGGGTGCCGGAGAGCATGACCCAAGGTGAAGTCTGTTCTCAGCGGGCGTAGCCGCGTTCGCTGCCGGGCCGGCCTTCCCGGGACCGCCAGGGGGTAAGCTACGAGCTGCACGCAGCCTCCCAGTGTGCGGCGCGGCCGGGGGCGCGCACGCGCACAACGCAGAGGTTAGTGCCTAGTGCCTTACAGAACGCTAGCTCTGCTTTGGGCAAAGGACTCGCATCGCTGCGCGTAAGCTCGCTAGCAGCAGCAGTCTACCACAAAAGCATCGCTGCGACCATCGCTACGCCTATTTCGACAGATTCGGCAAAATACGTACTGAGCAGTGAAAACCCAGCGATGGCAGCCAAGGTCCGAATCGGCGCCGAGCTCTTCTGCGCCGCAGACTTGCGGCAAGCCCTCGACGCCGCCCGGCAGGACGGCCTGGACTTCGCGTGCTCGCCCCTGTCGCACCCGCGGAACGCGCGCGACGCGCGGGGCGTCAGCGAGCGGCGCGCGGCGCCGGAGACGCGGTCGGACCTCGCGCTCACGTGCGGCGAGTGGTCGCGGCTCATCGTCGGCACGGCGAGCGCGTGGCCCCGCCTCGACGCAAGTTGCGCGCAGCAGCGGCGCGACGGCGAGGCGGCGCTGACGCGCGAGCTCGAGTGGGCCTCGCACCTGTCGCTGGCGGCCGTGCTGCTGCCGCCGCTGCCGGCCGACGTCTATCCGGTGGCGCGCCGGCTCCAGGAGACTTTTCAGAGAGCGACGTCGTGGCAGGCGTGGGTGCGCTGCCGCCTCGTGTCGCGCGAGGAGGAGGCGAGGCGGCGCGAGGACCCAAGTTCAACTGGAGACGTCGCCGACCCGTGGCTGCGCTGGGACCGCGTGCGGCGGCTCTGCGACCACTCGGCGGCGCTCTGCGTCGCCCTCGAGCTGACGGAGACGCTCCCGTCCGTGGACGCGGCGCGGCGCTGGCGCGGCGAGCCGCTGAAGTGCGTGCTCGTGCCGTACGCCTTGTTTAGGACGAACGAGGCGGGTTTCCCTGTGCTACCGAAGGCGCACCAGGACCTGCTCGCGTCACTAGCAAAGCTCGAGCCGCAGCTCTGCCTGACTGGGGTTCCTACACATCCACGTCAAAGTTACGTTTCCTACCTGCGCCACCTCATAGCGAGTAGGGCGCCGGTCATGGACGAGGCGGCCATCGCCGAGCGGCCGTACCGCGACTACCTGCAGGCGCCGCTCCAGCCCTTGGCCGACAATTTGGAGGCCAACACCTACGAGACCTTTGAGCGGGACCCCGTGAAGTACGCGCGCTACGAGGAGGCGGTCAAGAAGTTTCTCGGAGAGAGGACGAGCGCGGTCGTCGTCGTCGCGGGCGCGGGCCGCGGGCCCCTCGTCGCGGCTGTGTTAAGAGCCGCCTCGGATCGATGTAATGTGAAGGTGCACGCCGTCGAGAAGAACGCCAACGCCATCGTGACGCTGCGGCACCGCGCCTCGACGGAAGACGCGTGGCGCGGCCGCGTCGAGGTGCACCAGTCGGACATGCGGCGCTGGGCACCGCCCTGTCCCATCGACTGCGTCGTGTCCGAACTCTTAGGGTCCTTCGGCGACAACGAGCTCTCGCCGGAATGCTTGGAGCCTGTGGAAAGGTGGACGTCCACGTCGATCCCGCAGAACTACGAGTCTTTTTTACAACCTATATCATGTGCAAGACTCTGGTTCGACGCGCGGCGCGCGAACACGGGCCTGCCCGCCGGGCCGCCGGCCGTGGGCGCCTGCATCGGCGCGCCGCCCCCAGATAGAGGCCTCGAGACGCCGTTCGTCGTCAAGCTCCACAACTTCGCGCCCCTGTCGGCCGTGCAGCCGGCCTTCCGCTTCGACCACCCGGCCTCGGAGAAGTCGCTCGAAAGGTACTGCGCGCTGGAGTTCCCTGTAGCGGTGGACTGCACGGTGCACGGCCTCGCGGGGTACTTCGAGTCGGAGCTCTACGACGGCGTCATGATCTCGATCAACCCGGCGACGTTCTCGACGGGCATGTTCTCGTGGTTCCCGCTGTTCTTACCCTTCTCGCGGCCGGTCTTCGTGGCCGCGGGGTCGAGCCTCGAGGTGCGGCTCTGGCGGCGGCGCGAGGGCGACCGCGTCTGGTACGAGTGGGCCGTCGTGGGGCCCGACGTGCTGCCCGTGCACAACCCGGGCGGGCGGAGCTGCGCGATGCGGCTGTAGTGGTAACTGGTTCAAGTCTTTTTCAACTTGGCAAGTTCTAACTCCGGACGTTTTTAAACAACACACTATGGTAGGGCCAGGCCCCCGAGCGCCACATACAGCGCCGCTAACGCGTGGCCTGAACCCACTCGGGATAGGTCCACGAGAGGTAGGTCTGCGACACGGTCCCCGGTAGCAAAGCCCGGGCTGCCGCGACACCGTCTTCGCAGTAAGCTCTCCGGACTGCATCGCGCTCACGGTCGAGCTGGGCGCGCTGCTCGGGCGTGGGCATGCGGCGCAGACTCGCGGGCCGATTCGGCGCCTGGGCCAGGACTTCCCGCAGGGCACGGGTGGCTTCGACGAATTCCCTAAGCTCGGGCGCGGGGGCCTCGCCCCGGATCTCGGCCAGGGCCGCATCGACGAGCCAGTCTCCCGAAACTGCCTCGAGCGGCTTGGCAAAGCCTGGTCGCGGATCGAGCAGGGCCAAAAAGCTTGCCCAGACGGTCTCCACCCACCAAGGGCCCCGAATCAGGTCGGTGATCAGCGCCTCGTCGAGCACTCGTAGGCTCAGCAGACAGGCGTAGTGCCACTGAAGCGGCGCGATCCGCAAGCTCGGGTAGTCGCGCAGCGCCCCGACGCAGTCCCGGCCGAGCTCTAGCTGGCGCGCAACGAAGCGCCGCGCCCCGCGAGCATTATACAGGGGCGTGAAGCGACCTTGCGTGACGCAACCCTGCTTGACGAGGTAGACCAGGTCGTCGTAATAGTAGGTCGGCGCCAAGCTAGATCCGAAGCGCGATGTTAGTATGTCGATTACGCTAGCTCCGACTGCCGCCTCGATGCCGGAAAACGCCTTCGAAGCATATGATTAGAGTGTCAAAGTCCTTACACTCGTGAGGCCTAGAGACCTAGAAGCCGGCGCCGAAGCCGCGCAGGCAGATCCACTTGCCGCCCGGCCGCGTCTCGCAGGCGAGGTCCTTCTTCGCCTGGAACTCCTTCTTCTTCTTGTTCGCGTCGTCGCGCGCGTCGCGCGCGGCCTTCTCGGCGACCTTGGCGTCCTGGTCGTACTGCTTGAAGACATCGTTCGCCGCCTTGGCAGACGCGTCGCGGTCCTCCTGGGGCACGAGGAGCTCGGGCCGGTCCTTGTACTTCTCCTCGAGGCCCTGGTCCTTGGGGATGTCGAAGCTGGCGCGCGGCGAGTCGAAGCTGGATGGCGCCGAGAACGAGGGCGCGGACGGCGCCGAGATCTTCGGCATCGACGGAGCGCTGAACGACGGCATGGAGGGCGCGTCCATTTTAGGGGCCTGTCCGCAAATCAACCAGTGAGTGCCGCGCGCGAAAATTTGTTTCATGCACTGTCACTCGCGGAGAACGATGGCATATCCATCTTCGGCGCGGCGGGCGCGTCGAATTTGGGAATATCTGTGTGGAAATCAAATTTCGGGCAACTCACGCCATCGACGCGACGTAAACGTAACTAACGTAACTCGCTGGTTGATTTCTACGCAGGCACGCGCCGAACTTCGGCGTATCCATCTTCGGAGCGTCCGGCATTTTAAATGAAGGAGCATCCACCTTGGGGACCTGTGCGCCAGCATCAGCGAGTACCGCCACGCCGTCGAGCTGGCGTCGCGTCGATGGCGTGGAGGCCAGATTCCGCAGGGGCGGAGACGCGCCGCGACAATTTGATTGAGGCTCTGGGACTAACGTCGGGCATCTTGAAGTCCATCTTAGGAGCCTGTTCAAATCAACCAGTGAGTCTGGTGCACCGCGAAAATTTGTTTCATGCACTGTCACTCGCGGAGAACGATGGCATATCCATCTTCGGCGCGGCGGGCGCGTCGAATTTGGGAATATCTGTGTGGAAATCAAATTTCGGGCAACTCACGCCATCGACGCGACGTAAACGTAACTAACGTAACTCGCTGGTTGATTTCTACGCAGGCACGCGCCGAACTTCGGCGTATCCATCTTCGGAGCGTCCGGCATTTTAAATGAAGGAGCATCTGTGTGGAAATCAAATTTCGGGCAACTCACGCCATCGACGCGACGCAAACGTAACTCGCTGGTTGATTTCTACGCAGGCACTTGCCGAACTTCGGCATATCCATCTTCGGAGCGTCCGGCATTTTAAATGAAGGAGCATCTGTGTGGAAATCAAATTTCGGGCAACTCACGCCATCGACGCGACGTAAACGTAACTAACGTAACTCGCTGGTTGATTTCTACGCAGGCACGCGCCGAACTTCGGCATATCCATCTTCGGAGCGGCGGGCGCGTCGGGCATCTTAAAATCCATCTTAGGAGCCTGTCAGCAAATCAACCAGTGAGTCCGTTGCGCCCGATAGGAGACGACAATGTGTTTTATGCACTGGTGACTCGCAGAGAACGATGGCATATCCATCTTCGGAGCGTCTGGCAGCTTCGGTGCGTCCGGCATCTTAAAGGATGGCGCCTCCGGGGCCTGCGCGCACATCGATCGGTGAGTGAGACACGCCGCGACAATTTGATTCATGCGCAGGGACTCGCGTCGAATTTCGGCATCGAGAACGACGGCATGGAGGGGGCGTCGAGCTTGGGAGCCTGCGCGCAAAGCAATAAGTGAGTCGAGTGCACCAAGCCGGCGTCGCGTCGCGTCGACGGCGCCGCGACGATTTACGCGCGGGGGGCTCGCCGAGAACGACGGCATCGACGGCATTTCCACCTTCGGCGCGTCGAAGGTCGGCAGCGACGGCGCGCTGCTGAAGGAGTCGGGGGGCTTGAAGGCCGGCGCCGCGTCCTCCTTCTTCGCCGCAGCGGCCGTCGCGGCCTTGGCCTTCGCGAGGGCCGCGTCCTTCTTGGCCTGGGCCTCGTCCTCGCGCTTCTTGGCGGCGTCGCGGAGCTCCTGCTGCTGCTTGGCGCGCGCCTCGCGCGCGGCCTCGCGCTCGGCGGCCTTGGCCGCGGCGTCGGCCTCCTTCGCGGCGGCGGCGTCGGCGGCCTTCTTCTTGTCGGCCGCGGCGGTGTCGGGCGCGTCGTCGCCGCCGCCGAAGCTCGGCATCTCGAACTTGATGGACGAGCCCTTGGAGCCCGTCGCGCTCATGCCGTAGATCGCATCATAATCATCGGCGGACAGCGCGAGCGAGGACAGCGGCAGCGTCGACGCGCCGGCAAGCACGGCCGCCGCCATACCAGCGGCGACCTTTTTCGCGGCCTTGCTTTGCACGGCGCGCGGCGGCGGGGGCACTGGCCGCAAGGCCAGCGCAACAGTGGCACAGCTGAGCAGTGCGACACGTTTCATCATGGTGCACCGCTCTCGGGCCGTCCTCTGGCTGCCTTCAATGCTGCGAGTCTCCGCCTCGTTGCAGGCGGGGCGTCAGGGCTCGCGCTATGCACAGCTCGCGGTGTGCAAGAGCCAAAAGCTTTGCATCTGAGGCTGGGGGTCTGGGGCTGGGAGAGGGGCCGAGCCGTGCCCAAGAGAACGCGGGCCAGTGGGGGCTAGGCATGGCGGGACGGCTCCGCCAAAAAAATTGATTTTGGGACCACCGCGCGCGCCGCGCTACCCAGGGCTCCGCCCACTAGTCCTAGCACCGTAACAAAAGTCCGCCAGTGTCCTAGGAAGTCCTTACCTACCCCCCCACAAAACGGCGTGGACCCACTACTTCTTCGGGAACGCCGACCCGCTCCAGGCGACGCGCTCGAACGTGTCCGTGACCCGCCGCGGGGGCATGACCTTCGGCGCGCCCATCATGGGCCCCGCCCAGGTCCGCGCGACCCACTTCTGGTACTCCGGCGAGTCGCCGTATTTTTCGAGCTGCTTCTTCTCGAGGCCGGCCGCCGCCTCGCCCGCGAGCACACCAAAAATGCCGAAGGCGCCCAGGGCGCTGCACGCAAGAGCGGGCACGTGCTTCGAGACGGGCGCCGCCGCCGAGATCGCCGCCGCGAAGGAGAGGAGCCAGCCGAGCACCTCGAACGTGTAGTTGGGATGGCGGAAGAAAAAAAAGGGCCCGCCCGTCACGAGGTGGTCCTTGCCGTTCAGCTGCTTGGCCACGTACTTCCACGCGTCGGCGACGGCCGCGACGCCGAAGGACGCGAACGACGCCTTCACCAGCAGCTTAACGGCGTCGGTCGCCTGGCCGGCCGCCGTGACCCGCAGCGGCGCCGCTAGGAAGGCGTACAGCGCTGCGCAACCCGACAAGAGGGGCAGGCGCTTGAGGCGGTCCGGGACTGACGCGGACTTGGCCTTGATGGGCCGCATCTCGGTCGTGGCACCTCTCAGCAGCAAATAAGCGCAGAGGCGCACGCCGTAGAACGCGAGCGCCGTCGCGTGGAGCTTCGCCACGCCGCTGGTCTTCTGGAGGTAGAGGTACGCCGAGGCGGCGATGGCGCCGCCGTAGCCGTAACTAACCGCGAAGCCCGTGCGCCAGAGGCCCAGTGCGGTGGGCACGCCCGCCGCGAGCGCGAGCTCGGGCACGGTCGGGAGCAATACTGGTGCGGCCTTGGCCACCGTGGCCTTGGCTGCAGCGGGCGTGCGCGCTGCACGCAGCGGTGGGACGGCGAAGCCGTGCGCGAGCGCAGAAATTGTTGCGAGCGTAGCAAGGCGCAACATGATCGACCTCTTATTTGCAACGAGGACCGCAGGACAGTGAGCACGCAGGCATGCACGCGCCTTCAAATTTGGTTGCCAATGCTAGCGTGACAAGAGCTCTAGCTTTTTACGTGTGAGACGCGTGTGCCAGCCAAAGAGCTTCGCCACACAGCCAATTGGTGTCTGTCGCGAAGGAAACAGACCGTGGCTGCCCCACGGACGCAACGGCAGCCCCCACCCCTGGAACAAAATAATTGCTCCCCAGAGGATCCAGCCCCGCCGAAGGATTCCACGCAGCCGCAAAGGATGGCGGACGACGGCGTCTACAGTGCGGCGGATCGCGAAGCGGCGCGCCGCGCGGAGCTCCTACGAAGGCAGCGCGAGGACGCTAGGCGGCGCGACGTGAATTCCAGCGCCGAAAGCTCCACGCCATCGACGCATCATCCATCGAAAGCGAGAGCTCCACGCCATCGACGCATCCATCGCAGGCCCAATCCCGCGAGCGCACCTTCGTCGATTCGATCATCGAGACGGTCACCGTGGCCTTCGCCGACTCGTCGGGGCGAACACCCCAAATGGGCCGGCCGATGACGTACGACGAGGTCATGCGCCGCAGTGCGCCACAGCGCAGCGCATGTGAGTTCGATTCGTTATCAGACGAGGCGGACGACTCGGACTCGGGCGACGAGCGCGCCGTCGAGCCGCGCCGCGTGTCGCCGCCGCCCTCCCCAAAAACCTACGACGAGGCGCTGCGCCCGCCGGCCGTGGCGCGCATCGTCGACGACCACGAGGACGCGTCGACCTTCGCGTCGACCTTGTCCGACGACGCCTCGGAGACGACCGAGGAGGACCCGTACCACGTGGCGGCGCCGTCGCCGCGACGGAAGCCGTCGGCGCTCCCCGAGAACGGGGTCCTGCCCCCGGCTTTGTTGCCCTCTGTTTTGCGGGACGAGGGCGAGGCCGCGCGGCCGCGGGCGGCCGCACCGTCGTGACTTGGAATATAGTATACCCTTTTTATGTGCATCTATCTGTCAACGCCGCCCGAGGGAGTACTGTCTGCGTGCCCCGGGCATCGTTTTTGGATCGTTGCTGTGCCGCTTTGGAGATCCACTTTAGGTGCCAGCAAGCGGCACCAGAGTGTCCTAGTAGTGCTGCTAAGGATGGATACGCCTCTACAGGCGCTCGCGTCGACCCGTCGCTCGCGCTGTCGACGGCTTTGCCATCTTGGAGATTAAGCAGCAACAAAAACCATGTGCGCTACGGAGTAATCTATTGTTGGCCTTCAATTATCGAGCAGCCGTCGCCTGGCGAGACGCCAGAGCAGCTTGCTTTGTGCGGCGGCACGGTGGTTGCGGAGATAGTTTTTCAGGATATCTGCTACCCATTGCTTGATTTCGCCGCGCGGCGAGGCAGCGATGGTCGCGGAGCTGTCTCTGCGACGCACGCGTGCTAGCTGGACGGCTGCGGGCGCCAAAGCTGTGAAGTGAGACCCTGGCCAGACGCGCTCGTTTTCGAAGCGCTCTGCTGCTGCGGCCTCTGGTTGAGAGCGCGCGCCGGACCAGAGGATAGCTTCGCTGGACGAGGCCCGCGCTCACCGCACCCCTCCGATTCGCAGGCAGAAGATCGTCGCCGCCCTCGCGCTCTCCGGCGCCGCGGCGTACGTCGCGCCCGTCGCGCCGAAGGCGACGACGGCGCTCAACTCCAAGGCGGAGCTCGAGGCGCTCGCCATGTCGAACACGGACGCGCTCGGCCAGTCCATGGGCTTCTGGGACCCGCTCGGCCTCGCCGACGGCGACTTCTGGGGCCTCGGCAACGAGGGCACGATCGGCTACCTCCGCCACGCGGAGATCAAGCACGGCCGCGTCGCCATGGCCGGCTTCCTCGGCTTCATCGCCCAGTGCACGCCCCTCGTGAACGGCGAGCACGCGGCCGCGCCCTACCGGGGCTACGTCGCGGGCGTCACGCCCCAGGAGCAGTGGGACAACATCCCCCAGGCGGGCAAGCTGCAGATCATCGCCTTCGTCGGCATGCTCGAGTCCTACGGCGAGGGCGCGGGCAACCCGGACGGCTACACGCACTACACCAAGGGCGGCCTCCCGGGCTTCTACCCGTCCATCAAGGGCAAGGGCGCCGGCCAGATCACCTTCGACCTCTACAAGCCGTTCCCGATCTTCCCGGAGCAGTCCGAGGCCCAGAAGGAGCGCGGGCGCCGCGTCGAGGTCAACAACGGCCGCGCGGCCATGCTCGGCCTCATGTCGCTCCTCTCGGCGTCCGCGGTCCCCGGCTCCGTGCCGGCGCTGTCGGGCATCGAGGGCTTCCCGCAGTACTCGGGCAACGTGATGATCCCGTTCGAGGGCGACTTCACGCTCTTCTAAATCCCGTCCCGCGCCGTGGGACCATTGTTGACGAAGAATACCGCGCCTTTTTGTTAGGGGGTAAGGCGTTTGCTGGTTGATACTTTTCTACGTGCACGTGCTGCTGTTTGTTTGCGGTCGTTGACTTGTCGGTGGAGTTGTCGGCGACAGTCGCGGCTCGCGCGGACCCGCGGCAAGGTCGTTTTGCAATCAGATTCCGTTTTTCTCAGTAAGATGCGTCTGCTGGTCGACGAACGCATCTGCTGTCCCGTTTGAAGACAACCCACTAGGCGAACTCTGAGAGGCAGTTCAGGCCCTCTGTCGTGGCTGCCTGGTCGGACACATAAATCACTTATTTGCAACGATGAACCGTGTGATTGCAGTACTGGCTACCTTTGCCGCGCTGGGCAATGCGTTTGCACCGGTGGCTTCGCCGAGAGCAGCCGTGCGCGTGCAGGTGGGCGTCCCTCGCATTGATCTGCCGGCACAAGTCGTCCACATCCAGCGTCCATAACATGCGCACCGTTGCGCGTAGCGCCGCGCACTGCGTGTGCAATAATGAGGTGCATTTGTGCAAAATTCAAATCACCGCGGGAACGCGTCTCTCGTCTCGCAACGAGCGATTTCCGTTGTCGCAAATTCATGCACACACCCCACGCGCAGTCCGACGGCATCAAGTCCGTCGACCTCAAGTCGCCCAACGAGCTCACGGAGGAGGAGTCACTCGCCGCGTCCCGTATTCGCCCAAGCTTTTCCATTTTGAGACATTGACGCTGGCCTCGTGTCGACACCGCACGAGCTCGACGCCATCGCGCAGATGACGTCGCGTCGATGGCGTCGTGTTACTTAATCGCGACGACGGCGCGCAGGTACAACTCCTACAGCGGCGCGGCCATCGGCGGCACGTTATTGATGCTGATCCCCGTGGCCTACTACGACGGCCTGCTCTTCGAGTTCGCCAAGTCCTTCGCGATCTCGGCGCTCCTGGGCGGCGGCCTCGGCGCCTACCTGTCGCTCCGCAAGGACGGCGTCGGCGAGAAGGCGGGCGAGTTCGGCTCGGCCGTGGTCAACAAGGTCAAGGAGATCTAAATTAACTATCTTACACACTTGGGGCACATAGCTCAGAAGTCGTCGTCGTCGAACTCCTGGTCGCTCTCGGACTCGGCCTCGCCCGTGACGAGGGACCGCGCCTCGTCCGTCGTCCGCGCCATGATGTCGAAGACGCCCGTGAAGACCTCGCGCACGTGCTCCTTCGCGTGCGTGTAGGCCATCTTGCTGTACGGCGTCGCGTTCGACGGGAACCACGACAGGAAGAACAACTTGTTCGCCGGCCGGCCGTCGTACGTCTTGTAGGCGTGGTCGAAGATGGCGTAGCGCGAGTCGGCGTCCGGTAATGCTCTCAACAAAGCGTCGAGGTCCGCGTCCCTTTCACCAATGGTCTCGACGACGACGGCTTCCGTCTCCGGGTCGATCTTGTACACGACGTACCGGTGCTTCCTCCGGATCTTAAGCTGCGTGAAGACCTCCTTGCACCGGGGGTCGACGGAGCCGGCGGTCGCCTTGTTCGCGTACGTGATCTGCTCGCCGCCCGTCTTCAGGTGGTTCTCCGTGCCGTCCTCGAGCTTGGCGACGTGCTGCGACATCGTTCCGCGCGCTCGTTTAGAGGGAGTGCTGTTTTTTGGCAGCCTCTTGTGGCAGCGTCGCGGGTCGGTGGCGGGCTGGGTTTCGTTGGTTCTCAATCGTCTCGAGCACGCTGTCAAACGAAACGTGCGCTTTGGTTGAGCTAGCGCCGCGTCGGCGCGCAGTGCTGCCGAGCAAAGCCTGGGCAGGCAGGCAGGCTTGGCAAGCAGTGCAGGAGCTGCGCAAAGCGCCGCCGGTGCACGACACATTTGTGTGCGTCACACGCGGTTCGTGCAGAACCGCTGCGGCGCACGCGGCCGAACCGCTGCGCGCGCGCCGACACCACAATGCGGAGCACCATGCTCACGACCGCCGGCCTCCTCGTCGCCGCGGGCCTGAGGCCGACCACGCGGCTCTCCGCCAAGAGCATTTTTAGGGGCCCGGAGACGCCGACGCGCGAGGCGCGGGCGGCGAACGCCGCGCTCGCCGAGGCCGGCGAGTTGCTCAACGGCGGCGACGGCGAGGCGGCGGTCCACGCGCTGGTCATGCACGCCGACGCGCTGTTGGCGTGCGACGGCGCGACGCTCTCCGCGCTCTGTGGCGACGACGCCGCCCTCGCCGAGTTAACGAGCGACGTCCTCGAGGCGGTGTCGGAGGAGGCCCTCGATTTGGATCATGAGCGCAAAACACTGCTCAAGAAGCTCATCCAGGCGGCCCAGACGTCTGAGGAAGAGGTAGATCAAGTGCTCGAGGAGGCCGGCGATCTATTGATCGAGACGGCCTTCGTCGACTATTTGGACGGCGAGGCGCAGCGCCTCGCCGCGGCGTCGGACGCGGAGGCGCGACTGCTCGAGTTGTTGGATGCGCTGCGGTTCCGCGTGATCCAGGCCCTGGGCATGCAGATCTTCGGCGCGGGCGCGGAGGCCCTAAAACGCGTCCTGAGCATCGAAGACGCCGCGATGCGGGAGGAGGCGTTCCGGAACGCGCTGGAGTCCTGCGACGTGGACGCGCAGTGCGACTCGGCGGGCATCTTGGCCGCGCTGGACGAGACGCTGCGCGACGTCACGCTGCGTGGCGACGCGCACGAGGACCTCGTGGAGGCGCTGCAGAGCCTCGCGGAGATCGCGGCCGAGTACGACTTCGGCTACTCCGAGCCCGCCGACGACGACGAGTCCCGATGACGGGGTTTGCACGCACTGTCCGGTGTCACTGTACTGGACAATGTCTTTTTAACTAATCTTATGACGTATACTAGTCTCGAATACACCCGGTATTCTACACACAGCCAGCGTCGACGTCGTCTCCGATGCCGTAGCGCACTCGCGTCGTCTCCAATGCCCACATCACAAGACTAAGACGCCTCACGCTCGACGAAGACGAGATTGTCGGCGTTCTGGTAGACCTTCGGCTCGTAGCCGTACTCGCTCGCGTCTTCGGGAATCGCGACGTGGCGCGGGATGAGTTTCAGCGGCACGCTCGAGTCGATGACGCCAGCCTCCGACTGGAAGGGGGCCGTCGCAGCTATCAAGCCGTCCGGCGCCTGCTCGAGCGACCGGTCGAGCGTCACGCCCATCTTGTAAATAAGAGCTTTTTGGGCCGTCGTAGCACCAGCAACATCACAGCCGCTCTTGCAGGCCGCGTAGCCCGCGAGCCACCATCGCGTCGGTTGCGCGCGGCTCGCGATCCAGACGTCCGCCGCCTCGTCGTCTTTCCACTTCTCGAAGCCGTTGTGCGCGTCGACGACTTGCGACTTGAACGGCTTCTCGCTGCGGCCCTTTTCCCGCGGCGCGGCGCCGAAGCCGCCGCCCGCGGCCTTGAATTTCTTCTTGGAGGCCACAGCGATGACACGTCGCGACCGCGTCGGCGTGAGTGGTGCAAATGCGGCACAGCCGGCTAATGCGCTAAGCAGGAGCGCATTTATGAGCTGCATGTTCGCACAGCCACTGCACCAAAAAGCTGCTGGGGCCAATGTGAGCGCAAGAACGGCAGCGTCGTTCCAGTAGCCACTCCTTCAGATGCTCGAATCGCGTGCGCAATGGTCGCACTGTCGCACAGGGACACTCAGAGCACTGCAGCCTCGGCCGACTGCACCTAGCGTGCGCGCGACACACTAGCGCTCTTACCGGAACAAAAAGCAAACAAACAGGGCTATAAATCAGAGGGGGAGGAAACAGCCGCCATGGTGTGCGCCAGGTCCACGGGCGCGGCCCGGAAGTGGTGGAACGGCGTGTACGCGTCGAGGTTCGTCACCTTCGCGCAGTAGACGTCCGCGTACTTCTCGATCTGGCGCGCGATGTGCGACTTGTCGTCGTGGCCCGCGCGTGTGAGGTAGCCCCAGTGGCGGTTGAAGGCCTCGCCGACGCGCGCCAACAGCGGCTCGAGCCGGTCGTCGACCTGCTTGACCGCCGCCCTTAGAGATACGACGTCCCTTCTATATTCCTCGGCATGCGCCTCGTCGGCTAAGCCGGGCGACGGCTGCCGGTCCTGGTCCCACCTTTCCAATGCTAGTCGCTTCACGTTCAGCTCGGACTCGAGGTTGTCCCTCTCTCCAAGTAACGCGTCGATCTGCGCCGTCCTTCTCGTTTCTGTGGCCGCGGCTCTAATCTCCAAATCGAGCTCTTGCACGACGAGCGCGGTCCGCCAGCGCATCGATGCTTTTACCGCGTTCGCGTCCGTAAATAAATGATCGCCCACATACAGCAACTCGTCCTCCTTGCTGTTGAAGAGTTTCTCGACTAAGCGAGCCGACCCGCCGCAGTACACCCTTCCACATCTCATCTGCTTCGCTTCCCTCAGTAGAGGCGCGCTCCCCGCGACGCGCTCCCGCGACCCGACCTCGTCCAAGGCGAGTTCGTAGAACGGCAGTTTTTCGGTGGTGAAGAACGCCGGCTTCCTCGCTGAGCACACGACTACATCGAACAAATCGCGCCAGTCCGCGCCGGACGGCTCGAGGTCGTCGCCGCAGACAAAACGCATCATCGTGTCTGTGTACCACCAGTCGCTGTTCGTGATGAGCGCGAGCTTCTTGCCCGAGCGGCGCTGGTCCGCGAGCATCCTTCTCAGCTTCTCGGGCTCGCGCTGCGTGTAGCGCGCCGGGTCCGCGAAGACGGCCTCCTTGATCTCGGACGGACTCGCCTTGCCGCCGTGCGCCCGCGCTAATGCCGACGAGACCGCTCGGTAGAGGTCCGCGTAGTTCGAGACCTTCGACGCGTCGAAGGGCGGGCTCGCGTCTCTTACTAACGCTCCCGAGTCCAATTTGCTCACGAGCTGCGAGTACAGCACGCCCTCCGACACCGAGAACAGCGTGTTGAGGAAGGAGAAGCGCCGATCTCTCAAATCGACGAGTTTCCGGCCGTAGAGCTCCTCCAGCTCGTCCGGCGCGAGGCGCCGCTTGCCGTGCATCGCTCGACGCACGAAGCCGTGCCTATCTATTTTGAGGAAGTTGCCCCGTTCCGTGTCGATCACGAGGCCTCGGCAGGCGAGGTCCGGGTCGTCAAATTCTAAATCCGAGACGGGAAAGCCGAGGTACTCGAGGCACGCCTTCGCGCACGCGTAGGCCAAGGCCTCCCACTCGCGCCACTTGTAGTGCACGATCGTGTAGTCCATATCATAACCTATAACCTTGATGTTCTCGAGCTTCAGGTCCCGGCTGCAGAACACGCGCGACTCCCGCTTCGGGGTCTGCGCCGGCGTGGCCGACGCGTACGGCAGCTCGTTCGTCAACGACGTCTTGTCGTAGGTCGTGGACGAGCCGTAGCCGATGGCGTGCTTCTGGCGCGTCGCGTTCTTCCGGAGGTCCGAAACGAAATCGCTCGACGGCGTCGAGAGCTCCTCGGTCGGCGCCAAAACCTCGTCGCCGTGGACGTCCTCAACACTCTTCAGCTGGATGCGGTGGCGGCGCGGCGTCGGGGCGAAGCTCCGCAAACCGGGCAGGAAGGCGAGGCACAGCAGCGCGCGCATGGTAGCTTTGTGGTGGCACCGCGTCGGAGGCAGAGGGGCTGCAACCACGTGCAGCTCTGGTGGTCTAAATCTAGGGGTGCGCTCGCCTTGGCAAACGTTAGCCGTGCGTCTTAAAAACAGCTATTGGAAGCGAACTTCTTGCCTGGCCTTCAGCGAACCAAAAACTCGCGAACGGCGGGTGTGAATCAGCTGCAAATCCGAGTATCTAGCGGCTGTAAGACACTAGAAAAAAAAAAGACGCTCACAGAGGCACCGGGCGAACGTTGCACATTGTTCGGGGGGGTTTGCCGAGGCGGTTCTGCTTAGAAGGAGGTCGCTGTTATGAAAGAAGCGGCCCGCGCCCGCCGCCGATGAATCGGCGACGCGCGGTGTCTCCCCCCCAGGGGCTCCGCCCACTAGTCCTAGCACCGTAACATCGTTTACTCACAGAGGCAATCAAAAATCAACAAGAAAATAGAAATTAAATCACAGAAGATGCGTCGGCGACCGCGGGCGCGGAGACGGCGACCGCGGCTCCTCCGGCGGCGCCGTGCTCGTTACCCAGACCTCGCCCTCGTCGCCGAAGTGCTCGAGCACGAAGGACGACTCCGCCTCGAATATTTCTAGTGTCATGCCCGGCGCCTTGGCTCGCAGCGCCAGCGAGTGTACCTTGCACGTGTACACGCCGACGCCCGGGTGCCGATCTAACGTCTGCCGCGCCGCGACGTAGACCCGCGCCAGCAACGAGAGCCCGGCGACGAGGCCCTCCCTCTGGTTCGAGCCCGCTAACGCCCGCACGTTCCGCAACAAGTCCGGCGCATAGTAGATGAGGATCCCCCACCCGTCGTCGACGCCCGTCGCGTTGAGCTCGCCCATCAATACCGCCTGGACGTCGAGGTCCAGGAGGCCGAACGCGCCCTTCAGGACGACCGCTTCGCCCGGCGTCGTCAGGCGCAGCATCAGGGCCAGGCGCACCAGGTGCCGCTCGCTCCGATTTTGAGCGTCGAAGGCGAAGTTTAGTAAAGACGCCCTGATACTAAGGAACTCGTCGTAGACGCGCGCCGCGCCCACCGTGCCGTCTTCCAAGCGCAGCAGCGCCTCGATGGCGCCCCGCATATTTTTCAGCAGGCCGGGCACGCGCCAGAAGGCAGGAACCCGCAGGATCCAGAGCAACAACGCGAAGCGACACAACCGGGGCCCGTCGCGATCCCTCGCTAATCTTCGTAATGAAAGCAAGGACGCGGGCAACGATTCGCCCTGGGCGAACTGCATAAGGTTGAAATTAGCGCCGATGACCCGTCGCACCCGATCCTGCAGATGCGGCGCCAAGCGCCGGTAGGACGGTAGCAATTCAGGACACGCGGCCATGGCGTTTCTCAACGTGCGGTCATGGTCTACAGATTCCAATCTAGTTTCGCGGGAGACATCCTCTGCGAAGGCCGAGACTTTGCCCACGCCCGAACCTGTGTGGAAATCAAATGTCGGACGCAGTCGTCCCCGTAGCTGCATCTGCTCGATGGCGTGTAGATTCCACACCGCCCAAAACAAGCCAATGCAACCAAAAGCGCGTCCAAATTGGCCGCTCGGGCCTCGAGGTAGCTCGTCCGGGCCTCGTCCGGTGCCGCGGCGACGCCCGCCGTACTCCCGAGCACGGGACCGAAGAGCTCGTGCTTGAGAAACGTCACGTCTTCCCGCGAGAGCTTCTCGACCTCTTTCTCATTGGACAGGATGCGCACGACGACTTCGATCGATTGCATACGGTTCTTGTACTCGACGTTCGCCGACGTCCCATCTGTCAGCGTCTGATCCACGAAAAAGGCGACCTCCGGATACAAGGCGCTACACCGCCGCGCGAGGTACGGCGTGCTGTGGTACTCCCGGTCCTCGTCCTCGACGACGTGGCCACATGCTGTGAGGGCGGCGCCGCGGATGTCGCCCTTCTTGAGCAACCCCTCAATATCGTCTTGATCGAGCAGATCGTCGTCCAGATCCTGCACGACGGGCGCATGGCTCCTACTCCCCCACACCTGGTCCGCATCCACGTCGAACTTGTGCTCCACGCGGTGTTGGAGCTTGGACAGGTTCCCCACGAAGTCGTCCTTCGATCTCTGAAAACAATCGAAGAAGTAGTTCGACACTTTCGATACCAGATTGTCGCGGTGGTGGGTCACCATGCCGTGCTGCACGAAGCACCAGAACTTTGAGGACCGGTTGTGGGCTTTGACGATCTTTTCGGACAGCATGGCGATCAACAACGTCATCAGGAGCAATCCTACGGTCAACAGATAGGCCACGGTCAACGCGGCTCTCGTAGCCGCCCCGGCGGTGCGCTTCGAGAGGATGTCCCAGTACGTCACTTCGCCGAACGGACTTCCAAATTTCATCCCTAGGGACGTCGCCAGCGACCCGTAGTGGTCGTCGGACCACGCATATAAGATGTATTCGGCGGACGCGAAGGCCATACAAGCTAATAAAAAGAAGACGACCCAGACCGCTAACGATCGCACCATAAAAATGATATCCAGCATCAGGATCGCGGCGCGCCGCCACACCCTCAAATGCTGGAGCAGGCGCGCCCAGGCGACGAACGACGCCGCCGCCAGCACCTGGATGTGCCGGTCGGCCCATTTGAACTGCTCGTCGGCGGCGACCCAGCCGTCCTCGTCGTGCAACCCAATGCTCCCGTCGGTTTGCTTCATGCGGATCGCGAAGTAGGCCACGCTCAGCGCGAACAGCGTCCAATCCAATAGGTTCGCCGGGTTCGATAAATAGGTCGTCCGTTCCTTGCGGAACTGCATGATTTCCTGGCCGATGAAGAAGAGTACCAGTAAAGCGCAGGCGATTTCCAGGCCGAGCACGGTGTGCTGCGACCCGTCCTCGTCCTCGTTGTCCGCCACGCCGCCGCCGCCGCCTCCTTTCAAATAGGGCCACGCGCGCGCCGCCCGCGTCTCGACGTAGGCGACGCCGCCGCCGCCCTCCGCGGGGAACTCTATGACAAAATCGACCCTGCAAAATAAATTGGCGTTCGCATTATATACAGTCAGGCGAATGTCTACGGCTCGCGTCGCGGCGTCGATCCACTGTGAGGTTTGGAGGCGGTCAATCATCAAACGCCGCGCCGTCGCGTTGACGGACGACAGGTCCACCGCAAAACCGCCCGCGGGGTAGCTCTCCCTTGATAAACGCCGCGAGATGCCCCTCCTATCTAACTTTTTGCCCGATCGCCACAAGAAGCCCTCCTCCTGGAGACCGTAGGCCGTCTCGGAGAGCATGGACTTCGACCCCCGCCACCACGGCTTCGCGTCGGCCCCCGGCCGGAAACAAAAGCCCACCACATCATCTAAGCGATCCGGCACGTCACACGTGCTGGATCGGCTGCGCCACTGCGTCAGGCGCGCCCGCCCGAGGACCACGCCGAACCCGGGCAGCACCGCCCTGTCGTTCAAGGGTACTTTCGTGGAGCCGTCCCAGCGCACCGGCGCCTCCTCCGCCAGCGCTTCGTGGAACGTCGTCCGCAGAAACGAATAGACGTCGTCCGCGGACCGTACGTCGTCAAAGCTCAAGCCATTCGACTTGCGCGCCGCGACCGATTCGCCGTCGAAGGCCTTCGCAAGCCCGGTGGCGAAGGCCGAGGTCGCGCCCCGCCGCGCGCCGCCTTCGATGCACGCCGTGCCCAGGGCCGTCAAACAGCCCACAAAAACCAAATACAAGAGTAACGTTGCTACGGAACCCGCGAAGCACCGTCGCGACCACACCGTGCCCACCGCCTTTTGGATGCGCGCGTCGCCGAACAATAAGTCGTATAAGGCGTCGCCTTCCAGATGCCGGAGACCGTCGTCGTCGTCATCCGACTCGCGGATGGTCAGGCGACTGCCAAACGAGAAGGGCCGCTTGACGAGCGGTGGCCTCTGCGACTCTTCGTCGTTCAACGAGCGGCTCGACGTGCCGATGGAATCACTTAAACTTCGGATCCAGCTCCCCGTCCTCGTGACCAGTTCCACGGGCTGGTCGATCTGCCTTCTGGACTGGTCCGCGTGGACGCGATCCAACCGCCTCCGGTTAAAGTTGAAGCAGTGCTTCTGGAGCGGCTCCGAGAAGGCTTGGAGTCCGGCCTTATTCCTCAGATTCAAATCCGCGCCGTGCTTCAGGAGCTGTTCCACGACGCCCTCGAACACGTAGCGCTCCTTCTGTCTTCTCCTATTAACTCGAGGCGAGTTCGCCCGCTTCGAATCGACGCGCGGGTTCTCGTCCAATCGCGCGATGCTCCGCTCGTCGATGGACAGACCGCGATCCACCGTGTGGTACCTCAGCAACGCAACATGTAAGGGCGTGTCCAGCCACTCGTTTGGGGCATTGACGTGGGCCCCATGGGATAATAAAACAGTAAGAGCACCGGTCGCGCCGGCCCGAGCCGCCGCGAGTAAAGGTGTATTTCCATCCTCGTTCCTCGCGTTCACGTCGGCGTTGTACTCGAGGAGCTTCCGGCAGATCGCGGCGTGCTTCCTATCGGCCGCTAGATGCAGCGGCGTGTGGCCCCGCTTATCACTCACCCCGACTTCCGCGGCGCCGTGCACACAAAGCGCGGTGATGGTCTCGACTTGTTCTATGTGGCAGAGGGCGGCCAGATGCAGCGCGGTCCTTTGCTTGTCGGTATCCTTGACGTTCGCGTCGATGTCTTCACACAAGCTTTTCCTATGCAAAGGGTCGCACAAAGCTTCGACGACCTTCACATAACCTAACGCGGCGGCGTGCATCAACGCCGTCCTTCCCTCAAGATCTCGCGCATTGATCTTGACCCGCGTCTCTCCCCCGTACCACGCCGCCGGCCAGCCCTGCGTGTGCAGGGTTAACCTCTTCACGAGCGCGGCGTCTCCGAGAATAGACGCTTCGTGCAACGCCGTCCGTCCCTGGCCGTTCGTCGCCGAGAGGTCGCAGAGGTGGAAGGACGCGCCGCGGGCGTCCTCGTACGGTCTCAACAGGACTTCCACAACTTCCTTCTTGCGCTTCCGAATGGCGTGCAATAACGGCGACCGGTCGGCATCCCCGAGGTCCATATCTAAGGCGTCCCGCCGCCTCGTCTTCAGCACTCGAGCTCGCGCCTCGTACAACGCCTCGACGACTCGTGTCAGGCCCTTCTCGACCGCCAACCGATACACGTCGCGGGCCCATGCTTCCGTCTCGTCGGTGCGCAACCACGCGCCGTGCTCGAGTAACAGAATAGAAGCCGCTTCCCGCCCGTGGGCCACCGCGACTTTGAGCGGTCTACTCCCCGCGGCGTCCGCGGTGCGCGCCGAGGCGCCCCAGTCCTCTAATAAAGTCTTCAGCATGTGGACCTGGTTCCTTAGTACAGCATGCATCACGGCCGTCCGCCCGCGCACGTCCCGCTCGTTCACGATGGTGCTCATCCTCGCTCCACTTAAACTTCGCAGCGCGTCGGCGACGTTGTCCCTTCCGTAGGTCGCCGCGAGCATCAGCGCCGTGCGGCCCCGGTCGTCCTTCACACCAAGGACGTCCACGCCACTATTCACAAATTTTTGCAGGAGGAAGTCGTGGCCGCGGTGGGCGGCCGCGAGGGCCTCGCGCGCGACGAGCGATTGTGCTTTTTGTGATGCGCCCAGCGCCCTGAAAGCACGTACACGTTCATTCAACGTGGCCCGGTCGTCGGCCCGTGCCAGCGACCACTGCGGCATCTCGTCCCTCAGAAATTGCTCGTCGGTTTCCGGTAGGGCTATTACTGGCACGTCAAACGTCAAACCTTGAGCTGTCGCTCTTCTAGCGAGCGCCTCCGTCACGACGATTAGTCGAGCGCCGCCAGCTAAGGCTCTCTTCGCGCGCCTCGCGAAGAGGTCCAAGTTGAGACCCTCGGCCTCCGTCAAGGCGATGCGGTGCGCTCCATCCTCATTCACCTCCGTGTCCTGGGCCACGCGCCAGACGCGGCCGTAGATGCCATCCTGAGGCATCGCCGTCCCGATCTCCGCCACGCGGCACGGGTGCGCGATGCCCGTCAGCTCCAGCACGGCGTAGGTCTGGTCATCGTCTTCGTCGACGCGCGTCAGCGAGTACCAGGACAGGCCCCGCCCGTAGTTCTGCTGTATCACGGTGCGCACCGCCTTCTTGAAATTCAAACCAGTCGAGAGAGCGCGTACGGCGGGCGGCCGCGGCGGGTCGGGCCTCGTTATTTCCTCGTCGTCGTCCTCGATCGCGCGGCGCGGCGGCGGCGACCGCCGGCCGGCGCGCAGCTTCTGCACGCGGCGCTTCTCGGGAGAGGTGAGGTCCATGTCCTGTCTTCTGCTCGTGCTCCGGGCGGTCTCGGGCTGCCCTTTTTGAGTCGAGACGTGAAGACGACGGTCTGAAGCCCTCGCAGCAACCACGACTGGCAACGCTCTCGTCCGCAGCGCCCTATGCAAGCGGAGGCGACTCCCAGACTCCAGTCTTGGTTTGATCTCGATGTCGGGTGCGGGAGGGCTGTGTCGAGGAGTCTGAGAGCGACCTTAGCTTTGTCTGATGTCATTTCAACGGGTTGGGAAGCTTGCTAGTGTCTTACAGGCCGCTAGCCCGGTTCAGCTGCTTCTCCCTATCGAGTGATAAAACGCCACAAGTGCAACATTCTGTCGCGTTGAGGTTAGGAAGATAGCGTGCATTGCTACGGCAGTGCGGGACAGCTCGGCATTTTGAAAGGCTCTCCTTCAGCTACAGGCTGAAGGCTGGCACCGCAGTATGAGCAGTCTCGCCGACGCCTGGTGCATCGATGCCAGCGATGGCGACGACCTGCAATTCATCGGTCCTCTGCTTTTAGGACAGACGAAATGGCTCGGTGCCGCGATGATGCGCGACGGCAGCCTCGTCGGCGTGCCGGGCCACGCGCGGCAGGTTTTGAGGGTGGACCCGCGCTTGCATAGGGTGACGCTGCTCGGGAGAAGCAGGGGCCAGGACGTGAACCGCAACGGGCGCAACGTCTTCAAGTGGCTGCGGGGAGTTAGTGTAGGAGACAAAGCGTACGGCATTCCGATGCACGGCGACGCGGTGCTGAAAGTGACGCCGCGCGTCCACATTTCAAAAATCGAATTGCTCGACGTGGAAGCGCCGGGCGACTTCAAGTGGCACGGCGGCCAGCTCGCGCCGAACGGTTTTATTTATGGCGTGCCCTGCTACGCGAGCCGGGTTTTAAGAATAGACCCGCGGACGGACGAGGTGTCGTATTTTGGGGATTTGGGCGATGCGAAGGCCAAGTGGTACGGCGGCATCTTGGGGCCCGACGGCAACATGTACTGCATGCCCTTCGCGGCGACTCGAGTACTCCGCGTGGTGACGGCCGAAGATCGGTGCGAGCTCATCGGGCCGGAGTTGACGGGGGGCGGCGCCCACGGCGGCTACAAGTACCACGGTGGGTTGCTGGGCCCGGACAACTGCGTGTACGGGTTCCCTATGAATGCGAAGACGGTGCTGCGGGTGAATTGTCTCACGGGCGACGTATGCGAACTCCCGTTGCCGGAGGACGAGCCGTTCAACGGTGGGAAATACAAGTGGGGCGGCGGCTGCGTCGCGAACGGCTGCGTCTACGGCGTCCCTTCGGATTCGTGCCGCGTCCTGAAGATCGACTGTCGGAGGGGGACGGTGTCGTTATTTGGAAGACTGCCGAAGCAGAAAAATAAATTCCAGGGCGGCGTGTTAGGGGGCGACGGTGGAATTTGGTGCGTGCCCTGCGATGCGGCATACGCGTGTCGGATCGACCCCGTTACGGACGAAGTGGCCATCGTCGGAACGTTGCCGTCCCAACACGACAAGTACCAGGGCGGCTATGCCGACGGGGACGGCAACGTCATATGTATTCCAGAGTGCGGCCGGCGCGTGCTCAAGATTAGATCAGGGCGCGGGCACGAGGACGCGTTCGTCGACGCGTACTTGGCAAGGCTGGGCCTGGGCCGCGAGGCGCCGTCGTTGACGTATCTTGCCCGACTCGTCGAGCATCATTTAGAACGCATTCCGTTCGAGAACGTCGAGCTCGTGCTGGGCGGCACGCCCGACCTGTCGTCGCGCGCTTTACGAGCCAAGCTGCTCGATAGAAGACGGGGCGGCCACTGCGTCGAGCTGAACGGGTTGTTTAGCGAGCTGCTCGCGAAGCTCGGGTTTGCCGTGCGACTCTTAGCGTGCCGCGTGCTGGCGGGGCCCGAGCGCGGCGGGACCGGCGCGTGGCGGGCCGTGCCGTCGCACGCGGCGATGGCCGTGCGCCTCGACGACGGCGACCACTTCGTCGACGTCGGCCTCGGCGAGCCGCCGCTCGGGCCGATACCCCTCGTCCTGGGGACGGCCGCTACGACGCCGGACGGCCTGGTCCACCAGATAACGGAGGTCGAGGGCGGAAATGACTGGGAGCTGCAATGGCTCCTCGATGGGGCGTGGGCGCCGCGGCTCCGCTGGCGCCGCGCCGACGGGCCGCGCTTCGACCACCACGCGCCGTCGTGTGGCGACTTTTACGCCGAGACGGAGCGGTGGCGGCGCCAGCCCCTCGGGCGCAAGCTCGTTGTTTGCAAACTCACGCGGACGACGAAGACGAGCGTCGTCGGCGCGAAGCTTCGGATCACGACGCCGCGCGTAGGCGGCACCGTGACCGTCACGGAGCTGCGCACGGCCGACGCCGTCCGCGACGCGCTCGAGGCGCACTTCGGCATCGTCTGCGCGGAGACCGAGGGCCTCGTCCTCCGCGGCGATTGCGACGAGGAGGCGTACGAGCACCTTTGAAGAGTAATCTGTTTTTTGTGTCATCTACACTTCGGAGGGCGCACTACTATGTCTTCTGATTGCGGCTCGCTCGCGCCTCGAGGTGCGGGGTGAGGACGAACCGTTTGTGCTCAAAACGCGTGTAGCAGGCCAGCACAATCGAAGGGCTGCCGACAGAAGCTCGCGCGAGGGGGTAGAGGTAGCCCCGAAGGCGCACACAGCGAGGCGTCGTGTGTGGCTGCGCGATCGGTGACCAACCGCCGTGAGGAGCAAAGGAACGCAATGGCCGCCGTAGACAAGCTCACGCGCCAGATGCTGGCCGGCGAGCAGATGAGCTCCGTGGCGGCTTTAGCGAGGGACGCGCCGGAGTGGGCGCGCGCCTTCGTCGACGCCGCGGAGCGCCGCGTCCGCGAGCTCGACGACGCGCTCGCGTCGGCGCGCGGCGACGTTGTTAAATTAAGAGCGCGCGCGGAGCAGTTCGTGGCCGAGAACGAGCAGCTCCACGAGCGACTCGCGGCGGAATTAGAAAGGGAGCCGGCGCAACCGCCTCCTGCTCCATCATCAAATGACCGCTCGGTCATTCAGGGCCCATCCCAAGAACGCGCCAGAGAACTCGCGGAGCGCGTCGACATCCTCATGGCCGAGAACGCGCTCATGGTCGAGCAGACGGCCGTGCTCCAGGCGGAATTAGATCGGTGCTCCACGGATTTAGATAGCAGGACGAAGGAGGCCGCGTCCTTCCGCGACGAGGCCGAGCGCGCCACGGAGAAGTGGCGCGCTTTGGAAGGTGGCGAGGGCCAGTGGCGCGAGGCGCGGCGACGTCTCGAAGAAAGATATGTGCAACATTCGACGGACATGGCGCAGGCCCAGGCGCAACTCGCCGAATTGAAGGAGGGCCTGACGCAGTTACATGCCCAGAACTCGACCCTAAGAGAGCAGCTCGACGAGAAGACGCGCACGTGCGCGGATCTGACGGATCGGCTCGAGGCCGACGGCGACGAGCTCTGGCAGCGCGTCCAGGCGGCCGGCGCGCGGGCGCGGGAACTCCAGACGTCCCTGGCTACACAAACCCAAAGAGGTGACCTCGAAGCGGAGAAGGCTCGGAGAGCGGAACGCGCTCTCGAGCAGGTAAGGGGAGACAACGCGGGCATGCTGCGCGTCATGAGCGGCATGGAAAAACAACTGGCGTCGTACGCGCAGCGCGAGGAGGGCGTCGCGCAGAGCGGCCGGGACGCGAAGGAGAAGGCCGAGAACGCGTTGTTGGCTCGCGATAAAGCCCAGGCGAAGTGCGACCAGGCGTTGCGCGAGCTCGAGCGCTTGCGGGCGGAGCGCGTCCAGGACGCGGAGACGTTCCAGAAGAGATGTAGAGAGGCGGTGGACGTGGAGGCGCGACGGCTGCAGCAGGACCTGCGGCGGCGGGACCAGGAGATCCGGGACCGCGACGAGCGGCACGCGGAGGCGCTGGCCATCGCCGAGAGACATGGGAGGGACCTGGCGCGGCTCAAGGCGGACGCGGACCGCGCGAACGCGGCCCTGAAGCACGTCCAGGCGGCGAACGACGCCGCCGCCGAGGGCCTGGAACGAAGGGCCGCCGACGCGGACCAGCGGGCCAACGACGCGGTGCGGCGCGCGCGGGACGCCGAGCGACAGCTGGCGAAGAGCGTCGAGCAGCGGGAGGCCGACCGCGAGGAGGCCGAGGCGAAATTGGTCTCGGGCGTCGTGGGGGGCGACGGCGTCGGCCCGGCGGAGGCGAGAGATACGGCGATGCGTTACAGGGAAGCGCAGTCGTTGCTGGCGCAGCGGGAGCGGGAATTGGCCAAGGTGCATCGGGAGTTGGAGGCCGAGAAGCAGGGCCGCGCGCGCGACGCGGCGGACTTGAGGCGAGACGCCGACGCCGAGAAGCGGCGCCTCGAGGAGGCGCTCGACGCGCAGCGCCGGGCCGCGAGTGATGCACACTTTCAGGTTCAGGCAGCGACGGAGCGCCACCGGGCGCAACTCGCCAAGGTCGCGGCGGACCGCGACGCCCACGCACGAGATGCTGATAAGCGGCTCCGCGACGAACACGAGACCGTCGCTCGGCTAGCCGCCTACGAGCGCGAGCTCGAAGTCAAGCTGGCTGCTGCGGCCGCGGACCTCGACGCGCAGCGCGATTACAGCGCCCAGCTCGCGGACCGATGCCAGGTGGCGGAACGGCGGGCGGCCGAGGCCGCGCTCGCGCTCTCGAAGTCGATCGCCGAGCAGGACCTGTTGATCAAGCGATACGCGCGCCAGGGCGCGGGCGCGGCGGCGAAGGCCGTGAGCCCCCTGGGCGCGTTCAACGAGTGAAGTCTCCCCCGTGCCTAAGTACTTACGCTACTCCTACCTAGGCGGCTCGTTACACTGCCATCGACACTTGCCCGGAAGCCAGTGGCATCCGGGCAAGTGTCGATTGTGTGGGCGGCTGCAGCGGCCCGTGTAACGAGTCGGAGGCCGTCTACTCAGAGTCTTCGTCGGTGCATACGGGGTCGATGCATTTCGGCCGCCGCACAAGACTCGCCAGACGACGTGGTCCGCGAGGAACACCTCTCTATTGACCCAGCGCCTGTTCTCGTACGAGAGCGTCGACTCACTTTGCAGCCGCGGGTCGCTATCGATCGCCCGCGCGTGCGCCTGCGGCAGCCTCGCATCCGGATCGCCGAGGACCCGCGTGGCCGCGGCGGCCCAGTCGTCGGTCAGCGTTTCCGTGCAGAGGGGCACGATTTGTATCGCCTTTCGCCGACAGAGATCGATGCCTCCACGTAGATAGCCGATCTGGGTCCGCATGAAGTTTTCTTGTATCGCTTTTGGTCGACGGGTCGCGTTGGCGCGCCACGCTGCCATGAGATCGTCGAGCGGCGGCGGACGTCGCACTGAGAAAAGCGGGTGAGATGCCATCAACTGGACTGCGTGCCGATAGCCGCTTTCAATTCGCTTCGCCGGCTCTCGCAGGGTCCAGAAGAAGCACGTAGGCCTCCCGACGTCGTTGCGACCAAGGAGCGGACGCTTGCGGTACTGTGGCCCACTCATGCCTTTCGGACGACTGTTCCTCGAGAAATCCTTCACGGTGAGCAGCGATGCCACGGTGCGCGTATGGACGTGTTGCGCCAGCCCACCAGCTAGCATCAACGCCCAATTTACCGCCTGCGAGGCTGCTCCCGCGACGGCGAGGTTCGTGCACTTCGTCGCTGGCACCAGGCGGCGGCCGCCGCATCCTCTGATAGTTTCTGCGAGGTCCGCAGAGCAGCGTTTTACTTTAAATCGTGAGCCGTCGGCACAGATGCTATTCCAGCCTTCGAGTGAGGCTCTTGCACAGGCGGCGACGAGCCATAGCTGGATGGGCAGCCTATGCATCTCTCATTGCTGCCCCTAGGTATGCCTATCGATGGAACACATGGTCGCAGTGGGCAGCCTGCCTTGTGACGGGCACGAATGCGTCCCTTGAGGTATGGAATGGCCGCACCTAGCAACATAAAAGGCTGCCTGCCCTCGGCTTGCGTGATTGCTAGTGTCTTTCTCGACGCTAGCATCGCAGAGAGGTCGCGAGACGCGTGGAAGCTCTCCGTGCCTCTGCGGCATCGCAAGCACGAGCGAAGGCACATTCCTGCTCTTGCCGACCAGCGCGAGGTCTGCTGCGGCAGTTCAGGCGCTCCGTTTGCCCACGCGCTGCGCATTGCTCCCGAAACCGAGCTCGAGTCACTGGCAGCATTGTCATGTGGCGCCTCGCCGCAGCCCTCGTGCTCGCCGCGGCGAGCGCGCTCTACGACGACGTCGAGCACGTCACGAAATTCACAACCAGTGAAGATGCGGAAAAGGCCATCTTCGGCGACGACGCGAACGTGTATGTCGTCCACTTCTACCAGGGCCCGAACGACGAGGGTGTGGTAGATGAGCACTCGCCGACGATCACGGCCGCCTTCGCGGGCGCCGCGAAGGAGCTCGCGGATTTAGGTGTGAAGGCGGCCTGCATTGACGTGGCGGACGAGAACATGCTCAAAATAGCGAAGCGGTTCAATTTAAGAACCGTGCCGCACGTCGTCGGCGTCGGCGCCGAAAGTAGAGCGAACCCGTACACCGGGAAAATCGACCGCGCCGTTGAGGTCTACGAGCCGCTCGCGACGCGCGGGTCGCTGACCAAGACGGAATTTAAAAGATGGGTCTCGTCGAAGGTCTTCCCCGCTGATAGTGTGGCGCGCGTCGCCACGAAAGACGAGCTGGCGGCGGTGCCGGGGCCGCTCGCGGTGCTGCTCACGGAGCGCGCCACCACCTCGGCGCTGGCCAAGTCGCTGGGCGTGGCGCTGCGCGGCCGGCTGTCCATCGTCGAGGTGCAGTCGTCGTCGGAGTTGGGCGAGGCGGTCCACGGCGACGAGGCCCTCCCGCGCTTCGTCGCGTCCAAGGAATCGATGGACGCCGCGTCCCTAAAAACGGCGGACGCCTTCGACGGCGACCTCCGCGACCGTTCTGCTGTTTTAGAATGGCTCGAGATCTTCGCGCTCAAAGAAAGACGTCCTGCCTCGTCAGCAAAGAAGGAAGAAAAGCCTCAAGAAAACGAGGAGGGCTGGCCCGCGGGATATAGTGTAGAGACGGCTTCTACAAAAGACGAGCTCGAGAAGATTCTGGAGAGGGAGCCCGCCGTCGTCGCCTACCGCAAGGGCGCGTCCGTCGCTTCCTTCGCTCATAAAGTGGTGGAAATGGACGGCGCCGACGCGGTGTCGTGCGTGGAGGTCGACTGCGATGGTTTCAAAGGACCGGTCTGTGATGGAAATGACTACGTCTACTACCCGTATGGCGAGGACAAGACCCCCGTCGTCGAAGAGGACGGCATGTCAGCTTTCGGCGAGGCGGCGCTGTCGCTGCCCGTCGCGGACGTTTTTCCGGTTTCGGGCAAGCCGGACATCGAGACCTTTCTGCGGCTGAGCGTGACGCATCCTGATGATGACAATGCACCTGTGGGCCTCGTCGTCTTCGCGAAGAAGCACGACGTGAGTCCCACCGTTCGAGCCGCGGCCACGACTCTCGCGAGGCACGCGGGCGTCCGCGTCGCCCAGTGGTCTTCACCTAGCCTTGCGGAAGTCGCCGAGTACGGCGTCCAGAAGCTCCCCGCGTTATTAGCTTTTTATGCCACCGACGCCCCGGAGGGCGCCGACCTCCCGCCCGGCCAAAAGGCGGTGGGCGCCGCGGCCTACCCGCGGTCGCAGTTCGGCCCGGTCACGTTCATGTCTCTCCTGTCGTTCATGTCCTCGTTTTTACAACAAGTGGCGCCGGAGACGGCCCAAGAGCTCATCGATGGCATCCGCGAAAGTAGTAGAGTCGACCCCTCGTCGATGCGAGGCGAGTCTTCGACGAGCAGCACACCTGTAAGTAAGGGACCGACCTTCGCGGACCTGAACGACCCTGCGGCCTGGGACGAGCGGTGCGGCGCGAAGGCGTCCGCCGCGTTATGTGCCGTGGCATTGCTCGACGAGCACGGCCGCGCGGCCTTTGCCGACGAAAAGGCGATCGCGGAAAGTGTAGCCAAGTCCGAGCAGCCGTCGCCCTTCGCCTTCGGCTGGGTCGACGGCGCCTGCCACGCCGACTTCGCGGCTTCGTTCGACGTCGACGATTCCAAGCTGCCGACCGTCATCGCCTACGCCCCGAAGAAGGAGCGCTACGCGGCGTTGGTGGGGCGGTACTCGGCGGCGGACGTCCGGGCGTTCCTGCGGGGCGTCCTGCGGGGCAGCATCGGCACGGCACCGCTCCGGGCGCCGCTTTCATTGACCGAGGCCGACTGCGCCGCGGTGCACGCGTCGAGACAGGCGCCCGTCGAGGAGGAGGACGCTCTTGATGATGATTTTATGGCCGAATTATTAGCGGAGGAGGCCGCGGCGAAAAAGGCTTTGGAGGAGGAGGCCGCGGCCGAGTCGAAGCGGCTCAAGGAGGAGCTCGAGGCGTCCAAGAAGAAGCCCGACGCGCCCAAGAAGAAAAAGAAGAAAAAGAAGAAGAAGAAGTCCTCGGAGCTGTGAGGGCACTAAGTACATTTAATCTTAGGAGTACTGCCAGTGAGCCCGCGCGGGCGGCGCGGCGCCCGACGGACGCGGCGCGGCCAAGTGCGCGGCCTGTCGATATAGTTCACAATAATCTTACGCAGGCGCCGGCGCCGGCGCCGGCGCATAAGTCGACGGCACAGTAAGGACAGAAGATCCCGCCGCCAAGGGATGCCGCGACGGGGCCGTCGCGGAAGACCGCCAGGAGGGCTGCTCGTCGGCCGGGCGCCGCACGGAGGGCTGCTCGTCGACAGGGCGCCGCCGTCGCCGCCGCTCTTTGGTGACGCCCGAGGCTTTGTGCATCGCCGGGGGGTGGTTCAGCGTCGCCGTTAATTTATGACGCGTCCGGCCCAGCACCAGACGCGTCCGATCCAACTGGCCCTGTAGCGCTCTCTTCTCCGCCTTCTGCTTCCTCACGTCCGTCAAAGTGTCCACATGTCTCGCGAGGCTTCGCTTGGCCGCGGCCTCGGCCGCTTGCGCCGTCGCGTTCGCGGCGGCGGCGTCGTCGCGGGCCTTTTGGTGCCATTCGCGTACTCGTCTTCGTTCCGCGACCGCGGACTGCAGCGCGGCCTGCAACGCCTCGCTCCGCGTGTTCGTGGCTTTGACTTGATTTTCCACAACGGCGCGCGCGGCGACGTCGGCAGCGTGGGCGCTATGGGTCTGCTCCAGCGCCGTCTCCGTGTCTTCCAAATCAGCGACGGCGTTCTCGAGCCTAGCTTCCAGCTCCTCGGCCCTTTCGGTCTCGTCGTTCCGTTGCTCCACCAGTGACTCGAACTGATTCTCCAGCCGGTACGCTTGATCTTTAGCGTCTAGCAACTGCGAGGTCAAGACGTACTGGCGCTGGCGCCGTTCATTGAGCTCGTCCTGGTGGGCCTCCATCTCGGCATCTGTGCGTTTACGCATCTCTTCCCTCTCCGCGACGGCAGTCTTCGACAGTTCCGTAGCTGACATTTTGGCCAGGACATTGACCGTGATCTCCTTCTGCGCGCCCTCCAGCGCGCGTCGGAGTCGCTCGTTCTGCTGCGTGGATCTTCTCATTCTTCTTTCCCCGAAGACGTATTCTCTCTGCAGCTCGCCCTTTAACCTAGCGTTCTCCTCGGCCAGCGTCTGGGCCTTGAGGTTGGCCTCCTGCAGGATTCGCAAAATCTCCCTATTTTGTCTAGCAGCGATCTTCATGGCCTCGTCCTTGCCCTCGGACTGGCTCCGGACCACGCTCAGTTGTCGTATTTCGTGGTCGCGATCATCAATACTGATCTGCATCTTCCTTACTTCTTTGTCCTTCTCTTGCAACGCCTCCGCTAACGTGGTCAGTTCCCTTTCTAAACGGTCCATGGCGAGGCGCAGCTGCGCGTTCTCGGTCATCACGAGGTCGATCTCCGTCTGCTTCGTGTGGACCAGTCTTTCATATCCTTTCAGGGAGGGCTTTTCCCCGGGCGGGAAGAGCGGGTGGAAGATTTCCAGGGCCGGCGCCGGGGCGGCCACGAGGGCGTTCCTTCGAGAACCGCGACTGCTCGCCCGGCTCGCGGGTCTTGATGTAGGAGGACTGCTCGCGCGGCTCGACGGCCGCGACGACGGCGGCGTCCGCCGGCTCCCTCTTCTACTAGAGGTGCGCGCGGCCTCCGTCGTCTTCCGGGCGGCCTCCGTTGTCTTACGGGCGGCCTCGGTCGCGGCCTGGCCCGCGGTCTCGCCGGCTCGTTGCACGGCCTCGGCGCCGCTCTTCGCGGCGGCCTCGACCGACGCCGCGGCCTGGCCAACGGCGGCGGCCGCCTTGTTCGCCGTCTCTTTGGCCTTGGAGAAGAAGCCCTCGCCCTTCCCTTCGCCTCTGCCCATGGTCTACAGCCTCTGGTGGAGATAGCAGCCTCTGGTGGCTACACCAGTCGTTCGCAACGACTCCTCGGCTCCTTCGCGCTTCACGAGGATGCGCGCAAGGGCTGCCCCTTCCTGCAGCGGCCGGCGCGCACGACGGGATGGCAGCCACTCGGCGCTGGAGCCCGAGCCGAGCCCGTACGCTCATGGTCGGGCCGCGTACGCGTCCAGGGCGAGCGCCACCCGTATACGGATCCCACGGAGGACACTGAACGATCCGAAAAAATAGCCCCTGGTGCATTTCGATGGGTTCCAGTGTGCCGTGCGTTAGGGCCAAAATCGCGCCCAAGGCGACGAGAGCCGCCGCGGCTGGCCTCGGAGGCGCGGTAGGGCTTAGTTGGACGCTTGTGAAGCCGAAACACGCTTGACTAGGCTGCCCATACGCACATTAGGGACAGGCTGCCCAGAGGCGCGACCTTGCCAAACGCGTGCCGTGCAGCAGCTGTTGGGGGACACGATGCAGGTGTCCCCGGCCCCGCGTGGCGGCGCGCCCGAGGCCAGGCCACGCGGTCCGCCCCAGAGGCCGTCGCCGGGAGCTGCGCCCGACGCCGCATCGCGCGGTCCGCCCCAGAGGCCGACTGGAGCCGCGCCCGACGCCCCATCGCGCGGGCCGCCCCGGCGGCCGCCGCCCGGCGGCGACGCCACACGACGGAGGCCGCCGCCGCCGAGCAACCCGCCGCCGCGACCACCGGTCGAGGACGACGCGCCGCCGGCCGAGGCCTTCTTCGCGCTCATCGAGTCGCGCGACGACCCCGGCGCCGGACCGCCGCTGATAAAACGGCGGCGGACGCGCTGGGCCGCACGCCTCACGTACCTCGGCCTACTAGCCGCACCGGTCGTCTTTAGCATGATCATTTTAAACCGAAAGACGTCGTGGTTCACGGTCGAGGAGCGCATGCGCTACGACGGCTCCGGCACGTACCCGCGGAATATCTACACGCCGAAACATATCTCGCATTGGTACTTCGTGGCCCTCGGCGGCGCCTTCATCTGGATCATGCTCACGCTGCTGGCCGTGCTGCAGTTGGAGCCGGGGCCCGGCGAAAAAGTGGACGAGGGCGAGGACGCGGCCTGGGTGCCCGCGCGCGACGTCAAAAAGATCGCGCCCTTGCCCTACGAGTCGGACATGTCCTGCGACGAGTCGGCCCTCTCCGGCGACGACGCCGCGCACCGGAAGTCGTCCGAGTGGGACAAGCGGCATCGACGGCGGATAGCGGGCACCAAAGTGCTGCCGACGAGGTAACATCTAATTGAATGTGACACAAAACTATTAATGAGAATGAGCGTAGCGCCAGGGCCCGCAGTAGCCATTCGAGCGCCGGTTGGACCCGTGGCACTTCAACTCCGAAGAGAAGCCGTCGTCCGGCGGCGCGTGGATCGACGCGTCGTACGCCTCGGAGTCCAGGAACCTCGTGGCCGTGAAGGGCGGGTGCGCCTCGAGCAGGTGAATGCCCGGCGTGCCGCCGCCCGTGTGGAGCCGTATTTTGCCGTGGATCTGGGGGTCCGCGACGATGCGCACGCCTTGTCCATAAAGTTCCTTCACGGCGTAGCAGGACAGGAACCAGCTGTACATGAACCGCGCGCGGTCGAGGGCCGCGCATTTCCCGTCCCGGGCGAGCGCGTCGACGCGCGCGTACGTCGTGAGGACCCGTTCCGCGCTCTTCCGGCTCCCGAAGAGGAAGACGGCGTCGGGCGGGTCGCTCGCCGCGTAGACGTACCGCGGCTCCAGGTTCGTGGAATGACGTATAGGTGACGTAAACTCAATATCCGCGCGTACGCACGCGACCCGGTCGAAGGCCTTCCCCCGTATTGATTCGCGCTTCGTCAGCGCACCATAGGCCGCCTGGAGCACGCCCCACCACGCCTCTATCCGCACCTCCAACGGATCCCGGGAAGACGAGTGGCGGTAGAGGCAAGATGTTTCTCGTGACCAAATGCACTTGCCTATTCGACTGGCGTTCCGCGCGTAGCCATGGGTAAGCTCGGCGCCGGGCCGGATGTCTATGAATGAAGGTTCCAGGGTGGCCGCCACCACGTCCCGTAACGCCCGCACCTCCGCCTCATTGTATATGTTTTTGTTGTAGTGCACGCCCTTGAGCAACACGAGCGTCTCGGAGGCGCCAAACGCGTCCACAACAAACTTCTTCGTCGCCCGCAGGCGCGCCTCGTCGACGTCGTAGGCCGCGCCCACGAGCAGGACGGCGGCCTCGGACGACGCCTCGGCGGCCCGCGCCGCGACGAGCAGGAGCAGTCCTCTCATCCTATGCTCTCATGACGGCGCATGGATGGGTTGCGGCGCGCCGGCGGCACGCGCGCGGTGCGCGAGAGAGCACTGCGGCTGCCCGGTGCCGGTAAGGGCAGCTGTGCGGCGCGACAGGAGCTGGGAGCGCAGGCTGCTTGCTAGCGTCTTAAGGCCACTAGCTCTCAAGATGCTTTTGGAACAGGAAGCCGCCCGGAATCCAACGACGGCCTGCGCCAGAAAAAGCCCTCGACGCAGCCTCGGCGCAGCCCCACGCGCGACGGAGTCAAGGGCTGCCCACGGACGACCATGCCAGATGAAGAAGCCAAGCCGCCCCCGCCGCCCGAGGCCTCCCCGAAAGGCCGCGGGCCGGCCCTCGCGCGCATGGGGTCGGCCTACACGAAGGCCGGCTCCAAGCTGCTGCTCAGTCCCCAGGAGAACAAGGCCGGCGCTTTACTAAAGAAAAGGATGCAGGCGCGCGCGTCGTCGGCACTTACACCAAAGGCGGGCGAGAAGCACGACAGCGCGCGCAGCGACGCTTCGAGAAAGCTCACGGGTCTACAACGCGTCAACTCCAATTTCAAGGCCATTGTGGAGGGCACGACGGAGGAACATGATAGACTTGTGAAGAGGAGGGAAGAACTTGGGTCGTTATGGTACATGATCCACCCTCTAGGCATGTTCAGAATAGTGTGGGATCTGGCGATGCTCTGTTTTGTGTGCTACATCACGCTCACGATGCCTTATCAACTCGCATTCAAGGCGGAGCCGAAAAATTGCAGCTGGACCTGGCCGGCAAAGACCTGCGAACCTCTAGCCGTCTTCGAGCGGCTGGTGGACTACTTCTTCATGGTTGATTTAGTAATTAACTTTTTCACGGGGTATGTCCAATCCGATGGCGTGGTCGTGATGTGGCCGGGCCCGGTCGCCAAGAACTACCTCAAGAGCTGGTTCACCCTAGATTTCATATCGAGCTTCCCCTGGGACGCAATCCTCACCGCTCCCGGTTTTTCGCGCTTAAATTCGGCGCGCCTCCTGAAAATAGGTAGGTTGCTGAAGTGCATGAAGATGTTGAGAATTGGAAAAGTTTTGAAGGTTTCAAGAGATAGCGGCGTGGCGGACTCCATGGAGGAGTTCATGGTGTCGCGGTACGCGATGGCGTTCGGAAGGGTGGTCGTGGTTATTTTGAGTTGTGGCTTCATCTGTCACCTGATGGCGTGCGGCATGGCCGGGAGCGGTCCTGGATTCTTGAGAAGATATAGAGTCGACATGCGGGACTGCGACGACCTGGACGATTATGATGCGCATAGCTGCGCCAAGTCCGCGAACGACTGGAGTCCTCGTAGAAGATACTTAGCAGCATTGTACTGGGCCATGTCCACGATGACGACTGTTGGATATGGTGACATAACACCAGAATCGGATGGCGAAAGAGCGTATGCCATGGTGGGCATGGTGATCGGGGGCGGGTTCTATGGCTACGTGATCGGGATCATCGCTACGTTAGTAGCGGTTTCTGACGCGAACGCGCGGGCCTACAACGAAAAGATGGGCGTCGTGAATGCGTGGCTCGAGTTTAACGACCTCCCGCGGGACCTGCGGAGGAAGGTGCGCTCTTATTTCAAGACGTTCCTGGCCGAGAAGTCAGCTTTAGACGAGCAGGCCATCTTGAATGACCTGGATCCGGGGTTGCGAGCGGAGTTAGGGCAACACCTCATCCCGGACGCCGTGCGAGCCGCTCAAGTTTTTAGTGGATTACCACCAACGGTTCTAGCCAAACTTTCGTCCTTGCTGAGACCGGTCCCGGCCGCGGTAGGAGATGTTCTGCAAGTACGAGGCACGCACGGCGTCACGATGCATGTTGTGGTGGCCGGTGCTGTAGAATTATCCTCGGACGAAGAGGCGGCCCGCTTGTTGTCGACGGGCCAAGCGCAACTGCATCCCAGTTCTGCACCTCCAGGAGCGTACTCGCCGACGCCAAACAACCCGGAAAGGCACTTCTTCCACTCGCCCCACGGCTGTTCCCAGCCGAATCCGGAGTCTCCGAGACCGTCCGAAATAAGACCGAGGATAGCGAGGGCGGGCGAGACGTTTGGCGAGCTCGTCGTTTTAGATTTGGCGGCGAGCTACGCGGCGACGGCCGTGGCCTGCGAGCCCACTGCTTTATATATGATCGAGCAGGCTACGCTCTATGATAGATTCGCATCAATGCCCGAGGTCCTGAACAAGATGCGGCAGCGCGCCGCGCAGACGCACAAGGATGGCGTGTATTCCAAGCTGCCCGAGTCAGGGGAAGAGGCGCCTCAAGTACGAGCCAAGAACATGCGGTCTTCCTTAGTTGGTGGCGGTGGCGCTACCCTGCCTACGGGCTTCGCGGACACCATGCTTACTTTGTTATCTGATGTGCAAAGGAGACTAGCAACAATAGATCATCGCTTGGACGTGATGGAGCGGCGCATCGACGGTGAGGATGAGGCGCCGGTGCCTGCGTCTCCTCAAACGCCGCGCGCCCCAACCTTGCAACCGTCCTCGTCGACGCCGACGACGCCGCGGCCGTCGCTCGCGGGCGCCGACGCGGAGCACTGGGCCGCGGCCTTGCGCACGCCGGCGCAGTCGCCACGGCCGGGACTAGTGAGAGCCAACTCGTCCTTCGCGCCGGCGTCGCCGTCGATGCGTCCGGGCGTCACGCGGTCCCAGTCCTACCCGCACCGCCAGGCGCGCCTTGTGCAGGGCGAGTCGATGCTAGGAAGAATAGCGGGCATGCTCGGGCGGCCCAAGTCGCCCAAGCCCTCGCCGGTCGCCGAGGAGGAGTCATAAGATACTTACTAGAGTTCCGTGTGATCGTTCCGGTGGTCGTACGCGAATTCGACGGAAGACTTGTGGCACGTCTTGTAGTGCCAGGCCCAGAACTGCGTCGCGACGGCCAGATCCAGATCGGTCAGATTCGCACTATCAGCATCTTCCAACCCAGGAGCCTTGAGCGACGCCTGCTTTCTACAGCTGCGCGCCACCGGCTTGAACCACGCCGGCTCGCTCGTCGTCGCGTTCGGGTTCGTCAGGACGTCGGCTGCCGACGGCGCGAACTCGGACACGAGCCAGTCGATCTGCTTTTGAGGTAAAGCGAGCCTGCGCGCGTAGCGCCGCACGCCCTCGAGATCCCTCCGCGCTCTAGCTACTCTCAGCTCCTCCTGGAGCACGGCGTCCGGCACCTCGTCCACCTCGTCCTCCTCTTCAATCCTAGGGAACGGCGCCATGTCCAGCTTCATCAGTTGTAAGTCGCTAAACGCTAATCGCGCGGTCTGGAACTTCTTCAGGATAAGATTCGTTTCCTTTTCGCGACACCCGGTCTCCTCCGCGGGGAACATGCGCGACCCGCCCTGCGGCGTGCACACCAAGGACGCCACGAAGCTCTTGAGGGCCCAGATCCTCGGTTTCGAGGGCGTCAGGACCCAGACGCCGGCGACGTGTTCGGGCGCGAGTTCGTTGAGGGCGGCGGTCGTAAACGCAGCTAATTCCTTGTTGGTGTTGCGCATCAAGCACGTGTTGATGACCAAACCTTGATTGATGGGCTCGCAGGGTTTTTGCAGTAAATCCGTCATCTGCTTGGCGTGCTTCTCGCTGAGGTGCTTCGTCAGCAGTTTCTTTACCGCCGGAAAGTGCTTGCGGCTGTACGGTTCTAGCTCGCAGGGCTTCTTGTCCGCGTCCTTCTTCGGCGGGTCCGCGGCGAGGGCGAGGGCCATCCAGGCCGCGAGGGCAAAGCGCATGGCTGCTTGGGGCTCGCTGCCGCGCTGTGTTCGGAGGCTCGCTTGCAGTGGGGTGCTGCAGCGGCTGAGTTACGGCGAAATCGTCGCGCAATGTTGTTCTAGCGATAAAACAATAACAGATGAGCACAACCACAGCTGCCGAAGCGCAAGCAGGCTCGCAAAAGCACGCTGCAAAAGCTCAGGCTGTGATTGCTAGTGTCTTACAGTCCGCTAGCTCGGTTTTGGCCGCGCACCGCTGTTTCTCGCGACATACCGCCTCGTTGCGCGCTGTGAACAACGTTTGCAGGCGCCGACCCCGGCGCGGTACGCTGCGTGAACGCTACTCGCTCAAAGACAAGCAGCGGCTGAGTACCAAACGGACGTTGCTCAAGCACTGAAAACGCGCGCGCCGACGCGCACACCAAGAACAGAGCAAGTATGGCCGACACCCCAGCACAAGCGGGCGCCACGACGACCCTCGGCTACCTCGCGGACCGCAGCGCGCAGCTCGCGGCATCGCTGCGCGAGGTCGAGGCCGAGATTTTGAAGGGCCAGGGCGCGACGTCGCTCGCCGACGCCTCGCGCGGGTCCCACGCGCGCGTCGCGCGGCTGCGCGCCAACCTGCGCGAGACCCTGCAGCCTTTGTTGGACGAGGCCGAGGGCGAGGGCCTGAGGGGCGACATCCTGAAGGTCGGCGACGAGGTCCGCGCTTCCGAGAAGCGCGTGGCGGCGCTGGAGCAGGTCGTAGAGTGCGAAGCGAGCATTGATGGCGCCGAGGCCGAGCTCGGGGCGGGGCGCGTCGTCGAGGCGTGCGCTGCGTTGGACGACGCCGGGTCGAAGCTGGACGCTTTAGATAGGGAGGCCCCCTACGCCGGGGAATTGAGAAGGCGCTTCGACGCCGCGGCGACGGGCGCCGAGACGAGGTTGCGGGAGCTCCTGGCGCACGCGGTCACCGCGGACGAATCGAGGATTGCGGTCGAGGCCGCGGATGGCGTCGTCTGCGGCCGGCTCGCGGACCGGCCCGTCGCGACGTTCGAGTTGCTCACGGCGGCTCGGGCGCTCGGGTGCAGCGCCGAGGCTAGGATACTCGACGAGGTCGTCGAGCGGTGCTCGCCGTTCGTTTCCCGGTGTTTGACGGCGGGCAACCGCGACGCCCTCACGTCGGATGGGAGCGCGCGCCGCGTTCTAAAAGTGGACGCCGACGCCGTCACGGAGAATTCGGTTGATGCGGAGCTTTGTACCAAAAGAGCGCACCAGGTCGTCGCGTTCCTCGACGACGCTTTGCTCGGTAACGACGCTTATTTGCGGTCGAAGTTCCATGCGAGTCTGGTGGCTCCATTGATCCTACCGGCCGTCGAGAAAGCGTTGGTGCGGGATCCGAGAGACGTGGCGCCGACTCAAAAACAGATGGCCGCGACGCGCCAGGCCGTCGAGGGCCTCGAGGCCGATTTGTGCGGGCGGGGCTACGGAAATGCGTCGTTGGTCAAGGCCTTGGACCACGCGGCGACGACGGCCGCCGAAGCGGCGCGGGCGCGAGTCCTGGACGAGGCGCGCAAGGCGTTGAGGGGCGACTGGCACAACGCGACGGAAGCCGAGTGCGCGCCTTTGGTGGACCGCGTGAACGAGGCCGAACCCGGCGAGGCCGCGCCGCCGCCCACGTTGTTGGTCTCGGCGGTCGTGCTGGACCTGGCGTCGATCATCGACCGCGCGGCGGACGAGGCCGCGTCGGCGCCCACGGCCGAAATGGCCTCCACCTTATTCTCGGGCGTGCGCCTTTCATTTGAACTCTTCCGCGGCTTCGCGTCGCTCCAAGACTGCTCGCGGTCGCCTAGATTAGCGCGGCTCCTGGCGAACGACTGCCTCTTCTGCGCGCGCCTCGCGGCGCGCGTGTCCGTCGACCGCGGGCCGGCCATCGGCCGCGCGGCGGCGCAGCCGCACCTATCCCTCGTGGACCAGATCGAGCCGCTGCGGGCGCTCGCGGACGGCTTCCGCGCGAAAGCCGACGACGACGTTTCGCCGCCGGCGCCGCCGGCCCTCCTCTCGGCCATCGCGGCGTAAGCATACAGAAGATTTGCCCTTCGCACGTCGCGGCGGCTACCCGCAAGTGAGGCGCACTAGTAAGCCTGCGAGTCGGAACTACTACAGATGATTACACTCCGGCCGTCGGCCGAGCTGCCCGTGGTGCGGGCGTGGCGAAGAGTGGGTGCGCGTCGATGCGCCCCTCCTTCCGCTCCTTAAAGAGGAGGTAGGTCTGCTGGGCGATCCACGCGCCCATGAAGACCCACATCGCGCCGCCTCGGCCCGTGATGAGCTCGTAGAGCCCGTAGCCGAAAATGACGAGACCGAAGAAGGCAGACGCGTAGATGCAGTACGCCGCGACCTTGTCTTGAGGTTTGCCGCACATCAATCCGATCGAGACGGCCATGACCGCCCCATCGAGCGGCCAGCACGGCACTATGGAATTGAAGAGGGCCATCAATATGTTCATATGGTACATCGTCAACGCTAACTCTTCGAACCAGTCCCAGCCGTACTTCTCCGCTACTTTCCTTTGATACCAGCCTTCTGCTAATTCACCTTCATCATGGAAGCCGGAGAAGGCCCACGCGAGGAATACCCAGAGTAATGTCATCGGGATATGGGTCAGCGGGCCGCTCACCGCTATTAAGAACCTTTCTCGAGGCGTCTGGCCGTCGACTGCTACGCTTAATAAACCGCCGAGCGGCCAGAGGAGTAGTTCTTGCGGGGCCGCGCCGCATCGACTGGCGGCCCACGCGTGGCCCAATTCGTGGACCGTCACCGTGATCCAGAGGAAGGGCCCGTAGACGCAGAGCACCAACAGGAAGCGAGCGAGGTTGCCGCCCGCCGCCAAGACGCCGAGACACGCCAGGCCCGGCACGATTAACAATAAACAGTGGGCCTTGACCGGGATGGCCTCGCCCTTCCCGCCGATCTTCGGCGAGAGGTGGATGGTCGTGAGCTTGATGCTCGCGCTGCCCAGTGGGACGCGGTCCATCTGGGCCGCCATGATGCGAGGTGTTATTCTTCGTCCGGGCTGCCTCTACCTTCTGGAACCGCGTCCTGCGCAGTTTTATTTATGCCGGGCTGCCTCTACTCAGCAGCACGGGCTGGCGGAAACAAAAAACGAATGCGCGCTAGTGTCTTACGGACGCTAGCGTCCGTTTTTGCGATGAGAACGATGAGAACGAGGCGTTCACGCTCTGTGTTATAAGCGTAGGCTGCTAAATCATTCATACCCTCGGCCAGGGCCAGCTCTTTCGTATCGCCGAGAGGCATACGTGCCCCCAACTAGCCTCCGCAGCACAAGGACATTTTTTGCAGCCCGGACAACGCGGCGCGTAGTCATTAGCAGTCCAGACCTGTAGAGCTGAGCAGTGCAGAGATAAAAAGAAAATGGAGCCCGACCTCGAGGGCTACGCGCAGCTCACGACGGACGACGAGGAAGTCTCGGACGAGGAGGACTCGATCCACTCCGAGCCATCAATAGAAGAGGAGGAGCCCAAGATCCTGCTCGAAGTATTATCGCCGGGCGGCGCGCGGCTCGTCTTCCTGCTGGTCTACGCGTGTTGCGCTATTGCGATAGCGCAGTACGCCCTGGCCGCGCGGGCGACGAAGGCCACGGCGACCGCCTTGTCGGGCCAGACCCTCGACGTGATCAGTCAGGACGATGCTACGATCTGGCTCGCGCGCTTCCCCGCTTTAGGAGATGTGCAGGGCAACGTGGCGCTGCGTGCCATCTACCCGAACCAGACGGCCATTCATGATTCAAACACCACCGTTGACGACGACGCCACTGTAGACGACGACGCCGTGGCCGCGTCCACGCTGCCGGTGACCTACGACATCGACGTGTGGGCGACGCGCTCGCGGAACGCCGGTCTGGGCGACGCCAAGACCGTGGTACTACAAAGGAATAGTGAGACGGCCTACATGAACACCGCGGGAGACAATGTTCTGGCGACGTCGACGAAGGTCGCGTCGTGGTACCAGCGCTCCGAGAGCGTGCCGTCGCGGTCGCGCGTCCACGGCTTCCTCGTGCAGCTCACGTACTGCGTACCCGCGAACGCTACCCAAAGGTGCGCGGCCGTCGACGACGCGACGCGGCGAACGCTCGCACGTGGCGGCGATCTAACGTTAAAATACCACGACCTCAAGCCGCTCACGACGCCGGCGCGGGCCGCGGCGCGCATCTTGTTATTGGTCTGGTGGGGCTTGTTATTCACGGCGTGGGCGCCTTACATACGCAGGGGCGGCGCTTTATATTTGTCGCTCCTACTTGTTGGTCTCTTGTTCTTCGCGGACCCCGTGGATTGTGTGGTCGAGGCGCTGCCGCGTTCTACGAAGATCCCGCCGCTGGTCGCGTTCTGCTCCCGCGTTGGTCGAAGACTGGGCGAGGCGACGTTGTTAGCAGCTCTGCTGTTGGCCGCGGACGCCGACGGCCGCGCGGCGCGTTCGTTAGATCCGCTCTGGCGGAGCGGCCGGCCCTACTATCTGCTGGCGCCCGTGGTCTACGGCTTCTGCGGCGTCTGGGCCGTCTTCCTGCAGTTTCCGACGCTCTGGGGGTCCGATCGACCACCGACGCTCGCGCTCGTTTCGTGGCCGGCCGGTTCGCTCCGGGCCTTCGCGGCGGCGGCGCTGGGCGCCGTCGCTTCGGGCCTGGCCTGGGGCGTGCTGTTCATATGTCTCATCGTGCGGGCGGGCCGGCGCCTCGCGGCCGCGCCGTACGCGAGGACGCGGAGGCACCAGCTGGCCTTCCGCTTCTTCGCGCTGCAGGCGTCGTTGGTGGCGCTGTTCGTCGCGGCGTCCTTCGTGATTGGGTTCGTGGATTTGTGGCGCGATTACAGATCCGACTTCATGGCTTTCGTGAAACATGGAGACGCTCGTGCGGTCAAGGACCTCGCTGGTGCCTTGGAAGCCCTTGTCACGGACGATGTAAGGGATTTAGCTGAGGCTTATTGTTTTGCGGTCTACGTGGCACTCTTGCTTTATGTGAATCTGCCGCCGCCGCAGAACAACGACCTCCTCACTAGTCGTGAGGTCGTACGCGACGAGCGCGACGACAAACGTCGCAGACGGCGCCGGCCGCACGCGCGCCCGGCCTTCGTCGTCGAGACGGCGCGGTGGCTGGCAGAGGTCTCCGACGCGACCTACGGCGACGGGACGAGGGACCTCGAGTGCGGCATGGTGAACGTGACGCGGCTGGCGCACGACGACACGCGCGGCCTCGTGGCCCTACGGGCGCGGGACCCGTCGCACGTGGTCGTGGCCTTCCGGGGAACTGCGTCCGCGTCGCAAATTTCGACGAACGCCGACGTGCGCCTGAAGCGCATCGTGACACCCTCCGCTCCAGACGAGCCGCCGCCGCCGCCCGTTTTAAGATCGGAGTCCTCGCTTGAAGACGACGACGAGCCCGCGGGAAACGGGCGCCTCGGCCTCGACCTGTTGGTGCGGACCGCCGCGGTCGCCGTGGATGTGACTGCGCGCGGGGGAGACCTGCTACAGGACTTCGCGCGCGGGCTCCTCAACGCGTCCGGGGCCGTGGACGTGGCGCCAGGCCTCGCACAAACCGTAGAACCCTGCGTGCACAACGGCTTCTGGACTGCCTACGCGGGCGTGCGACCGCAATTGGAACGGGCCTTGTCAGAGGCGCTCGCGACCAACGAAGTGAGGCGCGTCAGCTTCACGGGCCATTCCTTAGGCGGCGCGCTGGCGCAGCTCGCGAGCGCGGACTTCGCGAGCGGCGCGCTCTGCCCGACGCACGGCCGGCGCGCCGACTGCGTCACGTTCGGGGCCCCACGCGTGGGCAACGCCGTCTGGGCGCGCGCGTTCTCCAAACTAGTTCCGGAGGCGTGGCGCGTCGTCTGCGACGGCGACGTCATCGCGTTCCTGCGGGGCTGCGGCTACGTCCACGCGGGCGTCGAGGTCGTGGTCGACGCCTCGGCGCAGACGCCGGGATATGTGGTCGTCGACCCGACGCCCGTCGAGAAGAAGCTGCGCCTGGGCTGCGGCAAGTCGGTGGGAGCACACAAGCTTGCGGCCTACCGCAAGGGCCTCTGGGGCGCGGCGGGGTGTCGGGGAGACCCGCCCGCGCGACGAGCTCGGCAATCTGAGTCTCCGGCGCCACCAGTTGCTGAACATACCGTCTCCTGCTGCTGGCGGACGCGTGTCGACGTCGACGCGACGCCGCCCATATAATCTTTGTCTCTGTTTTTCTACTTCTAAGTCCCAGACATGAATATATATACACATTACGCCTTGTGGCGCGACCGCGTGGCGGCCGCTGGTCTTGTCGATCGATTTTCTGTATGCGTCACCATCGGATGTGGTTTCCTACCCGAAGGCGCGGAGGTTGTAGAGCGAGCCGTCCATGTCGTCGAGGCCCGGCGCCGGCTTGCTCGGCAGCGCGTGGAGCGACCCGTCCATCGTCGCGAGCGCGGGCGCGGCGACTTCCGCTGCCTTCGCGTCGAGTTCGACCTGGGCCACGCGCCGCGCCAGATCATCGTCCGCGTCGGCGACGGCCGCCTGCGCCTCCGCCGATCCCAGCCCGCCGCGCTTCCGCTTGACGCCGTCCAGACTGTCCGAGCCCGGCGGGCCCGGCTCAGCTAACGCCGCGAGGTTGTCCGACGAACTGATTCGAGACTTCGACCCGATGCGCCGGAGCTTTCTTCGTAGCGAGCGGGCCATGAACCACGGGAGCTTCTCGAGCTGATACAGGGGCGGCAGCGACTTGATGCGCTCGAGCTGCGCCGCCCGTACTAGTTTCCGCGACGCCTCGATGGCCTCCGGCGAGATCCCTTCGGCGGCGAGGATCTCCCGCCGCCGTTCCGGATGGATCCAGGGCACGGGCCTTCTTGGATAAAAACGCGGCCGGAGCGGCTGGTGCTCGTCGACACTTTTCACGATGCAACACACCTCCTCCCGGCCCAACCCGAGTGCGACGCCCGACCGCACCGCCGGGTTGTCGGCGATGGCCATGGGGAAGACGTGGATCGAGACGTCGCCGAACGCGACGCGGCGGCGCTTCGTCGCCATGAGCGCGTCGTCGATGTGCTCGGAGCGCTGGGCGGGCCGCGGCGCCGACGGCGTGACGCGGCGCGGTTTCGGTTTCTTAGCGCACGAATTAATTAAAAGAGCTACTTTGTCGCGCGGCATCGACGAACCCGCGCGCGGTCGCAGTTTTCAGCGAAATCCCGAAGGACTATTTGTTCAGGACTTTTGTCACGAACCGTGGGGTCCTCGCGCTCGCGGGTCGCGCTCGCTAGCTCGTCTGAGCCCTCAATAAAGTGGGTGAGCAGTGTGTTCAGAGTTTCCTGAGAGTCGCCGCTCAAATCTCGTCGTCCACGCGGATCAGGCGCCCGATTGCACTGGACTTTGACGCACGAGTGTTTCCTCCGCGCGCGCTGCGGCCAAGGGCAAGAGCTCTGTGATATATATGTTGCCTCTGGCAGGTGAACACACGCCATCTCTGTGCAGAGCGAAGACTCAAAGTGGCTCATGGATTGCTCTTTGCAGCTTTAATCGTCGCACTAGCATCCAGCCACTAGCGCTCACAACATCTCAGCTCTCCGGCAAAGGCGCGGGCGCATCGCAGCCTTCTGGGGGAGGCACGCGCGTGCGGGACGCTCTGAGATCCGCCCTGTTTGCACGCGAAAGCAGGCAGCCCAAGGAACAGGGCCGCACGCCCCAGAGGGCAGCAACAGCCCAGAGGCGCCACCCCCGCCAACGCCGCCGCGGGACTGCCCAGAGGCAGTCTAACCCCGCGGCGCGGCGGCGAGCATGGGCAAGCTTTATTTCAACTACAGTACGATGAACGCCGGCAAGTCGACGGCCCTCCTCCAGGCGGCCTACAACTACGAGGAGCGGGGCATGGCGGTGCTCTTATTGACCGCCGCGTGCGACGATAGAAGTGGACGAGGTCGCATCGCGAGCCGCGTCGGACTGGCGAGAAATGCCGAGGTGTTTGACGCCTCTACTGATTTGTACGAGCGGGTCCGAACAGCTAGAGGCGACGAGGACGCCGACAACACCGTGTCGTGCGTTTTGATCGACGAGGCCCAGTTCCTCACAAAAACCCAAGTCTGGCAGTTAGCTAGAGCGGTGGACGATGTTGGTGTTCCTGTCCTCTGCTATGGACTAAGGGTCGATTTTAGGGGAGAATTGTTTCCCGGGAGTGCCGCCTTGCTAGCTTGGGCGGACGAGCTGAGAGAGGTAAGAACAGTATGCTTCTGCGGCAAGAAGGCGACGATGGTCGTGCGGCGAGGTGCCGACGGGAATCCGTTGACGCACGGCGACCAGGTCGGCATCGGCGGCGAGGAGCAGTACGTGAGCTTATGTCGGAGGCACTTCCGGGCGGCAACTTCCAAAAACGACGACGGCAAGAGCGAGGCCGTGCGCTTCGTCGAGTCTGCATTAGGTGCGCCTGCTTTGCCGCCCGGCCGCGCGCTGCCCGCGAAGATCCGCGAGCCGCCGCCGCCGCCGCTCATGACGGTGACGCCGATCAAGGCGCGCGCGGCGTCCCCCGCCGGCCCGGCGCAGCGCGCCGGGCCCGTGGCGGGCGTCTTCTCGGGCCTGCGCCCGGCGCCGCGCGTCTTCTGCATCGGGGGCCTCGGCGCGGGGCCGCCGAGGTCCTCCTAGTAACCACTCTTAGGCTTTTCTCTAGCCAGCGTGTGGGCTTTACTCCACGGCCCTGCACGCCATCGCCGCGAGACTCGGAGGCTTATGCTGTAATGAAAGACGCGGCACGCGCCCGCCGCCGGATCAGCTGTACTAACACTCTCATACTTCTCCATCGCCCGATCGAGAGGTGGCTCCGTGGCCTTGACGATCTCCAGGGGGCCCAGCCGACCCCGCTTGAGGCGGACGTGGTGCCGGTCCGCGTAGGCGCAGGGAGGCGCCGTCCCCGCGCAGAGGTGCCGGGCTACGAGCCCCATGTGCTGGTAGGTCGCCGTCACGAGCTCCGCGCAGTGCATGCTCCGGCAATCGGCGGCCGCCTCCGTGAAGAGCGCGTGGAAGGGCGCCTCCTTCTCGAACTCCGTGCCCCGCACCTTGGCGATCCACGCCTCGAGTCGTTCTGGGGCTAATCGTGCCTCGCTCAACGACCGCACGGCGACCGTCGCGTACTCGTCGTAGGCCGGATCTTCCAGGAGCCGGTGTCTTAGGTCATAGATGTGAACGCCCTCGCCCGACGCCTCCAGCAGTTGCGGCTTCCCCGATTCGCACACGTGGAAGTGGCGCGGGTCCCGTCGTTTGTGCTTGGCCCAGCGCTTCGGATGTGCGCCGTCTCCGTGGAAGGACTGGTCCTCTTCCTCGACATCTGTGAGACGGCCGCGCACGACCATGGCGACGTGGTTCCAAGTGCTGTCCGTGAGCACCTGGATGGCGTTGCCGACCCAGCTCATCGCCGGCCCGGACGAGCACAACACGAGGTCGCCGGTTTTCAACGCGTCGAGTCTTACAGCCACCGTGGCCGGGTACTTGCTTAAGTTCGGGCCCCACCGGTCGTACGGCGCCGCCCGCTTCGACAGCACGGCGACCATGGCGTTGTGCGTCGTCGGGTCAAGCTTCGAGAGGACGTCGCCGACGACGGCCATGCGCTGTGCGCTGGCAGCGTCCATAAAGTCGGTCGCGGAGGCGCGCGGCGACGGCTCCCGGTCCGCGAGCGTCGGCAGCGGCGGCGCCCGCGCGGCGAGGACGGCGGCCGGCGGCGCTCTGGGCTCGTTTGCTGGTTCTATCGGCTTAATGGCGCTGGTTGGCATGCAAACTACGACCATTGTGTTGACGGCAGCCTGAATATGCGTCTAGGGTTGTGTTGCGCTCGTGCGTGTGTTGCGGGCAGCTCCAGTTCGATTGTACGGTTCGTACTGCGCAGCCAGCCAAGTTTTGCACTTTCCCGGCATGAGCCGGAGACGAGGCGCTCAGAAGTGGAAGGATGCGTAGTCTCAAGTCCTCCCCTTGATATCTGAACAAGCTGAGAGGTCGAAGGGACCCGTGCGCTAGCGGCAGTAAGACACTAGCAAGCAACCCTCGACCACAAGCGGCTCAGCTCTTATACGGCACCGCTGTAGCAATAAAACTCGTAAAAGCGCTGCGGAGACATCGTCTCATTGGCGTTAACCTCCACGCCAAGTCTTGCGCCCAGCCGCGCCGCCGCCAAAGTTTGCCTACCCGACGCAGCAGCATCACTGAACCATGAGCCAGAACTTATGCGTACACAACCGCGACTTCGGCATGACCGAAGCCTTGGTGAGAGGCTTCCGCACGGGCTTCCTCAAGGATAGTGATTATCACCACCTGACGCAGTGCGAAACTCTTGAGGACGTCAAAATGAATTTGGCAGAGACGGACTACGACCAGTTTCTGGCCGACGCGCCCGTCGTGAATCCGGCCGTGATCCTAGAAAAGGCCACGGGCAAGATGGTGGCCGAATTCAAGTATCTGCGAGCGCAAGCCGTGGAACCCTTGGCTACTTTCCTGGACTACATTACCTACGAGTACATGATCGACAACGTCATGTTGTTGCTGAAGGGTACGCTATCTGGGAGAGACGTGGGCGAGCTCATCGAGCAGTGCCACCCGCTCGGGCTGTTTAGGGATAGTACGATGCGAAGCATACCAGCCTTCGAGAACTCGCCGAAGGGATACGCTGATCTTTATCAGTTGGTATTAGTAGACACCCCCGTAGGACCCTACTTCTCGCAGTTTCTCGCGGAGAGCGCTGAACGAATCGGTTCAGCTTCGGAGGTGAGACATGTACTGGAAGAGGTCGAATTGGAAATAGTGAAACATTCATTGATGAAATTGTATCTGGAAGACTTCGCCGCGTTCTGCCAATCGATCGGTGGCGACACGGCGGAGGTCATGGGTGAAATACTCAACGCGAGGGCCGACCAGAGAGCTATCAACGTCACTCTCAACTCCTTCGGGACGCCGTTAAACGAACCCCAGATGCGTTCCAGAGAACGTAGAAGATTATACCCGTCCATTGGTTTCCTCTACCCGGCAGGAACGCATAAATTAGCAGAAGCGTCCGACGAACAAGCCCTAGGCAATGCCATAAACTGGCACCCCATGTACCGCGAGATCTATGCAGCCCACGTCAACGAAGGCGTGGATGACCGGTCGATTGATGACGCCTTCTATGAGCGGGAAGTGAGGATGCTCGAATTGGCCTTCGAGGGCCAAATGCATTTCGGGATTTACTACGCGTACGTCAAGTTGAAGGAGCAGGAGGTGCGCAACTTGGTCTGGATCAGCGAGTGCATCGTGCAGCAGCAGAAGGACGAGATCAACAAGTTCGTGCCCTGCTTCTCCAAAAGCGCGCCGTGGCGCTCCTAGCTTGTGACACTAAGTATACATACATATTACATGATGGCTTGTTCCTCGGTAAACGTCTTTTCGTCGACGGGCGGCTGCTGTTTCAGTTTGCGTGCTAAATTGAAGCGGTGCCAGTCCGATTTGAAATGTGCCCGATGCGCGGCCGCGTCGGGGAAGGCGCCGCCGCACGTATTGCAGGCTAGCACTCTAGGTTTCGGCGCGACTGGTCCCTTGGCTGGTTTCGGTGGTTTCTGTACGGGTGGAGGTGGCGGCGGCAGTGTTGGACTCGCTTCGCATACAGCGGCGCGCTCGACGACCTCGACGCTCCCTTTACTATCTGTCGCTTTTGCGACCGCCTCGACAATCTCGCGGTAGACGCGCGGCGGCACTAAACATGTGATAGAGGCGTCCTTGACCGTGCACGTGACGTCGCCGTCCACGGCTTGCAGAGCCGCCACAACATCAGAAGGCTCCGCAGCTCCACACACGACCCGAAGCTCCATGGGCGCGCGCTTCAGCCCGTGGTCCCGTTCCAGCACCTTCATGACGTCCAAAGCCTGGCGCTTCGCGCTCTTTGTGGTAGAAGGCGCAAATCCTGCGTCATCTCGCAACAACCGCCCGACGGCGTCCGGCGCCAGCCGCGCGCCCGTGGCGGCGTCTATACACATGCTCGCCACGAGGTTCGTGACTTCGGCCATCAGTTTGTCGGTCTCCGCTTCCCGTTCTTTGGCCGATACTTGGAGTGAGCCTTTCTTCAGAATTTCCTCGCAGATCTGTTCTACACTAAGTCCGGGGAAGTGCTTCTGGAGCTGCTTCTTTGGCGCGACGACGCCGTGCACCGTGTTCGTAAAGACCTGGGCGACTTGGAGCACCTCGTCGACGTCCGCCTCGACGCCGGCCCTGAAATCTTTTACTTTGCTGGGATAGGCGGCCACTTCAAAAGTTTGGCTCTTCTTCTTGAGTTTTACTACGCTGACACTTGAAAGCTCGATGCGGTTCTGCGGCGTGCCGACGCGGCGGGACATCGCTGCCGCTTGTTCTTGTTGTGGTTTGGTTGCTGCTGCAGAGGTGTGCAGGAACTGATACTGATGCGTTGCACAACTTGTCTTCAATCGCTGCGTGATGCACCGTTCAGTGGTCGCTGCAGTGATGCAAGTGCGGGTCTGCAAAGCGCAGCCACAAGCGTATCGCTCGACGACGCCGTGAAAGAGCAGCTTGCTAGTGTCTTATAGGCCGCTAGCTACGTTTTTTTATGCCAACTTTGACCTTTGCGGGCGCCGTTTGTGCGTGATCATGAGCCAGGCGTGAAAGCGCCTCTCCAGAGCTGCGCGCAGCCACGCTGTCTCCATGATTCCCGAAAATGTAGCCGCTGCTGCAAATAATTGCGAAATAAACGCAGTAATGGAGTGGCTGGCCGCGCACCCGCAGTCCGTGAACGACGTCGACTCCGGGGGAGAGTCGCTACTCGTACTGTGCGTAAATGAAAGCTACGACGGAATTGAGACTAACCAAGACGACCAGCTCGAACTGGTCCGCTACCTTTTGAGTCAAGGGGCGGACCCAAATCTCAGCAGTGGTTCGGACGACGAGACGCCATTGTATGCGTCCTGTGGTTCAGGCCGTGCACACCCTTTTCCTCACGCCCAACTACTTGTAGCTTGTTTGCTCCGCGCCGGCGCCGACCCAAACCTGAAGGTTGCCGAAAATGCCCCTCTCTTCTCCGCGCTCGACTGTTTCCTCGGAGCAGACGAAGGATCATGGATCCTTCCCGTCGTCGCGCATTTGCTGCGATACGGCGCGTCGCTGGACAATTGCGAAGGGAACCGGTCGGCTGAGGAGGTGATGCAGAGGAGGAGCGGCGTTGGCCCGAGTTGGTCCAGGGAAACCTGGAATTTCAAGCTGCTGCGATTCTGATCCGAGGCGTACGCGCCGCGGGCTCGTGGAAAAAATATTGCCGGAGATGGGGCGCGCACCGCGACATCCTGAGGCTTCGGAGCCTCGTGGTTCGCGGCCGCGGTACGACGAGTGACACATGGCTCGCTGGCATGGTCCGACTGAAGGAGAACGGCCTCGTCTGGAAGGTCCTGTCGTTCTGGCGCGATCCCGACGACATCGAGGAGGTCGTCCTTCCGCCGGATGAAGAGTGGCCGGAACCCTATTTTGTGAGAGTGTATTAAGAGTGTATGACTAGTAAACCGAATGTGCTTTAAAATACAATGAGTATTTAGTCGTCGTCCCGCGGGTAGCCCGTGTTCCGCAGCGGGAACTTGAACGGCAATCTCAAAGTTGCGTCTCCGGGGGGCATATTTCGTAAAGGCCGCGCCGGCCTATGAGGCATATTGTGCGCAGAATTCGGGAGCGGGCCCGGGACCCGGTTGTCCGAGGCCGGCGCCCGGTCGGCGTCCGGTCCCAAACCTGCATATTCGCCCTTGGGATGCGGGAAGATCTTGTCGTACTGGCGCGCGAACCAGACCGGGTGGTCCCGCCGGATCCCGACCTCGTATTCGTCGATGCGCACGCCTGGATTTTCATGCGTGCCGCGGTGCGCCATGATCTTCGCCGCAGGGTTCGTGTCGAGGTCGTAGTGGTGCACGTGCAGCCAGCCCGTGCCCGGGACGTAGCCCCGTGCGAAGCGCTGCGGCGTGATCTCCCAGTCGCACTGGCGCCACGTACTACTGCCGGATATTCGCTGACCTTCGGCGCAGTCTTGACATTCTTGCACGTCGGCGACGCCCCACTTGTTGCTGAACTTGCCGGCGGGGCAGCTCGCCGTGCATTTATTGGTGGTCAAACCCATGGTCGCGCCGTATTTACCGGGCGGGCACTCAAAACACTCACTTTCTGACTTTGCACCGGGTTTGTCTCGGTATTTTCCCGCGGGGCAGTCCGCGCTGCAGAATTCGCTGACCAAGCCCGCGGCATCGCCGTACCGCCCTCGCGGACAGTCGGCGCAGCCGTCCGCTCTTAGTGAAACGAGTCTTTGGAAGTTGTTGTCCGAGGCCCCCGTCGGGCGGTAGCGCCCGGGCTGGCACGTGATACTCGGCACGACGCCGGCCTTCGTCCTTAAATCTTCCCCGGTAAGCCAGCTCGCCTTGTTGTCGTAGCCGCCCACGGTGTAGCGTCGCACATACGACGTCGTCATGAGCGAGGGCGTCAGCCGCCGCCGTTGCTCTCCTTGCGTTGTTGTTAGGTATACGGCGCCGCCGAGGACGAGGCCTCCGGCTATGACGATGACGCGGCGGCGGCGGCGGCGGCCCCGGGGCACCTCTTCGTCGTCCCGGACGACGGCCGGGCCGGCCTCGAGGGTCTCTTCTCCTGTGGGGGTGCTCTCCATGCTATATGGGTTTACTCTGTGGGCGTCTCCCAGGGCCTTGGGCAGCAGATCGTGGGCCGGGGCAGGTAGTGAGCAATGCCTCCGCTGTCTCCTTTGTCTCGCACAAGCCGCGCGCGAGCTGTAGCGGCCAGGGGAGCGCACACAGCGGACATCTCCAAGCCAGTGTCTGCGCTGCGGAGCCGTAGCAGACCCACAGCCTAGGACATCTGCCGAGGCGTCGCGATGGGTCCCTCGGCGAACGCGACGCGCTGGACTCAATCGACAAAACGGCTAGTGTGTCTGTCGACGCTAGAGTTCGAGCGCAAAACATTTGCGCGGCGCGTCTTAGCCGCTGCTGTGCACGCACACGATCGCTGGAGCAGCGCACGGCTCGCACGCGACCGCTTTGCAGGAGCGGTGCGCCGCGTGACGACCTCTGCTGCGCGGGCCAGGCCTTGACCATGGAGGAGGCCGCGGCCGTATGGATCAGAGACGACGACGAGGGCTGGCTGCCGGGCGTGGTGAAGCAGGTCGATGACGATCAAATAGAAGTGGACGTCGTGGACGACGACGGGACCACCATCGAGGCGATCACGGTCCCGACGCAAGAAATCAAGAGAAGGGACGCGGACGCGAAGCCCGTCGACGACCTGATTTCCTTAGCGGTGCTGCACGAGCCGGCCATCTTGCACGCCTTGCGGCGACGGTACGCGAGTGGCGAGATTTATACCTTCAACGGGGCCATTTTAATCGCGGTGAATCCCTTCAGAAAACTAGCACTATACACCGACGACATCCTGGAGCGCTACGCAAATAGAGGCCTGTTGCACGCCCAGGGCGTGCCCCAAGCGACGTTGCCTCCGCACGTGTATACGGTCGCCGACGCGGCTTATAGAAGTATGTCCGAAGCTATTACCTCAAACGCGAAGCAAGGATCGCAGTCGGTCTTGATTTCGGGAGAGAGCGGCGCGGGCAAGACGGAGACCACCAAAATCGTGATGAGGTATCTCACGGTAGTAGGAAGAGGGTCCTCGTCCGAGAACGCGGTGACGGATAAGGTATTGCGGAGCAATCCTATCCTCGAGGCCTTCGGGAACGCGCGGACCGTGAGGAACGACAATTCGTCGCGGTTCGGGAAGTTCATCGACCTCGAATTCGACGACCGGGGCGCGATGCGCGGCGCGGCCATAGATACTTATTTACTGGAAAAAATAAGGCTGCCGCGACATGCCCAGGGTGAAAGGAACTTCCACGTCTTCTACCAGTTAAGTGCCACCTCCAACAAAGATGATGCGTGGCAGTTACCTCCCTCACCGGCAACCACCTGTACTTATCTCAAGCAGGGCGGCGTGCCTTCTTTAGCTTCCATGGACGATGGTAAAGAGTTCGACACGGTCGTGGAGGCTTTGAAAGCATTGGGTGTGTCTGACGGTGACGTGAAGCACGTTTTTGCGTTGGTCGCGGGCCTCACGCACTTAGGAGACGTCCTTTTTGAATTTGCCGTTGGTGATGATGGCGGCGGTTCCCACGTCGAAGATCGAACTGTGTTAGATCGGGCTGCATCCTTGTGCGGCCTAGATGCGGATAAATTGTTACAAGCAGTCACGCAGCGAACGGTCTCCGCGAGAAACGAGTCCTATACCGTTCGCCTGGTGCCGCAGGACGCGTGTCAAGCGCGGGACGCCGTCGCCAAAGCTTTATACGGCAGATTGTTCGCGTGGTTAGTAAAAGCAATAAACAAAGGCATCCAGAAAAATGATTTCCGGAAGGCGGCGTCCATAGGTGTATTGGACATCTTCGGCTTCGAGTGTTTTAGTACAAATTCCTTCGAGCAGCTCTGCATCAACTACACGAACGAAACGTTGCAGCAGCAGTTCAATAGATATGTTTTTAAATTAGAACAGGAGGAATACGAGCGCGAGAAAATTACGTGGAGCTTCGTCGAGTTCCCGGACAACCAGGACTGTCTGGATTTGATTGAAGGTACTAGGAAGGCATGTCCCCCTGATGGTGGTTTATTAGTGATGTTAGATGATGAGTGTCGGTTGCCTCGTGGGAGTGATGCGAATTATGCTGCAAGAATCCTGAAGTCCCTCAAGTCTCATGATCGGTTGTGTGCTTCGAAAAAACAAGTAGTAGACGGTATTTTCGAAGTGAGGCACTACGCTGGTCCTGTGCCCTACGTCGCGCAAGGCTTCCTCGAGAAGAACAAGGATGAATTACCGAGTGACGCCGTACAACTCTTCAACGACACAAAAGGTTTCCTACAGGACTGCTGCGCCGCCTTTGATCAGGAGACCACGGACGTGAAGAAGAAGAAAGTGACCGTCGCGTCCCAGTTCAAAACCCAGCTGAGAAAATTGATGGAGTCCATCAGTAGTACCACACCGCATTACGTGCGATGCTTGAAGCCGAACGATAAAAATATACCGGACGAGTTCGTGCGGAAGCGCGTCGCGGAGCAGCTGAGATACGGGGGTGTGTTAGAAGCAGTTAGGGTCGCGCGCTCGGGCTTTCCGGTGCGCCTACCGCACGCCGAGTTCGTGCGACGCTACGCGGCGTTGGGGCCTTGTCCATTACAGGGAGATCGGAAGGGCTGCGCGTCATTAATCGAGGCCTTCGCGTCCGATGACAAAGACGCGTACCAGCTCGGCCTGACCAAAGTTTTCCTGCGGAAGAACGCCCATGATTCTTTGGAGACGGCGCGGTCGTCCGCGCGGCGGTCCGCCGCCGTGCGGTTGCAATCTTGGGAAAGGAGGCGCCAAGCACTCACGAGGGTCGGGTCGAGGCTGCGCGCGGGCCGCGCGTTGTCGCGCTGGGCGTTCGCGGCGCTGGCTTCCATGAGAGTCCGGTCGAAACGGCGCGAGTGGAATGCGCTGCGCGTCGAGACGGCCTGGCGCTGTGCGAGGCATCGGAACCGCTTCCGTGCTGTGACGCGCGGCGTCCTCGCGCTGCAGAAGCTCGGCCGCGGCGTCGGCGCGCGCCGGGCGACGGCCCAGAGGAGACGCGTCGCGGCTACGGTGCGGATCCAGAGCGCCGGCCGCGGTTTAAAACCGCGCCGCTTCCGGACCAAGACGGTCCGCGCGATAACACAAACCCAAGCTTTCGTAAGGCGGTCCATGGCGAAGCGCGCGGCGCAGCGGGCGCGAAGTGAAATGAAAGACGTCGCCAACCTCCAGACGGAGGCCGAGGCCATGAAGGAGGAGATTCAACAGTTGCGCGCGAGGGCCCAGCAAGAGACGCTCGAGCGCGAGCACGCCGCCGTCGGCGCGGCGACCGCGGAGGTCTCGAGACTCAGGGACGAGCTCGACGCGGTCCTCGCCGTCGGGGACGCGAAACTACGGAGCGCGGAGCGCCTCTGCTCGAAGCTGCGCGGCGACGGCGACCGCAAGTCCGCCGCGATCGACACGCTCGAGCTCCGAATCGCCGACGCGGACGCGCGGCGCGACGCCGCAGAAGCTAGAGTGGTGGAGGCCGAGCGTCTGATGAAGGAGGAGGCGCAGCGCGCCGACCGCCTCGCCGACGCGGCCAAGGACGCCGACGCGGGCCTCGCGCAGCAACTCGAAGCGGAGACGGCGCGCCGCGAGGAGGCCGAGGCCGCGCTCGCGTCGCTGCGCTCGGCCTCGCCGCCGCCGCCGCCCGTGCCTCCCCAAGAGCCCCTGCGGCGCGCGCCGTCGTCGACGCCGCCCACGTCGCCGCGCAACCCGGGGCCGCCGGCCGACCTGGGCGCCGCGTTCCTCGAGGCGTTGCGGCGCGGCATCGCGGCGGTGGCCTGGGAGGACGGCGCGAGCGAGCCCGTCCAGCTCGAGCTGCGCGCGGGCGCGCCGAGCGCGCCGGGCGCGCCCTTCGCTTTGGCCGGCGCCCAGCTCTGCTTCGTCGTCAAAAGCACGTCGCTCTTCCGGCGCCGGAAGCCGCCGCCGCCTTTAGCGCTAGCGGCGCTCTACGGCGCGCGCGCCGGGAATGGTGGAGAGGCGGCCCTCTCTTCTCATTCCATTGCCTTGGCGGCGGAGGGCGACGACCGCCAACAGCGCGAGGTCGTCCTCGAGTTTCCTACCGAGAGTGGCGCCGCTGAAGCTTTAGCAGGGTTCCGCCACGCGCTGGACGCGCTCCAGCACCACCCTCATCGCTCACCTCCGCCGTCGCCGCCGCCGCCAACCTCGCCGCCGCCGCCGCCACCAAGGGAGGACATCGCGGACGCCGTCGCCGAGCTAGAAAAACAATTACTCCTCGAGCGCGCGAACAACCAGAAGATGATGCTCCAGATGCTTGAGATGCAGAACGACGTCAACCGCGGCAGCGCGAAGATCGTCGAGCTCAAGCAGGAGACGGCGGGCCTGCGGTCGCAGCTCGTCGCGCGCGACCGCATGCACGCCGACGACGCGCGCATGCGCCTCCAGCTCGGCAAGCGGCTCCAGCAGCTCGTCTTCGACAACGCTGCTTTACGAAGAACGTGCGACGACCTCGAGCGCCACGCGCAGAAGGCCTTCTAACTTAGTATGTGTGACTTCAAGTTTCTGTTTTTCACGTCCAAACTTTCCAAACTCACAACAGAACAGTTAGTTAGGCAGCAGACGAGTCGTTCAGCGCGCAGCACGTCACGGCGAGCGAGTGCCCCGAGTAGTAGCGGATCGCCGCGCCGGACGACAGGTCCCAGAGCCGCGCGCTGTGGTCCGACGACGCCGTCACGAGGTACGCCGAGTCGGCGGAGAAGCAGGCGTCCCAGACCCAGCGCTGGTGCTGGGCGAGCGTCTTCTCGAGCGCGAAGCCCCGCCGCGCGTTCCAGATTTTTGCGGTTTTGTCGCTCGCCGTCGTGACCAATAACCGGGCGTCGGGCGAGGCCCGGCACGACAGGACGTAGGTCCGGTCGGACCCCGCGTCGTGCGCCGCCTCGATGATATGGTCTAAACCGTGCGCGTCGGAATCGTCGGGCCGCCAGACGTAGACGTCCGCGTCCCTTGTGGCTGCAGCTAAGAAAGAACCATCATTGGCACACGCGACGGCGCGCACGGGCACGTCGTCGGCCGGCCGCAGCGTCTCGCGGCATTTGTCCGCCACTACGTCCCAGACCCGCACCCTGCCACTATCGTCTCCACTGACAATTTCGTCGCCGCCCCGCCGCAGACAGGCCGAGTGGCACGCGACGGCATCACCCTTCCCGTCCGTACAGGAGAACGTGGTTTTGCACCGAGGCGGCGCCCGGAGGTCCCATATTTTAACCGTACCGTCCTCGCTCGACGAAAAGAGCCAGCTCCGATCTCTACAAAAGCCGCAGGCCGTCGCGTTGCCCGCGTGGCTAAACTCGGCGACGGGCGCTGATGTCTGCGTGTGGGCCACGTCGAACACGCGCACGTGGGGGTTTCCTCCCGCCGCCAGAAACAACTTGTCGTCCGAAATAGCTAAACAGTTCACCTGGCTGTCGGGATAGCGCACGGTCCGCGTGCATACTCTTGAACTAGCCTCCCAGAACCGTATTTTATGATCATAACCCGCGGTCGCGAGGACGACGGCGGTCATCGCCTCCTCCCTTTACGAGTCGGTTCCGTCGCCCGGGCGCTCTAGTCCGCCGGCTGGCTGTTTTGCAAACAAGGGGGAACTTGTTTTGCGCGTGGTCAAGCTACGCAGTCCGCGCGACGCTCGACGTTGTCGATGCAGGCTTGCCTGCAGTTGGGCCTTGCGAAGCTGTGGCGTCTCTCGCGCGCAGAGAGGGCTCGCGCAGCGATCGATGCCAGCGGCGCCGACGTCTTGGCTCCACACCTAAGCACTACCACAAAAACTTGCCCTCGTGCCTTGTTGCCGAGGATCCCTTGCTTGACAACTACAAAAACTTGCTTGCTGCTAGTGTCTTACGACGCTAGCTTCATAAAAGCTTCACCTGAGCCAAAACCCACCGTCACGTTCACATTTTACCCACAGTGCACCTCCTCTTGCAGCCCTGAGGGCGGCTGGCTCAAAACTGCTGCAAGCCGGTAGCTAGACTAGCAAAACACAGCACTGCTACAGCGACTGCTACCGGGCTTGCGCCGCGGTAGCGACAAGACAAGATGCGACGACCACTCGTGCTGCTCACAGCAACCACCGCCCTCGCCTGGGCGCCGCCGCCGACGCAATTTGCCGCGGCGCGACGGGGCGCCGCGGCGGCGCTCCCGCAGCTCCGCCCCACCACAACACATAGAGCCGCACCGGCTGCCGACGCGCCCCTGCCGCCGCCGACGTTGACAACAAAACTCGTGTCGAAGGTAAGGAGAGCGGTCGCACGACCAAAATGGAGGGGCGCGGCCGCCGTGTCCGCCGGCGCGGTCGCCGCCGCATGGGGTCTGCGCGCGCCCCTCGCCGCGGTCCTGGAGAAGAGTTTTCTCGGAGACGCGTTTGCGACGTTATTGAGGGCCGGCGCGCGACGGGACGCTTTAGCTGTATTACTGGCGTTCGCGGTGGCGGTCCCGGGATTCAAGGGCTTCGGAGCATCGCCGGTTTTGGCCTTCCTCGCTTCTGGTGCTCTACTAGGCCCGCACGGCCTGGCGGTCATCTCTGATGTGGGCCTCACGCAACGCCTGGCGGACCTGGGCGTGTGTTTCTTTTTGTTCGAGATGGGTCTCGAGCTAAGTCTCGGCCGCCTTAAGGCGCTGCGGCGGGAGCTGGGCCTGGGCGCGGCGCAGGTCGCGGCGACCTCAATCATATTGGCCAAATTGGCGACGCCGGCGCTGCGGCTCACGACTACTTCCCAAGCAGCGGTCGTGGGATCTGCCCTTGCTTTATCGTCCTCGGCCTTTGCGCTGCGATTGCTGCGAGATAGAGATGATTTAGCGACAGCTCATGGAAGGGCTGCGCTAGGTGTGTTGCTCGCGCAGAATTTGGCGGTCGTACCTTTGCTAGCGGCGATCCCCGGCCTGGCGGGTCGAAGCGCGGTTGAGGGAACGGTGGGCAAAGCAGTCGCGGCGGCGGCCGCCAAGGGCTTAATTGCCTTGGCGACCGTGGAGCTCGTGGGAAAACACGTCATGAATTCTTTGTTCTTCATGAGCGCTCAAACCAAGTCGCAGGAAGCGTTTCTCGCAGTTGTCCTACTGAACGTCCTGGGTATCGCGTCGGTCACGGAGGCGGCGGGCTTACCTGCCGCTCTAGGTGCTCTATTGGCGGGAGCGTCTCTCTCTCAAACGAGATACCGCTACCAGGTCGAGGCCGACGTGGCCCCGTTCCGAGGTGTATTGCTAGGGCTGTTTTTTGCCACGGTCGGTTTTTCGGTCGACTTCGGGGTCGTCGCGGCGAGGCCGAGAGCTGCTCTGGCGGCGACGCTGGGTCTCGTGGCGGCAAAAGCTGCGGCTCTGGTCCCGCTCGGGCTCTTCTTCCGGCTGCCGGCAGCGGCGGCGGCGCGCACTGGGCTACTATTGGCGCCGGCGGGGGAATTTGGTTTTGTCGCGGTGGGGCTCGCCAAGGCTTTCAAGGTGCTAGATGCCTCGACGGCACGACTATTGACGACGGCCGCCGCGCTCAGTATGTGCCTCACGCCAGGCTTAGCAGCTCTTGGTGATCGCTTGGCCGAGCCGTTGGACCGGCTGGAGGCCGCGTGGCTGAGACGGTCTCGAAGAGCGAGAGACGACGCCGCGGTTGGGAGAGCCGTAAAGAACGCCCAGGGCGAGTTGGTGGTGGTGGTAGGATATGGACGCGTGGGACGTGTCGTGTGCGAGTTACTGGACGCCAAGCTCCAGAGATACGTGGTCTTCGATTTAGATCCCCATAAAGCCACCGACGCGCGGCAGCGGGGCAAGCCCGTGTTCTTTGGCGATCTGGGGAGACCGGAGGTCCTGGAGTACTTTGGGGTTGGAGCTGCTAGGTTGGTTGTCGTGGCGGTCGCCGACAAACGAGCGACGAATCGCGTGGTCGTCGCATTGAGGAGGCTATACCCAGACCTCGAGATCATTGCGCGAGCGAGAGACAGCGAACACCAGCGACGGCTGAACAAGATGCTCGGCGTCGTGGCGATGGTGCCGACGCTGCCCGAGGACTCGCGGCTGTTGTCGTTGCCGTTCGGCGGCGCCGTGCTCCGCGCTTTGAATTACAAGAAGGAGGACGTCGACGGATTGATAGAGGAATCGAGGAGATCCGCTCTGGGCCTGTTCGACGGCGTCTCCGAAACTCTGGTCGCGGAGGAGCAGGCTACATTACTCGAACAGCTCGGCGTGCCTCAAGATTCAGAGAACTCCGAGGAGCCGGCCGAGGAGGAGGCCGTCACCGTCTAGCTTTGTCTGCTACCCCTGAACACACCTAACTTATATGTCAGTTTATCACTAGGCTGGTCAGCAACTGGTTAGTCATAGGGTAAGGACTGGTAAGGTAAGGTATGTAAAACGGGGCACGGGATCAGACCTGCGACTACAGCGACGGGGGGTATTCCACCGGACATAGGAACCGTTATTACATTTATGATCGACCGACTTGACCATGCTCCAGTCTGAGAACGGCGGCTCGGGCGGACGACGGAAATTCCAAGAGGTACGATACTAGTAGTGATAGTTTAACACGCCGATACGGCGACGCCCCACCCTTTGCCAGGATCAGCCCAGAACGGATCCACGCCGTCGACGTCCACCGCCTTCGCTACGTCAGAGTACGTCTCGAAGGCGGCGCGGAACGTCTTCACCGCGTAGTACACGTCGTCGGCGCCCATGATCTCTCGACAGGAATGCATCGAGAGCTGCGGCGGGCCGACGTCGACCGTTTTCAAACCTAAACCGGCCGCCGTGATGGGCCCGATCGTCGTGCCGCAGCCGCTGTCGGCCTTGACGGCGAAGTCTTGCAGCGGGCAGGCCGCCTTCTGCGCGAAGCGACGGATGAGCGCGCACCCCACGGCGTCCGTCGCGTAGCGCTGGTTCGCGTTGTGCTTGATGACCAGGCCGCCTTGCAACTTCACGGCGTGCTTCGGGTCGTGCCGGTCCGCGTAGTTCGGGTGGAGCCCGTGGGCCATGTCGCTGGAAATCTGAAAGCTCCTGGCGACGAAGGCGTCGAAGTCAGCACCTCGCAAGCCCTTGTAGGCCCTACGCAGGACGTCTCCAAGAAACGGCGACTGCGCGCCCTGTTGTGATAGACTTCCGACCTCCTCGTGGTCGAACATGGCCAAGACCCTCAAAGACGCGTCGCCCTGTAGCGTTTCCAAGGATTCGATCAACGCCGTAGTGCCGCAGTAGCACGAGCCCTGGTTGTCGAGGCGGCCGCTGCTGACGAATTCGGACCGCGCCCCAATCAGCGCCGCGGGCTGGAAGTCGGCCAGCTGCAGCTCGAGCTCCAGGATCTCGTCTTCGCCGCATGTCAACGCCTCGGCGGCGAGCTTGACCACGACGTCGTCGTGGCGCTTCGCGACGTCTGATGCAAGAGCGTCCTGGATGCCCGTCGCGAGGAGGGGCGGCAGGTGCTGCTGGAGGTTCGGCTTGAAGCTGGACCGCTCGTCGCCCGAAGTTAGATGAATCGCAAGCGTCGGGATGCGGCAGACGGCCCGATTCAACCGTACCAGCTCCTGCGACACGCGGCCCTTTCGCCTTACTAATGCTCTTCCGACAAGTGTAAGGTCGCGGTCGAACCACGTGTGCCAGAGGCCGCCGCCGTAGCCTACCACCCCTAACATCGTGTTGCCGCTCTTCTCCAGGCGCGACACGGGCTTGAGCTTGGGGCAGGGCGAGTCCGTGTGGGCGCCCACACAAATGGCTCCTGATGTTTCGTTGTTGAATTTGCCGCCGACCGCGAAAGCACAAAGGGAGCTGCCGTTCCTTGTCACGATATACTTGCCGTTCGGTTGCACGGTCCACGCCTTGCGCTCGTCGAGGACCTCGAAGCCGGCTTTGGTTAACCGTGCCGTGACCTCGGCGACACAGTGGAAGGCGCTCTGCGCGGCGTTCAGGTAGTCGACGACGTCGGCGTCGTATGCGCGCAGCTCTTTGCGCGGCGCGCACTCTTTGCAGGTCTCCGGCGTCGCGGTGCCAGAGGTCGTCATTTTGCTCGCTGGGAGTGGTTGCTTTTAAAAACTTGGAGTCGACTGCGACGTCGTGAGCTTTTTGTGTACTGTCTCGCGTCAGTGGTCTATTTAGCGCCCTGGCGGTCTGCTGTGCCCGGATGGCCTTGCAAATCTAGCGTGTCTAAGACGCTAGCAGGAGCTCAAAAAAACGTAAGCTCTCAGTCACGCGTTCAAGCCATCACGCGTGCAACTCTCTCGATGTGCACACGCTGCCGCTGCCAGTAACCAGTGCAGATGTGAAGCATCATGAGACGCATCGCACTCTCTGCACTCATAAGCCTGCGCCAGGCACGCAGCCTCTCGATCCTGCAGCGCGGTGCGCACCATGCAGTGGTGCGAGGTGTCCTGGACCGCAGCGACGTCGACGCGATACGACGGCAGGCGGGACAGGCCGTCGCCGTGAGCACGGACGGCCGCGCGTCACACGTCAATTGCTTCGACCTTCACGAATTGCCGGACGTTTTGAAACGGCTTCAGGAAGCGATCGGTGTCGTCACGGAGGACCGCTCGTGGCCACCGCTCGCCGAGGACTTCCAGATGTGCGACGCGCAGCATTGTGTTTATAGCACTGGCGGACATTTCGACTGGCACCTCGACGACGAGTCGGACGGGGCGCAAGGCTTTCGTCGGCTGTCGGCAGTGGTGCTCATGTCCGACAGTGGTGAATTTGAAGGCGGCGCGTTCTGCGTGGATCGCTCGGAAGCGTCGGCGTTGCCCCTCGCGAACTGTGGAGACGCGGTAATTTTCCAGGGCGAGCACCTCTGGCACCGCGTCGGCGCCGTCACGGCGGGCCGCCGCGAGACGCTCGTGCTTGGCACGTTTGATCGAGCGAAACGGACTGTCCGGTTCGCCACGACTGGGTCGGCGGAGGAGACAATTCGCGTGCCTGTCGTCTCGAAGATCCGAGGACTTCTGCCGGCCGTCGAGCGCGAGCTAGACGCGTACGCGCTGCCGCCAGTAGACCTGGTGGAGTCCTCTGGCGACGACGCCGCGTGGCGAGATGCGCACGTCGCGTTGGCGGATCCAGGGGTCATCGCCGGAAAGCTGGATGGCGCCGAGAACCTGGAGTGGCTCCAGTCGACGTGGGCGGGGACAAACGCGTTGATGGAAGGCCGTAGAGACTTTCGCTGCACGAAACTCTCGGGCTGCTTTGGACCTTTGATTAGCGAGTACGTTTTTGCCCATCTTTTGGGCAACAGTGCGGGGTCGCGACTCCTGCGGTCGGCACGAGGGTGGGCCCAGAAGGAATTCATAGAGGTGGCACGGCCGCTCAAGCGCCAGACTCTTGGCGTCCTTGGGACGGGTGACATTGGGACACATGTGGCCGGCGTGGCGAAGGCGTTCGGAATGGAGACGCTTGGCCTCGCGCGAGACGAAGCTCCAAGGACCAACTTCGACGACACAACCCGAGACGTCGACGAGGTCCTGCGCCAGAGCGACGTGGTTCTCTCCGCGCTGCCCTCGACGCCGGCGACGCGCGGGCTGCTCGACGGCAGCAGATTACGTGCGTGTACGAAGCGGCCGGTGCTCATCAACGTGGGCCGCGGCGACCTCGTAAGTGCGGCGAGCGTCGTCGAGGCGCTGGACAATGGCTGGATAGGTGAGGCCGCCTTGGACGTTTTCGAGGTCGAGCCCCTCCCGGCTGATTCACCGCTCTGGGCACGCGACGATTGCTACGTGACGCCCCACGTGGCGGCGCTGAGCCGCCCGGAGGACGTTGCGACGGTGTTTGTCGCGAATTTGGACCGGTATTTTCGCGGCGAGCCGCTGCTGTACGAGGTGGACTGGGGGAAGGGGTATTAATTTGTGGTTTGTGTGATGCCGTCGGCGGGACTGCGTCTGCTCGATGGCGTGGGCGCTGACCGGAGGCCTAATCACGCAAAAAAGAGAGATTGCCTAATCACGCAAAAAAGATGCGAGAAAAACCCGTTTTTTTGTGGCGCGGCGCGTGACTTTTTTGGCGGCTAGTTTAAATTGTGCACCACAGCCCGGCCACACGGCTTCAAAAATAAACAGCAGTAGCCTCACTGAGCAGCGCTGTGCAGTTTCGCTCAACGAGAACGACTCTGCACACAGGGGTAACCCCCAGCTTACCAGCAGCCTCCCGCGCCAGCAGCCGTACGCAAGAGCCGCAGCGGTACGCAGACACGATGGCCGAGATAATCAAGAAGAAGAAGAAGCAAACGAAACTCAAGGACGACAGCGAGAGCGAGGAGGAGGATTTGGACTTCGTTGTCGCCGACTCCGACGACGGCTCGAGGGACGGCGACGACGACCTGGACCGCGCCGAGGGCAAGCGCAAGCGCGACTCGTCGAGCGACGAGGACTCGAGCGACAGCGATAGTGACAGCGACGACGACGACGACATCGACCACGTCATGTCGAAGGACGAGGTCGCGGCGCTCAAGAAGGACCAGGGCAACGTCATCCCGCGCGCGAAGCGGCGCGCGGCGCTCGCGTCGGGGATTGGCGACGCGTCCGCGCTCGAGGCCATCCAGCAGGCGAAGCCGGATTCCGACGAGGAGGCGGAGTTCGAGTTCTAGAGTAGATAAAACTTTAGCATATCGCGTTGACCCCGTCGTCGCCCCCCTCGGCCGACCCGCCGGCGCGGAGCCAGCGCATCAGCCCGGAGAACGCGCCCTCGCTCCGCGGTTTCGCGCCGACGACGCCGAAACCGTCGACGAGCGCGACGAGGTCGAGCGCGTCGGGCGACGGCCCCGCGCCTCTCACCAGATACTGCTCCGTCCTTCGTAGTACGGCAGCGACGGCGACTCTTCCCGGGTCCGCGCACGGCCGCGGGAGCCTCAGCGCCAGCAATGCGACGCCGTGGCCGATGATGCCATCGACGCGGAGCGCGCCCGCGATGGTACATAAAGCGCAGCACGTCGGCGGCAGCCTTCTCCTTACCGCCGCCCGTAATTCGGGCAGTTGCAGGCGCCAGGGCCGCGCGGCCAGCACCACCACGACGTCCGGTGGCCCGGCGAGCGACGCCACCGCCCGGCGCGCCAATTCCGCCCCCACGGACTCGGCCGGGTCGCCCGAGCGGTAGTCCTCGGCCTCGTGTTCGGTACAATTCTTTGAACAGTAGGCAAAGCCCTCGTGGCGCGCGGCGTCGACGGCCGCGACGTTCGCCGCGAGCGCCCGTAAGCTGCGCACCGTCGTCGACAAAGCTAGTGTAGACCGCAGGTCGCAGAATTCGAGCACCGCCGCCCAGACGCCGTTCAGGGGCTCGGGCGGCGTCTCGGCCGCCTTCGTGTCGACCGTCAGAGCGTAGGTCGGCGACCGCCACAAGCGAGCGCGGTCGTCGGCGGCGCCCCACGTTAAAGACGGGTCGTCCGGAACGTAGTGCCACTTTCTGGGGTTGTAGTGGAGGCGCATTTTTTATAATGATGCGTCGCGTCGATGGCGTAAGAGCTATCCCGACCTCGATATACGATAGGTCAGGCGCTGCGCCGCTTCACGCGCAACAAGACTGGAATTTAGCAGGGAGAGCTAATCCAGCTGTGAGAGCACGCTACGTGCGAGGAAGCTTGAGATGCGGCCGTTGCTGCAGGTATACTGTACCCAGCAAGACTTTTGGCACAGTTATCACCTTCGCACAGCAAGTAACGAGACAGCCAGTGGACGCGTGCTTGCCAGCTGGCGGCTAGGGACCTGTAAAGACATACTAGTCAAACTAGCCTGAGCCTAAGGCTTTGGAAAGCGCCATGGCTGCGCCTATCGTGCGGGGATCTCGGACAATGTAAGGCTCTACTTATACTCGCGCGCGGCGGCGGCGAGCGGCGGCGCGGCGCGCATGCGAGCGGGCGAGCGAGCGAGGGCTGACGCGATGACGGAAGCAGCCAATAGCCTTGCGGCGGCCCTTAGTCGTCTGCGGCGCTTCGAAGAAGCGAGGTCGCTGCTACGTAACACGATCCCCCTGGCGCAACGCGTTGTTGGTCACCCTATTGTTGGTGAGGATAGAGAACTCACCCTTATAATGAAACTTACATACGCGAAGTGCCTCTACAAAGACGACGGCGCCACGCTCGACGATCTCCGCGAGGCCGTGAACACGCTCGAGGACACGGAACGGACTGCGCGGCGCGTGCTCGGTGCCGCGCATCCTCTCGTGCAAAATCATATTGGTCGCTCCCTGGGAGAGTCGCGAGCCACGCTCCGCGCCCGCGAGACGCCGTCGCCAGCGGAGAGTGCGTAAGTTGTAAGCTTTCCCAGCGCCGGGTCAAGATTAAATTCACATATATCAATTACCCAAATGGTACGAGTTCCCCTTCGACGACTTCGACCACGAGTACGTGTCCGACCCGCCGGACGTGTGCGACATGTACGTCGCCGAGTCCATTTCCAACAACCTTTGTTCTTCCTCCTCGGCTTTGATGCGGTAGTGTTGCGTGGTTAAGTGGCGGTATTCCGAGATGGGCTGTTTGCCGTCTTTCCGCTCCATGGCCTCGAGGACGTCGCGCTGTCGTCGCCGCTGCCTCCTTTCCTCGATGACGGTCATGAGGACCTGCGTCTCCCGTTGCGTCTTGTCGACTAACTCCGTAGAAGAAAAGGTCTCGGACGTCGTCAGCTCCTGGGACGTCACCAACTGCTTCAGTGCGACAACTTGATCTTCGTCAGGGCCCTTCAGGGCCCGACCACGAGCGAGCCGCTGCAGTTCCTTCGCTACATAAGAGGGCTTTGTCGTAATTGAGGACCTTCTGACCGACGCCCTTCGTAAAACTCGATCCTCCTCCTCCTGCCTGCGCCGCTCCGCCTCGAGGGCCAATCCCGTATCCTCCAGCTTCTTCAAATCAGCCTCACCAGACTTAGGATCGCCGCCTCGAAGGACCTTAAAGGACATATCATCAACAGCTCGTTTCCCCTCCTTCTCCAGGACCTTGGCTAGCTCCCCATCATAACACTTCCGACATAGCTTTCGTTTGGTATCATTGCAGTGCAATTCGCAAAAGGCGTCGTCACAAACCTCACAAAACACGGTACCCCGAGGCCTCGTCCACATCATGTCCTGCGAGCACGGGTTGTAGTAGTAGGGAGTTTGCGTTTCGTCCTCGAGCCGCACCCATTCATCGTCGACCTTCAGATCGTAGGCGCCGAGCGCGTAGGGCTTGCGCCACGTGATTTCCCTCGTCAACTTATCTCGGTAGAAGTAGCATGTGTGCTCGGCGTCGTATCGCTTTTCAAACCGCGCATAAGCTCGTCGTCGCAGCTCCACGCGAGATTCATGCAGAGCTCGAATCCTTTGAATCTTCAGCGCCGAAATGTTCTGCATCCGGACCCTATCTTTCTCCTTTTCGGCGCGCGCCTCGGCTTCCGCTTTTTCAATGGCCGCGTAGTGCGCGTCGGCCGCCGCTCGGCGCTCCGCGTCGACCACAAGCTCTTCATCTTGACATCGCTTCAGTAGAATCTCTTCCAGAGCCATCGCTTCACACTCGGGAATCTCGAGATCATGCCCCTGCTTCCCTGCTCGTTTGAACACGATCTGCGTCCGAATCCGCACCTCCTTATTTAGTTTTTTGGCTGTACGTCTTTCCTCAGTGGTCTCCGGAGACAGGCGACACCACTCCAAGTGCTTTCGCAATGCCGCGACTCGCTCAATTTTCACGCGTTCCCACTTCTGGATCCAGCCCGCGATCCTTTCATCATCGAGCATTTCCTGGAGCTTCTTGGCCCGTTCCTCCTTCTCGAGCTCCGCCTCGTGTTCTTTCCTTCTCCTAAACCTCAAGATCTTGGCCTGTTGCGCGGCATCAAATCCTTCCATCAGCGTACTTTGGAGGTACTCCTCCTTGCGTTGCCGGTAGTACTCGCTGATGGCGTTCTGGTAGACGCGTTTCTTCCGCAGGTTCTCTTCGTAGAGGCGGTCCATGTCCCTCGCGGCGGCCGCTTTTGCTGCGGTGTCGTCTCGCGCTTGTTGTACTTCTCTTCTAGCCTTTCTCGCTCGGAACGCTCCTTGAAGAAATCGCGCGACGGCGATTTCTTGGCGCTTCGCCCACAAGGCGCGCCGTTCTTTCAACTTTCTCACTTCCTTATCGAGCTTCTCTTCCAACCTCCAGAGCGTGATTCTCCGAGCCCGAAGACCGCGCGTATGCCTCGCTATTTCCGTCGCCGCCCAGTGCCTTCGTCTTTTCTCCCTAAGGTACTCGTTCTGCAGCAGCCACCGTCTCGCTCGGCACTGGATGCCCGTCACAAGTAAATGGATCCGCAGCACCCATCTAGCTTCCAACCTGCCCAAGAAACCTCTTCCCACCCTTTGTAACTCATGCGCCCGCACCTCGATCAGCGCTTCCCGCCGCCACTTCACAAAAGAATAGGAGCACCTGATGCAAATACAGCGCTTGATGCCGCGTAGCGTAAACAATTTGATCCTTCTGATGCGTTGCGCCACCTCCCGCCACTTGAGAAAACGTCGCCGCTGTCGAAACGGGTGCGTGATGGCGAACTGCGTCGCCTCGAAGTCGTGCCTCTGGACCAGTCGCGCTCGCTTGATCTCCGTGGCGATCATCGGGTGGTACTGCTCATCTTCGATCGCGTAGGTCCACGTCCGCACGTCTTTCAGACCAAACGGTGTCGAACCTTCCATCAGACGTTTCAGGGGTGGGGCGCTTATGAGGCGCTCGAACAACGGCCTGGTAAGCTTGATGGCGTCCATCGGCGATGCTGCTTCGCACCCTTCCCTATCTAACGCCTTCTTGCCGGACGCTTGCAACATCAGCGCCTGCGTTTCCGCGTCTCTCGTCAACGTACTAGCCTCGACGTCTCCTCTTCTAACTAAACCGGTCCAGGCGTCATCCACTAATTTGGAGAGCATGGGCCGCATCTCGGCGTGGCCCACGGCGTGTAGTAGATACTTGGCATCCGCAATTCTAGCGTCGAAGGGCGGTTTACATTTCATGTCGAAGGACCCTTCACTCCCGACTAATGCGAAGCCCCACCGCAGGTGGTCCGCCGGTTCTCGCGTCGGGAAGCAGACGACGTGCAACATTATGAGGATGTTACGCCAGGGCATCTTATCCGAACCATCCTCGTCGAACGCGTCGAACAAGTTATCCATCAGTTTTTTGGTACCTTGGTCCACGGCACCCCTTACGGGAGCTAGTTCAAACCCAAAAACTCTCCTCATCACTACTAAGAAGCGGGCGCGCTCGCATAATCTTTTTGGGCAGGATCGATGCAATTCCTCATAGAGAGCGCCCTCCCGACCCGCCAAGGAGATGTTCCTGCTCGTCACGAGCTGCTGGAGCTTGAGGACGCACCGCCACCGCTCGTCTTCGAGCAGCGGTTCCCTTTTTCTTCTATACTCGAGATAGCTGTCGAAGGCGGTCTCCAATGCCCTTTGGTCCTTCGGGCCGAACTGCAGCTCGTACTTCGTGTCGCGCGCGAGGGACTTGACCGGGGACTTCGAGGGCTGCGTGGCGCCGCACGACCCGCGGCCGCTGAGCTGCGGCAGGGCCACCATACCCTTACCCATGGGTGTAGGGGCTGCCCGCGGCTTGTATGAGCGTCGAGGCCGGACGGAGGCTACCGTAGTATTGTTAGCATGGTCCTGGCCGGCCTTTAGGCGTGCTTGGCCCCGCACCGGGCGCGCTAAGGCCCTGGTTTTTGACAGCGCCCTTGGTTGGCAAAACCAGGCTTACCCCGCACGCAGCTTGCGGAGTGCTCGCGCGCCGAGGCCTCCTGGGCAGGGGTCTACGCACGGCGCTTCGACAAGATCGGCAAAAAAATGCGCTAGCGCCTGTAAGACACACTAGCAAAGCCCTCCACCCGCCGGCCGGTGCGCTGAGGCTTAATCTATCCTCCCAGGCCCCGCTCTGCACGCGGGTATATTTTTTGCCATCTCTCGCCGCCAGCCCGGGCCAGACGCCTGCGCCGCGCCGCTCGCCAGCTGCAGCTGCACCTAGAGGCGCCCGGCCAAAAAAGAAAGAACCCCCGGGACGCCGCCCCGGGCGCGCCACGGAGCGCCGCCGCGGCCGCCGCGCCCCACTGCTCCGAACAAAACACCAGAACACCATGTCCGCGTCGCTCGTCGCCCACCGCTACCGGACGCACAAGCGCCTAGGAGCCGGTTCCTTTGGGGAGATTTTTGTTGGATCCGACGTCAACACGGGATTGCGAGTCGCCATGAAGTTCGAGAAGCACGGCCTGCGGTGTCCCCAGTTAAGGCACGAGTATAAGGTGTATCGAGAACTGCAAGGGTGTAGAGGTGTCTGCAAGGTCCAATATTATGGGACCCACAACAACTTCAACGTCATGGTCCTGGACTTGCTGGGACCGTCTCTCGAAGAATTGTTCACGAAGTGCGGGAGACGGTTCTCGCTAAAAACAACATTGAAATTGGCGGACCAGATGTTGGAGCGGTGCGAAGCGTTGCACGGTAGACATCTCATACATAGGGACGTGAAGCCGGCGAACTTCACGATGGGCGACGCTTCTTCCTCGCCGCTAGTTTATTGCATCGACTTCGGCCTGTCCAAAAGATTTAGGAACCCGCATACCCTTCAACACATTCCCCATCGAGTGGGGAAAAGTCTCACTGGAACACCTAGATACGCCTCCATTTCCAATCATTTGGGCATCGAACAGAGTCGTCGAGATGATTTGGAGGCGGTTGGCTATGTACTCGTATACTTCGCGAAAGGTAGGTTGCCCTGGCAAGGTCTGAAAGCCAAGTCGGCCCACAAGAAGTACAAGCTCATCCTAGATAAAAAGCAGGAAATTAGCATTGCGCAACTGTGCCACGGCTGCCCGGCGCAGTTCGCGGAGTACCTGTCGTACTGTAGAAGCTTGAAATTTGACGCGTCGCCGAACGTGGCTTATCTGCGGAGACTCTTCCGCGACCTCTACTCGACGAGCGGCCACGACGTCGCGCAGATCGCGGCGAACGACTGGGACTGGATGGCGAATGCCGACGTCCGCGTCGACGCCACTACCGCGCAAGCGTATGGCGCTAGACCAGATACGGCGCAAGCGAGACGGGCCACGTCCGCTCGGCCCGGAGCAAGACCCGCACGCCCGCAGTCGGCGTCGGCCCAACGGCCGGCAAACGAGGAGCAGTTCTACGCGCCGCCTGGGCGCAGCGCGTCGCGGGGCTACGACTACGGCGGCGACCGTTATGCTTCTCGTAGACCGCGCACGGCGACGGCGCGGGTCGGCGAGACGGACCCCGAGCGGCGTTGGGCCGCGCGCGGCTCGCGCGAGGCGCCCGCGCAACCGGCGCGGCGCGAGCGGCCCCAGTCTGCCGCGGCAGCGCCGTCCTACCAACAAAGACCGTCGGCGTCGTCGCGCTCGGGTGGTCGGGGCGGCGACGACGGCGCGCACGTCGTCGCCGGCGCGCGGTCCATGATGGGCCTCGCGCGCGCGCGGTCCGCGCGGTCCGCGGGCGGCGGCGCGCGGCCGCGGACGTCTTCGCGCGGATAGTAGTAGAGAGACACTCGCGCGTTCCTTAATACTTCCGTCCTATACATGAAATAGATTTTACGTAGTTAACTCGACACCGGGACCCCGAGCCGCTCGAAGTACGCGTCCTCCCGGAACGGCCGGCCCAGGAACGCCTCCATCATCGCGGCGCCGCCGGCCGCGGCGCCGGGCTCGAGCACGCACTCGCGGAAGCGGCGCCCCGCGGCCGCGTCGAGCTCGTCGCCGAACTGTTTGTACGCGTCGACGGCGTTGACCTCGCTCCAGAGGTACGAGTAGTAGCCCGCGTCGTACCCGATGCACATATGGTACCACGTCGACGCGAAGTGTGTCCCGGGCGCTTCGGTGAAACCTGCAGTCTCCCTATAAATTTCCTGCCAAAGACCACACGCGTCGACGTCGGCGGCTGACGCGAGCGAGTGCATGGCCATGTCGTAGCGACACATCGCAATATACCTCGCGTTGCCCAAACCGGCTAGGAGGTGCCGGTTCTCCGCGAGCGCCTCGATCGTTTTTGACGGCAGCGAGGCACCCGTCTCCGCGTGCGGCCTGGCAATCTTCGCCAAGACCGCAGGCGCGTACCTGCGCGGGCGACCCGTGACGCGGCGATGGCGTGGGGGCCGCGTAGAAGCAGACAACGTTTCGGACGCGGCCGCCGCGTACACAAACTGCTGCGTGAGCATCGACGGCACCTCCAACATATCCATCTCGACGCCGCCCGGCCAGGGCACCATGGGCCAGGCCCAGCCGAGAATCGACGGCTTCGGCGCGCCGGCGAGGGCGTGGAAAACGTGGCCCAGTTCATGTAATAATGTTTCGACCTCGCGGAAGCGTAATCTTCCATTCGCGTCGCCCATGTTGCCGAGCACGGCGCAACAATTCGGCGCGCCGTTCACAAGTGCCGGCCGCAGGGGCACGACCATCTGATGGCCGAACTTGCCGTCCCTCGACTTGAGGTCTAAAGCCACGTGGCCCACTATGATATCGTCCTTTGCGACCTCATATAATTCGCAGTCGTCGTGCCAGAGTTGTGCGTCGTCGAGCGGGCCGCGCACCGTAAATCCAAATAAGTCCTCGCCCAAGGCTTTGATCGTCGCGGGGACCACTTCAGACGCGGGAAAGTGGGGCTTGAGCGCCTCCTCGTCGATGCCTTTCGATTCTCGGATCTGTCGACCGAAATACGCCGTGTCCCACGGGTCCAGGGCGTCGGCGCCGGGCGTCTCGCTCCTTTTCAACGCGAGGAGCGACGCGTAGTCCTCGTCGCGCTTCGGCTTCAGGCGCGTGACGACGCGATCCAGGAAGGCGTTCACCTCGTCCGGCGACGAGGCCATGTTGCCCTTTAGCGTCCCTTCGGCGTGGCTCGCGAAGCCCAGGAGTCCCGCTATCTGGGCGCGCAGCGCTACGACCCTATTCAGGCGCCGCGCGTTCTCCGGGCAGCGCGAGGTTCCTGCAATATAAGCCTTGCGCCGCGCCGCGGGGTCCCGCGCGTGCTGCAATACGGGCGTGAGGGTGGGGGCTTTGAGTGATACGAGCAATTTGTCGCCGTCTCCGACGGGAAGGGCGTCCACCAGGGCCGCGGGCACGCCCTCGAGCTCGTCGCGCGTCAGTGCGACAGTAGATGAGTCGCCGTTGATCTCTTGTTCCATGGCGGCGCACTCGGCTCCTAGCTCTAGCTTCAGCTTCGCGACTTGTTCGCGCGCAGCGGCATCGGCGAGCGCGAGGCCATTCGCCTCGAAGCGCGCAACGTGCTTATCGCGTGCGCGCGCCAGCAGAGGATCCGTCGTCTCGGACGCCTTGATGGCGTCGTAAAGAGCCTTGCGGCCGTAACAGGTTCCGAACGCATCGATAATGCTTCGTTTCGCCGCAGCACCAGCATCACGTGCCGCGGCGTCCGTCGCCACGAGCGCCGGTAAGCAAACTTCAGCGGACCCTACTGCGACGGCGTCCGTGGCACGAGTCCACGCTGCTAGTGCGTCTTGTGCATTGCCGCTTTCTATGTCAGTCGCTGCGGCCTCGAGGCCGCTCACGAGCGCTGCAGCAGTATCTCTAATCTCTGCTGCTCCAAGCCGCAGTCTGAGCTGCGTGTGCGGGCACCGCATCGCTCGGGCTGCAGTGAGGAGAATGATTGCGCGATGAATTGGGTGCAGCATGCACAGCTCACCAATGGGCTATGCCGTGCAGAATGCCTTGCTTTGCCGCGGCACTGGCTTGCTAGTGTCTTACAGGACGCTAGCTGCCTACCGGCGGCCCACGCACGCGCTTTGTCCGGAGGAGCGTTTGAGACTGCTCTTTGACAGCTCAAACATAGCACGACTCGCTACCGCAGCGATGGCCGCCGAAAAAGCCGCCGACGGCGGCCCACCCATACCGGACTGGGCCGCCGGCGACGCGGCGACGGAGGCGCCCTTCGTGCTCGAAGTGATCAAGGACGGCGTGCCCGTCGACGAGATACCATTGACGGCGGCGCGCTGCCTCGTGGGTCGGGCGGCCGACGCCGTGCAGGTGCCGCTCGCGCACGCGTCCATCAGTCGAGTGCACGCCTGCTTCCAGCGGTCGACGGACGGTTTGTTGTATGTGGCCGACTGCGCGTCGTCGCACGGCTCGCGGCTCAACAAAGCGCCGTTGCCAGCTCTGAAATATGTGGAAGCGCGCGACGGCGACGTGCTGCAGTTCGGGGCTTCCACGCGTATCTTCGCGTTACATAAGAGAGGACGGGAGCGCGCCGAACGAGCATTGTTAGACACGGCGACCGCGGACGCGTCCGCCACCAAACACGATGCCACAAGAAAGGTGCGCAAGATCCACACGGAGAAGGAGCAGCCTCCCGACGTTGCAGAGAAGAAGCAGGTCACGGCCGCGGATTTACATGCGACGACCTGGGGCCAGGACGACGACGCGGCTCCCGAGAAAGACGACGAGGCGCTGCCCGACTACCTGAAGAAGGACCAGGGCTTCATGGAGTACGGGGGAGAGATCTCGTCGACGCTCAAGACCGAGGAGAAGTCTGAAAGAGACGCGAAGCTGCACGAGCGCCTCGAGACGAAGCTCCGGAAGTTGAATGCCGCGCGGTCCCACAACCAGCGTTTACTAACGAAGGAGGGCGGCCAGGCCGGGTTGTCGGACGGCCAACGGAAAGCTTTTGACTCCAATGATGAACGCATCAAGAAGTTGACCGATGAGATATCTGATTTGGAAGATACGATCCGAGGAAGAAATAAGCAAAGGGACGAGTCCCGAAGGCGGAACGAGGACGACTCCTACTTATACGCGAAGCAGCGGGACGAGGAGCCGGAGGAGGAGGTCATGCGCGACCTCACGACGCCGCTGGCGCGCGCGCGGACGGCCGAGGAGAAACAAGCTAGACGGAACCGGCGGTTCATGACCGCGGCGCCGGCCGCGGCGCCGCCTCCCCCTGATGAGGAAGATGGTATGACCTACGAAATGTTAAGGGAGAAGCGGGACCGCGTCGACGCGGCGTTGGTAAAACTGCGGGAAGGCCCTTCGCTCAGTACAAGGGAGGCCGGTGATGATGTCCTGGACGACTTCATGGCCGCGAACGACGAGCAGGAGGCGTCGGACGTCGCGGCGGCCGCCGCGCGTGACACGGCGGCGCTCGAGAAGGAGCGCGCGCGGCTGACCGTGCTCATGGACTTCGCGCGGCCGGCCCTCGAGGGCCTCTCGTCGTCGAAGACGCCGGCCGCCGTCGCGCCGCCACCGGAGCCCAATGCGCCGGAAGCGCCCGAACCGGAGGCCGCAGCTCCGACGCTGCCGCCGCCGAAGCCGCCGGCGCCGCCAAAACTTAAAGTGGCGGCGCCCATGGCCCCGACGCTGCCGCGCGCGCCCGACCCTGAGGACGAGGAACCCTCAAAACGCCGCAAGAAGAAGAAGCGCCGCGTCATGGGCCCGGCGCGCGGGCCCTCGTCGTCCGCCGCGACGAGCGCGCTCGAGGGCGGCGACGTGGACTGGGCGCCGCCCATGGGGCAAGACGGGAGTGGTCGGACGGCGCTGAATGACAAGTTCGGGTATTAAGTTTTTGTTGTTGTACCTGTTGCAGGCGCTCCACGCCGTCGAAGCGACGTCGATATACTTTCCCCCGACACTTACACCCCGGAAAATAAGCCTAGGCCTTGGCCGGCACGGGCAGGCCCTCGCCGTCGGCCGTCAGCGCGTTCGAGTCCACCGCCATGCCCATGGCGTGGAGGCCGTTGTCGACGTAGAGCGTCACGCCCGTCACCGCCCTCGCTAAAGGCGAGAGCAAGAAGTAGGCCGACGACCCGACGTCGTCGGCATACAAGTCCTTGCCGAGCGGGGAGTTCGCCTTCGAGTAGTCGATCGCGAGATCGATGAAGGACTTCTTGCCCCTCTCGCTAATAGCGGAGGCGGCCCGGGACTTGAGGGGGCCCGCGGAGATGGTGTTGACGCGGATGCCGTACTTGCGACCGGCCTCCCACGCTAAAGTACGGGTATCGCTCTCGAGGGCGGCCTTGGCCGAGGACATGCCGCCGCCGTAGCCCGGGATGACGTCCTCGGACGCGATGTAGGTCAGGGACAACGCCGCACCGCCCTCGTTCATGATGGGGGCGCAGTGCTGCACGAGCGACACGAAGGAGTAGGCCGACGCGGAGTTGGCGCCGAGGTAGCCCCTTCTCGACGTCTCGAGGAGCGGTTTCGTCACTTCCGGACCGTTCGCCAGCGAGTGGATCATGAAGTCGATCTTGCCGTAGTCCGCCTCGATCTGCTTCGCGACTTCGGAGATCGTGTACCCATCCAAGCCGGCGTAGCGCTTGTTGGTCTTCGTCTCCTCCGGGACATCCTCAGGGGTGTCGAAGACCGCATCGAGCGGGTAGATCTTGTCGATGTCCATGGTTCTTCCACCAGACAACTCGCGGTCGGCGTCCATCTTGCCGCCCTCGAGCGACTTCTTGAAGATGGCGAGGACCGGTGGCCAGGTGCCCACAATAATCTTGCAGCCCGCCTCGGCCAGCGACTTGGCGATGGCCCAGCCGTAGCCCGTGCTGTCGGCGACGCCCGCGACGAACGCGACCTTGCCGGAGAGGTCGCCCTCCTGGGGCGCCGCATTTAAGGAGACGCGCGCCGGTGTCCGGCGCGTCGAGGTCTGGAAGGCCGTCGCGCCGATAGCGAGGGCGAGGATGGTCCTCATGGTGCTACAGGATGCAAGAGTCTTGGATTTGCGGCAGCGATCGCAGCGAAACGGCGACGCAGCGGTATGTATGCAGTATGTAGGTTGCAGAACAGCACTTGTGCTTGCGAAGGGTGCAAGATCAGGCACGCTTTGCTAAGCTCTTTGTCGCTTGCAATGTCATCAATCATGCCCACTTCGACGTCGTGGAATCGTCCAAACGAGCCATGCCTTGTGGTAAGGATGCCTGTGTAGACCACTACACGCGAGCAGTGAGTGGCTTCGCTAGCGCCTGTAAGACACTAGCCAGCCAAGCCCAGCTGGGAGCGCCAAGCTGGCAGTGTGCGCTTCGCTGTAGCTGCTGGTGCTGCTAGTGGATCACTGTGGCCAGGCCATAGCTCGAGAAACGGAAAAACGCAGCGCTTTTAGCCTCAGAAACCAGCTTTTGGCTCGGAGAGCATCTGCTCGGAGAGCAGGAGAGCAGCAAAAGGCTGCAAAAAATCACCAAAACGATCACCCTCACGCGACGCGCGAGCGTGCTCGCGCTCTGCGCCGTCCGGAGCACGTCGCTGATGGCGCCGAAGAAGCGCCCGCCGCGCGCCGCGCCGCCGAGTGCGAAGCGGGCCAAGGCCACGACGCCCGTCGTCACCATGCCACCCGGCTTCAAAGACGAGTGGCGCCTCATCAAGGAACTACGCAAGGACCGGACCGCCGTCGTCGACACGATGGGCTGCGAGCGACTCGCCGATCCGCACGCGTCGGAGAAGGATCGTAGGTACCACGTCCTCGTCTCTTTGATGCTGTCCTCCCAGACGAAGGACACCGTGAACGCGGCGGTCATGGGCGCCCTCAAAGCTCGGGGCTTATCCGTGAAACGAATCCTGGACGAGACCAGTGAGGACGAGTTCCACGAATTGATCAAGCCCGTCGGCTTCCACAACGTCAAGACGAAGAACATCCGGAAGGCGACGCAGATCCTGAGAGATCAGTACGATGAAGAGGTGCCGTCGACCATGGAGGCTTTATTAGCTCTCCCGGGCGTCGGCCCGAAGATGGCGTTGCTGGTCCTGAAATGCGCGTTTGACATCACAGCAGGGATCTCAGTGGACACGCACGTGCATAGAATTTCAAACCAGCTGGGCTGGACGGGCGGGACCCTGTGTGGAAATCAAAATGTCACGGCGCCCGCTCGAAGATTTCTACACAGGCGGCGCTCCAACGTTGGACAAGGCTGCGTTCCCCTGCAAAGACCCCGAGAAGACGCGGAAAGCTCTGGAGCAGTGGGTGCCGCGCGACGACTGGGGCGACGTGAACTGGCTGCTCGTGGGGCTGGGCCAGGAGGTCCAGACGGAGAAGCCGAAGTTGCTACGGAAGGCGCTGGACTCGTCGGATCCGGCGTATGCGGTCGCGTTCCTCGGGCGAATCGGTATGGACACTGCCAAGGTCGCGAAGGCCGAGGGGCTGGAGCTCGTAACATGACTAGTATCTCTTAAAACAAACAACAGTTGTCGCGTCGATGGCGTCAGCACTACCTCAACCGCGCGTGCCGCAGGATCGCGAGACGCGGCGCCGTCGTCGCGTGGAGGAACGGGAATTTTTTAAGATCGATCTTCAGTCCGGAAAACGCCTCGACCGTCGCGACCACGTCAAAAGCATCGTCTTCCACAGGCAGCTCCGCGAGCCGAAAGTCGAACTCGTCGAAATCAAGCAGCCCGTCGCGCTTGTCGTAGATCCAACCCGCGTGGACCAGCTCCTCGCCGAAGCGCGAGGCGCCGGTCGTGCAAGCGAGGTCGTCGAGGTGGACCCGCGCCGGCCCCGGGAGCGCATAGCCATAGTCGTCGTGCAAGAGGCGTAATGCCACGCCGCCGGGGTAGTTGTTTCGTGACGCGGGCGCGAAGATTATGAGAGTCGCCGCCGCGGTCGCCGCGACGACGCCGAGGACCGCTATCCTCAATACTCGCGACCTCCAGAGCCGCTCACAAGCAACGGCCGCGCAGAGGTTGAGCAGTGGCAAGGCCGGGAACACGAAACGGAGTTCTTTATGGGGGATAAAGCTCAATAACACGACTGAAGCCAAAGCCGAGACGAACCACGGCCGACATTCTCCTTCGAGCAGCGCGCCGACCACAGAAAGCGGCAAAGCGAAGCCCAGGGCTCGCGGCAGGGCCGACGTCGCATACCATAACGGAGGAGACGTGCCCCACGCGGCGCTCCGATCTTCCACGGGGTTGTTAAATAGCAAAACCTCGCCCTCGGGCCAGACCGTACGCCGCCACAGCTTGGAATCCACGACCACCGACAAGGCTACCGCCAGACCTACGCCGAGCATCGTGCACAACGCGCCCTTCGGTAACGGACAGCTCCTCTCGATAAAGCACCACGCCACGCCGAGCGGGAGGGCTACAGCAGCGACGTCGCACCGGATCGACGCCACGACCGCGCCGAGGAGGCCCAGCGCCGTACCTCTGTGACCGTCCAAGGCCGCGCCATACGCCCACAATACGAGAGGCAGCGCGAGCGAGTTCGGCAGGAAGCGCGACGCGTAGAACGGGCCGTGGAACTGGACCGCGGCGAGCACGCAGAGGAGGCGCCTCGCAGTGGACCCGAAGGCTCGACCTGCGGCCCTCGAGAATCGCGCGAACGCGGCCGCGGTCACGACCGCGAGGACGAGGCGGCAGCCTACTTGTGCCGCGAGCCTCGGGGCGTTTGGTGGTGGCGCGCGCGAGCCCACGACGTACCGCAAGACGGCCGCACTCGTGCCGGGGCACGCTCTAGCTATTGGCCTCAAAAACGTAGCTACGACGCCGTAGAGGAATGCGATACCCAACGCGCCCAGGAACGTCCGCGGCACCGTCCCGGGGTAGGTGTGGTGGTCCCATTCGTCGACGTCGGGTACGAAGAGCGCGTCGTGGGCCGCTTGCGTGTTGAACGACTCCTCGACCTTCGTGAAGGGGCAGGCGAGGCAGTGCGCCACCGCTGCGCCGGCGAAGAGCAAATCCCACGCGCCTGCTTGGTGCGACGGCTGCTCTGCTTGTGAGAAGAGCTGTGACGGCTGCGGCGTTGCAGCTGGTGGGGCTTTGGCGGGGCGGCGGTTACGCAGCGGCATCTCGTGTTTTCAGGATACTGCAGAGGAGCCCACAGCTGCCTTGAGCAATGCCACAGCGATGGCGGACGCAGTGCTTACTTAAAGCACTGTCGAGAATCGATGAGAAGTGTTCAAAAACGCAACTGAAGCACTTTCACCGGTGTGCCAGATGGCCTGGACTCCGCGAGAGATGCTAACTAGCGGCCCGTAAGACACTAGGGATGCCTGCAACATGTGTGCATCGCGCCGCCGCGGCGTGCGGCCGGGACGCCGGGCGGAGGGACAACATCATCGGAGCCGTCAGAACCCGTCGATGCTAGGGCAATCCGTCCGGGCTCCGGCGCGCGGCATGACCTGTAGCCTGAGCTTTACTCTGCAATCGGCAGAGCCAAAATAGGGGGTGAACCCGCGCGACGAAAGCCCCGCTCATGCGAGGGTTTACCGGCCACGGGCGCGGCCCTAGAGCGACACTAGACTGCTACGAGCCGAAAGGGCAGCCAAATGGCAGCCCAATGGACCATGAGGGGCAGCCCTGCCGGGAACCTGGACCCTTGGCGTGGCCGCACGAGGGGTCCTGGCTGCCCCCGACGACACCTCGGCGCGACGAAATCAGATAGTGTAACCTAGCTACAGCTCGTACAAAGGTAGCGCTTGTCGGCCCTGCGGCAGCTACGCTCGGCGCGGCAAGCACCCGACGCGAGGCTGCGGAACAACCAAGGCACACATAGGACCCACCGCGAGCCAGCGGAGACGAACCGAAGCGCGCTCGGGGCTGCCCCAACAACGAGCAGCTACCACCAATGGCCCGCACGGAGTCGAGGGCCTTCGACGCCTACTTCGACCCCACCTGGCACGGCGCCGGCGCGCCCCCCCGGCCCCGACCCGCGCCCTTCCACGCTGAGACGCAAGTACCCCAGGAACGGTACAAGTACTTCCAGCGGCCTTTGGTCGAGCACCTCAATCCTTTATCGACGAACGTGCTGATCGCGCCGTCCACCAAAAAGGAGGAGCTGGACGATGGCGACGCCCGCGTGAAGGATGCGGGGACGCAGTCGACGTATCGAGAGTCCGAGGCCCAAACCGACCCTTATACGCCCGCGTATGTCGTACCGGAGGGCACGGACCCCGAGGTCCTGATGCTCGAACATTTAAAGTTCGGCGAGGGGTTGCCCGCCGGCGCGCGGGAAGTGGAGAAGATCGAGCAGGCTCGGGCTAAAAGACATTTGGAGGCCAATCTCCCGCCCGCGACGGACGAATGTTCTTTAGCTTTAAGAAGAAGGCTCCTGGAATGGCAGGAGATGAAGGAATTCAACATCAAGCAGAAGGAAATTGATGACGCGCACGCGCGAAGGTTGGGGCTGTTACGGCGCGCTTTGGACGAGAGAGATCAAGATCGAGAATTTATGCAAGAGCAGCGCGTCGATACGTTAAGGCAGAAGCGGGGCGAAGTGCGAGATCGCGCGTTGGAGTCCATCCAAGCGCAACGCATCAAGACGCTGCGGAAGCTCTCATTAGCGAGGGGAAGACTCTCGCAGAAGGAGCCGTATTCGGCACCGACGCCCGTCTCCAATCTAACAGGAAAGGATGCGCGACGTAGGAAAGCGGGCCGCGACATCATTTCCGAGTACGCGAACTACAGTTCTACGCAGTACGCGCCGATCACACGCGAGGGCACGAAGCTCGACAAGGACTCGCATATTTTCGATGTTACCAGAGTCGCGCCGCACTTGAACGGCCACGGTCTTCTGAATCAGCTCGGCGACGAGCCGCCCGCTCGATTAACCGAAACCATCGTCAAGGTGCCCATTCCCCAATCCGAACTGCCCGCGAAAACGGCGGAAGATCGGCACGCGGCGACGTTACGGCAGGACCTGGCTACATTGACATCCGTCCTGGAAGACGAGAGGAATCCTCAAGCCGCAGCCGATAGGAAGGAGGCCGCGCGGCTCGCGGCTCTGCCCGCCTGGTCGCCCTCGAAGACGCGCGTCGAGGAGAAGGACGCCACGCCGGAGAAGGAAACGACGCCGGAGGACGAGGAACTGGCCGAGGCCCACGCGTACTTCGGGAATTTGCTCGAGAACGTGGAACAGGGGCGCCAGTCGATCCGGGAGCTGCGGGACGCGGCGACGACGCCGGCGACGGCGGCGGAGTTGTCTGCGGATGACGACAAAGAAGCGCGGCGGCGCGCGGTGGAACGCGGGGCCGCGGACTCCATTGCCGGAGTTGTGGCCTCTTCTCTGCTCGACTACCTCTCCAAGGAATTAGTTCGGGAGGAGGAGAAGGAGGCGCTCGCTCAGCTGGCGAAGACGGCGGATATAGAAAGACGCGCGCGCGAGCAAGCCGAGACGGACCGGCGCGAGGCCGAGGAGCGCGTCAAGGCGCGGTCCGACGAGGCTAGTTAAGACAAATTCCCACATTTAGTAGTTCGGGCTCGGGCTCGGGTCCGGGTCCGAGTCCAATAAGTCCCCATGAGGACTCCAGGACATCATCGGCCGAGGACGTCCGATCAATTCGCACTCGCCTTGAGCTCCGCGACGCGCGCCTCGGCGACGTCGCAGGCGGCGCGGAGCTTGTCGCGCTCCGCGAGCCGCCGGGCGAGCCAGGCGCTCCGCGTCGCGTCGGCCGGCGCGACATCTGCTGGTACTACAGAAGCGGAGCCGTCGGCCGCGTCGAGGCGCTCGAGCTCCTCCAAAACTGCCGGATCATCAACCAGTGTTGTCAAGTAGTCCCGGATCGCCGCCTCGCCGTTGCGCACCTCCCTCCGTAGTCCCTCGTCCACGTTCTCGGCGAGCGCGGGCCGCAGCTCCACGAATTCCGCGAAGACGTCGCGCGCGTTGAGGGCGCTCGCGCGCGCGGTCCACGACGCGGCGACCTTGCTGGCGAGGCGCTGGAGCTGCTCGTTTCGCTGCATTTTAACTCCTGAGTCTGAGAGTTTCAAAGCAAACGCAGCGGCAAGCGAGAGTTGTGCAACGAGCGTTGGCCCACGTTTCGCACGGCTGGAAAGAATGAGTCTGCCCGTATAGCGAACTACTTGGCCTTTGTAGGCGTCGTCCAGCTCTGGAGCGCGCGCGACCGACGGCTTTTGCAGGGATGCCTAGTGTCTTACTGGCCGCTAGCTCCAGGTTTTTGCGGTTTTTTTACCGTAAGCACAGCCGCTGTCTTTCGCAATCGCTTTTTGTGATCACCACTGTGCTGCAAAATTACCGCCCGGTGCACCACAAAACCCTCCCGGAGAGCTGTGCCACAGCAGAGCAGCACTACCTGGTTTTCTCCCAGCTCCAGCTGAGCAGCACTCTCGGCAGAACAATGAAACGCGCCACCCCCCAGCCCGTCGACGACGAGGCCACCACGCCCTTCATCCCGCGCAACGACTCCGTGACGAATTTGGACGCGCAGCCTCGAGGCCCCATCCGGTGGGGCGCCCTCAACCAGTCCCAGACGGCCCTCGAGGAAAGGTTAAGGACGGTCTGCCTCGCTATTTGTGCTGGAGGTGTTGTGAGCTGGGGCCTCGCGAAGCTTAAGTTCGCGCTCGTCCCGCTCGTCTTATCACTGGCGCTGCGCTACTTACTGCAGCCCATGATCGACGCCCTGACGAGGACAGCCGCCAGACGACGGTGGCGCCGCGACGAACCCTCCAAACTCGACGAGGCCCTCGCGAAACGATGTGGTAAGTTAGGCAAGGCCTGCGTGTTGATGAAGCGGAAATGTACTCGTTTAGCTTTACCTTATTCTATGGCCGTGCTCGTGTCGCTGGCTTTGGCTCTGGGTTTGTTAATCTTCGTGGCCATGCTCATCGCGGAGAGCGTGAGGGATTTCACTGGTAGAGCTGATGCATATGCGGAGCAGGTCCAGAACGCGTTGGTGATTATTGTGCGGTGGATGGACGCTTATGGTATTTCACATAAGTGGCGGCGGACGTCCTCTTTAACTCATTTGGCGGAAAAACTACAATTGAGTGCTTGGGTGACCGCAACCGTGTTCTCGATCGGAGAAGGCTTACTCAGTCTGTTGTCGACGACGTTCCTAGTGATTCTCTTCACACTATACTTGCTCTTGACACCCTCGTTAACAAACGAGGAGGAGGAAGAAGGCGACGACACGCCCAAGGCCTCGGTCTTCCAACGCAAAGTCGACCGGCAGATCCACACCTACGTCAAAGGTAAAGTCGCGCTGTCGGCGCTGGTCGCTATTCTCACAGCTGGTTTGCTCTACGCCCTACGCGTGGACCTATGGCTCGCCTTCAGCGTCGTCGCGTTCTTTGCCAACTTTGTACCTAATCTGGGCGCTATCGTGGCGGTGGCACTGCCGATGCCTGTGGTGTTGATCGACCCCGACGGGAGTCCTTTTCATTCGGGGATGGCGTTCTTCTCGTTGGTGCTGATGCACGCGCTCGTGGGCAACGTCGTCGAGCCCGTGTTTTTTGGGCATAGCATGCGCCTGCACCCCGTCGTTGTTCTACTGAGTCTGATGATCTGGGGTTTTATATGGGGCGTCCCCGGCTGCGTGCTGGCGGTGCCGATCACGGCGGTGCTGCGGATCTACCTGCAGTCGATCGACCACCCGCTGGCGTTGGCCTTGGCAAACGTGCTGGACGGCTTCGCGCGACCGGTGTCGGCGTTCCTGCCCCCGCCGAGCGAACGTCCGTCGACCGCTTACGCAGCAGTGTAATGTACGATAATAGTACATGCGTTCCGCAGCTTCGCGAATCGCGACCCCGGGCCCACAAGCTCACGCCGCGGCGAGTTGGCGGCACTTGTTGCGGCCCGAGTGCGGCCCGCCCCATCGGAACCCCGCCCCAGGCCAACGCTGTGTTGTGGGTCGTACAATACTTAGTTATGAACGCAGCTTCGCGATGCGACACGCCGCCAGGTTGCGCCCGAAGAGCGCCCGTTCCGCATCTAGGCGCTTCCGGAGCGCGTCGCGGAGCTTCAGGAGAGGCCGCCTCAACGGCGCGTGCGCGCTCACTTCCCGCGCGTGCAGTTTGAGAGATAGAGCCGCCGCCCGCGCGCAGAGTTCAACGTCCACACTCTCGTCGCCGTCCAACGCGTCGGCGAGGAACTCCAGCAACACGGCCACCAGATCCACCGGTAACACTAATAGAGCCGGCTCCAGGTCCGCCGCGCTCGTCAAATCACCTAACCTTCTCAGGACATATCTCCGCGGCGCCATGCCGAGCAATAGTGGAGACGGCGCCGGCGGTTGGGTCCCCTTCTCGAGCGCAGCCGCTCGGACGGCAGCCTCGCCCTGCGCCAGTTCCAGCGCCTCGGCTATTCTTTCCGCACCCTTCTGGGCCGCGTGCGACGTCTTGGCCGGTATGATGTGACCGGACGCGCCCGGCTGCGCCACCTCGTCGAGGCCGTCGCCTAGTTTATCCAATGTAGCATCGAGTTGCGCATCCTGCTCCTCGGACGCGAAGACGGGCTCGTCCGTGCGCGCCCAACATCTTAATGCCCGATCCGCGCCCGCCGTGTAGAGCGCGCTCCCGTCCGGGTTCGAAGCGACACTCCAAACCTCGGACGTGTGGCCCCTTCTGAATAATTGCACAAAAGGCGTCTCCAACCGGTCGCAGTCCCACTGTTTGACAGAGCCGTCCTTGCTGGTCGTGATGCAGTAATGCGTGCCCCGCAGCCACTGGAGGCCGGTCACGGCGTCGTCGTGGGCTAATATCGACCGTCGTAGGTCGCCGAACTCGAGGCCCCACAATTTTAAAGTTTTGTCCGACGAGCCCGTCGCGAGTAACTTGCCATCAGACGAACCACCGACACATAAACACGGCAGCGAATGGCCGTAGAGCGACACCTTGAACTTGAACGTATCCGCATACAGCACCCGGACACAATGGTCGGTCGTCGCGACGCAGACGAAGCCGTCCTTTCTCCCTCGCGCGTCCCGCGCGAAGGCCACCGCGAGGCATTCTTCGCCTTCGATCGGTAGGGTCTTCGCGTGCGTGAGACCGTCATCCCCATGGGTCCAGAGTTTCACCAGCGGGTCGCCCCCGCAACTCACGACACAAGTTGTGTCCATCGCAGTCGCGGACACGGCCAGGGCTAGGACGGCACCGGCGTGGGCCACGGAACCGTCGCTGTCTCTAGCTTCTTTAGTGTCACCGGACGCCGCGTCGACCTCCAACAACCCACCGCTCTTGAGGCCCGCGACCAATTTTCTACCACCCGGCAAAAACGCGACCGCGAGCACCGCCTTCGCCGCGTCGAGCGTCCTCAACAACCTCGCGTCGTCGCTCCAGATCTTCACGCACTTCGACGCCGCCGAAGCGACGGCGGCGCCGTCGTCGGACACGGCCACCGCGCGGACCGCCGACCGGTGGCCGGGCAGTTGTAACGTCCGCACCGCGGCCTCCGCGTTGTCAGCGGCGTCCGCGACGGAGCCCTTGCGCGTCATTTGTGAGGTTATTGACGCGTCTCTTAACTCCAGCTCGTTCGTCCGCGTCGACAGGACCAGCGACACCGTCGACGACGTCACGGCAACAACACAGAAGGAGCGCAGCCGGTGCTCCGACGTTATGATAGATAGGGGCTCGAGCTCGTCCGCCGCGGCCACTTCATCATTCTCATCGGTGAGGCCCTTTTCGCGCCGCCTTCGGGCCCGCCGCTTCGCCTTTTTTGCCGCGTCAGCGGCGCCTCGTACCCGAAACAACTCCAGCGTCCGCCCGTGCGTCAGGGCCGCCAGGATTCTAGGTGCCACAAACCTAAGCTGCTGGCAGGGCTCCATGGCGTGGCGTTTTATGGAACCGAGCCCGTCCAGCGGCGCCTCCGCGTCGACGTCCAGGCGCCACAACCGCAACTCCCGGTCCCCGGCGCCCGTCACGACGCGGTTCGATTCTGGATCATGATCAATACCCACAGCCACGCCGCCGCCGGCGCCCGTGATCGTTTGTATGCAGTGCTGCATTCTCGCGTCCCAGATTTTTATCAGGCCGTCGCGCGACGTCGACGCGACGAGACGCCTCCCATCGGACCCGGCCGCCCAGTCCCCGAGACACGCGAGATCCGTGACGGCGGCGCGGTGGCCCACGAGTCTGTGACTCGCGCGCTCCGCGACGACGTCGATCAGCACGATGTCGCCGTTCGCGCCGCCCGTTACGAGCGTAGCGGCGAAGGGGCACCACCGGAGCGCTTGCACCGCGGCCCGGTGGTGGTCGTGGGCCTGGGGCGTGTCCGCGTCGCCCCGCCACACGCGCACTAAACCGGACGCGCAGGCGGCCGCGATGGATCCGTCGACCGCCGCCGCCACGGCCACGACCTCGCCGCGCGGCCCGTCGAGCGGCGACGCTCCCACCAAGTCGGTTTCGTCGCCGCGTCTCAGTGTTCGAGTGCGTTCGCCCGTCCTCACGCGCCAGCAGACGACGTCGCGGCCAGCGCCGCAGACCACTTCTTTGGTGTTAGGCAGGGCGGCGACGGGCGCGCGCGGCGAGGTGATGATGCCCGCGAACCACTGCGGCGCGTAGCGGAGGTAGTTCTTCTCCATCGCTCTGTGGTTGATCAGCTGTGTAGTGCTGCTGCAAGCGTTGGAGAACTGAGGTCTGGGTAGCTGGCTACTGTTCTTGCTTATGCTACTGCTCTTGCATCATCAAAGTGAGCAATGCGGCAATGCGTCGCTCGTCGAGTGCTGCTTTTGCAAAAGGCTAGCATGCTGCAAAGCCGGCAGCAAAAAAGCTGCACAGCGCACGCGGGCACAGGACTGCAAGAGCAAGGCTGAGTGTGTTCAAAATCCAGCGTGAACGCGTGCGAAACGCTGGTAAAACGCCTACGGGCAGAGACCCAGCAGGCATAGAGGACTGCAGCACCAAGCGAAAGTTTTGCGCGCGGCACGCATGGCGCACCTCAGACGACTGCTGTGCTGCAGCAGCCTCGCGCTCGTCGCCGCGAAGCGCCGGTCGCCCAGCGAGCGGACGCCGGAGCGCCGCAGCCCGCGCCGCGGCCTGCTCTTCGCCGGCGACGCCGATCCCGAGCGGTATTACAACGCGTCCTGGACGCCGGGCCCACCCCAAGCGTGGAATTCGACGCGACGCCTCACCTCCACCAATCTGATCGACCCGGCGGCGCACGCCGTCACGAGCCTGCCCGGCCTGCCGGCCGACTGGGCCGGCCGCCACTGGGCCGGCATGGTGGACTCGGACGATCGGACGGGCGGCCGCCTCTTCTACTGGCTCTTTGAGAAAAAAGAAAGCGGGCCGGCGCCGGTCATCATTTGGCTCAATGGAGGGCCCGGCTGCTCGAGCATGGACGGGCTATTCTTGGAGCTCGGGCCGTTGAAACTTGCGCCACGCGGCGCGACGCCGGCGCTACGGACCCGCGGCGAGAGCTGGCACCGCGCGGCCCACGCGCTGTTCGTCGACCAGCCCGTGGGCACTGGGTTCTCCAGAACGTCGCCGCGCGGCTACTGCAAAAACGACCAGTGCATCGTCGACCAGTTCGAGACGTTTCTGGCGCGGCTCGCCCGGAGCCACCCCGACCTCTTGCTGAAGGATGCCGCGACGTCGGTGCCGATCTACTTCGCGGGCGAGAGCCACGCCGGGCACTACATCCCGTTGATGGTCCAGAAACTGCTGTATTACGCCACTTCTGGTATTCAGTGGGACGTGAAGGGCGCGGCCCTCGGCAACGCGTGGGTCGACCCCTGGCACCAGTACGACGCGACGCGAGCAGCTAGAGCCCTAGGCATCATCTCCGACCAAGAAGCGTCGCGCATCGTGGTCAAGGAGAAGTCGTGCCAGGCGAAACTATCGAGGGGCACGTACGTTTCGAAGGAGTGCTGGGATTTACTTGATGACGTATTACGTGTCACACGAACGCGAGCCGGGCGCATCGGTCTGGGAGCCAACCAGTACGACGCGCGCGACGCCGTGCGCTCCAGTCGCTTCTTCCCGCCCGACCACGAGCGGGTGGAAGCGTACATGAATCGTCCTGACGTGAGAACGGCTTTACACGTGGACCGGGCGTCGCAGCGGTTCCGGGAGTGCGCGGACCCGCCCTATGACGCTCTGAGACACCAGGACGGGCTCGGCGTCGTGCCTACTCTTAGGAGATTGTTAGATGGTCCAAAGGCTGTGCGCCTCCTCTTCTACAACGGCGACATGGACTTGATCTGCAACCACCTCGGCGTCGAGCGGAGCCTCGCGGCGCTGGCGTGGACGGGCCGCGATCAATTCAGAGACCAGAGGCGACGCGCGTGGATTAGGGGAGACGTTACTGTAGGCCACGTGCGCCGGGCCAAGAATCTGGAGCTCCTCGTGGTCCGCGACAGCGGTCATATGGTGCCCATGGACCAACCGGAAATTGCATTGGACATGATCGATAGCTTCATTACTGGTAAGCCGATCGGTGGCGACCCACCCGCGCCGGGCGCCTGCGCGAATTCATGCGCACTGGAGGCGCGCCACCACGGGCGCTTCCGCCGCTACCGGGGCTCCGGCCACTTCTAGTAGAGTTGTGTAACGTGTTGATCGTCGTGTACTAATACTGGCCCTTGCTCCCTTACCCTCGGTCTCCGACTCTCCGCGGAGTGCCGGGCGACTCTGGAGCATGGTCAAGTCGGTCGGGAATTAATGTAATAGCGTCATTATACTTTACCTCAATCGTGTCGTCGCTGATAGTCGCAGCTTTGGTTTTTGAGCCAAAAAAAATCACTCCCTATTACTAACCAGTAACCAGCCAGTGCTGATGAGTCGGAGGAAATTCCCCCAGGCTGTTCAAAGTCGCCTCTGCCAGTGGGTCCCTAGCTCGTAGCGAGCGTTGCTCCCCCCTCGATGTCGCGAATTTACTATTGTATTTTCTTACAATTTGCTAGTCGTCCAGCTGCGACAGCATCGCCACGCCGCGCTTGATCCAGTGCTGCTGCGTGTGCTCCTTGGCCATGGGCACGCGGATGAACATGACGAAGTTCGTCGAATGGCCCGTGGTGCTGAGGACGCCCGCTCGGGCGCTTTCCCTGTATACCGGTACCTGGTACTTGTGTGCGGTACCTCGAATCGCGCCCGTGTACAACTCGGGTCGGCCAATGACCTCCTCGATGTCGCCCTTGACCTTGGGCTGCATATGGAACATCGGACAAGTCGTGTACAATTCCCTAGGTCGCGATTCCGCAATAACATGTTTCTCAACATCCCAGCGCGCCCCCTCGAAGAACAACCCGTGACAGACGGATCCATCCGGTATTTTTTCGGCAGTAGCCTTCCGTTCCTCGTCCGGTCGTAGTATGGCAAAATCGAACGCGACCGTATCGATGGGCAACTGATACTTCCGCGCGTAATTCTGCAGCGTACCCGTAATAAACGCTTGTATGAAGTAGAAGCCGCTGATCCAGAAGATATTTGGGGGCACCAAGGCATCGAACCAGTCCTGCAGGAATTTTAGTCTCGCAATAAGATCCAAGACCCACGAGCCTAACGGCTTTCTGGAGGGGTAGGCCGCCTTGGCCCAGGCTCCGGGCACCTTGCCCGTCACCATGGAGTTGCCCATGGTCTCCAGTTCTCCGCTCATGACCACCAGACCCTTAATGGCGCGCTGCACTTCTTTTAGCATGCCCTTGATGAGGTCCGTCAAGTTGTTAAACCTCTGCAGCTCTTGCGTGAGTACGGTGTTCATGGCCTCGTCGTAGCGCACAGGGAATTGAATGAGGGCGAGTTCAATGTCGTACGCCGGCGGCAGCCGACCCTCGATGTCGGCGCTCACCTCCGCAAGTTGGTCGTCCCACGACATGCCGCCGCCGCCTCCCGACCGCGGTTGCAAGCTTAGTACCGTGTTCAGCAGGAGATTCGTCTCCCCCAGAGCACAAGTGATGTTCGCGTTGTCGTGGAGGCCGAAGAGCTCGGGCCCCTCCGTGTACGGTAGGCTGTTGACGTACTCCGCATAACTTCCAAGGGGCCCTTCGGGCGGCGCGTAATAAGTACCGGACGGAGAAAACCGGTACTCGTCGGGCTGGATGATCACGTCGTAGAAGTCCGTGAGCATGTTCGCCAGGCATCGTCGGTCCTTATCGTCCGTGACGCGCCCGCCGTAGTTGCACTCTCCAGTAAGGTACCTTAACGCAGCATACGGGACGTCCGCGTCGCTCTCGAGGTTCTCGAAGAAGATGCGGAGCTGGTCCATGGAAATCTTGAGATCCGTGCCCGAAAACACATATTTCATGTTCCAGCCGAGCGGGCCGTACTTCCGCCGTTCGCGTACCAACGCGTGGAAGAAGCACAGGCCGAACAGGAGCTTCTTGAACTCTCCGGATCTCTCAATGCCCTCGATGAACTCCTCGGTCACGACCTTCGTGTATGATCCTATTAAATTGGCTCGCACGCCCTTCGGGGGCTCGATGGTCATCTTGATGCCGTTCTGCAGGATGAAGGCCGGGAAGTGCGGCGACGGTTCCGACGTCAACCACAATCTAAATGATTCGCTGATTCTATCCGGGGAGAGTTCCTCGCATAACCGCTCCAAAGTAGGCATCCACGAAATACACAAGTGGCAATTCTGCAAACAGACCCAGGTGCCCTTGTCTTGCGCTTCGTTGATGGCGGCGTACGCGATGTCGCCCTGGCCCTGGCCCAGCGATATCGCATGCAACTTCTTCCCGCCGAACCCCTTTTCCTCGGCTAATGCAAAAAGTGCCGACATGGGATCCGCGCCCGGCGTCAGCACGAATAATAAGGGAGTGAAGCACTTCGAGTCGTCGTAACATGCCCCCAAGTCAAATTGGGGCACCTCGATGAATCGAGCGCCCATCTCGTCCTTGACGAAGGCCTGCACCTCTGGTACGACCGCATCCGGTCTGACCGCTCGTAGTAGACATAAGTGTTGAAACGCCGTATAGCCCCGATCGTTCGGTCCCGTCTTGACGCCGTCCTCATTCCTTCCAGCGGGTGGCCCGACAAGCGCCTGGATGTCCGCCATCGGTTGTTTAGAATCGTAGACGCCCTTCCACGCGTCCAACTGGCCCACGAAGGTGTCCACAAAACCGTCGAAAGCAGGTAAGTGGCCAATCGCCAGGATGTCGCCCCAGCACTTGTCCGTGAGCCAATCTGTGGAAGGTAACTCCCTTTCCCTATCCATGGCCGTGTTGCCGGCTAACAGGAACCGCAAGTGCGCCGCGTCTAATTTACCTTGCCCGGACATGATTTTGACGGTCAATAAGAATGAGAACAACAGCTTGTCCTTTTCAAACAACGACCGACACACATTCAAGTACAAGATATACGTGAACGTATTTTTGAGGTTCTCGAGGCGCTGTTCTAAATTAGGCGCGGCCTCGGCCTTTTCCATGGCGTCGACAAAGAGCGCCTGGTACCACTCCATACTATATTGATACATCGGGTCTATAACTGATAAATCCGCGATGCAGAAGAACAGCCGCGACCCATGAAAAGCTAATGGTTTATATCCGATTCTAGTCTTGGCAATAATAGCAAAGGTCTTCGCGGCGATCTTCTGCTTCTTCTCAATTTTCACCGATTTTATTTTGGAATCTTTGAGGGTCTCAATGAGGACCTCGTCGTCCAAGATGTTGCCTTCCGAGTTCTTGAGCAAGTAGAGAATCTTGTCCTCGATCTCCTTCAACGCTCGCTTGTTCTCCGCGTCCTCCAACACCAACGCTTCCCGTTGCTGCTCGAGAGCCGCTTCTTCGCACGCGACCGCCAAGCCGAGCATCTGGTCCTCCAACCCTTCGGCCGTGGCCATGAAATTCAGCAGATTCACTTTCACGCACAACTCGGGGGGATAGTGGGGGTTCCGCATCTTCGAGGTGATGAAGAGTAGGAACGCGTCGTCGTACTCGATCTCGCCGTCGCCGAACTTGAGGGTTTTCGCGCCGCCTCGGACCACGACTTGCTTCAGCAAAACAGGTTCCAAAACGGGATCTAAGACCTCGCCGACGTTCTCTATTAATACCGGAGTCCCGAATGGTATGGCATTTTCTATCGTACGGGCAAAGGTCGCCTGGTTCAATTTCACGACTTTCAACGTTTCGCCGTACGTCTTCTTGATCCACTTGTTAGCTTGACCCTGGGGATCGATCATGAGGGGCCACCGGTTGCTCCGCTCCAGCATGATGGCGTTTTCCACGCTAAATTCGTCGTTCGGCAGCTTGTTGATGACCCATTCTCGGATCGCGACTTCCTCGCCGAGTGTCGACCGTAACGTAAAGCCGTCGGTCGACGGGATCTGCTTTTCTGACAACTGTTCCTTCCACGCTACCAGAGCGTCTTCTCGGTAGGAGACGACAAATGCCCCAAGATACGCAATAACCCCAGAAGATAGTAAGATGTCACCCGTCACATTGACGTACAACCCAGCTAACTCTTGCGAGAGCGCGGACCACCGCGATTTCTCCCCACCGAGCCCCTTGATGAGCTCTTCGGCGCGTTTCAGTTGCGTCGCGCATTTGGTCACGGAAGCTTGGAGGTCGCCCTTCTTCTTGTTCGCCGCATCTAGGCCTTCCTGGAGAGCCGCCAGCTTGTCCTGCACGGCTTTCAGGGCGGCTTCCTTGCCCGCCAAAGCTTCCGAGGCCTCCTTGAGCGACGTCTCCGCGGCCTTCAAGGCTTCTTTCTTCGGCCCGACGTTCTTGGCCACGGCGTCGTAGATCATCATCGCCGTGACCCACTTACATAAGCCAGCAGCCGCAATCGAGGCTTTTTTGACAACATCAACGGAAAACATCTCCATCTGCGTGTAGCCGTTCACTTTCACGACCATTTTTTCGTCCATGTTGTCCTTGTCGTAGTCTTTCAGGTTCTGGAGGAACCGCGCGTCGCCCAGGAGTTGTTTTTGCGCCGGGCCCCAATAATCATCGATTTTCTTCGTACCACCATTGGGATCCTTGATCTTGTCCGGCTTGACGCCCATCATGAGGCAGACCGCCTCCATGACGAGCTTGACCGCGTCCGGGGGCTTCTTCATGGCCTTGACTTCGACGATGTCGCCCTTGCTGAGACTATCGAGGGCTTTGATGGCGCCCTGCAAGGCGGGCATGGCCTTATCCAGGTCCGCTTGGCAGTCGGCGGCGATTTTCGACGCTTCCGCGGCCTGCTGGTTACACAGAGCGCGTTCCTTTGAGACCACAGCCTCCACTTCGTTGGCGTCCTTCGTGTCGACCGCAATCTTATCTAAGAGTGCGTCGGTCTCGATCGTGGCCTGTTTCAACTTCGGTTGCAAGGCCACGAGCTCCGTCTGCATGCCGTCGACTTGCGCCTCCGTAGATAAAATTTTCTCGAGACCATTGTCGTACCGCAGTTTGCGCTCCATGACGTCGTTGCGCTGGGCCCCCAGCAGCTTCTTGAAGGTATTGATCAATTCGAGATAGGACGTCGGCGTCACGTAGTAGTGGCGCTGCATCTCGGCGACGTATTTCACGGCCATCCCAGAAACGCGTTCCTGCATGTCGACGCACACGTCGACCACGCCGGCTTTGACGTCCTCCTCGATATCCACGTCTCCTAAGAAGTAGGACGCGACCGACCGCAGCGCCTGCTCGGGCCACGCCGTGAACCAATCCAAAGTACAGCAATTGACTAATGCCGGGAACATGCGCAACCGTCTCCGAAACGCATCGCCAATCGGCGACATCGTGATCACCACATGGAGATTGGCCCGACACCTAGAAATGAAGTACTTGTACATCTCCGCCATGATGCCGGTGTTGACTCCTGCCGCGTTGGCTGCGGGACCCAGCAAGTCGTTGATGACTGACAGGTCCTCCTGCACGAAGAGGTTGGGCACCTCGCCCGTGTTCAGGAGTAGGTTCACATCCTCGAGGAACGACTCGTAGACGATTTGGGTATCATCAAATAAGAAGACCGTAGGCACGCCCTCGCCATCTTCCGCTCCGGCGGCCGTGAGGATGCGTTTGAGGTCCTCGCCCCACTCGTTCCTGCCATAGGACTTGCCCACGGCGATCTGGCAGAACTTAAAGTCGCAGACGTAGACGGCTAACGTCGTGAGCGATTTACGACCGGAGCCGCCGACGCCCATTAATAAAGCGTTGCCGTAGGGCTGCGAGATGATACGCGCGATCCTCGACACGTGCTCCATCGCATTTAAGAAGAGCACGAGGGCCATCCTACTCCCGCTGTTCTGGTTGTAGTCCTTGAGGAAGTAGTCCATCGACTCCTGTAAATCTTCCTCCAACAGGACCTTCTTGTACATGCGCTTCTCGGGCATCTGCTGGTAGTCGAGATACGAGCCGAACATGAGCGGTAGGCCCTTTACGCAGACCTTCTTCTCGAAATCTAAGCCAAAGGCGTCGGAACAACCCTTGGACAGCTCGGCGACGAACCAGTCGCGATCGTGGTCGTTTATTAAACGATCGTGGAACACGCGCATGGCCTCGTGGCACCACAACGAAACGAAGACGTCCTTCGCGTTGATCTCCTTCGGGCTCCCTTGCGTGATGCCCTGGAAGACCTTGGCCATGTCTCGCAGGTTGAAGGTGTAGTGCGACTTCATGGGTGTAGGAAGTAATCCAGCGGCGATGGTATCATATATATTAATGGTAGCTTCCACGACCGAACCGGACAATTGCTTCACGGGATTCGCGTAGCCCTTGCCTAGCGCCCAGTCCATGATCGTACTGAACACTCTGGTAAGTGACTCGTTGTTGAACGGCACGAAGTTCAATAGGTTATAATGTCTGACATATCGCTGCGTGATAAATGTTCTACCACCACCGGGAGGCCCCATCGCCGCCACAAATTGAATATCTACGAGTTGCACGTAGGAGTTCTCCTCGCGGTTGTACCAGCCCGCGTGGTCCATCCACTGCCGCAGGATTTCAATGGGCGGCTGGGCGCCGTATTCCTCCTTCGCAGGCATATTGAGATCATCGACAAACACGACACATTTCTTGCCGAGGGGTGGCCCCAACACGCCCTTCCGCCTCTTATCGAGCTTGCTATCAATAATATCCTGGGTTTGGTTCGCCGACGTTTGGGCCGAGAAGTTGAGCATAATATTGGTAAACTCCTCGTTGTCTCCGGACATCAGCGGGTGGTTCTTGACACCCACACTCTTCCCGGTGCCCGTGTCGCCCACACACAACACGTTCGCGCCACCATACAGGAGTTGTTCGATGAGCCACTCGTGGCGGATCGTATCTACGGTCGGGACCACGATGCTATTGAATTGCGCCTCTTTGGGGATGACGAACTTGGCCCCAGGTTCCACCCAGGACGCCCAGCTCCCGGTCTTGCCGTGAAATCTAAAGTCGTGGATGCCCGACGACGCGTCCGGCGCGAGTTGCGACTGGCGCTTCTCCAGACCGCCGTCCTCGTAGTCCGGGGTCTTGGACTTGAAGTCCTTGTACTCGTCGGAGTTGTCGATCTCCGCCGCGTCTCCGGATAATAATAACCGTAAGAACGCGTCGAACTTCTCGCGGCCTTCTTTGTCGACCGCGGCTCCTACAGACCACGTCACCGCCATCAAGAATAACCCTTCGACCGTTCGCGGGACGTCCGTGCCAATAGTCTTCGACTCTTCACACTCGCGCATGAAACAACTCAGTAATTTGAGGGAGTTGCGCATCTGCTCGTGGAGCGTGACCGGACAAGGGGTCTTGCAGAACTTATCCACAAAATAGGTGAGAGGGGGGAACAGCCACCCATACAACTCCGTGACTAGTTTCGAATGTTCCTTCCAGGGCTCTTCCAGCGCCTCGCACCAGACTTGGAGGAAGGGCTCCCAGCCGACATTGGTCGCTTCGCAAAAAATCATACCTACACGACTGACCGTGGCGGGCGACGCCTCTTCCAGATCCTCGGCCTCGAACATCATCGTCATGCGGTCCGTCATCTTGATGATCTCGCCGGACATGAGACACAGTTTTTTATTATCATCGAGCACGGTGTTCATGTTCTCGATCCAGACCGCATCCACGGGACCGTCGAACATGACCCACTGGCGGTCCTTGCCCGTGTCCATGGCGCAGTTCCGGAAGATGACCGCCAGTACACCGTCGGACCACTCGTGCGTGTTGTCGTCGAAGTTGCCATATAGTTGGCCCGCATTAATGGACTTGGGGTTCATCGTGTGGATCACCACCTTCTCGAAGGGTTCGCCTCTTTCGGCGCAGGTCGTCATCGCATCCGCTAAACAATGTACTGATGATGTTTTACCAGAGCACGTCTGGCCGACGATCATGACGCCGTGTCTTACCAAGACCATTTCGTAGAGCTGCACGATTTTTAAGGTGAAGGTCGACTTGGGTTCCAATTTAGGTTCCCTGCCAGGAGCCACCTTGACGCCGGACCAGCACATCTCGTCGATCGTCGGGATGAGCGCCCCGTGGTCCGCCTGCGGCAGCTCGACGCCGGGGAACAAGTCGGACGTAATACCCAAAAATAAAGGTACGTCCTCCACCGTGAACTTTGGTAAATTCACATCCATCACGGAACGCAAAACGACCTTGGCCTCGTCCCACAGGGGGTCGTCGCCGACCTTGAGTCGTAAGTTACCACACGCCACGAGAATGGAGTTGACGGCGCGCATGCCGTAGTCGTAGTGCTTTTGGCTCGAGCATTGCTCGGAACACAACTGTAACGTTCGTACTAGCTTCTGGGCATTAATACGAGCGGCCTCGAACCCAAACGAGTACAATCTAATTTCGCCAATCAAAGCGTAATCCGGAACCATCATGGCGCAGGGCCGGAACAGAGCTTTTAAGTTATCGGGCAATTCCGCACGGCCCGCGTAGCCCGGGTTCATCGTGATGAACGGGTTCGCGTTGGTGTTTAACTTCATAAACGTGCCCTCGAACGTGAACTTGTCCACGCCCGCGGCCTTGCCCTTGTTGATCGTGAGGATTTGCTGGGCTACGACGGACAACACCTCCACCGAAATGCGGTTGAACTCGTCGAAGCAGCACCAACTACCACAACCCGCGAGGCCCTTGAAGAACTTGGCCATGGCCTTGTAGTCTAATTGATCAGAACAGTTGAAGACGACACATTGTATCGATATCGCTTTGCTGAGATCTTTTACCGTTTCCGTTTTACCGGTACCGGCGGGACCTTCCGGCGCTCCACCGTAGAGTAGGTCAATAGCCGAGATCATCGTGCGGTAGCATCGATCCGTCAACGGTGTTACGACGAGTCTCATGGAATTGCCGAGGTACTCATAACCGTACAAGCATCTCGCATTCACGATGCGCGCAACCACGGTACCCTCGCCCTTTTTCACGGCCTGGCCGTCCTTCCAGGCCGGGCCCCAATAATATCTCATCTGCGACTGCCACTGGAAGTCGGAGCACTTTTCAATCAACCCAGTAACCATCGTGACGTTCGTGTCTCTCGAGTGAATGTCCATCACGACCAACGCTGATAGAGTTTTTCGTTGGAGTTTCGAGAGTTGACCTCTAACAAGCATGACAATATCAGTTAAACCTTGATTCAAGTCCAAGACATACTTGTCCAAGCCCTGGTGGCCGCCGGCGTCAATCGCTTCTTCCGTTTTTTGGGTCCAGAAGATTTGCGAGACGGCCAAAATAGCTTGGGCCGGCCACTTGATGCACCAGTCGATGCGCTTTTGCTTCGGGTAGTCCTGCAAAGCTAGTTCGACTTGGCGTCTCACAGAAACCCACTGCAGGCCCTCTAGCTCCAAGAGCCATTTTTCCACATTGCCCTTGTTCGGACCGGACTCGGGGTCGATGGGTGTCGTTAAATCCACTCGTTCACCTTCGGGCGAGATCATCTGCGTGATTTTCAGGTCCTTCTCGAACTTGATGGTGTTTAAGCCTTCGAAACACTTGCCTAGATGAGGCTGCACCGCTCGCGGTTCCTTCGACTGCGAGAGAATTTCAAGCATCTGCTCATCCGCTAGGAAGAAGAAGCGGGGAAAGTACAACCGCTTCATCTCCAGGTAGTCGGATAAGCCCTTCTGGATCTTGTCCAATTTCTCGTTGGCATCTTGCATCTTCTTGACTAACTGTTTGGACGGCTCCGCTTGGCTGATGAAGACGGGGTCCTCCTCGGTCGCCTTCATCGTCGACCGCCACAATTTATCGACGTCATTGAAGCGACGAGCCTCGGTAGGTAACTGGCGCATGATGTCCTCCGACCCGAAGATGGGCTCCAGGTACATCCAGACGCGCTGCATGGCGATCCACTCGTCCACCAAGTTCTGGGCGTACTTGAGCTGCGATTCCCAGCCGCGCGCTTCGCCCTCGATGGCCTTGATGTACATGGACCCGCACATGGTCTGCGTCTTGACGATGTGGTCATCTAGTAGAGCTATAATTTCATCAATACCGCCCACGATCGACGTGCCCGTCTCCTTGTAGGCCTTGACGTCGAACTCGATCTCGGCCCATTCTTGTTTCATAGCTTCCAAGTTCTTCTCGAGCTTGTATTCCTTGTCGGCGCTCACGGTGATTTCTTGCACTTCATCTATTCTATCTTGAATATTTAGATCCAGCAGGAACTGTAGGGTTAACTCAGTACCGGTATTCTCGTCATACGGTACGATGGTCGTACCGAGCTTGTCCGACAATCGGACCCAGTGCCTGTCCTTCAAAGCGGGATTCGCCAGCGCCTCGATAATCGGTAAGTTCTTCTTGAACAAGGCCGTCTCATCGCGTAAAGCTTGCGCACATTCCGCCGCTTCGGGGCAGTCCTCCTCGAGAGCAGCTTTGAGCTTGTAGCTCCCCTTCCACCACGTGTCGACCTCCTTCTTGATTTTAGGAGCGTCCAATTCCATGAAATTGCCATGCTTATATTCATGTTCATTCGCGTGGTAGTCGCTGATCATGTTCCAGAGGTCCCAGTACGGGGCTAACTCCTCCTCGGCCACGTCCAGCTCCAAAAATTCGGTGGGAGGGAACCCAAAGACCTGTTCCCGATCGTTGAACGCTTTGCCCTTGGCCTTGGCCTCCAGGATAGAATCCTGGATACCGTTGACGATCTCCACATATTCCGCCTCTTTTTCGTAGTCGTCGAACCCCTTGGCTTGTTGTACGCGTCGTATGAACTCGGCCAAGTTCATCTCGAACTCGTTCTTTTCTAGCGCGAGCTTGTCGATCATCTTGATTTTGTCGAACTCTATTCTCGACTCCGCTTCACTGGAAGCGTCGTGGACGCGCTTCGGGTACTCCATCGTGCTCCAGGCCAGGTGGACGTCGTCCTTTGACAGTTCAATGCCGTACTTGTGGAAGGACTCTAGTCTAGAGAACATCTTGTCTCCTCTCACGAGTGTTTCTTGGACCTCTAGTCTTGTATCAGCGATGAACTGTTTGAGAGCGGCTAGCTCTTCTTCGTTCGCCGGCTTCTGGACTAATTTCGCGAGGATTTCCTCATACCTTTCAATCGTAGACTCGTTCTCCTCTCGCGTCGTGTCTAGGATGTACGTGAGCAAAGCGTTCCGCACGTCGCGAGCTTTCGAAGCTAATTGCTGCTTGATCTCGGTGCAGTCCACGTTCAGCAAAGAAAACAGCTCCACATCTTCGGACAACGATTCGATAGACTCGGCGGCGTCGTGGAACTTCTTCACTTCCGAGACCCAGGCTTGATCGATCGACTTCTCGAGGTTAATCGTAGCTTCGTGAATAGCTAACTCCTTGGCCTCTCGTTCTTCTTCCTTCTCGTCCGGTAAGTCGTGGGCGGCATCTAACGCCTTCTGGGCCTCCTTGCCCACGTTCTTTGCGAACTGCTTCACATGCAACGTCGGGTCGGCGGCGGCGACCCACGCGTAGTCGTTGTATTGTTCACAAAGGGCTAATGGGGCTTCTAACGCTTGTTCTAGCAAGTATTTGACGTCGTCTGATGCCGTGTCTATCGTATTATCGATATCGTTGCACAATTCGTCATCACGCTTGACATTTAACAACGTTCGTTCCGGTAGTTTGATCAGGGACATCAGGTCCGAATCGCACGTTCGTAACGTTCTTACAATGTCGACGGGCTCCATGATTCGAGCTAACAAAGCCACTTCCAAATCTTCGGGTGTAGGGCTCAGCTTAACCTTTGGCACGCCGAACCGCGACATCCTGCCCGACGAGTTCATGGCGTCCTGCACGTCAAAAGCGATGTTGAGCGAAGCCTGGAATAAAGGTGGAGTACTTCTACCCTCCGTCGCGGCGCCCTTCTCGCAGAAGCGCTCGACAAATGACACCCAGTCACTCACAGACAAAGATAATATATCTCTAAGTTGCTGCTTCTGCCGCAGCTCAAAGTGCCTCAGTAACTTCTTCAGGTCACCTCCCTCATACCTTTCTTCATCAGACTGATAGAAGTCGAAGGTGTCCTGGACGTTATCAACCACTTGTTCGACGAACGCTCGGCGCCACTCGCTCGTCAGCTTGTCGCCTAGCTTTTGGCAGTGTTCGGCTTGGGCCGTGGCAAAGTCTTCTAACACACAAGGTAAGGTGAAGGGTAGGGCTCCTGGTCTCGTGTCGCCGCCGTTCACGAGCGGCGAGATAGATTCATCTATATCTTCCTCTACTGCCTCTTGGAGGGGGTTCTTCCAGACGCGTTTCCTCTCTTTGATTCTATCTAAGGCTGCTCCATCGTCCGGTAGTAACATGAAGCGCGACTGGAGAATCTTCTCCCACGTCGTCGACAGCCACACGAAGCTATCTAATACAGATTTGTGGGCTGATAAGTGTCGTGCCGCTATAATAGCTCGGTTATCCTCATAGGAGTGCGAGGGGATCTGCACTTTACCTAACTCGGGTGCTGGCGGTAAAGGTGCTACCGTATCCTGCGGGAGTTTCAACCTATCGAAATCTCTTTTGAATCCCGGCTCGTTGATGTACTTTCGTCGAATGATGGTCTTCTTCATGGCTCTCGCATACGCTTGAATGACGTCCGCCGTTAATGTCCTTAACAGCTGGCCCATTGGAGTCCCGGGCTGCGGAAAGGGCATGGACACTAAACCGTCGTTGACGCGCGCATGCACGCCTCGCAGCGTCGTCTGGGCGATGGCTCGGACCGTCGAGGCCGGCTGCTCGCTCACGAAGTAGTCCAGCCTCAAGTTTCGCTTGACGTTTTCTCTCATCGCATGTGCAGAATTTCTACGATCATTCCAGGCCTTCTCGTCTTCTTCGGCAAACCGAATGTTCAGGCGGTGGGCCATGCGCTCCTTCTGGCCCATTTTCACCTTGAACTGGCGCAGTTCAGCATCGTACGAAACAATTTTAGCTTTTCTCCACCTCCAAGTACCCCCAGAAGCACCTTTGGCGTTCATCACGAAGTAGGCCGCGAAGCCGGGCACGAAGGGCTCGTCCTTCGGGTTCTTGCCCTTTTTTGCAGTGGCCATCCACTCCTCCGGCGACTTGTCCAGTTCTTCGTATTCCGCGGAGTCGAACGTTTCGATGGGCAATTTCGACTCGTCTAATCGCAGGAATAGATCCGGTTGCTTCATTTCTTCGACTTCCTTATCGAGTAAATCAGGAGGTAGGGGTGGCGGTCCCGCACCGGTCACGCCGTCCCAGCCCAAGTCCGGATCATTTTCGTCGGGTTCCTTAAACTGGCGGTGCGTGCCGTGCATATAAGCATACCTCGCAACAGCGGAGTCGTCATACACGTCCGTCTGGAGCAATTCAAAGGGAAACGCGCGCGGCGACTCAGGCTCCCGCGCGTCCGCCTTGCGCTGCCTTTCAGCAGCTTCATCCTCCAGCTGGGCGAAGGTCTTCCAGCCCATCTTGCGGTTGTTGGCATCTAAATAATCTTTTTCGGCGACGGTCTTCGCGGCCGCGATTTTTTTGCGCTTGACATCTTTGGCGCGTCTAGCGCGCTTCTTCGCTTCCAAGTTAAGCAACCATTGGGGCAGGGGCCGCTCCTGCATGAGCGTCTCCTGCGTCGGCATCGTTGCGGCTGCCCTGGGGCTGCCTTAGCCCCAAGGACCAGCTCGGCGCGGCTGCGTCGAGCGCTGCAGCAACGGCTGCCCCGGCTCGTCCGCGAGCTTGCCGATGCGTGCGAGGGCGCCCGGGCAGTGCCAACCCTGCCTTAGCGTGCCCTTTTGCCGGCTTTCAGCCGCTCGGCGCTGGGCCTAGCCTGTAAGTCAGTAGTTAGCCTTCCTCGTCCTGAGCAGGTCCCGCGGTTCCCGCGGGCCCGGTAGGGTGGCGCGGGCATGCGGTGGCCGGCGTGTTTTATGCCCTCGAGGCTCGAGGGATGGGCCCTGGCCTCTGGCATGGGCAGCCCGGTCCCTCCTGGGAAAGCTTCTAGTACAAAGGCTGCTAAGCTTCCGGCCGTTCGTCAAAGGTCGCGTAAAGCCCCCGCAGTGCCCCAAGAGCCCAAGCCCTCCGACTGCTGCTTCCTAGTGTCTTACAGTGCTAGGTAATAGCTGCTCTTTGCTCTAGCTCTTGCTGATATACGAAGCCTAGTAGCTCCAAGTATCGATAAAACCCATTTGTGTAACACATTTCTGGTGCAGTTCACGTCTGCAGCAACTGAGAGCGATTGCTTGCAACAAGCAATAGCATCACGAGTGCTGCAGCCTTCAGAGGCGACGGGAAATACATTGGAGACGGCGGTGGGGCGCTGCAGACACTGCGGTGCTACTGCGAGTGGAAAGAAATTCGAAACTGCCCGGGCCGCTACACCGTAAGACGGCGGCGCGACCTCGCGCGCTGGCCGCCGGAACGCCTGCTCGCCGCGGCACTAGGCGCAGCCGCACCGCAAACCAGCCTCTGGCGCCACAGTAGCAGTACAAGTGACGCAATCCACGCCGTGCGTTTCGCGGGCGGCGGCGGCCTCCTCACGTATGCGCGCGCGGACGGTACGTTCATTCATACGTTCAACACGGAGAGCGGCCTCCTGCGCAAGATTGCTGCGCTGCGCGTGACGCCGGAGGTGCCTCAGCGTGCGCGCTGCGTGCTCGGCGTCCTTGCGTTCCTCGACGACCGCGACCAGAACGCGTCCGCCTATGCCCTCGTAAGGCGGTTTGATGGATGAGGCGAGCCTCGCACAATTCCGCGCGGCGACGGCGCCGAGCCGCCGCGTCGCGAATTTGCGCCACGTCCGCGATTGCGTCATCAAGCGCGACGCGGACCCGTACTTAAGACCCGCGGAGGTCCTCGCGTTGCTCGAGCCGGAGCGGCTGGGCGCCATCGAACTTTATGCTGCGGAGGACCCGGAGCCGCAGATACGTAAAAGTAGAACGATCCCGCGCATCAAGACGATCGAGTTCCGCTCATACATGGACCGCAACGAGCCGTGCCTGATCGAAGGTATTGGGAGGGACTGGGGTCTGCGGGAGTACGTCACGGAAGGCGTACCGGACCTCGCCAAACTCGCGGAAACGTACGGTAGGGTCCAGGTGCCGGTCCAGGACGCCGGCGTGGCGAAGATGATGCCGTTGTCACAGTTCGCCCGGGTCTGGCGCGAGAAGATTGCTGAAGGCCGGCGCTACTATCTTAAGGACTGGCACTTCCGCCTGGACGGCCTCGGTCATTTGGCGCCCGTTCCTGAAATCTTCGCGGACGACTGGCTGAGCGGGGCCCGCGACATGGACTACCATTTCGTGTATCTCGGCGCCGCGGGCACGCGTACGAAGCTGCACTGCGACGTCGTCAACAGCTTCTCGTGGTCGGCGAACGTCTGCGGTTCCAAGCGCTGGCGGTTCTTACCCGCGGCCGAGACCTCTTTGCTACGGGACGTGTTCGGCGAGGACGTCGCGTCGAGCTTCGGGCCGTCGTCTTCAGAATATCCGCGGCGTGGGAAAGCACGACCGATCGAGGTCGTGCAGCAGCCCGGGGAAGCCATTTTCGTGCCTTCGGGCTGGTACCACGACGTGGAGAACCTAAACGACTGCCTCTCCGTGAACTGCAACTGGGCGAACGCCTCGAACTTGTTGTGGTGCGGACCGCGCCTCGTCGACGAAGCAAACGCGGCGCCGGGCGAGGTCTCGACCTCCCATTTCCTGCGGCGCGTCGCCGCGCGCGCCGCGTCCACACAAAGCCCGCGCGACCTCGCCGCGGCGGCGGCGGCAGCGCGCGCGCTGGAGGGGCGCGAGGGCGACGCGGCGGTCGCGCTCGCCGCCGCGGCCGACGCGCGGCGCGCGGCGCTCGTCGACTCGGACTCGGACTCCGGCGAGGACTTCCTCGGCCGCGTCGGCGCGGACTTGTTCGAGGACGATGAAACGCCGCGGCGGCGGCCTACGCGGCGCGGCTGGACGCCGGGCTTCCACGACGTGGTGGACCGCGGCGTGACTAGCTTTGAGGCTGATGTGGGTGGGCGTAGAGTGTGTTGCCGCTTGGGCTACCGCGAGAGCGGCACCGGGTCTAGTGTTTGGGACGGCGCCGTCGTCCTGGCGCGCTTTCTGGAAACGCACCCGTCCCTCGTCCGCGGCAAGCGGGTCCTCGAGCTAGGCGCGGGCACGGGCTTTGGCGGGCTCTGCGCGGCGGCGCTCGGCGCTTCAAATGTGACGCTGACGGACATTGAAGCGTGCCTGCCGCTGCTGCGGGAGAACGCCGCGGGCGTCGACGGGGTGGTCGTTGAGGCGCTCGACTGGACCGAGCCCGTAGCCCCGTCGCAGCGCGCGGACGTCCTTCTCGCGGCGGACTGCCTGCTCCCGGGCCGCGAGGGCCTCTTCGCGCCGCTCGCGACGACGCTCGCGGCGCTGCTCGCCGGGGACGCCGTCGCGTACTTCGTCTACGAACAGCGCTGCATGGACTGTGGGCCCTTCTTCGAGCTGCTGCGCGGCGCCGGCGTCGCTGTATCCTGTATTCCGGACGACGACCTGCATCCGGAGTACCGAGCTCCCGAGATACGGGTGCTCGAGCTGCGACGAACCTAACTTGAATGTTGAAAATCATTATATACACTACTACTACGAATTTCAAAGCCGCGAGAGCACGAATGCGATGGCGCCGGCGTGTACGGCGGACACACATACGCACACGCGTCGACGTCGACGGCGTCAGCGCCAGCCTCGCACGAGAGAGGTGCTCAAGCGCGCTGGCGCTTTTTTTCGACCCAGGCCTGAAACTTGGATAGGGCCGCATCTAGAACGTCGCGGCCCACGAACGCGTAGCAGATGCGGAACCAGCCCGGAGATACTGCGTGCTGCGCCTCGCCCGGCGTCAGGACCACGCGGATCTCCGTCCGCAACTGATCGTACAATCGAGCTTCCGCGGCCCACGACTTCTCGTCTAAGAGTGAGCTTAAATCGCACCAAAGGAACATGCCCGCGTCCGGCACGTAGTAAGGTAACGAGAGCGAATCCATCATCGCGGTGCACGCCGCACACGACAACCGTAACGCTACGGTATTTGCTCGTAAGTAATCGTCGCAGAACGCGTCGTCCGACAATAGCTCCGTGACCATCGCTTGGCAGACGCCCGGCACGCAGCCGAACATGGCCGCCGTGCCCAACGCTTGTCGTAACCGGTCGTTCTGCGTCCACACACACCCAAACCGCAGCCCGCTCATCCCGAAGTCCTTGGACAGGCCCCAGACCACATGACGTCGATCGCCCAAGGCGCCCTTGGTTATTCGTCCAAGCGAGACGAACGCGTCCCCTTTCAGGAGGGACAACGCGTAGACCTCGTCCGAGACGAGGTGCATCTTCTTCGACTCGCACCAGCCGACGGCGAGTCTCAGTTCGTCTTCCGTCAAGCAGCGGCCCGTCGGGTTGTGCGGGTTCGTGAGCAGGAGGGCCTTTGCCGTTTGACCGCTCGCCGCGTACGCCGCGTCGAGGGCACTCCGTGTCAGCGCGAAGTCGCCCTGTCTTAATCGAACTGGAATTCTTTTCAGGGCGCAGATCGCTCCTAAATCAGCGTCGAACGCGGCGTAGTAGGGCGCCGGTATTAGTACAGAATCGCCCGCCTCGCAGATCGATAGAAACAAGTTGTTCAGGCAGGCCGCGGCGCCCGCCGCACAGGAGACGTGGTCACTCACGACGCGCGGCCGTTCGTCCCTGATAATGCGCCGATCCAAGAACCGCGCCAGCGCGGCTTTCAACTGCGCGCAGCCGTCCATGGGGCCGTAGTTCGCCGTCCAGTCGGGAATCTGTTTGAGGGCGGCCTCGACGCGCGGCTTCAGGCGCGGCCAGCAGAGCTTGTTCTCCGCGACGGCCAGCAAAATCACGCCCTTGCCCGTCGTCGCATCATAAGGCTCGGCGAAGCCCTCGAGGACGCCGCCCATGTACGGGAGCGCGGGTCTTGTAAGTCTGGAGCCGCGGCTCGAGAGGCTGTCGTTCTTGTCGTTCTTCTTGCGTTTTCGCTTCGGTCGCTTGCTCCTCGCCTTCGCGGCGGCCGGCGACGGCATGAGCGTTAAAGCTGCCGCGAGCACTGCCACGCCGCACGTCGCGGCGGCGGCCACGATGACTTGGGCTCGGGCGGAGAGCTGGCGGACCATATCTTAGCGTTGAGGCTTCGGGTGTCTGAAGCTTGACGCTTGAGAGAGTGGTTGTACAGAGGGTTGTTGTTGGCCGCCTTTTTACCGCACCGCTCAGCGTGAAAGTTGGCACACGGCGGCGGAGAGGTTCAGAGGCGCGTGTCGACTCGTCAGGGAAACGTCTGGGCGCTCCGCGCCGACGATTTCACCGCTGCAGCAAAACCAACCTAGCGTCGCGTAAGACACTAGCCCAAAATGCTCTCCGACCCCTAAGTTGTTGAACAGCTCACTGTCACGTGCATTTGGAATTGCCTACGTTGCTCGTACGGACTCCTACGAACACCGGCGCAAGACCTCTCTGTATTTCGCATCTACACGTTTGCTTCCAAGCACTGATACCCACTGTGAATCAGCAATGTCTCTCCTGAACGTCGAGGCCATCCTGCGCATCGGCGCCTGCGGCTGCTTCATCGGCCACGGCTGGATCGCCGCCTTCAAGCTCGAGTTCAGCGGCTGGAAGAAGTTTTTGTTCAGCGCCGGCTTCAGCGAGGCCGAAGCCCACGTGCTCATGCCGATCATCGGCTGGATGGACGTGCTGCTCGCGCTGGCCACCTTAATAAGACCGGTCGAGCTCTTTAGCGCGTGGATGGCGGCGTGGGCCTTCTCGACGGCGCTCGTGCGGCCCTTCTCGGCCGGCGCGGCTCGAGCCTTCGCGCCCATGTCTGACAACGCCTTGTGGGGCTTCGTCGAGCGCGCGGCCAACTGGGCCTGCCCGCTCGCGCTGCTGTGCCTGCAGAAGGCCGACGGCTACGAAGCGGCCGACATTACCGGATTGGGTTCGTACCTGGCGCCGCTCGACGCGCTGAACACGGACAAGGACCTGGCGACGCTCTTCAAGTATATCTGCATCATGGTGTGTGTGGTCTGGGCGCCCGTGCCGTTATTGCGGGCGCGCGGCAAGAACAAGAGCGCGTGAGCCCGGACGAGCGGTCGAGCAACCCCTTCTCCCGCGCGCCGAGAACCCAGATGTATATATATTCAGTACAAGTAGAGATCGCTAGTCCGGAAACGGCTAGATTTGTGTTATGTGCCTTTCCGCCTTGGGACGAGCCCGCATATTGCCGCAACAAGACAGCCGTGCCGCGAAAAACACACTTCTCGCACCGAGCACCATGGACCGGCTGCCCGCCGCACCGAACGCGCGCAACAGCCGCTCCCACAGCCGCTCCCACAGCCGCTCGCGCAGCCGCTCGCGCAGCCGTTCGCGCAGCCGCAGCCCGCTGTCACAAGCCTCCCGATGCAAGCGCACGTCGGGAAAAGCCTGGTCTCGCCAGCCGACCCAAGTCGAGCAGCTCACGGGCGAGTTAGGCCTGACGCGCCTGACGGCGCGGGGCGTCACCCCGGTGACGCTAAAGGAGATGTTGGCAGAAGTGGGACCCAAGACGCAAGACGCTTTCTTTGACCTCCTATATAAGTGCAATATTAGAGATCTCGACTTCGAGTTTGAGCAAACGCTCGATCTCGAAGTGTTGGCCGCCGAGACGGGCCCGGAGACGATGCCCGCCCCTCATCTGCTGAATATCGTGTTAGCGGTTCTTGCTTCGCGCGACGGCCAGCAGGCCGCTAGTGATGGGAAGAAGGACTTGAGCCTGAGCCCCTCATCTCTCGGACCGCCCGGCGGCGGCGAGGGCGGCCACGGGTATGCCGACGACGAACAAGAAAAGTACCTGCGAGACTTGGAAGCTGACACCGAGGCTCATGTACGAAAGGCTCAGCAACGCATAAGGGAGCTGGATCGGTTGCGCGTCGAGACGGCCGCGGAATTTGCACGAAACAAGCACAAGATCAAGACCGTGATGCGCGATTTTGATCGCATGGCGCAGGCCCAGGGCTACGCGGGCGCATTCGACGATGGCTCGCGGGGGCCGCACCACAAGAACGCTCCGGCGCCGCGCCGCTACGTCGACCGGGCGTCGGGACTGCCGTACTGGCACGACGCGGCGACAGGTAGGTCGTACTGGGACGAAGCGATGACGACGGAGACCTTGGTTAGCCGCGGGCGCCGGCGCCAACCTGCCGCCGCGGCGCCGGCGCCCGCGGCCGCGAAGGTGGCCACAAAGGTTAGACCCTTCATCACCCCGATCAACCCCGACAAATACGACGTCCGGCTCTAGACGCCTAGCTCTAAGCCTAGTCCCTAGCATAAGCATCCCCCCCTAGCTCTAAGCCGGAGGATGCCGATCGTGAGGTAATCGTGAACGCCGAATGCCACGACGACGAAGAGACGTAGGAGCCAAGACTCGTCCGGAAATAGTTAGGTGTCACGGTCGCGGGTTAGGGGAGAGAGGACTCGGTGAGAGGAGCGCGCGTGCCTAGGCCTCGGCCGGCGCGGCTGCCTTCTCGGCGTCGAGGAGGAGTTTGAGGCCGTCGTAGAGGGCCTGGACGATGGCGGACTCCTTGATGAAGAGCCGCGCCGAGGGCGAGATGTCGACGGTGCCGTCGGCGCCGATGGGCGTGTGCTCGCCGCCCGTGCCGCGGACGCTGAGGCCGAGCGGGCCCGCGATCTCCTTGGCCTTGGCGTCCGTGCCGTCGGACGTGAGGTTCGGGATCTTGACGTGGACGGACGCGCGCATGCCCGTGCCGAGGTTCGTCGGGCACGACGTGACGTAGCCGTACGTGTCGTCCTTCGCGAAGTCGACGCCCTCGATGGACTCGACCGCATCTAAGAGCTCCTTGAGCTCGTTGAAGACCTCGTTGAGGAGGAAGCCCTTCTTCATGACCATGATGCGGAGCTGGTCCTCCTCGCCGAACCAGACGATCTTCTTTTTATCTTCCGACTGCCAGCAGCCGCGGCCGTAGGGCCAGTCGTTGGCGATGCCCGCCGACGCGAGGTACGTGTCCGCCGCCATGTCCTTGAACATGACGTGCGCCGCCACGAGCTCGTTGTACTTCTCCTCGTCGATCTTGTTCGGGTGCTCGACGCCTTCGCCGAGGTCGGGCGAGTAGGAGTAGACCGTGCCGCCGAACTTCTCCTTCAAGGCGTCGAAGGAGCCGGTCATGGTCACCTCGAACTTGATGCGGTCCTCCTTGGTCATGGCGCCCGGGAGCGGGAACGACGCGAGGTTCCGGCCGACGCGCACGCGCATGGACAGCTCCTCGGCGAGGCCGAGCTTCTGGAGGTCCAGCACACCGCCCTCGCCGACGCCCGAAATGTCCCAGTCGTTCTCGTGCTTCTCGGCGCAGGCCGGGTCGCCCTTGTGGTAGTCGCCGATCGCCTTGGCGAAGAAGGGCGCGAAGGTCGTGTAGTCCGTCGGCGTCATGGCGTAGCAGCCCATGCCGGAGTCGGCGTTGTCGAAGCCCGTCTTGATGCACTTGTAGAAGGTCTCCTTGTCTTCATCACTTAAGCCGTCGTAGTAGGCCTGGTCGAAGTACCTGCGTGTGCATGGCATGAGGCGGGGCGTTCTGCGTTATCGCGGCGGCAGCGGCGGACAAAGCAATGCGCGGCGCTGCGGCGTCGGGCACCGCCGCGTCGACGGCGTGCTCCCAGCGCCCGCTTGCCAAGATCCGTGCCGCCGCCGACGGGGCGCCGGCAGGCGAAGCAATGCACGCCCGGTGCTGGGAGGGGCAGCCCCCGGCCGTGGGAGAGCACAGCGCCACCGGCCGACGGCGCCGCGGCGGCGGCGGACGGGGCGATGCGTGCCCGGTGCCGGGAGGCAAGGAAAGGGACGCTGCTATTCACTTAGCGGCGCGGTTGCCGGGGTTGGACTCGCGGAGGGCCGCGGCCTGCTTCTCGAGCTCCTCACCAGTGGGCGCCATGTGGTCTTAAAATTGCTACTTACTGGCCTCTCGTTTTTGCGAGAGCCTAGGCAGCGCCCTTTCTGCACCTTCGGCCTAGCGGTTACAAATTCTGAGATGCCGCGGTCGGAGCCGTCGCCCGGGAGACGCCGCCCGGGAGCCGGTCCGAAGGCCCCCGGGCTACGAGCTCGCCGGTGCATCGGCGACGCGCGCGGTGCCTGTCTTCTCAACTACGCGTGCCCGATGAATCAACGCGGGATACCCGACTAGTGGTACCGACTAAAAACCACCCCTTACTCAGACGCTCGCGAACGCGGACTCGATCGGCGTCGTCCCGCCGCCCTCGCCCTCGATGATCTCCACGACCTTCTTCGAGGCCTTCCCGTCGGACAGGGCCTGAACGCAGACGTCGGCCACGAGGTCTCGCGAGACCTCGCCGGCGTTCAGCGTGTCCTCCTTCGATACTTTGAGCGGGCCCGTCGGCGGCTTGGCCTTCAGGCCGCCCGGTCTTACAATGGTGTAGTCCAGTCCGGAAGCTCTGAGATATTTCTCGGCGACGATCTTCTCATCTAAAACATGCCCGAAGGCGTTCGTGACTTGGAAACCGGGCGAGTTCTCCTGGCCCCACGCGCGGCCGTTCGTCAGGATCGAAGACACCATCACGACCTTCTTCACCCCAGCCTTTTTGGCGGCATCCACTAACGCGACAGTCCCCAAGTTATCGACGGCGTGCGCCTGGGCGTCCATCTTCAGGGGATTGCCCGGCACGAAGCCCGTCGCAATAACTAAAGCGTCACTCCCACTGAGCGCGGCGGCCATGTCGTCGACGGACATGGCCACAACATCCAACTTCGCTAATCTCACACCCTTCGTGTCCACCGCGTCCACCTTCTGGACCATGGCGCCTCGGACGACCGTGCTGGCCTCAGCGAGCGTCTTCTCGGCTTTCTTCGTGTCGCGCACGCCGGCAACCACGGAGCCGCCCTTGGCGGCGAGGCGTTCCAGCACTCTGCGTCCGGTCTGGCCCGTGGCGCCGGCGACGAAGACGGTGGCGGGCGCCGCTGACGTGCGCATCATCTGCTCCGCAGCGTTGGCGGGCAGGGCGCAGCCCAGGGGTGCCGTTACTAACCAACGGCGGCGGAGGTCGAGCGCCGCCGCCGTGTGCAGTGTTAGGAGCATCCATGTGGTGCTGAGGGGCATGGTTGCCCTCTCTGTGTTTGTGAGTGCACTGATGCCTCACTAGCGTCTCTAGTGTGTCAATGGGACGCTAGCTGCTCTGCACTCGGCGGTTGATGAGTTAACAAACAAGATTTAGTCTTCGTCCTCCATGTCGTTCAGCAGCGCCTTGCCCGCTTTGAGCGCGTCTTCGAGGTGCGCCAGGAAGCTGACGAGCTTCGGGCGCGGGCCCTTGCCGAGCCCCTTGACGACGCCGACGAGGCAGGGCAACGATGCGGACGGCGGCACGCACGCCCGCTCCGCCGCCGCCCGCAGGCGCGTCGCGTTCCCGATCAAAGTCTTGATGAAGCCGAGGCGCGCGGCGCCGACGTAGCGCTCCATGCCCTCGATGAACGACTCGTTCTTGAAGAGCTCCGTGAGCGTCGTCGGCCAGAGGACCATGGCCTCCGGACACGACGCGCCGCCGTCGTCCAAGAGGCGGTGGAAGCGCCAGCGGCCGCGGAGGACCCGGAGGTGCCTCTCCTCGAAGACGACGCCGTGCCGCGCGTTGATGGCGGCGTCCATGAGGCCGTTTGCGAGCGCGAGGCTGTTGTAGACGTCGAGAAATACTAACGACTTGTCGGCCGCGACCCGCGCCTCCGCCTCCTCGTAGGTTCGTCGCAATAGCTGGCGGCGCCAGGGTAGTGGCATTATCATCCACTAACGCGCAGCGGCGTCGGGTAGCCCAGCGCCGCGGCCGTCGCGGGGAACTGCTGGCCGGCCTGCTCGGTGAGCTCGTCGGTGAGCTTGCTGATGTCCCCAAAATAGCTGCTCATGTTTTGTGGTCCAGAGAGCAGGCTCCAGTGCGGTTCAAATTTGGCACAGCGCTGCGCGAACCGTCAGAGCTTACACACAGCGTGTCCACGCGTTCATGCTGTACGCTAGGCCAGCCATATCATGCCGATAATGGTCCACAAGCCGGAATTCTAGTGTGTCAAAGACGCGCTAGCTCATTATGGGTTGTTGCAGTCGAGTGCAGCGCTAACTACACGTACTCACGCGTGGCACACGCCAGCGAGTCGTACTCTTATCTCATTGATCGCGCTGCGCGCGCGCTGCGACTGCTTTCGCTTGTGCAGCGGTCTCGCCAACACATCAATTGGCGAGCTTTGCTCGTAGAACTTAGTTACAGCTCTCTTGAACATGCTGTCATCGATCCGATGCGCTGCGTGCGATATTGGTCGTCTAGGCGGTGCTCCGAAGGTACACATGTGCCGCCGCCTGCTCAATGCCGATGTATTACAAGCGCTCCTCGCCACCGAGCCCGACGCGCGGCTCGGGTGCTGGCAAAGGATTGTCGACGCGGAAGTCGATCATCGTTTGGGCGTCGACGGCGCTAATGTCCTCGCCGGCGGACTCCGCGTCTTTCAGGTCACTTGCACGCGCGCGCCCGATGGACATCGCCACGTCATCGAGCGGGCGTCGCGTCGACGGCGTGGAGGTCACGATTCAGCACCACATCGCCACGCCATCGAGCAGGCGTCGCGTCGATGGCGTGGAGGCCATGTTCAGCAGTGTTGGAGACGCGCCGCGACAATTTGATTTCTACACGGATAGGGACCACCCACCCTTTCCCTTTATACGCCCACGTGTCGTCCTTCAAGTTGACCTCAAGGGACGCGGGATGGTTGTCTTGACCACCACGCTAAAAGGCTTCAAGTGGAACATAGGGTGCAGTATTCCCAGAAGCTGCGGAGCAAGTTTGCTTTTTTAAGCACGGACAAGATGCAACGGTCGGCTCCTACGCTTATTATGGCGATGAATGATCTCGGTAGCCATTTTAATTTTGGGATAAGAGGCAACACGGCCTGCTGCCTCAATATACTAGAAGTCATAGTAGGTTCTTGGAAAACGAAACGCAACACATGGGTTGTGCACAGCTGCCTGCGGTACGAGTCAATGGACCCGGGCGACCTCTCCGACATTCAGCCCGGGAGCAAAGAAAAAGGGAAAAAAGGAGAAAGTCTACTAACACGCCAACAGTACGGTGCGCTCGTCGGCAACGACTTGCGCTTTCTTAACGTATTAAAGGCTATGGTCACGACGCGCCCGAGGGCATCATTGATGAAATCGCCGACGCCGTGGAGGAGGCCATCGAGACCCTCGCCGAGGCCGAGATTGCGGTGGCCCTCTAGGCCGCACCCGAAGGACGTTTCCATGACGGCGGCGCGCATCACGTCGACGCGTGCCGCCCGAGCCTAATGTCCCTGTGTAAGGCTTTGTGGGTTGCCTAGACAAAACTTTCATCTATTTTTGGGGTTTATTGGGATTAAAATTCGTTAGGGGGAGCCAGATGCCAACCGAGCAACGCGAGGTGGGCATCTGGCACCCCCTATATCTCTCGCTATCGCCCCCGCCCAGGGTAACGTCGCCGAGCATTATAAGACAAATAACACCATTAAACAAAAAACCACGATCGATCAGACGACCGTCTCCCCCGTCCGCGCCGCGGCGAGCAAAGACTCCGGCGGCTCCGCGGCACGCGCGTAGCGCTTCCGCGACCGGACTCCCAACAAAAGAGCCATGACGGCGCCGCTGCCGCAAGCCGCCGCCGTGGCGAGGAACGTCGTGCCAAAGCAGGCCGCGCCGGCGCAGCCGTCGTCGTCGGCGTGCTTTGAGTATACCGCAGGCGCGAGGATGGTCGAGAATAAGACCGCGGCCAAACTCACCGCCGGGAGGATCAACGCGTAATTTGCACCAAAATGTTTCCGCCCGAATAAATCCGCGGCGAGCGTGGGAATCAGCGTCCAGATGGCCCCGTAGGCCGCCCGTTTTCGCTCGGCACGGGTTTTGGAAAGTTTCGGCGCGACGGGGAGCTGGGACCCGCCGCGGATTACCTCAGTTTAGCACGAGGCACCCAGGGTCAGTCGTCCGGGACCGTGACGTGGGAGGGGCGGGCCGCGTGCAGAGACAAAAAGATAGAAACAGCCATTAGAAGAGACTCCTCCCCGCGGCGCAGAGCCCGACCCCCGCCGCCTCCAGGTCGTCGCAGCAGCCGTCCCCGTCGAGGTCGTGGCCGAAGACGATCTCGTCGACCGACGTGCGCCGCGCCGGCGCATGCTTCACGATCTTCAGCTGGTAGCCGCCGTCGACTAACCCGGGGTGCGACCGGCGCTGCGCCTCGTCGCCGCGCGGGACCAGCGAACTCTTGTTCCAGCCCCGCCGGCGCCGGCCCAGCCGCCGCGTCATCGACGTCGCGCCGCTCGCGACGGATCCGGCCGTCACGGGACGCACCGGCAGGCGCCGCGCGTAGACGACGCCGCCCGTCGTCGGCCGGAACGCCGCCAGCCCCTCCCGCCGCGAGGGCAGCGCGCCCGGCGCGGCGTCGACCATGCCGTTCCGTCGCGATAGATTGTTGTAGGTGGCCCGCGCGCGGAAGGGCGCCGGCGGCGCGGACCGCGGCCGCACGGGCCGCGCGCTCTTCGGGCGCCCCGTCGCGCTCGTCGCCGTCGAGGCGCCCGCCGTCGACGCGCCCATCGTCGACGCGCCGGTCGTCGACCCGCCCGCCGACGCGTCGTCCTTCATCACGGTCAGAGGCCGGGGCCGCAGCCAGCGCTTCTGCTCCTCATCTACACATGTCTCGTGGAGCGGCCGGCAGTAGGTCGTGCGGTCCCAGGGCTTGGCCTTCTCGCGGTAGACGCGCGCCGTCCGCGGCCGCGCGCGCTCTCTTGTAAAGGTCTCGCGGCGCTTCGCGTCGAGGCGCTGCTGGCGCGTCACTCGTCGCGGCTGCGGGAAGCCGCGCGTCGACGCAGTGTAGGACGTGCCCCCGTCGGTTGTGTAGCCGTCGGTCTCGCTCATGGTGTTGGGTCTGTTAGGCTTTGCTTATCGCGAAGCGGCCGCGTCGATGGCGTGCTGGTCTGTTAGGCTTTGCCTCGCACTGTTAAGCGGCGCTAGCGGAGGGCTGCCCCGTGGAGAGCCGGTGTCTGCAGGTCTCACGTGCTTCAAGCTGCTGGCCTTACGTGCTTCACGGCTGTGTGTGCTTGCGTTTTGATCGGAGAGCTTGGCGCTGCAGGCAGAGGGCGCTACGATCGCGAGGCGGGCCGGCCCGAGAATACCACTCTCATCCGTGCCGGCGAGGCCTGAGCGATCGGCCGAGCGCTCGGGACGCGTAAACAATCGCGCAAAAACCGCACCCTCTCCCATCACCGAAGCAGCGTTCGCGCCGCACTGCGCAAACGCACACCGCCTATTTTGCGAGTTGAGCGTAATAAATACTCGCAGGCTTGGCCACAACACGAAGGACCAAAAAAGGGCAGCAATAACACACAAAAGGGCAGCAGCAATGGCGCAGGAGCCCCTCACCTACGACGAGTGGGTCCAACGGGCCGCGTCGGAAGAGGTGCCGCCGCCCGCCGACGGCGTGCTCCACTTCGGGGAACGCGCGGCGCTCGTCGAGCAGCTGAGCTACCTGAAACGGCGCAACGCGAAGCTCTCGCGGCAGCAGCGCGCTGTGCTGCTGGCGGCCTGCGAGGCCCAGGCGGCGCACGCGCGCTGCGCCGACTTCGCCGGCGAATTGTTGTCGAAGAGCGGCGACAACGAGGACCTCAATCGGTTGACACAGGAGAACGCGGAGCTCAGACGAAAGACCGCGGCGCTCGCGGACTATGTCAGGCGGACGGCGCCCGCCGAGGAGGGGCACGTGGACTCGGACACGACCTCGTCGGATGATGATGATGATGATGACGACGAGGTGCTGCCGCCTCCACCTTCAGATGACGTGCGGCCGTCGTGCCTCGGCGACGACGACCGGCGGCGCTGCGAGTGGGGCGCTTTCGTCGCTGGCGTCGTCGGGGCCTTCGGCGCGCGGGACGACAAGCACATCCCTCAATGGTCTGATGGCATCTAGATTCGAACGCGTGTGCGGTATTAAGGGCTACTCGTACGACGTCGCCGCGGCGGCGCGTGCGGCGCTGGGGCTATAAGTTCCTGATTTGTTTTATTACTACCTCGTCGCCTCGTCGCCGCCGAGAATGATTCAAGGTACATCCACGACTCCGCCTGCGCAGACACTAAAAAAAATTCCTTGGGCCTGGGAGATGCTGATGAGATGCTGGGAAGCGCTGCACGCAAACGCTGCCTGCCGGCCCGCGTGGCTAACTCGATGGCGCAGCAGCGCCTCGACAGCGCCGCGGCGCGCCGCGAAAGCGGGCGCGCTCCTCTCGATAGCTTGTGTGTTGCCCCCTCATCTCCAGCTGCCCCAGTGGCGAGACTAGGTGCCGAGTACTGGGGCGGAGATAGGCCGCGACGCGGCCGCGGGCGGGCCACCAGACGGGCGTTGCGTTCTTGTGGGAGCGGAGGGATGCTTTATGGTGAGGCGCGGGCAGGAGCGCGTCGATGACACCTCGCGACCGCGGCTTGACTTGATGTTCAGGCAGCGGTCGCCTTGTGTTTGTGACTGTTCCCGTGACGTCCGCGAGCGTTGCTCGTGATGCCCCCTCCCTACCTTACCCCCACCCCCTACCCCTATCTGAAAAGCTACCCACACTGCTGCCATAATCCAGCCCAGAAACGCGCCACCCAACGCGCTATCAGTGCTTGCGAGCTAGCGGTTACCTTACTGATAGCTGACGACCTCGCCTGCGAAGTCTCCTTGCCTCAAGTGCATCAGTGCAAGAGGAGGCTCTCTCTGGTTTGAAAACTCCTGGTGCTGCACTCGCGGCACGGCGCACGCCGCGCGCTGGAACACTGCTGAAAGTACTGTTGCGTTACTGCGCTGCAGCCGCTCCGTCATTTCGTGCCATACTCATCGAGACGTCGTCGAACGTGCGTACGATCGAAGATGCCCCCCCCCGTCTACGACACCGATCTCGCGAGGATCATCAAGAAAACGGAGGACGAGACCGGCCTGCAGGCGCCGCTCTTCGGCGAGTTGACGCAAGAGGCCGCGTATGAAGGCAAACACTGGCGCGCTATCGGCAAGGCATGGCGCGGCCGCACCGGCAAAACGGCCTTCCTGGCCTACCGAGAACGCTTCCCGGACAAGGACAATGCGTATGCCGCCCGCTACGACGACTCGACGAAAGAAGCGGTGCTGCGCGGCGAGCACGACGATGCGCTGAAACGGGCGGTGGCGTACTGCCACCTGAAAAGCTTAGATATCTGGAAGTACGCCTACAAGTTCGTGGCCCTCGACGTCGACGCGCCAACCATCTACCAGCGGCTCAAGGCGCTCGACGCGACGCGACAGAAAAAGATCTGGCGCTCGGAGCTGCAGGCCGAGGTGGACGCGCTGAAAGAGGAGTTCGACGGCAAGACGTTCTTCGACGACGAGGACGTGCAGAACGTCGTCGTCACGATCGGCTTCCGCGAGGGCGAGGACGAGGGCGTGCACGACCCCGACCCCTGCCTGTTGTGCCGCTTCTCCACGGACTGCGACGACGTCGAGCTGGAGCCGCTCGCGCCCGAGGACGTCCGCGACTGGATCGCCGGGCGCTCGCCGCCGGAACCCGTCGTGGTGGTGGAGGCGGAGAAGGTGCTGCCGCCCGTGCCGGAGCCGCCGAAGCCGCCGCCGCCGCCGCCGACGCGCGCGGGGCTGAAGCGGGCCGCGGCGAAGACCGCGAAGAGCGGAGGCATGAAGAAGGTTAATGAGGCGCGCTCCAAGAAGGCGCGCCGCGACAAGGAGGCCGACGAGGAGGAGAGGCCGCACGACGTCGAACCGGACGACGAGGCGTGGGCGAGGTGGGCTCCGTTCCTCAACGTCGCCGAAGGCGACACGCGCGCGACGGTCGTCGACCGCCGCGCCCTCCGCGCGACCATCGGCAGCGGCGCCTCGCTGCTGCGCCTCGACGACGTCAAGACGTCGGTGACGCGGCGCATCGACGCGTTCACGCCGCAGAACCCGCCGAGGGGCGGCGTGCCGCGCGAGCCGTTCCGCTGTCTGACGCGCATTGGACTGGCGCGCTTCGCGGTCGTGGGCGACCCGGACCGCACGAAGATGAAGCTGGTCGTCGATTACCTCCGGGAGCTCGTCAACGGGCTCACGTTCGTCGGAAACTTCGGCGACGGCGACGGAGCGAGGGCCTGGATCGCGCCGGGCGTCATGGCGGGGCGGCGCCGCGCGAACTGCACGACGATATGTTTCGGCCACTGCAGCGACGGCACGCTGTCGGACCACAAGAAGGCGGTGCTGGCGTTTCTCGCGGGCGCGGCGGACGAGGCGTCGGGCGAGCTCGAGGCGGCGTTGTTGTGGTTTATTGACTTCATCAAGAACTGCTTCGCGACGCGCACGGTCGATCTGGAGCTCGTGCTCTACGGGCCGGGCCAGGAGGGCAACGTCCACGACGACAAGGAGGAGCCCACGAAGAAGCGCAACGGCGTCGTCGTTGCCGGGACCGTCGAGTTCCGCGCCGCGTGCTCGGTCGACGGCGACCGCACGATGTCGATCCACGACAAGCGCGGCCACCTCGTGACGCTCCCGCGCACGACCGGTACCGGCGTGGTCTTCGTCGCCGGCGCGCACACGCGCCAGCGCGGCATCGTCAAGCACCGGAACGACGCCGGCACCGCGCCCGGCGCGACGCTCATCGTCACGCTCCGCGCCGACGTCTCCAACGCCTTCGAGCGCATGTCGCCGGTCGAGCGCCTCTTCGCGCACGCCGGCATCGCGCTATTCTAGGCGTCGGTGCTTGTCTAGACTAATAAACTTATCCAAACTCCATCTCCAAATCCACGACCACGGGGTAGTGGTCCGACGCGTCGCTGTCCACGCGTCGGTAGTCAACGACGCGACATCGTTTGTGGAGCGCGGCGTTCAACAGGACGTGGTCGATGCGGAAGAGCGGGTTCGCCGTCCAGCACGTCGGCTCGATGTTAAACCCCGCGCCGGCGTCGACGAAACCCTCGGCGTACGCCGCGTCTAAAGCCAAAGCGTCCTCGCCTGGCGCCGGCCAGCCCCGCTTTTCATAAAATTTCAAGATGCGGTCCCACGCTTCAGAAGAATGGTCCCTCCTCTGAAACGCGTTGAGGTCGCCGCAAATCAAATGCAAGGCCGGCGCGTTGCGCTTCAGTTCGTCCAGGAACAAGGTCAGCTGCTTCTCGCGGAGCGGGTCCGCTTTATGGTCCAGATGCGCGGCGCACACGCCAATACGCTCGTCGCCGACGGCGACGCTCGCCCAGACGGCGGCCCTCGCTTCCACGCTGTCGCGCGGCTGCTCGCCCAGTAAAATATCGCCCGGCGCGGGCCGCGCTATCACATGACCGGCGTCGAGGATCGGCCTCCGCGACAGGATGGCGTTGCCGAAGGCGCAGTTCCCGAAGAAGCACTGCTCCCGCTCCGCTTCCACAAACACCACGTGCGGCGTCCCCAGCGCCGCCGCCAGGCGCTGCAAGTAGCCTTCCCGCGGCGCGCACTCGACAATAGCGTGGCCGACGCCGGCGCGCTTCTTCACGGCTTCAAAGTAGGACGCGGGCTGGCGGGCGCCGTCGTACGGCTGCAGCACCTCGTTCAGGCAGATCACGTCCGCGTCCACGGCGAGGCACGTGTCCGCGACGCGCTGCAGGTTGTCCACGTGGTCGCCGTCGCGCCACGCGTGGATGTTGTAGGTGAGGATGCGGAGGCGTTCTTTTCTTAGGGCGCTTGCTGCTGCCAGGCAGAGGAGGAGCCTCATGCTCTCCCTGTGCCCCTGACAATTGCTTTTCGGTTTTGTGCTGCGTCCAGAAATGCGTTGCGAGTTATCGTGCAATATATCGTAATTATATATTGCAGCTAGCCCGCTCGGCCAAGCTGCAGCCCAGCCCTGGCTCGGTCTGCTAGTGTCTTACAGACCGCTAGCTCGAGACGGCCGTAAACACTATATAGAGACCCACCGGCCCTCGCCACGTGACGGCTATTCCGCTCGGTCAGGCAAAACATTTAAACCGATCACCGATATGGGCGGCGGCCTAAATGATCTCGAGTTGGAGACCGAGACCTTGGATGAAGTTTGCCTCTCGCCGCTCCCGGCCGCGCGGCGCCGCCCCGTCAAGCCGACGCAAGGCGAATTAGACGCGCCGCCGGCACGCGGCGCGCGCCGACTCGGCTCGGGCGTCGCCCTCGGCGTGACGCTGATCCTGGCGTTGATTACGTGGGTCTCGCTACGCGTTGATACGCCGCCGAAGGCGCGCGCGGCCCCCGACTTGGTATCCACTCCCCCGGCGGCGGCCGACGTTCCGGAGATCATCACCCCGGTCGCGGTTTCGTACGGCCGGCCGCACCCCTCCTCGCACGCCGCGCAACACGCGCACCATCGCCACGCGCACAACCACACGCACAATCACACGAGGTCACACGTCTCTCCCGTGGCCGACGTCGCGCCGGTCTCGGAAATTGTTGAGGCGCAGCTACCCGCCGCTCCTGTCGAGCCGCCTCTGCTCGATCTCCTTTCCGCGCCGTTGGACTTCAAGGTCTCGGACACGGCCGCGACGGAGATGCAGGAGGTCCAGAGCGTCGCCGATGCTGCGGCGACGGCGCTCCTTACGCCACTGGAGGGCTCGGAAACAGCCACGACGGAGGAAGTGCAGAGCACCGTCGCCGACGCCGCGGCGACGGCGCTGGTCGACGCGATGGCCGCGCTCAAGGAAGCCCAGGCCGCGGTGGCCGCCGCCGAGGAGCCCATCGATATCCAGAGCGTCTCGGAGAGTGAGCGGCGCCTCCAGGAAGTCGAGATGGAGGAGCCGATTCAGGCGCCGACGCCGCGTGAGCAAGAAGACGAGCCAATTCAGGCGCCGACGCCGCGTGAGCCGGAGGACGCGGAGCCCGAGATCGTGACGCCCGCGATCATGCGCCGGCGCCTCCGTGGCGGCGGCGGCGCGTCGTGGTGGGCCCGCCTGTTGAGAGTGTAGAGGTCGAGGTAAGGAGTGTTCGTGCAGGAGGACGGACAAGAGTTACGGTGCTAGGACTAGTGGGAGCCCTTTAGCTAGCGTCGTCGCACACTAGGAACGCCAGCTCCGCAGACTGAACAGGCAGCTTGCTGACCCTTGGTTACGCCCGAATACGATACAAATCGTCTTGGCACAACGCATACTTGACGCCCAACCACAGCGAGAGGCGAAACCACCAGCACTTGGGCTCAAACGCTAAGAGAGCATAGCGATGCTGCACGTCTTCCTGCGCCGAGCCGCGCAGCGCGCTGCAAGACGACGGCGACACTTGTCCACGAAGTCGCCAAGACGACAGCAGTCCACGAAGCCGCCGACGCGCCGGCAGTCCGTCGCGCCGCAGCTCGCCGTCCTCGAGGACGACTTCTTGGAACAGCAGACCTACTACCAGCCCACGGCTACGGAGGCCATCCAGCACCAGGTCGAAATGATCGACGAGGAGGAGCAGGAGCTCCAACGGTACAACGAACTTTACAGGAGACAGATCGAGACCGAGGAGGAGTGCCTCGAGAAGGCGTCGGCGGACTACGCGGCGATGGTCGACGAGCTCATGGCGCTCGGCAAGGGCGCCGAGCTCAAACCGGTCCAGGCGCTGGTTGCGTCGTGGTACGAGCCGCTCGTCGACGTGATTGTCGAGGAGCGGAACAACGCGCTGGCGGGCGCGAAGTCTCCGGACCTGAAGATCTATGGACCACTCCTGCTGTTGTTACCACCGGAGCAATTAGCTGTGCTGACGATGCATCATGTGCTCGGCCACTGCCTCAAGCACGGCGAGCCCGGTGCCAAATATTCTTCTCTCGTGACGGCGTTGGGCGAGGCGATCCAGGTCGAAGCACGAGTTTTGCGAGTAAGGCAGCAACGGCGGCGGCACCTCGCGTCTCGACGGGGCGAGAGCGACGAGCTCGCAAACGAGGAGGCGAAGGAGGCCCTCAAGGCGAAATTGGGTCGGGGGCGCTTCCTCGACGCGAAGGCACTGGCTCGATTACCGCAGCACGTCGTCAACGCGCGGGCGAAGAAAGCCTTGGAGGAGGACGATGCGGACGACGCGGACTGGCCGACGATGACGCGGGCGAAGCTGGGAGGCGTCTTAGTGACGCGGTTCTTAGACGTTGCTGTTGATAACGAAGGGAATCGACTGTTCGAGCACGACGTGGTCGTGAAACTGAAGCGGAAGGTCGGCGTCGTACGCGCGTCGAAGGAGCTCCTGCAGCGCGCCAGAGGCGACCCGATCATGCTCCAGTGGGCCGCGACGCCGCGGTTCCTCCCGATGTTGGTGGAGCCGCGGCCGTGGCGCGGCTTCCAGAAGGGCGGCTTTTTGAGGTTACGAGCCGCGGCGATGCGTACGCATGGGTGTGATGTGCAAAGAGAGGCGTTCCTGCGAGCGAACCGGGGTTTGGCCGACGGCGTCCTGGCGGGGCTGGACGCCATGGGCCGCGTGCCGTGGTCCATCAACGGTCCCATCCTGGACCTGGTCCAGGAGGCCTGGCAGCAGGGCGGGACGTGGCCCGATTTACCTTCTTTACATGACTTCGAGATCCGCGAGTACGAGGGCGACGATCCCGAGGCGAAGGAATTGCACGGGAGGCGCAACGCCAAATTGCGACGGAAGAACGCGGAACTGCATTCTTTAAGATGTGACACGACCTTAAAGCTAGACATCGCCGAACGCTTTCGAAACGACGCGTTCTACTTTCCGTACAACGTGGACTTCCGCGGGCGGGCCTATCCTTTGCCACCTAATTTAAACCACCTCGGCAGCGACGTGTGTCGCGCGGTCTTGCAATTCGCGGAACCGAAGCGGTTAGGTGACGACGGGTTGTATTGGCTCCGCGTGCACCTCGCGAACTTGTTCGGCCTCGCGAAGCGATCCTTGGAGGAGCGGCACCAGTTCGCTCTCGATAGACACGCGGACATTCTAGATAGCTTCACGAATCCGATGCGTGGGAAGCAGTGGTGGCTCGAGGCCGAGGAGCCCTGGCAGGCGTTGGCGTGCATCTGTGAGTTAGGAAGAGCGTCGCTGCTCGAGGACCCGCGGGACCACTTATGTGCTTTGCCGGTGCATATGGACGGTTCGTGTAACGGGTTGCAGCACTACGCGGCACTCGGGCGGGACCGCGAAGGCGGGAAGCAGGTTAATCTCATCCCGGGAGACGAGCCGCGCGATGTCTACGAGGGCGTGCGCGCGCTAGTGGCTCAAAAGGTTGCGGCAGACGCGAGGTCGTGGGTGACGCCGTCACCACCCGAGGCGTTCGGCGTCTCCCTGGAAGAAGACCCTCATGATGAGGGGATGCTATCACCGGAGGAGGCCGCGCGGGAGGAGATCGCGCGAGCCGCCCAGGACGAGATCGAGCGAAGTAAGTCGCGACGCGGCGAGACCGAGAAGGAGGCGGCGGTGCGGCGGGCGCAGATCGTCGACGGTCTCGTCAGTAGGAAGGTCGTGAAGCAGACGGTCATGACGAGTGTGTATGGTGTCACCTTCGTCGGCGCGCGGCAGCAAGTCTTGGCGCGGCTACAGGACGTCGTCGAGGACTTGCTCACGCATCCGGAAGACAACGCCGAAGAAATTGCGAGGCTGACGGAGCTCGGCGCCATCACGCCGGACGGCGACGCGGACGACGACGAACTCTACCACTGCGCCTGCTACGTGGCGTCGTTGACGCTGGAGGTTTTGGAGGAGTTATTTACGAGCGCCAGGCAGCTTATGGCCTGGATGGCGCAGTGTGCTCGCTTAGTAGCTCAACATGATCAGCCCGTCAGCTGGATCACACCCTTAGGTTTACCTGTCGTGCAACCGTATAGAAGGGACGGGCAGCACGCAGTTAGGACACTGGCTCAAACCGTGGTGCTCGTCGATCATTCCGATAAACTACCGGTCTCGGTAACGAAGCAGAAGAGCGCTTTTCCTCCGAATTACGTCCACTCATTAGATAGTACCCATATGCTCATGACTGCCAACGAGATGGACCATCGCGGTCTCAGATTTGCCGCCGTCCATGATAGTTATTGGACGCACGCGTGCGACGTACCAGTGATGAACGACACGTTGCGAAGGCAGTTTTTGGCGCTGTACGAAGAGCCGCTGCTCGAACAATTACTGGAGTCCTTCCAACTGCGGTACCCAGGCGTCGAGTTCCCACCACTGCCTCCCCGGGGCGACCTGGACGTGACGGAGGTCCTGGCGGCGGACTACTTCTTTTCCTAAGATGTTGTGTTTTATCTATACTTAGAGCGCTCTGCGCGTGTCGCAGTCCTCGAAGTAGTCCCCGATGAACTCGACGTACTTCTCCTCATCAAATGAACCCCGGAAGAAGTTGCACGAGAGGTTGACCTCGAGTAGGCATGCGCCGTGGTCCTTTGACAGAACCACGTCCCACCCTGCCAGGGGTACGGTAGGTAATAACTTCCGGTGCGCTTCTGTGGCCAAAGCCGCCACTCGTTTCTGAAAATCAGGAACAGTAGCACCAGTAACGCGTTTGCCCGGGCAGTCCGGGTGGTCCAGGATGTCCGGCGGTGGGGCCCACCGCACGCCGCCGATCAGGCAGTTTCTCAGACCTAGTCGATACCACTGCATGTTCGTCGTGCCGCGGCCGATCTTCCCCGTCTTGACATCTACATCAAACAGGATGGAGTCGTGGTCCGTCGCGGCGCCTTTGCGCCCCGCTCTGAACACGCACGAGATAGCCTCGATGCTGTTCTCTTTCGATGAGAGGCCGAGCCGCGACGCGGTCATCACGCGGAACGTCGACAGCGGCGCATTCTCCGGTAACAGACCAGCCACGAACGCTTCGTTCTGCATCACCTCCTGCAGGATCCAGTCGCCGCCCTCGAGCGCGTTCCGGAAGAAGTGGATGCCCATGCCGCCCTCCTCGTTTTTATGTTTAATACATAAAGCCGGCGTCTCCAGGACGGGCGACACGGCCACTCCTTTGTTGCGACCCTTCTCGATGAAGGCCCACTTGTTCTCCATGTCGTAGTCGCCCCATCCCTGCGTCTCCTTTTTGACGCAGAGCGAGTGCCACGCCGCCAGCCGGCTATTGGTCCGCCAGAGCGAGAACCAGTCGCGCGGCTTGAGGAGTTGTTCCCTGTAGTTCTCCGCGATTTTTCTGAGGGAGAAGTAGGAGCCCGTGTCGCGCTTGGCCTTGGCTACTGCCGCCACAAAGCTCCAGCACGGCGCGCCGATGAGCAAGAACCCGACCGCGACCGGTCGCATGACGCAGACTTTGCTAAGCGCCATGCCCGTGCCCGGGACAGCAACATTGGACAGATTGGCCCGCAAATCCGCGGCATAGCTCGTCGTGCGGTAGTGCGGCCGGTGCCACATTCTAATAGCCAATGCCGCGCCAAAGACGTGGCAGGCCTGTCGCCGGTCGCCGTCGAAGAATTTCTCGTGCGAGCCCGCGAAGGCGCCGCCCCGCGCGTAGTACGCGAACGCGCGCCAGTAGCGCAGTGTGTCGCCCGTGATTTGGAGGAGGGCGGGCGGCATCGTTTTTTGCCGTGTGCAGTGTGCCTCGCCGGCGTCAAATGGAGAGCGTTGAGGAGCGATACGCTTAGCACTGATGCGTGTGCTGCGCAGTGACTTTGATGCAGTGTGGCGCACAGGCGTGGAAACGATCCGCGTGGAGCAGCGATACGCGCCGCAGTGATGCGGCTGACACGCCTTGCTTGTGCTTGCGTCTGTGTTGCCTCACAGCTGCTCTTTTTGATGTTGATGTCGCGCTGGTCGAATTATTATCTAGCGGCAAGTAAAGACACTAGGACCAGTACGGTATATAGCAATTAGGAAAATTCGACCGGGGATAGCTCGCTTTTTTTGCTCGTATGCGGGGCATGTGTGGAAGCATGGAACCTATCTCGCAGATGCGGGGGGCAGGATTTCGACCGGCTGAAAGGGTCGCGATTGGCGCTCGGCGCTCGGCACCATAGGTATATATATAATATACCCTTTAAAAAAAATTCACTGGGGACGGCCGGGAAATTTTCTCCGAATGCCGGGCATATGTGGAAGCATGGAACCTATCTCGCAGATGCGGGGGGCAGGATTTCGACCGGCTGAAAGGGTCGCGATTGGCGCTCGGCGGCGCTCGGCCGTCGACGCAACGACTAGGAACGTACTTAACCACGACCTCTCTACTCGACGGGCGCCGCGTTCGACGACCGCAGCCCCGCGCCGAGGTTCTTCAGTCGGTCCGGGATGGCGAAAGCCGGCTTTCCGACATCTTCCGCCTTAACATTAAAGCGCTTGAGGTCCGAGGCCGTCAGGCCCTGCGCGCCGTCGACGGCGCGACCTAAGGCCGCCGGCTGCAACCAGTGGAAGCTGAGCGCCACGGGGAAGGGCCAGAGCTTCCGCAGGCCCTGCCGCCCGCCCGGGATGTGCGTGCCGCCGAGCACCGCGGCGTCGAGGCGCTCCTGGACGTAGTCGCTCAAAAACATTTCTAAGTCGCGCTTCTGCGCCCGCGCGGACCAAGCCGTCTTCGCCAGCGCCGCCTTGGCCTTCTGGTCGAAGAACGCGACCGACTGGGAGACCATTTTTTGGGCATCTTGCCTGACGCCTCGTTGGATCCGTAGACCCTTGAGCTTCTTCTTGAGCTCGCCGAAAGCCTTCGCTCGTAGCAACTCAAGCTGCGCCGGCAGGACGGTCCGTTCCAGCGCCCGCCTCGCGTCCCTCGCAACACTGTCTCTTGTAGCTTTCAGGAGCGCGCCGCCCTCGCCCGCCGCCGCGTCGAAGGCCTCCAAGACATCACCGACGACGCCCTCGCACTCCGCTCCTAAAGTTTCGCAGAACGTCGATGCGAGTTGCACTCTAGCTTCTAACGCGGCGGCTAATCTCGGGAGGTCCTCCTCGATGGCTTTTGAGGCCGCGGCGACGACGGACGGCGCCGCGCTGACCTCGGCAGCATCCGCTTCCACGGAGACGGACGCGTGCTTGCTGGCGAAGGCCTGGGCCGCCTTCAATTGCGCGACGGCCTCGGCGCCGCCCTCGGTGGACCCGGCCGCCTGGAGCGCGGCGGCGACGGCGGAGGCGTCCTCGACGACCGTCGCCTTCAGGACGGCGTCCCTATCCACGTCGGCCATGGAGGGTGGTTTCGCGGCGGCCGCCCACATTTTATCAAGCGCCTTTTTTGCCGCCTTTGTGTTGCTCGCGACCACGACCACGACTTTCGGTGGCCGCGCGCCGCCGCTCGACGCCCGTAATGCGAGGTCGACTTCGACCGCCTCCAATAAACCAGCGAAATTCGCGTCCGCGCCGTCGCCCGCGGAGTAGACCACCGCGTCGGCGGCGACCATGGTCGCTGTAGTTCCTTCGACGACGATGGTGCCTTCTTCTACGCCTTCAATGTCGCCGCAGCCGACGGAGGAGACGGTCCTCACGGGTCCAGCGAGCTTGCTTGCAGCGCGGGCATAGTCGCCCGGCAGCGTCAGGCCATGCACACAGGCGGCGATGAGTGACACAGTTGCATATCGTCGATGCATCGTTGCTTGCGAGGCGCCTCGCGCCATGCACATGCGCCTCAAAACTGGGTGCAAGTGATAGCGCAAACCCGCAAGAAGCGCATGCGTCTCTGCGCGGCGAAGAAGCCTGCAGGATTGACTTCAGGTGTCCTTGGACTCGGACTGGTCGTCGTTTGCGTCCGGCGGCGGAGGCTTCAGAGTCTCACAAAGGTGGTCCTTGGGGCTCGGCGCTCTCGAGCTAGAGCCAAGGACAAGGGTCTGTTGTGGCTCTATTTATTGTATAAAGTTCGCGCACAATTGATTTCTCAAGCCGCCTGACGAGTGAAGCTTGAGCAAAAAATCTCCTGAAACCCCTGGACACGAGTTCAGATTGCCCAAATCACTCGCGGCGAGACAAATACGTGACAAAAATGACCGGCGCAGACGTCGAACACAGTGCGCAAATCAAAATTCACGGCGTCATCCTGCACGCCATCGACGCGCGCGACGTCGTCGCGAGCCGGCGGAGCCGCGTCGTCGCCAAAAAATGAGTTACACAGGTCGCACCCGCGAAGCCGCCCAAGAAGAAGACGGCCCAGGAGAAGCGGCGAGACTTCGACCGCCAGCGCGACTGCGAGAAGTGCCAGCGGACGTGCATGGACTGCATCTATCTGCCGTTTTTTCTCTGCGCGTCGTGTTGCTGCCGGTCGTGGGTCGCAAAGAAGCGTAAGGAAGAGGAGCACGCCAAGGCCAAGAAAAACCGCGAGCGCCGAGCCAAGGCCGAGGCCGAGGCCAAGGCCGAGGCCGTCCTCGCCGACCAGCCGAACCTCGCGGAGCCCCTCGGCAACAACGCGACGACGTAGGCCCTCGCTAGGCTAATACACACGACTACATTTACCTCACCTTCGTCGACGCCTTCGAAGGCGCCCCCGGCTGGGGTTTCTTCTTCAGGCGCGGCGGCGCCTTCTTCCGCGGCGGCTGAGGAGCGATCTCGCCTCTACGAAACGCGTCCGCGGCGTCGGCGCCGGCCTCGAGCCGCGCCGCATCGGCGGAAGCAGAGGCGGCGGACGCCTCGTCCTTGGCCGCGACCGGCAGATTCAATAAATCCCAGGCCGCCACGACCTCACCATCAAACGCAGAGCGCGCCGCGTCCTCGATCTTCGCCATCACGGCCAGCGCCGCCGGCGACGCGTCGCCCTTGTAGCGCGGCGAGAAGTGGTTGAGGACCAGGCGCTCCGCGCCAGCTAACGCCGCGAAGCGCCCCGCGAGCTGGGGCGTCGAGTGGCCGTGAGAAACGCTACTCCGCTCCACTTCTTCTTCGGTGACGTCATTGTCAAAGGGCTCCACCCTACAATTCGTCGCCTCGTGGACCACGACGTCGGCGCCCCGCGCCGGTAACAACGGTAACAGTGACGACGCGTCCGCCGTGTCCCCACAAAACACGAGCACGCGCCCCCGCTTGTCGGGCCCGACCACATCATCTCTTCGAATGACGGCGCCGTCGGGGAACGTGAACTGCTGGTCCGCACCCATCTCCTTGATGACCCTATATAGTCTTCGAGGTTCCTTGATGCCTTTTGCTTTGAGCGCCTCGATGTTTCGCTCTAAAATAGGTGCGACTTTGTCCACATCCAACGCGCCCGGCCGGTCCGGTTCCACGACTACGAAACCCACGCAAGGTACCGTGTGGGCCATCGGCGCCGCTCTTACTGTCAACGCCTTGGACCGTGTCTCGCAGGTCCACGCGCCGTCGGCGTCTCTGGGAATGTTTCTCCCTTCGAAGACTTCCCCAAAGGCCGCTTCCGACTGGCCCGTCGCCTTCGGCGACACGAAGGGGCCGCGCGGCGGGCCTGCGTTTTTTCTCGTCGTCAACGCGTCGCGGCGATGGCGTCCAGCTTCACGCCGTCGACGCGCCGCCCCCAACGCAAAGGCAACAATGAAGGACGCCGCGCGCGCACGGAAACCGGGTGGCGGTCGATTCGGCACGCCAACAAGCTCATGGATAACATGAGGAGCCGCCACTCTGGATTGAGTGAGTTGTAGGGAAGCGCGCACGTACGCGCGCAGACCCTCCGGGCCGAAGATCTCGATCGGTTGATCACTGGCATCTCGATCCTGCCCACATAAACAGAGCAGCCCGGGCAGGCCGAAGGTGTGGTCGCCGTGGAGATGCGTGACGAAGATCGCTTCGACCTTGCCCGGTTTCACGAGGGTTGTTCGTTGCGCCTGCACTTGCGTCGCTTCGCCGGCGTCGAACAAGTAGGTGGCGCCGTCGTAGCGTAATGCCGTGCAGCTTACGCCGCGCGTCACGCTGGGAACGCAGGACGCCGTTCCTAAAAAGGTGATTTCTAGATCAGACGCCGTTTCCGCGAGTTGTTGTTGCCGCTCCGCGCGGAAGTCATCCGCTCCAGCGTAGGGTTTCAGCCAGTCGTCGAGCTCGGCGGGTTCTTGCGGCAGGCGCGTTGCTCTTTTAACGATGTGTCGTCGTCTCGCGGGGAGGCGCCAGGCATGGGCTGTGATTACAGTGCTGAGGACAAGCAACTGCATGGCTCAACTACCGCTTTGTTGCGTTTCGCAGTGATCTGTCCTGATCGATGCGCTACCAGACCAGCCCTTTTTCTCCTTCGAATCGTCCGCGCGGCGGAGTGCAGCAACAGCACCCAGCTTCTCGCCCTGCCCAGCCTGCACAGCGGCCAAGTCGCGCCTCCACGTACCGGTCCAGGCGCTCAGATGCGGGCCCTAGAGAAGTTCCGCCCTGTCTGGGACGCCACAGCCCGGAGTGGTCGGATTTGGAAGTTGGAAGCCACCAAGGGCAGGCATGGGCCGGGAGAGCTCTTGCATTGCAAACAGGACCCTCTCTCGTCAGAAGGAGGGCGTGTCCGGTGGGAACACGAGGGGGGGGGTCGAAGTCGCTGCTTTCATGCATCACCCTGTACACGCAGCAAAAAAGCGAGGCAAACATGGCTCGGCTAGCGGTGGCATTGGCCCTGGCCGCCGGGGCGCAGGCCTTTATGGCCCCGGTCACCACGCAGCCGGCCAAGACCGTTGTTTACGGCAAGGGCGGCGAATTACGAGACCGTACAAACCAGTGTGGTATCCTCGGCTCGTGCCGGCCGCTATCACGCCCCCGCTGCACCGGACGATGGCTCCAGCAGCAAGCGCTGCAGCCAAGCTCTCGGCTCCGCAAGCGGTATGCATAAAAACGGCCAATAAGAGACAAACTCGCGCCGCGCCGAGACCTCCGCACACGCCCAAAAAAAAAAATCTCACCCGCGCGCACCTCGCGCCGCGCCGAGACGCGTGGCCAGAAGTAAAACTGGCGCGCCGCGCCGAGACGCGCGCCGAGACGCCGAGACGCCCAAAAACTCACCCGCACTCACGTCACGCCACGAAACCGCTCACCCGCTTCATTCACGCACAGGAATCGCCACGGTCGGCAACACGCAGAAGATCACCGAGGCCATGCGCCTCGTCGCCGCGGCCAAGGTCCGCCGCGCGCAGGAGGCGGTGCTCCAGACGCGGCCGTTCTCGGAGACGCTCCAGTCCGTCTTCCTCGGCTTAATTGATCAGCTCGGCAAGGAGCCCATCGACATTCCCCTCCTCGAGACGCGCGAGGTGAAGAAGGTGACGCTCCTCGCCATGTCGGGCGACCGCGGCCTCTGCGGCTCGTACAACACGTACATCATCAAGAAGACGGAGGCGCGCAAGCAGGAGCTCGAGGCGCAGGGCATCGAGGTCGAGATCGTGCCCGTCGGCACGAAGGTCGCGGGCTACTTCCGCCGGCGCGGCGTCGAGTTCCCGTCGGAGTACAACTGCCCCCAGGTGCCCACGGCCGAGTTCGCGGCGGCGGTGTCCTCGGAGATGCTCAACAAGTTCCTCGACGGCGAGACGGACAAGGTCGAGCTCATCTACACGCAGTTCGTGTCGCTCATCGCGTCGGCGCCGAAGCTCAAGACGCTGCTGCCCCTGTCCAAGACGGGCCTCGAGGCCGCCGAGGACGAGATGTTCGAGCTCACGACGGAGGACGGCGAGCTCGCCGTCGAGACGACGCCGCTCGACGCGCCCGAGGCGAAGGAGTTCCCCAAGGACACGATCTTCGAGCAGGACCCGATCGCCATCCTCAACGGCATCCTCCCGCTCTACCTCGACGGCCAGATCCTGCGCTCGCTCCAGGAGGCCGTCGCGTCCGAGCTCGCGTCGCGCATGCAGTCGATGCAGTCGGCGTCGGACAACGCGAAGGACCTGAAGAAGTCGCTCTCGCAGACCTACAACCGCATCCGCCAGGCGGGCGTGACGCAGGAGATCCTCGAGATCGTCGCGGGCGCGTCGGCGTCGGAGTAGATTGACGCGGCGGCGTTGATTTCGGATTGTTCTCTATTTGATTATTGCCGCGCGGGCATCGGCACTTCCCCCCCCGCCGGGCGCGCGCACGCGGTATGTAAAAGAAATATCATATATACTTTCGTCACGGCGACGGCGTTAAGGGGCTTACGCGTTCCCCGGCGGCGACGGCGGCGCGTCAGTCGAGGTCGAGCGGGAAGGGGGCTGTGCACTTTGCTAAGAATTGGGAGGATTACGAGCGTAACCTCGAGCGCAAGCTCAAGTTCGATGGTGGTAATTTCCGACCGTCTGGTCCGCTCGTCGTCGTCTGCAAGCAGTGGCGCCATGCTCTACAGAAGGCGACGAAGCAGGCGTGCTCGCGTCTCCCCATCGCCAACGAGTGGTATTTCAAGTTGCTGCAGTATATGCGAAAGCACAAGAAGGATTATCCGCAGGCGCGGGAGGACGAAGACGAGTATCCTGATTCCGAGCCGCACATGTGAAGACGCGTCGAGCCAAGCGCGTGCGAAGGTGCTTAGTACCAAGACCAAAGTAAGACCAAAGTTCGAACTCATAGAACCGGGGGACCCCCACATACCCGCTCACATATTTGTGGCGCAGCCGCTGAACTCCAAACCAAGGGCAAAGGGGAACTTACGCCAGCCGCGCCCGGCCAATCACCAAGAGAAAAGATCACCGCGCAAACGCGTCGGCCAGCGGGTCGCCGGTCTTCTTCTTCTTTTTCTTCTCCTTCTTCTTCTCGCCGTCTTCCAACGGCCTCTTCTTCGGCGCGGCGGCGGGCGGTGCGGCGGCCGAGGCGGGCGGCGCGGCCGCGGGCGCCGACGCAGCGGCGGGCGGGGCGACCGTGGTCTCCGGCGCCACCGCGGCGGGCGGCGCAGCGGCCGCGGGCGCCGCCTCCTCGGGCTTCGGCGCGGCGGGCGCCGGGGCCGCGGCGGCCGGCGCTGCGCTCGGCGCTTCGGGCGCTGCCGGCGCCGGCGCGCTCGGCGCGGGCGCGGGCGCCGGTGCGGCCGCCGCGGGCGCTGGTGCGGGTGCGGCCGCGGCCTCCGCCGTCGCGGCCGGCGCCAGCGCCGTTGCGGCCGCCGGCACGGCGGGCGCCGGCGCTGCAGCAGGCGCTGGAGCGGCCGGCGCCGGCGCGGCCTTGGGCGCCCGGTGCGCCTCCTTGAGCGCTGCTTTCAAACGCTTGAGGCCCTCGGCGATGCGCTCGTCTTGGCCCTCGTTCAGCGCGCCGCGGATCACGGCCACCAGATCCCTAAGCAGCGCATCATCAGCGACGACCTCGTTGATAAAATCTCTGTAAATCTTGGCCATGGTCATGCGCGTGATCTTCGTTGACTTATCCGGACCGACCGTCGCTTTCCGTAAAGCCTCCACCAGACCCCGCGCGTCGGTTGGGAGCTCAAAGGGTTTGTTGTCCTTGGGAGGCGACTTCGGCGCGACCTTGTCCTCAGCCCGCCCGCTCAGCTGCTTCCAGACGGGAACGCCGGAGTCTCGAGCGTCCTTCATTTTTTTGTCGCGCGCCGCTTGCTTCCTTTCCTCCTCTTCGCGCTTTTCGCGCTTCTTGGCGGCCAGCGCGTCGAGGGCGCGTTTCTTGTCCTCGTCGGTGCGCGGCTTCTTCGGTACAGTGCTCCCACCTTCCTTCTTGGGGGCGCTACGCTTCTTCGCGCGGAGCGCAGCCATATCGTCATCTGAGTCATCCTTACTAATGAAGTCGTCGTCGCGTTGTTTCCGTACAACCTTCTTTTTAATAGGAGGCTTCTTCTTTGTTTTAGTGTGAACGTCGCCGCCGCTCCGCTGCTCCTTGGGCTTAGAGTGTTCCTCGATGGCCTCGGCCAAAGCTTTGGGGAAGGCCTTCTCGTACTTCTTGGGCTTGAAATGACTGGCGTTCTTGTCGTAGCCCCGTCGCAGACCTTCCTCCCACGGCACAATACTACTCAGGGGTTCATAAGCGAACCTTTCGCTCGCGTCCATCGCGTAAAACAAGCAGACGTGCTTTTTGCCGAGGTACTTCATGGCCGACGTGTTGATGTTGCCCTTGGTCCAGCGCGGGTCGTAGATAATGGACGGCCAATGCTCAAATCCTTGCGATTCGACCCACGCGACGTCGGCATATCTATCTTTCCACTCGCTCGGTACTTTCTCGAACTTGTGATCATCCTTGTGGGGCTCCTTCTCGCGCCGTGCGATTTCTTCGTCATCTAGGGATTCGTCGTCATCGTCCTCTTCTTCGTCGTCCTCGTCCTCGGGTTCCTCTTCTATCACTCTCTTGGGCTTGGGCTTGGGTTTCGGTTTCGGTTTCGGAGCCTTGGGGGCCTTGGGGGCCTTGGGCTTCTCCTCCTCCTTGGGCTTGCCGTCGTCTTGCAACGCCGTCGCCACGAGCAGCATCTCCGTCTTCATGAGGTCCTTGTATTGCTTTTTCAAAGTCGCGTCGCCGTCGTCGCCCAGTGCCATGCGCCGGACGACGGTCTTCCGGACCATCTTGAGAGTGAGCGTGCCGGTCTGCGCCGCCTCCCTCAAGGCGGAGTCCTCTTTGATTGCCGAGGCCGTAGCGGCCTTCACGGAGGCGTCGGTGAGGGGCTCCGGCGCCTTGGCGGGCTTGGCTTTTTTGGGGATCTTGGCCGGCGGCGCGGCCGGTGCCGGCGCCGGTGCGGCGGGCGGCTCGCTCGCCGGTGCCGGTGCGGCGGCACTCGCGGCCGGTGCGGGCGGGGCGGCGTCGGCCATGGCTCGTAAAGGGAAAACGCCGGCGCGGCACGCGACGACGCTGCGCCGGGTGCTGCCTCTCGCGCGCGCCTCGAGGCTGGAGGCAGGGCTTACCAGTCACACCTGCACGCAGCGATGGTGGCTGGACAGGGAGTAAAGGCTGCGAGTGAGTCCTGAAACGCACCAGCCGGCTCTGTAAAGCTGAACAGTGCCCACAAAAGCGGCAGCGATGTCGATGCTCGGGTGAGAGCTAGCTGCAAGGCACTAGCGAACGCGACGTAACTAGCCTCAGCCCTCAGGAACCTCCCAGGGGCTCCGCCCACTCCTAGCACCGTAACAATAAGAGATTACGCGACGGAACCAGGGAGCCTGAGCCCGACGACTCCCAGCACCGTAACAATAGGCGGCCTAGCTCGTAAGGAAGGAACAATCCTCGGGGAACGACTTACGCGAGAAAAAAAACACTCATCGCCGCAGCGCCGCGGGATCCACCGAATAGTCCTCGAGCATCGTCTTCTTCTGGGCGTCTTTGAGCGCGTCCTCGAGGATGTTGACCTGTGTGGAAATCAAAATTTTACGGCGCGTTCGTGCAGAATCGTCGCGTCGTCCTCCGCGCGATGGAGCCAGCACGGCCGCGTCATCGCCGAGAAATGACTTCGTGACTATTCATTGGGTGCACCCGACACACTGGTCGATTACCATCATGTACAGATCAAAGTCCGCCAACATCTCCGTGAACTGGTCGTAGACCTCCTTCTGCTTGTCGTCCAGCGTATACCCGCCCCGCAGGATCTCCTTGGTCTCGGCCGAGAGGTCCCGCGTCCCGGACTCGATCGCTCGCCTCCCATCGCGCGTCGCGGGCCGTTGCGGCGTCTTCGGTCGCCTGGCACCGGCGGACTTCGGTCGTCGCTTGATGTCCACCTCCGGCCGGAAGGTCTTCCGCTTCATCGTCCGCGGCGTTCGGCAGTCCACGAGGCAGGGCGTCTTTCCCGTCCCGATGTCGGCCAAGCGCTGCGCGTGGCACGCGTACCCGTACTCGCTCACGACCGCCGAAATCGGTAAATCCTTCCAGTTCTGCCGCAACAACGTAAGCTCCCGCTCGACGTCGTGCTCCGGCATCTTCAGGGTCCCGTAGTGCTTGGGCATGCGCGGGATGTTGTAGTCGGCCATGCTGGCTGCTGCTTCTCCGCACCGCGGGCAGCTCCTCCGATGTGTGTCGGGCCGCGCGCGGGGCGCGGGCTGCTTTTGCGCGCGGGAGATGGCGCACTCCCCGCGTGATGCGCTATGCTCTCCGGGCGTTGAGGGGGGGGGGTCCGAGCGCCCACGCCGGAGGGCTCAGGACGACCCACCCGCCCTCACCATAGGCATCCCCCGCGCTCGAGCCCCTAGTCCGGGCCGGCCGCTTTTTGTCGAGTAGGTGTACTCACCATCACATTACACAGCTATCCCGTCAACGCGTCAAAAACCGCCAAGAAACGCGGCGACGCCCGCGACGGCGTCGGGCTGGTGCCGGATGCGCGCGGCGACCTCGGGCGCGACGACGGCCGCGGCCGCGACGTGCGGGCAGCCCTCCCTCACAAACAACTCCCAGCCGCACCTGCCGGGGCAGTTGACGGGCTGGCCGACGAAGCCCCGGTACGATGTTGAAGGGAATGGCCGCGGCACAACATCTGAAACGAGGCGGCCGCCCTTCGCCGCCGCCGAGTGGTGGCACAGACTGGCGCAGAGCGGTCTCAGATAAGTCTCGAGGAAGACCATGTCGTCTCCATATTTATCAGTGGAATGCGACGCGGCGAAGGCCCGCATCTGCGCGTAGAGGTCTGGCAACGGCGGCTGCCCGTCGAGCGACCGCGCGCCCCAGGCGCCGCCCAGGATGCCCGCCTCCGGATCGTGCGGCGCCTCGTGCATGGCGTGGAACTTTTTCTCTGAAGAAAGCCATTCAAACACGGCGGCCGCGTCGCGCGGATTGAGCCTCGAGTCGACGTCGCGCACGATCACCGCGGACACGCCCGGCTCGCATGCCGGCAGAAAACGCATCATTTGGAGCCGCCGGCCGCCGAACATGCCCGTACAGCGTCGTATTGTAGCGCCGGCGCTTTCCAGCGCGTCGATCGTTTCTGTAGAAACGCCGTCGCCTACATAAAAGACGCAGGCCCAGCCGGGGAAGAGCGCCTTCGCCAGGTGCGCGTTCTGGACCGCGCCCTCTCCATAAATCGTTTTATCTCCGAAGAGGCAAAAACTAATGATCCTCGTCCCGCACGGCGCCGCCTCGGGCGGTGACGCGGGCCACGCGGCGAACGCGGCCATGGCCTGCGCGGATGATGTGCGGACCGTATACTTCGCTGCCGCGTTGACTCGTCGCGGGGAAACCTGAGCGGCCCGGCCCCCGCGGCGTCGCGCCGGGGGGCGGTCGGTGGCTCTCGGGAAACCTGCTCGCGCGCGCCGCGCCGGTAAGCCGCGGCGGCGCTGGAATTCTTATTTTTTGGCCCCTTTGATTTGAGTTGGCGCTGGACCGCACCGATGCGCAACTCCTGTGAGAGCAGGTGGCACAGCTGTACACTTGTGCACGGGTAGCCGCGGTATTTGTCGTAGCAGTGGCTCCGTATGCAATATTCCGCTATATTTAGCGAGCGAGGAGCACAGATTACTGCAAGACGCGCGTGTTTGGCCGCTGGCTACCCCTGAAGCTAGCGTCCGGTAAGACACTAGGCATCCCATGGCAGCCGCAAGTAAGCAAGCAAACAGCACGCTAGGCTGCGATTGCAAGCCTAGAAGCTGGCGGGGACAGTGCATATATAGTGCAGATACCGGCCAGTGCATCGGAAGCATGCGTCACTTGTGCCTCGTTGCTGTGTGGGTAGCAGCTCTCCAGCACTTGTGTGTGACAGCTCTCCACCAGCAGCAAAGGAGAGCAACCCCTGCCGCATCTGTGGACCAGTCGCGCCGCCGGTTCGCACAAGCCGCCGCGAGTTCATTAGTCGCAACCGCGCCCCGAGCCGCGAGCGCGGCGAACGAGACGCAACCTGAGTTCGACGCCGCCGCGTACTTCGGCATCTTCAGCTGCGAGGGCTGGGGCCAGAAGCGCATGCCCGGGTCGAACACGTGCATGCCCAAGTGAGTCGGCGCGTCGTCGGTCGGTCGCGCGTCGTGGACGCGCGAGACGGCGCTCCGGCGCCGCGCGATGAGCGCTCGAGTAAGAACTATTCATGTCTCAATGGACCGCTCTTTCCTAGTGAGCCTGGATACCACCAGGCGGCGTCGACCGCTGGCCGCTAGCGTACTGTAAGGCACTAGCAAGCCGGGCAGGCTGGCGTTCGGCAGCTTTTTGCAGGCGTCTGAGACTCACCGATCAAAATCGACGTACAGGCAGCATCCATGCGCCATGCAACTGCAAAATCCAATGATTCGGGCTGCCCTGGCTGCTCACAATAACACATGATGAGGGCAGCCCTCCTGGCGTGCAGCGCCGCCGCCGCAGTACGCATCAATTGCACCGTCGCCGTGCCGCAGCGCATCCGCGCGGGCGACCGCGTCGCGGCACGCGTCGACGTCGCCGTCGCGGGCGCCGCGGCCGAGAGCCTCGTCGTCGAGCTACGCGCCGCGGGGCCAGTCACCTTCGGCCCCGGTGCGCCGGGCCTCGATCCGCCGGGCGACGCTGGTGATGATGATGTCATCTACGCCGTGCGCGGCGAGCGGAGGCGCCGCTGGCTCGTGCGCCTCGGCGCGCGGCGGCGGCGCGCCGTGTGGGCACTGTTCGCCGCCGAACGCCCGGACGCCGTTACGCTCCGCGCGCGCGCGGCGCTCGGCGGCGCGACGGCCACGTGCGAGGCGCCCGTCTCCGTCGTCGCCGCGGCGCCGCGCGCTGCGGGCTGCCTCGCGCCAGTGAGTGCCGCGCTCGACGCCCGGGCCCTCGTCGTCGGCGAAGCTACGCGACTACGCGCCCCGGCCCTATCAAGAGTGCCGCTGCCGGCGGGCCTCTCGCTCCTCCGCGGCGGCCGCGTCGACGCGAGCGGTGTTATATTTGTCGACGGCGGCGGCGCCGCAGACGTCGTCGCCGCGTGGCCAGGCTTCTTCCGCGCGCCTGACGGCTGCGCGAACGCGTCTGCGGGCCTCCGGGTCGCCGTCGGTACCGGTCGCGGGGCGGACGGGAGGCTCCGGCTCGGCGACGTCTCGTGGGACTACTCCTCCTTGTAAGTGTATGTGCTGCTTAGTCCCCGGTCAGTCGTCGTCCTCCAGGAACATGGCGCGGTAGATGTCGTCCTTCGTGCCTCTTTTGGACGCGATGATACGGAAGCCTTCGCCGGCGCGCGACTGGTCCAGAGACGCAATATTCTCGTCCTCGCATAGGGCTCTATTGTCCTCGAACTGTGAGAGGAAAGCGTCGACGATGAACGCGACGATGAGCCCCTCCTTGACGATGAGGATGCCGACGATCTGCGCGGGGGGGGGAACATCCAAAAAATGCCACTAGTTGATTTCAACACTAAGCTCGTCGCCGACGTGGACTGCACGGCGGCCGGCGACAAGCTCTGCGAGACGCACGGCATCAAGGGCTTCCCGACGATCAAGTGGGGTGACCCGAACGGCGAGCTCGAGGCGTACGAAGGCGGCCGCGACGAGGAGTCGCTCATGAAGTTCGCGACGGAGAACCTGGGCCCGGTACGCCCCCGCGCATGATATCTGCTCGACGGCGCGCACTGACTCGCTGTTCGATTTCCACACAGGTCTGCTCGCCGGGCAACATCGATGTCTGCGACGACGCGCAGAAGAAGTTGATTGCCAAGTACCAGGCCATGGACGCCGACGCCCTGACGAAGCTCATCGATGGGAAGGAGAAGGAGCTCGCCGACGCAGAAAAGGCGTTCAGCGACGCCGTCAGCGAGCTCCAGGCAACCTACGAGAAGCTCAGTAAGGAAAAGGACGAGACGAAGGAGCGGATCAACGACGACGACTTCAAGTTCGCGAAGGCCGTGAAGAAGGCGGCGGTCAAGGCCTCCGCGACCGACGAGCTCTAAAGAACTAACGGCATACCGACGCCCGCGCAGCCCATGACGCGTCCTGCAGGCTCCCGTCTGCCGGACGCCGAAACCCGCCGCAACGGTCGGAGGACCGTCCTCGAGCGCTTTCATCTCGTGTCGAGGCCGTCCCCTCCGGTCCGCGCGGCACGCGTGCGCGTCGCCACTCCGTAATTCTGGCTCACAAAAACTACTAGTATTAACAATTCGAGCACATCCCCACATATGCGTTCGTGCGGTCGATGCCGGGCGTATCTAGGTTGGATGGGTCCCACGCCAGCGGGTATACCGTCTGATTCGAGTGGCGGTCGAAGCGCGCCGCGTAGACCTTGGTCGAGCCGTTCACCGGGAATCGCGCCGCCTTACAGAACCACTTGTCACAGGGATTGGTCAGCGTCTCGCCACCGCCCGCCGGTCGGCCCTCCCAGAAGCGCCATGAGACGCCGTCCCAGAGCTCGACCCAGTTGTGGTTGCCCTTCGTGGGGTCTCCGAGCCACGCCGGCGTGCCGACCAGCCTCGCCGGGATTCCGGCGACTCGCAGCGCGGCGATGTAGGTCGTAGACACCCCGGTACATGACGCATAGCCAAATGCAACCGTGGACACGGGGTCATAGATGAGGGGTGTCTGGCCGCTATGAAACTTGACGCCGCCGACATTTTGCCAGACCGAACTGTTGCCGCCGTAGCCATTGATCGCCTCGGCCACGTCGGCAATAGAAGCGTGCCGGGGCAGCGCCTCGAGGATCGGCTCAACGGCCTTGGCCAGCAGGCCGTGCCAGTGCGTCCGCGGCTCGTTTGCGGAAGCATAGGGCAAGACGTAATCACGAAATATGTCGCGTGGCACACCCCAAGCCCAGGGCCACCTCATTTTTGCGGTCAGCGTCGCGTTCGCGGCCACGGCCGCCACGCCGGCGTCGAGGCCGTCCACGCCGCCGGGCGTCCCGAAGAGCGTCGCCACGTTTCGCAGGTCCGACGGCGGCGCGTTCTTCCGCAGCCACTTGAGCGCGTCCCGCTTTGCCGTGGAGAACGGCTCGCAGCTCCCGTCGCCCCACGGTACGGTGTTCGCGGGGCAGGGCGTAGCGATGCGCACGGAGACGGCCGCGGCCGACGCCGCGAGAGGGATGAGGCAACGCATCGATTGAGAATGCGCTGTATTTAATCTTGCAGCCAACGAACGACGCGATCTATGCGAGGAATGAGAGGCCTGGCGTGTCTGTGCGATTAGGAGCCGTGGCCTCGACTCACTAAGATTGCCTGGCTGTGCGCTGTGGGCCGTGCCTCGTCTCACGTGCGTTCACGCGTCGTCGACGATCTGTTTGAACGTTGTCGTGCCCGCAAGCCCTGTGCCACTGCGGCGCCGCTCACGGCTGGCAGAGTCTTTGGCCAAGGAGAGCACCACCACCATCTCTCCTCTGCTCGGCAAAAACGTCGCGAGACCTGCAAAAATCTCGCCAGCAGTCGCATCGCTCACAAATGATGCCCCCAGCGCTCGGAGCCCTCTTAATTTGGACAGCCACTGCCTTGGTGCCACCAGCACCACACACGCAACGCCTGGAGCCGCTGAGCGCCACGCTCACGGTTTACAGTACGCTGGGCTGCCCGCACTGCCAGCGCTGCAAGAAGGCTTTGGACGCGGCGGGCCTCGCATACGACGTCGTCGACGTCGCCGACGCGGCCGCGCGCGCGGCGCTCGAGGCGCGCTGCGGCCTGCCGACGGTGCCGCAGGTCTACCTGGACGAGGAAAGAGTGGGCGGCGCCGACGATACCCTTAAAGCGCTCGCCGACGGCTGGCTGCTCGAGCGCGACATTCCGCGCGTCGAGCCGAAACGAGTCGAGAAGACGGAGGAGGCCGTCATTTTTATCGAAGCGCCGCCGGGAGGGCCGCTCAACGCGCCTGTGGCCGGACGCGCCGTGGAGCCGCTCGAGGGCGACGTCGCCGCGCGGCTCCAGCGGTCGGCGCTCGAGCTCATCGACGCGCACGTCACGCTGGACGGCATCGACTACGCCTCCCTGAAGACGTCGCGCCAGTTCCAGAACTTTGTGGACATCGCGCGCCGGCTGCCGGATATTGACGGTGCGAGCGTTGGCGACGCCTTCTGGATAAATCTCTACAACGCGATGGTGCTCCACGCGACCGTGGTCCTGGGGTCGCCGGAAAACACGCCCGAGGCGCGCACCGATTTTTTCTCCGGGGCCACTGGCGCGACGTACGAAGTCGCGGGCCATGTTCTAAGCCTCGACGACGTCGAGCACGCGCTCCTGCGGCGGTCGCCCGCCGGCGACGCGCGGAGCTTTACGGAGGACGACCCGCGGCGCCGGACCTTCGCGCCGACGCTCGCTCGGAAATTCGACAACCGCATCCACTTCGCGCTGAACTGCGGGGCGTCGAGTTGCCCGCCGGTCAAGCTGTTCCGGGACGAGAGCCTCGACGAGGACCTGGCTGCCGCGGCGCGGGCGTTCGTCGGGTCCGAGGTCAGCGTTTCTGGGAGCACGGTCACGGCCTCCAAGCTCTTCCTGTGGTATGGTGGTGATTTCGGCGAGGACGTGCCTCGTGCGATCGCGGCGCTCGGCGCCGGGACGCCGAGCGGCGACGCCGTGGCGGGCCTGCTCGAGGATGAGAATGTGGAGCTCGCGTTCGCGGACTACGACTGGTCGCCGAACGACGCTTCGTCTGTGTAGTAAGAGTGATGTTATTAATCCCCCTCGTCATCACGTGAAGTAGGCGCGCACGTAGAGTCTGCGCCCGTCCAGCTCGGTGCCATTGAGGTCTTGGATTGCGGCGGTCGCAGAAGCTGCTGAGTAGAATTGGACGACCGCCGAGCCCGTGGGTACCGTTCCATTGTATCCACGCATGAGGAGCTCCACAGACGCGACCTCGCCGACGGACGAGCAATGCTCGCGCAGGAGGTAGTCCCCCTGCCCCGCGTCGGGGAGGTTCGTCACAAAAATTTTCGTGGGGTCTACAGTCTTGCCCGCCGGCGGGCCGCGGGCGCGAGCTTTCCGGGGCCGAGCGGACTTCTGGCCCTTGTCCACGCGGACCCGGAGCTCGCGCCCGTCGAGCGTTATCCCGTCGCAGGATTCCGCCGCGGACGTCGCCTCCGCCTGTGTGGAAATCAATCAGTGAGTTATGTTAGGCCGTCATGGGAACGGTGGGGTGCCTGAAATTTGATCTCCACACAGGCCTCACCGCCGTCGCGAACTCGTTGTCTCCGTGAACAGCGGCGCGGCGTCGCGACTCTTCGGCGCTCGCGCGCGGCGCATCGCCGCCGTTGTTTTGCGGCCCTCGGCGTACTCGCGGCAAAAGTCCTGGAAGGCGACGCTCGTGTCGCTCCGCGCTTCAAAGCGCTCCCTCAACTCTCTTGTGTGGTCTTGCCACTCGGCGTCCGTGAGCCAGGGGCCGACTTTCGTGCCCTCAAGACGGTCGAGGCCCGCGACAAGGACCATTAATCAACGCTTGCCGCGTCAATACTCAGCAAACGACTCCAGTCAAATCAAGGTCAAAAACCTGTTTTGTTTGGACCCTGCGAGGACGGCGAACGGCGAAGAGGACAGTGCTAAATACAGAACAACCTACTCACTCAACCCCTCCGCTTCCGCCGCCGCCGCCGCCGCCGTATCTGCCGGTCGTCGCCCTCGCCGGCGGGCGCGACGCCGGAGACGACTCGGCTAAAGGACTCTGGGTCCTTGACCGATCCAGGATCGACGAGAACCAGGTACGCCCGCGTCTCGTCGTCCGGCAGGCAGAACGTCTTCAGGCGCGACGTGTCGCTCGGCGCCGACCGCGGGATGATGTCGACGAGCGGCGCCTCGTCGACGCGCTCGCCGCCGGCCGGACCGTAGGTCGTCACCCGCAGCGTGGGCGCCGCCGGCGCCGCGGAGTCGATGACGAGGCGGCCCACGGTCTTCGCGGCGAGCGTGCGCACGACGAACGCCCCGCACGCGACGCTCGAGACGCCGATGAAGCCCACGATGCCGCTGTTCGAGGCGATGGCGCCCGTCGGGTCGATGATGAATGCGTCCGCGGCCACGTAGCCGAGCCAGCACGTCGCGTAAACGCCGCCGAAGGCCGACAGCGCCTTGAACTTGAACGACTGGTCGCTCTCGTAGATGAGGTGCTGCGATTCGTCATCTGTGCGCAGCGTGGCGTGGCAGCGGTGCTGCAGGAGCTGTCCAAGGGCTGGAAAGCAGCGATGCGGACGGCGCCGCGCCGGCGTCAGCGCGAGTCGCAGCGGTGGTCGCAGAGCAATACCTAATCGACGACGCGTGCCGGTGCGAGACGCTGCCAGCCGGCGCGCGCTGCAGCGCAGCATTGCTAACAGTAAAGTGCGGCGGTTCCTAACCCGTCTGGGCCGCCCAGGTCAATATTCGCTATCAAGTGCTTGCTAGCGTAACGAGACGCTCTAGGCCTCGGCCCAGTAGTGTGAGGCTTTGGTGTGCGTAAGAGGACTGACTGATAAGAATAATCTCTGCGCCTCGTAAAATACGAGCACTGATCGCTCACATTAGCCGCGCCTCAAAGACACGCTCTGATCGATAAGCAATGCGGCGCCTCATCTACGCAGCACTGTGCGCCGCCGCGGCACATGGCATCACAATAGCGCCAGGGTGGGAGCAGCGCCTCACAAATGAGCTTCATAAAATAGCACGCAACGAGTCGCAAAAGTACAACTGCTCGGTCAGCATCGCCTTCCGCAGCGCTCGCGGCAAAGCCGCCGCGGCCTTCGGCGCCGTCGACCCGACCGGCGCGCCCGCGACGACGAGCGACGTCTTCGTCTGGGGCAGCGTCACGAAGGTCGTGACCGGCGCCTCTATACTCAGACTCGTGGCCGACGGCCACCTCGCGCTGGACGACGCCGCGGCGCCCTACGTGGACCGCTTCCTCGCGAGGCTGGGCGTGGCGTGGACGCTCGGCGACCTCTGGGGCGCCCGGAACGTCTCCAGTACCAGCATCAGGGACCTGCTGGGCATGACATCGTCGGTGCCCGACTTCGATACGGCGAATCCCTGCTTTCCGCAGCCCTGTAAGCTGACGGACCCGATGCGGCAGTTACTGTATAGCACGAAGCAGCCCTACGGACCCCTCGATTTACTAAGCTTGCCCTGGGTCAACGCCTCGTGGCGCCCGCCGTGCAAGGCCTTTTCGCCCGCGTTGGAGCCGTTCTGCTACTCGTCGACGGGCTTCATGCTCCTGGGCATGGTCCTCGGTGTGTTCCAGAACGCCACGTCCATCGCGGCGGTGGACCAGGGTGTTTACCTGCCGCCTTCCATCAAAAGTCGCGCGGGTTTCGTCTCAAATGGAAAGCCGCCCGCGTCCTACACGCGCGTCCACGGAATAGATAGGACGTCGTACGACGCGCCGCCGGGCCAGACGAACCATGAAGATGTGTTCGAAATCCCGGGCGTCTTCGCGGGCTGGAGCGCGTCGGACTTTGTGGGCGACGCCCAGGCCGCCGCCGACGTGGCGTTCGCTATCTACGGTTCGAAACGAGTGACGCCGAACGCCGACCTCATGATCCCTGGGAACGGGACGAAGAAGAAGGCGATCTACGGGCTGGCGACCTTCGACCTCGCCTCGAGTACGGGCCAGAAGGGCGACTGGGGCGTCGCCTACGGCCACATGGGCGCGACCTACGGCTACCAGTCGCTGATCGCCTACTTCCCGAAGTTAGAAGCTGCCATCGCCGTCGGCACTTCCCTCGAGACGGACACGCAGCAGCACCCGTCTGACACGTTGTGTTTCGCCTACAACAAGGCCGTCGACGTCGTCTACGGCGTCGCGCACGCGTGCTCGTTCGCGGCGGGGTCGTACTACGGCGGGGCTTGCGTGTGCGAGCCGATTCCCGTCTCGTAATCGGCGGCGGCGGGTGACATTCCCCCGCTACCCATCGTAAGCAATTGTGTATCGTGCTTAGGCGTCCTAGTTGGGATTGGTCTCCGCGGCCCGCGGGAGCGCGGCGACGGCGGCCGCGGAAACGTAGAAGCCAGTGTGGGCCCAGAAGGCGACGACGCGCGGGAATATTTCCTCGGGGATGTGCGCCGTGAAATTCGTCGCGAGCATCGATGCGAGTGCCCGCGTGTGTGCCTTTTCGTAGGCCTTGAAGCCGCCGGCCGCCTCAATCATGCGCAGATACTCGTAGCGCTGCGCCACCAGGGTGTCTCCTTGCTCCTCGTTGTAAGCCTGCATTCTCTTCCAGGAGTTCGGAATCTCAGCCCCGGCTTGGAGGAATAGGGGCCACAGGCGGTGATACCCGTGGCAGACCGCAATCCTAAACGGAGTTTCATTCAAAGGTGGGTTGTTCTGGGACGCGTGATCAGCGCCGGCCGCCAGTAGCAGTCGAACAATTTCGTTGTACTCCGGCGCTCGGTGCCCCCGCAATACTGCGTGGTGCAGTATCGTGGTTCGGAATCCATTGGGATTCGCCGGCACGTTCGGGTCCGCTCTGGCCGAGAGAAGTAGCCGCACAAACTCGGGCCGGCACTGGTCCACCGCTGAACCAAGGGGGGTTAATGGAGGATTATTCCGAGAGTCAGTCGGGGGACCGTCGGGGAGGGCGCCGGCGTCGAGACAAAGTTCGACGCAAGCGAAGATATTTCGTACAGCGTCGTAGTCCTTCGAACGTGTCATTTTTTTTAGCATGTGCATGGCCCATTCGATCGCACATTGGCCCATGTAGGAGCCTAGCTCGTTTGGGTCCGCGCCGCGGGCGAGCAGAACGCGGACTAGTTCGACGTCGCCGTTGGCGACGGCGGGACATAATGACATGACGAATCGTCGCGTTGTGGGCCGATCAAGCCGAGCGCCCTTATTCGTCTTCCAGCCCGCGTGAGCTAGCGGAGTGTAAGACACTAGCAAAGCACCAGGACTTTTGCTCGACCTTTGCGCTGCGTGAACGCTCAGAGTGGCTTAGAGGCAGCCAGTTGTACGCCGTCAAGGCAAGGCATCGTAGCAGCCCGCCGACGCCAACAGCTGCGGCGCCACAACGCGCCACAGACCACAGCCAGCAAAAAAGCATGATCGTCTACGCCCTCGTCGCGCGGGGCCGCACGGTGCTGGCCGAGTTCACGAGCCAACGGGGCAACTTCTCGACAGTAACGAGAGCTCTCTTATCAAAGATCCCGGCCGCGGACGGCCGCATGTCTTATGTGTGCGACGACCACGTGTTCCACTACCAAGTTGTCGACGGCATCACGTATCTGTGCATGGCCGACCAGGAAGGTAAAAGAAGAATAGCCTTCGCCTTCCTGGAGGACGTGAAGCGGCGCTTCGAGTCGAACTACGGTTCCTCAAAACACGACGCGGCCCCGTTCGCGCTCAACGCGGACTTCGCCCCCACACTAGAGCGGCAGCTGACCTTCTACAACTCGGACCCCTCGTCGGACGACCTACAGCGCGTCCAGACGCAGTTGGAAGCGGTCAAAGGGGTGATGGTCGAAAATGTGGAAAAAGTGCTGGAACGGGGCGAGAAATTCGAGTTATTGGTGGACAAGACGGACCGGTTGGCGCGCCAGGCGTTCCGCTTCGAGTCGTCCTCCCGAGAGCTGAAGTCGGCCATGTTCTGGCGCAAGGTCAAGATGTACTCCATTTACTTTGGCGTCGCTGCCGTTCTTGGATTGATCTTGGTGTCGTGGGCCTGCGGCGGCGTGACGGCTCCGAGTTGTAGATCTAAACCTGATGCGAAACGGCGGCTCGTGTAACAAACATGTGATTAAACCTAGCGGCGACGGCGTCAGAGCTCGGCGCCGCCTCGCGTCGGCCCTCGCGCGGGCGCACGCGGCCGCGGCGGGCACTTGCGGCAGGAAACCGGGCAGTGCTCGGCCATCCAGTCGCGCATCTCGTCGCTGTCGCACTCGCCCTCCTCCGCCCAGTCGCTACAGTCGATGTTGCGATCGTGGCAGTCGTCGGCTGACGCGACGGCGAGCAGCGCCAGCGTCGCGCGGGCGAGCCATCGCATCGATGCAGCTGTCACCCGACCAGACAAAGCCAGTTGGTTAGCCCTGCGGCCCGTAGCTGATTCCTGCGGCAGAGCACTGAGGGTTGGGAGAGCAGATCTCTGCGAGAGAGCCGAAGCGATGCTCAACGACTGCGACAACAAAGCGTCGTACTTGAGGCAAGCCTAAGCGCACGCGTGTGCTCAAAAGCTCTTGCCACTGGATGAGCTCTGGCCCGGCACAGCCTGCCTGGCTGCTTGCTAGTGTCTTACAGAACGCTAGCTCTTTGTACAAGAGAGACCCATCCCTTACAGCCCTCCAATTCTCCATGAAGAGCTCCCCCACCGTTCTCTCGCGAACAACCCGCGCGCGTCCCTGTGCTGCTGTGCCTTTTGCATGCTGCCCTCTCCGTGGCGCGCTGCCCCGAGCGGTCGAGAATGGGTGCAAGCGACGTCGAAAAAGCGACGACCGCAAACAGAAAGGGCTGGCTCCACGTCCAGGACGAGGACAGCCCCGCCCAGGTCCTCTGGCACGCCGCTCTGCTCGCAGCGACGCTCTGGAGCTGCGCGCGCGCGCCCCTGATCGACGGGCCCTCTTCGGATGGAGCGTTCGACGTACTTGCCGACCTCGTTTTTGTGGGAGAGGTCTTCGTCCAGTTCCTGTTCCCGCTCTACGACGGCGAGAGCCGCGAGCTCGTCGACGACGTGCGGCAGATCCGCGACCGCTACCTCCACTCGCGGCGGTTCTACGTTAACATAGTGTTGGCGCTGCCAGTCTGCTCCAGCCACATCAAGCCGCTCGCGCGCGCCACGGCCGTCGTCCGGTCGCTGCGCGCCGCGAAGTGCAAGCCGACCTTATTATCATTACGCGGCACCCTCCAGCGCGTCCGCGACGTCGCCGTGGCGGTCGAGCTCGTGGAGTTGGCGACAGTCCTGCTCTACGCGACGCTGTTGACGTTGGTGCTCGCGGGCGCGCGCTGGGCGCCGCGGCTGCCCTACGACGCCAGGAACCTCGTGCTGACGATTATGGTCGTCACGTTATCTTTAGCGCTCCACGCCGTGGCCTTCGCGAACCTCCAGTCCGCGAACGACGCCATGAACGTGGTAGAAGCGCACCACGACAAACAAACAAAACCAGTCCTGCAATTCCTCGACGAATCAAATGTCGACGACGACACTCAGTTACGTGTCCGCGCGCATTTCGACTACCTGATGGTGAAGCAGGGCGGCCTGGCCGACGACCGGATCCTGGCCGAGCTGCCCGCTTCCTTAGTACGGCGCGTCCGGGACCAGAACCGGTCGCTGCTCGTGAAGGTGCCGTTCTTTTCTCCAGCGAGTCGCCCCCCAAAATTCCTCGACGCGGTCGTCGACGCGCTTTCCACGAGAATCTTCCTGCCGAACCAGTGGCTCGTCGAGCCCTACTCGACCAAAAGGGAGCTCTTCGTCCTCCGCGAGGGCGTCGCGATTGTAATAAGCGGGCGCCAGACCGTCGCGACCTTGACGCGGGGCGACGTCGTCGGCGACTGGGGGTGCATCCTCGGGGGACGAGCCACCCTGGGCGTCCGCGCGGGGCCGCAGTCCTTCGTCGAAGCGCTGGCGTTGGACCACGCGACGCTCTCGAGAATCATCGCCGCGTGCAAGCCGCACCCCGACGACGCGTTCCGGGCGGCCGTCGCCGAGAAGCGGGACCGGGCCCTCGCCAAGGCGAAAATAGCGCTGGCGTTCCGGAAGAAGCAGGGCGAGTCGACGGAGGCGGACGGAGGCGGCGGAGGCAACGGAGGCCAAGTCGTCGGGGCCAAGACGCCGGGGCCAAGGCGGCCGGGGCAAGGCGCCGAGGCCAAGGCGACGGAGGCGACGACGGCCGCGCCGACGCCAAAGCGTCGAAGCAAGGACGAGCCGGTGTCGCTGCTCGACGAGAATGACCCGGGCGTCGTCGCAACGAAGGCGCGTCGGGACGAAGGGTTGGAACGGTGGCGGGACGCGGGGCCGGCGAAGAAAGTACTCCCGTCGACCTCGTACCGGCCGACGCAGCGCGTCGTGCTGCCGGACTCGACGGGGCGCTTCGCCTGGGACTGCTTGCTGGTGCTGCTGCTCGCCTACGCCTGCGTCCGCCCGCAGCTGCGATTGCTCGGCAACAGGGACGCCTTCGACGCGTCGCTGATCGCGGACTATGTGTGCGACCTGCTCTTCGCTTGTGATTTGGTCCTGCGCCTGTGGTTCTTCGGCGTCCACGTGGAAGAGGACGGCCGCGAGGTGCTGGTCGTGGACCGCCGGGAGATCTTCCATCAGCACGTCACGTCGAAGCGGTTCTGGATCGACGCTGTATCAACCATACCGTTCGACCTGCTGGGCTTCGTGAACGGGCGCTGGTGGCGCGTCCTGCGGCTGCCGCACGTCGCGCGGATCCTGAACCTCGATTCCTATATAAGGACGCCGTTGACGTTCGTCGAAGAGCATCTTGAAGTCGATATGGACGCGAGGACGGTGCCCGTCGCGGTCCAGCTCGGCCAGCTCGCTTTCACCATAGTGACGGTGGCGTGCGTGCGTGGGATGCGAGGGAATGATGATGAGGCCTTTCCGCAACTCGCGCACGGCGCGCTCCGGGACCTGATGACCGTGGACTACGTGACGATCAAGGAGGCCGCCGTGGCGAAGCGCCACGTCGACCTCGTTTTGTCGGTGGGCCTCGTGGCCTTCTTCGCCACGCTCGTCTCGCGCGGCGCGTTACTCCTGAGACGCGCGGACCTCACGGACCGGAGCCCGGGCCACGCGCGGCGCGTCTGCGAGGCGTTTCTGGCGAGCCATCATGCGTCGGTCGCCCTCAGGACGCGCATCGACGCGTACCTCGCCCACCTTGAGTCGTCGGGCGACGGCGCGCGGTCGCTCGCCGCGCTGCCGCCCGATCTGAGGAATGATGTCGAGGCCTCGCTGCTGAAGCCGGCCTTCGACGCGTCGCCGCTCCTACGGGACCTCGACGGCCGCTTCCGGGCGCAGCTCGCCGCGGCGGCCGAGCGCCACGTCTACGCGGCGGGCGATGTCCTCTCCAATAATGAGGGGGCCTTCTACCTCAAGGCGGGCGCCGTGGAGATTTTTCGGGGCGAGGACGTGGTCACGCGGCTCGGCCCGCGCGACGGCTTCGGCGAGGACGCGCTGCTGGACGCGGTGCCAGCGACCTACGGCGCGCGCGCCGAGAGTATCGTCGAGGCGTGGCACCTGCCCCGGCGGCGCTTCCTGGAGCTGCTTCGCCAGTACCCGGCCATCCGCGAGCGCCGCGACGAGCTCCGGTCGAAGCCGGCGCGCTTCGAAACCGTGGCGCCTCGCAGAGCTCAAATCGTCCGGAACTCGTCGCGCCTCAGGCGGTTGGTGCGGCGGACGACGGCGCGGAACCGGGCCCTCTCCCTCGGGACGCGCGACGACGTCCCGGCGCGCGACGCCGCGCAGACGCGCGCGGGCCACGCCTGGAACGTGGCCGCGCTTTCGTTTGTGCTATTCAACGTCATGAAAGTGCCCTTCGACGCGGCCTTCCGCGAGGGCCATTCGTTACGGTGGCTCGACTGGCTGCCGTACTACGCGGGCGACGTGCTCCTGGCCATCGACGCCTTAGTCTGGCACTCGCACGGCGTCGGCGCCGCCTCGAAGGGCGCTCTTTTAGCTACCGTGCCCTTCGACGTGTTCGCGCTCGCGATCACAGACAAAAACCTCGGCGCGGTGCAGCGCGTCGCGCTGTGCCGCCTGCCGAAGCTTTTACGAGTGCTGGACCTCCCGTCGCTCGCCCGCGCGTGCGCGAACGCGGCCGAGGCGTTCCTGAAATGCCGCCTCTCCAACAACGCGCGGTCGCTGGCCGCGCTCGCCGGCGGCTACGCGCTCACGGCGCACCTCTGCGCCGTCGGCTTCTTCTGGTGCGCGAACTCGATCCATCTCCGGGGCGGCGAGTCGTGGGCCGGCGCCGCGGGCTTCCTGCGGGCCTGCTCGCGCGGCGGGGTTGGTGGGTGCGACGTCGTCGTCGACGTCGCCCCGAACCCGAAATATTTGGACGTCGCCGGCCGCGCGTTTGAGAAGCGGGCCTGGTCGATGAATAGCGCCCTCGACGCCTACGTCGCGGCGCTGCTCTGGGCCTTTGGAACATTGACGGCGCGCGACCAGCCGTTCGCCGCGACGAGCGGCCGCGAGGTGGCGTTCGCGAGCGGCGCGCTCGGCGCGGCGATCGTCGTCTTCGCGGTCGTCGTCGCGACGCTCGAGGACGCGGCGTCGGCGGCGGGCCTGTCGCGGTCGCTTTTTTTACGGCGCCTCGAGCGCGCGACGCGCTACTGCGACCACCAGCAGCTGCCCGTGGCGCTGCGGCGGAAGTTCCTCGGGGCCTACGACCGGCTCTGGGCCGCGCAGCGCGGCGCGAGCGGCGGCGACGCCTTAGCGAGGCTGCCGGATAATCTGAGGCGGGACTTCGTCGTGGACGTGGCGCCGCACCTCTCTCATTTATTTTACGTCCGAGCGCTCGGCCAGGCGGACCTCATCCATGAACTCGCGGCGCGCGTGTCCTTGGAACACTACGCGCGCGGCGACGTTTTATTTGGAGCGGGCGAGCGGGCCGACGCGGCCTTCTGCGTGACGAGTGGCGTGGTCGACGTCCTGGGGAGCGGCGACGGGTTGTTGCTCGGCCGCTTCTCGACGCAAGTCGTCCTCGGCGAGGGCGAGTTCATCGAAAGGGCGTTGTATGCCGCGTCGGCGCGGTGCGTGCGGTCGACGCGGTGCGTGCTGCTGACGCACGACGCCTTCCTCGAAGCTCTGAGACGGACGGACCAGACCGGGGCGTACCGAGAAAAGGTGCTGGCGACGGCCGGCGAGATTCCGCAACTGCGCACGGACGCGCGCGCGGCCGCCGCGGGCGAAGCGGTCCGGAAGACCGCGCCAGAGCGCCCATCGGCGCGCTTCTGGGAGCAGGCGCGGCTCGTCGCGAACGCGGGAGGTCTGCTCTGGTTCGCCACCACCGTGCCGTTCCTCGTTACGTTTGCTTCGAGCGCCGCGGGGCTCCCCGTGGGCGTCGTCGTCGCCGATGGGTTATTCCTCGCTTTGATGGCGTTTGATTTGTACCTCGATGACGACGCGATGATGGTCGACTTCGCGAGCGTCGCGCCCCTCGGGCTGCTGGCCCACGCCTGCCGCTTGGATCGATCCGTGTGCGCGTCACTACGTACGCTGCATTTGATCATGCTGCGCCGCGGCGCCGAGCGCGTCGATGCCGTGCTCAAGTTTCTGGCCGAGGAGAAGCGCATTCGATGGTTGGGGGCCGCTGGCGCGGGCGCGGCCGCGCGTTTGTTGATCGTCTTCTGCCTCGCGATCCACTGGGTGGCCTGCTTGTGGTACGGCCTCGCGCGAATCCAGGAAAGGTCCTGGGTCGACGCTTACCGAAGGCGCGGCGTTTTGAGTTATGACATGAAGACCGGTTCAAATGGAGATAGACGTTTCTGGTATAGGGCCGCCCTCACGTGGGCCTTCTCGACGATAACGTCCTTCGGCGACGGCGGCGCCGACGCCACGAATCCCCTCGAGCGGGCCTTCCAGATTTTGGTCATGGCCGCCGGCGTCCTGCTGTGCGACGTGAACGTGCTTGCTGTGTTAGCCTCGATCGTGGAATTGAACGCGTTGCAGCGCCACCGGAACTTGCGACGGACGATTTGCGCGCGGAGGTTCATGGGGCGCCTGAATTTGAAACCGGAACTGAGGAAGAACGTGCTCGACTACTTCGACTACGTCGACGAGAACAAGAACTTGGACGAGGCTTTACTACTCAAGGAGGTGGGCCGGTCGTGCCGCGAGGACGTATTAAGGCACTTCGCGTTCCGGAAGCTGTGCGATTCGATCAAGTTCGGGGCCTTCCAGGAGGGCGTCGTTGCGTCTCTCGTAAGAAGCATGGCGCCGCGGACGGCGGCGCCGGGCGAGATCATACTCGAGGGGAACGACGACGCCTACTACGTGCTGCGGGCGGGCCGCGCGCACACCGTCGATGCGTGCGGTCATTCAGAGCCGGTGTCGACGGGCGCGTTGCTGGCCCAGTCCGAGTTCGTGGCGGCGGCGAAGCGCGTCGGGCCCTGCACGCGATTGCTCGAGCTCGACGTCTACGAGGCGGTCATATCGAGGGCGGGCACGACGCACCCCTACGTCCGGTGCGTGACGGAGACCGTGACGCCCTTCGGCGTGTCTGTCAAAAGAGTCGAGTCGGGCGTCCGGAAGTACACGAAGCGTCCCCACTTCGACGAGCGTTTCGAGCTCAAGGTGTACGCGAATACGACGTGCTGCGTCCACGTGCTCCACCACCGGCGCGGCCTCGACGGTATTACCATAGGGCGCGTCGAGCTGCGGCTCAGCGAAGGCGCGCCGCGGTGGCACACGATACTCGATGGCAGGAACCGGCCGGCGGGCCGCGTGCGCCTCGCCGCGCGGACGTCGGCGCTTCCCCCGTCCCGAGTCGCGGCGAGCGCCGAGGTGACCGTCGTCGCCGACACGTTCTGCCACCTCTACGTCCTCGCCGCGGCGGCGCAGGAGGATTTGCGGCGCTACATGCGCGCGATGCGCCTGCCGCTCGCGAAGCGCCTGCCCGCGGACGCGCGCGCCGACGTCGCCATGAAGCGCGACCGCGCCCTCGCCAAGGCGCGAAACGTCGCCGCGGCCATCCGGCCCCTTGCTTCGGCGCCGGCCTCTCCGGTCGAGGCGCCGGCTCCGGCGGGCGACGTCGAGGCGCCGCCTCCGAGTGAGGAGGCCCCGCGGCCGTCGAGCCGCGCGCGGCCCGCGACGCGCGGCGCGCTCCGGGCGACGCTCCGGGCCGGATCGGCGCGGTCGACGCCCTCTTTCTCGCGATCGGTTCGGCGCGCCACGCAGCGCGGGCAGCCGGCGACGCCGTTCTCGCGGGTGGCGCGCGTGGCGCCCGCCGCCATCTTTGAGGAGGGAGACGAGGACGAGGCGGTGTGAGTATTATTATGTTGCTTTTCTTGGTAAGTTGGATTGGTGTATATTTATCGAGGCTCCCGATACTTCCAAACTCTCGACTTCAGGCTAGCGGTGTAAGATACTAGCAAGCGCACCCACCTTTCACAGCCGGCAGGTGCGTGGCTTGCAGCTTGTACGGCCGCATCGCTCATATTTAGGCTTCGCATAGTTCCCTTTCTTCATCGGCAAGCTGCCAGTTCGCGCCGAGAGAGGCGCTGGCACAGCTGCACTCCTCAGGAGCAGCAGCTGTGGCGCCGCTGAAGACGACGGATCGCAGCGCTGGCGCGCGCCGCCGTGGGCGCAGTCCGACCAACTGTGCTGCCTCAGGCGACGGCAGCACGGTCGGTCCGATGACGCCGCGGCCGGCACCATGGCGCGCCTTCGTGGGTCCGCTGCTCATCGCGGCATGCCTCCTGTCCCGCCTACTCGTCCCGAGCGATACGCGCCGCGCGCTGCAAGAGTCGCCGCCCAGCGCTAAAACGTGTGCGGCCGTCGCTAACAGGCGCGGGCCGCGCCTTGTCGCGGTGGGTGACGTCCACGGTGACTTCGAGGCGCTTGCAGACGTCCTGAGCGCCGCGAAGATCTCAAACGCCAGCTGCGGCTCTTGGACGGGAGGCAATGCGATCCTCGTGCAGATGGGCGACGTAGCAGATCGCGGCCGAGACGTGCAGAAGGCGAACGCCTGCCTACGACGGCTGCAGCGCCTCGCGCCCGAGACTGGCGGCCAGGTAATACGACTGGTGGGCAACCACGAGCTCATGCGCGCTGAGGGTTCCCTTCGCGACGCGCACCCGGCCGAGTCGAGCGCCGCGGCGGTGGCCGGCGTCATGCAGTGGAAAGTTGACGTGAAGAGCGGTGCCGTACGCGCCTCGTATTCGGACGGGCCGTACTTTTTCACGCACGCCGGGGTTAGGCCCGCGCTGCTCGAACGTTTGCCGACGTCGTCGATCGGAGAACTCGTGAGCTACCTCAACGACCGCCTCCGCGACGCCGTCGTCGAGTGCCAGGAGAACCCCGTCCGCGGTCGATACCTCGAACGCGCGTGTCGCTTCAAGGACGACGTCTTTACGGCGGGCATTGACCGGGGCGGTCGAGGCGTTGGCGGCACGTTTTGGACGGACTGGCGAATCCTGGAAGGCTCCCCGGCCGAAGCGCTGCCCGACGCCGTCCAGATCGTCGGCCACTCAGCCGCCCGGTGCCGGCCGCGGCGCGGAAGCCCCTGCGAGCCGATCCGGTTTCGGTCCGACCTGCGGGCCGTCGTCATCGACGCGGGGCTGTCGAAGGCCTACGCGTCGAACCGCGCGTACCTAGAGATCGATGGATCGATCTACGCGAAATGGCTCGAGGCCGACTCGTCCGTGTGGCGGAGGCGCGACCTGGCCGGCCCGTGCGATATAGCCAGCGGATCTAATAAATAGTATGTAGTCTTAGATCAGAAACGAGGCAATTTGGGGTGCCAAGTGCCTCATCCGGTTCCGCGACGGATGCTCGGCGTTCCCACCGATGACGTACTTGCGTACAACGAGGATGAAGTACTTTCGGAGGAGGGCCTTCATGCGGGGGTGCTGCGCGTAGTCAAGCACCGTTCTTCCGCAGTCATCCTTTCGGTAGATGGTCGACCCGGCCCCGTGCTCCAGGAGAACCCGCATGATATCTATACTCACGCGCACGCCGCCGGGCCGGGGCCCGAAAGAGGACGTTAGGTGGAGTGGCGTCATTCCGTGAGCGAGGCATGGGTCTGCGCCATGACCCAGCAACGTGCGCACGAAAGCGCGCGGATCATCTTGTCTACACACAATGACGAGTGGCGGCGACGCAGATAATAGGTAATTAGGGTTGGCGCCGCGGTCGAGGAGCAGGGAAGCCAATTCCTCGCGCCCGTGCCAGCAAGTTGCATTTAGCGCACGTCCCAGAAGGTCGGCGTCGGTCCCTTTGTTCAATAGCATCGTCGCGATTTGCACCTTCTCCGCGGGCGAACCATAGGGCGAGTGACACACCGACATCAAACACTCCGCCAACGCACCCCTGTCAGCGCCATTCGCCCAGGTGTAATTCGTCAGGCAGGCAAGCGCCCCCTCGACATTGCCTTTCCTGCAAGCCTCCAGTAATGGGCTCTCGTTAAACGCCATCCTGGTTAAGTGACCCGAGTCAACAGCGCCTTTATTGATTGTTATTCGCCTCCAAGAACTGAACCACTCGTCGCCGCCGTGGAGTGACGGAAGCACGGCGTTAAAATACCACGCCGCGATGCTTTGAAGACCAGTGGATTGGGTTCCGGCACCCCAAAAACCCGCGCGCCCTCGTCGACAAGAACGCGATAAATCGTACGAATCGTTGTTATTCCCAACTCAGGACCACCTCCCTCTCCCCCGCGGCCGCGAGGTCCAGCGTCACCAGGCCGTCGGCGAAGGCCGCGTCAACGCGCGCGCCGTCGACCGTCACCGAGACGGGCGCTCGCTCCGCATAAACGCCGAAGCGCCCCGGCCCGCGCGCGTTGACGCGGACGCCGTCCGCGCCCTCGTCGCAAGATAAGACGGCGCCGCCGCCGTTGAGCATGTCAAGTAAACCAAGCGGCGCGTAGGCCACGCCCTTCCAGGCGCGGAGGCGCCGCAGCGCCACGACGCGAAAGCCCGCAGGGTCCAGCGTCAATTTTACCGAGTCGTCGGCGCCGAGGACACGCACGGCATTCGACCGAAACTCGTAAGACGCCCAGCGCGCATTCTCATCAAAGGCGTCGAACGCCACGGACGCGTCGCGCGGTTTGTACGAGCAAGCGAGCGTCGCGTTCTCGCCGAAGGCGAAGCGCCGCTCGTCCCGCCGCCAGTGGCCGCCCTGGACGTTGTACAGGCCGAGCACGGCGGCCTCGTCCCCGTTCGGCGCCGCGAGTTTCAGCGCCGTCACACCATCGTGTGACACGTCCCGAAACAGGCAGTCCGCGCAGAGCCGCGCGGAACCCGTGGCGCCGAGCGTCGTGCCGTCCGGCAGCGCTAAAGCTCTCAACACCTCGGCGTCGTGCTCGCCCGGCGCGTCGCTGACGGTCACGGGGCCGCCCGATGCTGCCCTAGCGGCAGCGTGGGGCCAGGCCGCGGGGTGCCTCGACTGGAACATGTCCCAGTCCGGCAGCGCGACTTGTCCGATGAGTAACGAGTTGTACGCGCACGCCGTCAAATGCCAGAGCCAGCTCTCCGGTTCTCGGGGGTAGAAGTCGTCCGACGCCCTTGCTATTGCTGAATCGAAGTATCTATAAAGGTTCTCGGTCGAGTGGCACATGCAGTTGGACACGCTGATCGAACCATCGTCACTCGCAAAATGTTTTGAACCGGCCTTCTCCATGGCTCCAACAAATAAAGCGACGGCTCGGGGACCGCCGCCATGCCCATCACCTAGAGCTCCCACACCCGACTGCGCGTCCGCTTTCACACCATCCACACCACACCTCTTCAAGGTCGCATACAGTTCATCGTAGACCTTGTTGATGCCCGGCGGGTCCGTCGGCGTTTTCACGCCACCTAGGGTCGCGGGGTCCCAGTCGATGGCGGGCTCGACCTTCCTTAATTGATCCGTGGGCTTCGCTCGTAAGACTTCCGCTCCCGGAGAATCGACGCCGCCCCAATAACCGGCAGCAGCGTGCCAGCACGCCACGTGGTCGACGCCGTACTCGCTCTTCACCGTGTCCTTGATGAAGGCCGTGAACCCGGCCTCGCCGCCGAATTTTGACGGGTGCGGCTCCGGCGGCCATGCGAGGGCCTTCGTAAAGTCCGTAGACTCGTCGAAGAAGTGGACGAGGGGGCCCTTCAGGATCGTCGTGGCTAGGAGCCGCCACAAACGCACTCCAAACGAATCCGCCGGGGCCCGCTCCACATGCTTCGCATACATACCCCCTACGGTTTCTGCGAACCGTCTCTTGGCGCCCGCCAACACATCGGAATCGTCATAGATGTCGGGATTCACCATCTCGTCGGCCTTCAGGATTTCTCCTGACAAATTCAAATCTTCGTCCGTGTCCCTGTCCAATCTCATCCAGCCGTCGTCGACGATCAACCGTCTCACGGACGAGATCTCCGCCAGTGTTCGTAAGCCTTCCTCGATTTTGTTTTGATCCACGGACGAATAAAAGGCGTCCCAGGTGCACCAGCCCAGACCTTGCACCATGCCCTGCGGCGGCGCTTTCCGCGAGAGTGGCCTAAAAGACCCTTTGCGCTGCGCTATTGCTTGTACAGCTTTCTCCAGCAGGGCGTGGACGCAGCCCGCGTCTGTAGCTTTCGTCGCGGCGACGTAGGCCGCGCCGTCGAACTCTCTCGCGCGCACATTAGGATCGCCGGACTCGACGCGCGCGATCAGTCGGATTCTGTCGTTCTCGGTCTCGCCGCGCACGGCGCAGCGGAACGCGTGGCGGCCGTCCTGGAGGCGCGCCGGGTCCTGGCCCGCCAGCAACGGCAGGACGAGCGAGTAGGTCCGGAGGCCGTCATCATCTTCCTCGCCCTCCACCAGCACCGCCTGCGACTCGATGGGCACTTCCCCAAAGGCCGGCGTGATCCACCAGCGCTTGTTTCGCGCTATGGATAAGATGCGCCCCGGCGGCAGGAGACCGAGGTCCACATCCACTTTCGATTTCGCCTTGCGCAGCGAGAAGCTCAGGAAGCAGCCGCCGTTGCGCGCCGTTTCTCTTGCGGTTTCCACGTCGGCGAGTTTCGTGGCGCCTCGTCGTCGACTGCGCGCCGGCTCGAGGACGGTGTCTCCGCCCAATACGACGGCGCCGTCGTCGCGCACGGCCGTGGCGGGGGTTGCGTCGCGTAGCGGTTCTTGCTGCGGCAGTGGCAGCGTCGCGGAATTGAGCGCTGTTCCTGGCCGATTAACCGGGGGGCGCAAGGCGCTCGTTGCCGCCAATAAAAGCAGCCACAGCGGTGACATCATCTGGCTGCGCACGCGGCCTGAGGCGCCGGACTTGTTGCAGGCTGCCGTGCTTGGTTGCTCTCGAGTGTTTAAGCAATGTTCCGTGCAACCCAGTGCTATATTCGCCGAGCCACTCAGCTTTTTTCAGGCGCCGCTCTGCTCTGATGCAATCCAGGCGAAAAACGAGGCACGAGCCGCAGCACTCTTCCGCTCCTGAAAGAGACGGTAGCTGATCCCCGGTACCAATAGGACCAAAATTCGCGTCCAGCAAGCCGCCTGGCAAGACAGCACCGCCGCGCGTCGTAGAAGAGCAATAAGGTTAAAGACAAACTTAGTTCAGCGACCCGCGGCACGTCGCCGCGCCGCAGTGGCACGGGATCTTCTCGTCCTCGAGCTCGAACTTGTAGTCGTAGGACAGCTCCTCGCCCGCCTCTATATCTCTCTTCGTGTAGAGCACGATCTTCTTCCGCCCCGCGTGGGGCACGATCTTGGAGACGCAGTTCGGCGCGCACGAGTGGTTCACGAACCGCGCGAGCGAGCCCATGCGCGTCGCGTCCACTATAAGCTGGTCGTCGACGCGGAATAAATAATCAATCTCGCCGTTGCGCTCGTACATCTCCTGGCGCCGCTCGCCAACCTGCAGGCCGATCTCCTCGCCGCGATACTCGAGCACTTGCGTCCCCTGGACGATGGGCTCGTCCGTAAACACGCCCCACGAGTGGATCGGCGACCGCGCAAACCTCAGTCGCAGCCGCCGCGTCTCGGCGTAGACGCCGCCGTTCAGGGGGTCGGCCGCGTCGCCGACGCCGTGCCTTGCTAATGCTCGGCGCTCGCTGCGGAACGCGCGGCCTCGGGCCGCCGATTGCTTCTTGGCGTCGTCCTGGGGCGACTCCCGCTTCGGTGGTGGTGGTGGTGCTGCTGGGGCCTCCTCGCGGCGGCGGCGCGCCTTCCGGCCCTTCTTTTTTTTTGCGGTCTCTTGCTTCGTCTGGCGCGGGCGGCACCGCGCGCAGGGCTGCCACGGCTCCTCGCGCGCTGCGAGTGGTTTCACGGGGCTCCCCGGCAGCGACCGCGCGGCGGGCGGCGGCGTGCGCGGCCGCGCGCGGACCTGCGCGCAGTGCGAGCACGCGCAGTCCTTGGCGTGGTCGTAGCGGTCGGTCTCGCCTATTTTAAATGTGACCTCGAGGGGAGGCCGCTCGTCCTCGTCATCCGGCGTTGCCGGCCGCGGCTTCTTCCTCGTCGACGGCTCCTCGGCGTCGGCGTCGTCGTCGTCCTCCTCCTGGTACGCTTCTTCCTCCTCCTTCTCGGGACGGGCCCCGCTCCGGGACCCGCTCCGAGAACCGCTCCGCCGAGACCCGCTCCGGGACCCGCTGCGCCGCCGCTTCGGCGGCGCCGGCGACCGCGAGCGGTGTGGCGACCGGCGGCGCGACGACGGCGGGGCGTCGGGCGTGTACGCGTTCGTCTGCTGCCGCCGCCGGGCCGGCGGCGCCGACCACTCGGCCTGGAGGCGCCGCGCCATCTCCTCGTCGGTCTCCGCGGGCGCCGTCTGCTGCCTCTCGCGACCTCCGAACACCAGGTTGTTTAAATCCATGTCCGACAGCTTGTTTTTAGTTTCAAGCCTAGGGAGAGCCCTGGCTGGGTGAGCTGTGGGGAGCAAGGTCGGGCCGAAAAGGGTTGCGGCAGAATATATGACTACGGTGAGGAGATTACGAAACACAATGGCGTGACCGTCGATGCACTTAGCCCCTGGTTTAGCGCTTGCCAAGCCGTGAAAACTCTAGTGTCGGTGTGACGCTAGCTAAATCCAAGCTCAGGCCGGCCAGCGGCATAAATGCAGAACAGGGGTGCTGCTGTTCTTAAATCGTCGCTGCGACACCCGTCAAGCAGCTACACTGCACGGCTGCGCGTGGCAAGCCCTGCGAGCTGATTGCAAGCGGGCAGTTTCAGGAGAGCAGAGCCCAGGGAGCACATATACAGCCACGATGCGTTGCAGCCTCGTAGCGCTCGCACCAGTGGCCTCGGCGCTCATGCAGTTCCGCGCACCCCTCGTCGCCGACGGCTACGCCGCGAAAACTGCTGGAGACGCGCTGTTGGTCTACCTGCCGGGCTTCGACGGCGCCAATCTAGCGCCCTTCCTCCAGTGGCCCGCGTTGCACGACGCGGGCTTCGACGTGCGCTGCGCGAGCATCGACGAGGATGACAGGAGCACGTTCGACGAGCTAGTAAAGGCGGCCTCGTCCTATATCGACCGGGAAGCGTGCGACAGGCCCTGCCTGTTGGTCGGCGAGTCCTTTGGAGGCGCCCTCGCGACGGTCGTGGCGCAGCGCACCTCGAATGTGGAGGGCGTGGTCCTCGTGAACCCGGCGACGTGCTACGCGGAGTCGGCCCTCGCGTCGAAGGCACCGCCCATCCTGGAGCTGCCGGCCTGGGCCTACTACGTCGGCCTCGCCTCGTTGCTGCCGCTCTTCGTCGACCGGCACGGCGTCCGCGCGCTGTTCGACATCGTCACGAACAAGCGCCTGCCGTGCGTCATCGAGACCCCGCGCCAGGAGGCCTACATGGGTCGTGTGGCATTATCCCTACCGGAGCGGATCGCGCGCATGCCGCGCGGGACGCTCGCGTGGCGCCTCCGGGAATGGCTCGACGTCGGGGCGAAGGTCGACGTCGGTGCTCTGAAACAACCTACACTAGTAGTCTTCGGCGACGAGGACAACACGTTGCCCTCGGAGCGCGAGGCGGCCCGCGTCGTCGCTTTACTCACGAAGGCACGAGCGGTCCGCGTGCCGGGCGCGGGCCACGCGGCGACGCTCGGGAGTCGCATCGACCTGCGAGCCGAGGTCGCGGCGTTCTTCGGGGCGGAGCCGGGGTTTTCTTTCCTGGCGGGTGCTCCCCGGAAGATGCGCGCCGACGCGTCGCAAGACGGCGAGGCGTCGTCGCTGTACGGCCTCTACCCGCGGACGCACGCGCCCGTGGCCGTCTTCGACTACTTCAACGCGGAGAACGACGCGCGCGTCGGCGTAAGGTAACAGTTCAATTCTTACCCGAGCTCGGACGCCGACGAGTACGCCCGCGCCATTCGAGGCGCGGGCGCCGGCGCCGACAAAAGCGCCGACGAGTATGGCGCAGGCGCGGGCGCCATTTGAATGCGACCGTAGGCCTCGTCCTCGCGTTGTTGGAGCGCCGCCTCCTCGGCGGCCAGCGCGTGGCGCACCTGCCCCTGGAGCAGCTCGACGCCCGCGTCCGCGACGGCCGCTTTGACGCCGTCCGCGAGGAGCGGCTCGTTTTCTAGGCGGTCCCGTAATGAAACGCAGCGCCGCAATGCGTCGTCGAGCCGGCCCACCTGCAGGGCCGTGGCCCGCAACGATAAGTAGTGGTAGACCTCCAACGACGTCGACTTGGCCCCCAGCGCGCCGGCGAGGTGCCGCAGCGAGGCCGTCCTCAAGACGTGGGTCTCGCACGTCTCGCGCACGGCCCGCTCGGCGGCGGCCTTGCGGTCCCTTTCATATTGTGCCGCGACCTCCTCCAGCGCTTCGGGGGCCACGTCCGCCGCGAGCGCCTCGACGGCGTCGAGCGCGTCGTAGACGAGCTCGCTCTTCGCGTCGGCGAAGGCCTCCTCGACCATATTCGGCATCTCCGCTTCGATGGCGTCGTAGATTGCCTCGTAGGCCATTTCACTACGCCTTTGCATGAGGTAGGCGTCCGCACGTTCTCTGATAAATTCCTCGACGAGGCCGGGCACCTGCTCCGATACTTCCTCGTCAATCAGGTCGTCGACGACGTCAGAGGTCATGTCCCGCGGCATCACCTCCGCCTGCACCTGCCGCACGGACGTCATGCGCTCATCCAGGATCGCCGTCAGGGCGTCGTCGCGGAGCCATCCTCTCAAGTCCTCGACCGTCTCGTTGATTATACTGTTTACGACGCCCGGCAGGTACGGCTCCAATGCTTGGGCGAGCTTGGCTCGCGCGCGTGCGGCCCGGCGCTTGCCCGCGGGGGACAGGGGCTGGGCGTTCGACGGGCGCAGCATCGTGAGGTCTTAGGGCTGCCCAACTAGGCTGCCTCGTCCGGTTGCCTCAGGATCATGATTTTGAGCTATCAATGCGCCAATAACTGGTCACGCAGACCCCGCGGCGGTCGAGGTGGCTAGGCGGCCTAGCTCTAAGCAAAGCAACTGGTCGTCCAGGGCCCAGGCAGCCCTGTTTTGGCGCAGGCGCAAAACGAACCTGAACCCGATTTTTTGTGCAAAGGCTGAATCACCGTCAGAGCTGTTTGAATTGAGCAGCATTCGTATATCTTGCCGGGGAGGGTTTTTACAGCTAGCGGCTGTAAGACACTAGGCATATCCCAGCCTGGCTTTGTGAGCAGCCTTTGTAGTCGAACGACTGGCTTTTGAGGCTTCGCTGATAACTGACGAATCGCCTGATAGCTGCGCTGCTGCAGGCGACTCATTTCTTCCGCAGCGCGTCGAGCGCTTCCTCCAGTGCGCGCACCTCGGCAGCTTGGGCTGCCGCTCGCTCGGCGACGCGGAGCACTGATACAAAAAAATGGACCCAGACAAGCGCGCCAAGCTAGTGGCAATGGAGATCGAAGAGACGCCGCCGCCACAACCACCGGCACCACCGGCGAAACCGCTGCCGCCGCGCGCGCTCGCATTCCTCGACGGCCCGACGGACGAGCACCGCGTCGCCGGGTTGCTGCTCCTCGCGGCCGCCGACGCGTCGAGTCTGCAGGCGCATGCCTCAGAAATCGCCGCCAAGCTAGAAGCGTCGAACTTCCTCGCGCGCCTGCTCAAGACGGCCGGCGACGACGGCGCGGCGCTGACGAGCGCGCAGCGCGCGGGCCTCGAGGTCGCGCGGGCGCTCGCGGGTACGTCGGCCGACGTCCGGGACGCGCTCGCCAAGAGTGCTGCGCTCGAGGCCTGCGGCGCGTGTGTGCTGAGCGTCGCCGACGCGCGGACGATGGCGGCGCGCGGCGATAGCATCGAGGGCGGAAGTAATGAAGACGCGGCGGCAGCACTGCGTTGCCTCGACAGCTTGGTAGGCGGCGACCCGCGACGACTCGTGACGAGCGGCGTCGACGGCGCGCCTTTACTAGCCTTTTGCCGGGATGCCGACGAGCAGCTCTGGCCCGCGGCAACGTCATTACTAAGATGCTGCTGCGCCGGCGGCGGTCTTGATGATGAGAGTGTGCGAGCTTTGACTCTCTTGGCGACGACCGTGCGTGCCAAATCAGAAACCTACGCGCGCGAGGCGCCTTTGATAGAGTGCCTGGCCCTGGCGGTGGCGGCGCGCGCGGGCGCGGCGCGGACGTCGTCGACGGCCGCGCACGCGCGGAAGGCGGCGCGCGACGTCGTCGAGGAGGCCGTGCCGCGCCTGCTGCGGCGGGGCGGCGCGCGGGAAGTTTGTAGGGACGCGGCGCTCGGCGCCGCGGCGGTCTGCGCGTCCGGACGGCGCGGCGCCGCGTGGCTCTGGGGCCGCGACGGCGCCGTCGTGCGCGTCGTCGCGGGCTGCGCGGCCGCCGAGGCGCGCCTGGCGCTGGACGAGGCGCTGGCCCTCGCGGCGGGCTCGGGCGGCGACGACCGCCAGCGCCGCGCGGACCGGTGCACGCGCGTCGCGCCGCTGTGTTTGGGCGTGCTCGAGCGCGTGCTGCGCTTGTTGCTGGGCGACGACGAGTCGGGCGACGAGTCGGACGACTCGGAGGCGCCGGACGCGCCGGCGCCGGCGCCCGACGCCGTCCTGGGCTGCCGCGACGCCGTCCGCGACGCGGCCGACGCGGCGCTCGGCTTCTGCGGCGAGGCGCGTTTACAGCGCGACGCGGCGGCTCGTGGACTCCCGGAAGCCCCAGCGCCCGCGGCGCTCGAGCTGCTGCTCGCACTCTGCCGGCCCTGCCTGTCGCTCCTCGGACTCCTCGCCGCCGAGCTCGACGAGGACGAGACAGGCGATGACGATGGCGACGGCGACGGCCTCGCGCTCCACGCGCGCCTCGCGGAGCTGCGACCTTTTGTTGATGATTTGGTTGCGGCCGACCGCGGCGGCGCGCCGCCGCCGCCGCCTGCAGCTGGTGATGACGATTCCGCGCCATCCTCGTCGGAGGAAGACTCAGACGACGAGATAGACTATGGGACTTAAGTTTGTGTTTCAGAAGTTACGCCGAATGGCCGCCATGACCGCACGGCTCTCGGACGAATTCAGGATGCGGCCCTTGTCTATCGTGGCCCGGGCGAGAGGCACCGCCAGGCCCTCATACATCTGCTTCCGCGCACCGCGGAGACCCACGACGCGGTCAATGTCAACGCCGACGCGATGGGCCTGGCACCAGTAGGCGAACTGCGCCGTGAGTTGGTTTACGTTGCCCTCGAGGATCGAGCCCGGATCCTCGTCCTCGCTCGTCGCCGCGAGGTGGTCGAGCAGTTTCTTGAGCAATTTCGCGCTTCGCTGCGCCCGCGCTTTTATGAACGCTTTATCGGCGTCGCTTCCATCGCGCGAAGCGAAGAGCGCTTCGGCGACTTCTCGCCGCGCCAAGATGCAAACGAGGCCACAGAGCGAGTCTCTACTCGTGCGGTGGCACACCGTATGCGTAATCCTCTGCGACGCCACGCGCCGATCCGTGCAGACGCGCACCAGCGTCGCCGTCGCGGCGAGCCACAGTTCCCAGGCGTCGTCGGACGAGTCCACAAATTCCGCGAACCGCTGGCCGTCCGCCTTGCTGAAGCTGCCCGTGCCGGCACGACTCCTCCGCTCCCCTCGGAAGGGAGTGCACGCAAGATGCTGCAGGAACGAGCATTCGCAGTTCGAGGTATATAACTGGAGGAGCGCCTGGAAATCGGTCTGCGCCCGAAGCACGGCCCGGAACGCTGCGTACAGGCCGAACTCGACGGCCGGCGCGTAGACGTCGTCGCCGTCAAGCCGTTCCAGGTCTCGAACGCGCAAGGGCGGGATGAGCGACGCGTCGTTGAGCTGCGCCACGATAGCTGCGGCCTCCGCGCGCGAAACGTCCTGGAGCGTCTTGCATTCGTCGCGGTGCCCGTCCTCGCGCCAAGCGTACTTCTGGCAGTCCTTGCCGCAATAGTGCTGCGAGCCGCAGCCGATGCACGTGTAGCGCGCGTTCTCGGCGCCGCACACGTCGCACGACGGCCGGCGTTTCTTGACGCGCTCCGGGCGCCTCTTGAGGGGCGTCAGACCGGCCGCGGCATGACGTTCGGCCAGGGGGTAGTCGTTGTGATTCGGGTCCGAGACGATCTCTTCGTAAGCCCTTGCGACGAAATCTGCTTCAGGCATGGCTCCGCCATTCACCCACCAGTCCTGGTCGTCGCCGCCCGCCGCCGTGTCTGGCGTGTCCGGAGCACGGGGCGGCTTCGCAGGCTTTCTGCGGGATTTTTTGCCCATCCTTGTCGTGCTTTGATGCGCAGTGACAGATTTGGGCTGCCCCCCGCGCTCTTGCTGTAGCTTGGAATCTAGCCTAGTGTCTTACGTGCCGCTAGCAATCTGCCGCGCCGAGCCACAAACAGCACAAACAACAGCTGTCCTGCGGCTCAGACAACAGGAGGAGCATTATTCTACGCTCCCTTGTCCTTGTAATTGTTGCGTCCATCGATTGAGGCCCAGCGCTGCACCACCTCCCACCTTCGACGAGCAGTTTTGCAGTTTTGCCCAGTACTTGTCGCGCGCGCCTTGAAAAATGGACGCCGCGCCGATGGAGGACTCGACGCAGCTCGCGACGACGACGGCGCAGGACCTCGCCTTAATACCAGAGATGGACGACGCGATGACGCGAATCGCCGCATCGACCATAAAGTTCACCGACAAGGTCGCGTCCTACACCTTGAAATTCATGGTTTTTTATGCGGTGCTCTGCGTCTATGTGCTGAATCAGTTAAACACGCTGCCGCGCTGTTCGTCTGGACGACGGTGCGCGACACCGATGCTCGATCTGACGCAAGACGTCGACGTGTTGATCCACGCGTCGCTGTCCGGCGACGTCGATACGAATGTCGCGCCGACGTACGTCGCGCGCAATGCCTCGGGCAAATCCTACGACGCCACGATCCCTCTGAGCGCGGACGTGCGCAAGGGCGGCGCGCCGCTGACGGCCCACGTCTTCCTCCTTCCATCCAGACAAGGCGACTGGGACTGGTCCAACGACACCGCGGCGTTGGCACGAGCTTTTTTTGTCGGCTCCGCGCCCTTGACGGTTTTGCGACGCGTCACGAGCCAGCGCATGAAGCCGCGGAAGCTGCTCCAGGCGGACGCGTATGTCGATCGGGACGATGTTGGGAGCACGGCGTCGCACTGGCGGTTCGGGCGCTGGCCTCTCGTCGTCCGGATGTTGGATGGGGGCGACTTGGATTACGAGCGGGCCATCCTGGAGCAGCAGCACCACCTGGGCGTGGGCATCCGGGCGCGCCACGGGCGCTACTTCCCGGTTGTCCACGTCGACGAAAGTCTGGCGTTGGCCACGCACGCGCTGCCGATCTCGCGGAACACGTCGTTTCCGGACCCTATCCTAAAGCTCCAGGTCAAGACGGCGTCTCCATTACATTTTGGGCTGCGGAAGACGCTGGCTTCGCAGTTATTGCAGTTCGCTGCCGTCGCCATGCCCGAGGCGCAGGTCGACGAGTTGCGGTGGCAGATCTCGGACCGGCGGGTGTTTCGCTTCGCCGCGCAGCAGCTCGTGTCCTTAGTACACGTGGCCTTCGACTACCTGGCCTTTTCCGAGGACGTCGGCTTCTATGTCGGGCGGGAGACCTTTCATGGTATATCAAAAGCCTCTCTGGTGTGGAACCTGGTGCGCGATTTGATTCTGTACCTGTACCTCCAGGAGCAGGAGGCGGGGTTAGTTGTATTATTTGGGCTGATGCTGGCTTTACTATCGGACTTCTTCAAGATCCAGCGCGTTTTAAAACCTGCGTTAGTTATACGGCCGCGGTTTCCCCTCTTCTTTATCGTGACGGCGCCATTAAGGACGCCGCCGGCGAAGGCGACGGCCAAGTACGACAAGGAGGCGACGTCCCATTTATACCTTGCGACGTTCCCCATGCTCTTCGGCGTCGCGTTGTACTCGTTAGTGCACGACGTCCACCGCACGTACTATGGATGGATCGTGTCGTCGTTGGCCGATTTGGTCTATTACTTCGGCTTCATCATGATGACGCCCCAGCTCTACATAAACTACAAGCTGCAGTCTGTCGCGCACCTCCCGATCCGGGTCTTCGCGTACAAGATCTTCAACACGTTCGTCGACGACGTCTTCGCCTGGGTCGTGAAGATGCCGCTGAAGCACCGCCTCATGACGCTGCGCGACGACGTCGTCTTCGTCGTGTTCCTGTACCAGTGGTGGACGTATAGGATCGATTCGACGCGGCCGAACGAGTACGGTTTTGCGGCGGACTACGGCGGTGTTCAGGCGGCTGCCGAGGACTCGTCGGATTCGGAGGAGGAGGATTAATTTTGTTCTTGTGTTCCTCAATTCGTTTGTTGCCGTCGCGGCCGCGTCGTCGCGTCGGCCGCCCTTTTGGCCTGTTCCTTTCCTTAGGCGTAAGGCAATGAGCCTTCTAAACAATGCGAAGGCTGCCGATCGAGGCCTGCGGGGGTAAACAAGACTACTGTCATGCTGCTCATTTGACGGCACTCGGCCCGGCGCCCCGGCGGCACGCTATTGACGGCTGTAATGCTGTGAGCAGGACGACTCCATCAGGAATTGATCGATTCCGCGGCTGCGGACACGCGCATCGGCTCTGTGGCAGCATTTCTCACATCTGTCTCTCGGAGAGCAAACCTTCCAGCAGCGCGGCGCCGAAGTCATTCTTCGCTGCCGTCCGCAAGATCGACGCATAACACCGACGTGCCGTCGCTGCCGCTTCGCCTCGCGCCCAACCGCTCCATAAGCGCCGCGCGCCCGCCGCACGGCTAAGCACAGCAACGAATCATGGGCTTCAACCTCTGCTGCTTCTGCGTCACCGGCCCGGTCAATACATTAGATCCGGCGGCGCAGATCGTCGCCTACGAGAGCACGAAGAAGCTCCAGGAGGACTTCGCCGAGGGCCGCAAGCTCGGGGAGGGCATGTTCGGGAAAGTCATCTTGATGACGCGCAAGAGCGACAATAAGACCTTCGCGACGAAGGTCATGAAGAAGCACATGTCCATCTCCGACAACAACGAGGTGTTCCCGGCGCCCGCGCCGTCGTCGCTCCTGCGAGAGGTTAAGATTCTGCGGAAGCTCGGCGGGAAGAAGCAGTGTCTAAGGCTGGAAGTAGCTATAGAAACGCCTCGAGATTTCTACGTGCTGACGGACGTGTGCGCCGGCGGGGAGCTGATGAAGCACCTCGAGCGGTGCGACCAGTTCGTCGAGCAGGACGCGTCTCGGTTCTTCGCCCACTTTTGTGGTGCTGTCGCCCACTGCCACGCGAACCAGATCAGCCACCGCGACATCAAGCCCGAGAACTTGCTCGTGACCTTTGAAAGGGGAGGTAGGGCGCGCGTCGTCCTGGCCGACTTCGGGAGCGCGGTCGAGTACAAGAATGACACGCGGTGGCGGAGCGAGGTCGGGAGCCCCTTCTGGCAGTCGCCCGAGGCCTGGGCGCTCGTGCGTTCCCGCGTCCCGTGTTACGCCATCGACGCCATCGCCGCGACCGCTTTTTCACGCGCAGGACTGGGATTACCGGGGCGACGTCTACTCCTGCGGGGTCGTGTTGTTGGTGCTCACGCACGGCATGCTCTCGGCGGGCGAGATCCGAAGCCTGCACGGCGCCGGGCTGAACGGGCTCCTGCGCTTCCGGAAGACGTACGGTAAAAAAGAAGACAAGCATTCGGACACGTTGATGGAGCTGTTGGAAGGACTGTTACGACCGGAACCTGCCCGCCTCACGGCTCAGGAGGCCTTGGCGTCGCCGTGGCTGACGCAACCCAGCGATAGCTCCGCGACGAAGAAGCTGCCGAACCCCGCCGCCGCCGCGTTGGCGCTACGAGCGTTGGAACGCTCGGCGAAGACGTGCGTGGCTCTGCTGGAGGACGCGCCGCGAACCAAATTGAGGGAGGCGCTGACGCGCGCGCCGACTCCGGGGCTGCCCGCGAACTGCGCCCTGTTGGGCGATATCGTGCGTGCATTGGACGCGAAGGACGATAGTGCAGCCGCCGCGACATTGCGAGCTTTGCATCCGGATCCCGACCTTGTACTAGTGCACCGGCCGCTCGCCTTGGAGGCGTCCTACGTGCGACAACGAGCCGAGCAGAAGCAGAAGAGTGCCGCCCTCGTGAAGAGGCGGTCGCTCCCGCTCAGCGCGCCGAAACGCCTCGAAAGGAAGAACCTGTCGAACCCGGACCTGCGCGCCTTCTTTCCGTCGACGTTTGAAACCGTGGGGCGGCGCGACGCCCCGGGCGCGACCGACGACGCGGCGAACATGGACGGTACTTTTTATAGCTCGGAGGCGCTGATGATGGACGCGTCGGCCGCGAGCAAAGTTTCCCACGAGTCGTCCGGCGTCGACGACTCGCTCCACGGCCTCCAGACGCCCGTGGCCCGCGCCGGGTCGCCGGGCCAAATCACGCCGGTCGGCTCCGAGGCGAGCCTGGGGGACATCTCACCCACAGAGTGTGACGCGCCCCCCGGGGGCCGCGGTGGCGTGCGCAGCCTGGGGGACATGCCGGGGAAGGAGGCCTGATGACGACGTGTCGTTGTTGATTTAACTTTATTGTACATAGTACCTGGACCTTCGCGGGGATGTACCCCAGATAACCCCGTCCGGCCGCACGTCGAAGCGTACGTCGGTCCGGAGATGTGTATGTGTCAATTGCATATCCAATGGCTGCGTCTAAGGTTAGCCTTCGTGCGGGGATGCACTTTGGCAAAATTAGCATCAGCTTATTCCACGCCGCGGAGCAGCCGGACGCACCGCGCACAACTTAAGAGCCTCCTGACGTCGGCGCCGAGCCATTGGCCCGGTCTCCTAACGCGCGCCGGTCGCTAAGTCTTGCGAAACCCCCTCCACCAGCCACCAGCGAATTGGGCCCAAAATGCTCACGACGCGAAGCGCCCTCGCCGCCCCCGGCGCCGGCTGGGCCCGCCCCGCCCGCAGCATCTCCTCAGCGGTAGTGCGGAGCGCCGCGCCGGCGCTCACCGCGCGGGCATCGCCGTCATGCACTCACCTTGGTTGCGCCGACCGGGCCTGCGCCCAGCGGCCGCTGACGACCGCGCGCCCATCAAACAGCTGCGGCCACTCCACGTGTGGCTCGTCTTGCGCCCTGACCGCGCGGCCGCTGACGACTGCGGCCTCAAAAAACGCCTGCGGCCACGCTGGGTGCGGCCCGGCCTGCACGCAACGGCGACCCTTCTCCTCCCTCCAGAAGAAGGACGAGCCCGGCACGTCTATCGCGGAGAGCGGCACGTCCTGGAAGGAGATCTCCGACCGCATGAGCCAGGTCTTGTTCCTCACTGATATTTGGCGCGGGATTTGGTTGACGGGCGAGGTCGTCTCCAAGCCGAAGGTCACGATCAACTACCCCTTCGAGAAGGGCCCGATCTCACCTAGATTCAGAGGCGAGCACGCTTTGAGACGTTACCCGTCGGGCGAGGAGCGCTGCATCGCCTGCAAGCTCTGCGAGGCGGTCTGCCCGGCCCAGGCCATTACGATCGAGGCCGAGGCGCGCGAAGACGGGTCAAGAAAAACGACGCGCTACGACATCGACATGACCAAGTGTATTTACTGCGGCTACTGCCAGGAGGCGTGCCCGGTGGACGCCATCGTCGAGGGCCCGAACTACGAGTTCGCCGCCGAGACGCACGAGGAGCTCATCTACGACAAGGAGAAGCTCCTGGCGAACGGCGACAAGTGGGAGGTCGCCATCGCCAAGAACCTCGCGAGCGAGCACCACTACCGCTGACCTCCTTAATTCCTTGTACTTACTTCACACTAGCGAGCGACCGCGGCCTCGAGCGACGCTTCCCGGACCGCGTCCAGGCGGGCGACGTGGTCCCGCGCGGCGGTGGCGAGCTGCTCGCCGACCTTCGCCGCGGCGTCCAGCGCCCGCGCTATCAAAGAATCGTAGGCGTCCGGCTGCAGCGGGCGCTCGCCCGTGAGGTCCGTCCACAGCACCTCGCCGAAGCACGGTAGACAAGCCAAATCGAGGGCGACGCCGTGCCTAGCTTCCGCACGGTTCGGGTCGACGAGCGTCGTCGCGGCCACGGGCGCGCCGACGCGCGCCGCCGCGACGACGCCCCGCAGAAAAATGCCCGCGTCCACCAGGGCCAGGCCGGCGGCGTTGATCGCCGCCGACGTGGCGCCGCCGTCGTCGCACGTCACCAGCACGTGGATTTTGATGAGTGCCCGCGGGTAGCGCTCCGCCATGAGCGCCGGCGCCAGCGCGTTTCGCACGGCGTTCTCCAGGTCCCGCCCGTCCTGCCGCCGCGCCCCCGTGCGCGCCCCGACGCTCGCGAAGGGCGCGTAGGTCGCCGCGACCTCGAGCACGCATCTATCATGTTTCTCGTCGCTCCGCCGCTCGTGCTCGCGCGGGCCCTGGGCGTGCGCCGACACGCGCGTGAGGCCCTGGGCGACGTCGCAGGACCCGTCGACGTGGCGCGACCGCGCCGTGCCCAGCTGCACGGCGAGCCGGCGCGGCTCGTCCAGCCCGCGGCCGTCGCCGCGCGCGCCGAAGAGCTCGAACCAGTCCTCGTCGAAGGCGCCGTCCTGCGCCATTTATTTTTTTTGCGCTAGCTGCTGCGGCGCATGTGCCGAGCTGGTGTGAGTGTGAGCTGCCGCGGCGACGGCGGGCACTCCTGTCTGGTGTGAGCACTGCTGCGCAGGCTTGCCAGCGCGCACCGCTCACCTTTGCCAGCGGACAGCTCAGTGAGGCTACCGGTTATACATGCACGCAGTGTCACCAGCGCTGAACGTCGGCGAAGCGCGGCACGCTGTAAAGGGCTCGCTGCTGCCAGGCTGCTGCTAAAACAGGGAGCACAGGCAGTGCACAACTCGCGTTGCCAATAAGCGGTCGCAAAAACACGACAGCTGTTGCCGGTCGAACGCACGACTGCGCCGGGCGCCGAAACTGCGGCGTAGGCACAGCTGGGCACACCACTCGCACAGCCTGGCCTGCATGCGCCAGACCGTCGCCGCACTGCTCGCGTGCAAGATGGCAGCGCTGGCGCCCGTAGAAGTGCGTCTCCGGCCGGCGCTGCGGGAAGACGTCGACGCGCTCTACGCGCTGGAAGCGGCGAGCTACCCGGCCGACGAGGCCGCGTCGCGCGAGGCCTTGGCGTACCGGCAGCGCGAGGCCGGCGACTTCTTCCGCGTCGTGACGATTGAAGGCGACGACTGCGCGGGCTTCGTCTGCGGCACGCGCTGCGCGACCTTCGAAGAGGAGTCGATGGCCGCGCACGACCCGGCCGGTTCCATCCTCGCGATCCACTCCGTCGTCGTCAAGCCGGCGCTGCGACGGCGCGGCATTGCCTTGCGAGCGCTCCGGCGCTACGTCCACGACGTGCGACGCGGGAGGACGTGTGCAACCATCGCCCTCATCGCGAAGGCGCCCCTCCTGCCGTTGTATCGCAAGGCGGGGTTCGAGGTTCAGGGCTTGTCGGAGATCGTGCACGGCCGGGACCCCTGGTTCGAGTGCACGCTGGACGCGACGGCCTTCCCCTACGAGGTCGTCGATTCCTTCTCTTCCGTAAAATTTGGGGGCAATCCCGCGGCCGTCGTCCTGGGCGAAGGGAGCGAGGACTGGATGAAGGGCGTGGCCGCGGAGTTCAACCTGTCCGAGACCGCGTTCCTACGGTTTATAGAGGGCAGCCGCTTCGGGCTGAGGTGGCTGACGCCCACGGCGGAGGTCGACTTGTGCGGCCACGCGACGCTCGCGGCGGCGCACTTTCTGTTCGGTCGGGAGGCTTATGATGAGCTGATCTTCGAGACGCGGTCCGGCGATCTGGTAGCAACGAAGAAGAATGACTTGATAGAGCTGGCCTTCCCGCGGGACGACCCCATGGAGGTCGTGGATCTCAAAATCAAGGGCCAGCTGCTCAAGGCTCTGAGCGTCGAGGACATCGTCAGTGTCCACCGGTCGGGCCAGCGCGATCTGCTCGTGACGTTGACGGCGGAGGCGTTTCAGAGCATGAACGTGGACCTGGCGAAGATTAACGAGATCGAGCGCATCCGGGGCGTCGTCCCCTGCTGCGCCGGCGACGTGCGCGACGAGGGCCAAGCGGACTTCTCGTCGCGGTTCTTCGGGCCGGCGGTGGGCATCGACGAGGACCCCGTGACGGGGAGCGCCCATTGTGCGTTGGCGCCCTTGTTCATGAAGCGCTGCGGCGGCAAAAGCCGGTTGGTGGGCTACCAGGCGTCGGCGCGCGGCGGGGAGGTCGTGTGCGACGTGGCGGGGCCGCTCGTGAAGCTGAGCGGGCGGGCGACGGCGGTCATGGCCGGGGTTGTAAAGTCTTAAGAGGTATGATTATGAACAGCTATGGACAACATATGTACAGTTCGATCGGCGATCAGTAGGTGGGCATGTGGTGGGCCGGGAGCGGGTTGTGCTCCGTGCCCGTCAGGCCCGACGACGGCAGGAAGACGCCGCTGTGGCCCGCGTCCTTTTGCATCGGCTCGAAGTCGAGGTTGGGCGCGCCGGTCACGGGGTCGCAGCCCTGGCTGTAGACTTTCTCCATCTTCGCCGTGTAGGCATCGCCTGTGAGCAAATCAAATAGTGAGTCGGGTGCATAATTCTTCACTAAGTCCTTTCTCGGCGAGAACGCGACGCGCCACGACAATTTGATTTTATGCACTGCACGTTGCCCTCCTCCGTCGACGGGTGCGGGAACCAGCGGTTCAGCCAGTTCGCCGTGCGCTGGGACGCGCCGTCGAGCATGCTCGACGTGCGCTTCACCAGGCGCCGCGTGAAGCCGGGCTTCTCGGCGGGGTCAAGCTCCATGCTACTTCACCGCTGCTGGCCTCAGCCCTATGTCGCGGTCCTGGGGCGCGCTGCGCCACGCCGTTCGATGACGACCGAAGAAATAGATAGCGACCGTAGTACGGCCTAGTAAATCGCTGGTCCAGACAGCCGCGAATTAGCGTCGACGCGTCGACGCTAGCGGCCTTGAAGACACACTAGCAAGCGGACAAAATCGCGCGGAATGACATGAGACCTCCCTTCAAGGGCGCCGAGCACCTCCTCCGCGCCTCCCCCGCAGAGCGGTCGCCCGTCGAGGTCGTTGTGGCGCTCGTTGGCCACCACAAAAAGCACGACGAGCAGCCTCCAAGGAGCGCGACCGGCTGCCCCGAGCCCACGACGCACACCGACGGACCCGAGCATGCCGCCCCCATCAGCAGCCCGCGTCGCGTGGGACGTCGAGCAGCTCTCGACCGTCCCAGCGGAGCTGGGCGGCCACGAGGTCCAAGGCGCCCGGGTCGAACTCATCATAAGGCCGGCGCCGGACCTTGTTATTAATGAAGACGTAAGGTTCGAGGTCCGCCTCGACGCGGGCAACTACCCCGCGCGGCCGCCGGCCGTCCGACGCTTGACCGAAAATGCCAAAGCGGTCGACGGCGTGGACGCGGCGGGATCCGTGAATTTGCCCATCCTCGACCCGCGAGCCGAACCGAATGGGTGGTCGAGAGGCTACTCGCTGGCCGTGGTCTTCTACGCGCTGCGGGACGTGTATCGGAAGGCGGAGGCGGACTGGGCGCCGCCGCCGCCGCACGCGCAAGGATCTTCTGAACCCGTGGCGGGTCGGCCCGCCGTCGAGGCGAATTTGTCGTTCGGCCTGACCGTGGGCCACGCCGGCGACCAAGGTAAAAGGATGTCAATGGAGGACGTCGTGTTGATAAAACCGCTCGACGTGCCCTCCAAAAAAACGAGAAGATCGCAACTTATCGTCGTTTTTGATGGGCACGGCGGCCGCAAGGTCGCGGAGTGGGCCTCCGAACTCCTCCCCGAGGAACTGCAGCGGAATTTGCGGGTCGACAGCTGGGGCGATGCATTGAAGCGGGCCTTCCCGGCCGTCGACGCCGAACTGAGAAGAAGACGCGAGGCCGATTCCATGGGCCGCGACGCGTCGGGCTCCACCGTGCTCGCGGCGCTCTTCGACGGACGAGACACGTTCCACGTCGCGTCGCTCGGAGACTGTAGAGCCGTGCTCTCCCAGAAGGATGGCTACGTGAACTGCTCGAACGATTGTAGAGCCGACCGGCCCGACGAGATCGCGCGCGTCGTCCGCGCCGGCGGCTTCGTCGCCAACAAGCGCGTGAACGGCCAGATCGCCGTGTCGCGCGCGCTGGGCGACTTCGCCTTCAAGGGCGGTGCCCTGGGCGACCGCGTGTCCTGCGTGCCGGATCTGACCTCCGTGAAACTGCGCGACGGCGACGACTTTCTGCTGATCGGCTGCGACGGCGTCTTCGACGTCCTGACCTCGGCCGAGGCGACGAGTTTTGTGAGAGACCGCCTCGGACAAGGCCGCAATTTAGATGACGCCGCCATGGACCTCGTAAGGCACGCCATCGACGACCGCGACTCGCGCGACAACGTCTCCGTCTGCCTCGTCAAGCTCCAGAAGACGGCGCCCGAGGTCTATACGGAGGGGGCAGTGGCGGCATTGCATAGCGTCCCCGTCGCGGAGCCCTTGCACGCCGCGAACGCGCCGCGCGCGCCGGCGGCGAAGCCACGGAAAACTGGCGTCCTCGACGACGAGGACCTCATGGACTTCCTCATGAACGACGACAACTTCGCCTAAGCATAAGTTTAAGCAAAGCAAATAAATTAGAAATCTCGAAGGCAGAAGGAGGCGGAGCTCCACATACTAGTAGGCGAAGGGGTTCCGCGGCGGCGGCGGCGGCTCGTCGCTCTCTGGCGTCGCCCATCGACTCTGGCCCGTTTGCGCGTTGTAGTCGTAGGCGTGGCCCGTCTCCGGGTCAGTATATGTCGTCCAGCCCTCGTCCGACGGCGCCGGAGGGGGGCGCTGTTGCAATGATCGCGCGTACGCGGCGTCGCGCGCCTCCGCCTCCCGGCGCGCGCGCGCGCTGTCCTGTTGCAACGACCGCGCGTACGCAGCGTCCCGCGCCTCGTTCGCCGCCCGTTCGCGCGCGCGCTCCTCGTCCAACTCCGCGCGCAGCCGCTCCGCGTACCTCCGGTCCGCGTCTTCGCTGGGCGCCGCCTCGTTCTCGAGCGCGTCGAGGGCGTCGCACACGGCGTCCTTCTCCTCGCGCGAGTAGGCGCACACGTAAACTTCGTCGAGGCCCGGATATGCATGCGAGGCGATGGCCCGCAGGCCGACGGACACGACCCGCTCCAGCGGCACCGAGCCGCGGTAGACGCCCGCGCTCAGCAGCGAGAACGCGACGTGGCGGACGCGCTTCTCCCGCGCGACGCGCAGCGCCGCCGCGTAGGCACTTATGAGCGACGCCTCGCCGCCGCGCCAGCCGCCGCCTTGCCGGAAGTCGGGGCCGACGGCGTGCAGGACGTACTCGACGCGCAGCTGGCCGTAGGCGTTCGGTCCCGTCGCGACGCAGTCGCCGACGCCGATTCGGAGTCCGTGCGCGTCCTGGGGCAGCGCCGCCCGGTCCCGCCGCAGCGCCGGGCCGCCGGCCCGCGAGACGGCGCCGTCGACTCCGCCGCCACCGAACCCCCGCGCGTTCGCCGCGTTGACGATCGCCGCGGGGCCCGGGCAGCCGCCGAACGCCACGACCGAGCCCGCCGCCGCCACGAGGCGGCCGCCGTGCCGCAGCCTGATCGCCTTGAGCTCCCGGAGGCCGCGGTTCGTGCCGCGGATCGGCCGCGATTTCGGAGTCGGCGCGTCGCCGTCGTCCGTGCTCAATTCGTAATCAGCGGCGGGGGCGCTCGGCGCGGCACGCAGGCGGTCGAGGCGGTCGGCGAGCGCGTCCGCGCACGGCGTGGCGTCGCGCGTCCACGACGGCGGCGCGGGCGGCGCCGGCGGTCGCGCGGCCGGCGCCGCCGCCGGCTTAGGCGGTGTCGGTGGGGCCCGCGGTCGTTCGTGCTGCAAGCTGCGCGCGTAGGCCGCATCCCGCGCCTCCGCCTCGCGGCGCGCACGCGCGCTCGCCTCCTGCAGCGACCGCGCGTAGGCCGCGTCGCGCGCCTCGGCCGCCTCGCGCGACGCGTCGAAGAACGCATCGACGCCGCCGAGGCCGCGTTGTTGCGTGACGGCCGCCGCGGCCGCGTCCCGCCGGTCCAGTCGGTCCTCGCGCGCGGCGGCCAGGAGCTCCTCTTGGGATCGCGCGAGGGCCTCGTCCTCGCGCCGCGCGGCCGCCGCCGCCTCGCGCCGCGCCGCGACCGCCTCGGACCGGGCCGCGTCGAAGGCGTCGAGGAGCGGGTCGTCGTCGGCCGGCTTTGCGAGCGGCGCCGGCGGCCCGGTTTCTGAAAAGAAGGGCGTCGCCTCGGCCAGCGTCAAGGTCGTGTCCGCGGGCGCGGTGTCCGGCACTTTCGCGTAGTAGACGCGCTCGTTCGTGTGCTTGAGCTCGTCGTAGTACGCGGCGGCCGCGGCGCCGAGGCGCCCGGCCGTCGCGCGGCCCGCAAGTTTTACAAGGTCGGCCGCCGCGGGCGGCGGGCCCGGCCACGCGCCCGCCCCCGCGAGGGCGGCGAGCCGGTCGCGGCCGCGCCGCGCGTGAGCCACGGCGTCGCCAAACGTGGCCGCGTCGCTCTTGGCCGCCGCTTGCCGCGCTCTCAGTAAATCCGCGGCGGCGAAGGCCGCGAGCGCCGCGACGGCGGTCTCGGAACAGCCGAGGGCCATCGCCGCGGCCGCCGCGCGGTCCGCCGCGCCGTCCGCGAGCCGCGCCGTCACGGGGTTGTTCAGTGCCAGCCCCTTGCGGACGACGAGTCGGTCGGCGGCGGCGAGGCAAGCGTTGCCGCGCGCGGTCGCGACCGCGGGCGAGGCCTCGGCCGGGACCTTTTGCAGCGCGTGCCACGACCCCGCGGCGTCGACTTTCGCCGCGGCCTGCCACAGACCCGCCGCGTCCTTGAGCGCCGCGGCCGCGCGCTTGAGGCCAGCCTCCACGTCCTCGGCCAGCTCCCGCGCGGCGCACCGCTCGCCGGCCTGCGCCCCCGCCGCGCAGGCCAGCGCCTCGTCGAGGCGCGCGCACGCGACGAGCGTCGGGAGCAGGGCCCCGGCGACGGCGAACATGGGCTTCCGGGCGTCGTAGTCGGCCACGACGCTGATCGCGTCGCCAGGGCCGAGCGACGACGTCCAGCTGACGGCGAGGCCGCCGGGCGCGACGCGCGCGTCCGTCGCGGCGCCCGCCTCCAGCGACGCGCGCACCGCGGCGACGGCCGCGGCCGCGGCGCGCGCCGCCGCCGCGACGGCCTCGGCGTGGGCCGCGGCCGCGCCGGGGCGCCCGTCCTCGCGCGTTGCCGCGCGCAGCCGCGCGAGCGCGGCGTCGGCGGCCTCGCACTGGAGCTTCAGCGCCGGCGTGCAGCACGGCGCCAGGGCGACGGCGTAGTGGCCGCCGTCGGCGCGCGTGGGCAGTCTCGATGGTGGTATGCGGGTCAGGAACCGGACGAGCTCCTCGCGGAGATTTTCCTCTGGGCTTGCCATGGTCCACCACCTACCTGGATAGCTGGTGGGAGCTCACGCCGTGCCGGGAGGCTGCCCGCTAGGAATTAATTCTATAGATTAGGATCACTGATTAGAGGATCACTGATTAGCTAGACAGTGTAAGACACTAGCAAGCATATAGGAGCTAATTCCTTGCCATCCATTTTGACCGGGCCATCCGTCACGGTAGATACAACTCTTAGGAGCGCGTCGCCTCATCAAACGACCGCAGATGTCGGCCGCACCGCCCAAGGAGAAGAGCATGATGGACAAGTTGTCAGAGGGGATTTCATCTGCTTTCAACACGGCCGGGACGGAGGCCAACAAGGCCAAGCTCCAAACGGAGATCGCCATGAAACAGCACCAGATCAAGGGCATCAAACAAGAGTTCGGCGTCCGCGGCCAGTGCATGAAATCAAATCGGACGTCGCGGCGCCCCCAGCGGTCGCGGCGCCCCGGGCGCGGCGCGTCTCGGAGCCGTCACTGCTGAATCATGGCCTCCGTGGACGCCATCGACGCGACGTCAGCACGACGGCGTGGTCTCACCGGTTGATTTCAATGATTGTGCACAGGTCGCGGCGTGGGACCTCATGGCGCGCGACGACACCGCGGGCCTCCAGGCGTTATTCAAGCAAAGGCAGGCGACCGCGCAGAACGTCATCGGCGACCTGGGCAAGCTCCAGCGGCAGCTCGCCGACCTGGGCGGGCCCAAGCCGACGCATGTCGTGTCCGTGACCGTGCCGGCCGGTCCCACGCTGTGCCGAAATCAATTTCTCGGTGCCTCATTGCACCCGACTCACTGGCTGATTTCCACACAGGCGCCAAGGAAGGCGAGTCCATCGAGGCGAAGGCCTCCGACGGCTCGACGGTCCGGATCACGGTGCCCGCGGGGACATCTCCCGGCGCGACGCTGCATGTACGCGTACCGGTAGCGCTGCCGCCGCCCGTCGACCCGACCGTGCCGGTCGCGCAAGGCACTCCCGTCGTGACGACGACCGCGGAGCCCGTCGAGCCCGCGAAGTAGGCCGCTAAGTTCGGGAAGTAGTTGGACTCGGAAGGTCCCGCGGAGCCGTGCGTTGACCCTTCCCAGCTCGGATTTCGCTAGCGGCCTAAGACACTAGCCAAGCCCAAGGGAGTATAATAATCATATATGCCTTACCACTTGCAGTGCACAGGCAGCCTCGTAATCATTGCACGCGTTCGTGCTAACGAAGACTGCTGGATTCACAAAACAACCATTCGTGCGGACGCACCGCACAGAGCACTTAGCAGTAGTAGGGAGAGCAAGAGAGCAGCCACCACCACAGAGGACTCAGGCAGCAGGGAGAGCAGCCGCAAGAGAGCCCAGGGGACATCTCACAGCGAGCATAAACTCGGACAGCAGATACACGGAGATGATCATTCGTCGCGCAATAATAACCGTTGCAGCCGTCGCGCACGGCTTCGTCGTCGCGCCGCGTTCGTGCGCGCCCCTGCCGCGCTCACTCGCGCGCCAGCGAGCGGTCGTCGTCGCCGACGCGGCGGATTTATCGCGGTCGCTGGCGATCATCGACGCGCAGCAGCTGGTCCTGTCCGTCGGCTTTCTCGCGGCCCTGTGGTTCTTCGCGGCGCCGACCGGTCCCTTCATGGTCATCGAGGAGGAGACCGTGTACATCGACGAGGAGGAAGAGGAGGAGGAGTGGTTCCGATGGTAATCACACACATATATTTAGCTAGCGCGGGAAGCCCCGGTGCGCCGTCGCGCCGCGGCCCTCGCGCGCGTTCGTCTTCGTCCGCGGCCAGAACGCGCCCAGCCGCCCGCCCGTCGAGGCCTGCGCGACCTGCGCCACGGCGTTGTCCCCCGACTTCGCCTTGAGGGCGTCGGCCCGCTCCGCGCCCCACCGCCCGAAGCCGCACTTCTTGCAGAAGAACATGCGGTACCAGCCGTAGGAGTGGTACTTGCCGATCGCCAGGTTGAACTCCTTCGCCAGGATCTTCAGGGGCCAGAGCAGCTGGGCGATGGCGAAACTCTGAAGGAACTTGAGCACGTCCGAGGGTGTGAATTGTTCGCACTCGTCTCCAGCGCCAACGCTTCCGGACAATACCTCACACGAAGGGGGATTGAAGAGGACGAGCAGGGCCAGCACCACGAAGAACGTGCCGATCACGAAGAGGGGCAGCACGATCAGGTGCCCCCCGCCGGTCAGCACCGACTCGAGCCGCCGCCACTTGCGCTCCTGCTTCCGGCCCTGGTTCTCGAACTGAATGCAGGGGCACGCGAGCATGTAGAAGAGCAGGATGTCCCCGAACACCGTGGGCAGCGTCACGATCACGAAGTTCCAGAAAATGCCCTTCCAGTATATGTCCAGTAACGGGTCCTGCCATCCCTCCTGATTGACCTTGAGCATGAGGATCGTCGTGGCGAAGAGACTATACGCCGTTAAAACCAAAAGCATCGCCGTCTTCTCGAGCCGGTTGAGCGGGTGGTCGAGGTCGCGGTAGAAGAGCGCCAGGACGGGGTGGTAGTTCCGCGAGTAGTAGGCGAAGTCCTCGACGTAGCCCGGCGGCGTCTCGTACCAGATGACACAACTATAAAATCGCGCGAGCCAGCCCCGGCCCTCCTCCCTCAACTCCTCGGCGCCGCGCCCCCAGAAGCACCGGCGCTGGCAGAGGCCGATGACTTTTAAATAGCGCACGCGCTCGCGCGCCAGCGCCGTGACGAAGACCGCCCACTCCTCCCTATCTAAGGACCCGCTCCGGTCGGCGTCGACGGCTCTCAATACACGCCGCGCGCGCGCCGGCTCGACGCCGTCCCGGAGTAATAAAGCTCGCAGCATCTGGCACTTGGAATCCTCGACGAACTTGATGATGCGCGGGTCTTCCGCCGCGTTCCGCAGTTCCGTCAGGGCGATGGTGCCGTCCCCGTCGTCGTCGAGAATATCGAAGACCTCCGCGGCCTGGTCCAGGTCGATGTGGTCCACGTTCTTCGAGAAGTTCGACAGGACCGTGAGTTCCAGATTCGTAAAGGCGTGGCCGCGCCGCCCCACGAACTTGTCCTTCGCGAGCCCGCTCTCGACGTCGTCGTCCTCCTCCTCCTCGACCTCTTCTTCCACGTCTTTTGACGAGGACGAGAAGGGCAGCGCCCCCAGCGCGCGGCTGGCGACGGCGCCCGGCAGGTTTATGGCCGTGCGCACGCCGTAGGACGCGCGCTCCTGCCACGCCCTCAGGCCGAGCACGTTGCCGAAGGAGTCGTCCTCGTCGAAGACGCGCGTCGGCCGGAAGTCCTCCTCCGTCGCCTCGCCGCCGACGTCGCCCTCGAGCGCCGCGGCGAGGCAGTCGAAGGCGTGCAGGTCCTCGACCGTGTAGCCCGTCACGAGCGTCGGGTCCTTCCGCTTCTTCACCTCGCGCGGCGTCAGGTTCTCGAAGCTCTGGACGAGCGCATCCCAGTCCGCGAGGTCCTGCTGCGTCACGGAGCTCGGGTTGTGGGCCACGTCGCGGATGGCGTCCTGCGTCTCATGGGTGGACTGCGTGCTGCCCATCGCTGCCTTTGATCCGGGGCCGCCGCGTTATGATGGGAAGCGTTCCTACGGGGCCGGACTATGGGACCGGCGGCCGCCCGCCGACGGCTGCGGCATCTCCCTCCCTCCCGTGGTGCCAATCAGGATCGAAGCCAACCACCACCAGAAAGCTAGCTAGCGAGATGCTAGCGTGTCTCGCGTAGCTCACGACGCTAGCCGGAGGGCGACGCGCCACGGACACCTACTTAGTCTCTGCCGGCGATTTCCGTCGCTTCCGGCCGCACCGCGCCATGGTCTCGTAGAAGGCCTCGTAGTCGAGCGCCGCGAGGCACGCGTCCAGGAACCAGCGCTCGCCGTCGGGGCGCGCGCCGCCCCGCAGCGCCGCGCGGCACTCGGCCGCGAACTGCTCGCGCGTGCCGCCCGCGACCTCCAGGACGCGCTCGGTGGCCTTCTCGAAGAGTCTCAAATATTCACCGTGGAGCTCCGTGAACTCGAAGGAGTGGCCCTCTTCTCTTGTTTCCGCATCATTGGCGAATGCGGCTGCGTGCTCGTTCACAAAGTCGTCGAAGACGACCTCGAGGCCCTCGTCCTTCGCGCACATGAAGGCCTGGTCCTTGAAATAGCGGGCGACCTCGGCCATGAGCGGCAGGTCGCCGCCGCGGTCGCGCGCGTCGTCCTTGGACTCCATCGTCGCGTCGCGCGCGCGGTGTGGGTGTGGTCCTGAAGGCTGGGGCTGCCAGCCACGGAGTGCTCACTGGCCAGTCGGGCTGCCCGCGTTTCCGTAACCGTGGCGAAATGAGCGTACGATGCTGCTGCCCAGGCGTTCGACCGCTCTCGTCCAAGTTTTGTTGCCGAGGATGGCAGTCTGCCCTGCGCTCTGCTTGCAAGTGCTGTGTGGAGGTTCTGTACGGCTGAACGCTCCGCTCGAGAGGTAGTGGGCGCGCGGCCAGAGCGATTGAAGCACCAGAAGGATGGGTACCAAAACCTGTTTTAAGCGCCAACCAAGTGTGATCTCTGCCATCGTCGAGGTCGTCCGTTTTGCTGCTCTCCCGCTGCACAGCTGAACATATTTCGTGCGGCAACACCGAGCCGACTCCCGGACAGAAGCTCACGTGACGCGCTGCGGCAACGACAGCGCGCCAGACGCCACAAAGAGGCCGCGTTCAAAAAGGGCGCGCCAATTATCTCTGCGAAGCACGTTCGGCTGGGCCCCAAATGGCGCAGCCGTCCGGCGCACAACGTGTCCCCGTCGTCGAGGCCGAGGCGCCGCCCGCGCCGCCGCGGGGAAAGCTCGTCCTGCGGCGCCAGCAGACGCAGGAGGGCGCCGCCGCGCTGCTCGGCCTCGCGGCGCGCGCGCCCGCCGCCGCCCCGCCCGCTGACGCGACGGAGAGCCTCCAGCCGTACGAGGGCAACGACGACTGCACCGTCGTCACGACCGAGAGCGGGCGAAAGCCGAAACGGCCGCATCGGAAGCGCGCTTCCGGACGGGCCAGGGCACGCGCGCCCGCCGTCCCCGTGCCCGCGGCGCCGGCGCCGGCGCCGGCGGTGGGCTGGAGCCCCGACGCGGGCGGCCTGAGCATCTTCGCCGGGCTGACGGGCCCCGGCGCGCCGCCGCGCGCGCGGCCGCTGCCGCCGCCGTTCCGCGCGGGCCGGCCGCGCGTCGCGCTGCGCCTGGACCGGGCGGCCTTCGCGGGCGTCGTGGACCAGGGGACGCTGCGCTACTTCCCCGGCGAGGTGCTGTCGCAGACGCGGCCGGCGCCGCCGCCGCCGCCGCCGGGCGGCGCGCGGCGCGCGCTCTTCGTGGGCGACGCCGCGCCCTTCTTCGACGACGGCGCGGCGCGGCCCGCGGCCCTGAGCGCGCTGACGCACATCGCGCGGGAGACGGGCTGCGTCGTCGTCGTGTCGTCGACGGCGCCGCGCGGCGTCGCGGCGGCCCTGGGCGCGGCGCTCGGCGCCGAGAACCTGCGCGCGGCCGCGGCCGTGGCCTTCCCGGGCAGCGGCCTCGCGTCCCCCGCCGAGCGCCAGGTCCTCGAGGTGCTCCAGTGGCTCGCGCGGCGGCCCGACGGCGCGACGCGCCGCTGGGCCTGCCTCGACGCGAGTGGTGATCTGAGGACGGCCTACCTGGCCGTCGCGCGCGCGGCCCGCGCCGCGCCGGCGCTCGCGTCGCGCTTCGTCCGCGCGCCGGCCTTTGACGAGGGCACGCTGCACGCCGTGACGACGCGGCTCGACGCCGCCGCCGCCGCGGCGCCGCGCGCGCCGCCGCCGGCGCCCGCGCGGCCGGCGGCCTTCGCCGTGCCCGTCCGGGCGCCGCCGCCGCTGCCGCCGCCGCCGCCGGTGCCCGTGCGCGGCCGCTTCGACGAGTTCGCCTTCCGCGAGGTGCCGAGTCCGGCCAAGCCGAGCCCGGCCAAGCGCGAGCGGAGGGCTCCACCGTCGCCGCGGTCGCCGGCGCTCAAGCGCCTCCGCCGCGAGAGCGCGTCGCCGGTGCTCGTCGCGACGGTGTGACCGACCACCTCTATCCAAGAAGAAGCAAGAAGAACGAAGACCCTGTAATCCCCCTCCCGGCAGTAACGAAGTACTGATAGATTCGCACTTCCCGCGGGGACATTCCCGGAAGTACCGCCTACCCGCTGGACAGAGCGGAAATTAAGCTCTGAACTTCACTATTCGGGGGTCAGCCGGAGAGGTCTGTTTTCAAAAGCCATCCGCCTGGGCCTGTGTACATGTATACTATATATATGTATATATACATATATATATACATATATACGGATTCCTAGTGTGTCGATACGCTAGATCGCTAGGTCTTGCGGCTCGCCAAAATACACCAGCGATTGACGGCGCCATCTACCGTCCAAATGGGACATCATATCAACTCCAGCCTAGTTTTCATGCACACTCGACGGAACCGGAGCCGACGGCCCGCGCTCGGAGGGCGGGAAAAGAATTCTACTAGACAACTCTCGCGTTTATGTTCGTTTCCTTCCGTTTGTTAGTGGTAGAGTCCATCCAGACCGCTAGTACATTTGCCTATCTATATTAGGGGCTCCGTTAGAGCCGCGCGAAACGACGACTTCGCGACCCCCGCGTTTGTGCGGGAAGGCCTCATAACCTAAACCTGCGAGTATCAACGACTCAACTATCCAGATGGACCATAACGCCGTTGTTCTATTCACAATCGACCGACTTGCCCGTTCTCCGCGGACGACGGTGCGTACGCGGGGCACCGGAAAGGCCCCAGACCGGTGGTTTATAAAATAAATTTGCGTTTCAGGCGCTTTAGTTCTAGGACGGGCCATCTAACCGGCTTGATTGTGTACTACATTGCTCCGAGACCCAAAGATGCTCGGCGCGGGTCGTCGGTCTCGCGAGCCCACAATCTCGCTAATTTGGACTTAATACCTGGACCTGCGACCATCAGCCCGTGTACCATCACCATGGACCATGACGCGACCATTTGTTCCATGATCGACCGACTTGAGCGAGGTCCAGATCAAGATGTTCACGTCCCGAGCGTGGTCGGCCCAAAGTACCCTTCTTATAATGTAGATGTCATATACTCGTAGTTGACTATCGCTGGGGTAGTATGGGGTCCGACGAGACCGCTACAGCGACTACTGGGGGCCCTCGGGTCATTGACGTTTTTGACGGGAACGAGGCGCTATCGGGCCCAAATTGCGCGCTCTTTTCGGGGGCAGATCGGCTCCTGGCGGCCTCTCGGGGTAGGTCTAGTAGTGTGTAAGCGCCTACACCGCATACGCCGTCGATGCGGCAGCCTAGTGCTCTCGGAGAGCCCTGGAAAGCAAACCCTCGCTAAAGCTGCTAAAGTGGCGTGGGCTGCTGAGAGAATTCGGCCAAAAATGCTTGAAGCGGCGGCGCATGCGGCGTAGGCGCTTGCACGTGTATAGTATCGACCCTAGGCGACCCCAGGGAGACCTATTTGGCAGGGATGGACAGGATTAAACAGGCGCGGCCGCCCTGTGGCCTCGGCCGCCTCCGCACCGCGAAACTATTTTTGGCCCCCAGGAAGTGTCCCATTGATCTCTTTGGACCAGTAGCGAACTGAGCGGTACTCGAACACTGCATGCCGCGTTCGCTCTTTGCTTGCTAGTGTGTCTACTGGCTGGCCGCGGCAAAAAATGGCCGACGCGTTTTAGCTTGCAGAGGCCAGGACGAGGCTTAACGGCCTTGTGCATATCTAGGCGTGCTAAGGACAGCACATAGGTGGAGCACATCGCGACAAAGCCCGCTCAAAACGCTACAGCAAGTCGATACATCGGATTTGAACATGATGTTACCCGTCGTCGTCGCATGCGTCGCAGCAGCAGCAGCGGCGGAGCTCCACGCGAACCCGCCGCTCACGGCCGCCACGCCGAACCGCACGCGCGTGCACGCCGACGCGGCGCTGCTCCTCGCCGGCCTCGACTGGGCCGGCGACGCGCCGGACAACGCCACCGTCGCACCGATCATTCGAAGGCACCCGCTCGTCGTCGCCTTCCGCCGCACGAAACAGCTCGTCGGCCGCGTGCCGAAGCTCTATCGCTGGCTCACGCGGCTCGTGAACCCGCGGCCCGTCGAGCCGCCGCCACCGCCGGAGCCCGTCGCCGCGCCGGCGGCGACGCCGCCGGTCTACGACGCCGGCGCGGCGCTCGACGCCTACGCGCGGAGCTGCGCGCGCTACGCGGTGTCGGCGAACGGCGCGGTGCTCGGCGCGCTGCGTTTTGGGGGCGTCTGCGTCAAGCCGTCGGACGAGAGCGGCGGCGCGCCCTTCGGCGACGCCGATTTATTGGCCGTGGTGGACGCGATCTGCGACCCGGCGTCCGTCGCGCGCGCGTTGGATCTCACGCGCGTCGACGGGGCGCGCTTTACCCAAGCGTGCGCCGCGCGCGCGCTGTCGCACGCTTTAGCTAAAGCCGACCGAGGGCGAGGACTGGCGTACCTGGCGCTGGTCGGGGCGCCGCTCGGCCCGCGCGGCGCCGAGCGCCTCGCGACGGCGGCGACGCCTCAACTCCGCGCGCTGCGTTTACAGGGCTGCGACGCGCGCGACGCGGGCTTGGACGCCTTCGCCCAGGCGCTGGGCGAGCGTTTACCGCAATTGGAGCGCCTCGATGTCAGCCGGAACCGCGCGTCCTTGCACGCGTGCAAGCGGCTCAAGAAGGCGGCCAAGGCGCGCGGCGCGAATGGTGGGAAAAAGTGCCGCGTCGAGCTCCGGGGCAACTGCCTCGCCCTCGAAATGGCCTGCGCGGCGACGCACGCGGCGGGGGTGGCGGCCTTCGCGACGGGGGGGCCGTACCTCCTCCACGAGGCCAAAAGATTAGGTTTGGACGGCGCCTGCGTGCGCTCGCTCGCCGTCTACGCGTCGGCGCACGTGTTTTATTTCGCCGCGTCGGCCCAGACGCACCTCGCGGAGGCGCGCTTCGGCCGGGCGCGGCCGGCGCTGCCGGGCGCGCCGCGGCCGCCGCCGCGGTCGCGCTGGGACCGCGCGGCGCCGGCGCTCGTGCTCGCCGCGACGCACTACCCCTTCGCCGCCTTCCTCCAGCTCGACGCCGCGACTTCTCGTCGAGTCCACGGCGCGGCCCTCGCGCTCTGCGCTTTCACCTTGTGCCGCGAGCCGCCGGGCGTCGACCGCGACCCGCCCTCATTGCGCGTCGGCAAGTACGCGCCCGTCGAGACGCTGGCGCTCTTGTTTGTGGGCAGCTTCGCCGCGTCGGCGACGGCCCTGCCGCTGCGGCGCGCGCTCGGCGACGCCGCGTTCCGGTCGCTCGCGGCGGGCGCGCTGCTCCACGTCGCGGCGGCGATCTGCCACGTCGCCGCCGGCGCGGGCCACGCCGCCGCGCACGCGCTCACGCTGACGGGCGCGGCGCTCCACGCCATGGTCGTGCTCAAGTCGCTGGTCTGGCACTTCCTGCCCGCGGCGCCCCCGGCGCCGCGGCCGCCCGGGGCGGCGCCTCCGGTCTAAACTTTGTGTACTACTTACCCCTTCTACCGCGGCCTCGCCCACGGCCTCGACCCCTCCCGATTTTCAGCGGCCGCAGGCCCGTGACGAGCTCGCCCTCGAGCGCCGAGAGCGTCGCGTTCGCCCGGAGCTTCGCGGCGGCGTCGCCGCTCTTCTCGGCCTTGGCGACGGCCTCGCGCGCGGCCTTGAGCGTCTCCTCCTTCTTCGCCTTGCCCGACGCCTGCTCGTCCGCCTCGGCCTTGGCGATGCACGGTTGGCACCGCTGCTTCGCGGGCCCCTTCTTCAGCTGCGGCTTCGTGAACGCGGACACGGGCAGGTTCTCCTTGCAGGCCGCGCAGGTGGCGGTGTCTGTCGTTGCGGAGGGCGCGGCGGCCTTGGTCTTGGCCGCCGCCGCGGCGCGCTCGTCGGCCGCGGCCTTGTCGACGCAAATTTTGCACTTCAACGTGCCGTTCCCGTCCTTCTTATAGCGCTCCTGCATCTTCTTCGAGAACTCGCTCGCCGTGAGGCGCTTGCGCCGGCAGACCGAGCACTCGAAGTCGCCCGCCCAGTTGTTCACGGCGACGCCGGCGTGCGTGACCTTGTTCTGCTGCGCGTAGCTGGCCATCGCCGCTGCGGTATTTTGTGGCCTTGCTTTGCAGACGTGTCTGGTATCTGCCGCAGCGATGTCTTGCAGTGTGCAGTGGTCGGTGCAGTGCTTCGCAGCCTAGCGCTGCGCAGGTTGCACGAAGCGATGCGCAACAATTTGTTATGGATTACTAGCCTTCCGGACGCCAACGTTAAAATGTATAGGACGCTTGCTGCTTGCCCAAGCCAAAAAAGTGCGCTAGCGTCATGTAACACACTAGCAGTCCGCCGCACCCGGCAAAAAAGCCAGCATTAACATCATGCGGCGCCTCACCGCGCAGCTGCTCGGCTTAGCCGCCATAGCCCGCGGCGCCTTCTGGAAAAAACCAGCCCAGGAGGCAGCAGCGGTGCCGGAGTACGTCCTGACGGAGGAGCACCACCACGTGCTGCCGCACCTCCTCGCACTCGTCGCGGAGGGCAAGGTCCGCAAGCGGGCGACCCTGGTGCACCTCGACTCGCACCACGACGCGGGCCTGCCATCAAATTGGAACCACGAGGACAACGAGCACGACACGCAGCTGGCGCACACGCACATTAATAATTTCCTCTTCGCGTTGGGTTTATTAGAAGCGGTGGAGCACGTGATCTTCGTGGAGCCGCCGTGGTCGCGGCAGTGCGTGAGCCTGCACAACCGGACGAAGGCACTGCGCCTCGGATTTATTGAAGGCGCGCCGCGCGTCTCGTATGATGCGACGCCGGCGGAGCAGCGCGCGCTCGGGGGCTTTTTCGACGACCACCAGGTGGTGGACGACCTCGCGGAGTCCGTGACGGTGCGGTTTTCGGTCGTGGCCTTGAGTGACGCGCCTTCTATGATTTCAAAGCTCGTCGGAGACAAGGCGGACGTGATCTTGGACGTGGACTTGGACGCCTACGGCACGACGTCGCCCGGCGCGCTCGCGTTGCGCTCCGCGGGCCTCGACCCGGTCACAATCCGCCGGCTCTACCGCCTCGCGCACGACATGTGCGTCTTCGACGAGATGTACGACTTTTCTCAACCCTACAAGTCACCAAACTGTAAAGAGGAGCCCCTGGGCTCCGGCCCCGTGACGCGGCGCAAGGTCGCGGACGAGTTGCGGGACGTCGTGGACAGCGCCGAGCGCGCTTCATCAATCACGTGGACGGATGCCAGAAGAGGCGCCGTCGCCGCCACACTAAGACCCTTTGCCCAACAGCTGCAGGCGTCCTTCAACATCGAAGAAAAAATGAAGCAGTTTATTGCGCAGCCTTTTAATGATAACGCCGGCAGTGTAGCGGGCGTCGGGAAGGTACTGAGAGAAACGATCCGCCGACTGGAGCGGGTCAGGGCGGTCACGGCCGTGCGGTCGCCCTTCTACGCCCCGGCCGAGTTGCTTAGTGTAATCGAGTGCCAGGCTTTTGGACTCTTCGGTGAGATTTTTGGCGACGGCGGTGCATTGAGGTACCACGACGGCGTCCGGGCGAATCGGACGGGCTGCCTCGCGAAGCACCCCCACGACGACCATGCTACGGTCGGCGCCTTCCGTCATATTGAAACGATGGAGCTCCGGGAGGAAGATGTGGACGACCTCTTCTTTTCGGAGGAGGAGAGCGACGAGGTCGTCGAGGCGCGGTTCGTCAATGATGGGGAAGACTCCGTGGACATCTACTGGCGCGTGCTCAAGCTCGAGACGCTGGAGGCGGGCAAAGAGACGGCCTTCGAGACGACGGCGGGCTCGCGGTGGTCGTTCCGACAAGGCGAGAAGGTGCTGAAGAGCGTGCGCGTCGGCCGCGCCGCGCGCAACGTCTACGCGTTGCAAGGCCAGAGCTTCGACGCGCACCCCGTCGAGATGACGTTTGTGACTCCGAGTGACGCGCGCGTCGTGTTTGATGCGGGCGAGGGCGAGGTCGAGTACGAGGGCGACCGGGCGCACCCGGTCGAGACGTACCACGGCCACGTCTGGCGCGCCTATGATATGATGGGCAACCTGCTCGGGTCGTTTACTGTAAACGCGGCCGAGGGCTACCGCCAGGAGTTTCGCACAGAACTTTAGTAACTATGTATGTCTGTAGTCGGCTGGTCGCCGCTCCATGCCCTTCTCGGCCGCGAGGCGCTTGAAGCGGCCGCCCGCGGGTCCGGTGAAGATCGGCTGCGTCAGATTCGGCGGTGGAGGTAGGCAGGTCCGCGGCGGCTCGCCGAACTCCTTGCAGACCTCGGGGCTGATGCGGCACGGCCGCTCGCAGCGCCGATTCAGTTTCGCGTCCGTCTTCATGTCCGAAAAACAGTTCCGCCCCGGCGAGAAGGACCACGGCGTTTTTAAAGATACGCCCGTCATATAAGTAACAACGAAGCGCGCGAAGTTCGACGTGCAGTCGCCGACAAAGGCAGAGGCACAGCGCGCCGCCACGTCCAACGACAACAAAATGCGCGCCAGTTCCGTCGCCCCGTCGGTATGGATCTGGTTCTGGTGGGGGCCGCTCCGACTCCCGAAAAATTGTTGAGCGGACGACGTCATGCCCGTCGACGCCGGCAACGGGACGACTTTCCCGATTTCCGGATTTAACAGAGAGGCGTCGCCGACCATGTCCCCGTCGTCCGTCAGCAAGAGTACGGGCGTCTCCTTCAGTGTACGTCCATCTATTCCAACGAGGGGCCCCAGGTCGCGCAGGCCGTCCTCGAGGTCGACCATGAACGACGCCGAGGCGAACTTGGACCCGCCGGAGGTCTCGACACGCGCGTGGTGCCTTACTTGAAGTAAGGCGCAGGTCGCGTTCGGTAGAGGAAAAGGGTGGCTCTGGCGTAAAACCGCCTGGCGCCTTCTCAGGTAACGACTTGGTCGGAGCATCGCCGCCATGGCCATCGCCCGTATGAGAGAAAGGTGGTCGTCGCCCGCGACCTTCCGTAGGTCGGTTCCAGCGGATTGATGCTTCACCTTCATAGTCCCGCTATTGCAGGGCAAGTTATGCCGCGGCGAGCACGGTCGGGCTTGCTTGCGCGCGAAGCCGAACGGCCGCGGCTCGTTGTCCCAGTGCCGCAGCTCCTCATCGCAAACCGTCAGCGGCAGGAAGAGGCAGTCCCAGCGGTTGCCCGGCGCGAAGGGGTCCTGACTTCGCCCGCCGCCGCAGAGCCTCCCGCTGGACCCGTCGCGCGGGCCGTAGGCCCAGCCCATGAGAGACCGCGGAATTATGGAGAGGCCGCGCGCCCAGGCCGTCGTCAGCGAGTCGGCCCACTGGTGCGCGTTCGGGCCCAGTACGGTGGGAGCCGCGACCTGGATAAAGCCCTCCTCACAAATACCCGCGGCCCACTGGCGCACGCGCCACTCCTTCGCGAAGGCGTCCCGCAGTTCCGCGAGGGGCCCCGCCGGCCGCGCGAGGCGTAGGACCGTGTCGCGGCCCCACGGCTCCGTTACGACGCGCCAGTCCGCGCGCGGCGCGAGGAAGGCGTCTATCTGTGAAGCGGCGTCGCTGTAGTTCCACTTTTGTTTTGGCCACGTCATCTCCAGTACATCTTCTTTCTCGTGGGCTTCGAGTGTAGCGTGGAGATCCTCCAGGCGGTCGAGCTGCAGGTCGAGGGCAGCCGCGAGGGGCAGCCATAGTTGTGCGTACCGCATCAATGCGGTGCCGCGGGTGTCATTCGTTGGCATTCATGCTCCCGTACGCATCCATGTGGTCGCGCCCGAGCCTGTTTTGATGGCTAGCGACTTAAAGACACTAGCAAACTATACTCGACGCTCTGCGGCCGCTACTGAGCGCGGTGCGCGGACTTCTGGCCCGTAACGAGAGGGTTGTGCCACAAAACGGCTACACTGGCTCGACCCAGCGTGGCGTCGAATAACTTGGGCACGCCGCCGAGATCAGCCCTTGGCACCCACCTAGTGTGGGCGCCGCCGTCGGAATCCCGGCGAATTATTGGCACCTGCCCTCTCCCAGAGGTCCACTGGGTCTCGCTTGGAAGAAGATATTGATCGATCGATCCATGTCGTCATCGAAAAAACGACCGCAGAAGTCGTCGTCGTCCTCCTCCAAGAAGCAGCGCGCCGGCGCCGACGAGGAGGCCCGCCTCGTCGACGCGCTCTCCGAGAAGAAGCCGACGCGCAAGGAGATCGAGTCGACGGAGCCCGGCGGCGCGCCGACGGTGATCGAGCGCACGCTGCCGAGCTTCTTCGACTTTTACCCGCGCGTGAAGCGGGCATACGATTCTCTCAAGAAGAAGGGCCCCGCCGCCGCGCGCCTCGAGCTCCTGCGGGCCTGCGAGACCGTGCTGACGACGGGCAACGCCGACGCCATGGGGAAACTGGTGAAGGCCGCGCTCGCTGGCGAGGCCGGCGACGCGGCCGCGCCCATCGACGTCGACGCCGACGGCGCGGACGACGACGCCACCTTCCGCTGGCAGGCCGACGGCGGCTCCGCGGGCTGGATGGACTTCGACGACGCGTCGAACGCCGTCGCGGAGCGCGCGCGCAAATCGGGCGCGACGGAAACGCGGTTCGTGAACCAGTACGGGTCCTACACGCTCAAGCTCGACTTCATGGTGCAGGTCAACACGCACACGGGCACGACGCGGCCCGTGCGATACGTGTCCTAGCCTATTGTAACACTGTTAGTAATCCGCCGCGTACGCCAGCGCGTGCGGCGACGCGGGGCCCGGCGCCGACACGGCGCTCTGGAGCCACGCACGCCGCCACAGGACGAATGCCGCGGAAATGCTTCCGCGCCGTGCCATCCGCCGGAGGACCTGCACAGAGGCCTCGGAGCGCGTCGCCACGCCTGGCCGCGAGAGTTGCGTCCGGCGCCGCCAGGCTCGGAAGTAGAGCGCGACGGTATCCGCGCCACACCGGACCAGGAGCGGCGTCAACTTGACGAGGATCCGCATGCGCGCCTTTTCGGCCTTCTTCCGCGCCGCCCGCGCGTCCCGTTTTGCTTGCCTCACCTTGCGAGTGAGGGGCGTGGCCTCCTCGACTTTCCGAGGTCTGCGATCGGCGTCTGCGGTGGCTTTTTGATCGCGCTTCGCCGCGGCGTCCGTGGCTGGGCGAGCCGCCAGGGTACCCACCGTGGCGTCTCTGGTCGCTTTTTTATCGCGCTCCGCCTTAGCATCCGCGGCTCGTCGAGACGCTAGCGCCTCGGCGCGGGCGGCCCGCGCCTCGTCGAGTGCGGCGTCTCGTTCCGACACGGCTGAAGCGACCGCAGCTTTCGCGGACGCGACGTCCCTCGCCGAGGCCGCCCGCAGGGCCGCGAGATCCGCCATGGCTCGCTCCCGCGCTTCGACAGCGACCGTAGCTGCGGCCTCGCGGGCCGTCGATGCAGCTTGGGCGGCGGCCGCAATGGCGCTCGCCGCGCGCTTCTCGGCGGCCGCAGTGCCCGCTTTCGCCCGCGCTTCAGCGTCCTGTGCCGCGGCGAGCGCGAAGCCGGCCCTTGTCTCGGCATCGGAGATCCGCCGCGCCGCGTCCGCGTAGGCGGCGTCGGCGCGAGCGGCGGCGCGCGCCACCGCAGCAACTTCGATAGCACGGCGCCGCGCGTGCGCCACGCGTAGGTTTGCCAGCGCAGCACGGAGCCGGCGGTCCACGCGTCGAGCGACGCACCGCGCGAGCATCGAAACCGCGGTCCGCCGCGCGGCCGCCGCCCGCCGCGACACAAAGGCCGCGCGGCGCCACTCGCGGAACGCCGCCGTGCAGCTCTCCGCCTGCACGCGCCGGCGGCCGTGCAAGACAATGAACGCGGCGGCGGCGTACGCCCGCGGCCGCGGCGGCGGCGGGCGCAACGGAAGGAGCCACCGCGGACCGACCCAGCGCGTGAATGCGCGCCGCATTCGCAGCACGTTCGCAGGTCTGCTCGCCCCTCTCAAAACGTAGAAGCCGAGCTTGCGCGCGAGGTCCCAGTGGCCTCCTATCAAGTCACACGCGCCGTCGAGCCGGGCCGACGCGTGGTGCGCGCAGGCCACGGCCTTCTCGACCGCCCGCCGCGCGCCGCGCGCCGCGGCGCGGACGCGCCACTGGGACCACGCCCGCCGTGCCCGCGCCCGCGCGAGCGCCGCCGCCGTCGCTCTGAGCGCCACGTGCTTGGCCGCTTCGAGGGCGCGGCACCGGACAGGGGCCAGCAGCTCCGCCTGGCGGCGGCGCGCGTTAGCCGCCGCCACCGCCGCGAGGCATTGGACGCGGAAGACGCCGTGGCGGTGGATCCGGTCGTGGTGCGCCAGGCGCGCCCAGGCCGCGCGCCGCGCCGCCGCCACGGCCATGGCGCCGCAGGCCCGGAGCGCCGCGCCGCGGTCCGCCCACTTCGGCCGGACGATTCGCGCCCACTGCTTTATGGCCCGCATCTTGCGCCGCCGATGCCATTTCCGATTCGCCGCGACCAGCGCGCCGCCGACCGCCGCGTGGCGCCGCCGACAATCCCCGCCGCGCCGGAGGCGGGCCAGCGCGGTGCGCTTCTCCGCGACGACGCGGAACTGGAGGACGCGGAGCAAGGCCCTCGTTGTCCGCGCCGCGCATCGCAGCTGATCGAGCGCGCGCAGCTTGCGTCGCCGGTTTTGCGAACGCGCCACGTTGGCGACTGCCGCGGTGACGGCCGTGCACGGCGTCGGGGCCGGGTTCGCGGTCGCGGCAGCTAGGACCCTCCCGAACGCGCGGAGGAGCAGTCGCCGGCGCCGAATACGGGTAGAGCGGTCGAGGGCGCGCGCGACGGCGTCGAGCCCCGCCCGCCGCCTCTGCTCCGAGCGGCGCCCAGCCTTGACGCCGCGTCCGAGCGCACGCCACGCGCCGTCGATAGAATTTCGGCGCCAGCGCGACGCACACGCTCCCAGCAACAGCGCGAGCGGCCGGAGGTCCGATCCGCGCAACGCGGTCCAGGCGCCCCGGAGCCGTCGCGTGGCGGAGGCGTCGACCGCGCGCCGCGCCGCGAGCACTACGGCGACGGCGGCCGGCGCCGCTTGCGCGAGCCGCGGCGGCGGTCCCGCGGGCGCGAGGGCTGCCCACGTCCGCCGTAGTTTGTCTTCGAGCAGGCCTTTGAGGAGCTGCGCGCCGGCGCCGCGGCGGCACGCGTCGCGGTTGACCCGCCGTACGCGCGGCTTCTCGAAGTTGTAACACGCCACAGGCCGCTCCCGGGCCGGCGGCGGCGGGCAGTTCTCGACGCTGTACCGGCAACGCGTGAGCGCCCGCTCCTTCCGCAGGTGGGCTGCGATCATCGGCTCATCGCGGCACTTTCATCATCGGCTCGCATCATCGCGGCACTTTTCATCGTTGCATGCATTGGGGCTGCCTGGCGACCGCGTTCGGCCGCATTAGCTGCACTCTGGACCACAGTTTGGCTTCGCAACCATGGCCCATGGCCAACGAAATTGACGGCGCGAACTCGAGCGCTCCAGTGGAGTCAGGAGGACACCTCGTTATGCTTCCCTTGGTGTTGTTACCGATCTAAGAGAGCGTCGACTAAAGCATTAAAACGGGTTTTACTCGGCCAAAATCGACTCTTTAATCGAGACAAAAGCCGCCCAATCTCTCGACCAAGTGCAGTTTCTGGCACCCAGCGTTAGTCCGCAGCTAGCCAGCAGCGGTGGGCAACCGATAACACCGTGAGGAGCTGCATCTGAGCCGCTGCATCTGACTGCTCGAGCAGCCGGGCAAAAAATAAAAATAAAAATGCCCCGCAGCGGCGAGCTCGAGGCCGGGAGCAAGGACGAGCTCGAGACCGTGGCGCTCGTCGACGACGCCGACGCGGTGCGGCAGCGGCACGGCGCGCCGCGGTCGCCGACGGCCGCGCGCAAGACGACGACGAGCGCGCCGTCGTCGTCCGCGGCCGAGGTCACGCGCAAGGCGCTCTTCGTGGGCCTGGCGGCGCTGCTCATCTGCTCGTCGGGCTTGTGCATCCGCGAGGCGGAAGATGACGAGGGTAATATAACCTACGCCGCGACGTCCGTCACCTTATTCAGCGAGATGCTCAAGCTGAGCCTCGCGCTCGTCATCACGCTGACGTCGGACGCGCCGCGGCAGAAAATCGACGCCCGGACGGCGGCCTACTTCCTGCCCGGCGCCGTCGGGTATCTGGCCGTGAACAACGTGCGCTACTTCATGCTCGAGCAGGTGAACCCGGGCCTCATGGCCATCGTCTGGAACCTGAAGATCTGCGTCATCGGGTTGCTCTACGCGCTGCCGCCGTTCCGGCGGGCCTTCACGCGGTTCCAGTGGGCGGGCGCGGGCCTGCTCGTCGTCGGCTCGACGCTCGCCGAGGTCTCCCAGTGGGGCGCGACCGACGAGTTCGGCCAGAGCAACACGGGCGGGACCCTCGGTTTGGAGGTCGTCGCCGGCGCGCTCGTCCTCACGTCGGCGTCGGCCGTCGCGACGGAGTACGCCTACAAGGTGACGGACCTGCCGCTGTCGCGGCAGAACGTCATCCTCTACACCTACGGCTGTTTGTTAAATCTGCTGACGGCCCTCGTCTGGCGGTCCCTCGAGGGCCAGTCCTCGGTCCCGTTCACGCGCGGCTTCACGGCCTGGACGTGGGCCGTCGTCGCCGCGCAGGCGGCCTCGGGCTACGCCATCGGCGCGCTGCTGAAGTACGTCGACGCCATCGGCCAGGTCTTCGCCGACGTCATCGCGATGCTCATCACGGTTGTTTTCAGAGTCGTAGCTTTTGGTATATATATCTTACGTGTTAATGACGCAGGTGACGGTGTCGACGCTGCTCTTCGACCTCGACATGAACTTCCTGTACGCGGTCGCGCTGCTGCTCTCCGCCGCGTCGCTCGGGGTCTACTACTCGGACCTGATCACGACGGCCCTCGAGGCGCGGCGTGCGGCGCGTGCGCGGCAGATCGAACTCGTGCCGCCGAAGGCCGACGCGTGCTGAGGCTAGGGGCGCTCTGTGGCGTCGTCGTCGTGGCCGGTCCCCGTGACGGCGCGGATCCCTCTACAGGGGGCCCGCGCCCGACGACCGTTCGCGTGGCGGCGACGATTGTGTGTTAATGAAATTCGCAGATAAGGACTCTCGCATTTGTGCTAGTGTATCGACTACAACTCCTTATGAGCTGAGGGGAGAGAGAGGAAACGACACGCGGGGTAAGAGGACGATGTGGGGGTAAACAGTGCAGGAGGAACATGACGGCCCTGAAGAAGACCGTTCGGACCCGGAGGGGCGTGGAGCCCGTCCACCCGGAAGGTGCAGCCGGTCCAGTCGTCGCGCGCCTCGTTCTTGTGGTTGTTCTCGTCCGTCGCCATGCCTGCGGAGGGCCTCGCGGTGCTCGGCGAACGCGTGATGGGCGCGCGGGGGCGCGGCGGTGTGTTTGAGCCGCCGCCCGCGCGGTCGACTCGGTCGTCGGCGCCGACCTTCGCGCGACGCGCGGCGGCGCCTCGGGGCCGGCGCGCGCGTCACGAGGCGCTCTCGCGCGGCGGAGCGTGGAGGAGGCGGCGGGCGCGGCTCAGGGACGCGGGAAGCGCGGTACCTTCGAACGTCGATGTTGTGAATCAAACTGCCTGTTGAAGGACCTCCGTGCGGCGCTGCAGCGCGTCCGCGCAGGTCGCCGAGGCTCGTCGTCGAGCGCCTGGGTCCGTTCCGTCGCCGCGCTGTGGCCCTGGTCCACCGCGCCGCGCTTTTGCGGCGTCGACGGCCGCCGCCCCCAGATCGTTCTGCGCTCTGCGATTTTTTTGATTCGCAAAGGGGCCTTGCGCCCCCCGGCCGGGTCCGCGGCCCCCGCGCGGCGCGGGAGGGCTCGGGGGCCTTGGGGGGACGGGTACTAGCTCGGTAAAGCGCGGTCAAGCGGCTAGCCGTCGCCGCGCCATTGCCTGGAACTGAGGCCGACGCCGCCGACGGAAGAAACACACAAAAAGACTTACCGAGTCACCGAGTCGACTGCGGCGGCGAGTAGTCGTCGCCCCACGTGAGGAACCTCGAGTCCGCCCCGGGGTCGAGCCGGCCCCGCCGCCGCGCGGGCAGTTCCGGCGCGGACCGCGGGCCCGCGTCGGGCGACCGCTGGCTCGGCGGCGGCGTCGCCGGCGGCGCGACGCCCAGCACGGCCGCCTGGGCCCGCCCGAGGTCCAGCGCGTTCGGCTGCGCCGCGCGCACGGGCGGCGGCGGAAAGCGGCTCGCGCTCGCAGCGGGCGGCGGGACCAGCGTCGCCCGGCGCAGCGCCACGAACCGCCTGAAGAACGACGCGGCCGTGCAGCGGCCCTTCGACGCCATCCTGACCGCCTCCCGGGCCCGCCGGCGCTGCCGCCGGTGGCGCCGCGCCGCGGCCACCGTCACGAGCGCGTCGATGCGCGTGTCGCCGCTGCTCACCATCGCGGACAGCGCCGCGTGCGTCAGGAGCGTCGCGAAGGCGCGGGCGCGCGCGAGCTTCCGCAGGTAGACGTGCGGGGAGACGGACCGGCGCACGACGTCGCCGTCGACGTGCGACGCTTCGACGGGCCGCGCCGCGTAGGCGAAGCCGTAGAGGTCCGCGAGGGTCTGGCGCGCGGGCGGCGCGATGCCGATCTCGACGGGCGGCGGCGGCCGCGGCGGCGACAGCGCCGCGACGTCGACGCAGTGCGCCCCCGCGAGCGGCCCGTGGTGGGCCTTGGCGATTGCCGCGTCGCGCAGCAGCGCGTCGAGCGGCACGGCGCCCTGGCCCACGACGCACGTGAAGGCCGCGTCGCGCGGGTCCAGAAAGGCGACGGCCGTCACGGCCAGCCCCGCCGCCTCGAGGCGCGCCAGGCCCACGGCGCGGGCGCCCGCGCGGCGTGGCGCGGCCCAGTCGCCCTCGACGACGCGGACGCCGTGCTCGAGGAACTCGTCCTCGAGCGTCGTCGGATTTTGGGGAGTGGGGCCGGGCGCGGGCCGCCGCTCGCGGCCGTGGTGCGTCGTGTCCATGCCGCTGCCGAGGCCGCTGCCCAGGCCGGACGTGGCGAGCGACGCCGCGACGGCGTCGACCGAGCTGCTCAGCGACGCCGCCACGGCCTCGAGGTCCTCGTCGTCGCTCGCCGCCTCGTGGAGGCCCAGGGCCTCGATGCCCACGACGAGGCCCTCCGGGGATCTCGCGTGCTTGAGCGTGTGCTTGACCGCGGCTTTCGAGGTCTTGGTGCGGGCGGCGCGGCCCATGGTTTCGAGTTGGCGCCTGCGTCTAGCGGTCCTCTGGCCCAACGGGCGCGTCTAATCAGCACACCAACAGGCTTATATCCACCGCCCAGGTGCGTGCACATGTGTGCCCACGATGCTCGCTAGCGTAACAAAGGTGCTAGCCTAGCCCTTGCAACGGGGACATAGCTTGTTCAGCCCCAGCCAGTGGCTTGTTTAGCCCAACCAGTGGTCACTCTCGGTCCCCTCTGAAGCTCGCCCCGCGAAACCATGCGCAGCTACGCCCTCCTCCTCGCCTCCGCGGCCAGCGCCTACCCCGTCGCCCCACGACGGGCGCTGCGCAGTACAAGCTTGCGCGCCGCCCCCGAGGTCTCGGAGCAGCAGTCCTGGATGATCGACTACATGGCCAAGGCCCACACGGCGCGCCTCGAGGCCGTGCAACGGGCCAAGGCGGAGGCCGCCGCCGAGATGGAGGCGCGCATCAAGGAGCTCGAGGCGCAGATCGCCGCGGCGCCCGCGCCGCCCGCCGCGCCGGCGCCCGCGGCCGCGCCGGCGCCGGCGCCGGCGCCGCCGAAGGCCGCGGCGCCGGCCGCGCCCGCGCCCACGCCGGCCGCGCCCGCGGTCCCCGCGGTCCCCGCGTCGGGTGCTGCGGTCGCCATCAACGCGGCCTACGCGCGGCGCAAGGGCTCGAAGCAGGTCGCGTCGCGGTGGGGGCCCGAGGAGCTCGCGCGCCTCGAGGCGCTCGACACGTCCGCCGTCGCCGCGGCGCCCGCGGCCGCGGCGCCCGCCGCGCCGGCGGTGGACGTCGACGCGGCGTACGCGCGGCGCACAGCCAACACCAAGAAGATGTCGAGCCGTTGGGGCGCGTCCGAGCTCAACCGCATCTGAGAATTCCTGTTTGCATATAGAATATATACCGTCAGATTCACTTTTTCGGACGTTCGAGGGCGTTGACGCTCGTGTTGTACGACGCGTAGCTTGAAAAACCCGACCCACCCAGAGCTGGGAGCATGCTTGCAAGTTAATGCAACCGCTGTGTTTTCGTCGTTGTCAATAGCCATTCGCTGGTTCGTTGACAATTTCATCCCACAGCACGCGGGCGAGAGCTCTGATTAATTGAGCACGGGAAGCGAGAGCTGAAACGCCTCCGTCTTGCAGAGCCAAAGCATCAAAGCCTTGCGCCGCACAATCATTGAACAACTATCACCCAAAGAATGCTGCTCTGCCTCCTCGCCACCGCGCAAGCCGCGACGCCCACGAGGACAACACCAGCAGCAGCCAAACCGCAGCTCCTCCCGGCCGAAGCCTGGGACCGCATCCGCACGGGCCGCGTCCACGTCGAGCGCGACTTCATCGACGCGACTCTCGCGCAGCGCCTGCGCGCCGACGCGACGCTGCTCCAGGAGCGCGGCTTGTTCCGGCCTGACGGCCTGTCGCGGCTCGGCGAGGCAAAGGAGCGCCAGGGCTTCAACCGCGGCGACCGCCAGACCTACGCCGGCGGCTGGGAGGCGAGCGAGGGCGACTCGGCCGCGCGCCGCCTCCTCGCTGGGAAGCTCGCGGCGCTGCGCCGGGAGGCGGCCCTGGCGCTGCGGCGACCCTCCATGGGCCGTGCCGGCGCCGTCGCGGACGAGCGGTCATACAATTGGTACGAACCTGGGGCCTCCCTAAGACGCCACGGCGACGAGTTCCACGAGGAGACCAAGGGCCCGAAAGGCTGGCTCCTGCCCACGCGCCGATCTCTCACGTGGCTGCTTTATCTAAATAAGGAGTGGCGCGCGGAAGAGGGGGGCGCGTTGCGCGCCTACGAGCGCGCGCGGCCCTGCGACCACGCCGTCGGCGCGACGGACGACGGCGACGTGCAGGTGGGATGGGTCGGCGAGGACCGCGAGGTGCCCGTGTTTTTTGGGGAAGACGAGCACGGCGAGCGCGTTCTTTATGACGCTTTGGGGCACGTGCGCGGCGGCTGCGCGGCCGGCGTGGCGGCGCCGCCATTGGCCACGATCGCGGACGCGGGCGTCCGGCTCATCCGTGGAAGCCTCGACCGCAACGAGGCGCCGCCGGCGGGCGAAGCAATCCAGGACATACGACCGGTCGCCGGGACCCTACTTCTCTTCGACAGCATCGCCGTGCCGCACGAGGTCCTCGCCGTGACGGCGGAGCGGCCGCGCGTCGCGTGCACGGGCTGGTTCCACGAGCTGCTCCCCGCGCCATAGATGTAACGACTGTTTTGTGCGATTTAAATAGGTTTCTTAATTGCGGACAGGACCTAGCAAGTGCGAGAGCGGGGGAGGACAACACGTCCTACTTCCTCATCTTTTTGGACGCGCCCGGCGCGGCCGCGGCCTTGCGCTTCGCGAGGCCCGCCGGGAACATCTTCGCCGCGGCGAGGACGAAGCCGAAGAAGGGCGGGCTCGGGTTCTGCGGCCGGCTCTTGAACTCCGGGTGGAATTGGGCCGCGAAGTAGAACGGGTGCGCCGTGCGCGGCAGCTCGACGATCTCCATGCGCGTGTTCGTGTCGTCCTTGCCGACGAAGCGGAGGCCCGCCTTTTCCAGCTCGGGCACGACGTCGGGGTTCACCTCGTAGCGGTGCCGGTGGCGCTCCGGCACGGAGGCCGCGCCGCGGTAGACCAAGGACGCGATCGACGCCTCGCCCTTCTTCGTCCAGGCGTCCTCGTGGATGATCGTGTCGCGCGCGCCCAGGCGCATCGTGCCGCCCATCTCGCCCTTCTCGCCGAGGGCCTCCGGCATGAAGATGACGGTCGGCTTCTCGCACTCCTTGTCGAACTCCGTCGAGTGCGCGCCGGCCCAGCCCAGCTTGTTGCGGGCGTACTCGACGACGGCGACCTGCATGCCCAGGCAGACGCCGAGGTAGGGCTTCTTCTGCTCGCGACAGAACTTGGCGCACGCGATCATGCCCTCGACGCCCCGTACCCCAAAGCCGCCGGGCACGACGACGCCGTCGGCGTTCTTGACCTTCTCCCAGGCCTCCTCGCCGCCCTCGGCGCCCGGCTCGAGCTTCTCCGAGTCCACGTACTCGAGGTCTAGGCGTCTTCCGCACTCGATCGACGAATGTTTGAGAGCCTTGTAGACCGACAAGTAGGCATCTTGTAAATTGGTATACTTGCCAACGAGCGCGATGGTCACGGCCTCAGTGAAGGTCTCGATCGATTCCGCCATGGCGCGCCAGGCCGCGAGGTCGCAGCGGCCTTCCCGCTGCGCGGCCATGCCGCAGTCCCTTGTTAGTTCGAGGCGGTTCCTCAAAATCTCGTCCATGCCCTGCTTCTCGAGCATGAGCGGGACGTGGTAGATGTTCGGCACGTCGTGCACGCTGAGGACGCGCGACGGGTCGACGTGGCAAAAGATGCCGAGTTTCTTCCGCGTGGCCTCCTCGAGCTCGGACTCGCCGCGGCAGACGATGACGTCCGGCGACAGGCCCAATCCTCTCAACTCCTTGACGCCGTGCTGCGTCGGCTTCGTTTTTTGCTCGCCGACCACACCTAGACACGGCACCAGCGAGACGTGCACGAGACAAAAGTTCTCGCGCTTCACCTGGAACTGGAACTGCCGGAGAGCCTCCAAGAACACGGCAGACTCGATGTCGCCGACCGTGCCGCCCACTTCAACTAAACACACGTCCGGCGCGCCGGGCCGGCCGTCGGTCGGCACGCGCGCAACTTTTTCGATCCACTCCTGGATCTCGTTCGTCACGTGGGGCACGACCTGGACCGTCTTGCCCAGGTAGTCGCCCTTGCGCTCCCGCTCGATGACCTTGGCGTAGACCTTGCCCGTCGTGATGTTGTGGTCCCGCGTCAGAGCCAAGTCCAAAAAGCGCTCGTAGTTGCCCAGGTCCAAATCGGTCTCGCCACCATCATCTAAGACAAAGGTCTCGCCGTGCTCGAAGGGGCTCATCGTGCCCGCGTCCGTGTTTAGGTAGGGGTCGATCTTGATCGATGTGACGCGCAACCCATTGGCCTTGAGCAATCTACCAATGGACGAAATCGTGATACCCTTGCCCAGGCCGCTCACGACGCCGCCCGTCACGACGATGTACTTCATCTGGCGCTGGGGCGCCGCGGCGGCGGCTCCTGGCGTCGCGGCGGCGGGCGTCACGGGCGTGGCCATTTAGTGCGGCGTTGCCGGACCTGCGGCGGCGTCGGGCGTGAGGCGTGGGTGTGTGGGCGCTGCGCGAGGCGTCGCCGCGCCGCCGCGGCCGAGCACTGCTCCGGGCGACATTTGAATGCCCGGCCGCGAACTCGCGCTGCAGCTCGCGCGCGGCCTGGATCTCTCGCGATGCGCGAGCGTGGTACAAGTGCTCGTTTTACGCGCTGTCTTTGACCGCTCGGTGCAACACGGCGCCTGGAGTGCTGCTAAAATGGCCGGTGCTGTTTTGCTTTGACAACCCGGGCGAATTGAGTCCGCCTTGCGCGAGCGCTCCTTCGACGGCTGCCCGGCCTTCGTGAAGGCTGCATCTACCGCGCAGAGGCGTGTGCTTTGCCGCTGAAAAACCCGTGCTTGCACTTGCAGTCTGTGTTTTTTCAGTGTCAGCGCCTCCGTAGAGCGACAGACACACCTGTGAGCAGCTTAAATCACCGCCGTAGATCCGCCGCACCACACTCGCAACCAAAGACCCGCCATGATTCGCCGGACGCTCGCCTGCGCGCTGGCCATCGCCGGCGCTACAGCGTTCGTCGCCGCGCCGCCGGCGCGCGCCGCCACGGCCCTCTGCGCCAGCCACGGCAAGCGTGGTTTCAAGAAGCTGTCACTTCCTGCTGACCAGCGCAAGGCGCTGCTGCGTTCGCTCACGACGGAGACGATCCGCCACGGCCGCATCACGACGACGCACACGCGCGCCAAGGAGGTCCAGAAGCACGTGGACAAGATGATCACGCTCGGCAAGCGCGGCGACCTGCACGCGCGGCGCCAGGCCATGGCCTGGATGTACGACAAGCAGCTCGTGCACGCGCTCTTCGACTCGGCGGCGGGCCGCTACGCCGACCGCGAGGGCGGCTACACGCGCGTGCTGCGCACGATGCCGCGGGCGGGCGATAACGCGCCCATGGGCATCCTCGAGCTCGTCTAAGGCTCGGGGTCGTTCGCCGCGAGAAAAGGACGTGTTTAATAATACTTACGAAGTAGTCGCGTCGGCACACGCGCGTTCGGTCGTTTCGCCGCGACCGCGCCGGGATCGTACAGACTGGGTAGCCTTCCCGGGCTTGGCGCGTGGACGCGGGCGTACGGCGGGGCCAAAACACGGGAGGCAGACCGCCCGCGGTACTGGGGTATGACTTGAGGCTTACAACTCCTCGCCGGGGGCGCCCCTAGCCCTGCAAAAAATCGCACAGAACCCGTACTAGTAGCGCAAGTACTTGAGTACTCGGGAGCAGAGCTGTGAAATGACTCCCTAGCGCGCACATTTATTCACAAGAATTGCTGCGTAACTAATAAAACGGAACCAGGCCGGCGGCGGCGGCGAACGAACAAAAAAACGCCGCGGCGCCCGCCAGTCACAGCCTACAAACAAAGTCAAGAGAACAAATTCGGTCGGCTGCCGCCATGGCCGCAGACGAACAATTAAGAAAACTCCTCGCCGCCCATGCCCCCAAAAGGACAACCACCGCCGCGCCTCCACAGCCCATCGACGACGAGGGCGCGGCCGCCGCGGCGCGCGCGGAGCTGCGGCGCCAGCGGCCGGCGTCGCGGAGCGACGCGCCGGCGGAGACGCTCGAGAGCGCGCTGAGCCAGGGCTCGGCGCGCGCCTTGGCCGCCGCGCTGGCGCGCATGCCCGCGAGCGGCGCGGCGACCGAGGCGCAGCGCGCCGACTGTAGAAAATTATTAGCCTTGCGGCCGCTGCCCTTGGATCGGTACGCGGCGGCATTGGCGGCGGCGGCCGAGCGCGAACGCGACGCCGCCTATAGAAGGGCGCGCGCCCGATTGCGCTTCGTCGACGGCGGCGAGGCGACCGGCCCGGACGAGTTCGACGCGACGCGCATCGGCGCGCTGGCGGCCTGCTCCCAGCTCCGGGCGCCGCGCAAGCGCGACGTGGCCGCGGGCCGCGCGCGCTACTACTTCGAGGCGTCGCTCCGGTCGGCGGGCGCCGCGGGTACCTTAGGATGGGGCCGCCACGAGGCCGACGGGTCCACCACGATCGTCGCCGCCATCACCTTTCGGGGCGGTATTAGGGAAGCGAGCTGGTCCTCGGTCGAAGACGATTACGGCGAGGACGTCGCTCTACTCAATGAAGAAGACGAGCCGCCGGCGCCGCCGGCGCGGCGGCCGCGGCGCACGCCGGGCCAGCACCCTAATTCGGTCCAGGCGCCGCCGCAGCGCGTCGCCGGCTGTCTCTATGATGCGCACTCGAACAGCGTGGCCTTTGCGCTCGACGGAGTCTGCGTGCGCGTGTGCCGCGTGCCGGGCGACGGCGGCCTCTTCCCGATCTGTCGGGCAGACCCGAGCGCCGCGCCGTTAGATGATGATGATGAAGACGAGGAGCGCAAGGAGGCCGAGACGCGCGGCGTGCGGCTGAACGCGGGCGCGCAGTCTTTTAGTCGAGACCCCGAGGGGCTCGCGGCGTCGCTGCAAAAGGCCCTGCAACTCAAGGGCGAGCCGCGGCTGCGGTGTCGAGCCGCGCGGTCCGCGACGCGGGCGACGTTTCTCAGAGGGGCCGTCAAAGCGCAAGCGACGGACGTGGCGACGCTCGAGGTCGTGTGCCGCTTCGATGAAAAGCCACCAGCACGCGTCTGCGTCGCGCGCGCGCCGGCCATGAGTTTGTGGGTGGAATTTGACGAAGACCGAGAACGGTGCGTCTGCGCGTTTTCCGGGTCAAGTGTCGCGTCGCCCTGGGTCCAGGCGCGCTTGGAGCGCTGGCGCCATCTCGCCGTGAGCATCGGCGACGACGGCCCGCCCTCGATGTACGGCGACGGCGCGCTGCTCGACGCGGCGCCGTGCGAGTTTGAACAAAATGATAGTGACGACGTCGCCTTCGGCCTGCCCTGCGACGACACGGCAGACCAATTCTGCGGCACTATTTCAGAGTGCCGCGCGTGGTCTTCATCTAGAACGCCGCGCGCCGTCTCGGCGCGGTGCGGCCGCGGCGCGTGCGCCGGCGACGAGCCGGACCTCATAGGCTTGTGGCCCCTCGACGAGGGCGTGGGTGGCGAAGCGCGGAACTGCGCCGTCCGGGCGCCGTCACCACTCAAGGAGGCGTGCGCCGTGTCTTCCGATGCATGGGTGCATGATGGTGATAACGACGACGACGTCGAGACCGTCAGTCTACCGCAAGGCGACCCCGACGTGCTGGATCGGGAGGCCTTCCGGGACCCGGGCGACGACGACCCTGCGGAGCTGACGGACGCGCTGATGGCTTGCGTGACAAGGGCTCGGGACGAAGAAGAGGCGTCGCTCCAAGTATTATCAATAGCGGCCCACGCGCGCACCTTCCAGCTGGCCTCTGTTGCATTGTGGGCCCAGCGCAGCGACGAGGACCAGGCTCGACGGTTGCGGGCGGACGCCGACGACGCGACGCGCTTGGTCGCGGGCCGGCCCCAGCTGCCGGCGGCGCTGCCGGCCTGCGCTTCTATGTTAACGCGGAGCCTCGCTTCCGTAAATGAGGTCTCGGCCGCCGCGGCGCTGTGCGCGGCGCGCTGGGCGCGCGCCGCCGCGGGGTGGCTACGAAGGTCGCGCGCATCGACGCGCGAGGCGGCGTTACCTAAAGCCGTGCGCGAGGAGCTGGTAAGGGCGGCCGTGCGCGTCGCCGAGGGGGCCCTCGGCACTGATGATGATATAGTGAGAAGGCACGCGCGCGTCGAGTGCGCGCGCCTCGTCGCCGACCACGCCGATCTGTTGTTTGACGCCGTCGATGCAAGAAGGTCCTGCTTCGTGCGGTCGTTGGAGGACCACCCGGGCCTCCTGGCCGAGTTTCTTGGGAGGAGGTACGCGGCGAGCCCGCAATTGTTGTCCGAGCTCGTGCCGCCGTCACTCCGGCCCGTGCGCTTGGGTAAGGCCCGGCGCCTCTGCACGAAGGCGGCGCAGGATGCCATTGATGACGCCAAAGCATTGACCGGGAATGGCGTCGAGTACACGGACAGGGCGCCGTGCCGGCGAGGCGACGTTTGCATTCTCACGACGCGGTCGCCGCGCGAGGCGCGGACGGTGGGCATCGTGACGGACGTGGACGGCAACAATATAAAAGTAGAGTGGCGCGAGGGGCCCCGGAAGCGGCGGGCCGACCCGGTGCAAAAGTATCCCAATGGAGACGTGTTGTTACGAAGGTGCTCGGCGCGGCGGGTCCTGGGGCCCGCGCTCGTGGGCGACGACGACGCGCCGCGGTGCCCGTCGGCCCTCAAGAAGCGGGTCTTAGTGGATGGCCTACGGCTCGTGGCGACGCGGAGCTGGCTCGCGCGGCGGCGCTTGTTGCTCGAGCCGCCCGACGCGCTGCCCGACGAGGCCAGCGGCGAGCCGCCGCCGGACCCGCGCGGCGACGTGGCGCGTTCGCGGACCTGCGACGACCTAAGAGCGCTCTACGAGGACGCGTGCGGCGAGTTCGGCTATTGGCCGGCGACGCTCGACGACGCGACGGCGAACCAAGGCGAGGCCGAGGCGCGGTGCCTGACGTTGTTCGGGCGACTCATAGAGCTGCTCGACGGCCACGCCTGGGCGCGGGACTTGTTTGACGCCATGCTCGCCGAGGCCGGCGCCGACGACGAAGAAATTGATAGTGAGCGCTTCTGCGGCGCGCCGCGGGTGCTGAGCCGAGTGGCGCGCGACCTCATGACTATTCCAAATCAAAAAGAGCGCGCCCTGTCCGCATTAGCCGCGCTGGCGCGCTTCGACGCCGTGGACGGCGCCGCGGCCAAAGAGCTGCTCGCCGCGCTCAAGAACAAAGCGGACGGGCCCGCGGCGGTCGTGGCGCGCGTCGCCGGGCTGGCCCTCGCGGCGCTGGCGCGGCCGCCGCCCCTGGCCTTGCAGGGCGTCGAGCCCTGCGCCTTTGACGAAGGCACGGGCGAGGCGGCCGTTCCCGCGTTCGCCTCCGTCAAAGACAACTGCACGTCCGTCGCCGCGCCTCTCCTAAATCTGGGCGGTGCCGTCCTCGAGCCGGCCGTCGAGGCACTCTGGCGCGCGAGCGTGATGCTCGGAGGCGACCCGGCGGACGCGTTCGCGACGGCCGCGCCGGGCGTTCGCATCTGGGCCAAGGGCCGCGCCGCGGAGCACGTCCTCGAGGCGAGCGCGGCCCACGTCGTCGCGGCGAGCGCCGCCCTGGCCACGCTCGCGGCACAAGCGGCGCCGGCCGTCGCGCTCCGCGAGGCGACGCGCGACGACGCCGCGGAGCGCTGCCTGGCCTTCCGCCGGCGCGCGGCGCGGCGCGCTTCTGCTGCATCCAATCGCCGCTGGGCCCTGCGCGCGGCCCTCGAGCTCTACGAGGCGCTGCCGCCCGCGGCGCGCGGCCCGCTCGCGCGCGAGATCGCCCGCGCGCTCTGGCCGGGCTGCAACGCGGTGACGCCCCCGGACCGGGACGCCCTGGCCTACGCGCAGCGCGCGGTCGCCGCGGACGGGTCCTTCGCGGCGCTCTACGGCGCGCTGGGCGAGGACGCGCTCCGGGCCGCGCGCGCGGGCGACGACGTCGCGCCGCTCCTGTCCTGCTTCTCCGACGACACGCTGCCGCCAGAAACGGTGGAGACGCTCGTGAGCGTCGAGCGGGCGCTGCGGGACCGCGGGCGGCACGACGACGCGCGCGCGGCGCTCGAGACGCTCTTCAAGGTCCGGGCGCCGGCCGCGGCCCTCCTCGCCGCGGCGACGGCGCACGCGGCCAAGCTCCCCGAGTCGCACGCGGACCGCGCCTGCGCCGCGGTCTGCTTCGCCGTCGCGGACGCCGAGGGCGCCGCCTGGGCGCCGTTCTGCGCCGAGGTCGTCGCGCGGGCGCCGCCGCACGGCGACGCGCGCGCCGCCGGCTGGCGCCTCGCGGAGACGCTGCTGAAGCGGCCGGAGGCCGCGGGCGATGCTATTTGCGCCCTCGCGGCGCGCGCGCTCGAGGGCTGCCCGCGGCCGGGGCCCGCGCGCGCGGCGCGCGCGGCGCTCTGCCTCCCGGCGTCGGGCGCGGCGCCCCTCGCCGTCGCGACGCTGGCCGAGGGCGGCGCCAAGGCCACGGCCCTCCTCGAGGCGATCGGTCTGACGACCTTTCTGGGCGTCGACGGCCACGCGGAGAACCTCGACGGCGTCGCGGACGACGTCGCGGCGGCGGTCTTCGAGCTCTTCGCGACGCGCTGCCTCGACAACTCCGACTCCGAAAGCGACGAGCGCGGCCGCGCCGCCGCCGCGGCCGCGGCCGTGGCGCTGGCCGTCGCGGGCGTCGCGTCGGACGCGGGCCGCGCGCGGCGCGCGCGGCTGCGCGAGACGCTCGCGCGCGAGGGCCGCGGCGCGGCGCTGCTGCGCCTGGCGGCCGCGCCGCTCGCGGGCGTGCCCGGCCTCGGGGCCCTCGCGCGCCTGAAGGACGCCGCGACCGACGCGCGGCCCGCGGAGACCGCCGACGCGGCGGCCGTCGAGCGCCTCGCGGAGATGGGCTTCGACCGGGGCTGGTGCGAGACCGCCCTGCTCGACGCGCGCGGCGACGTCGACGCGGCTTTGGCGACGCTGCTTGGCCGCGCCGCGGACGCCGAGGCCGCGGCGGAGGCGCCCCCGGCGACCGACGACCCGTTCCCGCGCCACTACGCCTGCGAGCGCGCGGCGGTCGTCGTGCGGTCCGCGCCGCGGCGGACGGCCCCGGCCGTCGCGCGCCTCGTCGACCACGACGTCGTCGCCGTCGAGCAGCGCGGCGCGTGGCTGCGCGTGCGCGCGGCGCGGCGCGGCGGCGGCGCGGCGCCACCGCGCGACGCCCTCTACGCGGCGTTCCAGGGCGGCCGCGTGGCGCTGAGCACGGGGTCCGTCGCGTCGACGGACGACGACGCGCCCGCGGCGCCGGCGCTGCATTTATTGAGGCGGGGCCTCGACACACCGGCGACGCCCGCCGCGCTGAGCGCCGAGAACTTGAGAAGGCGCCTGCGCAGCGACGGCGTCGTCCTGGGCAGCGGCTTCACGCCGCCGGAGCAGCAGCGCGCGCCCTCGGAGGTGAGCGCCGCGCCGTCGGAGATGACGGCGAACGTGAGCGACGTCGGCGAGCTGCTGCGCGGGTCGCGCCGCCAGGTCCGCGAGGTCACGGTCCAGGAGGAGCTCGACGACGACGACGACGACGGGGGCGACGACCAGGGGTCGCTCGTCGAGCCGGCCGGGTCTTTGATCGAGGACGCGTCCGCGGCGCCGAGCGTCTCGGCCACGGAGACGGAGGACGCGACGCGGACGACGGCGATCGACGCGTCCGTGGCGTCCTTCGAGCCGCCGGCGCGGCGCGCCGCGTCCATCGCGTCGAGCTGGACGAACGCGCGCGCGTCGCTCGCGGGCGACGACGGCGTGTCGGACCGCATCTCGGAGCAGCCCGATCAGGAGGAGTCCGACGACGCGTCGCTCGACGACGAGGACGCGTCGCTGGTCGAACCGGCGCGCGCGCCGCGGCCGCCCGCCCAGGCCTCCGGCTGGGTCCTCGCGGCGGACCTCGCGCCCTTTTGCGTGCGGCCCCGCCGGGCGCGCCCGGCCCGGGGTCCCGCGCCCTACCCGGGCCTCGAGCGCGACGTCGGCGACGAGGCCTACCGCCGCGACGACCGCTTCTTCGGCGCGCGGCACGGCAGCTCGCCGCCAGACGCCGACGCCTGCGCGGACGGCGCTCGAAGTGGATCAAGTCCGCTGGGCCGGACGCGGCGCGCGGCGCGCGCGGCGCCGGACGCGTGCTGGGCCGCGCTCTGGCGGCTGCGCGCGCGCGAGCTGCTCGTGGCTTTAGTGTCCGCGTGGGCGGCCGGCGACGAGGGCGTCGTCGAGGACGCGCGGCCGCTCGTCGCCTTATTGAGCGATGAGGAGGGCGTGCCGCGCGAGTTCGCGTCGTTTTTGGCGCTGGTCCTCTTCCGCGACTGGCGGCCGGCGTGGTGGCCGCGCGACGCGACGGCCAAGGCCTTGACGGGCCGGCCCGCGGCCGCGCCGCTGTCCTTTGAGCTGCGGGGCGCGCTGCTGCCGGCGCTGCTGCAGCGGCCGACGCGGCTGCTGCTGCGCCACGCGACGTTCGGGCCGCCGCTCGCCGCGGCGCTCGCGGACGTCTGTAGGCGGCACGTCGCGACGGACGCGGGCCCGAAGGCCGACGCGGACGCCTGCGCGGTGCTGTTTGGGGAGGAAGACGACCCGCTCGTCGTGAACGACGACGACGCCGTGAAGGGCGGCCGCCTCGCACTCGCGCAGTGGTGCTGCCGGACGCTCACGGAGGAGCCCACGGCGGCCCTCGACGGCGCCTTCGACGCCTTTTCGTCGCTCCTCGCGAGCGACGACCTGCGGCGCAAGCAGCACGCCTGCGCCGAGCTCGCGCGCGTGCTCGCGGCGCTGCAAGACCGCGGCGACGACGACAAAGCCTCAGAGCTCGCGCGGCGGCTGCCGCGGCGGCGCCTCGAGAATTTAGCAAGGCGGCGGTGCCTGCGCGAGGCCGAGGACGCGCCGGTCCACTCGCGCGTCTGCCAGGCCTTCGTGGACCTCGCGGCGCGCGTGAGGGCGCTCTGCCCGGCCGACGGCGAACATGACCGGGCGCGCTTCGCGCTCGAGCTGACGGGCGGCGAGGCGCGCGTCGAGGTGAACGCCGGCGACGTGCCGCCGCCCTGGACCGCGGAGTTCGTCTTGCGCCGCGACCGGCTCGACGACGCGGCCGAGCCGCCGAACGACGACTCCGACGAGGACGACGACGACGCCACGGACGGCGGCGCGACGTGGCTCGCGCCCGTCGTCCTCGCGGGGTCGCGCGCGGGCGCGGAGCTGCGCCTCCAGCACGGCGGCGCGGCCTTTGGCGACGGCGGGCCGGACGCGCCGGACGAGGCCGCGTGCGTCTCCGTCGACGGCCAGACCTTTGAATATAAAGTGCCCACGGAGAAGTGGGTTCACCTCGCCTTCGTCTGCCGCGAGCGGCGCGCGACGTCGACGGCGGCGCTCTGCCCGCGCGCGTTCGACTCTTACGAAGCGGCGCCGAAGCACGTCGTCGAGCTCTTCGCGGACGGCCGCCTCGTGGGCTGCGTCGCGAGCGCGGCGGCCCTGCCGCTGGGCGCGGTGGGGCTGGTCGAGGGCGCGGCGCCGTCCACAGAAAAGCGGCCGCGCGCGCCGCCCGCGCGGTCGCCGCGCGCGCGCGTCGCGCTCGCGCGCTACTGGTGCGTCGCGCGCACGGCGGCGGACGTGCGGCGGTCCTGCGAGCGCCAGGCGCCCCTGGGCGCCGCCCGCGGGTTGTTGGCGGCCTTTCGGTTGGCCTTTGACGACGCCGAGGACGCGGGCTGGCCCGCGACGCGCGCGCCGTCCGTCGTGGAGGACGCCACGGGGAATCATCGAAGCGTGAACCTCGCGGGGGGCGCGGTCTGGATCAAGGCGCCGCGCGCGCCGCTCGAGCCCATCTGCAAAGAAAGAGAGCCCTTTGACTTTTTGGAGGCGCGCGGCACGACGACGCGACGGGCCGTGACCGGCGTGCAGGCCGGCGTGCTAGCCCGGGACAAGAACGAGGCCTTTGTGTTGCGACTAAGACGCAAGGGCGCGCAGCATTTGGAAGGGGAGGCCGAGTGGACGGAGCGCGGGCTCGTCTGCGCGGTCAAGGGCTCCGTGAAGGAGGACAAGTTCCGCGTGGTCGTCGGCGACGTGCTGCACGGCTCGTGCGGCGACGACTCCGACGACGACCCCGGGAGAGCCGACGACGAGCGCGCCTGCGACGGCTGCTGCGCGGTGTCGCCGCGCGACGCCGTTATTTCCGGAGAGCGGACGGCGTTCGGCGAGTGGTCCGGTAGTGTGGAGTTCGAGGTCGACGCGGTGCAGAAGCACTATGTGGACCAGGGTTTGTTGGACGAGGCGGCGCTGCCGAAGGGACTAGACGTGAGAGAAGTGGGCGGTGCGTTCGCGGACGCGAACGACGCACTCAGGACGCCGCGGCGCGCCCTGGTCGTGGCGGCCGCGAGCGGCGGGCGGTTCTGCGGCGTGGCGTCGGCGCCCGTCGCTTTTGATGGAGAGAGCGACGAGGACGACGCGCCGGCGTGCGACGCGTCGCGGCTCAAGGACGACGACGCCGGCGTCAAGGCCGGCGACGCGTCGCTCGCCGCCGACGTCGCGGCCCGGGCCTGCGCGCGGAAGCTGTCGTCGTTAGATCTGGACAAGCCCCAGGCGCCCATCAAGGCCCAGGTCGACGCGGCGCTGGAGTTGGCAGACGCGGCGCGCGTCGCGCGCGCGAAAGCGCGGCGCCTGAATAAGCCCGTGGCCGACGCGGCGACCTGCGCCGAGCGCGCGCGGCGGCGCGACGCGGGCCCGCCGCCGCGCGAGGTCTCGGCCAAGAAGCCGCCTCCCCAAAAGCCGCAAGACCCCGTGCCGCGCGGGTCGAGCGGCGGCCGCACGTCCACGAAGATCGTGGAGAAGGCGCCCAACCTCGGCTCGGCCAAGCAGAACACGCGGATTGTGGGCGAGCCGCCCGCGGGCACGCTGCACGTGCGGATCCGCGACAACGTCGCCGCGCTCGGCGAGGAGACCTACTTTAAGGTGAAGTGGTCGACGCGCATGGAGCGCGTCTTCCAGGCCTACGCCGTGCGCAAGCGCAGTTCGCTCGACACGCTGCGCTTCCGGCTCCCGGGCGCGGACCGCGACATCGGCATGGACGAGACGTCCACCAGTCTCGGTCTGGAGGATTTGGCCTTAATAGACTGCTTCGCCAAGGAGCCTGAGGAGCTCATGAAGGAGGAGGAGCTCGCGCCCGCGCGCGCCGTCGAGGCCGCCGTCGACGCGGCGCTCGACGCGGCGCGCGCCGCGGCCGAGGCCGAGGCGCCGCCCTCACCACCGCGGCCGGGCCGGCCGCGGCCGCCCTCGTCCCCCAAGCAGGAGGCCGACGCGAAGGAGGCCCGGGACCTCGACCCGCCCTCGTCGTCGAAGAACGAGGTCGGGTCCTTCGGCGCGACGAGCGGCGTCTGGTGCTGGGAGTGGGAGGCGCGGCGCGTCGCTTCCGGTGACGTCGGCGTTGGTCTAGTGGCGGCGGGCCACGACGCGACCACGGCATTGGGCGGATCGAAGACGTCGCCGTGGTGCTACCGGTCGTGCGGCGCTCTGGCGGGCCGAGGCGAGGTGCGAAGCGCGCCGGCCTTCGGGGCGGGCGACGTGATCGGCGTCGAGCTGCGGATCGAGGGCGGCAGGGGCTCCGTGCGCTTCTACAAGAACGACGTCGAGGCCACGGCGCAGCAGGCCACGGAAGCGTCGCTGGCGACGCTGAAGATCGCCGAGATCCCGGAGGGGGGCCTGCGGCCGGCGTGTCATGTGGGAGGCGCCGGCGACGCGCTCATCTGGCGGGGCTGCAAGCGCGGGCGGTCCGCTCGGTCGTACGCGCCCGAGGGCTGCGAGGACTGCGACGGCGCGCGGTCCTACGAAGGTTCATACGACGCGCGGACGGGCGCGCGCCACGGGCCTAGTGGTGTGGTCCGCTACCGGCGCTGCGCGGGCCGCTGGGTCGGCCCGTGGCGGCGCGACCGCATGCACGGCGTGCAGCTCTGGGTCGAGCCGGCGCCGGCATCCCAGGAGGCGTCGGCGTTTTGCGACGGCGACGAGATCGTGGCGCCGGTCTTATTCCTGGACGGGCGGCGCATCCGCGCGTTGGACGACGAGGACGGCGCCGAGGCGATGCGCTCCTACTTCGCGTCCAAGGCCCAGGCGCCGGAGGAGGCGGCCGCGGAGGAGCAACCGGCGCTGTCCGAGGAGGAAGACGACGAGGACTGCGGCGAGGACCAGCCGCCCTGGACCTTGCGTGTCGTTTACCGAGAAGGAGCCACCGCCAGGCGAGGCGTAGAAATCGACGCGAGCGATGTGGTCGGGCGCGTCGGCGCGGGCGAGGAGGTCGTGGCCCATAAGCGCGCGGTGACGCAGGACGGCGTGCCGCGCTACCTGGTCAAGCTGCCCCGGTCGGGCGACGAGGAGGACAAGTCGGGCTGGATCTCGGAACGATTAAGAGGCGGCGCGCGCGACGCGGTCTGTGTGGTCCTAAGACACGTCGTGCGGGGCCGGCCGCTGCGCTATCGGGTCGTGCGGCCGGGCGGCGCCATGGTGCGCGCGACGCCTTCCTTAGATGGCGCGGAGGTCGGTCTCGCTCCGGCCTGGACGGCGCTGAACGTGGCCGAGCGCGTCAGATTGCCGGGCGGCACGACGCGGTTGCGGGTCGTGGCGCCGTCGCGCTGGGCGGGCTGGGCGTCCGAGAAGGATCATATTGTCCGGCGCGAGCCGTCGCGCGCGGAGGTGGCGCGGGCCGCCCGCGCGCGCGAGGCGCGGCGGAGGCGGCGCGTGCGTAAAGCGCGGGAGGACGCCGACAAGGCACGCGTGACGCGGCTCGAAAGGAAGCGTAGGGCCAAGCGGCCGGCCGTCGAGTTGCCTCCCGTGAGGGCGACGTGGGCCTGCCGCGCGGAGACGCGCCACTTGCTGGATCGAAGGGAGTGCGGCGCGGGCCTGAAGGTAAGCGAGGACCTGCTGACGGCGACGTGCACGGCGCCGCGGCGAGGCCGCGGCCTCGCGCTGGCGTCGACGCGCATGCGGACGGGGCGGCATTACTGGGAGGTCGCCGTCGAGCGCGCGACGTGGGGCTCCGTGTTTGTGGGCGTGGCGGCCGTCGGCGCGGGCCGCGGCCCGGCGGCGCCGCTCAAGGCGCCCGGCGCGGCCGCCGGCTGGGCGGGCGTGGGGTTCGTGAACTACCGGGCGACGCAGGCCTTCGGCGCCGAAGCTTTGTATGGCTCGTACTACGGCCCCGGCGACGTCGTCGGCGTTTTATTAGATTGCGATCGAGGCACTTTGTCTTTCGTGAAGGATGGAGACGATTTCAACGCGGGCCGGGCCGTCGTGGCCCATTTAGGCACGGCCTACAGCGATGTGTGGCGGCGGTTCGGGCGAAGTTGCCCTGGCGCTCGGGCCGGGCTCTACGCCTGTTTGGGCTTGAAGGGCGACGGCGACCGGCTGAGCCTGCGCGGCTCCAAGGCCTGGACCGACGGCATGGACGTGCCGCCGCGATTGGACGCGTTCCAACGGGCGGCGGGCGGCATCGAAGCGCTACGCGCGTTCGCCGAAGCGCGGCGGTTTTCGACAGCGCTCCCGGACGCGTTCCGCGCGGCGGCCGCGGCCGCGACGGCGAAGTGGCGCGAGACCTTTGATGGGGTGCAAGGGAAGCGGGTCCTCGCGCGGTCGCGCGCGCGCGTCGACGTCGCGCTCGACGCGTCGGAGGAGGCATTCGCGAAAGCATTGGACCGCGCGGGCCGGCCCGAAGCCCAGCTCAAGGCCGGGGACACGGTCGACGCGCCGCACGGCAACGGCGTCGTGCTCGGCTGCGACGCGCACCATCGCGTCTGGGCGGCGGTGCCGGGCGTCGACGACGACAGGGCCTGGTACTGGACGCCCGAGGAGCTCGCGCGGCGACTCGACGACGGGTTGGTGGCGCCGGCCTCGGACTCGAGCGAGGACCTGGTGGCCTGGCCCGACGCGGGCGCGGAAGCGTGGCCGTGGTCGGCGCAGTGCGACGCGGAGCTCGTGGCAGTCGTCGACGGCGTGGCGGCGCGGCGGAACTGCGCGCCGGCGCTGGCGCCGCCGTCGCTCGTGGCCAAGGCGCTGGCCTTCGACGCCGACCACAGGTGCGGCCGCGTCGGCGCGTTGCGGGGCTGCCCGGCGCCCGTCGTCGCGGCGCGGCTGGGCGAGCTGCTCCACCTCGATGCGAGCGTTTCGACGGTATTGCCGTTCCTCGATTTGTCGAGCGGCGACGCCGCGGCCGCGGACTTTGAAAAGGGCGGGTCGCACTACGCGGCGGCCGACGGCGGCGGCGGCTTGAGCGGCACGGGGCCGGATTCGTGGTGGGCCGGCCTCGTGCCGCAGCACACGGCGTATGATGCGGAAGTCGCCCAAGAGACGCCCGCTCTGTCGGCCCTCCTCGCGCCGGCTTCAAAAAGTGTGGGCGGTCGAGCCTACGTGAAGTGCCGGGACGCCGTCTTCGACGCGACGAAGCGCAAGTACTGGCGCGACGTGCTCGAGGCCACGACGACGCATACGCCGCCGCCGCCCGACGAGTACGACCGGCCCGAGGAGCTGCGGGAGTTTGTTGTGGATCGGTTGAGGGCGACGAAAGCCCCACTGACCGACGACGACGACGGCGACGAGGCGGCGCGCCTGGCGAGGCGCGAACACCCGACAGTCTTCGGCCAGCTGCGGAATCAACTGCGGGGCGTGCGGCCGGCGCAGCTGCGCCGGGCCTTTGTGCACATGCAGGACGGGGGGCAACCTAGAGCCTTTTACGTCAAGTTCGTCGGCGAGGGCGTCGACGACCACGGCGGGCCGTACCGGGCGACCTTCCAGGCGGCTTTGGCGGACGAGCCGGTGCGGAGCTTGCAACTTGTTACGGAAGGAGGCGCGTTGAACTCGTCGGGGAGTTGTCCGGAGGCCTGGTTCCACCATTTAGGGAGGTTACTAGGCGTCGCGGGCCGGCACCGCGTGCCGGTGGCGCTGGAGCTCGGCGCGTCGGTCTGGGCGCCGTTATCCGGCGAGCCGCTGTCAAAAACCTTCGCGGCGGACGCCGACGGCGCGATCGGCTGCGCGCTCGAGGAGTGCTACGGCTCGAAGCCGAGCGTCGACGCGGTCGAGCGCCTGGCGGATGTCGTTGGGCCCATGGACGACCCTAACACCTTGGCGCTGCACGCCTCGCAGACGCTAGCGGCGCGCCAGCGGCCGAGCCTCGCGCGGCTCGCGCGCGGCGCGGGCGCGGCCCTGCCGAACGAGCTCTTCGCGCTCTTCGGCCCGAAGCGCCTCAAGGACGTCGTCTGCGGCGAGGCGCGCGTCGACCTCCAGGACCTCCAGGCGCGCGCGACCTACGAGGGCGGCGTCTGCGCCGACGACGCGCACGTCGAGAAGCTGTGGGACGCGCTCGCGACCTTCGACGCCGACGAGCTCGCGGGCTTCGTCGAGTTCTGCTCCGGGTCGGCGCGGCCGCCGCGCCGCGACGCGCCGCGATCCACTAGAGCTCTGAAGATCACGGCGCCGCCGCCGGGCGCCGAGCGCGAGCCCGACGCGTACTTCCCGCTCTCGCAGACGTGCTTCTTCTCGCTGGCGCTGCCGCGCTACTCGTCCGTCGACATCTGCGCCGAGAAGCTGCGGTACGCCATCACGCACGCGCACCTCATGGACGCTGACTTCCTCCTGCGACAGGCGGACGGCTGGGAGGCCATGTCGCCCTGAAGATGTAGTAAGTAAGAAGGCCCTTTTGAATACACAATCTTATGATTCTCAGTCAGTCATCGTACGTGCAGATACCGATGCCGAGCTGAACATTCTTGCACGTGGCCTTGCCGCACTGGTTCGCGCCACTGTGTCCTCCGGGAATGCAGACCAGCGCGCAGTAGCCCTGGCCCGAGCCCTGGTCCTGGAGCGCGCACTCCGGCGCCGCGGTCACGCCCTTGGGCACGTCGGTCGGGCAGGTGCTCTTGAGGGGCCCGGTGCAGGGCGGCGTGCAGAAATCTCCACCCAGGCCCTGGACCTGGACCGCCGTCTCGTCCTTGAGGCAGCCGTCCGCCGGGTCGCCGTAATGTGTGGCGTTCTTGCTCGAGCCGACAAACGTGAGCGTGAGCCTCTCCTTCTTCTGGCGCTCGCTCACGCGCAGGCCGACGGCGGAGGCGGACGCGAGCAGCGCCGCGAGGAGCGTCTTGCGAACCATGATGGAATGAGCCTGCGGGCAGCATTGGCGTCCAACCAAAGAGATGATGCTCTCTCAGGGATTGATTACTGAATCCCGGGAGGAAACAGGTCGGTGTGGAGTTCAAGATGGTTAACAAATATGTTAATATTGAGCGTTCGGTATCTCTGACGCTGTCCTATACAGTGCTTTGCCCTGCTCGCAGCTTAATTTTAGAGGGACCAGCGTGTGACACACTAGCTCTGATAATTTGAACCGCGCAGGTCTCCAAGGAATCACACAGACGCACGGTACCCATCCAGAAGAGAGATGCCGCAACTCGTGCGGAGAGAAGGGGGCTGCCCAGGGCAGCGCAGGACCAAGAGAGTTGGCAGGAGAAAAGAGAGCTAACAGCTCGTGAGAGCTGAGAGCTAACGTACCCCAGCCACAAATCCGGCCCAGCGCAGGAGCAAAGCGAGCTGGCAAGAGCTCGTGCTGTCGCGGCTGCCCAGCAACATACCATGCATCCACACCATGAGTAAGGCAGCATAGATCATGGGCAAGCGTAGGATGTCGCGGGAGGCCGCCCTAGAGGCGCTGGGCGTGGCCCGAGACGCGCCGCCCGAGGACGTGCGCCGGGCCTACCACCGGAAGGCCCTCGCGAGTCACCCCGACAAGGGCGGCAGCGCGGCGGCCTTCCAGCAGGTCAAGGAGGCCTTCGAGGTCGCGAAGCGGCCGGCGGTCGCGCCGGCGGTCGCCGCCGCGCGTGCCGCGGCCGCTGCGCCGGCGCCGGCGCCAGCGGCGCCGACCTCGACCGCCCACGCCACGCTGGGCGGCCAGGCGGGCTACGCGCGCGTCTTCCGCTGCTACGTCTGCGGCGAGGCTTTTCCGTCCAAACGGCGGCTGCAGCACCACACGCGCACGGAGCACGCGGCGCCCGACGCGCCCGCGGCGCCGGCGAAGCGCCTCGTCAACGGCCGCTGCAACACGTGCGGCTGGAAGACGTGCCAGTGCGAGACGGCCCCGGTCTGGGCGGCGGCGCCGCCGCCGCGCCGCCGCCGCAGCGCGCCCGACCGGCCGGCCGACAAGAGGCAGGAGTGGTTCATGCGCGTGCGCGACCGCTACGAAAGGCGGGGCGGGTCGATGGACGACGTCTCCGTGCCGCCGTGCCTGTCGGACGACCGGCGCTCGGCCAATCGCGTGGTGGAGGAACAGGTCCTACTACTACGGCAAATGGGCTTTTCGAAAGCACATGCTGAGGCCTATGCGGACGCGGAGCTGCAGCTCCACGTGATTCTGGACGTCATGTGCGACGACGGCGTGGAGGGCGAGGACCCGCCGCCGCCCGGACCCGTCGCCCGCGCGATGAGCCGCCTCCTCCGCGCGGTGACCTGGTCTCGGAAGCAGAAGAAGCGCGATACGCAAGAGGAGAGCGACGACGAGACCTGGACGCCCGCGTCGGATTTTGCCTTTGCCTGCGGTCCCGAGCTCAATCGCGAAAAGTGGAATGCCAAGCGGGCGACGAGCAAAAACGTCCCGGCCAACGGCGCGCGAATGAAGAAGCTGATCGCCGCGGCGCCGGAGACGTGGAAGAAGATGCCGGTGCCGAAGACTGCGCCGGAGCAGGTCGCCGCGCTCGTGGCCCTGGGCTTCTCGGCCGCGGACGCGGAGCCCTACGCCGACGCGGCCCTCTCGCTCGACCAGATCCTCGATCATATGTGCGCCGACGGCGTTGTGCGTGTGTAATAATATAGAACTTCACATTACGTAGTAGGGGGGGTCGTGGCGCTCAGAGCTTCCCGGCGCTATTGACACGCGCCTCGAGTGGTGTCTGGTCGACGCGCGGGTCGAGGAAGCCTGCGGCGGCGATGCCGCCAGCCGTGAGCAGGATGCCCGCGGGCACAAAGAGGGCTCGCGCGTTCGGAATATCGGCTTCCTGGACCAACGCCGTACCGACGGCCGCACCGCCGACGAACCCAAGCGAGAGGCGTCCGTAGAGGCCTAAGCGATTCTTCTCGGCTTGGGTAAATCCGCAGCCGTCCTTTCGCAGCAGCCGGCCCATGGCGCGGCCGAGGATAAGGCCCACATCGGTCGCGCAGCCGGTCATATGCGTCGTGCGCACCATGCTTGATGACACGGCCGTCGCAAGGCCGTTCTGTGCGCCGAAGGCACACGCAGCACCTATCACCGGCAAAAATCCGAAGCCGTGTCCATGTTCGGCCTCCTGCAGCGCGGCCGCCAGCGCGAGGAGCACGGCTGTGGCCATCACGATGCGTCCATAGGCCCGCGCATGAGTGCGGTCGAACATGCCCGCCGGCACCGTCGCGCCCGCCAGCGCCGCGCCGACGACGTACCCGAGCACGGCGAGGCATGGAGCGGTTGCCGCAGGCCCATTTGCAAGGACCATTCCGGCTTTCGTCAGACTACCGGTGACGTGCGTCACGCCGGTGGCCTTGATTCCGGGCGCCATGAACACGCCGAGCATTGCGCAGGCGTTCGTGCAGCCCGCGCAGAAGGCCAGCACGGCCGCAGCTGTCAGGACGATTGGCGCAGGGTCCGGTGATCCCAACAGCGTGTAGCTGGGACGCCGCTGGAGCGTCGGCTTGGGGGCTTCGCCGTTCGTCTCGGCGGTCCCATTTGCGGTCTCACTTGTCGGTGCTTCGCGCGACATTTTTGGGGGTTTTGAGGCAGCCCCGCTTTTTTAGTCTTGGTGAGGCAGCCCGTCTTTTTAGTCCACTAACCTTGTTGGTGGCCTTGCGTGCGCTCAAACTCGCTGAGCGCGCCGAGGCGGGGCGAGGCGAGCTGTTGTCGGGGCTCAAACGTCTACGCGTGCCGCGCTGGCACTAATGCCGCAGCACAAAAGTCGCCTTTGACGCTCGACGTGAGTGGGCGGCACTCAAAGGGAGGAAATTTAGCGATAGCCGAGGACGGATCTCACATGTATTACTCACGAATAGACGACGCGGTGGCACAGCCCGGCCGCCCCGGCGCGCGCGCCGCAGACGCGTGGCAGCGCGGCGGGCAGGTCCTCGAACGCGACGGCGTCGCGCTCGAAGAGCACGTCGAGCGACGCGTCGCCCGCCAGCTTCAGGGCGAGATTCATCCGCCGCGTATAATCCCAGCGCGGCCGCTTCGACGGCGGCAGGTTGCCGACCTGCGAGCTTTTGAGCGTCAGCCGCCGCGCGTGGAACGGCCCGCCGAGCGGGAGGGGCACGACGGTGCTCCCGTGCCACGATGCCTCGACCACGACGGCCTCGTCGCCGGCCAGCGCGAGTGCGGCCGCCGCGCCGGCCGCGGCGCCCGACGCGTGCACCACGACGTCGCGGTCGCCGGCCCCGTCGCCGAGCGCGCCCGCCAGGCCAAAGGACGCGCCCAGCGCCTCCGCCACCCGCCGCCGCCGCCCGTCGACGTCGACGAGCAGCACGTCGACGCCCGGGATGCGTGCTGCGACCCACGCCACGAGGCAGCCGACGACGCCCGCGCCGACGACGGCCACGCGGTCGCCCACGCCGATGCCCGCGTCCCAGACGACGTTGATCGCCGTCTCCAGGTTCGGCGCCAGCACCGCGCGCGCCGACGGCGTCGCCGGCGGCACGACCCGCACGTCCGCCGCCGGCACGACGTACGCGTCCTGGTGCGGGTGCAGGCAGAAGACGCGCGCGTTTCGTAGGTGTTCCACATCCTTACCACACGCCTCGACGACGCCGACGCTCACGTAGCCGTACTTCACGGGAAACTCGAACGACCCGCCCATGTGCGGGCAGCGCATGCGCGCGTGCTCCGACGCCGGCACGCGGCCGGCGAGCACCAGGGATTCCGTGCCTCGGCTGACCGCGCCGTGCGTCGCCCGAACGAGCACGTCGTCCGGTTTCAGGGCGGGCAGCGCTTCCTGCTGCAGCTCGCACTGGCCCGGTGCTCGGCACCAGCAGGCTCGTGCGGTTGTGGCTTGCATCGATGCCATAACTCTGCTTGCTAGAACCGATGGAAAACTGACTCTGCGTGCGTTCAGTGCGCCTGAGCAGCCCCATCAACAGCTGCCGTAGTCAATTCGGGTTTTGGGGCACGCGCGAGGGAGCGGTGTCGCGGGAGCTATCCGGACCGAGCGTGTACGTAAGTTCGCAAAGCTTGCAGGCTGCGCAGCCTGAGCACGGGTTTTACGCGCGCGGTGGCGTCCGGCGCCGTCGGGGCCGGACAAGACAAAAAGTATGTAAAAACTCGACTTACAGGATCTATCATCTGCGAGTGCGTGTAGTAACGCCTTGATGTCACGGACGGTCATAGCGATGAGGACCACAGGCGCGCCTGGGTGGTGGGATCTAGTACTCCTCGCCGAAGTCCTCCTCCTCGCCCTCGCCCTCGGCGGTCTCGGCGCCGACCTCCTCGAAGTCCTTCTCGAGGGCCGCGAGGTCCTCGCGGGCCTCGGAGAACTCGCCCTCCTCCATGCCCTCGCCGACGTACCAGTGGACGAAGGCGCGCTTGGCGTACATGAGGTCGAACTTGTGGTCGATGCGCGAGAGCGCCTCGCCGACGGCCGTCGTGTTGGCGACCATGCAGACCGCGCGCATGACGCGGGCCAAGTCGCCGCCGGGGACCTGCGGCGCCGGTCGGGGGTCGACGCGCGTCGTGTTGGGTTGGAGGAGCAGGGGTTTGAACCCTGGACTTTCCGCATGCAAAGCGGACGCTCTGCCACTGAGCTACACCCCCGCGCAATTCCGACGGGACTCGAACCCGCAACCCCCAGATTCGAAGTCTGATACGCTATCCATTGCGCCACGGAATTTTCGGACGCGGGCCACCGACGACCGTGGGCGGCTGGTAGTTGATGCCGCACTTGAAGCCCGTCGGGCACCAGTCGACGAACTGGATCGTGCGCTTGGTCTTGATCGTGGCGACCGAGGCGTTGACGTCCTTGGGGACGACGTCGCCGCGGTACATGAGGCAGCAGGCCATGTACTTGCCGTGGCGCGGGTCGCACTTGGTCATCATGCCGGCCGGCTCGAAGACCGAGTTCGTGATCTCGGCGACGGAGAGCTGCTCGTGGTACGCCTTCTCGGCCGAGATGACCGGCGCGTACGACGTGAGCATGAAGTGGATGCGCGGGTACGGCACGAGGTTCGTCTGGAACTCCGTGATGTCCACGTTGAGCGCGCCGTCGAAGCGGAGCGACGCCGTGAGCGACGAGGCCACCTGGGCGAAGAGGCGGTTGAGGTTCGTGTACGTCGGGCGCTCGATGTCGAGGTTGCGGCGGCAGACGTCGTAGAGGGCCTCGTTGTCGAGGGCGAACGTCACGTCCGTGTGCTCGAGGAGCGCGTGCGTCGAGAGCACCGAGTTGTAGGGCTCGACGACGGCGTTGGAGATCTGCGGCGCCGGCGAGATGCAGAACGAGAGCTTGGACTTGCGGCCGTAGTCGACCGAGAGGCGCTCGAGGAGGAGCGAGCCGAGGCCCGAGCCCGTGCCGCCGCCCGTGGCGTGGAAGGCGAGGAAGCCCTGGAGGCCCGTGCAGTTGTCCGCGAGCTTGCGGATGCGGTCGAGCACGAGGTCCACGATCTCCTTGCCGATCGTGTAGTGGCCGCGCGCGTAGTTGTTGGCCGCGTCCTCCTTGCCCGAGATGATCTGCTCGGGGTGGAAGAGCTGGCGGTACGTGCCCGTGCGGATCTCGTCGCAGACCGTCGGCTCGAGGTCGACGTAGACCGCGCGCGGGACGTGCTTGCCGGCGCCCGTCTCCGAGAAGAACGTGTTGAAGGCGTCGTCGCCGCCGCCGATGGTCTTGTCCGAGGGCATCTGGCCGTCGGGCTGGATGCCGTGCTCGAGGCAGAAGAGCTCCCAGCAGGCGTTACCGCCCTGGAGACCGGCCTGGCCGATGTGGATGCAGACGCACTCACGCATTGTGGCTTGTGGTGGTGGTAAGGTGAGAGAGGAAGGTGGTGAAGAAGTCCGAGGGTGAGTCGGACCTGTGCGTTCAATTTTTGAGCGGGCTGTTCGTGCCCATTTCTTGGCGAGTGGCGCGTGTGTGGCGGTGGGCGTGTGTGTGTCGTGACGGGGCAGCCTCCGGGCCGCCGCGCGGCCTTTTTTGGCGCTTAGCGGTGTTGTCTCATTTCTCGGCGGGCGGCCCGTTTTGGGGAGCGGGAGCGGCGCGCGACGGCAGCGCAGCCCTCTGGGAGGTCGCGCGCGGCGCCGGGCGTCCGGCGCGGCGGTCTACGATGCGGGGGACGCTGAATAGTTACCGATTACTTGGGGTGTTAAATTGCTGGGGGAATAAAGCTCAACGGACCTGCGTACGGGGATCTCCCCCGGCATCACAGGCTAAACGCGACCTTCGCATGCTTGGATGGACTCGGATATCAAATTAATTCATGTTGGCTAGCATACACCTACTAGGCATCCCACCCCCTGGCTTGCTTGCCGATGAGAGCATTGCACGCATCTGCGTCCAAGTGCGGGCATCGGTAATAGAGGCACCGGCAGTGCAGCATTGACTTGCCCAGCGTCTGTCGGCGAGCCGTGGCAACAGGATAGCCAACAAAAGCATGGCTGCCAGCAGCATCGCACTCCTGCTGCTCTCCACGACCGCTGCAGCCGCCTACACGCCGAGGCGACGCGTCCAGCCGCCGAAAGCGCTGCTGCGGACCGTCCGGGGCGGCAGCAGTGCCCAGGACACTGCGTCGGCACCGCCGCCCGCGGCCGTCCACCCGACGTGGGCGCCGCTGGCGCCGCTCGCGATCGGCGCGGCGACGGCGGGCCTCGGCGCCGCGTACGCCGCGGCGCTCCGGGCGTCGCTGCGCGTGGTCTGGCGCGGCCTGCCCGCTCAGCGCTGGCTCGTGCCGGCCATCACGACGGCCGGTGGCGTCGCCGTCGGCGGCGTCGCCATCGCGGGCGGTGGATTTTTCGGCGTTGGTAACTACGTCGCGGCGGCGCGCGGCGCGGCGCCCTGGCCCCGCGCGCGCGCCGCCGTCGGCCCGCTGCTCGCGGCGTCGCTGCTGACGACCGCGGCGGGCCTCAGCGTCGGGCCCGAGGCGCCCATGGTCGCCGCGGGCGCCGTCTGCGGCGCGGCGCTCGCGCGGCGCTACCGGCTCGACGAGCGCGAGGCCGCGTTCGCCGGCGCGGCCGGCGCGCTGACGGCGTTTCTCGGGTTTCCGATCGCGGGCGCCGTCTTCGTCCACGAGCTCGCGACGCCGGGCGCCGACATGGCCGCAGGCCTGGCGCCGACGGCGCTGGCGACCATCGGCGCGGCCCTCGCCGGCTGGCTCCTCAAGGGCGGCACCATTGGGGGCCATTTCCGCTGGGGCGCCGTCCAGCCGCTCAGCGCGCGCGCATATGTCCTCGCGTGCGGCGTGGGTGTAGTCGGCGCGCTCGTCGGCGGCGCCTTCGTCGCGGCCTGCGACGCGGTCCGCGCGCGCTCGGTGCCGCCGTCGCGGCGGCGCGAGGTCTTGGTCCGCGCCGGGGCGGGGCTCGGCGCGGGCCTCCTCGCGCTGCGGTATCCGCAGTCCCTGTTCTGGGGCGAGCAGTCGCTCCAGACGGCCATCAACGGCGTCTCGGCGCCGGAGGCGCTGCTCTACCCGGTCGCGCTCCAGGGCCCGCGGGCGGCTGCACCCTTCGGCCTGGGGCTCGGCGCCGCGAAGCTCGCTGCGATCGCCCTGGCCGCCGGCGCCGGCTGCCCCGGCGGCGTGATCTTTCCGCTCTTCTTCGCCGCGGGTGCCCTCGCCCACGGCGCGATCGCCGCCGTGCATCTGCCGGCGGCGACCGTCGCGCTGCTGATGGCCGCGGTCCAGGCATCGGTCACGCGGACGCCGCTGTCGACGGCGCTCATGCTGGCCTTCTCCGGAAACCTCGGCGCAACGCTCACGCCGCTCTGCGCCGTCAGCGCCTATTCCGCGGTCGCCACGGCGCGCGCGTTGGCGCTACCGACGCTTCTATGCTATCCATCCTAACAACGGGTACTAGCTTTAAGACGCGACCGGTGCGCGGTCCTCGCGCGCGAAGAACAGCGTCAGGGCCAGGCTCGCCCCAAGCGACGCGGCCGGCCCGCCTGCCAGCCACGCGACGGGCCACGCGACGTGGTAGAGCCACCTCCAGCCCATCCACTGGAGTCTGTGACTCCGGACCATGATCTTCTCGACGGCCGCGCGCTGCTGCGGGTCGCCCGCGGCGACGGGGAACCAGAAGCCCGCGTGGAGCATGAGCCGCGCGCTCTGCGAAAAGGTGTACGCCGACGCGACGAGGCAGCAGACGACGCTCGCGACCTGCACGTGCGACGCCTGCTTCAGCTGGCCCACCGACAGGCCCCCGAGCGTGAGGACGGTCGAAGCCTGGAACGTGTTCGCCGTGATGCCGTTGCGCAGCGTCTGCACCGCGTAGAGCCAGCCCTCGGTCGCGAAGACGTGGCGGCACCAGTCGACGCGCGCCGCGGCTTGCGTCTTGCGCCACGAGTCGGCGCCGCGTCGCTCGCGCCGCGACATTTGCAGCTGGTAGAAAGCCAGGTTCGCCGCGCCGGCGGCGACTGTGGCATGAGGAGGTACGTAGGCCTCACGCCGCGTGGCGACGCGTCGCGGCGTTCTGGCCGCATGCAGCAGGGCGTGTGCAGCAGCAATGAGGCATGCGGTGATTAGTCGTTTCATCTCGATGCTCGAACAGGCCGTAGAGCAGCTCTGAGGCCGTGCGGTGGCAGCGGTGCAGAGCTGGACTAGTATGTTACAGACGCTAGCCAATGCCCTTTCAGCCATTTTGGAGGGTGAAGACGTAGAAGATTGGGCTAAATGCTCTTAAAAGCAAGAATTTGCAAACGCGCGTATGAGGCACCACTGACAGCAATGTCCGAGGCCGTCGACTACGTCGCCCTGTTGACGGCGGTGCCGAGCGTGCTGGTCGTCGGAGACGAGAGCTTCGAGTTCTCGCTGGGACTGGCCGAAGCGGCCGCGGCGCGGGGCAAGAGCGCCGGGCGCTGGCTCTGCGCGACGGCGTACGAGGCCGCGCCCGTCGACGCGGCCGCCGCGACGCGCGCCGCCGAGCTCGGCTGCCTCGGGGCGGTGGTGCGCCAGGGCGTCGACGCGACGCGCCTCGAGGGCATGCACCTCTGCGAGCCGTCGATCCAGGTCGACTGGATCCCGCCGCCGGCCTTCGGCGCCGTGGTGTTCAACTTTCCCTACGTCGTCGTCGAGGGCCGGCGGCCCCGCGTCGACGACAACCGCGAGCTCCTCGTGAAGTTCTTCGCGAGCGCGCGGAGGGTGCTGCGCCCGGGCGGCCTTGTCGTCGTCGCGCTCGCGCGCGGCCAGGGCGGCACGCCGGCCGACGCGACGGCCGGGACGCGCCGGGACGCCTACCAGAACTCGTGGCGCATCCTCGACGCGGCCGCGCGGGCGGACCTCGTCCTCGCGGCGGCCGGCCCGCCTCAGTTCCCGGGGAACTACGCGCCCGCGGGCTACCGGCGCCGCGGCGCGGACCGGCGCATCGCCGACTCCTACGTGAAGCTGTCCGTCGCCCACGTCTTCCGGCCGGAGGGCAGCTGCATGCCGCGGCACGCCGTCGAGTTCGCGCACGACCTCTCGTTCTGGCTCCCCGCCGCGGCCGCCGTCGACGAGGCGTTCGCGGCCTGCCCCGCCATGGCGCCCGCCGACGGCATCGACGACGCGTTCGCGGCCTGCGCCGCGGCCGCGGCCGCGGCGGCCGGCGTCGGGCTCCTAGCCGCGACGCGCACCGACGCCTATGCGTGTCCGACGACGGGCCGCCACGCGCGGACCTATCGCGCGGTCATAGCGAGCGGTAGGCGCGCGTGCTCGAAACACCGCTCGTCCGTCGTCGCGCTGGAGATCACGCGCTGCGCGCACGAGGGCCTCCGGTTCGTGCCGAGGTCCTACGCCAACGAAGGCGGCGGTCCAGACGACTAGTTTCTTGTGCTAAAGCTGTGTGTGTGTCTATCGAGTACAACTCCTTATGAGCTGGGGGGAGAAGAGGAAACGACACGCGGGGTAAAGAGGACGATGTGGGGGTAACAGTGCAGGAGGAACATGACGGCCTCGAAGAAGACCGTTCGGACCCGGAGGGGCGTGGAGCCCGTCCACCCGGAAGGTGCAGCCAGTCCAGTCGTCGCGCGCCTCGTTCTTGTGGTTGTTCTCGTCCGTCGCCATGCCTGCGGAGGGCCTCGCAGTGCGCGGCGGAGCGCGTGATGGGCGCGCGGCCGCGCGGCGGTGTGTTTGAGCCGCCGCCCGCGCGGTCGACTCGGTCGTCGGCGCCGGCCTTCGCGCGACGCGCGGCGGCGCCTCGGGGCCGGCGCGCGCGTCACGAGGCGCTCTCGGGCGGCGGAGCGTGGAGGCGGGGCGGGGCGCGGCTCAAGGACGCGGGAAGCGCGGTACCTTCGTCGATGTTGTGAATCAAACTGCCCCTTGAAGGACCTCCGTGCGGCGCTGCAGCGCGTCTGCGCAGGTCGCCGAGGCTCGTCGTCGAGCGCCTGGGTCCGTTCCGTCGCCGCGCTGTGGCCCTGGTCCACCGCGCCGCGCTTTTGCGGCGTCGACGGCCGCCGGCCCAGATCGTTCTGCGCTCTGCGATTTTTTTGATTCGCAAAGGGCCTTTGCGCCCCCCGGCCGGGTCCGCGCCCCCCATGCGGCCCGAGAGGGCTCAGGAGCCTTGGGGGGACGGGTACTAGCGGGTTCCTACTTTCTGGGGACGCCTGATGCGCGTTGCCGCGGACGCGGGCGGCAGACGGTAAATGGCACAACAGTACATTGATTAGCTCGGCAAAGCGCGGTCAAGCGGCAAGCCGTCGCCGCGCTATTGCCCGACGCCGACGCAGACGCACAGACGCGGCTAGCTCGGCGCGCACCACTGCACGCCGTCGTCGTCGCGGTCGCGGGGCGGCGGCCGCGTCGCTTCGACGGGCGGCGGCGGCGGGAGGTCCGCGGCGTCGGCGCGCGACACGGCCGCGACGACGGCGTCGGCGACGGCCCCGGCGTCAAAGGGGACCGCGGCCCGGACGGCGAGCACCGCGTCGCCGCGCCGGCCGAGGTGCCGGTCGTAGAGCTTGTCGTAGTACCGTGCCAGCAGCAGGCGCGCGCACGCCGCGAGGTCGCCCGCGTCCAAGAACCCCTTCGCGCGCGCCGTGTCGTCGGGGCCCAGCCGCTTCGCGACGAGCGCCAGCGCGGCGTCGAGGCGCGCGCGCGCGCCGCCCGCGCCCGCGGCCTCGTCCTCGGCGTAGTCCTCCAGGAGGTGCGCCACGCGCGCGGCGTCCGACGCGTCGACGCGGACGACGCGCGGCGCCGCCCGCATGCGCGCGTAGAGCGCCGGGGGCACGAGGCACCGGCCGACGTGGCCCTCCTCGTCCTCGACGAAGACGTCGCGGGTCGCGTCGAGCGCGCGCCAGGCCCAGGCGCACTTGGTCTCGAAGGCCGCGTTCGACGGCTGCGCCGCGCCCTTGAGGTCCCCAAAGGCCGAGCCGCGGTGCGCCGCGAGCGCCTCGAGGTCGAGAACTTGATGATTTTTTGCTGCGAGCGCCCGCAGCACGCGCGTCTTGCCGACGCCCGTGCGGCCGCCGACGACGATCACGCGCGGGCCCTCCTCGAACAATTCTCTCAGGTGCCGCCGGTAGGCGCGGTAGCCGCCGTCGAGCACGAAGACGTCGACGTTCCGGCGCGCCAGCAGCCACGCCACCGACCCGCTCCGCAGGCCGCCGCGCCAGCAGTAGACGCCCACGATCTTCGCCTCGCCCGCGACGCGCTCCGCGAGCGCGCCGAGGCCGCCCTTTTTGCGCAGCTTCGCGAGGCCGAGCCGCATCGCCTCGTCGCGGCCCTTCTTGGCGTAGCACTTGCCCACGTCGGCGCGCTCCGCGTCGTCGAAGAGCGGCGCCGAGTGGGCCCCCGGGACGGCGTCCCTCGCGAACTCCGCCGGCGACCGCACGTCGACGCAGCGCGCGCCGCCATCAACACAACGCCGCAGGAACTCGGCCGGGCTCACGACGCGCGCCGGCTTCGCCTCCGCCACGGCTGCCGCGAGCGCGGCGAGCGGCTGCGCCCAGGTCGCGAAGGGGCCGCTGTCCAGCGCGCGCTCGATGTCGTCGGCGGACATTTTGGCTGCATTTTCCGGTGAGTTTACTGTTTCTTGCAGCGATGCCATGGCGTGTTGCGAGCGATGCGTGCGCGACGGCTTGTGCTTGTAGTTGGTGCTATTGCAGTGCGCAGTAGCGCTCTTAGTTTCGCGTGCAGCTGCAATACCGATCAACAGCGGATGCGTGCGACTTCTAATTCGTGTTCTGCCAGCTCGCACACCCCGAAAGTAGCGATCCTCAGCCGGCAAAAAAATGGCACAAAAACCCGTTTTTTCATGTCTCGCGGCGCAGCCGCGCGGTGGGGCAGGCTCTAGCCGCATCCAACTACGTAGTACACATTAAACAAACTCACCGCGGCTTGCGGTGCTTCGCACGGATCCCGAGGCCGACGCCGACGGCGAGCACGGCGAGCGCCGTCGCGTGCGAGCCCGTGAACGGCTTCTTGAATAGTATGAAGGACAGCACGAGCGTCACGACCTTGCGCGCCGACGTCGCGAGGACGCCCGCGACGCCCGAGAGCCCCCGGATGACGTTCAGGTAGCAGCGCAGGCCCGCGTAGCCCACCAGGCCCTGGGCGAGGAGCCAGAGCGCCGCATCTTGATGGACGCGCAGGTACGCGACGGCGCGCCCCAGCTCGCCCGTCGCCGCGATGAACGCGAGGACGACGAGGAAAGACCCCGCGTTCGACAGGACGACCATCGAGCCGAGCGGCAGCTTGAGCCCCCGCAGCAGCTTCTCCTGGAGGTTCGGGATCACCGCGTCCGAGCAGACAGCGACGACTAGCAGCATGAGGCCCGCCGCCTGCGTGTCCCGCTCGGCGTGCGCCGCGAGGTCCGCGGCGCTCAGGAGCGCGAGCCCGACGCACATGAAGAGCGCCGCCGCGTAGTCGTCGACCCCGTACCGCTTCCCGTCGCGGACGATGTAGCGCGAGAAGGCCATCGTCGGCACGAGCTTGCACGACTTGAACGCGACCTTGACGGGGTAGTTCACGTGCTGCAGCGCGACGGAGCCCGTGCCCTGGCTCAGCGCGATCGCGAAGACCAGCAGCGCGAGGTAGTTCCGCGCGGCGGCGGGCGTCGCCGTCTCGTCGGCCTCGCGGCGGCGCCGCAGCGCCGCGAGGCCGCCCTCCCACGCGAGCGCGCAGACGAACATCGTGCCGATCTCGACGGCCGTCATGAACCACCCGAACTCGAAGCCCGGCGTCCGGAACGCGCGCTCCTGCAGCGCGTCGTGCAGCACGTAGAAGAAGAAGAGGCCCAGCACGTAGCCGAGCATCTGCGCCTCGTGCCGCTGCTGCGCGTCCGTCGGTTGCGTCGGTTGCGGTGCTTCGACGTCGCCGGCCATCTCAGTTTAAGGCCATCTGCTATGCCAAATGCTGCGGTTACCAATGCCGCACTGCAGCCGCTATCCAAATGCTGCCTGCTGAGGGGTGCAAATGCGGCACAGCTGAGGGTTGCGAGCGTAGGCAGTTAACACGACGGCACACCACACGTATCGGGCGTGCGATGCTTCCCTACTGCAGTCGTGCGGCTCTGTGTGCCCCTATAAAATGGCGTGCACCCAGCCTCTTTTTTTGGGCTGAGGCCCGGAGTTATTGGACCCATGTTCCCGGCGAAGCATACTTCGCCTCTGTTCCTCCATATAACCGTGGCTGCACGAATAATCCGCGACGTGCCAGTAGTGTATACACATACTAGCTTTCACCTCGCCTGCGAAATCGCAGCCATAGTGCGCCCACACGCTGCGCTTGGAACAGCAAACGTATCAGCGAGAGACCCGCAACCAGCCGCCCAGCAGCCTCAGTTTCCTGCACCCAGTCGGCTAGCAGCGGAGATACCAGCCTTGGCAGCGAGCAGCCCCGCAGACACAGCGAGAGAAAGCGAGCGACACAACCATGTCCTACGAGAAGGGCGACCGCGACCGCGCGGACCCCTGCAAGATCTACGTGGGCGGCAACCCCGAGATGGAGGAGGACGAGCTGCGCGGCCTCTTCGCCAAGCACGGCACGGTCGAGAAGGTCTGGATCGCGCGGAGCCCGCCCGGCTTCGCGTTCGTCTGGCTGACCGACGAGCGCGACGTGGCCGACGCGATCAAGGCGCTCGACGGCGCCGAGCTCGGCCGCCACAAGGTCACGGTGGCCGTGGCCTCGGGCCCGCGCGAGCGCCGGCCGCCGCCGCGCGACCGCTACGACGACCGCTACGACCGCTACGACGACCGCCGCGACCGCTACGACGACCGGCGGCCGCCGCGCCGGCCCAAGGGCCCCGGCGGCTTCCGCGTCAAGATCACGAACCTGGCGCCCGGCACGGACTGGCGCGACCTCAAGGACGCCTTCCGCCGGTCCGGCGACGTGCCGTACGCCGACGCGCGCGGCTCCGAGGGCATCGTCGAGTTCAACTCCGAAGAGGATCGCTTGCGCTGCCTGAAGGACTTTGACGGCACCGAGTTCCGCGGCCAGCGCATCGGCGTCGAGATGACGGAGGGCTCCACGGCGGAGTTCTTCGGTCGCACGCACGAAAAGTACCCGGACACGTACCCGCCGCCGCGGCGCCGCCACGAGAGCGACTACGACCGCCAGTACCGCCGCTCGCGCTCGCCGCCGCGCCGGGACGACTACGACCGCCGCGACCGCTCGCCGCCGCGCCGGGACCGCCGCTACGACGACTACGACGACCGCCGCCGCGACGACTACGACCGCCGGGACGACTACGACCGCCGCAGCCGCGGGGGCTACGGCTTCGACGACCGCCGCGCGCCGCGCGGCCGCTCGCGCTCGCCGCGCGACCGCTACGACGACCGCCGCTGAGCATTTTAGTCACACCCGCCGGCCCGAGACGCGAGCGGCGGCTCCTGTCTTCTCTCTCTGGGGTGTAAGAAGGTCTAGTACTATCCAAACCCGTGCGCTGCGCATGCGCAGGCGCGGCTTCCAGGGCTCCCGCGCTTAGGAAATGCTAGCGGCCTGTAAGACACTCTAGAGCAAGCAAGCTCGTTGTGGACAAACTGGGCAACCGATCGAAAAAATTGCCCAGATCGATCGATAAACGCGCAATTTATGCTGGACTTTTATCGCTCGTGAGCTCCTGGACTTTTTTTTTCCTCGCTGCCCAGATTAGCAACTCACAAGTTCTGCAGCCTGCAGTGTCACAAGCTGGCGCACTACTCAACAATCAACGCTGAGTCGGACGCTGCCGAGGCTGCAGCCGCGCGCGCGACGGCTGCACTGCTGCTCGCCGAGGCCAAATGCGTCGGCGCGGTGCTCGCGCCGCCGGCGGTGACGGGGGCCGTCGTGGCAGCGCTGCGCGTGCGCGGCTGGCTGCGGCGTGGGCGCTCGGTCTGCTCGCACGGCGACGATGAGAAAGCAGTGTTTCTGAACGCCGCGGGTGCAGCTGCACTCGCCCGCGCCGACGCCGCGGCGACGCTCGGCGTGGAGGGTATCACCTTTGCACCAGGCTTACGTGTCGGCTCGCGCCCGTGCGGCGGCCCGCGCGGACAGCAAACTAACAGCGCGATCTACTTGCTGCGAGCGACCGAGGCCAGCCGAACCAGGGCCGAGGGAAGTTTCCGCTTCGCCGAGCTCTTCGCGGGCCTCGGTGGCTTTCGCGTGGCCCTCGAGGCGCTCGGCGGCGAGGCTGCGTTCGCCTCAGAAATCGACCCGCACGCGTGCTCCACCTACGCGGCGAACTTCGGCGACGTGCCGCACGGCGACATCACGGAGATCGACGCCGACGACGTGCCCGACCACGACGTCCTGACGGCAGGGTTTCCCTGCCAGCGGTTCTCCGTCGCGGGCGACGGCGCGGGCTTCAGCGAGGACCGTTTGTTCTTCGAGGTGATACGGATCCTGGAAGCGAAGCAGCCCCGCCTCGCAATTCTGGAAAACGTCGAGGGCCTGGACGGGTTCGCGCGCCGCGTCGTCGTCGAAGCGTTGGCGCTGGTCGGTTACCGTGCGGAGCACCGCGTCGTCGACGCGCTCGCGCTGTTGCCGCAGCGGCGGGCGCGGCTCTACGTCGTGGCGCGGAGGCGCGACGTTGCGGTGGCGCCGTTTGTCTGGCCGCGCTGCCTCGCGACGCGCGACCGCTGCGCGTCCCCGGACGCCGCGTTCGGCAGGAGATGTTTGTGCCGACGGGTTAGTAGGATAGTGGGGGGCAGCTGCGCCGTCCGCGACGTCCTCGAGGCGGCGGCGCCAGCCGACGCGTATCTGACGGCGGCGCAGGCCTCGGTGGTGGCGTCGACGGGAGCCGATGCGGCGACGCGGCGGCTCGCGTGGCTCGACGGCGCCGCACGCACGCTGATGTCGAACTACCGCCAGGGCTTCAAGTTCCATTCGGAATTTGTGCCCGGCGAACCGCCGCGCTTCTACACGCGGCGCGAGGCTGCTCGAATCATGGGCTTCCCGGACGCGTTCGACGTCGACAGCGCGGGAACCGTCGACAATTCGGGCGCGAACCGCGCCTATCATCAGATAGGAAACGCGTGCTGCCCGCCGGTCGTGTGCGCGCTCGCGGCGCCGGCGCTGACGGCCGTCGGTCTCCGTAGTAGTGCATCGTGCGACGACCCGGCGCCCGAGGTTTTGGAGCTGCTCGGCGCGTCTGCCATCGTCCACGATTCGCCGCGGCCGGCGTGCGCGCCGCGGCCCGCTGGGTTTCGTACGCGACCCCTCGTCGTTGTCGTCCACGCGTTCGGCGGTCACCCCGAGAAGTTTTGGTACCCCGAGCTGGCCGCAACGCTTGCCGACGACGCCTGCGTCGAGGTTCTGCGCATGACGGACCCGGCCACGCCGCGCATCGACGCGTGGGTCGGGGATCTCGAACGGCGCATGGACGAGGCGGCGGCGGCAAACCGGGCCGTGTACTTTGTGGGCCACTCCGTCGGCTGCCAGGCGATCGTGCGGTACCTAGCTACGCCTGCGGCGGCGTCTCTGCTGGCGGGGCAAAGCCTGCGGCTCGGAGGCGTCCTCTGCGTGGCGGCCTGGTTCTCCGTGGTCGATCCGTGGGCGACGATTGAGCCGTGGTGCGCGACGCCGATCGACACGGGCGCCGCGCGACGCCTCATCGAGGGCCAGGGCGCGTCGCTGGTCGTTCTGCTGTCCGACGACGACAAGTATACCCCGGACCATGCTTCAAACTCCAAACTATGGCAGGATCGGCTAGGAGCGACGACACGGACGCTGCCCGGTGCCGGGCACTTTGGCCGGCCTCGCCAGCCGCAGATCGTGGCCGCGGTCCGAGATATGTTAAAGTGATGTTTGTACCACATACCTTAGTCACAGAACCCTCTAACACCGGCGACGCGTCTTGTCTCGGGCCGCGCCCGATCCCAGAAGGGATCGGGCGCGCGCCGTCATGTGCGCGCGCACGCGATGCGGGGCTCAGAGCCGTATCGTCTCGGCCATGACCTCGTCGGGGATGCTCAGCGCGGCGGCGAAGGCCGAGCCCGTCGCGCCGCCCTCGGCCTCGACCTGCCGGAAGGCTCGGATCAGGGACTCGGCGTGGTGCGCGCCCGAGGGCAGCTGGTACTTGCCCCCCAAGATGAGCGTGGGGATGCCCGAGACGCCCAGATCCCTTAATTGCCTTTGCGCCGCCTCGATCTCCGGCCGGCCCTCGTTTTCATCCTCGAGAAACGCCGCCGCCGCGTCTCGGTCGGCGCCCACGGCCACGGCCGCCTCCAGGAGCATCTCCCGATCATTGAGTTTGACGCCCCCCTCGAAATGCTTTTGATTCAGGTCGTTGTACATGTTTTCCGCGGCGTTCACTCCCAGAGTCTTCGTCACCCACTGCACGAGCCGGTGGCTCGCCATCGTGTTCGACGCGACGCGGTCCAGGTTAAAGTGCTCGATGCCGACCTCGCGGCCCCGGCCCTTCAGGTTATGCCTCTCTTTCTGCGCCTCCCAGCCGGCCTTGCCGCCCCACTTCCTCAGCAAACGTACCCTATTGGTTTCCTCGAACTCGGCGCCCTCGGGGTAGTCCGGCTCGAGGAAGAACGGCACGCGCAGCACCGTGAAGCCCATCGGCGTGTCTCCGCTCGGCGCTTCCTGCACCGCCCGCATCGCGTGCTGGAGGTGCCGCTTGCCGATGTAGCCGTTGGGTCACATGGTGTCCGAGATGAGCTCGACGACGCAGCGCGGCGCGGCCGCCGCCGCCGTCGAGGCGCGACGCACGCGTGCCATGCTGCGGAGAGAGGTGCGCAGCAGCATTTTGTGTGCAGCTTTGCAACCTTGTGTCTCCAGGGAGTGCAGTGCTTGTTGGACTGCTGCAACGACGCACGTTTGCAATGCTACCAGTTGTCTCACCGTTGCGCGTGCTGCAGACGTCACGATTGCAGCACAACATGAGAGTAATGCTATCGCATGTAAGACACTAGGAAGCAGCCATGCACATGCACATACCCATCATTCACAAGATGAATCCTCGGACGTCTTCCCGAGGCGTACAGAAAACCCGGCGCTTCAGTCTCAAGAATGGTGCGGCGAGGCTGCCCCCAGCGCCAAGCGCAGCGCAGACCATCGCAGCGATGGAATACTTGAGCGCCTTGCTCTGTTTCAGGCAGGCACCGCCGCCGCGGACCGGTAGCAGCACCGGTAGCAGCCGGCAATCGACGCCGCGGCAGCCCTCGGAGGAGCCACCGCGCCGCGGCTGGCCGGCGGACGACGCGCCGCCGTCACCGCAACGGATCGTCACACGGGCGGATGACGACGCGCCCTGCTGCTTTCCGGGACCGGCAAACGCGCCGCCGCCGCCGGTTCCGCCACTCGCGGCCGCCGCCGCGCCGTCGACGCCACCGCCGCGCGAGCAGAAGCGACAGCACCGGCGCCAACGGCATCATCGACGCGAGGCTGCACCCGCGCCTGCGCCTGCGCCCGCGCCCGCGCCTGCAGCACCTGCGCGGCGCCGCCCCGTCGCCACGGCCGCCCAGGCGCCCGGCAAGCCACAACCGGCGCCCGGCAAGTCCCAAAGGCGCAAGATGAAAGCCGACGCCGACGCGCTGCCGAAGCCTACGGGCGTCGCATGGGCGCCGCTCGTGGCGCTCATGCCGGTGCCTGGCGCTTCGAGCTTGGCGGCTTTCGAGGCCAAGCTCGCGGAGACGTGCGCCGGGCCGAACGTGAAGGACGACGCGCCCCGCGACGCGGCCAAAGCGCGCCGTCGCGCGGGCCTCGAGCGCCTCTCGAGGACGACGCAGGAGGGCCACACGATCCTCCACCACGTCGTCGTGAACGCCGACGAGGTCGCCGCGGACGCTCTTAGGCGTTCCCTCGGCGCGGCACGCTGGCACGCGCTCGCCGAGGCGCCGGCGAACGACGGGCGGTCCGCGCGGCGACTGTCGCGGCGTCTGGGCCGCAAGCGCATGCAGGACGTCTTCGACCGCTACGAAGCGCAATACGAGGCCAAGGTCGCCAAGGCCAAGGCTAAGGAGAAGACTCGCGCATCGGAACGAGAGACTGAGGCCGCGCGGCGCGCCACTTCCGCCCGCGCCGCCGCGCGCGAGGCCGAGTCCGCCCGCCGCCCCGAGGCCGCGACCTCGTCCGCCCGCGGCGCCGCCGCCGCGCGCGAGGCGGAGGCCGCCCGCCCCGAGGCCGCGGCCGCCGCGAAAGAAGACGTCGAGGTGAGGTTGAAGGCCCTGCAGAAGCTCGAGGCGTCGATCGACGCGACGACGACGTGGGACGCGGAGATGGTCGGCAAGGTCGACAAGGCGCTGTCGGCCTTCGGCGGCGGATGCCTGGATCCTCGGGTGGGGGCGGCGGTCGCGCGTATCCGTGCGTCCGCCTCCGCGGCCCGGCGCGCCGCCGCGATCGAAGCCGCCGCGGCCCCCGCGGCGGCGCCCGCGCGGGACGAGTCGGCGGCGCCCGCGGGGACTTTGTGTTAATGTTACTGAAGTTTTAACGTACGTACGTTCGTTGCCTATTCTTCTCTCTCCGAGCGGAGGCATGTTCTAAACTCGTTGAAGCCTGAGAGATTTCTAGAGTCACGGTGTACACATGCTTATGATTCTAGCCGCGGAAGATGCGGATCGAAGGGACGGGAGCAGCGTGCTCGCCGATGATCTCGTAGCCCGCGGCGGGCGGCGCGTGGACCGGGCCGGTAGCCTTGAAGATGCCCGAGCCTGACGGCGCGTCAATCCACCACATGCCGTCGAGCTGGTTGTGGTAGATGTAGGCGCCGTTCGGGGCCTCGAACCAGGCCTTGCCCGCGTTGAGGCGCGCCCATGTGTCGGCCGTGTCCCAGCCCTGGCCGACACATACCGCCGCGAAGCCGGTGGGGATCTTGGACGCCGGCGTCGCGACGTATTCGCCCTGGACCTCAGAGCTGCCCCCGCCCTCGACGACGATGCGCTGGACGTTCACGTCCGCGCGCTTGGTGCCGTGCGCGCCAAGAACTCGCAACACGTCGCCTGCGGCACTCGCCCTCGCCACAGCGGCCGCGGTCTCGCCCGACCCGCCGCGGAAGTTCGGGTCGGCTCCCGCTTCGAGGAGAGCCTTGGCGCCGGCGGCGAGGTTGTTCGACGCCATCCGGTGGAGTGGCGTATAGCCGTACGTGTCGACGGCTTCGATATCGGCACCTTTGGAGACCAAGAGCGCCACCTGACCTTGGTTGCGCGCCGACATGCCGCAGTTGTGGAGCGGTTGAGCGCCGCCGGTAGTGATCTCGTTGACCAAATCGGGATGCTCGTTTAACCACGCCTCGAGAGCCGCCGCGTCGGAGAGGCGCTTGGACGTCGGCGTGTAGCCGCCGCCGCTGTAGACCGGTCCGGGCCGAGGATTATGGTTTTGGTACTGACGGCCGATGACGACCTGGCCCATGTCGTCTCGTTTGACCGTGCCGCCGTAGATGCCGGGACCGACTGAATCGGCGTATGGGTCGAAGCCGTCAGCGTCCGTCTTGCCGGGAGCGCCGTACTTCTCCGCCATGCCGCGAGCGTAGGGGTCGTGCGTGATGCGCACGCCGTCGGCTCTATAGTAGGCCATCGTGCGGCGCAGAATGAGTAACGGTAGCAGGCGCTGACGCATCAATCTCGTGCTGCGCTCTCACGGAGTCAGCTCTCACAGAGTCAGCTCTCACAGACCAAATGCTGCGAACAAAACTTTACGCCGCGACAGCGGATAGCGCAAGAAGTCAGCTCTCTACGCAAATACTTGCGGGCCAGTGTTATTGCTACGACAGGGCGAATGCGTCTGAGTACCCTGCACTGAGTTGTCCAACTGGGATCGGGTTTTGTACTATCATCAAGGGACGAGGCAGAGCCCTCGCGGCGGTCACTAGCCGGGTCTCGATCGATGGCAGATGATTCGCTTCAAGGCCGCCTTCTGCTAGCGCGACGCGGCGCGCAACGTGCACGTGCGGACTGGGGGTGGGAGACCGTGGCTCACGCCCACGGCCCATAAATTGGAGTCAAGGGCATCTTAAACGAAGGGTTAAAGACCAAAAATACGGGTAGTAGAGGTCTCGTGACGGGGCTAGTGACTGTCTCCCTAGGTTCTGGCGGCGTTTCGCTCCGGAGCTCCACAGCCCCGTAGTCGATATAAGGACTGGACTCCAACTCACAGCCCGCAGTCGATATAACAATGGCGCTTCGCCTATCGCTCCTCGTCGTACTGCTCGCGCAGTCGACAACATCTCTCCTAGCGCCGCGACCGTCGCGCACCTGCACCGTGCTGAACGCCCAGGTCGGCTCCTCCTCGCGGAGCCGCGCCTTCACCAAGACCGGCCCGCGCAAACCGCAGTCGCCGCGGCCCGAGCAGTACCCGAACGAACAGAAGCTCGAGGACCTCGCCGTCAAGAAGCGCAACATCAAGTACGACCCCGAGTACGCCGACGACATCGCGCGGGCAAAGAGGCGGCTCTTCGACCTGCGCATGCGCAAGTCGCAGCGTTTGCCGTTTAAGTCGAGCGAATTCCGCGAGCTGCGCCGCTTCGTCGCGCGGCTGAAGACGCAACAAAGGGAAGACGAGCTCCGGGCGGCCGGCGTCGACCTCAAAAAGAAGAAGCCGCGCACGCGCCGCGAGCGCCAGCGCGCGGCCGAGAAGCGCGCGCGCCAGCTCGCCCAAAAGGCGCGGAACCGCGAGCGCTACGGCATGGAGGAGCTCGTCGTCGCCGACGACGCGCTCTAGATAAGTATTTTCGTGTGTGCAACTATGCGTCCACCCGTCGTCCGGGCCCTTCCTCTCGAGAGCCTACAGTCGAGTCCTACGACGGCCTCGCTCGCAAGCGCAACTTGAAACCGGGACTCGGCGGGAGCAGCCTGAGCACCGGCATAGGCTGTTGTGCTTATGCTATGGACTGGGCCGTCCGACTGACTCGGCATAGAACGCGCCGAACTGGCACGAAAAAAACTCAGGCTAGCATCATCTCAGGCCAGGAACAAGCAGGGGCTCCGCCCTCACTAGTCCTAGCACCGTAACAACAATCCAGGAACAAGCAACGTCAAAAAAACACAAGATTAACTAAACACACCAAGCTTCGAAGCACGCATCTTCGACGACACACCGCGAGGCACGTGCGCCGAAGACTCGAGCAGCGCGACGTGCGCCTTGCGCAGCTCGGCGAGCTCGCGCGTCAGCCGCGCGTTCTCTCGCTTCAGATCCACGTAGCCGCCGAACTCGCTCGTCGGCGGCGGCGCAGGCAGCGCGTCGGTCTGCACCATACAGTCGACTGCGGGCGGTGGCCGTTGCTCCGCCAGCGCCTCGGCCTCGGCGAGTCGCGCCGCGAGTTCGTGCTCGCGTTTGCCGACGACGAACCGCTCCTTCGTGAGCGCCCGGAGCCGGTCCGCGAGCGTCGCCTTCTCGGCTTGGAGGTTCTCCGCGCTCGCGCGCGCCTTGTCGGCCTCGGCGCGCACCAACTCCGCGTCTCGCGCGCGCGCGTCGCGCAGCATTGCTGCCGCCGCGCGGAAGCGCTCCGCGGCCGTCGTCGCCTCGGCGCGATCCGCCTCGAGGCGCTTGATCGTCGCGGAGGCCGTCGCGGAGGCCGTCGACGCGCGCGCGCTCGCCCGCGAGCAGCGCGCGTCGGCCTCCGCCGCGGCGTCCGCCGCGCGCGCGCATTCGTCGGCGGCCTTGGCGCGTTCGTTCGCGAGCGCGGCCTCCAGATCTTGCACGCGTGACTGCTCCGTCGCGAGTTGTTCGCGCATAGACATCGTGTCGCGCGCCGCCGCCGCCGCGCCCGCCGCGCACCGCGCGTCGAGCCGCAGCAGCGCCTTCTCGAGCGCCACGGCGTCGCATGGCGCGGCCTCGCGGAGCCGCGCGTTCTCGTCGGCGAAGCGCCGGAGCACCTCGAGCGTCTTGATGTGCTGGCGCCGCAGCTCCTCCGTCGCCGAGTCCATGCCTGCGGACGAGAGGTGCGGCGGCCGCGCGCGGCGACGAACGCGACGAGCGAGGCTTCGCGGCTGCGGTCAGTGTAACTATGACTATTGTGTACCCGTCACCTCGAAAACCGATACGGTATACGGTTGTGGAATCGATCCTCCCGCGCGTTCTTTATGTGTTGCAGGACGCCGGTGTTGCGCGTCGATGGCGTCTAGCGCTGAGGGTGGCGGTGTGCTTTGCGCGTCGACGGCGTCTAGCGGCGGTGGCGGTGCTGCTACAGCGTGAGGTTGCTGAGCTTTGGGAGGCGCTTAGCGTGGTGGTACTCGTGCTGGTGATCGCTGCTGCGATATAGACCGGCGTGCGTACCGATTATATACGTATGCCGCAAACTATGCCGCTAAAGCCGCCGCTGCGCAAGCCCGGCTAGCTAGCGGCCTGTAAGACACTAGCAAGCAAAGCCTTGCTGCGACCACGTCCCCAGCGCTGTCTCGAAGTACGAGTCGCCGGGGCCATGGGTCCGCAGGACGCCTCGGAGACAAGGCCCAGACAAGCCCATGTTTCCATCTCCGAGCGCCGTGCTGCCCCTCTCCCTGTGGCTGCCCCAGGAAGGAGGGACAACGAGCCTCGAACGATGCGCTCCCCGGTCTCCTGCGAGCTCGGCACCTGCTCCATCTCGAGCGAGAGCTCACCGTCGACGATCTGGGGCGCGGCGGCCATCCCGCCGGGGCTGCACGAGCCCGTCTGGGCCGAGCTCGACCGCCACGCGCTGCGGCTCTTCGGCCCGCGGCGCAAGCCCGTGCGCGAGGGCCAGGGCCTGCTGCGGAAGCAGCGGCGGCGCACGGACCCTCCGATCGCGGGCCTCGCGCCGTCGCGGCGCTACCTCGCCGGCGTGGCGAAGCGCTACTGCGCGCGGCCGCCCCAGCCGCGGCGCGCGTCGAGGCACGACCTGGATCGCCTCGTGGACCCGCACGGCCTGATCGCCCAAGCGCGGAGCCAGAGCGGCGTCGCGCCCGTGGGGACGCGCCAGTCGCGGACGCGCGGCGTGCCGCGCCGCTCGGAGGCGGCGTGGCCGCTCGACGGCGTCGCCGCGCGCCCGCCGCCGCGCCGGCCGCCGACGGCCGCGTCGGCCGCGGCGGAGGCGGCGGCGCTCCCGCGCCTGCCCAAGGGCAAGACGATGAGCTTCCGCGCGTCGGTCCGCGCCGAGGTCGGGCGGATGACGCCTGGCGTTTCTAAATCGCGGCGGCGGCGGTCGGACTGGATCAACCCCGGCGTGTCCCAGGCGCGCCGGGAGGACTGGAAGACCTAATCTCGTACACTTAACTGACTACACAGCAACCACCGCCGCCGGCCCCTTTTTTCTCGTCCATGTGGTCGTATTTCGGCATCTTTCCCCCGAGCACGGCCTTGGCCATCCACTTGTAGTACGAGAGCCGCTTGCCGTGCGCCTCGACCTCGCGCTTCTCCGACACGTAGTCGTCGGTGATGTCGACGCCGGGCAGGCGGTCCACGTGCCGGTTGTAGGCCTCGACGACGTCGTCGTCCTCCGTGCACATGAGGAACGTCACGAAGACGCTCGGCTTCTTCGAGCCCACCATCTGCCGCAGCCCGTCGAAGGTCACGTCCGAGGGCTCGCCGTCCGTCATGACCAATACAATAAGCTCCGTCTCGTTGCTGTGGCCCTTGGGGTGCCACTGGCCGCTCAGCAGCGGCCGCAGGCGCGCGCCGAGTGGCGTCCGCCCGCGCGCCGGGCGCCCGTAGAACAGCGTCTCGACGTGCTGCTTGCTGTGGATCTCGTGCCACGTCGGGTCGTTCAGAAACTGCACGTGGAACCCGTCCGAGTGGTCCACGACGAGGAGCAAGTGCGCGAGCTTGATCAAGGTTTCCTGCAGCTCCTCCCACCGCGTCTTCGGGTTCATCGTGTTCGTCGGGTCGGCGATCTGGTTCATGGAGCCGCTGTCGTCGGCGACCACCACGATGTCCGTTCCCGCGATCGACAGCAGGTCGCGCACGACGTCCTCGGGCAGGTCCAGCTCGTCCTGCATGTGCCGCACGCGGTCGCCCACGGTCAGGTTCGGCGCCTGGTTCACGAGGCCGACAACCTGGCCCGCCTGCTGCTGTTGCGCGATCGGCTGGGGCGGCGCCGAGATGGGCACCGCCGGCGGCGGCGGCGGGTGGAGCGAGTAGGGCGGCGGCGGCTCACTCATGGTTGCGCGTAGCGTTGCTGCGTAACTTTGCTGCGTCCCGCTGCGTTGCTAATGCAACAGATCCGCTCTCTGGCGCCGAAACTGCCTCGAAAAAACTTCGTTTGTACAGTCCTAGTATCTTACACCGCTAGCTCAGATCAGCTCCTCCACACGCCCCGTCGGGTAATAGAGGCTAGGCTAGGCGCACACCCAAAATACCCCGGCCCGGGGATCACCAGAGCACAGCGGCACACAAGTCTGTGCAAGCGCTCACGACAGGCTCCTGAACCAGTCCGGAGCTCCACCGGTGGTCGAGCGAGGCTGCCCCATCATGTCCTGCAAGGGAGACTGGCGCGGCCGCTCGGAGGCGAAGGACGTCGTGCGCGAGCGGGCCTGGGCGGCCCTCGAGGCGTCGGGCGATGCCAGAGATGACGACGGCCCGCGCGGCCGCATACCCGACTTTGTCGGCGCGGAAGACGCGGCGGCCGCGCTCGCGGAGACGCCCGAGTGGCAGCAAGCGCGCGTCGTGAAGTCGAACCCGGACCCGCCGCAAGCGCCCCTGCGGCGGCGGGCGCTCGAGGAGGGCAAGACCGTCTACGTGCCCGTGCCGCAGCTGACGGAAGACACGCCCTTTTTAAAGCTGGACCCGGCGGTGCTGAAGGCGAAGGGCGTCGCCTTCGCGGACGCGGCGACCGCGGCCGGCGCGGCCCGGCACGGCGAGGGCGTGCGCTTCGACCAGATGGAGAAGTTCGACATTGCAATCGTGGGTTCCGTGGCCGTGGCGCGCGAGGGCGCGCGGCTAGGCAAGGGCGGCGGCTTCGCGGACCTGGAAATGGGGATATTTCGGCACTACGGCTGGGTCACGCCGGGCGAAACGCCGATCGTCACCACGGTCCACCCGACGCAGCTCGTCGACGGCGTGCTGAGCGCGGCGCTCGACGAGTGGGACGTGCCCCTCGACCTCATCTGCTGCCCGGGCGAAGTCATTAGGACGCAGACAGCGCTGCCGCAGCCGACGAAGACGGTCTCCTGGAGCGCCGTGCGGCCCGACCAGTTCCGGGACATCCCCTTCCTGACCGAGCTCCGGCGCGAGATGGATGGCTTGTTTGCTCACGATAACAGTTAGTTTAGATTGCTAGCTCGTCTTCGTCACGACCGTCTTGGCGTGGATCGCCGCCGCGACGTCGGCGTCGAAGACTGCGTTCTCCGCCGTCAGGCACGATGCGGCGCCGCACGCGAGGCCGTAGGCGAAGGCGCCCACCGGATCGTCGTTCTCGAGCCATTTTGCGAACGTGGTGCCGGCGACCGTGTCGCCTGCTCCAATCGGCGACAGGACGGGCCCGAACTCGGACAAGCTAGGGCCGGCGAGCGCGTAGACCGCGTCGCCGACCAGCGCCCCGCCCGGGTGCGGTCCGTCCGTCCACAAGATGGCGGCGAGCGCGTCGCTCGAGAGCTTGGCGGCCAGCGCTCGCGCCGCATGTGCGGTTCGGGCCGGATCGTCGACGCTATCGGCCGCGCCCGCCGCCAGCGGGTCGCCCGCCGCCAACAGTAACTCGCGGGCGTTCACCTTCAGCACCATGCGCGCGCCGACGCTCGCGGCGGCGGCGACGGCGTCTTCGAGTCCCGCGACGGCGTCGATCAGAAACTTGCCGCCTTGCGCGAGGGTCGCCGCCGCACAAGTGCTGTAGAAATCGGCCGGTACGCCAGGCGGCAGCGAGCCCGCCGCCAGCAGGCCCGGCGCGGTCCGCGACGCGAGCGCCGCGCGCAGCGCGTCCAGCTCGGTCGCCGTGACCGCTCCGGACGGCTCCACGATCTCCGTCGCGTTGCCGTCGGCAACAAGCGTCGTGCAGATCCTCGTCTGCGAGGCCGTGCGGATCCAGAGCGCCTCGTCAGCGCCCGACGCGCGTTTTCGCAGCGCTTCTGCAAGTGCGTCGCCGGCGTCGCCGCCGTAGAACTGCGCGAGTGCCACGCTGCCCGGTCGTGCGGCGGCCGCGGCAAGGTATGCGCCCTGGCCCTTGCCGCCGACGCCTCCACCGCTCTCAGCAGCACGATTGACGGCACCGATGACGAGCGGTTTCTCGAACGCGACGCGGCGCTGGAAGGCAGCGTTGAGGCCTAGCACGACGCCCGGCTCCTTTGTAGACATGCTGATTGTGCTGCGCAGCCTCGGTCTGAAATTGCTGCGCAGCCTCGCCGGTGTCAGCGCGCACGCCGCCGCTGCGAGGGCTGGTGCAAGGTAGTGCAGTCGCATGCGCGGGTGCCGTCGCGCGAACGCTAACGAATCGCAGGCCTCGAAAGTGCAGTAATGTGGGTCTTGAGGACTGACTGCGACCGTCTGCGTGATGCAGCTTGTGTGGAGAGCCACGAGAGCCAGCACCGCCGCGATGGTGTATATACTTAAGTACCTTATGGTACCTTATATAACTCGGAGGTAAAAAAAAATAGGATAATGTGGAAACGGGTACAGGGGATTTTTTTGCTGTTGTCACAGGCGATGCCACCATTACAAGGGCTACAGCAACGGTATTGCATTTATAATCGACCCACCTGACCATTCTCCCCCCGCGCGAGGCCGTCGCGCAAAACTCGTCTCCCACTTCCGCTAGTTTCGAACGGAAAGGTTATCACAATTACAAGACTAGCCCCCTCACCGCTTGGACTTCTTCTTCTTCTTCTTGGCCTTCTTGGCCAGCTTCTGCTTCTGCTTCTGGAGCTTCGCGACCCGCTTCGCCGCCTTCTGGGCGGCCTTGAACGCCGGCCCGCGGCCGTGGGGCACGGCTAGGCCCGGCCGCGGCTCGACGACGTCGGGGCTCCAGGACACGTGCTTCTTCGGCTTCGCGGCCTTGTCCTCGGGCGACAGGAGCGCCGACGGCAGCGGCGGCGGCGGCTCCGTCGTCAACGCCGCGGCGGCGGCCTCGGCGGCGGCGCGCTCCACCGCTTCGCGCTGCTCCCGCTTCCGCTTCTTCTTCTTGCTCTCGGGCTTCGGCGCCTCGACGCCCGCCCGTTCCCTTATCTTCGCCGCTAGTTCATCGGCGGACACTTCCGACTGTTCGACATCGACCACGGATTGGTCCTTCTTGCGCTTGTGCGGCCGCTCGCGCTTCTTCTTCGGCTTGGCGTCTGATGGAGGCGGCGGCAATTCGTTGGCCGCGCGTTTCGCATCATCTTTGGCGCCCTGCTGCTTTGCCACTTCAGGAGCGAAGTACTCGCCGGACGCGATCTGCAGGTCGATCTTGGAGGGCGGCTGCGGAGGAGGAAACGGAGTATAAGGTTTCTTCTCCCTCACTTTGAGGGGCTTCTTCGTCGGCACGTTCTTGCTGGCGAATTTGGGCAAAAAGCGGCTCCAGTCCTCATTAGCTAAGGCAGGGTCTTTCGCGAGCTCCCTTTTTATCATCAGGATCTTGATGTTGTAGATGGGGTGCACGTTCTTCATGCAGTCCTCCACGACCTTCCGCACGGCCTTCAGGCCCTTGATGGAGCCCATGGCCGCCACAGTGTTCCCCTGCACGAGGACGTAGCACTCCGTGAGCAATTCTAACGCTTTGAGGGTCTGGCCGTCGGGGCCCACCAAGCGCTGTCTGCGTCGCACGAAGCGGTCTCGATTCCGCACGAGCCCGCCAATCTTGATGACGTCGCAGTGCATGCCGTCGTCGAGGATTTTTAGAGCCTGGGCCACCGGAATCGACCGCGCGAGTAGTTTTATGAGATCCCTGGCTTTCAGGATGATGTAGGGGTCCGACGTTTTTCTGGTCGTGCGCACCGTCATCGAGCCCTCGATGAGGTTGAGCTCGCAGGCGACGCCGCACTTGCCGAGCGCTCTCGTGACGATGGGCCACGCCTCGCGTATATACTTCTCGCGGTACTTGGGGAAGAGCGTGGCGAAGCTCGACTCCTCGACGAAGGCGCCGGGCGAGTACTCGTCCTTCCACTCCTCGAGCTTCCAGTGGTCGATGTCCGGGTTGTCCCAGGGCTTGTCGCGGCGGTAGTTGCGCTGCTTCTTTTTGGGCGGTTCTTCCGCCGGCGCGGCCATGGTTCCTTGTGCGCGCGTGCGTGTGCGCGTGCGTGGAGCGGCTGAAACGCAGCTATGCCGTGCGCGCGCGATTTATTTTGCAATGAAAAGGTGTGCTCGCTGCTGCACACTGCTCGCAGCCGGGCTTAACCTAGCGTGTCACCGCTGCAGCGTCTTTGCGTGTTGGAAAGCAACTCAAACACAGCTCACGGGCACCGATGCTTGCGTCTATTGGCGCTTTCACTCGGCCTTTGCTCAGTCGCCCTCGGTGCCAAATGCCAAAGCTGTCGACTCCCCGATCACGCGTCCTTTGCGCCGCACTACTCCTCCGGGACGCCTCCTGGACGGATAGCTGCTTTCTCAACCTCGGTCGAGCCCCTTCATTTTGCATCGCTGCGATTTTGGCATTGGGCGACCGCGGCATTTAACACCGCGTGCGGACCTGCGCTGCAACCACTGGCGAGAGGCAATAGACATTTGAGGCCACGAGACGAGCGGCAGCGCTTCAGCGGTCGCGAGGCGCCTGTCAGCGAGCAAGACCTATAGCCCTGCAGCAGCGCATTGGCACCGCAAAAGCGCCGCCGCTGCTCATCCGCTGGCGCTCTGGCCCGCCGACGCTCGTCGCTGACGCCGTAGACACGACTGCTCGCGCCGCATCGGTACGGCGAGGCTCGCGCTCGAACTCCGTGCCCCCCGCAGGTCCTCGACGACCACCATGTCGAAGTGCGTCAAAGCCGACGGCAGCGAGCCGACGGAGATCGAGGCCTCCGTGGCCACGGAGCTGAAGAATTTGGAGCAGGGCTCGTCCGAGATCAAGGTCGAGCTCCGGGAGCTCACGTTCCTGAGCGCGCGCGAGGTCGACGTCGGCGGCGGCAAGAAGGCCATCATCATCTTCGTGCCCTTCCCCCAGCTGAAAAAATACAACAAGATCCAGACGCGGCTCGTCCGCGAGCTCGAGAAGAAGTTCTCGGGGCGGCACGTGATTGTGGTGGGCCAGCGGACGATCCTGGGCAAGAACTACGCGCGGAGCGCGAAGTCGAAGGGCCCGCGGCCGCGGAGCCGCACGCTGACGGCGGTCCAGGACGCCATCCTCGACGATTTGGTCTACCCGACGGAGATCGTCGGCAAGCGCACGCGGTGCAAGTTGGACGGCTCCAAGGTGCTGAAGGTGCTGCTCGACCCGAAGGACCAGGTCAACGTCGAGACGAAGCTCGACACCTTCAGCCACGTCTACAAGAAGCTCACGAACAAGGAGGTCATCTTCGAGTTCCCGGTCATCGAGGCCTGAGTGTGGTCGTCTAAAATAAAAATAGTTCCGTATTTTGATGTTGCGGCGGCGGCGGCGTGGGGTGTCGGCCGTACAGCTCTCGGAGTCTGTTTCGTGCTACGTCGTGGGCGGAGACTGGGTGTTGAGGCCCGTTCGAACCGCTCTCTGGCGGCGGCACTTCCCGGAAGCCTGGCGTTTACGATGTGTTGCCGTACGCTGCTAGCCTCAGCCTAGGGCCTCATAAGCTAGTGTGTTAATGCCGCTAATTAGAGTCGCCGCGACTCCGCACGCGCTCGCTCGGCTGTCTGCGATCCTCGTGGGTCTCGAACACAGCCGTGCTCGACAAAACGACGAGCAGTATCCAGCCGCGCACGCTCGCCGAACGCTAGCGCAGCTAAGCAGCAGCACAAGCCACGCTCGCCGCCGAGCGCAGGAACGGGCTGATGGACTCCCCGGGCGCGCCCTCCTCGTCGCGGCTGAGCCCCTTCAAGACCTACCGCGAGTTCGTCGCGGACCAGCGAGACGACGCGGACCCCCAGGCCTTCGCGCGGAGGTACGGGGAGTATCGCGGCGGCTTCGCGAGGGAGTTGGTGCGGCGCTTCTTCGAACGGAACGCGGACTTTGCCTGGTTTCGCGACCGCTACGACCCGAGCCGCGTTGAGGAGCGGTGCGAGAAGCAGCGCGCGCGCGCCGCGGGCGCGGCCAAGAGGTTCCGAGAGGACGTGGACAAGGCGGGCGAGGACGCGGTCAAGCAGGCGTCGCTCGACCCGAACGCGATTGAAACGGTCGCGCCGACCGACGAGGACGAGGACAAGGTGCCCCTCGAGGCGTCGCTGCACGCGGTGCCCGACCACGCGGCGGCGAATTGTGTACTATTACCCGGAGCGCCGCCCGTCTGCGGCGAGGCGGCTTTGAGGGACGCCGTGAAGCGCGCCGTCGAGAAGGACGACGACGAAAAAAAGGTGCCGCCGCGCCTGCTCATCGACGACGCCGCCGCGCGGCGCAAGGACGGTTTCGAGGTCGACTGCTGGCTCCTCTTCGCGGACAAGGACCAAGCTAGAGACGCCTGCAAATTATTGCAGGACGCGCGCCTCGACGTGCCCGTGCCGCCGGCGCTGACGGATGCTCCGTTACCTTGGGACGAGGCCAGTATCAGAAACGCGCGGAACGTCACCGACGACGACGACCTGGGTGAGGACCACCCCGACCCCATCGCCCGGGACACGGCCGAGGAGCGCGTCAAGCGGGGCCTGGACCGGGAACCTACCGATCGGGACAACTTCCGGTGCCGCGCGCGGCGCGCGCTGCTCGCCGCATCGACGCCGGCGGTCGACGATCTGGGCCGGTCCAAGCCGCCGCGCCGGGCGCCGCGGCCGTGGACGCGCGGCGGCGCGGCGCTGGCGACGCGGCCGCGGCTCGCGCGCGACGCGGCGCAGGCCCAGGCGCTCGCGGAGGCGCTGGACGCGGCGGCGGACGTGCCGGAGGAGGACCGCTTCGCGCGGGTGGTGGAGGGCGACGGCGAGCTCGCGGAATTACTAAGGGGGGACAACGCCGCGCGGCTGGACGTGTGCGCGGCGTATTTGCGGAGGGTGCACCTCCACCTGTATTACGGCGGGGCGCGGTGCCGCGACGAGGTCGATCTGCTCACGAGGGACGCGGCGTGGCTGACGCGGCCCGACGCGGCCGACGAGCCCCTCAACGCCGCCGAGGAGCTGGCGCTCTTCGAGAAGGAGTCCACGAAGCTGCGCGACCGCCTGAGCGAGACGAGAAAAAGGAGGCGGTCGGACGGCGACGAGGCCGCCGACGAGGCGAAGGACGAGGAACCCAAGGAGGAGGAGAAGGAAGAGGAGGAGGAGGACTGGGGCGCCTCGCTGCGGGCCGAGGACGAGAAGACGATCCGACTGATCCAGCAGGCGACGCGCGAGGCCGACGCGACGGCGGAGCCGGACGCGTCCGCGGGCGTCGGCCCGGGCCGCTGCTACCACCCGCGCGGCCGCTGCGCGAAGCTCTTCCCGCGCGAGGGCCGGTGCCTCGCGGCCGCGCGCGCGCGTTTTGATGGATTGCACAAGCTCGAGGAGGACAACGGGCGCGCCAGGTGCGCCTTCGAGTGGTGCCGCAAGCTGTTTAAGTCCGACGAGTACCTCAAGAAGCACCTCGCGAATAGGCACGGCGACCACCTCGAGGCCTACCTGACGAGCGCGCGGCGGCCGTTCATGTGGGCGGTCTACGACGCGGACGCGCACAAGCCCCTGCCGCCCTTACGGACGGCGAATGGCGACGAGGTCGAGCCCCTCGATCTTTTGAGAGGAGGCGACTTCCAGGCGCCGCGGAAGCGCGACCGCCGCGACCGCGACCGCGGCCGCGACCGCGACCGCCGCGACCGCGGCCGCCGCGACGACTTCCGGTCGCCGCGGGAGCGGTACGCGGCGGGCCCGCCGCGGCCGCCGCCCGGCGCCGAGCGCTCGAGCGACACGCGCAAGCCCCCCAGCTACGACGACGTCGACGCGCCGAAGCGGCCGGTCCTCGACCTCGACTACGGCGTCCTCCTGCCGCCGCCGGCCAAGAAGAAGAAGAAGAGCGCCGGCTAGGCCGTCCTTCGCCGCCCTGGCTAAAGTCGGAGGTCTCTTTTAGGACTGGCTTCGCGCCTCGCGGGTCGTCGTTCGCGCGGAGGCGAACTTTTTTGCCAGTTTCCCTTGCCCAGGACGGATACGTCGCGCGGACTACGCGTCATGCGACGGATCCGTCGCCAGGCTCGAGCTCCAAGTCATCTGTGGCCAAGTGATCCAGGCCTGCGGCTTCGTGCGCGTGCGGCCGGGCTCTGCAAGTTTTGTGCCTTTACGTTGTGGAATGAATTGTTCTATTGTCACAAAACGGCAGCGCGCGTAATTTCGCAGTACTCTTTGCCACAAGTGCTTTCCATTTTGTTGCCCTTTGGCTGCACGCGGCGGCGGCGAGGATATAGCGCTCATAAATTTGCGCGGCGGCGCGCCTAAGGCTAGCCGTAGACACATGGCCTCGCTCCTCGACGCGACGCGGTCGCTCTGGTCCAGCGTGCTGAACGCGGGCGCCGCGCGCAAGCCGGCGAGCCCGCCCGCGGACCGGCCGTCGCGCCTCAAGTTCGCGGAGCCCTGCGCGACGACGCACGCCGTCGAGCCGGCGCCGCGCGAGCTGCGCGACGAGGTCTGGTGGACGGCGCGCGACTACGCGGAGATCCGGCAGAAGCAGCGCGCGCTCGCGCTCGAGGCGCTGCGGCAGGCGCGCGCGGCGCCCGCGGGCACGACGCCGCCGCCGATCCCCGGCGAGTCGCGGCGCGGCCTCGGCGTCTGCTGCGAGCCGGGCACGACGGCCGAGCGCGCGCGGCTCGTGCAGGAGGGCCGCGCCGAGGTCGTGCGCGCGCACCGCGGCGGCATGGAGCCCGCGGCGCTCGCCGAGCTCTGCCGCGAGCTCTCGGCCTGGGCCGCCGTGAACGCGCGCGACGTGGCGAGCAAGGACGAGCTCGACGCCTCGACGAGGAGCGACGCGGGCCACGCCTCGGCCTCGGACCTGCTCGCCGTGGCGGCGCGGCCGCCGGCGCCGCTCTCGACGCCGCCGGCGCCGACGAAGCGCGGCGCCGACGACGAGCCCGCGGCCGCGTCGCCGGCGAAGCGGCCCGCGTCGCCGGCGACGGCGAGCGGCGGGTTCCTCGCGGGCGCGCCCCGCGACAACGCGCCGGCCGCGGGCATCGGCATCGCCGCCGAGCCGCCGCCGCCCGCGGGCGTGACGGCGCCGTGCCAGGCAGGCCTCGCGTCCATGGTCCGATCGGACTCGTTCGGCGACCTCCGCGCCGCCGGGTCATAGCTTCCTAATCTTATCGTCTAGTAGTACTAGATTAAGTCGACTACAACTCCTTATGAGCTGAGGGGAGAGAGAGGAAACGACACGCGGGGTAAAGAGGACGATGTGGGGGTAACAGTGCAGGAGGAACATGACGGCCTCGAAGAAGACCGTTCGGACCCGGAGGGGCGTGGAGCCCGTCCACCCGGAAGGTGCAGCCAGTCCAGTCGTCGCGCGCCTCGTTCTTGTGGTTGTTCTCGTCCGTCGCCATACCTGCGGAAGGCCTCGCAGTGCGCGGCGGAGCGCGTGATGGGCGCGCGGCCGCGCGGCGGTGTGTTTGAGCCGCCGCCCGCGCGGTCGACTCGGTCGTCGGCGCCGGCCTTCGCGCGACGCGCGGCGGCGCCTCGGGGCCGGCGCGCGCGTCACGAGGCGCTCTCGGGCCGCGGCGCGTGGAGGCGGGGCGGGGCGCGGCTCGCGGACGCGGGAAGCGCGGTACCTTCGTCGATGTTGTGAATCAAACTGCCCTTTGAAGGACCTCCGTGCGGCGCTGCAGCACGTCCGCGCAGGTCGCCGAGGCTCGTCGTCGAGCGCCTGGGTCCGTTCCGTCGCCGCGCTGTGGCCCTGGTCCACCGCGCCGCGCTTTTGCGGCGTCGTTGGCCGCCGCCCCAGATCGTTCTGCGCTCTGCGATTTTTTTGATTCGCAAAGGGCCTTTGCGCCCCCCGGCCGGGTCCGCGGCCCCCATGCGGCGCGGGAGGGCTCGGGAGCCTTAGGGGGACGGGTACTAGCGGGTTCCCACTTCCTGGGGACGCCTGATACCCATTGCAGCGCGGGCGGCGCGCGGGGCCGCCACATCCCCAAACACTGATCTACCAAGGAGAAGCCAATCCCGTCTGGCAAAGGGTCGAACAACCGTCTGTAAACCTATCTGCTCTTAGGCGTCGATGGCGGCGCGCGCCGCGGCGGCAAAATCGCGCACGTCCGCGTCCTCGTCCGCGTCGAGCGCGTCCAAACCCGCGCGCACCCGCGCCAGCGCGGCCCCGTCGACGCGCCGCCCGACGGCGCCCAGGGCCGTCGCGGCGTTGAAGCGCACGTTGGGCACGGCGTCGGCGACGGCCGCCTCGACGACCGGCAGCACGTGGTCCGCGACGGCCTCGCCGTCGAGCGCGCCGGGCGCCGCGGCGAGCGCCGCCAGCGCCCCGAGCGCCGTCACGCGCCGGAGGTAGCTCTCGTGCCGCGCCAGCGCCGCGACGCGCGGCAGCGCGTCGCCGACCGTCCACGCGGCGCCGAGCGTCGGCGCGAGCCGGGCCAGCGTGGCCACGGCCGCGGCGCGCACCGCCGCGACGGGGTCGTCGAGCCAGCCCGCGCAGACGTCGCGCGTCGCCAGGTCGAACGCGTCCGCGCCCAGCTGCTCGCAGACGCCCGGCGTCAGCTCGACGACGGCCCGGCGGACGCGCCACTTCGCGTCCGCGGCGAGCGCCACGACCGCCGGGAGCAGCGCCGCCGCCAGGGCGTCGACGCCGATCACGGCGTGGATCGGCGCGAGCCGCGAGACCACGTTCAGCCGCACGTCGGCCTCGTCGTCGCGGAGCAGCGTCAGGAGCAGGGGCAGCACGACGTCCGCCGCCGCCGCCGCGCCGAGCGCCGGCGCCAGGTCCGCGGCGCGCTGCGCGAGCGCCGCGCGCACGCTCGCGCTCACGTCGCGTGTGAGCGCGTCGACCGCCGGCGCGAGGCCGTCGAGGGCGTCGCCCGGCGCGCGCGTCGCGTCCACGGCCTCGGCGACGTGCAGGGCCGCCGCGGCGCGGACCTCGGCCTCGGGGTCCGTCATGAGCTTCGCGTAGGCCGCGCGCAGCGCCGCCGGCGCGTCGAGGCCCCGCGCGAGCGGCGCGAACGCGTAGGCCAGCGCGTGCCGCGCGCGCCAGGCCGGATCCTCGCCGAAGGCGAGCAGCAGCGGGAGCACGACGTTGGACCGGCCGGCCGCGTCGAGACCTGCGCGGGAAGTGAGGTTATGGGGAGAATCGTGGATAAAAATTTCCGCGCGGGTGCGGGCTCGCGGCGACTTTCTCGAGCGCGGCCACGCAGGCGAGGCGCACGGCGTCCTGATCGTCGACCGCGAGCTTGCGGAGGACGTCGACGACGTCCGCGCTGCCGCCGGCCCACCATCCGCCGCCCTCGCGGGCCTGGCAGGCCTGCGCGAGGTCGCCGACGGCGCGCGCGGCCGCCGCGCGCACCGCCGGCGCGGCGTCGGCCGCGAGCGCCGCTCCGGTGTCTCGCGGCGCGTCGGCCGCGCGCCGCCGCCACGCGGCCAGCACGGCGCACGCCGCCGAGCGGGCCGTGAACCACTCGTGGCACGCGAGGCCCTCGACGAAGGGCGCGAAGTGCTCGGCCACGGCCGCCTCGGGCAGCGCCGCGCAGACGCCGCGGGCCGTCTCGGCCGCGGCGGCGCGCACGCCGGCGTCCTCCGCCGCGCAGAGCTGGGCGAGCGGCTCGAGCAGCACGTGCGCGTGCCGCGCGCCGCCCACGAGGGGCCCCAGCTCCGCGAGCCGCGTCGCGAGCTCGAGCAGCACGCCGTCGACGTCGTCCGTCAGGTCGCAGACGAAGGGCACGAGCTCGTCGCGGCAGCGCCGCGGGCCCAGCGCCGCCGCGATCTTCGGCAGGGCCGCGTGCGACCGCTGCCGCGCCGCGACATCGTCGTCGCGCAGCGCGTCGATGAGCAGGGCTATCTCGCGCAGCGAGTCGCCGTGGTCGCTGACCGTCTCGGCGCTCGCGTCGTCGTCGCCGCCGTCGCTGCTGCCGCCCGTCGGGGCGCGGAGGGCCGTCATGGTGGTTTTATTTTATTGCGGTTGCGGCTGCGCTCGCGCAGCTGTCTTGCGCGTGCGGTCGGATAGGTCCTCGGAAGGGCCCTGCGCGGCTCGGTCCGCTGGCTAGTGCAGCGCAGCGCAGTGGTTTTTCGAAAAAGTGATCGGGCAGCAGGAGCGATGGCACGCGAGTGCGCGCAGCCTCCACAACCGCGAAGAGCTGACAGTCTACGTACGCGAAAGCTTTCCGATGACCACTTAGGCTAGTCGGCCCCAGCTGGTCGGCGACCATCGATTTTTGTTTGGGGAAAACCCGTTTTGTTTTGCAATTGAGACACCCGTGCTGGCGATGAAGTGTACATGCAGATACGCGTAGACGATTCGCCCGACACGTCCGACCAACCTCCGTACTCAGAAACTTCCACTTGATTGATAGAAGCGCGACGCGCCAGCCCCCTACGACTCACAAAAGTCTCACAGTTTTGATTTACGCGGGGGAGGGGGGACGACGGGAAGACGACAACCGGAGCCCGTCAGCCCGGCGCGGCCGGCACCTCGGCGGGCGCCGACGAGTGCTGCTTGATCTTGTCGAGGAGCCGCGCGCGCGCGTCCTGCTGGTAGGCGCCGTTGACGCCCGGGAGGAGCGTGGACCGGCGCTGCTCCATGGCCGTGCGCAGCGACGCCTCGCTGAAGATCGTGAGCTCGGCCTCGGCCTCGTCGGGGTCGACGGCCTCGCCCTTGACCTGCCTCTCGTACTTCTCCTTGTTCTTGCGGAGGAAGACCAAGCACTCCTCGACGGCGCGGCAGTCGACCTCCGCATCTAACACGGCGCAGCGCCGCATGATCGCCACGTACGACTCGTAGAGAGGCGCGACGACGAACTGGATGAACCCGCACGTCGACCGCGAGATCACGTTCTTGTCCCGATCGAGTAAGGGCGCGACGGGGCGGCCCCGTTCTCTATCTAAATCGCCCTCGTGGTAGAACTCGGCGTACACGGCGTCGTTCCACTTGCGGGCCACGCGCCACGGCCGCGCTTGGTTCGAAATGTCCGCGCACTTCAGCGCGATCTGCAGCACCAAATCGATACCCTCCGGCGTCTGCAGCGGGTGCCACGCCGGCTCCGCGAGCTTCTGCTTGATCCTTTCCATCAGCGCGCCGTGCCGCGCCATGTCCGTCGCGAGGACCATGCCCCGCACCACCTCCCAAAACCGCGCCGCGTCTTTCACGTCCATCCCATCAAAAAGGCGGTGCTTCTCCGCGAGCTTCTCGAAGACGGCCAGGTGATGGTTTTCCAGCGGCGACTGGCGGTCGTAGCGCTGGCTTAACTCGGAATTCTCGTTGTTCTGGAACGTGTTCGACAGGCCCGGATGATCTAAATCGTGGCACATGGCCGCGACCAACGCCGCGGCGCGTTCGACCGGCGATAGAGCATCAGCGACGTGCGTCGCTAATAACAAAGTATACATGTACTGCGTCACGTCCGTGATGTGCGAGAAGCCGTGGTAGGGGTTCGCGCGCATGCACTGCTTGATGTCGTACACGAAGGGGAGTAACGCACCGGGCGCCTTGTTCAGAACGGAAGCGACCTTCAGGTTCTCGACCATGCGCACGAGGTGGCGCAGCCGCGTGTCGTCGTCCACCCCCAAACAGTCGTAGTTCATGGTACATAAATCCGTGTGCACGAGGAACGCGTGCCAGTCGAGGTGGGCCATGGGGTCGTCCTTGTCGAGCTGCGTCATCGAGTCCTCCGTGATGAGCTTGGCCGCGTAGAAGCTCAGGCGCCGGAGCGGCGCCTGCGACGGCCGCACGGGGCGCGGCGGCGGCAGGTTTGTCAAGGTGTCCTCCTTGCGGACCCAGGGCGCGACCTTCGCGGCGACGGCGTTGCCCATCCCGGAAGGCTCAGCTGATTGAGTTGGAGGTAGGCGGCGGCGGCGGCGCGCGCGGCTGCCCTTTTCGGCGTGTTAATCGCTGCGGGCTTGTCGGAAACGGTCGCGTCGCCGCGTTGCTTGCTGCCCGGCCCTCGCGTTGCCTTGCGATGTGATGCTGAGAGAAGGCACAGCCGGAGAGGCTCAGCCCGGCGCGACGCATTTAGGGAAGAGAGAAACGCGGAGAGGAGTGTCAGACCCATCGCAGCGCGTTGTCTACGCATGGAGGGGTCTCAGAAAATCGTGACGGGTTTTCGGTGCGCGCGTGGCCTCGTAAAAATCCACGGCAGGAGCGCCATTTGTGGATCCGAGCTGTTATAGCTGCGTTGAAGTACAGCAGCGCTCGCAGCCAGCACGCTGCGGCAGTCAAAGTTGCAAAAACCGAGTATGCACAGTGGGAGAGCCCAGCTGCTGGCCCTCGCGCTCGTCGCAGCGACGACGCATGCCTTTAGCCTGCCCAGTGGGAGAGCCCAGCTGCTGGCCCTCGCGCTCGTCGCAGCGACGACGCATGCCTTTAGCCTGCCGCGCGCGACGCGACGAACCCGGCTGCGCGCCGCGGCCGTCGAAGCCGTCGAAGAGTTCGACGTTGTTGTGATTGGGAGCGGCATCGGCGGGCTGTCGTGCGCTTCATTATTAGCGGCGGCGGGACGGGAGGTCTGCGTCCTCGAGGCGCATTATGAATTAGGAGGTTGTGCCCACGAGTACGATGTTGATCTGGACGGGAAGACGATCCCGAGCGAGAAGCTGAAGACCATGGACCCGCGGCCGCCGACGTTCAAGTTCGAGGCCGGCCCCTCATTGTACAGCGGCTTCTCGCCCGACCGGTCGCCGAACCCCCTCAAGCACGTCTACCAGATGATCGGCGAGGAGCCCGAGTGGATTACGTATGATAAGTGGGGCGCCTACCTCCCGGAGGCTCCCGAGGGCTACGAACTGAGTATAGGTGCCGAGAACTTTCTCGAGATTCTGAGACGCTACGGCGGCCCGACGGCCGTCGCGGACTGGAACAAGCTGGCCGAGGTGCTGCGGCCGCTGGCGAAGGGCGTCATGGGCGTCCCCTCGACGGCCGTTCGGGGCGACGCCGGCGTCCTCGCGACGTTGGCGCTGCGGTATCCGGGCCCCTTCCTCAACGTCGTCAAGGACGCGCCAAAAATTCTGGGGCCCTTCGACATGGAGGATCCAGAAAGTCCGTTCTACGTCGAAGATCAGTTCCTGCGGAACTACCTCGACCTCATCGCCTTCCTCCTGCAAGGCCTGCCGGCCTCGGGAACGCTCACGGCGGTCATGGCCTACATGGTCGAGGACTTCTACAGAGAGGGCGCGGTGATGGACTTTCCAAGAGGCGGGTCGCGCGGCCTCGTCGAGGCGCTGGCCCGGGGCGTGACGAAGCGGAGCGGATGTGATGTGAGGAGGTCGACGACGGTCGAGCGCGTGGTGGTGGAAGACGGCCGCGCCGTCGGCGTTTTGTTGAGAGGAGGCAAGACGATCCGGGCGAGAAAAGGCGTCGTGTCCAATGCTGACCTAAAGAACACCTACGACCTCGTGGAACGGGGCATTTCTCAGAAATTCGACGAGGAGCGCGACGCGAATCTGAAAAATGTGAAGCTCTGCAAGTCTTTTGTGCATGTGCATCTCGGCGTGCCGGCGTCGGCGATTCCCGACGACGCGCCGCCGCAGTGGACGGTGGTCGGGCCGTCCTGGGACGGGCCCATCGACAAGAGCGGCAAGGTCGTGGTCGTGAGCGTGCCGTCGAAGCTCGACCCCAGTCTAGCGCCGGAGGGCTACCACGTGATCCACGCCTACGGCGCGGGCAACGAGCCCTACGATTTGTGGAAGGAGTTCGAGGGCAAGACGAATACGGAGGCGTACAAGGCTGTGTGGAAATCAACCAGTGCATCGGGTGCCAATTCTTCACTAAGTCATTTCTCGGCGATGACGCGGCCGTCCTGGCTCGGTCGAGCGGTGAGGAACCGGCATCGCCACGTCATCGAGCAGACATCGCGTCGATGGCGTGGAGGACGACGCGATGATTCAGCACGAACGCGCAGTAAAATTTTGATTTCCACACAGGTACAAGGCGTTCAAGGAAGAACGGGCGCGGCCCATCTTCGACGCGATCGCCAAGCGCGCCCCGGACGCGCGCAAATCCGCCGTCGTGGAGCAGATCGCGTCTCCAATAACGCACGCGCGATTCCTGCGGCGCCACGAGGGCAACTACGGCCCGGCGATCGCCGCCGGTTCCGGCGTCGAATTTCCTACGGTGACGACGCCGCTGCCGGGCTACTACCGGTGCGGCGACAGCACGACGGCGGGCATCGGCGTGCCGGCCGTCGCGTCGTCGGGCGCCCAGTGCGCGAACGCTCTGCTCAACGTCTTCGAGCAGCTGAAGCTGAACGGCCTGATCCGTATGCCTTAATCAATGTGTTATCTATTAGTCTTGGGGGGCGCGGAAGATATATGATAAAACGTGTGAGCGCTCAGGCCAGGATGGCGAGGGCCGCGGCCGCGGCGCAGAACGCGACCTTGACGGGCAGCGCCAGCGCCAGGATCGCCTTGACGAGCGCGTGGGCCGGGGCCAGCGCGCGGGCGAGCGGGCCCTTCCGCGGCTGCTTCGCCGCCGCTGGGGCCGGCTTCTTCGCCTTCGGTGCCGGGGCCTTAGGGGGCTTCGGCGCCGTCGCCTTCGGCGGGGCTGGCTTGGTCGCCTGCTTCTTCGGCATCGCCTTCGGCGCCTTCGCCTTCGGCGGGGCCGGCTTGGACGCCTGCTTCTTCGGCATCGCCTTCGGCGCCTTCGCCTTCGGCGCGGCCGGCTTCGGCGGGGCCGGCTTGACCTTCGGCACCGGCTTGAGCGCGGCGGTCTGCGCCCGGAGGACGATGGCCTTCCGCGTCACGGCGGGCGCCGCGACCGGCGCGACGGGCGCCACGGGCGGCGGCGCCGTGACCACGACGGCGGCGCCGAGGGCCACGAAGGCCACGAGGGCCGCGAGCGTGACGGGGATGCGACGCGCGGGCGCCGGCGGCGCGGCGGGCGCGAGCTCCGGGAACTTGCCGAGCTCGGAAAAGGGCGCGTCGAGTTTGGGGGTCCGCGGCGGCGGCGTCATGAGCAGCGGCGCCGCGGGCGAGGCGACGGGCGTTTTCGGCGTCGTCGGCGCGATGGCGCGCTCCGAGTGCAGCGGCGTGTCCGAGCCCGTCTCCGAGAACTCGGAGGTCGAGCCGCCGGAGCTGCGCAGCGTACTTACGGCCCGCACCGGCGACGGCGACGGCTGCGGCTTCGGGGCCGGCGACTTGGCCGGCGCGAGCGCGTTGCTCACGTCCTTGAGGCCGCGGCGCCGTTCGGGGAACGTCGCGATGGCAGCCGTGACGGCGGCGCGCAGGCCGAAGGGCGGCGACGCCGGCGACGAAACCGCTGCCACTTTAGCGCTCTTCTTCTCTTCGACGTCGCACGGCGACAGCGCAACCGCGGGCAGCGGGCTGTCCGCCATGGCGCCGTGGAAGGCAGGAGATTGCATCATGCTGCACACGGGCCAGCACGGGCGATTTCCGCCTCTTGGGCAATCTCAAACCGTAATTGAGTCCTAATATGTCCATACGCTAGCTCGCTAGGTCTTGCGGCTCGCCAAATTACACCAACGTTTGACGCCGCCATCTACCGTCCATATAGTACATCATATACACTCCAGCCCAGTTTTCATCCAAGTTCGACGGAACCGGAGCCGACGGCCCGCGCTCGGAGGGCGGGAAAAGAATTCTACTAGACAACTCCCGAGTTTATGTTCGTTTCCTGCCGTTTGTTGGTGGTAGACTCCATCTTGGCCGCCTGGACGAGATCGAGTTAGATTAGATGACCCGTTAGAGCCTCGCGATTCGCCATCTTCGCGACCCCGCGTTTACATATAAACGAGCTCAAGAGCTAGATATGCGAGTATCAGCGACGCCACCACCCAGATGGACCATAACGCCGTTGTTCTATTCACGATCGACCGACTTGCCCGTTCTCCGCGGACGACGGTGCGTACGCGGGGCACTGAATTGGCCCCAGACCGGTGAGTTGTAAAATAAATTTGCGTTTCAGGCGATTTAGTAGTGGGGCGGGCCAGCTAACTGGCCTGATCATGTACTACATTGCTCCGATACCCCAAGATGCTCGGCGCGGCTCGTCGGTCTCGCGGACCCACGATCGGCTTCTGTCGGCGAATTATTTGAACCTGCGACCATCAGCGCGTGTACCATCACCATGGACCATGACGCGATCATTTGTTCCATGATCGACCGACTTACGCGGGGTCCAGATCAAGATGTTCACGTCCCGGGCGTGGGCAGTCCAAAGTACCCTTCTCGCGGTGTAGATGCCATATACTTGTAATTGACTATCGGCGGGGTAGTATGGGGTCCAACGAGACCGCTACGGGGACTACTGGGGCCCCTCGGGTAATTGACGTTTTTGACGGGAACGGGGCGCCATCGGGCCCAAATAACTTACTTTTTTCGGGGGCAGGTCGGCTCCTGGAGGTCTCTCGGGGTAGGTCTGGTAGTGGGTAAGCGCCTGCGCCGCATACGCCGTCGATGCAGCAGCCAAGTGTTCTCGGAGAGCCCTGGAAGCAACAAAGGCATAAAAGTTGCTAAAGCTCTGTGGCCTGCTGAGAGAAATCGACCAAAAATGATTGAAGCGCCGGCGCATGCGGTGTAGGCGATTGCACGTGTATAGTACCGACCCTAGGCGACCCCAGGGACACCTCCCCGGCAAGGATTGACAGGATTCCACCGGCGCGGCCGCCATAGACCGTAGGGCGCCCTCGGCCGCGAATTAAAAAATATCCTTTTTCGGCCCCCAGGAAGTGTCCCATTGATATCTTTGGACCATTAGCTAACTGAACGATACTCAAATGGCTGCATGTCGCGTTTTGATCTGGTGCTTGCTAGTGTCTTTACGCACCGCTAGCTCGTACTTTGCTTTGGCAAGCTTGTCCAGCCGCGGAGATTAGAGCACGCGGCCACGCACTTGCACCTCTCCTCTACTCCGTGTCCGCGCCCGCTCCGTAAGCGGTTCCAGAGCCGTGCCGCCTGCAGCTCCCACTGCTGCCTAGCCTCGCTGCTCGCGCGCCCACCGCCGACAGCGAAGCGCTGCAAGATGGCCGCCATGGACACCAGCGAACCACAAACCACGAACCCCAACGCCCACCTCGAGCGCCTCTTCCCCGTGCCCGGCGAGGGCTACACGTGGGGCCCGCCCGAGGAGCCCACCTATCCCATCCCCGAGTGGGACGCGGCGAAGACGAAAGTCGTCGGCGGCCACTCGCGCAACGTGAACAAGCTCGCCTGGAACGCAAGTGGCGACAAACTCGCGAGCGGGTCCGACGACCGGACGTGCCGCGTCTGGAGCGGCGAGGACGACTACCGCCATTCATTGAAATTGGACGGCCACGGCGACAGCGTCGTGCAGCTCGCCTGGGACCCGCGCAACAACGAGTCGCTGGCGACGCTCGCGGCGGACAAGACGGTGCGGTTGTGGGATTTGCGCGAAGGCCGCGCGCGGTCGCGGGCGTCGATCAAACTGTCGCACGAGTACATTAACGTGGCCTGGAGCCCCTGCGGCGGCTACCTCGCCGTGGGGTCCTCGGTCGGCAAGAAGGAGGGCGACGAGAAGGACTGCGTCACGGTGTTGGACGCCAAAACCCACAAGGCCACGAAACGCTTCAAATTTGCGTATGAAGTGAACGAGTTCTGCTGGGCGCCGGACTCGAGGCATTTGATGTTGACGACGGCGCACGGCACGATCGAGGTGCTACGCGCGGTCGAGGGCGGCCCACCTCCCGTCGAGTTCGACAAGATTTGTAGCTGTGACGACGACGACATCCCCAAGCCGCACGCGGACTCGGTCTGGGTCGCGCGGGCGCACACGGACGCGTGCTACTGCGTGGATTTGAGCACGGACTGCCACGGGCCGCCTTTACTCGCGGTGGGCGCCAAGGACGCCCTGGTGAGCATCTGGGACGTCGAGGAGATGATCTGTTTAAGGTGCGTGCCGCGCCACGACACGCCGGTCCGCTGCGTCGCCTTTTCGCGCTACGGCCAGTTCGTCGCGTCGAGCGCGTACGACGCGGGTATTGATATCGCGGACACGAAGACGGCCGAAAGGGTAGCGACGGTCGAGGCGGCGCACGCGATGAACTCACTCGCGTGGCACCCGCAGAAGCCCGTGCTCGCCTACGCGATCGACGCGAAGTCGAAACCTGACGGGCGGACGCGCGACGAGCCGCCCTACCTCCGGCTGCACTCCGTGCCCCTGCCATCAGGTAACTAGTTTATCACACACTACTGGGGCGGCGAAGTGGGCGGCGTGATGCCTGCGCGCGCGCATAGCGCGTGCGTCGCCGCCTGCGTCGCGTGCGCGACGGCCGGGTCGGCCAGGTGCTCCATGAGCGCGACCTGGAGCTGGACGTAGCCGTCGGCGCCGTCGTAGCCGATTGTTGGGGCGAGCTCGGTCTGGACCGCGGCGAGCGCCCGCATCACGGCGCCGGACGCCTTTTGCGCGTCGCCCTTCGCCGCCGCCAGGTCGGCGGCCAGCGCGTCCCCCAGGTCGCCGGCGGCCGCCGCCGCGACCTTGCCCGCGAACTCGCGCGCGGCCTCCGGCGCCATCGGCTTCGGGCTGAGCGCGAAGCCCCGGAGTAGCACCTCTTCCCAGACCTCCTTGTCCAAGCTTTTCAGTTCCTCTAGAGCTTCGGGCCCCGCGCTCTGCGCCGCCAGACCCAGGTGGTGCCTATAGCTGATGATGCCCTTTTCCGACGCCTCGTACCCGAACGCCGCGGCGGTGTGCGCCTGGGCGCCGACGAGCACCTGCATCGCCTGGACCCAGCGGTCCGCCACCGGCGCCTCCGGCGCCGCGGCGAGCGCGTCGAGCCTCCTCCCGCTGACGCCGAGGCGCACGAAATCCAGCACGATGCGCGACGAGCTCAGGGCCTGGGCCTTCGACAAAGAAGTGGGCGGCGGCAGGTCGGGTGCCGCCGCCGGCGTCGAGAAGCGCTTCCACGCATGCGTCTGCTCCGCGACACGTCTGCCCAGCCTCGCGGTCGTGCGGAGGAGCATGGCTCTCTTTGCAAGTGCTGTGTTGCCGCACGACTCGTCAGCGATACGCCGACGAGCGATATGTGCGTCCCGATGCCGCTGTAGCTTGCAAATGCCACTCGCTGGATGGCAAAAAGTCGTCGCGACGACGCCAAAGCTCTCAAAACCCGTGCGGATGGGAGGGATGGGCAGACGTTCACGGCACGTCTACAGCTTCCCGATCACTCATACTCAAGCTCGCGTTTCGTACACGCCACTAGCATGTGGCGCACAGCCAACTGTGAATGATAAGACAGGCTGCCTAAGCCGGTCCAGGATCACGACAGATGAACTACAGATGAGTGGGCAGCCTGGAACGAATCGCGGCAATGCGCCACCACCGCGCTTCTGCCCGTCTCCGACAAAAGAAATGCGCATGCTAATGGCACAAAGCAGTAGCCCGCCCCAGGCGAGCGAAACCGTCGTCGACGTCGACGTGAGCGTCCCCTCGGACGAGTCGGAGCGCGAGGACAGCGGCTACGTGCCGCGCTCGTCGGTGGTCCTCATGCCCGACGGCAACCTCGCGTCCCTGCAGCTGTACGACGGCTGGATGGACGACCGGCCCGGCAAAAGGCCGCTGTTCGATACCTTCTCGGAGCGCGGCGACGACGAAATCCAGCTGGACGCGCCGGCGACCTTCGGCCGCGTCCGCATCGACGACGGGTCGCGGTCGCCGTCGCCCGCCGAGGAGACCGCCCGTGTGTGGGACCGCCTCTTCTGTAGCTTCGATACCTCGGTGCTCGTGTGCCCCGGGGTAGGCCTCGCCGACGACGACGACGAGGAAGGCCTTCGGGTGCCCTGGGCGCCGAGCTAACATATACTGTTGTTCAACACACAAGCTTAGGTCACACGTCGCAGAGCCGGTCCAGGGCCAGCAATACGCGGCGACCTTCCGTCGGCGCAGGCGACCGGTGCGCGGCAGCGGGGGCAAATAGGCCCGGCCAGCGCCTACCTTTCAACAGGCAGGCGGCGCCCGGCGGCGGCGACAGTTCTTCGCCGTCCGGGTCGGCTTTGAGCGCCCACGTGGGCAGCAGGTGGTCCACGTCGAGGCGCGCGCCGGGCGCGACGACCGTCGGCGAGCCCTCCAGCACCACCAAGCCCCTCAGCACGACGTCGTCCGTGTGGAGCCGCGGGCACGGCTGCGTCGCGCGGCCGCCGACCGCGACCGTCGCGCGGACGCGGACGCGGCCGCCGTCGCTCGCGGCGCCGAGGCATTCATCAAACCGCCGGGCGAGCTGCACGAAGCCCGGCGCCGCTTGTGATGCGTAGGACGCGTCGTCCGGCCAGAACGCCTCGGTCAGTGTTGATGCGACGTCCTCGACGCAGCAGTCACACTCGACGACGACCTCGGCGGCGCCCTCCAGCGCTGTGGCCCAGCCGGCGCCGTCGATCAGCGACGCGGCGTCCTCGACGAAGACAGCAGAGACCTCTCGCCGCTTTAGCAACCCCGGCACGGCGCCCCAATCGTTCGTCGTCGCGGCGCGGGTCGCGGTCGTCATCAGCACTGCCGTGGCGGTGCGACTGCAGGCTAGGAGCCACCACAGAGCGCGAGACATTGTGTGCTGCTGTGACTTGTTTTGTGAGGGCTTGGCTCAGAGAGCCACAGAGATGTTCGCAGCGCAAGATGGTCGAATTGATTCAAAATTTATTGGCTAATGCACGCATGCGGAGCAGCTCAGCTTTTTCATCGATCCTAGTGTCTTACTGGACGCTAGCTAGTTGCATCGCGCCGAGGCAAAGCAGCAAGGGCAAGGCAAACCAGCAATAGATTGCGGAATTTTGCATTCATTCTCGATACTGCAGTACTAGCTTTCCGGCACTCAGCTCATCGCACCAGCCAGGACCACCTCTCATTCACACAGCATGCACTGGACACACTTGCTAGCCCTCCTCGCCGCGGCGTCGGCCCGGCCGCAGCCACATCGATGGACGCGCGCCCGCCTCGACGTTAGAGGAGGCGCGAGCGACGCCGTCGCGACGCCCACGTCGCTCAACGAGCTGCAGCTGCTCTGCGAGAAGGAGGAGGGAGTGTGTGTGGTGGACTTCGGCGCGACCTGGTGCGGCCCCTGCCAGCGCATCGCGCCCGTCTTCGACCAGCTCGCCGAGGGCTGCCCCGACGCGCTCTTCGCGAAAGTGGACGTCGACGAGGTGCCCGACGCGTCGCAGCACTACAGTGTGTCCGCGCTGCCGACGTTCCTCGTCTTCAAGGACGGCAAGGAGGTCGCGCGCATCCAGGGCGCCGACGAGGCCGGCCTGCGGGCCGCGTTGGACAAGGCGGGCTGCCCGCCGCCCAAGAACGACATCTTCTAAGTTATCCTTACACACACTTCGACCGTCCACAGGACGGGGTCCGACGTCTCGATAGATACGAGATCGTCCTGCAGCAGGTTCGAGGACGACACCAACTCGCCGAACGCGAGGCGTTGACCGGAGAGGTTCCACGTCAATCCTGTCGTCGTGACGCGTTGGACCGCGCCGCCGACGGGTATCAGGCCGCAGTGCGGGCCCTCCACATCCCGTCGTACGCGGATCTCGTGCGCGCCGGCGCCGAGCAGGATCGCGGCCGTGCGGTCGCCGTGCAAGACGCAACGCGCCTTTGGCCGCTGCGCCCCGAAGCGGTAGAGCGCGTCGACGGCGGCGAGCTCGTGGTCGAAGCGGTCCCCAAACGCGCCGGCGACGCGCACGACGCCGTCCGAGACGCCCGCGGCGTCCCATCGTCGACCGACGTGCGCGAGGGCCTTCGAGAGGTCGTTCGAGTCCTGGTCCTCGACGCGGTGGATGGCGCAGCCCCTGGACTCGTAGGCCGCCAGGACGTCGGCGCGCGCGCTGTCGAGGTCGCCGACCACGGCGTCGGGCGCGCGGTCCGCGCCCAGTAAATCGTGCGCGCGGTTCGCGCCGCCGTCGGCGCAGCACACGTAGTCGCTCGCATCCCAGAGCTTTTCGAGCAGCGGCGCGCCGCAGGACTCCGAGTTCAGCACGACGAGGGACTGGTTGGCGGTGGCTGGCTGCTGCAGGAAGGCGTGCAGGTCGTGACGTGTTACCGCTGCTTTCGTCGCCATGAATCGTCGCAGGCTTCGGAAAATCATGCGTTTTCTGCGTTGAGGGAGCTGCTCTCCCAGCTTGGCAGCAGCTCTCACAGCCTTTGTGAGCACCTAGCGCGCGCGCCTCGGCACCGCTCGGGTGATTTCATCAAGGCGACCAGTGGACCACCAAGTAACCAACCTTTGCTTCGCCGGCCGGCGTAGCGTCGCCGCTCAGCCATACAGGCAGCACCCCTGCAGCGCCCTGCTCGCCTCTGCGCGGCGCGAGTTGGCAAAGCACCGCACGCGCAGCCGTGTGCATGCGCCTGGCCCTCTGCAGCTGCACCCTCGCGACCGGCTTGCGCATGGCGTCGACGACGCCGCAAAAGGCGGCGCGGCGCCAGGCGACGACCGCCGGAACGCCGGCGAAGCGGCCGAAGACTTCTCCACACTTCCGCAAGGGCGCGTTCCCGCCCGTCGTCGACGAGCAAACGCGGCCGCACACGCTCCTCCTCGGGACGCAGCCGTCGGACACGTCGCTGCGCGAGAACCGCTATTTCATGACCAACGCGAACGTCTTCTGGCACATCGTGGGCGATGCGCTGGGCTTCCGGCGCGGGTTCCACGTCGACGGCCGCACAGAAGCCTGCGACTTCATCCGGCCGCACCTCCTCCACGACGAAGAATTGGACTACGACGACGCCGTGAAAAAGTTCACGGGCGCCGGCTACGCGCTCTGGGACACGGTGGCCTCCTCGCAGCGCAAGGGTTCCTTGGACTCGGCCATACAAGACGCGGAGTACGCCGACGTCCGCGGGCTACTGCGGACGTACCCGTCGATCCGCCGGATCTGCTTCGCGACGGGTGGGGGGTCCGCCAAGATCTTCGCGAAGGCGCACGCGGCGTGGCTGAAGGAGCCGGGCGCGTTCCGGCGCCGCGACGACGCCCTAGCAAAGGCGGCGTTCCCGAAGGTGCCGACGACCGGCGAGGGAGTGGAGCTCTGCATCCTGCTCTCCGCCTCGCCGGCGTCGAACCCGCGCGAGACCTGGAGCGCCGCCAAACAGCGACAGAAGGGCCACTCCGATCAGTGGGCCGCGCGGCCCGCGGCGCTCTACCCCTTCAAAAGGCGGCAGTGGTTCGACGTTTGTTTTGCCGACGAGCCGTTGGTTCGTGCCGCGGCGCCGTTCGGCGCTTTGGCTTCTGACTACCGGGCGGACGAGGAGGGCGGGGACAAGTCGTAACTGAGGCTGAGGCTAGTTACGTCGCAGGGTTCCCCGTACCCCTCCCGCTCCCCCCGGGCCCACCCGTCCGGCTGGACTAGGACGCAAGGGCTGAGTCACAGGGACTCGCACGCCCCCCCTTCTTTCGGGACGACCCCCGTCAGGATGTGGAACTGGCCGCTGGCTCCTCTTTTACGACGAGCCGGAAATCGAGTGGTGAGAGAGATGCCCTCGCACACCAGGCCGAGCAATCCTGAAACGGGGAGCGAGAGCTCCGACCCGCCCAGACGGCCCTTAACAGGCTCAGGCTCAGGCAACATGCTAGTGTCTTACAGGCCGCTAGGACGAAAATATAACACCAATTTCTGCATTCGCTACCGCCACCCAGGGTATCACGAACCCAAGTAGCAAGAGCAAGCGCATTTTGTCCACCGCTGGCCGGCTCCCAGCAGGAGTAAGATAGCAAAAGGGCTTAGACCATGCTGCTCCGCAGGGCCGCCCGGCGCCTCCGCCCGCAAACGCGCGGCCTATCGGCGATGCCGACGAGTTTCGCCGACTACGCGGAGGCCGACGAGACGATGCAGGACTACGCGGGCAACGTCCGGCGCCTCGGCCGGCTCTTGGGCGAGCGAGTCGCGGCGAACCAGGAGGGCGCAACGGTAGTGGCCGTCGTCGAGCGCTTCCGCCACCATGCCAAAAAATATCGCGACGCCCGCGAGGCCGGCCACGAGGCCGAGGCGGCGCAGACCTTCGAGAGCATGGCGAACGAGATCGCGTCGCTCGCGCCGGGGACGTTACGGGACGTCGCGCGGAGCTTCGCGCACTTCCTCGCGCTGTCGAACGCCGCCGAACAAGAACATCGCGTCCGGCGCCTCGAGGCGCACCGCGGCGACGGCGCGCCCTTGTACCCGGGCAAAACCGACAGCTGCGCGGGCACGCTGGATTATCTGCTCGACGAGGAGCACGTCGATATGACCAAGATCGAGGCCGCCCTCGCGTCGCAGCAACTGGAGATCGTCCTGACGGCGCACCCGACGGAGGTGAATAGAAGAACCATTCTCTCGAAGCACCGGCGCGTCGCCGAGTTACTTGCAAAAAGGCCGGACACGCAAGGTTATGAGAGGAATGAGGTCGATCGGGAACTAGCGGGCGTGGTCAGCGCCTTGTGGGGGTCGGATGAACTGCGCCGCGCGAAGCCGTCGCCGCAGCAGGAGGCGCGAGGTGGGTTAGCGGTCGTCGAGACGTCGCTCTGGGAGGCCTTGCCCGACTTCCTGCGGCGCCTGGACGCGACCCTCAAGGCGCGTGGCGGCCGCCTCCCCCTCACGTCGGCACCGGTGCGACTGGCCTCGTGGATGGGCGGCGACCGCGACGGGAATCCCAACGTCACGGCGCCGGTGACGCGGGAGACGGTGGCGGCGCAGCGGCGCATGGCCGCCGGACTCCTCTTGGTGGAGCTCGACGCGTTGCGCACGGATTTGAGCATGAAGCAGTGCACCGCTCCGGTGACGCAGCTCGCGGAGGAGTCGGGCGCGCCTTCACTAGAAAAATTGGACGCGCCATACAAGGCTATCTTGGACGGCCTCGTGGGGCGGTTGCGCGCGACGGTGGCCTGGGCCGATAACGAATTGAGTTCTGACAACGCGCTGAAGGACTTCCCGAAGGAAAGCCGGAACTCCCTCGCGTCGCGCTTCGGGCGCGTGGCCAAGGCCGACGGCGTCAAGGGCAAGGCGCCCCTCTTCGACGAGAGCGAGCTGCTCGAGCCGTTGCAGGCGATGCACGCGTCGCTGTGTGCCACGGGCTTCGAGGACTGGGCGGAGGGACGATTGGTCGACACGATCCGGAGGGTGGGCGCGTTCGGGTTGCAATTAGCCCCGTTAGACGTCCGGCAGGAGTCGACGCGCCACGCGAACGCGATTGATGCATTACGAGCGTTCGCGGGCGTGGGCGAAGCCGGAAGCTACATCGCCATGTCCGACGACGAGAAGGTCGCGTACCTGTCGCAGGAGCTATCAACGAATAGGCCTTTACTGAGACGAGGCCAGCTCGAGGAGCTGGTGAAGGGCGACTTCATTCCCGATGCGGTGGATAGGGACGTCCTCGCGACGGCGCTGGTGGTTGCCGAGGCGCCTCCGAATAGTTTTGGGGCCTATGTCATCTCGCAGGCGACGTCCGCCGCCGACGTCTTGGCTGTTGAACTACTGTTAGCGGAAGCCGGAGCCGGCGCGGACCGCCCGAACTGCAAGCGCATCGTGCCGCTCTTCGAGACGCTAGACGACTTGACCAATGGTCCTTCATCATTAGAAAAGCTCTTTTCGAGCGAAGGCTATTTGGAGAGGGTGCAGCACCGCCAGGAGATCATGGTCGGCTACTCCGATTCAGCAAAGGACGCCGGTCGATTGGCGGCCTGGTGGGCCCAGTACGAGGGCCAGGAGAAGATGTTGGCCGTGTGCCAACAGTTCGGGGTCGAGCCGACGTTCTTCCACGGCAAAGGCGGCACGGTTGGTAGAGGGGGCAACCCCGAAACGTATCGGGCTATTTTAGCCCACCCGCCGGACACGATCCAGGGGCGGTTTCGGGTCACAGAACAGGGCGAGATGATCACGTTCAATTTCGGCGAGCCCAAGATCGCGGAACGGACGCTAGACATCTTCACGGCGGCGATTCTGCGAGATCATGTCGGTTCTTCCGAAGAGCGGAAAGTGGAGGATAAGTGGCGCCAGACGATGGCCAAGCTCTCGAAGCTGTCGTGTGCCGCGTACCGGAAAGTGGTCCGAGAAACGCCGGACTTCGTGCCGTTCTTCCGCAAGGCCACACCCGAGCTCGAACTGGCCGCGTTGAACGTCGGTTCTCGACCGGCGAAAAGGAACCCCACGGGCGGCGTCGAATCTCTGAGAGCGATCCCCTGGATTTTTGCGTGGGAACAAACTAGATTATCGTTGCCCGCGTGGCTCGGGATCGGCGAGGGCTTCGACGGCGTGCAGCCGGAGGAACTCACGGACATGTACGACAAGTGGCCCTGGTTCCGGACCAACGTCGATCTCATCGAAACGACATTAGCAAAGACGGAGCCGGGCATCGCGGCGCATTACGAGAAGTTACTCGTCGATGACGCCAATCTGGATGCGCTGGGTTCTGATTTACGGGAGCGGCTCAAAACGACAACCGAGGCGGTCTTGCGCGTGTCGGGACGCGACTCGCCGGCGGACGACAATATTATACTACAAAGAGCGTTGAGGCTGCGCAACCCGTACGTCGACGTGCTCAACCTCTTACAAGCCGAGTTACTACAGCGCAAGCGCACGATCGCGAAGCTCGCGCCGCCCGGCAGCGCGGCCGACGACGAGGCTCTAGATGATGCGTTGCTCGTGACGATCAACGGCATCGCGGCCGGCATGCAGAAGAGCGGCTAGATATCATATATCCCCTCGCGCGCGTTTCTGCAGCCGCTCGTGCCTGACGCTCATCGTACATACCCCTTCTACATAAGAAATCTGTCCAGTCTGCTTTGCTTCGAGCTAGGCCGCCTAGCCTTGAAACTTTTCACACTACTAAGACTTAGTCGCTCAGGTCGGCCGTCGCGACGGCGGGCGACGTGAGCGGCCGCGGCGACCGGCGCACGGACGCGGGCGGCGCCTCGGCGAAGGTCTCGAGCAGTGCCGCGGCCAGGCCCGGCGCGTCGTCCAGCGCCGCCGCCAGGAACGTCGCGCAGCGGTCGTAGACCCACGACGGCCGCGGCGAGTTGTGCTCGCCGTCGAAGACGAGCAAGGTGGACGGCGCCTTATAGAGCGCCTCGAGCGGTCGCGCGTGCGTCGCCGGCGCGGCCAGCTTGTCGCGCGCGCCCGCCAGAAACAACGCCGGCGCCGTCGCGGCCGCGGCGGCCCGCCCGCAGTCGACCTTCGTCGGGTTGCAGCCCTTCGTCCGCCGCCGGGCCGAGCACGCGAGGCAGCACATGACGCAGGCGACGCCGCATTTCGGCGCCTTGGGCGCCGCGCGCTGGATCAGGTCGTTCTTCAACGCGCGGAAGCTGAGAAACGGCGAGTCGAGGATGAGCCCCCGCACCTCGTCGGGGTACTTCTCGCCATGTAATAAAGCGGCGGCGGCGCCCATGCTCCGGCCCCAAATACAAACTCTGGCGCCGGGCGCCCACCTTCGTACCTCGGCGAGGACGGCCTCGACCTGGTCCCTCTCTCTCAGGCCTAGGGTGACGGTGTCGCCCTCGCTGATGCCGCAGCCCGCGAAATCAAAAGACACGAGAGCAGCGCGAGCGCAGGCGCACGTCGCGAGCACCGGTGACCTCACGACCGCGAGGCGACAGCTACTGTTGGAGTGGAGATATAACACAACTTTCTTCGGTCGAGGCTCGCCCTCCCGCGCCCAGCGGCTGCATTTCAATTTAAGCTTGTTGTGGACCACCTCGAAGTCCGTGCGCTCGTAGACGGCGCCTCGCAACGCCTTAAGCGTGGGGCCGAGGTCCTCCGTCGTGTAGGCGATGCGCGGCGGCCGCACGACCGTTTTGACGAGGTTGTCGTAGCCCCGTCGTATCAGTGTGATTTTAGACTCCTTCTTCTTCGGCGGCTCGGTCATCGTCGGGACGCGGCGAGCTACTAATGGTGGTGGTGAGGAGTCCTCCTGTTGTGTGCTGGCTGCCTGAATCGTCGGTTTCGCGCTGCGCAGCGATTCGAAGAGATGCTCGCTGCGCTGAGGCGTTCAAAAGTGTTGTACCTTGTCGCCAGAAAGGCGCACGCAGGCACGATGGCTGCGCGCTCGAGCTTTTTGGCGCCCTAGCCTAGCCTATAGGCCTAGCCTTGCTTAACCGACGGGTTTTTGCGCGCGGTCTTGCGGGACCCCTCCCCGCCCCAGGGGACTCGTCGCAGAGGTCGTGCAGCGATGTGCGGGAAAAAAAAGGGAACCGCCACCACAACCTTGGGTCTGCTGAACGCGGACGCGCCCCGGTGCTAGTGTCTCACTGCCGCTAGCTGCGCTTACTCCAACTTGCAGACGCTATGTCAGACGCTATGTAGACGCTATGTGCACAAGACGTGATCTGTGCGATGTGCTCAACGATTTAATCGCATCGATGCCAGAAGCAAAGATGCCAGCAGCCGCGCCGCCTCGTGCAAGGCGCTAATCGACCGGCACAAGTCCTCGTGCGCACAATTTCTGCTGCAGCTCGAAGTGCATGCGCTAATCTCTACCGCAAACGGCATAACATTCTCGTGCATGCGACCCGCAGTGACGGCCTGCGCCGCGCTCGCCACGGCCGCGGCGCTGTGGAGCTGGCTCCGGCGTAGAAGGCGCCGCGAACTGGCGCGGCGCTACGCCTACGAACTGCTGGGAGACCCGCGCGTGCGCCGGTCGCTCGACCCGTACCCTTCCTCAACAACTGTGGCGGCGCTGTCGGCGCTGACAGGCGTGGCTACTGCAAAAATCCGCAAATTCTCGGCCGGCGCGCGCGACGGCGCCTGCGCGAGGCCCTGGCACGCCGACGGCGCGCCGCGGGCTGGCGGCCGCACGAAACGGAAGGCGTCGCACTACTACTTTGTGCTGCACAAGCCGCTGGGCGTGGTGACGCAGCGCGACGACGCGTCGACGAAGACCTACGTGCCACGGCCCGGCCGCAACGACAAGCGGTGGCGGCCGTGGCGCCGGCAGTATGTGCCGACGGTCTACGACGGCCTTCCAGATGGCTTCCCGCCCGTGCCGTCGGTGGGGCGCCTCGATAAAGAGACGAGCGGCCTTTTGCTGTTCACGGACGACGGCGCGCTCACGACGCGGCTCCTGCGGCCCGGAAGCGGGTGCGAAAAGACGTACGTGCTTGACGTGACGGGTGTGGTCAGCGACGCCGCCCTCGCGTCATTGTCCGAGCCGCTCGACGACGTCACGAAGCACACGCGCGAGAAGGTCAGGACGGCGCCGGCGCGCGTGAAGGTCGTGAGCCGAAGCGATGAAGGAGCGCGCGTCGAAGTCGTCATTTCCGAAGGCCGTCACCACCAGGTCCGGCGCCTGGCCGCGCGCGCCGGGTTTGCGGTGGAGGCGCTCCACCGGAAGGCGATGGGACCATTGCGCCTCGACGACCTCCCCGTCGGCGCGGCGCGGCCCCTGACCCCCGACGAGGTCCAGACCCTACTATCAAATTGCGGCCTGGAGAAGAAGCGCGGGCCTCCTCGGCCGCTCCCCGTCGCCGCGGCGCCGGAGCTCACGCGCGCCGCGGTCGAGGCGGCGATCGATGATCTTGTGAGGAGGCATCCTTGATAAGTTTTGTTGTAGTACTATTTAACGAAACCCCTTGCACCCTTTATACGCCGACCTCTCGGAAGTCCGTCCCGGCGCCGGGCCGCGAAGGCGCCGGCGGCGACCGGTCCGGGTCGCGGTCCTGGTGGAGCGGGTTCTCCGGCCTGTGTGGAAATCAACCAGTGAGAAATATTGCGGTGGACCTTTGTGAGCCTCCACGCCATCGAGCCGACGCGGCCACTGGGACAACGTCGCGTCGATGGCGTGGAATCGCCACGCCTTTCCACTCCGGCGCGGGCTCGTGGTCGTCGAGCTCGTCCGACAGGTCGAGGCGGCCGTAGCGCTGCTCGGCGATCTCGACGCGGTCGGAGCCGCCCGCGGCGCGCTTGACCTTGTTCTTCAGAGCCGAGGCGCCGCGGCCCGCCGACGCGGCGGCGCGGCGCGCGGCGGCGGCGGCGCGCGTCGCGGCCGAGTTGAGCACGCCCGAGTAGCCGCCCGACGACGCGGGCTGGGACCCGCTCGAACGCGAGAAGGACGGGAACGACCGTTGGCGCGCGCCGGCGGCGGGCCGCGGCGCGGCGGCGGCCGCGGCGGCGCGGCGGCGGTTCTCGTGTTGCAGGAAGAGCGCCGTCTGCTGGTCGATCGCGGCGTCGCTCGACCTTGCAGCGGGCGGCGGCCTGCGTTGAAATCAAGGTTCAGGCGGCCCGCTGCGCTGGTTGATTTATACGCGGAAAAAGACTGCAGGAAGTCGGCGGGCAGCGTGACCAGCTTGCCGCGGCGCGGCGCGCCGTCGCTCGGCGTGACGGTGGCGCCCCGCGGCGGCGGGATGGTCGCCACGAAGCGGTCGCCGGCGCGCAGGCCCTGCGGGACCGTGACCATGAAGCTCCTTCCGTGCGCCGTCATGCTGAGGGTGGCGCCGCCGCGCGAGCCCGGCGGCACGACGACGGACACGGCGCCCTGGGGCGCGGCGCCGGCCGCGGCCGGCGGCGACGGCGGCGCGCGAGCGCGGGCCGCGCGCCAGGCCTCGGGCGAGCCCGCTGAGAGGATCGACTCGGACGCGCGGTTCATGTCGTTGCCGCTCGCCGCGAGGACCTCGGCGAGCGTGGCCTCGTCCCAGTGCTCGAACATGGCCTTGAGGGTGCCGACGTCAGCGCTGGCGGCGGCCATGGTGCTGCGGGTCAGTGAATTTATGGCCTTTGGCTTCTCCCGCTCGGTCCCTCGGTTTCGCGCGCTGCTGCGGCAAAAACCAGGCAAGGCGTGGAATTCTTAGACGGCTGCTGGTGCAAAGCCACGCCGAAGGCGACCCAAGGCTGTGTGTCCTGGCCCAACTCCTCGAGAGAGCTTTTGGCCCAGGCTGGACCCTAGTGTCTTGCCGCTAGGTCGAAAGAAATCGGACCGTGTAGACAAGCTGCCCTGCGTCGTCGTACGTCGAGAAAAAGTTAGTCCATACTGATCCACGCGAGCCGCCGCGCGACGGACTCCTCGGCGGGGTTCCCGGGTGCGCGGAGAGCTAGATGTGCCACGATAGTCGTCGCCTTGAGGAATACCGCGAAACCCATACAAATGTAACTGGGACCGGCCCGCATCTTGAGCATATCCGTGTTCGACCGCGTGCAGTGTTTTTGAAAGGCCAGCATGGGGCCCAGTGCCGTCGAGAACGCGATCAGGCCGACGACGATGCCCATCGCTTTGAAGAAATTTCTGTCCTGTGTGGAAGAGGTCGTGAACAAGGTCGCAACGCGCGCGCCGACGCGCGTAACGCGGTGACTTCAGACACCGTCCGCGCGCAGTCTCGGGGTTGGCGCGCCGGTGCGCATAGCGGAGCGTGCCGAGCGTCGCGATCGCGGAGACGATCACCGTGGTCGCCATCTGGCCGACGTCGGACTTGCAGCGCTTGCACCGGTCGACGTCGCCGTGCGGTTTTGTCCTGTTCGGCTGGTTGGGCGTGATGGCGTACTTGTGGCAGTCGACGCGCCCCCAATGGTCCTCGAAGACTTTGTGGCTGCCGTCGAAGCCGACCGCCGTCGTAAGGCCGAAGTACGCCGTGTCGCCGCGGAAGCCGGCGCGAACGTCGCCTACCGCCCAGGCCGTCGGCTTGATGACCTTGGCGTCCGTCGAGAGGGCGAAGAGGGCGTACACGTTGAGCAAGAGGGCGAGCACCCCGGCGACCGCCACCGCGATCATCAGCGGCCTTCGCTCGATGCCGCACGGCCGATACGACCCGACGCGGCCGAGTTCGTGGCAGAGCTTCGAGGATTCAAGGCACGCCGCGACCCGCGGGCATTTTTCCGGGTCGAGGCACGGCGGCGGCTTTTGCTCCTTCTCCGACATCTGCTCTGCGAGCAACGCAGGCTCCTGCAAGGTTACCAAGGTACTAGTGGGAGGGCAGTTACAACTTACAAGAGCCTCGGCGGCGGCGCTTTGTGATATGAGACAACAGCGGTGAACGAGCGAAAACGCACACGCGGCTGAATGAATAGCCTGCCTACGCCGGATTTGATTGCATGATGGTCAGCCTGGAAAACCCGTCACCTCCCCGTACCGACTTCCGTCGTAGTAATTTAGGCGCCCCCCCCCAACAGAGGAGCGCGGCGCGAACCCCTAACTAGTCCGTGCGCTCCTTGCGCTTCATCCAGGGCAGCTTGCCGATGTTGTGCTCGATGAAGGCGTACATCTGCGGCAGCGCCACGCTGATGCCGACCAGCGAGAAGACCTGCGTGCAGATGGCCGGCGACATGTACTTCATGTCGTGGAGGTCGTACGTCTCCCAGATGTATTTGGTGGCGCGCGCCGCGAGCAGGGGCACGATGACCAAGACCATGAGCACGTGGGCGGCGACGCGCGCGGCGATGTCCTGCAACAACAGCGCCATGATGGCCCCAAAGGCCTCGCGGTCCACGAGGTTCGAGCCGGAGACCTGGCGGACGTGGAGTCGGATCGAGGACATCTTCGGCGGCTTCAGGCCCTTGATCTGCGACGCGAGCTTCACGTATACCAAAAGGACCGCCGCATAAATCTCGATCGCGGACAGCCGCCCGTTGCTGTCGAGGTCCACAGCATTGTAGGCGCCTTCCACGATCTTCTGGAAGGTCTTCGAGCGCGTGATCCAGTTCTTCTTCTTGTGGATCTTCTCGCGCTCGGCCTTGCACTGGGCCTCCTCGGCGTGGCGATCGACCGCGGTGTGGGGCGTCACCGCGCCCGCGCGGGCGGCGTCCTCGCGGAGCTCGTCCCGGAGCATGGCCTTCATGCTCTCGCCGTGGCTGTACTTATGATGCTTCTTCTTCTGGCCCTTGGTCGACGAGAACAACCCCATGGCTGAAGCCTAGTTGTCTTTTGGCAGTGGGACAACAATTGCTGCTTTGCGGCGGTCGCGCGTCAGGATGCAGAGGGCTGCTGTTGTGACGCTGCGGCGCAAATGGAGGCTGCCCGACGAAGCGTACGATTTATCAATCGACGTTTATTTGCGTCGCCGTGGCCCAAAGCTTGGCACACAAGGATGCCGTCCTCTCGCATGTTGCGCGAGGGGTGTCCCGCGCGGAGGTCTTCCTGAGCCTTAGGCCAATGATAATTGGGTTACAAATACTCCTCACATCTTATATGAGGCACGTGTACTCCTCCCATTCGCACCTGCCTCAGGGCAGGGGCTCCGCCCACCAGTCTAGCACCGTAAGTGACATATCCCGGCCGGCAACGGGATAGTCATAACAGAAACAACAGGAGAATCCCCGGGAGCAGGAATAGAACGACAGTATGTTAGGCGTCGGGAGAGAGGAGGAGTCTTCTAGAGCGCCATCGTCTGGTGCTGGTGCCCCGCGGCGTAGTACTCCATGCCGTGCAGCACGAGCCGCGTCTGCGCGAGCTCCTTCTTGAGAGAAGCCACCTCGTCGACGAGGCCGTCGCGCTGAGACCGGAGGTCGCCGTTCGCGCGGCGGAGCGCGTGGTACTCGTCGCGGCCCTTGGCCACGAGCGCGCGCCGCGCGTCGCGGTTCTCGGCGCCGCCGGCAACGAGCGCCTGGAACGCCTTCGTCGGCGTCGCCGGCGACCGTGCCGCCGGCGACCGTTGCGCGGGCGACCGTGCGGTCCGCGGCCGGAGCGGCGACTTCGTAGAGGTCGCCGGCTTCTTGCGCGCGGCGGCCTTCGCCAACTGCGCGCGCTCGCGCTCCGCGGCGGCGAGCTGCTGGAGCGTGTCGGCGTGGGCCCGCTCGAGCCGGTCCGCGCGCTCGCGCTCGCGGCGCGCCGTCCGCTCGGCCTCGGCCGCGCGCGACGCCTCGCGGTCCGCCGCGCGGGCCTCGGCGGCGCGCAGTTGCGCGGCGTGGTCGCGCTCGAGGCGTTGAATGCGTGCGTCGTGCTCCGCCTGGGCGGCGGCGACGGCCTCGGCGACGGCGCGGGCGTCCGGCGCCGCGGTCGATCCGCGGCCGCCAGCGTCAACGAGCGCTGCGACGGCGCGGTCGCGCTCGGCCCCGACGCGGCGCACCTGAGCCTCGGCGGCCTCAGCCAATGCATCAGCCCTCCGCTTCTCCTCCTCCCGCGCCACGCGTGCGGCATCTCGCTCATCTCTATATCTCCGCAGCTGGACCTGGAGGGCGTCTCGCGTCCGCGCCTCGGCAGCGAGCGCGTCGGCAACGCGGTCTGCCGCCGCCTCGACGTGGGCGTCGCCGCGCGCGGCGCGTCGTACGGCCTCGACGGCCGCCGCGCGCTCGGGCGCCGCCGCCGACGGGAACGACGCCGCCGTGAGGTCGTCGTCGTCGCTCGCCTCGGTCGCGTCAGCGCGCGCGCGCGCCGCAGCCACCGCGGCTTTTGCGGCCGCCGCCTCGACTCTCGCCTCCTCGGCCGCGGCGGTCTGTGCGTCGGCCTCTGTTCTCGCGTCGTCGAGCGCGCCGCGCAGCTTTTCTGCCTCGGCGCGAGCCGCGTCGCGTTCCCGCGTGGCCGCAGCGGCCGCTTCTGTCGAAGCTTGGTCGCCGGCCGCGCGCGCGTCCGCCGCCGCCGCGATGGCGTCGTCCGCGCGTTTTGTTGCGTCGTCGCGCGCGCGCTCGGCCGCCGCGACCGCTTCGGACGCGGCCTTCGCCGCGGCCTCGCGCTCAGAAATCGCAGCGCGCTCTGCTTCTTGGGCTCGCGCGAGCGCCGCCGCCAGCGCCTCGGCCTTCTCGACGGCCGCGGCAGCGTCGCGGGCGGCGGCCTCCGACGCGGCCTCGGCCCGCGCCAGCGCCGCACCCAATCGCTCAATCTCAGCTCGGTGCGCGTCAGCCTGTTCCGCGAGGCGCTTCTCGACGTCTTGCGCCGACCCGTCGGCCGCGGCACGGGCGTCGCGCCTCGCCGCGTCGGCCGCGAGCGCGAGCTCCTCGGCGCGTAAGACGGCGGCGTCCCGGTCGCGGGCGGCCTCACCGAGCTCCCGCTCCAGTCGCCGCCGGTCCTCGTCCGAGGCGACGCGCGCCCGCCTAGCGTCCTCCGCGGCCGTCTCGTGCGACGCGCGCGCGGCCTCGGCCTCCGACCGCTCCGTCGCTCGCCGCGCCTCGTCCGCGGCCCGGCGCTCGGCCTCGGCGCGGTTCGCCGCCGCGGCCGCGTCGGCGAGGGCCGTGCACTCGCGCCGGGCGGCGTCGCGGTCGGCCTCGCACGCCGCCAGCGCCGCCGCCAACCGAGTGTGCTCGCCCCGGGCGTCGCTCGCCGCGCGCTCGGCCGCGGCCGCCTTCTGGCTCGCCGCTCGTAGCGTCGCCGCGCGCCGCTCGGCCTCGCGCACGGCCGCAGCGTCGCGGGCCCGCGCGGTCGACGCCGCGTCTTCGGCCGACGCGCGCGCGTCGTCGACGGCGGCCTGCGCCGCCGCCAGCTCCGTCTCCGTCCGCGCCTTCGCATCGGCGAGGCGGTCGACCTCGGTTCGCAACGCGTCGGCCTCCAAGGCGAGGCGCGTCGCCTCGGCCCGCGCCGCCCCACACGCGGCTTCCGAGGCCCGCCGCGCGGCTGTTTCCTTGTCTACACCGGCCTCGGCTGTCGTCGCCCGCGCCTCGAGCGCCTTTGTTACCGCGCGCGCCTCGACCAGTTCCGCCGCGTGGCGCGCGGCGGCCGACCGGGCCTCTTCCCTCACTTGGTAGAGGTCTTCCTCTAAACCGGCGGCGGCGGCGTGCGCCTGTGTCGCGTCGGCCTCGGCCTCGCGCGCGCGCACGGCCGCGGCCTCGGCGCCGGCCGCGGCCGCCTCAAGCGCGTCCTCGAGCTCGACGACCCGCCCAGCAGCGGCCATGGCCTCGTCCTCGGCGTCGCGGGCGCGGCGCTCCGCCTCGTCGGCCAGCTGCCGCGCGGCGGCGACGCGCGCGGCGCCCTCCTCCGTCGACGCGGCGGCGGCCGCGGCGAGCTCGGCCGTAAGCGCCGAGCGCCCGGCGTCGGCCTCCCGGAGCCGCGCCGCGAGCGCGTCGCGCTCGCGCGCCGCCTGGGCCACGGCCCGCGCCGCGGCCGAGCGGCCCGCGTCAGCCTCCTCCGCGCGGGCCCGGGCGGCCGCGGCCGCGGCCTCGAGCCGCGTCTTCTCGGCGGCGACGCGCCCGATTTCGTCGCGCAGGCCGCCCGCGACGGCCCGGGCCTGCTCGAGCTCCGCGCGGAACGAGGCGCCTAGTTCGCCGACGTCGCGTGCCGTCGCCGCCGCGTGCGCGTCGAGCTGTGCTGCCGTGGTGTTTTGATGGGCGGCCGCGTCGGCCTCGGCGCGCCGGAGCCTCTCCGCGAGCTCGGCCGCGCGCCCTTCGGCGGCCTTGGTCGCGGCCTGGGCGTCTTGCACCGCGATCCGCGCCGCCTCGAGCTGCTGCGACGCGTCGTCGCGCAGGCACCGCTCGGCCGCGTCGCGCTGCGCCCGCGCCTCGAGCACGGCGGCGTCCGCCGCCGCGAGCCGCCTTCTAAGATCCTCCACGACACCTTCGTGGTCCCGCGCCGCCGCGGCCCGCCGCGCCTCGGCCGCGGCCAGGTCCAGCATAAGGCCCGCCTCGGTCGCGTCGCGCGCGGCGACCGCCGCCTCCGCGGCGCGCACGCGCTGCCGCAGGTCCGCCGCGCCGGCGCGCGCCGCGGCGTGGGCCGCCGCGACCTCGTCGCGCGCCGCGGCGACCTCCTCCTTCAGCGTCCGCAGCGCGTCGTCGCCCTCGTCGACGCCGCGCGCCGCGGCGGCCCGCGCCTCGGCCAGCGAGGCCCGCAGGTCGTCCTCGACGGCCGCCGCCGCGAAGGCGTGGTCCTCGACGGCGCCCTCGGCGTCGGCGACGCGCGCGCGCAGGTCTTTCTCCGTTGCCGCGAAGCGCGCCTCCGTCTCCGCCGCCGCCGCCCGCGCCGCGTCGAGCTCCGCGCGCAGCGCAATGAAGTCGGCGTCCGCTTGCGTCGCGTCCGCCCGAAGTTCCGTCGCTTCGTCTTCCCTCGCCGCCAGCGCCGCCTCGGCGACCTCGAGCCGCTCTCGGAGGTCGCCCTCCGTGGCGGCGCGCGCGGCGGCGCCCCGCTCGAACGCGGCGAGCGACGCTTCCAGGGCCTCCTTCTCCGCCGCGAGCGCCGCCGCGTCGCGCCGGGCCGCCTCGAGCTGGGCCTCGAGGTCCCGCACGGTCTCGTCGGCCGCGGCGGTCCGTTCGCCCTCCAGCTCCGCGACGCGCCGCTCCGCGGCCGCGAGCGCGTCTTCCAGCCGCGCCGCGGCGGCGGCGGCCTTGGACCGGTCGTCGTCGCGGTCGCGCTTTTCCGCCGCCAGACGCCGGTCCGCCGCGGCCGCGCGCGCCTCGGCAGCGTCGGCCCGCGTCCGCAGCTCGTCGGCCCGCGCCAGGATGGCGTCGGCGCGCTTCGCCGTCTCGATCGCCGTCGCTTGTAGTGCAGCGACCTCGGCCGCGGCCGGCTGGGGCGTTTCGGGCACCGGCGTCATCGGCGCGGTCGCCGCGTCGGCCGCGGCCGCCTCGCTCTTCGCCTCGCGGCCGCGCAGCGCGAGCGCCGCGAGCGCCGCGGCGCGCGAGGCCGTCGTCGCCTCGAGCGCGTTCCGCAGCGCGGCGGACGCGTCCTCCTCGGCCGCGAGCGCCGCGCGCGCGTCCGCGAGCTTGGCCTCGAGCGCGGCCGTCGCCTCGGCGGCCGCGCGGCGGGCGCCCCAGGCCGGCAGGCCCCAGCGCCGCGGCGCGGGCGGCACGGCCGCGGCCTCGGCCGCGTCGAGCGCGGCGCGGAGCCGCTCGACGTCGGCGTCGCGCGCGGCGATCTCGGCGCGCAGGTCCGCGGCGAGCGCGTCGTCGGCGCCGGGGGCGGCCGTCGGGATCGGCGCCTGGGCGGCGCGCCGGCGCGCCGCGTCCGCCGCGGCGGCCCCGGCCGCGGCGACGGCCGCCGCCAGGGCCTCGTGGAGCCGGTCGTTCTCGGCCGCGAGCGCGTCGGCGCGCCGCGCCGCGCCCGCGGCGCCGCGCGCGGCGCCGCCGGCCCGGAGCCGCGCGACCTCGTCGCGGAGCGCGCCGGCCTCGGCCGCGCGCGCCGCGGCGTCGGCGCCCGCGCGCGCGAGCGCGTCGAAGTTCGCGTAGCTCTCGGCGAGGAGCGCCTGGAGCCGCGCGACCTCGCGCTGCGCCTCGGCGCGGGCCTCGGCCGTCTGCGCGAGGCGGTCGCAGGCGAGCAGCGTGTTCTTCTTCTGCTCCTTGGCGTCGCGCTTCGCGCCGTCGAGCGCGGACTTGGCGTCGGCCGCGGCGGCGCGGAGCGCGGCGACCTGGGCCTCGGCCCGCTCAGCGCGGCCGTCGGCGCGGTCCGCGTTCGTGGCGAGCGCGTCGGCGGCCGTCGACCTGTGTGGAAATCAAAATTTTACGGCGCGTTCGCGCTGAATCATCGCGTCGTCCTCCACGCCATCGACGCGACGCCTGCTCGCCCGACACACTGGTCGATTTCCACACAGCCGTCGACTGCGCCGCGACGGCCGTGGCCGTGGACCGGAGCTCGTTGAGGACGGCCGCGAGGCTCTCCTCGCTGCGGCCCGCGGCACCGAGCGACCGCGCGTGCTCCGAGCGGAGCCAGTCGCGCTCCGACCGCAGGCGCGCTGCCGCGGCGCCCGCCTCAGCGACGTCGGCCTCGCGGCGGACGGCGAGGTCGAGCTCGCGGGCGAGCTGCGCCTTGAGGGCCGGGAGGCCCGCCGCCACCGCGGCGCGCCGCGCGCTCGACGCGGCCGTCGCTTCCGCGGCCCGCGCCTCGCTCGCTTGCAGCGTTTCCTTGAGGTCCTTGAGCTGGGCCTGGAGCGCCTTGTTCTCGGCGAAGAGCGCCTCGGCCTCCTCGCGGCGGTCGTCCGACTCCAGGACGACGTCGGCCATGGCGTCCTCCAGGGCGCGGCACTTGCCCTCGAGCTGGGCGAGCACGCGCGGCCCGGCGAGCGCCTGGGCCTTGAGGCGTCGGTACTGCTCGAGCAGGCGCTTGCCGTCGGCGATGGACAGCTGGCGCCGGGCTTCACCGCCGCTGCTGCTCGTCGAGACTGACGCGGCGTCCGGGAGACGAGCAGCAGCGGCGTCCGGGAGCGGCTGCGTCGCGTCGGTGGAGGCGGAGAAGGGGTGGTGGCCCGGCGGGGGCGGCGGCGGTGTTGTTTGCGCTGGTGGCGCCATCATCGTTGCCATTTCAGCGTGTGGGGCGGCACTCGCGTTTGCGGCGCAGCGTTTTTTTTGGGCTTACAACTGTTATCGGTTTTGCCCGTCCCAGCGCCGTTATCGCTCGTCTCTGCGTCGCTACGGCTCGCAGCACGTCCCAGCACCCTCGCGCGCGCAGTGGACTGGCTGGTTACTTGTCAGCAGGCGTGATCACGGCCACCGTTGCTGCTGCAGGGCTTCACGCTGTGCCGCAGCCAGCCGCCAGCCCGAACTAACCTCCGGCTCAGGAGGTGAGCTTTAGACATATCCAGACATGCCGTGGACCCATGCGGAGCGGAAACAGAATTTTTTTAATTTGCAAAATCACCGCGCGGCAGCAGCATTACACCATACGCTCCGAGCTTTCTGGTCCCCACCGAGTACGAGTATTCTTTGTAAACAGACACATACACACCACCCGCGCCGGCGACGGCGGAAACTAGGCCTCCGCCCGCTGCCCCCGCACGAGCCGCGCCGTCCGAATCACATTCCGCTGGCGGTCGCGCGTCATGCCCGACGACTCGGCCTCGTCCTCGAGGAGGCCGTCCGCCGCGAGCTGGTCGAGGCGCCGCGCGTAGGCCTGGCGCCGCGCGTCGACCTGGTCGAAGAGGCGGTCGTAGCAGAAGAGGCACGCGCGCGCTATGCACGACGCGGGCCGCGGCGCCTGGTGGTCGCGGTCGACGAGCACCAGTTCCGCGTCGCCGCCGTGTGCAGCGAGCAAATCCCGCGAATGGTCCGGGTGGATGAAGTCGTCGCGCGCGCCGTGAATCAACAACAGGGGCGTACCGCAGTGGCGCAGCGCGCCGACGTGGTCCACGGGCGCGACCTTGGCCAGGTCGAAGCCCGCGCGGTGGCGCACGGACGCGCCGACGACGGCCAGTGCAGCTTCGGTGGCCGCGCCGACGGCCAGCGCCGCGTGCCCGCTCGTCGCCGCGGTCTTGGCCACGAGCTCGCGGCAGAGCCGCTCCAGGGAAGCAAAGGGCGAGTCGGCCACGACGCCCGCGACGTCGGGGTCCCGCGTCGCCGCGTAGAGGATTGAGGCTGATGCGCCCGCGGACCGGCCCCAGAGCGCGACCCTTGAAACGAGCGCCCGCCGCCGCAAGTAGTCGACGACCGCGAAGACGTCGTCGCGCTCGTGGAAGCCGAGCGACACGAACTCGCCGCCCGAGTTGCCCGAGCCCGCGCAATCTAAAGCACAAAGCGCCACGCCGCCGACGCACAGCGGCCGCAGCAGACTCAAAGCTCCTAATCGGTTGCACGCGTTGCCGTGCGCGTAGACGACGCACGGCGGTGGTGTGTCCGATTTTTTCGAGGGCGCCCAGAGCGACGCCCGGACCTCGAGCCCGCGGTCGTTCCGGACCACAAAGTCCTCGCGGTGCACGCGCCACTCTCTTAACACGGAAAAGTCGGACAGCCCGAGCCGCTTCTCGTCGTACGTCGCGCGCGGCGGCCGGATGATGACCTTGAGCAGGGCCTGGTAGGCCGCCTTCGCGTCGGGGCCGGCCATGCTCAGGGCCTTCTCGGGCAGCGAGTCGTCCGTCGCGCGCGCCGTCGTCGAGGAGTTGTCGCCCCCAAAGCCGAGGAACGGCTTCTCGGTCGCGACGCTCTCGTAGAGCGCCGACTGCCAGCCCCGCTCGCCGAGGGCCTCGAGGCGCGCGCGGCTCAGCGCCGTCCACCACGCGACGCACTTTGATGGTGTGTCGAACTTGAGGACGACGCCGTCGGCGCCGCGCCTCTGGTCGTCGGACACGCGCAGCGTAATTTCTAAAGACGCGTCGCGGCGCGCCTGGCGCACGCGGTCGAGGCGCGCCAAGAGCCGGCTCGCTTCATTTGGATCCGCGGCCGCCCGCAGCTCGCTCCGGTCCAGGGCGAGCCATTTTCGGCGGCCCCCGATACTGGCCCAGCCCGTCTTCGTCGCGGTCTTCGCCTTCGGCGAGAAGAGGCCGCCGAGGGCCTGGGACGCCATGGACGCGTAGCGCGCGAGCGCGTCGGCGGCCGACTCGCCCTTGCTGTCCTCGTCGTCGTCTGGCGGCCGGGGCCAGGCCGGCGCGCAGGCCGCCGCGAGGGCCGCCGCCGCCCCCTCCACGTCGAGCGGGCCGCCGCGGGCCTCGAACGCCGCGTCGAGCGCCGCCGCGTCCAACTCAAACGCGTCCTCGCACGCCGCCTCGCGCTCCAACGCCCGCGCGTCGGCGACGAGCGGGTGCCGCGCCGCCGCGCGGCAAAAGTCCCGGAACGCCGCTCCATCTAAGACGCCGTCGCGCGCGCACTCGTCGAAGAGCGCCCTTAAAGCGAAGGCGCGCGCCGCGCCGGCGGCGGCAGGCGGCCGCAGGCGAAGCAGCCGCCGGCCCGCCTCCGCCTGCCAGGCGCAGTCGCCGCACGCCCGCACGCCGTCCTCGGCCGGCGCGCACCGCGCGCAGACGGCGTCGCCGCAGGCCGCGCAGGCGACGAGGCGCGTCCGCGCGGACCTGGCCGCGCCGCAGGCGCCGCAGGCCGCCGCCGCGTCCGTCGGCGCGGCGAGGCCGCGCCGCTCCGCGTTCACGCGGCCGAGCTCGCGCTCGACGAGCGCGCGCACGGTCGCCGCGCCCCCACCAGCCACCAGGGGCGCCACGAGCGCGCCAACGCGCCGCGCGAAAGCCTCCAGCGCGCGCGGCGGGAACCGCTCGTCGGCGACGACGGCGACGACGACGCCGTCGTCCCGCAGCCGCGCGACGCGCCAGCGGCTCCGCGCCGCCCGGTCGACGCGGCTCGGCGGGCCCAGCGCCCAGCCGGCGCCCGGCTTCGCCGCCGCGCGCCGCGCCGCGTAGGCCATGGCCGCGTCGGCGCCCGGCGCCGTCGCCTCGGTCGCCTCGGCGCCGGAGCGGTCGGCGCCGGCGCTCGCGTAGAGGATGCGGGGCGCCTCCGGTCGCTCGTATTCACCGGTGAGAGGGAGGCCGGGCATCGCTCCTGTCTGTCGCTCCGGTCTGTGACTTGGATATTCGTGTGCACCTCGCAACACGCCTGGCGTCCTCAGCGCTCCCGGTCTTGGCTGGCTGAATTCCGCAGCGCTGTGTGATGGCGTCAACGCGAGCTGTTCTTCCAGATTAGGCTCCGCGCAGGCTCCACAGCATGCTCCGCAGGACACAGTGTGCAGCGCTCTCACTTAGTGCTCTTCGACTGCAGACTCGCAGCGGTTGCGCAGCCTCGCGTGTGCTCTTGGCCCGCTCTCGGCTTGAGGTTCCTGACAGCTGTTCGACTCCTACGGCTCCAGCAAGGTCTATCAGGGACCAAGAGGCAGCAACAGCAGCATGTTGTTAGCGCTCCGGCTCGGGGCGCTCGGGGCGCTGGCGGCGGCGTTAGCACCACCACAGGCTCCGCCCGCGACGCCGCTGCGCCGCGGCTTCGAGGTCGTCGCGACGTTCGACACGTCGACGCTCGACGGCGCGACGCGGGCGCCGCTCGCGCTGCAGGTCCTCGACCCGCGGCGGTTCCCGACGCCGTCGAAGGCGAAGCGCGCCTGCCGGAGAGCTGAGGTCGCGCTCAACGGGCGGACGGCACGCTGCGGCGACGACGTGAATGTGGGCGACGTGCTGGAGCTGCGCGCGCGGACCTGCGTCGAGTCCTACCTCCAGGCGCGGTTCCGCAGCGCGAAGGCGCCCTTCGAACTCAAGGTCGCGTACGAGGACGACTACCTCGCCGTCGTCGTCAAGCCCTCGGGCCGGCCGACCCATTCCGAGGGCCAGGGCCGCATGAACCTGCGGAGCGCCGTGCCCTTTGCGCTCCGGCCGCCGGCGAGGGTCGACGACGGCGACCGCGCGCTGAGCCGGCCGCAGCCCGTGCACCGGCTGGACAAGGCGACGAGCGGGCTGGTCCTGTGCGCGAAGACGAAAAACGCGGCGGTCGAGTGCTCTCGTATGTTCGCCGAGCGGCGCGTGAAGAAGCGCTACGCCGCCGTGCTGCTGGGCGAACCGGCTACACCACGAGGCGTTATCGACGCGCCGATCCCGGTTGCCGTGAATGGAGTTTCCACCCTGCGGTCGGCGCGAACGGTCTATACAGTGGAACGCGTCGTGCGGTCGCTCAAAATGGACCACCTCACACTCGTTCACTTTGCGCCGCGGACGGGCCGCACGCATCAGCTCCGCCGACACGCCGCCGATGTGCTTCGTTGCCCGATCGTCGGCGACGCCCTCTACGACGGCGGCGGCGCCGCGGCGATGCAGTTCCGCCGGCGCGGGCTCTTCCTCTGCGCGCGGTATCTTGAGCTCGACCATCCTTGTGTTCCGGGCGAGCGGCTCCGCGTCGAGATCCCGCTCCCGGCCAAGTTCGACGACCTCCTCGCCCGCGAGAGCGACCGGTTCGAGCGGTTGGCCTGATGCTTTGTGCTGTAACGTTGTTTGTTTTGCCATGTTCGGACGACCTGAGCCGCCGACGAAGCGGCGGCGACGAGGAGCCTTAACCTCGAAAACGGGTTTTACACCGAGCACACAAAAACAAGCTCGCTCCTAATTGGCAGCATTTGACCTCTACTGAGCAGGTTTAGGCACTGCTGATATCGCACCGCTGCGGCACCACTCGCCGCTGGTCAGGCCCGCCAGAGCTGTATTTGCTGCTGCCTCGCCGCGACCCATGCCGAGGCCGCGGCTCCTCGTCGCCGCGCTCGGCTGCGCGACGGCGCTCCGACTGCCGTGGCGGCGGCCCGCGCCGCAACTCTTGCCGCCGGTGCCGCAGATCTTCACGCCCGACGACTCGCGGCCAGTCGTCCTCTTCGACGGCGAGTGCAATTTGTGCAACCGGGGCGTGAACCTGCTGTTGGACCGGGACCGCTGCGACGATGATGAGAGGGGCAACCTGCGCGTCGCGGCGCTCCAGTCGGGCGTCGGCCGGACGCTCTGCGCGCGGCTCCCGCCTGATCAATACGCGAAGGCCGTCGACGCGGAGACGGGCGCCTACAAGTCGATCGTCGTCCAGGGCGCGCGCGAGGCGTGGGTCGGCTCGGCGGCCGTGCTGAAGATCGGGCGCCAGCTGCGCGGGCCGCTCGGCTGGCTCGCGGCGCTTGGGAGTTTCGTGCCGCGGCTGGTGCTGGACCCGGCCTACGGCTTCGTCTCGCGGCGGCGGAAGCTCTGGTTCGGCGAGAGCGACCAGTGCCGCGTCTGGGACGACGACTGGGAGCAGCGCTTCGTCGACGACGCGGTCCTGCGCGGCGACCCGGGCTGACGGGGGCGGGCGGGCGTAGGATCCTATATTATCAGACCCCTCATGGTGCCGTCGACGACGCGCCGCCTCGCCGCCACTACTGCGCCTGGTCCGGGGGCGAGAGCCGTGATCGACGCGAGCCACGTACGCCTCCCCGCGCCGGGGAAGAGACAAGTCGGGAGAGAGCGGCTGTTAGGCGCGCGGGACACGGGGCGGGAGGGGCGGGGCGGGAGGGGATCGGGGCGGGGACGGGATGGGGCGGGAGTGGGTAGGTTTTTGGATATAGCGCCAACAACCGTAAAAGTCCGCGTCCCCTGTATCTTGAGCCATCCGCCCGACGCGGCGCCGGCGCTGCTCGATGGCGTGGGAGTGGCGCCGTCGACCTGCGTCAGGTACCTTTGCGACGTAAATTCCCGGAGCGGAGGAGTCGACACTTGAGTCGACGATGCTCGAGAAAGACAACTTACCCCCCGCGGCATCTCTCTCAGTAGACGCCCGGCACGATGCGGTACTTCACGCGGGCCATGTAGTCCTCGTAGTACGCGCCGTACTTCTTGAGGCACTTCTCCTCGTCGCGGTGTGCGCGGTGGATCAGCAGGATCGTGAGGAACGCCGCGTAGAAGAGCGGCAGCGGCCCGTTGACCAGGGGGTTCGCCAGCAGGCCCCAGGACCAGGCCGCCGTGAGCTCGAAGGAGTACTGGAGGTGGCGCGCGACGCCCCACCAGCCCGACGCCAGTAAGAGGGAAGAGTGCTCCGTTAACGTACCAGTGGCCGGGTCGGCGGTGACGTACTTGGCCTTGATGTAAACGGGCTTGCGGCCCCAGACCTTGCACTTTCCATTCAATTCGCGGAAGCGCATGCGCTGCGCGTCGGCCCAGAAGTTGAGGCCGACGCCGAGCAAGCCAACAACAAAAATAATGCCGGCGCTGAGCCAGGACAATCCCGTAGGGGCGCGCACGCCACACCTAGAATGCAACGTGTACACGCACGGCACCCAGACCAAACAGCCCCACGTCTCGTAGAAGCCTGCTCTATCTACAATAATGTCGATCGACCGCATGTACCCGATCTCCCACGCGAAGAACTTGACCAAGTAGAGGTACTGGGACAACGCCGCCAATACCAAACCGGGGTCCCACCGCCCGTGCAGGGTGTACGATTTATACGCGAACGAGAGCCCCGCGAGCTGCCAGTACGTCATCGCGAAGCGGCAGTTCACGAACTTCTTGATGTCTATATCAAAAACCCTGGGATAGAGCTCCGTGCCCCAGTAGTAGTCGAAGATCAGGCCGCCGCCCGACTTGCCGTTGTCGGCTGTCGACGGCGCGTAGAGCCCCTTGACGTACAAAAACACGCAGAAGACCAGCCCGAAGGCGTTCAGCGCGCCGATCGTGCCCGGGAAGACGTCGTACAAAATCCCGGCATCGTAGTACTCAAAGTAGGCGCCTCCCACGAATAACAGTGACGATAGCACACAGTGCGCGACACCATTATCAACATATCGGGGGACGTGGCCCGTCGCCGTGCGCGGGCCCTCCTTCGTTTTTCCGGGAACGTAGTATAAGATGAGCGCGGCTAGATTGAAGTACCCGAGCAGCTTCCAGGCCTCGGCCGTACCAAAAATACCCACATAATCAAAAGAATCCGCTAGGAGTCCACCCACACCATTTTCAGAGACATACGACGCGAGGCCGTCGATGGATGGCGAAGTGGCGTCAGAATTCGTGGCAAAGGCCAGGACCGCGACGAGCAAAGGGCACGGCACGAGGAGAAACAACGGCAATAAGACGCACCGCAGGAACTTCTCGAGGGGCGGCATGTCGTAGGGGCTCAGTTCGGCGGGCGGCGCCTTGAGGTTCTTGGAGCTCTTGCGCGCGGGGCTCCTCGCGCGCGCCGCGGGCTTCTTCGGCGCGGGCGACGTGCTCCTTGTAGAGACGCGGCGCGGGGCCGCGGCCCGGGGAGTGCCCTCGCCGGAGGCTCTTCTTGCGCGCGTGGCGACCATGGTTTTGGCTGCCAAGCCTCACTTGCGTGTTTAGGCTTTTGCTGCCTTTGACGGCTGGTGCAAAGCAGCAAGACGTTTGGCACAGCGAGGGCAGCGAGCGCAGCGACGCGTGCGTTGCCCAGCTCTTGGTGTGCACGTTGCGCGCTGGCGGTGGCGAAAGAGGCGCGCGCGAAGCTAGCGACCTGTAAGATACTAGCAATCAGATATATATATGGGGATTGCCGAAGCGGTTCTGCTTAGAAGGAGGTACGCTGTTATGAAAGACGCGGCACGCGCCCGCCGCCGATGAATCGGCGTCGCGCGGTGTCTCCCCCGCAGGGATCCCGCCCACTAGTCCCGGCAACGTAACAGATATCCCTCGACCCAGACGCCATCGACGACGCGCCACACCGCCGGAAGCCGGAACACAACAACCCACAGTTACTCAGATCCCGACCGTCAGCGCGTACCAGAGGAAGCACGCCGTCACGCCGAGCGCGAGCGTCGGCACGTCGTCCTCGGTCCACGGCACGGCGAAGCCCTCCGATCTATCATATTCGACGGGGTCGTCGAGGTCGCGGCGCGGCGGCCTTACCAAAAGCCGCTCCAGCAGCGTCGGCTCGACGCGGTTTTTGCGGCGCGACTCGTAGACGTTCGGACAACCCTCCTCGAGGGCCCGGACGCAGCCCGACACCGTCGGCGTCTCGCCCTTAGCGTCGACGGCCGCCAGATGCGCGACGACGGCCTCGAGCGCGCCCGACTCCCGCTTCAGTAATAAATGGGCCTGGAGCGCCGCCCAGCGCGTCGTGGCCAGAACATCGCCCTCGGACATGCGCGCGCCGTCGAAGATGGACTGCAACTGCGCCAAGTCGGCGGCTCCTCCTTCGGCGTCGGCATACTCATCAATTTCCGCCATGATCCCCGCCAGGCTCACCACAGCTATCATTTCGGGAGAGGCGCCGTAGCGAGGTTTTTGCCGCTCCACCGCCTCCTTGGGCAGTCGCAGCGTCTGGGCCACGTCGCTTCGTCCATCTCTAAATTCGACGGCGGCGTAGGCCGCGTTCGCGCTGACGTTAGCGACCGGGAGACCCAACGCGTGGCCCGCGACGAGATGCCCCGCCTCGTGGCGCCTCAGGCGCGCGCGGTACGCCGGGAACAGAAACGTGTACAGCTTGACCACGTACCGTTGCAGGTCCTCGGGGAAGACCAAACCGAGGCTCAGGTAGCCGTACGGCGCGAAGCACAACAACTGTACTATAACGAAGCGCCAGATCTCCGGCAAAAAAGTGAGGGACTGGTTCGCCGCGACGGAACTCAACATCGCCGAGAGCATGACGCCCGCGAAGAGGACCGCCAGCTTCTCGACGCTCTGTTCGCCTGTGCGGAAATGAACCGGTTACGCCATCGAGCAGACCCAGTTATTTGATATTCGTGCACTGCTACCCGCCGAGCACGCCGACGGCGTCGGCGATGTCGCCGCGACAGCGCGTCGTGGTCTCGAGTTGCGTCGTGGAGACGGCGTAGCGCGGCTGCAGCTCGGCGCTGCGCCACTTCGTGGCGGCACCGCGCGCTGCCAAAGCTTCGAGCGCGTTGTCCGCAGTCGAAGCTTGCGGCGCGTCGAGGAGCGCCCATAACTCGGCGGTCGGGCGCTCCGTCATCGGCACGAGGCCGATCCGTTCTGGTGGTGCGAGGCCGCGCGCGCAAGCGACTAACAGTGCGCCCAGCAAGCGCATCATTTTTGCAGCGCTCGTGCCGCAGCTTTTGCAGCTTTGGCACCACGCAAGCACCAGGCAAACTTGTTCAGGGCCCAGGCCGCGAGCAGTCGCACAGCTCACAGTCGCGGTCTAACGTATGGCAGCGATGCCTTTCGACGAGTTCTAAGACTCGTTTGGCCCACGAACAGCGCGTCTAACACGAGCGGACAAGAGTGAGCTAGATGATGGGCTCTAACATTCTGCTAGCCTCAGCCTCTGCGACGTAACTAGCCTCAGCCTCACACCCGCGATGAGTCGGCGACGCGCGGTGTCTCCCCCCCAGCCAGGGGTTCCGCCCACTAGTCCTAGCACCGTAAAAACAGTATTTGCGGGAGATAGAGTCAAAGAAAACCACATGTTAGACCGCCTCCGCCCCCCGCGCCACGTCCGCCTTCAGCGGCTCCTCGCGCGTTGATGGAGCGGGCGCGGGCGAGTCGAGGGGCACGGCGGCGACGACGGGGATCGGCTGCTGCTGCTGCTGCAGCCGCGGCACGCGCGCGAGCTCGATCGCGGGCGCTCTCCCAACATCGGAGGCGGCGATCTCGGACATGAGCCGCGACGACGCCCAGGCCGTCGCCGCGGCCAGGGCGAACAGGACCACGTAGATCGCCACCCCGACCCACATTTGGATGATGAGCGACGTCACCAGATACAACCCAAACAACGTCGCCAGGAAGACGTTGATGCTGAAGAAGACGGTCAAATAGCCGGGCGCGTGCTCGCAGCAGCAGCCGCCGCCATCCGCGTTCGCGCAGCAGGCCGCGTTTTTCGTGCGCACGCCGTGGACGCCGACCCAGGCCACGTAGCAGTACAGCGCGCCGTTCACCAGCAATTGGAACAGCGCCCAGCCCGCCTCGCGCGGGTTCGCCGCAACATTAACAGCGAACACGACGAGCCAGAACAGCAGCGTGACCGCGAGTGAGATGATGGTGAGCCGTAATGTCAGCGTGGACAGCTCCCTTATTTTGGCGTCCTCGGGCGCGCTGTACGCCGTGGCGACGGCGAAGTAGCCGTCCCGCGACGCGGCCGCGCCGGGCACGAGCGACACGTACGCGACGGGCTCGGGGCCGTCGCGCGGCGCCGCGAGCGGGTTCTGCACTGGGCTGGCGACCGCGTCGGGTGGCGGCGCGGCTGGCGCGGGCGGCGGCGCGGGCGGCTGCATCGTGTTGGCTGGCTCTGGGGCCTCTGTGCTGGCTTTACCCAAGGTGGCTTAGATGTGCAGCAGTGGCAGCCGGGCAGCGCGCACAATGTGGCGATCCTCCACGAGTCCTGGTGTGCCTCAACCGTGCGACCTTCCACGCGAGAGGGCACCCCTGTCCACCACTTCGCATCTCATGCAAATTCCTGGAGACGCTGGCCGCGTGCGGGTTCTCCCAGGCCTCCCCGTCCACGTCCTCTCTATACAGCTCCACCCCCTGGCTCGCCTAGCCAACGAACTCTCTAGCCAAGGCACAGACAACAAGGTGGAGGTCGCAGGCACTCATCACTTCTCCTGCGTCGTCCGCCGTGAACAGAGACGCTCGAATAGTTCATCTCGATCCCAGCATCTATCGCAGAAATGCGCAGGGCCGCCCTCGTAGCGGCGCGGGCCGCCACGCGAACGCCACCGCGAGTGCGCCAGCAGCACGCCGCGGCCTGGCGCCCCCACCAAGCGCCGCAGCCCCAGACGCGCCCCTTCGTCTCCTTCTTACGAACGAGACGCCTGAAAGCTCTGGAACGGGCCGCCGACGCGAACCCGGCCGACGGCGCCGCGCAGATGGCGTTCGTGAGGGAACTGGGCAAGACGCACCCGGAGGCGGCCCTGCGGCGCATCGAAGCTTTGGATCCGGCGCGGCAAGCCGCCCTGCTGGAACCGCTGACGCGCGAGTACCTCAAAGCCTTGGTCGCGACGGGCCGCGTCGACACGATGGCCCTCGCGGACGTACGAAAGCGCCTCCTCGCCACGGCCGCCGCCACGAAAGCGAGCGCCGAGGCGGGCATGAGCGCCGCCGCACCGGTTGCGGGTTTAGCGGCGGTGGGCACGGCCGCGAATCCTGTGCAAGTGGCGGTCGTCCAGGCCGGGTGGAAGTCGCAGTTGTGGCGGACCGTGCGCGTGCTGGCCGTCGCGTTTTTGGCTTTGAGTGCTTTTGGGGCGTTGTTGGACGAGAAGGGCGTGTCGTCGAGGTTAGGGGCTACGTCTTCCGCGGTTCACACTGCGGAAAGCAGCGACAAGCGCTTTTCCGACGTCTGTGGCGTCGACGAGGCGAAAGCTGAGTTAGAAGAAATCGTAATGTACCTGAAAGATCCGGGGCGGTTCACAAGATTGGGCGGCAAACTCCCGAAGGGTTGTCTGCTCATGGGTCCTCCTGGTACTGGTAAGACCTTGCTAGCGAGAGCCATCGCAGGAGAAGCAGGAGTACCATTCTTTTATGCCTCAGGAAGCGAGTTCGAGGAGATGTATGTTGGTGTGGGGGCGCGACGCGTGCGCGATTTGTTTGATGCAGCGAAGAAACGCTCCCCATGCATCGTCTTCATCGACGAGATCGACGCGATTGGCGCCTCACGCCATCTCAAGGAGCAGCAGGCCATGAAGATGACCCTGAATCAACTGTTAGTTGAGATGGACGGCTTCGAGCAGAACCAGGGGGTTATTGTGATCGGCGCGACGAACATCGCCGATTCCTTGGATCCGGCGTTGTTGCGACCTGGACGATTTGATAGACATGTCGCGGTACCTCTACCGGACATCGAAGGCAGAAAGCAGATCCTGCAGTTACATGCGTCGAAAGTACCCCTAGATCCCAAGGCGGACCTCACGACGCTAGCCAAGGGCACGCCGGGCATGTCCGGTGCTGATCTCAGTAATTTAGTGAACCAGGCCGCGTTAAAAGCGGCTCTAGATGGTCTTGAGTCAGTAACAGCGTCAGCCTTGGATTATGCCAAAGATAAGATCCTGATGGGTGCCGAGCGAAAGTCCGCTGTTTTGTCGGAAGAAACTATCAGGATGACGGCCTTTCATGAGGGTGGGCATGCTCTCGTAGCGTTGCATACGCCTGGCGCGGACCCGGTCCATAAGGCGACCGTGATGCCGCGGGGCCAGGCATTAGGTATGGTCCAGCAACTGCCCGAAGGGGACCAGACGTCCTTCACGAAGCGGCAGATGCTCGCGAGGATGGACGTCTGCATGGGCGGGCGGGTCGCCGAAGAACTTGTGTACGGAGCAGACGAAGTGACCTCTGGGGCCTCGTCCGACATCGTCCAAGCCACGCGGCTCGCGCGAAATATGGTCACGAAGTGGGGCTTTAGTGACGAGGTTGGGGTTGTGTATCATTCCGGGAAGGTGGGTGCGGACCACTCGCCGTCGCCGGAGACGCAAGCTGCTATTGATTTAGAAGTGAAGCGGCTGTGCGAGGCGTCTTATGCACGCGCTACCAAAATCCTGACGGATCATAGGGATGAGTTGGATCTCGTGGCGCATGCGCTTATCGCAAGGGAAACATTATCGGGCGCGGAGTTGAAAGAAGTGATTGGGATGGGCGTTGCCAAAGCACCAAAGCCGCCGCTGGTGCCCGAGGTGAGCATCAAGCCGCCGCGGCTGAAGCCTGCGGCGACGGCCGGCGCGGCCGCCGCCTAAGTAGCTAGTCTGTAGTTCTCTTCTGTCGCGCGGTGTCCCGTCCCCAGGAGCTCCGCCAACTAGTCCTCCTATTGCCTAGGCCGCCTAGCCGCGGAGCCGGAGCGAGGCCTGCACGACCGCACGCCCGGCCCTGTTGCGTACTCTATAGCCCGGTTGCCACCGTGACATACCCTCCGTCAATCCCAAAGCCCCGCCTCTGACGCCGTCGAAGCGAGGATGGCGCGTCGATGGCGTGCAGCGGGCGTAGAATGACAAGAATCTTAATCGCCGGGTACCACGACCCGGTCAGACCTGGGCGCCCTCGGCCGTCTCCTGCGCCCCGCGCGCGAGCGACTGTAGTAAAGCGCCGGTAATAGCCAGCGCCAGCAGGAAGTTGAAGAAGACCGTGAAGCCGAGCATCGAGAACTTGATGTCGCTCGTGTCGATGGCGTTCCAGATGTCGTTCTGCGCGAAGTAGTAGAGCGACACCATGACCGCGTGCAGGCCGAGCGTCGTGGCTTGCGACGGTTCTGCTGCTTCTCTAGCCGCTCCGAGGTACTCGAGCATCAGCGCGTGCAGCGAGACGACGAAGCCGAACAAAAGGGCCGCCTGGATCGTGACCACAAAACTGCCCTGGCGCTGCATCACGTTTGGCTTTCCTTTATCAGTAATAGAGAAAACGTAGCCCTGGCCGGGGTAGAGCACGTCGTCGCCGGGCTCGTTCGACACGTACACGGCGTTGCTGAACACGCACAGCAGGAGGTGGAGGCCGTGCAGTAATGCCGCCGCGCCGCCGGCCCGCTTCATGGACGGCGCCGCCGGCAGCGTCACGGAGAGCGTCGGGCGCGGCTCCACAGCATCAGGGGGTTTTTCTTCCATCATCGTCCGGCCGGAGCTTTATGAGGTGACAGGGGGAACGAGTGGAGCGACGACGAAGCTTTGCGGCGCGCGGTGCTGGTCGGTGCTGCGTGCGCGTTTCCAGCGCAGGGCAGCCTGGCTCTCACAGCGCTGGCGCTTTGGAACAGTGGCCACACGCTCTCCCTAGCGCCGTGCGCGGGAGCCGTAGTGTACGAGTGCGGAACGAGTCTCCGAGGATACCTACGGAGGCGTCTTGCAAAATCGGAGCTAGTATGTCGATACACTAAGCTCTCTGCGGGGCACGCGCTTTGACCCGCTTTATCTGTCGCGCTGCGCGTTGCTACGAGCAGACGCCGTCGGCGCAGGCGCTCACAGCCTTAGCGCGCTAGCCGGAGCATCCCTGCGACTCGCAAGGTCGGTCTATCCAAGCCAAGGTCTCGTCGGGCTCCCCACGCCGCCAAGATGCCCCGCGCCAAACAAAAGAAAGCGTCATGCTCTTTAACGGAGGTCGTCTTCGTCCTTGTATTATTAGCCTGTGGTTTCATGATCGGCTTCGTCGGCTCTCATACATCGTCGGAAGAGGACGCGCCGGTAAGACTAAGGCAGCACCCCGCCATTCCCCCCAGACACATCGCGGAGCAGCACTCAAGCGGTCCATTGAACGCCTCGATGTGGGGGCACATCCCACAACCTTTTGAGGGCTACGCGTCAAAGTGCGGCCCGACACCCGAGGAGGGATACCCAAAAACAGCACCCATAGCTGATATAATAAAAAACTGGAACCCCGACGCGGGCAAGTGGACTCCATCACACATGTACGAGAGCGTTTGTAGATTTGACTATGCGACTGATTTGGACAAAGCCATCGCTTACAGGGATGCGGAAGTCCCTTTCCAGTTGTACAACGTGCCGTCCATGAACGCCGTCGCGCGAGCCTGGAGTGACCCGGCGCACTTAAGAAGAAAATTGGGAGCCACCACAAAGTACAAGTGCGAGGCGAGCAACCCGGGAGGGGAAGCGAATTTTGGGGCCAACCACTTCATGTATACGAATGGGAGATCGTCGAGAAATCCTCCGATAAAAAACGTCCAGCTGTCCTGGGACGACTGGCTCCGCAAGATCGACGAGGCCGTCAACACGAGCGTGTTGGAGCCGAACTCGCGGTTCTACTTCCGGTTCTCCGCGTCGTCGCCGTCGGACGCGCGGTCGGGCTGGCTCTTCAAGGAGCTGCCGTTCTTTCAGCCGAAACCAAATGTGTTCTTCAAGGACCCGCGCGCGCAACGAGGCATTCACTGTCGGTTCGGCATGGAGGGCATCGTGGCGGAAGCGCACTGGGACGGCTCTAGGAATACGATCGCCCAGTTCTATGGGAGAAGGAGATATGTATTGGTAGACCCCGACCACACGTGCGACATGTACCTGCTGGCCAAGAACCACCCGTCCGGCAGACATAGTAAGGTGGACTGGTCGAATCCGGACTCATGGGAGAAGTTCCCGGACTTTCCGACGATGCCCGCGCACGAGGTCGTCCAGCGCCCCGGCGATTTCCTCTACCTGCCGACCTATTACTTGCACTACATCGTGAGCATCGACACGAACTACCAGTGCAACACGCGGAGCGGGCGCGACGATAGGCAATTGAAGGTCGTAAACAAGTGCACGCCCGGCTTCGAGAAGCAGGCGTCTCCGCCGCGCCGCGGAAAGAAGCCGTGGCCGAGCCGGGGGAAGTTCTAGTAAGGGTCGTTGTGACGAATCTAGAGAGAGACGATTGTGTTCCTGCTTACACGAATAAATGAAGCGGGGAGCGAATGCGCCTTACTTGGTCGGCGCGCTTGTGGCCGACGGCATAGAGCTCGGCGCGGCCGTAGCCGTCGGCGTCGACGATGGAGCGTAGGTGTCCGTGGTCGGCGCGTAAGATGGCGCGTCCGTCATCGCCCTCGTCGGCGCGTAGGTTTCCGAGCGCGTAGGCGTGAACGTCGCTGTAGGCGCATGCGTCGGGTCTTGCGTCGGTGATGTGGACGGGACGGCCGAGACAGTAGGCGCCGGCGTTCCCGTCGGCGCAGCGGACGGCCCGGCACTCGGCGCAGAAGTCGGCGCCGGCGGCGGATCAATTGCACCGACCATCATCACCTTCTTTGAAGACGGGCTCAGAAGGCGTCGGAGGTGGCGGCGTACGGTTGTAACAACAGCACACACGGTCCCTTTGCCGTCGCTGCATCGATCCATTCCGGGCAGAACTGGTTATCGATGGAACAGTCCCAACCGTGACATGTCCCTGTGACGTCGAGCGGCCTCAGGCCCAAGCTCTCTGTGCCCGCGGGGCATTGGCCGGCGCATTCTGCGCTCGCACGAATGCTACAGAGCAGCACGCCGATGACGGTGGCCTTGAAACCCATGGTCTCGTTTTTCCTGCGTGCGTCGTCGCAGCGTCGAGGACTCGAAGTTCAATCGACGGGGCGTTCGTGTGTGTAGCGTACTAATCGCCGCGCGTCTGCCCCGTACCGTTAACGGTACAGGGCACGTCGTGCCGACGAAACCGCGCCGGGCGGCGGCGCCGCCGCCGCGTACCGGGACTCCGGGAGCCGCCCGGCGCGCGCTGCTGAAGCGCACCGCGACACGACGGGCGGTCGCGGTCTATGGCGGGCTTCTTTGGAACTGTATTGCGGCTCGGGAGCGTACCTTGGCAGCGTTTCCTAGGTCTGCCTGTTTTGCGCTTTTTTTTCCTCCCGTGCACGCTTTGATGATGAGTCTTGTGTCGTGATGAGCTAGGTTCAAAGTTATCAACCGTGATTTGTGCGTAACGCTTCAGATCGCGCGCTGCACAAGATATCCGACTGGAAGGCTCCGGAGCTTTTTGCATGCTAGTGTCTTACAGGCCGCTAGCCCAGACCGCTCGGTGAAAAAAAAAAGGTAGCCGCTGCCGGTTGCGTGCTGCTCCAGACGCACGGGCTGCTGCATCGCTAACGATCGCTGCGTCATCGCTGCGGTCGTTCACTCCAATTGTTTAGCTGTGTGGCAAGCTGTGTGAGAGCGCTCTCTGTGTGTTACACGCCAGCACCGCGATGCTGCGCATCGTCCGACGCCTGGCCGGTCATAGCAAGTGGGCCAATATCCGCCACAAGAAAGGAGGCAAGGACGCGGCGAAAGCCGACCAGTTCCAGAAACTCGCAAAGGTCATCGAAACGTCCTCAAAACTCGCGGGCGGCGACCGGTCGCACCCCGCTCTGGCCTCGGCGCTCTCGCGCGCCAAGGACGCGCGAATGCCCAAGAAGACGGTCGACGCCGCCGTGACGCGCGGCGGCGCGGACAAGAGTGCGGGCGCGGGCCTGGAAGAACTCTACTACGAAGGCACGCTTCCGGGCGGCGTAGGTGTTATTGTTGATGCCCTCTCGGACAACAAGAACCGCACCGCTGGCGAAGTGCGCGCGACGTTCAAAAAGCACGGCGGCGCGCTGGGCGCGCCCGGCAGCGTCGCGTGGAATTGGCGGCGCGTCGCCGAAATTCGGCCGGCTGTGCCCGTCGACGAGGAAAAACTCTTCGAGGTCGCTGTGGAGGCAGGCGCGGACGACGTCGTCGACGACGCCGTATTCGCCGACCCCGCATTGTCGGCGTCCATCCGCGACGCGCTGGACGCCGCGGGGTTCGTGGTCGAAGCGTCTGACCGGATATGGATCCCCGAGGACCGCGTCGACGCGCCCGCGCCGCATGCAGCCCTCGACGCGCTCGACGCGCTCGACGACGTTTCCGCCGTGTGGCACAACGCCCAATAAAATGTATGTGTTATGAACCTCTACTCGCCCGCCGCACGCCGTCGTTCACCTCCTCGAGGCCGCTCATCGGCGGCACGTAGCCCCGCTTCTGGGCCTCGCGGCCGAGGTCCTCCATGAAGGACGCGTGCTGGTCGGGGAATCTGAAAGACACCTTGAGCTGCGACGTCTTCTTCGAGAATTTGGCCTCGGTCCGTCGCGGGTCAACCGGCGCCGCGAATCTAACAACAAGGTCGTCGTGGCCGGGGACCACGATGCGACACCGCTGGCCGTCGCAGTCCAAGTCCTTGGCGCGCGCGCCGGGCGGCAGCGCGACCGTCAGCTCGTAGCCACTTTCGGTCGCCTGGAGCGCGTGGTCCGGCGTGTTCGCGACGGGTTCCTCCTCGTCGATGTCGTCGTCCTCGAGGTCGAGGTCCTCGAGGGCCTCCGCCGCGACGGGGTCGCTCCAACCCTCATCGTCGGCGTCGTCCGCGTCCGCCGCGACGGGCGCGCTCCAGCCCTCGTCGTTGTCGGCGCCGTCGGCGCCGCCGGCCGCGGACCCGAAGGCCTCCGCGAACGCGCTATCCAGATTGTCGTCGTCGTCATGGACGACGGCGACGTTGCCGCCGCCCGTCGTCGGCTTCGGTGGCGCGGGCTTCGGCGTCGACTTCGGCTTCGACTTCGGCTTCGAAGCGCCGCCGGCGCGCCGTTTCCGCCGCGCCTCGACGGCCGCGCGCACGCCCGCGAAGGCCGGGTCGCCCCGTAATGCTTTCACGGCTCTTTTCGCATCGTCCGGCAGCCGCTCCACGGCGTCGGCGCTCATGCCCATGGACCGCTCGGCGGCGTCGAGCTGCGAGTCGTCCAGACTGTCCTCGTCTTCTTTTAACGCAGCCTTCATCTCCTTCGACGCCTCGTCGACCAACCCGAGTTTGACACAGGCCTCGCGGATCTCCCCGAACGCAACGCCCTCGCGCACGCCTCGTAATTTTTCACCTGCTGTAGGGTCAGCACTACAAGCCGCGTCGACCTGCGCCTCGCTCATGGTCATCGCGGCCGCGACCGCCCGCAACATGTCCTCGTCGACCTCGAGCCGGTCCGCCGCCTCCTGGATCGGCGTGCGCTTCCTGTTGGGTCGAGCTTGACGCTTCTTTTCCCGCTCCCGCTTGAGTTGTTCCGCCTTTGTTGAGGCAGCCTCGGCGCGCTCTTTTTGCACCATCTCGACACGCCGTTTCACGGCCTCGACCGATAACGCGGCCTGGCGGTAGGGCGCGAAGTCCGCACTACTAAGCATCATCTCGACCTTTTGGCGCACGGGCCCCGCTTCCAACGAGTTCTTCTGGGCTTCGCTGAAGCACATCGACTGCGCGACGAGTCGCAAGACGTCAAACACCAAGTCTTGGGCTTTCGCCACCTTCTGGAGCTCGCCGTCGACGGCCTCCATGGTTTTGGCAGTCGGTTGCTCGCTTTGCTAGCTGCTTTTGCAGCTGCTATCGAAGGCAGCAGCTATGCTTTGGCAGTGTGGAGCTGGTGAGCAACTCTACCACCTCGCGTGCAGGTTCGAACGACTTGCGAGATTCCTTTCTAGTGATTTTTTGGATCGATGTCGAGGTTTGGCAGCTTTTCAGGCTCAGCTTTGCAAATCGATGCCTTAAGCTGCCGGAGGGCCTTTGGCCGCATCGATGGCCACACGGTTGCCCAACGCTGGATGGATCACACCGGGAGCCATCTATGTTCGGGATCGGTGCAGGCGGTGCCCCCAAAACCCGATTTGATTTGGGGCTCCGGCGCCGGCGCCGCGCGCAGTTTAAAATAGCGGTGCAAGCAGCGCGCGCGGCACTGACCGCCTCGACTAGTTCCAGCGCGGCCACAGTTCTGCGCGCGCCCGCAGCTCAAAGCGCGCGCCGAGACCGATCCGCCTACAGAGCGCGGCAGGGTCAGCGCGCACGCGCAGCCATGGACATCCGCAACTTCTTCGCCAAGAAGCCCGCGAAGGCGCCGGCCGCCGCGCCGCCGCCCGCCACGCAGAAGCCGAAGGCGCCCGCGGCCGCGCCCAAGGTCTCGCCCGAGGCCGCCCCACCACAAAAGCCCGCGTCGCCGAACCCGTCTCCAGCGAAAGCGCCGCGCGCCGCCAAGTCGCCGCCGAAGGCCAAGAGCCCGCCGAAGGCCAAGTCGCCGGCCAAGGCCACGGCGAGCGCCCACTTCGACGAGAAGCCGAAGAAGCGCAAGGCCACCGACGTCCTCGGCTTTACGGATGAAAAAGAAGACTCCGATTCAGACGTCGAGATGGGCGCTACCATTCCACCGCCGGTAGAAGAAAAAAAACCGCCGAAGAAGAAGAAGACGGCGGGGCTCATCGACGCCGCGGGCTTCTTTGGCGGGAAAGAAGCGGTCCCCGAGGTCGTAAAACCGGCCGTAACACAGAAGAAGGAGCAAACTTTTAAACCGTTACCGAAGAAGGCGCCCGCGGAGCCGCAGTTAGCCTTGACGGGAACGACGTTCGTGTTCACGGGTGTCCTGGCCGGCGACGACGTGACGCGAGAGCTCGCTGAAGACATGATTAAGGAGAGAGGCGGCAAGTGCACTGGTGCAGTTTCTGGGAGGACGAATTATGTGGTCTGTGGCGAGTTACTGGAAGACGGGCGACCTGTGGAAGAGGGCAGCAAGTTCCGAGCGGCCGAAGATAAGAAAACTACTCTCATCAGAGGAGCAAGGGCCTTCAAGCAGTTCCTGCAGGACGCCGACGCGAAGTTCAAGGACAAGGCGCCGCCCGTCAAGGCGTTACCACCTCTAGAGAGACCCAAAGCGGCCCCGGGATTGTGGGCGGACCGCCACAAGCCGAAGCAAAATAAGGACATGATGGGCAACGGCGACATTCGTTCGAAGCTCGGGAAGTGGCTCGACCAGTGGGAACGGGTCCATCTCGGCGACCCGAAGAAACGCATCAAGCCCAAACATGAACCGCAGAACCCGTCGGCTCGGGCGGCGCTCTTGTCGGGACCGCCGGGCATCGGCAAAAGCACGATGGCCGCGTTACTATGTGAACAGCGAGGTTTTGAGGTTGTTGAGTATAACGCCTCAGATACACGTAGTAAGAAGTCGATAGAAGGTGGGTTGGCCGACGCTCTGGGTTGTGGTTCTCTCTTCGGCAAGAAGGGCGGCCAGCGACGTAGACGGTGTGTTATTATGGATGAAGTTGATGGGCTGTCGGCGTCGGATAGGGGTGGCTCTGCAGCATTGATCAAATTGATCAAGACCACGGCCACGCCGATCATCTGCATCTGCAACGATCGTCAAAGCCCAAAGGTGAAATCCTTAGCGAACCATTGTTATGATTTGCGGTGTAAGCGACCGATGAAGCAGATCGTCGCGAAAAGATTAGTTGCTGTAGCAGCAGCCGAAGGCTTAACTCTAGAACAGAACGCCGCGGAACTGCTCGTGGACTCCTGCGGTAATGATATCAGACAGTGTTTGAACGCCCTACAGATGTGGACGCAATCGAACGCTTCGGGCAAGGCGACCTACGGCGACATGAAGGGCCGCATCTCTGCTATTTCTAAAGATGAAATGCAGCGCGCGTCGACCTTCGACGCGGCGAAGATGATTTTAAGTGACCACCAGCGCAAGTCCCACATCGATAGGGTCGAGGCGTTCTTCCACGACTATACGGCCATGCCCCTCATGGTCCAACAGAGTTACATCCAGGCGGCGATGAACGCGAAGGAGGGCGGGAAACCTTTGTCTCAATTAGGGAAGCTAGAACGCATTTCTGAGGCAGCTGAAAGGTTATCTGATGTGGATTTGATCGACAGGCGCATCCGCCAGGACCAGGACTGGTCCCTACTACCTTTACAAGCGTCTACTACGGTCGGTGTGGGCGCGACCGTGGGAGGCTTCTGCATGAACCCCCAGTTCTCGCAGTGGTTCGGGAAGAACTCGACCACGCAGAAGAATCGGCGGCAGTGCGCCGATTTATCGTATAGGTTGGGGCATCGCGTCTCTGCTGGGAGGGAAGCGGTCCGGCGCGACTATCTAGGACCTTTGTTAAGGCACGTGTCGGCGCCTCTACTGGGAGGAGACGCGTCGGGCACGATAGAAAGGTTAGATGCGTACGGTCTGTCGCGGGACGACCTCATGGAGACGCTGCCCGACCTGGAATTACACGACAAGGACAAGCCCAAGCTGTTCGCGTCGCTCGACGCCAAGGCTAAATCAGCCTTCACGCGCGCTTATAACAGTGTGGGCCACTCGGCGCAGGGCCTCCAGCCGGCCTCGATGGTCGTCAAAAAGAAGCGCAAGAAGTCTTCGACAGACAACATGCAGGTCGACGACGACGACTACGTCTCCGAGGAGGACGAGGAGGAGGTCGACGTGTCGCAGCTCTTCGCGAAGAAGAAGCGCAAGGCGCCTTCCAAGAAGCCTGCCGCGCGCAAGAAGAAGAAGTAGGCCTCTCTCCCTCGTAACTTATGTCTCGCTGACTCATTGCTAGGGCCGCGTCGACGCCGTCGACGCGTCGTCGGAGATGGGAAAACCCGTTCGCTCTCGCGCTGCTCGAGCTTTGGGCAGCCTCTGTGCCGCAAATTCGCCTTTATAAATCACTTTGGGGGCAGCCAAGAAACGTCATGGCCTCCCTCGAAGAGGCCACGCACCAGAGAAGGGTGTTCGCGTGGCAGGGCGCGGACACGGAGCCCCTGACCGGCACTGAGGCCGACAGCCCCGGAGCAGGCTGGACGATTTCGAGGGACGACGTCGTCGTGCTCATCGAGCAGCTGCGCAACGCCGCCGGCGCGGTCGTGGCCTTCGTCGAGCTGCAGGTCGATGGGAAACGCACGACGCACCGCGGCTGGGTCGACCCCGCTTCCCTGAAGCGGCGCCCGGGCGACGAGACGGAGGACGAGTTGGCATTGCGACGCGAGCAGCTGGCGGATATTGCGGGAGAGCACCTCGCGGGCCGCGCGTACGCCGAGGCGTACCACGCGTTCGGCGACGCCATCGCGGCGGACCCGGCGAACCATCGGTTGTACGGCGACCGCGCCCTCTGCTGCGCGCGGCTTCACAAGGAGACACCATCACCGGAACTCCGGGCCGCGGGCCTGAAGGACGCGGAGACGTGCGTGGAATTGAAGCCGACGTTTGTGAGAGGCCACGAGCGGCTCGTGACGATGCTCGCGCTCTGCACAGAAGCGGGCGAGACCGATCACAAGACCCTCGAGGCCGCCGTCCGGCGGGGTCTGAGCGTCGACGCGGCGAGCGTATCCTTGCGACGCGCGTTACAAGAGCTCCGCGACGCCGGCGTCTCCCTAGATACGACGCTGGCGCCGACGGACAGCGAGCTCGCTGACGCAGCAAAGGCGGCCGCGCCGAAGACGCGGGGCGCGGAGCTCTTCGCCCGGGGTGATATGGAGAACGCCGCGGTTAAGTACAGGGCCGCCCTGGCGTGGGACGCGACCGACCCTCGCATCTGGGCGAACCGGGCCGCGTGCTTCTCGCGGCGGGGGCGGTTTGACGACGCGCTGCGCGACGCGGAGTACGCCATTCGCTTGAAGCCGCGGTGGGCCCGGGCCCGCTATCGGCTCGCGGAGGCGCGGCTCGGGCAGGGGCGCGTCGGCGACGCGCTCGAAGCGTGCGACGCGGGGCTGCGCCTGGACGGCGACGAAAAGACGCGAGGGGACCTGTTGGCGCTGATGGAGCGGTGTGCTGTTGTTGAGTAAATGCTGTTTGTGCGTGTAGCCCTGTCCTTACACAGCGTGTCCGAATGGTGATTCTCCGGCGCCGCTACGCCCCGGCTCGGGTCCGGAGGACCCCATGACTCAATTCCGGCCCTCCCGGAAATTGTGGCAAAAAATCATATATATATGTATATATCGATTTTTTGTGGGTCATTTTGATATATATATATTTTTTTTTCGGGGCGGAGCACCATGGCGAGAGATGTGGACCTTCGCGTCCCCTGGATGTGAAATTTATCTAAAAATAAAAGCTAGTATACCTATGCGCGAAAAACCCGATTTGATTGCCCCTTGGCCCTACTTACCTTTATATACTCGCGGACGGCGACGCGCTCGCGGCGTACAAACGCCGCGCGTTCGACCTCTACCGGCAGCGGTTCGCGCCCGAGGCGTTGCTCCGCCGCGTCGACGCGTGGAACGAGCGCGGCGCGCCGGACGGGTGGCAGGATTCATAAACTTTTAAACCTACCCAGCAATAGCATCCCGCGCCAGCCTCCTGAGCCGCGTACACAGCTCCGGCGATTCCGCGCAGACACATGACCGCGAGAGCAGGTCGAAGGCTTCGCCTGACGTAGGCGGCTTGGACGGGTCGCCCGGCGGCGCGCGCCGGCCGTCGACCATCTCGATGGTGCATCCGGCCTCGCGCGCGACGAGCGTTCCGGCACACCAATCCCAGGGCTTTGGGCAGTCTCTTTCAACTAATCCAATAACCATTGAAGAAGCGCGACCCGTAGCCACGTAGCACAGATTCAGCACGGTCGAGCCCAGGATCCGCACGGCGCGCACGTTCTTGTCCAACAGCGACGCGTACAGGCGCGCGAGCGGCTTCGCGGCCGGGCCGCGCTCGTAGCCGAGATCCGTCAGGACAGTGTACGCCGACAGGTCCGCCGACGGCGCCGCCGCCGCGACTTTAAGGCGTCGCCCGTTGAGGTACGCCCCCTCGCCGGCCGCCGCGACCCAGAGCTCGTCGCGGTACGGGTCCAGGACGACTCCGAGCCGCGGCACGCCGCGCACGGCCATCCCGATCGACACGACGCTGCAGGGCAGGCCGTGCACGAAGTTCTGCGTGCCGTCGATCGGATCAACAATCCACGTCGGGACGTCGTCGTCATCCAGCACGGGAATCACTCCGTTCGCCGAGCACGACTCCTCGCCGACGACTCTGTGGGTTGGAAACGCCGCGCCAAGTCCCTCCACGACAAGTCTTTCGTTCGCCTCGTCCGTCGCCGTGCACGGATCGATGCCGCCGTCGCCGTCCTTCCAGATCGTCGTGCGCGCCTTCGTGTCGGCCTCGCGCATCGCGCGGCCGCAGCGCCGCGCGAGCCGGATCGCGACCGCCGCCTCCTTGCGGTAGTTTTGGATCTCGCGCGGCGGTGCGCGGCCGCGGAGCCATTGTAAAGACAGCGCTACCGTCGGAAGTAGTGCCAGCGCGAGGGCTAGGCGCGTTGTGGTCTCCATTTGCCACAGTGCACCTGTAGTCAATTGCCCAAAAACGTGACCGCTGACCAAGCAGGAGCACGATGCGCTACCTTGCAGCCTTGTCTAGCCCGGCTGCTGAGAGTGCTCTCCGGCACAGGCTTTCGCTGGGCGTGTTTTGGCTGCGACCAGCGTATCTGAGCCGTTAGCAGAGATGCACGACCGTGTAAATTCAACCGTGATTGGCTGGTTCCACCGCTATGCCCGATATAGCCACAGTGCCCATCTATGCTAGTGTCTTACAGGACGCTAGCTGCAACCTTTGGACAACATCGTTTTTTAGCATCCAAACCATGTTGGAACCTCAACTTAGGACGCGATGAAAATACTCTTAACTCTCTGCGGCGTGGCCGCCGCAGAAATAGTGGTGCAACCATCAATATGCATCGACCCACCACCCCAATCGAGTAACTCCTCCCTCGACGCCGTCGTCGCGCGCGCGTTGAAAACGCTCGCCGCGCCGTCAATATCATGGCAAAGTTTCATGCGCGGCGCCACGCTCGCGGACCGAGCCGTCTCGGTCGTCCGCGTCCGCGACGCGCCCGGGCCGCCGGCGTCGACGCTTAGCGTACACGTACCACCACCTCTACGGGCTGCACATCGCCGCGTTGCGGTTCTTCACGGTGTTCGGGCCGCGCGGCCGGCCGGACATGGCTCCGTTAAAATTTGTGGACAAGATATCGCGCGGTCTACCGATCCAGCAGTTCGGCGACGGTACTTCCAGTAGAGACTATACGTACGTGGACGACGTGGTGCAAGGCATTATCCTCGCGTTAGATACCCCGGCGGGCTACCAGATCTACAACCTCGGCAACGGCTCGCCGACGAAGCTGACTGATTTTATATCGTTAGTAGAAAAGGAGACCGGCAAGAAAGCTTCGATTGAATTACTACCGAACCAACCAGGAGATGTCCCGAGAACGTGCGCCGACATCGCCAAGGCCAGAAGCATGCTCGGCTACGACCCGAAAACTCCACTCGCCGACGGCATCCGCAAGCTAGTCGAGTGGTACCGCGACTCGCAAGTCCGTAGACCCGCGCTCGTCAGAACGGTCACGCCAGATGATCCCTTGCACGACCTTCGTGATCTAAAACCAGCTGTGCTTCGCTGTGGTCTCGCATCGACGTCAGACCGACCGGCGTGGACGCGTCCCGCACGGCAAGTAGATCCTTGATCAATGCATCGGTTCGACCGCGGCGCCCAGCGCCGCCCGCTGAGCAAGCAATTCCTCGTCCCTTCGCGGAGAATATATCCCTTCCCCCTAGATACACCCGAATCCCTATCAGAGATACAAACAGCGTAATAATGAGTGAACTCTTTATTGCACCGTTCCGCCCCCAACGCGGCAACGCCTAGTGTAAACTTTTGGTACCAGAAACCGAACCCGAGGGAGCCACTAGGTTCAACGCCAGGCTCGAGCCCTCCTAAACCCTTCGAAGACCGCCTGGTAAGGTATCGATAAAGTACCTTATCCTGGGCGGTAGGGGGTGCAGCCAAAACAACGGAGCGTCCCGCGAGAGGCTAATAGCCGAGGAGCACGCGGGCCAGGAAGGCAAGCGGGAAGCCGCCTCGGACCAGCAACCAGCCGCTCACCAAGGACTGCGACGCCTGCAGAAAGGGCTGCCTCGGCCCAGCAAGAACAAGCTAGCCACAGCCCGGCCCCACGCCGCCGAGGCAACCAACAACCATGGGCCTCCTCGACACGACCACCGCGTTACCGACGGAGCCGACCTGGGGCGCCGCCCTCCGGACCATCGAAAGGGAGCGGACGATGCCGGCCTGGGAGCGCATCGGCCAGAAGGCACCGGCCCGGGACCACATCTTCACGCATTATGAAAAAAGGGGCCACTTCAACGCGTTATTACAAAGAGACAACGATCCCAAAAGAGAACAAAAATTCAGAGATAACCGCGACGCCGCCTTCACGGCCAAGCAGGCTCGGTGCAAGCAACAGCAAGCCTCGTTCGACATCGTCTCCCACCGCCAGACGGGCGGTTTAAGGCCCGTGCCCGCTTCCGATCAACAAAAAAATGGAAAACCGAAGCCGCCCGACACGAACACGAAGTGGAACATTATTACTCATGTCGGGCGCGAGGGCTGCGAGCCGTTTACTTCTTCAAAAGATCGTTTAGCAGCGGCCCACGGCGAATTGTTGCCGGCTTCTTGGAAACGACGCGAGTATGACATCGTATCCACGAAATACAACAATAACCATACCGCGAGACACCACCGCGACCGCGAAAATGCCAAACACAAGGCGCAAAAGAAGTTCTGGGAGACTAGGGATTTTGACTTTATCAAAATTAAGTATCATGACGACGACAAGGAGTCGGACTTCCAGCAGCAGCGGTCTCATTTAAATTCGATCGCGGGCGCCGGCGCGATGGCGAAATTACCGCCGGCCATGCAGTACTGCGAAGGAGCTGCTTATAATCTAGTGAGCCACGAAATCAAGGACGCGTCGAAGCTCGAGGTGTCGAACGCCGTGACGAATTCCGGAGTGGCGTCGAAGATGGGCGCTGCGGTCGACAAGCACCACAAGCACGTCGCGGAGGAACGCTACCAGCGCGACAAGCGTCGAGCTTTACAACGGTTCAACAAGACGTCGCACCTCAAAGAGATGATGGACGGGCGGCACCACGACTACGACGTCGTTACCGGAGAAAGCTTCTACGGGCGGAACCCGAAGTTCCGGGCGCCTTCTCGCCTGCAGCGCGCGCCGACGACGTGGGACCGCCTCGCGGCGTCGGGCCCCGTCTATTCTGGCACGATTGCTGGTAAGCGCGGCGCGACGTCAAAGGCCGCGGGCGCTGCAGCGGCGTCGCCGGCCTTCTCCATGCGGCCCCAGGCTGGCTCGGCGTCGTCGCGGCCGGCGTCGTCCGTGCCCGTCGTCGCCCGCGCGTCGCCGCGCGTCGTCGACGCGCCGGTCGCGCCCGCGCCCTCGAAGCCGGCCGTGCCTCGTCTGAAAATCCCGGCGCAGTCCTAACCGTATTCTTCGTTTTAGATGTAGTCTTCTTGACGAGTTTGGCAAGTTCGCCTTGCCTTGCTTCGAGGTCTAGCTTCGAGGTAGGGCCACCTACTCGTAGCCGCGAGCCGACGCGGGGTTGTAGATCGGGGTTGTGGGTCTGCGCTACCGGCCCGCCCCAAGCCCTCATACGCCGTCGCCCCGAATTGGAGTCTTCGTGTGGCCGATGGTATTGATGTTGACCTCGGAAGGGCCAGATGATCGCCCGCTGGGCTCCTGAGAAAGCGCTGCGTAGTTGATTTTGCGGGCATATTACTACCGCATTGATCATCTGTGTGCAGCGCAAACCGTCGCAGTAGCAGTAGGGTGTCGTGACGTCTCACGTCCTTGACGCGCAACGCCAACGGTACGCTCTGCTCCAAGCAAAGCGCCGCAGCGTTGTACCTTCATCTGACCTGTAAGCGACGCCTGACGCTCGCTGCGCCGTAGTCAACCGGCGCACGTAGACAGTCATGGCCTGGCGCCAAGCCCTACCACGCCTCGCCGCCGCAACCACTGCACCCGCCGCGTCGCTCGCCCTGTGCGAGGCGCAACGAAAGACAGATTATGATCTAGCGAGGCACCAGCACGGCAAGACGCGCGTGCGCGTTCTTAAAGTAAGAAGGGAGGGCGGCGTCCACGCCATCTCCGAGTACAAGGTGGAAACGACCTTATTCTCGCCCGCTTATGATCGGGTGTTTACGAAGGGCGACAACACCGATTTAGTGGCGACGGACACGCAGAAGAACACCGTGTACATCGTCGCCAAGCGCACGGACGCGTCGACGCCCGAAGCCTTCGGCGTGGCCCTGTGCGAGCACCTGCTCAAGGAGTACCCGATCCTATCGGGCTGCCGCGCGGACGTTGAGAGCGTCGAGTGGGCGCGGGCCTGCGTCGACGGGCGGAACGGCGCCCAGCCGCACGTGCACGGCTTCCTGCGTTCGGAACCGGAGCGGCAAGTGGCCTCTGTCAGCATGACCCGAGGCCAGGGCCCGAAGGTCGAGTCATCGATCGAAGGTCTCGTCGTCCTGAAGACGACGCAGTCCGGCTTCGAGGGCTACCTCAAGGACAAGTACACGTTACTCCCCGACACGCAAGAGCGGTGCATGGCGACGGAGATGACGGCCTCCTGGAACTACGCGCAGCTGCCGCAGGATTTTGGTGCTGCTCGAAACAACGTGCGCCGCCAGATCCTGAAGGGTTTCTTCGGCGAGCCGGCGACGGGCGTCTACTCCGCGTCGCTCCAGGAGTCGATCTACGACGCCGGCTGCCTTGTGTTAGATGCGGTGCCCGAGGTGAAGCAGATCGAGATCGACACGCCGAACCTGCACTACTTACCGGCCAAGCTGCTCGACGCCGTCGGCGAAAAGTTCGAGGACGACGTCTTCATTCCCACCTCGGAGCCGTCCGGCTCCATCAACTGCATCGTGGCGCGCGGCGCCGGCGGCCGGCCGACGACTACCGCTCCGACGTCGGGGCCCAAGTTGTCTGTTGAGACGAAGCCCGTATCTCTCAACGTGGCCGACGCCCAGGCGCGCGCTGCCGAAGAAATACGAGGTGCAATTATTACTCCTAAAGCCAACTCGTGCCCCATGGCGGTGCGACTGGCGTGGCACGCGTCGGGCACCTTCGATAAAAATGATGGCTCTGGTGGTTCGGATGGAGCGACGATGCGGTTTGCTCCCGAACGCGAAGACGGCGCGAACGCCGGCCTAGGCATCGAGCGCGACATCCTGCAGCCCGTCAAAAGGGCGGTGCCCGAGGTGTCGACGGCGGACATCTGGACGTTGGCGGGGGCGCAGGCCGTCGAGGTATGTGGCGGCCCTCGCATCAATCACGCGATGGGTCGCAAAGACGCGACGTCCGGTGCACAATGCCCGCCTGTGGGCCGGCTGCCGGACGCCAGCCAGGGCGCGGACCATCTGAGAGATGTCTTCTACCGCATGGGCTTTGACGACCGCGAGATCGTTGCATTAAGCGGCGCGCACACGCTCGGCCGCTGCCATAAAGTAAGAAGCGGCTTCGACGGGCCCTGGACGTCGAACCCCCTCAAATTTGATGGGGAGTACTTCCGGAACCTCATGACCAAGGACTGGGTGCCGCGGGACTGGGACGGGCCCCTCCAGTATACCGATAAGGAGTCGCATTCGTTGACGATGCTCCCTTCCGACTTGGCATTGAAGGAGGACCCGGCGTTCGCCGTTTATGCGTCCAAGTACGCCGCCGACGAGTCCCTGTTCTTCGAGGACTTCAAGAAAGCTTTCGAGAAGCTCATCAGTCTGGGCACGACGGCGGCGCCCGCCTCGACTGATCTTGACGACGCCGCCGCGAAGGTCCGGGAGGAGTGCATGCACGGCTCTCTCGAGCACGCGCAGACCGCCTGGCGCCCGGGCGTCGACGCCAACTCCTATGATGCCGGCTCGCGCCGCACGGCGCTGCACAAGGCGGCGTGCGTTCCGGCGTCCTTGTTCGAGTTGTGGAGTGTCGACATCGGGCGCCAACGTAGCGTTTGTTACACAGGTTCTGGGGCCACTCGCACATCGTTCCTTGGCTCGTCGACGACCTCGGCGCCGCCGTCGACGCGACGGACTCGGCCGGCGACACCGCGTTACATGATGCGGCGCGCTTCGGCCACGCCAACGTCGTGTCCGAGCTGCTCGCCCGCGGCGCCTCGCCGAACGCGCGCAACGCCGCCGGCAAGACCCCGGGAGAAGTGGCCGCGGAGAACGGGCACGCGTCCGCGCTCCGCCGCTTCCTCGAGAAGTAGGCGTCTCCCGCCGCAAGCTGTACATGTTATTCCCTGTCCCCCTTCCCCTCCCACGAACTAACCACGACGGAAATCTACACAGTCGATACTTATGGCATAAGGCGTCAGTAGCTCCTCTCCGTCCGGCGCCGCCAGTTCACCGGGTCGGGGTCAAACACGAACGCCGAGTCGTCCAGGAACATGAGGTCCACGAGCAGCATGATGCCGAGGAAGATGACCACCGTCGTCCACTGGATCCAGAGCACGGACGACCTGCGTGGTATTGCGTCCTTCGTCGGCCTCCGCGCCATCGACGCGATGGGCGTGAACGTTGATTTCCACACGGAGTTGCACGCAAAAGCGCAGAGCGTGAACAATAACATCAGGAAGACCGTGAGGCCGTGGCGGAAAGCCATGGCGGTCCTAGGCGGCGTCGCGCCGGCGGCTGCCGATGGGTGGTGGGTTGTGCTGGCCGCTTATCGGTGAGTCGGCGTTTGCTCAGGTTGCAGCAATCGCTTCAGACGTACAAATGATTGCAAACCGTGCTCTGCGATGGCTACTGCGTCGCTTTGCTGCGGCAAAAGCAACTGGGCTGGGAGGCGTGAGAAACCCGATTTGACGAGCTGTTTTTCGAGCGAGGAGAAAAACGCGTAATGCAGGCGTCTATAGCAGTCGCACAAGATTGCATACAAGCCTTTTAAGCCGAGCCGGATCACGGACCGCCGAGCACCAAACTCAGACCTCGCTCAGGCAATTCGCCCTGCTGGCGCGGTTTCTACAGACGACACGGTGCCCAAACGTATATAACAAGCATCGCTGAAGCCATCTAGTTACCATACAAGCGCAGCGAGCGCGCCACACGGCTGTCAAGCACCATGCTGCTGCTGCACCTCAGGCGCCCGGCTGGGCGCCTAGCGGCGCGGCGCCTCAAATCAATCGCCGCGACGCCCGAAACGGCACCAGATATCGTGATCGTGAACCCGCTCAAGACCGCGGCGCCCGCGTCCACCTTGGTAATAGACCTCCCCGACCGCTCGGCGCTGACGCCCTCGCAATTCATCAGTATAGCCGGCGAGCTCGGCAAGAGTAGATTGAGCGGCTTCGTGGCCATGACGGGCGCCATGGGCTATGCCGCGACTGGGGCGCCTTTATTGGCGCCCGGCTTCGCGCTGACAACTTTGGGCGTCTTCGGCACGTCGTGCGCCGCGAACGCGTTGAATCAAATCCGGGAGACGGAGCGGGACGCGCGCATGGCGCGGACGCGGAAGCGGCCCCTGCCGTCCGGGCGATGCTCGCCCGAGTTCGCCGCGGCCTTCGCAACGGCAGCCGGCGGCGCCGGCGCGTCGGCGCTAGCTGTTTTGGATCCCGTGGCGTCGGCCCTAGCCGTCGGCAACATGGCCTTGTACGCGGGCGCGTATACGTCGCTGAAACCGAAATCAGAGATCAACACGTGGGTCGGCGCCGTCGTCGGCGGCGTACCTCCACTCATCGGCTGGGCCGCCGCCGGCGGGGCCCTGTACGGTCCCACGTCCCAAATACACGCCGAAACGTTACTCCAAATGGAGCCCGCGGCGATGCTCATGGCCACGCCGGCGGAGCCGTGGTTGTTGGCCGGTGCTTTGTATCTCTGGCAGTTCCCCCACTTTTTCGCCTTGGCCTGGGTCCATCGCACGGATTATGGCCGAGGGAACTTCGCAATGGTGCCTTGTAATGATCCTTCTGGCGTGAGGACGGCGAACTTGATACTGAGGTACGGCCTCTACTCGTCGGTCTTCCCCTTCGCCGCGGTGGCCATGGGCGCCGCGTCGCCCATGTTCGCCGTCGAGGGCTGCTTGTTAAATGGCGCTCTAGTAGCTGCCTCGATGCGCTTCCGACAAAAAAGGACAACAGAAAACGCGCGGACGGTCTTCCGCATCACGCTCGCGTATCTGCCTCTCCTACTCTTCTTCCTGCTATTGCATTCCGAAAGGTTAACGAGGGACGAGGAAGGTAGACCGGCCAAGTCGCCGACGCTGGGGGACGCGATGCGTCCAATCAATGACTTGGGGAGGATGCTCTGCCTCCACGAACTCCACCCAGCGACTCAGCGGCGGCGCGCGTCGACCGACGCCGACACGCCTTCATTTTGTCCAGTCGATACTGGCGGGAAGAAGGACTTGCCGGGGACGCGGCGATAGCGTCTAACATGTGTGTGTTATATATTTTGACCTTACGCACTGCTCGACGCCGTTTCTTCGCGGGCGCGGAGCGCGGCTTGCGCGTCTTGCAGATAGGCTGCAACGGCCTTTGTGAGCGGGTGCGCGCTTCCGAGCACGCGCCGCGCGATCGGAGCCGTGTCCTCGAGCGTCGTCACGCTCTCACGAAGATCGTCGAGCGTGGCGCTGGGGTCATTGTAGAGCGCGTTCGCATAGACCGCGCTCATCCTGAGCGTCATATCATAATTATTATTTCCGAGAACGCGTCGCGCCACGGGCGTCATTTTGCGTAGTAGGGACTTGGCTTCTTCGAAGCGGTTTACTTGAATCAGCATCGACGAGTAGTTAAATGCTGCCGTAATGGTTTCAACATGTGCTTCGCCATAAAGCTCCAAACGGCGTGAGTATACGTCCTGCCGGATGCGTATGCCATCTTCAAGCCGACCGATATCCTCATACGCAGTCGCAAGATTGCTCTGACTCATGAGTATGCTTGCTTCTGCTACGCCAATTCGCCGGTAAATAGACAACTGGGCCTCTTTCACGGGCAACGCGTCCTCGTGGTGGCCTGCTTCGGTCAATACGTGTTAAGCGAGAAGCCGCTCGCCCCCAGCGTCGCCGTCGCGACGAAGACAATCGACGCAGCGAAGGAGGCCAACGCCCTCGGCCGTTGGGGCGTGGCCGAGAACTACCGCTTCGAGCCGGCCGTGGAACGACTGGCTTCTGCAGACATCGGCACCGTCCGATCGGTTCGACTGAGCGTCGGCGCGCCGATTACTGAAGGAAATCCCTACGCGCAAACGGCCTGGCGGCAGTCACCAGATCATGTCGGCGCTTACTTCGGCGACGCCGGCCCGCACTACGTCGCCGCTTTGCGCGCGGCCGTCGGTTCCGCCCCAAGAGGCGTCCGCGCCCTGGCCACGCAAGGCTCACAAGTCGTGCCCGCGCCGGACGCCGTCGCGGCTGTCATGACGTTCCCGGGCGACGTCTTGGGAACGCTCCATTGTTCATTCCACCCCAAGGCTCCGAAGAGATTCGAGTTGGTCGTCGACGGCGACAAGGGCACGGCGTCGATGATTCGCACGGAAGCCGTGGGAACCGGCATTTTCGGCTACTCCGTCGACGTCAACAACGGCGAGCATTCGTTCTGTCCCTTCTCGGGCGTGCCTCGCGAGCTCTCGGCTTTCATTACAGCCGTCCGCAAGGGCGGCCCGGTCCCGCGCGCTTTATCGGCGACGGAGGCGCTCGTCGACCTGAAGGTCGTGGAAGCGATCTGCGACGCGGCGGCCGCGAAGTCGGCCGCGGGAACGCGCGTCGCTGCCTAGAGGATTAAGTGTACATATACGAGTCTCGAGTCTTACGCTTGCTAGTGTCTTACTGGATTTAGCTGCGATTTTGTGATGACGTTTTGCAAGTGCGCTCGCGGTCAATCGTTGCCATCGTTGTGCAGCGATAGCGACGTGCCTCCCAGCACTTGTCCCGCTAAGTTGCACAAGCAGGGAGCATCGCTGCTGCACATGGTACGCCTATTGCTGCCCTCAATCGCAATGGCGCTTGCTGCACCACCCAGCGGACCTGCAAAGCACACCCTGAAAAAGCTCGTCGCATTCGATCTCGACGGTACGCTGTTGAATCCGGAGCACCGCCTCACGCAGCCGACGCTGGACAAATTGCGAGAGCTCGACGGTCTCGGCGTGAGCATCGTATTTGCTACCGGGAGGTCAGCACCCGCGGTGTACGAGCATGTTGCGGCGCTCGGGATCCAATCAACACTGCCATGCGTGCTGTACAACGGCGCGGTCTGCTACGCGTTTCCTCAACCATGCGATAGCGCAAAGGACGCCGCTGCACGAAAGGAGGAACTCTTTTCGTTAGGCATCGACCTCGCCGACGCGGCTGAGGTGTGCGCATTTGCGGCAGAGCGGGGGTTGCTGGTGCAGTATTACGTGGGCGATCACATCTACGTCCGGCCGACGTGCGACGAACATAGAGATCTGGTACGGCGATATCATGAGTTGACCGGCGCTTCTCACACGAGCGTCGAAGAATATCCTCTCACCGAGAGCCCAGCAAAAATGCTCCTCATGACGGACGATCCCGACGGCGTCCTGAGCACTGTGCGCGAGGCCCAGGCCTCAGGAGCCTTGCCGAGTGGGCTCGCGTCGATCCGCGGCTCGCCGCCGTTCTTCGTCGAGATGCTTGGACAGGGCGTCTACAAGGGCTCGGGCCTCGCTAAGTTATGCGAGCGGCGCGGCGTCGCCATGGCGGACGTCGTAGCCTTCGGCGATGGAGAAAATGACGTAGAGTTCGTACGCGACGCGGGCCTCGGCGTCGCAATGAAAAATGGAAGGGACGCCGTCAAACAGGTTGCCGGCCGCGTAACTGCACGGACGAACGCCGAGGACGGCGTCGCCCACGAACTCTCGATGTTGCAGGCGGAGGGCGTCCTCCCCCAAAGAAACTAAGTCTATCACATGTTGTCACTTATTTCATCGGGTGGCTCTTCTTGGAGGAGGAAAACCACGAACCCTTCGGCTTCGGCGGCGCTTCAGCGGGCGCCTGCGTCGGCGACGCGGACCGCGCCAGGTCGGCCGTCGAGACGCGCTGCTGCCGAGCCGACATGCGGAGGTCCTCGATCTCGGCGGCAGACGTCGCGACAGCCATCTTTGCCTCGCAGAGCGCGTCCTTGAGGTCCTCGATCTCGTGGTTCGCCGCGGCCAGCTCGCGCTCCTGCTGCTTCACGCGCTCGACCGTGTCGGTGTCGACCTCGCCCCGCCTACTATTCACGGACGCCCGCAGGGCATCCAGCTTGCGCTCCCGCGCCGTCAAGTCCTGGGCTCTACGTTCCGCCGCGTCGGCCCGGTCTTCGGCCACCCGTAATCTATCTCTCAGATCCGCGTCGCCACCAGCTTGAGCTAGCTGATCAGCCAACGTCACCGCGTCCGCATCGGCCTGGTCCGCGCGTTGCGTTTCCTCTTCCAACCTTTTCCTGAGAGCGGCCACTTCGCCGGACCCGAACTCTATCGCCTTGAGGCGCTTCAACTCATCGCTCTTCGATTGAAGCTCCCTTTCCAACTGAGAAAGCCGTCGCTTCGTAGGACCGTTGGAATCATCTGAGGACGGCGCCGCGTCCAATTCCCTCCTTAATCTAGCCTCCGACGCCCGCAGCCGCTCCACTTCCTCCCGCAACCCACCGCCCGCGTCGAGCTCGGAGACGAGCTGCCGTTCTCGGTCGTCCCGCCTCCTAGCCTCGCGCGACGCCTCCGCCGTGGCGTTCGCTAGTTTGGCCACGAGCGAATCCCGCTCCGTGCTCAACTCGTGGGTCAGGTCCTGCGCCTTGCGGGCCTTCTCCCTTGCCTCTTTCAGCATGCGCGAGTCGTCGGACGTGCCCCGCCGCAGATCATCCGCCTCGGCGCGCGCCTCCCTTTCGGCATCGCGCGCGTCGTCGACGGCCCGCCGCAGCCGCAACGCCTCCTGCTCGAGGTCGTCGTTCTTCCTTGCTAAGTCTCGTTCCGCTTGGATCCGTTCCGTCGCCTCCCTTCTCAATCGAGCGCTCTCGTCTCTATCAACACCTCGAGCCTCGTCTCGTAGCCGTTCTACTTCCCTACTCAGATCTCTCTCTGTCGCCTTCCGCTGGGCCAGCTCGCGCTGCAAATGCTCGGTCCTAGCCTCCAAGTCTTCGACAGACGCCGCCGCGGCTCTGAGTCGATCGACCTCGACCTCGAGCTCTTTGGCCGCGAGCTCCGCGGATAATGCTCTATCATTAGATTCGCTTTCCTTCGAAGATCTCTCTTTAAGTAACGAAGCGTGCTCGCCGCGCAGCCGCTGGACCTCGACCTCCAGCGCGGCGCGGTCCGCCGCCGCGACGCGCAACCGTCCGATTTCGCCCTCTAGTTTTTTAAGGTGCTGTTCCCTTTCGACCGTTTCATTGATGTGGCGCTCCTTATCAGCCGCTCGCGCCGCCGACGCATCCCTCAATGAACGAGCCTGCTGCCGCAAGGCCTCGACATCACTTCTCAACCGATCTATTTCAACTTCAGACTCCTTCTTCGACAGCTCATTTTCTTTGATCGTAGCCGCTAAAGCCTCCTCCCTTGCCGCGGCGTCGGTCAAGGCGACCCTATTCTGCTGCCGCAAGTCATCTAAGTCTTGCCTCAGAGCTTGGACCTCCTCGGCCTCCCCTACCACTCCCGACGACCGTCTTCGCTTGACCTCATCCCTCAAATCCCTTAGTTCCTCTTGGGACGCTACTCTATCATAGGCCTGGCCGCTCCGCTCCAGAGCGGCATCCGTAGCTCTATGTAAAGCTCTTTCTGCTTGCCTCAAGCGTTGCTCGAGGTCGGAAGGCGCCCTTTTCTGAACGCAACATTTCTTGTGCTTGAATGGCGTCCCTTCTACTTGTCTCGAGGTCGTCTTCGAGTTTGAGGGTTTGCATGTCCCGCGAGAGACTCGGCCGGGGCCGCGTCGCCAGGCGCTCTAGTTCAATCTGGGCCGCGTCGGCGCGCTTCCTTTGAGAATCGACGTCCGCTTCCAGAGCTTTGCACTTGGCCTCCAGACGGTCTGTTTCTATTTTAGTGAGCTGCGTGCTTCGCAACGCGTCGTCATCCCTACGCCGCTGCGCGTCCCGTCGCGCACTTTCGAGCTCCCTTTTTAGTGCATTGACCTCGCCGTCGCGCGACCCTCTGCCCGCTAAGTCAGCCTCAAATTCGTCCGCGCGCTGGCGCTGCCGGTCTCGCTCGTCCGCGACGGTTCTCAACCTAGAGTCCAGGTCGCGGCAGCGCTGTTCAGCAGTGTCCGCTCTGGAACGTAATAGCGTCGTATCCCGCTCGCGCTCCCTCTGCAAATCCTCATTTGACTCCTTTTGCGACCGCAACGCGTCGTTGTCATTCCGCGCGGCATTTAATTTTTGCTGGAGGTCCTTCACTGTTCTTTCCGCGTCGTCCAGGCGGGACACGAGGCCGCCGCTCGCGTCGGCGCCGGCGTCGCGCGCCCTTTCTGCTTCCCGTACCCGCCTCCTAGCCTCTGTCACTTCTTCCTTCTGGCGCTGCAGCTCCAACTGTAGGGCCGCCCGTTCCCGCGCCGCGTCGGCCAGACTTTCATCTCTATGACGCCGCGTTTCCACCAGAGAGGCTTCTAAAGCAGCCACGTCGTGACCATTATTGTCGAAGCCGTTCGTGCCAACAGACTGGGGCGAGCCCAGCCCGCGCGCGGCGTGCAATTCCCGCTTGTAGGTGCGCGCCGCCTTCCTCGCTTTATCAAAGCGCTCCCTCAAAGCTTCCGACGTCGCGCGCCAGGCCGCGGCGTCGTCGCGCGCCGCGGCGACTCTCTCGGCGGCCGCTCTTAATTCGGCGTCCGAGTGGGCTGCGGCCTCGCCCGCCCGTCGGGCGAAGACCGTCTGCTGACGCCGTTCGTCTTCTAGGGCTCTTTTGAGCTGGAGCACGTCTCGCGCCGTGGCCTCGAGCGTCTCTCGATCATCCCGCGCTTCGGCTAAGCCGCCCTCCAGGATGTGGATGCGTTTCTCGGCGGCCGCTAACGCGTACGCGCGCGCCTCGGCGAGGGCTTCGGCCTCGCTCGTCGCGTTCCAGGCTAATTCCAGTTCGGCCTTGAGGCGGGCCGTCATTATCTTGTTTTTTGCTCGCGCTCAGCACTGTTCCTTTGACCCAGACTGTTTCCCGCTCCTTGACCCGAAGCGCTGGGCTCTCTCGCTTCCGAGCGGATCAGAGCCACTGCAGCTGCACCTTTCCGGCTCCCACTCTGTGAACGGTCGGCTATATCGGCCAATCCTGCTTTTTGATGATACTGAGCTAGCGGACTGTAAGACACTAGCCAGCAGCCTTTTTTGGATGCGTTGGCGGCCATACGCAGCCTTGTGCGAGCAAACGGCTGTGTAGCATCAATTCGAGTCATTATTGACGGCGGCGACCGCCCAGCGCAGCTGCAGGCGCACTCAGTGAGCGAGCCTCTGAGAGCTAGGCAGCCAAAACATGCCCGCGACGAACGCCGTCCTCCACGATAAGCGTTATTCGGCGGACGGCATCTTCTGCGAGCCGCCGAAGAAGCTCGAGACCGCCGCCGCGGCGGCCCCCGCGCAGAACTCGCAGAGTCAATGGAACACGAACGACTACCACTGGGAGGAGCGCGACGCCACGGACTTCGCGCGCCAGGCTATTTCTGATCGACTGCTCGGAGACAGAACGATCTGGAGCGACGCGAACGGAAATATTCTGGAAATCACGGCCGTCGAATTGACCGGCGACGCGGCGTCGAACGTGCGGAAGGGCAAGCGCATCCTCACCTACTCCCTTAAATTAAAGGTGACGTGCGAGGGCTGCCGTAATGGGGCGAGATTGCGCGGCGTCTTGGAATCTGTTGAGTTCTGCCACGACGACGACGCGAGGGAGGTCGTCGTAAACCTGGCCACGGAGCCGATGGAATCAGACGCGGGCGTGGAAGTCAATAGGGCCATGAAGGCCCACGAGATGTTCGCGCGGGTCTTGAAGAAGAAGGCGCTGCCGCTCGTCGAAGGAGGAGGCGCCTGGCTGCGGGACCACCTCGCGGAGCACCGGGGGTAAGAATAACTGTGTTTTACGACGTCGTGCACCCGCACGAGGGCATGCGCGCAAGTCATCGCTAGCGGCCTGTAAGACACTAGCAAGCTCAAGCATCTCCTGGCCCGTGCTGAAAAGGCTGCCCCGCGGGGCGCATAGACGTGGTCCGCCGTACCAACGCACGGGCGCATTGCATATTCCACCATAGCAACTACTCCCACAGGATGGACGCGCAGCAGCGCAGGGACGCCTCGCTCTCCATGCTGGAGAATGCCATCATCCTGCTCGAGGGCCAAGAACTGGGAGGGGAGCGCACACGACTAAATGAAGCAAGGGAGCGCCTCGGCCGCCTCGTCGACGCCGCCGCCGCGCCAACACGCGACGACAACGACGACGCCGACTCGCCGCGCGCCGAGGCGCGGCCGGCGTTGGACACGAAGACGTCGATGCGCAGACGGCAAAGGTCGGACCTGAGCCTCGCCCAGGGCGACAGCATCCACGTCGCGGCGAAACACGTCCCCTTCATGGTCCGGCCCGGATCTAGATACAGAATATGGTGGGACGTGACCACAGCAATCTTATTAGTATACGTGGCCATCGCGGAGCCGTTTGTCGTGGTCTTCGCGCCCGCCTTCGCGCAGGAGGCTAGTTACAAAGGCTGGGAGTGGTTCATGGACTCCTTTTTCGTATCTGATGTGCTCCTGAACTTCCGGACGGGGTATGTGGACGCGAACGGCGTCGAGGTCCTCGCGCCGAAGGAGTGCGCTCTGCACTACGCGAAGACGTGGTTCTGCCTCGATTTCGTGTCGTGCTTGCCGTTCTTCCTGCAGTTCTCGTCGGCCCGCGTGTCGGCCCTGCGCGCGGCCAAAATTTTGAAGCTGGGACGGGTCTTCAAGACCTTCAAGGTTTTCAGGCTGGACAACTTCACGGACAGCGAATGGATCGAAGACTTGATCCATGGCGTGAAAGCACGAGTCGCGGGGAAGGTCGCCAAATTAGTGCTATTGACGGGCTTACTCTCACATTACATGGCCTGCGCCATGTATTTAAGTGGAGAAGGCTATTTACAAAACTACTGGGACAAGGAGTGCGACAAAACTGTATGTGATTGGCGCGGCGCGAAGGAGTGGCCCGCGCGGCGCAAGTACCTAGTCTGCTTCTACTGGTCCATCACGACCATTTCAAGTGTGGGCTACGGCGACATCCTGCCGCGGTCGGACCACGAGCGCGTCTTCACGGTCTTCGCGATGCTCCTAGGAGGCGCTTTCTACGGCTACGTCATCGGAGAAACGGCAGCAATCGTCACGAAATTCGATGCCAATCACGCGGAACGCTTCCAGAAGCTCGACGCGATTCGCGCGTGGATGGACCACCACCACTTCCCGCGGGCATTGCGACGTAAAGTACGAAGATCCTACAAGATCTACTTCGCGAACCACATGGCCCTCGACGAGGGCGCCATCATCAGGGAGCTCGAGCCGCAGTTGCAGGAAGAAATAGCTGAGGTATTACTGCCGGCGGTGGTCCGTAATGTACCTTTGTTGCGAGGCTTACCGACGGGCGCAAAAGCGAAGTTCGTCAACGTGTTTCGGCGGATGCAGGTCGACCCCGACACGGCGATTGTTCGAGCCGGCGAACCTTCGAATGCGATGTTCGTCATCGTCTCCGGCAAGTGCTCCGTGTCGTCCGGTTCGAAGCACGGGGCCTTTCGGGCGGTGTCGGCCGGCCCGGGCGACGCCTTTGGGGAGCATGCACTATTAGGTTTGAGGCAGACTTCTAGAGTCACGGTGACGGCGCGGACGCCGTGTTTGCTCATCGTGTTCCCCGAGGACAAGTTCCGGCACGAGTTTTCTGAATTACCGGAGGTCGTCGATCAACTCCGGGCCACTGCTAGAGAAATCCATTCGGACATCCTCCACCCGCCGTCCTCTCATTCTCTGGTGACAGAGCAGCGGTACACGATGAAGGGCACGCTCGGCGCGCTCGAGGAGATCCGGACGCCGGCGAACGCCAGTCGAAGTCTACCACCACCGTCGTCATAATACTATATATGTGTGAGTTAGGCCACGAACGCGAGCAGCGCGACCGCCGCCGCGCCTACCGCAGGACTCATGCGGCCCGCCGCGTCCGACTCCGGCGCAGCCGTCGGTTCCATCGTCTGCGCCGTCGGCGCCTCCGTCGCGGCGGCGCGGGCCTCGAGGTCGGAGTTAAATTTCTTGAGCGCCGCGGTATTGATCTCGGGCAGATTACAGGTGTTGGCCACAGCCGCGAACGAGGCGTTGTGCAGGTCCGATCGCATCGCCAACGAGGCGAAACCAAAGGAGTCACCCCCATGCCCGCGCCAGTCTCCCGGCACGCCGTAATCGAAGAACCATGGGGCACGACGACCGTGAACCGGTAGGCGTCTATTTTCTTCCGATCTAATTTCGCGTTGCCCACGGGGCCGAACCCGGCGAGCCGCATGAACGGCGAGTTCGGGTCCGAGTCACCACATAAACCTAATTTGAGCGTCCTCCAGTCGCCCGACGTGTCGTCGAGGACACCATCTAAAATACTGGCGTAGGTCTCCCTATCGGCAAAGCCCTGGACGCCGGCCGTCGCGCAGATGCGCGGTAGAGGAGCGTCCAAACCACATTCACTTGCGTCGCCGACGGCCATAACCAACCGCGCCACGCCTGGCCGCGCCGGCGCCTGGAGGATGCGGTACTCGAGTTTTAGATAGCTGGCCTCGGCGCAGGGGTAGTTTCCTTGTCCTAAGAGCCGGCCCGCGTAGGGAAAGCCCGAATACATCTCGAGGTGGTGCGAGCTGTAGTCGAGGCGGACGCCGTCGCTCGTTTCTGTGACTTCCGTCGTCGACACGGGCGGGACTTGCGACGTCAGCGTGAACATGCCCTCCGTGGTGTTAAAGTCGTCGACGACGTGCGAGGTGGCGGCCGCGGCCCGCGCGGTCGCGGCGCAGAGCAGCGCGCGGATGATGCGGGGGCACATCGTCGATCCTCAGATCGGGGCAAGGGCGTCGAGCGTCTCGCCTCGGCGTCCTTGCAGACTTCCCTGAGAAGCTGGCCTCAGAGTTACCTTTGCAGGGCTCGTTCCTGAGCGGGGTTTCGCCGCCTGGCTCAGGTTGTGAGAATCATGTCCCGATTGCCGTTTTTTTCGCGTGGCGCTGGCGGGTTAGCGACCGCCTGACTTTTAATCGGTAAAATGGCCTTGATCCTAAAAACTGATTCACGGGTTTTCCAGGCTGGTGATGCTCGTTACCCACATGAATGCATTTGAGGAAGCGTAACTAGTGTATTTTCTATCCCAGCACTCCCAGCTATCGTGCAGATGCGGGTTCTGGCAGCGCTACTCGCGTGCAGCGCTTGCACCGGCTGGAGCCCACAGCTAGCGCTCAAGCACCGCGGCGCGCGCCGCGCCACCGATGCCCATCACAAGCACCCTACAGCGCTACACGCCACCGATGCGGACTGGCAGGAATTCTGGGAGGATCTCGCCGCCAGACCCGAAATTCGTGACGCGTGGCGGCGCGCGCCGTGCGTGCTCAAAGGAATAGCGCCAGCCGACGCGCTCACGCTCGAGGCACTCACCCAAGCCGTCGACGCGGACCCGTCGACATTGGATGATGCGGCGCGCGTGGCCCACGGCGCGAGCCAAGGGTGGACGAACGTCGCGCTCGACGACGACGCCCGACCGAGCCGACGGCTGCGCGCGTCGTCATCGAAGGCGAGCGTCCTTTTAAATCATGGTGGCGTGGCGTTTCCGTCGCTACTCGGAGGCGCCTGCCGCGCGGCCTTGGACGCCTTCGAGCAGCCCGTAGGGTTGAATGTCTACTTGACCGGAGAGGATGTGGAGAAGGCTGCCCCAGCACACACGGACCGCCAGGAGGTCTTCGTGGTGCAGTGCGCCGGCGCGAAGCGGTGGCGCGTCTTCGCGTCAGCCTCGGCGTAGACATCAAATTTTCTAGGCCCCGCCTCGATGGCGTGGCGATTCTGATATTTCTCGCGCAGGCCGCCTCACCCACCGCTCAATCCGTCGGCGGACCCGTTTGCACGCGGCAAGGGCGACGACGTCCTGGACGAGCGTTCGATCGCGTGCATGCTCGACGTCGCGCTCGAGGAGCGGGATCTTCTGTACATCCCGGCGGGCTTCCCGCATTCAACAGCGACGGCGAATACGTCCTCGCTGCACCTCACGTTCGGGATGGCGCCGACGTCGAATTTTGGGTTGTCCCTCGACAGCCTGAGGATCGCGGCGCGCGGCCGGCGGACGGCCTACGACCCGCTGGACGACCCGGAAATGCTCCGCGAGGTCGCCGTCGAGATATATCGAGTGTTCGACGCGCCGCTGCCGCTCGGCCGCTTCCTTGGCGCTGATGGAGACTTCCGGGAGGCATGCCGGGGGCGCCTGCGGGAGGCGCTCGCGCTCGAAGGTCCGCTCACGACGTTCCGAGCGAACTTGGAAGATCCAAGTGATGATGCTATCGATGCCGCCGCGGACCGCGTGCAAACGCACCACGCCGCGGTGCTGGACGAGATGCGCCGCGCCTACGCGCTGGGCGACGCGCGGCCGGCGTCGGCGCGCGTCGCCGACCACATCGACCGCCTTGGGGGGTTGGTGGACGCGCTCTGGAACCCGCAACTAGAAAAACTGCGGGCGAAGATCGCGTCCGCGACGGTGGTCGACCGGAGGCGGCCGGGCTAGGTAATATATCTGCGAGTTTAGTAGGAGAGGGACTTCAGCGGAAGGGGAGATCAGCTTTGGGTTCAGCGAGCGCTCGCGCGCTCCAGCTAGATGGGTACCAGCATGTACGCATCCGTGGGAAGTGAATTGTCAGACGGCGTCGCCGGCGTGGCCACCGACGCGAAGTGTCAGACGGAGTTGGCGGCCACGGAGAAGACCGAGTCGGACGTGTCCGCGGCCACGGAGACTGTCTTCTCCGAGGGTAGATCGGACAGCGCGCCGTCGCCGGTGCCGTCCGAGGGCGCCGACGACGCGCCCAGCGTCGAGTCGGGCGACTTGGCGTCCCCGATGATCCCCTCCATGGCCCGCAGCGACGCCTCGGTGCCTTGCCGCTCGCGCTCGCGCCGTTGTACGGCCTCGCGCGCGGCCAAGAGCTCGTGGACGAAGAGGGCCCCTATCAACAGCAACCCACCAGCTAATGTGAAGGGCCCCGGTTTTTCGTTGTAGATGAGGAAGACCCAGAGCGGGCCCAGCACCGTCTCCAGCAGCGAACATAAGGACACCTCCGCTCCTGTTATATACCTAGGTGCTATGGAAAAGGCCACGAAGATTCCCGCGATGGCGAACCCGTCTAACGCCATGCATAGATAAAACAATCCTGGAGACGAGACCTTGGGCACGATGCAGTCGCCCGTGACCAGCGTCGACAGGGACACCAGGACGAACGCGGCCAATGCACCAACAGTTGTTGCGAACGTGATCGGCACCCGCGGCCGCTCGCGCGCCGCGTGCCGCACAATGATCAAGTAGACGGCCACGGCCACGCCCACGTAGATCGCCGCGAGGTCGCCCCAGGGGCTGCCTTCCCGGCCTTTCTTGGTAGCGAGCTCGGGCCCAAACACCATGGCGATGCAACCCAAGGCAAAAATGCACGTGACGATGGTCCTTCTAGGTAAAACGTCTCCTAGGAGAGCGCATCCGAGTATCGCGCTCCACAGCACATTCAGCGAGTACCAGATCATCACTCGAGCCGCCGCGATAATTAAGAAGGCCAGAGAGAATAAAACATCTAGCGAGATCTGCAGTCCCACCGCGGCCCAGAAGTGCTTCGGGCCCGTCTTGATGCGCTCATACAGTGATTTGACGACGCCTTCAGGTGGTGCGCTCTTCTTCTCAACATAAAAAACCCACGCGCACGTGAACCAGAACACGAAGAAGAACTTCCAGAAGAGGATGGAGGCCGTGTTCGCTCCTTGCGTCTGGGCCCACCTTAATAACACGGCGTCGGGCGTGACACATAAGACGCCCGCGGCGGCGATGGAGACGCCGCGCGCGCGGTCGGAGAGCTGGACCATTTTTTATGTAGATGAGCAGGCGCGCGCTGCTCGGCTGCGCGAGAGCGCTGGACAGCTGCGCGGCAGCCGGGGCGCGCTCGCGTCGCGCGCTGGTTGGCTCCGCCGGCAACTAAAAGGTTTGTGTCGTGCGTTTGCGCGCGTTTTCGACGTGGCCTCAGATTTTTTGTCTCACAGCCTTTCTCTTGCCGCTCGCGGCTCGTCGTGCCATGATCTTTATTCTGCCGTGTCAGCGTTCAAGTCTCCGAGGCAAAAGTTAAGTCTGTTTCACGACCCCCCCCTTTCCCGAGGGATAAGGTACCGCGTTTTGAACGCGAGAGCCGCAAGACGTGCGCGGGGCCGCAATATTTTGAGCTTGCGCGTGTGTGCCACTGCTCAAATTAGCCGTAGAGACAGCAGAGAAGCGCAGCACCGCCGCCTCTCGCCTAGACGTCGTGAAACCAATAGTACAGCAGCCGCGCACCGCGGGAGCGCGCGAGTCACGATGGACGCCAACGACACCCTCGCGCGGGTCCGCCAGACGCTGCCGGCCCTGAGCCACCCGCTGCGCGCCGTCCGCCGTAGGGCCCTCCAAAACGTGAAGTCGAAGCTCGAGATGGGCTTAGTTCGTTTGAGCGACTTACCAGCCCACGACGTCGTCGCGCACTCATTGACGCTAGCGGAGCATGAAGTGAATGAACCGACCGTCGAAAGTCTGAACACGGCCATCGCGTTGTTATTGGCCGTCGTCGAGACGCACGGGGCGGGCGCCGCTGCTTTAAGGAGCTGCGACGGCGTCGCGCGGCTCGAAGCGTTAAGGGAGCGCCTCGACGTCCCTTCCAGAGCGGTCGAGGACTTATTAGCCGCTGCTTTAAGGACGCCCGGCGTGCTGCCCGAGACGCCAGTACCACCGCCGCGCCAGCCGAAGTTCTCGCCCGTGGAAGTCACGAGGCAGGAATCAGACGTGGAGGAGGAGGAAGAGGAGGAGGAAGAACCAGAAGTGGAGGAGGTGGTCACCGATAGGGCGCGGCTCGAAAAAGGCTGGCGCCCGGCGGCGCCGGAACTCTGTAGGGCAGATGAAAGGAGAGTTCTGGACATCGAGAAGCGCGTCGAGGAGGCGACGCAAGCTTTAGGGTCGCGACGAGGCGACGCGGCCGCCTCTGCGAGGGCGGCGGTCGTCCTCGCGGCTCTCAGAGATAACGCGGCCTCCGACCTGCCCGCGGCCGTCTGGCTCGAGCGACCTAGAGTATTAGCGTGCTTGGTGACCATCGCGGCCTCACCAGCATCACCGGCCAACGACCGCCCCGCGCGGTTCGTGGAGCAAGTCCGGCGGGACGCGTTAGATGCTCTCGCATCCATACTAGAAAAGCTCTCTCATTATGATTGCCCCCTGCAGTGCGACGCGGCGTCGGCGTGCGAAGCGCCGCCCATCCACGCGCGGACGGACGACGAACGTTTACTACTTGATGCTGCACTGGAAACGTTCAAACGCCGCCACCCGAAGCGTTTAGGGCATGTTGTCGTGCCGGACGACGACGACGAGACCACAGCCGATCCATTAAGAAGGAGCGCCCACCGCGACTCTCCGTTGTCGCTAGGTGGGGCCTGCGGCGCTTGCCTAGAAGCGGCAGCTCCTTTGTTAGCTTCCAACGATGCTAGAACAAGACATCTAGCAGGACGGGTCTGTATGGCATCAGTGCCGTTCGTCGTCGAGCCCATTACTCTACAGAAAACGTCTGCAGCGTTGTCACGTTCTAGAGTCGCGCGATGTTTACATGCGCTCGATGCGGCCGCGGCGTCGTCTGGCGACGCTCTGGTGGAACGATTGGCCGCGTCTCTGTTAGCTGGTCTAGCAAGGAGACAAGCGCACGTCCCGCCTCCCGCAAATTTGAGGAGGCGCGCGCGACTACGCGTCGTGGACGCTGCCAAACGTGGAGACGCTCTGAGACCTGCGTTGGCAGTACTCGGCTTCGTCGGGAAGGATGAATTGAGGGCGGCAGATAAAGCGCATAATGCTGCATTAGATGGGGCGGCGCCCTTGCTATCCGCTTTATTGAGGGGCGACGCGTGGTCCGGAGATGGTTCGATGCTAGCGTCGCAGTGCCGCGCGTCACTAGATGTGGTGTTATCGTTACCGGACGAGCGCCCGTCGTCGCAGATGACCATGGTCGACGCGCCGTTGCCGCCGGAAGCGCGTGTGCGAGCCTCAAATGTCCTCATGCCCGATAACCCGCCTTCAAGAGCATCAATAGGAGAGGACTGCGCCGCGTGCTGCGTGTACGCCTGGTCTCGCCTGCCGGACGCACAACTTAGTGGAGTGGTCCTTTCCTTATTACAACGGTTCAACACGAGGAGAGCGGCCACGGAAGCGTTACTAGCGGAAACAGCCCCAGCATGCGTCGCGCCGCCCGACGCGTCCATCTGGGCCGCCGAAAACTTAATGAGGCCGGACCCGGGCCGCGCCGCGTACCGCCTGGCCTCTTCAGATTCACCGTGGCGCGCTCAAGTGTTGAGGCAGCGACTCTTGTCGGACGAAGCGTCTACGATTCGGAGGTGGCTATGTAGGGTCGGCGCCTTCGACCAAGACGAGCGGTGCCGCGCGGCCTCCAGACAACTAGTCCGGGACGCGGCGGCTTTATCTCCCAGGGGAGCGTTCTCCGGCGAAGACGCCCCCTATTTGGAAGCGCAAGGTTTGAGAGGATTGTGCGCCGGCTCGAATCCCATTTCATCGCTAGCGCGAGCGTTATTTGCGAGAGAACAGGAACCGCGCCGGCAGGCGGCTTTAGAACTGTCCCAGAGATTAGATGTTCGCGCGAGCGCACCGGACGTTCTAGTGGAGGCGGAACTTTCCCAAAGAGACGCATCCGACGAATTTATTAAGAGAAGCGTCGAGCCGGAACAGCTCGACTTGCTAGCAAGGGCGTACGCGCGATGTGCCGCATCGTCTGACTTCCTGCCGAGCGAGGTCGCCGCCCGAGAACTACGGGACGCTCTACTAGCTTATGACGGCTGTCTGGACGCGTCGCCAGATTTAGCGGCCGCGGCGGCGGCGGCGGCGGGCGCGCTCGGAGATCAGCCTTTTGGCGCGCGGGCCCGAGCGGCGGCTCGAGTCTTACTTGGGTTATGTTGGCGATTACCGGCTTTGCACGAGGGCTCGCTGCTTGATCTGGTGCTCCGGGCGGCGTTTGTGGCACCTGAAGATCATGACGGCATGTGGGACGACCGCGGCGCGCGGGCGTGTCTCTTCGCGTGCGCGTCTGCGATTGCCTTCAGCGACGGCGAGGCCTACGCTTCTTCGGAAAAGCCCTTCGACGCGAATCTGGGCGAGGTCTTCGCGCCCGTTGGTCAGAGCTGCGGCTCGAAGCTCGCCTGGCGCCTCGCTTCATCAGATGAGTCTCCTGAAACGACGCCATCAAAAGCGGCGGGCGCGGCCGCCGCGCGGTCCGCGCTGGCGGCCCTGGCGAACGGTGGCACTTCCACCGACCAAAGTGTCGAGCAGCTGCTGGAGAAGTGCGCGTCGGCGACTTCGAGACGAGAGTATGACGACGCCGTGCACGGCCTACTCTCAGCGTTAGTTACGGATAGGCACCACGCCACGAAGACCATCATCGAACGGGACTGGGCGCGCGCGTTTGAAAGGCCTTTAAGCGTCCAGCCGCGAGGCAGGAAGGAACGTAGGTCTTTGAGGGCTACATTAGGTGTCCTCGACGCGGTCGCGTCTTCCTTAGATCCGTTAGATGCTAGATGGAGGGATTTGGCACAATCAACTTGTGAGGTAGTAGCACCAGCGGGATTACAGGGCGAAAGCGACGGCTTACCCAGTACCACATGCGCCTTCCTCGCGACGTTGTGTCAAAAGGCGCCGCGCTTCGCCCTCGACTCGAACGACGCCGAGCGACTCCTCATACGATTATTAGATAAGGGTCCATTGCACAACGCACCAGCGAAGGACACGGTCGCGGCGGTCACGGCCGCGACGCTATTGCTCGACCGCCTCGCGCCGAACGAGTATGTGGTCAGGAGGAGACTCGCGGAGACCTTCGTTAGATTATGTGCGCCGACGGCGTGCTCGCCCCCGGACTCCTTTTTTGGGAGGAACGCTTTGGTGAGTGCTTTGCGCGGATTGAGAAAGCTGGGAAAGCAAGCTCGCCAAATAGCCGCGTCGCCGTCGTCACCACCAGCGTACTTCGACGGCGACATTCTCGGCACGCCGAACATGGTCTGGCTCTCTAGATTATTATGCGACCGCGGTGCAGAATGCAGAGCCGCCGCGTATCTGTTGGCCGCGGACTGCGCGTCGTTTGACTTCGGCTATGATTTACTGGTCAGAGAAGGAGACCCGCTGGACGCGGCCCACCTCGCGGGACGGTGCGCGTCGGACGTCACGGAGGCGGCGTGCGTGCGCGGCGCGGCCTGCACGTTACTGGCGGCGTTAGTGACACCGTCGAGGCGAGAGGCCCACGCCGCGAACGCCTCGGAACGGGCGTTGCGAGCCTTGAGTGAAGACAACAAGAAAGACCCCGCCTTTTCGGCGGGAGCCTGCCACCTCGCGCTGGCCTTAACCGTGGCGCCGGCGCCGTCGCAACGGCCGGAGGCGGCGGGCTACGCGCCCCTCAAGGAAAGCGTGGCGCGCCACTGCTCCGTACTAGCGAGCGTCGGGGGCGTCAACCGCAAGCAGGCCTGCGTCTTGGCCACGAAAGCATCCGAAAGGATCGGCGAGATCAAGATCGACGCGCAGCACCTCGCGACGCTGGGCCTGGTGCCCCAGACCATCGCCACGGCCGACCTAGGTACGTGGCGCCACGCGCTTAGAGGTGGTGTTCCTAGTGGAGACGGCTTGCCATCCATAGCGGCGCAACGACTTGTGGACGGTGCTCTGAAGAGTGCGGACGCCGCGAGTGCGAGGGCGTGGCGGGCGTTACGCGCGTTAGTGACCTTACATCGAGGCCGGGACGCCGTCTTAAGCGCCGACGGCGTGGCCAAGTGCGTCCAGTGCGTGGCCGGCGCTTCCGTTAGAATCGCTGCTGGTGAATCAACGGCTACGGTGGCCTTCTCGGAGGCGGCTGAGTGCCTCTCTATATTAATCGCGGGCGACGTCGACGCCCAAGGCGACGCGCTGCGGGCCTCCGATGCTTTAGGTGTGGACGGCAAGTTTCCCCTCGTCGTCGCGGCGGCGTGTGCTACCATTATTGCTTCCAAAACTTCTGGAGCGACAATCGCAGCAGCAGCCAGAGCGGCGCACGCCGTCGTGGCCGCGCCGCGGTGGCGGCGCGCGCTCGACGAGCCTCGATTAGATGCGCTCGGTGCGGCGCTCATGCGACGCGACGCGCAGCGCGTGGCGTCGGCGCCCTTCGAGGGGCCCGACGAAAATAGTGACGCTTCTGAAGCGGACGCGGCCTGCGGCGCCGCCTTCGCCGCGGTGCTGGACGCGTCGCCAGCATGTAGAAAGCGCGCGCGGACAGACGGCTGTTCGATTGAGAGACGGTTGGTAGCCTTGGCGAACGCCGCCGAGCTCTCTACGAGCGGCGGCCACGCCGAGTCGCACCCGGTGCAGACCGTTGATCAAAAGGCTTGCAGGACGGTCGCGGCCCACGCGAGGGTTGTTGCAGCATCTTTGAGAAGAGGCGCGCGGGACGACGAGGACTTCCGCGAGATGAATTTGGCCGCGCTCGCGTCGACCCTACGCAAGGCCTGGCCCTTCGTCAAGGCCGCCTCGACGCTCGAGGACGAGACCGGCGGCCCGGGCGGCGACGCCCTCGACGCCCTCAACAGATGCGCGTTAGCATTGGCCAACGCCGGCGACGAGGGTTGTGTTGCTGTGGCGGCATCGGACTCGTCCAAGAAGGTCAGAAGGGCGGCGGGCGACCATTCGTTGGCGAGATGCCTGATGGACTCGGCCGTGAGAGGTGAACTAGCCATCAGCCCGGCCGCGGCGCGCGACGCCGACGCGACGGCTTTAGTGGTCTCAAAGAGATGCGCCGTCGCTTGTGCGGCGTTAGCGAAACTCGCCCAGGCGCCCTGTAGAGGCGCGGTGATCCAGGGCGGCTTCGTCAAGGATTCTGTGGTGGCCTTGCGGCGGTTAGCCGCGGCAGCACATGCGCCGGCCTCGCGCGTTTCTTACACTGTACGATCGTCTAGAAACGCGCGCGCCGAAGCGCTCCTGGGGACCTTGGTCAGTGCGACGATGTATCCTGACGCGCAACGCGCGTTGCTGGACGAGCCGCAGACCGCCGAATTGCTCCTGGACTTGTGCCACTACTACGGCGCGCCTCAAACCAGATCATACAGTTCTCCCGGTGGTGTCGATTATACGCCGACGCGGGAACCGTTATATCCGGGCGCGCGGGCGCGGACGGCGTCTTTGTTGAGAAATCTGGCGTTGCTGCGGCGGAACAAGGGCCGCATCCTCGCGCAGCCGCCCCTCGTGTCCTTCTTACTGGACGCGCTGCGGGCGCCGCCGGCCGTCGTCTCGGCGTCCGCCACTGCGTTGTGGGCCCTCGTGCACCACTCGGAAAAAGCCAGGGGCCTCGTCAAAGCTGATGGGTTGCGCGCCGTCCACGCGGCGGCGCGCGCGATCGATGATCAGACGGCCTTTTCCCGAGGTTCGGGCGAGGACGCGCATCATTTGAGAGGTGCGCAGCGCGCTTTGGCGCATTTGCGCGCGATCCTGGCCGAATGACTCCCCTTTCCCCACCTCACTGATAAGTAGGAATTACACGACTCCCAGCGAGTTCTTCCGCTCCATGAAGTCCTCATCGTCATCAACCTTCTTCGAGGGGGCCGAAGCGCCCCAGGAGACGATCCAGCCCATTCGGTTGCCGAACAGGTTCAGCTTCCTGAGAATATCAAGGGGCAGCACTAATGAAGCCCAAAAAGCACAAACCCCAACATCGTGCATCGACAGCGCTTCGGTCCCAAAAACGCGCTGCCCGAAAGCCGTGTATACTACTAACAACTGCCCAACCAAACAGCAAGCAATGGCCACGACAAACGCCTTGTTCGCAAAGACCGGCAACCGAGAAGTACCGACCAACGCCACGTCCGAGCGACAAGTCAAGGCATTGACCATGTCATAGAGCACGAAAGTCGTAAAGGTCATCGTCGTGTCGTGCCTCGTGCTGCTATCGATACCGTCCTTGGCGAATTCCGACGAGAAGACGTAGAGCGTGCCTGCCGTTACTAATGCCGCTGATGAGAGCACTCGGCGCGCCATTTTATCCGTGATGACTGGCTCGTCTCGCTTTCTTGGGGGCTGTAATTTGACTGCAGAATCACACGGTTCCACGCCCAACGACTGCGCCGGGGGCCCGTCCATGATGATGTTGATCCACAACACCTGGGTCGGGTTTAGGGGAGGTGGTAACCCAAGCACCTTTGCCCCTGCCACGATACCCAAGGCAGCTAAAGAAGTGGACAACTGGAAGGTCAGGAAGTTCCGGATGTTGTGGAAGATGGCCTTCCCTTCGTCCACCGCGGCCACAATGCTCCCGAGCTCGTCGTCGGCTAGGACGACGTCCGCCGCCTCCTTGGCCACGTCCGTACCTATCTTTCCCATCGCCACGCCGACGTCCGCCGCTCTGAGAGCTGGGGCGTCATTTACTCCATCCCCGGTCATCGCTACCACTCTTCCCGCTTGCCTTAAGAGTCGTACGACGGCCAACTTGTGTCGCGGGGACACGCGATAGAGGACAGCAACGCGCTGCACGACGGATGAGACCCGATCCGGATCTCTTCGAGGCGAGCCACAAAAAAGTGTACCTCCGGGAGTATCTTCATCGGTCAAATCGGAGGCCTTCAGGGATCCTGACGCTAATTGATCTAGTTCGGAACCTGACAGTACTAAACCGTCTCCCAATATACCTACTTTCTTCGCGATGGCGACGGCCGTTTCCCGCCCATCGCCCGTGAGCATCACCACCCGCGTGCCTCTCTCATGTAACTCAGTCACGGCCTGTAGCGCGGATTCGCGAGGCGGGTCGGCCAAGCCAACCAATCCCAACAGTTGCGTCGTCCTCCCATCAGATTTCAGCAATGCTAATACTCGTAAACCTCGAACGGCCATCTGCGAGTTCTCATCTGCCCATTTTTGCTCCGCGTCGAAGTTGAGCGACTCCAGAGCTCCTTTCACATAGGTGAACGTGCCGTTCTTGTCCTTCACGCGCACCTCCATCCTCTTACGTTCGGAGGAGAAGGCGACTTCACTGACTCGCGTCGTCCTAGATCTTCTGTCTACTACTCCTAGCTCTTCCGCCGCGGCGAGTAATGCGACTTCGGTAGGATTGCCGTGCTGGACCGTCGCGTTGGAACAAAGGCAACACGCGTCGAAGCACGCTTCGATGGAACCAGGCAATCCTAGATCCGTGCGCCATTCCCGATCCCCATCCCTCCGACACTCCCATTTCCCATCTAACGTTCTTCTCAAGGACCAAGCACCGCATTTAGCCTCGGCGACCTTCATCGAACCCTGCGTGAGCGTGCCCGTTTTGTCGCAGCACAGGACGTCGGCACAGCCCAGTGCTTCGACAGCCGGCAGTCTTTTCACGATCGCATTTCTCTGGGCTATTCTCATCACACCTAACGCTAGTGTTACAGCGACGCAAATAGGTAAACCTTCCGGTATGGCTGCTACTGCTAAAGAAACGCCGACCGTGAAGACTCCAAGTAACGATTCGCCTCGGAGTAGACCAACTAATCCTATAACGACGATGACCGCGATTGATGCGGCAGAAAGCTTCCTTCCTAGAGCGTCCATGCCCTGCTGTAGAGGGGTTCTTCCTGGTTCCAGCGACTCCAACTCTTGCGCAGCAGCTCCCACCTCGGTCTTGGCTCCGACCGTGATCACAACCGCTCGTCCTCGTCCAAAACGCACGAACGTACCCGCAAATAATATAGTGCGACACTCCGCTAGAGGCACTTGATCCGTCGTCGGTAAATCACCGGTCCAGTCCCGAGACTTCGACACGGGTTCCGACTCGCCAGTGAGCGAGGACTCGTCGACGACCAACTCCACGGCTTCTACTAACCTACAGTCCGCCGGGACTCTATCGCCGGTCGAGATGACCACGACGTCTCCTGGAACTAAATCCGCAGCGGCCACGTCCGCCGCCGGCAGGCCCGACCGCACCACTAAGCATCTAGGCGGCACCAAGCCGGCTAGAGCTTCTAAAGTTCTAGCCGAATTACTTTCCTGGATGTAGGCGATCGTCGTCACGATGAGCACGGCCACCGCTATCGAAATGGCGTCATCATATTGCCCTAGCAACGAGGAGACCACAGCGGACGCGAACAACAACAAAATCAGAGGCTCCTTGAGCTGCTCCAAAAACTTCGCGCAGGCCGTCTCCTCTTCCGTCTTGGCGAGCTCGTTCGGGCCCGAGATCTGGCGCCTCCGATCAACTTCTTGCGCGGCGAGGCCGTCGTCGGCGTGGGCGCCGAGTCGTTCTAGGGCTTCTTTCGGCCCGCAGGTGACGATGGCGCGCGTGGCTGCTCTTTCGAACTGGTCCATGGTTTTGATTCGGGCTTCGCGCCGGCGTCGTCGGCTGCGTCGGCTGCCTAGCGGTTAGCAGGGGGCCGGGCTTGCCAGGGCTTCGTCCGGCAGCGCCGGCTTCACAGCTGAGCGTTCAGGGGTCGCGGCAGAGTAGTCCGCGGGTACCCACAGGTCGCGAAACTGCCCAGCTGCTAAATTTGGAAAAAGCCCGAGGCCAAATTTTTCGCGCTAGCGTCCTGTAAGACACTAGGAATTGATTTTTATAGAGCTTGTACACAAAAAAGATTATCTCGCCCCCGGCGCGGCCTGCTCCTCCGCCTCGCGCGTGAGCTGCGCCCAGAGGTCCGCCCTATCGTCGATGTCCGGGAAAATCCAGTCCGCCTCCGCGTCCACCAGTCGCCAGGCGCCCGCGCGCACCTCTCCATCCAATTGGTTGCGGCCCCACCCCGCGTAGCCCGTCACGAAGATGGCGTCGTGGGGACGCGCGCCACTCTCAAGCAACACGCCCGCCGCCGCGTCCGCGTCGCGCCACATGTCGCCCCCCGTCAAATCTCCGTCGACGAAGGAACAGCCGCGCACGCCCTCCGGTAGATCTCCGACAACCGGCCCGTGGGCCATGCCCGGCGGCGGCCCCAAGTGGGCCCTATAGAGCATGGTCACGGCCTCCCGCGTGTCCACCGGACCGCCTCGGCCCACGAAGAACCCCCTCAAATCATCCCGTCGCTCGTCCAGCTCGACCACCCCCCGGAACTCCCGCTTGTTGATGACCAGGCCGAAGCTCCCTCGTCTATGATCGTGCTCCGTCAACAACACGACGGAGTTGCCAAATACGCCGTGCTCGATGTGCCTACTGATGAGTAACCGGCCCGCGCGGACGCCGCGAAACGGCCGTCCGTTGCGGATGATCGCCACGCGCCCGTCGCCGCGGTGCACGATGCGGATCGCGCAGAACCAGTAGACCACGATGCCGACCATCGGCGCTATGAGTACGATCGGCCGCGCCATACCCGCCGCCGTGCCTAATAAAGCCACCACAAACGTCGCCGTGTGCCTCAGGAACCACTTCGTGAAGCGCCAGCCGCGACTGGACCAGGGCTCCGCCGGCGGCGCGAGGTCGAACCGCGCGCGGCAGACGCCGCAGTACTTTGCTTTGCGGGTCCCGGCGCACGTCCGCTGCCACTTCCGCAGGCACTCCTCGTGGACGTACTTTTGGGTGCCGTCACATTTGCAGGGCGCGATGAGCTTCCCGTCCTCGGCCCCCGAGAAGCAGATGCGGCACTGGTCTCCTTCTTCTGGCTGGGCCGCGGTCGCTGCGGTCTGGCTGCGCGTCGCCGGGCGTCTACGTCTTAATGTCTCGCGCGTCTCGCGCGCTTCCTCTTGGCGCCGTATCGTCTCGCGCGCCTCGTCCCTCTGGCGCCGTTCGTCGCGGGCCAACTGCTGGCTCACCTGCTCCATCCACTCGCGCACGGCTTGCGGCGTCGCGGCGCGCCTGGCCCCTTCTGGGATCGCATCGCCCACCGGCATGGTTTATGTTCAGTTGTGCTCTCAGCCAAAAAGCTTCTCCCTTGGCTGCTCTCTTAAACTCTAATCAACGCAGGCAGGACGAATGGACCGGTGAAGTAAGCGCTTCTCGGAGGTACTCTCGAGCTATTTCCTTTGGGTATTTGTGAGCTCACGGAGCACGGATTCAGGCTGCTCCAAGCCGCTGCCATGCGCCTGGACTAGAGCGTTTTGCCAGGACGCATCGCTGGCAGCCGTCTTCGGAGAGGTGGCCTGCTGCGTCAGGCGTACCAGGCGTCGCATCAAAAACGCGCGCTAGTGTGTTACAGCTAGCGCAAGCTGCGGATTGAAGACGCGTGTCCTCAGTGCAGCGGTTAAGCCCACGTCTTACACGCTGGAATTCGGATCTAAGGTCGCAGCACAGCCACCATGCGAAGTCTCCTCACCTGTGCGTTGGTAGCGGCCTTCGCACCGCCCCAGAGGCGCTTAGCCCCACCCAGCCGCGTGCTCCGCATGGCGGCGTCGGAGTCGCGCGGCAAGCGAGCACTGCGCTACTTAGCAGCGCCACCAAAAGGCGTGAAACGCGCCGTCAACTACATAAGGGAGCGCGCGCCCGACGCGCAAACCACGAAACGCCTCGCGAAGGCCGTGGTCTGGACGACGGCCGTCTCCCCGTTATTAGCGTCGGTCCATCCCGCGCTCGCCTACGTCGGCTACCAGCAAGAAGAGATGGACAAGATGCGCGCCGATAGTGGATCCATGAAGATCGTCCTCCCGGCCGTCGTGTTCGGCGTCCTCTTCACAAGCGCTAGACAAGGCGCGATCCAGAAGAAGGAGATCAAACGGATCAAGAGGGCTTACAAAAAAGTGCAGGAGGAGGAGGCCGAGTACATGCAGGTCGACGGCAAGGCCGAGTCCGACGCCGACATCATGGCCTCGCTCCGGAACCGAACTGCCGCATTGGGTGATGATGATGAGGGCGACGACGACGCACCGGCGGGCGACGACGACCTACCACCGCCACCGCCGCCGCCGGCGCCCAAGAAGCGCATGACCATGGCCGAGAAGATCGCTGCGAAACAAGCAGCCATGCAGCAGAACAAGACCAAGGGTCTCTGAGTAATGTCTTCCATGCTACTAACTAGCGCCGAGTTGTCGCAGCGATGGCGTAACCTTGGCGCCCGGGTTGGCGCTCGTCCGAGTCGCCGAGCGCACTGCTAGCCCCCCACTGTTCCCCCGTCACACCCGCGGTACCTCAAGTGGTACCTCCGATTCACTCCTAGAATAACCAAGAAGCCTTACTTCTTCCAGAACGCGAGCTTCGCCAGCAGGCGTCTTAACGCAGACCGCTTCCGCCCGTCCGCGTCGAGCGTCACCCTCGATAACTCCTTGAAATACGTCGGGAACGTTTTTGAGGTGCAGCCGGGATCTAAAATTTTGACCGGCACACCCGCGCACGCCGCGAGCGCGAAGGTCATCGCAATTCTATGATCATCATAGGTCTCGATCTCGCACATCGGCTTGATTTCAGTAGGCGGCTTGATGATACAGGTAGTAGGCTGCTCCGTCACGTCGGCGCCGAACTTCGACGTCTCCGCGACGATGGCCTTCATGCGCTCCGTCTCTTTCACCCTCCAACTCCCGACATTCCTGATGGTCGTGGTGCCCTCCGCAACTAACGCGACGGACGCCAGCGTCATGGCAGCGTCGGGGATATCTAAACAGTCGACGTCGACACCCTTTAACTGGGCCGGCCCACCCACCACCGTGATGTTGGTCGGGTTCATCTCGATGCGAGCGCCCATATCCTTTAGTACTTCGGCAAACCTCACGTCGCCTTGAGTTGAGGAGGACCCACACCCTACGACCGTGAGATCCCCGCCGGTCATGGCCGCGGCAGCCAAGAAGTAAGATGCTGAGGAAGCATCACCTTCCACGAAATACGTCTGGTCAGGTAACTTTGTATTCGTGTACTTCTGACCGCTCTGGATCGTAAACTTCTTGTACCCCGGGGCTATATCTACGTTAACATCGAACTGCTTCATGAGGTCTATGGTAAGTTGCACATAAGGCTGGGAGATCAATTCATCGGTGATCTGGATCTCTAGGGGTTTCGTTCTCGCTAGTAAGGGTGAAGCGAGCAGTAATGCCGACAAGAACTGACTCGACGTTTTGCCCGAGACCCTACAGATGCCACCGTCGACTTCCTTCTCCGTCGGTTCCGCTTTTACTGGAGGACAGCCCCCGAACTCGCCATTCACAGTGCACTCGACGTTGCATCCCAGTTGCTGGAGGCCGTCTATCAAGTCTGAGATGGGCCGTTCCCGCATCCGGGGCGTGCCGTCCAACGTAAAAGACGTACCGTCGACCGCAGCGACCGCAGCCACAACAGCAGCCAACGGGCGCATGGCCGTGCCCGCGTTGCCCAGGAACAAGTCTTTTCCGGGTGCTTTTAACGATCCCGTGGAGGTGACTCTCACCGCGGAGTCGCCGAGGTCCTTCACTTTCACGCCCATGGCGTCCAAGGCTTCTAACATTCTTTCTGTATCATCAGAAGCCAACAGGTTCTCGACGACGGTCTCGCCCTCGCACAGCGCCGCTAAGAGTAGTGCGCGGTTCGACAGCGACTTGGACCCCGGCAGCCGGACGACGCCGCCGACCTTGGCGATGGGTTCCACGACCAGGGAGTCGACGGCTGATAATGTTGTGCCCTTGCGGAGGGGCGTCTGCAGCTGCGGTTGCAGGAATGCGGCCGCGCCGGCGAGGCAGGCCAAGCTCAGTGTGAGGCGCGCCATTGGTCTCGTTGCCGCGTGTGCGCTAGCGAGGGGATGTGTGCTCTAGGCTGCGGCGGCGTGCTGCTTTGAGAATGCACAAGCGTGCAGTTCTAGCTTGTGCAAGGGCCTCATAAAATTAGCTAGCGGCATGTAAGACACTAGCAAGAGCAGACTATCGAGCTGAACGGCTCTAAACACTGTCCCTGAGTTCCGAATTCATCTGCTCAGATACGTTCTCACCCCACTTGCTGCGTCGGAGCATCGCTTGGGCGTAGACAACCCCCACAAGTGCTGTACAGCAGGGATAGCATGAGTGCCTGGTTCGGCAGCAGCAGCACCCCACGGGTCGCGCAAGACCCGCAACCGCCACCCGAAAGCGACGCGCCGACGCACCCGAACGAACCAGCCTGGGAGCTCGTGGAGGCCCTCGAGGCGCGCGTGAAACAGCACGACGGCGCGACGCCCTTCGTGACGCTGAGCTGGGCCCAAGGCTTAGATGGCAGCATGGCCCATGCTAGTAAGGATGACCCGCGGCTGATGCTGAGCGGGTCGGAGTCCATGGCGTTCACTCATGGTTTAAGAAAAGCCCACACGGCTATAATGGTAGGACGGGGCACGATTTCGGGAGACGACCCTAGATTAAGCGTGAGGATGGACATCGACGGCAAAGAAATCCAGGTCGAGGAGCAGCCCGCCGCTATCATACTAGACGGTTCTCTGAGTACACCACCCTCTTCAAAAATCGTGAGCCAAGCGAAAATGAGACGCGTCATTATACTAACAAGAGGGGACTCCGATACCATGTGCGACTTCCAGGAGAAGCCCCCAAAAACGTGGTCCATGGCGAAGATCCAGCGGGGCGCGGCGTTGTCGTGTCGCGGTGCAAAAGTCATGTGCCTGCCTTCCACCTCTCTGGAAGACATTCTCAAGGCGCTGAAAACGCTTGATATACATTCAGTCTTCGTCGAGGGTGGTGTTAGTGTTGTGGACGCGTTCCTCAGACGACCAGATCTCGTCGATCAGGTCGTCGTGACGGTGGCGCCGCTGTTCGTGGGTGGGCGGCGGCCACCGAAGGGACCGTTAGAAGCGCCGCTGCGACTATCAAATGTCGAGACTTTGACATTGGGCGACGACGTCGTCGTGTCAGGTCAAATGCCTTCAGCCGTCGACTTCGCGAACGTCGCGCCCGAATTTGCTGATAGAGGCGAGCTGAGCGACGTGACGCAGGACGAGGATGATGATGAGGATTTGACAGAATTCGAGCGCCTGGCCCGGAAGCACGCCGACGCGAAAAGATTAAGGGAGGAGCGCGCCGAGCGGGATCGGTTATCGAAGGAGCACGGGCTGGCGCCGGACGATCCCCTGATTACGCAGGCCATCGAGGAAGCGCGGGCGCTGGATGAAACCTAACAATTTTGTACTTATATTCACACAACTAACTACATATAATTCTCCCGGAGCTCTGACGGCATGCTTTCCTTCGACTCCGGCACACCCTCATCAATAATGGGAGGAGGCATGACGCGATCGTCCGAAGTAGCAGGATCCAGCAACTCGTCCAACGGCGTCTCGAGGGACACCATGGGCTCCCTCGCTCGCTCCGCAGCCTTGCGAGCCTTCTCGAACATGGGGTGGTCCGGCGCGTCCGGATACCTATCTTCAAAAGTTTGAGCGTGCTCCCGGGCCATGCGCTCCTGTTTCTCTTTGGACGGCGCTTTGGCACTGCCATCAGAGCCGCCGTACGAGAACCGAAAACCCCCGTCGCCGCCGCCGGTCTCGACGTTGCAGCCCATCTTCCGCAGACCCTCGAAGAGCGACTCCAGCGGCTTGTCGCCGTCCATGGTCCAGGCCCTTTTATCGTCCGGTAGCCCCTCTTCCTGCACATCTTGATACTTCCAGGGCCTCGATGGCACATTCGGCGCGTCCCGCTCCTGCTGTTTATAGCGTTCCTCGGCCTCCCGTTTCCGTTGCTGGAAGTAGTCGTCGACGTGTTGCGACGCGGGATGTTCTGCCGGTCTAGCTGCCTCTTCCCTATCGACCTCGCCATACAGATCAGGTGCGGTATAAGGCTTCGACGACGGTTCGGCCTTGCGCCCGACGGCTTCCGCTTTTTCCGCCCACCGTTTCCGCGCCGCCCTCACCTCGTCTTCGTGCATTCCTAAAATGTCGGGCGTGATGCGACAGTTCGACGGACCGTAGGCGAAGTGCGACGCATGACCAAACTTCGACTTCTTCTCACGGACAGGAGGCGTCGGCTTCGCGTCGCCCCGCATCTCCAGCAACGCGTCCGCGAAGGGGTAATTCGAGCCGTCGGGCCACCAGGATGTAAAAGTGAAGCGGCCGCAGGGGCTCCTCTTGAAGTATTGAAACTCGCGCTTCTTCGGCTTGTCTCGGGCGTCTATGATATCTTTCTCAGATAATTCATCACTGCTACATTCGAAGGCTAGCCTTCGGTCGTCTATACTAAAACAGAAGGGCCCGTCGGTAACGTCTCGCAGCAGCTCGTAGCGTTCCCGCCCACCTTGCGACGCCAGCACCACGAAGCCCGTCGTGTTTACTACTTCTGTAGATATTACTGAGAGGCCGCACGTTGATACAATACGGTCTCGGAAACACGTGTTGACCAACCACTCTACACCTTCACGGAAGACTTCAGTCGTACCCGAGAAGCGGCATCTCAATATGAGAACGTAGGGCTGGTAGCCCTCTACTTTAGCCATCCTCCCATCTATCTGGGACCACAACTCACATGCTTCCCGGAACGTTGGGCGCCGCGCGACGTCCTCCCGCGCCGCTCGGACCAAGCCTAGTCTCCGCTTGTCGTCATAAATCCCGGGCCAGCCCGGTCCATTAAGTGGGTCCCACGCATGCTTCTCTTGCAGCAGGCGGTGGCGCACGTCCTCTTCACTTAAAACTTCTACGCCGCCCCAATTCCCGACCTCCGCCGGGCAGCACCTCAGACAATCAAAGCTCGCCACGTCGTCTCTCCGCAACCCCGGGAAGAAGACGAAGAAGCCCCCTTCTTCCTTAGTTTTGAACTTGCCCAGTCTAGGTGTCGCATTATCAATATCGCCCGCGCGGCCGCTCAGCAGTCGATGCTCCGTGACCGGTCTCACATGATGGATACTTCGGCATAGGCGCAGGTGTGCCGTTTTTATGTTCTTCGAGAAGCACGACGGCGTCCGCCGCAACTCTTCCAAGGATGCCTCATGTGAATCCGTTGATGAGAACCAGACCCGTAGCCGGTGCTCGACGCGGCGCTGCACCCAGCCGCGCTTGCCGTTGAGCTTGCGGCCTTCTTCTGTGGTGAGACCGAAGACCTCGACCAATATAGGTTCGTTGTTCCGAAAGGACGCTATACTCATCGGTGCGCTTTCTATCAACGAGTACTGCAAAGGATGCGGCTCCGACGACTCATTTTCATAGTCGGACGGCTTTTCTCCCGGTTCCGCCGCCTCCTCGAGCATCCGTCGCGCTTTGATGAGTTTCAGACGGTACTCCTCTGGCACGCTGTCCAGTAGACCTTGGAAATCAGAATCAGTGTAGTTGCCCAGTTGCGCGCCGATCTTTTCATCCGGCGCGTAGACGTTGCCCGGCGCGCCGGAGGCGCCTCGCGCATACGGTGTCTTTTTTTCTTCTTCTTCTGGTGGGCCGTACTTGAAAACGAGGACCGCGCCGATGGCCAGTAGTACTAAAAATCCCGCGACGAGGAAGGCACACGCTCCCGCGGCTTTCAACGCAAGGATCACCGGATAGAGGCTTCTTGTATAAACGCTCCACACCAAAATGACCGCGGCGATGGCTTTGCGGTATTTGCTGCTCGGCACCAGTAAGTGATTCGGCACCAGTAAGAAGAGCGCGGCGCCGGCGGCGCCCACGAAAGCTATTGCGGCGACAACTTTGAGTGGGAATAGAATAGGAGTGATGCTGCGCGTCTTGGCCATCCAGGCTACGACGACGGCTAGCGCGGCCTTGCGGTACATGTTGTACTGCGTCGGCGCTGCGGCCGCCGCCGGCGCTGCGGCGCGGCTTTGCTCGGCGGCATCGCTCGCCATGGCTCGCCAGACCGATGATAGCTGTCTGAGCCTCGTGCCCTCTTCTGCCAAGCCCCTGGCGCTCTATTGGGCCTCGAAGAACCGAATCAATGGTCGCGCTGCCGCACCTGTGCCAGGAGATGCCGTGCTCCTTTGCACTATTTGAATTGTGCGGCTTACAGCGCGTGGCGCCCGGATAATGTCCCGCCGCGCCGGCCTAGCGTCATGTAAGACACTAGCATACAGCCAGCCTCAGCTGCAGTCTTGCGTGTCGTGGTGCAAAAGCCGTCGTGGAGGCTCTCTCTCCTGTATTTGCACGGCAGCATAGTGCAGCACAACTTGCTGCCACTGCTCTGCACTCTTAGTCGGCAGCATTGCAGCAAAATTTGCTGCCACTCAGTCACTGCACCACTCACAACCGATGCTCCTCCGCCGCACGACCGCCGCCGCGGCGCGACGCATTTCACAAAGACGCCACCTCGGCTACGTCGAATTGGAACGGGACGTCGTCGCTCCACAACATTTAGCAGAGTACCGCGCCATGCTCGCGGCGCACGCTCCCCAACGTAAAAGACTCGACGAGGGCTACCTGGGCAGTTTTGGGGTGGACGTCGGCCGCGCGTCGAGCGTCTACCACCTGTCCGTGTTTGAGGACTACGACCAGCGGGACGCGCGCGAGGCGACGGAGGGGCTGCGCTTCTTCCATCAGGGCGTCCAGAGTTTGGAGTCCTCCGTCTTCAAGGAGGCCTCCGCCACATTGAACGAGGCGGGACTCCCGGGTCTACAAGATGGCCTCGACGCCGTGCAAGGCTGCGCGTTCGAGCTGCGGACGTACGAATTGCAATTAGGCTACGACACGGTCCCGAACTTTCTGGAAATTTATTCGGGTGGTTTGAAAGATAAAATGGAGCACGACGACTCCGGCGAGTCGCGGCTCATCTCCCTGTTACACAGCGAGGCGGGCGTCGCGCCGCTGAACACGGTCATAGAACTATGGCGCCACGAGAGCGCGCAGGGCGCGCAGCGGTCGCGCCTGGCGTCGCGCAAGGCGACGTCGTGGCGCCGGGCCGTCAACCACATCGCCGAGCTCTCGACGCGCTTCGAGACGCAGCTGCTCCGGCCCATCTTTTGAGTGGCGGTGTCGCGAGATTGATTAACTAACAAAACTGTGTTTCTACCGGATAACGGACCGCGCATCGCAGACGCGGAGCCGCCGGAGCAGTGTGACAACTTCCGCCGCGGCACGGCCGTTGCGGCCAGGGAAGGGATGCGAATAGCCGCCCAGTTCCTCGCGGCCGCGCGGCCATATCGGAGCGAGCGTCGCGGCGTCGATCGAGGCGTCGCCTCTGATAATTCGGTCGAGGAGCCGGTGTTCCTTCTCGGCGACGTAGTGAAACGATATAACATCGGACGACACCGCGGACGCGTCGGCGGCGAACGGCTCCGGGGGGTCAATATTTTTCTTTTTGTTCACGAGCCAGTCGTCGATGGCGCCGGTGGCGAGGCGGACCGGGCCATAGACGTGGAAGCGTTCGGCGCCCGACGCCTCGCGCGTATCTATCGCGACCACGTCAAAGCGCTTCAGACACAACGCGATCTGCGCCTTTTTCGAACTAGGGTCGCACTTCTCGTCTGTCTCGCCGGCGTCAATCTCGCGCCACCTTTTCACAAACAACTCGACGGCCGCCCGGTTCACCGCGTAGCCCGCGGCTGCCGAGTTGAACAGCCCACAGCAAGGGCCCCAGAGGCGTAGGCCCGCGTACACGGGCTCCGTCCGCGAGAGACCGCTCAAATAGCAGGCCAGGTTCTCGGCGACAAGAAACGTGTGGTCGTTCATCCAGAAGTACCAACTGTGCCGTCCCTCCAGCGCCTGGCGCAGCGCGTACACGTGCGCGCGAAATTGATTAAATCTAGGTGTGTGGTCTTCGATTGGTAGTTCCCACGCTTGGATCGAGCCCGTCGCGTTTCGTGCGGCCAGCGTTTTGATCGACAGGGCCGCGTCCTCGTGGTCTCGCGCAATCAATACAGCGATGCGCGCACGTCGTCCGAGCGTGTCAGCGATGGCACCCAGTCGCGTCGCGCGCGGGCCGGGGCCGCGCACCGGGGAGAGGCTCACGATGCACAGCAGACCTTCGATGAGCATTCTTTTTGCAGCACTGCGGGTCGTGTGGGCACCGATGCCGCCCTGCGGGTCGTGTGGGCACCGATGCCGCACTGGAAATGAATTGCTCTCTCTGGGTGCGGGAGAGCACTGCGAAGTGGCAGCTCGCACGGATGCTGGGTTGAGTCCAACTGGTTCTTAGGCTACAGCTACGTGTCGAAAGCGCTGGTTTGCATCATTTTAGACGCATGGCCAAGTGCGGCGCTGGCTGGCTCTTTCTAGTGTCTTACTGGACACTAGCCGCCACTTTACGCTTGCGTCGGCCCCGAGCCGTTTGCGTGCAGTTTGGATCGTGCCTACACTGCGCGACCATTACAGCTCGCACTCTACGGCCGGCGCGCCGCGTCAAATTTAAGAGAGGAAATTTTGACCTCGGAGTCCAGGTCAATTGACTCGTGTTATGGGCCGGAACAAGTGGCACAGATCGCTTACTAAAGCGGAGAGGAAGCGAGCGAAAGAGGGAACAACGCTCTTCCATTCAAATAATAAGGGGGAGGAGACAGAGCAACGTGGTGAATCAGACGTAAGCAACAGTCACTGTGAAGTTGTCAATGACGGCCTTGTCCGGGCCGGGACAGTCCGGCGGCGCCGCAGTCACAGCCAGACGTCTAATAATTCCTGGGTCCACGCGGTCGGTTTCGTCATACTCGCGGCGATCGTCATCTCGTGGGCGCTCGGGTACTAAAATGTACGTTGCGGCGATCACAGCGTTCCTCGGCGTCGCCGCCGGCGCGCCGCTGCCGACGACCTGGCCGCCTCCACACAACACGTCGACGCAGTGCGTCCGCATGCTCGCGAAGCACAAGCTCGATTGGCTGTTGGAGCCCTTCACCTGTACAAAAGCTCAGAAGACGTCCAATGCACACATCGTGCTCGGGACGGGCCTCGGTGGCACGGGAACGAGATCAGTAGCGACCGCCGTCGACAAGTTGGGATATCCCGCGTGCCACTCGTTCCTCTACGTCCTGCGGCTGCTCCAGATGAGCAAACCGCACGACCTCACGGCCTTCCGCGGCGGCGCGTCGTATTTCGATACGCCGATGGGCTACATCTTCCCACGGCTCCTGTGCTCGTTCCCGAAGGCGAAGATCGTCCACACGACGCGACGCGACTACCACCGGGGCTACGACGGCTCCTCGCGCAAATGCCGGTCAAAGCGCGAGTACCGCCTCGAGAGTGACCTCGCGCGGTGCATCGAGTACGGCTCGACGTGCCCGACGCGCGAGGAGGCGAGGACTGCGTTCGCCAATAACGAGCGGGCCGTGCTGTCCGTGCCCAAGTCGCGCCGCCACATCATGAACATCAGCGACCTGAGCAGCATTCATGCCGGGCCGCTAGCAGAATTCCTCGGAAAGGAGTGGCGCTGGGGCAATCCGGACAAACCGATTCCCCACAAAGCCGTCTACTACGCGTCCCGGGCGTGCCTCGGTGGGAATCATCCGAGGCATTGGGTGCCGCGAGTGCACTAAGGAATAAGGGTTTTACGCGCTCCCCGGCGGCGGCGGCGCCTGGCGGGCGGCGAGCGCGTCTTGCGCCTGTTGTAAGAGGTTCTCCATGTTCACCGTGTCCGGGTGCGCGCTGCCGAGGACCTGCAGCGCGATGTCGCGGATCTCCCCGAGCGTCGCCGTGACCTCACTGAGTTCGTCGAGCGTGGCGCCTTCGAAATCGAGCGCCCGCGCGTAATCCAACTGCGCCCGGAGCATGCTTTCGTTCGTCCCGGGAGGCGGGTCGCCGTCCGCGCCAAGCGGCGCTGCGCTACTCCCGGGGTTCTGCGCCTGGGTGGCCCGCAATGACGACAACGACGTGGCAGCGCTGTACGTCGCCGTCGACGTCGCGGTCGCTTGACCCGTTGAAATGCGCCTGTTCTCCTCAAGCAAGTCCGTCGCAGTCGGGGGCGCCGGAGAGGGTTCGACACCAGTATTGAACGACGAGGGCCGCATCGCCAGGCGGGGGTCGTGCGCCGGCCCGGCGAGGGTCTCCGCCGCGAGCACCGCCGGCGGCCCGAGCGCGCGCCAGGCCTCGCGCCAGCCCGGCGGGTGCTCACTATCGTCCTCCGCGGCGGCTTGCGCGGCGACCTCCTCCGCCCTGGGTCGCAGCCCGGGCCACTGGTTGAAGACCTGGCGCGGCTGCGGCTCGGAGTCGTCCGAGAACAGGAACTCGCGCGGGTGACCGGGTCTAGCTTCGACGTCCAAATTCGCCGGGCGCGTCGCGGGCAGGAGCTGGACGGGGTCCGGGTAGCGGTGGAGCCACTCGGAGTGCTGGTTCTTCTTTTCGGCTTTCTTGGCCGGCTTGACTGAAGTAACGATACCGCGCGCGCGCTCGTCGCTCAGCGACTGGCGCCAGTGCGTCGGCGGCGGCGGCGGCGGCGGCTGCGGGCGGTAGCCCGGCGGCGTGCGGTTCGGCGTCGGGTCGTAGCCGAAGGGCGTCACGAAGTTCGACAGCACCGGGTCGACGCGGCACGTGAGAGCCCCGGGGCCCAGCTCAAAGGTCCACAATTCAAAGGGCGGCTCGCGGTGGCAGTCCTGGGCGCCCCGCGTGTCGTAGCGCCCGCGGAACCGCGCCTCGAGCCGCAACAATCCGGAGCCGTTGAAGATCCAGCGGTCCGGCGCTAATAAAGGATGGGCGCAGGCCTCGAGCGGCGGCACGCGCAGCACCCAGCGGTCTTTGGGGGGAGGCGGCGGCGGCGGCGGCGGCGGCCCCTTTGTTATAGCGGGCGGCCGCGGCGGCGGGCCGCCGCCCGGCCGCGGCGGCGGCGCGCGTCTTCTTCTACACGACGACGGGAACTCGAGAGTCGCAAAGTGCCTCACGCTTCTGGGAGGGATCTCCACCACGTCTAACCTTTGATCTCCGACCAACCCGCGGCTCTCGTACCTCCTCAGCAACACGGACCTTTCTAAGGGGTTCGCGAAGGCCAATTTCAAGCTATCGTCGCGCCCCCGATCGACCTTGAAATGGACCCTCCTAAAACCAGCAGCGCACTCGCGAAACAAGTGAATCTTGCCGCCCATGACGCCCGCCGCCGCTGCCTTCAACGCTTCCCTTTGTCTCTGCAACTGCGCCTCCCGCGCGGCCCGAGTCGCGGCCACAAAAGCAGCTAACGCGCCTCCTTTGGGATGCTGCCTGACGAGCTCCTCACAGCTCTCATACACATCGGGGAAGGACCGCTCGATGGCCTGGCGCACGTTCATGCGGCCGCGCTCCTCATCATAACGAAGACACGCGGCGGCAAAAATGCGTTTCTTCGTCTCCGGCGCGGCTCTCCTAGCGATCCTGGCGAGCCACCTGGCCGAAGCGGCTCGGACCGCTTGCAGCTTGTCTCCTTTTAATGTTTTCGTTAAAAATTCTTCCGCGTCGACGCCCAAACAGCGCCCCATGGCCTCGACCGCTTCGAGCCGCCACCGCGCCCTTTTCGAGACGCTCCGCGCGGCCCAGCGCTTCTCAAAACATCGTTTGATGGCCGCGGGGAGTCGCGAGTGCGCGTTGAATTGTTTGGAGACAGCCCGTAACGCTCGCAGATCGTTGGGGTCCGCGAACCTTCCGATACCATCTAACGCGCGATGCGGGCCGGCGAGGGGGCTCTCGCCGGGCGTACTCCGGCGTCCCTCTTTCGGCTCGACGTCCATCTTTTCGCTTCCCGACGAGTTGGGGGTCTCCATCTGTGTCCCTTCTCGGGCCGCGGGCCCGGGGCGGGGCTGTGGGTATTCGGCCCGCTCTGCTGTTCGGGGCTGCCCCGCGACGGGGCTGCCCGCGCAGGCTTGCCGCTGGCGGAACGCGGCGGGGGCTATGGATCTGTCGCTACCTCAGCGAACAGCGCGCTCGGTGGGCGCGGGCGAAGCGGCTTGCTGGCCAGCTTCATGCTTGGATTGCTAGTGTCTTACCGCCGCTAGCAAAATGCGGGACGCGGCGACTTGGCGCACTGGTGACGCCATCGCCGCGATAAGAAGAAACCTAAAAAACAACTTACCTCTGCTCGAAGGAGCCGATGCTCGCGCGGCTCGGCCGCTTCCGGTGCGGCGCGATCATATAATCTAAATCTGCGCGCATGCGGACGCACTTGTGGAATTCTTTGGAGAGCACCGCCGGCGCGTGGAGCTGCGAGCTCTTCCGGATCGCTTTCCACACGGCCTCGTGCCGCTCCGCCGTCCCCAATCGCTTCGCCTGCTGCGCCGTCAACCCGTAATTCACCTTCAGCGGCCTGGACGGCACTTGGGACGGCAGCTTGAGATCGGTGCCAAAGTCCTTGCGGGGCGGCTCCGTGCCCGCCGGCACGTAGCTGCCGTCCTGGGCTAGTAATTGCCAGTCCGTCACGGCCAAGCGACCGCTTTCATCTCTATATGCATTGATCGGCCGCGACTGCGTCTCGTGCGACTGGACACTCTTGATGTCCATGTCGTACTCCCACGCGGCTTCTTGGACGGAGTCCTCCGGGAGTTTCACGGGCCGCGAAGCGATCAAATGCGCCAACGCCTCGAAGTGCCGTCGTCGCCCGTTGTCCGGAAATTTCTCATCAAAAGCGCCTTCTAAGACATAAGGAGTGGCTGCACCGGGCTGTTCGTGCTCGTAATCGGCCCACTCGTCTACTTCCGATGCCTCGGTCTGAGCCTTTTTCCTAGGAGACGGCACGAAGGTCTTTCGCGAAGGAGGCATCCTCAAGTATTCATATATATTCTTCGCGGGCCGCACCCGCATGTCATTTAACCTCTTGGCCACTTGGGCCTTGTTCGCACCGCCCGTGGCGCCGCCCGTTACGATGTCATAGCACACGTCGGCCATCTCACTCCAATCGAGAACCGCTTCTCCACCCAAGTCTGCCGGGCCGTCCATCGTAGAAGACGACCGCGTGGGCCCCTTCTTGTAGGGGCCCTTCCTCCAAAAATCTCGAGGCGCCGCCTGGGCCCGTCCGAGCGACACCTTGCCCCAGTAGAGCGTCTGTTTCCGATCCGCGGCGTCGGCCTCCATCCGCTTCCTCCGTAGCCTCTCATAACCCAACCGTTCAGGTTCACTTCGTTTCCAGAGCTCCTGGTGCCGCGCGAACCGGTACGCCGCCATCGACGGCAGCGGTGGCGGCACGTAGGCGCGGTCGACTTTCGGCTTGGGCGCGTGTCCCGTTTTCACTTTCAGGGTCGCCCAGGCCGGCGGCCCTGGTGTTTGTGCTATTTCTCGCGCGTGCGTGATAGCGGCGAACTCGGGGAACTCGTCTTCTGTCGTTCTCATCGTCGTCGCCATTGCGTCGAGCGCCATCGTGCTTGGTTTGGGGCTGCCCTTGGCTGCTGGCGGCTGCCTTTACGCTGTTGCCCCGTCTGCGGAGGGTCCGTACGGGTCGAACGCCGAGGGATGCGCAGCAGGGCTGCCGCCTGTGGCTCCGCGCGGCGTCTTAATGGCGAGAGGCTGCACAGCGCCTGGATGCCAAAAGCTCTCCCGCGCCGTGGACTCCCGGGCTTCCTGTGACCCCTGCACTCCATGGACGGGCGGGGGACGCGTAATACGAGTTCTAGAGTCGGTCCATTTCTTGCTAGTATGTTACAGGCCGCTAGCTAATTCAGCCGCGCCGCGCAGACTCTCGCTCGCCCACAGCATCGAGCAACGCGCGTACGTTTAACAGTTCTCAAAGGTCCGCTACAGGACGCCAACGAGTACCGCCCAACGCTACAGAAGCGCCACCACAGCAGCGTCGCCCAAGCCCAGCAACCGGAGCAACAAGCAGCGCCATGGACCAGCAGCAGCAGCAGCAGCAAGCTCCCCTCGAACCCATCGACCACGACGCCGCGGCGGCCGCGGCAGCCGAGATCGGCGTCAAATACGTCTGTGGCGACTGCGGCGGCGAGAACGTCATCAAAGCTCGAGACGCCGTGCGCTGCCGCTTCTGCGGCTACCGCATCCTCTACAAGATCCGCACGAAGCGCCTCATCCAGTTCGAGGCCCGCTGATGGAGCTGCTGTTTCTCGGCACGTCGGCGGGCGCGCCGTCGGCCTCGAGAAACGTCCAGAGCTGCGCCGTGCGCCTGGAGAGCGGCGAGTACGTCGTCGTCGACTGTGGAGAAGGCACGCAGCAGCAACTGCTCAAGGCCTCACGGGCCAAGAGCTTCCGGCCGAGCCGCACAAATTTAATTCTCGTCACGCATTTGCACGGCGACCACTCCTTCGGCCTGCCCGGGCTGGTTGTTTATTTGGACAACGCCGCGACCGAGAAGGCGCCGCCGCTACAGATCGTCGGCCCTGTGGGCGTCGCTGCCTTCCTGCGGACGGCACTCATCCTGTCGCGGACGGAGCTGAAGCGCGGCTACCGCGTGACGGAATTGGCGACCCCGGCGCCCACAGGCGGCGGGGCGTACGAGGGGGCTGCTCTATGCACGACCGCGCCGCCGGTCCTCCATCCGGACGAGCGCGCCGTCAGCGAGGTCCTGGCCCCGAATGATGATGGCATGTTCGCCCTCGAGCTGCTGACTGGCTGTTCGCTCACCGCGGCCCCTTTGGCGCACGGCTCCATCGCCTGCGTCGGCTACCGCCTCCAGGAGGCGGACGCGCCCGGCTCCATCGACGCGCAGCGCGCCGCCGCCGAAGCCGAGAGAGCCGGCGACGACGCGCGCCGCATCTGCCGCGCGCTGCGGGAGTGCTCTCTGAATAACACGGAGCGCTTGACGCTCGCGGACGGCTCCGAGCTCAGTGTCGCGGACGGCTTCGTCGGCGCCGTGACGAGGCGCGGCCGCGCCGTCGTCGTGCTTGGCGACTGCTGCCACGCCGGCGGCGTCTGTTCTGACGCGACGCGGCGGCTGGTCGAGGACGCCGATGTCCTGGTCCACGAGGCCACTTTAGATGATGCGTTCGCGGCGCTGGCGCTGGAGCGGGGGCACTCGACGCCCGCCGACGCCGCGCGCGTCGCGGCCCGCGCCGGCACGTCGCACCTTGTGCTCTGGCACTTCTCGCCGCGCTACCGGAACGACGACGCGTTCCGGACGACTTTCACCGACGCCGTCCGGGCGCACTTCGGCGGCGCGCTGACGCTCGCCTTGGACTTTGACCGCGTCGCGGTGCCGCGCGAAAAGAAGGTGCTGCCTCCGGCGGCGCCGCCACCATGACGGAGTAATGTGGTGGACTTACTAGTAGCCAAGATTACGCGGACGGGTTTTTCACGCTGCCAATAACTGTACTGAAAACGCTCCAGACGCCCTACCATATAGTCGATGTTACGGTGCTAGGACTAGTGGGCGGAGCCCCTGGGGGGGAGACACCGCGCGTCGCCGAGACGCCCTACCACCGAAGTATAAGGTACCCTACTATACCTATACCTTATTCGTACCTTATCGACCGAGCTCGCGTTTTTGGCAAGCATCTTGCCATCTCATCCGCGCTGCATCGTGGGTTTGCTAAAAATAGCTGCCAGGCCGTCGCCAGCGCGAAACTGCTCGGCGCCCGGCACAGCACAACCTGAGGAGCCAAACCACTTAATCCATCACTTCCTCTGAGCTAAGACCGCGCCGCGCGCAACCGCACGCGAGAACAGGACCGCGGCCTCCGGCATAATTCAAGGCACGTCATAGCGTCAACGCAACTCCATGCTCCCCCTCCTCGCCCAGGACCCGCTACGGAAGGTCCTCCAGTTCTGCACCGCCCACGAAGTTCTCCAGTACGGCAATGCTTCGAAGAAGGCCCAGGACACGCTAGCCGACGACGTCGTCTGGCGCGGCCTCGCGTCGCGCGATTTTTATGGAGAGCGTCGTCGCGATGAGGGCTTGAGCCTGGGCGTCCGCGACGGCGGCGACACGATGTATTTCAAGATCCAGCCGTTCACTCCACTACAACGCGTTTTTGATGCCGTCGCGAAGCGGAAAGACGCGGCCGTGGAGACGCTCTGCTTCGCGCTCGACGGCTCGCGCGTCCGCGGCCACCTGACGCTCGAGGACTTGGATATTACTGCGGAGGAGCACCTCGACTGCTTGCCTCTCAAAGACGCGCCATCCGACGAGTTTCTGCCGAGCGCGTCCGCGGCGTTCAGCGCTCCCGCTCAAGCCGAGGCGCCCGAGGACGCTAGCGATCCGGACGCTGCGGACGTAAGCACGCTGTGCGACCTCGTCGGCGCGTGCGACTCGTGGCGCGTGGCGTACCGCCGCTGGGCCAGCGTCGCGCGGCGCGTCAAGTATCACGAGCAAGGTTTCGACGCGCGCTCGTGGCTGGTGGTCGCGCGCGCGTGGCGCGACATCAAGGCGGCGCTCGCCGAGCAGTCCATGGACGCGATCGTGGCGTCCCTGCGACCGCCGGCGACCCCGGAGGACCTGAGGCAGGTCGGCGTGCGGAGCCTGCGCTACGCGTACGCGATCCACGACGGCCAGGCCCTGGCGTTCGACGCAGCGCGGCGCCGGCAGGACCGCGCCGCCATGCGCGACTCCCAGCAGAGCGTCTTCCACGGTCTCTTCGGCGGCGTCTCCGCCTACGATTACGTCGTGTGCACGCGTTTTGTGTCAATCACGGAGGCGATGGCGCTCTCGCCGCCCGAAGAAGAAGACGTGGCCGACGTTCATTTCGCAGCCAACTACGACGGGAGCTGGCGGTTCGTAGCGGGAGTTGACCTGTGGTACGAGGGGCACGATTCGCGAGCGGTCGAGGTCGAGACTGTGTTCGCCAACGACGGCTCGCGGCTCGCGATGGCGGCGCCCACATCTCACGACGCCTTCGCGCAGTGGTTCGCCACGTACGCCGCGCGCGTCCGCCTGCGCGCCTACCGCGTCGCGCCGCTCATGCCCGACGCGCCCGACGGGACCCGCGGCGTCGTGCTCTTCCCCGACGCGGACGCCGGCGACGACTGCCACGTGTCCGAGGCCATTACGAGAGGCGTTCGCGTGCGGGCGTCGGCGGTCTACCTGCCGAACTCGCCGTCGGGCTACGCCTATTCCATCCGCATCCGACGCGTGTCCGACGAGGCCCCAGAAAGCTGCCAGCTCCGGACGAGACACTGGCACATCAACGACGGGGAAAGGACATCGACCGTGAGCGGCGAGGGCGTCGTGGGCAAGTTCCCCGTGCTCACATCAACAGGATGGCGCGACGACTCGCAAGTCGCGAACATGACTCACGGCTTTTCGACAGCAGTCCTACCAGGTGAAGATAGAGAAGGCGAGTTCGTCTACCAGTCCTTCTCGGGCATGACGCGCGGACCCCGCGGAGGCAGTTTCCGGGGGGAGCTGGAGTTCGTCCCTGGTGAGGTCAGTGCTCCGACGGGCGAGCCCTTCCGCGTCGTGTGCCCGGAGTTCGCGCTGCGGAAGCCGCGGTTCCTCTACTAGCCTCTTCCCCCTCCTGTAACTATCTTATACTCATTGGTCCCTGTTGTCATGACCGCTGGTGGTGGTCGGCACAGCCGCGCGGGGCACCACGACGCGCCCCAGATGCGCCGCCCGCGTTGCAGGTGCACTTGACGACTCCTCCGCTACGTAGACCTAGGCTCGCTGGAGTCATGTGTGACATCGCGTTTGACACGACGGAACCGCGGAGCAGCGGAGCGCCGTCCGACACCGCAGCGCATTCTTCTCTTCGCGCGGCTACTCCCGAAGGGAATTAGCTTGTCGAGCGCGGTCCTACAATCGCACTTGCGCCATCACGCGCGCTGCGCTACGTGAGGAGCCGTCAGTACAGCGTTTAACACAAGACCTCTCAGAGGTTTAAAGGGATCACCCCGCGCGACGACGTAAAGGACCAGCTGTGGACACAAAATGCGCCCCCTGTACCTCATCGCTCTGGCAGCGGCCGCGGCCGCCCTCCAGTTCTCGCCCGTCAAGCCGCTGCGCCGCCGCGCGCTCCAGCGCCGCATTCGCCGCGAGGCGGACTTCATTGCGAGCCCCGCGCGGGGCATGGATCCGGAGGTCCTAATCCAGGACGACGACGTGCTCGACGATCTAGTGAGAAAACACAACAACCTCGTCGAGGAGCTCCACGCCCTCGACGCGCCGGCGCGGCCGCGCTCGACGGCGGCCGTCGCCGGCCCGAACGCGCACCGCATACCCATCAACAAAGTCGAGCCGCGCAAGGCGGTTCGCAACTTCGTGAGGGCGCCCATCGGAAAGAAGATAGCTGTCGCCGGCGCTGTCGCGGGCACGATCATCGCGCTGTAGATCTACGCTGTAGAATGAATCCCTGTCGTAATTCCTTTGTATGATAGCCCCCCACGCCGTCGACGAAACCCAAATACGATGAAAGACTTACGACACATGCCTCTATACTATAGCTCCTGGTCCGCGATGTCCGGCGCGCCGAGCGTGTCCAGGAAGGCGATGACCTGGTTGTGCTTGAACTTCCGCGCGATGTTCAGCGCCGACGCGCCCGTCAATACGGTGTCGCCGAGGTTCGCGCCGTGCTCCACGAGGAACTCGACCGTCTCGAGCGATCCCGACCGCGCAGCCTCGTGCAGCGGCGTCCACAAATTTTCATCGGGCGCATTTACGGAGGACGGATCCTTCGCGATGCCCTGTTTTAAGGCTTCTAGATCACCAACAGCGGCCGCTTCATGCAAAGACATGCGCGTGCCCGTCTTCTCGCTGTCGTGGCCAAAATCCTCGCCGCCGACGTGCTGGTGGCCCGGCTCCTCCGAGCTCATGCGCCTCTTATAGAGTTTTCGCGACTCGGCGGGCGACGGCCCGCGCTTCCGCTTGGGCTCCTCCGGCAGCGGCCCCCGAGCCGGCACACCACTACGCCTAGCATCGGAATCAGCCGCAGCTTTCCTAGCGCGAGCGGTACAGACCTCGTGGGAGTCCGGTTTCGGATACGCCGCTAATTTGCGACGCGTCTCCTCGGCCTTCTTCGGATCTCTCCTATCATTTCTCGCCCTAGAGGTCCAGCCGAAATCAATGTCTGGGTGATTTTTGGAAGGGTCATCAGGATCTACCGGTATGAAGTGCACAAACAGATTCGCGTAGAAGTTGCCCTTCAACGGAAACGGTCTGCCATGTAATACGGTGTGACTTTCATACAACGCCATATCTCCGGGCTTGAGCGTGACGTTATAAGCAACACCATCATGGCCCACGACCTCGATGGGCCAGTCCTCTTCGACATCCTGGTCCACGTTTATTATGGCGGAAGTGACGAGTGGCAGTCGATCGACATGCGTGGCCAAGATGGCCCCGCGGAAGTACGACCGGATACCGTACAGAGACGTCGGTTTGAGTTTCTGGCCCGTCCACGCCTCCAAGATAGGCCGCGCCTGGTCCCAAATAATATCTTTCGTCTTAAAACCGAGAGGTTGGAGCCTTCGGTCCTCGAAGGAACACATCGTGCTGTCCGCGACCCAGTGGTTGACGTACGTGTTGCCCGGCGGCCAGGACTCGGACGTCTGCGTTTCTCTGTGTAAATCCCAGAACTCCCTGGCTGCTTCATAGACGGCTTTCGGAGCTCGCAATTTCGCAAACCCTAGTTCCGTGAAGTTTCTCTGCCTCGGGATTTGATCGCGATCCATCGCCATGCGCGACTCTTCATTAGATCTACAAGATCTCAAATTGTACTTGTCGCCACACCCGTTGATGAACTCGTCGTACATCTTCGCGCCCCAGGTCCCTTTCTCGATGTCATAATGCATCGGGAAGGACACGTCCACGCCGTACCCCTCCGTATGGTAGCCGTCGCCGTCTCGGGCTTGGAGTTTGGGTTTCTCTTCCTTCGTGAAGATGGCCGATTGGGCCGTTGTTACGAGTATCGCGGTTATTACGCGTCGTCGCGCCATTGGTAGTTGTCGGCCACGCCTTGGCCTGGTTTTGAGCTGGAGGCGCTACGGCCCTGGACGCAGCGAGTCTGTGCTGGAGACCGCTTTCTTGAGGTCTGGCCGCCCTCACGCAGTGCGAGTCCTCAGGGTATCGCGAGCTTTGGCGTTGGATAATGTGTGTCGATTTTTCGATAAAAGCTGCTCTAGAGCTCGTATACGCTAGGAGTTTATCCGTTTCGAGGACGAGTTCCTTGCGGTTTACGCCTGGAGCACTCCTCCGATCATCATTATCACCGTTACGCGCTTGGCGGAGAGGTCGAGCTGGGATGCCCAAGCTGAGATAAGCTGCCTGCTCCGTGAGCCGCACCGAGAGGACACGAATCCACTGCGTAATTACCACAAGCGCTCCCTCGAAACCGCGCCAACGCCAGCCGCCGCGCCGCTGCACAACTAAGGCAGCCCCACCAATACGGAGAGCCATGAGCACCGCCCGGACCCTCCGCCCGCGCGTCGACTTCGGCGACGACCACGACGCCGGCGGCGCTTTAAGCTGCCTGCCGTGCTGCCGGCCCGACGAGATCCTGCATTCGTTGGTAGGCGCGCCCGTGCCGCCGCCCGACGCACGCCAAGCGGTGTCGGCGCACGTGGAGGAGGCGTTCTCATTGTTCGCGGAGCTCAACGAGTTCGCGGGGGGGCTCCCGCGCCTCCCGTCGGAGGAAATCGAGGAGTTCCTGTTCGTTGTCGCGCGACGGAGCTACCCCGCCGGCGCCGTCGCGGACGTAGTGACGGAGCTCGAGCCGGACCGGCGCTGCGGGTTGTCGGTGGAGGACTGCCAGAAGCTACTGGACGAGTTGCGAAGGAGGGACTCGGGGATGCGGGGAAGGTCAACACGTAATTTTAACTAACAACACGCAGTGGATGAGGAAGGTCCCTCGAGCTCGACGGTCTCCGGCGGCGCCTCGGGCGGCGGCAGCGCCTTGACCAGCGCCCGCGCGAGGGCCAGGACGCCGTCGCCGGTCTTGCACGACGTCTCGCGCGCGTCGGCCAGCTTTAAGTCCGCGGCGGCCGCGCGCACGGCCGCCGCCTCGACCTGGCGCGAGGGCAGGTCGCTCTTGTTCGCCGCGAGGGCGATCGGGATGTTGCAGCCGATTTCGTCGCCGCGGATCTGCTCGATGACGCGTACCGCCGCGTCGAAGGACGCCGCCCGCGTTAGGTCCGCGACGATGATGGCGCCCGCAGCACCGCGTAAATACAATTTCAACGTGTCCATCGACCGGTAGCGCTCCTGGCCGGCCGTGTCCCAGATCTCCAATTTCACCGCTGGAGCCAGCGGCCCGTCGCCCGCCGCCCTCACGGCGACGTTAAAGTGCGCGACCCCGAGCGTCGCGAGCGTCGACTCGTGGAACTCTCCTTTGGCCAGCCTTGTGCCGAATGACGTCTTGCCGACCCCAAAGTCGCCCAGGAGGACGACCTTGCGCGGGCGCGGCATCGATGCGGATCGATGCGACGCGCGGAGCGTGGGGAGAGCGTGCGGCTGGTGGGTGTGGTGTATAGCTGCTTGCGGAGAGCCTGCACGCTGGTCGCTGCCGACGGCTGCGACAAAACCAAGAGGGGGAACTTTGCCCTGCGTTCCAAGACGAGCCCAAAACTGCCTGCTAGCGGCATAAAGACACTAGCACTCAGCCGTAAAGCTCCATAACTCCAGCTATACGGCCGCAGAGCTCAAGCCATTGGCGTCAGACGATCGCTACCCACCCCAACGCCATCGCGCAAGCGCAAGATCTGCTTCAAATTGCCCAGCAAGATAGATAACGCAGCCAAAGCCATGCTGCTCCTCTACTGGCTCCTCGCTACAGCCGCAGCGCAAGAAATGGTGAGAATAGAAGGCGGCTGGGCGACCTTCGGCACGTCCTTTGCCGACGAGGACGTCCCGAAGACCTTCGCGCCCAAGGATACCGAGGGCGAGCAGCTCGCGGGTCTGAAGGAGTCGCTCGGCGACGACGTCTTCGGTGCCATCGCCAAGACGACGGGTCTCGATAAGCGACCGTCGTCCTTGTCCAGAGATGGTGCAAATGTAGCGCAGCAGCGCCGCGTGAAGACCTTCGACATCGACGCGACGGTCGTCTCGAACGACGAGTTCAAAAAATTTGTACGGGCCACGAAGCACGAGACGGAGGCCGAGAAGTTCCGCTGGTCCTTTGTGCTTGAAATGTTGGCGTCGAACGCGACGATCAACCAGAGCGACAGTAAACATGGCCTCGGAAGGGTCCAGTCGTCGCCGCACTGGCTCGGGGTCTACGGTGCCACCTGGCGGAAGCCGGAGGGCCCCGACTCGAGCATACGAGGCAAGGGCAACTACCCCGTCATCCAGGTGTCGTGGAACGACGCCGTCGCGTACTGCGCGTGGGCGGGCAAGCGGCTCCCTTCGGAATTGGAATGGGAAACAGCAGCTAGAGGAGGCCTCGAGGACGAGCCCTTCCCCTGGGGCGACCGCGATGATGATGTTCACAAAAGAATGAATGGCTGGGAGGGCGCGTTCCCCGACGAGAACCTGGCGAAGGATGGATATATTGGAGTCGCGCCGGTCGATCAGTACGCGCCGAACGCCTTCGGCGTCTATAATGCGGTGGGCAACGTCTGGGAGTGGTGCGCCGGCGGCACGCCGGAGAAGCGGCCCTTGCGGGGCGGCTCCTTCGTCGACACCGTCGATGGGAGCCACAACCACGCGCTGCGCTGCGCGACGCGGATGGACCAGACGGCTGATTCCGGCGGGCACAACACGGGGTTCCGGTGCGCGCGCGACGTTTCGGGGGAGGGGGAATTGTGATGTAATTTTTGTGTTTGCTTAGAGCTAGGCTTAGGCGGCGGACTCTTCATCTAAGTCACTTCTCAATCGTGCGACGAAGAACACAGCGGCAGCAACGAAGGCGCCTGATTTCTGCCGGTCTTGCCAATTCATCGACAAGGCAAGCGCTATGTCGCTCAACCTGTGAATTTCATCGCTGTCCCACTCCCGGAGCCAAAATATGAAACTGGCCATATCGCTCGGTTCCGCCCAGGATTCCAGCCCCGAGCCCACAAGCGACTCGGGATTCAAGAGCTCGTCGAGGGTTATCTCCCGATGGTAATCACCAAGGAGCGCGAATTCTCCCAGTCGTTCCATCCACAAACGCAACAACGTAATAGGCATCTCTGCCCGGTAGCGTCCTCTTCCTCTTGTTTCGAGGTGGTGTTCGACGCTTTCTAAGGCCATCGTGAGACGTCCGAGGCCGTCCATAGACGGCTCGACGAGTGCCAGGAAACGCGCCACACTTGGCTTGAACACCCCGACCATGCCGGCGAGAGTGTTACCACGGTCCCAATTCCAAAAAGTGTCAGTTAGTATCGTGCTATCGCCCGCCAAGCAACTCTCCCTTTTATTATTCCACAGCAGGATGAACTCCAACAGCACCTGTCTGGGGTCTACCGCCCACGCCGCTCGGAACGTCGCGGTCTCCGCGGCGGATGACGGCCGTTCCAGCGCGTTCGTGACCATGGCGTTCTCGACGACGTACTTAAGTGGCCTCCAGCGCCCGCGCGTCAGACATCGGCGTGCCGCCGATCGCATCGCTTTTGAGACTTGCTTTGCATTGGTGTGCACTTCCTCAAATGGCAAGAACTCGAGGCACCGCTCGACTAGCTCCGGCGGCAGGATGCCCGTAAACCCAGTTTGTGAACGGCGGCGCGGCATGGCGTGTGCCGTGCAAAGGGCTTTCAGAGTTTTTTTCAGCAAGCGTCTGCAGCAACCTTGGCGTCAAAAGTACCCATACAGTACCTATACCTACCTATACCTATCCTGAAAAAAAAAATCAGAAAGCCCCCAAAATTCCCTGAAATAACCGCCACATAGAGATACAATTAGGTGTATCCCCCCAGCGGCTCCGCAACTAGTCCTAGCACCGTCACGGTAACAGAATATACTAGAGATACCATAAACAAAGCTTACACACAACTACTCAACTCACAGCCATCGCCGCCAGAAACCGCATCATGGTCCCGTACGACTTCTTCGAAGCCCAGGACGAGGCCGTGCGTCCGGCCGCGTCGCGCTTCGACGCGTCGGCGCCGCTCTTCACAAGGCGCGTACAGACGTCGATCGCGCCCGCTGCCGCGGCGTGCATCAGAGGCGTGGCACCATTTGAATCGACGACGTCGACGCGGCACTTGCGTTTTAACAACGCCTTGACCGCCTCGAGGTTTCCCGCGGCCGCCGCGACGTGGAGAGGAGTGGCGCGGTCTCGCGCCCGCCGCGCGTGCAGGAGCTTCGGTCGCTGCCTTAATAAACCGTCCAGCGCCAAGACGTGGCCACGACTCGCCACGTCAAAAATACTGACCGCGTCGGGGTCCGCTTGTAACAATGCCCCGAGGGCGACGTGGCCGCGCGCCGCGGCGTAGTCCTTCGCCGCGCGGCCCTTGTGGCACATGGCGTCGCGCAGGGCGCCCGCAGCTAACAAAGCCAGGACGCCATCATCAAAACCCGAAGCGGCGCTCTGCATCAACGGTGAGACGCCGCGGCGGTCACCCAAGTTGACGTCGACATCGGGATGGGCCAGCAGCCGCCTGACGACAGATAATTTTCCTGCGGCGCAGGCCGCAAGTAGGATCGTGGCGCCGTGCGTGGAACCGTTGTCGACGCCGTTGAGCTCTACACCTTGTAAAAGGAGCGCGACGACGCCCTTCTCGTCTCCAATCGATGCCAACTGCCGCGCGTCATCCACAGCCGGGTCGAACTGCAACACGGGCGCCGCGAGGCCGTCCGCCAGGTCGGCCGCCCAGTTGCCCGGAACGACGTCCGCGTCGAGCGCGAGGCGCCGCCGCGCCCAATCCAGCGGCGTCCGGAACGCCCGGTCCCTCGCGTGTCTTTCGGCGCCCGCGGCCAATAACGCCAGAAGCATGGATGCGGAACCGCGGATCGCCGCATAATGCAAAGCCGTCAGGCCGTAGGGGTTGGACGCGTCGAGTTCGATACCAGGTACAGCGAGCAGCAGCTTCGCCGCATCCTTCGCGTCGTACGCACAGGCCGCGATGAGCGGCGTCCAGAGCTCGGGGTGGTAGGCCTCGCGCGTCTGGCACCGGCTCCTTTCGTTGACGTCCGCGCCGCGCGTGAGCAGGGCCCGGACGCCGTCGGCGTCGTCCCGTGCCGCTAGTAGAACGAGGGGGCGCTTCACAGGATCCGATGCGAGGAGCGCCAGCAGCCGCTTCCTGTCCGTCGAGAGAACGACCTCCGACGCGCGCCGGCCGGCCGCGTCCCTTACTGACGTCTTGGCGCCTCTATTTAACAGCAACGCGACGACGTCGGGCTGCGCGGCGGCCGTGGCTCGCATGAGAGCCGTCGCCCCATCGCCACCCGGCGCGTCGACGGCGGCGCCCCCGTCCAGCAACGCCCGCGCCGCGGCGACGTGGCCACAGTCGGCTGCTACATGTAAAGCCAGGTCGCCCTCCTTTGTAGATGCGTCGGCGGGCCAGTTCTGCGCGAGTAAGGCGGCGATCCGGTCGCCGTCGTTGCTATCGACTGCCGCCAGGACGACGGCGCCGTCTCTCGATGCAGTCTCCGGGGTCTCGAGCGCCGCTCGGAGTTGGGAGGAACCGCAATCACCACACCAGGCCAGCGCATCACGGCGGTCCGCGCCGCGGTTCAGGAGTAATGCGGCGCAAGCGGCCTGATTCAACGCTGTTGCCCGGCCCCGCAGCCCAACACACCACATCAGCGCCGTGGCGCCCTCGTGGGTCGCGTTCGGGTCCGCGTCACTGTCGAGCAACGCGGCGACGCAGGCCGGCGCCGTCGCGGCGCACGCGGCGACGAGAGCGGGACAGCCTTTGGCGTCGGCCGCGTCGGCGTTTCCCCCCTTGGCCAGCAGGGCGCGCAGCACGTCGACGTCCGCCTTCGATGCCGCGGCCACGACGGCCTCGTCCGTCGGCGGACCGCAGCTCAATAACACGCGCGTCGCGCGGTGCCGCGCGACCATGAAAGCTGTCCGACCTTTCACGTCGCGCTTTGACGCGTCGGCGCCCTTTCTCAGCAATGCGGCGCAGACGCTCGCCGCGCCGACGGCGGCTGAAGCCATCAGCGCCGTTCGCCCGTCCCGTAGCGTGGCGTTAACGTCCGAGACTTTCGCAAGAGCTTCGTCGACGCATACCTGGCCCTCGATCGCGGCGATGAGGGGAGAAACCACGCATCGCGCGTCCGGCGCCGAGACGTCGACGCCGGCGGCCAGCAAGAGCCGGAAGGCCTTGGCGTCGCCCCTTCCTGCCGCTGCGCAGGCCTCGTCCACGAGGGCCGCCGCTCTTACACCACTCTTGAAGGCCTCGTCGGAAATCAAGCCCTCGAGCGGCGCCGCGCTCCGCAGCTGTTGCGAAGCAAAGTCGACCGCAACTCGTAAAGACGCGGCTGCGTAGCCCCGCTCGCCCCGGAGCTGATATGATGACGCATACGTTTCGACGAACCAGAGCGTCGTGACCAGGCGGCGCGGGTTGGCCCGGATGGCCACATATGTTAAAGACGGCACGACGTCGTCGGCGCCCACGTTCTCGTAGGCCTCCAGTCTTCGCCCTTTATTCCTCACTTTCTCAGCGGCGGCGGCGGCGAAGCGGCAGCACTGCGCCACTCTATCCAAGACCTCGGAGACGCTTTGCGCGTTGTCGGTGGCGCGCAGCTCCTCGACGGCGACGGCCCACTCGCCGCCTATGTCGTTGTCGGCCTCGCCCGGAGCGCTCACGCCAAGGTGCTCGAGTCGCAGGAAGCGAAGCCTCCCTAACGTGACCGCGAGCTCGTCGTCGCCCCCGGGGCTCAGATTTAACAGGGCGTCGACGCAGGACGGCATGAGCCGCCGCTCGACGGCGGCCTCGCAGCGCTCCCAGAACTCGTCGTCCTCGTCCTCTTCCTCCTTCTCCCGCAGGTTCTTGAGGACGCCGTCGTCGCGTTGCAGAGGCTTGAGGAGCTTGGCCTCGCGCAGCGACCGGACGGCGCCGCGACAGGTGCCCCAGAACCGCCGCTGCCCATCTTCCGTGAGATCCGATTTGCTAAAGGACTCGCCAAAACCGTCGAGCCGCTTGCGGAGCGCCTTGGCCTTGTCGAGCGCCGCGGCGACGGCGCGCTCCGGCGAAGCAGTGTCGTCGGACGCCAGGAGGGCGTCCGCGAGCGTATCAGGCGCGGGGCTGGAGAAGGCCAGCCGCAGTGGCCGCGCCTCGCGGTTCAAGAGCGCCGCGGCGCCAGCGAAAGCCAAGCCGCCCACGCGCACGCCGTCGACGGCGACGAGCCGCGAGCCGAGCGACGGCGGCGGGTCCGCCGACGCGTAGCCGTCGACGCCGTCGACGACGCAGCCGTTGGTCACGGACGAGAACTGGAGGCCGATATCCTTTGTCTGGACGACGACGTCGTACGTTTCGCCGGGCGCGCGCACCGTGACGACCCGGCGGGGCGCTGCGGCTTCGGCCGTCGGTGAGGCGACGGCCCACGGGGCCTGGAGGCGCCCAAGACCCACCGCCGCGGCGCTTTCCGTCGCGGCCCGCTCCGCCTCGGCTTTTCGTCGCGCGGCGACGGCCGGCGGCGCTGCCAATACGGCCTGCTGGACCCGGTCCGGCGGGGCGCGCGCAGACAAGGGCCCGGTGCTCGCACCAATGGGCGCCGTCGACGAGCGGAACAGCGAGTCCGACGCCATGGCCCAGACCGCCGCCGCGTACGTCCGCCGCTCGAGGACGCTCGCCCACGCGCGCCACCGTTTCCGGCCCGCCTCGGAGGTGGCCCACGCCGTCACGGTCGTCGAGGCTCTGAGATAGCCCTTGGTCTCGGCGACGACCCAGCGCTCGCAGAGATTCCACTCGTCGTCATCAGGACCCGTGGCAGTGCCGAGCTCCGCTTGAGACGCAGCGGCACGCGCCGCGCCCGGATTCGCCGCGGCCCAGCACCGCGCCTCAAGGATGAGTCCGTCGTCCTTCACGAACGTACAGCGCTGCGCCTCGCGTATCGCCACGCCGTCGCAGGCGTACTGGACACGGCGCTCGCGGCAGGCGCCGTGCTTGCTCCACTTGCCGAAGACGACCGCGGACTGACCGCCGTCATGCCTAGCGCGCTCTCCTGGTTTTACGTCGTCGGCGAGAAACAACAAAAAGAAGGGGCTCGCCGGCATCGATATGGTCACCTCGCCGATGGGTCGGAGCGCGGTGTGCTCGTGGAAGCCGAGGAAGGGGAGAGTGGGCGTTTTAGCGCACTGCCACGAGTTGTCTTGTACCACCGGCCACGGCGGCCCTTCAGCCATTCTAGGGGTGTGAGAGGCTTTATGCACAGGGTTGCTCCAGGACGGCGACAATGGTTCTACGCTGTACCAGCTCGAGAGTGAGTGTGCTATCGCTGCAAGCGACCTTCACTTAACCGGTAACCGCCCTTTTTAGCGTGCAGAGCAAAAAAAAATGCTGCTCAATCCCTAGCGGCATGTGAGGCACTAGCAAGCTAAAAAAATTTAATTGCGCTCTGAACCGCAATTTTGCCCATACGACTCATTTCCGAACTGCCGTTTATCGTTCATCTGTTTTTCGGTTGGCACGCTGACGCGCGGAGCAACTTTCGCAGCGCTGAAGCGAGACACAGCTCGTGCTGGCATTACAGTGCTCCTGCAGCGCTGCAGAGCCGTCGCGCGGAGTATAGCATGGCGCAAGACCGGCCGCCCGCCCCGCCCTTCCCCCGCGACGAGGTCGACCCGAAGACGGCGATCGGCTCCGCGCGAAACCAGCAGCCCTTCGTCGAGTACTTCGCGCGCGCGCCGCCGGAGAGCGGCACGAAGGGCACGTGGCCCAAGCCCGAGGCCTTCGAGGCGGCGCCGAAGCCGCCCGCGCCGCCCTCTTCAAAACGCGAGGCGTCCGTGCTGTTCGTCGGCCTGGCGTGTGTTGATGTTGTGATGAGTGTAGACAAGTACCCGACGGAGGACACGTGCTGCCGCGCGTCGAGTATGCGACGGTGCCGCGGCGGCAACGCGTCCAACTCCGCGGTCGTCGCGCGCGCCTGCGGCGTCGATGCGACGTGGCTCGGGACGTGTCCTCGGCGAGACTCGATGGATTCAAATTTTATAGTAGGTGATCTCGAGGCCTGCGGCGTGAAAACGGCGCCCGTCTTTCGGGATGCGGTCGAGCACGCGCCCACGTCACATATAGTCCACAACACTTGCACATCCTCTCGGACGATCGTCCACTGCCGGGGCGCGTTGGACGAGTTGCGGGAGAGCGACTTTCCTGAACCGGATTTCGATTGGGCGCACTTCGAGGGCCGCGCGGGGAACGCGGACGTTTTACGGGAAGCGATGCGGCGGTATAGAGAAGCGGGTACCACAGTCTCGCTCGAGCTCGAGAAGCTGGACGAAAGTCTCGATTCGTTAGAAGACGAAGCTGACGTTGTCTTGTACTCGAAAGAACGCGCCGAGCGGGACGGCTATCGAGATCCGGTCAAATTCTTAGCGAGAAAAGCCTCGGACTTTTGTAAAAGGGGCCAAGCCCAAAAGATCATGACCTGCGCCTGGGGCGAGCACGGCGCCGCGGCCTGCGCCGTCGAGGGTTTGACGATCCTGATTTTGAGAGCAGGTGCTCTGAAGACGGACGTCGTCGACACGGTCGGCGCCGGCGACTCCTTCAACGGCGCCTTCGTGGCGGCGCTGGCGTCGGGCGACGATGGGGGCAACGACGGCGCGCTGGGGCGGGCGCTGCGCGTCGCTAGTCATGTCGCGGGGCAGAAGGTCGGGCGCGTGGGCTTCGCGGGCTTGCGGTACCCGTCCGTGGCCGATTGTTCCGAGATATGGCTCGAGGTCGCGGCGCAGTGTGGGAGTAAGTAACATGTCTTATTTAACAACTAGGAACTTCTTGCGGTCATCGCCGCCGTAGTGGCGCGGGTTCTCCGCGTGCGTATAGAGCGGTAGTTGCGCGCGCAGCGCGTCGCAGGCACGGCCGGCGCGGTTCTTCGCCGCGTAATCGCCGTCCTCGAGATCACCCCATCTCTCACCCGTGGCGAGATCACCGATGCGCCGTGCCTCCTGATCCCGGCCGCAGGCGGCGTCGAATCGGCAGCGGGCGCACTCACACGTGAATGAGGAGCGCACCGGTCGCGCCGCCTGCTCGACGCCGACAACCGGCCAAGAAGGAGGTATGCGCAGAAAGCGAATATTCCAGGGGTTCTGGAATGTCACGGGCGTCTTCTTCTCCCACGATCTATGGTTCGTCGCTTTAATCGCGGCGGTCAATCTCTCGTCGTCCCATTCTCCGAAGCCCATGGCCCGCAGCGACGCGCGCAACGCCTGGCGCGGAGGCACTAGCTCTTGCTTGTCAGCTAGTTTCGCAGCGACCAAAAGATTCGACTCTCGGAGGACGGCGTGGACCAGTCGAACGTCGGCCCAAGCGACCTCACCTCGGCAGCCCCAGGTAAGGCCCGGTTGCAGCGTTTTCAGAGACGCATAAATGTCCTGTAGCGGTTCGGCGAGTTCTTTCTCGTCCCGCACAAGGACGCTCTCGGCAAAAGAAACGCGCGGCAGTTCGGCCGGTGAATAGGCGGATAGCCACTTGTTCCGACGGAGTTCGTAGTCTTGGACCGTAACGCTCTCCCCGCCGTCATCCGCCGCGTGTGGGCACGCCGGGAGGGCCGCGTCGAGCTCGGCCATCTTCCACAAGACCCTCTCCTCCCGCTCGACGCGCAGCGGGCTGTCGCGATCTAAGCGCTCGACCGGGACAGCGCACGGGAGGCCGTGAACGGTGCCCGAAATCACCAGGCGCATGCAGGAGTACGCCTTCCACGGATCTCGCGGGCAGGACTCCGGTGCCGGTGGAGTCCAGGGAGCGCGCGCGCGCGTCCGCTCCGACGCGCCGCGCCCGCCAGGCTCGTCAGTCAACAATCGAAATATGAGGTGCGCGGTGGCGTTCCGGGCCCGAGGAGCGTCTTCATCGCCGTCGGGATCACAATGCTCGCACCGCGCGTACGAGACCGCCTCGTGCTCGAACCGTACCTCATCGAGCACGACCTCCGCGTTACTGTAGCAGCGAGCAAACCCGTGCGCCAGATCGGCGGCGCGCCACGCGCGGCCGCCGCGCCGCCGCAGGTGCTCACCAAACTGATACTCATGTTCGGTGTAGCGGCTGTCCCACTTGTCCGGCGTGCAGCTATCGGCGCCGTCCGCCCGGAACGAAAAGAGGCACGCGCCCTCGAGCACCTCGCCCGGAGGCCGCCCGCACAACGACTCACCTGCTTGCTCGTCGACGAGAAGGGCCCCGCCGCGCGGCTCTCCCTCCCTATGAACGTATTTCGTGGGCCGGCCCATGAGATCGTAGCGGCTGCGCTCGCCGGCGGGCAGCGCCTCGGTCTCCGGCAGGTGTTGGATAACGTGCAGGCCGTGGCAGAGCGGCGAGTCGGGGAGCAGGTCCCGGGCGAAGTTCAAAAGCGCGTCCATTTCCTCGCCCCAGTGTCCAGCTCCGTCGAAGTAGTAGCGCTCCGGCCACTCCTCGTCAGCAAATTCGTCCGGCGACGCCATCGTGCGGTCTATATAGATGTGGTGCGCGTCGAGGCGCCAGGGCAGGTGCGAGGCGGCCGCGAGGAAGCCCGTCCAGGCGAGCGAACCTCGGAAATACATATCATATTCAGTGTAGTCGGGGTAGTCCCGCTGCAACGCGGCCGAGCGCCACGCCAAGCACGCGTGGAGGCGCCTAGCCGCGGCCCGGTGCGCGTGCGAGTACACCAGCGTGCCGGTGCCGTCGTCGAGCTCCGCCGCGTTCCAGGGCCCCGTGACGCTATCGGGCGCGTCGGACGGAGGTTGTCCAACAAATCGAGCCTCCGCGTCGGCGGCGTCGACTGGTGTGAGCTGAGGCGTCGCCGCCACGGCGCAGGGCCGCACGCCGAACAGGCTCTGGTGCGTCGCGGCCATGTGCTTGTCGATGATCGCGCGCCATCGCTTGCACACGAGTCGGAGTGGCACGCAGCCTATCGCGCCGGCGAGGGACCGCAGCTCGCGCGCCGTCTGCTGGCGCTCATCGTGGGATGACCAGTCCTCGTCGTCGGGCCGCGCGTACTGAATGGCGCCGTCGAGGCGCTGGACAGCATATGGGCAGTAGCTGTGGATCAGGTGCTCGTAGAGGTCCTCTGGCAGGGTCATGCTGGCCATGCTCTCCAAGCTGCTGCTCTCTCTAGCACTGCGAAATCGCTTGCTTCGTGCCGCAGCTGTCGCAGCGGTGATCGCGCACAACTATGGGACCATGTGCTGCGTTTTGTTTGATATATGGCGACGCTTGCTGGCACTGCAGCCGCCTGGGTCATCACACAGGCGAATACCCGCTCGCTGCGACGCGCGCGGCGTTCCGGGATATATCGCAAACACACACAACTTAATAACAGCATACGACATCGACGAGGCGACGCATCACTCGTCGGGCCGGAACGGCCGCGCCCAGACCGCCTCCTGATCATCGATGCGCTTCGCGAGGATCACCTCGAGGCACGTCCTGTCTTCGGAGAGGGCCCAGGTGCACTCGCTCGCGACGACGGGGCCCTCCAGGGTCCTCGCGACGACCGCGGCACCCTCCAGCGACACCGATAGTTTTTGTGAACCGAACTCGACTTTCATGGCTTTCGCCGACGGCGCCGCCCGCGGCAACTTCACATCAACCTCCATGCGCTCGGGCGTCTCGCGCCATAGCCACCTTTCTGGAGTCTCCCCATCAATACTGCCGCCGGTCGGCCAGTACGTCTGTCGTTCGGGCTCCTTGTCGTCCGGCACGACGTCGTCCAACAGGTCTTCTTCCATGTCGTCGAGCAGCGCCTTCTCCTCGACCGTCTCCTCGCGCGCGTCGCCCCTTTCTCTCCTTTCGGCGGCAAGCTCGAGCTCCCTCCTTAGTACATCGTCGTCGTCGTCGTCGACCCGATCCGCGCCGAACACCTCGACGCCCGCCGCCCAGTCCCTTACATTTAACAGCTCGAGCTCGAACACGACGTGCGCTTGCGCGGGAACGTGCGGCTCCGCGCCGTCGCCGAAGGCCCAGTCCGGCCCCGCCAGGATCTCCACCCGATCCTGGGGAGCCATCGTCGCCACGCAGGCGTCCCAGGCCCGCGTCGCTTCGCCGGACCCGCCGCCGAGCGTGAATTCTAACGTGCTGTTCGGCTGCAGCGCCCCTATCCTCTCGCCGCGGCACCACCAGTTGCCCTGCTTCTCGGCGAGCCAGGCCGTCCAGCGCACGCTGCACTCGGCGCCCGGCGGCGGCTTCGGGCCTCCTCGAGGTGGCGTAAGCCGTCGAACGCAGCACGCGCCCTTGCCGTTCGAGAGGTCTTCCCAGCCTTGCGGTGCGGCCCTTGGTGCCGTGATGCGTTTTCTGGGAGTGTGGTGGAAGGCCTGGGCCGCCTGCGTTGCGCAGAGGAGCGCTGCTGCTGCTGCTCTTGCTCTCATAGCTCACACAGCTGCAAAATCGTGCCGGTTTTCGTTGCAGCTCTTGTAATTCGAGTAATTGTACGCGATAATTGAGCTCTGTGCAGTGAGTACAGTCCAGCGGCGGCTAATTGCGCGCGGCCAAGTGCCTCTGCAGCAGCAAGACTGCCTTTGCGGTCAAATCCGTGCCTTCGAGCGTGTCTACTTGTCCAGAGGGTCGCAACGAGTCATGTGAGAGCGCCCAAACGAGAAATCAACTCGGCGAAAAACCCGATACCCTCGACGATTTTGGCTCAGCGATTTTGGCCTAGCACCGCCTACGACGCTCTCCGGGGACAGCTGAGGCAACGCTGGTCGAGTAGAGGAGCTCTGTTGGCACCATGCAGGTTGCAAGCTGCGTCTATCATACACACGGCGACTAGAGAGCCCAAATGGCGAGCCGGCTCAAATGCTGCTATTTTGGCGCGCGGCGGGCGAGCGATGGACCGAACGTGGCCTCCTCGACGCCTAGGCGACGCCCACGGTCGGTGCTCCGCTTGGTAGCACCGCGCTGCGGGTTGTTGCTCTGGCGGCCGCCGAGACGCCGCGAGCGGACGCCGCGCGGCACACACACACAGCCAGGACGCCGCCGCAGCACACACACAAGCAGCGACACTCACCGCTTTTATCACCCACACAGATCTTCGTCAAGACCCTCACGGGCAAGACGATCACGTTGGACGTCGAGCCGTCCGACACGATCGACAACGTGAAGCAGAAGATCCAGGACAAGGAGGGCATCCCGCCCGACCAGCAGCGCTTGATCTTCGCGGGCAAGCAGCTCGAGGACGGCCGCACGCTCAGCGACTACAACATCCAGAAGGAGTCGACGCTCCACCTCGTTTTACGGCTGCGCGGCGGCGGCAAGAAGCGCAAGAAGAAGACGTACACGAAGCCCAAGAAGACGCCCCACGTCCACAAGAAGGACAAGCTGCGGGTCCTCCGCTTCTACAAGATCGAGGACGACGGAAAGGTGACGCGGCTCCGGAAGTACTCGCCCGTCGCGGGGACCGCCGGCTGCTTCATGGCACAGCACTTCGACCGGTACTACTGCGGCAAGACGGGCCACACGTACTTCTACAACAAGGAGAAGGAGTCGTCCTAGGCTTGTTACCTTAAAGTGGTGTTTCTTCATCTCGGCTGGCGCGCCTTCACCACGACGTCGCCTCTGCTCGACGGCGTGGAGGTTGCGCGATCTTTCCGCGTCGCGCGAATTTGAGCTAGCGGCATAAAGACACTAGCGCCAACCGGCGCGAGCTTAGCCCGCTGACTAGCCCGTCAAAGCTCGCTCGTTTGCAACCAAAACGCCATCTGGACACACGTCGCTCGCCACCCTTGCAGCGTCGCCTCCGTTTTCGCGCGCGCGTGCACCCAGCACAAATAGCTGGTACCATGCGGCTGTGTTTAGTTTTGCTAGCCGCCGCGGCCGCGGCCAAGCGCCAGCAACCACCACCGCCCGCGGACGACCGCCAGCTCTTCCGCGAGGCGCTACAGGAGCGAGATTTCAAAACCGCACTAAAAACAGCACCAGCGGCGTACGCCACCTGGTGGCAACAATTACTCAAAGACGACCCGTACCACGTCTTTATTGAAACATTACTGATTGCCTTCCTCCTGTACTTGTTGTACGGCACGCGCCGCGCGAAAAACTCCCAAAAAAAGGAGCAAGCATTGACCGACAGAGAAATCGACGACCTCGTCAGCGACTGGGCCCCCGCGCCGCTCGTAGGAACGGCGAGCGCGCCGCCGCCGGCCATGCGCGTCGTGACGCCCGCGGCACAACCGGGCCGCGTGCACGTGCGCAAGGACACGAACACCGCGAAGTGGTCGTCTGGCGACCCCCTCACCAAGCCGACGAAGCAGGGCGCCCTGAACTGCGGCGCCTTCGACTTCCTGGCCATGGGGTCCTCGGTCAAGGTGCGCGAGGCGGCCCAGGCAGCTTTAACGAAGTACGGCTGCGGGAGCTGCGGCCCGCGCGGCTTCTACGGCTCGATCGACGTCCACGAGCAGCTGGAAGCCAGGGTCGCGTCGTTCTCGCACACGAAGCAGGCCATCGCGTTTTCCGATGCCGCTTCTTGTTGCACGTCGACCGTCGCCGCGTTCGCGAAAAGAGGCGACCTATTAGTGGTCGATGATGGGATCTCGGAACCTTTAAGGACGGGCTGCGTGCTATCGAGAGCAAGAGTCGTCGCGTACAAGCACAACGACGCTAATGATTTAAAAAGAGTTATGGAGGGGATTAGACAGGCGGACCGGCGGAAGGGCCGCGCCCCAACCGCTCAAAGAAGGTTCGTGGTCTGCGAGGCCGTGTCGCGAGACCACGGCGGCGACGTCGCGCCGCTGAAGGAGATTTTGGCACTGAAGGACGAGTTCGGCTACCGTTTGATTCTGGACGAGTCGCTCTCCTGGGGCGTCTTGGGCGCGACGGGCCGGGGCCTCAAGGAGGCTTGTGGCATCGAGGATCCTACTTCCGTTGAGATCACGTGCGTGGACCTCGCGCCGGCTTTAGGTTCGAACGGAGGCTTGTGTATTGGCACGGACGAAGTGGTAGCCCACCAGCGGTTGAGTGGAGCGGGCTACTGCTTCTCGGCGGCGGCGCCGCCCTTCTATTCGGCCGCCGCTTTGGCGGCGCTGGACATCTTAGATTCTAGTGAGGGGCAAAAACGACTCTCAAAACTGCGTAGCAACGCGTCTTTACTGAGAAAGGAGCTGGCCAAGGCCTTCGACGGCGACGCTTTGTTGAGTGTCGTCGGTACAAATATAGAGGTCGACCTGGAGGATGATCTGGACGTGCCCTTCGTGTTGCTGGAAGGTGCGTCATCAAAGACCCTCGACGCCATCATCGACGCGGCCTACGCCAGTGGCTACGCCGTGTCCCTCGCGACGCCGCCGGCCGACGACGCGGCGCCGGCCCTGCCGCCCCTCAAAAAGAAGCCGCTCGCGCTCCGCGTGACGACGACGGCCGACCACGGCGCGGCGGACGTGAGGGGGCTCGTGGCGGCGCTGGCGAAGGCGTCGGCGAAGGCGACCGCCTAGGTATCATCTATTTTCGTTACTCTTGGGGTCTTCTTCGTGGTGGGGGTGTCTGGGGGGTGCGTGTAGTCGTTATCAGGATCATGGTCAGGAATCGTCGCCGCCCGCCGGCGGTTGCGGTGTAGATTCCTTCCAGTAGCCTTTGGGGTCCTTCCAGATGACGCCGTCGCAGCCGGGGATGAGAATTGGCAGTTTGTCGTTGTCCCAGGGGAACCTGCGGCCGTCGGCAGATCCGAGCTGAAACTCGTCGACGTGGGCCTCTCGGAGGCGCGGGCAGCAGCTCCGCTTCAGAGCTTGGACGACGTGGACCTGGAATGCGATTCCCTCGCTGCAGCGCAGGACCTCGATATTTCCCGCGTGCCGCAGGAGCTTCTTGTAACCGTCATGATCATAGTGGACCTTCCCGCTGTCATCGCAAAACTTCAAGATCCCTCCATACCTGCCCACATCAAGAAACCGCACGTTCGGCACGAGGGCGAGGGCCTCGGCCAGGTCCGACCTGGTCGGGCCGTAGGCCGTCGAGAGGTATTGGAGGCGAGGGACGTGCTTCAGAATAGGCGGCCACGCAGTATCGCTCCAGTCGTCGCCGACAATAATGGCCGCAATTCCTTGCTGCGGCGGCAGATTCACCGCCTGATTGGGCCGTAAAACGCCGTGTGACAGAAGAAATAAATTGGTCTGAAAAGAGTCGGGCTCTTCGGCCGTACGAGACGAAAAGTAGACGACGGTGATTTGTGCGCGCAATTCCTTCAGGTACGAGAGAATCACCGCGGGGCGCGCGATGCTTGGTAGCTTCAGCATGGTCAGCGGCCGGTTCAGTAGCGGGCGCAAGTGGACGCGTGCCCAGTCGCGCAGCGCTTCCGTGAGGCCCTCCTCGTCTACGGGCGCGCCCGAATCGTCGGGGTTCGGCTTGTAGGTGTCTAGCACGGGTAGCGCGCGCAGCGCCGGTCCGGGCTTTCGCATGTCCACGCAGTGACAACCCACACATTCCTCGCGCACGCAGCCGACGCCGCGGCACGGGGTCATCCCCCATCTAGGCGCGCGCAGCGCGGCACGCCAGCCCTTGTCCGCGTGTGACACGGTAACGCGATCCACACAAATCAGGAACGGGCTCACAAGACACGCTAGCGTGTCTCGCGGCAGCTGTGCCGTCAAATCGGCAGCGCTCGGTTTGTTTGTCGCCATTCCTCGGAGATTTTGGCTGCTTGGTGCGCGTCGCGTATGTGATGGTTTAATATGGCTGCCCCGTGCCGCGCAGGCGGCGAGCGGCGCGATAACAGCGCCAAAAAGGCCGTGGTTGATTTTTTGACAAAATCGTTCTGCGCGGGGTGTCCCGGCGGCCGGGCGGCTCCCCGCACGCGTCCGAAAAACTGCAGCTAGATACACAACACCTTATACGACGCCAAGAAGTCACAGATCCTCGCAGTCGCCCAGCACCTCCCCCTCAGCGAGATCCCAGAGCCCGAGGTACTGGTCCGCGTGCGCATCGAGATACAACCTCGATGGGTCGCGCGCGCAGTAGGGCCGCTTCAACAGATTCGTCCGGTGCCCATTCGCCAGGACGTATGAAGTATCGAAGTCGTCTGCTTTCACGTACGTCGAGGTCAACAAGTACGAAGCGCCGGACCCATGCAAGTGTCTGAGGACGGCCCTCCCATCACCAACGGGCAGGTGGAACAGCAAATGTCTACACAAAATCAACGTGCGGCGCCCCCGGACCAGGCTCCTCAACTGATCAACTGATGATTCATCAGCGACGTCCAGCGCCATGAAAGTGAGGGAGGGATGCTTCTCAATGTTGGAAGCTATCACACTCTGGACGACGTCAATGCCCACGTACTCCACACCTCGTAAATCGACAGAAGCCATCCAGGTCATATCACCACAAGGGGCGTCGATCAACAACTCGATGTCAAACTCCCTGATGAGCTGCTCTATGGTCGTGATGGCGTTCTTCGCCGCGTCCAGAGTGGATCCGGGACCACTCGCGGGGACCCCTGGCATCTTGTGCTGCGCCGCCCAGTACCCCAATTCATACACTGTCGAGAAATATGAACTACGGTCCCATTCCGTTGTTGTTCCCGTGTGACTTTTGATATCCACGTTGCCGCTTCCTACTCCTACACTGAACTGGGTCGAAGCGGACGCGACTTCTGTACCATCGGAGAACATGGTCAATACGAGCGACCGTTTACCGGGCAAGAGTGACGTGAGCACGAGCTGCTCGCGGGCCATCACATCTAGTTGATTGCAGGTCATGGGCTCGCCGTCGAGCGCCACGCAGACGCGGTAGGCCTCCGCTCGGTCGCCTTCCGGGAGCGTGCCCGTGAATCCTAATGTTACGTCTCTCTCCGATGTTTCCGAATTATTTTGAGGCGACCAGACGTCGAGGCGCTGGGCGCTTGCGATGGTCAGGAGCGCGCACCACCACCAGAGGCTGCCCATGTCTTTGTGCTCACGCTCCGGGGCGCATCGATGGCGTGCTCGTTGCGCTGGTTATAGTGGTACTAATTACAACCCATTCGGCCTGCCTGGTGATGCGTGCGGCGCACAAGGAGCTTGCCAATTGGCATGCGGCCATGGCCATGGCAGCCGGCCTCGGCGGCGCCTTTGCGGCGGCGCAGGCCGCCAGGGAGTCAAACAGACCGCTCCTAGAGCTCTTCCGGGACTGCTTGGAGATTTCATTTCAGGCCGACGACGGGCCTCGGCCGCGCGACGAAGGCGCTAATCAGGGCGATACGCGCCCAACAATTAGCCGAACGACAAGCCGCCGTTTCGGCTTCGACCACTGCCCTACGGACCACGTCACAGCGGCTGCGCCGGCACGCATATCGCCCGTAACGCCGACGCCCTGAAACCGACAAAATCTAGCCGAGACGCAAGCCCGACGCAGCCATGATCCCCAGCCCGCGCTCCGTCACGACGCGCCCCCCGAGCCCGGCCGACGACATGGACGTGAGCGACGACGAGTGCCCCATCCCCGAGATGCCCTCGTTTTTGCCGGCGCTGCTCATCGAGTGCCTCGGCTACCCGGCCGGGCTGGGCGCCATGGTCGCGTGCCAGAGCTGGCGCCAGCAGGCCGAAAGGATATTTAGAGCCGAGTTAGCTGAATTACGCACCGCCAATGATTGCGTGGCGGAATATCTGGATCTGCCCAAGAGCACCAAATCCACGATCAGCGTGGCCTTCTCCGCGGACCATCGACGCTTCGCGTCGACGCACGGCGACCACACGGTCAAAGTTGTGGATTTTGACAGCAAGGAGGTCGTGTCTACGCTCGTCGGCCATCCGCGAACCCCATGGACGGTCAAATTTCACCCGACGGATCCGGACATCGTGGCGAGCGGCTGTCTCGGCTTTGAAGCTCGAGTATGGAACTGTACCACTCAAATATGTTTGCGGAAGGCCGAGTTCAACCGCGCGATCATCTCGCTGTCCTTTCACCCGTCTGGAGACATCCTTGCGGTCGCCGCTGGTACCGCTATTTACTTGTGGGATTATAGTTCAGGAGCGCCTCCCATAAGAGAATTCGTGCACGAGCACCCCATTCGCTGTTTGCGGTTCTTGCCTTCCCGTGATGCTCTCATTGTCGGGGCGGCGAACAGTACGAGAGGCGAAGAGGATGATAGACTGACGTTCCAGCTCATGCTCTGTGCCTTTGACGTGAATGCTGCCAGAGAGGACGCCTCTTCGCACTCTACCAGAGCAAGACTCACGTCCTCACCTACTTCTTCCCTGGAAAACGAGCCGCCGCTCGTCGCGCGGGAGCAAGGCGGCGGCCGCGCCATCGGCGCGCACCCGCGCAAGGTGCTGAAACGTGCTTTATTCTACAATGACGGCGGGTTTGACGTCTCGCCGTGCGGGCGCTTTCTAGTGAGCTGCGCGGAGCTGTATGTCCCTGGGGCCGCGGTGAGCACGGAGACACCTCCTGCGGAAGAGGCGAACGAGCCGCCGCCGCCGCCTCCATTACGTTTGCATCCTTCCACGCCGTCGATGCCGCTGCCGTCGTTTGTCTCGCGGTCTCCAGCCACACCTGGTAGTAACCAGAGCTTCTTCGGGCGGATCTTCGCGTCGCCGCAGCCGTCGACGCCGCCGCGACCCTGGTCCGTCACGTCCACGCAAACGCCGCCGCCGCCGCCCGCCCCGGTCCAAGAGGGCCGATACCGGCCTCATCTTGTGGTGGTGTCCCTGACGGAGGAGACCGAGGAGGGCGAAGGGCGGTTGTTGCAGGCCGCGCCCTTGGACTCGCAGAGCTTCTCGACCAATACCACGGAAGCGGGCGGTTCTGATATCGTCACTTCTGTGAAGCTGTCGCCGACGGCATCTTTGGTACTACTGGGCCACTCGCGGGGCGGCGACGGGACGTCTTCGGATTCCGCACCGCGAGTCGTGAGCGTCACTTATAGAGTGGGCGACATGGCGCGAGTAGACGTCCGAGAAGAGGTCGGCGACGACGTGAACATCGCGCGCTTCCACCCGACGCCGGGCCGCGGCCTCATCTACGGGACGAAGCAGGGCAAGCTCTGCCGCATGACGCCGCGGCCGCCGACGCCTACTCCGCCCGCGGGGCCCTAGCTAACTTGCTTGATTACGATAGTATTGCCGGATACTTAGGTTGTCATCGCTCCCACCGCCTCGCAGATGGAGGTCACGTCGCCCGACGCTGCATCTTCCACCGGCGCGGCATCGGCGGCGAGCGTCTTTGCGAGCTCTGCGCGCTCCTGGGCGAGTTTCGCGCGCGCCGTTCGAAACGCGTCCTGGGCAAGCGTCTCAGGCGTTTCGCGGGCGCGGAGCGTGGCTCGCGCATTTTGCAGGGTCCCCTCAATGTTCTTTGTGAGGGGATGCGAGCCACCGAGCACACGCCGCGCGGTCCGTCCAGCGTCCTCGAGCGTCGACACGGCCTCACGGAGATCGTCGAGCGTGGCGGCCGGGTCGTCGTAGAGCGCCGTCGCATAAATCGACCTCATCATGAGCACGAGTTGTTCATTCTCCCCGAGAATGCGCCGCGCAACGGGCATCGTTTTACGCACGAGCGACTTGGCTTCTTCGAAGCGGCCAAGACCAAAAAGGGATGTCGCGTAATTGTTGGCTGCTATGAGAGTGTGTCTATGTTGCTCGCCATTGAGCTTCAAATGTCCGGAGTATACGTCTCGCTTCATTTCTAGGGCCTCTTCATCCCGTCCTAGCTGGTCATACGTCACCGCAAGATTGCTCTGTACGTCGAGCACATCTTCTTCTGATGCGCCAATGCGCCGCATCATAGACAAATTAGCCTCTTCCACGGACAACGCGTCCTCGTGATTTCTTGTAGCGGCTAAACCGCTCCCAAGCACACTCATCGCCATGCCCCGAATCTCGTCCTCCGGCCGCCCCAAGTACGTCTTCCAGCATGCCCACCCCAGCGCGCAATACACGACGCCATGGTAGTCTTGCTTGCACAAGCTGCACGTGTTCCACCGATGCCACCGATCATTCATCATCTTCCCGTCCAAATTGTTCTCCTCGCCCTCCGCGAACAAAATCTTGGCCTGCTCCGCCAAGCACGAAACGTGCGCGAAACCTGCCGTCCCGCGGCACGAGCACCCGCGCACGAGGCCCTCCTTCGTTTTCCAGTGCAAAGCTTGTGTACAGATGTAGCACGTCTGGCCCTTGGTGTCCTCCGCGCACGCCTCCGCCGCGTCCGTCACGGCCTCCGCGTACTTCTTATTTGCGTTGTATTGCTCAGCGCCGCCTGCTTTTTTTATTGGTTTGCAGAGCTTGTCGTGCCCGCCTTCTTTCCAGTGCTGCACCTGGCATTCGGGTCCGCAGTAGCGCGTGCTGCAGCGGCCGCATTTCTTGCCCAAGGTTAGCCCAAGGTCGGTGGCGCAGACGGCGCACTGCGTGAGGATCATCTCGTATATGGTCAAATCGCTCGGGGCAGCCGCGACGCCGTCGACGCGAAAGGCGAGCTAGCGGTCGTAAGACACTAGCATTTAGGCCGGCCGGGCGCGCAGCAGCCTCATACATGCGCGTCGCGGCCATAGACGTGGACAGCGAACGCTTAACAAGCACCGCAAACCGCCGCGCCAGCTCTGCACCGCGAGAAGGCGCCGCGGGCAGCCATCATCGCACCACACCCATGGCCCGCACATGAGAAGTGCATTGCTCCTAGCCGCCGCAGCCGTCGCCGACGACGCGCCGGACTGGCTGCCGGCGTCGCTGCGGCGCCTCGGGCCCGTGACGCGGTCCGAACGCCACTGGCAAGAACTGAAAAACTTCTTCCGACCCGGCGGCCCCTCGGAAAACTTCCGCATAGCCGTCGACGCGAGCTGCGTCGAGGACGACCTGAGTTATGACACGCGCTTCCGACCGCCGCGACCCTTTTCGGACAGGTCGATGCCCTGGTGGCGCCTCGGGTCTTATCAGTTAACACATCCGAAATGGTCGCTGGAAGTGTGGCTGCCTCTGGTGATTGCGAGGAGTCGGTGGTACACCGATCACAAGCCGAACATTACCTTAGTACCTCATGCAAATACTCCGAGAACAAAAAACGGCAAGACGCGGCCGCGCCATGCTTTAGGTTGGTGCCGCGACCGCGTCGCGGCCACGAATCCGCACTGGGGTGCCAATGGTGATTCATTTTTCTTCGTGGCAGCGTCGTCGCGAGGGCCTTGCTGTGATGGGGGCCAACCGCGCGACCCCGGGTTGTTGCGGCACCACTTCATCGGCCACGTTGGGGAGAGGTCAGATGGGCCCTGGCTGTTCCGAGAAGCGCGGTTCGCGGATCGGCTATTGCGGGACTCGCAGTACAAGGCCCCCGTGACGAGAGATACGGCGCCGCGCATTCGCTGCTTCGACGAGAGGAAGGACATTTCCGTACCTCCACCAGTATTCCTACTTCGCGACCGCGGGGCCGGCGACATTCGCGGGAGAAGTGAAGGTGAGGTACCTTCGTCAGACCGAGATGTTTTGGTGCTCGGTGCGGAAGGGGCTTCCGGAGGCCTCGAATATGATTTGAGGAGGGCCCTGACGGATTTTTACGACCCCGGGGGCCCGGACCGACGGAAATACAATCAGGAGGACCCGCCGATTGCTGGAGACGTCGTCATCCGTTTCCGCGTGCCCTCGAAAAATTACACGTCCCTGTTAAAGAGGGCGAAGTACTGTCTGGTGACGGAAGGCTTCTCACCCTGGTCACCTCGCTTAACGGAGGCCGTCGCGCACGGCTGCGTGCCCGTATTTTTATCTCCTTTGTTAAGGCCGCCCTACGCGTCTGTGCTGGACTACGCGAAGTTTAGTATTTGGTTGACTGAAAAGGACATACCGCACATACCTTCTCTCCTAAGAAGGTACGACCATGCGTCATTATTTGAGAATCTGATGCGCGTCAGACCATTATTTGCGTTCTGCGTCGATGGTGGAGGCGAGGACGGCTGCGGGCGCGGTGGTAGTCTGGGCGTGCCCGGCGACGGGCTGCCCTTTTTGGTGTATGAGATGTTCTCTCGTCAAGTGAACGCTTATACTGATACGTCCTCCACTCTATTGACGGAGGGCGGCTATACATCCGTGGACTACGCCTGCAACGCGGAGGACGGATCGTGTTCCCTCTCCCTGAAGGACGAAAGGTGGCGCTGCGCCATGGCGAACCGCCACGCGTGCATGTGCCAGCGCGAAGTGGATGGGGTCTACCGCTACGTGGGCAACACCACAAACCTCAAGGGCCACAAGAAAAATTTATATCACAACTAAGTTATTGTTCTAGCTTCCGCCGTTTCCGCTTCTCCATCGCATTATTGCGATCCCTCTCGTCCACAAGCGCCTGGAACTCGCCGACCTCCCGCTTCGCCGCCGCGTCGGCCAGCCGTTGGCGAGACTCTTCCACTTTCCTATCGTAGGCCTGCTTCTCCGTCAAATGGCGCCACTCGAAGCCTCGCAAGTATTTCATAGACCAAAGGTCGTCGGCGTGCCGATCGCGCGACCCGCGGCCCATCCTTTCCCCATTGAGAGACGCCGCGACGCGTTTCGCGATCTTCTTCTCGGCAAATTCCACCCAGCCCTCGACGAAGCGCTTGCCCCGCCCATATTTCTTCTTGTCCTCGCGCGTTTTATTTGCCGCCGCCAGATAAAGGTTCGTGATCTCGCCGTGCTGCTCGAGCAGGCGTCTTACCTTGCCCGGCCTTAAGTGGGGCGGGATTCGCGACAAGTAGACGACGCCGCGCGTCATGGTTGCTGTTCAGGTGCTCAGCCGGCAGGCGGCTGATCGGCTGAAAGCGGTGCGTTTAGAGACTTCCGCACTCGAAGACGTTGCTTACGTGCTGTCCGCAGCTGTTTGTCAAGAGCTGTGAGGCTATATGGCAGAGCATCGCCCGCGCAAAGGACTCAGCCAAAAAGTTGACCTAGTGCATCAACTTACTAGCACCGAAAATCGCAGGCCAAGTCGCTCATTAATTTTGACACACCATTACTCGTCCTCATCATCCTCGTCCTCGTCGTCCTCGTCCTCCTCGAACAAGTCCACCAGCTCGAGCCCGCCCGCGTCCCAGCCCTTCAGCCCGCCGGCCACGGCGACGGCGTCGACGCCGAACTGGAGCAGGTACTCCACGGCCAGCGCGCTCTTCGGTCCGGCCGTGCACGTGCACACAACGATCCGGCCCCCACCGCCGAGCATCGGAGGCGGCCCGCCCGCGATGACCCAGTTGTCCAGCGCGATGCGTCTCGCATTTTTCGCCGTGAGGGCCGGCACGCCCTCTCGTACTTCGTGCTCCAGCACTTGTTGTTCTGTGCGGACGTCGATGAGCGCTGCGCCTTTCCTCACCATCTCCGCGGCGTCCGCGGGCGTGACAAAGCGCTCAGGGTGTTCTTCCTTCACACGTGTGGCTCGTGCGACCATCTCTGGGCTCTTTGGGATGAGCTCCTCGGGCGTGAGCGGCACGTAGTCGGTGCCGGGCCGCACGTCGGCGTATAGGCGCGTCAGTCGTCTCGTATGCAGCGGCCGCGCGAGACGCAGGAGGAGGGCCATCGTCACGGTGCGAAGCATCTGTGGTGGCGTCGCGTCAAGCCGTCGCGTCAAGTGCTGCACCAAGCGCTCTCACTGGCAAGTTTCACACACAACGCACGCAATCGCACAAAAATGCACGTGGGCGCCGAGCGATCAATGCGGACAACTACTGGGCCCACAGCGTGTGCGTAGGCACGGCCAATGTCTACTTTTTGTGCCGAGCTCTTACCTGGTGCTAGCGGTCGGTAAGACTCTAGGCTTCGGCCGGTACTTTTGCCAAAAGGCTGCCCCGCAGCCCAACGCATGGCCGCCTGGGCGACGGACGCGTGACCTGGACGCCAACCGAGGCTACCGACGGACTGCGGGCAGCCTCGACGCCACCGAGGCGAGCCCAAACCAACAGCCACCACGGCGCTCGCGAAGGAAGCCGAGGCCGTGGCGCGCTGCCAGGAATTGATTGGAGAAGAACCGATCCACGACCCTCTCAAAACTTTCCGCAACCAGCAATCGACTCTTGGATTGAGCAAGAAGGCGATGACGGCCAAGACCCATCGCACCCATAAGGAGGTCGACCCCGGCACGCAGTCGCTCATAGACCGCATCGCTGACGACTCTTCGTTGAAAGCGCCGCCTATGCCGAAAAGGCCCAATCTCAAGTCGGGCACCACCAAAAGCAAGCTCCAGGCGCTGTCGAGATATATTCATGCGTTCGAGTATAACCATACGGGCAAGTCGTATTTCAAGATGAGCCGCGACCGGGGGCTGAAACATGTGCACTTCACGGCCCGGGAAATTATTCGCGAGGCGTTACCTATCCAGTGCGTGGAGGCCGTGTTCCTGGCGGTGCATTTGACTGCAGAGTTGGAGTGTCTGGATCTGCGAGTGCCGCTATCGTTCAAGTCGAAATGCGGCGAAGCGCATTATAGACATATTGTATTGGCTGTACGGGACGCTTCGACGGGCAAGTGGGGCTCGTTAGGTATCTCTCGAAGAAAAGTATTAGCTTTCAAGGAGCCCACCTTCGAGAGTTTGTCAACTCTAGTATTAGATTTCCAGCTCTCCTACAAGCAGTGCGACCACGACCTCGTCAAGGTTTATCTCGGGCTGCCCTTCCCGTCAGGGTTACATTCCGTCGACCCCATAAAATGGAGAGTACTGAAACAGGAGTTAACTGATGAGTGGGCGAAAAAAGTCGACAAGTACTCGAAGGACTGCAACTGGGTCCGCGAGTACCATTTGTCGACCGGTGGGCTCCCGGAGCCCTACAACGGTACCACTAAGGAGCCGAAGGCGGCCGTGCCAAAGAACAAGAAGCGTCGGAGGAAGAAAAAGAAGAAGAAGGCTGTTGACGAGCCGGCGGACGAGGAGTACGACCCGGAGAAGTACACGGAAGATGACGAGGTCCTCGGCAGCGACAGCGAGGACGAGAGCGGCTGCGAGAGCGACGGGGCCGTCGTGGCGAGCGACGGCGGCGAGGAGTCTTGAATCTCCGACGCGGCGGCCGCGGCGACGGCGTGGGGGGCGGCGCGCTAAGTTTTAGTTTGTGTTATCGATATCATGATTCTTATGCGCAATTTGACCCCTAGAAGTTGTTCGGCGTGAAGTCGCTGAAGCCGCAGAGCGACAGCACCTTCGCCGTTAATAGAAAGGCCGCCGTGATGGAGCACTCCAGGAAGTCGCCGACGGGCTGCTTCGAGTAGACCAGCGCCGCCCTCCTAGGATTCGCGAAGGGCCCCTGGAGCAAGTACTGGTGCATCGTGAACGGCCCGAACATAATCTTCCACCAGATGCGCGGCTTCGTCAGGAAGAGCTTCATTAAAGGTGGTAAACACCCCATCCGTTCCGCTAGATCGTCCGTATATAACTGGAAATCAACTAAACCTTTGACTCTTTTAGCATCGTACCCAAAGCGCCACTCCCAGTTGGCCTGGTCCTTTTTGGCTTGGTCCTCCATGCACTTCGTGTCTGGTAAGCAAATGCGGCCATCTACCACCAAAGCGAAATACTTCGCCTGCATCTCGGCGGTCGGCGGCACAGACCCAAAGGCCGGTCGCGCGAAGCCAAAGAACGCGACTTGTCCGTCGGGAAAGACAGGAACAAAAATCTGCTTGTACAATCTTCTCGGATTCTGACCAAAAGCATTTAAATCTTTGGTGCGACACCCGCACTTCGAGCAGATGACGTCTTCCCGGCAGTCGGGGTGGTCGAACATCGGAAATGAGTTCCTGTAGCCCGTACAAGCGACCACCGCGTCGCAGTCGAAGGTAGAACCATCCGCAAAACAAGCACCGGTATCAGTGAGCTTGAACGCATCTCTGTGGAGTTCCGCGCCCTTGCACACCATGGCCGTGACGAAGCCCTCGTTCTTACAACCGAACTTACTGAACGCACTGGTCCCTTGCTCGATGTTTAATTCCCCGATCTTCTGCAGGATCTTCCGCTCCTCCATGGGCTTATCTTGCGAGCCATGTTTCGCGACGAACTTCTTCGCGAGCTGATTGACGTAGCCGACCCAGTCCCCGAGCACGTACGGGTTGCTGTAGCGGCACCTGTTGGTGTTGAGATCCGTGACCCTACCGTCAGCTTGCTTCCTCGGTATCAAGTGGCCATGTTTACCTCTCACGACAATAGCTACTTTTGATGCTTCACTGGCAATTTCATTGGTGATGTCCGAGCCGGATTCTCCAGCACCTACTACCAGTACTCTTTTACCCTTGAAGACCTCCGGCTTCTTGTAGTTCTCGGAGTGTACCAAAGTACCTCCATTCTTAATGAAGCAGTCCTGGCCCTCGAAGCGAGGTAAGGAGGCCCAATGATTTGTTCCGGTACAAATCGCGACGTGGTCGACCGCGTACGTCACGAGCTCGAAGACCGCCTCGGGCTGCATTTTTTTTCTGTCACCGGTCACGTGGTCGAAGTAGTCGTACGCATAAGCAGATTTGACTTTTTTGAAGCCTTCTACCTCACATTTCGCATAAAATGCTTTGAGGGTCTTCGCGCCTTCGGTTCTCGCGGCACAACGCTGCTTTTCGGAAATGTGCCGCCCGAGCAAGAACGTACTACGATGGGGCGCGACGTGGGCGCCGCCGACCTTCACCGTGACGAGCCATTTGCCCGACTTCGGGCATTTCGTGACCTTCAGTACTGAGGACCGGAAGCTGATGTGCTGGTACAGCGAGAACTCGTTCGCGAAGCCATCCAAGTAGTTCAGGTACTCCTCGTCGGACCAGAAGACGGGCTTGTCTTCTCTCCCATCACTGTAGTCGCTGTACGCGGTGAGCAGCGACGACGTCGTGAGCATCGTCCTGTCGTACGAAGAAGTATACACGCCGCCGATGCGCACGTTCTCGTCGAAGCACTTCACCGTGTGGTTCAGTGCCGTTAATTCTTTCATGACAGCCAGGCCCGAGGCGCCGGCTCCAACAACTAAGCAGGACTTCTTCCCCTCCGCTGCTTTTACGACCTCCATGCGTGGCTGCTTCTTGAACATGGTCGTCTAGGAGCTGCTGCGTTAATTGGGCTGCCTCTTGGTGCCGCGCGGCTTGGCTTCCAGCCTCCGATATGAGGTGGACGCCTCTCCGAAATTCGTGGGTGAAGCGGAGATTTTGGTGGTGAAGCAGCGCTCCGGGCGACGCCTCGGCTTCGTAGAGGCGCTCCCTAATACGGATGACGGCTGTGTGCTAGTGTCTTACACCGCTAGCTAGCTACAGTGCTCGGGAGCAAAAAACGCTCTGTTTGCCGGTGACGGTGCTATTACGTGCCTGCACATACATCAGGAGACGACTTGCAGTAGCTCTCTGCAGCGACATCGATTTCGTGCCATGCGAGCCCTCACTGCAGCCACTGCCCTCAGTGTGCTCGCGCTGCAGGCGCCCCGCGGCCCGTTACGCGGCCCGCAGCGCCGACAAAACACGAGACCGGCGATGCCACCCGCAGTGGTGGCAGAAGCACTAGCCAAGGGGCCGCTCGGGGTGCCGGCGCTCGCGGCCGTCGCGGGGGCGGTCCTGGCGCCGCTGACGCTGTATCGGCAGGGCTACTCGTTCAGCGTCGGCTACGGGTCCGCCGTCGGCGTCATGGCCCTCGCGGCGATGCGAGCGGTGCCGCCCACGACGCAGCTCGCGACGCTCACGGCGGGCGCGACGCTCTTCTACGGCTTTCGACTGGCCCTGCATTTGCTGGCGCGGCAGCTCACGGTACCGGACATCGCCGAGCGCATCAAGGCCTTTGACAAGACGCCGCGGCTCAAGAGATTGCCGCTGATCCCGCCGCTGGCACTGTTCTACGCCTGCATGACGTCGCCCTTACTTTTTGCATTACGAACGCCGCCCACGAAGTACCTGAAGGTGGCGCAAATCGGCTGCGGCCTCGCCTGGGCCGGCGCGGCCATCGAGGCGATCGCCGACGCCCAGAAGTTTCTCCAAAAAAGGCGCGACTACGCCCAGAAGGCGGGCGGCACGTTTACCGGCCCGATGGGCGGCCTCTACGCGTCGTGCCGCCACCCGAACTACTTCGGGGAAGTGCTCTTCTGGTTCGGGCTCTTCGTGGCCGGGCTGCCGTCCTTCGGCTCGCAGATTATACCGTATGCGGCGGGCGGGCTCGGGCTCTGGGGCATCTACGGCATCATGAGCGGGGCCACAAAACGCCTCGACGGCAAGCAGAAAGAGAAGTACGGCGGCCAGCCGGTCTACGACGCGTGGCGCGCGCGGACGGGCGGCCTGTTTCCCAAGTTCTTCGCCGGCGGCGACGCGGGGCGCGTCTTCTACGACGTATGAGATCTAACCACTGATTATTGAAGTGTATCTAGACGGCGGCCATGGGCTTTTAGAGGACAAAAAAACTGCCAAGCAGAGCAATCAACGCGATTTTTGCGCCTAGTGTGTTAGACGGCCCGGCTGACGCAGGCCAACGACCCGGCGCGCGGCATCGTCTTCTGCAACCGCTGTTGCACGGAGCGGGAGCCGAATAAGCACGGCGCCAGGGGCTACGTGTGCGGCGTGTGCATGTCGAAAGATGTTAGAATCGTCGAGGAGCCGACTGGCCGCTGGGCCATCTAATTCACTACACGCATCCGCCGGACTCATGGCTGCACAAGCGCCGGCGAGAACCCCTCCTGACTGACTTATCCCTTCCCCTGACTAATATTCGTTCTTGATATACTTACTCGCTCTTCGTCGAGACCTCGAGGTCTCCTTTATCCGGGGTTGAGCGAGCGACGCTCGGCCCGGCGAGAGCGCGCAACCTGTCGGTCGACCTCCACGCCGTCGCGGCGGCGTAGCTCGGCTTGGCTCGAGTTCATTGACTTTGGCTCCGCCAGCCGGAGCGCGCGGTGAATGCCCCCCCCGGGCGGGCCCTGGCCCAGCCCTCCGCAGCGGTCCTGCCCGCCCCCGAGAACCCTCCCGCGACGCCGAACTAGCGGTACATTAGTGAACCCAGATTGCAGTCCAGATTGCGTGGCCGCCGCACAGACGTGGATCTGCTATCGTCGACTAAAACCTCTGCATTTGCCGGCGTCCGCTGTTTGCAACCGCGCAACCTGGTGCCTTCTCCCCACCCCCGGACCCCGCGCCGACTCGCTGCGCGGCGCCGCGCGCTGCCCCGCGCGCGCATGGTGCATCATCAATCGCCGTCGCTCTCCGGGGCCTCGCCGGCGCCGCGGCCGCGCCGCGGCCCGCACCCGCGCGCGCGCACGATGGTCCCGTGCGCCCGGCCCGGGCGCGCGCGCGTGCCGGTGCGCCGCGCCGCCGGCGAGCCTCGCGCGGGCGCCGCGCGCGGCGCCGGACGTGGGGCATCGCCGACGCCGCGACCGCGCCGCGCCCCGCACCACACACTTGCATAAGGGATCCCGCGCGCCCCACTCACGGTGTCGTTGCACGCAGCTCTCACAAAAATGGCCAAGCTCGCCCTCGCCCTCGCCCTCGCCCCGGCCGTCACGGCCTTCGCGCCCGTCGCGGCCCCCAAGGCCGCCACGAAGCTCGACGCGTCCATCGCCGACACCCTCGCCTCGATGGAGGGCCCGGAGATCTTCTGGGGCTCGGACGGCGTGCTCCTCGGCCACGACGAGGCCGACATCAAGGGCTACGACAACTTCGACCAGCTCGCGGCCGCGCTCTCCAAGGAGGGCGTCGACCTCTCGGGCGGTGAGTACACGCTCCTCGCGCCGTCCAACTCGGCCTTCGACAAGCACAACAACGAGGTCGGCACGCCGGTCACGGCTGACGTGCTCAAGTACCACGTGATCGAGGGCAAGAAGACGATGGACGCCCTCAACTCGGACCAGAAGACGCTCAACGGCGGCACGCTGACCTACTACCGCAAGTTCCGCAAGAACTGGCTCGACTACGCCATCATCGGCCTCAAGTCGGAGGGCCCGTCCAAGTCGTCCAACTGGCCGGCGGACGTCCAGTGCGACAACGGCGTCATCCACGCCATCGACACGGTGCTCGTGCCCGGCGCCTACGACGGCTCGCGGTAAACGCGACGCCCGTTGTCGGCGAGGAGGCCTCCCGCCGGGCAGACGGTTCGGCGGTGCCTCACGCGCCCCCATGTTTAAAGGAAGTTTATCTTCAATCTTTTGTGCTGCGGCTTGTGAAAGGAGACGGGCTGTGGACTCAGGGGCGTTTTTGGCCCTATTTGGTTTGTATCGTCGGCCAGCCGTTCGGGGAGAGGTCCTTGCACCGAAAGACGTGCTAAACAGATCCGTGCGTGTTTGTGTTTACTAGTATGCTAGCAGCTAGGTGCTCAGGATTTAGTGTGCAAGACGGACTAAATCGCTCTGTCCGCCACCGTGTCCACGTAAATCGCAGCGAAATTGCTATAGAACGACTTCAATTAGACGTGTGCACGGCCTCTGGCGAAAGACACGGCTGCGGGACGTCCCTTGGGGGCTAAAAGCCAAGGCCGGCTGGCACCGAAGAGCTGCGGCTCCACTCGGCCCGGACGGACCAATGGACTCGCACGCAACACCCGTGGGTCGTGGACAGCCCGCGGCACCAGCGACCGGTGGCCTTCCCGGCGAGACGGGGCGTTACACCTGCCTCGCCGGGCTCTGGACATCCGACTCGCATCACTGGTTCCGCCGCGCCGCCGCCGGCGCATGCGACCGCGCGCTCACCCATACGACACGCAGGTGTGTGCCAGGATGTACCGGCTCGTCGCGCTCGCGAGCGTCGCCGGCGCGCTCGTCGCGCCGCCCGCCGCGCGGCCGACGACGCGGCTCAGCGCCACGGAGGGCGCGTCGGCGCCGCTCGGCTTCTGGGACCCCGCGGGCCTGAGCGAGCTCGGCTCGGACCGGACGCAGGCCTGGTTCAAGGCGGCCGAGACGAAGCACGGCCGCGTGGCCATGGCGGCCTGCACGGGCTGGATCGTGACCGAGATGGGCTTCCGCTGGCCCGGCGCCTACGACATGGCGGGCCACAAGTTCAGCGACGTGCCCGGCGGCCTGGCCGCCGAGGCCGTCTTCCGCGACAACGGCGGCATGGTCCAGATCCTCTTCTCGGCCGGCCTCGTCGAGTTCTGGTCCGAGCTCCAGAAGCCGCACTACATGTCCGGCGGCGGCTCCCAGAAGCTGCCCATCTGGGACCCCGTCGGCTTCACGGCGGGCCTGTCGGCCGACGAGCTCAAGACGAAGCGCCAGGCCGAGACGAACAACGGGCGCCTGGCGATGATCGGTGCGGCGGGCTTCTGGTCGGCGACGTACCTCGACGGCTCCGTGCCGGCGCTGACGGGCACGGCCTTCTTCCAGTCCTAGATTGTGGTCTCGGGCGCTCCGCGCGTTGTTGGGTAAGCGGGGCATAGTATACTATTCTTAGGGCAGCGACCGGAAGTGCCGCATGTAAACCCGCCCCGCCGGCGCGTTCGGGACGTGGTCGGCGACGCCGCGCTGCTTGTTCTTGCCGACGGTAAACGTGCAGTTGTCTGGCCGCGCCAGGCGCGCGTCGTACTGGTTTTGTGTGGCGCGGATGTCTACCAAAGTGCGGTCGAACGTCGACAGCCCCGCGTAGCCGACGTAATACCTGTGCGGATGGAGTCGCGGCGATGGCTTAACCCGACAATAAGTCAACGCCGACGCGCACGCCGCGTCCGCGACCGAGCTTCCACTCGCGCCGCCGCTGGGCGACGCGCTCGGCGTGCGTGCGATAGGCGACGGGATTGCCCGGCGCGGCCGCCGGCCGGACGTGCGCGGCCCGCGGCGCGTCGAAGGGGTTATCGGCCTTCGCACAGGTCTTGTCCGCCCAGCACCGCTTGTCCTCCTGGCCGCGGCCGCCGCGGCACCGGCGGCCGGCGTGGCAGTACGTCGTCACGGCTGGCCTGTGCACGACGTCGACCGCCGCGGCGACGACGAGCGCGACTATGAAACGGTTACAGGTCATACGCGTCGCGGCCTTCATCACTGTGGGACCAGGTCTGACTGATAGTCTGGTGAGTCTGGTGACTCTGGTCCTCTAAAATTCAGAGAGTTTCGCGTTTCAATTGTTTTGATTCGTTCGCCGACGTAAATTTAACAATAAACAGATCCCAAGCGCGTGAGTATGGTGACTGGTCTTTCGAGCCTAGTGTGTCGACCACGCTAGCCTCACATAATGTTGGTAACAGCACCACTAGCAGCGTGAGCGCAGCGATACCGACGTGCGTGTGTCATTGCGTTCGCGACGCGCAGAAGTGCTTTCATTTATTCGCTGGAGGCGTGCCGCGCGCAGCCAAGCCCAGTAGCCAAAATAGAGTGTCCGGAGAGCACCAGCCTGCAGTCGTCAAATAACTCTCGCAGCAGTGCCGCGCAGCTGTCCCAGTAGCCTCAAATAGTGTCCCGGAGAGCGCACATCAGCCCTCAAACATGGCCTCATTATTCGGCAAACTAAAACGCGCCGTCGCGGCCGACGACGAAGAGAAAGCCACCGAAGCACCGCCCAAAAAGCAGAAGACCGAAACAAAACCGAAACAAACAGGTGGCCAGGGCCGGCGCCTCGGCGACCTGCGGAAGCTGCGGGGCAAGGCGGCGATCCTCTTCACGTGCCCGACGCGCATGGAGCGCAAGGCGTGCCACGAGGCCTGGGAGTTGCTATCTGAAAAAGTCGATGAGGAACAGGAATCATCACAAAAGAAATCGCTGGCGGCCTCATTAAAAGCCGAGGCCCGGGCGTCCAAGGCGTCGAAGGTCGCGACCTACGATCTAGGGAGCCAGGGCGTCGGCTGGGCGACCGTCGACGGCGTGGATGTGGTCGAGCTCGCGACGCGGCTCGTGCGCGACGCGTCCGAGGACCCGGCGTCGCTCGCGGCGGGGTCGCGGATGGTCATCCGCATCATGCCGATGCAGTCTGTTACGTTTGCTTCACTGAGTGATCTCGTCGAGGGCGCCGCGCCACTCATCTCCCAGTCATTCGGCGGGCTGCGGACGAGTCCCCACAGAGCGATCGTCGAGGCGTTGGAATCTATGAAGACGCGGGACGAGGAGCTACTGAAGACCGCGCGGGAAAAGGCCGCGGCGGAGTCTGGGACAGAGCCGGGCTCGGCGTCTTCAGTCAAGTACGCGGTGCGGCTCCAGCGCCGGTCCGCCGCGGGCTTTCCCAAGGACGCGGCCGTGCGCGCGCTGGCGGCCCTCGTGCCGCCCCAGCACACCGTTAGTTTAGGTGCGCCGGAGGTGACGATCCTCGTGGAGGTGTTCAAGTCGCTCTGCGGCGTCGCCGTCGTGCCGGGCTACCACGCGATGCACGACTTTAACCTGCACGCGGCGGCGGGGAAGCAGGTCGTGCCTCCGCCGCCGAAGAGTAAGAAGAAGTAGTGCGTTTTCGCGTCGATGGCGTCGATGCGCACGCCCGAAACTCACGAAACTCGCGATTCGAGCGCGCCAAAAATTCAGCTAGCGTCTGTAAGACACTAGCAAGCAGCAAAATTGGCACTGCCACTGAACAGGGCCTTGCGCCGCGGCCTCCGGCGCGATCTGTCGCCTGCGAGCCACCAGTGGTGACCTCGAACCACACCGGCAGCGGTGTGCCACAACAATGGGCAGCCTCCCTAGACGATGAACCGCGAGGAGAAGGGCCAGACGCGCGTCGAGCTGACGCTCGACTCGAACCACCAATTGCCGGTCCCGCACGGCCTCAGCTTCCCCCTCGACCAGCGCGACATCGAGCTCAAAGAGCTGAGACGATTGTGCGCGACGGCGTCCGGCGAACAGAAGGCCCACCTCGAAGCCGAGATCCGAAAGCTAGAAAAGGGCTCGGAGTCGCCGACACACCGTAACGGGCCCAAAAAGAACGCCGCGCGGCCCTGGTCCGCGCGGCCCGTGTCCAGACAACAGGGTTCGCATGTGATGAAAACAATTCCGGAGTCGCGGCAGCATGTCAGGCCGTTGTCGTCGAAGATGCGCGGGGTGTCTGGCATATCATCGTTGCTAAACGGTGAAGCCGATCTACAGGCGCTGCATCGCTCTAGGCCGCGGCACAGCCGCGGCGATTTGTCGAGTGCCGCATCGGAAGCGTCGGAAGAATCCGTGGACCTCTTCGCGGACCATCCTTCAGCGGACGAGGTCACGGAGCTCGATATCAATCGATTAACCGCGACGTGCTTCGATTCCAGACACCCGCCGCGGCATTGTGTTGATAGATCTCCAGAAACGTTCTTTTCAGCTTCTGGGATGTGTCCCCAAATTTTGTGCGTCAAATTCAGGCGATCCGTACATTTACGTAGAGTCTCGGTCGTCTGCAGCGGCGTCCGGTCCATGCGCCTGAGGTGGAAGGCGGGCGACGCGTGGCGGTCGCAGATGCAGACGCTGTCGCGGGGCGCGCCCCACCAGGCCACGACGGAGTTCGCCTTCGATCCTAGCAGAGAGGGCCGCAGCGAAACAAATGAGGTGCTCGTCGAGATTGTGGCCGCGTTCGCCGCGTTTTGTCGGGTGCGCCATTTGGGCTTCGTCGAGGCGTCGGGGCGAAAGTCGCGGCCCTCTTTGGACTATGACGAACCATCCCCGGTCCACGGGCCGAAGTCGCCTCCTAGATTATGTCCCCCTTGATTGTAACATGTTAACACGAATCGATTGTTAGACTTATGATACTTCAAGACAGACGACGGTGACGTCGTCGGGCATGCCGCCGCCCCACATGACGTCGTTCTCCTTGGCGAGTAGGGCGAAGGGCGAGTCGACCGCGTCGTCCAACGAACGTTTTCGCGCTTCCTCGCAGAGACGCTCCGCCAAACTCGTACTTTTATCGTGCTCCCACTGATCACACACTTCGGCCACCGTCTCCAGAGCCACATTATCAAATAATCCATCGGTAGCCATCACGATGATGTCGTCGGCAAAAACCGGAACAGTGCCCACGTTCGCGTTACTAGGCGCCTCGAAGGGCTTCGTGCCGCCCTCGTTCGTCCAGCCGAGCTGGTAGGGGAGGTTGAAGTCCCTTAGTTGCTGCGCGGCGACTAGTAATGGCGCTCGCGTCGCCGATATTCCCGTGTGGGCCGCGGTGCCGGCCACGTCCGGTTTTCTCAGAACAACCACTCCGCAGTCTCCTAACGAACAGTAGGCTAATTGAGAGCGAGAAACGGACAATAGGAGTGCCGTAGAAGACCCGGGGATTTCTTCCTTCGTTACGTGCCGCCAGGCCCGTTCTAGTATTTCATCAGGCCTTAAGGAAGGGTGGTCGTCGATCGACGCTTCACAGGCCTCGGACAGCGCCCGAGGATACAGTCTCGGATCGACGCCTAATTTCCGCCAGCTTCCAACACCATCAAAAACGCCCACGTGCGTGATGTTGTTGATCCTCTTGACAAAGTGGGCGTCCTCGGACAGGTTCACATCTGTCGTAGGCTCGGCGCCATTTAAATCCGAGATACTTCGCGCCGAGTGGCCTGTTTCCAATTTGAGGGGATTTGGCAAACAACAATGCGTCAGGTTCACTTCATGGTCATCGATTGCATGTGAAGCACCAGCCAAGGCAGAAACCATGGTCTGCAACCGTTCTGATGAGACCGTTTTCGAACCACTAGGCAGCCCGCGCCGAGCTGCTGTCGTCTCCAGGAACGCCTCCTTCGTCTTTGTTGAGGTTCGCAGCTCCATGAGGTAGTCCCCAATGTCCTTCGCCGTCAGCATCCCCAAAACTTCGCCGTTCTGGGCCACCGGTAAATTCCTAACACCTAAAGTGCGCATCAACGCTTGCGTCCGCTCGATCGGATCTTCCGGCGCGCACCAGGCGATTTTCTGGCGTGGCGTCGCGAAGTCCGCGCATCTATCTTCTAATCCGTCGCAGCCGTTCTCGTGGAGCCTTACTAATAAATCTCTTGCTGTCACTACTCCGGCGACGGTGCCCTCTTCGTCATGGGTCAGCGCCGACGTGAAGCGCTGCTCTATTAGTTCCCTAATAGCTTCTCGTACTGGTAGAGTTTCATCAATCTCCGGCGCCGTCCTCAAACCTCGTTCTATGATCAAATCGCGGACGCGGAGGTCGGCGAGGCTTGCTCTGCTTCGCGAGGGCGGGGCGCGCCTTATGACGCGGGCACGCAGCGCGGCGCGGCGCATTGTGCACCCGTTCCCGTGTTTTTAGGATGATTCCGCGCGGCACGCGCTTTGCGGAAAGGAGTGGATCAGGAGGAGCTCGCCCTAGGGGTTGCGCGTCGGCTGCAGCGCTTGGCCACGAAACAAGGACAGCGCAGGGCGTTGCGCTCCCAGCGCTGTGATTGAAATGATAACTGAACGCCTGCAAAACACGGATGCAAAGCCGGCATGGAGCTAGCGGTCAGTAAGACACTAGGAAGCATGGGATGCGGGCGCGTCGACTTGCGCTATCGTGCCGTCGTGTAGGCGTGTAGTGACCGCTCGCAGCCGTTCACAGCGCGCAGCCTCGCGCCAAAGCGCCGCCGCACACCGGCAGCTCTCTGCACCACCGGAGCCAGGGAGGCGTTTCCAGCCGCGCGTTGACAGCGCGCAGCCGTCGCGCCAATAGCTCAGCCGCCGCCACGCAAGCTCCGCGCGCGGCGCCAAACAAGGAACCATGGGAAAGAAGGACGAAGAGCCGCCGCCAATGGACGCCGCCACGCGCCGGACCGTGGCAAACATCCAGGCGGACTGGGACAACCGCGAACTTGTGGAAATTGTACAATTGAACCTCCTGACGATCACGAAGTTCCTGAACGACTTTGATAGCGCGACGCGCTACAAGCTAGCTAGAGTCAACGAGAAGCTCACGCGGCTGGAACGGACGCTGGACTCGTGCGAGGCCGCGGTGAGGGCGACGCTCGAGGGCGAGAGCTCCTCATCATCGCCGCCGCCGCGGAAGCCGCCGCCGCCGTCGTCATCGCCTACGAAAAAGAAGCCGCCGCCACCGCCCTCGCCGCCCAAGAAGAAGCCTCCGCCGCCGCCTCCGAAGAAGTGAGTGTGGTTGGCCCCAGGCGTGTGTAATGTGAATGTCTACTGATTTTCAGTTGACCGGAACCGTTCGTGGCGCTAGTGTGTCTGCGAACACTAGGTGTCGAAACTTCGACGAAAGCGGGCCGGACAAAAAAGACGCTGTGTGGGAATCGAACGCCTCATTGCTGCCGTTCGAAGCTGAGTTACTCCTCGTACCTAGACCCCTCGCGCGCGCCAGCGTTCGGGTCCCTTGGGCGCCGTAGGGCACCAAACAGAGACGCCGGCCGCCCCGCGGCGGCGCCGAGCAAAGGGTAGCATGTACGCCCGCCGCCGCACCCGCCAAGCCGTAGTCCCGCCGAGCCCCAGCTCCCTGAGCACGGCCACGCAGCGATCCCGGAGGCGCTATCCTAGGCGAGACGACACGGAACGTGTAGATGCATTACTCCAAAGACATAGAGCGCCGCTGCGAGCTCTCTATTGCCACCTCGAGGCCCAATCTAGAAGAGAAACGGAACACACCGATTCATCCTACTTTGGCGGGTACTTTGGGGACGGCGCATCCCCATTAGCTTGGGATGTGGTACAGAGGGAACGTCTAAGACCCCGCTCCTCAGTGGTCGCACGAGCGGCAGCTAGATGGAGGAACGCGGGTAGCGACGTGCAGCGATATCTTCGCGGTAGATTCCGGAGCGACACGGTCGAGTTCGAGGGCTTCGAGGCTTTTTTCGCCGGCTGGGCGCGGCGGTCGGAGGGCGGGCTCGAGGCCTGTTTACGCGCTTTAGCGGAGGAGAGTTGTGGTGTGATCGAGGCTTCGTTAGCTTCCTCGCTGAAACTCAAGGCCCCGGTTTGGTTACTGTCGCGGGACGAACGACCTTCATCAAGTGTAGATGAGGTCTGGCGCCTGGCCTTCAAGACGCTCGCCACGAATGGCGAGTGGAGATGTGGAGACGCTTATAGATTTTGTAGGAGTGCGGGGTTGCTCGGCGACGCGTTGTCGCCCTCGTTTTTGCTCGCGGCCTTCGAGAACGCATTTACCTGTGTGGAAATCAAATTTCGGGCGCCCCACGTTGTCTCCGTAGTTGTATCTGCTCGATGGCGTGGAGGTTCACGAAGTATAACCTAACTCACTGGTCGATTTCCACACAGGCGTGTTCGGCAGGTAGCGGCACGAACGTCGCCCACTCGTCCTCCGTGTTGGGCTATGTAGCTAGACAAGAACCATCACTAACGACAGAAAGGGCCTGCGAGCAGTTCCTGAGGAAGGTCGCGAGTTGCTGGTGGCGCGGCGAGAACGGTTCAGATGATGTTAAGAGGGATGTGTTCCAGTGTTTTGTGGGCGAAAGGGTGCTACCTTTACTAGCTTGTACCAGAAAAGATGTACCCACAACCAGAGATGATCTCGAGGTGGACGCTTCTACATTGAGAGTGGTCCGAGACCACGATATGGCTTTACGGTGCCTCTTCGCGGCCTACTGCCAAGAGTCCACTGAGTGTGTACCATTGCTGGGCGTGCTGCACTTCGCGCGGGACTTTCGGTTGCTGACCGCGGGTCGATTCCCCCCTGCGATCGTCGTGGACTGCGCGCGGTCGGCACGACACGCGCGCCACCCGAAGGCCATGAACACGTCCCTGAGATGGCCGGAGTTCGTCGAGGCGCTGTTGCGACTGGCCCAATCTTCTGACGGGGATGAGTCACTCGCGGAGAAGACTCGCAAGTTGCTCCAAGTGATGGATCCGACGGGACGAGTGTTCAAGCGCGGGACCGACGTGGAGGTCGAGGCGACGGCGACGGAGACTGATGAGAGTACAGTGGAGGAGCCTTTATCACGTACGAATGATCTCTTGGACGCGTCGGACGCTGTTACGCGGCGAGCGCAAGCGACGCGGGCCGCGGCGGCGCAGTGCCTTGCCGCGGCCGCTGATGCTACGCTACAGTTAGCAGCTGCCTCCGGAGAAGAAGCCCAGGAATTGCGAGCCATCGCGGACGGCATGGCCGTGGCCGCGCGAGCTGCGGCTCGTCGAGGCGTGGCGCGGCCGCCGCCTCTGCCGCGCATCGAGGCGCCTCCGCTCTCACCGGAATCGTCGGAACGGGAGTGGCCGCCGCCGTCGCGGAAATCCGCTGATGAGCTCTGGAGGTCACCTAGGGGCGCGTCGAGCCCGCCGCCGCCACCGAAACGGAAAGTGCCGGCCATCGACCTCTCAGAGGCTACAGTAGAAGAGAAGGCGGAGGAGCCGGACCACTGGTGGTGGGTCGACCGGGTGGACAAGCCCGTGGAGGCGGCTAGGCATGTGGGTGCGACGGCGGTGCAGTCCCACTGTCGCGGCTTTTTGCTGCGGAAGCGGCTGGCTCGTTTAGTGGAGGAGGTGGCTACGTCTCAAAAGTCGGAGAGCGTCGAAGAGCCAGAAGAAGTACAGGAGGAGGAGGAAGAACCGATCAAGAGCGAGGAGGAAGTAGTACAATCCCAACAAGAAGCGTGCACCGAGGACGAGCGGGCCGTGATTCATGCCTTTGCGCTGGCGGCGTTGCTAGGTGATGGAAGTCCCAGGCGTATTGCTAGAGCTCGTGTCTTAGTAGAAACGCTCAAGAAGCTGCCGGACGTGGAGGATGGCGGCGAAGCTGTGGTTGCGGCCCTCGATAAAGCGGGCGACCTGCATGTCGACGAGGACAAGCCGACCTTGGAGAAGCTCGAAGTTGCTCTCAGGGATGCTCTATCGAGAGTCGCGGTCGCGGAGAAGTTCAACCCGGCCGCGGCTCGGGACGCGCGCGTCACGGCTGAAAGATTAGGTGCTGCGGTTCGGCGCCATCCTGGGTTTTGGGCTCGTAGAGCGGCGGCGGATGCGGCCTGGGAGGCGCGGGAGCGACCAGCCAATAGAGACGCCTTAGCTGCCATGCGGAAACTGGTTCCAAGAGATGTGAGGAACATGAGGGTCGAGGAGGTAGCTGCATTTCTTGGCGGTCGCGTGGGCTTGCACTCCGACGACGCGCGGCTGAAACCCCTGGCTAAAAGGATCGTGGACCAGAAGATTCTGTGGCTGGTGCACCACGATCCCGCTCGAACGGCGAAAATACACATCGCGGATTTACGTTCTAGATATATGTACCACGACCTCGATGCCGTTGAGTTACGCGCTGTGTACGCCGCCCTGCCGTCGGAATTCGAACACGACGAGGACAATGCCAAGCAGACTTGGAGAAGGGACGTCCGGAGGAAGCTCGAGGACAGCGTGAAGAAGTGCGACGCTGGGGATTCTAGGGCGGGCCACCCGGCTTATGATGTCCTGTCCACCGCTACGAGACCGCCGACGCCGCCGCCCCAAGAATCGACGGATGTGAGCGCCGAGGCGTCCGACGCGTCGGGACCCGTCAGTGTGCCGAAACGCGTGGCTTCGGCAGGGACGCTGGAAAGCGCGTTGAGCTTTGAAGATTTGATGGAGAAGCAAGGGCCGTTTCGGGCGGCTTCACCAGTGCCGCCTCCACAACAGGAGGAGAAGCCGCCGGACTGGCGCGAGTGCTACGACGCAAATTATAAACGGACGTACTTTTTTAACGTGGCTTCTGGTGAAAGCCGGTGGCGGGCGCCCGACGATAGGTACGTGCCCTACGAGAAACCTATCGAAGGGCCGGTCCGGGCGCAGTCTGTGGATCCTGCAGCTTTGAAGATGGCGGCGGAACGGGTCAAACGGTCGCTGTCCGAGAGCGCGATGCCCTTCGTCGCCGAACACGGGTAATGGTTTTGCGATCAATTAGTCGATGGGGAGGCCCTAACCGGGTAAGTGAAAGCTGCGGGGCTTTTTCGCCACCACCTTGGGTGCCGCCCGGGGATCGATGCCCACGCGCGATATCTCTCTTTTCCGGGCCTTGGCTGCCGCGGTCGCCTTGGTTGCGGCGGCTTGCTGCCGCGGCGTCTGCGCGCCCCCGGCCGGCGGACGAGGAGGTGGCGGCGTCGGTGCGCGGCGGTGATACACGCGCCCGAGAGAGCGCTTCTCTCCCGCGACCTTAGGAATCACGCGCCCGTCGGGTCCGACCGGGTTGAGGCGGCAGCAGTGCTCCAGGCCGCGCCTCTTGATCTCGGCGTTGACCGCCTTCGCGGCCTCCTCGTCGTCGTGGAACGTCCCCAAATAGCCCGCGCCGCCCTGGAGCCGCGCCTGCCAGTAGCCTCGAGCCGCCACCCAAGAGACCCCATGGAAGCGTGACGGTCGATGAGGATGTCGCGGCTTTCCTTCTGGCTTTCTCGTTGATTTCGTCACGCCCTCCTTGCGCCAGGGCGGCGAGCGGCCGCCCTTCCTAGGATGAATGGGCGGCCGCGCGTCCCACTCCTCCTCCTCCTCGTCCTCCGAGCTCTCGGCTTTGACCCGCGCGGGTCGGACGGGCTTCTCGGCCTTGTGCGCCCGCAGCTTCCTTCTAAAATCGGCCGGCGTGTCGTACGCGCCGCGGCCGACGCCTCGGGCTTTCATCGCCTCCTTCAGCTGCTTGGTATTCATTCCAGAAAACTCGTCGCCCTTCTCCTCGTCGCCGTCGTCCTTGGCGTCGCGCTCAAGCGCCAGCACCCGCGGAACCGCGCCCTTGCCACCCCCGAGGCCCGCTTCCTCGACGAGCGTTTCGAGCCCATTGGCCGTGCGCGGGTCGATGCCGACGCGCGCGATCTCGTCGGCGCGCTGCTTCGCGTAGGCCGCAGCTTTGGCCGCCGCGGCCTGCTGGCGGGGCGTCGCCGCGGGCGGCGGGCGGGGCGGCGCGGGTTCCGTTTTGACCCGCGTCCTGGGATCGCGCGGCGCCGGTTCCTCAGAAAGAGGCGCCTTCGTCAAATCAATAATCAGCTCGAACTTCTCCTCCCGCCCGGGCCCGGTCAGGTTCAGGAGCTCGGCGTCGCCGTCGTCATACCTAACGACGTGCTTGAACCCGTCGAAGGCCGTCACGACCTGTGTGGAAATCAAAATTTTACGGCGCGCTCGTGCTGAATCGCCGCATCGTCCTCCACGCCATCGACGCGACGCCTGCTCGATGGCGTGGCGATGCCGGTGCCTCGCCGCTCGAGCGAGCCAGCACCGCCGCGTCATCGCCGAGAAATGACTTGTACACAGGTCGCGACGCCCTCGTACCACTTCTCGTCGTCCCGCCACCAGACCTTGATGCGCTGATTTAACAACTCGTTGCCGATGGGCCGCACGGCGTGCCCGTTCCCGTCGAGGTTGCACCCGACTCGAAAGTCGAGCGGCCCCCGCTCCGCGATCGCTTTCTTCGTGCGCTTTTTTGTGAGAGGGAACCGCCCGAACTTGCCCAAATCTTCAATTTTTCTAGGACCCTTCTCGCCCCGTTGATGTCTACCGTAGCAGATATCACAAAGGGTATAAGGGCCGTCGGGCCCCGGCTTGGCTCTTCCGGTAGTCCCCACCCCGCTCCCGCACCAGTTGCAGCGCCAGGTCTTGGGGTCGATCTTGGGCGGCGGCTGGTACGGCACGTACGTCGGATCGTTCCGCCTCCGCTCCTTCTCGCGCTCCCAAGGTGTTAATTTCGCCGCGTTCGCTTCTGCGGACCCTAGACACTTCTTCTCATGATTACTTCGAGCGGGTGGATGTCTTGTACTAAAAGCGCCGCACTTCCGACACGTTAACAACGGCCTCGTATCTGGACCCATTTCTTCTTCAGAGGACTCCTCCTCGCGGAGCTGCTCCCTCCGTTGATGGCGCTTCCGCCGCAGATGGTCCACATCGACACCATTCCCTTCGCGCTCCATGGACACGAAGGCCATGACCGCCTTTTGAATCGACTCGTATTCCCGACCCCGCGGGTCCGCGTAGTAATACGAATGGCCGTTCGGCTTGGACTTCAGCCAGTTCTGCTTGCGCCAGGCGCGCCAGCCTTCTAAGTTTGGAGGGCCGAGGCCGTACCTTTCATGGGCGAGCTTGGCCTTGAACGCCACAAAAGCTAGCCTTTGATCCTTCGCCTCGTCGTCGTCGTCGTCGTCGTCCTCAGCTTCCTCGGCGGCCCGCACGGCGCGCTCGGCGACGACGTCGCGCTTGTGGTGCTCGCGCTTCGACGGCGGCGCGCGCGGCCGTACGGGCGCCGCGTCGTCGTCGGACGGGGCCTCGGCCGCGCGGCGCTTCGGCGCGGGCGCGGGCTTGCGCGCCTTCGGCGGCGGCGCGCGCTTCGCTGCCGTCACGACGAGCTCCCAGCGCCTCTGTTCAAGGTCCTCGTCCCAGTCTTCGCCGTCCTCATACCGAATTTCGTGCAGCCTCCCGCCGTCGAAGGCGTTGACATGACCAACGAACCAGGCGCGGTCGTGGGGCCACCACACTCTGATTTTGTGACCAATGAGTCCAGCGCCGTGCGGCGCATTGGCGGGCCAGGCGTGCTTCTCTTCTTGTGAAGGATGCTTCATCTGGGAGCGCTTCGGCGGGTCGCGCCTCCTTTTGGGAGGCGGCTTCTCCCTCGATACCGGCGGGCCGCGGCGCTTTGGTGTGGGCATGACCTCGTCGTCACTAAGCTCGTCGTCGTCGGGGCGCGGCGGCGGCTCATCTATACAAATCTCGGAGATGATGCTCACGTCGTCTCCATCTTCGTTGTCGACGAGGACGAGGCGGACGCGCTCCTGCGTTGGGTGGGGCGCGCGTTTGCTCTCCGCTCTACCTCTCGATCCCCCTAGGGAGTGTGCGCGCCGCCGAGGAGGCGCGGCCGCGTTCGCGCAACATCTTCTCCCAGGTGGGCTGCCCAGGTGCGGTCGCTGTGAAGGGACAGGGCTGCCCGCATTGTGTGGACGCGGGCGCAGACCTCGGCCATCGTGCTGGGGTCGACCTGTGTCCCCGCGCTCCCCGGGAACTGCGAGAAACAAGCGAAATTGCGGAGAGCACTTCCTAGTGCGTTACATGCCGCTAGCTGCGAAGCATTGACCAACCAGCCTATAGCTTGCCTATAGCTTGCCCAAAAGCGTTACGAACGTTCTAACTATTCATTGATCGACCATGATGCGCTACAGCCCAGTTGTATTGCTTATCACCACGAATGCCCTGCAGCACTCACCACGCCGCCGCTGCCCACGCACCATCCGCCGCAGCAATGATGAGGAGCTCTCGATCGACGAGTTGGAAAGGAGGGAACGGGCCCTATCCAATGACGACGACGGGATCTGGATGGATGCCTTCCACCCTCCAGATATTCACGAGTGCGCGCGCTATCGCTGGAGTCAGGACGCCACCCATGTCAAGGTAGAGGTGCCGTTACCAAACCGGCCGTCGCAGACGGACGTGGCCCTTGTTGTTGGTGAAACGAGTTTCGACCTAAGTGTCGTAAACGCGGACGTGACGATTCGCGGCCAACTCGCCGGTGAGGCGAATCCGGGGAGGTGCGGCTGGGATTTGTTTGAGGAGGGCGATGGACTGGTGGTGCGCGTCGCGAAGCGGGGCAATGGGGACTGGGACGCGTTCCTCGTTGATGAAGTCCCGGCGCCGACGGCGTCCTATAAGGGCGTCTGTGAGGCGACGGGCGCCTCTTACGAACAGACCTCCACGGAAATGCGAATCGAGGTGGCCCTGCCGGATCATGTCGAGGCGCGCGATGTGAACGTGGCGGTGGCGGGCGACGCGTGGTCGGTCGAGGCGGGCGCCTGGTCCCTTGGAGGGGCATTAATGGGCGCCGTCCGCGCGGACGACACGGCGTGGGTTGTCGACGATGGAGTGGTTTTCATGACGCTCACGAAGCGGGCCGCCAGGACGTGGTGGGCGGGGTTGACACGGTGATAGTTCTCTGTTTGTGTAATTGTTTTCTGTTGTCTTCACCTACGGTCTTGCCGCTGTGTCTGCGCATGCTCTCCGCTTGATGGGTGGAAGGTCGCTCGTCTATAGAGCTCGTCTAGGCCGGTCGTCTAGGCCGGTCGCGTGACTCGCGTCGACGGCCCGGCGGGTTGTGATATCCAGCCTCGCGGCGTCCCCGCCGGCCTGAGCGGCGTCTCGCAGGCGTGGGGCGACGCGGTCGTGCCCTTGGAGGAGTGTTCGTAGGGCGAGGCTAGTGTGTCACCGCTATGATTATCGAAGTCTCTACGCGCGGCAGGTCGGTGCCCTGAGATTACAAAAACAACGTAAGTACGACACCCACCCTTGGCGCGCGCGAGGCGCCCGCTGCGCCGGAGCCCAGCGCTCGTGTCTCGCGCGCCGCGGCGCCCGCCCGCTTACACATCACACATGGCTCAGCTGACCTGACTTGGCCAGAAGCCGCGCCGCCGGCCGCGCGGGCCCAGCGAGACCCGCGCGGGCCCGCCCACACCTCCGAGACCCCGCCGCGCGCGGCGCCGCGCGCCCCGCGCGCGACGACAACGACGCGCGGAACTCTCCCGATACGACCCCCCTCGCAGACAAGACAACCATGGCCGACAAGAAGGAGGAGCCCAAGAAGAAGCGGTCGCCGAACCGCTTGCTCGTCGACGAGGCGACGAACGACGACAACTCCGTGATCGCCCTCTCCACCGCAAAAATGGAGGAGCTCCAGCTCTTCCGAGGTGATACCGTCCTGATCAAGGGCAAGAAGGGCCACGAGACCGTGTGTATTGTGCTCACGGACGAGACGTGCGACGACGCCAATGTAAGGATGAACAAGGTCGTGCGCAAGAATTTAAGGGTCAGACTCGGGGACCTCGTCACCGTGAACGCGTGCGGCGACGTGCCCTACGGGAAAAGAATTCATGTGTTACCCTTAGATGATACGATCGAAGGCGTGACGGGCAATTTATTTGACGTCTACCTCAAGCCCTACTTCCTCGAGGCCTACCGTCCTGTGAGGAAGGGTGATCTCTTCCTAGTCAGACAAGCGATGCACCCCGTCGAATTTAAAGTGGTCGAGACGGACCCGGCGGAGCAGTGCATCGTCGCGCCGGACACGGTGATCCACTGCGAGGGCGAGCCCGTGAAGCGCGAGGACGAGGAGCGCCTCGATGATGTGGGCTACGATGACATCGGCGGCTGCCGCAAGCAGATGGCCCAGATCCGCGAGATGATCGAGCTGCCGCTGCGGCACCCTACCTTGTTCAAGACTCTAGGAGTCAAGCCTCCTCGCGGCGTGTTGCTGTACGGCCCGCCGGGCAGTGGCAAGACCCTTATTGCGCGCGCCGTCGCGAACGAGACGGGCGCCTTCTTCTTCCTCATCAACGGTCCGGAGATCATGTCGAAGATGGCCGGTGAAAGTGAGTCCAACCTGCGCAAGGCCTTCGAGGAGGCCGAGAAGAACTCGCCCGCGATCATCTTCATCGACGAGATCGACTCGATTGCGCCCAAAAGAGACAAGACGAACGGCGAGGTCGAGCGACGCATCGTGTCGCAATTGCTCACACTGATGGACGGTTTGAAGCAGCGGGCTCATGTTGTTGTGATTGGCGCGACGAACCGGCCCAACTCCATGGATCCCGCTTTGAGACGCTTTGGCAGATTCGACCGCGAGATCGACATCGGCGTGCCCGACGAGAACGGTCGCCTGGAAATCTTCCGCATCCACACGCGGAACATGAAGCTCGACGACGACGTCGACCCCGAGGCCGTCGCGCGAGACACGCACGGCTTCGTCGGCGCGGACATGGCCGCGCTCTGCACGGAGGCGGCCATGCAGTGCATCCGCGAGAAGATGGACCTGATCGACATTGACGAGGATACCATTGATGCCGAGGTGCTCGATAGCATGGCGGTGACGCACGACCACTTCAAGTATGCGCTTGGTGTTTCCAACCCGTCTTCGTTGCGAGAAACGGTCGTGGAGGTGCCCAATGTCACGTGGGACGACATCGGCGGTCTCACGGATGTTAAACGTGAATTGAAGGAGCTCGTGCAGTACCCCGTGGAGCACCCCGAGAAGTTCGAGAAGTTCGGCATGTCGCCGTCGCGCGGCGTGCTGTTCTACGGCCCGCCCGGGTGCGGCAAGACGCTCATGGCGAAGGCCGTCGCCAACGAGTGCCAGGCGAATTTTATTAGCGTGAAGGGTCCCGAGTTACTCACGATGTGGTTCGGCGAGTCCGAGGCGAACGTGCGAGACATCTTCGAGAAGGCTAGAGGTTCTGCCCCTTGCGTCCTCTTCTTCGACGAGCTGGACTCCATCGCGGGGCAGCGCGGCGGGTCGTCGGGCGACGGCGGCGGCGCGGCCGACCGCGTCATCAACCAGATCCTGACGGAGATCGACGGCGTCGGTAGCAAGAAGAACGTCTTTGTGATTGGGGCGACGAACAGACCGGACATCATCGATCCTGCTTTGATGCGTCCTGGTCGGTTGGATCAGTTGATCTACATCCCGATGCCCGATCTCGAGTCTAGATTGTCGATTCTGAAGGCCACTTTACGGAAGTCTCCGATCTCCTCAGATGTCGACCTGGACTTCTTGGCCGCCAACACGGAGAAGTACACGGGCGCCGACCTCACGGAGATCTGCCAGCGGGCCGCGAAGATGGCGATTCGCGAGAATATCGAACGGGACATGGAGCGCGAGCGCCTCAAGGCCGAGAACGCGACGGGCGACGACGACGCCATGGACGACGTGGACGAGCCGGACCCCGTGCCCGAGATCACGCCGTCGCACTTCGAGGAGGCGGTCCGGGCGTCGCGCCGCTCGGTGTCTGATCGCGATTTAGCTCAATACTCGTCCTTCGCCACGACGCTCCACCAGCAGCGCTCCTCCATCGGCAACACGACCTTCTCCTTCCCGGGCGCGCCGCCGGCGGCGGGCGGCGGCGCGGCGCCGGGCTTCGCGCCCGCGGCCGACGACGAGGACGACGACCTCTACTCCTAGGCGCGCGTGGCCCTGGCCCCTGAGTAACTCATTCTACTTGAACACTTACATACACTTGCGTTGAACCTCTCTCAGCAACCTCGCATCTCTGCTATGCAGTCGAGCTGGTCGCCGTCCTCCATACCGATGTCGGCAGGCGTCTGGTCGCAGCGGACGCGCGAGCCGTCGAAGAGGAATCTCACGCTCGCCGCACAGACACCCACCTGGGTAGACCAGGCGTCGAAGACTCGCTCCAGGGGCGTCGTCGGCATGACCTTGAAGTACTCCTCCCTTCCGGACGCGGAACGGACGCGGATGTTCAGACTGCCGCCGGATGTCGACGGCTGCGGCCCCTGCTCGTCCCGCACGACGGCGTATTTGCGCTTGAAGGAATTTTCCAGAGGATAGGTCCAGATATGCCTGTCGTACTCGTCCTCGAAGCATTCCTTCAGCTTGTGGAGTGTCCTCTCGCGGCGCACGCGGCGGGCGCCGCAGTCCAGGACCCCGTCCGGATCGTGATCCACGAATTGCTTGAACGCCGCGTCGCAAAACGCGCGGTACCCTCGGGTATCAAGGATGTGTTCGTGCCAAATTTCGTCGACGAGCGGCGGCGGTGATAACTTCGTCGCATCGAAATCTTTGCAAACGGCCTTCAGTACCATAAATTGCTTGTATGCTGCCAGCGCATCAAACACCTCATCTTCGTTGAGATTGAGGTTGCGCGCACAGCGCAGTACGAGCCGGCCACCAGGTTCGACCCTTTTTGTCGTATAAGGGTCGAACGGGAGCGCCACGTCGACCGCAAAAATCGCAGCAGCGATGGCGGTCTCGTCGGCTGCGTCTTCACTCATCTCGGCTCGCGCGCGCCGCAGGAGCGGGCTGCAGCCTCCAGGCACTGATGCCTGTTTTTATGGCAGGGCGTCGGGGAGCCACCAAGGCGCCAGCGCTGCGGCGGCCAAGCTCACTGGAGATTGTGAGGAGGCGCAGGTTATCGTATTGCTGCGTATTCGCCGCAGAACCACGGCAAACGTGATCAGCCGCTAACTAGCGTGCTGTAAGACACTAGCAAGCAGATCGATAAGTGTCTTCCCCCCAGGGGCTCCGCCCACTAATCCTAGCACCGTAACAATAAGACCCGAATACATCAACTTAACCCCCGAAACCCGTCCGTCGCCTCGACGAGCCGCTCCACGATCTCCGGCTCGAAGGCCGAGTGGCCCGTCGTCGTGATGTGGAGCGTCGAGCCGGGCAGCTTCCGATGGAGCTCCCACGCCGACGTCGCCGGGCAGACGACGTCGTAGCGCCCCTGGACGATGACGCACGGGATGTCCTTGATCCTACTAATCTGCGCGTCCTCCAACAGCCAGCCGTCCCTCTCAAAGAAGCCGCGGTTCGTAAAATAGTGGTTCTCGATGCGCGCAAAAGCGAGTGAAAAGTCGTCGCCGGCCCACTGCGCCTCGAGCGCCTCCGGCGTCGGCGGAAGCAAACGACTGACGGAGCCTTCCCACACGCTCCAGGCCCGCGCCGCCCTCCGCATCTCTTCCTCACCTAACTCGCCACGCAAACGCTTGCCATACGCGGCCACGTAGCCGTCCCGTTCGACCTCTTCAGTGGGAATAATTTCAGCGTACTTCTCCCAGGCCTCCGGGAAGACAAAGGCGGTGCCCGAGCCCTCGTAGAAGAAGTCGAGTTCCTTCTTTCTCAGTAAAAAGATGCCTCGTAAAACTAACGCTGTCACGCGCTCCGGGTGTTTGACCGCGTACGAGAGACCGAGCGTCGAACCCCAGCTCCCGCCGAAGACGAGCCAGCGCTCGATGCCCAGTTTCTCCCTTATTTTCTCGTAGTCCGCGACGAGGTCCCACGTCGTGTTGTCCTCCAACCTGCGTAGAATTCTCATGTCAACCCCCACGCCATCGATGCGACGCCTGCTCGACGGCGTGCACCCGACGCTCGGGTTGATTTTCACACGGGACGGAACGAAGCGAAGGGTGTCGACTTCCCGCAGCCGCGCTGATCAACTAAAATGATGCGGTAATGATCTGGATCGAAATAACGCGCGTGGTTTGGGACTGTGCCGCCGCCCGGCCCGCCATGCACGAAGAGCGCTGGGGTACCTTGCGGGTTGCCGTAGATGGAGTATGCGACTTCATGGATGCCGACGGTTATGGAGCCGGTCTCGTGGGCGTCGAGCGCCGGGTAGAGCCGCGACGTGCCATCATCAGACTCCGCTCCTTCGGCGGCTCCACCGCGCAACACGAGTCGTCGCAGCGGCGCCGGCAGTGGTGCTACACGGCTTGCGCGTGAAACGACGAGCGCTGCGGCTGGCTGCAATGTTGCCAGCAGCACGAGCAGGAGACGCATGATGTATGAGAGCTCTCTGTTATTTCGTCGCAGCGATGGCGTAACGCTGCGGAACTCGACTCGAGCTCGACCCAGTGATAAGTGCGCAACTCCTGCTGAATTGTCCGGTGCACCCAGACCAGCACAGCGCGAGCAGACTGCCACTGAGTGGCAGCCTAGGCCTCGAGGCCCGTGCTAGTGCCTCTCTACGCTAGGACATGCGCGCCATCCCTCCCGAAGCCGTTGCGGCACAAACAAGGCGTGAATACACCGACTCTCTAGACGAGGGGCACCTCCTTCTAGTGTACTTTGCGTGAGCGCAGCGCCCTGAGAGGCAGGCGCATTGCGGCGCCTGGGGCGCCGAGGGGCAGCCTTCAGCCGCGCGGGCAGCCTTTTTCGGGTCTCTCTCGTCGCGCAGTGGACAAATGGAAATGCTCGCCGCGCCCGCGCCCGCCGCGCTCTCGCCCACCAAAGTGCTGTTTGCAGACAGCTTCGCGGACGACGAGGGCCCGCCCTTATCCCCCGCCGCGCGGCCCTACACGGCATCTCTGCTAGCGGACCGCCCAGGAACAACAGCGTCGAGTTCGAGAGGCCGGAGCCCGGCGCGGACGCCAGTCACCTCCCCACTCCGTGTTTCTTTTGACGATCTCGCGGCGCCTGTAGAAGCACCTACGCGAAGGACCACGACGAAATTGCATGTGGACGATGGCATTCCCCACTCCCAGAAGTATAGAACTAGAAGAAGCACGGGACCTGTCATGACGCGAGACTTAACGAGAGCCGGACGGCAAGCTTCTGTGAATGACGTGGGCACGCGCAACTTCACGATACCCAAGGACTTGACCGCTTCTCTCTTCTCGGCGAACGACGAAAGCGAACGCATCCTCCAGTCCTTTGCGGGGAACAATTTTTCATCAATCAGTTCCTTGCCGGTCAAGCTGCTCCCAGGCAACGTCATCAAGGAACTCGTGAAGAGACAAGAGAGCCATAGCGAGTTCCACGTCGGGCCTGTGTTCTTACCGACCTCGAAAAATGAAAAGCGCCCGACGAAATGGCAAGCTTGGCCGATGAAAGAATACGTAAATGCTCACTGTTCCATAGACTACTCGAGGGAACCGACGCCCAAGAAGGTCTACCCCAACTACCTATCGTCGGGTACTGAGGACGATAAAGCGCCTCCTAAATTCAAGCTTGGGAATGACTGGCGCGCCGACGTAAACAAACCCAAGCCCTGGTGCAACATGCTCAGTAAGGATCTAGACAAGGAGCCGGAGTACAAGACGTCGCCGTACCCGCGGCGGAAGCGGTTTCCCGAATCTCGGCCGGAGTGGTTGGATCCTAATTTAAGGAGTGCATGGCCGATGGCGTCGACGTACGAATTTTTGCCTGCTGGCCGTTCTGTGAAACGCATCCGTCCCCTCAATAAAGCTATTTTAAGGAAGCTGAGAGCGATGATTGAGAAGCGGTGGCCCCGGCTGGCTTTTTCTATTGAACAGGCGCCCGAGGACTGCCTCCGTATTGTTGTAGAGAAGGCCTCGTTCGACCCGGCGTCCCATCTGGCCCTGCGGGCATTTTTACGGAACCTGACCTGGGACGACCGGCTGCTCGATAGACGCGTGGCGTTCAAGCACTCCGAGGAGGACACCGAGGCGACGGTGAGCGCGCTGTACTACGTCCTGCGGACCGGCGTGAAGCCCCACGCCTCGAAGACGAGCTTCGGGCACATTAAGTAGTGAGATTAGTCTACGTTTCGCGGCGGTAGCGTAGGAGTTCGATCCGGGCCGCGTCGGCGTCGGCCGCGACCATGCCGCGACCCACTGCTTCGAAGACTCGCGGCGGTCCGCGTCGAGAGGACTCCTACGCCACGAGCCCGCGCCTCGCATCGATGGCGTGGGGCCGCGCCGTGACCCCGCACGACCATTTTCATTTGGCAGCGCTGCACGGCGTTCGCGGCTCCCGCGGCGCCAGTGCTCGACATAGCCGTTGCGATGCGGTCGACATAAATCGATTAGTCGCCTCGGCGCGAATAACAGCTGCCCAACAACAGGACGATGCCCGAGTCCAAGGCCCAGCGCAAGGCCCGCATGAAAGCAGAGAAGAAAGCTAAATTAGAGGCCAAGCGCGCCGCGGCCAAGGACGAGCGCGCGCTCCGCGAGGACGCCGAGCGCGCCGCGGAAGTCGCGAACGCGGCGATCAAGGTCTACGTGGACCGCGGCATCGACGAAGTGACCGGACCGCTCATCACAAATGCAATACAAGGCGCTCTAGATGATGCAATCTGGCTCCAACCTGCAGCGGCGCCCGCGCCCGCGCCCGCGCCCGCGCACGAACCACCAAAATGGGCTGTAGGAGACGTCGTGGTCTGCGATTTAAGGTTGCCCGTCGCCCGCCAAATATGCGAAGAGAAGCGCGAGGAATTGGAGGAAGCTCGAGGTTTGTTAGTGGAGGCCCAGGCGGCGGCCGACGAAAAACCGGGCGATCGCGACGCCATCCAAGCATTGTACAAGGCGCAGAACCGGTTGCCGGACTTCGAAGAAGCTTTTCAGGAGGCCGAGGACTACGTCCATTCGTTGGTCGTGGCCGGCCTGTCCGCGAAGGATGGAGGTGTCGTCATTGTCGGTACGGTGCGCGACATTATCATATCAGATGAAGCCCAGGCCCTAGAACAGTACTGGGACGACTACGCGGAAAAGGAGAAAGATCTCGGGGAGATTTTGAACGAGCGACCGGACCTGTTGATGCAAGCCCGGGCGCGTTTGGACGACGTCCCCGCCTGGGGCGAGCAACCGAAGCTATCAATCGCGGAAGTGGCGAAGCAGCTCTTCGCGTCTGGAGACATGTTCGACGTCGCGTTGGTCGAGGAGTGCTGGAAGCACCGGAACCCTCCACAAATACCGGAGGGCGACGCCGAAAGGCCGAACACGGCCGCGCGCGACGCCGCGGCGGACATCACGCAGAGTGTGTTGGACGATCTTGGTGACGACGACGACGAACAGGACGCCGGCGAGGACGCTGCCGCCGCTGCCGAAGCCCTAGCGGCGAAGATCGCCGCGGCCGAGGAGGCGGCCGCGGCCGATCAAGTGGTCGAGGAGGAGGCCCCTCCCGCAGAGGAACCAGTAGACGAGTGGCAGGAGACCGTGAAAGAGCAATTAGCGAAGGTCGAGGACATGCTGAAGGACGATCCCGAGAACGAGCAGTTCAAGGAATTGAGGCAGACGCTGCTTGACGAGATCGCGAAGGCGCCCGCACCTCCACCGGAACCCTACGCCGTCAAAGGGCAAGTGAGTTGCTATGTCATTGAGCGACATAATGGGCAGATGGTGGTCATGCCTTTCGATTGGTGCGAGAAGTACCGACCGGTCGACGTGAGCGAACCCGACGTCTCGAGGTACGACCCCTTCTTACTCGCAGAAGACCATCTTGCAGAAACGGTGAACGAGCTCCAGATCGGTCTGGTGAGGGCCCACTCACTAGCCATAAGAGACTTGAGGAAGTGGTACCAGAAAAAAGACACTATCGAGTCCTCCGATCCGAGGGTCGTGTTTTCGATCAAGGGTCGGCCGGACATCCAGCTAAGATCTACTGTGAGAGAAAAGACCCTGTCCCCGGCCTGGGCCGAGTCCTTTGAGCTCGAACTCATGTGGGATGAGATCAAGGAGGACCCTACCCTTACCATACGTATAGAAGATTACGACGGTAAACTCTCAAAGTCCGAGTCGATGGGCATCTGCGAAATTCCATTGAGCGGGAGGGAACATACGCGTTCTAGGGAATGGTATACTTTACAAGTAGACCCATCAAACAAGAAGGGCCTCGTGACCGGAGAAGTCGAAATTGTCCTAAGGTGGCGCCACGTCCCTTCTAGGGTCTTCAAGCCCTTCGCTGGCTTGGAAGATAACCTCCAGAAGTGCCCCAACGAACTTATCATAGGATTGGGACGAGGTCGAAACCTACCGATCATGGACCGGAGTCTCTTCAGTAAGGGTGGCTCTTCTGACCCTCGAGTAGTCGTGTGGATCGAAGGTGTCGATGAACCTTTGGTGTCATCCACGAAGAAGAAGTCCCTGAACCCTTGTTGGCGGGAGGTCTTTAAGTTGGAAGTGCCGCCTACCTTAGAGGACCCCATACTACGTATAAAGTGCGAGGACTGGGATTTAGTAGGGAAGCCCGATTCCATGGGGTTGGTTGATGTCCCGCTCATAGACTATAGGATACAACTAGGATTCACGTCGATCGATCATCGCCAGAAGACGCGGCAGTGGCTCGCATTGGGTCCTGATCCCAAGGCAAAAAAACTAAAACCACAAGGTGAGTTGGAAATAGAGCTCTGGATGCGCTACTCCCTCGAACTCGACTTCGACCCGTTCCTAGATCGAAACTTCTTCAAAATCGAAAGGCCGAACGAGTTGCAAGTCGGGTTGATACGAGGCCGCGATTTAGCCGCGAAGGACGGCGGCACGTTCACGACGGCTACGTCCGATCCGCAAGTCGTTTTTACCATAAACGGCACGGAACTCGTCTACAAGTCGACCTACAAGGTGAAAACTCTGGCCCCGCGGTGGAACGAAATATTTTTAATTGAATTCGAAGATGGCATGACCGAGGATGATACGCCTACTTTAAGGTGTACTTGTGAGGACTACGACGATTTTTCCGCGAACGACTTCATGGGCTTCGTGGAGTTTGACATTAGGAAGTATACGCATCGGCGGCATCGCGACTGGTACGACTTGCTCCCAGATCCGAAGAGGCCCAAGGAACAAGTGTCTGGGAAGTTGGAAATTGTGCTGCGGTGGTGGCACAACCCGGAATTGGCCTGGGAGCCCTTTCTTGACTCGACGGATGTGGATGACGTAGAGCCGAACGAGTTGTTAGTCGCGCTCGTGAGGGGAAGGGAACTCGCACCGCGCGACGCCTGCGGTCTGTCGTTCAAGCCCGTCACGAGCGACCCGCAAGTGCGGTTTCGGATTATTGATACGGACGAAAGGCAGCAGTCCACACATAAGATAAAAACGTTGGCACCGCGGTGGAACGAAGAGTTCGGCCTTTATTGCGTGCCCGGTGAACTGCCCGTCCTCAGAGTCGTATGTGAGGATTATGATAAGTGGTCAGCGAATGACAGCATGGGCGTGTTTGAAATCGACTTGCATGAAATAAAAACGTTGCTGGCGCAGCCGCGGTCGCGGCATCGCGCCTGGTTCCAACTTGAGACAGATCCGGCGTGTCCGAAGGATCCCGTAACTGGTGCGCTGGAATTAGTGCTGAGGTGGCGCCACAACCCGGAACTGCATTTTACGCCCTTTGGCGGTTTTGTCGAACCGGAAAAGTACCTGGAGAAGCCGCCTAATGAATTGCGCGTGTGTTTGATACGAGGCAAAGGTTTAATTCCTCGGGAACGCTCAAAAAGGAAGGACGACCCCGGGTCGGCCTCGCCGCGGTGCGTGTTTACGTACGCCGGGAGCGACCTACGCGTCGCGAGTGAACATAGAGAAGCGACGCTGTCGCCGACCTGGAAGCAGGAACTTATCTTACCGATCGAGGAGTTCCAGAAGTCCGTGGAGGGTCCTCACTTATCTGTTAAGCTAGAAAGCGTCGCTTCCGGTAGTAGCATGGGTACCTTCGAAGTACCCCTAAGGCCGGCCATGCATTCTCTGTACAGAACGTGGTGCGCCGTAATGCCCGATGCTGATGGCAAGGAGGTCAAAGGGCGCGTGGAGATCGCGCTGTACTGGGGTTACAATCCCGAGTTGGCCTACGAGCCTTACGAGGAGGAGGTCGACGAGTATCCCACAAAAGTTAGAAATGAGTTATTATTAGCTGTCGTGCGCGCGCGCGATCTAGCGCCGAAGAAGGGCGGTTTATTTTCGACAGGTGGTTTACCTAGTCCTTCCGTGAGACTGCGGGTCCCCGGGACAGATGTGGAAGTGACCACAACCAAGAGGAAGAACACGCAGCACCCCGTCTTCAAAGAAGAATTTAAACAGGAGTACGAGGCCTCGGATGAGAGGAAACCGGGCTTGATGGAGGTTATTGTCGAACACAACAAAAAAGTACTGGGCATAGGTATCCTACCTCTGTCCGGTGTGAGAAGGGAGTTTCGGTTAAGACAATGGCTCACGCTGAAAGACCCAGAAACAAGAAATGCGAGCGGCAGTATTTGTTTGATAGGATGCTGGCGGCACAACCCCGCCTTAGTGTTCGACCCCTTCGGGGGCCCTGTCATCCACAAGGACCGGTTGCAGAACGAACTGCAGATATCTGTGTATCGATGTCGCTGTTTACCGCTGCGCGAGAACGGCAACGAGCCCTCTCCCTCGGTGTCTGTGGCTCTCGGCATGGCACCCGCTGTCAATACAGATAAGAAGAAGGCCCAAGCCGCGCCCACGTTCAAGAACAACTTTGCGTTCAATGTGGAGGTCGGTGATCCTGTTGACTGTGATATAACAGTATATGACCATCAAACGATAAGCAAGAAGGTGATCGGGATTGTCAAGCTCCGCGATTTAACAGAGGGCCTCTCGAATCGATTGCCCTTCCGGAAGTGGTATCCTCTGGAATCGAAGGACGCGCAGTATGTCGAACGGCCGCTCATAGACCCGCCGCGAGCGCCGGGCGAGGAGGCTCGCAAGGAGGACGCGCCGCTCGGCCAAGTCCAGCTCTTATTTAGATGGCGGCACAACCCGGCCTGCGAGCCGCAACTATTAGGGGATTTGATGGACACGCCGGCGAAAGAGGCGAACGAGTTGCTGGTGCTGGTGGGAAGAGCGCGGGACCTGAGACCTTCACGTCTAGAGATACCTGATGAGATAAAAATCAAAGATAGCATGTTCGGCAATAGTACAGAGGAGGGGAAGATGCGGGCGTTTTTGCAAGCGTCCTACGTGATTGATGAGGAATCTACATCCATAAATACTCGACTCCAAAAAGGCACGTACGGGCCGCGCTGGTTCGAACTTTTAAGGGTTGGTTTACATGAACACGCCGTGGACACGGACGAAGTGTCTGACTTGGCAATTGAAATAAGAGATCGGATAGTGAGAGGTACTGATGGCAACCAGCCGATCCTCGGCAGTATTACATTGGACCTGCGAGACGCACTTAAACAGCGCCGCAAACACTCAAATGAGGAACTACCGGCGCCGGACTGGCGCTGGCACTCTTTGATCAAACCCGAGGTCCCCGTCAAGAAGCTAGCTTTTAACGAGGAGCCGCCTCCCCCCGACCCTCTAGCCACGCTCAAAATCGCGTATCTCTTCCGACACGACCCCGATCGAGCGCCGGAGTACTACACTGGGCCCGATCTGTTCCCCGCCGAAGAACCGAACGAGTTGAGGTTAGCTATTGTCGCCGCGAGAAATCTCGGCAAGCGCCCCGACTTACTCATTTACCAGAGACCGAAGACGCCACCTAAGTTAGAAGAAGGCGCACGTATTGAATTCGAAGGCAAGGGAGGTTTGGTGATCCAAGCGCCGGACACGAAAGGGGGCTGGTGGAAAATACGTTTAGATGGAGAGGCCAAGCTCAAATCGGTAAGGGCACCGAAGCTCACCGTGCTCGAGGGGGCCAAAAGGGCATCAAAATCCTCGCGGGCCTCGACGGCGGCGGGCCCGGCGCCGGCGCCGGCGCCCGCGCCGGCCGCGGCGCCGGCGCCCGCCGCGCCCTGGGCCGAGGATTTGTCAATCGCCTCGGCCGTGCCGCCGGACGCCGGCTCGCCCTTCCCTTCTACGTGGGTCCGCGTCTCGGCCCACATCTCCAAGACGACCATCGAGACGGAGATCGTCCAGAGGACCCGGCGACCCACGTATGGAGAGGAGTTCACGTTCGAGGTCGACGAGCTCTTGCTGGATCAGGTCGTCGATGACACTTCTACTGTTAAAATAGAGGTCTTTGATTCGCGGGGCGACGAGGATACGTGTCTGGGTGTCTGTACGGTGCCCATCCTTCCGATGCTCGACAAGAACGTGAGAAGGCGGTGGATGGCCCTCGACTCGCCTTATGCGAAGCCGTCCTGCAAGGGCGCGGCTTATGGGGACGTGCCCGGCTGGTCGCGCTTGAAAGATGTACTCCATGAGAAAGATATTGCGCCCCTCGGTCTACTCGACGTGTGTCTACGGCTGGAGACGGGCGCGGAAAGAGCTGCCTACATGGCATCACCTATAGGAAGAATTCGACGGGCGTGCCGCAAGTACCGACTCAAAGAAGGGGAGGACGCGATATTGACTCTGCGACGCGTCAAAGTCTCGCTCAAGAACTGTACCTTGATCACGGCGCTCCTGGACCCGCAAATTGCGAGAGACGCCTTACCGGACGCCGTCGCACCTCTCCTGATAAAGGCCGATCTGCGGACCTGCGGTTTAGATGGTGAGAAGCTAGAGAGATTGGCTCAAGCGCTGCCTCAGAATAATATACTGAGGGAGATCGACCTCTCCGGAAATAATTTTGATGACGGAAATCGGACCAAGGCCGTCCAGAGGCGCTACGAGGCCGATATCGTGCAGGACACGGGCCACGGCTTCCGCATGGCCTTCGGGAAGAAGACGATTGCGGAGCACGTCTTATCAGATGAATACACCGTGAAAGACGACGAGGATTCTTTGGCGGCGAATATCGGACTCAAAGCGTTGGGCGAGGCCCTGAAGACCAATACTGGACTAGTATCAATAAACCTGTCCGAGAGCCGCGTCGAGGCGAACGGCCTCGCGGCTCTATCACAGGGGTTAAGGAGGAACGCGTCCCTGACCGAACTCAAGCTAGCAAGGAACATGGTCTGCGACGTCAGTCCGCAGGGCTGGGGCGCGCACTCGTCGCGGGGCGTCGACGCGCTCGGCGAGGCCCTTGCGTACAACGACACGCTGCAGAAGCTGGATCTGTCGCAGAACCAGTTGTGTGGGGTCACAAGCCCGTGGTGTTCTGGTTCGAAAGGGACCTTCGCGCCCGGGGCGCTCTTGGCTCTGCGACGGCCGCTGTCTCGGAACGCCGCGCTTCGCGAATTGAATCTGACGGACAACGGGGTCCTGGAAACGGCCCGGCCGCTGGTCGACGACCTGAGCGGCGCGCGGTTGAGGGGAGGCGGCGACTTCCGGTTGCTGGAGCGCGTCGGCCGGGCGAAGCGGGCCTACTGCATTTTGAGAAGGGCGGAGTACTACGCCGAGGTGGCTGCCAATGCGCGGGGCGAGTCGGCCTACTAACATTTGTGTGCGTTTATTGGTGATGATGTCGTTAGTTATAGACGCCTCGCGCGTAACTGACGTTCCTACGCCGTCGGCTTAAAGCTGTCGCGCTCCCCGCTACACCCGTAGACGCGGCCCTCCTCCGCGCCATGCGCTACGTAATGCCCGCGCATCTTTTCCGCGCAGCTCGGCTGGTATCGGCCGCTGGGGCAGAGTTTCCGTTCGACATCTTGATACCGCTTCGCGTAACACCGTCCGCGACGCGTACCACGTACTCGCCGCCGAGCGGCGGCCCGCGCCGCGGCCGCCGCCGGTCGTCGAGGCGCTCGCGCCCGCGACGGAGCGGCCGTCCGCGGGGCTCAACGCGCTCGCGCTCGCGACGCAGATGGAGCTATAGGTTTTCCTTGTGTGGATTCTTACTCTCTCTTGCCCGACTACTCTAGTGACTTAGCTCCGCTGGCATATCATTAACTTGTCAGTTGACGCATTTGACTTCGGAGGGAGAGTACATCATTTGTCTTCCAAAACAATCCCGCAATAAATCTTCCAACTCTCTCTGTCTCTCTCCCAGCTTTCCCGCGCCGCCTTGCAATCCTCGACGAGGTCTTGGTCGAGCTCCATCGCGGCCCGCGAAGGAGCCTCAGGGCCTCCGACAAAGGCGATGGTTCCCAACGTGCCGATGATTACGCCAACACACACGGCGACGACTAGGCCGTAACCGCGCCGGACTGGCCCAGGGGCCTGGTTCTTAGGCCGCTTTGCCTCGGCGTCCTCAGGAATCGTCGCGTACATCTTCAAATGTTGTGAATTTATGACTTTGAGTGAGGATGGTAATGTGTGATGGACGTGTAGCGTGGGGGACTAAGCAAAGCCAAACCCGACAATCTACGGCTGTAAGACACTAGCGAGCAAGCTCCGCCAGGCGAGGCTGCTCGAGCAGCCAGCCCAGCGCACCGCATACCTCGTCCAGAGCCGCGCCAAGGTCGCATCTCTTCGCTGCAACCCGCATTTTACCGGACCGCTATCGACGGTGCCGGCTCTGGCGCAGACAAATAGTATGGGCCTAACAGGCTACATCTGCTTCATGACTGCACTATCAGTCGCAGCCGCCCTGCTGTATACGCCGTCGCAGCGATTGCTCGAATGCGTCCACTGCCCAAAGTACTTCGTCGTGCGACGCGTCGACTACCTGCACTACCGAATCGAGCGGGCGCACTACCTGCTGCGCTTTGTTGCCTCAAGCTTTACGGTGCGCGTCGTGCGCGGTGCAGAGGCGTTCGCCGGGCTCGTTTCCCTCGTCGGCGCCGCGACGGTGCTGAACCTTTGCATGGAGGTCGGCCTGCGGGTCACGGGCCAGCGGCAGATGCGGCTCCGCGCGTACAGCCGCCTGCCAAGTGCACTCGCGGTGCTCGTTCAGGCGTTCTTCGAGGGCGGCATGCGTCAGCGTGGTTGTGCCTTCGACTCTGCTCCTACCTGCCCCCATGCCATCGCCACGCCTCACGAAACGCGCAAAACGCAGGCGTTTACTTTGGCACGTTCTTCGCCTTTGCGCTGCATTTGAACGCGGGCGACGCGACATGCGTCCTGGCTTACGCGACAGCGTGGGTCGTCTTTCCGCTCTGGTCCCTGCTACACGGATGGCCGCGACCGCGCGCCTACGGCGCGAAGGACCACCTCTCGCGGCGCGAGATCGTGTCGACGGCGCCGAGCCGGCTCCTTCAGGTGGCGGCCGCGGCCGTGTGTTGGCGCACCGTGGCGCGGCCGCCGGCGCCGTTCCTTCGGGCGGTTGTGGCGACGCAGTTGTGCTTTTTCCCCTGGTATTTCGGGGCGCTCCGCTGGCTCGGCCGCTCGTTCATCGAGTGTGAGTCCTCCGCGCCGTCCGCGCTCGCCGACGCGCTGTGCACGGCGTACCGCGCGGCCGAGCCCGTGGCCGGGGCGTTTTCCATCGTCGCGGCGTTCGCGCTGTTTTTTCCCGAATGTTGTGAGAAATATGTATAAGTTTAAGCTACTCCCCGCCGTCGATGGAGTCGTCGGCGGCGCCCTCGTAGTCGTCGATCGTCTGCTCGGCCTCGGCCTGGTCCCAGGGCCGCGTCGTCACGCACCAGCGCGGCCCGTTACTATAGACGCCGTCGGTCAGTTGTCTCAGAAAAGCATGGGCCCTATCTAAAAACCCCGAGGACATCGCGTCGAGCGACCCGCGCAGCGCCAGCCGCAGCGGCGCGTTGTAGCGACATAAAGATTTGGTGGAACCGCCGTGGGCGTCAAACACTAAACGGGAGGTAGATGCCAACCGCGGCACGCCCCGATCCACGTCCGCGTAGTCGTTGATCGCGTATAGAGCCGGCATCGTTAACGATGAGGCGGCCTTCGCGCATCGCACCGATCTCGGATCCACCCTTGTCCTTTTTTCTACCGAGTGACATAACACCTCCAAAGCAGTGGCAAGTAACGGCTCAAGTAGCCCCGTGAGGATCGGTTCCCGTTCGGCCGCGTGACCCTTCAAAGCCTCTACCACATCTACGGGCGAATCCACCACACAGTCCAGGATCAAGCCCGATGGTATCGGTAAATCGTCGCCGAAGAAACTTTGTCGAGTTGCGTCGGTCTTACGGAAGACGTGCAGCTTCTTCGAGGAGACCTTCTTCAACAAATCCCTCAATTCTTGGGAAGAGTGCGGGAGGTGCGTCGACGTCCCAATGCCGCAGATGACGTCCCCTACTAACAAACCGCTGGCGGGCATGCACTTTGATATTTGTAGGGTCGGCTTCGAGGCGACCCAGACGTAAGTCGTCTGTTCCACTTCCGTGCCCCTCATAAACTCATCCACGTCTTCAATATCAATGGTAATTTCTGTGGAAGACGGGTAGGGGTCCTTCTCTCCCACAGCATCCTCGAGGCCCATGTACGCGACGGCGTCCCCAAAATAGGATGTATCCTTCGATGGAGGTGTCGCGACGGATGCATATAACACGCAGGCCACGGCGCCCGCGCCGCGGCCCCACAGCACAACATCCGTGAAGCCTCTTCTTTTGACAAGCTCTTGCGCGAGACAAGCGACGTCCCATCGTTCCAGAGATCCGAAGGACACGCGCCGCCCTCCTGACTCGCCGCAGGCCGTCGTATCTAACGCGCAGTAGCCCGCGGCGCCCGCGTCGAGAGCTACGCCTAGGCACGACAACGCGCCCAGTCTACTCCCACCCACATCATGGACGTACAATACACACGTCTTCTTCGACCTCCATCTATATAACTTGGAACCCAATCCCAAATCGTCGCGCCACAAAGAACACTGGAGGTCGTGGCCACGATCACAAACCACCGCAAAGTCGTCCCGCACGATACTCCGTCCCCGAAACTCGAATTGTACAGGACCGAGCTTCCGTGTACATCGTTCCCGTTTCGGCGCCAGGAGCATTCTCAACAATTGCGCATAATGAGCTCTAGCATAATCTCGCAATTTGCCAAAGCCCGGGTCTTTTTGCGACTTGAAAGAAGTCCACGCGTCAGCAAAAGCCACGGCGTTGTCTCCTCCGAAATCGTCGTCGTCGTCGTCGTCCTCGCGACGGCTGCGGTCCTCGAGCTCGATCTCGACGTCCTTCGTCGGTGATTCTCCATCGGACACGTCCTCCTCGATCGAGGCGCGCCAGGCCTTCGGGGGCGAGGGCGGCACCACTGGACTCGGCACGGAGGCCGTGGAGCTGCCGCTCGGCGGGCTCGGCGGCGTCTTGGGCAGCTGTGCTTCCTGCCGCGGCGGCGTCGCGGGCTGTGGTGGAGGCGCCGGGGGCTGCCGAACTTGGGGTTTCTCATCCGGCGCGTCGTCGGCACGCTTGCTGCAGGAGCAGCCCATCGCGGCTGCGACGACGCCTGCGCGCCGGCGAGGCGGGCAGCACTTGGGTGCCGGGCAGCACCCTGGCCTGATGAATCGATTTTTGAGCTAACTGGCGGGTTTTACGCGGTCTCTGCCAGAATTACTTTGCTTGTCCCACGGACTCGCCTGTTTCGCGCAAAGTCGTCTCTCGGCCAGGAGGGCTAGTGGCTTGTAAGTCTCTAGAACAAGCAGCAGACTCGAGGCACATCCAAGCTACGGCGCGGTACGAGCTGCGCCGCTTATGAGGCGTTCGTGATCGTCGTCTCAGGTAGCAAATTGGTCGCGAACCAACTTTCAAGACGTTCGTCCCGGCGCCGCTGAGTACAGCATAGTGCTCTCCCGACACAGCCTTGGCCACACGTCGCCGCAGGGCGCCGCGCGGCGTAAACGATGGTCCTGCTCGCGCGAAGGGCCGCGCAGCTATGCACGAAACGCTACGCGTCGCAACCGCACGACCCGCGCACGCTGCGGGCGCGCCGGCTCCTTAGCACTGAAACTCAAAAGCAAGACCCGCGCACGCTAAGCGGGGCCTGGTCCTTCCTACAGCGCGCGAACCCGTTCACCGTCTGGGGCGAAACTATTGGGAGAGAGCCGAGCGACCGCCTCCCGAAGGTGACGGACCTGGTCAAGGCCGTGGTCGGTTTAAGTGGCAAATCGCCGGACGAATTACAAAGGTACGCGACGGAGAGCAACGCGGCCTTTGAGGCCTATGTAGATGATTTGGGCTTCGAGCGGCGGTCCTTGCTCGAGATCGCGCCGAAGGACGAGGAGCAGTCGCTGGACGAGTTTTTGGAGGGTGCTAGAGATGCGGTGGCCTTCGTCGCGCCGCTGTTGAAGGACGCGGTCGCGCACGAGGCCGAGTTGTCGAAGGTCGTCTCCGCGAAATTGCTTGAAAAGGCCAAGGAGGGCTCCATGGCCGTGGCTGAGGATAAAGAGGACGAAGGCGTCAGAAGGGTCACCTTCGGCGTCTTCGGACAACAATTGCGCCAGAAGGACCTCGCGCCGCGGTCGACGGGCGCCATGGCGCTCTTCGAGCAAGCTTTGCAGAAGTGGGGATACGACGCCGAGGCGCGGGACGACGCTATATTGCTGAGGGAGTCCAATGGATTGTTTGTGGCCAAATTCTCACTCGCGGACGAGCTCGCGGATTTACTAAAAGCAGCCAAGGACACGGACGCGGGCCGGGCCGTCGAAGCCTTACTCTACGCGGTGAGCCGCGCCGAGGGCCGCGCGCTGACCTGGCCGCTGCCGAGCGACGCCCATTCGAGACTCGCGGGTGACGCGGAGGCTTGCGCTCTCACGATGCGCGGCTGGCTCCTCGTCGACGTGGCGGTCTCAAAATGTTTGTACACGTTCGCGCGCGAGGTTGATAGGAGATCGGCCTACCGCTGGGGCCACGACTGGCGCATCGTCGATGTGGGCGGCGCCGTCTTCGACAACGACGACGGCGCGCTCCTCGACGGGCTAGTTGCCGAGGATAATACACCATAAAAAATTAAGTGGGCACGACCTGCTTCGGCCGGCAGCAGCCCTGGGCGTACCAGAGAATAATGAAAAGCATCGGCACGAAGACGATCAGCAGGATGATGCCGGGCGCGTCCAGTCCATCCGTCATCTTTTCGCCCTGGAGGCGCCGCCGCCGTCTCTCGGCAGCCGCCGCGTCGCGGCGCGGCTCCTCGCCGGGCGCGTGCTCGCGCGCGAGGGCGGACGCGAGGCCCGCGAAGTACCTTGTTGGAATATCCTCGAGGCGCGGGAGGCGGCGCGTCCAGGCCTCCTCGTAGGTCGTCAGCTCGCGCGCGTCCGTCTGGGCAGGCAGCGGGGGCAGCTCGTAGAGCGCCTCGACCGCGTCGGCGACGAGGAGCTCGCGGGGCGACGAGCTCCTCGCGCCGGGCGTTGCTCGGGCCGCGCCGGCGGCGAGGAGCGTCACGGGCCATCGTCGCATGGTGACGGGTCGCGTGGGCGGCGGCGTCCTGGCTGCCCTGCTATGGAACAAATCCAATCCACGGGCAGCGCGCCGCGCAAGCGTTTCCCGTTGGCACGGGTCGAAGGGCTGCCTCGACCGAGACAACGGTGCTTTCGCCGCTCTTGGGCGGCTTTTCGAGCGGATCAAAGCGCCCAGCGGCAGGATGCCAAGGCGCTGGAAGCTCCCCCCGAAGTTTGAAGTCCCGCCGACGCGTGCGCGCCTTGTGACAGGTCGAACGCGCCCCGAGACGGATCTTCGCGACGACGGCAAAAACCCGCAGCCTCTCGTTTTGTAGCGCCGGAGAGCAGCCGCAAAAGGCTGCCCAAAGCAGCCATGGTGGCCTCGCCCGACCGCACAACGCTAAACGCAGGCATGACCACGGGCACCATGTCCCTCGCCTACCCCGAACGCATCCCCAAGGCCCGGCTGGAAGCCACCTTACTCAATCGCGAGCTCGACGACACCCTATTCGACGCGCGCACGCGGCAAACGAAGTCGACCGACAGCTGGCTCACCGCGGCTCAAGACCGCACGGTCGACGAGCTGCTGCGCCCGGAACCGCGGCCCGAGGTGAGTCAAGTGCCACTGGAACTTCCGGCTATAGATCAACTGCCCCCGGGCGGCCACGGCGCCTGCTACACGATCACGCTCGATTCTGGTGAGAAGGCGATGGACGAGTGTCTTGGTGGGTTGTTGAGTCAGACGCGGGCCAAGGCGTCGCGGCTGCGGCAAGCGTTACGAAGGGCGCTGGCCCGCGAGGACTCTCTGACCATAGAGAACGAGAAGCTGCGCGACGCGAATATGCGAGCCACGCTATCCACTGAAAAGGGCGAGCCCGCGCTGATTGCGAGACGCAAGCTCAAGGCCGCGCGCGACGTGCTGAGGGATTTGCCCGAGGCGTCGCACGCGCTGAAGCATTTGGCAGGTTTGAGAAAGGACGTCGACGAGCTGGCGAGGGAACGGGACGCTGCGTTAAAAGCCCAGCGGGCGGCGGAGGCGCGCGCTCTTGATAATGAAAAGCGCGCGACGGACGCGCTCGCCGAGGTCCACCTCGTGGGCGGGCGGTTAGATCGTGCTAAACGAGAGCTCGCGGCGCGGGCGCGCGCGGGCGCCGCCGGGCCGGCGATCCTGTCCGCGGCCGTGTCCGCGGCGCTCACGGAGGAGGAGGCCGTGCCGGTGCTCCTCGCGGCGCCGGGCGACGCGGGCGACGCGCTGCGCGCGCTGCGGGACCGGCTGACGTCGATGCGCGGGCCGCGCGCGCCGCGCTGCGTCGGGCGGCCGCTGGCGCCGGCGCCCGCCGAGGGCTTCGGGGACGCGCCGCCCGAGCACGCCGTGCACCTGGCTGGAGAGGGAGGCGACGCCGCGGCCGACGCGGTCGTCGCGGCGCACGATCTAGTAAGGGCCCTGGGCGCCGCGGAGGCCATATCCGTCGATTGGGCAGCCAAGGCCCCCGGGGACTCGGGCGACGCTTTTTTAGACGCTGCTGAAAGGTTGGTGCGAGCGGGCGTGCTGAAGGATCCCGGCCTTGACGAAGCCCGGGCGTTGCCGGCGGGCCGCGAGAGGTGGCACGCGATCCTGCAAGGCGTGCACCCGGCAGCGGGCGCGCTGGCCGCGGTTGAGTTTGATGATGCGTCGCCGGCGGCCCAGCGTTTACATAGGGCATGTTTGCTGGGCTGTCTGCTCCTCGCCGCGACGCCCGACGCCTGCCGCGCGCTCGAGGATCGGGCGGCGAGCAAGCGCGCGCCGCCGCCGGCTATTGCAAAGCAGCCGGTCACGACCGTGGGCGGCTACATTAGTGAACTCCACGTCGACCTCGAAGAGATGGAGCCGCTCGACGACGTGACGGCTGACATCGCGGCAATTGTTGACGCGGCCGTCGCCGGAACGATCAAAGGGCGCTCGCTCGCGCACGTGGCGCGGAAATTCTTATGTAGACGCCACGCCTCGCGGGCCAAGGCCGATGAAGAGCTTTGTAGCTTGGCGCTGGGCGTCGACGCTTTAGCAAGCGAGAGCGCTTTGCCTCGTCTGTTCGCGCGCCTTGCCGGCGTGCCTCGCGGATTATTGGAGAAGCGCCACGCGTTCGATGATAGAGCCGTCAAGAACGCGCTCGTGGCGTCGGCGGCCCACGATCCCTTGGCCGCGGACGGGGCGTATGCCTTTTTACTCGAGGCGGTCGGCACGATCGTGCCGCCGGGCAAAACTAAAGCGTGGCTCGGCGCCGCCGAGCCGCGCCTCGTCGAGCTGGCGGCCGTGCTGGCCGCGGCGCCGGCGCTCTACGAGCGCGAGGTTATTGCTCGCTCAAAACTTTATCCGTCCGCCGAGAACGCTGCAACCCCCGAGCTGCCCTTCTTCCTCCAATTAAGCAGCGTGTTACAAGAGCGAGCGTCAACGGTCGAGGCGGACCCCGTGTCCGCGGCGCTGCGCGTCTCGGTCGTGGACGCCCTCGAGGCGCTCGTGGCCCAGTGGCCCGTGTGCGTCGCATGGGTCGCGCACCAGACGCGGCGGCGGGCCGCGCGGGATCTGCAGCGCGTGCACCGCGGCGGGATGGGTCGGACGCGCGTCGCCGACCTCAAGCGGCAGCGCGCCCACGACGACTTCGAGCGAAGGGTCCGGACGGAGTTCCGCAAGCTCGACACGAAGAAGGACGGCCTCTTTTCACCGGATATTTTCGCCCACATGGTCAAGGCGACGACGGGCGGCGACGCCGACGCCGCGCTGGACGCCTACGACCGGGCCGTGGACGCGTCGCGGCGCGCGAGGGCCGCAGACGCGCAGCGGCGGCGCGACGACGGCGGGGACGTCGAGAGTGACGACGAGGACGAGGACGCTCTGGTGGTGGGCGAGGTCGTCGCCGTGCTCGCGCAGACGGACTCCGGGGCGAGCGTGCCTCAAGCTTACGCGCAGTTGCCCATTGTGACGGAGCGGCAGCACCGGATCTGGGGGAGTGGCTAAGTTGCTTTACCCAACGCCTCCCCGCACCACCTCGAAGACCCGTATGTGGTCCGGCCGGAAGTCGGGCGCGAGGTCGCCCCGCGGGACTTCGGAGCACGCGAGGCCGCGGCGTGCCAGCGCCTCGAACAGGGCGTCGTCGACGGCGGTACTCCGCGTCTGGTGCGCCAGGAGGAGCCGCCCGCCGTCCGCGAGCAGCGCCGCGGCGCACGCCACGAACGGCTCGACGAGATCCGCCAACCAAACGACGTCCGCGGCGAGCACGACGTCCGCGGCGAGGCCCCCGACGCCGCCGCGCCAGTCCAGGGCGGCGACCGTCACGTTGGGCACTGCAACGCTGTCGACGCGGCGCCGTACGACGGGCATCGCTTCGTCGACGTCCGTGAGCACTACAGATGCGCCGAGAAGCGCGGCCGCGAGGCCCGGCAGCGCCGCGGCGCCGCAGCCCAGCTCGACGACGCTTTTACCACGGAACAGCTCCGGCCGCGTCGCCGCGTAAGCCGCAAGGACGACGCCGCCGTCCCACGGCGTCGCCGCCGTCGCCGCCGCGTGGTTGCCGTCGACGACGGCGTCGCGCGCGGGGAGGGGCAGGGAGGCGCCTTTGACGTCGAGCGCGGCGAGCGTCGCGAAGGCGCGGCCCGGCAGCGCCTTCGGGTCTCGTCGTCGCGAGACGGCCGCCGTCGCGACGTCGGCGCGGCGCCACCGCACGTCGACCAATGAGTCGTCCTCGACGCGCAACGCGCGCCGCGCGGCATCGGCGACGGCCGCGTCGCGGTCCGCGCTGGAGGCGTCCGCCGGGGGCGTCGCGGTGCAGCGTATTCGCGTCGTCGTAGCTTCGTCTACGTCGTGCTCGACGAGGACAGTGACTCGTCTCGCCTCGCGTGGTGGTGCGGCAGCAGCCATGGATGCCATCACAGCGCCGCAGGCGATGGTTAAGCGCATTTATGCGGCATGCTCTCCAGAGCGGTTTTGGCTCTCACACCATACAGATGGAATAGAGCGGCGTAAACGTGCTGTCACGTCTTGATGACGACCGCTGACGTTCGTATTCAAGGCTGCGGCTTGCGTAACGCGCCTCGGACGCTTGCTAGCGTCGTACAGGCACTAGCCCGATCCAGACCTGGCCAGGGTTGGGTTTTTTGGCCTTGGGGGGGGGCCGTGGGGTAGTTTTAGGGGGGGGTGGGGGGGGTTCACCCATCATTACTCGCCGGCTCGAGGGTGGGGGGTGGGGGGGGTCGACGGCGCCGGAGGTGACTACCGTCGCGCGCGCCGGGCGCGGATTCCGCGAGGAACTCCTAGACGCGACATGAAGTTGTTTGAGCATCGTTCCGTTGGCTGATGGGCCAGAGAGATCAATGGGACACTTACTGGGGGGCGAAAAAAATAATTTTTTAAATTCGCGATATTGACGGTCCTACCATGACGGACGCGCCGGTGGAATCCTGTCGGTTCGTGGCGCGGAGGTGTCCCTGGGGTCGCCTAGGGTCGGTACTAGACACGCGCAAGCGCCTACACCGCATGCGCCGGCGCTTCAAGCATTTTTGGCCGATTTCTCTCAGCAGACCACTCGGTTTAGCCATCTTTTAGCCATGGTTTGCTTCCAGAGCCCTCCGAGACCACTAGGCTGCTGCATCAATGGCGTATGCGGTACATGCGCTTACCCACTACCAGACCTACCCCGAGAGACCTCCAGGAGCCGATCTGCCCCCGAAAAAAGTGTGCAATTTGGACCCGATGGCACCTCGTTCCCGGCAAAAACGCCAATTACCTGAGGGCCCCCAGTAGTCGCCGTAGCGGTCTCGTTGGACCCCATACTACCCCAACGATAGTCAATTACGAGTATATGCCATCTACATTATACGAAGGGTACTTTTTGCTGCCCACACTCGGGACGTGAACATCTTTATCTGGAGCTCGCTTAAGTCGGTCGATCATGAAACAAATGATCGCGTCATGGTCTATGGTAATGGTACACGGGCTGATGGTGCTAGGTCCAGTCAGATGCACGTATTTGGCGAGATACCGTGGTCCCGAGACGGCCGAGCCGCCAAGAGTGTACGGAACCGTTAATCAAATGTAGTACACGTTTAGGCCGGTTATCTGGCCCGTCCCATAACCGAAGCGCCTGAAACGCGAATTTATTTTATAACTCACCGGTCTGGGGCCTTTCTGTGGCTCCGTCAACGCACCGTCGTCCGCGGAGAACTGGCAAGTCGGTCGATTGTGAATAGAACAACGGCGTTATGGTCCATCTGGGTGGTGGCGTCGCTGATACTCGCGGGTTCAGGTTCTGAGCGCGGTTTCAACATAAACGCGGGGCGCGAATTCGTCGTTTCGCGCGGCTCCAACGGGTCATCCAAAATACCTCAGTAGTCGCTGATTCGGGCTAGATGGAGTCTACCACTACCAAACGGAAGGAAACGAACATAAACGCGAGAGTTGTCTAGTAGAATTCTTTTCCCGCCCTCCGAGCGCGGGCCGTCGGCTCCGGTTCCGTCGAATGTGTATGAAAACTGGGCTGGAGTTGATATGATGTACCATTTGGATAGTTGATGGCGGCGTCAAACGCTGGTGTATTTTGGCGAGCCGCAAGACCTGGTGAGCTAGCGTATGGACATACTAGGATCCGTATTTTGAGAGGGTGTTGGGGGGGGTCGTCTCATTTCTCCGACCGGTCCCAGGGAGGGGGGTAGGGGGGGTGGCACGAGGTCTCTAAAAGGGGGGGACGGCCCCCCTGGCTGGCAAAAAAACCCAACCCAGCGCAGACTTTTAACGAGCTGCCAGCCCATTGATACATTCTATAGCCCGAGAAAAATCAAACCAAAAGAAGTCTCGTTGCATGCGAAACTTGGCACAAGCTAAGATGGCTGCAAAACCGACCACCATGGACCGCTGGGTCCTGACGCAGAGACCGCAAGGCAAGTTCGACGCGTCGCGGGACGTCGCGAAGCGGACGGAGCCCATCCCGGAACTCAAAAAAGACGACGTTCTCGTCGAAGTAGAAATGCTGTCGGTCGACGCGTTCGTGCGGACGATGCTCGACGAGCAGGCGTACCACGGCCGCGTCGAGATTGGCGGCGCGTTGCCAGCGCTGGGCTACGGAACCGTCGTCGGAGCGGGCGCCGACGCTCAATCACACATCGGCAAGCGCGTCCTCGGCATGGTCACCGCGTCGTCGCACGCCGTGGGACCGATGAGCATGAGCGAAGGCGGGTTCACGCAAGTGTTGAGCATCCCGGGCGTGCCCCAGCGCCTGAGCCTGAGTCTGCTCTCGTTCGCGACGGGGCTGGCCGCCTACGTCGGTTGCTTCAAGGTCCTCAAGCCTCCTCGCGCTGGTGAGACGGCGGTGGTCTCGGCGGCGGCCGGCGGCGTCGGTTCGATCGCCGTTCAGCTCCTGAAGACGACGGGCTGCCGCGTCGTCGGCGTCGCCGGCGGCCCCGTCAAGTGCGAGTTTCTCAAAAAGCTGGGCTGCGATGCGGCCGTCGACTACAAGGCGGGCTCGTTCCTCGGGGACCTCGACGTCGCCTGCCCCGACGGCGTCAATTTCTTCTTCGATAATGCGGGCGGTAGCACCCTGGACGCGGTACTCGATAGTTTGGCGCTCCACAGCCGCGTGGTCATCTGCGGCGCGGCGTCCCAGTACTCCGGGAACCTGAACGCGGGTCGCGACGCGAAGGGCCGCGGCGGCGACGTCCAGGGCCCGAAGACGTATTTAAAATTAGCGGAGCGCTCGTCGACGATGGCAGGCTTCAACGTGATGCACTACATGACATCTCTGCCCGGCGCCATCGCCAATTTGTGCTGGATGCACTGGCGGGGAAAAGTAGTCGTCCACGAGCAGGTCGAGGCCGGTCTGGACAGCTTTCCGGCAGCGCTCGAGAAGATGTTCTCCGGCGGGCACTGCGGCAAGATGCTCGTCGACCTGTCTAAGAAGTCCTAATTGTATGCACACACACATTGCCTTACGCAGCCGATGACCGCGCGATGAGCACGATCGCCGCGCCGTACAGACACAACATTGCCCCAATGTAAGCGAGGGCCCGCGGCGACGCGTGCTCGGCCTCGCCCCAGTAAAACAGCCCCCATAATGCCGCGACCGTCGGCGAACAACGAGCGACGGACACGGCAACCGTCACGCCGATATCTTCGCCCGCGATGAACACCAGCACGGCCCCGCAGAACCAGGCCGCGCCCGCGACGAACCCGTAGCCCCAGGCGGCGCTGCAGATACCGACGCTCGGCGGCTGTTTCGAGCCCGACCGTCGGAGGTAGGCGGCTCGGACGGGCAGGAGGACGAGGCAGAATAGCAAATGCGACAGGCCCAGGACGACCATGAAGGCCGGGACCTGAGTGGAAATCAAATTCACGGCGCCCCGCGACGTTGTCCTGTAATTGCGTCAACCTAATTCACTGGTTGATTTCCACACAGGCCGGGACCGTCGCTCCCGCGTCCACGGCCAGCGCCTCGCCCGCGGGCCAGAAGCTCAGCAGCACGCCCGCCGCCACAGCGCGGCGGACGCCTCTCCGTGCGCCCTGCGGCTTGTCGTCCCACTGATTCTTCGTCTTCGTCGGCGAGAGCGCGTCGACCAGGCGCTCGATCGGGACGCACGCGTCGTCGCTATGGTCGCTGTCGAAGACGTAGTCGAGCTCGTCATCATCTCCTTCCGGGAGGAACTCGACCTTGCCCAGCGACCGGCCGCGCTTCAACGCTGAGGCTCCGAGCAGGCCGTCCTCCTCCGGCGGCGCCCCCCGGGGCTCGTTGTCCGCGAGCCGGAGCTGCGCCAGGGCGTCGAGGGCCACGGCTCCGAGCACGCACAGCAGCGCCCCGAGCAGCGGCCCCACGTTTAGGGCGTCCCGGTCCAGCAGGTAGAGCAGGAACGTCCCCAAGGTCATTTCGATACCCATCACCACAGGATAGCTCAACGTCACGCCGACCATCTCGATGGAGGACAGGAAGCACATGCTGCCCCCGCACCCGCACAAGCCGCCAAAGATGCCGTAGAACGCCGCGCCGCGGTGCCCGCCGATCGCTCGTACCTCCGGTGCCGCCGCGACGGCGAGCACCATTGCGCTCGCGCCGACGCCGACGCTATAAGCTTTAAAGAATAAGGACCACTGCACGGCGCTGGCCTTGGCTAGGGTCCCGATGCTGCCCCACAGGCAGAGTGCCGTGAGGCAGAGGAGCCAGCCTGCTATTGATGAGTTCATCACGAGTTACGAACAGCTTGTGGGCTGCCCATGGCATGGCATCTCTTGCCTCGGGTATTCGCAGAGCATTCCAGCCACCGCCGGAAAAGCGGTGTTCAAAGGTCGCCGGCGACGCATCCAAGCCGCCTCCGGACGGTTCCGTGCGCGTTTGGAAGGCTGCGTTTTGGGCCGGCTGAAAAAGTCTGCTTTTTACCCAGTCCAAAAAACAGGCTGCGTTTGAGCCTATAATACACCCCAGGACGCGCAGGACGCTGCGCAATGGCGTCTCGGATACGGCGCTGTATACGCTGAAACGCGAGGGCGACTAAAACGGGTTAGCAGAGCCGATAGACAACACCAGAAGGCCTGGTTCTCTCCGCCATGTTAGCCGCGACGAGGATACCCCGCGCCCTCGCCGCGCTGGCCGAGGGCCCCACAGCTTTGTATACGCGCGGCGACGCCGTCGCGACGGCCCATCCCGTGCTCTTTGGCATGGTTTGCGCGGGCTTGAAAACGGTGGCCGCCGACCTGACCGTCCAGACCGTGGTAGAAAAAAAACAACTGCATGAAGTAGACAAACGAAGAACTATTACTTTTGGGCTCTTCGGCGTGGGTTACTTGGGAGGTATACAGTACGCGGTTTTTAACAAAGTCCTGCCGGCCATGTGGCCGCGCGCGTCGAACTTCGCCATGCGGAGCTCCCACGACAAAATAAACAACACGAAGGCTCTACGGAGCCTAGTTGGTTTAGTTGCTACCGAACAACTCATTCATACACCGTTTGTTTTTTTACCGTGCTTCTACATGACCAAGGAGGTCGTCGAGGGCGACGGTAATGTTGATGTTGCTTTGACGAAGTGGCGCAGAAATATAATCCCGGACATGTGCGCGGACATGGTCATCTGGGTGCCCTCGAACCTTGTTAATTTTGCGTTCGTCCCCCAACACTTCCGCGTGCCGTTCGTCGCGCTGACGTCGTTCGCCTACACGATGGTGCTGTCGTTCATGCGCGGCGGCCAGAAGCGCGATGTTGTCGTCGAGGAGCCTGTCGTGCTCGAAGAAGCGCCGGTTATTGAGCCGCTCGCGGCCGTCGCGTGCGTCGCCGCGACGCCGTAGAATTTGCAGAAGAAGACCCCCCCGCCCGTGTGCATTGCTGTAGCATGCTGTTGCCGCTCGTTCGTACTAAGAAACATGTAGATAGTCGTCTTCTTCGGCGCGGCGATGGCGTGGAGGCTTGACCTCCGTCCGGCGCGACGCGCCGACTCCCCGGGCCCCTGTACATAAAAGTATGCGCCTCGAGGTATTGTTACGGTGCTAGGACTAGTGGTATGCGCCTCGACGAAACGCTCAGGCTCAGGCTAGTTACGTCGCAGGGTAAACGCCGGCTAGTGTCTTACACGCCGCTAGCTCCGGGACAGCGTTCATTACCTCGACGTGTTTCGACCGTGCCGTCGATATTTGTCGCTGGAGAAGCTGCGCAAATTGTTGTTCAATCCCAGCGCTCGCTGAGCTCGATACTGCTTTGCTGCGCTGCTCGCTGAGCTCGACACTGCTTGCAAGTGCTGCGCAGCGAGTGCAGCACATACATGGCAGTGCGCACGCGCAGCGGCCGCCGCAGCGGCGCAACACCCCTCAACGGAAGTGCAGCGGCGCCATACGAGTGGAAGCTCGACGCCCTCCTCACCGTCGTCTACCTCGCGGTGCTCTACTACTGGCGCTAGAACGATGAGAAGAGCACTCGTCCTCGCCACAACAACCGCGCGGGCCGTGCGCTTCGGCCGCGTGCTGGCGCCCGTGGGTTTGTTGGGAGGCGCGAGCCTGCTGTCCAGTGCGCGCGCACCCGTGCACGAATCAAATGTCGCTCGCCCACAGCTGACGCGACGCTCTCATCGTTGATTTGCACACAGGCGAGCGCGGAAAAAGATCGACTACGAATCATTGACGGGCCTGCCCGAGAGCTGGGCCGCCGAAGCCGCCAAACACGCATTAGCTGGCAACACACCCACAAGGTCCGACGGCGGGTACGAGATAGCGACCTTCGCCGGCGGCTGCTTCTGGGGCGTCGAGCTGCGCTTCCAGCGCGTGCCCGGCGTCATCGCGACGGCGAGCGGCTACGTCCAAGGGCATAAATCTGAGCCGACCTACAAGGAGGTCTCGGCGCGGTCCACGGGCCACACGGAAGCGGTCCAGCTCATTTTCGATCCGGGCGTTGTGAGTTATGCGGACTTGCTGGAGATCTACTGGGACCGACTGGGCGACGACGCCACGCGCGCCAACGCCGTTGGCAACGACCGCGGGCCGCAGTACCGCTCCGGCGTCTACGCGCTTTCCGAGAGACAGCTCGCCGCCGCGGAGGCGTCGCTATCAAAGCGCCAGGAGCGCTTCGCGAAGCCGATCGCGACGGAGGTCGAAATGCAAAGAGGCGTCTTCTGGCCCGCGGAGGAGTACCACCAGCAGTACCTCGAGAAGGGCGGCCAGTCCGCCAGGAAAAAGGAGACGGAGCCGATCCGGTGTTATGGGTAAGAGCCTTATGTTACACTACCAAACATCTTGCCGAACAGCGTCGGCCGCCGCCGCTGGTACAGGAACACGTCGGTCCCGCCGCCGGCCGCGTTCCACGACATCGCCGCGCGGCGCTTGCCTACCCGATCAAAGGACTCGCTCGGGAAGTCGCTCAGCGTCGCAATACTCGCGACGGTACTCGCGTCGAGCGCGCGGCCGAGCTTCGCCAGCATGCAGTCGTCGAAGAGGAGCGAGGCGACGTACGCGTGCGACACCTCCAGCTCCGGCAGTGCGGCGAGGATGTCGCCGTGCACGAACTCGGGCGCGGCCGCTGTTGACAAAGCGGCGGGTGCGTCGTCGTCGACGAGCAGGCGCGCGAGGCCCTCGACCGCGCAGTCGTGCCGCGTGCGCGAGAGCTCGACGCCCACCGACGACTGCACATGACATTCGAGCCAGCACTGCGCGACCATCCGCCCGGCACCCGAGCCGAGGTCGGCGAATGACGCATCCTCAGGCGCGTCGTGGAGCAGCCCGAGCATGTCGAAGACGGTGCGCGCGCCGCCCGCGACGACCTCTCCATAAGTATTGCCGAACTCGCCCGCGATTTCATCGATCGCGGCCTCCTCGTCCGGCGTCGCGCGGTGGCCGTCCAGGCCGCGCCAGGCGCGCTCGACGGCGCCATCAATGGCCTCGCGGCGCAGCATCTCGGCCGGCGTCCGCGGCGCCGGCGGCGCCACCGGGGCCTGCGGCACGAGCCCGGACGCCGCCAGCGAGGCGACGGCGACCGCCGTCGTAAAGGGGTCGACGCGCATATTCTTTTTTCAATTATCGAAGCTTCGTAACTTGTTTTTTGGGGTCCGCGCGTACTCCGCTTCCAGCTCCTTGATCTTGTCCTCAGTGGTTTATATCTGTGGCGCAGCGATGTACTCTGAGCTGCCTGCAGCTCACTGATGCGTGCGATTGCTGCCACAGCGATAGCTACGAGCTATGCCTAGTGCCAGTAACACGCTCACCAGTAACACGCTCACCAGCACCGGCAAAACGCGAGCTAGCGTTGTAAGACACTAGGAATCAGGTACGCGAGACACTTAGCCAAGCGAGAGACCGAGTTGGTCTGTCATGCGGGTTGCCCCGGCGGGCGGGGGGAGACGGGCGCGGCTCTACCACTGGTCCTGGCGATCCGGCCGGCGGACGCCAGCCTCATCGCGGATCTTCTCGCGGAAGACGAAGCCCGGCCGCCCGCCGTCGTCCGCGTGCTCGTAGGGGTGCTCCTGGCGGAACTCGACCGCGCGCACCGTGAGGTCGAGGCCGTTCGCCTCGATCGCCGCGACGGACCGCGGTGGCAAGAGCCATGCGCGCGCGATCGTCACCGTGTCCAAGTAGGGCGTGAGTACCTGTGTAAGCGACCACGTCAAGCATATAAAGTGCGATGGTGCGCTGGTGCGAGCCCAGATCCGGTTCCCGGTGCCGTCGGAGAAGACGTCGACGCGGATGCGGTGAGCTTCGAGGAGGCCTTCCGCGGGGAACATGTGCTCCGGGCCATAGAGCACGACCCGAAACGCCATGCCGAACCAGAGCGACAACCAGTGGACCTCCTCCCACTTCGACCTCTCCTTCAGCTTCGCCAGGAGCGCGATGACGGCCAGCAGTAGCGACAGCATGTGCGCGTGGTGCCAGCCCACCGGTATAGTAATGTTTTCGAAGTAAGAGTCGTCCCACTCGCCGACGCCCTCGTTTGCCAGTTTATAACCAATACAACCGAACAAGTAGTGCGCCGTCCCGTAGAGCTTACCGAGGTCGTCGTTACCAACACCGATCGGTCTCTCTTCGAAGGGGCCTACGTGCGTCATCTCCAACATGCCCTCAAAGGCCTCGCCTAGCAGTAGTAACGGGCTCAGCGTCCGCTTGGCCGTGTTGTCCATGAACCTGTGTCGAGACCATGCCATCGACGCGACGACGACTCGTCGACCCCACGCCATCGACCCGACGGTACACCGACCGCAACGCAGTCGTCGACGTGACGCGGAGTACTCGAACTCTTTGATTTTCACACGGTCGCGTGCTGCACTGCCATTTTCACGCCACCGCCCTCCGCGTATTTTTGCACGAAGCGCGTGGCACCCGCGCAGAACTCCTCCACGTTCTTATCAAATTTTAATTTGTGCTCGGCCGTGGCGCGGCTATACATGTCCCTGTCTCTTATCATCTGATCGCGCCAGAGGCCTGACAGCAAAAAGTCGACGGCGTACCACCCTCGCGCGGAGTCCTGCGTTGGCGGATAAACCCCTGACCCCTCCTGAAGTGTATGCTGGTATGGAAGTGTTTTGACCCTTCGTTCTTCCTTCCATGTTGCCGATTTTTACATGTTTTGCCACCAACACGCGATCTCGAACTTGGCGCGGATCGCGCCCCACGCAGCAGTCGCCGCGGCCGGGGCGAGGACGATTACAACAGATCCGGCTCCGCGGCCCACTCCTCTTCTTCAAAGCGCTTCGAGCGCGGCGAAGGGCAGCTTGTACAACAGGCACGGCTCTGCGGCCATGAACACGCAGACGCTCCGCGTCCGCCGCACGAACTCGTGCGTCCCAATAATGGTGGACAGTCAGGCGGCCGCTCGCGACTATATACAGCGCATCATCATGCCCCCGTCGGCTCGTCGGCTGCTCCAAGCGGTAGCAATGCCTCGCCCGATTTCAACCTCCTTGCCTCGGCACATTCACTCAGGCCGGGCTCCGCCAGCAATGCATCTATCTCTGCATCAGCTGCGAAGCCTGATAGGTGGTCATGGCGTCGACGCGCATCGTCACCTGCGGGGGGTTCGCTCGTGCCAGCGGTGTGCGAAACGTCTCGGAGACACGAGTCCCGAGCGCGCGTCCTCAGTTCTCCAAGGTGTGGTTGTGAGTTTCTTCCACATGGCGTTTCCGCTCAGAGTCTCAGGTCTCATTAAGTGATCGTCATCGGACGTGTGCGCGTGAAAAATGCGTGGTTACTGCTCGGTGCTGAGCTTGGCAATTTGCCTGAATCCCAGCAGCGGTGCCGCGCCGCTGCAGGCAGCCGCTGCTGTCACTTTTAGAGCCTTTGCGATAATAATTCGCTCGCGCACTGCCTGTTTGCACAGCTGTGTGGCTTTTGTCCAGGCCTCTCTCTCTCGCTGCTTACCCAAACTCTGAGGCTGGCGCCGCTAGCGCGCTGTAAGACACTAGCATCTAGCTCTGCAACCAAGCAATGTGCCTTAAAATACCCGTTTCGCACCTCTACCGGCCGCATGATACTTGTACGAGTGGTTTTCACTGCCGAGACATCGATTTTCCAGCAATGCTTGCAGCACTCATCTCCTGTGTGGCAGCAGCCTCAGCAATAGCACCACCGCAAGTCACGAGCGCCCGCACAGTAGCGCAGCACTTGTGGACGACGAGGCAACTCTTCGATACAGACATCCATGCCATTGTGCAATGCGGCTCCGGCCCGAGCGAGTACAGGCTCGCGTACATGCCATGCCGCAATCGGGGGGAGATCATCAGATTAATGCTCGAAGAATCCAAGTGCTCTTACGAGCTCGAGGTCGTCGGTTTTCGTGCGTGGGCTCGGGATGTCAAAATGACGACGCCGGACGGCAAATTGCCGTGTTTGCGGAACTACGATGGTCGGGGTACTGACCTCTGTCAAGAGCAGGCCATTACGCGTTTTCTCGCCGACAAGCTCGGCCTCGCGGGTTCTGACGCCGCGGAGCGCGCCGCCGTCGACGCCATGTACTGCTTCTGGTTCTCGACGCTGCGAAATAATGGCGTCAGTCACGACGGCGAGCACTATTCGGTTGCTGCATTGAAAGAGGCCGACGAGGGCCTGAGCGCAACAAGTGTGCCGCCGTACGAAGCCGTGTTCCGCCTGGACCCGCTCTCCCGCGCCGAGCGCTCGCTCGTCGCGCTGAAACGCTTCGAGGAGGTGCTCGGCGCGAGCAAATCGGGCTACCTCGTGGGGGAAGGCGTGACGTACCCAGACTTAGGTCTCTTCTACATACTGTACGAGTTGGCCGAGGACGACAACGTACCCGACTTCGCCGCGCGGTTCGCGCTGCCCCACTGCGGCGCGTTCCTAGACCGGATGAGCTCGCGTTCGCAGCTCGCCGACTTCCTCACGTCGCCGCGGCGCATGCCCCGGTACGCGCGGGACCCGTCCGGCAGCAGCACGTACCTGTACGTCGCCGGGCGCGCGTCGCCCGAGATCTTGGAGGCGTAAATTAACACTGAAAAAAACGGGTTTTCCAGAAATAGCGTCGGCGCATACTGCGTAAGTCAGAACGCCAGGGAGAGCCGGCGGTTGAACACAAACACCAAAAGCTAACGCCGACACATTGATAGGAGGCGCCTGGACATATCTCTGGAGCTTACAAGTGCAGACTCAGACAATGATGCTGCTTGTCCTCGTCCTCGCGTGCTTCGCGCGGGCGGCGCCGACCTCTCTGCGTTGTTACTCCGAGTCCGAGCTAGACGGCTATTGCCGACGCCGCCACGACGACGATTGCGAGTTGGGTCACCGTGGTGGTCTTCTTGGGGGCGGGCAAGCGACGACGCCCGGGGAGATGAACGACGCCACGATCCGCGAAGCAGTGCAGCTATGGTTCTCGGATCGTACCGCTGCCGAGGCGACGTACGGCCATATCTCTACGTGGGCGACCGGCGGTGTGACGGACATGGCGTTCTTGTTTTGTGTGCGACCTGATTTCACGGAAGAATTTGCGCTCATGCCGGAAGACACCTATGACTTCGCCGTTCCCTTCGCCCCCACTCTGTCGTACTTCAGGGAGCTCTGCGTCTTATCATCATCGTCCTTCAACGAGAACATCAAGGACGACGCGAGCACGCGCACGCCGAGGCCTACGCGTTCATCGAGCCCGTCAAGGACAGCCTATTTCCAGAAACGTTCGAGTACGTGCACAAGGGCCTCGACGGCGTCGCAACGACGACGACTCAGGTCCTCTTCGGTGACCTCATCGCGGCCGTGGAGGACGAGTCTGCTCGTACCAAGGACTTCAAGCCTGGGACCAACGCGCAGCGGCATCGTTTCTACCACATCCATCAGCACGGCCGGGACAGTTCGAGGCTCACGGACTTGATCCGCTCGAGCTTCAGGCGCGTGAACGTGAGCGGCGTCGACGACAAAGAGCCGGCTGCCTCGGAGCCGCTCGCCACCGCGCAGCCCGCGGCCCGTCGGCAGTTGACGTGGCGGGCCAGCGCGCCGGGCGACTACGGGACCATCTGAGGGACGCGAGTAATTATGTATGTAACACAACATGTAGCTTTAGAGTCCCCCCTGCTCGGCCTCGAGCTCGCGCGGCGCCGCGGGCGGCGTCCAGCCCCTTAAATCAGGAGACGCCGGGGTCCCCGCTCTTGAATATTCGGAGGCAGTGGGCGTGTTCATGGGCGAGTAGTCGACGCCCTCCTTCCGAGATAGGACCGTGGTGTTGGAATGGTGCGACTCGATGGACTTCTGCGACAGGCCCGTCCGCGGGCGGTTCGGCGAGGAAGGCGCCCAGGAAATGCCCGTCGTCGGTCTAGTGGGAGACAGGCCCGCGAAGGACACGCCCGTCATGGGCCTTGCATGACCTTGGTAGTAGTCGTCGTACTCGAGGCCGTGCTCCTGCGACTGCTGCTGGGCCCGTTGGAGAGCCGTGAGCTGCTCATGCTCCCGGACGGCCTGCGGCTTGTCATACGTACCCTCACCCGAGACCGGATTGTAGTAGTAGGACTTCTGATACTCGTCATCATCATATCGCTCCCACAGCCCGATCTTCTCGGCTGGATCTCTATGAGGCGCTATCCTCAACAAAATACCAGCAATGTCATCTTGAATAATTTCGGAAGGCCACATGCTCCCCAGGTCGAAGTCGCCGTCGCCGTAATCCACGCGCTTACCAAACGCATCGTACAGCGCTCTGAATGGGTGTTTGGCTCTCTTGCCACCAAAATGAACGGTTTGATGACATTCGGCGCAGAAGAACTCCTGACATACGCTACATTCCAAGGATGCTTCGAAGTACTCGCAATTGCCGCAGAGCGGCCGGGGCATGAGCTCCAATAAATCTTGCGGTCTCCGCCACCTAATCTCTCCGGTAATTTGGTTGTAGAAGAAGGGCCTTCTCGAGTCTTCGTCGAACATCTCCTTCCACCTTGCCCGCTTTTCATCCCTGACTGCAACGGCTCTGATACGTCCACAATGTCCTCTATACAGTGCTTGTATGGTCGACGAGGCCCATCTTGTCACTTCAGCCATGCGCGCGTCGTACTCGTCCTTCTCCGCCTTCAACTGTCGGAAGATCACCAAGGCCGCCCAAGTTCTTGAATGCGCTTGTATGGTGATCGTCGCGTCGAGTCGAGCTGCGAGGTACTCCATATAAGCTTGCTTCCGCTTCGCGTATTCATCGCGAGCCGCCCGGCAGCGGTACATTCTTTGTATGCAACAAACAGCGTTCACTTCCTTCCTATGTCTCCCTTCGGCCGCGGCGACATACACGACGATCTGGGACTTCCGCAGTCTGCAAGCGCATTGACAGAACAACGCAATGCGCATCCTAGCGTCGTACTTTCGCCGCATAATTCTATAAACTCTACGCGTACAAAAAGTACGAATCTTCGCCTGGATATGTATAGCAGTAGCCCGCTCCAACGCCTGCCTCCTCTCGAAATGCTCCCTTAGCAAGTCGGTACGCCACTTCGCCAACAAACATCTACGCCACATCTGGATCTTCTGACACGCCCGGAACCGCCGCATCAGCTTTCTCTGCCTTTCAGCTTCGAAGAACCGGAAGCGCTGCCTGCCCCTTAACCCACGATAGATGCGCTGGATCTCGATCGAGGCTCCGAGTCGCTTCTCCCTCAGTATTTGAGCCTCCTTCAGCCTTAACGTAGCGTAGCGCCGCGCGACCAACGATCGATACGCGGCCTGGACCAGAATGGCCGCTCGACACGCTCTCCGCCACTGGTCCACCTTTCTTAACCGTCTCGCTTTCCCCCTTGCAAATGAACCGCGAACACCGGATTCAATGACGGTCGCCGCGTGCGTCTCCCTGATAAACTTCGCCCGGAAGTAGCGGTACCGCGCTCGACCCTTGGACCCGCGCCACCGCTTCTGCAATACCAGAGTAGCCTTCTCGAGGGCCTTCCACGCTCTTAAACCTTTCGTGTAGCGTCTTCCACAATACCCTCTATATGATGCCTGGGTCTTGACGATGCCTCTTCGATCCCTACCAAACGCCTGGATCTGCAGTCGATGCTCCCACCGCGGTTTCGGCCAGAACCCGAAGAAGCCTGGATCGCGCTTCATCTCCGAGTGGGGGAAGTAGTCCCGCGACGACTTTAACGCTGCACTGGTACAGGAGCACTTCGTGAGATTAAGGGTGACAATATCATTGCTACCAGAACCCTCCACCAGCCAGGCCAGACCAATATCGCCCACGCCGCGGCAGTGCGCTAGTAACAAGTGCCTCAAGCCGGGCGGCTTCCACCGCACCGTCGAGAATTCGTTGACCGCCTCGTCCGTGAGGCCCGCACAGCCCGTCAGATCTAACCTTGTGAGTCGCAAACAATTGGTAGCAAGGGCCTTGCAGCCCCGCTGGCCGAAGCGCTCGCAGTCCCTCAAACTCAATTGCTTCAAGCGGGGCGCCCCGCGCGCCATGTTCACCACCAGATCATCAGAAACGCAGTCGCCGCAGCACGCGAGCGAGATCTTCTCGAGCGAGTCTTTTGACGCTTTGCACAAATCACCAAACTCCTTGGCATGGAGTCGCGGGCAGCCCGCGAGGCCGATTTCCTGCAAGGTCGTGAGGCCCTTGGCTAGAGCAGCTAGAGACCGTTTCGAGACCTGGAAGCAGCCGTCCAGCCGCAACACGCGTAGAGCCCGCGCGTCGCGCGCTAGAGCTAGTATGCCTTCAAAGCCGAAGCCCCGGTCGACGCCGTCCGTCAACAGGTGCATCTGGCCGATGTCCAAGTGTTGTAGTTGTTCCCCAAGAGCCGCACCTAGAACCCTGATACCCACATCGGTACAACGACGAGCCCCCCGGATATCGACCTTCTGCAGGACGTGGCAGTGGTCCGCCAAGGCCCTACATCCCGCGTTCGTTATTCTATCGCAATTCCTCAGTAGAATTTTCTCAAGGGTAGCCCCCGCCTGGTGCGCCAACCAGGACACGCCGACGTCCGTCACTAATTCGCAACCATTCAGATCCAACTCTTTCAGCGTCTTGCCGCAGCCTTCCGCTATACTCAAGATGGCGACATCGGTTAATTTGTTCGGGAACTCCGTCCTTGCTAACTTGAGCACTTCCAATCGTGAGCAGTGGTTCGACACCTCCACGACGCCCTGGTCCCCTATTTGTTTGCAGTGCGAGACATCTAAGTAAGTCAAAGAAGTACAATCCTTCCCTACCGTCATAAGGTCGTGGTCGCTCAACAGCTGGCAGTGGGACATATCTAGATACTCGATAGCTTCGCCCGAGCCCTTCGATAGGGCAGCTAGAGCCCAGCCGTTGACTGCTCTACTACACCCTCTTAGGGACACGTGTTTGAGCTGGTTGCATCTTTCCCCAATTGCAGCTAATCCCGGTCCCGTTAATGAAGAACATCCAGATAAATCCAAGTAGCGGAGGTGGACGCAATGCAAGGCGACTTCCCTGAGACCGACATCGTGAATATCGATAGCACCCGAAATATCTAAGACTTCCAGCCGCGGCGCACATTTCGCGATCCGCGAAAGACCGATATCTCCTAACTTAGAAGCACCACCCATCCTGACCGCCTTCAAGCCTACTTCGGAATGCGATCTTTCCAGAGCACCCGCCCTCGCGTCGGCCTCGACCTTGGCTCGCTGTAAGGCATAGGCTTCCTGCCTTGCCAACCATCTCGCATCCGTCGTAGCAGCCATAGATGCAGAAACGCCTCGTTTATCATCTGAAGCCTTCTTGGCCTTCTTCCTAGGTAGGTCTGCCTGCCTTTGTTCTTCAGCTAGTTGCGCCATGGCGTCTTCGACGAACTTCGATTCGCGTTCCGTGACATAGTTCTCTATCGTAGCGCAAGTTTTGTTCGACACCAACAAAGACCAGACCCTCAAATCCAACCGGTCGGGACATAGCAACTCGGGAGGCACGTCGTCAAAGGGAATCTCGTGACGATTGTCCTCGTCAGCCTTCGCGATCGCATGTAACACGGAAGCGACGTGGGAGTTCTTCGTCCGGTTTGTTGTGGTCGATTTCGACGGCGAACTCGACCGGTAGCTCTGGGGGCTGTCCGCCGCGGGGACCACCTGGGCGCTGGCGGCGGAGCCCTTGCCCATGTCTCTGGTCCTTGTTATTGGTATACCAAGGTAACACTGCGATGAGCGCGTCGACCGCTTCTGGAGGCCCGCAGCGCGCCGCGGGGGCTGCGTTGGAAGCGCGCCCCGGGCGGGGCAGCAATGCCGTCGCGCGGCGTTGGCGTGCTGCCCTCTCGACGCTTGCTCGGGGTTGATTCTGGGCCGGGGACGTCCTCGCAGGGCTCGGCGAGGGGTCGGACGGTTCCCCTTGCTTTTCCGTTGAGGTCCGGGGCGGGGTAGGGGGTCGCTGGCTTTTGCAACCGCTTCGTCCCGAGCGGCGCTGAGTGCCGTCGTGCCACCGGGCAGCGAAGGGGAAGCGGCCGCTGCATCGCCACGGCGTGCTTGCACGCGACAGGCAGCCCGGAGCCGAGCGCGCCCTGAAGCGCCGCGACCGGTGGTCAGCCCAGCCCAGCCCAGCTCGACAGACAACCATGGTCGCCGGCATCGTGGTCATGGTCGGCGGCGGCCAGCAGCCCGCGGCCCAGCAGAACATGATGTTCGGCGGCGCCCAGCTCAAGCCGTTGAAAGCGTCGTCGTCCGCGCCGCTCGGGAAGGTGGGCAACCTGCCCGGCGGCATGAGCGCTTCATTAAAGTCGTTGATGGATTCGACACAAGTGCCTCGGAAAAGAGTCCGGCCGAAGCGACGGCGGAAGATCTTGCCTTTGATCCAGTATAGAGCGCCGCCGCCCCAACCTCCCAGGCCGGCCGGCGGACCGCGACGAGGACCGCGACGGCAACGACCAGTTCAGGAGAGCGACGACCAGTCGACGGCGGACCCGTTTGCGTTCAGACAGTCGGAACCGCTCTCGAAACCGAAGCACGCCACGCATTGGTCGGCCATGTTACGAGGAGAACAAAAGTCCATGGCCGAGCAGGTCACGCGCTTTCCTGAGCGAGACGAACCGGCCATGTGGGCCGCGAAGGACGAGCAGCACGCGATTGAGTGTCGGCAAAAAGCCTACGCCGAAGCGGCCGAAGCTAGAAGAGCTGATGACGCCGTCAACGCGTACAAGCGCGACTTGGAACTGAGGCGGAGGCAGCGCGAACAGCAGCAGAAGAAGGAGGCCGAGGAGGAGAAGGCGAAGAAAGAAGCTGACGCTCGCGCGGCGGCCGCAAGAAAACGGGCCCTGCCGAAGAAAAGGCGGTTAAGACCGGAACTATCACCGCTCAAGGCGGGCCAAGCAAAGACCGTGTCGATCCAGGAGCCTCCTAAACAAGAAAAGAAAGTCGTGGACGTGAACGCGGAAGACGAGGGGGACCTTTGGGACGCCATTCTTAATGATGACGCGCCGTCCGCACCACCAGTTGTCGTGGAGCAGAAGAAGGCCACGCACTACGGCCACATCTCGCCCGAGAAGTCGCAGCAGATGCAGCGGCCGATGCGCGACGTGGTCGCGGAACAAAAAGCGCGCTGGAAGAAGAAGCGGGAGCAGGAGAAGCGCTTCCTGAAGCAGCAGGTCGCGAAGGCTCGTAGGGACCTCGATAAGCGGGCCCACGTGCGGGTCGACGCGCGGCCATTGCGCGGGAACAGCAATCTCGTGAAGGCTCATCAAGGTTCATTAATGCCCGGCTTCGACGCTTCGGGGAGTTTCATCGATAAGGAAGGCGCGTTGCCCCTTCGGGAAGATGGTGTCAGGCCGATGACGGGCAAGAAGATTAGTCGAAGATATGGGGAAGACTGGCTCGCGGAGCACTTCAAGTCCTTGGTGGGTGGTGGTGGGGTCGTCGCTTTCACGCCCGGCGAGGACCAGGCTGACGAAGAGATGGAGCCCCACGAATCGCCTTCTAGGCCGTTCACGGCCTCGTTGTTGGCTAATAGACCCTCAACGACGGCCTCATCAAGACGCGGCGCGGCGAGCCCCGCCTCTGTCGAGGAGGAGGAGGCCTCGCCGCGCGCCCGGGCCCTCGAGGAGAGCGCGCGCAAGAACGCCGAGGCCGTCGCGGCGCTCCGCGAGGACACGGCGCGCCTCGCGAAGAAGAACGCCGAGGAGGATACGAGAAGAGCGCGCTTCGAGGAGTTCAAGGCGACGGGGAGTCGGGACGCGCTGCGCGTCGAGACGGCTCCGGAGCCCGACGCGCTGGTGGTATCCCAAGAGCCGGCCGAGGAGGCGGAGTCGAGCGCGAGCGGTGGCGCGCCGGTGGGCGACAAGACGCGAGCCGCGCTCGAAGCGCGCCTGCGAGAGATCTTCGACCGCGTCGACACGTCTGGCGACGGCGAGATCTCCGTCGTGGAAGCGGTAAAAGCGCTAAGAAAAGACGACGGCTTCGCCGAGGTGCTCGGATTTGATGAAGCTACAAGAGTGAGGCAGGAGGACGGCACCAAAGACCAACTAATCCTGGCGCTCGGCGCGCTGGATAGTGATGGAGACAAGAACATAAGCTGGGCGGAATTTAGGAGGGTGGCGCTCGACGATGAAACGCCGGCGACGCCCCAGAAGCAGATCACAAACTTCGCCGTCGGTACGAGGATCGAGGCGCGCTACGAGGCCGGCGACGAGTGGTACGCCGGTGTGATCGAAGTGGCGCACGAGGACGGGTCCTACGACGTGTTATACGACGACGGGGACCGCGAGGCGAATGTTTCTGCCGACTTGGTGAAGCGCGAGGGCCCGGACTCGAAGCGGAAGACGCCGCCCGTCGCGGCGACGCCCGTCGTCGCGGCGCAGACGCCCGCGACGGCGGCCTCGGACGACTACGGCGACTCCTTCGACGACTTCGAGGAGCCGCCTAGCACCGCGAAGAAGTCGCCGATGCCCGTCGTCGCCGAGGGTGGTGACGACGCGCGCCAGCTCGACTTCGAGCCCGAGTCCGCGCCGGAGCTCGCGCCGGAGCCCGAGGCCGACGAGCCGGCGCCGGTCGACCCGCTCTCGCCCGGCGCCGCGGCCTTCGAGAAGGAGAAGGAGAAGCTCGCCCAGCAAAAGGCCGAGAAGGCGGCCTTGTCGCCCTACAAGTCGCCGCCGCCCGAGAAGAAGGCGGAAATGTTAGCGAAGGCCAAGGCCGAACGAGCCGCGAAGCAAGAGGCCGCGCGGATCGAGTACGAGGCTCAACAAGAACGGGACCGCATTGAGAGGGAACGGCGGGAAGAGGAGGAGCGCATCGAACGGGAACGGCTCGCCGCCATCAAGGCTGAGGAAGATAGAATAGCCGCCGAGCGGGCCGAGGCCGAGCGTCTTGAACGGGAGCGGCTAGCAGCTATACGGGAGGAGGAGTTGCGGATCGAGAAGGAGCGACGGGAGGCGGAGCGGATAGCGCGGGAGAAGGCCGCCGCCGAGGAGGCCGAGCGGGAACGACGGAAGCGCGAGATGGAGGCGCAGCTGGCCCGGGAGCGCGCGGAGATGGAGGAGCGCAATCGAATACAAGCGGAACAGATGGATAAAGCATTAGCGGCGCTCGCCGCGGCCGCGCCGGCGCCAGCATCGCCGCCTCCTTCTGCCAAACTGGAGCCGCCGACGCCCGGCACCGACTACGGCGACGACGAATTCGAGAACAGCGCGGCGACGCCGAAGTACGAGGAGTCCTTCGAGGCCGACGCGCCGGCGACGCCCGCTGTTGATGCAATTCCGGAGGATAGTGTGGCGGCGCCGGCGCCTTTATTGGCGCCGACGCCCGAGCACAGGCCGCCGCCACCATCAAAGATGGAGACGCCCTTCTCGCACGCTTCTACCGAAGGTTATGGGGAGGACGACGACTTTGAAGATGAGGACTTTGCGGACTTTGAGGACTAATTTTTTGGGGGGCTTGTATTTTTCTAGGCTGTTCCGCGCGCTCGTTTTCGTCCGCAAACGAGCGCCGGGGGTCTCGCGTACCCACTGCAGCCTCGTCGGCTTCTCGACCCCGTGAGATTGATGATACGGGCACCGCGCGGCTCCGAGGTCGCATAGGGGGGTCTTTGGGGTAGTGTAGACTCAAGGGACAAAAAAATAAGCGTGGGCCGAACCGGGGATCGAACCCGGGACCTCCTGTATGCTTGCGAGCGCGGCGCGCGGCGCGCGGACCCAAAACAGGAATCATACCTCTATGCTGGAACCCTTTGACGGGTCTGACCATTCGGCCGATGCATCCAACGCTAAAAAGTATCGGTGGCGGGCGCACAACTGCAGCCCAGCACACCTCTTTTTCTTTCTTCTGAGCCTTCATGAAGCATACTACGAAACGGCCCGTTTTCGAAATAATAGTTAAAAACGCTGTGTGTTTTTGTCGCGCACGGCTGCCAAGGAGGGCTAACAACAGTGCAACGCCACGCAAGGGCCCAGCTTCGAGCGTGCCACCGCCAGCAAGCCAGCCTTTGGAGCCATGCACCGCCTCACCGAGAGCATCATAGACAATGCCACCATCATCCTGATCATAGCCCACCCCGACGACGAGGCCATGTTCTTCTACCCCACGATATCGCGCGCGAAACGACTGCACATCATCTGCCTTTCCAATGGCGGCTACGACGGCCTCGGCGAACAGCGCGAAAAAGAGCTGCAGCGCGCGGCGCGTCGCTTGGGCGCCTCAGCGACGTGCGTCAACAACGCGGCGCTCCAAGACGGGCCGCACGCCTGGGATCCAAGCGTCGTGGCGGCGAACGTGGGGCCGTGGCTGCACGCCGGCGCGGTCGTCGTGACGTTCGATCGCTACGGCGCGTCCGGCCACGCGAACCACGTGGCAGTCTACCACGGCGCGGCCCCGGCGTCCTTCGCGCGGCGCGGCGACGGCGTGACGCGCGACGCACGCAGGCGTCCGGCGGCTCGCCCAGACGAGACGAGACTGCCGGTTCTACGCGCTCGAGACGGCGCCTCATTATAGACGGTACATCGGCGCGTTTGATGTACTATGCGCCGCCGTGCGCGCGCGGTTTGATCCGCGCCCGTGCCTTGTTCAGTGTCCTTGAAGCTCCGCGTCGATGGCGTGCTCTGTGTGTGTTTTTCCGCCTCCGCCTCCACGCCATCGACGCGGCCGCTCTGTGCGTTTGTCTCTCGACGCCATCGACGCGATGCGGGGTGCCGAGAGAGTACGTGATACCGTTGCGGCGGGAAAGACACGCTACGCATATAGGTCCGTGCTCGTCGCGAGCCTCGACGTGCGCGGCTGCTACGCGGCGCTCGCGGCGCACGCGTCGCAGCTGGTCTGGTTCCGGCGGCTCTTCGTCGTCTTCTCCGCGTACACGTACGCGAACCGGCTCGTCGTGATCGATTAGCGGCGGCGACGGCGTGTTTTTGGGTAATCCTGTTGTGCTAACAAACAGACATCTTACTCGGATTCGATCCGCCTTATTAATTCGCGCGGAGGCACCGAACCATTAGTAGAGACGGTCAGCGCCCGCAATTTCGGGACCAAAGCCGCGATCTCATCAACAGAGCGACTCAAAAGCTCTTGTTTTGGCAGGACGTCCACATCACCGGACGCAGAAACGTGGATGAACGCGTTCGAGTCCCAGACCGTCGTCGGCGTCTTCTTCGCCCGACACCGACACGCGAGGAACTCCAAACACCCGTCGAAGCCCTTGTTGCCCGGCGCCGGCGCTTTTCGAGAACAGCACCGCGTATTCAACACCTCCAGGGGCGCGAAGGGCCGCACCGCGTGCATGACCACTTCATTATGGCCGCACGGTTTTCCGTGTCTACCGCCCCAGTCGCCCTCGGCCTCCGGGTTCGGCCGCCAGCCCGGCGCTAGGGCTTGGTCGGCCTCGATGGCGTCTCTCACTCTCCTCGATATATCATCGGCCACGGCGCCGCTACGGACTTCCCCGGCCCACGGCGCGCCCAAGTCCTCGCCACTCAACCCATCCATGTACTTCGTCCGCGCTAAGGTCCTCGTTTCGCCTCTTGCATTCGTGAGCATCGCCTCTTCATCAACGATCATGCCTAGCAACTGCAGCTTCTTTTTGGACGTCGCGTCGGCACTACCAGCCAGTCTAGCGACGTCGGCCCTCTTCTTATCCTTGAGGGAGGAGGACGCTTTTCGCGCCAGGGCGCATCGTTTCTTAACATCGTCGAGGTCGCTCCATAATTCAGAAGGCCATGGCAGAGCCTCGAAGCCCGACGGTGGCGCTAAATTATCAAAACGGGCCTTCGAAGCCTTGGCCCGCTGTAGACACTGCTTGAGCCGATCTCGCGCGTCGTTCGTCACAGCTAAGACACCGCCCTTGCGTAGCGACGCGGCCTCCTTCGCGGCTTGCGACGAGAGCGCCGCGTGGAGCGCTAACGAAGGCGCGCCCAGGGCCTTGCAGGCCATCCTTAGTTCCTTGGCGCTCCGCGCGTCGCGGCACGTCGCCACGACCAAAATATCAGGATCCCGGCGCCACGACGCGTAGCAGCGCTCGAGCACATCTAACTCCTTGGGCGCGCGGCCTTCGCTCGAAGCCCGCGCGTCGAGCGCGCGCTGCTGCTGCAGCCGCGCCGCGGCGGCGGCGACGGCCAGCGAGCCCGTCGCGCGCGGCTTTTGGTGTGTGGGTTGCTGACCCTTTTTGGCTTTCCCGCGCTTCGGCGGCGCGCCGGTGTGGCGGCGGCGGCCCTGGCCCATGGTTACTTTGCGCAGCGGCGTTGCCGCGCTTCGCACCAGCGATACGTACCTCACGAGTTACGCCCGCCACTCCTTGCTGCAAATGCTGGCCAGGCTGCAGGCTGTCGTATTGTTGCTCACGCGCCCTTCACTGCGCGAGCGCGCGCAGCCGTTATGCACGGGAGACAGGCGTCGCTTCACGCAGCGTTTCACCACAGATCGCGATAGATGCACAACTAGGCTGCAATTGCCAATGACATTGGCCAAAATAGCAAGGGAGAGCAAAAACACCAAAATCAATCAAGAGATGAGAGGAGAGCCCTCCCGAGAACCTCCTGACGCCTCACAAGCCGTTTTCGCAAGCCCTCCTCGCCTGGCCGGCAGCTCTCAGCGCCAAGACGAGTTGGGCTCTCAGGCAGCCAAATATAGCGCCGCGAGGCAGCCTTGCACCCGCCAAGCGCCACGGGGACACCACTCCAAGCGCAAGGGCAGCCCTCGCAAACAACGACGATGTCGGCGCCCCGGACGGCGCGCACCGTCACGGGCCGCACCAACACCGCCCGGAGCGAGGGCTCCGCAACGGGCCGCCGGAAGGCGCTCAACCGCGCCTCGGCGGGCGCGACGCCCCGCGCGCCGTCGCAGCCGGCGGGCGCGCCGAGCTCGGAGCGGGGCGCCTTCGGGCGCACCCAACTCTCGCGGACGTCGCCTCTTAGAAGTGTATTGCTAGATCCGGAGGTGAATAATTTGCCTCCAGCTAGGACGCAAACTGAGTACGCAGAATTCGTAAGAACGAGAAACAAAGCTCACAGTTCCTACGACTTGGATGAAGACGGCCAAGTCACAGTTCAGGACTACAAGCTCGCGGCGTCCTTAGATGTCGACGGCGACGGTAGATTAGACACGGACCGGCACAAAGAGGGCGGCCTGATCCTCGCGGAGAGATTTTTTGAGCGCCAGATCGTCCCCGCAAAATTTCACGGCGACTGCTGGACGGCTCGAGAAGGAAGAGAGGGTTTCCAGGAAAACGCGCGGCGCCTCGCGAATTCTCAACATTTCGGCGCGGGCTTGAGGATGCTCGAAATGCGCGAGAAGCGGCTGTTGGGGCGGGCGTCCCTCAACATGACCGCGTGCATGCAGGCCCCAAAGGGCCCCGACGAGGGCCCGCGGTCGCACCTGCTGGCCCATCGGAAGCGCACGGAGCGATTATTCGGCCAGGCCCAGTTAGATAAGTGGGACGCCAAGCTCGAGAAGTGGTCGACGAAGCGCGTCTCGCCCATCTCGAACTTGGCGTTCGAGAACGGCTAGGCGACCTAGCACCCCTTATCAGTAAATCAAGCAGTTCTCCCGCCAAGCCCCCGTGTGTACGGCGGTCCCGACGTCGACATCGGTACTAGCACGAATCAAGCAGGCACCCGTTATGCGAGATAGCGGGGAGGGAGGAGGGCGGGGCACCGATCTCGGTAAGATGGGTGCGGACGGGGGTGTGTACAATCATGGGCTGGCCCTGGGAGAGCGATGGCGACTTGGACTGTCCGCGGACACGGGCGTGCCCCGGGAAGTGGAATGAGCGCTGCCAGTCTGTGACGGCAGGCCGGGCGTATGGACATTGGCGGGAGAGACACGAGTGCCTCAGACCCGCTCGGCGGCCTTGCGCACGTCGGCGGCCGCGAGCTCGATGCCGTAGGCCGAGCCGCCGTGCTTCGAGTCGTCCAGGCCCTCGATCTCGATGTTCTCGGGCACGCGGAACCAGCCGGCCTTCTTCAGGAGGATGAAGAAGGGCGTCATGAGCGCGCCGACCCAAATCGTAATAGCTATGAGGGCGACGAAGTTGCAGGCCAGCATGTTGCCCTGGCCCGTGTAGAAGAGGCCCCCGACGTCGGCGTTGCCGTAGGCCTCGCGCATGTGCTCCTTTCTAGCGAACAACGCCGGCGCTAGTAGTCCCCAGCAGCCCGCGAAGTAGTGCACCGGCGTCGCGTTGACGGCGTCGTCGATTTCTAACTTAACTAAAAGCTTGGCACCGAGCGTGTAGAAGACGGCCCCGATCGGGCCAATGACGACAGCAGCCCAGGGCTCGACCACGGGGCACGCCGACGTGATCGACACGAGCCCCGCGAGGATACCGTTGCACATCTCGGCCACGTCATAAGTCTGGGAGAGTTTGTAGTGGATGAATAGGTTCGCGACGCCGCCCGACGCGGCTGCTAGAGTTGTCGTTACGGCAACTCGAGACGCGACCGTCGACACGCCACCAATGTATAAGGTGCTACCAGGATTGAAGCCGTACCAGCCGACCCAGAGGAAGAAGGTGCCCAGCACAACCAACGGCATGGAGTGGCCCTTGATGGGCCCCGGGTTCTCGCCCGCGAAGCGCCCGATGCGCGGCCCGAGCACCGCCGCCCCGATGCCCGCCGCCGCGCCGCCGACCATGTGCACGACGCCGCAGCCCGCGAAGTCCACCACACCGACGTTCAGCCACGCCGCCCGGTTGCCCGTCGCCTTCCAGGCGCTCAGCCAGCCCGTGCCGCTCCAGACCCAGTGCACCACCACCGGGTACACGAAGCCCGTCAGGAAGGCGCTGTACGCCGCATACGCCGTCATGGAGCACCGCTCCGCGACCGCACCGCTCACGATCGTCGCCGCGGTAGCAGCAAAGGCGAACTGGAAGAACCAGTTGTGGTAGCCGTCGCCGCCCTCGTAGCCCTTCGACAAGAAGAAGTAGTTGTTCCCGATGAACCAGTTCTTGTCGCTCCCCGACTGCCCGTAGGCGAACGCGTAGCCCGTGGCCCAGAACCATATCGCGCCCACGCAAGCATCCAACAAATTCTTCAGCAGGATGTTCTGGGCGTTCTTCGCCCGGATCGAGCCCGCACACAACATGGCGAAGCCCGTCTGCATGAGGAAGACGAGCGTGCCGCAGTACAAGATCCAGTGCACGTCGATGTCGGCGCTGCCGCCGAGCACGGCGGCCTTGATGGCGGCCTCCTCGTCGTCCGTCAGCACCATGGTGGATGGTCTCGGTTGAGTCGAAACTGTGAGATGGTCCGCGAAGTTGCACCTCGAGATTGCCGCTCCGCCGCTGCTGTTGCACTTTGCTGGGGGCAGCCCGCGACGCTGCGGGGGGCGCGGCGGTGGGTTTAATGGATGGCGGGGGTCGAGGAAAGGGGCCGCGCGTGGGGTTTGAGGCAGCTTACGGTGTCGGCGGGTCGCTGTCACTTTGACACTGCGAGTAGCACGGCGTGCTAGCGATTCTGAGTAAGATCGGCGGCCTTGGATCCCTGCTGCGATCGCTCGTGGGGGCTCGGCCGGGGCGGCCGCCGCCTGGGACCCGTTGCGTTCTGTTTTTTTCATCCTAGTGTCTTACGGGCTAGCTCGTGGCGGCTGAGTTTGGTCGAGACGACTGCGCTTGCTATAGCTGTTGCAGCTCGGCGGCCTGCATTTTTCTGTGCATTTGTGTCCAGTACCGTGGACGAGCGCGTACCGTTGTCTAGATAGGCAACAAGAGCAGCAGTGTGCACAAGTGCTGCTGCTGAACTGAACAACAGTAGTGCACAAGTTTTGCTCAAAAACCAGAGAGATGCGCCGCACTGCACCAATGCTGCTCCGGCACCTGTCCTCCGACAGCGTCGACAGCGTGCGCGTCGGGCGCGCCGTGACACGACTAAGAAATGGAGGCGACTTTAAGCCCGTCGGCGCGCTCGCGACGCTGCCGCCGCGGCTCGGCGCGACGCTCGAGTGGCTCTGCCAGAAGGACGCGCTGGGCCAGGACGCGCTGCTGATCTGCGCGCCGGCGGAGCGGGCGCGGGCGCGCCGGGCCGCCTTCGCCTTCGCCGAGCTCGTGAACGCCGAGGCCTACTACGTGGGCGTGTCGCCGGACACGGCCGAGGCGGACCTGCGCCAGCGGCGCGAGCTGACTGGTGGGGGGAGCGCGGCCTGGTCCGACGCCGCGCCCGTCCGCGCGGCGTTGGCAGGGGGCGTCCTGATTCTCGACGGGCTGGAACGGGCGGAGCGCAACGTGCTGCCCACGCTGAACAACCTGCTCGAGAACCGCGAGCTGGCGTTAGATGATGGTCGGAGACTCGTGCCGGAGTGGCGCCTCGCGCAACTGCGGGAGGAGGTCGACGTGCCCCTGCTCCCCGTTCCACAAACGTTCCGGGTGATCGCGCTCGCGTCGCCGGCGCCGCCTTTTACTGGAAGAGCCCTCGACCCGCCCCTGCGCTCGCGGCTCCAGGCCCACGTCGTGCCGAGCTTCGACGTCGACGAGCTGCCGCCGCACGAGGACCTCGCCGCGGCTTGTGCCGCGTTGCTCGAGATCGAGCGAAACAACGCCGTCGCCGCGGCCGCGTCGCGGTCTTCAGATACGACGTTCGCCTTCTCCGGCACGGCGATCAAACGCGTGGCGCGGCATGCCTCGGACGCGCGGGCCGTGCTAGAGCGGTGCTACCCGCCGCTCGCCGGGCGTTATCTATTGGGCAAGGCCGTCTCAAAGGACGCGGTCGAGGCCGTGGACCGCGTGCTCGGGGCCCCGGCGGCGGACGAGGGCGCGGGCCGCGCGGACGGCGCCCTCTGGCTCTCCGCGACGCAGAGCCGCGCGCTCGCGGCCGCACAATCAGACCTAAAGAACGGCGAGCACGTGGCGCTCGTGGGCCCGGCCGGCGGCGGCAAGTCAATCATGGCGGCGCGCGTCGCGCCGGCCGCCGCGCGGCTCCAGACCTGCCACAAGGACCTCACGGCGCGCGATTTATTACAGAGCCGCGCGACGGATCCCGCGACGGGCGCGTCGACGTGGCGCGACGGGCCTATCATCGAAGCGATGCGCGCCGGGTCCTCCGTCATTCTGGACGGCGCGCACCGTTTACAACGAGGAGTCCTCGCGGCGGCGCTCTCGCGCGCGCTCCACGACGGTATCGTGGACCTGCCCGACGGCTCGCGGCTCGAGGCGGCCGAAGGCTTCCGCGTCGTCGCCGTCGCCGAGCCGGGAGCGTGGCTCGGCGACGGCGACGTGGCGGCCTGCTTTTCGTCGCACGCCGTGCCCGAGTGGGCCGATGATGATATAGAGGCGGCGCTGGCGCACCTCGTGCCGGGCTGCGACGCACGCGCGCTCGCGGCGGTCGCGCGCCGCTCGCGCGAGGACGGCGACGCCGCGACGCGGCTGAGCATAAGGTCGCTCCTGCGCGTCGCGCGGCGGCTCGCGGCCGGCGAGGCCGACGTCAAGCCGCTGGTCGAGGAGGCGCTCATGGCGGCGTTCCTGCCGCGGCGGCTGCGGGACAAGGTGGACGACTGGTTCGCCTCGTCCAGTGACGAAGAAGTCGAGGCGACGGCCGCCTGGACCGTCGCTGGAGAAGATGTAAGCGTCGTGGCGCGCCGCGACGGCGCCACCGCGGCCACGGTTGCGATGCGCGGGCGCGGCCGCGCGCCGGAGCTCGTGCCCTCGTTACCGAACTACGTGCCGACGCGCGCGGCCGAGGCGGCCGTCGCGGCGCTCGTGCAGCTCGAGGCCGCGGGCGAGCGCGCCGTGTTGGTGTTAGGCAACCAGGGCGTCGGCAAGAACGTCGCCGTGGACCGCTATTTATCCCTTTGCGGTGCTGAACGCGAATATTCGCAACTGCACCGCGACTCGACCGTCTCTTCATTAACGGCCACCCCGACGCTGGAAGATGGAATTCTGAGACACGAGGACGCTCCGTTAGTAAGAGCGGCGCTCCACGGCCGCGTTTGCGTGTTAGATGAGGCGGACAAGGCGCCGACGGAGGTGACGGTCCTGCTCAAGGCCTTGGTCGCGGACGGCGTGTTGCCGTTGCCGGACGGTCGCATACTGAGAGTGGGGGACAACGTGCACGCCGATTTTAGGTTGGTCGTGCTGGCGAACCGGCCGGGCTACCCCTTCCACGGCAACGCGCTGTTCCGCGAGTGCGGCGACGCCTTCGCTGGTCTGGTGGTGGACAATCCCGACGTCGACAGCGAGGTCGCCTTGCTCGAGGACGTGGCGCCGTCGCGGCCCCACGATGAGCGAAGACGCCTCGCGTGCGCGTTCGCCGAGCTGCGCGCGCGGCACGAGACCGGTTCGTTAGCCTACCCCTTCTCGATGCGCGAGTGCGCCGCCGTCGCGCGCCACCTTGAATTGTATGGGTCCGAGGACGAGGGCGTGGGCGACGCTTTGGCGAATGTCCTCGCGCACGACGCCTACGCGCCGCAGCGGGCCATGGTCGCGGCGGTCTTCGAGGCTCACGGCTTTGAGGGCGTTGCGGATAAGTTACAAAGGAAGCTCGACGGGATTGTTCCATCAATGGCGTACGACGTGGAGTATACGTCTATCAAAGGGAGCGGCGGCGCGTCCGTGCCGCGGACGGGATTAAGTGCCCCAAAATTCGGCAAGGTCGACCCGTCCGGCAATCCGCACGTCGGCGGCAACACGTGGGCTGGAGGAAGTGGCGGCTCGGACACCGCGGGACTCGGCGGGCGGGGCGGGCCCTATCGTTTGTGGGACGGCAAGCACGTGCCGCACCAAGTTTCCGACGAAGCCAAGGCCGAAGTCAGTGAGGCGGCTAGAGCAGAAGGTAGGAGGCAGGCCCAGATCGCCCACAAAAAAAGACTGGAGGAGATCGAGGGCATGACCGAAAACGAGTGGGACACCTATAAAGGTATGCTCGATCGAATCGCGCCGCACGTCGCGTCACTAAGGGAGCAGCTCGGCGCGGCGAAGGATCGCAAGTCCGAGAGGACGTGGTTGCGACGAAGGTCGGACGGCGAACTGGATGATGATCGCTTGGTCGACGGCGCGGCCGGGGAACGGTTAGTTTTCAAGCGGCGTGGGAAACCGGATCCCCTGGATAGAAAGCCGACGGAAGAGGACGAGTTCCGGAAGCGGACACTGTTGTTCCTTGTTGATGTCTCAGGAAGTATGTACCGCTTTCAGATGATGGACGGGAGACTGGCACGGATGCTCGAGGCGACGATGCTCGTCATGGAGGCGTTGGAAGGGCTCGAGGGCAAGTACGAGTATGCCATACGAGGTCATAGTGGAGAGAGCGATGGGGTCGAGTTTGTCGAGTTTGGGCAGCCGCCTTCTAACAGAGGAGAACGACTCAAAGTCCTACAAAGGATGGTCGCGCACTCGCAGTTTTGTGATACTGGAGATAGAACTATAGAGGCGACGCGGCGGGCCATTTCGGACGTGTCCGCGCGCGGCTTTGTAGATGACGAGGAGGAAAGGAAGCATCTAGTCGTGGCGCTGTCGGACGCGAATTTTAGTCGCTACGGTTTGGACCCGCGCTGGTGGGCCGAGGCGCTCTCCGATTCCGACGCGGTCGACGCGCATGCGGTCATGGTCGGGTCGATCGCCGACGAGGCGTCGCTCGTGGCCGGGGCGCTGCCGCGGGGGCGCGGCCACGTGTGCTTCGACGCGGACGAGCTGCCCGTCGTCTTCAAGCGGATCCTGCAGCACGCGCGGATTATTGATGATGGGGAGGAGATGTAGTTATATCGTGTAAGAGTACTGTGTCTATTTCAAGTTCCCTTCCTACCGTGCGTCTCCTGGCAAGGCCGTCGATCACCTGGCTCAGGCTAGTTACGTCGCATGGTTCCCCTACCCCTCCCGCTCCCCCGGCCCACCCGTGGCTGGCTCAGGCTGCGTCTAGTGGGCCTACCTAGCATTCGGTTGTGCTCTCGCAAATAATCTGCGTGGCCGCGAGGATCTGGGTTCCAGAGAGACCGGGCTTTTGGCACGCGTACTTAAAAAGACCGCCGCGCGGATCGATTCATAAACTCGCAGAGTCCTGAGTCATACAAACACAACACCAAAAATCACAATGCCTATTTTAATTTACGGCCTCCTCGTTTGGTTTGGCCAGCAATTGATTGGGACGTCCGTTATTAACGGCGCGTCCGCGCCCGCGCTCGCTTCGCGGCCGCTGCTGCGAGGGAACGCCGCGCGCCCGCCCGCGAGCGACGAGCGGCGTAGAAGAATTTTACAGGCGGCGCCGGCGCCAACCGCGACGCCCGCGCCGACGAGCACTAAATCGACCAACGCGACAGCGCGGCCGACGCCCCGGCCGACGCCGCCGCCCTGGGAAATACGCAACCACGACCGCGGCTACCGCACCAAGTCGCGCAGCCCCGCGACGTCCTTCGTGCTCGTGCTCGTCCTACTTATTATCATCGTGTGCGCCGTGCGGTTCCTCATGTTCGGCCTCGTCCTGTTCGGCGGCTGTTGTACGTGTTGTTGCGAGCGGGGCGCGCGGAAGGACCTGAACAGGGGCTCCGTGGTCATCCCCGTCACTCAGTAAAATCATTCAGTAGTAGATTCTTAGACGATTGATTGGGGGGAGGAAGGAAGGGACTAGAGCGGGCCGGCCGTCGTGCCGGGGAGCCGCGGCGTCGCCAGCGCCGACGCCATGCGAGCCTGCTCTTCGAGAGAGGGCGGCGGATCCAAACCGCGGTCCTCGGCGACCTGCGCGCCGCCCGGGATAGGGAGGTCCCTTCCCCGCTTCTTCGGTAAGGGCCCGAGCTCGGCGTCGAGCTCCTTCAACAACGCCTCGAGCGCGTCCCTCGATTCCCACTCGATCATGTACTTCATGGAATTCGGGCACTGGCACGAGTAGGCGACGTGGCGCAAGCACACTATATCTTTTTTGGAGCACTCACAACCAACAGCACTCAAAAAGCACGTGTGCTGGCAGGCAATGCAAATACGCTTATCATCATACGTCGTCGCCGCTATATTAATAACGTCCGTCTTGTTCGCCGGCGGCGTGCATAATTTACTAATGTCGCGCACGCCGCTCGCGTAGGCCGCGTCCCTTAGTTTGAGGTCTTCTACTACCAATCGTCGGAGTTCTTCTCTTAGTATTGTTCTAGCCTGGCCATCGATCGTATCTCTACCTTCGTTCGCTCGTAATGTAAACATGAGCCGATCATGAGAAATGACCGCCAATCGACCGGACCTCCGATATCTCTCATTGGCAACTCTAGCGTGCTGGACCCAGTCCGGCGTCGCGAAGTTCACGGCCTCCCCACAATTGAATCCATACGAAAAGCCGCCGTGAAAGGCCTGCGGAAACGTGACCACAAATTCTCCGGGGTTCTGGCAGATGCGGTGGATCGGCACCTCCAGAGCAGCTAATTTCGCGGGCGAGATCTGGAGGTTGATCCTATGTAACAAGTCAGGAACTTCTAGTAGTCTTTGCTTGTGGAAGCGGCGGACGACGTCTTCGAAGCGCGCCGCCTCCGAACCGGGGATGCCGTACCACTGCTTCGGCGCGCCGGTGTGGTGGTAGTTGATGGACTCGAAGTAGTTGTCCTCGTTGTGCCTGCGTGCAACGCTCTCACGTGGCCGCGTCGACGTCTTCATGAAGACCACGTCTGTTCTCTAACGAGACGCGTGGACTCTCTGACGGCCGCGTCGACGCCATCGCGGCGACGTGGGCTCATGAAGACGCCATCGACGCGACCGCGTCACGTTCAAGGTCATTTCTGCGCCGAGCCGCGGACCACGGGAACGTCGCGAAGAGCATGCCCATGTACAGCCACGGCTGCGTCACGCCCGGCAGCGGCGCGTCGTGGCGTCTCAACAAAAAACCGGGCCAGCGCGCCGTGTTGTTCAGGTTCCAGCCCGACTGTTTTACGTAGGACGGATCCTCGACACTTTGCGGCAGATTTTTATCTGAGAGTTGATCGATGTCGACGCCTCGCGGGAAGCCACTCCAAAATTCGTTCACGTCGATGTCGTTGCCATATTCTACATCTAGCTTCTCCCTTACTTGGTCGACGATGGCCCAGTAGTCCTCCTCGAGGCGTTTCAGTAACGCGTCTCCTTTGAGGTCGGGGTACTTCGCTATTCTTCTAGCATAGAACGCGTCGGCCATGCGCCGGTACTCTTCCAGGGTGTACTCGCGGCCGTCGCCGAAGGGCTGGCCCTCGCCCAATTCATGGAGCCGCTGCCGCTTCGTCGCAAATTTTTTTGTGGAATTCCAGTCCACAGCAGACTCAACCTTCCAGCCGCGCGGCGGGACGATCTTGCAGATGCCGAAGGGCTCGGCTTCTCTCCTGATCGAGGCCACGTAGCGCAGCGGGTCGCGGAACTGCGCCGCGGTCGGTCTAAACACGGGCGCATCCGGGATGGGCCGGTCGCTCAGCGTGGCGAGCTTCGTCTCGAGCTTCGAGTTCTCCAGAGCCATCTGGTAGAGCTCCTGCTCGCGCGCGGACCACTGCGTTTGGGGGAGGGCGCGTGATTTTTTGGTGGTGATATGGCGCGCGATGGCGTGGGTGCGGCGAGCAGGCCTCGCGGCGCGCCCGGGCGAAAACTCGTGAAAGGCGCTCTCTCTGGCGCGCGGCGAGAGGCGTTTTCGTGCAGAACGGGTGTTTTTTGGCGGTCACGCGCGCGGAGCGGGCGCGGGGAAGGGCTGCGCAGGCCTCGTGCGGCGCCGCGGGCCGGCCCGGGTCGTTGTCAAGCGAAGGCGCCGCGTCCGGGCTGCGCGAGGGGTGTTTTCCACGCGGCGGCGCGCGTCCGGCTCATCGGTGTACCTGCGGGATGCGCGGGGGGCGCGGCGTGAGCTTCGAGCGGCCGAAGGCGCCGCGGGCGCGTCTCGGGGGCCGCGCGCTGGCCCCGGGCCGATTCCCTTCTCGCGGCGACTCGGTGCGGTCGCGCGAGCGAGTGGCTAGGACTGCCCCCTTGAGGCGTGATCTCTGTCGCGCGGGCGGGGCTGGACACTGGCAAGCGCTTTTCCGTTGGTTGCCGTGTCCTGCGGGGCTTTTTGGCGGATGTAAGCTCGGCCATTGGTGCGACACGATCGCGCAAGAGCGCTGAGCCGGGGGCGAATTTTGGGTTTATCCCCACTCGCGGGCCGGTCAGTGGTTGCGCCGGGGTTGCCTAAGGGCGTGAAAGGGATGGCGCTCGCGTTGGCGCAGCCCTTAATTTGCGGACGACCCGAGTCTCTCTTCTCCTGCGACGAGCACTGAATTTCGAGTAGCAGATCGCTGCAGGGACAGGTCTAGGGGTCCACACAGCCGTCCCCGCCGTCCCGCGACGGCAAACAGGAGAATCGTCCGACACCCGAAAAACCCGAACTTTGCTCTTGTCCTCCCTTGGCAGCTCCACTCAGACGGAAGTATGCTACTACGAAAGACGGCGCGCGGCCCGCGACTCAGCGAAGCACGGTGGCCCGAAACCTGGCCTGGGCGCCGCGCCACACTACGATTCTACACTACGAGTCCAGACCCATGCCACCAACAAGATAGGAGCAACCGCAATTATACAAAGAGGCTAGCCCCGCGGCGAGATCATGCCCCCGACCTTCTTCAGCGTCTTGTCGACGACGCCGCCAGGGGCTCGTCGAGCGGCCTTCTTCCCCATGCCCTGCAATCGAGCTTGCGGGTCCCGCGCGAGCATCGTCCTTCGCGCCGCGACGCAGGAGTTTCTCAAGGTAGAAGTAATTGCGTGATCTCCTCCCAAATACCGCTCGGCGACTTCCACACCCTTCCTATAGGATTGTAACGACTGGTTGTGCTTCTTGAGGAACTCCTGTTCCACGCCCACGTTGTGGTAGGCGATAGCCAATACAGCTACTCTATCTGCTTTGGGGGGCCCCGCGTTATCACTACCGAGTACCGAGGATAACTCCTCCTGCAACAAGATCAAAGCCTGCTGGGCGTGTTCGAGAGCGGATTGATGTCTTCCTAGTTGCGAGAGAACCGCACACGCGTTCAGATACGTGTCCGCCGGGTTGTCCACGCTTTCCAACCGACCTTCTATTTTGAGCGCCTTCTGGAGGTACTGGAGCGCAGCATGGAGCTTCCCCTGCCGTCGGTAGTAACACGCTAGATTATTGAACGTGACCGCGCGACCGGCCGGGTCCCGCTCCGTGAGAATTTCGGCCTTTTTGAGCAGCTCCAGGACCATCGCAAAGTCCTCCTGTTGGAGATACGTCATGGCCAATAAATTGCACATCTCGCCCACGGTCTTGCAGGCCCGCCAGACCTCGTCGGAGCCGGCGCCGAAGAAGTGCTGCCTTAGTACAAGTCCGCGTTCCATGCACTCGAGGGCCTCCAAGTACTGGCCGTTCTGCTGGAAGTTCGTGCAGGTCTCGTCTATTCTTTGTAAGGCTAATAACTCGGCGTTGTCCTCCTCGCCGTCGTTCTGGAGGGCGGCCATGGTCTCCTCCATTTTGCTGGGGCTGCCCTTGGCAGTGGTGTCGTTGTGGGGTGGCCTCGGCGGCGTCCGTGGGGCGTCCGGCCGGCTGACGCGCGTCGTGGGGCTGCCTCGGTGTGGCGTTCTCCGCGGGCGGCGCGTCGGCGGCGTCTATAGGCCGTCTTTGCCGAGCGCGTTGCAAGGCCAAGGCAGCGCTGGGCCTTCGACTTCCGGGCCTCTCCAGGCGTGAGGCGCGTGTGTCGAGGGCTCGCGCGAGAGGTGAGAGCAGTCTTGCGGGCCCTGAAAAAAACCCGGCAGCCAGAGCGCGATTAATCCTCTTGGCGCTAAATCGCGCCATTCATCGACGCATCCAGCGTTGACCAGCTCAAACGTCTCACTGCACTGCCGTTCCGTACTGCGAACTGCGAAAACGCCGGTCCGCCCGTCCAGAGACGGCACAGACTCGCAGAGCCCAAAAGCGCATTTGAAATCACGCGGACGCGAGGCGCAGCAATCAAGTAGCGGTCGCGGTGTGAAGCGCAACAGCACAAACACAACGCTCACACAAAAAAACAGCAACCACAACGCTCTCACAAAAAAACATGGACAAATTCGTCCCGAAACGCAAGGCCGGCGACCCGCCCGCTCCAGCGAAGAAACGGCCGGCGCGGCGCGGCGTGGCCGCGAAGAAGCTGCCGACCGACCCCGTCGCGGTCGCGAAGCAGGCGGTCGCGCGCACGGACCGCCTGGTACTCGAAGAAGCCATCGTCGCGCTCGTCAGCGACGGCGCGGTGAGCGTCGAGCGCCTGGCCGAGCTGGGCATCGCGCCGGCGGCCGTGAAAACGCTGAAGGAGAAGGTCACCGCGACGGCGCAGCTGCGGTCGACGGGCACGATGGGGTCGTGGGAGCGGCTCGACCAGGAACTCATCGTGGCCATCATCGAGCACGCGTCGTCGCTGGAAAAGTTCCAGCTCTCAGAGACGTGCAAGGGCCTCTGCGCGCTGCGCCGCGAGCCGCGGTGCTGGACGTCGCTCGACGTCGGCAAGCTCGACGGCCTCACGGCGTCGGGCCTGCGGCGCCTGCCGTCGTCGATCCCGACGACGCGCATCGAGTGCCTGCGCCTCGACGAGGGGCGGGGCAGCAGCTTCGGGGCGGCGGACTGGGTCGCCTTCCTGAAGCAGCTCGAGTGCAAGGACACGCTGAAGCGCCTGAACCTGGCCACGAAGAAGTTTGGCGCCGGGGCCAAGGCGCTCAAGGCCGTCGAGCCGCTCGTGGGCGGCGTCGAGGCGCTGCGGGTCGTGGGCATCAAGAACCCGCAGGGCGTCATGGACATCGTCAAGAAGGCGCCGCGGCTCGTGGACCTCGAGGTCATCAGTTCCGACGACGTGGGCTGGGAGTTCTTCCTGACGCGCCTGGCGCAGGTCGCGGCGGGCCAGCGCGGCGCCGGCGCCAAGAGCCTCCTCAAGCGCTTCGCGGCCAGCGGCTGGTGCTTCCGGATCGTCACGGCGTTCCCCTTCGTCGCCTCGACGCTCCGGGGCCTCTTCCCCGAGTTGCAGAGCCTCGAGTTCAAGGGCCTGTCGTGCAACTGCGTGCCGATCCCCGCGCCCGCCGGCGGCGCCGCGTCCCGGCTCCGCGTCCTCAAGCTCAAGCAGGTCGAGTTCGTGCCGGGCGCGCGGCAGGTGTCGGGCAGCAGCTACTGGGGCCCGCAGACCGAGGCCATGTCGTCCGAGGCGGTCGCGACCTACGTGTCCAACTGCGAGGCCGCCTTCCCCGCGCTCGAGGTCTGGTGGACGTCCCGCGAGTGCGAGTCGATCTCGACGAAGGAGCGCCGGGCCGGGGCGCAATTCCAGCCGCCGCCGGTCCTGGACTCGCGGTCGCTCGCGGTGCGCTTCCCGCACCTGCGCGAGTTCACGCTCGTGAACGTCGACGTCGACAAGCACTCGTTCGTCAACTGGGACGCGCCGAGCCTCGAGAAGGTGCACCTGGACCCCGTCGGCACCGACACCTACCCCGCCTCGACCTTCGCCCAGCGCTTCCCGTCGGAAGTTTCGCGCAAGCCCATCGTCCAGCCGCTGCTCGACGGGGCCGAGGGCGACGTCGCGGTGGGCTGGTCGAAGATCAACAAATACCGCGACTAGTAGGCCGTGGCAAGCGCTTCGACGAGTAGTGTTGTAAGACTCGAACCGAACTTAAAAGGGGAGGGGGGGGGGAGGACGGTCAATTCACGAGTAGCGGCCGGTCGCGTCGCCGCCCGAAGACCGGAAGGAGCCGCCGCCGCGCGCGTTGCGGATGCCGGCGTTGATGGCCGAGCGCAAATCCAAGCACTCGCGCGCGCCGCGCGACGCGAACTTGGCGATCACTTTTTCCTTGCCCTCCGCGCCCGTTTCGGAGAGTGTAAAATGGTGCAAGGGCCCGAAGGTCTTGTACTCCTTGGCCTTGACCTCGTCCGTCACGTGGACGGCGCTCAGCATGACGTGCAGCTTGATGAGCGGCGTCACGGCCTTCATCGCCTGGACGATGTCGCCGCCGCGGTGGACGCTCGCCGTGCGGTACTGCGCCCAGTCCGACGAGTTGCGAAACACCAAAAGTTCGCGGTGGCCCTTGATGATGACCACGCTCGGCTTCCACACTTTCGTTTTTAGGGTGCGTAGGGAACACCGCGCCAAACATTCGATCTGCACGACGCCGTGTGTCGAATGAGCCGGCGCCTCGCTGTGCTTCTGGGAGCGGTAGGCGTCGGCGCCGCTCGCGCGCGGCGCGCGCGGCGGCGGCACGGCCGCCGTCGCCGAGTCGGCGTGCGGGTCGCCGCCGCGCTGCATCAGGATCTCGCGCTGCATGGCCTCGGGCAGCTGCGCCCAGACGGCGGGGTCCACGCCGGAGGGCGCGGGCCAGTCGTTGCTCTTCTGCCTTGACGGAGGCGCGGGCGCGGGCGCCGCGGGGCCGGCGCTCAGGTCGAGGCCGTCGAGGCCCCAGCTCTCCTCCTGCGGCGGCGGCGCCGGCGCTACCGGAGGTGCGGGCGGCGGCGCGGCGACGGGCAAGCCGAAGAGGTCGACGGCGCCCGTCGGCTGCGGCGCGGGCGCGGGCGGCGCGAGCGGCGTCGGCTGGAGCAGGCCGGGCACGGCCGGCGCCGCGGGTGCCGGCGGCGCCACGTTCAGCGCGCCGGGCATCTGGGGCTTCGGCGGGAGCGGCTGCGACGGCGTGTACTGGGGGATCGGCGGCGGGCCGGCCGGCTTCGGCGGCGACGGCCGCGGCGGCGGCGCGCCCATGGCGCCGGGCATCGCGCCGGGCATGGCGCCGGGCATTGCGCCGGGCATGGCGCCGGGCATGGCTCCCGGCATGGCTCCCGGCATGGCTCCGGGCATGGCCGGCGGCATCCCGGGCATCATCTGCGGCGGCGCCATGGGCATCTGCATGCCCATCGGCGGCATGCCCATCTGCCCAGGCATCATGGGCCGGGGCGGCATCATCCCAGGCATCATTCCCGGCATCGCGCCGGGCATCTGCCCCGGCATACCGTAGCCGGGCATGGCGCCGGGCATGCCGTAGCCGGGCATGCCGCCGGCCGGCGGCGCCGGCCGCGCGAGCGCGTCGAGCGCCGAGATCGACGACCGGCGGCTCGCCGCGTCCGTCGGCGGCCGGTGCTGGTTCGCTTGCTGATTGATCTGACCGGGCATCTGCATCGGCATCTGGCCGGGCATCTGACCGGGCATCATCGGCATCTGGCCGGGCATCTGGCCCGGCATCTGCCCCGGGTAGCCGCCCTGCATGGCTCCGCGAAACTGGGTCTCCTTTTTTTGGTGGAGGGCTGGCTCCCGGCCGAAGGCGTTTCCTCGCAGCGGTGGTGAGCGCTGTTACGGATTATAACAATGCGGCGTAACGCACAATTATCCTCGTGGTCTCGCGCTCCTCCAGCCAGGCCTTTGGTCGGCTTCCTCTGGCTTCTAGTGGTCTTACGCCGCTAGCTGCGTTTTTCGGCCGACGAGTTAATCCGTCCAATGCACGGTCCGGAAGGCTACATCAGGGCGACCCGCGGGTCCAGCAACCAGCACGTGAGGAGCCGAAGACGCCAGGAGACTTGGAATTGGAGAGGGAGCCGCCGCTGCGCCGCGTTTGTGGCCCGGCGCACCATCTCATTCCGCCGAGGGCTGCCTCCCCCTCAAATTGGAACCAGTGCGTTGCCAGTAAACGGAGACACGCACCCAAACTCCAATGGATGCATTCGCTACGCTGGGGCCCGCCGAGGACCGGCCGCTCCCGCCGCCGCCGGTTGCGGGCGGGATGACGATGCAGCCGGCGGTGCCCGACCCGATGTCCGGGGCGAGCTTGTTCCCGCCGGCGACGGCGATGCCGGCGCCGACCGCACCCGAGCCACCGATGCCGGCGATGCCGGCGATGCCGGCCGCACCACAGTCCGGCGCGAGCCTCTTCCCCGCGGCGCCGCCCATGCCGACGTCGGCGCCGGTGCCGCCCGTGCCGCCGATCCCCGCGGCGGCGGCGGCCGGCACCGGAGGGGCCGCGCCGGCGCTGCTCAGCCCCACGGGCACGGCCATTTTCGGCGCCGTCGCCGAGCCGACGGCGCCCCAGTCGAACACGCCCGAGTTCAACAACGTCCAGCTCTGGAAGGACGGCTTTCACCAGGGCATGGCTCCGGACACGGCGCTGCCGCCGGGCGCGCGCGCGATGCCGGGCATGGCCGCGATGCCGCCCGCGACGCCCGCGGCGAATCCGTCGCCGAAGCTCATGGTCACGCCGACGCCGCTCAAGGTGGCGAACATGCTCGCGGCGCCGCTGGACCTCGCGCAACCGCCGGCGCCCGCGCCCGCGCAGCCCCAGGCGCCGAACTCGTTCTCGGCCCCCTTGGTGCCCCAAGGGCCGCCGGCGCCGGGAATCGACTCGTTCGCGGCGCCGGCGGCCGCGTTCGCGGCGCCGCCGCCGCCGCCGCGCGCGCCCGAGGTCGCGCCGGACGCCTTCCCGCCGCGCGCGCCCGTGGCGGCGGTGACGGGCGGCGCGGCCCTCTTCGGCGCGCCGCCGCCGACGGGCGCGGCGCTCTTCGGCGCGGCGTCGCCGAGCGACGCCGACAGCGACGCGGCGAGCGCCTTCGGCACGCCGGCCAAGCCCGTCGTGCTCGGCGGCGGCGGGTCGCCGTCGCCGCCGCCGACGTCGCGCAGCGGCTCGTTCTCGCCGCGCGGCGCGGGCAAGCACTTCCGCGAGTTCACGCCGCCGCCGCCGGCCCCCGAGGAGGCCTTCGGCGCGCCGCCGCCCGTCTCCGTCGGGGGGTCCGCTGCCGCCGCTGCGGCTGCTGCGTTCTCCGCGCCCGCGGCGCCGGCAGATCCATTTTCTGCGCCGCCACCTGTCAACCAGGTGCCGAGCGACCCGTTCGGCGCGCCCGCGGCGCCGAGCAATTCATTTTCCGCGCCCGCGGCGCCGGCCGATCCCTTTTCTGCGCCGCCGTCACCTGTCAACCAGGCGCCAAGCGACCCTTTCGGCGCCCCGGCGGCGCCGGCAGATCCCTTTTCTGCGCCGCCGCCACCTGTCAACCAGGCGCCTGCCTGGGGCTTCGAGGCGCGCCTGCGAGAAATCTTTGATAGAGTAGATACGAGTGGCGACGGCGATATCTCCGTCGTGGAAGCAGTCAAAGCGCTGAGGAAGGACGATGACTTCGCCAAGGTGCTCGGCTTCGACAAAGCTACCAGAGTAAGACAGGAGGACGGTACCAGAGATCAGTTGATCCTCGCGCTCGGCGCGCTTGATGCCGACGGCGACAAGAAGGTGAGCTGGGCGGAATTTAGGAGGGTCGCCACTTGTTATATTCCGTTCGGCGCGCCGGCAGCGACCGATCCGTTTTCAGCGCCGTCGGCCCCTGTCGGCCAGCCGAGCGACCCCTTCGGCGCGCCGCAGCCGCCACCGCGCGCACCACAACCGCCACAGGACGCCTTCGCGGCGCCAGCGCCGCCGAGCGCCGACCCGTTCCACGCGGCGCCGGCGGCGCCCGATGTGTATCATGGTGGCTGGGGCGGTCAGCAGCCGCCTCCGTCGAACGTTTTCGCGGCGACGGAGCCGGTTTTTGAGTCGCCCGCACCGAAGGCCGCCGCGCCGCGGAACACGGCGTCGCCCGACTTGTTCGGCGACTCCGTCGCGCCGTCGACCGTGTCGAGTGGCGAGAAGAAGAAGGCCGCGAAGAACTTTGATTTCGGCCTGCACTCGGAACTTGTGTCGTTAGATCTGAACGCGAACGGTGCCCCACCAAAAGCCAAGAGCGCCATCAAACAAAAACCTGCCGTCGCCATGAACAAGATGGCGACGACGGAACGGCGGTCGTCGATGCTGAGCACGCAGCCCATGGGCGCGCCCCCGGCGATGGGCATGGGCGCGCCCCAGGCGATGGGCATGCCGCAGCCGATGGGCATCCAGGCCCACCCCGCGTTCGCGCGCTACACAGCCGAACAACAACAGTGGTTGCTGGCTCAAACCCCACAAGTCCAGGCACAGTACCTCCAGTAAATTACTTATTTCTTATCGCTCGCCTCGAGGTTTTCTAAAGCTCTTTGTGCTTGCGCGGCCGCCCTGGTACCTCTCGACGCCGCGATGTCTCGGAGTAGTGGAATGGCCCCTAAATCTCTCAACCGCGCCTTGTTGTCCGTATTCACCGAAAGATTCCTCAAAGCGCGAGCGCATTGCGATCGCAGATCGACAGAGGGTGCTTTAGCACCATCTAGAATAACTTCCAGCCCACCGACGCGCGCGATCTCTTGTTCATTTTTATCATTGACCGCCAGATTCGCCAACGCCGCCACGGCCTCGACGCGCACGCCAACATGGGGCGACCGCGCCAGCTCCACCAACGGGATGATGCCCTTTTCTTCTGCGACCCTTTCCTTATTCCGCACGTTGACGCTAATGTTCGCTAGAGCTTTCGCAGCTTGTCTTTGTACGTGGATTTCGCCCTGGCACGCGAGTAATGCTATTAACACAGGTATAGCACCATCCTCGGCGAGCTTTATCTGGTTCTGCGCATCCACTGACAGATTAGCTAAAGCGTGCGCGGCGAGCCGTCGGACCTCCGCATCTCTTGAACGCGTGAGTGGCACCAACAACCTCAGACCGCCCAAGTTCACTATTTGTACTTGCCTTTCTGCTTTCACGGCGGCATTCGCGAGCTTCTCAGCAACTTCTCTCTGGAGAGTCGGGTCCGCGCTCTCGGCATACGCGATCAATCGTGTTAAATGTAACTCGAGCTGCCTTATATATTCACCATCATCTTCATCATCCGACGCGTCCTTCTCCTCGTAGCGGCGGCGGCGGCTGCTGCGGGAGTTGCCCATTGTTCAAATCGCTCAGTGGGTGTTGTTGCCGGCCGGAGGGCTGCGTTTTTTTGCTGCCCCGCGCGTCGGCCTTGCGAATGAGCTGGACTGCCTTCCTACTTGGGCGTCTGCAGGCTCGATTGGCTTCGAAACGAGCCGCTGATGTGTAAAGCTAGTATGTGAGTGAGCGCTAGCTCGCGGTCGCGCGCAATTTTGTATTTGCGCGGCTTTCAGCTGGTACTGCTGCTATTTGACATCGCGGTGAGACGGCTTAGGAGTCGTGCTTGCCAGCGGCAACCAGAGAGCGCCAGATTTTAAATACGGCGCTGCGCACATATCCCACGCTGCTGCTCGTGCTGCTCGGCGCCCTCGACAAGGCCGCCGCAAAGCTCGGGCTGCGCAGAGTACCGGAGCAAACGCTCTGCGGCCTCGCCGTTGCGAGCGGTACCACCGGAGCGCTAACAGGTGCGCTCGCGCTCGTCCTGCTGCAGCACAAGACGCGCAAGCAGAGCTTCCAGCTCAAGTATCTCATCGCGACCGGGCTGGCCCTCGCTATCGATAACCTATTATGACGAGCGTGCCGGACAAGTGCCACATCGGCACGCGGCGCGTCGAAACCCCGGCGGCGGCCCTCTTCGACGTCGACGGCACGCTCGTGGACAGCATGGGCCGCTTCTTCCCGTCGTGGAACGAGGCCGGCGCCAACTACGGGCTCTCGATGACGGAGGCGGAGTTCTACGGCTACGCGGGCATGCCTCTGCCGGACATCGTCGAGGACTTGTACCGCCGGTGCAAAGGTACTGAACCGCCGGACGGCTTCGTCGCGGAATTCCTCGCTTCCAAAAAAGCGAAGCACGCGGCGCGGGAGGCGATCGACGGCCCGCCGCCGGTGATCGCCTGCGTGGCGGCGATCGCGCGGGCCTGGGCGGCCCGGGGCGTGCCCGTCGTCTGCGCGACGTCGGGCCTGCGGGACCACGTCGAGCCCCACCTCGCGGCGGCGGGATTGAGTGATCTGTTCCCGTCGGACAAAATTGTTTGTGCGGCCGATCTACCGAAGGGACGCGGCAAGCCACTGCCGGACATCTTTTTGAGGGCGGCCGCGGTCGCGGGCGTCGACGCTTCTCATTGCGTCGCTTACGAGGACGCCGAGGCGGGCCTCAAAAGCGCGTGGGCCGCCGGGTGCGCCGTGGTAGACGTGACCGGGCTCCCGGACTATCCGCTGCCGGAGGGCCTCCGCGCGGCCAAGGCGGCGCAAGTCCAACGGCGCGACTGGCTGCCTCCATCGAGAATATTGGTCACCGGCGGCACGCGCGGCATCGGCAGGGCTGTGGTAGAGGCGCTCGCGCGGCGCGAGGGCGTCGTCGTGTACCTGGGGTGCCGCGACCTTGCCGCCGGACAAGCGGTGGCGCCGCACGACGGTGTCGTGCCCGTTCTCTTGGACGTCACGGACCCCGCGTCGATCAAGACGGCCGTCGAGACCGTGCGGGCCGCGGGTGGCCTCGACGCCCTCGTGAACAACGCTGGTGTGATGGATGAAAGTGATATGGAGAGGACGCTCGAGGTGAACCTCGACGGCGTCGCCGCGGTGACCACCGCCTTCGCGCCGCTCCTACGCACCGGTGGCCGCGTGATCAACGTGTCGTCGGGCGCCGGGCTCCGCGCGGCGGCGGCGTTGGCGCCGGCCGATCGCGAAGCTCTCGAGGCTGATTCCGTCGCCGCGATTCGCGCCACAGCACAACGGCTCGCCACAACGGCCGACATCCCGGTCTACGGCATCTCCAAGGCCGCGGTCAACGCGTACACTAAATTAGCGGCGCGCACGTACCCGGCGCTGCGCGTGAACGCGTGCTCGCCGGGCTTCTGTCGCACCGAGATCGCCGGCCCGAACGCGGACTACTCCGAGCGCGAGCCCAAGGCCCCGGCGCTCGGCGCGGACGTGATCACGAAGCTGCTCTTCGACGACGCGCTCTCCCAGAACACGGGCAAGTTCTTCAAGGAGTGCTCGAAGCCCGGGACGGCTGTTGAAGATGCGGTCTCCCGCGAGGAGCCCTGGTAAGATACTTCTGGGTCCTCGTCCACGTCATCGCCGCTATCCCAGACGACCGTGAGGAACCTTGTAATAATATACTTATGGGTCCTCGTCCTCGTCCTCGTCCTCCTCGCCGTCGTCGAAGCGCTGGATCCGCCGCAGCAATTTCGTGGCGAGTTTTTCGTCGCCGCTCCTCACCGCGTCGTCGAGCTGGCGCTTCATGTTCTCGCGCCGCTGTTGTAGTTTTTCTGCCGCTAACTCCTCGGGCGTGAGGAGGTCGTAGCCCTCCTGCTGCTCGCCCGAGCCCAAAACCCCGGCCAGGAACGGATTGGACGTCGCGTCGAAGTCGCTCCAGCCCTCCTCGCGATTGCCAATGGGCGTTAACCCCCCATTTTCCTCCGTGGCCTGGTCGAGCCACATTTTTATTATTGAGCCTTGCATCATTCGGAAGTCGTCTTCATCGCCACCGGCACGCGCGGCGGTGAAGTCCTCGTACCGCAGCCCCTTGCACACGTTGCGGCCATGTTTCCTACATAGCGCCGCGACGGCCAACGCCGCATCATCAAAACCTCCAACATAAACGCACTGCGACTTGTCGTCGTACAACGCCGCGGCCACGGTCATGGGTCGCGTCTGCGTCCTTGACGTCTCCTTCGCCCAGATCAACGCGTCTTCTTTAAACGTGGCCTCCTCGAGGAAGAGCCGGCGGATGGTCCGTCGTCGCGTGCGTGTGCTGTGCTGCTTGCAGGTGAACGCGGCTGCTGCGGTGTATAGGAGCGCGAGGCGCTGCATCGTCGATTGATGCGGCTGTCTATAGTTTTATCTGCGGCGCCAGGTCCGTGCAATTAGTGGCAGCGCTCTCAATAGGCACGCCTCAAAAAGCCCTCCATCTCCAGCATGCATCACTGCTATTCCAGCTCCACTGCGCGGCGAACGGGTAACGAAGCTTGCCTCCTTTTGATCGCTGCGGCACGCATACTTCGCGCGCAGACAGAAACCGCCGACTGGCAGAGCGTCGCGCGTGGCGCCGGAGAGCGTCTGCCCCTCACGCCGCCGGCGCGTCGTGATGGTGCGCCGCGCCCTCCTCCTCCTCACACTAGCGCGCGCGCGCGTCCTGGAGTTGGACGCGGAGGAGCTCGAGCCGTTGCGACGGACGAGCCAGCTGCCGGCGGCGGGCGCCTCCGACCTCATCGAGGTCTTCACGTTACGGACGAAGATAGATGTACCATCTTTATTCGAGGAGGCCGTCAGGTTGGAGCACTACGCGTTAGCCTTCCGCAACCAGGGCGTCAGCTGGAAGGAGGCCTCGGAGGGCGAAGGCGTCGTGGCCGTGCACTATTTACCAATGAACGCCTCAGCTCTACTGGGCTTTCCGGATAGAAACGGTACATTCCCAGACGCTTCCGCGGACGTTTATGTGGACGCAAAAAAATTCGACCCCGAGTACTGGCGCGACGCGGACTACGTCGGGACGATCGGCGGTGCCGCGTTCGCGGGTTTGGCGCGGGAGCTCCCGTCCTATGCCACTTTGAATCCATTGTATAAAGCGGTGGATCCCGGCGCGGTGGATGGTGGCGCTTTCGTCTTGTGGTGCTTGGAGACGCTGGCGGCGCATGGTGCTACACTGACACCACTAGCTAGGTTGGAGCGGCGCGTGCCTACCTTGTATGTGAAAAATGAGGAGGCTCCAGGTGACGCGCGCGCCTTCGCTCGTGATTTATCTCGCTGTGTCGCGGACCAACAACCGGAGAGCTACGACCTGTCGTCATTAGCGGCGACGTACGTTGACAACAGCGCGCCTTTACCTAGATGTCTGCGGAACAAAGCCGTCCCGCTCGCCGGTGGGTCGTGGGTCGCCCTCGAGGCGCCCTACTACGCTTACGTCGAGTCGTACCCGCGCGCGCCGGCGCCCGGCACGGGCGCGAACACGGAAAAGGGCTTCTCCGTCTCAGACCTGGCGCTTGTGATAGCTCTGATCGGCGTCGTCTTGGTCGGCCTCGGGCGCATCTTTGTGGTGAAGGGCTGCTGCGTCTGCGAGGAGGCGCGGCCCATGTTCGCGTCGTCGACGCGGCGGCGCGCGTCGCGGTCCGGCGACGAGTACGGCGAGCTGATGACGGCCGAGACGGAGCTGCCCGTTCGTCGGTCCGTGTCGCCGCGGCCGGATGACGAGGACGCGAAGGAGGCCTCTGCGGTGGTGTAAGATGTGTTATTTGTGTATCGTAGTGAACCGGGCTGCACCCACGCAGCGGAACACAGCAATTGTTTTGCCGTTTTCATTTCTCGGGCGTACGGGCCTCGCGAGCCTACCGCGCGGCTTGGGGAGGGGTAGAAAGAAAGCAGAGGCCCCCGCACACACAAAACAGCCAAAAAAAAACAAAAAAAAAGTACGCCATCCGGGACTCGAATCCGGAGAATCTGCTTGGAAGGCAGAAGTGTTACCCTTACACCAATGGCGTCTTTTTTTCGCGCGCGCACACCGATGGGTGCGCAGCGACGAGAGCTGGTTAGACTGAAACCGTGGGATAAATAGGAACGCAAAAGAAAACCCGTGGTGTGTACGGTCGTGTGCCGGCGCGCGTTCACGCGAGCTACAAGCATTTTTTAATCGTGCATTACCTTAACGTCAACGGGAACGTCCGTCTCCTCGCTGCGGATTACAAGTTACGAGGAGGTGTGCGTCCTATAAGTCAAATACTGAACAACTGCTCGGCAGTTTCAAGAGCAGCATGCGACGAGCAATAATACTCTTCGCAACAACCGCCGCAGCGCTAGCACCGCCACGAATAACACCGCCGCGCTGCCTGCGTGAAACAACACGACGACATGCACTGCCGACGGTCTCGACCGAGGCGCAGCTCCAGATGTGCTGGCGTTTGGTAGTAGCCGCCGCGTCTGGAAGCGCACTAGGTTTTGAAAGAATAGGCCGCGGCCGCGCCACCAAACGGGATTCACCGGTGGGCGTGCGGACGATGGCGCTCGTGAGCATGGGCTCGGCGTGCTTCACGTGCGCGGGCCTCCTCATAAAGAACGGCGACGCCGCGCGTGTCGCCGCGGCGGCGGCGACGGGCGTCGGATTCCTCGGCGCGGGCGTCATCACGACGTCTAACGGTATCGTGAGCGGGCTCACGACGGCCGCGTCGATCTGGATGGCGGCGGCGCTGGGCGTCGCGGCCGGCGCGGGCCTCTCGCTCTTCGTGGCCATGGCGACGGGCTCCGCGATGGTCGTCCTGCGCATGCCGCGGCGGGCCGTCGGCCGGCGCGCGGCGCGCGACTTCGAGCGCGACTCGATCCCGCCGAAGGACGTCGAGCCGGACCCGTAGCTCGTGGTCCGCGAGGGTTCCTAGGTTAATTATACGTTTAGCACTATTCCAGGTTCGGATTTTGGGGCCAAGACAGAGCAACAACGTCGCGTCGATGGCGTAAGGGGGACAGAGCCAATGCGGAGGTGCTAGTGTGTCAATGGAGCTAGATAACTTCCAGCGCTGCTCGACAAGGCTGCTAACGAAGACATTCGTGTCGGGGCAGCATGGCCGAAGAGGAAGAGCCCTCGACGGGCACACCACTCTGGGGCGCGGGCAGCAGCGCCGACGCAGAGGGCCAGCAAACAAATGAAGAAGCGCCCGGCGCCGCCATGCGCCGCGTGAAGAAACGCGTCGAGGACGACGCGAGGAGACGCATCACGGGCGAGCCCAAGTTAGTTGTCCCTTGGGACAATCCCGCGAACTTCCCGCCCGAACCGGAACCGAGGGGCGTCGGCGAGGCGATACCCATGTTGAGAATCAGAAATGACCGGCCCGCGAATATAGGAGAGGGCGAGTTCTGGCCCGACGAGTTGTTGGATCCGTTGGAAGGTATTGACTTCGAGTACGGCCCCGAAGATACGGAAGAGAAGGTCGTGAGAAAAAAACCGATTATTGAATATGTGAGGGACTTTGCGTTGTTTGGGGAATTGCCCAAGCTCATGAAGTGGGTCGAGGAGGGGAATGATGTGAACAGGCCCACGGAGCACGGTACGACGCTATTCCATGAGTGTGTTGTGCATCAACAATTGCATTGTGCTTCCTACTTGATACAACAAGGCGCGGATGTGAACCTCGGGAATTTACACGATGGCATCACGCCGTTACACGATGCGGCGCGCGAGGGAGATAGAGACGTCGTGGCCTTCGTCCTGCAAAAAGGCGCCCAAGTCGACAGTAGGTCAGAAAAGGGCACCACTCCACTAATGCGGGCGGCCGTCGGCGGGTCCGTGCCCGCGATTCGATGTTTGATAGCCTTCGGCGCCGACGTCACGCTCAAAGACAAGGCGGGCGCGACGGCCGAACGATTCGCGGTCAAGTACGGGAATAATGAGGCAAGGGACGTGCTCAAAGAAAGGGCGCGCGTCCTGGAGTTGGTGGCCTGGCACCGGGCGGCGGTGCGCGAGGCGGCGTTCTGGGTCCAGGAGGCCGCGGCGGCGGACGCGGCGGTTTTGCTCCAGCGTCCTTATTTCGTCGTGCGCGTCGATGGCGTCGAGGGGATCGATCACAATCCACCGCGCAGGCGCAGCACGCGATGGAGGCCGAGGCCGAGCGCGCGCGCGTCGAAGCGTGCGGGACCGGTGCGCGAATCAAACGCGTCGAGGGCGGCGGTGCACCCCATACGCCGTCGACGCGAGGTCGCTCGCGCAGGTACCGCCTCGAGCAGAAGGCCAAGGCAGAGGAGCGCGAGGAAAAGCGCAAGCAGAAGGCCGCGAAGGACCGGCAGCGCAAGCAGGAGGCGGAGGAAAGAAGGCGCAAGCTCAAAGCACTCTCCTAACAATGTCTATGTGTTAGTACTACTCGAGTCCGAGTCCTCCTCCCCCTCGGAAACGGGCAGGGGCGGCGCGCCCGCGACGGCGCCCACGCGGCACTTGCCCAGGAGCGCGTGGCCGTTGACCCAGCGGTGGGCCTTTTTGAAGGCCTGCGTGCAGTCGCCTCCAAATGAGCCCTCGAGCACTTGCACACCGCCGGGGTGGTAGTCGAGGTACGGCGTAATATCGTAGACCTGGCCCTCGTAGACGGTCCAGGCATCATTTGAGGTTGCGTGGCGCCGCAGCTCGTCGAGCGACACCGTCCCCGTCATTTTACAATCGATGCGCTTGCGGTTCCAGTCCATCAGACTAAATCCCGGCCGGACGCCCTTCTTCGTCATGGCTTCTTCTTGTTCTCGTTGATGATTTTCTGGTTGTAGGCGAGCGTATCGTCGACGGCGTCCGGGCCAGACGTGAAGTACTGCCACGCTCCCACAACGGCAGCCGCGGCGGCCCAGCCCAGCAGGTTACCCTTAGTCGGGACGAAGAGCTGCTTGAGCATGTGTGCGGCTGCGCGCGCTGTCGAGTTGGTGGTGCTGTGTGGCGCCGCTAGTCACAGCGCGTCGATGGCGTCTTCGCAGGCGTGCTCGCGCTGCTGCGAGATGCGTTTCGAGGCGTGCGCAGTCGCCACAACGGTCAGCGGTCTCGCGTTCGTCGCGCGAGAGACGGTAGCAGCTAGTGTACTATAAAGACACTAGCAAGCACTGCACGGAGCCGCGGCGCGGCATGCACGCGCGCTGAGCAACGCTGCGAAGCTGGACGCCTGCATATAGCTCCTACACGCAGCGCGCAGCTGCTCAGCCAAGCGAGCCAGCGCCGCCCGCGGGCGGCCCACAAACAAGCACCATGCCAAGCGCAGCGAAGCGATCACGCGAAGCGCAGGACGACAAGCCCGCTCCCAAGCGCCAGCGCGGCGCGGCGACGTCGAAGGCGTCGACAAGACGCGCTTTACGCGCCGCGTTATCTCGCTATGCGAGAGTAGGTCAGACGGCGTTAGCCGCCGTGCAACGAGCTGAGGTATTATCAAGACGAATAGAAGCGCAGACGCGAGAAGTCGAGGTCGCGCTGGCGGGCATGATGCCCATGGGCGCCGGCGGGCCCACGGCTTCTGCCCTAGGGCCGGACGTCACGGCGGCCCTCACGAAAGCAAAAAGACGACTCGCCTCGTCCCAACGGCCGGCGCCGGCCGATTTAGCTTTAAGGCTAGATGAGAAGGGCCAGCACGTCGACGCTTCTGGGAGAGTCGTGGATGATGAACGAAGGGTCGCTTCTCTGTTAGTCCACGAGCGACAAGAGGACCAAAACAAACCCAAAAAAGTAAACCCCTACACGAAATACGTGCCGGACCATGATGGATGTGATGTCAATGACGATAGGGTTGTGACGAAGAAACGCGCGTCGAAGAAGGACCGCGCGTTTGCGTTCGTCCAGGAGGGCCACTATGTTAAGTTAGGTGAGGCTACAAGGGCCCGAGAGCAGCAGAAGCATTTGATGAATGTGCAGAAGCCCGAGGAGCTCGACGAGCAGCCGGAAGACATCTCTGATTTGGATGACGAGGAGGAGGACCGACTCCCGCCGCGGTCGGAGCACTACGCTTCGGTGCCGGGTACCGAGTGGTGGGACGAGGCGTTTTTATCTCCTGAGAGGCAAGCGAAGCGGAACACGTCCGTTGCCGAAAGGATGAAGGACGACTACTCGAAGTGTCGGCTCGACCACAACCGGTTCCATGGTCTTATTCATCACCCGTCGCAAGTGCGGGCTCTTGGTGGCGAGAAGAAGCAGCCGGCGAACATGCCCTTCTACTTGACAGCGAGAGATCGGAAACGAGTGAGACGACAACAGCGCGCGGAGCGAGAGCGCGAGAGACAGGACAAGATCCAACTCGGGTTGATCCCGCCCCCGGAGCCCAAATTTAAACTCTCGAACTTCATGAAGGTGCTTGGGGAGCAAGCTGTCGCCGATCCGTCGAAATTGGAGAGAAGGGTCATGGAGCAGGTGCGCGGTCGACTCACAAAACACGAGATGCGGAATCAGGCTCGGAAGCTCACGCCCCAGGAGAAGAAGGAGAAGATGCGGCGGAAGATGGCCGAGGACACGTCTTCTGGGGTTGTGGTCGCTGTGTTCTATGTCGCTAGTCTACAAAGCAGCCAACATCGGTTCAAGATTGACGTGAACGCGCAACAGCTAGGCTTGACGGGCGGCGTGTTGATATGTTCGGCACCGGATCTGCCCTGTGCTCTCGTGGTCGTAGAAGGCGGTCCTCGCGCGGTCAAGAGATTTTCAGCATTGATGAATCGGAGAATAGATTGGGCCGACACTTCAGAACTCCAGGGCGAAAACTACGCGCGGAACTGGGCCAAGGAGGTCTGGAAGGGGACCACTGTCAGACGGAACTTTGCTGCTTTCAAATTCCAGGAGTGCAAGTCGTCGCTGACGGCTAGACGGGTGCTCGATGCGAAGGGCGTCGCGCACTACTGGGACATGGTCGCGTCGGCGCACAAGCAGGGGCCGCCTCCTATTGAAGAGGACGAGTCCGACGAGGACTGAGGCCGCGCGGCGTAAAACTTTTAACTCCAGGACTTCGACGGGCTCGCTCGCGGCCTCTCGTCGACTACGGCCGGCCCGCGACTTCACACAGCCTCTCCCACGCCGCCGCCGACGACGCGACCGGTTGATCGATTCACTATGGTTAAGTCAGACGATAAGGGGGGTGGGGGGCGCAGGGGTGCGTCCGGTGTTGATGCCATATACTTGTGCCGAGCGCAGTTCGCGTGCGCTCCCATCTAAATTTGGCCAGCGGGGGCATAAGTCGTGGTAAGGACGTGGTTGATACCTGGAGGGGGGGGGAGCGGCCTCACGGCCGCCAGTCGATGGAGCCGCCGCCGCCGCGGCTCTGCGACGAGTCGCCGGTCGCCGAGTCCTCGGAGTTGAAGAGCGGGTAGTTCCGCGGCGTCACGCGCGGCACGCCCGGCGCCATGCCCGGCGGCGGCGCGGACCCGGGCCACTCGGCGGCGCGCGGCGTCGGCGCGCCGAGCGGCGGTATCGATGATTTCCTCCGATTTCGAGCTAGATCGCTGTGTAACTTCCGCCTAGTCGCGCGCGCCGCGTGTGATTCAAGTCAACTCTGAATTTTGGATTGGGCTACGGTAAAAAATGCGACGCACCGATACGCCCCGCAAGCGACAACTTAATGGCCTCGAATCGGCAAGGTCATTAAAGCCGGCCAAGTCGCCGTACGCGATCGAAAGCTACGAAGCAAGCGCCCGCACGGATCTTACGACGCGTCTCGCGCACGCAAAACCACAAAACCCGCATTCCGACAATTTCGATGATTGGCTTCGAGACGCGCCCCGCCGCGCCTGCCATTGATTCGAGGCGGCGCTGCCGTTGCGGCAGCCCGATCGTCGCGCGACGCGCGCGCTGAGCCACCAGCAATCGCGCCACCGCTGCCCGCACGCTGCCCATGGCATCGGACGACTCCTACCTGCGCAGCCTGAGCTCGCTGAGCTGCGGCCTGCTGGACGGATTGTGCCAGGCCGAGGACGAGGAGGAGTTTTCGGCGGAGGAGCAGCTGCCCGAGCCGGAAGAGGAGGCACCCGAGAGCGAGGAGGAAGAGGACTTCGCTCCGCGCGTCGTGAAACCCGTCTCGACGCCGACGCCCAAGAAGCGCGTCGCCGTTTCCAGAGATGCCATCGAGACCTTCAAAGAACATTTGAGGAAGGGGTTAGCTGTGACCAAACATTGCAGCAACGGCAAGACGAAACCGCGCGTCCTCTTCTGCGACGACGCGTGTTCCAAACTCGGCTGGCAGAAGCCGAACGGCACGCCGGCCAAGAACACTGATCTACTACCCTTGCGGTCCGTCGTCGAAATTCGAGCTGGGGTGGAAATCGACAAGCAGGGCAGTCGCGAGGACCCCAAGGGCCGGACCCTCATGGGCACGCCGACGCTACGGAAATGCATCGACGGGACGTCGGCGCGGCGCGTCTTCTCCTTCATCTTCCGGGACCGGACTTTAGATCTGGAGTTCAGCACGGAGGAGGAGTGCCGGCGCAATTTGAGACTGTTCAAGGTGCTCGTGGCGGAGGCGTCGAAGTAGTCCTCGTGAGGCGTGGGTAGTAATTCTTGCGTTAGGCCTGGCTCGTCGGCGGCGTCGTCGCGAGCATGATCTCTCGCGCGGACTAAAAATGTTAAGTCGATGTTACGGTGCTAGGACTAGTTGAGTCGATGTTACGGTGCTAGGACTAGTGGGCGGAGCCCCTGGGGGGGAGACACCGCGCGTCGCCGATAGGACTAGTCCAGAGTGGCGCGCGAAACTGCTAGTGTCTTACAAGACGCTAGCCTTCATCTCCGCCGTGAAAAAGGACAAACGGCACGTAGACGGCAAAGATCACGGTTCAGAATTGCATGTGCAGCAGTTCTGAGCGTGCGCCACTGCTGCGCGAATCCTGTGGCCGCAGGAAGGCGGCGCGGAGCAGCACTGAGTAGGCACAGCAGACCCCTGCCGATGGCGGCACATGAGCAACGGCTGACGGTCTATCGACCGGTGCTTTGGCGGGGGATAAAGAGACAAGAATGGTTTGGCGATAATACGGTTTGGTTTCCTGGTGCCGACGACCACCATATTTTCGGCTGCTTCTTCAGGACCGAGGGTTTCTACGGGATCGACATCTTGAGGATAGATCCGACGGGACCTGGTTTACATTGGGCTCGGCGCGGCGCCACACCAACCGTATCTTTCCCCTACGACGGGGCGCACGGCGACGGTGCGTCTTGCATGATTAACATCGAGCGATTCGCACCGAACCGTGCGTACTTTAATCTCGAGCTCGAGGCGCTAGACGGCAGCGAAGAGCGCATCACCGAGATCAAGTTCGACGGGAATCGGCTACGGTGCTACGGAGGTTGGGCCGTAGAGGATTCCACCACGGTCGCGCCGACCGTTCGCGAGCGCACGTGGCTCAAGCTCGACGCGGTCCTCGAGGATGGGCCGCCGCCACGACTACTGCTGCGCGTCGACGGCCAGCTCCTTTACGCGATGCCGACCTGGCACAAAAAAGGCGACGAGGCCAAGAACTGCCAGTGGGTGAGCGAGCTCCTGCCGACGCGCTGCGACGTCCACGGCGACGACGAAACGGCGCAGGAGGCGTGCAGAAAAACGTGCGACACTTGCGAGTCGGAGCTGCCGCCGCCCCGGCGCTCGACCTTCGCGCCGACCGTCACGCCGTCGGAGGAGGAGGAGTGCCGGACCGATATCTGCCTAGAGCGGCATGTTGTCCCACTGCTCGAAGGGCGTGCCGCCCGCGACGTAGCCCCGGTAGGGCGCGACGGCGTGCTCGCCGGAAACGAGGGGCGTGCAGCCCGCGATGAAGCCGAGGAACGCGGCCATGGCGACGCGGCCGTGCTTGATCTCCGCGTGCCGGAACCAGCCGATGTTCGCCTCGACGGTGTCGACGCCGTACTGGGCGAGGATCGTGGAGCCCGCGAGGTCGAGCGGGTCCCAGTAGCCGGGCGGGCCGGGCATCGAGTTCTGGAGCGCCTCGAGGTCCGCCTTGGTTCGCGGGTGCTCGTGCCGGGGCTCGTCGGGCTTCGCGAACATTTCGTGCCTGGCGCGGCAGGCGAACATTCAATTCGGCCAGCACCTCGCGGCGAACCAGAGAAGTAAATACGATGTGCCCCTTTTAGGCACGGGGGGGGATGTGCGTCGTAGCGCCTTGTGCGGCTACGAACGAGGGGCTGCCGCCTAGCCCTTCGAGAGGAGGAGGAGCGTCGCGGCGTCGACGTGGAAGGGGCCGCCCTTCGTCGGGTCGCGGTACGCCAGGAACTCGAGCGGCACGCAGTATTTGTTGCCGCGGCGCATCAGCTCGGCGTAGATCGGGAAGCCCTCGCGGCTGAGGAAGTTGTGGAGGGTCGCCCAGTGCTGCGACGGCCCGCGCGCGCGGTGCGCCCTGGAGAGCCAGAGCGCCACCGTGCCCGGCTCAGAAGCGCCGGCGGTGTTCCGGCGGTACGAGGCCACCGCGCCGAAGGCGTCGAGGCGGCGGTCGTCGGGCGAGGTCCGCAACAACCGGTCCCGGAGGCGGTCGCTCTCCGTGGCGAACGCGCCCCAGGTGCCGACGGTCGCGTCGAGCGCGAAGCGGCACTTGAAGAAGCCGCCGTCGAGAGGCTCGCCGTCGTCCTGCGTCGCCGGCGTCTCGCGCAGCAGCGAGAGGCCGATGGCGCCCATCGCCTCGACCGGGTCGAAGTCGAGCCCGCGGGCGTGGTCCCGCCCCGGCGGCCGCGGCGTCGCCGTCAGCGCCCACCGGCCCTGGCGGCCGGCATGGGCCCAGCCCTCGGTGCAGTCCGCGGCCGCCCTAGTCATGGCGATGGCCTCGCCGACCACCAGGCGCCGCAGCGTCGCGACGGCCTCGCCGGGCTTGCCGCGCCAGGCCCGCGCCGCCGCGACGCAGAGCGCGCTGCCCGCCGAGCCGAACGCGTACCGTTTCGGCCACGGCCCGGCCTTGAGGATGACCCACTTGTCCTTGTACTTGACCCACACCTCCTCATCGTCCCGGCGGAACTCGTGGTCCTTGAGGAAGAGCTCGAGGTTGTCCGCGTCGACCTTGATCTCCCGCAGGCCCCCCTCGTCGAAGATCTCCTCCTCGACTAATTCGTTGTGCGCCTCCTCGGTCTCGCGCGCGCCGGCCGCCGCCGCCGCCCGGCGCGACAGTATCTGTGTGGGGCGTACAGATGCAAGATGCGCCGTCCTCGCCTGGTCGACGCGCGCCGCCTCGGCCTCGGCCGTCGCCGCCGCGAAGTTGCGCAACTGCGACTCGTTGAACTCGCCCATGCTTTTGAGCGCGTCCTCCCAGGACTGGGGCGGCGGCAGGTCGACGACCTTCCACCCACCGCGCTGGACAACAGCCAAAGCGTCCGCATCCGAGCCCACGTTCGCGTTGTTAAAGCGAAACCCGGCGCCGCTGAGCAACGACACGTAGGCCTGTGCTTTGCTGATGGAGGCGCCCTCGTCCACGTCGCGCGCCTCCCACTTGGCGCAGACCGCCGACGTGGCCGTGTTGTTGCAGAGCTGGGAGACGTAAGGTGCAGTGAGGCCGGGGAACGCCGCTGCTGCATCCTTGCGCGTCTTGAAGGGCCGCCACTTATCGTCGCCCTCGCCGGCGAGTCGTACCTCGCACGCCTTTAGTCCACCGCTGCCGGGCAGGACGACCTTCTCGCCCGTGCGCGCCTTCTCGGCCAGCTCGACGGCGGCGCGGAACTGGGCGAGCTCGCTGGAAGCTTCCGCGGTCGCGGCGCACGGCTGGCCCTCGTTCAGGTCCTGCTCCGCGAGCGGCGCGGGCTTGGCCGGCGCCGGCGTCGGCTCCGAGCGCTTGGCCGGCGGCGGCGGGCTCGGCGAGGGCGAGCGGCGGCGCGTGGGCGCGCGCCGCTTCGGCTTCTCCTGCTCGGGCGCCTCGGCTCGCTCGCGGTGGTCGCGGACCTCGTCGAAGAGGAACCCCGACCCGGGGGCATAATCCCAACCCATCTTGACCCGCACGTCTTCTAGCAGGGCCTCGTCCCGACACTTCTTCTGGTCGTTGCCCGGCAGGTCCGCGTACTTGCCCTGGAGGAGGTCGACCGCGGCCTCGACCATCTTTTTCCGGCCTTCCGCGTCCGTCTCGGACTTCTTCGTGGTCTTCTTGCCCATGATGCGGTGGCCGTGGCGCGGCGACGGACGCAGGCAGGGCGGCGACGGCTTTCTGGCCTGTGAGGCAGACGCCGTCCGAGACCGCGCCCCGTCCGCGGCGCGAGCCCACGTCACCACGCGCGGCGCGCCTCAGAGCCGCGGGCCGCCACCGCCGCCTCGGCGGTCGCGCTGAAGCATCGCTCTCGCTGGCGCGGCGCCGGCGTCCTGAGGACGGCTGGTGCTTGCTCAGCTGAGTGAGATGCGGCGCCGCGCCGAGAGAGCGCGCGCGGCGCAGCGCGACAGCGCGCGCGCGCGGTCGTTAGATCGATCAGAAGGAGATCCGGTCGATTTCAACGAGTGGTCTCGTGTGGGCGGCCCCGAGCGATCGGAGATGCTCTCTGTCGAATTAAAAAATGGCAGTTGATAGTGTGAAAGACACTCTAGGATTACGGCGCTGGATGCTCACGCTTGCGTGGGTTCTGGCGCTGGTTTTTGAGCCAAATTTGGTGCGCCTGGCGCTACTTACGAGGCACGGGAAGATGTGGACTTGATCCGCGCGATTTTAGGTTCGAAGACTCTCTAGGGTTGGGAAGGCAGCCCTTACCCCAAAACCACAAGCTGCCCCGCCGTCAGCGGGGGATAGCGATGGCCGCCCGACGACGGACTCCCGCGTCGCCGTGGCGGGCGCGCTGGACGTCGTCGGGCGCCGACTAGCATGGTGCACTCGATCGCGGCCGCGAGCCGACGGCGCGGACCAGAGCCAGAAGGACCGCTCGCCGCCTCACCCGGGAACGGAGGAAAGACGCGGACGCCCGTGTCGCCGTGGCGGGCGCGCTGGACGTCGTCGGGCGCCGATTAGCATCATGCACTCGAAGGCCGCCGCGAGCCGACGCACGGAACAGAAGGACCGCCCGCCGCCAGCCGGGAACGCCATCGGCACGTAGGCCACCCAGGGCGTCGCGAAGGAGCGGAACGCGCCCAACGGTGGGCCCAGCAGTAAATACTGACTACGCCACGGCGTCGACGACAGAGCCCCGTTCACTGTCCTCGCTCCCGCGGTCAGGCGGCCGTGCAGGGCCTCTTCAGGCTGTAATGCCCAGTTGTCGAACACCCACGACGCCGCGGCCGACGTCCGCCACACGCTCACCAACGCCTCCGATGCGTCGGCAATGACATGATTCTAGTTGCCCGAGTCGATGGCGATGCTCGACGGGAGTAGTAAGTCCGGTTTTCTTAATAATATTCTGTCGCCCGGTCCGCCGGCACGGCCTTCTTCTCCATGGGCTCCGCGCCCGGGATGAACGCGCCGCCCAGCTCGTAGGACTCGCGTGCGTCTTCGACGCCTTCGCCCTAACATCCAAGCCTCTCTACTCTGTTATGATGCTGCTGGGGAACGCTCAATACGAGCATACTAGACCCACAGGGCCCCGTCCCGCGTAGACCCGTTTTGCCCGAAAAACGACCAGATTACCCTCCAGCGCGAGGTCCCCCGGCGACGGGGTCGCCTGGAAGCTAGGCTCGAAACTTCCTTTCTTAATCCTCCGCCGGGCCCTTGTGGCGCGGCGGGACTTCGCCGACTCATCACCGGCAGCAAAGAACCCCACTACGACGTGGCGTTCTCCGAGGCCTCTCCCGGGACCCGGAAGCGATAACCTGTGCGGGAATCAAAACGGAGTTGCGCACAGGCCCACCGCGGTCTGCGCGTTGCATTTTGGCACTGGTCCTACCTCCTGGGGCGAGGCCGTCGTCGACCCGGCGCCAGTCCGTGCGCGCGGGCGGCCAGTCGTCGCCGGGCGGCGTGTCCGCCTCCGGCCATACCTCGCGGCAATACTCGCGCGCGGCACCGGCTTGATTGCGCGCGGCGGCGAGCGGACCACCTGGGGCGAGGAACGCAGAGAGACGGGAGTCATCGCTATAATAATCATAATTCCCGCGCATGCGGCTGATACACACGCGCGCTTTGAGAGCTAACGCGACAGATCCAGTTTCGTGAGCCGCCAGCACAAGACGCAAACACAAGTCCCGGGTGAAGTCGGGCAGTCGTAAGAAGCACGCGCTCAACTCTTCGAGGTGCGTGGGGTCCGCGCTGCTGGTGCGAATTTCGGCGCTCAGCGCCCGATCCATCGCCGCGGGGATGGGAATCTCTGCCGCGCCAAGAGCATATGACATGGCCTCCCGTTGCGCCCGTGTTCCCGCCGCGGCCATGAACCGCTCGGCGAGTTGCAACTGGACGTAGTACACGTGGTGCCGACAGGCACGGCTCCTGAGCGCTTGCTGCACGTCGACGGCGAAGCCGCGTGACGTCGCGACCAAATCCCCGTCGAACGCCTCGGCGGCGCTCAGGAAATCCAAGATCAGTGGGGTCACGTCCGTATCAAAGACCCTGGCCAGGCCGGCGTAGGCCATGGTCATTTCGCGCTCTTTTTGTTCTGGCTGTCAACTGACGCCTCGTACTCCGCGTGTAGAGATCACCGGCTGGCGCGAGAAGCACAACTTCTGCTGGAGGTATATAGAAGCTGTACCACGCGCCTCGAAGCGATCTCTATGGCCCCTAGGCGGAGGCAGGGGCATGCGCGGCCGCGCCGCAGAGCTGGCTCTGCGGCAGATTTCACCTCCTTTATTCGGGGAGGTATCCACTGAGGCGCGTACACGAGTGGGTGTGGACCTCTCGAGAGTCTCGGCTGGCCCGGCGTCTTCCGGGAGCTCAAGAGGGCCCTGCCGACAACGCACGTCTTCCTGCTCGTCGCGATGATGGGGGAGCTCTATTCGCTGACCGAGGCGAAGGACGTGTACGAGCTCGTGATGGGGGCGCTCCTTAAGGACACGAGCCAGCAATCCGCGGTAAGGGTGGCGGCGGCGATGATCTCCGTGGCGCCCATGGGCGACGTGCTGCGCGCCGTCGCGGCCGCAAAGGCGAAGGTGGCGCCGTCGGCCTAGACTACCTACCGCGCGGAGCTTCGACTACTGACTGAGATGTGTAAAGAACATGATGTTTATATCCCATGGGAGTCCATTTGACTGAAGTGACGGGTTTTGTCACTCGATGTCGATCCTCGAGAAAAAGTGGTCGCAGACGGCAAAGATCAACGCCTACGCAGCTGCTTGAAGCAGTTTTGAACGGTCCGCCGCCGCTGCGCGACCGGTGGCCACAGAGGAGACGTCAAAGAGCATCTCTGAGGAGCAGCCATACAGAGAGCACTGAGCCATGATACTCCTTACCGCACTGCTGCTGGCACGCCTCGAGGCCTACACGCCACAACAGAACCGCAAACACATCACAGCACTGCAAGCAAAAAGGCCCTTCGTCCACGTGCCCTACGGCCAGGACGCGCCCTCGGACGTGAAGACGCTCGCCTGCGACGGCCGCGTCCCCAAGGCCACGCTCGACCTGAGCCACTGGACGGACAACACCACGCCCCAGGATCTGTATGCCGACACGTCGACCGAGATCGCCCTGAACCTCGCTCGAAGTTCAGAGTACGGAGAGTACGACACTGCCACAGTCGTCAACAACCACTTCGACGTCGACGGCGTGCTGTCGGCCTGGGCGGCGACGGATCCTGAGAGTGCGTTGCCGCACTTTCAATTATTGTGTGACGCGGCGGCGTGCGGGGATTTTGGCGAATGGCCTTCCGACGAAGGCGTGAAGCTGTGTTATGCCGTGGCGGAATTGGAGGATCCGTCCGCCGACGACGGAGGCTACGCTTCCGCACTGAAAAAGCTCCCCGACGTCGTGCAGAATTTAGCTGAGTACGAGCACTTGTGGGGCCCGGGCTTCGCTAGTGTTTGTGATGATTATGATGACATGGCGGAGGGATTCGGCGAGGTCTCGGAAGGTGCCGGTGATATCGCGCTGGTCATGGAGCCTCCTGGTAGGAGGGCGCGATCACCGGTATCGATTCGGCGTCCGGGGGCCTTCGACTCACGACGGTGCGACGCCATCGATGCGGTCCCGCGCAGGCGGTGGACCGCCAGCTTAGGGAAGCGGGCATAACGCCGACGCGGTTATTGCGGGCGTCGTTCTTCTGCGGCGCCTGGATGTACGAGTACGAGCTCGTGGGCCACGGCTGGGTCAAGCGGTTGAGAGATAGACGCCTCGCGCCTCCTATAAATGTGGACGCGGTCGTCTCAGCATTGGGCAAGCCGTGGGCGCCGGGCGGGCGGGCAGGCCTATGCAAGGCCTGCCGGACGGCCGAGGCCGTTCCTCACGAGCCTCAGGCCATGCTCGAGTTGCTACTGGAGGCAGATCTGGGTGCATCATAAATCTATTTACACTTCCTATGAATTCTCAGAGCTCCGTGTGAGCTCGTCGTCCTTCGTCGGCGTGTCGTCGCTCGCCGGCCGCTCGCCGTCGACAAAGGGGTACGCGATGACGTCGCTGACCGTCGACGGCGCCTTGGCCTTCGGCACCTTAACCGCGCCCGGGTTTTTAGCAGAAAAAGCAGCGAGCCACGCTTCCGACAGCGACGCGTCGGCGTCGGGCCTAGGTCGCGCCCGCCACCCGCCCGCGCCCCTTGAGGCCAAGCCCCGCCGCACGAGGTCCGGTAAAGCAGCTAGCGCCGCGTCCGCCGCGGCGCCGGCCCGCGTCGGGTCTGCGGCATCGACGGCCGTCGTGGTCAAAATTTCGTTCCGCAGCCGCTCCTCGTCCACAGCGTCGTACTCGCCCCAGCTCAATCTACGTAAAGCGCCGAGACACAATGCCTTCGCTCTCGCGTCCGTTTCTACCGCATCGCGAGCGGCCGCGTCGCACACGGTCGCGCCCTTGGCCCGCACCCTATCCCTCAAAGCTCGCGTCGTCTCGAGCTCGTACATGTTCCTACGGGCTTTCGTGTTGAACAACAAGCGAGACACCCACGCGAACACCGCTACCGAAGCGGCCACGTCTCCCCATACCGTCCCGAGTCTCTGGGCCGCCACCAGCAATAAAAATGTAGCACCGGTGACGACGTCGAAGCGCACGGCATCTAACGGTCTCACACGCAGTCGTCGCGTCGGCCACAGGGTCCCCAGCGTTCGCAACGGCACGTCCTCGTACAGCGCCAGGCCCAAGCGCCGAGGCCCCCGCTTCGCCGCTAATGATGGATCGGTAGCATGTAATGCTACCACCCTATCATAAGCTAAACACCGTCTAGGGGGCGGTCGTCGCAATGCTCTTGCAGCCCCCCACAACGACGTCGCGTTCGTCAGGGCGCTGTCGACCGCCGCGCCCACGCCTCTCCTAGGTAATTCGACCCAGCCGTATTTCGGTCTGGTTGACTGCGCCAGGTCCGCCGTCGGACCGGCACACCCGACGCCATCTACAGCAAAGGCAGCGACATCGCACTCCTCCTCATCTATGGCTCTATTGGCGCCCCATCTTGTTAAGAGCTGTCTCGACGTTTTTGTCACAATACCGAGACACAACCGGAAAGGTTTCGTGACGACCCTTCGCACTCGAGAAGGCTTCGGCAAGTCCTCGAGGTCATAACTCTCGCCCTTCATCATCTTGGTAGCAATCGCCGCGTTCTTGGCGATGTTGCCCACTCTTCTGCCAGATCGTTCGACGCTCTCCGACAATAAATACTCTAGAGCATCCGCGAACCCAAGGGGCTCATCGAAGACGCGGACACCCCTCCGCCAGCACCTCATTTCTGTTAAAGGTCGATCATCCACATCGACCCGCAAACCCGCATCTCTCGCGAGGGCATCACATAAGCCTCGCTCTCGCGCATCGACTTCCACATACCCAGCTCGTTCTAGCCACTTCGCCAACGCCCCGGAAAACCGTTTCACGGCGAGCTCCGCTTGCGCATTATCTAAGGCTTTTTCCTCTCTACTTCCGAACCAGGATCTACCTGGTATTCTTGAAGGCTGCTCCGCTCGCGGGGCTTCCCAGGCCTGCCTTGCGGCGGCGTACAAGTCCTCTAATCTTTTTTTGTCTTCGGACACTTCCGCTCCTAGGAGTCGTTCTAACGAATCTAACGACTCGCCACCGACCCTCGACGCCGACTGGGGCGCGATCTGGCCTCTTTCAGCCGCTAGTAACAGTCGTTGTTCGGGCTGCGGCCGCGCCATGCCGGGCCCGGCCAGCGACATGGATCTAGCGGTTGTGGCTAGGATGAGGACGTGGGAGACCTCGAGGGCCGACGCCGTCGCTAGCGCCAGCGCCGCGGCGAGGTAGAGCTTCGCCATGGCGTTATGCTGTTTTCGCTGTCTGCCAGTCGGTAAGCGCCGCGCCTTCGTGTGGGGGCCAAGGGCCTCAGTTATGGGTGTACCGCAGCCTCAGATCAGCACTGGCTTACGCCGCGGCCGCGGATATCCGCGATGAATAGGGCGGCCGCAAAACAGTGAGAGGCTTTGTGCGGGTGGCTCTCCGAAAAGAAAAGCTCCCAAAGACGCAGCCCCGCCTGCCCCAGCAATCATCCACACCTCTCGCGACGACTCGAGCCACAGGAACAGACAGAGCACTAGCAAATCGAACAGGTCGAGACGTTTCCCGCGCGGCTGCCCAAGAGCTGCCCCAAGCACCGCGCCAAGCACCGCGCATTGTGAGGTAGTTGCCCCGACGCAGCGCCCGACACCCGACGCAACGCCCGCGCGACGCGCCGCACGAAACGGAACCATGGCATCCCCGACCAAGAAGCCCGTGCTGCTCGACGTGAACGTGAAGAGGGCCATGCCCGCGTCGCCGCCGAAGATCGCCATGAAGCTTGCTGGACGCGCGCCCTCGCCCCAGAAGACGGCGCAGCAGCTCTTCGAGAAGCTCGAGGCGGCCGAAGCGCGCCGCGACGTCGAGCTCGAGGAGAAGAAGTTTAAAGCGCAAGCGATGGCCACCATGAAGGGCACTGTTAAATCCTCGCCGACGAAGGCCGAAATTGACGAGAAGATGAAGCAGGCCCAGCGCAACCACGACTTGCGTATTACGGAGAAAGTGGAACAAGCGGCCCAGGAGACCATGAAGCTAGAGCAGGCGCGGGAGCGCCGGGAATTGTTGGAAAAAAGGTCGCGGGAGGTCGCGGCGATCCAGTACTCGGCGAAGGAGACCGATGCCGAGCGTCGCTTGCTTGGTTTGGAGATCCAAAGAGAGACGAAGCGTTTAGTGACGAACAACAAGCGCGAGAAGGTCTATGAAAGGTTGGCTGAAGATCGGGAGCGCCGGGCGGCTTTATTAGATGAGAAGCTTGAGAGAGCTGCCGAACTAAAAGGCCAGCATGATGATTTGACAAGACTACGAGCGGCGGCGACGTCGACGTGCCGGGTCGCGGCCGCGCAGACGCGCCGCGACGTCGACGACGCCGAGCGCCGCCTGCACGCGGCAGCCGAGACGGCGAACAAGATGGAGGACGCTCAGAGAAGGAGGGAGATCGAGCAGCTCGATAAAGTGGTCCGGGCGGCGTCATTAGGATCCGCCGCGGTCGTGACGGCCGCGCGCAGACGGCTGCGCGACACGGACCAGCAGATGGAAACCGGCGCGCGCAATTTAGAAATTAAGCTCACCGGTGCTGAATTAGAGAGAAGGCGCAAGCTCGAGGACGTCGCGGCCAAAGCTAGAGCCACGGGCACGGCTCGGGTGGAAGCGGCCGCACAGGAACGAAAGTACCGAGAAGATAGGGCCGAGATGGACGCCGAGTACCGCCGCAATCAAGCGAGACTCGCCTCGTCTCGAGCGGAGGACGCGAAGATGCTCGTGGCCGGCAAGGCCTCGATGGCCAATGCCGAGAAAATGAGAAGACGCCAGGAGAAAGAAAAAATGGAGTCCGATTTCTGCGAGGAGACGCGCGCGAAGCTCGACGCGAAGTTGCAAGATGCGGAGAAGCGCGTCGAGCAGGAGGGTCTGAGATTGCGCACCAAATATCAAGGCGTCCGCCGCGAGACGCCGCCGCCGTCGGACGGGCCCGGCAACTACTTCGCGGAGCACGGCGTGCTCATCGGGGGCTGCGTCGCCGGTGGGTTGGCCGCGGTCTTCGCGCTGTCTCGAGTGCTCGCGCGCTTCTCCTAGAGGAAACGTGCTCTTTTCCGCGCGCCGGCAGCGGTGCGCGCAATAACATCCCCCGTTCTGACTAACCACCTACATGAACACTATTACTCCGTACTAGTACGCGCCGCGAAGGGCGCCGCGATGGCGTTCGACGAGATAACAGCCACCGAGACGCCGTCGACGTGGCCGCGCGAACGGGTTGGCGACGTCACCCGTCCACCTCGACGTGCGCGAAGAGCCCTCTTGTGGATAAACAGATCGGCATGTCCGTGCGGCCCCAGTCGTCTTTCAGCATGCCGACCTCGAAGCCGTCCTGCTTCTGCCAGGTACTCGCGCCGTAGGCCGCTAGGGACGTACCTGGCGCCCGGAACCGCCCGTTCGTCCGGCCTCTTTTATAGGCCCACTTTTCCTCCAGTGCCCGTACTCGATCAACTAAGACCGCGTTCAGGGACCAGTTCGAGTCCCAGGCGCTGAAGCATCGCATCGACGACCCGGCATAGGATGCGCAGTCCGCTACTCGATTGTTCTGGAAATCTCGACAATAAAAAGACCACCAGTTCCGCCGCCTTTCAAAGGTCGTCCGGCCGTTCCACTGGGGCATATTTCTATTGTCCTGGCACCGTCGAAAGGTCCCGCAGCCCTGGTCCTGGATGGATCTTAGTCTAACGACAGCGGCGCCCCTTTTTGCCGCGACGACCGCGGCGGCGAGCTCCGACGCGACTTCGTCGAGCGTCGCGCCGGGCGCGACCGCGAAGTCCTTCTCCAGAAACAACACGTGGGTACTGGTAGAGACGGCGCAGGCCGCGGCGAAGGCCGCGCCGATCGTGAGGACCTCGCGTTTTACTTGTCTGGGCATTTGTGGGCCTATCCTTTTTTGGACGTCGGACGGCAGTAGCACCTCGAAGCCGTGTTTTAAACCCAGCGCGACCTCGGACGGTGCCGGGTCGTTGAGCATTAAGATGCGCTCGTCTACGAAACTCAACAGGCCGGAGTCGCGCCACGACAGCATGGAGTTCCGGAGCGTCGCAGGGGTTCGATACGATAGAGCGACGAGCGCCACCGTCGCGTCGTGCACACTTTCATAGGAAGTGCCGCAGTACGAGTTCGTATGATAGGTATGTTTTGACGGTTGCGCGCGCTTCAGAGCGGCCGCAAAGCCCCCCGTATAATTCCGTCGCGCCACCAAGCCTTCCGCCTCCAAAGAACTACGGGACGCATCCAGCTCCGCTTGCGTCAACTTCTTCCCCGCGAAGTTCACTCGATCCAGTTCCGCCGGCGTCGGCCTCCTTTTTAGAGTTGCCCACTCGCCGCTCGGGTTCGTCACGACGTATTCACATCCATTAACACGAGAACACACACTTAAACCCTTCTGGCACCGCTTCTGGGAGGGCGCCTCGCACCGGATCTGGCAGGCGCAGGTGTGCTTGCCTTCCGTTTCCGCACAGGGCACGTCGTAGAGGCTGAGGCCGCGCTGCTCGACTGCTCGTGCTGTGATGTGCTCTTGCGACGTCGTTCGAGTCGCGAGCAGGAGTAGGGCCCACATGTTTCGACGCGTTTGGGCAGCCCTGGCTGCCCTGGACAATTCCCACGGCTGCGGCTGCCCGAAGCCCAAGGTCGAAACTAGTATGTCTCACCGCTAGGTGGGCTCACTTCGTTTTTACGTGCGCGGGTGATTCAAGCCATAGAATATTAGTTTTGAGGTCACCGATATGAGGCCTTGCGCTGACTCGCGCAAAACTCCTGCGGCCCGTCGCTCATAGCGACAATTTTCAGTGGCTCTGTAAAACTCTTATTCGCGAGATTCGCGAGACGATAAATGGGCTTCGTCCGTCCCGATTTGGCGCCGAACGGGACCAAATGGTCAGCCGACGGCGGCCACTCCGGTGGCCAGGCTTATAAGACAGTTGGTTTCTGGGTCGGCATCATGTGCGGGCTCGGTTTCATCGGTCTGGCTGTATACTGGCTCTACCTGAAACGCCACTACGAGCGCGTCGTCGCAGAGCGCCCGCGCGCCCGAGCGACGGTGGCCCGCGTCGCGCAGAAGCTGGAGGAAGTGCCCACCGAGGTGCGAACATCCGCGAAGGGCGAGTGTTCGATCTGCCTCTCGCGCCGGGCTGAATTCGGCGCTGCGGCCGCGGCGCGGCCGGTCGTCGTCCTGCCGTGCAAACACGCCTTCCATGCGAAATGCCTCGAGAACTGGTTCGCGACGAGTCTGGCGCGCCTGTCGGACGCGGACGATCTCACGTGCCCGCTGTGCCGTCAGGCCGTCCCCGCGGCGCCGCGACGGCGCCTTGACGGCGAGGAGCACAAGGACGCGACGGGCGACGTCGAATTACGTGGCGTGTAGTTGTATTGTCCGAGTCGCGTTCGGACAGCTGTCGAAATGTGCATAGCTCCTTTGCTGTATCTAAGAAATGTCTAGCTGTCTCACAAAAGACTCTTACGTCACCTCCCGCGTCGCCGGGTCCGCGAAGGCCGACTTGGCGGCACTCCGCTTCGCGAGCTCGAACGTCGAGACGGCGTGGTGGAGCTTCTTCTTCGGCCGCGTCCGGCGCTTCAGCGTCGTCTTCTGGGCCGACGTGAGCGGTGCATCCGCGCGGTGCACCTGAGGCGACCCGAGGAGCTCCCGCACCAAATCCGTCCGCGGCGATGCGCGCGACGCGATCGCCGGCCGCAGCACGACGTTGGGGTCGAGCTTCGGCTTGACCGGGCTCGCGCGCCGCGCGACCGGCGCGGCGACCGGCGTCGCGGCGGCACGGACCGGCGACGCGACCGGCGACGCGACGACCGGGCTCGCCGGCGCGGCGGCCAGGGGTTTCCCGGGCGGCGCGAGCACGCGGAAGCCACTCTTCTGAGGCGAGGGCGACGCGAGGAAGGGTTTTGGCTTGGAAGGAGGCGACTGCGCGGCGCGGCTCCGCAGCTTGGCCAGCGCCGCCTCTTCCGGATCTTGTTCCTTCTTCTGCGGTCGTAGCCGCCCATTGAGCGCGCCGCGGCCGCCGTGCGTCAGCGACGACGCCTCGGAGGACTGCGTCGCGCCTTGCCGTAAGGCTCGCAGCTCCGCCCAGCACGGGTGCGAAGGCGAGTGAATTGATCCTGCGTTCGCCTTGATGGAGTAGGCCGTCAACTCCGTCTCCTGCCGGATGAATTCATCCAAAGCGGCCTCCTCCGTGTTTTCGACGACGTCTCCATCAGACTCATTTAGTTTGTTATCATCCAACACTTCTAGAGTTGGTAAGGCCATGGCTATTGAATCGCGGTAGTCTTTTGTCGAGGCGATGGGGCATCCTAACAATGTCAAACAAGACAGCTTGTCGCACGTGCTCAACGCGTCTAATTGAGCTACATCTCCTATTCGATTCGATTCCAGATCCAGGACCATCAAGTTCTCCTGAAACGCCAAAGCCGTGCAGTCCTCGACGTCGTTGAACGAGAGGTAGAGCTCCTCCAGCGCGGGCAGAGCCGCGACGCCATCAAAATCAGACACACCGCATCGCGCCGCGTGCAGCACCCTCAGATTCAGCAAGTCACAACCTAAATCACGGAAGGAACAAAGCTTCGACTGGCGGAACCGTAGTCTTTCGAGCCTGGGCAGCTGTTCGCCGAGCTCGTGCGTCGCTTCGCGTCCCGTGTCCAGGTTCACCAGCGTGACCTCGTCCACGTCCTTCAACGCATCCCTAGAAGTGTCCTTGAGCTGGGGACAAAAGGCCCGCACGTCGAAGACGACGCCCGCGTCCACAAACTCCTCTGTTGGTGAGCCCCTCATATTGCTGCCCAAGCACGGCGCGTCGACGCGCCTGCCGTCGTGGGTCCGCGCGGGGGACCACAGCGGTGGTGCTCAGGGCTGCCCCGGTCCCAATTGCGGGCTGCCCTCCGCGCACGGCCGGCCTTTGCCAAACCCTCGGCGTTCAGCTGGGTGAAAGGTGCAGACCCCCCTACCCGCCCGCCGGGAGCGCTCGCGGGGCCCGTACTCCGTAGCGCACCCGGCGAGACGTGCCTCGACGCCTAAAGCCCGGGTCCGACGCCTCCCTGCCACGAGCCACGACACAACGCTGGGGCTCTCACAACAGCCCGTCGCGCAGCCCCGCAAGTCCACGGGGCAGCCCGAAACCGACGTTGCGCTGCGCGACACGCGACAAGGATGGACTTCGACGCGCCCTGGCAGCACGCGCTCGGCCCCGGCGGCCACTACTACACTCCTTTTCAGGAGAGCGTCTCGGCGTCCTGCTTCCGCAACACGGCCGTGCCCACGAAGCGCCACGTCCAGCAACATGTGACGGAGGTGCCCGTGCCCGTGCTGTACCCGTCGTTCTGCGAGGGGAAGCAGCAGTCGTCGACTGAAGTGCGGCCGCGGCCGAGCGGCGTCCCGCGCGACGGCGCCCTCTGCTGGCCCCACGACGACGGCACGTTCCTGGGGCACCACGGCCGATTCGGAACCACTGAAAGTGGCGCGGGCGCGGCGCTGGACAAGCTGGTCCCTTTCGCGACGAAGGCGGCCGAGCGCTGGACGGCCCTCGCGGAGGGCGGGAATGCTGCCAGAGCGGCATTACCACCGAGCGAGCGCGGGGCCAAGGCGCTCCCCTACGACCCCGCGAGCGACTACGACGCCTGGCGGCGGGATCACCTGTCCGATGCGGGGCTCTCGCTGCTGAGCGCGTGACGTGTCCTATCTCGCGCGGCCTTTTCGAAGGGGGTGTTGTTACCTAAGTATGGGCTTGCCGCGATGTTTCCTCCGAATAGATCACTGCGCTAGTGTGTGTCGACACGCTAGGCTCCTGGTTCGGGCGTGGTGCGTATAACTCGGCGTAGCTGTCGTTACACTTGCCATTGGAATTGCACAATCAGAGCATTACCTGTCGCGCACCAGCAAGACAATAAATTTTTGAACCAATTGGCTTGACAACAGCTCTCAGAGCCTGTGTCAGCCTGCACCTTTGAGACCAGCTGAGTGACGCCTCTTGCCCGCTCTACTCGTGATGATGCCTCTCAGCGTAGTTGCCGCCCTGCTGGGCGCGTCCTGCAGCGCATTTGCACCGAAACCGCTGCGCGGCACGCCACGCCGCAACGCGAAACGCCAGTCGTTGCAAATGAATGTCATCACCGACCGGCCCGCAAGAGCCGCCCTCGCCGCCGCCTACGTCGGCTTCGCGGGCGCCATCGCGACGTTTCCCGGCGAGTTCAACAACCCGGCCGACATCCAGCTCATCCAGGATGCATTGAACGACCCGACGTCCATGAATCCCGTGTTCTTCTTCGTTTTTAATTCCCTAGGACTGATCCCGGCGGTGAACGCGGCCGTGCTGCTGCCCGGCGCGAAGGACCAGCGGCCCCTCCCCGCGGCGCCGTTCGTCGCCTCCAGTTTCTTCGCTGGCTACGGTGGCGTCGGGCCGTATATGATTCTGCGCGAGCCGCGCTTCGGACCTATCAAACGATCGGAGCTGGGCTTCTTCCCCCGCGTCGTGACCGAGTCGAAGCTGTTCGGCGCGGGTTTGGTTGCGGGCGCCGTCGGCCTCTACGGCGGGCTGCTCACGCAGCTCTCGGGCGGTGCACTTTCAGATTATATCGATCTGGCGGCGTCGTCGAAGCTCGTGTCCGTGAGCAGCGTCGACTTCCTCATCCTGTCGCTCTTCGCCTTCGAGCCGATCAAGGAGGACATGAGCCGGAGGGGCTGGTGGGGCTGCTATGGCGAGAACAATGTGGGGCGCCTCGCGGCCTTCTGCTTCCCGGTGCTCGGGCCCGCGGCTTACGTGTTGTTGAGACCAGCGCTCAAAGACTAAGCACAACAATAAAACTTAGAAAACTTCGAGCTCGCGCCCATGGTACCCGAATTGCGCCTTGTGCGTATCGTAGAGGCGCGTCAGCGCGGTCACGTAGGCGCCATGAAATTTCTCCACGTCGCTGCGCGTTGGGTTTGCGATTTTAGGCAAGTGAACGGGCTCCGCCACCACCGTATGCAGCGCGACGTCGTCGCGCGGCAGCAGCGGGCACCACCAGCGCGGGCCCCAGAAGACCGGTATGATGAACCCGAAGCGCGACAGCGTAAACTCACATATCGAACGGTAGAGCGGCGCCCGCAAGTTCGTGTAGAGGTCGCTCTCGCCAAAGGTGAACGCCGGCAACAAACAAACGCCGTACTGCAGCGCGTACTTCACGAAGCCCGGCCTCGTATAAATTCTATCTCTACCTTTTTCGTACAAGGCCACTTCATGCATGCCACCTGGCAGTATCCCAAAGTCTATGCCCCGGTTCATCAGGTCGCACATGCGTCGCTTCGTGGCGGGCGTCGCACATCCAAAACCCAACAAAATCTGGCGTAATAATGGAATACGGAACAGCACTGGCGCCATCACGCCGTCGCACGTCGCCCTTCTCTCTGATGGTACACCCTCAACAAGCTCGCGCGGCGCGTACCGCATATCGTCGCACGTCTTGAACCGCACGGCGCCGTTCAACGAAAATCCGAACCCAATGGACGTGCCGTGCGGGTGCATGCACCACAGCGTCGACGCCGGGCCGCGCATGGCTTCGAGGCCGTCTCTCGTAACGTGGAGCCAGACCTCCGGGAACCAGCCCGCTGCTTTCAGGTAGGCCGCGCACAGTTTCGGGGAATGCGCACCGGTCGTGAGCGTGATCGCGACGAACGTGGCTAGCATTGTGGCGAGCGTCGCGTGGCCGCGCCAGAGGGCGATGAAGGCGGCCACGGGTAGACATGGGCCCAGAACCATGCAGCCCAGGATCGCGACGATGGACAGGGCGCCTCTTATCTTTCCCGCGTCGGGCTCGAGCCGGTGAGAGATCAGCTGCGAGGCGGGCACGCGGAGGTCCGCTATCAATGCGACGTGGTCCGACGGGTAGTTCCAGCCCGGCAGCCGCGCCTCCACTATTTCATCGTCCTCCGGCGGCAACAAGACCGCGTCCACGCCAACCTCCGGTGAGCAGAGGACGTAGTCGATGCAGTGGCGCGCCTCGGACGTCCCACGTTTTTTCCACGTCGTCCAGGCGGGCTCGGCGCCGAGCGCCGTCCTGTAGGCGGACCGCAGCGCGCTGGTCGTGGCGGGGTAGGCTTGGGCCGCGTAGGCAGCGTCGTGCGGCGCCGCGTTCATGTCCAGACAAATAACGCACGGGAGGCCCATCGTGTCCAGGCGTTCCATGAGCTCGCACACTTGCTTCTTGCGTTGTGCTTCGCCCTCGGCAGTTTTTCTCGCGACGAGGTGCGTGCACGCCACAATAAAGGAGGAGGAACCCGGCACGCGCACCGTCGCGAGGAGCGCGACCTGGTTCGACGCCGCGTAGTGCATCGTCTCCACACAGACCACGGACACGGTCGCCTCGCGGCAGAACAGGGCGCAGCCGTCCTCGAGGCCGCTGCCGGGTGCTGTTTTCAAACAAGGGCTCTTGGGCTTCTTCAGGAAGAACCCGCGGTAGCCCCGCTTCGATAACTGCGGCATGAACCAGTCATCGAAGTGGTCGACCTCCTCCAGACAAATCACGTCCGGCTCGGGCCCGTGGCGGAAGAGCTCCTCGATCAGCCGTTCGCGCCGCGCCTCCCACTTTAAAGAATCCTTCGGCGCGCTATCGAAGCCGCCGAGCTTCGTGTCGCGGCCCGAGAGGCCGTCCGCGAGGACGTTGAATTGCACGACGCGCAGGTCCACTCCTTCTTTTTTTTTCGAGCTCTCGGCCCACCGCCTGCGGTACAGAGGTGCGCTGTTGGCCATGCCTGCTTTGCTTATACTCCCAAATTGACTGCTCAGGTGTGCAGTGGCACTGCCAGTGTCGATTCGTACGCAGCTGTGCGACCTTTTGCCCTTTTAGGTTTCAGGGCTGCAAAACGCTTCCTTTGCCCGCTTATTTTGGCCTTGTAGCGGTAGTAACGCACAAAAATGCCAAAGCATGCCAAGGAGCTAGCGACATGTAACACACTAGCAAGCACGGGACGGCCTCCGCCGAGGCGGCTTACGCCAGGCGTGGTGCAGCAGGGCTCCTGGGAGCGAGGCGTGGCGCATCTCAACTATTGGGAGCGATCCGTCGTGCCGCCTCGCAGCCGCCGGACACGTCTGCAAGCTATAGGCTGTGAACAGCCAGTTTAGCAGCCAACAACAATAGCAGCCAAAACGATGCAGCGGGGTTTCACGTCGAGCAGCCCGCGCGACAGCCAGGAGCGGCCGCGCAGCGTCGAACCGGCCGTACCCTTGAAGAGCGTGGTGCACAACCCCGGCACGTCTTCCTTGTTCCCGAGCTTCGCGAGCCTTTTTGACGACGGCCCGGCTATTACACCTAGACATGCGCACGAGCTCAGCTTGCAAAGAGCCGTGACGAGTCAAGACGTGGCTCCCTTACTCAATTCAAGAATGAGAGAGCTCTACGCGCGCTTCAGCAACAATCAACCAGACGAGAACGTCGAGGACGAATCCACGCAACGGGAGCGTGCCGTGGCCGCGCGCAAAGCACTCCAGGACGTGCCGCGGAGCTTCTTTGCGGATGACGCGAGCTTTGAGCTCCAGAACGCGTCCAGTGCCTTCGCATCTAACTCATCTCTGGACGACGCCGAGCGAACAAAACAACTGGACGAGGCCCAGGCCCACTTGGATGCGGTGGAAGGCGCTCTGGTAGCGCAGCTCCGCGATAGTTCCGACGACTTCTTTGACGCGCTCGGGGATTTCCGGGCGTTGTGGGGTCAGGTGTCGCGCACGGGCGCCCAAGTCCGGGCATTGAGGACGAAGCTGAGGGATACGCAGTCGGACGCCGTCGAGGGGACGATGCGCGTGCCTCGGCTAGCTTGCAGACAATCTAATGTGGTGGCCTTCGCTAGTACGTTACGACAAGTGAAGGAGGTGCGAGACGCGTCGGAGAAAGCCAGAGCGCTCATGTTAGCTGAGGACTTCCCCGAGACGTGTCGCGTCATCCACGAGGCACGAGAGACGCTGGACGGCCCGCTCAAGGGTGTCGCCTGTTTAAAACATACGGCGCATCACCTCGCCCAATTCCAGGACCTAGCTTTGAGTTATATGGGCAACCAGTGGACGGCTTTAGCTGTCATCAACGCCTGGGACGGCGACGGTGGGGTGGGTCGGAGATCGGTTCCTGTCAGTAGAATAGCGCCGCTCGTCGAAGGTTTGCGGAGGGCAGGTCGATTACCTCAGGTTTTACAGAGGTATCGCCAACGCTTCGACGAGGACGCTAGAGATTTAGTGAAGACCGTGGTCTCAGAATGCGCGGGCGGAACTGATGATGACGTGTGCGGGGAAGTGGCCGCGGCGCGGCTGGCGGCGCTAGATGCGTCGGCCTTTCAAAGTTGTCTCGACTTGTGTCTGGAGCATCTTCTTGCGAGTGTTTGTGGCGCCGTGGCGTTACATAACGCTTTATCTGCATTACTTACATCTAGGGTGGACCCTACAGTACTAATCAAGAACGAGCCGCAAGCCCTTTCAGAGATAGAAGATGATGATTTGGTGCGGAACTCGAGGGACGGCGTGGGCGAGTTGTGCGAGGGCGTCCTGAAACGCGTCGGGCGGCTGGTGCAGCTCCGGAAAGAGCAAAATGCTCGCCTCAAGCAGTCGGAGTTACGGAGAGTGTGGGCCTCGTCCCTAGCTTTCGCTTCATCAATAGAACGGGCCACGGGCGAGCCCGCCTTCGCGCTTCGAAGCGCTCTCGTGGCTCAGGCTCGGGCGTTTCTCGAGAAGAGGCACTCCGACGCGAAGGCGGCATTAGTAGCGTGCCTAGACGCGGAACGCTGGGCCCAGGCCGACGTGACGCCGGAACGACAGTCACGGTTGGATCGGTTGAGCCAAGGTTTAACAAATGACGAGGATGATACCGTGTCTGATGTGACACCGCCGGCGCGAGACAAACGGAGTCTACGAGCAGCAAACGTCGAAGGGCGCACGTATAAATGTGTGTGGAGTGGTCTGGTGCTGCTGGATCGCATTCTGGATGCGTTAGGTGCTGCGGCAGCCTTCCCTGTGATTGCCTCGGAGGCGACCGCGTGCGTCGTCGACCTAGCTAGATTCTTCGAAAGTAGAACTAGACAGTTAGTGCTGTTCGCGGGGGCTCTACATTCCTCGGCTCGCCTGAGAACTATAACAGCAAAGCATCTAGGATTGGCCTCGCAATCATTAAATTTGATCGAAGCTTTATTGCCGCACGTCCGAGCCGCTCTCTCGGACGCCTTGCAGAACAACGACTCCGAGCTGTTGAAGGAGGTCGATGCTGTTTCTAGAGATTATGCTGATCATCATCGGAAGATCCTGGCGAAATTCTCCACAATTATTGGCGAGGTCGTCGACGCCGCCGGCGCGTCTCTATCTCAATTCTCCTACGCTGCTTGCAGTGGCGAGGCGCCGTTCGCGCCTTTTGTGAGTGACGTGGCGAAGAATTTGACTGCCTTGCATGGAGTATTAGCGAAGCAACTCCCACCTTCGCAGCTCGAGGAGGTCTGTGGGGACATCTTTTCGTTGTTGTCCGTGCGGCTTCCCTTGTTGTTCCGGCCGGCGATTCCTTCCTCTTCCGAAGCGAAGGAGAGGTTGGTTGAGGATCTGAACTTTTTGAGGAGAGCGGCGAAGGAGTTAGATTCGGCCGCGGCGGAGAAATTGAGGCTGGACGCGTTCGTCGCCGAGGTGCGGGAGGGTAATAAGCCGTCGTAATTTATCACAACACGTCGCGTCGACGGCGCGGGGGTGGAGACTCCGGATGCCACGAGCTTCGTTCGGGTTCGCCTGTTTCGAGCCGGCGCCGCGGAGAGCTGGCGGAAAAAGGAGCCATAAAGGGTCCGCTCACTGCGCCAATAGCAAGCGCGACGCGCCTAGGCAGCAGCTCGCACGCCGCCGCCGCGCCGCAAGAATGGGCTGCTGCGGGTCCAGGACAAGCGATGTGGCCCCCCGCGACGACGACCTGGAGCGCGAGACGAGCGCCTTCACGCCCCAGAAACTGAAATTGCTCCGCGAGACGCTCTCGCCGCCGCGCCGCGAAAAGCGCGGGAGCGCCTGCGGCCGGGCCTGCAAGGCCTTGTTTCTGATTACGCTCGTCGCCGCGGCGGCGTTTTCCGGCGCCGCCGCCGCGGGCAGCTTCGACTCGTTTTGCTTGGGTGCCGCGCCGCTGCCCAAGCGGGGCAGCAGCCGGGCGCCCATGGTCGAGAGTCGCGCCGAGGCCGCGGTCGGTCTCCGCAGCGGCGAGGCCTTCTGTTCAGCGGTCGATGTGGGCCGCACCGCCGTGGGTATCGGTCGGAAGGGCCTAGGCTACCTGCCGCCGCTCCCGGCCTTCATCACGCGGCGGGTGCCCGCGCCGGTCCGGACGCTCTGGGACTGGGTCGCCGGCGGCGAGGAGCCCGCGGCGCCCGCCAAGGCCGCGCCACCACCGAGGCCGAAGCCGGAAGCGAAGCCGCCGGCCGCGAAGCCTGCGAAGCCTGCCGCAAAACCAGGCGCGAAGAAGCCACAGAAGCCTCGGCGGACCTCAAAACCAGCCGCGTCGTCCGCCGAGTTCCTTCGCAACGCAGCGAGGTCTAGCAAGCCTAAGGAAAGTTCCTAAGAGAGATCTAGCGCCGCGAGCGTCGCCGCGCGCTCGTCGCCCGGCGGCAGCTTGAGGACCTGCTGCAGCACGGGGAGCAGCTGGCGCTTGAGCTGCGCGTTGGGCGTCGACAGGAAGCACACGATCGTCGTCCGCAGGTACTCGAGCTGCTCGCCGTCCAACCCGGCGTCGACGGCCGCCTGCCTCAACACCGCGTCCCGCCGCAGCTCGTCTTGCTGCGCCGCCGCGTCCGTCGCGAGCTTGTGCGCCTCGGACGCGACGGCGCGCAGCAGCCCGAGACCCTCGGAGCGCCGCCGCACGGCCTCCACCAAAGCCTGCAGCCGCGCCTCGACACTTGTCAGCGCTTCCCGGTCCCGCTGCGCCCGCGCAGATGACTCGTCGTTGCATCGCCGCAGCTCGTCCCTTAACTCTTCCGCGTCGTCCTCCAGTGCTTTAACCAACTGCCGCGCCGCCGCCAATTCGTCGGCCCGCCGCTGCAGCTCCGCGGCCGTCGCCGGGCTCACGACGCCGCCGGCGTTTTCCGCGGCCGCTTCCAGGAGCGCGGCGGCGAACTCGCCTCCACTGCCAGTGCTGCCCAGCGCCTCGATGTTCGACTCGACCTGCTCGTGCGGCAGGTGTAGTAAAGAACGTAAAACAGGCAACAACCTTCGCACCGTCGCCGCGTCCGGCGCGCCGCCTCTCGGTGGCAAGGCCGTCCTCACGACTGATTTAAGGTACTCGACGGCGCCCTTCTCCTTGCCGTTTCTTCCGTTGGTCTCCACGAAGGCCTCGCGCGCCTCCCGCGTCGCCCGCCGCGCCGCGAGCAATTCCCCGTCCCGGTCGCCCACTTGCTTCTCCAGCCGTCCCGCCGACGACCGCAACTCCGCCACCCTAGCTTCAAGCAGCTTCTTGTCCCGTACCGCACTTCGTAATAAACCTCGCAGCTCCGCGGCGTCGCGATCCTTCGCGTCGAGGTCCCGCGCGATCCTTAGTCTGTCTTGCGCCTCATCTGCATTCGTCCGCGCCATTCTTTCAGCTTGGGCCGCGCGTCTTTCAGAAGCCGCGACGCGCTCCCGCAGCTCCGAACACTCTCGTTGGTCGTCGCGGTGCTGCCGTTCTCGGGCATCCACCCTTGCCCTCTGTGCTCTGGCCGACGCGGCCGCCGCTCGTCTAGCGGCATCTAAGCTGAGCTTGGCCGCTCTCAATTCTTCCGTCGCCCTCGTGTTATTTGAGGAGGACGCCTTGAGAGTCTCGATCTCGTTGCGCGCGGCTTCGAGCTCGCTCCGGAGCTGCTCCGCCCTTCGCTTCTCGCGCCGCAGCGACGCGACCTCGGCCTGCAGACTATCGACTTCTCGCAAAGCCACGGCCTCGAGCTCGGCGGCACACGCGTCGCGCTCGTTCTGCGCCGCCCTGGCAGCTTGTTGAGCGTCCGCGCGCGCGACGCGGTGCCTTTCCAGCTCCGCATCACTTCGAGCCTTGTCCCGCCTCAACGTCAGGACCTCCGCTTCTAAACGAGCGGCGTCGGCGGCCCGCGCGGCCGCTTCACCTTCCCAGGCCCTTTCTTGTTGTTGAGTACCTCGTGTGACCGTCGTGCCGCGGAGCATCGCCGTGAGCGAACTGCGCGGCGGCGAGGGCGGCGGCTTTGGTGCCTTCGGCTTGGGTTTGGGCTTGGGTGGTGTTGGCGGCGGCGCCTTCAGTGAGGGCGCCGGCTTCGGTTTTGCCTTGGGCTTCGGCGCGGGCGGGGTGCCATCGTCCTTCTTGACCTTGTTGTCAGGCAACCGATGGACGGCGCCCGTGCCGTCCTCGGTCACGGAGTACGTGCCGTCTCCATTCACAGAAGTCACAATTCCCCGGTGCACGGACTTGTCGGGCAGCCTAAAACGCGCGCGGTCGCCTGTTGCCAAAGTTCGCGGCGACGAGGCGGGCGGCGGCGGCGGCGCAGGCGCTTCCTTGGGCGCTTCCGGGGCTGCGGCCGGCGCTTCTGCCGGCGTCGCCGCTTCCGCGAGAGCTTCATTAGCCTCCTCTTCCGCCGGCGCGAGCCCCAAACTGCCACCTACGGTCTGCGCGTCCTTCTTGATGCGCTCGCCGGCGGCCACGAAGAAGTCGCGCGAGCTCGACAGCAGGGCCTCGGACTTTTGACGCATCAATTCCGTCTTCTCGCCGACGCTTTCGCCGAGCGCGGCGACGTTCTCGATGAGGCCCGGTCCCTCGTCCTCGACTGGTTCCGGCGTGTCATCAACGGCGGCGGGCGTCACCGTTTGAGTCTCGCTCCGCGTCGGCGGCAGCGCCGGTAAGGGTTCGCGCTTCTCGCACCCGACCTCTTCCTGGAGGTTATCCAGGTTCAGGCCGTGCTCGGACAGGTCCTTGGCCGCATTTTTTAAATCTTGGAAGAAAGACATCCTTCGCGCCGGCAAAAATACTGAATTTTATGTGGGGCTGTTTTGGGCCTGCACTGCCGAGGCCGCCCTCTAGGACTGCTTTTATCTGAGGGCTGGCGCTGTGCAGTATAGATACGAACGTCTGCGGCAGTGTAACCCCGCCAGCAAGCTACGCAATGCACCGATTTGTGTCGCGCTGCCGATGGCAAAAGTCTAGAGCGCGAGTGCGCTAGCTAGTCCGCTCGGCCTGCCGTCCCCGCGGATTATGCGTCTTATCGTGTCGAAAGACGTCTTCCGACAGGTCATTGGAAAGCTGACCGACACCCCCGGGCCATGCTCGGCCGGCCAGCAGCTTGTCCGCCGCGAAATTGCTAAAACTGCGCGCTGCAGCATTTCTGCCCAATCGTTCTTTTTCAGCTGCGGTAGATACGCATCTATCAGAACCGCGACTGTCTCTGATCCAACGAGCAACAGCAGCCAAAGCACATAGATCCAGCCTGCTTTCCAGCAGCCAGCGCGACGCACACGACTGCCGAGCGCGACGCACACGACTGCCGCCCGACTGCCGCAGCACCCCAAAACCAACCATGTCCAAGTTCCGCTTCGGCGCGCCCTCGCCCAAGCAGTTCATCGAGAAGCTCGCCGCCAACGACGCGTCCACGACCTCGGTCGACCTCTCGAACAACGCTTTATTCAAGATGAAGGCCTACGAATACACGGGCCAGTTGGTAGCCGCCCTCAAGAAGAACACGCACTGCACTTCCTTAATTTTGAAGAGCAATGAGATCGGCAACGCGGAATGTACGTATCTGAAGGAATTGCTACTCACGAACACGTCACTCACGACCTTGGATTTGGAGGGCAACAAGATCGACTCGGAGGGGGCGAAATTAATAGCGGAAGGCATCCAGAAGAACAAGACCCTCACTACTTTGATATTACTGTCGAACGGAAGCTTCGGCGAGGGCTGCATGGATTCCTGGTTGGCCGCATTTAACGACAACGTCACGCTCACGACGCTCAAGTGGCGCCTCGACTCGCGCAAGTCCTTCAAGCTCAACAAGGACATCACGCGCAACAACTCCATCGTCAAGTGGCGCGCCGACGGCAAGGACTGGGAGACGCTGTTACCGGACCACCTCAAGCCGGCGCGGCTCCGCGGCGCCGCCCAATAAGCTCTGTGAAATGATCGGCTGTTCTATTCCTCTTCTCGCGTCGACGGCGTGCGGCCTCGGCGCTGCGCCGTCTCGGAGTGCGACGGAATCGTGCGCCGCGGCGAGGCGTTGTGGTCGGGTTTACTCGGCTTGTTTTGTGTTCGGTTGGTACGGTTAGGACTAGTGGACGCTGCGAGCCGGTGAGCTAGCGTGTAAGACCACTAGCAAAAGGACAAAAAGCAAGCAAGCGAGGGCTGGCTTTGAGCTAGCGCCTCAGCGCCTGTGGCTCGTGCAAAAGCATGGCGTTCCACACGTCGCACGACAGCAGCCATGACGCACCAGCAAACAAACGACGAGGCATGAGACAAGAGCATGGGTGAGCTGCTGCAGTAGCTGCGGAGACAGGCACTGCTGCCAAGCACTCACACGACAGCGGCGATGCCGCCGCCGCGCGGTCCGCCGCGACGACCGCCAAGGGCGCAGGCGCAGTACGCGGCCCACGCTTTACAACAGCACGGCGCGCTGCCGCCGCGGCCGCCTCCCGCGGACCCGGCTGTAACAACGGCCATTGAGGTGCTCGAGGCCTCGGCGAGATATGCGGAATCGCAAATAGATGTCCGTTCTAGAGATGCGGCGGTGGACGCGGCGTTGGGTGCTTGCGCACGGGCTTTGTCTCGAGGCGAAGTACCACTAGTCGCGCCCGCCGCACAAGCGGCGGCAAGAGTCGCCCAACTCGCGTCGGGCGCGCCGAACACCTTGCCACGATTAGCACAATTAGTGGATCAATTAGTAGGATGGGCTTTAGACGTGTCGATGGAACGGCGCGACGCGAGAGCATTAACAGACAATTTAGCACGGTTCGGGCTGAACTGCTGGCGGTCCGAACGAGTGGTCGCTCAGACGTTAGTGAGAAACCTGGACCAGGACCTGTCGCGACTATCAGCATCAGCCAGAGACGAAACGCAAGTGATACAAGTCGCAAGTGTAGCGCGATGCTTGTCCGCCGTCCTGAGGAATCTCGAGCGAGATGCAGCTCATGCCCAGACCTGTTCAAGGTTTGTGGATGCCTTGTTAAGCGCAAGGACTGCGGCCCAAGAGCCTCATGCGTGGGATGACGTCTGCCACGAGCTCTGTATTGATTTACTGAAAGGGTCTGACTTTCGGTTGATAGAACAGCCGTATGGGCGGTGTTTGGAACAGCAATTGACAGCTGTGACGACGCACGCCCTCGACGCGGTAGGTGCGGACTCTTCCAAATCATCGGCGAAGCACGCTCGGAGATGTGGCAGAGCCGCGGGCCGCGTCGCGGCCTGGCTGTCCGTCCAAGGACCTCTGAGTGGTGGTGGGGCTTCGGAAATTCTAGGCGCTTGTTTAGATTCAACTCCTTCGAACGTCAGTACGGCCTTCCGCGACTGTCGACGAAGTCTAGTAATACAGGACGCCAACAAGGAACCATATACAACGTTATTTGAAGCGAGGAAGAAACTAGCGAAAGCATTGGCGGCGCTAGCGACTCTCGCGAGGCAACCTGAAAGGGTAGCAAGGGCCGCTTCCATAGCTACCGACGCCGACGATTATGCTTTTTTCTTAGATGCCGCTCTACGAGATGTAGATGGTTCTGCGCGCTTATGCGAGGCAGCCCCTCAAAACAATAACAGGGACAACTGGGACGCGTGGTGCCGCACAGCTTCTTCTGTTGCCAAGGGCGCGGCGCAGCCAGCTAGATCGAGAGGTGCCGGAGCGGCGGCGCGACGAGAAGCATTAGAGAAGGCCCTGCAAGCGTTATGTAACGCGCCATCCTTCGAGGGCGAGTGCTTTCAAGCGCTCACAGCTCTCTGCGACGCGCTACCGCATGGAGCAGGTGTGAAAGCTCTAGAAACGCGCGAGGCCCTCGCTACGAAAGCGCTACCCTCCTTGATAAAGCGACTTAGAAGGAGACCTGTCTCGAATAAAGATCTCAATCACGCGGGGCCTGCCTTCGCGGCTTGTGCGTCTCGGTTAGCGTCTGGAGACGACCAGTACGTCGACAGCGCAGCAACTGCCTCGTTACAAGTCATTACGAGCTTGGGCGGCGGCGGCGACGGCTCCGTGGCGTGTATCCGCGGTCTCGGCCGGCCGAAGGCGGAAGGAGATAGAGACGCTACATTACAACTAGTCTCGAGGGCCCAGGAAAGTTCATCAGGTGACCTCGCGGCCTTATTTGTTGAGGACACTACTGATGACACACAACCCTTAGAAGTGGCCGTCATCGACCTCGAGGAGCACGTCACTCCAGCGCTCAAAACGAGACACGAGCGCGACGGCGACGCGCGAGCTTGTTTATTGGCTTTGCTGCGGCCGCAGACGCGCGTCTCCGTCTCGAAGAGCACGACGCCGCACAAGAAGGGTAAAAGACCACCTGCTTTACTGTTGCGGAGACCGGGGACGCCCCCACCTGATACAGACGACGACGACGACTCCGCTGCTCACCGCGCGCGAGCGGCGGCACCTTCAGCATTCGCGAAGACGGCCGCGACGCAGATCGTCTCACAGCTGCTGCGGAGTTGTCTAGGGGACCCTGCTCAGACGTTGGAACGTATTAGTAATGATGCCAAGGAAGCTGCTATGAGAGGTGACCGTGCACAACGAGTGAACATTTTAGCGTTGGTGGATGCTCTGGAACGGGAGATGGGCAGGGTCGCGGAAACGCGGCCCTCGACGCTTCCCGACGACGTTCAAGTGTTACTAGGTAACAATGAATCTGATGGGGAAGAAGAAGACAACCGGCCGCCCTGGGAGGTGGCCTTCTTCTTCCGGCAGAACCGGAAAGTGTGTGATGCCTGGCTGTCACAAATAAGAAAGGACGCGGCGGTCTGTGCTTTAAGAAGCGGTTCATTTGCGCAGGCCTCGTACCACGCGGCCCACGACTGTTCGGCCTGTGCTCTCCAACTAAAAGAGGTGCGCGCCAAAGTTACGCAATCAAAGAAGACGCCCAAGGCTGAGATTGATGCGATCCGACGGTTCGAGGACGCGTTGGCGGTGTTGGCGTTAGCTCGGACGGCGCTCGGTGATGGGGCCGGTGTTCGTGGTTTGCACCGGTGGCACCGCGACGTCGCCGATAGTAGTGATGGGAAGAGAAGAGGGTGGTGGCTCGAAGCGGCCGCAGATGTTTGTATCAGTGTTGTTACTTTATATATAGGACGCGCATGACGAAGAATTTATTAACCGAACAGATATCTGACTTCATCTGATTATATTTCAAACCAATTCTCCGCCGACGCGTCGTTCCTTTCACACATATCGTTCGATGTGTGATATCCGCAACTCACACTTTATAACATAGGTCGCCGCCGGCCGCCACGCGGCGGCCCTGACGACCATTGCTCAGCGTTCTTTAAGTGACGACTGCCGCGCCGCCGCCGTCACTACTGCGTTAGAACTCGCCGCGAGATCAAGAGCCGCCTTAGGTCGACGCGACGACGACGCCTTCCGAGCCATATTAGAGCGAAGGAAGAACCTCGAGAAGCAGTCCAATAAGACGCTGCTCGCGGCCTTCGAGGGCAAGCAGGCGGCGCTCGCTCTTGGACGGTGGACAGCGCCACACGTGATGTGCCGCGGCGACCCCGTCGACTTGTCCGTGCGGAAAGCCGTGAGTGCGGACACGCAAACTAGGTTGGCGCTGACGGACATCTGCGCGAAGTTAAGGGATGCCAAACCTGCTGACGGTCCCTTCGGTAGATATGCTCGCTCGTTGTCTGTCGCGGCGCGAGCCGCAACGGCGGCAGCGACAAACTTCCCCGGCCCCTGTTACGGTCGAGGCGACGCGTTAAGACGCTTACGACGAGCTACTGATGCAGGATGGGCCCGTCCGGTCATCGGCGTCGCGCAGGCTTTTAGTGATAACGTCCAGAGGACGCAACGCGCGGTGGAGGCGTGTGAATTGGAGGCCGCCGCGTCGGTCTGTTGTCGGCGGAACGATGATAGAGACGCGGCGGAGGACTACCTCGCTTCATTAACGGCGAGAGCCGCTCTCGTAAGGGAGCATGGGTCGAGGCACTGGAGACTAGTTGATGGCGCCCCTTTGCATGTCCTTGTGGAAAGGTGCCACCTCACGAAACCGGGCACGTTTCGCGCGCTGAAGAACGCCGCGCGATTAGTTGAACATGCTTGTTTGTTGCGAGAACAGGCCGGCCCGCCTACTCTGAGGACATTAACGGTATTAACCGAGCAAGACTCCCCTAAACTACCTCTCAAGCGATTCCTCGAACCTGACAGAATTGTTGGAGCACCGGTTGATGTTGCGTCCGACAAATTACATTTCTCGGCGCGGTGGCTCCGCAAGGCCTGCCGGACGGCTCTTAAAGTCACGACGAATATCGATTGGGACGCGGCGTTGACGGAAGCCGCACAACGTTGCTGTCTAGCGACCGGAGCTTTATCTTCGAACAATGGGCCCGTCGACCTGCTGCGAGCTTGTGTGAGAGCAACACCGGCCGACGCGAAGTCCTGGCTCGAGCTAGGGCGGTGGACGGAGTCTTCACTAAATGACGTCGACGAGGCGAGGCACGCCTACGCTAGGTGTTTGCAGGTAGGAGGTCTCTCGGCAAAACTAGCTAGTATTGCTGGTGCGCGTTTAATACAAGCTAGTGAAGACGCCAAGGGCTTGGACGAGCTCGCCGACGACACGCCGACGAACGCCTGGGTGTCCGTAGCCCCACAGTTACTCGGAGCGGCCTTCACGCCGTCCTCGACCTACTCGCCCACAAGACCTTGGTTCCGGTTATTAAGACGCGTGGCTCTCGAACGGCCGGAGGTCGTCGCCCATGCTGTGGTGGTGGCCTGTCGCGAGGCGAAGCGAGATAAAGCGGCTCTGCTGGAGGACGGGACCACAAAGCCATGGTTCCGAGGCGGCGCGGCGACTCGTACCTTACGAGCCGAACTTGCACTGTCGGGGGCGACGACGCGAGCGTTGTTGGCCGGTTCCGAGTTGTTAGCTGATGAGCTACATACTGTCGCTACTTTACCGGAGGATCGGTGGTGCTTAGCTCTGTCTCGACGCACCTGTGCGGAGTTACGAGACGCCCAACACTCCCTGCGACGAGAGTTAGCTCGTTCCTTGGTCGTGTTTACATCAAATGACACGACACCAGTCCCCGAATCCCTGAACAAAGATAGGCTCGAGGAGCTCATCGACAGTGTCCTCTTCAAGCGGAAATGTCTGGCGAGGCCCTTTTTGCGGTTACTAGATAAAGCCGTCGACGATTTAATACAGGACAAGGACTTTCCTACAGAACATGCGCAGGAATTCCACCACGTCGCGCGGGCGGCCGTCGCTGCCGCGCGCGAATCGCTAGAAAGTCCACCACGTTCGGTAGTGAGGGAATGGTGCCGCGGCGACCGGATTACGGGAGTAGATGGGTTTGGCGGTGCTATTGATGCGTTCGCTAAATTACGCGGGGATGATATACAGCAGTGGTCTCCTGAGAGTGTCGCGCCTCGATTGACGCAAGGCCTTTCCAGTGAGGAACAAGTCTCGTTACCGGTAGCTTGTACTCCAAAAGCAAGATTACTATCTTTGACTGGTTCTGTCAGAGCTCTAGCCTCACGTACGCGGCCGAAGAAAATACATGTGGCTTGCGACGACGGCCTGACGAGAGCCTTCCTACTCAAAGGAAGGGAAGACGTCCATTTAGACGCTAGAGTGATGCAACTATTACAATGTGTGGGATGGGCCACGAAGGCGTCGATCAACAGGTACGCGGTGCTACCTCTCTCGCGTAGTTCAGGCCTCATCGAGTGGGTGCCTAGAACTACACCCTTATTTACGTTGTATGAAAGGTGCCAAAAAAACAGGAGACTGACGAAGGCCATCGGCATCCGCCAGAAAAGATTGAGCGACGAGGCTAGTAATAACAATAAGAAGAAGCGGTCGCCGCGAAAGCCAAAGGGAGAGGAGATCGAGCGGGACGCGGCGCCGTCGCACCTGTGGCGGCTGGCTCTGTCGCGACGGAACATCGACCCTTCGAAACGCAACGAGTGGGACCTTTCTAAGATACGTTCCGCGTACGACGAACTGGCGGCCGACGCGCCTTCTGAACTCGTAGATCGAGCTCTAGCAAGGGCGCAATCTTCATGTTCAGACTACGTGCGAGCTCGAAGGATCTACGCGGAGTCGCTGGGGACGTCTTGCGTCGTAGCACATGCTCTCGGATTAGGGGATCGGCATCTCGACAATGTACTGCTAGACGCTTCATCGGCGAAGCTGTGGGACGTCGACTGGGGCGTTTGTTTCGACGCGGGTCATCGGTTGAGAGTGCCGGAAAAGGTGCCGTTTCGCTTGACGCCGTGTGTTGCACGACCCTTGGGTCCCGAAGGTGCTTCTAGATCAGGCGTGTTCGTGGAGTCGGCGCATCGATTGGCCTCTTCACTAGCAGGCGACGCGGGCCAATCGTTGGCGGAACTACTTGCTTTATGCTGTCGCGACGCGAGAGTCGAGTGGCGCGCGACGCGGGGCCCGGCTCGGATCAAAAACAAGGAGCGCGACGAAGGAGCGAAGCAACGAGGTGTCTTAGCGTTGGCGTCCGCAAGACTCTGGGAGGACCGGCGTTCGCTCCGAGCGGACGCTTTGAAGAGATCCGAGGCCGTCAAAGCTTGTCTCGACGCCCGATACGCCTCCATCGACGCCTCAAAACTCAAAGACGAACCGGAGGAGGATGATATTCAGAGACCGAAGCAGGCCGAGCTCGCGCACGCCACGAAGGAGACGAAGCGGTTATTAGCTCAGAAACGCGAAGCTGAACGCTCCAGAGCGGACGCGTCGGACGCCGTATATAATTCTAAGATGGCTTTGGACGAAGCTCTGTCAAGAAGCGCTACTGAACGTCAACGACGGATCGATGCTAGGTTTAAGTTATCTACAGGTGACGACACGCTAGCTACGTTGGCTGCTACGTTGCGAGCAGCTGCGGCGGGCGCGGTTGGTGTCCCAGAACCAAACTTGGAATTACTTCGCCGAATCTTCGAGACGCGGCCGGATCTGCGAGACGTCGTGGCGGCGTTACGAGATGATAATTTGTTGAGTGACGGCATCCGAGCCGCGAGGGACCAGGTCCTGCAAAACGGCTCCATGTTCGCTTTTCAAGGGTATGAAAATACGAATGAAAAGGAAGACATGCGTGTTTTGGAGACGATCCATGCGGCTCTGTTGAGGACGCCGCCGGACCCGCGGCCGGCGTGTCGGGATGCGGCCACGGCGCTGGAGCGAGCTTCAGAAGCTCTACGCAGTGCCGCACCCTTGGTTGCGGCTGACGAATCCACGGAAGATCAGAATGGAGACGCTTTTGCTCATGCCACATCGCTAGAAGAGTTTTTAGGCGAGGCCGAAGCTAGGTTAGCCCTAGCTCGCGACCTCGTCGAGGGCTCGGCCGCACCTCTGAGAAGCGATAGGATAGCGTACGCGTTGCAGGTCCTAGATACGGCGAAAGATAACGCTCGATCACGAGTGAGGGACCAGATCAACGACGACGCCTTCGTTGGCGCCCTCAAGTCGCTACGACGCGCCCTCGACGCGACGGACGCGCTGCAAAGCATGAGTCAGAGGCCGGTCGTGAGCGCTTCGGCAAGGTGCCAGCGGTCCGTGTCGCGGCTGCGAGACGTCGACTCTTCCTCAAATAATGATGACGCTTTGGTAGATGCTGCTTGTCAAGCGCGAGCAGCACTCGACGATAGTGATGTAAGAGACGCCTCATGTTTACATGAAGATGACCGTTCCATACGCATCGCGGCGCGTTTAGACTCGCTGAGGGATGCGGCCGTCGGCTTAGATCAGCTCCTGGATCAATATGATACCAGTCAGGATATATTACATCACATTGCAAGAGGCTGCGACGCGGCGAAACGCCTATCGAGGGATGCCGCTAGACTATTCGCGGCCTCGGCGCTGTCAAGACCATCCGACGATAAAGCTCGAGCGTGGCGAGCGAGAGCGTTCCATGCTGCTGATGATAGTGAAAACTGGCGCGCGTGTCTATCGTCGGTACGAGAAGAAGCTCCTGATGATGACTTGTTGATCCAAGCCCTGGACGCGCTCTGGGCGCCTCTCGCCGGTGCGTTGCGCGCTTGTAATGCCGAGGACGAGGGCATCGGGCATGCGAGACGGGGCTTGTTGGCAGCTAGAGATTTAACTGGTGACGACGCCGAGCGGTCGGCCGGGTGTGCCTTATCCGAAGCGGCGTCTGCCGGTGCGGCGCCCCTAGAAAAACTTCTACTGAAGGAAATAGAGGCCTTCGCCAGCAAACTGCCGGCCACCGCATCGAGGTCGGACGCGGCCGTCTTGCTATCGGCGTCTTGCGCGGCGGCGCAGCTCAAGCACCTCCTGATGGAGCCGACGGAGTTAAACATGATCCTCCAGCATTTACAAAGACGCTGGTCGCGCTTTGACCAAGCGTGCGACTCATATACATCTAGAAGAGGTGCAGAGGTCGTGAAGGCGGCGCATCAAATCCAAGCGCGGTCGCCGACGGGGCTCGAAGGTGCCGCATTAAATGCTTTACGTAGAGCGTCGGACCGCATTTCGTTAGGAGAGGCCGCGCGGTCGTCGTTGCATGCCGCTCGTCAAACACTAGAGACGGGCTTGCGTGCCTTGGACTCGGCCCAACCTTTTGGTGCGTTGGGTTTGTTAGACGAACTGCAACCTCGCGTTCCAAGAGGAGACGGCTCCTGGGAGCAGCGGCTCAACAAGAGGCGGGACGCCGTCCTTACGGTACGAAGGTGGGTCGCCGAGGCGATGGACGCCTGCGACGTCGTCTCGAGCTTGCCGGATCTCGGTGGTGTTATCAATGGTGATAACGTCAATGATCTACAGGACGCCCTGAAGCATGCGCAACAGTACTTCGATGCCGGTGCGAGGATCGGCGACGCCGCGGATGCGGCCTACGCCGCCGCGCAGGCCCACTTAGCGTCATTGCGAGAACGAGAAAGAAAGGCCACCGCCAGTAAAGGTGCTTTAGGGAACGCCGCTCGCAAGGTGCGGTTCGCCAAAAAGAAGCTGCGGGAACGACAGGCCGGCGATGGGAGAGTGTGGAACGTGCTTCGAGGGCGGACCGCGGACCTCGGCGCGCTCTTTACTTCCGACAGTGTAGCAGCGGCCGAAGCGAAGGACCTGGAGGCGCGGTTCTGGGAGCTCGATAGGGCTGATTCGCAGTCGTCGAAGTTAATTATTACGGAGGGTGAAAGTGTCGTGTTGGCCGTCGAGGACCTGGAGGCCTTCGAGAAGGGGTCCAAGAGCAGTACGACTACGTTACCGTTCCATCGCCAAAGGGTCGATACGATCACGCGCGAGTTTGGCGAGAAGGCTAGTCAGCTTGTTGAATCGGCGGCGCCGTCCGAGTTGGACGTCAAGCCGCTCAAGGCCACGGACCGGACCTCCGTAGCGACCTTGGTGGCTCGCTTACTCCGGTTAGCTGACCGGGGGACTTCGCAGGGCCTCGCCCTCGACGACAACATTCAGAGGGACCTGAAACGAGCTCCGCCCTTGTCGTCGCCGGAGACCGACGAGGAGACGGACAAGCCGGCGTCGCCGCGTCCCCAAGTGTCGCGCGAGGGCGCCGCCGAGGACGCCTTAGAAACGACGCGCGCGAAACTCGCTTCTTATGAAGACGCGGCGGTTGTCGACGACCTGGTGAAGACGGCGACGGATCCCGCCGTGCTCTGCCGCATGTACGAGGGGTGGGCGCCCTGGGTCTAGGTGACCCGGTTGCTCCTGCCCGCGTAACTGGGATTTGCGGCACTTTTCTAGAAATTCACAATTAAGATAAGCTCATCAGCCGCCCCGCCGCGTCGCAGACCGGAGCTTCTTTCCGCGTGAGCAAATACGTCGTCTCGAAGAAGTAGTCGCAGCCGCGCTCGCGCCAGGACGGCTCGAGGGGCATGCGGTCCTCGCGCTTGAGCACCTATGTGGAAATCAAATTTCGGGCGCCCCACGCCATCGACGCGATATTTTCTCCGTAGCTGCGTCTGCTCGATGGCATGAAGTTTCCAGGCCATCGACGCGACATCATCGCAGTGACCGCTCGCATAACCTAACTCACTGGTTGATTTCCACACAGCTCTCGACTTCGATGTCGAAGTCGGCTGAGAACAACCGGTCGACTTCAGCGCGCTCGATGGAATGCGGCGGCCCGAGCTTACCACCTTCAAATGGCGGGTGCTCGACGCTCACGAAGAGCACCCTGCCCCCCGGTCGCACGAGCCGCTTTAGCACCGCGGCGTAGGCCTCCCTATCATCTGGAGCGACGGCCACCAACCCTCCTCGGTCGAAGGCCGCGTCGACGAGCGGGCACCTGTGTGGAAATCAAAATTTTACGGCGCGGCCGCGCTGATTCTTCGCGTCAACCTCCACGCCATCAACGCGACGCCTGCTCGACGGCGTGGCGGTGCCGGTTGATTTCCACACAATTGGGCACGAGAAGTTGCCGAGAAAATCACCAGTATGCCAGGTCAAGCGCTTGGAGCCGCCCTCAAATGGCAGCCGCACGACGTGCATCGTCGCCAAAGCGCCGCGGACATCATCTCCGTCGTAGTCGTCGCACGCGTGGCCGGCAATTCTGCGAGCCTCGTCCGCACCATAAGTGGCCTTGAAGGCGTCGAGCGCCGCCGGGACGCCCTCGACCGCCACGACGCTATGGCCGCGCCACGCCAGATGGGCGACGTCGTGGCTCTGGCCGGCGAGCGGCACGAGCACGCGCGACGGCTCGGGCAGCAGTCTCTCCTCAAACTCCGCGAGGCGCGGATGCACGGTCTTACCGAGCTCCCAGCCGCGCGTGTCGCCCTCCCAGCGCTTTCTCCACCTCGCCAGGCGGTCATCGCTCTGTTGGCAAGTCTGCTGCAGCGCCAGCGACGCGGCGATGCCCGCGGCGGCTCGCGGCAGCGCGCGGAGCATCATCTACTTGCTCCGCAGAATGAAGACGAGGAAGAAGAGGCCGCCGATGCCGCAGGCGCTCAGCGCGACGGCGCGCCACACGTTATAGGCTGCGGTGGCTGCCGCGAGTACGAGCTCTTCGTCGTCGTCAGCGGCAGCAGCAGCCTCGACGTCGTGGCCTTGCTTGTACTTGTGCAGGTATGCCGCCTCGCGCGCTGTGGGTTCAGCACCACTGATGCGGCGCATCGACTGCCACTGCGAGAAGAGTCACTTAGTAATGCGCAGTGCCTCCGCGAAGCGCTAGAGCGAGAGACACACTAGGATGCTAGTATGTCTCGCGTAGCTCATTTGGAAATCGAGCCAGCCGCTCGCTCGCGTCGCAGCGGCCTAGGAGGCAAACCAGCGTAGTGGGAACAACTAAGGACACAGCGAGGACGGTCAAGCCGCTGGTCCGAGCCCGACGCGCCGCCGGAGCCACCGCTGCCGCCAAATAGAAGAAAGCCAGACTCAGCGCGCGCCACGATATACGATGGCGCGGAAACGGAGAGGAGGAAAAAACAGAAAGCCCCCGACTGCCCAGCCGCCCCCGCGCCAGGAGACGAAGGAGGCGACCGAGGCCATCACCTACGCGTCCGAGGACGACATCGATTCAAGGGACGATTTGGATGATGCCTACGACGACGACGACGCGTCGACGGCGGCGTCGACGACGTCGCGGAGCGACGTCTCGGAGTTGGATGGCGAGGGCTCGGAGGGTTATCGGCCGGGTGGCTACCATCCCGTTAGAATTGGAGACGTCTTCCACGCGCGGTATACTGTGGTAGAAAAGCTCGGCTGGGGCCACTTCTCGACGGTCTGGGCCTGCAAAGACGCGGACGGCGACGCTCTTGTAGCGCTGAAAGTGCAGAAGAGCGCGGCGCATTACGCCGATGCTGCTTTGGATGAGATCGATCTATTGAGACATGCGAGAAGAGTCGCGGACGACGAGGCGAAGAACTGGAACAACCAGGGCGATGATCCCAGGGTAGCGTCGTCGCGCGTCGTGCGGCTGCTCGACCATTTTGAACATCAGGGCCCGAACGGGCGCCACGTGTGCATGGTGTTTGAGTTATTGGGAGTGAATTTGCTGAGCGTCATCCGGAAGTCGGAGTACCACGGGTTGCCCGTGGACGCGGTCCGAGCCATGACGAAGCAGATCTGTTTGGGATTAGATTTCTTACACAGAAAGTGCGCGATCATCCACACGGTCAGTGACTCAGCGTGGATATTGAACCTTACGCCATCGACGCGCGTCGTCTCCGTCAGACGAGGTCGTGGGTGGTCGCGTCGATGGCGTCTACGCGCCCCGCGAGAGAGTCGCGGCGGTTTCGCGACGGCGTCCGTTCCACACAGGACCTCAAACCCGAAAATGTGCTCCTCAAGCGCGCCCGAGCACCTAGGCCGGTAGCTCTCAGAGACCGGACGAACGGCACCGTTTCACCGGACAAGCCCCTCTCCGCGAAGATCGAGGAGCTCTCGCAAGACCTGACCCAGACCAATTTATCGGCGGAAGAGCGCAAGAAGCTCAAGAAGAAGCTCAAGAAGCAGCGGCAGAAACAGCGGAAGAAGGGCGCGCTCGAGGAGGTCACCGAGTCACAATTTGATGTACTAAGATTGCCAGATGGTACTGTAGCTCGGTGTTCGCTGCAGGGCATGATCGCCGCGAACTTCGAGGATGACGCCGTGCCCTCGACGCCGGAACCGTTGCAAGACGAGATCCAGCGCATGGTGCTGAGGGTCGCTGACGACGTCGAGGAAGGGTCACTGCGCGCTCGAGTTGCGTTTGTCGCCCCATGGGCGAAGGTGTATGGGGCGCTCGGGCCGGACCACCGGAGGAAGCCTTATGTTCCTGAGGCGCTAGATAGAGCTCAATGGCGATGCGCTCTAGACGGCGCGGATGGCCGCGAGACGGCGGTCTTTGCTGTGAGGGGAGATGGCCGAGAACCGCAGACCGATAGGGTTTTGGCTCGCGCTGCAGCTACGGCGCTCGCTTGTACGGCGAAGACGCCGACGTCTGATAGCATCATGGGTTTGGCGGACCCTACTTTGTTGAGTGCGTGGACGGTGCGCTTCGACCCGTCGAAGGCCTTGGCTGTCCTAGGTTTCCTGGAGAGGAAGGCTCCGGGTCTGAGATTTATGAGTTGTGGGCCTCGGTCGGACGAGAAGGACGCGTGTGGCGAGCTCCGCGCCTTCGCGGACGCGCGGGAGTCTTTCGCTGGTTTGGTCGGTGTGGATTTAGGCTCCCTACAAGCTTGTACTACTACAACAGAACGAGTCGCGCGACCGAAACCTCTCGCAAGACGCTTACAACTTGCGGCAAAACGCGCGCAGCCCCCTTCTACGGAAGGAGGTGCTCCGTCAGCGCCGGATGCGCCGCCCCCGGTGCCCGTGCAGTCGCCCACATTGGAAGTAATGGACGAGCCGGCGACGTTGCCCCCACCTCCACCAGATGATGGGGTCCCCGACGACTTAGCATCCTTATGTGATGCCGAAGTAGCCGTCGTCGACCTAGGAAATGCCTGCTGGCGCCACAAGCATTTTACCGAGGATATTCAGACGCGGCAATATAGGTCTCCCGAAGTGATAGTAGGGGCACCTTATGATACCTCAGCTGATGTTTGGTCATTAGCTTGTGTGGTTTTCGAACTACTTACCGGTGATCTATTGTTCGATCCGCGAGCGGGCGGCGACTATGATCGGGATGAGGATCATCTCGCGCAGATGCAGGAATTGTTAGGACGATACCCGAAAAAATTAGCGACGGCGTCTCGGGCTCGACGGTTCTTCACGCGACGAGGTGATCTCAAACACATCCACCAGCTGCGTTTCTGGGATTTGGAGTGCGTCCTCCGACAAAAATACCACATGTCGCCGGCCGACGCGCGCGAGGTCGCTTCCTTTTTGCGGCCTCTCCTCGAGTTTGCGCCGGACAAGCGATGCACGATGCAGGAGGCGCTGCGGCATCCCTGGCTGACCCGGCCGCAAGGAAGTTCCCCGCCACCTGTTGAGGAGGACGACGACGAGGAGGACAAGGAAGACGAGGAGGACGAGACTTTATCCACTTCCGATTCCGGGGGCTACGAGGATATTGATGTGGAGGCGTCGGACGAGTTCGACGAGGAGGACATTGACGGGGAAGAAGCGGAGGAGGACGAGCCCGAGGAGGTCGGGGGGCCGGTCGAGGCGGGGGACGTGTAATCTGGATTGGGGCTTTTAGTTTTTACTCCCTTGTGGTATGCTTACTCCCGAGCCCTCACGCAGCCTCCGCCGCAGCCTTCGCCGCCGCCGCCGCCTCGCGCTTCGCCTTCGCCGCGGCGGCTTTCTCGGCCTTCGCTCTCGCCTTGGCCTCGGCTTCTTGATGCGCCTGGTCGGCCTCCCACGTGATGACGGCCGTATCCCAGGGCCCCTTCTCCCACGGCGCGTCGTCGGCGGCGTCGACGAAGCTTACGACCTCCCGCATCGTCTGCAGCCGGTTCCGCGCAAGGTCCTCCACCCCGTCGCGCGCGAAGCGGGTCAAGTCGCGTTTCGCGCCCGGTGGTATCTGGCTCCAGAGCAAGTCGTCGCAGCCCCATGCAGCGAGGCCTTCGGGCATCGACGCCACGGGTGCAAGGCGCGGGCGCGAGAGGTGACGCGTCGGGACCAAGCCAAGAGCTGTTTGTGCCAAAAGCGCTGCACAAGCTATTTTCTGATGCATCATGCTTCGCTCTCCGTCACTGGCGGTGCTCTCCCAGCGGGGGCCACGGGTTTCAGTGGCGTGAATTGAGGGCGCTCATACGCGGCCCCTTGAGAAGTTATATGCGCAAAAACCGGCGTACGGCCAGAGCATCCGCCGGACCCCAACATACCAGCTTTTTGGGCTGGAAAAGGGCGACGCCGGCGCGCAGCACAGTGTGAAAGGGCTGCCCTCTCCCCGACGGCTTTGGCTCCTTCCGCGGCGCGAGACGGTCTACCCGAGCGCGGGACCAAGCGTGGGGACCTACCGAACGATGTCGAACGGCCGGAGCGAACAATGAGGCCCGAACGGCTGCGGCGTCCGACGGCGCATTTCGGGGTGCGCCGATGGGCCGGCGCGATGTCATCGAATCGCCGCGGTGAGCCCACTGACGTGCGTGGGCCATCGCATGCGATCCTTATAGATGCTCCGTGGCCACAGTTTTGGTTCCATCGGCTCGGAATGCACAATTTAGGGTCCACAAAGTCGGCCTCGACGCCGCGTTCGGCCCACTGAATGTCGGCGTTGTGGAGGTTTTGAGCGGTCCGAACGGTTCGTACCCACCCATGGGTCAGCATAGAGGCCCCCAGCGGCTGGACTACGCGCGGAGGCAATTTTTGTGAATTTTCTAGTATGTAATTTGTGCCTAACATCTGTCAAACCTCATGATTTTTTCTCAAACTTTGTGTGAATTAAGATGAGGTCTATATACGCCCCCTGACCGGTTTTTGCGCATAAAATCTTCGACGCGACGCCGCTAGAGCCGGAGCAAAAACCCGTGGCCCCCCATCTCTCCCAGCCAAATCTCTGCAACCAAGTTGTAATCAGTCGCAAAACGGCACTGTACGCGCAACAAGCTCCCTCAGTCCGTCGGTTAAGCTGAGGCTAGGCTAGGCTAGCCGGATAGAAACATTAACATGTCTAACGCCTATACGGCGAGAACCCCGCGAACGACGAGGACGGCATCACATACGTCTCGTCCTCAGCGATCTCGACGGCTCCGCGGACCTGCTCCGCGTCGAAGACGCCGACGCCCCAGAAACCGGTCCCGCCGCGCCGGACATTTTTATGGAAGAGGTCGTGGAAGAAGCGGTGCGGGAGGCCGAGCTGGGCCTCGAGCTGGAGGCCGCCGCTGGACGGCCCCATCGAGCCCCGGATCACCAGGAAAAAGTTCGAGTCGTCGCAGTCGATGCCCAGGACGTCTTGCATCCTCTGATGGACGTCGCGCCGCGCCACGACGACGTAGCAGAGCAACAGGACGTGTTCTACCTCGGGCCGCGCATCGCCCTCGAACGTGTTCGGCGGCTGATCCGTCCTATCATAAAAGTTCGGCGGCGCCAGCGCCGTGCCCTGCGCCGGGCCCGGCTGCGGGAAGCGCTGGGCCAGCGCGGTGCACTTCGCGAGGAGCGCCGGGGTCAGCACGGGTTCGAGCAGGCTGCCGGCCGCCGGCGCGCCGCCGACGCTCGGCGGCGTCGGCGGGCGCCGCGCGCCCGGCGACGAAGCGCACCGTGCGCACGCCCGCGCGAGCGCCGCGCACGCGTCTTGAGCGCTCGCATTCGCGGGCAGGCCCTCCGGGCGCTCGGCGGCGATCGCGCGCGTGTCCCGGAACTCGCCGTGCCGGAAGCGCTGGTAGAGGTCGTCGCCGCAGTAGCCGGCGGCCGCGAGCGCGTAGGGCAGCCAGCTCAGACAGAGCAGGGGCATGCCGTCGTCGAACGGCACCACGAGCCCCAAATAGAGCAAGAACACCACCCACTCCTTGTAACAGGGCAACCTGCGTTGAGACACCGATGAACGTGGAGAAACGTCAACTCTCACGAGAATAGATCGAATTGTAGGCTCCTCGAGTCGACGAAACGCCGGCACCTACCAAGGGTAGGGCTTGATCAGCCCTATCGACCACCGTCTCCCTTCGTCGGGTGGAGGCGGCGGCGGCGGCGGCGGCGGCTCCGGCGGCGGCACCGGCGGCTGCGTCCGCGGGTCCGGCGACGAGCCCGGCGACGCCGGCGACGCTTGCAGCAGCAGCCGCGGCTGCTCCGGCAGCAACATCTGCCAATGCAGCCCGTCGAAGTGTCGCAGCTGCTCCTGTGGCAGGACGCGGCAGAGCAACTCGTTCCCAGGTGGCAGCGGGTCCGGCGGCGCCGCCTTCACGAGGTCCCGCAGCTGCGAATACCTCCGGAGCAGCGCGGCGGGGCCATAGTCCCCTTCCTGCCACGGCCGGATCGTGAAGCCGCGCTCGCGCGCGCGATTGAGGTCGATGACGAGGCCGTGGGGCCAGCCCTGGCGGCACACGTAGGCCGTGTTGGCCCGGCCGACCATGATCGAGACGCTTCTTTCGTAGCGCGAGTCGAAGTCTAAGGCGCTCGCGTCGAAGTTGTGCGCCGGCGGCTCCAGCGCAAACGTGCAGCCGCCGAGGTAGCAGCCCACGAGCGCCTCCGCGTAGCAGCCCGTGGTGATGGCCGCCGCGAACGCGCCCGGCACGTGGCCGCGCATGACGTAGGCGACTCGCTGCATAACCGATGACGTGTATGCATTCCCTGGCAGGGAATGCTCGAGCTCGTGCAGCGGATGCTTCACGAGCTCCTCCAGTTTTTGCTTGCGCCGGCCCAGGTCCAAGTCCTGCAAATACGTTGATAGCGCTTCTACTTCTGACGCAACTTCGGCCGGCAATGACGATGCATCACTGTCGCTGGTGTTATTATCCATTTTTACAGCGTTTTTGGACCTCGGCGACGTGCGCAAACGCTGTCGACGTAGAAACCCGCGAGCTCAGAGGCTCGGGGCTCAATCGCTAGTGATTTAGCTTTAGCTTTGTCTTAGACTCTACAGCCTTAGTGCTCGTCAGGTTGCTCCAAACAGCGCCACCTCGTCGGCGTTTCGCCCACAGCAACGACGCACGACACGCTTTTCGTTTGGTTAGGGCGATGCACTGGCGGCCGGCGCGAGGATGTACGCACGGTAGAGCAAAGACTCGGCGTTGCTCGGCTCGGCGCTGCAGAAAACTAGTAGGAAAAACCACGCACCTTGATGAAATGTAACGTTGCCAGAGTCCATTGAAGAAGAGAAGTCCGTGGGGCGAAATATTGGTTTCGACGCAGAGCGGCGACGGCGTGGCCTCGACAGACACGGCGCGCCGATGCCCTAGCCGCTGCTCTTTTCAGGCGTGCTTGCGTCGCGAGATCACGCCGTAGACCTCGCGTGCTACATTCTACCGCACCACAATAGCCCTTGGCCGCAATTTTAGATAATTCGCCGCTTGTGACGCTGCACGTGCAGCAATCACGTAGGCGCACAAAAATCCATGGTAGCAAACGGGTTTTCGCCGATTTTTCAATCCGCTCCTCCTCGAAGCCCCAAGTAAAGCTAAAAACACTTAGAATACCAATGACGCGACGTACGCAACCAGAACCACCAAGACAAAAAGCACCGCGAGGACCTCGTACCGCAGCGCGAACCAGTAGAGCCCCGCGAGCTGCTGGAGGTACTCGACATTCTGTTTCGCGCTGAGCTTCGACTCGCCCGCCGTCCGCTCGCGAAACGTGATGGGCACGTCTTCCACCGAAGTGCACCGGCAGCGGACCATCACCTCCAGGCCGACCTTGAAGCCCAGCGGCCGTGGCTCGCCCTTCGCCAGTACTTTTTTGGAAGTGCAGAAGAAGCCGCTCATGGGGTCCGTCGACGTACACAAAGGCCGCGCGAGGAGCGTCGCGCCCGCGGAAATGATGACTCTCACCACATTCCATTCGAAGCCGACGCCGCCGCCGCCCACATGTCGAGAGCCGACGCTGAAGTCCGCCCGTCCTGCGAGGACGGGCGCCGCGACGCTCGGCACGGACTCGGGCTCGTGCTGGAGGTCGGCGTCCATACAGAGCACAGTATCATATTTCGCGCGCGCGAAGCCCAGCAGTACGGCCGAGGAGAGGCCCCGGCCTTGGCTGCGCGCGCGCGTCTCGAGGCGCACGTCAAAACCCTCCTTCCGCAGCTGTTGGACGATGCTTTGCGACGCGCCGGAGCCGCGCGACTCGTCGTCGGCGAAGAGGAGGTCGCAGTCTAGACCCGCGGCGCGGGCTGCTTTGAACAGCCGTTCCGTCAGCGGTCGTAGGTTGTCCGTCTCGTCGTAGGTCGGGACGACGACGGAGAGCTGCTTTTGCGGCGCCATTTTTGTGCTTTGCAGCGGTTCGCTGCTTTGTTTTCGAGGTTTATCACGCCGCGCGTATTTTTGTGGGTCAACGACGTGCGAAATTGGCTGCAGGGTAGGCCCAAGCTCGATACGCGTTGATTTTTGCGGCCCGTAGCGCGGTTGAATGCCGTTTTTCGAGGCTGTTGGCTGCGCGTGGATCGGTGAGTTGCTTCTGTGCGACAAGAGCTAAAGTGGCCAATGTGTAAGCGCGACACGCGTTTCCACAAAGCGCTTGCTAGTGTCTTACAGGCCGCTAGCCTCACAGCCGTGCCTAAAAAGCCGCATTGCTCGCGTCACACTTCGCGCGCCAGCCAAATCGTTCGTTTGTGAGCCGTTACAGCTGTGGGACAACGATCCTGCCCACACTACATTGTAGCCCACAGCCGACAGCACTAAAGATGTCCCAGATGGGCGGCGGCCTCCGCTGGCACGGCGTCTCGAAGACGGGCTCGACGGCGACGTCGCGCATCATGAACGCCGCGAAGGCCGAGCGCGAAAAGGCTAATAGATCTGCCCCAAAGGTCGGGTCCGCCTCCGTGACCGATGGGGACGACTGGCTCGCCGTCGCTGCCGCCGAGAGGGCAGCGAGGGAAAGGACGGGCGCCACGGGCAACGCCTTCGCCGACGGCGCGTCGCTGGTGCGGGAGGCGAAGCGCCAAGCGACGGAGGACGACGACGAGTTCGCGATTCCGGCCCAATCTAAAAAGGCGCGCGTCGACGACGAGGCCGACGGCCCGCCGCCGACAGAGAAACCAACGGAGAAGGTGGAGCTCTCGCGGGAAGCGAAGCGCGAGGTCGAGCTGTCGATCATGGAGCTGCGGGACGAGCTCGAGGAGGAAGGGTTGGACGAGGACGCGATCGACGCGCGGTGCGACGCTTTGCGAACGAAGCTCCTCGAGAAGGCCGCCGCCGACGCTGTAAAGTAGAATAGATAGTTTTTTTTTTACCCTCCGCTGCCTACTTCTTGGTCGCCGCCATCGTCTTGCCGCGGCGCCCCGTGGACTTCGTGTGCTGGCCGCGCACGCGGATGCACCAGTAGTGGCGCAGGCCCCGGTGGGCCCGGATCTTCTTGAGCCGCTCCAGGTCCGACCGCAGCGTCGTGTGGAGCGTGTTCGCGAACGCCTGCGAGTACTTGCCCGTCTTGTAGTCCTTCTGTCTATTTAAAAACCAGGTCGGGATCTTGAACTGCTTCGGGTTCTGGATGATGGCCACGAGCTTCTCGACCTCGTCGGCCGTCAGCTCGCCGGCGCGCTTGTGCGCGTCGACCGCAGCTTTTTTGCACACCACGTTCGCGAAGCGGCGGCCGACGCCGGGGATCGCCGTGATGGCGTACATGACCTTGCGCCGCCCATCAATATTCGTGTTGAGCACGCGCAAAATGTGCTGGAAGTCGGGGCTGATGACGAGCGACATCGTCTCGGGGGATTTAACCTGCGGGCGCCGCGAAAGTGAGCGTGCTGGCCGCGGTGGGAGCTATGCCGGTGTGTGTGGTGACCTCTGCGGCCGCGTCTAGCGGCGCGGTCGCCCCGCGGCGGCCTATCTCGGCCTTGCCACAATATGGCGATTCAGCGGCGCGTCCACGTCGCGCGGAGCTGTAAGCTGTCCGACACTGTAACGCACGGCTCCGAACAGCCCTACAACCACAGCTAGAGGCGACAGCGGCTTTGCGCTGCGCAGTAAATTACAATCGCTGTCCGCGACTTTGACAATCACCAAGTCTTTGCGCCTCTGCGAACACAGGCTGTGGGGACGTCCAGCGGCGACATGGGAGTGGCTCTGACACCCCAGGGCTTTTTGGAGCTATCTTTTTTCGTTCTAGTACGTCTACGACACTAGTAAACATCGACGCCGGCCGCAAAGCGTAGGACACGTAGGCGGCCGACGGACGCCACGATTCATATCTGCAGCCGAGACGAGTCATATCTGCAGCCGCGCTATATATCTCAACAAAAAACAGCAAAGCTCTGTGTGATGGCCTGCACCCCCGCCGTCGACGCGACCTCCTCTTTGATAGGAGCGGCTCTATCGGCAAGTAGCTGCAAGAGCAGATCTGTACCCATCTTCTACCTGCGCCGGGCTGGAATAGTCGTGTGCGGCTCGCTCACCTTTGTCGCGCTCTCAACGAATGACACGAGTACAGTAGCAAAAGCATCAATCGGCTCATTAGCAGCTCTACTAACATTAGGACGGTGGGACAACGCGCGCGCCGAACTCGCGCCGCGCTGGGAGCCCCACGGCCGCGGCGCGTCCGACGCGAAGGGTGAAATTTGGGCAACTTTAACTGTCTATGTTACTGGCGCCGCCTACGCCTGCTTGCTGAAAAAGCTTACGTTCTATTCACCTCTAGCGGGCGTCGCCGTGGCCTTGGGCGTGGCCTACGTCGCGTCGCGGCCGGGCGTGTCGAAACCGGGCGGGCCGCGGCCGCAGCCGATTGGAAGGAAACCGCAATTCGACGCGGCGCCGCGGCCGCCGGTCCGCGGCTGGCGCTGCGCTACGGGGAGCGAGAGTCATGAAGTCACGGCGTTGGCCGCGCAGAAGCACGGTCTGAACGCGTCCTTGAGCGGAGAAAGTTCAGGACGACAGATCTGGCACTTTGTTGGAGAAGAAAACGACGGCGCCGGAGGTTGCGAAGCTTTTGATCCCGCGAAGAACCCGAATTCGTCAGATCAGTTATACAGGAGGGAGCGGTTGCGGACTTGGCGGCAGAAACACGGCGACGACGTACCCGTAAAAGATCCATTAGAACGCGCTTTAAAGTTCTACCGCAAGCTCCAAGTCGACGACGGCCACTGGGCCGGCGACTACGGCGGGCCCCACTTTCTCTCACCTGGACTTGTAGTTATGTGGTATGTTACTGGTAGAAGAGATAGCGTCCTAGATGCCAACCAAAGAAACGCCATGAAGCGGTACTACGAGAACCACCAGCAGAGTGACGGCGGCTGGGGCACGCATATTGAGTCTCCTTCGACCATGTTTGGCACTACTCTGACCTATGTGGCTCTACGACTGCTCGGAGAGCCCGCGGAAGCACCACGCCTAAGGAAAGCCAGGACCTTCATCCATTATCACGGCGGCGCGACGTACACGGCGTCCTGGGCCAAGTTCGCGCTGTGTCTGCTGGGTTGTATGGATTGGGAGGGCCACGAGTCCGTCCCGCCGGAGATGTGGTTACTACCAAGGTGGTGCCCCTTCCACCCGTGTCGGATGTGGTGCCACGCGCGCATGGTCTATTTGCCCATGGGTTATTTATGGGGTAGTCGGTGGGTCTACGCCGACGCGGAAACTGATGAGACGGTGTTATCACTGAGGAGGGAGCTGTACCCCGAGTCTTATGAGAAGATAGATTGGCGCGCTTCTAGAAGTTTGGTCGCGCCCATCGACGACTACTCGCCCGTCGGCGTCCCGATGAAACTCGCGCAGCTGGTGTTGCGGTGCTACGAGTCTTCTTTTATCTTGAAACCGTTCCGGGCCTTCGTAAGGAGGAGAGGATTGGCCTTCTCCGCGGACTACTGCAAGGCGGAGGATTTACAAACGAATTTCGTGGACATAGGGCCGGTCAACAAAGTGTACAATATGTTGGTAGCTTATGATAGGAACGACGGGACCTTCGACGCGCATTGTTTGCGCGTGCCCGACTATCTGTGGGTCGCCGAGGACGGCCTGAAGATGCAGGTTCGTTGTTCCGTGTCCTCTTTCAATCGCGTACGCCATCGCCGCTCACCTTACAACGCGCGCAGGGCTACAACGGCTCGCAGTGCTGGGACTTGAGTTTCGCGACGCAAGCCATCGCCGAGGCGCGATTGGGCGACGCGGCCTACCTCGAGGATTGTGTGGTGAAAGCTTGGAACTACCTGGAACGGACCCAGATCCTCTCGACGGAGGTCAGCCAGGCGTCGCCCGCTTTTAGGTATGAGGACGCCATCAACCGCGAAAAGTACTTCCGCCACGTCAGCAAGGGCGGCTGGCCCTTCTCCACGTCGGCGCACGGCTGGCCCATCAGCGACTGCACGGCCGAGGGCCTGAAAAGTGTTTTAGCATTGCGGAATTTGCAGTGTGTTATGAAGAAGGGCACGTCCATCTCCGACGAGAGGTTGTGCGACGCGGTGGACGTCATCCTAGCGTTACAAAATGCTGATGGGGGGTTCGCGACGTACGAAAATAACAGGGGCTACGGCTGGTACGAGTGGCTGAACCCGTCGGAAGTGTTTGGGGATATCATGATCGATTATTCGTACGTCGAGTGCTCCATGGCGTCGAACGGCGCTTTAGCGAGATTTCGGGAGGCCTTTCCTACCCATAGACAGAGGGAAGTGGATAGAGCGTTAGCTAGGGGCAACGCCTTCCTCAAGTCCATCCAGCGGGAAGATGGAAGTTGGTACGGCTCCTGGGGCTGCTGCTTTACGTACGCGGGCTGGTTCGGGATTGAGGGCCTCGTTGATTCAGGCGAGGACCCGTCTACGAGTGAACCGGTACAGAGGGCTTGTGCTTTCCTACTAAAACATCAACGGGCGAACGGGGGCTGGGGCGAGGACTTCACGTCGTGCTTCGACAAGGCCTACGCGGCCGACGGCATGCGGGACTACGGCGACGACGGATCGGGCGTCGTTCCGACGGCCTGGGCGCTACTGGGCTTGATGGCCGGGCGCTGTGCGGACCAAGCGGCGGTCCGAAAGGGCGTCGCTTACTTGGAGCGGCGGCAGCTCGAGTCGGGCGACTGGCCCCAGGAGGGCATCGCGGGCGTCTTCAACCGCGCGTGCGGGATCACGTACACGGCGTACCGGAACGTGTTCCCGATCTGGGCCCTGGCGCGCTACCGCGAGGAGTATTTGCTGCATTCGTAAGTATGTCGTTTTATCGAGAACTTACACAGTACATTGAATCTCACTCCTCCATCGCGTCGGCGCCGGCGTTTTTGGCGCCGCGCGAGGGCTTCTTCGCGCTCCGCTCGCGCGCCTTCGCGGCGCACTCGATGGCGATGGCCCTCCGGTCGCCCTTGTCTTTGCTCACGAGGACGGCGAGGTTTTTGACGTGCGGCGCCGATTTCTTATGCTTGCCCGTCCGCTGGAGCGGTCGCTTCGTCTGGCGCTTGCGCTTCGCGAAGCCGGCGGACTTTTTGCTCTTTTTGTTCGTGGCTCCCATCGTCTGTATGATCGATGTGCGCACCGATTGGAATGCTGGCGGCGTTTCAGCTGTGGTGCAGTGTCGCAGAGCGCTGGCTATGGTGCTGCAGCAGCGAGTTGAGCTTGAAGCACAGCGGTGCAAGGCCGGCAGGTCTTAAGCACTTGTGCTGCTGGATGCCCTGAAACGCACAACTAAGCGCGCGCGGCACACGTAGACGCGTACGACAAGTTCGCCTGCTCTCGGTAATCCTAGCATATGTGTACGCTAGGTCTGCCATTTATCCTGCGTGCATCGTGAGCTCGCGGGTTTCTACGTCGACAGCGTTTGCGTGCATCGTGCTGGCAGCGTGCAAGCCACCATGCGTGTAACTGTAGCATTGGGCTGCGCTGCAAGCCATGCCTTCCGACCACCGCTCCCACGCAAACTGCCGACCACGACACGCACTGCCATCGACGACCTCTACACGTCCAAGGGCGTGACGACCACTACCACGCGCGCTGCCGTCGCGCCGCCGCCAGGCAAGAGCTGGCGCACGAAGGAAGGCCCACAATCAACACTCATCGCCGGCGGCGGCCCGGCCGGGTTATTAACGGCAATAGCCTTCGCGAAGCGCGGCTGGACGAACATAAGGGTCGTGGACAGATTAAGGGAGCCCTACGATCCGGGGGATGAGCTCATCTGGTCCGACGCCGCGCGCTTCTACCTCGTCGGTCTTGGACTAAGGGGCCAGACGGCGCTGACGGAGCTCGGCGCCTGGGACACCGTACAAAGCTACTGCGCCGAAGTTGTAGGGAGGAAGGACTGGGCGCCGGGCGCCGGCCCCGACGAAGGCGTCGAGCGCATTTTTACGGACCGGCCCGTGTCGACGCAGGTCATTGCCAGGGACCGCATGCAAGGTGCTTTGTATAAAGTCGCGAAAGAGAAATACGGATCTCAAATTAACTTCGACTGGGAGACCGAGGTCGACGTCGAGGACGACGACGTGACATTAACGAAAGGTGCGACGGAGGAGGTCCTGCGGCCCTCATTAATAGTGGGCGCCGACGGCACGGCGCGGACCGTGGCCATGGCGCTCGAGGAAAATGATCGACGAGTCAGGATAAAGCGCTACGACGACGACAACTGCCGGGTCTTCAAGACCGTTCCCTTAGATTTACCAGAAGGTTGGCGCGGCGACGTGAACTACTCCACGCGCTCGAAGGGCGGTCGCATGAATTTTGATGCCTTGCCGTCCGACGCCGAGAACCGGCGCTACTGCGGCGTGCTGTTGTTGCGGGAAGGCGACGCCCTCGCCCAGGAGGACTCCTCTCCCGACGAATTAAGAGCGCTCATGAAGGAGTGCCTGCCGCAGTTCGAGCCGTTCGTGAATGACGAGAATTTGAATAACATCGCGAAGAAGCCCGCTAGTCGTTTACCTGGGTTCCGGTATGTGGGCCCCAGGATCCACAAGGCCGATAGAGTTGTGCTGTTGGGGGATGCGATCCATACCGTGAAGCCCTACTTCGGGCTGGGCGCGAACAGCGCCTTCGAGGACGTCACGTCACTTGACAAGTGTCTTGATGAGCATGACAACGGTGCCGACGCTCTCAAGGCATTTTCAAGGGCAAGAGCCCCGGAGGCGAAAGCGCTGGTCCAGATCTCGCGCGGCTTCGACCGGCCGGGGTTCCGAGGCTTCGTGTCGTTCATCTTACCTATCATCCTGGACTCGATCTTCCACGCGAAGTTCCCGAAGGTCTTCGGTCCGAACACGATCGCGTCCTTGCAGCGGCGGGACACTTTTGTTAGAGTGCGCTGGAACAAGCGGCGGGACCGCTTGCTACAAGTCGCGGTGCTGGGCAGCGGGCTGTACCTCGCGGCGTCCTCTGTGCGTTTGTTGGCGCGCCTCGCTTTGTCGACGCCGGCGGCGCGGCGCACATCCTTAATCGGCGCGGCGGCCGTCGCGGTAGCTGGCCTTGCTGCGAAGGCCCTCTCGTTTTTTGAACGAGGTATGGCTCCAGCGGATGTATTGACGAAGACGAACTCCTCGCCGGTGGCGAACTCGAACGAGGACTTCGTGACGAACTAAGACTTAATTAATTAGAGCTCGACCTTCCCGCTGCCGCGAAAGAGCGCCGCCGTGCGGAGCTCCGCATTCCTAAAGTTCGTCGCCAGCGCCGGGTCGGCCGCGTGCGCCGTGAACATGTGCTTCAGGAAGACCCAGTGCGCGACGACGGCGATATTCCGTTCGGGCCGGTTCTTCAGCCAATTCAGGAACTCGTCCGCTCTCTCATAACAAAGCGTCGCCGCCATCTCCGAGGGCTCGTTCTCCTTGCGCGCCGTCCACAGGACGTCGTCCTCGTCCTTCACGAGGGCGAAGTCGACGAAGGGGAAATCCTTCCTCAGGTCAGTCAGGGTCCGCCGGTGGTCGCACTCGTGGACGGAGATGCGCTCGCGGCAGAGTTCGGTGCCGACGAAGGTCGTGGGCCAGCCTGGCAGATCTTTAAAACCGGTTTGAGCCGTCTGGATCGTGCGCGACAGCGTGCTCACGACGACTAACTCTGGCGGCGGCACGGACCTTTTGCGGAGGTCTGCGTTCAGCTGTTGCGACTGCGCGACGCCGGCCGGCGTCAGGCGCGCGTCGCGGTACTTGGGGTCGAGCCCCAGGTTGTCGGACTTCCAGTTCGGCAGCTCGCGCTCGCCCTTGTTGTGGTAGCCCTCGGCGTGCCTCACGAAATAGATCGTCTTCTCGTCGTCGCTCGTCGCCTCGCCGGGCCGCAGCTGGAGCTGCGGCGAGGTCGTCGCGAGCGCGCGCGAGGCGAGGGTGGTCGCGAGCAAGAAGTTGCGGCGCTCCAGCAGCAAGCGCGTGGCGGCGAGGAGGCGCACCATATTTGTGGACGCGGTGGCGCCACAGAATAGCGTCAAAACGCGGCGCCGGCGTGTGTGCAGTGTGCACACCCAGTGGTCAGTGAGAGCAGTGCAGCACAAGCTACGCGCGGATCTTGCACGAGGGCTCGAACAGCTCAACTAGCGAGCGATTCCCAGCAAATGCGCACGACGGCTGCACGTATACGTTGTTGTCACGCCGCGGACGCCAAAGGCGATAATCACTAGCGACACAGAGGCACTAGCTTCAACGCGTCCAAAGCCGCTGTGCGCAGGAACTCGAGTGAGAGCAGCCGCCGAGCTGCCAAAACGCGCCCCCGCAACCGAGTTATAGGAGAGGGGCTGCCCCGCGCACGAGTATGACGAGCATGTGGACCTACCCCGGCCTCCAGCCCGTCTCCTGCGACGACCGCACGCGCGTCCAGGAAATACCGTTGGCGACCGTCCGGATAACCATCTGCGGCGAGCCGCCGGTCGCCATGATCTGGAACCCTGATTTAGCGCCGACGCTCCACCCGGATAAAGTGCGGCGGTGGTTTAACGGCGGCGGCATCGGAGGCACGGGCGGCTCGACGCAGGACTGGGACGACGACCAGGTCGCCGAGTTCGTCCGGCTTTTGTGCATCGTGCACCACGGGCCGAGCATTGATAAGGCGGGGCACCGCGTACGGTTGCGCGAGGACTGCGGCGAGTTTTTTGAATATATGAAGCGGCAGAAGCTGAGGTACGACCGGGAAGTACTATTGCACTGGTTCGCGCTGAAGTTCGTCAATGAACGGGCACAAACGAAACGCTGGGTCACGCCGTCGAACCTCGAGGCGCTCTGGGACGCGGCGGCCGAGGCGCTGGAACGGCCCGCGGCGCCGCCGAAGCTCAAGCCGCATCCCGACCCGCCCTGGGGGCCCGACCCCGACGCCGCCGCGCCCCCGGAGCCGCCGCTGCCCGACGAGGCGCCCGCCGAGGAGGCGGCGCCGGCGTAAATGAATGTGATTGGTTCTGGGTCGTAAGGGGGGGCACCGCGCGCCGATTTATCGGGCCGGGCGGCGGGCACGTGCCGCGTCATTCATAAGCAGAACCACCTCGGCACCCCCGAACCGGAGCGCGTTGGCCGCCGTTCACGGAGTTCGCCGTTCGCTTCGATGTTACGGTGCTAGGACTTCGCCGTTCACAGCTAGTGTGTGTCGACACACTAGGTTTTCCTGGAGGGCAGAGCGCCGACAATATGGCCATGTCCGCGCAGAGCGCCGCGCCGGTGGGTGGCTCCCATCCACGACACCGCAGGCGGTAACTGGTGCGAGTCTGACGGGCAGCCTCTGCCGACAGCTAAACAAAAAACCACTGTAGCGCCGCAGCAGCGCATCGCAAGCGCGCGGTGATGCGGCGGGCGGCGGTCCTCGCGGCGTGCGCGGTCGCGGCCACCGCGCAGACCGACGACGGCGGCGGCTTCGCGTGCGTCGCCTGCGCGGCCGAGGAGAGCCTCACCGCCTGGTACGTCGCCGTCTCAAACACCGAGTACACCTGCGACCCGGCGACGTACCCTATCTATGTAAACAAGGACGGAGTCCCGACGACGGCGCACGTCTTCAAGCACCCGGCCTGCAGCTACGAGTACGGCACGCGCGCCGGGGCCACGGGCGGCGCCATCAGCTGGGTGACGCAGTGGTGCGCCGACGACGGGACCATCTGGGAGGCCTCGGACTGCGCGTGCGAGGCCGCGGGCGGCGGGGCGTGCGCCGCCCCGGGCTACGACGACGACGACGGCTACGACGACGACGACGACGCCCCCTGCGACTACGACCCCGGGTCCTGCGTCGACGACCGGACAACCACGGATGCCTTCGGCGACGGCTGCGCGTGGTACGCTTGTAACCAAGGGGAATGCGGCGACTACGACGACGGCGACTTCGCGGCGCGGGACCAGTGCTGCGCCTGCGGCGGCGGCACGCTCGCCCCGTCCGCCTCCGACGACGACACGAATAAGCCGTCCGCCTCCGACGACGGCGGCGACGGCTGTGTGCTCCACGTCGCCGGTCCCGTCGTCACCTCCCCGAGCAACCAGGTCGCCACCGTCGACTCGCTCCAAAACTACGAGCTCGCGTTCACGATGGAGCTGGCGAGCGACTGGACGCCCAGCCTCGGTACGGGCCATTGGCAGTCCATCCTCCGCATCGGCAATTTGGATTACCAGCGGTTGCCTGGCATCTGGTTTCACGAGACTCAAAACGCCTTGTACGTGATGCAATCCTACAGCGGCTGCGTGGGGTCCCCGTGGTCTAATAACATCTGCGAGTGGGGCGTGACGACGACGGGCGTCACCTTTACGGCCGGCGTGACCTACGAGATCAGAGTTGTCGTCGAGAGCAACCAGATGACAGTGTACGTCGACGGCGTCTCCGTCGGCACTGCGTCGGGGCCTGCGGTCGACACAGTGACGGACGCGGCGGTCTACGTCGGGGATCCGTGGTGGGACTGGGACACCGCCAAAGTGACGCTCTCCGACGTCACGCTCTCCGACGCCGCGCTCGCCGGCGCCTGCGACGCAAAAAAGTCCTCCGATGGCGGCGGTCTGTGGGTCACGGCCGACGTGGGCACCTACGACGAGATGCAGGCGGCGTGCGAGCAGGGCGGCGGCCACCTCGTCGTGCCGGCCTCGGAGGACGAGCGCCTGGCCGCGCTCGATGCAGTAAAGGCGTCGGTCCACGGCGACGTCGAGATCTGGGTCGGCTACACGCTGCCGAGCGGCAGCGACCCCGGGACCATGGCGAACTACGACGGCGAGAGCGGCCTCACCATGGAGGAGGTCGGGTTCTACCTGTGGGACTCGAACTGCGGCAAGTGCGGCACGAGCCAGTCGTGGGACCGCTGCGTGCACCACACCACCGTGGCGACGGGCGGCGGCACGCCGGGCTACTACATGGCCACGTGCTCCGGTCCGCGGCCCGGCGTCTGCCAGCCGGCCGGCCTGTGGGCCGGTTCGCTCGCGCCCGGCTACACGCATCTCCCCATGACCTGCGTGAACCACCACAACATCGAGCTCCACGCGGGGAAGACCGTGGCCGAGTGCGCCGCGATTTGCGACGCCAACGCGCTGTGCCTGGCCTTCGAGTACGGCGTTGACTACGGCGGGGACGGTGAGTACGAAGCGGGGGACTGCCAGGAGCAGAGCTCGGCGGTTCTGAACGGTTGCGACGGCGCGCACCACAACCTGGACTTGTACGTCAAGGACCAGTCGTCCTTCCCTCTGGACGATACCACGATCCGCGAGGCCGTCGCGGCGTGGCTCGCGGACGCGACCGCCGCCGAGGCGGCGTACGGCCACATTTCTACGTGGAAGACTGGGGGGGTGACGGACATGGCAGACTTGTTTTGCGCGTCCGAAACTAACGGTAATTGCGCCTCCAGCTCTTCTAGCGATCACGCGGCGGCCGCGGCGTCCTTCAACGAGGACATCAGCGCGTGGGATACCTCGGGCGTTACCACGATGATCAGGATGTTCTACGAAGCTTCGTCCTTCAACCAGCCGCTCAGCGGCTGGCAGGTCGACAAGGTCACGCATATGAACTACATGTTCGGCGAGGCTTCGGCCTTTAACCAGGACATCGGTGACTGGGCGGTCGACAGTGCCATCAACATGAAGTACATGTTCTACAAAGCCTCGTCGTTTAACCAGGACCTTGGTGATTGGGCGGTCCACAGCGTTACGAGCATGAACAGGATGTTCCAATCCGCCACTGCATTTAACCAGGACCTCGGCTGGTGCGTGGTCAACAACGCGGACCTGTATAGCGCCTTCTACCTGTCCGCGTGCGAACCCAATTGGATTGGCGGGCGCACAAGCTGTGGCGTCGTGCGAAAGGACGAAAACGGCGAATGCTCCACCGAAATCCTTACAGACAACTCGATCCACGTGGCGGTCTGGCGGTGGTTCAGGGACGAATCTGCCACCGAGGCCACGTACGGCCACATTTCCACGTGGAAGACATCAGAAGTGACGGAAATGGATGATTTGTTCATAAACCAAGGATCCTTCAACGAGGACATCAGCGCATGGGATACCTCGGGCGTTACAATGATGGCCAGGATGTTCTACCAAGCTTCGTCCTTCAACCAGCCGCTCAGCGGCTGGCAAGTAGACAAGGTCATGAATATGAACCAGATGTTCGGCGGGGCTTCGGCCTTCGACCAGGACCTCGGCTGGTGCGTAGGCGACGACGTGCTCCAGGTAGGCGCGTTCGACAACGCCCCCTGCGAGGCGACGTCGTGCGGCGTCACGCAAGGCACCTGCAAACCGACGCCCGCGCCGACAGCCTTCGACGGTAAGTTCTACGACAGCAACATCAGAACGGCCGTCATCGCGTGGGCCTCAGACGCGACGGCCGCCGAGGCGACGTACGGCCCCATCTCGACGTGGGACACATCGGGGGTGACGGACATGGAAGGCTTGTTTTGCGCGGTAGATTTAGACGACGACGGCTGGAGCGATTGCCTGGGCTCGGCTGCAGCGTCCTTCAACGAGGACATCAGCGCGTGGGATACCTCGGGCGTTACAATGATGGCCAGGATGTTCTACAAAGCTTCGTCCTTCAACCAGCCGCTCAGCGGATGGCAAGTCGACAAGGTCACGAATATGAACTTCATGTTCAGCGAAGCCTCCGCCTTTAACCAGGACATCGGTGACTGGGCGCTCGACAGCGTCACGCACATCACGTCCATGTTCGAAGGCGCCTCGGCCTTTAACCAGGACCTCGGCTGGTGCGTGGGCGACGACGTGAACCTGGGCGACGCGTTCTCCGACACCCCCTGCGAGTCGACGTCGTGCGGCGTCGTTCAGAATGCTGCGGGCACGTGCGCGCCGACGCCCGCGCCGTCGCCCAGCGCCGCGGCGCCCGACCACCCGCACTGGCGCTGGGGCGCGGCGGGCCAGAGCTGCGACCAGGCCTGCGCGCCGACGGGCCTCGCGTGCAACGCGCAGCCCATGGCGACCGTCACGACGCTGACGCGGTTCCGGGCGCTCGCCGGCGCGATCAACTCGCCGACGACCCCCGACGGCATCACGGGCGTGGGCGGCCACACGGCGCCCGACCAGGCCCCGTTCTCCGACATTGGGTCGGGAAACGGCGAATACGATCAACTCGCCTTCCTGGCGACGGGCACGCCGACCTGCGCCGGCGCGCACAGCAACCGCGCCCGCCTCTGCTACTGCGGCGCCTTTGATGACACGAGCATCGTCACGGCGCGCGACGCGTGGCTCGCGGACGCGACCGCCGCCGAGGCGGCCTACGGCCACATCGCGACGTGGGGCACCGGCGGCGTGACGCACATGAAGGCATTGTTTTGTGCGAGCGCGGTGGGCGACTGCAACGCGGCCGCGGCGTCCTTCAACGAGGACATCAGCGCGTGGGATACCTCGAGCGTCACGACGATGTGGAACATGTTCAGAGGAGCCTCGTCGTTCAACCAAACGCTGGGCGACTGGCAGGTCGACCAGGTCACGGACACGCGCTTCATGTTCGCCGACGCCGCGGCGTTCAACCGGCCGCTCGGCGACTGGAGCGTGGGCAACGTCGGGGATATGCGCCAGATGTTCAACGGAGCCACGTCGTTCAACCAGCCGCTGAGCGGCTGGAGCGTCGTCCAGGTCACGAATATGAGGGGCATGTTCCAGGACGCCGCGTCGTTCGACCAGGACCTCGGCGCCTGGAGCGTCGGCGGCGTCACGAACATGGCGAACATCTTCAACGGCGCCTCGGCCTTCGACCAGGACCTCGGGTGGTGCGTGGCCACGAGCGTGAACAAGAACAACGCCTTCGCCGGCAGCGCGTGCGCGGCGACGGCGTGCGACGTCGTGGCAAAGGACAATTGCGCTAGCGTCATGGACGACACCACGATCCGCGAGGCCGTCTCAACATATCTCGCCGACCAGTCGGCCGCCGACGCGACGTACGGCCCCATCGAGAAGTGGGACACGTCCCGGGTCACGGACATGGCCGGGCTCTTCTGCCGGGACTGTGGAATGGAGACGCAGCACTTCAACGCCGACATCCGGGACTGGGACACGTCCGCCGTCACGTCGCTGCGCCAGACGTTCAAGGGCGCCGCGTCGTTCGGCCAGCCGATCGGCGGCTGGGACGTCTCCCAGGTCACGGACCTGCACGAGACGTTTCGGGGAGCGACGAGCTTTAACACGCCGCTCAACGACTGGGACGTGGCTCAAGTCACAACCTTCTACCACACGTTCGCCTGGGCCACGGCTTTTAACATGCAGCTGAACAAGTGGGCGATGGGGAGTGCCACGACGATCGAAGGCATGTTCCGCAACACGAACTACAACCAGAATTTGGGCTGGTGCCTCGAGATTGATCTTGTAGACGTCTTCAAGAACGCCGCGTGCAGTTTGACGGCGTGCGGCGTCGAGCAGGGCTTCGACGAGGGCGGCCGCTGCAAGCCCCTCGTCACGCCCGCGCCGACGCCGGCCCCGACGCCTTTGCCAACACTCGCGCCCACGGAGTGTTCGGTGCGGGCGCCGCCCCAGGTCCTCGAGGCGACCTTCAGCCCGGGCGTCGAGGTCATGATCAAGTTCGACGCGCCGACGGACATGTTCTCCAAAAGCGTCGAGGAGACCTTCCAGTGCTACGAGGTCCTGGACTTCAATGATAACGACCGGGACTCGACGCCGATGGACTGCTCGTTCATCAGCAGCACGGCGGTGCTGATCGCGGCGAAGGACGAGGTGAACCGCGCGGGCTGGACCGTCGCGCTGCGGCCGTGCGTCGTCGGGCTCGAGGACGCGAAGGCGTGGGACTGCGACTGCGCGTCGACCGAGGACGACATGACCGTCGTGACGATCGAGGTGCCGGACGAGCTCCAGAAGCCCGAGGCGCGGCTCGAGGGCCCGCAGCAGGCGGCGACCTGCGAAATTTTAAAAATTGACGCGTCGCCGTCGATCGGCGGGCTGGGCAGCGCCTTCACGTCCTACGCCTGGGCGGCGGCGGCGCCGGACGCGTCGGCGGACGCCCAGCAGGAGCTCGCGGACGAGATCGCGCGGGCGTCGGTGAAAAACTTTCACACCTTGAACTTCCCGACCGGGCTCCTTGCGCTGCTCGGCGGCGACACGCGCGTCGACGTCACCGTCACCGTGACGGACTGGATGGGCTACGAGGACACGTCCGACGTCTTCAGCGTCGAGCTCCTCGCCGGCGAGCCGCCGACGGTGTCGATCCCCGGCGATCCAACAAGAACGCTCACGCGCGCCGACGCGCTGGGCGTCGAGGCCGTGGCCATCGCGACGGGCTGCGACGGCCGCCCGGACGTCGACCGCGGCGTGGAGTACGCCTGGGATCTCACGACGACGGAGGGCGCGGCGACGGGGCTCGCGTCGGCGTCGCGGAGCCCGAAGAAGTTCAGCCTCGACCCGTACGCGCTAACCGTGGGAAACTACACCCTGGCGGTGACGGCGACCGACGCCGGCGACGCCGGATCAAAAGCAACCGCGACGGCGTCCACGTCCATTATTGTGGAGGCCGGCCCCCTCGTGGCCGAGGTCGTCGGCGGCGAGGCGCAGGTCGCCGTCGCGGGCGACACGGTGCGCCTCGACGCGTCGCCGAGCTACGACACGGACGTGGAGGGGGTTACGGGCGCCGCGGCGGGCCTCGAATTCTCGTGGAGCTTCAACAAAACTGTGTTAGCGGGCGAGGTCGTCGACCTCGCGCTGGTCGGCGACGCCGGCTGTGTCAATGAAGAGGGCTGCGAGCTCGTCGTGACGCTGACGGTCACGAAGGACCGCCGCGCGGCGACGGCGGCGGTCGTCCTCGAGCTCCTCGTGCCGGAGGAGGTCGTGGTCCTGCCCAGGGTCGACGTCGACGCGTCGGCGCACGCGTCGCGCCGCGTCTCGGCCCAGGGCACGGTCAAGCTCCTCGGGACGGTGTCGTCCGACGGCGGCGACGGGGCGCTGGCGTCGACCTGGGTCGTCGACGGCGCGCTGGTCGTGTCGGAGGGCTGCGACGACCTGGCTTGCTGGGCGAACACGGGCGTCGAGGAGGGCGGCGGCGGCGAGTACCGGCACGACCTGGTCGTGGCCCCGGGCGCCCTCGTGGGCGGCGCGACCTACGGCTTCCGGCTCCTGGCGGCCTTCGCGGGCGCGGACGTCTCGGTCTACGCCGGCGTGACGTTAACAGCGGTGACGCCGCCCGCCGCGGGCCAGTGCGCCGTCGCGCCGCAGGACCCCGGCGTGTCGACCTACGTCGCGCTGTCCACCAAATTCGTCGTGTCGACGGCGTCGTGGGTCGCCGCCGCCGAGGACTACCCCCTGGAGTACTCGTTCCAGGCGACGGCAGGCGGCGTCACGACGACGCTCGCCGTCTTCGGCGACAAGACGACGGTCGCGGACGTCTACCTGTCCGCCGGCGACGTCCAAGTTGTCGCGATGGCGCGGGACGCGCTGGGGGGCGTGGGCGAGGCGAGCGCGCCCGACATTGTGGAAGTCGCGGAGACGGCGCTCGAGGGCGAGGCTCTGGAGGAGAAGACCGAGGAGCTGTTGGACGAGGCCTTCGCGCTGGATCGGACGGAGCAGGTGCTCCAGGTCGCCGTGGCCGTCAGCGAGGCGGACGTCGAGACGACGGCGGCGACGACGGAGATTCTGGTCGACGCCGTTGCGGCCGTCGTCGAGACGCTGGATGCGGACGAGTCGTCGGTCGAGGCCGCGGCCGTCGCCGCCGAGGTCACGTCCTCGACGCACCTGACGGCCGCGGCGGCGAACACGTCCCTGAATTCGGTGGGGCAGCTCGCAGCTCTCTCCACCGAAGTGGGCATCACGGGCGTCGCCGCGGACGGATTGGTGGGGACGCTGTCAAACGTGTTAAGTGTGGAAAACCTCCCGCCGAACGCGACGGCGGCGCTCGGCGAGAGCATCGACGCCATCGGCGCGGCGTTGGTGTACGACGCGGTGCCGGGGGAGAAGTGGCGCGGCGTCGAGAAGGAGCACGTGGCGCTCGGCGCGCAGTCCGTCAAGGCGAACGCGACGAACGCGAGTCTGGCGGCGCCGGGCACGAACTCGAGCGTGGCGCTCCAATCAACTAGGAATATCGAGGTCGTCGTGGCGGAGCTCGCGCGCGACCCGCTGGGCGGCGACTTCGAGGCGACGTCTCGCGTCGTTCGGTTTGGCGCCTTCGCTAATATAGACGGCGAGCGGCGGCGGCTGTCGAGCGGACCAGTCTTCACGGCTTCTATCGTTGTGGACGCGGGCAACTCCTCTGAGGTCGCACGCGCGTTCGACGAGGGCCAGGTCCTTCACACAAATTTGACGTGCCCGTGCCACTTCGTGGGTCTCATAAATGCGACGTGCCCCGACGGGAGGAACGTGAGTTTGAGTTGCGACGGGCGGCCGCAGACCGTGGCCGCGGCCTGCGAGGCGGGCACGACGCAGTGTACCACATCCGAGAATGGTCGATGGGTCTACGACGCCAGTTGTAAGGCGACGCAGTTCGAGAAGCGTACTCTATGTGTATGCGAAGCGTCACCGGACGACCCGAAGTACTACTCGACGGCGACGGCCGCGCGCACGCTGATCAGCGTGTACAGCGCCCATTTGACGGACCCGCCCGACTTCCGGAAGGCGAAGTGGGTGCTTACAACATTGATGGTGCTCTTCGGCTGCTGCGTCCTGATGACGTGTTACGGGCGGCGCCTCGACGCGCGGGACCGGCGCGAACACGAGTTCTCGCGGAGCCTGGATTCATTGTTTGACGGCCTGGACTCGAGGCTGGGCGGCAAGGGCGTCGGGCGCTTCGACGACCTCGCGCGGCCCTGGAAGAGCCGCGCCGCGACGGGTTTACGGGTCCAGCACCCCTTCGTCAACTACTACTGTATTTACTCAAAGACGATCCCGCGGGGCTGGCGCGCGTGGGTTTGTGGGTTTGAAGTCTTGGCGTTCTTATTTGTATTAGCCGTCCAGACGAACCTCGAGTACCCGGAGAGCGCCAAGGATGCGTGTGGCGCGCGCGACATAGAAGACGACTGTCTCCAACTGAAAAACGTCTTCCGGTTCCGCGTCACGGCCAACCTCAACCGGGGTTTAGAATTCGCTCCAAAGAACATGTGCGCCTGGGACCAGTGCTCCCAGAGCTGTTTTGCCGTGGAGCCGGGCGACGGCGCGACGTTCGACCCGTCTCATTTGTTACTTATACTGGCCGTCTTCTGGTGCACGATCCCGTTCATCCGCATCTGTCTGGTGCTCTTCGAGAAATATTTAGTGGCGCCCGTGCCCTACGCCCTGCAATGCTGTCGGAGCGGGACGCGGTCGGCGCGCTGGACGACGTGCATGAGTCCCGAAGGCGGACCGGCGCAGCCGGACGCCGAGAAGGGTCTCGCCGTTGATGATGACGACTTCTTGACAGCTTTAGATGACGTCGACGCCGAGTGGGACAACGACGAGGACGACGAGTGGGGTAATGATGATGACGACGTGGCGACGCTCATGAATGTGGTGACGAAGGCGGATATAGAAGTGGCGCGGGCGCCGATATTGAGACGGTCCCTGTCTCAACACGATAGGGATGTGTTGCGGGAGGAGCAGCGGACGTGGGCCGAGGGCGTCGCGCGTGATTTGAGGCAAGCGAACCTCGGCGTGATATCACCCGAAGACCTAGCTAAAATCTCGGTGCCGGCGGGCATGAAGGCCGTGCTGAAGAGCGACGTGCTGGCTGCCTTATCCTTCGGCACGGACGAGATCGATCGGGCTACGGCGAAAATCCTGGGCGAGCCCGTCGCCGACGCGGTCGTCATGAGGGCGGCGGAGCTCGCCGCGCGCGCGCGCGAAGCTAAACAACTGGACGTCAAGGGCGCCAGTGATGCCGCTACGGTATTGCAGTCGCTCTCTCGCGGCTTACTGCGCGACTGGCAGTACACCCCCACAAGAAAAGTCTTCGTCCAACGCGTCGAGGCGCGCGTCGCCAAACATTTATCAAGAGCAAGAGTGTGGAACGAGAAGCTCCAGTGCGGCCCCCGCCGGAAGACGGCGCGCTTCGACGCCATGGTGCGGCGCGAGCATCTGAGGCGGACGCGGTTCCACGTCGCCGCCGAGGCCTCGAAGCGCATGAACGAGAAGTTGGAAGCCCCCTTGCGGCCTCCTAGAGTCTGGCAGTACCTCGGCGCGTGGCTCTTTGTGCTGGGTACCCACGCCTTCTTCGCCTACTACCTCATTACGACGGGCGCGCAGTTCGGCCTCCAGAAGTCAAAAGTGTGGCTCATCGAGAGCTTTTTCGCGACGGTGACCATGTTCCTGATCGTGAAGCCGCTGTTCGTGGTCTTCTACTATTTGATGGTGCCGTCGCTCCTCGAGGAGAACATCGCCGAGGCCGCCGAGGCGCGGAAGAGGGGTAGGAGGGCAAGAGCGTTACCCTTCGCGACGGAGCTGCCCACCGGTGCCACGTATTATGTCTTGAAACGCCGTCCCGAACTCGCCGAAACGCCGGCCGGGAAGATCGTGGCCTCGGAGCAGGAGGCGTCGCAGGGCCCGCACGACGCCGAGGCCTTCGTGCGCTCTCTCGGAGAGGCTGCACCCGGGCGCCTCACGTCGATTGCTGTGTGGAAATCAACCAGTGCGTCGGGTGCACCCGATAATTCTTCACTAAGTCATTTCTCGGCGATGACGCTGCCGTGCTGGCTCCGTCGAGCGGTGAGGAACCGGCATCGTCACGCCATCGAGCACGTGTCGCGTCGATGGCGGTGAGGTCGACGCGGCGATTCAGGACGAACGCGCCGTAAAATTTTGATTTCCACACAGGTCGATTTTAGGCCACGCCCTCGTTTGCCTCGTGGGTACGTTCCTCCTCTTACACGAGGAGGTCCAGGAGACGATGCTCGAAGAGTTAGTTGCGGCCTTACCCGTCTTCGCGAGTGGCGTGCTGGGCCTCATCCCGACGTCGCTCATGGAGCGCGACGATGGGGTGGGCGAGATGATGTCGTTAATTGTAGTCGCGATCTGGGTTTTGATCGCCTACGGCCTATTCCTATTAATGCGGAATATATACCACGTCTTCCTGGAGGCCGTGGACCCGGAGCAGAAGGCCCACGCGAGTTTGAGGAGGCGTGGGCCCAAGATCCTCGCCCGACTAAAAAGGGCGGCCTCGAGCTTCCGGCGCCCGAAGTCGCCGCAGGAACCGGACCTCGCCGCTACTGCCGAGGCGGCTAGGAACCAGCTCGCGCTCGTTCCGGTCAAGGCACCCCCCGTCAGCGTCGACCGGCCGCTTGTTGAGCTTTCACCGGAGGGAGTTGCCGCGTGGCTGTTCCTGCAAGAGCTGCCCGGAGATCCCGCGGACGTGGACGCGCTAGGCGAACGCGTGCGCGAGCGAGGCATTCCCGGTGCTGAGTTTGCGCGATTGGACGCGGATGAACTGAAGATCATGGGCGTCACGACGCTCGGTTTGCGCAAGGCGATCCTGCGGCGCACCCGTGAGGACGCTGCCGCCCAGCGCGCCGCTGCGCAAGCGCTCGTGCGCGTGGGTGCTTCAAGAGGAGCTGCCGTGACCTCGGAGAGCTCTGCCTCCAGGGCCGCAAGCACCGAGCCTGGACGGCAGCTCGTCACGCGCGACGCCCTCGCCCCGCGCACTGAGGAGGCGGAAGTCGATGCCTACGCCGAAGCCGTCAAGAAACGCAGGGCCGCTCTGCGGGCGATCTTCGACCGCGTCGACTACAACCACGACGGGCAAGTGTCTCGAATCGAGGCCATCAAGGCGCTGCGGAAGGACGACGAGTTCGCGCGGATGCTCGGCTTTGCGCACCATACGCGCGTCCGCCAGGAGGACGGCACGCGCGACAAGTTGATGCTCGCCTTCGGCGCGCTCGACGAGAACGAGGACAAGATGCTGTCGTTCGAGGAGTTCCGGCACGCGTCCCTGGTCGCGTTGAGCTCGGTGATGCCGTCGCCTCCATCTGAGTCGGGCATGGCGCTTGGGGTGCCTCCGACCCCGCCGGTGCAGATGGGCTCGGGGGACGTGAATGCAAAATTGTAACAAGTTAACTTAACAAATTGGGGGCAATAACTTTGGGGGACTAGAATGGCTTTCCCACGAGACCCTCGTGCCGTAGCTGGAACGCGAGAGTACGGAGCCCTCGTCGAAGCTAGAGCGCACGATGGCTCCTCGTGGGTCTCCCGGCCGCCACGGCGACGTGACCGACGACTCGTCGTCTCCCTTCTCGACCAGGACGATCGACAGCTCCTCCCGCTGCGGCTCCTCGTCGTAGAAGCCGAGGTCGAAGTCCACGCCGGCGGTGTCGTCCGCGCCGCCCGCCACGCCCTCCAAGCAACTGCGCCGGACGCCGTGGGCGACGAGCTCCTCGATCACGACCTCTGCGCGCCTTTTGGCCAGAGCCTCTGCCTGCGCCTGCTTCCGACTCGTGAGATCGCCACTCCTCCGCACGTAGACGTTGACCGTCGCCCTCAGGGCCAGATTCCGGTGGGCGCACTCGGCGTCGGCCGCGCATAAAGCCGGCGCGACCTCGTCCCGCAGAATGGACTTGGCCTCGAGCTTGAGGTCAATGCCGTTCCGTACGAACTTGATGCGCGGCGCCCGGAACACATCGAGCAGTCTGGACGAAAACGACACTTCCGCCTCGACGCCGTGGCCCCGCTCGTCGCCAAAGTCATCAAGCCGGTCCTGGACGCAGTCGTCCAGCTCCTCCAGAAACGCGACGTCCGAGCGACAGCGCCTCACGTACTCGAGCCGTTTGCGCCGGAGCGCCTCCTGTAGCGATTCATTGTCCACAATTTCTTGAATGGCGGGTATCTCGATCAATTCCTCTTCCGACTCGGAAGACCACCCATCTCCGAGCGGCGCCGGCTCCGGCGGCGGCACATCCTCAGAATAGGCCTTGACTTTGGCTTCGTTGGCGCGGGCTTGCATCGTCAGCGCGGCGAGGTCATCTCTCCTCCCATAGTCGAAGGCGAACTTATCTTTGTGCGCCCGTTCCAAGTCGTCTAATCTTTCTTGCGCTTCCGCGGCGTAGCGCGCAGCCAGACAAGCTTCGGCTTCCACGCATTCGAAGGACGCGAAGCCCACCAAACCTAATCTTTCACCCTCTGCGAGCGCAGCGCGGATCGAGCGAAGACAGCCCGTTTGCGACGCGCTCAGCAAACACGCCTTGGCGTTGTCGAGCTCAAAGGATTTCCTCCTCCGCTCGGCAAGCCACTCGCCCTGGCGGCCCGCGCGGCCCGACGCTTGTTGAGACATCGGTTCCACGGCTAGTGCCACCTTCCAGACCGCATTGGGCTTGAGCCGCGCCAATAGGATGCGGTGCGCCGCGTCCGAGATGCCGAGCTGTTTTCTGAATTCCGCGGCGAAGGTTTTTGCATCCTCCGGTTCGCCCGCGTCGCCCGCGAGGCACATCTCGAGGACGGTTTGGTACGTTGAATTGTTCTCGACGCTCGGGCGGCGCCGCTCCATAGGCTTGCGCGTCACTTGCTCGAGGTGGTCGGCCGGCTTCTCCTCTTTGGCCAGTAGCTGAGCGAGCAGATCGGGCTCCTCCTTCTCTACGGGCTTGGGCTTATCGGCTTGCGTCACCAAGCCTTGGGACGTGGTCGTCTGCAGCGCCTTCAGGAGGCGGGCCTTGAGTTCGCCCTTGAGGCCTTGAGTGGACAGGCCGCGCTGCTTCAGAGCCGCCTTCAATTTGGGCGCCGTCATTTTTTCGACTTGCGATGGAGTGACCGGGTCGATTTTACCTGGTGATGAGGGCGGCGGCCGCGCCGGCACGTCGGGAGCGTCACCGCCGAGCTCGGCCGCCATTTTCTGGACCCAGTAGTCGCCTTGCGTCGTCTGGCCGACCGCGGCTTCATTATATGCGGCCGTGTTCCGCTCCGCCTTCGACACGTATCTTACTGTCATGCTCTGCGCGAGGTCCTCCTCGGCCTCGAGGTAGGTCCGCGGCACGTACCCGGAGTTCTGGTCGCTGACGGCGAAGACCCAGCCCGGCGTCGTCGGGCGGCTCCGCTGCCCCTCCGACAAGGGGCCCAGCTCCTCCCGCAACACCAAGACTTCTTGGTTGTCTTCCACATTTAGCTCCGCGGGCTCCACAGCTTCAAAGGCTCGCCGCGCTCGGGCCTTGCAGAGGATACTGCCGCGGGGCGGGTCGTCGGGCACCGCCTCGCGTCTCGACCAGTAATTCCGCTCCTTATCTTGCGTGCGCTTTCTTCGTCGCGGCGTCGCTTCCGGCGTGTGAGTCGTAGAATCAAAAAAGCCACGCGGTGATGTCGCCGGCGTCACCTCGCCGATCGTCACCGTGCCATCGTCGGAGCAGGACTCGTACTCGCCGTAGGTGCTGTCGAGGTGACTTTGCTGCTGGAGTTCGTCGTACCAGGCGTTCGGCGACGTTGGTTCTTCCGGTTGGCGGACCTCTGGCGTCTTCGGCGGCGTGCGCGCCGGCTTGAATTGCTCCCTGGCTGGCTTCTTCTTGGCGCTGCCGAACCAGCCCATGGTCTGGCAGCCCTTTCAGGGTCTCACTACTCCCAGCGCTGCGCACGGTCGAGCGGTTCTCGACGAGCGCGACGCCCTCCTTCAACGTGCTCGCCGCGGGCAGCCCAGACGCCGGCAGTGATCTGTTTTGTGAGAGGCGCTGCCAAGATGGCGCTGGCCTTCGCGAGCTGCTGCCGTCGCCCGCACCGGTCGGCGCCCGATAACGAGATGTCGGAAGCGTGCCGGAGAGCATGCATTGTGTCTGACCCACTTCGTGCGGGTTCGCTTGCTGCCGGCTCACAAGCGGACGGCGTTGGCAGGGCAGCGCTGCCCCAACAAGTCAATCAAGGCCCACGATGGCACACACCACAACTTAGATCAAAGCCCACGCTCGCAGCGCACAAATATGGCCTCGGCCTTCGGGGCCAAGCCCCTCCCCAAGCGCCTCCAGACGGCCACCAGACACGACGAGTGGGACGACGTCGAGGTGCCGGCCTTCGTGACGCCGTCCTTCTACAAGCCGCCCCCGCCCCCGCTACCGAAGGAGAAGCCCGCCAAGCCCTTGACGAAGAGTCAAAGGGCGATGGCGAAGGCCCGAGCGGCGAACATGGGAGTAGCCTACGGCAAGCCCCGGAAGAAGGTCAAGAAGGCGCCCGTCGTCGCCTCACCTCCGCGCACCGTCAACACGCCAGTGAAGTCCGTGACGCTCGAGGCGTCGTCGCCGGCCAAGTCAGCGGTCTCGTTCAACAGCAGCGCGCTCAAGTCCCAGGCCGTGACGCGCGGCACGCTACCGGTTTCCGTGCACGAGGACATTGTGTTCGGCTGTCCGGAAGAATTGAGGAAGGGTTATTACCTGAAGGAGGACGGCTGGTTTCCCCGCGGACTGCTGTATAGGGACTGGGCGCGGCTGACGCCGTTGGACGGCGGTAGCATCGACCTTTCAGATAGGTGCTTGAACGACGGCGATCTAGCTTTGTTTGGGCAGCTCCAGTTGACCGTAGATCAGCGGAGGAAGTCCTTATCGGATCGAAGCGGCGGCGGCTACGTGCAATCATTGTGCCTCAAGAAGAACACCAATATATCCTATAAAGGCATCGAGGCCTGGCCCGCTTTTGAACAACTCACAGCACTGGACGTGTCGGACTGCCCCCTTTTTTGTGATCGCGCGTGCGAGCATCTACGACGGCATACGAAGTCTCTGACCTCGTTGGATGTATCTGGCACACAAGTAGGCGATGACGGCGTCCATTCCGTGCTCGCTGGTTTAAAGTATCTCAAAAAGTTGTACTTGAGAAGGCTGAAACATCTCAAAGACGCGGGCATAACAAACATAGCCGAGGTATTAAAAAGAAAGAAAACATTACGAGTGCTCGATTTCCGGGAGACGCCGAACTTCCGGAATGACGCTCTCTTACAATTATTGGCTGATGGTGGCGGGCATTTATCAGAGCTCTACTTGGGTAAATGCAAACAAGTCGACGCGTTGGCTTTGTTAGGATTAAGGCGAGAAATGGGCTCGTTGAATCTGCGGAAGCTCGACATCTCGTACTTATCGAAGCTGAGAGGTGGCACTACGCTACTAGCTGGCTTCGCATCAAGCTGTGCTTACTTGGTCGAGTTACGGTTATCCCATTTACATGAGTGTGTGGACGACGACGCTTTATTGGGCTTCGTCGAGGCGTGTACGGGTACGATACCGCCTCTCGAAATCGTGGACCTCGCCGCGAACTACAATGTTAGCTCGCGAGGATTAGGACCGTTCCTCGACAAAGTGAAAGAAACGATTAAGGTCCTAGACGTATCTTTATGCAATAAACTAGACGACAAGTTCGGCGAGGCACTCGCAAACTGCCTGCAGCTCGACGAAGTGGTCATGGTCGACTCTCCCTTGCTAGGTGACCGAGGATTGACGAGTTGGGCTAAAGGCCCACCACCGAAGATAGACAAATATGGGAAGGTCATCCCCGTCCTGGAGCGGACCTGGCGGCCCGGCGAGCCCGAGCCCAAGCGCATTCGGCTGAAACTGAAAGCGTTGACCATGCAAGCCGCCTTCAGCGGTACGGTAGATGTATCAGCGCGGTGTCGCGTGCCGCGGTACGCGGAACCGGGCTTACGAAACCTCTTCCGGAAGTGCGGCAAATTCTTAGAAAGATTAGATCTAGATGGCGCGCCTCGCGTCAACGACGACTGCATCAAAACGATAGCCAAGCTCTGCCCTGCCTTGAAACAGCTCGGATTGGACGGCTGCACTGCTGTCACCGATGAAGGCATGGTCGAGATCGGGCGAGGCTGCCATAAGCTTGAGAGGTTGAGAGCTGCAGGGTGTGGTGGGGACTACACGGGACTATCAGACAAAACGGCCCAGGCGTTGGGCCTCGGCTGCCCCTGTCTGAAATTCTTGGACGTTTCAAGGTGTGCGTTTACAAGAGAAGGTCTACGAGCCTTAGCCGCCGGTTGTCGGAAGTTGGAAGTGCTAAAATTCTATGGCTGCTACGACGTCGAGGATGAGGGAATAGATGCGATTCTTACTTTCTGTACTTGTCTGAAGGTGTTGAATGTCGGATCGTGCGACTTGGTAAGTGACGCGTGTCTGGCGCACGTGCAGAACGCGCGGGAATTGCGAACTTTGGATGCAAGACGAGTCAACAAGGGCAAAGGTTTCCGGGCGAAATCTTTAAAAAGATGCGCCGTATTACTCCCATACGCTAAAACAACATCAGACGGGTTAGCACCTGTCGAGAAAGGGGTTGAGAGATTAGTACAATACCAAGAACGAGCTAGAATAGCGTACGACAAGTGTCGGAAAATACAAGCAAGAGTAAGGAGAAACATCGCCGTGGCCGCAGCTCTCAAAGCCAAGAAGCGGCGCGAGAAGGAGCGGCTCTTCATGGCGGCCTTGATGTGCATCCAGCGATGTATAAGGCAAAGAAGGGCCGAGCTTAACTATCGGGCGATGCTCAAGGAAAAGTATCGCAAGGAAGCTTGGGACGCCGCGGAAGCGGCGAAAGAATTCTTATTAGAGCTAGAGATCGCGCGCCAGCTCCTGGAGCGGCAGCGAGTAGCACACCTTGAGGACCTGGTCATCAAGTTTAAGAAGCGTGGACGAGCTTTGGCGTTCGTGCGGTTCCATCATAATAGGGACGAGGCGCGGTGGTTGGAGGAGTGCTGGGTCATACTCCAATCATGCATAAGATGCGCTCTGGGGAAGATGCTGTGGCGAAGGCAACGTCGAGCCGCTATTATCATAGAGTCTTGCTGTAGAATCCCTCTAGCTCGCATAAAGTTCGCCAAGCGCCACCGCGAGTACCGCCAAGAGCAAGTACGAAAGGCAGCTCAGGCAAAAATGGCGGAGATCAAAGCCGTGAATGCCATGCGCCGCCAACAGGCCCGCGCGAAGAAAGAGAAAAAAATCAAGGAACAAAAGAAAATCGAACGGCGCAAGGAATTGGAGGACATCATGGCGTCCGTGGCGCGCAAGGACCTGACGCCCTATGAGCGGGAGAAGCGCCATCGGCGGGACATGGCGTGGCGGATCCAGACGTTCGCTGCTCGACCCTATATCGAGCGGCAACTCCTGAAGAGGAACAATGCTGCTACTTCCATTGAAAGGGGTTTCCGAGCTCACCTAGCTAGAGATATGGTCAAGCGATATCGCAGACGGCAGAAGAAGATTATAGAGGCGTGGGAGCGGTTCGGGCACCCCAATACGGTTGTTAAGATCACGGAGAAACGGCGAATCGCCGCGGAGTTATTAGCCGAACAGGCCGCCCAGGAGATTCTTAGAAGGAGTATGGCTCAGCTCAAACTCAAACGATTTGTACGGACCAGATTAGCTCGGAACCGAGCTGCTAAATATTGGCTCAAACATCGCGAAAACCGCCACGCGACGACGATACAGAGAAGGTTCCGGATGCGAGTTACACAGAAAGCTGTTGTTGCGATGAATAAAGCATACAACAGAGCATGTTTCAGGATCGCAATGTTGTGGTCGAAGAGGAAAGCTAGAATAAGGTACAAAGCGATCCAGCGAGATATGGAAGCCAGGAAGGAAGAAGAAGCTTTAAAACATAAACAAGAGCTCATGAGGAGGAAGAACTTCCGGACGGTGAAGAAGTGCTTCGAGAGTGGCCGAGAACGCGCGGCCATAAAAGTGCAAAAAAAATGGAGGGAAAATAGAATTGAAAGCAATAAGCGGGCTCGCCGATGCGCCGAGGCCGGCGAGGCCCTCCACCTCAAGAGACTCGAGTTCGCCATGGCCGAGAAGGCCAAAGAAGCGAAAGCTCTTCACGCTCGTGCCTTGTATCATGGTAAATTATTTGCGATGAAGGCGGCGAAACGAGCGGCCGACGGGGCTCGGAAAGCGGCTCGGGACATCTTCAATGCCGCTGCTGGTATCTCAGAAGAGGACATTATTCGGAGGGGCTACGAGTTACCAGAGGTCAAGAAGGATAGTGCGGTGGAGCGCATTTTCGACGCGGTGTGGAAGGGAGAAACGCAACCTAGACAAAAACGTAAAGAAGCGGACGAGCAGATGGAGTCGTCTATCTTGAATTTACAAAGTAGATCATTGGCCCCTCGGGGTATCGTGGACTTCCAGATAACTGTTGGTCGCACGGAGTTAACCACAATGAATGAAAAGATGGACCAAGCTAAAAATATGAGACAACCCGTCTGGGAACGCATCAAGAAGGACCTGTCGACGAACAAGTCGAAGATCTATATCTGGGTGCTCATGGGGTCGGGCCAGCGCGTGCTCACGTCGTTTACCGTAAGAAGGGCGCCGCCGAACCACAAGAACAAGGCGGCGAATGAGTCTCGCGTGTTCGGAGCGTTCATCTCCGGTACGGTCATCAGAGGTCATGAATCCTTGGGCATGGAGGTGCACGCTGATGCCGGGATCTTCCGAGGCGAATCGGCGCCGCCAATCGACGCCCTCAATGTCTCGAGGAATGACAAGGAAGCGGCATCCTACAAGAAGCTCGGCTGGGAAGAAGTCACACCGGCCATCAACAGTTGTGGGGATCAAAAATTAGGCAAGTTTCATATTGTCGTCCACCGCAAGAAGTTCCACAAGCGCGTCGTGCTGAACGTGCTGACGCTTGGGTTGCTGAAGCGCGAGAAGTGGTGGACGAACGAGCAGAAATTGATAGATATGATCGAGGTCTATGCCTTGCCGGTCGACGCGATCCATAAGCTGCGAGAAACGTTCGACAATTTGAATTATGGCGCTAATGATAGGATCGAGACGAGGGACTGGCTTGAAAGTCTAGGAGAGCAGAAGGAGCCCATGCCCTTGTATATGAAGTGGTTATTAGAGTTAGTGGAGACCGAGTCTTTATCTGGTGCGCACATCACGTTCGGCGAGTACGTCGGCTCCGTCTGTTATCTATGCATGTTCGACATGATTGGGATGTTGCGGTGGTTGTTCAAGTCCGTGACGGGTCGCGAGTCCTGCTTCCTCGAGAAGACGGATTATGATTTATTGACCAAGGGCCTCATGATGACGAACCCACTTCCCTACAGGTCGGAGGACATCGACCAACTCTACAAGGCTTATTCCTCAGATAGGGGAGAGGTCTACTTCGAGGATTGGGTGAAGATCGCTGAGAGATTGCCGATGCTGCTCTTCGCGTTATTGCGATTCCAGGCGTCGGTCATGAAGGACAACCTGGGAGAGCCGTTCTGGTTCAAGAAGAAGGGCGACTTCGACAAGTTAAGGACGAAGCTCGGCGTCGAGCGGGCGAACCTGCTCGAGTAAGTACTGTTTTGTGTTTTACTCGCCCGTCACTTCGCCCGTCCCGCCACTTCTCCCGCCCCCGGTCGGGCCGGTCCCGAGTGTCAGACCGGTGTGTTGAAGCACTGTTGCCAGTGCTTTCCTTAGAGGGACCGCACGCCTGTCCCGCCCCCATACGCCGTCGCCCCGAGTGTTCCTTCATACAATCACTTACAACATCACAGCTCCCCCGCCGCGTACGGGTCGTCGTACATGTCCTCGGCGTCGTAAGGCGACTCGTAGGGGTCGTCGTAGTCGTCAAACTCGTCCAGCTCGCAGGCGGAGTCGTCAAAGTCGTCGAGCTCGCCCATAGCAGCAGCAGCACAGGACGCGCGCTCGAGCCGCTCCGCGAGGTCTCCGGCTCGATTGACCGCGGCGAGCGCGGCCGCCTCCGCCTTGACGAGGTCGGCGCGCAACTGTACAATGTCGTTGGGCACGCTATCCATTCCGAGCACGTCGCAGTCGACCGGCACGTCGAGCGTGGCCTCGTACGTGCAGGTCGCCGGCTCGCGCGCGTCGCGGAGCGCGTAGGCCTCCGCGCCGCATCGTATGCTCACCGTCGCGTTGCGCGGCGCGGCGCCGCACACGTCGCCGTCCGCATACACGAGGCTGCGGCCGCGCCACGCTGCGAAGACGCCGAGGACGAACTCCTGGCCCGCCAACGACGTCTGCGTCGCGTTTGCGAACGGACAAACTCTAAGTTCGTCGGCGCCGAGTTTTGTAGATACGCAGCGGCCTCGGAAGGGGAGCAGGGCCGCGGGGCCCGCGGGCGGTGCCGGCGGCCGTCTTTTTTCGGTGGTTGTGTGGTCTAGGCCCCGTGTGAGCCTGATTTCTTGCTGCTCGGAGGCTGCTGCAGCCGTAAGTAAGCTGATTAGCCACATGGCTATTCGAGTGCTGCTCGCAGCGTCGACTGAGCAGCTGTTTTTTTGTGTTCGGCTTGTGGCCTCGATAAATGAGTTCCAAAATCAATCTATGGACAGCGCTGGCCGCTGCGCGCTTTTGTGCCTAAAGTTTGCTAAAATCGAGGTGCTAAATAATCTCAATCGGGTTGTATGTACCCGCACGTTAAGCGAAAGCCTGGGAGAACGCCTTTCCAGCGCCTTTCCAGGCTTCTAGTGCTCCTCTGACACCACAGGCCTCTCTTAGTACGTCTTTTCGTCATCCCTCATTTTGCCATCGCTATCGCCTCGAGACGGACTTGGGCCGTATTGGACGAGGTAAGAGCCTAGAGACGAATCCAACCTTCAAGAGCGACTCAGAGGCACGTGTGTCAGCGCTGACGAGCAGCGCCTGCTTCAACGGGCGTCAGTGAGCGAGCTCCACTGCTTGCAAGGCAAGCTGCACCAGGAGCCGCCGCCGCGGCCCGCGCTGGCAGGAGTGCGGCTGCGAGGCTCGACACGACACACCAGACGCTGTCGCTGCGCAGAAGCGGTGATAGGAGACGCCAGAGACACGCAGAGACGCGCCGGTCGCCCTCGGAGGCGAAACGCCCCGGCCCCCCCGCAGGCAGAACAAGATGCCGTTCGTCCCCGAGAGCGTGCTCAAGAAGCGCCGCGCGCAAGCGGCCATCGCGGCCGACAAGGACGCCGCGTCGAAGAAGGCCGCCGCCGCCGCCAAGGCGAAGAAGGACGTCATCTTCAAGCGCGCGGAGAAGTACGCCGCCGAGTACAAGCAGCAGGAGAACGACGCCATCCGACTGCGGCGAGAAGCGAAGAAGGCCAATAGCATCTACGTGCCTCCGGAGGCGAAGCTGGCCTTTGTTATTAGAATTAGAGGTATCATCGGCATGTCGCCGAAGGTGAAGAAGATCCTCCAGTTACTGAGACTGAGGCAGCTCCACTCCGGCGTCTTCGTCAAGCTGAACGGCTCGACGATCAAGATGTTGAGACTCGTCGAGCCCTACATCGCGTATGGTACGCCCAACTTAAAAACGGTCAGAGAACTCGTCTACAAGCGCGGCTACGGCAAGGTCAACAAGCAGCGCGTGCCCATCGACAACAACGCCGTGGTGGAGCAAGTATTAGGCAAGTACGACATCGTCTGCGTCGAGGACGTGATCCACGAGCTGTACACGACGGGGCCCCACTTCAAGGAGGTCGCGAACTTCCTCTGGCCCTGCAAGCTGTCCAGCCCGACGGGCGGCTTCAAGATGAAGCTCCTCCACTACAACGAGGGCGGCGACGCGGGCGACCGCGGGGAGAAGATCCACGAGCTCGTGAAGAAGATGATCTAGGGTGGGGTATGGCGGTCTACTTATCTCGTGTCAACTTGGAGTTGGGGGGTCGTCAAAAAACCCGACTGGCAGACGTGTCTCATCAACTTTGGTCCCATAAGTTGGCTATAACTCGCCATTCGTGCACCGCTGTTGCACATCCGTGGCGCATTGATCAACTCTTTCAACAGCACAGCTCTTGCAACAGCAACCACGCAACAATGATGCGAGCAGCATTAGCATTGCTGGCGCTCGTGCCGGCCACTGCATTAAGAGTGACGGTGCTGGGTGGCAACGGCTACGTCGGCCAGCGCGTCTGCGAGAAGCTGGTCGCGCGCGGCTGCGACGTGACCTCGATCTCGAAGAGCGGCAAGGCGCCGAGCGGCGGGGCGTGGACGCAATCGGTCAAGTGGGTCGCGAACGACCTGACGCGCGGCAGCCGCCAGGAGCTCGAGGCCGCGGTGGGCCAGCCGGACGTCGCCGTCTCCTGTGTCGGCACGGTAGGTTTCGACGGCCGGGGCCTGGAGCTGGGGAACGGGGTCGCTAACGTGCGCGCGGCGGAGGCGCTCAAGGGCGTCCAGCGCTTCGCAGTGCACGAATCAAATTTCGCGGCGCTTGTCATGGCCGAATCACGACCTGCACGCCATCGACGCGATGCCTGCTCGACGGCGTGGCGGTGCCGGTTCCTCGCCGCTCGACGGAACCATCACGGCCGCATGACTCACTGGTTGATTTGCGCACAGGCGCTTCGTATTGGTATCAGTAGCGTCCGAAGTGGCCGCCGCGAAGGGCTGGCTGCCCGGCTACTTTGAATTTTATTTCAAGGGCAAGGCCATGGCCGAGGCCGCGGCGGCCGAAGCGGCGGGCGACGCGAACGCGTACGTCGTCAAGCCCTCGTTCATCTACGGTGGCGACAGCTTCGAGCTCTTCCCGCCGCGCGTGGCGAGCGGCTACGGCGCCGCGATCGAGGAGATCCTCTCGAACGCGATCATCACGAAAATCGCCGACGTGCTGCCGGGGCTACTGAAGGTGGCCCTGCGGCCGCCGAGCTCCGTCGACGCGGTCGCGGAGGCGTGCGTCCGGTGCGCGGTCGGCGACTGTTCGACGACTGTGCTCGACGGTACCGTCGCCATCAACGAAGCCGCGGGTGCGGACAAAGCAACGGGCTTCAGCGACTTCGTGGGTAGGCTGTCTACGAATTAAGTAATGGTAATATATATATATGTCACCGTTTGGTGCCGCGCGCGTCGCCGCCGGTGTAATCGCCGCCGGAGTCATCGTAGCGGGGACTGGTCGCCGACGCGAAGCTTCAGGGACACGATCGTCGACACGGGCAGACTCGCGAGGGCCAGGTGGAAGACGCCCGCGCCGCGCTGCGGTATGTGGACGTCGAAGCTCGTCAACACGACCGCGCCGTCCGACACTCTACGGTCCATCGCTATCGAAATCGCGCCGTCCGCCGGCCGCAGGAACGGCACCTCGTTGCCCAGCCGCCCGACGTCGACGATCGACAGATCCCGGAACGCGAGCCTCCGCCGCACCGGCACAATGCCCTCCGCGACGGTTCGCGACACGATGCCCGTCCGGTCGACGACGTTCGAGAGCCGCACGTCCTTGGCCGAAATCACGCGACAACCGCCGGTCCCCTTGGGCGCTCGATCGTGGGGTCGCCCAGCGACGTCGATCGTGTAGCTACCTGGTGGGCGAACATCGCCGCGCCCTCGTCGTAAGCGTCGTCGACGTCGTCGCCGCCGTCGCGCGTCGCCTCGCGGTGCATGCGCTTCCACTCGCGGAAGAATGCGGGCGGCCCGCGCGCGGACCCGCCGCCTGGATTATCGTCGCCGGCTGGTGGCATGAGCTCTCGTGTGGCGTAAGAGTATTAGTTCTCGTGTGGCGTGGCGTACGGATGCCGATAAATTAGTCTTCAATTGGCAATTGCTGCATTGAAGCCCTTTTTTTAGGCGTGCCTAATTATTTATAATACATATACGGATTCCTAGTGTGTCCATACGCTAGATCACCTCTTGCGGCTCGCCAAAATACACCAGCGATTGACGGTGCCTTCTACCGTCCAAATGGTACATCATATCAACTCCAGCTCAGTTTTCATACATATTCGACGGAACCGGAGCCGACGCCCCGCGCTCGGAGGGCGGGAAAAGAATTCTACTAGACAACTCCCGAGTTTATGTTCGTTTCCTTCCGTTTGGTAGTGGTAGAGTCCATCTAGGCCGTCTCAGCGCCCACTGAGCTATTTGAGGTGATCCGTATGAGCCGCGCGATTCGTCGACTTTGGTACCACGCATTTATATATAAACGGGCAAATTTTCCAAACCTGCGAGTATCCGCGACGCCACCATCCAAATGGACCACAAGGCCGTTGTTCTATTCACAATCGACCGACTTGCCCGTTCTCCGCGGGCGACGGTACGTTGACGGAGCACCAAAAAGGCCCCAGACCGGTGTTTTATATAATAAATTTGCGTTTCAGGCGATTTAGTTCTAGGACGGGCCATTTAACCGGCCTGACTGCTCACTACATTGCTCTGAGACCCAAAGATGCTCGGCGCGGGTCGGCCAACTCGCGAGCCCACGATCTCCTTAATTTTGGCGAATTGCTTGGGCCTGCGACCATCAGCGCGTGTACCATCACCATGGACCACGACGCGATCATTTGTTCCATGATCGACCGACTTACGCGAGGTCCAGATAAAGATGTTCACGTCCCGAGCGTGGGCAGCCCAAAGTACCCTTCTCGTTGTGTAGATGTCATATACTTGTAGTTGACTATCGGTTGGGTAGTATAGGGTCCGACGAGACCGCTATTACGATTCCTGGGGGCCCTCGGGTAATTGCCGTTTTATACGGTACGGGCCACCATCGGGTCCAAATTATTTACTTTTTTCGGATGCAGATCGGCTCTCGGACTCCCTCTCGGATAGGTCTGGGGTCGGGTAGTCGCCTAGACCGCATACGCCGGTGCTAGGGCTCTCCAGAGAGCTCTGGATCCAAAACTTTGGGGGCTTGGGCTCCGGCCCGATGTCTGGCTGAGGACCTGTACTGATATGTATCTACCGATGGAAGCGCCCACGCATGCGGCGTAGGCGATTGCACGTGTATAGTACCGACCCTAGGTGACCTCCGAGAGACCTCAGGACCACGAATCGACAGGATTCCACCGACGCGGCCGTCATGGCGGGATCGTCAATATCGCGAATTAAAAAAAAAATTGTCGGCCCCCAGGAAGTGTCCCATTGATCTCTTTGGACCAGTAGCTAACGGAACGATCGTCAAACGGCTGCATGGGTCGAGTTTTCGTGCTAGTGTCTTACACGCCGCTAGGAACGATCACGCTGAACTGGGCAGCTCTCTGTGCGCACGCGCCTGTGGACTGACAGCGACAACGTTAGGCAGAGCTGGGTAAAAACAGTGCAATCCTACTCCGCGCGCTGCGGCAAACAGCTCTACAGCACAAGAGCCGGCGTCGGCGGAGCAGCCATGAAGCAATTCCAGCCGCTGGCTCCTTCCAGCACGAGACGCCCGCCGCTGCGGCCGCGGCAGTCGTCGGACGCCGGCACGAAGAAGTTCCGGCCGCTCGTCGCGCGGAGCTCGACGCCGCCGCGGCCGCCGGGCGCGCGCGTCGGCGCCGTCGCGGCGGTGACGTCCCGCTTCCTGACGGGCGGCGCGGTCGCGCGCGCGAAGTACCGCGCGCCGGTGCTGGCGCGAGCACCGGCGCCGGCGCCCGCGGCGCCACCGTCGCCCGAGACGCAAGAGCCGGACGCGCCACCACCCGCAACGACGCCCGCTACCGCCGCGGCGACCACGACGGCGCCGCCTGTAACCACGCCCGTCGTCGTCATGCACAACGCGTGCGTCGAGCGGCACCTCGTGCCCGCCGGCCACCAGGAGCGGCCCGAGCGCACGGCGTCGGCGCGGCGCGTCGCGCAGAATGTGGTGAGACGGCGCCCGGCCGCCGTCGGGGGCGCCTGGGCCGCCGGCGCGAGCGTGAGTGGCGGCGACGTCACCGAGGCGATCCTGCGCGCGCACTCGGCGCGCTACTACGCGTCGCTCGAGGCGGCGACGGCGCGCGCGACCTCGCCGGACGCGCGCGTCGAGCTCACGCCGGCGGGCGACACCATGGGCTGCGGCGACTCGCTGCTGGCCGCGCGCGCGGCCGTCGCTATTAGCATAGAGGCCGTACGCGCCGCGCGGCGGGTCCCGTGCGCCGCGTGTTTGGTAAGACCGCCGGGCCACCACGTCGCGCGCGACGGGAAGACGGCCGTCGCGCCGAGCCAGGGCTTCTGCCTGCTGAACTCCGTCGCCGTCGCGGCGCTCGAAGCATCAGCCAACGGCTTCGCCAAGGTGGCGGTCGTGGACTTCGACGTGCACCACGGCAACGGCACCGAGGACATCTTAAGTGGAGACGACCGCTTCTTCTTCGCGTCGGTCCACGCGTTTGGTGGGGGGACCTACCCCGGCACCGGCGGCGCGCGGACCAAGAGCGCGGCGAACGTGCTCAACGTGCCGCTCCCGCCTCCAATAAAGAAGAGCGGCTTCCGGCGCGCCGTCGAGAAGATTGCCAGGAGGGTCAAGGCCTTCGGCCCGGATTTGTTGTTGCTGTCGGCGGGCTTCGACGGGCATAGGGACGATCTGGCGGACCTCGGGCGGTTGGACGAGGAGGATTATGGGAGGTGCACGAAGATATTGCTCGCGAGCTGCGGCTGCCCGTGCGTGTCGATCCTCGAAGGGGGCTACGGCCGCGACTGCGAGGGCGACGACGGCGTCGCGCGCGAGCCGGGCGCGGGGCTCGCGGCGGCGATCGACGACCAGCGCCTCCGGTCCTTCGACGCGTGCCTCGAGGCGCACCTCGACGCGTGCGCCGACCACTTCCACGGCGCTGGGGCGACGCCGCCGACGCCCCCGGAGCCGGCGTCGCCGCTGGCCGTGGTGCGGCGGCTGTCGGAGGAACTGGAAGAAGAGTAAGTGTGTGAACAAGTCACGGACGGTCGCGCGGTGGCGCCGCGTCGCGACTTTGAGTACCGGTCCGGGTCCAGGGCTGTCTTGGCGGTGTCGCGGATCGAAAAAAGGCGAATTTCGGCGCGTGAGGTTGGCTTCAATTCCCAGGTCCGTTCAGATGAGCTCCAATTCCCCCAGGTAAAGGCACAAAGTGGCTTCGACATACGACGCGGCTCAAACGAGATAGAAACGCCGCGGCGCCCCGCCAAGCGTCGTAGCGAGGTCGTCGCGCTGCAGACAACGCGGAGAAAAAATAGTGCGCGGTCTGAGACGCTGCAGCCGAAGTTTAAGCTGCGGCAGAGCAGGCGAGGCATTCGTGGCACCTCCTCTCCCAAAAACCACAGAACGCGCCGCAAAACGCTGCGCAGCGGACGCCCACAGCCCAGCAATCAAGACCACAGCTGCGCGCCGCGCCACGTTCGAAAACAAGCGAGACACGCGCCTCACAACAAGCGTTCGAAGCAAAAAAACCATGAAGCGCCCCGCCGCCGCCGCCGCCGTCGCGCCCAAGAAGCCGAAGAAGGACTACCCCACCGTCGGTACTATTATAGAGGCGAAGTGGTCGACGGAGTTCGGCCCCGGCAAGGAGTGGTACCGCGGGAAGATCGCCAAGGTCCACGCCGGCAAAACGTCCAGTAGAGATCCTAGTTTCGACGTGGCTTATGATGATGGCGAGCTCGAAGAGAAAGTACGGTGGGAGAACATAAGAGTTGTGGACCCGTCGACGCCCGCGCCGGTTTATGACTACGACGAGCCCGAGATCGTGGCTTCGAAGACATCCCTCGAGCCCACGCGGCCGCGGTCGAAGCGCGAAATAAGAGCGCCGCAGAAGGGCCCCCTCGCCTCGGCCGCCCTCAGTCCTCCGCCTCAACCGAAGCCGCGACCTAGACAGCCCAAACAGAGGGCACCGCTGACCGTGAGACTCCCAAAACCGCCGCCGCCGAAGCCTCCCGTGCCCCAGAAGGAGTCCGCAAGGATGGTGCGGCAGTTGGTCAGGACCGATCGGGAAAAATTAGATCTGGAAACGGTCAGAGATGCCTTGAGGACGGACCCGATCAAGGACCAGGCGGATCATGGGAGGGTGGGTGGCATGCTCGCTGGAAGAATAGGCGAGAACAAGTACGTCGTCGAGTACGCGACCGATTGCCGAGCGAAGTGCAAGCTCTTCTCCTGTAAAAGGTCGCTGTTCCTCGGCGAGCTGCGCATCGGCAAGGTGCCGCCCAGAGTGAACCCGTTGCAGAACAAAAGGGTGCACTGGTACCATCCCTCTTGTGTCTTCCAGTCGTTCCGGAGGGCGTCCAAAAAGACGAAACTCATAGACCACCCCGAGAAGGATTTGGAAGGATGGCACGCGCTGCAGCCCAACGACCGGGCGTTCATCGATTTATGTTTGCGGCGGTCGCGAGAAGCCCCCGGGGATTGGGCGCTCGACGAGGACACGTCTTCCAGTAATGCGCCGCCGGAGCCCGTCGACGGCGCCGCGGTCGATTTGTTACTGTCGTTACAGGCGCCGGGCGCGGCGGCGGCGGCGGCGCCGGCGGCGCCGCGACCGCCGACCTACGCGCCGCCCGTGCCGCGCTTCGAGCGGCCGGGGCAGAACGCCGCGCCGCGCTACGCGCCGCGCTACGGCGCCCCGCCGCCGCCGCTCTACGGCGCGCCGCCTCCGCCGCCCTTGGTGGCGCCGCAGCCAGCGTACGTCGGCCGCACGGGCGAGTACGCGTCGCCGGCCTCGCCGCTCCGCCAGCGGGCGCCGCCCCCGGCGCCGCCGCCGCAACCACTACCCCAGTTTATGCCGCCGCCGCCGGCCTTCCCCGACGCGGCGGCCTACAACGCCGCCGTCTCCGCCGCGGCGGCCGCCGCGGACCCGCGCTACGCCGCGGCGGCGGCCGCGGCGGCCGCGGCGCACCACGCGCGGCGCCTCGCGCTCGAGACCGCGGGCGCGCCGCCCTACTACGTCCCCGGCGGCGCGCCGCCGTTCCTGCAGGGGCCGCCGCCGCCGATGGCGCCTCAGGTGCTGCAACAGATGCCGCCTCAGGCGGCGCCGCATCTGGCGCCTCAGGTGGCGCGTCAGACGCCGCCGGCTCCGGTTCAGGCGCCGCCTGCACAGGCGCCGGCTCTGGCGCCGGCCGCTCCGGTGGGACCAGGCGCACCCGCTACTGCGCCACCTGCCGCGCCACCGGCCCCGCCGTCATCTGTGCCGCCGGCCGCGCCACCGGCCGGCCCTCCGCCGCAGCGACCGCCTCTGCTGGTGGCCGCCGCGGCACCGGCGCGGCCGCGGCCGCCGCTCGTGATGGTCGCGCCGCAAATCATGCGCCCGCCGCCGCAAATTCTCGCGCCCGCCGAGTTCGACGCGGCGCGGCGGCGCGGAGACCTCGCGGGCATGATGGCGGCGCCCCCGCCGCCGCGGCCCTACCCGTTCGTGCCGCCTCCGCCGCCCGCGATGGCGTTCCCGTTCGACGCCTCGGCGCGCGTGGGCGCGCCGCCGCCGCCGCCGCCGCCGCCGCCACCCGCTCCTGTGAAGCCGGAGCAACCCTCCCGCGTGATGATCTAGTGATAAAGGAGCTTGTTTGCAAATGCTTCGTGTGCATCTCTCGGGTTTTCCACAGCAGCCTGAGGAGATACCGTCCCCGGGGCACAGCTTCCAGGGCTCGCGGACAAAATCGTGGGCTAGCGGCCTGTACACTAGCAAGCAAGCATAACTAAACCGCGCGGCAAGCCCGTATCGGCCACTGATCGGGACAAAATTAGTCGCGGCACAATCACAAACGCTACGTAAACGGCTCATTGAGCCGAAATCGGCTGCATAGGAAATCCTAGTGGGAGTTACATTGGACGTTAGTGAAGAGCACAACAGCGGTTTTTGGACTCGCGCGCGGCGCAAAATTTCAGTTTCAGCGTCGAGAGGAGTAACATATGTCACCAGAAAACGTACAAGTCTCGCGCCGCGCCGGCGCCCTCGCCGCGGCCATGAACGCCCGCCGCGTCCAGCGGGCGCGACTCCGCGCGGCGTTCTTCAATCGGTGGCGCGCGACGACCCTCGCGGCCGCCGTCCACGCGACGCGACGCCTCTTGGACCCGACGCCCCGACCGGAGCCGAGCCCCGAAGCGGCTATCGGTGCCTTACGCCGCGATCTCGCGCGAGTGCTCGTGAAGGACTCGGCGCTCGACGAGAGCTGCATCAAGGCGGCCGCGGCGCGAGCGAGCGCCAAGCGGCGGCGGCGCCCGCTCACGCCCATTTCGCCGCCGCCGCCGCCGCCTTCGGTTCAGAAGGAGAACGTCTCGCCGGGCGCGCGGCGCGTCAAACAACTCGGCCGCGGCATCCGACGGCTCTACGACGCCTACGCGACAACGCACGCGAAGAAGCTCTTCCCCGACGCGGCAGTGGACCTCTTCCGCGACTGCGGCGTCGTCCCGGCGCACGCCTCCGCGGATGATATCAAGGCGGTCGTAGGAACGGAGCCGATCGACTACGGCGGCTCGTCCGCGGCGTCGACGCGTCGTGACTTCGACGTGGATCGATCGCGGCGATGCCGTGCCGGCGGACGCTGGCAACGACTCGGTTCACACAGGCTTCTGCAGGGCCGTCGCCGAGCTCGGCCACGTGTGCTTCTGCCGCGCCGTCGACGTCGAGGGCGTCGGCCGCGTCTGGACGCCTGCCAGGGACGACGACCCGCTCCGCGCGCTCTTCCGCGTGATCTCGTCGTCGAAGGCGTTCTACGCGGCGCAGAAGCACTCCGCAGCGCTCTGGTAAACATCAAAACTTAAACGAGGGGGCGGGGACAACTTCCACAACTTCAGTTCTTGCCGTTCTCGTCCTGGTACTTCTCGAGCGCCGACTTCCAGCCCTTGGGGTAGACCGACGCCTGCATGTGCCAGCCCTCCTTGAACCAGCGGCCGAAGATCGGCCCGAGCTTGCTCTCGTCGGGCCGGAAGTCGCCCGCGACGCGCAGGTTGATCTCGTCGGGCTCGTAGCCGAGCTGGGCCTGGATGATGTGCTTGAGGTCGAGGACGTCGTAGTCGTACTCGATGGGGATCTGGAAGGGCGCGAAGGACTGGTAGTTGCCGTCGCTGCCTTCCGGGCCGACGCCCATGATCATGATGTAGCGGTGGTCGTCGTCGAGGTGGTACATGGGCACCTGCTGCTCGAGCACCGCCGCGGGGTCGGCGCAGACGGGCATCGTGCGATTTTATGCGCCTGCGCGCGGCGGTGGCGTTTTGGGCGGCGACGGCGGCTCGTCTCGCGGCCGCGTCGACGGCGCCTTCGCGGTGACGGCACGCCATCGATGCGACAGTGGTGTGACCTTCAGACGGGGCGCGCGCAGCGCGTAGAGCGACGTTCGCGCTAAGAATTGCGTTGATTGCTCGCGCGTAAATGCAGCTTTGATTTGAACATGAACTCACCACGAATGCTTCGCGCACGAGCGAACAAAGAGCCCAAAACCAAGTCGCCTCGGCCTTGCTCTTGCTAGTGTCTTACAGGCCGCTAGCAAAAACCCCAGCGCCACGACCTATCCGAGCGCGACGCACGCGCTCCGACGGCTCCTTCCGGCCCGCGCCACACAACCCACGGAGAGACGAGGCTCGGCGCGGCCCAGCGGCAGTCTGTGCAAATCGAGCAGCCTCCAATTGATCGCCCGGGCAGCCCCCGCGGTGGCAAATCATGGGCCTCAGGCCATGGCTCGCCGCCCTGCTCCCGCTGATCGGCGCCCAGACGCCGGCCCCGACGACTGGGCATGAGTGCCCCCCACCGACAACCTTGGACTGCGCCGCGGGTTTAAGGCCGTCGCGCTTCGTCGCCCCCTCGCCGACGGGCGGCCTGCGGCCGGACTGCCCCGGCGCGGCGCGCTTCCTGCGGCCGGACCCCTTGACAGGGGCCGTCGTCGAGGTGTGCGCGAGCCACCCGAACGGGACGCAGGTCGAGCCCCGGGCTTTGCCGGTGAGGGACTGCGGCGAGGCTAGGATTGGTGGCTTGGCTGCTTATTTGGAGCATGTGTACTACGCGTCCGGGAGCGGGGTGAGAAGGATTACTGGTAATCAAGATATCGAGATCGCCGGCGCCGTCGGCGAGATTGTTATCAGGGGCGCGAATTTCGGTGAAGATTTGGAGTACCTCGAGATCCGCGCGAAGCACTGCAAATCGTTGATAAGGATATCGTCCGAGGAGCTGCGATGTCGCACCGGCGACCCTGGTTGGGTCGGGCCTAGAGCATCACCTTTGGACCGGAATTGTATCGTGGCGAAGACGACGAAGGGCGGCGTTGGTGGCAGCACGGAGCCCTGGGCGTCGCGGTATCGCGAGGCCGAACTTGGTGACCACGCGCCGCCGGCAATTTTTGATGTGGAGGTCTCATTATCTATGGCGTTGCGGACGCGCGCTGTTGCCGTTGATGGGGATGGTTCTGTGTTTGCGTCGTCATTGGGTTCTGAGGACGTCTTTGGTGGGATCATAAAAACGACCGAGACTGATGTACAAGTGTTCTTGAGAGACGCGCCGCGGATACTGGGGTTGCTATTTGTGGCGGATGAGAAGTGCGGTCTCTTGTACTACGCCGACGCGTCGCGACGGTTGATTGGTAGAAGGTCTGCTTGTAAGGCTGGACGCGCGGGCGACGCGCACGAAACAATTGTGATGAAAAATGTCGACGAGCCGCGCGGGTTGTCCCTGGACCCGTCTTCACCAAATCATCTGTACGCCGCTTCATCAAATGATATCATCCGGATAGACCTCGAGTCGGGCAAGACGGATATTGTTATTAGGGGGCAAGCGCACGACGCGCCGGACGGCGTCTTGGTGTTGCCGCTTCCCGACAATGCGCAATTGAGAGGAGACCGGAGCCTGCGGCTGCTTTGGTTGGATGCTAATAGAGTATCGGTAAGGGCCGCAACTACTGCGGGAACTCGCGCGCGCACGCTGAAAACACCACCAGAAGCTTTGCGCTTCCCGCGGGCCCTCTCACTGAATACGGATGGGAGGTTATTGGTCGGCGAGTGGCTCGGGCGCATCTGGTCATTATCTCAAAGCATGAGGGACGGCGAGCTGCTCCGGCCCGACGCGTCGACGGCGGCCGCGGCGGGCGTCCGCGCGGCGGTTGAAAATGAGGAGCTGAGGCGGTCGCGGCTCCAGCCGGCGCTGTATACGCTGCTGAAGGTGTAAGGCATTTAACTGAAGCTTTCGCTGTTCGACACGGGTTTTTCAAGCTTTGTGCGCAGCTTTGTAGTTTTACGCGGCCGCGCTACTTTGTGGCTCTCCGCATTTCACGCTTCATCGGCAGATAATACCGATAACAACCGCCGAGCGCTCTATATAGAGCCAAAACACAAGCCAAAAGCTTGAAGTAGGGGCACTTTAGGTCCGGGTTTTGGGGCCCTGGAGGACGGCTAGCCGCGTTTTTCGCGCGGATTTTTGTACCGAGCCCTGCACCGGGTCGATTACGACCCCGCGGAGGTGGTTTGGGGCTGGGGGCGACCGCCTCTGATTTAAGGGAATTTATTTCGTGACGAAAAATGGCCTCGGGATGGGCAACGGTACACTAAATCGACCCGAGGTGAGCCCTTAGCCCGCGGGATAGCTCCGATGACACCCGGCGATAGCTGGTGCAACTCATACCCGCCCAGGTGGGGAGGGTGTGCGTGCGGCCCGGCAGTAGGCTTATCGGCTCGGGGGTTCGTACGGGAACAAGAACTTGCACCATACAGCTCCACAGCTCAACAGAAGCACCCTCGGGGACCACATAGCTTCCCCGCTCCTCGGAGGCGTCGTAGGAGACCATTTCAAGAAATGTGAATTTTGGCCGCTTGTTCGATGGCTTTTGCGGCTCCAGCGCGGAGTCAAAACGCGAGAGGCCCGATCCGGGCACGATTCCGCCGGCTAGAGGGACACATTCGCTCGAGGGGGATGGCGGTCACCGACGGTGGGGAGCTCGTAACGGCGGATAACGGGGGCGACAATATTTTGGCTTTCCACGCCATCGCCGCGATTCCCATCAGGAAAGCCTCAACCAACTCGAAAGGTCACCACGCGGTGGTATGAATAGTATCGATGCCTCGGGTACCGCGTTTTCGACCAGGGTGCTGCTACGTGGCTTTCCAAAGCCTCGACAGAAGCGCCGCACAAACGGCTTCGCGCCGAGCCGTTATGACCTGCCCATCGTCGGTCGTGTCCATTTTCCTACAGCGCAGGTGTTGGCGTCATCGCTGAAACACCCCCTGAACACCCCATCTCGCGTCTCGAGATCGTAATCATGGTAATGCTAAGCTGCTGGTTTTGGCGTGCTGGTGGTCCGTGAGCGCTGCGGTTGGTTCTCTCTTTCTCGGCAGGGCTGCAGCGATGCAGGGTGAGCACTGCTATGTACTCACATCTCTCCTAATCGTCTACGCTGGCCAGCACGCAGCGTTTAAAGACGAAATCGGGCCATCCAGAGCTCGTCTCGACGCGAGAGCCGATTCGCGCAAAGGAGCTATAACTTTGCGGAGGCGTCGCCGGAGCCCGTCCGACAGCCCTCGAGGCCTAGGGGGAGCTATAGTCTCGTTTTCCTTTTGTTTGCTAAACCTGTTTTGTCTTAAAGTGCCCCTACTTGAAGAAGGTCTGGCCTCAAAGCGCCATACGCTAACGCGGCTAAGATGGCGGCGGTCACAGTCGACGGGACGGTCGTCGAAGAAGAGAAGGTCGACCTGGAGATTCCTCAGGAGAAGGTCGACGTCAAGAAGGCGGACGAGGCGGAGCCCGAGAGCGCCGGCGGCTGCGACGTCTGCTTGCCGCCGAACGGGCTCATCGGATGCGGCGCCTACGATTATAAATATCTCTGCCTGCCGTCGATGCCCTGGTCGCGCGGCGGCGTCGCGCCGCCCCAGTTCCTTGGGAAGGACGCCCGCTTACCGCTACTCCTCGCGCTCGTGATGGGCTTCCAGCACGCGCTGGCCATGGTCGCGGGCATCGCCACGTCCGGCGGCATGCTCATCGCTGGCGACACGTGCTTCCCGTGGCAGTACGACAGCGCCATGTGCGAGGCCCAGAATTACCTCGTCAGCGCCGCCTGGATCACGTCCGGCATCCTCACGATCATCCAGGTCTTCCGCGCAAAGATACGGGGCACGCCCTACTATTTGGGTACGGGCCTGCTCTCGGTCATGGGTACCTCTTTTACCTTCCTACCGATCGCGAGAGAGATGGTCGCCCGCTGTGTGGAAATCAAAATTTTACGGCGCGTTCAATCGTCACGTCGTCCTCCACGCCATCGACGCGACGCCTGCTCGATGGCGTGGCGATGCCGGTTCCTCGCCGCTCGACCGAGCCAGGACGGCCGCGTCATCGCCAAGAATTGTCGGGTACGCGCCGGCGACGTGCGAGGTCAACGGCTACACGTGGTGCGGACCCAGCGTTGCGTCGAGCTCCACGCCATCGATGCGACCCGCTCCGCTCGCAGGCCGTCGGACGCCAACGACTTCGACACGACGTGTGCCGCTGTGTCGGGCGTCTTCACGCCGGCCGTGACCGAGTCCGAGACGACGCGCACATGCGCGAACGACAACGGCCGCTGCTGCAACCACTACAACAAGCGCGAGGACTCGCACCGCACGACTCTGATCATCCTCCTCAAGACTCCGTATGCGATAGGCACGATCGCCGCGCTCTTCCTCCACCTGTTGCTGCCCGAGGACCGCGTCCTAGACGAGGAGAAGGAGCACTACCCGCGGGCCTTCTCGGACGGCGAGATCGCCTACGAGACCTGAGCGCCACGTTCCACGGTCATGCTGCACACACGTCCGACGAGTCCTGATGCTGCACACATTCCATCTGTTCCCACCAAACACCCATCACATAGGAATAACATGTATAGTCGATCAAGGTCTCCTTCTTTCTTCGCTTCCTCAGGAGTACAACGAACAAGTTATTTTACCCTCGCGAAAAGCTGCTCCAGGAGCGCCGCGTGGTCGACGGGCGCCGCATGGTTGAGCGGCAGGGCCGAGTCGCCGCGCGTCAGCGGCGAGATCCAGGCGCGGGGCGGCGGCGGGCCGGCGCGCGCGTCGGTCGCGAAGCCTTGGCGCTGCTTGTGCCGCGGGTTCTTCGTGCACCGCACGTAGAGCGTCTTGCCGCGGCGCACCATGTAGCAGTGCTCGCACAAGCGCTTGACGGCACTCTTGATCTTCATCGCACGCGTCGCCGGGCGCGAGTGGCAGCAAGAGTGCTACACCACCTGGTGCTGCCGGTGTACGGCGCCCGCGCACGAGCGAGTTGCTGCGGCGGTTTCTGTGCTTCGCAGGCGTGCTGCTGCGAAAGTCGCACTTCCACGGGTACCCTCGCTCTCCCTAGCTAACCAATGCCGCGATAATCTGCGTGAAGCTAAAGTCTGCGTGTAGCTAGCGGTCTGTAAGACACTAGCAATTTTAGCGCCCCGGCAGCCCGAGGCAACTGCGGGCCAGCCAAGCACCCAATTGAGCTGGTGGGCGCTGTAGCTCACGCAGGGTAGCCTCCGGGCAGCCTGCGCCCCCACTCGCACTCAGGCGGAAGGCCTGTGCGCCCACACAGAATCACTTGGGAGAGCTGCCCAGCAATGGACACGACCATGCGGTCGCAGTCGGCCGACGGCCCGCGAAAACTGCCCAGACTCGAACCCGCGGACGTGCTCACGGCCACCTTCCCGCACCTGAAGCGCTCCGCGGCGGTCGAAGCACTAGCGAACTCACCTCCGTCCTCGCCCGTCACCAAGGGCGAGAAGAAAGTTTTTAGACCGACAGCAACCGCAGCGGCAGCCTTGACGAACGAGACGGGCACGGACACGGTCAAGTTCTTCGCCAAGGCCGGTTCAAAACACCCTACAAAATTTGTCTGTTTAGTCGGCGAGGACGGCCTACGAAGGGAAGCGGCTGAAAGAGCAGCAATGTACGAGGCCATTGCCGCGAAGGCCGCGGAGTCACGTCTGTTCAAGGGCGAGAAGCCGTTACCTCCCAAGAAGCTGACACCTTTACCTGTTACTCAGAAAGACGTGAGAGATAGAGTAGTGCAGGACTTCCAGCCCTACAACCTGCGGAAGGTCAATTTGATCCAGTCCGAGGCCGCCGCCAAGAAACACCACAAAATTTATAGTATGACGGCGACCGCGTTGGTGCAACTCCAACCGGGACCCGGCCAAGCGTTAAAATTGCAAGATTGGGCCTGGGCCAAGTCCTGCTTTAAAGTACTTAGAGAGTCATTTAAGATCTTCCGGTACGCTCGCGAATTACGATTATTATATAGATGGAAGCTCTTTACCCGGAGAAGCATCCACGAACGACTGAAACAAAATTTCGAAAAGAAGTGTTTGTTAGCGCGCATGTCCTTCGTGGAGCCCATTTTGGAAATCATGGCGGCGGCGCGGGAAGCGCGGCAGGTGGAACTGTTGGATCTGACGGGTAAGCGAGCTCCATTGATAGACGCCCCACCACGATCACCATCACAAGACATCGAAGACCGGGATTTTGAACAAGAACCGGAGACGTATCGGGACAAGGACGCGGTCTTTGAACGAGGTGTCGACCGGCAGACCATGCACCTGTGCCCCGTCGCGCGCGCGCGGAAGAAAGCGCTTAGGTTAGAGGATGAGGTAAAGACCATGAAAGAAGCCCCGCCTCTACAAATATCGGACCCGTCCGACGGCCAGCCTTTAGTCGGTCCGTCCATGGCGTCGCCTACGAAATCGAGGGATGCGGTGGCGTCCGAGGCCTATGTGGCCCGAGCCTTGGAATTGGATGTCTTTGAACGCGCCCAGGAGCTCGCTCGAGACGACGGGACCGCTATTCTGGAGAGGTGTGTGCATCGCGCGGCGGACGCCGTCCAGAAAGCGCGGGACAACGCGCATACACTTGTGGAGCGCGATGATGCCATAAAAATTAAGGCTGAGGAACAACGGCTCCTAGACCAGGCGGGCGGCGTCGACGCTACCGACGGCCAGCAGTTCCGGAAGGACTTGTCGATGGCCGAGGAGCGGCAGATTGTTGATGAAAGAAAGGCACTTGTAAGAAGAGAACGCGAGGAGCGGGTGCTCGTTGGCACGTTGGCGGAACTCGCGGACTGCGTCTTGGTGGCTTCGTTATCTCAAGCTTGTTTAACAGCAACAAAAGCTTTCAGAGACCGTTTAGATATCGCGCGATCCACGAAGCAAGGTCTGTTCGAGGTGCACGTCTCGTTCACGACGACTAGTGTAGAGCCGCCACTACCGCCGGCGCGAGGATTGGCACAACCGACGTTGTTCCCTTCATTAGAATTATTAGCACCGGTCGACGAGGAGAAGAAACGTAAAGCGAAGGAGGAGCCGCTGCGGACGGAACTAGAATGGCGCGGCAAAGCAAACAACGTCACAGATTCACAAATTAGCGAGGCGAACGACGGCGCCGACATCCTGAAAGGCGTTTCTGATGTACAATCTGACCTAGAAGATGATCAAAAAGCAGCTATTCTATGTAGAGGTATGGGGGGTACAAAATACACGCCTGAACCTTCAGATGTGCAGCACGCGGCAGAACATGTCCTCCATCAAGCTATAGATGATGTTGACGCTTTATTAAGAATCACGGCGATGTGGCCCTTTTGTGACGACGTCGAAGCTTCAAAGGCGGGAGATGAAGAATGGCGCCGATCGCTCAAAGCGAACCACGCTGCTGACATTTGTCGGAATCGGTGGCTGCGCGCGGCCGAAGACATCCAGGAGGTCAAATCCCAAGAAGCGGAGGTGCGGAGCCAGATGAGCGCGGACTCGCCGACAGCCCCTTCGACGACGATGACCGACGTCACGCTGCCGCACCACGGCTTGGTCAAGGCCATCGTGCTTGCCGATAGTGGGTTTCAAGATGATTCTCGCGTCATCCTCAAGGAGATCCTGCAATCGTTTGCTGAATGTGACGAGTTTGTTATTTCATTGGATCCGGTGCGGTCGATCGTCGATACGATACCAGCTGTGGCGGCCCATACCCCATCGGAAGGTGCAATATTTGGTGAATCCTTACAACGGTACGGGAAGAACCCGAAGTGCTGGCGGTTGCTGGCCGTCGCGGCGTCCGTGGATGCGCGCGCGGTGTTCCGGGACGCGTCGCGCATGGAGCGGTGGCGTTTGGAATTATCTAAAATTGCGGCCAAGGGCTATTGTGGTGCGGTCGAGTGTAGCACAAGAGGTCTCCGGCGCGATCTCGCGACGCAAGCGCGCCTGAAAAGAGCAGCGGCTAGGGCATCGGCGAGACGTGTGTGTCGAGGCCACGCCGTCGCTGCATTAGCGGCGGCTCGAAGCTTCAGAAGTTTATTAGAGGACCAGCCCCATCCGTTGCGAGCGTACGCGAGGCACGCGGCCCACGTCACGTCCTGTCGAGCCTTTGGCCTGCCCGCGCTCGAGGTCCTCGAGAAAAGTGTGAGGCGGATCCACCAGGTCACGAGAAGGGCCTCACTCCTAGAAGACGGTTTTGATCTCGGCGTGCCCGGCGAGGACAAACCTATTAATAGGGAACGCAAAGCCGCGGCGCTCGAGCGGGTCCAGCACGTCCTCGGCGATGATGGTCATGACATCACCTTCGAGGCCGAGAAATGTCTGAGATTGCTCGACGAAGAATTGAACCTGAGACCGGGTGCCCAGAAGGCGCATGCTACTTGGTTAGTACAAAGACTGGAAAGTGCACATGACGAGGTCGACGAATTGGTGTCGAAGTGCCGGGGCCAGGCCCGAGCGGTAGCAAGAGCCTTGTCCGGACCGCGCTTCTGTGCCGCCGACGTCGAGAGGTACCAGCAGCCGATGCAGGTGCTGGACGACGTCGACGGCCAGGGGCGGAAGCTCAATGCAGCTGAGGACGGCAGAAAAAAGCTTCAACATCTAAGGAGGCTGTTAGATTTCTTAAAGCTGAAGGATGGTATTGTTCCGGAGCCGCTACCTCGAGGTGTGGACCGGGAAATTGCGGGCGACGCGAGGGCTGCTCGGGCCTTCATGGGACGAAGTCAACTGCTCTGGACCATGGTCGCGCGCTGGGCCCAGGTCTATGATACGTGGGTGTCCTCACCTTTGACAGCGTTTGACGGCACGGAGATGGATGCTGAATCAAGGCTGTTCGCGTCCGAGTCCCAAGATCTGGAAGCGAGGCTGTTCGAGCCCCCTAGCATAGACGAGGACTACTATTTAACGATAGAACGGCGGAGCGTCCCGGGCGACGTTACGCAAATCGGACGGCCCGACAAGAAGGCCGACGAGGCCTTCCACGCGCGCGGCGGCGGCGCGGCCCAGCGACTGGTGAGGGAAACGCGCCAGTTTAGGGAATTAGCCCCGGTCATTCTAGATCTGAAGAACCCGAATTTCAAGCAAAGGCATTGGTCTCGTGTGGCGAAGTTGTTAGTACCATCAGCACAAGTTCCCATCAAGATCAATCCGCACGAAACTTCATTGGGGGATTTGCTCGACATCGGCGTGGAGAAGCACGCCCAGCAGGTGTCGCAGATCGCCAGGGACGCGACGGCCGAAGCTCGCATAGAAGCGTCAGTGAAGAACATGGCCGACGCTTGGAGATCTGCGGAGGTTCCGGTCATTGCCATCCCTCAAGGGGATGATTGCGATACGGATGATGAGGATGAACATACCTACGAACTCGGGCCGTTAGATGAACTACACGCATTGTGTAGCGACCACCGGGCGGCGCTGCGGGCCGTAGCATTAGGTTCTCATGGTGAGTCGTTAGCACCATTGATCTCGGCGTGGAGAAGAAGACTCGATCGACTCGCGGAGGCCATGGGCGTCGCCGATAGTTTAGAGCGCAAGTTGAGGGTCCTGGGACCCACGCTGGCAGGCGAGAAAGACGGAGCTCTCAAACACGCCTACCACCGCTACCGAAGCGTCGATAAGCGGTGGCGATTGTTCTTAAAGTCGTTGTACGCGAAACCGCTACCGGAACGCTTTATTACGGACGAAGGTGAGAGATCGGACACCTCCAAAAAAAGGGTTGAGGAACACGTCTCCAAAGAAGATAGACTAGCCTTCGAGATCCCGGACGAGCCGTCAGATGCAAAACTAAACCGGTGGCGCGACGACGCCGTCATTCTGGATGACTTGCGGGATGAGCTCAAAACACATTTAGAAGAAAAACGAGAAGCGTTCCCTAGATTTTACTACTTGACGGATCTAGAGCTCGTCACGGCCTTAGGCAACTTACGTAATAGAGGCTCGGAAACGCTGAGGTATGTGGTCCTGGCCTTGCCGCAGTTGTTCGACGGCGTGCGGACCGTGGACCGAGCTGTCGAGAATGAAGATGACGACGCGTCGATCGGTTCCCTGGGGTCGCAGCCGCCACCCAAAGGTCGAAGGCCGCAACTCATCGGAAGTCTGGTGGACACGCACAAGGAGCGACTCGTATTATTGAAACCGGTTCGCGTCTGGCGCGGTGTGGAAGTGTGGTTGTCAAATCTAGAAAAAGAGATGCGCCACGCTCTCAGGGCGTCCTTCGCCGAAGCCAAGTCCTCCAAGCGAAGCAAGAAGGTGACGACCTGCGCCCAGGTCGCTTTGCTCGTTCAACGGGTCAAGTGGACGCGCGACGTTGAGTTCGCCATCGACGCGTCCCTGAAAAGAAATGACCTCAGCGCCTGGGACGACCTGGCTGCTACGTACAAGCAGGACGCCAAGGAGAAGGCTGAGATATTACGCAGTCCGCATGTGGCCGACGACGTCTCGAGGGCTGCGCGATCGAAGAACGAAGTTTTGTTACTCGTCGCGCTGCAGCACAGAGAGTGCATCACGTCCCTGAAAGAATACGCTCAACATATCAAGAGTGATCAAGACTGGTGCTGGCAATCATTGTTAAGGTTCTACGCGACTGATAAAAAGAAGAAGAAGAAGGCTGATGATGAAGACGAGGACGACCCTCTGACGTTGGATGCACATGCCAAGCAAACGGACTTCATCACGCCGATCAATTTGGAGTACGTCGGTTCTTGGCGACGGACCGTGTGGACGCCGCTCGCCGGGAGATGTGTCCTAGGCTTGACGGCCGCATTAAAAGCAATTAGGGGAGCGTGCGTCGTGGGCGGCCACGGCTGCGGGAAGCGGGAACTCGTGGCTAATTTAGCCACGGAGCTGTGGGCTAGATGTGTGGTGAGAGAACCTTCCCATTTCGGCGTGGCGTGCGACGGGGAAAGTCTCGCGCGGGCGGTAGGCCACCTCTTCGCCGGGACAGCCGCGACGGGCGCCTGGTTCGTCCTCGCTCTTGGTAGTTTGCAGCACCGGCCCGGTGGTTCTGACCTTGTTAGATCTTTACTGAAAGCTGTGGCAGCAAATCTCGAAGTGTTCGCAGGGGCGGTAGCGAAGAAAGCCGAGACCGTGTCGTTCGCCGGACGGGCCGTGCCGTTGCCTTCGATCAAGTTAAGGCCCGGACAACTAGCGCCTTTGCCGCCGTTAGTTTGCGTCACACTAGGAGACGGCGAGGCGTCGCGGGCCCTGGACCACGGGCTCGCGCTGTCCTTGCGACCCGTTCGATTAGCCTCACCGGACATTTCGAGAGTTGTTTGTGGTGGCTTGATCGCGCGGGGCTTCCACACTTCTGAAGCTTTACAAGCGGGCTCAGATATCTCAGTAGCATTACAATTATGTCTAGATGCGGAGCTCGGAGAAAAGCCGGAAGACGGCCACCCGCGGCGGCACCATCTGCTGGCGCGGTGGGGCATGCGGAGCGCGTTGATGGTCGTGCGGGAGGCGGAGCGGTTACGGGAAACGGGCGAAGAGGAGCGCGTCTGCATTTGCCGAGCGGCTCGTAGACTATTACCGCGGGCGTTACGCGGATCTACTGATGACGAGACAGCCACCTTAGCTATTGTAGATAGTGTCATGGGTTCAAGTGATGACCGCGACGACGACGACGGCGACGCTACTTCCCAAACCTACTCCTTCATCGAAAAGGCCTTTATGGAAGCGTGCGGCGGCCGCCCTTCATTTTTACAGTCGCAGTGCGCCGCTCGGTTGCTAGCCGCGACGCAGGTCGGCATGGGCGTCGCGCTCGTCGGGCCGGCCGGCTGCGGCAAATCTCTATGTATCCACGCGGCGGCGAACGCGGACGCGACGAAGACTGTGGTAGCTTCGGTCGCGCCGGGGGCTTTACCGCTGGAGGACTGCTTCGGGACCGCCAGTGGTTCGCAAGGCTGCGTGCTTTCTCGATTGGTGAAGCTCGCCGAGCGGCGGCGGCGGAAAGTGGGCGGCGACGCCTGGATCGTCTGCGACGGGCCCCTCGAGGCGTGCTGGACGGAGGCGCTCGCCGCATCGATTAGTAGTCTGACGGCCAAGGCCGTGGCGGCGGAGTTGGCTGGTTCCAGTAAAGTTGCGGTGCGGATATTGATCGAGACGGACGCGTTGGGCCACGCGTCGCCGGCGACGGTGGGCCGCCTGGGCGTCGTTTGTTTGCCGTCGTTTCGGGAAGATGCGAATCAGGCGATCGAGCGGGCGCGCGCGTTCTGTTCCCGTAATTTACGAGGAACGATGAAGGACGCGGTCGATGCCTGCCTGCAACAATATTGTCCCCTCAATGCCGCACTCGCGGTCGCGTCGAAGGTCGACGCCTGGTTGGATAGAGGCGGCGCGTACCCCTTTTCAGACACGGCGACCAGCTCTCCTTCCGAAGATGACATGAGGCGCACGCAGGGTTTTGCTACACTGGTCTGCGCCTTACTCGAAAAGGACGTCGATTCCACTGATCTCGTAGCAGTGCGCGTCGCCGTCGCCTGGGCCCTCGCCTGGGGCGTGTTGGGACGAGCTCTGGCTTGCGGCGAGACCGACGACGTCCAAGAGCCCATCCACAAAGACTGTAGCGCGTGGTTACATGAACATGTCAATGCGGGCGACGACAAGCGCATCGAGGAGGCCTGTGCCGGCCCGGCGCCGCGGCCGGACCTCCAGATGTTCGCTCCCTGGTCGGCTCTAGCCGACCTCAGGAGAGAGGCGGCCGAGGCGAAGCGGCTGAAGGCGACGCACGTAGTCTCATCATACGTGGTCGCGCCGACGCCGCGTCTAGAACGGGCCGTGTTTGTGGGAAGGTGTTTTCTGCGAGGCATGCGCGGCGGCGTCTGTTGCATCGAAGGCGTTGCTGGCACTGGAAGGACCACCATAACGGAGGCGCTCTGTTCTAGAGAGAGGCACAACGTCAAGAAAGTGCACTGCCACGCCACGACAACGTCGACCGGGTCATTATTAAAAAGGATGCTGGCCCAGTTCACTCAAATAAGGAAGCAGCCCTACGCGGATGAAGATGACGATGGGTCATTGGAACGGGACGCTATCATTGGTCCCCAACAACGGCAGAAACTTCTGTTGGTGGTTGATGATTGTTCCTTACCTCAACAAACGTCGGAGAGCGACTCCATCACCAGAGAACGGCACGGCGGTTTAGATGAGACCTTACGGGCCTTGCTGGACCGGGGCGCGTGGCACGATAATATGAAAGACGAGCCGGCGGCGGCCGACGCGTCGCTATCCGGTGGTTTAGTGCCTCCTGTGTTACGTCATGTCAGTGATGTATTGGCATTGGTGGTAGCCAGGCCGAACGAGCTCAGTGCCCGACTGAGGCGCCATTTGCCCTCCATACCACTCATGCGGCCGGGGACCCAAGAATTAGCCACGGTCTTCACGGATTGCATACGCGCGGCGCATCCTGATTTTGAGAATAAGTCAGGCGACCTGGCCAAAGCATCTCTAGCGTGCGCGAGCGTCTACAAACGCTTGTCCGAGGACCCCGACGCGCCATCAAGCTTGCCTCCGGCCTTATGTCTCGCGGCTCGCATCGCACGAGGAGCTGTTTATCTAGAACCGAACCAAACCACTCTCAAATTGCGAAGAGGTTTGGCCCATGAGCTCCAACGAGAGCTGAGAGATGGATTACCCTTCGCGATGCGCGACGATTATGATGAGGCTGTGAAACTAGAAGGCTTGCTCGCGAAGGAAGACAGGATTGTGGTCAATAACAATGGTTGGTCCTACGCGGACCGCGCCGACGGCCTGCCAAAATTAGAGTCAAGGTTAGCCCAGAAGAAGCTCGAGGCGGCCATGACCGACGACGCGAGAGCCTCGATGACGAAGAAGGGCATCTCGCACGCGCGGCACGCGCACGCCGCGGATGTTTTTGACGACGACGAGGACGAGCACGGCCCGCCGTCCATTGAACGCTTCGCGGCGCACTACCAGCGCAACTTTGACGATGCTCGCGAAGTTAAAGGTTTACCTGCTTCTCCGCTAGCTCCTTTGGAGAAGGGCACGGGCCACGCCGTGCACATCACCCGAGCGTGCCGGGCTTTGGCGCGGGAAGGCGTGCCCCTGGTGCAGGCCGGGGTTCGCGGGGTTGGTCGACGTTCTGTTGCTGATGTGGCTTGCCATATTGTTGGAGTGGAGGAGATTGTGCACGCCTCGCCGCCGCCGGTGCCGCATCACGTCGACGCGCGGCACCGCTCATCAGTAAGGGAGGGCTGCGGCCAGGTGGCCCCCCACGCCATGCACGAGGACGAGGACGAGGACTTCAAGGACCCGGACCAGATCTGGAACGATTTGCTAAGGGAGGCTATCTTAGATGCTGGTCGAAATAGGAAAATATGCATCATTCTCAGTGACGGCCAGTGGGCCCACTCCGCCATCACCGCGCGGCGACTAGACGATGTCCTCTCAGCGCTGCAGACGGGCACGGTCGCGAACCCGTTGGTCGTGTGGCCAGAAGATGAGGCAAAAATTGTGAGTGATTACTTGAATTCGAAGCAGGAGGACAAGGATGATCATGGAGGCGACACGACGACGGCGGCCTTGACAGCGTTCCGGGACCGCGTCAAGCGATCTCTGAGAGTTGTGGTCAACGTCGCGCCGGACGACGCGTTCGGGCGCGGCGCGGCTCATGATGCCGCCACGCAAGCCTTGAAACGACTGCTGCCTCATGCTACACTGAATTTGTATCATAAAATAGAGGGTGAGAAAGCATTGGTAAGTCTCGCGGAACGATGCCTGGGTTGTGGTAGGGAATGGAGATTAGCAGCACCGGAATCGGAGCCGCTCGTGGCCTGGCTGGTGCGGCACGGCGACGACCCGCGCTACGCGTTGCGGGACGACGCGGATCCTGATTTAGCCCCTTCGTTAGAAGGCTACGCCCAGCGGTGCGCCAATGAATTGCGAACTCATCTTTCTTCCCTAAGGTGTGTGAGAGCCTTTGCGCGCAAGGACGGGTTCAAGGTCCGACGCATACAAAGGCACTGGAGGAGAGCCAAGGACCACTCCTTCCGCCACCTGAACCTCATGGGCAAACTTACGGAGATGCGGAAAGCCGCGGACCTTGTAAGAATGCGCGGCGCCGCCTCGCAGCGAAGCGAAGCGGCTTTGGTGTGTGTCAAGACGTTTTTGGCGCGGCAGGAGGCGCCGAACGTGCCTCCACCCTCGTTAATTGCTCTTAGATCGCAACTCGCTTTAACTGCTAGGATCGCCATGATCCGCGGAACACGGCTGCGAGCTGTGGAGAATAGAGTCGCCACGGCTCTGGACAAACTCAAACAAAGCCGGATCCAGGCCGAATACTTGAGGCTCGAGAGCGTGGCATCGCAAGCCATTGCCGACGCTCGGTACGAGGAATCGCAAGTGATGCAGGTCTTACTAAATAAGTGCGCCGATGGGGTGGATGACGCCCTGGCGAAGATGAATCGACAAGAATCTATCAAGAAGCGGACTTTAGACGCGCGCCAGCGCATGTTACGGGCCCACATGAAGACGCTCGGTACCGCGACGTTAGAACAGCTCGAGACGTCGACCGCTCAAATCATAAAACACGCGCCCTGCGACCCGACGGTGAATGGGGGCGAGATGCCCCACGCCAAGGCCATCCAGCGCTGTTTGGAAGCTCTCTCGGCGTTTCTGCTGGACGAGGAACCTAGGGCCCAAAAGGGCTGGGACTCGTTTACGTCGACCACGTTCCCAGCAACCATGCGGAGCTGGTTCAACCAGGCGTGCAAGGCCGCCGCGGGCCAGTTCGACGCTGGTGTTACCAAAAGACTAAAAGCGTGGAAGAAGGGTATCGGGTACGCTGAAAGAATCATGAACGACCCCGCGTTGGCCCCGTCACAAATCAGAAAAATGTCGACGGCGGGCCACCAGGTCGGCATCCCCGTCAGCGTGTTTGTCAGGGCGGGCTGCGCGTTCTTTCGAGCCGCTTCTTCTCCACCTTCGCTCGCGGCGTGGGCGACGGCGTGCGACGCGTGCAAGGCTGATGATGATGCCCAGCATGATTTAGATGTTTGTAGGGACGGTCATCATACGTCAGAAACAGCTCGAGACGCCGCGCAGTACTTATTAGATGAATCTAGGCGAGTGTCGTCAGAATGCTCGACGCACGCCACAGATTTAGTCAACAGGCACACGGCCGCTTTAGCGCGCTTCGGCGAATTGGAGTCCACAAGATGGCGCTGGGACGGGCGCAACGCCTGGCTCGCGGCGCACCACGCCCACCTGAACCACGAGGCCGCTTGTGCGGCCGCGGTCGCGTCGTTCGCGGGGGGGCTGCCTTCAGCGGAAAATGCGCGGAAGAATTTTGTCGATGAGGTCCGAAAGCTGTGTGCTGTCTTCCCGTCGTCGCTGGAAGTCCACGCCTCGCTCCACGTCCAAGTGCCGCGGAGCTCCATGAAGGCCCTTGCACCCTTGTCGGACGACGACGTCTGCGACATCGGGGGGCAGGGCGAGGGCGGGTCCGCTTTTAGGAGATGGGACAACCAAGGTTTATTACCAGGAGGCATCGAGGGGGCCGTGGCCTTTGGCGCCGCCGCCGTCGAGGCTGAAAGGAGCAGAGTGGTCGTCATGTGCGATTCCTTGGGAGACGGGGCGCGGTGGCTCTGTGCATCGTATTGTCGGGCCCGACCGAAACCTGGTCAGAGGTCCCTCTGCCGCGTCTTCGTGGATCGAGGGGGAGGTGCCTCGGTTATACCGTGCCATGCGACGGGCGAACAGTTGAGACGTCCGGTGTCGCCGACAAGAGCTGCAGCTCGCAAAGCGGAGGAAGCCCGAGAAACGGCGCCTCCCTTAGTATTGGCGCTGCGCGAGGCTGTGAAAGGCGACCCCGATGTTATTTTAGTAGACCTGCCGGACGCGTGTTTACAAAAGGGTTTGTTGAGAGAGCTCCTGGAGCCCCTCGAACCTCTACTAAGGGCGCGGCACGATTCGGTACGAGTGGCGACGGCGCGCGCGCCGCTGGCGCGTTGTTTGCGCATGGTCTACGGCCCCGCGTCCTCCGCGCCGGAGCCCGTCGCGCCGACGGGCGGGCCGCGCTTAGTTTTTAGAATTGCGGCCCCGGCCGGCGCCGTGCAGTCTGCATTGGGGACGCCGGCGAACGACTGTCGACATGCGCTCTCATTGGTCGACTTCGCGCCGGAGCTTGAAGAAGCGGCTCAGCGCCTCGCGGCCTTTGGGTTGATCGGGGTGGATGACGGGCCGTTCGTGGGCGCCTACGATAAAGCTGCGGAATTCAGAGATAAGGCCTTCCTGGCCGCTTTGGCTGCGAGAGATGATGATGATGACGTCCTCGACATCGCGATCGACATGGACCCCAAGGCTTTATGTGCGGCCGCTCCGAAGCCTCCCAAGGGCAAGTCGGCGTCGTCGGCGCAATTTAAGTTGCAAGCCAAACAGAACGCGCCGAAGATCGTCGCCGCGGCGCGGCGCCGGAGCGGCGTTGAAAGAAGGGCGGTCCAGGCCGACGAGAAGTTCCAGAAAGCTAGGTTGCACGTCGAGGAGGGTGAAAAGGCGCTCTTACCGCTCGCTAGAACGTACGCGCAGGTCGTCGCGGCCTGCGACGGCGTCTGCGGGCCCGGGGCCTACAACGCCGCGGCGCAGCGCGCGCGGCGCGCGACGGCGCCCTTCGCCGACCACCTTCTCAGATTCGCGGCCGTGGCCAAGTTCTTGGAGACGGACGACGCGACCTGGTCGGAGACGGACGCCGCGGAGGCACGCCGCGCGGCGTTCGACCTCGAGCGGCCGCGGTTGCTGGCGGCGGACGTCGCGCCCGTGGCGCTTGCTTTGGCGCTGCGGGCGGCCGATGATAGTGACACGAAGCGCAAGCTTCTGGATCAAACGTTGGATGTACAGGCGGTCGTCGACCGCTACCGGTCGCGCTCGAAAGATTCGCTGACGGTGCTGGCGTGGCTCGACGGTGAAGTGGTTGCCGAGGCGCCCGCGCCGGCCGCGTGCGCGCCCGCCTGCGCGCCGGCGTGCGCGCCGGCGCCCGCGCCGGCCTCGCTCGTCACGGAGGCGCCGGCGCCGGCGCGCGACCCCTGGCCCGACGCGGAGACGCGAAAGCGCCTCGCGACGACCGAGGCGGCGCTGCCCGAGCTGCGCGGGCTCTGCGAGACCATCCACGAGAATGAAGAAAAATGGCGATCCGAGACGCCGGAAGAGTATCTGGATACGGTCCCGGGCAACGCCGTGGCGAAGCTCCTCGTGCTCCGGTGCCTCCGGCCCGACCGCTTCGTCGCGGGCTGCAAGCTCCACGCGAAGCGTTGTTTAGGCGACGACGGCGCGCCGCACGTCGCCGTGCCGACGCCCGCGTCGCAGTGGCCCCCGTCGCCGAGCGAGGAGGCGGACCCGGGCACGGCCGCGGCCGTCGCGCTGCGGGTCGCGGGGGCCTGCAGGGCGGCGGCCTGCGACCGCCCCGTCCTCATCCTGCGGACGGCGGCCTGCGAGGACGACGCCGTGGCGCTGCGGCCGGCGATCGCCGCCGCGGCGCGGCTGTGGGCCGCGCCCGAGGGGCCGCCGAACGTCGTCGAGCTGTCGCTGGGCTCGGCGTTCCGGTGCGACGCCGCCGCGACGAAGCTGGCCGAGAGCCGCGTGACGGGGTCCTGGATTTTACTAAGGCACGCGCAGCTCGCCGAGGACTGGCTGCCTTCCTTACTCGCGCAGTACGACCAGCTCGACGCCCAGGTGCTCGACCGCGCCGCGCGGTTCCGGGAGCAGGTCCAGGAATTCCTGGACGAGGGCAAGGGCGAGAAGCAGGCCGTCGCCCTGGCGACGGCGGCGGGGCCGCGCGAGGGCGTGCTGAGCGGGGGCATTACGTATGATGCGCCGGCGAAGGCGCCCCACGCGCGGCACCGGCTCATCCTGGAGATGGTCGTGCCGCCCGGTTATTCTACGGAGACGTGTCGCGCGCCGCGCGACCTCGCGAAGCGTTGTATTTGTGTCGCGACGGCGCCGCCCGCGTCGCTGCGGCAGCGACTGGTCTGGGGCGTTGCGGATGGAGGCGGCGCGCTGTCCTCGACGAAACTGTACCAGCGGTTATCGGATGAGCAGCAGCGCATGGGCTACGCCCAGGTCTTGCTGCACGCTTTGATAAGAACGCGGCGCGACTTTGGCGGCCGCGGGTTCAGCCATCGCGTGACGCCGGGGCAGGCGGCCTGGTGCGCGTGGGCTGCTTTAGCTGTGCGGCAGGCGCCGGGCGCGTCGTGCAATGCGTTAGGCGCCAAGGCCCACACGAAGGTGGACACGGAGGGCGGCCAGGACGCCTGGGGCCGGACCTTCGACGCGACGCGGGGCGAACGGCGCGGCGGCGGCAGGAAGGACGGCGACGAGCCCTGCTGGTCGCTCGGCGTCGGCGACCGGTTCCCTGCCACAAAAGACGCGCGCGCGCAATTGGCGCTGGGTGATATCAATGCGGCCTATGCGAACATCGACCACGCGCGCCTGAGCCGCGCCGAGCGCTGCGACTCCGCGGTGTCGGCCGCGCTCGGGCGTATTGCGTTAAAGTGCTCCGACGCGGCCGCTGCGTATCAAGTGCCCGACTGGGAGAAAGCACCAGATGCGCGCGGCCAGAAGAGCTGGGACGGCGTGCTGCAGTGGATCCGGTCCCTCGACGATCGAATAGATGCGCAGCTCGTGGGCTTCGGTGAAAGCGAGGCCCGGGCGGTAAATGAGTGCGAGGAACGCGCCGTGGCCGCAAGCGCCGCGCGGGCGGCGGCGACGCGCGGCGCCGTGAAGCGGTGGCGGCGCGTCCGCGCGGCCTTCGCCATCGGGCAAGACGCCAAGATGTCCGCGGCGATGGCGGCGGGGACCGTGGCCGCCGTGGCGCGCGCGTGCCGGGGCGATCCAAGCGATACGGCCGAACCCGTGGACGAGGCGTGGGCCGCGGCGCGCCGGCGCGAGCGGACGTGCTTCGACGACCTGCTGGACCTCGTGTCGCGGACGCTCGCCGACCGCGACGTGCGAGCGGCATTAGAAGTAGGGGAAACCCCAAAAGCGTGGGCCCGCGCGACGCGCCACGCCTCGGATGTTAGGGGAGACGCTTACTCGCGGCTCGACGGCGACGAACGGAGCGCGGCGGAGGCGGTCCCGAAGCTCAACGACTGGCTCGGCCACCTGCGCAAGGTCCGGGCCCAGTTCCGGGCCTGGCCCCGCGGCGGGCCGCCCGAGGTCGCGTGGGCGCCGGGCCTCTTCCGGCCGACCGCGTTCTTCGCCCAGATCCGGGGGCATAGCTCGGTCCTGGTCGCGTCGTCGGGGGCGGGCGGTGTCCGTGTCAGTGGTTTGGAGTTGAGCGGCGGCGAGTTCGACAATGACATGATGACTCTACGCGACGGCGCGCCCCAACCAGTCACGCTCTGGGTCCGCGGAGGCGACCAGGAAGACGGCTACGACCTTCCGCTGTATACGGCGGCAACACGCGGCGAGCTCTGCGCGACGCTCCGCGTCCGGACGGCCTGTCCCGACGACCTGGCGCTGCGGGGGTGTGCGCTCGTCGTTTCTCTCTAACTTGAATGTGTAGTCTTATTCTAAGAGTCGCTCAAAAGAAAAAAGTATAAAACTCGCGCGATAAAAATAAGTAATTATTCCGGGGCTGCCCCATCTAGCTCTATCGTCTGCTGCCACCTGGGTGGTGGCCCAGCTGCGATGGCCGAACGGGAGACCGAGGTGATGGCCGAGGGCGTGGTCGTCGCGTCTAGTCCTGTCCACCTCCCGTGTTTTGCGCAAATTCGCACCCCGAGATCTCATTTCCTAGTATTCAGTATTCAGCTTTAGCGTAAGCGTTTCTTACTAGCTCCTCCCGAACGTCGACAGCGACGACACGCCGAGCCGGAGCCGCTCGGACAGGTCGTTGGACGACGCCGCGGCCGGCGGCGGGCTCTGCGATCGGACCTGCTCCTCGGCCGCAGATCTAGCAGTCGCCGCGTCGGCCCCAAACGTCTCGAGCGTGAACGCGATCTCGGCGCGCTTCATGCCTTTCACAGCGCACACGCGCGCCAGGTCTTTCTCGGAGCCGTCAGGCCACATAATCTTGAAGCGCTCCACCAACGCGTCCGTCGGCGTGCCCACGAGTTTTAGTAAAGTTTCGACCTTGGCGCTCTCTGATAGTATAAATTTGTTGTACGCGGCCGGCGCCGGAGGTGATGACTCGTCTCCCATGGTTGGCAGTGCCAACAGAGCGGGCTTCAGGGAATGCAGATCCAACAATAACTGATGCGTGCCCATCTCGTTGATGCGTTTTTGGGTTCTTATGAGATCATAATATTTCGCGAAAAACGCGGAAGCAAACTTGTCGCAAAAGTTGCGGAAGTATAGAGGAGACAGCAACGCCCTAACCGCGGGCGCCACCCGCTTGATCGCCTTCACGACGTCGCCCACGTACACGCTTTCTTCGTCGATCGTGTCGAGGACGCCCCATTTTGCGGTCTTAGCTTTGCGCAAGGCAGGCGCGATCGCGGTCTCCAACGCCCCGACCACTTTCGTGACCGCTCTGGCAACCACATCATGGAACGCGTCCTCCACTTGAGTGAGATCGACCCTTTCTCGGTACTGGTCGTCGATCTTACCTCGCACGATCTCGGCCAGCTGCCCCGCGGTCTCGGCGCAGTATTCCGCCGTGTTCAAACAGTAGCAGGCCGCCTCCGCATCATTAATCGCGAGGTCCTCGCCATCCGACTCGTTCTGCTCGGTTTGATGCCGCTTCATGGCATCTAACAAAACGCGCGCCCCTCGCGACGAGGACTTTTGTTGTTGCGGCGCGTCCACAACATCTAGCAAACCCCCAAGCCGCGCCGCATAACTCTTCAAACACTCACCAAAGGCTCGGTGGAGTTTAAAGAAGGTCTGGCCCGTCGTTAACGCGGTACACCGCCTCACGCTCGTCTTGATATAAGCAAACACATGCACGGAAGAAGCCAGCACCGGCAGAGCCCCGTCCCGGTCCACGGCGTCCTCGGACACGGTCCGTTGGAGCACATCCTCCAAATTCTGCTTCTCCAATGAAATATAACCGTCCATGAACGGGTCAAAAACACTACTCAGTGCACCTAAGATTTTTGTTCTCGCGAGCCCGTCTTCTTCCTCTTTGGCTCGCTTGTCCTCCTGCACCCGTTGTAACTGCGCATCGGTCAGGTGGTCCTCGTTGATTTCACTCTCCTCAGAAGGAGGCTCCCTTCTCAGTGCGGCTTCGTCATCTTCCACCGACTGCTGGGCCTCCTTCTCGAAGACCAAGGCTTTCTGGAGAGCTGTGAGCACGGGCGCGACGCCCTCGTTCTCTCCGGATGATAGGACATCGAGGAGCATTTCTCGTGATCTTGCTGCAAACGCTAATACTAATCGTTTCTCGACGCGCCATTTCGCGGGTAGTTTGACGGCGTAGGTCTCCCGGTACTTCTTGAGCACTCGCCGGATCCAGGCGAAGCGCCGATCCACATTTTCTAGTGTAGAATCTTCACCACCCTTCGGGAACAGTTTTCGATAGGGCTGCAATTGCCTCGCCACAAAGGCCGAGACCTGCCTTTCTCGAGCCGCAGGACCCAGAGCATCGACAACGAGACAGCAGTCCCGCAAGCCCCCATACGCATCAAAACCATCAATGGTGCTATTCTCGGACAATATCGAGGCCTTCTCAAAGGCCCCGAAGACCTCTTGTTTTAACCTAGAACGCACCTGTTCCACGTCTTGCGACAAGGACGCCACCCGTGGCACGTTCCCGAAGGGCGCAAAATAAGTTTCCAAGTGGCCGATGGCATCTAACAGGTTGGCCGCCTCGCCGTACCTCTTTTGTGCTACCGCGTCTTTGAGTTGCGCGGACGCCGCATGAAGCATGTGGAGCCGTTTTAAAGCTGTTATCGTTCTCTGTAGATTCCGTTTCGCGCGATCTAGATCTTTTATATCTGCACAAATTTCCCTGACCAAGTTCTCGCTCTCCGAGGCCTTGGTCTTGATGGACGCGACCCGTGTGCAAAGTTCGGCCATGGCCTCGCGCGCCGTCGCGATGTCCTTCGTCGCTCGTGCGCCCGCTTCGGCCTGGGCGTGGACCGCTTTACTAATCTCCAGATCTAGTTGTGATACTTGTTCCGCGGCGTCCTCGATGCGTGGTTCGAGCGACGGCAAGGACCGCTCGTTCGGAAACAACACGTTTAGATACGCGACCGGGTCAAAATCAGTGGCATCTAGTGGATCTTCGCTCGGCAGCACGTCCGCCAAATTCTGTTGCTGCTGGTCGGACATCGAGGGCAGCTTGCGCGGCGGGTCCGTCGCGGGGGCGGCCATGTTATGTTGTTTCTTCTACTATGTGCTGCCGCTGGTCTGCCGCGAGGTTGGCTTCTGTTGTAGCGCTCGTCTGCTGGTCGCGCACGGGTGCGTCGCGTCGCGCCAGGCGGTGGTCCAGCCGAGGTGAGGGTTACGAGCTGGCAGCTTGCACGGTTTGAGCGCGGTGTCAGCTGGCGATCTGTAGAGCAATAGAAATCGCATTCAGAGCCTATGAAACGGCAGGCGCGCGGAGGCCGCGAGCGCGACCTGGACCAAAATTGCGCTAGCGGCCTGTAAGACACTAGCAATCAGGCGGGTTTTGAGCGTTTTTACGCGGTCAAGCGCTGACGCGCGGTCCCCCCGAGGCGAGGCTCCTCCGACGAGTCCTACTCCACCCGCCACGCCGTCGCCGCGGCGCACTGGAATCGACATCGTAGCAACTTAGCTCCCCCGCGTCGGCTCCCACGGCCGCTGCGGGATCTGCGCGCGCGCCCGATCTCTCAACACGCAGAGCATCTCGCGCTTGTATTTTTCTTGGGACGGCCGCTTGCTCAGACACGACCAGGGCCCCTCGCCGAGCTCCCTATCTTTGTCATCTTCCCTAATGAGCGCGACGTTCTGTGTGAGTTCCGGCGTGTTGTCGCCGATGTCGCAGATCTTGTACGCGCGCGTGCAGAGCATGCGGTTGATGCGCGTCGCGACGTCGCTATTCCTTAAACCTTTGTCCTTCTGGAACATCGTGGGTGGCGCCACGGCCGGCGAGACCTTGGCCGTCGTCCTTCTAGAGCGTTTTGTCGAGGTCAGCGACTTGCGCGAAGCTGTTTGAGAACCGCCGAAGCCCACTCTAAGAGGCTTCCTCGCAACTAAGGGATACATGACGCGCATCTTTTTAATGCGGTCCTCGCGAAAGGCCAACACGCGCTGCTGCATCTCGTGGAAGCGCATGGTCCCGTCCGGCGACGTCTCCACCCCTTCAAAGATGTCCCTGACCTCATCTTTTGACAACTGCGGCATGAGGCCCTTGCCCCGCTTCGACTTCATACGCGCGTCAGCTTGACTTATCAATTCGTTCTGCTGCTCCTCACTCAACGTGCATAGGGCCCTCCCTTCTGAGACGTAAACCTGCAGGCAGTCCTCCCTTTCAAACTGGTGGCACATCGCGTCTAATTCCCACCTCCCCAAAACATGCTGGCCCTTCGGGCCACTTCGTAACTGCTGCTGTCGGTCTAACGGTCCATAGAACCCAAATGCGTACAATCTTCCAGTGGACAGCGGGTGGTAGAGGTCCGCCGGGAAGACGAAGCTGATGAGGTCGTCGATCGACACTAAACTCTCTGGATTTTCACCCTCGAAGCCCGTTAACGCGAACCTTGTGCGCTGGGGCTCCGGCTCCTGGTCTAGGTCCGGCGCGGCCTCGGCGGTCTCGGGCCGGCTGCCCTGGGCTGAGCCCTGGGCTGATTCCTGGGCCGTCGCGGGCCGGCTGCCTTCCTGGCTGCCCTGGGCCGTCGCGGGCCGGCTGGGGTCGGCCTCCTCCGGTGCCGCTTCCGCGTCGGCCATGGCTCTTCGTGCTCCTTTGCGGCTGCCCTTCGCGGCGCTGCGAGTTGCGAGCGGCTGTACGTGAGGCTAGTGGAGTCGGTCTGGGCGTCGAATAAACGGCCTGAACTGGCTCAGGGAAGTGTTCCTTGGTCCTAGACGTGCGGGTTTCGCTAGCGGAGTGAGACACTAGCGTTTCCCGACTCGTTTGCTCCGGCGGGTCGTTTGAACCGCTACAGCAGAAGCGGTGAAGACTGATCAGTGATATACAAAGCCAGGCAGTGCGCGCATCTTTGAAAAACGCGAATTGCAGCGAAACTCCGCTGAACGGCCGCAAAAGTGAGTTGCCACACACACTGACTTGCTCGCAGCACTGATAGCTCCGTTACTGATTCCCCGTCACGCGCTGGAAACCGTGAACCATGCTCGACCCACTGCTGCGCTACGCTATAGCGGCAGCCATCGCGGCGACGGCCGGCCGCGGCCTCGTGCGGCGCGGCCAGCACGCGGCGTTGTTTCCGGCACCGGCGGGCCTGCTCGACGCGGCTCTGGACCACGGCGATTCAAAGTTCGGACGGACGAGCCGCACGGAGGTCCTCGGCTCGCTCGCGGCACGCATCGACGAAAACGGGCGCACGACCGCGGACGAGACGGCCTACGCCGATGCGGCGCTGCGGCTGGCGCGCGACGCAGAATTACTCTTCGCCGCGCGGCGGCTGCGGGCGGCGCGGCGCCGCGGCGCGCGAGCCAAGCCCAACGCCTTATCAGAGGATCTGGCGGAACCGCTGGCGTCCATCGGCGCGGCGGAGAAGGTGCTCAGCGCGCGGCCGCTCGATGAAGACTGGCAGGCGCGGAACTGGGCGCGCGAGGCTCGTGCTCTCGCGGCGGACATTTTGGGGGTCGACGAGACTACTCCTGTGAAGCTCGTCGCAGCGGCGCGCCAGCGGTTCCAGGAGGTCGCGGGCGACGCCGACGCGACGTACCTCCGCTATCAGGGCCGGCGCAAGGCCGCGGTGCGGGTGGTTTGTTGCGTCGCCGCGGCGCGCGGCGGCCTCGCGCTGCGCCGCTTCGCCCGGAGCCAGGGCGGCGTGCGCGCGGTCGCGGGGCGCGTCGCCGTGACGACCAAAGAGATTATTGAAAGACGCCTGATCGTGCCGGCCGTCGAGGTCCTTGCCGATCTACTGTCTCCCTCGAAAGAGCACCTGATGGCCGACCCTCAAAGCCTCCGTCAGGCCGAAGCGACGCTCGAGGCGATGCTGACGGACTGGCTCCGGGACCGGGAGTCTACCTTGTCATCTGACGAGATCGCCGCGCTCGCCAAAAAAGGGGACCTCACGTCCGTCGGCGAGACTTTGGCCGCGGAGACGCGCAAGCCTCTGACGGGATTAATCAGCGGTGCTGACACGGTGTCCCTACATAACCCTCACGCCGTCGCCGCGACCCGTCGACTCGCCTCCGCAGGCAACATCGTCCGCGCGCTCCTGATCCAGTTGCAAGCGTCGGCGCGCGACGCGCAAGTGGCCTTGGCGGCGGTCGACGACTTATTGGCTGCCCAGACGGTGACGATCCGCGCCCTCGCGCTCGTGCCCGCGCTACTACTCCTGGTGCTGCTTACCAAGGGCGTCAGGATCCTGTTCCTGGCGCTGTTCTCCCGGTCGGTCAAGCGCACGGACGACGTTAAGAGCGAAGCGGCGGCCACCCTCCAGGAGATGCAGCGCATCGCTCTATTGGCCCGCGACGACAGCGAGCCGCTCTCGGACGTCGCGCTGGGCGCGCTGGCCGTCGAGACGTTCGCGCTCTCCAATTTGCTCCGAGTGCACCGCGCCCGCTTCAAGCCGGCGCGGCTCCGGCGCCTCGACCGCGCCCTGCGGGACCTGTTCGCGCCGCTGCCCGCGCGGGCCGTCGTCGCGGCGCTCGACGCGCTCGAGCGCGACCACGCCTTTCTCCGACTCGCGAACGCGCGCGAGCCGCCGCCGCCGCTGACGCTCGTGTGGAGGGACTCCCCGTAGTGTGCAAGTGTTGTAAGCAAATTATTATTATGATATACTATGTTCACGGGAACGATAGCGAGTCTGATGTGTAAAATCTTCGTGCAGTGGACGTACCAAAAGCCGGCATGAACTTCGTGAAGAAGAACTTGAGGAAGCCGCTGATCGTGTACTCGGGCGTTCCACTTCTTCTCGGCGCTTCCTCGGCGACCTGCTTCTGGTACTTGAAGACTGCGTAGACGAAGACGAAGCCTGCGAGGGCGACGTCCTCAGAGCGCGCGTAGGCGACGGACGACTCGAAACGGCAAAATTATCGATTTGGGCGCCGCGGCTCGCAGAAGCCCGCGATCATCACGAAGGGGATTAGGCGAATTACGAGGTCCCACGCGCCGGACGCGCCGAGCGCCGCCGCCGCGGCCAACGCCACAGCTGCTCCAGCAATTTCGATCATGTTATCGCGGCGATGGCGTACGTCACCGTGCGCCGTCGCGTGCGGCTTGCGAGTCGATATGATGACGCGCGCGGCGATGGCGTACCACCACGCCGTCGCCCACCGGGGTGTGTACGCCACCACCGCGTCAACCAACGTCTCCTCATAAAGACGACCGCCCCGGACTGAGCCGCTCGGACGCAGCCCCCATACGCCATCAGCGCGTGGCGCGGTCCTCAGCAAGTCGATATAAATAATTTTACGTCGGCGGCGGCGGGGGGTGCCAACGGGGACCACCACAAAAGGGTAGACAACAGAAGCCTCTGCACAGGGCGTGGGAATGGGAGCTCCGCGCGACGTGTCAGGCCAGCGTTCTATATGATGCGCTCGGCGACTCCATGTTGAGCTGGTCCGCCGCCGAGGGCGCCCCGACGGGCGCCGCCGATTTGGGGGAGGGCGTCGGCGAGTTCTGGGCCGAAACGGAGGGCTCGCTCGGCGCGCGCGACAGGAAGCTGCGCTCCATCATCTCCGCCGCCGCGACCCAGCGGTCGTAGTTCTGCTCGAGCGCGACGTGCGACTCGTAGGTCAGCTTGAGGCAGACGGAGTCGCGGCCGGCCACGCGCGCCCAGGCGACGTCCACGAGGCCCGGCCACTGGCGGAAGCTTCCGCTGTTCAGTTGGAGCCAGCGCTCGAGCGCCTCGAGTTGACCTGCGGTCGGGGTCGCGTCGATGGCGGGGCGCTTGAAGCGTGCGTCTCTCTGGAATTTTTCATGGACATGTCGCGAGCGTGCGTCTCTCTGGAATTTTTCATGGAGCCGTCGCGGCGATGGCGTGGCGGTTGAAGGGTAGTTTACTTTTTCGACGCCGCGCGTTGACCCGGCCGCGCGGCAAGCGTGGTCTCGCAGCAGAGATTCGAGTTCTCCCGTTTCATGACTATAAGCGGCTTCAAATGGCGAGTCTTGGGGCGATGGCGATCCCGGACCGTCGAATTATAGCGGCGTTTTGCTCGGCCTTCCCCAGCAGACCGGCCAGCGTCCCGGGCGACCAGTTAGGGGCTGTTTCCTGTAGGAACGCACTGCAGGTCCCGCGCTCCCTCACGCAGGAGGGCGGGTGAAGGCACAGCCCTCCTGCTGGGTCCTTCGCCCGCAGCGAGGTGCGCCCCCGTCTGGGCTAGTTATGAGGCTTCTACTGTCACTGTTCGACGGCGTTCCCAGCCTCGTGCCCTTTTTTCACGGGCCGTGGTAGTTTTTATCACTGACCGCCTTGGATCATCAATCAGCCTAGCGTACCCTCGTTGACCCAAACGAAACACGCATGCAACCACCAGGGCGGTCACTCTACCGGTGCGCGGACTCGTACTGAGCCTGCTTTTTGGCGTCTGTTGGGGTTGAGTCCGGCCGACGTCGCCGACGACGGACGGCACCGGAGTTACTTACCTATTGTTAATCACGAAAGCTAGATGCCGCTCGGCCCCGGGACGTTCGTTTGAGGGATCGCGTCGAGGACGACGTACACGTTGAACAGGAAGTAGAGGACCAGCAGGAAGTAGCCGTGGCGCGCCGTGTATTGGTCGGCGCCAGTGGCTAATTGACCGGGGTTTTGCCTCGAGCTTGCACACCAGAGGCAGGAATTAAATGCTGTTTTGAGAGACAATTATCACGCAAGCCGGCACGGATAGCAAACGCTGAATGGCTCAGGCGACCTGAGGAAAAAATGCTGCAAACCCGTTTTTTGACGACACGCCTCGATGCGCATCCCTTAGTAGGGTGCCAGCACGCAACGAGAGAACTCGCTTCTCAAATCACAACACATTACCCGGGACCACCCTTCCGCACCCGCGCCGCGTAGTGCGCGTCGCAGCCCCCGACGTCGCTTGCCACGTGCCACGGCCAGAGCCGCAGCGCGCCGTCGACGACACTATCATTATCCACAAAACCGAGCTCCGCCGCGGCCACCTCCACGAGATGCGCGTCCGCCGTCCTTTCTAAAAACGCCGCGAAGCTCGCCTCCGCGTCGGCGGTCAGCGCCGAGCACGAGCTGAACACGAGCAAACCGCCCGGTTTCAAGCAGCGCCAGGCCGCGTCTAATAAAGCCGCCTGCGTCGCCGCCAACGCTTCCAGATCGAGGTCTTTGCGAAGCACGTCCGGCCGCCGCCGCGCCGTCCCCGTGGCCGAGCACGGCGCGTCCACGAGGACGCCGTCAAACATATCTTCCACGCGCGTCGCGTCCTGGACGCGTACATCTACATTACACCTGCACCTCTGCAAATTCTGGCGCAGCCGTGCAGCCCTATTTGTACTCTTCTCGACGGCCACGACCTCAAAACCAAACGAAGATAATTGGAGGGCCTTGCCGCCCGGCGCGCTGCACATATCCAAAACCTTTGCGCCCTTCGGCAGGCTTTTGAGGAGTTGGGCCGCCTGCGCGGCGCCGGCGTCCTGCGCCCACCAGACGCCCTCGTCGAAGAGAGGCAGCGCGGGGACCGGCGTCCTCTTGTACGGTCGGAGGGCCACTCCAAAATCGCCGTAGCTTTGCGTGGCGCCGTCGACGGCCTCGATTAACTGATCCCGTTTCTCGGAAGAAGCGCAGGTCACCTGGAGCATGGCTGGTGGTTTTCTACATGCCTCGAGGTAGCGGTCCGCGAGTTCCGCGCCGCGGTCCTTCACCAATAAATCATATAAAGGCGGCTTCGTTTCCTGTATTGAGGGCGTCTCTCTACTCAACCGCCTTAATACCGCATTAGTTAAACCCGGGTTGCCACCCCGCTTCTTGCAGAGCTGGACGCTCGTGTCGACGGCCGCGCGGTTCGGGATGCTGTCGAAATACAACAATTGCGCGACGCCAAGCCTCAGTATTTGGAGTGTGGAGCCGCGCGGCCGTTTGTCGCACGCTTCGTCTAACAAAGCGTCTATTTCGGCCGCGTGGCGGTGGCACTTCTCGACGAGGTCGGCAGCGAAGCGTTTTTCCCTTTCATCGAGGCTCGTCGTGTGCCTTGCGAGCAGCGCCGCGGGCGTTTCCTTGCCGGTTTCTCGCAGCACTTTGTGCGCTGCGAGGCGTGCCGCGAGGGGGTCCAGCGCTGACGCCTGGATCGCTAACGCTGCGACGAGGAGGTTGTGCATTCTTGCTGCAATGTGAGCAAGGTGTGGCACGGCGTTTTGCGGCGCTTCCAATTGCTGTGTATCGATGCGGCGGCAAGCGTGCTGTACTATAGCAAACACTACCCCACTCTTGAAGCTCTGAGCGTGCAGTAAAGCAACTTCACCGCAAAACTCGAGCTAGCGTGCTGTAAGACACTAGCCAGCATCGGTGCCCCCAAGTGGTGCAAGGCTGAGACGCCGCATAGGACCGCTGGTGGAGCCGCAGGCTCGTGGAAAGTCACAGCTCTTCAGCGAGTGCGCAACCATGGCCCGCATCACCGCTCTCGTCGCCGCGGCGACGCTGTGCAACGCCTGGACGCCAGCACGGCACATCAGGCCTAGATCGATCCAACTTAGAGCAGCGGACGAGGACTTCGACGTCGACATGATGTTATTGGAAACGGAAGAAAAGATGCAGAAGTCGATCGCGGCGTGCGTGTCCAATCTCGGCGCGCTACGGACGGGCCGCGCCTCTCCAGACGTCTTGAAGCGCGTGGTGGTGGACTACTACGGGGCGGAGACGCCCTTGAACCAGCTCGCGTCCATCTCCGTGGCGAGCGGCACGCAGTTAGTTGTGAGCCCTTTCGACAAAAGTACGTTGGGCGACGTCGAGGCCGCGCTACTAGATGCCAATTTAGGAATGACGCCGAACAACGACGGCGAGATCATCCGCCTCAACATTCCCCAGTTGACCGAGGATAGAAGGAAAGACGTCGCCAAGGAGGCGAAAGCTGTAGGGGAAGAAGCAAAAGTCGCGGTGCGCAGCACGCGGAAGAAGGCCAACGACTCCGTCAAGAAGAAGGGCAAGGATTTGAGCGAGGACGTCGCGAAGGACGCCCAGGACCAGATCCAGAAGCTCACCGATAAACTGGTGAAGGAGATCGATGCCTTGGTCGCGAAGAAGGAGAAGGAGGTCATGACCGTCTGAGTAACGACCTTTACTCTAGGGGTAGGACGGCTCCTCGGATGATGAAGGCGCGTCGCCCGGCGGCGTGGACGCGTCGGCCGCCGACACCCAGCCCTTCTGCGCGAAGGAGAAGACTTGCGTCGCCGTCGACTTGGCCGACGTCTTCATCGACTCGTCGAAGGAGTTGTAGCGGTCGATCTCCGACTGGGGGATCGACTTGCGCGCCCGCGAGACGGCCTCCTCGAAGTGCTCCTTGGACACGAAGGGGAGTTGCGCCTCGCCGGCCTGTTCGCGCCGGACGGCGTCCTTGACCGCGTTCTTGGCCGCGCGCTGGCAGATCTCGGAGATGTCCGCCCCCGAAAAACCCTCCGTGAAGTCCGCTAATTTTTCCAGGTTTACCTTTGGATCTAGAGGCGCTTTCCTGAGTGATGCCTGGAAGACGGATAGTCTCGAGTCCCTATCAGGCAAAGGAATATGGATGAGCTGGTCCAAGCGACCTGGCCGTGTCACAGCAGGATCCAGGATGTCGGGCCGGTTCGTCGCACCGATCACAAAAACGTTCTTCTGGCCCACGGCGTCGATCTCCGCGAGGATCTGGTTCATGACGCGGTCTCCCGCCTCCGAGCCGCCTGAACTTCCGGATCTAGCTTTGGCAATAGAATCCATCTCGTCGAAGAACAGGATGCACGGGGCGGCCGCGCGAGCTTTATCGAACAAGCTTCGGACGTTCGCCTCGGACTCGCCGAACCACATCGTCAACAATTCAGGCCCTTTCACGGAGATGAAGTTCGCCCCGCATTCATTGGCAACAGCCTTGGCAATGAGAGTTTTACCGCAACCGGGAGGGCCATAAAACAGCACGCCCTTCGAAGGAGGCATGCCAAATTTCTCATATTCTCCGGCAAATTGCACGGGATATTCAACCGTCTCTTTCAGCTCCGTCTTCACGTTCTCGAGGCCGCCGACGTCGGCCCAGGAGACGTCGGGCACCTCGACGACCGACTCTCGCAGCGAGGAAGGATTGCACGTCTTGGCCGCTTTTGTGAAGTGCGCCTTCGAGACTTTGAGGTGGTCCGGGTCCAGGTCCAACTGCTCGGCCAAAGCCGCCCAGGAGGCCTCCTGCCGTTCCTCATCGAGCATGCCTTCCGTGAAGGGCGCGTTCGACTCGGCGTCGCGTAATGCGCCTCTCACACACAGTAAAGCGGCTTCCGTGCACAGTTGCGCCAGATCCGCCCCGACGAAACCATGACAATCTCGCGCGACGTCGTCCAAGTCCACATCGTCCTCCAAAGCCATATGTCGCGTCTTCACTGTGAGGATTTCCCGTCTCGCCGCCTCGTCGGGCACCTCCAGGGCTACCTCTCTGTCTAGTCTACCGAACCGTCGGACCGCCGCATCCAATTCGTTGGGCGCGCCCGTGGCTGCCAATACGACAACACCGGAATTACTTCGTAGACCGTCCATCAGTGTCAACAACTGAGCACAGACCCGCTTGTCCTGCTCCGAGTCGGCCTTGTCCCGCTTCTGGGCGATGGCTTCGAGCTCGTCGATCATGACGACGGAGGGCGCGTTTCGTTCCGCGGACGCAAATTTAGCTCTTAACAACTCTTCTGCTTCGCCGGACTTCTTGGACGCGACGTCGCCGCCGTTCAGCTGCTCGACGTGGGCTCCCGACTCGTAGGCCGCCGCTCTCAGTAAGGTGGTCTTGCCACAGCCCGGCGGGCCATGCAACAACACACCTCGAGGGGGATCCACACCTAGTGATCGAAATAGCTCAGGCGAATGCAAGGGCATCTCCAGGACCTCCCGCAACACATCGATGTGATGACTGCATCCCCCAACATCAGCATAAGTAGGCATCGTTAATGATTCATCGTCATAAGGCGAATCGCATATTAATGTGGTTGTTGAACCGATGATGGCCTCGTCTCCCGAGTAGGCGCCCTCGATACTCACGACCTTCCACTGGACGTCGTAGGTCTCGCCGTCCATGTCGAGCGGCGCCGTGAAGATCTGATTGAGCGATACGGGTCGTTCTTTCCCCCCAAAGTACGGGGCTAGACAGCCGTCAAATGCTATGTCATCTGCTGCGGCGTCGTCACTTCCAAGGGCGTCCTTGAGCGGTTCTGGTAGGGTTTCCCTTAATGGTGCTACCGAACAAGATAAAGCTTCTCCTAGCTGCACGCCGTGCAGCGTGACGGCACTACCGGTGAAGGCGGCGTTGTCCGCGACGTTCTTTGAGAGTACGGCTGCGGCACCTTCTGTCGATTGGTCTAATCTTGAAACGCGCGCGACTGACTTTTGCCGCCTAGACCCGTGGACGCGGACGCAGTCGCCCTCGTCGAGATCCAGCGTGGCGAGGGCGTCGTCGGACAGCTCTATACTGGAAGCGTCGAGGTCGGAAATAGACGCGTCGACGGACGCCGTGGGGAAGTCGCGCGGCGGCGGCGGCGGCGGCCGTTCCACAACTTCCGGGGCTTCTTCCTCCTCGTCTTCCTCCTCTTCCTCTTCAACAACAACCTTCTTCTTGGCCTTCTTCTTTTTCCGGGTTTTCGTCGAGCCGCCCCGCAGCAGGTAGAGCTCGCTCGCCGCCGCGGACCGCGCGGCGAGCTCGCCCTTGGTGCGCGGCCCGAGCCAGCTCGTCAGCAGGCGCCGGGTCACCGACCCCTCGGCGAGCAGCGCGAGGGCCGCTAGCCGCAGCAGTGTGCGCAGCATCGTGCCGCGGGCCCGACTGCAAGCCTACAAGCTTGGACAGCAAGTCCTTTGAGCGAGAGCCGCAGCGATTGCTGGATTCCGTGCGTGATCGCTGGTCGTATGCAGCAGTGTGGAGGGCTTGGTGCCTTTTCGAGGATCAGCGTCGCGCACCGTCGCCCAAGAGACGCGCCTCCTCCTTGCATCCACGCGGTACTACAACCAATTTTGGAAACCTAAATTGCGTCTACGAGCCCTATTGGCACCCTTGGGACGCCTCTTGGAGCCTGTGAACGAGTTTTGGCAGACACAAAACCCGCGCTCGAGTTTCGGCTGGCTGCATGGGGGGGGACACAAAAATGGGAGGGCGGGTTCTCGATGAGCCTTGCTTCAGCAGTTCCGGGGATTTGTCCGGAGGGAGGCCTCTAGCCGGCTCGTCGACCAAACCTCGTGTTTGGGGACGGCCGATTCGGGACCCTAAATTGGCCGTCGTCGTGCCATTAAGCGCCTCTACCGAGCCGCAGGCTGCTCCTACGCAAAAACTTCATCGATGGCGCACCGTCAGTGGGCCCTCACGGACATCGTCAAGCAGTGGCTGTTGATACCGGCACGCCGCGGCGGAGATACGGGGCTGCCAATTGCATCGGTGCGGTAATATTAGGGTCCCGAATCGGCCGTCCCCAAACGCGAGGTTTGGTCGACGAGCGGGCTAGAGGCCTCCCTCTGGACAAATCCCCGGAACTGCTGAAGCAAGGCTCATCGAGGTCTTGCGCTAGAACCCGGTTTGGGGTTAGTGTCCCCCCCCCTCTGGCTGCCGCGCGACGAGCTCGCGTAGCGCCGTGCGGTCACGTAGGAATCGACGAGAGTGCCTTCCTCCGATTCTCCATCTATTGATCATCAACTGGCTGCCCTTCACTCAGCAGTGCCACACTGTGCAATCAATCAGGAATGGAGGGCCAACGCATCACGCTGGACCCCACAGCACATACCTCATTCGCAGAACGCCTCGCCGCGGCGGAGCGCGCGCGCGCCGGGCGCGGCGCCGCGCCGGACGACGAGGGCGAGCGCAAGGGCGCGACGACGCTGTTCCTCTACGGCGCGTTGCTGGTCGCCTGCGCGGCCGTCGCGGGGCAGACCGAGTTCGACGAGGCCCTGGAGCGTGTCGCGGCGGACGCCGTCCTCAAACTCGCGCACGGCGGCGGCGTCGCGATCGTCTGCGCGTTCTCGCTGCACCGCAGCGAAACGCGGCCCGGGCGCAGACGAGGCGTCCAGTCCAACGCCGCGAAGTACCTGCTCTGCGCCCTGGGCGCGAACTTCGCGTGGCGCGCGTACCGGCTCCGGGGCGCCGCGCCGCTCGACGAAGAGGGAGAGGTGCCCGAGGCGGCCCAGGCGCTCGCGGCCGTCATCCTGCTCCTGGGCCTCGTGGGGCTGCTGGCTTCTTGCTTCGAGGGCGCGGGCCAGCAGCGCGACCGGCGCCGGCGCGCGATCGCCGAGTACTCGCGGCGGGCGAAGGTCGAGTAAATGTCTTGTTGTTTGCTACTTTCCTGTGTCTTGCTGCGGGGACGTTTCTCAGGCCAGAGAGGGCTTTGGGAGTTTTTCGACGCTTTTGACGACGCTTTGGCGGCTCGGATTAAAACGTGCTAGCGACCTGAAACACACTAGCTCTAATCGGCTGTTGTAGTCTAACAACCCTTGCTACGCGCAGCGCCGGCCAAAATACGGCCGCCAAATCCTTGTACGCAAGCCTATACACTCTGGCACGCGGCTGAACGCGAAAAATCGCACCGAACGGCGTCCCTCGCGCCGATTGACGGCGTTAAGCGCTCGAGGCCGTCGCAGCGCATTTTGACGCCCCGCTCGCGCCCCGCAGGCAGCGCGCGAGCTAGTGAAGGGATAGCAAGCAGCGCGCAACGAAAAAAAACAGCAAGCAACGCGCAACGAAAAAAAAAAAGATGCCGACGCGCCGCGGCTCGATCCAGCTCGGCGGCGCGCCGGCGCCGGTCGAGGACAGCGCCATGCGCGCGGTGGACGTCGGCGCGGCGGTGGAGGGCCGCGACTCCTTCGGCGAGGAGGACGACGACGAGGTGCCGGTCAAGGTGCTGGCCTCGGACTTTGACTCGGCCGCGATGGCGCCGCCGCCGCCGCGGGCGCCGGCGCCGGCGCGCGAGGAGTCGCTCCAGGTCTTCTGCCGCCTGCGGCCGCTGGCGCGGGGCGAGCAGGGCGGCGTCGTCGACGTCATGGACCCGCACACGATCCGGTCGGCGCCGCCGGCCGCGACGCAGCGGCACGCGTCGCACCACGTGCGGCGCGAGGCGCGGGACTACACGTTCGCGCGCGTGTTTGACGCGGCGGCGACACAAAATGAAGTCTACGAGCGCACGACGGCGCCGCTCGTCGACGGACTGTTTGGAGGACGGTCCGCTTTGTTATTCACCTACGGCGTGACGAACGCGGGCAAGAGCTACACGATGATGGGCAGCCCCGAGGACAATGATACGGCGGGCCTCCTGCCGCGGTCGCTCGGCGCGATCTTGGCGAGGGCCGAGGACCAGCGGTGCGAGGTGCGCCTGAGCTTCCTCGAGATCTACAACGAGCACGTTTATGATCTGATGGCCCCGACGGGCCGCTGGGCCAAGCGCCGCGCGTTGAGGGTTAAGGACGTCACGACCAGGATCGAGGTCGCGAATCTCACTTCCACGAGGGTGACGTCGGCGGCGCACGGCTTGGAGCTCTGCCGCGCGGCGCAATCACAACGAAAGACGTCGAAGACGGGCCTCAACCAGACGTCGTCGCGGTCCCACGCGATCTGTAGCTTGGAGGTCCGGAACGCGGCCGGCGCGTCCACGCAGCTCATGCTCGTCGATTTAGCTGGAAGTGAAAGAGGAGACCGCACGGGCGCCGCCGTGGGCGGCGCGCGCCAGAAGGAGGCGAACCACATCAACCAGTCCATCTCGCGGTTGATGAACTGTTTGAGAGTGGTCCGAGAAAAGCAGCACCACCCCTCTTCATCTCTGTGCGTGCCCTGGCGCGAGTCGAAGCTGACGCACCTCTTCCAGTACCTGCTCCAGCCGCCGAACGACGGCCAAATTGCAAGGGTCAGCATGGTCGTCTGCGCGTCGCCCGCCGCTGCGGATCATTCGGAAACGACGTATGTGGTCGGCAACGCGGCCCAGGCCAAGGCCGTGGCCATCGTGGCGCCGCCGCAAAACCAGCAGCGGGCGGCGCCGACGCGGAACCAGAACTACGATCGGAACGGGCGTCGGGTGGTCGAGGGCCAACAGACGCAACCGATCCCGAAGAAGCGCAAGGTGCCCGGCGGCGCGCGGCCGTCGCAGGAGAGCCTCGCGGACACGGCGTCGACTACTTCTGATTTGGAGTCTGAGGTTACTGCTCTGAAGGCCGCTCTCACGGCCGCCCACGAGCGCATCTCGGAGGTGGAGCGCGAGGTGCGCGCCGAGTGCGCCGAGGAGATGGCTGCCACAATCCAGCGCATCCAGCAGGATTATGCGAGACGCGCGCGGCATTCGAGCGTCGCGGGCCCGCCTCCAGCACCGATGGATGTGGAGACCCAACCCGCACAACAAAGGGACCTCTGCAAGAGCGCGCGCAAGGCCCAGGACCGGGACCGGCTCGAGGCCTACGTCCTGGATTTGGAGGCGCAATTCCAAGAGGCGGAAGAGGAATTGGAGCGGGTCCGCGCGGCCAAGGACGCCGAAATTACTTCATTGCAAGCGCAGCACGGCGACGGCGTGCCGCGGGCGGAGTACGACGCCGTCTGTCATAGATTGGAGCAGCTTGAAAGAGATGCCGCCGCGAGGCAGGCGGCGCGCGCGGAGGCCGAAGCGCAAAAACTGCGGGAGGCCGTGCGTGCCGCCGAGGCGGCGCAGGAGGCGCGCATTCAAGAAGCGGAGCGGCGCGCGGCGGCCGACGCCGACCGCGCGCGGCAAGCCCTCGAGGAGGCGTCGTCGGCGCGCGCCGCCGCGGACTCGTGCAAGGCGAAGTCGGACCGCGACGCCGCTTTATTAGAAGAAGCGACGCGGCGCGCCGAGGCCGCCGAGGCCGCCGTGAAGCACGCCGAGGCCATGGTCCAGCGCCAGCGCGAGTCGCTGCCGCCGCCGCCGCCGCCCATTTATGCTGATGCCGGGCCCGTCGTGCCGCCGGCGGCCGGCCCCTTCTCGCCCGCGAAGTCGCCGAAGAAGTCGCCGAAGCGCAAGAGCCCCGCGAAGAGCCCGGCCAAGGAGAACGCGTCGCCCCTCCGGAGCGTCATGGCGGCGCTGACCGGCTCGCCGAAGCGGACCAAGGCGCCGGCCGACGCGGCCCTCTCGCTCGACGCGCGCGCGCGCAAGATCAAGGACGAGCGCATCGCGCGCGCGAAGGCGCAGCGCGGCGGCGTCGCGACGGAGGTGCCCGTCGCCAAGCGCACGCGCGGCTACAAGATCCTCTGAAGCAGGAACCCCTCTCCCCTTTCCCTCCCCCGGTTTAAGCAGCCTGTTTATCGACAAATAGATTTAGTCTCGACTTCAGATGTAGCCGAGGTACTGCGGCTTCCTCCCGCCGATGATTTTCTTCGACAGGACCGGCGCGGACGCGTGGCAGAGGGCCAGCGCGGCCGCGGCCCGCGCGGCCTGAGTGACGTGCGGCGCGACGGCCGCGGGCGCGTTCGTCGAGAGGGCCCCCAGCGCGGCCGCCCAGGCCGCGGCGTAGAGGGCCATCGTCATCCAACACCGCGTCCGCGCCGTCGCGAGGGCGCCGACGGCGGTGACGACGAGGAGCGCGCCGACGGCGTCGTAAGCCGGTGCGCCGCCGGCGAGGTCGCACCACGGCCCGCGCGCCGCGCAGAAATCGACCGGGTCCGTCAGCAGGTGATAGCCCGTCCAGAGCAGGACGACGGGAGTTATGCGGTAGAGGAGGGCGTACAAAGCCACGTAGGCGAAGGTGCCCAGGAGGATGGCGGCGGACGTGAGGGTGGCTACCGCGCCGACGCCGAGCACTAATGCCTCAGGCATGTTTGCTTGTGCAGCCTCTTGCTTTTGTGTCGCCTTGGAGGCTGCCCTTCGTCCTGGAGTGCTCTACGGTCCACGATTCGTGGAGTTTTGATGCCTTCGCGCCACAGGTGACGTGCGAGCGAGCTGCCGAAACCAGAGAACTGCTAGTGTCTTACGTGCCGCTAGCCCTCGGATCTAAACGCGGAGCCCTTGATTTGCGCGCGCGGTCTATCGGTACATATCCCGGACATATGAGAGCTCACAATACAATTAAAACAGTCATCCTAGTCCGGCCGCAGCCGGTCGCCGGCGCGCGGCTTGTCGTACCCGTAAAATTCCGCGAGGCGCAGCATCTCCGCCGCGAGCGGCTTGTCGACGCGTCGCAGGTCGCGCCAGGACAGGCGCAGGCGCCCCTCGTTGCGCCGGTTCGCGCCGTCGTCGAACGGCCCGACTTCAAAAATCCGCTCCCACCGCTCGCGGAGCGCCGGCAGCCACGCGCGCCATCCGCGGTGCGCGCACGTCTCCGCGGCGGCGGCCAGCCGTTGAGGCGGCTTCGCGGCGGCCGCGGCCTTGGAAACGATGGCGCAAACGCCGTCGTCCTGCTCGACGCGGACGACGCCGGCCGCCGCGCCCTTTTTAATAAGAAGCTCGAGCGCGCCGTAGTAGGCCGCCCAGGCCCGGGCGAAGCCGTGCGCGCACGAGATTTGCGCGAGCGGCGCCTCCTCCAGCCCGACAATGCGCGCCATGGCCAGGATCTGCGGCTCAACCGAACGCGTCCCGTTCGCGGCGAGCGCCCCGTCGCCGCAAAAACCAGCAACGAGGGACTCGACGGTGCGCAGCGGGTGTCTCACCAAAACGACGGGCTTCGGCGCCAGCTGGATGGGGCACGTGCCCTTGGCGCCGCAGCCGCGCCAGCGCCGCGCCGCCGCCGGGCACGCTTTCCGCCAGCATTGACCGATGCGCTTCATCGCGCCGCCCGGCGCCGCGCCGCGGTGGTCCCGCTCCTCGCCGCACTCGCCGCGCGCGTCCAAAAATATTAGTTGGGGGTGCCACGCGCGCTTCAGATTAGTCAAACAGAGCGGGTCCCGCTCCTTGTCGTCGAGCGGATCTAAATAAAGGAGCGCATGCGCGTAGCCGACGGCGCCGTCCCGCCCATCAAAGCGCTCGTGCGTCACGTCCAGCCCCAAGGCCCGCAGCTCGCGACTCGTGTGCACCGTCCCGGAACCCATCGCTCCGACGACGACCACGGACGCCACGCGCGACGGGGGTCCGTCCCGCAGGAGCGTGCAGAGCGTGTACGTGGCCACGCACGCTACGACGAACCGCGTCGCGCGCCACCGGCTCCGCGGCGGCGCGCGCGGCATGAGTCGCCGCCGCGGCGGGAGGCCGCGGTAGTAGCGCGGCGTCGGCCGCGGCGAGCGCACGGTCGGGTGCCAGCGCACGTGCGGGCTTCTCTCGGGCGGCGGCGGTGGCGGTGGCGGCGCGCTTTCCGTGTGGCGGCGCATTATTGCGTCCTCTTCTCCAGCGCACTCTTTGAGAGCTGAACCCAGACTGGCCTGTCTAAAAGCTGCGATGTCCCCTACGGCTTGTGATTGCCTGGGCGCGAGCGCACGCCTTCAAAGGCTTCAAAGGCTTTAATTCAAGCACACGTTTGGCATGCGTTCGGCCCGACAAGCCTGACCGCGAGAGGAGCGTGCTAGCGTAATGTAAGACACTAGCAAGCACGAGGTCGTGCAGCGCTTTACGAGGATATTCGCCTCCCGCGGCTGCCCCGCGCAGAGAACAGCTGCCCACGACCAAGATGTTCGTCCAGCGCATGCTCAAGGACCCGGCCTTCGCCGCAAAGGTCAAGGAACAGCAATTGATAGCCGCCTCAAAAGGGCAAAACGCGGACCCGAACGTCATCGACGAGGCGACGGCGCAGCGATATTTGGATGAGGACGAAGCAGCTCAAAAACGAGAGAAGACGGAGGTCAAGCCCATGTCACAGAAGGAAGCCGAGAGCCTGGAGCGCGTCGACAACCGCGCCGAGCAAGTCAAGGTCGTCGCGCAGTCGCTGGCCTTCGTGGGGCTCGGTGTGCGGGCCGTGGCGGCGGGCATGCTCGGCGCGACGAACGATCCCGAGGTGGCGCGGGACGTCTGTACCATAATAAGACAAGCCCACAAGCCGGAAGAAACAAGGGTCGGTGAGGCGTTTAGAGAAGGTGAGATGATCGACGTGGAGACGGTCGAGGCGATGCTGGGCGATGTTTCAATACGATGGGTGGCCGTCGAGGCGGCCTCCGGGCGGGGCGTGGAACAGGACGGCGCGAGACTGGGCGTCGCGGCTTTTAGTGTTGCGGGGAATAGGTGTGACGTGCGTTTTTTATGTGTCAGGCCGACGTACCACGGGCTGTACGTAGGGCATCGACTCTTGGAGCGCGTCGAGCGGCTCGCGGTGGCCGCGGGCGCGCGGCAGCTGTGCTGCTGCGTGCCGTCTTGTAGAACGTCGATGCGGCGGTGGGTCGAGCGGCGGGGCTTCCGGCCCTTATCGGTCGCGCCGTTCCCGCTCGAGGCGCTCCCGTTCAAAATTACGAGAGCGGACGCGAAGCTTGTTGTGTATGGAAAAGACATCGGCGACGCGCAGCCGCCGCCGCCGCCGTCGTACGATAATATGGATTAGCTTTCTTGTTTTTTTTGGATCTGTCCGGGCGAGTATCACGGAATGCTAGTATGTCACACCTAGGGTGGCAGGTAAAAAGTGCGCGGAGCGTGCCTCGGGTGCATTTTCGCACAGGTCTGGGCTTCTTGCGGGGTTTGTGGTGCTGGTGTATTGCTGCAACGCCCAGGAGCACGCGCAACCGCTGCAGTTTCGCGCCATAAGCAAGCTTATCAGCACGACCACCGCTCACTGTGCCGCACGCATGAGTTTCGCCGCCATGAGCGCCCAGGTCGTGACGCCGGACGCCTACAACAAACTGCAGCAGGACCACGAGCAACTGCGCGCGAAGACGGCGCAGCTCGTCGGCCAATTCAAAGCGCTAAAGGCCGAGAAGGAAGCTGCCGCGGCCGAGGCGGCGGCCAAGAACGACGCCGTCGTCGCGAAGACGCGGGAGTTGGTCGCGCGGTACAAAGCGTCACAAGCGGAGGTCGAGGACCTGCGGTCCAAGGCGGGCGCGCCGGACCCAGCATTAGTGGAGCGGAGCCGCGCCCTCGCGGCGCGCTACAAGCAGCTCCAGGGCGAGAAGGCGGCGGCCGACGCCGAAATCGCGAACCTCCGCAGCTCGACGAGCGAGGCCGAGGCCTCGTCCTTCGCACTAGAGACCACCAAGGCCGAGCTCGACGTCGTGCGCCGGGAACTCGACGCGGCGCGCAAGACGACGCAGGGGTTGCGCGCGGACGCGGAATCGGCGAAGAAGGCGGCGGCGGCGGGCAGCGCCGAGGTCGCCGGCCTCAAGCAGCAGCTCGCCGCCGCGGGTAGCACGAGTAGCCAGGCGGTCGACGCCCTGCAAAAGGAGCTCGCCGCAGCGCGCGCTGACGGGGACGCTCTGAGGGGCGCCGACGCCGCCTCGCGCAAGGAGATCGACGCCCTGAAGGGTGCGCTGGACGCCGCGCGAGCATCCACGGGCGACGCCGAGGCCGCGGCGCGCCAGGAGGCCGACGCGCTGCGCGGCGAGGTCCAGGCCTCTCGCCAGGAAACCGAGACGCTCAAGAAGGCTCTCGAGGCGGCGCGGTCGAACGCGCACAAGGCCGCGAAGCAGGAAGCGGAGGCCCTGCGCGGCGAAGCGGCCGCGGCGCGCGGCGAGTGCGACAAGCTCAAGCAAGCGCTCGCCGCGGCACAAAAAAGCACCGGCGAAGCCGCCGCGGCGGCGGCCAAGGAGGTCGAGGCATTGAAGGGCGAGGCCGCCAAGGCCCGGGAAGCCTTATCCGCCGCCCGCGAGAACGCGAACGCGAAGTCCAAGGCCATCGAGACCGCGCGCGCCGAGGCCAAGGCCGCGGTCGCCGCTGCGAAGTCGGAGGCCCAGGCAGCACAGGCAAAGCTCCAGGGCGAAGTCGACGCCGCCAAGGAGCAGCTCGCGACGGCGACCGCGGCGCTCGAGGCCGCGCGCCAGAGCTCGGGCGACGCGGCGAAGCAAACGTCCGCGGCGGTCGAGGCCGCGGGCCGCGAGGCCGATAAATTGCGCGGCGAGCTCCGGGCAGCGCAGCAGGCAGCCAAATCCGCGGCGACCGAGGCGCAGCAGGGCGCGGCCAAGGCGGCGGCGGCCCTGGACGCGGCGAAGGCGGACGCCGCTGCCGCGACGCAGGAGGCCAAGAAGCTGCAAAGTGCACTCGCCGCCGCGCGCCAGGACGCCGGCGACGCCGCCTCCGCGCGCGAGGCCGCCGACGCGGCGAACAGCGAGGCCCAGAAGCTGCAGAGCGACCTCGCGTCGGCTAAGAAAACGATCGACGAGCAGGCGCAGAAGCTCAAGGCCGCGGAGCGCGGCCGCGACGAGGCCGTCGCCGCTGCGGCGACGACGAAGACCCTCGCGGAGAAGACTGCGGAAAAGGCCGGCAGGGAGACCTCGAAGCTGAAGGAGGAACTTGCCGCCGCGCGCCAGGGCGCCGGCGACGCGGCGAAGCAGACGGCCGCGGCGGTCGACGAGGCGCGGGCCGAGGCGAAGGCGGCGCGCGGCGACGCCGACGCGGCACGGAAAGAAGCTAAAGCCGCCCAGGACGCGGTGGACGCGGCGCGCAACGAGACCAAGGCCGCCCAGGACCTGCTCGCGGCCGCGCGCGAGACGTCCGTCGCCGCCGCGCAAAAGCTAACCGAGGCAATCGACGGCGCCGCTGCGGCCAAAAAAGAAAACGCGGCGCTGCGGGACGCGCTCGCCAAGGCGAGTAGCGGCGGCGGCGCCGCCGAGACCGAGGCCCAGCGCTTGAAAAAGGAGCTCGCCGCGCTGGGCGACCGCTTCGACGACGCCTCCGCTTCGTTGGATGCCGCCAAGGCGGAGGCCGGCGAAATCACGCACCAGCTCGAGACCTGCGTCGTGAAGAGCGAGGAGGCGGCGAAAACGTTAGGAGCCGCGCTTGAGGCCGCGAGGCAAGAGAACGACGCGGCGCGCAAGGAAAATCTCCGCCTCGCGGGCGAGCTCGAGGACGCAAAGCAGGCGTTGCACGACGCGCGCGATACTGCCGACCAGGCGACCGCGGGGTCCGCGGACGCCGTGGCCGCCGCCAAGGCGGAGCTCGAGCGCCTCGCGGGCGACGTGACGAGCCTGCGGTCGGAACTGAAGGAGAAGGACGCCCAGCTCAGTGTCGCGGCCGAGCTCGAGGCGAAGGCGAAGGCGCAGCTCGCGGAAGCCGAGGATTCGGCGAAGCGCATGCAGGCGGTGCAGCAGAGCGCCACGGCGACGCAGGCGCAGCTCGCCGACGCCGTCAAAGAGGCCGTCGACAACAATGAGGTCCTCGCGCGGGAGCTGAAGGCGCGCGACGACGAGCGGGCGGCGCTCGAGGCGGACCTCGCCGCCGCCAAGGGCGAGCTCGAGGCGGCGCGCACCGAGGCCGGGGCGGCCGGCGACCGAGAGGCGCTGGAGACAGCGGCGGCCGCGCGAGAGGAGGCGTGGCGGGCCGAGGTCGACGAGCTCAAGGCCAAAGTATCTGAACTCGCCGCGGCCAAGGCGGATGTCGTCGACGTGCTGCGGCGCGCGAAGGCCGCGGACGGCACCGAGCTCGCTAAGGCAAAGGCCGAGGCAGCGGACGCGAAGAAGCGGCTCGCCGAGGTCGAGGCCGCGGCGCAATCGTTAAGGAGCGGCGCCGACGCCGTCCGGCAGAAGTTTCAACAACTGGAGAGCGAGAACGCGACGCTGCGGGCAAATGGAAACGGCGTCGAGTTCGAGCCCGAGGACCGGTTTGTGTACCTCAAAAACCTCATGTGCGAGTACCTCGCGACGGCCCCCGAGGACTCCGCGCGCGCGCCGATGGAGCGGGCGATGAAGGCCGTGATCGGCTTCGACGATTCCGACGCGAAGCGCCTCGAGGCGAAGAAGGCCGAGCACGCGAAGCGGGCGCTCGGCGGGCTGGCGGTGTTCTTCGGCGGGAGCGGGTAAGATTACTACTAGTACTAACTCTCTTTACCATTGTAATACCAAGAGTGAATAATACGACCATCGTCAACCATACCAAAACCAAGTTGCAATTCATCAAAATCGCAGGCTTCGACCGTCGCGCCGCGGTCCTTCAAGAGATCGACGATGCCTTGACACAGTACACGATCTAGTCCGGCGCGGTCGCTATCGTACTCGCGCAGAGACCAGCCCAGACCCCTAAGATTCGGGCAGCCCTGGAGGAGGCGGAGCACGTCAGCGGCGCTGAGTGGACTTCCTGGTTCCGGGGGATCCGAGGCGGAGTACTCAATTGTGATACTAGAGAGCGTCGCTGCGGACTGGCTCCGAGTTATTGCGTCGACAATACCCGAGGTCAAGAGGCCGAGATACTCGAGCTCCAACCACTCCAGGCGTAAGTGAGAGCAGGCCGCAGCAATACATGCGTCCGTCGTCGTTTCGTCTTCGAGATGGAGGCACGTGATCCGCGCAGTCGTGCGCGAGAGATCAATATAAAATCCTGGCCCCGGCATCGAAGAACCCTGGGGTATTTTGAGCGAGCAAAACTCCGGAAAGCCGCGGGCCGCGGCAAGAATTGCATCGGGTTCGAGCACAGTGTCGTCATCGATCTCGCCAAAGTGCTGGAGGCTATCGCCGAGGGGCGTGCCGACGATGGCCTCGATAACGTCAGCGGTGACATGGCAGCCATCTAATTCCAGGTACCTCGCGTGGCGGCAAGTGAGCGCCGTTTTTCTTATGGCATCGATGAGCGTCGGCCTGTAGGGTCGGCTGCCGCCGTCGAATAATAAATTGACGTGATTAAGCCGGGGGAAATGGTGCTCGTAAGTTTCTGCGGGACTGTGCCCAATGTGCGAGAAGCTTACCTCATTCAAATCGGGACAGGCCGCACTGATGGAAATCACGGTACTATCAGGGATAGCAACACTCGATGGACCTCGTAACTTGGTTAATTTTGGCGATGCCTGGCACATCCTCAGTAGTGCCTCCGCCGTAACGTCGCAGGTCCATAAATTGAGCGAGAACAAACCACCATTCGTTCTCCGGACGAACGCGTCGAGCGCCGCGATCCTTTCCGGGGAACGAACATGGGCGGAGAGACGAATGCAACCGGCGCCGAACACGCGCCCCACGGCCTCGTCGCGTCGCGGATCCGCTTCGCCGCGAAAGTGAACATGCCGGCACAGGAACGAGCACGACGACGAGAGCCCGCGCTGCGCCAATGCGAGCCCGCTTTTGGAGGTCGCGCGCAAGGCGTATAATTCCTTGCTTATCCGGAAGCTGTACTGTGCCACCTTCGTGGTGAGGACCTCTTCTGGCAGAGAATATGTGGTGCCCATCCTGTCTTGCAGGTTGGGCTGCCCCTGGCACCTGGTACGACGATTGCGCGCGTAAGATCTGTGTGCTCGCTAGTATGTATGTTGTTATAGCCCCCCCCTCGCCCGCTGACGAGCGGTTGCGAAAAACGAGACTTGATGCCCCTCACAGCCCCAGCTAGTGTCTTACATGCCGCTAGCTCTCGCAACAAACGCGCTTTGCTGCCGGCCTCTCTCCGCATCCTGTGTTTGTTTTCGACTCCTCTTTTGGCTGCTGTTGGATCGCTGCATAATGCCAGCACTCATGCTGCGCTCGCTGGCTCTCACAATGGTTTGCTCTCAGACCACAGCCTGGGTCCGCGCGCCCACGCTGCGACCACCGTCGTCGCGCAACGGTTTCTTAGATGACGCGTTGGACAACGTCAAGTCCGGCCTGGCCAAGATGTCGCAGACGGCGACGGTCCAGCACGTGCTCGTGCCGAGCCGGACGACGGCGCTCAAGCTGCAGCGCGAGTGCTGGCCCAGTGTTTTGAAATGAAGCGCCACGCCATCGACGCGACGGGTCCGTCCATCACGCAGGGCGGAGGAGGAGGGCGTGAGCCCCGAGGTCATCGGCCGCCTCGCGCAGCAGTACTCGACGTGCGGCTCCGCCCAGAAGACGCCCGACGCCTCGTTCAAGATGCTGCGCGGTCGGCCGGGCGAGCTGACCTTCAAGCGCGGCGAGATGGCCAAGGAGTTCGAGGACGTCTCTTTTACGGCGCCCGTCGGCAGTTTACAAGTCGTCGACACGCAGTTCGGGTCGCATTTGATTTACATCAACGCGCGCGACGACGCGGACCCGAAGGTTGGAAGGGGGAAGAAATCCAAAAAGCAGAAGGGCTTCGGCGTGCGGGGCGGCTTCGTTGCGCCGACGCGGACGAGGCCGTCTTCACGTCTCGCCGCCTCGAAACTACCCCCGCTCGTCGAGAAGCTGCAGTTGTTAGTACCGTTGGGCTTCGTCGCGCAGATCAGTTTTCTGGTTGCGTCAAATCAAATCTCGGGGCCCGAGAATTTGGAGGAGTACGGCCGCATCGGCACGGAGTACCTGAAGACGAACACCGACTTTTCGGGCCCGCGCGGCGAGGTCATGCGCATCCAATCGGAGGCCCAGCAGATCTGGTGGAACAACGTGCTCCGGGACCTCGAGGCGGGCCGGCCGGTCAAGCCGCCCATCACTTCCCCTTACCCGAAATACGAGCTGTTCAAGGGGGGGAGTTAAGTTTTGTGGCTCAATCCTGCCGCCAGTGAGGTTGCGGAAAGGGGGGAGAGAAGTTGAGATGATAGTACGATACGTTTTTATCCACAAGGCTTGGTCCGGGGAACGGGAAGGCGGGCGGGAGAGGGAGAGGAAGGGAAGGAAGAGGCTTCTTGCTAGCGCGAGCCGCGGAGGCGGCGAGCGGCGGGCGGCGGCGCGTCGACGACGCGCAGGTCGCCCCACCAGTGGGGGCCCGAGTCGTCTTTGTAGTTCCAGGTGGCGAAGTAGCCGTCGCCGTACGTGTCGTCGACGGCCTCGGCGCTGCCAAGCACCCAGTCGCCGCGCATGATCTGACACGTGATGCGGTTGCCGACGGCCGAGCCGGAAACCGTGTACCACGTCCCGGGCTCGAGGGCGAACGCTGGTGCGTAGGAGGCGACCGTCGACCGGCTCCCGTCCTCGCGCAGCACCTCGACCGAGAGCGTCGAATCCGCCTTGCCGTCTCGTCCCGTGTTGACGGTGCAGCGGTAGCCCGCGCGGGGTTGGTAGCGGAAGGAGTCGTCCCAGTCGTCCGTGACGCGGAGCAGCAGGCCGTAGTCGCGGCGGATCGAGCCCTCGGACATAATTCGCGCCGAGATCGTCGCGTCGGTTTTGGGGGCCGCCGTCGCGTACGATGAAGAGAAGCGGTCGTCGCCCGACCGCATGAGGCATCCTTCTTCGTCGTCGTCGTCGCGCGTTGCGCCGAAGGTGAGGGACCCGCTCACGACCGCCATCTTGGTCCCGTCGTCGCGCGCGCAGAGCGAGAGCGCGCCCGCGGCCGTCGGGGCGGCCGTCGGCATCGCTGACGGTCCCAACGTGGGCTTGGCCGTCGGGTGGACGGTGGGCCGCGGCGTCGGGCGCGGCGTGGGCCGCGGCGTGGGCGTCGGCGTCGGTTCCGGCGTCGGGCTCGTCGTCGGTTCGGGCGTGGGCTCCGGCGTCGGCCCCGCCGTCGGCGCGGCGACGGGCTCGCGCGTCGGCGCGGCCGTAGGGACGAATGTCGGTTTGAGCGTGGGCGAGACCGTCGGCGCCGTCGGGTGCGCCGTCGGGCTGGTCGTCGGCGGCGCGAAGCACGCGACAAGAACTTCGTCGGACGTCGCGTGCTCGGACTCGAGCCCGCCGGGGAACACGGCCCACGCGCGGGCGCGGACCTTGTCGCCGCACGCGATGTCGGGCGTCTGCAGCAGGAAGTAGCGCCGGCCGTCGTGGTGGCGCGGGATGTCAAATCCGTACTCGGGCCCGTGCCAGGCGCCTTCTCCATTCACGCGGTACTCGACCCAGAAGGTCTCTCCATGATCATAATTCCAGTGCAGCAGCATCACGCTGTTCATCTCCGGGGGGCTCACGAGCTGGACATCGGTGAGCGGGTCGGGGACGGCCGAGGGCGCGTAGGTCGTTTTCATGGAAGGCGCGTAGCTCGGGACGGCGGTCGGTTGAGAAACGGGCGGCGTCGTGTGGTGCGTCGGCGTGTCGGTCGCGGCCGACGTCGGGCGGTAGGTCGGGGCAGGAAGTGCGTCGGGCGGCACTTGTTGCATCGTCGGCCGCGGCGTCGGTCTCAACGTGGGGTCGCCGCCGGACACCGTCGGCCGCGGCGTCGGCGCCGGGATCGGTCTCGCGGTCGGTCTTAAAGTCGGCGCCGGGATCGGTCGCGGCGTGGGCCGCACCGTTGGCGCCGGGAGCGCCGCCACCGTCGGCGATAATGTAGGCGCGCGCGCGCTCGAGAAGACGTGCACCTCGAATCTGCCGAAGTCGCCGCCCTCCATAACCACTTCACCGTCGATCCGGAGCTTGTACCAGCCCTCGCCGAAGGCGCAGCAGTTGCCGTCGCCCCAGGCGTCGTAGATCGCCCACCGGTAGGTGCACGCGCCGCGGGGCAGCGCGACTTCCTGCTCGATGTACGGCTCGTCCGAGTTGAAGGGGCCGCCGGCCTTCTCGCCGGGCCAGTCGCACTCGTCGGCGTCGCCCTCGACCAAGTCCAGGGTCCAGGTCGTCTCTTGCGGGTAGTTGTCCGTCTGGATCTCGATGTGTAATCGTAAACGGTTCTCGGTCGGCGCCATGGACGTCGTCGGTTTCATCGAAGGCGCGGCGGACGTCGGCACTTTGGTGATTGTCGGGGCCGCCGTCGGCGCGCCCTCTACACAACAGTCGACGAACGCCTCGGCATCTACTAAACCTTTGCCGAGCTTGCCCTCCATGGCGGGGGTGTTCTCCGACGTGATGTCGGCGGCCGTGTCGTACAAACAGTGAAGCAGCTCGGCCTTCGACGCGTTCGGGTTCGCCGACTTTCCTAAGGCTAAAATGCCGGCGACATGCGGGCACGCCATCGACGTGCCACTTGCCGTGCCGTAGCCTTCGTCGGTCATCGTCGACATGACGTCGACGCCCGGCGCGCTGATGTCGACCCACTCGCCGTAGTTAGAGAACGACGCCCGCGTGCCGCCGTTGTCTAGGGCGGCGACGCCGACGACGCCGTCGTAGCAGCCGGGGTAGTAGCACGCCTCGGAGTTGCTGTTGCCCGCGGCGAAGACCACAATACCGCCCATGTCATTGTAATAATCAATAGCGTCGAGCACCGCCTGCTCGTAGACGTCGGGCGAGGTGTAGCCCCAACTATTGGATGAGATCTGCGCGCCGTTGTCCGCGCCGTAGACCAAGGCCTCGGCGAAGCCGCCCGTGTTCGAGTCGCCGAAGCCCAGCGAGATCATGAGCCGCGCGCCGCTGTCAGGAGAGCCGTTCCCGCCGGCGACGCCCGCGACGCCGATGCCGTTGTTCGTGTCCGCGGCGATGGTGCCGCCACAATGACTGCCGTGCCAGTGGCCGCCCAGTAAATCGTTGCCCGTGTCGTCGGCGTGGTTGTAGCCGTTGCAGTCGTCGACGTAGCCGTTGCCGTCGTCATCAACACCGTTGCCGCAGATCTCGCCCGGGTTCTGCCAGATGTTCTGCTGGAGGTCCGGATGATTGGTGTCGATGCCCGTGTCGAGGACTTGCACGACGACGTCCGGAGAGCCGGTCGTGTGGTTCCACGCACCAAAAAGGTTGGCGACGTCGTAGTGGTGCTGCGAGTCGAGCATGGGGTCGTTCGACGCCGCGGCGAAGAGGCTGATCTTGAGTTCCGCCTCGGCGGCGGACACGGCCGCGCCGAGCGTGTCGTCGTGCGCCGTCAGCGCGGACATCTTCTCGAGGGCCGCGACGGTCGCGGCGCCGCCCTCGCTCTCGCACTCGTACCACATGTCGAGGCCTGCGCAGGACGAGCGTTCGGACGTGCGGGCTTCCTTCACTGATTCGCCGGCGCCAGCGGCGTCTCTGAAATTGATTGTGGGACACTGCGGACGCACCGTGCGCCTTGTGCTGCTTCTCGTGCGTCTTGCTCGGTCGGAACAGACGGTGCGGGTTCTTACACGCGACGCCGTCGGCAATTTTCCCGGCAATGGCCGCGGCGCCGTCGGCCGAGGCCGCGACCGCGCTGCTGTCCAGCTTGTAGCGCAGGCGCTTGTTGACCGTGTCGGGCTTGCCCTTGAGATCGTTGATGGTGGCGTCGAGCTTGTCGTGCACCGCCGGAGACATGGCCGACGAGCCTCCGAGCAAGGCCAATGCAAAAAGGACGCGCCGCGCGGCTCCTGCAGTGTTTGCAGTGGTTTTTCGATGGTTTGCAGCCATTTCTGGTAGGTTGCGAGCTTATTGGGGGTAGTTTGCGAAGGTGCCAAATTGTGATGTGTTGGAGCTGCCATGATGGTGTTTTCAGGGACCATGCCGGGCAGCCTCGATTTGCGGCAGAGGCCAGGAAACAAGGCGGTGCGATTTGATTGGGCCTTCTTTTGTAGTATTTCTAAGACCCATATCACTGCTCGGAGATACATAGCACGCTACCCCAATCACCGTCGACGCGCCCAAGCAACACAAAAAACACCGGGCCGCGCGCGAGAGACCGACATCTGAAACCTAAAGCTTACGACCCCCGTCATAATCTAGGGCGTCAGGCGCCCCGGGTCGCGCGGGAAGCACGAGGTCTTGCGGATGTTCGTCAAATCCAAAAAGAGCATGACCACCCGCTCCAAGCCGACGCCGCCGCCGCCGTGCGGGAACGCGCCGAACTTGAACGCATCGGTATAACCCTTGATGGAGTCGGGGTGCGGCCCGCCGTGGCCCGCGTCGCCGTGGCAGTGGTTGACCCGCTCCATGAGTAAGGTATGGTCGTGGATGCGCTGCGCCCCGGAGCAGATCTCTTGACCCCGCATGAAGATGTCGTAGCTATTGGACAACTGTTCCGCCGCGGGTACTTTCTTATAAGTAGCAGGATCCGGCATGGTATAGAACGGTCGGATCGACAGGGGGTACTTGTCCATGATATAAAAGTCGGTATCGTACTTTTCTAAGATGAGATCGCCCAAGATCTTCTCATTTACCGTAGATAGATCATCAAAAGCGCCCTGTTGTTCTTCGGTGACGCCCGCTTCTCGCAGCAACGCAATACCCTCCGCAAAACTAATTCTGAGAGGCTTATCCAAAAATTTGAACGGCTGGAACGGGTAGACCTGCGATACCAACTCCAGCTCCTTGCCGTACTTATTTTGTAAAGTACGGAAGATATGGTTGAATAACTTGCCGAACAAATCCAGGACCTCGTAGTAGTGCTCGTAGATGGCCATCTCGAAGTCGAGGCCCGTGAACTCGCACAAATGCCTCCGCGTGTTGCTGTCCTCCGCGCGGAAGACGGGGCCGATCTCGTACACTCGTTCGAAGTCGGCGCATGCTGAGAGCATCTGCTTGTAGAGTTGGGGCGACTGGGCTAAGCAGCAGTCCCTTCCAAAGTACTCGAGCTTGAATACCGACGAACCACCTTCTGATGATCCAGCTAACAATTTAGGGGAGTTGACTCCCGTAAAGCCCTGGTCGTTGAGGTAGGACGCAAATAAGAGAGGTACCGCACTTCGAATGCGCATGATGGCCTGGTTGGCCGGGGTTCGTAGATCAATCACCCTATGATTCAAGCGCGTGTCCAACCCAACCGTGACTTCGCCCTCCTTCGGGTCGTTCTCGTTGCGACTCGCGTCGACGATCTGGAACGGCAGATCGGGTACGGCTTTGGACACGATAAAGCACTTCTTGATCGCGAGCTCGACAGTCGATTGGGTGGTGGCCGAGACCTGGGCCGATGCTACTGAAGCTTCCACATCTACAATAGATTCGGAGGGGATCTTGCCCAGGAACGCGACCATGGCCTTGGGGATGGCCGGGGCGCTTGCGACGCCCTGCACCGTGAAGCAGCCCTGCCTCAGGACGACGAACGCTAAATTGCCCTTCGCTCTGACAGCATGCACTCTAGCGCGGACCCACACGTCGCTCCCGATCAAATGAGGTCCCACAGCACCGACGGACGTCCACCGCCGCGCCGTCATGGACGCACTCATACAAACCCCGGGCTCGCCGAAGACGTCGGCCGACGCGGCTTCCGCTTCTTTGGCCTTGGCCGCGTCCTCGGCCGCCTTCTTCTGCTTGGCTAATATCCTCAATTCTTTTTTGGAGGGGCCTTGCGGCGCCTTGGCCTTCTCCTTCTTCTTTTTTTTATCTACAATGGCTAAAGCGTGATTGGGGTCGAGGGCCGTGATCTCCTGCTTGAGTTTCAATAAGCCGGCGACCTCGGCCTTGATCGTGTCGGCGTCGGCTTTGCTGGTCTTGAGCTCCTTGACCTTGAGGCCTTGCGCGCTGATCTGCTGCTCGAGCTCGGGGACGCCCATGGCTTTGCTGTGGCGTGCTGCTTGAGGTGGTCGCGTCGGCTAGCGTGCGGTTGCAGCTGTGTTGATGCTGCCTTGTTCTTGCAATCGCCGTGCAGCAATGGCAAGCAAGTGAACGCCCACTCGCTGTGTGTGGCTCGTCGACGATTTTTGGGAGAGCTAGTGTCTTACAACGCTAGGGTCGATGTTTCTCCAGCAGTCTTCTTTCGCTGCATCTCAGTGCCGAAAGCACGCATGGCTCATGCAAGGCCACGGCCCCTGAAGCTTGGACTTTTGGCCACCGCAGTCCGTGATTGATGCCCCATTAATCGGCTGGTGATTGGGTTGCAAACGACATAACCTGCGAAGGACGCGAGTTCGATTGCATCTATCGCTGCTGCATATTGGCAGACTTTGGTAGGGAGAGCAGACAGCTCACCACTCAAAGACTCAAACGTGCGCTGCTTTGATAGGTTGCACGCCACGCATTTGCGACCAGGATCACGCGTTGTGTGTGAATGCGTTCGAAACTCCTGATGATGGCCGCGCGCGGCCTGTCAACGACAGCACGGCGCCCGCTGCGAGGCGTCGTCTTCGACCTGGACGGCACGCTCACGGTGCCGAACCTGGATTTCAAGGTCATGTACGAGCGCTGCGGCGTCCCTCAGAACGAGGACATTCTCGAGGCCATCGCGGCGATGCCCGACGCCGAGGCCGCAACAGCCGCGGCGATCGTCGAGGAGATGGAGGAGGAAGGGCGCCGGACCTTGGAGCTGACGCCGGGCGCGCGGGAGTTCGCCGAGTGGCTGGCGCGGCAGGGCATTCCCACGGCCCTCGTGACGCGCAACACACGCGCAACAATCGACCACCTCCACGCGACGCTCTGGAAGGGCCTGCCGCCCTTTTCGCCCGCGATTTCTAGGGATGACACCTACGCGCCCAAGCCGCATCCCGCGGCGCTCGAGGCCATTTTGAAGACGTGGGAGATCGCTGATCCGGCCGAGGTTGTGATGGTCGGGGACTCGCCGGCGAACGACGTGGTCTTCGGGAAGAAAGCGGGCGTGGCGACGGCGCTCGTCGACTCCGGAAGACGGTTTGTAGAAGGTGGCTCCGACGAAGGCGCTTCCATGGTAGTGGAGAACATCGCGGCCTTGGCCGCCGGCTTCCACGAGCGCTTCGAGCTCCCGAAGGCGGGCCCGCTTCAGAAGTACGACGTCCCTTCTCCTAGTTCGGACGCGGGGAAGGCGGCGGTTGCTGGGGACCTGGCCCGCCTCGAGGCCTGCGCCGACGTCTCTCTTCCCGACGCCTCGGGGAACACGCCGCTCATCTGGGCGGCCGACAGCGGGGCCGCCGACGTTATTCCTTACTTGCGGGACCGCTGCGACGTGAATCACCGCGGCTATCTTGGTGCAACTGCTGTGTGTCGCGCGGCCCGCAAGGGCCATCTCGACGTTTTACAATTATTGCTCAAGGCGGACGTAGACGTTAATCTACCGAATGACAAGATGCAGTCGCCGTTGCACTTCGCAGCCTTCAAGCAGAACCGCGCTTGCGTGGATGCGCTGCTCGCCGCCGGTGCGTCGACGTACGTCCTCGACCGCAAGGGCCGCACGCCGGCGGAAGACACAAGTGACGAAGAGATCCGCGCGGCCATCCTGGATGGCCGCGCTAGCTAGTGTTGTAATATGCAAAAAGTTACTACGCGTGCAGCGCCGCGAGCTTCTCGTTGAGCGACTTCAGGAGCCCGCTCTCCGTCTCGAGGGCGGCCCTCAACTCCGTGACGATGCCCTCGGCCTCCTTGGCGATCCTGGCGAGGTCCTCCGGGGTCGTCGCGGCGGCCGCCGGCGCCGCCGGCGCCGGCGACGCGGCGGCCTCGGTCGCCGACATGGCCGGCGTCTTATCCTCCTCGACGGGCTCGACGGTCGCCGCCGCCGCTGCCTCGGCTTTCTTCGCGGCCCGTGCGGCCTTTCGCTCCTCCTTGGTCGATCCGTCGGACGCTGCGGTCTCAGAGACGGGCTCGACCGTCGCGGCGGCCGGCGCCGCGGCTGCGGCCGGCGCGGCCGCTGTGGCCGCCGGCGCCGCGGCCGTGGCCGCCGGCGCCGCCGGTGCCGCCGCGGCGGCGGCCTTGGCCTTCTCGGCCTCGGCGAGCATGGCCTTGGCTTTTTCCATAGCGGCGGCAGCTTCAGCCATGGCCTTCTCGCGCTGCGCCTCCTCCTGCTTTTTTAAGTCGGCCGCCTCGTCCTCGGGGACCAAATTCACCTCCTGGAGCGTGCGGCCTCGGCTGCGCGTTGCTCTCAGGTTGTCCGCATGGGAGAGGCTGAGGGCCAATGCTACGACGAGCTTGCGCAGCATCATCGACGGTCGCTCGCGAGGCCGGGGCTATGGGATGATGCGGGGGCAGCTTTTAAAGCCGTGGGAGCGCACGGTGTTGGTTGCAGGAGATGCACAAAAATTATTTTGTGTCCAGCAAGTGATCGAGAGGCCGCCTAGCAGGCGCTCTGCTTAGCCGCGTCTGTCACTCTGCGGTGGTAAGTATCCAAATAATCACAGATTACACACAGAATAAAATCACCCGCGCGGCATCTCCGAGTAGTCGTCGACGACGAAGGAGCCGCTCGTCGCTCGCGTCGTCGGCGCGGCCTCCTCCATGAGCGGCTCCTCCAGGGAGTCCTCCGTCGGCGCGCGCCGCCGCGGCACCAAACCCGCGGTGTGCGGGTCGACGCGGCCTACCAACGCCAGCCAGACCAATGCCGCGATTAATTGTGTTGCGGCAGTCACGACAAACGTCAGGGCGTACCCTCCTCGATCGACCAAATAGCCGCCGAGCACGGCGCTCCCCGACCAGCCGAACCGTGTGACCCCGTCGAGCGCGTTCCAGCGGCCTCGACTCGCGTGAGGCACGTGGTCGTTGAGCGCCGCCTTTTTTAATGGGCGACAGGCGTGCTGCGCGCAAGTGAGCAAATATAAGAGAACTGCACCGGCGCGCTTGATGGTTGACGTCAACGCGGGCCGCCCGGGGCGCAGGACGTTTAGACGCCCTGCGTCGGCCCAAGCCAGACCTATCAGTGCAATCGCGGCCAGGACCATGCAGACGGCGCAGACGCGAGCTTTCCCGGCGGACTGGCTCCACCGCTCGCAGACCCGCGACCCGCAGATCATAACTAAAGCGGCGCCGATGGACAACGCGTTCGCCGCGACGGGCGAGAAGGCCGCCCGGTTCTTGAAGAAGAGCGGAATAAACTTCACCGTCATGCCCGACCCGAAGCCTGATATTAGATCCGCCACCAGTATCAGCCGCGCGATGCCCTCGTCGCCCTCCTTGTCTGCCTCCTCGTCGTCGCACGCATCCGCGCCCACGTCTCGCAACCCCAGTAAGAGGAGCGCCGGCGGCGCGCACAGCGCCAGACCGACGACTGCCACTGTTTTCAGCGCGGCGAGGGACCAGTCGTCCCCAATGCATAGGAAGAGCACCAGCGCCAGCGCCGGGCCCGCCGTCGTCGCCAAAAGGGTCAGCATGAATTTTTGTGATGTCGCCTCGGCGCGTTGCGCGCCGCGCGTCGTCGAGTCCGCGAAGAGCGTCTCGAGGGCCGTGCTCCACACTCCTTGATACGCGCCGAACGCCGCAAGGCCGACCGTGACGTAGTCGAAGCGCGCCCGGGCGGAGACGTCGCTTACGGCAATGGCCAGGATCAGTCCTAACGAGGCCACCACGCCCGTGACGCAGGCGACGCGGCAGACGGTCCGCCGCCGGAACCGGTCGGCCGCCCAGCCCGCGAGCAGGCCGCAGGCGCACTGCGCGATGCCCTGGGCGCCCTCGGCGAGGCCCACCCGCGCGTTCGACCCGCCCGTGAGCACGTAGAGGTAGCCGCTCAGCACGGCGTAGGACCAGACTCCTCGTGCCGCGCCGGCCGCCAGCGTGAAGGCGTAGGCGAGGCTGAGGTTTCTTGCTTTTGTCTTGTCGATTGTTGGTGTGGGTGGAGCGCACATTCTATCAGAGCTTGTGCGCCGCCCGGCGGCCCGCTGGTTGCACAGGGCTCCCGCTTCAGAGAGGCTCTCTGGTACTACCCTAGTCGAAGTCGTGCGGCAAGCGCACTGGGTCCAGAGCTTCTCGCAACTTGCGAGTTTCCCAAATTTCACGTGTAAGCTGCGGTGTAGGAGCTGCCAGCTCGTGCAGCAGCCGCTTCCTAGTGTCTTACAGACCGCTAGCTCCTGGCGCGGCGGACGCGAAGCACGCTGTTTTCGAGCCTCTGCGCAAGCGTGGCGCTGCATTTCCATGGCTGCGAGTGATCTTGGTCCAAAGGCGTTGAATGTCGCAGCGCTCAATGACTTGTGCCATCTGTGCCCAACCTGGACCCAGGCTGGCTGTGCGCTAAACGCGGTCAGCCGCGAGGTATCAAAGCTCGCAGCAAACGTGCGACGCCGGCGGCGGCGGAAACTGCTCGCGCTGCGCAATGAGATCCGCCGGCACACTTTCGTGACGCTCCGGACCGTCAAAGGCGAGTGCAGCTGTTGGTGGAAAATCCACGGCGTGCGGGACGAAACCGTCGCGGTCTGCGCAGAAATTATTCATGTCAAGTCGCATTTTCGCGCGTGAGTTAAGATTTCACCCGTTCGGTGCAACGCAGGTCGTTCTCGAGCGCCTCGAGATGCGTCATGACAAGAACCGCTTCTGCGTCATCATGGTGCCTCTCGACGAGTGGGAGGCGAAGTTCGAAGAGTGGAACGACGACGAAGACCATAGAGTGTCCCTCTGCCAGGAATGCTGGTACGACGGCTTTATGATGTACCCTCACGTTTTCGGCCATGAGTCGGATTAGTTGGCCATGAGTCGGATTAGTTGGCTTGGCGCTATGTACTAAGTTTGTGAATCTAAACGATCTGGAAACGTCCGCTGCCTGCCGTGAACATTTTACTCACCCCACGCTCAGCGGCGGCGTCCACTGGCTCCGCCCCGTCGCGACGTTGTGGTAGAAGGGCCGCCGCTTCTCCTCGGACCACGCGACGCGCCACTCGTCATCCAAGACCGTCGTCGGCACGTCCTCCTCCTCTTCTTCTGTCGCGGAGGAGGACTCTTCAACAGGCGCCGGCGGGACGGCGCCGCCGGCCGGCAGCACGCCGGGCACCGCAATCTCCATTGAAGGGCCGAATTTCGCGAGCGTCTCCCCGACGCAGAACGCCGCGCGGAACAAGTACGAGCGCCCCGCCGTCAGGTTCGGCACGAGCGCTCTATCAGAACCGCCCCGGTAGCAACGCCGCCAGGCGTCATCTGAGGCGTCCCGGACCTCGACGACGTAGACGGCGTCCCGCGACGGCCGCGGCGGCGCTAATTGTAACTCGCAGGTGCGCTCGCACCAGCCCGGCCCCGTGGCTACTTTACAAGGGTCAGGCGGCGTCTTGTACCACCGGATGATTTTGGGCTTCTTCGGCGCGGGCCCGGCCGTACAGAAGGCGTGCGCCGCAAATCTTGAAACCTGGCCGCGCGCCGCCGCGACGCAGCACCGTACCCTGTAGCGCGTCAGGGGCCTCAGGTTCTCCACCCTACAGCCGGCGCCGGGGCCCGCGTAGACCGGCTGCCACGCGCCCGCGCGGAAGACGTCGAGCTTGATCGCGTAGTCCGCCTCGGCCGCGGCCGCCTCCGACTTGAGAGAGCAAGCCGCTTGCCTTTCAGCAAGCTTGACCACGAGCTTCTCGGGCACGCCCTGCAACCTATACTTCTCCGCGACGCTCCCGAGCAGCTTCATGTGAGACCGCTGGACGACCCCGAGCCGCTCCCAGTCCCCCGCGTCTCTTGCCCTCGCACACCGCGCGCCGTCTATTCGCAAAGAGGCCCAGGTCCTTCCATAAACCTCTTCCAGTCGATGCGGCCTCAGGAGGAGCGCGCGGACTTCATCACTCGACAGCTTGTCCAGTGATACTTTGCCGGCGACGGCCCGGTCGTCGCTCGCGACTTTTGCGTTCGTGGACGTGTCGCGCCGCGTCCACCGCGGCGTCCACCTTAGTAAGAGCGCGCGCTCCTCCGCGCGCGCCAGCTCCAGGAACGGCGCCTCGAAGAGTACTGTGGAAGCCTTCTGCACCCGACGCCTCATCGTCGTAGAGGGCCCGTCGTCCTCGGACGCCCACCGCACCAACTTCGCGAGGCCCTCGCTTCGACGCTCGGCACCGTCCGGCAGCTTGTACGCAGTGAAAGGCGGCCAGAGGCCCCGTACCACCACCGCGCCCCATAATTCATAAGGTTCGACGGACGACGCGCCCATGCCCGCGTCGTCCTTTAAACCTAAAGAACGAGCCACGGGTGGAGGCATCTCCGCCGCGGCGTCGATCTCCACGCGTTTCCTCACGCGATCGATGCCGGACACGCGGACCCACCGGCCCCTATCATGTCTCAATTTCATCCAGTCGCCCTGTTGTAGCGACGGTAATGCAGGCAGCGACGCGTCCGTGCACGCGACTTTACTCAACCCAATTGCGTCGCAGAACCATCGTTTCAATTGCGCCGCTAAAGGTTCTGCGGAGGGTTCTCCCTCGAAATCCGTCAAAGGGACGACATCCACGGCAGCGACGGGCTCCGCCCTCAAGACAAGTCCGGCGCCCGGCTTCGCACCGTCCATCTTCCCATAACTTTGGGAAGTGACGTGCTCGACGTCCCAGTCCGCTTCTGGTGAGGCGAAGCGCCGCCACTTCCGCGCGCATTTTGTGGGGACGTGTGCATCATCATTACCTTCTCGCATCCACTGGGTCCAGCTCCCCAACAACGTACACGCGTCGACGGCCGCGAGGGCCCTCCCGACCTCGTCGCCTCTGTCATGCTTGAGTCTTTCCAAACACCTTCGAGCTTGCGCCCTATCTTGAGACAACTGCCGGTCCGCTTTTCGAGCCAGGTCCTCGGCGTCCTGTAATTTAATGGCGCGCGCCTCGCGTTCCGCGCGGTTCGCCTCAAAAACGAGTTCCTCCAGTGCCGTTCTATTGGCGAAGGCGGCGCTCTCCATGGACTTTGTTAACGGAGGCGGCGGCGGGTCGTTTTCCGGTAAGGGGTCCCGGGGGTAGTGGTAGCCGTCCATGCTTGTGCGTTGCGTCGCGTTTGGAGGCGTGTGGAGGCTGCCCTGCTCTAGAGTGAGTGGTGTGTCCTACTTACTGTGCGCCTTGGGAGGCAGCCTTTTCGCCTGTGGGTCGTTGCTTCGACAAATGGAGACGAATGCGACCAGCTAGGGCTAGCTAGCCGACCCACGCACGCTGCTTTTGTGCGCGCTGGTCTCAACTGGCATGCAGGTTTTGCTCCGTGCGGGGTGATGATACAGATGTACGACGCGCGTGTTTTCCCCCGAGGGGCTCCGCCCACTAGTCCTAGAACCGAACAGAAACGAACACGGATACCATCGAGCACGCGCCCTCCCCGCCGCCGCGCCGACGCAAAGATATACTACTACGTTACGTCATAAAAGCAAGGGCGCTAGACCGTCAGGTACTCGCGCTCGACGCCCTCGGCGTTGATGCAGACGAGGCGCACGATGCCGCCCGAGGAGCCGTCCCGCGCCATCGCGCGCTTGATCGCCTCGGCGACGAACGCCTTGCACTCGGCGAGCGACATGCCCGGCTTGAACTCGTGGTCGACGTGGCCGTAGATGTACGTGCTGCCGGACCCGCCGATGGCGAAGGGCGCCTTGAGGCACGTCCCGCCGAGGGGAATGACGTACACGGACCCACCGTCGACCTCGTCGTAGCCCGCGACGATGACGCCGGCGAGCAGCTGCTCCTTGTTCGTATAACAAATACGCTTCGCTAATGAAGCTGCTGTCTTTACGAGTGGCGGGGCTCCGACCTCGATCGCGTGCGACGCGAGGTAGTGTCGCACGTAATCAGAGACCGCTTGCGTGTCCGCCGCGCTGCCGCTTCTACACATGAAGATCTTGTCGTGCAACGCGCTGACCTTGTCCGAGACGCGGTTCGCGATGTACGTACCGGTGCTGACTCGAGAGTCGGCGCCCATGACGACGCCGCCGGCGTAGCTCACGGCCATGATCGTCGTGCCCGTGCTCACCTCGCCGTCCCGTAGTTGGGCGCCGGCGTAGGCGTCGGGGGGCGTGGGGTCCATGGTTTGGTGTGCTTCCGCGCGTCGCCGCGGCGGTCGAGCAGGGCTCTACTGCGATGCCAAATGCGAGGGCGCGCGCTCAAATGATGCAGCGCGCGGTTGTGAAAATGAAATAGTGCTGCTGAGTGTGGCAAATTTGTCCCTGCCGCTAAAGCGGTACTACGCCGCGCGGCGCGAGTCGATTAGCTAGCGACCTAAGACACTAGTACCGGACGTGCCAGGTGTATACGGTCCTCGGATACCGTGCTTGTGCTCCAAGACGATTCTTGATGAGCGCAAACACAGACTCGAAACTTCGAGATTTTGTGGCACGTCGGTCGGCTTGCCATAGGTTGCTATTGCGCTGCCAAAAACGGTTGTGTACGTTCGTCGGTAACTGCAGAAAGCTGTCTCAAGGTCGTCAATAGCTTCTGCGGCACCGATAGCTCGAGCGAGCAACTCTGCGGCGAGTGCCAATAATTGCTCTCTGAAGCTTTTTTTGTATCGCGACGCGCTTGCGACAGAGAGACATGAAACTAATCCTCGCCCTCGCGCTGAGCGCCGCGGCCGCCACGCCGGCGCTGCGCGGCGCCGAGCCGCGCCGCCGCCTCGAGGCGCTCGAGCTCCTCGGCGCCGAGGAGTCCGCTAAAGTAGAAGCCGAGCAGGAGGCGGCGCGCGCGGCGGCGCTCGCCGAGGCCATGGCCCAGCTCAAGGAGGCCCAGGACATGATGGCCAAGGCCGAGGCGCTCAAGGCCGCGGCCGCGACGGCCGAGGCGGCGCCCGAGGCGCCCAAGGAGCCCGCGGCCGCCGAGGCGCCGGCCGAGGAGCGCGTCGCCGTCGCGGCGCCCGCGGCGCCCGCGGCCGGCGACTGGGAGGCCCAGTACAAGGCCCTGGAGGCGGCCAAGGCGGCCAGCGAGGCCGCGGCGGCGCCCGCCGAGCCGGCCGAGGAGCCGGCCGAGGAGCCGGCCGCCGAGCCATCTGAGCCGGCCGCCGAGGCCGCCGCTGAGCCGGCCGCTGAGCCGTCTGATGCCGCCGCCGAGCCCGCCGCTGAGGCCGCCCCTGAGGCATCCGAGGCCAAGCCGGCAGAAGAGCCGGCGGCCGAGCCCGCCGCCGAGGACCCGCCCGCCGAAGCGTCCGCCACTGCGACGGCCGAGGCGACGGAGCCCACGACGACGGAGCGCATCGCCACGGACGTGGCCGAGCTCGCCGCGGGCGGCGGCGACCCGGCCGTCGCCGCCGAGGCCGCGGCGCTCGTGCAGAAGCTCCAGGCCGAGCTCAAGGAGGAGTCCGCGCTGCTGGCCGCGCTGGCGGCGAAGCTCGACGCTATGAGGGGAGACGCGCCGGCCGCCAAGGCGGAGACCGAGCCCGCGACTACCGAGCCCGCTACTACCGAGCCCGCGACGACGACGACGACGGCCGAAAAAGCGCTCACGGTCGCCACCTGGAACATCGCGGCCATCAACAACAACCCCTTCGAGTACTGGATCCACTCGGAAGACGAGGCCTACAACAAGTTGATGAGTGACGTCCAGGCCTTCATCAGTGAACCGGGCGACAAGGACGTGCGAGTCAAAGAGGTCTTCACGGACGCCATGTGGGACGAGCTCAAGGAGAAGATGAAGGGCGCGGGCTGGGCCGGCGTCGACGATGTGGACGACCTGTGGCAGGACGACTACCGAAGACGCAAGATCGTCTCGGGCTTCCTGAAGGACGCCGAGCTCGGCTCTAAAAGACTCGCGTCGATGCCGGACCGCGTCACGAACACGATTCGAAGCGTCGACGGCAAGAAGATGCGCCCGACGGTCATCAACTGCTACGAGCAGGAGTTTTCGTCGCTCCAAGACTGGTGGACGCAGTGGAAGACGTTCATCTTCGAGACCGAAGTCACGACTAAAAGTGGAGAGGCCCCGAAGCCCGTCTACGGCCTGCTCCAGCCGATCAAGCGCTCCAAGTATCCCGCTATTAGTATGGCGGAAGAAGCCGTATCCTTACCTTTACAGACGTTGGCCGGCGCCATCTTCGACGCTATCTTAGTGCACATGATGCAGAATGTCGCGGCGGACACGTGGCAGCCTCTCAGAACGCAGCTCTGCGAGGCCCTCAACCGCAAGAAGGACTCGCGGACGCTGGATATCCTCGACCAGAAATACTCAGACGCTGATATAGTCTTCGTCCAGGAGGCCGCTTCGTCCTTCGTCGAGGCCGCGAAAGCGCACGCGTTGGGCGAGCGCTACTCTATCATCGCGCCGGCTTCCTTGGATCCGAAGCGCGACCAGAACTCGTTAGTGCTCGTCAAGAAGGGCTTCGGTTCTTTCGAGGAGGTCGACGTGCTGTCTTCGCTAAGTGATGCTCCGGTCGCCGCCGGCGATTTGCTGGTGGTGCAGAACGACGAGTACGTCCTCGCGTCTTTTCATGGAGACACGAACGGTCTGGCCACGATCCCCATCACGGACGCCGTGCTCGGCAAGGTAGGCGACAAGACGCTGATCTTCGGCTTGGACGCCAACACCTACGAGGCGAAGCGCGACGGCTACCAGAACGCGGAAGAGTACCAGGCGCACATCGTCGAGAAGGGGTTGGCCTCGCAGCGAGGTAGTACCAAGGACATGGACCCGAAGCTCTACACGACCTTCAACGCTAGGACGTACCTCCAGCCGCAGCTCAACAAGGCCGTATCGTACGAAGAGCGCTTCACGAACGTGAACGTGGACCGCAACCCCAAGGACTTCGTGCTCTTTTCTACGTCGTTGGAGCTCGTCTCCACCAGCCGGGACAACACGGCCAAAACGTCGTCGTCGTCGGGCGAGCCCAAGTACGACAACGAGAAGATGTTCCCAACCCTCAAGTTCCCCTCGGACCACGCGATCACGAAGGTGGTCCTGAAGGCGAAGAACTAGGTTTGGCGCGGCCGGTGCGGGGCCGCGACCGTATGGAAGGAGACGGCGTGGGCGTGCTGACGGCGGGTGTCCTCGGCGGCGGCGACGTCGCCTCATTAGGTGTGCCCTCCCCTGTGTAACTTGATGATATTACTTCTTCTTCTTAGAAGACCTCTTCTTCGCGAGCTTGGAATGCGCCGGCGTCTCCTTGCCCGCCTTCTTTTTGAGGACTGCTCGGCGCTTTCCCTCGGCCTTCGCCGACGGTTCCGCCTTGCGCTTCGCCCCCTTCTTTACGACGGCCTCGAGCCCCTTCTTGTCGAGCGCGGGCTTGACAGAAAGCTGCGCGCCGCCTGGCAACTGCTTCTTGTGGAGCTTTTGTGCTGATGTAGAGACGACGCTACCTTCCCGCAATTCGACGTAGGCGCTCGCGGCCTTGCCCGGCGCGCCGACGGCCCGCACCTTCGTGACCGCGCCCTCGCCGAGCGTCGCCTCGGCGAGCTTTGTGAGCTCCCGCCGGTCGAGGTCGCCGTTAAAAGCTCGCACGAACAACGTCGGCGGGCCGCCGCCGCCCTGTTGCAGCTCCTTCTTCTTCGCCTTGGCGCGCTCGCGCTGGCGCTGCCTTCGAGCTTTACACTTGGCCTGCTTGTCCGCGGGTGCCGCCGCGCCAGGCTCCTGCTTTGCTTTCGGCGGCGGCGCGGCGGCGGCCGCGTCCTCGTCCTCCGAGTCCGCGTTGGCGTCGGCGCCGGCCCCGAACCCGTGCGAGCGCTCGAAGCGCGACACCTCCCGCGCGAGCGCGCCGGACGAATCCGAGCACGCGCTGCCCGCGTCGCTCCATTCGTCGTCGCCGACGAACGCGTTGATGGCCGCGAGGTCCGCGGGCGACAGCGAGTCGTCGTCGCTCTCCGAGGCCGACGACGACGCGTCGCTGTCGCTGGACGACGACATGTTTCTGCGTCGGCGCGGCACTCGCGCTTGCTTACAACTTGCCCACAAGTGGGAGAGCACTGCTCTCGCAGCGGCGGTGTGCGAACTGTGTCGCTGTCCGGTCTTACGCGTGCTGGTGAGCTCGCACCCTCTCTGCAGCTCTCGTGACAAGCTGTGTCCGTGCGTACTGTTTGCGTTCGGCAGGCACAGCAGCAGGAGCAGCGTGCAGTTTTGTGTCGCCCAGAGATTGCCTGATCAGTCACGCTAGCGTGCCGAACTGACTCGGTCGCTGGCTCGCAGGACTGCTCAAAACAATCTGCGAACCGACGCGCAGCGGTACGTACGTACACCCTGCAGTGCTGTGGAGAGTGCAGCCTAACAATGGAGACTCCTCCCCCGCCGCCGACCGACGAGCAGGCCGCGGACTACCCGCAGAAGCGCTTCTTCCGCAGCCGGGCCCACTGCAACCCGTTAAGTCACAACGACGCCGCGCCCTACCCTCAAAAACCATCGGCGCTCGACTGGGCGAGCCTCTACCCGAGACGCGACGCCAGCAACGGTTCAAACATCGCATTCCTGGACGTGGGCTGCGGGTTTGGCGGTTTGGCGGTGGCGTTATCGACCTTAGCGCCGACGAAGCTCACGCTAGCTTTGGAGATCCGACCGAAAGTCGCCGAGTTCGTCAGAAGACGCATCGAAAGTCTGAGGAGGCAGCACCCCGGTTCCTATGAGAACGTGGCCTGTTTGAGATATAACGCCATGCTCCACTTGCCAAATTTACTGCCAAAATCATCCCTCGAGAAGATCTTTTTTTGCTTCCCCGACCCGCACTTCAAGGCGAAGAACCACCGCCGACGGATTGTGTCAGAACCGCTACTCGCGGAGTACGCCTACGTCCTCAAGGAAGGTGGTCTCTTGTACGCCATAACAGATGTTGAGGAGCTACATAAGTGGCACGTGGCCAAGCTGGACTCTCATAAATGTTTTGAGAAGGTCGATCTGCGTGACGACGATCCTTATGTGAATGCCATCACCCAGGAAACGGAGGAGGGGAAGAAGGTCACGCGCCAGGGCGGCCACATGAAGGACGGGAGCAAGTACGCTGCCGTTTATAAACGTGTCCGCTTCGAGGGGGCCGTGGAGCTGTGGCCCGAGTAACTTGTGAAAGCAGTGTCTTAGGCCTTTGCTGCTGTGCTCTGCACACAGATTGATCCTGACCGGGGCAGGCGGTCTGAAGCCACCAAGAGGCTGACTTTTTGAAGGGCAGCCAATGGCGGCGTGGCCCAGAAACGTGGTGAAGGAGCACCGGGCTGCCGCTTGGCTGCTTTACATATTCCTGCTGAGCTTATTTATCACCTACGCCAGCGTCACTATAAACCATAATCTGCAGCGCCGAGACCACCCGGTTGTGGTGGAAGACGTCGTAGAGGAGGCGTGGACGCTACCGGACATCGTCGTGTGCCTCATTTACACCGATGGATTATTCGAGTTGGGAAGGTATGCTTGTGGTGATTATAATATATTTGATGATGACGATGGCAATTATCAATGGTGCGACGCCTCCGCTTACCTGGTGGGGGGCAACGTCACTGCCCGCGATGATCCACACGTCTGCGTTCACTTCGAGACATCCACGCTCGGACAGCGATCGCGAGGCGATCAAACATTGCTGGAATTTACATGGAAAGAGCACGACCCTTTTCGACTAGTCGACTGGGATCCAAAATGGTCACAGTTGCGCGAGGCAGCTGTGATTCTGCGCGGTGGTGGAGGAGATATGGGAGAGTACCTGCGAACCCTTTTCTCAAGCGGTGGCTTTATGGCCGACGAACTTTATTATCTTCCCATATCTACGGCTTCCGACGATGTAGGTTTCTCAAACGACATGAACCCTGAGAAGGAGGTCCATCGGCGGCTTGGACATCCCTACAAGCTTCCGCCGCCACCGACACAAGACGAGGCCAGCTTTCGGGCGACTTTTACCACGAGTCCTTTGGTGAATTACCAAGGGAATAATAGTAACATGCAATTCGAGAGCTGTTATGGAAGCGACGAAAAAGGAGGCTCAGCATTCTCGGTGCCGAACGCCCACGGCTGTCCGGGGCATCCCGTTCCATGGTTGGCTGACTACCTTAAGTTCTATCCCGACTACGTGACCGTGGGCTACTTTCAGCTCTACATTGACATACACTCATTAAAAACACGTTACTACATCGAGCAAGACCCCATGGAGCCCCTGAAGCTCTGGGGCATACTGGCGGGCACATTCACTCAGGTCGGCATGCTCTTCGGGCTATGCTTCATCGGCAAGGCGCACCTCCGCGCACGCTTTTCGAGGAAGGCGGCCGAGGCGGTCGGTGAACGATCGTCGAGGCTCGGCGCGCGCCTGTCGTCGACGCCCGCGGTCACGCGGCTGCGCACGCGGTCGGCGAGCCTCGGTGCGCGCCTGACGCGATCTCTTCCGGGTTCGAAAGCATCGAGATCGGAGGACAGCGATGCCGACGCGAGCGCCGCCGTCGAGCTCGGGGAGGTCACGAACCCAGTGTCGTCGCCGGAGCCACTCGGCAGGGGCGAACCGGAGGGCATTGATGTTTTCGCACCACCTCGCGCGTCAGGACTGCTATAATCACATGTAGTTACTTGCCCGGCGAATTCAGGAGCCCCTCGAAGAAGCTTCGCGCGTTGGACGACTCCGGCGTCGGCGCCGCCGCGGCCGCCGCGGCCGTGGGCGTCGCCGGCGCCTCGTGATCACCCGCGCGATTTGCCAGGTTCTGGAGCCACGCGTCCCGGTCCTCGATCACGGTTGGTGGCGCCGCCAGCTCCTCCACGACGCCGTCGTCGCCGTCCGGCGCGTCCAAAGCGGCCTCGCCCGGCGCGTAGAAGGCCTCGTCGCCGTCGTAGCGCGACGCCGGGGACGCCGCGCCCGTCAGCAACGCCATCAACGCCTCGCGGAGCGTCGCCCGCATCGTCGCGTCGCCCGCCTCGCGCAGCGCCGCGAGCGCGACGCCCGCGTCGCCGCAGCGCCGCCGCAGCGCGCCCAGCCGCGACCCGCCGAAGGCGATTACCAAAGTGGGCGCGCCGTCGAGCGCCGTGAGCCAGCTCTGGAAAGCGGCGGCCGGCGCGTGGCCACCGTCGACGACGACGACGGCGGCGGAGTGCGAGGCGGCGCGCAGGGCGCCTCCGACCGCGCTCTCCGGCCTCACGAGGTCCGCGGCGACGGCGGGCCGGCCCACGACTTGCCACGTCTCGGCGCCCTCGACCGCGGAGACCGCGCAGCAGCCGACCGTCGCGGACTCCGTTGATACATCATCGCTCAGGGCCGCGCGCGCCAGCTCGACGAGCCGCGTCGTCGCCGCGCAGATGACGACGCGACGCGGCGGCGGCGGTTGGGGGGCGGCGCAGAGCTCGTCCCAGAGCGCTGCGACGGGCGCCGTCTCGGTTTGCGGCGGTGGCGGCGCGACGGCGGCGGCCATCGTTTATGGCTTGTATGCGTCGCTTCTCGGGGCCGCGTCCTGCGCTAGCGAGCGTATTGATGCTGTGGTTAGACAGCGACTGCGCGAGCACGATTAGCGGAGCAAAATAGCGGCAAAATGCCGAAAAAAACTGCGGCTCTACCGAATTGCTAGTACGTCGCAACGCTAGCTAACTGCCGTTCGTTGGTAGGTCGGGGCAGCCTAAAAAGCGTCCAAGATGCTCGTCAAGGCCAGCGTGGCCCGGTCCCCGAACCAGCTCGCGCAGCACGTGCGCCAGAAGGTGCTCGTGGCCGCGGTAGCTAGGGGCGTGCCGACCATCAATGACCTCTTAAAAAGGGCCGACGAGGACAAGTCCGGTGCTCTATCTTATAAAGAATTCTACACCACTCTGAGAAAATTACTACAATTAACAGCAGCGGCGGTGACCGACGACGCGGTGCGCCAGACCTTCAAGGTCATCGACAAAACGGGCGACGGCGCGCTGTCGCGCGAGGAATTTGCCACCTTCCTACGGGGCAAGAACACGTCGGACGATGCTCAGTTAGTGGACTGCCTCGACGCGAAGAACAAGCTCGCGGCGCGCCAGGCGGCACTACGGAGAGAAGCGCGCCTGAAATTGCTGCGGAAACGACTACGCAAGGCCGTGCAGCTCCACGGCTCCTTCTTCGAGAACCACAGCGTGGAATGGTCCCTGGACGAGTTCTTGGACGTAGTACGCAACACGCTAGCATTAGGCGCGCACGCCATCACGGACGCCGACGTCGAGATGGTGTTTCGCGAGCTGAGCGACGGCGACGCGCTCCACCCCGACGCCGTCGCGCGCTTCGTCAACCCCGAGAAACCAACGACGGAGAAGGAGAACGCCGCACCTCCAACACCAGCCCCGGACGCGCCGTCGCGCCTCGACGCGCTCTCGCGGCCGAAGCGCGTCCACGACAAGCCGCCTCCATCGGAAGACGCGACGCCCTGGAAGGCCACGTCCATCACGTCGCCGATCCCGCCGCTGCCCCCCTCGCCGCGGACGCCCGGCGGGACGCGGCGGTCGCGGCCACCGGCGTCGCCGGGCGGACGGGCAGACGCGCTACTCGGCGCGCGCGACGCGCTGGGTCGCGCCGCCGAGGCGCTCGCCGCGAGCGACACGGCCGCCGAGGACGACCCCGCAGAATTAGCGGTCGCCGTCGAGCAGCTGCGCCAGCTCTGCGTCCGCGTCGCCGCCGCGGCCGACGGCGTCGCGACGCTCGCCGCGACGATCAAGCGGAAGCGGGGCGCGCAGAGCCTGGCGAAGTCCGTGTCCTTCTCCGACGACGTCGTGACGCCCTAAGAAAGACTGCTAGGACTTCTTCTTAGCGCCCCCCTTTCTTTCTTCCAGGCCGCGCTCAAAGCGGGTTGTGGTTCTGTAGAGAATACTTGTTATAGACATGACACTAACACGGCCGCGTGCGAGATGCCTCCGGAGGGAGTGCGTCGCACAGCAACCGTGGGCGGCCCTAACAGTCCGGTCCTGTCGCAATAACCAGTCCGATCCGTTCCCGACCGCTCGCCTCTTAATACGCGACCACCATTCGGCAGATGGTGGCCACGGACGCCGACCTGACCTCGGGGGCCTTCCGACGCTCGGTAATCTAACCCAAAGTTTTCTTCTTGCACGATCCGCTCCGTCGAGCGTCGTGCTCGCCGCTCACGTGTCCGTAGTAAATTCGCAGCGGCGCGTTGTACTAAATCCGTATGGATCCATAGTAATACCGCGGTGTCCGTAGTAAATCCGCGGTGGACAGTTGTACTAAATCCGTGGGGGTCCGTCCTAGTAATCTCCATACTGGTCTGTTGTACTAAAGATAATGGTAGGACCGCGGTCGTGCCTCCGCTATATATAATACACGACCCGCGAGTGTGCTCATGGCCTCGTCGGCGTCTCTGACTCATGGCCTCGCACACGTAATATAAATTGTAGGGCGTCAACTAAGCGACGACATGTCGGCGATACCGACTCTAATAGTAGGACCGCGTTCGTGCCTCCGCTATATATGATGCACGGCGGCCGCGAACTAGGCAAACGGATTCGGTGCGCCGGTGCTGCCGAGGCCCCTAGACACCACCACATCTTTGTTAGGAATGTTGTTTAGGAACATCAAGTTGTGTTTGAAGGTCTCAGCCATCAGGTGGGTCACCTTCAATGACACCTTGTGTTGACGACGGAAGGCCAATTGCTGGGCGGCGGAACGCTCAATTTTACTGTTTTTTTGGCCGGTTTAAAACCCTGAATATGCTCGCGACGTTCTTTCCGATTCGGCTCTTCGTTGGTAGCCGTCGCCTTCAGACCTTTAGTGAAAAGGCGTTCATCTTGATCACGCTTCCGTCGGTTGCTGCGTTCGTTCACACGTTTGAAATGGCGTAAACGGTAACGTTTCTTCGTATCAGCATCTAGATCGACGGGCTTCGTCGGATATGACGAGCCCGACCCGTTTCCACCCAAAGCAATTACCGTCGACGGACCGCCGCCGCCGTCTTGGGGCCCCAAGGCCTTCTTGTGCGCATCTTTGGTCCCGCCGGGCCCGCTCCCGACATCTCCCGTTCGTGGCGAAGCGCCACGGTCCATCTTCGGCCGTCGCGTGCCTCGCGGAGGCGGTGGCCTTTGTGGGCTTGGTGCTGCCCTTCAGTGGACTTCCTGCTGCTTTTTGGGGCAGCAGACACTTGCGCAGCGTGCTCGGCGTCCGTGGCTCGCTCGTGGCGAGCTCGTTGGCGAACTTGTGCGGAAGGCACAACTAGGCCACCAGCCAAACCTGGGCTTTTGCTTGCTAGTGTCTCAATAGACGCTAGCGCTTTATTTTTTTTTGCGTTTGCGCTTTTTCTTTTTTTTTGTTGGCGCATCGGCGGAATCGCTGCCGGAGCCGCTGGCACTCGATTGGGCTGCCATCTTGCCCTTCTGCAGTGGTGGTTTACCTTCTACACGCCCGAGGCGAGGCGCAACACAGGCAAACAGAATGCCAGCGCCCGGGCCCGACAGCGCCGCTTACTTTTTTTGGGACCGCGCCAGGATGAGGCGGCTAAGTACCTTTCTGTCAATTTTACGCGTCGACCTGTCCCCCGGGGATCGTTCCGAGGCTTGCTCGCGCGCCGGACAACCCACTAAAACTTTGAGCATTAGTTGCTTTGCTTAGAGCTAGGCCACCAGCCGAATCAGTAGTTCACTTTTACACAGTCTTCTCCGAGGCAGCGGCACGGCGAGCCCGCGCATTCCGCTTCCACCTCGCACGCTTTGCTGCGAGGTGCAGGTAATTCGGCCGTGGCGCCGTCAGAGGGCGTCACGAGCTCCCCGCCGCCGAGCGGTGCCGCCGCGACGACGGGAGGCAGGAGAGTTTTTCGCTTTTTTCTTGGTCTTCTTGGCGAATTTCTTCGCCGCCAGCGCCGTCGCGACCTTCGCGGTCGACTCATTTTCTTCTCGCGCCTTCGCGTCGGCCACGACTTCGAGCTGCATTGCTATGGCCGTGCCCTCCGGCGGGAGGGGCTCCGCGTCCTTCGACGGCCGCCGCCGCTCCGCCCGTCGCTCCGCGTCGTATTCCTCGAGCACGGCGCGGACCTCGCTCTTGTCCTTCAGGATCGTCCGCTCGTCGCCGGCGATTTGGTCCTTGGCCAGGTCATACGCCGTGTGGCCGAAGCTATTTGCAATGGTCGGATCTGCGCCTGCGCGTGCAAGCGTCTCGGCGAGAGATCGGCGACCGCCACGCCATCGGACCGACGTCGAGTGAAGTTTGATTCACGCGCTGCGCAGGACCGTGGGCCAGCAACAGCTCGGCGCACTTCTTCTGGTCGCAAAAAATCGCCACGGCGAGCGGCGTCCAGCCTTTGGCATCCCGCCGGTTGGGGTTCGTCCAGAACACCTTGGCGGCAACCTGTGCATAAATCAACCAGTGAGCCGGGTGGCCGAGGAACCACGCTATTGAGCAGGCGTCGCGTCGATGGCGTGGAGGTCGACGCGGCGATTCAGGACGAACGCGCCGTAAATTTGATTTCCACACAGGCGGCGACCGACTCGTCGCCCGGCTGCGTCGTCGGCGGGTCGATGGTCCCGTGGTGCGTCAGCAGGAAGGCGCAGAGTTCGACGTGCCCGTGCTGCGCGGCCAGATGCAGGCACGTGCCGCCGCGCTCGTCTCTTGCAGTATTCGCCGTGCACCGCGGCCGCTCCTTGTGCGTCGTGGCAAATTCTACAACCTCGTCGAGCAACTTTTGGAGTTGCGCCGCGTCGCCTCGGACAGACGCTTCAATAAGCTCGTTGCGCAACACGTCGCGCGCGTGCGCCTCCCGCTGCGCCGCCGTCTTGAGGCGCTCCTGCAAAGCGAGCTCCATCGCCTTCTCCCGCTTCTTCAGCAGGCGCTGCGTCTCCTTTTCATCCCACGCCTCGAGCACGGCACGCGTTTCTTCGTTCGACGCTATGTCGAAGGGCCGCTCGAAGTCGCGGTTCGTGATTGAGGGGTCGGCGCCGCTCTTGAGCAGCAGCGTGCACATCGCTGAAAACCCACCGAAGGCCGCGCGCCAGAGCGGCGTCCTACCTAGATCCGACTGCGAGTTCGGGTCGGCGCCGAGCTCCAGCAAATACGTCACAAGTTCAGAATGGCCCTGCGCCGCCGCATCACTTAAAGGCGTGTTGTCCCGCGCGTCGACACTATCGACGTAGAAGCCCTGCTCGATCAAGCGCTTGACGTCGTCGATCTCGTTCTCGAACGCGTGCTCGACCATGTCCGGTGAATTGCGTCGGACTTCGCGCGCGCCTAACGTATCGGCGAGGGCGTCGTCGGCGTCTTGTGCTTTGTTAGCGGTCTTGGCCGGCGTCTCGCCGACGGCGACGATCGAGAACGCGTCTCGCACGTCTTCTGGCAATTCGAGGGTGCGCGGGTCGCCCTTCCCTACGACCACGACGAGCGCGAAGTCGTCTCGCGGCAGGAACTCGTGCGGCTCGGGGTCGCCCTGGTCCGGGCGGAGCAGCGTCGACCAGACGTCCTCGCGGAATAACTGGCGCTTGTCCAGGATGGCTCTCGGGAAGTAGTTGTCCTCGAAGGCGGCCTCGAGGCCCCGGAGCGTGTCGACGGACGAGTACGCGAGGCACATCGTCGAGCCGCACTTGAGGCAGCCCACGAGCAGCCGGCGCAGGTGGTCGCGCTCCATGTCCTGCTGGCTCTCTCCCAACAGAAAGCAGCCCCGCTGATATCTCAAAAAGCGCGACGCCTGCTCCGTCGGGTCGAGCACGAGGGGCCACCGCTCGTCGACGTAGAGGCAATGCTCCAGCGCGTCCGGCAGGGCCTTCAGGACGATGGGCTTCGGTGGCTGCGCGGCCTCGTCGACCGAGGCCGCGGCACCCATCTTTATGTTAGTTGTCAGGGCTATGGGCAGCACAGATGGATGGGGCTGCCTCACTGATGGGGCAGCACTGCTGTGTCACGACTTTGTGATCGTGATGCGATGACGATGATGGCGCCTCCAAAGCGTGACAGATGAACGAGGATGCGCATATGCGTAGCGCCGGCCTGAGAGCCCAGCGGCCTGGCTAGTAGGTTCGACGACGGTGAGGGAGACCCGCACTCAGTTTTTTAGGGCTTTTAGCCCGTAGCTCGACGCGCGGGCAACCGCGTGCAACAAACCCACTGACAAAGAAAGGTCATAATAACCTATCGACACGCGACAAAAGACGCGGCAGCGATTGGGCTGCGTCTCGCAGAGAAACCGGCCAAAAACCATGAAAAATGACGCTCGACAGCCCTTGGCTGCCCCGTATCGCGCCGATCGGGCCACCGCAGCGTCGGATATCGTAGTCCGTATGGCCGTCGACGATCTGAGACAAAAAGCAGCGGCAGCGGCCCATGGGATGTCGGTCTATGTGTGGTCCGCGTTCTCGACGTGAACGCGCGTCGGGCCGAAAACGCCACCAATTAAGGCGAGATTTGGCTCGGGCATTTCCAGCCACCGCGTCGGACATCTCAGACGGTCCCGGGGGATTTAGCCGCCCGGGCGCCCCAAACGAGCGTATCGGGGCAGCCTAGAGGGAATAAACCGACTTTTGTCAATATGGGGCGGCAGCCGCTGCTTTTTGCGCAAGGCGGCCTTAAATGAGTTTTTTGGTCGATAGACACAAAAAGCAGTGGCTGGCGAGCACCTTCGCCACTGCCGATTTGCTCAAATTTGGCCTCCACAAAACCCGAAAAGCCGTGCGGGTTGCCGTTGTCGAACCTACTAGCCAGGCCACTGGGAGCAGAGCTAGCGTATCGACATACTAGTACCAAAAGCAAAAGCGGCAAAAGCGGCAAAGCTCACGCCGCTGTAGCGCATACGTGAAGCAACACAGCTCTGTGGTGCCTATCACAATTACAGAAACCGCATTTATAAACTCCGCTTGGGTTAAGAGCGATACAGGCGCCGTAACACAACCTCTGAAGCATCTAAGCAGAGCTGTAAAAACAGCACAAAAAAAAAATGAACGCCCGCTTAGAGCGCGAGCTCGGCACGCTGGCAAAACATGTAGAGGCCCTCGAACAGCTGGCGAACGAAACTGATAGGGATGCGTCCTTCGCGCGGCGCGCGCGCGGCGCCGCCGGGGCCGCGGCCGCCGCGCGGCGCAGCCTCGCTGCCCAATTAGAAATAGCGGAGCGCGCGGCCGCGGAGGCGCCGGAACCGCGACGCAAGCAGCTGGGCGTGGCGCCGCGCCGCGCGCGCGTCCGATTGTCGGCGCTGAGCGAGGCGCTCGCCCGCGCATTACGAGGCTGCGGCGTGGCCGGCCAGGCCGTGCAGATCCTGGAGCAGCTGGACCGCGACGCGCTCTTTCAGAGCGCTTCATCGAAGACGCCGCAGAAGACACAGAACGAGGACGCTCGCGCGGCGGCGGCGTCATTAAGAAGGACGCGCGACTTATTAGCAAGGGGCCTCGACCAGGTCGCCGCGGCGGCCGAGGCCATCGAGGAGGACGCGTCCTTGTTCTCGGGCGTCCTCGGCAAGCATTCCAAGATCGGCGGCGCCGTGAAGCGCGCCGGGCGGGCGATCCGGAGCATCAAGACGCAGGAGGACCGCGACCTCGCCTCCATGGTCGCGTCGGTCTGCGTCTTCTACCTCGTCGTGTTTTACATAATTTGGCGCCGGCTGCCGCTGCGCGAGGTGCTGCGGTGGGTCCTTTCATCATTGTGGGGCCTCTGCTTCGGTGGCAGTGCTACGGAAGAGGTCGCGGAGACGGCCGTCGCGGCCTGCGCCGCGGCGGCCGCCGCCGGCGCGGCGCTGCCGGCGCACTGCGCCCTGCACGAGGCGGCCGCGGCCGCCGCCGCGTCGTCTGTGCAGGAGGCGCCGTCTGCGGCGCCGCCCGCGCCCGAACGGGACCCCGATCCGCCGGCCTGCGTGGACACGGCGGGCTGGCACGACGGCAAGAACGGCTGCTCGGGCTACGCGCGGCACGCGGACACGTGGTGCGACTTGTATGGAGGCACGGACTACAACGGCCAAGGGCCCGCGGCCGTCCACTGCTGCGCCTGCGGCGGCGGTTCCACGAGGGACGAACTGTAGTAAGAGACATTTGTGTGTGATTACAAACGAAACGCGAACGCTACCGCCGCAGCGCGTTCAGGCGCGCCTCGAGGTCCGAGACCGCGTCCGGGGGCGCCTCGTCCTTGGACTCCTCCTCTTCCGCCGGAGGCGCCTCCTCTTCGGGCTCCTCCGGGAAGTAGGCGGGCTTCGTGAACGTGCGGCCCTCGGCGAGCTTCGCGTCGATCATCGCCTTCGCGCGCATTTCTTCCTCGGTGGGCGCAGGCGGCGGCACGACCGTGGCCACGGGCGGCTGCGGCGGCACGACGCCGACCACAGAACCGACAACAGGTGCCGAGGGGTTCACGACGGCGACCGGTGGCGGCGGCGACGGCGGGGGCACCGGGGCGCGCTCGTAGACCGCCTCCAAACCACTCCCGGGCGCCACTGGTACAGAATAGCCGCTCGGCGCGGGCATCGCCGACGTCTCGAGCTGCTCTTCACTTAGATCTAAATCGGGCACCTCCCACTGGACCTTGTATTCTTCGGCGATGGCCTTCAAGTACTTTACCACGAGGTAGGCGGACGGCGGCGCGACCCCCAGCTTGTGCACGACTCTCACGTTGGCCCTTTCGCCGACGTTCTTTCTTGCATCATTGAAGAATTCTTTGCCGTATTTGAGGTCTAGTTGTTCTGCCACCACCTTAAGTTCAGGCACTTCCGTTCGGGGCGCCGCCCAGATCAACGTACAGCAGGCCTCCCTTAGGTCCGGGGGACAGTCTTTCTCGGAAGTTATGAGTGCTGCTCGTTCATGCAACAGCTCGCAGAGCAAAGATAACAATTCATATGCTTCGATGGTGAAGTCGTCTCTGATCAATTTCTCTACCCTTATACGGGCCTTTTCTTCCTTCCCGTCTCGGAGCAGCTGCGCGATTTCCCTTTTCTGGGTCTTGATCAAATTCGTCTTCTTAGAGTTGAGAATAGCCAGGCGCTGCTCGGCCATCTTCAGGTGGGGCTTCAGCTTCGAGACGCGGTAGCGCTCAAATCCTAAGGCGCGGAGGAGGCCCATTTTTGTTGCGGTGGTTTACCCCACGCCACAAAATTGGAGCCGTAGGGGGGCGAGCGCAGTCTTCACCCAAGCTGTCGCACGCTCAACTGTTGTATCTTTCGTCCAATCCAGCGCTTGCTTATTCCTTAAAAAAATAATCCACCTAGCGTCTGTAACGCACTAGCGCACGAGCTCCAAGTTCACTCTGGTGCCGCACTGGTGCACCACGTGCACAACTTGCTTCTAGAAGACCTGCACGCACGCCATCGTCGAGACAATGCACCTCGCAAGAGCCACGCTGCGCCGCGGGCACCGCTGCCTCAGCACGCACTCATCAGTGATCAACGCCCTAGACGTGCCGGACAAAACACAGCACAAACCACTGCCAGCCGTGGACACGCGCTGCGGCACGCCGTCGCCGGACCACCCTCAACAAAACTGGTCGAAACAACAAATCGACCGCGCGGCGAAGGACCATGTGGTGTTTACGTACGGGCCGACGGACGCGCAAAGGGACGCGGTACCATTATTGAGGAGAGGCGAAGGCAGTTATCTGTATGATGACGACGGCAAGCAGTATTTAGACTGGACGTCGCAGGCCGTCTGTGCCAACTTAGGGCACACGGTGCCACAATCGGTCAAGGCCGCCGTCGCCCAACAATTAGATACTTTACCGTACGTCTACGGCGGCTTAGGATTGGTCGAGCCTAGAGCTAGACTAGCCTCCTTACTTTCAGAAATACTGCCCGGCGATTTAAACGGGTTCCTGTTCCCGTCGAGCGGCGCCGAGGCGAATGAGGCCGCGATTCGCATCGCGCGGCAGTTTACCGGAAGATCCAAAATTCTAACACGATATCGATCCTACCACGGCGGCACGGCGACGGCGCTGTCGGCCACGGGCGACTTTCGGAGGAACTTCATTGAGGACGCGCCGGGTTTTGTGAGACTCATGGACCCGAACCCGATGCAGTTCTCCTGGGGTCGTGACATGGCCGACGCGTCGGAGCGGGCGCGCGGCGCTTTAAGGGAGCAGGTCTTGGGGGAAGGTCCCGACACCATCGCGGCGATTCTAGTAGAGGCGATTCCCGGAAGTGCGGGCGTGCTACTGCCGCCGGACGGCTATCTGCAAGCTATTCGATCGATCTGCGACGAGTTTGGGATTGTCATGATTATTGATGAAGTGATGGCGGGGTTTGGACGGACAGGTAAAATGTTCGGGTTCCAGCGTTTTGATGATGTGCTGCCGGACATTGTGACGTTCGCCAAGGGCCTCACGGCGGCGTGGCTGCCTTTGGCTGGTGTCGCGATGCGCTCGCACATCCAGGACCATTTTCGTACAAATCCTCTCGGGTATGGTGCGACGTACCAGGCGCATCCGGTCTCCCTCGCGTGTGGGTATGCCGTGGTCAAACATATGTTGGATGAGGATATTGTGGGAAGAGTGCAACGAGAAACGGCGCCGGTCATGGAGGCGGAGATGGCTTCCCTCGTAGAGGACTTTGCCTGTATCCGGCAGGCGCGGGCCGTCGGTCTGTTCGCGTGCTGCGACTTGGTCTCCACCAAAACTGGAGACAGGGTCGCGCCGATGGCCGGCGGCGGGCCGAATGCGGAGAAGGTCGCGGCCTTCAAGCGCGCGCTCAAAGAAGAGGGCCTCATTGCCTTTTTCCGCAACTGCATGATCCACGTCTGCCCGCCGCTGACGATCACGCCGGAGGAGCTGCGCGACGGCTTCGGGCGGCTGCGGCGGGCGTTATCTAGCGTGGACTTCTAGGGTTAACTTTAATTGGGTGTGAGATGCTCGCTCGCGGTCGTCGCGGCCGCGGCCGCGCGAATCGCGCCGAGCCACGACAGAGGTAACTGGGTCGCTTCTAGGCGTGGGCCTGGGTGGTTCTAGACCTGTAACAACCACAGTGCGGCCCGTTGCTAGTAGCTTTACTCGCATAGCTGGTTTTTGCCAGCTCTGTCCCGCTCCCCCCGATAAAAACGCGCCTGTGTTACCAAGCTGCGAGCTGCAAACAACGACACACGTGCCCGGTCTTTCGCTGCTGCATCAATTTTGCACGCATCGTCGCTACAAGAGCCTGACACAGCCGCGCTCTCCCAAACAAGATCCATTGAAACGCTGCGTAAACGCTAGTTAATCAATATGGAGGCCACCCACAGCGCCGAGGCCGCCGAAAAGAAGGGCCTGCCGTCAGGTTGGACCGCGTCGCGCACCAAGGCCGGCCGCTGGACCTACATCGCGCCGGACGGCGAGGAGTTCTCGAGCCTCGCGTCGGCCAAGACCGCGGCCGCCAGCCAGAAGCCGCCACGCGTCTCCGAGTCGCCGACGGCGCGCCCCGGCGCCGCGGGCATCGACCGGTCGACCGGCGCCCTGGCGCGCGCGGCCGACCCCGTGCAGCGCGCCAAGGCGGCAGCCGCGGCCGCGCAAGCTGAGGCCATCCTGCCCTCGACGGGCGACGACGGCCTGAGCCAGTACGAGCGCGAGCGCCTCGGCCGCATCGCGCGCAACGAGGCGTTCATGCAGTCGCTCGGGCTGGGCGGCGGATTAGCGGGCGGCACGCCGGGCGGCAAGCGCGCCGCGGCGTCGCAGCGCGGCGTGCCCCGCAAGAAGGTGAAGAAGGCTCCGGCCGGGCCCGCGCGCCGGTCGCCGAGATTGGAGGAGGAAAAGACGGGCAAGAAGGCCTCCGAGCCCCTCGCGGCGCTCTCCTACTCCACGGCCGAGGCCAAGCCCGAGCGCGAGCGCCTCACGGGCGACCACGCCTACCGCGTCGACGGCTTCGACTCCGCGCGCACGGCTCAGCCATTCTCGGCCAAGCAGGCCGAGTCGGCCGCCGCGCGCGTCAAAGCGCTCAAGGCTTCAAATGCAGACGCCGAGGCCATTGAAGAGGCCGAGGCCGACCAGAAGGCCTGCGACGCGGAGGCCGCCGAGGCCCTCGCGGCCGTGACGGCCGAGGACGCCGAGGAGCGGGCCGACGCGGCGCGCCTCGTGGCGCGCGTCGCCGGCGCGGCGAGCGGCACGCGCAAGGCGCTGAGCGAGGCGCGCTACGCCACGTCCCTGCAGCAGATGCGCATCCGCGACGTCGACATCGCCAAGGTGACGCAGGCCCGGACCTACGCGCTCGCCTGGCAGCCGCGTTCTGATAGGTTACTGATCGCGTCGGGCGACGTGAACGGCCAGCTCGGGCTCTGGGACGTCGACGAGGCGGACGCCGAGAAGTGCTGCTGGTCGCTCAGTCGGGCTCATAGCCGGCCCGTGACGGCGTTGTACTGGGACGGCGGTTCCGTGATTTCGGGCGGCTACGACTCGCTCGTGCGCAAGTGCGCGCTGGACCACGCGCCCCTGGTCTCGACGGTCGTCGCCGATTACTACGACGACGACGTCGACGACCTCACGCACTTCTGCCTCCAGGGCGACGTGGTGTGGGGCGCCCACAAGTGCGGCGGCGTGTCTCGATTTGATTCTAGGGCCGGGTCTCCCACCTCGAAGAAGCTCATTATCGACGCTCATGGGAGGAAAACGGCCCACATCGGCGTGCGGCCCGGCCACGAGTTCCACCTCACGACGTCGTCGAACGACGGCTCGGTCGTCGTCTGGGACGTGCGCAAGCTCAAGCCCAAGAAGCCGACGGAGGTCTGGGCCTACGAGCACGCCAAGTCCGTGCACGGCTTCTGCTGGTCGGCGGACGGCAAAACGCTGGCCTCGTGCTCCTACGACGACACGGTCGGCTTCCACGATGTGGATAAGGACACGACCGTGTCCGTGCGCCACGACAACCGCACGGGCCGCTACCTGACGCCCTTCAAGCCGACGATGGACCCGCACGCTCCCTTCCCGGCGGTCATCATGGGCTCCATGGGCCGGCCGCGCTGCGTCGACGTGCTCCGGGCCAAGGCGCCGAACACGCTCATCAAGTTGAACGACCGCGACAACGTCTTCCACGCGGTCACGTCGCTCCACGACGTCCACCCCTACGCGCACGTCATCGCCGGCGCGAACAACAGCGGCCGGCTCTCGATCTGGCGCGCCTGAGCCCCTGTCTACTAACCTGAACGTTGTATGAAAACATCACATTCTTATATGTAGTCCGTGGCGTCGGTCGGGTCCGAAGCGTCGCGGGGCGGAGGAGTCGTCGCGCGCTCGGGCGAGGCCTCGGGGCTACGGCGGCGCGGCGGCGTGTTCGGCCGCGAGCCCGCGTCCGAGAGCCGCGCGATGTGCTGCAGCAGCGGGTTCGGTGTGCCAACCGCGCCGGGCGGCGCGTAAGAACCGTCGTCGTCGACGCGGCCACCGCTCCGGTCGACCTTCACGGCGACGTTCAGAGGGAGCCCGTCCAACAAATCGTGGTAGCCGATGCGGTAGGCCAACGCGACGAGTTGGCTCACGAACGGCAGCGGCACGACCGCCGCCGCGAGGCCCCAGTCGCGCGACGACGTGAAGACGCCGATCAGGACGATCTGCGCGCCCGTCAGAGCCACGAGGAGCGACTGCAGCAACATCGGTAAAAATGCCCCTCCAAGCTGGCACGGCGGCGCGTAGACGTGGAGCAGCTGGTGCTTGTAGACGAGCCACGCCGCCGCGAAGTAAGCTAACGCGAACGGCGCGACGAGCGGCGTGACCACCGAAAACGTCAGCAGAATACAACAGACCACGACGACGTTCGGCAGGATCCAGCCGTACCGCGCCGGGTCGCACTCGTCGTGGTCGTCGAAGGGGTTGCCCCGCCTTCGCCTCAGTTCCTTGACGGCCGTCTTCGAGACGAGCGCCCAGGCCCGCGCGAGCTCCCAGGCCAGGCCGAAGCACGTCTTCACGACGAGCGCGCTCACGAAGTAGCCCGCCGAGTCCGCGACGCGCCCGGCAATCAACTCGACCGCCTCCCGCGGGTTCTGGCGCGCGACGTGCGTCAGGTCCTCCACACTGAGACTCACGATGCTCCCGTAGATCCACAAGAACTGGAAGACGACGTAGCGCCGAAAGACGGACGTCTCGACGGCGCGCCGGTCGAGGGGCCGCTCGTAGAAGATGGCCACGGCGTACGCCACCCAGGGCACGACCAGCAAGAAGACGAGGCCGCCGCCCGTCGCCAGGGCCCGCGTCGCGAAGGTCGTCGCGTCCTCCTTTGATTGTTTTTTGGTCACGAAGCCCGAAAGCGCCACTAACAACGGCGCCAGGTACTCGGCGCACCACCGCTGCACGCCCTCCTCCCGGAAGAACGCGGCGACGGCGCCCAGCAGCGTCAGGAACGCGACGCCGCAGAGCGGCACCGCGACGTAGTCGACGGCCCAGGTCCTTAACCTCCTCTGGCGGAGCGCCGTCGCCGCGTGCCTCCAAATAATGTCCCGGGGCCGCGGCGCCGGGGCCGCGACGACCGTGAACGCGCGCGCCGAGAGCTTCACGGACGCCGCGACGGTCGCCGCTCGAAGTGTCGAGAACGTGGCGAAGGCCGTCGACCGGCTCGGTCGGCCCCTTACTAAAAGATAGAGCTCCTCGCAGAGGAAGGGCAGGTGCGCGTCCACGCCGCCCCGGTCCTCATCGTCGGGGTCGCCGTCGAGGAGCCCCTCGCGCAGGCCCTCGCGCCGCCCCCGGAGCCGCTCCGTCAGCCGCGCGAAGAACGCGTCGCAGCGGCCCCGGCGCTCGTCCTCCGGGACGACGAGGCGCACCGCCGCGACCTCGCCGGGGAAGAGCGTCTCGAGGTGGGCCTTGAGCGCCGCCTCGTCGCGCAGCGCCGGCGGCAAATGTTGTAGGGATACAGTATACGACGCGGCGCGCGGCCAGTCCGGGTCGCCGCGCAGCAGCCAGCCCAGCCGCGCGTCGCGGTAGGCGCGGTACCGCGCGCGCACGGCGCGGTAGACCTCGAGCGCGACGACCCAGGCGCCCAGCACGGCCGCCCAGGCCGCCGTCCGCGCGCGCGCCCGGTCGGTCGCGTCCGTCGCGACGGCGCCGAGCGTGACGCGCGCGAATGCGGCGCGCTGGCGGGCAGCTGTATCCGCCGCCGCGAGGCCCGAATCTTCCAGTGGCCGCGCGGCCCAGTAGTAGATCGGCAATAACACACAGCAGCCGAGCGCGCAGCAGAACGCCGCGAGCCGCGCGCAGAGCGCCAGGAAGCTGCAGCACGCGTAGGCGTCGAGGCCGTGAAGTTCTATCAGCGCCATGTCCGGGCACGAGACCGAGCGCCGCGCCCAGTCGCAGGCGCCCCCGACGGGCCGCGCGTGGCGCTCGAGGCCCGTGGCCCTTTGTCCCAGCTTCGCGAGCCGCGTAGACGTAAGTTGGCGCCGCGACGCGTAGACGTAGGCGCGCTTTCGAAAGGCCTCGCGGAAGACCAGCAGCAGGACCATCGCTAACGCGTAGAGCTGGACGACGCCGAGAACGAAGCCCCACGAGTTTCGCTGAGCGTTCAGTCCTAATGTCGGCGCTCCCGTCGGCGCTCCCGTCGGCGCGGCCGTCGTTGGTACAGCTGTTGGGCCCGGCGTCGGCGCGGACGTCTTGCGAGTTGGTGCGGCCGTGCTTTTGAGCGTCGGCCGGAGCGTCGGCGGCGGCGTAGAGGCGGCGGCCGGCTGAGTGGTGGGGGCGGTTGTGGCGTTACTGGAGGCGGCGTCGCAGCACGAGGCCAGCAGCAGTGCTGCTGCGGCAGCAGCCCTCATTGGCGTATGAAACTGCACCAATGCACGTTATGCAAAGTTCAGGCCTGCATTCAGCCTAGTGTATCGACACACTAGCTCTTCGCTGGTACGGGGAACCCTGCGATGTAACTAGCCTCAGCCTCAGCCTCGCTTTTCGCGCACTAGTCCTTCTAAAAGGCGAAGACAAGTACGCAGACGAAATATTATGAAGAAGCACATGATTAGAACAAACAGAAGAAGACCTAGGAGTTCATGAAGTCGAACGCGGAGCTGGCCGGCGCCGGCGCCGCCGCCGACATGCCGGCGAACGGGTCGGCGCCGCCGGGCGGTGGCGGCAGGCCGCCCATGGAGGGCATCGGCGCATTCGTCGCGCCGCCCATGCCCGCGAAAGGATCTCCTGACGAGAGGCCCACCGACGCGAAGGGGTCCACGGATGCGCCGCCGCCGAACGCTGGCGCGGAGGCGCCGCCGGAGGCGAACGGGTCGTTGCCGGCGGCGAAGGGGTCCTCCGCGGCGAGCTGCGCCGTGAGCTTCGCGACGCCGCCGTTGCTGGACCCGGGCGGCCGCCAGACGGCGTCCTGCTGCTTCGGCGGGCCGCGCGCGGGCGGCCCGCGGCGGCGCGGCGCCGGCGCCGGCGGCTTGGGCAGCTTCGGGATCGGCACGGCCGGCGCCCGGGCGTGGCTGGCGCTCGTGAGCGCGAGCGGGTCGCCGGGCATGGCGCCAGCACCAAAGTTGTAGTCCGACGCGTGCGACGAGCCCGCGCCGCGGTAGACGTCCGCCGCCGGCGACGGCGCCCGGGGGACCGGGGCCGGCGCCGCGGCCGCCGGCGACGGCGTCGCCCGGAACGGGTCCGGCGCCGACATCCGCGGCTGGACAGATGAGGGGCTGTCGAGCTCGCCGCGGCGCGCCTGGATCGCCGAAGCGAGCATGGCCTCGACGCGGCCCGCGACCATGTCGAACTGCCTCGCGTTCAGGGCCTTCTCGTCGAGCAGCGGGATCAATGAAGGCAGCACGTCTCTCAAGATGCGCGACTGCTCCGGTAATCTTTTAGCGACGAGGTCGAAGCACCCGAGCACGCACATCGCTAAAGCAGGCTGGCCGTGCACTAATCTCACAGAATCGCGCAGCGCCGGCAGAACGACCCTCATCAGGACCTCGGGCGGCGTCGCCGGGGGGCGGTCCAAAGCCGCGGCGAGCGCCTTGTGCGCCGTCACGCGCGTCGCCAAAGCACAAGTCTTCGACGCGACGCACCTACAGACCGCCGGCACGAGATCTGTGGAGACACGACTAGAGACGCCGTTCCGGGCGGCGATCGACGCCTTCGCGATGACCGCGTCCAAGACATCGGACGAAGCCAGCTGTCTCAATGCAGCGTCTCTGAGCCGAGGCCCGGCGTCGTCGCGCAGCGCTCGCGCCAAAGCGTCGACGACGCGCTTCGCCGCCCACGACGCGTCGGCCCGATCCAACAGCAGCGTGGCGTGCTCGACGACGGCCAGGACGGCCTGGGGCCCCGCCGCGTCGACCAGGAACCGCTCCAAAATGGGCTGGATGCTCTTGCGGAACGCGCGCGCGTCGAGGCGCGCGGCACACGCGAGTAACGCCGGCGCCGCGGGCGCGCAGAGCTTGGGCTGCGCGCGGACGCACGCATCTAATGAAGGCAGGACCACGATCAGCAAAGTGCGGTCCGTGAAGCACTCCCGGTACTCGACGTCCGCGCCACTGTCGAGCATCGACGTCAGGTTGCCCAAAAACGCGGCAGCTAAAGAAGGGTCCCTCGATGGCAGCGCGTCGAGCTCCTTGAGGGCCGCCACGGCCGGCGCGTGGAAGAGGGGGCAGCCTCGTAATGCGGCCGCATCCAAGCGCGACTGCGGGTGCACGGCCAGAGAGCGCGACACCGCGTCGCGGACGAGCGACGGCAGTTGCGAGGGGTCCAGCTGTTGTAACCGAGAACACGCGCTGCGGTGGCCGTACAGATTGTCGCATCCTTGTAAAGCTTTGGAACCGGTAAAGACCTCCCACAAGACACACCCCAACGAGAAGACGTCGCACGCGGGCGCCGCGACGCGGTCGCCATTTTTGGTAAGTTCGGGCGACGTGTACTCGAGCCGGGGCTCGCCCGTCAGCTCTCCCCCAATAGCACCTTCATTAGCAAAGTAGGGGCTCGCGACGCCGTACTGGCCCGCCGGGATCGATAGCGCCAACCCAAACCCGCCCAACCGCCAGTCGCCCGTCTTCGTCAGCCAGATGCTCTCGGGACTCACGCCGAGGTGCGCTCTTTGGACCATGCCGCCCGCACCCTTCAAAGCCTGCAGCGCGTCCGCGAGCGACGCGGCGCCTCTTGCCACTTCAGCTGTCGTGAAGGCGCCGTCGCGCCAGTGGCTCGGAACCTTATCACTGGCAACGCCGGGCCACGTCTTGTGCAGGGCGTTGCCCAACGAGCACGCGACTCTTTCCCCAACAAAGACGATGGCCTGCCTCGACTCCAACGTCTCGATGAGCTGGAGGCAACCGGGTGGGGCTTTTCGGGACGCGGTCGCGACGGCCGTGCCGACCCCCAACGCCGCCGAGGCCATGGCGTCCCTCAAAGACGTGGGGCCCGCCGCGGCGGCCCTCACTTTTTCGAGCTGTCTCCTCTCGATGCCCGCGAGATTTGCTAAAGTGGCCACGTCGCGCCGCGCCGTCATCACCACCTTTTCGAAGAGGCTCTTCTGGTTTCGCAATTGCTTTTCGAGGGCCGCCTTCTCAAACACGAAGACCGAGACCTCGAGGCCGTCCTTCTTGCGCGTCGCCTGGTACGACTTCCACTGGTAGCCGTGGCCGCCGCTCCCGGTCGCGTCCTTGTCGACGTCGTAGCGCTTGCTGAGCTCGGAGCCCATTTTCTTTTTTTGCGCTTATGACTTTGTGGTTTCGCACCGCTGCGGCGCCCGCTGACTTCGATCGGCGTGGCTCAGGGGTTACGGCAGCTGGCTATTCCGTCGGCCAACCGCTGTCGCTGTGTGAGATCTGCGGCTACGCAGCGCTTTTATTCCTTTTGCTACGCCGACGCGCGCGACCTCTGGACCGCTTGGATTTTGGCCGCGAGATGGAATCGCTAGCGGCATGTAAGACACTAGCAAATTTGCAAACCACGAGCCACGAGCCACAAAACAGACCTTAGAACAACACCGCACGGCCACCGAGACAAGCGACGAGCGCGTCCGCGTCGACGACGAGCGATCGCCCGACCTCGCCGCACCCGAGCGCGATCGTCCGGCCCGCGAGGGATCGCGCGACGCGGACGTCTGCCGCGCGGTGCGCGCCTATGGGCCCGAGCGCTCCGCGGGGAAGGCCGAAGAGCCCCACGAGCTCGGCCGCGGGCGCCAGCGTTTCGTCCGGCGCGAGAGAGAGGCGTTCGCCCGCCGGCAAGACGGCCAGGCGCCGCTCGCCGTTATAGAGCAGCGCCAGCGTCTTGCAGCGGACGACGACCGAGAGGTCGATGTCGCCGTCGCTCAACACGCGGAAGTCACCACTAAACGACGCGGCGAGCGCGGCGACGTCGTCCGGCCCGAGCGCCGCCGGAAACGGGTACGTCGCGGCGACCTGCAGCAGGACGTGCGCGTCGAGGGCGGCGTACGCCCGCTGCGCTGGCGTGAGCGGCCGCCGGCCCCAGTCCGAGCGCTGCTCCGCCTTGTCGAGGCGCGTACCGAGGCGCGTCGCACACACGGCCGCGAGGCCCGCCTCGCTGCGCTTGAGGTCGCGGATGCGCCAGGTGGCCGGGTCCGGCGCGGCGGGCGCCGCGCGCCGCAGCCGAGTCGCGTCCGACGCGAAGCCGTAGGCCAGCACGGCACGCGCACCGGCGACGGCGGCGTAGACGATGGCCGCCGCGTCGCCGTCGAGCGCCGCCAGATCAACCAGGTAAACTGCTTGCGGCGTCGCGACCTGCAGGAGCGTCGCCGCGGCGGTCCCGGGCGGCCATTCCGCGTCGACCGCGACCACTGGCTCGCATTCTAGCGCCGCGGCCATCGCCGCGGCGCCCTGGGCGTCGGTGACGTCTTGGACAGCGATATCTGGAAGCGTGAGACACTCGCCGTCGGCCGCGGACCGCGGGCACCCGAGCACCAAAGCATGCTCCCGCGGCACGAGCGGCGTCGCGACGTCCTCGTCGGCCGCGTCGCCGAAGAGGCGCCTCCGGAGCCGCCGCGCCGCGCGCCGGTGGCCGAGGTCCTCCGCCGCGGCGACCAAGGCCGCCGCGGCCACGGCATCGACGGCCACGGCGTCGTCTTTGGCGTCTTCACCGACCAAGGGCGCCTCGCAGAGCCGCGCTGCGGCCTCCATCGCGTCGTTCTTCGCGAGCGCGACGCACGCGTCCGCGACGATCGTCGACGAGAGCGCCGGCGGCCGGCCGACGAGCGCCACGTAGCGCGCCGCGAGCTCGAGGCGCCGCGGCGAGTCCGCGAGGCGCCGCGGCGAGTCCGCGCCTAGAGCCTCCCGGACGACGTCCGCCGCGCACGGGAACTCGGCGCCGAAGCGCCTGGCCGCTTCGACGGCGAGCGCCAGGTCGGGTCCGTTTCGCCCTTCTACGAGCGCCCGCCGCAGCAGCGCGCCGGCCGGCGCCGCGGCACTCGGGTCGGGGTCTGCCGCGGCCAGGATCGCGGCGCCGATTTTCGCGCCGAGGGAGCGAGGCTTCACGACCGCGAGCGCGCCGAGCGCCTCGACGACGAGCGCCGCGCGGCCCTGGCTCGTGTCGCGCGACGCGGTCAAGACGGCGCGGGCGCGCTCGGCTAGAAGCGCCGAGCCGACGCGGCGCCCATTTCGCGCGTGTTCGTGGGGCCGGCCCTCCAGGCGCTTGACCAGCTGCGCGCCGGTCTCGACGGCGCCGTCGTCCACCAATAGAGCGTCGTCATCTAGGCAAACGGCCTCGGGCGCGTCGGACGCGTCCCGGAACGCGCCGCGCACGCGCAGGCCCGCGACGGACGGGTGCGCCGGCGACGGGAAGCCGCCGACCTCGACGACGCGGCCGTCCGCATCCAATGAAGGCGGCTTGCGCTTGTGCTTCTTCCACGTCGTCGCGCCCCGGAGCAGCGGCTCCGGGTCCCACTCGTCCGGCAGGAGAAAGCCCCGCGACGTCTCGTAGAGCGCGTCTTCATCAAACGGCCGGAGCGAGGCGACCATGATCGGCGTCGCCGGGCAGCGCTCCGCGAGGCGCGCGAGCTCCGCTGCCAGATGCGCGGCGGCCACGGCGCGCAGCGGCTCCGGCGCGCCGACGAGCTCGCAGGCCGGCAGGAGGTAGCCGTTTTCTGTTTTCGGCAGGCGGCACGGCGCCAACCAGTGGCTCTTGGGCAGGATGACGAAGTGCGTCGTGTCTGCCGGCACCGCGGCGCGAACACCGCATATGTCCCGCGCCACCCAGCCCTTCGCGTGGTCTCCACTGAGGACGCTCGACTCGGGCGCCGCGCGGTCGTAGAAGACGAAGCCCCGGAGCGCGCTGTGCGCGCGCAGGTCGAGGCAGCGGTCGTCCTGCTCGACCTTGGCGAGCGTGCGCGTCGCCCACTTCCTCACGTCGGCCTCGGCCGAGAGGCGCAGCTTGCGCGCCGACGTCGCGACGCGCGCGTCGAGGTTCTCGTGCAGGAAGGGGCCGACGTACCGCGCGGCGGCGCCGGCCGGCAGCGCCCCTTGCGGCGGCGCGACGTAGACGAAGAACTTGATGGAGAGCTCCCAGTGTAACAAACAGCGGCGGCCCGGCGCCGGCGCCGTGCCGGGCGGGTCGCAGCCGAGGGACGCGCGCACGGCTTCATCCGTGGGCGCGCAGCAGAAGACGTACTTCAGGCTCCCGACGACGCCGCGCTGGCCCCGCCGCAGCTGCTGGCCGCACCGCAGTTGCGTCGTGCGGAGCGCCGGGCACCGCTCGATCCAGAACTCGACGAGCGACTGCGCGTAGAAGCCCAGCCGCGTCGACCGCCGCGACGGCGCCGCGAGGTAGGCCTCGAGCTCGCTCGGGTCCTCGTCGAGCCGCGCGAGCCAGCCCTGCGACGCGCCTACGATCGAAGCGCCGACCGCGTCGTGTAATGGACGGGCCGCGCTCGTCGCGTCGGTTTCACGCAGCATGCCGGGCGACGCCATCATCCACCACAGATCGCGCACGAGCTTGTTGCGCGGGCCGGCGGTCGGGTCGATGTGTGCGAGCTGTCCATCGTGCACTGCAGACTGGCCATTGCTCTGCTCCGCAGTGATCATCGCTGCTCAAGACCTCTGCATTGCTGTGACATTTCTCGGTTATCTATGCCGGCACCTGCAACCACTCTGGTACCTCTCTCAGGTGAAGGAGGCGCCGGCGCAAAACGAGCTAGCGCACTGTAAGACACTAGAAAATGAGGGAGCATTACCCGCCTAGGCCTACTTCGGCGGCCCGCGGCCGTACATGCCACTGGCCGCGACGCCCGAGACCGTGCCTTGTTTCGCGGCCTCGGCGATCTGCTTCATGGCCGCGCGCGACGCCGGCGACGGCCCGCGCTGGTGCCGCGGCGGCCCGCGCCGCGGGTTGAAGGGCTCCGGCGACCGGCTCCGCGAGCGGTCGCGGCGGCGGCGCCGGCGGCGGTGGCGGTCGCGCGAGCCGTCCGAGTCGGAGTCGTCGCGGCGGCGGCGGCCCGTCCGCCGGCGGCGCTTGCGCTCCTGCGACGGGCTCCGCGACGGCTCCCGTTTTTTGGGAGACGGCGCCGGCGCGGGCTCCGGCGCCGCGACAACTTGGGGAGGCTCATCATCATCCAGCTTCTTGAGCGGCTTCGGCGCGGGCGCCTCCTGCACCGGCGCTTCGTCGGCGTTGCTGAAGGGGACCACGGCCGGCGCGCGGACGTCGAAGCGCGACGGCGCCGCCTCCTGGGAAGCGGGCGCCGGCGCCGGCTGTGTCGGTGCCGCCGCGGCCCGCTCGGCCTCCTTCTTGGCCTGGTCGGCCTGGTACTGGCGCAGCCAGCCGTCGTCGGCGGGCTTCGTGGCCGCGGGCGCGGCCTTCTGGGCCTGCTCGGCCGCCTCGACCTGCGTCGCCACGAGCTTCGCCGCCGCGACCTCCTGGGCCTGGCGCCGCGCGTCCTCCTCGGCGAGTAAGCGCGCCGTCTCGTCGCGCCTAAATGCCTCGGCCTCGCGCTCGGCCTGGGCCACGGCCTCCAGCTCGTCGGCGTCGACGGCCGCGTCCGCCGCCGTCGGTTCCGCCGGGGCCGCCTTCGCGACGGAAAAGGGCGGCCGGTCGGGCTCCGTCGCTTGCAAGTGCGTCGCGTGGCACCTTAGTAGAGTCACGATCTTCTGGGACCCTTCGCCCGCCTCCATCGCGACGCGCTCCGGCGTCAAACCGTCCACCGTCGTCGCGCGCTCGTCGGCGCCGTGAAACAAGAGCCACCGACATAATTTGAGCGAGCCGCCGAGCGCGGCGTGGTGGAGCGGCGTGCCGCCCTGTAGGTCCGGCTGGTTGAGGGCCTCCTTCCGCGACGTCTTTGCCTTCGTCGCGAGCCAGCGCGCGACGTCCAAGTGGCCGTTGAAGCACGCCGTGTGCAGCGGTAAAGCCCCCTGCGCGTCCGCCGTCGTCACGTCCAATCCCTGGTCCGCGCACCAGGCCGCGATATCCAGGTGGCCGCCCAAACACGCCATGTGCAACGGCGTGGCGCCCATGGCGTCGCGCGCGCGCGTCGCCAGCGCGCCGTGGCGCACGGCGTGCGCGAGCGCGTCCTCGTTGCCCTCGAGGCAGGCCTGGAGGAGGGCGTTGTCGACCTGGGAGATCTGGGCGAGGTCCATTGTCGGTTGCGTCCCGCGGCTGCTGCGATTCTAGCTCCCTAGGCGAGGCTTGGGCTGGCTTCGCTCTTCCAGGGCCCCGCGGTTTAGTGAAGCACGAGGCGCTGCGAGCGGAACGGCTTCGAGGAGTGATAGAACCGAAGCGGGGCAAGCTGCTGTAGCTGTTAGACCTCCGGGCGGCGGCGAGGGTGCCCGGCCGCTTTCTAGTGCCTTTACAGACGCTAGGAATCCGGCCGCGCAAAGTGCCGGGGCACCGCTCGCGTGCGTGACCGCGCGTGATCCCTTTTGACCACAGCAGTGCTGCCTCACCGCCCCGCACGGCACAGAGGAGAAATGGCCGACGCAGAGGCAGAGGTGGCCCTGGCCGCCATCGAGGACGGCGACGGCGTCGAGGGCGTGCAGCTGTACGTCTGCGGTTCTGGTGGAGAGCTCGAGTTATTAGCATTGGAAGGCACGGCGGGCGGCCGGCGCTGGCACCTGCAAGCACGGGCGGCGGATTTGGTGACGGCGCCGAACGACGCCCGCTACCCGGACCAAGCGTGCCGCATCGCGCGCGAGGCCGCCGACGGCTGTTCAAGGGGCGACCGCCTCACGGCATCTATTGAACACGGCGCCCTCAAGGTATCCATCAAACGCAAAATCGGCGGCACCGGCGTCACGGCTTCTCGATTGGCGCGCGTCCTCGCCGCGACTTTAGTTCCAGTCCGCGGCGACGCCGCGGCGGCGGCCGAGCAAAGGTGCCGCACGGCAAGCGGCAAAGCGCTGCGAGCCGCGGACGCCCGCATCAAGGCGCTCGAGCAGCGCACTGCTGAATTGGAAGCCGCGCAAAAAACGATGGAGGAGACTCTCGAGAAACACGTGGAAGCGGTCAAAGCCGCGGACCTGGCGCCGGACTTCGCGCGCATTTTGGCGACGCGCGCGCCGGCTTCTGCTCCGGCCCCGCCTCCGCCGCCGCACGACGGCGAGAGTTCGTCGGACGAGGACGACGACTCCGACGCCGAGTGCCCGGACACGCCCGAACGAGCGCCCTTGCCGCCCCCCTCAAAGCCGGGCTTCGTGCCGGGGACGAAGACGCAGGTCGTGGCCTTCGACCTCGATCAATTGGACGACATCTGCGGCCCCGTCAAAAGTGAGCCGCGTATTAAAAGGGAGGTCAAGAAGGAAGTCAAAAAGGAGGTGAAGCGGGAGAAGAAGCGCAAGTCCGACATCCTCTCGGACAGCGACTCGCAGCGCGACGCGCCGCCGCCGCCCGCTCGCCGCAAGGTCAAGCCCGAGCCTCCGCAAAAGAAGAAGAAGCGGGACATCCTCTCGGACTCTGATTCTGATGAGTTCGACTAGAGATCTAAGTTGTTAGTTGTGACGGACGTCGGCCGCCCGGACTTCGTTGGAAGACTCCTCGTCGGCCCAGGCTATCTCGTACCCGCCCTCGACAATCTCGTCGACGACGCCGGCGAACCACCGCCTGCCCCAGCGCGCCTGGACGCGGTCGCCGACTTTGAAGGGCGTCGCTGGGCGGCCCCACGTGCGAGCGCCGCCCTTGGGCACGCACGGGTCGAGGCGCGGCGGCGTCGTGACCTTGCGCTTGCGCGGCAACGATGGGGTCTCGGAGGCCTTGCGCAGCGCCGCCTTATCGCTCGCGACGGCCGCGGTGTACGCCTCGGCGAGCGCGTCGGCGACGTCGGCGCGGATCTGGGGCGGGGCGTCTCGCACGACCTGCGTTTCACGAACCGGTGTCTTATTGAGGACCTCACTTGTTTCCACACCGCACGCGACGGCGTTGAACGCGACCGGGTCGTTGATGTCCCCGAGCACGACGGCCGCGCCGCCACCGGCCACCCAGGCCCGGAAGCGTTTACCCCGCATCCCGGCCCGCGTCAGCGCCTCGTGCGCGGCCTGAGACAACGGGTCCCGCGGGACGCCGAGGAGCGTCGCGGCGTCGCAGAGTGCCCCCCAGTCCCGGCGGTAGCTCGTTATACCGAGCGGGACGACACGGCTGGCCTTCTCGACGATTCGGTCTTGCATCGACATTGGCCTGCGCGCGCGCATTTAATTGTTCTCTGGTGTGGAGGTAGCCAATGGGGCTTTTGGTGCGGCCACGCGGCGACGCTCGCGCGGACAGCGCATGGGGGGTAAAAAGGCTGCCTCCGCGCAGGAATTGCGCCGCCTGCAGAACGCACGAAGGCCGCGCGGCGCCACCCTCCTGTGACCCAAAACCCCACAAGCTTTTGACCCAGGCCGGCATGGTCTATACAGCCCGAGGGCGAGCCAGGCGTCGCACGCAGCACATCCATGAACATCCCGGAGCTCCTCTAGCAGCATCTTGCCCGTTCTAAACCTAGAGCTCTTATCTAGAGCTAAACTTGAGGATACACACACGAGCTCTCCGGTTTAAAGGGCGTGAAACTCAGTGCCATTCGTGCGCTGGTCTCGTCGCGCTGCTCGGCGGAGCTAGGGACGTGTTGACACGCGAAGCGCTGGTCGGCTGAGCCGCCAGCAAGGAAGATAGGAGCCATGGTGAGGCTGCTCCAAGTAGCAGCGCTCGCCGCCGCGGCGCACTCGTTCGTGCCGCTGCAGCGCCTCGCGAGGCCCGTGCACACCAGCAAGCCCTGGGCCCTGTGGGCGAGCGACGGCGACGGCGAAGAGCCGGCGGTCGTCGCGCCGGAGGCCGAGGACTCGGGCCCGGAGCCCGGGGAGGAGGGCTACGAGGCGCCCAAGATCGCGGTCGCGCCCGCGCCCGCGCCCGCGCCGAAGAAGCCGGCGGAGCCCGAGGCCCCGGACTTCTTCGGCATGTTCGGCAAGGTCGTCGCCGGCGCGGCCGAGGCCGCGGGCGGCCTGGCGGACGAGCTGCTCAAGGAGGCGCCCGCTCCGGCGCCGGCGCCCCGGCCCGCGCCCAAGCCCGCGCCCAAGCCCGCGCCCAAGCCCGCGCCCAAGCCCGCGCCCAAGCCCGCGGAGCCCGTCGCCGAGAAGGATCCCGTCAAAGAGGCGGTGCTCGAGGAGGCGCTGGCGCCGAAGGAGGAGCAGGCCCCCGCGCCCGCGCCGAAGCCGGCGCCCGCGCCCGCGCCGGTCGCCGAGGCGCCCGCGCCCGCGCCCGCCGAGAGGCCCGTGACGCCCAAGGGCGAGGGCGCCGCGCCGCGGGGCCGCGCCGAGGACGCGCCGGCGGCCACTGACCAAGGGAATTACATAGAAGCCCAAAAGGCCGCTCTGAAAAAACAGCAGGAGGCCAAGGCAGAAGAAGAAGCGAAAGCTGCCAAGGCCGCCGAGGCCGCGGCGGCCAAGGCCGCCAAGGCCGAGGCCCAGGCCCTCATCGAGCGCGAGCTCGCGGCGGCCGCGCGCGAGAACGAGGCTCAGGAGGCCGCGCGGCAGCGCGCCGCGGCGGCGCGCGCGCAGGAGGCCAAGTTCGCCCAGCAACGGGCCGAGGCCCAGAAGGCGGCCGAGGCGCGCAAGGCCGAGGCGGAGCGCGCGCGGCAGGCGCAGCGCGAGGAGGCGGAGCGCGCGAATAGGGAACGCGCGCAGCAGCAGCAGGCCGCCGCCGAGCGGGCCGCCGCCGAGCGCGCGGCGGCCGAGGAGGCCGCGGCGCAGGAGCGCGCCGCGCGCCAGGTCCAGAAGGGCAAGGCGGCGGAGCAGAGCCCCGCCGCCGTTACGAAGAAGGCCGCGCCGGTGGAGTTCAAGCTGCCCTCGTTCCTATCTGGTTTAGCGGCGGCGCCCAAGGCCCCGACGCCCGCTCCTGCGCCGGTCGCCGAGAAGCCGGCGCCGGCGCCGAAGCCCGCGCCGAAGCCCGCGCCGAAGCCCGTCGAGCTGCCCAAGTTCGAACTGCCAAAGTTCGAGCTGCCCAAGCCCCAGCCGCCCTCGAAGCAGGAGCTCGCGCAGCAGGCGCAGCGCAAGCGCGAGCGCGAGGCGAAGGTGGCGCGCGAGCGCGCCGAGCGCGAGGCCGAGAAGGCGGCGGCCCAGGCGCGCCTCGACGCGCAGAAGGAGGCCGCCGCGACGGCGGCGGCCGCCGCGGCGAGGGCCCGGAGGGAGGCCGAGGAGCAGAAGGCGCGCGCCGAGGCCGCGCGCGCCAAGGCCGAGGCGGCGCCGCCGCGGCCCGACCTCCCGCGCGCGCCGTCCGTGCCGGCGCCGGTCACGAAGGCGCCGAAGGCCCCGGCCTTCAGCTTCCCCAAGTTCGAGCTGCCGAAGGCGGCGCCGGCGCCCGCCCCGGCGCCCGCGCCGGCCCCGGCGCCCGCGCCGGCGCCGCGGCCCGCGTTCTCGCTCTTCGGCGGTGCCAAGCCCGCCGCGCCCAAGCCCAAGGCGGCGCCCAAGGCGGACGACGCCGCGGCGGCCCGCGCGGCCGCGCAGCGCCAGGCCGAGCAGGCCAAGGCGGCGCAGGCGCAGCAGGCCGCCGCCGCGCGCGCCGCCGCCGCCGAACAGGCCGCGGCCGCGCGCGAGGCGGCCGCGAAGAAGGCGGCGGCCGACCGCGAGGCGGCCGCGCAGCGCGCCGCGGCGGAACGCGCCGCGAAGGACAAGCAGGCCGCCGCCGCGGCCGCGCCGCCGGCGCCCGCGGCGCCCGCGGCGCCCAAGGCCCCCGCGTTCTCGTTCTTCGGCAGCGCCCCGCGGCCGACGCCGCGGCCGGCTGCCCCGCCGGCGCCCGCGGCGCCGAAGGCGCCGCCCGCGCCGAGGCGCTCGGTGGCCACGGTCGGCCGCTACGCGTCCATCGACGCGGCGCCGTCGCGGCCCGCGGGCGCGCCGACGCCGGCGCCGCGGACCTTCAGCGCGCCGCCGGCGGGCGCGTCGGCGGAGCAGATCGGCCGCGCGCCGCCGCCGCCGCGCGCCGCCCCGGCGAAGGGCCGCGCGATGACGAGCGACATCCCGCGCCAGGAGTTCAAGTCCACGCGCGGCGGCTCCTTCCAGAGCGCGTTCGCCCGGGTCCAGGCGTCCGCCGGCCAGCGGCAGCCGCTCCAGCGGCGCGCGCCACCGCCGCCGCCGCGGCCCGCGGCCCGGGCCCCGCCGCCGCGCCCGGCGCCGCGGCCGACGCCCCGGCCCGCTCCCGTGGCGCGGAAGCCGCCGCCGCCCAAGGCCGCGCCCGCGCCGGCGCCGAGGCCCGCGTTCTCTCTCTTCGGCGGCGCGCCGCGCCCGGCGCCCCAGCCGGCGCCGGCGCCCGCCCCGAAGCCGGCCTTCTCGTTCTTCGGCGCGCCGAAGCCGACGCCGGCGAAGACGGCCGACCCGGCCGCCGCCCAGAAGGCCAAGGCCGCCGCCGACCGCGCGCGCGCCGCCGAGGCGGCCAAGGCCAAGGCCGCGGCCGAGGCGAAGGCCCGCGCCGCCGCGGAGGCCGCGAAGGCCAAGGCGGCCCAGGAGGCGAAGGCCCGGGCCGCGCAGGAGGCCGAGAAGGCCCGCGCCGCCCAGGAGGCCAAGGCGCGCGCCGCCGCCGACGCGGCCAAGGCCAAAGCCGCCCAGGCGGCGAAGGCGCGGGCCGCCGCCGCCGCGCGCGCGCCCGCGCCGGCGCCCGTCAAGAAGCCGGCCTTCTCCTTTGGTGCTCCTAAGAAGGCGGCGCCCGCGCCCGCGCCCGCCCCGGCGCCCAAGCCGGCGTTCAGCTTCTTTGGTGGTGCGAAGCCGGCCCCGAAGCCGACGCCCGCGCCCGCGCCGAAGCCGGCGCCGAAGCCGTTCAGCTTCTTCGGCGGCGCGAAGCCCGCCGCGAAGGCGCCGCCGCCGCCGAAGCCGGCCGCCCGCGCGCCGCCGCCGAAGCCCGCCCCCAAGCCCCGGGCGCCCCCGCCGAAGCCGGCGCCGAAGCCGGCGCCGAAGCCGGCGCCGAAGCCCGTGGCGAAGCCGCCGCCGCCGAAGCCGGTCTTCCAGCAGAAGGCGGTCCAGAAGGAGTTCAAGAGCGCCAAGTACTCGAACGCCGCCGACGCCGCGCGCGCGATCCGCGAGCGGCGCCGCTAGGGACTGGGGCACCTCCGCGTAACGCAGTCACTAGGTATTTTTAGAGATCTAACGGCACGAAGTCCGAGTCGTCCTCCAGGTCCGCGAGGACGCGATCCAACGCGGCGAGGAACGCCTCGACCTCCGCCTCGGTGTTGTAGAGCGCGAGCGACGCGCGCACCGTGCCGCCGTCGGCGCCCAGCCGTTTATGCAAAGGCTGCGTGCAGTGGTGGCCCGCGCGCACCGCGACGCCCTCCTGGTCGAGGAAGAAGGCTAAATCTGAAGAATGCACGCCGTCGCACGTGAACGCGCACAGCGCCGCTCCTCGTTCCGAGGGCGGCGGCCCCACGATGCGGATGCGGTCGCCGAAGCCTATCAAACCTTCATAGAGCTTCGCGCCCAGCTGCTGTTCGTACGCGGCGATACGGTCCATGCCGACCTCCGTCAAAAATTCGCAGGCCGCGCCCAGCCCGACGGCCTCGGCGATGGGCGGCGTCCCCGCCTCGAAGCGCGCCGGCGGCGCCGCGTACGTCGTGACGCCGTCGTCCAAAAACACGTCGCCGATCATTTCCCCGCCGCCCTGCCACGGCCGCATCTCCTCGAGGCGCTTCGACAAACCCCACAAGACGCCGATGCCCGTCGGCCCGCACATCTTGTGGCCGCTGAACGCGACGAAGTCGACCCCCAAAGCTTGCACGTCGAGTGGCTTGTGCGGAGCGCTCTGGCACGCGTCGAGCAGAATAATGGCCTCGGGGGCCACTTTTCTCACTTTTTCTACTACTTGTTGTACAGGTGCGACACATCCCAAAACGTTGGACACGTGGCACAGCGCGACGACTTTTGTGGAAGGTGTTATGAGCTCGAGGAGTTTATCCGTATCGAGCTGTTCTTGCTTGTCATTTAACGGCGCGTATTTAATCGTGCAGCCCGTCCTTTTTGATAATAACTGCCAAGGAACCAAATTGGAGTGGTGCTCTAGCGCGCTCAGCACAATTTCGTCGCCACTGGACACATAGGCGTCGCCCCACGCGTGCGCGACCAAATTGATCGCTTCGGTAGCGCCGCGCGTCCACACGACTTCGTTTCTCGAAAACGCATTGATGAACTTGGCCACGATGTCGCGCGCGCCCTCGTACGCGTCGGTCGCCCTTTGTGCGAGGTCGTGCGCGCCGCGGTGGACGTTCGCGTTGTCCTCCTCGTAGTATTTGGTTGTGGCGTCGAGGACGCTCTGCGGCTTCTGGGACGTGGCGCCGCTGTCGAAGTAGACGAGGTCGTGGCCGCGGCTCTTTTGTTTGAGCGCGGGGAACTCTTGTCGTAATACGTCGGCGTCGACGGCGTGTAGTGCTGTGGCTTTGGGTTGCCTTGTTGGTGGTATATAGGCTGCGCACGCCGTCGTTGTCGTTACGAGGAGGAGTGCGCGCATCGTTCAGGCCGTGCGGTGCCCAGCGCTGAGGTGAGGTGGCTCCAAAATGCTCAGCTCAGTCCACACCGCGGGCGTCGACAGCGTTGCAATCGCTGTCACTATCACGTATGCAGTTGTACGCGTGCGCACGCGACCCCACACTCAGCTATGCAGCACTTTCAGCGTCCTTTGCAGTACGTGCTAGCGCACTGTAAGACACTAGCAAGCAAATGCCGCGAAGACCTCCAAGCATCCATAGACCGGCACCATGTCGCCTGAAGCATCGTATGCGAGCGGCGAGAGGCGCCCTCTGATGAAATACGCGCCCTCCAAATGGCAGAATGATCTGCAAAACCCGAGGGTTATAGATCTGAGATCGAGCGCACACGCTGCCCATCTGCCACAAGATGAGGCGACTCTTGCTGCCCCTGCTCCTCGCCAGCACAACGGCGGCGAAGAGCACCTACTGGAAAGAAGTGGAAGCCAAGAAGCGGCGGCCGGCCGCCGCGGCCTATTGTCCCAAAAGGTGCTTCACGACGGAAGCGAGCGGCGACGAGAAGAGGGAAGTAGCCGACTTGACATGCTGCTCGTCGGCGCAGGGGACGATTTTCGAGCTGGCCGCGTTCGTCGCGGCGACGACGGAGACGGCGGTGCGAGGCTTCTCCCTGGGTTTCGGCTACGTCCTCGTCAAGGCGACGCTGCGGGCGGCCGACAGTGACGAGGGCCCGCGGAGCGGCCACGACTTCGGGCCGGCGTACCGCTTCGCGCGCATGGCGGGCCTCGGCGTCGCCTGCTCGTTCGTCGGCCTTTCCATGTTCGTGCCGGTGGGCCTGAGGCTGGGCCACCGGCTGGCCTAGGACGCGTCTTTCGTCTTTCCTCCCCTTCCTCACGTCTTACTAAGTTTGTTGAATTCTAGTCGTCTTGCTTCTTAGGTCTTCTTGGGTCTTCGTGGGGGGGCCTACGACGCGGCCGCGGCGGCCGCGGCCCGCTTGGCCTCCTTGGCGGCCTTCTTGCGCGCGCGGCGCTCCTTCTCCGCGCGGATGCGGCGGTTGCGCTCGCGCTTCGCCTCCTTGGCGCGGCGGCGCGCCTCGGCCTCGACGTCGGCTTGCGAGGGCGCCGCTTGGGCCGCGGCGGCCGCGACGCGCCGGCGGAAGTCCGCGAGCGCCGCGCCGGCCGCGGGCGCCGGCGCCGGGTCGCCGGGCAGGTCGAGGGCCACGTCGCGTAATCCCGACACGGCGCGGAGCTTAGGCCGCGACGACGCTCGAAGACGCGGAACGGATTGCGCGGCGCGTGTTTGGCGGCGCGCACCCGACCACAGCGGGGATTGAGAAAGCCCTGCGAGGCGCGCGAGCCGCGCTCCGCGCCCGCGAAGCGCCGCCGCCACCGCCGCCGACGCCGCCCCTTTACGGCGAGGACGAGCTTGATTAAGTAAAGCTTAGACAATCACCAACATATCTCACAACAACGTATCTTATTAGGACGGGTGATCCGCGGCGGCCTCCGCATCGAGCCGCGCGGCCTCGGCCTCGAGCTCCGCGACGCGCCGCTCCGCCTCGAGCGCGCGGATGCGCGCGTCGGCCTGGCCCGCCGCCGCCGCCGAGAGCGCGCCGAGGAGCCTCTGCATGTCGGCCTCCATGGTCACGGCCATGGTCCGCAGATCGTCCTTCAAACCCACCATACACGCCCGGCAGTCCGCGAGCTCGCCGCGCTTCGCCGCGAGCTCGTCGAGGAGCTGCCCCCGGCCTTTGCTCCGGTAGACTTTTAGGACGTGGTCGCCCTCCTCCTTCGCTTCGACTTCTTCCATTGCATCGGCCATCGACTCCCAGAACGCGGCGACGCCCCGCCGGCCACTCTTGCAGCAGACGTAGACAGAGGCGCCCGGCTTCGCTATATGCAAAATTGCTTTCTGCAGTAACGGCGCGGCTCCTTCGGAATACACACAGTCCGCGCATAAGACGACGTCCGCTTCTCTCCTTAAACCCTCAAGCTCGTCCCAATCGAACACACGCGTCTCCACACCTGCATCATTCAACGACGCCGTCCGCGCCGCGCGCCTCAATACAGCTTGAGACGCGTCCGTCGCGACGACGCGCGCCGCGCCGCGCCTCGCCGCGACGACGGCGGGCACGGCGCACCCGCACCCGAGCTCCACAACCGTCGCGCCCGCGAAGCGCTCTCCGCCAATGCGCTCCGCGAGGACCCGCGCGGCGCCCCACACCACGTTACCCGACTGGTCGGCCCCGCTCGCGCCGAAGGCGTGCGTCGCCTCCTGCGTGACTATGTCGAGGTCTCCGAACGTGACCGTCGTGACCGTCGCCCGGTCCTCGGCGTCCGGGTCCTCGCTGCCCGTGCTGGCCGTGTCGTCGTCCTCGCGCATCAATGCGCGCAGCTCACTCATCGTGCTCGTAACCAGTCTCAGGGCTGCAGGTGCTTGGACCACTTATTGAGCCGCGATGCGTCGTCGCTTCGCTTGGATTGTTATGTAGAGCTATAATTAGAGCGTAAACGCGTGCGTGCCGTAGCAATGCGTCCTTATGGCGCTTGGACGCAGCTAGCGGCAGTAAGACACTAGACAGGCGCGGGCATCAAATGACGCAGTGCGTAAAGCACAGCAGTGGCAAAGCATAAGTGCTCGTTGTGCTGACGTTCCGCACTGGTAGCCTGCCCTGCGTCGTCTCGAAACGGTCGCGAAACACACAAAACACTCCAGATCAAAAGATCCCAGATGGCTGGCACACGCGACGCACGCGAAGCACGCGACGAGCTGCCCGACTTCCTGAGCGCCGCCTCGGAGAACGAGCTGAGCGATTCCAATATTTGCATAAGATGCAAGACGCCCGCTAAAAAACGCCACGCGCGCGAGCTCTGGCGACGCGCCGCGCGCATGGCGCGCGAGCAGCTCTTCGCTACTGATCCTCTCCAACATGTTGAGTTAGGAGAACCGGAGCACGTCGTGCGACGGCGATGGATCAATGATAGATGGGTCGAAGATATCGCGGAAATAAGGATGTCCAAGACCCCCTTCGCCGAAGGTAGTTTGAGAATATGCTACCACGCCAAGAAGATGTCGTCGCGGTGCACGTTACGCCACCGCCAGCAGAACTCGAAGCACGCGCAGTGGGCCTACCAGCGCAATTACGTTCTCAAAGTGTATAAGTCGACTTCCGTGAGGGGCGGCGGCCAGAGATTGAGGGATATGCTCGAAGGCGACGTCAAGGTCCAGGGCGAGGCCAAGGCTTTGGCGGACCAGTACAACAAGGAGTTACGAGCTTTGCTGAAAGCGGGCCGGTTTGATCGCCGATCTCCGCAACCGATGAAGTTCAAGTGCGTCGACATGCTGGAAGCATCTTTGGTAACCTTCATACATAGACCAAATAAACCGACCTACTTCATGGAGTCCTATATTGAAGGACATTTCAGCAAGTACAACGGTAACGCGGGCTATGTCGATCGGGCGTCGCCGCGACTAAGAGCCACCCCACAAGCCTTCTCGCACTTCACGTTCTGTCGAACGGGTGGAGAAAAGATCGTCGTCGACGTGCAGGGCGTCGGCGATCTCCTGACGGACCCGCAGCTCCACACGCGGGAAGGGAATTCGGGCCCCGGCGACGGCGGCCCTCGCGGTTTTGGATTGTTCTTCGCGACGCACAAATGCAACCGCATCTGCCGACGGATGGGTCTCCGAACCTTTCGGACGAACGAGGAGAGCCTCATGAGCGGCTCGGACACGGAACTGGAAGATGAGAGGGAGGACGAGGTGGGGTACGACGACGTGTTGCGACGATTAGCACGGACGTTGGACGACGTGGAGAAGCTGGACGTCGGTCTGAAAACAGCTGACGATCTTGGTAGTGTCCTGCCGGACGTTGTGGTGGACGCGTTGCCCTTAGAACCGATTCTTGATGCGTCAAAGGACTCGGCCGCAGTACTCTTAAGGGAGCCGCACCGCGAGCTGGGCAAGATGCTCTTGGACGATGATGATGGATTGACGCGCGCGCGGCCCGAGGCGGCGCTGTACCACCTCGCGGCCGCGGCTCTGGGCGGCGACGGGGAGGCTCTGGAGTTCCTGCGGGCCGTGCGCGCGGCGCGGGACGAGCGGCGCCGGTGGAGCGAGGCGCACGCGCGCGCGGCGGCGCTGCGCTCCGTGGCCGCGGTGGCCATTTTGGCCGCCGCTTTATATAATGCCGGCTCGCTACTGGCGCGGCGGCGGCGGCGGTGAGGTTTTGTCTGCTTAATGTTTGTGTGTCTCTACTACTCCTCCTTGCGTGCGGGGACAGCGCCGTGTGCAGCGCCGTGCGTCTCACGCTCCCACCGCGCCCGCTCGGGCTCTGTAGCGCCGTCGACGCGACCGACAGTCGCAAGCACTCCTCCAGAAATGCGTTCGGGCAGCCAGATGGCCTCCGAAGCGAAGGCGCCGCCCCCATCCCACGTTGCCCAGGACAGACCGGCAGCCAAGGCCCCGCCGCCGGCCCACGTCGCCCAGGACGGGACGCCGAAGCCGCCGAGGAAACCGCACGCCGACACCCCAGCCGCCGGTGCCGTCGCGAAGGCGGCGGCGGAAGCGCTCATGGCGGCGCCGGACGGGACGCCGACGCCGCGGCCGCCGGGGAGCGGCTCGCCACGGGCCACCGCTGCGATGGTCGCGGCGGCGCGGGGAATTCGGACGAAGGAGCGCGACGAGCACGCTGGCGACGCGCTCCGAGCGGCGGCAGCAGAGGTCGAGGCGGCTACGGGGGAAGCGGCCGCGCCGGGACTGCGCGCGTCGGCCGAGGAGGTCGCCGACGCGGCGCGTGGGCAAGCAGAAACCGCCATGAAGGAAGTCGCAGTGGCGCAGCAGGCCGAGGCGAAGTCCGTTCTGAAGCGCGCCGCCGCGGAGGCCGACGCGCCCGCCGAGAAGGCGGTGGCCGTCCTCGAGGCGAAGGCGAAGGCCGTCGAGCCAGCGAGGCCGCGGGCTGCCGCGCGCGCGAAGCCGCCGCCCCGAATCGATGACGACGACGACGACGTCGCTCCATCACGACGGAGGCGCTGCGACTGGAAGGGAATGGACATCAAATTCGACCTGCTCCTAGATCAACTCGAGGACGCGTGCCAGATTTCCAAGCATGCCCTCGCCATTTTACCGACGGAGGAGGAGAAGAGGGAAATCGATGCGGAGTTAGTGAGGAGGTCGTACGACGAGATGCTCGATAGAGTACGATTGGCGCACGACCGCGCGACCGACATATTGAAGGAGGCCGGGCCGCCGAAACCGAAGCCTCCTCGACCACCGCCACCCCCACCATACGTCCCCGGCGCCCCGTTCGTCCCGTTCTGCGGCGAGGGGAACGTGTTGGGGGGAGAGTGGTAACATTGTGTTAAAAATCAAAACTAGGTCGGCGGCGGCGGCGGCGCAGCCGCACGAGCCGCCCGCTCGGCGCGCGCCGCGGCGAGCGCGGCCTCGAACCGCTTCGAGTAGACCTTCGTGAAGCCCACACACTCCGAAGAGGAGCGCGGGACGCCGTCCGTGACCGGGCACTTGCCCTTTAAAATCTCTTTCTTGGTGAGGCCCCACATGCCCATGGAGGGTTCCGGGTTGAACTCCAAAAGGACCAGTTGGTTATCTGGCGTGACCATCGCGTCGACGCCGAACAGCTCCCAGGCGTTCGGCAGCGCGAAGAAGTGGCGCTTCTCGCCGGTTGTTGACGGTGGCGGCGGCGCTCCATTCACACCGCGTCGCAACGCGTCTGCTTTAGCCAATCTTTTAGCGACGCCGGCGATCAGCGTTCTAGCTTGCTTGAGTAATGCGGCACCGTCAAGCTCACCACAAACCCGGAGGGACTGGTTGTGCTTGGCCGCGTCGTAGGCCGCGTGGTCCACGTTGAAGCTTCTGTTGGTAATGCGCGCATGGTCGTTGTCATCGCTCATCGGTACCGGCGAGACCAACACTCGAGCATCATCAAAAACAAAACACTCGAGGTCGCCCACGACCAACGCTAATAATCGCAGGTGGAACTTGTTCCCTTGCATCAGAGGCAGCGAGGGAATGGCCCGCTGCGCGACCCAGAGCGACCGCTCGTCGCCGGCTCTCGCCTCGTTATACGTCTTTTCGAGATCATCGTCCGCACAGAACCGAATGCCGAAAGCATTAGAAGAGTCCGCCGGCTTCAGGCACCAGCCCTCCTCGTAGAAGACGCCGTCCTCGTTCAGCGGCCCCTCGCGCCGCTCCGCCCGTCGGCAATCCGCCTCGCCGGCTATCGTCCAAGTGAGCGGCATGCGCGGCGCGTACCTCGGCAGCAGATCTTTCCTAATCAGCGCGCTCCGCAGGAACAACCTGTCCGCAACAATCTCCTGCGCGAAGACCCGCGGCCAGGGGACGCCCTTCCAGGCGCTGCTCACGTCGCGGGCGTTGATCATGGCTGCTCTTGGAAGCGGTGATGAGTGGCGCGCGGCAGGCACCAGTACCAGTCTTCGTGGAGCTGTGACGAAAGGCGCGGCAGGCACCAGTACCAAAAAATTGAACGTTTCCCAGCCACTAAGCTGTGTTTGAGCGGTTTGCGACCGTTTTTGGCAGCTTGCCCGAATGCTAGTGTCTTACTGCCGCTAGCAAGTCGACGCTGGATTTTGCAAGGTGATACGCCCCACGACCTTCCAATTTGTTTTCTGAGACACCTCAGCTTCCGAACGTATCGCCCCAAGCGCTCGGAGAAGTGCAACTTTTAACGCTAGCTGTAGCCAGCACTCACCAGCCAGGCCTCTGGGAGAGGCTGCCAAAACCGCGCGTCGGAGCGAGAGATGAAGCGCGGCACGCGCCTGCTCGTGGGGCTCCTCGGCCTCATCACGGCCCTGCAGCTGTTCCACTCCTACGTCACCTTTACGCGGCACGCGGCGGAGACCGCGGACGCGCACCCGGCCGAGCTGCGCCCCAAGCCGCCGGGCTGGCGCGAACGCTTGCCCAGTGAGAATGCGCCGCCGCTCGAACGTGAAGAACAACCAGTCAGGGACGCTCGAGGAACAAAACCGCACATCGTCTACCTGCTCGCGGACGACCTGGGCTGGCACGGCGTCGGCTGGCGGAACCCGGAAGTGCAGACCCCGAATTTGGATAGACTCGCGACGAGGGAAGGCTTGCGACTCAGCCAGCACTATACCTATAGGACGTGCTCGCCGAGCCGCTCGGCCTTGCTCAGTGGGCGACTCGCGCATCACGTCAATCAAGCGAATCCGAATCACCGCCACCCGGGCGGCACGATCGCGGCGTCCCGCGATTCACGCCATCGACGCGCGTCGTCTCCAGGAATGATGGAATGAGGTTCCGCGCAGGCGGCGTCGACCTGGGCATGACGCTATTACCGCAAGCGCTGAAGGAGCGGGGCTATGCTACACACATGCTCGGCAAGTGGCACTTAGGCTTGGGGACCTCGGACCTGGTCCCGACGAAGCGCGGCTTCGACACCTGGCTGGGGTTCTTCGCGGGCGCAGAGGACCACTGGAATCATAGAAGGACGGAATTACGGCGGAGTCTTATCGATTTGTGGTTCGACGACGGTCGGGGCGGCGGGCCCGCTACACAATTCGCGCGGAAGGATCAGTACGGCGACGAGCTCTTCACGGCGCGCTTCGAGAAATTAATCAAGGAGCACCCTCCCCAGAAACCGTTGTTCGTGTACTACGCGTACCAGGTGCCCCACGAGCCGCTGCAGTCGCCGCGCAAGTTCCTGGCGAAGTACACTGAATTCCGAGATATCAAGGGAGATAATGATTGGCACTACGTGGAACGGAACGGTCTAGGATTGTCCAGGCAAGAAGCTCCGAAAAGGCGGGCGCAATACCACGCCATGGTGTCGTACCTCGACCATTCTGTTGGTAGGGTCGAGCGCGCCCTGAAAAGTAGACAAATGTGGGATTCCTCCCTGATAGTGTTCGCGACGGACAACGGCGGCGCGACGGGCCACGACGCCGACGTCGGGAACAACTGGCCGTTGAGGGGCGCCAAGTACGCAGATTACGAGGGCGGCGTGCGCGGCGTCTGCTTCGTGACGGGTGGTGTTTTACCTGTTGATAGGTGGGGCCTGGACCTTACGAACCGACGACATAGGGTGTCGATCGCGGACTGGTACGCCACTTTTGTGGAATTAGCCGGGGGCGTTCTTGAAGATAGACGCGCGGCCAAAGAACGCCTGCCTCCCTTGGACTCGCGGAGTTTATGGCCGACGATTTCGAAGGGGGAGGACGGGCCCCGCTCGCAAGAACTGCCGCTGACGGTGCCCGCGCGCGACGCGATGCCGGGAAGTGGAGGTGGCCTCATCCAGGGCCGCCACAAGCTCCTCATAGGCAACCAGAAGTCGGCGGTGCTCAATGGGCCTACGTACCCAAATGGCACAATACCAAAGCCGCTCGTCGAGTTCTGCAAGCGCGGCTGCCTCTACGATCTGGACGAGGATCCGGGCGAGGTCCGCGACTTGGCTTCAGAAAGGAGCGACGTGCTCGAGGTCATGTTGACGCGCTTCCGCGAGTTGCAGAAAACGGCCTACGCGACGCCGCGCTACGCCGTCTGGCCGGACGAAGCGGCGATGGCGAGACATATCGCCGTCGTCGAGCGCGACTACGCGGGCTTCTGGGGCCCCTATACCTCTCTCTCTGCTGTTGAGAGGGCGGGGTTCGTCGATGGGAACTTCCAGCCGTGGGATAAGCACCACCGGCCCGATCTGGTGGAGGCGCAAAAGAAGCAGTTGTTGTCTAAATAAATGTTAGCTGTCTATCCCTTGGGCCGCGCGGCCTTCTCGGCGATGCCCGACGTGCCCTCGCGGCGGCGCAGCTCGGCGTAGACCTGCTCCGGCTCGACGCCCGTCGCCGCCCACAGCACCTCGAGGTGGTAGAGCAGGTCGGCGCTCTCGCTCACGACGCCGGCCGCGTTGCCGCTCGCCGCCTCGATGACGACTTCCGTCGCCTCCTCGCCGACCTTCTGGGCGCACTTGTTGACGCCCTTGGACAGGAGTTTCGCGGTCCACGACGAGGCCGGGTCCGCGCCCTTGCGCGACGAGACCGTGGCCCAGAGCTGGTCGAGCGCGTGGGGCTGCATCGAGGCCATCTTGTGCTACGGCAAGCGTACCAGACCACTGCTATAATTGCTGCGCGTCACGTGTCGCAAACGTCGCGTTTACGCAGCGCTGCAGCAAAGCGATGGCTTTTGACTGTGCTGGCTACGCAACAGATTGCGAGAAACGCAGCAGTGCGAGGAGTAACGCAGCGAGCAGTAAGCCGCGAGCAACGAGCTTCCAGTGATTCGCACTCAGTGAGCCAATCTCGTCGGCTTGACGCAAAACGTAGGCATTATTAGCGCAACACACATACTAGGAATTGCTCGACAGCCGTCGTCTGGAGCAGCAGCCATATCTGAGGCGTGACCGCCTCGTAGCGATCACAGCGATCGCAGCAATCGGCTTGCGCCAGCTCTGCCTCCCGCGGTTGCCTGCGCCAAAGCTCTCACGAGGCTGCTGGTGCACCTGGCGCCAGCATCGCGCGGCCGCATACGCCGTCGCCGCGCCGCATATATATATAGACAGGGCGTAGCTCCCGAGCTGTGCTCACTCTTTGGACGCCCGCACGCAAATTTCTCTCCGTCGCCGCCGCGACGCCCGCGACACAGCGGCGGCGCCATGGGCCAAAAGGGCAAGTCCGTGCTCCTGCGCCTCGTGAGCGAGGCCGGCACGGGCTTCTTCTACACTACAAGGAAAAATCCGGTCAAAACCCCCCACAAGCTCGCGTTCGTGAAATACGACCCCGTCGTCCGCCGCCGCGTACTCTTCACGGAGAAGAAGATGCCCTCGGGGAAGAAGCGATAACGATGATGTTTTAACTTAGTGCCCTTAGAGGGAGCGCGAGGTCATCGCCTCGAAGGAGTAGACGCGCGGGAGCGGGTCGATCTGGACGGAGTCGAGGCGCTGGAGCGGCGAGCCGGCGCCGACGACGGCCGAGGCGGTCGAGGCATAATAGTCTTGCGGCGGCGAGGACGGCGGCGTCGTGGACCAGGAGTCCGCCGGCGAGGCCGGCGACATGCGCGGGCGGAAGGCCGCCGCCGCAGTCGTTGCGTAGTAGTCGAAGGCCCGCGGGCATCTCACGTGGGCATAGCCGCGGCCGACGCGCACGCGCGGCTCATTGCTCCAGACTGAGTCGCCGCAGCGCGCGCACGCCCCTTTGCACATCGACACGGGGCGCCGGCCGGCCGCGACGAAGACCGGCGTCGTCGGTGGCGGTGTTTGAGGCGGGGAAGACGGCGGCGTCGTGGACCAGGAGTCCGCCGGCGAGGTGAGGCCGCCGAAGCGAGGGCGATCGCGACACGTCGATCGCGGCGGCGTCGAGGCCGCCGACGAGAGCGACGAGAGCGACGCTTGCGAATCGCCGCGCTCGTCGAAGTCGCCGACGGCCCAGACGTCGACCGGCGACTCGCGCGGCGGCGTCGGCTGGACCGTGGCCTTACGCGGCGTCCCGTCCTCCGACGACGACAGCTCTGAATCGACCTCGAGTGGCGCGAAGGACTGGTACGGGTCCGCCGTGTAGTAGTCGTCGCGCGTCCAGCGGTCGGGCCCCGCGGCGCCGACGGTAGCGATCTTCTTGGGCGCTTGCGCGGCGCGTTTCAGGTTCGGCGGCGGCGGCGGCGCGTAGTGCTCCTCCCAGTCGGCGTCGTAGTCACCGCCGCCGGCGACGCGCGCGTATGTTGAGTCCCTGGGCGTGCGCATGAGAAGCAATTTAAACTGCAAAGCCTGAGAGCCACACGCCGCCGTTACGGTTCTCCCGCGTTAACTTGTGAAGTTTAGGACGCGACGTGCGTAATTTTAGCGGGCGAGATGCAAGTAAGCCTGGACTACTTTCAATTTTCACTAAATCCTCGCAGCTAGCGGTAGTAAGACACTAGCAAGAAAAATTCTCCTTCCACTCTGCCCCAGGACGAGAAGGCAGCCCAAACACGACGAAATCATGGGCAAAGGCGCCCACGGCGGACACCGGGGCGGCCACCGGGGCCACCATGGGTTCCACGGCCGCGGCCACGGCGGCGGGCCCTTCGGCCCCCTGGGGCTGCTCTGCGAGATGATCTGCCTCTGTGGCCGCCCGCGCGGCACGAATCATTCGAAGCACTCGCGTCGGCAGCGCCACCACCGGCGGATGCAAACGTTCGCCGCAGACGAGAGCATCGATCGAGCGTCGATTCCCACGCAGGCGGCCTCTGCGCGACGCTCTTCGGCTCGCCGCCGCCGCCGCCGCCGCCGCCGCCGCCGGCCTACGGCCAGGCGCCGGTCGCGCAGAACCCCATGTACCAGGCGCCGCCGCCCTACAACGGCTAGGGCGCGACGACGCTCCGGGGCGCGCGTAAGCGAGGCGTCGTACTAGTGGAGAGTCGTAACACGAAGGCTTAGCTTCGAAAGCGGCGGCGGCGCGGGAGACGACGGCGCGACGAATGTCGTCGGCGGGCCGGGCCAGGTTGGGGTTGTTGTTGGGATCGTAATCGTGGGGGCGGAACTAGAACACACAGAGCCGTCGCCGGCTCAGTCCAGGACCTTGAGCGGCATCGTCGCGACCGTGCCGTACTTCTCCGACGAGTACTTCTTCTTCACGGCCGCGAGCGAGCCCTTCGTCGAGTGGAGGACGCCGTGCATGTCCTTGAGGCAGGCGTGCAGGTCGCTCTCGGGGTACTGCGCGTAGTGGAGCAGCGTCGGGCTCCACGCGTTGCGGCCCAGGTTCTTGCGCGCGACGTAGACGGCGCACGCGGCGACCATCGAGGGCAGGTACTTGAGCATCGAGTACTCCTGGAGCATGCGCTCCGCGACGTAGGAGGCGAGCCAGACCATGCGCCGGTCCGCGTGGCCCGCCTTGAGGTAGCGCATCATGAAGCAGTGGACCTGCGCGCGTCGGAGCGGGTGGGCGCAGAGCCGTCGACGTCTCGCGTCGATGGCGGGCCGACGAAACACGTCGCGTCGGCGTCGTCATCTCACGTCCGCGGCGCCGCCACCGAAAAACGAACCTCGGACGCGGCGCGCGGACGGAGGCGATCGTCATCTTGTATTTGAGCGCCTTGACCATCTTCTCCTCCATGCCGAGGATCTGCTCCTGCGTGTAGGCCTTGTCCGTGATGTAGACCAGGTCCTTGAGCTCCGGCGGGTAGATCTCCTCGTACTTGCTCGCGAGGAGCAGCGCCGACACGCCGACGAGCTGCAGGTTCGACCGCTCGACGGGCGACCCGAGCAGGTAGCGGTCGATGAGGTTCACCGTGAGGTACAGCGTCTCGGGCACGAGCTTGAACTTGAGGTGCACCTCGACCAGCCAGTCGATGAGGATCGCGCGCATCTTCTCGTTGATGTGCGCCTGCTGCCGCATGTACGTCGGGCTCACGCTCGTCTCCAGCTCCTTCTCCCGGAAGTGGACGTACCTGTGTTTGCGGCGGCGCGTGAGTGTGACGGCGGCGGGCGCCGCGGCGGCGAAGAAAAGCCGGTAAAAAACGGACGCGGCGGCGCGCATGTCATTCACGTACTCGGTGACGGCCTGGGGGTTCGAGGCGTCCCGCGCGTCGACATCGTCGGCCTTGCGCTCCGACTTGAGCGGCTTCTTGCCGGCGAGCGCGGCGACCGAGTCGCCCGCGTTGGTGATGTCGCCAAAAACTGCTCGGCTGGTTCTGGTCGCCATGGTTGAGAGTGTGGCGGCGCGGCGGCTACTGTTTTCTCGTCGTGGGGCGCGGCCTTGTGCAAGCGCGGTACGAGCGAGACAGTTGCGTCTAGAGAAAAGCGGCGGCGGCGGCCTGCGGGGGGCGTCGAGTCGGCTGCGGTGGCCGCGTGGGTCGCCGCGGTGCGTGTGGCGGGTCCAGGAGGCCGCGCGGCGCGCGCAGCGGCGCGTCTCGGCCGCACGTTAGGCGTGCAGCGCAGCTGCGGTTTCGCGTTCGGCGCGGCGCGCGGGGGCGCGCAAAGCCTGCTCTGCGGCCCCTGACAGCCCGGGGGCGCAAGCAGCGAAGAAACTTGGGTGCGCTGGCATTTTACGGCGTCTGCGGCGACTAATGGCGTGATCGCAAGCTGAGCAAAACGGCTTTAGCGGCGGGTATTGTGGGAACAGTTTTCTGCTGAACCCCTCTCGTTCTACGTGCAGGGAGCCCTCTGCAGGCCTGTATGAAGCCCAAGACGCGTTTCAGCACGCGGCGCCGAAAACCCGTGCAGCCCAGGCGCGACTTGCGCCGCTTATTAACGGGCTATTTGCCGCACGTGGCGCGTGCTGGAGACGTGCTAAGCGTTAATAATCACTCATAGGACGGCCAGCTCGAAAAGCAGACCAAAATAAGCCGAAATAGAGGCTGTAGAGTCGATAAACCATTTAGAGCGACAAAAAACGCTACGCGGCCGCGCCGGGACGAAAGGACCTAACCAACCATGTCCTCGCTCCGCCTCGCCATCCTCGCGTCCATGCGCGAGGCGGGCATCACGAGCCCGCAGCAGGCGCCCTCGGCGTCGCCGCCGCGCAAGCGCAAGAGCCCGCAGCCCAAGAAGGACTCGCAGCCCAAGAAGAAGAGCCGCCCCGCCGCCTCGCCGCCGCCGCCCAAGAAGAGCCCCGCCAAGAAGGCCCGGCCGCCGCCGTCGTCCTCGTCGAGCGACGACGACGACGACAGCAGCGACGACGAGCCCGTCGGCCTGCGGCCCGCGGCCAAGCTGCCGCGCGCGCCGTCGCTGCCGGACCTCAAGACGCCGAAAGCGCCCAAACCCAAGCCGACGCCCAAGCCCAAGCCGGCGCCGAAGCCGCGGCCGTCGCCCAAGCCCGAGGCGCCGCCGCGGACGCCGGGCTCGCCCGCGCCGCCCAAGAAGAAGAAGCCCCCGGTCAAGCGCAGCGTCTCGGCGCCCGTGCTCTCGCCGCCGCCTGCCGAGGCCCCAGCGGGCGGGCCGCGGCCGGGCCGGTCGGCGGCCAAGGAGGCGGCGCGGCGCATCGCGAGCCACGACTACCAGAGCCCCGAGGCCAAGGCCGCCGCCGCCCAGGCCGCGGCCCTGGCGGCCGAGAAGGAGCGGCGGCGGCCGCCGCGGCCGCCGCCGAAGCCGCGGACGCCCCAGGAGGACCAGAAGTGGGCGCAGTGCGACCGCTGCGGCACGTGGCGGCGGCTGCCGCCCCACGTCGACGTCGACCGCCTGCCCGAGCGCTGGTTCTGCGAGATGAACGTCTGGGACGCGGCGCGCGCGCGCTGCGACGCGCCCGAGCCCGGCGCGACGACGCCCGAGGCGGCGGCGGCGCCGCTCGAGTCGCCGGGCGCGGAGCCGCAGTGGGTCCAGTGCGACGGCTGCCAGAAGTGGCGCCGCGTGCCCCATTACGTCGACGTCGCTTCGTTGCCGGACCGCTGGTTCTGCGCCATGAACCGCTGGGACCCGCTCCGGAACTCGTGCGCCGCGCCCGAGGAGACCGCGGAGGAGCAGCTCGCTCCCAAAAAACGGCGCGGTCCGGCACCGGGCAAGCCCGCGCGGCGCGCGCCCGAGTCCGCCGGCGCGAAGCGGGGCCGGAACCAGTACACGGCGCGGCGCGACGCCGAGGAGCGCGCGCGCGCCGAGGCGCGCGCGGCGGGCCGGCCCTGGCCGCCGCCCGGCGGCTTCCGCTGGGAGCCCGCGCGGCCGTCTCCACAAAGGCCGCCGCGGAGCCCGCCGCGCGGGCCCGCCGCCGCCTCTTCTGCACAGCCGCGCGGCGGCGCGCCGTACCTCCAGGCCGCGCGGCCGCCCAAGCCCAAGCCGGTCTGGAACTGGGTCCAGTGCGAGCGCGCGGCCTGCCGGAAGTGGCGGCGTTTGCCCTTGTCGCTCAAGCCCGAGGCCCTGCCGGACGCCTGGGTCTGCTCGATGAACACGTGGGACCAGCGGTTCGCGTCGTGCGAGGCCGCCCAGGAGGACGAGGACGCGATCGACGACGGCCAGTCGGAAAAAAAGCTCAGCTTCCGCGAGATCATTTTCAACGCCGAGGGCAAGTACCGGCCGCCCTTCTCGGAGCGCTCCGCCGTGTCGTCGATCTTCGCCGTGGGCACGACGACGGTCAACGGGCGGACGCGCGACGTCGCGGCCTACGAGGACTCGCCCGTCTACGTCGACGCGCACGCCTTCCTGTCGCCCCTCCCGCGGCGGAGCTCCGCGGAGCAGCTCCAGCCGCTGCTGCCGCGGCGGTCGAGCGAGCCCGACCGGCTCGGGGCCTAGTTTTTTAGTGGAGTAATTTGTACTCGCACTACTACTAGTATCCGCCTCGATAGCGTAAAATAATCGAGGCCATGGGTTTCCTAGTGTGTCGATACGCTAGCTCGCTAGGTCTTGCGGCTCGCCAAAATACACCAGCGATTGAAGGTGCCTTCTACTGTCCATATAGTACATCATATACACTCCAGCCCAGTTTTCATACAAGTTCGACGGAACCGGAGCCGACGGCCCGCGCTCGGAGGGCGGGAGAAGAATTCTACTAGACAACTCTCGCGTTTATGTTCGTTTCCTTCCGTTTGTTGGTGGTAGAGTCCATCCAACCCGCATCAGCGCCCACTGAGCTATTTTAGATCTTCCGTTAGAGCCGCGCGGATCGGCGACTTCGGTCCCCCGCGTTTTCATGAAAATGGGCAAAAGACCTAGACCTGCGAGTATCAGCGACGACACTATCCGGATGGACCATAACGCCGTTGTTCTATTCACGATCGACCGACTTGCCCGTTCTCCGCGGACGACGGTGCGTACGCGGGGCACTGGAAAGGCCCCAGACCCGTGAGTTGTAAAATAAATTTGCGTTTTAGGCGCTTCTGTTATGGGACGGGCCAGCTAACCGGGCTGAACACGCACTACATTCGATTAATTGTACCGTAGGCTCCCGGTGGCACGTCAGTATCCCGACCCCAACATCGATCGAATTTGGGCAAATTACTTGGACCTGCGACCATCAGCGCGTGTATCATCACCATGGACCATGACGCGATCATTTGTTGCATGAACGACCGACTTGCGCGGGGTCCAGATCAAGATGTTCACGTCCCGAGCGTAGGCAGCCAAAAGTACCCTTCTCGTGGTGTAGATGTCATATACTCGTAATTGACTATCGGTGGGGTAGTATGGGGTCCGACGAGAGCGCTACGGCGACTACTGGAGGGCCTCGGGTAATTGACGTTTTTGACGGGAACGGGGCGCCATCGAGTGAGATGCCTGGCCAAGAGAATTGCCATATGTATATACCGAGGGAAGCCGCCACGCATGCGGCGTAGGCGATTGCACATGTCTAGTAGCGATCCTAAAACGACCTCCGGGAGACCTCAGGACCACGAATTGACAGGATTCAGCCGGCGCGGCCGCCATGGCGGCGTCGTCAATTTCGCGAATTAAAAAAATTATTTTTTTCGGCCCCCAGTAAGTGTCCCATTGATCTCTTTGGACCAGTAGGGAACTGAAGGCCACTCAAACAGCTGCATGCCGCGTGCTTCAATGCGTCCTAGTGGTCTTACACGACGCTAGCTAACTTTTGGAGCACGCGCTTTATTGAGAGCCAAGCTCCACTTGGCGAGAGCCTACCAGTTGCAGCACGTCGCGAGACGTTTCGCAGTGATATTTGGCGCGGGCAACAGAATTACTGGAACTGACACGGACGCACAGCCGCTGAAGTCGCCCTACTCTCAACAAGCATGTCAGCGGGCTCCGAGGGCGAGCTCGCGCTGCACGAGCGCATGGCGGCCGCCTCCGGCGGCGCGGCGCTCACGGCGCTCGCGGTGACGCCTTTCGACGTCGTCAAGACGCGCATGCAGCTCGCCGCCGAGGCGCCGCGCGGCGTGGGCGCGATGGCGACGTGCCCGAGCTGCGGCGTCTTCGTGCTGAACAACGGGTTGATGGAGCACGTGCTCGAGAAGAAGGAGTGCTCCAACGTCTTCCCGCGGGGGAGGGTCGAGGCGGCGCCGTCGACGCTCCGGTCCATGACGCTCGTCGCGCGCGCCGAGGGCGTGCGGGGCCTCTATGCGGGCCTGGGTCCTACATTAATCATGGCCGTGCCGAACACGGCCCTGTATTTCACGGCTTACGATGAGTTGCGGAGAGTGGGGCCGGACCACTGGTCCGCTCCAATAATTTGCGGCGCGTCCGCTCGACTACTAGCGGCGACGGCCGTCGCGCCCTTTGAGCTCGCTAGGACGCAATTACAAGCACTGAGCGGCGCGAATCGGAGCGGCTACTTCTCGGTGTTGCGGGACAGCGTGCGGCAGCGAGGTCTGGGCACGCTCTGGCGGGGTCTCGCGCCGACGCTGTGGCGCGACGTGCCCTTCTCCGGGTTATACTGGGCGGGCTTCGAGAGCTTTCGACGGGCGCTGACGCCGACTTGGTACCGGACCGCCGAGGACCCGTCGCTGTCCGCGCTGCGGTCGGCCGTCGCGGGCCTGGGCGCGGGCGCGCTCGCGGCGCTCCTCACGACGCCGGCCGACGTCGCGAAGACGCGGTTGCAAGTGGCGGCCTACGACGTGCCCGGCTCGAGCGTGCCCCGGGGCTCCACGGGGGCGCTCCTCGCGTCCATCGCGCGGACCGAGGGGCCCGCTTCACTGTTCGCCGGTGCGGGACCGCGCTTGTTGAAGGTGGCGCCGGCCTGCGCCATCATGATCGGCTCCTACGAGTACGCCAAGGCGCTGTTCCGGCCGCGGTGACTTAAATGATATTGTGCTTAGGCCTAGGCCGCGATGACCTTCCGTTTCAGGGCGGCGAACTCTTCGGCGGTCAGCGCGCCGCACGTGAGGAGCTCGTGGAGCTTCTTGATCTGCACGAAGTCCGGCACCGCCGCGGGCGCCGGCGTCGGGGGAGCCCGCGCGGCGGCCGGTCGCCGCTCGTAGTCCGAGTCGATCGTCGGCGGCGAAGGTCGCGGCTTCCGCGCGGCGTCCGGCGACGCGTCCGGCGTCACGGCCGGCGCCCCCCGCGGCGCTGAGTCAGGCTTGCGACGCGCCTCGCTCGTCGGTCGCCGTGCCGGCGCCGGCCGTTGCGGCTCGTCCTCGGACGCCGTCGCCGCGGTCTTCGCGTTCCGCGCCGCCGCCGCCACCGCTTCCCGCGGGGCGGTCGTCGTCGTGGCGCCCGTGTCCTGAGCCGGTGCGCCGGTCTTCGGGTCGTGGCCCAGCGTCGAAAAGTCGATCTTCCCGTCGTCCTTGATCCGCAATACGCGGACGAAGAGCCGATCGCGCTTGGCCGGGAGGATCGGCGCGCCCGCCGCGTCCAGTCGGCAATTGGACCGGTGCAACAGGCCTCGGCCGCCGCTGTCGAGCTCCACAAAAGCGCCGAACGTGGCTTTGTCCGAGCAGGTGCCGGCGTAAAAGCCGCCGACCTCAACAACGGGGGCGTCCGCGGACCCGTCGGCCGACGCGTCGTCCCGCCGCAGAATCCGTTTCGGCGTCGGACGCTCGGGCCGTAGCGTGGCGCCGAGGTCCGCCTCGATCTCGCCCATGAGCACCGGCGTCGGCACGGAGCGGTGCGGCCGCGCCGGTGGCGGCGGCGAGGCGACCGACGCCGGCGCGGTTGACTTCTCGTCGGCGTTCGATGAGACCGCGGGCGCCGGCGCGGCCGCGGCGGGCGCGGCTTGCGCGTCGCCATCCGCATCCGGTGACCGCAGTTCCTCCTCGCAGCGCGCGCGCCGTACGATCCCACCGTGCTGGCCGGGTTGCAGGGAGACGCCGGGGAGGCGTTCGACGAGCAGCTTAAGCCGCTCGAAGCCCAGGGCCCGGTAGTCGAGGTCCTTTCCGTGTACCCGTCGGTAGCTGGGAGGAAGGTGTGACATAAAGATCTCGCCGGTGTCGTCAAGGACCGCCAGGACGTCGCGTTCCATGGCGTTCAGGGGCAATACAGGCTCGTCTGCGGCAGGCGTCGACGCCGATGCCGCGGCGTCAGAAGCGGACGGTATAGGCTTTGCGGCGTCCGCCGCCGCTTCGGGCGCGCGCGGCGCGACGGGCGGGTCCCGAGCGACGCTCTTGGCGGGGCGCGTTCGCCGCGGGCGCTCCGGGCTCGGCGGCCGCCGCGCGTGGCGCGTCAGGGCCCGCACGACCGCCCGCTGGGCGTTGCGCCGGTCCTTGCCGGCGGCCGCAGCGGCCGCGCTCCGGCACTCGTACGCGCTGCGGTCGCGCAGGAACGCGACGAGGTCCGCCGGGTAGCTCACCTCGCGGCAGCCCAGGGTCGTGGCCGCCGCGGCCGCCCGCGCGTTCGCCCGCCGGACCGCCGCGAGGTCCGCGGCGTCGAGCGCCACCGTCTCCGTCGCGACGGCGGCGCGGCGCGGCGGCGTTTTCTCCTCGGGTTCCGCTTCGAGCACCTGCACCGCGACGCGGCCGAGGCGCCGGAGGAGGCCCTGCAGCGCCACCGCGTCGGGCGCGCCGGGGGCGGCGCGCGCGGCCGCGGCCGCGGCGTCTCGGATGGCGCCGAGGGCCTCGTCGTGCGCCGGCGGCAGCGGTTGCTTTTCTTGCGTCTTCGCCGTGCGCGGCGGGCTGGCGAAGCGCACGCGCATGCCATTTCCTTTCCCCATGGTGAATATGTGTTTGGGCTTGTTTGTGCGCGTTACGGCGGCGCGCGGCGCAACCGCTGCCCGCAGGCCTGCACCAGCAAAGTCTCCACCGATTTCACGCGGCGCAACGAGTCGGCTGCGTCTACAATTCGTGTTAGCAGAGCAGCAATTCGTGTTTGGGAAGTGGCCTACCAAAAAGCTTGCGTACGGGTCCGGACTTACAACGCCCTAGTGCCGCGCCCCGACCATCTCCAAACCAGCCAGCGGCGCCGGCAGGCCCAGCAGGTCGACGAAGCGCGCGTTGCCGGCGACGGAGATGCGCCACGCGCGCCGGTCGCCCGCCGCGTCGCCCGAGTGCTGGAACGGGTAGCACTCGTCGTCGAGGAGCGTCACCCGGAAGTCGTCGCCCACGAAGTCCAGGGCCAGCGTGTCGTGGCGGTAGGTCCCTTTGAAAATACCATAAACGTTCGGGACGAAGCGCCAGGGCGACATGACCGCGATGCGCAAATGGCAGCCGCCGCCCCCCTTGTCGGAGCGCGCGAAGGGGAAGAGGCGCATGCCGCCGCCGTAGAACGGGGTACTTCCGGCGCACGCGAGCGTCGCGCTCCCTTCATATAACAAACCCGTCTCGACGGGGATCGCCGCGTCGCCGCGCCGCGGATCGACGTAGGCGCACTCTGATAAGGCTTCCACTCGGACGCGCATCTGCCTCTTCCTTCTCAAGTACGCGGGCAGCGTCCGGAGCGCCATCGCGAAGAAATAGCCCCCTACGCTCCTCATGAGCGGCCCGATGATCGTGTTCTGCGTGGCCTTCGCCTGGCGCTTGTAGTCGTCCAACAGGAACGCATCGAAGCCCTGGCCCGCGATGAAACAAAGTTCGTTCTGGTCGGTCGACAGGACGGGCACGGACAACGTGGCGTTGACTCCATGCTTCAAAGCAGCACAGGCCCTGCGCACGCCCTTCGACCCGCACCACCGTCTGTAATGGCGGCCTAGGGCGTACCTCGAAACGGCATTGCCGGTGCCCAGCGGCAACGTACAAATCGCCGGCAGGTCGTCTATACTCGCATATTCCTGGCTCAGGTCCCTTAGGAGAGCCCCGAGGGTCCCGTCTCCCCCACACGCCACGACCGTCGCGTAGCGCCTCTCATAAATTTTCTTCGCGGCGACGTGCGCCTCGGTCAGCGACTTCGTCGCGAACACGTTCTCGGCGCCCAATTCCTCTTCGGCGGCCGCGACGGCGCGCTTCGTGACGCCCCGCGCGTTCAGGGAGAGCAGCGCGCACACGCTCGAGTCCGTAGCTTGGAGCGGCGCGGCGCGCAATACTGGTTTGCTGCGCGGCGCGTGGAAGGCCTGGTTGAGGTGGAGCAGGGCGAGGACGAGTAACGATTGCATGGCTGTTGCTGCAGGAGTCGTGCTCTTGCTCTTTGTGCTTGCACTGGAAGTGCAATCCGAAGCGGCAGACGCTGCTGCAGCCGAAAACGTCGGATGCAGGCAATTATATAGCAACGGCAGGGATCACGCAGTGTGGCTGTTGGCCATATGGTGTCTGCACTGCCCTCAATTGGCATGCACACTACGGCCTACTGGTAGGATACCAAGCCCCCCTAGTTACATTATGTATTGCAGTAACTTGTAGGAAAACCAGGGGGTAGCTGAGCGCCCAGCGGCGCTGCTAAAAGCGCTGCGATCTCGGTCCAGCTGCATCGCATTAAAACTTGATTGGGGGAGGCAGCCCACACGCAGCTGCTGCGCAGCATACTCTAATCAAGTTTTAATAACTTGTTCACAGCCCGAGAACGTTGGTGCTGCCACGATGCCGCGGGTGTGGAAGCCCGCGGCGGACGATCAGCACATCTTCGACGCCCTGCCAATGCCGGAGGGGGACGTCTTCCTCAGCGACGACGAGCTCCTCATGGAGATGGACGGCGTGGCGACGCGCGCCGCGCTCAACGCGGCGCTCGGTCCCACCGCGAGGACAAGGGTGACCTTTGATGCCGAGGGTCGGTACTGGCGGAAGTCGTACGAAATTGATAAGGAGCCGCGGTGCATCTACTTCTTGCCAGCCGTGCAGAACCCGCGCGCGCGCTCGAGGAGTACCCGATGGCGTCGAGCCGCCGTTCCCGCGACCAGAGGAGAAGTTCCAGTGCAAGAGGAAGCAGCCGCCCCGAGCGCCGCGCAAGCCGTCGAAGACGACGGCGCGGTCCGGCGAGAAGCGCCCGACGTCCGCGCGGCCTAGGATGTACACGACGCCCGGCGAGAAGGTCACGCGCGTGGATCCGGTTGATGATGCTGAGCTGCTCGTGCCGGACGAAGACGTGGTCGACCTCGACGAAGTCGCGCCAGTACCACGGCCCGTGACACGACGAGATTTAATGGCCCTAGAGCAGCGCGCCGAAGACGCGCTCGCGGCGTGCGACCGCGCGGAAGCCGCGCGCGCCGCGGCCGTCGCGGCCCACGCGGAGCTACGCGACAGACAGGACGCAGTCTTCGCGAGGAGCGCCACCGACTCGGCAAGACTTATGCTTCTCTCTCTGGACCGCGAGGCGAACGCGCTCTCCGCGGAGAGAGCGGCACGACGGCGCGACGTTGATCGCCTTAGAGCCAAATTTTCACAAGAGAAAAGAACGCATGGAAAAAGACTGTGAGAGCGCGCGGCGGCGCGGCTAGACGAGGAGCGGCGGCGATTGGAGGAGGGTTTGGACAAACACGCGCGAGTTGCAGCGGCAACTCGACGCGCAAACTGAAGTCGCCGATTTGAAAAAGAAACAAAGCCAGCTCAACCTCGAGCTTTATGGCCTTCGACGGCTTCGAGGCGCCTGGCTGGGTTCTCGTGTTGCGTATTTACCGGAGGAGCCGCCGCCGGATTCGGACTTCGAAGGCGTCGTTGTGGCCCGTGGTCCACGCCGTCGGCGACTTTCTCAGTAGAATTTGTGGTGGTACGCTCAAAAGAAAGCAACAGAAGTGTCTGCGTCTCCTAGCCGACTACGCGTGGTGTCACACACTCGCGGGCGGGGAGATTGGCCTCGTGCGAGCTCACTTTGCGTGCGCGGAGTACCGGCGCCTCCAGGCATTTTGCCTCTCCAGCCGAACTACTGAAGACCATGGACGTGGAGATGACGGGGAACTACGCTGCGAGCGAGGCCATGCGGGCCAGAGAGCGGGCGGCTCTCGTTGCGCTCGGGAGACGTTGGGCAAGCACGTGATGCTGTTATTCCCCACGAAGTTCGCGCTCCAGGAAACAGCCAAGCTGGTAGAGAGAGTTGCTGATGGCCACAAGGTTTCGGTTACGAAACGTCGCGGGCGACGGCACTTACGAGGCGGTCGGCATTGCGACGGGCGCGGTCCTCGACGTCATCATCGGAAAGCAGCGTGGGCTCCTTGAGACTGGACGCAGTCCCGCGGATCCGCGGAGGATCAGAGGCACGCAAGACGGCAGCAACATCACGAAAAGCGACGACTTTACGATGCAAGGGATCCACGTCAACGACAGCCGCGCGGTCGACCCGATCACTGGCAAGCCCACCGACTTCCAGTCGCCTGATCGGGTTCATATTGCGCGTTAGCCGTTGGCCACGAGAGCCATGCCCTGTACGAAGCTTTAGACGACGTGACGGATCACTTCAGTACAGCGGCGACGGCGCAAACCGATGGTGTCTACCAGTCAGAGGCAGAGGGCCGCGCCGTTCACGTTGATTACGTCTGCTCGGGCGACATGGCCAACCTCCAGACGGTGTCGAAGAAGGGCTTCGCGACTGGGACGTCGGAGAACGCGCGGCCGTGTTATTGTTGCGCGCAGACCAACAGGCAGATGACGACGCCCAAGGTAGTTGACGACCTTTGCGACGTCTGCAGAGCAGCGGGTCGGTTAGTGTGCTACCACGCGGAGATGTCGACGCCGGCTGCCGTAGACGAGTGGCGCGCTACGGCTGCCGCTGCGCTCACGGAGCTCAGAGGGAGCTGCCCCAGCCTACCGCTACATGCGCGAGGCCAAGACTTTAAGTGCGGCGCAGCTGCGCGAGCTCGCCGCGGAGGCTGGGCTCGATGCGGGCGGCACCTCGGCCCACTTGCACGCGCGCTTCGCTGCTTATTGCGGTCAGCATTGCTTGGAATTGGAAAACCCCAACCAAAACGGGTTTTACGCAAAGTTCGACTGTCGAACTGCGACCCCAGCACAAAAAACGCAATTTTTTCGCTGGTCGTGAACGATTGTCTTGTTGATTTCGGCCTGGCGGTGACGGGCAACCTCGGTTCGCGCGTCGAAGCTGACGACGCGCCTGAAATTGGTTGACCAATATTACGAACTTCAAGCGCAATTAGAACACGCCACGCCAAATTCTGATGCGCTCATCTCCCTGGTCGAGCATATGGTCCCGTGCGTCTTGCATTTAGAAAACCGGACGCGCGCGCGTTGCGGCTCATCCTCAACAATTTTTTGGATCTACGAGAAGAGCGTGGCCCTGGCGAAGCTGCGGCCGCTGGCAAATTGATTAGAACGAAAGGCTTCGGCTGCCCGAACGGCCGCGAGGGCAAGTGGACGGCGCCGCTCTCCAAGGACGAAGATTCCGTCGAAGATCAATCCGTTGAATTGCGGCCGCGCCCGGAAGATCTTTGCTAACGTCGGCACGGGCTCATCGGGCGTGCTTCCCGGACGACGCCAAGCGGCGGGTCGTCCTCGACCTCGTCCGCGGCTACGGGTTCGATGGTGCTATATCGAAAACGAGAAGATCTCACGGACGTCGAGATTGCCAAAGCCGACGACCTCGCCCAGGAGACCGCCATCGGCTACTGACGGCTTTCACGGCGAAGGCCTCACGAACTAAGCACATGATCGGCGGGCCACATTATCTGGCTTATTTGCGAAAGTACCGGAACTTGGCGCCGCGCTCGAACCAGGGGCGAGGCGTGAACCGCTTGATCGGCGGCGCTTCCTCACGCGGACGCAGCGCGGCGGCCACTGCGGCCACGAGGCGACGCGGGCGACGCGCGTCGCCGCGCTGGGCAAGTGGATGCAGCGGCGGATGATGTGGCTCACAGGCCTGGTCAAGCCCGGCGAGCTCAAGGTCATCGGCTGGAAGCAGAAGCGCGTGATAGACTGGTAAATTGTGACTTACTCTTCGTAGGCTGCGACGAGTGCATGGACTTCAGACGTTGGACGCGTGAGCGTCGGCACGTCCGCGCCGGCGACCGGGTAGGCCTCCCTAAACTCGCACGACGCCGCCGTCGCCGCCGTGATAGTGTAAACGACGCCGTCGAGCTCGAACGACCATCTGCAACTCCGCGACGACCGTCGCGGAGCGGTGTCTTCGACGGGCGCGACGGGCTCGACGGCCGTCTCCGGCGGTGGCAACGGCGACGGCGCCGTCAGATTCGTCACGTTCGTGGCACCGGCCTCGGCGGGCGACTTGACCTCGAAGCGGGCGTTGAGCTTCAATTCGCCGGTGTCGACGTTGTAAGTGCACGTCACCCGCACGAGCTTGTTGAACTCGTCCAGCGTCGTCGGCACCCTCGTCTCCTTGAAGCCGCCTTTTAGGGGTACTCGTGACCGCGTCGCCGCGCCAAGATCCGGAACTCGCTCTCCAGGGCGCACCGTCATCGCCGCTAAGCGAGAACCGCTCGAAACGGTAGAACTGGAGGCGCGTCACGTCGGCGCCGCCTGGCCGCCCGCGCGCCACGACGCGCTTCGCCGTGAACTGCCGATCCACATGCCCGACGGCGGAGGTAGGCCCAGTACAACTTCGAAAAACACCGTCGTAACGGGGCCGCTCTTCTTTTTCCCGCGGAGGAGCTCGCCGACGGCATCAGCAACGGCGGCGACGCGCACGTTTAACAAGTCCCACAAGCCGCTCATCGTCGACGGCCGTCGTCGATCAGCGACGCGACGCGCGCTGGAAGCGGTCGCAGCGCCGGCGACGTACCATCAAACCACTGGTCGAGGGTGTAGACTCGCGCGAGGCCGTCGTAGGCACCACTTCTGGCCTTGTCCTGCGACACGACCCCACAGGCCCCACGACGGAGGTCACCGAGACCTCTCTAGAAGTCGACGAGAGGACGACATCGCAGGTGGACGCAGTCGACCTGTTGATGTGTTTGGGCAACGCGTCGATCTTGTAGAGCTCCAAGACCTCGATCCTGAGGACGACGAGGGCTGCAGGAAGACGACCATGCTGCCGTCCTTGAGCAACAGCGAGTCGCCCGAGAAGATGGGTCCGACCTTCGGGGCGAAGAACGGCGTCCGTCGCGCGGCGAGGACGTCCTCGAGCGCCTCGGGAGCGCGCGCCACCGTGACGGCGGTCTCCTCCTTCTTCACGACGAGCGGTTCCGAGCCCTGCGCGAACGGCTGGACCTGCACAGTGTCGCCGACGACGGCAATGGCGGTGCCCTCGACGCGCTCGTCGTCGCAGGCGACGACGACGCTGTCCAGGGACTGCGGGGCGCGGTTTGTTATGGTCTGAAGGACCCGCGGCCGCGCCGCGCCGTCGCCGCGCGAGCGCTTCTGGGACGACGAGGGCAGCTTTTCCCACGTCTCGCGGCGCCTCTTCAGCCCCTGTTTCTTGGGGGCGGGGTCCGGGGACGGCGGCGGCGCGCGGCGCGACCGCGCGGCGCGGGGCAGCAGCTCGGTGGGCTTTACCCAGCCGCGCGAGCGCGCCTCATCCTCGACGTACTTCTGGAAGGTGGCCTGGTCCGGCGCGAGGCCCTCCAGGTACTTCAGCCTGCCCGGGGGCAGCGTATTTGCGGCCATCGTCCAGTTAACTGATACCAGCAAACGACCAGTCTCTACATCTAATAAAGTCAACCAAACAAAAAGTCAACTTTGTCAAATCCCACTAGTCGGCCGTAGTGATCGCGCAGCTAAAATGTGCGGGTTTTCCCGCGAGCTGAGCATCGTTCTCCGGACGCCTCGCGAGGCAAGGGGAAGCGCCTCTCCGCCGGGGACCATCATCGTCGCGTCCTTTGCTCTGATAGTGATGAGCTCGACAGGAGGCCGGCAATTATTGTTCATTAGCAGCCCCCGACGCAGCCCCCCGGGCCCCCGTCGGAAGCAGCCGCCGTCGAGCCACGCGCCGACACAACCACGTGCGACCGACGCCGCAGCGAGGCTCCGGAACCGAGAATCAAACATGAGCTCCACACCAACTCACAGACGGAGCAACTCCCTCGAGGAGCAGATCTCGTCGGGCCGGTCGAAGTTGCGGAAGACGCCCCAGTCCGACGGCAGCCGCCGCTCGAGCTTTAGCGAGGGCGAGCGGGCCGACGAGGTGATGGGCGACGCGCCGCCACCGGTCGCGCCCGAGGCCGTCGCGGCGGCGGCGGCGCGGCGCGCGGCCGAGGACGCGGCACGCGAGCGCGCGCTCGAGGAGGCCGCGGCGCGCGCGGCCGACGCCGCCGCGGCGCGGGAGCTCGCGAGCCGGACGGAGGTTAGCTTGGACCGCACGCTGAGCGCGGAGACGGCGGAGCCGGCCGCGCCCGTAACGCCGCCGGCGGCCGGCGACGGCGACGACGCGTCCGACGGTGAGGGCTACGCGTCCGACCGCGCGTCGCACTCGACCGTCGAGCCGGACGCCGTCGCGGGCCGCATCGCGCGGCGCGACGCGGCGCGCGCCGCCGCGGCGCGCCTCCGCGCCGAGCAGGACGCTCAAGCGGAACTTGAGGCCCAGGTCGCCGCCGACCGCGAGGCCGCCGCGCGCGAGGTCGCGGCGCGGCAGAAAAATGATGAAATGCCCGCGCCGGCGCCGGCGCCCGCCGCGGCCGAGGCGCCGCAGCGCAAGCGGAACCGCGGCGCGCTCGCGGCGCGCTGGACCGAGGCCGTCCGCGAGCGCGAGAGCGAGGCGGCGGCGCGCGCGGACCGGTTCAAGGAGGAGGCCGTCTCGAGCGACACGCCCGTCGGCGAGATCTTCCGGCCCCAGCAGGCCGTGCGGACGAAGTAACTTGACCTGTTCGGAGTTGACAAAATTCTTAGACGAGCGTCTCCGGCGGCGGCGGCGGCGGCGGTCGCGATAAATGACCGTAGAGCGCGGCGCCGCCGCACGCGAGCGCGATGCCGCACGCATTTAGGGACGTAATCTCGTTGCCGAACTGCAGCCACCCCGCGAGGATGACGACCGGCCGCCGCATCGCGTTGCAGACGCTGTGCGTCACGGCGGTCACGCGCGCGAGGACGAGCCAGCTCAGCTGCAGGTAAGCCCAGAACGCGACGCCGTTTACGACGAGGATGGGCGTCGAGTCCGGGAGGATTATAGGGGCGCCGGACGCGACGACGTACCCACCCGCCATGAGCGCGCCGATCACGTTGATGTGCAAAAACAGCGAGTAGTTGTCCGCGGCGTGGCGCGCTCTTATAAGTTTCGTCAGCACGCCGCGCGCCGCGAAGCACGCGTTCGAGGCGGCGCAGGCGACCGCGCCCGCGACCGTCGCGTCCGCCGACCCGAGCGCCGACATCGACGCGCCGCAGACGACCGGGATTAAGCTAATGAGCCTTCTTAGTCCATTGTCGTTGCCGAACACAACCGTTGATAATGCAAGCGTAAAGAGGGGCTCCGTCGCCCGCAGCGTCATCACGAGACTCACGTGCATGTGCCTTAGTGCCGCATTCAACGTGACAAACCCGAGCATGAACGCGAAGGCTAACAAGGACGTCGTCTGCAGCTCCTCGCGGCTGGTCATGGGCCGGTAGGGCTTGAGCTTGAGTATTCGCAGTAATAAGAAGGAGCAGCCGCTCGCGATGAGTAATTGCGACAGCGTCAGGACCGCGGCGTCCATTTCCAGGGATTTGGAGGTATTGGTGGCGACGATGCTCGTCGCGTACCACAGGGCGATCATGGCGGCGGTCTCGGACCAGCGGTGCTGCTCAGCAGCCATGATGCTGGGTGGCAGTGCTAGCTGCTATCTATTTTGGGTGCCGGATTGATGCGGCCGAATCTCGAATCTCGATTCGCTGGGAGCTGTTCAAAACATGCAAGTGCACAAGACTGCACCTTGTATTTCAATTCGTATTGCTCGTATGTATGAGTTTGCGGCCGCTCCCATGAAGCCAGGCTTGCTAGTGTCTTACAGGGCGCTAGACCAAGCATGAAATGTGATAAATAGAATACTTTCTTGAAAATTAAGACGCGTCTTACATTTTTACGTGAAAGTCGCCGCGCTCTCCGGCGCTTGCGTTCACGAGTTTGCTGGAAGCAAAAGGCCTTTTCACCAGCCGACCCAGCGTCGCCTGAGCACTGAGATTGACCTACGTAACCAGCATTCCTCATTCCTCTAACTTTCCTCCGCGAAAATCGCGTCCAAACCTCGACTTTCGAGACCTGCCTCGAAACTTGCCTCTCCAGCCAGAGCGCGAGACACAATGGCGCGCACACCCAGCGAGGACCTCCACCCGACCCCAGAAGACGCCCGCTCGCCCGAGGACGCGCGCTCCCCGGAGGGCTCGCAGACGCCGACGACGTTCGACGTGCTCCTCGACGACCTCAGCCGCATCACCGTCGACGAGCGCGGCACGGTGACGGCCGTCGCCGCGGATTTAATAAGGCAAGTGCGGCCCGGCGACCGCGTCGCGGGCGTTAACCAGGGGAACCGGCCGCTCGACGTCGCCCTGCTCGCGCGGCGACTCGTCGCCGTGAGCGAGGGCCGCTGCGTCCTCACCATAGAGCGCGACGACCGCTCCGAGCCGCAGTCGCCGCGGTCGCCCTGGTCGCCCGGGAGCATGTCGCGCCAGTCGCCGACGAGCCCGCGGTCGCCGCGCTGGTCGCCGGGCACGCCGTCTCGTCGATTGCGCATGCCCGAGCCGCCGCGGCCACGGGGAGGCTTCCTCGCGCCGCAGACGACGCCGACGTCGCCCTTTACCTTCTCCTCATCACTGCGGGACAAGTTCCGCGCGAGGAGCCGGCTCTGAGACGCAACGCTCGGGACCCTTCGCAAGCCTAACTTTGGAAATCGACTATTTACTCCGCTCCGTCACCGTCATCCAGAGCCCGTTCCGCGTGTGGATCGTCGCGCCCGTGTTCGTCCCGACCTTATCGGGCGTGTCCGTCTTGCCCGCGAACTCGAAGTCGTAGTTCCGCAGGAAGCCGGCCAGCGCCACGGTGGCCTCCATCATGGCGAACTGGTCGCCGACGCACTTGCGCGCGCCGCCGCCGAACGGCATGAACGCGAAGTCGGTCGCCGTCTCCGTGGGATACAACGTGCCGATGGACCCCATCCACTTGTCCGGGTCGTAGCCCGCCCAGTTCGGCTCGTCCGGATTTTTATAGGGCTTGAGCCACCGGTGCGGATCAAATTTATCGGGTTCGGGCCAGTACCGAGGGCTTCTATGTATAGAATAGACCGCGATAAAGACGTCCGACGCGCGCTGCATCTTCACTTCTACATCGTTATTCCTCAGATCATCGGACAAGTCCTCGGAGTCCGGCATGCGAGCCGCCGGCAGGCTGTCGTCGTCCACCGCTCTCCTTATTAACAAAGGAGGCTGGGGGTACATCCTTAAAGATTCCGCTACAGTGAGTCGTGTCAACTGCAAGGCTTCTATTTGTTCCCTAGTAGCAGGAGCCTTGCCGTCCGGCAGCACCTTATCAAGTTCCTCTCTTAATTCAGCAAGTAACCCAGGATTCTGCGCCAACTCAAACACGCACCAAGTTAAGGCAGAAGCGGTTGTTTCATGACCAGCAATCAACATCGTCATCAAATCGTCGCGTAGTTGCGTTCCTGTCGCTTCCTCCCCGCGCTGATCGACCAAAAATCTCAGTAACGAAGGATTCTCCATGGTCTCATAATCCATGTTCTCCTGCAGGTCCTCCGTGTCCATCTCGACTCGATCTTCAAACGCGCCCGCGATGGCGTTGTTCAGCTGGTCATTGAGTAGATTCATATTGGCCGTGAAGGCCCGCTGTCTAGGTACCAATTGCATGGCGCCGGGGATCTTCCAGTAGGGCGCGGGCGTCATGGACCGGTGCTCCGCCTCCCTTAACGTGTCGATGGCCGCTTGGACGACCTTCGACGGCTTCAGCGTCGAATCGAACTCGTAGTTGAAGACCGCAGACCCGATGATATCCAACGCCAAAGAACCGAACCTCTCTTCCAGATCGACGGGTCCACTGGTAGTTTTGAGATCGTCGTTGAGCACGTCGACTTTAAGCGCGAACATGCTGATCATCCGCTGCAGCCAGCGCTTGTGGAACGCCGGCACGATGGCTCTTCTACGACTGGTCCAGGTGACGGGGTCCGCGGGAATCAGGCCCTTGCCCATGATATCTTCGAGGATCTCCGCCAGGACGCCCTTGTTGTAGCCTTTGTTGTTCGTGGCTAAGACATAACGTGCGAGTGACGCGTCCGACAACACTATAAAGGACTTGGGCCCAAAACATAACTTGTAGGCCGGGCCGAACCTTCGGGCATATTCATGCAATCCCAAGTATAGCGTACCGTCGGCCAACCCACTAATGTCACCCTCGGCTAAAGGAGCACCATCCGCCGACGGCGCGTCGCCATAAATCTGCTCGATGTTGCTCTTAAAAATCCTCATCGTGTCCCCGAGCTTGAGCTCCGTGCCCGGCTTGCCGGACTCCGTGAACGGCAGCGCCCAGAAGCCGTCCCACCACCACGGTAGACCCTCTTCGTCGTCGGACTTGGCCGTGTTCGTCGGGCCCTTGACGTTGTAGAGCATCGTGCCGTCGCCCTTCGCGTCGACCTTGTCCTCGACTTGCGATCGTAGTATGGTGGACGGCTTCGGCGCCGGGAGGACGAAGGCCGCGGCCGTCGCCGCCAGCGCGAGGAGGCGGAGCGGGGCCATGGCTGTCCTTGGTGTCGAGGTGCCTGGCGTTGGCGCTGCGGTGACTGCTGCGGGAGCAGTGCGCAAGAGAGCAACGCGCAAAGAGCAATGCCGCAAGAGGTAGGGTGTGAGCTGCTGCAGCCGCACGCCTCAAGCAGTGGTGCGAGCGCTACACTAGCCGCACGCGACGCTCCGTGAGGTTCCCGTAAAGCCGTTGTCCGCTCACGTCGCGTAGAGACGGCCTCTATAGCACAGCCTTGCAGAGGTTGATCATACATCAGCCAGGCCTTGCTAGTGTCTCAAGGCCGCTAGCGCGCAGATCAAAGGTACAAGGAGCACTCATCCACACACCTCCCGCGCCCAACAAGCCGTCCCGGAAGGGCGCCGGCCCCGCCACGGTTCGTGCCGGCCGGTGTGCTCGTTACGGGCCAATCCGCGCTGCGTGCGCGGCACCGACCATCGCATTGATACGCGTAGCTTCGTTCGACGGATCACAAACCAAAATCGTGTGGCAGTCGTAACGGGGCAGCCGTTCGAGGTCTGGGGCTGCCATAAACAGCCCAACCTAAGGTCGAAGGATGCCCGAGAGCAGCCAGCTCGAGCGCGACGACGTCGCGGCCTGGACGGCCGCGCGCGACGCCGTGATAGCCGACCGCCACTGCTGGGACCGCGAAGCGTTACAAAGTGAACACGCCCGGAAAGCTTATGCGGCGGACGCCTTGCGATGGAAGAAGCAGCAGGAGCGGCCCCCCTCGGACCAGATGATCACGGCCGCCGTCGTTTCCTCAAAAGCACTGCTGGGCCAAATCGTCCAGGAGGAGCTGCCCGAGCGGCTGCTGCGGAAGCCGCCCGTCAAGTACATCCACGCGATCTTCGTCGCCGTGAGAAGCGCCACGGGGCTTGGAGCGGGCTTATTTGACGAGAACCAGCACATCGAGGAAGAGCTAAGGGGCAACGAGCGGCACCGGCACGCGGAGCGGGCGCCGCAGACGCGCGCCGAGAAGACGAAATTTCTGGTCAACCTCGTGGCTTGTGTGTCGCAAATATTGGACGAGACGTGGATCGCAGCCAGGTGCGCGCCAAATCCCATTATCTCGGGAGAAGACGCGCTCGGGGCGAATTTTTTATTACAAAATCTCGCGAGGGCCGCCCTGCGCGGCCAGAAGGCCTCGGAGCGCGCCGTGAAGCGTGTCAAGAGGATCGGCGAGCAGGAGCTGTACGGGCGGAGCATCGCGATACGGCGCGCGGTGGTCAAGTCGCAAGCAAAATGTAGAGGAGACACGTGTCGACGACGACGGTTGGTCATAAGGCCGCGGCCTGATAGTCCGCCGGCCGAGGCGCCGCCCAAGCGAGTTTTTGTTAGAGACACGCGGGAACAGGACGCCGCCGACACGGCGATCAGCAAGGCCATGCGCATGCGGAATTTGTTAAGAGATGCTGCGTTAGCCGCCGAGACGGCGCACAACGCCCAGGCCTTCCTCAAGGAGCTCGAGACCGCCCGCAAATTACAAAGAGAATGTAGAAAGAAGCTCTCAGCGTTAGATGCGCGGAAGAAGCACCTCGAGGTCCAGGAGGTGTTGTTAGCCGACAAAGATGAACAAATAAGGAAAAGAGAAACACGGGCGAAAAGACTCACTGATAGGGCCCAGCGCGAACTGAAAAAGCTCGAAAAACAAAAACAGGACTGGGAGGAGATGACGGCGACCGTCCGCGAGAAGAATAGCATCGACTCCGACGGGAATTCGACGATCGCTTCCGTCCAAACGTTTCAATCTAGAACGTCGACGTTCCAGCGGGGGGCGTCCGTCGATTCGCGCGCTTCTTCCAAGTCGAAGACGAGCGTCTCGGGCACGGGCGCGCAGTACGCGCGGGCGGCCCGGTTACGGGCGAAGAAGCGGCAACGTAAAAAAATGAACCAAGAGATCAAGCTGCAGGGCGATTTGGACATCGCGCGGGACGCCTTGACCCAGACGCCGTCGGGCGAAATTAATAGAGCGATGCGCGCGCTGGGCGGCGCGCGCGGCGTCTTCGGCGAATTTCTGCGGGAGCAGCTCGTCGAGGTGCGCGACGAGATCGCGCGCATGCCCGAGGAGGCGATGCGGCCGCGCGCGGCGCCGACGCGCGACGACCGCGGGGCGCCGGCCATGGCGTTCCCGCTGCCGCTCAAGGCGCCGCCGTCGTCGGAGTACGTCCTGCCGATGGACGGCTTCGCGCCGCCGGCGGATTTGGGATTGGCGTCCGTCGCGCGGCTCGCGCGGACGCCGGAAGTGCCGAAGCAGCGGACGACCCAGCGGCGGCAGTCGTTGCACGACGCCTTCGCGCCGCCGCGGGCCTACGTTAAGGAAGAGCACGAGCTCGCGATGAAGGGGCTGGACGGCGTCGAGCCGCCGCGGCCGGACGCCGAGGAGCGGCCGCCGGCGATGGGGCTCGACGGCTTCGAGCCGCCGCGGCCGGACGCGGAGGAGCGGCCGCCGGCCATGGGTCTGGACGGGTTCGAGCCGCCGGCCGACGACGACGCGCCGTCGACGGCGGCGCCGCCCGAGTCGCCGAATCGCCCCGAGCACGCGGTGCACGCCGACCACGTCGAAGACGGCCGCGTCCTCGTCCACCACGACACTGAAAATAATTACGGCGGCGACGACAGCGAGGACGACTACGCCGAAGACGACTTCGACGACGTCTTCGACGACGTCTTCGACGCCGAGGACATCGCCGCGGACGAGGCCGCGGCCGATGAGCCGGCGGAGCCGGCGCAGGAGACGCCGGCCGCGGGCCTCCGGACCGCGGAGCCCGTGGAGCCGGCTCCGCGGGGAAGCATTAGCGGGGAAGGCGTGTGCTTTGAAGGCCAAGAGCCCGCAACGAAGGAGAGCGCGGCCTACTGGCGGCAGCGCAAGATGCACGAGCCCGACGCGAAGCCCGGGTCCCGGAGCGACCTCCGCAAAATCGTGGCGCGGCGAGGTCACGTCCCCCTGGAAGACACGGAGATGAGCCTCGAGGCCGGCGCGGCCGTCGTCGTCCTGAAGAGCGAGCTCTCCGACGAGCCGGGCTGGATCTTCGCGACGAGGGGCAACGACGAGTGTGGCTACGTGCCGCGCACCTACCTGCTGCGCGACAGCTCGCCAACGAAGAAACCTCTGGACCGCCAACGTGTGGTGGACATCTGGACCGCGGAGCCCGAGGTCCCGGGCTACGCCGACGGCGCCGCCGACGAGGCCCGGGCGTTCCTGGAGCAGGCGCGCGCGCGGCGCGGCGTGCGCGACGTCTTCCGCGAGGACGAGCCCAAAAAAGACGAGGCCGAGGCGCGCGCGGCCGAGGCGGGGAAGTTGCGCGACGCGGTCGCGCAGCTGGGCGACTCCGAGTCGGCGCCGTCGACGGCCGCCGCGGTGGAAGGCATCGACGACGACGCGTCGTTCACCCAACACATCGCCGACGAGGCGAATGCGTCGGAGGACGAGAACCCGGCCTGGGACTCGTCGGACTACTCGTCCGGCGATTTTGATTATCCCGTGGACCCGAGCACGGCGGGGAACTCGCCCGCGCGGCAGCGTCTACGGAGCGGCCCGGGGCTAGGGGACGGCGACGTCGCGTCGCCGCCGGCGCGCAACGACGACGACGACTGGTTCGCGGCCGAGGAGCCGCCCAAAAAGCCAGCGCCCAAGGAAGTCGCCGGCTACCTGTCGAAGTTCGACGCGGACTTTGAAAGAGCCATGGCGAAGCACCGGCGGCACCTTTGAGTAATCCTACTAGTAGTGTTACTCACGTCTCGTCCATGACGTCGCGGCCGCGCTTCTTTTCTATGATCTCAAACTTCGCGGTGCGCAGCCGATTGAGCGCGGCCGCGACTTCATACCGCCGCGGCCGCGAGAGGTCGCCGTCCCTGCGGCCCGCCGGCTGGATCGCGTCGAGGTCGAGGCCGTCAAGGGCGTCGAGCAAGGATGCGACGCTCGCGTGCCGCTGCTTCGCGGCGTGTATAATCGCAGCGCAGCAGGCCCGCGTCTGGCCGACCTCGACGAGCTGCTCGACGCCAGACACGTCGCAGTCGTTGTTGTCGCCGTACTGGAAGCTAGATAAAGCTTTGCAGCCCGTGCGGCCGTCGGGGACGCCCGGTTTAGGCGTGCGCGGCGTCGCGCGGAAGGCGTCGGCAGGCATCGGGGGCGGATCTCCGGCGAGCGCCTTCGCGTCCGCTGTTGCGTCGCGCGGCGAGAACGCGTCCATCACAACAACAGCGTCCGCTATCGAGAAGTAGTCGCCAGTGCCGCCGAGCACGAGAATAGACGAGACGCCATGCTTCGTGGAGAGCGCCGCAGCCCGTCTGACGAAGGGCACGATCGGTTCTCGATCGTCAGCCACGAGGCGCGCCATCCGCTCGTCGCGAATCATGAAATTCGTCGCGCAGGTGTCCTCGTCAAACAGCAACGTCGTCGCGCCGGCCTCGACGGCCTCGCAGATCGCCGCGGCCTGCGACGTGCTCCCCGACGCGTCTGAGGTGCTGAACCTTCGCGTGAAGCCGGCCGGACGGCCCGGGACGTCTCCAATAAAACTGGAGATGTCCACGCTCTGCACGCTCCGGCCGTCCTCGGCTCTTACCTTGACGCAGTTCGGATCACTGACACATAACTCCCTCCCATCTCCCGGGACCTTGTCGAAGCAGCCGACCTGCAGCGCTTGTAAGAGCGTCGACTTGCCGTGGAAGCCGCCGCCACAAATCAGCGACAGGCCCAGCGGCAATCCTAAGCCCGTGACGCCATTCAACTCAACTCTCAAACCGCCGCACTTCTTGGAGTCGAACGCGACGGCGCCGTCGACCATGGGCCTATCATCATTCCCCGCCCGCCTTGCTAGTAAAGCGCCGTCGCCGATGAACGCCACGAGGCCCTTCGCAGCTAGAGCGTCTCGTAACGATCTCTGCTTGATAACGGACGCAATGTGCCTCGCCAGATCAGCATCCTCGCGCGCGACGACCGCCTTCAATGCGAGATCCAAGGCTCGTTCACAAAGCACGCGCGCGCACCAGATGCCCTCGATGCTCCGCCCGGACGCGGGCAGCGCCACGGTAAACCTTACCTCGACGCCTCCACTACCATCCACGAGGCACGCCGTCCGTTCGAGCACGAACTGCGAGCAGACCGCAATTCTTAGCTCGCCGCCCTTCTTGCCGCCCCAGCCGCCCGTCTCCGTCCTCTTATCATCGCCCGCCGACCGCGCCGCGTCGAAGAATTTACGAGAAATCCAGTCGCCGGTCGCGATGCGCGAGACCTTCGTCGCGTAGGCTTCATTAGGGAGTTGGGCGGCTGCCCCCTCAAAGACGACGCGGCACCTCGACGGAGGCGCGAAGGCGTCCTTCTGGCACTGGTCGATCTTCAGTTGCACGCCGCGCTGGAGCGTCCAGGCCGTGCCCCGCAGCTCTTGGTAAGCTCCATAAGACTGGCGTTCGAGACTCCTCAGGAAGGCGCGCAGGTCCTCGCCCGTGCCGCCCCGCGCCTGCCCGGGCGGCGGCGGCGGTAAGTGGCCGCCGCGGCCGCCCTTGCGCCCGCCGCCGCGCCCGCGCCCGCCGCCGTACTTCGCTTTGTAATACGCGCCGCGGCCGCCCATTTGTGATAGGCCCGCCGCCGCCGCGGCGCAGAGGACTACTAGGAGACGCGTCGACCGCGTCTTGCTGTGCCGCTGCCCGATGCGTGCGGCACGCAGCTGACTGCCAGCACTTGGCTGCACAGGAGCTCTTGAAATTAGTCCAGTCTTGGCACCGAAACGCAGCCGTGCAGCCGCCAGAGGCCAAAATCAGTCTGAAACCCAAATCTGCGATGCCAGATGGTGCTTTAGCAAGGCAGCGAGGCCCTTTTTAGCGCGAGGCAGTCGAGCTAGCGGCATGTAAGACACTAGCAAACACAGCGCAGCGCGGCGCAGGAGCCACAGCAGGGACATACCAGGCTCTACCGGTCCCCACAGGCCACCCAGGCTGCCACCAGACCACACCCATACGACTCCACCAGGCAAGCCCGTCTGGGGCAGCCTACCATGGCTACCCCCCAAGCAGAGGCGCCGGCCCCGGCGCGAAGAGTGGAAGAGGCCCCCGCCGACCCGCTCCACGCCTTCCGCCTCGCGACGAAGCGCGAAAAGCTCAAACGGCGCAAAGCGGAGGCCGCCGCCTACCGGCCCGGCGCCGGGCAGCTGAAGGCGCGGCACCGGCGCCAGGACGCCGACAAACCGAAGCTCAAGCCCAAGACGCTGGATGTGGAGCGCTTCCGGAAAGCCGTACAAGAGGGCGACGTCGACGACGCCATTCAACAGCTCGGCTCGTGGGCGTCGCAGAGCACTTGTGAAAGGCGCGAAACCGCGGCGACGGCGCGAAAAAAACTCGAGGCGAACGCCACGTATCGACGCCAAATGCGAGAAGAGGCGACGGCACGTGTTAAAGATATGGTCGAGGACGCGCGCGTGCTCACACAGTTACCGTCGGTTGACTCGTTCTTCGAGAAGAGCCGGGCCTTCCAGGAGGCTCATTCGGTTTCGAGCTGCCCGACGAAGAGCAAGAGCTATCGGGGCGCCGTGCCGCGGCGGCGGCCGCCGCCGTCGCCCGTCAAAAAGGCGCTTTATCCGCAGCGCTGCGACCTGCCGCCCGTCGACGCGCCGGCGCCGGCGCCCTCCACTAATCTCTGGTGGGGCCCCGCGGAGGAATCCGAATCCGAGGAGGAGGAGGAACGAGAGGAGGCGGTGCACTTCTGGGGCGCCGCGTCCGACGCCGAGTCCGAAAGTTCGGAAGAGGCCGAGCCGTGGATCAGGGACCCGGAGCTGCTCCTTTCCCCAAATGCTCTGCTCGAGCAGCAGCAGGGCTCGCCCCAGGACGCGCTGGCCGCGGCATTAAACGCCCAGGCCGCATCAAAAGACCGCCAGGCCTCCGAGTGCGAGCGCCACGCGCGCGCGTTGATGGGCGAGGTCCGGTCTACGCGGTCGAACTACGCGCGGAGCATATTATCAAGGCACGCGGCGCGCTGGCGCCTCGTGGGCGCGCGGCATTGTGTAAAGGCGGCGGAATTGAGAAGGGACGCCGCCGAGGCGGCGCGGGACGGCGTCGCGGCGCCCTTCGACCGCCTCGTGGCGCGGGCGCGTGTGGTGGTTGCGGACGAGCAGAAGAAGTGCGCGCGGCACGCCGCGCCGCGGGGCAACGTGCCCTGGTTGCGACGGGAACGAACGGAGAGCCAGCTGGCGCGCGCGGAGGCCGTCGAGGAGGAGCTGCGGGAGAGGAAACGCGGGGCGCTGCGGGACCATTTAGAATTTTGCGAGGACATGCGGGACGGCGTCCGCGCGGCCGAGGCCGTTTTAAATGCTCGGCACGCGGCCCACGGCCGCGCGGCGGGGCGGTCCGGCATGCACCGTTTCGCGGCGCGGCTCATCGGGCGCGCGCGCCGCCGCATCTGGCGGCGGCGGAAGCGGCTCCACAAGGTCGCCAAGATCCAGGCGGTCCAGCGCGGCGTCGCCCTGCGAGCGCGGCACCTGGCCTCCGACGCCGACTCGTACCACTCGCTCCGTTCGCAACGGACCATGCGGTCCGCGGCGACGGCGCCGTCGTATCGCACCTTTCATTCCGAGACGACGGCGCCGTCGCGGGCCGGGCGCTCCTACACGGCGTCGCCCCTCACGGTGCCGTCGACCTTCGGCGGGCCGTACCGACGGCCCGCGGGCCCGCGCCGCGCCGCGCCGGACGACGGCTACCGCGCCGCGCCGGCCCCGGCCCCGGCGCCCGCGCCGGCGCCCGCGCCGGCCGGCGCGCCAGCCGGCGCGCCGGGGCCGGCCCCGGCGCCGGCCCCGGCGCCGGCGCCCGCCGGCGCGCGGGCGCCCAGCCCCGCGCGACGGTCCGTGACGCCCGTGTCGTCGACGGCGCTCGTCGCGTACCGGTGGCGCCGCGGCGACGCGTGCCTGGCCATCTGGGACGACGGCCTCTGGTACGACGCGCGCATCGCCGATTATGGAGACGACGAGGACACCTTCGACATCCTGTACAAGGACGGCGACTTCCGGCCGAACGTGCCGTTGGTGGACATCGCGCCCCTCGACCAGCGCGATTTCTTGGACGAGTCGACGGTGGCGACGGCGCCGACGCAAGAGGACGCGCTGAGCTACGAGGACTTCGGCGAGCGGTCCCTCGTGCTCTCGGACCTGGACGACGGCTCGCGCGTGCCCGACGTCGACGACGGCCAGGGCCTGGAATGGGAGACGGTCGCCGACGAGCAGGGCCGGACCTTCTACTTCAACCGGTTGACCGGAGAGTCGGCCTGGGCGCTGCCGCCGTCGCGCGCGGCGTCGCCGCCCCAGTCGCCGCCGCCGCCGGAACCCTACGACGAAACCGTCCACATCGACGAGTTCGGCGTCGTCCGGGCCCAGCCGTCCTCGGCGCGGCGCACCGAGTCCTTCCGCTCCTACTCGTCGCGGGCCTCCTCGCGCCAGACGACGCCGCGGTCCAACCCGTACTGGGACGACGACTCCTACTCCTACGACCCGTCGGGCTCCCAGGCGCCGGCGCTGTCGCGCGTGCCCTCGAACGCGTCCAACTACTCGTTCGCGTCCTCGACCGGGTAACTATGTGTCTGTTTACCGCACCTGCCCCGACCGCACGGACACGACCTCGGGCCACGCCATTCGGAGCGGCGCCTCCTCGCCTCCGTCGGACTCGGACGACGTCGACGCGGCGTCGTCGTCGACGGCCTCGCAGCCGAGCGCCTCGCCGAGCCGATCCCGGACGTCGTCCGCGTCGTCGTCTTCGCCCACGACTACCGCCCCCGCGACGGCGTGGACGCCGAACGCCAGCGGTTTTGGTTTTGGTTCCGTCGCCCAGCGGAGGCCCGCGGCGCCGCGGAGCTTCGTCGCGACCTCCTCGGCCGCGTCGAGGCCATTTCGGCGGCCTCGCAAACCAACACTGAGCTCGACGACGCGGACGGTCGTCGATGGTTGCCGTGCTTTGATTCGCTCGTCGACCGCTCGCCACAGCGCGGCCCAGTCCGCGACTCGTTGGCCCGCGGTCAAAGCGTCGTCGCCGACGGCGAGCGTCTCATGTTCACACCGGAGGCGCAGGCAGAACGGCACGAGCGTCGCTCGTTCCGTCGACGCGGGCGCCGCGTCGACGCTCCATGCGCCGTCGCACGCGCGCTCGACCAACGAGCGAACATGGCCCTGGAGCATGCTGACTAATACAAAGCATCCACCGGGCCTGAGCACGCGCCTTAACGTCGCGAAGAGCTTCCCGACGCTCCTCCGACTCGCGTCGTCGTCGCGCGGGTGCAGCGCGTCCACGAGGCCCTTATCAAAAATAACGTCGACGCTCGCGTCGGACACGCCCGGCAGGGCCAGCGCGTCCATCACTTCAAAGTCGAGCGCGACGAGGTCGGTCGACTGCTGCGCCGCGCGGCTCCGGGTCACGCACTCCTCGCTCACGTCGACGCTGAGCACGCGGAGTTTGTGCGGCCCCCGCCATCGCTCCGCAAGCCCTCGCGGCACCTCGCACGTGCCGCACCCCAGATTCACGACGAGCCGCTCGCCGTCGCTGCTGTTGACATCAGCCAGCGCCGCGTCGACGAGCGCGGCGCCGCGCGCGCCGTCGACGTACCAGTGGAAGACCGCGTCGCCGCGCTTCCGGTAGAAGGCGTCCCAGTAGTCGACGGTCCCGAACTCGTCGGCGGACCTGGGCAGCAGGTCCCGCGCGGCCTCGGAGAGCTCGGACATGTCTTTGCACGCGTCTTTTTATGAGCTCTCTGATCTGTGAGCGGCTTGCAGTGGCGTGCAGCTGGCAGCGAGTGGTGCAGCGTTGCAGCCGCAGCGATGGCGGTCGCTGTGCCACGCAGGCCGGTCCAGGCGTAAGATGCAGCTCTGGTACTCCCGTTGCGCACCGCGACAAACCAAAAGGACATCGACGATTATATTAGGCACGCAGTTAGCGTACTGTAACACACTAGCAAGCTCTCAGATCGTCGGATTGCGGAGCTTTTCGCACCTCCTCTCCTCCCATAACGCAGCCCCCGACGCGTAAGGGTGGCCCCGAGCACCGGCGGGGCAGCCCCGCCTGAGACTAGAACATGGAAGAGGAAAGTATGATGATGCCCGTGCGGCCGCCGCGGGGCATGACGGCGCGCCAGGTGACGATGTTACGGCGCCTCTACACCATGCACATCGAGCAGCAGGAAGCCATTTTCGCGCAGCCGCCCTCACCGGCGCCGGCGCCGGAAGCGGTGGTCACGGCGACGCGCGCCGAGGCGCGGAAGGCGACGTGCCGCATCTGTTTCTCCGAGACCTACGCGCCGGACGGCCGCGAGCGTTCTGATGAACAGCCGCGGCCGGAAACGATGGTTGCGCCGTGCAAGTGCGACGGCTCGCTGAAGTGGGTCCACGTCGGGTGTTTGCGGCGGTGGCAGCGGCAGATCGGCCGCGACAACGCCGGGGCCCTGCCGGCGATCCCGCGGGGCCCGCCACAACGCCCGGGCGGCGGCGCGGCGCGGGCGACGACGTGCAACGTCTGCAACGCGCCGTTCGCGCTCGCGCCGCCGCGCGCGAAGGACATGTGGGAGGATTTGAGAGCTGGGTGCCTGCTCGTGGCGCGGGACCACGACCGCTTCTCGGAGAAGGGCGGCTTCCGGAAGAGCGTGATTTTGGTGTTGGAGCTGACGCGGACGCAGGCCGTGGGCGTGTGCCTCGCGAGCGCGCTCGGCGAGACGGCCGCGCGCCAGGGACCCATGTGGAAGGACGTGGACGACGACGTGAAGGCCGCCGCGGAGGAGGCCGCTTCCAGTACAATCCACTGGCGGCGGGGCGGACCCGTGGGCGGCGGGCGCATCGGCGCGCCGCGCTTCCTCGTCGTCGGCGGCGCCGGCGAGACGCTGCGCCTCGACGACGGGTCCGCGGTCGACGTCCTGGGCGGCCTCCGGGCCGACGACCTGCCCGAGGCGCTGGCGGAGGCGGACCACGCCGTGGCGGCGCGGACCCGGGCGTGAAAATTGAAACCGCCTCCGACGCTTTTTGCGCCGCGCAGGTCTATAAGGGCTACTGCCGATGGGGCCGCCAGCAACTCGCGCAGGAGTTCGAGGGAGGTGACTGGGACATCGTGCCGAGCGAGCGCGGCGACGTGGCGCCACAGCTAATTGGCGAGGGCCTCTGGACACGGTGTAGGAGACGAATAAACACATCATGAGTAAATTACGAGGAACACCATGACTATCAGCACGACGGTCAGCGCGACGATGGTCCAGAGCTGGCACGTGTCCTTCGTTTTCAATAGCTTGGAGAGCTTGCCCATGACGAAGTTCATCTTCTCGGTCGTCTCGTCGAGCTCGTCCTCCATGTCGTCGAGCATCCTAGCTTGCGCGCTCAGTTCTCCGTGGATCTCCTCGGCCATGCCGTGGATGCGGTCGACGGCGCCGTCGAGCTGCTCCAAGCCCTCGTCCTGCTCCTGGATGGTCGCCGCCACGCGCGCGTGGGACGAGTGGATGAAGGCCGTGTTCTGCATCTCGAGGTCGCCACTGGCATCGTACGCGCCCCGCTGCGACGCTAAAGCAGCTTGCTCGTCGGCCTCGATCTTCGCGCGCGCGCGCGGGCCCGCGACGGCGTCTCGAGCGGACGCGACGTCGCGCTTGGCCTTGTCGACGAAGGCTTTGCGCTGGTTCAGCTCCGCGTCGTTGATGTGAGGGAACGCGCCACGGTCGCGTTCGACGTATTCCACTGTTAAAGCTAAATCTCTCAGCTGCGCCTCGGCGGCGCGCACCTCGCGCGCGACGGCCTTTTTGGCTTCCCGAAACCTGGGGTTCCCGTGCGTCGTGCCGCTGCCATATAATAGGGTAGTGAACGTCGCGACGCGGCCCTCGATGGACCGCAATTTCACCACCAACTCGTCCTTCACGACGTGGAAGGGGTCGCCGCCGGCCGACGCCATGAGCGGCACCGACGCGAGCGGGTCGTTGGACATAGACGCGCGGCCCGCGCCGCGCCTGGTGGGCGTCGCCGACGCGGTGCCTCCCGTCGCGCGCGCGCTCGCGCGGCTCCCAGCTGGCCACCACCCCTGGTGGCTGCTTGTGAAGCTCGCAGCCGCTCGTGCGAAGCCCGCGCTCGTATCCGGAGGCGACGGCTGGTTGTTAGCTCTCAGTAGACGAGCCCTGCGAGCCTGAGACGCCTGGCAATTGCCAAAAACTGCCGAGGCGTGCGCACATTTCAGCAGGAACTAGCGGCTGTAAGACACTAGCAAGCTCCTTTGCAACCCTTCTCTGGACCCCGTTGCCCCGACGTCTCTTCGACCGCAAGGCGCGCCAACTTGTAGCGGCGTATAACGTTCGGGTTCAGACTGTTTGGGCGCGTTTCACAAAAAAATCGCGGCGGGGCAGCAGGACCGCAGCCCTCGGCTGCGTACCGAATTAGTAACGATGGCCGCCCCACCGCTCCAGTGCCAGGCCGTGCTCCACCAGGCCGCGCACCGCGGGATCGACCTACAAAGGTGGTTCGGACCGGCGGTGATTCCAAGTGGCGACTTCGAGAAGAAGATGATGGGCCTGGGTTTGGGCGTGGCGGCGGGCCTGCCGGCCGAGGCGGCCCAGTGCGTGGAGCGCGGGCTGGCGCGCGGCGCGCTGGACGAAGCCGTAGCCGCGGCGGCCGCGGGTGATGATCAGGTGGACGTGGCCAAGCTCCTGAGCCTCGCCAAGGTTTCGGTAGGACGACCGCCGGCGCGCCAGAAGCCCTGGACCGCGCCGCGGCCGAGGACGGCGCCGGTGCCGTCTTCTCGGAAAGCTGCGACGGCGCTGGCTGCGACCGAGCTCCAGCGGCAGAAGGTGACGCCGTCGAGACTAAGAGGTTTGAAGGTAGCTCTACGGAGATCCGGCGAGACCATCGACGTCGATGCGTTACAGAAAGCTTTGGGGACACAAAACCTGCGGCTGAGGGACGCGAACGCCGCCGCTCTTGTGAGAGAGGCGGCGTGGCGGTCCCAGAACAATGAAGAGGGCGCGCCGACGAAGGCGCCGCTCATAGGCATCATCTCCCTGGTCGAGGACCTCTTCGCGCCCTCGGAAAAGCCGCCCGCCCCCTCCTACGAGGCCTGGAAGAAGCATAAGGACGAGGCCCAGAAGGGCCGAGCTAGAATTCAATTCCGACGGGCCTTGGGTGGCTTATCTCATGCGTTAGATGCCCCGGAGCTGAAGGACATGCTTCTGAAATATCAAGTGTTGAACGAAGACGCGTTGACGGAGGAGATCCGGGCCTCAGCGAGGGAGTGGGCGCGGTCGCCGGACGGCCACTTTGCGCAGCTCAAGGCGGGCCTGAAGAATAGTGATAGTGACGTCGAGGAGGGCCGGCGGAAAGTTCTGAGAGATCTCGAACAGAAGACCGGTTTTGTGACTCTAGAAACGTGGAAGCGCTACGAACTGGCTCTGAAACGACGGGACGCCTGCGAAGGACCGCTACCCTTCGAGACCTACCTCGCGTCGATCAAAGCAGAAAGGCAGAAGGCCGAGAAGGTTGTCGAGGAGTGGACGAAGAGCAAAGACGAGGAAGAGAAGCTGCGGAAGGAGGATAGGATGCGCCGCGCGCCCGTCGACAAGGTGGTCGACGAGATGCGGTCGCTATATGATCAAGCCCACGATGAGCTGGACGGCCAATACAAGGCTTCGCGGATCTGCCCCTCGATCGAAGCGAAGCTGCGAGGATTCACCGAAAAAGCGCAAAATGGACTCGTGACGAAGGCCCAGTTCGACGACACCTTCGGCAAGGAGGCCTTTTCGTTGTTGGCAGACAAGCGCGTCGCGCCGAAGGCGTTGGCGCTGGCCGATGCGTCGGTGCGGCAGTCTATTACCGCAAGAAGATCTAGTGGCGAGAAGCCCACGTCCGAGGTCTTCGGCATGTCGTCGGAAGAAGCCTCGAAGCACGCGAAAGAGCTGTCGGAAAAGAAAGAAAACGAAACGAACGAAGAGTACACGAAGTGGGTCGCGGCGAAAGCTGAAGAGCGCAAGAAAAATCTCAAGGCGCGCAAGGAGAAGGCCAAAGCTTTAAAGCAGGGCCTGGACTCGACGCGCTCCGACGTCGAGGCGAAGCTGACGGCGTGGCGCAAGGCCCAGGCCAAAGCCTCGAAGGCCCTGAAGAAGCGCGCGGCCTACACCGGCGACGACGCGGAGACGATTACCAAATTAGAGGACGCCGTCGACGCGGCGAACAAGCTGCGGGCGGAGACCGGCGTCGCGGCGACCGCGGCGACGAAGCGGTGGAAGGCCCTCAAGAGCGCGCGGAAGGTCGCGCGGGGGAAGTAATGATTCAACTATACAATCTTAGGCGAGCCAGCCCCGGCTGCGGCAGTAGTCGAGGTTCCGCGCGCAGAGGCACTCTTCCGGGATGTACCACTTCCTCCGACTCCCGTCGAAGCGCGCGCCGACCTCGCGCTTCACTTCCTCGTTCTTGGAGAAGGGGTGGCAGAGGTACCGCTTGGACCCAGTCACGCGGACCCATGGCGCAAACTTCTTGCGGTCGCCGCCCTCCGGAGCCATCCAATTTCTTGTCGCCGCGTTCCACCAGGCGCCCAGGGCCTTTACCGTCTCCCGTTTCTCGTAGGACACGCCCAGCGGCGTCGCCTCGGCATACTCTTCGTCGTCGTCCTCCTCTTCCTCCTCTTCCTCCTGCTCCTGCGGCGCCTCCTGGACCTCCTCCGCGCCATCGGAGTCGCTGTCGCCGCCGCCCGCGCGCAGCAATTTGACGTACGCCGCCACCAGTTCGGACTTTTCTACCATTCCGACCGTCGACACGCCGCGCGCCGCCAAAACAGCCTTGAGGTCCTTGGTGGGCATCGCCCTCACTCGCGCCTCGACGTCGCCGTCGCCGCTGCTGTCGCCATCGTTGCTGCCGTCGCCGTCGCGGTAGCTCCCGCCGTCGTCGGCGGCGCCGACGCCAGCGCTATCATCATCATCATCATCGCACGACGCCTGCCCACCGTCGTCCTGCGTGACCTTGGGCCGCAGGACCCGGTTCACGTAGTCCGTCTGCTGCGACGCGTGCTCCTCCAAGCAGAACGGCTCTGTCATGTACTTGCCGTAGTCGCCGCGCCGCACAGCGCGACTGAAGTTGTCGACGGGCTGGCAGTAGCCGTCGCGGAAGCCATTTTCCGACGAGCCGTACTTGGGCTTGCCGCGCCAGCGGCAGCAGGCGCACGTCATCAGCTCGCGGCCGCGCAGCTCCCGCGGCCGGTCCGCGTCGTCCTCCGACTCGGCGGCCGACGAGTCCGCGTCCGCGTCCGCGGACGCGTCCGAGCTCGCGCCCGAGCCGGTGCGCGCGCGGACGTTCTCGGCGTCGACGAAGACGGTACGCGCGCGGACCATTTCGGGGTCGACGACGTTGCACTTGTCGCGGTCCGCCCCGGTCCACCGGACCTCGTATTTGCGTGCCAGGACCCGTTCGATCGTCGCGTCGTACCACGTCTCCCCCCAGCCCGGGCACTGCGCCTCGACCTCGTCGCCGACGGCAAAGCGCCCTCCCGCGGCGCCCTCGGCGGCCTTGGCACCCCCGCCGAAGTCGAACTCCTCCTCGGGGTCGCCGTCTTCTCCAGCAGCCCGCCGCCGCGCCTCCGCCGCCGCCACCGCCTCGTCGTCGTCGTCGCTAAAGTCGCCCGCCAGGTTGCGCCGGACATCGTCGTCGTCGTCGGCCTCGTCCCGCGGCTGGCGCCGCCGCTTCTTCTTCCGCGGCGCCGGCGGCGGCGCGGCCTCGGCCTCGTCGTCGCTGCTCGCGATGAAGTCGTCCTTCTCGTAGCCGTGGCTCTTCTCCTTCCGGGGGCGCCGCTTCGTTTTCTTCTTCCGCGACGGCGTGCGGTGGCGCGCCGCGTCGTCCTCGTCGTCGTCGCTGGCGGCGACGGGATCGTCGTCGTCGACGACGAAGCCGTCGTCGGAGCCGTAGCCGCTCCGCCGCCGCCCGCTCCGCCGCCGCTTGCCGCGCTTCGGCGTCCGCGGCGGCGGCGCGGCCTCGTCACTATCGTCCTCGTCGTCGGGGCTCGGCTGGCGGCGCGGCGACAGCGGCGGCGCGGCCTCGCCGCCGCCGCCGACGAAGGGGGACGCGTCCTCGCCAGTATCGGGCTCGGCCGCCGCCGCCGCCGCCGTCGACCCGCGCCGGCCTGCGAAGTAGGCCATGTAGCTCGTGTCGGTGTCCTGCCCTTGCGCCGGCGTCGACTCCTGGCTGCAGAGGTCGAACGCGTTGCCGCTGGCCTCGGCCGCGGCGCGGTCGCGCTCGCGCGCGGCGTCGGCGTCGAGCGTACCGGTGAACTGCACCTCGTCGTCGTCGGACGAGAGGCCGTCCATCTCTATCTAGCTCTTCCAAGTGGAACAGTCAACTTGCTCCGTGTTGAGCGCAAACAAGCGGTTTTTCTTGTGACCGCTGGCTGTGAGGAGTCCGCACGAGTGCTTCGCTGCCTTGCCACCACGTGGGCCCACGAATGCGGCCTATATGGACAGCGCTGGAGCAGCGCTTTGGCAGAGGCCTCAGATCGAGAGCCGCACCTTCACGCAGCCGGATATGCGTCTGGAACCGTGCAGAGAGCTCTGCCAGCGGATCCCGCGGCCTGCCAAGCCGCATCGTGCTAGTCGATGCCGCGACATTTTTTGGAGGTTGCCTGTGGTGTGCCCATGCGGACGAAGGCTAAGCCTGGAACACAATGAATCGACGACGACGACGACGACCCGTCGCGTTCCTCTGCACCGCGTGCGCTACGGCGCGGTCCGTGGTCCATGAGGCGCCACCACCGGCAGCCGCAGCCCACCGGGCACTGGCAGACTGCCCCTCCGAGACGTACACCATAGACGGAGTAGGCGGCTGGGAGGACCACTACCCCGGCAGCCAGCAGACCCCGATCGTGCTGAAGAGCGGCTGCCCCGTGTCCGTCAGTATCGCGGCTGGCGAGCACGCGTTCCTGCGGGTCAGCGGTTTTAACGAGACGTTCGAGGACCGCCACCCGAGGCTGCAATGGACGTGGAGTGTAACGGACGGCCCGGTGCCGCTGATGGGCTACACCTGGTCCTCGCATTTCTGGCCGGTCTGGCTCGGAGCTGGTAAGGACACTTCGGAGTTTGACTGGTACTGGTGGCCCCAGGACCGGCCAAACGGGGACGTGGTGTTCCCGGAGGGCGATAGTGATTTCGACATTTACCATTGTTTTGGAGAGTCCGTCGACGGCTACTATCAAATGTGCCAGGCCGAAGGGCAGACCTGCGACGAAGGGCAGACCTGCGAGGGCCTGCCGGCGGACTACGACTTGGATTTTTGCGGCGACGAACATTGCCAGGAAGACTGTTGCGGCGACAAGGACCTGAGGGAGCGCGGGTGCAACGACGACGACGACGACAGCGGCGGGTGCGGCGACCTGCGCGTGGGGATCTCCGCCTGGGAGTTTGATAACGCGACGCAGCTGGAAGTGACCGCGACTCTGATATTTCACGAGCCAGTGAACATCGCCGAGGGCGACCTGGCGGCCCTCAACGAGCTCTGGGACGCGACGTGCGGGCCCTGGTCCAGCGCCAAGGCCCCAGAGGACGGTGGACCAGCGACGGACTGGTGCCGGGGAGATGACGAGGACGACGACGACGAGTGCGGGCCCTGGGATTGGGAAGCGTACCAAGCGCTGGCGTCGGCCGACCGGGGCGAGCGCGACTCGCGGCACAAGCCTTATTGTGATTGGGACATCGGGGGCAGCGGGCAGCGGGACTGCAAGGACGTCGGCGGCATCGTCTGCGAGGAGGGGCGCATCACGGAGCTGAACTTCGAGGGGCTCGGCCTGCGCGGGGTTATTACGCCAAAGCTGCTGAACATCTCGACGTTGAAAAGCGTGAGGTTGGGCAACAACCGTTTATCAGGCCCCTTGCCTCAATTCGCATCCACGAAACTGGAGCGCCTTTTATTATCGAACAATTATTTTAACGGGACCATCGGTTGTGACTATGCGACTCTCAAAGATTTGGAGTTGGATAGAAACGACCTCGAGGGCTCGGTGCCCGAGTGTTTGCTGAATTCCGCTACTCTACAAACGCTGGACCTCGGCCACAACCGCCTCGACGGGCCGCTTCCTGTTGTAACGCAGCCGCACTCGCCGATGCTGACGTTGCGGCTGCCGCAGGCGGGCCTGAGCGGCTCCCTAAATAACCTGGCGAAGCTTACTGAATTGAGACACCTGGATTTGTCAAGGAACTTCCTGACGGGCACGCTGGACACGGCGCTTGTACAAAGCTGGACGTGGCTCATGGATTTGGACCTGAGCTGGAACTATCTGGAAGGATCCATACCAGAATTCCCTTCTATAAACACGAAAAAAATAGACCTGGGCCACAACGCCTTCTCCGGCGAGCTCTTGACCCAATTCCAGACCTTCGCCGAGAACCAGCGCCACGGCGAGGCCGGCTGGCTGCACCTCGACTCGAACTCGTTTTGCGGGCCGCTGCCCGAGGTCTTATACGATCTCCTGTACGACACGCACACCATAACAAACATGGACGTCGCGGGCAATCATTTTAGATGCGCCGTGCACAACCGGCACTTCGACGGCTGGGCGCGCGTGACGGGCCACGACTGGGGCGAGTGCACGCCGGTGGCCGTCGTCGCCGCCGCGGCGCCGGTCGATGGGGTGGCGGTCCCGGGCGCCGAGCTTATAATCACGGGCGAGTTCGTGGCGACGACCGAGGCGCGGTGCGCTTTTGTGAATGGCGCAACGCGCGCCGAGGTCGCGGCTTCGTATATTTCCTCGACGGAGCTGCGGTGCAGTTTACCAACCGACTGGCCGCCGGGCCCGACGACGGTCGAGGCCGCCCACTACTGCGACGACTTCTCGAGCGTTCTTGATGATTACGTGCCCGTGCACGTGGACGTGTCGGCGGCGCCGACGGCGGCGCCCGTGGCCTCGTCGTCGTCGTCGTCGTCATCATCAAACGGCGTCTCGACGGCGGCGCTGGGCGGCGGCGTCGCCGCGGCCGCGGCGGCGTTGGTGATGTCGGCGGCGCTCGCCTACATCATCCGGCGGGAGATGGCGGGGAAGCCGCTCTTCGTGCCCGCGGCACGCTGGGAGGCGAACCCGATCGCGGGGCGCGCCGACGACTTTGACAGCGCCAAGGGCGGCGACGTCGAATTGGAGATCCGGCACCTCGAGCGGCTCAAAGACGTTGATCTTGATGTGGAGGAGCGCAAGGACGACGCCGACGCCGTGCGGTCGCCGCGGCACGCCGTGCTGTCGCCCCGGTCGTCCAGGGAGGGGTTTTCGTAGGGGTTCTTGTCGTCTAGTATGTCCTTCTAGTTTGCGACGGCTCGACTTCCCCTACAGACGGATTCTCGAAAAACATGCTAGTATGTCGATGACGCTAGGTGATTATCGATGGACGCGTACCTTACACCATTTGTGTCTGGGTTCTCGGGGGGCAGGGTGAAACAACACCCTATCGCCAATCCCAATAGACACGGTGGCGAAGCGTTCGGGGTCCGTACTACCTGGGGGTGGGTTCAATAAGTGGCTCTCTCTCTCGTCGTCGATAGCTAAAAGAGGATTGTGTGCAGGAAGGAACGTAAAAAAGATCTCGGTCAATGTCAATCGATAAGCTAGCTAGGTCATTGACAACTCAACTTAGACAGACAGTCTTGACAAGAGTGCAACGGGGGGACAGGGGATATGGTATGTACAGGGGGAGGCGTCGCCGGCGCGCGCTTGGACGGCGGCGGAGCCTCTAGTCTCGCGCTACAATGAGAAAGGCCGGGTAGTTGGCGAACTCGAAGTCCCGCCGGCCGCCGCCGGCTTTGGGCTTGACGAGCGCGTATGCGTGCCCGCTGCGTCCATTACTCATTGTTTTTTTCAGGTTGATCACGGCGACTGCGTTCTCTTCGTCCGGGTGCGGCGCGAGGTAGATCTTAGAAGCAGTCCAAGTTTCCCATCTGACTTCGACACCTCCGTCGAACGGCGCCCCTTGATTCTTGTCGTAGAAAAAGACGTCGACGCCTTGAGCCCGCGCCTTCAGCTCCGATCGGACGTCGATGTCTTCGAAGCTGCCGTCTTCAGGCCCCTCATCCTCGTACTCAGACAAATACTTGAACGCTGCAAGTACAAGCTTGTTCCGTTGTTCCGTCTGTTTACTGTTTGGTGCTTTCTTGGTATGCAAAACACGGAACGCCTTGTTGAACCCGTAAAGGTCGTATCCCTCTCCCCTCAAGTCATCTACAGGATCACGTTTGGTAGCCAGCCTCGGCGGCCCTCCAGGCCCCCCAGTCCTCGCATATTGGCTCAATTGGCACCAGGCAAAGGCAGGCCAGGCCCCCCAGTCCTTGCATATTGGCTCAATTGGCACCAGGCAAAGGCAGGCCCTGTCGTGATCATCGCGGGTTCCATCTCGCGGGCAGCCCAACACTATGAGCAGCCTCCCCAGCTTCTGCGTCGCCAGCTTAGCAAGGCGTGAGGACCGTCGCAGAGCTGCCGAGCTCTGGATGGATCAGCTGCCCCGCGTGGACTTCTACGACGCGATAGATGGCTCGAGTGCCAGCGAAACCAAGGGGGTGACACTGACGCTGTGCGGCGGCCGCGGGGCCGTCGTCTCGTCGACCGGCGCCTGGCGCAGCTTGACTTGCTGCTTGTCTCGCTCCAGATCGGCCGCAATCTTTTGCTTGATGTTCCGGAGCCTCTTGTACCTGGGCCCATCCGCATGGACCTGCGCCTGCAAGGCCACGACTTCAGCCTCCCACTTATCCCGGATGCGGCTTTCGCGTCTCAGCTTTGTTCGCCGCGAGATGATGCCCGCCAAGCCGGCGTTAAGCTCGTCGAGTGTCGCGTGGCGGTCACGGTCGTATCTTTTGATGAGCTTTACGACGCCGTCGCAGGTCGATGCCTCCTCGAGCTTGTGGCGCTTGAGCTGTAAGTTGTCCTCGAGGAGCTGCTCCACCTCTGCTCGAAGACGAGCTTCGACCGCCGTGCGGTCTGTTTCGCTGGCACTCAGCATGTGGTGGTGTGTGTTGCCATTTTGCACTCACTCTGTGGGCTCAAGCCTACGGTTCGCTTGGGCTGGCCGCTCTGGCTGGCGTCCGAGGACATGACGATCGCTTCTGGCGTTCGACGCTGCCCCGCGCCTTCGTGCGGTGCCGGGGCTGTCCGCCAAAGCCTTTGCTTGCAGACAACTTGCTTGCTAGTGTCTTACAGACCGCTAGCTAATATTGAGGAGCGGCGGCGGCCAATCTCGCCGCATTCACACGCTGGGAGAAAATTAAGGAGAACAGGTTGCGTCCTCGGCCCGGCAAAGTCTCTCGGCAGCCAAAGCGACATCGCTGCCAGCGCTGCGTGAGGACACAGCAGGCTGCCCTCAAGCCGAGCTAGGAGCCGCGACGACGACTACCGCTCATCGGCGCGACGACAAACGACGACAGCACGACTGCGTCGTTCTGCCCTCGCCGGCGGCCGCTCGCGCCGCGGCTGAGAAGACTCTAGCGCGCCGCCCGCCGCGCAAGATCTCAAAGCAGACACAGGTCCGTCCGTCAAGGCGCAGCGCGTGACAAAGGGCGGCCGTGTTACTCAACGGTCGCGACGGACGCGCCGAATCGTCAAGCGCGGCGACATACACACAACTCCACATTGAACACCCGCGCTGTCGACGCCACATTTCCCTGAGAGACTGCGTCTGCTCGATGGCGTGGATCCCTTCGTCCAGAGGGACTGTCTATCCGACGATCCCGTTCAGAAGCGCGAACATCATCGCCGGCGCGCCATTCATTTGGTGCGTTCGTGCGTCGTTCCGCCATACACACAAAACGTACCAGTAGTATCATAGTGATGAGAGAGAACGCCAACGACGCGACCCGTTCTCCTCGGCGCGCCCGCGGCCCTTCCCCAAAAAAACAGACAGCACTCGACGTCTGTGGATGACCTGCCCACTCGCCGCGGACGCCGTCGGGAGTTCTGCCATTAAGGTTTAGTGTGGCTATATAACACCGATATAACTCTTCGCGACGGTCTGCAACGGCACTGGCGCCGGCCGCCTGCGTCAGCAGCACTAGACCTCTCGCATCCACCTCATGCAATTGCCTATTTTTGGCCTAGACCGAGGCCAATTTTGATCGCGCGGACACAGAGCTCGCCGCGCGGCCTCTCAAAGACACCAGAGGTCGCCACCTCGGGCGCCCCGAGCACCAGTGAGCCTCAGCGCAAGAGTCACAACCCTCTAACCAAACCCTCCAAAAAACACGAGGCTTGCGTCGCCCTCTCTCGATACAAAATCGCGAACATATTCACCAACACCCCTTCCGTTCCAGCTACGCCCCCGAGGCGCGTCGCGCACGCGCGTTTCCAAAATACTTCTTACCCGATTCTCACTTTTTGACTTCCACAGGTTTTTTCTCTGTGGTCCAATTACAAGAACGAGCTCCGTCAAATTTGGCTTGAGTTCAAGCGCGGCATCTTCGGCCGGGGCAACGGCGGCAACGGCGGCAACGGCGGCAACGGCGACGGCGGCAACACGGACGATGACGACGACGACGACGACAACGACGAGAAGAAGTCCAATTCGAAGCGCCAGAAGCGCAAGGGAATCTCGCCGCTCAAGCCGGTGAAGATCGAGGACGAGGGCATGGGGATCTCGATCTGAGGCTATATATATCCTTCCCGTTGCCGCGCGGCGGCGCGCGCGGCACCTCCCCCGTAACATTTGTAACAAATCGACGCCTCCTGTAGGCACACTCTACGAAGCGCCGGGGGGCGCTTCCCTGGGGACGGACGAGGTCGCCAAATTTCGAGGGTGTGCTGGTCCTCGTAGCTGACTAGCGTTATAACACACTAGGATTTTGCTGAACAAGGTCCTCAAGCTTGCCGGGAGCGCAAGACACGAGTGTCCGCGCGGAGGAGCTGCGTCAGTCCTCGCTACGTAGCCAGCGGACCGCCGAGGAAAAAATCGCCGCCGCGCCGAACCGCAACCACATGCTCGCGAGGAGAGGCGCCGCGGCCCTCGCGCGGCGCGGCCCGCGGGCGCGCCGCCTCAGCAACTTCCACCCCTTGGCCCAGCACGTCGACCGGCCCGACAATAAGGTGGAGACGCCCTTCGATTTCACGCCGGAGAACCACATCCGGGCGGAGCACATCCTGGGCAAGTACCCGGCCAACTACCGCGCGTCGGGCATCATACCTTTGCTGGATTTGGCCCAGAGACAGCACGGCGGCTGGCTGCCCGTAGCTGCGATGGATAAAGTCGCGGCGCTGGTCGGCGTCGCGCCGATGCGCGTCTACGAGGTGGCGACGTTCTACACCATGTTCAACCGCGAGCCCGTGGGCAAGTACTTCATTCAGCTTTGTGGTACCACCCCGTGCATGGTTTGTGGCAGCGAAGCCATAAAGAAGGCCATCGAGGACCACCTGGGCATCCAGGAGGGCGAAACCACAAAGGACGGTCTGTTCACGCTGAGGGAAGTGGAGTGTCTCGGGGCTTGTGCGAACGCCCCCATGGTCCAGATGAACGACGACTACTACGAGTGCCTCACGCCCAAGAGCGTCGTGGAATTACTGGAGGCGTGCAAGCGCGGCGAGAAGCACGAGATGGGCCGCTGGGGGTCGCTGCCCATGAACGGCCAGGTGTCCTGCGAGGGCCCGCGCGGCAAAACCAGTTTAGGAAACGGGCCGCCGGCGCCCTACGCCATGCGGGAGGACCTAAAGGGCGAGGTCGATCCCGCGTCGGTCAAGGCGCACATGGGCTACTAAGATTCTCTGTATATTTACCTTGGTCTACCGTTGAGTTCCACAACTAAAGCAGCAACGCCCGCCGACGCCACGAGCGGCAGCACGACGTCATAGTCGCGCGTCAGCTCGAACAGGAGCATGGCTGCGGTCAGCGGCGCGCGAAACACGGCCGCTAAAACAGAAGCGGCGCCGACCGTCGCGCAGGCCGGCGTCGTCAAAAAATTCGGGTCCACACCGATGAGTTCCGTGAGCTGCGAGGCGATCTGCGCGTAGGCCGAGCCGGCCGTCGCGCCCAGGAAGAGCGACGGCGCGAACAAGCCTCCCACTAAGCCCGCGCCGACCGCCGCCGCCGTCGCTATAATCTTCAACAGCGTGTAGGTTAAGAGAGTGGCGGCGTCGCCGCCCTGGTCTTGTAATATAGAATTCAAAGTCGCGTAGCCGTTGAAGAGGACGGGCTGGCAGTAGACGCCTAACGCACCCGCTAACGCGCCGCACGCCGCCGGCCGCAGTCTTTCCGGTACGACACTCCCGATGGCACCGTTTTCATTCCACACCTCCTCCGAATAGGTAATAGCGTTCTGCAATGCTAAAGCAACTAAGCCGCACAACGCGCCGAGGCCCAGATACAAAGGCAATTCCAACCCCAGAGCGGCCAGGGAAATCCCACCATAATCCGGCGACGGCAGCCTCAACTGCACGCTCGGCCCCGCCTGCTCCACTACGAGAGCAGCCAAGACTGATGAGACCGCCGTCGCCGCCACCGCCGCTCTCGGCAAGACAAGGGCGCCGTCCGCGGAACGATCGTCCCTCGAAGACACTTCGAGGGCATAAAAAATGCCCGCGATGGGCGCCGAGAAGCCCGCGGCGACGCCCGCGGCCTCGCCCGCGCCCGTGAGCACTTTTTGGATCCTTCCTCGGTACTTGTCGCCCCGGATGGTCCCCGACGCGCGAGCCGCGACCGTGGCGCCCAGCCGCACGGCGGGCCCCTCGGGCCCCAGCGAGTTGCCCGTGCCCAGCGTCGCGACGGCCGCCGCGGCCTGCGACAAGGCGCCGGCGAACGTCGTGTTCGACGGCGGCCTATCAAAGTCCGGCGTGATGCACCTTAACAGTCCAACACCTAACCCGCCGAGCGCCGGGATGGATGCGTAGACCGCCGCGCTGCCCGCCGGCGAGGCCGCGAGCGCGCCGCCCGCGGAAAAGACCGAGCTCAGGTACGCGTTGTACGCCGTCGTGTCGACGGCGTCTATGCTCAGCTTGAAGGCCGTGACGCAGGTCCCCGTGGCGACTCCCACAACAGCCGCGCGCGCCAAAATACCGAGCTCCGGGGCGGCCGCGAAGGGCGTCTCGGTGATCGCGTCGTCGTCCTTCGTCCTTCGCGGGAAGTTGCATCGATAGCGCACCCGCCGCGGTCCCGGCGTGACGAAGGCCGTGACCTGCACGCCTGCGAGCAGGAGCAGCGTGCTGCGTCGCATGGTGCTTGCTCAGCAGTGATCACAGCAGTCTATCCTTCGCCCATTGATGCTGCAACGTACTGGACATCCGTGCAAATTACCAGTCTTAAGGCTATTCAATCGTGCATGGACGCAGAGCTGGGGCTCAAGCACAGCTTTGAGCCTGTAGCATACCCGCACGTCGCAAAAGCAGCCGTTCCTGTTGTGGTTTCTTAGAGACGATGGGTGTAGACGCAGCGGAACGAGTTTGCCGAGCGTTGGTTCACTTAGCCTGGATGATGACTGGGTGTCTCAGAGTGTGGTTCAGGTCAGAGCTTACGAAAGCTGCGCGAACGCGCGAAAAGAGCGACGCGCCGTTTCATTGTAGTGTCCTCGTCGCAGGAACTGCAGCGCGCAGTCCTCAAACTGCTTTAAATACGCACTGCCACACTTTGACAGCAAGCAGGCGCTGCACAGCATGAAATCAATCGCATTACTCATACTCGTCACGTGCACCTCCGCGCTGCGCCGGCACCGGCTGGAGACGACAGCCGCGACCCTTAGAGGAGGCGAGGGAAGATGGCGCAAAGTCAAGGGCGGCGCCTCGAGCCTGCGCAGCTCCGCGCGCGCCTGGGCCGACTACCTCACCGGCGCGAACGTCACGACGAACATCACGACATGGACGAGGCCCAAGAAGAAGCTAAAAAAGCCATCTGTCGGCCCCGAGGACCAATACGAGGTCGCTGAGGCCTTCGCGGAGGCCGCGCGCGCCGTCACGCGGCCCTCGCTGCGCGTGATCGCCACGACGGTCGTGCCCGCCTGCGGCGCCGTGCTGGCCAACGGCATGTTCCTGGCGAGCTGGCCCGCGGTCGCGCAGGCCCGCACGTCAAAGCAGCTCGGCGCGCTGAACCCTTTGCCTTTTGCCTTCACGTTCGCGAACTGCGTGGGCTGGCTCCACTACGGCTTTGTGTGTCGGAACCATTATGTGTTTTGGTCGAACGCGCTGGGCTGCGTCCTGGGGCTGTTGTATACGACCACGGCGCTCAAGCTGGGGTGCCCCGACGTCGTCGAGCGGGTCGCGGTGGGGGGCCTGGTGATTCACATCGGCGCGGCGTATGTTACGGGCTTGCGGCTGGCGTCGCCAGCTAAACGGAAGCTGTGCGCGGGGCTCGTCGCCAACTTCATTCTGCTGTGCTACTACGCGGCGCCGCTGTCCACCGTCGCGGCCGTCGTGCGCAGCGCACGAATCAAATGTCGCGGCGCTTCTATTCACTGGTTTGATTTGCGCACAGGTCGTGCGGAGCCGGGACGCGTCGTCGATCTCCGGGCCGCTGGTGCTGGTCAACGCGGGCAACGGCCTGTTGTGGACCGTGTACGGCGCCGCGGTCGAGGACGCGCTCGTCTGGGCGCCGAACCTCGCCGGCGTGGCGCTCGCCGCGGCGCAGCTGGCGCTCAAGCTGGCGTTCCGCGGCGCGAGGGCCTCGACTACCGCCGTCGCCGCGACCGCGGCAAAAGGAGTAACTTGAAATCCATATTATTCGGCGAGCGCGACCGCGTCCTCGGGCACATTGGGCGGTGGCTCGTCGGGCGGCGCCACGGACTCGTCGTCTGACTCCTCCGCCGCGTGGAGCATCGACGCGAGGCTGCCCGACAGGGCCAGGACGTCGACGTCGTCGCGCTGCGCGCGCGCGGCGGCGACGGCGCGGCCCGCCGCGCCCGCGGTCGACACGGCCGCGGGCTCCTCGGGCACGTCGTCGAGCGAGAGGTTCCGGAAGCGCGCCGACGCGCGCCGCGGCTTCCGCCGCGCGGGCGGCGGCGACGGCGACGTGTCCGCGTCGGCCGCGGCGGCCTCGATGCGCGCGCGCGCGATGCCGTACTGCTCCTCGAGCTCGGCCTTGAGCTTCGCAGCCTTGGCCTCGGCCTGGGCGCGCCGGGCCGCGCCGCGCGCGGCCGCGCGGCTGATGGCGTCGCGCGGCGACTCGCGGCGCAGGCCCGGCGAGGGGCGCACGGACCCCGGCGACGCGTCGCGGCTCCGGCGCGGCGGCGAGCCGGACGACGCCGTGACGACGCCGCCGTTCGCCTCGAGCTCGCGCTTCTGGCGCCGCTGGCGCTCCTCGGAGTCGCGCCGCCGCTTGCGCCCCTCCTCGGCCGCGGCCCGCAGCGCCTCGCGCACGCCGAGCCGCCGCCGCGGCCGCCCGCGGCGCGGCGCCGCCTCGCGCCGCGGGAGCCGCCGCCAGGACCGCTGGATGAGGGCCACGGCCGCGGATCGCGCCGGCTCGTGGACGACGACGCGGTCCCGGCGCGGCGGCACGACGTTGAGTGGTGGCCGCCGCCCGCGGCGCCACGTCCGCTGCAGCGTCCGCGCCGCCGCGTCCCCCCGCCCCGATTCGGACCGCCGCTTGAGCAGGTCCACCTGGGCGCGCATCGCGTCCAATTTATCGGCGAGGATCTGTTGGCGCTGCGTGTCCTTGAGCTCGCGCCGCCGCTTGCGGCGCAGGGGGCTCGCCTCGCTCCGCTCGGGCGTCTTGACGATGAATTCGATCGGCGACGCCGCCTGTAGCAATTCCGTGCCGTCGAGGGGCCAGAGCCGCGCGGACGTCGGCGCCGGCGCCGGCGGCGCCGTGGAAACGACGTCGTCGAGGCACAGGGCCTCGACGGGCCCGGCGAAGAAGATCTTCGGCGGCGCGGGCGCCTCCGGGATGTCCGACGACGGCGGCGGCCCGCGCGGCGGCGGCGGCTGGTCGGGCGCGGCCGCCGGGCCCGGCACGGGCGATGGCGGCGGCGGGGTGGAAGGCGGCGGCGGATCCAATCCCGTGGAGGTGCTCTCGAGCAGCAGCTGCGCGTGGTGCCTTACAAACGAGTCCCTTAACAGTCGCCGCGCCTTCGGTCTATGAGTGGCGCGCTTGCAGAGCATCTTGGCCAACAGATCACTTAAACCCGGCGAGCACCGCTTCGGGGGCGGCGGGTCTCGCCCCAAGACCAACCGCGCAAGTTTTCCTAACGAAGTAGCATGGAAGGGCAATTTCAACGTAGCCAGCTCGTATAGAACAACGCCTAGAGACCACATGTCCGACGCTGACGAATAGGCCTCGTCGTTAAATATTTCGGGCGACAAGTAGTAGGGCGTGCCCGTCTGTGTCCGAGCCATGCTCGTCGTGTGCTGTAGACACTTCGCTACTCCAAAATCCCCCCACTTGGCCAGACCCGTACTCGTCAAAAAGACGTTCTGAGGTTTAATATCCCTGTGGAGAATCTTCTGGGCGTGCACGTACTTCAGCGCCAGTAACAGTTGCACGAAGATGCGCATGACGTAATTTTCGTCGAAGACCTTGCCCGTGCTGCGCTGCCGTTTTATCACTTGGTCCAGGTCCCCGCCATCGCAAAACTCCATCACGATATGGAGAGCAGCTCCATCTTCCAGCGACGTCTCGACAAACGACTCGAAGAACGCCACGACGTTCGGGTGGTCCAACCTTCTCAATATCAAGGCTTCCCTCCGAGCTTCGTCGGCCTGGTGCTGGTTCAACGCCGTCACTTGTTTCACAACGACCAAATCGTCCTCCTCTTCTCTTACTCTTCGGTCTCTACACAACAGTGCTTTCCCGTAGGCGCCCTTGCCCAGTAGTTTCAACACCTCGAAGTCGCGCATGGAGCTGCCCTCGTTTTGGATGGTTTCATTTGTAGTAGTGGGCGAGGCGCTCGGTTTTAATGAAGGGATGCGGCGCGGGCCCGTGTCCTCCATCGTCGTCGTGTGGTGAACGGTGCGACGGGGCAGCCCTTGGCCTCGCGGCCGACGCGCGCCCCACGGACCGACGTACCGTCGGGCAGCACTCTCGACGCGCGGCTGGCCCAGGACGAGCTTTTGTGCGGCCGAGGCCGGCGCTTCGCACGCCGCTCCAACGAAGCCACCGGTTACCCCGCACCATGGCCGTGCGTGTGTCGGGACTACGGATCGCGACGAGGCCTCCGCGGGCCCACGAGGCCTCCGCGGTTTTTCAGAGCTAGCGGCCTGTGAGACACTAGCAAGTGCTAAGCGCAGCTTTTGGCTATCTAAGCGCTATACCGGCGCGCACGCACGTAGAAAGAGACCGCTGGAGCGTTTCATCGCGAGCCCGAACAGACCTCTGCCTCTGGAGGCGACAGCTGTGCTCGCTGGGCTCTAGTTAACAATGATGGTGCTCTATCTCATCTCTCTGGTTTACGCCGCGGCGGCGGCGGGAGGGAACAGTTCTCCACCGGGCGCCGGGCACGTCACCACGGTCAACCGCGCGGCGCCCAAGGCGCAGCCGGCTCCGGGGAAGACGCCCCTCGCGCTCCTCGCCTCCGTCGGGGGCGCTCCACAAGCCGGGAAGCGCGCGCCCCTGGCGCGCGCCCGGGCCCAGCACGCCACCGCGATCAAGCACGCCCAGCTCGTGCACCTCCACAACCGGACGCGCGCCGAGCTCGCGCGGCGGCACCGCGGGGCGAACGCGACGAACGCGACGGCCGCCGCCGCCGCGCCCCCGACGGCCGGCGTGCGGACCGGGGCGGGCGGCGCGCGCGACGGGACGGGACGCCCGCCCGCCGCCGCCGCGCCGCCGGGCGAGCGACGCGCGCGACCCGGCGAGCCGCGGCAAAACGCGCCGGGCGCCGACGCGCCGCGACGCCCGCCCGGCGGCGGCGCCGGCGCGAATGCCCGGCGCCCGCCGGGCCGCGCCGACGCGGCGGAGCGGCACCGGCACCGCCGGAAGCGGGCGCGCGACGGCCAGGACGACGCGCCGACGCCGCGCGAGAAGGCCATACCGGCCGTCTTCATCGCGCTCTCCGGGCTGGCGCTGGCGTGCTTCGCCGCGAAGGCGGTCTTCAACGCCCAGAGCGTCGACGACGCCGCGACGCCGACGTCGCCGGCGAAGGCGCGCCGCGTCGAGCTCCGCGAGAAGCTCCTGCGGGCGCAAGCCGTGCCGCCCGCGGACGCGCCGCCGCCGCCCCACCAGTGGTCCGGCGGCGAGCTCGACGACGTCGACGTCGAGGTCGACGCGCCGAGCCCGGTGCGGCTGCCGGAGGCGCCCGCCGCGCCCCGGCCGTGATCTCTCGTAAGGGACTTTGTATGCTAAGAAAAAGGACACACCGCCCAGGTCTACTAAGTAACTCACTCCCTCTCTTACTTACTACGTAGAACGAGGTTTACTCAGAAGGCGAACACTCCCAGACCCCTCACGCGCGGCGCCGGAAGTAGGGGTCGGGGTATGACGCACAATTCATCCCCTCCCCTCCCTTTCCCTGAAACCGCCGAAGCCCCCCTGTGCTCCGAGAGTGCTCCTTCGCGCCCCGCGCCGGCTACGTGTCGGCGCGTAATTAACTATCTAACCTTACCAGCCTGAGGGTCGACGTACGGGGCCCCCGGTACCTACGGACAGGAGAACTGTACTACAGAAGCACACGCTGTCGACTCGGGAGTCTCGAACGATAGTATGCATGCTTATTTTTGGGAACGGGTCGCCACTTCTTCAGACGAGGAACACGGTCCCCTCGCAGACCATGACGCAGTTGTCGGCCTCGAGCTTGCCGAGGAGGTCCCGGACCGCGGCCTCGTCGTTCGACGCCCCGGGCGGCGGCGGGACCGCGAGCGCCGCGGCGAAGAGCGCCTCGAGGTCGACCTCGTCCGGCGACTCGCGCGGCGCGGCCGCGAGCACGCCGCGCATCCATTTGACGTCGGCGGGCTCCTCGGCGACGGGCGGCGGCGGCGGCGGCGCGGGCGCGGCCTCCGCGACGGACGCGGGCGCGGCGACGCGCGGCTTCTTGGCCGGCGGCGGCTGGCTCCGCGCGGCCTTGGCGGCGCGGAGCTGCTTCACCTTCTCGCGCGCGGCGCGCTTGCGGGCCTGGCGCTCGGCCTCCTCTTGCAGCTTGCGCGCCTCCTCGGCCTCGCGCTCGGCCTTGCGCTTCGCGGCCTCCTCGCGCCGCGCGTCCTGGGCCTCTTCCCGGCTCACCTCGACCTTGGCCGAGATCCACTGCGCATCCACCCTTTTCTCGGAGCCGTTCAGCACGTACTTGACGGCGTACGTAAAGCCCGTCGTGCGCTTCACGGAGCCGTCCTTCATGGGCCCCCCGTCCTTCTCCCTTTCGTCGTGGACCTTGCGGATCGTGGCCGTGCCGCCGGGCTTGTTCATGCCCGGGAACGTGCGCGGCTTGACCTCGACGAGCTCGCCGACGCTGAAGCGCGGCGTTTCTTCTTCCTCCGGTGCTGCGGCCGGCGGCGCGTTGGCCTCACCCAATGCGGCGGCCATGGTTATGCGCTGCGGGGCAAATGCCCGGCTTCTAGCCAAAGGGACCGCGCGCGCTGCCTAAAACGCAGCCGGTGAACGATGGTGGCAGCGAGAGGCCCGAAACACACGCGATCTGCGCGCTGTGTGCCTCCACCTGAGCCGTACAATTCAAAGTTTTGCAAAAAGCGGCGGCAAGCTAGTGTGTCAAACGCTAGCTCATTTTTCGAGCTTTATCCGCAGAGGGTACGTACGCCCTCACTCGCACGGCTTGCCATTCGGAGCGGTAAGATAAGTGCTTCCTATTCGTGCGGGGCGACTGTGTGTGACCGGCAAGCGCTGCCCAAAGCGCTGCATTCAGCAGGCGCTGCACGCTCGGCCGCGTGCGCGCGACTCCTCTCTTAGTTTGCTAAAAAAGTAGCAAGTTGCACCACACGGTTTCGCAGCCAGAGGGCAGCCAGAGGGGGCAGCAGGGTAGCACCAAGAGAGGGCAGCAGCCCGAGCGGTCGAAGGTAGCGGCGCACGATGCCGCGCGACGAGACCAAGGACGAGGACGACTCCAGCGACGGCGACGGGCCCGAATTCGTCGACATGATCGCGGCCTGCAAGGACTACTTCGGCGAGCCCGACGCGCTGCCGCTCCTCGAGCGGTTCGTGGAAGAGCATTCCTCAAAATTCGCGCACCGCCAGTCGCTCGACGCGAGCGAGGAGGAGCAGGACCTGGTCCACACGGAGCTGCACCGCGAGTATCTGGTGCGGTGGGAGGCGGCCATCGAAGCGTTCCTTTCAGAAAAGGCGTTCTCGCTGCAGGAGTTCCAGGCGCAGCTGCGCGACGCGGTCGAAGACAGGTACTGCGCGCTCTTCGAGGAGCACGAGCACCACGGCTGGGTGGACTCGTGCTTCGCGGCCGTGTCCTACGAGCACTTCTACCGGCGCATGGTGGCCGCGGCGCGGCGCGGGAGGCATAAGTAGTTAAATTACTCGGGTGGTCGGTACTTGATGGTCTTCAAGAAGTCGTCGTCGTCGTCCTCCTCCGGCGCTTCCTCGGCCTTGCGCGCGGCCCAGTAGTCCGCGTCCGATTTTCCAGCCTTCCGGTTCGCGAGGAACTTCTCGAACTCGGACTGCGCGTCCTCGGATGGCGGCGGCGGCGCGGTGGGCGCGGGCGCGGCTTCGGGGCTCGCCGCGAAGGACGCCTCGAGGCGCGAGCGGCCCTCGTCGGGCGTGCTTGCCCGCGTCGCCTCTTGGGCCATTTTCCGCCGGCGTTCGTCCTCCTCGCGGAGCAGGTCCTCGGCTGCGAGGCGGGCGCGCAGGCGTGGCGGCAATTTGTCGCGCTCCTCCGGCGGCGGCGCGTCGACGACCGGCGCCGGCCCGTCGCGGTCGGCGCGCGCCGAGGCCTCCGCGGCTTTGCGCGCCTCCGCTTCGGCTTTTTGTTCGGCCTCGGCCTCGGCGCGCGCGGCCTCGGCCGCCTCGGTCTCCACGCGCGCCGCCGCGGCGGCGGCCTCGGCCGCGGCGCGCGCCGCGCTCGCTTTCTCCTCGGCCGCCGCGATCGCCGCGTCGCGCGCCGCCGCCGCTTCGGCCTCAGCCTTCGATTCGGCCTCGCGGCGCGCCTCGGCCTCCGCGAGCTTCCACGCCGTGAGCTTGTCGACCTCCCAGAAGTTCGGCTTCGGGCCGACGTCGACCTCGATCGCATTCTTGCTTTTCGCGAAGGGGTTCCAGGCCGAAGACGACTGACCGTCCCGCAACGACGCGAGCTCGGCCTCGGCCTTCTCCGCCGCCGCTTGCGCCGCGGCGGCCGCCGCGGCCAGCGGCGCCGGCGCCGCGGCGGGCGCCGGGGGCGCCGGGTTCCAGTCCCGGAGCGTCTCCAGCGGGTTGGCCAGCTCCGGCGCCGTGAGCCCGTCGAGCGGGTTCTTCGGCGCCGCCACGTTGTCGTCGAGGCCGAAGATGCCGACCGCGCCGCGCGCCTTCTCGAGCGTCTTGTACGCGCCGCCCATGGGCCCCTCCTTCGCGTCGCCCGAGACCTTCTCGGCGCCGACGGCGTAGGCGCCGCGGCGCGCCGCCTCGAGCGCGTCCGCGAGCTTTCGCGTGTCCGTCGCGTCGCGCGCGATGGTTATCGCGGCGAAGGGGCAGATCACCCCGAGGCAGCCCGAAAGACGCGTCACGTCCTGATCATTCATCTCGCCGTAGATCGCGCACCCGTCCACTTTCACGCACTTCTGCGACCGCGTGAAGCCGCCGACCGTCGCCGTCTCGAGCTCCGCGGTGCCCAGGAACAGCTCGACGACGGCCTCATTCTTATTTCCTTTCTTGTCCTGGATCCGGATGCCGCGGCCCTTCGTCTTGCCGAAGCTCTTCAGCGGGGCGAGGGCGGCGGCCAGGCTCCCTACGAGGGCGAGGCGCCGCCACATGCTTGTCGTGCTCTCCCAGGTGATGCTCTCGGGGGTTTTGCTCGAGTGAGCTTGTTTGCGCAGCGTGGCAGCGACGGCCGTCGAATACGTGTCGAGTCCGACTCTGCGAGCACACGGATCTAAATCAGCCACGGATCTAAATCAGTGCCAGCACACGCGCTCCAGCTAGCGGGCTGTAAGACACTAGCAAGCGAAAAATCCCCGGCCAACTAGCCCTGGCACCGTAACAACCCCGAGGTTGGAACACACACAAACAAATTCTACTCGGCAAACCCCAAATAAGTCGCGTCGTCGTCGCCCACGACGCCGCGCCGCGTCCAGTAGAGCACGGCCTGGCTCCGTATGCCCTTCACCAGAGGCGTCGTCTGGTGGAGGTGGCGGCCCCGATGCACGAGCGCGAAGCCGGCTCGTTGTTCCGCCCGTAACCGTTGACCAGAACCGTCACCGTCCCAGGCGCCAAAGAACTCGACGCGCGATCCAACAACATTCTCACTGCGCAAACACACGTTGATCGTCACAAAACTGGGGTCGCGGTGCTGGTTGAACGTCGTGTCCGTCTGCCGACTGTCGTAGTGCAGCGAGAACGCGTCGTAGAGTTCCAATTGTGAAGGGTCGCAGAACGGCGCTACTGCCTCACTGCATCGCTTCAGCACCTCGCCGGCGGGAAAGTCGAGCTCCAACAGATCGTTGGCGTGCGGTTGCCCCTCGTCGTCCTGCGCCGCTAGTAAAGGAGAGACATTTTCTGCTGCTGCCGCCCAGGGCGCCCAGTCCATCTCCCTCAGGTCGACGCGCCGCACGCCGATGGCTTCCAGCGCGGCGTCGTCCGCGTCGGCCAGGCAGAGTGCAGCCATCGGAGTGCAAGCTTAGCACAGTGCAGCGTGCGCGGCTTTCGTTTTGCAAAAGCAATCGCCGCAACAGGCGTCGTCCGTGATCACGCGCACGCCTCGGCTCTGTCCCGTACTCGTGTGCTGCGCACTGCACAGCTCTGGGGCATCTCCAAAAAGCTTGGGGACAGCTCCAGCATCGCTGGTGCCAAACGCAGCGTAGAACGGCAGCCGTTTCGCGCATTTGCGGGAGGCAAAACGCATCGAACGTGACCGGCGAAGCGTCACCGGCAGCTTTCGCGCAGCGGTGAGCCCAGGCAGCAAATGGAGCCGCCCGACGCATCATCCGCGAATGCGAGGAACGCGGCCGTGGCCGCCGCGCTGCGCGGCGGCCTGCCGCCGGCGCCGCCCGCGGCGCCGGCCGCGGAACCTAGCGATGAACCGCAAAGCGGGCCCACGGACGTCGAGCGCATCGCGGCGCAATTAGGCTATGATCTCTGCTCCGACGAGGACGACAGCGATGACGAGGGCTGCCCGCGGGCGCCCGCCGACGCGCAGTTGGAAGCGTGGGCGCGCGAGGAGGCCCAGCTCGACGGGCCCGCGACGACGGCGAGCGAAATCCTCGAGGCCCCGCCGCCGCCGTTGCTGGCGGAGCTGGCCGTCTCTCCAACAACGCCGCTGACGCGCGTCGGCCACGTCGAGGGCTTCGCGGAGGAGGGCCGCGCCGTTTTAATCAGAGGTCTGTCGGAGCAGCGGGCCGTCGTCGAGGGCACGGCGCTGTTTTTAGAAGATCGGCGGCCGCTGGGCTGCGTCTCGGAATTGTTCGGGCCCGTGGCCGAGCCCTTTTACCTGCTGCGTTTGCGGGAGGGCGACGCGCCGCGCGTCCAGGCCTACGCGTCCATGGGCGCCGTCGCCTTCGCTCCGTCGGACCGCATTCAACTCGTCGCGCCGGAGGCGCTCGACACGCGCGGCCGCGACGGCGGCGGCGAGTCCGACGCGGACCAGGAGTTCTCGGACGACGAGGCGCAGGCGGCGGCGCTGGCTAAGGTGGTGATCTAGTGCGTGTTGCCGTTCGGGACCCCACGCCGCCGACGCGACGTCGTCGTGCCGGGGTTTGGGCTCGTTTGGGTGCGTATAACGCGGGGCTAGTGTGTTACATGCCACGCTAGCTGTGGATTGAACTTCCGCAAAAACGTGCAAAAAGCAAACCTTAGGGAGGGAGTTGTGCAAGGCCCGCTCACTGGACGTATTCTTGGCAGCTGCGCGTCGTGCATTTATATAACCGCTGGGCTATTGAGCAAGGAGCAAGCAGCGAGGCTGGACTAAAAAGACGATGAGGCTCGCCGCGCTGTGGTGCGGCGCGAGCGCCCTCGTGGTGCGCCAGCAGCCGACGCGACGGCGGTTGAGAATAGCGCCGCGCATGGCCGTGAGCGAGATCGCGATGCCGGCGCTCTCGTCGACGATGACGTCCGGGCGCGTGGTGAGCTGGCTCGTCGGCAAGGGCGACAAGGTCGAGGCGGGGGACCCCGTCATGGTCGTCGAGAGCGACAAGGCGGACATGGAGGTCGAGTCCTTCGAGGAGGGCTACGTCGCGGCGATCGTCGTCGACGAGGGCAGCGACGCGGACGTCGGCGTGGCCGTGGGCTACCTGGCGGAGACGGCCGAGGAGGCCGCGGCCTTCGAGCCCGGCGCGGCGCCGGCGGCCGCGGCGCCCGCGGCGGCGGCGGCGCCGGCCGGCGACGCGCCCGAAAGCGTATCAGTGACGATGCCGGCGCTGTCGTCGACGATGACGAGCGGCACGATCGTGAGCTGGCTCAAAAATGTTGGAGACAAGGTCGAGGCCGGCGACCCCGTCATGGTCGTCGAGAGCGACAAGGCCGACATGGAGGTCGAGAGCTTCGACGAGGGCTACGTGGCCTCCATCCTGGTGGACGAGGGGTCGGAGGCGGACGTCGGCGCCGTCGTGGCGCTCCTCGCGCCCGACGAAGCTTCTATTGCAGAAGTCGCGGCCTTCGGCGCGCCGGGCGCGGCGGCCGCCGCGCCGGCGCCGGCGCCGGCGCCGGCCCCGGCGCCCGCAGCCGCGCCCGCCGCCTCATCTTCGTCGTCGGGCTGGGTCGCGACGCCCGGCGCGACGACCGCCACACCGAAGGCTCGCAAGCTTGCCAAATCGAAGAACCTCGACCTGGCGACCGTCGCCGGCACGGGGCGGTTCGGGCGCGTGACCGAGGCCGACGTCGAGCAAGCCTTGGGCATCGCGAAGCCCAAGAAGGTTGAGTTGGTGCCCGCGGTGGCCGGTGAGGCGGCCGCCCCGCTGGGCTCGGTCCCGATGACGGGCATGCAGCAGGCCATCGCCAAGAACATGGAGGCTACGCTGTCTGTGCCTGTTTTTAGGGTCACGAAGACCGTGGCCACGGACGCCTTCGACGCGCTGTACCAAAAACTCAAGCCGGACGGCGTGACGGTGTCCGCTTTGTTAGCTAAGGCCTGCGCCATCGCTTTGGTGAAGACGCCGCTCATCAACGCGGCCTACGGTGCGTCTGGTACGATCGATTACAACGACCACGTGAACGTGGCGCAAGCGGTGGCACTAGATGGCGGCCTCATCACCCCTACCTTGAGGGATGCCGACAAGCTATCCCTCACGGACCTCTCGGCGGCCTGGAAGGATTTGGTGGGCAAAGCGAGAAGTGGCTCCCTCAAGCCCGAGGAGTACCAGACCGGTACTTTTACGATAAGCAACCTGGGGATGTTCGACGTGGCCCAGTTCGACGCCATCCTGCCGCCGGGCCAAGGGGCGATATTGGCCATCGCGTCCAGCAAGGTCGTGCCCATCCCCATGCCCGGCGCGGCTCTCGGTGTGGGGCTCCAGAAGCAGATGACGGTGACGATCACGTGCGACCACCGCATCATCTCGGGCGCCGACGCGGCGGCCTTCCTCAAGGACTTCGCGGCGGCCGTCGAGAACCCCCAGTCCCTGGTTTAAGTAAGTCGCTACATCATATCGTTCCCCGTAGTGCCTCGGGCGAAGGGCGAGATCGACGAGATCGTCGCGCCAAGGTCCTGCCAAGGACGAGATCGTCGAGTCCAGGCAAGGTAGAGATCGTCGAGTCCAGGCAAGGGCGAGATCGAGGGCTCCGCGGACTTCTCCGCGGTTTCAGGCAGATAGACTACAAATGTATGTTACAGTATTCTCTCAGTCCTCCGAACAGAGGGCGTCGAGGACGAGTTGCGCCACGGCCCGCGTGGCCTCGAGGCGCGCGTGGACGGCCGCGGCGCAGAGCGGCACGGCGCCGCACTCCGGGTCGAGCGGTGACCCCCGCGCCGCCCCGCGCACGGCGCCCGCGAGGTCGTCGGCGACGTCGGCGAGCTGCTCGTCGACGGTGTCGAACGCCCGCACGAGCGCCGCGGCGCGCGCGCCCGCCGCGGCCCGCCGCGTCGCCGCGTCGGCGGCGTCCGCCCAGAGGCCCGTGGCGGCGGCGCCCGAGGGCAGGTCGCGGCCGCGCCGCGCCGCCGCGTCGAGCGCCTCGGAGACGCCGGCGAGCTTGCCCGCGAGGCGCCGCGCGGCCGGGCCGGCCGTGTGCTCCGTCCACCGCCCGAGCGCGCAGACGAAGACGCGCTGCGCCTCGAGCATGTCCGCCGCCAGCGCGGACAGCTCGGGCGTGCGCAGGTTGAGCGCCCTGGTGCCCTTCAGCAGCTCCGTGGCCGCGCCGGACTCGCGCAGGCAGAGCAGTTGGAGCTGGTCGTAGGCCGTGTCATCTGGCACCGCGGCGTCCATGCACGGCGGCGCCGGCACACCACCCTCCGTGTGCCGGGCCGGGGAGACGAGGCAAGTCGCAATGGTTGCGGCAGTTGTTGCTCACCCGCCGGTCTGGCGTGCGTGAGCGAGTAGCTTTGGGCTGGCGCTTTTGCACCACGCGTGCGTGAGCACTTAGCTTAGGCCTTGCGCTTTTGCACCACCTAGGGAGCAGCAGGCGCACAAGGCGGCTGATTAAGCGCAGAGCTCGCGGTCTTGCACCACTGCCGCGATTCTACGGCGCGGCGGGTGTGTGCGAAGTGTCTGGCGCCTGCTGCTTGCAAATGCGTGCAGCAGGAGGCCGAGGAAGGCTTTAATTACGGGCACAGAGCTGGTGAGTTTGGCACGGAGGTGGCCGTCTCGACCGCAACTTCGACCCGCCTTTAACATGCCCCAGCACTTCTTCCTACACGTGGGAGGACCTGTGGTAGGTTTCAAGCTCGTTCTTTCGGCTCCGGCCACCAAATCTGCTTTTGGTACAGGCAAATCAACGGCGCGTATTCTCGCCTCTGAGCAGCCGAAATAGCAGCCGAAATAGCTCGCCGCGCGACGCTGCGGTACCTTCTTAAGCTTCTTAGCCCAAATCGTCTGGCTTAAGGGGCAGCCTTACCTAAAGATGCCAACCACCCGGGCCACGCTCCTCTCCCTCTCAGAGGACGCCCTCCGCCGCGCGCTGGCCCATGTGCCCCTGCAGCACCACGGCGCGCTGGCGCAGACCTGCAAGCGCCTCCGGGCCGTCAAGCAGGCGACGCGGTTCCGCCGCGAACGCGCGAACAGCGGCTGCGAGGAGTCCGTGCTCATCGTGACGGGCGGCTCGGACGCGCGCGACGACACGTGGAACGAGCATACATTCGTGCTCCAGGCCGACGGGACGTGGCGCGCGCGGCTCGCGCAAAACCCGAACCCGCTCCTGAAAATGCCGCGCGCGGCGCGGGCGGTCCGGGAGATGGACCTCGTGTCGGGCGACGGCGGCTCCCACGCGGTCGCGAACGGCGAGCTCTTCGTCGTGGGCCCGGTCGTCATGTGCGGCATGCCCTCGGCCTCGCTGGCGGTGTACGACGTCGCCGGCGATTGCTGGCGCGACAGCTACGCGCACGCGCGGCGGTCGCGGCGCAACGCGGTGGCCTGCCCGCCGCCCCCGCACGCCACGGCCGCGGCGGCGATCGGCTTTGCGGGCGGAGACTTCCTCGTGGTGGCCGGCGGCGAGTCTGACGAGCTCGCCGTCGTGGAGGACGACGAAGAGGGATTTCTGGGGTGCAACCTCGCGATCTCGGCGCGCTGCATGGCGTTCAACGTGTACGCGCGCGAGTGGGCTTACGTGGAGGACATGCCCCTGGGCGTGGCGCACGCGGCATCCGCCGTCGTGGGCTCCAAACTCTATGTGGCCGGCGGCGTGTTTACGGAGGGTCTGGAGGAAGGATTGGAGGACGAAAGCGACCAGCTGCAGATCTTCGACGGCGTCGCCTGGACGAGCGAGAAGATCGAACTGCCGTCGTTCGGGCAAGACGGGTCCTTCGGGCTGTTCCCGGGGTGCGCCTGCGGCGCGGCGTGGAACGGTGAGCTCGTCGTCGTGTGCGGCGGCAGCCGCGAGCACGAGATCGTGCCGGGTGGCGACGACGACGAGGAGCCGCAGTTTGAATTGGTGGAGGCCCTCCCTCGGACCTACGCCTACGACGTGGAGGCCCGGACCTGGCGCGCGCTCCCGGCGCTCCCGGAGATGCGCGACGGCTTCTCCGTCGCGGCGCACCGGGGCGACCTCTACGTCGTCGGCGGCGTCTCCGACGCGGCGTGCCCGCCGCTCGTCCTGCGCGCGGGCGCCGCCGCCTGGGCGCCCGTCCCCGGCGCGCCCGACGAGCTGGGCGCGCTCGAGCGGCCGGCGCTCGCGAGCGTGGTGCTGGGGTAGCGGCTCTAACGGTGTGTATATACTATATTTAACATAGTTGCGCGCTATCTGTGCGTGGGATAGCCACAACAGGCCGCTTTTGCGATTCCTAGTATGTCAAGAAACGCTAGCGTGCTGCGCCTCTCTCCGGAGAGAGCTCCGAGAGTGCTGTGCTCTCTCGAGAGGCAGAGCCGATAGAGGTGCCGGCCTCGAGTCGCGACTGACGGGGGCGCTCGCGGCGGCATTTTGGCATGTGACCGAGCTGCAGCTGCTAGTTTTGCATCCAACCTGCAGTGACCTCATTTGCTTGCTGCATACATCCGCAGAGCTAGCGCGAACCGTTGCAGAGAGCTGCAGAGTGCTGCCATTGCAGCACTCACAAGAAACACATGGCCCACCTCGTCGGCAAGCGCATCGAAGTCTACTGGGACGGCGACGCGCGCTTCTACAAGGGACGCGTGGCGCGCTACGCGCCGCGCACGGGCCGCCACGAGGTCGCCTACGACGACGACGAGACGGAGTGGCTGCGGCTGGACCGGGCGCGGCACCGCTTCGTGGACGGCGGCGGGTCCCGCTACACGATCGAGTGGGAGTGGGCCGACGAGAAAGCGCAAGGTGCGCACGCGGCGGCCGTCGCGCAGCTCGTCGCCGCCGTCGGCGCGACGCCTCAGGTCGCATCAACCTACCTCGACGCGCACGGCTCGCCCGAGGCCGCCGCCGAGCGCTACCTGCGCGACCGCGACGGCGACCGGCCGCGGCGCGCGGCGCGCGGCGCGGCGCCGAAGCGCGAGCCGGCGACGCCGCCGCGGCGCCCGGCGAAGCGGCGGCGGGCCGACAAGGGCGCGGCCGCCGGCACCAAGGCGACGGTCGACGACGACGAGGCCGCGCCCCTGGTCCAGGGCGTCGACGACGAGTGGGCCGACTGGCGCGGCTGCGTTTGCGGCGGCAGCTACTACGGCGAGATGGTCGCGTGCGAAGGCGGCTGCGACAACTGGTTCCACTTCGCTTGTGTGGGTCTGACGCGCTTACCGCGCGGCGAGTGGCTCTGCCAAGACTGCAAGACGAAGAAGAAGCCGAAGAAGCGCCGCGTCGAGAAGCAGCCGGAGCCGCTCCCGCCCCCTCCGGCCGAGGCGACGGCCGGCGACGCGGCGCTCGCGCGGCGCCTCGCGGCCGACGCCCGCCCGCTGCGGCGCGGCCGGTCCGCGACGCAGCCTAAAGCCGAGGACGCCGGCTGGTGCATCTGTGGCGGTTCTGGAGAAGGCGCCATGGTGCGCTGCGACGACGCGAGTTGCGCCCTCGGCCGCGGCTGGTTCCACTTCGCCTGCGTCGGGCTCGCGGAGGAACCACGGGGCCGGTGGCTCTGCCCCGAGTGCCGGCCGGCGGCGCCGGTTCAAAAGCGGCGGCGCGAGCGCCACTGCTGGTGCGACCGGCCCGACGACGGCCGGCCCATGGTCGAGTGCTCAATTGGAAATTGTCCGCGGCCGTGGCACCACTTCGCTTGCGTGGGGCTCGCAAATGAGGTCCCCGACAATTGGGCGTGCGCCGCGTGCGAGCGGTCGAGCGAGACGCGGGTCCGGTCCGCGATCGTCGAGTGTGGCCGGGATCTTGTGAAACGCGCCGCCGTCGAGTTCGCGCGGCGATCGTGTGGCGCCGCGCTGGCGGACGTCGTCTACACGGTGCACCGCGGCCGCGCGGGCGGCTGCCGCTGGCGCGCGCCCGAGCGCGACGACACGGAGATTGGCGAACGGGCGGCGGCGCGCGAGTGCCTCACGGCATTATTATGGGCCGCCTCGCTGCGCGGCACGCCGCCGGGGCCCGCCTTCGACGCCGAGGTCGGCTCCTTCGCGCGCGTCGCGCGCCTCGGGCCGCACCGCCATTCCCAGAGGCCGGCGCCCTTAAAAGCCGTCGTCCGGTCACCGCGGGGCCTCGTGCTCTTCCGGGCTCCCTCGGACTACGCCGCGGCCTTCGGGGTGACGTGCCACGCGCGCGAGCACTTTTTGCAGTTGCAAGGCGCGGCTCCGCGCACTACCTCGTCGTCGCGGCGCGCGCTCCAGGTGCGGCCGGCCTTCCCCGACGCCGCGCGCGCGCCGCCGTCGGATTTAACGATGCGCTTCCTGGACATGCTCCGCGCGCGCGACTCCATAAGAATCCAGAAGGCCGCCGGCGCGCCGTGGCCCTGGTCCGGAGACGACGTGTTGAACTGCCACAAGTTCACGAACGTGAAGAGAGAGCACGACCGCGTGACGGCGTGGCTGCGGGCCCACTGGACCGAGCCACACGCCGACGCCGACGCCGCGACCGTGCTATTCAACTGCGGCGTCTTCCGGACCTTCGGGACCGTCGCCTTCGCCGAGGCCCTGGGCTGGACCCACTCTCTAGATGAGTGGGACGCCGCCAAGGCGCGCGCGGCGGCGGTCGCGTGCTGGCGCGGCGGCCGCCACGCGTTCACGCGGGCCTACTGCCGGCCGCGGTTCAACGCGGAGCGGCGGCGGGGCGACGCCGGCGCCCGGCCGCCCGTCGATGTGTATGATGGCGCTATTCGCATCCTGGCGGCGCTGCGCGGGGAATGCCACAACGTGATGGACCGGGGCGGGTCGTGGCGCGCGGTCTGTACCCGACTCCGACGCGTCGCGGGGTTTGGGGGGAGCGGCTTCATGGCCAAGGAGGTCCTGCACGACGCCATGGGCTGGGCGTCGGTGCGGGCATTGGTCCGCGACGCCGGCGACTGGACGCCGCCGGGGCCCGGCGCGCGGCGCGGCCTGAACCGGCTCCACGGGCGCGCGCTTGATTTAGGAGCTCTGGCGCCGGCCGACTCGCCGGGCGAGGCGCGGTTTATCAAAGAGATGGGGCTGCTCCTTGGGGCTTTACGAGACTCTGACCGCGCGTTCTGCAGTTCGTTGGAACTCGACATCCACGACGTGCAGTTCCAGCTCTGCGAGTACGACAAGTACTGCCGCGCCGCGGGCGAAGGACGCGGCCACGTCCCGCCGTACCGGCCGTGCGCGGCGCTCTTCGCCGGCGGGGCCGCGCCGCCGGGCCTCGAGCTCCGCCCATTGTCGGAGGAGTGGCACGCGCTCCGGCCCGCGCGGCCAGCGTCGCCGACGGACGAGGCCGCGACGTCCCGCGACGGCGACGACGACGACGACCTCGTCGAGGGCGACGGCGACGTGCCCATGGAAGTGTAATTTGCTAGGACACCTCTTTACCCCCCCCCTTCAAGCTCTACCCATACCCAGGCGCCGGTTGCGAAGCTAAGCTGCCCTGGCGCCGCCAGGCTCCTACGACCGGTTGCCCGAGTGGATCGGCTGCCCGAGCGGCGCCCAGTCGTCCATGGCTCAGCTGGAGGAACGATCACCCACCGCGGAGGAGGAGGCCCCGGCGCCACAAACACAGCTGACGACAGTGCCGGAGGAGGCCCGGCCGGTGTCGGTGGGCTCGTCGCAGGCCCCGACCGCAGACGACGGGTTCTTCGAGGAAACGCGCGCGCGCGGCCTCGCGGCGCTGCGCGAGGCGACGGCGTACCTGAGGACGACGCCGACGAAGGCGACGCCGCGGCAGGAGCCCGCGGCCGTGGTCGCCGCCGACGACGCGCTCCAGCAGCTGGCGTCGGCCGACGAGGCGGAGCGCGCCTACGCGGCTTTTTCGGCTTCGCTCGAGCTCCCGGGCGCGCGCGACGCCTTCGCGGATTTGTTGAATCGCGAGCAGGCGGAGGAGGTCCTCTGTTCGGCGCTCGCGAACCTGAGCGCGGCCGAGGCGACGTCGAAGCCCCTCGCCAAGGCCGCGCGGAAGTTATTGAGACACCCAAAGGGAACCGTGCGCGCCGACGCGGCGCGGTACCTCGGGGGCTTCGTCGACGTCATCGACGACAAGGCGCGCGAGGGCCTCACGCAGCTCGCGCGGCTCGACCCCGACGCCAACGTACGAAAAGAGTCCACCTGGGCCCTGCAGCGGCTGGGCCGGGATGAGGTTGAGGAGGACGCGCCCGCCGCGGACGAGCCGCCCGAGGCGGCGCCGCGCGAGGCGCCCGCGGACTTGGATGATGCCGACGAGGTGTTGAGAAGGAGCGACGAGCCCATCGCGCGGCTCATGCGCGAGGCGAGCGAATCCAAAAAAAAGAAGGGGAACCCCAAGCCGAAACCTTCGCCCGTGCGGCGACGGAATAGAAGGAGCCGGCGGCGGGTCCTGGAGGTCTCGGAGGACGACTCCGCCAGGGGACGCGCGCGCCTGCCGACGCTGCCCCGCGGCGCCTCGGCATAAACTAGGATCAATACCTCTTACCGTGCGATTCGTGAAAGCCGCGCTGAACCGCGGGTGCGACGGTCCTCCCGTAGGCGCCCCTTACCATATCGCAGAGCGCCCGGAACGCCGACGACGACCGCGGCGCCTGCGGCGCGCCCAGCGGCAGCTCGTTGTCGTTGATTGAGAGGGAAACGAACAGCGAGAAGGGCACGAGCCAGACGAAGACCGCGAAGAAGCCCAGCGAGTTCACGAAGGGCAGGAAGGGCCCCTCGCCGCTCGCGAGGAACGTGAACCAACTATAATGCGAGAGCAGGAAGGCTAATATGGCGAGTATAAAGGCCGGGCTCGACAGCTCCAACCGCGGGTAGTCGTTCAACAGCCACGCGTAGGCGCCATGACATAAAATTCCAGTGACGCACCGTCCGAAGGGGAAGCCATCGAGGCACAGGAGGAGGTGGCCCGCCACGACGCCCTGCGTCGCGTACCGGAGCAGCTTTCCCGTCAAAACGGAGTACTCCTCCGCGAGCTCGGCGGCGTAGTAGAGGCCGCAGCTTAGGCAGAGGACCGCGCCAAGCACGGCGAGGTAGCCGCCTAACACGGTAAGGAGCCAGGCGAGCCAGCCGAAGAAGAGCTGCATGCTGCTCTCTCACTGTGGGGTTTGGTGGTCTAGCTTTGCTCGGCACCTACGGCGGGCACAGGTGGGGTTTGGTGGTCTATCTGTGCTCGGCTCGTCCGGCGGGCACAGCGCCGAAATGCGACCGATCTCTACCGTGCTAGTGATAGAGGAGTCCTACAGCACACGAGCACTTGCAGGAGCCAACAAATAACAGCAATACCAGGGGAGCGGCGCAAGCTAGCGGCAAGTAAGACACTAGCCAGCCGCCGGGCGTCTAAAAAAAACCAAAAAAACGAGTGGAATACAGCTTTGCCGGCACAGCTGTGAGGCCAGTTCACAGCCCTCCTGCCGTCCCTGAAGCGCTGAGCGGCTCTTGACGCCGCCGGCCCGCCTCTCGCAGCGTTCCCAGGAACGACCCCTCAAGGCGCGCGCCGACACAATGGCCCCGAAGCGCCGCCGCAGCAAGAAGAAGGAACCAGAAGAGGAGGAGGAGACCGAATACGTCGAGGGCGCCTCGCAAGAGGAACAGCCCACGAAGAAGTCACGCCGCGACGAGCGGTCTCAAAGACGCTCGCAGGAGGACGAGGCGCCCCCTTCCCAAGAGGAGGAGGAGGAAAAACCTCCAGTAGAGCCGCCCAAGGAAGCCCTCGGCCACGACGCGAACGAGCGGCGCAAGTTCAAGCTGTACGTCGACCAGATGACCAAAAGTTATAGAACCGACCCGCACCCCGAGAAACGGATCAAATCCCATAAAGACGACGACGAGGCGCCGGCCGGCGCGAAGAAGGAGAAGGAGCGGGCCGAAGCGCTGGCCGAGGCCGAGTTGGATGTTTTGGTCAAGAAAATGGCGCGCTACCTGCTGTTGCGGGGGACGAAGCGGCTACCCATCGTGAAGTCGAAACTCGGCGAGGTCATGGGCGACTACCGCAAGAACAGGATCACGAGCTACGTGCTCCAACGAGCCGCGGACGAACTGCGGAAGACGTGGGGCTACGAGCTCGTGCAGGCGCCCGACAAGTGCGGCGACTACGAGTACAAGGGCAACGCGCGGGATTCCATGTACCTGGTGCACAAGAAGAAGGCCCGGGGGCCGGACCACGCCGCGCTGACGACGAACGGGTTGGACGACAGTAGTGCCGCATCCAGAGGTTTATTATTGACATGTTTGAGCATAGCACAGGCCCAGGGCGGGTCCGTGCGGGAGACGGAGCTGTATCGCTTGCTGAATTCACTAGATGAGCGCATCGCGGACGAGCCTCCCGCGAAAACCTCGCAAGCTCGAGGGTCGATCCCGGACCTCGGGCACGTGGCCAAGCACGTCGAGAGTTACGTACAACAACAGTACCTGGTGGCGTACAAGGACGCCGAGGACGAGAATTGTTTGCAGCTCGGGCCGCGCGCTTTGGTGGACGTGGGCCGCTTCCAGATAGCCCAATTCACGTCGGACGCGCTGGGCCACGAGGCCGTGGACCCGTCGATCATCACGGAGATCCAGGACTCCGTGCGCGACGACGCGGCGGCACAGGCGGCGCAGGGGTGAGTTACAAGGGGGTGTGCTTACTTAGGTGTTTAGCGCGTCGACCGCGTCGCAGAGGGCGCTCACGTCGTCGCCTTCGCGGGCGACGAGCACGGTTTGACCATATCGCAGGGACGCCTCAATCGTCATCGCGACCGGATGCGTGCCGCCGAGCACGCGCCGCGTGGTCGGTGCCAAATCCTCGAACATCGCCACGGCCGAGCATGGCACAGGTGTCCTCGTGGAGTGCCCTCGCGTAAAGCGCCCTCAGCTTGAGCGTGTGTTCATGATTCTCACCGAGAACGCGTCGCGCCACGGGCATCGTCTTGCGCAGCACCGACTTGACTTCTTGGCAGCGATCCAAAGTAATAAGGGTCGTCGCGTAGTCGAGGGCTGCTAGGAGGGTTCCTATATGTTCCTCGCCATTGAGCTTCACATGCACATGATATACGTCTCCTTGTATCCGCGATGCCTCATCGTGCCGTCCAAGCTGAGCATACGAGGCCGCGAGATTGTTCTGCACGCCGAGAATGTTGTATTCTGATGCGCCAATGCGCCGCAGCATAGACAACTGGGCCTCTTCCACAGTCAACGCGTCCTCGTGGTGTCCTGCAGCGGATAGCCCGTTCGCGACCTGCCTCATCGCGCTCCTCCGAGTCCAGTCCGCCTCCGGCCGCCCCACATACGTTTTCCAACACGCCCACCCGAGCGCGTGCTTCACGACTCCATGGTAGGATTGCTCGCATAGGCTGCACGTGTTCCATCGCCTCCAACTTGGTTCTAAGTCCAAATTATTCTCCTCGGCCTCCTCGAACAAAATCTTCACCTGCTCCGCCAGGCACGACACGTGCGCAAAGCCCGCCGTCCCGCGGCACGAGCACATGCGCACGAGGCCCTCCTTTGTTTTCCAATGGAGAGCCTGCGTGCAGATGTAGCACGTCTGGCCCTTCGTGTCCTCGGCACACGCCTCCGCCGCGACCGCTACGGCCGCCGTGTACTTTTGATTTGCATTGTACTGCTCGGCGCCGCCTGCTTTTTTTATTTTCTTGCAGAGCTGGTCATGCCCGCCTTCTTTCCAGTGCTGCACCTGGCATTCAGCGGCCGCATTTCTTCCCCGATGACAAGCCGAGCTCGGTAGCACAGGCGGCGCACTGCGTGAGGAGCATTGGGGCAGCGTAAATAGCAGGCAACGCTATTTTTGCGAATGGACAAGAGGAATGCCAGCGTATAGTAACATACTAGACTCATTTTTACGACAGCGGCGTCACAGCGCCCAAAGAGCCAAGCCTAAGCCCGCGCCGAGGCAGCCCAAAAAAACGACCAGAGCCCCACGGAACCACCATGACCAAGATCCAGCACGTGCTCCCGGCGACGCCCTTCCGGGGCGAGGTTGTTGTGGAGGACAACAAGCCGCAAGCACCTAAACCACAACCCGAGGAGGAGGTCAAGCACGGGAGATTAGTAAAGACGCTCAAGCGCCTCGAAGCGTCCGAAGCCAGGAAGGAGGACCGGGCGGCGCGGCGGGAGACGTACCTCGTGGCGTCGGGCGAGCGCGACGCCGCGCTGAAATTGCTCGAGCAGCGCCTCGGGACCTCGTGCGAGCGCCTCGAGTCTTATTTAAGGTGTCGCTTCATGGTCTTCGATCCGAAGGAGATCGGCAAGATCGACATGGCCGATTTTGGCGCTTTATTGGGTTTGTTGAGGGACGGCCGCGACGCCATGGACCTCGAGAAGCAACTCATGATTTTAGATGTGGACGGCGACGGCATGGTGAGCTACCTGGAGCTGGTGCGGTGGTGGCTCCGCGAGGAGAAGCTGGAGGGGGAGGCGACCGCAGAATAAGTAAAACTAGCCCCTCGTTAGAGAGCCTAGCCGCCGCGCGCCGTCGCCGCGGCATCATGACCGGTAGTCCGCGTTCTCGCTGACGTAGCCGTGCGTCAGGTCGCTCCCCAGAACCACCGAGACCACGTCCCGCGATCCGCCCAGATCAATATCGATCTCGACGCACCGGTCGTGGACGGGGCACGCCGGCGCGCCCTCGACGTCCGTACCTAGCCGCGCGGCCTTCATATGATTCGAAAGCCGCTCCTCCTTCGCCGCGTCCAGCCGGAAAAATCCGCCCTCGAAGATCGTCTCGCCGCCTAGCTTTACCACACAAGGCGAGCCCTCGTCCAGCAAGTCCGGGTCGCCCCGCGCGCCCAGCAATTGGCCCACTTTGCCCACAATCCTACCAACGTTCGGGTCGTCGCCGGCGACGGCGCACTTGAGCAAGGGGCCGTTCACGAGGGCCCGTCCCAGAGCTCTAGCCGAGTCCTCGTCCCGGTCCCCTCGCACACAAACCCTCAATACATGATTCGTGCCCTCGCCGTTCCGCACGATGTGATGGGCTAATTGCGCCAGCACGTCGCCCAATGCATTTTCAAAAGCATCCTCAGATACCTCTTGTACCTGTCCAGACGATAGCAACACGCACATGTCCGACGTCGACTCGTCGCCGTCGACGCCCACGGACCCCAGCGTGCCCTTCACGCATCGCTCCAGACACGCCTGCATCGTCGACCGCTCCATCGCCGCGTCGGTAACCAGAAAGCAGAGCATCGTCCCCATGTTCGGCTCGATCATGCCCGCGCCTTTTACTAAACCTACTAGAGAAGCACCATTCGGCAATTCGCTCCTCGCGGCTTTCGCATATCGGTCCGTCGTCATCATGGCCTCGGCAACTTTATGTGCCGAACCCTCTTGGAGCGTTAATGAAGAAGCCGCCGCGACCATCTCGTCCACCGGTAACGCCCAGCCGATGACACCTGTGGAAGCGGGGATGACGTCGCCTTCCAAACTCAAAGCCTCCTTCGCAGCGTCCGCTACGGTATGAGCACACGACACCCCGAGCCCGGGCCCCGGTCTGACATTAGACACCTTGTTGTTCGCGAGGATGGCTTGGATGTGAGGTTTCTCTCGTGCGAGGATGTCCCGGCCCACGGTCACGGGCGCGCCGCACAATCTATTCTTCGTGTAAACGCCCGCGACGAGGTCCGTCGGCGCGTCGAGCGCGATCACGCCCAAATTCATCCTCGCTTCGCTATCGGGCAGCTCCCGCGGCTTGAAATTCAACGACGCCGTGCCGCACCGGAAGCCGCGCGGCAGGACAGCTAAACTTTCGACGCGCGCGGCCCACGCGGCCTCGTCGCCGGCCGTGTCTCGCACGTCGTTCGCTAGTAAGGAGGAGGCCGGCGGCCGCAGCGCTGTTGCTTGGGCCAGCATGAGCAGTATTGCGCGGCGCATCGTGTGCAGTGCTGCACTTGCGGCAGTGCTGCAAGGGCAACCCTGGCTAGTTGTTGCGCTGTGCTGCAAGAGTGCTAGGCTCGCGCTTCCGCAGGAGCGATGGTGCAAGTGCGGCCCCGAAGCTGATTGGAATTGCAATGAGGGCTGCTTAGGCTGTGCAGCTCAATCCTGAGGCTGAGCCTGCTAGTGTCTTACACGCTGGCTCCGACAGAACGCCTGCGCGTAGCCATCGGGGAACAGACGGGGAGGCCCGCGGAACCTCGACTCGCTGCATCCGCACCACCGGACCTGAGTATGAATACAGATACTTATAGAAAAAGCAAGCTACCAGCCAGCGCCGTTCACGTGCAGCGCGCCCCCGGCCGGCCAGGCCGGCGCGGTCGGCAGAGAAAAGCGCATGAGCGCCGGGTCGACGAACTTTTTGAGGTCGTCCGATGGGTAGACCACGTCGCACGGCGCCAGCGTGGCGCAGTCGAGCTTCTCGTAGAACCCCGGCACGCCCGTGCAGAACAGCGCCTCGGGCAGAGATTCACAAAGCCGGGCAGAAAACGCGCCCCGGACGACCGCGGCCCCCAGACCCCGCCCCCTTACCGAAGGCGACGTCGCGACGTGCGCGAGGCAGAGCACGCGCCGCTCTAATAACAAATCGCCCATGAAGAACGTCGCGATGACGTCGGCCTGGCCGTCCAACCGATCTAGGTGAATGACCCAGTCGTCGGCCGCCGCCCGCTTCAGAATCGTGCCCGCGCGGCCCGCGTGCTGGGCGTGCCTGGCCCCTATTTTCACGCGCCGTCCCTCCCTCAAGTTTTGCTTGTCCGCCACATTCACACATCGCACGAACGTCCGCGCGGCCGCGACGACCTCCTCCCCATCCTCGACGTAGTGGAGCTGCTCCTCGTCGGTCGCTGCCGTCGTGGCTCGCCTTTCGATGGCCTCGGCGCAGCGGTCCCTCCCTTCCGCCGTCGGGAAGGCGGCGGTCCAGAGCGCCGCGATGCGCCCTAGGGTGGCGTCGTCGAGGGCGATTGTGGGTTTCGTCTGGACGGCGACCTCGGCCATCCTGGAGGCTTGGCAGCGGCTCGGCCGCAGCGATGCGAAGCTCTCTTGGATAGCCCTCGCGTCCCACACCGCGCGGGGTCGAGCTACGCGATTTTTTTGGCTGACTCAAAATCGCGAAAACCCGAGGCGAAGGAGCCGTCCGCGATGAATTCGAATCCTGCACCGATGCGGGTGCACGCGGAGGCGTCCCGGGGGGGACCGCACGAGCCTTCCTCCGGCCGCCTCTCCCGGCAGGCAGCGCACGACGCGTCAAAAGTTCGCGTACGAGCAGTGGCCGCAGCCCCGCAGCCCCGGCAGGAGGTCGCGAGCCAACGAAGCAGCCGCTCCTCCTGCACGCCACCGACGCGACGCGGCGCTCGCTCGGGAGCCGGATGGAGGTCCCAGGGAGGAGAGGCTAGCCCAAGTCCCGAAGCGGGCACGCCGCAACGATGGCGAAGAAGCCCAAGTCCCCCAAGCCCGCCGACCCGATCCTCAACAAGCGCAAGGTCGGCCCGGCGCCCACCGTCATCTCGGCGAACCTCAAGACGATGAAGCGGTCGAACAAGGAGCTGGCGGCGCAGCGCGAGGCGCGCATGCGCAACGCCGCCGAGCGCGCCGCGCCCAAGGAGAAGAAGGAGCGGTTAGCTGTGAGGGGCGAGGCGACGCGCAACGCGCAAGCCGGTAAATCCAGCAGTGATACTCCCATGAAGGACAGCGGCGCGAAGGAGAAATCCGCGCTCGCTGTGGTCCTGGCGAAGTGCTTCAAGAGCCTCGCGCGACCGACGGTCAAGCTGCAGCACCCGCAAGCCATCAAGATGACCGAAGCGTTGGGACTGGGCCAGCGACATTTGCGGATCATGAGGGACCAGTTCGATGATATAGATGTGGACGGTTCCGGCAATATTGATGCGGTGGAGCTCTTCGAGGCCATGGGCGAGGTCAGGTCCAAGATCACGGAAGAGCTGTTCGCGATGATGGACATGGACGGGAATGCGAGGTTGGACTTTGACGAGTACGTCGCCGTGGCGCTGTCGTACTGCATGTATACCAAAGATGATATATTGAAATTTTGTTTCGATCTCTTCGATCTGGATTCAGGAGGTACGATCGACGAGAAGGAGTTCACGGAGATGTGCGTCGCCGTTTCCGCGGGCGACCCCTTGTTCTCGGGGAATTTTCGGATGGCTCTGGAGAATTTTGATACGAACGACGATGGTCTTATTGATTTTGACGAGTTCCGGAACTTGAATGATCGGTACCCGATGATCCTGCATCCGGCCTTTCGCATGCAGGACAAGCTCCAAAAGTATACGTTAGGAGAAGAAGAATGGGTCAAGGTCATGGAGAACATTAATTACTGGCAAAAAATAAAAGAGTACACGGACAAGGAGGGCGAGGCGCCTCCCTCATCACGGTGGGAGCGGTTCCGGGAGAAGTATCTGCGGAAGTGCTTCGGCCACCCGCCCGTGGACCTCGAGTACATCGCCTCCCAATCGAAGATGGAGCAGGCTAAACGAGCAGCGGCCGAGGAGGCGCGGCTCAAGGCCGGGGGCTAAGTTAACTTTAGTAATAGAGGTACTCCGCCGAGGCGGCCGCGCGGCGGTGGCGTCTGCACGAGCCCTGCTCTTCTTGCTGGTAGGTGGAAGCGCGAGTCATCCGGCTCTGTGCGAGGCGCGGGCTGCACATCGATCAGCAGATCTCACTTGCTAGTGTCTTACAGGCCGCTTGCGCGCGATCTAAACACGATCGGCGCGGCCCTTGGTTGACGCCCCCCACGGGCTGGAGTTAAAACACGCGCCTTAGGCCCTCACGACGCGGGTTTCGAAGGACAGTTCTCCTTGAGCCAGTCGAGACCCTCGTACAACCCGTCGCCCGTCGTCGCGCAGCAGGCCTGGATGTACCACTTCCGCCCTCTCAAGGAAGACAGCTGGAGCGCCTCGGCGAGTTGCGCCGCGGGCGCCGCGTTCGGCAGGTCCTGCTTGTTCGCGTACACTAGTACCACAGCGTCCCGCAGCTCGAACTGGTCGAGCAACCCATGTAATTCGTCCTTCGCTTGTGAGAGTCGATCCCGATCATTGCTATCAACAACAAAGATCACGCCCTGCGTGTCCGAGTAGTAGTGGCGCCAGAGCGGCCTTATTTTATCTTGCCCGCCAATGTCCCACACCGTCAGCGTCAGATTGCCGTACTCGATGGCCTCGACGTTAAACCCGATGGTCGGGATCGTCGTCACGACCTCGCCCAGTTTGAGCTTGTAGAGGATGGTCGTCTTGCCCGCGGCGTCGAGGCCGACCATGCACAGTCTGGCATCGAGCTTCGTCCAGCCGTCGAGCCCCATGAGGGAGAAGAGCGCGCCCATGATTCGTGGGCACCGGTTTCGACGCTTGCAAGGACGCCGGCGCCGGCTTTCCAGCCAGGAGGATTTGTAATTACGAGGGTGCTACGCGGTCTGCACGGCTCGCCGCGGCGGCGGCGCTGCGGCTGCGGGTCGGCTGGCGACGGAAGATATCGCACGATGCTGCTTGCTGCAGTATCTCGAGCAGAGGCCGTGAAAAACCCAAAGCTGACCAAGCTTAGCGTCTGTAAGACACTAGATTTTCAAGCATAGTATGCTTGGACCAAAACGCCGTGGTTTTGGCACATACGGACCACCAAGGGTCCTCCCTGCATCGCCTCGCTGCCGGAGCATCGCTCCGATTCGCTGCGGCGCACCGCTACGAGCCGGAGAGCCTGCCGCCAAAAGCAGAGCTAGCGCGCGACGCGCGTAGACACCAGCGGGACCCATGGGCAAGGCCCAGGAGAAGCGCGAGGCCGCCGAGAAGGCCGCGGCCAAGAAGGCCGAGAAGGACGCCAAGAAGGCGGCGCTGAAAGAGGCGCGCGCGGCGAAGAAGGCGTTAAAAGCGCAAGTCAAGGAGGCGGTGGAAGCGCAGAAGAAGCCGCTTCCTCCCAAACCGGAAGAATTGAACGAAAATAATTGGAATGACGCATCCCAAAAAGCCCTAGACGACGCGTTACGTTCCCATGCCCCGCTGCCGAACCAGGTCGAGCGGTGGCGCTTGATCAGTCGAGACGTGCCGTCGTACTCGTCGCGGGCCTGCGCCCTACGCTTTTTGGAAGTGAGAAAAAATATAAAAAAACTCAAAGATTGGGAGGCCGAGTGCCGCGCCGTGACGCTCGCGAACGCCGCGCTGTCGAAGTTGGACGGGAGGGCGAAGAAGGACATCGAGGAGAAGGCGCGACGAGCCTACCAGGAAAAGGCCGGCGTCAAGACGGAAGAAGAAAAAGCGGCAGAGGAAGCGCGGCAGCTCGCGGAGGCCAAAATGGGTAGGGTGCTCAAGGCCGACGACGGTGCTGCGGCTGATTTACTGGCCGCGCAAGGGGTAGTAGCGACCTTCGCCGCACCTCCAGCGAAAGCTCATAGGAACGTCAAAGACGTGAATGTCAGTAATCTCGGCGTCTCGTTCCACGGCGCGCCTATATTGGATGGGACGACGTTCGTCATGAACTGGGGCAATAGATATGGCTTTGTTGGTCGCAATGGTTCGGGCAAGTCTACGGTTATGAGGTGTATCGGCGCTCGAGCGATTCCCATACCCGCGGCGATCGACATCTATCACTTGACGACCGAATACCCACCGACCGACGAAACGGCCCTGGAAGCGGTCATGAAGGTCGACGACGAACGAAACGAGTGCGAGCGGGAAGTAGACGAACTCAACGACCTGATGGCTTCGGACGCATTGGACGAGGACGCGCACAACGACGCCGCGGACCGGTTGAACGTTTTATATGAAAGGTTGGAGGAGCTGGACGCCGCCACCGCGGAAGCTAGAGCAACTGATATCTTAACGGGATTAGGGTTCTCCGCGGACCGGCAAAAACAGAAAACCAAGGACTTTAGCGGTGGCTGGCGGATGAGGGTAGCTCTAGCGCGCGCTCTATTCATCCAGCCCGCTCTCTTGTTATTGGATGAACCTACCAACCACCTGGACATGGAGGCCGTCGTCTGGCTCGAGGACTACCTGTCGAAGTGGCAGAAGATGCTGTTCATGGTCTGCCATTCCCAGGACTTCCTGAACAACGTGTGTACACATATCTGCCATCTGGACCAATTGCACAAACAGCTTGTGTACTACAAAGGCAACTACGATAGTTTTGTCGAAACGAAAAGGGACCTACAGACGGAACAGATGAAGCGCTGGGAGGCGGAACAGGCGGACTTAAAGCAGATGAAGGAGTACGTGGCCAAGTTCGGCCACGGGACCGCCAAATTAGCGAGACAGGGCAAGTCGAAGGAGAAATTGTTAGCGAAAAAGATGGCGTCGGGCTTGACGGAGAAGCCCGTCGAAGAATTATCGCTGAAGTTCCGGTTTCCCGACCCCGGGCACCTCAGCCCTCCCGTCCTCCAAGTGAACGAGTTGACCTTCGGATACGGAGACGGACCGAACTTGTACGAAAATGTCGACTTCGGCTTGGATCTGGACTCGAGAATCGCGTTGGTCGGCCCGAATGGTGCTGGTAAATCGACATTAGTGAAAATCATCAATGGCGAACTTACGCCGCGACGAGGCGCGGTGCGACCCCACGGCCACCTCAAGATGACGAAGTTCACGCAGCACTTCGAGGACGTGTTGGACTTCACGAAGACGCCCCTGCAGTGGTTCATGGACCGGTACCCCGAAACTACAAGAGAGGACGCGCGGAAGTGGCTCGGGAGGTACGGCACGTCCGGCGTCGTGCAGCAGCAGACGATGTCGCAGCTCTCCGAAGGCCAGAAGGCCAAGGTCGTTTTTTGTCATATGGCCAAACAATCAGCACACATCCTGCTGCTGGACGAGCCGACGAATGCACTAGATATGGAAATGATCGATTCGCTCGCGGACGCCATCAAGGCGTTCAAGGGCGGGGTCGTACTTGTAAGTCACGACATGCGATTAATTAGCCAAGTGACGGAGGAGATCTGGATCGTCGATAAAGGTTTAAGGAAGTACGAGGGCGACATCGGGAATTTCAAGATGGACCTGCGGCGGCAGATGAAGCTCGAAAAAGAAGACAAGAAGAAGAAGAAGTCTCCCAAATTGGCCCCGAAGGCGCCTTCACCTCCTCCGTCTTTTAGGCTGGACCAGGCGCCGCCGCCCGCGCCGCCGCCGGCGCGGAACCTGGACGCGCTCCGCGGTACAGCGCCGGCCGCGTACGTGCCGCCCGGGCGGCGGGGCGACGGCGCGTGGTAGCTCGCGAATTATTGTGGACGGAGTAATCTTGGCATGCTCCCTTTCTTTTTGGACCGCGTCGTCCGATTTAGCTCTCTAATTTGGCGGCGTTGGCGGCGCATTTTGTGAGGATCATCCTGTCTTACATCGTGTGGCTTGTGAGCGTCGCGCGGCGGCGTGGAAATGATAGGTCAAGTATGGTACGGTAGTACCTTACCGCAGTAATGCGGTTGCCTATTTGTATTTCACGCACTCATAATAGTGAGCCGCGGTAACGTCATAGCCAGAGGAGTCCTTCCCGCGGCGCGTGACGCGCCGGCTGCTGTGGCGCCCTCTGCCTAGCTAAATTTAATGGCGGCGTTGATGCCGGACTGGACCACGCGCAAGGCGCAGGACGCCAGCGCTGAGACAGCGCCGGCCACCGTCGACGCGGACATCTTCGGCTGGGACAGCGACGAGGAAGTCGACGCGGAGGTCGCCGCGCTCACGGCGAGCCCCGTCGCGTTCCGGGGCTACAAGAGCGCGAGCAAGGCGCGGCCGTCGGCGCCGCCGCCGACGCGCTGCACGACGCCGCCCCGGACCGGCCGCCGCCGCTCGCCGCGGCCCCCGACCGATAAGGCGCCGCCGGCGGTCAAGCCGCGGGCGCTGCGGCCGGCGCCGAGCCGGGGCGCGCGGCGCGTGCTCGTCGCGTCGAGCCGGGCGAACGCGCCGCCGCCGCCGCCGCCGCCGCTCAAAAAGGACCTGCTCCGCAGCCTCGCGGCGGCCGCGGACGACGCGCCGACCCGGTCGATCGCGGACAAGCTCCATCCGCTCGCGGCGCCGCCGACGCCGCCGCGGGCGGAAGCCGACGAGGCCGCGGCCGGCCCGCCCTCGACGGTGTCGCGCTCGGACCGCGGGTCGGTCGCGTCGCCGGCCGCGCGGTTCGCCGCCGCCCGCGAGGAGCCGCCGCGCCGGCGCCGGCCGCGGCGCGTCGACCGGAGCGACCCCGTCGCGCTCTTCGCGCACCGCCAGGCCGACTGGGAGCGCCAGCGCCGCGCCGCGCGCCGCCGCCGACGTGCCGCGGCGTGAGCCTTTCCCGGTGCTCCGTCTCCGCACCCTGGTCCGCGGAGACGGGCAAGTCGGTCGATTGTGATTAGAACAACGCTCGAACTTGAAGCGCGTGGGGAATGCCCGTAGCGAGTCACCAAGCGGAGTAATACGGGTCCTTAGAGGTCCTCGGGGTGGGCGACGAGGAGGTGCGGGGGGAAGTCGTCGCGGCACGTCGGGCACCGTGGCACGCGCTCGCCCCGGGAGGCGGACGCGTTGAGCAGCTCCAGCGCGCAGTCCCGGTGGAAGGCGTGCGGCACGGCGCGGTCCTCGTCCTCGAGCCACCGGCAGGGCATCTCGACGACGTCGCCGCCGAGCGCGTCCAGGCAGATCGGGCAGCACGCGGCCTCGTCCGGAGGCGCCGCCGCGAGGCGCCGCACGATCGACTCCGCGCGCCAGGGCACCGGCGGCACGCAGCCGTCCGCCGCGTCCTCGAGCGGCGGCATGGCGCCGTCGCTCTCGTCGTCCGAGTCGCTCTCCGCGTCGTCGCCGCGGCGGCGCCGCCGCGCGGCCTCGTCGCTCGACTCCGACGAGACGCTCTCCGAGCGGGCGCGCGGCATGGCGGCGATGGCCGCGTCGACGCGCTCGCGCCGCGCGCGGTCGTTCGCGGCGGCCGCCGCGTCGGCCCGCGCGGCCCAGGCCTCGTCGGCCCGCGCGGCCCAGGCCTCGTCGCCGCCTTCGGCGTCGTCGGCCCAGGCGTAGGCCAGCGTCTCCGCGGCCGAGTCGGGCGGCGAGGCCGCGCGCAGCGCGCGGACCGCCACCACGAAGCGCCGCCGCGTGAGCGCCGGCCAGTCGGCCAGCGCGAGGTGGTGCTCGAGCGCGTCCCACTCGCAGTACCTCAAATCGTCGAGGCACTCGGCCACGTCCAGGACCGCGCGGCGCCGCGCCGGGCTGCCGACGTTCGCGCTCAGCCAGAGCCGCAGCTCGACCTCGCGCGGGCTCGCCCAGGGCCGGGACTCGCCCCAGTCCGGCGGCGCGCCCCAGGACCGCTCCTCCTCGGCCTGGACTCTTGCTTCCAATCGTTGCGCCCAGGCCGGCGGCGCGCCCTGGGCGCGCACCCAGGCCGGCGGCTCGCTCGCCGAGGGCGGCGCTTCTTCCTGGTGTACGGGTGCTTCGACGCGCCGCTCCTCCTGGCTCGCCCGCGCCTCGAGGCGCTGGCGTCGTTCTTCTTGCCGGGCCTCGAGGCGCCGCCACTGCTCGACGGCGTCGCGGTAGGCCGCACTCTGCGCGGCGGCCATGGCGGCGCGCTCCTCCTGGGCGGGCGGCGTACGGGCGCGCTCCGCCTGGGGGCGGGCGAGGTACGGGCGGCCATTGCTCTGGGCGAGGTACGGGCGGCCATTGCTCTGCGCGCCTCCCCGGGCGCGCGCCTCCGGGGGGGCGCCCGGTCCGTCGGCGGACGGGCGCGGCATCTCGGGGCTGCCTCCGCGGGCGCGCGGCGGCTCCTCCTTCCTTGTTTGTTTGTGTGAGGAGAGCTGCAAGCAAAACACGAGAGGAGCGAGGGGGCGGGCGGCGCACCGGTAGGCGTGCGCAAGACGGGTCGGGGAACCGGCTCCGAGCGTTCGTCGCGGTTTGGGTGGCCAACTCTAGAGACTCTACTCTAGAATAATGACTGGAACGCTTGCGAGAAGTGGGCAGCGTTTAACAGGTGCCGGCTCCCGTCTCGAGTCGAAGGTGCTGCGCTGCGAGAAGTCTGGGACCTCGCCGAGGACGCAGACGACGCGAAAGGGCAGCCGCAAAAGGGCAGCACAACGCAAGGGACGTCGACGACGCGTTAGGTGCCGGCTCTCAGCTGCCCGCGAGCCGGCCGCAGAGCTCCAACAAAGATGGGCCCGCTCACGCCGCGCAACCCGCGCCTCCGCACGAAGTACCCGTACAACGACATGGTCTGGAAGAAGCTCGACCCGGACACGAAGGGCTTCGCGGAGATCAAGCAGGTCATAAAATATGCGGACGACGTCGAGATGTGCTGCCCGGGGTTAGTAGATAGGTTCCAAGAGGTCGCGAAGAACGGCAAGCTCACGAAGGACGCCTTCGATAATTATGGGAAGCCGACGGACCGCGCGAAGCATCGCGCCAAGCGGGCGAAGCGGCACGACCTCGGGGAGCTGCGGCAGCTCTTCGACACGATCGTGAAGGCCGGCGAGAAGGATATTAAATTGGCGGACCTCGTGCGGCACAAGCGCGAGGTGAACCGGATCTGTCCGGAGTTGATTACGGAGTTTAGTGACATCGACCAGGACAATAGTTGCAGCGTGAGCTGGGATGAATTAAGGGTCTTCGCCGGCGGCACGGACGACTGGCTCAAGTTCCAGTTGCAGAACATCATCGGGCTCGACGGGCTGAAGGACCAGATCCACCAGTTCCACCAGTCTATTAGTCTGGACAAGAAGAGGCAAGCTGCAGGCTTCGACGTGAAAGACGCGGGCGGCAAGTACCACATGATCTTCCAGGGGAACCCCGGGACGGGGAAAACGACCATGGGGCGCGTCGTGGCGGCGTTGCTCAAGCGCATAGGCATCACGCAGAGCGATCTGTTGGTGGAAGTGCAGCGGGATCAATTGGTAGCGGGATACGTCGGCCAAACGGCCCCGAAGACGCAGGAGAAGATCGACGAGGCCTGTGCTGGGGTGCTTTTTGTGGATGAGGCGTACCGGCTGTCGCATGCTGTGTGGAAATCAAATTGTCGCGGCGCGTCTCCGCCACTGCTGAATCATGACCTTACGCCATCGACGCGACGCCACCTCAATGGCGTGGCGGTGTGGGTCTTACACGACTCGATTCAGTCATCAGGACAGCGTCGTCGCCGAGAAATGACTTAGTGAAGAATTATGTGCACCCGACTCACTGGTTGATTTACCCACAGGTCGCAAGGTAGTAAATCGGGCAGCGACTACGGCAAGGAAGCTATTGAAACGCTCATGGGCGCGATGACCGAGCCGCCGGGCAAGGCGCCCGTCATGGTCTTCGCGGGCTATCCGAATGATATGGCTTCGTTCATGCAGGCGACTATGTGGAAATCAAATTTCGGGCGCCCCGCGCCATCGACGCAACGTGCTTTCCGTAGCTGCGTCTGCGCAATGGCGTGGCGATTCCGCGCCATCGACGCGACATTGTCCCCGTGGCCACGTCGGCTCGATGGCGTGGAGGCGCACAAAGGTCCACGCAATATTTCTCAGATAACCTAACTCACTGGTTGATTTCCACACAGGCAGGCGAATTCCGGGCTGTATCGACGCATCGCGTACACGTTCGACTTCGAGGACTACACGCCGTTAGATCTGGCGAAGATCCTGGGGAAGATGGCCCAGGGGAAGGGCTTCGGGCTGTCTGCCGACTTGACGTCAAACAATTTCGAGGTTTTGAGTAGGATGATCGAGGAGGGCACGCTGCCCGAGGCGCGGGCCCTTATGAACGGCGGCATCTGCGAGCGCATCTTCACCTTCGCGAAACAATCATTGGATGGGCGGTGCCAGGCTTCCGGACAAGTAAGCGTGGAGATAACGGCGGAGGACATCACGATGGCAATGACACGCATCCCGCCGCCGCCGCGGCGCGACGACGGCGGCGACGACGACGACGGCGGCGGCGGTGGTGGTGGCGGCGGCGGCGACGAGCGGCTGCGCCTCGAGCTGACGAACGTGAAGCAGCAGCTGATCCTCGTCAAACAGCAGCTGCGGACGGCGCGGGCCGACAGCAGCCGGTTGCGTGGCGAGCTGGACCGGACCAAGGCCCTCCTGGCCAGCCGTCCGGCCGCCCCGCCGCCCGCGGCCAGGGGCCCACAGGCTCCGCAGGCCCCGCAGGCCCCGCCCGCGAACCAGGCCCCTCCGGCGGGCGCGGGTCATGCCGCGGCGCGGGCGGGCGTGCCGGCCGGGGGCACGTGGCAAGTGCTCCTAGAGAGCGGCTGGGCGACGATCGACGCCGCCGGGCAGCACATCATGAACGGCGCCGTCGCGGCCGGGCAGACGAGCATACGGGACAAGATCGCCGGCCGCGAGTATTTTATCGACTTCGTCGCGAAGAAGCAGACGAACTGCCGGACCGGCAAGGCGCGGGACATCCGGTGCGCGCCCGCCGGCTCGGCGGTGCCGGCCTCCAAGCCGTCGGAAGCCGGCGGGATTTGGCAGGTGCTCTTGAACGACGGCTGGAAGGTCATGGACGCGCCGACGTCCGCCACGCTGAGCCAGGCGGCGAAGGCGGGGCAGACTACCGTCCAGCTCCGCCAGCGGGGCTACGACTACACCGTCGATCTCGCGGCCCTCACGCAGACGAATCTGGCGACAAAAGCGGTACGGCAGATCAAGTTTGTCTAAGAATTGGAAAAAATAAAATAAGAACAACATTACCGGAACGCGAAGCCGAACCCGGGCGACGGCGGCGGCCGCCGCCGCGCCGTCTTCCACTCGCCCGCGGCCGCCCGGCGCGCGACGCGGTCGCCGCTGCCCGCGTTTGATGAAGACGGCGCCGACGGGGGCAGCCCCAGAATCCGCTCGAGCTCGCGCCGCCGGTCCTCGTCGAGGTCCAGCGCGTCGGGGAACTCGACCTGGACCCGCAGGAAGAGCCGCCCGCGCTTCCCCGGCGCGCCGCGCACGGGCATGCCCTCGCCCTCGACGCAGCGCAGCGCGCCGTGCTTCAATACATCGCCCTCCCGCGCCAGCTTCACGCGGAACGTCGACCCGTCGGGCCGCGCGACCTCGACCGACGGCCCCCCTCCTAATGCGTCGCCGAGGCTGATCCGCGCGTCCAGCAACAGATCGGCGCCCCGTCTTTTGTACAAAGCGTGGGGCGCCTCGCGCAGCTCGAACTGGACGACGGCGTCGCCCGCCCTTGCTTTGACGACGTCGCCCTCGCCGACGCCCGGCGCGAGCTTGACGCGGCACCTGACATTATTCTCGAGCGCCACGGACAGCGTCCGCCCCGTGAAGCAGTCGTCCAGCGACACGGTGATGGCGAAGCGCCGCGGCTGGGGCCGCCCGAAGCCGCCCATGCCGCCGAACGCGTCGCCGAAGGCGCTCCCGAAGCCCCCGAACATCTGCTCGAACATCTGCTGGGCCTGGGCGTTATTTCCACCTTGTGAAAATCCAGCGAAGGGGTTGCCCTGCGGCATGCCGCCCGGTGCACCGTCGACGCCGGCCTTGCCGAAGCGATCGTACTGCTTCCGCTTCGCCGGGTCGCTCAGCACCTCGCGCGCCTCGTTGAGCTTCTTGAACTCCTCGGGGTCGCCGCCCTTGTCCGGGTGGCACCGCAGCGACTTCCGCCGGTAGGCCTTGTCGACGTCGCGCTGCGTGCACTTCGGGTCGAGACCGAGCGCGGCGTAGTAGCCGCCGTCGTCGCGCGCGCCGCCTCGTGGGATCTGCAGTGCTCGCCCTGGCCGCGTGGCGCCGCCTCGTGGGATCTGCAGTGGCCGCGTGGCCCTAGGCACGAGCGCCGCGACGCACGCGAGCAGCGCTGCGAGCCGCCGTAGCAGCAGCATGGTTGCTCAAGGACGGCGTGAAGCCGTCGCGACGTTTTGCAACGCGGTCTAGGGCGTGGTGTCGCACGCAGTCGCGTGTCAGTACCAGCTTTAGTTGTCCGTGCGGCCAAAGCTGCGCCGCGTGTCGTCCAATTTGCAATGGCATAATCACTAGCGACCGGTGAGACACTAGCAACGCAGCGAGTCCTAGCAAGCCCCTTACTCACGCGTCGTTGACCGTGGCCTCGTCGTCGTCGGCCACGAGCAGTCGGAGGGGAGGCGGCAGCTCGACGTCCGCGTACGCGCGCGCCGCGGCGTAGAGCTTGAAGAGGCGGCAGGACGCGTGCACGCGCACCTGGACGCACGCGTAGTAGTCCGCGCCGAAGCAGCGCCGCGTCAGCTCCGCGAGCGGCACGGCGACGTACTGCCAGCCCTCGCCGACGACGAGCGGCAGGTCGCACGTGCAGCCGTCGACCTTGACGATGGAGCGGCGGTTCGAGAGGTTGAAGGTGTAGTACTTCTCGTTCCGATCGATCACGTTCAGGCGCAGCGCGAAGAACTTTGTGGAGACCTTGACGTATAATACAATATAGGGCTGGACGCAGCTCCGGCTCCGGAAATTTAGGGAGGCGCCGGGCCCGCTCAGTTCGACGCAGGCCTGGTCCTGGAGCTGCTCGTCCTCTATGATCACACACGCGCCCGTCGGCGCGCCGGCGCGCCGTCTTTGCTCAAGATCGTCCTGGGCCGCGATGACCTCGGCGCAGTTGTCGATGTCCTCGTAGACGCCGCGCGGGAAGAGCGGCGTCACGTCGACGGGCGCCGGGTCGGCCGGCGTCCGCGCGGGGCTGCCCTGGGGGCTCTGGGTGGCCAGCATCTGCGTTAGGGCTGCCCCGCGGGAGTTCTTGCCCGCTAACGGGCGGGAGAGGCGGAGGTCCTACGTTAACCCACAACGCTTGGGACGCTGTCGATGCCAAAAAACGCCGTCAATAGCGTGGCGCTAAGCGGCGTTGCCACGCGTTGGTCCAAGCTAGCGGCCGTAAGGCACTAGGAATCTCAGCTGAGCCGCAAAGGTGTAAGTAGCGCAAGCGTAACTGCACGCATCGCTCGCAAGCAAACGACGCTGTCGCCGCAGCGCTTGCCGGACCGTGTGGCTGAAACACTGCCTGCACCACTGCATCCTGTGCCTCGCCGTGTCCGCAGTAGTAGTCGCGCACGCGCCGTCCGGGGATTAGAAACTAGCAACTGTGTCAGGATTCGGAGCCAAGTCGGACCTAAGAGACCCGGCGCCGGCCGTGGCGAGAATTTGCTTCCGCCGTTTCTGAGGACGAGAGCCGGCGCAGCGCCGCACGAAACGCCCGCAGCAAGCGGTGCGTCACCTCTCGAAACGCGCAGGTCCGACGCATGGCGGCCGCCGCGGCGCGGCTCCGCAAGGGCGCGCTCCTCGACGCCGCGCGGCGCGCGCTCCGCGAGCCCTCGCTCGTCGCCGTCGGCGCGCTGCTCAAGGCCGACGTGCCGGCCGTGCGCGCGGCGCGCGACGCCTACCGCGCGCGCGGCATCCGGGTGAAGAAGCTGCCGAACCGGCTGTGTCGGCTGGCCGTCGCGGACACGGACCGCGCCTTCCTCGCCGGGCTGTTCGCCGGCGATCTGGTCGTGCTCCACCCCACCGAGGCGTCGTCGGACGCGGGCGCCCAGGCGCGGGACCTGCTCGCGGCGACGAAGGACGCCGGCAACGTCAAGCTCCTGGGCGGCGCGCTCGACGGCGCGGCGCTCTACGCGGCGGACTTCGAGCGGCTCCGCGACGCGCCGTCCCTGCACGAGCTGCGCGCTTCCGTCGCGCGGGCCGTCCGCGAGCCGGCGGCGCGGGCGGCGCGCGCGCTCCGGCAACCCTCCGTCTCGACGGGGCGTCTGGCCAAGGCGCAGGCGGCGAAGGTCGGGCGCGGCGTGCGGGCGCGTTTTGACGGGCTCGGCGGGGACGACGGGAGTGGTGGCTAATAGAGAACACATTTAACGAAGGGGATAGCTAGAGCGCGTCCGCCGTGAACGCGTTGATCATGCGCAGCGCGGCCGCGGGCTGGTCCATCGGCACCATGTGGCCCGCGTCGAGGACGCGCAGGAAGCTGAGCGGGCCGCTCGTGCGCAGCTCGCCGGCCTTCTTGGCCCCGGCGGGCCAGTCGGCGACGGCCGCGGCGCGGAACGCACCCTGGCCGGGCCACGGCAGGGCCAGGGTCCAGGCCTGGTTGCCGAGCCAGTTGCATATGTAGTCCTGGTCGCCCGCGTAGATCAGAATGCGCACGCCCGCGCCCAGTAGTTCCGGCAGGAGCTGCTGGTAGTTCTTGATGTAGTCGCCGGACAGCTCGAAGCGGATCGTCACGCTCTTCGAGCAGTCGGCCCAGCGGCCCTTCACGCCCAGGGCCGCGCGCACGTCGTCGCGCTGCAGGTACTTCTTCACGTTGGAGAAGTCGTAGCAGAGCGGCGGCACCGCGCACTTGGCGCGCATGTCGTAGGGATTCATGCCCGTGAGCGTGTAGGGGATCTCGAGCGACATCTCGCAGAGCTCCAGCGCCGGTAAGCACGTGGCGGTCGTGTTCTGGCACGCGCGGATGCCGGCGATGCACGCAGGCGTCGCGGCGGCCATCACGGCGTGCTCCGCCTTGCCGACGGCGGCCTTGTGGCCGTTCGTGCTTATGATCATGTCCTTGTAGTACGCGAACCTGTGTGGAAATCAAAATTTTACGGCGCGTTCGTGCTGAATCATCGCGTCGTCCTCCACGCCATCGACGCGACGCCTGCTCGATGGTTCCTCACCGCTCGACCGAGCCAGGACGGCCGCGTCATCGCCGAGAAATGACTTAGTGAAGAATTGTCGGGTGCACCCGACGCACTGGTTGATTTCCACACAGACGAGAACTGTATCTCAGGGTCCGTCAAGCCGTTGCCGATGGCCAGGCCCTTCAGGTTCTTTCGGAGCGTGCCGTTGCGGAAGAGACCCGAGGAAACCGCCGGCACGTAGTGGCCCGCGTAGGACTCGCCCGTGACGTAGAGGTCGTGATTGCTGAACTTGCCGTGAATCCGGAACCACTGGACGAGAAAATCGACCATGTCCCGGGCGACGCCGGCCTCGGTCGAGTCCTTGGCGCCGTAGGAGAAGCCCGTGCCGGCGGGCTGGTCCACGTAGATGAGCGTCGCGTTGCGATTCCACGAGTAGGGGTTCAGCTTCGTGGCCGTGCCGTCCGCGTTGACTTTGCACGGGCCGTTCTCTCCGAAAAGAGCCACCGCCGACGAGCAGCCCGGCCCGCCCGTCATCCACAGGATCACGGGGTCCGTGGCCGGGTCGTTGCGGGACTCGAAGGCCCAGTAAAAAAGATGTTTCGCGCCCGTCGACAGATCAATATAGCCGCTGGACTGCTTGACGCCGGGGTCGCAGAGGCCGGCGGCCTGCGGCTTGTTGAACGCGGCCGCGCCGTGCGCCAGGCAGAGGAGTGCGGCGAGGCTGCGCATTGCTTTTATGCTTGCGGTAAACTTGCTCTGCGTCTTATACATTACAGCTTTTGCTGCCTCGTTTCACGTCTCTCTTGCTTGCTAGTGTCTTACAAACCGCTAGCTATTAAAGTCCCAACGTCTGCGGTGGACGCCGTGAGGCGCTGCTGCGCTGCTACGCGCGTTTCTACGCGCTTGCGCAGCGCCGCAGCAACCGCTGAGCACAGCTATACCAGCCTGCGCGGCCGCCGCGCGCCGCTTCGCCATAGAGCTTGAGCAAATTTATAAGCTTACTTCATCCCGCCTGGCGAGTTTAGCGCCGAGCCACCACCAAAGCATGCCGACTCAAGGCCCGTCGCCGCCGCAAGGACAGGCGACCGGGTGGTGGCCCATGCCTTTCAGTTTTGAGACGTTCGCCTGGGCCGTCTCTGCGCTTTTTCAACTCCTGACCGTCTGCGCATACCTCCTTTCGTTCCCCGACGTCGACGGCGTCGACGACCAGCTTCCGGACATGCCGGAAGTCATCCAGGACAGCGCCATCGAGATGAAAATCACGTACAGTGGTATCATCTTCGTCTTCGGCTTCTACACGCAGGTCGTCGTCGTAAAGCAGCGTTGGAATTGGTGGAGAAAGAAGATGGAGGAGCACAAGTTCTCGAGCTGCGGATCATCATTTAATGACCACAAACCACCACACCCTTATTTCAACCGGCACCACACCCTTATTTCAACCGACCTGGACGTGCCACCGCGCAACTGGGACAAGGCATCCCCTAAGATGGCGAAGAATTTCGGCAGACCACTTCGTTCACGTGCGGCGCAATGACGCCATCTACGACTGGCAATCGCTCGCGGGCGGGCTCGACATAACAGGCATCATCGACGAGTCGTTTGCTACCTTAGATGACGATACGGCTGCTTTGTGTCGCGCCGGTCGCTTCGGTGCTGCTGGCGAGACGACGTTCGTGCTAGAGAACAGTACAGTGCTGCAGTTCACAGCCCCTGATCCATGCCTCAAGGCCTTATTTGCTGCTAGCGAAAGGCGAAGGCGTGGTGGCGTCGACGCGTCGAGGCGTCGATGGCGTACGCGTCGACGCCATCGACGGCGTCGTGCTGCGGGCGCGAGGGCGGCTTCGGGAGGCTCGTGATCGACCCCTGGCCGGGCCTCGGCGAGGAGCCGCACGGGAGCCCCCTGATGGCCATCAACGACTGTCGCGCGAACCCGTTCCTCAATTTGACAAGGAAATATGAGTTGGAGAACTGCGCCTTCGTCAACGCGTACGTGCGGGGCTTCGCGCACGTCTTCGTCGTCGCCACGCGCGACATCGTCGCCGGCCAGGAGCTCCTGATCGACTACAAGGAGAGCTACTGGAAAGAGCGGGCCGTCATGGAGCGCTACATGGGGCCGTTCCGCGCGGCGCACCAGCCCGTGGAGCTCGACCGGCTCCGCGCCGCGCTCGTGCAGCGGCGCGGCGAGTAACCCACAGGTGTTAGGGGCGAGGGCAGGGCAAGGGGGTTCCCCGCCTCGGACGGCTGCGAGGCTCCGCGCCGCGCTCGTCCAGCGCCGGGGTAACTCACAGTAGCTTAGGCGGGAGGGGTCACCCTAGGCGGACGGCTGCGACGCCTTGGGCGTGACCTCGTGGTTCAGGACCGTGTGCACGTAGAGCTCGTCCTTCGGGTGGTCCTTCTCGCCCTCCTCGAAGCAGTACGACGAGGCGATGGCCAGCTTCGAGCCGTCGGTGTTGAAGGCCAGCGCCGCGACCGACGTCGGGAAGGGCTGGAGCTGCGCGAGGCGCTTCTTGTGCGCGCCGTCCCAGAGGCTGACGCCGCCGTCGCTCCCGCCCGTCGCGAACGTCCCCAAGAGCGGGTGGAAGGCGATGGCGTTGACCGGGTAGACGACCTTGCCCGCGCGATGGCACTTGAACGCGTACTTGCGCGCTTGGTCGCCGTCGGCGAAGTACTCGACGCTCACCCTGCCCTCGATGCTCGAGAGGGCGTAGCCCGTGGCGTCGGGGAAGCACTTGAGGCAGCGCGTCTGGTGCTTCAGGGAGGACTCGCGGTGCTGGAGCGGCGTGCTCAAGTTGCGCGCGTCGAAGAGGACGACGTGCCTGTCACTCGTACCGACGACGAGCTTCGTGTCCGCCGCGCCGAAGGCCAGGTCCAGCGCGAAGACCTTTCCCGGCACCTCGGCCGTCGCGACCCGACCATTCGACGCGCGCGGGTCCCAGCCCCCCACGGTCCGGTCCCACGACCCGCTGAAGACGACGTTGTGCTGCGCGTCGTACTTCAGGCAGCGGACGCCGGCGTCGTGGGCGCCCAGCGCCGCGGCCTGGCCCCCCTGGAGCGCGCCGTCGACGCGCGCGACGCGCACGCTGCCGTCGACGCAGCCGACGACGGCCGTCGCGTCGTCGCCGGCGAACGTCGCCGCGAGGCAGGCCGTCGGCTGCGTCGCCGCGGCGACGAGCGGCCGGTCCCGGTTCAAATCGTAGCGCCGGACCGTCGCGTCCCAGGACGCCGCGAGGAGCACGTCCGGGCTTGTCGGGCTGAACTCGACGCTCGAGATGCCGTCCTCGGGCGGGTCCGCGAGGTTGAGTAAGGGCTGCGGGGCTACGAGATTGGCCATGCCGATTTGTTTCTTTTTTGTGGTGACCGGCGACGGCGGCGCGCGGTCCTCGGCAGCGCCCAGCGCTTTGAGCGCCCGCTAGCGTGCGGCGGCTGGCCCTGCGAGCTGCAGATTCACGCGAGGAGAGCAGCGCTGCCAGTGGCGCAACCTGCTTGTCTCGAGATGCTTGCTTGTGCTTGCTAGTGTCTTACAGGCCGCTAGCCACGCGAAGCCTAAACGCGCGGGGAGATTAACTAGCGTATCGAGTAACACACTAGCACTATTCACTCAGCCGCAAAACGCACGTAAAACCTCCGAAACCAATGATTTGGAGCCAAGCGGGCGTTAAGAAGCTAAGTGAGTTCATCGAAATGCTCAGTTACATGTCAAAGTTCGCGCAGAGCCCGATCGTCGGCGAGATCGGGCGGTGTTCGAGGATCTCCATCGCGTGAACCTGGAGTTCGCGCTTGCGGTCGTCGCGGTACAATATTATACCGCGAGCGCGGTCGTTCAGCCACACCTCGTCGTCGAAGTCGATGCCGAGCCAGCTGTGGGGGTGGACTCGGTGATGCGCGAGCGCGTCGCGGCGGGTCAGGAACCGCTCGGCGCAGCACGGGTTCGCGCAGAGCCGCGGCGCGAAGAGCCGGCGCGGCAGCACGCCGGCGCGGACGTCGCGGCGGAGCGCGCGCTCGGCGCTCAACCGGTGGCGGTAGACGTCGCGCCACGACGCCACCGCCCCCGCGACCTCGTATGGCCAGCGCGCCGCCACCCGGCGCCGCCAGTCGCCGTCGTGCCGGGCGGCGTTCTTCCAGGCCGCCGCCACGCCGGCGGCGCGCAGCGCGCGCTTGGCGCTGAGGAAGCCGGCGACGTGGCGCACGCAGTCCTCGGGCAGCGCGACCGTCTGGTCCGGCCGGCGCACGACCGCGCAGCGCGCGTCGTAGCCTGCCGGGACGTCGGCCTCGGAGCCGTTGTCGAACAGGAGCCGGACGGAGTCGCCGTCGTGGGACCGCACCGTCGCGTCCACGCCCTTGCGCCCGTCGCGGCGCCGGAGGACGCGCACCGCCTCGCCGGCTGCCCAGGCGCGCGGCGCGAAGGTGGTGGGGGGCGGCGGCGGCGGGCGGCGTGGTTGCTTTGTTTTTTTATTCGAAGCTGTGGGGCGGCTCATTGGTGGTCGTAATGCTCTCCTTGGGTTCAAGCTCTTCTCTTTATTGGTTTCTTTAGCTGATGAGTGTGTTCAGGGCCTTGACCGGCGTCGAGGGGCCGCGGCGCCGCGCGGCTGCAACCGGTAAAAGGTATCGTAAGTACCTTATTGTACCTTATACCTACACGGTAGCCCGGCGCTTGCAGCCAGCTGCGACGAAACCCGGGCGGAAGCCTCGCACCGGCTCGCGGAAGTCCACTAGCGCGTATATATATGCGTTTGGCAAATTGCGGGTTTGCGCATTGCACCACGATTTTTGCGAGCATAGAGTTCACAAAGCGCAGCCCTCGGCAGCCCGGTCTGCCCCGTTTTACCTTTCGTCACTTCTCCAAGCGCCAGCGCGTGCGCAGCCGCGAGAACCAGCGCAAGCTGCGGCAGCAGAGGCAAAAAGCCAAAGTCTAGCACAGACACATGTTTCGCGGACGCGGAAACATCCCCCACGGCCCCGGACGCGGAAACGCTGTTGGCGGCCGCGGCCGCGGCGGCCGCGGCCGCGGCCGCGGGCACGGGCAGAGGCGGCGGCTGCGGGTAAAGTGCGAGATCTGCTGGCGCTGCGGCGGCGCGAAGGAGCGCCTGCCGGGCTGCGGCGGCGAGTACTGCCGGAGCTGCGGCGACCGCGCGAACGCCGTCATCGCGTCGGACCTGCGCCGGCGGCAGCGGCGGCGGCGCGAGCTGACGGAGCTCCTGCCCGAGGTCTTCCGGGCCTACCGCGCGCCGCCCGACGTCGTGGGCGTCGTGCTGCGCTTCGTGGGCTACGACCTGCCCGGGACGGCGCGGCCGCCGGACCGCGACAACCGCCTCGAGCCCTTCCTCCAGGTCGAACGCATTTACTCAGACACGCCCTATGGAAGCGACAACCCGCCGGCGCCAGTACTACTGCCGGCGCCGCCGGCGCCGCCGGGCCCCGCCCCCCCGCATAACACATAGACAACCTACTCTTTCCTGGCCGATAACAGGGCATCCACGATATGCGCCTTCTCCAGCGCCGTGGAAACGTCCACGCCTCTTTCGCGGGCGAGCTTCTTGAGCTGGCCCACGGAGAGTTCCAACAACTCTTCCCTCGACGCGGGCTCCGGCGCAGCGGGGGCGGGAGCGGCCGACGGGGCCGCTGCCCCGCCAATGGTGTCCCGGAGCGCCTGCACGGCGTTCCCGGAGTACCCGGACGCGGCGGCTGCCGCGCGGAAGGCGCGGCCGACGATCGCGAGGCCCCGCGCGCGCGCCAGCCGCGTCTCCCGCGGGGCGCCGTGGTCGTTGAGGACCTTGTGGCACGCGACGCGCAGCGTCGTCTCCACGTCCACGACGGTGAGCCGCCACATGACCTCGAGCATCGAGAGCGTCAGTTCGGACTCGCGTTTCTGCTTGGACGCCGCGGCGGCCGCCGCGTCGAGCGTCGCCTCGCGCTTTTCCGCGCACCGCGCCGCGAGCGACCGGCCGCCCGCTTTGCCGAGCGACCGCGCCGTCGCGAGGCGCGTGCCGAGCGCGTGCGCGCGCCGCCGCAGCGCGAAGGCGCCGCGGGCCCCGGCGCCGCGCGCGGCCCGGGCCCCGCCCGCCATCTCGTAGGCGTAGCCGACGACGTCCAGCAGCGCCGCGCCGAACGCGTTCGAGGCCAGGTCCTGCGCGAGCGGCTTCAACGAAACCTCGAACGCCGCCTCGTCCAAGCGCCCGGACGCGTAGGGATCCAGGAGGTCGACGACTTTCGCCGCGCAGCCGACCTCGCGCTTCCGCTGGAGGTAGGCGCGCTCCTCGTCCGGCACGTCCGTGTCGTCCTGCTCCTCCTGCGCGAGCTGGGCCAGCTGCAGCTCGCCGACGAAGTCCTCGAACTTCGCCGACCCGAAGACGACGGCGAAGAGCGTCGTCGAGTCGAGCGCCGGGACGTCGCCCGCGTCGCCGGACGCGTCGTAGCGAGCCCGCGCCTGCGGGTTCGACAGGACCTGGTAGGCCGCGCCTATTTTTTGAAACTTCGCGGCCGCGTCGGCGTCGCCGGGGTGCTTGTCCGGGTGGCACTGGAGCGCCTTCTTGTAGTAGCTCTTCTTGATCCGGGCCGCGGACGCGTCCGGCGGCACGTCCAGGACGTCGTAGAACTCCGTCGAGGCGACGTTTGTGGAAGGGGCGAAGAGGCCGCTCCCCTTCTTGAAGGCGGCCTTCTCCTCCCTCTGTCGCTTGCGCGCGGCGGCGAACGCGGCGTCGGGGTCGATCGCGTCGACCGCGTCCCTCTCCCGCCCGAGGTCGTAGAACTGCCACGACGTGCCGTCCCACTCCTTGCCCACGACCGTGGCTTGGATCGCGACCGGCGTCGCTCCAATCCCCCTGCCTAGGTCGTAGACGCCCTGCGCGACGCCGATCAGGGGCAGCGCCACGAGCCCGACGACGCCCTGCGCGCAGCCGCCCGCGAACCCTTTGATGCCGCTCTCGCGCGCCCCCATCACCGGCGCCGCCAGCGTCATGGCCACGCCGCCGACCGCCCCCACCAACACGCTCCGGATGCACCGATACAGGCCGTCGCCCGCGTGCCGCGGCGGCGTCTTCGAGCCGATGCCCACGGCCGTGAGGTCGAACGTCTCCTCGTCCTCCTTTTTCTCCTCTTCAGCCCTCATTTCCATTGATGTTTGGAGGCGCTGGGCCTCGGCCAGGCCGCCTGGAGCTCCCTGAGTTGCTCCTGCTGCTCGCGCACTTGTCGCGCCAGGTCCTCGTCGTCGTCGGCCATGGCTGAGGCTGCCCTGAGGCTGCCAATTTTATGCTGGCTCGGCTGCGAAGGCCAGCGCCGGAGGGGGTGTGTACTACAGGCTGATGTGTGTGGTCGCCTGGATCAGGCCTACGGCGAACCGGTCCGGGGCCCGAGCGAGACCTGCAGCGCGTTCGCCGCAATGAGCAGTGCCGCCGTCGCGACTCGCGACCAGGGCCTATAAACGTAATCGTAACCTTAGTAGTCGGAGGGGAGGGGTCGCGCGGGGAAAGGGATGGGGGAGGGAAGGGGTAAGGGCGGGGTAGGACGGGGGAAGGGGAGGGGGTCGACTCGGTTACTGGGGGTGCTGCCCGCGGCGCGGCCCCGGGGCCGGCACCGTCGACCGCGGTCGGGTACCACCCACGTGCAAGACCCTCCCTTCTACCGACTACAAGAGCTCCGGGTGGTCTGAGATAGTGGTCGAAATCCGGGGTCCGACTACTTCCCGACTACTTCAGCCAGGGGGCCGGGGCCTTCCCACGCTGCCCAGTTCATCCTGGGGCCGTTACCAGGCCATGTCTAGGTCAAAGGACCAGTAAATGGAGCCTCGGATACATTTCCGGGCGTGGTATCGCCGAAAGTACCAAAATTTTGCGGGTATGGATAATTCCTAGGAACTCGGGGGATTGATCCAGCTCGGAGAGATACGTCGAAAACCGGTCTAAAACTAGACCGACTAGAAGACGACTACGAAGGCCTCTGAGGCGTCGCACGTGGGTGGTACCCCCACGCGGTCGACCGTGCCGGCCCCGGGGGCGCGGCGGCGTCAGGTACTAGGTGTCCATCGGACCATCGCGTGGCCCGCACGTGCGCTCGAAGAAGTCCGGAGACTCCGACACGCGGCGGCGCACGCGGGACCGCTCCTGGGCCGCGGCTTCGGCCGCGGCTGCGGCGCCGCGGCCGTCGTGGCCGAAGAGGCCGCGGAAGATGCCGTCGGGCGCCGCGGCGCGGGGCCACCGACCGGCGCGAGGAGAGACATTCGATCGTGGATGGCGCAGGCGCCGTCGACAGTGGTGCGTTCACCAGCTCTTTGCGGGGCGCTTCCAAGGCAACGACCGAGCCTATCAAAAGCGGAGAGTCGGTGTGAAAACCACGCCGTCGCGACGTTGTATGAACGGAGCGAAAGGTGAGTGGGTAGGCGGCGCTCGAGGTCAGCGCATGAGATCGAAAAACGCAAACGGATCCGCAACCAGACGCGCAGCGAACGCAGTGCTCGAAAGCGCCAGCGCGAACGTTGTTCGTAAGGAGTAACTATACATAAATAAAATTTCTATCAGTCTTTACCTAACGAGGTGCCGCAGCGGCAGCAAGCAGCGCCCCAAGCGCGTCGATGCAGTCCGACAGGGCAACGACGACGTCGAGCCCCGGGTCGGCGCTCGTCTGGCGGCGCTCGGCGGCGTTGTTCGCCATCGACGGCCCGCCCGGCACGACAAAGATCAAACCAGTCGCCGTCAGGGCGCCGACGGCAGCGGTGGAAAGCTCGGACGGCCGGTCGGCGGCGGTCTGGGCGCGGGCGAATGCGCGGCTCGCCCGCGAGAGCGCCTCCTGCGCGACGAAGGCGTCCGGCGCGGAGTCAACCAGCACGGTGCCCGAAAGCCGCAGCGTCCGCTCGGTCACGGTCTCGCGCAGCCGCGAAAAGACGGCGTCGCCGGGGTCGCCTTGCTCCGCCGCCCGCCGCGCGTCGCGCAGCGCGTCCACAGCCTCCGCGACGGCGCTACGCGCCGCGGCCACGTCGCCCGGCAGCGCGTCGGGGTCGCGCGTCGGCTTCACGTACACCATGTTTCCCGTCTCCCAGAACTGGCCCTTGAGATTGAGCGGGTTGAACGGCTTCTCGGCGCACGCCGGCAACGCGGCGGCCGCGGTCGCGGCAGCGGCGGCCTCGCAGAGCGTGCGCCGCGCCATCGGTGCGAGAGCTGTCGTCGTCTGGAGTGCCACGAGGAATAAACTCGTGCGGAGCAGCATGGCTGCAGGCTGGTGCAGCTGGGCTGGTGCTGCACGCAAAAGCACAGCCAACAAGAGTCGCTAATTGAACTATCGCTGCTGCAGCTCGGATTGGAGCACCCAGGCTGCTAAAATCATGGGCTAGCGGCCTGTAAAGACACTAGCAAACAGGCACGGGTTTCTCGCGCCGCCAGCCCAAAAAAGGCAGCCCCCACGCACGCCACCGCAGCAAGAGCAAGCACAATGTGCTGGAACCAGCAGACCTCGGCGGCCTTCACGGCCCTGGGCCTCGCCGCCGCCTGGGCCGTCCACCGGGCGACGGGAAACACAAAGATGACGGCCGCCATCCTCTTCTTCTGCCTCATGGAGCTCCTGCAGTCGGTGCAGTACTTTTTTATTGCGGACCGGCTGGGGGACCCGGCATGCTTCAATAAAATAAACCAAATCTTAACGCTCGTCGGGTACTTGCACATCCAGCTCCAGCCCTACTTCACGAACCTCTACCTGCAGGCCTTCCGGCCGAGCACGGGCAAGGCCAAGAAGAACGAGCACGTCGCCTGGGCCCTCGTGCAGAAGCTGTGCCTGGCGCAGTGCGCGCTCGGCCTTTCGAGGGTTCTACTCTCGCCGTCGCTCTGGGACCGGTCCCGGCTCTCCGCCCAAGAGGAATCCTACTACGCGGCGACGCGGGACTGGCTCGAGGGCCCGGAGCTCTGCACGTACCGGGGCGCCGTCCACCTCGCGTGGTCGATCCCGCTCCAGCGGCCGGGCTACTTCGTGCCCGCGATGGGCCTCCACGCGTTCCTGATGTTCGTGCCGGTCCTGTGCATCGGGGGCCTCGCGGAATTAGATTCCGTGGCCTTCCTCATGGGCACGGGACCCATATTATCGATGTACCTCACGCGCAACGCGCACGAGCAGGCCTCGATCTGGTGCTTTTTTAGCACGATGCAGTGCGCCATCGGCGCGGCGTCGGCCGTGCTCCAGCACCGCTCCGCCTCGTCAAAAACGCCTCAAAACCCCTACGAGACGCGGCCCCGTTTGAAGAACACGGCGACGCCGTCGAAGCAGCCCGCGCGCCGCGCGCGGAAAGCTGTCGACTACAGCGAGGACTAACTTTAATCTGAGGGCTTATACACGACGGCCCCCCGCTCGAAGGTCACGACGGCGCGCTTGTAGTTCGGCCGGCTCACGTGGAACATGGCGCGCTTGCCCTGGATGCGCCGGTACCCGCCATAAAAGTTGTCGGTCATGACCTTCTTCACGGGCAACCCATAAATGGTTTGGAGGTACTCCTTCACCTCGAGCTTGTTCATCCGCGGCGCTATCCTAAAGACGGCCTGCACCGGCCGCGTCTTGTGGCCGAGGAAGCGCACATTAATCAAGGTCATGAAGAGGTTCGGGAAGAACTCGAAGCGCGGCATCGCTGCGTCGGCGTCCCGCGCGCTCGACGCTGCCGCAGGGCCGGTGTTGCGCCTCAGCGCTTGCACAGCGATCGCGAAAACGTCGCTACGAGTTATGCGTATACTGTAGTCTCCTTGGTCCTGGGTGCAGCGGTGAGTTCTGCACTGCTGCGCTGCTTACAGTAAGCTGAGCTGAGCAGACGGGTTTGCTTGCTAGGTGCCTAGTGTCTTACAGGCCGCTAGCTGCAGGGCGCGGCGCGGGGGCTCATTTTAGCGTGCCAGGGGCGAAAAGGTGACAGGGACAACGCTGTTTGGGCTTAGTGGTACGCTGAGGCATAACCGAACAAGCGGTGCGGGCTAGCACGACACCTAATGGGCGCCAAGCGCGAGCCGCAGCGGCGCTGGCACCGCAAGCTCGCCGCCGCCGCGTGCGCACTAGCGCTGGCCACGCTCGCGCTGCGCTTGGCCGCGTCGCGGCCGGGCGCCGCGCAGCACTGGCTCGCGTCGGTCAACATCGAACAACGAGCGGGCGTGCCCCGGAGGTGCGGCTCCGACGGGCGAGCCACTTATGCGTGGATGAACCCGGTCCAATTCAACCGGACGTTCACGCGCGCGCGGGGCACGGCGCTGTTTCTGGTGGGCTGCGGCCACTCGGGGACGACGCCGCTGACCGCGCTGCTGCAGCGCCACCCCGGCGTCTTCGTCTACGCGCCGTCCGCGGACCTGGAGTACGCGATCAAGCCGGACAGCTTCTCCCCACTACTGGGGTCGTCTCAAAACGACCGGGCGACCTTGGACCGCCTCGCACGCGGCAACGCGTGGCTCGTGAAGAGTCCCTCGAACGTCTGCCGGCTGGGCTACATCCTGATGCACGTGCCGTCGGCGCGCGTCGTCGCGTTGGTGAGAGACGGGCGCGACGTCATGTTGAGTTTGATGGAGCGGTACCCGGACGCGGACCCCGCGGGCGACTTGTGTCTCGGGCGGTGGGTCCACGACAACACTGCATTATTACTGTACGAGCGGGACCCGCGGCTCCTGATCGAGCGGTACGAGGACCTCTTCGAGGGCGCGCCGCGGTACCCGTCCCTCCGGCGGATTTTGGGGCACTACGGCGTCACCTATGATAACGTCGCGGACCTGATGGCGCGCCCCGCGAGCGACGCGCATGGGTCCACGTCCGCCAAGGCGTCCGCGGCGCACACGCGCCTGCGCGCGCAACAGGTGTCGAAGCCGCTCCGCACGGCCGCGCCGCGCTGGCCCGCGGAGCTGAGCCCCGCCCTGAAGCGGACCTTCAAGCGGGACAAGGCGGCCGTGAGGCTGCTCGTGCGGTTCGGCTACGCGAACGATAGTAATTGGTAATTGTTAGTTGAGCTCGTCCTCGATGTGGCTGCGGACCATGGCGTCGATGGAACACGCGTCCGGAAAGCCCATGGCCGCGGCCTTGGACGTGTCGAAGCGCGCCGGCCACGTGCCGACGATGGCCGCCACGGCCGGGTCGGGCACGAAGTCCACGAGCCCCCGGTCGCCGCCGTGCCGCGCGAGCGCCGCCAGCATCTCCTCGACGGACACCGTGACGCCGGGCGCGTTCACGCAGCGGTAGTCGCCAAAGGCCGCGCCGTCCACGTCCAGCGCGTGCTCCAGCGACCGCAGCGCGCTCCGCGGCGACGCGAGCCAGAGGTCCGTGTCGAGGTCCATGGGGCACACGGCCCTCTGGCCCGCCAGCGGCTCGCGGAGGATCGACGACGCGAAGCCGGAGGCGGCCGCGTTCGGCGCGCCGGGCCGGATCGAAATCGTGGGCAGGCGGACGGACCGCCCGTCGACGAAGCCCTTCCGCGAGTAGTCGTTGACCAGCAGCTCGCCGATGGCCTTCTGCGCGCCGTACGAGTTGAGCGGCGTCGTCGGCGTCGCGTCGTCGGCCGCGTCCGTGGCCCCGAAGACCGCCAGCGAGCTCGCGAAGACGAACTTGGGCGGCTGCGCGCACCTGGCGCGGCAGGCCTCGAGCGTCCCCCTCAAACCGTCGACGTTCACGCGGTAGCCCAAATCAAAATCCCGCTCGGCGCCGCTGCTCACGACGGCCGCCAAATGAACGACGGCCCGCGTGTCGCTCGCGATCGCGGCTCCCAACGTCTCCTCGAGCGGGCCGACGAGGGCGCGGCCGCCGGCCGGCACGACGGGCGGTTCTATTTGGTCGCAGAGTACGACTTGCGCCCCGCGCTTCGCCAGGTTTTGCGCCAGCCGGTTGCCTAAAAATCCCGCCGCGCCCGTCACGACGACGGACATGACTTGCAGCTAGGGGTCGGTCAGCAATGCTGCAGGATAGCAACCGCTGCTGCCTCTTGCAAGGCTGGTTGCTGCGACTCAGGAGATCGCACAGCCTCTTGCAACGCCTCCAGGTTGACTGCCCAGGCGAGTCGTCGCAATAACCTGGGCTAGCGGAGTGAGGCACTAGCGAGCTCAGCCGGACGGGTGGGCCCGGGGGGAGCGGGAGGGGTACGGGGGACCCCGCGACGTAACTAGCCTGAGCCTGAGCTCAGCCCTTGCGTCCTAGTCCACTAGTCCTAGCACCGTAACATCGACTGCGTCCTAGTCCAGCCGGACGGGTGGGCCCGGGGGGAGCGGGAGGGGTACGGGGAACCCTGCGACGTAACTAGCCTCAGCCTTAGCCCTTAGCTGTTTTCCCGACACGTTCGGACCCTCTCCTTACTGATATATAGGGCGGGGAGCGCTCAGTCGTCCTCCGCCTCCGCGGCGGCCTCGGCCTCGTCGGCGGCCTGCTTCTGCGCCTTGACGAGGTCCCAGAGCGCGGCGAGGGCCGCGGCCCAGGCGCTGAGCTTGGCCAGCGCGTCGGCGGCGTAGAAGCCGTCGTCGCCCGGCGCCGCCTCGGCCGCCGCCTTGGCCGCCTCGACGTCGACGCCCTCGAGCGGCGCGGAGCCGTCGGCGTCGGCCGCTATTAATGAGACGAAGTCCTTCTTGCCCTCGCCCGACAGCGTGGGCAGCGCCTCGGCCAGGGCGGCCGCGGCCTTGGCCCAGTCCGGCGCGCCCGTGAACGACGCGCAGCTTTCGGACGACACGCCGCAGACCAGCAGCGACGCCTGCAGCGACGCGACGGCCGCCTCGCTCGGCGGGATCTTGTCGCGGGCGAGCTCGGAAAGGGCGTCCGCGTAGGTCGCCAGCACGGCCTCGGCGGACGCGACGGCGGCCTCGGCCGCCGCGCGGTCCTCGGCGCCGTCGGGCGCGCCGTCCTCGCCGTAGCCCTCGGTCCGCTCGGCCGCGGCGGCCTCGGCCGCCGTCGCGGCCTCGGCTTCCGCCGTGGAAGCGGCCTCGCGGCGCGCCTCGGCGGCCTCGGCCGCGTCCTCGCGGAGCATCGCCGACGCGGCCCAGCGCTTCGCGTCCGCGCGCGCGTGCGCCTCGCCCAGTTTCTTCGCCCACGCCTCGACGAGCAGCTGCTTGTCCTCGGCGAGGTCCTTGGCCTGGCCCATGGCGTGCACGCAGAGCACGCGCTCGACCGGCACGATGACGGGCTGGTTCTTCGGCGCGCGCGCCGGCGGCGCCGGCTCCTCGGCCGGCTCCGCGCCCTCCTCCGGCGCCTCGGGCGCCTCCTCCGCCGGCTCCTCGGGCACGGGCTCGCCGATGCCCTCGGCGTGCAGCGCGCTGTCGTACTTCACCGCCGCCGCGCAGTACGAGCCGCAGCGCGGGATGCCGAAGAACTTGATGCGGTCTTCGCGGACGACGTTCGCCACGAAAGCTCGGGACGGGTACTGCAGGACCGCGTCCTTGGCCGCTTCCGCTTCCGTTAGAGTCTTCTGGGCCTCATCTAATGTTTTCTGGGCCTCGGCTAACGTTGCTTGCGCCCCTTCCAGCGCCTTCTCGGCCTCGGCCAGGCCTTCGGGGTCCGCGTCGTCGCCCTCGAGGGCCTTCTTCTCGTCGACGGCCGCCTGCGCGCCGTCGACGGCGGCCTGGGCCTCGGCCACGGGCGCCTCGGCTTCCGTCGCCGGCCCCGTGGCCTCCTCGACGGCGGCCGTCGCCGCCGCGAGCTCCTCCTCGTACTCCTCGCGCTGCTGGAACAGGTCGAACGTCACGCCCTCGGCGGGCTCGTCTTCACCAATACCGCCCTTGAGCACGTTCCCCGCCATGTCGCAGCCCTCGGACGCGCCGCAAAAACCTATCAAAGGCACGCCCTCCTTCTCGCCCTTCACACCGACGTAGGCCGCCGTGCAGCCCGTCTGGCGCCGGACCGCGTCCATGAGCTGGGGGTACAAACTCTCGACGTCGTCCGTCTCCTCTAACTCCTTATCCAGCTCGGCCTCGGCCTCGGTCGGGTCCGACGCCGTCCGCCGCGCCTCCGCGGCCGCCGCGACCTCGGCGGCCGCCGCGTCGCTGACGGCGATGGACTCCGCGAGGGACGCGTACTTCTTGGCGCGCGCCTCCTCGCGCTCGTGCTTCGTGGCGTGGTTCACGAGGTAGGTCCCGATGAACTCGACGGCGTCGTCCGGCTGGTCGACGACCATGGCCGCCAGCGCCATCTTTAAGGCTTCGCCCACGTTCTCCTGGAGGTAGGCCGTCTCCGCCATGCTGCCTGTTTTTTTCTCGATTGGCTCGAAGACGGGAGGCAGCCTTTCGTGCGCCTGGGGCCGCAAAACGGAGCCCCGCGCGAGGGCAGCGCCTGGTGTTAATGTTGAACGCTAGTGCGCCCCCCCCTAGTGTCGAAAGGCGCCCGCGGGACGTCTATCCATCAAACGCGAGGCCTCCGCCGGCTGCCCGAGTCCCTGGTTGGGTTCTCATCTTCTCATCTCACCTTTTAGTGTGGCAGCCCATTTTAATTTTGAGATATTGGGCCGACGCGGCGCGCGGCACCGTCGCAGACGTCGACGTATTACAACGTTGGTTCGACGGATTACAACCTCGTTTGGTTCGTGGATCAACGTTGTTCGACGGATTACGACCTCGCTTGGCTCGTGGATCGACCGGGGCAGCCGTTCGGCCCATCTCATAACACTGCCAGAAACAATGCCCGGCCGCCGCGAGACGGCCGAGCTCGTCGGCGCGCTGCAGAGCTCGAAGAAGGACGCGCTGATCGACACGCTGCGCACGACGCTGGACCAGGCCCGCGTCGAGCTCGAGCGGTCGCGGGCGCGCGCGGAGGCGGCGCGCGCGACGGAGGCGGCGCTGCGCGACCTCAAGTCCCAGATGCGCGCGGCGCGGCGCGAGCGCGACGAGGAGCGGCGGGCCTTCGCGGCGCGCGAGGAGGCCTGGGCCGCGCGGTGCGAGGCCCTCGAGAAGGCGGCGACCGAGGGCGACGACCGGAACGGCGAGCACCGCCGTGCGCGGCGGGGCCTCGAGGCGCGGCTCGAGGCGCTCGGCGAGGAGCTCCGGCGGGCCCTGGATGGACGCGCGGACGCGGAGGCCCTGCTGAGTTCGGAGCGGAGCGCGCGGCGCGACGAGGCCGCGGCGCTGCGGGCCGAGGCGGCCGAGGCGCTGCGGGGGCGCGGCGAGGTCGACGAGCGGCTCGGCGGCGTCGCTCTGGTCGCGGAGCAACAACGCGAGCTGCTCGCGGCGCAGGAGCGGCGCCTGCGCGAGGCCGAGGCCGCGCGCGTCGCCGAGAGGCGGGACCGCGAGCGGCGCGAGGCCGAGGCCGCGGCGCTGGAGGACGCGCTCGCCGCGGCGAAGCGCGAGGGCGCGGCGAGCGGCGCCCGGACGGAGGCGCTCGAGGAGGACGTGGGCCGGGCGCGCGAGGCCCAGCGCGCGGCCGAGGCGCGCGCGGATCAGGGCGACGCGCGCCTGCGGCGGCTCTCGCGCGAGGCCGAGGACGTCCGAGCCGAGGTCGGCGAGCTCAAGGCGCGGCTCCGCGACAGCGACGAGCGGGCGCGGGACGCGCGGCGGCTCGCGCAGGACAACCGCGCGCTCGCGGACCGCGTCCACCACCTCGCGGCGGCGCTCGAACGGGAGCGGGCCGAGCGCGCGCAGTGGGCGCGCGCGCGCATCGAGCTGCTCTCGCAGTTCTGCGCCGCCGGCGACGGCGCGCCGCCCGCCGGCCAGGGCCTGCTCCGGGCCGCGGAGGCGTCGCCGCCGCCGCCCGTTCCACCGCCGCCGCCGCCAGCACTCGAGTAAGTCCTAGAAGTAAGTCCGTGCTTTTGCTGTCTTTCAGGGAGGGAAATCTTACCCGTACCTCAGCCCAGGCAACGTCCGGCGCGTCGGCTCAAGCGTTGACTCGAGCATTCGCGAGGACGTCCGTCCGCTCGGGTGGTGGTTCAGGTGTGGCTCTAGCTCTTCGCGCGGCGCGACCGGCGCGGGGCCCTCGTGGGAACGGCGGCTCACATGGCGTACTTGCGCGTCCACGCCCGCGCGGTCTCGTCGTGCTTGGCAGGGTTCGTGCGAAGGAGCTGCGCGATCTCGGGCACGAGCGGGTCGCTGGGGTTCGGGTCACATAGCAGCGAGCTGATCGACAGCAACACCTTCGATATCGTGAGCGCCGGCGACCACGCAGTGGGCTTCAGGATGTCGAGGCAAATCGTGCCGTTCGCGTTGATGTTGCAATGGTACGTTTTTGTCGTGAACGAAACCTTCGGCGGCTTGAACGGGTAGTCCGCGGGGAAGTGAATCTTCAGGAAGAAGACCCCGCCGCTGTAGGGGCTGTCAGGGGGACCCATGATCGTCGCCTCCCAGTTGAAGATGTCGTCGCCCACCGGGCCCGCGGAGCAGTTCGCCGGCGGGTCGCGCATAATCTCTTGCAGCTCTTTGTTGATACGCATGGTCGAAGCAAGGGCTGCCCCTTGGTGTTTACGTATAAATGCTGGTCAAGCTAGCTAGCTTGCAAGCCTTTGCTAAGCCTTTGCCAAAAGAAGAATGTTCCTGGGCACGGGTTTCGAGGGGCTAGGGTAAGAGCTTGGAGGGGTCCATCCCCCCGGGACTAGGCTAGCGTCCCCAAAACCGAGTAACTAGTATATATATGGGTAAGAGCTTGGAGGGGGGGTTTCTAATCGCGGCCCCTTCCCGCGGACGGATATGGGGGCAACTCCGGCTTTCGAGGGTTGGGGGGAACCTTCACGGATCCTAGGGGCGATGGGTTCTACGGGGATCGGGATTAGGGCGCAAATGCGCCTCGGCAAAAACCCGTGAAGCTCAATTATTAAAGCGTTTTTTTTCCTGTACTGCCGAGCTAGCTGCTGCCTTCGAGCGCATGCAGCAGGCAGGCGCGAGCGGCTACTGTGCATAGTTGACTTGTTCGCACACTTAGCACTCATCGCGGCAGCACTAGCAAGGTACAACTCAACCCATTACACCTGCCAGCAATCTTAGCAGCGTCCGCATCGATGTTCAAAAGCCCGGGGAGGAAAAAAACACTTGATCTTATAAGACTCGCCGCGCGCCGTCGCGGCTCCCGCGGGCGCCGCGGCTGTTTGACGAAAACGAAAGGTTTGCCGAGGGCCCGCTAACGCATTAGAGAGAGAGCAACACCCCAAGCACGGCTCACGCCAAAACACGCAGGCATGGCGGCCCAGGTCGACAGCGCGCCGCGCACCGGCGCGCCGCACCTCAGGACCGACTCCAGTAGGCGGGAGATCGGCGAGGAGGCCGTCTGGTCGCTCTCGACGGCGAAGCCGGGCAACGGCGTCGACCAGCTGCGCGACGGCTCGCCGGACACGTACTGGCAGTCCGACGGCGGGCAGCCCCACCTCATCAACGTCCAGTTCCAGCGGAAGGCGAGCATCTGCGAGGTGGCCTTCTACCTGGACTTTGGGCTCGACGAGTCGTACACCCCCAAGAAAATCTCGATAAGGGCGGGCACGACGTTCCACGATTTGGTGGAGGTCAGGGTCGTGGACCTGCACGAGCCGGTCGGCTGGGTGCAGGTGCCGCTCGGCGTCCAAAAGGCGCCGCTGCGGGCCTTCTTCTTGCAAGTGTGCGTGGCGTCGATGCACCAGAACGGGCGCGACACGCACGTGCGCCAGTGCCGGGTCTTCGGGCCGCGCGCGCGCATCGACGTGTGCCTGGGCGAGTTCGGCGAGGACTTTGCGTCGAACAAACTCTCGCGCTACGCCGTTCTAAGGTAGTTTACACGCCCGTTTCTGGCGGCGGAAGTCGCGCTCGACGGCGGCGTAGAGCGCGTATTCCCACTTCAGGACGTCGGTCCGGAGGAAGTCGAGCGCGTCCGGCGGGACGACTTCCGTCTCCACGTGGTGCGTCGTCCGCGCGTGGATCGTCGCGCGCGCGTATGTTCCGGCGATGCCCGCGAAGTACCCCGGCAGGACCCGCTCCAGCACCTCCAAGAACCCCTTCAGGTCCTCGACGACGCCGACCGCGGCGAAGGCGGACCGCGCGTGCGCGAGCGCGCGCCGCAGCGACGCCTCGGACCCCTCCCGACAGCTACGATGGACGCCGCAGAAGTACTGGAGCTGCGCGTTCGCCCAGTAGAGGCAGCCGCCCCTGCTTTCTTCTCGTTTCCCACTCTGCCTCCGCCGCTCGACGCAGTCCCAGAACGGGGGCGCGCCCGCGTCCTGGCCCTTCCAGAACCGCGCCCAGGGCGACCGCGGGCCCCAGTGCAGGTAGTCGTAGTGCGACCGCAGCCGCTTCGTCGGCTCGCGTACTAATCCAAAATAGCACGGCGGCGTCCGCCGCAGCGCGCCGGGGCCCAGCAGCCGCGCAAAGTCCAGGTAGACGCCGTGCGCGCTCCGGACCGTCCGGGGCTTTAGCGCGAGGAAGTAGCGCGCGTAGGCCCGGGCGGACCGCGTCTCGTGCTTGGCGTCGAGGTACTGCGGCCGGTTGTTCACGCGGTACTTGTTTTTCGGGGCGAGGGTCCCGATCAGATCGAAGACGGTCGTCGAGGCGGCCTTGGGCACCTTGAGGTGCAGCACGAGCTCGGGCGCCTGCGGCTCGCACGCGTGCCGCGCCGCCGTGCCGTTGAAGTGGTAGTGCTTGTGGCGCGGGACCGACGCGGCCTCGGCGGCGGCGGCCCGCGCGGCCCAGTAGGCGTCGCCGAGCCACTGGCGCGCCGTCAGGTGCGCGGCGTCCAGTTTGAGGTCCACCGTACGCCGCGGCATGACGATGACGGCGACGCCGAGCGCGGCGAGCGCGACGCAGGCCGCGCACCGCCGCTTGAAGGTCTGCTTCCGGCGCGGCGGCGCCCGCGGCGACGCGGTGTCCGCGCTCGAAAGGCCGCTCGCGCCGCAGCCGGCGCGCCGCATGAGAGAGCGGATGGTCGCCGCCAGCGCTGCTATTCGTACGTGTTTCGCACAATCAATGCACGAATCGACAAATGAAAGTGAGTACACGCGGCCGCCCGCCGCGCGTTGAGCCTGAGCCACCTGAGCCTGAGCCTTACGCGGCTCTGGATGCTCCGCATACTCCCATCAAAACCAAAAAGCGGGTTTTCGAAATTAAGGCAAAAGCGGCCCGTTCGCGCCCCTTAGGTCTCCCCAGGAGTCCTCGTACCGAATGGGAGGTGTCTCGGCGCCCCCCGGCCAAGATGAGGCAAAGTGGGTGACCAGGCCCTAGATGCCTCCCTGGAGGGACCCTCCCCCCGGTCGCTGTTGTTATGTGTCACTCGCAAGTAAGTTTTCCTTCTCGTGTTACTCGAAAGGTCCTCTGCGCGAGCTCCCGGGCGCCCTATAAAACGACACCGCGCGGGCGCGCGCTCGATCGGGTCGCGGGCGGGGCAGGCACCCTCGGGCACGGCCGCGACATCCTCGAGGGCAGACCAGTCGATAGACGCGTCGCGTCCGGTCTCCTCTTTGTAACGACGCCTGGAGGCGCTGATGTGGCGCTTGCGCCGTCTGGAACGCGGGCGCGGGATTTCCAGTAGGCTCTCGAGCGGGGGGTTCCAGTAGGGAGCACCGTCCTTCGTGGTCTTGGCCATAAGGTAAGCCTTGCCCGCCTCGACTGAAGGATACGAATACTTGCCTGGCCCTGCTGGGAAACTCAGGCGGACGAACGCGTCGGCGTCGTTGTGGGATTTCTTTGCCACGACCGCGCGCCACTTCTTCCCGTAAATCGCCTTCATTTGGTCCTTGATCACGTCGCCGAAGACGTAGCAGGCCTTCTGCGACTTCGACGACTTGATGTTGCTCTGGATCACCGCGAGAATCGCGTCGTCGGACCCACCGTTGTCGTTACTGTTGGTGTTGTTTTCAGCCATTTCTGGGGCGATTTCACTGCGGATTTCCGCTGTATGGCCGCCGCTATGGGGCAGCTTGAGTTTGACGGGGCTGCGGGCAGCCCGGGTGCGTTTGGCGACGCGAAACGGTCGCTAGTGATAGTACCATCGTGCGGGGCACCCCCTGCTTGCTAGTGTCTTACAGGCCGCTAGCCAATCGCGCGTGGAAGCCGCGCCCCTGCAGACTAACCGCAGACAGGACAACTACGCGGACAACTACACGAGTAGACCGCCGGGCCGACGCGGGCGAGTTCGAGGGCGAAGCGGCGCCGCGCGCGCGGCGGGGAGGAGGCCTTGTCATGTATGTTTAAGTTGAATTAATTTAACTAGGGTTGCACGTTTCGCCCGTGCGGTCCCGGCGTCCCGTGACGACGTCGTCGTAGGAGAGGGCCTGGTCCGGCGGTTCCGCTTCCGGTGCCTTTTCCTCGTTCTGCCGCTTCTGGCGCTGGGCCTTCTTCAATTTTTTGTATTCGAGGAGGAGCTGGTGTTCGACCGACTTCGGCGGCGTCCGCGGCGACCCGTTCTGGTCGGCGTCGCCCGCGTCGGCGAGGCCGGCTTCCATCGCGCCCGGGGTCATCTTGCCGTGGTAATCCGGCCAGGAGGGTCGCGTGATGTCCTCCCGGCGCACGTCGGAGCCGGCCTTGGAGGAGGCGGTCCCCGCGTCCGACCCCGACCCGGAACTCAAACTCGACGCGTCGAACTCGAGCGCGAGGTCCGCGAGGCCGCCCGTGTCCGTGTTCGTGCCCACGTCCAGGAACTCGACGCCCTCCGGGGCCGTCGCCCTCTCCAGCTGATCGTTCAGCCGCTGGATCGTCGCCTGGAGGGCCTCGTTCTCGCGCGTCAAGTCGTCCGTCGACGCCTCGGTCCGCGCGCCGGCCTCCAGGGCGACGACGACGCCCCCGACGCCCGCCGTGGCCTTCGCGAGGTCGTCGTGCAGGCGTTGGATCGTCTCCCTCAGAGCGTCGTTCTCGCGCTGCAGGTCGTGCGTCGGCTCCGCTTTGCCCGCTTCGGGGTCCGCGGCCCTGGGCGGCTCGGGCTTCCGGAGCCGCCGCCGCTGCGAGGCGCAGAAGGCGAGGAGCACCAGCCCCAGGACGACGCCGGCGGTGATGGCTGTCGCGTGGTCGTCGTCGGCGTCCTTCCTGCCCTCGCTCTTCTCCGGCGGCGCCGGGCAGACGACGCGCAGCGCCTCGGGCGCGGCGTGGACCACGCCGGGCTCGTAGCAGCAGTCGTCGGCGAGGTCCCAGTGGGCGCCGCTCTCAGACGGGTCCCAGTCCGCGCCGCCCCGGAAGTCGCCACAATTACCAATACCGCAGCGCAGGTCGCCCGCGCACTGCCAGTCGCCGCCACAATGGCCGTCGCCGACCAGCAAATCGCCGCCGCAGCCGTCGTCGCCGCCGCCGCAGTCCTTGGCGTAGAGCCGCGTGCCCTTCGATGTCCCGCACGCCGCCGCCGCGCACGCGCTCGCGGCGAAGGCGCCGTCCTGGGCCGCGTCGCCGGCCACGCACCACCCCAAATCCTGGTCGAAGGCCGCGGCGCCGTCGAACATGCCGCGCAGGTCCGTGACCCTATCGACCGACCAGGCGCCGAGGTCCTGGTTGAAATTCGGGCTCCCGGCGAACATGTAGCTCACGTCCGTGACGCTCGAGGTGTCCCACGCGCCAATGTCATCATTAAAAGCCTCGGCGGCCGGGCTGCAGGCGCCGAAGCGCTCGTGCGCGGCGCAAAACAGGTACGACATGTCCGTCACGGCCCCGGTCTCCCACGTCGAGACGTGGCCGTACGTCGCCATGGCGGCGGCGCGGTTCGAGAGCCAGAGGTCGACGGCCGTCCGGATGGTGGCGTCGTCCATGGGCTCGCCGAGGCGGCGGCGGCCCGCGTCCGCCGCGGCGGACGCGACGGTGAGGCACAAGACCTTCGTTTTCATACCGCGCCGCGGCCGCCGGGGCTCCTCTGTATTTTTGAACCGGAGCCGGGCGCCCGCGGCCCTTCGGTGGGTGGGCCTCGCCCCCCGCCGCGAGCGTTGTTGGCCGGGGCGGGCAGCCCCCCGGCGCGCGCTCCTGAGTGGCCGCGCGGGAATCTAGCCCAAGGCGCCCGACGGGGCGCGCGTGGTGCGGGCGCGCAGACGGCGCTGTACCGCCGACTCCGCTATCGTCGCGCGAGGAGAATTAAGAGCAAGTGGTGCGGGGTGGCAAAAAGGGGGGGGTGATTATGTACCTTACCTTATACCTTACCTTATCTAGTTGGGACAAAAAGGCAAGGCCAAAGAACAGTCAATGGGCGCAGGGGCCCGGCCTCTGGAGCTCACGGGTTTCGAAGACAGCTTCAGACAAAAGCACCACCTTCGCCGACGCAAGAGGAGACTGAGGAGTGGCTCGGCGGTCGGAGGCCGTACGCGTGGCTCTGCGGTGACTTTCAACTATGAACTAATTACGTCGGCACGGTCACAATGTGTGCACTATGGTCAGAACTTGGGGCCCAGACCAAGGGTGAGTCGGCGATGGGGGTCGAAGTTGGGGCTCAAAAGCCGGGCGCCTCGCCGCCGCCCAGGAAGAGCGGCTCGCACGCGAGGAGGAAGCGCGGGAAGTCGAGCGCGTCGGCGTCGTCGCCGTCGTCGACGTCGACGCCGCCGAGGCCGCGGCCGGCGGCGCGCGCGCGAGCCGCGCGCGCGTGCGCCTCGAGCGCCGCGCCCGCGTCGCGCTCGTCGGCGCCGACGCAGCGGTCGACGCCGAGCGCCGCGCGCACGTCGTCGCCGCTGACGGCGCTGGCGCCGTCTGCGTCGAGCACGTCGAAGGCGTCTTCTAATGACCTCTCCGAGGGCGCGAGCGTGCCGCCGCCCACGTGCAGCGCCGCAAAGGCCCGGAACGAGAGCGGGCGGCCCACGCCGCTCGCGTCGGCCGCGTCGAAGAGGGCCGCCGCCTCCTCGACGCCGCAGCCGCCCGCCTCGCCGCCCAGCGCGAGGAAGAACTCCGAGAGGCCCAGCGCGCCGTCGCCGTCCCGGTCGAGCGCGGCGAAGCCCCGCCGGCAGTCCTCGAGCCGGTCGGCCGGCGCGCGCGCGGCGACGACGTGCGCGACGAGCTTGCCCAGGCCGTCCAGCTTGGCGAAGGCGCGCGCGGCGTGGCGCGTCTCCGAGCAGAGCCGCGCCGAGGGCCGCGCGTGCTCGACGCGCAGCCAGGGCTCGCGCAGGGCCTGCTCCGCCGTCAGCCGCTTCTCGACGTCGCGCTCGAGCAGCCGCGCGACGAAGAGCCGGGCCTCGTGCGACGCGCCCCGCCAGAGCCGCGCCGGGAACTGCAGCGGCGCGCGCGCGACGCGGCTCAGGATCTCGCGGTCCGTGCGGCCCGCGAACGGCGGGCAGCCGCTCAGGAGCACGTAGACGATGACGCCCATCGACCAGAGGTCGCAGCGCGCGTCGTGGCCCCCCCGGAGCACCTCGGGCGCCACGAAGTAGAAGCTGCCGACGCGGTCGCTGAGCCCGCCGGTCCGTCCGCGGTCGCGGCGGGCGTGGCCGTTCTCCGGCCGATCGGACATGACGACCGTCGCCGGCGACCGCGGCCGCGTGGCCAGGCTCGCGTCGTCCTCGGCGTCGTCCATGTCGAGGTCCGCGAGGTCAGAGCCACTGCGGCGCTTCGTGACCGCGTCCGAGAGCGTGCGCGGGGCCTTGCGGCCCGGCGACGGCGGCCCGTTCGCGACGATGCGCGGCGGCGGCGCGAGCGGCGACGCCGGCGCCGTCCGCGGCGTCGCGGGCGTCGGCGTCGAGGCCCGCGCCGGCGTCGGCGTCGCCGCGCGCGGGTCCGGCGTCGGCGGCGTCGCCCGCGCCGGCGCCGCCGCCCGCGCGGCGGCCTCGAGCTGCTCGTCGCGCGAGTTCGCCGCCCGCACGACGGCCTCGAGCTGCTCCTCGAGCGCCTCGCGCGACGAACATGACGAGGAGTCGTCGAGCGACCGCGACAGCCCCTCGGGCACGCGGCGGCTCAGGCCGAAGTCGACGAGCTTGAGGGGCGCGCCGGGCGCGGCCGACGCCAGGAGCCAGTTCTGGGGCTTCAAGTCGCGGTGGCAGACGCCGCGCGCGTGCATGTAGCTCACCGCCGACAGCATCTCGCGCGCGAAGCGCTGCGCCGTCGCCTCGTCGAGCGGCCGCGGGCGCCGGCCGTGCGGCGAGCCGGCCGTCAAAAAGGCCCAGAGCTCGCCGCCCGTGCAGAGGTCGAAGATCAGGTGGACCCGCTGCTTCTCGTAGAAGACCTCGTGCAGCCGGCAGATGTGCGGGTGGTCCAGCTTGCGCGCCGCCGAGATCTCGGCGTGCAGCCGGTCCCAGCACGCGCCGCCCCGCAACCTGATGGTCTTGCACGCGAACTGGCCGCCGTCGCTCTTCCGCGTGCAGCGCCGGACGACGCCGTACGAGCCCCTCCCCAGTAACTCGTCGTCCACGACGTACTTGTCGCCCACGGCGCACGGCGCGCCCGACGACGCCGCGGCCCCGTGCCGCAGGCGCTCGTCCGCCGCGTCGACGGCCGCGAACGGCAGTTCCACGCCGACGTCGAGCGCGCACAGCACGTCGAGGCAGCCCTGGGCGCGGTTCCGGCCGCTCGCGTCGAGCTCGGCCAGGGAGTCGACGCGCCGGAACAGCGCCTGCGGCGGCCGGTCGCTCGCGGCCGACGCCTGCCGCGAGATGGTCCGCAGGTCGGCGTCGCGCGCGTCGTAGAGCGCGCGCTCGACGACGCAGTTCTCGAGGAGCGGCGCGTGCGTCTTCGCCGCGCGCCGCGCGTAGGCGAGCTCCGACGCCGCCGTGCGTTTTAAAGGAGCCGGCAGGTGCTGCGCGGCGCACCGCACGCCCTCGAGCCGCACGCAGGCCGCGTGGAACTTTAGAGCAGCGGCCTCGCCGCAGGGCGCGTTCTCGACCATGGCGCCGCCCTCGAGGAGGTCGTCGCCCTCCGTGATCTCGGCCTCGGCCGTGGCCACGAGCCGCGCGGCGGCCGCCGCGTCCATGTCCGTACTTTGCTCCGCGAGGTCCAGCCGCTGCACGTCCGTGGTCACCTCCTCCAGGCGGCGCTTCCGCTTCTTCTCCGCGCCGGGCGGCGTCTCCACTTTGTGCGGCTCGGCGCGGTACGCGGCGAAGAACGTGTCTTGGACGCCGCACCCGCTGATGGCGCCGCAGGCGTCGGCCTCGATGGACGACGCGCGCCGGGCGAAGGGCGGCGGCTGCGGCGGCGCCGCGCGCGGCCAGTGCTCGAGGAGCTGGGCCGTCGCGGCCGCGAGGCGCTCGCGCTGGCGCGCCTCGTCGCCCGGCCCGAAGACGGACCGCAGCCGGTCGCCGAAGCCGGAGAAGCTCGAGGCCGCGGCGGCCGGCGCCGGCGCCGCGGCCTCGTCCTCGACCCGGGCCAGCTCCTTCTGCGCCTCGCGCACCGACACCTCGGCGAAGAGGACCGTCTCGGCCCACGTCCGCGCGACGCCGGGCGCGGCCTCCGTGCCCCGTAGCAGGCCGTCGGCGTGGCGCAGGAAGGCCAGGGCCGCCGGGGGGCACGTCCGCAGCCGCGACGCGAACTGCACGAGGCCCGCGAGCGCCGCGAGCACGTCGACGGGCTGGTCGGCGCGGCGGCCCGCCGTCATGGCGTCGTAGGTCTGGAACGACATGGCGGGGGGCGGGTGGGATCACCGGTTACTCCCGCCCCTCCGGCCGCACCGTGGAGAGGATGCGTGCGGCCTCTGGAGGTGCGGGAGGGCTCGGTGGGCGCAGCCGCGGGCGCTGGGGCCCCCTGCTTACGCGATGGCTGCCCTGCGCGCCGACCGGGGCAGCTCCGCTCGGCCTTTCGAGCTCACGAGCTTTATTGGCTTCGGACACACGAAGCCATCGATGGAGAAATGCGGCAGTTGAAGCGGCGTTGAGGATGGGTTCGGGCGATTGGTGGGCGTGCGGGAGAGTCCTCGGAAGCGTCTGGGGGCAGGCCCGCTTTTCGTGCGGGTTTTGCCAAAACCCGGCGGATCGAAAATTATATGCACCAAAATCGGTCAGGGGGCGTTTCTAGGTCTCTTCTAGATTCTAGCAAAATTACATACAAATGGAAAAATATGGACATGAGTTTGGACTCACTGGGTCCCGCGCGGCCCTTGGCTTCGCAAGGAGTACCGCTGGGCCTTCTGAGGGGCGGCCGGCGCAGGCCCGGTGCTCGGGCGAGGCCGGCTGGGGGCGCTCTGAGTCACGGGGACCGCGGGACCGCGCTGGGGCCGCGGCGTGGGCGCGCCGCGGCCCGGGACGTCGCCCGCGGGCAACCCGTCGCCGTCGTCGCCAGTTTCGGGCTCCTCGCCGGCGCCGTCGTCATCGTCGCCAGCGATTGGGTCTAGTCCGTCGCTGCCCTCGTCCAGGGCTTCGCACAGGTCATTTGCGACGTCGTTCGAGTCCTCGGCGTCCACGTCCTCGCCCACCAAATTATCTCCAAAAGCCTGCTAATCAATGTGGTACCAGCTTTGGTGTGCTCGCCAGGGTTTACCTGGTCGTCCGGGTCAATCACCCATCTAACGATTGGGGAGACAAGGTCGAAAACTGCAAGCTATCCTTTCGTGGGCTCGTCAAATTATTGAAACACCCCGACGTTAAAGCCGACGTCGCGAAAGTTCGAGGTGCAAGAGGTCGAGAATTCGTCTACAAGGCTGAATCGTTAGCGGTCGAGTTGTCTGGCTCTTCGGACGACGACAACTAAGACGTGCTTCTCTCGGATCTCTGGTAGGCGTCGACGGCGCTGCTTTACTTCATCCGCCTCTGCCCGCGCGGGGCTTTCGTGCCGGGGAAACCTTACCATGGCGACGTCTGTGTGAACGAGTGTCCTAACTATGGTTTTATGTTATCAGTCTTCTCGTGGCCGGGAGAGCGCGTCAAGGGCCCTTCGACAGCCGGTCCCCGAGGCCGGCGTCGCGGCGTTCCTGCCGCTCTGGCGGGCGGATCGTGGCGCCCTGCTGCGCCGCATGCTCGCGGAGGGCCTCGAGATCGTCTTCTGTGCTTAAGGCGCCGTGCGGGTTTTGACATGAGATCGATACCCGTTTTGAAGCGCTGTGGCACCTTGGGGCGACGCTGTCGCTCTAGGGTTATTGCAGGCGCTGTCGCAGGCGTTTTGCTCATCAATTCGTAACCCATAGAGCGAGTGCGGTTTCGGGAGCAGCAGCGCGATGTTCGCCCCCGCGCGCTTCCCGGCGCTGGCGCTCCCCGAGGACGTCGGCGGCATGCTCCTCGACGACGGCGGCGTCGAGGTCGCGTGCACGCCGCTCCACGCCGTGGCGTCGGTCGCGCGGCACGACGTCGTCGGCGCGCCGCCGCGCGAGCTCTGCGTCTTCGGCGTCGTCGACGCGGTCAAGATTTTTGACGGCGGCGGCGACGACGAGAGCAGGGCGCGGCTCGTCGTCGACCTGCGGAGCGGCCCGGCGCCGACGGACCGGTGCGAGGCGTGGTTCTTCGGCGGCGCGGCGCTCGGCTGCCGCGGCCTCGCGGCGCCCGGCGTCGCGCTCGTCGCGGCGAAGGCGCGGCTGGGCTGGGCCGACGGCGGCTACGGCGTGGTCAAGTGCTGGGCGCGGGCCGTCGTCGCGGCGGTCGACGACGCGACGCTCGCGGCGGCCGAGGCCGCGGGCCTGGGCCGCAAGCGGCCCGACTGGACGGCGGAGCAGTGCGTCCGCGCGGCGGCGTCGAAGCTCCGGGCCCTGCGCGCGCAGCGCGAGCGGCGCGGCGCGTGGGCGGCCGCGAGCGACGTCGGCGACGACGTGCGCGCGAAGCGCTGCTGGCTCTGCGGCGACGCCTGGGCGCCGACGCGGGGCGGCGGCGACGCGCTCTGCGCGTCGTTCCCGCTCTGCGGCGGGCGGCGCCCGCACGGCGCGCGGAACCCGCGCGCGGGCGCGCGCGCCTTCGGCGTCGAGCTCGTGCCGGGGCTCGAGCGGTTCCGGTTGCGGTGTTTGCCGCGGCCGCGCGGCGAGCCGCGCGATGCTATTGAGACGCTGCGCGGCCAGGCGCGGGAGCTGGGCCGGGCGACGGCGATGGACTGCGGCGGCGACTGGCCGACGTTCCCCGTTCAACGCTTGGTCGAAGTGGAGCGGTTCCTAGACGCGGCGTGGCGGCGGGGCGAGGTGCGGGGCGTGCGCAAGGCGCCGCCGGCCGCGGTCGCCGCGGTCAGGAGCAAGCCTTTACCAATTACGGACGCCGACGTCGCCGACGCGTTACGGGATGTGCCCCCGGCGTTACTAGAAACGCTGGCGCCCTTCCAGCGCTACGGCGCGGCCGTCGCGCTGCGCCGGAAGCGCGTTCTACTGGCGGACGAGATGGGCGCGGGCAAGACGATGCAGGCGCTCGCGGCGCTGGCCGTCGTGTTGCACCGAGGCGCCTCTGCATTAATCGTCTGCCCCGCGGGCTGCCGCGCCATGTGGGCCCACGAGATCGAGCGTTGGCTGCCGAGGCTCACGCCGCGCGATATCACAATCGTGCGGTCGTCGCTCGACGCGCCGGCGCCGCCGCCGGCGAAACCGCCCCGGGTCGTGGTCATCTCGTTCCAGATGCTCGAACGATTACGGGAGCTGGACGTGGACGGGCCTTTTACCTTCGACGCGGTCGTCGTCGACGAGGCCCACGCGATGGGCGTCTCCGTGGGCCGGCCCGAGGTCGAGGCCGAGGCCCCGCGGACGAAGCGCATCCTGGCGCTGGTGAAGCGGGCGCGGGCCCTCGCTTTATTATTATCAGGGACGCCGACGTTCTCGAAGCCGCTGTCGCTGTTCCCGCTCGTGGACGCGCTGGCGCGGGGCGGCGAGGACGACGGATTGAATTGGCTGCCCGCGCGGCGCGTCGCGGAGCGGCGCCTCCAGTTCTGCCGCCACTTCTGCGGCGCGCGGCGCTACTACGGCGGGCGGCGCGGCGCGGCGGCGTACGACGCCACGGCCTTCACGGCGGAGCTGCACGCGATCCTGGGCGGGCTCTGGATGCTGCGGCGGCTGAAGCGGGACGTGCTCACGCAGCTGCCGCCGCTGCGCCGCGTCGTTCATAGATTAGACGACGCGGCGACGGAGGCGCGCGTCGACGAGGCCCAGGCGATGACGGCCTTCCACGCGGCGGGGCGCGCGAAAGTGAGGAGCGCCGCCGCCTACGTCGTGCGGCGCCTCGCGCGGGACGACGCGTCCAAGCTCGTCGTCTTCGGCCACCACGTCGACGTGCTGGACGAGCTGTTCCAGGGCATCGAGGCGGCGCGGGACGCGCCGGGCGCCGACGAGGCCGAGGGCCGGTGGCGGGGCGGCGACGCGGGGCGCATCGACGGCGCGGCGTCGGGCGAGGACCGCGCGAGGAGCATCCGGCGGTTCCGCGACGATAAGGCGGCGCGGGTGCTGGTCGTGTCGGTGACGGCGGGCGGCGTGGGCGTGGACCTGAGTGCGGCGTCGGAGGCGGTCTTCGTCGAGGCCGTCGGGCTCGAGGCGACGTGGCTGCGCCAGGCCGAAGATAGGCTCCATCGCCGGGGGCAGACGCGGCGCGTCGTGTGCACGTACCTATTGGCCGCGCCGGGGTCGTGGGAGGACGCGCGGTGGCCGCGCGTGCACGCGTCGTTACGGGCGACGTCGTCGCTCGTCAACGGCGAGGCGCGGGCGGAGCGCTTCGCCGTGTGCCGCCGGTCGGTGGTGTCGCGGGAGAGCGTGGCGTCGGCGCCCGTCGCGCCGTCGCCACTAAGGACGCCGCCGCCCACGACGCCCACGACGCTGGACGCGTGGCGCTGGACGCTCGACGACGACTCGGACGACGACGACGACGACGACGATGATGAAGAGGACGCGATCTTCTTCGAGGTGTCGCCGCACTCGGGCCGCGTCCACGTCCACGCGGCGGCGGACGGCGCCCGGCCGCTCGCGGCGAACTGCGCGCTCGACGACCTCGAGGTGCCGCGCGCCGTCGCGCGGCGGAGCGGCGTCGCCGCGGCCGCCGCGGCCGCGCTGCGCGCGCTGCCGCGCTGCCTGAACCAGGACGGCGCCCGCTGCCGCGCGGCCTGGCGCTTCGCGCGCGACTGGGCGCGGCTCACGACGCAGCAGCGCGGCTGCCTGCTGGGCGTCTGCGCGCGGTCGCCGCTCGCGGACGCGTGCGCGGCCGTGCACGTGGCGCGCGCGCGCGCGGCGACGGCGCGGGCCGCGCCGTCGACGCGGCGCCACGTGCCCTGGCAGGAGGTCGTGGCCCTCGCCTCGAGCCAGCACCGGTGCCAGACGATCCTGGTGCGCGTCGAGAACCGGGAGCGGCTGGGCCTGGCGCCGATCCGCCAGGCCTACGACCCGCAGACGCACCAGGCCAAGTGCCTCGCGTGCCCGACCTTTTACGCGTGCGCGCCGCGGCGGCGGTCGCTCTTCGCGGGGTCGCTGCAGGAGCTGTTCTGCGGCAGGGCGTGCCGCGAGGCCTACGCGTGCCAGACGTCGGCCCAGGGGCTGCGGCGCGTCGTCTTCGCGCGGGACGGCGGCGTCTGCGCGCTGTGCGGCGCCGACGGCCACGCGCTCGTCGAGCGGCTGCGGGCGCTCGCGGCGGCGCCGCACGGGCGGCGCGTCGCGGCGGCGCTGCGGGCGAACGCGGCGTGGGCCGACTTCCCGAGATGTCTGGACCGCCTGCTGGAGAAGCCGAGCGACGGCCGCGCGTGGGAGGCGGACCACGCGGTCCGCGTCGCCGACGGCGGCGGCGAGGCCCTGGCGGACCGCGTGCAGACGCTCTGCGTGCCGTGCCACAAGGCCAAGACGAAGCAGGAGGCGAAGCGCGCCGCGGCCGAGCGGCGCGCGGCCAAGAAGAAGCCCCGCGTCGCCGCCGGCGACGACGACGACGGCGACTGCCGCCTCGAGTGCGTCCCCGTGAAGACGGCGAAGGAGTTCCTCGCCGCCGTCGCGGAGGAGGAGGACGACGACGACTCCTGGCTCTGACGAGTGTTTGTGTGACTCCCCAAGTATAAGTACGATCACTGTGCTCGTGTCGTCTCAGGCTCCGGCTAGTTACGTCGCGGGGTCCCCGGTACCCCTCCCGCGTCTCAGGCTCAGGCTAGTTACGTCGCTGGGTCCCCCGTACCCCTCCCGCTCCCCCCGGGCCCACCCGTCCGGCTGGACGCTGTGGCTGTGGCTAGTTACGTCGCGGGGTCCCCCGTACCCCTCCCGCTCCCCCCGGGCCCATCCGTCTGGCTGGACTAGGACGCAAGGGCTGAGTCGCAGGGACTCGCACGCCCCCCCTCTTTTTTGGGACGACCCCCCGTCAGCTTTGCTAGTGTCTTACCCGCTAGCTGCCGTGGCCGCTCACAAGCTAAGCTAGCACTTGGCACTGCCGCAGACCTCTCGCAATTGCAAAAGGCAGCCGTGCCGGTCTGCGCACCTCGTCCCGAGGCTGCCCGCGACGAGTGGTTGCGCCAGGAACGCGCGCGTAGCAAAAATGAGCACCAAACCCAAAAAGCGAACTAAGCCGGTGCAGGCTCCCCCCGCGGCCCAGCCGCAGCCGCAGCGAACGCGACAAAAAAAGAAGAAGCCGCCGATGATGGCGATCCGCATCGTGCTTTATGGTATTGTGGCGTTCGTCGTCGCGCGGCGCAATCGCAACAAAACCGGCGGCGCCACCGCAGGGCCGCTGACCGCGCTCGCGAACCGCCTCTTGGGCCAAACCGGCGACGCCGCCACCGGCGCGCCGGCGGCCGAAGCCGGGGCCGCGTCGCCGCAGACGGCGCGGCGGCCCGCGGACGAGTCGGAGGGGGACGAGTTCGACGACTAATGTGAACCCGTGTTTCTCCCGTGCCAGGGCGGCCAAGCAGGCCTAGCTCAAGCAAAGCAGAGGTATTCGGAGCAAGTAAAGAGTTATGTGCAAAGCGCGGTGCGCAGGGGCGGCTACCCGTCCTCGTTGAACACCGTCGAGAAGTCCACGTCGGCGGGCTCCGGCGGCGCGGGCGCGGGCGGCGCGAAGTCGCCGAAGCGCGCGGGCGGCGGCGGGTCGAGCAGCGGTTCGAGCCGCGGCTCCGGCGCCGGCCCCGGCGCGGGCTGCGGTCTCAATAAATTCGCGCGGAACGCGCCCGCGCGCGCGACGGCCGCCGTCTCCACGGACCCCGCCGTCGATAATAATGCAGGCCGCCGCGCGAGGGGCCGCGCGTCGAGCCAGGGCGCCGGCGGCAGCACGTCCGGGGCATAAGGCGCCGGCGCGCCCGCCGCCGCGGCACCATCCAAGTCGCGCGCGAGCGTATTCTCTATAGACGCGAGCCGGTCCGGGTCCACGATGGGCTGGGCGTCGTCCCGGTCGACGACTTCAAAGCGCGTCTCGGCCGTGACGGCGTCGTCGTCCTGGACCATGGCCACGCGCGCGCCAACAACAGAAAGTTTGAGGTTCTCGAAGCTCGCGGCGATGTCCTTGAGCAGGCCCGGTCTATCGGGGGCCGCCACTCTCAAAGTCGTGCACGGCTCGAGCTCCTCGGTCACGCAATCATAGACCGCCTGCTGGAGCGCGTCCGTATCTTCCAATGCTCGGTTGGTGGCGACCGCGACCAACTCGAACTCGTCGCGACACACGCCATTCCCAAAAGACTCGGCCCGACATTTCACTACGTTTAAACCGCGCCGGTTGAAGACGTCGCTGATGTCGCCCAACAAACCCGGCCGATCTAAAGCCACAACCCTACAAAGGTTCGTGCCGCGGCCCGACGCCTTGAGGGTGACGGAGGGTTCGAGCGGCGCCTGATTTGCAGACCCCAGGTCCAGCCAGCTTCTATCTCTTTTATCGAGGTCTTCGTCGACCCACGACGAGCCCTGGAGGCTTTCGAGCCACGGGTCGTCGGGCGCGAGCCCCCGCGGTTTTTTTACGGAGGGCCCGAGGGGCCCGTGCACGAAGCCCGCATCTAGCGATCGCAGGAACGCCGCGCGCGCGCTCTCCAAAGCAACGCGCTCGCGCGCCGACAGCTCGCCCCGCTTCTTGAAGCACTGCTTGCCGTGCGCGCGCGTCGACGAGAGCTTTTTGGTGATGCGCATCGGCGCGCAGCCCAACAACTCGGCGAGGGTGGCTCTCAATGACTCGCCGCCACTTAACCCCGGCAGCCGCCCGTTCGCGAAGTGCTCTATCACCACCGCGGCGTAGTCGCACTCGGGGGCCGTCCACTTGCCCCTTCTTGTGGTATTTTGGGCGGGGGGCGCGGCGATGGGGTCCCAGGTGGCCGAGAGCTGGCCGAGCTGGGCGTCCAGCGAGCTCAGGCTCTCGCCCTCGTCCGGGGGGGTGGTTTCCATGCCGCGCCGGTGCTGAAAACCCTCGCAGGATAAGACTGTGATTGACGGCTGGGCAGGGCCGATTGCAGCTCGGTGTCGCTAGCGTCCTGTAAGACACTAGCACAGCCCTAGTTGCAAAACATCAATAAGCTAGACACACTTTCGACATCACCACTGCTGCTGCGTCGTTGCAGCAGCAGCAGTAAAATGTATCTTTTCGCACTATTCGTCGCCACCGTGAACGCCCTCAAAACCTATTACTACTAAAATGGGCTCCGCTGTCTCTGTCAGCCCTAAGGTGCCGGCTGCCGACGACGCCGCCCTCGCGGCCCTGACAAAGACGGAACTGCAGCGGGTCATGGCGGCGCGCGGCGTCGGCCGGCCCGACGTACCCTTAATACACGAGCGGGTCTTCCGCGTGGCTCCCCTGGCTCGCAGCGTCTGGTCCTACCTCGGGCACGACAACATGCCGAAGGAGCGAGACAAGTACGTCCGGGTGACGACGATGCCCGGCGCGCCGACGTCGGACTACCCTCTCCTGGAATGCTGCTCGGACGGCCTCTCCGACCTGTCGTCTCTATTTGCTGCGGTGTCGGGCTCGAGCACGTGTTCCACGCCGCGGTTCGCGAGTGCCCCGTTGCACGGTGGTTCGCATGGAAACGGAACCCCGCTGAGCCGAGCCACCGGCAACGGCATCTCCTACCCCTGGCGTGTACGCCCCGAGCCGGAGTTCCCGGACGGCATCGGTGGGCGCAAGGCGGAAACGGCCTGGCGGGAGGCCACCCCCGGTGATCGCCCTTTCTGGACGGTAGTTTCGTACTCGGGCTACTCGCCCGATTCTTGGCGCACAGCCTACGGCCCTCTGCATCTTTACTCGCCGACGACGGACCTGCCCATCTTCGACGGCGAGGGCAACTACGGCGGCAAGCCGAACGTCCTCGGCACGCTCTCGGGCGGGCCGAAGACGTCCCAGCTCCAGACCGCAACGTCTACTGTCCGGGCCTGCGAGGCCCACGTCCTCGATGCCGAAAATGTCGGCGTGCGTTCGCTGGCGGACGTGCCGCAGTGCGTGCAAGCCATCGTCGAGAAGCTGCCGCCGGCCTCCGTCGGGCGCAAGCTCATGGTGCACGCCCTCTCCTTGGAGCCCGGCACGGCGGACAACATGGCCGTCTGCGTGTGCCTGATGGGCCACGAGGTGGCGAAGCTGCGCGCCATCGTCAAGTTCGGCTCCGTCAAGGTCGCCACGGCCTGCGCGTGGCTCGAGCGCAAGTGCGGCGTGGCCGAGAACCACGTCGGGGACTGCTACCACCCCACCAAGGCCATGGGTCTCTACTTGATGCGCCGCGAGCTGCTGCAGCGCAACACGTTCTTCTACGACGAGGCGTGCCAGGAGCCGGTTGTATTTAAAACCGGTTTCACGGGCAACCTCGTCCAGGTGGGTCAGACGATCTACCGCGAGGCGGCCAATGCCAACGGGCCCGCGCTCGCCTACGAGGCAGTGACGCTCATTAGGAACGAAAGATCGGCCAAGTACGCGACGCTCATCGCCATCAACCCGCCGGAGGGCGTCGACGGGCCGGGGCTCGTCGGGAGGTCGAGCAAGGTCGAGGCGCCGATGGTCGGCGCCTTCGGCGAGGACATCGACCACGTCTCGGGGTGGCACCACTCGACCATCTTGGACCAGATCAAGAAACGCCGCTGGTTCAAGCGCGAGGCCGACGAGGCCGTCGTCATGGTCCCCTACCGCCACTCCGTCGGCGGCGACGGCGGCAACATTCTCTGTTTCGCGACGAACGGCGAGAAGGTCGTCTCGTTGGCGACGCACCTCACGGAGGACCTGCTCCGGGTCGGCGGCGAGTACCCGTCGTACCTCATGGACCCCAAGTTCTTCGAGAAGGTCGTCATCGGGCGCTCGTGGGCCAACACGAACCCCCCGGAGGAGCGCAAGGACCGTCTCCACAATACGGTCCTGACGCGCCGCGAGGTCTCGAACCACGAGAAGATGCTCGCGGTCGCGCTCGTGGCGTCGGGCGCCATATCGCAGGCGGACCTCGACACGTCCGACTGGCTGCAGCTCAAGGAGGACTCGCCCATCAGCGCGGCGTCCTTCCACGGCGTCGCCTACTGCACGTTGCATGGTCTCGTTAGGACGTCGGAGATCGGCACGGACGTCGGCGGCGTCGGCCGCGCGGGCAAAGACGTCGCGTGGCACGCCGAGCTGCGCGCGGCCTCGGCGCGGCTGTCGGCCGCGAAGGCGTTGGTGCAGCTGTCCGGGACCGAGTCGGCCCCGAAGGCTTTCTACGCCGACGTGTGACCGCGCACGCATCTCTATCGGCACGAAGGCCGCTTCTTCCCTCTCCCCCACGCTTCTTCAACAACTGACACCATCTCTGCCCTCCCCTAATTGGTTAAGGCACATGTGTACTTATTTTGGCCTCTTGGCTGCGTCCTAGTGCGTCTCTGAAGCTAGGTAAGCGCGATCAGGCGAAGCATAGGCGCACACCGCTAATTGGCAGCACATCTTCGGCTTTTGCGATCGCCAGGCACCGCAGCCGCCGCCGCAAGGCCAAAAGCAAAGCCATGCTCCGCTCGCTCTTCGGCCGCGCGGCCGAGGACGACGCCGACGCCGAGCACTTCGACCACTGGCAGACGACGGACCTCTGCTGGAGCGCCGGGGCCGAGCGGCGCGCGCTCGCCCGGTGGCGGCTCTGGGGCCGGCGCATGGGCGGCGAGCGCAAGCAGGTGCGCAAGTCGCCGCGCCGGCTGCCGGCCGCCTACCTGCCCGAGATGGGCGCGACGCGCCGGGCCGGGGGCGAGGCGCCGCCGCCGCCGCCGTCGCGGCGCGCCGTCGTCCTCGAGGACCTGCGGAGCAAGGGCCACGTCGTGGCGAACGGCGGGCGCTACGGCGGCGACTACGTCTGCTACGAGGGCCACCCGGACAGCTGCCACTCGTCCGAGACGGTGCGCGTCGTCGGCGAGCACGAGCGGCTCGAGGCGGCCGACGTGGCGGCCTACTGCCGCGTGCAGGGCAACGTGTCCAAGCGCGCGGTCTTCGCGGCCGTCGACCCGGCGTCGCACGACGTGCTCTACGTGGGCTGGGCCTTCGACGCGCAGCTCTCGCGCGACCCCCTGAAGCGGCTCGAGCGGCGCTTCGCGCGAAAAATCCAGGACGATTCTAAATTAAGCGTCGAGGCCGCGGCCGGCGACGGCCTCGGCCCGGAGGACTGCGCGCGCCTGACCGTGGCGCAGCTCCGCGAGGCGCTCGAGGCGCGGGGGCTCGACGCGACGGGCCTCAAGGCCGCGCTCCAGGTGCGGCTCTACGACGCGCTGACGGCGATGGAGACGTCCTAAGTACACCTAGCGTCTCGTTACACGGCGCCTCGGCCCCTTGTGGGCCGGTCAATGTTCGCCGCGCACAGCTCGATCAGCCTCGATGGCCTCTAGTTGGCCGCGCACAGCTCGACGGCCTCGGCGTACTCGCGGCGGTCGACCAGCCGCTTCAAGCTCCGTCGCAGCTCCTCGTCGCCGCCCTCGAGCATGCCGGCCAGGTAGGCGTTCGCGACGCGCTCCTCGTGGCAGATCCCGCTCTTCGGTCCGTACTTGTGCTGGGCCTCGAAGTCCCGCGGCACGACGCACACGCGCCGCGCGAGATCGAAGATCGCGGCCGCGTGCGGCGCCGGCTCCGTCTCGCCCTCGCGCTTGTAGCCGACGAGCTTGTGCGTGGCGACGGGCACGAAGATGTCGTCGTCGTCCGAGGCGGAGCCGTCGTCGACGAAGTTCAGCGCGCGCCGCGGCGCCGCGTCGGCGCCGGCGTAGGCGAAGCCGCCGAATTTTTTGCCGCTCTTCTTCGACGAGTCGGTGACGCGCGCCGAGGCGGGCGTGGCGCGCTTCTTCGTGGGCGTGCGGCTGGCCATTTTTTTTACGCGCGGGCGGGCGCGTCGTTGGTGGAGCGGTACTGCGCTGCGCGGTGGCAGTAGCGACGGAGAGCGGTAACAGGCTTGGAGAGCTGGCTAGAGTCTTACAACCGCTAGATAATCACGCTAGCGGCCTGTAAGCTTGTCATACTAGCCCGCACTGCCTACTAGCTCCGGCGCCGGCACGCCGGGTGCCTGGCCACCCAGCGTGCCGGCGTGGGCGGTGCGGCTGCCTGGGTGCCCCGTAAGGGCCGCGCCGCCGTCCGTGCCCCAAGGGCTGATGGGGGCAGGCTTTTTTCCCCCGGGCGATGCGACGGCGGTGCCGTGCGGCACTGCCCCATAAGCACGCAACCTCCGTACGTCGCCGCACGACGTCGTTGCTCAGCGCTTTTGCGATATGACGTTCGCCCAGAACCCACGAACGACTGACAAACAGGGTTTTTAAAAGTGATGAGGTTTGATTGTAAACGCGGGCGTCAAACGAGGCGCGCTCGACAAGGCGTAGACGAATAGCGAAACGGGCTCCACGACCAAAACCTGTTGGCACGGTCCTCCGCGGGGTTCGTGGGAACTGCGCGGACCGCTTGGTTGCTCGGGGAAACCCTCTATCTGTCACTTTTTCCCCTAAAAATGTTAATTCCTATTATTACTAAACGGGTACTCTTGGGGACAGACTTCGGCGAGCCATTTGTTACCCTTAGCCTACGAAGGCACAAAACCCCGTCTATGGGCCATCGACGCGAACCAGAGGAGTGCCCTGAGGCCGTGGGAGCGGCCGAAGAGTCGGGGTTTCTGCTCCCGGCGCGGCACCGCGCGCTGCGACGTTTTAAGTGCAAAAGCACACTTTTCTATTACCATGGAGCCTAATTGACGAGTCGAGGCAGCCTGGTGGTAAGTGCCGAGGCCGCACTTCATCCGTAGGTACGCCAATTGCCGCCCATTCACCGTCGCGTACGACACCGTGTCGTCGGCGACGTACCGCAGACGGTCGGCATGAGGTGTTGGGGCCTCAACGAAGGTTGGCGCCTCGGGGCACATCCATGAGACGGCCTCGGAGCGCGGGCATGCGCCGCGGACGGCCCATCTCGCGAAACGGGAGAGTATCGCTTCTGAGAGCCTGTGGTTTCAGGGTGCTCATGCTCGTCAATGCGGCCGCGGACTGCAACGCGGCAGCCCGCGCCATGGTCGGGACCACGGACGGGCCCGCACCGCCAATCCGCGCTCCAATCGACCGAATAGAGGCCGAGTATGCCCCCTGAGAGCACCCCGGCGTCATGAGAGCCAGCTAGTGCGGGCTAGTATGACAAGCTGTAAGACACTAGCAAGCATCACGCTGCCGCTTTACTTAGAACTCAGTTAAGGGCACAGGTACGCGCTATTCTCACCGGAGAGGTTCAAGATCTGTCCTCGCTGCCGCTGATATACAACCGGGGCGCTTGGCTGGAAGAGCACAGCTAGGCGACCGCAGAGCGCTAGCACACGCACAGCGAGCAGAGCGACCAACCATGGTGAAGATGAAGAAGGGCGACCGGGGGCGCCAGGCGTGGCACGACACGGTGTCGCAGCTGGCGCGCGAGACGGGCGCGGCCGTGCCGGGCAACTCGCCGCAGAAGCGCCGCGAGACGCGGAAGCGCGTCGCGAAGCAGACCAAGGCCGCGAGCCGCTGGATCGACGACGCGGGCCTCGACGCCCGAGACCTGACGGCCTGGGCGCGCGTCGACGCCATGCTCGACGCGCCGAAGACGTCGCACCTCATCGCGCTCGACGCGGACGACAGCGACGGCGGCGAGTACCGCGAGGACTCGCACTCCGACGTCGACATGGACGAGGACGAGCGGCGGGCCGCGCGGCGCGCCAAGAAGAAGGACGCGCCGAAGAAGAGCCGCGAGCGCAAGGCCCCCACGAAACGCAAGAAGAAGCGGAACCCCGAGGAGGAGCGGCGGCGCCAGCGGCACCGCCAGCGCGTCCTGAGCCAGGTGCTGCTCGACGACTTCGCGCCGAGCCGCGGCGCGCCGGCGCCGCGGGGCGCGGACTACGTCGGCGCGGCGGCGCGCGCGCCGCGGCCCGCGCGCGCGCCGCACCGCGTCTGCGTCGTGACGGGCAAGGCCGCGAAGTATCGCGACGCGGCGACGAACCAGTTCTTCGCCAACGCCGACGCCGGCGCGCTGTTGCGGGAGAACCCGCCGCCCTGGCTGCGCCTCGGCAAGCACGGCAGCGCGTACCACGAGGCCATGCTCCAGATCCGGAGCGAGCGCGAGGACGCGGGGGAATCGGCGAAGGCGACGGCGGCCGCGCCGCGCCTTAACACCGACGGATCGCCGCTCGCGCCGGGCCAGAAACCGGGGGACCCGGATCCTCCCGGATACTTCAGGGGGCGGAAGTTCGACTAGGGAGTAAGATTAGGACGTACAAAGATATTAGATGCCGAGCATGAGCTCGGGCGGCGGCGGCGGGAAGCCCGGGTCGCCGACGAGGTCGTCCTCGAACCGGTCGTCGCCCGGCGCGTCGGCGCGGCACGAGTCGTAGGCCGCGCGCGCCGCGCGCGTGACCTCCGACAGCGAGCCGCGGTAGCCCCGCAGGGCGTCGTCGCGCGCCGCGAGCTCGGCGGCCAGGTCCCGCGCGCGGCGCGCGGCGTCGTCGCGCGCGGCCTCGGCGCGGCCCAGCGCGGCCGCGGCCTCGCGGGCCTGCGCCTCGAGCGCGCGGCGCAGCGCGGTCTCGTGCGCGGCGTCGGACGCGGCCAGGCCCCGCCGCAGCTGCGCCTCGACCTCGGGCCGGAGCGCCGCGCGCGCGGCCGCGGCGGCGCGGCGGGCCGCCGCCTCGCCGCGGGCGCGCTCGTCGTCGAGCCGCTGCCGGAGGCGCTCGACCTCGCCGCGCGCCGTCGTCACGGCGACGGCGTCGCCGCACCGCTTCTGGAAAAACGCGGCGGCGCCGGCGGCGCAGCGCGCCCGCGCCCGCGCGTTCGCCGCCGCCGCGAAGGCGTCGTCGACGCGGCGCGAGCGCCGCGCCGCCGCGCGCACGGCCGCGACCTCGGCCTTGCGCGCGTCGTCGCGCTTCCGGGCCACGCGCACCGCGCCCCGGAGCCGCTCGAGCTCCGCGGTCCCCGTCGCGGCCGTCTCGCGCCGCGCGGCCTCCGCCGCGTCGCGCGCGGCCGCCGCCGCGCCGTCGCGCGCGGCGGCGAGGTCGGCGCCGAGCCGCGCCGTCGCCGCCGCCGCTTCCTGGCGCGCCGCCACGACGTCGCCGCGGAGCCGCTCCAGCGCCGCGGTCGCGTCCCCGGTCGCCGCTTGCGACCGGGAGAGGGCGTGCTCGAGCTCGGCCTTGGCCGCCCGGAGGTCGAAGACCTGCTGTTCCGCCGCCGCGGCGCTCTCCCGGGCGCCCCGCGCGGCGCGGCGCGCCTCGTCCGCGTCCGAGCGGCCGCGCGCCGCCTCGGCGTCGCCCGCGCGCAGGCGGCGCGCGAGGTCGTCGCGCGCGGCCGTGACGGCGGTCAGGTCCTCCTCGGCGCGCCGCAGGGCCGCGCGCGACGCCTCGACGACCGCCGCGGCGGCCCGCCGGTCCTTGGCCTGGCGCGCGGCGTGCGCGTCCTCGGCCGCCGCCGCGCGGGCCCCGGCCGCCGCGCCCCGCGCCTCCGCGGCCGCTCGCATCGCGTCCGCCGCCGCCGCGCGGCCGTCCGCCTCGACGGCGCGCGCCTCCGCCGCCGCGGCGCGCGCCTCCGCCGCCGCGGCGGCCCGCTTCCCCGCCAGGAACTCGCCGTCCTCGCGGCGCGCGACCTCGCGCTGCCGCTCCATCGTGGCCTCGGCGGCGCGCTCGGCGGCGCGCGCGGCGTCGAGCGCCCGCTCCAAATCCTCGAGCCGCCCCCGGAGCGCTCCCCGGTCGCGGTCCGCCTCCGCGAGCCGCTCCCGCAGACTCACAGAGTCGCGCGCGGCGGCGTCCCGCTCGTTCTCGAGCAGCGCGTAGTCGGCCGCCGACTGGTCGAGCGCCTGCTGCGCCTCGGCCAGCTGCGCCTCGTGGAGCGCGTCGTGGTCCGCCCACCGCTGCGCGAGCTGCCGGTCCTTGTCGTCGTGCGCCGCGTCCCGCGCGCGCAGCTGGCGCTGGATCTGCTCCATGCGCCGCTGGACCGAGCGCTCGGCGTCGCGGTCGCGCGCCTTGACGAGCTCGGCGACGGCCTCCGTCCAGGTCCGCCGGTGCGCGCGCGCGCGGCGCTCGGCCTCGTCCAGGATCTCGCGCACCGCCAGGCCGTGCGCGCGGTCCCGCGCCGCGAGGAACGCCTCGAGCGCGGCGCCGTCGAGGCGGTACGCGGCCGAGAACGCCGCGCCGGCGGCCGCCACGGCGTTGCGCCCCCGGACGGCGAGCCGGGCCGTCGCCTCGTCAGTCAAGCGCGGGGCCCGCCGCCGCCGCGCCTTGCGCGGCGACGCGCGCCAGGCGAGGCGCGGCTGGTCCTCCGTGAACGACGTCCGCGTCCGGATCACCTCGTCGGCCACGCCCTTCAGGGCCCGCTCGACGCACCGGAGGGCGGCGACCTCGGCCCGCGCCGCCGCCCGTCGGGACCTCCGGTCGCGGCGCTGCGCCTCGAGCCCCGCGTCGGCCGCCGCGCGGCGGAGGCGCTCGTTGTCGAGGTCCGCGCGCGCCGCGTGCGCCGCCGCGTCGCTCTTCAGGTCTTCGACGCGGCGCTGCAGGTCGTCCGCGCGCCGTCGGTGCTCGTCGCGCTCCCGCTCGAGGGCCTCCTCGCGCACGCGCCGCCCGTCCTCGTCGATGCTAAACTGGCGGTCGCGCGCGTCCGCGACGGCGCGCCGCACGGCCTCGAGCGTGCCGCGCGCGACGGGCGTGTCCGGCTCCATCGCCGCGAGCGCGCCGCCGCCGTCCCGGAAGTCGATCGGGCCGGGGGCCGCGGGCGTCGCCGTCGCCGCGTCGTGCGTGAACGCGGGCGTCGCCGTCGCCGCGTCGCGCCGCCCGCCAGGCGTCGAGGGCGTCGCCGGCGCCGCGTCGCGCCGCCCGCCCGTCGCGGTGGAGGGCGTCGCCGGTGCGGCGGCGTCGAACGGCCGCGCCGCGCGCGCCGACGTCGGCGTGGTCACCGCCTCGGTCGTCTCCCCCAGCCCGCCGGGCAGGAACTTGCGCAGGACGGCCGAGAAGGCGTCCACCTCGTCGCCGTCGCTGTCGCTGCTCATGGCTTGGTGTGAGTGGTGCCTTGACTGGTGCCTGAGCCGTGCGGTCGTGCGCAGCGGCGGCGCAGTGCGACGCGGACACTTCGATAGCTGCGGTACGCGGCCGCGGCGCGTCGTAGCGGTCGGCTGCCTTTTGCGGGCTGCCTCTCGACAATACGCTGCATGCATGGGAACAGGCGAGGCGGCGGCGTCAAGCGTCCGGTCGCTGTGACGCGACGTAGGGGTGCTCTTGCATCGGATGCTTCCCGGGACGTGTCATGAGTCATGAGTCTAGTGTCTATCACCTTAAGGCTTTATATTGGCCTCACACGCGAGTCTTTGCTCTACCGTGCGTACATCCGTCGCGCCGGCCGCCAGTGCATCGCCCTAACCAAACGAAAAGCGTGTCGTGCGTCGTTGCTGTGGGCGAAACGCCGACGAGGTGGCGCTGTTTGGAGCAACCTGACGAGCACTAAGGCTGTAGAGTCTAAGACAAAGCTAAAGCTAAATCACTAGCGATCGAGCCCCGGGCCTCCTGAGCTCGCGGGTTTCTACGTCGACAGCCATTACGGCGCCCACTGCCTGAAAATTCGCCCATTCCTGCAAAAGCAAGGAATTGAGAACTTCGCTAAAGTGTGCACAGCACCCGTCCTCAAGCGCGCGCGAGCGCTGCACAATCATGTCCTACGATGCCATCCAAGGCAGCCTCGACGTGTCCCTGCCGCGCCACCAAAAGCCGAGCTTCCTCGCGGTCGGCTACATGGTCTTACTGGGAGACACGGTCCGCGGCATCTTCTTCCCGACGCTCTGGCCCCTGGTCTCGAGCTTCGGCGGCACGCGCGCGGCGCAGGGCGTGGTGGTGGCCGCCTTCTCCATGGGCCGCGTGCTCGTGAGCCCGTCCTACGGCGCCTACTCGACGAAGCACGGCTACCGCAAAATACTCGTTTTTGCGCACTGCCTCATCGTGCTCGGCGCGCTGCTGTACACGCGCGTCTGGAACGTGCCCTCGCTCGTGTGCGCGCAGCTGATCCTGGGCTTCGGCTGCGGCACGCTGGGCGTGACGCGCGCGTACTTCGCCGAGAGCGTGCCGCGGGACCAGCGCACGGTCTGGCTCGGGCGCGTGACGGCGGCGCAGTACTGCGGCCTCACGTGCACGTCGTTCCTCGGCAGCCTGCTGGCACGGACGGGCGAGCGGCTCGAAAAAGACGCGTCCCTCGCGTGGCTCAACATCTCTCCTTTGACGTGCTCCGCCTACGCGGTGCTGCTCATGGCCCTCGTCGCCCTGCTCTTGCTCCAGGCCCCGAGCTTTTACGACTTCGTGCCGGCGGACCGCCAGGCGGGTGCGACCGTGGCGCGCGAGGACGGCGTCCAGACGGACGACGATCGAGCGCACTTTAGGCTGGTCGTCGTCGGCCTCGTGCTGAATATCATTACGAAGGGCAGCATCGGCTGCTACGAGACGCTCGGCGTGAGCTACGCGCAGGCCAACCTGAAGATGGACGGCCCGACGGTGGGTTATTATGTTGCGGCGTGCGGCGTGCTGGGCGTCGCGTTCTTGCTGTCGTTCAAGCAATTGGGGAGGCTCTTTGATGATGTGGAACTCATTCTGTACGGCATCGGGGTCATGGTCCTGAGCTGTTTATTGATGGTGCGGAAGTTTAGTGAAGATATCATCGGCGACGACGACCATGATGTGGACGCGTTCGCGGCCTGGCTGACGGCCATCGTGGGCATGTACGGCATTGGGTATCCCATCGGACACACGGCGGTCATCGGCTGGTTCTCAAAGGCCATGAAGCACCGGCCGCAGGGCATGCTCATGGGCCTCTTCGCGTCGGCGGGGTCGGTCGCGCGCATCGTCTTCCCGATCTGCTCGGGCGTCGCGTCGGACCTCTGGGGGCCGGACGTGGTCTTCGCGTGCCTGGCGGCGCTGCTCGGCGCGACGCTCGTCATTTTGGTGGTGAAGCGCCGCGCGTTCCGGGAGGCGATAGCCTAATCTTATTTTGGTAAGTACTACTTGGCGAGGGCGAAGGTCATCTGGCCGACCTCGACGGCCAAATTGCCGTCGACGTAGGCCCGGCCCGTCGCCTTGGCGATGCCGAACTTGGCCTTCCAGTTCGTGATCTCGACCTCCATAACTAACGTGTCGCCGGGCACGACGGGCCTCTTCCACTTGACGCCGTCGACGCCCGCGAAGAAGAAGACGGCGCCCGGCTCGGCGCCCTCCATCTGCAAACACACGACGCCCGCGAGCTGCGCCAACGCCTCGATCTGCATGACGCCCGGCATGATCGGGCGGTCCGGGAAGTGGCCCGTGAACTGGGGCTCGTTGAAGGTCACGCACTTGACGCCCACGGCGCTCTTGCCCGCCTCGTATTCGATAACCTTGTCCACGAGCGCGAAGGGGTAGCGGTGCGGCAGGATCTTCTGCACCTCCTCGAGCGAGAAGATCGTCTCCGTGCCCTCCGTCTTCGCCGAGATCTCCTGGGCCGTGGCCTGGAGCCGTGGTGGGGCGCTGCGGTGGGGCCCTACGAAGGCATGGGCCGCGCAGCAGAGCGCGAGGACGAGGCGCATGATCCGCTGCAGTTGCACGTTATGGTGCAATCAGTGATTGCACGAGGACTAAGCACACAGCCCTAGTTCAGCCAGTGATTGCACGCTCGGCTAAGCTCCTGAGAGACAGCCTTAGTGTACAGCCATCACACATCGCCGCAAGGTATCGGTATGGTACCTTATACCTCGGTGGTAGGGGGTCGGGAGCCTGCAAACATCAAGCGCCCTAGCGTGCTTTGACACACTAGTTTTTCAGGGCCGAGACAGCTCCCTACAATTCGCGACCAGAAAAACAACGCCGCGAGCAACCGGGACATATTACTTAGGCGGCTATCCTCTTGGGCGGCGCGCCCTTCGCCTGGCCCATGAGCCGCGACGTCTCGCCGAGGCGCTCGTGCGCGGCCTTGGCGACGTGCGTGTGCGCCGTGTCGTACTCGACGCAGGCCTTGAAGCACCGCGCCGCCCGCGGCAGCAGGCCGTCCTCGAGGCACAGCAGGCCGCAGTCCAGCGCGACCGCGGCGCGGTCGACGCCGCCCTCCCGGATGCCGATGGCCTCGGTCCAGGCCCGCCGCGCGTCGGCGCGCCGCTGGGCGCGCGAGAGCTCGTCGATGTTTGCCAGTGTGAGGAAGATGCGCCCTTGGTTGCGCAGCACCACGAACCGCGTGCGGCTGTCGAGCTCCATGCACAGCGCCTCCTCGTAGAGCGGCAGGGCCTCCGTAAAGCGCCCCTTGGCGTACTCGCGGTTCGCTTCCAAGATGAGGCCGCCGGCGCGCACCGCCATCAAGGGTGCTAGGGCTGCCTGAGCCAAAGCCTAGGGGCACTGGGGCTCCTGGAGACGCTCTGGGAGCTGCCCGGGCTGCCACTGGCGTGAGAGTGGCTTTGCTCGTAGCGCTCACACAAGCGCGAGAGCAGGCTAGTAGCTTGGAGCCGCGGGGCAAATCGGCGAGTAGGTATCTCCGAGACAGATTAAGTTTAGAGGTTCGGGACCGGGGGAGGGGAGGAATGCCTCTTCACGCGTCGAGCGCGACGAGGATGACGGACACGGTAGCCCGCGCGCGGGCGCCGTGGTCTTCGAGCGTCGCGCGGTCGCGCTCCGTCAGGCAGATCGCGCGGCGCCGGTGGGCCATGTCCGTCGCGAAGAGCGCCGCGTCCGCGCGCGCGTCGAGCTCGAAGGCCTGGCGCGCCAGAATGACCTGCGCGGAGATCCGGTCGTTTCCCCGTGGCTGCGTCTGTTCGATGGCGTGGACCTGGACACAGAGACAGACGGCGAGGCGCGCCTCGGTGGACAGCGGCAGCACGATGTCGCGGCGGTCGTAGGCGCGCTCGAGGTCGACGCGGACCGTCGCCGCGCCCGCCGCGGCGGCGACGGCGACGCGCTCCGCGTAGGCCTCGGGCGTCCAGCAGGCGCGGCCGTCGACGGCCCGGAGCACCCAGCAGCCGTCGGCGCGGAGCGGCGAGCGCGCGAGCGCCGGGATGACATTGCGGACGACGGCCTCGCCGCGCGCGATCTCGGCGTCGAACGCGCGGCTCGCGAGCCGAAGGCGCGCGGCGTCGCGCGGCGCGAGGTCGAAGCCGTGCGCGTCGCCGGCGGCCGCGGCCGCGGCCGCGAACGCGCCGATGAAGACGCCGTCCGTCACGACGACGCCGGCCCGCGCCGCGTCGGCCTCGGTCGCGAGCGCGTGGAGCTCGGTCCGCCGCGGCTCGACGAAACGCGAACCGACGGCCAGCGTCGCGGCGCGCCGCGCGACGGTCGCCGCGCCGCGGACGGCGGCGAGGTCGACCGGCGCCGCCTGCGGCGCGTCGGCGAGGCGCGTTCCGCGCCGCTTGAGCACGACGAGCGTGCAGCGCTCCGTGTCCGCGTGGAGCAGCCGGAGCGCCGCGCCCGGGGCGACCGCGGCCCGCCGCCGCGGCTCCGCGAGGCGCCGCCAGGCCACGTAGTCGCAGAGGCCGCGGCCGTTGAGCGCGCGGTCGGCGCGCGTCGCGGCCGGCGCCGTCGCCTCGAAGCGGCCGAGGTCGGCCGCGCTGAGCAGCGGGAGCACCTTGTGCGTGAAGAGCGACGTGGCGCCGGCGGCGTGGATGCGGCCCAGCGCGCCGGCGCGGAACGCCGGCGCCGCGCCGACGCGGCGCGGTCGTCGTTTGCGCTGCGGTGGTCCGCGCGGCGTCGGCAGGGCCGCGACCAGTGCGGAGAATGGCCGGGCCGCGTCCCAGGCGGCCTCGTCGCGATTGCTCGTGGCATTGCTTCCGCCGTCTTCTATGACATTTGCGCCGCGCGTCGACATACTGTTCGCTGGTGCAGCTATGAGCAACTGGTAGCGGATTAGTGCTCTTCCTTTTTTTTTACCCCTCACTTCCTTCTTCTTTACCTAGAGCTACCCTTCACCTCCTTCTTCGCATTAGACACTTGCTAGTGTCTTACAAGCGCTAGAGATAAGTTTTGTAGTTAGTTTCCGCCGCGAGGCTACGCGCGCGGGCACAAATCGACGCCACACGTTCGACAGCGCTCGCCGCCGCGTCTGCCCCGTTAACGGTACGAGTTTTGCGCCACTAGCATTTAAGCTGTTTTACGCCGCTCGTCAGAACGCTGTTCTTCGCCGCTCGTCCTCTACGCCCCCGTAAAAACGTTTCTCTCGCTCCCCGCGTTCCGATGAGCACCTTTTCAAAACCATCCGAGCCCACCTTGCCGCGAAACTGCCGCCGACACTAGGACCGTTTCGGACCCGCTCTAACCCGACTCTCGCCCAACCCTAACCCTAACCCTAGTCTCATCCTAATCCTAACCCTTACTCGGACCGAATCCTAACCTCAACCTCGCGACAGATAAAAAAAAGTCGAGGCAGTCATTCCGATTCTGACTGCTCGACCACGTACCAAGGAGCGTGGAGCGCGTGGTTAAAGGAGGTTGCTTCATCAAACATTTCTCGCATATGCGTCACATTGAGGCGGCCGTACCGCGACGCGCACGCGACGGGAGCAACCATGGAACCGTGGTACATGAGCCTGGGGCATGGGCTTGGCCACTTCGTGCCCTATTCCAAAACGCGTCTGCCGCGTACGCTCCGCGCCAGCCCCCACAGCACCTTCCCCCCTAGTAGCCAACTTCAAGTTGAACCTACATCCAACCTACGTAGCCTGACGTAGGTACCTACGTAGGTACATTTGGAGAAGTTACCTACGTCAGGCTCCACCTACGGCCCGACCAGGACCAAGGCGCCTTGCTCACGATGAATTGTCATCAGAGGGCTCCAGCTACCCGAAAAGAAGCTCTCACCGACGCCGTGCGCAGCATGGACGGAACTTCAGCGTCTCGACTTCAGCCTGCAGGCCCGGCTTCGACCGGCGAAGGGAGGCAACAGGCTGAACGCACGCGGTCCAGGCGTCCTGCGAGACATCGTCCGGCAGTCGAGGGGGTCCCACGGCGACAAAACCGTACTCTTGTGAAGTACGCGGCCCCCTGTACCTATACGTGCAATCGATCACTCCATAGCTAGTACAATCACTCCATAGCTACATTAACAGGCACGCGGGAGACGTCGTCGAGCTGCGAGTACTCCCCGAGGTCGTCGTCGTTGGAGTCGTCGTCGTCGTCTTGCGCGCCGAGCCGCTTCCGGAGCGCCGCGTTCGCGTCCACGAGGTGCTGGAGGACCGAGGTCCACGAGTCCGCCTCGGCGCGCGCGGCGGCGAGCGCCTCGAGCGCCGGCAGGGCCTCGGCCCGCAGGGCGGCCTCGGCGCGCCGCGCGTCGGGCCGCCGGCCGGCGCGCGCCACGGCGAAGGCGTCGCGGACGGCCCCGGCGCCGCCGCCGGCCGCCGCCACCCGCGCGGCTGCCGCGACGGCGCAGGCCGTCGCGGCGAGGTCCCCAGCGGCGGGCGCCGCCGCCGCCGCCGCCTCGAGCTCGCGGACGCGCCGCGTCGCGCGCTCGAGCTGCTCGTCCGGCGCGAGGTCGAGGCGCCGGACGGCGCGCAGGCGGACGCGCGCGCAGCGGCTCGCGAAGCGCAGCGTCGACGCGGACTCGGCCGCCGCGGCGCGGCCCGGCGCGAGCGCGGCGACGAGGGCCGTGCGCGCGCCGGGCACGCCGAGCGCGTCCCTCAATAATTTCGTCAGGACGGAGTCGCGGAAGGGGACGTGCGCCGCGCCGTCGGCGAGCGCCGCGACGACGTTGCCGAGGGCCGCGAGGCTCGCGTTGATGGCCCGGGCCTCGCGCAGCCGTACGCCCCGGCTGCCGGAGACGCGGTTGCGCTCGCTGCCCGCGAGGTCGACGACCCGCAGCGCCGCGCCGCCCGCGTCGACGACGAGGATCGTGTGCGAGCGCGACGACGTCGCGTTGAGTTTCGTGGCGGCCGTCGCGCGCCGCCGCAGGCCGTAGGCGACGAGGTCCAGCGCCTCCGCGAGGTCGCGCGCCGCGTAGGCCCGGAGCCCCTCGACCTCGAAGCCGCCTCGTGTATTCTCGCGCACGGGCAGGCCCTCTACGATGTCGGCGGGCCGCGGCGCCTTGGCGCTGAACGCCTCGTCGTGCCTCCGCCGCTCGACCTCCGCCGCGTCGCGCGGCGGCGCCAGCAGGTCCCGCACGCGCTCGTCGTAGATCTCCAGGAACGACATGACGACCTCGCCGGGCCGCGCCGCGAAGAGCCGCCGCAGGGCCCGCGGCACGACGCCGTCCCGGGCGCGCTCGACGTGGTCGGGCGCCTCGAGCACGCCGAGCGTGTGGCTCTTGCCGGCGCCCGTCTGGCCGTAGGCGACGACGGTGCCGTCGACGCCCGCGAGGACCGCGTCCACGACGTCCCGGGCGACGCCGTCGAAGAGCTCGGCCTGCGACGCGTGCGGGCCGAACGCGGCGTCGCAGCCGTGCTCGCAGACCGTCGCGGTCCGGGCGACCTCGAGGCGCACCGTCTCCTTATTGAGGACCGTCGCCGCGGCCTCCCGGGGCTCGCCCGCGAGCGGCGGCCGGATGCGCACGTAGACCGAGACGTCGCCGGGCATTTTGTTTGCGCGTGGGCAGCCTTTCGCTTGGGCACAAAGCTTTGAAAGCGCGCGCGAGAGCAGCGGGTTTTGCGCCCGTGGGATGTACTCCTTCTACGCGCGCCTCACCCGGGAGGGGTCCGGTTGCGACTGGGCGGACGTGGTTAATAGAACACTCGCGTTACGCGCGACCAGGAAACCCGCCTACTTCGCCTGCGGGTGGCTCGAGATGTACTCGACGGCGTCCGCCACGGAGAGGATCTTGTCCGCCTCCGCGTCCGGGATCTCGATGGCGAACTCCTCCTCGACGGCCATGACGACCTCGACGACGTCCAGCGAGTCGAGCGCGAGGTCCTTGAAGGCGACCGCCGGCGTGACCAAGGAGGCGTCGACCTTGTCGAAGGTCTTGACGACGTCGAGGATGCGCGCCGTCGCCTCCTCCTTGTCCATGAACGCGTCGGCGCCTCCAGCCAGTGACCGGAGGGCAAGGGTCGCCGCCCTGGGCGGCACTCGCCGCGCGAGCGCGCCGGCGCGCGCGCACGCACCAGCACGTGCTGCGGCGACTCGCAGCATCGCTCTCTTCCCTTTGCTCGCGGCTAGGCTAGCTAGCGCAAGAGTGAAGTGTGGTGGCGAGAGCGGCGGGTTTACAATCGCTAGCGTAAAGACACTAGCAAGCTCTCTCTGCTGGGCAAAAAGCGCTTGGTGTTGCTTTTATCGTTGCCATTTGCAAGTTGGATTTTGAAGCAGCTACCAGCTCGACGGGTTGCAAAGGTCAGCTCTGCGAGCACAGGCAAAATGGCCGCCCTCCTCGCGGACAACCTGCCCGTCCCGCCGCCGAACGAGGCGCTGCTCGCGCTGGGCATCGAGGGCAGCGCCAACAAGGTCGGCGTGGGTTTGATACGGTACGTGCCGGCCACGGGCGCCTACGACATCCTCGCGAACCCGCGCGAGACGTACGTGACGCCGCCGGGCACGGGCTTCCGGCCCCGCGAGACGGCGCAGCACCACCAGCGGCACGTCGTGCCGCTGGTCCAGAAATGTTTGCGCGAGGCCGGCGTCGACGCGTCCGAGATCGGCTGCGTGTGCTACACGCGCGGGCCCGGCATGGGCGGCCCGCTGCGGAGCTGCGCCGTGGCGGCGCGCGTGCTCGCGCGGCTGTGGCGCGTGCCCCTCGTGCCCGTGAACCACTGCGTGGCGCACATCGAGATGGGCCGCGTCGCGACCGACGTCAGCGACCCCGTCGTGCTGTACGTGTCGGGCGGCAACACGCAGGTGTTGGCGTTTTCGGGGCGGCGCTACTGCATTTTCGGGGAGACGATCGACATCGCGGTGGGGAATTGTCTGGACCGGTTCGCGCGGGTTTTGGGGTTGTCGAACGACCCGTCGCCCGGCTACAACATCGAGAAGTGCGCCCGGGACGGGAAAAAGTTCGCGCCGCTGCCCTACGTCGTCAAGGGCATGGACGTGAGTTTTAGTGGTTTACTGACCTTCATCTCGCAGAACGCGCCCAAATTATTAGCAGGGGGGTACACGCCGTCGGATCTGTGCTACTCGCTCCAGGAGACGATCTTCGCCATGCTCGTCGAGGTGACGGAGCGGGCCATGGCGCACTGCGGCCGGAAGGACGTGCTGCTGGTCGGCGGCGTCGGCTGCAACCGGAGGCTGCAGGCGATGATGGCCGCGATGGCGCGGGGGCGGGGCGGCGCGTGCTGCGACATGGACCACCGCTACTGCGTCGACAACGGCGCCATGATCGCCCAGGCCGGCATCTTCGCGTTCCAGCACGGCTCCCGCGCGGCCTGGGCGTCGTGCGACTGCACGCAGCGCTTCCGCACCGACGAGGTCGAGGCCGTCTGGCGGCGGCCTACCGAGACTTAAGCACATAAAATTAGTAGTCGTAGGCGCCGTCGTACTTGTCGTCGTAGCCGTCGTCCCAGTCGTCTTCGTCGTAGTTCGCCTTCGGCTTCGGCGCCTTCTTCGAGGCTTTCGGAGGCGGCGGCGGCGGCGCCGACGCCTTCGTCGGTTTCGAACTGGGCTTCGCCGCCTTGGCGGCGGCGTCGGCGCGAGCCTTGCGGAGGCGCCCGACGAGGTCCGGCAAGTTGCCCTTCGCGGACCGTCCCAGCTTCGTCAGTTCCCTCCTCAATTCCTCCACGTCCAGGGACGCCGGGTCGTTTTCCGGCGGCGGCGGCAGGGGCGCCGGCGCCGGGCCCTTTCCCGCGTCCGGCCGGCGATCCACGATGTCCTGCAGGTCCGGGCACGGGTACCGCAGCGTCGCCGCGACGCCGCCGAGCTCGATCAGCTGGTCCGACGCGACGTGCCGCGCGGGGAAGTACAGGACCTCGGCGCCCTGCGCCGCGGCGCGCTCCACGAGGTCCAGGAACCGCTTCCTCCTCTCGACGTCGGGCGCCGCGCCCCGCAGGTTGTCGTCCACGACCATCAAGATGGCCAGGGCGTTGCGCTCCGCGGCCGCGGCCACGGCGTCGAGCGACGCGCACAGCACCCGGTCCGGGTCCTTCCGCTGGCAGCTCCGCCACGCCTCGAGCGCCGCGCAGTAGCGCGCCGCGGCCGTCGCCTCGACGCGCTTCGCGACCGCTGGCACGGCCAGCACGGCCCGCAGCGCGTCCCGCGTCAGCCCCGCCGCGACCACGGGGTCCTCGGCGACGCACAGCCGCCCGCCGGCCGCCGCGCGCCGCAGGTGACCCACGTTCGCCGCGTCCGAGCTGCACGCCGCGGCCGGCGTGGTGTCCGTCCGCAGGAACTGCGCCACGTCGGCGGCGCCGCGGCCGCAGACCACGACGCACCGGACGACGTCCCAGCGCACGTGCGCCGCGAGCGCGTCGCGGCACCGGTGCAGGAACTTCGCCTTCTGCGCGTCGGCGCGCTTGCTCCGCGCGCCGTGCGTGCCCTTGGGCAGGGCGAGTTCCACCGACGCGGCCTGCTTCACCAGCCGCTCCGTGAGCACGAAGAGCTTCGCCCGGCACCGCTCCGCGTCCAGCAGCAGGCAGGCGAGGTCGGCCGTGCTCGCGGCGTCGGCCGCCCGCGCCAACGTCGCGCGCTGCGACGCGTCCCACGCGGCCTTGCGCAGCGAGACGCGCGCGCGGAGGCCGATCTGCAGCGTGTGGTGCGACCCGAGCTTGACGAGCTCGTGCTCCGTGCGCGTCGTGCCCGCGACGCGCAGCTCGTCGCCGGCGCCGTCGTAGTCGACGGCGTCCGCCGCGACCGTCAGCGTCATGTGCCGCTTCTCCGACGCCGCGCGCGGGTTGTCCCCCTTGACCTTGCGCGTCGTGTTGCACGAGACCTCGTCGCCCTTTTCGATCAACGAGTAGAGGGTCCACACGTCGTCCGCCTCCTCGACAAAGCAGGTGATCGAGGCCGCGGCCTCCGGCGCCAGGTCGGGTGGGAGGGGCTCCTCGAGCCGCATGGGTGCTTTGTAATCTGTGGTTCAACCGCTGCGCGCCTGTCGTTGCCTTCACAAAGCTAGCCGGTGTGTGCAGCTAGCGCATGAAGAACTAGCAGGGTGGCCCCGCACGCGCAGGGGGGGGTTTTGAGTATCAATTGTTCGTTCCCTCTTGTCTGAGGATTGACTATCCGGCTCGAAACGACTCTGAGGCCCCCAAGTTTTGACATCTTTGGTGAAGTAACACTGAAGTTTGGTCTCCTCTCCGGGGATCTGCCGCGAACGTGGGGCCGGCCCGCGGAAGGACCGACGTTCCATCCGGACTTTCCCACCGAGTTCCGGCCTTCCCCCATCGCGGGCGTCGGCTGGTGGGCGACAGTAGACATCCCCAGGGGCACGCTGCTGCGCCGGCTCTCCGTCGCGGACGGCACGTTGGTGTGTTTCTCGAGCCGCGAGGACCTCGAGGAAGCCGGCTGGGACCTCGACGACGCTGTCAACTACGGCATCGGCCACTGGAGAGACCCGTCGGCGATATTCTTCCTTAACCCAGGCACGGCGGTGAATCACGCCGACAAGACGCGGGAGGCGGCCGTGATGTACAACCACGACGAGCCGAACGTCGGCGCACCGGCGTCCGTTCGCCCGTCGCCGCGCGGCGAGACTTATCCCCTCGCAGGTCCTCGAGCTGTACACGACGAAAGACGTCAAGGCCGGCGAGGAAATGCTCTGCGACTACGATCGCGACTACGCCCCCTGCCCCTGGTATGACGAGCTCCAGCGATCGCGCGGCAACGTCCCCTCTCGCAGCTGAACGCTGAGATCGAGAAGATGTACCCCGAGTCCCCTTAACTTTAGGATACAGATATACAACCGAGACCGAGCCGCCGCAGCCCCCAATCCAGGAGCCGCCCCTCGTCGTCGGCCAATCCGTGGCCCGCGCCCGCGACGGCGACGGCCGAGGCGTCTGGGCGATCGAGCGCGGCGAGCGACCGGGCGGCCGCGGCGTGATCGATCGTCGCGTCGTCGGCGCCATTCACAAACAGGACGGGAAACGTCGTCGCGACGTGCTCATCGCTCGGCGGCGGCGCCATCCCGTTGACGCCGACGAAGCCGAGGACGCCCGGCGTGCGCAGCGCCGCCTCCAGGCCCACGAGGCAGCCCTCGGAGTAGCCGCCGACGACGACCGACCGCCCTCGCTGGAGCTCCCTCCGTACCACGGCGACAACCTGCTCGCGCGCCGCACGGAGCGACCCCGTGGTCGGCGCCGCGCCTTCGTCTTCGTAGTCCAGCCAGGCGCTCCGGCAGCCGCCCCGCGGCCCCGCGCCCGGCAGGACGACGCGCAGCGCCCGCAGCGCGCCGCGCGTCCACCAAGCATCCCTTCGCGTCGCGTAGGTGCTCGGGAAGCCGTTGCGCCCGTGGAGGTAGACCAGCGTCGTCGCGCCGCCCGGGGCACCGACAATAACGCGCTCGGCGCGGCACGGGTCGAGCGACACGCGGGCGAGCCGGGCGACGTCGCAGCCCTCGGCGCGCAGGCGGCCCGCCGCCGCCGCGGTCGGGGCGGCACCCGCCTTCACCACGCGATACGCAAGCTCGTGGCCGCGCACGGCGCGCGAGCAGGCGACGAGCTCGCCAAGCGTGCCGTGGCCGCCGGCGAGGTTGACAACGTCGCCGGGTGTCGCGACGCGGCCGCGCGGCACCTCAAGAAGGGCGGCGCCGTAGTCGAGCTGGCGGGGCGGGAGCGGCGCCCAGCGCACCGCCGCCCGGACCTCCTCCAGCGTGACTGCCTCTGCGGTTTCGGGCGCGTGTTTTCGCTTCATCCTAGCTGTTGGCCGGTCCCGTCTCCACAGCACTCCAGGTTGGGATACACCACCAGCACTTGATAAGTAGCGTTCGTCTAACCTTGCAGGTTTCAGATCTGCTGGCTGCGTCTTGACAGCAATTGAAAATCGCTGCGAATGAAATGAATGGATGAACAGAGGCGTCTGAAATTTCCAAATCGCTCGTCCGGCATTAAAAAACGCAATCCGCTGGCCATAGTGTCTTGTATAGGAGAGCAGCAAAACCTCCCCTTCCCTGCAAACGATTTATTCTTACTGAGAGGAGTCACAGGAGCTCTTTTTAGAACGCAAGTCCAAAAACCACCGGGTTGCTAAAAAGGCCAGCGGCGTAGCTCTGTAACAAACAGAGCCTGTGTGCTCTGAAGCGCCCGCGGGTCGGCCTTGGCCTTGTGCGTCAAATCAAATAGAGCGGCGTTCTTGCGCTGGGGAAAGCCATCCTTCAATTGGTAGCGCCAGTCCTGCGCCGCACAACTGCGTAATTCATCCACCAGCGCCTACGTCGCGCACACATCGCGATACACCGGCGCCAACAACACGCTGCGTCGAGCCGAACGAGAGCAGCGCGGCAGCAGGATGCGCACCCAGCTATACGTCGTCGCAGCGGTCGCCAGCACCCATGCCCTGCGCGCCCCGCAAGCGCGCCGTCGGACGGCGCTGCGCGCCGCGACGCTGCCCCTGGAGGACCCGAACGGCATCGCGGACGCGCGTTACCGCAAGGGCGTGAAGCAGGTGTCGACGCTCGGGCCGGCGTCGGCGACGCGGGACATGATTGAAAAGTTATTCGTGGCGGGCACGGATGTCTTTAGATTGAACCTGAGCCACGGCGCCGCGGACAAGCTCGAGGCCGCGCGGCACATAAGGGAGGTCGAGGCCAAGTTCGGCCACCCCGTCGGCATCCTGGCGGACCTCCAGGGGCCGAAGCACCGCGTGGGCATGTTTTCTGACGAGCTCCCAAAAGTCTTCCTCGAGAAGGGCCAGAGCTACCGGTTCGACCTGGAAGACGCGCCGGGGACGCAGTCGAGAGTACAATTACCGCACCCCGAGGTCCTCGCGGCCTTGAAAAAGGGCGACGCCATTTTGTTAGATGACGGGAAGCTGCGGGTCGAGGTTACAAGTACGGGAAACGGTTTTGTGGATACGGTGGTCACGAACGACGCGGCGCTGTCCTCAAGGAAAGGCTTCAACCTGCCGGACACGGTCGTGCCCACGTCGGCGATGACGCCGAAGGACATTGAGGATCTGGAATTCCTCATGGAGGGCTTCGAGGGCGTCACCGTCGACTGGATCGCTCTGTCTTTCGTGCAGCGGCCCGAGGACATGCTCGAGCTCAAGAAGCGGATCAATGGACGGAGCAGCGCCAAGGTCCTCGCGAAGCTGGAAAAGCCCCAGGCCGTCGAGCCGGAGATGTTACGAGCGATCACGGACGTGTGCGACGGGATCATGGTCGCGCGCGGCGACCTGGGCGTGGAGATGCCGCCGGAAGACGTGCCCATCGTCCAGAAGGAGATCATCGAGGAGTGTCGGAGGCAGGGCAAGCCCGTGATCGTGGCGACGCAGATGCTTGAGAGCATGATCGACTCGCCGGCGCCGACGCGGGCCGAGTGCTCGGACGTGGCGACGGCCATTTTCGACGGCTGCGACGCCATCATGCTGTCGGGCGAGAGCGCCGCGGGCAAGTACCCCGAGGAGTCCGTGCGCATGCAGCAGCGGCTCGTGAGAAGGGTGGAAGCATCAACAAGGCACCAGGAGCTCGTGCGAATGGGTAACATCGGAGGCTACGAGCCGCCGCACGGCGAGACGGACACGGACGCCGTGGTGGAGGCCGCGGCGAACCTCGCGCGGTCCCTCGACGCCAAGTGTCTGCTGGTCTTCACGCGGACGGGCTCGTCGGCGCGGCGGCTCGCTCGCTTAAAGCCGGGCCTGCCCATCCTCGCCGTGACGCCTTCCGTCGACGTCGCGCGGTCGCTGGCGCTCTCGGCGTACGTGTATCCGGCGGTGCTCGACCCGGCGGCCGTCGACGCCGAGCGCGCGAACCTGTTCTTCAAGATGCTCGAGGCGGGGCTCGACGTGGCGCGGCGGAAGCACCTCGTGCGCGACCCGACGGACCGCATCGTCTGCACGGCGGGCCTGCCCTTCAACGTCGAGGGCTGCGCGAACGCGATCCGGGTGGTCGAGGCGGCCGGCCTGGACTGCTGGGGCGGGCAGTGCATCTGGGAGGGCTAGGCGGCGGGGGCCGGTTAACATCGTTCCGTCGTTATTTGATTCTTGTCTTAAAGACGATGTAGACTAAGATCATGTAGTGCGTGCCTACGGCCCCTCCCCGCCAGGCGTGCCGGGATAGAACGACAGCAGGTAGCGCGAGAGGGCGAGGTGCTTGGACGAGAAAGCAATCTTGTCGTCATCCTTCATTTTTCCGTACTCAGTCATGAAATCCGCGAACACCGATGAGCTGTGCTTGACGTACGGCGCCCGCGCCGCGTCGCGACCAGGGCCTATAAACGTAATCGTAACCTTAGTAGTCGGAGGGGAGGGGTCGCGCGGGGAAAGGGATGGGGGAGGGGGAGGGAAGGGGTAAGGGCGGGGTAGGACGGGGGAAGGGGAGGGGGTCGACTCGGTTACTGGGGGTGCTGCCCGCGGCGCGGCGGCGTCAGGTAGGTGTCCATCGCGTGGCCCGTGCGCTCGAAGACGCCCGGAGACTCCGACACGCGGCGGCGCACGCGGGACCGCTCCTGGGCCGCGGCTTCGGCCGCGGCTGCGGCGCCGCGGCCGCCGTGGCCGAAGAGGCCGCGGAAGATGGAAGGCAATAAAATCTTCCCTTAAAAGATTGGAACTACCTTGATTTCTGTAAGAAACCAAGCGAAACCGTTGTGGTACCAACTTTGGTGTGCTCGCCAGGGTTTACCTGGCCGTGCGGGTCAAGCACGACATGAACAGCTGGGGAGACGAGCCCGAAAACTGCAGGATTGAATTTGCTAAGCTCATGAAATTAAGTACACACCCCGACGTTAAAGCCGAAATTAAGAAAGTTCGAGGTGCAAGAGGTTGGGATGACGCCTTCAAGGCTGAATCGTTAGCGGTCGAGCGGTCTGGCTGACGGTCTGGCAAGGACGAGGACTAGTCCTGAGCCCCCCCCCCTCTGGTTGTGTGGATAAAGAGGTTCTTCATCGTGTGTTCCGCTGCGCGTTTTTCGGGCAGCCTGGGGCATACCCGTGAGGCTAATCCCAGGGCTTGCTAGTGTCTTACAGGCCGCTAGGCTTCAGAGAGCGTCCAGGGTAAAATCCAGCTACGGGCTAGCATTATACCACCATCTCGCGTTCGAACCGTACGAACGATGCGCCGCGGCTTCCTCGCGGCCGCCCGGCCGGGCCCGCCGCCGCCGCCGCCGGCGGACGAGAGCAAGTGCTTCGTGTGCGGCGGCCGGCGCTCCGCCTCGGACGCGAACGCGGACGTGCGCTGCTTCGGCGCGCCGGCCTGCGGGAGCTGCGCGCGGCGGTGGCGCGTCGAGGCCGCGCTGCGGACGTGCCGCGACGCGCAGAGGCTCGCGACGCGGGGCCGCCTCGCGCCGTACCTCGGCCGCTTCGTGGAGCAGTTCGAGGGCATCCGGGCGGCCGCGCCGGAGCAGCTGGACCAGTTGCTGGACGCGCTGCGGCGGAACAAGGCCGTGGGCCGGCGCCGGCCCGGCGCCCGCGTGGACGCGCCGCCGCAGGGCCTGGTGGACGACGCGACGCTGCTGCGGCTCGCGGGGCGGCGGACGTCCGACGACCGGGTCGTCGCGGCGCTGCGGCGCTGGGCGCGGACGACGCCCGAGGGCCTCGGGCTCTACGAGGCCTACGCGACGCTCGAGACGCTCCGGGCGGCGCGGGCGGACCGCGCGCGGCCCGGGAGCTGGACCTACGCGAACGGGGACGTGGCGAAGGTCGCCGCGGCGCTGGTCTCGGGACGGGGGGACGCGCTCGGCGCGGCGTTCGCGGACCCGACGGCGCTGTCGCGCCTCGGGCGCACGTGCCGCGAGGCGACGCACTGCGTCGCGCGGTCGGCGGCGGCCTGGCGCGCGTGCTGCCTCGCGCGGCACCCCCACCTCCGGCGGGACGGCGGCGACGCGGCGCGCTGGCGCGCGGCGGCGCACTTCGCGGGCCTCCGCCAGACCAGACGCCCGGCCCTGCCGCCCGCGACGGCGTGCTGCGTGCCGCGGCTGCGGCGGGAGCTCAAGGTGCTGACCGAGGAGCCCGTCGCGGGCCTGAGCGCGCTGCCGCGCGAGAAGGACATCCGGGTCTGGCTCGCGACGGTGGACGGCCCCGCGGATACGATGTACGCGGGCGGCCGCTTCCGCCTCTCCTTGCAATTCGCGGACGACTACCCGCTCCAGCCGCCGCGCGTGCGCTTCCTGACGCAGGTCTTCCACCCGAACGTGGATGTCGCGTCGGGCGCCGTCTGCGTCGACCTCCTGACCGACGCGCACTGGACGCCGGCGGCGAACGTGAGGGTCGTGCTGCTTTCATTGCAGTCGCTGCTCGCGGACCCGACGGCCGTCGACGCCGAGAGCCCGGCGAACGCCGAGGCGGCCGCGCTGCTGAAGAACGACCGGCCCGCCTTCGAGCGGCGCGCGCGAATGGACGCGGCGAACTCGCTGGACTTCTACGACGGGGCCCGGCCCGAGGACGAGGCGCCGGAGGAGCTCGAGGCGCCGGACGCGGGCGAGGAGGGGTCCCCGGCGAAGTGGGCGAGCGAGGCCGCCGCCTGGGCCGCGCGCGAGGCCGGCGTCGAGGCCCCGCCGCCGGCCGACGACGGCGAGGACTGGGCGCCGCGCTCGTCGCCGCTCGGGAAGTCGCCCTCGAAGGCTGCGCGCGAGGCGGCGATGGAGATCGGGTGATTAGTTTTTTCCTGTTGCTTTTTTAGAAGTCCCGGGGCCACCTAACCCGTCTCTGCCCTAGCAACCGAACAGAACGGCGGAGCAACTAGCCCTTGAATTGCAACGCGCCGCTTGAGCATCGTACTAGTACCAGGGGATGTGCCTCGTATACGCATTCATCCTCGCATAGAAGGCCTCACGGTGCGCATCCAGACGCTGCTGCGCCACCTCGAACGCCGCTTCGTACGTGCTCTCCTCCACGTTGAGCGCGGATTTTATGAGGTCGATGAGGCGCTGGTTCGCCGGCGTCAGCGGTTCGTCTTCGAGATTCCTGAGCAAGTCGGCGCCGCTCGCGACCAGGTAGCCGGCGTCGGCCTTGACGACGTCGCAGCCCTCCTCGATGAGAAACGTCGCCAACTCGTACTTTGCGGCGCGCGCCGGGCGGGCTTCGATGCACCAGGCGAGCGCACAGGTGCCCGCACCGTCGTCCGGCTCGCACTCGGCGTCGATATCGGCGCCGGCCGCGAGGAGGAGGCGGGCTACATCGACCGAGCCGGCCGAGGGACAGCCCGCCACGTAGTGCAGCGGGATGCATTCGCGCGACAGTTTAGCGCCATAGGCGATCAGGGTCCGCATGAACCGGAACGGGACGAACACGCGTCGCGGGTCGTACTCGCCATCCAGCACCCAGTCGTCGCGGTTCGCGGGCGCGTCCGGGTGGCGCTCGTCCGTGCGGACGATGTTCCTCCGCGAGAAGGCCCGTCCGGCCGCCTCGCGAGACGCCAGGGAGCTCTCGTCTACAATGTTCCGATACCGCGTCCGGAGTTCGTGCTCCGCCTCTCGCACCGTCATCCCGATGCCTCCGAACCGAGACCGCTCGGCCGCGTCCGTGCCCTTGCGCAGGGCCGCCCGCTCGGGCGCGAACTTGCCCACCGCGACGACGACGGCCGGCGAGACCGTGTGCGACGCGATCTTGCGGAGCAGGTCCGTCGGCAAGCGCAAGAGCGGCGATTTTTCCCGGCGCGCGCGGCGCCGCGTTCGCATCTTGTGGGCCATTTCGTGTTTTGCGTCCCGCGTGGGGGCGTTCAGAGCCGACCTCGTATGTTGGTGCGCTGGTTAGCCCCGGTTAGCCCCGGTCTCCTGTGCGCGAGTGCTGGGCGCGCTTCGTAGGGGGGGGCTCCCCCGCGGGTTGGGGTAAGAGCTTGGGGAGGGCTCCGGACGACTTTTGCGGCCAGGGGGGGTGTTCCTGGTCCTAATAGGCAGCTTGATGAGGCTAAACGCTGTCGACGTAGAAACCCGCGAGCTCAGGAGGCCCGGGGCTCGATCGCCAGTTGATGAGGCTAAAGGCAATCAACGATAGAGAACCCGAACTCACCCTATGAGGCTCTGCGAGCATGATTATCTAGCGCCTGTAAGACACTAGCTAGCACGCAGGCAGCGCACATACTGGCCGCGAAAAAAAGACGCGCATCACTTTTTACCCAAAAATATTTGAAAGCATGCGCCGCGTTCTCCGCGGCGCGACGGCGCGCACCTTCGTCGTGCAGCCGCGCCCGCCGAAGCGGCGGCTCCTCGAGCTCACGTTAGTGCGGCACGGCCAGAGCGAGGGCAACCTCGCGTACCGGCGCGCGGGCCAGGGCGACGACTCGCTGTACGACGGCGCGTTCATGGACCGGCACTCGTCGCTGTGGCGCCTGACGGACCGCGGGAGAAGGGAGGCGCGCGCCGCGGGCGAGTGGCTCAAGGAGAACTGCGACCAGTTCGACGCGCACTACACGTCCGAGTTTCTGCGGGCGATGGAGACGTCGGCTTTACTTAATATAGAGGGCGCGCGCTGGTACGCCGAGCCGAACTGTCGCGAACGGGACTGGGGCTCCTGGGATTTAGCAAGGCCCAACGAACGGCTGTCCAAGGAAGAATCGCGGAGGAGAAGGGCGGGTTTATATTTCGCGCCGGCAGGTGGGGAGTCCCTCGCGGCGGTGATATTGAGGGTGGACCTCCTCCTAGATTATCTGCATGGGCGCTATCCGGATCGGAGGGTGCTGATCGTCTGCCACGGGGAGCTCATGTGGGCCTTCCGGCTGCGGTTCGAGAAGTTGAATCAGATCCAGTTCCGGGACATGGCCCACGTCGCGCGCCACGAGGAACGCATCCATAATGGTAGTGTGCTGCGATATACCAGAGAGGACCCGGCCACGGGCGAGCCCGCCAAATCATTCAGGTGGATGCAGCTCGCGACGCCCGGCCACGGCGACGCCATCAAACGGCAGCCGCCCTGGAAGGAGTTCCGGCCCATGTCCTACTCGAATTCGGATTTGTTGGAGCTCGTCGGGCGCTTCCCGAACATCTACCGGAGCTCGCTCGACGAGCCGGGCGCGCGGCCGCTCCAGTCTATATTACCTTCCGAGCAGGACGACACGGGCTGGCCCGGCGAGCGCGGCTAACCTAGTGTACATCATTATGCCATCGCCGGGGGATTGCTCCTGGGAAGCCTGCTAGTGCGGGGGGGGAAATAAATAAGCGTACGAGGGCGGGGGCGGGGCGGGCGTTCGGTCACGCAGCCCCCGCGGCGGCCAGGCAGCTAGGCGGCCTAGCTCGTAAGCAAGCAAATAAATAAATAAATTAATTAAGGAAGACCTAAAAAAAGGAACAAGCTCCTAAGAGCCTTCTCCCTGCTCGGTCAGGATGCCCAACCGGAAAGCGCTGAGATGTGGACCATTCAAGTTTATTTGTTGTTACCACCGCCGAGGCTTCTTCTTCTTCGGCTGTTCCGGGTCGCCGGCGAGGACCGCGCCGCCCTCGCGGAGCCGGTCCGCGCCCGCCCGGAGCTGGGCCGCGGCCGCGCGCAGCTCCGGGACGTCGTCGAAGGCGTCCGCCAGCGCCTCGCAGGTCCCGGCGACGGCGCCGAGCCCCGCGCCCGTCGCCGCCGGCGACTGCTCGTAGAGGCCCTTGCCCGTGGCGCTCAGCGCGGTCGCGACGTCGACGGCGGCGCGCGCGGCGCGCGCGGCGCCGGGGGCCTCGAGGCGGCCCAGCGACTTCGCGCACTCCGTGCCCCCGAAGTAGACGCCGGCCTCGTCGACGGCGTAGGCGGCCAGCTCGAGGCCGCCCTTGTGCCGGAACTTGGCGCCCGCGTCGGCGATCGCGCGGCCCGCGTTCTTGATGGCAACGCCGGCCACGCCGCGCGGCTGCCGGATCGCCAGGTTCGCCGCGAGGAAGTCCATGCGCTGCGCGTCGGCGAGCAGCGCGTCGCCCGCGAGCTCGATCGCCGCGCCGCCGTCCATGAGCTCGTGCTGCGCGTCGCGGAACGTGCCGCGGCAACGCACGGTCGTCCGCAAGAGGTGCTGCTCTCCCGTGAAGGCCGCCGCGGCCGCGAGGATGAGGTGCCGCCGCACACGCATCGTGGGCTAGAGGCTGCTTGCTCTACGGGATGCGTGCAACCGCTTGCCAGTGATGCACGGATGCGGCTGAAGGCTTGTTTATTGCCCGCCACACCGCTCCTCGACCTGATCGATGGACGACAAACCCCTAGCCTAGCCTAGCCTAGCTTGCCTGGACAGATGCCTAGACCTCAGCTCGGGTTCGGGTTTTACACGGCGCGCGACCCCCTAGTCGCTCCCGCTCCTCCGGGACCCATCCGTCGGGCTAGGACAGAGTAAGGTGGTCGCACGGACCTCCCTCCTTCTTCTTCTCGAAAGGGATGCCCATCACTGGGCCATCAGGACGTGGAACTGGTCACTGGCTCCTATGGCACCAGGTGCGACGCCGAGCTGGCCAGGGGAGTTTTAGACTTCGACCCGTGGCCCGCCTACGTGTCGGGCGGGGAGTCGTGAGACTTCGACCCGCGCCAGATGGCGCTCGACCCACACAGGGTGGAACGGAACTTGGAATAGATGGATGCCCCAGCTAACGGCAGTCCCCGTGAACTCGGCCCGTCCGTCGTGGGCGGCGCCGGCGCGAGCTCTCGCTTCGTCAGCTTAACCGACGGGTTTTTGCGCGCCCCACCCAAGCTCTTAGTAGAGTCTTACCCTAGCCCCTCTCTAGCCCCCCCCTTCAAACCCGTACCAGTGACAGAAGAAGTGTTACCCGGCCGGCGGCGGCGCGGCGGCGGGAGCCGGGGCGCCCCCGCGGGGCACCTCCACGCCGAGCGCCGCGCAGAGGCGCTCCATGACCGCGTCGACGCGCGCGCGGACGACGAGCGCGGCGGCCCCGTCGTGCGGCGTATCCTGCAGGTTGACGATCACGAACCTGTCGGCCAGCGCCGGCATGTCCGCCGCCGGGATGATGCGCAGCGACGTGCCCAGGGCCAGGCAGACGTCCGCGGCGCCGAACGCGCGCTCCGCGGGGCCCCACTCCGCGGGCGGCAGGCCGTCGTCCCAGTCGAGCACCGTGTCCCGCATGACGCCGCCGCACGTGCCGCACGCGTTCCCCGTCGGCTGGAACGACACGCCGCCCAAATCGACGTCGTGGAACGCCTCCGTGCCGCACGTCTCGCACTTCTCCGTGAAGACGCAGCCGTGCAGCACGCCCAGCTTGTTCCGCGGGAAGCCCGACCGGCGGTGCAGCCCGTCGACGTTCTGCGTCGCGAGGAAGTCCAGGGACCCGGCCCGCTCGAGCGCGACGAGCGCGTCGTGCGTGAACGTCGGCCGCACGGTCTCGAAGGAGGCGCCCGAGATCGACGCCAGGTCCGGCGGCCGCGCCTTTTTCCGTTTCTTCTTCTTGGCCTCGTCCTCGAGCGTCCAGATGCCCTTCGGCCCGCGGAAGTCGGGCAGCCCCGCGCTCGTCGACACGCCGGCGCCCGTCAGGACGACGACGCGCTCGGCGGCGCGCACCATGTCAATGAGTTGCGCGAGCTTGGCCTCGAGCACGGCCGGCGCGTCCTCGGTCTCGGGGAGCCCCGTCACGCCCTTGTGCTTGTAGTCGCTGAGCCGCGCCGCGTAGCCGCCGCAGGTGTTCGCCGGCGCCTCGGCCTTGCGCTTCGTGCGCGGTTTCGTCGGCGGCGGCGCCGCGCGTCGCGTGCGGCAGGCCGCGCAGGTGCGCCGTCTGAGGTCGGTGTTGACGAAGGTGCAGGAGGAGCAGGGCCAGCCGACAGCAGGGACTTCAGCCATATGACTTGAAATGGCTCGGCGGCTAGCAAATAGCAGCGCACTTGGCTAAACTAAAGTTGGTCCGGGCAAAAAAGAAATCCGTGCGATATTTAGAGTCAGCCAAAAACAAACAGGTAGCTCTACAGTCGTCTGCGGAGTTAAAAAAATCGGGTTTTACAGCCTAACCACACGACGGTTCGCGACTCGAGCGCTTCCGGCACGCGTAGTCCATCTCTGAAAGAGCCCTCGAGCCCCGGCCGCGTCGCCGAGCCGTTTGCGCGCTCAATAAAACAAACGATCATGATGACTCGCCTCCTGCCCTGCTTCACGGTCGCGGCGGTCGCCACCGCGACGGCGACGACGACGCGCGTAACGATGGACGACGAACCCGCATTCTTCGCCGCGGCGCTCGCGCGCGACGACGCGGCGGCGCGCTGGCGCGCCGAGGCGTCGGCGGCGAACGTCCGCGCGCTCGGCGTCGCTCCCAGTGGTCGTGGCAGAAGCGCACGGCGGACGTCCAGCTCTCGTTCAAGTCGGACATGTTCGCCCCGCTCTGGCTGCTGTGGCGCGACCGCGCGGCGGGGCGACGGAATGTGACGTCGGCCGTCGAGGACGGCTTCGCGTTTTCCTGGGCCGTGAGCCCCGCGCGCGCGCTCTCGGAAAAGCCGATCCTGCACATGGCCGGCGCGGCGGGCCGCTGCGGCGACCGCACGCTGGGGGCCGCGGCGGCGACGTGCGGCTTCTTCAAGAACGAGTGGGTGCTGCGGTCGCCGGTCCACGCGCTCTGCCGCGATCCCGCCGAGTTCGACTACGCGCGGCCCCGCGCGCGGGTGCAACTCTAACGCCGCGTCGACGCGAGCCTCCGCAGGTCACGGACACGTCCGCGTCGCTCTTCTACGTCGAGGTCATGCGGGACCTGATCGCGAAGGGCCTGCCGGGCGGCTTCGACGCCTGCGACGCGGCGCTCTACGCGGACGAGCCGAAGCTGATGCACAAGTACACGCGGGGCGACGGCGGCGTCGTCTACGAGTACTACGCGCGGGAGAACGCGCAGAGCGAAACGGTCTGCGGCGCGCGCTGCTTCGTGCGCGAGCGCTTCACGCACGTGAACATCACGGACGTGGCCCTCGAGGGCACGACGGAGTCGACGCGGCGCGAGGCGCCGGGCGTCGCCGAGCGCGAGGGGCCCTGCGCGGCGCTCTGTCCGGGGGGGGTGAGTCAGTAGGAACAATTATACGAGCAGCAACTTGGGGGAGGAAATAATCTCGGTCGGGCTAGGCGCTCATGCCCAGCCACGCCGCCGCGTTCTCGTCGGCGAGCGGGCCCGACGCGTCCGAGACGATCGCCGCCGCGGCGTTCACGCTGACGGGGTCCACGAGGCGCGCGTTCTGCACGCGGAGGCGCTGGACCTCGGCGCGCAGCGCGTCGTTCTCGGCCTTGAGCGACGCGTTCTCGGCCTCGAGGGCCTCGGACTTCTCGCGGCGGCGCTTCCGCGAGGCGACGGCGTGGAGGCGGTTGCGCTCCCTCCGGGCCTGGCGCTTCCGCTCCTCCTCGCTCATCTCCGGCTTCTGCTCCTCGTCGCTCACGGGCGCGGCGGCGGCCGGCGCCGCGGCCGGGGCGGCCGGCGCCGCGGGGGCGGCCGGCGCCTCGGGCAGGAGGCTCGCGAGGGACGGGGCGTCGCCCACCTGCTGCAGCGCGCGGACGGCGACCGCGGCCGGGTCGTCGACGGGTGCTTGCGTGGCGATCATTGGCCTGCGCGGGTAACGGGTGTGCGCCCGCGATGGTCTCGACGGGGTGTGTTGTTGCCACGGGCTGCATTGCGTCCATTCGATGCACAGGGCATGACGGTGGCAGTGCTACCTCTGCGTCAGTGTTGTCGCCGCGTAGGCGTACGAATCGTCTTTTTGCAGCTTGCACGAGCTGATAGATTACATGACGCGGCCATCGCACAGTTTTTGTTCGTTTTTAGTGGCCGGAATAGGCCTCCGAAGTGGCACTCACGGCGGCCACGCCAGTTTGCCTGGCTAGAGCCTGACTCGCTACTCACTCCCGCTGAGAGAGTTCCCCGAGGTGCGTCTGGGTCCACGAGGCACGCGGAGGCGCTGGACCTCGGCGCGCAGCGCGTCGTTCTCGGCCTCGGTAGAGATACCCTAGCTACATCTAGCACACCGGGCATGTAAGCTGGAGACAAAGCCGCTAGCTCAATCAGGCAGGACGATGGTTAGTCGACGGGGGAAGAGAGGGGCTAGGGATTCACGGTACGGGGCATCATGGGCCAGTCCACCACCGCGGGCACGTACGGCACGCCCTTGAGCTGCGCCAGCTTCGCGTCGACGCGGCGCGCGAGCCGGATGAGGTCCTCGACCTTCTCCCACTCGAGCACGAAGCGGTTCGACGGCGGGCACCGGCAGAGGAAGCCCGCGTGGCGCAGGCAGACCAGCTGATCGTTCGAGCAGTTGCAGCCGACGATGGACGCGTAGCACGTGTGCTTGCAGATGCAGCAGATCCGCGTGTCGTCGAAGTCCGCGTCGTCCTTGCCGCAGACGCGCGTGTTGTTGCCCGGCGGCGGCCCGACGCGGTCGGACACGTCGCGCAGGCCCTCCGTCCGATATAAATGCGGCCGCGTGCGCGCCTCCTCCTCGGCGATGCGCCAGACCTCGCCGCGGAGCGCCTCGCACGACGCAATGTCGGTGTACGTGTCGACGTTGTGCGCCAGCGTGAACATGAGGCGGTCGTGGCCGACGACGCCGAGGCGCGCGATCGTCCTATAGTGTTCGTTCGCGAGCCGCGCGTGCTGGACCCAGTCCGGCGTCGCGAAGTTCACCGCCTCCCCGATGTTAAAGCCCAGCGAGAAGCCGCCGTGGTAGGCGCGCGGGAAGGTCACGACGAACTCGCCGGGCATCTGCCGCAGCGCGTACATGGGCACGCCCCTCTTGGCGATCTCGTAGGCCGAGATCATGGTGTTGATGTTGTGCAGCGAGTCGCCCGCCGTCATGTCGCCGCCGTTCTCGTTCACCAGGGCCCGGAACGCGACCTCGAACGCGTCCGCCTTGGACCCGGGCGTGCCGTACCACTGTTTGGGGGCGCCGGCGTGGTGGTAGTTGATGCTATAAAAGTAGTTGTCCTCGTTGTGCCAGGGGAAGGTTGAGAAGAGCATGCCCAGGTAGAGCCACGGCGACGTCACGCCCGACACGGGCTCCTCGTAGTACCGCAGCACGGACCCGGGCCACCGCGCGATGTTGTTCAGGTTCCAGCCGCTCCGCGCGTAGTACTCGTAGCTGAAGGGTTCGCATCGGTCCAAATTCTCCGCGCAGAGCTCGGGTTGCGGCGGGCCGCGCGGGAAGCCGCTCCAGTACTCCGCCGCATCAACATCGTTCCCGTAGTCGACGACGACGCCGGGCGAGCCCTGGTCGCCCCGGTCCACGATGTCCCAGTAGTCCCCCTCGAGCAGGTCGTGGTCGTAGCGGCAGTCCTCGCCTTTAAAGTGCTTCGGGTGCGTCTTCCGCACCCACGACTTCGCGAAGGCGTCGGCCATCCAGGCGTACTCGCTCAGCGTGTAGCGGCCGCCGTCATCAAAGGAGTCGCCCTCCATGAGCAGGTCGACGCGCTGGCGCTTCGACCCAATTTTGGCCTTGGCCTCGAAGTCGACGTAGCAGTCCATCTCCCAGCCCTTCGGCGGGACGATGCGGACGATGCCGTAGCGCTCGCCCTCGGCGCGGATGGACGCGATGTAGACGTAGGGGTCCCGGAACTCGGCCAGCGTCGGGCGGTAGGTCTTCGTCTCGAGGACGCGGCCACCGGCGCGGCGCTTCTGCGGGGGGGCCTCCATCGCTCGCTGGGAGCGTTGCTTTTAGGCGGTCGGGGGGCCCGATATTCGGCAGCGCCCGTTTTTTTTTACGCGGGTGTCAAAATGAGCACTGGGTGCGGCACTGATTAACCCGAAACTTACTCGAGCTCGCGGAGGCCGTCGCCCACGCTTCTCGTCGTCCTAGACCTCCAACTACTCTTGGAGATCATTGGAGATCGGAAAAAAGCTACTTAGCTATAGCTACAACGCGCTGAATCCCTCGCGCTACGCAAAGAGACCAAGCTCGCAACAACGGCAGAGGGCAGGGGCGCCGCAGACCCTCACCCTCCCGTCCTCGGACTCGCCCCGGGCCGCCCGCTCCGCGTCGGCGAGCACTCCGAAGCTGCCCACGCCGTTGTGTAACAATACCATGGTGCGCCAGGCCACGAAGAAGGTCCTCGTCGGCGACGCGGCGAAGCGCTGGGCGCTGACGATGCCGCCGACGCTGGCCATGTTCAAGAGCCGCGTGCGGCAGGTCTACGGCCTCGACAGCCGGACGCCCTTCGAGATCTGGCTCCACCCGTACGCGCGCGGCGCCGCGCCGGGCCGGGGCCGCGAGCTCGTCGCGACCGAGTCGGACTACGCGTGCGTCATCGACGGCGACGTCCTCGTGCTGCGCCTCGGCGACCGCGAGGTCGCGCCGACGCCGGAGCTCGTGCGCGCCTTCGACGGCGACGTCGAGACGGTCTACGACGCGGACTACCGGAAGCCGGAGCCCGTCAAGGACCTGCGGGGGGCGTCCGTCAGTTCCTCGCGCTACCAGAACTTCCGCGACGCCATCGACGTGCCGAACCCCTACGTCACGACGTATAAGACGGCGTTCACGCCCCAGTCGCGCTTCCTCGAGGACTCGCCGCCCAAGGACAAGATGGCCGCGCACTATACGTGCCCGCACGGCGCGGCGACGACGACGTACCGCGCCATGTTCGCCGGCCGCGAGCCGCGCGACTTCCACGACTCGATCCTCGAGGAGCCGTCCATCCTCCGGCGCTTCGTGGCGCCCGCGCCGCCCGCGCGCCCGCCCACGACGTCCACGAGCCGCGCCGACTTCGTGGCCTTCCCCCAGGGGCCCAAGCGCGCGCCGGCGCCGCGCGCGCTCGGCCGGGCGCCGCCGGGCGCGCGGTGGAAGCCGAGCGAGTACCGCGCGGCCTACGCCGGGCGCGCGCCCTACGCGGCGCCGGGCCTCGGCGCCGGCATCCAGTACTCCGTCCTGGGCGACGACCTGAGCGCGGCGCCGTCGCCGCCGCGCTTCGCGACGACGACCTACCGGGGCCACTTCTCGGCGAAGCCCATGCAGGGCTCGCGCAAGATCTTCGCCGAGCCCGTTGACCGCGCCGTCGACGACGTCTCCGTCCTCTCCGGGTAGCCTCCCGCGCGGTGGCGGAATCATAAAGTTTACTTTACCGTCTTCACTCGAGCTCTGGAAGTAGCTCTGGTCCTCGTTTCGCGCGGGTTTGGTGCTCCGGCGCCTGGTAGGGCGTGCCGCGTCTTCATGACAGCATACCTCCTTCTCAGCAGAACCGCTCCGGCAAACCCCCCCCCGAACAATGTGCAACAATGGCTGTCGACGTAGAAACCCGCGAGCTCTAGAGGCTCGGGGCTCGATCGCGGTGCCAGACCTAGCGCCTAAGATACTAGCCCGTACACACCCCCGCACCGTCGCCCGCCCGTGCAAGCTCATCTTCCTTCAGCAAATACCTCCCCCGCTGCCTGGGCCCGACAAGAACGCCCCGCGCCCGCTGCCTGAGCCACCGAGGGTAACGAGCCCCGGCCGCTCGCCGCAATGCCTATGATCGCGTGCCCCTTCCCTCACATGACGCAGCACTGGGACGTGCCCCTGCCCGAGGAGCTCCCAACACCCAAGGAATGGAAAGACGCTGGTTATCCCGAGGGCATCCCCTTCGACCTCCAGGAGCTGAAGGACACGTGCAAGGAACGGAACATACCCTACGACGAACGCAGGGACGAGGAGATGTCCCTCCGAGAGAGGATCCTCCAAGACATGATCAGGCGCTACGCGCAGATCGACGGCGTGCGCTACACGAAGAAAGACAAGAAAGACAAACCGAAATGAGCGCGATGCTCGCGCAGCGCCGCCGCGCCGCCGCCGCGAAGGCCGCCGCGCTCGCGGTCAAGGCCGGCGCGAGCGCCTACGCCGTGTCGGAGAAGGGCGGCGGCCTGACGTACGGCGAGGTCGACGCCGAGGACCTGCTCAAGTGCGTCAACACGTTCTGCGCGCCGCTCCCGGACGGCGGCTTCTGGGACCTCGGCTCCGGCGCGGGCAGCGCGGCGCTCGCGGCCGCGCACGCCTTCGACGCGTTCGCCGCGGGCAGCGGCGGCGTCGAGCTGCAGCCCCGGCTCCACGGCCTCGCGGTCGAGGCCAGGGGGCGGCTCGCCGCGTGGGCCGGCGCCGACGCCGCGGGCGTGCTGGACGCGGCCCTCGCCGCCGCCGCCGCCGCCGCCGCCGCGGGCGCGGCGCTCGATCCCGACGCGACCGAGGCCGCGGTCGCGGCGATCCTGGGCCGCAGGGGCCTGAGGCACGCGCTCGCGGGCGTCGCCGCGACGTCGCTCGAGGGCTACGTCTCCGCGAAGGCGCCGTTCGCCCGCGGCGCCTTCCGCGCGGAGGCCGGCGCGTGGACGCGCCTGGACGGCGCCGCGGACGCGGACGCGGCGCGCGCGGACGCGCGCGGCCGGCAGGCCCGGCGGGCGCTGGACGAGCTGCGCGCGGGCGAAGAGCCGGCCGTCGAGTTCGTCGAGGGCGACCTGTTCGGCGCGGCGGCGGTCGCGCGGTGGCGCGGCGCGGCCGTCGTCCTGGCGAACGTGCTGCTGTTCGGCGCCGCCGACAAGGCGCGGCTCGCGGCGCTCCTCGGGGAGGCGCTGCGCCCGGGCGCCTGGGTGCTCTCGACGGCGCCGCTCGCCGACGCGCGGCTCGCGCGGCGCCAGGAGGGCGTCCACGTGAAGACGTCCTGGACGGGCGGCGCGAAGGTCGACGTGTATCAGGTCGTAGGAGCACCCTAATTCTCCATCCATCCCCAAGGTGCTAGCCCCAAAACCGAGTAACAGCTACTACCCTATAGACCTAGCGCGCGCTTCTACGACCGGCAGCAAGCCTACGTACACGCTCGCGGGGGATAGCTCCCCCGACACCCCTCCCTAGGCGCGTGCCCCAAAACCCGAATTGACTGCAGCTATTTCATAGAGCTAGGAGCCAGTCTGAGGAGATACCGTCCCCGGGGCGCGGCTTCAAGGGCTCCCGCGCGAAGGAAGGAACAATGAGAGAGAGAGAGATGGGGCTAGCGCCTGTACTTCAGGTAAGACACTAGGGATGCCTACCCGCAAAAGAGCATGGGGATGCGAGGGCGGCACAGTGACCTGTTGCTGAGCATCGGCCTCCCCAGCGCTCGCCGTTTTCGAATTCGAAGCGTTTGACAGCAGGCGTGAAAGAAGAAAAAAGTGCTAGCACGGCATGGCGGCGCCGCCCTCGCTCGCGGCGCGGCGCGCGCACGACCGCGTGGCGCAGGACGCCGGCCTCGCCGAGGAGCTGGCCACGGAGCTGGCCCGCGCGCTGCAGCTGCCGGGCACGAACCGCACGCTGGGCCGGACCTTCGTGCGCTACGGCCTCGCCGCGCTCAAGGAGCCGACGGAGGAGCGGGCGGAGCAGGCGTTCCTGGCCAAGGCCAAGTCCCTGGCGTCGATCCGCCCGGAGCTCGCGTCGCAGCTCCTGCACCGCGTCCGCGAGCGGCTCCGGAACGCGACGCTGCAGCTCGCGGCCGAGCGCGACGAGGCCGCCGCCGCGGCCCGGGGCGGGGCCGGGGCGCCGATCCTGGGCTTCTCGCGCGCGACGGCCGAGACGCTCCGGAGCACGGCCTCGAACAAGGCCGGCGGCCTCGTCCAGGGCGCCCGGCCGACGTTCCGCCGGCCCGCCGCGCCCGCGCTGGGCCTGCAGGCGCTCGCGCAGGCGAAGCGCGCGGCGAAGGCCGAGCGGGACGGCGGGGCCGCGCCGGCGGCGGCGCGGCCGCGGCGGTCGGGCCTCGGCGTCGACGCGGAGGCGTGGGAGCGGCCCGTGCGCCTCGACTCGGCGCAGACCACGGCGCACGAGACGTTCTGGGGCCGCGCGGCGGCCGCGGCGGCGCCGGACGCGGCGCCGGACGCGGAGCGGCCGCCGCCGCCGCCGACGCCGCCGCCCGAGAGCTGGCGCGACCACGCGTCGAGCGGCGAGGAGGAGGAAGCCGACGGCGACGCCGCCGGGTCCGAGACGCATGATAGGCCCCGGCGCCGGCGGGAGGAGGCCGACGCGGATTTTGATAGGCGCTACTACGACGACGACGACGGCGCGGCCGCCGACGAGGCCTTCGTGGGCGACCGGGAGAAGTGGCAGGCGCGCGAGCAGGAGATGGCCCGGGCCCGGGCCAAGGGCGAGGGCGCGGAGAAGCTCGCGGGCATGAGCGCGCGGCGGTCGCAGCTGCACCAGGACCAGGCGGCGTGGGAGGAGAACCGGCTCGTGACGTCGGGCGTCGCGGCGGAGCGCGAGGCCGAGCTGACCTTCGATGACGACGGGGCCCAGCGCGTGACGCTGCTCGTGCACCAGCTCCGGCCGCCGTTCCTCGACGGGCGCGTCCAGTTCACGGTGCAGAGCGACGTCGTGCCGACGGTCAAGGACCCGACGAGCGACATGGCGACGAACGCGCGGAACGGGTCGGCCCTGCTGCGGCAGATGCGCGAGGCGCGCGACCGGCAGAAGATGCGCCACCGGTTCTGGGAGCTCGGGGGCTCGCGCATGGGCAAGGCGCTGGGGGTTGATGATGAGAAGAAGGAGGACGACGCGGCGCCGCAGGAAAAAGAAGAAGAGACCTTCGACTACCGGGAGTCGTCGTCCTACGCGAAGAACGTGAGCGAGGGCAGCTCGCTCGCGACGAACGCGAGGGCGTCGGAGTTCACGGCGCGCAAGTCGGTAGCGGAGCAGCGGCGCGCGCTGCCGGCCTTCTCCGTGCGCGACGACGTCCTGACCGTGGTCAGGGACAACCAGGTCGTGATCGTGGTCGGCGAGACCGGAAGCGGCAAGACGACGCAGCTCACGCAGTACGTGAGAGAGGACGGCTTCTGCGAGGACGGCTGTGTGGCGTGCACGCAGCCGAGAAGGGTCGCGGCGATGAGCGTCGCGGCGCGCGTCGCGCAGGAGGTCGGCTGCGAGCTGGGCGACGAGGTCGGCTACGCGATTAGATTTGAAGACGTCACGTCCGACAAAACCCAAATCAAGTACATGACCGACGGCGTGCTGCTGAGGGAGTCGCTGCGGGACCCGGACCTCGAAAAGTATAGTGTGGTGATCATGGACGAGGCGCACGAGCGGTCGTTGCATACAGATGTACTATTTGGGCTCCTGAAGGGCGTATTATCGCGGCGGCGCGACCTGCGGCTGGTCGTGACGTCGGCGACGCTGAACGCCGAGAAATTCTCCAGTTTCTTCGGCGGCGCCGCGCCAATCTTCCGCATTCCGGGCCGGACGTTCCCGGTCGAGAAGTACTTCGCGAAGTCGCCCTGCGAGGACCACGTCGACGGGGCGGTGAAGCAGGCCCTGGCCATCCATTTGTCCTACCCGCCGGGCGACATCCTCGTGTTCATGACGGGCCAGGAGGACGTCGAGGCGACTTGTGCTGCCATAGCGGAGCGCTTAGGTACACTAGGAGACGGCGTGCCCCCCCTCCTCCTACTCCCCATGTACTCGCAGCTGCCGGCGGACCTCCAGGCGAAGATTTTTGAGTGTGCCGAGCAGAACCAGCGGAAGTGCGTCGTCTCCACGAACGTCGCGGAGACGTCGCTGACCGTCGACGGCATTAAATATGTTGTGGATTGTGGGTACTGCAAGCTCAAGGTCTACAACCCGCGCGTGGGCATGGACGCGCTGCACGTGACGCCGGTGTCGCGCGCGAACGCGGGCCAGCGCGCGGGCCGCGCGGGCCGGACGGGGCCGGGCTTTTGTTATCGCCTGTACACGGAGCGGCAGTTCCGGGACGAGCTGCTGGAGACGCAGGTGCCCGAGATCCAGCGGACGAACTTGGGTAATGTGGTCTTGCTGCTCAAGTCGCTCGGCGTCGAGAACCTGCTGGACTTCGCGTTCATGGACGCGCCGCCCCAGGAGAACATTCTGAACAGCATGTACCAGCTCTGGGTGCTCGGGGCGCTCGATAATGGGGGGGGGCTGTCCGAGCTGGGCCGGAAGATGGCCGAGTTCCCGCTCGACCCGCCGCTCGCGAAGATGCTCCTCTTCGCCGAGGCCTTGGCGTGCACGTCCGAGGTGCTGACCGTCGTGTCCTGCCTGAGCGTGCCGGCCCTCTTCTTCCGGCCCAAGGACCGCGAGGCGGAGTCGGACGCCGCGCGCGAGAAGTTCTTCGTGCCCGAGTCGGACCACCTTACCCTGTTAAATGTGTATGAGCAGTGGGCGGCGCGGCGCTTCGACAAGGCCTGGTGCGACCGGCACTACGTGCACCACAAGGGCCTCCGGAAGGCGCGCGAGGTCCGCGGCCAGCTCGAGGACCTCATGGACCAGCAGCGCGTCCCCGTGACGAGCTGCGGCGAGGGCGCCTGGGACGCGGTCCGCCGGGCGATCTGCTCGGCCTACTTCTTCAACGCGGCCAAGCTCAGGGGCGTCGGCGAGTACGTGAACCTCCTGAGCGCGATCCCGTGCCACCTGCACCCGTCGTCCGCGCTCTTCGGGCTGGGCTACACGCCGGACCACGTGATCTACCACGAGCTGGTGCTGACGTCGCGGGAGTACATGAAGTGCACGACGGCCGTCGACGGCGAGTGGCTCGCCGAGCTCGGGCCCATGTTCTTCTCGGTGAAGCAGAGCTACGCGGACCGCGTCGCGAAGCGGAAGCGGGAGCGCACCGAGGCGGACGCGATGGAGGCGGACTTCGAGGACGTCCGGCGGCTGCGCGACCTCGACGCGCGCCGCGAGGCGCGCGCCGCGGCGGCGACGCCGCGGCCGGGCACGCGCATCTGCACGCCGGGCCTCGGCCGGCGGCCGCCGCGCGCGCGGCCGCCCGTGCCGCGGGGCGGCAAGTAAGCGTGTTGTGCGATACTAGTAGGGACGGACACGTGCGACAAAAGGACGTTGTAGGCAGGGGGGCTCCCGCGCGCGCGGGAGGGTCCAGGGGGGGCGACAGGCCTCGCGTGGAGGGGGGGGGCGCTCGCGCTCACTCGGAGTCCGAGCCGTCGTGGTCGCTGTCGTGGTAGCGGTTCGTGCGGTGGCCGAGCGTGCCCATGATGCCGTTCACGGCGGCGCCGGCCGAGCGCGCGACGAACGCGCGGAACCGGCTCGCCCGGACCTGCGCGATCGCCGCGAGGGCGGCCGGCGACGGCTGCGGCGGCGCGGCGGCGACGTCGCCGTGGCCGAGGAAGGAGACGACGTGCTCCGCGACGACGTGCCAGGGCACGCGCGCGACCGGCAGGCGCTGGCGGCCGGCCGCGCGCCGGAGCGTCGCCAGGGCGACGTGGAACTCCGCGCCGAAGAGGTGCGGCGCGTCGCGCCAACGCGGGCCGACGAGGCGGACGGCCGGCCGCGGCGCGGGCGCGGGCGCGGGCGCCGCCGCGTCGCGCGTCACGTCGTCGGCCGCGTCGGCCGCGGCCGCCTCCTCCTCGTCCTCGTCCTCCTCCTCCGAGTCCGAGTCCGCGTACGCGTACGCGTACTCGCCGTCGTCGTCGCCGTCGTCGTCGCCGTCGTCGTCGCCGGCGGGGCGGACGAGGTTCGAGAACTGCACGGGCAGGAGGTCGTCGAGTTCGAACTCGTCGAAGCCCTCGAGCGCGTGCAGGCGCGTCACGCGCAGCAGGGCCTGGGGCAGGCCCCAGGGCGGCCGCGGCTCGAAGTCGTCCTCGAAGGGCCCCACGAGGCGGCCGTCGGGCTTGAAGAGGCGCCCGAAGCGGCGCGCGTCGCCGTGGCGCGCGCCGGCGCCCACGTAGATGCGGTCGAACTTCATCGACAGGTCCAGGTCCACGTCGAAGGCCGAGGCGCAGACGACCTGCACGTCCCGCAGCGCCGGCACGGGCCCGCGGCCCAGCGCCGCGAGCGTCGCGCGCGACCGCGCGGCCAGCGCCGCGTCGAGCTCGACGCAGACGTGGACGCAGCCCTCGCCCAGCAGCGCCGCGGCCAGCGCCGAGAGGTAGCCGCTGCCCGACCCGAGGTTCAGGAAGCTCAGCTGCCGGCGCCAGCGCGAGACCTCGTCGAGGCCCAGCGCCTCGAGGGCCGCCGCGTAGATCGACGGCGCCGAGAGGTGCACCACGCAGCCGCTCGCGGCCTCCGCCGCGCGGAGCGGCGCGTCGTCGAAGGCGCGGTCGTCGTGGCCGGCGGGCGCGAACGCGGCGCGGTCGACCTGTGTGGAAATCAACCGGTGCGTCGGGGGCACCCGATAATTCTTCGCTACGTCATGCCAAAGCGATGAAAGGGCGTGCTGACCGAATCGAGTGGTGAGCGACCCGCACCGCCACGCCGTCGAGCGGGCGTCGCGTCGCCGGCGAGGCCGACGCGACGATTCAGCACGAACGCGCCGTAAAATTTTGATTTCCACGCAGCGGTCGGACGCGCGCGAAGGCGGCCGCGACCGCCGGCGTGCTGACGGCCCCACGCGCGACGAGGCGCCGCGCCATGGCCTGGGCCCGCGCCGCCGGGTTCGCCCCGAGGCGCTCGCGGTCGATCGCGCGCAGCGCCGCCGCCTCGTCGGCCTCGCGCGCGGCGTCTTGGTCCATGGGTTGAGCTGGTTTTTTGAGACTCGCGAGCTGCCGGTGGGCCTCTGCGTGGATTTTGGGGGGGTCGTTGGGGCCCAGGCGTGTCCACGCACCTACTATTCTGGCACCCGGACCGGCTTAACGACGGCCGTTAAGGACGTAAAAAACACCTCAACTCAGCCTTACGCGGTCTAACTTATCACCGAGGCGGATCCGCTGCGAGAACCCAAACCAAGGTGCGGAGAGCACCGATATATTGGCTCTCGAAGGGGGACTCTAGAGTGGGTTGCGGATTTCAGTCGGAAACCTGAAACTTCCGGACTTCCAAAGCCGGAAACCTGAAACCTCCGGCGAGAATCGGGCCGCAACCACCCGCGCACCATCTTTTTTTCTAGTGTGTCGATACGCTAGATCACCAGGTCTTGCGGCTCGCCAAAGTACACCAGCGTTTGACGCCGCCATCTACTACCCAAATAGTACATCATATCAACTCCAGTCCAGTTTTTATACATGTCCGACGGAACCGGAGCCGACGGCCCGCGCTCGGAGGGCCGGAAAAGAATTCTACTAGACAACTCCCGAGTTTATGTTCGTTTCCTTCTATTTGTTAGGGGTAGAGTCCATCTAGGCCAATAGAGCACCTAACTAGCATGATCATATGCTCCATTTTCTCCGCGCGATTCGGCAACTCCGCGAGCCCACGATGGCGTAAAGGGGGAGCCAAAACCTGAACCCGCGAGTATCAGCGACGCCACCACCCAGATGGACCATAAAGCCGTTGTTCTATTCACAATCGACCGACTTGCCCGTTCTCCGTGGACGACGGTGCGTTGACGGAGCACCAGAAAGGCCCCAGACCGGTGTTTTATAAAATAAATTCGCGTTTCCGCCGCTTCGGGTGTGGGACGGGCCTGCGCGCACGGCTGAACGGCTACTACATTTCATTAACGGTTCCGTACACTCTTGGCGGCTCGGCCATCTCGCGAGACCACGATCTCGTCTAAATGGGGCGCAATACCAGACCTGCGACCATCAGCCCGTGTACCATCACCATGGACCTTGACGCGATCATTTGTTCCATGATCGACGGACTTACGCGAGGTCCAGATAAAGATGTTCACGTCCCGAGCGTGGGCAGCCAAAAGTACCCTTCTCGTAATGTAGATGGCATATACTCGTAATTGACTATCGTTGGGGTAGTATAGGGTCCAACGAGACCGCTACGGCGACTACTGGGGGCCCTCAGGTAATTGGCGTTTTTGCCGGGAACGAGGTGCCATCGGGTCCAAATTGCACACTTTTTTCGGGGGTAGATCGGCTCCTGGAGGGCTCTCGGGGTAGGTCTGGTGTTGGGTAAGCGCCTGCACCGCTTACGCCATCGATGCAGCAGCCTAGAGGTCTCGGAACCCAGACCTGCCCTCCTTCCTTATGACCTACGCAACCGCAGGAACCTAGCCCGGGGCGGGTACTCCTCGAGTCCAGTGCTTGACTTGCAAGGGCAAGCCCGGCGCCGGCACTCCTTTCCCTAAACTTGCTAAAGCTCCTTTGTCTGCTGAGAGAATTGGCCAAAATATGCTTGAAGCGGCGGCGTGTGCGGTGTAGGCGCTTGCGCGCGACCACTGCCGACCCAAAGCGACCCCAGGGAGACCTCCGCGCCACGAACCGACAGGATTCCACTGGCGCGGCCGCCATGGCGGGACCGTCAATATCGCGAATTAAAAAAATTATTTTTTTCGCCTCCCAGTAAGTGTCCCATTGATCTCTTTGGACCAGTATCGAACCGAACGATACTCAAACGACTGCATGGCGCATCTCGGAGTTCCTCGCGGAATCCGCGCCTACCGGGCGCGGACGGGAGCTGGGGCCCGCAACCTGAAACCTCGGGCGCCCGTTTCCGTGAACCGGAAACCTGAAACCTCCCACAACTCGGAGGCGGAAACCTGCAACCTGCAACCCACGTCCCCCCCCTTCTCTCGTTAGGGACTGACGCGGAGGTGAGGGCTCCTGGCGGAGGGCTACGACGGAGGAGTCCACACACTACACTTACGCCACAAGCCGCACGTGGGCCGAGCAGCCGTCGCACGGCACGAGGTCGCCGTCGGCGCAGGGCTCGTCGTCGAAAATTTCAAAGGCGCCGCCGCAGCGGCACGGGTAGCTCCGCGCGCCGGCGCCGCCCGCCGCGAAGGCGCGCAGGGGCACGTCCATCCACACGACCGCGCGCGCCGCGGGCGCCCGCGCCGCGTCGTGCGCCGCGCGCGCCTCCGGCGACCCGAGCGCGGCCCAGGCCGCCTGGAGCCGCGCGAACGCCGCCGCCGCCGACGGGTCCTTGTCGGGGTGCAGCCGGAGGGCCAGCCGCCGGTACGCGCGGCGCAGCGCCGCCGCGTCGGCGTCGGGCGCCAGGCCGAGAACAGCGTAGGGATCGTCCCCGGCGTCCATTACCCTGACCCGCGACGCGGGCTTAATTCGCAGGACTGCGCCGCACGTGCGTCGATACGTCGGCAGTACAAGACAGCTCTCCTGTAAGTTGACCAGTCCGCCGTCCGCCGGCCGGGTATTCCGTTGCGCGATTTAGTTCGGCATCGCTTCTCGCCAGTCGCTTTAGACAGCTGTCCATCCAAGCATAGAGGACGTGGTCGAGGAGCAGCCCGGAGCTAGCGGTCTGAGATACTAGCAAGCCGGACGGGGAGCGGAGGGGTACGGGGAACCCTGCGACGTAACTAGCCTCAGCCTCAGCCTCGGACGGGTGGGCCCGGGGGGAGCGGGAGGGGTACGGGGGACCCTACGACGTAACTAGCCTGAGCCTGAGCCATTTCGAGACTCGTACGCAAGACGCGGCCGGCGCGCCGCAAGTAAGGACGAGGACATCGCACGGCTCGTCATCGATAAGACAAGATAAGTGCTAGTCCCAACTTATCCTACTTCCATCGCGGGTCCGCCCGACGCGGACTACCTCTGCAGTGGCAGCCCTCGATGCGCCATGACCTTTTCAGGACGGCGCGGCCCGCGTCGAGCAGCGCGAGCCGCATGATGATCATGATCTGCCTGACGCCGTGTCGCCGCCGGTCGAGCCGAGAGCCGCCTATCGATGGCCGCATCTAAATCATAAATCCGAAGCGCTCGCACGTCGCGTTGCCCTTCCGTGGAGATCAGATTCAGATCAGATCACCCGGGTCTCTGGCAAGAACGTATGCCCGGCCTTGCCGAAGAGCCCCGACGCGCTCGCACCGGTCACCGTAGAGGTGGTTCGCCCACAATGAAGCGTGCAGCAGAGCGTAGCTCTGGACAGGCTAGTATCAGATGATACACGCCAACTACCGACCAACACTCAACCTCGACCACTTTTCGACGGCCACGTGATCACCCGGTTATCAGGTAAATTACTTCACCCAAGAGGACGCGTAGTCCAGCGGCGTGAATCACGGACGGACATACTAAGGGATCGTGGGTCGTGTGGCGGCGCCGCCGTGTCGTCCTTGCATGCGGCGACGTAGTGCGTAGCCGCTCGTCGTCGAGCCGTCACAGTTCTCGTGACACCCTTACACGTAGATGAGCCGGCGCCCGCAGCTCTTGTTGGCGTCGATTTTTTTTTTTTTTTCCTTTGCGGCCGCACTCGTGCGGCCTGCAGCGCTATCACGGCGCCGTGTCTTTTTTTCTTTTGGCCCATGGCGAACTGGTACGCTATAGCTGAAACGCAGCGCGGTGCGTCAGCGGCTTCGCAGAGCGATGACGTCCGAGCGATGGTGTGTGACACAGCGCTCCAAATACACGAGTGGTGATTAGCGCGGCGGCGGGAGGCGGCAGCAGGTTTCCTGAACGTGGCTTGGAAGCGGGCCGCCTTGCTACGCATCGCTGCAATCAAGCAACGCGAGGAGACGCCTAAAACCTCGTCACGTGAAAACCAACCCGAACCAAATCAGGATCGACGGCAAGAGCCGAAGCAGACGAGGCAATACGTGAGCTCCTGTGTCCAAATTATCCGTGCGGGCAGTTATTTGGCAACATCTGCAGCGGTGGAACGGCCGGCGCTGCTCGAAATCGCCAGTTCGACGCGGCTTTGGCTTGTTTTGTGATTTGGAGCTCCGTCTGACGGGAGGCGCGGTCGACGACCGGCCGGCTGGCGCTGCCTCGTGCCGCCGCCCTCGCGCGCGGGGGGAGGAGGAGAGCAGCAGCCGCCGGGGGCGCGCGAGAGAAAACGGGGACGCCGCGCGCAGGTCGAGATGGCCCGGAGTCTGGCCCTGTGCCTCGCGGGCGCGGCGGCGCTGCAGGCGCCCGCGCCGCGGCCGGCGCGGACCGCGCTCGGCTCGACGGAGATCGGCGTCGGCCCGGAGACGGGCGGCGTCATGTGGGACCCCGCGGGCTTCGGCAAGCTCGCGTCGCCGACGACCATGAAGTGGTTCCGCGCGTCCGAGCTCAAGCACGGCCGCGTGGCCATGCTCGCGACGCTGGGCTGGGCCGTGCAGTCGAACGGCGGCGGCGTCATCCCCTTCCCGCTCGAGTCGGGCCTCGCGCCGCTGTCGACCAAGCCCCTCGAGGCGAACGCCCAGCTCTGGGGCATGGCGAGCGGCATGGGCTTCCTGCAGATCATCCTGACGTGCGGCGTCATCGAGCTCGTCACGGAGTCGACGGGCACGCACTACATGTCGGCCGGCGGCAACGGCTACATCGACATCTTCGGCTACTCCAAGTCCGGCGAGGACCTCACGGAGCTGCAGACGCAGGAGCTCAAGAACGGCCGGCTCGCGATGATCGGGATCGCGTCCTTCTTCTCCGCGTGCCTCGTCCCCGACAGCGTGCCCGGCTACCCGTGGCCCGTGTAGGGGCCTAAGCCGGCGCCGGAGGGTATCTCCCCGTGTTTCCGCGGGCTGCGCGCGCGAGGAGGCGTCGCCGGCTTAGGCCTAGTCCCCCTTCTCGCGCTTCGCCTGGTACCGCGCGAGCGCGTCGCGCCGCCGGGATCGCGGGAAGAGGACCTCGTGCGCGTTGCGGAGGGCGCCGAGGTCGTAGACGTTCGCGGCCGGCGCCGCGCCGCCCCGGGCCCGCCGGCGCCACTTGTAGTGCTCGTTCGTCGTGCGGCCGCGCCAGACCAGCCGGAGGTGGTAGCCGAGGAAGCCCGCGACGACGGCGCCGAGGACCGCGCACGCCAGGAGCAGCGCGCACAGCAGGCGCTCCGTGTGGAGCAGGTAGTGGACGACGACGCCGCGCGTCGCGGCGACGGGCGCGTCGCCGAGGTAGAACGTCGCGCGCATCAGCTGCTTCGCGTCGACGACGTCCCGCAGGAGCAGGGCGGCGCAGGCCGCGCCGTAGGCCAGGAGCAGCGCGTGGCTCGCGAGGAACAGCAGGAACCACCGGTAGTTCTCCTCGCCCACCGCGTTGTTCACCCAGGGGCAGAAGTGGTCGAAGCGCGCGACGACGCGCCGCGTCGTGCGGCAGAACTTGGCGCGCGCCGGCTTGGGGACGCCGGTCGTCGGGCACGTCCCGCCCGCCTCGTAGAGGCAGCCGTCGTACGCGTAGTTGTCGTGCTTCGCGAACGTCGCGGCGTCGACGACGTAGCCCGGCGGCGCGGTGCACGCCTTGGCCCAGGTCCCCAGGCAGAACAGCACGAGCGCCAGCGCGGCCGGCCGGTGGTGCGGCCCGAGCGCGGCGCAGGGCACGCGCGGGTACATGTCGGCGACCGCGAGGCCGTAGCCGCCGCCGACCAGGAGCAGGTACAGGAGCTGCAGCACGGGGTTCGGCTCGTCGCACAGGTACGCGGCGCAGCGCGCGCCCCGGCGCGCGCCGACGCAGGCCCGCAGGAGCCGCTCCGGCGCGTCGAAGAGCCAGTTCGCGATCTCCGCGAGGCGCCCGTCGCCCTCCGGCTCGACGCATGCCACGAGGAACAGCGCCGCGGCCGCTGAGCCATAGCTCGCGAGCAGGCCGGCCTGCAGGAGCGCGAGCCACATGCGCTGCGGTTTTATGGCAGGAGTGGCAAGTTGTTGCGAGTAACTATCCACTCATGCGCTTCTGATGTGCTTGCTTGCGAGTGCTTACAGGCCGCTCTCCACACTCTCGCTGCCGTGATCGGCGCCGGCATCGCGTACGCCTGCCTCAAGGAGTGAGCGGCCGTTCTCCCACTGGCAAGTCCCGACGCGACTTGGCGATTTCCCCCTCCCACAAGTCTATCCGCCTGGATAAGATACACTACTTATTAAAGCGACCGTTTCCCCAGAGCGATCGTTTGCCTGAGCAGGGCGCTCATCTCCTTTTTGTAAGAAACCGTCAATGCAAACATGAGCGACGACTTGCTCCCGGGCGGCCAAATAAGATCCCTCAGGAACCATGCGGAAAGTGCCTGTCCTAACTGAGCGATTTTTTGCTTTTTCCTCAAAATTTTATCTCCAATACCGTATAAGACTCTGACGCGTTCGAGCCATGTACACGCGGCGGACGCCGTCGATTTTGCCGTGGTACCAGCGCTCTTCCCCGGGCCAAAACAGCTTGACGCGCGATCCGACGCGCTCGTCGACTGGTGCGGGTAGTAGGTACGCTACGGTATGTGTCGCCACGCTAGCTCTGTATAAGCACAGAGCGTGATACTCCCTTCGTCAAGGTTAGAGTTACACTACGGCCCTCACCGATAGAGGTTGAATGGTTTCTGAACGCTGCGCAACCTCGCGTGCGCTCCTCGGCTGCCGCACAGAGCAAGCTCTCTTAGCAAGGCTGTGATCGGCGGCGAGACCCGCGGCCAGCACTTGCGCAATATAAGAGGCCTAGCGACGTGTAAGACACTAGGAAGTACGGGGGAACCCCGCGACGTAACTAGCTGAGCCTGAGTATGAAAGACGCGGCACGCGCCCGCCGCGTCGGCGACGCCCCCGGGGTGTCTGCCCCCCAGGGGCTCCACCCACTAGGCCTAGCACCGTAACAAAAAACTCTTGAGGGGCGCCCGGCAAGTCTTCATTCGCAACCGCTAGTAGTGGGCGAGGGGGGGGTGTGCACACACTAGTAGTAACTGGCCATGCTGCCCTATGGCTCCTGGGGGCCCGGCCCCCGGCGCCGCGTCCGACTCAGCATGACAGCATCGAACGCGCCGAACTCCGAGTCGTTCCCCAATCTTGAAGCCCGCATTGTTTAGTATTGGGGGGGGGGCGTCACGCGACCGCCAGCGGCGCGGCGCCCTCTAGGAAGACACACTCGGCGCCGCCGGCGCCGAAGCCGCCGTCGCGCGAAAGGTAGTACGGCGACGGCGGCGGCGGCGCGGCCGCGGGCGGCGGCGGCGGCAGCCCCGCGTCGTGCGACGTGCGCGCGTCAGTCGGCGCCGCGAGGAAGACGGCGCCGTCGCAGAACGCGGCGACGCGGTGGGCGTGCACGGGCGCGCGGGCGAACTCGAGGTCGCGCGTCGCGGCCGGCGGCGGCGGGTACGCCGCCCACCCGGGGCGCGGGCGCGCGACGCGGACCTCGTAGACGCCCGACGACGCGGCCGACGCGTCGTCGGCCGGCGCGCGCGACGCCTGCCGGCGCGCGCACGACGCGGCGCAGCGCGCGGCCTTCTCGGCGGCGGCGGCGGCGCGCTTGGCCGCGCAGACGGCCTCGTCGACGCGGCCGGAGGCCGCGGCGTCGGCCGACGGGTCCACAGGCGGCGCAACCGGGTCCAGGAGTGCGGCGGCGGGGGGGGGCGCGGCGGCCGACGGCGCGGCGGCCGCGGCCGGCCGCCGCGCGCGCTGGGCGGCGACGGGCGCGGCGGTCGCCGCGCCGACCGCCGGCGCGGCGCCGGCGCGGGCCGAGGCGGCGGGCCGCGGGGCGCGGCTCCGGGCGGCGCGTTTCGGCCCAGGCGCGAACGGTGCGGCGGCGGCGGCGGCGCGGGCAGCCGGCGGCGCCGCCGCGGCGTCTCCGTGGTAGCCGCCTCGCTAACGCCTCAGTGGCACGGCGTAGTAGGCGGCGTCGCCGCGCGCGGCGGAGGCCGCCGCCGCCCTTTCCGCCTTTTCCGCGCGGCGCGCGTCACGGCGCTTCGGCGGCAGCGCGCCGCCGCCGCGGTCCGCCGCGCCGCGCGCGCGCGCGTCGGCGGCGTTCTTGGCGTCCCTGGCTTCGTCGAGAACGGCGAGGTGCCGGTCCGCGTCCCAGCCGGCGACCGCGTCCGAGATCCGGCGCGCGTCGCCGCCGAGCTTGGCGCGGTGCGAGCGCGCGGCGGCCGCCAGGCCGAGGGGCGCCTCGAGCGCGAGGCGGTTGAGGCGCTCGTAGCCGTCGCACAGCTCGCGGAGCCGCGCCTCCAACTCGGCGGCGCGCGCCGCCGCGCAATCACTCATGTCTCGGAGGTCCGGGCCCGCGGCGTCGACGGCCGGTGCGCCGTCCCCAGCCGGCGCGGGCGCCGCCGGCGCGGGCGCCGTGGCCGGCGGGGACCGCCCCTGGCGCGTGAGGCGCACTTTCGGCGTCTTGCGCGGGACCGCCGCCCGCGCGCGCTCGCCCATAGTTCGCGCGCTGGCAACGGCCGGTGCTCGCAGCTGCCCCTGATATCTCGGCGTATCCAGGCCGGGGGGCAGTCACTCGGCCAAAGGACGCGCGTGCTGTGTGCGGCGCGCGGCGTGCGGCGCGCCTTTTGCAAATCGTTGCAGCAGGCGAACGTTACAAACTTTTAAACCTTGGGACCCCCCCCACGTGGAACGCACCAGAAAGCAACAGGACTGCTCCGTGATAGCTGCCTACCTACGGCGCGCGACGGCGCACCCGGCCAGCATCGCTGCCAGCAGTACGAGGGCGGCGGCGCCGACGACGTCGCCCGGCCAGTCGTCCTGGACCGCGAGCTCGTCGTCTTCGTCCGCGGTGAGCTCCGAGGCGTCGTCGTCCTCCGCGGCCGGACGCACGTCGAGGTATATATACTCGTCGCGGAACACGGTGCCGCAGTAGCGCGCCGGCGCGTCCGGGTCGCGCTCAGCCGCGAGGCCCGCAACGAGCCAGTCCGTGTCGTCGAACGCGCCTAGGCGCAGGCGCAGGTCCTGCGCCGCGGTGAAGGAGCCGTAGCGCCGGAGCACGTGAACCGTGCGCAATGCCTCGTCGGCGCGGACGACGACGTACTCCGCGGGGAGGCGCGGGCGCAGCTCGTCGCGCTCCGCGGTGACAGCGAGGAGTCGCTCCCGCAGGACGTCGCGCTCCGCGGTGACCGCGAGGAGTCGCTCCCGCAGGGCGTCGCGCTCCGCGGCGAGCTCGGAGAGTGCCGGGGCCGGCTGCGTCGTCGTCGCGGGAGGCGCGACGACGACGACGTCGCCGTGGAGGTCGTCAGTGCCTAGGTCCGACCAGGAGGTGGTGTCCTCAGGAGAGGCGTTTGTTTCCTGGGCCTGGTGCTGTCCATGACCCGCCCCCGCTGTGACCGCCTGCGCCTCCGCGCCTTCCGTTGGGGCATCCCCTAAAATATGCGCCGCCGTGGGAGCCGCCTCGCTGCCGTCCAAGTTCATCTCGCTCATGCTTTTGCGTGCGCCGCCTGTATGACCCTTTTTGCCTTTTGTGAAGGTCAAATTGCTTCACACGCCCGACCCGCCCAGACCCAGCCAGGGAGCGGTCTCTGGACGTGTGAAGCGAATCACAAGAACGAATCAGAATCCTTTTAGTAAAGGAACGGACCGTTGATGTAGCGTCCGCAGCGCACTTGGCGAGTGTGCCGCGGCAAAAAAAGGAGGCCAGAGCAGACCGCTGTGCGCATTGCCCGGCGCAGGACCCGCCCACAGCGGCCGGCGCACTGTACCTGCACCGCGACAGGTGGCCGCGGCTGCTTCCAGAGGTGGACCTGAGTAAGCGGAGAGCCTGAGCAAGCGATTTGCGCGGAGAGATGCTGGGCCTCTTCGGAAAAAAAAAGGAGCCCGAGACGCTCCTCAAGAAGGAAAAGGACCGGTACGGCGGCTCGGGCTTCGACCCGACGGGCCTCGAGCGCGCGGCCAAGGCCGCGCGCGAGATCGACGCGTCGGCGCACGCGCGCCTGGCGTTCGACGTGATCCAGGCGCGCGAGGCGACGAAGCGCCTGGAGCACGGCACGCGCCAGGCGGCCTACGAGATGCGGGCGCGCGAGTACGAGATGCAGTCGGTCGGGAAGGAGGGCGCCGAGGCGCGGCAGACGCTCGCCGCGCAGACGGACCACGCGAACCGCCAGGCCGAGTACGCGGACCAGCTGGAGCGGCGGCGCTACGCGGCGAACCTCGGGGCCCAGCGCGACGCGCGCGCGGCGGAGCTCCAGCGCCACGAGGCGTCGCTCGCGCGCCAGGAGGAGCTCCGGCGGCGGACGCTGCGCTACGAGGCGGAGCTGCGCGAGAAGACGGAGCTGAAGCGGGCCGAGGCCGAGGCGACGGCGCGCGCGCGCGCGGAGCGCGAGACGCACGACCTGAGCCTGGCGCGCATGCGCGCCGAGGCCGCCGAGCGGCGCGAGACGCTGCTCCGGTCCATCGGCGTGTCGTTCGAGACGGCCGGCGCCGGGCTGCGGGCGTTCCTGGGGGACCGCGAGCAGATGGCGCGCGCCGTCGGCATCGCGTCCGCGCTGGCGCTCGGCGTCTACGGCGCGCGCGCGGCGGCGCGCGTCGCCGGCGACCACGCGGCGGCGCGCCTCGGCCGCCCGTCGCTGGTGCGCGAGACGTCGCGGGCCAGCCCGCTCGACGCGCTGCGGCCGGCGGGCTGGCGGCGGCTCCTGGCGCCCGCCGAGGCGGGCGGCGCGCTCGACGGCGTCGTGCTCGAGCCCGCGCTGGAGAAGCGGCTGGGCCACGTCGCCGCCGCGACGAAGAACACGCGCGCGAACGCGGCGCCCTTCCGCCACGTGCTCCTGCACGGCCCGCCGGGCACGGGCAAGACGCTCTTCGCGAAGAAGCTCGCGCGCGCGTCGGGCCTCGACTACGCCATCCTCACGGGCGGCGACGTCGCGCCCCTGGGGCGCGACGCCGTGACCGAGATCCACCGCCTCTTCGACTGGGCGGCGACGTCGCGCCGGGGCCTGCTGCTCTTCATCGACGAGGCCGACGCGTTCCTCCGGAGCCGGCGCGAGGCGACGAGCGAGGACCTGCGCAACGCCTTCAACGCCTTCCTCTACCGCACGGGCGAGCCGAGCCGCGACGTCATGCTCGTCTACGCCTCGAACGCGGCCGAGGACTTCGACTGGGCGGTCAACGACCGCATCGACGAGATGGTCCGCTTCTCGCTGCCCGGCCGGGCCGAGCGCGCGCGCATGCTGCGCCAGTACCTGGACGAGTACTTCGGCGCCGGGGACATCGCGGACGCAAAGCTGGACGGCGCGGTCGCGGCGACGGAGGGCTTCTCGGGCCGCGAGATCAACAAGCTGGTGGTCGCGTGGAAGGCCGCAGCCAGCGCGGGCGCGGGCGGCGCGCTCGACGACGCGACGCGCGCCGAGGTCCTCGACGCGCACGTGGAGCAGCGCGCCGTGAAGAGCGGCTGGAACGCGCTCGCCGCCGCCTAGGTAGGGCGTCGTCGTCCCTTCCCTCGTGGAACTTGCGTGAAGGTATGCATTTCTACCCAGCGAGACCGCGAAGAACGCGGTCGCCTCCCGGGCCGCGCTCGGTGGACGTCCAGCCTTCCCCGCCTCCCTCCTCGTAACGCACGCGAGGTATGTCTCCCTAACTTGCGAGAAGTACTTACTACCTAGAACGCGAGCTCGGGCATCGGCGGCTTGGGGATCGCGCTCGTCTTGGTCTTGACGACCTCGTCGATGATGCCGTAGGCGACGGCCTCCTCGGGCGTCATGAAGAAGTCGCGGTCGCAGTCGTCCTCGACCTTGGCGACGGGCTGGCCCGTGTACTCGGCGATGAAGGTGTTGAGCTGCTGGCGCACGAAGAGGATCTCCTTGGCCTGGATCTCGACGTCGGCCGCCTGGCCCTGCGCCCCGCCCAGCGGCTGGTGGATCATGATGCGCGCGTTCGGCAGCGACCGGCGCTTGCCCGGCGCGCCCGCGCCCAGCAGGAAGGCGCCCATGGACGCGGCCGTGCCGAAGCAGACCGTCGACACGTCGCAGGGCACGAACTGCATCGTGTCGTAGATGGCCATGCCCGCGCTCACGGAGCCGCCCGGGCTGTTGATGTAGAGCGTGATGTCCTTCGTCGGGTCCTCGTTCGCGAGGTAGAGGAGCTGCGCGACGAGCACGTTCGCGACGTCGTCGTCGACGCCCTGGCCCAGCAGGAGGATGCGGTCCCGCAGCAGCCGCGAGATGACATCCATCTGCCCGTCCTGCGTGTCGACGACCGGCATGCGCACGGGCGGGATCGGCCGGCTCGGGTCCGGGTCCTTGCGCCGCGGGTCGACCTCGGGCGCCGGCTCCTCGGGCGCCATGCGCGGCGCCAGGCGCGTCGGCCCGGGGACGAGCGCGCTGACGCACAGCGCGCACGCCGCGAGTGCAAGTCCTCGTCGCATGGTCTGCTGCACGCTGCTACGTGTTGTATAGAGAAACTCGCGTTGCTACGTGCAATTAATCCCCACCAGCGTCGCTAGAGTATGCTAATGCGGGTGTAGTTTGCAAGCAAGCGAGGAGCTCGGTGTCACCTAAGCAGGAGGCCTTAAGGCCCGAGAGCCGGCTGTAGCCCCGGCGGGGCAAGACACAGATATAGTACAGTCTTAAAACACAGCACTAACAAACAAGCTTCGCCGCCGACTCGACTATCCTGTGCGCGTTTGGCAGACGACCACACGACGGACGGCGAGCAGCCGTCGACTCCATCGCTTGATCGACCGCTGCTCGATGTACGCGCGCGCGCTCGCGCACACGCTGTCCCGCCAGGCGCGGCCGCGCCGCGGCCCCCGGCGCGGCCTGAGCGCGCCGGGCGGCGGCGCGGCGCAGCAACGCAACAACGTCCTGCTCGCCGGCGCGCTCTTCGCGTTCACGGGCGGCGTCTACTACACCGCGATGGGCAAGATGCGCGCGACCGACGAGCTCGGGGAGCTCGAGGCCTTGGAAAACAAGGTGAACGTGCACGAGAGTGGTCTAAAGATCACACGGCCGCGGAGCGTCCACGACGTGCTCCAGCCCCGGAAGGAGGACTAGCGGGCGGCCCGCCCGCCGCGATCGCCGTATGTAAATGACCTATTTGTGCTTGGATTGAGACGGCAGCCCCCCTCCCCTCCCCCTTCCTTCCTCGGCCGGCGAGCCTCGCTCGGTGATACTGGTGTGGGAGAGTTAGTAGAGGGGCGGGGGTTAGCGTGCGGGTTGTGCGCGCTGGGTGGATTCCCTAGTGGGGGTCTAGTGGGCTAAGGACGCAGTACTCGCCGTAGAGTACTCGGAATAACTACATTACAGACAAGCGGACGACGGTAGGTCGTGGCGGTCGACGGGCGCGGCGGTCGCGCAGACGAAGAAACAAGCTACCGTCCATCGACAGTTGTGCCCCGCTGGTCCGAACCCACCTCCACGACGCGCCCATCCCTTCCCCCAGCATATATCATATGCGCGCGAACGAGGCGTGTCCCAGATTTGACTGCCGGAACAGAGCATCTGATGCACCCTAAAGACAGGCGATTCGAAACTGAGCTAGTTATAACCCACTAGCCCCAGTTGCCTCTAGCCAGGAGCTCTGTATCTAGTACCTCTTGCTCCTAGGCCTATGGCGAACCTCGCAGGGCATCGCAGGGCCCGGCGCCGCGGTGAAACAACACCCGGGCCCCGTCGCCAATCCCTAGAGTACGCCGCGGCGACACACTCGGGGTCCGAGCTAGAGGGGCTAGCACAATAAGCGACTCTCTCTCTCGCGCGCGGACCCCTAGGCTAGTCGCTCCCGCTCCTCCGGGACCCATCCGTCGGGCTAGGACAGAGTAAGGTGGTTACGTTAGAGGCGGGTTTCTCTAGCATCGACCCCTAAGTAGCGTACCGCATGCGGTACATTAGTCGGTGACATGTCTAGGCGCCTGTCGACGCAGGTCTAAGGGCCTAACCCGGCAGCTTAGTCACGGGCGCGCTGTACTGTGGCACGAGGGCGGCGCCCTCGGTCCGCATATTCTTCTGACGAAGCCGGTCCAGGACCGCCACGTCCCGGACCTCGCGCGCCGGCCGCCGGGAGAGGGCGGCGGGCGCCGTCAGTGGCCGCGCGCGGGACCGCGGGCGGCGCGCGGTGGGCGACCCCGGCGCCGCCGCGCGCCGCCCGGGCGCGGCGCCGGGCGACGCGGCGCCCGCCGCCGCGCCCCCCGCGTCCGCCTCGCCCGCCGCCGCCTCCGCCGCGCCGGAGTGGCGCATCGTGTTCGCCAGAAAGCGCGCGTAGGCGACCGTCCCGTCCTTGCGCGGTTTGAGCTGCTCCGCCAGGGCCTTGGCTTCCGCGGGCGCGCAGCGGCCCCTGCCGAGGTTGACGAGGGCGTGGATTAGCTGGGCGTGCTCCATGCGCCCGTTGCGCGGCGCGCGCGGCCCGGCCAGCAGCCGGAAGCACCGCAGCACCTCGTTGGGCGAGTGGCGGCACGGCGGCAGCGCGAGCATGACCTCGGCGAACTCCTCGCGGTCGATCTCGCCGGAGCCGTCGGCGTCGGCCTCGCGCATGACCTCCGAGATCTCCTCGGGCGACACGTCGACGCCGACGAGCGCGAAGAGCTCCTCGAGCTCGTCCTCGTCGATCTCGCCCGACCCGTCCGTGTCCACCAGGTTGAACAGGGCCTCGACCTCCTCCCGCTGGGCCTTGGTGATCGTGTTCGTCGTCTGCGTGGTGGCCGTGAGTTGCGTAAGCTGCGAGAGGTCGTCCGCCATTTTCGCTACTGCAGTGTGCCGTGCGTTGGGGCTGCTCCTGTGTGCGCTTTTAAATTGGGCCTTTGCCGCGGTACCTTATGCAACGGAATGGAGAGTCGAGCGGCGCTCTCGTGAGCCGCGGCCGCGGTGAGCCCCTTGCCAACCTCGGTCCTAATAGTTTCGCTTGAGTGTACGCGATAATAATATTTTGGCCCCCGGTATATCGTATTACAAGTGGTAGAGATACTAAGGAAACCTACTAGCCCTTCCTACCCTAGATATGTATCTCCCACTCTCTAAGTTTGAGTCTATACAGCGAGTGTCTCTGACGCTACGGTGTAACAACAATTTCCTATAAAACACTCTCGTAGTTAGGTTGGCCCAGCCCTCGGCTGGTGAGCTAGCCTGAGGACCCTGCTACCTTACATGACGCTGCGACATACTCTTGCTACCTACCGTAGGTACGGTACTATACTTACATATATATACTATACTATACCGTAGGTACTTACGTATATATAAGGTTAGTTCCTCTTGGCGCTGGGCTTGAGGAGTACTCGCCCCGGGCTAGGCTCCTGCGGTTGCGTAGGTCCATAGGATAGGATAGGTATAAATGTATCTACAAAAGCTAAAAAAGGGACATACACCAAGCCTCGGAAGGCCTTCTCCCTGCGCGGCCAGGATATGCCGGCGCTTTAAACAAGGGACGTCACGGTCGGAAAACTGCAAAGCAAGTTCTCAGTCTCCTGCCAGCCTGAGTGGGGCATCATCCCCGGGCCCACGAGTAAGGCCAAACACTCCGCGTTCGACATATATCGCGCGTCTCGGGTAGGATGGTTCCTAGTCTCTGGAAGAAAACGCTTCCGACGTCATCCAATAGATAAACGGGTGTAAAAGATGCACACGAGACGGCGCTCACACGTCACGGTGCCCCAGCAGCCTACGGACTTATAGGTTGCACACATCGAGAGCGCGCTCTCGATGTGTGCAAAGCTCGCGGGAGCTCGCGCTCGCGAAACGAAAGGCCCGGACAGGCCCGGTGGAATTGTTTGGTCGACTAATACTACGCACCCCCCCCCGGGGGGCTCGGACTCAGTCGTCGCCCCAGCCCGAGTCGCGCGGGTCGAGGCGGTCCGCGGCGTCGTCGTCGCCGTCGCCGTCGACGGCCGCGCGCTGGCGGCGCGCCCTCGCCAGGACGTGGTCGACGTTCGGGAGGTCGTCCTCGGGCGGGTGTTGCGGCGGCCGCGGTTGACAGGTGGGCGGCGCGCCGGCGGGCGGCGTCGGCCGGAGCGCCGCCCGGAGGTCGGACGCCGACCGCCGGCGCGCGCGCGCGGCGGCGCGCCGGTCCGCCTCGCGGCGCCGAGCGCGGCGGGCGCGCCGCTGCGCGTCGCGGCTCTCGCAGAGCGCTCGCAGGAAGTCCCGCAGCGTCGCGTAGATGGAGTCCAGGGGCTCGCGCGCGCCGCACGCAAAGTAGGTCCGGATCTCGCGCGCCTGCACGAGCAGCGGCGCCAGCGCCTGCGTCTCCGTGGCGAGGCACTGGCGCCGCGCGCGCTCGTGCAGCTCGAGGAGCCGCCGCCGCTCCGCGTCGCGCGTCGACGCCGGCCACGCCCGCGGGCACTCATCGGCGGTCGTCGCGCGCGCGTCGCCGAGGAAGAAGGCGGCGTGGCTCCGCGCGACGACGCGCGGCGGCAGCGACGCGCCGGCGTCGTCGACGGGCGCGAACTCGCGCGCCGCCTCGCGCGCCTCGCGCTCGAGCCGCGCGAGGCCCTGGCCCCGGAACTTGCGCAGCTCCCCCTGGATGGCGTGCTCGTCCGCGCCGCGCGCCGCCTCGAGCGCCGCCAGGATGCCGTCGCGCTCGGGGAAGTCCAGCAGGTCGTCGGCGTACGGGTCCCGCAGCGTCTCGGCGACGAACGAGGCCGCCGCCGACGGCCGCCGGCCGCCGCCCCACGTGTGGCGCCGGTGCCGGCCGCCGTCGTCGTCGCCGTCGTCCGCCGCGAACGCCGCCGGGGCGCCCCGCGGCGACTGCTCCCCGGGGCCCGCGTCCGCGCGCCGGCTCCGGCGCTCGGCGCGGTCGAGGATCAGGCCCACGACGCCGTCCAGGAGCGTCGTCTTGCCGTCGGCGCCCCGCGTCCGCGCCGCGGCGAGGAGCGAGGCGAGCTTGACGGCCGACGCGCCGCCCTTGCTGCTGCCCGCGTTCACGGCGTTGCCCGCGGCGAGCACGTGCCGCAGCAGCTTCGCGAGGCTGCGGCTGCGCATGACCTTGGCGGCGCAGTCGGCGTAGGCGTCCGCGCGCGCCGCGACGGCCGCGAGCGCGGGCCCCGCCGAGAGCGCCGTCACGAGCGCGTCGAGCCGCCGCGCCGCCGCGCCGTCGCCCGCGCCGCCGTCGAGCGTGGCGCCCTTGCGCGCGTCCGGCGCCGCGAAGCGCCGCAGCTGCCGCTCGCACTCGCCCACGGCGAACACGAACTTCTCGGCGGGCGCGAGGCGCTCCACGACAAAGGCCGTGCGCAGCCGCGCGAGGCGGTCGCCGCGCGCGTCCTTCTGGACCTCGCGGAACACCTCGGCGGCGCCGTGGGGCCGCACGGCCACGTCCTCGCAGACGCGGCGCTCCCACGCCGACGCCAGCGCCCCGGGCACCGTGCGCTCCGCGCGGCTCGGCTCGCGCGGGTCGCCGCCGCGCGCGCGCTTCTCGACCTCCGCGTCGAGGCGCCGCAGCTCCTCCGGCGACGCCGCCGCCAGCCCGTCACGCACGGCGGCGTGCACGCGCCGCTGCTCCTCCAGCGTCGGCATGGCGCCGCGCAGCGTCTCGAGCTGCTCCACCGACGCGCGCGGCGGCGCCGCGGCGAGCCGCGCGACGCCGCAGGCCAGCGCCGCGAAGCTCCCCTCGAAGGCGCGCGCGAGCGGCGCCACGACGATGGCCAGGTTCTGCGACCGCTGCGGGTCCAGCACGCGCGCGTTGGCCACGGGCCGCCCGTCGAGCGTGATCGCGCCGGCGTCGCCCTCGGCGCCGCCGGCGCCCTCGGCCCGCGCGCGCGCGGGCCGCCGCGCGGCGTCGTGGCTGAACAGCGTCGCGAGGCGGCCCATGTCGCTCTCGCCGAAGGTCGTGAAGCCCAGCCGCGCGCCCACCTCACTCTCGCCGTCCGAGTCGTCCTCGAGCCCGCCGAACGCGTCCGCGGCCCAGACGCTCGCCGACATGGCGCCGTCGTCGAGCGTCATGGCGTCCCAGTGCAGCTTCGCGCGCTTGGCGCCCGGCGTCGCCGCGGCCGCGGGCTCCTCGACGACCTCGAGGCCGAACTCGCGCGAGAACGCCGCGATGGCCCGCGCGTCGACCTGGTCGAGGCCCATGCGCTGGCGCACGGACGCCGGCGGCACGCCCAGCTTGCACATCTTGCGGTAGCGCGCCAGGACGCCGCCGAAGTCGTCGCCGTCCGCGCCCGCCGCCGCCGCCGCCGCGGGCGGCGCCTCCGCCGCCGCCGCGCCGCCGCCGCCGCCGCCGCCGCCGCCCTGGCCCTGGCGCCGCTGGATCGCGGCCAGGACCGCCGCGCGCGGGTCCGGCTTCGCCGCGGCCGGCGGCGCCGCGGCCGGCGGCGGCGGCGGCGGCGCCGCCGCCGCCGCCGGGGCCGGCGCCGCGGCCGGCGCCGGCGGCGCCTCGGCCGGCGCCGGCGCCCCGTCGTCACGGCGGCCGCGCGACGCGACGATCGACCGCAGGCTCGCGACGATGCGGTCCGTCGTCGCGGGCGGTACGCCGGCGGCGCGCATCTCGGCGACGATCTCGTCGAGCGTCGCGCCCGTCTGGAGCAGGCGCTTGAAGACGGCGTAGTTCCGGTCGTCGCGCGCGTCGGGCGGCCGGCCGCCGCCGTCGTCGTCGTCGTCGTCGTCGGCCGCCGCCGCCGCCGCCTCGGCGACCGCCGCGTGCGCGGCCGCGGCCGGCGCCGGCGCCGCCGGCGCCGCGGGCGCCGGCGCGGGCTCCGGCGCCGCGCGCCGCGCGCGCGGGGACCGGTCGCCGCCGCCGCCGTCGCCGGCGCCGCCGTCGCCCGTGACCGTCGCCGCGAGCGCCGCCGTGCCCCAGAGCTCGGCGCCCGAGAGCTCGGCCGCGCGCTGGGCCTCGGCCGGCGCCGCGACGAGGACGGCGCGCGGCGCGGCCCGCGCCGCGGCGGCGAGGTCCGCGGCGCGCGCGCCCGGCCGCAGGTAGTTGAGCAGGAGCTTGCCGTCGGCCGCCCAGTCGCCGAAGAGCCGCGCCAGCGCCGGCGCCGGCGCGGCCGCGGGCACGGGCTCGTAGTCGAGCCCGACGAGCACGTCGCCCGGCCGCAGGCCCGTCGCGCGCGCCGCCTTGGGCACGCGCGTTGCGACGAAGTAGCCGTCGTAGACGTCGCCCGTGTCGGCCACGCGGCGCCACTCGACGCCGGCGGCCGCGCTGCGGAAGCCCGCGACGGCGTAGGCCACGCCCTGCTGCCGGGCGAGCTTCGGGCGCCAGAGGCACGCGTCGACCGGGCTCAGCATGTAGCGCGGGTTGCCCCGCAGCAGCGCCATCAGCTCGCCCGCGTCGAGCTTCGGGGGCAGCGCGCGCGCGTTCAGCGAGAGGAGCACGTCGCCGACCGCGACGCCCGCGCGCCGCGCCGTCGGCGCCGCGCGCGCGACGACGACCCGCAGGCCGCGGTCGTCGTTCGCCAGGGCCATCTCGCCGCCCAGCACGCCCGGCCCGAGCGAGCACTCGACGCGCGCCGCGAGGCCGTTCGCCGCGACGACGCCGACCGGCTCCGCCTCCGCGGGCGCGGCCGCGGCCCGCGGCGCCGCGGCCGGCGCCGGGCGGGGGGGCGCTGCGGCCGCCGGCGCGGCCGGCGCCGGCGCCGGCGTCGGCGTCGCGGCCGCGGCGCGGAACCGCGCCTCGAGCGCCTTGGCCTCGGCCGCGCCGACGCGCGCCGCGTCGCGCAGCGCCCCGAAGCGCCCGCCGTCGACCGTGAGCACGAAGCGCGACGCCTCGCGCACGGCCGCCGCGTCGCCCTCGCCGCTCTCGGCGGGCTCGGGCGCGAAGACGCGCTCCTCGACGCCGAAGCGGCGGCCGCCGTGCTCGAACCTGCGCGCGCGTCCGGGTGGGGGGGGGGTGGCGTGCTACGCCGGGGGACGCCGGGGCGCCGTACGCGTGCGCGAAGAGGGGCGCGTCGGCGCCGCCCGCGCCGCCGCCGTGCTCGCGGAGGCCGAGGCCGCCGCTGTGCACGAGGCAGCCGTCCGCGAAGACCTCGCGCTTGCGCGACTTGCGCGACGCCGTGCACGTGACCTCGTAGGCGCGGCCGCCGGGGCCGAAGCGCAGGCACCACGTCGCGCGCAGCTTGGTCGTCGGCTGGAGGCGCCCGACGAACGCGCAGCGCTTGCCGACGCGCAGCGGCGGCGCGTGGCGCATGCGCGCCTGGTCCTGGGCCGTCAGTGGCGGGCCGTAGTCGTGGACCGGGCGCCGCGCGCCGCCGCTCCGCCGGTACGCCGGCATTGGCGCGGCGCGGGCGCGGCGACGTGCGTCGCGCGCGCCGGCGGCGGGGGCAGCCTTCGTTCGCCCGGCCCGGCCGCCGCCGAGAGCTCGCGGCGCCGCGGCTCCAGCTAGCACGCGCCCCTGCCGCGCATATATTCGCGGGGGCTCCCTGTGGCCGGTTGCTAGTGGCTCACGCCGCTAGCCCATGTACGGCGGGCGTACCCCCCGAAAGACTCATCACCTACTCGACCGGCCCAAGCTTGTCCACGGCGCGCGGGTTCCCCCGCCTTCAGGGCCGCATGGAAGCACATTCGTATAACATTCGTACACCGGAAAACGACAGTCGGATAAATGTATGCGAGTTGTCGCAGCGCGGGGCGCGTAGGCTCAAGTTTCGTTTCCCTGGCATCAGTCCCGATCGCGCGGTCGCTCCGAGGGGGGCGCTCACTACTCTATTGAAAATCCGTTGTACCGTTATCTTATTGCTATTTCGAAGCTCCGGTTGGGTATCCTGACTGAGCACTGAGAAGGTTCTTAGGAGCTTGTTCCTATTTGTAGGTCTTCCTTAATTTATTTGTTTGCTTTCTTACGAGCTACTCAGGCTAAGGCCGCCTAGCTACTTGACAGTGTTTGTTTATTTATTTATTTATCTAGCCTGAGGGTACAGAAGGCCTCTAGAGGCTTGGTGTATGTCCTTTTCCTTTAGGATATTCCTTCCTTAATTATTTATTTATTTATTTCTTCTTTATCTAGAGTACAGGTTCCTTTCCTTTTAGCGGGGCGCCCTCAGCCGCCGCCGGCGGCGCCGAGCCACTTCACGGCGGCGGTCGCCGCGGCGACGGCGCCGGCCGCGCCGGCCGGCGACGCGAGGGCGCCGAGCCCGGCGGCGTGGAGCTCCGTCAGCGGCCCGCGCGCCGCCGCGGCCGCGTGCTTGACGTGGACGTAGTCCGGCGCCCGCGGCGGCAGCCGCGCGAGGCGCGCGCCTGCCGCGCGGGCCGCGCGGAGGAACGCGCGGTCCTCGTCGTAGCCTGTGTGGAAATCAAAATTTTACGGCGCGTTCGTGCTGAATCGTCGCGTCGTCCTCCACGCCATCGACACGACGCCTGCTCGATGGCGTGGTGATGCCTGTTCCTCGCCGCTCGACCGAGCCAGGACGGCCGCGTCATCGCCGAGAAATGACTTAGTGAAGAATTGTCGGGTGCGCCCGACGCACTGGTTGATTTCCACACAGGTCGTAGCTCGCGTCCGGGTAGGCGCAGGCGTCGAGGAGCCGTGCGTCGTAGCAGAGGCTCGCGATGGCCTCGTCCAGGAGCTCCGTGCCCCGGCCCAGGTCCCCGTCCAGCCGGTGGAGCGCCACGCCGGCGAGCCCGCCCCAGGTCATCGTCCGCGCGCGGCCCGCGTCGTCCTCCCAGCGCCACGCGTAGGGCGTCGCCACGGTCGCGTCCGCCGCGCCCGCTGCGATCGGCGCCACCTGGCGCGCGAGCCGGTCGGCCCCGTACGCGTCGTCGTCGTCCCACGTCGCGATGACGTCGCAGCCGAGCGCGTCCCGCAGCTCCGTCGCCGCGCGCTGCCGCTTCGCGCCGATGCTCGCGCGCCGCGGCAGGTGCACGTAGCGCGAGCACGCGAGCGGCGCGCCCGTGCGGGCCTCGACCGCCCGCCGCGCCGCGTCGCCGGGCGTGTCGTCGACGACGAGCACCTCGGTGCGCGCCGCGGGGTACGTCTGCGCCGCGACGTTCGCCAGGCAGCGCTCGAGGTAGCGGGGCCGGTCGAAGGTGACGACGGCGACGCCGACCCGCGGTCGCGCTGGTACCCGGACCGCCTCGGGAGATGGCGCAATGGCGCCTAGGAGCAGCGCGGAGCGCATAGCTGTGGTGGCTACGATCGAGCCGTCGACCCACGGATACGCGACTGGTGTCTTAGCTAAGCGTCTGACCTCTTATGCGTCGGGTCCGGTGAGTGGCTCTCAAATCTCTGAGAGCCTTTTTAAAGGCCGCTGGCCGATGGCGTCGGCGTGTGTACGTGGGCCAGCTGCACCTCGCAGCTATAATATATGCAAATCTCGCGCGTGTGCCAGCCTCTGAGATGTAGTCGCGGCGTTTAGTCGCGCAGCCTTGCAGTGCGCTTTTAACTCAGTAAATTTTCAATAGGGATCTTTCTCGTGCTCGAGGGAGCAATCATTCCACCCTTCGTGCGATTTCTTCCGGCAAAGAAAAACCCGACGCTCGCCCCAGCGGACCATCGCTGGTGCAGCGGGCATAGCGTACAGAGGTCCTTAGCGGTGTCTGGAATTGACAAGCTGTGGCGAGTAGAGAGCTGAAGGTGTGGTTGGCGGAGAATGCAAAAGAGCGGCACGCGGCGACCATGTACGGCGAGCACAAGGCGGCCTCGCTTGCAGCTCTCGCTTTGCCGCCGCGCGGGACGCCACGGCCCTGCGCGGAGCGAACGAGTGGCACCAGCGGGACGCCGGCACGCCAGCACACACACGGACTGCTGCGAGACGCGCCCGTGGACGGAGAGACGGACGCGCGGCCACGCCGTCACGCCACGTCGAGCGAAAGCAGACCTCGCGGCGTCGCTGGCGTGGAGGTCGGCGACCAAGGGGAGAGACGACGCCGCCGTCGCGCCAAGCGTACGGAGATCGCGACCCGCCGCCGGCGCGCAGGTCCGTAGCCACCGGAGGGCGACCCGTAGCGGCGAGAGGACACCATGCCGCACTCGTTCGGCAGCCGCGCGCGCACGCGCGACATGTTCTCGCGGCCCTTCCGCCAGCGGGGCATGATCAAGATGTCGACGTACATGACCCAGTACAAGCTGGGCGACTACGTCGACATCAAGTGCAACCCGGCCCAGGTCAAGGGCATGCCCTTCAAGCACTACCACGGCCGCACGGGCCAGGTCTACAACGTCACCAAGCGCGCGGTCGGCGTCCGCGTGGCCAAGCAGGTCAACGGCCGCATCATCAACAAGCACCTCAACGTGCGCGTGGAGCACGTGATCCCCTCGAAGTGCCGCGACGACCTCAAGGCCCGCGTGGCGCGGAACGAGGAGCTCAAGAAGGCGGCGCGCGCGGGCGGCGCGCGCGCGGCGCTCAAGCGGCAACCGGCGCAGCCCAAGGGCGGCTTCACGATCGCGCTGCCCGCGGAGGTCACGACGATCCAGCCCATCCCCTTCTCGGACCTCTTCTGAGGCGCCGCGGCTAAAAAATATAATACTGGTACCCAGAGCGGGAATTAGGTCTGAGCTTCGCTGTTCGAACGTGCCCCTCGTCTCTCCGGGAAAGGCGGAGGCTTAAGACGAAGTTCCGTGCGATGCATAGGGAAATAGAGTGTGTAGCTCCGGACTTCCCCGGCAGCGTAGTGTAGTCGTCTAACGAAATAGTTTCTCCCATGTTTGATGGGGGTTGTGACGGGGAATTGCGTCCGTCAATAAAAGTGACTCAGGATGATAATAGTTAGGAGTGAGAGGCGACTTCCCCCTACTAAGGGGATATCGGAGTACCCTAGGATGGGAAGTAGCCTAGACGGGTAATACAAGTACGGGTTGTGCTTGGATACGTCTCGGTTGAACCTTGGGAGATCTCAGGCTCCTACTAGACGTGTATTTCCATTGCATTCCGTATGGGCTGCCACGATCTACGGAGCTCGTGTGGCACGCGGGCCTCTTGATGGGGGACGTTTTACCACGCGAGACTGAGAATACTGTATACAGGTACCTTCTTGCTATTTCGGAGCTCCGGTTGGGCATACGAACATACGCCGAGCGTCACGGCGAAGCGATCTTTGCGTGCGAAATGACCGCCGGTCGACTGCCAGCTCATGGCGACGACGCGCGTCCGCGTGTCGCGAAAGGCAGCCACTGGTGCCCGCCCGACAACGCCCGCACGTACGCCAGCCGGTACCCGCGCGGCGCGAGCGACGCGTTGGCAGCCGGAGCGATACCGATGCATTAACCTCGAGGTCGCCGAAGTCTAAGCTCCTGGCGCAGCATCCGTCGCGACGTCGCGGCGCTCGGAGCCAAGGCATCAAAGTCGAACCCCATCGTCCCCAGCCCGTTGCGATCGCCCTTTCGCGATCAACTAAGACGCCTAGCCGCACCCCTAGCGATCCCCTAGCGGGCATGCTGACGGTCGCGGTACCGTGGTACCCATGGGCGCTAGGTCATGAGTAAGGAAGGAAGGAAGGGAAGGTAGCGCAGTTCAGGCGGCGATTGCAGATATACCCGTAACGCAGGGAGCTACGCAATTGACCTTCCCAAAGTAACTCAGGGATAGGCGGCCTAGCCGCCCGGAGTTCACCAGTCTAAATCTACTGTACTAGTTGAAGAGGAAAGAAACGAGCGCAAGCTTAGCCTAGAACGGGCGCAAACGACGCCGTCGACGAAGTCTCTAGGGTTTTGGCGGCGTAAAAATGGGCCGCACGCACGCCACTCCGTCGATGAGGACGCGTCGCGCGCTGCTCGCGCTGCTGGCCGGCCTGCTGGGCGCCGCGGCGCTGGTGGTCGGCGCGCTCCGCGCGCAGCTGGGCGTGGACCCGCGCCTCGCGGCCCGGCCGGCGCGCCCCGCCGGCGCGCGCGGCTGCTCCGTGCGCGTGAACACGTTCCGGCGCAACGACCTGCTGGCGGGCTTCGTGGAGCACTACGAGCGCTGCGAGGCCGCCGCCGAGATCGTCGTCGTCTGGTCGGACCCGGCGAACGCGCCGCCGCGCTGGCTCGCGCGGCGGAGGGCGCGGGGGGGGGCGGCGCCGCTGCGCGTGGAGCGCTTCGCGGAGGACTCGCTGAACAACCGCTTCGCGCTGCAGCGGCGGCCCGCGGCGGACGCGGTCTTCTCGGTCGACGACGACGTGATCCTGGCCTGCGCCGACCTGCGGCGCCTCGTGGACGCGTGGGCCGCGGCGCCGGCGAACATGGCCGGCGTCGCGCCGCGGCTCGTCGCGCGCGACGCGCGGACGCGGCGCTGGCGCTACCTGCGGAGCTGGCACGTCTGGTGGACGGGCCGCTTCTCGCTCGTGCTCACCAAGGCCGCCGTGCTGCACCGCGACCACTTCGCCGCCTACCGGGCCCCGGCGCTCGCCGCCGCGCGGGCGCGCGTCGACGCGGGCCGGAACTGCGAGGACCTGCTGATGGCCTGCGTCGTCGCGAACGCGACGCGCGCGCCGCCGCTCTGGGTGTCGGCGCGCTACGTCGACCGCGGCCAGGCGCTGCTTGGGCTCGGGGGCCACCAGGGCATCTCCGCGGCCGCCGGCCACGTCGCGGCGCGCGGCGAGTGCCTGGACGCGTTCGCCGGCCCGTTCGGGGGTCTGCCGCTCGCGACCGGCGCGGCGAAGCTCTCAGACGCGCGCGCCGCCTGGCTCTGGTAGGAGATGGGAGTCGACGTGTGACTTGTGTGGCCTCTTTGTCATCTGGTGAGTAAGGACCTCAACGTACTACAAGTAGGCCCACTGGCAGAGACAGGCAAAACGCATTCCCGTAGTATCGTCCGGGGACCCCCCGCCATCTTACATCCTCTAGAGGGACCCAAATAAGTCGGAGTTGGTACTTGCGCGGGAACAAACGGATCGGGTGGTGCGAAGCTATGGTTGAGGGCTCGAAAAAAAACAAATACCGTTTTGCATTTAATTAAAAATTTGCCCGGGCCTAGGCGCGGCTTCCAGGGCTCCCCCGTAGGAAATCTGCTAGCGGCATGTACCATGTAAACAGGTAAGACACTGGGCATCCCTAGCAAAGCAAGCGTAGCAAGCAGCACACCTCAAAATCAGCCTGGTGACACCTTGCTCTCTCCGTTTTCAACTGCATGCTAGGCCGGATAGCGCTTGTCCTGGCCGCGGTCGCGCGGGCCCTGCGGCTGCGCGCAGGGCCGCCGCTGGCGCCGGTGCGCCGGGCGCTCGGCGCCGCGGCCTGCGCCGCGGCCCTGGCGCCGCCGCTGACGGGGCCGGCCGTCGCCGCGCCGCCCGCCGCGGAGCCGGACGCGCCGGCGGCGGCGCGGCGCCTCGTGGAGGAGGCCTACGACCTGCTGGACAAGTACTACTACGACGGCGACTCGCTCGCGGCGCCGCGGTGGCGCGGCGCACGGGAGCGGTACGCCCGCGCGGCGCAGCAGAAGCCGCGGGCGGCGCCGGCGTTCCGGGCGGAGGCGCTCAAGGCCCTCGACGCGGACCGGTACACGCGCATCGTTGACGAGCGGACGTACGCGGCCATCTCGCGCTTCGACATCCTGGGCGTCGGCCTCATCCTCGCGCCGGGGCCGGACGGCCGCGCGGCGGTCGCGAGCCCGCCGCTGCCCGGCGGGGCGGCGCAGCGGGAGGGCTCCATCCGGCAGGGCGACGTCGTCGACACGATCGACGGCGTCAAGACGGGCGGCAAGTCGTCCTTCGAGCTCCTCGAGATCGTGGACCGGGCCGCGGACGCGGGCCGGGCGACGTTCGGCGTCGTGGGGGCGGGCGACCGCACGCCGCGGCTCGTGACGCTCGAGCGGACGGTGCGGTCCGTCGGCGACCCCGTGCGCGCGGCGCGGGGGCCCGCCGACGGCGTCGGCTACGTGCGGCTGGGGGAGTTCAACTCGCGGACGGCCGACCGGCTCGCCGAGGTCCTGCGCGACCTCGCCGCGCGCGGCGCGGCGCGCTTCGTCGTCGACCTCCGGGGCAACGGCGGCGGCGCCTTCCAGGAGGCCGTGGCCGCCGCCTCGCTCTTCCTCGACGACGGCGCGCCCGTCGTGACTGTCGTCGAGCGGTCCGGCGGCGGCGGCGGCGCGGACCGCCGCGAGACCTTCGCCGCGAAGGCGCCGCCGCCCGCGCGCCGCGCCTTCGCCGCCGCCGCGCCGCCGCCGCGCGTCCAGCTCTGGCTCGACGGCGGCACCGCGTCCGCCTCCGAGATCTTCGCCGGCGCGCTGCGCGACAACTGCGCCGCGGCGCTCGCGGGCCGGCCGAGCTTCGGCAAGGGCAAGATCCAGGCCGTCTTCGGCCTCGCGGACGACTCGGGCCTCATCGTCACCGTGGCCAACTACCTCACGCCCGCCGGCACCGCCATCCAGGGCGTCGGCCTCACGCCCGAGGCGGGGCTGCGCGGCCCGGGCCTGGGCCTCCTCGAGCCGCCCCTCCCGTCGGCGGCGCAGTTCGACGACGCCTGGGACCACCGGGTGTGTGCCACGAAATAAAAAATTCTACGAACACTCTGTCACTGGCACGGTTGGTTGTTTGACTGAAGTTACTTTCCCAGAGAGAGTAGGGGGTGGGGTTTTTGGCAGTGTCGGGGCTGATCGCCCCTTCCCCTTCCATTGAAGTTCCAAAAAAGCCACCCCCGTGGGGCTGATCGCCCCGTCTAGCCCCGAGTTTCCCATTTTGATTATCGCCAAAATTTCGCCAAAAAGTTCAACATAATAATTTTTGCCAACGCCCCTTTTGACCACCGCCCCCCTTTTTGACCACCGCCCTTTTGACCAACCCCCCTTTTTCATGTTGACGTCACCGCAAAAAGCAGAAAAGCAAAAAAGCCTCAGGCTGTTTTTCTAACCCCCTAACATGTAGTCAGTTTAGATTTTTTAATTATGAGGGACGTTGAGGGCGGTGTGATAGGGACCGTCCCGCTGTCTCCTGCTGGGTTGTGGCAGATTTTGGCGAACCCACTATACTCTCTCGTTGGAACCGGCACCTGGCAGGGTTTCAATGACGTTTAGTAACGAAATGTCACTGGCAGAAGTAATAAAGGAAAATTTTTAATCTCTGACAATTCATCCACAGAAAACTGAATGTATTTGTACTCATACTATTTGTGAGCCTTGATGTGGGCGCTCATCGTGATCGGTGTCGGAACCTCGGGGTGTGGCGGGGGGCGCGACGGGCGCTGCGGTCACGCAGGGAGGGAGGGGTTGGCTCCGCGGCCAGGCGGCTAGCTCTAGGCAAAGCACATAAATGATCAGTGGCCCCGGCGGGCAGATGGAGTCCTCGCCATCCCAACGAAAATACCGACTCCATGCTTACTCGGCCACTGGCATCCCGTCCTAAACGAGTTCATCCTCGAGGTACGCGTATTCGAAGGTGAAGTCTGACTTGATGCGCTGGCACCAGCCGGTCTCGTAGTCGAAGTATACGTACGTGCCCTGCTCGAAGGCGTCCGTCGTGGCCTTGGGCTCCTCGTGACGCTGGAACCACGTCATGTACTTCTTGTGGTAGCGCCAGGACTGCTTCTTGAGCTCGCGCGCGGCGAGGTACTGCTGGTACGTGCCCTGCTGGTAGTAGAACACGAAGAAGAGCGTGTCCGTGCCGAGGCGCGCGAAGACGGCCGCGCCGTCGAAGACGGCCGCGGGCTGCGTCGGGAAGGCGGCGGGCGTCGCGTAGGGGTTCCGCGGCACGTACTGCCGCGGCCGCTCGGCGTCGCGCTTGCGCGGCGCGCGGCGCATCGACAGCGCGAGCGCTGCGAGGCGCCGCGCCTCGGCCGCCGCGCGGTGCGCGCGCAGGTCGTCCGCCGAGGCCGCGCCGGCGCCCGGCGGCGGCGGCGGCGGCGCGCGCGCGTCGAGGAGGCGCGCGTACGTGTCGTCCGCGGCCGCGGGGTCCGTGCGGTCGAGGAGCGGCTCGAGCGAGGCGCCCGGCGCGAAGCACGCGTCGACGCCCGGCGCCGGCGCCGGCGCGGCGCCCGCCGCCGCCGTCGCCGGCGCGGCTGCCGCCGCCGCCGCGGGGGGCGCTGCGGGCGCGGGCCCGATCGCCGGCGCGGCCGCCGCCCCCGCCGCCGCGCCGCCACCGCCGCCGCCCCGTGCGAGGCGCGCGAGGAGGGCCGCGTCGCCGCCGGCCGCCGGCGGCGCGGCCGCCGCCGCGCGGCCGCTGGCCGCGTAGGGCGCGTAGCCGCCGGCCGCGCCGGCGGCGCCCGGCGGCGCCGGCGCGGCGCCCGGCGGCAGCGCCTGGCGCGCGGCGGCGGCGAACGGCGCCGCCGTCGCCGGCCGTGGCGCCGGGCGGTCCGTGCGCTGCTTGAGGATGGCGGCGAGGCTCGAGCCGCCCGGCGCCGCGGCGGCCGGCGGCGCCGCCGGCGCCGGCGCCGCCGGGGCCTTGGCGGGCGCGGCGGGCGCGGCGGGCGCCGCGGCCCGCTTGGCCGCCGGCGCCGGCGCCGGCGCCGCCGGCGCCGGCGGCTTCGAGGCGACGGCGCGCCCGATCGTCAGCGGCACCGCCTGGACCGGCTTCGCCTTGGCCGCGCGCGCGAGGCGCTTCTCCTCGCGCTCGCGCTCCTTGAGCAGCGCGCGGTCGCGCTTGCGTCGCGCCTTGGCGTCGAGGCCGTCGTCGTCGTCGGCGGGCGCGCCGCCGCCGCGCGCGACCGCGCCCTCGTCGCGGGCCTCGCGCGGCGCGCCGAGCTCGAGGCCCTCGAAGATGTCCATGGTCTCGTCGTACGCGTCCGCGAAGTCGGGCTCCTGGTTGGCGTCGATGTAGTACTCGACGTCCTCGCGCACCTCGTCGACGCGCTCGGGCGTCAGGACGCTGTTGTCCAGGAGCCGCGCGATCTGCTCGAGGCGCGCGACGTGCCACTTGTGGCGCCGCACGCTCGCCTCGAGGGCCTCGACCTCGGCGCGGTGCTTCTTCGCGCCGCGGCCCGCCGAGAGGCGCTCGACGTCGGCCTCGGCCGCGTCGACCTGCGCGCCGAGGCGGTCCGCCGCGTCGCGGAGCCAGGCGCGCGTGCTCCGCCGGGCCGCCTCGTGCGGGTCGACGCGCGCCTCGCGCGCGAGGCCCTCCTTCGAGTACGTCTTGGTCTTGGTCTCCTTCTCGCAGACCTTGAACTGCTCCATCTTCGTCTCGATGAGCTTCCGCGCCGTCGCGAGCGCGCGCTTGTCCTTGACCTGCGCGGAAGACAACCGGGGCTCCGGCGCGCGTAACGTAACAGAAATTGCCCGCGTCGCGGCGCGGCGGCCGACGTCGCTCGACGCCGCCCACGTCTTGATCTGGTCGCGGTGCCGCTGCAGCTTCTTGATCTCCTTCTTGAGGTCGACCTCGTACTTCTCCTTCTGGTTCTGCTGCGTCGCGCTGTAGACCTTGTCCCACACCTCGTCGAAGACCTCCACGCCCTCCTCGACCTTCTTGAGCGTGCGGTCGATCTCCGTCTGGAGCTTGCGGTTGGCGCTCATGGTGATCGCTCTCGGCTTGAGCTCTAAAAGGACTTGATAGTAGAGAACCCGAACTCACCCTAGGGGGTCCGAGCCTCGGTTGATCAGGAAGCGTCTTCAGGAAGCAAAGCTAGCTAGCGTTGAGATGTTACTGCTGCTCCACACCTAAGGCTTGAGCGCGAGCTCGTTTTAGCCGCCTAGTGTGTTCCGCTAGACCCAAGTTAACATAAAAAATATAATGTTCGGAAATCGCCGTAGCTCTCCCAGCCGCTATTAGCCTTCTTAGAACCCTCTGTATGATCGATATAAGTTGTATTGAATTTTCTTCTCCCGCAGACAGCGTCTCCAACGGTCTCTGCGATGCAAAGCTCCACGTCCATAAACACACGTGCCTCCTACGAAACTACTTGAAGGCAACTTCACCCAACATATTAACCTACTTGAAGGCAACTTGACCCCCAAACTAACCTACTTGAGGTCAAGTTGCCTCTAACCTCAATCCTAACACTTTAATCCTAAGGGACGGGTTTTGACGCAATTCAATTTAGGGCAGGAATTGGCGCCAAAAAAAAGAAGACGCAGGTTAGGAGAGGCCGTTGGGTGGTCAACGGCGTGTGATTTCACACCCGTTGCCAGTCAACACACTCTCTCTCATATAATCGTTCAAGGAACTCGCCACGTTCTTTCTTCTCGGAGGCCTTGTATATGTACGGGAGGGAAAATCGAGGACGCCAAGGACTTCTGCTTAAACCGCTTGGCAGTCTTCCGCCCCGCGCGGGCCCGGGGCTTCCCAGGGGAGTAGACCGAGCGGTAAAGGAGGTCTCGGGGCTGCCGCCCGCCCGGGGGACTTCGGAGACGTCGGCCGCGTGTTGGCAGGCCCGGGTACTTATCAAGATGTGGGCGGCGCGGCCGGCTCGCCATCGACGGGCTCGGCGAGGACCTCGCGGACGCGTCGCGCGTCCGAGCGCGCGACGGTGAAGCGGTACCCCGAGTCGACGACGGCGACGCCGACGGCGGGAATCTCGCCGTGGACGGCGCAGAGGTAGCCCGACAGCGTCACGCAGTCGAACGCGCGGTCGTCGAGCGGCGGCGCGGCGGCGCCGCCGCTGCCGCCGCCGCCTCCGCCTCCGGCGGGCGCCGGCGGCGGGCCGAAGAGCGCGGCGCGGACGTCGTCCAGCTCGGCCTCGCCGCGGACCACGTACGTCCTGGACGCGCCCCCCCGGCCGCGGTCCCCGGCGCCGCGCACGACCTGGATGAGCGAGCGGTCGGCCCGGTCGGCGCCCTCGGCCGCGTCGTCCTCGTCGTAGATCTCCCCGACGACCTCCTCGAGGATATCTTCCAGCGTCACGATGCCCGCGGTGCCGCCGTACTCGTCCACCACGACGGCGAGGTGCCGCCGCCGCCGCCGGAGGCTCTCGAGCGCGGCCCAGACCTGTGCGTAAATTAACCAGTGAGTCGGGTGCACCCGATAATTCTTCACTAAGTCATTTCTCGGCGAGAACGCGGCCGTGTTGGCTGAAACGAGCGGTAATAGACCACAACTCCACGCCGTCGAGCAGGCGTCGCGTCGATGGCGTGGAGGTCATGATTGAGCCGTGGCGAGGCGCGTCGCGAGAAATTGATTGAGCACTGGCCCAGACGCTCATGGAGCCCGGCACGAAGTACGGCGACTCGAGGGCCGGCTCGTCGCGCGCGCGCGTCGCGCGCAGCGCCGCCGCGCCGCCGCGCTCCGCGTAGCGGATCAGCGTCTTCGCGAGGAGCACGCCCACGACGTCGTCGACGTCCTTCTCGTAGACGAGGACGCGGCTGCGCTTCGCTGCGCGCATGAGGTCCAGCGCCTCGCTGAGCGGTGCGCCGCCGGCCAGCGCCACGACGTCGACGCGCGGCGTCATCACCTCCGCGACGCGCGTCGCGCGCAGGTCCAGCACGCCGTCGACCATGCGCGACTCCCGCGCGCCGAGCGCGCCGCTGCGCCGCGCGCCGGCGACCAGCAGCCGCAGGCCGCGCTCCGAGACGCCCAGCGCGGCGGCGTCGCCCCGCGCGGCGAGGCCGAGCGGCGCGAGGCACAGCTGCGCGAGCGCGCCGAAGAACGCGCCGACCGGGGCGAGGACGACGGCGGCCGCGCGCACGAGCGGCACCGCGCGCCGCGCGACGCGCTCGGCGTTCGCGACGGCGAGCGTCTTCGGCAGCAGCTCGCCGAGGAAGATCGAGCCCGCGGCGAAGCCCAGCGTCGCCGCCGCCGCGCGCCGCGGCGCGCCGGCGCAGAGCTCGGCCAGCGCCGACGCCGCCAGCGCCGTGCCGCAGACCGTGCACGCCGTCGAGCAGACCAGCAGCGTGTAGAGCACGCGCGTGATGTCGCGGTCGAGCATGGTGAAGACGCCTGTCGACGGCTCGGCCTCGGCGAACTCCTTGACCTTCCACGGGTACAGCGTCGTGATGGCCACCTCCGCGGCGTGCAGGAGCGCCGACGAGAGGAAGAGCGCCGCGAAGGTCGCGAGCTTGCGCGCGTGGCCGCCGCGCGCGGCAGCCACCGCCGCTCCCGGGGATCCACCAAACGAGAGTCCCGCGGCCCGGAGCCGCGGGCGCGCGCGCCGCGCAGCGGCGCCCGCGCGCCTCGCGCGCCAGTCGGGCGCGGCGACGAAGCTCTGCGCGGACCCCAAAGCTGCGGCTAATAGCCAAATGGAGGGCCTCATGACAGTACCCCTGAGGCCGCCGAAAGTCGAACTACGGCGACCAGGACGCGGCCGAGGCTGAGGCTAGATATAATATGATTGTAACCTTACCGTAGGTACCGTACCGGAGGTAGGCTGGAGGAGGGGAACAGGTCGGGGGGGGAGTTTCAACAATAGTCGCCGGCTTCGACGCGAGCGGCGCGCATGGTAGCCTAATCATCTCTAGGCGGCTCCTCGGAGCACTCGCCAAGAACGCCGCGGACTTCAACGACATGCTCCACAACGCCCGCGCCGACGTCTTGGAGATCGACGACGTCGTCGCGTTCTTCATCATCCTCATCCGCCACGTCCAGGAGGAGGCGGCCGCGGGGGCCGCTCCGATGGAGGAGTGATTGCCTTAGGCGACGGCCAACAGCTAGTAGGGGGGACACCCAAAACTCAAAATTCTATGACTCCCCCGGGACCCCCAGCCCACCACCATGCTTTAGAGGGACCTTACCGGGGGCGGGGGGCACCCGGAGAGTGCTGTAATGTCGCCGGGGGCCGGCCCGAGGTACTCCGCGCGCGCTGTAATTTAGGAGGAGTACCAATGCCAGTGGGTCACTATTATACCTTTGGATAATATGGAATAGTACTCGCTTCTTTTATACTATGTTAAGTTCACCGGGTAGGCACACTGCTCCGGATAGCGTGCGCATAACCCGCGAGCACACCCCCGGGGACCTTTACTCACTTCTTTACTCTGCAGCCTAATGTGCTCGTCAGGTCAGACCTCGCTCCCTCCCGAGGAACCCGTTTTTCTCTCAGTAGAGCTTGGCGATCTCGTACTCGTCGTCGGCGATGTGCCGCCTGCGAACCTCGTCCGAGTCCTCGCGGCGGCGGTCCGCGTCGCGCGCGAGGCTCGCGGCGAAGCGCGCGGCCTCGGCGTCGGACATCGCGTAGGGCGAGTACTCGTCCGAGGGAAACGCGCCGGTCCGCACCGCGTCCCTGAACGCCGCGAGGCCGCGGCGCGACTCCTTCCCCACCTCCGCGAAGACGCGGCAGAACCGGGGCACGTGGCTCGCATGGTGCGGGTGCGCCAGCGACCCCAGGAGGTCCGAGTACACCAGGACCTGGCCGTCGCAGCCGGGGCCGGCGCCGATGCCCACGCACGGCACGGCGAGCGCCCGCGAGAGCGCGGCGCCGACGGTCGCCGGCACGCACTCGGCGACGACGGCGAACGCGCCCGCCCGCTCCAGCGCGAGGGCCTCGTCGACGAGGCGCCGCGCCCGCCGCGCCGTGCGGCCCTGCGCGCGGAAGCCGCCCGTCACGGCGACGGCCTGGGGCGTCAGGCCCACGTGGCCCATCACGGCGACGCCCGCGTCGACGAGCGTCTCCACGGTCGCGGCGACGCGCGGGGAGCCGCCCTCGACCTTGACGCCGTCGGCGCCGCCCTCCTTGACAGCGCGGTGCGCCGCGCGCAGCGCGACCGCTGGCGACTCCTCGTAGGCGCCGAACGGCAGGTCCATCACGAGCAGCGGCGCGTCGCCGACCGCCCCCAGGCCGCGGCGCGCGGCGCGGCAGTGGTGCAGCATCTCGTCGAGCGTCACGGGCCGCGTGTCGGCGTAGCCCAGCGCGACCATGCCGAGCGAGTCGCCGCAGAGCGCCACGTCGACGCCGGCGGCGCCGACGTGCGCGGCCGACGGGTAGTCATGCGCCGTCACCATGCAGATCTTCTCGCCGAGGCGCTTCATGCGCAGCAGGCCCATGGCCGTGACCTTGCGCCGCGCCGCCGCGGTCTCACCCGAGAGCGCGCGGACGGGCGCGGCCGCCGCGCGCCGCATGGCCGCGCCAGCCCCTGTGGCTCAGCACCCTGTGGCTCCGAGTGCGCTCCCCAAAGGTTACTGGTACCGTAGGTACCGTAGGTACCTACGTAGGTACCTACGGTACCTAGGGGACCGCAGGTACTTACCTAGTAGGAGGTCCGAGGGGCCAGCGCTGGGTACTAGTAGGAAGTGCGGGGCCGCGCGAGAGCTCCGGGGGACGCGCAAAAGACAACAGGTAAACCGGAATATAGTATCCCAAGCGGCCCTAGCGGCGCGGCAGCTGGCCGCGAGCCTCTTCGCCAAAATCGGGAAACCGACTCAGCAGTGGCGTCCTCGGGAGTAAGCGGAAACGCTCGTTTCGCCATCGAGGTCGAAGTGGCCGTGGCGCGCGTCGGGCGGCGTGCGGCACGCATCGCACACGTCACACGGTTTTCGGAACAAGCGAAACCGCAGCGTGGGACATGGCCCTATACGAGACGTCGGAAAATAGCTGTTACTCGGATTTTGGGGCGCAGGACCTGAGGTCCAGTCCTCTACGAGTCCAGGCCCGACATCTGGACGTGACCGTCCGGCGGGGGGGCCGAGCCGTAGCGGGGGGGGGGGAGTTAGGTGATTGGTTGCCACCAGCCAGGTACGACCCGTGCTTCCGCACGAACCATCACGATATTTAAGTAAAGCCTTCAAAGGGGGGGACGCCAGGTCATGAGTGAGTGAGTGAGTGAGTGAGTGAGTGAGTGTGAGTCTTAATCGATCCGAAATTACCGGCTTTTTCGCATGAAGTCTCCGAGGGCTCGGTCCTTCCCCCCCCCCGGTCAGGGGTCTGTACGGAGGTCGATGACGCCGTGAGGGACTGCCCTGCGTGAAACCTCGTTTTGGCCTGGCCCCAGCGTGCCGGTGCGGTCTCCGGCTTGCTAAAACGGTTTTTCACGCGGGCAAGCCGGAGACCGCACCCGCACGCTGGGGTCAGTGTGAAAACGCTGTCGACTTCGAAACCCGCGAGCGTCTAGGGCCCGGGGCTCAGCGTCAATTGATTTTTCTTTAGCTTTCTCTTAGCTCTACGGCCTGTGTGCTCATCAGGCTGCTCCAAACAGCGCCTCCTCGTCACGCGTTTCGCCCACAGCAACGACGCGCGACACGCTTTTCGTTTGGTTAGGGCGATGCACTGGCGGCCGGCGCGAGGATGTACGCACGGTAGAGTAAAGTCTCGGCGTTGCTCGGCGGCGGCGCTGTAGAAGTGAGGAGGTCAAAAACCCGTTTAGTAGATTTAGCTACCTGCGCCCCCCGCAGCTGCATGCGTCCAGCAAGGCGGCTACAACGGTCCAGGTGATTTGGCCGTAGCGCCGCCAGCAAGACGTCCGTGCCTATAATACCCTTCTTTTAAAAATTCAATTGCTCTTTTTTTAATCATGATTGGACCTTTATAAAAAAATTACTAGTATTTGCCAAGTTGTATGGGCGGGATCGCTCCACGGGCAACGTTCATCATCATCAGGTCGCGTGCCAATGTAAATTTAAGGGCCTTGGAGCAGCGGTGGCGGCATCTGTGATTAAGACACTGCACCCTGGTCTGTGAGGCCGCGGCCGACGCACGCCGGGCGCGGACACCGAACCCCAAATATAAGCTCTATACATAGGCGTCTGGTACGGACGCAAATTGAGAATAGGGGACCCACATACCCCTCTAGGACGTGACCGAAACGGGTAAGCGAAACGATTAGGTTTGGAAATTTTAGTGGCCTGCGAAGGTCGCGCCAGCCTGAGTGGCGTTTCGTGCCGCGTCAGGCGGCATCTGGCAGCCCACCGGGTACCCGGCCGCGCCTACGCATTCGCCCCACGTCATGTACCCGAGGGCCCCTGGGAGACCAAACTACCAGCATAGAAGCGAGTTTTTTTTTTCAGTCCAGAGGATATCCAGGGGCCTCTGAAATACCCGCATGTTAGGCCCCAGATGGGCAACTTCGCGACCTCTATTCTTCCTCGACCCTTGATAATATCCACATATGGTACGAATAACCTTGTGGTCCTATCAAGCGATTTAGGCCCAACGCACCGAGCACCTGTGCATTTAGCACGCCGAGACTTACCGGGACTCTCGCCCATTGTACGCTGCATCGTAGCTCACTCTAGCTTGATCTCGCCATTATGATGACATCACCACATTACAGAATCTCGCCACTAGTCATCGCACCAGATGAAGTCTGTGGGCTTGAGCCTGAAAAACGAGGTCCCTTGTCATTTTTCGCGATGGATGGATTGAAACCGGTATATCCGGGCAAATTGTGTTGATGGTAGAAGAGCTGATTTGAAGCTTTTGTCCGAGCCATTTCACCATCAGCATGGTCAGCCGCTGTGTGGTTTCGAGATGAACACGGAATATGGCCACTGTAGCCTGGGACATGATACGTTGTCTTTGCGCTTCCATCGCAGAGGTCCATGGTAGTTGATGCCATACCTGTTTTGGCCACAAAAGGGCGACCAGAAGGACACTCCCCCGCCATTCCCATGTCCATCTGGTAGCTGGATTTTGTTTGGTCTTCAACTATAAGGTCACAGGCTACGCTTGATGACCATTTCGGCTGATGAAATGTAGGACAAGCAGCGTGGTCTGAACTACTTCTTCCGTACGAATGCCGGCTCATCGTCATTCCCGCGCACGGCTTAGTTGCAGGCTTGTTTGAAAATGCAGCGCTTATACCAAGTGGGTCGGGCACGTGATAGTCTGACAGTGTCAGTCCTTGTGACATCATTACTGAAATTGTCTTATCGCGCATCCCTAGCAAACAAGCGCTTGGTGTGGGATAGTTCCCAGGGTTGAGATACTTGGATCTATTTGATTCGAGCGTCTCTCCCGGTTTGAGCATGGGAGGAGGTCGCAAACTGAAGCCTCGAAAGCCCTGATATCCAGTGGTACCGTTTGCCATCATCAAGACGACGTTAGGCGCGGATACCTAGATGGATATGGATATGATGCTACCGCGATACGGCCTACGAGGTTTTAGCTCCAGTGAAATGCTCAAGTGGGGCTGCCTATTCTGCAATGGAAATACACGTCTGATGTGATCTCTTGGTCCGAGTCCGCGTCGGAGTCCCGGGCCAGCGGGAACTCAGAAGTTGAACTTGAACTTGAACTTGAAGGGGTCACGGTACCGTGACGCCCCTCAGGCTTGAATCTAAGGCTTGAAGTTTGCCGCGGGCCAGTGGGAGTGCACTGGCAGCCTGAGCCTCAGCCGCTGAGCGGCTCAGGCTGCCGCCAGTGACTCGGAGACGGTCCGCCGGAGAGCTACCATGACCCTTCCGAGTCAACTTGAAGTTAAGAATACCGTGACACTATCTAGTTTTGGTGAACGTAAGCAGCCTTGGAAGTCGGATATTCCCTAGCAGCCCTATATAGATATGGAACGATAGGAAATAATTAGTGGGGAATTAGAGGCCGATTTATCCCGTCCGTTGGAGCGATTGGGTTTCGGGCGGGTTTTATCTCGGACCATCGCACCGCGTAGCAGCTGATTTTTCAGCGTGAGGCTGCCCACACGGTACCAAAATGCGCACAGCCCATTATCATGATTTTAGCATACGGAACCTGCGCCTCAGCAAAAATTTGCCGCCATTCGGTCGGCGCGTGGCTGTACGCTCAATTGCGCCAAAACCTCAGGCTGCCAACGTCGACTATTGCGCTCGACCCCCCTATAAATTTCGAAGTCTCCAAGGAGCCTTAAGCGTCGCAGGCTAATTCATTCTAATTAGAGCTAAGAGAAGGTAAGGAAGAATGTTCAAGTTACTCCAACGAATTAACCGACTTCCGGCTAGGGGGAGGTGAACGGTGTTTTATTGCGCGTTTGCGTGTGTTGTGTATGAATATAAGTAGGAAGGGTGTAGGGATAGGGATAGGGGGGTATTCGCTATAAATCGCCGCGGCCGCACTCCCGCCGGGCCCCTTTTTTATCAGGCCTCTTTCATCGAAGCTAGTGGAACGCGCAGCCATCTGCACCAATCCCATCGCTGAGATCAAGTGCGGCGTACCGCCCCGCGGCGCGACGCCGTAGCAGAAATGATCGTCCGGACGTCACGGTTGGCCTTACAGTTCTAAAGTGCACTGGCCCGGGCAATTTACGTGGAAAAAAACGCGTAAATTGCGCGTAAAGCACCGCTACAGGAGATCCCACGTGTAAAAAACGGCGTCACGGTAAAAAAGGAGGTATGCAAAAGTCCTTCCAGGGCTCTTCCGGAAGCCCGCGCAGGTGTCACACGGTCAGCTAGCTGCCCTTTAAGACACCGTGACTAGCTCGCGATCAGCTGCCCAAAACGTTGTCAGAGCCGAGTCGCTGCGTGTGTCCGGGTTTTATAAATAAAAGCACGCGTAAAATACGCGTAAAACGCGCAAATTGCACCCTAGGCCTTACTCGGATTCGGCGAAATTATCTAAATTTCCCTAGGAGTCCGTGTCTCCGGCGCCCAGGGACCCAAGTGGCTCTCCCTCGCTCCGATGCCGCATTTCAATGCACGGTTTTTAGCATCTTTTTGGGCCCGTCGCAGCGTAATTACCATCTTAGTGTCCGCCTAATTTGATGGCAGCCTACTTTGCATGGCACGCGACAACACCATAAGGAACACCCACGCCACCCTGCCTCGGCGAGAGTCGGCCCGCAAGGCCGGCAGCAGCAAAGCTCCGCTCGCGCTAATCGGGCCAAACGGACGACCAAATCGGCTGGTGTCCCCCGGATTTTAAAGGGGGCCTGGGAGGGGAGAACTCCGCTCGAGAAGAGACCTAAACGCGTCAGCGGCTCGGGAGGCGTGGTCTAAACGATAGCGTAGTCACGGTTCAAGGAAGAGTCTCGGGAGTGCAATGGCCGGTTTAGTGCACAATCTCTGGCCTCCGGAACCGACCCTCTCAGCGGATGGGCACACATCACTGCGGCTAGAGTATACCGCAGCATAATTGCTGCCAATAACTCCACCGAGACTGGGTGTGTTGGGTCCGAACCACCTCTAATGGACTCTATATACCTTTCTGTATTTGATTCTGAGTCCATCTAATTTGGAGGATCAGCATAGGATTCAGCAATTCACATGAGCAGTTCATTTGTAGGGTGAAGTGACTGCGAGGCCCGTGATTTCCAGTAGCAGTTCGCCTGGATCAAGGAGGGGGCGACAGAATAATGAATAATTTTATCCGGGTACACTGGAGTAGACAAGAGAGGTGCTCTGGTGTTCTGGATACATCGAGGTCCCCTGGCCCGCAAAAGGGTGGATTGGGGATAGCCCAGGGTCAGTAGCAGGGGTAGCTGATCCGGGTCCTTGTTTACGATGGGGCACATGGTAAAAGGAATTTATGTGCCTGAGAGTCATCGTGGGTGTCTTAAAGGAAGTTTGTGCGCAAGCCTCGGCTAGATGTGGGCTGTGTTGTATCCCCACGTCTGTATTTGTCTCTAGTCGGAAGCGTTCACCTTGAAGCATATCCTCGTACGCCTGTTGTGTCTGCTCAAGTTTAAGCTCCATTTTTGAGATATCTTCTGATCTTGTCTTCAAAGCAACGGTTAAAACTTGCTTTTCACGTGTCAATGAAGCAATTCCAGCTTGAGCGAGATTCAATTGCATCTCTGCGCGCTCCCTGGCTTTCCGTGAACTAACCTCGATTTCAGCCTTCTCTGTGAATTCGTTTTCTAAAAGCCGATATCTCTCTTCAAGTTCGCCCTGCTGTCGCTTCAGTTCGTCTGCTGCAAACATTAAACTTTTCATGTTAGTTACTTCCTCTTGAAGCTCTATTATGAAATTTTGCTGTGATGCACTGCGCTGCTTCAATCGCTGCAGTTCCTCCTCACGTCCTTCCTTTCTACCAGATTCTTTCTCCCGTAATTCCTTGGTGGTTTGCTCCAACATGCCAATTCTGGTCAACGTTTCACTGTATGAAAAGTTTTCGGGAAGCGAGTTCGCCAATTCGCGCAATGTTGACAGCTCCGTTAAAAATTGTTCCAGTTTTGATGAGAGATCTCCTGTGAGTGATACTAGACGACTGGCTACTCTTTCGCTGCCTTCGAGCTCCAATGCACTTGTACTAGGAATATCAGGGCCTCTTTCTGAGTCCAAGAGCCGATATAGCACTTCTGATATCTGCGACACGGCTGAAACGAGCGCTTTTTGCAATTCAGCGGTCTCGTTATTTGACGACATGGCTCTTTCGCACCCAGGACTGGCCATCAGAACTGATGGTGAAAGTTGCACTTCGTGTGCAGTATGGGGCCTCTTTCTGGCTTGCACGTCAATTTGTCCAAGTTGCAGCACCATGCCATCGATTTTTTTAAAACGGTTTGTTAATTGTAGGACCTCGGTGAGCGCACCAGCGTACTTATGCGAAAAATCATGGCCAGAATCAAGCTCAACACACATTACTCTGCTCAGGTGCGCTTGAGCAATTGCGGTAAAATATCTTGTATCTTTATCTTCTGAAACAAGTTCACTTAATTCGGCTTGTGCTGCCGCGAGACCTTCCAAGGTTTCCTTATTTTTTGCCTGTAGTTGGGCTTGATGAGCCATGGTTGACTTGTCTGCGTTTAAGAGCAGGGAATCTTTATTTTGCAGTAGTCTTGGGTTCAAGTTTGAGTTCGAATTTATCTCCTCAGGTACGGCCTTTGCGCTCAAGTTTGCGCCAGTTAAGCTAGCTTCAGATTTTGTCTGGTATTGATCTAGTTGTGTGGTTAAATGGCAAATCTCTGATTCTAGCTGTTTCATCGTGGTCAGGAGTTCAGTGACATTGCTTTTGACAATTTCTAGGCCATCTGGCACACCGCTTTTTTTTTTTAAGATTTCACTCACATCAAGGCCCATCAGCACCAATATTTCGTTAATTTTGGTGCTGCAGCCTAGCATATCATCTAAAGTTTGACCGCGATGCTGTCCCTCGATCCGCAATTCACTGAGCTCAGCTTCAATGGTAGCACGTTTCTCCTGCTCTAGCTTGAGCTTTGCATCAGTTTTGCTCAACTTTTCTTGGAGTAGCAGTAGTCCGTCTTTTAAGTGCTGCACCTCAAGTTGATGTTTGGAACGCAACTTTTCTTCAATCTCACTTCGCGCCTTCAGTGCTTTGTTGTGGATCAACTCGGACTGGCAATTTATCGCTTTTGCATGCTCCAATTCATAATTAAATGACTCTACTTGGGAGCGAGCAGCTTCAAGCTGCCGCTGGAGCTCCTCGTGCTCTGATTCCTCACGTTGCATTGCTTCCGTGTATTCAACTTGAAGGTCACTTAGCTTTTGTCTTAGTTCTACCTCTGATCTGCGGTGTTCGTCCAGAGAGATTCGGACTGAGGTCAACTGTGTCTTCGCTTCGTCTAGTTTGAACGCAAACTCGGAACAGTTTTGCCGTAAAGCCTGCTTCTGACTACTTTCAACACATATCTTTTTCTGTAGGGCGGAGTATCTTTCAAGTTCTCGCCCCAACTCCCTGTTCGAACGTTCAAGCCTAGACTCAAGCTCAGCAATACGGCGATCCTTTCCAACAACCAAGATCCCAGTCTGGTTTGCTTCGTGGCGACTACGAACAGCGTCTCTAGCAAGAGGGACAAGATCGCAAACCTGAGCTTCCGACATTTCTAATTTTTTTTGTAGGCTCTTAATAGTTTGTTGCGAGTTCTTTAGTGCATTTTCATCGAGGCAATTGAGCCGTTTTTTAAGCATGGATACATGTGCACAAAGTTGCTCTCGTTCATCACAATAGATTGTCCGCTGATTTTTCAGTGCATTCTGGTCCTGTTGTAGTCTCACTTCTAATTTCGCAGCCTTGAGCCTTGACTTTTGTTCAACTTCTAGTAATTTCCTCACCTTTTTTGAAATGTCTGCGACATGTTTTGATTCGCGGTGGATAATTTCAACATGGCCACCATGGTCAATGCCCTCCCCGTGAATAAGCTCATAGGTACATTCTGATGGTGCGTAGAGCGCCAGCATTGGCTGCAAATTAATTGCAGAAGCTCTTTTTTTAATAGGGGCATTGCTGGCAACAAGATCGCTGAGATAGGCTTTTCTGACTTCATCTAAGAAAATATTACGTCGCTTAAGGCGTTTTCGCATTCCATCGAGTATCTCCATTAATTTTTGTCTACCTTGTATAATCTTTCCTGTAGCTTGACCTCCGTTGTTTGCTACGTACCTATCCGGCGGTGCGGGTAATTTGGGCCGAAATCTATTTGTTTAGGCTTGTTTGGCACAAAGATCGCTGCCGATAGGCATGCGGGCACAGGGGAGGCAAGACCGCCCATTCTTCTCGATATAGACAGAAGGTGGTGGCCAGTAGACGGCGGATATATAAAAAAAGTTTTACTCCAATAATAGCAATAATAGGACGTCTGTAATTTGGGCCGCCCTATATTGCTACCTAACTAGGGGCTTACCTGGGCGACCAAGCGGTCCGCGCAGTTCCCACGAACCCTTCGAAGCCCCACGCCAACAGGTTTTGGCCGTGGAGCCCGTTTCGCACTTCGCGTACGCGCCGTCGAACGCCCCTCGTTCAGGCCCGCGTTCACAGTCAAGACCGCATCGTGCAACAAATCCCTCCCAGTCAGGCGTACGTCGGCTCTGGGCGAACGTTATATCGAAAAACTGTTGAGCTACGAAGCCGTGCGGCGGCGCATGATCTCGGGACGTTTTCGTCGCCGAGGGCGCGGGCGCACCAAATCGTTATTACGTCACCACGACCTCCAAAAATTGGACTGTAGATTGCTCATGTATGATCGCATGACATACTAAGAGCTCGCACCGAACGGGAAAGCGGAAGAGGGCAAAAACCGCCATCGCTCAAGCAGCAGGAGGGCAGCCGTGCACCCGCCGCGGGGCTACCGCCAGAGCAATCTTCGGTCGGCAGTGGCGCAGAAGGGTCCTGCCAGGCACCTGACGTGCTGGCGCGCGCCGGGGGCTGGTTTAAGCCAGCCCATTTGCACCGGCCCAAATTGAACGCCTGATACCTAGGACCAGGCTAAGTAGCACTAGCCTGAAGCCTGAAAGCCTGCAAGGCAACATAAGGCGGGCTAAGGGACGGGTACTCTAGAGCACACAGTGTCGCCACGACGCTGTTGTCTGTTCGTTCGACTTCCTCCCCAAACAAAAATGCCCGAGTGAATAAAATTAAGGAATGCCCGACGGCCCCGGGCCGGCCCGGGATCTTGCGTCATCAAACACCCGGGCCGCACTCGACGGCCCCGGGCCGGGCCTTCTTTGGCGCCGTTTCCGAGTCGAGCCAGTCGGGCCACCGGGCTGTCCCCATGGTGGCCATCGACGATCTGATACAAGCAGAAGAAGCGGCCTACGGAACATTTAAAAAGTAGCTAGGGTACTATCTCTAGGTCCGGCTTTCAGCGTCGGGGGAATTGGCTGCGCACGATAACTCTGTAGGGCAGCCGTGTGATGACTACACTAGCTTTCCCGGTTAGTTTGATAGATTCAGTGACTAGGAGCTGCCGCGGCGTGGGTACGGTGATGCTGCCATGTTGGCCGCGAGTTTCAAGTTGTGCGCGGCAGCCGCACCATATAGGGAAATGCAAAGGCGCCATCGCGCCTAGTTACTACCGGCATAGTTACTCCCCCCCCCCGTACTGAAGTAGGGCCACCTTAGGTCCGCCGGCGAGTTTCGGGGCTCTGGAGGACGGCCCGGCTAGCCGCGTTTTTGGGGCGTTTTCTTTTTTAGGGCCAGGGGCGACCGCCTCTGACGGCCACTTAATCGACCCGAGGTTAGGGCTTTTGCCCCCCGGGTAGCTCCCCTGACACAGGGCGACAGCCAGTGCAACTCATACCCCCAGAGGTGGGGAGGGTGTGCGTGCGGCCCGGCGGCCCGGCCATCGGCTTGTAGGCGGGGGGTTCAAGTTCGTAGACCCCGCGCCGTTTTGGCCAGAGGACTGGAAGCGGCACGTGAGCCCAGTTTAACGAACGCAAAAAATACTAGTGAGGGGCGGATCTGGGACGCGTAAAAAGTAAGGAAGCGGCAGCCTAGTGTGTTCCTTTCATTTCCTAAACGGGGTTGCGATGGTCGAGAATGGTTGCGTTTTTCAATGCTCTTGTGCTGTTAAGCTTTCGCTTGGTTGCAGCGTCAAAAAAGTCTTCGGCGAAGCTTCTAATTCCACCTCGCTTAGCTGAACCCTCTGATAGACTGACTCGTAGACTGATTAACCCTTTGCGGGGCATGCTAAAAGGCCCGCGCGACAACCCGGCACCAAAGTTTGTGGCGAGTGGAACCACGAGGAATTTAAAATTTCTTGCAGCTGGTGCAATTGCTGGTGTGGTGTCACGGACATTAGTTTCACCCCTAGAGGTGGTCGCAACAATTAACATGGCAGCAGTGGGCTCAGTAGATGGGCCCCGCGATTCCCTTATGCGCCTTTGGGCGGTAGAAGGATTAGCTGGATTTTACAAAGGGAATGGAGCAAACTGCCTCAAGGTTGCGCCAACAAAGGGAATTCAATTTGTCTCATTTGAGTTTTTTAAACGTCAGATATTGATGCTTAAGCGATGGCATAACATGCCTGAGATCTTAGAACCAGTCGAACGACTGATAGCAGGCGGCTTTGCATTATGCAGTGCCACTTGTAGCTCAGCAACATTATGTTTTTGGTCTGTAGGCTGGCATGATCGCTGCAGCCTGCGTATATCCGCTCGAGACTGCGAAATCCTTACTTACAATTGAGCGTGGGCGCTATGGGGGCAGCATCTTTAACTCGCTGAAAGCTGTGGTTGATGAAAATGGGTTGGTGGCTCTCTATCGTGGTCTCGTGCCCACTCTTATTGCGATGTTTCCCTATGTTGGTGTTGAATTCTGCACATACGAAACCCTGCGCTCAGTTCTATCCTCTCGTTGTAATGCCAGTGCTATTCAAACAATGAGTCTAGGCGCATTTGCTGGCACAGTTGCTCAGGCCAGTTGCCATCCACTTGATGTTGTGCGTAAGCGGCTTCAGCTGCAAGGCATAGGAGAACGGCCCGTGAAATTTAATAATATGTTTGATGGGCTCGCGGGCATCTCAAAAGCGGAGGGCAGACGGGGGCTTTACAAGGGCCTCAAACCTGCCTGCCTCGCTACTCTCCCAAGCACTGGATGTTCCTATGTTGTGTACGAATATGCAAAAGGAATCTTTGGCATCGGCTCGGTTACGTAGTCGCGTCTGCGGCCCTTATTCATTGCCGCCCTGAAAATTCCAGGATGCTAGCTATAACTAACGCTTCGGGCGAGCGGTTAAACACACGCACGCATGGTGCCTTGGCGCTGGATCCTACACGAGACCCCGGACCACTCAAGTTAAATAGGAAGTCACCCAGGGCGAACTGGCGGATGTCGGGTGGGAATTTCTCTGGGAAACCTCTGGGAAACCTTTCCTGCAAAGATTAGCCGGGGACTTAGCCGGGGGCTAGAGGGGCTGTGGTACCACATCAGAGAAGCAAGATTTGCGTCATAAGTTTAATGATGGATGTAAAGACTTATGTGTAAAGACAGGGGCGGACACCCAACCCCAAATTTGCCGTATCTCTATAACTAGACGTCTTGACCAGTGCCAAATTGAGCCAGAGGGGCCTATATACTCCTTTAGGACGTGACCGAAACGGGTAAGCGAAACGATTAGGTTTGGAAATTTTAGTGGCCTGCGAAGGTCGCGCCAGCCTGAGTGGCGTTTCGTGCCGCGTCAGGCGGCCTATCTGGCAGCCCACCGGGTACCCGGCCGCGCCTACGCATTCGCCCCACGTCATGTACCCGAGGGCCCCTGGGAGACCAAACTACCAGCATAGAAGCGAGTTTTGATTTTTCAGTCCAGAGGATATCCAGAGCCTCTGAAATACCCGCACGTTAGGTCCCAGATGGGCAACTTCGCGACCGCGTCTCGCCGCGAAAGTGACCCCTTCCCCCAGCCCGGTCTCGGGGCGTACAAAGGGACTCTTTGGGACCCCGCAGCCAAAATCGCCCCTGGCCAAGTGGCTAGGAACTCGAATCTCAAATTTGGGGTCCGCCCTAGCACCCTAGCAATAAAACAGCCAATGCGCATTAAAACGCCAACAAAAGCTAATATCAACGCCGCGCCGCCGTCATCAACAGTGCGGGTCGTCCCATACCCGGTACGCGCGGTCAAGGCGCTGGGCCGGAGATATCTCTCGCGGGCAGCCTGCGAAAAAACCGCGGACGTGTGCGGGTCGCCCCGGCGTCGACTACGAGTTGTAGGAGGTATACTCCCCCGATGGTACCGTAGGTAGTGGCCCAGCTTGCAAGCGCTCGGGAGGTAGTGACACACGAACGCCCGGCGCACCGACGACAATGGCGGCAATCTGCCAAGGTTGCTTGTGTTTTCAGTGCGTGACGACGTGCTTGCAGAGTTGGGAACAGATAGTCGGTGCTAAAACCCGTAGAGATTTGTTACGCAGGTCGGAGATAGGCATTATCGAACGCTGCGGCAGATATGAACGGCTGGCGCCGCCCGGATTGCGATGTGTCTGTTGGCCGCTAGAGACAGTAGCAGGGCTCTGCGCGGAAATTGGTCGATTCGATAGCCATAAACTTTGATTTCCGTGCAGGCGGGACGCATTAGCCGACGGATCCAGCAGTTGGACGTAGCCTGCGTGACTCGGCGTCCTGCGAGGGAGTTGCTGCGTCGACGCGCGCACTGTCGAGCACGTCTCATCGGCACGTCCTGCGCAGGCGAAACAAAGACAAGTGATAACGTATTTCTAAACGTGATCATATCCGTACAGTACAAAGTCAAAGAAGAATATGTATATGAGGCGTTCTACGTGCTCAATGATCCATCGGAGCAGATCAAGAGCTATGTGTATGATGTAGTGCGGTCGACCTTGCCCTTGTTGACGCTCGATAAAGCGTTTGAATCGAAAGAAATGGTGGCCCAATCCGTTAAGAGGGAATTATCAGGCACTTGCTGCATCGTCCTATGGCTCAAGGAACCTCGTCAAAATTGGCGTTGTGTAGGTGTTATGAGCGAGTACGGATTCGTCATACACAATGCCCTGGTAACTGATATTTCGCCCGACGGTCGGGTCAAGACTGCCATGAACGAAATTAATGCCTCGAAGCGCCTCAAGGAAGCTGCTTTCGAAAAAGCGGAGGGCGTGATATATCAGTGTGCAAACAAAACTCTTTAGGAAAAAGGCACCTTTTCTTTTACCGCTGATACTTCTAGGAGAAAATATTGCTGGTGAAATCCGCAGAGGCCCAAGCTGAAAGCAAATATCTATCTGGTCAGGCATGAGCCGCAATATTTTAGTTGACCCTGTGGGGCCTTGAGATTAATCTCCACCCTTAGGTGTCGGCGTAGCGCGCCAACGAAAAGCGATCGTCGATGGCCTGCGGGATTCGATATCGCAGTTCTCTGGTAATGTCAAAGGGTCGACACCAAAGGATGTGATCGATCTACTTCTCCTGACGCAGTACTTTGACATGTTGAAAGAGGTGGGAACTCAGCGCGGTACACGTGCAGTCTTCCTCCCAAGAAAGAAGAAGTCCCAGATTAGTGCTTTTCGCGACGGGTTGTTGCAGGCGCAGGCGGGGAGAAATTAGTACTGCGCCTAAGGGTGATGATCGGATAAAGGGCCGGACTGCCCGGACCCCACCATGGGTTTTCGCTCCATCGCGCCTGTACCTGGGAATTCGTTCGGGGGGACTCGTGGGGCCCTCTTGTGGGCCGCCTGGGCTCAGAGGGCCTTACAGTGCGGTGGGTTTTGACAGTGTCGGGGCTGATCGCCCCTTCTGCTTCCAAAAAGACCACCCCCCGCGGGGCTGATCGCCCCGTCTAGCCCCGAGTTCCCGGATTTAAGCTACGAAAGGGGGAACTTCGGAAAGTTCAAGTCACAGTTACTAGTAGCCCGGCGTGCCAGTGGACTCCGATCTCCACTCAGCCTCTGAGGCTTCAAGTTCGATTTTTTAAGTTTTCATTTGCCAGTGGTCCAATTTGGGGGTTCGGCCCTGATCTGACAATTTTAGTTACTTGTAAGTTCAAGTTGATTTTCAAGTTTTATAGTACCATGCAGGGAGAAGGCTCCTAGGAGCTTGTTCCTTTTTTAGGTCTTCCTTAATTTATTTATTTATTTATTTATTTATTTTATTCATTTGCACTAGGTTGCCATAACCCGAGGGGTTATTAACCCCTTGAGCCGCCGCCCGGGGTTATTAACCCGGCCGGTTTAGTACGGGTTGTTAACCCCAGGAGCTTGTAGAGGGGTAGGGGAGGGTTTTCCCGTGAGCCGCTGTGAGCGTCCGTTCTGATGTAAAAAAAACGCCGAAACTCATATACTGCGGGGGTGATGACCCTCCCCTCATCTCGCCACTTAGCTGTCTTCTCGCTGCGCCCCCGGCTTCCCAAGGGCGGAAAACTCCACGTAGTCGGCCAGGAAGCAAGAACAAACGGGCACCAATCGCTACTACTGCAAGGAAAAATGGTCCCTGAGAAGCACGGCAAGCTCGCCAAGGGTGCGGTCGGCGTCAGCGAAGTAAGCTAAAGGCGGGAGCTTTGGGCCAAGCTGAGTTGTGTCAGCCCGTATTTGCGCAAGATCTAGCGAGTCCAGGCCAAGTGCTTCAAGGGTCTGATCGGGAAGCCAATCCGATACTCTAGCCTCAAGGAAAAGTCGAACACCGTCAGGGGAGCTTGAGGCGGCAGACATAATTTGTGGAGTGTTACGTGCACGAGCAGGGACCAAATGTGTCGTGGCCGCTAGGAATCTCCAGGGTGACCAGGACCATTCCTCGACAGAAAAGATGGCGGGGCGGGCTGATCCCCGTCGGTGGGAAGTGAGGACCGCCCCAAGAGCCGCAAAAGCGACTTCAGTTGGAAGAGGCTGATCACCAGACTTGATGGCTGTGTCCCATGCCTTTGTTCCCTCTTGAGCCATCCCAGCGGCACCACCCCAAAGACCCCAGTGAATAGCAGCAACCTGTGGAATCAAGCATTGAGTCAGGTTTCAACAACGCGGTCGTTCTGCACTGACTATAACTGATGGGTGTCGTTCTCCGCGATTGTCATTATCATCGTCACCAAAATCAGCAGCAGCGTCAAGGATTGAATTGGCAGCTGCGTAGTTGGTCTGGCCGCCAAAGCCGTATAGGGAAGTTGTGCTTGAATACGCGACAAGGCTCCGCACAGGCCAGTTCGAATCAGAGCTGAGGCGTCGAAGTGAGATTAAGCCACCAGCCTTGGGTACAATTGGCTTTGAAAAAGATTCATACATGAGCGAGGGCAGCATGGCATCCTTGAGGGTGCCAGCAAGGTGAAAAATAGTTGAGCAAGGGGGGAGTTTGGCAGCCTCGAGGTCATCGAGGCAGTGAAGGAGCTTGGCAACACGAATGCGCGGTCTTACATTCCAGCTATCAAAGCGTGATGCTGCGCGTCCGTTTCGGACTACAAGAATCAGTCGACTGGCAAAGATCTGTGCCATGTCAACTAGCCAGTCAATAAGGGCGACCCCAAGGCCGCCCGAAGCGCCCGTGATGAGGATATAGCTCGAGGTCCCCAGTACGGATTTTGCGTGCGCATAAAGCGAAGCATGGTTCTGCACCACCGACTCATGAGCACGCGCTCGCTGCCCGGTACAAGTCCATTTCATTGAAGTGAGAGTTCCATCGTCTGGTGTCAGGATTGTATCCGTCTCTCCAGCAGGGGCTGCGATAGCAAGGAAGGAGACAAGTCGGATGCGCGCCTGCTCGTCAAGGGCCCTCACGGCAGCCGAGGACACGCGGAGATAAACACGTCGGCAGTCCAGCTCAGGCACCTCAAAGCCCGCGCACTTCGCGGTTCCGGCCACTAGTGCACCGCGCATTGACGTACGACTGACTGTGTACACAACGCATTTTTTCGCTCTCTCTGCGAGGGCTTTGAGGACCTGAACAAAGGAAAATGCAGCGGCCTCCTCGCGCATCAGCCATTCAGTGTCGCCATCTATTGGCCATGGTTCCAGACAGTCCAGAATTAAGTAGCCAGCATGTGTTGTGGCTGCCAAGACATGTTTTATAGCTTCTCTGTGGAGCGACCGAAGATTTACTACATGGGCAGTTGGTGGGTCTGCCTTGTAGTCGAGAAGATGAAGCTGATCCCAGCCTACGATGTAAGCTACGGTTGGTGGCAATGCGAGCGCGCGTCCCATCTTCAAGGCAGTCATAGGTCGCGTGTACTCGAGGAGCGTGACGACTTCGGCAAGGACGGCACCAATAGCGTGGAGGAGAAACCCATGACCACCGGGCATAACTATGAGCAAAGAGTCAGGGCAAGATGTAGAATCGCACCAGTTTACCGCAACGTCAAGGGAGAAAGACGAGTCGTGAGCACCACACAATACTAGCAGCGGCTTATCTAGGAGGAAGCCCACAGAATCCAGACGGCACGAGAGACGATATTCAGCTCGCGCGTCTCGTCCAAGATCAGCTTTGAGCCGTGGGAGTGCGATGCGTGCAAATGCGTCAGACACCATCATGTCCTGTGGCGCAAATGCGTACATGCGCTTTATCTCGTCCTCGCTGGGAATTAAAACTGTGGGTCCAGTCCAAGTATGGAGCGGCGCGCGACCGGCAAGAACAACTCGCATCAGTAACGGCCATGACTTTGAATTGATAAGCTCAAGACACAGGAGCGCACCCGCACTTAGACCCACAAAAACCCAGGGAAGTCCATCAGAGACGAGTGAATCAACAGAAATGCGTAGCGATGCAAGCTCAGACTCGTCGGTGGCATCATCTTCGGTAGAAGCCTCGTCGGCACGTGTGCCTCGACCAGCAAGCTCAATAACAATAATATCAAGCCAACGAGGAGCTAATACGCGCCATGTGTTAAACGTCGAGCTTGTCCCGCCTGCGTATGCTGCGCAGATAGCACGTGCAGTCCACGGTCCCGAGTTGGAACTCTTTCGCACAAGCGCCGAATGATTAGGCAGGCACGCAATCGCTCGTCCTGTTGGCAACTGACACAATTTTGAAGGTTTCGACGTCGATTTCCCCCCCTCCGCACACTGGCCGTCGACGGGCGCATAGCAGGATGCTTTGGGATTAGTCCAATGTGGAGTGGCAGCAAAGATATAGCCCGGGATGCCGGATATGATTTGCGGAGGCGAGCGCGCGCCGTCAGACCCGTGTGTTGCAACACGCATATTATTCCAATGAACGTCAACGCCGTGTACCCACGCTTGAGCAAGACAATTGGTGATGGCATAGGCGCCTCTTGTGCCAGCGGTTATGCACGCTGCAACTGGAGCGGTAAATTGGCGACCACGCATCTCGACCAAATTCAAAGCAACATCAGCATCTTTCTGGCGTACACAGTCAATGGCAACAACGAAGGCTGGCTGCCAGCTCAGAAGTTGTTCGAGATTTTTTGTCCAGGTCGAGCCGAGATTGCACGCATGATCCTGCTCCGCGTGGCGACGCCAGTAGGCCGGGTCCCTGGCATCAAGCAGACCGAGCCATCCGTCGCCACGAACACCATCTGCGATCGGAGCACGCTGGGGCGCGCGAATAAGCCCGGGCCGATCCTGAAAACGGAGGTTGAGCAAAGTTTCAAAAGTGTCATATTCTCCGAGGTGTAGGCCACGCTCTAGAGCAAGGAGGCACGCATCATCGAGTGCTATGGCGCCATCAAGCGCTAGAGCAACAAGCTGGCCGATGCCTTTGCCGGCAACAGCGGCAAAGTAGGGGCTCAAAGGAAAGGCCGGTGCATCGCCATGCCCAAAGGCCAGGCAGGATCCGAGCGCGTAAAGAAGGGCAAATGTCGCCGGCTCGGCAACAGCAGGCCGTGCAAGCCTGCGGGGTGCGTGTCAGTCATTAGAATATTGGACAGCGATGCGCAATGATGGCGAGGTACTTTCACGATAGATAAAATATGCCCGCATTCATCACAGGAGAGCGCGTCAGGTCGGCAGCAAGGACAGACGACTTGCCGTGGGTCGCAAGCGTCGAGCGAAGGCGTGCCGCTTCCGTGTAGCCTAGTGCGTCAAGGAGGGAGTCCGGGGCAAAGGTTCGTCCTTGGGGCGTGTCGTAGGGCGGAAGACTCCGCAGTGGCCCGTCCAGGATCGATGCACAAGCACGGATCCGGCTTCGAAATGCAGCATGGGTCTCATATAGATCAAAGGCCACGCCAAAAGGAATACAAGTCAGCGAATCCTGGCCACCTGTGAACCCACCGATGGCCACACAGAGTTCTCCATTTGTTGCTGATACTGGCGAAGCTGGGGCGACAAGCTCAGCTTTTGCAAAACCTTGCGCCGCTTCTGCAGCTGTCTTCGCAACAACAGCGACACGCCATTCGGGCCAGTGATTACGACCTTCCTGAAGCGTAAAAGAAACGTCCTCAAGACTGGACTCGGGCGGAAGTTCAGTCAAGAAGTCCCGAAGCTGCGCAACAAGCCCTCGAAGTGATGCCTCAGTCCGCGCTGACAAAAGGAGAACTTCGGGCGCCCGTGGATTTTCGGCCGCACCAACGCCATCAATTGACTCCGACCGCGCTGCAGTAGCGATTTGGCCACGGTTACAGCTACGCTGTGCAGGAGCCACGCATAAAGGTCGAGACGGGGCTAATGCGTGGTCAACCTTATCAGCCAAAATGGCAGCAGTCACCTTCGCGCTTGCAGTAAGCGGCCGACCAACAACAAGTGCTGCAGACGCCGCGGCTTTTGCTGCAGCATCGCGCATAGCAGCATAGGCGATTGCTGCAAGGAGACCATTCTCGCCATCCGGTGCAGAAGGAACTACATAATGGTCAGATTGATGGTAGTTGCAGTATGTGTCCCTATTATCAGCGCGAGACAAGCCATAGTGGCCAGCAGCGTGCACAGCCACATGTGGCGCTGCACACAGCACCACATGCGCATTTGTGCCACCAACACCGAACGAGCTGATGCCAAGATGGTCGATATCGTGATCCAGGTCAGAAGTAACGATTCGGGCGCCTGTTGGTACTCGTATCTTTGGATTTATGGCTTTAAAATGGGCTATAGGCGTAGCAGTATCGTGACCAAGCATCAGGCAGGCTTTTAGTAGGCCAGTTAAGCCGGCTGCACAGTTTGCGTGGCCAATATTGCCTTTGATGCAGGTAAGGCGTAGAGGCGCGTCGGTAGCCGCCTCGCGCACACCAAGTGCACGCGTAACTCCGCTGACCTCGATGGCATCACCGAGCTTGGTAGCTGTGGCGTGCAGCTCAACTGCGTCTACGTCGCGACCTGTTAGTCTGGCGCGGCGGGTAGACTGAGTGATGGCACGTGCCTGGGCAAGTGCTGATGGCGCTGAGTACCCGGCTTTGGCACGGCCATCATTAGTGACCGACGTCGCCACAAGCTGGCAGAGGATAGGCCGACCTGAATTGCCGTCGTCATCCACTTCGAGGCACAGCACACCGACGCTGTCGCCAAACAGCGTACCACTCGCAGCCACGTCAAGCGGCCTGACACGCCCATCTGCGCTGTGCACAAGACCGTCGACAAACTTGTAGCCTAGGTTTGGAAATGTGAGGCTCGCTCCACCGACAAGAGCCGCACGGCAATCACCGACAAAAATAGCTGTTGTAGCTAAAGCACATGCAACAAGAGACGAAGAGCACGCCGAACCCACAGATACACTCGGGCCTGTCAGGCCAAGCTGATACGAAACCCGTGTAGGGGCGTAGTCCTTTTCCGAGCCAGTCTCTCCGAGCCAGACGGCACCTGGATTCGCCATATCAAGCAATGGGGCACCACCAAGGTGATGAATCAAGTAACCATCAATGCCTGTTGACGCAAAAACACCAGCATCATCAAAAATTCCGGTAGCATCAACGAAGTTCGAACGCAGCCGCACACCCCGGCCTGCACGCTCTCGCGCGTGCCAGGCAACCTCAAGAAGCTTTCGATGCTGTGGATCCATGATTCGGGCCTCCCGCACGCTAATTCCCCAAAAGAAAGCATCGAAGCTAATAACAAGCGCTCCACGAATCATTTGAGCTACTGGTACAAAGTTTGAGTCGGCAATTAGGCTTGGTTGCACATCCCTTGATCGTAGATCTCCGGCTGTAAACACTGAAAGACTGTCGTAGCTTGATATCATATTGTGCCAGAGGGTGATCAAATCATCCGCACCAGGTAGGATTGCTGCAGCGCCAACAACGAAAAGTGATTGCTGCCACGGGCCTACATTTCCTGTTGCGGCTTTCACATTTGCAAAAGGGAACTGGTCGCTGTCCCCTGATCTACGTGTACTGGCCCTGCCGATCATATCGTGGCGTCTTCTAACCAAGAGACCAGTAAGCTCCACAATACTGGGTGCCTCGAAGAGGTCGACAACGGCAAGATCAACGCCAAGCGTCGTGTTGATCAACCCGACTGTCTTGGATGCACGAAGACTATGGCCGCCGAGCTCAAAAAAGTTGCTGTTAAGCGGCACAGTGCGCTCAAGCACGGTATTGAACGCATCTGATATAGCACCTGCAGCAACGCGGCCCCAACTGTCGTAGAGGGGGTCCTGAGTGTCCCCTGTAGCAGCATCAAGGGTTGAATGACGAAAGGCAATCTCTGCTGCAGTATCACGCTTTTCTGCGAGGCGGATCACATTTTCTGTGAGTCGGTCCGCACACGTCGGCGCCGGAAGCCGTGAGTAATCAACTTTGCCGCTGCCAGGCTTACTTGGAAACGCTTCAAGCAACACGATATGGGATGGAATAGCATATTCTGGAAGCACTTCTTTGAGGTGCTGCGTGATATGTTGCATACTGAAAGCTAATGTCGCAGTAACATACGCGACAAGGCCCTTGGGCTGCTGTGACTGGTCGATGACCGGACGCACAATGCATGCATGAATGCTCGGCGCTGCTGCAATGTTACGTTCAACATAGTTGAGCGCAACCTTGAACCCGCGGATTTTAATCGTGGCATCGGCGCGGCCGAGTAGAAGGAGCGAACCGGTTTCGAGAGCAATTCCCCGGTCCCCCGTGTCATAGCAGCGCACCGCCGCATCTAGTAACCATGGGACTGCCAGAGTTGCCCTCGCGACACCATCATGCGACGAAGCAAGCATTGGCATAGGATTAGTAAAGAATCTCGTCGCTGTTTTCTCGGGGTCTCCTAGGTAGCCACGCCTGCGAAGGACCCAACAGTAAAGCACGCCCCCGCGTTTTTCACTAAGGAACTATCTAGCACCAACGCTGGGGATGCTTACGCTACAGACTTGGCAACGACGTGGATAGTGCCAGGGACACCACGCGGGACAATGTGGCCAAAGGCCTTGTCCCGAACAAGAAAACACACCCAGGGGAGAGGCCTCCCGACTGGAGCGAAAGCTGAACCAGGTGGGAGTGCACGAAGCCACATTTTGGTTCGATTCTTCCTTGCTGGATCAAAAAGCGTAGTGCATGCTACGTCGAGTGATTCCCAGGTGCTATAATAGTTGACGAGCGTAGTCCGGGACGTAGCAAACGCAGAAGTGAAGTCAGCGACGAGTGTTGTTGGCACCAGTTCCCCTTCGAGTAGAACATACCTTAGTTGTGAGCCAACAAAGCGGGCAAAATCCAACCTCGGTTGATCCAAAAGATTACGGAGCAACGAAGGTGTGACCATGAAGCGGGTAGCTCTGTAGTCGACAAGAAACCTGAGAAGTTGCTTCCCGTCAACGACAACATCATTTGGCACAACAAGTGTTGATCGGCCGTAGGTGGGCGCACGCAGGGCCTCCCACACGAAAAATACATTACATGCCTCGATGTCCACCGTTGGATTTGAGTCATATGGGCAGACTGCGTTTCGAGCCCGAATGTTGTGCATAAAGCTGTGATGCTCGACAAGAATAGCCTTGGGCGCTCCGGTTGTTCCGCTAGACATGCTACAGTATGCGAGTGACCGTGGGTCAACGCGCGAGTCAAGGAGCCTGGAAATGGCTCCTGCATTGAGTGCGGCACGCGCAACGAGAGCCCACAGCTTTGTCTCCCAGCTCGCGTCGAGTAGCACATGGGCCAGGCCCTCGGGGAGGTGTGCCGACAGTCGCTTTTGTGTCAGTACGCATAGAGTGCCTGATGCAGTAACCAAGTCTGCAATCAATTTTCGCGTGTAATTCACCTCGAAATAAACCATGGCTGCACGAGCCGCAAAAATGGCCAGATTTGCGATCACATACTCGACTGAAGCCGGAAGGTAAACAGCGCAGACAGTCTCGGATAATAAGTAGAACGGCGACCCGACAAGAGCCGCAGCCAACACACAGACAAGATGGTATATTCTTGAGAAACTTGTTGTTGGCTCCCGTGTGCCTGGAGAAATAACCGCTGCCGCGTTTCGCCTCGAGGACGACGCTCCCGAAAGCAAACCAAGCTGCTCAATAACTAACGCGCTTGCGTCAGCACTCTCTGGTGTCTTCACGAGGCCATCAGACAATGCCAAGACACTCCTCTGCAGGGAGAGAAGGCAGCGCTCCTAGAATGATAAGTTTCAAACGGCAAGCACGCATGAGTGGAGCTCATGCCAAACCCAGATTGTATCGACACCGCTAGGCGCACGATGGAAGAACTGATCATTGCACGCATTAATTCCGCATGTGTCTCAATGTGAAAGTGCCCACCCCCACGCACAATTTTGACTTCAAACTCCGAATCGGACCACATACTCCAGGCATCTAGCTCCGCCTGCGATACACTTCCATCCAACTCGCCCCCAATTGCTGTGATAGGCATAGGCTTTGCTGTCGAACAACACTGATAAGTTTCTAGGAGCCGTAGGTCCACACGAAGAGGCGGTAGGCCATATTTTACCATAGCCGGGCCGCCAATCTCGCCTACTGCGGCGCTCAACCACCCCCGTCGTGCCAATGCGGTCAGTAATTGGGCGTCAGGCATTGCCGTCAGCGACAAACTCCATCGACGCATCAGCTGGGGGGGGGGCATCGAAGACGCGAAAACCCGCAGGGGAGTCAACCCATCTGCATCGAGACGCAACGCCACCTCAATGGCCACCAGAGCCCCAAACGAATGCCCCAGAAGGAACAAAGGTCGGTCTGCAATCATGCGAATTGCCGCGCAGCACTCCGTCGCCACAGCCTCCAGACTCTCACAAAATGCGTCACCAAGGCGAGAACCACGCCCAGGGTAAGCAACGCTGTGTACTTCCAGCCATCCTGGCAATGATTGACCCCAATCAGCGTAGGCATGTGCACCTCCGCCCGTGTGAGGGAAGCAGATCAAGCGCGCGTGCGACTCGCCACGTTGCTGAAAGCATGTTAGCGCAGGATGCTCCATCGGCGCTGCGTAGGGTTCATTCTTGCGGCCAATATTTTCGCCCGCCCACCGCCAGGCACGCCATCACTTTAACGGCATCACTCCGCGACAGACCAGTTGCTCAGACTGTCGGTCGTATGTACCTACCTACGGTACGGTACCTACGGTACCACGGTACCGTATTCACTAGCCCTATTCTATCCGGGTATTTAACTAGGATAAATGAGACTAGGATAGTGAAGCTAAGATAAAATTTGGGAGATTTATAAGTGGGAAAAAGGCCGTTGCCACAACGGGCGCCAACCCCAGGGCCCCCGGACCACTGGCACGCGCCCCCGCGCCAAAACAACCAAGGGAGGGTGGGAGGGCCAAAATTCTTGCTCCTTTGTCCTGCGCTCTCACAATCGGAGCGCTATGGGACACGAGCAAGTATAAGAAGGTATCTTGTAGCGAGCCACTAGGTGTGACGATATTGCTACCAAGATACCAATCATACTAGCTCAGGCTGACAGACCAGAGTCAGCCTTACATCATGGCCCATGATAGGTTCGGGACAGCCCTTGGGTTTCTTATTAAAGCTCCTCCTATAAACAGAGGGCTGTTGAACCGTAGGTCGTGTGCACCGTAGGTACCATGGTACCTACGGAACCGACGTACCGTAGGTACCGTAGGTACCGTACCGCAGTAAGTCACGGGGGTGCCACCTACCGTAGGTACGTTATAAGCTATAAGGTTATGATGTCGGAAGGAGGGGGGAGGCATCACGAGTTGGAGTAGCAAGAGTCTTCGCCGGCCGCATGCCAGTGATAATAGTCACTGAGTAACTCAAGTTCGGCAGCCTGAGTATAGTAACTCAAGTTCGGCAGCCTGAGTATAGTGTGCAGAGTCGGCCCGCCGGCGGCGGGCCCGGGGCGGCCGCGGCCACGGCACTCAGGCTGGCATCACTGGCATGAAGGGCCCGGGCTGCGACGACTCGGAGTCTGAGGTATGCCAGCAGTGATTGGTGCATAATCCCCCGGGAATCCAAGATAGACCGGTGCTGCCAGTGCGTGCTGAAGGCCCCCGGAGCTCCGCGATATGTTTGTTACGTGCGGCAGAGGCGGCGGCGGCCCGGGCGGCGGCCCCGGGCCGCCGGCGGGGCGGCCGCCGGGGGTCACCGTGTCCGAGGGGACGCCGTCTGTGACGGCCTCCTTTCCACTCACCATTCCCTAACTTTGCCTTGGCTTTCACCTAGTGGTGTTCAGGCTATTGAATTTGTCGATGCTACCGTACCTACGGTAGGTAGCGACGCTGGGCTCTTCAATTATATCTTGAATACCACAGCACCTGCTACCGTTACCTCCCCAAAACATTTAAAAAGACACATGTCTACGCACAGTACTACAGTGGCGCTATTATCACATTATGCGCGTCATGGGTTCTGGGGGTGCGTAAACTAAACACAAATGCATAAAATAGCTTCGTCTCAGACATGTGGAACACGAATCGAACAAGCTCCTCGCAAAGGGATTATCCGACCTGAGTTCAATAAATTGGTGGCGCGCCATAGCCGTAGGATTTATGTCTATTAGCAATCCAAACGGGGAAGGTAGAGGACGCCTAGGGGAAGCTTTGCGCGAACTTAGTTTCCTCAAGACGAGACAAGATCTTGAACTGTCTTCTGTCGTGGCGTTGCTTTTTTTCCATAGGCTTGCTGAAAACATAGACTACGAAGAAATTGAGATACTATCCAACTTGGCGGCGAGAGCGACGGAGCGTGCATCTGAGCCAAGCCTTTTGCTATGTGCTCAATTCCATTTGTATGCTGGTATCCATGCAACAAGTAATGAACGCTTGTGTGAGCAATTCAAGGCATCCCGCAGCCTCATTAGAAAAGCCTAATTCAGCGTAAAAAGCTACGCATATCTCATGATAAGGTAGTGTTATTTCCAGGTAATCGAAGCTGATACAATTGCAGAGACCGAGACACAAAAACAGGCCCATATTCTCTGGGCATGGATCCAACTTTCTAGTCCAATGGATTCGTGGCATAATGATGGTCGAGACGTACTGCGGCACCTTGATGGTGCAACATGTGGTTCCGAGGAGTCTGTTTGGGACTTGGAGAGTTTGATGGCACATGCGTCTGCGCTATAAGAATACTATTTCTCCTGAGCGAATTATATGCGAATCTCCCTGTAGGCTCGTGCGTGTTACTACGAACTCATGAAGCAGTACCTAAGCGCATTAGATTTCCTGAACCAGGCCGTTGCTCTTCAATCGTGGAGCCCGGCCCTTTTAGAAAAAGCGAAAGTGTTAGTTCATTTAGGTGACTGGGAGCAAGCGGCGGAGACGCTTCAGCGTGTTTTGCAACAAAACGAGGGGTCTATGGAGGGACTGCGTCTTAATGTTCTGATGCATATGGTGCAGCAAGCAGATGATCAAGTTACTCAGGAACTGCTTAGACGAATGATCAAGTCAATGGAAATATACGAGGGATTAAATGCCGACCTTTTCTACAAAACAGCCCGTACTCTGAGTCGTCTGGCTGGTCGAAAGCCCCAAATTATGAATCTCATTTCCGGGATTTGCAAGAAAGCAATTCAATTGAATCCATCGTCAACGTCAATCTACATAATGGAGCTCGCTTATGAGAAGGCAATGCTGTGTGACTATGATAGCGCAATGAAAAGCTATCGTGAAGCAGGGCGAACTGATGAGACTAATATTGCAGCACTTTATGGGACTATCTACAGTCATATTATGCTGGGTGAGCTTAGCAATGCAGAGCAGCAGCTAGACTTTCTTGTGGCTATCTCGGAATCCATAGAGCCATCAGCCCACTTGCCTTTTCTTAAGGCACTCCTTGCATGGCGGCATCTTGGCGACGCGGATAAGCATGCTAACCTGTTAGAGCAGGCCGAGATACTTCATTTTAAATCCATGGCTAGTTACAAAGCATCGGACACATATGAGAAACTTTTCCTCTTAAATCCTGACTTTCTAATTCAATTGGCAAAGGAGTATATACTACATTTGCAATTTGCCGTCAAGTTGATGCATGCGGGCAAGGCTAGGGCAGTTGGTCAAAGCAGGGCTGTGCGCCGTGGCATGGATATATTAGAGCACGTATCGCGCGAGGCTCCTGGACTAGTAGAGCCATATCTCATACTGGCCCATACTCAATTCACGCTAGGGGAATTTGAAGCAGCAACTCGAGTGGTGAATATCGCACTAAATTTCGACACTCGGTCTGCTCCGGTCCATCTTCTTGCGGCGCAGCTAGCTCTGGCCAATGGGAACACTCGAGGGGCTGGTGGTGCTTTGGATCAGGCCACCGCCTGTGATTTTCATGTTCGTAAAGCCCCCGCATATGCGTTAGTAAAGGCTGAGCTGTATTTACTCGAAGAAGACCCCGAAGGAGCTTTAAAAATTTTACGCGATGCGATTCAGTTGCCCGGTATTAGGGACATCGTCACCACCCAAGGCGTTGTTCCGGTATCAGAACGGGTAGCTGTATTTGTTAACCTGGCAAATGTCCTTTCTGGGCTGAATCGATTCGCCGAAGCTGCAAGTGTTCTTGCTGAGGCTCGGGTGCGGTTTGCAGGCACCTCGGATGAGGCTCGGGTTCTTATGTCCAGTAGTATGCTCGCAATAAAATGCAACGACTTTGATAAGGCTATATCCATACTAGATGGTGTACCTAAATCCTCACCCGTGTACGTTTGCGTTCAGCACTTTAAAGCGAATCTTTATCTCACAGAAAGGCATGACAAACACACTTATATGCAGTGTTTTCGAGATCTTGTTGATTTCAGTCCAAGCGCACATTCATACGAGCAGCTTGCTGCTGCCTTCATGCACATCCAGGCACTTGAAGCCGCAATAGAAGCTTATGAACGTGCATATAGCTTGAGTCCACATGATGTGTCACTTGCGGTGAAGATAGGCCATGCTCTTGTTTCCACGCATGACTATCTCAAGGCAACTAACTACTATGTCACTGCCCTTCAGGCTCATGCAGATGACATAAGTTTGAGACATGATCTTGCTACATTATTCATGAAGCTCAAGAAGCACGGAAATGCCACCAAGGTCCTCACTTACGTACTGCAGCCTGCGGGCTCCTTGCCAGAGACCTCCAAGATGAGCAACGAGGTTCAGTCCCTACTGCTACTAGCTGAGGTGCATGCGCGTGCTGCCAAAGGTGTCGCCATTGCTGATGTGCCTGATGCAAAGCATGCTGTAGTCAGCTTTCTCCTCAAGGCTCGCGACTTACAGCGCCTTATTTTAAAAAATGTAAATTCAATCATGGAGACACCTGAAGTCGTCAATGAACAGAAGAGAGTCATGGTCAAGATATGTTGCGAGCTTGCGAACTGTTACCTTGAAGAGGATAAGCCCGGAGACAAGGCCTTGGATGCATACCAAGATGCTCTTAAGGCAGATAACGTAAACTTATAGTCACACAGAATTTGCTATGCTCCCTTTTCCCTTAACAAATCGCAATGTAGGCCAACAATAATTGTATGTTTCAGCTCGCACGACTTTGGGCCAAGCAAAACAAACAAGAAAAGAGTGAACAGCAGTGTGTGGCGATACTACGAATCAACCCCAAGCATGATGACTCTGCCATGCTTCTCGCTGATCTTCTATCTCAAAATCAGAATCATGAGGCAGCGACAGATAGAATTTGTCAGATTCTGGAACGACACCCCAGTAACTACCTTGCTCTTAGCAAATTAATTAGATTATTTCGCCGCGCCGGCAGACTTGATGACGTATCTCGATTCCTCGAAATTGCAGAACAGTCAGATTCTCGTGCACTCTCGCACCCAGGTCTGTGCTTTTGTAAAGGACTTAATTGCCGTTATTCAAACAATCTAATTGCGGCCATTAAACACTTTAACCTTGCACGATGGGATAGTAAATGGGGAGGACTTGCTATTATGAATATGATTGAGCTATACCTCAACCCAGAGAATGAGCCTCAGAATCTACACCGTGTTCCAACTCACCGCCTTGGAAATCTTTGTAACTGCCGGACCCGTAGGTGGGATGAAAAAAGCGAAACTGAATTCAATTTGCAAACTGATATGACCGTTGGTCACCTTCTCAAAGAATTGGAAATTTTCGAGGTTCCCGTTGACGTTAATATTAAAGTTAAAGTTCTGAGAGCATATTCTTATCTCACAATTCGATCACAAGCAAAAATTGACCAAGCTATTCAGATGTTCATTGAAATTTTAGAAAGACGGAAGGACTATCTTCCTGCACTGCTTGGCATATCTACCGCATTTTTGATTGATAAATCGACCACAAAGGCGCGCAACGCATTGAAGCGCATTGCCAAAATGCCCTACTCACATGAGCTTGCAGAAGAGTTTGAGCGAGGATACTTGCTACTGGCAGAGATATACATTCAAAAGTCTAAGTTTGACCTCAGTGAGGACCTATGCAATCGCTGCCTTAAGTATAACCTGAGTTGTAGTAAAGCATGGGAGACCATGGGCGTTATCCGAGAAAGGGAAGCGTCTTACAAGGATGCTGCTGACATGTACGAAAAGGTTTGGTCAGTGCTTAAATTCAATACTGAGCTTTGAGCAATAATTTAATCAAAGTCTGCCGGCTGTAGGCCTGGCGTCTTGAGCACAGAGCATCTGCAAGTACTGGGTTTAAGCTTGCATTCAATTACCTCAAGGCAAAGAGGTTTGTTGAGGCCATTGAAGTTTGCAACAAGGTGCTCAATTTGTACCCAGATTACCCCCAAATTCGGGCAGATATACTAGATAAAGCCATGATAGCACTCCGACCATAAAAGAATCCTGGAAAATCACATGCTTTTGTTTGAGAGAAGCTTCAGGCATGATGAACTCCCTTCATTTGAAATTTAAGAATATTTAATCAACGTGCAGGCATTTAAGGCGCCTTTGGGTCGTAGAATCAATTCTCGTTCCTATGCTAGTAATTTGGTCTCTCGAGCGCCTCGGGTACCTATGGCGTGGATCGCATGTGCAAGCGCGGCCGTTTAGTCCAACAGTGGCAAAAGAAGCCTGAGTGCCCGCTGCGGGCCGGAGGACGCAGCGCGGTCGTTTTTTCTTTCAAGTTGCAGTCGCCCCCGGGCCAGCTCTCCTCGGGCTGGCGGGCAAGTGACCATTTTCTTTCTAACTCTGTTGGAAAATGCCGTGGGTAGCGTACTGACGGGCCTCTCTGTCAGCTATGGGCTGGGGCGAACGATTCTACCCGTCCACTGGCAAGCCTGAGTTTCAAGTTGCACCGTCACGGTGCCTCAATGGGCCTTTTGGTGGGAATTTGGTAAGTGTTTCGGCCCGAATCTGAGTGTCTGACGAAGTGTTCGGACGAAATTTTAAGTGCTTAATCTGGTTCTAGTGCCAGTTGGTTCTAGTAGGTACTAAAAGGGGTGCTAAAAGAGTTCAAACCAGAATAGCCCGGTGTATAGGGCTGCGTTCGTTCGGCCTAAGGTACGTCCGAGTCGTCGGTCACGGTGGCTATCTTGTGGCGGGGGCGGGCTCAGGGGCGCTATAGGGGCAGTCGCGCGCTAGGGTGCAGTTTACGCACGGCGTTCTTTACGTGAGAAGCGGTCCAGCGTCATTTACGCCGTAATTTACGCGTAATTTACGCGTGCATTTATTTATAAAACCCGCACACACGCGGGCAGAGCGCCTAACAAGGCCTTGGTAGCCACGCAGCTCAATAGCAGCACGAGCACGGCGCATAAGCTTACACCTAGAGTGCACACCTTGCTCGCAACAGCATGCAACTAGCAATTGGCTCGGCTCTGACAACGTTTGGGGCAGCCACACTCTGCGAGGTGCTGTTCGCGAGCTAGAGTCTTAAAGGGCCGCTAGCGCCGGCTTCGGGAAGAGCCCTGGAAGGACTTTTGGATACCTCCTTTTTTACGCCGTTTTTTACGTGGGATCTCCTGTAGCGGTGCTTTACGTGTAATTTACGCGTGTTTTCCACGTAAACTGCACCCTAGGTCGCGCGTTGCGGGTACTGCGCGCGCAAGTGTTTTTAGCTAAATTCAAGTGTTCAAGTTTGGGCGAGAGTGTTTGGGATGTTTTGGTAAGTGTCTGGAGGCATCTCGGAGCCTGAGGCCCCGGCCCGGGGCCGGGGGAGGAGCAAACATTTGCTAAGTGTTTCTCGTCCACCCTGACTCGGAATGCCAGTGGGCCTATTCAAGTTCACTGGCATTCAAGTCACTCAGGCTCAGGCTCCGAGTCAGTGCCAGTGACGGTTGCCATCTTGAAGTCACGCCGGTTCAACTTGAAGTTGCCCGGGCCGCGGCCAGCCTGAGGCTTGCCAGGACGCCTACGGTCAACCCGCATCGAGTGGCGTATAATATAGCTGTTGTGGCTTAGGTTTGAAGTGTGCCTGTGATCATGTATACGTATGCCAGCGGCGGCTGACGTAGGCATATTATTATCGGTAGGTACCGTAGGTACGGTATCAGAACTTGTAAAATCGTTTTGAAGCAATTATTTCCGTGATTACCGATGAGACTATTTCAGGCTATCGATATGGTAGAGATTAAGTCTTCGTTGGGTCTCCAACAAGTCATTTTCTACCAGGGAATGTGTGCCTTTGTTTTTAAAAAAAAGCCTGCTGATAGATCAAAGTAGGTTCTCGTTGCTTTACTTTGCTATATGTGGTGGCTGTCTCCTGAACAAGTTACAGAACTACAAGTTCCAAAATAGCATCTTATTCATTTTGACATTGCCCATATTTTCACTGTGGTGTTGTATTGAAATTGTTAGAATAGGACTTGGATATATTGGAAATCTCTTGGAAAAAGTCCCGATGATATCTGCATTCTTGCTTCTCACTATATTCCCACAGCTTGTTGCGATATTATTTCTCACATTTCTCCAAGATCCGGTATAAAATACATTGATTTAAATTTTCTAGACCCAAAAATTGCGAATTAGGTGTTCCCCTTTGATACTGCGGCAGGTTCAATGATGATACTATTCCTACTTTCTGAGCTGTATGTTGGAAGGCTTACCTTTAAAACTCTTATCGAACGTCAGACAGCACAATTCTTTCGACTGTGTCAAGAGGAAGAAATGGAACGCATACTCAACACCACCTTTGTCAACCGTCCATCAGCTGGCCGAGGTCGATAGGTACTTTTGCTTATCTTAAGGCAATAGGCCTAGTATACCAAGTCAGCGAGTCGGGAATCACCCGTTTCATTGACATGGTCTCAGATCGCAGACGTGCCACGCGAGGCCGGGGAACGTTAGAGGGTCTGGTACGGCGCGCTGATCCGATGACAAGGCTGAGGCGCGACTGAGGCGTCGCCACTGCCCGTCCCCTGAGAAAAAGGTGTGCAAGGGACCCACGATATGGGCTCCCGCAAATTAACACTGTTGATAAGTACCAAGGCTTCAAAATGATTACGTCCTGCTGTTATTCGTCCGTACTAAGCATTTTGGTCACCTTCTTGATGTACGTCGCATTGTGGTGGCAATGTCCCGCGCGAGACTAGGCGTGTACGTCTTGGGCCGCCTGTTCACCTTAAAATCTTGCATGCAGCGAAGTTTTTGTAGCCAGTCTGGCCACAACGTCCACGATCCACCAGGAAATTTGGTCTTTTCATCGATGGACCTATAGAGATGGGCATCCTTGTCAGTCAACTCGCTAGTCGCCATTCAATTTTGTAGTGGCTTCCGGGGTTTACTCCCCCCGCCACCATAGTCAATTCCAGTCGGGGTTTGGGAGGGGTCACTGACGGCAGTCCTGGCCACTGGCAGACTCCAGGCCGGGGGGGCATCTAGCAGTCCTTCGAGTTCAAGTTGCCGTTTCCGGGTAGTACCTACGGTAACTAGACTGCAGGAGTGCAAGAAATATGAAGAAATATATATATACCCCCCGGGCCTATCTCCTAATAGGAGACTCGGACTCCTATCCCACTCCCCCGGGCCTCACTTTCACTCTCCTATACTAGGCTATAGTCCCGCCGCCTTGACCCGTAATAAAGATTACCCATTCATTCACGCATAGTGTTAATATTACACGGGGAGTCAACTACTAGTACAGCCAAACCCACTCACACCGTTGCAGGGTGACAGCAGAGTGCCGTCCCCTATATTTACCCCGCAACTAGCTAGTAGTCATCCCGAGAGTCCGCTCCTAGCCTGAGAGACTCGGAGAGCCCACCGGCCCGCCCCGGCCGGCCGCCGTTACGTTTCTGGGGCCGCCCGGGCCTTACTTGAGCGAGCTTGCCTTAGGTGGCAACCGCTCGCCAAGCTGCCTACTCAGGCTCACCAAAGTTGAGCCTCCGGGTTCCACTGCCAGTGACAGTGAGAGCGCTAAGTTTGAGCGAGCTCTCCGCAGCGACCGAATATGACCGCGCAAGAGGTGCTGGGCAGTCCGAGTCCGAGTCACGGTCACGGTCGCCTCCTGCCACTGGCAGTGCAGTCACTGGCACGGTGCGCCTGCGAGCGTGCGTCTTAAGCTGCCAGTGCTGCCCCCCGCGAGGCCCTGTTCGGCGCGCGGCCGGCGCCGCGAATAGATCTCCAGATCCTACTCTCCAGACTCGATTCCAGCCCTCGGCGAGCCAGTACGCCTGTGCTCATGTACAAGTGGTACCGCCTGTGCTCTAAGAGCCGGTACGTAGGTACAAGCTGGTACTTGGATTAGACACAGTAGGGGGGGGGGACTATGAAACGGCAGAGTACACGTACATACGCAGCTAGCCTGCCGCAGTACATAAAGCAGATCAAAGGTACGAGCGGCGTAAACGGCCGGCCTGTACAGCTCGATTGCGAGCATTTCGCTACTTGGATCGTCTTCTAACTCCTCCATCGTGCCGAGTTACAGCCCGGCGAAGGTTGCGAGAGCATAGTCGCGCCTCTGCGAAGCCATAGTCGCGCGCACCGGGGCAGCGGTATTGCGGCTGCCCAAAGTACCAGCGCGGGCGTCCTACGACGCCTCCACCCACCTGGTATCGACGCCAACACGACGGTCTGACGTCAACACGCGGACACTCTCGGACAGCCGTCGTAGAGCGGCCCCACATAGACTTATGGTGCAGTGGTAAGCTCCGTGCGACCGCTCCGACAATGCATACGGGTCACTAGCTCGATGTCCGCGTGCTTTTCGGGTAGGTCTTGACGCTTGTTACTGCTCTGGCGGCAGCCCGCGGATAAGGCCTCGACAGCCTCGACGGAGCACTAAATCGTGGTGTGGAAGGCGACCGGACGGCCAGATGCCTGCGATATCATCCATAAGCATGTCCATGGCGCCAGAACTTGGAAGGATGTGGCGAAATGTGAGTTAGGAGTTCCAGGTCGAGAAGAGCTGTACCGCTACCTCAAAACTAAGCCAAAACTTGCGTCGTTTGCCAGCCTCCTGGTCCGCACACACGAGGTGAATTACTGGGGCTCCAAAACTGCCCTCTTTTGTCGTGATGGGACGCGTTGCCTTGAAGTCGTGGGCGGCCGGGCTAGAGCTCCGCAGTGGTGTTCGTGCGTCGTCTAGAGCCGATTCCGAGAGTGCTGCCTCGACGGGCGGCGCTATTCCGCAACCCCCGTGGGCCCGCAGTAGCCAGAGACCACGCTAGGCACCCCTAATTCCTCGATTACGACTACTCTGTCCGAGACTATCAGTACACTAAGCCTCGAAACTCTGCTATATTTAGTCCGTTGGACGCCATGCTTGTACCGAGGCATCCGCCGGTGGACGCTTCTCCCCGCTGGCGTAAAAAGGGGATATAGCTAGTATGAGTTGAAGCGCCAGTGGGGCTAACTACGGTTACTATGTCTAATCCTGGTACCACGGTACCGTAGGTACCGTAGGTACCTACCGTAGGTACGGTACCGTGGTACAACTAGTACGGCAATTGTATAACGTCGCATGTGATCGCACCAATGAAACTAATATGATGACACAGAGGCAATGCGAGCCTGTATCTGCGGTCACAACGCAACCGGCGAATACACCTCCATCACTGGGTTTACTTACCGAAGTAGAGCATCGTCAATTAAATTGTGTCCCAGCGTCAGGCGTGGCGAAATCGAGGACGGAACGACTGCAAACACAGCTAAGTGCTCTTGGTCGCCAAGAATTGTGTTTATCCCCCACATCCATGCTCTCAATTTCAAACTATGAACACCATGTAGTCACAGAAGCTAGTCTCAAGTATCCTTTCTTGTACGACTCTGTGAAACGTACAGGAAAAGGTCATGCACAGCAGAACATACCGGATAGCCGTAGGCTGCAATCTACGGAGCTATCGGCATTGGCGGCTGAAATGAATCTAGCAACAAAACCAAGACTTTTGAGCATTGAGTCCTCATTTGGGACTTCACCAAGCAAGTCTGACTCACGTGTCTCGTGGTCGTTTGCATTTGCTAGTGTAGTGTGCTTACGTAGGTTGAAATCAGGTCCGAGGTACAGACATGTACTACGACGCGGTCATGTTAGGATTTCGAAGCCGCTTTTTATCGAGAAAATGGGAAGAGCCAAGGCGAGTCCATCCGTGACCATTCAATGTGCTGCTCGACGGTGGCTTGCTTGCATTGAGATGCACAACCAAGCAAAGCTACGAACATTGCAGGCCAGGCGCGAACACTGTTCACTGATTCAGCTCATAAGAGTCAGGCAGATGGCAGTTGATACTGCACAGAAAACTGCTCGCAACACCATGTCAAGATCGTCAGCGCAGCAACATTCTGAGTACACCAATGCCTTGACTATTTTACAGTATTACGCTCGTGGTCGTGTTGGAAATCTCACCCTGACCAAGTTGCGTCAAGGAAGCTTGATATTGATGTCGACAGTTCTCTTGATACAGTGTCATTGGCGAAGAAAGCAGAGTTACAAAAGCGCTGGCATAGCACGTGTGACAGCTCTTTCGATGAAACTTACACAATTTGTCCAGGGGCGATCTCTTGGGCAGCGGAAAAACTTCCAGACTCATGGTGCTGTCGTTTCACTTCAAAAGTATTGGCGAAAGCGCGCACAAATGCGCCAGCTACGGTTCAAGCATGATTATCTTCGTGAGCTCAGTGCCAATGTTATCCGCGGTTGTATTTTGCGTTTGATCTCTCGCACACAGCGTCGCCATCGCCGTTTGGCAGACAGGACCGTCCGTTAGCTAGAGTCTTAAAGTCGTCCTTTTATAGAAAATGACATTATAGAAAATGACATCATTGCTTCGCGCAGGTAACTCATATAACAGAATTGATCGCGATTAATGTCCAAACGCTATATCGTCGGCGGGCCGCAATGCTAGTCGTAAAGCAGATGCACCTCGATGCTCGTGTTGATGTTATGGCACGGCACAAGTATCGTGTTCAACGACTAGCGTCTTTACGAATTTTTATAGCAGATAGCAATTCAGTAAGTACATATCCCAATCAATGGAGACGCTCTGTGGTTCGAGCATACAGACAATTTCTCGTGGCGTCTGCAAGCGCTGGCGTCCCCTGTAGGATAGCTGGAAGATCCACCAGATTATTGGCTGTTGTCAAAGTTGGGGCTATTTACCGAGCCTACTCCTGTGCCTCACGTGTACAGTCGAGGTTGCTGCAACAGCGACTTCGTGACAGCGCTGCAGACGCAAAAACACAGAGAGGCTATGTTGTTGAACTACAGCAGTGTGCGCGCGCGTGGTTGGCTCAATATCATGCTAGAAGAAAATACTTGAATCATTCTAGCATCACAATTCAGAGGTTTGCTCGCGGTAAACTAGGGCGGCGACGAATTTATCATATTCGTAAAAAGCTCGCTGCTGTAATTTCCATTCAGGCAACTGCACGCAAAGCTGCAGCTACTAAAACATATCATCCCCAACTTCGATGGCTGCAGCAGCTCAAAGTCCCCACTTCAATCCTCCAGAGTCAAGTTCGTCGACTTAAATCTATTGTATTGGCTACGAAATTGCGCGAAGCTGTAGTCTTTGATAACGAAAAGATCCTTAGAGCACACAAAAACCTCTGTTACTGTCGCCAAATTGTGCGTACTGAGCTTTGCATTGAATCATATAGAGGCCGCGCCAAGTACCGAGGAGAGTTTCAAGCTATTTTTGCGAAGTACTGTCGTAAAATATCGACGTCAAAACAAAGTTTTTCAACTCATTCATGCATCAAATTACTAGGTGTGCACCCAGCTGTCGAGTTAACCTCGAGTAAGCGGCAAATGCAGCCACGCGCGATCTCCCAAGATATCACGGTGCGAGGCAGAACGCTTACGGAAGACAACAGTCAGTTGGTACAGCAAGCCCATTGCTATGGTGCAAAGATGTCCGCGTCAGAATTTACTCGGCTATTCAAGGACACTTCTGGGGCGGTTGTTGGTTTCAGTCGGCCTTCAGCCAAAGAAAGGTCATACAATGGAATAAAAACCAGCGATCTTGAAGTAATTTTTGCTCGTGAAAAACGCCATGGTGAGAAGTGCATTACATTTGATATCTTCTTGGCACTCAGCATCGTATGAAATTCGCGCGTATTAGTGCTAATGTGTGTTATGCCCAGGTTTGCCTGGAAGAAGTCTGCACACAGCTAAATCTCAGTGGAGAAAGTACCATGGGGCGTCTAGCTGATGGTCGCTTTGAAAAGGTGCTTTCTATGCTCATTCATGTATGGTTACAGGAAAGTTGGGCACTTGATATAAGATATGCTCTCGAAGCACGTGTGGATAGAAAGCTTGAAACAAGCGTAACATCCTTACAGACGTTCGCTCGTTCGGTTGCTGCTCGTTATTATGTGATCGCCAAAAAGAAAACGCACTACAATGGTGTGCATTCACGTGCCACAGCAGGTGCCGCTATTTTTATCCAAACGCGGCTCGCACGCGGTCCTGCTGCTCGTGCACGTACGGTTGTGATGGCCCTGCGTGCCTTTAAAAAATACGCAGTGGATGATAATGAGATGCATCAGTACTCTATTCCATGCAACGAACTGAGCCATGGCTCCACCTTATGTTACTGGGCTTTTGTCGGTCTAGAGAGTGAAAATTCTCGTAGCAGGTCCATTCGAAAGGCGACACATACCCGAGTCGCATGGGCGAAACCTAAGCTTCTGCGTAATGCTGACGTACAAAAGATCTTGCGCAGACCTTCTCTTCGAACTGCGTTCATTGTTGATTGTGCCTTTTGTGGGATCAGGGCTGCAGAAAAAGTATGCCTTGACTCATGCGCTGACCCGTTTTTTACGCGTAGCATATAATCAAATTGTGAGAGAAGGCTATTGCGCCTTTGTAGGTACTGTAATGAATGTTGGGATGCAGTCCATCGCCGCGGGAAACGGCAGCAGCATGCCTTTCGTGCCATTGTAATATGCGTGGACTGTGGTGGTAGGCAACCTGCCAGTCGCATCTGTAGTACCTGCTCGGCATCTGCGGGTTGCATTGTCTCTCTCTGTGACGTACATTAATCTGTGCCGTGATTTGTCTTTTGGATCACTCACAGCATATGAGCCAGGTATGTTTTCATAGTCGCCATGCTTTGTGCTTGCAGCAAAATCACTCACAAGACAATGCATTGAGCGATCAGAGACTGAGATCTGATGCACTCAGGCCACACCGTTGGACACCTCTTGTTCAGCCCTGCACATTCTGTGGTAATTTTGCAGCTAGGTGGCTGTGTCCGCCATGCAAGGAGTCTTATTGTGCTGACTGCTACTCACAACTTCACGGGCGTGGTGCAAGTCTGGCACACGCATGTAATCGCCTGGGCTACTACACGGCAGAGGATCAGCTCCGTGACGAACATTTCTTCCGAGCAAGCGCACGGCGCTCCATCGAACGCCATAAGAAAGAACTGGCTCGTAATTCTGAGCCCATATTGCGCAAGCAAGCAGCACTAGCGATCCAAAGATCATATCGCGCCGCGAGTGGACGTGCCTTGGGTCGCAGCTGGCTTCGATCGGCAAGGGCAAAGCAATCTTACCAGCAACGGCAAACTCACTATTCGAAAAGCTTGTGCATCCGTCGGATCCTTGGGCTTACTAGTCATACATTATTGCCACATGATGCTAAGGAGCAGATTGCAATGGAAAGGACATTATTCTGGAAGTGCCAGCCAGCGAAACATAGTAACCATACTCATAATTCATAAGATGCAATTCAGGCGCGCACGCGCTCGATACTTTATCCTTCAAAATTGCACAGATGCCTCCCTGAATGGCGATTTGCCCACTGATCCAAAGAGGATCCAGGGACAGGGCTTTGGAATTGGCAGTACTGGCGAACTTGCAGATCAGGCATCTTTTGGCGGGGTTCGGCTACCAGGTCGCGCTTTCCCAGTTGAAGGTACCAAGCACGTCAATGTATCACATGACCTACGCAAGTTGTTGCGGCCAGGTGATCGAATCCGCATCGGAAGTAGCCTTTGTCGCCTCCACAAAACTCATCCAGGAGCAGTCGATAGAAATAGCCTACAGCTACGGTTCTGTTGGGTTAAGCCGGACATAGGTGCTACAGGCTTGTGTCTATATCGTTTACCACCTCAGGGACAAGCAGGTAAAATGTGGACAATGATTGGGCGCATCATGTATGAGAATCAGCTCACACAGATCCTGATCAAAGGATATTGCGGCTTTCATTTCAAAGTTTGCGAGTATCAACGAGTGTGGGCAAAGAGGCTGCATCATAGGCTCCCCAAAGTCGCTAGTCAACTCCAAAAGTGGTCCGCTCAGCATGAGGGAATTCAGCAGCGGGTCCAGTGGTGGACAATGGACTGGCAACAAGTTCTCGAGTCTCGTCGTAGGAAAGCAGACAGGTCGTAAAGATTCGTCTTCCGTATTCCCAATTGAATAAATAAATAATTAGAAATCGAGGATGGAGGAGGCAGGAGGCAGGCGAGGCATAACTACACATCACGCCGCGCCAGATCCCGCGCCCCCAGGCTTCCCAGGAGCCGCTGGCACACTCCAGCTGTGGCATGCCAGTGGATCATTGCATGGATCCCTTCCGACGCGTGATCGTGACGGTCACCCCGAGCTTGAGGTTGTTGGTGAACATAGAACCAGGCTCCTGTGAGAGAGTAAGGGGAAGGCTCAAGTTAACCGTGACTGACTTGAATTTCACTGGCGACTGGAGCCTGAGCCGCATGATGATGTTGCGGTTGCCCCTCCCGGGGCCGAGTCACTCACTGGCAGACTAGCCGCACTGGCAGGCTTCTACAGGCGAGGCCGCACTGGCACCCAGTTTCGTAGATCGCACCGCGTATAAGCATCCAGAATGCACTGCCATAAGCTACCTACGGTACTAGTAGGGATCCGGCATGTCAGTATAAATCTTTGTAAGAGTAGTAAGAGTAGTCGGCGCTAGTTGGCGCAGCATGGACTTGGGAGATTTGTGGAGCTGGGACAAACATAAGTTGGGTTGTAAGATCCGTGTTGAAACTCATAATCCTGCGCTTGACGAACTTAGGGAGACAACAGCAGCGGATGGATGCAGGCGCGAAAACAACGTACGGACGACAGCTAGTTCTATCGAAGTATCCAATTCACCGGCTGTGTTGGTGGGTAATCAACATGATTCGCAGCGCACGATGTCAAACACTCGTAAGAATATCTACAAGAAGTTTTTTGAAATTCCACGAAGTCCACCAGCCAAAATTATTCTTGACATGCAAAAAGAACGGCTCAGGCTCAACTTGTCGACGTCGGCTTATGCACCACCACATTCACTGATGAAGACTCGGTCTGAAGAAAAGTCTATCCTGTCACCGAAATTGTACCAGCGCCAACGAGAATGGGAAGTCCAATCTGACGTCAACTCCGGTGACCTCTTGATGATGACGCAAGATGGTCACAGCGGCAAAGTCATACATCATGCCAGCCGTGATGCTCATCACACAAAGCACAAACTCCAGAAGCAGGCCAAGCCGATATTGAACCAGATGCACTTATCTTATAAATCTAGTACGCCAAAATGTGATGCACAGGAGGACTTTGCTGGCGTGGAGAATGCATCACAACTAAAGGACGAGCCAGATGCACAGAAAGCTAAACTGGACTGCGTCAATTCTATTGCGGCGTGGTCAGCTCATGGCGAGAATGTTGCGCGCTTAGCTGAAGAAGGCGCTGTGCCTGGAATCCTGATGTTATCACAGGACGAGAATGAGAGTGTGCGCGGAGCATGTGCTACTGCCTTTGGACATATGTCACGACACGCTGAATTATGTGAGCAGCTCATGAAGCACAACGCTGTGCCTGTGATCTCCGACCTTGGTATCAACACCATAGATGCCACAATCTCCCGTGATTGCACCTTAGCCTTAGTTAATTTGACCACCGTAGATGGAGTTGAAGCAAAACTGGTTGAAGACGGGGTTGTGGTATCTTTTCTAACCCTTATGAACCAGCACGAAATACATTCGGAAGCATGTAGTTATGGTCTTTTCAATTTGACTTGTGTAGATCAGCCCTACATGCATATAGAGCGTGTGATCAAGGCCTTTGTGTCACTGGCAACAAGCACCGACGCAACAGTAAAGCACATCTGTGCAGCAGCTCTCTGCAATCTCTCAGACATTAAGCCTATTTGCTCTAGGATAGTTGAGGAGGGTGTAGTCCAAGTTGTTGGACTTTTGGCGAGAGGAGCCGAGGCTAGGACAAGACGGGTCTGCGCTATTGTTTTGCATTCGCTTGCGTCCACAAGAGCATGCCGCGCTGATATGGTAACAAAAGGCGCAGTGCAGATTCTCTATGCGCTTTCTTCGGACGCTGACACAATTACACTACACTACATTGCGTCTGCTACCACTCGCCTGGCCACGGATGCACAAAATCTCCCCAGGCTTGTGCACGAGGGTGGTGTAACTGCACTGTGCAATATTTGTCTTAGATGTCCACAAGATATTCCAACTACAAAACTCTGTGCTTCCGCACTTTGCCTTCTTTCACAACAAGCAATCGGCCGACAGGCCATAGTCCAGGAGGGCTGTGTGCCTGCTCTTGTTTCGTTGTTGCACGAGTCTTCCGATTTGTCTACCATTCAGCAAGGACTCTATGCCCTTACCACTCTCCTCGCGGATGAAAATAATCATGAACAAGTGCTGGGCCAGGGTGGTATAGCTGCCGTTATTGAGCTTTGTGGTCATGCATCGCCAGTAATCCGTGAGGCCTGTTCTCTGGCATTGTTCAATTTTTCCTGCGGCAAGGCTCCCCACGAGAGGGGCATTTCTGCGTCTGCGATTCCAGCCATTATTGCTTTATCGAGGCTGCCTGAACCCCGAACACGTATGCGCTGCGCGGCTACACTTTGCAAGCTTGCCGCATTTGAGGCTAATGTTAGTCTCATGGTTGATGAAGGTGTTGTATCAGCTTTTATTGATATGCTTCAAACTGGAGATCAGGATATTGTTAAGCATTGTTGTGTGGCCCTTTGTCGTCTCGCCCACGAAGGCTCCTCTGCAGTCACTATTACTGAAGGTGCGGTGCCAAAGGTAATCGCCGGGTGTGGTGGAGAGTCCGATCCCACAACCCGCATATCTTGCTGTGCAGTTCTGTCCGCTGTGTCTGCACACGAGCCATGTCGTCGCCCTCTTTGTGCCATGGGGACACTCGAACCTCTCATTTCACTGGCTCGTGATCGCGGGGCGGATGACACAACACGGCTTAGATGTGCCGTGGCATTTGCCAATTTGTCGCACGAGCCCGCCGTGCAGGGCGAAATGGTGAAGGCGGGGGTCGTGCCAGTTGTTGCGGAGTTATCAAATTCGTACTGCGAAGAGAATCAGTTATATTGTGCTCGAGCACTTTGCAATCTTGGCTGTCATTCAGGATCCGAGCAGGCCATCGTTGAACAGGGGGGCGTGACTGCTCTCATGATGATTTGTATGGTTCGTGCAGTGTCGCATTTTACCAAGCAAATTTGTGCAAAAGCTATTCTAAATCTTGTGTGTGCACCTCTCGTTATTAAAGATTGGCTGCCACAACTTGCCGATGAGGGTCTAGTGCAGGCTGTGTCAGTTCTTTCGCGTTTGCCTGAAGAACAGACAATGGGCGTTTGTGCATCAATCTTTTGCACAATCTCAGCCCATGGTCTTGTTGGCAGGCAGCTTCTTGTTAAGCGCAGGTCCACTCTCAAGGACATCTTCAGTTTGATGCGCTCAAGTGATAAGGCCACCCAGACTTTCTGCGGTAAGGCAGTATTTAATTTGCTTGGCCATGCCGACTCCCAGACCTATGCTGTCCAGGCTGGTGCAATTCCCGTCCTTTCAACTCTCTGTACCCTGGGAGAGCCCGAGGTGGAGACTGCGGCAGCGGATATTTGTTTACTACTCTCGGGAGAGGCGGCCTATCGCCAGGAGATTACTGAGGCAAATGTGGTGCCGGCTTTAATTGAAAGTGCTAAATCTCCAAACCCTGCTACCTGCCAGTCAAGCCTCCGCGTTCTTGCGCACTTGGCATGGTGGAGCCACATGCGCACATGCATCATTCACGCAGAAGTGATGCCTACGCTTGCTTCTCTAATTGAACAGACGCCTAGCATTGAACCAGGGGATTTATTAACCGAGAAATTGATTCTGCATATTATAACATATATTAGTTGTGTGTCAGAGGAATATAAAGTCATGCTTGTCCAAAATAATATTATCCCTCTGCTCGATATCCTGTTCTGTAGATTAAGTTCGTCCGGAGACATAGCATGTGCTTTGCACGCTCGTAAATTTATTGCCATGTCAGTTCGATCCTTGACCGCTTCCCAAGGCGCCATTAACAAGCTCGTCGGGGACGGTGCCATAAGACTTGTCTGCAACATTATGTGTGCTGGGGAAGATACAAATTCAGATGTTTATGAGAACTGTGCAATATCATTATATTCGGTTGCTCAAACACAGTACTACAATGATGTATTGTTGGAGCAAGGTTTACTGAAAGCAATCTCAAGGCTAGCACAGCACCCAGAGTGCTTTGGAATTGCTGCGTCAATCCTGTATTTATTGTCCAGTGACCCACAACATCGTGAGCTAGTTGTTCTAGACTCTGGTGCACGCAACTTGCTTTTTGCCATTGCGGACCAACCAACCCACTCCAAATCAGCCATCCAGTTTTGCGCTCAGACCTTATTCTGTCTGTCGCGGTGTGCGGCAGAATCCCGTGAGGTACTTATCTCTGCTGGTCTTGTTCCTCTCTTGCTCCGCCTTTCTGGACATGATGATGAGAAAGTTGCCTCCCCTTGCTCTGAGGCTTTAAGAAATCTGAGCTCTGAGGGATCTAGTGCCATTGAGGAAGGGACTGTTTCTAGACTCCTCGCAGAGGCACTATCTTATCCCCGCGAAAGAAAGAGCGCAGCCATCATTGACGTTTCTCCGGCCAAGGTTTCTGCAAGGCCGCTTGTTTTGGACAATTATGGTCCCTCTAGTGATATTTTATGTCATCTCTTGATCCAAAACTTTAAGCCTTTTACAATATCTATCATAAAAATGATAGGCGGGGTCGCTGGCTCTGGCCCAGCACCTCCCGAACCCCCAGAGATGGATGTTCATGATCCTGCCAATCACGTTTCTTTTGACGGCACTGATAACACGGACGATGATGAAAATATAGGCGCTTCAATGATGTTTGCAAAGATGAACACGGAATCTCTTTCCATTTCAAACCATCAGCAACTGATGTTGCAATGATTAGAGCTCACCCTTATAATTGCGTACCTCTCCATCCATAAAAAATATAATGTTTGACATTATAAGCTTACCAGGGGTCCGTTTCAGTGCCCAAGGCCGTCCGAGTCCGGAAGGCTGCATAGGAAAGGGAGACGTGTAATCTGTGGGCCCCACCCCAACCCTCCTCCCCATCCGAGCAGTCCCCTTCGTTTTTCGAGGCTAAAGCGGCAGCGTCGCGGCGCCCGCGGGTTGGCCCTGGAAGGCCCCAGGGCACGAACCCGCGCGGCGCGGCTTGAGCATACCCTGGCTCGCTTTCTAGGCTCGCTTCTGTCCACTCCTTTGACTAAAGTACCGTTCTAGCCCGTATAAACAGTGGTTTTCTTGCTAAAGTTAAACGGGTTTTATGCACTTCAAAATAACTTAAATAAGCTCAGCAGCTAAGGGCCTTCTCCCTGCTCAGTCACGGTCAGGATACCCAACCGGAGCTTCGAAATAGCAGTAAGATAACGGCCCGGGTACAACGGATTTTTCTCCCGGGGGTAATTTGTCCCCCATAACCAAACGACAGCGATATTCACCAGTCAATTGCCGTGCGAGGGGGCGAGCTGAGTATAATCTCGAGTGAAATTGCGCGTTGCGGACACGCTGCATGCGGCAGCGAGACGCCTGGCGCATGGGCCGTCATTCCGGTTCGCGTGAGCTTCGCAGTTCGGTAGAATGTGAAGCACCCCGGGCACCCGAAGGATGATTCGCAGTAAGCCTGAGTTCCCCGGGCCCCTTAGACTATTGATTGGGAGGCGCTACAGCCCCCGATTACTAGCCGGGCCCTTCAGTTTGCTGAAGCCACATTGCTATTTTTAAAGTACTCAGAGCATTTCGCTCCGTTTCTCGCTCTTGCAAGGCGGCTGCCCCAGTTGCAAGTGCACATCCCCGTTAGCTCGCGGGCGTCTTCGTGCGAGTATTTGTGACCGCCATGTGACCATGACCCCCGGGCCATTGTCAACCTGAGAGCTTTGGGCCTGGGAGGGACAAACTAGTGTACTTCTAGTACCTGGGTCCTCCCTGAGCCTTAGGGACTCAAGCACGATGTGGTCATCCTCAGCACATACTTAGTGTAAAAGAACCAAAACTTTGATCAGTAAGTAGTTCCATGCCAGTGCTAGAAGGATGCAAACAAATCGGCGCCGCTGGTGCAAACAGAGATTGGTGCCTCTTCAATAGAGTCAGGGTAAGCTTCATAATTGGAAGTATCAAATTGATCCTTGACGAGGGGAATAACAGGTCCAGTGGCCTTCTTTGCGAGTATGTCATTGAAAGTTACGCCTTGGAAAAATCTATGCTTATTGACATCCAACGCGCCCCCTTTGAGACAGCCGTAGCGCTTCGTTAAATCTGCAACCAGCAACTTTTTGATCAAAGACCTAGCGTTGCGTTCAATGAAGCGCGGAAAGCTCACTTTTCCAATTAGAATTTGCTGATATATGCCCATTGGATCTTCGTCAATAAAAGGGGGCTGCCCTACCATCATTTCGTACACTAAAATCCCCAGCGTCCACCAATCGACACCCCTGCCATGCCCTTTATTCAGTAGAACTTCTGGCGCAATGTATTCGGGGGTTCCACAAAGAGTATACCTGCATCAAAGTTTTACAAGAGAAAATTGGAGACATAATGCGCTTCAAACTACACGGGCTCTAGCGTCTTATATATGACTCTCTTGGCGAAACCAAAGTCTGTAATCTTCACATAACCGTCCTTGTCAAGCAGGAGATTTTCCGGCTTAAGATCCCGGTAAATGAAATCGCGAGCATGCAGATACTCAAAGATAAGCGTGACTTGAGCAGAGTAGAACTTTGTAGAAATTATGTCAAGACGTCCAGCGTTACGGAGGTGAGTAAAGAATTCCCCTCCGACGACATACTCAAGCACCATATACAAGTACCACTTATCTGTGAATAATTATTAGATCAATCAACTTCCCAAAATAGTTAAATTCACCTTGAAATGTGCAAGCGAGATGCACAATAAATGGGTGCTTGCATTGATCGAGAATTGTTTTCTCCGAAATGACATGCTCCACCTGCATGCATGTATAACTGATATGAATAGCAGATAGTAAGCGACTTGACCTGCTGTAAGCGAACCAGTTCGCTCTTCTTCAGAACTTTTACAGCCCATGGAGTTGTTGTATCCTATTTCAATCTCACGTCGTAGTTAACGTGCTCAAACTACCTTGTGAGTGGCAAATCGTACACGCCCGAAGGAGCCGGTGCCAAGAGTTACACCGACCTCAAAGTCGCTTAGCGATGCTGCTGAAATGTCTTGGCCACGGGGCGCCATGTGCCTTGGAGCCCGGGCCCTGATCTACAACGACTAGTATCTTCCGTAAAGATAAATCACGATTGCGCCTCGGCCTAGCCAAACACCGGAAAATCCCTTAGAGCCCTATATAGATATAGAACGTTAGGAAATAATTTTTCCGTAATTATGGTTCAATTTATACGTCTCAGGGGCCCGGGCGATTTTTGGGTTGGGGTTCGGGTTTTATTGCAGCCGGCGGCGGTCGCACCGCGTCGCAGCTGCTTGCTCTGCGCGAGGCTGCCCGCATGGTACCAAATTGCGCACAGCCCATTATTTTAGCATACGGAACCTGCGCCTCAGTGCTAGAAAAATACCCCTATCCCTATCCTAGTAGTCCTTGTTCCCTCCGAGTCCTAGACTATTAAGAACGCGTATGAGCACAACCTCTCTCCGTACTTTAGTACCACGGGGTCTGGCAACTAGGGAATCAGTGCAAAGCACTGCCATGCTCCTAGGCACCTCACTGCCTAGTATTTCAAGTTTTAGCAGGTTATGGGCCCACGGCCGTTCAACTTTGCGTCGCTCACAAGCAACTGTCATAGATGAGGCATTCAGTGGTCTATACTCGACAGCACCACACACGCAACGCGCAATCATGATAAAACCGTGAAACCGAAAACCAAAAACCGTGGCCCGGGCTAGTTCCGAGTCAAGTTCAAGTTAGTGTATTTTAAGGTAGCCTGCCCTCCCGGGCCGGCGGACTACTACTAGGCTATCTCAGCCGCTGCACAGTGTACTCCCCGGGCCAAGGGTGCGTACCATACGTACTAGGTGACCGTGACCCCTCCGAGTCAGGCTTTGGTCTTGCGTTATTCGCACTGGCAGGCAGTACCACTAAGATGGAAACCAAATATGCCAGTGTCACTGGCATAAATCTGACTCGGAAACTGCTACCCTCCTTGTGACAGCAACTGCCAGTGGTGCAAGCCTGAGCCTGAGGGGTCCGAGTCGCGGCTTGTGAAAGTCTGAGCGACTCGGTATCTTCTTGCCATTGTTGCCCTGGATGGCCAGATAACGAAGCCGCATAATCACACTAGTACTAGTTAATCGTTGATCGTATACTGATCGATCAGCTCCCGGCAACTGTTGATTCCTTTAACAAAGTTATCGCTGCGAGCAGGCGAGGTCTTGCAGCACTTACATGATGACGGAGCCAGATAAAGACCCCCTTGCGGACATCGCGGGTGAAGATGATGCTTCGCTGCTAGCTGATCATGTTGCGGCCACTGATTTGACTTCCCTAGTCGAAGCTGACGATGACGAGCGAGAAGAAGACATGTCCGCCTCCGAGGAAGATTCTTCTTGGATATCCTGGTTTTTGAGCTTGCGTGGAAATGAATTTTTTTGTGAAGTTGATGAAGAATATATCCAGGATGACTTCAATTTGACTGGGCTTTCCTCACTCGTGCCGTATTATGATTACGCTCTTGACATGATCCTCGATGCACAAGCCAGCGCCCGTTGCAAGTTGTGTCATGTATTTCCTAGTAGGTAGAGATGGCAATTGAAGAGTCACTCACAGAAGAACAGCAAGAGCTTGTTGAGTGCGTCATATTGACATTTTCTTTTTAGTTTGTACACAGATCAGCGGCTGAAATGTTATATGGCTTAATTCATGCTCGCTACATCATTACGAATCGAGGTTTGCAGGCAATGTACGAAAAGCTCACCTCAGCATCTTTTGGAAAGTGCCCCAGGGCTTTTTGTTCAGGACAGCCTGCGTTACCCATTGGCCGGCACAGATACAGAACATGTTTCCAAAAAAAGTTCCTTATTTCTTTCCTCCTAGGTCGGATGTGCCAAGGAACTACACGGTGCAGATTTTTTGCCCCATGTGCCATGATATCTTCACTCCGCGATCATCACGATCAGCTTCAATAGATGGAGCCTACTTTGGAACAACATTTCCTCATCTCTTCATGCTAACATTCCCTGAATGTATTCCTAAAAAGAGCTCGCAGTACTTTGTTGCTTTCAGAGTAAATGATAGAACTCCCAAGGGCCTCTTTCACTAAAAGTCCCAGGTCCCTCGTGTATTTGGATTTCGGATACACAAGAGTAGTCCATACTACGCTGATTCTGCTCTTTCTTCATCCCAGGTTAAACGTCGCCAAAAGCCACTACGGAGGGCCAAGTCAAAACCGATCGTATTGTGAGTGCTGGTTAGTTTGTAATTCTTCTTCGCTGGTTCGACTTTCATGTAATCACATCCGTGAGCGCGGTGACTGGAAATTTAAATACAATCCAGGACTCCGGGGTTCAGTGCAATAATAGGACGGACCCATCTGCAGCTTCATATTTGTATGTGCAACTTAATGAAGTCTTAATGCACTTAGGTGGCCCCTCTTCCCGCCGCCTAGTGTAATTTTATGCTGGCAGGCTCGCGAGTAAGTTGCATTGGGGTAATAATGGCGACCATGCCTGTTCTCAGTAGCCGCGGCCTAGATCACGACAGCGTTTTTAAAAGCGGAGAGTTCAGGGTATTAGAGGCCCGTCAGCTGGCCCGTCACTGCCAGTGTGACGGTTGGAATTTTTAATTCCAGCCATCTAGGCCCTAGGTTTGAATTTCTTTACGAAACTGAAAGTCATTATCTGCTTCAAAACTTTTAGAGCATTAACCTATCAATTAGATAACTGGAAAAGCAATTCGTCCAATCAGCTGCCAGTGCGGCGACTTTTGCCAGTGACTCGGAGGTGATGACCGGTGAATTTTGGTACCGTTCGGCACCTTCCGGTCCCCGGGGGGGCGAAAGCAACCTCACTTTGCCATACAATAATGGGGTCTCGCTTCACGCAGGTCCAGTCCGCGTCCTTGGGGCCTCGCAGAAGCTGAGATCTCGTCAAATCATTGATGATCGCGTGCTAAGCGGGGCGCGATCGACCGCCCCGGCCGCCGATGCTGCCAAATTCACGCTCACTCACTGGTCAGCGTCGATAGACTCCCTTCCCTGGTGAGATACGCCTGGACTTGATATAGATCGCTAAGGTACTGTGACTACAACTTAGGCCTATGTATCCCGCTCGCGCGGCAGTAACGCGCGGCATGGATTCGCCGATCCTACCAAGTGGTTCCTCCAACCGGCTCGATCCTGTGAAAATTGCTCATTTCGGTCCTCCTGGATTGCTCGCAGATGTTCTCCCTGCTTGCCTCGAGCCGGCAAGATATCACTTTATTGGCACAGCACTTGGCAGTGGCCTAAGGCCCAAAGCGTCAGACTTATTGGACGCAGACGTTGTTCTGCTCTGGGTTGCGCCCCAGCCTCCCTCGTTGTCTTTGCTAGACGATATGCACGCGATCCTGGTTCTTTTGCGGGAAACAAAACGATCACGACCGCAGAGAGTAGTATTGATATCTAATCTTCTGAGTTGGGGAGCATGTCCGCTTCTCGGTGAAAACTTTCACGCCGGCGACAGCATCAGGGCATCGGAGGATACTTACCTTGATCGAAGATGTTGGCCAAGTTGCGAAGGATTGATGGCATTAGAGGCGCATGTGATGCGATTGGAGGGGCCGACACTGCATGCATGTGTAATTGCAGCTGGTGTGACCTATGGTGCCGGTGAAGAAAGCTTCTTTAAACTTGTTCGTGATGCCTACAACTTTAATCTGATGGTGCTACCAGCGTCAGGTGCGAACGTGATACCCTCTGTCCATGTTTGTGTCTTGTGCACCTTCATTTGCTTTCTCCTTGATTCAGATTCACAATTCTTTCCCAAGCCGTATCTTATTGCGTGTGAGCCGCGATCGGCCACATTAAAGGAGATTGCCTTTGCCTTTGTCAGAGAGTGGCATAGACGCGCTGGACGTGCTGCAGGGGATGGGGGTTCCACTTTGCTGTCAGGGCAAGTCAGTGAAGGCAATAGTCGCGCGACTAATAATGTATCGCAACTCGATTTCTGTCGCCGCTTCAAGGACCCTTCAGAAGGCTGTGAGGTGTGCTTTGCATATCCCGCAAGCATTGTGCTTGCACTGGACTGTGCTGGTCTTCAGATTGCCGGGGGCATATTTGAGCAGGCGATTGATACACCAGGGGCCCGCCCCTTCACATGTGGGCTTGTAAGCAGCATCGTCGGGGTTGTAGATGAATTTATTGAGGCTCGAGGTCTGACTCCACGTCGCATCTGGGTTCTACGACAGCCGGGGCGGACACAAGCACAGAGAGCGGTGGCCAAGTTTATTTCAGAGCAGTTTAAGTTTACTTTAATTGATGCAGACAATAGTTTGAAATGGGTGCTTGCTCAGTCGCAACATAGTGCCTCTTCTGGATCAGACAGTGTCAATGAGGACAAGGCAGCATATACTCTTTTGCCGCAAAGTTCCATTGACAGTGAAGTCTGGAAGCTTCAGGAGGAGATCCGTGCCCTTCTACCTGGTCACAATGCTGACGTTTGTTCAGCTGCATTACCGCTGAGGCTAGTGTCAAGATGCATACGCGTGCGGCTCTTGGATCCAGTCCTAGTAACGCATAGCTATGTCCTCGACGCATGTCCAGCTTCTCCTCTCATGTTAAAGTATATATTTATACCGGAGTGTGAAGTCGACGGCAGCAAAAACATATGCTTAAGTCCACTTCTTGCTCCTTCGCATATGGTAATACTCACTGAACCCTCTGTAGTTCCAAAAAATGCAACACCCGAGCAAAGAGAATGGATTTCTTTGCAAGCTTCGGACTGGCGATTCCAAGGCGACTCAAAAATGCATACTCATCTTTCCATGATACCTTCCCTGGTCGACCTGTTTGATGACACTGTGCATCCACTAGCTATCCCACTCGCCGACCTAGCTCTCGATGTTTCCAACAATTGGACTTCATTGGACGATCTTAGTCCTTGGTGGGTTTCAAAGAACACAAGTGGTTGCTCGAATAATTTAACATTGCCAAATCCGTCTACACCCTCCTGGCAAAGGGAGATTATTAAGCTCCTTCATTGGGTGCACCCAGTCCCCAAGGCGATCGCTGCGACTGATAGGCACAACCGCGCCCTGAATTTTTTTCGTGTAACCAAGCCTGGATCAAAGAAATCATGCGGTATCCAAGAAGAGGCTGTATCTCGACAATCATGCACGTTTTTAGCCAAACAAAGTCCGTTTAATCAGATTGTCACTGATGATAATGAGAAACTTCTGATTCATTCATCAGGCTTGAGGCACTTCCTACTGTCAGTTATGGACCACGTCGCCAAGGCAATGCTGGAGACTATGCGACCATCTGGACCCAAGGGGAAGATTGAAAGCCTGGGTGATGTGCTAGCCAGGAGGGCCCAGCATCTAGAGGCGTGCGCCTGTGCGTACGCATATCTTCGTTACCGCTCATCTCTGGGTAAGTTACATGAATTCCGACAATGTGAAGATGATGGTGACAGTAGCTAGTTTCCTGACGCGGGAGGTAGCCAAAGAAAATGGTGTGTGTATCCGTTTGTCTTGCTGCGCAGGGAATGGATGGAGTCTAGGGATTCCGCACGGAGCAAGAGAAGCGACGTTTTTATATATTGTATAGATGTGCACTGGATAAACGGTAGCGCAGGAGACCACCAGATGATTGCGTTCTAGAAGTAAGGGCAGCTAGTGGCTCGTTACTCAGCTGATATAGGGGCAAGATCGTAGCTCCAGGGCCCGACGGGTGTTTTGAAATCATCGACAACATAACAATTTCAAGGACTCCTGCTGACACGCACAAGATTAGGCTTTGCCGCGGGCCTGAACAGAGGAAACAACCTTCGAAAAACAACTCGGCGGTGTGAAGGCAGAAAACACTCTGATTGAGTCGGATTCGGCGCCACCGTGACATGTGCCGTGACATGTGCCACTGCGGGATATTACCATGGGTACTGTTCGTGTTAATTGGCTACATCGAGTTTCCGAGGCACCTAATCAGCTTGAATTCGGAGCCTAGGATCCATCGGCTTCAGAGCTAGCTCAGGACGCCTCGACCACGTCTTGGAGGCACAGCCGGGGTCGATGAAATGAGCCTCAGTCCGAATCCAGCCCGCAATTTTCCTTCATCTGGACTTTGACCATGAGAGCCCAGGACAATCCATTGGTTTTCCGTAGGCAGCAACCATTTCCCAGATAGACGCCCAAAAGAGTCCGGAAGAACCTAGCAGAGGCATTCTGAGTTTGTGGAAGTCTGAGGGGTCCGTGGCTACCTTCGGCTTGCCTTTGCAGGCTTCACTTCAATTTGGCTATGTACTATTTTGGCCATGTTGGAGTTTTGCGATGACTTCTATAAATAAACTACCTTTAGTATGATTAATAATACAAAAAAAAACCGAGACTCCCGGGCCCAGCCTGGCAGCCCATGGCATGCCATGACTCGGATGGGCCCCGGGCCCGGGGCCCACTGGCACCGTGACCTCAGGCTCGACGCCTGCTAGGGGCGGCGGCCGCGCTCGAGCCACCTGGACGACCATTTTTGAAAGCGACCATGATCGTGACTAGCCTTAGCACTCGGAGTCCGGGGCGATTTCGGCGATCAAATACCGTAGTATACTCGGTATACATATAGCCTATAATAATACCGTATAGGCCCTTATATATCCTGGCAATATTGTATAACGCCACAATGGGGCCTTACGATCGCGGAGCTACATGCACTGGCCGTCGCGGCTTCGAACTAAGCTCGGGGCTACTTCGATTGTATCACTCTTTCGGTATGGATACATCGCGCAAGGCAAATCTTGAATATTTAGAAGATAGTCCCGAGGCTGTCATTGCCTATGCCGCGGGAAATGCTTTGGTCATTTTATTCGTGCCCTCGATGAAGAGAAAGTATGTATTCGGGATCGACAGGACAGGCGTCGGCTCGTTTGCCGTACATCCTACACGCAAATCCTTCACGGTGGGCGAAAAGGGAAGAGATCCAAAATTGTGTGTTTATGAGTATCCAAGTCTTGACCTCATTAAGATTTTACGGAATGGAGCCGTGCGAAGCTTCGCTTGCATGTCGTATTCTAGCGGTGGCGGAAAACTCGCGACAGTATCCGGGTCACCTGATTTTATGCTCAGCATTTGGGATTGGAACAAGGAACAAATGCTTCTTCAAAGCAAGGTGCGTAGATTTGATGCATTGAGGATCCGAATTAGTGCCTGTGAGCTTAGGCGTTTGGTCAAGAAGTTTATAGTGTCAAGTTTTCTCCGGTAAACGATGGCCGGTTGACAACAGCAGGGACAGGCCACATTCGCTTCTGGAAAATGGCATCAACATTCACTGGGCTGAAGCTGCAAGGGGACATAGGGAAATTTGGAAAGGTAGCCCGCTCCAGCCCGAACATGATTGAAATATGCCTACTCAACCCATGATTGCAGGTAGAACTGACTGACATTCATTCTTTTGTTGAATTGCCCAACAATCAAATACTTTCCTCCACGGAGTCCGGATCTCTTTTGTTATGGGAAGGACACTTCATTAAATGCCGTATCAAGCGCAACTCTGTGAGACCTTGTCACGATGGTGAAGTAAGAAGAATGTATCATCAAACATAAAATATCCACCTGCTGAATGTTAGGTGACGTTTTTGGCGCTGTCAGACGACACAAACTCTGTTGTCTCAGCTGGTGTTGATGGCTGGGTCAGGTATTGGGATACTAAATCTATAGTTGACGCAGAAATAGACACTGATGTATCCATTGATTATGTACTGGAGCCCAAATTTGAATTCGGCATCACCAATCCTGAAGTTGGATGTTCTATTCGTTGGATGTTGTATGGAGCCGCGAATGAGTCCCATTACTTTATACGCGATTCTTTTGGTAAGCTTTGGAAGTTATTAGTTCCGGGTGCGGACGTGAACCAACTGCCAGCAGCCTGCCTGTCAGCGTGAGTCACATTGCCACCGCTCGTCTTACAACAGAGTAATTATGCATGCAGGTTCCATGCTGGGTCAATTGAGTCCCTTGCGGTGTCTTCCATAGATCATTTTGCTGCTACCGCTGGATGTGACGGAACAGTACGTTGCTGGGACTATATAGCCCGCCGGCAGTTGTACTTGCTAGCTCATAATCACGCGGTCACAGCATTGTGTTGGGCACCTGTTTTCTTGGACTCCCAATGTCGCACGCTAATGGTTGGCTTTGATAACGGTGTCGTCCGCGTGCTATACCGCGCAGGAACACAGTGGCTCTGTATCCAGTGCTTTAAGCCTCATGATACTTCCGTCACAAAAGTTGCTACGTCCCCAGATGGGAAATACCTAGCAACTGGCTGCGCTCACGGTGTTATTTTTCTGCTGCAAACTCAGAAACTCGACCTTGGTACATCACAATTGCCATATGAACCTATCGGGTTTGTGAATGTTGGTGGTCCCGTGTCCTCATTGTGCTGGCAGAAGGATAGTCTGAAGTTGCTGATAACTGCGAATGGTCGTCTTATGAATATTGATTGCAGCGGCCAGTTAGACGTAAAGGGATCCGGAACTTATGAGCTGTGCTGTCCTGTCAATGAGCGCCACATATCGTGGCGTCGTGAAGATACAGCTACTTCTGACATAGATGACTCGCAAAACTCACATTCCGCCACTCCTGTACTTGAAGCTGCAGTCTCATGTGCGGCATATTTCGATAATAATACGATCCTAACTGCCGTTACAAACAGAAGTGGCTTAATTCATGTGATTGACAGAGGCACGCATAATTTGGTTGAGTCTCTTCCTGTTGGAATAAACGCCGCTAAGCCCAACGCGGCCGTACTTCTTGTTTACTACGAAATTCATTTATCTGTGGTTGTGACGGCCAGTGATGATGGAACAGTTTCTGTGCGTCAAGCTGACCCAAAACTACACTCCGAACGTTTCTGTGTTGTGTCACAGCCGCACGATGCTGATGCACGTGTAAACGGTGCTCTCGTTTCCTACGACGGCCATTTTTTGCTTTCAGTTGGATCTGATGGTTTATTTGTTATCCAGCAATTGAATTTGAAGGAGCTGAAATTACAAGCCTGTAACAAAGAAACTAGAAAGGCAAACGACTGTTTTGAGCCTCACGAGTTCGTGTTATCCGAAGGCGAGCCTCCATCTGCTCAAGATGGATTTCATGTAGCAAGAGCTGACATTTCAAGTGACATACATGATAGGGCGAAGGAATCCGCTCATCTGCAGGCAGATGACTTGCCAGACAGTGCCTATTCTTTTGAAGCCAGCCGAGCGAAGCAAGAAAGAGATCAAGTCTTGGCAGCCGCGGAGAAAAAACGGGAAGCGGTCCGCAAAGAAATAGCACACATACGGGAGAATTTCGAAAATATCGTTCCTAAAATCCAAAAGGACACAGAACCTCACTTATATAACATGCAAGACAGTGATTTGGTCATAGATCTCGAATTCAATCACACATGGAAGCAGCAAGAGGACGAACTTTTGGAAGCAGTCCGTCAGTCATGCCAATACAATAGTCAATACTCAAAACTTCTCTTGGGCAAGCTTAGAGGTCGTTATGTAACAGAATTACAAAGAATGGGCCCCAGCCTAATGGAAGGTCAGACAATTGCAGCATTGAGATCAAGGCAAAAGGTCGGTTCATTTCGTCTAGCGCAAGTAAATAGGGATATGCGACTGCTTTTGTTGCAATTACATTCTAACCTACGCTATGAGGAGCAGCCCGAGGCTGAGCCTATAACAACAAATGGTTTGGTGCCCAGGGACGAAGCAAGGACGGCAGAGCCGGAAAACACTTCGGTTGTCTGTGGCAGGAATGCTAAGCGGCCCTCCGCTCTGGAGTCTCGCAAGTTGTTGCGTTTGAATCGCCAAGCAAAACTCGTAGCTATGGCCGCCAGACGCCCTTCAGCCGACACGGATGACCCCAGAGACGTGGAAGCCATCAAGCGGGCAAAAGCTCAACTCGGTGACTACAAAATGAAATCTGAGCCTTCATATGAAATCGCGCAAACAAAGCAAATAAACACAGCAAATAAAAGACGGCAGATGCTATTGCTACAGGAAAATATCGACTCGATCAAACTAAGATATAATAAACGATTTTTGGGTTTACGAGCAGTAAAGAGGCTAATGACTCACTCACTACGTAACGGGGTTGATCACGTGAGAAAGGTTAGCCGTGCACTTGGCGTAGAAGCAAATTCTTTGGTAGCAAATGGGTTTGAGCCCGCCCTATCTTTGGATGAGTGGCCGGACGTGGCGAGAGATTTATCAAAGACCGAACTTGACTCATTTCTATCTGGTCATATCACCGAGATGTCCAGCAGGCCATGTTCAAAGTCCAACGGGAACCCACTAGGCAACGTCATCGCGGCTAGAAGCGTCAGATCTGCCGTCAATCTGCCTGTTTTTCGTCTCCTGGACAATGAGGCAATTAGATCAACAGATTCTTGCCTCCAAAAAGAGGAAGATCTGATTTTATGTAATCAACTTAGGCACCAGCGGTCCTTCATTATACATAAAATTGACAAACATGTCCTTGCTTTTGAAAACGCATTGAATGAATTACGCAAAGAATACATCCCTCTTCAAGCAGATTTGAAAGCAGCTGATGTGAAATTGACGATCATGCTTCAGGTTTGTTGATGCGTTTGTTTCTCATTGGAATGTGGTTTTGTAGGAACTATTACTATTAAAAACGCACGAGGCCCGGGATGTTGCCATGAAAGAAAACCTTAATCTTGCATGTCAAAAACAGCATGATGCATCAACAGCATCATCAGATAGCTTTTTACTCCTTGCAGCCAAAAAAAACGACCGGGATGTATGCCAAACTCATGAGAAAGCAATTCTATCTGAATTTCTAAACGCTGTACCTAAGCAACATCAGTTTCACAAACCGTTACTTAAGGTTTTTAGTAAGAAACTCAAAAGATCGAAAAAAAATATCAGCGGCAATACTAGCGAAGATGAAACAAACGAAGATGAGGAGGACAGCGAACTCGAAGGAGAAGACGACAATTCAGACAGTGAAGAAGACGAGACTTGTCCGGCTGGCTGCAACATTAGTCTTTATGAGCAAGTAATTGAGCTCCGAGAAAGACGCCTGGATCAGGAGGACATCTTTGCTGACATTAAGTGCGCCATTAATGAAGCTCAGAAAGCCTATGATCGGCACGTACAACAGGAAAAACAGATACAACGCGATGTTTGTTCTTATGTCGAAGATATTCATTCCTTTCAGACAAAAAAACAGCAAACACTGAACAAGTGAGCTAATTTGTGTGTCATGAATTGGCTTTATTCACCAACTCACAGGCTTTATTCACCAATAGCATTGCATATGAATCAGCTCTACGTCTTCTCCCCCCGAAGTGTAGACAACGATAAAATCATTGTCACCCATTACCCACGAGCAGAGATGAATGTCCCAACTGAACTGGCGATAGCGCCCCTTGCCGAAATGGGGGACGCTGTACTCTTCTCCAGGGCTTGCCTGGAGAAGCTACACACTCGCATTTTTGTTCTAAAATCCATCAACAAGAAAGAAAAGACTCATTTTTCTGAACTACACCGAATAAAACGACGACTTGAACGTGTCAAGGTTACCTTGGAAGTTCAAACCACTAAATTGCGCAGTAAATGCACTGATCTTCAAATGCTAAAGTAATACAAAACGAGAGTCAAAAATATCTTATTCATGTTCTTGCAGGTTCGGGCAATTAATCAATCTTGATATTTTGGAGCGTGACTCAATAAACAAAGGTTGTCTTTACAACTCAACTATCCTATGAGATTGTCTTTTTTAGACCAACAAGCCACAAATGAGAAGATACATAAGATGGATATGGTCAATACTGGCGAGCTGAATAAGCTAAAAAGGCTCCAGTCGGTCCTCCGCGACAAGCTCCGGAGCATAACTCGTCAGAATACAATTTACTTAACTCGAGTAGCAACGTCATCAGCCCGCCAGTTCCAACTCGAAAAAGACCTTGATTTCTCCAAATCCTCGTCAAATGATGGAATGAAAAATAATATCTCTGGACCTTTATCGTGCTCTGAGGCAGAAGAGCGCAACCGGCTCGTAGCACTAGTCAAAATCCAAGCAAAAGAAATTGATGCCCTCAAAATGGAAATAAATTTGTTGCGCAGAAAGGGGGGACACGTGTATGCTTATTCTGCATCACATAATGTGACGGGTGTACCATGATCCTCAGTCAGATGCCAGTTGATTGTGACTCATTAAGAATGACAGATCGACAAATTGATTGTAATCGAACACCGTCTGCACTCCCAACAATGAGTTGCTCTCGACCGCTTTGGCTTTGGTGTATACACAGGAACCTGTGGCTTTGCTTTTTTGCATTCCTCTGGTAATCAGGACTTTGGTCAACATAGTTACAATAACCCCTCCCCTGGCCGGACCGGGTAATTTTTTGGAGTACATTCTGCCTACCTTCCCTTCCTTACTAGTAGCTCCAATTAGCCTCAGATTATTAGGATAAATCAGTTTGCGACGCTTAAGACTCCGTGAACTTGAAGAAGACCTCGAACTTGAAATTTACTAGTAGTAGGGGGGTCACGGTCCGAGTAGATGGTCCGAGTGACGGTCAAGCCTGAGCGTTTTGGCTTTTTGATGTTTCGATTGGGATTTTACGATCTTCGCCGGCGGAGCTCGAAATGTCGAATGTGCGATCATGTCCTTCAAGTTCAAGTTCAAGTTGTGCCAGTGATCCGGAGACCATCCAACACACGTCGTTTGAATGCAAGGCTTTCGTGAAAGAACGCGGCAAAATTCCCTCGTGATCGTACTCGGTTCGTCCTCTCGGAAGGCAATTGACCGATGAATATCGCCGCCGTCATGCCAGTGGTTGTCGTTTGGTCCGAATCGTGGGGCAAATTAGTACCCCGGGAGATTAAGAATTCTTCAAGTTTATATCGTTACCTTATTGCTATTTCGAAGCTCCGGTTAGGCCGCATTCTGACCGAGCCCGGGCCTGAGCAGAGAAAAGGCTCCGAGTCCTGAGGCTAGTAGGAGTTTGCTCCTTCAAGTTATATTTGGTCTTCCTCCATCATTTAGGTTCAACTTGAAGTTGATTCTATTTGGCGCAATTGAGCGTACAGCCACGCGCCAGCCAAATGGCGGGAAGTTTTTAAGTTTGCGAGGGCCGCGCACTGGCACTGCCGCGGCAGGTTCCACTTTATAAAATAATGGGCTGAGCGAAGTTCAAGTTTTGCAGTGCGGGCAGCCGTCTCAGGCTCGCGCTGAGAAATCAGCTGCGACGCCGCACGATGGTCCGAGATGAAACCAGCCGGCCTCTAATTCCGACTCGGACTCGGAGTCTCCCGGGCCGCCGCCGGCGCAATTAATTCTATCGTTCCATATCCATCTCCTGGGGAATCATATCCGTGGTCTGGCCCTGCTTAAATAACCGTGACCGCGACTCGCCCCCCCCTCTCTGCGCTTTTTTGATCATGAGTGCGTCGCTGTGGCACACCGTGACCCTCGCGGCTAGCAGTCCAGTATGCCCTGTAACGCGAGTATGAAGAGTATCTCTAGTTTTCGCCCCCGGGGGGTTTTCGCCCCACACCTGGCCCCTTTGGTGTTGATAATCGTACCAGACCTCGACCTTACCCTAGCACGTGCCTCGAGACCCTAGATTTTGAGGCGCGCGAGCTTTTGGTTCACCGCGACGACCGTCGAGACGGTCCCGACCGCGACACATAATACGACACTATCTCCAGCTTCTCGAGCGCTTGAACGCGGCCGCAGTGTCCGACAGTACCCCACACATGTGCCCGACCCATTGTCGTCTTTCGCGCATGCCGCCTGGCGATTTCTGTTACGTCGCGCCGCGGGGCGGTACGCCGAGCATGATCTCAGCGACGGAATTGGTGCAAATAGCTGCCCCTGCGCGTTCCACTGGCTTTGTTACCTTCTCGGGCAGCCTCGGCTCAGCGAAAGTTTTTCGCGCGGAGCCCCACGAGGCTCGTTATGGGTGCGTCAAGGGCCGAGCTTCAGGTCAGCTTTTCTTGGCCGCATCGCGTGCCCGACCGCCACTACCACCGCGGCACACTCGAGGCATCCCAGAGCAACTTCCACCTTGCTTGCGGAGACCGCCGGGCAGCGGCTTCATCGCGAACTAGTGCTGCGATTTCTGCGTGAGATTTCGCCCCAGGTGAGCATTTTTTGGACTTTAAGCACGCCATAAAACCACGAAACGCGGTCGCCACGGGCAGCCCGCGCGCATGGGCTGCGACGAAGGTGCCGTCCTGCGGCCCCGACCTCGCAATCGCAGCCAGGGCCGCCAATCGCCGTGCTGTGCTGCCTCAAAAAGCCGGCCCTGAGGGGGGCGAAAACTAGAGATACATACATAGTATCTTTCTTTGCTGGACCTCCTTGTTAAGAGCCAACAACACCCAGCAAGAGTCATTATTAATGAGCTTGGACGATGTGAAGGAATGTCTGTTGGTGATGACAGCTAATGACAACTAAGTCAAGAGCTCAGGTTGAAGCACTGAAACTTGCCATAGAGAGCGAGCGGCAGCGTGTGAAGAGTGCGAGTGGCACTACACTACGGCATGCTTTCAAAGAGCCAGGATCAACGATCCCGCGAGAGCAACGGCTGCTAGAGGGCCATTTGGGGAAAATTTACGCCTTGCACTGGTCGGGCAACGGGTTAGCATCGGTGACGTAGATATGAGGGGGCCAGAAATATTTATTAGTGCGTGGTAGGCACAACATCGTTAGTGCTTCTCAGGATGGAAAAATTATCATTTGGAACAGTCAAACCACGAAATTATATTTGGGGCCTGCCCACTCTTCTTGGGTGATGACGTGTGCTTTTGAACAACAGAGAAACGAGATGGTAGCGTGTGGCGGACTGAATAACTTATGCTACATATACAGAACAGATCATGGACAAGTAATGCGTGCCATGTCCGAACTCGCAGGTCACGATGCCTACCTTTCCTGTTGTCGATTCGTAGATGAATGCTCAATCTTGACAACTTCAGGAGATTCCGTTTCGATCTTATGGGACATAGAGCAAGATGAGAGCATAATGCGATTTGTGGATCACACGGGTGATGTCATGAGTGTCGCACTAGATCCAAATTCGCCGAGACTGTTTGTGACTGGTTCCTGTGATTCTACAGCCAAGCTATGGGACTCCAGGGTCCCTGGTCTTCCACTTATGACTTTCACGGGCCACGATTCCGACATAAATTCTGTTGCCTTTTTTCCTGATGGTAAGACTGTTGGGACAGGATCTGATGATTCTACTTGTCGAATATTTGACCTGCGCTGCACGATGAGCATAAACATATTTAGATCGGCAAAAATAGTCTGCGGAATCACTTCAGTTGACTTCTCGCGATCTGGCCGTATCCTTTTTGCTGGGTGCGGTGACTTCAAGACACACTGCTGGGATGTAACGAGTATCGGGTAAGTGTGATATCTACACTACAACGCTATTATCCCTGTGTTACAGGCAACTCCAGCAGCACTGGACTTTGACTGGCCATAGCAATCGTATTTCCTGTTTAGGCGTGAGCCCAACAGGCGAGGCTCTTTGTACCGGATCCTGGGATACATTGCTCAAAGTTTGGTGTTAATTCACACACGGGCCATATTGATACGACCCCGGGGTGGTGCTCAGGCTGTTTGAATTTCCAGAGACTGGGGCTCAGACGTCACAGTTCCCACCTGAAGCCGGGGCTGACGCCTAAGTTGAGCAATTGGGGCGAGTGCATGGGGTGTTACGGAGGTTATTGCGGTCGTGCCCGGCGGCCCGGGGCCTGGGCCGCTCGGGCGGCAGCCGAGCACTTCAAGTGGCCCGGGGTAGCAATCATATGAAGGGGTAGCAATATAAAGATAGTAATTGTTGGCGTCGCTTTCTTTCTGGTAGCGACCAAGAAACTGGCTGAATAAATACCATCAAACAGCATGAGTACGGTTCTGTAAGTGCCGTAGGTACCTACGGTACCGTAGGTATCCTCCAGTTCACATACGGCATGAGTTACAAGCTAAAGGCTATGTAACTCGAGGATGATCGAACCGAATCGGTAAGTCGAAATTATGTGTAGTCTTAGAATGTAAGCAACAGGTATGGGCACCCCTTATTGCGTCCCAAATATCATGAATTCCGTACACCGCCCGATTGCTATCAATGTCGCATCAACTCTGACAGAGTGCCAGGTGGCAAGCGTAAGGTAACGCAAGCAGTTGTGGTGGCCTGGGGACACAAGCCGTGGAATGCCAGTGTGATAGTAACTAGACTATGCAAAAAACAGCTTCCTTAGACTTTGTGAGGAGTGCTACGGAAAATATAAGGATAAGAACAAGCTCAACGATAAGAGGGAACGCATACTAGCGGCAGGATTTGGAGTGCGGAAGGAAGTACTGGAGTCTGGCGATGAGATTCATTATCCAGAAAGATTTGACAAAATTGGCGTTTTGTACGAGATGCGTATCTTGGGGAAGGTTGCGGTAGTAGATTCTACCGCAATGCGAGGTGGCCGGCCTATATGGTTTGAATCGGGTTGCTCTGGGCCGTGCATCCATGTTCAGGTCCTAGGTGCAAATCGCGTGTATCAAGCCTCTGCTTTGGATGTAACCCACAGCACCCGTTTGTCTCCAATGATCTTTGACACACCATAGGTCCCGGATCCATATTGCGCCGTTTATTGGGAGGACAATTTCGCCGGTGCAACGCAGGTTGTTGATGGCACCGTAGAGCCTGTATGGACGGGGGAAACATTTGTCGTGCCTGTTGTGAACCCAGTCACTCATTGGGTCGAACGCGCAGCTCTCAGGGGAAGCAAGCGATCTCACTCGAGTTCAAAGTACATGGAACCTCTTCTTCGTTTTGAAGTCTTTGACCATAATACATTTTTCAAGGATGTTTTCGTGGGGCAGGTGTCACTCTCAGCACAGCAGATTGTCAAGGTGCTAGCAGACTGCGACTCTGAGTCAAGGATTTACCCATTGCGGCCAAGGATGCCAAATGGGACCATGCGTGTCACTGCGGCACAGACTATTCACATTAAGACAGGCATGTCTCATGTCATTATCAAAGTGGAAGCCTGCAAAGAGCTGAGCAGAAGCACAGACGTGTCGCAAAATGATTCATACCTTAGCGCATTCTGGGACAATCGGCCTCTTGGCGAGTCTCCTGTTGCGCGTAATAGCTCGAATCCGCAGTGGGAGAATTGCATTTTCCACTTCCCACTTCCTGATGTTACCAAGGACCGCGGATCCACTAACAATATAGCAAGAAAGCTTAGGAATAAGACTCTCTTGATTCAAGTCCGGGAGTATGATCGAGTTGGCGAACACAGCGTACTAGGCGAAGTTGAGTTCGATGGCACCGCCATTAATCAACTAGTGAAACGGAGCAGTCAAGCGACAAATAGGGGCCCGCCCCGGAAGAATTTGCACAGGACTCTCACGTCAAACGTTGTTCCGCGTACCAAGAAATCACTTAGTATCTTCACTGCAGGCTGCTCGTTTGAGACGCTTCTTTGTGGCTATCACCGAATAGCTATCGGGAGGCCAAAATCGATTTCATCTCAACAGGAGCCCATATACATGCAGCCCAAATTGGCCACATCTAAGTCTGTCTCTGTGAGACACTTGCGGGAGGTTGGTTTTGCCCCGGCACTCGAAGTACCTCTTGGCCTGGGCAATGCGCATAACGGAAGTAAACGGGTTCGAGGTAGTCTGGGCGTCCGGCTTATCTACCATACACGTGGTAAAGTAATCCGAGGAGTTGATGTCGGAGTTCAACAGATGTCTCTCGGAGAGCGAGCTAGGCTCACCGTGCGACCTGATTATGGCTTTGACACAGTAAGACCTGGACCAAAGATTCCGCCAGGTTCAGAACTTGATATTATCGTCGATCTAGTTAGTATTGCTGGCCACACATCATGGATCACCTACGCCCAAAGAGCCCTTAACGGCAAATTTCGCATTTACAAAAATAAATTTAGCCTCCTCTGGGAACATTTCGAAGCCATATTCCCCAGAATGGGAAAATGTCTTGCTAGACTGGGCCGGATAATTTATAAATGCGAACTTATTATCTTTAAATGCATTTGCTCTCTCTTGCTCTGCGTGTGCCGAGCCGGTATGAAAATCGGTGAGAAGACGCGGAAAGAAAAGAGGGAAAAGATGAAGAGAGAGCGGGAAGCTGCCATTCTTGCTCGTGCCGAATCTAGTGTATCATTCTTACATAGCCATCAAGATGACTTAGAACCTGAGGACACCGCAAGTGAGGACACCGGCGTAAACGACACCCCTCCTGACCTAATGGACATCAATGATAGCCTCACTGAAGCGGAGGAGAAAACCAGACGCCTACACGATTTGGCTAGTGCGCGTAGCTTATTCTCTGGAAAGGCGAAGCGACGTTAGATACTTATATATACGAGTCGCGTGCAAGAGAGCGGACAAGCACAAACAACGACGGCTGAACTAATACTTAGAACTTGGCTCAGGACTATTTAAATTTAAATAAGCAAACAAACAAGGACAGCGATGCGGAGGATGCGGCGATGTTTGTTTGCTTACCGTGGCTCATTTTTTTTTTTAGGCTTCCGTGGTCTTCCTTCAAATCCTCTTCATGATCCCCCCCTATTTGATCTTGAAAGGGGCCGGGCCGATGGTTAGCCCACTGGCAGTCGGAGTTCCCCCCTGTCGGACACCGGTCGATTCTTTGGAGTAACATCCTGCCTTATCTTTCCTTAGCTCTAACTAGAATGAACCAGCCCGGCCTGACTCCGAGGCGGCGACACTTAGGACTCCGGTGCCAGTGGGTCATGCGCCGTGGGCTCCTAGGGAACCCGGGGTCCGACCCTGCTTAAATACCCCCCCCCCTTGCAACGTGCTGGTTTTTATTAATCTATCTTGCCCCGGGCCACTCCGAGTCACCTCCGCCGAGTCACCTCCGGTTTATTTCCATGTCCGGCTCCGCTTAAGCCGGAGTGGGCCCGAGTCTTCACGTCGATCCGGAGCATGCTTCCCCTCATCCCTCGACTCGGGCTAACCTCGGGCGGGTCCGGTATGGTCCGGCCGCAGCCTCAGGCTGAGGTGCCCGCCGCCGGCCGCGGCGGGGCGGCCCACTCGGGGGTTGAGCCACGGTCCGAGACAACTAGACGTAGTCCGAGTCATCTTCACTGTAACCTGCGTCCGAGTGAGTCTGCTGGAAGTAGATTTGCGCCGATTTCAAGTTGTCCTAAGCTGACATGTTTTTAATGTACCGTATCAATACCTACGGTACCCAGGCATTGCATCAGCCTGAGGCCGTTACCTCGCGGCGCCATGTTAGGGGCCACAACCTCGCACGCCATTGATTTCGTCGTCGCCATTTCTAATACAGATTTGTTGTATCAGGCATTAGAGCGTGTGACTGATTTCCCAGCTTCGAATGTGACTGAAAACAACAAAAACATTCTCTTACTCAGGCCGCGAATTTCTTACTCTCCCATAAACTGCAAAACTCCCAGTCCAACACCGAGGCATGCGTTTCCACAGTCCCTATTTGCGACAAGACCGCTCGCGTTCAATTATCCTGTTGGAGATTGCATGGTCACGCATCTATCAAAGCTTATTGATGTCTCTCGTTTTAGACTTGCACGTCAGTGGCAGGGACCATCAACCCGCCATTTTTGCGGTGGAGATCGAGATATTATTGTAGGAAATGCACTTCGCGAGGTGACTCTGGAAGGGATAAAACGCAACTTGCCGATGAAATTCCTCGTGCAAAACAAAAATCACGCTCTTGCGCATGCCAAAGCAGCCACTCTGCTCTGCAGGGTTGCAAATATGAGAGCAGCAAATAGAATATCAAGTACATGGGACCGTTGGATAAAGTTGGTATATGTTTCTAGAGCCAAATCCAAGACCCATGCTGCAAATGAAATCAAAACCTTTGTCCTTTTAGTGTTAAGAGGAGTTGTAATGGATACAAGGTTTTCATTGGTGCCACATATTAATAGAAAACTTGAAATAAGAGTCAAAAACGCTCCAAGACAACTTGTGTGGCATTATGCTAGAATATTTAGAGCCTTTCGGCGTTATAATATGCTGAAAGAGGTGGCAGCTGACCACTTGCGAGAACATGCCACAAAGGGAATCCAGGGACTAGTGCGAAGACGTCGAGATGGTGGCAATATGAAACCACATCACTTTCACATTGGGGCTTTTGCTGCTGGCTCCATCCAGCGTTTACAACGAGGCAACATTTCGCGAGTGCGTGCAAGACAGTCTAAGCATCGTCATAATCAGCGGCTCGTTCTTTCTCGCTATTGCAGCACAAACGCTTCAACAAACTACAATTTTGAGCAGCAAGGTGCGGCGCATAAAATTCAGTGCTGGTTTTTGCTGCAACCCCACCGCAATCGCATAGTTTATGCTAGTAGTTTGCAAATGACAGTTTCTAGAATCCAGAGTGCATTCAGACAGAGGCGGCTGAGAATCAAAGAAAATGCAAAAGTGTGGTTTGCTGCAATAAAAATTACAACTTTTTTGAGACAGCATAATGTACGCATGAGAACAAACTATAAGCTCATAACCACAAACATGAAGGCAACGACGCATTGCAACTGCAGACTTCAGCAGAAGCATAATATTATTCGCCGCGACTTGCTGCGAGCTATCCACAAAGAGGATAGATCGCACAAGGCGATAGAACGCCAAATCATTCATATACAGTCATTGCAGCGAGGGCACCTTGCAAGGAAGCTCCCTGGTGCGTCTCGGATAGAGCGCGTGTGATGCAGAGTCACCAATTTTTCATCGGTAAGATAAGTCACTGTGCAGGTAATTCTCACCCAGAAATTTCTCAAACGCTGGATCCAGCATCAACTTGGGAAAAGGGCACACCATTGTCTGTTGTCCTTGGCATCCTGGACAGCATTGATCGCTATTCTTGATTTCAAACTGAGAATAAAATACGCCACGGTCATTGTGGCGTGCTGGCGTAGGTACCGCAGATTTACGCTACACTTCTCAAAATGCAAGTTGATGAATGAAATCGCGTGTGTATTTGCCGACAGTATCAAGCGCAATCTATACTGTCAAAATCATAAAGTAGCAGAAAGACAGCACTATAGAGTAGCAGAAGCACATCTAGCAGGTCGCTCAATGTTCGAGCGTACGCGCGAAACGAAGATTCAGCATCAGATTTTGGTGCAATCTAATGTTTGCAATCGTGATCATAACGCTGAACTTCAGCGAATATTTGTGACATACTGTAGCTATGGTCAAAAGGAAAATACGAGTCTACTAGGAATTGGGAGCTTCTTACGGCTACTAAAAGACTCATCAAACGTAATGTGGCCATCAAACGCCGCTGGCCTGCGACCCTGTGATGTTGAGCTCATGTCTATGAAGAATCGCAATCACAGTAACGCCGGAGCTGTTGATAAGCACTTGCGCTATAGCGAGTTTCTGCAGACGATTCATAGCCTCGCAAGCATTTTCTTCAATTCTTTACTTTTTTGCAATGATAGGCTCACCGAGCCTGATGCCAAGACCTGTGCCTTCCTACAACAGCATGTATTCCAATCAAAAGTGGCAAAGTATCACACTGATAGTCTGCGCTCGCTGTCCTGTGTGGGTCGTGTGGACTCGCAGTTACATGTCTTCTCACAGAGAATTATTTCATTGTGGCGAATACACCATTCACGCGTGTTGTTTGGCTTGCAAAAGAGCATACAGCTGAGTCACTCAGAAAAAGGACAGCAAATATCCTCTGCAGTTTGTATTCAGCGAGTCTGGCGTAGTTTTTCTAGCCGAGAAGTAACTTATAGTTACGCACGTGGTGTATATGACTTATTTGTGGACTTTGAGTCAGGTTGTGAGTTTTGGTTTAATCGATGCACTCGAGCCTCCCTCTGGACAAAGCCTCAAATACTTGTAAATAAGGACGTCAGGAAGCCCATTTTTATGCCCAGTAAAGGCTCGATATTTGAGGTCTCATGTTCTGAGTGTTCTGCTAGCTCCGTGTCAACGTACTGCATCGAGTGCAGGAAGCTATATTGCAACCAGTGTAGCGTGTTGCACAGCTGCAATCACAATCTTGTAAGCATTGAAATGTGTGTATACTGTCACTTTCAAATAAGTGCCCTTCCGCGTTTGAAAAAAATGACCAGCAGCAACAAATGTGTACATTAAGTAGGCACAAAGCGTTGTGAAAAATGCAATGATCACTACTGTGACACTTGTTTTGAAGATCAACATTCCATGGGCTCACTCCAATTTCACAGCTACGAGGAAATGGTGCCTTGGACTTACGATGTACTCTCCCTCAAACGTGTATCATAGGTGCCGCACTGTGACAACTGCAGGCAGCATGCTGCTCGCAAGACGGGTGGTTGTTTGCAAAAGAAACAATTTTGCTTACAATGCGCAAATAAAGTCCCAAAGGGAGAATGGGAGCGGCTTGGTGATGTCGCCTACGTGCCCAAAATGACCACGGAGCATCAACAACACAGGAAAAGAAAAATCACTGAACAACCATTGCGCGACCTGAGAGTCAATATGAAGGGAAATCCCCTGGGCATAGTACAAATACAGCGCATTTGGCGCGGGTCTAGAGGCCGCAGAAGCTCAGCAGTACATGCCTTTGAACGAAAGCTATGGCTAACACAGCGAGCTGCAGACAATCACCGGCGCAGGAAACGGCGCTATCAAATTGCCTGTTTTTTTGGCAGGGGAAACCTTCTGGAGAGTGACACACCACGTGAGACGGTGATTAAAAAGGTACCATATTGGTCGCGAGTCACTGTGGAGGATATTGTTCACGACCGGTTAATATCCCATGAAGAAAGAAAATAATATAAAATAGCAAACTATTGATACCCTAGGTGGACTGAATTTGCAGGCTATGTCAAAGAGCAAGATTCTTTTGTAAAAAAACACGGCTCGTTGGGTGCAAGGTCATATATAGACCTTAAACTGACCTGGTTGCATTTGAAAGTAAAAAGCTGGGTTGCGAAAATAAAAGCTGCAAGGGCAAAGCGCGGATTTTACACCACACAAGTTGCATTTCGCAGGTCAAGTCAGTGTTCGACTGCCAATCTGTTCTCATGTCTTAAGGCTTATGTTCAGGTCTCGATCAGCAGACACCGACAGGAAACTGCAGGAAAAGCTGAGGCTGCGCATGCGCGCCAGTCGCCAAGATCTTCAGCAACGCCTGAGGCTTATTGAAATAATCGATCGTGAGCTGAAGGTAGTTCTTAGCCGAAACGCACAGCTGCTAGGACCTCGCAGAATGGAGGTAAGGGTCCGGGAGGCGGTCGTGTGGGGGATGGAATTAGAACATTTCGCTCTTTCAGCTCAGAAAAATAGTCAATATGTAGAGCATGCTCGTTTTGATGCTTTGGCAGTCAGCGCTTCTGACAGGATTCGAATTGGAAGTTCACCGATTAAATATTGTTCTTCAAGAGAGTTAGGATTACTGAACAAACTGATGCTTAAAGTCAGCCCCTCCGTCGCACCTGCACCTAACTTTTGCTTGGGATCAGTAGACCCAGTAAATCACCAGCGTAGTGTATCAGTCGACATGTACCGTCTCGACACAGCTACGGATAATGGAGCTACACAATATATACATAGGCAAGAAATTCGTACAACTCGCATCCTTCTAATTTGACCAAGGCCAGGCTTCATCGGATATGGACCCATGAGGACAATGAATACTTGAAAGTGTACAAGTTGCCCAGAGGACTGTTCTTGAACTCGTTTTTCTCACGTCTTTGTACTCATCTGCGAAGCATCTATTATTCCTCTGCGGTTATCCTCTGACTAAATGCGCCATAGGTGAATTTGCTTCTGGGAACTTTCTCACTCAGCTTGTGTTAAAATGGAATATCAGGATGCTGGCTTTTTATCGAGATCAAATCACGCATATATCCACCCGTATGGACTCTGAGTCTGCATCAAAAGCGACACTGGAGACGCACGCCGCAAAACTACAAAAGAAGGTCATCAAACAAGAACATGATCTCTATCAGCCGTTAAAAAATCAGAAAGCCTTTTGGCATGGGCAAGCTCGGCAATGATTCCATTTTTTCTTATTGCAATAGACGCGTCACTTTAAGGTAGCGTTTTGGAACAGGGCACGACACTCAACAGGCGCCCCCAGCTTGGGTGTCTATTAAAGCATCTAAAATCGCCAAGTGAGGTAAATGCGCCTGGTAGGGGATAGGTGCGATTCTTTGAAATTTCAGGTGAAAGTCCCTGTGCTAGTTTATTGTCAGAACAACGGTGCTGTTGGTGATGGGCACGACAAAACGGTGGAATTGTTGAGATTAATCTCAATTGTCCATTGTCCATTACAAGGATACTTTGAGGCGAACCTCTTGATGTGGATACCCGCGCCACGGACTCCTCTAAAGACCAGCCGGCACGCATGGACACCCGCAGAAGAGGTGTTCGGGGCGCTAAGTGCAGCCCTTAATTTTGTTAATTTTGGAAAAACCCTTGCCAGAGCACGGGGCCGGACGCCACCATAGGGATTCGCTCCATCGTTAGCCTGTACCCGCGGATTGGGTCGGGAGGACTCGTAGGGCCCTCTTAAGGGCCGGCTGAGGTCAGGGGGGTGTACGGGGATCGGGACTAGGGCGCAGCGGCGCGCTGAAAACGGCAAAAACCCGTGAATCTCGATTAAAAGCGATTTGGTTTTGGCCTCGTGCGCAGCCTAAACGCACCCATAGGCAGCCCCAAGCTATTTCTGACCGCTCAAGGGGTCGGACGAGGCGGTGCGCCAAGAAAAAGCGCGGCAGCACAACATTTCGCGATGCGCCAAATCGCTCTCCCACCAGATGATGTGCGATACGCGATGTGGGCACGCCACTGCACAAAAAACGGTGCGGACAGTACGGTGGGTATGCCCCAAGTCCCGCGGACAACTTCGAGCGCTCGAAAAGCTGGAAATCATTGCACCGCGGCGGCCGCGTCGAGGTCAACGCGGGACGAATAGAGAGCTTCGAGGGCGCTCCTGCGAGTTACCACGGGCCCGGGGACCGGCGCGGGGTTACAGTCGATGCGGAAGACGACGATGCGGACGACGACGACGTCGATTTGGAACTTTGAGTCTCCGCCGTCCGGCCCGCGGCCTGCCCGCGGCCGGCGCACCCCAAACCCCCCTACCGTTTGCAGCCCCTATTTTGCGTGAATATTAGTCATTACCTTAAGTATGTTCGTAGCAAGTTTGCGGGTTTAAGCTATGAAAGGGGAAGAGCTACGGTAATTTCTTACTTTGGCGTCCGGCCCCTTGCCAGAGCAAGGCCAGCCGCCCAGACCTGGTAAAGTTGCCCTCACCTACGCGGCGCTGAGTATCGTCTTGTGGCTAGAGTGGAGGCTACACGCCACCTGCCGTAGTGTGGGTCGCGGCGCCGAGCTAGTAGTTTGGCTTCCGCGCGGCTTAGCGTAAAGTCGATTCCGGCGAAGGAGGCTATAGTTATATATATCGCAAACAGGCGGGTCGGGTAAGGGGAGTACACCATGACGGAAACTGAGACTGTCCGCCGGAACTTGAATCATCTGCCTACTTGCAAGTAGTAGTTGTACTACCTTTCTCAGCCGGAAATCGCCCAGCCCGTCTCAAAGAGGGCGGAAATGAACGGCACAAGCCATGAGGTAGCGTGTGTTGGCTCTAACTGTTCTACAACATGGCAATGGCAACTTCAAGTTGAATTTCCACCGTGACCTTCGTGAAATCGAATCCTTTTTCGAGGCGTGTCTCGCCGCCGCCGCGACCTTAACGTTTCTCCGCTCACTGGTGCGCCATCTGGCGCGTTTCGCGCACACGCGCCGGCGTTTCTGGCCGCGTGGTCGCTGTCCGGTCGCCGTGGCCCGCACGGTGCAGAAACTCGAAGACTAGTGGCAGAAATTGAATCTCAGCCCTAATCTACCCACCTACAGCCCGGTGCCTGGCGACTCATTTTCCCGACCCCTGATAAAAAATTGATTAAGTAACCGCCTCGGGGACTACCTCGGTACTGCTGCGGTAAGATTACAAAGGATACGCTCGTACCGATCCTCGTCATTTCAAATGGAGCATGTGCGGGTTATCGCGCGAATTCGGCCGGAGCCGTCGTCCGTACGCGGTTGTGGCTGCCTCAGGGTAACGAGCGATACTTGCGTCGAACTTTGCCAGCCGGACGGAGTCAGGGCTCAATCGCACAGCAAGCGCGGCCGGCCTAGGACGAGGCTCTTCACGTTGGATCGAGTGCTCGGGCCGCAGTCGGTGCAGGCGGATGTATATGAACACGTAAAGCCGTAGCTTGACTGCGTATTTATTCAATCACTCAGCTGTTCTTATTTTCCTTCATATAGGCTAGTTCATTCAGCAGCACATGGGTATAACGCCACTGTGTTTGCGTACGGGCACACGGGATCAGGGAAGACACACACCATGACAGGCGATAACGTCCAGCCCGGTGTCACGCCGCGGGCAGTGCGAGAACTTTTTGCAGCGATTGAGCATGCAACTCGTACAAAGGACGCAGTTTTCCTCGTGCACGTGAGTTACGTCGAGCTGTACAACAACCAATTTCGCAATCTTCTCGATGATGTAGGGAACCATTGCCATGCGTCTAGCAGCACCAAGATTGAGATCCGCGAGTCGCGCGACACGGGCGTCTTTCTTACGGGCCCATCCAACCTCAAGGTCGCCGTGACTTCAGAGCAGGAAGTCCAGGAGCTTATTTCCTTGGGAGACAAAGCTCGGGCATATGCGCTTACGCGATGCAATGATCATTCCAGTCGGAGCCATTGCATCCTGACTTTGCATGTTCAGTCGCAGAGGGCTAGTATTGCTCTGCAGGACCCACAAAATGCAGCTTTGACGTCCGTACATGTTGGTAAGTTGAATTTGGTAGATCTTGCCGGATCAGAGCGTGTGTCGCTATCTGGTGCCCAAGGCGAGACACTCGTCGAGGCGCAGAACATAAACCTCTCGCTGGCGCTCCTTGGTGACGTACTTGCTGCGCTCTCACGCAACTCACTGCGCGGAGAACAAGGGACGCAATTCCCTCGGTCTGGTGGCTCTCGCGAGCCAGTCCCCTATCGCAATTCAAAGCTGACTTATCTTCTGAAGGATTCGCTCGGTGGTAACTCAAAGACACTTATGATCACGACTCTTCGAAGCTCAGAGACTTATTACCGTCAGTCGCTCGTGTCGTTAATGTACGCATCACGGGCACGGACCATACAGAATTCGAGCACGGTGAACTTGGACCGTGGATCGGGCCCGCGGACAACGGAGTCACTGCAGGTTGTCTCAGAACAACTTAATCACCTCCACACGCGTTTGCGTGTTCGCGAACGTGAGTTTGATGCCCTCTGTGCAACATCAGCATCCTCAACTTCAGAGAATATGCGTCTTAAAAGTGAACTTCAGCGCCTCGAGGCCCTTAACGAGGCAGAGCGCTGTGAGCTTGAGAACAAGCTAAATACCGTCATTCATGGCCACTCGAGTGAGCTTCGGAACCGCACAGAGCAGTTCGGCAGGCTGCAGGCTCGCCTGCAGGAACGGATCCTGACATACCGCAGAACCTGCGCAGAACAGGAAGAAGAGATCAATCGCCTTCGTGATGAGAGAGTGCTCCTCGAACAGCAAGTGTCGACTGTTGGTGCGACCCGAATGGAAGTTATAGAGATGCAGACCGTGATGGACGGTTGGCAGGCGCAGGCAATAGCCTTGCAACGCGAGCTTGAACACTACAAGCATTTCTTTTTAGACTCTCCGGTACTGCAGACGGATCAAAAGAAAATGGGAGGACGCTTCGGACGGAACCGCAACATCTCCCACGACCACCATCGCAAAACCATAGCATCCATGCCTGGGACTGTCGTGCCTGACGACCTGATGAGAGTCACTTGTCGAGCCATCGTGCTTGAATCCGCGCTTGGATTTGCCTGTACTGAGCTTGACAATGTTTTGAGTGAGTCAAATGGCACTGCGAATGTACTCATCAGAGAGCTGGTCAAGGCACTTACTACGAGATGGGGCACGGCGCAGGCAACGACAAAACTTGGTTTATGGGCAAAGGATGTTCTAGATACGGCACAAAGATGCGCCGCCTTTGAGGCTCGAGATCGGGAGTACGTGTTTTCTGAAGTCGCTGCATCCCTGGTGCCTAGTACGCGATCAAACACCTTAAATGTACTACGGGCACGACTCATTGAGATGGAGCGTCGTTTAGGCGAATCCCTTCAACTTTCTGAAGAGTTAGTCTCGCGACATGCTTATTCACGAACAGAACGTGCAATGCTAGATAACAAAGCGGACTCCAGCCTCGCGCGCATTGTCGCGGAATCTGCACTTCTCAACAAGATCTCGGTCCAAAAGATTGCAGATGAAACACTCACGGTCGCACGGGTGGGCGCCAGGGCTGAAATATTTGCTCTTTGGACTGCCAGGGAATTTTTGGTCGCTGCCGCCCTCAAGCGACGCGACACACACGAAGCAACCACTGTGCGAGCTCTAAAGAAAAAGTTTGTTGTAGAGTCCTTCCAAGTACGGACGAGATCAGCCGTCGAGCGCGCTCGGCGAAATTTCGTGTGTAAATTGCGGACAGTGTACAAGATTCGTGATCCGCAGGAGCTTGAAAAGGCAAACGCAAACGCTGTTCACACCATCCAGCGCAACAGAGACTCGTTAGTTGACGTAATATGCCTTGAACGCGCTGGGAAGATGCGGCTAATCTGTGCAATGTCCGCAGCAACAGCCGCGGCAGTCGCTGCGCTGCGAGTTGAATTCGAGTCCACTGCTGCATCAGGTGCTGCAAAGCTTTTTCGGCTCGAGTCGGATCTTGCGGCAATAGTCGAAGAATTTTTCGCATTGCAGAAGAAAAAATGCCAGCAATTCAACTCGCTTACTCGATCACTGGACATTCTTGTGTTCTGCCACTTGGCGGAAATTCGGAAAGCTGCTTGTGAAGCGGCATGTGCTATTCATAAGGAGCGCACCTGCTCATGCGATAAATTGGCTAATGTTCAGCTTGCCCAAATATCCAAAATTTGCATCGCTGAACAGCAGGCTTCAACCGAACTTTGGACAAACCTGAATAATCACCAGCGGCAAATTGTCGTTCTGAATGATGCCAATGCATCCTTTAAGCAAAAATGTGTGGCTGCTTGCGACAATGGTGAGGGACTTGCCTTGATGCTCTGTAAAGAATGGGCTTGGACCCTCGGTACAGAACGTGAGCGGAAGCAATGCACCAAAGAGACTATGACCTTTGGGATAGTGCTGGAACACAGTCTTGCTGAGAATCATCGCGATGACAAAACCGTACTCGATGCCTTAGATGAGTTGTATGCAACTGTGATTGAGCTCCTTTGTGCACGGATCAAGGTATGCACGGGTGCAGGCTACGAGGCCCTGTCCTCCTTAAACGGAACCCTGAATGTAGTTCAATCTGACCTAGATAACGCCAATATGGATGCTGCCTCACTGCTAAATGAGCTCAATTTCTCACAGACCCTGGCCAACTTGCTGCAACAAAAGCTCGGAGTTATGGCAGTCAGTCGATTCAATGAGCAGATGATGTGGCATGCAATAACCAGGCAACTGAGAGATGCACACACGAAGGATATTTGCTTGTGGAAGAAGGCCTGGCGCGTGGTTGTTAAAGAGAAGGAAAATTTCAAAGGGCAGCTTGTTCAGGTTACAAAGTTGCTACAAGAGATAACGACAACTCATAACAAGAATCGTTTAGCTGCGCTTGAGGCGCAGGATGAGGCGATTAATATGGACCACAATCGTACTTGCAAGAAGTATGAGGCAAGTTTGGCCCTACTAGCACGTTCCTACGAGCATGGGCTTCAGATGTCGAGTGCAGAGCATGCATGTGTGAGTGCTGCGGCGGTCGAGCGCTGCATGGTTGTCAGCATGGCGCCTCGTTTAGCTGCCTTTTCGGCGAATGCGATGCTCAGGACCTTTCAACGCTCGCACAAACGTGTGCTCTGCGCGCAGCGATGTATAGTCAAGAGTTCTTTGGTGAGAATAGGGGAGAAGCGAGGACAGCCTGCACTCGACCCTTTTGAAAGCTCTGCGCGCCTACACGAGGCCGAGGCAGATGCAACCAACGCCAAAATTGCTACAGCTCTGAGGTCGGAGCACGTGATGACATCCTGTCGTGCTGTAAATGCGGTCGGTTTAGTTTTGCCCAGAGAGACGACATATCTTTGTGCCGCTGCGGTCGACGATGTAAATATCACTCATCTTGCTAGGGAGCTTGTCAACCAGCTTCGCGCACTTTGTGAAATGCACAGGCGTCACGTTGCGACCGTTGACGTATTCCACGCTTCAAGACTCCAGGAGGTCATGGCCACTGTGGACTGCGCGCACATTGGTCACTTTCTACGGGCAGCGGTCGACGCCAAGCGCGGGGACATCCCATGCACTCACCTCGAGAAGCTCGAGGAGCTCGCATCCGTCAAGGCCGAGCCCAACTTGCAGGTCGCTCCAGCAGAGGCGCGGGTTTTGCAGATCAAAGAAAGTCTTGGTCCAAACAATGTGTTTCGTATTTGCAAGCCCAAAGCTGAGCGCAGGGCTGGTGGTGGGTCAATCGCAGCTGGCCATGCGACTTCTACCACCACCGCACTGAGTAGCCGCATCGTACAGCAAGCTGACGGACGAGGGCAATCCACTGCAGCACGTTGGGCTAAAAAGGTCACAAACGAGACTTCGGAAATGTCATGGTCTGTCCTCGATGATTCGGTTGCTCGGCGTAAGGCGCTAAAGAAGTCTATGAAGGCCAAGTTGGTTGTCCTCCAAAAGCACCTCGAGACCAGATTGGTTGAAACAACCTATCAGGATTCATTAGAGTTCACATGTGGGGGAGATGACGCACAGGACCTCGTTTTTGTTGAGTATTTTGGGCGCTTGAACTTGCCCCGTGGACGAGTTACAGAGCCAGAGACCATTTGCTTTGGTCAGATAAGTATTATTTCACATGATAACGTCCACTGGCGGCCGTGTGATACGGAGCTCAGATTACGAAAGGGAGAGCACGCTAGCGCTATCGAAAAGGCCTGCGCCAAGCAAAAGCGACAGCTCAAAAATAATCTTGCATACAAAGCAGCAAGGCTGGACTTGAATAGGGGCTCACAAGCGCACCTTGACGAACTTCAATGTAACAATGCTGCTGTCCATGAATTCTGCCGCTATTGCAATCGGGAATGCGCAATACGTCTGCGCGGGGCGCTCAAGCAACAGGAGCGCTTAAACCACAGGCGCCTTAGCGCATTGAAGCGTCAGATTGCATGCAATTTTGAGAAAGCGATCGTAGCCGGGACCAGCTTACATAACAATGCGTGGACGTGCTTTGAAAATCTTGTTTTGGCAACTAGACAACAGTTTTGCTCGCTTGTAACTACTGCTAGTGTCTCGGTCCCCCGACTGCCGAGAGATGTGAAGGACGCCCGAGAGGCACCAGGCAAAGGCCCCGTCAATTCATTTAAGTGGCTTAGTGCGATTGAGAAACCGTTGGCCATACATGCAACTCTGCTGACCACATCAATGCAGAAGATTCTTAAACGTCGAGATGCCAACTCAGTTTTGGCGCTTCATGCAGCCCTCCATCGGGGGAATATGCGGCACTTTCGTCGACTGGGTATTGTTGTCAAACTAAGAGACATGTACTGGCAGGAGCTTCTTGGCGCTGCACTCCAAGAAAGCGATTCAAAGCATGCTACTCTTGATCTGCCTTCGCCATCGAGCTACCGACGTAAAGGAATTTTAGGGATAGATAGATGGCCGTAATTACTAAGGACTCGACGTCCAGGAGCCTAACGATATGAGCGGACCGAGACTGTATATTCTGTGACCTATAATAATAGCCTGAGGCCGGAACCAGTCCTGTCGAGTTTAGAGCACGCCTCCCAAGCCGCTGACACGTCTAGGTGCCTTTACGACGAAAATTTGGATTGAGCATAATTTCTCGGAGCGGGGGAAGCTCGTGGTCTGTACTCGATGATGATATAGTTGTAGCACTGGCATTGTTTGCACTGTCACCTTTTTCGAGTTGTAGAGGTCAATTCAAGTTAAGCCCTATTCGCTGAGCTCACAGAACAATTTACTGACCGGGGAAAAATGTTGTAAAAAATAAAATTTTTTTACATTTTGGATGGCTTTTGGCCGTTTTCTCGGCGAGAGGCAGCCCGTTTGCTGCCGCGTTTTTTGCAATGCGTTGCCCGGCTGCCCGCGCCCACGACGTAGACTAAGTGTTTCTCACGAGGATGCCCGCACCGAGCACGGGCCCAAGTACAATGGCAGCCCCCGAACAGTTGTAACATTTTCCCGTGACTCGGACAGGGCAAGATGATTATTTGCACGCATTTCACGCACTGGCAGTGACTCCATCAGCCGAGTGTTGCTCGAGGACCCGTTGCGGTCACGGTGACTCCGAGTCGGCGGACTCCACTGGCACCCGATTTGGTTCCCCGGGCCCGGCGGGCGCATTAAAGGTGTCATTTAGTAATTTGACTCGGGCTAATCGCGGCACCATGGCCATCGTCTCGCGGACCATTTGGCCTAGGGCGGGGGCTCGGATGCCCGGGTCCGAAGCGGCTACTTCTAGTACAAATGGATGCGGAAGTACTACCAAATTGTGAATCATTTATACAATACCGTAGTACCGTACCGTAGGTAGGTACCGTAGGTACCTACGGTACCTACGGTACGGTCCACAATAAGATGGCGAACTAAAAGACTTTACTGGAAAGATCTCCAGGCCAAAATGGTCCGCGAGATGGTGATGGTGCAAGTAGGACAATGCGGGAACCAAATCGGGCGGCGCTTCTGGCTGGAATTAGTGCAAGAAGCTGCGTCGCAGGTGCAAGGGGGCTTTGATGCTGCAATGTCAGCCCTCTTCCGAAATGTAGACGCGCGATACGAGCCCGCGATAGAACTTGATGTTGGGAGCTTGCTGGCATCCTTGCGAGCACGGGCCATCCTAGTCGACACAGAAGAAGGAGTAGTTTCAGAGACGAGGCGGCATCCAATTTTGGGAGATTTATTTGAGGAGACACAGGTAATAACGGATGTAGGTGGCGCGGGCAACAATTGGGCCAGTGGATACGCTTCATATGGCCCGAAGCTCCAGCTGAGGGTAGAGGCGGCTCTGCGTAAAGCTGTTGAGGCATGTGACTCACCGCAGGCATTTTTCTTAGTTTATTCAGTAGGGGGCGGTACTGGATCTGGTCTCGGGTCATCAGTGCTTGAGCTACTTAGAGATATGTATCCTGATTTATGTCGATTCAATGTTGCGGTGTATCCGTCTGCAGATTATGAAGATGTCATCACAGGCCCATACAACGCTGTTCTTGCCACAAAATGGCTCACAGAAGCCTCTGACTGTGTTATACCGCTTGAAAATAGCGCGTTGCTGGACTACCGTGCAAGACAGGCTGGTCTTGGCGCATCGCAACTTCCTGATGGAATCGACACTGGCTTCGACGGGATTAATGATGTCATCGCACAGTTGCTTTCTCATCTAACAGCTGGTGCTCGCTACCCCGGTGGACTGAACATGGACTTCAACGAGATTACCACCAACCTTGTGCCCTTTCAACGACTTCACTACCTGACAGCCAGCTTCTCGCCCCTTCTTCGTTGTAACCGATCAAACCTAAATCTAGACAAGCGTGAGCATAGAATTTTCCTGGAAGCATGTGCTACTACCTCGAAATTAGTAACTACGTATGCAAAGACGAGTCAGACTTCGAGTAATAGAGCCCTCGCCTGTGCCGTGTTTGCACGAGGGAAAGTGGCCTCTGCGAACCTCATTCATGCCTCAAATTGTCTGCGTCCATCGCTAAAACTTCCCCAATGGAATCCTGATGGCTTAAAGATGGGTCTATGTCGTGTACCACCCCTTGGTGCCTCTAGTGCAGTACTTTGTTTGAAGAATTCTCCTGCCATCGCCCAAAATTTTGACACACTGAAGAATCGTTTCAACAAGCTGTATCAGGTCAAAGCCATGCTGCATCACTACACGCAGATAGTAGATTCAACTGTCTTTGAGGATGCCATCAACGACTTAGAAGGTGTAATTGAATGTTACAAAAATGCAGATCTAAATGCACCAAACTTTCATGTCTAGTCACAGAAAGAGGAATACGCATCCAAAGCACATGTTTTGGGTTTGTATTAGTCTTTTCAGCTGACCCACACTCCCCACGCCATTAACTTGCAAGCACTCTTTGTCGAGGCGCGATGGGCCCTATTCGACTTGAGTGGGGCGGCCCAATTCCTGTAAGATGCACACCGCCCCGACTAGGGTGTACCAGGCCAGGCTGAGTCAGACAGGCAGTGATGCGGTCCAGCAAAAATTTCTTTGCCGCTAAGTTGGACGTCCAAAAAGGGTCGAGAGAATCAACCTATGACTACCTTTACTTCCACCTGAAGCTAGTGTCGTGGGTCGCGTTGTGGGCAGCGGCGACGCAGCTACGGGCGTCCAAGGCCCCGCAAGTCAAGCGAGCCACCTTGACGACAAAGCGACTAGTTCGAAGTCTTCCTCCTGGGGATCGACTCCAGCGATCAATTTAAGATGAAGTGGAGTCATTCTAACGGCGTATCAGACGGGCTGCACATCAGGCAGGGTGGATTGCGCAGCGCTTATTCCATCGTCTGCTGGAATGCATACGTACTTCTATCGGTCAGTTTTTGTCAAGACATGTCCAAATGATCCGCCGAGTTCCGCCAAATATGCTCCCGACTGGCTGCTGACACGCGGCGACGGACAATGGTGGACTTTTGGGGGTGCGTCGCTCTGAGCGTGGGCCAGGTGCTTCTATAACAGCTGTTTGGAGATCTATTCGCGGTTGCGCGCTGCCTTTGGGGGGTTGGAGACTGCCCAGACGGCCACCTTTTGACGCTCTCTTATCGCATTGGTCGCAGTCGTGCCCGGCGTCCGCATGAGTGGCTAGAAGCATCGACATACCTCATGCCACGGATTCACACACGTCCAGAGCGTCAGAGGACCAATCCCGACAAGTGGCCCTTCACGCGCGTGATTTAACGCCGCAGACCGAGCGACGACAAGCTGTCCACCTCATACCGAAGTAGTAGTAGTACGCCGGTTCACTGGACCTACTTGGTGACTAAGCTAGACGTCTAAAAGCGTCCGGAAGAACCCAGCAGAAGTAGGAGCGAGTTTGCCAGTGAGGAGGCCTTAGGGGGTCCGTAACGGTCCGTACCTAGAGTCCGTACCTACCTATGCCACCCTTACTTCAACTTGAGGTTGATGTGGAGGAAAGTTGAAGCTGAGGAGTATAGGGTGCGGTATTGAAGGGCACGGAGGCCTGTAGTCTCGGAGGGCCAGCGTTGCACGATGGGGGTGGTGCGCGTTTTCTTTCATACCAGAGAGTGGCCCCAATTCCCCGCCCGCCCTGGTATTCGAAAAGGTCCTAGGATAGTACGCCTAACGTCCTAAACGCAGCTCTCGGACGAGTCCGATTCCCCGCGGTCGGCGTCACCGGCTTTAAGTCTGTTCCACTTGTGCGGCGCGTCATCCGAACGTTCGCTGGAATGTACACGTACGTCCTGATGGGCGATCTTTTGTCGAGCGGCGTCCAAGTGGCCCGACTGACCGCGGGTTGACATGTGGCGACGGACAACTGGTGGACTTCTTGAGGTGCGTCGCTGTGCGCGTGGGTCGGGCGCTCCTCTACCAGCAATTTGGAGATCTATTCGCGGTCGCGTGCCGATTTAGGGCCGCGCACAGAGCAGCAGCTTTCTTTTTTTTGGGCACTCGCAGACCGCCGAGACGGGTACCATTCGACGCGCGCGCTTTAAGCATGGCGCGCATGAGTTCCTAGGACCTCCACACGCGCCTGGTGGCTGCCCCGTGCCCCGCGCGGCGCACGGAGAGCGCGTTAAACCTTATTCGGCATAAGCATTCCCCTCCCTTAATCGATAAGTCTAGGCCTAGTGCCAGTGGGACTAGTGCTTGTACTCCTAGTCACATTAGGTCCCGTCAAATGAGTCGTGCTGTGTCCTTGGGGTTCCCCTGGGGGTCCAATGTACCGGATTTCGAGTTGGGCTATTACGGATTTCGAGTTGGGCTATTAGCAGAGAATTCCCCAAAACCCTGGGTCCGCCCCATTCCACCGTCCCACGCCAGCCCAGCGCCAGCCCAGCGCCAGCCTAGGGGGGCATGGTGCAGATTTTCCGTCACACCCCGACGCCAAGATACCAAACGCCGCGCGAACTGTAAGCTGATTCTAGTGGTCGTCAAAGCTCGATCAGGCTGCAGCTAAGTTCGCAGCGGCCACACGCGGCATTGATAATTGCTCGCTGTGGTCTCATAGGTCGTATTACGATTAATAGCGAAATTCAAGAGCGACTGATTTGATGAAGCCGCCGGGAAGAAAGTAAGTCTCACCAAAGTGCATGCTGGCTTGGCGGGTCATTTCATTTGAGGCTGCATATATCTGCGAGCCGTCTGGCGCTTACCTATCACCATTGATGCAATACGGCCAGCTAACCTTGCCTCCTGGCTAAGACGCTTTAGCTATGGAGCTATGACCCAGGAGATCAGCCTGACTGGCCGAGCTAAGCTCATTGTTCCACCAGATTGCAGCTTTCTGTGCATGCGCTCGCGCATCCTTTTGCCCTCCACGCAAGGTGCGGGGCCGAGCCAGGACCTTTTCGACTCTTGTTTTTTTGTTCAGTAGCTTCAGATCCAGGTCGTTCATTAGGGCAGACATACGCTGGCACTCCGCAGTAAACCCCTCATGGCGCTTTTCTGATTGATGTTCTAGTTGGAAAATGCGCTCGTCCCGAAGCATTATCATCTTGGTAGCTTCCCCCAGATTAAGCTCAAGAGCAGCATATTTGCGGAGTAGCTGTCGATGGACTGCAACTAACTGTTCAAGGCGCTGTCGAAGTGAGCACATGTGCTGACCCTCTTTGCTTGTGACTAAGGATGTCCCAACAGCTGATCCTTTGATCTCACGCTCGAGCTGATCTACAAGTCCACATTGAGCACTAAGGTCAGTTATCAACTTGCGGTGTTGATGTTCAAGCTTGAGGTGCTTGGTCATCGATGAGTGCTCTGGTAGCCTTTGAAGTGTGATTTGATCCAAAGTTGATGGATGTTTGAGGCTATTTACCTCACCTTCGATGGCAAGCTTGGCTGTGCTGCTCCTTGAGGCACCCTGAGAGATGACGGCATATTCAGCATCCTCTTTTCGGAGGCGTTCATCAACCGCATTGGCCTTTTCAAGGCGAAGCTCAAGTTCCCTTACTTTGAAATGTGCCTTTTCTTCCACTCGTGCTTTGGCCTTGACAAGCAATCTGTTTTGGGCGAGCATTCCCGCCTGCTCACGGACTGCCTTTTCCATCTTCGCCTCGACCTCCTCCATGAAATTTCTGGCATCAAGCAGGAGCTCTTCTTTCTCGTGAAGAAGAGCTGTGAGATCCAGAACTTCCTTGTTGCATCGTTTTGACTCAGCTTGCTCCTCCGCGAGCTCCTCGGTGAGAGACAATATCTTCTGCTGCTGAAGCTGAAGTATTGCGGCCATAGTCTCGGCATCACTACCATTTGGTGTACCAGAATGTCCAGTCTCGTTGCCTGAAGTAACTTGCAGTTCTAGCGCATTTATATAGGCTGATTGCATATCTATGGCAGCTTCTGCCTTGCGGAGCAGGGTCGTGAGTTCTTCAACAGATTTGCGTTCATTGACCTTGGGCTTATTTTTTATGGCCTTTGCTCGTTGACCAAATTTTAGTGTTGACAGTGTCTCCGAAGCATTCTCTGCTGATGCAGATATGGTGACAATCAGTCCAGTTTTTGCATTACCACCAAGCGAATCCTGGAGCATGCGAGTGAGTTTGGAATCACGGTAGGGTATATGAACTTTCTTTTCGTCCGTTAGTGCATTAATGACCTGTCCAAGTGCGGAGAGCGATCTGTTGATGTTCTTGGCTTCTTCCAATTGCAACCCCACCGCTTGGGACTTTCGTGCCATTTCAGAACCAGCAAGATCAACAAAAACTAACTTTCCGACGCGCTTTGCTTCAGTTTCTGTGTTTCTCTGTTGTACTGTTATGCAGAACACGCTGTGAGACCGAGATGACCCCTCATTCATTCCTGTGGCTGCTGTTGCACGCGACTTGCGCCCGTCTGTCATGCAGATTAACAATTCATTTTCGTTGGTCACAAATGTTTCTGTGCATCCGGCTACGTATACCCCCGAATTAGGGTTCTCGCGGATTCGCAGATTTCCCCTCTTTCGCCCGAATGTATCAAGCAGATCTCGAATTCGCTCCATGTATATTTCCACGAAGCTCACTTTGATCGCAAATTCAATGTATGCAGGCGCATGAGAACATGCCCGGAACAGAGCCGTTGCTGCACGTGGAATGACACCGCTTTTCAGTGGGTGAAATATGTTTCCGCCTTCCATCGTGTGTGTCTTTCCAGACGCTGTTTGTCCATAGGCAAAGATAGTCGCATTGTACCCACCCAGCACGTCACACACGCACCTTGACACGCGAACACCCTCAAAGACGTCTTGTTGGGTTGCTTTTGAGTCGAATATCCGGTCAAAAGCAAAAGTATGGTGTTCGCCGCCATGAGCAAGCGACACAGTCTTTGTATCCGGGGTGCTCACAACTTTCCTATCGTCATCACGACTACTTAAGGGGCGAATTCGACAGTAGACCGACACAGAGGCGTGATTTACTTTATTGCTATGAGGCGCATGTATCATGTCCTATCGTAGGATAATAAATAATTCTTGCGGGGGAACACATGCGCCTCATGTCAAGTTAAGGAATATTGTTAGCCCCTGGTCGCGGGACATATTCAAAAACTTCGGGCGGAGGACTCACGCGGTACAAGCTGGACTTATATCATGGTGGCCCATATATATATATTCCCGTGGTCCCATAAAGCCCGTATAACAATGACAGGCCCTTCCCTCTAATCACACCGTGCTAGTTTTATACGGGGAGTCACCTATGGATGAACACACCAACACCTTTGCTCCGCGGTCCCGGGCAAAGACCCGTCGATTTCAAGTTGCATCCATCGCCGAGAACTTCAAGTTGAAACGCCGAGAACTTGAACTCACTGGCAGGCTTGAAGCTTCAAGTTGACCGTGCAAGTGGTCACGGTACAAGAAGTTGACCGTAGGCTTCAAGTTCACCCGATTATACCGGACAGCCGCAGCCATGCGGGTGTGCCATAGCGACTCAGTGCCAACGGCCATGCAGGAATATGGCCCTATCTCCCTCCTATCTCGGGCCGCCTATTACACCGTAACTGTGCCAGTGACTGGGGGAGAGGAATATCCTCGCTGCCTGGTCACCGTGACGGAAGTCTTCAAGTTCAACTTGCCTCAGACACACGATGCCGTCCCCCATATTTACCCCGCAAGCCCCGGCCCGGCCGGGGCCACCAAAATCATTTTTTTCAGTAACCGTGTGGCTAAACACTCCCGGGCCCTGATAGTCGCGGTCAAGGGGGTCTCTAGCCATGTTTTGGTAGCACGAACTTACGAGCTAAGGCCTAAGCAAAACGCACAACTAAGGTTGCGGGGCCGCCCGCCGCGGCGAAATGAAGAGAGCAATAAAAGATAACACGACGAATTCCAAATCTTACAAAGACAAAAGTGCTTTTAACCACGATTATCCAGAGCAGTCCGCAGATGGCGCTCTCGGCGATGGAGGCACGTCGCGCGTTGCGTTTAAAACACGCACGGGACTGGTGATCACAAGCCAAGCGTGTCTTTTTGATCTGAATATTTGCAACCTAGCATAATACCTTAGGGAAAGCCTACGAAGCGCTCAAGGCTAGGGATATCTCGTTATATTGATGATATGGCTGAGGAGGAAGAGGAAGAAGACAATAACGAGAAATTGGCGGCTGCGCGGTTGCGAGTTGATGAGGAAGATAGAGAGATGAGGTCAGAGATTCAGCGACAGGATCGTCGTAGAAACCAGGAGAATTTCTTCGAGGGAAGCGATGCAGATGTAGCCGGTGTCGTCAAGTCACTGCACGAGCGGTATCAGCGGACAACTCAGCTTGTCCACGACTTAGACGACATTGATGAAGGAATTCCTTATGCTGACAAGGCCCATGCTGCCCTTGCAGCATCGAGACATGCGGCAACACGCCAAGCGAATGCACCATCGTTAGCAGATCCCCGCCTTTGGGCCATTCCGTGCAAGCTAGGCTGCGAACGCGAAGCTGTCTTATCTCTAATGAACAAATGCGCTGCCATGACATGCGAAGGCACCCAAATGCGTAAGTTCTGAGGCACCCAAAATGCGAAGTGCAAGGCCATGCTTTCTCTCAGGTATCTGCAGTGCCATGACGACGAGCCTTCGTGGATTCATCTATGTGGAGTCACGATCAGAACCAGATGTGCGCATGGTAGCCAAGGGCCTGCGATTGTTGCGCAGCTGGTCAATGAAGATGGTGCCGATGGTAGACATGGTGGCTGTCCTATCCACAAGTTTGGATGCGTCGTATGGATATGCTTCAAAGCGCAACGGCCTAAGAATCGGAGACTGGGCACGTGTGTCACGTGACACATACCGCGGAGATCTTTGCCGCATTGTTGCTTTAGGCAATGGCGGCTCGTCTGCAGTGATTATGCTTGTTCCACGCTTAGATGTTTCATCAGATACGGCAGAGGCTGGCGTCTTTGGTAGAAAGGATGCCTTCCGAAAAATGAGGCCGCCTATGCGACTCTTTAATGCATCAGAAATAATTGCTGCGGGTGGCAATGTAACCCAGCGAAGGTTTAGGCTAAATACGAGTGCTGGTTCAGCAAGTCAAAATTGGGCATTGGCTGATGAAACATTCGATGTATTTGAAAATGCTTCCTATCTCAAGGGCTATTTGTACAAAGAGGTAAACGTCACTACGATGCTCAAGCGAGGAGGCGCCGATCCTACACTCGACGAATTACAGCGTTTTGTTATCGACACTCAGGAAATGGGCCCGGGAGATAATGAACCATCGTCAGTCGTGAAATACCCTGCAGATGATGAGCAGAAACGTTCTCTCAAGGCACAAATCGAACTGCTTGCTCGCGGTCGCGGAACTCAGGATCCAACGCAAAAAAGTCCTATATTTGAAAAGGATGATAAAGTATATAATCATTGTCTCAAGATTGATTTTATTTTGGTTTTTACATGACACAACAAAATAGGTCGAGGCGATTGAGGGCGAGATGCGAGGTGTTGCCCTAATAGTCGAAAGAATGGCACCTAGTGGTATAGTCTATTGTAGGGCATTTGATGAGCCACAGCTTCGAGGTGTTCTCATACCTATGGAAACGCACCAGCTACTTAAGTCTATTCAAGTTGGAAGTCATATCAAAGTCCAAGATGGCAAATATGCCGGCCAAACTGGTGTCATTCTTGAGCGTGGGGTGCTTGATGGTGATCACGTTGCTGTAATATTGACAGATAGCGGGGGGCGAGAAATTACCGTTAGATTTTCCCACGTACAAGAGTCAAGTGAGATCTCGAAAGGGCTTGATGCGCTTGAGGGATATGAACTTCATGACATCGTACTTTTGCCCCTAGGTGCTGTTGCTGTTGTCACCTATGTCGCCTCTGAGGACCTGGAAGTACTAACATCACGCGGCAATCTTCGAACTGTGCGTCCTGCAGAAATCACTCGCAAGCTAAATCAGGAAAGTGCAAGGAACATCTCTCTTGATTCAAAGGATGAACACGTGAGAGAAACTGACCTTGTCATTCTAGATGACGGTCAAAATGCTGGGGCTCTGGCTACTGTTGTCCGTGCCCATCGTGCCTCTCTATGGTTGCTGAATGTAATATCTGGTGCTACAACCATTCCATGCGGTGGCTTGTTTGTGAAGAAATCTCGCCAGGTCCACGTAGCTGGGGATCGCGCCACTGGAAGTACCCTAGCAGACACATACATGGGCCTTGGCAAACAACGCGTTGTTAATGAGGACCAATTCAATAACAAAATTGCAAATAATCGCGGAAGGAGCACTGGGCGCGACCCTTTTGTCGGTCGTACGGTTCGAATTTGTAAAGGGAATTACAAGGGCCTTGCTGGTATTGTTACAAATGCGACCACTACCCACGTTACTGTGGAGCTTCACACACGCAATCGCTCTGTGACGCAGCCCCGTGAGTGCATCAAGATTGTCGCTGGCACAGCTGGTGGGGAACCAGAGCTTGCCGTCCAGCGTCGAATTGCCGAACAGGAGGCCTACAGCACAGATCTTGTATCGACGCCTTTCCTTACACAGGCCACGCCATTACTTGGCGGGGCCACGCCTCAGTATGGTGCCGTGACACCACACCACACAACACCCTCTCGAGGCACTGCAACTCCAACCTGGGGTACCCCCGCATATAGCTCTCAAACACCTCGCGGTGGCCCTCAAACCCCACGTTCTGCACCAGGCCATGGAAAAGCCACAACGCCCTCTTATAGTGGCATCGAGGATGTCTGGCGGCCCCGCGAACTTCCCAATTCAAAAAGTAGTGGAAAGTCTCCCCTGCACAGTATGTCACCAGGTAGCTTCAACTACCTTGCATTTAGTGGCCACAGCAAGGCCAAGTCACCTATGTTTGATGGTAGTCGAGCAAGCACACCCACCTATCAACCACCTTCCGTGATGCCGCCAACCTCAAAAAGTGGGGCATGGTGCGTCAATGGTGCTGAAGCCGAACTCGAGGATGGTAATATCTGCAAAATCATCAAAATTAATGCCCAGAAAAATATGGCGACCGTCGCTCTCAAAGCGACTCAAGCTCTGACGCGATCTCTCCCAACGTCTTTACTTGTGCGTGTCAAACCCAAGGCTGGCGACAAAGTTCGTGTTGTTGATGGGAGTGCCGTGTACGATGCCGAGCTATTGTCGATTGAAGACTCAGATGGAATCATTAAAGTTGATAATGGTGAATATAAGATAATTGACTTCTCGGCAATAGCCAAAGTAGCGGACTTCTGAAGAAATGAATTGATTATTAATTACACATCGAGGGCGCAGGACGCGCGAAGGTCCGCATCTCACTGCTTAGCGGCCTTCGCACCCCGCGCCCCACTTCGCGCCCCCCAGAGCCGCACACCAGCTAGTTCAACTAAGTAATAATACCACTTCGAACCCAAGCTGCCGCGACTGGACATGGCCGGGCCCATTTTTTACACTGGCAGGCCTGTTATTCCAATAGACTGGCACCGGCGCCCGAGCCGTTGGCGGCTACTACTTGTAGTAGTACCGCCAGTTGAAAAAGAGGCGCCGCGGCATATGCGCGCCAGCCTGAGGAGTTTCGGCGTGCCGCCGGCCGTTTCCAGTGATTTCAGCGACACTGTCGTCGCTCCCCCACCCACGTGATCGGGGGGCGCTACGCCTCAAACAGCATAGCCAAAAAGTAAGAACGGAGCCCCTAAGGCCCTGGGAGGACGCCGCGTAGCGCCCCCCGATCACGTGCAGGCGGACATGTGCCCACGCTGCGGTTTCGCATGTTCCGAAAACGCGTGCGACGCGTACCGCACGCCGCCAACGCGCGCCACGGCCGCTTCGACCTCGATGCGAAACGATCGTTCCGCTTACTCCCGAGGACGCTACTGCTGAGTCGTTGTAAGTGGCCGCGCCGCGGGGTAAAATTCCGTTTTTACCTGTGTGTCTTTACGCGTCCCCCGGAGCTCTCGTGCGGCCCCCGGACACTTTCCCCTAGTACCCAGCGCTGGGCCTCGGGCCTCCCTATCTGGCTGCGCGGCCACTGCGCCTACTGTGTGGCGGCATATCAAGTTTTGTGGCACTGGTGGCCTCCGGGGGCTTCACAACGACACATTCCGAGTCTGCTCAAGTGCCCCTCTGGCTAAACGACGCCTTTTGGGCCTTAATGTACCAGTAGTACCATGAGGTAGCTAATTTGCAGCCATTATCTCGGCTAGATCGTCGAGTAGATCGTCGAGTTAGGCCACTTGCGAAATGAGCCCAGTGCTCGGGGAAAAGGGAGAAGGGCAGCGAAGTAGAGGCCACCGTGAGCAGTGGCCGCCAGAGTGCATTATCGACATTCGAGGGTACACAGCTGCTGGTCTCCTATGTCTTTTAAACTTCGAAGTTGATAAGAGCTTCGCCCGGTCGTACCCAGGCAGCAGCTCGCCGTTGCCAGATTTTAGATCCTCGCGCCACGATTGCGCGCTGATGAATTCGATTACGATTGGCGCTCACCGGTGAACTTAAAATATGGTACAATTTTTTTTAGATGAGATGCACGCTCGTGCGGCCGCATCAAAGCCGGGCCTGCAGCACTGCCAGGGGAGAGGCCGAGTTATCGTGTACAACCTCGGACCTCCGATCTCACGTACCTACGGTAATCCATAGGGATATGTACCGTAGGTATACGGTATTCAAAGTTTTTGTTTCAACTGCCCAAGGCCCATGCAACTCCGCCATTTGTGCTCGTTGCTGCCTGCCAGCGGTAGCACCAACCCAGCATATCCTCATGATGGCAAAGTCACCGCGGTGTGTTACTCCCCCAACAATCGCAGGCTGGCAGTCTGTGGATCGGATCGTGTTGTTCGACTATTTGACGACCAAGGGCGGCCAGCGGATAAATTTTCGACTAAGCCGGCCGACAGAGGGCCAAAGACGTATGTTGTGAGGGCCATGAGCTTTTCCCCAGATTCTACTAAGTTGGCTATCGCCCAAAGCGACAATATTGTTTTTGTATACAAGCTTGGGCTTGAATGGGGCGACAAAAAGACCATATGCAACAAGTTCTTGCAGACCTCCCCCATCACTGCATTGACATGGCCTTCGAGTAGACAAAATGAGCTTGTGCATGTGCCCAGCGTCACAAAAGAACAAAAGAATAACGGGCTCATATGATCCGCATGACCCGGTTGCAGGTACGGACTTGCAGAGGGTAAAGTAAAGATTGGCCAGCTTAGATCAAATAAACCTGCAAGCTTGTATGCCACTGGTTTTTATGTCTGTGCGGTCGCAAGCTCAGCGAGTGGTCATGGCATTTGCTCATCACACGTGGACGGTTCAATCCACAAATTTTCCTTCCACCAGGTTCGTATTACACGTCGATAGCTAGAATCTAGCCATTTTTACCGCAAGTAAGTAGGCAAATGGTGGTACCACCAGCACAAAAATTGCTGCTCACACGCAAATAGCCTGTGTCTAGCTACTTAAATTCTTGAGTCGAGGCTGTAGGTGTGTACCGTATGCATTAGCCTGGGGTCACTCGATAGTTGTCGCTGGCAATGACGGTGCTGTTGTCTTCTATAATGAGACAGGGGAAGTTGAAAGGCGATTTGATTCTACAGTTCCTTCAGAGAGAGCCAATTTGGAAGTATCCGCGACACCAGAAGCAAAAACAAGGGGTGAATTTACAGTTGCGTGCTTTAATCCCACAGGAGACACCGTTGTGCTTGGTAACTGGAATTCGTTTTACTCGTATACGTACAATCAACGTCAAGACTCTTGGGAAGAGATCGGCCCCAAGCACATACAAAATTTGTATGCAATTACTTCATTAGCATGGAAGCATGACGGCGGGCGGCTTGCAGTTGGTTCTCTTTTTGGTTCTCTCGACCTCTATGATGCATGCGTACGGCGATATCAGTTCAAGAATAAATTCGAATTTACCTATTCTTCTTTGTCACAAGTCATCGTAAAACAGCTCGAGACGGGCAGGCGCATTGTACTTAAATCAGTATATGGATGTGAAGTTACAAAAATAAACATATACCAGGATCGCTACGTTGTTGCCAACACCAGGGATAGCTCGTCAACAACAGAAACCCTGCTGCTTGGTGACCTGACGACTTACAAATTGTCTGAAATATCCTGGGAAAATGGTGGGAACGAAAAATTTGTATTCGACAACCCTGCATGCTGCATTGTATATCATGCTGGCGAGTTAACACTCGTTGAGTACGGTTGCAATGAGGCATGTGGCACTGTCAGAACAGATTACATTTCGGGACATCTACTATCAGTGAGAATGAACGAACCTCAACCAACACGAGCTGACGATGATTTCGCTAATAGCAAAAAGATGGCTTACCTTCTCGACGCTCAAACGATTAACATAAAGGATCTCGTCACTGGGAGTTCATCAACAGTTTCTCAAAATTCCAAAATTGATTGGCTTGAATTGAATGGCCGTGCAAACTTGCTTTTATTTCGGGATAAGCGCCGGCAGTTGCACCTCTATGACGTCAGAACACAAGCGCGTACGACGTTATTGACCTACTGTACATATGTACAATGGGTCCCGCACTCTGATGTCGTGGTCGCACAGAATCGTGGTAGTTTGTGCGTCTGGTATAATATCCATACTCCAGATCAGGTGACTGTTCATCAAATAAAAGGCCGTGTGGTGGACATAGAGCGCGCGAACGGTCGCACTGAAGTGATTGTTGATGAGCTCCTCTCAACAGCCTCCTACCTGCTCGATGAGGCACTCATTGAATTTGGCTCGGCAATTGACGATCATGCTTATGATCGTGCGGCTGACATCCTGGAAATTCTAGAGCGTTCTCCTGAGGCGGAGGGTATGTGGAAGAAACTCGAAGAGATAGCATTCTCGGGAAACAACTTACTCGTCGCCCATCGCTGCGCCGCGGCACTAGGAAACGTTGGGAGAGCACGGTATTTACACCGGCTTAATAAATTAGTTCGCAAAAACGCTATGGGACTAGATTATTTCCTTGTCCGATCACGGCACGCGCTACTCCAAAAAGATGGAAGAGCAGCTGAAAACATACTTCTGTTGCAAGGCAATGTGACTGAGGCCATTCGCATGCACCACCAGTTACATAATTTAGATCGTGCCGTTGCGATTGCAAAAGAAAGGAAGTATCCCGATGCCATGAAAATGCAACTCGATCATTTTCAGTATTTGCTAGATTCGAATCAAGTGTCAAAAGCTGCATATCTGAAGGAGGCAGGAGGCGAATTCCTGCCAGCGATCGAGTTGTATCTTCAAGGTGGTATGCCGAGCCATGCTGTGCGTTTGATAAAACACAACAACGTCGACAATTCGCCAGCAATAGTAGAACAAGTAGCAGCATCGTTTACATCGGGTGGATTGTATGAACAAGCTGGGGAATTTTATCAATTTGCGGATCAGCTCCAGCGGGCGATGGATGCTTTCTTAAAAGGATCTTCATTTCGCAAAGCTGTGGAGCTTGCTCGGAAACATTTTCCTGGGCGAGTTGTTGAGCTTCATGAGCGCTGGGGTGACTACTTAATTGAAAACAATCAGGTGGACATGGCTATAAATCATTATATAGAGGCGTCCTTGTCCTCCAAGGCAATTGAAGCCGCCCTAACTTGTCGACAATGGACCAGAGCCATACAATTGCTGGAGAGCGTTGAATGTAGCATGGCACAGCCGTATCTTTGCCGGCTTGCTCACCATTATGAAGATATTGATGATACGCGTGAGGCTGAGCGCTTCTATGTTGCTGCTGGAGCACCAGAGAAAGCGGTTGAAATGTACACACGGGTCAACCTGTGGGACTGCGCTCATAAAGTAGCTTCATCTTACATGGAGCCGCGTGAAGTAAGCCTCCTGTATATTTCCCAGGCGCAACATCTCGAAGCAGAAGGAAATCTTAAAGATGCGGAGAAGCTATATTTGACAATTGACGAACCAGACCTTGCAATTAACATGTACAAAAAGCAGCGCAAATACGATGCTATGGTTCAGCTAGTTGAAAAGCATCGACAGGAGCTTCTAAAGGAAACACATCAATATCTTGCACAACACCTGGAGTCTGAAGGGAATCTACGCGATGCTGAGCATCATTACTGTGAAGCTAATGAATGGCTGTCTGCAGTGAATATGTATCGAACAAATGATATCTGGGAGGAAGCTATGCGAGTTGCTACAATGCACGGTGGACCGAATGCCTCGAAGCGAGTTGCTTATGCTTGGGCGCTATCCCTTGGCGGCGATGCTGGAGCCAAACTTCTGACAAAACAGGGTCTGATTGAACCAGCAATCGACTATGCTGTAGAGTCGGGAGCTTTTGACCACGCGTTTGAACTAGCTCGCTCAGCTTGTCCTGAAAAGCTATCTGATGTACATCTTAAGCACGCACTTTATCTTGAAGACGAAGAACGTTACAAAGAAGCAGAGTTAGAATTCATTCAGGCAAGAAAGCCAAGAGAAGCAGTCGATATGTACATTCATCAGCAGGCATGGTCTGATGCGCTGGCAGTGGCAAATACATATGACCCAACAGCAGCTTCGGACATATACATTTCACAAGCGCGCGTAAAGGTCGATGCTGGCAAATATCAGCATGCGGAAGAGTTATTCCTGTTAGCTGCCAAGCCAGAGTTGGCGCTCTCAATGTATAAAGATGCGGGCATGTGGGTGGAAGCACTGGCTCTCGCTGAGCGTCACCTACCACATATGCTCTCCAACGTTTCACTGGCATACTCACAAGCTGAAGCCCGACGTGGAACTGGCGGCTCGAAGATAAATTTTATCAGCACTGGTCAGCAACTGGAACAAAAAGGGCAGTGGGATAGTGCCGTAGACGCTTATTTAAATGCTCGGCAAGAACTCATCAAAGACCCAGGCGACTTGGAAGAAATATGGTACTGTGCTGTTGCGGTTGCACGGCAACACATGCCGACAAATAGATGCCATGATATAGTGGCCGACGTCTCTCGCAAATTAAGGGAAATAGGACGCCACGAAACAGCGGCTGAGCTCCTACGAGAGTCTAACGATCTACGCGGGGCGATTGAATGTGCCATTGAAGGCCGTTGCTGGGCGAAAGCTCGGGAATTGGCGATAGGTTCTAGTGAGTTTGAGGCTGAGGTTGATCTCGCCTATCAAGCTGCCCTCCGTTCTGCTGAAGACACAGATGGGCTTTTTGAACTTGGGCACAGAGCAGCTGCAATGGATATTTTGGTTGAACGCAGGGAGTGGGACAAGCTTTGGCAAAAGATAGACTACGAGGGTTTTAACTTTTCTGTGCGTGCTAAATACGCTGGATTACAGGCTGCCCAGATTACTTCGGATGGGACAAATTTAATAATGGCTGTTCATACGTTAAACCAACATGGTGCCCCCCCCCCCGGTTCAAACATGAAGATGTATCGTGCATTGGTCGTGGCTGTGCTTGGTCAAGATCACTCACAAGTTCACTTGGATCAAAAGCACCACAAAACTTTGGTGTCCGAACTGCGCAATGTGCTCTTTGACCTAGGACGTTCAAATAAGGAAACTCAACATGATGCTCTCGGCGTCCATACTTCTGATGGTTTTGAGCAGCTTCTGATGGCGACTCACTACTACAATTTATATCTCACATGCATGCAACATGGTCTGAAAGGCATCGCACTAAAAATTTCTGTGACATTGATCCGATATGCGGGCATCATCCCCATCGACAAAGTATTCTATTTGGCTGGCACAATAGCGCGCGACCAAGGGCACGATAATTTGGCTTTTTTGCTTCTAAATCGATACATTGATCTTACTGAGGCAATTGACGAAGAAAGTATTGGCAACATTGACAATGCTGACTTTGCAGATGCGACAAATATTCCGTTTCCTTTTGATTTGCCTTCAAAGCAGTATTTAGTAGAGGAGGAGGACCGTGAAGAAATTAGGGATTGGGTCTTGTCAACATGTATGGATAAATCCATCGATCAGCAGCTCCCCGGAAGCAAGTTGTCACTTGGTACAGTTTACGCCGGGCTTTATGCCTCTGATCTTCCTACCTGTATTGTCACTGGGAGTCCTGTGCAAAAGTGGGAGCTTCTTCAAGTGAATAACTCAATTGCCAACAAGGTGGACTGGAACCAATTTGTTCGAAAGGTAAAGCTATGTCCATGGACTCAAGTGGAACAAAACCCCATTTATTAGAAAACACCCTTCAGAATCGTTATATTTCTCTGCTACTTCGTTGCTGAGCCCCATCAAAAATTCACTTAGTGCAAAAATCATCGTCTGGTCCGCTATGACAGAAACCTATATTCAGCTGCGCTCAATAAATTATGATTCTGGCAACAGTGTTTGGCGCCGCGCAGCGCATCGAGGTAGTTGCACTCTCCCATCTTGCTGCATATAATGGTAACTGACCTGGGGTGATTTGCTCTCGTGATGCTCGATGAAGATTCATGCACAGTTTAAAACGCACCGTAGCCGACTGACTACTGTTAGATAAGATACAATTACCATGTGACCCTCGGCTGAGAACCCCTGGTGTAACCCGGGGGGGGTTCAAGCACTCCGGATCTCAACTTGATCGGAAGCACGAAGGGCGCAACCCCATTTTTAGAGGTTGCTCGTTTCGCCCTCGAAGTCCCCTTGGTGCACGTGGCTTCGGTAGGACCCACATTCCCCTCTATGACGTGACCGAAACGGGTAAGCGAAACGATTAGGTTTGGAAATTTTAGTGGCCTGCGAAGGCCGCGCCAGTTTTCGTGCCGCGTCCGAGTCAGGCGACCTATGTGGCAGCCCATCGGGTACCCGGCCCATGGCTGCCGGTACCTATATGGCCTACGCATCCACCCCACGCCATAGGTACCAGAGGGCCCCTGGGAGACCAAATTACCAGCATAGAAGCGAGTTTTGATTTCAGCCCAAGATCTAGCCCAAGGCCCCTGAAATACCCGCACGTTAGGCCCCAGGGGCAACTTCGCGACCGCGTCTCGCCGCGAAAGTGACCCCCTCCCCCCAGCCCGGTCTCGGCGCGTACAAAGGGACTCTTTTGGGCCCCGCAGCCAAATCGCCCCCGACCAAGAGGCTAGGAACTCGAATCTCAGATTAGGGGGGCCCCCCCGTCACGTCCCCCGTCTACTAAGTGAGGCGCTACACTTGGCGCTACACTGCGGCTACAGCCCAATAGCCCCTTGACACTGGATTCGGCCTATTCTGATCACAAATCCCTTTTTTTTATCACCAGCTGGGCAGCCAGATGATGTGGATCTTTACGTCATCTTTCGTGGTGGCTCATGGTGCCCTTATTGTATTGTTGTGGCCGTCGCTAATGCCCGCAATATGACCCGCGAGGCCGCGAACATCATCATCAACGCAGCGCGGGGCCGCTGCACGAGTTGTGACCTGAATGAAGCTTTGACGACCACTCTATTGGGGACTCGGCGTCAGAAGAAAGTGAATCCGAGGACGATTAGATTGCCATATGCGCTAGTCTAAGGCTTAGGTATGAAAGAAAACCCGCATGGTAGCCGGCGCGCACTGGTGGACCTCCGAGCCTGCAGGCACCAAGTTTAATTATCATCATCAATAGCAGTAAGTCTAGCTTCAATTGTCCCTAACGTCACCCTCAGGTCGAAGTAAGGTGGTCATAGCCTGCGGTGCCATGGAACCCCCTGCTGGGTTCTTCCGGACGCTTTTGGACGTCCAGTTTGGCGAGCAAGCAGGTCGAGCGGGAAGGGGCGGTTAAGAAGAACACAGAGGCAGCGCCCGAGTTTCAAGGTCACGGTCACTTTGTTTTGTCCGTGGATGTCATTAAAGCCCATTCACTGGTTGTGATGTGTGCGTAGACAGGGGCCTTACCACGCCGGTAGAGTGCCAAGCCCTTCCTTCCGGAAGCCAAGCGAAGGGCTCGTGTGGTCTGTGTAGGAAAACCTGAATACTTCGTTTCCCATTCTTCATGGTGTCTAACACCGCCCGGCATTTCCGTTTTCAGAAGTCGTGCGGTTGATTGTCTATTTGGTAGGAACATGGTTATCACAGCAACGAAACATCGGCGACTTGTAAAACTGACTATGCTACCCTGGCGCTTTAAAACTACCGAAGCATGGCGAAGTAGCCAGTCAGCTAGATCGGCATCGCTGTTGAGATAAAGCAACCATGCAGCCCGTTGAACGCAACGGTCTCCCCGCAGCGGCATGGCTGCACATATCATGTGTCTGGTGACCATAAGTGTGCCACAACTAGATGAAGTTGTTGAATAAACATCAAGAATGAGCTTCCTGCCCGGTTTGTTTTCAAACGGCGTTAGATTTAGATCTATCTTTTCATCAGCTTGGTCTGTTGTTAGTATATTTGTGTGTACTTTCCGGGGTTTTCTTTGATTTGGCACATACTGTAGTATACGAAGCAAGCAAAGTTCCCCAGAAAGGCTCAGTGCAGCTCGTCCGTGTTCCAAGTTGAACTTGAGATCCGCGGTTTTTCTGTCAATTCGGTAGTCGAGACGAAGGCGGCCAAGCAACCAGGTAAAGAAAGAGCTGTTTCCACAAAACTTTAGGTCACTAACCGATCTGAAGGTAGCTCCAGCTGGCGTGCCTAGAGCATCAAATTCCCTATGATGACAAAGCAGAGCAGCCGCTAAGAACCTTGGAATAGCAATTCTGGAAAACACCAGAGTTTCTTGCTTCGCAGGGGCGCTGGCTGCATGTCCTTCTTCAATTGCATGTCCTTCTTCAAGAGGCGTATGTCTCCTTGGGTCAAGCTCTGTCTCTATGTCCAATTCATTCTGGTATGCACACACGCGCCGGTACTCCGGCCTCGAATATCTCTGTTCAGCCGATAGAATTATCTTGCGCCGCGTGGATGAGGCCGTTGACGTACCGTGCTCATCGGCTATCCTGAGTTGACTAGTTGTTGAATCGACGACTTTTAATCGTCCATCTGGAGTCACTTCCGAAGCTAAGAGCATGTCAATTTGCTGGCTGACCTTAGTTCCCCATTGCGAGTTGTTTGAACTCCCAACTACCTCCAATAGGGTTGGCACGGTGTGCTTCATTTTGACCTTAAGCGACAATTCCGATAAAAAATATTTCCAATGGGGAATTTGGAGGAAATAAGGGGCAGGCGGATATTAATATTGACACAGCCGCGACTCCTCTACAGAGAACTTAAATAGGGACGAAATGGTTTTCTGCTTGTGGATCCTCTGAAGCAAGAACAAGAGCACGAGCAAGTGTACAGTATGGAACCGCACATGTGGCAAAAGGTAGCGCACACTGACATGCATGCGTTAGCACGAGTCCACGCCACAAGTTCCAAAGTTGTAAATTGCCTCCTGAAACATCCTCTTTTGCTCTCGTGCCGTCGCTCGATGATGATCCTGCCAGTACACGTAAAATTGGTCATTGTAAACTAAATCAGGCGCGGATGCGTCAATTACGTATCATTGATGTCACAGCGTCGAAGACATCCCCATGTGCTCTCTGCAGTGAAGCCTCTGCATGTACTTGGAGAGTACTTAGGCATGTTATCGTGTGAGGGTGATGACATCTCACCAACCCGCCAGACCCTTTAGTCACTCGACTTGCTCGCTCCATCCATGGTAACAAAGCCAACAAACGTCGCTCCGCCACATCACGCCACTGATTTTTTGCTATGTTAACTTGGTCGAGGCGTGTGGCTTTAATATGATTTTGGGCCCTACAATTTGCCTTACGTGCTGCCGTTGCGTCGGCGTCTTGCGATGCCAGAGTATGTGCGATCATCAGGCCACTAGTCTTATTTGTCTCGTTTGGATCTGTTGCTACGTTTTGAATTGGACTCATCCAGAGCGCCGTCCCGTAGACGGTTTGCACTAATCCTCCGGCTGAATGTTCTCGTAGTATTGCTGTCGCGCGTACATTTACACAGGTGCATTTTAAAGAAAACTTCGAGCAAGAGGCAATGTCAGCAAAACAGATAACAACTTTCTCGGGCCACAGGACGCTATCGCCTCTGGCCTCTTTGAGAACAACCTTACGCAATGGCGTTCCAATTGGGGCCTGAATCAGCTTTCTTATTACATCATCCTTTCTTTTTGAGAGGTGAAGAAGCCGTGGCAAGAGCGGAGTATCTGAATCGGCACTAAAATGAAGAGTGACGAAGTTTGCACGTGTCAGTTCCATGCCTTCTGCGTTTTTCACTTGGCAGAAAGAGCGAGTTCCAGCTACAGGTGCAATTGCAGCAATGATTCCGCGTCTTTGGAGTCCAAATGCGACACTGAGGCGATTTTGCATTTTCTTGGCTGCAATAGGAACTTCACTTTTGGTCCATGTGATGCAGCATGTGACATGTCTGGCGGCGTCATTCACTGCCAACGATGCTGCAACGGAAGCCAGGCTACTTAAAGTCGACGTACTTGCAGTTTGTACCGCACGTGCCAAGATTGCAGGCAGCCACCACCTTGAAGGTTCCCAGGTTGTTTCAGGCGGGAGTAGTGCAGAATCACAACGAAGCATCTGAATGATTGTTTTTGAGACAGGCAGATAGTCAAGTGCGGATACTCTAGTAGTCAATTGGCTACTCGAACACGGATTGTAAGCTAGAAATTGCAGTGTTGTTTCCTGGAGCAGGACAGAAACAATCCATGGTCCGCGAGCTTGTTTTTTTATTGCACCGCCCCAGGCATTCTTGGACGTAGTTATGACCTTACACAACAGGCACACTATGAACTAAAACGTGAGAAATAATGATACTCTGTCTGTCCCCAAACGGGATCCTTGGCCTACAGGAATGGAGACTACGCAGCGCGCAATGAGTATCGAGTGAGAAATTTGATACCAGTAGGAGCAGGACCTCTTTGGTGACATGACTTTTACACTGAGTGCTGTTTGCAATCTCGTCCGATCTGTATCATTATTATTCCATGCAATGTCGCGCCATGTATCAGATGGTAGCGTCAAGTGACATCTGCTGCTTTCTCCAAGCACAATGCATAGGCGTGGTAGTGCAACCGTGACTGCTACTCTCGCCAACCACCTCATGTGCTTGATATGCCGAATTTGCAAACCATGCCAGCGCCTAAGTCCAATGATTTTGCTCACAATGAACGCACTTTTTTTACTGAATCTACCGACTGTGCTCTTGGTTATGTTAATTCTAGCCTGCGCCAGTTTATTTGCGAGACACGTCCTGGCTTGATCGCGAGCACAGGCACCCCTCGCATTCAGGGAGGATTTGTTTTCTGTGACCATTTGCTGATTTTCAGCTCCAACTATGCGAGAGACTACTTCCTTAAATTGTGCGCGTACTACTCTGATGGCAAAGTCTCCATGATCGTCAAGACTTATCTGTACAGTGTGGGTCTCAAACGGCACAGGCGCAAGTTGAGGCAACACTGGTTTCCGTAGCCACGGGGATGAGTGTTCAATATGAGCGTGACTATTGTCGCAGGGTAACGGGGTCAAGGCGAGTGATTTATAGGATTCTATCGAACTGGTCTTAGCATCGATTGCTATGAGAGTTTCATGTGCATCGCGGATCATCCTCGACGTGGTTGTTGGATGCATTATAGAATCCTCTCTATTTATCCACCTCTCGAATCTTGCTAGCGCCTTGTTTGCCAACCAAGCGCTGCGCTTGCGTCGTGAGCGGCAGAATCCAGGAGGTCTTCTATGGGCTGAGTCTTCATCTGTGATTTCAATCCGTAATTTGATAAATTCCCATAAGTCCGCGTGGTGATTTGAGCTTGGGAAACTGAGTCCAGAAGTGATGTTGTTAATTGTGCTCTGTACAATGTGTGGAGCACCGTGCTTGCTCAGATTGAGCTTCTCCTGGCCACTGATCAAGTGCCGTAGCAGTACAATGAGCATGTGGCCCGGTATGTCAAGAAACAGTGTCTGCGAGTCTGCCAGAGCGTTTGGACTGGGAATCAGTGCAATTCGCCAATTGCCCGCACCGTCCGCAAACAGTGCAATGTGAGCAGGACAAGCGGAGACTTTTATTTCCTCTGTGAATGCAGGTCCACGAAACTTTGTCATTGTCACCTCATGAAAAATCATTCGGGGTCTTTCATGAGCCAACGGTGCACGCCACCACCACCTACGTGTGGGTCTGACGAAGTGCAAAGAATCTAGGATATCAATAGAATCTCTATCTTCTCCTGGTAACACGAGATCCAGACGCCCAGCTAGGGTGTGAATGAGCTTTGAGGGGTAAGTACAAACAGTGACCGCATAGAGCAGCTGTGCAAGCAGAATGAACTCTGCTTCCGCCACGAGGCCTCGTACAATTGCCGGAAGTGTAACATTTAGGGAATAATGGCACGCTGCCACAGAGTCATAGCTCTCAAAGCGCAAATCGCCCCATGCATCGTAGACAATAATATTCAAACTGCGATTTGCTACACGACAAGTCCCTCGAAAGACCTGAGAAGTACTTCTTACAGCTAAATTCAGAATCAAACACGGGATCAAGAACAAGCACACCACGTTGGAAGGAGCGTTTTGCAACCAAGGCATCTAACCACCAACGTCCACAAGGTTGTGCAAACTCAACGATACGAGCCCATTCCTTTCCCTCCAAAACGACGCGAAAATCGTCGCTCGAGTCTTCAACGTTTCCTAAACTGCCACCATGATATAGTTGTCGCAAAAGTAAATCACGTCGGCGTGCATACCAAACTTTCCCCACGCAGGGCAGACCTGTGAATGCATCAAAATGCAGCTGGGAACAGAGTATACTCGAAACTTGTTGGGCAGTTTTAAGTCTCGCTATTGCATTTTTTGTGAGCGTGCTATTCTTAAACGCAGTAGAGGGCGTTACCTCGCCAAATTCGCAATATAGTCTCATCAGACTAGGCATCTCTGTTCCGATGATGCTTTGAAGCTCTGAAGGTCTAATCAAAACCTCGAAACGCTGAAGAGAGCGAGAGGGACTTTCGCCAACAAGCAGAAGAGTGCTTGAGTTTGGGTCTTGTGTCAGCACGATGATAAATCGGTTAGCAGTAGATTGCGCAGTGCTGATGTGGCCAGCTGCGAATAAATTGGACGATATGTTCGAAGAGACTGGCCCTGGGTGAGGCATCCTCACAAGTTTTACACATCGATCTACAGTATTCCAAATGCATTCCGGTTTTCGCCACCTTAGGTTCCAGCGGGCACGCCAGAGGCCTACAGCGGCAACTCCTCGGAGCGTCAAGCGACTAAGTAGTAATTTCACGGTAAAGGTGTTTCGCATACTCGCACACACAGCTGCAGCGTGCATCTCCTCGCAAAGCAATGCAGCACGCTCATGAACCTCCCTGGCACGCTCCATCTGAGTTTTTTGCACAGTTTCTTCAACCAAATGTAATGCAATTTCTGCACGAGATGCGCACATGATTAGTCGTTTGGTGGCTTGGTCTCTTTGCAATATCTCTTCTTGCACTCTAGTGACTCTTTTTATGCGCAAGGCCTTCCATTCAGAGCCATTTTCAAATAGATCCTGGGATTGGCGCCAATCACTCGACACAGCATCAATTGCATCGAATGCTATGGTTTCGGTAGAAGACCAGGCTAAAGCATTTCTAGAGTCCGCAATAGCTTCCAAATACAACATCTTGTTCAAAAACCTACCCGCATGCGATAATATGTGCACAAACTAGTCAAGACACCGCCTGCTTGGGGTGGAGCTCAATAGGTACCGCCGCATTACCACCTCCTCGTGGGCCATTGCGAACTTCTCAAATCGCAGTCTTGCTACTTTGTGACGATCAGCAGCTGCAGTAGCATCAATCACTGATTTGATCCACGAATGTTTATGTATACGTTCGTGCGCTGCTGCAGTATGTAGTTTCTCTCTAAAGCAGGACATGTCATTATTCACAAGGCCCTGATGAGGAAAAAATGAGTTGCTGGTTTCATCAAGCATGATTTGTGTACACATCTTGGATTTGAGATTCGCGGTTGCACTGGAAGGGGGTATGAGTCTCCCTGCCTGTGCACGATTGAACTGTGCCAAGAGGTCCGATCTATCTACCTCCTTGGCATTAGTCTCCTGGTTTCGGGGGTTGAAACTCGTTATGAGCAATCTGTCCTGAGGAAATGTCCACAGTCGGCATTGCCTGACCTGCTCCACCGAATCATGACCGGCCCCTTTGCCTGAAGAACCATGCCCAAAGATCGGCACAGCGCATTTAATGAATGGATGATGATGATACCATGTGTGCCTAGGCTGCGTTCGGATGCGCTGAGGCTTTAGATTGTAGACTAGAAGAAAGTAGTGACATCCATTCAAAATTCTAATTGAAATATGTGCCGGTTTTATGAGTTTACGTGCCAGACACGGCGTTGCAGTTTCCAGCAGGACTTTAACAAAAGTTTTGGCAACTCCTAGATACATTTCACGCTGTTGACATTGTTTTGTGAGGGATAAGTTGATTTCTAATTTGCGTTTCTCAAATAGATATCGACTATGGATGCCTCTTGCATAACGTTGCAGGACTTTGGTGCAGTCTTCTGCGCTACCGTGGCATTCCAGGAGCATTCTAGCCCGATCTGCATCGAGAGTAATCCTGCCAGCCCCTCGCGTTGTGGACACTTGATTTAGTAATGTAGTCAAACTGTTCGGTTGGATTCGCAATAGGCCACGTGATGCTTGTTTACGCAAATTTGTAGCTATGAGCTCGCGCTCGCCTTTGCGACGCTCATTATCTTCACTCAGGCGCCTTCGCATCCAGTATGTGCGGGTTGCTTGCCCCATCATCCCTACTCCTTTCCATTTGCCCCAGTCGACACGACAGAACAAACCATTGAGGAGTGCCTTTACTGGACTTCGTGCCTGCGGCATGATCAACTTAGCCTGCAATTGTTGATATTGTGCCCATATTTGCCGATCTGAGTGATGACTCTCCATATGTGATTTACCATCCACAAGCCTGGTTGGTAACTCATGACTCTCGTTGATGACTTTGCTAGCTCGCAGTATGCGCACCCCATCTAGCACATGCGAAGACGACCTTTGCATATCGTTGCCCTACAATTGAGCAATTTACAGGAAAGGATTAATACGACCAAAAACACGGTGTTGGAGCCTCAAAGGTACATCCTAGCTTTGTTGCACCTTTCCAGGAAATCAGAGCACCTCCAATGTGACGAGTGACAAACCCGGATGGATGCCCAAACATGTTTTCTGCTTCACAAATGGCAACTTTTCTATTTTGAACAATCGACAGTCCACGAGAATTTAGATGCATCATCCGCTTAAACTCAGCTGTGAGCACCAACGGATTGTTTTTAAATGAGAAGTTTGAGCCTAGATAAAAGCAAAGGGGAGCAAACTCATCTAGCCAATCGAGATCTTTATTCATCTTGACGAGGTAATTGCGTCCTTCATAAAAGTAGGCACGTGAAAGATCTCTTTTTGGCACACATGTGCAGACAATAGCTTCCAGCTGATCCAATGGCTTGGAGCCTCTACTCTCAATGACATGGACATGAACATCATTGCAGCAGACCCTTTCTGCAAATGCTGGAAGCTCATTGATCAACATGCGTTGTTCTATAGCAACCCTTGGCCTTGCAGCTTCGTGAGCTTGAATGGCAGCCTCGCGGCGATCATATATACCAAGAAATTTAGTAATTCGTGCGCGCTTTGGCGGTAGTGCGTCTCTCTGATATCTTCTAAACTTTGAATGGACAGCTGGAACCTCGCCCCACAGCCGATGCCCCTCAGATTCGATTGTAGCTATCCATCTGCCTTTCTGATGTACACCGAGAGCGTCGCAGTTTCTTAGGCCACAATGCTTACTCCACAAGGCTATACTTTCCGCACATTCAACTCCGGCCACACGTAGCTGGTCAAGAAGGACTAACATGGACGCGAGCAGACCCCGTGTGCTACCGTGAAATTCCAGATAGGATTTCTTGGTTTCAAATGCAACCGTGTGGAGGTTTTCTAGTAGGGCTTCGCGTCGAAGGATGCAACGAAGAACCTTTAGGTCCAAAGTCTGCCTACATTGCCCGCGCCTTTCGACCCACCGGTCTCGTTCTGTCTGGGAAACATAGTAGTGGCGTCGTCTACACTTCGTCAAACGCCTAGGACATGTTAGCAGCACCCAGTCTAGACACAAAGGTGGGACATTACCTGCACTCACAAATGCCATATTACGATCGATTTCAGATCCGAGGGTCGCCAGTTTAGAATATTCACGCAAGCCAATTAGGTTATTTGCAGGGTGTCGACTTTGAGGTTTGACGACTGCTGAAATAGCTCCTGTTGCCTGGCATGTAATTTTTGATACGCCAGTGGCATTAAGCTCCAAAAGATGCTTTCCTACATCCCCATCGATGCGACTACCCTCTGACTTACTGAACTGATTGCCCGACCCAACCTGGAATCCTGCTGTCAGCGCACCAAGGCCTCTGGCAAAAATTGAAAACTTGGCGTCCCCTTTAGGCACTGCCATGAATATTGAGATGTTATTTTCGTTAGTAAAATAGGGGACTTCGTCCGAATAACCTGCAAACCTGTACTTTCCATTGACAGCACGAGTCCTAGAACCACTTACAGTGTACTCTGTAAGCGCCGCGTCAGCTTTTGCATTCGACGGCAATGTTACATCCCTCTGGGCAAGACAGAAACCTTGCTTCTTAAGAGCACCACCACCGAGATCTATCCAATGCTCCTCGTGCAGCGACTTGCCAGTGACAAATGCCCCATGATAGCACACCCCCCCTATGCTTGTCGTGATATCATCTTAAGATCCTTATCTTTCACACACTGAGTAGCAGACCCAAGGCGTGGTTTCGTGTTGTGACAACTGGTACCCCAATAATCCAAACTCGATTGAGATTGGTTTTATTCAACTCTTTACTGCTCATTTCATCTTCCTCTCCATCATGATGCCAAATAAGGTCTTTCATCTCGGACCTGGCATGAATCACCGCACCACAAGTTGACTGTTTGGCCTGACATAACGTATTGACCAGACTGTACCTATGCATTTGATCAGTAAATACGGCTACAAGTTGCAAAGTACTACCTCTCGGCAACTTCTCTGCGAAGTCCAATCTGTACTTGCAAAGCTGCCATCTGCCCCTGACGTCTTGGCGATACCACACTATCAACATTAAAGGCTTTTTCAGTGGCCTTGGTTTCTGCACAGGAGGGCATGCTCTGAGCTAGTGATAAAGCTTCTGTGTATATGCGCCGTTCTCGATCCCATTCGCGCAGCCGTCTCCAAGAATAGTCTTTCAAAATAATTTCAGTGGGATTGTAATACTCAACCTATGCCAAACATGCTTGAGATTCTAATCGGGATGGGCTCATACGAGCACCTCCGAGGTGGCATCGTTTATTATTGTTTTAACTTCAGAAAGCTTTTGCTTGTACGCCCTCGACCGGCTTTCTCCGTTTTGCAATTGGCGGGTGTTACTCCTGGATTCCAAATTCCAGGCAATGATAGAGGCTCTTTCCCTGACACCTCGGTGCCGATGCAAAAAGCCACTTTCAGCAGTGCTCACTTCCGAGGCCAGATGGCGTCGGTGTGTTCGACGCTGTCCGCACAAATCTCGAAGCATGTCATACCGGCGTATTATTACCGTAGGTACCGTACCGTAGGTAGATACGGTACAAGGATAAGCCACAATAACCGCAGTTAGCCCCACTGGCGCTTCAACTCATACTAACTATACCCCGGTGGGGAGGCCCCGGTGGGAGCATGGCGTCCAACGGACTAAACTTGAATGATCTGGTAGTAGTAGCCTGCCCGGGCCTATCATGATGCCAGCCTCGGAGCCTGAGTCACGGTGACCGTGACTCGGCGGAGCCCGGGCCTGCCACTCAGGCTGGCAGTGAGACTCGGAGTCACGGGGGCTAGTAAACTTGAACTTATCATGATAGTCTCGGCCAGACCGCCGCCGGCGTGACTCAGTCTCAGAGTGGTCCGAGTCGTTATAGAGGAATAAAAGTGACCGTGACTCAAGATGGAAACTTGAACTTGAAGTGACTCGGAAATCATGATCGAAGACGGAGGCCCGGGAGGCAAAGCTCCACATCACGCCGCTTGCCTCGCAGCTTATGGCATCATGATGGAGCCCTTCCTAAGCAGCCTCGGAAGTCGGATATTCCCTAGCAGCCCTATAGAGATATGGAACGATAGGAGATAATTAGTGGATAATTAGAGGCCGATTTATCCCGTCCGTTGGAGAGATTGGTTTTCGGGCGGGTTTTATCTCGACCTCATACCAGATCTCATACCGCGTCGCAGCAGATTTTTCAGCGCGAGGCTGCCCGCATGCACCAAACTTTGCACGCAACCCATTATTTTAGCATACGGAAGCTGCGCCTCAGCAAAAGTTTGCCGCCATCGGTCGGCGTGTGGCTGCCGCCAGTGTACGCTCAATTGCGCCAAAACCTGCCAACGTCGACTATTGCGCTCGACCCCCCTATAAATTTCGAAGTCTCCAAGGAGCCTTAAGCGTCGCAGGCTAATTCATTCTAATTAGAGCTAAGAGAAGGTAAGGAAGAATGTTACTCCCGGGCCAACGAATTAACCGGCTAGGGGGAAGCCCTTCCCAGGCCCACGCCTTGAAGCATGTGCTTATTATATATCCACAAGCCCCAGACTAGGGAATCGGGGCGGGGCCTCTGGACTAATTGGCAGGCACATGCGCACGCAAGAGAGAGGACCGACTGACCCATCCAGGGAGATGAAACTTGCCTCTGCCAGCTTTTGTTGTATGGTAGAATGCTGCTGTGGAACAAGTAAAACTAATCCATGTAAGGTCAATTTTAAACGAGAAGCACAACACAAAACATCATGCGCCACATGCTGAAGGCATTTCCTAGCCACGCCTCGATAGCGATAAGCATGCAAGGTGCAGACTCGATCAATGATGGCAGCATTATCATTCACCCGCCAGCGCGCATAACACGCGGGAGCATCTCCATAGGACCCCAAGACGTGTCGTGATTCGCCGTCAAATTCATCAAATTCGAGCTCTGCTGATACACCCAGTTCGTCAACGTAAGCACGTCGGCGAAGAATCCGGGAAATATCGATGTTATTTCGGTAATGAGGTTCTTCCATTGTGTTATCAAAAAAGGTAAAGTGCAAGTTTATGTCAGCTGGCTTACGCAAGGTACCATCAATTTCCCGCATTGAGCTTAAAATAAAGAGAACTTTGACGGTGCTATTATGCAGGGGTCCGAGCTTCTTTTCACAAATTTTGCGAGCGCGCTACGAAAGCCATTTGAAAAAAATAGATCTGACTTCATACCTGGAGTTGCTTCAGTGCCTCCGCATGCCGACCCTGATGGTGAAGTTCGTTGGCACGATCGACAAACGCCTCTACTCCGCGTTTAGCCAATTCCACCTCCTTGGTCTCTGCCATGTCAAGTTGAAGTCTACCTTCAGGAGCTGTTCATCGCGTCCCGCGTCCCGCGTCCAGCTGGCCAGGCGGGTATAGTCGAGGGGTTCCCGCGTCCAAGAGCTCTGGGGGCGCGCGAAGGAAACTCTGGTCAAAAACCGGAATATTTATCCTTAGCGGACTCCTGAGCTGCGCGGCGAGCTTCTTCGCCAAATCGGGAAACTGACTCCGCAGTGGCGTCCTCGGGAGTAAGCGGGAACGCTCGTTTCGCATCGAGGTCGAAGTGGCGCGTCGGGCGGCGTGCGGCACGCGTCGCGCACGTTTTCGGAACAAGCGAAACCGCAGCGGCACATGCTGCACATGGGTGCGGAAGCGATGCTAGGAGCCGACAGAGTCGCCAAGATCACCGGAAACGGTCCGCGCACGGCGAAACACCTGCCGCGCATACGTCGCGGCGGGCGGTGCTCCGACCCAAGTCATCTCTGTCGGTCGCTCACACGGCGCGTATAGATGTGCTCGTAAAGCCGCAAGTGGTGGCGTTGCGTACACGCGGACTCATTTTCACTCGTACCTACTAGCGGAACTAGCTCGGTGCGCGACGCGAGCGGCGTCTCTGCGGATATCGTGGCGGCTAGCCGAGTTTGCGACCCAAAGGCCGGACCTCAACAAAAAAAACCGGAGCGAAAGGCGCTTTTGCGCGCGCACGGGCGATTTCGTCGAAACTTGGTCCGGTCGATAAAGCTATGGGAGCTGGGGTACCTAGTACCCATTTTTTTACGAGCAGGAGACAATCTAGGAGACTACAGGAGACTATTTTACGGGCCAGGAGACGGGTTTCAAAATAATCCCGGCTTCCCGCGGATGAATTTTCAATTCGGTCAGTGTGCCTACAAACTGTGATGATGAATTAAGCGAATTTGATGCCTCTGCTTCAGATACTTCAGTATTACTGTCTGCTAACAGGAGTGTCAACAGACCCATAACACTAAATGCTGCTGCATCTGGAGTGCTACCCTCATTTGATATTATTTTCCATGCGCTTTCAGACGGTTCGATATTCGTGGGTGTTTCAAGTTTATCATCTGTCAAGTTATGCACAGAGCCTGCATCATCGTCTGATGACTCATCGTCTGACGACCCAGACAGGTTTGGCAGGGAATTAGTCGAGAAGACTGATTCATCATCCGATTCATCCGATTCGACATATGTAGCATGTGCCTATCGCTCTCTTGGGTGATTTCTCTTTGGGTGATTTTGTTTTCTTTTTCTTTTGTTCTCTAGGCATTCACTGTAAAACACTCTACGTCAATAGGCGAGACCTTGTGGGCCCATAACCTAGCAAGAGTATCATGATGTTGCAGCGTCACGGTCACCGTCAGTGACGGTTATGTCACGGCCCGGGTAACTTGAAAGTAGCAGGGTCACGGTCCTAGCTCACCAGCCGAGGGCTGGGCCAACCTAACTACGAGAGTGTTTTATAGCAAATTGTTGTTACACCGTAGCGTCAAAGACACTCGCTGTGTATAGACTCAAACTTAGAGAGTGGGAGATACATATCTAGGGTAAGAAGGGCTAGTAGGTTTCTCTCTGGGTAGGTACGTAGGTACCACGGTAGCGGACAGCACAATGTCAAGATACGATGCCCGGATAATGCCCAATTTCACGCCGACAGTGGACGCGGAGGTAGAGGCGCTTCTGAGACACATGAATTGCCTCAGCGAGCGGGTCCAGGTAGCTGAGGTAGAGTTGGCCGTAGCTTGCGCAAGCAGCTGCGAGAGATGTGAAAGCTCCGGGATGCCGCGTGCGCACAAGATTAATCAACAATGGTCACTTATTTCGGTAGTGGCTGATGGTACAAGCCTTGACAAAGTGAGCCAAGATAGCTTGTCGAGCAAAGTAATGTCAAAGATTGACGATGTTGTACTCAAGTTAGACAAAGCACAAAGCAAGCCTGTGGAACAGCAGCAAGGGACGCAATCTGTGGTACAAATTCAAACAATTGTTAGAGGTTGGCTGTGCCGAAATCATGATATGCTCTGCGCCGCAGTGTTGCAGCAGCTGCGTGATTGGGTTATAGGAGGTATCCACAAAGTCATGCGCTTGGACGTACTTCGGCAGATGAAAATGGATGAAGTTTCTCGTGATTGCACTACTGAGCGTAATGTAAAACTTGTTCAGGGTTGCTTCAAGGCATGGCATTCTGGGACCCTTTCAAAACGAGAGCAGGTCAACTACATTAGCTCTGCCATTATTACTGCAATCGCAAAACGCGAAGCGCGAATGTTGCGAACTGTTCTCAGAGCTTGGTATTGCGACTGCAAAGGGCCTCGTTCAAAGCGAAGCTGCCAACACCGCCGTACTGAAATGCTCCGTGCCGCTCGTCACCGCATCAAAACCCGAGAAAAAAACATTTTGGCAAGGAACCTAGTAGGGTGCCTTATTATTACAAACAACATGATTGCATCTGAGCTGAGCCGGACCATCCACCACGCTGCGAAAAAAAGACAAGTTTGGTGGCGATTGCACCATCACTTTCGGGCATTGAAGCAATTGCTAAAAGTCAAAGCCTCCATGCGTCGACTGGCCAGCACGCATCATCGAAGAGTGATGTATTCCCACTTTTTCTACCCGTGGACAGAACATCTGCATGCATCATCAAATGCCACACTTGATCGCGCTCGTTGGCCCAAGCCAAGATGCTATCAGCCGCGATACTCACAAAAACTTGTCAAACAGTTTGCTCAGGTTTTCATTCGCAAACATATTGTTGGGCCCTGTTGGAAACACTGGTATGCGTACTATAGGGCACGGACATCCCAGCACGCACTACAAGCATGTGCTGCTCAACGTAGCCTTCTTGCCCACTGGTCACACTGGCGTAGGGCAGCTGCTCATCGGCGCAAGCTAAGATCACTCAGTGTGAGTATATGGCAGGAAACAAGTCACCAGCTTCTCAGTAGGCCCCTCCGAGCTTGGTATACGCACAGCCGCAAAGTACGCTCCCGTCGGAGAGCTCAGAATCGCCTCGTGACAGCACATGTATGCGCACGAAATCGCCGACTTAGGCTCAGGTTTATGCGTGGATGGCATCACCAGGCCGTCTATGGTCGTGTCGAAGGATTGTATACGCGAGCCGAGCTTGTGCGGTCCTTAGCCGAGTTACAAGCCCACGCACGAAGGCTCGAGACACGTGGCGAGTTTTATGGTGTTACTTGCGAAGAAGCTTTTAAGCAGCTGGAGGATGAGCGTGATTGGGCTAGTCGCGCAGCGACTCGTTTAAACGACCGCGAGATCCATGCTAGACGGTTGACCCTAGCCATGCATCATGCCCAGGCTGAAATTGATCGTATTGGTTCCGCAATAAAATGTACTGCTAAGCTTCACCCAGCTGCAGTGCGCAGAGCAATAGTAGACGCTGCATGTCTGCAAACAACCGACGATGCCGGGGCTATTAAGACTAAAGCAACGGACCGATTGCCTGAACTTCCATTTAAACCGGAATTTGGGCTGGCTCGCGAAGCAGGACTTTTTGCCAGCGACGCTGTTGGCACAAAGAAGAAAGTTGATAATATTAAACAAGCAGGCAGTCAAATCATCAAGGAGCAAGATTTTGTTGATGTGGATCTAGAATACCTTATGCTTAGACTGCGCTTTGTTCTTGCCCAAGCCTCTACTGACTTTCGCAGCTTTAAACATTTTGGGGGTAAACTTCTCTATGTCCCTAATAAATGTAGATACCCATCATCTCGAGACGATGAGGCTTATAAAGCTGTTCTAGAAATAGCCAGAGACATCGAGGCGGGTTGGCATTTGTGGAATTTTCTGATACACGGCGATGTGTCGACACTCAGCAACAAACATGCTGTTGCTTGGAAGGTATTGGAGGGAACCATCGTTGACATTGATGCTAGATGGACTTCACTGAAAGGCACCACCATGAATGGGCACGAGCGACTTCCAATCTGGAGCGAATTTTGCCATGCTCTTTTGTTACTGCCTTTCGAGTCACAGCTAATACCCACATGAGCACCCGGATGGGCAAGGGCTCGACGGGCACCAAGGCTCGACGCCCATCCGCTCGCCCGAAAAGGGTTTACTAGCTTGTATTTAAAACCGCCCAGACAGTTGAGTGCTCTTCAAGTTTACAAGCGTCTTCAAGTTACCGCCGTGACCGTGACTATGTAATCTACTATGTATTATCAGTCCGGTTGGGCATCCTGACCGAGCAGGGTGAAGGCCCTTAGAGCATTTTCCTTTTTTTAGGTCTTCCTTTATTTATTATTTATTTATTCAGCCCGTGTACCCGTTTAATGATTCAAGTTTAGCCCGGATCTCCCTCGCCGAGTCTCCCGAGGGGTTACCGTGACAAGAGGGGTGTTCACAGGCAAGTGACTGGCACGGGTGATCTGCAGCCTAGACTCGGACCTGCAGTGCAGCGCAGCAGCGCTCTGCCTTGTGCTCCCCAAGGCGGTTATTATAGACGGTCAACCCGGTAGCACGCAATCGGGCGGCGGCTAGTATGCAAGATTGAAGTCTCTCTTTTCTACCCTCAATGCATCAAAGACCTTCCAAAATAGTCCAGGCTTGCGAGTCATGAAGAAGCTATTGCCTGATGTAGTCTGACGGCAGGAAGTATTATAGTTCCATGAACTAGAACCAACAGTTGACAGAAGTGTCCAACTTGGATTGGGTCCAGTAATAATTGCCATCACTCGTTCTGGCCAAAATTCCTTCGTTACCTCAGTCGGCGAAGACGTCGACCTTTGTCCAACTCTGTAAATTCCATGCGATTGCTCATGATTTTGAGTGCCCGGCGCAATGCGAAATCAGCATGGCCAAGAGCAACGCCTTCGTCTAGAACAAGCAACATTTTGGCATCGGTACCAACAGGCACACGTTGCTTTAGAAATTGCTCCGCGTTCTGAATTTGGAGACGCTCCTCATCACCAAGGAATCTCATCTCAACTCCAACCGTCTGTGGAGCAGCGGATGCAGCAGCCATAGTCGACACCTTGAATAATCGAAGTGCTTCGTGGACGTCTCGGGACTGCACGGTTGCTTCGAGACGCATCTTCGCCAAGGATTCGGCGATTCGCACAAGTGCCTCTAGCTGACGTACAGTCACGGGCACCTAAGGTGGCATAAAGATAATATTTGCCTTCGATTTTGCACACTGCAATGTGCAGCTTGGTGTCTTTGTCCACCGGTGCAGTCCCCTTGCCGTTTTACAACTTCGCGAATAGAAACATACTCTGATGAAAGCAAGGCCTACATCAAAAATTACTATTGCTTGCATGTGAAATCAAACCCTGTAAAAATGCAGCTGTTTCACTATTCAGGCGCGGAGAGGACTTTGTGCGACAGTAAGCAACATAATCCCTCAATAACTTGAGCTCGAGAATGCTATCAGCTGCGTTGTTCAGACTCGTTTGTGGGTCTGCTGAAGCCTGGACGACTCCAGCTGTGTTTGAAGCCTTCATGTGAACGCCCATGACGTGCTTAGCTATGGAGAGGTCGCGGCCTTCATCTCGGATGTCTCTGACAATGAAAATGCAGTCAAAGCGCGAAAGAATCGTTGACATCATGTCTATATTCTCTGCGGCAGAACGAAGATCATCGTAACGACCATATACTGGATTAGCTGCAGCAAGAACAGATGTGCGAGAGTTGAGCACTGTTGTGATGCCAGCTTTAGCAATAGATATCGTCTGCTGCTCCATAGCTTCGTGAATTGCAACTCGGTCTGTCTCGCGCATCTTATCGAATTCGTCAATACAGCATATACCTCCATCCGCCAAAACCATAGCGCCACCTTCAAGGAAAAATTCTCGATTTTTATCTCGAATAACTGATGCTGTCAAACCAGCAGCTGAAGAACCCTTACCAGATGTATATACACCAACGGGAGCAACCTTCTCCACAAACTTTAGGAACTGGGATTTGGCGGTTGAAGGATCGCCCAGGAGCAAAACATTAATGTCACCACGTAACTTGACCCCGTCTGGCAGCGTTTTCTTGCATCCACCCATAAGCTGGCACGCCAACGCCTTTTTTATATCCAAAGTATATTCACCTTGAATACTGGGAGCTATAGATGCAGCCAAAAGCCTGTATATATCAGACCGCCGCGAAAGTTCCACAAAGCGGTCCTCCTCGGCAGGACTAAAATGCCGAGATTTGTTCCCATGACCATCCACGTTGAAATCGATTCCTACCACCTTTATATAAGGCAAGCGAATTGCGGCAACTGCAGCATCGGGATTCTGAGGTTTGTCTGCGCGTTCAAAGAGAGACAAAACACCAAGGATTGATACTCGAGCTCCAGGAGCTGCAATGTCGACTAAGCCCCTTTCTACCACCACAAGAGTAGATCGTGGCATCTCACCCGCAGGGACAGTCTCTGGTGCTTCCTGCAGCTTCAATGTTTGTTGATCTGTGTACCTAGATGTAGACTGCTCAGGCAGCACCAATCAAACAAGACATTTCCACATACGAACAATCGTCTGGTAAGATTACGTAAGGGGTAGACCCACAATCTGTCTGACTAACACTATTGCATTTTATTGGTAGCGATGCAGTTGAGAAGGTACCTCTACAGTCCAGAGAATCTCGCTTTCCGCAACGCGAGCACCTACATTATGATGCATCAAACAAAGTGCCATATTTAATAGAAACACGTCTGTCACTGAATCTCAATTCGAGCTGCCTTCGATTTGACCTTGGATGAACCTATAAAAAGTAGTCAGTTGCCCCAAATTTGGTTCGCAATCCACGGTGCATGCACACTAACAATGATCCCTGAAACCTTTATGAGTTTCCCCACGTGGTCTGCAGCAAGTAAACGTAGTGGGGTTGCAAGTTGTGTTGATTTCAGTGCTATCTGCACCCCAATACTTCGATTACCTAAGCGAATGACTTACACCTGTCAATTTTCTGCACTGGGGCGAACATGGTGTATTGCTAAGGACTGCCCTACGCAGCACGTCATTGGCCGCAGCTTCAAAAAGATCCAGTTGATCCTCTGGTGACTTTTGAAGCGATGTCAGTAGTGCCCCATCAAATAATCCCAGTTCAGAAAGCTCCACAGTAATTGTCAACTCACCGCGCCTAAGTTTGGTGAATTCAGCATGACTATCATAATGGGCGCCGTCGCGACCGATGATGTTGTATCAATAGTTCGCGATACCTAAAAGGCCAAATAGGAGATGGTAGTACACGGACGCCGCTTTCTGCTTGAAGACCGAGTCTGCCCGAAAGTTGCGCAGGAAGTCAGCATATCTCTTTTGCATCATCTCTGGGGCTCCGGGACAGTAATTCCCTAGCCCAGGTCATCTAGATTAGGCCCTAGTGTGTGACATAGGCCCCAAAGATAGACGCAGACACTTACCAAACATTCGCTTCTCCCCTCCGAGAGGCCTCCAAACACTTGCCAACACGTCCCAAACACTTGCCCAAACACTTGAATTTAGTTGAAAACACTTGCGCGCCGCAGTACCCGCACGCGCGCCGACTGCCCCGGCCCGGGCCCGGCCCTATCAGCGCCCCTGAGCCTGCCACCGCTGCAACATATAGCCACCAACGACGTGCCTTAGGCCGAACGCAGCCCTATACGCCGGGATATTCTGGTTTGTACTCCTTTTAGCCCGGGCCCCCTTTGTACCTACTAGAACCCACTAGAACCAGCCCAAACACTTACAGTTTCGTCCAAACACTCACGTCAACACAGATTCGGGCCCAAACACTTACCAAACACTCGCCAAAAGGTCTTGCGTCCTACCCTGGGCCCCATAGTGACGTCCATAGTGCTATATCGCAGTCGCTATCGGGATGATAGTTTCAAGTCAGACACATGGTGCCTCTTTGGGCAACAATTGGTGGGTTTAGGAAACTAGAAAAGGGCATTTGCAGTCCTCTCTCTCTCTATGTGCTGCGCAGCGGCACCAGCCAGTAGACAGACCGCAATACTGGTGCCACTAGCGCTTGATGGGAGATATGCCGACAGGCCACGAACAAGCGTCCCCGTACTGCTCAAGGTAGGTATGTCTATGAGGCCGCCACAAACCACGGAGAATTCTAGAAAGGCGATAAGTGTATCCGACGGTCTGTTCTTGCGTATTCAGCTTCACATCTTGGGTTACTTTGGCGTCAATTAACGTTCAAAAGGACACGCTCTCTTATCTTAACCTAGTTATCTGGCTTGGGCGTGTTGAGAGGAAGCCCGTAAAGTCCACCAGAATAGTCAACTTTATGAGACGCGCAAAGTAATTCTAGGATTCTTGATAATTCCCTTGGTGATAGGTCATAGACTGTGTTTTGGCTGTGCATTATATTTCGAAGTAGGCGGTGGAGCCTTGGAAGTGTCAATTTGCCAAAATTCGAAAGAGCACCAATAATGAATGGGTAAAAGAAATTCTTATTGTCATCATAATGCGCCCCTTGATTAGCAAGATCAGTGTGGTCAGAACCATTTTCTTCAGAAATAGTGTCAGAATTTGAATGCTGCTGAAATTGGGACGACACAGAGTAGAGTCCTGATAATCGCTCTTCTATTACCCCGTGATTGACCCAAAAAGCCACGGTACTCTTCACACGGTGGATAGGTAAACTAGTTGTGGAAGCTAGATCGTGTAAGTTTCTACTATCATATCCATGAAAATGCAAGATAAGAATAGCATGGATTGGAGACACAACGAAAACTTTTCTATCACCAGAATCCAAATCGAGCTCTAATTGGGCGCGGCCTGTCTCCTTCAACCAAACTAGTTTTCTTGGAGTTTTGAGCGTGTTGTACATGTTGGCGAATGATTCTAGCGCAGAGTTCACACGCCTAATTGCACTATCTAAACAAGATACCTATTGGGCTGCCAGACAGACAGCAAAACGGCAAGCCACGCTGAAGCTAGCCGATGAATAGTCAGCGCACAATTAGAAAGTTCAGGCCAAAATACCTGAGAAATTACGGTGACCCGAAGGTAATCACAGGGAGCTCGTTGATTCAACCTCGTGGAATCTTCTACATCACGCAACATAATTTCACAATGATGGAGTAAGGCATCACCAAAGCGTAGCTTTAGTAGTTCCAGATTCTTCACTTCTTGTGTGGTTTCGTGCATATTAAGTTTTGTCAGTACCCTGCGATAAAAATGTCCACAAAAACACTTACGATGTCCTTACTTATCAGCTAGCATCTGCCGATACTCGTCTACAAATATTTCTCTTGTTCCATAAATGGATATCAACATAGACAGGATGTCTCGCATTGTTTTCGGAATCGCATTTTGACAATTACTTGGATTTGGAACCCAATCTTCCCCTGGACTGTCGTGATTCTCATTATCAGAGTCGCAAGAGCCAAGTACCATAGATTTTGACCGATGGAGCTCCTCATATAGCTCGCCAGAGAGCTCATCAGTGAGATTGGCTACGATGCAACGAACCGTGTCCTTGCGATGTTGTAAATATTGTCTCACAGGCATAGTCACAGTATCAAGAAGAATACGACGGGGATCTAAGATACGAAGCACTTTAATGGTAGATATATACATTTCTATAATTTGCGAGGTGTTTGCTCCCAAGTGGAGCAGCCTGCGACAAAGTGTCAATCGAAGCGAACGGGCCAAGAAATGATGTTGCCGCGTGCGAGACAGCGCGTTGCAAAGCTCAACAACAGCGCATGCAGACTCTGGAAACTCGGCGATGATGTCGTAAAACTGTTTGACACGAGCACTAACGTATGTCTCAACCACAACGAGGTCCACCAGTCGCCCAAGTGCCGCTTCAGTATGCCTTTCAAACTTAGATGATAAGCTATTACGATCAATTGCAATTAGCCAAGGCAGCACTGTTGATTTTTTCCACCTCTCCAGTATATGAAGCATGGGAGTATCATACCTCTCAGCACAAATATCAAACACACAACGATCAATACCTTCGTAGAAGACCTTGTGTATTGTTTCTCTGAAAAAATGATACCAACCAAGAAAGTGGACGTTCGTCCAAAAAGAAGAAAAGGCAAGGAACTGATTGATACTTTTGACAGCCTCAGCGTTATCACACTTAAAAAAAGAGCCATGCGCCCTCATCAAGGAGGTTGTAAGGACAGTTTCGATGCACCTAACGAATCCTGTAGGCGCACGAGACAGTATCAAAGCAGAGAAGTAGTCACGTGTTGCTAAATGTTGTATTTCTTCAGTTGTAATCAGCGTCTTTAGCGCTTCACATGCCCCATCAGTAGCACGGATAATCTCCTTTGCTAACTGCTTTAAGGTGCAGCTGCCATCGTCGAAATTGACGCTAAGCCAAAATATAGACGCAGCGCGTTCGGCGTAGCTATATCTTTTGCCGCCGGCCAGGTTGTTCCAATCTGATTGAGATTTTTCGGCATACACCACCATAGGCCGTTTGTAATGTGCGGGTTGGAAATTGGAATACGTCTAGTAGGGTTCCAATGTTTAACAACTTAGACGTTTCTTTGAATTACCTAGCCTGAGCCTGAGGCTACTCCCTATCCCGAGGCCACTTCGATATCCCCTCAGGTTTGATATGGGGAAGTCGCCTCCCGCTCCTGAGATCACTCCTGCGTATTTTCCAAACCAGCCTGAGAAAGCGCACGACTCGGCGGCCTGTCCGCGTCCGCCAGGACCCGGAGTCCGACTCCGGAATCGCTTTTAATGCCCAGCGAGCCGGATACAAAGATTAGCCACATTCAAGTTCACTGGCCCGGGCAGGCTTGCCACTGCCAGTGATAGTAGACTCGGACTATGGAGCGGGAGATGATTCATCCCCCAGGGCCAGGGTGGCTTCGATAGTCACGGTTTCGCGGTCACGGTACCCCGGGGCCTGGACTGTATCATGACCGTGAGGTCGATACGCTCACCGTGACCACCGTGACTGGTGGCCACGGCATGACGGTCACTCACAACGACCCCCCCCCCTTGCGTAACATGCCTACGTCGCGGTGCCGCCCCGATTTCCGTTGCCGTGAGGCTCCGCAGGGTTTGATATCGTAGCGCAGCTCCGATTATGGCTTCCAAAGGGTTGCACTTGTCCTCAGTCCCGAAAGTCGATTTATTTATGTCGCCGCGTACGCCGAGAACCTCGAATCGGTCTCTCGCGATGCTAAGACGGTCGCTATGATACGCCAAGATGACCGTAGCTTCGCCCGGTCGTACCAGCCTGAGGGTAGTAGCAACCGCGCGGGGGGCAGCTTCTGCGCACGCCCGGCGAGATTTCGTGCGTCTCTTTTTATGCTGAAAAGCAGAGTATCCAGCATTTCCGGGCGCTCGGGCAGGTCCAAGTGCTGGCAACTTGAAGGGGCCATCCGGCAGGGGGGAAGGGGGGGATCAGGGTGTGAGATGTGAGTGTGAGACCGGTTTGGAGGTGTAAGTGTGAGTGTGAGACCGGTCGCAGTTCTCAGATGTGAGACCCGGGCGACCGTGCGGGTCGCCGGCGCGGCGGCGCCGCGCCGGCGCGGGGCTGCTGGCGGCGCGAAAATGACTGTATTTCCGGCCATGCCTTCCAGGCTCTGAATTGGTCTGCCAAGCACGCGTGGCGGCTCTTTTGGCACTTTTGAGGCTAAATTTAGCGATTTTTAGGCAAAAAATCGTTTAAAACCCGAATTTACAGGCGTCCAGGTGTGCGATTTTGCGCTTAGATGTGAGTTTGAGGACGCTTCAGACGCCTAGGTGTGAGTGTGAGGACGGATTCTCACACGCTGGTCCCCCGGGGGCATTCCCAAGATACTGTGCCAAGGGCCAAGAGAGATCACCCGCACCCGTAGACGCAAACGAGCATACAGGCTTGAGCATACGTACCAATTGTCGGCTGCATAGGTACTGTAGGTATCGCACAGTTTCTATCTATCTGTTGATTTAATGATTAGTTGTGCCTGTTGATTTAAGGATTAGATTGTTGTGTCTGAACCAGTGATATATGTCATTATTCAAGTTAAAGGACTGGTGGTCTACAACCCTCGGCCACCGTGAACAGTTTAGTGGCGGCGGCCTCGCAGCAGGAATCATTGATAACTCAGGAAAACCTCGAATAGTATCCGGCTCGTTGCAGGGCTGGCTACGGGTTCACAACCCATTAATGCCCAATAGAACCCCAGACAGCACAAAAAGCCTACTGTTGGAAGTCCGTCTGGATGCTCCAATCTATCAACTCAAAGTTGGCCGTGCACACGCAATAGCTGTCTTACATCCTAGTAAACTAAGGGTATGCACATGCTCGGCGCGCACCAATCAGGGCTCGAGTATCGAAACTTCTCATTTGGAGCTAACTGCGCAATATATTCACGACTTCGAAGTGACGAATATTGGAACGCATGCTTTCTCTATGTGTCTGGGCTCATTTGGGGGGAGTACTGATCGAGAGATGATCCTGGTCCAGCATATGGATGGCCACGTTACAATATACGATTACGATGTTATATCAGCGAAGTTTGCATACTTTGAACTGCATCGTAAGGATTATCGCTGCTTTATTTAGGTTGAAATACTCTGCCACTGCTTCCAGGATTGTTTAGCGCCAGGACCGATCGAGTATGTCCAATCTGCAGATGCATTCGTAACAAGTAACGTGGCCATGTCGATTGCTTGTTATAAGTTTCAGGTCTTTCAAGTTGTAATTTGTGCTCAGATGTCTACCAACTTACGAATTAGGCACTAGCACATTCCACTAATCAAGACAAGTCAGCCTCACTTCAAACTAGTGGAACCTTAATTGAAGCCAAAGACAAATGTGTCGTCTTGCCTTGTAACAGCAATAAAACCAGGCGAGTTGTGACAGCAGATTGGATATGTAATGTTGGTGAGCTAATTCTTTCATTTGGCATCGCCCACGTAAGGATGACTTCAATATGTGATGACAGCGCATGTGAAATACATAATGCGCATGTAGACTCTGTTCCCAGGTCAGATTGTTGCTCTTGGCGAGCATACTCTATTTATTGTATCAGTGGACGGTGTTCTGCAAGCCTCCAAACTGATGGATTTCCATCCCACGTCATTATGCATCTGCCCTACATTTGGAATTGAGGCATGGCCACGAGTACTTGAATAAAAACATCACTAGTTGTAATCTTGCAGTATTTAGGTACTGGAACAATGCGCATCGGAAATGAATAGCAGCCCTCACGTCTGTTGTGATGTTGATAATATCATTGTTTATGGTTCTGATGCTCGTGTCTATGTGCTAAATTCCGCACTGCAAGTTATTTGGGTTGCGTGTGGTGGCGTGAGTAAGCCTCTTTCCATTTCTTTGTTTAGCGTTGGCTGGCAGCGCCTTAAGTATTGGTTCACTGTCTACATGCCTGCTACCAGGTACTATGCACTACGTTAACAAAGGCTGGCATGATGTTGGTTGTGCAAAGCAACGTGTTATTTCAGCTGCATTACTGCATCTGATTGTTGACTAGGTACTAGATGACACTGGCAATGTGATGACACAGCGCGCAACCCATCGTGATCAATAATTTCGAAAATAATAGCTAATCCTCAGTTTAGGTTTCTTGGTACGGAACCGGTGTCAAAAGTGCCGCTTAATAAGCTGTCAGCTATTCAAGTCGCCCCCTCTGCTACTGTAAGAGAGTTCTTGTCTTTGCGCAAAGAAGCGACTAGTCCCAGGACTGAGGAGATTTCTGCCGCACGTTTGTTTATTAGAGCTCGGGCCGCTCGGGCTCAAAGGGATATAACCAAATACCAATTTGATCAAAAGCGGTGCTTTGAGGCCTCTGCCAGCAATGAGATCATCAAAAGTAGCAAGATTGGTGTGCAAAATTCAAACATCCAATACTCGGCGTTGATTAGGTTGTATGCAGAAACGCCAGGGGTTTCAAACGAGGGGCCTTGGAGTAAAAAACCTGTTGAGCGTGTCACCACAAGTGCACTACTATTCGCTTCCTGCTCCGGCGAAAGTGCGTTCCCTAAGGCTTTTGTCACGGTTAATTCACCTTCATGGGTGCACATGCCGAAAGTTACGATGGTCACTGATGTTGGTCGCGAGACATCGAAGCCACACTGGTTAGAGTTTTTCTTTTATGCCCAAAAGCCATTTCCAGCCGCCACCATGCGAGTTGCAGCCATCGCCAAATATCGATCGACAGAGAGTCACATTAAATTTGCGTCCGTGGCTCTTCGACTTCCTCTGGCCCTGAACTGTCGTTTGCAATCAACACCACAATCTCAACGGGCCGCCTATAAAATTACACTAGATACAGACAAGGAAGCAGCCAAACGCAGTGCACGATGTCCCAGGTTTAGGAGACCAACACTTAATTATGTTTTAGGTTGAAATGTTTGATCTTTTCGCAGACATGCTTCTTCAAACAGACATGAAATCAAAAGAATTAAGATTCGCTGCCCAGCAAGCCATTTCTTTTGAGTTCCACTTCACAACAGATGATTTATTACCCACAGCAATAGCCAAACCATCCCCTAAAGTACAGGTAACTGGCACTTTGATTGTATCCAGGCATACTAGTAGTTATAGCATTCAGAGCACTGCTCTTCCTGCTCTCTGGCTGCTTACAAATGAGCTGTGCACTAGGCTACAATGCCGATGGTACGATAGGGGTGGTGTAAAAATCTCGTATAAGGAACCTCTTCCTCTGTCTGACTATTTTGCTTCGGTAGATGATCATCATGCAACTCGAGTTGCTTTACGTATCGCAGAGTCCGCCTTAAACGACGCGTCTCATCAGTTTCGAACAATAGAAAAACGCTTACTTATTCGTTTCAAGGATGGTCGCCCTGTACAGATCAATCACCTAAGCTTGTTGATGCGGCAAACACATCATAACTTGCAGCGACTAGCCTCGATTATCCAACACGCTCAATTAGAGCGACGAAGGAGCGCAAGCATATTGGCTTGCTCTACCAATCTTCTTGTTTCTCTGATGCACTTTCATTTTGGACTCTCCGCGAAGAAAATCGCAAATATCTCAAGTCACATGAATCCTGATGTTGTCTCTCTTAACCTGGCCGCGCGTGAAGTTGGGCTGGCTGGCTGGGAAGAGGTTGCGGATATGTCAATGGCTTTCTTGCTAAAGAACAATATCATGAGACGCGCATCTAAGAGTACGCCAATAAAACCAGCTGTTCAAGCAGCAACATTGGCTTTCCCGTCGACGACAGATACGCTTAAGAAAAGAATCGCAATTATCTGTCATAAACTTGATCCCGTAAAGTAGTATCCAGAAGCAGCGATCGCTGTTCGACTTACTGACAATGCGAAGTCAGATGAATTTAATCTGCAGTCGGCATGTCCACACGAATCAATGCTTTTTTTTGCCTTCTCTGTGGCCAACGTAGTTTCACAGTCAGACTACTCCAAAGTGGTGCGCATAGCCTGTATTGCCAACGCCCACAGAGTCCAGCCAAGCTCCAAGGCCCAAAAAAAAACAGACCACAATGGCATCAAGGAGCCCAACAAAATCGCTTATATGCAAATAGTCTTGGCCTTCTGAGGCCCTCGTACCAGACGTGGGTCAGATGCTTCGTCACAAAAAGTTAGGCATTCTGATCTGGCAAGTAAGGACCATGCCTACCTATTACCTCCTCGCCACTCCGCTCGGCTAGCGTCGGCCGGGTCCACCGTGGACGCGACTTGCTGCGCACTGGCAGCCTGAGAGCCCGAGAGAGAGAGAGATGATGATATAAGTTGAGTGCTTTTCTACACCACTGTTTTGATTTTAGAGGCCAATTAAGCCCTATTCGCTGCGTTCATAGGACAATCGGCCTCTAATCAAAAAAGGTTCACGATGTAAAAAAGCACTCAACTTATATCATCATCGAGAAAGTCCGAGTCGAAGTGAGAGTCGCTTATCATGATTGAGCTCTCAGGCTACTAGCAGCCCCTCTAGCACGCCGCCGGGTCCCCCCCCCGAGTTGCGTAGGGAGAGGTAGGGTCCCAATCCGCCAGTGACTGTATTCTTGCTACTTGAAGTTATTACTAGTAGAATTACTGCCATTCAGCTCCGAGTCCCGCCCATTAACATATCCCTCCGACTGGCCGTCGCAGATGCCGTCGCACACAATTGTCGTGACCAATTGGGACTAGTCGGCCGAGCCGTCGTTCTCAGCGAGCGGGGTGGTGGATGAGCCGTCGGCGTAGCCAACGACGTACGCCGAGAGAGCCTGGGATTTAGCTGCGTCGTGCCGTTAGGTTCCAATATCTAGAGGACACGTACCGCCCATTGGTGCCCAATAGAGAGAAGTCCCTACCTAGTGGTAACCGTGACCGGCCATTGTCGCTTAGTTAACTCTTTCACTATTACCAAGTCGACCATGTAACCTCACTCACGGCGTAGTCTACGAGCTTGTGTTGCCGAGCTTGTGTTGCACACGCATACGTCGAGTACTATGATACACCGGGTGCCTCCGTCATGCCCGCAGGCCCAGGCTTGCTAGAGGTCCTCAAAACATTCTGAAGCCTGATTAGTTTCCCATTTTGCTTACTTCAATTTAATTAAGCTTATTGCATGTAGAAGCAAGAAGCTTACTTTTTATTCAGCGTTTTGCATTTAGATAATTGATTATGAAACTTTATATGTCCAGGGTGGGTTAATCGGCTTTTACTACAGAGTAAATGTGACATATAAACGCAAATGTGGCATGGAACCCAACAGCTCCCAGCATAAGAAAGAAGGCATAAGAGATTATAGCCATGTAGCCAAAGTAGAAACTCCCCTGGATCATACCTTTCATGCTTGACCGATGAAAAAAATAAAAGAAGGAGTAAGCGTATATGAAGGCGCCCGTCGACCCACCGCAGATAAGAGAACGCCACCACCACCGATAGTCCTCACGTGCCAGTTGAAAGTAGGCTAGCGAAACTGTAATGAAAGCGGTTACCTACATTATCGCATTCGGAAATACATCCAGATTTTCTATCTCTACACAGGGACATTGCAATGATTAGCATGATAAACGCAAGGAACAGAATTCCAAAAAGGGTATAGATTTTATGGCCCCACAACGAAGCAAATATGTAATGAAGTTCAATGTAGATAGCACTGAAAGGCAGAAAACCAGCCATGAACCTAGAAACTCAACAAACTTAACTATTTGTCGTGGGCCTTAAGGCACGCAGGAGAGACATTTGCGCCGCTGGGGTACGGAACCACGGTGCATCTGTGGGAATCTCACGGGGAAGACGGGTGGTGCGACACGGAGCATTGAAATCCGACGACAGCTGCCTCCCAAGTATAGCACCACCCAGGGTAAGCGGGAGTGCAACAAGGCCATAGAGAGCAGTGATTATAAAAACAGCAACTACGGGCAGAGCAGCGGATGAACCATGTGCGAGAGCTACTGAATTAACCCATGTAAAGACAAGTACCAGTGGAATAGGAAAGACAGTGGCTGTCACAAGTGCATTTGAAAGCCATGCTTTACCGCCAATTTGACGGTAGAGGCGCGCAGACACGAAGCCGCCAATGGGCGCCGTACATGCATATAGAATGATCATGGCTGTAAGAATGGCACCACGTTTCGTAGGCACAATACAGTTCGATATCGCGCAGATCAAAAGCAACAAGGTAACACACAGGAGATGTGCACCCGCACCAAGCAGGGCCGTAAGTCCATTGGCAAAGGGGGGAAATCGAAAAACATCTCCATTGATCAATTTCCAACCTGTTTCTTCCTCCCCGATTTCATCCTCTTCTACCTCCATGTAGCGCGAGAAATCATTTTTAAGCACGCGCATCATGATGATTGTTAGGAACGCAGTCAGCAACAACACAAGAACGAAAGAGTTGATGATTGACAGCCAGTGAATTTCAAAAGTTCCTGGTAGGAATCTTGAATCATGATAACGCGACATCCTCGAACCCCATTTTAGATCTAGCCGAGCCAGCCACTCGACACTGTAGGAAAAAGCGACTTCAGTGCCATCGAACTCCTCGGTGATATCTACTTTGCGCTGTGGATTTGTGGATACATTCACTGACACCACTTGATCAGTGTTATATCCAATTGAAAAATGGAGGTGAGGGTAGATGTAGCGTCTAACCGTCTCTAGATGCCCTAAAAGTACATCCTCGCCCTCTACTTCACCAATATACCCCCACATGGGTAGATCTTCGATGAACATTTCGAAGTAATAATCATTCTCAATCGCGTGCGTAAACATTCTCAATTCGGCTTGAGAGAAAGATTGTTCGCACAAGAGACGCCATGGTACATTGTCTAGAAAAGTAATTTCGTACGGCGAAACAACCTTCCGATCCCCTACGAGTCGCTCACCAAAGTCTTCGCGTCTTCTTTTTTTGGTGCGAGAGCAGAACGGTAGCGAGTAGTACTCGTACGTCTCAGACGGATTGTTGAAAGGACCGACCTACACATTGAAAGTTGTGTGACAATCCAACATTGGCCTAAACCTTACCTTGTTTGCAATCACTTGCAGGGGCTCATGCGCAGCATAATGTGCACCCAATGAGGCCTCCGCAAGCGGAGAAAGCCCGAAAACCAGCAAGGCTATCAACGAGCAATGCTTCATTGTCGAAACGTCCCGGTTGGCCTTACTTCCCGCTAGCCTGTGTCCTGCTAGCCTGTGTCCCTCGAGGGACGCTGGGATACTTGCAGACTTGCAGAGACGTGGACTTCGAGCGCGCTACACGAGAGAGGTCGCCATGGCCCGAACCAGATACAAACTGCCCTCGCAGACTTAGATGCGCCGCCGGGTGGGTCGCGCCGCCCAGAGACTGGGCCCGGCTCGGAGTCTCAAGCCCCGAGAGCCTGCTGATGCCGGCGGGTACCAGCGGCGTAGCACCCTGCGAGAGCTCCTGCGAGCTAGTGACTCTAGGCGACCCAAACTAAACAACCACGCGGACCAGAGAACCCCACGACTGGCATCCGAGTCATGATGAGTCGACACGGTCGCTCCGAATCTATAATGTTGGGACTTCCCTGGTGCTTACTTCGGGGGGGGCTTTATCCACTCCTTTTCTACACCCCTTTCGGGAGATTAGAGTTGGGGACGATTAGAGTAAAAAGATCTTAGTGGCCCGCCCCCCAATACGTTACCAGTTGCGGTTCCTTCGCCGACCTCAGGGTGTCGCATTTGCGTATCCACCCCACCCCACGCCATAGGTATACAGGGCCCTCAGGAGGCCAAATTGCCTGCATAGGGCAAATGCTGATCAAATGCCAGTGATGGTCACAGGCAGAAAATGACAACATCATAGGGTCCGAATTTTAGCTTACATCACTTTGTACTCAATAGTCGTCGCCACCACCATCACCGCCAAACATGTCCATGCCGCCACCCATGTCAATCTCCTCCTCCTCCTCCTCCTCTTTCGGTTCTTCAGCCGTCGTTGTGTTTTTCGCACCGCCGCCGTCACTAGCAGATACGAAAGCTGATGGATCAGCGAGATAAGCTTTGAAAGGACCAGCCTTGCCAAAAGAATATCCCTCACACTCCACTGCAATTGCCACTAGAGTTTTAAAGCAGGTTGCGATGGAGTGGGGCGCCGAACAAATAGACGGGTAACTAGTTTGCAGACACACTGAGGAAATGGCGCCGAGAGCATTACCGAACTTGAAAAACAGGTCATCATCAGTAAGATCAAGGACTTTGACATCAAATATGGACCCATTGTCATAAACGTCTGTAATCACCAGGCCATAGTCAAAAGGATTAATGTGGAGCTTTTGGAGGAGAACGGCCTCTGAGTTACCCACCTTGTCACCAGCCTTGAGCAGATTTACTGGGGACGTAATTTCAATGCGTCCCTTCACAATTTTGGTTGCTATCTGTAGGGTCTGGAAGAAATTGGTTTGACCCGGATCACAATCCGTTGGACCCGGAGGAACCACAACGTCGATTGGTGCAATGGCACCGACACGTGCGGGGGCGGGCACGCGGTTGTCTTCGATTAGCTCGCGCACCTTACCGAGATCACCATTCGTGAACACGAATCCAATATTGCCCATGATCTTCGGCAGTAGCATCTCATACGGGTGGCCTGGGTTTTTAGCAAGGTAGGCGCTGACGACCTTGCGCATCATGGTATTTTTGCCCATGAGCACAACAGCCTCCCCCCTAAGAGCCATGCGGATTTGCTGGAACTGCTTCGACCCAACGTTGTCACAAGACACGATGAAGATTCTAGAGTACGCATCAAGGAGGCCCTCCATCTTGCCAAAATACTCCTGCTTGCGCTCCCGTGAGAGACCCATGTCGCCGAATTCGAGCGACCAACGCCTCACTAGTAAGTAGCCTCCTTTTGCAGACCCTTCGAGATATAGGCCTAAAGCTGTCGACTTCGAAACCCGCGAGCGTCTGAGGCCCGGGGCTCTTCGGCAATTGATTTATCCTAAGCCTTGTCGTAACTCTGCAGCCTAATGTGCCCATTCAGGCGGCCGGGCAGCTAAAAACAGCCTGAGCGTCGTCCACTGCTACGATACGCAACATGTTTTTCGTTTTGGTAGGTGATGCACGGCCGGCGCGAGGAAGAAGCGCACAGCAGGCTTGAGGGCACATTGATGTTGATTTCGACGCGGCAGTCGATACTAATGTACCGCATGCGGTACATTAGTCGATGGCCCAGCGCAAATTGCGCTCACTCTGGACGAGGTTGTTGAGGAAAGACTCGTAGTGGTCGACGTCCCCATCACTGGCAGAATCTCCGAACTTGAATTCAGAAAAACCAGATACTCTAGTCGTCGCGTCCGCGGTGGGGACGCGATTGATGCGAACCAGATATTTGGTTGTTGTCATTCTTTTATCGGATTCTCGCGCGTGAGCCGCCAGGCCGAATAAAGATAATCCTCGTCAGGCGCGCTTGCCAGCCTCAGCTGACTCGGAGTGGGCCGTATCATAGATGCATCACTTGAGCTGCCCGAGCGCCCGGAAATGCGGGATACTCTGCTTTTCTTTCAGCATAAAAAGACGTACGTGGCGCCAAGACTCGGGTCCACTGGCAGCTACCGTGACAGGCGAATCCCCATCATGAAGATCCTCAGGCTCGTAGTACGCGCAACATCTCGCTGGGCGGTGGAGATAACATCTCAGAAGAATGGTATCTGTTTGTGAAAAACGACTGATTGTCGCCACAGACTGGCCCGCCGGGTCTCACTGGCACTGGCAGGCCCGGGCTCTTTTTAACTTGAAGTTTGTGCAGGCCCGCGGGCACCCTGGGCCCGGTCCGAAACGCTGTCAAAGCAACTCACCACTCCTCAGTCGGTGGAAATTTCGGCGAGGTCAAACCATGTTCTTCTTAATAACGCAGTCACTAGCTCAAACAAATTATAACGATGGCACTTGCTGTACCTACGGCCCTGCGGTATACCGGGGGGGTCTATAATTGTACCCAGGTACATGTGCCCTCCCCTTCACCTCGCCGTATGGGGCCTTATGGGGCCCAGTCAGGGTTGTACATTACACAGGCGTCTATACGTACCCCCGCCCGCGCCCCAAAGCCCTGGGTTTGAGCGCTCGGGACGTTTTGGCCGACCGCGAGCGCCCCACGGCGGTGCGTTGCGGGCCACTTTTCGCACGAGAATCTGCTCATTTCGGGCGTATCGAGGGTGCAAGAGCGTCGTCACTGACCTCATGACCCACGCCCATGGGCTGGTGAGATTGCCCGCGGCCAGGATTACCCGTGAGACATTCAACTGTTCGAACCCATGCACCGAACGCGGTAAAATGGGTGCCGAATGCAAAGGAGATTCACTTATTGGCAACCCATGCATTGTAAGTGAGCGAGTGATGCCTCGGGTCCGGAGCGGCACTAAATTCCAGCCGAGACCGCGATCCGAATGGGTTGTGACCCGCGGCACTTCGGGACCGACCGCGACCAGCAAAACAAAGCGAAGCCGTCGGCCGCTAACCGTCACGCTGCGCAGGCACCGGCTCTGGACCAGGCACGAGGGGCACGCAAAGCCCGGAGATATGCGGACGCGGTCTCCGTCGGCTTGGAGGGAGTCGAGCCCAGGCTCCAGGAGAGCAGATTTGGGGGCACATTTGTAACTCGCGACGCAGGCCGAATAAGTGGCAACCGGTGCACTGTAAGTTGGCCAGTGGCCGTCCGAGGTAGCCCCGCCTGGGTGCTGCGCCAGCCGTTGCGCCGGTCGCGCGCCGGTTCGCTTAACGCTAACCTGGGTACAATAACCAACTTACCCAGTAGGATACCGCAGTAGGTATTCTACCGCCGCTTTAATCCGCGCGTTAAGATGGATTCTCGCCGACAGCCGCCGAAGACGATCGACGAACTACAAAGGTCACGCGAAACTCGAGCGAACGATGCCCTGGCAATGAAGGAGCAGCAATTGCGTATGCTGAATGATCAGAATGTCCAGCTGCTGCGTAATCTGGATAGGGTTGAGGAGGATGCAAATGCCATACAGCTCGAGAAGGTTGCGGCCGAATCCGACAACCGAACGCTGCGCGATGAGAACTTTCGCTTACTAAGCAGATCCCGAACTGCGGATGCCCAGTTATCATCAATGAAAACAGAAGCTGCCGAGAAGGATAAGCAGCTTAGGGTCATAACTGATCAGAATTCAGAGTTGTTACGTTTGCTGGAGACCGAAGAAGCTCAAAGCGCGAAGTTAAGTGCGGAAAATCAACACTACGGTAGCGAATTGGATTTACTGAAAACAAAATATGGGACTCTACTTGCCACCGCGAAGACTCACGAAGAAATGGCAAATCGAGCAGCACATGAAGGCCAACTCCGCGCAGATGAAGTACGTATCCTGCGTTCTGAGATTGATCAACTCAAAACCTTGAACCAAGAGTTAAAGCTCAAAGCTCAAGTTGAGCTGGAGGCACTCCACGAGCAATTGCGAGTCCGGAAGGAAAAACAGTACCAGCTACTCGAGAAGCTGCAAGCACAAGATAGGGTTAAGCGTTTAGCAGAGGATCAAGTAAGTAGCATGGAAGAAAAACTACGCCAGTTGCATGCCAAAAGCGTGGAATTGGACACACACCTACAGGTGGAAACACGGAACCGTCGCATGAAAGAAGAAAGCAATCGCAATCTGACCGCTGACCTTAATAACCTGATGGAAGAGGTCAAAGAAGTCAGAAATCGGTCAAATCTTGCGGATAGCGAAAGACTCCGCATAGAAGCAGAGGCAAGGGACAGTGGTGACCAATTGCGAGAAATGGCCGAAAAAGTTTTCCAGCTGCTCGAGCGGCTCAAACTAGCAGAACTCAGTAAAACTCGGGCCATGGAGGAGCTTAATAAGCGGGAAGCCGAAGCAGTAGCACTATCGAAGAAAAATGCAAGGCTACTGAAAGAAGCAACAAGAGAAGGACGAGGCAGAGTGAAAGCTGAACTTGACAAAAAGATATTACAAGACCAGCTACGAGCAGTCAGAAAGCATAACTCTGTGCTGGCATCTCGTTGTCGTGAAGAGGTTCGCCTCAAGCTAGAAGAGCGTGAAGAAAAAGGAGTTGCGGTGGAAAAGGTCAAGACTTTTAGTGGTCGCCTTGGGTTTCTCTTAAACAAGATGCAGACAGATGAAGAAGCCAAGGTTGTGCGAACAGAGGAGATGCGAAAACTCGAGGCACAGCTAAAGACTTCAAATGATCATCTATCCAAGCTGCAAGCCAAACTGGATGATGCCAATGAATCTAATCGCATCATATCACAGGCGAGTAGAATCAAACAAGAGGAGCTAGACACAACAAAAGCTAGATTTGATGCCCTTTTGGACAGCAGGCAAACAGAAAACGTCCAATCTAGCACAGCCAAAATCCACGGGAATGATTCTGGCCAAAATCCCCACGTAAGTCCTGCTGAAGCGAATGGTCGATTTCTACTGGACACCAGCACTTCTTCCGACTTAATCTTGCTCAAAGGCAAGAAAGCAAGCTGGAGTACTTGGCTTGAAGCACATGATGCAAATAAGATACTCAAACGCGCGCAGAATTCACCCAATACTAGGGAGTTGCTTGTTCAACATATAGGAAGATGTTATGGCATGTTGATGGCTCAGGAAGAAGGCAGGGACACTTTGTACCGGGATTTGCAAGACTGTGAACAACAAATCGAGCATGTTGCACGTAAATGTGCACACGTCCAGGAAAAGCTTCATCTTGAAGAAGAGGCCAAAAGGCGTACTCTTCTACGCTATGTCCATTCAGTTAAGAATACCAGTATCCCTAGCATTATAAGAAGTGTAGAAAAATCAGACGAAGTTGGCGTGATACAGCTCCCCGAGTCGTCGATCTCTGATGAAGAGCTACACGCGATTTCGGCACTTCTGCGTGGTGATATGTCAATCCAACAGCTTATCCTCCGGGACAACATGATATCAGATGATGGGGTTCATGCCTTAGCATCAGTCTTGGCGGGTAAGTCCAATATTAGTACCATCGATCTTCGCGGAAATAGGATGACGCCCCACGGAATTCGGATACTTGCAGAAGCACTAGAGCGATCTGAAAGAGTACGTCATGTCTACGTGCACGCAGCTGGGAAAGTAGAGGCCCTGGGTATTGCTAAATGGACTCCAGTAAATCCCCCAGACGGTGCGACAACAGCGGAGTTCTCAGCAAGCGTTGAGACTGTATGTTGCGTGGACTGCCGAGATAATATTCAACACGATCAGGAACAGCAGAAGATTACCAATAGCTTAAAAAAGTCTGAGGTTCCTGTAGCTGTTGCTAATCACAAGAGGTTAGCGCGAGAAAAGAAAATTCAGCGCATGAGTGCCGGCAAGGCAACGAGAGGACCCATGGCAAATTCGTCTAGAGTGGGGGTGTTCCCAAACTTAGGAGAGGGCCTCACTGGCCACCAGAGGCGAAAATGATTGCAATTTAGTAGACCATTATTATACTTGAAAGCCCGGTGGATTCCCAGTATAGCAAAAAAAAAACAAGAAATAGCAAAGCGTACCTATCTAGTATCCAAAGAGATTCTTTGAGCATTCGTTGTAGATTGGGTTGGGCCTGTAAACAATTACAATTACCTGGTCTCAGCCAATCTGCCCTAGAGGCATCTCGAATGTCCCGAAGCCTTGTGAAGACACAGTGCCTGGTCTTCGCAATCGGCTTGTACCTTGCTCTATACCCTTCTATTGGTGTTCTGCTGTTGTGTTCTGACAAGTTTAATGCAAATGTCCTAACACCCTTAATGAGGCAAGGTTAGCTGGCCATATTGCATCACTGGTGATAGGTAAAGCGCCAGACGGCTCGCAGATATATGCAGCCTCAAATGAAAATGACCCGCCAAGCCAGCATGCACTTTGGTGAGACTTACTTTCTTCCTGGCGGCTTCATCAAATCAGTCGCTCTTGAATTTCGCTATTAATCGTAATACGACCTATGAGACCACAGAGAGCAATTATCAATGCCGCGTGTGGCCGCTGCGAACTTAGCTGCAGCCTAATCGAGCTTTGACGACCACTAGAATCGGCTTACAGTTCGCGCGGCGTTTGGTATCTTGGCGTCGGGGCGTGACGGAAAATCTGCACCATGCCCCCCTAGGCTGGCGCTGGGCTGGCGCTGGGCTGGCGTGGGACGGTGGACTGGGGCGGACCCAGGGTTTTGGGGAATTCTCTGCTAATAGCCAACTCGAAATCCGTAATAGCCCAACTCGAAATCCGGCACATTGGACCCCCAGGGGAACCCCAAGGACACAGCACGACTCATTTGACGGGACCTAATGTGACTAGGAGTACAAGCACTAGTCCCACTAGGCCTAGACTTATCGATTAAGGGACGGGGGCGGACCCCAAATTTGAGATTCGAGTTCCCAGCCACTTGGCCGGGGGCGATTTTGGCTAAGGGGTCCCATAGGGTCCCTGTGTACGCCCCCTGACCGGGATGGGGGGAAGGGGTCACTTTCGAGGCGAGACGCGGTCGCGAAGTTGCCCATCTGGGGCCTAACGTGCGGGTATTTCAGAGGCTCTGGATATCCTCTGGACTGAAAAATCAAAACTCGCTTCCATGCTGGTATTTTGGTCTTCCAGGGGCCCTCGGGCACCTATGGCGTGGGGTGGATGCGTAGGTGCGGCCGGGTACCCGATGGGCTGCCAGAAGGTGGCCTGACGCGGCACGAAGCGCCACTGGCGCGACCTTCGCAGGCCACTAAAATTTCCAAACCTAATCGTTTCGCTTACCCGTTTCGGTCACGTCCCAGGGGGGTAGGGAGCCCCCTCTGGCTCAATTCGCCCGCGGCCAAGACGTCTAGTTATAGAGATACGGCAAATTTGGGGGTTGGTGTCCGCCCCCGTATTAAGGGGTGGGGATGCTGATGCCGATTAAGGTTTTAACGCGCTCTCCGTGCGCCGCGCGCGGCACGGGGCAGCCACCAGGCGCGTGTGGAGGTCCTAGGAACTCATGCGCGCCATGCTTAAAGCGCGCGCCTCGAAAGGTACCCGTCTCGGTGGTCTGCGAGTGCCCAAAAGCTGCTGCTCTGCGCAAGGCCCTAAATCGGCACGCGACCGCGAATAGATCTCCAAATTGCTGGTAGAGGAGCGCCCGACCCACGCGAGCGCAGCGACGCACCTCAAGAAGTCCACCAGTTGTCCGTCGCCACGTGTCAACCCGCGGTCGGTCGGTAGAGCATATTCGGTGATGTCCATGGCGGGCCAATTGAACGCCTCTCGACAAAAGATCGACCGTCAGGACGTACGTGTACATTCCAGCGAACGTTCGAATGACGCGCCGCGCAAGTGGAACAGACTTTAAGCCAGCGACGCCGACCGCGGGGAATCGGACTCGTCCGAGAGCTGCATTTAGGAGGTTAGGCGTACTATCCTAGGACCTTTTCGAATACCAGGGCGGGCGGGGGGTTGGGGCCACTCCCTGGTATGAACTTGAAAGAAAACGCGCACCACACCCAACGTGCAATGCTGGCCCTCCGAGACTACAGGCCTCCGTGCCCTTCAATACCCGCACCCTATACTCCTCAGCTTCAACTTTCCTCCACGTCAACCTCAAGTTGAAGTAAGGTTGAAGGAAGGGTAGTCATAGGTAGCCACGGACCCCCCTCAGACCTCCTCAAACTCACTCCTACTTCTGCTGGCGTCTTCCTTACGCTTATGGACGTCTAAAATAGCCGGCAAGTAGGTCGAGTGGGACCAAGAAGTAGCCACGGCCGTCCACGGTACCAGGCCAAGAAGTAGTATTGAGAGCGCGCCACAGGGACGGATCTTGGCGGCTACCGGCGGCCCGGGACCGCCCTGCGCTTTGGGCCCGCCTATCGCCCGGTCTCAGGTACTCGCTAGCCGACCCCGCCTGGTCTGCGGCTCGACCGTCACTAGCACAGTCACGGTCTCGCAGCGTCTCGCCGTTTTTGCTAGATCTCGGGCAAGCCGCGAGTCCGGACCCGCCCTGGATTTAGGTTCTCGGGGCCCACCGCCCGGATGCGGTCTCAGACAGCCCCGAGTCCGCGACGACCGCCACTAGCTCGTGCTGCCTAAGTCTAACAGGACGAGTGTAGGGTCGTAAAGCGAGCGTAATGGCGTCGGTCTCAGATAACTGTACAGGTGCGCTTGTGTCGTGGTCATTCATAGTTCCGTGACTGACTCCTTATTTAGTTCTCCTGAATACTGATAAGCAAAATCTAGTTAGTCAAGAGGAAATACTAAAACAGCTAGAGGACTCAAATGACAAGGTACGTGGGTAGCTCGGGCTTGTCATGACGCGTTGTGCAGATGAAAGTTAAGGCATTAAAGTCTGCAATTTTGATGATGCTCGGAGGAGAACCTATCCCTCGAATACTAATGACGGTGATACGGTTCTGCATCAACACTGAACACCACGAGTTCAAGAAATTACTAATGCTATTTTGGGAGATTGTTCCAAAGTACGATTCCGAAAAAAAGTTGCTCCCTGAGATGATACTGGTAATGCTTGTGGAGTTGCTCTATTGCTTATATACAGATGATAGGTATGTAATGCACTACGAAACGACCTAAATCATTCAAACGAATATGTCCGAGGCTCCATGCTTCGTTTTTTGTGTAAGCTGAGAGAACCCGAAATTATCGAACCGCTTGTTCCGTCAATCAAAGCTTGTTTGAATCATCGGCACTCGTATGTCCGCAAAAATGCCGCACTTGCAATATACCACATTCACAAGCACCATGGGTCAGCCTTGGTGCCGGATGGCGCAGACCTAATGAACGACTTCATCAGGGCAGAGACTGAAGTTGGCTCGAGGCGAAATGCCTTCCTCATGTTGTTCAATGAGGCTGAAGAGGTAGCAATTGAGTTCCTAGCAGCCCATGCTGATGGACTAGACGACTTTGGCGACGGGTTTGCTCTACTTGTCCTTGAACTAACCCGAAAGGTCTGTCGACGCGATCCGCGGCAAAAATCACGATTTGTCCGATTTTTGTTCCAGTTACTCGGTTCCCAATCGGCAGCGGTCAGCTACGAAGCAGCATGGACTCTCGTGAGCCTATCATCAGCGCCTACTGCGGTACGTGCAGCGGCAGCAACATACACTGCCTTGCTTTCATCGCAGTCTGACAATAATGTGAAGCTCATTGTCTTGGAGCGACTAGCCGAAATGAAGCAGCGGCAGTCGCGAGTTTTGACAGAAGTACTAATGGACATGCTGAGAGCCCTCTCATCACCAAATGTAGACATTTGCAAGAGAACTCTTGAAATTGCTATCGATCTAGTGTCACCACGTAACATCGAGGAAGTTGTTGGTGTACTGAAGCGCGAAGTCGTCCGAACCCGTGATTCTGATCTAGAAAATTGTTCAGAGTACCGAACGATGCTTATCCAAGCGATTCATACGTGTTCCTTGAAATATCCCGAAATTGCTGGATCTGTAGTGCATGTTCTCATGGATTTTCTTGGCGTTGACGGTGCTATGGATGTAATTGTATTTGTTAGGGCAAACATGGAGCAAAATGCTCCACTTCGTTCTGGACTGTTAAAGAAACTGGTGAATACATTGTGTGAAATAAGGTCGTCACCTGTCCTCTCTGTCTCTTTGTGGATAATTGGAGAATATGCAGAAGGCGAGGAATTGCTTAAGTTAGGATTTGACGAAATTGCTAATGCTATGGGCAACCCACCTTTTGTGTGTTGCCAAGTGACAGATGCAGCCAACACCAATCCTGGACGCATATCAGAAAACTCAAGGTCGGTCGTCCTAGCTGATGGAACATACGCTTCACAAGCAGGGGCTATGGAATCACAAGCGTACGGTGACAAGACGAACATTTCTCCTCTGAGGGCCCTTGTTTCGAATGGAGATAGTTTCTTAGGCACTGTGGCGGTAAGTTCGTTGACAAAGATCGTACTTAAATCACGAGCACTATATGGAACGAACTCGACTTTAACCAAGCAGCGTCAGCTAGTAATGCTGGCAGTCTGCTGTGGAGTAGCAGACCTCATTGAACGCTCGACATCAGAGAAGCAATACTCGCCCTGCAAATCTGTGAATTCTACCTCTCCTATTTTTTCGGGCGCATCTGCTGATTGCATTGAGCGCTTGGCTCTATTCGCGAGACTCATACTAGACACAGAAATACAAGCTGCAACTGTCGAGGCATATCTCAGTGACAGCAAGATATCTTTCTCCCAATATCTCCGTCATGCATCAAATTCTACGCTCGTGGTTGAGCCAAGTTCAAAGAATTTGTCAACCCCCGCCTTGGCACAAGTAGATGATTTGATTTCTTGGCGACAGTTGCGTCAGGTGACATCGGCGAGTGGTGATTTGGACTTGTGTGATGGGGACGATTTACTACGGGCAACTGGTTCATTTGAAAATAGTGATGGCACAGGAACGCGGCTTAGTCACGTTTACCAACTTACAGGCTTCGCAGATCCAGTCTACGCAGAGGCGTACGTCACAGTACATGACTATGATATCCTTCTTGAAATTCTCATCATAAACCGAACAGCCGCTACACTTACAAATCTGACGGTCGAATTGGCTACAATGGGCGACTTGAAACTTGTTGAAAGACCACTTTCTCTAACAATCGGCCCTCTTGATCAACGATCAATCAGTGCCAATATCAAGGTTTCTTCAACGGAAACCGGCCACATATTTGGCACCATTGTATACGAAAACTCGTCGAATGCAGAAAAAAGTATTATCAACTTAAATAGTATTCACTTGGATATAATGGATTACATACGACCTGCTCTTTGCACTGACGAAACATTCCGTGCAATGTGGGCTGAATTTGAGTGGGAAAACAAAGTAGCTATTGCGACAGCGATCAGTGAACTTGGAACATTTTTAGAACATATTATATCTGAGACAAATATGCGCTGTCTGACTCCGCAATCTGCCTTGGGCGGCACTTCATCTTTTTTAGCCGCGAACCTCTATGCGAAATCCATTTTTGGAGAAGATGCTCTTGTCAATGTATCTGTCGAAAAAAAAGAAGATGCCGATGGAAAACTGAGTGGCTACATTCGCATCCGTTCAAAAACCCAGGGCATTGCGCTTTCACTCGGCGATCGGATAACAGCTGTCCAGCGCCGTAATTAAGCACACTCGTGCTAATTTGACCACAGGAAACTATCATTTGATAGTATTAATTAATGCGCCTGGGAAACTTGCCTGCTGTAGAGTGGTTAATCTTGCCAGAGACAAGGGCGAGGTGATTGGGCACCGCGCATTGTTTCAACCTGGAATGCGATCGCGTAGTTGCAAAAGGGAAGTGGCCACACGCAAATGCGTGTCTACTTCCCGGGACTGCGAGTTTTAGCCTTTGATAACTGCGAGTTTTGGTGGGGAGGGGTAGTAGAGGGAGGGGGTCACTTTTTTGCCTCCCCACTCTATAGGCGAGACGCGGTCGCGAAGTACTTAGCCCCATTCTAGAATTTCTATAGACCGAGCGAGCTAGGCCTAGCCAAAAGCCGGAAATTCCCTTAGAGCCCTATATACCTATGGAACGTTAGGAAATAATTTTTCCGTAATTGTGGTTCAATTTATACGTCTCAGGGGCGATTTTTGGCTTGGGGTTCGGGTTTTATCGCAATGGTCGCACCGCGTCGCAGCTGCTTGCTCTGCGCGAGGCTGCCCGCATGGTACCAGATTGCGCACAGCCCATTATTTTAGCATACGGAACCTGCGCCTCAGCAAAAATTTCCCGCCATTCGGCCGGCGCGTGGCTAAACGCGCATTGCGCCAAAATCAAAATCAACGTCGACTAATTGCGCTCCCCCCTATAAAATTCGAAGTCTCCACGCAGTATTAGGATTCGCAGGGTAATTTAGCTTAATTAGGACTCATGGAGTATGCCTCAAAATCGGGCGAGAAATAATTACCCGGCTTTACCCGGGCCCGAGCGAGCGAGCCTTGTCGGCCTAGACAGAAGCCGGAAATTCCCTTTGAGCCCTATATAGATATGGAACGCTAGGAAATATTTTTTTCCGTAATTATGGTTCAATTTATACGTCCCAGGGCGATTAGCGGGCTGGGGGCTGCGGCAGTGGGGGCTTTATTTACATCCGGCTAGCTCGGCGCCATCGCGTGTGCGAGTGCCACGGGTTGGTGTGCTGGAAAGCCCACAATCAGGGCTACACAGCCGCGTTGGCCGTGGCAGTCGCACACGCGATGCGGCCGAGAAAAGCTGGCCTGAAGTTCGGCTCTTCGAGGCGCCCTTAGCGGGCCGCGCGAGGCTCCCCGCGAAAAGTTTTCGCTGAGCCGAGGCTGACCGAGAAGGTGCTGAAGCCAGTGGAAATGGCAGGGGCAGCTATCTGCACCAATTCCGTCGCTGAGATCATGCGCGGCGTACCGCCCCGCGGGCGCGACCTTCAGAAACCGCCAGGCGGCATGTCCGAAAGACGACAATGGGTCGGACACATGCGCGGGGTACCCTCGGACACTGCGGCCGCCTTCGAGAAGCTGGAGAGACTTTCGTATTATGTGTCTCGGGCGGGACCGTCTCGCAGTCGACTAAAAAAAGCACCGAAACAACCAAATCCAAGTTACGCGAGGGCAGCCGAGGGTATGATCAGTCCCCGTGACCGATAATTGACACTTGGCAGCCCGGTTTGCATGGCACCCGACGACACCATAAGGAGCCCTCACGCCACCCTGCCTTGGCGAATAGCGGCCCGCAAGGCAGGCAGCGCAGCACAGCCGACGTCAAACCCAACGGACGGCAAAATCACCCTTAGCTCTAGGCGGGTTTTTGCTCGGACGTTGGGTTTTTTATCTCGGACGTTTTTCGCACTGATGAACTTCGCAGTGATCGCACCGCGTCGCAGCTGCTTTCTTGGCGCGAGGCTGCCCGCATTACCAGGTACCAAACTTGCACAGCCCATTATTTTAGCATGCGCAACCTGCGCCTCAGCAAAAATTTCCCGCCATTTGGTCGGCGCGTGGCTTTACGTACGCGATTGCGCCAAAATTAAATATCAACGTCGACTATTCAATATAAATCATCTTAATTAGGACTCATGGAATAATGCGTCCGAATCTTAGAAGAAAAAAAATTACGGCAAGGGCGGGGCCTAGGCTCGTTACGCTGAAAATTCAAACTCATACTTTTCACGGTAGTATGAGGCTGATAGAGATATCCTAAAGGGTGTGAGTTAAAGAAAATATGGTGGGCGGTAAATTTTGGGTTGGTATCAGCTTTCAAAATGCTAGAACGTGTCGGCGACAATCAGAGGGTCGATTAACCCTCTTCAGATGAGTAAGTTATACATCACAAGTCCGCTCATGGAGTCACCCTAGTTAACTAGTTAACCCATGTCGCCGCGATGGAATCGCGACCGCCACAAACAGCCGGGTAAAATTCCAATTCCGCCCGTTCTTCCACGACCGCAGAAACTTCCTCTTACCTTGGGATAGGCTTTGAGACTAGCTGTTAATGACTTAATAAAAAAACAAATAAAATCTCTGCAGGGATCCGCTCTCGTGCCCGGCGAATAAAGAAGCACGCTTTTGCGCACAACGTTTTCCGTCTCTTTATCAGGTCGTTGATCACGCTCCTTGCCCGTGCAATGGCTTTTCGGCTATATATAAGTACCAACGTGGCATTAACATTCGCCGGGTATTTCTCTTAATTAGGACTCATTGATGGTGGGTCAATTTCACATTTCTTATTCGTCGGGCGGGCCCCAAGTATCTTACTCCTTTACCCATGTGCATGCGTATCGCGCGCCCCCAACGCGCCACGGCATCCCTACATCGATGGCGTAACTCTACCGCGCTGGGGAAAGATTGGCGACCAGTAAACAATATAAATGGTGGCAGGGCCGGAAACAGCATAATTCCCAGTAGCCCTCTGTCTAGTTAATTGGATTTTCTGGGTTTATTTCGCCATCGTCCGCGTTCTTCCTGACTTTTCATAGAGAATTGCCCCCTCGATTCTAGTCTCCGAAACAACTCGTGAGTGCCCGCCGCTGGTGATCTTAAGCGCATCGCTAGATCCCAACCCACCTACTTCCTCCTCCCACTCGATCTACTTCATTGCCCAGATAGAAGGTAAAAGATTTTTCGGAAGAACCATCAATAGAACGCCCGAGCAGAAGTAGGAGTGACGGGGGGTCCGGTGCTGTCTAAAACTACCTTACTTCAACTTGAGGTCCTTTGTCGCTACAAGTCAACCCGCGGCGGTCGGAAGAGCATTCGTTGATGTCGTGGCGGGCCACTTAGACGCCGCTGGACCAAAAACGACCGTCAGGACCAACGGACGTTGAAATAACAGTGCCGCGCACGATGTCGACCTAGAGTTTTTAGGATCGTACTATTTTTGGACCTATTTGAGTACCGGAGCGCGCAGCAGACTTCACTGCGTGCAGCTCTTGCCTTCAATACCCCTCAAGTGGAGTGCTTGAAGTGCGCCGATTTATTTATTTGGAGCTCCTCTAGCAGCTAGCGGGGTGTAGCAGCTAGCGGGGCACTCGCAGACTGCCGCGAGGTTGCTACCTTTCGGCGCACGCGCCTTAAGCATGACCGCCACGCAGACGAGTGCCCATGACCTCCACGCGCGCTTGGTGGCTGTCCACTGCACGCACGGCGAGCCCATTGAAAACTGGGCGGTGAAGGAGTGTGATAAATAAAAAAAGGGAGAACTAAGTACGAACAGAAGCTCCGAGGAGCCCTCCCTCTGCTCACCCAGGATACCCAAGCACGCTTAGAATATATAGCCATAATATTAATAAGAAAACGATACTAGAAAAACGAGTCGCACAGGAGTTGCAACAGAGGCACAAAACATAAAACGATCGAGCTGCAACAGTGTCATAAAATGAATACGCATACTTATTATTTATATTTTGGTTCAATGCTAAATCTCAATCGGAAGCTGAACTGATCCGCAGGCTTCTGGCAGACGTCCAATTCTTGCAGATGGCCTGCGGAATCCGCGGTGAGTCAAATGTCGTCCGCATAGAAGACAACGGATGACTTCGCAACAGACGGTAACGCCCGAGGCGGGGCGCGATATCATCAATAAATACCGCTTACAGGGCGAGGCTCAGCACTGGCACGGACTAGTATAAATTTCGAGCCTGAGGCCTCCGCGGTCTTTGCGGTCTCGAATTCCTAAGCGTCGCAGGCAGGAGGGGAGGAGGAGGCTAATTCATTCCAATATTAATTAGAGCCAAGGGAAGGCAGGATGTCACGGCGGTTGCTCCAAAGAAGTAAGAATAACCTATGTCCGGCCTCGCCAGTGGGGAAGTGTCTAGGTTGGCATTAACCGGTTAATAACCGGTAGTTTACCCATTATCACTCCTTGGAGGGGATCTGGGGTAAATAACCCGGTAAATAACCCGACGGGTTTCGACTACCCGTTTAGTGCGATTACTTATAAGTAGCGAAAGACCCCCCCGGGCGAGCGGACGGGCGCAGGCAGCCCGTTGAGCTTTTGGATACGTACAGGTGCGCCAAGGCAAGTACCGAGTCATGTGGCCCGGCGCGGCCCAGGCCCGCGCCAGTGGCCAGTGAGGCCCCCTCCCCTACCCCTCTATAAGATCCTGAGGTAAATAACCCGTACTAACCGGCAATTACCCGGGTTTTAACCCCGGGCGGCGCCGGGGTTATAACCCCTCAGGTAAATGCCAACCTAGGGAAGTGTGGTATGTGCAACCTAGAACGTGCTCACAATTCCCAGCCACCAACAATGCCAAGTCACAGAGCCCCCTTCCGCGCCCCAGGGAAGGCCCTGGGAGGATGGACCGGTGAGCTCAGTGCTGGTTATGATGAACAAACGCCCACCGCATGAGAGCCGCCCGGGCCCAGGACGTTCCTGCACCCAACTCCATTGTCAACTTCAAGTTCTCTTGTTGGGCCCGTACTGGTGGAATATAGATTTGCCTGTGGAAGGCGCCGAACTTTAATTTCCCCGTCAGTTGGGCAATGTACAGTAATTTGTCAGTAACGAGGTTATATGAGCTGCCCGATGCTAATTTAGTGTCGTACACAACTCCTGTGCATTCAGCTGTCTTGCTTCTTACACCGACACCTGGACTTGGGTAGACGCCAGCCGGTACGTATATTCAAAGTAGATGCCCACGCCCGACGATTGAAGCAAGGAGCTTTGTCTTGTTTCGCTCTTCAAAAGCAAGCAGTCGGCTCTGCCATGATTCAGTAGACTCATCCTCGAATGGCAAAAGGGCCAAAGTGTAAAGTTCTCGGGCATTGCGATGGAGTTGGTCACATGAGGCTCCTTTGAGACCATGGAGATGGAGGAAGGTAGCTAATCTTGGGGCACTCCAGCCTTGACGTTCTTCTTTGAATTTCATCTCAGTTTTGCAGCGCCAAAGGCATGATTCTCCCTTCTTTGTCATACTAGACTTGAAATTACCGAGCCACAGCCACGCCCCAGGAATCCCATCTAGCTCCCGGGCTCCCTGTCTGGTGTGCACAAGAGTGTGAACAAGCTGAATGCCATTCTGTTGGATACTTGTTTGAGAGAGTTGGGATCGTAAGACACCGTAAATAATGGGCAGGGCATGTGATGAGGCTAAGCTGGCGTGAATATCTCCCAAAACAACAGTTACTTGCTGTAGCATCGCAACTGCCGCTGCGAGGGCATTTATGCCCAGCTCAACCTCATCGTTTCTTCGAGCAGTGTAGTTTTGGATGGCAGCAATTAAGCTAAAACATGTCTCAGCCACTCCAGCATCGCGTAGCGTGGTACCGGCTGAGCTATCGTACGAACTTAGTTGCTCGAGGATTCGGCAGGCCATCTGGAGGAGAACAAAGGCAAACTGGATCTGTTGTCTATCCAAGCCGGGTATTGGGCTCGTGGCTGGCCCAGGTTCAACGTTCTCGGCTTCTCCCAGGTACGACATGCCCAGCCAAATATTTTCAACGATTGTGTGATAAGACATTGGGTGGGGCTTATGTTTGAGCCCTTTTGTTGGTGCGTCTGAGTCACCTCGGTGACGAAAAAAGAGCAGGGCGTGCTGGGATGCAGATGAGGTAGTTGCTGCAACAAGGGAAGTCAAAAGGTTGCAGCGGTAGGACGTATGCCGCCCTGAATTCCTGTGATGCAAAACATTTCAAGGAGGACTAGACTGCACGTAGACGCCGCTGCGAGATGACAGTAAAGCACCAAATACTGCAAGTGCAGTCTTGGGCCTGGCTGAAAGGCAGTCTCGTGTGGCATCACATTTAGCCAGCGCAGCCAAAATCCCTGCACACAGCATTTGGGCTTCTTGTAGAAGTTCAGATGGATGATGAACATGGTCGTCTGCTGCGTTGAACACAGTTGTTGATCTGTTCATGTTTTCCATTAGCTGCATAATAAAATGCTGGACAACTTCAAGCATGCCGTGCCTTACAAGTGCGATGCAGCCTACTTCCGTGCCACAAAGTGCACACGCAGCACGGAGACTTTCGTTCACAGCCCGCTGGTGATCTGCATTTCTGAGAGATTTGACGAGCATTGGCACCTAGATGGGGACGGATGATACCAATTTGACGGTAATACAAGGCCGACTTACATTATGAATGGTGCATGTGTGATGCGTAGTACCAAACGTATGCCCCTAATGTAGAAATTGTAGTGATGCCCACCAGAGCCATCTCAGATTTGGGTACGCACCATTGGGTACGCCGAAACGAGTCCTATGTTAACTCTGACACAGTGATCATGTCGCTTCACTGTCAAATTCCTGTGCCATTTCGATCTTACTCTGCCAGCCTAGGGATATGGATTTTTGCAAGGGATTTCAATTGTGCTGACCAGTGCTCGTCTGACAACACTTTTTGTCATCGAAGAATCAGCCGCTATCTGGAACAGTTTCCAACGTTCCTGCATTATGGGGTCGCATGGAGTAGCTAACTTATCTGAACTTCCACAGCAAGACCAATATCCACCACCTGAGTAACGTCCTAAGCGGTACTGTTTTTTTTTCCAGCGGCCAGGGTGCTTCAACTTTCCCTCCGGAATAAATCTAGGCAGTGCATAACATTATTTAGAAGCCAGCTTACCGATTAAATTGTTCCTTGAATGGAGTGGTAGTGATCGTCGAATTTCCCCACATCTTTTTTCACAAGGCTGATTGTATATTATAAACGGAGAAGCTTGCGTAATTACATATAGCTGTACACCGTGGAAGGATAGCGAAGGATTCCATTGATTTCGGGTCACTTAGACGTAAATGTATGGAGTATCATACCCACCGGGGGGGGGTTGGGGGTGTCTATACTGCAGTACGGTACTTTATCCTTGTAGGAGCGGAGTATGCTGGTCTAGATAGTGTTGGTGGTCTCGGCGTATGTTAGACAGTATCAGCGCCTTTGGCATCTGTTAAGCGATCGACGGCGGCCGGGGTCCTGCCGCAGATCCATTCCAATGTTGCGGGGTACCGGTCGCGAAAAAGGAATAAAAGGTTCTGTCAGTTTTCGACTGGCAAGCCACGTTCGATTCGGTCGCCGGGGCGGCCGCACGCATCATCATGCATGACAACGTCTACTCGACGGGACTTACTGCGGAAGTCGAGGGGCGACTGTCATTGAGCAAAAAGCCTACATGCGCGGAGTTGACAGATCCAGCTTGACGCCCCCCACTGCGTCCTGGCGGCAGCTGAGCTTTTCAACACGATCACGCGGAAGTTCGGTCTGCCAACGCTGACGGTTGCGGCAAAGGATTATGCACTGCAGCAGCCCCGCGGGCAGGGCAATATAACAACAGGTAGTGTTTTTGTCCAACAAGGAAGTGCAGACATCAGCAAGCTCTATGTCCTGACGTCTGGTGCGGTGGGCGGTCTTCGTCGATGGTGATCACAAGCGGACCCTCGCTGCACCAGCCTTGTTTGGCGAGCTTTCTGTTATCTATGGACGGCGCGCATAGCCGAGGCTCGCGTCGTGGAGGATTATCGTGGCTCAAGTGGCCCGGTCCTCTTCACGCTCCACACAAAGGTACCTGACCGTGTGACTCTCAAGAAGACCAGTGACAACATATCATGCAGGTGCCTGGGAGGAATTCGTGGCCATGGAGATCTGGGCACGATCTGGGCAGATATTCCGGCAGGCCGAATCGTCCCGCCCGAACCGTGACCCATTTGCTCATGGGGGACTACTGTTCAAATTCTTATTCGAGTTTCTTTGGGGGGGTGATTTCCTCGAAGCAGGCTTCCAAGTGGCAAACTATGGCAGTCTCTTGTGCTCGTCGACCCACGGTTGACGAAAGGCCTGAAACTGAATAACATGCGCGGCATCACGCTGCGTGACATCACCTGGTCGCAGCACGTACGGGGCAGCGTCGTGCGACGACACTGTGCACCAGACGATTTCCAGACGTAGCTCGCGAACCCCCTTTTTGGTATAGTGGGCCTCCGCGACAACGTGCGCAGCAACTGTGCGGTCGCCCACCTGTGTAGGAATCAACCAGTGAGTCGGGTGCTGCAATGGCATGGAGTTTGCCCAGTTTTAAATGCGCCGTGAAATTTGATTTACACTTTGGAGCCGACGTGCTGTGGGCCAGTCGCATTCCTGGACCGACAATTGCCGCGATTGGCGTTTGACGCGAGAGGGCGGGCAGCACCGCGTGCCGGCTCGCCAAGAAGCGCTCCATTTCCGCCGCGATCGACGAGTAAGCGCTCCGTGAAGAGGATTGTATCGCCAACAACAATGTCACCGGCTGCACGCACAGAGAACTGCTCCGCTGCGCGGCGAGGGACGAGCATTTGTGGCTCGGAAGCAGTGGACGCTTGCGTGAGTGCGCTTGGCGGGCCACCATGACCGGCATCATTGAGGGCACGAACACGAAAGCGGTAGGTGGAACGAGGCTGGAGCCCGCAGACGCGGACAGTTGTCTCATGCCCCTCGTACGAAACCTTCCAGTCGTACGACGCCGCCGTTGCGTTCGTTCGATGCCTCACGTGCGCTCGCACGGGTGCTGCCAGATGCCTGACCGTAGGAGTTGGCGCCTGTGCCGCCGTACCATCGTCTCGTGAGTTGACGAGACGGCTCTCGAGTACATATTTGGTAGCACCGCCAGGCCCAGCGCGCCAGTTGAGGACAATGGCTTTTGTTTCATCTCGAACGATGATTGGGGACGATGGTGGAGCAGGGGCGGTCCAGACCTCCAGTGGGGGGGAAAGGCGCGAATGTGACCGCGGCGAGACAAGCCGAAGCGTAAACTTGTAGCGCGTGTTTGGCTCGAGGCCATGAACCTGCGCGCATAAAACCAAAATTTCTCGCTTGGGACCTTGCGTTGCCTGTTGCAGCGCAGATTGCGTCTAACGCCACTCCCGGGAAGCTTGGCCCAGCTGAGCTGTCTGTGTATTTGGGACGGAAGAAGGGGGCTCAATCCAGCTCAAGTAATTGAATTTTGTGTTGGGTACGGGGAAGACGTCGAGTCCCGCGCAGTAGACGTGCCTCAGTGCCGCGGCCGCTGCCACGGTACGTTGTCACGGTTCCGAGCGACGGGCCGCCAGCACTGCGCCCTGCGGGTACGCCTTGATCGCGTTGAAGGATGTGGGTGACCACATCCGCGTTCCACCAGGCCGCAAAGTGCGCCGTGCGCACTACATCTCGCGCGGCGTCACGAAGTTCGTCCCAGGCGGCGCGCAGCGCGGTGTCCTCAGCGTCGTGCGTCCGATGCGCACCTAGTCGCGTCAACACGTCGGGGAGTACCTTGCCGTCGAACGTGGCATCTTCACGTCCGTGGGAATAGCGTGCGAGAACAGCCGTGAGGCTCACGGCGCCCTCGTCCTCGCCAGCCGCACCAGTCCACTCTGCAAGGATCCGATCCGAAGGGCCGCCGCCACGACCGTTCAGCCCATGACCACCAGTCAACTTATCGGTCGCGCCCAGCCACACGAGTTTCACTGTCGTAGAAGATACTGCGAAGCGCCTCTCAAAGCCCCCCACACCAACAACATCGCCATACGGTGGTGCAGAGGCACGCGGGTGTCGATTGGTGGTAGCGCGCACATGTGCACGCGCAAGCCGTGGCGGAGGTGGACTGTTGAGGAGCGTGTTTATGACTGTTGCGCGGCCAGACGGCGATGCCGCACCCGCTGCGTTGACTGCACGTACCCGAAACTGGTGCGCCGCGCCAGCGTCAAGCCCATTAATAGTCGCCTCACCAAAACGTGTTCGCAGGACTTCCTCCCACTCGCCATGCAATTCTGAAAGGCAGCGCTCAAGCACGTATGTCGTCGGCGAGGCGAGGCGCTGAACATGGCGAGCGACAGCTGCATCAGCCGCTGCGCCGGCTGTGGCGTGTCCGCCGGCGCACGTGAGTGCATCTGCCAAAAATTGTGTCGTCTCCTCGCCATCACGACAGGTCGCGGTACCAAGGCAATCGCACAGCCAGGCCCAGTCGATGATGTCGTGATCCGAGCTTTCGAGAATGTCGAGGAGTGATTGCCTCGCAGGGCCACTGTGGCCTGCACTACCGCTGCCGCTGAGGTGTGTGGCCGCCCCGCGTGTTGTTGTCACGCCCTGCAGGAATGATAGGAGCGGTGCGTAGTGCGCAGCAACAACACGGAGCCATTCAACGCGCGATGCATGCAAGCTACCGGCGGATACTTCGTCAAATGATCGTCGGAGCTCGACAGCACGACGCGCAACCATGTCAGGCACAGTCCACCGCAGCACGACCGCTCGCGCGCCCACGCGGACCGGGACCGGTGCGATTGGTCGCGCGGGTGGCGTCGAGAATCGCCGCCACACGTACGGACCCGGGCCAACGCCATTGAATGCGCGGAGGCGAAACACATATGTCGTGTCCGGTGTGAGGCCTGATACGACATGCTGAAACGAAAAAGAGTCATCACGTGCGGTCGGTGGATCGCGAGCGATTTCGGAGAACGCATTTTCGCGCTGAGCGCGCGACCCCAGTGCTCCCGAGAACTCAAGCGAGAAAAACGAAACCGGTCCCACGACCTGCGCGACCCCACCAATCTGATGCGACACGGACGAGCAAAGGCACGGTAGCGCACGGTTGTTTCATCTCCGTCCCCATTGTTTACACCCGGCCGCCACCGGAGGACGAGCCGTGACAGCAGCGCGTCCGACGGCGCGCCCTCGGCACGAAGCTCGTCAGGTCCTGCCGCCCAGAGGTCGGGAGCTGCGGGCGGTGTGCCGCGCGCAAGAGCCAGGCGCAGTCGCGCTTCTTTCCGTGCATTGTCGCTCACCGCCAAGAGTGCGTCAAGCGCCGCGCGCCGTGGTGCGCCCCAGACGCCAAACGCCTCTGCCTGCGACGAGGCTGGCGGAACATCCGAGGCGCTAAACCATGCACTGTATGCGGCGAGGTCCGAGCGAGGTTCGCTTGCCCCCGATAATGCCGCGGCAGAGATGCTGCAGCTGTCGGGGAGCTCGGAAGCAAGATCATGCGGCAGCGCGCAGCGTAGATCGTGTGGAAGCGGACAAAGTGTCTCGATGTCGTGGTGAGCCAGCGATTTGCTTACCATGCCAATGCGGCAGAGCAGTTCGATGCGCGCGGTCCGCTCCGGATTTTTCCAGCGGCGCCGCACCTCGCCATTCGCGAGCGTCACATCAACCTCGCACCTGCACCGAGTGGGGGGGAAAGGGGGGGTTGGGGGTTGACGCTAGACAAAATCATCCACGCCGCTGCGCACGGACCCGCACGAACGCGCGCAGGACTTGCCGTGACGCGGAACCTGCGCGGGGCTCGTCTGGCACCTCAGGTTGTTCCATCCCGAGCTCATTCGAGATGCCTGAGCGCGCAACCAGAGCCTGATTTGCTTTTGGCAAACGCAGCCTGAACAAGACCAGAGGGAGCCTGCTAGCAATCGCGACCAGTAGATTCGGCGCGAAGATCACACAAAATTTGACGCAGGCACAGCACGCATTCGGCATGCCCGTTTCAGGACACGTCGCCTCAAAGTGCGTCAAGCGTCGTAGGGCACGCCGGACGCCACCTGGACGAACAGGCGTAGCTAGCAGAGCCGAAATCTCGTCAAACGGCGCTGTTCCGTAGCCACTGTACGCGTCGACACCTGCGTGACTTCAATATATATATACGAATCTACCACTTGACCTATTCCAAACCCAAAGAGTCGTCGCTTGTCCACGCAGAGCTATGCAGTCGATCAATTGTCTCGCCTCTTCGCGGGACAATGCAAGGCCACCTTCGTGGCAGCATCGCCGTAAGTCCCGCGCTGTGACCGTCGGCGGCACCTCGCCGCCCGATGCTGCGAGGCGCTTCCGAAGCCGCTCAAATGCACTTGCAAGATCACAACTTGACCCAAGCACCTTAACAAGCGATGCGCGAAGCGCACTGACGCCGCCGCACGACGGGTGGCGCGACACGTCACAGCCACGAGGTGCGAGTGCGCACCATACTGCGGTTGCGTTTGCCGGGGAAGCCGGTGCTTTGAGCGGCTGCGCCCACTCAAATACGTCACTGGCACGAGTTACACCTGCGGCGCTATCGTTGCCACCAAGCTGAGACCATTCCACCCAGTCACCGAGGAGCCCGCCGTCTACGGCCTTGAGCAGGCCCCCAATACGGCGCCAGTACCGCAGCGCCGCTGCTGCACCAGCCTCGGCCGCCATATGCGCTGGTGGCTGGAGTGCTCTAAGACAATCGAGCGCGCGAGCACGCCCTCGCCGAGCCGCGTTCCATCGCTCGAATTCACGTCGCGCATCGATGCGCCGCGCCCTTGCCGCACGCCGTCGCGCGGCGGTGTACTTCTCGTGTATCTCCTCAAAGCGATCTGCGTCAAAGTCTTCATCGGTGGCGTCACGTGTAGCGTCGAAGTTTGCCCGGAGCACGTGGCCGCGCGCCTGTGAGTGGGAACCGACGAATGTGGGGCATCGCAAAATCAACCCTTCCCATTTTGTGGCATCATCTGGTTGTGTGCCAGCATTTTGAAGGCCAAGCTGCTAGGTTTGGGTTTTGGGATCACTTCCACGCGGGTTGCGCGCCAGAAGCTGTCGCCGCGAACGCTCAAGATCGCCGTCCCGCCCAGGTGCGCCACGACCGAGCGCATGAACCCACACTAGACCCTGTCCGCGTGCGAGATCGAGCGCTGTGCTTGACACACGCTCCACACGTGGCCTTGTCGGTCCATTCTCGCCCCGGGAGAGATCCAGGCGCGGAATTGGCGGCGCTGGCTGGGCCGCTTCAGTCACTGGTACTCGGAGTCGTGTTCTATCCTTGCGTTTGACGAATCGAGCATGCGTAACCTGCGAGCGGAAAAATGCGCCTGCCGCTCGCACTGCTAGATTTGTTGACTCGTCACATAAATAGTGGGCCATGAGGCTCGGGGGAACAGGGCCTGCCGCGGATGAGTTCCACTCAGTCGGGTGACACGAGCCTTCTCCTCGCGCTCGCGCATCGCATCACGTGCCGCCACCCGCTGGATCTCTGAATCCGTCTCGACCCAGGCTGCGAGTTGGCCTATTCCAAGGGCCCGCAGGCCAGCGGCCGCCGCACGGTTACGATCCACGGCCCCAGCGTCTGCCAGCGCACGGCCAAGGCGCGTTCGCGCCTCGCGTTGCGCTTCGCGCCACATAGTCCGACAATACCTTAGGAATATGGCATTCTGTGCACGCTGGTCGGCCGTCAGGTGTCCTACAGCCGGTGCTACTGTACCACTGTGCTGTTGAGCGGGCCACGCATACCGTAGCGTGGGCATGACGAGCCGGCCAGCCTCGTCACGGACTAGTTGTTGCGTCAGAGCATCGCTTAGACTACGTTCATTGGCTGCGGTGAGGGTCACGTCAGTAAAAGTGACGTCCCGTGTCGCACGCCGGCGGAAGACTTCAAATACTGACCGCCGCGTACCACGCACACCGTCGAGGGGCGGCGGCGCGCAAGTCTGCCGCGGCCTGTCGCCCCCGTGGGTTACCTCTTCCTCACTTTCCCCCGGTCCGGCCTCTGTCCGGAGGCTCTGGTCAACTGCCGCCAATGCAACGATGACATCACGAAACTTGGCCGGATCGTCCCAGCGCGACACATCTAGCGCATCAAGTAGGCGGCATCCGCGTTCAAAAGTGTCCTGCGGGGGTGGTTATCCACGAGAACAGGATTAACTAGCGTAAGTCCCACGCACCTTGCGCTTCACCCACTGCTCAAACCCATTGCGCGTCTTCGCTGACAGGTGTTCCTTCTTCTCGTCCCATCTGCTGGTCGCGGGCTGCTTGTGGTTTGCCATGGACGCCGGAGTTTGACGGTTGCTTGATAAGCGGCAAACGGCTACCAAAGCGACTACGACTGACAAAAATAACGACTCTACAAAAACATTTGGAACAAGTCGACTGGGTAGCCGGGCAGCCTGTAGGACATTCCAACGTCGATTGGAGTGGCGGATCCCAGGAGGGGAAATTGACTACACCAATCATGATGTACTAGTCACCCGGGCCGTAGTCACGGCGGGGACTCCGAGTCCGACTCGGAGTCGCCAGGCTCCGGGCTAGCCGCAGTCATGGCCCGGGTAGGCTGAGTACATCATGAGTCTACTGACTTAAGTAAGGACGCACTGGGCCACGGCCCACTGGCAGGCCGTGATTCAGAGTGTCCGAGTCTCAGTGCGATAAATAGGGTGAAATACCCCCCCTTATCCTATACCCTTCTATATACACTTACACACACACAACACGCCACGCGTAATTAAACACCGTCCGTAAACCAAACCACTTAGTGTATTTTAAGGTAGCTCTCCCCGCCGAGTCCCCGGCAGACTATCTCAGCCGCCGTACTCCCAAAGGTGCGTACTCCTTTGGTCTTGCTTCATTCGCAGGTTATGGGCCCACAGTCCGAGTCCTAAGAGATACTTCGCCGTATTACCTTTTGAAATCCGACACATTGGCGAGTGACCACACTTCACTCGTTGGGAGAGAAAACCCAGCCCTTTGTTAGCATTTTAATAAAATGAGCACAGACTCAAATGGGCCTGATCAGGCTCAGAGTCAATCTGAGTCAGGTGTTGAAGCTTCCGAGTCTGACTCGGAGCCAACCACTCTGAATCCGGACAACATAGTCCAAAGCATATTAAATGAATGTTGTGAAGGCAAACCACAGTTTCAAGACTATGTCTTGAACCCACTGGCAGGACGAGGCTTGGACTCGGATTGGTCCGACTCGGACTCCGAGTCGGCGAGTCGAGATAAACCCCGTCGGCGTGTACCCGAACCGGCGGCCAGCCCTCAAAGACGCATCACGGGTTTGCTCTGCCCTAGTAACCCAGCTTCAAGTTCGAGTTCTCCCCGCGTCCAACCTCAATTTGAAGTAAAGGTAGTCATGGGTAGCCACGGACCCCCTCAGACTTCCAAAATCTACTCTTGCTGGGCTTTTTTTTTGAAGCTGTTGGACGTCTAACTTAGCGCTAAAAGTAATTATGTCGAGGGAAGTGTTTTTTAGTCTAACTTAGCCTGTCAGCAGGAGTCAAAGAGACATAATATGAATGACAGTGCATATTGCGGTATTTCCTCAAATGCTAGCATGGGCGAATCTGGCTCTCTGCTTTCCAAACCGCTCAATAATATGATGTTGGAAGGTGTCTGCGCTTGCTGGAACTGAAATATGTATATCTTGCTTAGATCCTAATATGCACAAACGCACCGACACCGATGAAATCGTGGGAAAACATGTCTTGCGTCGCCTAGAGCTTTGTCATCGCATTGGAAACGGTGCACATGGCATGGTATGGAAAGCTATAGAGAAACGTACCCGGCGAGCTGTTGCCGTGAAGAAATGCTTCAATGTACTGAGCCGAGTCAGAGATGCACAGCAAATGTACCGCGAGATAATGTACCTGCATCGGCTAACTGGCCACGACAACATTATCAATATGCAGCATGTGATTCTGGCGGGTAACGGGCAAGATATGTACATTACATTTGAGTACATGCAAACTGACATGTACGCGGTCATTCGAGCGGCGATCTTGACACCAATTCATACAAAGTATATAGTATATCAACTTCTAAAGGCGCTCAAGTTTATTCACAGCGCGGGTGTGGTGCATCGAGATATAAAACCATCAAATCTACTTTTAAATGACGACTGCCACTTAAAGGTCTGCGACTTTAGTCTCGCGCGCACTTTGGATCTAGACCAACTCGCTACAGAAGCTCCACTTACAGGTTATGTAGGGACTAGGTGGTATCGGGCAATTGAACTGTTACTAGGAAGTACGCACTACACGGTTGCTATAGACGTGTGGGCGGTCGGATGCGTCTATGCGGAGATGCTTTTGGGTCGACCGGTATTTCCGGGTGCATCAACGACAGGCCAAATCGTAAAAATACTGGAACTGATTGGCAGGCCCAGTATCCAAGAAATAGAGTCAGTTAATTCTGCTTATGCTTCGACTCTACTTGATATGCTTCCAATTGTTAGACCAGTGTCGTTTGTAGAAATGTTTCCAAATGTTAGCGCTGAAGCCCTTAATTTCCTAAGTCAGTGCTTATGTTATAATCCAAAGAGAGGTAATCGTTGTTCTGTGATAGACGGCTTGAGACATCCCCTGGTTGCTGAATTTCATGATGCTGATGACGAACCCTCATCGACTAAGATATGTCTTGGGCTTAACGACAAACAACTCTTTAGAGCAATCGAGTACCAACGAGCTATATGTGATGCTGTTTCGAAACGAAAGCTCACTGCGCGTAAGTTAGAACGTGCACTTATGGCAAATCCAGCTAGGACCATCCTGATGGAAAATGAAGAAACACTACCCGAGCCATTCTAATGCAATAGATTAGTTTCAAGCTGTCATTTGGTGCCGCATCATCGGTTAATTCCACTATGCTCCCGTCCAGATCAAAAGTCAGAGAGTCATCGACGCACACATTCCGCGAAATAGTGCGAAATAGCGAGCTGCTGTTAAGAGCAAATTGGCGCTCTCATCCAGGTCTCGTGCCTAATGCAGTGGTCCATAATTTTTTTTTGGTCGGCTGAATAGCGAATGGGGAGGCACTGCCCCGACGTGTTGCCCCAGGTTGGCAAGGTCTACCGACAAGCTCTAAAGTTGCTTCATATTCGGCCTAAGGGCGGCGACTTCTAGTCGACTCTACCACAGATACAACTCGGACTTCTCTATAAACCCCTACGGATCTTGAATGAACTTCCTGGCGTTATTGTGGGCCGCGCCAATGCCTGACTTTTTTTCTTCGTGTTCGTGTGATACAAGTGTACCGAGACATGCGCACACGAGTCATGCGCACACGAGTCATGGAGTCGTTTCGATGCCACCCCGCAACCCATCAACACGTTTACCATCGCTCAGTCGCTTTAGCCCACAGACTGGCGTTGCGACGTGCTTCGTCGCCGCTGCACTGGCAAACTCTTCTTTTGTCCAAGTATGATCGAGAAAATTCCGGGCTCATACGAGCGCCCGGAAGCAAGGGACGGCCAAGTCATGCCGTTTTGTGGGCGCCCCTGCGAGATTATATAATCGCCTGACGTGCAGAGACCTTCATAGCTTGGCCTCTGACCTCGGCCCTCGTTCTGACCAAGAACCTTACCGACGCTGGAGGCAATTTCGCTAGCGTGTAATTCTATAACATCAGTGCCGTCGTACTTGAATCAGCAGCTTCCGAGTCAAGTTGGTCCTTGGGCCGGACCGATAGTATACGACATACCCAAGGCGGTTCACGCGGATTAAGCACCTCGTTGATTCGTTGAACCCGGGGCCTGCTGAAGATGACCAGATCAAGACGCGTATTTGAATTGCGTCAACGAAGAAAGCCGTCACGGTCAACCTCAACTCGCACTCCCCCTCAACCTTGACATGAGCGCCGGGCCGGGCCGCCGGTTGCGCCAGCCGCCACCTACAACTAGGGATCGACCTCTGGGCCCGATTAAGAGTCACCGGTCCACCTTTGAGGTGGGATGCATGGGTCTGAGGCTAGCAGGATGGACTAGTACGTATCATTGCAGATATATCTTTGAGGCAGTCGCGTTGTTTGTGAGCTATCTTCATCGCATCGTCCAGCGGGGTCTCGTGCGATGAGCCAATCCTCTTATGCAGCAAAGCGCGATTTGGATGCAAGAGAGGCCCAGTGGTACGGTGGCAAACAGCCTAGGCTGACGCACGAGGGTTACCCAGCAAGTAATTATGCATCGAAAGTACACTCTCCAGGAGCCAAAAAAGCATTCACGGGCAACAACTCACTACTACCACATGTGGACCAAAAGTTAAGCGAGTCAGCTGCCATGGAAATGGAGCAGGTACGCTTGCGCATGCAGGAACAGCGTGATCAGACGGAAGCAATGATTGAACAATTAATGATTGCACATGAGGAAGCAAGGAAGGAGCGCGAGTCCTTGGTGGTTGAGCTCGCATCTATGTCGGCAGACTCGGGGAAGAAGCTACTAGTGAAGGTCATAACTCGGATGTGCCGAATGCAGTTAGTCATGGCCTGGCAGGCCTGGCACGGAAACACTACACAATTCACAAAAATGCAGCTGCAAGAGAAGTCGAAAGCGTTGAAGGCAGATCTGGCGTCTTTGAGACGCCGCATTGAGGAGGCTCAAAGGGATATAGATGAGCGGATCCAGCTTGCAGCAGATTCCGCTTTCAAAAATGCAACCGTAAAGCAGCGCCAGCTCCTACTCAATATATTCGGAAGACTGGCGGGACAGAAGTCCCGGGAGTCTTTTTATGTGTGGAGAGACGCCATGGAGGACTTTCGACGGAAATATACACTAACATTACGCATGTTGATGCGACTATCCAACGCTAGAATTATGATTGGATGGAAGAAATGGTACTATGAAACATTCCTGAAGTCAAAGATGAGCTTAGAAGAAAAGACTAAGGCCCTCTATTACGAGATCGGTCTTGCCCGTGAATTATGTAATGTAAAGGAAAAGCAACTTGAGAAAGTCGTCAGCGAGATCACACGCTTGATGATCCAGAATGCTTCCCCAAAGCAACGAGCCCTCATGGTAAAGATTCTAAGCAAGTGCTGTTCGATGCTACTGCGCTATGGAGTAAAGAAATGGAAACAAAAAACCCATCTCTTCAAACATGCTCGTAAGACAATGGGTATAATCATCTCCCGTCTCTGTAACTCAGAAATTAACTACGGCTTTCGCAAGTGGCATATGGTCTGCATCAAGATGACAGAAACATCGGGGGAGCTGGTGGTCGCCAAGCTCAAGGGCCAAATTTCTATTTTGAAGGGCCATCATGAGACCTCAACAAATCGTATTGAAGAAATGAGCACAAACATAAGGAAAATGCGCGAATCGGTGACTCTGAGACACAGTGCTATGTCTCAGATAGCCCAGGGGGCGGAGGAGGTTGACCTTGAGATAAAGTTGTTGATTGCAGAATGCCGTGGTGATACCGTGAGCATAGCCCAAGGACGTGCCAAATTTGGCAGCAACTCGATGCACGGAAGTCCCCCTCAACGCAGGCGTAGGGATAATGGCGAAATTTTGGGACTTGAATCTGTTGATGCAAACACAAGGGCCCACCTTCTTGTCTTTTTGCAAAACCTAGACCATGCTCAACCACAAGATACAATTGGCGCCCTAGCAACACATCCTGGGCTCCCTAAGCACAAGGCGTGGCTAAAGAAGTATGTGCTTCTTGGTGATCAGCAAGTAGCCGCTGCTATTCGGGCGTACGAGTTTACTTTAGATACTGATGACTTCATCGAATCCTTGGACATGATTAAGAAACTCTCGGACGTGTGAGCAAGGCCCTCCTGGGAACTGCTTAAGGTCACTGACAAGAAGACCGCAAGGACAGGAGCCAAAAAAGCACCATAATTCTTTGCACCGAGTGCGTGTAAATGAACCCCCCCTACGATGCCCGGCCTGCCTAGGAACCCCCAAACTAATCGACATTACTTCTAGTTCCCGCTACTGGCTCTGACTACTGGCATCACTGGCATTCTTAAAATTTACTAAACTTGAAGGTTTAGATTGAACATGGGGGGGGACACCAGACTAGGATTGCTCCATAGCAAATATAACCGGAGCCCAGTGAGGTGAATTTTCTAAAACGAAGGTTAACTAGGTCGATTCCCGTCCCCTAACAAAATTTGGGATGGGGTCGTCGGGATTTGGCGTTTTGGCAGACCGATGACTGCAAAAAATACCCGCACGATGTGATTCGGCTCGCTACTAAGCGGCCTTCATCGGCCCGAACGGCGTCCAGAGCCGCCACTAAGTCATCACCTTGCTTCAGCATCCTTGAAGGCCGTTGTAGCCGCCGCGCCGAGCGCATGCAGCTGCAGCCGGCACGCCGCTAAACCTACTAAACGGGTTTTTGACGATTTGGAGCTCTCCCTCTCATCGTCATCGACCTCCGTACAGACCCCTGACCTAGGGCGGGGCTACCGACCCCTCTCGGAGGCTCCATGCGAAAAAGCACGTAATTTCGGATCGATTAAGACTCGCTCAGGACCTGGCGACGGTCCCCGGCCCCCCCCTGATTGAACTTGAAGGTTCTCTTCTTCAAGTTGAACTCCCCCGGCGTAAACTCTCTAAACTGAGTACTAGTAGACCACGACTCCTCCCTGGGGGGGGGAACTCGACAGCCACAGCGCAAACAAAACAATCCTCAGGCTGTAGACAGGGTTTTTCCAAACTAAGGTTCCTTACGTATATAACCACCTTTTTGACAAGCCTGAGGGAGCCTGACTCGGAGGACTCCGAGGCAGAACGGTTAGGATCTGACTATTTTAGTGGACCGCGAACGTCGCCGGTGGCGTTTCGTGCCGCGTCGCGCCGGGCGATACTTTTAGCACGCCATCAAACTAGATGGTCGCATTTGCGCATCAGCCCCCGGGCAAAAGGTACTTAAGGGGGCTCGGGAGACAAAATCAATTAAAATCATCACTAGCCTATGTTCTTTTTTGGCAAAGGAACTGAAAGTGGTGGGGCGAAAACCTGAATGGCTGGCAAAAATATGGTTCTTGCCAGTGGCCGCCGCGGCGTCCCACCACCCCGAAAGTGACCCCACCCGAATAAAGCGGTGTCGGGGCGTCCTTGGAATAAAGCGGCTTTAGGATTGATTAAGTGAGATTTCGGCATCCAGCTTCCCCCCCCCCATCAGTGAACCCACCGTGACCACGTAAGGGCAGGGGGGGCTAGAGCGGCCGCAGTGGGTACTTATATATAAAGTATGATTTTTTTACCGGGACTACAGGACGGGTGGAGAGGCCACTGAAGGAGACGTTTCCGAGTCGCGTGGAGGCTTCGATCTTCATAACAGCAATTTTTTAGCTAAAATTGCTGAACTTTTTTGCCGTGGTTCTCAGCAATTTTGCGCATGCGCGCAAAAGAAAAGATGCCGAGGGCCGCTTGGGTGCTCGCATGCCCACACGCACCGCGCATGGACGCCGCGGCCAAACGCAATATCGGACTCAAGCCCAACATGCGGGTATTTAGCCCCAGGAGGGTATTTGGCTACAGCCTGAGTACTTTAAAAAGTTTATTGTAGGCGCGCGCCCCCGCAACCCGAATTGACTATAGCTATTTTATATTATAAAAAGGGGGGGAGGGGGGGGAGGCAATGGTTTCATATCATGATCTTAATTTTTTTAACACCCTTTTTTTATATTTAGGGTCATGCGACCGCCAAGTTTTGTCATTGGGGCTTTTTTTAACGCCTGCTTCGAGTTAGGGGACGTCATGACCTGTGAGCGTAGCGAAAACAGCTCGTGACTAGCTCGTGACGACCTCTAAAATCTCGAAATGGTGCAAAAAATGCTACAACTATATCATCATCACGGTCTAGGGGCGGCGGCCCGGGCCGGCACTGGCACCCACTCTCACGGTAGAGATTCCATCGAGCGCCCGAAGTTCGCGCAATCGTCCAGGGGAGCACGTGCACGCCCCTTGGGATAGGCGTCACTCCGCAAGGCCGGATGAAAAACGAGCTGGATTTTTTCCTAGGTACGCGTGGTGGCGCTGATGAACAGGGACTTAGTTTGGCCATATTTCGATGTTTGGCTAGTCTACGGCCCATAAATGGTTTCGTCAGAAGGAACATGCGCTGCGATGTGGACTCGGATTTGACCGTAAAATGCATCCTCGATGCGGATTGCGTCACGCCTAAGGACCAAAACCTGTGTCGGACTTTGATGTACTAGTGAAATCGCAATTCGAATTTGGATGTCGTTCCTGCTATCGTAATTGTCTGGGGCCTGCAATTATAGCATGCGATTAGCCAAGGAACATTAAGTGAAACGCTCCTACACCCCCCTGACACCCCTCCGTCTCCTTGGCTGTGCAATATCCCATTCACGTAGAAGCTGCGCAGATGCCATCTCCCTCGTGATATCGTCCTCCTTTGAAGCCAAGGTTTCTTGTCCCCGAGGCTCAGGGCTAAGGTGAATGTTTGCATCTGAAAATAATGTCTCTGGATCATGTCGATGTGCAATTGATGAGGGCATGAAGCTCTCTCTATAAGCAACAGGTGGTGGATGCAACACTGGTTGCTGCACACCTGGCTGGGTCTTGTATACAGGAACGACTTGGGCAGTTACTAGTCTTATTTCAGCTCTATCAACATTGACATTGCGCTGCATCTCTATGAGTTGCCTGGTTCTGGTTCTGCTCCCCTCGTCATCTTCTATTGATGTGCTTGCATTGTCCGTCTGATCTACATGTAGCCCAGCTTGTCGTTGAGTCTCGGTAGAAAGCTGGCTTTGGACAGAGCTAGTGCTGTCCTGTGGTAGCTGGTGCTTCAATCCGCCTTTGTTCTCTTGACGACGAGAGATCGAAAGAAACGTAGGTCTCCCCCAAGCCGTTGCACAATTTGAAGATGTCAAGGCCCGATTGAGTGCATCTGTGATGGTATCGGCAAAAGTTGCTGCATCCATGCTACTAGGCGCTCCCGCAGTAATATGGGCACTTACAACTAGGGAACCTGCATATATCGCCCTCATGACGACATCCTCGACTTGAATATGCACTACGGCATCGGCTAAACTGGTTGAGACAATTTTAAAAAAGGAATACCTCCTACGTCGCGTGAAGTCGTGCGTAGCCACATTTGGAAACGAAACGCCAAATGTGAGCCCAAACGAGAGTGGAGGTTCCTCGAACAGATCTGCGTGATGGGACATATCTTGATCCGTTTTCCCTTCTTCCCTGCCTGCCCCCTTGGCAGCTTTTTTGGAATCGTAGAGTCGTGGTTCGCATTTTAGTGTCATCAATGGTTCGGAACGCAGGACATTAGAACTTGAAAAATGCGTTTTCTGTCTTTCTCCGGTGAGATTTGTTTGGGGGGGGGGGGCGAGTCGAATATCCGCAGCAATTGCATCTACCCCCGCTGGCTCTCTCTCGCTATGTGGTGTAGGCTCGAATACTGATCTCGTTAGTCCAGCGCTTATTGCCGTGGTAGATGGAGCTATGATATCAAAAAAGTCTAGCATTACATTTGGTGCTTCCTGCCGTATTTCATGACCTGCACGAACCCAAACAACGCAGGCACTTCCCGCACTATTATCCTTAATCCTTTCGACCATACCTCGTATAGTGGCTCGAGTGCGAGCCCCAAAATAAGCTCCCTCACCCAAAGCACCAACACGCACTTCATGAGACCATACATGATTCGTGATTCGGCCACGCACTATTACCTCGACATTCGACGGAGTGACAAGAAGATTCTCTGTAGATTGAAGAGCAAAAATTGGGAGAGAGACACGAGACAAGAGGTCAATATCAAGGTAGTTCTGCAGTGCACCTCGTGCAAGTGCAGCACGTCCCTGCAATGTAATTGGGTTGGCAACAGCAGTATAGATATTCAGCGCAAGTTGTGGATGAACACGAGCAAGATATCTGTCACTAAATTGAAATCGCGAAAGGTAAGAGACAGGTAGATCAAAACGCTCTTTTGGAAATCTGTCACACGAGTCGAGTAAGGCATGTAATATGGCTGCATATTGTCTGTCAATCTGCGCAGTGCCATTTACACTGACCAGACCCTTGAGCATTTGATAAACTGAGCTCCTTGGGTCCTGCTCACAGTAATGTGAAATTACAAACTGTGTGCAGATGCTAAATCCATATCCAATACCCACCAAGTAAAATGGTCCGCTGCTTAACAGCATCTTGCCCCGCAAATTCACATGTTGGAGTAGTTCGGCTAAGTGACTCGCGTGTAGTCCTGTTCTGACAGAATTGCCGGTCAAAAAGGTAGTTCCAGCCTGCCCTGAATAATTGTAAATTAAAATCTGACAGGCAGGATGGCGATGAAGTAATCTTTGAAAAAATATTTTAGTACTGTCGAGTGTGTCGAAAATGTCGTGAACGACAACAAAGTTGTGACTTGACGCAGCAAGAGAAGCCTCACCAAGAATTTCATAAGGTAGCGTCGTAAGTCCATCGGAACAAATAAATACTCCGCGACAGTTTTCCGTAAGACCAGATGACAAATTCTCGTGATTGCCCATTAGCCTAGTGTGGGGCCGGGAAGCCAAGCGCGCCATTTGTCGTCTCTGAGTCATCAATTGCGCAGATCGCTCTTGTCTAGAAAACTCGCAGTGTTCTCCCCACTTTAAATTCTTATGAGAATTGCTCTTAGGAAAGACATTTTGCAGCTGGATAGGGAATAGGTCAGTGGTTCTTAAAAAAAGTAGTGATGAAACCAATGATTCCGGTGGCAGGGACTGCCGAGAGGGGGTCGAGATTGGCATAAGAGCGAAACCATCTCTTTCAGTCCCCATCACGGCCGCGACAACGTGACGTCCATCAACTTGATTTCTTTTACTAGAAATCCTCATAGCAATACCTTTTTTACTGCGTGATGGCATTTCCCTTCGTTCCTGCCGCTCACCATTCCCAGCATCAAACGAATCCAAGACCAAGAAATCGAGGCGATCGTGGCCCCTACCAGCACGCCATTTATGTGCTTCCAGCATTCCCAAAACCCACAAACAACCCCGGGAAGCCGATGTACTGGCATGTGCTATCGTGTTTGGACGAAACAGGGTATTGTGGATATAGGGTTCAATCGCACGTTCAACTCGTGGAGTAATAGAGTCGCAGTTAAATTCAAGCAGCGAGCGCCTGCATAGTCACTCAGTTTTTGAACAAATTACAGGAGAAATTTGGGCGCAGTTGTCTAGCAGAAAAATGTCGCCACTGGCCATGGCGTGGCGAGTCTGTTTCCAACTGAGGGTCTTGCCACCAGACAAAAGAATGAACATGGCTTTGGTCACCAGCGAGACTGCCGGCGGCGGGGAAATATAGCTGCGAAGCTCTGCGACATCCAGATTTGTAAGACAGGAGATTGCTGTTTCTGCTCTAGCCACCGCGCACGCCTCTAGCGTCAATGCAGGTGTGATGTGACAGGCTAGGTCTTTTTTTGCAAATACCTTTTTCTTGGTGTGTACTGCCTTTGGTGCACGTGAGCTTGCTGTAATGCCCCCCCGTCTAGACAAATATCTTGCGTGTTCGATGAGATCATACACACAAAAACAAGCAAGACATACACGAACCGTACCATAACACCGACCGGGGAATTCCCCTGGAGTAGAGCTGGTTTTGTCCCAAGTACCTTTAAACACGGTGTTGATTGGTTGGTCAGCGCAGTACCGTCTAAGTACGAGTCTAACAAGCTTACTCTCTTCTCTGGCACGAGCAATAGACTGAAATGGTAATTCAATGACTCCCTGAGATGACACGTCCGTTGGTGATACATCCGTCAAAGAGTCTTTGATTCTATTATCATCATTGGCTAGCATTTTTCTTTTGAATTCCGATAAGTATTTTCCGCTGGCTACACCTGGGCAGTCCGTCACTCGCCGCAAGCTCACGTCGAAGCCACAGAAGTCGCCTGCACATCCTATGGATCAGTGTGGTCAGATACATCCTTGTGATTGCGTACGTCACACCTGAACCATGCGAGGACCCAAGGTGTTCGGTCACGCGTGCCTTAGATGTAGAGACACAAGTCGCGCTACAAAATCGCGGTGTTTCCCATCCCATTTTTCGCTGCGGAGATTATCTTGCTATGAACATATATCTAAAGTAGGGCCAGCCTTGTATCTATATGTGCCGCTGCGGTACGCGGTAACGCGGTAACGCGCTTTGAGAAAATGTACAGAGGGCAGAGCGAGGGTGGAGGAAGTGTAGCTGAACAAGTAGACGATCTTCGCGAGCGGATGCGTTTACTCCAAGGTGCCTTTTTTGTTCGTTTCTTATAACAACAAGCTTCTGCAGGAGACAGGCGCGCTAATGTTGACATCCTTGAAGCGAACAAGTCTGCTAACAACAATGAAATCAAACGTAATCTCTTGCTTGTTGCCTGCTGTCCTTTCATAATATAGAGCGCGACGCAGGTCTCCGGGAAGAAAACAAAGAGATTCGAATCAAACTCTCGATTGTGCAGCGCAGTTGTAGTTCAGCCTGCGCTACGCATGATACCTTAGAAGGTGACTTAATCAAAGTTCGAAAGCATTTCGACACCCTGCGAGAACAAACTCTCCTGAAATGTCAAACGCTGAAGAAGCTGAAAGACGGTGCGCGAGATCTGGAACTTCAATCAAAAAGTAACGCTCAAGAAGATACCCCAGTCACAAGAAATATCAGGATGCTTGAGAATCGCCTAGACAAAGCGCTTATAAAATTCAATGAGGCCCAGGTACTTTTTATTCTATTTGCATTAGCATCAACATATCAATTTTGCAGTCAATCAAAAGAACATATGAGCAAATTGTAAAACGGCTGAGAGAAGAGCGCATTGGTTTTGATCACCAGCTGACCGCACTCGAACGCACATTTGCTGCCAAGCAGCGTGATTATGAGGAGCTCTTGCTTCTCTCAGGGGATGCAAATCATGCACGCGAAGTGGCACAATCAGAACTCAGCCATGTTCGTAATGGGTATGAGGAGGAGCGCCGTAGGCGTGACCTGGAGCTTCGCGAGCGCCACCAAATGGTGCAGTTGAGAAAACAGACCCTTGGAACGTTCCAAAGACACGAGAGCGCGCGTCAGCAGAATATTTATGACGAACATGTCCCAAACGATGGTCAGGGGCCAGTGGCTGTTGTCAAAAGCACAACATTGCAGCGATCAAAAGAGCGCACTGAACAGCGAACAAAAATCGACATTTTTGAGAGGGCCTTCCGAAAGATCAAGGAAGCGACAGGTAACAGCTGCTGGGTGATTGGAGATAAATCACAGGTGTATAATTTAGGTGTTTCTGACGTCAACGAAGTTATACAGAAAATCATTGTTCAAGAAAGCACCACGGAAAATCTCATGAGCTTGACCAGAGACAATCAACAGAAGATCGAAGCTCTAAGTGAACAGAAGGTTGGCATAAAAATGCATGTCGAGGAAGTAAAATACTCAGGGCCAGGAGGGGGGCACCGACGCAAATTGGTAGACAAACATGAAGCACAACTTGCATCAGCTGCTGCGAGACTTGAACGATGCCGCATTAAGCACGAGAGGCTCACTCGAATGGTGATTGCCGTCAAAGCGGGCGTAAAGCATCTCCAAGATAAGTTGGACGGAGTTCGAGAGGAGCTTGGTGGACGGCACATCCAGTTGACAGATGCAACCACTTTTCGAGTTATGGCAGAAAACGAAATCATAATGGCTGAACTCATGGCGCGAATTAGAGTAGCCACGGACAATGAGTCAAACATTACTAACGGCGCCGCAAGGAGCACAGATGTGCACGAGATTGACCTGCTTCGAGCACGTCCTTACAATCAGCGCATTGACTTGCCACTGCTTGATGAAGAATGGGATCGTGACGGCCTACTCAAAGACAATGATGATTTCAAGGGTGAGGTGGACGATGAGCTTACGCGAGAAAAAGTCAAAAAAGCATCGTCGCAAATTCTGATAGCGCAAGATAAAAGAAAGCAAAAAATGCACGACCAAGATGCGAGTAATTGAGCAGCCGGTCATCTTTAGCGTCCAGCAACCCTTCGCTGAGTCTTTAACAAAATCTCTTACTGGCAGACTGTAGATGAAACACAAGTGCCCGTGCAAGCGTGAGTTCGAGTCCGCCGTTTTCTGCCGCGTATAAGCCATGCCACGCCGCCCCTATGATCGCTACGCTACGCGGTGCCTTTAAATTTGGCGTAAGTTTAAGAGCTCGACTCGGAGTACCTAGGTGGCGGCCGAAAGTCGACTTGGCGGCCGCGGTCCGTCGGTGCGCCAGTGCTACTCTCACTCTCTACTTTACTCTCTCATCCCAAGCCCTAGAGGCCTCCGACTGGTCACAGTAGCCACCCCGCAAAAAATCCCAAGGCCCAAGGGGGCCATCACCTCTAGCCACGCCGCCCACACTTAGAGCTGTCTACCACTGGCATAGGGAGTTTAGAGAGAGAGCCACTTATTGAACCCACCCCCAGGTAGTACGGACCCCGAACGAGTTTACGCTAGCCGCTTTAATTCCACTAGATTCTAGAGGACTTAGTAAGAACTTCAACTTAGAACTAAGTCTTACAGGTGCCAGCCTGGGATTCAGATTGAACAAGCATGGCGGAGCATGGCCGAGCGCCGAGGGGCAGCCCCGGCTGGGCCCCGGCAGTCGGACGACGCATTGCAAAAAACGCGGCAGCAAACGCGGCTCTTCTCGCCGAGAAAACGGCCAAAAACCATGCAAAATGACCTACGATCGTCTTTTTTGGCGCCGTTTCGAGCCGATCGGGCCACCGCAGCGTCGGACATCATTCACCACGTGGCCGACGACGATCTGAGACGAGTTCGGCAGCAGCGGCTCGTAAGATGTCGGTCTATGTGTGGTCCGCGTTTCTCGCCGGGACGCGGTTTCGGGCAAAAATCGCGCCGTGGGTCGCGAGATTTGGCAGGGACCCTCCCAGCCACCACGGCGTGCGCGCGCGGGGGTTGGTCGCGGAAATCGGCGCGCCCGAAGCGGCCCAACGCCCCGCCAGGCAACTTTCCCAGCCTGGCCGTTCTTGGGGCCCGCCGCATCGTTTGCGGCCGGCTCTTCGGCGCGCAGGCTAGTCGAGCGAAATGAAGCTCGCCAACGACGAGCGGCCCAGGCTTCCGCTGCCCACCCGCGCGGCAGACCGTTCCTGAAGTAGCCCAGCGTAAACTCTCTACATGTATAGACTAGTATAGTTCTAGTGTAATCATTGTAATTTTATTTCCGGTATAAGGGTACTGGCATAATCGTCTCCAAGCCAGCTCCAGTGTGCAGATTGCCCCCAAGCGCTTGGCAAAGCGCTTGGCACGATGAGCTCGCGCGAAGCAACGATCAGGTCGTTTAGGGCGAGATCGGTCAAGGTTGTGTGGGACGGGGCCGCGCCGCCGTCAGTCGAAGCGCTGCAGGCGGCCTTCGCGCCCTTCGGGGCCATCTCGACGGTCCGCGTGAAGCAGCGCACAGCGCTGGTGCTCTACCGGGACGCGCGGTCGGTGGCGTCGGCGGTCGATGGCACCCGCGGCCCCTGGATCGCGACCGCGGTCGCCACCGAGAGAGCGGATCCGCGGCGCGGGTCCCCCAGCGCGCCGTTTGGACAAGCGCCGGCCGCGGAGGCGTTCTCGGGCGCGCCGTTTGGACAAGCGCCGGCCGCGGAGGCGCCGGCGGGAGCAAGCGAGCCGCCGGCCGCAGAAACGTTCTCGGGCGGCGCGCCGTTTGGACAAGCGCCGGCCGCGGAGACGTTCTCGGGCGCGCCGTTTGGACAAGCGCCGGCCGCGGAGGCGCCGGCGGGAGCAAGCGAGCCGCCGGCCGCAGAAACGTTCTCGGGCGGCGCGCCGTTTGGACAAGCGCCGGCCGCGGAGACGTTCTCGGGCGCGCCGTTTGGACAAGCGCCGGCCGCGGAGGCGCCGGCGGGAGCAAGCGAGCCGCCGGCCGCAGAAACGTTCTCGGGCGGCGCGCCGTTTGGACAAGCGCCGGCCGCGGCACGTTCGCCGGGCGCGCCGTTTGGACAAGCGCCGGCCGCGGAGGCGCCGGCGGGAGCAAGCGAGCCGCCGGCCGCAGAAACGTTCTCGGGCGGCGCGCCGTTTGGACAAGCGCCGGCCGCGGAGACGTTCTCGGGCGCGCCGTTTGGACAAGCGCCGGCCGCGGAGGCGCCGGCGGGAGCAAGCGAGCCGCCGGCCGCAGAAACGTTCTCGGGCGGCGCGCCGTTTGGACAAGCGCCCGGCCGCGGGCACGCCGGGCGCGCCGTTTGGACAAGCGCCGGCGCGGAGGCGCCGGCGGGAGCAAGCGAGCCGCCGGCCGCATAAAACGTTCTCGGGCGGCGCGCCGTTTGGACAAGCGCCCGGCCGCGGACGCCGGGCGCGCCCGTTTGGACAAGCGCCCGCCGCGGAGGCGCCGGCGGGAGCAAGCGAGCCGCCGGCCGCAGAAACGTTCTCGGGCGGCGCGCCGTTTGGACAAGCGCCGGCCGCGGGAGACGTTCTCGGGCGCGCCGTTTGGACAAGCGCCCGGCCGCGGAGGCGCCGGCGGGAGCAAGCGAGCCGCCGGCCGCAGAAACGTTCTCGGGCGGCGCGCCGTTTGGACAAGCGCCGGCCGCGGCACGTTCTCGGGCGCGCCGTTTGGACAAGCGCCCGGCCGCGGAGGCGCCGGGCGGGAGCAAGCGAGCCGCCGGCCGCAGAAACGTTCTCGGGCGGCGCGCCGTTTGGACAAGCGCCGGCCGCGGAGACGTTCTCGGCGCGCCGTTTGGACAAGCGCCGGCCGGGCACGCTCGGGCGCGCCCGTTTGGACAAGCGCCCGGCCGCGGAGGCGCCCGGCGGGAGCAAGCGAGCCGCCGGCCGCAGAAACGTTCTCGGGCGGCGCGCCGTTTGGACAAGCGCCGGCCGCGGAGACGTTCTCGGGCGCGCCGTTTGGACAAGCGCCGGCCGCGGAGGCGCCGGCGGGAGCAAGCGAGCCGCCGGCCGCAGAAACGTTCTCGGGCGGCGCGCCGTTTGGACAAGCGCCCGGCCGCGGAGACGCGTTCTCGGGCGCGCCCGTTTGGACAAGCGCCGGCCGCGGAGGCGCCGGGGGAGCAAGCGAGCCGCCGGCCGCAGAAACGTTCTCGGGCGGCGCGCCGTTTGGACAAGCGCCGGCCGCGGCGGGGACGTTCTCGGGCGCGCCGTTTGGACAAGCGCCGGCCGCGGAGGCGCCGGCGGGAGCAAGCGAGCCGCCGGCCGCAGAAACGTTCTCGGGCGGCGCGCCGTTTGGACAAGCGCCCGGCCGCGGAGGCGTTCGGGCGCGCCCGTTTGGACAAGCGGCCGGCCGCGGAGGCGCCGGCGGGAGCAAGCGAGCCGCCGGCCGCAGAAACGTTCTCGGGCGGCGCGCCGTTTGGACAAGCGCCGGCCGCGGAGACGTTCTCGGGCGCGCCGTTTGGACAAGCGCCGGCCGCGGAGGCGCCGGCGGGAGCAAGCGAGCCGCCGGCCGCAGAAACGTTCTCGGGCGGCGCGCCGTTTGGACAAGCGCCGGCCGCGGAGACGTTCTCGGGCGCGCCGTTTGGACAAGCGCCGGCCGCGGAGGCGCCGGGCGGGAGCAAGCGAGCCGCCCGGCCGCAGAAACGTTCTCGGGCGGCGCGCCGTTTGGACAAGCGCCGGCCGCGGAGACGTTCTCGGGCGCGCCCGTTTGGACAAGCGCCGGCCGCGGAGGCGCCGGGCGGGAGCAAGCGAGCCGCCGGCCGCAGAAACGTTCTCGGGCGGCGCGCCCGTTTGGACAAGCGCCCGGCCGCGGAGACGTTCTCGGGCGCGCCCGTTTGGACAAGCGCCGGCCGCGGAGGCGCCGGCGGGAGCAAGCGAGCCGCCCGGCCGCAGAAACGTTCTCGGGCGGCGCGCCGTTTGGACAAGCGCCGGCCGCGGATACGTTTCGGGCGCGCCGTTTGGACAAGCGCCGGCCGCGGAGGCGCCGGGCGGGAGCAAGCGAGCCGCCCGGCCGCAGAAACGTTCTCGGGCGGCGCGCCGTTTGGACAAGCGCCGGCCGGGCACGCGCCGGGCGCGCCGTTTGGACAAGCGCCCGGCCGCGGAGGCGCCGGCGGGAGCAAGCGAGCCGCCGGCCGCAGAAACGTTCTCGGGCGGCGCGCCGTTTGGACAAGCGCCGGCCGCGGGCACGTTCCGGGCGCGCCGTTTGGACAAGCGCCCGGCCGCGGAGGCGCCGGCGGGAGCAAGCGAGCCGCCGGCCGCAGAAACGTTCTCGGGCGGCGCGCCGTTTGGACAAGCGCCGGCCGCGGAGACGTTCTCGGGCGCGCCGTTTGGACAAGCGCCGGCCGCGGAGGCGCCGGCGGGAGCAAGCGAGCCGCCGGCCGCAGAAACGTTCTCGGGCGGCGCGCCGTTTGGACAAGCGCCGGCCGCGGAGGCGCCGGCGGGAGCAAGCGAGCCGCCGGCCGCAGAAACGTTCTCGGGCGGCGCGCCGTTTGGACAAGCGCCGGCCCGCGGCACGCCGGGCGCGCGTTTGGACAAGCGCCCGGCCGCGGAGGCGCCGGCGGGAGCAAGCGAGCCGCCGGCCGCAGAAACGTTCTCGGGCGGCGCGCCGTTTGGACAAGCGCCGGCCGCGGGCACGTTCTCGGGGCGCGCCGTTTGGACAAGCGCCCGGCCGCGGAGGCGCCGGCGGGAGCAAGCGAGCCGCCGGCCGCAGAAACGTTCTCGGGCGGCGCGCCGTTTGGACAAGCGCCGGCCGCGGAGACGTTCTCGGGCGCGCCGTTTGGACAAGCGCCGGCCGCGGAGGCGCCGGCGGGAGCAAGCGAGCCGCCGGCCGCAGAAACGTTCTCGGGCGGCGCGCCGTTTGGACAAGCGCCGGCCGCGGAGACGTTCTCGGGCGCGCCGTTTGGACAAGCGCCGGCCGCGGAGGCGCCGGCGGGAGCAAGCGAGCCGCCGGCCGCAGAAACGTTCTCGGGCGGCGCGCCGTTTGGACAAGCGCCGGCCGCGGAGACGTTCTCGGGCGCGCCGTTTGGACAAGCGCCGGCCGCGGAGGCGCTGGCGGGAGCGGGGGAGCCTCGGCCGCATCGCAGCCCCAGAGCCTCGCCGCGCGCCGCGTGCGTAGCGCTTGGTTTCGGTGGGCGCTTCGCCCGCGGCGGCGGCGGCGCGGCCCCTGGCGTTTTGCGACTCGGACGATTGTGCGACCTTGGCGGCGAGGAGGTCGTCCTCTTCGGCGTTGCACGCGCGTCGCCGGCGGCACTCGCGGCTGCGCTCCGCCGCACCGAGGTCCTGGCCACCGCGCGGTGCGGCCCGGGCGGCGACGACGGCGGGGTCGCCGGGCGCCTCCGCGTCGCGCACGTGGCGCTCCTCTGCGACGCAGGGCAATCCGACGCCGCCCTAAGCCGCTGCGCCGCTACGTGCACCGCCGCAGCGCCGCGCGGCCCTGCCCGCACGGCGCTCGCCGCTGCTGTCGCCCTCGAGGACCGCGTGCGACGGAGTCGCGACGGCAGCCCCATTCCGCGCGCTGCACTTGCGGCCGCCGCGGCGCCGTCGTCCTTCGATCAGCTCGGGTCGCGGGCTGGCGGCCGCCTCAACGCGCTGACCGCCGCGGAGGCCGCGCCTGCGCCCGCCCCCGTCGCGCGACCGCCGCCGCCGGCTGCGCCCGCCGTGTTGTGCCCTGCGCGGACTGACGCCATCGACGCCAAGCCTGGGTGGTTCCGACGCAAGCTTTCCGCCGTCCTCTACCCAGACGCGACGCGCGTCGACCTCGCCGAAGCGTCTGCACCTGCGGCCTACTACGACAAAGCCTGCGGTCGATGGATCCTTCCTGACACCGATGGAAAGGACGGGCACTCAACTGCTGCCCCCCCGCTGCGCGCCCCGCCGCCGTCGGCGTCGATGCGCCCCCCGGGGCTTGCGCCCGCGGGTCAATCTAGCCCCCCGCTGCCCTCGCCGCGGCGCGCGGCCTCGACGTCTGCCATGGCCGCCGATCCGCTCGCCGCCATGATGGCGCCACCGCCAATGCGCGCCGTGCCACGTGCCCAACGCGTCGGAGATGCCATGACAATCCGTGCGCCACAATCACAATCGACACCTTCCTTCGCAACCTTTGCATAAGAGAGGGCATTCATCCTAGTCGTGTCTTTTCTAAGGTCTTCCGACTCGGAGTCAAGTTCCGTACCGTGACTAATTTCAATGAATTCGTAGCATCGCGCCGGGTATCCGAGCTCGCCGATGGCTTTAAGGAAATGTCGACCCTCCAAAACACGAGAAAATGGGTTCGGAAGGAACGATTCGGCCTGCCAGAATATTTACTCAGAACGTGCCCCTCGTCCCTTCGGGAAGGGCGGAGGTTGAAGACGAAGTTCCGCTTGGGTTGCCACGATCTCCGGAGCTCGAGTTGCCGAATGCAACGTGTCCGTAACGCGCAATGCCCCTGTTGCGAATCCCGCGAGTCGGAAACGATTCAACACGCGTTGTTTGAATGCAAGGCCTTTGAGGAAGAACGTGAGGTATTTCTTTCGAGATTATACTCGGTTTGCCCCCTCGCACGGCAATTGACTGATGAGTGCCGTTGTCGGTTGGTCATGGGGGACAATTTACCCCGGGAGATTGAAAATCCGTTTTACCGTTATCTTATTGCTATTTCGAAGCTCCGGTTGGGTATCCTGACTGAGCAGGGAGAAGGCTCTTAGGAGCTTGTTCCTATTTTAGGTCTTCCTTTATTTATTTATTTATTTATTTATTTATTTGGACCGAGAGTCGTGACCCCGTGAATAATAAGTGTCGGGATTTGCTCCGACTGGATTGAATATTCATACCGTCCCCGGGGCGCGGCTTCCAGGGCTCCCGCGCTTAGGAAATCCCGCGTGAGCTAGCGGCCTGTACGACTCGGAAGAGGTTCCTGGAGATTGCGGGTTGGATCGGGTTGGTGATGGAGATTGCTAACTAACAGTGTCTTGGGATTCACTTCCCTGGTCTCCACTTTCAATACCGCTTTATTCCTCGCTTTACCTTCTCCGGTTGTGTCTGTCGGGGCTCGGTGCTTCGTCTAGATGGGGGGTCGTCTCGCTATTATTAAGTGGCGGTCTAGTCGGCCGGGGGGGGGGGGGGCGTTGCCGAGAGTTCCTCATGCTACGCATGGGAAGGGCTCCATGCTATAGCTGGAGTGTCGCTCCTGGGGAGCCTAGGGGCGCGGGGCGGAGGTCTTTAATTAATTAGAATCGAGGACGGAGGACACACAGTGGTCCACATCACAGCGCTTGGCGCTTTTCGCCCCGCGCCCCCAGGCTTCCCAAGAGACACCCCAGTTATCGCATTGAGCCCTTCCCATGCATGCGGCCCATGCCATGAGGAATTCTCGGCGGCGTCTCAACTTCGGGGCCCAATCATGATGACTAGTAATTTCAATGTTTTTGTTTTATGATTTATTTCGTCCTTGAGGATACTCCCCCTTTAATATGTCAATAACTTGCTTTTTGGGTACTAGGTAGTACTAGCCGTAGTAGAGTATGTACTAGTCGCGTAGCCACGACGCAGGTGGCGCACCAAGTACGCAAGAAGCTTCCATACGCTAGAGATCGCGCTTCCAGTCGTCTGTCTCCCAGAGCGGATGCTGTAGGAGTGCCTTGAGCAGCTGTGTTCCCCTGAGCGCTGACGTTAGTGGGAGGTGGCCCTTCGGCGCTTCCTGTAATGTGTAAAAAAACTCGGACTGACCGAACCAGCGGCGCTTGCGCGCTTGACCAGTGACCTCGTCCTTGGTAGTCCAACCGATCTTGTCGCAGAAACGGTCGAAGACGCCCTTCTGGCGGCGCCAGACGTCTTTCTGCACAGTGTACCCGAACTTGCCGTCGCTGTAGTGCAGCCACAAGTTTTCGACAGCGCCGAGCGCGGCGGCGTCGAGCGTCCGCGCCTCGGTCCAGTACACGTAGCCACGCTTGGTAGCATCTGCGCCAGCAATCTCGATAAGGAGGTCGCGCGTAGTCTGGTCCGCCGCCTCGAAGTCCCCGGCGCGGAGCTGGTCGATCAACGGAGTTGGGTCGATGCCGCCGGCATCCTCAATGGTTACGGCCGGCCGCGGGCCCGTCTCCATCGCCTGAGGCGGCCCGGCGAGCGCCGCGGCCAAGCGCGCGGCGTGCGGGCGCCGCGCAGGCGCGGCGGGCGTGAGTGCGAGCGTCGGGCTCAGCCAGAGGAGGCATACCGCCTCGGTTCGCCGAGAACGCCTCATTGCCATGTTCAAGCTCACAAAGCTCACAGGCTAATAAAAGCTAGCCCCTAGGGCAATTGGAGGCGGGCTGTTAACTTGAGTCGTTGGCTTCGTGCATCGCATCTGAGGCAGCCAGGCCCCAAGCGCGCGGCGACGAGGAGCCAGCCGGTAGAGCTAGCTGTACCCGCGAGCTTTGGGTCTGGCTGCCCTCAGGTGCGACGCACGAGGCCAACGACTCAAGTTACAGCCCGCCTCAGCACTAGGGGCTCCCTACGACCGTACCGACCCCGGGCATTCAGCCCGCCGTACACAACGCTCTCGACGTCTCGGCCAGGCCTCCACGCGTACCACCGGTCCAATCTGAGCAAACTAAGGCCGCGGTGCGCCTCTTATGGTCCCATACGACCTTATTGTGACGCTTTGCCGTTTTAGGAAAAACGCCGAGTTCAGCGTCCGCGTTCTATGCGCAGCCCGCATCAAATTCCAAGCGGGTTTGCCTCCGTGTAGTCTATGGGGTGTTGGGCCGGCGCACCGCCGCTGCCTCCGCATCTAGTCCGGTGTGGCGCACACACAGTGTCTAAAAATGGGCTGCCACGCCATCTAAGCGTTTTTAGGGGACGGAGCACTAGAATCAGTCCGCAACGCCGGGTTGCGATCGACCAATCCCCACGAAAAGCTGAGGGGCGCTTTTGTGCCCCCCTGGGGCCAGCCTGAGGAGAGTCACGGTCCCCAGACGGAGTATCCCTGTACAAGCTCCCCCGGAAGCAACTTGAACCGGCTAAAACCGGCGACCCCCCCCATACAAACTACAACAAACTACCTCAACCTCTTCAAGTTCACCCGGGCCTGGTGTGCCAGTGACAGTGCCAGTGGGCCGACTCGGAGCGGCTGGTTTTTAGTTTCGGAGGAAACTTGAGGAGGTACTTCTTTTCAACCTTCGATAGGGCTGTGTTTCTTAAAATACTATTACTTGGCGTGGCAATATTACTGAACCCTGATAATGGTAGCTCTGTATTTTGTTACCCCCCCTTGCTGCGGTGATCATCTCCTCGGCATGGCAGATGACGCACACGACAAACAGGTTGAGATTTGGAAAGTTAAGAAACTTGTGAAGTCCCTGACGCTCGCGCGCGGCAATGGGACCTCAATGATATCTTTGGTGATACCGCCACGAGATCAGATATCACGTGTCGCCAAAATGCTGGCCGACGAGTATGGCACTGCCTCAAACATAAAAAGTCGGGTTAATCGTCTGTCAGTACTTGGTGCCATAACAAGTGAGCATCATAGAAAGTTCAAACTATATAATGATTATGCAGGCACACAGCAACGGCTGAAATTGTATTCACGTGTTCCACCTCATGGTTTAGTGGTGTATTGTGGAACCATCATGACTGATGAAGGCAAAGAAAGACGTGTCAATATTGACTTTGAGCCGTGCCCCCCAGAGCATGTCCCACAGATAATTCTCATATAATGCACTGGCTGCAGATTTAAACCAATTAATACATCCCTTTACTTGTGTGACAACAAGTTTCATACGGAGGCTCTAGATGAACTCTTGGAGGATGACGAAAAGTTCGGGTTCATTATTATGGATGGCAACGGTTCACTTTATGGCAATACCAGTCCGAATTGCAATGACCTTGATGCAGTGTTTAATAGGTACGCTGCAGGGCAACAACAGAGACGTGTTGCATAAATTTTCGGTTGACCTACCCAAAAAGTGAAAATCATGAACTATAGTCTGGTTTCCGAATGTTTGGCCTATAGGCATGGTCGTGGAGGTCAGTCTGCTCTCAGATTTGCACGTCTCCGCCTGGAGAAACGTCATAACTATGTCCGAAAAGTAGCAGAACTGGCCGTGCAGATGTTTATTACTGCAGACAAACCTAACGTGTCTGGGCTTGTGTTGGCGGGTTCAGCCGATTTCAAAAGCGAGCTGCAAACATCTGATATGTTTGACCAAAGACTTGCGTCTGACTATCAGTGTTGCAATTAACATGGCACCGTCGTCAACTAAAATTAGGCGCATTGTAATCAAGATGGTTGATGTCAGTTATGGTGGAGAAATTGGTTTTAACCAGGCTATTGAGTTATCGGCAGAGACGCTAGGGTCTGTGAAGCTGGTTCAAGAGAAGCGTTTACTACAAAAGTTTTTCGACGAAATTTCGCAGGATACTGGCAAATATTGTTTTATGGTTGTTGACACGCTACGTGCACTAGAGCTGGGCGCAGTGGAGACCCTTATCGTATGGGAGAATCTAGATATAGATCGCATCAAATTGCGTAATCACGCAGCGTCGGAGGATAGAGTACTGCATCTTTCTAAGGAACAACAAGCACATGAACATTATTTTCATGACAGTGTATCTGGCGTTGAACTTGAAGAGATAGAGAAGTTGCCACTGGTTGAGTGGCTTGCGAACAACTACAAGTCGTTTGGAACAACCCTCGAGTTCATCACCAACCGTTCCCAAGAAGGCTCACAGTTTTGCCGAGGTTTTGGTGGCATTGGTGGTATACTACGTTGGCGAGTAGACTTTCTTGAAATTGACATGGCTGAAGATACCGCGGGGGAGTGCACTTAGGATTTTAAAATCAGCAGCGCAATGACATGACGGGACGAGGGGGGTCCACTTCCATTCTTGTCAGATGAGCTCGCTTACCCTGGCCCTGGCGATCCGACACGAAGTAGCCGGTAGAGACCGGTAACTTTTCCTACTAGGCAGGAATAAATTTCGATTTTCGGATACCACGGTAGTTTTTAGCAATATAAAACACTGGCAGGCGCGCGCGCGCGGCTCACTTACATAGATACGACCCGGTAGAAAATAAATGGGGTTCCGAATTCAGAATTCACCATAGTCGTTCACCGAGACAAAATATTCTAGAGTAGCGGCCCGGGAACATACCCACGAGGCTCCCGAAAGACGCTGCCGCGGACGACTCAGGCTGTACGTTGACGGACGACTGTAGGTTGGTCTTGTCGCCGCGCTCCTGAGTCGACGTTGTTGTAGGTAGCCGCGGCGAGAATGCCATAGGAAATATGGCCCGGGCCCAGCGGGTCCGGGCGGGCCCAGCGGGTCCGGGCCCGAGGGATAAATAGGGTCTGGTGGGAATTTCAAGTTTTTAGTCGAGACTTCGTCCAGGGCTCTCTGTAGCCTGAGGGGTGGGATGAGTGGTATCATGTGTCGAGGGTGTCCCCCCCTGCCTGTTCTTGCCCCCCCTGCCTGTTCTTGCCAGGGGTGAGGGTTGCCAGTGCTTCAAGCTATCTTGAGGGCCAATTACAGTGTTCCGAGTCGCGCATAGGCCTACTTTGTGAAGCTCCGTCTTGCTAATTTTAATCCGTCCGTAACACGGCGCGAGGGCATCCTCGCGAAAGGCACTTAGTCTAATGTCGTGGGCACGGGCAGCCGGACTACGCATTGAAAAAACGTGGCACTAAGTGGGCTGCCGTTTGCCGAGAAAGCCATACGATCGGCTTTCTGGCGCCGTTTCGAGCCCATCGGGCCACCGCAGCGTCGGACATCGGTCACCACGTGGCCGTCGATGATCTGAGACGAAGTCTGGCAGCAGCGGCCCGTAAGATGTCGGTCTATGTGTGGACGGTTTCGGGTGGAAATCGTGCCGTGGGTCGCGAGATTTGGGGGCTTCCCAGCCACCACGGCGTGAATACGCGAGAGGGGAAGGGGGGGGGGGGCGGAGATTGGCCGAGGCGGCCATACCCCGCAGTAGCGGAGTTCGTGGGGGCTGTTGCACCGCTTGCGGCCGGCTCTTCGCCCGTAGGCCGCCCAAGACCGCGGTGGGGTAGTGCGGGGCTGCGGAGCGCCGGGCGGCTCATCATGGCCGATTTAGGGCTTGGTATGCTTGGTATCAAAACAAAAACTCTCTAGTAATCTGTCGACAATAACCTATTAATAATTGCAGACTGATGTTTGGCAAGAGAGCTTTTGACGAAAGGAATAGGTGTGCATCGGCCGTCCAGAAGCGTTGTCGCGCTGACACAGACGGGCAAGATGAAGTTGGTGTGCCGCCCCCCAAAACTGCAATAGAACTAGCAATGGAAGAAGCTGAAGAGTACGAACGACGAAAAGAGGCGGAGCAGCGCCGTTTGCTTGGCGGCGCCACTGTTTAAGTAAATACCTCATTTCTGAACATAGGATTACAACAACTCAAGCTGGAGTCTCTAGATAAGGAGAAAACCAGGTGGGCTAGATATTTGTGAATATTAATAATCAGATGATTTGTGGTAGACTTCTTGCTCCTGTGCATCATGACGCTTCGCCTCCATATGATTCACAGAAAAACCATCAATTGGATCGGCATGGGTGTGATGAATACGAAGACAAATTGGCTGCCTCCTGTCCAATGCCAGAGAAAGCTGTCGTGTCCAGCGCATGCTCGAAGAAAACTATCCCCCACCGTTCCCTCACCCTAGCCCGTCTCTATTTCCCATCTTATTTTTTATAGTTTTTCGAGATCTGTGGCACATAGGACGTGATGTTTGGATCCCAGTTATATAACGATGAATTGCCACATTCCAGCGAAAATTTGCCGGAAAATAAAATTATGGCCATCAACAAATTGCGTCTGCCACGCAAATTGCTCGAGAAGTGGGTGGAAGAACCATTTTTTGATACGGCAGTTGTCGGCTGCTTTGTTCGTCTTGGTGTGGGTGCGTTCGATTTGTGCTCCTTACTGGTTCAATGGGCATCTTGCCTGCAGGTAAAGCACCTGGTTTGCGTGGTGAACCCCAATACAAGGTTTGCGAAATTATTGGCGTGGGGGAATATAAACATTCCTATGCACTGGGGGAATTCCAGACCAAAAAAGCGCTCTTGCTTCGCATCGGTCGTAATACACGCCTCTGGCGCATGAATGTTATCTCTAATCATCGGTCCTGGGACAGCGTGAAATTTAGGTAGTTTGTGTTTGACTTCTCCCTTCCCCACTGTAGGTTCACACCCGATGAGCTAAATGAGTATGAACTGTGCCGATGAAATTCTTGATTATGCATTGTTGGTGATAGGTGGCAAAGTACCATGTTTGCTGCGCGTCAAAAGATACCATCGGCAGAGGAGATCAGCAAACGCAAAGCACGCATGCGAGAAACAGTATTTGGCGCTTCTAGTCATCCTGCTCAGAATATAACAGACACCAACATATTCAGCAAGGCCAGCGAAAGATACTCAGAAGGTGATGTTGCAAGGCTTGTTAATTCAAGACGGAAGCGCAGCGAGGCTGTGGTCCTCCCGAGTTAAATTTTTTTGGAAGACACAAAAATCCTAGTGCTAGGCACGATTCCGGGAGCGCCAAACCACAACAGTATCTCGCCTTAACCATGGTCAAATTCGAACTCGGTACGAGCACGAGGTATGCGCTGCACGCCAGGCATACCTAGCGCTTTTGATTGCGCAAAGTACAAAAGTCCGCACAACCCCGGAAATTCAGACTGCCATAAAAAAGGTCTACATGATCAGCGAGAAGTACACAAGCTCTTATTCATGCCAACAAATAAGTAATATCGTAGGTGGATGATCATGATGCATGCGTTAAACTTGATGATAATTCTTTTGAGCGCAACCTTGATACTCTCGCGTCAAGCCTTATGCGAGCACAACAGACGCAGCTCCATGCAAGTGCGGTGGAGGAGGCGCTGGCGGAATGCCGCGCTACACGCAACCTGCTTAGTCAAATGCAGTGTGATTTTCTTTGACAGCATGGATACCATCAATCTGCTTTGTTTGTGTAGGTCAAGCCTGTGAAAAACTCAAGGATTTCCGTAAGAATGCCCTTGATGTGCGTAAACTGCGTGACACCGAAGTGCCTTCGCGCACATCTACCCTGTATTTTGTGAACGAGGCAAAGCGGCGAGAAAATTCCCTTGCTGATATGACTCACGGGGAAAGAAAACTGCAAGACGAGTCAACTTCAGCGTGCTATATTTTTTCAACGTGATAATATCACTGGCTACTAGGCAACATGACGATGATGATGCAGAACGTGCTGTATTTCAACGTCGTGCAACGAAACCGACGATGCTGTGGACTACGGACACAGGGTTTTGTCAGCGAACACATAAACTGACGCAGCCAATGTGCAACAGAGCCAAGCTCAATACTAATTCAAATACCCAAGGGGCCGGCGACTCTGGAGCAGCTATTGAAGAGACAGAAACCGCAAACTGTGCCCTGGACGAGAGCATAAGCCCACGCCCCCGCAAAAGAACTGGAATGTCCTTGCAAGAATATATGACCAAAGCGCATGCAGATGCATCGAGATTTACGCTCTAAGGATTGTCCCCTGAGAGGCAGGATGTCCTTTGTTTGACTACCCTGATGGTGACCTTGGTATTTGCTTAGTACCCGTATTGACTTATAGCAAGTAGCCAATTCTCAGAACTTGAAAATGCCAGTGAAAATAATCAGCCGTGCTTGACAAGACACAAAGGATCGAAAAGATGCTTTGAGAAAATGATGGAACGTGTCGCCTGGAACTCGGACTCGGACTCGGGAGTCTGTGCTTAGTCCGTCATGATACCATCCAAGTCAATAAGACCATCAACTGAATCATGAACAACCTCTCAGAAACAAATAAAGCAGAACGAGCTAGGGGAGATGGATGCGATGCGGGATCTACTTCACGCCCCTCGTTTGCATCAAGATCTACCCGCACCCAACATGGGGTCGACGACATATGTCATGCGAGTAATAAACAAATAAACAAACTTGAACTAAGGGAAGACCTAAAACAAAGCTTATTAAAAGGAACACGGGCAAGCTCGCTCCTAATTAGTGGCACCGTCACGGTGACTGGCAGGGTATAGTTCAATAAGTTAGTAAGCCTTTCCAGCGAAATTCCTCCGCATTAGAAAGAAGGACTCACGGTAGTATAGATGCCTCAGGCTCGGGGCCGGCCGGCCGGACAGGACTCGGATAGAGGGTCCTTTTCGGAGCACTGGCACTGCCAGTGGCAGTTCTAAGTGTGGCAGTCTTCAAAAGTTCGCCAGTGCCCGGTGGGCCCGGGCCCAGGCCACTGGCAGTCACTGAGTCACGGTGTGTAAGCTCAGGCTCACGCCGACTCGGAGCCTTCCCACAGCACAGCACTCAGGCTTCAAGTCACGGTTGGGCGGCCCCGGCCCGGGCGGCGGCTCCGAGTCATGCCAGCCTGGGTGGTCACTGGCCCGGGCACTCAGGCTCAGGCTGACATTGGGGGCGCGGCGGTTGGGGCTAAGCGTGAGATATTTGACCCCTTCGTCGTGCTCTCCGTCCTCGATTTGTTCTTTCTTCGTAGGTAATGTACCGTAGGTACCGTATTCACTAGACCTACTTTATCCAGGAATTCAAGGTATACGCACATATCATAGCAGGACTGCGGTATAGGTGATTTTTCTTTTCTAGGCATTCACTGTAAAACACTGGCACTCCCGGGCCGAGTCTACGTCAATAGGCGGAACCTTGTGGGCCCATAACCTAGCAAGAGTATGTCGCAGCATTATTTAAGGTAGCAGGGTCCTAGCTCACCAGCCAACTTGAAAGGCTGCCAGTGGCCCGGGGCCAGTGGCAACTTGAACCCGGCCCGGGCGGGCCTAACCGTGACTACGAGACTCGGAGTGTTTTATAGCAAATTGTGTTTACACCGTAGTGTCAATAAATACTCGATGTATAGACTCAAATTTAGAGAGTGGGAGATACATATCCAGGGTAGGAAGGGCTAGTAGGTTTCTCTCTCTATAGGTAGGTACTTACGGTACCGTACCGTACCGTAGGTAGGTACCGTAGGTACCTACAGGTAGGTCCTACCTACGGTACGGTAGGCGTACGAGTATAAAAATTATATGACGACATCGATTTTTGTTCCTGAAGTGGGATAATATTTACGCCAGGATCCAGCGACGCGCCGTAATTGCCTCAGCTACCACCCCCAGCGTAATGCCTCTCAGTTCGGATCACCCCGTTTTTTTTCGCATGGCCCGGGTGCACCGCAGTTACCAGTCTTGCTGTGAGACCTGAAATTAATGGGTTGTGGTATTTCCAGCAAAGTCGAGTCGACGTCTATAAGGGGCCCTCAGACCGCAGACCAGTCATCAACCTTGACCCTAGGGCTATTGCCTGCTCCGCGAGAATCCCACGTGCTTCGTGGGGGCGGGCATGATTCCAGAAATTCGCATGTATCTTGGCGAAGAGGTGATCTGATTGGCACCGGAGCGAATGGACGGGTATACCTTGGACTCGAAGAAGATAGTGGTGCAATTATTGCAGTCAAAGAGATGGCATTCAGCAACGAGCAACATTCCAGCGTCCTGCTCAAGAATATAGAGAATGCACACGCAGGCAAGAACTGGAGGAACTGGCCCAAATGCAAGAGGAAATAGAGTTGCTTCGATCCTTGCAGCATCCTAACATTGTGACTTACCTTGGCACAGACATCTGTGATGAAAATAAATTGCTTTATATCTTCACAGAGTGGGTTCCTGGCGGGTCGATCCAAGCGCAAACGCAGTGTAGAATATACCTGGCGCGATTCACGGCCAATTCTATAGTCTCAGGCACTGATTACAAAATTTGGTCGCTTATCAGAGGCAATTGTGCGCAAATACGTTGCTCAGCTACTTGTCGGTCTTAAATATTTGCACGAACAACAAGTGATTCATCGCGACATAAAAGCTGCAAACATTTTAGTTGATGATCGAGGTACAATTAAGCTCGCAGACTTTGGCAGCTCAAAAAGACTGGACTCAATGGGCATGATAAACAATGGTAACCTTTCACTCAGAGGGACGCCGTACTTTATGGCGCCCGAAGTTATCATGCAAATAGGGCATGGGCGAAAGGCTGATATCTGGAGTGTAGGGTGCACAATCTTGCAGATGGTCACTGGGCAGCCTCCGTGGAAAAACCTTCGCCTCGGAACGCCCGCTGCACTCATGTTTCATATAGCAAATGCTCAATCTCCTCCCCCAATGCCGTGAGATTCAGTGGTCTCTGTATGCCTTTGTCTATGGGGAGAGAGCGGGTTGGGATAGGGTTGAGTATCATTTTTACTTCAACTATAGGTCAATGTTGTCCATTGAGCTCAATAACTTGCTCCTCGCCACATTCTCTCGCGACACAAATAGACGTCCAGCAGCCAATGACTTACTCAGATACCCTTTTGTTGTTGCAAATGGTGCAGCAGCAGAGGCAAATGCAGCCGAAAGTCGAGCGGCGCTGCGGAGTACACCACTTGCGCGAAGCATGCGGGCTGCCATGCCTAATCAGGTCAGCACCATCGAGGACGCTGCAGACCATACTTTGGCATGTCAGGCAATTGGAATCTTGAGTTAGATGCCAGAGTCCACCACATATCAATGATGCCTCATTTTCACACTCAGGCAAAGAGTCTGATAGCGCCGAGGGCTTCTTCTTTGAATCATTTCGCATGCCCCCAGGCGGCGAAGATCCACTTACAGCGAAAGTTGACAAAGAGGGACAGGATGTTTGTGGCCAGATGAACCCCAACTTGAGAATGGAAAAGCAATTTTTGGGCTCAACACATAGCAATGGAGTGGACAATGAAGCCCTTGTCACTATGTTCCTCTCCAGAGAGGCGGCAGCTCAACTTGCTGGTGCAGACAAACATTTCCCAGGTCATCCACCAACAGCACAACCAACCCCATCAAGCCAAAGGCACAATGGCAAGATTAGATTGCGAGGGTTTGCAGCAATTCTACCTTCTAGAACTCGCGGTTGTGATGAATCCTCAGTGGCCCATTCGAATCACCGAACAAGGAAAAGTCCGCTTCTAATGACAAAACTGCCCCGACGTAAATAACAACAACACCCCAAACAAGAAAGCCTCACTCGTTGTCCATCCACCAACGACTCATTATGTAACCTACCCGCGGCCAGTCAGGTAGGAATACTAGCAGCACCATTATCTTGAGATAGGCGCAGATAAGTCCCGCAAAATTCATGCAGGCACAACACGAGCGCTATGAACAGTTTCCAAGTCCCCTTGTCTTCAATGACAACCACATAATGGTCCAATTCATTCAATGCTTGCCCCTGCCGATTGTCTTAACTGCACCTGCGGCTTCATTTGCATGTCAAACGCAATTGCTGTAGCGCGAGTCCATAGGAGCGGGCTTGAGTGCTCTGGCCTCCGCAGTCAGAATGCCGCGCGGTTACTTTGAGCTGGGCCAGGGCATGCAGTCACATGGTGTGTTCTCCGAGCGTAAATGACGAGCCCAGTAGGACAAACCCCAGTTGGAGTTCTTGGCAAGTGCGATTGACGGGAAGGTAACCCGCTCTAGATACCTCCACTCTTATATTCGCACACCCAAATCGGGACCGCACACCGCGCAACAACAATGGCCAACCAGATGATAAAATAGCTGCCATCAAAGTTGCCAGTGACTTAAACTTAAACTTGAATAACTTATGCCAGTCACGGGCCCGGGCATAATTTTGAAATAAATTTGTGTGGATTAATACACTGGATTAATCATGATTGAAGTGGACCACCCCAATAAATGTCACGGTAACACCGCGACCCCTCCAAGACCCACTGTGTTTTACCTTATTTTTTATTTTTTTTTCAATTTCGCATGCTAACTTGAAGCTGGCAGACTTCAAGTTACTGGCACAGTGACTACTAGTATTAGTATGGTGATGATGATGATGATGATACTGTTGTTAGGGGACTGTTAGGGGAGACTAGTGGAGGTACCGTCCCCTAGGCCGGAACTTGAAGTCGGTTAATTCGTTGGAGTAACATTCTTCCTTACCTTCTCTTAGCTCTAATTAGAATGAATTAGCCTGCGACGCTTAAGGCTCCTTGGAGACTTCGAAATTTATAGGGGGGTCGGGCGCAATAGTCGACGTTGGCAGGTTTTGGCGCAATGAGCGTACAGCCACACGCCGGCCGAATGGCGGCAAACTTTTGCTGAGGCGCAGCTTCCGTATGCTAAAATAATGGGTTGCGTGCAAAGTTTGGTGCATGCGGGCAGCCTCGCGCTGAAAAATCAGCTGCGACGCGGTGATGGTCCGAGATAAAACCCGCCCGAAAAACAATCTCTCCAATGGACGGGATAAACCGGCCTCGAATGATCCACTAATTATTTCCTATCGTTCCATATCTATATAGGGCTGCTAGGGAATATCCTGCTTCCGGCCCTGCTTAGAGGTACCGTGCGTCGCAATGAGTTTGCACCGCAGGAATCTTGACAGAAAGCGTCAAGGTGGGCCCCACTAGAAGTCCTGGCAGCTAATTCCCGCTGGTTCAAAACTAATCTGGCCCGGGCAGTTTGGTAAATTTGGCGACACTCTCTGAGGATACACTCTCGGCGCTTTGCGCGCTAAATACGCGGCGGGAGCGCACATTAGGCGCCTGCGCGGCCCGCAGCAAGCTGTACCGGCATGGGGCAGCTGTACCAGCAAATGACGGCCCGGGACTGCGTTTATCTTACCGCTGCGCATTCGCACGTGGCTCGCCGGTTGACACGTAGGACGTCATACGCCCATCTCCATGTGGAACGAGCCGTAGGCCCAAACACATTCTCGGCCGAGATTGTCATCAACTCACCCACGGTCAACATCGCGGCGTCACAAGGTCAGGCATGTTTGTGTAATTACGCAATGAAACTTCGGTGGCTGTTCTTTTGGGGGCCACATACTTTTGCCTGCAACGCATGCAACCCGGCAAAACTAGCGTCAAGGAAATGAGTTTGCTGCAGAAGTAGATTTCCCAGAAGATCCAGTGGGCTTTTCCCCGCAAATAGTACTTGACATGATGCGCCCGCACTTGTCACGCTGTCACGTGTGGCATCGGCAGAAACATAGACGCGGTGCTTTTCACGGCTTACCAGTTCAGGGATACGCGACAATTGGGCGGTGAGAATTCCGAGATCATGGAAGTAGCAGCGTTCACACAGTGACAGATGTGGAGTTAATTCAGCACCAGCACTATTGAGCAAGGCAGCGCGGCTATTAACGCCCTTTTGTCGAGCGATGGCCATATGCACTACCACTTTGAGTAAACTGTTATTCAAGACCTATACAAGGTCAACTACCCACTCCAAATTAAATCTGGCATCTTCACTGGTTCCACATTCAATGTTTTGTTTGCTAATGTAAGTTGTGGGAAGCGCCTGCTGCAAATCAAGCAAAGGGCATTGGCAACTGCCATTGATCGCCTGGCGTAGTCCAGAATTGGCACGGTGACATAACCTTCTAAATATTCACGAATATCATTAAGCCAGATTAATGTTTTCCTGCGGGAGGTAAAAATTGCGAGACGCCCAAAAGCGTTGTTAACATCGTCGACCACAGTGATCACTTCAGCTACAAAATGTAGCATGTCACTGCTGCTGTGCGGGATTTGGCTACGTACAAGCTCTGAAGGTACATAATGATTTGCAGATACATCAATAGCACAGCACGAGCAATCATCAAACCAGCCTATGCACAAGGGTTAGAGCGGAGTGATATCTTAGCAATATGGCGCAGTGACACAGGGACAAACACAGCATTGTCGCGGAATGGCTTGCACTGCCTCCAAGGAGACAACTGCTCACAACCTTTAGGTGTGGGTCTGAAGAAATGAAGGTATGACTACAGCGGGCTGGACTTTTGGAGATTACGGACTTGATGTCTAAAAAGGCATCCTTTTGTTTCATAATGATCTCAATCAAGCTAAGTAAATGGATAGTGGTCACATCATGCCTGACAACATAGTGTACACCACAGCCTGAAGTTTCCAAGCGCAAAGCAGCCTCCTCCACCGCATCAGCAACAAACAGAGACTCAATATGATGCATCATAAAGCTTTCCTGAGTACGCCATGCAGGCATGAAAATATCAACTCCACAGAGAATCATGTCGACATGGCCATCATCAGTGGCTATGAGAAGGATCGTTAGTGCGTCTCTGTCACGTGCAACCATTTGCAGCGGAGAACTGCCACGTAAGTTCAATGTAAATGATTGGATCAAAGGCGGTTCATGATCAAAGTTTCTTTGCTCTTCTCCTTCAATCCAAGAGAAACTGCTCTTTGTAGCCTCACTACTATCCACACTTGAAATGTTTATGAGGTATGGGAAGGTAGCATAGAGCCATCGCAATGGAATTTCCCATTTTCCTTGAGTTTCATTGCTATTTGCGTAATTCCAGCCATCAACACACGCATCTCTAAGAGCCAAAACTTCACTCTGTGAAGCACAGCTTTGCCGTGGTGCCACGGGAAATAGAGTGACGAGCTGATTAGGTGCAAGAAGAAAAACCCCAAAGCGGCTGTGCCTACGGCACATGCAGTTGACAGGCCAAAATCCTGTTACACTGGCTGTGCTGCTCTGATCCAAAGCAGAGCATTTGTACATGAGGAACACCAGTTATGAGAGATGTTGTGTCTCCCCCATAAATATCCCAAAACGTAATAACACCGGAGGCATCGATTGTGCAGATGTGGTTATCAAATTGTTGCGGAAAAGTTGCATCCAAGATTTGAGTGGAACTAGAGTTGCTGGGATCATTGAGGAATATCTCCAGTCTCCACTCATCTGAAGGGCACAGCGCGCCATTTTGGTCGCGTGGTGGAGGCAACACCTAGAAACTCGCATAAAAAGACGTTGTTGTGTGTTCTCTGATCGCTCGCAACACCCAAAAAATGGCGCCCCGCAAGGATAACTGCATCAGCTTTATGATTAAAGCGTACAATGCAAAGCGAAGTGTGCTCCAACCTCTTGTGGGGGATGCACACCGGATAGAGCTTCTGAAATGCATGGTGACTGTAGCCCAATGCATTATTCCGCGTCACAATTAGCAGGTCTCCGCGGCAGGATGTGGCAACTAACGCGTCCTCCATACTACTGCAACAAAGACAGCCAGACAGTGTGGCCCACGCGAAAAGTTCTCCACTGTCTTTGTTGTTGCGTGTCGTGACGGTCACGATTGTTGTCCAATTGAATTGCCTGCCATCCCTGCACCGAGATCTTGGGCGGAGCGTCTTAAAAAAAACGAACCCAGAGTACGGTACGGGTTTTTACCCCCCCCTCGCCCACTAGCTAGCGGTTGCGAAAACCAGAGTGTCTACTAGGGCTTACCTGACGAGCACATTTGGCCGCAGAGTAAATTAAGGCTAAAGATAAATCAATTAGCGGCGAGCCCCGGGCCCTAGTAGACACTCTGGTTTCGAGCTGACTGCCTCTCGGCCCCGTCGTAGTGGTCTTCAAAGTCCCATTCAGGCTGAGGCGTCATTGGTTGCAACGCGTCAATAATGATCTTCGCTGCCTCATGGCCGTGTCGCGGGCACGGCGACGCGCCAAGGCATCCGAGGCCCCTCGGGCACGCGAGCCTTCTGAGACGAGGCGGAGGTGTTCTAACGGCGTATCAGACGCCGATGCACACCAGGCGGGGAGTGTAGACTGTGATCATTCTATCGTCCACGGGAAACATATATGCACGTCCTACCGATCGAATTTGTCAAGAACAGATCCTACCGATCGAATATGGTCCCCCGATGGAAAACTGACCGGTGGCAGTGTGGGCTTCTGGAGACTAGAGGCGAACCGGTGTGCCTTCTCTACCAGCACCCTGGAGATATATTTGCCGTTCGCGCCGCTCCGGCTTTGGGCCTCGCGGAGAGCGGCAGCTCTCGGGCCCTGGAAGACCGCTGAACCGCGGTCTTTCAGCGCGCGCGGCGCTTAAGGCACGAGATGATGAAATAGTTATGCCCATTTTTACACCAAAATGACCTGTTTTTACTCTAATCTGCAAGATTTCCGCTCTAAGGCGAGCGGAAATTTTCAGACATGATTCAAACACATTTTTTTGATAAAAATGGGTCATAACCATGTGCCCCTTTTGGCCAACAAAACCCGAACCTTCCCCGAAAAATCGCCGAAGTCGACGTTCCTAGGGGGTAGATCAGGAAAATAAATTTCGACGTCAATCTCCCCAGACAGACGTGGACACCCCACGCTTAAATTCCGATCAACCTTTCAAATGACACTCGGGGCGATAAGGGCGATAAGGGTGATGTTTTGAGGTTTTATGAAAATGTAATTTTAGTCTAGGGGGGCGGAATCCTACTAGGAAGGGGTGATGGTGGTCTTAGGGGTGGTGTTTTTTAATCTTCAGGGTAATAAGGTGTGGCAATGACGGGTGTGGCAATGACGGGCCCTTGCTCCTCGAACTGGCTGTTTTCATTGTTAGACGCATCCGTCCGTACCGTATGAAGTCAAATATTATCCAAATAGCGACCATGGCTGTACGGCGTTTTGCGCAAAAAGCACATCAACCGTGACGGCGCAAAAGCGCTTACCCCCCCTAAAAATCGAAGTCTCCACGGAACATTAAGTGTCGCAGGGTAATTCAGCACGAATTTACCTTAGGGAGGATCGCTCGGAATCTTACTGTAAAAAAATTCCCGGTGTCCGGCCCTGCTTACGTTTCTACTACTACTAGAACTTGAAGTATATTTTAAAGCTCTCAGGGTAAATAGCGTCTCCGAGTCATCCGCTATTCAAAGTTCGCCCCAGGCCGAGTAATTCACCTGCGGAGCCTGCAACGTCCAGGGTGATACGCTGGGCTGATCGCCAAGCTAACGCCCCGCGAGTAAGATTTCTACACGTACACCTAAAGCGGCTCGGGCTGTTAATTTTATGTGTCATGGAGAAGGCGCTGTATGTAGTGCTTCGGGCCGTGCACCTGCAAAAGTGTGCGTTATCTTGGGTACTGGCAAGATTAGGCGCCTAGATATAACCTCTCAGGGAGAGCGCCAACCAGACGTCTTGAGCTATACACTTTAACACCCACACCATTTCACACTGACTAACCAAATGACCGCGACTCTTGGTGAGGGACAGCGGAAATCTAAGGGGCTAGTCTCAAAGAGTTGGCAATCTCACTCGAGGTGGATTTGGTAGATGTCCGATGTGGCCTGCTTTCCATTCCAGCCACCAATGATGTATAGTCTTGTGCCCACAGCGCTCATGGTGTGGCCATACTTGTGGGCAATTTCCTGATAAGTTTGGGGAACAGTCCATCGCTCAATGGAGGTTCCAGGGCTTGATTCAAGTAGGCGGAACGAACCTGAACCTTCTTGATTACAAGCTCTATTCTGAAGGCCCCCACTGCCCCAACCTCCAAATACAATTAAACCATTGCCAACTTTCGTTGTTGTGTGACCATGCCTCTTCGAAGGCGGTTCCCCCCCCTGAATAGTTGACTTCGTCCAGATCATAGTCTCGGTGTCGAGTTGGCGCAAATCATTGTGATACTGCGGCACAGGAAATATTGAACTAACGGTACAGCCACCAAAACACAAGATACGACCGTCAGTGAGCAGGCTGAGAGAGTGGCCATATCGCGGCGATGGTTGAATTCCTGCACACCTAGGCTGTACCCACGTAAAAGTATCAGAGTTAAAGACCCAAAGATCACCCATGCACTGCATATGGCCGTCCCAACCACCATGGACCACAACTTTCCTGCCCACAAGCAAGGATGCGTGAAAGAATCTGGGTGATGGACATGCGCTTGTAACTGACAGAGGGACCCAGCTCCATTCAACTAAGTCAAGGAAATACATATCTCTCAGCGTGCCGACTTCCCCACGACCTCCAAAGACGAACATCCGTGAGCCAATCAACTCCGCGGAATGCCCGTATCGAGGTGTTGGCGCCTCCCCAGAGCAGGCTACCTTGTGCCACAGATGATGCTCTGTGTCAAGAGTAAAAGTATCGTTAAAGTACGCAAATCTTCCGCCGGAAGTGTAGCATGAACCACCAAATATGATGACCTGATCCTCCGCCATCGCGGCGGAATGTCCACCGCGCGCGGAGGGGCTGTCTCCATCGGTAACGATTCGGGCAAAGCTTAAAGCCGGCATGCCTCCGTTACCTTGCATTTCTCGCGGTATGTACAGTAAGTATCTCGTGAAACAGGGATACCACGGCCGTGACTATGAAACTAATACGCAGTAATACTCCTACTCGCCCCAGGCGCGCGCCTTGATAGTAGCCGCGGCCCGCGCGGCAAGAGTGAGGAAGGACACACTCCCCGCGGTCGGCGTCGCGGGCCCTAAGTCCCTTCCACTGGCCGCACGGCGCGTCGGCGCGTCGTTCCAACATCCGCTGGAATGCACACGTACGTCATACCGGTCGAATTTTGTCGATAGATGCCGAAGCGGCCCGCGATCGACATTCACCGAATATGCTCTCGCGACCGGCCGTGGGTTGACATGTGGCGACGGATAGCTGGTGGACTTCTGGAGGTGCACCGCTGTTTGCGTTGGTCAGGTGCTTCTCTACATTCGCATACGTATAACGATGAAATTAATTGATATAGAATATATGATGATGTGCTTACGGATTTACCCAAACCTGAAACTCGCGTGGTACGCCGCGGCGGCCCTTTTCGAGAAGAAGAAGGAGGGAGGTCCGTGCGACCACCTTACTCTGTCCTAGCCCGACGGATGGGTCCCGGAGGAGCGGGAGCGACTAGGGGGTCGCGCGCCGTGTAAAACCCGAACCCGAACCCAGATGGCTCTCACGGAACCGACCCAATAATTGCCGGCATCCGGCAAACTCGAGTGCACAGTTGGGCCAGCGTAAAATGACCGCATCCTGTCGTACTTTGGCGCGTAGGCGTAAAAACTTTTAACTGCCAGAATGAGGAGCTGCCAGCGAGTCTGTTTCTTTTGCTTCGAATGGAGTATGCTTGCCCTAGGACCATGCCTAATCACCACGGTGCTGCTACTTGTGACCTGGGAAATATATTGGGTCCTGACCGCACTCGTCCCACGCATCAGCCCGCTAGGGACGACGAGGTGGTGGGCGCACGTCACCTGGATTTATTTCCTATCATTTAATGGACTCTTCAACTATTTCTCCTGCGTGCTCACCGACCCTGGCACTCACTTATCCCCATTATACCGTGCGCTAGTCCTTGTGGCAGATGTGGACGGTGCGCTTGCCCCTTCGGACGTGGCTACAGGCCTTACGAGGGAGTCATTGTCACATACCAGAGCTTTGACCGCATCGTGGCTTGAGCGCGGTCCTTATGAGTGGGGTTATTGCAAGCAGTCGCGGGGGCCAAAAGCCCCGCGGTCTCATTATGACCACGTAACCCGCAAGCTTGTTCTCAATATGGACCACTATTGCCCTTGGATGTTCAATTGCGTCGGTTTTGCAAATTATAGGTATTTTGTGCTCTTTTTGTTTTATGTTACGGTAGCATGTGGTTATGGTGCTGCGCTTACCTTCCCCGACTTCTCAACAGTCGCTGGGCTGCGGAGTTTTGCTGCGTTTCGTGGTCCACGCCCCACAAGTCGCGCCCATACTGCGGTCATGTTTACCTTTGTTCTTTCCATCTCGGTTGGAATCGCGGTCATGCTCCTTTTTAGCTGGCATCTCTATCTTGTTCTAACGGCTCAGACAACTATTGAGTTCTATGGAAATTGCACATTGCGCCGTCGCGCGCGTGTGCGAGGCCATGACTTTCGTAACCCTTATCATCGCAGCTACTCCACGAATTGGCAACATTTATTTGGCACCATGCGCCCTATAATCGCACTCCTGCCGAGCTCTCGTCCACCTCCAGGGAGGCCGTGGCCTTGCTTCCAGCTGCGGCCTTGCATGGTGAAATCTGAAATCGAGGTCTGAACCTCATGAGGTTATTGTTCAGATATCATCCACCTGATAGAAGAACTCGGGAGCATCATTATCCCGTGACCTTACTTTCTTAAAATGGCGGCGTGGCTGCCAATGATCAGGATGCCCCTTTCGGACCCTTCCTTGTTCACATACGGCGGATGCTCAAGCGGCAGGCACGGTCGTCTGACGCAGGGAACTTCCAGACGGCAAAACTTACCTTTAGGCGGTCCAGATGGCCCTGGCTGGGTACTATTAAAGGCGTCGCCGCGGACGCGTAGACGGTGAGAGCGAGGACTCCTCGAGGACACGTGGGTACTTTATGTAGAATCTCAGAAATAATCCCAGCGGCGCTGCTCGCGACTGCTTTCGGCGAATCCGGAAAATCGACCCACCCTGGTGTCCTGGGGGAATTCGGGGCCGTAGCGGCGCGTCGCACACGTTTCTTGTACGAGAGGAACGGTGCTGCGATAGAACTGCCCTTGGTCGTACGTGGGTGTCGGAGCGATGCTGTGGGCCGACGGAGCCGCCGAATTTTACGGCCCACGAACGCCAAACCTCCCTGCGTGCATACGTCATGGCGCTCGGAACGAAGGCGTAAAACCAGATCGCTTAGTGAACGGAACGTTCACGTGGTGTGTATAGATGTGCTCGTGGCGCGGGACGACGTGGCATTGCGTATACAGCGATCCAGTCACGTCGCGAAGCTACTGGCGGAACTAGCAGAGCTGTGCGGGGCGCGCGGTGCGGCACTGCGCAAATCGCGCCGTCGGTCCCTAGTTTGCGCCCACAAGGGCGGAATCGAACAAAAAAAAAGACTCGGAGCTTTAGGCGTTTCTCTTTTTGCGCAAAGGCGTGGCCGTTTGATCAAAAGCGAGCCATTGGGAGCCTGAGCCATTGGGAGCCTGATACCCTGGGTGTTGCTAGTGGGAGCCTAGTACCCCCCAGGTAAAAGGCCGACAGGATATGTTACAGGATATACCCTACTTACTATCGTGCATAAGCCCCTGCTGAGACGCTATCGACACTCAAGTTCGCCATGCGCGCCAAGCGCGTGACCAATGTACCGCGCCTCAACGAGGACCTTGACCAGGCATCACTACTGCGCAAGTATGAGCGAGAGCTTAGACGCCTCAGTGCCAAGCTCGAAGAGCGAAATCGCAATGTAGTCGATCAACGGTGTCTACTCGAGCTCGAAGAGCGCCGCCGTCGCGCCGAGAAGAACAAGCATGGAGGACGCAGGCGCCCACATCTCGTCGCTTGGCGATCTTCGCCCTCCGGCCGTCCCAGGCCTCACAAGGGCGACAGGAAGAAGTGGAATCAAAAGAGAAAAATAACACCGAGAGACGGTTTTAAGACGTATACATGAGGAACCGCGAGTATTTATTTGACCAATACCATATTGGACTCGGGAGAGAAATATATGCCGTCCGTAAATTCATTCATTTTTACATCATTACCTCCTAGGATTATTTCGTGATTGTAGGATTCCGCCTGATCTCAAAGATTCCTTTCTGAGGTGGCAAGGCGCCTCCCAAGCTCGCCTTGGCCGGCCTGTTTCAGCGCTTCGACAGACGCACGGATGAGGCGCCGCAGTGCGCCAAGATCTTTGAGTGCAAAGGCACGTGCAGCACCGGGCGCTACGTTTTGACGGTCGAGATTTGAGGCGACGCTGTCGACCAGGACCGCAATTTTCTTTTCGAAGATGGTCTGGACAGCATGGCGCTCCTTGTCGCGAAGCTCAAGTAGGGTCAAGAGCTCGGCGACGCGTTTGTCTGCGCTTGTACCACCGGCCGCAGCACCACCGACCGCAGCGGCCGCGGCAGGAGCACAATCAAGGGGTCGCATTAGCTTTGCATTATCTGCGCGGCGCACAGTGACGTCATGTCGAGCTGCGTCTGCCTCGTGAAGTGCCGCCCGCGCTCCACCCTCGAGCTCAAGGCGCTGAATTTGGATGCACTGGGTGGTCTTCTCATCAAGCTTGTTTTCGAGCGCAGCCTGGTTCCGATCATACGCTTCAAGCTCATCCTGGAGTGCCATGATCTGCTCATCGCGCTCATTGAGCCGCTGAGTTAGCGCGATCATGATATCGCGCTGCTTGAGCAGTAACTGCTTGTAGCGCTCGACCTGAGCCTTCTCGTGCTCAATACGCTCACGCTCACGCTCGAGATCGGCCAGCCGCGCGTCGTACTCTGCCGCTGTGTGACGTGCAGGCGACACCTTAGCGTCGTCGATGCCGCCTACCCTGCCACCGACCATCCCGTTCCCCCCGACATCAGTCGAGATCATCTGCGACGTAAGTTTTAAAATACGCTCCTCGAGACGCGTCTTATCCTCCTTTTCGCGCATGAACTCACGCGAGCGTACTTCGAGCGCGCGAATCGCCGCACGCTTGTCCTCCTCGGCGCGACGGCGGCGCTCTTCGAGCTCGAGTAGACACCGTTGATCGACTACATTGCGATTTCGCTCTTCGAGCTCGGCGCGGAGGCGTCTAAGCTCTCGCTCATACTTGCGCAGTAGTGATGCCTGGTCAAGGTCCTCGTTGAGGCGCGGTACATTGGTCACGCGCTTGGCGCGCATGGCGAACTTGAGTGTCGATAGCGTCTCAGCAATCGACTCAGCTGCTGGCGAGATGGTCGCCAACATGGTTGTGCGACAATTGCCGCCAAGTGAGTCCTCCAGGAGCCGTGTGAGCTTAGAGTCGCGGTAGGGGACGTGCTTGCGTGTAGTACCGCTTGTCTGCCGCGTAGCAAGGGCGGCTATTACATTTCCGAGGGCTGACAATGACGCATTGATCTTCTTCGATTCTTCGAGTCGCTGGCCAGTAGCGCCTGAGACACCGACACGCTCGGAACCAGCGAGGTCGACAAGATTAAGCTTCCCCACGCGAAATGTTTGCTTGACTCGGTTTTCCAGGCGCGCGAGTGCTTCGGCCCGCTTGAGGCCGGCCGATCGCATTTCACGGGCAAAATCGTCTGGCGCCAACTCACGTCCGTCCTCACCCACATAGACAGTCTCCGAATGCTCGACGATAACGACAAAAACTGCGTGTGACCGCGACGAGAAGTCATTCATCCTCGTGGCGCCAGTTGCGCGAGATCGCGAAGCGCGGTCCATTAGCGCGTAGACCTCCGAGGGCTGGCGAACAACCCACTCAGAGAGACCGTCGACGTACACGCCGCGCTTGGGATCCTCACGGATTGCGAGCGCTTCAAGCGGCGATGCTACCGCACTGGTTCCCTCAGGTGCTATGCCGTTGCGTGGGGGCGCCAAAAGATCCGAAACGATCTCCTGGTAGATCTGGATGCAAGACGCACGCGCGAGGAAGCGCACGTTTTTCTGTGCGTGTCCTGCAACGTGACGGAAGATCTGTTCGACCGACCGTGGGATGATGCCACGTGCAACCGGATCACGGGCCTCAGAGCCGTCCATTGTGTAAGTTTTTCCAGTGCCTGTCTGACCATACGCAAACATCGTGGCATTATAGCCCTGAAGGCAGCTCTCTACAACCGGCTGTGCGGTTGTTTCGTAGACTTCCGCTTGTGTGCTGCCAGCATCGTACGCATCGTCAAACGCGAACGTGTGCACCGCCACGCTGCGCTGGCGATTGATTGTCGGCACATCGTTGTCCACGTCGCTAATTGTCACCGTCTGCAGCCGCTTATCCACGCGCGCTACACTCCCCGACGACTCGTGCGCGAGTAGCGGCCGTACACGGACGACTACCTTGACCGCATCGTCATGCCCCCTGGGGGAGCGCGCCGCCGACGATCGGTCTAACTCATCCATTATCGACTGAATTGGCCCGCCGGCGCCCGCGGCGCCCGGGCGACGACGACGGGTTTTTAGCCCCCACCCCGCACGAAACGCGCGCGCGCGGCCGCGCGGCGAAGAGTATGGCGGCCTTGTCCGCCCCCAGGGAGCGTCAGCGGAGGCTTAACGCGCCGTATGCAGGGAGCCCCTCGCCACTCCAGCGCTTGGTAGTGTGCCTACAGGAGGCGAGTGCACCTGCGGCTCCGTTGCCCTTCATTGCGCCGATTCCCCGCCAACCGACGATTTGGTCACGGAGGCGCCTGTCCACCATGACCCGAGGGCAAGCCCACGATGTAACGGACTCACTAGACATCGGTCGACGGGGGCTTGAGCCCGAGTGGTCGCGCCGAGGAAGAGCGACGACTCTATATCAACCACGCCACACGGCCGTGAACATCGAACCATAGTGTACTACGGCCGAGGAACACCAGGCACCGCCTCGATATTGAAATCAGTGACATGGCGTCGAACGCCGGGTCCTTGGCAGTCCCTTTTTCATTATAGGTAGAATTGATTTGAGCACCTCGCCCGTGCTGCCCGGTGGTCGCGTGCCGAAGTTTGTGTTTCAAATTTGGCGGTTCTGGTGCTGTGGCCCAGGAGCGCCAATTTAGGCAGCGTTTTTTGCGCGCGGCGCGTGCCGTAGTGTGTATAGAGGCTGCTGGCAGTGTGCGGTGTGTGTGGAAATTTAGTAACCGTGTATCTGGAAATTTAGTTAGGCCCGCGAAGTTACCGCGTCAGGCGATCTATTCGGCAGCCCATGAGGTACCCCGGCCGCGCGTGCGCATCCGCCCCACGCCGCGAGTACCCGAAGCCCTAGGTTCCCGGCAAGAAGCGGTTCTGAAATACCTGCTACGTAACCGCGGACTCCCCATCCTGGTCTGGAAGCGCAAAAAGTGACCGCAGCCTCTTGAAGAGCCCAACTGGGAATTTGAACCCTAATATCAGGGGACCGGACCGGGCCCCCGTAGTCTCCCTTCCTGATCACTATGTTTAACTGTTCATTCAGACTAGTGCCTTTTTTCAAATTCTGTTGGCGAGAAGGGGCAAGGGGATATATCCAAACAAACATTTTAACAGCCTAAGAACGAACGAACGAACAAACAAAAAGAGGCTTAGGAGCTTACCGTGCCAGTGACTACTCCCCCTAGCCGGAAGTCGGTTAATTCGTTGGAGTAACATTCTTCCTTACCTTCTCTTAGCTCTAATTAGAATGAATTAGCCTGCGACGCTTAAGGCTCCTTGGAGACTTCGAAATTTATAGGGGGGTCGAGCGCAATAGTCGACGTTGGCAGCCTGAGGTTTTGGCGCAATTGAGCGTACAGCCACGCGGCGCCGACCGAATGGCGGCAAATTTTTGCTGAGGCGCAGGTTCCGTATGAAACCCGCCCGAAACCCAATCGCTCCAACGGACGGGATAAATCGGCCTCTAATTCCCCACTAATTATTTCCTATCGTTCCATTATTAACTTCCATATCTATATAGGGCTGCTAGGGAATATCCGACTTCCGAGGCTGGCTGCTTATTAAGTAAGTGACTACTAGTAGAATACCTCTGAGTCCGAGTCCGAGTTTCTTCTTCGGCGCCCATAATAAATACCCCGGGGGGTAGAGGCCGGACTTCGGACAGACTCGGGCCGGCGTGGACTTGATGCGTATCTGCCCGCGTGGGGCCGGCACTAGAGGCGGGCTGGCAATTAGTTTGCCTCAGTGAAAGTGATAGGAGATCGCTTTGCCTCTGCGAATGCGTGCACCGTGCGTAGGTGCTCGCATGAAAACTAGTGCGACTTGATTGACGGAACTAAAGTTCTTCTTCTTGCCCGCGCCCGTCGACAGCACCGTTACCCACGAGCCGGAGCTTAGATGCGCATCCGCAGCGCACAAAGCAGGCGGAGGTTGTTCGCGTCGAAGAGGGGCAAGTCAGTCTCCTCTAGCTTGGTAGCCGGCGGTCCTTCGTCGATAAAGAGGTGCCGTCCAACGCGTCCGTGCCCTATCTCGGCTGCAACAGTCCACTCAATCGTGAGAGCGCCGCATGCGACTGCTGCGTCGCCAGGCGTTGCCGCACCTTGATCAAAGACCCTACTTCGCGCCCGTCGAACCGCCTGAAGGGTCCGCGGCGCGTCTGGCGCGGCGCGCCTGGCCTCCTTCGCGACCGAATGAGTGTACCGTGCGGCGGCAATGGCCGCGTCAAACAGTGCGGCAGCTGGTGCCGTGCCAGTAAGTGCGTTCATGGGAGTGGCGAGGGCGACGTGGTGGACCGCGACGCGCTCACGCGGTAGAATCTTGACGCCGACAGTGCATGTCTCTGCTGCACGGACGTCCGTGACGAACATGTCGGCGCTGCCCACATTTGCGACCTCAACAGTGAGTACACGGCCGTGGGCGTGCGTGCTGACACAGAGTGACGGTGCGATGATGGCAGCAACGACGAGCGGCGCGAAGCGCGTGAGCGGCGCTGCCGCGGCTACGGTGGCGCCACGTGCGCGCGCGTGCCTGGCAAAGTCATCCTTCTCAGGGTCGCCATCGTGTATCGCCGGCCACGCAAGAGGAGCTACTATTGCCTGCGGCCCGCTGATTGCCTCATAGCAGAGAGCTGCGTGGAGTGCAGCGGTCCCCATGCCACTAGGGGCGCAGACATGTGCCGGAACGTCGCGCGAGGCGCCTGGCTTAATGGCGTCCCCCACACGCCACGCATTTCCCGACGCATCTAGCGGGTTTGCAAGTGCCAGCCAGGCGCGCTCTGTGCGAACGGTTAGGGAACCGGCGCGCGCGCGACCCACGTTGCGCAGTCGCAAGTGCGTGCGCACCACCTCACCCTCGAGTGCACGCCACGGTCCGCCACAGTCGGGTGCCAGTGTGGCTACGACACGTGGGAGATCTCCGACGATGTGGATTGCCAGCGAAGCGTCTGGCGCGCGCGCGCCACGTGCGCGCTCGTCACGAGTCCGCCTGAGTGTTGGCCCCGCACGCGCAATCGCGGCAGCGCCCCAGACAGCGCCAGCGAGGCGCCAGCGAACGCCGACGACTCGCAGCGTACCCGTGCGTGTCGCACCGCACCGAAGGCGGACGACTCTCGCGCCAAGGGCAGGCACAACTATGCGCGTTCGCTCGGCAATCCACGCTGGCGTAGCTACGTTGGCGGTGTCTGCAGCTTGCCTCAGCTCTGCGAGGAACGCGTCATCAATAGGACAGGAAGACACCATGTCGCATGGCAGAGGCATCGGAGGCGGCGGCGGCGACCACGGTCGGCGGGCCGCATCGTGACCCACGTCCATCGTGCAGACAAGCTCAACAGCATCAATATCGAGGGGCGCGGCAAGTGGATTTTGCAAGGTCACGTCGACAGTGACGACTTCTCCGCGACCGCACCACCGTGGCCACGTCGCGCGACGCGCTCTTTGGGCGACCGCGTCAGCAAGGTGCGGCGGCCGCTCGGCAGCAGTGTCCTGAATGCTCTCGCCGGCTTTTGCTAAGCCGGCAAGTCGCTGCGCCCAGTCCACGGTACCACCACTGACTTCAAAAGCGAGCTCGTCGGGCATGCGTGCGCAGATGCCATCGGCAATAATGGTGGGCGCGGCGAGGCCGACAATGACAATGTCGTCTATCGCATCACGGCGTGCGCCCATTGCGGTCGAAGGAGGCGTCGCGAGCGCGTCAGCAACTGCGGCTGGGTCCTCGCCACCGCCGCAAGAAGCGCTGGGCGGCTGGTCGCGTGCAAGCAAGGCGGCGGCCACTCGGAGCGCGTCCGGATGAGCACGTGCCTGCGGCGAGCATGTGTTCTCCGCAGCCACCATCCATGACTACGTGGCGAGACGATGCGTGCGCACGGTTGCCAGGAATGTGCGCAGAAGCGCTGCATGGCGCAACGGCGGTGCACGCGCAACCGCTATGAGCGCCTGCGTGGCACTCGATCGATTTAATGGGCCTGTCACCGCACCGACTCTGTCGAGGAGACCAACGGAATAACTCTTAAGTGACAGGGCACTGGCACGCGCCAGAGTGCATCGAAGTGCGCGCGCATGGTAGCCGAGTGCCTCGAGCCTACGAAGTGGGTCGCTTAGCGTCTTCTAGCGATCGCACGCGTCGCACGTCCGTCCTTTATTGCACGGTCGCCGCACTGGCGGCCGAGTGCGTGCTCGATATGCTCGTCGATGCGAGGCCAGCCGCACGATGCCGTACCACCAGCAGCAATTCGGCATAACGAGGCATACTTCGCGCGCGCAGCAACGTAGCACTCGACCGCGTGCGCATCGGCGCCGCATGCGCGGTAACGATGCCCCGCCATGACAAGATGCAGTGCACCTTTTCGATTGAGTCCGCCGGCCATGTAGCACCATGCCGCGCGCTCGTATAGGACTGCCACACATGGGCTCATTTCGAATTGGGCAGCAGCGACCAACGCGTCGGCAGCCGCCGCGGCCGCCGCGTGTGCCTCGCGGCAGCCATTTTTGGGCATACGACGACGGGACACCAGTGGTGACTGCGTTCTGTCGGCAGCCATCGCGGCGCGGCAGTCGGCTGAGACGAGCGCTGCACGCGTGAGCGCACGAGCAGCGCACGTCGCGCGTTGTTCTAAGCGCACATGAGCACCAGTCGCATTTGTGCGGCGCGCCTTGCCAGCCGCAGCGAGTAGCGTCGCCACGGCTGCGTCTGCAGAGGCAATAGCGTCGCGCCAAAGAACGCTCGTGGCGGCTTTGGTGTCGGCGCCAGAGGCAGATGTGGCCGCGGATACGACAATAGATCCACCGCTGCCACGTACGGCGAGGCCCAGGAGTGACCGGGCAATCATTTCATGAGCAGCGCCAGCATGGAGTAGCGCGCGGTCTCGCTTGAAGTCGTCACGCGCCAAGCGGTAGTGCGCGAGGGCAGTTTCGAGGTCACCGATAGCAAACGCTGTGTCGGCAAGGAGGCGAATCTGGGCCTCGATGGTTTCATGCGGGTACTGGGGCGGCGACATGTCGGGACTGGCGAGGGTGGCCACGGCTCCGGTAGATGCTTGTGGTGGCAACCCTCCGTCACGCGGCAGGCGGAGCCAGCTCTTGAGGACATTTCGGACGCCCCGTCGTGATGCGGCCACATTTGTGTGGAGCGCGGCCACTCGGCGTTCAAGCGCCGGAACAACAACAGCGTGCACTAGCTCAGCGGCGAGACGACGTAAGCCGTCGGCGTCGGCTGCGGAGAGACGAGGGAAATGCGCATCGTGTGGCACGTCCGAGCACGCGCCTTCTCCGCCAAGTGCCACGAGCCGCGTGACCGCAGGTGCGGCGGCAACAGCAGCTGGAAGCGCATCGCGCGCGGCAGCAAGTGCGTCGCGCGCAACGCTTGCGCCGTGCTCACTGTCGTGGATAATTACAACGTGGCGTGGCGTCACGCGTGCATCGTATCGGCCGTCTGCGAAGCCAGGCGCGAGGTGCCGCATTGATGCTAACTCTTCAACTGCTGCGCCGACACCTGCCGGTTCAGATGAAGCGACCACAACGACCACGGCCGCCGGGCAGGCAAAGCTCTCGTGCGACGCGTGCGCCAAGGTCGCCTCTAGCGCGGTGCGCCACCGCAGAGTCCACGCGCCGGCCTCCCGGCGCGCGCAAAGGGAGGCCAGCGCAGTGTCAGCTCGGGAGTCGAGCAGCACCGTCGTGTCTACTTGTTCATCGTCGCGCAGCGACACAGCGGCCGCCAATTTGGTCTCGTCTTCAGCCGCTGGCGCTGACACCATGTCGCCGGCGGCGAGAAATCGCACACTCAGGCCTCCGGGCAAACTCAGGCGCCTGGACGCCGAGCGGAAGGCCAACGGTCCGGTTGCGGCCTCCGCCACATATGCTGCCAGCAGGTCGCGGAGACCAAAGCCGGCGAGGCGCCTGACGACGCGGTTGGCCTCGGAAGTCTCGACGCAGCAGACAACCGGACCGACGCCGGCGCGAAATTCCTCCTGGTTCGTCGAGGGGGGTCGCGCATTGGTCGCCTTGATGGGGTCCATTTGAATCCGTACCTCGGTCTGCTCCGCTCCGCAGCCGTGGCCTGGTTCGTGGCGTCCAAAGCTAGGAGCAACGTAAACCGCAACGTAAACCGCAACTTCGCGAGTGCGGGCGTCTAACTCGACACGCCGAAAAGGCACGTCGCGCGACGGCGGAAAAAAACAACGCGCGCACGCGCACTGTCCGCGCGGGCCCGAACAGTCCTCTGGCAGCAGGAGAACGACGTAGTGGCGGCACAAAGCTGCTTAATTTACCTCTTATGCTAGAGCTAAAAAATCAAGGCTTGCAGTGTCTTAGCCTAATGTGGTACTAGGAGCTTGTATTATTATCTGCGAAATCGTACCCTGGCCTAACGCTAGTAGGATCCTCCCCCCCTTTCTCCTATCTTGTTCGCACTACATTCAAGCCTGTCTCACTTTGTCCGCGGCGCGCGCGGCACCCGCGGTTCGCGCTGTGACGCCTCTGCTAAACGAATTGCGGCGGCGCGGGCAGGGGTCTGCCTAGTAGAGCCCTAGCTCTAGGTAGAGAGTCGCTCTGCCTACCCAGCTCGGACGAAGTCGAGCCATAGGACGCTGCAGCCAGGCGGTTGTCTACGCACTCTGGCCGAGCTATTTTCGTGGGAACATGATGACGATAGACAAAAAACTTCAAGTTGAAATGTATTACTAGTAAACACCAAAACTGCACTAATGGTGCTCCCGCCAGACGTCGTTCGCCAGCTCGCCCGATTGCTCCCAGGCCGGCGCGCCGTCCTTAGTAAGCTCTTAGTGGAGCTCCAGGGGACAACAGGTAAACCCGGCCCGGGAATATTTACCCAGCGGCGGCGTGGCCGCAGGGGAGCTGTTTCGCAAAATCGGGAACCGACTCCGAGTCAGCAGTGGCGTTCTCGGGAGTAAGCGTAAACGGTCGTCACGGTTTCCAAGTCGCCCGTGAGTGGCCGTGGCACGCGTCGGCGGCGTGCGGCATGCGTCACACACTATTTTGGTACAAGCGAAACCGCAGCGTGGCACATGCCCGCCTGCACATAGGTGCGGAAGCGATGCTACGAGCCGACAGAGTCGCCGAGGTCACCGGAAACGGCCCGCGCATGGCTAAACTCCTGCCGCGCTTATGTCGCGGCGCGCGGCGCTCGGAGCCAAGTCATCTCTGGTGGTCGCTCATGGTGGAGAAACCGTTTACACGGGGCGTATAGAGGTGCTCGTAAAGTCGCAGGTGGTGGCGTTTGCGTACACGTGGACGCGTTTTTCACTCGTACCTGCCAGCGAAAGTAGCAGAGCTCGGTGCGCGACGGCGCGGCGCCTCGCCGGAATTGCGGCGGTTAGCCGAGTTTGGCACGGAAAGGCCGGGGTTATCGGCGCTATTTTGCGCGCGCACACAGGGGCAATCGGTCGAGAATCGAGAAGGCCAAGGACCATCCCTGGATACTCTGAGATGGATTAGAGGTTCACAAGACGCCCGTGTGTGCGTGTGTGTCTCTCTCCCGCGACGCAGCGCAGACGTCCGGCGGCTACGGCTGGCCCGCGTCAACGACGCTTTGAAAAAAAAAAAAACGCAACCACCCTCGACGACGCGCGGCCCCCGCGGTACATCACCACCCATCGAGCACGGGGTATCTCTCCTAGGCTTCGAAACGCACCGGCCACTCATATATAAGTAGAGGAATCTTACTAAGGGAGGCGGCGATAGCGACGCTTTCGGGCTCGACGCGACCGACGCTAGTATTCCCAGTTCCCAATACCCCTCCAGAAGCGCTTCAACGCTGTGAACTTGGCTCTGTCCCGGTCGTTGCCAACGATAAAATTGGTCATAATATAGAAAATTGCTTGCATGGCCGCCAAGCCGCCGCGGTCGTGAATCTCCTGGCCGATGTCTCTGATTCTTGATAATGTCCGGATGACGTGCTCCTTCCCGTCTGGAGACATTTGGTCCGGCTTCGAGGCCAGAAACAGATCCATTTCGCCTACCTGATCATCTGAAGTACCTAAATGAAGTACCTAAAATGGACACAATTGCTTACTCGCGGATCTCGTCCCTCACCTCGCCCGCCGAATGCGCGACAACGGTTAACGGTGGCCCGATGAGAGCCGGTGGCCCGTGCTCGCGGAGCAGGGCCAGCGCGTCTTGGTAGCTGCGACCGAACTGGCGCGCCGAACGGGTAAAGTTCGGGCCCAGGACCACGCGCCGCCCGACGTTCGCCGCATCCCCGCCCGCGTACGCGTCCATCATACCGCCGTAGAGTTCGGCGCGAATCGTCGCCTGGTCAGCTCGGAGCTCGTCGGTCTCGACCGTGCGCTCGACCTCGCCCATGCCGCCGCGCGCGGCCGTGCTGTTTGGTCAGTGCACTGGAACAGTTTTCGCAGGAGCACTCGGCACACGGGCCGCGTGCGACGCACGCGAAGCGGATGAGCTTCGAGCGCTGTGAAGGCGCGAGTCGCCGCCCGCGACGCGGAGAAACGCCGCGCGGGCGCGTGTGACCGCTGGAGCAAAAAAAACGGGTTTGGGGAGCGGGCCCGCGGCGCACGGCCTCTCAAGGAGTCGCTTCCGAGGCTGAATCTAACATTATTTCGCCGAGCGTGAGATCGGGGGGGAGGGGGAGGCTAACGCCTCCTCCCCCCCGAACCCCCCCCACCCCCTCCTGTGTTGCTGGAGCCGAAGTGCTCCGTGGAGCCGACGTCTAGGGCGGCGTCCCGTGTACGGCGTGGAATACGCTCCCCGAATTTTTATTTTCCGAGCCGACGCGCGCCCGGCGGGCGCCGGACCGGGGACCCATCCAAAAAAACAGGCGGCGGCACGCTCGCGACGCCGACCCGAACGCGCCCGAAGCGCGAGGGCGCTCGCGGCGGACGCGGCGCGGAAAAAGTTGACTCGCCGTCGGCCGCGGCCACGCCGCCGCCCGGGCCCGGCAGGGCGCGCACGGCCGAGCTGGCCACGGCGAGGCGCCCGCGACCGATGCCGACTCCGGCCCGACGCGATCGCACCGCGGCCGGGCCGGTTTCGGCGGTTGACGCGCGGACCGTCGTCGGGGCCGCCCGACGCGCGGCCGGCGCGGCAGAGCGACGCGGCGCCGCAGCTGCGGCGCGCGGCCTCCAGAGGCGCGGCCCGGCGCGGCCGAGCCGCGGGCGCGCTTGGGCGGCCGTCACGCGGCGCGTCGCGTGTGTTCGCAGCGCTCGCAGCGCTCACGGGCCCAAAACGCTGGCTCTGCGCGCGCGCGGCGCCCGCGCTCGCGGAAAGAAGCGTCGCGCAGGGGTTCTAGGTCGCCGACGGCGGCCTCGACGCGAAAACTGCGTCCGTAAAGGGGGCGCTGTCCCCCTTTTGGGGGCCATTCCGCAAGCTCACGGACTGGTCAGTAGTGATGATAAAAGAAATAGATTAATCACTAAAGAAGAAATAGATAAATCGCTAGAAATCGAGGATGGGGGTCCGGTCTCCGGTCCACATCATAGCGCTTGGCGAAGTGCTTGGCGCCCTGGCTTTCGTCCGGGCCGGCCCCGCCGCGCCCCAGGCTTATGAAGTATCCCAGGAACTTGAAAGAAAGCCTGAGCGACCACTGGCAACCATCCATCAGATACGACTTCAAGCTCCTACCAGGCAAAATATTATTATTATTACAAAGGTATCAAATTCTAGAGAAGTTAAGCGGTCAGGTCACTCGGACGCTATAGACGACAGTTGTAGCGTATGTACAATGTCATGTGAATCTATGTGACATGTCGCAATCTGCCACTCAGCAGTCTGGAGGAGGGGTGCCTTCGCGCACCGCAGCTGCAAAATTGTCTAGGCCTATTGGATGGACTTGCGTTTACCGTAAATTAACTCGTGGATGGCCTCGCGAAAGTAGAAAAGAGTTGCGCGACCCGCCCAAAATACTTGAGCTAGATAGGGTCGCCAATGAACAAGTGAAGCGTGTACGTGACATGACACATTGCCAAGATGTTGTTTGTGTTTCAGTATTGGGGACTGGCATTTTTTGTGAGGAACCAAACATTATTCATCCGATTGTTCGCATTCACACAATTGACGCTACCACTGGGCACTACTTAAAAGAAATAAAAGAAATAAAAAACCCTGGACGCACTGGCCATCACGGACGAGCATCATCATTGCAGATTAGCTCTCCTGGTGGTGATATTGGGGTGGATGGAATCAATATCCCCATTTTAAGCGTTACTCCAGTTTCCACGGCTCCTTGCCACCTTAAGGGCCTGAGTGTTGCGCCCACATGGAAAGAGACCAGTATTGTTGGCATTCCCTATAGGTGTCTTCTGGATCCCAATGTGATCATACTTTTTGAAATTGTTGATGTCAATCATATTCAATCCTCCTCGCAACATCATGACCAACGTGGAGATGGAGTTTGCGGTCTAGCTTGGGCGTATCTACGGCCGGTGGGGATAAATGGCGATGTTTTAATTAATACTTCCAAACCTGCTATGAATACGAGCACTCTGGAAAGCACAACAAACAAAAGCGGCAAAGATGTTAAGCAGCAATCTATTCAACTTCAGTTGTACAAATACCAGGCACTCTCGTCGCTAGCGAGCTATCAAGCGCATAGGAGGGGCATCTTCTCTCCGCCAGCACCGGCTACTTCAAAAGTTCCTGCTGTCTACTTACAGTACCTACAAAAGCATTGGATTAAACACACCACCACACTTCTTGTTCAGATCAATCCCGTCCCACAACATGAGGGCAGAGTAGTGGCTTTTCATGAAAAAGGGTTCTTATGTCGCTCAAGCATATCTTCAAAGGGGGGGGCTTGCATGACAAGTGACGCCAGAATGCCTGCTGCGCGTCTGCTGAGAGGCCTCCGCACGAGACGCCTCGAAACAGAGTGCTGCGTCCTGCCTGATTGCTTCCTTTGTCGGATCAACCCAGGCGCTCGTGGCGCGACGACAATACAGTTTTCTCCACAGGGGCGACTGCTCGCCGTTGCCGCTGTAGAATTGCTTTGTCATCCTATTCGACTTTATGACGTGACTGGTATGGACGAGGGCATGCTGTCGCCTGGTGTGTCCTCTGCAGCTTCTGCTGCTACTGTATATGGCCTACAAGTGGATCAAAGCCATGAGGGTGCTCTTCTTGTTGCTGACCTTGATGGGCATCATGGCATGATTTATGATTTGCGTTTCACCGACAACGAACGTTATCTCCTCTCTGCATCTGCGGACGCTCTGGTGAAAGTATGGGACCTCGGAGCACTTGCAGCCGTCTCAGCTTCCGTCCGTCCTAAATATGCACCTCGGATGCTGTGTATCTTCCATGAACCTTCTGCTCAATTTTTCTATGCTGCTATCTTTTTTATGAAGAACAACTCCGCTACTCGTGCGCTACCGCTCTATACTCAATCCAAGGAGGATGACGGCAAGAACCATCAGAGAATATGTCCGCACGTTCTTACTGGTGCATTTAATGGAGCAGTTGCGCATTGGGATCCCCGGACAAGTCAATGCCAAGGCCTTCTTGGTAATAGAATAGCACACAAAGGGCGAGTGCATTGTCTTGAGAGTGATCGACGATCTGGTCGAGTCTTCAGTGCTGATTCAAACGGCATCATATTTGTGTGGCGTTGTGAAAGAGACGGTGATTATCCCTCTGACTTCACCATTATTCGGAAGATAGAGCATCGTGATTTTAGAAACAAGCCCATTGTGTCAATGATGATTCGCCCCAGGAGGCGCCGAGTTCAACTTCTTGTCCAGGCTCAAGCATCAACACTCAAGCTCGTAGATGTCACTACCTCCCAACCTGTTGCCCATTTCAAAGGCAACCTTGTGAGAGCAGGAGTGATAAGAGCTAAGTTCAGTCCAGATGGCACCTATGTGCTGGCTGGGTCTGAGGATGGAAAGGTTTATGCTTGGGATACTGTATCAGCTTCTCCAGTTTCATTTTTAGATGGTAAGTTCGGCTACAGTGCACCTCTTTGTGACCTATCGTTTCATCCAAAGCAGCATTTAGTGGCATTAACCTGTTTTGGCGGTGATCATCCAGTACTCGTATATTGTACTAATCGTCCAGACACGCCAAAATTGCTCGATGGTCAAGCTGGTTGCGACGCACGTGCTACAAAGGATCAGCCTAGCGAGATCAAAGCCCGCCGCAAGGCGTTGTCATATCAACTAACAACTGGAAGTAATTAGATCGTAGAGGTTCTCAAATGCTCGACATTCATAGTCCGAAGCTTATAGGCGCGCAACCACCGGCTCCAATGGCGCAACTATACAACCCACGGTCCAAGTTGCATATACTAGTATACCAAATACACCTTTTTGCCAGTGCCCCTGCCCCCCCCCCCCCCCGGGGGGGGGGGGTTCTGACGGGTGGGTGGAGGCCAAATTTTGATGTCCAGGCACAGCGCAAGGGTGCAGATTACGAAGGGGCCTGACCCCGATTAAATCGGGGGCTGTGGCGCCTCCCCTTTAATAGCCCGAACGTCGCAACTTACTACGAAAGGGCCTTAGGGGGTGCCTCACATTCTGGCGGAGTGTGGGGCCCTGAAAATGCGAGGGGCCGGAAGGGCCCCCACGCGAACGTCGCGCCAGTCTAGGTTGGCACTTACCATATCCCGTCGGCGGGATATGTTATACGGCACTTACCCGAGGGGTTATTAACCCCAATCGTGGCCCGGGGTCAGTAACCCGGGTAATTACCCGTTAGTACGGGTTATTAACCCCGCCGGGATCTTATAGTACTAGACTTTCTTATAGAGGGGGAGGGGGAGGGGGCCTCACGGGCCACTGGCGCGGGCCTGGGCCGCGCCGGGCCACATGACTTGGTACTTGCCTTGGCGCACCTGTACGTACCCAAAAGCTCAACGGGCTGCTTGCGCCCATCCGCTCGCCCGGAGGGGTCTTTCGCTAATCTCACTAAACGGGTTTAGTCGAAAACCTGTCGGGTTATTGAGCGGGTTATTGTCCCGGATCCCCTCCGAGGGGTAATTATAGGTTAATAACGGGTAATTAACAGGTAAGTGCCAACCTAGGCGCCAGTGGCGTTTCGCGTCGTGTTTGCGCATCCTCAGGCTACCGACGCCACCGTGACGGGTACCAAGGGGGACTTCGAGGGGGAAATCACCAGCATAGAAGCGAGTTTTGATTTTCACCCCTGAAAACCCGCGAGTTGAGCTAAATACCCTCACGTTAGGTCATTTTGGGCACCTCACCCCATCTCGAGGGGGGCCCCTCCGTGGCAAGCTAGTGTCGCCGTGTGCTTAGGATGCCCCTGGGACCAAACGGGCCAAGTTGCGACGTTCGGGCTATCAATTGAAAATCTCACCAATTTGGCGTCAGGCCCTGTAGATTACGCGTAAAAAAGCGCGTAAATTACGGCGCACTGCATATAGCATCCGGTGGGCCCCTGAAGGAGATCCCACTTTAAAAACGGCGTAAAAAACAAGGAATCTAAAACTACTGCTAGCCTGAGGGCTCTCCTCAGCTAGAAGGCGGCCCGGCCGGGCGGGCCCGGGGCCCGGGAGGTACGCGACCCCGAACGTCGCTGATGCAGTCTGACGCCAGCTGCTCTCCGCGCCGTCATCCACGCGCGTCACATCCCGTAGCATGGTAGGACTCGGATGAGCCTGAGACTCGCCGGACAACTCAGTTTCGCCAGTGAACTTGACTCGGACTCACTGAGGCTGGCCGGGCAGCCTGCCAGTGAGTGAACCCACTCGGACTCGGAGCCTCTACTCGGATACAATACCCATCATCTCAATAGCTATAGCTAATATAGAAGCGAGCCAGCTCGATGAAGCTCAAAAGATTCTTACTGGTAAGGACTATCAATAAAAGATTGAATATTGAATATTGACCAGAGGTACTATCCACCCGGTGTGATCTTGGAATACGAACTTCGCGATAAGAATCGAGAAACAAAAGAGATTGATTTGCTTCATTTAACCCCGGAGTAATTCACGAAAGAGCGATCTCTCCCAAAGTGCAAGGTTGTAGGACCGACGTGCAAGTTCTTGTGAATCAGATAACTTTTGAAGAGCCCCTGATAAGTGAAAGTCGTAAGCCCCAATTACGGCGTTTGATCTACAGTACGTACACTCGGTTCCTTCATCTGATATGTACATTTCACTCATTTAGAACTAATTGAGAAACTCGAGAGCAATGATAGTAGTGATTATTATTTATTTAAGATTCTCCGTGCACATATTCTGCCTTTGACAAATTGTGCCTTCAACAAACAGGGCGACAAATTCATCACCGGGAGCTATGATAGAACTTGCAAAATCTGGCGAACCGAGACTGGAGAAGAGCTATTGACGTTAGAAGGACATCGAAATGTAGTCTATGCGATTGCTTTCAACAACCCCTGGGGTAATAAGATAATCACGGGCTCTTTTGGTACTTTCCCTGGCCTTCCTTACTAGTAAGTTTACTAACTTTACGTAGATAAAACCTGCAAAATTTGGAATGCCGATAACGGGGATCTTTATCATACCTACCGTGGTCACGCCACAGAGATTGTGTGCTTGTCATTCAACCCCAATGGTTCTCTTGTCGCAACTGGCTCGATGGATAATACCGCAAGACTATGGGATGTGGAGTCTGGAGAATGTCTACATACGCTGCTTGGTCATACAGCCGAAATTGTCAGTTTGAACTTTGATACACCCGGTCGAAAAGTCATGACAGGGTCTTTTGACCATACGGTAAAAGTCTGGGATGCCAGGACCGGGCGTTGCATCCATACTCTGGCAGGACACAATGGTGAAATCTCCAGCACTCAGGTCAGTTGCCCCTAGTTTGATGTCAATCAAAAGTACATGCATAGTTCAACTACCAGTCTGACTTATGCATCAGCGGCTCGATCGATAGGACTTGTAAGATATGGGACGTCCCGAGTGGTCGATGTGTCCATACACTGAGAGGACACAACGATGAAATTCTGGATGTTTGCTACAGCGCCACTGGGTCAAGATTGGTGACAGCTTCTGCAGATGGGACATCAAGAGTATTCAACACAATGACAGGGGCTTGTCAATCCATACTCATTGGCCACGAGGGCGAAATTTCGAAAGTAGCATTTAACCCACAAGGCATCCGAATTTTGACAGCAAGCAGTGACAAAACAGCGCGCCTCTGGGATGCCGAGACCGGCGATTGCCTTCAGGTTAGACCATTTATTTTATTCAATTACCGTTCATGGTGCGTAGATACTTGAAGGTCACACAGACGAAATTTTTAGCTGCGCATTTAATTACAGTGGAGACACGATAATAACGGGCTCTAAAGATAACACGTGCCGTATCTGGAAATGTAAGTTGACTTTTAGTAATGCGTCAATAGTTACACTCAATAGTTTAGGCTGAATTGCGAGTGTATCGGCTGAGTCCACAAATCAACATATACTCTGACCTGATAACGAATGGGGAATTGTTTTCGCTGAGTTTTTGATATTTATTTCCGCGTTTCTTGTGTTGCAAGTGGCCGGCACGGTGTACTCGCGGTGTGACTCCATGCGCCCCATGCGAGAGGAGTCATGGTCCCGGGATCTCTCCTGGCGGCCTTACTTAGACTGTACTAAACCCGGTGGCTTCGAGGGAAACTAAAAATGGATAGGAGTCCACAGTGGTCCCCCCCTGGCACCCACTTCCACTGCTCGCCGGCGGATAAAAGTGGTACTATGATTTTTACAATTGCCACGGCTGCATTGCAGGAAGTAGATAAGCAATTACAAGCCGAAAAGGCAAAGATTGCTCAATTACAAGGACAAATGAATGACTCAGGCTCCGAGTTCTAGCTCCGAGTTCTACTAGCTCCCGGGCCGCCGAGTCACTGTCGGATGCCAGTGTAGAATGCCAGTGTGCTACTACTATGCCTTGGAGAATTATTCAGCATTCACTTATATAATGGGTAATAATTCTAATGATGATCTATCGAAATTTAGAAAGGGCCCGGGGGGCCGGGCCCGGGTCATTCTAGGCCGTAGGGTGCAGTTTACGCACGGCGTTTTTACGTGGGATCTCCTGCAGCGGTGCTTTACGCGTAATTTGCGCGTTTTCCACGTAAACTGCACCTTATCTAGGCCCGGGGGGTCAAACACTTAAAATCTTACCGTGACGAGACTCAGGCTGAGAATGATACTGTGTATAGATACCTTACTGCTATTTCGAGCAGGAAGAAGACTCTTAGGAGCTTGTTCCTTTTTTAGGTCTTCCTTAATTTATTTATTTATTTTATTTTCAAGTTATTTATTCAAGTTTGCTTTGCTTAGCCTGAGAGCATTTAATTGCTACTAGTACTATGCTACACTGGCCCGGGCACTAGCCCCCTCTTATTCTCCTCTATAGTCCCACCTTGACGTAATGAAGGTTCACACCCCACTCATACATAGTGCTAGTATTACACGCCGGCGGGGAGTCACTAGCGCCAAACTCACTCACACCGTTGCAGGGGGTCGGTATACCACCGCACCCCTCATATTTCCTGCAAAAAAGGAGGTATAAAAATCCTTCCGGCGCAGCAGGTGTCAGCTAGCGGCCCTTTAAGACACTACTAGTGGCTGCCCCAAACGCTGTCAGGTCCGAGCCAATTGCTAGTTGCATGCTGTTGCGAGCATGGTGTGCACTCTAGGTGCGCACTTGTGCAACCGTGCTCGTGCTGCTATTGAGCTGTGTGGCTACCAAGTCCCTTTTAGTCGCTCTGGCTGCTCTGGACCGTTTCTCACGTAAAAAACGCCGTGCGTAAATCGCACCCTAGTAAAATTGTTGGTGAAGGATCAGGTTTTATAGCAACAATGGAAGATATGGATGAACTCGACATCCCCGCGGCTGGAATGTACAAGCTTGGAGAAGAAATTGTTCAAGGCTCAGAGAAGCTTAAGGTGTTGGAGATCTCGGGGAAAGGCCCGGGCGGCTGGGCCCGGACTCTGACTCGGGAGTCAGGCCCGGGCTCGGCCAAGGTTGTGCGGGTTAGGGGCAGAAAATCTCAATGAGCCTGGCGTGGGCGATTTCGGGGATTTCCTCCGAGAGATAGCAACTGCGGCACCGAGTTTGTCGACGTGCAACTGCACGCCGCCAAGGATCGCTGGCGGAGGCCCCTGATACGTGCAACTGCCCCTGACGCATTTCGCTGGCTATGGTGCTTCCATGGGCTGCCCCGGCGCGGCCCATTGCCCTCAGATGCCCCGCGATAAGTCGAAACGGCGTGACGGAGGCCCAACTTCGGGTGCTGTAGCTCGCGCTGTAGGCGCGCGCTGCCGCGTGCAAACTCACGGCTATCTCACGGCTATACCTTGAGGCACCACCGCCGTAGCTAGCAAAAGCTCAGCCCCTCTAATAATCTACCTGTAAGTAAATTGTAGGTTGAGAGTCGACTCTCAGGAACCGATGATAGAGTGCGGCGACTCGCGCGATTCTCTGCATTTGGTTTATTACGTGCCGCGTCACCGTACGATTTATTATGCGGCCGACAGTAGCCACGTGGATGATTGTGCGCCTCAAGACGTCCTCTTAGATAAATGGCGACGACCTCCATGTTCTCTGTTTCATCGGCTGTCTAGCACGCGTGATTGTTTACACCACGACAGCCATCGTTCGATACTGATGAGCGATGTGAACTCAAATATACCAACACGGCGAGTTACTTGTGAAGTCGTAACTAACAAAATTCAACAGCAATCTAGTGTTTTCTTTCAGCGGGCAGAAGCCGGAACCAAAGCCATCTCTCTTAATTCAGTAACTGGTCTTTTCGACATGATCGGATATTCCATTACTGGTATTGAAGCAACATCTCACTCTCTGTTGGGGGGTTCTCCTGTAGCAGACATGTCTAGTAATGTCGCTTTCAAGAGCGACGAATCTATATTTGAGCTCGCCGGCGACATAGAAAACACAGCTGGGCCATCTCGACTCAACGAATCGCTCACATCGACAAACAGCCATGATGCAGAGAGTGACACAAGTGCCACCAGGACTACTCTGCCTAGCCCAGCCGCAGCAGGTTCCAAATCAGTTACAATAGGCGCTGGTGATCGACCCCTTCTCATTGCGGAACTAATGCCCATGGCCTCTGAGATGCAACCTGCAGTTGCTCCATCCGAGATCGTCCTAGATTGCGTTCACATGGTTTTCAACAACGTTTCACACAGTAATCTCGAGGCTAAGGTCAAGGATATCGCTCCGCTGCTGCACGAGGAACATTTTGGGTGGTTTGCAAATTATTTGGTGGTCAAACGGATCTCCACGCAGCCAAATTTTCACACACTGTACCTGGCCTTTTTGGAGAAGTTAGGTGCAGATGAACCCAAGCAGAAGCTTTTAAAATGCGTCATCAGCGCTGTCTTTCACAATATTGCCAAACTGCTTCGGTCATCAAAAATAACCACATCTACTAGTGAACGATCACTCCTCAAGAATCTTGGTAGCTGGCTAGGACAAATAACCCTGGCGAGGAATCGACCTATTCTTCAACGCCAGCTTGATGTGAAGGAGCTTTTATATCAAGGCTACGAGTCCGGTCGCCTCATTGCAATCTGTCCGTTTGTGGCTAAAATCCTTGAAGGTGCCAAGTCATCTGCTGTGTTCAGACCACCGAATCCTTGGTTGATGGGCCTGATGGCTGTTCTAAGAGATCTTTATGACATCCAGGAACTGAAGATGAACATAAAATTTGAGATCGAGGTTCTCTCGAAGCACCTAGGAATAAAGCTCGACGAGGTCACAGGCCCTGCTACTCTTGCATTTCGATGTCCGCCCGTGAAAGCTCGATCTCCTGATTTTAACATCAAGCGAGCTGCCACAGATCCAATTTCAGAGACCCCGTTTGGCAAAGGACTCTCTTCGAATCCTCCCCACCGAGTAAGTTCCATGTCACAGCAACAAACGCAACAACGTCAACAGGTTCAGTCTGCAGGTTATGCGTTGAAGCGTGAGAACAACGCAGTGCGCACCTTCGCAGCTGGCCAATCTGCCTCGAACATTGCACCAGGGGGGCCTGATTTATTGCAATCACCACTGCCACCGCAAGCACAGCAGCAACCAGGGCTCTCGGAGCAAACTGTGATACCAAACCTTGCATCATACATAACGATTTCTGCGCAAATTGCGTCTGGACCTAGTGGTGCAGCTATGCGCCGTGTGGCACCGGTAGCTGTTGATCGGGCGATTCGAGAAATTATACAGCCTGTTGTGGAACGAAGCGTCACGATCGCGTGCATTACAACGAGGGATCTAGTTGCAAAGGACTTTGCCACTGAACCAGAAGAAAGTCGCATGCGCAAGGCAGCACAGCTCATGGTTTCTAACCTTGCGGGCAGCCTTGCCCTGGTTACATGTAAGGAACCGCTCCGTGTTAGTATTGCTAAACATCTCCGTGCACTACTCCAGCAGCAGCCCGGCTCCTTTTCAGGCAGTGACCAGCACGAGCAACACGCAGTACAAACGTGTGCAGCTGAAAATCTAGACTTGGGTTGTATGCTCATCGAGAAGGCGGCAACTGAAAAGGCCATTCGTGACATTGATGAGGCGCTAGCTCCAGCTCTGAATGCGCGACAAAAGCGCTTCGAACAAGGTCGTGGCTACTCCGATATGATAAGCCCTTTTGGCACTGGCGAGGGGCGATATCCTGCAGCTTTGCCTGAGGCCTTGAGACCAAAGGCAACTGGCCTTCTTGCGCATCAATTTTTTGTCTACGAAGCTTTTCAACGAATGCCAAGACAAGCTCACTTCCCGCAGCAAAGCGCCCATCAAGCAGCCAACCAGCAAGCATCTTCGGCCCACATGCAACAGCAACAAAAGCAAAATCAGCAGCAAAATGTTTCGCGAGTGCCTGAAGCTGCATCAAACCAAGCCCAGCTATCAGGTTACTCAAGCCGTTTTCGCAGTGGTGCCTGCGGCGGTGCTGCCACTCTGTCTGCAATTGCCCAGCAAGCAGCTGCTGAGCGTCCATCCATCTCAATAGCCGAATTGATGGACGCATATCGTTCAGCAACAGCAAAACTCGATGCAGAGTTCGCATCACTCACTGCCAAGATGCCAAATGCTGCTGTCGACATCAATTTTGTTCAATTACGGAACCATCCCATTTCTGTGCACGTCGGCGAGTTATTGCTCGCAGCTGCACGGGTTGATCACACCTCTAGAGATGATGCAGCATTAGCAATAGCGCAATCCACTTTCAAGGCGATGTGTGAGCAACGGGCGCTGGAGCCACCTGTCCGACTTGAGACATTAGCAATTGTCCTTGCTGCCGTTGCAGATATTTCAGCGCATCTTGTGCGCGACGAGGTGGCCAACTGGATCGCCTTTCTTCCCGCACATTCTGATGCTGATCGCTTCCTCCATGCTCATGTACTTGTGCGCCTGCTTGGAGTGGAGCTACTAGATGTTGCTGAGCTTGACGCTTATCTTGCGCGGAACATGGATGGAGGTCGGTCCCAACCTTGGCTTGACGTAGCGCTTAACTTTGTCGAGCTGAGTGTCGCAAAATACCATCTTGCAACATTTCCTGCCGACCTTCAGCGAATCGCGCGGGTTCTAGAAGTTGTCGCACGGCAACCACACCCACCACCTGCCCTCAGGCGCCTTGTTGCTGCTCTGTCTGCAGACCAGCAGGGTCGTGCACACCAGCAGAAGTTGCAACAACAGCAGCAGAAGCTCGAAGAACCCAAGCAGCAATCAGCAACACAGCAGCAATTTCAGCATATCAACTCGGGGCTTGACGCTGGACTCAATGCGCTCAACATTACAGTGAGGAGAGCAATTTCGGGCACAAACGATGTGCAGAGCAATGTCGGGCATACCGTGAATGCGACTTGTGCTGCTCGGGAGTTGCGCCTGGCAAGTATAGTACCGGAGGACCCTGCTGGCGCTAGAGAACAAGTCACGGGGTTATTAGAGCAATGGATCCGCGTCTGGAATGAATCACCTGGGTCCGAGAAAGCCTACGCCCAATATCTGACATTGCTGCAACAACATGGTGTACCGAGAAACGAACAATCAACAGAGCGGTTCGTTCGCCTAGCCACAGTCATTTGCGTTGAGTCATGCGTCGAATCGCGAACAGCGGAGGAGGGTGCAAGCGCAGACAGCTTAGGTGTGCTTACCTATTCAGTTGTCGACGCCTATGCCAAGTTATTGATCTTATTAGTCAAGTATGCTATTCCTGACTCAAGCCCCAGCACTGTATTAGCTGGCACACCGCAGCGCTTGGACCTGTTAAATCGCGTCCTCTTGACCTTGACACGCACTCTTGTGTCCAATTACGACAAAACTGTGGAAATGGATAACTTTGACCAAAGACCCTACTTTCGTCTATTTCTAAACCTCCTTCAGGATTTAAATGTGCCAGATCCAGTTCTTGATTCATCTAACCCACGTGTCTTGGCAGCATTTGCTACTGTGCTGCATGCGTTGCAGCCGGCAGTCACGCCTGGTTTTGCCTTCTCTTGGCTTGAGCTTGTCTCGCATCGAATGTTCATGCCTAATCTTCTGCTCGCTAAGAATCAGAAGGGCTGGGCTTTGATGCACCGCTTACTTGTGGATCTATTTGTGTTTCTCGAACCCTACCTTCGACAGGTTCAGCTCTCAGATGCGGCTCGACTCCTGTATAAGGGTGCGTTACGAGTCCTCTTGGTCTTACTGCACGATTTTCCGGAGTTTTTGAGTGACTATCACTTCTCGTTCTGCGATGTCATTCCATCATCATGCATTCAACTTAGAAATCTTTTCTTGTCCGCGTTCCCTCGTTCAATGCGCTTGCCTGATCCCTTTACTCCAAATCTCAAAGTTGATCTGCTTCCTGAGATAAGTCAACCTCCTCGTATCCTATCAAATTGCGTCATCGCTCTGGAGGCCTGTGCCTTACGCGAGCCGCTGGACGAATACCTCCTGACACGCCACCCTATCTCCTTCCTCCTGGACCTCCCGAGGAAGCTCCTGGATGCAAATACAAACAATGATCATGTTATAACCTCATATAATGTGCCCTTGGTAAATTCGCTTGTAGTCCATGTTGGCATGACTGCGATTTCCCAGCTCCATACTAAAAGTGGGAATCTGCAACAGCCGATCGCTCATAGTACACCTATGGATGTCTTCCAGCACCTCATGAACAACTTGGACTCCGAAGGAAGATACTTTCTCCTAAATGCAATTGCGAATCAGCTAAGATATCCAAACAATCATACACATTATTTTTCATGTGTCCTCTTATATCTTTTTGCTGAGGCGACTAGCGAATATATTCAAGAACAGGTTACGCGTGTGCTGCTCGAGCGACTGATAGTACATCGGCCGCACCCCTGGGGACTTCTTATCACTTTTATCGAACTCATAAAAAATCCTAGATACTCTTTTTGGTCTCATGGATTTACTCACTGTGCAACAGAAATCGAACGAGTCTTTGAGTCTGTTGCTCGTTGTATCCCGCGTCGTGCTGCAACCCACATTCTTCAGAAATGACTCTCATAGGTTCTTGCATGGGCCCCGGCCACGTATCAAACATTACAGGCGAATCAAAACTTGATCAGAGTCAGTGAGTCTCTACTGGGCCCAGTCGCATGCGTCGGCCAATGACGCCAAACGCTAAATCGGACTCAACTATTACCTACTACTAAAAGCCTGAGCCTGAGGCCGGGTGACCTACCCATTGTATTTAGTACCCCTTGCCAGATGGGTAACTTCGCAACTGCGTCTCGCCGCGAAAGTGACCCCTTCCCCCCAACCCGGTCTCGGGGCGTACAAAGGGACTCTTCAAGGGCCGAAGTTTGGGACCCCGCAGCCAAAATCGCCCCTTAGGGGTGACCGTCACAACCCAGCCCGAAAATGGGAAAATAAACCTCTTGAATAGTACGTAAAATATACTATGATTAAAAAAAAAACCTCTTGAATTAAACGAGTGGTGGAGACTAGGGCGGCCGTCGCTGCCATATCATGATGCACACTGGCAAATGTAATTTTAATGCCGGGCCCTGGCCGCTCAAGACGGCTCACGCCGTGCACTGCCAGTCACGGTGCCAGTGCGGCCACTGGCAGTGGCAGCCTGAGGCTGAGTGGCACCGTCACGGTGACGGTGACTCACTCAGTGTCCAGGCTGTGGCAGGCTCAGGCTCAGGCTCAGCCTGAGGCTGGCAATAAATATGTGCAGTTCCACCGTGACGACCGGTACTTGTAGGTATAGTTATTTATAGACCCGTAACTTTAACGTATGAGTTACGGCGTTACGGCGTTACAAGAAAAAATAAGATCCAGGAAGTCCAGGAAGTAGATAAGAACCAGCCCTTTATTTTAAGTCACTGGGTGAATACTTAGAAGCCTGGTCTTCTACACTGTATCGGTAGAATCCCAGAGAGGCTTTTAGCTAACTATTGGATGGCGTCTGACCCTGCCATCTCAATCGGGAACTACAAGGGTGTGATGCTATGCAACAGGCCCTTTGTTGGCGCCGTGAGCCAATCCAAGAAGGGGGGCGCGCCGGCAAAGCAAGCGTTCGTTTGCGGGAAGGTTGACAATAAGCTCGGAGCGACCATACCTATTTCCAAAGGGAAAATCGCAAAAATCAACCAGCGCTCTAGAAAGGAAACAGCACTTCAACGGCATAGGAAGCTGACTGCAGCGCCTATGACACGACCTTGTGCTTATTATTTCTATTAGGTGGTTAGCAGAGTTGCAAGCAACTAAGGATCAGCTGGAAATGCAATATTTAAAGGTGTGTCTGGCGGATTATAGCTGACTCAATTGCTTATGATAAGTTCTTAGGACATTCAGAAAAAAGAGACAAAGCACAAAAAATTCATGGACCGCGAAGCTAAAATGCGTGAGGTAGTTCGTAAGGTAAGGGATGACAGGACCTATGGGTGCGCCGATCTGGACTCTCAAGAAAAATATGACAAAAATCAAGTAAATGACAACGTTGTAATGGAAGTTGAACTATCCCCGGAGGCATCATCAGGCGCTGCAGGAGATTCGTCACGACCCATGTGGGCGCTGACAGAAGACCAGGCAAAAGAATTTGCTGGGGGTATTGAAACTGCAGAGGCAGATGACCTTCTCAGTTTTGCAAACAGTCTAGACTTCGATAAATATATTAATGATACTGAAATTTCAGCACTGGTACAAAATGTCCGCTCTCGTATTTGTGAGCTCGAAGCATATCAGGACTCTGTTTTGAAACGCCCGATCGACACGTCTTTAAGTTGTAAAACTTCATCAGCGATGAAACCCATTTCAGATGATCTGGATGTCCTCTCTGGAGAGCCAGCTGAGTGCTCAGACAACACTATGTCCCTAGTGAAGTCAGTTCTCGCATCAGAAGCAGGCAAGTCGGTTGGCGCTATTCATTCACAAAAGTCGCTGATTGCAGTTACAGAGAAATCGAAGAGCACAATGAAGGAGAACAAACAAGGTTGGGCAGTACCTCTTCCACTAGTTGTGAACCATCCTAATGATGCAACAGGCACCATAGAAGGAAAAAATTCGGCATCAAACCTACCATATATGCATCGCAATCCAGCAATCTGATAAATACAACTTGGTGCAACTGGGATTTTTTAAAATCGCCCAGTAGCCGTCACTTGGCAGTGAAGGCGCTGGGCACTCGGATCTTGGCGCTGGGCAAGACTCGCCAAAAGATAATGACGCCGAGTTTGTGCTATATGCCACTGGAGACCCCGGAGTCGTCGAGATAGCCTGAGCCCCACTGGCATTGACGTGTACTGCCTCTAATGTCGTGTCGGTGCCGTGCAACATCTCGCACGCGACAGCTCAGGCTGATAAGGACGGTTCTCATTGAATCTACCCACTTAATAACTTGAACACATGCGATGCATAGGGAAATAGAATGTGTAGCTCCGGACTTTCCCGGCAGCGTAGTGTAGTCGTCTAACGAAATAGTTTCTCCCATGTTTGATGGGGTTTGTGACGGGGAATTGCGTCCGTCAATAAAAGTGACTCAGGATGATAATAGTTAGGAGTGAGAGGCGACTTCCCCCTACTAAGGGGATATCGGAGTACCCTAGGATGGGAAGTAGCCTAGGCGAGTAATACAAGTACGGGTTGTAGTGTGGCCAACCATATTGCGACCCTCCTCTTTCGTGTTTTCGGCTGGTGATTTAGTCTCCTGAGGGTCCTTAGGTACCTGTTCCGTGGAGCTGATGCGCAAACGAGATCATCTAGCTTGATGGGGTGTCAAAAATATCGCCCGGCGCCGCACAAAACGCCACTGACGGGGCAGTCCGGGGCCCCTAAAATCCCCTTGTGTCGAAAGGTGGGAGTAGACGTAAGTAAGGAACCTTAGTTCATAAAAATCCGAGGGTGGGCTATGTATTTAACGCGCTATGCCAGTGCCTGTCAAAATCTGGCGTTCCCCCCACTTGCAGGCCCCATGTCCTCCTAGGCCATTTCAAATTTGGCGCAAAGGCCCTAATCCCATTAAAGTTTACACCTTATGACGCAAAGGTCCACACTTGCCGCTTAGCCGCGGGGACTCGGAAGCGAAGCGGCAAGATGCGGGCCTTCGCATCCTCTGTCCTAGGTGGATTTGTAAATTTATTATTCAAATTCGCAGGCTTCAAAAATTTCGAGGGCTGGGCCAAAAACATGATCTATTATGATTGGGGCCTGCGGTGAGTATTCCCCGGAATGTTTTCCCATTGGCCCAGTCCAGAGTCTCGAATTTGCGAGTATGCTTACATTGGCTTGTATCTATAGCCAAGGTTCCCAGTTTGGTGCGTTGATAGCTATACAGTCTGGCGATTGAGCTAGATGAATTAGTTTTGTTAGGCCACTTTCAATCTGAAGGCCACTGGGTGAAAACTTCAAGGGTGGTGCTATCGTCAACACACGGTCGATGATCGCCCTCTTTTCTTCGAAAATTTTCGTTAAGCACCCCTGTGACCTCGCATGATTATTACCGTCGATTTCGGCGCCCACAAAGAGGCAAATATATGGTTCTAGGAGCCCGCCTGGTTCTAAAGTATATCGCATGGCAAGCAGGATGGTTCCGATTGTTGTCTTGAAAATGCTGTGCAAAAGGAAAGGTTGTAGTAAACGCTCCATGTTCCGTGTCAGACGGAATGGTACAGATCCGGAGGACGGTAGAGATCCGGAGGACGCAGACCGACTAAACGAAAAGGCTGGTCTGAAATCATTGAAATGGACACGCCCAGTGTGATGGCAGAGCATTGTTTCCTGTGTTCCGCCAGGACCAATAGCCAGAACAAATCCAAGGATGGAGGGAATCGCAAGTTGAGTAGCAAATGTTCGACGATAAGTCCATAAACCCTCGAAGCCATCATGAGTAGCACGAACATACGTAGCAAGTACATGCATTGGCACTTTGCCGGCGCAAACTTTGTTATAGATTGCCCGACGTGCATCCTGAAGAGACGCACAAGTACGCTTTCTCAAAGACAATGTTGTAGAGAGTAGAGCCTGTGTGTGAATTTGAGCAAAGGAAGCTAGACCGTTTTTTTCTTGACCGAGGGCAGAGCTCCTTGACTCGGCAATTTCACAGAGACTTGTCCAAGACCACCTATCTTCCATCATTGTAAAGTTTGGTCCAAATCTAATATGCGCAAAAGGTAACACTCGCAAGCGACGTTGTTGTGCAGCTTTGCACCGAACGAGTGCAAAGTCGATGACACCAAGATATTGGCTTACTCTTTCATCTGCCTGTGCATTTCTACAGCGAGTAAAAGAAGATGCGAACACCTGAACCTGTCCTTCGTCGGAAGAAAATGCAAAGTGCTGTCCTGACTTTCCACTCTTTACTCTGAGACAGGCAGGGGGATCGATCTGTATCAACGGTAGATGCAACTCCGGCCGAAACAGGCCAAAGGTACTAGTGTATTGACCAGGAACCTCAAGAAAGCAACCTTTAGTACCTGGCCGAGTTTCAATGGTGCGTTTTCGCTCACTCTGTAGACGAGACAGTGTAGAATATGGATATTTGCAGCTCCTGGTTGACACAACCTCAATAGTTCGATTTGCTAGGATTCGAGTCAAAGTGTCGAGATTACTTGTGAGGGATAAGTGATATGATGGAGATCGCCCATTTCTGACTGGGGTAGGAGTTTCCACCCATATGCTGTTCAAATCTAGCGACTGTAGACGTCCGCAACCAACATACCTCAAACTGACCTTGTGCAGAAGCACGTACAATATATTAGATTCTCGATCCCGAGCACTGTCACACAGTTCTCCAGAAACACAACGCAACAGATGAAGCAGCTCTTCGCTCGGACCGGGTCTTGCGGTCAAAACCATCTCATCACCCAGTGTATCCATTTTTGTTGCAAGCACTGAATCATTTGAGTAGATGCTGGAGATAAGTTTATTTCCTTGTGTATGCGTTACAGCGCAGGACTGGTCCTGTGTTGTCTCAGATTTTAAGGCATAGAATATTGCCTGAGGTGTCGAACTGGCAAGTGAGCATACGGCAGTTATTACTTCAGGTAGAGCAAGCATTGATAGGAGCTGTGGAATCCAAGGAATCATTGCACCTGTGGGTACCACCTTCGAATGAATATGAAACAGGCGACGGAGTTCGTCAGATTGTTTGCTATGCTGCAACAAACACAGAATACGGGCCAGTCCGCACACTGATGCATCTTGATGGCCACATTCAATTGCCGCGAGATAGCAGAGGAAAGAGTTTTTGACAAGCCGATTTAACAACACTGAAGATAAAGCTGCTTCGGTCGAGCAATTTACATCACACAACACAGCCCAGGAGTACCAGGCACGCCCGTAGTTGCTGCAGCCTCGAGTAGCAACAGAAAATGCGCAATGCGCATCCCTAAACCTTCCTAACATCCCCAGGAACACTCCCTTAAGCCTGAACAGTTCAGCGCGCTGCTCTGTGCTAAATACCTCAATCACCATATTGTCGATGAAATTAAGGCCAGCTTGAGTGCTTCGAAACATACGATCATCAGCATTGCAAAACGACAAAAGTCGTTCCCGAACATTGTGGAATGCATTATCGATATTCATCTGAATATCATTCAAATCCTTATTGCCATACTGTGCCTCCTCCCGTAGCCCCTGTTTTCTCGCGACGCGAGCCAGTGTAACCAATGTCCATGGTGCATCATGAAGTCGGAGAATCTTGTTGGCTGCACCCCACGCGAAAGCCTTCTCTATCGACAAGAAAATATGCTCACGCCATCGCATTATGTCATCCCAGCCGGACATGCTGTCCCAGGTGTTTGGCAGTCGGTTTCGCCATGTATGTGTCATGGTACTGAGATCAGGATATGTAAAGGCACGAGAGTGTTGCGATGCCTCGTGGAGTAGTTGGCTGCTTTCGTGGACTTCAATAAGCTCATGAAATAGATGTAGTAGTTGATCATGTACAGCTACTCCCAAATGCGGTCTGGGTAAGCTGCTCCATGATTCCAATGCGAGTTGGATACATTCCCCACAGAGGTCTTCGACGTCAGAATAAAGCCCTTCAACCACTGCCAATCGTGCTTGTAACAGCTTGACCTGAGGTGTTAGTTGCTCTGGTTGTTTGCTCCCATTCAGATGCTTCCGAACATAGTCCCATTTGTGTGATTTCCAGGATGCTTCAAGACACAAAGTTGGTCTCAGCAACCCTGAAGGGAGAGAAGCAGGGGTATATTTAAACAAATCTGACAAGAGCAGCCACTGAGACATATCGCGAGCACATGCTAGCCACTCTGCGCACCACACGTCAGCCTCAAAGATGCAGGATGAAAGCGGTTTCACACCGGTGGCATCATGGTGGGTCTGGCGAAGAGCTGACACCATATTACTAAGAAAGATATGTTGAGCTTGAGGAATAAAGCCGTATCGCCGAAGCGAAAATGCGATGGAGGACATGGGGTTGGTGCAACCGTCGGCTAAAGCACCCACCTTCATATCAGTTTCCTGCAAACTACTAAACAATGATGCGCAGTGCAATTCCGGTAACCTAGAAACATGCTGCGGTGTCAAATTTTGCCGCATCACAAAAACCTCTTCAATGATGTGTAAGACTGCGTGATAGGAATTATGTCTAGCAGCAGCAGACGACAGCATCCTCACAAGGACCTGGGCCTTCTGTTTGCCAGCCAAGCATCCTGGCAGGGGGAACTTGCATCCCTGAATCAAAATCCGCGGCACACTTGTTGTGGTAAATACTGTGTCTGTAAAACTCAGGGGAAACCCGATAGAGGAGGGCACTGCAACCCGTGTCTTCGAGAAAGAGGCGCTTGGCCGAAATCGTGCGTCGTTGCTGGTTGCATATACTTGACTAAGTGGGAACATAGCAGGGACTTGTAGCTTCGGATGAGAATGCGATGACGCGAAGTGCGTAAAAATTGAATTTGTCAGCGCAATTTGCCACTGTCGCTGATGACATTGTTTAACACTGCAGCAAACGTGAGGTAACATGTCAATCCAAAACCTCTCTGCCAGTCCAACATGCGCGTGGACCACCTCCTTAAGAGGTTCGATAAAATTCTTAAGTGTTCCACATTGTTGTAAAAAGCAACATCGCGCAGTAGTGTATTGCCTTTGAAGGTTTATATCGAGACAAATAAGTGTCTCTAATGACCTGGGTAAGAATAATTCGCTAAACAACGAAGGTGCCTGCGCAAATTGAGTCGTGAGCCTGACCGGCCCATCCGCATCTATGCCATCTAGGATTACCTCAATGAGAATCACGAGCCAAAAACGATTAGAAAGGGGAGACCAATCAAGATCGAACATTTTAATGACATGATGACTGGCACACTTTATGACATCATGCATGAGGAGACCACGGAAGGTCGCACGGACTCCTGGATGTACCGCCAATAGACCCACGGTGCTTGACCCTTTACCTGGCCCCCGCCCCACAGAAAGCCTTTTAGTCTGCGTGCCCGACAACCCGATTCCTTGGCAAAAAGTGCCCTTAGAAATTTGGTTAAGTGTGCATAGAAAACGAGCGTGCAAAGGTTGCAATGCCGCATCTGTCAGATTGTCAATGTCCAACATGTGTTCGATAAACGCAGTTTTTTCTTTCCTGGAGAGGGGTGATTTGACCTTGACGAGCCAACCAGACACTAATTTGGAAACCTTGCGCACGAGTAGTGTTGAGTTGCTTCGTTCCAGACAAACAAACACAAGAACGATAAGCTCACGACGCATTCCTAGTAAAAGACTATCGGTCACTGCTTGCGCAAGAAGCGAAAAAATGATAAGAATTGCATCTATCACACCCAGTGAAAGACTAAAATCACCGGTGATTTCTGGTTCTCCTGCGCAGTGCCCATATGTTGATTTAATGGTTTTTGTCAGGACGGATAATGTCGGCGTTGCGTGGCAGGAATTTGATTGCGAGGGGGGGTTCTTGCGGATTGAATTTAAGTGCTGGAAAATAAGAATCTGACCCACTCTCAGGAGTTGATGCCCATGATTTAGTATATACGCAGGTGCAGACTTACATGCAGCATCAATAATCTTAATGATAGGTAGTACGTAGGCTACCAATTTGAAGCTTGAAGCGCTCGCCCAGTCCCCGTGTCTATTTGACGTACCATGATTTTCCATTGCAGTAATTAGTCGAGATTCAATTACATATTTGACACGCTGATAAAACATCATTGTAGAATTACAGGACTTTATAGGGGGGTACAACACTACTATTCTGGACAAAAGTCCTTGCAGCTTCAACTGAACTTCTGTGCTCCGCACGTAAAAAAAACAAGGGCAAATCAACAGCTGGGCTTTTAAAACATTGTCAATGAAAAAAGTGTTAGGCCGGGTGTTCCTGCCCAAGGTGATGTGCATGATCTCTAGGCAAGTTAATAGGAGCGCGGATGAATATGGCGGATCTGTTGCCGTTGTTACGTCCAAACGTGCATTGGAAGTAGCAATGATTTTCTCGAAATAAGAGAATCGAATATGGGCATTTGGCCAAGCACGTAACGTGGTATCGAACAGCAGCAGGCAGCGTGGTGCTAGTTGCTGCACAGCAGGTTCTTTATTGTCGGAGGCAAAAAGAGCCAACCGGACAAGGAAATTAGCTACCATTTCGATCATCGTCATAGTCAAATGAAAGTCGTCGTCAATTTGCGATTGTTTTGATGAGCCCACAATAGGCTTTAGATTTTTCTCCGCAGTAGTTGCACGTGCCTCCTTGTGACCAATCTTAGACTCCCAATTCATAATCAAATCAGCCAGGGCAACCGCCAATTGTCGGTTTTCTACTGGACAATTAGGTGGTAGACCCAAGCGATTCAATGAATTTACCATTTGAGGCATGAACTGTGACCGATAAGGGAAAAATAGTCCAGGGTGGCGAACAACGAGTTGCCACATGTGAACAAGCTGAGCTAGTGCATGTCCTTCCTCATACATGATTTTCTTGGTCCACTTAACTGCCTTAACAAAATCGTTGATGGGAAGTCGTTTTGGCAGAGCTGGTATCAATATATCAAGAGCAACCTTGACTAATTCACGTGCCTCAGGTTGAAATGTTCGCAGCAAAGCTACGTAGACCTACAGGAGCACTGGTAGGCAGATGAAGTAAATGTAGAGTGATAACCTGGAGTATGATTTTTGGGGGCGTCTCATATGTGGCGACAAATCGACACACATTAACATAAGCCCATTGCTTTGACAGCGAATCATCAGATTTGAGATGATTCCATGCAAACTTGATCAGATCTTTCCTGTGTTCCACTAATTCTGGGCCGAGATGCTCGATTAATACTGTTGTTAGTTTGAGTAACTCGACGCGAAGAGCCTCACTATACCGTTGCGTCTTGCAATTTGTATTGTCAAGCGCACAGCGCATGAATAGAGTGATCGTCCCCGAATCCACAATGCTAGTTTTCTCAAGTAAAATATCAGTTTTCTTTGAAGCCAAGTTTCTGCCTTCAAAGGTTGATACCAGCATTGGAGTCACAATTAGACGCAATGCCATCACTTTTAACTCCATCATAGTACCCTGATCTGCAAGAACTCGAAGGAAATATAGCATAATGCTTCTTTTGTGATTTGGCCTCCAGGTGAGCGCTACTTCTCTGGAATAAAAGTCCTTCAGAAAGGTAAAGTCAATGGGGCTGGGCAATATAAAAACAGAGAGCATGTCGAACAAGACATGTATTTTTGCAGAATGTGAACGACAGTAACCAATCAGGCCTTGGATAATCAAGAACGTTTCTTTGTGATTGCGCAATATCTCTGCATTTAAAACCTGCTTGTGGCCTTTCAAGGATCTACCCTCACTGGCACAAATCTTTTCGTAGGATTTTTCACTCATCCAAGGTGGCCGAGTTCGCCAGATCGAAACAAGAATTTTTCCGAGGATACTATGGCGCGTAAAGATGCAAGGATCCAACTGATACAAAGTGGTTATCACTAGTAGCCCATGGAATTGCGCCTTGTTAGTAATTGTGGACGACGAAACATCCTTCGTTCGAGCAAGGTCTGCCCACGAACTATCTTGCAGCAGTGTTGACAGACCGGCAAAAGACAGCGCATCAGAATTATGTGACTGGCAGAAACGACTCTTCGTCGTGCATGATCGGAATCCTTGTTGATCTTGAGAGTATCTCCTGAAATGCTTGCGAGCAAAGCACCCATCTGCAATACGTGCCATATGGTTTTTAAACGCAGCATTTAACAAGTATTTCATTCCTTCTGAGCTTAAAATTCGGGCTTTTAAATCACCTGCTTCTCGAATATGCAGTAAGCCGCGTAAGAGTGATACACAATGAGGGTCTGTAAGAGTATGAAAGCTAAGGAAATATTGTGTTGCTGTCGAAGCATGTGATGACAGCAATTGCGCAAGCGGAGCGCGGAAAGGCGAAAATCCAAGCCTAACAACACCAGCTAGGGAAGAGAAATATGCAGCGCGCCAAGACAAAAAATGCCTTACGTTCCCAGTCACATCAAGTTGCAAATAAGCCCGGAAGTATGTTGGAATGAGAGCTTCAAGTCTCAGGACGACCACGACCACCGATGTCAGCATGGGCAGAATACCGACCTCCTGTGGTTGGTGACAGCTGATGCGCGTTATCAACATTATACATTTTGCTGCAAGCTCCAGGGGATGAGTGCTAGCCCATGATCGGATGGCGAACATCTTCTCTGGACGGCAAAAGTCCTCCAATAGGCTTAGTAAAGAAGAGGTGAGCACGCCCCTACTCATCTTGTGGGCAGCTGGCAACGACAATAGCTTGTTGAGCTTATTCAAGTACCAGAGGCTAATTCTCGTCAAGCTCAATGGCACCTGAACTATAAACGTATTCATATGTCTGTCACACGTTTCTGCATGAGATTTGCCAAGTGCAAGTGTTTCTTGAAGTAAGGAAACAGAGGCGTGTACAATCATATTCACCGAGGTATTTGTCATTGAGATGAGTGCCACTTCGATTATTTTGCGTTGTCGATTAGGTGGGATGTTTTCATGCATGAATTTGTTGTAATCGTTGCCGACATCTTGGCTTCGACTGCTATCCTTTACTGCACCCGATGCTATTCGTTTAGCTGCTCTAACCATACTATGAATTGCCCTTAAAGCGGCTGCCTGTAAACGATCAGGATGGGTCAGTGAAGAAGACGTGTTATGGTACAATAAGCAAGAGCTGAATGCAGAACAAAACCGCGCGGAGTGTGATGTCCATCCAAAATGACCGTGATTTTCATCTGCATACTTGGAGGTACAGTCCAATGTGCAGCAATGCGTTTGAATACATTGTAGCAAACAATCTTGCAGCTCGATGCTGGGCAGAATTGGACAAGGTTCCAAAGACATGATGTAGTTCAGAGCATCAAGAGCACCTACAGCGCTATGAGTCCGTATCTCCGGGTTGAGGTGACAAGTCATTAAAATGTGCGTCAGCTTGGGAGCAATCGGCTTCATAAAGTTGGACGACATAAGGGGCAGCCCTGCTAATCTGTTGAGCTCAAAGAGTCCACTTTGAGCCCCCAGACGCACAGCTGGATCAAAACATGTTATTTCGCGAGCGAGAACGTGCACTAGGAGATGAATCTCGTTGGTGGCTGCACAGGCAGTTTGTAATAGCACGTGAAGCGCTTGCGCAATACCACCTTGACTCAACAGTGTTATACCAAAATCATCAAGTGCAAGGGAGCTCAGCAGAGAACCTGCAAGCATGTGCTTGTTGGGACGTGCCCACGCATGCCCAAATGTGGTGAGAAGCTGATACAATATCTGAGAAATATTTCTGCGAGATGGCAGATCCCACTCACGAAGCGAAAGACAGATACGCGAAATAAGATCAGTGATGAGTTGCGAGCTAGGCTTAGAAACTGCCCTGGGCGTTCGTAACTCAAGGAAGTACACGCAACCCATGTGGTATTTCAGAGCACCAAGAGCTGCATTTGCAACCCTGAAGCAACGGTCTGTCGCGGCTTCAAGCAGGGCTGATGTAAAGGTGCACATTGACTGTTTTTCAACTGGCAAAAGATATTTGCGCTTCCTTCTTCCGTTCGAGGGGATAGTTTTTTTTTTCTCTGCAGCTTCGCAGTGAGTGCTATCTCCTGCGCTTCGTACGATTGCTGTCTCCGTCGCCTCCCTTCCACAATCGTACGAAGAATGCAATAAGAGCGCAAATATGAAGCTAAGGGATTGTAGCAAGGGAGTCCCCTCTAGTTCTAGCTTGGGATGTGCTGCAGCACAAAGAATCAAGTATATTAAGCGACACAATTGTGTATTAGATCCTGGATTTGCAGGCAGATCACTACTGCCAAACTCTTTGTTGTAAGTGGGTTTGTTAGCTGGGGATGAAAGGCCTCGATGGGATGTATCGGAATGCTGTGGCCAAACTGGGAGCTCAAACGAAGAGCATAAGATGCATGAAAGCAGGCGAAAACATAGAATTTGATATCGATGTACTAATGCTAAATTACCAACAACAGCAGTAGTTGGACCAGTCTTTTTTTCCAAACCGCATCTTATAAGTGAGTAAAGCAACTCGCATACGTGAATAACATAGGGTTCTACACCAAGCACAAAAGGCACATTCTTCTCGTTCCCATTACTCGGAGGTAGCTCAGTTAGACTGGAAGTACCCGACCATTCACAGGAGAATCCTCGCCATCTCAAAAGAACACCCATTGACAAGCTTTTGTTCTTTTCATTGCAGCGAGTCTGGCCACGATGAGCACTGCCAGCGGGTGCCAAACTTGGGAGCAAACCACTGGAGGGCTCTAGGAATCGGCGATTCAGTCCGCCCAACTTCCCAAGTATGCGGAGTGCAATAGTTCCGAGTGCATAGGGAGCAGGTCGAAGGTGGCTACAGACACCAAGCATCGTCAAGGCATGTAACTGAGGTTGGCCGCGCATCAAAGAAATCAAGTGCTCGGGACCCAAGTGATCCAGGTAATATTCAAAGGTTCTCAACCCCAATGAAGGGAGATCACCGGATTGAATTTGTACTGCATTGGCGACGAGGGGGAGCAGGCGCGGCAAAAATGGAACCAATTTGGCTAGAGCTATCGGCACTGTCATGCATAATTCAGTAAGAATCGAGCAAATCAAAGATGACCGTTCCACATGTGAGCGCTGTCGAATCAAAGTTGTGAGTACAAAGGCGGATGTTTCTCCTAATTGTGCCTGATTAGACTTGAGTTCGAAGACCTCAGGGGCAAGGCAGCTTGAAACCGACCTAAATATGGAACGGAGCAGGAGATAATAGGCCATGGGCTCGTCTACCACCACGGCATGCTGCAAGCAGGCACAGGCCAGCACGCGGAGACGATCCCTAAGAATGATTTCATTTTGAGGAAACAATGCCACTGAGCCAAGAATTATTCGAAATAGACGCAAGACCGTTGATGCGCGCACGGGCGGAGAAACCCTGGCAGCATTATTGACAATATCTTTAGATGTTGCTTTATAGACTGGCGTCGGCTGACTTAGGCCACCGTGTGATTGCGACATGAGAACAGAATGGTCATTAAACAACTCAAAACCTGAGAGTTCGCCAAGCTTCCCCATAAGGTATCGAATCAAGATATCAGCGAACGTTGCTGATACATTGGAATTGGCAAGAAGAGTTTGTGTTATTGCTAGTAATGATGGAGATTCTAGCATGGCATCAAACAACATTGGTACGTGCTGACCGACGGTGGGCAGGATATTGGAGTGTTCAAGGACAGTAAATGCACTAGCGAAATTGTCTAGAATCTCCTTCAGCTCTTTCTTCTGTACTTTATTTCCACTTGCAATCACGCGACAACATATTAATCCCCAATAGAAGAAGAGACTAATAGTTTCGGCCTCGTCGTGGGAAAGGGAATACGAGAAGTCGTTGTTGGCTGATGTTCGCATGTGAATCTGATTCGCCAGGCGACCCCCCCACCCTTTACCACTCCCTTGCTCAGACAGGTTATTGGGCTTGGGCTTTGAGCTTCGTGAGTAGTGTGATATGCACCAAATAACAGTCTTCAAGCCCCGAATTAAAGTTTGGATCAGTGGTCGCACGTCTGCCATACCATCAGTGGGTGTAGAATCAGATGTTGTAGTAATTGGAGAGCTTTCGGTCCTACCTGTGGTACTATTGCACTTGCTAAAATTAAGCTGACGACACATCATATTACATCCGGGCCTTTGCACACTATAGTTGATCTGTATCATGTGAAAGCGCAGGGTATCAAACTTTGCGACCATTGTTTTCATAATGTGGACCAGCAAACGCTTTCCGTTAGCTTTTTCCGACCCACCGCTATGAAAAATAAAATCGACCAGATTCAGCAGTAATCTAACGGATGTTGTTTGGACGTTTAAAGGAAGTGCCGGATCATGCAAATTTCTCGAGAAGAGCAATACTACACATGAGAGCTGGGATATGCTCAGCTCTGCACGGACGTGATGGACCAAGTCTGCCAGTGTCGAAAATGCGAGAGGTCGAAGCGTGTCTCGGCTTGGATGACCAACGCCAATGAGCACATTTTCGTCGAGTAAGGTATCTATGTGTTGATAAAATCCTCGACGGAACTCGGTAGCAAGAATGTGACGAGTAGCAACAAGGAGTTCCTTTCTGGTAGAAATCGCATCGCCGGGACATGCGATCATCAGAGTGATGACAGCCTTTGAAATTGCCTCCTCGTAAGGTTTCATCAACTCTGAGAATCCGCGTAGCAAGTAAGTCAAAAATGATAAGGTCTTAACTTGACATGCAATGAATTCTTTATATCGATTACGTTGAAGTTTATGTGCTAGAATAGGCGCATGTAGTGCTAGACCACCCATCATCAGCGGTGTGAGCAAGGGAATATTCTCTTGGATATATTTTGGATATAGTTGAAATAAGAGCATCACAATCAGCGGGCACTCGGTTAGTACTTTGAAAGAGTCCAGACCCTGAAGAGCTGATATAGCCGCCGCCGATTGCGCACGTGGAGCAGACTCAAGAGTCACCGTTTGCTCAGGTATTGTCCGTGTAACGGAGAATGCCTCACATTTCTGAAGATGACCAGGGCGATTAAAGACACCTGACGCAGTCACTGCTGGTGAACCTAAGAATGAGAATACATTAAAAAAAAAATACTGAGCAACCTACGTTGATCTGGAAGCGAGATAAAAAACGCTTTGTTGATTGATGTGGGAAGAAGTCGATAGATGCGTTGCACTAGGTCAAGGAAGCACTGTACCTCACCCTCTAGAGCAGGACGGAAATTTTTGTGCAAATCAAATATAATTCGTAGGCATGTGAGGGCATTTTCCTCTGTGTCGCGGGATAATGTTTCTGTGGCAATTCGTAGGAGCTCTGGCGCATATGGCCGCAAAACTTCATTATTTGGAAGTCTATTCATGATCTCTAGCACAAGATGGCGGAATCTTACATCGACGCCATCTGCAGGATGCGTAGCTGGGCTGCGCAGGAGAATAGTTCGAAAAGCGGGAAACAGATGCCTTAGGAAGTTCGCATATTCAGATGTGTGTACGATCTCCTGCAAACATTAAATTATGCGTATCGTCCAAAGGCTCCTTAACTTACAATTCTTTCGCGTATGTCAGTTGCACAACGCAATGCGTCAGAGATATTTGTCGCCATAAGTCGTCGGGCGGCTAACTCAAAATTTAGTTTGTGCGTCGCGCGAGACTCCGCCGTCTTTGGCCTTACGTCTCGCTGTGCTTGCACAGCCATCATCACGTTTGCTTAGCCCCGTAATTATATTGGGAGCTGGACCATACCGCCTCAAGCTAGCTCTGCCCTGGGGCCGATAGATAAAATATAGGATTCAGCTTACCCTAGTCTCCCTAGTGGCTAGTGAAAGTAGTAGCAGACTAATAGTTGGGAATTTCTTCTTTGCTCAGTTGTCGCCCACCGGGTCAACCAATCCCGGGGACAGGTAGTAGATCCCCCCGGGCCCCATCAAACAGGGAGGGAGGGCGGGCTAAATAAATCTGAGGACCGACACAAACCACAGCCAATTTGGCTTTGTGGTTGGGCGGAGAATCCGAGGGGAGCCTAAGGCTAGTACAGTAACCAGGGAACTGCTAGCTGGCTTCTAGCCTCGCGTTAGAATTTGGTACACTCACGGAGGTGTCCCAGCCCAAAGGGCAGCCCAGGAATAACCTGGGTTGTGTTTGGTGCCATAATAGACCCTATGGTGCTGGAAGCCAGCGTTGAGAAAATTTCTCAGGCACATGGTGCCTCTTTGTGTAAACGATACTAGTGCATCTGTCTCTTTCTCTAGTAGCCCGGGCCGCGGCCTGCAACTCTGCGAATAACGCAAGACCAAAGGTACGCACCTTTTGGAGTACAGCGGCTGAGACAGTCCGCCAAAGAACTAGCCTATGTCCGGGCCGGCTAGGGCAAGCATTAGTTATCACTTCAAGTTTAGGCCCGGGATCGTTAGCGAGCTCGCCCGGCCAAGTTGAAGTCGGCGATAGTATCATGATATGCGGGAGACTCGGATAGCACACCGTGGCACGAGTTGAGATAAGTTGGGCCCGGCCCGGGGCCGGCCCGGGACTCAGAATCTAGGACTCGGACTCGGACTCCTCAGGCTAATTGGACCCAGCGGTCCGGCGTAGGCCTATTTATCGTGTTCCGCCAGTGGATCTGTAAGGGGCCTATTTCCGGCCTGATCGAGGCACTAGCATGATAGCGCACATGGCTTCAAAAGAAGCTTCATATCTTCTCATATCACGACGGTAGCTAGCGCACAAACAAGAATGAATGTAGCCGGCTCATCAACAGAGGGATCATCGTTGGTTGACCAGTTACAAAGGTATCTAATGAGAGGATGAACTTGTATGAGGAGGATTGTCTTAGATACCGTTCCAGGACCCCTGGGAGCAGCGTAAACCCAAAAGGTTTGAAACATAACTTGTGCATCTTACTCATCCTTCAGGCGAAGACATATCCGAGAACGGCAACAATATATGCAAAAGTCAAATCCGTGACTGTCTGTCGGATAGATGTGTGGCTGTTGTTGTTAGCAATTTCGAAAGATACCCTGTGCATGAAAATGTACCTGCAGGGTAAGGTCGCGCGGTGGTTGCATTTGACTGCGTGTCTTCTAGATGTATGCGCGAAATAACCTCGAGGCTCGTGCGGGACCTAGACCTTAAGATTGCTTCTGAATTTATCTTTGATGAGAGTTATTGGAAGCAGCGGTGCTATCAGCTTCTACCTAAAAATTATCAAATTAATGAGCACGGGCTAACTTGGAAACAGTTGTTTTTTGAAACACATCTTCAACAAGTACGCTAATTTTTGACACGCCATAATTACTTACCTTGTCAAAGTGCCTGGAAGAGCTTGGTTCTCATGAATTGGAGGTGCACCTGGCCAACAAAGTAATTCAATTATGACGCAATTAGGGAAGACACGGACTAGATCTTCTGTCAGTAGCCAGTTACTCCCAAAATTACACATTTACCCTCAAGGTCTGAGCCAAGCGATTTACTTTCCAGTAATTTGTGTCTGCTGTATAGACTCAACAGCTGCTGGGACATCCAAATATAGATTTGCTTTGCCAAGCGGTGTGCAACATGCGCTGTGAAGTCGCTTAAAATGATCCACATAGCTACCCAACCTCACAAAAATTGAAATGAAGTACGGTGCGAAGAAATTGGGCATGAAATATGATCGAATGCTTTTCGGAATGAAGGTTGCTCGTCAGCTCCGGACGTGTTGTTATGATATTTTCAAGCCAGGTATCTGATGCATATTGTCTTGCCAAAAGTATTTCTCAATCCGAGAGTCTCACGACGCTCATCCTCCAGTCAAACTTAATTGATGATGACTTACTCAGAATGTTGATGACTGGTCTCATTAAGGTAGCTATCGATTCTTGACTTCAACGATATCACTATCTCAGAGCTCACAAATAACCAGTCTGGATCTTGCTCACAACAAGATAACAAACCATGGAGTACGTTTACTGTCAAAGCTACTAGACAAATCGAGCGTATTGACAAGCCTGAACCTTGCAGACAATCAGATCAACACAGAGGTGCATGTATGAGTCAGTTGACACCAACTTTTAATATTTTCCACAGGGTGGTCGCTACCTTGGGCGGGCTCTAAGAGCAAATGAATCTCTCGTAGACATGAACCTACGACTTAATAGATTGATGGATGACGGAGGGCGTATGCTCCTTGAAGGTCTTTGCGATACCTGTAAAATAATTCACCTGAACCTTTCTGGAAACTTGCTTGCAAGGCAAACTACAATAATGCTGATGCACATTTTAGCTGAAGGCAATTTACTTCTGGAATCTTTGGACCTATCGTGTAATGAACTCACCAACAGAGACCTGCACGACATCGCGAAAGCGATGGAAGAGAATGAGGTAATTCATCAATACTATCAGCCCCTGATTTGCTTTTTGGTTCTAGGCCTCGATAAGCATGGATTTGCGATTGAACAGAGTAACTGGCGAATCTGCTGTATATGATACCATACAGCAGATCCTTCGGCGAAATGAATTGAAAGCACAATCTGGTGGCTGAGCTCAAGTCCAGCGCTTACATATCTGGGTGCCGTGGTGAGTGACGTGAATACATGTATTAGTGCTTGAACAAACTAGCTACGGGAGTCTGGGCCGGCCCCGCAGCGAAGCCGGGGCGGATTTGGAAATAAGTAAATACATAAATCACGGCCTAGCTCTAAGCAAAGCAATAAACAAGTAAATAAAGGAAGACAAAAAAATGAACAAGCTCCTAAGACTCTAGTAGGAGCCTGCTCCGAGTCCGACTCGCCGGGAGTGCAATGGATTCAATGGAAATACACGTCTAGTAGGATCACAAGGTTCAACTGAGACGTATCCAAGCACAACCCGTACTTGTATTACCCGCCTAGGCTACTTCCCATCCTAGGGTACTCCGATATCCCCTTAGTAGGGGGGAGTCGCCTCTCACTCCTAACTAGTTTCATCCTGGGTCACTTTTATTGACGGACGCAATTCCCCGTCACAAACCCCATCAAACATTGGGAGAAACTATTTCGTTAGACGACTACACTACGCTGCCGGGGAAGTCCGGAGCTACACACTCTATTTCCCCGGGCCTCAGGCTATCATGCATCGCAGGTAAGTGATTAGCTGCACAAGTTCTAGTGAAGCAGCAAATGAACGCGCTTAGGGAACAACTTGCACAAGTGAGGCAGAAACCTCCTACTCAAGGCGCAGCCCTCGAGGCATTAGCAGCAAGCTCTAAAACAAATGAACTTGAAAAGCTTGCGCGGCGGGCACTGGCAGTAGGCAACTCACTTAACAAATCACATGGTGTATATAAACGCGATATGCCACCCTGGGCTGGCAGAATTACCTCAAGTACAAGCCAGTCAACGTGCGTACTGGGGCACAGCTGGACGCGGTTCTGCTCATATTGAGGGACGTACGTCAAGAGATGCATTAGATCACCTTTACTGGATAAATGACCTCGACGACAATGAAGAACGACGAGGAATCTTCAAAATAAATAATACAGCATTACTAAAAACGAATGTCATCTTGCAAATTACATGCTTCCCCATCAATCTGACTTTAGCAAGAAAACCACTGTTATATACGTGCTAAAACAGTACTTTAGGCAAAGGAGTAGACACAAGCGAGCCAGGGTATGCTCAAGCCGCGCGGGTTCGTGCCCTGGGGCCTTCCAGGGCCAACCCGCGGGCGCCGCGGCGCCGCCGCGTTAGCCTCGAAAACGAAGGGGACTGCTCGGATGGGGGGCGGGTCGGCGTGGGGCCCACAGATTCCACGTTTCCCCTTCCTATGCAGCCTTCCGGACGGCCTTGGGCATCGAAACGGACCCCTGGCATGCGTTTAATACCAGCATTATCTAGCATGGTATTTTTCCTCCCACTTGCAGTCGAACTTGCTATGACCTCGTCGCACGCATCACCCTGCGTTGACCGTGTTTTCCGTCCGTGTGGAGCGTTCAGAGCACTCCGGCTTGAAGGAATTATAGTCACTCCGGAGCGAGCGCACTTGCTACAGCTGCACACAAGGTAGTTCTCCTTTTTGCATGACGACGGCCCCTTCGCTCCAGGCGGTCGCGGGTCGCGCCACCGCCGACGCGCGGATCCCTCCGTCTTGCCCCCTCGTCGGGGGTGCGTCGCGGGAGGCCGTGAAACGCTGGGCAGGCGCCTCGCGCGACGCCCTGCTGCTCACGCTCGCACTGGCCCGCTGGCTCGCGGCGTGCCGCGGCGGCGCGGCGGCGGCGGTGCGCGAGCCGGTCCCGGCGGCGCGCGCCGCGTCCGCCGCCGGCGTCCCCCTGCGGCGGGCGCTCCGCGGCGTCCGCGCCCGGCGGGCGCGCACGACGCGCGGGCTGAGCCCGGCGGGCACGCCCGCGCGGGCCGCGCCGCGCTGCGCGCGCGCGGTGGCAGCGTTCGACCAGTTCGAGAGCGTGCACACGGTCCAGGGCCGCGGCGAGGGGGCGAAAAAAAGCGCGCGTGCGGAATTGGCGAGCGCCGTCCCGCGCGCGCCGGGCGCGCGGGCGCGCCTGGCCGGCGGCGCGCTCGCCGTCGCGGCCGCCGACTTCGCCCTCGGCGCCGCGCCGGCTGGCAGCGGCTGGGCAGTCGGCGGCGGCGCGGCGGCGGCGGCCGCCCCCCTGGCGGCCGCGCTGCGCGCGGCGGCGCAGCGCCTCAACCGCGACGCCCTGCGGCGCTTCCGCGCGGCCGCCGAGGCCCTGCTGGCGGCGCGCGGCGGCTTCGCCGTCGTCGGGGCGCCCCGGGACGAAGCGCTGGCGCTGCGCGCCTGGCCCGCGGCGCACGCGCGGCGGACCTGGGGCGTCGAGGTCGTCGTTGGCGCGAAGCGGGGCGCCGCCGCGGGCCTTGAGCGCCGCTGCGGCGTCGGTGATGTCGAGGTGCCTTCGGCTTGGGGCGTTGGATCTCGGCCTCGGCCGCCGTTCGACACGCAGCGCGCCGCGGCCGCGTCGCGACGGTTCGTTCACGCAGCGCCGTGGCGACGGTCCTGCCGCGGCGGAACCATGCTCGGCGCGTGGAGGCTCAGGGCCGCCGCCTGACGCCGCTGGGCGTGCTCCACGGCGCGACCGGGCTCGCAGCGGCCCAGGCAGTTACGTCGGCGCTGCCCGCGCTGGCAGGCGTGTTCCCCGGCCCCGTCGGGGTCGCGCGCCGCGGCCACTACGCCTTTACCGTCGAGGCCCCCCTCCCCGGCGCGGTGGCGCACCTCGCCTGCCCGCCCCCCCGTGGGGGCTTCCTGCTCCTCCACGGCCCCCTGAATCTTCCTGATCGTGCACGCGAGCGTGCGGCGAGCGCACTGACGCGCGCCTTCTGCCACAGGAGGTAGTAAGGTTTTTCCGCTAAGGGTTTCCTTACCGTTTAACGGCAGTGGGCACGACACACACACACAACAACATATATCCATCGGGGCGACGGCGGACGAGGGCTTGCAAATCGGTCAGAGCCAAAACTTGACTCTAAGCTGCTTGCTAGTGTCTTACAGTCCGCTAGCTCTCAGCTCGCACCAGTCCTAGCACTAGTCCTAGCACCGTAACAATAGAGGAGCGTGAGACATGGTCCAAAGGTCCACAACGAACGACAGGTGCCGCGTTCGATGTATAGATACTAAACGCTGCATTACTCGGGCTCGCACCGTCGTCCCCTCGCGTTCGCGGGGAACGGCTGCATTTCGCTCCGTCGAGCTTTTTCCGTACCGACAGCAGGCGCCGTCTCTATAGCCGTGATATTTCCGTCAAGTTCAGTTCCATGACGAAAATATCCATGGCGATTTCTGTTACGTCGCGCCGCGGGGCGGTACGCTGAGCATGATCTCAGCGACGGAATTGGTGCGAAAATCCAGAAATTTCTTAAAATGCGAAATTAACAAAATGCCCAATTCATGAAATCCGTTTTTACCGACTCCTGCGAACTTGACCTTGAGTCTCTTGCGGCGGCGTCTATTAAGTGTAGTTGCGGGATACCGCGGTGCGCGGGTATACGGTATTGGTGCAAATAGCCGCCCCTGCGCGTTGCACTGACTTTGTTACCATCTCGGGCAGCCTCGGCTCAGCGAAAGTTTTTCGCACGGAGCCCCACGAGGCTCGTTATGGGTGCGTCAAGGGCCGAGCTTCAGGTCAGCTTTTCTTGGCCGCATCGCGTGCCCGACCGCCACTACCACCGCGGCACACTCGAGGCATCCCAGAGCAACTTCCACCTTGCTTGCGGAGACCGCCGGGCAGCGGCTTCATCGCGAACTAGTGCTGCGATTTCTGCGTGAGATTTCGCCCCAGGAGAGCATTTCAGCACGCCATAAAACCACGAAACGCGGTCGCCACGGGCAGCCCGCGCGCGTGGGCTGCGACGAAGGTGCCGTCCTGCGGCCTCGACCCCACAATCGCAGCCACGGCCGCCAATCGCCGTGCTGTGCCGCCTAAAAAAGCCGGCCTGATGGGGGGCGAAAAAAGCCGGTCCACGGCGTCCAAAATTTTAACAGGTCACAACGTTAAGGATTTTGCCGGAGGGCCGCTAGAGACTCACCAAACTAGGATTTATTTTGCCTGCGAACCGGGCGGGTTGCTAAGCTCCAGGGGGCTCGCCCGGACGCCAAGGGGGCAAGGGGTTTGAAACTCCGGTTGCTACAAGAGTGGTTAAGACAGCTGATAGATCACTTGCCACGAGCCCCATCTTGCGATGGATGGCAGCCGCAAGCGAGCGTGGACGCCCGCCGAGGACGAAAAGCTACGGACCGCGGTCGCGGTGGGCCCCGTGAAGTGGGCGAGCGTCGCGCAGGCCGTCGGCACGCGCAACGCGAAGCAGTGTCGGGAGCGGTGGCACTATAACCTCAACCCCGAAATAAAGAAGGGCCGCTGGACCGCGGAGGAGGACGCGCTCATCGCTGCGCTGCCACACGGCGACTGGGCGAGGGTCGCCAAGGCGCTCCCGGGCCGCACCGACATGGCGATCAAGAACCGCTACCACACGCTCTCAAAGCGCAAGCGCTCGGCCGCGCGCCCCGGGGCCGGCGGGAGCGCGCCGGCGGCCGCACGCGCGGCCAAGCGGGGCCGCGGCGCCCCGCGCGTATTGCCGCCGCCGCCGCCGCGGGCGGCGCCGCCGCGCACATCGCCGCCGCGCGTCGCGCGCGGCGGCCCCGCGCGATCGACGTCGAGCCCCGAGCTCTCGGCGCTCTGCGACGTCGCCGGCGGTGCAGAATTCAACCAGTGGTCCGCGCCGACCGAGGATGGGAGATTTACACGTCACCTTTCCACACAATCGGCCTATTCGAACTCATTTGATTTCCGCACAGGTCGCCGGTGTTGCACTGGGCGACGACGCCGCACGGCCGGAGTCCTGCTCGCCCGAGCTTCTCCGCGTCTGGGCCCGCGCGGCCGACCTCGGCACGCCGGAGCCCCCGGAGCACCGGCGCGCCGCGTCGGCCGCGTCGGCGCTCTCGGCGCTGAGCCGCGCGACGACTGCGCGGCTTACGCCAGTTGCGCCGTGCGGCGGGCCTTTGAGCTCGCCCGAGCTCGGCGCCGCCTTCGGTGTGCTCCCACCCCCACCTAGTCCTCCGAGACTCCCACCTAGCGCGGCGACGGCTGGCGCAGACGTCGCGCACGGCTATTTGCAACGCGAGGGCGCCGGCGGCCCGGGGTAGTGGCCACACCGCTATAATGTCCGTCAGCTCAGCCTGGAGTCAATTGTTCTTCATTGTTCCTAGGAGCTCGTGCGAAGCCCGTCGACTCGGAGCTAGTAGCCGCTGCACGTCTAGGACCCAGGGCTCGATGTAATAGCGCCGACGTCCCCGTCACGTATTGAGCTCATGCCTTGTATTAAAAGAAGAGTAGCTTATTCCTGGCAAGGCCCGTTCATTTTATCCCTCAGGCGCTAGGCTCTCAAAAATCATTGGCCCTCGGCGTAGGGAGGAGGCTATAAACTTCGCGTAGGGAGGAGGCCTTTAGAGGCTTGGTGTATGTCCTTTTCCACTAGGATATTCCTTCATGCCTTGGTACTTGCCTCGACGCGCCTGCACGTATCAAAGGCCCGACGGGCAGCTTGTGCCCATCCGCTTTTGGCTCACATCAAAAAGAACCCAACACCGCAATTCGGGACAGGGTCTAGGTTCCCATCACCCCGTAGGCCCCACCCCACCCCAAGTCGGGTAATTCTTTCTTGTAAGATTTTGACGCATACTCCATGAGTCCTAATTAAGATAAATTACCCTGTGAATCTTAATACTGCGTTGAGACTTCGAATTTTATAGGGGGTTAAGCGCACCCGTCGACGTTGATTTTGCGCAATGTCGCGACAGCCACGCGCCGAATGGCGGGAAATTTTTGCTGAGGCGCAGGTTCCGTATGCTAAAATAATGGGCTGTGCGCAATTTGGTACCATGCGGGCGACCGCGACCACTGCGATAAAACCCGAACCCGAACCCAAAATCGCCCTGAGACTTATAAATTGAACCATAATTACGAAAAAATTATTTCCTAACGTTCCATATCTATATAGGGCTCTAAGGGATTTTCCTCCTTTTGGCTAGGCCGAATCACCCCGATGAAAAAGTTGCGCGTAAGAATAAAAAATTAATTACCTTGCTTAAGAGCTAGGCCGCCTTCGGGGGCTGCAAGACCGAACGCCCGTGACGTACTTTTTTTATGTATGCACGAAAAACAAGGGTAAAGTTTTTTTAGACGCACCCTGCGGGCGCATCGAAAAAACCGTGACCTTACCCAAAAGGGCCCGGGATGCGTGATTGTCCCGCAGCCCCTCTTTTCCCCGACGTCGAACTAAGATTTCGGGGAGAACACGGGGAGACTCGAGTTAGAGAAGCTCTCGGGTGACCAGAGGGGTGATTCACTAAGTGATTCACTGGGGCCGCCCGGGAAGGGGCCAAATCGGCGTTCTTATTAGCAATACGGGCTACCTTACTTCACCCGCAGGCTCTTGGCCCGTTCGATGGTGGCGAAGAGCCCGTTCGTGTGGACGGCGGACGTGTTCCCGGCGCGCGGGCAGAACGGCGGTCCGGGCGGGGCCTTGCCTAGCGTCGAAAGGCCGACAGTCAAATCATCGGCGCCGCGCGGGACGCCGCGCTTCAAGTATGGATTGCGCCAATGCTCGACAAACGGCGCGCCGTCGTTCGCCCCGCGACGGTACGGCGCCGGGCGCACCCGGCCGCAGGAGAAATCTGCGGCGCCGACCTGTGTGGAAATCAAAATTGTTCGTGCTGAATCATCGCGATTTCCACACAGGCGCCAACGAAGCCGGCGCGCGCCACGCGCGCGGCGAGCCGCTCGGCGTCTCGCGGCGCGTCGAAAGGCGCGGCGGCGCGGAGCGACGCGGCGCTCGAGGGCGGCGGCTCCGCGTAGCGGCGGCGGCTGAGCGCGAGCGCGCCCCGGACCCCGGCGCGGAGGTGGGTCTCCATGGTCGCGCCGCGCGCGGTGGGCGCGCTCCGCGGGTCGAACACGGGGGCGGCGTAGACGCCCGGCGCGCTCGCGGTCGACACGAGGTGGTGCAGATGCCGCGCGGCCGCGGCGAGCGCCCCGGCGCGCCGCGCGTCGTCGGCGGCCTGGTCGTCCAGCTCTCTCGCGGCGCGCCGCTGGTCGAGGCGCTCGCGGAGCGCCTCGCCCGTCGCGACGACTGCCTCGACGTAGCGCCGCCGGGCACGGAAGTCGTGTCGGTAGCGCCGCGAGTAGAACCCGCGGAACGTCCGCTGCGCGAGCGTGGCGTGGTAGTGGTAAATGGCGCGCGCCTCGCGCCGCGCGCGGGCCGCGCGGCGCGCCGCCGCGAGCTTCCGGGCCACGACGCCACGGTGCACCCGCTGGACCGCGATCGTCGCGCTCGTCAACGCCGCTATCCAGCTCCGGACGCGCTGGCCGCGCCAGAGTCGCTGGACGCGATCCAGCTCCGTACCCTGGTGCGCTCGATCGTGAAGGGGTCCGGACCGCGCCCGTGCGAGGGGTGCGTTCGTCGCGGACACGCACGTTGTACCAGTGAAGCCCGCGACGACGTGGCAGGCGAGCTTGTCGAAGGCCTCAGCCATCTCGCAAAGGCTTGGAAGGCGCAGGCGACCGATGTGGTGGCTCCGTTGTATATGATACATATCTAAATAAATAAATAAATAAATAAAATGTAGAGAAACCTACTAGCGGCCTGTAAGACACTAGCATACTCTATAGTTAGCCGCCCCCGAAGAAGACTACACCCCTCAGTCGGCGGCAGACGCCACGGCCGGCGGTTGCACGTGCTCGACCCACTGTTTTTGCAGTAGACATTCGGCGGTGCCTCTCATAATTTCGTCTCCGCGAACTTCCCGACAGCGTAGTCGGCTCCACCCCGAATAATAAATCAGACGAGCCGCCCAAACGTCTCGCGAAGCGCGATCTGCTGGCCGCGGGCGCGGTAGGCAGCCACGCACCGCGCTTTGCTCTGAGAGTCGAGCCTTCGCGAGCGCCGCGCCGGTGGCCCGCGCGGACGACGGGCCACGATTCAGAAACATGATAATGGGCCGGACTCACGCTGCATGAGATGCAGGACGCGACCGTGTCGCGCCGCGCTAAGTGACTCCCCGTGTAATACTAGCACTAAGAATGAATGTGGTGTAAACCTTCATTACGTCAAGGTGGGACTAAGTAGGAGAGTAAGAGGGGCCTAGTGTAGTACTAGGGGGTATATTCTTCGCACAGTGAGCCTGAGTATACAACAGTAATACTTATCTAGTAGCCCTAGTCTTCTGGCTCCTAGCTAAACAGCTATAGTATATTTATGTGCTTACGTACACGCTCGCGGGGGATAGGTCCCCCGTCCCCCCTAGTACCTACGGTAGGGGGGAATAAGGAATAAAGACTAGAGGTGTCTCCACAACTAGGGCATCTTGGCGCGACGCTAAGCGCCGTGCGAATTCCTGTCTTAAATGACGTGTAGGCGCGGCGTTTAGGAGTGCTGAAGGTCGGGGATTGACCTACTAGGCTTCGAGGTGTTTTGGCCCAACAGTCTTTGCCAGGCGCTGCCCCGCGTTTTTGCCCGCGGGAGGGCAGCTGTCGGGGCGGTGGGCCATGGCCGTCCAGCGGCGCCTCGACGCCATCGCCGCGATGCGCGAAGGCGGACGCGCCCCCGTCATATGTCTGCTGGACCAAGATCCACCATCCCAAGTGGCCGAGCTGGGAGCCGGGCGTTGGGCTGGAGATAGATCTACGAGGCGCCCGGGCGCGGAGTACGCCATGGGCGACGTTCGTACGCAGCTAGGTCGTCCCGATGATCTGTTGTTGCTCGCGCGGCCGTCGCGGCGCCGCGAGACGTTTCGGCGCCGACCGCGTTCTCGTGGTAGCGGCGCCCTCACGTTGTCCTTGATGCTGGGACTTACCTTGGTTTCGTTTTATTCGATTTTCATGACCTGCTCTTCTATCTTTCCCCTCCACATTTCATATCAGCCACTGTTGGGTTTCAGCCTGATCAAACCCAGCCTCCTGCCTCGAGAATTGGTCCCGTGCGCCCTTAACTTTGCTCAGAGCAGTGTTTCACCGCTGGAAACGACTCCTGGCGGCCTCACGACGCCGCGACGACCACGCATAACACCTTCAGAGGGCTACCAGACCTCTGCAAAAGCTATTTGGCGTTGCGCGCGCTACGGCCCGCCGTCGCGCGAACAGGTGCAACTTACGCGCCCCGACGCGACCTCACGCAGCCAGACGTCGCGCGCGTTCCGCGGTTTGAGCTTCACAACACCTCACGGCCGCACACGCCGTCGCCGCGCCGCGCCGTCGCCGCAAACGGCGTTAATCCAGCACGACCGAGCAACGCCTCGCGACGGGCGGAACGGACCCGGAAGCTGATTTGTGGTGGTTCCCGTCGGCTCGCCGGTCCTAGTGACCCATGCGGGTGTCGAAAGGGGTCGACTTGCTCAGGGGGCCTTGAAGCGCGCGGTTGTGCTGGTGGGTGCGTGCGTGCCCCGCCGCGGTCCCGTAGCGCCGCTCGACTACGGTCGCGCGGTCGCGGTCGGCTGCTGTTCGTGCGCGCCACGTGTCCATGAATAATAAACAATTAACGAAGGAATTTCCTAAAGGAAAAAGGACATTCACGAAGCCAGAAACGATACCTTAGACGTCCCGCTCCGAGCGCCAGTACGCGAGGACCTTCCAGAAGAGGACGTCCGGCAGCAGGCCGTCTCGACCGAAGAGGCCCGTGGAGCGAGGGACAACACGTAGTTGTAGGCTGTCAAAATGGATTTTCTATGTTCCTCGCCTTCGAGCTTCAAATATCCAGAGTATACGTCTCGCCGCATCTGCAGGGCTTCCTCGAGCCGTCCGAGCGATTGATACGTGCACGCAAGATTGCCCTGCGCGGTGAGTAGGTTGCGTGGCACGCGCAGCCACGAATACACTAGGGCATTATGATGTAAAAACAATTTAAGCTGCAAGTCCAATTGAACGCCGAGGAAGAGTCGTGCTCACGCTTGTGGACAGGTCGGCAGAGCCCTCGAGGCGTTGCTCGAGTTCGACCGGCGGCCCGCCGCGTCGCGTCCCATTTTGCACGCTGTGAGATTGACGCGTACACGCGGCGCCGGTGCGAGGCCGCGGAGGAATCGAGGAGGGAGCTCGAGGCCCGCCTCGCGGACTTCACTGTGAATGGGCGCGGCGGCGAGGAGCTCCAGCGGTGCAAGAAGGAGCGCAAGGTGCTGATCCGGGCCGTCCGGGAGCTCAGGCGAAGGGTCCGGAAGCTGCGCGAGGCGGACCGCAAGGCCGACGCCGTGTCGGCCTACTGGGGGTCGGGCCAGGAGCCCGTCGTCCCCTCCACGCAACGCGCCGACGACGACTGGATCGAGGTCTACCTAAAGGAGCTCCACGTGTCCGACGACGAGGACGAGGCGCCGCCTGCACCACCGCCTTCACTACCGCGGGACGGGGACGCCTTCGACGCCGCGGCGGCGGCGGCGCGGGGCACGGCGGCGGCGGCGGCGCGCTTCGTGCGCGCGCGGCTGCCGGCGCCCTCGCCTCCCGGGTCGCGGGAGCCGCGGGTCGAGGCCATTTAAGTTAGGGTGTTGTTTGTTGTTTACTTCTCGTATGTAGTTCGCGAGAGTGGTCTGCAGGGAGATGTCCGGTGCGCCAAAGCGCGCCGCGGCATAGAACACTGAGCCTCTTGCACGGACGACGCGTCCTCGTAATGGTCTCGTCGCCGCCAGAAGGCGGGATCCCGCCCGGCGCTGTTTCGAGGAGTAGTAGCTGCTGCGGGGAGTGAATAGTCTGTCTGTGAGGAACCACTGAGGATGAACGCGGCCTCGCTCGTCGCGCCGGACTGCGAGGTGCCTAGCGGGCCCGAGAGCAGTAGGTCTAGAGGAAGGGAGAGGTGCTTCCGGGCGCGGTAGACGGCTCTGGTTACGCTTCGATGATTGCGTGCGGGTACAAGCCTTTTTCAGCGGCTTGGTTTTGGCAGCACGGCCCCACCTGTGCATAGTTTTTGACAGCTATTAGAATAGTTGCAAAACGTGTACTTCAAGCAAGCCATCCATCAGGCGGATGCGCGGGCGGACTGCCCTGAACTATAGGTCGTAGGTCTTCAACATAAAAGGCATCGGCCAAAAATGACATCTCAGCGGTCGCACGAAGACACGAACTGGCGGGCGGCCCTCGAGGAATACCGGGCGGCGAAGGACCGCGCGGCCGGCGCGTTCCGTCCCGACGCGAAGACGTGCGCAGATCTCCTCGCGCGCGTCGCCGGTGTCGTGCGCAAAGGGCGCAGCAGCCCCGCGGGCCACGACGATGCCACGCAGCGCGCGGCGGCGGCGCGTGAGATAGTGGACGCCCCGCGTGGAACTTGGTTTCTCGGCGCCGACGCAGCCGCGCGGCAGACATCGGGAGGAGGGTGCAAGGGCGCCGCGACGTCCGACGTCCGCGCAGGTGGACGACCTGGAGCGGTCGGACGTCGCGACGACGGAGGCGACGTACGCGCTCCTCGCGCGCGCGTGCGCCGCAGCCGGGGACGCGGACGCCGCGACTGCCGCGCTCGCGCGCGCGCGGGCGGCGCACGTCGCTGTCCGGCGCCGCGCGTACGCGCCCGTGCTGGCGCTGCGCTGCGCCCGGGGCGAGCTGGACCGGGCGCTCGCGCTCGCGCGCGACGCGGCGGCGGGGGGCGTCGCCCTGGGCGCGGCGGACCATGCGGCGCTCCTCGCCTGCGCGGGCGGCGCGGGGCGGCGCGACCGCGTGCCGGACCTGCTCGCCGCGTACGCGCGCGACGTGCCCGTCGCGCCCGCGCCCGAGCCCGCGTGGGGCGCCGTGCTGGCGTGCGCGCCGCGCGCGTGGCGCGGCGCCCGGTTCGCGCGCGTCGACGCCGCGAGCGGCGCGTGCGGCGCGTGCGGCGCGACGCTCCGCTCCGTGGGAATCGGCGCGGCCGCGCGCCGAGCGCTCGCGGCGCGCGTCGCGAGCCTCGCGCTCCAGGCGTGCGGCGCCGCGCGCTGGGCGGCCTTCGAGCGGTGGCTGCGCGCTGTGTGGAGAATATTGCGGAGACCTTCGTGACAACGTCGCGTCGATGGCGTAGAATCTCCACGCCATCGAGAGATGCAGTTAGGGGACGACATCGGGTCGATGGCGCGGGGCGTCCGAAATTTGATTTCCACACAGGCTGCGCGGGTCAGCGCACGACTGCGTCGTCGACGGCGCGAACGCGGGCTTCGCGGGCGGCGCGCCGGCGCTCGAGCTCCGGCGCGTCGACGCCGTGGTGCGGGCCTGCGAGCGCCGCGGGCGGCGCGTGCTCGTCGTGCTCCACGCGCGCCACGTCGCCCGCGCGGCGCCGCGCGACCGGCCGCTGGTGCGCGCCTGGCGGCGCCGGGCGCAGCTGTACGCGTGCGCGGCGGGCGGCAACGACGACTGGTACTGGCTCGCGGCGGCCGTCGCCGCCGGCGACGCGGGCTGGCTCGTGTCCAACGACGAGATGCGCGACCACCACTTCGGTATGCTCAGCCGGGGGGACTTCCTCCAGTGGAAGGCGCGGACCGTCGTGAAGTTCGAGATGGACGGCGGGGACGTGGCCCTGGCCCCGCCGCCGCCGTACTCGGAGAGCGCGCAGTTTGACGCGGGTGGGTGGCATGTGCCGGCGCGCGTGGGGGCGGGCGCCGGCGAGGCATCTGCCGCCACCGTGGTCGTGCGGCGGCCCGCCCCCGGCGCGCTCGCGTGGCTCTGTTGCGCGCCGGCCCGAGCGTTCGAAGTCAGCAACAAAAGTGAGTAACCTCTAAAGGTCTACGTAGTAAGGAGCCTGGGAAGGAGGAAGCAGCCCTCGAGCGGTCCGGTCCGGCGCGCTAGTCACTCTCGTACGGAGACTGAGTCCGAGTCGGAACGCTGGCCATGATTGTCCCCGCCGCCGCCTGGGGCTTCAGGAGGGCTCAGAGACACGGGTTTTCTAAGCCGTGGACGGCCCAGCCCTCTGCTAAGATAGCTAGCCAACCAGATGGTTTGGTTATCCGCCGCCGGCCCGCGGCGCCTACTTGCGGCGCAGGAAGGCGGGCAGGCCCGCGCGCCGGCGACCGGGCCGCCCCGCCTGCGGCAGGAGCGGCCGGACGTCGACGCCCCCGGAGACGGCCCGCTCGAGCGCCGACGCGGCGATGCCCGTGGCCAGCACCGTGATCGACAGCTCGTCGGCCATGCCGTCCTGCACGAGCGCGCCGAAGATGATGTTCGCCTGCGCGGGCGCGACGATGCGGCGCGACCGCGCCGCGACATCTTGAAGGAGGCGCGGCTGGTCGCGTCCGCGTCGACGTTCTCGTAGATGATCTGCGCCGCGCGGTCGACCTCGGCGAGCGTCATCGAGGGCCCGCCCACGATGTTGAACACGATGCCGCGCGCGTTCAGCACGGGCGCCTCGAGGAGCGGCGACGAGATGGCGGCCACGGCCGCGTCCTCCGCGCGCGACGCGCCCCGCCCCGTGCCGATGCCGATGAGCGCGGCGCCGGCGTCCTGCATGACCGCGCGCACGTCGGCGAAGTCCACGTTGATGAGGCCGGGCTTGACGATGATCTCGGACACGCCCACGATGCCCTGCCGCAGGACGTCGTCCGCGACCAGGAAGGCGTCCGCGAGCGGCGCGTCGGCCGGCACGATCCCCAGGAGCTTGTCGTTCGACACGACGATCAGCGTGTCGACGTGGCGCTCGAGCTCCTCGAGCGCCGCCACGGCCTGGCGCGCGCGCTTCCGGCCCTCGAAGCCGAAGGGCTTCGTCACGACGCCCACGGTCAGCGCGCCCGCGCGCCGCGCCGCCTCGGCCACGACGGGCGCGGCCCCGCTCCCCGTGCCGCCGCCCATGCCCGCCGTCACGAAGACCAGGTCCGCGCCCCGGACCATCTCCTCGATGTCGGCGCGGCTCTCGACCGCCGCCGCCCGCCCCACCGCGGGCTCGCCGCCCGCGCCGAGCCCCCGCGTCAGCACGCGCCCGATGTGCAGGCCGGCGCACCGCTCCGCCTTGCCCGCGAGGGCCTGCGCGTCCGTGTTGACGCACCAGAAGTCGACGCCGCGGACGCCGGCGCCGACCATCCGGTTGACCGCGTTGCAGCCGCCGCCCCCCACGCCGACCACCCGGATGGCGCAGGGCCGTAGCTCCACGGCTCCACCGCCCGCGGCCGCGCTCATGATCGGGGAGGTCCGCGTCCGGGCAGAGGCGGAGCTGCTCGCGAGCGGCAAGATCCGGTACCAAGACAACGAAAACGTGCCAGCCGGGTTCGCGCGGCGCGCCCGGAGATGCGGCGCCTGCAGCGCGCGCGCCGCGGCGGCGAGGAGCAGGAAGTTTTCACATATCCTTGGTGGTCGCATAGCGGGTTCTAAGGCCGCAACGCAAGGCCTCACACAAGACGCAGGCTGTGCTCCAGTCGCTAGTGTCTTAAGGCCGCTAGCCCGCAAGGGAAGTGGTGCGTCCGCGGCGGAGAAAAAAAACTCCGTGCGTGATTTTTTTTGAAACCTGAATTCTCTCAATGCGCCTGTTTTTTTTCATGCTGGTGGCGGCGGCGGCATCGGCGGCGCGCGCCGGCGACGACCTCTCCTTCGCGGCGCCCTTCGACGCCGTCGCGGCGACCGGCGACCGGCAGGTGTCCCCGGCCTGGCGCGCGCACGGGTCCGCGGCCGTGCACCGCAACTTCGCGCGCCTGACGCCCGACCGCCAGTCCAAGGCGGGCGCGCTCTGGTCCGCGGAGAGCGTCGGCGCGGACCAGGCGACGCTCGAGCTCACGTTCCGCATCAGCGGCCAGGGGCAGCACTTCTTCGGCGACGGCCTCGCGCTGTGGCTCAGCGCCGACCGCGCCTTCCGGGCGGGCGCGTTCCACGGCGCGGACCCCCGCTTCGCGGGGGTCGCCGTCGTCGCGGACACGTTCCGCAACGACGAGGCCGCGGCGGCGCACCGCGATCTCGCGCTCGTCGCGAGCGGCGGGGGCGCCGCGGACGCGGCGGCACTGCTCGAGGGCGCCGCGGGCTGCGACGCGAGCGTGCGCTACCACGAGAACCGCGGCGACTTCTCCGTCGACCGGAGCTCGCGCGTGCGGCTCGCCGTCGCCGCCGGCGCCGCGACGCTCGCGGTGGACGCGGCCAACGACGGGACCTGGGTCGAGTGCGCGGCGGTCGCGCTCCCGCCGGCGCTCGACGGCGCGTGGCTGCGGCGCGCGCACGTCGGCGTGACGGCCTCGACGGGGCAGCTCGCCGACAACCACGACGTGCTCGCGCTGGCCGTGCGGACGGACGGCGCGCCGGCGGCCCCGGCCGCGGACGCCCCGGCGGCGGCGGCGGCGGCGGCGGCGGCGGCGGCGGACGCGCCGGTCACGGCCGCGCGCCTCGGCGCCGTCGAGGGGCGGCTCGACGACCTCGTCCGGCGCCTGGAGCACCTGCAGCACCACCTCGAGCACGAGATGGTCAGCGTCGACGACCACGTGCGCGTGACGCTCGACAAGCTCGCGCGCCAGGAGGAGCAGAGCGAGGGCCGCATCGACGCGCTCGAGCAGCGCGTCGTCTCGAACGTCGAGGAGTCGCTGGCCAAGCGGGTCGCGACGCTCGAGCAGGCGACGCGCGACGCCGTGCAGAAGCGCGTCGCGTCCGTCGAGACGCGGTACATGTCGCGGCTGGGCGACGTCGTGGCGGAGAAGGTCGAGGGCAGCGGCCGGGGCTGGACCCTCCCCTTCGTCGTGCTGGTGCTCGTGGACGTCGTCGCCTTCGTGCTCGCGCGCGGCTGGTACGTGCGGTTCAAGAAGAGTCATCTGCTGTGAGGCGCGCGCGGGGTGCATCCATAAAGACTTATGCCTGTTCGCGAAGGCACATCCTCGCCAAGGGCCAGGCCCTGACAAGCCTGAGGGATATTTTCCATTTTTCAGAGCGGGGAGAAGGCTCTTAGGAGCTTGTTCCTTTTTTTTAGGTCTTCCTTAATTAATTAATTAATTAATTTATTTTATTTATTTATTCATCTCTCTCCTACTACAAGTACGACTCGGAATCTTGTTCCTTTTTAGGTTTCTTTCATTTATTATATTATTATCAATAATAAGTAACGCGTCCCCTCCGGGTAGCATCAGGCGGAAGCAGCAAGGCCGCTGCGTCCCTCTTTTTCGATCTCTCCTTTTCGTTTCTCCTGGCGACGGCACGTCGATGTTTCGTAGCTTCTGAAGGCGTCCTTTCGGAAGGGGCTATTTCCATCAACTTTTTTCTGGCAGCTGTTTTTTTCCCCGATCGTGCATTTCTCGTCCGGTGATGTGGCTCTCCTTCTTGGGCTTGGTCGGAACCTTAAGCTCCATGTTAGAGATGATCCTTGACCGTGGTGTTGGGGTAGGTTCATTGTAGTGAAGCGGTTTTTGGACAATTCTTAAGCTGCTTATACAGGTTGGCAAACTCTGCCGTCTTGTCAGTAATGAATATGGCCACACGGAATGTCAGCTTTCCCTGCTCTCGTTTCCGTTGATAGTAGTCTTGTGGGGGCCGTTTGTTCGTATGATATGGATCTACATCTTCGGGCCCAGGAACCGCTGCACCCGTCGCACCCCATGGGGAGGAGGCCGCGTGAATGCGCGAAGGGCCCGCGCGAGACGCGCGCGTGTGACGGCTCATCCTAAGTGTGACTGACTATATAAATAAATAAATAAATAAATAAAGGGGCGCTACCAATATAGGGAGTACCTATACCAAAAATTAATTAGGGGCCTCCCACTGCGTCGCGCCGTCGACCTCTCTAAAGTAGTATGGCTGGCCCGACTCGGGGTCCACCATCTCGACCCAGCCGCCCGGGAGCTCCTCGCGGCCCGCGTTGAGCTGCCGGACCGCCTCGGCAGCCTCCTCGGCCTCCTCCTTGGCCATGGCCTCCTCGAGGCTGAGGACGCGCTCCTCGCCGTCCGAGTCCTCGTACTTGCGCCGCTCGGCCTCGGCCTCGAGCCAGGAGCGCGCGGCCTCGGCGGCGGCGGCGGCCGCCCGCCGGTCCGCGACCTGTGTGGAAATCGAAATTTTACGGAGCGTTCGTGTTGAATCGTCGCCTCGTCCTCCACGCCATCGACGCGACGCCTGCTCGATGGCGTGGCGATGTCGGTTCCTCACCGCTCGACGGAGCCAGCGCGGCCACGTCATCGCCGAGAAATGACTTAGTGAAGAATTATCCGGTGCACCCGACACACTGGTTGATTTCCACACAGTCCGCGACCTGTGTGGAAATCGAAATTTTACGGAGCGTTCGTGTTGAATCGTCGCCTCGTCCTCCACGCCACGGACGCGACGCCTGCTCGATGGCGTGGCGGTGCCGGTTCCTCACCGCTCGATTGAGCCAGGACGGCCGTGCCATCGCTGAGAAGTGACTTAGTGAAGAATTGTCGGGTGCACCCGACACACTGGTTGATTTCCACACAGTCCGCGACGAGCGCCATCGCGAGGTCGGCGGCGTGGCGCCGGACGGAGTGTCCCCGGTACGCGTTCTGGAGCAGGCGCGCGTACCTGCGCGCCAGCGCGAGCCGGCGGCGCGCGGGGCCCATCCACAGGAACCGGGCCAGCCGCGTGGCCGTCGCGTGCCGGAAGTTCGCCGCCGCCCGCAGCTGCTCCGCCACGGCGGGGCCGTGCCGGTCGAAGAACTCCGCGGGCGCCTCCCCGAACCGCGTGCAGGGCGCCTCCATCGCGACGCCCAGCCGCGCCAGCGCCCGCAGGACGCGCACCTTGCCGTGGAACGCGGCGTAGAAGGCCGGCGTGCCGTGGCCGTCCGCGCCGACGCCGTCGCAGGCGACCGTCAGGTCGACGCCGTCCTCGCGCAGGAAGTCCAGCACCGCGGGCTGGTCGAAGTGCACCGCCAGGTACGCGGGCGTCAGGCCCAGGTCGTCCGCGCCCTGCAGCCCGCCCGGCAGGTGGCCGCACCGGCGCAGCGCCCGCAGCAGGTCGACGTCGCCCGCCTCGATGAGCTGCGGCACGGTCGCGTGGCGGCACGCGTACAGCTCGGGGCCCCGGTACACGTACCGCCGCGCCCGCTCGTCCCAGGGCGGCGCGTACGGCGCCCAGCGGTCGGGCCGCCGCACGACGCGCCGCATCCGCTCGAGCTCCTCCAGCGAGTGCCGGCCGTGCCACGCGTCCGAGCCGTCGTCGTCGAAGAACGCGAACCGCGGCGGCGGCGGCGGCGGCGCCGCGGCCGGCGGCGGCGGCGGCGGCTCCGGCGGCGGCGCCAGCAGGAAGGACTCGGGGTCCGGGAACGGATCGTCCTCGACGTAGAGCCGGTCGGCGTGGCACATGCCGAAGAGGGGCGGGAAGCCGCCGCACCCGTCGTCGGCCCACGCGCCCGTCGCGCGCTTCTCCTCGGCGACCGTGGCCGGCTCCTCCTCCTTGCCGTGGTACTCGGCCTCGCGCATTTTCTTTTCCCTCTTCTTTCGAGCCGCCTCGCGCTTCTCGCGACGCAGCCGCGCCGACGCCTGCGCGCGCGTCTCGCCTGGCCGCGCGTCATCCGGCGCGGCCGCGGGCGCCGCGCCGGGCGCCGCCCCGGCCTCAGCGTCCGCCATGCCGCCGTTCAACCCACGACCTCGATGCCTACTGCCTGTTACGAGAGCAGGTCCTTTATGGAAATCCAGGATCGCCCCAGACGAGGCTTTTGCAGTAGGACGACAAAAGACACCATGTTAGCAGTCTTCCGGCAGGCATGTCCCCTTCCCCCGCACGCGCGGCGGGCAGCTCCGACATCAAGGTCCAGGGACAAGAAATATGCCCTTGCGCACCCTACTGGTATATCTCCGGCCAGTACCGTAGGTACATAATAATAATACTTGTAAATAAGATAAATTAAGGAGAGACCTCCTAAAGGATTAAGAAGGGGAAGGAAGTATCCTTTGATACAGGTCTCTAGCCCCTTGCCAAAAAGATATAGATACACATCCTCGATTTGGAGAGCGCCGCGGCCGCGGAGGAGAGCGGGAGAGACGGGCTGCCCGGTGGCCGCGGGACGATGAGCGTCGACCTCGAGGACAAGCTGGCCGCCATGGGCATCATGAACGCCACGGCCTACGCGAAGAAGTTCGCCGAGGACGAGTGGACCTGGGAGGCCCTGGTGGGTTGCAGCGACGAAAAGCTCGACGTGCTGGTGCAGCGCGTGGGCATGAAGGAGGGCTCCGCGCTCACGTTCAAGGGCCGAGTCCGCGACGCGCGCGAGCAGGCGCGGCTCGCGCCGGCGGCGCCCGCTCCCGACGACGCGCACCAGTCCTCGCCCGCGTGGAAATCAACCAGTGCGTGACGCGGCCGTCCTGGCTCGGTACCGGCATCGCCACGCCATCGAGCGGTGAGGAACCGGCATCGGTCGAGCGATACGCACCGCGTACCGGCGCCGGTCGCGTATCGAACGCGGTACCGGTCGCCGCCGATGCCGGCATGAGCGCTTCGATGCCGGTATACGTCCCATCGACGGCCGAAGCGTGTGTACCGGTCGAGCGGTACGCACCTACGAATGGGCATCGGTCGAGCGGCGAGGAACCGGCATCGCCGTCGACGCGACGCCGGAACGCGCCGTGAACTGTTGACGTTCGCGCAGGTCCGTGCGCGTCCACGGCGCGGCCGCGCGGGAGACGGACGGCGGCCGCTGCTTCGCCGAGGGCTGCCGCTGGCTCTACGGCTTCGGCGAGGGCGTCGACTACACCGAGGCGGCGAGCTACCTGAAGCGCGGCGCGCAGCTCGGCCACGCGCTCAGCGCGGCGCACCTCGCGTCGATCCTCATGGAGGGCAAGGGCGTGCGCGGCAACCCGCGGGCGGCCCAGCTCGAGGCGACGATGTGGGCCATGCGGTCGTGCGACGCCATGGGCCTCAACGACCAGGCGGCCGGCGGCGACGCGGGCGCGCGGCTCGCGCTCGGGCTGCTGCTCCAGGCGGGCATCGGCTGCGAGATGAACCAGGCGCTGGCCGTGAACCACTTCCGCGCGGCGGCCATGGCGGGCGACGCCGTGGCCATGAACTGCCTCGCGGGCGCCGTCGAGGAGGGCCTCGCCCAGGTCGACGAGCCCGACGCGACGGCGGCGGACTGGTACCGCAAGGCCGCCGAGGCGGGCGTCGTGCAGGCGCAGTCGAACTACGGGCTCGCGCTCATGCAGGGCAAGGGCGTGCCCCGGGACGAGAAGGCCGCCGTCGACTGGTTCGTGCGCGCGGCCGACCAGGGCGACCCCGACGTGCAGAACTGGCTCGGGCTCTGCTACCAGGACGGGCGCTGCGGCGTGCTCATCGACGACGCCGAGGCGGCGCGGTGGTACATGCGCGCGGCGGACTCGGGCGACGCCGACGCGCAGGCCGAGCTCGGCGCCATGTACAAGGAGGGGCGGGGCGTCGAGAAGGACGACGAGAAGGCCCTCGACTACTTCATGACCGCCGCGGACGCGGGCTCGCAGGCCGCGCTGGACGAGCTCCGCAACCGCGGCCTGACGGCCTAGGCGCCGGGCGCCCCCTTCCCCAAAACCTAACCGCGCACGGCACCTGAAACTGTACAACACACGCCCCTAGCTCACGACGCAGCAGGAGTTCGTCTTCCGCGCCTGCTTGTAGAACATCTTCGACTGCTTCGAGAGGTCGTCGGACCGCTCCACGAGCGAGTCCAGCTTCTCGCCCCGCTCGAGCAGGTTGTCGATCGTCTTGTGCAGGACGTCGGTCGTCTCGTCGAGGTCGCCCTGGATCTTGGCGATGCGGTCGTAGGCCTTCGGGTCGCGCGCGCGCCGCAGGTGCTCGGCCAGCGGCGGCCAGTCGCGCTCGAGGCCCGTGCGCCAGCCCGGGCTCGCGCGCTCGAACTCGGCGAGCGCCTGCGCGAGCAGCGAGAAGGCCGCGCGCGCGGGGTACTCCGCGTCGCACGTCGCCGTGGCCGCGAGGCCGTCGGCCCGCACGTGCGCGTGCACGCGGTAGCCCTCCATCTCCTCCTGGTCCACGGAGACGCGCTGGCCCGGCGAGACGCGCCCGCAGACCGTCTTGGCGAAGAACTGCAGCATCTGCCGCACGGTGGGCCGCTCGAAGAAGCCGAACTGGGCCAGGTCGCTGCACTGGCTCAGGACGACGGCGTCGCCCGGCGAGGAGGTGCGCAGGAGCGCGAGGTGGATGATCTGCATGGCGTCGCCTGCACCACCCAGTGAGACGCGCAAGCCTCCGACTATATTCACGCGTCCACGATCACACTACAATGATCCTAACACAGATGGTTTTGTGTATACGGCACTGAGAGTCTCTAGAGTGTAAGGCTAGTGAAAAAACACTAGTAAACTTCTAGTACGAATGGTATTGAAAAACACCAGGTCTGTGATGTGCTCTCAGGGGGGATCTTATCTTACCTGTACCTCAGTCCGGGCGACGTCCCACGCGTTGCTCGAGCGTTGACTCGAGCGTTCGCGCAGACGTCTGCACAGACGTTGGTTCAGGCGCGGCTTCGTTTGTCGGCCGGCAGGCCCTGCTCCTTGGCGTAGAATAGTCACCACGCGGCCCACGACGCCATGGTCAACCCCAACGCCGGGCAGAAGGCGCCCGGGGTCGGCACCGTCGACCGCGGTGGGGTACTATGCGCGACCAAGACCCTCCCCTCTACCGACTACAAGGGCTCCGGGTGGCCTGAGATCGTGGTCGAAATCCGGGGTCCGACTACTTCCCGACTACTTCGGCCGGGGGGCCGGGGCAGCCCGGGGGCTACTATACGCGGTTTTGGGGCCTTCCCACGCTACCCAGTACATCCTGGGGCCGCCCCCAGGCCATGACTAGGTCAAATGACCAGTAACTGGAGCCTCGGATGCATTTCCGGGCGTGGTATCGCCGAAAGTACCGAAATTTTGCGGGTATGGATAATTCGCAGGAACTCGGGGGATTGATCCAGCTCGGAGAGATACGTCGAAAACCGGTCTCAAACTAGACCGACTAAAAGACGACTACGAAGGCCTCTGAGGCGTCGGACGCGCATAGTACCCCACCGCGGTCGACGGTGCCGACCCCGGGAGAAGGCGGCGGCGGTCAACGGCCCCGCGCCGGCGAAGCGCAAGCGGCCGCCCAAGAAAAAGAAGAAGGGCGGCGGCGCCGCCGCCCCCTTCACGGCGCCGCCGAAGCCCGATGGACGAAGGTGGGCTCCGGGCCATCGCGAGCGCGTCATACACGCTCACCAAGATGAAGGAGCAGGAGCTGAGGGAGGCGGCGGAAAAACGCGCGCGGGAGGCGGCCCGCTCCTCGAGAGGAAAGGGGAAGGGGAGGAAGACGATCGCCGGCGGCGACATTAAGTCGGCCGAGCACATCACGACCAACTCCACGCCCCGCGAGCTGTCGTTTGATTAAACACCCGAGGGCCCATGCGCGCGCGTTAGATGACTAAGAATAGTATCCAAGTTGCCCAGCGGTCTGTAAGACACTAGCAAGCAGCAGCCTGGCTCCAGATTATAAATAGTGCTCGGCTTAGGCGCCGCGCCGGCGGCCTCAGGCCCCGTCGAGATGCTTCCCTAGCCCTCCGCGTTAGCTTAATTGCTAGCGTACAAAGACACTAGCCGTCGCCAGCATACCAGGCGCATTGCAGTGCCTTACGAGCTTGTAGTTTATTAGCGACTCGGAGCGTCGCGCAAACGTGGAGGTCGGGAGCAGTCCGGGTAGGGCAGTCGGACGCCTCTGGGCCCCCCTCAAGGCTGCAAGAGGCATGCGCCGCGTCATGGCTCTGCTGGCCGCGGTCCGCGCGCTGCAGCCCGCGGCGCGCGGCGCGCGCCGGCCCCGGACGCGCCTCCACGCCACGAAGGTGGAGGGCCCGTCGATGGACCAGGTCGTGCAGCTCTGCCGCCAGCGCGGCTTCGTCTTCGGCTCGAGCGAGATCTACAACGGCTTCAACGGGTTCTACGACTACGGCCCGCTCGGCTGCGAGCTCAAGAAGAACATCAAGGACCTGTGGTGGCGCGACTTCGTGCACGGGCGCGAGGACGTGCACGGCCTGGACTCGAGCATCATCGCGAGCCCCGCCGTCTGGCGCGCGTCGGGCCACGTCGACGGCTTCAGCGACCCCATGTGCGACGACAAGGAGACCAAGAAGCGGTACCGGGCGGACCAGCTCTTCGTCGGCGACGTCGTCGACGACGCGACCGGCATCACGCCGCGCGGAAGCTACGGTGTGGGGGGGGGCGCGGGGGGGGTCGCCCGGGCCGCCGCGACGCCCCGGTCGCTGGCCGCGCAGGCGACGTCGTGGGCGCCGTCACGGTGCTCGAGTCGGAGGACGTCGAGCGGGACCTCGCCAAGGCGGCGAGGAAGCTCTGCAAGGCCGCGCGGCGGCCCGTCGCCTTCCGGAGCGTCGCCGAGTGCTCCGAGGCCGAGATGGCGCGCGTGCCGCCGCCGGGCGCGCCCGACCGGCCCGGCGGCCTGACGCCGCCGCGGGCGTTCAACCTCATGTTCGAGACGCGCGTCGGCGCCGCGGCCGACGCCGCGGCGGCGGCCTACCTGCGCCCGGAGACGGCGCAGGGCATCTTCGTGAACTTCAAGAACGTCGCCGCGACGGCGCGGGGCTTCGGCGTGCCGGGCGGCGTCGCGCAGATCGGCAAGGCCTTCCGCAACGAGATCACGCCGCGCAACTTCGTCTTCCGGTCGCGGGAGTTCGAGCAGATGGAGATCGAGTACTTCTGCTCGGACGAGGGCGACGCGTGGCGCGCGTGCCACGCGGAGTGGGTCGCCGCGTGCCGGGCCTGGCTCGTGGACCGCGCGGGCCTGCGGGCGGAGCTGCTGGGCGAGGACGTGCACGAGGACCTGGCCCACTACGCGCGCGCGTGCACGGACATCACGTTCCGGTTCCCGTTCGGCGAGCAGGAGCTGCAGGGCATCGCGGCGCGCGGGTGCTACGACCTGACGCAGCACCAGGAGGCGTCGGGCAAGTCCCTCGAGTACGTGGACCAGGCCTCGGGCCGCAAGTACGTCCCGCAGGTCGTCGAGCCGTCGATCGGCGTCGACCGGCTCTTCCTCGCGGCGATCTGCTCGGCCTACGCCGTCGACGAGGTCGGCGGCGCCGAGCGGACGTTGCTCAAGTTCTCGCCGCTCCTGGCGCCCGTCAAGGCCGCCGTCCTCCCGCTCTCGAAGAAGGACCCGGCGCTGCTCGAGATCGCGCGGCGCGTCCACGACGACCTGAAGCGGCGGTACAACGTGCAGTGGGACGCGGCCGGGAACATCGGGAGGCGCTACCGGCGCCAGGACGAGATCGGCACGCCGCTCTGCATCACGGTCGACTTCGACTCGATCGAGGACGGCTGCGTCACCGTGCGCGACCGCGACTCGACGGACCAGGTCCGCGTCAAGGTCGAGGACGTCGCGGCGCACGTCGTCCACGTCATCGAGGGGCTCTGAGTGAGTAAGCCGTTATATCTTAGGCGCCGTTCGAGAGAGGGCGGAGTCGCTTATCGTATCCCCGAGTGAGCGGCGTGCCCCCAAAACCCCGAATCGAATGACGATAGGACGTCTAGCGGTTTGTAAGACACTAGTTTATTACAATTTAACTCGCGCAGCGCCGCGATCGCATAGGCAGGCGCACCGATTGACGTTTTGACCCCGCACTCGAAGCCACTCGCGCGGCGCAGCGATGCCGAAAAAGAAGGGCGGCAAGGGCGGCACGGGCGGCAAGCCGCCCAGGGCAGCTGATCCCCAGAGTGGCAGCAAGCGCCCGGGGCCCGCGAGCCCGCAAAGGGGCACGAACAGTAAGAACCGAGCCGTCGAGCCCTCCGGCAGCAATGAGGGCGACGGCGACGGCGTCCAAAAATCTCCGTCTCCAACGTGCTGACCTTCTCCAGGACGAGCCGCGGTTCTCTACTCCATCGACCGTGGCAGCCTCAGCTATCAAACTCGTTTGAATACCGGCTAAAAAGTCGACGCGTCTCGCGCGTTTGTCCGCCCGCACCGCGGCTAGTCGACTTCGGTTATCACCGTCCCACACGCACCAGTGACGCCTCCTGCGACCCATGCTGTCATACATGTTTTCTCTAAACACAGCGACCCTGTTCGTGCTGGTGTTCTCGTATAAATAGGGCAGTTCGCGGTCTTCACTGAGCCACGGTGCCCAGCCGGCGCGGCGGAAGGCTCCAGATGTTCGTGGGTTGAAGCCTGCCACGTGCCACACAACCGTGGCATCTAGGGCGAGTGGAGCGGCCGCGTCGTTCGCCGCGCGAGATATGACAACTTCTGCGTTGCGCGCAGCTTGCCGCCTCGGCGGTTGGGTGGACGTGGACTCCTCCATCGCTCGCTGAGTCGCCGTGGTCGGCTGCTTCGCCGAGTCACCCTGGGACTGAAGCACTTGGACAATTTGATGTGTTGCAGACCAGTCTACAGTAGATCCACAACTATTGTCTGCAAAGGGCAAGGATGCGTTTAGATGTGACTCGCCGCGCGTCTCGCGCGTTTTCTAACAAGTTCGCGCGTCGCCGTGGGTGGGATTTTTTGTTGCTAGTGTCTTACCATCGCTAGCTCGATTGAGCGGCGCCAAACGCTGGGACGGCGGCGCGTGCGGCGTTGACTAAACGCGTGTCGACGGCACGGAGGCAAGGGCATTTCGCTGTTGGATAGCTAAAAACACGCCGTGGCAGACCGCCGCGGTGGGCACTTCGCTGTTGGATAGCTCGCGGAAAACGCGGTCGCGCGCGGTCGACGTTCGTCAAGCGTCACATTTTCCCGCGCGCCGCGACGTACCCGAAGCGCGCCGAACCCGCGGCGCACTTTGCCTTGCAAAAACCCCAGCGCGCGACGCGGGCCGGCGCCGCAGGAGCGCCGTCGCAGGTCTCCGCGATGATGGAGCTCGGCGCGCGGCGCGGCTACAGCGCGATCGGCGCCGGCGCCGCGGCGCCGGCCGAGGCGCCGGCGCCGCGGCCCGCGCGGCCCGCGCGGCCCTGGCGCCGGGCCGTCGTCGGCGCGTTCGCCGCCGCCTGCAGCGCCGCGGCGCTCAGCGCGAACCGGCTCCGGCGGCGCGCGCCCCGGGCCGCCGCCGCGCAAATCCCCACGACGCTCGCCGTGGACGCGGGCGGCCACTTCGACAGCGACGGGCGCTTCGTGCTGCGCGACTTCGACGCGCGCAAGCCCTTCGCGTCGTTCCTGCCGGGCATCGGCGGCGAGTGGGGCGTGCCCATGTGGGCCTTCTACGTGAACCGCGGCCAGGGCGTCGCCGCCTTCGGCGTCGAGAACAAGGACGGGCCGCTCCTCGAGTTCGAGCCGGCGAACAAGGCCTACATGGACGCGCCGTTCCGGGGCTTCCGCACGCTGCTCCGCCTGACGCGCGGCGGCGCGGAGGCGACGGTGGCGCAGCCCTTCTTCGACCCGCCGTCCAAGCATCGGGAGCGGACGATGCTCATCGGGATGAACGAGCTCGAGCTGGTGGAGGTGGACCGGGCGAGCGGCGTCGAGACGCGGGTGCTCTACTACACGGTCCAGGGCGAGGACTTCCCGGCGCTCGTGCGGCGCGTGACGCTCACGAACGTCGGCGACGGGAGTGTCGAGGTCGCGGCGGCCGACGGCCTCGCGAAGCTGGAGCCGTTCGGCGTGAACGCGGGCATGCTGGGCACCATGGGCCGCACGCTCGAGGGCTGGATGCGCGTCTACAACTGCGGCCGCGCCGAGGACTCGGAGGAGACGAGCGCGGCGGCGTGCCCGCTCCCGTACTTCAAGCTGAGCGCGTCGACGGCCGACTCGGCCCAGGTGCAGATGATCACGGAGGGCCACTTCGCCTTCGGCTACGTCGAGGACGCGGCCGAGGCGCTGCTGCCGGTCGTCGTCGACCCGGACGTCATCTTCGGCGACGACACGACGCTGCGCGACCCCGCCGGCTTCGCGAAGCGCGGCGCCGCCGTCGCGGACGCGGCCGAGGTCAAGGTCTCGAAGACGCCGTGCGCCTTCGCCGTCGCGTCGACGACGCTCGCGGCCGGCGCGTCGACGACGCTCGTCACGGTCTGGGGCCGCGCGCGCACGGTCCCGCAGCTCGTGGACGACATCGCGCCGACGGTCCTGAAGGACCGGTTCGCCTCGAAGAAGTACGTCGAGGCCGTCGCGCTCACGGAGCGCCTCACGGCCGCCGTGGCCTCGGAGACGGCGAACCCGCTCTTCGACGCCTTCTCGCGGCAGATGCTGCTGGACAACCTGCTGCGGGGGGGCTTCCCCGAGTTCCTGGGCGCCGGCGGCGGCGCCAAGCGCGTCTACCACACGTTCTCGCGCATCCACGGCGACCTCGAGCGGGACTACAACAACTTCCAGATCGACGCGACGTACTTCAGCCAGGGGTCCGGGAACTACCGGGACGTCAACCAGAACCGGCGCGTCGACGTCCTGCTCTTCCCGGGCGTCCGGGACTTCAACCTGCGGCAGTTCCTCACGCTCAAGCAGGCCGACGGCTACAACCCGCTGACGGTGGCGACGGCGTTTTTCAGCCTCGCGCCCGAGGGCGCGCGCGACGACGCCGCGGCGCGCGCGAAGGCAGCGCCCGTCGCCGAGGCGCTCGCGGGCGACGCCGCGTCCCGGAAGAAGCTCGCCGCGCTGCTGGCGCGGCCCTTCCGGCCGGGCGACCTCTTCGAGCAGGCGCGGGCCGAGAAGATAAAATTCGCGAAGGACCGGGCCGCCGTCCTCGACGCGGCCGCCGGCGCGGCGCGCCAGGTCTTCGCGGCGAACTACACGCACGAGGGCTTCTGGGCCGACCACTGGACCTACGACCTGGACCAGATCCTGTCCTTCGAGGCCGTCTACCCCGACGACGTCGAGCGGGCGCTCTGGGACGCGGAGAAGATCCCGTTCTACATGTCGGCGGGCACGGTGCAGCCGCGCGACTTCAAGTACGTCGAGGTCGACGGCCTCGGGATCCGGCAGTACAATTCGGTCTACGACGACCCCGAGAAGCTCGGCCAGCTCGCCGACCGCGACGCGCAGCCCGACGGCGCGTTCGAGCTCGCGGCGCCGACGGGCGACGACGACGCGTCCAGCGCCGTCTACACCGTCGAGCCCGTCTCCAAGGTGCTCCTGCTCTTCGCCACCAAGTTCACGCTGCTCGACCCGAGCGGCCTCGGCGTCGAGATGGACGCGAACAAGCCGGGCTGGAACGACGCCATGAACGGCCTGCCCGGCCTGCTGGGGTCCGGCATGCCCGAGACCTGCGAGGCCTGGCGCATCGGGGACTGGCTCGCGTCCACGATCCGGAGGGTGCAGCGGCCCGTCGTCGTGCCGGTCGAACTCGGCGACTTGATCGCCAACACGACCGAGGCGCTGAAGGACGCGTCGCTGACGGACTTCGAGTACTGGGAGCGCGTCGCTTCGTATCGGGAGGCGTACCGCGCGCGCGTGCGCCTCTTCTTCTCGGGCGACGAGGTCTCGCTCGACGCGGCGACGCTGGCGGACTTCCTCGGCCGGGCCACGAAGAAGCTGGAGCGGGGCATCGAGAAGTCGCTCGCCTACACGGACGGGGTCATCATGCCCACGTACTTCCAGCACGTCGTCACGGCGTACGAGTACACCGGCCTGAAGAACTTCGTCGGCCAGCCGTTCGTGCGCGCGACGGCCTTCGAGGCCAAGGTCTTCCCGCTCTTCCTCGAGGGGCCCGTGCGCCAGCTCAAGACCGTGCCGCGGGCCGACGGCGTCCAGCTGAAGAAGATCCACGACGCCGTGCTCGCGTCGCCCCTCTACGACAAGCCCATCGGCCAGTACAAGATCTGCGAGTCGCTCGAGGGCCAGCCCTTCGAGATGGGCCGCATGATGGCGTTCACGCCGGGCTGGCTCGAGAACGAGTCCGTCTGGCTCCACATGTCCTTCAAGTACTACCTCGAGCTCCTGCGCGCGGGCCTCTACGAGGACTTCTGGACGGCCATGGCGACGGGCGCGCCCTACAACATGGACGTCGAGACGTACGGGCGGTCGCCGCTCGAGTGCGGCTCGTTCATCGTGTCGTCGGCCTACCCCGACGAGGAGCTCTGGGGCACCTCGTACCTCGCGCGGCTGTCGGGCTCGACGGCGGAGTTCCTGAGCATCTGGCTGCTCGTCTTCGCGGGGCCGGCGCCCTTCACGCTCGGCGACGGCGGCGGCCTGGAGCTCGCGCTGCGGCCGGCCGTGCCGGCGAAGCTCTTCAAGGACGACGGCACCGTGACGTTCACGTTCCTCGGCGGCGTCGAGGTCACGTACGTCAACCCGTCGCGCGCCGACTCCTGGACGCTCGAGGTCGTCAAGATGGAGCTCCTGGCGTCCAAGGACGACGACGGCGCCAAGACCACCGTCGACGGCCCGGCGCTGACGGGCGCGGCCGCGGAGGCCGTCCGGAACCTGCAGTACGAGGCCGTCCGCGTCTACCTGGAGTAGCTCCCCCCACACAAGTTCCCCCCGCCGCCGCCCCCCGTTTAACTGTACGTAGCCGCTACCTCTCTGAGGCTGAGGCTAGTTACGTCGCAGGGTTCCCCGTACCCCTCCCGCTCCCCCCGGGCCCACCCGTCCGGCTGGACTAGGACGCAAGGGCTGAGTCACAGGGACTCGCACGCCCCCCCTTCTTTTGGGACGACCCCCGTCAGGATGTGGAACTGGCCGCTGGCTCCTCTTTTACGACGAGCCGGAAATCAAGTGGTGAGAGAGATGCCCTCGCACACCAGGCCAACAAATGGGCTCAATGAATGCCACGGCGATTCGGAGGGCCTACGAAAGCTCGGCCGGCCCGGCGAAGGTTGCGAGTCTCTTGGCTAGTGTCTTACACTGGAGGTGCGGCTTCCCTGCTCAGCGCTTATTGAACCCACCCCCAGGTATGTAGTCGATGTTACGGCGCTGGGACTAGTCACCCCATGCTCGCTAGCGGCTGTAAGACACTAGCAGCACTACTAGTACTTACTAGGCTTGCCGTCGAGAGGAGACCCGAGCTACGTACGCCCGGCCAGCCCGCTCTCTCCATTGTGCGCTCAACGGCGGCGCCGCCCCTCGCGCCACAGACCGGGAAAGGGACTGCACCCTCGATCGACCAGCGCGCACACATGGACCACGGCCCCATCGACCCGGACCCCGAGGAGGAGGAGGCGAGCTCCATGGCCCAGGACTCGGACTACGAGTACGACAGCGACGGCGGCGGCGCGCCGGCCGAGGCGTCGATCTCGGGGCGGTGGCTCGCCGACCACCACAAGCGGCGGCGCTGGGAGGCGAAGGAGAAGGAGCTGCGCGCGGCCATGGCCCAGGAGAACACGCAGAAGGAGTCGAAGGCCCTGGGGCTCGCGGCGGCGGCGGGCGCGCGCGCGCCGCGGAACGTCTTCTCGGGCGCGGCGTCCTTCAAGGTGCTCGCGGCGGACCTGCTGGCGCTGCAGCACGACGCCGAGGACGGCGCGGGCGCCGGCGTGCGCATCGAGGCCGAGGCCGTGGGCGACTCGGTCTACCACTGGTCCGTCCGGCTCTCGCGCTTCGCGGCCGGGAGCCCGGCCCAGAAGTTCCTGGGGCTGCTGGAGCGGGCCCACGGCTACGGCCACGTCGAGCTGGACGTGCGCTTCGCCATGGACCTGTACCCCTTCTTCCCGCCGGTCGTCCGGCTCGTCCGGCCGCGCGTCGGCGACGACGCGCTGCAGCGGGTCGCGCAGCTGCCGTCCCTGCGGCTGTCGGGCTGGGACTCGGTGCGGGGCATGGCGCCCGTGCTGCGCGACGTCGCGGCCGTCGTCGCGGCGGAGGTCGCGGCGACGGCGCCGCCGCCCGGCGACGCGCGGAACGACCCCTACGCGACGCACCAGGGCGCCTACGCGCCGCTGGAGCACGTGCTGATGCGGCTGGGGCTCCTCACGGAGACGCCGCCGCGGCGCCGCGCGCTGGCCGCGCGGGTCGCGGGGCGCGCGAGCCCCGAGCCCGGCGCCGTCCAGCGGGAGAAGCCGTGGCGGCCGGCCGCGGGCGCGCTGGACCCCCTGGCGCCGGCGCCGGCGCCGGCGCCGGCGCCGGCGCCCGCGGCCGCGGGCCCGGGCCGCCGCGCGGACCGCCCGAAGCGGGCCTACTGGGCCGCCGGCACGGGCTACGGCCACGACAACAGCACGACGACGGTCTCGTGGGACGTCGACGCGTACCTCGCGGCGCAGCGCGAGACGGACCGGCTGCTGAGCGAGGCGCTCCGCGAGGTCCGGGGCGCGCTGGACGACACGGGGCGCTGGCCCGGCGACATGGCCTGCGTCGGCGCGTCGGCGCTCGTGCCGGTGCTCGCCACCTACCTGCGGAACGAGTCGCTCGTGGACGCGTCGCGGCACGCGCCCCTCTACTCCGGCGCGATGCGGCTGCTGAGCGCGGTCGCGGCGCACGTGCCCGCCTGCCTCGTCGGCGCCGTCGACGACGACGCCGCCGACGGGGACGCGTCGGCGCGCGCGCGGCTCGCCGTGGAGGCGGCGGACGCGGGGCGCCGGCCCGAGGGCGAGTCGCTCTACGGCCTGACGCGCGTGCTCAAGGACCGGCTCCGCATCTTCGAGCGGGCGACGGCCAAGGAGACGGGCCGGCCGGCGGCGCCGGGCGCGCCCGGCGCGGCGGCGGCGCCGCCGGCCGTGCCGCCGCCGCGCTTCGCGGGCGCGGCGCCGCCGGCGCACGACGACGAGCAGGCCGCCGCGCTCATGCCGCTCATCGCCGCGGCCGTCGCGGACGTCGACGCGGCCGTGCGGCGCCTCGCCGGCGGCGCGAAGCGCGCCGCGGCGGCGGCGGCGCCGCCCGCGAAGCGCGTCCGGACCGAGGACACGGCGCCGGGCGCGGACGCCGCGGCGCCAGGCGCGGACGCCGAGGCGGCGTACAAGGCCGCGCTCGGCCCGCTCCAGTACGACGACGCCGACGACGCGGCGCAGTGGCGGCTGCCCGCGGCGGCGGCGCCGCGGCCGCACCCGGCCTTCCGGCGGCGCCTCGCGCAGGAGCACGTCGACGTGAGCCACTCGCTCCCCCTGAACCTGGCGTCGAGCGCGTGGTGCCGCTGCCACCCGTCGCGCATGGACGCGCTGCGCGTGGCCATCTCGGCGCCCGAGGGCACGCCCTACGCCGCGGGCGTCTTCGTCTTCGACGTGCGCTTCCCGCCGAGCTTCCCCGCGGCGCCGCCGAGCGTGACCATGCTCACGACGGGCCGGGGCACCGTGCGCTTCAACCCGAACCTCTACGAGTGCGGCAAGGTCTGCCTGAGCCTGCTGGGCACGTGGGAGGGCAAGGGCGGCGAGACGTGGAACGCCGAGACGTCGACGCTGCTGCAGGTCCTCGTGTCGATCCAGGCCCTGATCTTCGTGAGCGACCCGTACTACAACGAGCCCGGCTTCGAGGCCCAGATGGGCACGCCCGTCGGCGACCACCGCGCGGCCAAGTACGCCGCGACCGTGCGCGAGCACTGCGTGCGCTGGGCCATGATCGACCAGCTCCGGAACCCGGCGCCCGAGTTCCGCGAGGTCGTCCGGCTGCACTTCGCGCACCGCCGCGACTTCGTGCTCGCGGACCTCGACGCGGCCATCGCCGACGCGACGCGCCGCGAGGCGGCGCCGGCGCCGGCGGCCCCGGGACCCCCGCGAGGCGTCGCCGGGGGCCCCGCGCCGCACGAGCCCCAGTTCTGGCGCCATCACCGGGCGACGCTCACGGAGCTGCGCCAGGACCTCCAGCGGCTCCTCGACGCGCCGCCCGCGCCCGCCCCGGCGCCCGCCGCCCCCGCCCCCGCCCCCGCCGCCCCGGCCTAAAAGCGGGGTCTTCCCATCGTTGGGACTTCTCGTGGGTGAATCTGGAAGAGCTAGTGAGTGAAACACCCCCCCCCCCTCCAAGGAGATGAATTGATGGGGGGGTCGATGTTACGGGGGGAGCTTATGCTAGGGCCAGGAGAGGGATGAGCCTGTACATCCGCGTACTGGTATGCCCTTGCCTGTGCACGTTGCGTGTCGCTGGCCATTAGTCGCCGTGCTGCCACCGCAAGCCATCTGCTAAAGCGAAAAATGCTGCTCCGCACCGCCCGCACCACTCTACGCCGCGCCGCCGTCGCCGGCGCGCAGCAGCGGCGAGGCGCCAGCGCGCTAGCGGCGACGCGGCCCTGGCACGAGCCCGACATCCTGAGCACCGAGACGAAGCAGTTCCGCGACGCCGAGCTCGCCCGCCTCGGCGCGCTGCGCGACGCGGCGGCGGCGGGCCTCGACGGGCCCGCCGCGGCGTCGCCGGCGGCGGCGTGCCTCGACGCGTCGGTGACCGAGGCGTCGGGCGACGCGCCGCAGCTCCTTGCCGCCTTCGCGCGGCGCGCGCGCGCCGCGGCGGCGCAGGGCGCCGGCGCGCCGGCCGAGACGCTCCGGCTCGCGTACGCGGCCCGCTACGCCGAGGCGCTCGCGCGGCGCGCCCTGCCGCGCCAGGAGCGCGGCGACGCGGCGCGGCCCGGCGCCGGCGCCCTCGCGAGCGCGGTCGCGGCCGTCGCGCCCGAGGCCGACCTGCCGTTCGCCGGGGCGCTGCGGCGCGAGGGCGCGGCGGCGCGGCTCGAGGCGGCCCTGCGGGCGGCCTGCGTCGGCGACGCCGCGGCGCGCGTCGAGGCGACGCACGCGTTCGTCGACGACCGCGCGGAGGGCCTCTCGGTCAAGGCCGCGGCGGCGGCGCTCGAGGCCGCGGCGCTGCCCGTCGGCGAGGCGATCGCGGACGCGCACGACGTCCTGGTGCGGGCTTCCCTCGCGGCCCCCGACGCGGGCGAGGCGGGCCGGTGGAAGGCGCGGCGGCGGCGCGGGCTCGTGCGGCGGGCGCGGAAGGACGCGGCGAGGCACCTCGACCGCAACGCCCGCGACCGGCTCGACGTGCCCGCGAAGGCGCGCAACGCGGCGCACTGGGCCGAGCCCGACCGCGAGGTCGCGCAGCCGCCGCCGCCCGCGGCGATGAGCGTCGAGTGGCTCACGCAGCGGCGGGACCCGCACGCCGGCGCGCGGCTCGCGGCGCCGACGCTCGCGGCGGCGTCGGCCGAGTTCTTCCCGGAGCACGCGACGCTGGGCGCGACGCTCGCCACGAGCCTGCTGCGCCACCGCGAGCAGGCCTGGCGCGACGCCGAGGAGGACTACCTCTCGCGGCTGCTGACGCTCGCGTTCTGCGCCTTCTGCGGCGTCGCGGACTACGCGATCATGGTGCACTAAGTCTATTGGATTGGAGCCCCTTGTCAAGGGCCTTTTTTTGTATGTGTTGTGTGTTGTGTTGTGTGTCTGCCCGGCGGCGTGGAGGTGAACGCAGGTCAGAGAGAGGGAGGCACTTAGCAAGGAGGGGGGTCGCGGTCCGTGCGCCAGAATTGGAGGATCTTCCAGGCCAGCTCCTTCGGGAGCGGCGGCGCCTCCGTCGACTCGGGAACGGGAAAGAGGCGCGCGAGGACCGGCGGCGGCGACGCGCGGCCCGCGGCGCAGAGACACCGGAGGACAATAAGTTGTTTGCGGGGGGCGGCTACGTAGCGCTTCCAGGAGCCCGCCGCGCGCACTTCGGCGAGCAGCGCCTGGAACGCCTCGACCGCGCCGGTCCGCCGGCAAAATTCCGGCATCGCCGGGATGCCGCCGTCGGAGATATCGTTGTCCAGTTGATAATTTACAATCGCCTCTGCATTGTCGCCAACGCTGTCCACCAAATCAAGGTCCGCACCAGCAGCCAGAAGCTCGCGGACGACGCCGAGCGAAACGTACCCAGCCATTGCTGCGGCCATCAGGAGAGGCGTCACGCCGCCCGGGGTCGACCTGGCGTTCACCGCGGCCCCGTGCTTCACAAGCAGACGAACGATGCCCTGGTGACCCATCGAGGTGGCGACTTGGGCGTTGGCGATCGACCAATGATCCGTCATTCGACTCCAGTCGTTCGTCAGCACGGCGCGATGGAGCGCCGTGTCCCCGCTCCCGAGCGGACGACCCGCGGAGGCCCCGTAGCGCAGCAGGACGCGGACGGTGTCCACCGCTCCGACCCCGACCGCGTAGCCCAGCGCGCCACCGGCCCCCTCCTCGACGCGGGCGCCCGCCGCGCAGAGGAGCTCGGCGACGGGCGCGCACGCCGGCCGACACGTCATGCAGGCGTTCGCGAGGAGCGTCGTGCCCGCGGCCTCTCCGTTCAGTTTGATCGCGTGGGGCGAGCCGCCCGCCGCGAGCCACTCCCTGACCACCTCGATCCTGCCCTCGCGCGCGGCGAGCGCGACCTCGTCCTCAGGAACAGGCCGCCCTCCGGCACCGCCTTCGGCGGCGCGGCGCTGTGCGTCAGCAGCACGGCGACGGGCCAAGAGGCCGCCGCCGGCCAGAGGGAGGCCACCCTCGAGCCCAAGTGGGAATTGTAACGGAGCGCCCGGCGGGTATTGCTGCATAGGCACCTGGACCACGGGCGCGGCGCCGGGCGGCGCGTACGGCACGAACGGCGCGCCCGATGCCCACGGCGGCGGCGCCGGCTGGGCCGGCTGGGCCTCGAGCCCCGGCTGGTCCATAGATATAGATGTCAGACACCGCGACCCCAGGCCGTGGGTTGGGCTTTTTGACCTCGAACCCGGCCTATCTGTGAGATTGAGATTGTTGGGGCACGAGATTGGCTGCCCCAGCTTTTTTTTTGGCTGGAGATATCAGCTGAGGCTTACTGGGATGCTCAGCAGCATCGGACGCTCGGCGCCCCATCCGATAGAAAAGTGCGACCGCGGTTCGCCTCACGGCTCGTCCGATAGGTAGATACATACTTGGTTCTGAAAACCCGCGGGTTCCTAGTGTGTCGATACGCTAGATCACTAGGTCTTGCGGCTCGCCAAAATACACCAGCGATTGACGGCGCCATCTACCGTCCAAATGGGACATCATATCAACTCCAGCCCAGTTTTCATACACACTCGACGGAACCGGAGCCGACGGCGCGCGCTCGGAGGGCGGGAGAAGAATTCTACTAGACAACTCCCGAGTTTATGTTCGTTTCCTTTCGTTTGTTAGTGGTAGAGTCCATCTAGGCCAAATCAGCCCGCACTGAGCTATTTTAGATATTCCGTTAGAGCCTCGCGGTGAGGCGATTTCGCGACCCCACATTTATGTGAAGGTGGGCTCAAGACCTGAACCCGCGAGTATCAGCGACGACACCATCCAGATGGACCATAACGCCGTTGTTCTATTCACAATCGACCGACTTGCCCGTTCTCCGCGGACGACGGTGCGTACGCGGGGCACTGGATTGGCCCCAGACCGGTGGTTTATAAAATAAATTTGCGTTTCAGGCGCCTTTTTTGTGGGACGGGCCAGATAACCGGCCTGAGCGGCTACTACATTGCTCGAGACCCCACGATGCTCGGCGCGGGTCAGTTTAATGTGGCGCTTTTAGTCTATTATGGCAAGTTACTTTGGCGGAGATAACGCCCCACTAGCCGGGGTCGCGGGGTCCCCGAGGGAGTGGGTGTTGGTCCCGGCCTACTCGGAGAGGCCGTGGAAGAGTCCTGAGAAGGGTGCCCATCCTCTGCTCCCCCGCAGCGAAGGGAGCGCGTAGGTCCGGGACGATGCCGTCGCGCGTCCTCTTCGACTTTTCACGAAAATATCGCCCTCGCGCCGCGCCGCGGATGAGGTCCTCGAAGGCGCCGTGGACCTGATGTATGACGGGCACATCCGCCTCCCGGAGCGTGTCGCGCAGCTCCAGCTCCATCGCCGACGACCAGATCGTCCGCGCCCCATACTTGTTACAGAGCCGCGTCGAGGTGAAGAAGATGTCGCCGCGCGGGTCGACGCGTAGGCCGGTGTCGCCGATGAGCGTACCGACCCACGGCGCCATGGCCGGCGACGCCAGGCCGAACGAATTCGAGACGACCTCCGCCCAGAAGCGGTTCTTCAGGCGCAACACGCTATGCGGAATCGCCTGCAGGGTGGAAATCAAACATAGGGCTGGGTGCACCCATAGGAATATTATTAATTAACTAACTATCATTTCGGCCGGCAGACACCTCCTAAAAATTCCGCGCGCGCGCGTTACCCCCCCTCTGGCGCGTAACTAGGGTAACACGCGATGCTCAACATCCGCCTCCTGAGCCCCCCACAGACCACCCTAGGCACAGTTCGAGGCCTGTGGGATCATTATTACACCGAATTTCGCCCGTTTAGGTCTTGTTTTGGACCTAGGTGACGGGTTTTGCTGATTTAACCCCCCTCCCTCTACTTCAACTTTACGTTGAACTTCAGTCTGACGCGGCATAAATATCCGAGGTTTACTCCTATAATATTTTGATTTCTACCCTGATCGCCTGCCAGAACGAGCGAGCCGCCTTGCACGCTTGCGCGCTCATGAACGACTCGCGTCGCGCGTCGTCACCCGGCAAGGCCGATAACTCTGCCTTCAGCACCGCAGCGGCGGCGGCCTCGCGTTGGCGCGAAACCTCGCGTTGGACGCGTAGAATCGGGAGACCGTTGTCGTCGAGGCCCGCGTCCTCCACGGGCACGGCGAGCGGGCCCACCTCAATGTCGCCGCGTTGCGCGTCACACCTCATCAACTAAGCCCGGACCCCCCGAAACGAAGTAAAACAGGTTTTTTTATAGAGAGGGACGCGGCACGGCCTGCAAGCGCCACACAGCATCGCGCGTCATGCAGCCGGCGACCTACGCCTCGGTGGCGCACGTCGGCTGGGAGCGGAGCATCCGCTGGGAGGCGCCGGACGACGACGACGCCGCGGAGCGCGCCGCGCCCATCGTCGGCGGCGACGCCCGCGTCGCGAGCGGCGCCTGGACGCGCGCCATCCGCTGGGACGGGGACCAAACCGCCGCGCCGAGCGATGAAACGACGCACGCGCCCGCGGACGAGGACGCGCGCGCCGCGCGCGCGTACCGCGAGCCGGCGGGCCGGCAGTCGCGGCGGCGCGCGGCGGGGAACCAGCGCCTGCCCAAGGCCGCGAACGCGCGGCCGGCGCAGCTGCACCGCTTCGTGAGCGCGGACACGGCGAACCGCGCCCGGGAGCTCTTCCACCGGCCGCGCGTCGACCACCGGCTGCTGCGGGCGCCGTGGCGCCTCGCGGCGCGCGGGCGGTCGGCGGCGCAGCGCGGCGCGCGGCAGCTGCGGGCGCGGTCGCTGGACCAGGTCCGCGCCGAGGACCTCCGGGCGGGCGACGGCGACCTGTTCGTGGGGGAGCTCTCCGAGGAGCGGCCGGGCCTCGTGGCGAACCCGGGCATGAGCTTCGCGCTGTGCCGCCTGCGGCGCGGCGTCGAGGGCCGCGCGTCCGACGACGACGACGACCGCGACGGCGTCGCGGTCGACCTAGGGATGGAGGCGCCGTCGCCGCTGCTCGGGGACCTGCCGGAGCCCGGCCGCGAGCTCCTGGTCGGCGTCTCGAACTTGCAAAGGCGGCCGGTCTTCCCGCACGCGTCGCGCGACTTCCTGCTGTGCCTCCGGCCGCGGCTGCGCAAGGACCTCGGCAAGGCCGCGGAGGTGGCGTGGACCTGCCGGCCGCTGCGGAAGCACGTCGTCGCGGCGCTCGGCCAGGGCGAGCCGCGCATCGAGGTGCCGCCGGCCGGGTCGAAGCGGTACGCGGCGCTCCAGGAGCCGCTCGCCGCGTTCCACATCGCGCGCGCGCTGCTGGCCAAGAGCTCGGCGGCCAAGGGCGACGTCAAGCACGCGACGTTCCCGGCGTCCGACCTCGGGCGCGCACTCTTCGCGTCGGCGCCCGCGCCGCTCGCGCTGGTGAAGCGCGCGGCGGCCGAGGTCGCCGAGCGCGTGCGCGACGTGCACGGCGAGGCGCTGAAGAGCGTCGAGGGCGAGGACCTCTGGACGCACCGGGCCCAGGCGGTCCGGCCCGACGACGTGGCGCTGCGCTTCGCGCCCGAGGACGTGTGCGCCTACGAGTCGGCGTCGGCGTCGCTCAAGCGGCTGAAGCACCTCGGGTTGCGGCGGCCGCAGCTCCTGGGCGGGCCGGCGGGCGTCGCGCCGGCGTGCCGCAAGCTCTTCGAGGTGAAGCGCGCCGCGGACGCGCGCGCCAAGGACCTCGAGACGCGCGCCCGGGGCGACCCGGGCCCCGCGCCGTCCCTCGGGGACCTGTGCGCGGCGGCCCGGCGGCGCTGCGCGGAGGCGGACGCGACGCTCCGCGCCGCGATGCGCGTGCACGAGGAGCTGAGCTTCGCGCCGGCGCACCTGACGAGCGGGTTCTGCGACGCGGTCCTGAAGAAGACGCAGCACGCCGTGCTGCGGCTCGAGGGCCCCGGCGACCCGAGCGGCTGCGGCGACGCGTTCTCGTTCGCCCGGTCGACGCTGCGGGAGCTGCGGCGGGGCGACGTGATCCACAAGGCGTCGGGCCAGGCCGTCAAGGAGGCCTACGACGAGCGCGTCAACGCGATCGCGCGGCGGCAGCGGCACGCGCTGTCGGGCCGCGGCCACGACGGGGCGCACGTGGAGGACGACGCGCTCAAGGACCTGCGGGGCGGCTTCGTGGGCCGCGGCGCGCGGGGGCCCTACGCCACGTCCAGCGGCTACGACGCCGCCAAGGCGCAGAAGGCGCGGGACCAGAACAAGCGGCGGAAGGGCGGGTCGCACGGGCGGCGGTCGCCCGTCGAGGCCGACGACGACCTGGAGGACCTCGAGGCGGACCTCGAGCAGGACCTGCTGCAGGGCGAGGCCAAGGACGAGGACGAGCGGCAGCTCGAGTCGTTCCGGCGGGCCCTGCAGCAGGAGAGCAACGTCCAGCAGGCGAGCGGGCCGCCCAAGTTCCTCGTGCGACGGCTGACGCGGCGGCTGGTCCACGGGCGCGAGGTCGTCGCGGTCACGTTCGTGAACAGTTCGCACGAGGTCGACCGGGTGGCGCGGCGGACGGGCGTCTCGCTCGAGGCCGACGACGACGCCCTCGTGCTGGACGTGCCGCTGGACGACCGACGCCAGGCGCCGGGCCCCAAGAAGCTCACACTGCGCCTCGGGGCGAAGGAGGAACCGAAGAAACGCACGGGCGCCGTCAAGCTCAACCTCACGAAACTGCGGGGCCGCGCCGACGACTACAAGGCGGAGGCCAAGCGCCAGAAGGCCGAGCAGCAGCGCGCCGAGGCGGCGGCCTACCACCGGCCCGTCGCGAAGCGCGAGGGCCCGCGCGCCGACGCGCAGAACAAGCCCCACGTCCAGCTCGCGAAGCTGCTGCGGCAAGAGTGCCTGAACCCCATGTACGCGCGGCCCGGGTGCCGACCCTTCGTCCGGCCCGTCTCGACGAAGACGTTCCCGCTGTACAAGACGAAGATCACCAAGCCGATGGACCTCTCGACGATCAAGTCGCGGCTCGAGCGCTACGTCTACCGGGACCGCGAGGGCTTCATGGCGGACATGGACCTGATCGCGACGAACTCCATCACGTTCAACGGCCCCGAGCACCCGATCTCCAAGGAGGCCCTGGCGATGGCGCGCGCGGCGCGCGCGGCGTGCGACTCGTTCGACGACGAGCTGGGCGCGCTGGAGCGGGCGACGAAGGCCATGATGGCGGCGGCGCCGAAGCGGCGGCGGGCCTCGCCGCCGCCGGCGGCCGCCGCGCCCGCGCCCGCGCCCGGCGACGGCGTCGCGCTCGCCTTCGCCGGCATCGGGCGCGCGCCGGTGCCGACGAACGCGCGGACGCCGCCGACGTCGCCGCCGCCCCAACTCGCGCCGCCGGGCGCGCCCGTGCGCCAGGCCTCGACGGCGCCCCAGCAACCGCTGCTCCGCGTCGCGGCGGCCCGGCCGGCGGCGACTTCCTCGCCGCCGCCGAGCACGCCGTTCCTCGCCGCCGCGCTGGCGGACGACTCGTCCTCGGGCGAGGAGGAGGCCGTCGGGGGCGGGGCGATTAATTGATTTATTATGGTGTTCAAGTTCGCTTCTAAATTGTAGCCACGCCTTCAAGTTGCTTTGCTTAGAGCTAGGCCGCCTAGCCACCAACGACGCCTTACTCCGCGAGAAAGGTTTCGCAGTAGTAAAAGCATTTGGTAAGGCTGCAGGGACTCGGATAATATCGACCGGCCGGTCCTTCTATCGATCCGACGAGCAAAATCTCTCGGTTGTGGATTCTCTAGCACGTCGTCAAAAATCTCTACTCGGTACTGGTATGTGTACATTACGGCCCTTTTTACCGCACCAACTGAGCACCTCTGCGAGCTGCTCTGTGCCTTGAAACAGGCGTTTTACGCCAGTTATCTATTATGCCCGTGACCTGCGTGGCGCGCGCCTTTTATGCTGAGTTCGACGACGTCAAGGGCCCGGTGGTCCTCTACGAGGAGCCGCCGGGCTGCCTGACCCGGGACGAGGAGGGCCGGCGCATCTGGGAGTGCTTCGGCGACTACGTGATCACGGGCCGGGAGCCGCTCGACGGCGTGGCGGTGCGCGCGCGCGCGGGGCGGGACGCGGTGCTCTGCGTGCCGCAGATCCTGCGGAGCGAGACGCGCTACGTGCGGAACGCGTTGCTCTTCGGGCTGGGCGTGGCGGTGCCGGGCGCGGACCTCCCGGCGGCCACGGGGGCCTGCCTGCCGGCGCTGCAGCGCCTCTCGCGATCCCTGAGGGCGCTCGAGGCGGAGGCCCAGGACGCGTCGTGGGCCGCGCGCAAGGAACGATTGGAGGCGGCGCTGCCGGCCGTCCTCGAGGCGCTGGAGCGCGCCGCGGCCCAGGCGTGCCGGCGGCACGTCCCGCCGGCGCCGCCGACGCCGTGGCCCGCGACGCGCGACCCGAACGTCCTGGCCCTCGCGCGGCCCTGGCTCAGCCGCAGAAACGCCAAGGCCTCGGTCGTGCACGGCGGCCTGGACGAGCGGCGGCCGCCGCCGGCCGTCGAGCCCTACGAGGTGCCCATTCTGCTCGCGCGGCCGCGCGACCTCCTGCGCCTCTCGTCGCACCGGTACGGGGACGACGCCTGGGACCTCGCGGTCCAGCAGGTCATCCCGCACGTCGACGGCGTGCGGTCCGCGAAGCAGCTGGCGCGCGCGGCGCGCGTCGACCTGGACGTGGTGCTCCGGTCGCTGCGCGTCCTGCGCCACTACCGCTGCCTCGCCGTCGTCGACACGTTCCAGTACCAGAACGTCTACCGCGCCACGGACCGGCTCTCGCGGCTGGCGGCGTCGCGGCGCGCGCTGGAGGGCTGCGCGCGGTTCTGCTTCCGCGGCGAGGCGCGCAAGAGCCTGCAGGGCCTCGACGCGCTGCGGCTGTACTGCGCCTTCCAGGACGCGCGGAGCGTCAAGGACGTGCTGCTCGAGGCGGCGCGGGCGGCGCCCAAGGTCGTCGCGGCGCTCGACGCTCGCGCCTTCGTCGCGTTCGGCCTCGTGCACGGCCTGCTCGTGCGCGTGCACCGCTTCCCCGTCGCGGTGCGCGCGGCGCAGCCGTCGCGGGCGCGGACGCCGCCGCCGCCCTTCCTGGACCGGCTCGTGTTCCTGTGCGACGGCTCGCGGCGCATGGACGCCGTCTGCACGGACGTGGACCTGCCCGCGGCGCGCTGCGACGCCGAGCTGCGGGAGCACGGGTACGCGACGATCGATGTGTATAGGTGAAATTACTGAAATGATTGGGAAATCCCGATATAAAACGGTACGGGTTTCGCAGGTCAGCCATTAGAGTTGTTCAACCAGGGCTAGCTCATAGTCCTCTCTTTACTCATACAGGTGGCGGTGACACGACTCGGCCTGGGCATGTGGCAAACGATTACAATCCTCCAGTGCCCTCCCAGGCAGACCCTGCTCCCCGACCCGACGGTGAAGACGTGACGCTGGATCCGGACCTTTAGAGGCCTGGTTCTAGTGCGTCCATCCCCCAGGGACTAGGCTAGCGTCCCCAAAACCGAGTAACGACCGAGCAGGGAGAAGGCTCCTAGGAGCTTGTTCCTTTTTTTTAGGTCTTCCTTAATTAATTTATTTTATTTTCTAGCTACTAACCATTAGAGTTGAGCCATTCAGAGCCGACTGGGGGAAGCTTATGCTAAGGACTAGGGACTAAACCCCACCGTGCTGCAAGTCGTCCGGAGCCGTCCCCGGCGCCGCGCCCGTCTCAGCATAGAACGCGCCGAACTCGGGCTCCCCGACTACATACCGAGTGCGCTGCCGGGCAGCCCAGAACCCCTGCGCGCGATTATGGACGAAGACGCCTTCAAGGAGTCCCTGATCGGGCTGCTCGTAACACTCCCAGATTATCAGGGCGGCGGCCACGGCGTCATCAAAGACATAAAAGGAAACGTCGTGCAGGTCGTCGTGCTAGGCGACAAGGGCGAGACGATCGTTGCTTCCCACATGGACGAGCTCGAAGCCGTTCAGCCCCCCGCGGACACGCAATGAGCGCGTTCCCCTTCCGCGTGCCGAAGGGTTATCCACGAGCGCGGGGCCCGGGCGGTGCGGGCAGTTGGTACGCCTCCGGAGCTGACGCTGCGAGGCCGGGCGAAGACCGAGCACCGAGTCATGCAGTTTCTATGCAAGAATAAAACCGAGATCATCAGAAAGGTGCTCGCGTTCCGGCCCTGCCCGAACTTCGACCCGGATGAGCCCGAATTCTTGGAGCCGGCGGACGTCGTCATGCCTATGCCAGTGCTAAAATAACTCTACTCTACTCTACTATCTGTCCACGCCGGGCGCGCCGCGCCGCCGCCGCGACGCCTCCACGAAAGGAGCTCGGGCATAGTAGTAGATAAGTTAGACGTCGAGCGCCTTCGCGCGCGCGAAGAGCGACTCGACGACGTCGCTCACGTTGCGGATCACGTCCAGCGCGCCGTCGTGCGTCGCGTCGCCGGCGAGCTCCGCGTGGAGGATGAGCTGGCCCTCGCCCTGGGCCAGGACGCCGCGCAGCTTCTTGTCGAGGACCATCTGCGCGAGCTTCTTCTCCACCTTGGCGACGGGCAGGCCGATGAGCTCCGCGACGCGAGCGATCTCGACGCGCGAGAACGGCTCGATGATGCGCCCGAGGTTCTTCTCGAGGATGCGGTCGTACAGTAAATCGAGGTGGTGCGCGATGAGCAGGTCCGACCGGAGCTGCGCGCCGTACTTGGCCGTGCACGCCTCGAACTGCGCGAGCGACCGCGCCTTCGCGGCGCGCGCGACGGCGGCCATCGAGTCCAGGTTCGGGCCGGCGTACTTGACGTACTGCGCGCTCGTCGCCGCGGCCGTCGCCGCGTCGAGCAGCGCGTCCGCGCCGCGCGCCGAGCCCTTGAGCGGCTCCTGCAGGATCTGGCAGAGCAGCATGTACTTGAGGCAGCGCGTCGCGTCCGCCTCGCGGTCGGGCAGCGTGTCGTAGGCCTCGTAGGCCTCCAGGAAGTAGCTGTGGGCCGTGTGGTAGTCCTGCTCCTCGCAGTGGAGGCTCCCCGACATCTCGTCGAGCTCGGCCTGGAGCCGGGGCCCGACGTAGACGGCGTTGCCGTTCGTCCGCGCCGCCGTCAGGGCCGCCTTCGCCTTGGGCACGTTGCGCAGCGCGCCGTGGATCTTCGCCTCGACGAGGTGCGTCTCGACGAGCATCTGCTTGTCGTCGAGCTGCTTCAGCTCCCGCAGCAACCGCGTGACGAGGCTCAGCGCGTCGTCGTAGCGCGCGCGCTCGAAGTCGATCTGCACGAGCCGCGCCTCGACGCGCTGCCGCAGGAAGGTCCGCTTCTCGGCGCGGCACCACGCGACGACCTTCAGGCACAGCTCCGCCTGGAGGTCGAGCGTGTCGGCGTGCGCCGCGACGATGTCCAGCAGCTTGCGCACGATCTTCGCGACCTTGGCCTTGGCGACCTGGCCGAAGAACGGCGCCGCGCGCTCGAGGAGCACGGCGACGTCGCCGAAGTTCTTGTTCTTCGAATCTCGCTCGGCGAGCTTGTAGACGCACTGCTCCTTGGCCCGCGCGCCGGCCTCGGTCAGCGCGTGCTCCGCGTCCGTGAGCACGGCGAGGTACGCGGCGCCGGGGTCCGACGCGTTCGCCGCGGCCTCGAACGCGACCTCGAGGGGGTCCGGCGGCGCCTCGGCGGCGTCGTCGAGGTCCATGGCCGTCGCCTGGAGGGCGTCCATGGCGCTCCTGCGGCGCGACGGCGGGCCGCGGCGAGTCGAGTTAGGGACCCTCTATGGAAGGCGCTGGAAGGCGTGGCGCGAGCGTTTTCGCACCAGCGGTCCGCGCGGGCGAGAAGTTTCCAGCCCAGCCCAGCGGTCGCGCGGGCGGTCAGCGGCCAATGCTTGGACTGGGCCGTGGCGCGAAGGCATGCGGCCTGCTTGCTACGCATCCCTAGTGTCTTACCTGTACAGGCCGCTAGCGCGCGGGATTTCCTCACGCGGGAGCCCTGGAAGCCGTAACCCGGGGACGGGATCTCCTCAAACTGGCTCATTGCCGAACTGCGGCCTGCTTGCTAGTGTCTTACAGGACGCTAGCAACGGGTCCGTACGCCTGGAACCAATATTTCGCCCCACGGACTTCTCTTCTTTAATGGACTCTGGCAACGTTACATTTCATCAAGGTGCGTGGTTTTCCTACTAGCTTTCTGCAGCGCCGAGCCGAGCAACGCCGAGTCTTTGCTCTACCGTGCGTACATCCTCGCGCCGGCCGCCAGTGCATCGCCCTAACCAAACGAAAAGCGTGTCGTGCGTCGTTGCTGTGGGCGAAACGCCGACGAGGTGGCGCTGTTTGGAGCAACCTGACGAGCACTAAGGCTGTAGAGTCTAAGACAAAGCTAAAGCTAAATCACTTGCGATCGAGCCCCGAGCCTCCAGAGCTCGCGGGTTTCTACGTCGACAGCCATTTTGGGGGTGGGTTCAATAAGCGACTCTCTCTCTCTACGCACTAGTCCTGAAGCACCGTGACGTATCCCACACTCGGCCGTTGCACGCACCCGGGGCCCGAGAGGGGCTAGCCACAATAACGTCGACGCAGGGGCTCCCCCACAATGGATTCAAGTTACGCCGCCTCCTCCTCCCCGCGGCGGAAGGCCGGGAACGGCACCGCGCCGCCCAAAAGCTCATCAACCCCGACGGCCTTGACGGCGTCGCTGACGCGGACCCACGCGCCCCGCGGGCCCGGCACGGCGCCGCGCACGAACACCAAGTCGCGGTCCGCGTCGACCGCGTGGACCACCAGGTTCTGCGCCGTCCGCCGCCGGCCGCCCATGCGGCCCGCCATCTTCTTGCCGCGCATGACGCGGCCCGGGTCCTGGCAGCCGCCCATGGAGCCGTGCGCGCGGTGCGTCTTGCTGACGCCGTGCGACGCGCGCTGGCCGCCGAAGTTCCAGCGCTTCATGGGGCCCTGGAAGCCCTTGCCCTTGGTCACGCCCTGGACGTCGACCTTCTGCCCCTCGACGAAGTGGTCCGCCCCGATCGCGAAGCCCCGCTCCAGCACCGCGTCGGGCGAGACGCGGAACTCGGCCAGGAGGCGCGGCACCGCCCCGTCCTCGCAGAAGTGGCCCCGCGCCGCGGCCGTGGCCCGCGCGGCCCGCTTCAGGCCCGCGCCGAGCTGCAGCGCGGTGTACCGCTCCTTGGCCTCCGTCTTGACCTGGACGACGCGGCAGTTGTCCACGTGCAGCGCGGTCAGCGCGTGGCGCCGCCCGGAATCGTCCCAGGCGCCGACCATGCCGACCTTGACGGCGAGCGCGCCCGTCCGCCGCGTCACCTCCGCGCGGCGCGCGGACGGGCGGCCGTGGCTCTGGGTGTGGCGCACGAAGCGGCGCGCTAAGTGAGAAGCGCGGCGATGGAGGAGCATTTGTTTGCCGTCGTCGTACGCGCGGAGCAGCGCCTGGCGTCGTGCGCTTTTAGGCGAGGGTGTCCGGTGTGCTGGCTCGAGCGATGCGTTTCGCGCAGCCGACAGGAGTCCCTCGCGTCTCGAAAAAATATTTTCGGGCTGCAAAGGTGGCGTGGAGAGATAGGCTTGCTAGAGAGGGGCTAGCGACCAGTAAGACACTAGGCATCCCTAGCAAGCCGCCGGGGCCGGGGCCGCCGCCGCATTTATCGCCACAAGCTCATAGCTACCTCGCGGTCTTTCTGACTGGTCGTAGATCGCGCCATGGCGTTCAGCTTCGGCGCGCCAACGGCGACCGCTGCTCCGACCTTTGGCGCGCCCGCTCCAGCGGCGGGTGGTTTCTCCTTTGGCGCCGCGACGGCGGCGCCCGCTGGAGGAGGATTTTTCGGGGGCGCCGCCGCTGGGCAGAAGCCCGCGACGGGTTTGTTCGGCGCTCCGGCCGCGGCGCCGGCCGCCGGGCTATTTGGCGCACCCGCCGCGGCGCCCGCTGGCGGCCTCTTCGGAGCGCCCGCCGCGGCGCCCGCTGGCGGCCTCTTCGGAGCGCCCGCCGCGGCGCCCGCTGGCGGCCTCTTCGGAGCGCCCGCCGCGGCCCCTGCAGCAGGCGGTTTCGCCATCGGGGCCCCCAAGCCAGCCGGAACGGGTCTTTTTGGGGGGACGACAGCACCAGCGCCGGCGGGCGGCCTCTTCGGCGCGACGCCAGCCCCGGCTCCGGGCGGTCTTTTTGGGGGGACGACAGCACCAGCGCCGGCGGGAGGCCTCTTCGGCGCCCCAGCCGCGGCGCCGGCGGGCGGCCTCTTCGGCGCGACGCCGGCGCCCGCTGCGGGCGGCGGCCTCTTCGGCGCGACGCCCGCTCCAGCGAGCGGCCTTTTTGGCTCGACGCCGGCGTCCGCCGCCGGGGGGCTTTTCGGGGCCAAGCCCGCCGGGACGGGCCTCTTCGGCGCGCCGGCGCCGGCGGCGGGCGGCCTCTTCGGCGCGACGCCCGCGCCCGCCTACGGCGCCCCGAGCGCCGGCGGCGGCCTGTTCGGCGGCGCGGCGGGCGGGGGCCTCTTCGGCCAGCAGCCCGCGTACGGCCAGCCGCAGCAGATGGTCGCGGCGCCGGCGACGCAGCCGGCGACGCGCTTCGAGCAGCTGCCGGCGACGCCGGCGACGCTCGGCCGCGACGGCGTGCTCGCCGTCGAGAAGCACCTGGCCCAGAACCGCACGCTCCAGAAGCGCGTCGCGCTCGCGGCGCAGCCCGTCCGCGAGGGCATGGCGCACCTGCGCGAGGCCGTCGCGGCCGCGCGGGGCGCGCTCGAGCGCGCCGAGCACGAGCAGCGGCGGGCCGCGACGGTGGGCGGCGGGCTGCGGCTGGAGGCCGCGGCGCTGCGGCGGGACGGCGAGGAGCTCGCGGCGCGCGCCTCGAGCCGCAGCGCGGGGGACTCGCTCCGCCTCGCGCGCGAGCTGCCGGCGCCGCTGCTCTGGCGCCACCTCGCGAACATGGAGAAGCGCCTGGCCGCGTACGCCCGGGACGTCACGACCGTGCGGCCGGCGCGGCGGGACGGCGCGCGCGCCGACGACGACTCCGCGAACTTCCAGCTCGCGCGCGTCCTCGCGGCGCAGCGCGACGCGTTCCTGCGCGTGGCGGACGACGTGGCGCGCATGCACGCGCGCGTCGACGACGCGCGCCGCGGCGTGCGCCGCCGCGACCCCGGCCTGGACCCCTTCGCCGAGGCGGACCGCGAGGAGAAGGCGGCCGCGCGCGAGCTCGACGCCGAGATCCGCCTGGGCGCGCAGCGCGCGGCGGCCGCGGCGCCGGCGGCCGCCGTGCCCGGCGTCGCCGCGCCCGCCGGAGGCCTCTTCGGCAGCGCGCCGGCGCCCGGGGGGAGCCTGTTCGGCGCGACGACTGCGCCGCCCGCGCCGGCGCTCACGCGCACGGCCACGCCGGCGACGGGCCTCTTCGGCGCGCCCGCGGCGGCGGCGCCGGCGGGCGGCCTCTTCGGCGCGCCGGCGGCCGCGGCGCCCGTGACGACGCTCTCGGCGAAGAAGCCCTCGCGCAACCGCAAGAAGGGGCGATAGAACCCCTGGGCCCCCGTTAAGTTCAGCAACTAGTGGCGCTATAGATAAATAGGGCCGCCCGAACGGATTTCTGTTACTGTGCTAGGACTAGTGGGCGGAGACACGGTGGGGGAGACACGCGCTCGTCGCCGCGGCCGAGCTAGGGAGAGTATTGGTACGGCGGTGCTACGACTAGTGGCTACCGCAGTAGTGAGAGTCCCGACCAAGAGGTACCATGGTACTATACCTAGAGTAAGGTACCTTGTCCGACTGTGATTCCGATCACGGCTTTGCGAGAGCTAAGGCAGCCAGCTCCGATTACTATGGTTATGGGCAAGGGCGTAGAGGAGCAAAAAGCCGGCGTAGACTGGCTGCTGAAAAACTACGCCCACCTAGAGCAGCACCGGCTGACAGGTGACGATGATGTTATAGTCGTCGATTTACGGGTCGATCGTGGCAAGGACGTGTGGTCGCTCGATGCCGAGTTGGTCGCTGCCTCAGCGAAGATGCTCTCGAGCAAGAAGCTGTCCGATGCCGTGCGCTATTTCGACGGTATTGGCTACCCGCAGTCTTATGGGAAACCGCTGCTGAAACAATTATTCAAGAAGGCGGCAAATCAAAACTTGCTGCTAGCGGCAGTTGGTGACAGCAGGCGTGAAGTGGCCCGGGAAGACTTTAGTCACTGCGTCGCGTGTACCACCACGAAGGGCATCTTGGACTTGCGGTCAAAACTCGTGTCATCAATGGCGGCGAAACGAGCCGGCGTTGAGCTATCAGATGCCATTGGCTACAACGATATAGGGGCCGCTAAAATGGACAACAGTGAGCGTAAGCGGTGTGGGATGTGCGGGAAGGAAGGCCAAAACATGCGTTGCTGCGCCGCGTGCGGGCAGGTGCGCTATTGTGACCGCGACTGCCAAAAGCGACACTGGAAACAACACAAGACCGTGTGTCGAAGGCGGCAGGAAGCCACCGCCATGACGAACCAATTACACGACCAGCTTGGGAGTCTTGAAACGGGACATAACACTGTCAAATGGATTAGCGATGAAGGCCTCGGCAAATTTCCATCTAAAGAGCAACACTCAGAATTTACAAAGGCAGTTGGTGCTTTCAGGACAAACTTCCTGGAGTCAGGATTAGTCGCTAAAATGGTGTGGGATCATGCAGGCGATAAGAGCGTGCCGCTGCATTGCAACATTGACTACGGAGATTATGTCGACTTTATGAGTCGATGGTGTGACGGCCGGCCCGGCAGTCGAACAAATATCAACATGCTTGTGTGTCTCAGTTCCGACCTTGATAAAATGCGAGCGACGGGGGCTATCACCGAAGTGGGAGCGCGAATGATGCGTGACGTATTTGCCAAAGTGGATCCGAAGACGCATTTTAGCTGCTGTTTCACGTACAAAGTACTCGGGCCGTTTGCAGAAGTGATACTCTCAGTGCCGTGGTCAACCCACGACAACGCCCCTTGAGGCTTGTAGTCTTCCTACGCGCTGCCCGATAAATGTTCCCATGTACTAAGTTCTTGGGCCCCGGGGCCCTCGCACCGCGCCGCCACGTGCGCCGCCCGAGACCACTGCGCCGACCCCCACGCCATCGAGCGGATGGTTCACCGACGGACGATTCCAACTTGTTCAAAAACAACAAGTTACTTCCTTTAATTTATTTTTTATTTTTTATTTATTTTAGTTACGCCGGCGCGTTCGCGAGCGGCCGCAGCGCCCCCAGCGCGGCCAGCGAGGAGACCTTCTGGCCGACGCCCTTGAGCGCGGCCAGCGACGGCCGCTCGTCCTCCGGGTCGTCCCGCGTGGCGATGTAAACGTGGAGGACGGCGCCGTCGGGGTGCCGCGGGTCCGTCTGCGGCTTCGGGACCTTGGCGCGCTCCAGGGTCCAGCCGAAGGCGCGCCGGGCGTCGCCGGCGTCCCGCTCCGACACCGCCTCGAGGACCTCCTCCCAGTCGTCCGCGTGCGACACGACGAGGAACCGGCCGCCGGGCCGCAGCACCCGCGACACCTCGCGGCAGACGGCGTGGACGTTGCCCTCGGCGCCCTTGCCGCAGCGGATCACGTCGAGTGTCGCCTTCGCGATCACGAGGTCGAAGCTCTCGTCGGGGAACTCGAGCGCGCACGCGTTGCCGTGCATGAACTTGTTGTTGCGGTGCGGCCCCGACGCGTAGCGCTCGAGCTGCGCGATGACGCACGCGCGGCTGATGTCGATGTTCATGACGTACTTGTACCCGGCCCCGCACAGCGCCTCGCCGAGCCGCGACGTGCCGCACCCGAGGTGCAGGACCTCGACGTCCTTCCCGGCCGCCTGCGCCTCGATGAGGCCCTCGAGGGCGTCGTAGCGCGCGTACCAGTCGAAGGGCTCCTTGTCGCGCATGTAGCGCTCGTCCCAGTAGCGCGTCGTGCCGAAGGCCTTCGGCGTCGGCTCCCCGTCCTGCGTGGGCTGCTCGCTCGCCACCGTGTTCGCCATGACGGGCTGCCCCAACAGCGCCGATCGATGAAATGGTGTCGATGCTAGAGAATCCGAGCTACCCTCTGATAAGTTGTTCTGTATTTTGCGTTGGCCGTCGCGTGGAGCCCCGCCCATGGCTGGGGGGGGGGGAGAGTAAAGGGCGAGGGGACGCCCCAACAACGTGCATTTACTCGCGAACGACGGGCCTATGGCTGCGCTGCCCGACGACGACGGCAGCACCGCCAGGCCCTGCTTATGGGTCTGCGGCAGGGGCGACGGCGGACGCCTTCAGGGTCCGAGGCGGGGCTCGGCCGGAGCTCTAGATCTAGCCGGCCGTAAGAAGCTACTGTGTGCTAGGCTTGAAACATATCTTAGGCACACGACACAGGGTCCGCCCGGTCTACGCGCTCACGAGTTCCGCGAGGGCTTGCGCGGCGTCGATGTCGTGGAAGTCTCCCTCCAGATACTCTAGGCCTAAGTTGATGGTGCTGTTGCAGAGGGCGACCAAGCTCCAGGGCTCGCCTTTTTTATATTCCATATGATGACAGACCAGGGGCCAATGCTTGTTTGGCCCGAGCCCCACACCGTTAGGTGGGGGACTAATTTTATACCTTTTGTCTATACTACTAATGCCAACGGTAAAATATTTGGCGATTTCTATGTCAGTTTTTTTGACATATTTTTTATTAGTTGGTCAAAAAGGGGGGATGGTTTTTATGTTTGATTTCTAAAAAATGGAAAAAGTATATTTTATGGCTCATCCGTCAGGATGGGACATAAAGTATACATTTTCCCTATACTACTGCGCGACGTACACTCTAGGTAGTTACCCAGCGTCTCGCCAGAACGAGAGAATATTCCACACCACGCCGTTGTCGCCCTGCCTAAGCACAAACGCGAGGGCGTTCCGCTGCTTCGCATCGCGGCCGCGCGGCCTCCGCCGTCGCGGTGGGAGCGCAGCGCGGCCGCGTTGGATCTGTGTCCGCAGGATCAGAACGTCTATGTGTGCGCGTAGGAGCCACTTCTTGAAGCTTCCTGCCGCCGCCACGCCAGTGATCATATTTGATAACTCAATGAAATGAGGGTCGAGGTCGTGAGATCTCCCACGCTGGACGCTTCGTTTCCAGTGGAGATCCCGTCTCCGCCGCCACTTTTCGAGACCCCGTCTCCGCTGTTCGAGAACCCACGTGGGATTTGTTCCGTCGTTGTGAGGAGAGTCCGCCCTGGCGCCCGCCCGCAACAGGGCACGCGCAAGCCCTAGGATCTGTCCCGGTGCCCTCCCCTGTCCCGGTGCCCTCCCCATCCGTAAACCGCCATTAGAGATGATCTTTCCCAGCAGCGTGGTATCAAAGGAGGGGCTCGCACGCGCTCGGACCGTCACATTAGGATTGGCCCCAAATTCGAGGAGTAAGTCAAACCATGGTAGCGCATTCCGAAACACATGCTGCGAGGCATATTCTAGCGGGCACACGCCATGGCCGTCGTCGAGGTTGGCGTCGGCGCCGTGCTCCAATAGCATCCGTGCTATGGCGAGCATTTGGAAGTCATAGTCCGCAATGGCGATCATTTGCAACTCATGGCCCCAATGGGGCATTTCCCGCCGGCCCGTATAGGCGCCATTACAAACTATGCACAGCGTGAGAAGGGTGACCGTTCCGCCTTCCAGGGGCCATCTTCCCACCTGAAGCATTTCTGGAAGGGTGGCGTTCACATAGGCTGCCTCTGTGTCCACGAGCCATTGTTCCACCAAATCCTTGTCCCCCTCTTGCACCGCCCGGATGATGGCCAGCGGGATAGGGCCGGTGTGCTCCTCCGCGCTGCTGGACATGATTTTTTGCGAAGGCTGGGGCTGCTCGACTCCGTGTCTCCGATCCTGCAGGATGGGGAGCTAGTGTTTAGCCAAGAGGAGGGCGGGGGGGACTACCCCCGGCAGCATGCCACTACCTACCACACCTCTACAGGGGTCCCTGGGAAAAAAATGGGGTTAGAAAAATCCCACTAGCTCCGTTTTACCCCCCCTATTTTGCCCGCGGGCAGCCCCGCGACCAGCGTAACGTCGACTCGATGAGTACCGCGGTCAGAAGCACGGCGAGAGGACTACTCTACGGACAGGAACAGATGGCAGTCGCGCAAGTCGACCTGCGGCTTGTCTCTGCTGTGGCTCGACCCCCCTACTACGCCCCCACTACCACTACCACCAACCACCACTCCTTGGGGAGATCCTACAAATCTCGGGATGCTGTGGGTTGGGCTTTCCCCGCTCGCCTCTTGTGTTTAGCCTACTCGTAAGAACCACTTAATCCGCCGGCAGGGTCCAGCGAGCGGAGGCTCGGAAAGTGCTCGTCGAAGGAATCTTGTAACAATGAAAGTTACAGGCAGCTAGGGCGGGCAATACGCGAAGACCAACCAAGGCGAAGGCTATGCTTAGACAAGGGGGGGGGAGGGGGTCGAGGGATTCAGGCGGCGGCGGCCTCGCGCGCCGCCGGCTCGTCGGCCAGCCACGCGTCCGTCTGCGCGAGCGCCGGGCGCACGTGGCCCGGCGCGCGCTCGGCGTGGCCGAGCTTCTCGAAGGCCTGGACCTGGACGATGCGGTCCCGCGCCGCGGCCGCGGCCTCGAGGATCTTCTGCTCGTCCGCCGTCGGGTGCTTGCGCGCGCGCTTGCACGCGCGCTCGATCGCGTCGGCCTCGAGGCAGAGCGACAGCGCCCCCAGCACCTCCTTCTGGTAGGCGCCCGACGTGTAGACGCCCGGCAGGAGTAAAGTAGACACGTAGTCCGAGTCCCGCGTCGTCAGGAGGTCCGCCGTGGCCTTGGTCAGAGCGTCGGTCGGGGCCTTCGTCGTGGCCCCGAAGTCGCCCAGCGGCGCGACGGCCGTCCGCAGGACGGACCCCACCACGTGGTGCGCGCCCGCGGGCATTTTCGGAACGTTGTCCGCCGCGTGCTTCAGCGCCTCGAAGGCCTCCGCCTCGAGCCGGAGCAGGGCGTGCTCCGCCACGCGCTGCAGGCCGGCATCCACTTTATCGTGGTTCCGCGCGTAGTGGTGCAGGCACCCATACCCCAAGAAGACCGCGCCGATCGCGTCCGCGAGGCGGCCCATGAACATCTCCTCAAATTTTAACCTGCCGCCCAACAGCAAAGCTAAATCGGCGGCCACGGCGAAATTGGCAGAAAGGCGCTGCAGTCTATCTTCATGCAGCTTCACGAACGCGTCCGGCTTCATCGAACCGGTCTCGCCGCCCTTCAGTGAGACCGCATCCTTCACGCCGGCCACGACGCTCCTCCCGAAGTTAGTAGCACCATGAGAGGCCATGTTCTTGACGCCCGCCATGAACTTTGACGGCGCATCCCCAGAATCGGACTGCAACGCTTCCACAACGTCCAACAAGTGGGGGTGGCACCGCATGAGACCTTGCCCGATGATCTGGAAGGACCGCGTCATGATGTTCGCGCCCTCGACGGTAATGGCGATGGGGAAGGACATGTAGGCACTGCCCAAGTAGTTGGACGCGCCCATCGAGATGCCCGCGCCCCCGGACACGTCCATGGCGTGGTTGATGATGTCCCGCCCCCGATTCGTCACGTTCTGCTTCATGATCGACGAGAGGACCATGGGCGCCTCGTGGTTGTCCACAATAGCATTCATTAATTCTGTGGAGGCCATGGCGATGTACCCGTCCGACGCCATGAGCGCCAACGCCTCCTGGACGCCGCCGAACTCGGCGATGGGCACCTTGAACTGCTTCCGGGCGCGCGCATAGGCGCCGACCATGGGCGCGGCCCCTTTGCCCAACCCGACGGCCATCGCCGGCAGCGAGACGCCCCTTCCTTCCGCGAGGCATTCCACGAACATGTGCCAGCCGAAGCCGCACCGCTCCTGCCCTCCTAGTATGGCGTCCATGGGCACCCACACATCGCTACCCTTGACCGTGCCGTTCATGAAGGCCGCGTGCAAGGGGCAATGTCTAGGGCCCATCTCGAGGTTGTCGTGGCTGCGTTCTAGTAAAGCTACGGTAAAGCCCTCCTCCCCATTGCCCTTGAGGAGGTTATTCGGGTCTTGTAACTCAAAACCAATACCCACTAAACCGGCGACGGGCGCCAGCGTGATGTAGCGCTTGTCGAAGGTGCACTTGACTCCAATTTCGCCGTCGCGCTCCTCCACCACACCATAGCTCCCGATGAGTGAAGTAGCGTCGCTCCCGGAATGAATACCCGTCAACCCGAAACAGGGGATGAACGTGCCGTCCGCTAACAGAGGTAGATAGTACTTCTGCTGCTCCGGCGTGCCGTACCTCACGAGCAGCTCGCCGGGGCCCAGCGAGTTCGGCACGGCCACGGTGGATGCTAAATCCGAAGACGCCGTGCCCAGCTTGACCAAGACGGCGGACGTCGCCGCCGTCGAGAAGCCCTTGCCGCCCCACTCCTTCGGAATTTTTAAAGCAAAAAACCCCTGCCTACGCATGAACCGCCAGACCTCGTCCGAGAAATCCTTGTCCTCCAGCACCTTGAAGTCGTCCACCAAACCACAGAGCTCCTCGGTCTCGTTGGCTAAAAAACTTTTCTCCTCGTCCGTGAGCGTCACGAGCGGCGCGTACGTCGTCAGCAAATTTTCCAAAGAGGGCTTGCCCGAGAAGATCTCCCGGTCAAAACCGACGGTGCCGCAGCCCAGCGCGACGCGCTCCGTGTCGGAAATCTTGGGCATCATTTTGCGAGCGGCTTCGTAGGCCGCGCGCGCGACGAAGGTCCTCCGTGACACGGCGGGGCGCGCGGCCGCGGCCGCGCGCTGCAGGGCCTGGCGGCGCATGGTGGCTCTTGCTTTTATTATTCTTCGGCGCTCGGGAGGCGCAGAGCTTCCTCAGAAGCTAGCGACAGGGAGTGCACTTGCCGGGGTAATGCGCTCGGCGCGCGGTCCGTCGGGAGCGGCGCTGCTGCGAGGTGGCGCCGGCGGTACGGGAGACCTGCGTACCCGGCTGGCTCAAGCTCCTCGACACGTTTGATGCTTTTAAGGAAGTCTCTACTAGAGCTTGGAGGCATCCTAGTGTCTTTCAGGCCGCTAGTCGACGACTTGACAGCCATGTCGCGTCGTTAATGTACAAGAACAGCGGTCGGCGGCCAAAAACACGCCATCGCGGCGACGCCCGCGAGTCCAAGTTCACGGCCCCGCGACGGACGCCGAACGCCCACAGACGAAACAGCAGATTACACCAGCACACCGCGGCCGGGGCTCAGTCCTCGAGGAAGTCGAAGAGCGCGTCGTCGACCTCCGCGTCGTCCAGGAGCTCGGTGCCGAGGAAGTTGGCCTCGAGGAGCGGGTACAGGGGCGGCGGCGTCGCCGACCGCCCGGGCGCCGGGGCGGCGGCCGGCCCGGGGGCGGACGGCGCGGCCGCGGGCGCGCGCGGGCCCTCGAAGAGCGTGAGCTGGTTCGTCCGCCGCTGGAGCATCTCGCGGTGCAGCGCCATCTGGCGGCCCATGTCGTCGCCGTGGGGATTTAGATTCGCGGCGGCGGCGGGCGCGGGCAGCGGCGCGCGCGGCGCCGGCGCCGGCGCCGCGAGCGGTGGGAGCAGCGGCGGCGCGGCCGCGCCGAGCCGCGCGGTGAGCGTCGTGAACGGCGACAGCGGCGCGGCGGGCGACGGCGGCGGCGGCGGGCCGGCGAGGAGGCGTTGGGCGGCGGCGGCGAACGGCCGCAGGCCGCCGTTGGGCGCGGCGGCGGGCGCGGCGGCGGGCGCGGCGTCGGGCGCCGGCGCGGGCGCCGCGGTCGCCGCGCGGCCGCCGAGCGCCGCGCGCAGCTGGCGCTGGCGCTCGATCGTCTCGCGCAGCCCCGCCAGGGTCTGGCGCAGCGCGTCGTTGGCCTCGAGCGCGTCCTCGACGCTCCGCTCGGCCAGCGCGGCGCCGCGCGTCAGGGCGTCGAGCGCCGCCGCGGCGTCGGCCGAGTCGCCGGCGCTCGGCCGCGGCGGCCCGGCGCCGCCGGCCGCCGGCCGCTGCCGGCGGAACGCCGCGAGCTGCGCCTCGACGGTCGCCGCGTCGAGGTGTTCGCCCGGCGCGACGGCGGGCAGCTCGCCCGCGACGGCGTGCACCGTGGCCGCGCGGAGCCCCACGTCGAAGATCGCCGTCTGGAACGCCGCGTGCAGGTCGTCGCCCCAGACGAAGCGCCGCTTCTTGCGCTTCCCGTCGCCGGCGGTGGGCGAGGGCCGCCGCTTGCCGCCGGAGCGCGTGCCTCCTTGATCGACCGCCTCCATTGCTGGGGCTATTGCTTGGGCCCGAGACCAGCAATGGGAGGTGTGTGGTCGGCCATTATGCTGACATACTCTTCAGTTTCAGGTGCAGTGGTGCAGCAACAATCACAAAAGTCCTGAAATCAGCAGGGAGAGTCACAAAAGTCATTTTACCCAGTGTGAGAGCACCCACAGTGCGCCAGATGCATATACCCGCAACGTGCACCCCCCCAAAATCCATTTGACTATAGTTATTTCGATAATAGCGGGACTTGCAAAGTAACAGAAATGAGTTAGGATGGGCGTACCGTAACCGAGTGCAATCTCGAGAGGTGCCTCGCCGCCACTGGCCCGCCAAGGCCTAACTACAATTCGCGCAACGTTACTCGGCCCCCCGCTGCCGCCGAACGAACGCAGCACGCGCCGCGGCGTCGACGGCGGCGAGCCGCGACCGCGTCTCCGGGTGCGCGCGCGGCCGCAGCGTCAGGGTCCGCGCGAAGCCGTCGCCCTGGACGCGGCGCGTCGACCGCTGCGGCGCGTCGACCGCTGCGGCGCGCCCGCGCGCGGCCCGGCCGCCTCGCTCTCGACGGCGTCGACGAGCGCCGGCGCCGTCGACGGGCGCGGCTTCGGTGGCCGCGGTCGGAGAAAGGGGGGCGTGTGCAGCGTCCCGCTGCGGAACGGCGCCGCGCCGGTGATCGCCCGCGCCCAGGGGATCTCGACGCGCCCCGGCGGCGCCGGATCCGCCTGGAGGTGCGGGGCGCACCCGCCCGGGCCCCACGAGCCGCCCGGGCCCGGCACCGCGCGGAAGGGCCCGCGGCGCGTGCCGCTCCGGAACGTCGCGGCGGCCGCCGAGGGCCGGCGCGCCCAAGTATTAATGTGGGCGTAAGCGCCGGGGCCCGGGCCGGCGACGTAGACGCAGCCCGGCTCCGGCGCGACGCCCCAGGGGCTCTTGTAGGGCGCGCGGCTCCGCCGCAGCGCCGCCGCCCGCGCGTCGTACGCGCCGTCGCCGTCGGCCGCCGTCGCCGGCGCGACGCGGCCGCCGAAGGTCGGGTCCGAGAACGTGCGCCGGTCGTCCTGGGCGAACCGCTGGGACGCGGCGTAGGGCGAGGGCCCGGGGCGGTGCTGGTAGTCCCAGCCCGACAGGTGGCCGGCCGCGGTCGGCGCGTTCGTTATAGACCGGTCCAGGTCGTAGGTGTGGCGCGCGCGGAGGCCCGTGGGCCTCCGCTTCGCGACCCAGGCCGCGAAGGAGGCCCGGTGGCGCGGCGGCGCCATGCTTGGCAGCTCGATGGCGTCGAGCAGCAGCTTTCAATGGGGGCTGCCTGTTTGCTGTTGCGGCCCGGCGCTCGCGTGGCTCCTTTTCGGGCACAGTGGCTCCTTGGGTCGGTGCTTCCTACACGCTCATCTAGCGCGAGAGCCTGCATGCAGCCGCCCCCTGCCGCTGCGCCCCTTGCGGTAATATCCGTCCCAGTCGCGCCGGAACCGTCCCTAGGAGTGGGCCCAGGGGGAGTTCTCAGCGTCGTGGCGTGCGGGTGCGGGTTGCTTGATTTCGGAAAACTTTCATCGAAAAAACTTTCACGATCCTGTTTCACAAGCCGCACGTGAAGTTCCATAAAATGAAGCAAAGCAAGAACCTGACGGAGGCGAAGTGGCGCCTCGGCCTCAAGATCTGCGAGGGACGTCGGGCCTACGGACACGCTCCCGCGTTTAGTTTCACGGCCCAGCGGGTGGTTGCGGGCATCTCGTGCGGAGAGCAGACCTGGGACGCCTGGCCTCGCGAAGACCGCTTCCTGGAACCCGTGCCGTATGCAAATTTGCTCTCGGCAGCGGAGCACTTTTGCTCGCCGACCTGGCCTTTTTCTAATAATTTAGAGGGCGCAGAAGTGCTCCCTGGAAGCCTTTTTATCCACCACAGAAGACTAGAGCATGAAACCGCTCACGCGCACGACAAAAATGGCAAAAGCGGTTAAAAACAAGGCACATTTATTTTGCTCGATCGCCCACTTGTTAAAGTGCCTCGAGGGCATCTTCGACGAGTAGGCGCGCCGATCTTGTGTAAGTAGTAGTCTAGTAATCACGTATGCACCGTCGGAACGACAGCTCCAGCGTCGGCACCGAAACTGCGGTAGTAGTCCAAGTCGCAGAGCCAAATGCACCCAGCAATTCCTCGTCCTTCCGCCGTCGGCGTCGCGACGGCCTAGCCTCAAATCGAGGCGCCGCCACGTCGAAACAACGCGCACCAACGAACTGCGCCGACGCGACCAGCACCGACCCGGAGACGACCTCTGGAGGCAGCTCGAGTCGGGCACTGCTACAAGCCGTCGGCTCCAGCGCGACGGACACCACCGACGACCCGTCTCGACGTAGCCGGGCGTGCAAGGCGTTTGCGTCGCCGTTGCGTGCGCTCGCGCCACTTCTTCTGCGCCGCGAGGACCCGGCACCTGTAGAAATAGTGGTGGAGCAGCGCCGTCGACAGCTCGTCGCATCGCAGAAGTGCCGGCTGGTGCTCCGCGATGGCATCGACCGCACGACGCGTGATATCGAAGCATTTCGCACGCAAAATACGGCTGCCCCCTGGCTGATGCGGCCGACTGGGACTGCCACATAGGAGTGCGTTTTTTGCGCTACAAATTGCGTAATGCTGGGGCCTGGCCTTAAAAAAGAAAAACCGTGAGTTCAGATTTTGCGTTTTCGCTGGCCGCCGCGTTTTTGGAGCAGAGTCGGCGGGCCTTCGAGGCAGTGCCAGTCGCGACGTCGAGGACCACGGAAGCGTCCGGAGCCGCGCCTGGGCCGTGGACGGAGGTCTCCTGGGACGCCTGGAGCGAAAACTACCGGGATTTAGGCAAAGACCGTGCGGGTATGCAATGTAGTAAGTTTCAACCAAGCCCAAGATTAGGTTTGATCTTGCGCTGTTGCTCGTGTTGACCTAGAGGAGCCATGACGCGGACCCGGTAGCGCCTCGGCGCGTGACCTCACAGGCTACGAAGCCTTAAAACAGGTAACAAGAGGCCACCGCAGCCATGCGGAGGGTGTGGAGCCTCACCCTGCTGACCACGGCCGCGGCCCTATCCTTAAGGCCCCGCGGCACGACGAAGCGCCCGGCGACGCCCGCGGTCCGGGAGAAGGAACTGAACCTGCCGCCCTTCGACCTCGGCGCGAACCTGTCCGAGACGTTGGATGAGGCCGCCGCGCGCGCGGACGGCGCCGTGCGCGACCGGCTCGGCGCCATGGGTATTGAGGACGTGTCCGGGGACTGGGCGACGCGCGTCCTGGATCTTGGGAGGCGGGCGACGCGGCTCGGCGCGCGCGAAACCGCGGCGCTCGTGGATTTGAAGCTGAGGGAGACCGAGGCGGCGATGCGCGAGATCGAGGAGGGTGTCAAGGACGGCCTCGCGCCGCTGGCGCCTTTACAATATCGCGTCGAGGACGATGCGGCGAAGGCTTTGGATTTGAGCATCGAGATCGAGGGCGTGGACGAGCTGACCGAGGCCGTGTCCGCGGCGGCCGGCGCGCGGGCGACGGTGCCGACGATGACGTCCCGGAGGCGGTTTAGGAGATTTAGAGCGGCGGCGCGCACGACGGCCATCTGGCGGACCGCGGTCGGGTTTGCGTTTCGCGTGGCACGAAATCGGCGCAAGTTTAGTGACGCGCAGGGGCCCGAGGCCGTCGCCGCGCGGTCGAAGCTGGCGGCGGACTTCCGGGACGCGTTGTTGAGATTGGGGCCTACTTTCATCAAATTCGGGCAGCTGTTGTCGACGCGCGTAGATGTACTACCGCCAGAAGTCATCAAGGAGCTCGCGACGCTCCAAAATGAGGTGCCTTCGTTTAGTCCGGACCGGGCCATCACAATTGTCAAAGAGGAACTCGGCGTCAAGGACATTTACGACGTCTTCGAGACGTTCGAGCGCGAACCGTTAGCCGCGGCTTCCTTAGCCCAGGTTCATAGAGCAACACTCAAAGAGAACGGCGACGAAGTTGTGGTCAAAGTCCAGAGAGATGGATTACGGGAGCAGTTCGACGTGGACTGTGCGAACATCAAGTTCCTAGCTAGGTTAGCCGATAGGTTCGACCCCGAGAACGAGGGCGTCGCTTCGGATTGGAAGGGCATCGCGGACACGTCCGAAACGGTTTTGTACCGAGAAATCGACTTCTTAGTTGAAAGGGACGCCGCCGTCAAGTTCCGAGAAGCCTTCGAAGGTAAGAACGGTCAGAAGGCCATGGACTACGTGAAGGTGCCGCGCACGTACGACCCCTACTGCACGTCCAAGTTGTTAGTGTTGGAGTACGTGCCGGGCACGAAGATTAACGACGTCGAGGGTCTACAGCAACTAGATGGCGTCGAACTCCCGACGCTCTCGAGACGTTTAACGTTTAGCTACTTGGAACAGTTGTGCCGGCACGGTTTTTTTCATTGCGACCCCCACCCGGGCAACGTGGCCGTCGACGACCAGGTGCCGGGCGGCCGGTTGATCTACTACGACTTTGGGATGATGGAGACCATTGAACGCGACGTGAAGGCGGGGTTCGTGGATTTGGTGTATTCGTTATACAAGAATGAACCCATTATTGCGTGCGACGCGCTCGAGACGATGGGCGTGTTGCGACCGGGCTTGGATCGGTTTAGCATCGAGAGGATCGCGAAGAACTACCTCGATTCGTTCTGCGCCACGGTCGAATCCAAGAACGCGAAGGGCGTCACGGGTATCGATGACGGCGCGGCGAAGTGGGAGACGGAGATGACGGAGGAAGAACAAAAGGCCGCCCGGAAGGCGCGGCGGGCGCAGATCGGCAAGGACCTCTTCGCGACGCAGGCCGAGCGGCCGTTCGTCTTCCCGCCGAAGTTCACGTTCGTCTTTCGGGCCCTGTCGACGATTGATGGGATTGGCAAGTCCCTGGACGGGGGTTATGATTTGTCGCGGTTAAGCCAACCGTATCTGAGGGAGTTGGCGGATCTGCGGGACGGGAGTCGCTACGCGACGGCGTTTTCGGAACTCCTGTCGAAGGTCGGGTGGCGGCCGAAGGACGTGAAGCAGGTCGTCATGGCGCCGCGGACCTTGGCAAGCGCGGACAAGTCCATTAAGAGGATTGAGGCCGGCGATTTGAGGTTACGAGTGCGATCGGTCGAGCTCGAGACGCAGCTCCAGAACGTGGAGACGCGGCAGCGGCTCTTCGGGGCGGCCGCCGTCGCGGTCCTCTTGGCGCAGACGTCGCTGGGGGGCGTCGCCGCGACCTACGAAGGCGCCGCGCGCGTCTGGCGGCTGGTGTTATCGAGGGGCTGCGGCGTCGGCGCGGCGTGGGCGTCGCTCGAGGCCTTCGGGGCTTATTGTCTGCTGCGCAAGGCGGACCAGAACAAGAAGCGCTTCGCGAACCAGCTGAAGGACTGCTAGGTTTCGCGTAAGGTCGTCTTACGCCCCCCATGAAAAAAACCTAGGCCCGCGCCGCCGCGGCGTCGTACTTCCGCTTCGTGCGGTAGAAGAGGACGCCGAACACCACACACGTGCCGAGGACGGCGCCGCCCCCCAACTTATGCCCGAAGACGACGCAGCTGACGGTCAAACTCAGCATCTGCCGCGTCGTCATCATGATCGTGAAGACGATCGGCCCGAACTTTTTAATGGTGTAGAAGATGAAGAGCTGGCCCGTCGCGCTCGTTAGTGAGAGTGTTAGCACGTTCGCTAAAGCAGCGGGGTTCGCCGCGAGGAATGCCAATGATAAACCCATCTCGCCCGTCCATAATAAATTCATCGACGTGAAGAGTAACGAAAAGAAGTTCACCCCGAACATCATCTGGTACTGGTCCACGCGATACGTCTTATATACTCTATCCTGCCACTGGCTCGTAAACGAATCGCAGAAGACGTAGACGCAGAGGATCAATATACCGAGTACGGTATCACCTTCCACACCAGAAGCGTGCTCCTTCTTGGCCTTTTCCGTCAGCATGAAGAGAGCCACGCCGGCCGTAATCCCAATGGCCTCGATATACTCAATCAGGGGATAGTTCTTCTTGTGGAAGAACTTTCCTACCAACATCACCGGGATGACTTTACTGGATTTGAATAGTGTTTGTGTTGGAAAAGACACATATTTGAGGCACTCGTACTGGGCCCAACTAGACATGATGTTGCTAAACGAACAGGGCGAGAACTGGTAGAACGGCGCGCGCGGGCCCGGCTGCCGGAGCACGTTCGACTTGTACAAACTCAGCAGGCCGGCCACCACCAACGCCAACGTCCTATTCGCGCACACCAAAAACACGGTCGAGGGGAACATGCCCGTGTCGTAGCGCTGCGTCATGACCTTCTCCTGGATGAAGCCCCAGGTCACGTAGGAGCCCTGGAGCCCCACGAAGCAGCATCCTAATTTTATAGCTTTCGACTGGAACGTCTCCTCCTCTTGTCGTATTTCGCGCGCCGCCTCGACGTCGATCGACTTTTGCCTTTCGGCCTTCGCGCGGTTCATGACGACGCTCGTCTTGGTCCGCGGTGCCGCCGTCCCCGGCGCGCTGGGCTAAGTCTTGGTCCGCGGTGCCGCCGTCTCCGGCGCGCTGGGATAAATTAGTTGTGAGCAGGCGCCGTCCCCTGCCGCTGGGATAAATGAGCCGTAAACAGGCTGTCCGGCGTTTGGATCGATGCGCTCCGCTCGAAGTGCGACTCGCTGAACACGCGACCTTTTGAGCACGATCTAAGCACCTGCAACCGGTCGGCTGTATAATCTGAGTGGATTCTATATTTATCCGCGGCCACCACTGCCTAGGTAACCGGTATGGGATCGGTATGGTACATCACATCGATATCGATGGTCGCGGCCTGTGCGACGGCTAGGCAATTGACTTGGTTACGCGTTTGGCATATACGTGTAACTGCTTGTACGAAAACATCCATCCGCCGTGCGTGCAGAAACGGTACCACCCCACACAAACGCTGCCGCTGCCGCCGCCGCCGCGTGAACAAATACTGCCGTAGCGCACAAGCTGAGCACAAGAGGTCACCATGAACATGGGCGGCATGGGCGAGGCGAAGCTCGACGGCACGCCGTTCAACGTGCTCATGCAGCAGGCCGTCAAGCTCAAGACGCACGTGCACAAGATCGACCGCGTCCGCTTCGACGCGTGGCCGAAGTTTTACCAGAACACGGCCTTCGTCAAGGACGAGCACAAGAAGGAGCGGACGCTCGCCTACGACGACCGCATGGCCTGCGCGCGGGCCTACAAGGAGAAGGGCGACGCGGCCTTTAAATCTGGAAAGATGATCGAGGCCTGCAACGAGTACGAGGCCTGCGGCGGTTTATTTAAGTGGGCCACGACGCTGCGCGAGGACTGGCGCACGCGGAGTCTGGAAGACGAGGACATCCGCGAGGAGGAGTTTTTGGGGGAGACGGACGACCAGAGACGTGCGATCGCTTCTCTGAGAGTGAAGTGCTACTGCAACCTTGCCAGAGCTTACGCGAAACAAAAAGAACATAAGACCGCGGTGCACGCCTGCGACTGGGCTTTGGCGGTGGACCCGGCGTCGGCCGCCGCTTTATACTTGCGAGCCGCGTTTCTGACAGAGCCGGCGTCGAGCGGCACGACGGAGCGCGACGCCGCCATCGCGGACCTCGAGAAGGCTTGTGAAGTCGTCGAGGCGGGGTCGAGGACAGCCAAGGACGTCGAAACGTTGTTACGGGAGTTGAAGAGATTGCGGCGCGTCGGCCGCGCGAACGATAAGGCGTACGGCGGCATGTTCGACCGCGGCGCCGTGTATGGGGAGGACGAATCTTCAAGAAGACGGGCGGCGGACGCGCGCGCGAAGAAGGACGAAGCGGCGACGGCGGACGACTTCACGGAGCCGACGCGGCCGGGCGACGGCCGGTGCTCGGCGCGGCCCGCGCCCGAGAGCGAGCTCGCGGCGTGCGACGCGTTGATCGCGGAGTACGAGCGCACAGGCCAGCACGAGAAGGCGGCGGAGTTGAGGGATGGCGTGGCGCAGGCGCGCGCGAAATTAGAAAGAGCGCGCGCCGTCCAGCGGGGCGACGCGGCGCTGGACTTCTCGAAGCCGACGGCGGCGATGGCCGCGGACGCGAAAGCTAGAGGCATCGACCTGGACGACCCGCGCGTCCAGCAGATGCTGCGCGAGCTGCAGGAGGAGCGCCTCGAGTCCCAGACGGAGGCGGGGCGCGCGCGCGTGCGGCGGCGCGACGCGGCGCGCGCCGAGGCCGCGCGCATGACGACGGCGCAACTTCTGAAAGCTCTGAAGGACGAGGACGTGCCGCACGCGCACTGCGCGAGCGCCGACGACCTGCGGGAGCTTTATGTGAGGTACCGCGGCGACCCCGAGGCGACGCGCGCCGCGGCGGCCGAGGCGGCCGCCGCGGCGGCGGGCGGCGGCGCCAACTGGCTCCAGCTCGTCGGCGCGAGCCTCCTGTTTGTGTTGTGGCGCGTCTGGACGTCGGGCCTCCTCGCGCCGGCGCCCAGTAGTAATACTGACGCGGCGCGGAACCCCTACCTCGACGCGGAGCCCCAGGCGGCCTTTGGCGGGGAGGACGGCGAGTTCTGACTAATTTTGCTTTTTGCCAGTCCGAGTCCCGGTGGATTCCTCGTTTACCCCGTCCCATCCGAGTCGCGCGGGAAACCCTACTGCACTTTTTGGATTCCTCGGTTACCCCCCGTGCGGGAAACCTAGATCAGGCCTTCTCGAGCTCGCGGCCGCGCTCGAGCGCGAGCTCGTAGGCCTTGACGAGGTCGGCCGTGCCCTTGCCGCGGGGCTCGGGCCGCGACTCGAGCGGCACGACGGCGTTCTCCGGTAATATATCAAACTGGTTCTCGCCGAAGTAGATGACCATGCGCTGCCGCGGCATGCGCGCGCCCGGCCGCGGCGGCGGTAGCGCCTCCATGAACTTGGTCGCGGCCGGCAGGCAGAGCTCGCCGGGCCACCAGGGGTGCGCGCCCGACTTGGCCCAGACCAAGACCCCGAGCTTCTGTACCGACAAAAGCGAGTCGTCCTGCTGCGGCTTGTTGTCCGAGAACGTCGACGACCCGACGATGCGGTAGACCGTCTGCGGTCTATTTAAATCGAGCCACTCCGAGTGGCCGTCGTCGTAGTCGACGCGGTGCCTTCCATCCTTCGCCCGATACTCGGTCACGACGCCCGCGTACCAGACCTTGTCGCGCGGCCAGTGCACCTCGACCCTCTTATCCACCAGGGCCTCGGGGTCGCCCGCGTGGGGCTTGACGTGCTGCAATTCCATGACGTCGTCGTCGCCGGCCTCCTTCCGGACCTCCTCGTCCGCCGCGGCGAACGTCGCCCCGGCCTCCGTCTCCCGGCCGATGTTCGCCTCCAGAACCTGGCGCCACTTGTGCTCGAAGGCCGCCCGGAGGACCTGCGCCATCCTATATACGACCACGTCGTCCGCGTTCGGCGACGGCTCGCAGTACAGCGCCGCGTTCGCGTGCACCCTCCTCACGTCCGCCGCGAAGCCCGCCGCGCCCGTCTCCCTGTACCCGTCTCCCTCCAACCGCCGCTGGATCAGCCCCAGGTCGACGGGGTCGCTCACGAGCTCCGTGTACCTAGGGACGCCCTCGACGGGCCGCGCGAAGGGCTCGGACACGTCCAGCTGGCGCAGCCAGCCCAGCACCTCCAAACACGCGCCGCGCGGCACGCGCGCCGCGGCCTCGACGCCCGCCCGGTGCTCGCGGAAGTGGCCCTCGGCGGCGTCCGCGTCGAGCCACCGTAAGCCGAGCGACGCGTCGTCCAAAAGCAGGTGGAGGCGCCCCTTGGCCGCGACGACCGAGTGCGCGCCCCGGGCCGTGTCGAGCTTCGCGTCGAGGACGACGCGCCCCGGGAGCCGCCCGCGCACGGCCGCGCCGACCGTGCCGGACTCGGCCGCCTTCTGGCGCTTCGGCGGGGGCTCGTCGCTCACGGGCGAGCGCTGGATCTGGGGCACATCATTAATTGGCTCGCCGGCCTGCATCTGCATGACGCGCGTCCCCTGTTGCTCAACATAATCCTGCAGCCGGTCGCAGATCGTGACACCCAGCTTGGCGAAGTCGACCGTGAACTCGTCGCCGTTCTGGATCGTCTGCTGGCCGAAGATGATCGTGACGACGTCCTGGAGGCACGGCGGCGGGAGGCCCGAGACCACGAGCGACAGCTGCTGCCGCGCCTCGAAGGTCCAGCGCGCCGCCGCCGCCGCCGGGGGGGGCGGCGGCGCCGGCGCCGGCGGCGGCGCCGGCGGCTGCGGCGGCGCGGCGTCGCTGGGCGGCGGAAAAAATGCATTGATCTCCTCGGGGGTTCGTGGGTTGCGCGGCAGGGGTATCTTCCTTGACGTCGGCGGCTGCGGCGCCGCGTCGTCGGGGGTTTCTAGCTTGGGCATCGGTGGGCGCTCCATTCCGTCGGCTCTTTTTTAATTTCTCTTTCTGTGACTGCGGTCTCGCCTTTTTAGGAGAGGCCTGGATTTTTTGCGCGCGAGGAGGCTCTGCTTTTTTTCTATGGTATACCCGCTGACAGAGCTGCACTACGGCCGACTAGTGGGATTTGACAAAGTTGACTTTTTGTTTGGTTGACTTTATTAGATGTAGAGACTGGTCGTTTGCTGGTATCAGTTAACTGGACGATGGCCGCAAATACGCTGCCCCCGGGCAGGCTGAAGTACCTGGAGGGCCTCGCGCCGGACCAGGCCACCTTCCAGAAGTACGTCGAGGATGAGGCGCGCTCGCGCGGCTGGGTAAAGCCCACCGAGCTGCTGCCCCGCGCCGCGCGGTCGCGCCGCGCGCCGCCGCCGTCCCCGGACCCCGCCCCCAAGAAACAGGGGCTGAAGAGGCGCCGCGAGACGTGGGAAAAGCTGCCCTCGTCGTCCCAGAAGCGCTCGCGCGGCGACGGCGCGGCGCGGCCGCGGGTCCTTCAGACCATAACAAACCGCGCCCCGCAGTCCCTGGACAGCGTCGTCGTCGCCTGCGACGACGAGCGCGTCGAGGGCACCGCCATTGCCGTCGTCGGCGACACTGTGCAGGTCCAGCCGTTCGCGCAGGGCTCGGAACCGCTCGTCGTGAAGAAGGAGGAGACCGCCGTCACGGTGGCGCGCGCTCCCGAGGCGCTCGAGGACGTCCTCGCCGCGCGACGGACGCCGTTCTTCGCCCCGAAGGTCGGACCCATCTTCTCGGGCGACTCGCTGTTGCTCAAGGACGGCAGCATGGTCGTCTTCCTGCAGCCCTCGTCGTCCTCAAGGATCGAGGTCTTGGAGCTCTACAAGATCGACGCGTTGCCCAAACACATCAACAGGTCGACTGCGTCCACCTGCGATGTCGTCCTCTCGTCGACTTCTAGAGAGGTCTCGGTGACCTCCGTCGTGGGGCCTGTGTGGGTCGTGTCGCAGGACAAGGCCAGAAGTGGTGCCTACGACGGCCTCGCGCGAGTCTACACCCTCGACCAGTGGTTTGATGGTACGTCGCCGGCGCTGCGACCGCTTCCAGAGCGCTGCGTCGCGTCGCTGATCGACGACAGGCCGTCGACGATGAGCGGCTTGTGGGACTTGTTAAACGTGCGCGTCGCCGTTGCTGATGCCGTCGGCGAGCTCCTCCGCGGGAAAAAAAAAGCGGGCGCCGTTACGACGTGCGTTTCGAAGTTGTGGCGCTGGGCCTACCTCCGCGCGTCGGGCATGTGGATCGGAAGTTCACGGCGAAGCGCGTCGTGGCGCGCGGGCGGCCAGGCGGCGCCGACGTGACGCGCCTCCAGTTCTACCGTTTCGAGCGGTTCTCGCTTAGCGGCGATGACGTGGTGCGCCTGGAGAGCGAGTTCCGGATCTTGGCGCGGCGACGCGGTCTACGAGTACCCCTAAAAGGCGGCTTCAAGGAGACGAGGGTGCCGACGACGCTGGACGAGTTCAGCAAGCTCGTGCGGGTGACGTGCACTTACAACGTCGACACCGGCGAATTGAAGCTCAACGCCCGCTTCGAGGTCAAGTCGCCCGCCGAGGCCGGTGCCACGAACGCACAGATCTGACGGCGCCGTCGCCGTTGCCACCGCCGGAGACGGCCGTCGAGCCGTCGCGCCCGTCGAAGACGCGCGTCCGCGACGGTCGTCGCGGAGTTGCAGATGAAACAGTTCGAGCTCGACGGCGTCGTTTACACTATCACGGCGGCGACGGCGGCGTCGTGCGAGTTTAGGGAGGCCTACCCGGTCGCCGGCGCGGACGTGCCGACGCTCACGCGTCCAACGTCTGAAGTCCATGCACTCGTCGCAGCCTACGAAGAGTAAGTCACAATTTACCAGTCTATCACGCGCTTCTGCTTCCAGCCGATGACCTTGAGCTCGCCGGGCTTGACCAGGCCTGTGAGCCACATCATCCGCCGCTGCATCCACTTGCCCAGCGCGGCGACGCGCGTCGCCCGCGTCGCCTCGTGGCCGCAGTGGCCGCCGCGCTGCGTCCGCGTGAGGAAGAAGCGCTTGATCAAGTGGTTCACGCTCTCGAAGCCCTGGTTCGAGTAGCGGTACAAGTTCCGGTACTTTCGCAAATAAGCAGTAATGTGGCCCGAGCCGATGTGGAAGTGTTCGTGAGGCCTTCGCCGTGAAAGTCGTCAGTAGCCGATGGTAGGTCTCCTGGGCGAGGTCGTCGGCTTTGGCAATCTCGACGTCCGTGAGATCTTCTCGTTTTCGATATAGCACCATCAATTCCTCGTAGCCGCGGACGAGGTCGAGGACGACCCGCCGCTTGGCGTCGTCCGGGAAGCACGCGCCGATGAGCCGTGCCGACGTTAGCAAAGATCTTCCGGGCGCGGCCGCAATTCAACGGATGGCCTCGACGGAATCTTCGTCCTTGGAGAGCGGCGCCGTCCACTTGCCCTCGCGGCCGTTCGGGCAGCCGAAGCCTTTCGTTCTAATCGCCCTCCAGCGGCCGCAGCTTCGCCAGGGCCACGCTCTTCTCGTAGATCAAATAAATTGTTGAGGATGAGCCGCAACGAGCGCTCGCGCGTCCGGTTTTCTAAATGCAAGACGCACGGGACCATATGCTCGACCAGGGAGATGAGCGCATCAGAATTTGGCGTGGCGTGTTCTAATTGCGCTTGAAGTTCGTAATATTGGTCAACCAATTTCAGGCGCGTCTTCTCGACGCGCGAACCGAGGTTGCCCGTCACCGCCAGGCCGAAATCAACAAGACAATCGTTCACGACCAGCGAAAATTGCGTTTTTTGTGCTGGGGTCGCAGTTCGACAGTCGAACTTTGCGTAAAACCCGTTTTGGTTGGGGTTTTCCAATTCCAAGCAATGCTGACCGCAATAAGCAGCGAAGCGCGCGTGCAAGTGGGCCGAGGTGCCGCCCGCATCGAGCCCAGCCTCCGCGGCGAGCTCGCGCAGCTGCGCCGCACTTAAAGTCTTGGCCTCGCGCATGTAGCGGTAGGCTGGGGGCAGCTCCCTCTGAGCTCCGTGAGCGCAGCGGCAGCCGTAGCGCGCCACTCGTCTACGGCAGCCGGCGTCGACATCTCCGCGTGGTAGCACACTAACCGACCCGCTGCTCTGCAGACGTCGCAAAGGTCGTCAACTACCTTGGGCGTCGTCATCTGCCTGTTGGTCTGCGCGCAACAATAACACGGCCGCGCGTTCTCCGACGTCCCAGTCGCGAAGCCCTTCTTCGACACCGTCTGGAGGTTGGCCATGTCGCCCGAGCAGACGTAATCAACGTGAACGGCGCGGCCCTCTGCCTCTGACTGGTAGACACCATCGGTTTGCGCCGTCGCCGCTGTACTGAAGTGATCCGTCACGTCGTCTAAAGCTTCGTACAGGGGCGGCTCTCGTGGCCAACGGCTAACGTAGTAATATGAACCCGATCAGGCGACTGGAAGTCGGTGATAGGCTTGCCAGTGATCGGTCGACCGCGCGGCTGTCGTTGACGTGGATCCCTTGCATCGTAAAGTCGTCGCTTTTCGTGATGTTGCTGCCGTCTTGCGTGCCTCTGATCCTCCGCGGATCCGCGGACTGCGTCCAGTCTCAAGGGCCGCGCTACTGCTTTCCGATGACGTCGAGGACCGCGCCCGTCGCAATGCCGACCGCCTCGTAAGTGCCGTCGCCCGCGGACGTTTCGTAACCGAAACCTTGTGGCCATCAGCAGCAACCTCTCGACCAGCTTGGCTGTTTCCTGGAGCGCGAACTTCGTGGGGAATAACAGCATCACGTGCTTGCCCAACGTCTCCCCGAGCGCAACGAGAGCCGCCCGCTCTCTGGCCCGCATGGCCTCGCTCGCAGCGTAGTTCCCCGTCATCTCCACGTCCATGGTCTTCAGTAGTTCGGCTGGAGAGAAAATCTCCTGGAGGCGCCGGTACTCCGCGCACGCAAAGTGAGCTCGCACGAGGCCAATCTCCCCCCGCCCGCGAGAGTGTTGACACCACGCGTAGTCGGCTAGGAGACGCAGACACTTCTGTTGCTTTCTTTTGAGCGTACCACCACAAATTCTACTGAGAAAGTCGCCGACGGCGTGGACCACGGGCCACAACGACTCGCCTTCGAAGTCCGAATCCGGCGGCGGCTCCTCCGGTAAATACGCAACACGAGAACCCAGCCAGGCGCCTCGAAGCCGTCGAAGGCCATAAAGCTCGAGGTTGAGCTGGCTTTGTTTCTTTTTCAAATCGGCGACTTCAGTTCTCTGCGCGTCGAGTTGCCGCTGCAACTCGCGCGTGTTTGTCCGGAACCCCTCCTCCAATCGCCGCCGCTCCTCGTCTAGCCGCGCCGCCGCGCGTCGCTCACAGTCTATTTTCCATAGTTCTTTCTCTTGTGAAAATTTGGCTCTAAGGCGATCAACGTCGCGCCGTCGTGCCGCTCTCTCCGCGGAGAGCGCGTTCGCCTCGCGGTCCAGAGAGAGAAGCATAAGTCTTGCCGAGTCGGTGGCGCTCCTCGCGAAGACTGCGTCCTGTCTGTCGCGTAGCTCCGCGTGGGCCGCGACGGCCGCCGCGCGCGCGCGGCTTCCGCGCGGTCGCACGCCGCGAGCGCGTCTTCGGCGCGCTGCTCTAGGGCCATTAAATCTCGTCGTGTCACGGGCCGTGGTACTGGCGCGACTTCGTCGAGGTCGACCACGTCTTCGTCCGGCACGAGCAGCTCAGCATCATCAACCGGATCCACGCGCGTGACCTTCTCGCCGGGCGTCGTGTACATCCTAGGCCGCGCGGACGTCGGGCGCTTCTCGCCGGACCGCGCCGTCGTCTTCGACGGCTTGCGCGGCGCTCGGGGCGGCTGCTTCCTCTTGCACTGGAACTTCTCCTCTGGTCGCGGGAACGGCGGCTCGACGCCATCGGGGTACTCCTCGAGCGCGCGCGCGCGGTTCTGCACGGCTGGCAAGAAGTAGATGCACCGCGGCTCCTTATCAATTTCGTACGACTTCCGCCAGTACCGACCCTCGGCATCAAAGGTCACCCTTGTCCTCGCGGTGGGACCGAGCGCCGCGTTGAGCGCGGCGCGCGTCGCCACGCCGTCCATCTCCATGAGGAGCTCGTCGTCGCTGAGGAAGACGTCCCCCTCCGGCATTGGCAGGGCGTCGAAGATGTGCTGATCGTCCGCCGCGGGCTTCCACACCCGCGGCATCGTGGCAGCACCAACGTTCTCGGGCTGTGAACAAGTTATTAAAACTTGATTAGAGTATGCTGCGCAGCAGCTGCGTGTGGGCTGCCTCCCCCAATCAAGTTTTAATGCGATGCAGCTGGACCGAGATCGCAGCGCTTTTAGCAGCGCCGCTGGGCGCTCAGCTACCCCCTGGTTTTCCTACAAGTTACTGCAATACATAATGTAACTAGGGGGGCTTGGTATCCTACCAGTAGGCCGTAGTGGTTACTTATGGTACTACCCCCCCACAGACCCGCACTAAGGGACAACAGGACACGTTAATAATCACCCCGCGTACGGTACGAGCGGGAGACCCGCTGCGCGCCACGCGTGGATGCCTCCGGTCACGTTGACGGCGCGCGCAAATCCCGCGGCGCGCAGCACCGCTACGGCCGAGGCGGAGCGATTGCCCGACCGGCACCCGACGTAGATCTCCTCGCCCCGTCGGAACTCGAGTTCGACGTCCTCGAGGAAGTCCGCGGGCGAGACGGGCTCGCGGTCGCCGTTGTGAGGGAAGGGAATGTTGACCGAGCCCTCCACCACGTCCTCGGCGACGAACTCCATCTCGCTGCGGCAGTCGAGGTACCGGGCGCCCCCGGCTTCCAGCGCGCGCTGGGCACTCGCGCACGTCGCTTCCGGTGGCGCCAGCTCCGGTGGCTCTGTCGCCTCCGGCGGCGCCGGGGCCTCGCGCGCCTCGAGCGCCCGCGCGAGGCCGTCGACGTCCTCGACCGACCGCACGCCCACCGACACCCGCGCGAGCGGCCGGGCCAGGGCGTCGCGGAGGGCCCACGCCTCCAGGCGCTCGCCGTCGCGGAGCGGCGCCGCGGCCGCCGCGCAGCGCGCGGCCGCGTCGCGCGCGGCCAGGTCCGCGTTCGCGCGGACGGCCCGGCCGTAGGCCTCGAAGTAGCCCTGGAGCACGTCGGCCGAGGCCTCGTCGAGGGCCTCGAACTTGGCGTGGAGGAGCGGCACGAGCTGCGTCGCGATCTCGTGCTCCCACCGCTCGAACGAGTCGAACTGCGCCAGCGACGCGTTCAGGTCGCCGACGAGCTGCCGGACCCAGGCGCAGCCCTCGACGACGTCGGCGTCGGCGCCGGCGGGCGCCTCGAAGTGCGCCAGCGCCCGCTGCGACGCCGGGACGTAGCCCGCGAGGTCCGCCGCGCCCGCGGCCGGCGACGCGAAAACGCCGCCCGTCGCCAGGTTCCGGAGCGGCGCGCAGCCCAGGAGCTCGACGCCGCGCGCGGCGAGCGCGGCCTGGCTCGCGCGGAGCGCCGCCGCGTCCGCCGGCGTCGTCGGCAGGCGCAGCGGCCCGTCGAGCGCCGCGTCCCACCAGTCGTGCTCCACCGCGCCCGCGTCGCGGCTTGAGACGCCCACCGCCCGCGCGCCGCCGGTGGCGCGCACCGCCGCGGCCGCCGCCTCGACGACGCGCCGCCGCTCGTCGCGCGGGACCTCCTCGGGCCCGTGCAGCAGCGCCGCGTCGAGCGGCCGCCCCAGGAGTTCGGCGCACCGCTCGACCTCGGCCGCGACGCGGTCGGCGGCGAGCGAGTGCGCGATCCGACCGTCCTGCGCGGCGAAGTAGCCCACGCGCGCGACGACGCGCGCGCTCGCGTCCGCCTTCGCGAACGCGGCCGCGGCGGCCCAGCAGCGCGCCGCCGGGCCGGGCAGGTCGAGCACCCGCGCGAGGCCCTTCGCCGCGGCACGGTCCAGGATCTCCGTGCCCGCGACGCGGGCGCAGTTGAGGGCCAGCTTCATAGTTATGACTGCCGCGTGCACCGACGCCGGATGGCTTTTTTAGTAGCTTGTTATGACTCCTCGTTGCTGATGCAAGCAGCAATACTCAAACGCTGCCTCGTAAACGCTGTCGACTTCGCGACTTCGAATCCGTGAAAACGGTACGGCCCGGGCTCGATGTAAGATGCCGAGGTCTAGGCCTAGTTTCTTTAGACCGCTAGCTCTATCTCTTGACGGCGGACGGATAGCCCATCGAACAGGCCAAGGCACGTCACTGCTCGCAAACCGGCCGGCCTCTGCTCGGAGCGAAACCTCGCACCGTTCGTGTCTGGGTTCTCGGGGGTTGGGGCGCCCGGTGAAACAACACCCGGCTCTGTCGCCAATCCCTACAAGACACAGTGGCGAAGCGCTCGGGGTCCGGTCTACCTGGGGGTTCAATAAGCGACTCTCTCTTTCTAAGCGCTAGGACGCCACTCTATGGACTAGTCCTAGCACCGTAACAGATAATCAACGACCGGAGATGGCAAAAACAAAGCCTTAAGCCCCCTAAGCCTCTTCGTCCATCTTGTCGGCGCGGCGCTCCGCCCGCCGGTTGTACACCGGGCAGCCCGGCACACAGCGGCAGCAGCACCAGAGCAAGCAGGTGCAGAACAGGACGAAGGCGAGGCAGACGGAGACGACGGCGTTGATGTTCAGTTCGAGGCAGTCCCCCCTCTTCTCGGCGCAGCACCGCCTGCGGGGCGCCGCGTCGGGTCGGCGGCGCGGGGAAGGGGACGCGGCGGCGGCACTCCTCGAAGCACCCCTTGGCGTCCTTGCGATCGCGCCACTGAGACTGGTCCGGGTATTCTCGCTCGAGCGTCGCCTCATCCTTTTCCCAGACCCCGACGGCGCCCGACCAGCGGAAGGGGAAGTTTCTGTATTCCTTCATTTCCCAGAGCCGCTTGGTGCTGTTCCAGGACGCCCCCTCCGTCTTTTCCAGGACGTCCTCTCCGTCGTCTTGCTCAGAATAGTTCAGGAGGTAGATGTCCGAGCCCGCGACATGGTATGCTTTTTGCGTGCCGTCAACGCCGCGGACGACGGTCAGCACGTTGCCGTCGGTCGAGGTCACTTTGAGGACCTCGTCGTCGATCAAGATGTATTTGCAGACCGAGGCACAGAAGGCTGCAGCATTGTCCACCAATACTTCCGTGTCCTTCGGAAGGAGAGCTACTGGTTCTCCGTCCTCGTCCACGTTCGAAAGCGTCGTCACCTTACCGGTTTTGCTGTACTCGTCGGGGGCCTTCTGCTCGCCCTGTTCGCAGATCCGGCAGTCGTCGTTGTACTGGTCCCCCTTGGCCCCGAGATACTTTTCAGGCCAATCCGCCGCGCGAGCCGTCGCGGCGACGAGCGCGCAGACGAGCGGGCCGCGGCATCTCATGGCGGCCGTCGTAGGGCCGGGGCCCGTCTCGCTTGGGAGGAAGGCTGCCCCGGGCGGGCGGCGGGTCCGAATCGCGCCCCGCTGTATCGCACCCGGCCGCGCGCGGCTCTGTGCTGCGACAGCGTCGAATGAATCGAAGCGGCAACGTGCCGGGTTTAGTCGCAAGGCAGCGCGATATTGTACCTGACCATATTATTTATTAAAAATATTATTCGAATATTATTTAATATTATTCGATATTATTTAACAGGCATAATAGTAAAAAAAATGGTACTCCTCCTAAAAACCGCGCGCGCGGGGCACCCCCCCCCTCGGGCCGACCCCCCGCGACGGCCCATTACCGCACTCACCGGGTGTCCCCCGCCCCGTGCACCCCTCGGCGACGTGCCTGGGGCCAAAGGCAGCCCCAGACGCCAGTATTTTCCCAATTCAGCCCGTTTTACCAAAATTACCCGCACCATAAAATAATTTTTTTAAATTATCCTTAATTAATAAAATACAAATAATATTGATAAAATATAAATAATATAATATAATTCGAATTGAATTTTGAAAAATATGGTATTATAGGTACAATACAGCGCGAAAGCCAGTGCCCCCCGCGCACCGCGACCGCCGACGGCGCGGCGCGGGACTACGAGTACTACGAGTCGCGACCCGGCTTACTGCACCACGAGCCCCGCCGGCCCGCTCGTCGACTGCGACGGCAGCAGCGTGAAGCCCATGGCGTCGATCTCCTGCGAGGGAATGCCCAGGTCCACGAGCTTCTGCGAGTACGTGCGGAGCGCGTCGTTGTACGCCTTCTGGGCCCGCACGCGGTCGTACTTCGCGTCGCGCAGCAGCTCGTTCTTCCGCGCCAGGTCGCCCTCGAGCTCGGCGTGCGCGCGGCCGAGCGCCTCCGCGTCGAGGCCCGCCGCCGTGACGATCTGCGCGGTCTGCGCCGCCGCGTTGTCCACGGCCTGGCGCATCGTCGTCACCTTTTGTTCCAGGAGCACGTTCCCGACGTTCGCGCGCTGCCGCGCCTGTTGCACGGTCTGCTCGAAGGCGGCCCGCAGGCCGTCGCGCTCGATGATCGTCGCATGCGCCTCGTCCTTGAGCGCCGCGTGGGACCGTTCCAACTTCTTGAGTCTATCTTCCAAGACCTTCATGCGGTTCCGCGAGTTTCGGAGCGAGAGCTTGTCCTTGTCCCGATCTCGTAACCTCGCCCGCAGCGCCGCGACCTCGGCGACGGCCACCGTCAGGGGCTCGCGCAGCTTGGCGTTCTCGGCGCTCACGTCCTTGGTGGTCACCTTATTTTGTTGCGCCTTCTCGCGCATGTCCTTGACCTCCGTTTTTAGGGACGTGATTAATTTCAGGTTGTCCGAGGTTATCGTATTATAGTACTGCTTCATCTGCCCGAAGGCCTTGTCGTGGTTCCTTATGAGATCATTGATGTGTAAATTTTTTCTCTCCTCGATCTCGTGGATGTGCACCTTGCGTCTCATCTTCAGGTCCGTCTCGAGCTGCTCGAGGCGCTTCTGGCACTTGGAACCGAGCTCCACAATCTCCTCCTCGAACTCCAACCTTAGATTCTTCAAGTTCTTGGCGTGCTGCTCCCTTAGTTCTCGCACTTCCTCCGCATTGGAAATTTCCCTTTCTCCCAACTCCGTCCGGATGGACGTCTTCGCCTTCTTGAGCGCGTGCGTCCGCTGCTCGTGGGCCTCCTTCTCCTCGGTGTCGAAGTGCTTCGTGTCCTCGCCCACACCTCGCAACGCGTGGCGGTGCTCGTACTCCAGGTGGCGCACCTTCTGGAGGTAGACCCTCAACTCGACGCGGTGGTTCTCCTCCATGAGCTCCATGTCCCGGTCCTTCTTCGCAATTTCACCTTTCACGTCCTCGACCTCGCTCCTACTTATGTCGTAGAACTGCTGGAGCGCGTCCCTCTCCAACTGGACGTAGTTCCGGTCCAGCGACTTCTTCGCGAGCGTCTGTTTGAGTAAGGGCACGACCTCCCGCAGCATCTCGAGGTCCATGGTCTCGTACTCATTCACCTCGTCGGGGGGCTTCTCGTCCTTCTTGCCCTTCTTGCCCTTCTTGCCCATGGTGTTGTTTTATGCGGCGCTTTGCGGTCTGCTAGTAGAGGGCTGCCCCTTCACGTATTTTGGCTGCCCGGCGCGTCGGAGGAGCTTGGGAAGAGCTTGTGAAGGGCTTGGCCTCTGAGCTGCCTCCGTCCCGCCGCGGCGTTGCTCAAAACGCGTATGCCTGCAGCGGCGCAGCCCAGTTTCTAGAAGGATAAGGGCAGTTTCATGAACTTACTAGCCTGGGGTCTAATATTAGACGCATCTTCGGGGGGGGGTGCTGAGGCGGCTCTGCGTCGAAGGAGGCGAGCTGTTATGAAAAAACGCAAGGACCGGCCGCCGACGAATCGGCGACGCGCGGGGTCCCTCCCACGAGTATTCGCACCGTGACGGACGGCATCCGCCAGGCGTAAGGTTCACCTCACAAAACACACTTACGGCTAGCGCTCGGAGACGGCGTTCATGTAGCGCAGCATCTCGCGGCGGCCGGCGTCGCGCGCGCGGTCCTCGGCCGACTTGTCGACCTTGAGCTTGATCCGCTTGCCCGAGACGGCCGAGCGGACGACGTCGCTCCCCGAGGAGGACGAGGACGAGGACGAGGACGATGCGGACCGTTTCCGTTTTCGCTTCTCCTTCTTCCGGCGCTTCTTCTCCTTCTTCCGTTTCTTTTTTTCGCGCTTGCGCTCCTTCTTCTCCCTGCGCTTCTCGCGGCGCCGCTTGGCGTCGCGGCCGCCGAGCGACGAGGCCGACGACGACGACGCGTCGTCGCGCCGGCTGCGCGACAATTGCGCGGCGGCGTCCGGGTAATAGCCCGTCGCGCCGTCGCGCGTCGTGAAGACCATGCCGGCACGTGGGCCGGCATATCGTGCCGCGGGCTCGAAGGCAGGCATGCTTAAGCTGCACCCAAAGCTGTCCACCGCTGTGATGTGGGACGACGATGCGTGGAAGTTTAGCAGCGCTCGTTGACAGCCTAGAGGAGGCGTCGAAACGCGGCGTAGGGGACCAAGCTGAGACCGCCCGCCTGTCAAAAAGTCAATCGATCAGAAAAACCCGCGCACAGGCTAAGACCATGTTAACACCAGGCCTAGGGGAGTCCAAGGAGATACGCGTCGTTAGGCGTTCGATCAGGTCAGTCGGGGGGCAGCAGAGGGGGCAGCGGGGGGAGCGCGCTCAGATGTGGAACTGGCCCGAGTCCGAGGGCAGCGGCGGCGGCGGGCCCGGCGCCGCGCCGTCGACGAGGCGCCGGTGCCAGTCGAGCCAGGCCTCGTAGGCCCGCGGCGGCAGCACCGCGCGCTGCACCGTGCCGCCGCGCGGCACGTCGCGCGCGAAGCGCACGACCTCGCGGACGACGACCAGGTCGCCGGGCACGTCCGCCTGGCGGCGCCAGGGCCCGCCGAAGCAGGCGTCGTGGGCCGGGCGGTCCCACGCGAGCGGGTGCGGCCGCGACGGGTGGATGGCCTCGTTCTTGCGCTTCTGCGAGAAGCGCGTGTCCGGGCCCTTGTTCGCGAAGGACGAGGCCGGGGGCGGGCCGTCGTCCCCCAATATGGCCTCGTGGTCGCGCCAGACCTGCACGAGGGCCACGTCCACGGTCTTGTCCGCCGTCGGCAGGCCGCCCGCGCCCCGCCGAATCAGCGTGAACTGCCGGCCGCGGTAGCCATGGACTCGCCCCGCGGCCTCGCCCGACCGGAATCTTCGAGCCATGGGCCGCGAGACGACGCCCCGCCGGTTGTCCTCGGCGTCCCACCACACCTCGCCGTTCAGCGGCGACTGGAAGGCCACGCTGATCGTCGCGTTCTGCTGCGACGTGTTGAGCAAATCAGAACGCCCTCTGCAGACAAAATACGCGTGGTGCTCGCCCGCGAAGCGCCCGAACGGCGACGCCGACGACTGCACGGGCAGCCCGTCCGGGAAGCTCGCGTGCGGGCCCCGGTTCGCCAGCCCGCGCAGCAGCGCGTGGACCGCGCCCAAGCTGACGACGTCGCCCGCCGCCAGAGCTGCGACCGTCTCCAGGTCCGCGGGCGTCGCGCCCTTGCCCACCTCCCGCGTCGGCGCCTCCAGCGCCGGGGGCGGCGGCGGGCGGGGCTCGAGGAGCTCCTCGACGTCGATGAGGTTCGAGGCCCGGAGGATGCTGTCCATGGTGTTCGGCCTCTTTTTTTTGCCGGCGCCCTTGTCGACTGTGGCGCTCCCGGGGGCGGCTGTCGCCGACCGGGGGGGACCCTTGCCGCGCTCGGGGCAGCCCGCGCCGCGCTCGGGGCCGACAATGCGGGGCTGGATTACAGGAAGCCGGGCCTAATCCAGCCGCGTAGCGGCTCGGGTCTGAAAAGGGCCCGGCTTTGGCGCCGCCGCGGATACGTCCGGAGAGGCCCTGCGCGCGCGCCGGAGGCGGAGGAGCTGGGGCTTTGTGCGGGTTTTGCGCCGCCTCGCGCGTTTTTTGAGCCGCGGCAATTCTGCACCGACGGACAGTTGTGGGCATCCATCGCTGCGATAGTGCACGTCCACCGGCGCAAAAACGCAGCGGTGCTCCGCCACAAGAGCAAACACTTCCGCGAGAGTGGAGTGCTGAGCACAGCACTGAGCACAGATGCAGGCGCCGCCGCCGCCGCCGCCGGACGCGCGCCGGCGCGTCCCGGACGTGGTCCAGCAGCTCGTGCAGCAGCACCGCGCTGATCAAAAGAAGAAGCTCGAGGACGTCCTCCGGCGGAACCGGAGCAGCCCGAACCAGGCGTCGCCGCGCCTCGCGGCGTTGCTCCCGACGGCGACGCCAACGACCTGGCGCGCTTCAAAGCCAGCCTCCTCCCCACCTCGCTGGGCGTCCTTCGCGGCGACCGTCGCCTTGCCGGAAGATCTGGGCGACGGCTGGCGCGCGGGCGGCCACTCGTTCGTCGGACGAGAGACGGTGCGCGCGCACGGGGAACGGGGCAAGGAGGAGCGCATGTCGTCGGGCGTCGTCGTGGCCTGGCTGCCGGCGACCGTCAAGGACCCGTTCCGCGACCGCGAGGGCCAGCCCGCGGATTTGTTTAGATTACGCTTCAAGGACGGCGACCTGAGTGGCGAGGTTGAGGATTTAGAAGCGCACGAGGTGGAGCAGTGTCTATCCGTCGACGCGCCGAACCCGCACGACGTCGGCGAGGGGCCCTTCGATCGGCCGTGGTGCAAGATCTTGCGGGGAGACGTGCGCGTGCCCCTGGCGACGCGGGGCCAGATCACGTGTCGGAGGTTGGAGAAGACGCCCCCCTTGCCGCCTTCTACCTCCTTCTCGCCGCTGTCGAGATCTCTGAAGACCGAGGATCAAGCCAAGCTGTCGTATACACCATATTTAGGCGAAAAGGAGGACGGCACCGAGTTGCTGGACGGCTACGACGCCTCGGAGAAGCAAAAATCGATTGATGCGGGCGTGACGTGCCCCGCTTTATTAGATCAACGGCAGCGCAACATATCGGATATTGTGAGGGCCTGCGTCGAGGCCTGCGGCGCGTCGGCGGACGTGGTGGATGCGTTGGTCCAGTGCGGGTTTCACAGGCGGGACGTGCTTTCGTATATGAAACTCCCGGAGGCGAAAGCTGGAGTGGAGAAGAAGCGCGACGACGCGCTCCACAAGTCGTATGATGACGACGTCGACTCGCTCAAAAAAATACTGTGTCGGCGGTGCTTCCTGTACGATTGCAATAGGCATGGGTTGCAGATCTTCGGGAGCGGAGTTGAGAGAGGTGAAGACGCGGGCGACGTCTTTCCGGTGGAGACGCCGGTACACGACGCGCCGCCTTTACTGAAGGGAGCGACGAGGGTCGACGTCGCGCGGCGCTTCCGGAGCGCGCCCCAAAGGACGTGGGGCGCGCGCGAGGACCGATTGTTGCCGCGCGCGCTGACCGTTTTCGGGGGTTGCGCGGCGCGCGCGGCGCAGGCCTTAGGCGTGTCCGGTGAAGATTTGAGACGCCGCGCGGCCGCCCTGTCGCTAGCATGCTCGACCGGTGACGAGGGCAAGTGGTGCTGTCGGCGGTGCGCGCCGCACGACCGGCCACCAAGGGAGGAGGACGCGCCGCCGCCGCCGAAACGGCGCAAGAAGGGCGCCGGCGCCAAGGTCACCGACATCAAGAAAACCAAGCACCCGAAGCCGCACCCCGACCGCAAGTTCAAGGCCAAGAGCATCGAGACGCCGGCCGTCTACTGCCGGCACGAGGGGCCCTGCACGCTCGAGAACTGCGAGTGCCTGCAGGCGGATCAGTACTGCTCGAAGTTCTGCGGGTGCTTCGTGCCCAAGGTGCCGCCGCGGCCGCGGGCCGTCGCCGCGCCGTGGTACGACGCGCGGCACGTGGAGAAGCCCGACTTCGACGACGCGACGGCGGCGTGGTTGCAAGCTAGACACGCGTGCCGCGGGGCCATGAGCTGGCCGCCGCCGCCGCCCAAGGCGCTGGGCGGGAAGAAGCCCTCGCGCCAGACGTGCCGGAACCAGTTCCCGGGCTGCCAGTGCAAGTCGCACTGCCAGACGCGGGCGTGCCCCTGCTTCGCGGCGGGCCGCGAGTGCGACGCGGACATTTGCGGGACCTGCGGCGCGGCGAAGGCCGACGACTACCCCGATTTACAGGCGAACCCCTTCCGTTGTAAGAATCGCGCATTAGCGAGGAAACAGACCGCGCGGACGGCGCTCGCCGAGTCCACGATCCCCGGCGCGGGCTGGGGTTTGTTTGCGCCGCACGGCGCGCAGAAGGGCGACCTCATGTGCGAGTACGTGGGCGAGGTGCTGAGCCAGCCCGAGGCTGAAAGAAGGGGCAAGATCTACGACAAGATCAACTCCTCTTATTTATTCAACCTGGACGAGGCGAGCGTCGTCGACGCGACGCGCTACGGGAACAAGTCCAGGTTCGCCAATCATAGTTCGGAGCCGAACTGCGGCACGCGCACCGTATTAGTAGATGGCACGCACCGCATCGGCCTGTACGCGGCCCAGGACATCCAGCGGGAGGACGAGCTCTTCTTCGACTACCGGTACACGGCCGAGGCGGAGACGGCGGGCCAGAAGAAGGTGGCGGTGCTCGTGGACTGGATGGTCGACGCGTCGGCGGCCGCGAACGTCAGCAACGGCCGCGGCGCGCGCGTCTTAGACGCGTCCGCGGCGGCGGCGCTCGCGCGGAAGGGGCCTGGAAAGAAGCGCAAGGCGGCGCGGAAGCACTCGGGGTGACTTAATTATTAGGTAGTGTTATTTTCTCTGCTTTGCTTCTCTATATTCCTCTTTTTTTTCTGCTGTAAACGGTGGTGCTAGGAGTCGGGCGGGGAATCCTTGTGTTGTTGCTTTGTTAATTGTCTTCCTTAATTTATTTATTTGCTTTGCTTAGAGCTAGGCCGCCTAGGCCCTAGCCACGACCCGCCGTTATTATTTACTTATTTATGTAGTAGCCCGGTTCCATACTGGTACATTGTATGGTATGGTACCATACCTCGGTCGCGGCTAAGTTGCTGCCGTGAGGACGCACCTGATTACGCGCTCCGTGGTTGTGCGCCCTAGATAACACGCGCTCGACGCCCTCGCAGCGCACGACCGCAAGCACGTACGCGCTGCCGCGCCGTGACGCACGCAAGGAACGCTAACAGCGCTGCGCCACAGCACAAGCTATGGCCAAAGCGAAGCCCCAACCAAAGCGCAACACGCGCAGCACGGCGAAACCCGCCGCGAAGGCCGCGCCCAAAAAACGGCCCGCGGCCGCGAAGCCCGCGCCCAAAAAGAAGCCCGCCGCCGCGAAGCCCGCGCCCAAAAAGAAGCCCGCCGCCGCGAAGCCCCCGCCGAAGAAGCGGCCCGCGCGCAAGCCGTCGGCGCGCGCCCGCGAGGCCGAGGAGGCGCCCGCGGAGCGCCTGCGCAAGGCGGCGCGGACCCTCGGGGGCGACGCGGGGCCGCGGACGTCGTCGCGCCCGCGCAAGGCGAGCGCGCGCGCGCGCGAGGCGGCCGAGGACGTGGAGGAAGACGAGCAGCCGGCGCCCAAGAAGAAGGTGCGGAAGCGCGCGACGCAGTGGGCCGGCGTCCCGCCCGTGAACATCGCGGCGCCGCGGCCGCCCGCCTCGCGGGAGAAGGGCTACTACAAGGAGCGCGCCCTCCAGCGTCTCGGGGAATTGATCCCCAAGGCGGTCGAGCCGCCCAAAGAAATTAAAAAGTACCCCGTCGGGCCGCGCCGCGAGAAGGTGTTGACGCTGAGCGACCTCGAGGCCAAGGGCCTCGTGGGCGTCAAGAAGCCCATCCTCCCGAAGAGCTGGCTCGCGCACGACGAGGACCTCGTGTTCGACACGGTCGACGTCGTCGTCAAGGCGGAGCCGACCTTCGGCATGTACCTGAAGAACGTCGACGAGCGCTGCGTCGTGCGCGGCTTCGTCGAAAACGCGGACGCCGTCGATAAATTGAAATGCAACGACGTGCTCATCGCCGTGGGCAACATCGACGCGCGCGCCGTCGGCTTCCGGGCGACGCTCGCCAAGCTCGAGAAGTGCTACGACACCGGCGCCGCGGCGCTGCGCGTGGCGCGGCCGCGGCTGCGGAGTGACCTCGTCTTCGAGGCGCGGACGTTCGCGGCGCCGGCCGCGGCGCCGGCGCCCGCGCCGGCGCCCGCGCCGGCTGCCGACGACGACGAGAGCTTCCTGGACCGGCCCGCGCTGCTCGCGCCGGCGCCCGGGCCGGCCCGCGCCGCCGCGGCTCCGGTCCCCGCGGCCCGCGGCGGCCCCGTCGCGCCGGTGCCCGGGCCCGCGCCGGCCGCGCTCCTGCCGGCCATCGACGACGAGGAGGAGGAGGCCGAGCTCGTCTGCCGGCCGCGGAAGGTCGGCGGCGGATAAGCAAGTTCTTATGTGAACTATTTACTCGTTGACCGCGTGCAGCGCCGTGGTCGACGACATGGCGACCGAGCCCCCCGGCTCGATGAAGAAGTGAGGCCTGTGTGGAAATCAAATTTTGCGCGCCCCACGCCATCGACGCGATGTTGTCTCCGTAGCTGCGTCTGCTCGATGGCGTGGCGATTCCTACGTTTTCCCCGCGACCGTGTCTGCTCGATGGCGTGGAATAGCGTAACTCACTGGTTGATTTCCACGCAGAGTGGGGCCCCGACATCTTGCCCGGCTTGACGTCGACGCCGTCGCCGTCGACGAAGCGCCAGCCGGCGTCGACGGCGCCCTGGAGCGATTTGTACGTCTTCTTGAGGGCCGTGAGCGTCGCGCTCGCTTGCGGGCTGACGTTCTTCTTGAGGGCGGGGTCGGCGACGAACTTCCACGCCTTGCCGCCCTTCGGCGGCTCGTGGTACGGGATGTGGCACCCGCGGTCGCGAGAGCGGGAGCGACTCGGAGACCGGGACATGGGTGAGTTATGTGTTCCGCCTGCGTGCAAATCGAGCAACCTCTCGGCGACGACGCGGGCGCGCGCGTAGACTCAAAAGCCAGGTCGAGCTCAGAGCTCCACCTTGAATCGAGACGTCGCGTCGACGCACGCCCGACGAGCGCGGAGGCGAAGGCTGACTGACGCACTGTAAAAACGGTGAAGCCTGATTGGAGCGCTATGAGGTCGGATTTGTGAATGAAACCTGTTTTGATTGTGGGGCGTCGCGGCGACCTAAAGTACTCGCCAGACGAGATTATCTGAACGGCGGAGCTAGGATGGAAGGTATGTTTTAAAGCGCAACCTCTTTCAACCAGCCGCTTCACGCTCCTTGGTATGATCGTCGAGTTCGCGTTCCACGTTGGGGATTACTAAGAAACTACATTTCAGGTGATCAAAGTACGGAAACGAAGTATCTTATGTAGACGAACGAGGACGAAACGACCTACCAGCGCCGGCCCTTGCCGCCGCCGCCGCCGCGCCCGCGGCCCGAGCCCGGGGGGTTGCCGGGCGGGCCCTTGAGGACGTTCAGGCCGCGCACGCCCTTGAGGCCCATCTTGCCGACGGTCTTGGCTTGCAAAGGAGGCGGCCCCGGCAGGGCCAGGACCTCCTCCGCGAAGACGTTGGCCTCTTCGACGAGGCGCTCCTTGTCCCACCGCAACCGCCTCAAAAAAGAATTGTAGAAGCCGAGCCAGGCCTGGTAGGAGGCGCCCGTCGTCTCGGGCGGCAGGCGCCGCGCCGCTTCATATAAAGCGGTCTCGAGCTGCACTGTTGGAGAGCCCTGGACGAGCTGCTGGAGCGGCAACGCCCGGATTTTCGCATCATTTAAAAAGAAGGCCTCGGTCCGGCATAATATGAGATCGCCGGACCCCTGCTTGCCCGCTCTCGCCGTCCGTCCCAGGCGATGGACGTACTGCGCCGCGTCGGACGGCAGGCCCACCTGGATGACGCGCGTGACGTCGGGGTAGTCCATGCCCCGCGCCGTCACGTCGCTCGTGAGTAGGCAGGCCCCTCCGACGCTATTTCTGAAAATATCCGAGACCTTCGTGCGGTGACTTTGGGACTTCCGCGAGTGGATCTCCAAAATCTTCGTGTGTCTCAAGAAAGCACACGTCGGGTCCTTCGCCAGTTCCAAACACAATTCGGCGTAGAATTGGGTTAACCGAGCCGTCGTGAAGAAGGCGATGACCTTGTGCTCCGGGTCACTACAAGCATCGTTCAAGACCGCGATGAGTTCCGCGGCGCAGCCCTTCTGCGTCTCGCAGATCGTCGCTCTTTGAGGGACATTGACGTGGGTTTGTTGTTCTTCGCCGACCGTGTCCACGAAGTGGTACTGCGGCGACTTCATCGCTAATCTAGCGATCGACGCGACGTCGTCAGGCATCGTCGCGCTAAATAACAAAGTTTGGCGCGTCAGTTTGGTGGATTCAATAGCCCGCAGGATCTTTTCGATGGCCGGGCGGAAGCCCATGTCCAGCAACTGGTCCGCCTCGTCGAAAACGAGCGTTTCGAGGCTATCGCAGATGCCCGGCGCGACGCCCTGCGTGTTCTCGAGGTGGTCGTTCAGCCGCCCCGGCGTCGCCACGAGAATGTCGGGGGCTCTCCCGCCTCGCAACCCAAGTTCATTATAGTCCTTCTGGATCTTCGTGCCGCCGAACACGCACGCTACTCTTAGACCGTGGAACGTCGCGAGCAATTTCCCCTCCTCGACGGTCTGGGCGGCGAGTTCCCGCGTGGGAGACAACACCAGAGCGGATAACCCTCTACGGTGAGGCTTGGACGCGGCCGCCCTATCCACAGAGGGCACCATGAACGCGAGCGTCTTGCCCGTGCCCGTCTTCGCCTTGGCGACGACGTCTCCGCCGCGCGCGCAGACCGGTAGGGCTTGTTGCTGGACCTGGGTCATCGTCGGGTAGCCCAGGACTTCATCAATGGCTCGTAACGTGTTGGGCGACACGACGCCTTGCAAGGTGGCGAACGCGACGCCCGTCAGGTGGGCCCGCGTCGTGCTCGAAGTTCTAGCGGAAGCGTGCGGCGCCGGCGGCGCCGGCGGCGCGGCGTGCGGCTTCGGTCGGCCGTCCGTGTTCTGCTGCTTGCGCGGCGGCTTCGGCGGCGCGTCGCCGCCGCCCTTGCCACCGCGGCCGCGGCCGCCGCCGCGCCTCCTACGCTTCTGGCCCTTGCCGCCGCGACCGCGCCCGCCTCCGCCTCTGCCGTTGTTGTTGTCCATTTCTGCGCGTGCGCGTCTACTGTTGTGCTACTGTTGTGATGGCTGCTGCCAGCTGCCAAAAACGCAAAAAAGCTCGTCTTTGCGTCTATGGGCTGCTGCGCGATGCTAGGATGCTAATGTGAAATCAGCTTCTCGCGAATTATATATAGGTGCGCAGTCTCTCGTCGCCACGGCTTGGGCGTCGGCATCGATCGTGTCACAGGATGGGACCTGTCCGAAAGTAACTCCTCTAGCGTGGATAATGTCTTCGACACGTATATCAATTGCGCAAGAGAGGATTGAGAAAAGCGTGAGCTAGCGGTCTGTAAGACACTAGCAGCTCAATGCTTGCCTTGGCTGGCTCGGATCTGGCTAAGCTCACTATCAGGGCGCCTTAAAGCAAGCTCGCGTGGTGCCACCCACTGCTGCAGCGCGCAGCAGTAAATTCCGCATGCAGATCTAGCTGGCACAACCAAAAAGCAGAGATGTGCAGGCTGCTCCTCGTCGTCGACGACTCGGAGCAGAAGCTGCTCCCGCTCGTCTCCGCCCGGCGCCAGAACAAGCGCGGGCAGCTCTTCGGCCTGAGCAAGGGCGAGCGGCTGCACGGCTTTGGCGTGGCCTGGCTCACCGGGCGCGCCGCGGGCGCGGTGGTGACCACGCGTCCGCCCAGCGACGACCTAAATGTGCGTCGCGTCCTAGGCGCAACATCGTCACGTCTCGCTCTAGCCTTCATCCGGAGCTGCGCCTGCGACCGCTGCCCCGCGACGACGTACTGCCCCGCGTCCGACGCGAACGCGCAGCCCTTCGTGCGCGGCGGCGCCTCGGGCTTGGTTGTGGCGCACGTCGGCATCTTGCACCACCACCGCGAGTTATTGAGGGACGGCGGCGAGGCGGGCCGCCGCGCGGCGGCCGTCGCGGACTGCGGCGACGCGGGGAACAGCGACGCGGCGTTCCTCTACCGCCTCGTCGCGTCCTACTACGACGACTTTGGGGGCGACCTCGAGCGCGCCGTGCGCGCGACGCTCGACCTGGTCTCGGCGACGGGCCCTCCCTCAAGCCTCAACCTCGTGGCCACGGACAAGACCGGTCGCGTCGTCGCCTGCCGCCGGCGGAGCCCCGGCGACGGCCAGGCTCCGCCGCCGTTGTTCTACGCCTCGACGGCGACGGGCGCGCTCCTCGCGAGCGCGCCCGTGCGCTGGCCGGGCGCCGAAGCTTGGACGGAGGTCACGGCCGACGGCGTGGTCGTCGTCGAGGGCGCGCGCGTCCGCGCGGCCGCGCCCGTCGCCACGAAGCCGCGGCCGTGGGCCTTCGTGCCGCCGCCGCGCGCGCCCGCGCCGCGCGCGCCGGCGGCCGCCGTCGCCGCCCAGGCCTAGCGCGAAGACCGACGCGGTCGGCGCGGCGGACGCCAGGATGCGCGCCGTCGTCGCCCGCGTCGCGTCCGCCAACCGAAGCGGGCTCGGCGCACATCTCGCGGCGGCGAAGAAGCGGCGGCTCGCGGCGCTCCGGGCGGGCGCGAGCGCCGACGACCTCGTGGCGTCGCTCGAGGCTTTTGCGGCGGCCCTCGCGCGCGCCGACGGCGGCGAGCAAGCGGCGCTTGTCGAGCGGGATCGAGTGGCATGCGCCAGCGGCTTAACGCGCGAGGCTGCCGCGGCGACGGGCGACGCCGTGGCGACCGGCGCCAACGGGGCGGCCACCGACCGCCGCGCCCTCGCGGAATCCCAGGCACGGCTCTACGACGCGCGATACTCGAGTTCCTCGGCCGCGGAGGGCCAGGACCGCGCGGGCGTCGAGGAGGTCCACACCACCGTCGCGCGGGAGACCGAGGCCATCGCTTCGGCCATCGCCGACGTCGGGGACGGCACCACAGTGCACCTGCTGGACTTTGGAAGCGGCAACGGGCGATGCTTCGCGGCGAGCCGCGCCGCCGCGCGGGCCCGGGGCAAGGCGCTCGCCGTCACGGCGTACGACGTCTCATCGGGAGCGCTGGGCGCCTTCCGCCGGGCGCTCGTCGACGACCACGGCTTCGCCGCCGACGGCGGCGGCGCGCTCGGCGACGTCGTCGCCGGTGCGGACCGCGTCCGCTTCGTGCAGGGCAGCGCGACGGCGCCGCCCGAGGCGCTGCGGAGCCTCGGCAGCTTCGACGTCGCCTTGTCGGGCTGGGGGACGACGTCGGCGATCCCGGACCTGCGGCCAGGCGAAGGGCGGCAGCTGCAGTTCCTCGCCGAACTGTGCCGCCGCGCGCCGCGGTTGCTCAACGTCGTGTCCTCCGAGAACAATTTCCTCGGACCGCAGGCGCGGTTCCGCGAAATCCGCCGGCGGCGCGCGGCCGCCGTCGGGGAAGACGCTGCGCGACTGGACGCGGAGCTGCGGCTGGCGACGTCCGAGGGCTCTTTTTACTACGAAGTGAACAATGAGGAATACTTCTATTCGGCCGTGTCGCCGCGCGTCGAGGAACGGAGGCTGCGCGCCGCCGGCTTCCGCGACGTCGACGTGCGCGCGTGCAACGTCGCGTCGTTCCGCGACCTTCTGGCGTCGCCGCGGCTCGCGCGGCTAGAGCGCGCGGTCCTCAAACTCGTCGACGGGAACCAGCACCTGCGGCTCCAGCTGCTCCTGACGCGCCTTGCGGAAAAAGCCGCGCGCCGGCGCCTCCAACGCGTCGCGCCGCTCTTCGACCCGGACCGCACGCTCGTTGACCAGTGCGCGCGCTACTTGTGCTCATATGCGAGCCGCTGAGGTCTGTTCTCTGTTTGTGTATAAGTATCCTTGTAAGTTCGTGTGCGGTTACGCAGGGCTCCCCCACGCGGCGGCGGCAGGGTGGCTAGGAAGCCGCCTAGCTCTAAGCAAAGCAAGCTACAAAACAACTATCACAGCGACGTCAGCCGCGGCAGGCCCATGAACGCGTCGAGACGGTCGTGGCGCCGCTGGCGCAGCTCGTCGAGGCGGTCGTGGCGCCGCTGGCGCAGCTCCTTGCGCAGGCGCCGACGCTCGAGCCGTTGGTTTTCCTCGGCGGCGGCTTTGCGCGCCTCGATCGCGGCCTCCCGGCGTGCGATCTCGTCGACCACCTCTTGTTCGGCCGCCGCGGCGCGCTCGCGGCGGCGGCGCTTCCGCGAGGCCGGGCGCATCGACTTCCGCCGGGGCCGTTCCGCGTCGTCGAAGGACCGCAGCGGCTCGTCGTCGAAGGTCACGTTGGAGCGCCGGTGCGGCGAGTGGGGCGGCGAGTCGTCGCCCGGCAATTCGGTCGCGACCTCGTGCCGGTCCGAGCGGCGCAGCAGCGTGCCGCCGCGCGTCGTCGGCCGGAAGGTGCCGCCCGGCGTGCAGGGTTTGATGAGGCGTTTGGTCTGCGGTGTCATCGGCCGGCGGACGCCGCGCTCGTCGACGGGCAGGCCCTCGATCGAGCCGTTCGGCGTGAGCGGCCGCTCGGTGCCGCCGCCCGTCAGCGGCCGCAGGAGGCGCGTGCCGCGCGGCGTAGCGTATAATCTAGATCCGCCCGGCGACCGCGGCGTGCGCGGCCGGCCTCTTTTCAAGTTCTGGGCCTCGACGGACTCCCTTACCAACACCGTGCCGCCGGGCGTCGTCGGCCGCAGCGTCCCGCCGGCCGTGTTCGGCCGCGGCACGCCGCTCACGCTCGTCGCCGGCCGCGCGAGGTAGGCCTGAAGATCTAACGCGTCGGACGCCGCCGTGTCCGGGCGCTGCGGGTCCGCGAGCGGGTCGAGCTGGGCCGGCACGAGCAGTGGAATGCAGCGCGTCATCTCCGTCGCGCCGGCCTCGGGCATGCGCCGCGCCGCCGGGTCGTCCTTGTCCACGTCTTCCTCCTTGGCGCGGCGCGGCGGCGCCTTCTTGCACCGCAGATGCGTCGGCCGCTCCCCGTCGTTGTCTCGGAGCGGCGCCTGCTTCGGCCGCATCGCCGCGCGGAGCGCGTCGTAGTCGGGCGACGGCGGCAGTAGCTCGCAGGCGAGGGCGCCGTCGCTCGCGGGGACGACGCGCGCCTTCGGCGTCGACTCGTAGAGCGCGCGGGCGACGCCGAGGCACCGCTCGCGCCAGTGCGCGAGGGGCTCGTCCGTGAAGTAGTTGCCCGCCCGCTGCGAGCCGCCCTCGTCCGACGCGCCCTGGTCCTCGGCGCCCGTCGCGAGCGCGACGGCGAACGCCGCCAGCGGGCACAGCTTCCGCGCGCCGCCCCGGTAGAACGCCGCGGGCCGGTGGTAGGCCAGCACGCGCCGCACGGTCTGCGGCGTGACCCTCTCGTCGAATGGCGCCCGCTTCGCGACGAGGTGGAGCGGCAGGTAGCCGTCGCCGTCCCGCAGCGCGCAGCTCCCCGCGCCGCCCGCGTCGGCCACGGCGCGCAGCACGTCGCCGCCCACGCCGGCGTCCCGTTTCAAGAGCGTATGCAGCAGATCGACGGGAATCGGCTCGGGGTCCCGGTGCTTCTCGACGCGGAGCCGCTTCTGCAGCGCGTCGTCCGCGCCGATCTCGACGAGCTTGACTAATGGTAAACCGGCGCCCGCCTTGCGCCGCCGGGGCTTCGCGCGCGCGATGGCGCGGGACACGTCCGTGAGCGAGCTCGGGCCTCTCGTCGTCGCGGCGCCCATGAGCACGCCCTGGAGGTCCGCCGGCGCCGCGTCGCAGGCCGTTAACTCCCGGGACCCCTTGATCCGCCAGGCCGGCGGGTAGGCACCGACCAGAGCCTGGCAGAGCGGCTTCGCCCGGTCGGCGCCCCACTCGACCTGGGTGTCTCGGCCGACGTCGAGGTCCGCGGCCCGGGCCTCGCGCTGGTCCGTGCACGCGTAGGCCAGCAAGTGCAACGGCAGGTCCCCGTACTCGTCCCGCGTCCGCGCGGCCTTTCTTCCAGAAACGCCGCGCAGCAGCAGCCGCAGCACCCGCAGATCCTGCTGCTGCGGCGGCCGCCGACAGAACGCGTGGAGCGGCGTCCAACCGCGCGCGGCCTTGGCCCCGACGGCGAGCGGGTGCAACCTTATCAAAGATTGGATCTCCGCGAGCGTCACCTCGCACTCGCCGTTCGCCAGCAACAAGTGGAGCGGTAGGTTGCCCCGGGCGTCGGCATGAAACGCCGCCGCCGGGCACGCCCTCAAGCAAAAACCCAGCGACCACCCGTCGAGCGTCGCGCCGCACCGCGCGACGACGTCGTGCAGCAGGAGGCGCCCCGTGTTCTCGTCGGCCGCGTCCGCGACGAGACCCGTCTCCTGGTGCAGCTCCTGGATCACCTCCACCACCCCAAAGACCGCGCCGTTACTGCAGGCCTCCTCGCACCGGCGGCGGTACGCGCCGCGCACCTTCAGGTCCAAACTCCGGTGCTGCGCCGCGAAGGTGCGTAGCTGATCGTCCGAGCAGGTCATGCGCTGCTTGCACAGTTCGAGCGCGGGCAGCTCCTTGGGGAGCAGCTCGACGGGCAACCGGTCGCCCCACTCGGCGCCGTCCGGCAAGTAGGTTAACGCGCCGTCGGGGTAGGCCTGGCGCACGGCCGTGATGGTACTCGGCGTCGCCCGGGCCTTGCCCCGCGCGAAGGCCTGCTGGCACAGGAGCTGTAAGGGTATCCAGCCCGTCGACGTGGGCATCTTCGCCGCGATGGGCCCCGCGGCACATAAAGCGCGCAGCATCAACGGCGTCGGCCGCGCCGTGAGATAGCACAGGAGGTGGAGGGGGTACCACCCATCATGATTCGGCGTCTGCGCCGCCTGGGGGCACCACCGTAACACGTGCAAAAAAATAGTCTCCTCGAGCGGCTTGTGCCGCAGCAACGCGTGGAGAAGGAGCCGCAGCTTCGGTCGCCGCGGGTCGTTCGTCCACTGGAGCACCGCGTGGACGTCGCCGTGCTCCGCCGCCCGATAGAGTTCGTTCGCGCGCGCCGCCCGTTTCACGGACTGGAGGTGCGCGACGGTGTGGGACTGTTCCCTGGCTTTCCGGAGCGCTTGCGCGCGGCGGCGGGCCTGGGCGCCCATCCTTGCGGCGGGCGAGGCTGCCCCCGAGCGCCCGGCGACACAAAACTGATGGATGGGGCTGCCTCCAAGACCAGCGCTCTCCCTGGGAGCCCAACATAACTCCCGAATCTCGCAAAGTCGAGCCTGAGACGACGCGAGAAGCGGAGCGCCCGAGCCATCGGAGGCCCCTGGAGATCCCTTTTCGGAGGCTGCGTTTTCCCCAACCTAGCGGTAAGACACTAGAGTTGTCAAAATTATTGGCCAACTTTTTGTGGCATCGGCAGCACGCCAGTCGTCGCATTGGTTCGAGGAGGACTGCAGAGATCGTCGAGCAGCATCGACAGCGTCGCAGTTGAGCAAGCACGCGGGCTCAACGCCCTTCAGCAGAGCTGCAGCAGAGCTGCGACACGTGACGCTGCCGACGCGATGGGCAGCGACGACGGCGCGAAGGGCCGCGAGGGCAAGGGCGCCGCCTCGCTCGGCACGCTGCTCTTCCTCGTGTGCTTCGTCGCGCCGATGCTGCTCGTCGAGCAGTACCTCGTGAGGCGGCGGGGGCTGACGCTCGCGAAGCTCAAGGGCGAGGTGCAGGCCGTGCGCGCGCACCCGGGCCAGGCTATTGGGGATGCGGTCCGCATCGTCGAGGGCGAGGCGCGCGACGCGATCGAGCGCGGGCGGAACTTGGAGCGGCACATCGAGGCGATGCTGCACCGCCAGCGGCCGCCCGAGGCCCCCCCGGTCGTGGCGACGCCGGTCGTCCCACAAAAGGTGAAGAAGCCCCTGCGCGACATGCTGCTGGACCTCGCCTTGCTCGCGCCGCGCGACGCTTTAGCAGTTTTAGATAAGGACCCGCTCGGCGTCGAGCGCGTGACGAACGCTTCCGAGTGGCGCTGCCCCGCCGAGCGCCTCCTCTCGTCGAGTAACGCCCCGAGCCGCGAAGCGCTCAGGCGCATGCGCGAGAATCGGGACGGCGCGTTCCTCTGGTTCGACCACCTCTCCAAGGCGGGCGGCACGTCCTTCTGCAAGTTCGCGCGCAAGAACGTGGGCTTCAAGAGCACGCCGCGCTACTACTGCATGCCGTCCGACGGCGCGGACATCCCGGGCACCGACGGGCGGGTGGGGCGGTGGCCCGCTTCACAATTACGGGAGTATTTGCAAAGGACGCGGCACCGCGTCGTGGCGAGCGAGTGGGACCCCTTCCCGGCGCAGATGCTGGAGTCCTTTAGAGATGACGCGGTCCTCGCGTCGATCATCCGGGACCCCTTGGATCGGTTGGTCTCGGCGCACAAGTTCTGGGGCGTCTTGAATAATCCATCCAAAAACGCGCCGGATCCCGTGAAGTGGTTGAGGAACATGGACAAGCGGGCCCGCTCCAGAACGATGGCGCAGGCGCCTCGGGACTACCTCCAGCAGGTCGCGCGGAACAATTTTGCGGTATGGAAGTTCGCGTTTTCTACCGACGGCCGCTTCCACGACTGCAAGGGCGACGCGGCCTGCGGCCGGGCCGCCCTGCAGGCCGCCGTGGCCACTCTCTCGAAGTTCCACGTCCTCGCGCCGACGACGTGGCAGGCCCACGCGGGGCCGCTCTACGCGCGCCTCGGCTGGTCGAAGCTCGAGGAGGAGCACGTCGTCAACATCGGCACGGTCCAGGACTCGTCGTCGCGGAGGGCGCTGCCCGACGCGGACTACGCCGCGCTCCGCGAGGCGAACGTCCTCGACGAGATCCTCTGGCACTGGGCCCGGCGCGCGTTCCTGGAGAGCCTGCACTGCGCGCCGTGAGTAACTTTAGAGGCCTAGAGTTCGAAAAACCCGTTTTAAGGCGCCTGGCGCGCGCGAATCCGCGCGCGCCGACTGGGGCTCACTCGTTTACCAGACCAGAGCGCGCATTGATCACACCATTTCTTGAGAAATAGTCCCCCCAGGCGCCCGGGTCCACTGGGCGCCTTGACTTTGTGTCTCAAGTGGGCAGTGACTGCTCATATCTCTATAGTAGAGCAGGGAGCGACAATGGGAATTCCCGGGAGCGGGAATTCCCGGGAGTTCCCGGGAATTCCCGACCCCTAGATCTCGCTCCCCGGGAATTGCTCAACTATACATATCTCTCACGTCCCGGACGCCGCGGAACACGCTCTCTCGACCATCTGGCGTACAATATTATGAGTGATCGACGCATACACAAAGCCGCTAGACGGGCCGACCTCGACGCGTTGCGACGAGAGCTCGCGAAAGGCGTCTCGCCAAACGCATCAGGTCAGTATGGCCGGACGCCTCTCCACTGTGTGTGCCGCCGCGCCGGCAACACGAAAGCACGCGTCGCCTGTGTACCTATGCTCCTCCAAGCGGGAGCGGATGTTAATGCGCCGGACGCGGACCAGTACATACCGCTTCATTTCGCTGCCCGCCAGAGCAACGCGATCGTCGTCGCCGCCCTGCTCGAAGCCGGCGCCGACGTGAACCGGGGCGACGCATACGGTCAAACGCCTCTTCACTTGGTGTGGCATAGTATTGAAGTCGGGTCTGCATTACTGCTCCTCAGACACGGCGCCGCGGTCAACGCGCAAGACGATTCGGGGCGCACGCCCCTGAGCAACGCAAGTTACATTGACTCGGAGTCCCGCCGCCGCCTCGTCCCGATCCTCCTCCGCGCCGGCGCCGCCCTCCCCGCGCACACGACCAACGCGTACCTCCAGAAAGTGATCGCCGCGGGCGGCTTCGGCCGCTACGAGCGCAACCACCTCGACGCCCTCGCCGCAACGTTCGCCCCGCATTTCTCCCACCTCCCGCCGGAGATAGTCCGCCTCGTCGTCGAGTACGCCTTCCACGCGGGCTACTACTGAGTAAACAAGCAACATCACATTATCAGGTCGCTTCGCTCCGCGCGCTCCTGGAGCGCGGCGAGCGCGTCGACGACCTCGGCCGTCGGGACGCGCCCGCGGAGCGTGGCGAAGACCAGGTACCGCCCGCGCGGCGCGCACGCGTAGGTCCGGCCGCCGGCGGCGGCGCAGGCCAGCGCGCCGCGCTCGCCGCGGCACCGATCCACGAGGCGGTCGTACTCGCGCGACGCGGCCGCGTCGCCGCCGGGCGCGCAGAGGCACAGCTTCGTGCCGTCCCGCTCAAAGACGACGGCCGCGTGCTCGCAACCGCCACACACGTCCGGCGGCAGGTCGTTGGTCGCGTCGCGGAGCGCCTGGAACCTGCGTGGACATAGAATTTAGGTGCCCCACGCCATCGACGCGACGAAGATCTCCGCGTTGGTTAATTTCCACACCGCCCGGCACGCCCCAGCCTCGAGGAGCGCGGCCTCGAGCCGCGCGCGGCTCGCGTGGAACCGCTCGAAGGCGTCCGGCGCCGCGCCGACCAGCGCCAGCACGGCGTCGTCCCCGAGGCCCGCGACGTAGGCATGCAAAAAGCCCTGCGATCCCAACACGGGCAGGCACACGGGCGTCCACGCGGCGGCCCCACTCGAGAGCGCGCTCCGCTGCGAACTCAGAAAGTTGACGAGCGTCGCCACGTCGCGCGTTTCCAGTGAAACGGTCCTAGGCTTCGCCAGGCCCGCGAGGCGGTTCTTCCAGAGCAGGGCGGCGCAGACGACGGGCACCGGTTTCAACGAGGCGACCGCGTCCTTCAGCTCCCTCTGAATAGCTTTGCGGACGCGCCGTTCCAGCGGCACCGTAGATACGCTCTCCGTCGCGAGGCCGAGCGGCCCTAGGATGGATAGAGACCGGTCCCACGACCGCGCCAGGCCGGCCAACACGAGCTTCGCACTGCCTAACAACGCCGCGACGTCGGCGTTCGGCCGCTGCTTGAGCGCGGCGTGGATCTTGTCCGTCAGGCTCGAGAGCACGGCGTCGTGCGCCGCGGCCGTGCAGCGGCGCAGCGCCGCGGCGCTCTCGCGGACGCCGCTCGCCACGAAGATGAGTTCTCCTCGTCTATCAATCACAATTTTACGGTCGCCGGCGTCGATCTCATTTATTGATGCGATCGCGACGCACGCGCTCACGACGGCGGACGTCGTCGCGAGGCGCCCGGGGTCCACGCCGCCGTCGCTGCACCAGACGGGCTTGCCCGAGGGGCTGACGATGTATAATGTTGCTTTTTGTTTTTTTGAGGCGTCTTCTTGCAGGGAGAGGGTGGCGAGGGCCTCTGCCATGGCTCGGAGAGCTGTGTACAAACTGGAGCACAGCTCTCGTCCTACGCAGGCAGCGCTCTCAGGAGACAGTGCTAGAGCGGCGCTCGGGCGCTGCGTTTAGGGCCATTGCGCTGATGACTAGGGCTATTGTGTGTGCTTTCTAGTGTCTTAGTGGCCGCTAGCGTTTAGGGCTATTTGGGTTTTGCTGATTTACCCCCCCCCTCCCTCTACTTCAACTTTACGTTGAACTTCAATCTGACGCGGCACAAGTATCCTAGGCCTATTCATATAATATTTTGGTTTCCACACTGCCGCCGAATCAGCGCTGCCTCGATTGGGCCGACGTGACGTTGTGTGTGCTTCTAGACCTGCAAGAATAGGTTGGCGGCAGTTCTTCGCCCATTTCCGTCGCTTGCGTATGGGCGAACATAGTCTTCAGGACAAAAAAAAGCCCGTCACTGAGCGTCACCTCGAATGGACCATTTTGAGATGAAAGTCGTGTCCACACCCGTCCATACTTTGTATCGCTGGTCGTCGGGTGCGTAAGACCTGCTCTACAGAGTCACGCTGCCAACGGGTACGACGCGCGGCGGCGTCGGCGGGCCCTCGCTCAGCCCCGGCCCCGGGCCGATGCTCAATTTTAATATTTGATAGTTCCGTGAGTAAGTAGTAGTAATAATAAGCTTGCGTCAGCACCGCCGGCTACTATCATGATAATTATACACAGCTGGGTGAGTGAATGAGTAATAAATGCGGATGGCTTCCGGGGTCCGTGGACGAGAGAAAGTTTAGGGAACCTCTAGACCCATCAACTCTAACATATTTATGTGTGTGCGCCTATTTTGGATTGGAAGAGTCCATCTAACACAGTCAGACGATTACTGTGAGGGAGTAGGTGTCCCGTCGACGGCACCGATGTCGGTGACTTCGGAGCCCCGAATTTATGCGAAGACGTCCCCAATCCCTGGACCTGCGAATATCCGCGACGCCACTATTACATAAGAGCTTAAAGCAATAACCAGTTCATCAATTAGCCCACTAGTTCCAGGGCACAGGCACGGTGGACCCCGGCCCATCAACATTTCTCATAAGATCGAAGATCCGATGTGGAGCAGCAATAGCATCCGTAAGTAGAACAACTTCAACGTTCAATCCCCGCGGTTTTGCTGAACCCGCGACTTAGCCAGCGCGGCCGGCGTCCAGCAAACAGCAAGGGCAGCCCCAAACCCCAAGCACGGCTGCGTTTGTGCCATGCGGCAGAGGCAGCAGCTCGTCTGAGGCGCCATGCGCGCGTCAAGCGGCTGCGTTGCGCGCCTGGGCGCCATGCTAGGAATTGGCCTGCTGCTCCTGCTGTCGGCGAAACGCCGCTCGGCGGCGCAGCTCACTAATGCATTGCTGCTGACGCGGGACGCAAAACATGGCTCTCTTAGGAGCCTCGCAGCGCCACACCGCTGCGCGCCGCCCTCCCTGGCTGGAATCCAATGTGAAAGCCTAAATGACTCGCTTTGGCCGTGGGCGCTACGCCGCACGTCGCGGCGTCGTATTTAAATCATCGCTGCTCTAAAAATCTCCCCCGCAGGTCGGCGGCCGCAGCGTCTGGCCCTGCTGCAGGCCCAAGCGCCGCTTCGTGCGGTGCAAAGGCGGCGGCCGCCGCGGCGCTCGCCGCGGCCTTGCGAATCACGACCGACAGTGTGCCGTGGCCACGGCATGCACAAACCTAGTCGGCCTCGTGCTTACGTGCGCCGCCGGCGCAGCCAGCGCGGTCGGCGCGCTCGCCGCGGCCCCTTTTCGGGGTCGCGCACCCGCCGGCGTTGCTTCCGCGCCCGACGCCATCGTCTCCGCGCTCCCGGCCGACGCAGCGCTGCCCGTGCGCGCCGCCGACGCGACGCCGAGCTCGGACGGTTCGTCTCGAGCCCCCGGCGCCGGCCGGGCAAGCGAGTGCGCGTTGGCAAGCCGTGGAACGGCGAGCTGCGCGCCGGCGGCGACGCCGCGGGACGACGACGACGCGGAGCCTCGGACGGGCACACCGCGTCGACGGCGTCTTGCGGCCATTGCGGCCATGCCGGCCGCGCATCTAGCGCAATTTTTGGCGTTCGTGGTGTTTTGTTTTTGTGTAAAGAGTGCCGACCGGCGCACGAATCAACAGTTCTGCGGCGCCACTCGCGCACTGATTGATTTCCACACAGGTGCGAGCGCCGCCGACTTCGGCGATGTCACCGAGATGGACCTGCGACCGCCAGTGCGGAAAGTTGCTTTCTCGGATCGATCGTCTACATGTTCGCCGTCGCTCGAAGTGGTCTCGACGGCTTCGTGTCCCAGAAAGGAGCGACATGACCGCATTCTCGCTTTATCCAAATCTCACTCACTGTTTGATTCCACACAGGAGTCAGATGTTGTTGGATGCCCTGGGCGCACCAGCCGTCGCGGTGGCGACCGGCGTCGGCGGCCTCGCGGCAGGAGCGGTCGTCGTGGGACGTCGCCGCCGCCGAGTATCTGGGACAACGCCACCCCGTCCACCACGGCCTCGAGTCGGGGAGGAGGACGACGGAGGCCGTCCCCTTGGGCCGCCTCCGCCTGGTGCTGCGCTCGTCGCCGAGCTTGGCCCTGGCTGGGGGCCCGGCGCGGCGCGTCATGGCGACGCCGGCGACCCCTACGACTTCGACGACCTCCGGAGCCGCGACGAGGCCGACCCTGCCGGCGCCGACCACGCGGTGAACGCGTGCGCCTCAGGCTCGAGCCTCGGCGCGGACGTCTCGGACGGCGAGATCTCCGATTCCGACGAGGAGCCCCCTCCCGCCTACGACGACATGGGCTTCGATCTCGACGAGGAGCCGCCTCCCGCCTACGAGGAGGAGCAGCTCGTCGCGCAAAGAGATGCCGACGCGGCGCCGCCGTTCCGTGGGACGCCCGACACGCTGGTGCTCCGGCCGGGCGACGGGCAGCTCGCCGCGCCGGCGCCGGCGGGCGAGTTCCTCCAGGCGAACGCCCAGCTCGCGCAGGACATCTCGGACCAACCTCTGCAAGAATTACCGGGCCCGGAGCAAGCACCTGTGCACGTCCTGACCGACCTCGGGCGACGGGCCGCTCTCAACGCGTCCAACGCGTCGGCGACCGCTCGCGAAGGCTCGCACGGCCACGAACTCCGACGCGATCAAACTCGGGCGACGGAGACGCATTTCTTAGTGGATATCGTCATCGGCTCCGCGGGCCCGGACGCCACGGTCTACCAGTACTTCAAGACAAATAGGCAGCACGCCAGGGGGGCCATTCATCGGCTGCTCGCCGCTGCCGCTTCGCGTGCCGAGTGGCTGCGAGGGGCCGCCTTTATTCCAGCGATCCATCACAACAAGCTGCAGGCGCAGCCCGACGACCGCGTTTGGGACGCCGCCAATGCTGTGGTGCAATCCGTGGAAGGCGCGCAGCTGGCCGACAAGGTCATCCGTCGACCCCTCGGCGCGCCGCCGCTCGATAAGGCGTCTCGCGACGACAACGAGGCCAGACGACGCTGGCACGTGGGCAAGCTCGCCGTCGATGATGAGGAGCTCATCAAGATCAGAGAGACCACTGACACGCTCGCCATCTTCGACGACGACCACTGGACGGGGTTTACGCTCGACGCGATCTTCGACGTGCTCGACGAGGCCAACGACAGGCTCCGGCTGGGCTTCAACATCATTTGCCTCACGTTCGCGCGGTGCGCGCCGGCGACGCGCGCGACGCCGACGTTCTCTGACCTGACGCGGGACGTACGTCGTGTTCTTCGACCGGAGCGAGGCGACGGCGGACCTGGACTTCGACGACGACGGCTGCCTCTACGCGCTGTCCGGGCGCGTCGAGCTGAACGAGTGGCACGGCAAGAAGAGCCTGAAGGTCTCGGACTACGACGGGAAGTTCGCGCTCGCGCGCCGGCCCGGGTCGCGCGCCTGCCTCGAGTGCGACGAGCGCATCGACGACGACGAGCCCAAGTGGAAGGAGATCTGCCTCAAGTGCTACCTCGACAAGAAGAAGAGCGCCTCCGAATCCGGGTGAGGAGCTCGTAAGAACAATGATATGTAGATCACACACTACTAGCGGCGCGGGCCTTCGAGGCCAGGCCGCTGAGCGCCGCGACGCGCTGGGACGGCGTCGGCATGCGCGCCGCGTAGAGGAGCCGCCGCGCGACCGCCGCCGTCGGCCCGCCGACGTTCAACAAGTCCGAGAGCCCGGGCACCAAAGCAAACGAAGCGTCCTCCTCGCCAAAAGTCAGGGCCTCGCCGAGCTCGGCGAAGCGGAAGTTGGCGATGGTCGACGACCCCGCGAGCGCGCCGCGCACGTTCCGCGCCGCGCAGGCGGACTGCTGCAGCGCCATCTGCGCCGACGGAAGATTGGAGACGCCCGCGACGGTCGCGCAGTCGCCGAGCGCGAAGACGTCCGGGGCGCCGCGCACGCGCAGGCCCGCGTCCGCCGCGAGGGCGCCCGTGCTCCGGGACCGGCAGCGGCGCGGCGCCCCGCGAATGGAAGAAGGAAGCCGCGAGCCGGCCGTCCACATCACCAAATCCGCGTCCGCGCCGTCGTACGCCGCCTCCAATTTCACGGCGACGCCCGCCGCTTCCAACGCCTTCGCCGCCGCCGCGCGGTTCCCGGGCGCCGCGTTCGGCACCAGGGCGTCGCCGCGGTCCCAGAGCGTGACGGCGTCGCCGGGCCGCTTCCTTTTTAAATTGCAGGCGAGCTCGACGCCCGTGTACCCCCCGCCGACGACGACAATATCCTTGGAAGCAGCATCCCATCCATTCAAAGTCTCCCGGACGAACGTCGCGTCCTCGAGGCGGTAGAAGGGCCGCGCGGTCGCGGGCGCCTCCGGCGCCTCGCGGCCGAGCGCCACGACGAGCGCCTCGCCCTCAAGACGCGTGCCGTCGTCCAGCGTCGCGGATTTCGCGTCGAAGTCGATGCTTTCCACAGATGCCCGTTTGAAGGTCAGGTTCGGCACGCGGCAGAGCTCCTCGAAGGGCGCCGAGACCTCGTCGGCGTCGGCCGCGCCGCAGGCATAATCATAAAGCAGCGGCAGGAACGCGAAGCGCTCGCGCGCGTCGACGAGTGTCGTCTTGACGCCGCCGTTCGCGAGGTTCAGGGCCGTGTAGAGGCCCGCGAAGCCGCCTCCCAGTACGAGCGCTTGCAGGGCGGAGGCGGCGTGCAGGGTCGCGAGCAGGACGAGCGTGGTGCGCGTCATTAGGCTCTCTGACACACTGGAGCACTAAGACCACGTTCGGTCCCAAGCAGCCGGCTAGATGTTCGAAGCAGGTCTGTGAGAAGCTATGCGGCTATAGCGTAACGTAGGTTTGCACGAATCGTCGCGAGATGCGTGTAAAAGCTGTAGGAGTCTGTGTTAAAGCTAGTACATCGCTAGTTCCGACGCGACGGTGGAGTGTGTAATATAAGACTCTTTCCGAAAAAACGTTAGTCCTCGAGCAGCTTCTGGACCTGGCGCTTGACCTTCTCCTTCTTCTTGGCGGCCTTGTACTTGCGCCAGTCGTACTTCTTGTGCTTGAGTTTTTGTTTTTTGGCCGCGGCCTCGGCGCGGTTCGCCGCGAGGGAATCCAAATCGAAGTAGTGGGCCATCATGCGGCCCTCCCTATCTTGAGGAATACCCTTGCTGTCCCAGTGGTTGCCGCCGTTCGCGTACTCGAAGCGGCCCGTCGCGCGGTTGAAGGTCGCGGACGCGGCGTAGGGGTCCGCGGCCGTTTGGGATACGGCCGTGGTGGTTGCGTCGACGAAACCTTCAGGAGGGGGGTCCCAGGAAGTCGCGTTCGTCTTCGTGTTGCTGAAGTAGGGCACGCCGCTACTGACGTCCGTGTGCTTGACCCAGTCCGTGCGGCCCGTCGTCGGCGCGTCGCCCAGCAGCGTCTGGATGTAGGCCGACGACGGCGTCTTGGTCTGCTTCTCCTTCCATGCTTCGTGGCTCGGATTACTACTGCTTTCGGTTGGCACGTCCCAGGACGTCGCGCCCGTGGCCGCGTGCCAGTAGTACGTCGCGCCGGTCTTCTGGTCGGGGTGCGCCGTCCAGCCGGGCGGCAGCGCGGGCTCCGGCGGCGGCGGCGGCGGCGGCGGCGGTATGGTCGGCGCCGCCTGGTCCGCGGGCGCGAGCGCGCTCGGCGCCGGCGCGCTCGGCGCGGCTCCCGGCGGCGCGACGTCGAAGAAGTCGATGGCCGAGGCGCGCGCGGGCTTGCTCGTGCCGGGCGGCGCGTCGTCCGTGCCGGGCGGTCGGTCGTCCATGGCTCGCGCTGCAAGTGCTGCGGCGCGACGCCTTATGAGCCGAAATGAGGGAGTGCCGGCCTCCTAATGCTGCAGCGCGCCGCACGTCGAGCGACGCCTGTGAGCGCCTGCTGAGCCGAATGAGGGAGTGCTGGCCTCCGCAGCGGCGGCGTTAGCCGAGGGCTGGAGCAGCGCAGCGCGAGAGTTCGCTGAGCACTGCGGCTCCTCCGAAAGCGCAGAGGTGGAGCAATGCGTCTCGTCGCGTGAAATTTCACGGGGCTAGCGTATATCGACACTAGTTTTGACCGCAAGCGATATTGTATTGCTTGCGGCCTAGGGTTCCTTAGCATCGTAGCGCTGGGAAAAAGTGCTATATCAACACTGCTACCATTGCTGCTGGTTGCAGTCGTAGGCGTTGCAGCATTGCAGTAGTTTTGCAGCAGTGTAAGACACAGTGCAAGCAGTAAGTGTGCAGCAGCACAAAAATGGAGCAAGCAGCACAGCTCAAGACCATCCTCGAAGGCCTCTTAGTGCCGGACAACGCGACGCGCCAGGCCGCCGAAGCGGCTTTAGAAAACGCCCAAAAGACGCAGCCGAGCCCGTTCCTGCTCGCGCTCCTCACGCTCTGCGGCGACTGGTGCGTCGCCGAGCTCAAACGCGCGAACGGCGCGAGCTGCGTGGACGCGGCGGCCGAAATCAGGACGATGGCCGCCGTTTTACTACGAAGGAAGATCCAAGCGCACTACACTGCCTTGGACGACGCCACGAAAACTCAAATCCAACGGTGGCTCGCGACGTCCCTGACGACGCCGCCGCCAGAAAACGAGCCGGACCTCGCGCGGAAGCTGGGCGATATCGTCGCCGCCGTGGCGACGCTCGACGAGGGTTTTTCCGAGGACGTCAAGCCGGCTTTACTGAACGCGCTCTCCACGAATCAAACCGCGGGCGCGCTCGAGGCTCTCGTAAGGGGCGATTTTGTGGATGAGGGCGCCTTCTCGACGCAATGCGCCCCCAGGCTCGCGCGGCTCTGCGCCTCGACCGACGCGGCCACGCGACGGCGCGTCGTCGCGGCCATGAGCCGCACGCTCCTCGCGTTACAAGAGTCGGCGCACGACGATGCTATCGTCGAGGCGTATTTGACGGCCGCCCTCGACGCGTCGCACGAAGATGCCTTACTGAACGGCCTCGAGGCCTTGATCGACCTCGTCACGGAGGTCCCGCGACTGTTTCGTTCGAAGGCGCCTCAAACGTTGACGTACGTCCTGCAGCTCGTCGCCACACGAAAGGGCGGCGTGCGCGCGCTGGCCGTCGAGTTCGTCGTGTCCTTCGCCGAGGCCGCGCCGGCGACGTGCCGCAAGGCCCGGCTCGAAGTGAATGGCGTCGACGCGTGCTGCGGTTTGCTGATGGAGGAGGACCCGGCACCGGAGGCGTGGGAAGTATCGGAAGAGCCCGAGCCGGATTTGGACGCGGAATCTGGGAGGGAGCTGGGCAGAGACGCCCTCGACCGGCTAGCTCGGGCGCTGCGGCCCGAGGCGCTACTCCCGCGAGCCATGGTCGTCGCATCAGAATTATTACAAAGGGGCGCCCAGGGGGACTGGAGGGCCGCGCGGGCCGCGTGCGACGCCCTCGCGCAGCTCGCCGAACATATCGGCGATTTACGCGCGGCGTCGGCGAAGGCTAGGAAGAACGTGCCCCTCCTCGACGGCGCGCGGACGGCGTCGACCAAAAAGCGCGTCGCGGATCTGGTGACTTCCCTGCTCCCGTTCGCGACGGGCTACCCCGCGGCCGTCGTGCGCGCGGCGGCCTGGGACGCGCTGGGCCAGGCGGCCGCGGACCTGCAGCCGCAGCTCCAGGACGATCACGCGTCCGTCGTGCTGCCGGCATTGTTAAATTCCATCGGCGGCGACGCGGCGCCGCGGGTCCGCGCGTGCGCCGCGCGCGCGCTGCTCTGCTTCCTGGACGGCTGCGGCTTTAGCACGCTGGAGCCGCACCTGGAACACTGCGCTCGAACATTATCCGCGACGCTGACGGAGGCGCCGACGTTCGTGCGCGAGTACTGCGTCGCGGCGGCGGCCGCACTCGCGGCGAGCGTCGAGTCGTGCTGGGACGAGCGAAAGAAGAAGATGGTCTCGACGGAGCTCTACGGGCTCTTCGCGCCTTCCCTAAAACCGCTCATCGGCGGCGGCGGCCCGGGCGCCGCCGCCGCGGCGCTCCGCGCGCGGTCGCTCGAGTGCCTCGCGTTATTGGGATGCGAGGCCGGCGTCGACGTCTTCGGGCGGGATGCGGCGGAATTATTACAAGTCGTGACGCGCGACTACTTCGACGAGGCCACGCGGCGGCCCGAGGACGACGCGGAGCGGGGCGGCGCGCTGAAGAGCGTCGTGCGCGTCGCGGCGTGCCTCGGCGAGGACTTCGCGCCGTTTCTGGGACGGGTCGTGCCGCCGCTCCTCGAGGCGGCGAGCGGCAATCGGTTGCTCGTCGAGAAGGACGATAGCGATGATGATGAGGAGGGGCAGTACGTCATCCGCACCGAGGCCCTCGAGGAGCAGTGCCAGGCGTGCAACCTGGTGCTGCTGCTGGCCGAGGCGACGGGCGCGTTGTTCGCAAACTACGTGCCCGCGTGCCTCGAGGCCCTCGCGCCGGTGGCGGGCAGCGCCATGGTCGGCGACGTGCGCGCGGTGGCGCTGTCCGCGTTGCCGGCGCTGGTCGGCTGCGCGAACCGGGCCGCGTTAGCCGTAGGAGGCGACTGCCGCGGGCCCCTGCTCTTCGCCCTAGACGCGTGCCTCGCGAGCCTCGCGGAGGAGGACGAGAGCGAGCCCCTCGAGACGGCCTGTCGAGCCTTCGGCGCCTGCCTCGAGGCGGGCTGTCGCCGCGACGTCGACGCCAAGACCTTTCAACCTTTGTTGAGGGGGTCGCGGCTCGATCCGGCGCAGCTCCTCGAGGCGCTCCACGCGGCCCTGGCGGCGACGCTCCAGCGGAGGGCAGTCAGAGCGGCCGAAGCCACGGTCGACCAGGATTATGATGATGTCCAGCGGGCCGCCGACGACGAGGAGGGCGAGCGCGACGCGTCGATCCTCCATCATTTGGGAGAGGGCTGCGGCAGTCTGCTCAAGACGCACGCGCCCGATACATTGACAGCATTGCTGGACGGCGCCTGGGCGCAGCGCCTCGCGCACATGGCCCAGCCGCAGTGCCTCGAGGAGGACCGGCGCTTCGCGGTCTACGTGGTCTGCGACGCGCTCGAGTTCGGGCCCGGCGGGGACGACGCGGCGCGGGCGCGGGCGGCGTCGTTAATCCCGGTGCTCCTCGAGAGCTGCGCGCCGGAGACGCCCGCCGCGCGGCGCCAGGCGGCCTGCTACGGTTTGGGGGTCGCGGCGACGGCGCTGCAGGCCCACTTCGCGCCCTACGCCGAAAATGCGGTCCGGGCGCTGGTGCAGCTGATGGCCGCGCGGCCCGACGCGTCCACGACGGCCGCCTGCCTGCCGGTCGAGGGCTTTGGCGACGACGACTCGGACTACGAGGACGTGTCGGACGACGAGGACGGCAACGCCGTCCAGGAGGCGCTCGTCGCCGACAACGCGGCGTCGGCGCTCGCGCGCGTGCTGGTCGTGAGCTGCCCCGACGCCGGGGCCTGGAGCCTCTGGGTCCAGTACATGCCCCTGCTCGCGGACTGCACCGAGGCCGACGCGGCGCTGACGTGCCTCTGCGAGGGCATTCGCACGGGGAGCCTCCCCGCGCCTCTGAATCTGGTCGTCTCGTGCCTGGGCCGCTGCGCCGTCGCGCTCAAGGCCGGCGCGCACGGCACGACGGCGCGGGGCACGAGCCCCACCGAGTTCGACGGCGCTAAGCAGCGGCTCGGCGGCGCGCTCGCGGCGCTGCAGCAGTCCGCGGGCGCCGAGTTCGCTGCGCTGCCCGACGACGCGCGGCAGGCGCTTCAGGAGTGTGCGTTGTAGTTTAATTGTACTATTTACAAACTAGTCCGTCGAGCTGCTCTCCGTCTCCGACTCGGTGTCCGAGGAGTCGCCGAAGACGTCGTACGTGTTCGCGAGGACGTTGTAGTCTTCCACGAGGTCGTCGTGCGAGCCCAAATTCGCGGCGCATATCTCGGCCGCGCGCCGCGCGCCCGTAGGGTTACCCGCGTCGGGACCCACACGCAGCTGCGCGAGCGCCCCGACGACAAAGAGGTCCTCGTCGCCCCAGCGTAAGGAGTCGTCGACGGCCGGCAGACAGGACACGACGGGCAGGGCCAATCGTTTCGCCGTGTCGCGCAGGAGCGGGATCGTCCCGCAGTCGAGCTGGGACCCGGTAGCCAAAATAATTTTCGTCGCCACGAGCGGCTCCGATTTATTAAATGCGACGCGGTGCGCGCCGTCTACTTCCTGAACGTCGCAGACCTCATCGACAAAATGCGCTATGGCGCCCCGGTCCTCGGCCGTCTTCAGCAAATCGAGGTAGTACTGCGGCACCGTCGCGCCGCCCCGCGCCTTCGCCACGAACGCTCTCCTCTCCTCGAGCGGCGCGCCCTTGAACTCGTAGAGGCGGCGCCGCGCGCTTCCTTTGCCCGTCGACCGGCGGTTCATCCAGTCCAGTTCCAGGTCGTAGGTCCGCGTGCAGAGCTTCCGGCGCGAGCAGAGCACGACCCGCCCCGCGCCGCGCTTCGCCGCCCGGAGCGCCGCCTGCGCGGCGGAGAGGCCGCCGCCCACGACGAGGACGGTGTCCTTCGACCCGAAATCTAGGTCCCGCAGCGCCCGCCAGTCGTTCGAGTGGACGATCGTCGGAGCGAGGGCGAACTGCGGCGGCACGCAGGGCGTCGTCGCGGCCCCGAGCGCGAAGACGACGGCCCGCGTCCTGACGGACGCGTCGCCGACGGCCACGGCGTAGCCCCCTTCACTACGTTTCTCGACAGCAGACGCCTCGCCCCGGAGCATGGCGTGGGGCAGGGTTTTGGATAGATCGCAGCAGAAGTCGCTGAAGAGGCCCGCGCCTGGCAGCCGGAACAACCCCGCGTTCACCTCGGTGAGGCGCCGCAGCGACGTCGTCGTGAAGTCGTCGATACTATGAATCTCGGCCTCGCGGCCGCGGCGCCACGCGTACTCCTGCAGGGCCGCTTCACTAAAAAAGTCCGGGTGCGCCCAGGCCGGCGACCGCAGCAGCGCGATATCCAGGGCGTCGAACCTCCCCCTCCACTCGTGGAGGAACGCGCCGGCCGGGTCGACGACACAGACCTTGAGTGCCTCGCGCTCGCTCTTCTTAATACGGTTTTGACGACTGCGCGCCTGCATCGTCGCCTGCTGCTCGTCCGTCAAATTGCCCTCCTGAGCATGGAGAGCGCTAAGGAGCGCGAGGCCGCACGGCCCGGCGCCTGCGATAACCACGTCGTAGTTCGTCCCCGCGTCGAATTCCGTCGCCGCGGCGCAGGATGCGCAGTTTGCTGCCATCTTGCACGTAGAGGATGTATTTAGCGTCGCGTGCGCGGTTTTTTGAGAAGTGTCTTAAATACCCTGGTGCTCTTCGCACAGCTATCGCGGCGACCCAAATTTTGGTAGGCGGGGAAATAACCTTAACAGGTGCTGGTTTGCCCCTGTGTCGTGCTGTTTCGCAACGTCTGTGCAGACCCCGATTTCGAACCGTGTGACAGAGGAGAGCGCCAACCTAGTGGCCTGTAAGACACTAGAAAAACGCACGTCTACCACGTACCACCCCGTTCGCGCATCCTCGTAGACCCCTCGCCCGAGCGGAAGTCTCATTTTAGTAGGATTACGACGGAGTCATCAATATAATCCGCGCATTTGTTGAGGTCCCCATTTTGAGCCACCAGAACCAAGGCGTAAGCTGGTCTGGTGGCTGAATCGAGGGCAGTGGGACCAGCGTCGGACCGGCGGGGCTGCCCCCCCGGCCGCGTGCCCGGCGCCGCGGCTGCGCTTGCCCGGCAATTGCCGAGCAAAGCGGCACGTGGAGTGAGATCATGTGCGGCTGCATCCCGCTGCCGAGCTGGGCCGGCGGGAGCGCCAAGGACGACGCCCCGCCGACGCAACGCCAGGAGCGCGTTGAGAGATATGTGGAGGAGCTCCGGCGCGAGCGCGGCTTGTCCGCCGACGAGGAGGAGCGCCGGCTCGAAGAACGGCTCGCGGAGCTGGAGGCGAAGCACGCGGAGGCGCTCCGCGCGGGCGACGCCGGGCGCCTCGCGGATCTGGAGGGCGCGATTGCCGATCTGGAGCGGAAGCTCGAGGTCGACGCCGCCGCCTACACCCCGGAGCCGCGCAAGAGCTTCATCCCGAGCCTGGGGTCCATCGGCGAGACCAACTCGTTCGAGACGCCGCCGCCCCTGCGGCCGCAGCACTCGGGCGAGACGCTCGACGAGGTGAGCAGCCACGTCGACGCGCGGCGGAGCCGTCGGTCCCGGGACTCGGCCGACGAATGACGCGCGCCGTGCCGCATCGAACATCGAAAGAAGCGACGACGGAGGCACCATGACGCCCGGCGACGCCTACTGGGTAGGCGTCGCCCGGCCGAGGAAACCCGCACCCACCCCCTGTCGTCGTGTCGCATCGTACCATCGTAAATAGAACTGCCTGTTAGCTACTTATGCATCCAACCCGAGCGGCGCCGCGTCCGGAACCCGACCGCCGGGCGCTGCGATACCTACTTGCAAGGCGACGGCGTTTTCGCGGCGATAGCGTGAGTAGCTATTCCACCGGTAAGCCGTCGCGGCGATGGCGTCGCAGCACGCCGTCGCGGCGACGTCGGCTCGAAGCGCGACGGGAAGACAGGGACAGATAAGGGCTCCTTACGCGCCCGCCTCCGCCGCGTTCCAGGGGTCCACGAGCTGGTCGTCGGGCGCGCCCGGGCCCGGGCTCCGCACGCGCCCGTCGCGGTACCGCTCGCCGTCGTCCGGCGCGGGCCGCAGCGGCGGCAGCGACGCGTGCGCGGCCGGGTCCGCGCCGTCCAACGACTTGGGCATGCGGAAGCCGCCGCGCATGACGTACTCGGGGTCGTCCTTCTCGCGGTGCTGTTTCTTCGGCGTGGCCGGCTTCTCCGCGCGCGCGCGGTCCGACCGCACCTTCTCGCCCTTGGACCGCTTCGTGGGAAGCGGCCGGTTGCAGGCGACGCAGGTCGGGACGTTCTGGGAGTGCTTTAAGGCGCTCTTCTCGGTCACCAGGACCTGGTCGTGCTTCGTCAGCCCCGTCCGCAGGGCGTGGTGACATTTTTCGAAGAACAATTCTCGAGCTTTCAACTGCAACGGCGTCACGACGTCATTACTTCCAGCTAAAGCTTTCACGCGCCGCTCCGTGTCCGAGATCCAGGCCTCCATCTCTTTTTGCGCTTGGTCGGCGACGTGGTGGTCCCCGAACGGGTCGTCCGCGGGCCGGTCCATCATCTGCTGGCCCACGGCCCATCTATCTACGCGACCAGCAATAAAGGCGGACATCTCCAACGTAGAAGACGCGATGGCCATGATTGCTTCTTGCGACAGGTCGGGGATGTGGTTCTTCGCATTACATAGCTTCTCGAATTCAAAACAGGCTTTGGCCACGCCGATGGCCTCGTTGTCCATGAACTTCTGCTGCTGTTCCGGTGGTCTCGAAGCCATCGATCCCGCCATGCCCGGTTTGTTGACGCCAGGAATCCCGGTCGGATCGTCGTCCTCGACCACAGCGACGATCTCCTGCAGCTTCTCGGTCGCCTTCTTCTGGTCCGCCTGCATGACCTTCACCTGGTCCCGGACGCGCTGTTCCTGCTCTTGCGCTTTATTCTCGGCCTCGGCGATCTGCTGCTCCATCTCCTTCGCGTACTCCGCAGCTTCTTCCTGCATCTGGACGATTTTTTGGGCCTCCTCCTTGGCTTGTTCTTGCACTTGCACGAGTTCCTGCTGCTTCTGTTCTTGCTTTTGGACCGTCTTCGTTATATTATTGATAGAAGCCTCGATGGCCTGGTGTTGCGCCTGCGCGGCCTTCATGTCCTTCAGACCCTGTTTCAGTTCTTCGGCCATGGCCGCGCCTTCCTGAATAGTAGTTCGTATGCTATCAACCTCTTCATCAAGATAGTCCAGCTTGTCCGGCATATCACGTGTGAGGTCGTCGACGTGCGTGACTTGCTGCTTCGTGTAGTCGAGTAACTCACTCACTTCGTCCAAGCGATCGTCCGTCGCCTTCTGGGCGCCGCGCGCCGCCGTGAAATTCCCTATTCTCTCCTCCCGCTCCCGCTTGTTCTGGAACTCGCAGACCTCCACTCTATGCACTGTGTCTTCGAGTTTATCAGAGACCTTCTGCCTCGTACTGATCTCGTCGCCGAGATCGTCATCCAATTTTTGAATGCGCTCTTGACATACCTGTATGTCGCAGTCCGTGCCCTTGGCGTGTTCCTCTAAATCTTCAGTGCGCTTCTCGTTCGTGTTCACTTGCGCCTCGAGTAATTGCAATCTAGTTTCCGCTTCGGCAGCTTTTTCATCATGTCTTGCTAGTCGTTCATTGGTCATTTTGACCAGGTTATCGACGACCTCGATGTTCGCCTGGACCTTCTTCTCGGCGGCGTCCAGTCTTACCACAACGTCGTGCAGCACGGCTTGGAGTTGTAGCGTTTGGCCATTGACCGTTTGGAATTCTCGTTTCGCATACAGGTTGTTCTCGTGCGTGGCCTGCATCGCGTCCTCCATGCTGCGATTGACCGTCATCCTGAATTCATTGAAGACATTGTAGTTCTCGCCAATTTTATCTTCGAGCACTTGTTGCCTGCCAGAATTCACTTGCGTGAAATTCGCCTGCCAGATGCCGAAGTTGCCGATCTGGTCCTTGAGCCGCTGATCAAACCGCCGCTCCATCTGCTGTTGTAGGTTGACAAGGGTAGCTTTCAGTTTTTTGGACCGCTCCCGCACGTAATCTTTCAACTGTTCTACATCTTCATACGCGGGCGCGCAGGCCTGCTTGTTCTCGAAGTTGTCCAGCCTTCCTTTGAGTTGGTTGAACTGCGCCAGCTGGAAGGGGTCCGGCGTCTGCAGAGCCGCCTCTTTTTCGGTGCGACAGACGCTCTTTTTGATAGCGTCCATGTCCTGCTCGATCTGGTCGTCTTTGACATTCGTCACGCTCATCAGGTCGCCGACCACATCAGTCAAGGAAGAAAACCCTTGATCCAATTTGTCCATCCGCTTCAGCTTCTCGGAGACGTCGGCGACCCACGGCGGCGGCGTCTTCAGGTCGTCCTGCAGCTTCGCGATGGCGCCGCCCATCCGCGCGATCACGTCAAATAACTTCGACGCGTCAATACCTATCGTCTGGTCCGTCGGGAGGCGGATGCCGCTGCTGCCCGGGAAGTGCGTCGCCACCTCTAGCGGGGTGGTGGCGGCGGCGGCCTCATCCTGGGCCATGGGCTCGTGGGGCGCAGGGCAGCCTTGCGCCCTCGCGCGGCAGCCTTGCTATGGTCACGGAGTGGTGCGCACCGCGCAGGCGCGAGAGGCCGGCGGCGCTGCTCTCCGTACTTTCGGGCTAGTAGGGGCTAGTGGATCTGGAAGCATCAGAAGGAGGGCCATCGTTGGCGAGCGTCTTGGAGACGGCTTGGTCGATTTTTTCTATAATTAGTGACAGGTTAAGTCGCGCGCGGGCGCGACGCGTAGTTATTGGCGTACCAACGGACGGAGACGGACGACGATAGCGGCGCATTTGACGACGGTCCTCGCCCCCAACCACGGCCTTTGGACGCCGCGCGCGCCTGGCAAAAGACGTCCGCGACCCGCGTCGTTTGTTTACAAAATTCGTCCCGCGGTCGTCTATACGTTGTTATCTTTCACCTCGTCGGTGCCCGGCAGCCCGGGCGTTTCCTTCGACGACTGCGTCAGCAGGCCCATCGCGTGCGCGGTCGCGAAACAACTGAGGAGCCATGCGACCGCTGCGATGAAGTACAACGCGTCGATGTGGCTCGAGAGTCCCTCGAGCAGCGCGGCGACGGCCCAGGCGAGACTCGCTACGAACTGCATCGCGAGGCTGAAGAGCTCGCTGCTGTCCCTGGTACCCATTGTGTTAGATCACGCGCACGAGCAGAGCAGTGCACCGTGCAGTGCACAGGGCTCAATGCAAAAAAGGTCTCGTGCGCGCGTTTCTTGGGCTCGCAGCAACGCGTCGTAGCCGAAATCGATCCGACACGGATGGCTTTGGCAGAAATAGCTTTGCTAGGACACAGTAGCAGCGCGTTCAACCTGATTAGCTTGCTAGTGTCTTTAACATACTAGCCATCCTATTTTCGTGATGATATTTGTATCTAGACCCCTCAGGTTTTTGATTGATGTGTGTTAAGGTTGATCTTTGATGTATTTTTGCGTTTTCCTCCCCCTCCTACCCCTTCCCCCCTTTTTCCCTTCCACTAGTCCGACCCACGTGTTTTTGTTGAGGTGGCCTGGATGCGATCTCAAGCAGAGACTGATAGGACACCTCGGCTGCAGTCAAGCCAGCCCCATCTCTACCAGTCAGTCCGAGAATGAAAACGAAATGTACATGAAATGATTTCCGCTCTTTTGATCTTCAGTTCTGCGTCGATTCACGATCAGACTGGGGTTGTGAAATAAACCACAGCACCAGTTTCGATTGTCACAATTCGACCGATGCTTTGAAATCAAGCACATCACAAGAACTAGGTAAGTCAATTGAGTGAGTATCATGCAGGTGTGCGTGTTTGAATCTCTCTTCTGACACATGGACACCGACAATGAATGATGATACAACTTCCACATGCTCAAGATTCATGGACTCAGACCAACAGATCTCCAGCATACTATTGCATGTCTGCGATGCATGGAGGATCGACAGAGATCAAAGCCGCCGGCCATGGGTGATGATCATAGCCATTATCGCGAAGCAAATAGTATATCCAGGGCTCTGAGCGCCAGTACTAACCAGGGCGGCCGCGCATAGGCCGTATGTTAGTCCCCACCGCCCAGAGACCATCCCTCAAGGCCTCAAGGGCCGTCTCTTTTCTCGCTTGGATGGCGGCCTTGAGGCGCGGCATCGTCTTGGCCCCTCTGCCAGGTATCTAATTCTAAATGCCGAAACCTGTGCTTCCCTGAGCTGGCGAGCAAGCGGCGTTACCCTACAAGCCATTAAATACCTACGTACACAGCGAAACCTACTAGCCCTAACCTAGATAAGTAGTAACATGCATAGGGTAATAGAGTGTGTAGCTCCGCACTTCCCCGGCAGCGTAGTGTAGTCGCTGCATCAGCGAGCTGCTACTCAAGCCGCACTCTCCAAGCAACGGCGTCCACATCCGTGCGCATCGCTGCATACTTGGTCATTGCAGCCCGATCGCCTTACTTTCCATTTGCGCCCGTCCCCGGCTCCGGACCGCCGACGCCCGTCCAGTCTGGACCAAAAGTGAACCCCTAGGACACCGCAAAACACGCACACGACGCCAACGCACCCATGTCGAACGGCGCCGCGACCCAGATGAACGAGATCATGCAGGCCGGCCTCAACAAGGCCGCCGATTTGTTGGACAAGGAGGAGTTCGACGAAGCAGCAAAAGCGGCCGACGACGTGTTATTAGGCGCGCGGCTCTCCGTATTGTCAAAGTGCGCGTTGTTGCGAGGCCGCGCCATCCTGGGGCCGCTCATGAAACGCTTAGAAGATGACAACGAGACGGACCCGACGGAGACGGAGTTCCGGGAGGCCTGGGTCATGTTCCAGCTCGCTTTGAGGTTTGTGCCCGAGAACGAAGAGGCCCAAGAAGGCCTCAAATTATTATCGGGCGTCGTGAGCGACCTGCCCGAAGAAGAGGTCACGTTCGAGCCGAACCACGGCGAGGACTTAGATGTGATTATTGTTGGAGCGGGAGCCTCAGGCATCGGCGTCGCCCTGATGTTGACGGGCTTATTCGGCTTAGAACCCGACCGGGTGCTCCTCGTGGATCGCGGAAATGTGGGAGAAACGTTTCGCAAGTGGCCCAAGGAGATGCGCTTCATCTCGCCGTCGTTCAACAGCCAGGGCTGGACGCAGTCGTTCGATCTGAACTCAGTCGCGTACGGCACGTCGCCGGCCTTCACGCTGCACGCGGAGCACCCGACGGGCAACCAGTACGCTGATTATCTGGAAGCTTTAGCTGAGACCAATGAGTTGAACGTCAAAACGGACACGGAAGTCGTGAGCGTAAAGCCCTTCGACGACGGGTTCGACATGGACGCCCAGACGCTGTCGGAGCAGAAGGCGGGCTTTGAGGTCGAAGTGCGACCCGCCAAAGGCGGCGTTTCTACCAAATTGCGGTCGAGGTTTGTGGTCTGGGCCGCCGGCGAATTCCAGTACCCGCGCGCGATGACCGAACCGCTCTTCCCCGGTTCGGAACTGTGTCGGCACAATTCGTCGGTCCGAAGCTGGTCCGACCTTGCTGGAGACGATTTCGTCGTGATCGGGGGCTACGAGAGCGGCATGGACGCCGCGTCGAACCTCTCGCAGTGCGGGAAGCGGTGCACGGTCGTGTCGTCGACGGCCTGCTGGGACGTGAGCACCGAGGACCCCTCGACGGAGTTGGCGCCCTACACGTCCATGCGCATCCGGCAGGCCTGTGCTTCACCGAACCCGCCCAGACTCTTAGCGCCCTTGCGCGTCACTTCTGTCGAGAAGGACGACGACCAATACGTCGTCAAGGCGACGTGGGGCGCGCCCGTCGTCCATGAAGGTGGAGAGAGAAGAGAACCGGTGCAGTCCGCGGACATGGTCGCGGAGTTGGCGAAACTGAACCAGACCGAGGGCACGGAGTTCATCCTGAAAACGCCCCAACCGCCGTTACTCTGCGCGGGCTTCGCCGGATCCGTGAAACTCGGCGTCGCCAAGGACTTGTTCGCGTGGGGCGACCCGGCGAAGGAGCAGGGCTTCGAGGACCTGCCGGTCTTTGATGCGGAAAGCGCCCGCAAAGAAGCCAAGGGCATGAAGGTCGCGCAGCTGCGGGAGGAGTTGAAGGCCATGGGCCAGCCGACGGAGGGCACGAAGCCCGAACTCATCGAGCGGTTGGTGAGTGCGCACCAGGCCGAGGCCGACTCCGAGGACGAAGCGATGGAGGAGGCCAAGGGCTGCGCCGAGGGCGCGCCCTTGCTCAATAAATTGGACGAGTCGACGACGACGCCCGGCTTATTCCTCGTGGGGCCGGCGGTCCGCCACGGCGACCTCAGCTTCTGCTTCGTCTACAAGTTCCGCCAGCGCTTCGGGATTGTGGCCGACGCCATCGCCAAGGGTTTAGGAAGGGAGACGGCCGCGGCCGTGGACGCCGCGCGGGACATGAACATGTACCTCGACGACTTCGAGTGCTGCAAGGCGGCCTGCGGCGAGGCGTGCTAGGAGTGTCCTCCTCCCCCAAGTCTAAGTTATATTTGCCTGTGAGCGCGCGGAGGGGTGCGGCTTGATAATGTGATGTTCTTGTTTTTACTCAGTAGTAACCGACGTGGAACGCGTACTCGACGACGCGGCGGACCATCTCCGGCGGGAGACTTCGGTGGGCGAACTTAATATCGCTGCGAGGGCGTTGAGGTGGTTGTGCTCGTACTTTTTTATGCCGCCCGCGGCTCTCACTTTCTGGATGTACGCGTTGGTCGTTTCTGCGGGGAGGGCAGCGCCGGCGCGGAGGAGGATCGGGAAGAGGTGGCGCTTGGAGTAGCGAATTGCGTAGTCCAGGGGCATATCTCCCGCGTGATCTCTCGCGTTTAGATCGGCGCCGTTTCTGATGATCAGTAATACAACCTCGACGTCATCGTCTCGCTAACACGCAAAGAGAAGAGGCATTCTATTGTTGTTGTCGCCCCGGTTCACGTCGGCACCGGCTTCGAGCAGGGCGGCGACGAAGTCCGCGTTGCTGAAGCCGGCAGCGTAATGGAGCGGTGTCATCTGGGGCCGATCGCGCACACAATCTCCGCGCGCCACCCACCTACCTACTACCCACCACCTACCCACCCACCCACCACCCACCCACCCACCCACCCACCCACCCACCCACCCACCCACCACCCACCCACCCACACCCACCCACCCACCCACCACCCACCCACCCACCCACCCACCCACCCACCCACGCACAAGGGAGGGAAGGGCGCCAGAGCAGGCGCTCAGCAGAGAGAATCCTCGCGCGGACGCCCGCCCATGTCGGGCGACATGTGCTCCTGCGAGCAGCACGTCCGCGCGCGGCAGTGCGAGGCCTGGACCTGGATCGTCGCGTGGTCGATGTCGAAGTCGTCGGCGCAGACGTCCTGGCAGCGCATGAGCACCTCGTCGTGCGTCGCCCCCGGCGCGAGGACGACGTGGCACGACATCGCCGGCCTGTCGGCCGTGAGCTCCCAGACGTGGATGTCGTGCACGTCGCCCACGCCCTCGACGTCCTCCAAGCCCTTCTTCAGGCCCCCGATGTCCACGTTCGCCGGCGCGCCCTCCAACAAAATATTGACCGCCTTGCCCATGAAGCCCATCGTCGTCCTGACCACGATCAGCGCAAAAAATAAAGTAACGAGCGGGTCGGCGACCTGCCACGTCGGCCGCCACCAGATGACGGCGCCGGCCAGGATGACGCCCAGGTTCTGCAATAAGTCGCCCAAGACGTGGAGGTAGGCCGCGTCGATGTTCATCTGGCGCTTCTTGGTTTTTGGAGGTGGCGTCTGCGTCGGTATGGCACTGTAGCCTTTCTTTGATGAGTGTAAGGGTGTCCGGTGGTCGCTGTGGCCGTGCTCTATATCATGCTTGGACTCCTCGTGCGCGCGCGCGCTGCCGTGGTCGTGCGCCGCGTCGTGGCCGTGGCTCGAGCCGTGGCCGTGGGACTCCTCCTTGTGGCCATGATCGGAGTGGCCATGGTCCTCGTCGCAGCAGTCGTGGTCGTGGCCCTTGTGACCGTGAGACTCATGAGAGTGCTCTGAGTGGCCGTGGTCCTCGTCGCAGCAGTCGTGGTCGTGGCCCTTGTGGCCGTGCTCCGAGTGATCGTGCTCCTTGTGCCCGTGCGCCTCGTGGCCGTGATCCTCGTCGCAGCAATCGCCGTGGTCGTGCCCGGAACCGTGGCCGTGCGCGTCCGCGCCGTGGCCGTGCGCCTCGTGGTCGTGGCCGGAACCGTGGCCGTGGGCCGCGTCGTGGCCGTGGGCCCCGGCGCCGCGGTAGGAGGCGAGCGCGTCGCCGTGTAACGGGTTGTGGCCATGGTCGCCGTCGCAGCACGCATGGTCGTCCTTGTGCCCGTGGCCGTGCCCATGACCGTGGCCGTGGCCGTGGTCGTGGCCCCCGAAGCCGTGCGAGTGCGCCCCCAAGATCCGCTCCATCGCGACGTTGGTTAACACCCCGAAGCACCCCAGGATGACCATGAGCTTGCCGTCGACGGGTTTGGCGTTGCCTTGGACGTAGGCGTGGATGCGGCAGAAGGCTTCGTAGACCAAGCCACCGGTTACGGCCCAGAGGGCGAGCGTCGACGCGAGCGCGCCCACGACCTCGACCCGCGCCAAGCCATACGTGTGGCGCATCGTCGGGCCCCGCTTGGCCACTCGCAAGGCCGCTAGACTCACCGCGAACGACGCCGCGTCGCTCAGCATGTGCGCGGCGTCGCCGAGCATGGCCAACGAGCCGGCCACTATGGCAAATGCTCCTTCAAAAACCATGAAGGTCAGCGTGAGCACGACGCCCGCCGTGAGCTTCTCCTCGTCGGTCAGGGGCCGGCCGACGAGGCGCTCGACGAGCCGGCTCATCCTTGTGCTGCTCTCACTTTCTTACTTGCTTACTCTCTCTTGGCGGAGTTTCACACGCGCGTGTGCTGGTACCTCTTATCGCTGTCGTGAGCGTGGCTCACACTTGCTGCCTCTCTCACTCACTTTTACTTGGTGTTTGAATGTATGCGTTTCGCGCTCGTTTTCTGGTACCGCGCTTGCGCTGGTCGATCGCTGTCGTGAAACGCGCGTCGCGCGCGACAGCGGTTCAGTGCTCGTCTGTAAATGCCCTGCATGCACACGAGGCAGAGGCCTGAATTGTGGCCTCGCTAGGACAGCGCAGGAATCGATTAGCCCGGGCGAATGAAGCCCTCGCTTAGGACAGGGTGGCATGAGCACTTCATTTAATCGGCTACTGGATTTATAGACGCTAGCTACACCCCCCCCAGGCGAGCCTCTCTAGACGCGCTACTTATCTCGCCCCGGCGATTTTGGCTTTTACGCACCACGCTGCACCTCGCCAGCCGAGCAGGCCACTCAGCGGCACTCCTTTGCCAGCACTCAGCGCGCTGTCAAAGTTTGAAGCGCGAGGAAGCAGCGCAACGCGAGCATCGCTGAGCCATGGCTGAGACCGCCGCACCGCGCCGCGTCGACTATGACCTGACGCACAAGGCGGCTCCTTATTTAGACGCTCACCTGGTCTTTCCGTTACTCGAGTTCCTCGAGGAGCACACGACGTACCAGGCGGGCGACGTGCGCAAAGCGCGATTAGCACTCGTAGCCAAGACGAACATGGTCGACTACGCGATCGAGATTCGGGAGGAACTAGACAACAACAACGCTAGGTTAGAAGGAATACCAACGGTCGCGGAGATGGAAGGTAGGAGAGATAGCGTCTTCGCGACGTTAGATCGCCTCGAGAAGCAAACGGAGAACCTGAGGAATTTACTAGAGGACGCGGATCAAGTAGACGAGCTCAAGGCCGAAGGCAAGTTCACGAAGGCGCACCTCGCGGAGGCCCACGGTGTCACTGCCCAGGACTGGGTCGATTACGCCGAGTTCGCAAAATTTTTATACGAGTGCGGCGACTACGAGGGCGCGAGAGATATGCTCGACCACTTCCTGGCCATCAACTTTCCCGATGGTGTTTCTGATACGTCCGCCGATGCCGACGGGCGAGGCTTCCGGGCCTTGTGGGGCAAGTTCGCCTCCGAGATTTTGCTCAAGAACTGGGACGCGGCCATGGCCGATTTACTTACTTTGAGGAGCGCCATTGATGAGAGGGGCTTCCCGCCCTTGCAAGCGCTGCAGCAGCGGTCGTGGCTGTGCCATTGGTCGCTCTTCGTCTTCTTTAACCACGCGAAGGGCCACGATGGCATCATCGACCTGTTCTTGGCGGACAAGTACCTGCAGGCCATCCAGACGAACTGCCCTTGGCTTCTTAGATATTTGACCTGTGCCGTCGTGATCAACAAGCGGAGGCGGAGTACGCTGAAGGATCTCGTACGAGTCGTGTCTCAGGAGACGGATCTGTCCGGGGACCCGACGACGTCGTTCCTAGATAGTTTGTATATCAAGTTCGACTTCGACGAGGCCCAGAACACGCTCGCGAACTGCGAGACGGCTCTGCGGGCGGACTACTTCCTCTGCAACTGTGCAGACGCGTTTATGGCCGACGCGCGCCTGTTCGTCTTCGAGACGTACTGCCGCATCCACACGTGTATTGATATTGAGATGCTCGCCGGCAAGCTCGTCATGGACAAGGACAAGGCGGAACGCTGGGTCGTCGATTTGATCCGGGGGAGTTTGTTAGATGCGAAGGTCGACAGCGGCGCGAACACGGTGGTCATGGGCGCGAAGCAGCCCTCGGTCTACGACCAGGTCGTCGACAAGACGCGGGACCTGTCGCAGCGGACGGCGGCGCTGCTGGGCGCGCTCGAGGCGAAGGTGTGCGCGGAGGCCTAGGGTAACGGAGCATGACTATATCTTGTGGCGTCGACGGCGTCGCGGGGGACTTGTCGTCCTCCCGCACTGGCACAGGCCCGGGTCGGGTAACAGTAGCCAATGCTCTGCTTTTGGCGTTGCGCCGACGGAAGCCACTGGTGCCCGGCATCTTGCCCGGCGGCCGCGAGATAGGTCGAGTACTAGTAACGCAACAGATATGCTTATCACAAGAGCTCCCGCACGTACTGGTGGGGCACGTAGCCCTCGCCGCCCCCGTCGACCTCCCTCGCGAAGACCCACTCGTCCCATTTCTTCAGGCACGCGGCCCGCACGAGGACCACGTCCCCCGCGGCGACTGAGAGCTCCGATTCGTGCTCCGCGGCGAAGTCGTGGACGACGCGGCAGCGCCGGAACCCGCGGCGCTTCTCCGTCGCGGAGCTCGTCGGCAAGGTGCGGACCGGTGCCGGTGGCGTCGCGACCGGTTTTGGTTCCGGCGGGGCTGAAGGAGGCGTCGCGACGGGCTCCGGAGGAGGTGCCGGCGCCGCGACCGGCGCCGGATCCGGGGGGACCTCCCGAGCGGCCCGCCGCTGCATGCGACCGGTAGGCTTATGGGTCCCGGAGCTCGTCGCCGGTTGTTTTTCGTGGTGTTGGCGTTTCGCAGGAGCCACCGGAGTCGCGGGCGGCGCGTGCGCGACGGCGACCTCGCGCCGCAAGGTCGGCGGGGCCGGCGCGGGCTGCTGCTGCGTCTCTCGGGCAGCGATGGCCTCGCGGATCTTCGACAGCTTCGCGTCGAAGGAGGCGTCCTTCGAGCGGGGCGGCGGCGGCGGAGGCTTCGGCTTCTTCCAAGCCGCGTGGTGGTGCTTCTTCGCCGCCGCCGCGACGGCGACGGGCGCCGCGGCCATGACCGCGACCTCGCGCCGGACGGGCGACTCAAACGAGACGCGCCGCCTCGCGGGTTCCTCGTCCGACGGCGCGGCCGCCTGGCGCGTCGCCTCCGCGACCGCCGCGTCCGCGAGGGCGCGCCGGCGCAGGGCCGCGGGCGACGGGCGGGGCGGCGACGCGGGCCCGCCGGCGGCCGCGTTCACGACGCGCAGGAGCCGCTCGCAGGCGACGGTCGCCCGCATCGCCTCGTCGGCGCTCGAGGCGCAGCCCCGGCCGAAGACGAGGGGCGCGACCATCAGGGCGAGGCCCCGCCACGACGCGCCGTTCAGGCGCTGGCGCCGCACGAGCCGCCCGAGGTGCAGGGCGAGGCGCTCGAGCACCTGGTGGTGGAGGCTCGCGAGCCCCGCCAGCAGGGCGTCGAGCGCCTGGGCGCCGGCGGCCGCGTCCGTGTCGGTCGCGGCGGAAATGCATGCGGCCCGCTTGTCGACCGGTATGAGTGGCGCACGCGATCGCAGTAGCGCCGCGACCGCGTCGAGGACGGCGTGCGGGTCGCCGGCGTCGATGGCCGACGCGATCGACTTCGTCCGCTGGCCGCCGTCGACGCGCGCGCCGGCGCCCAGGGCGAAGACCTTGACCACTGCCTTGCGCGCGACGTCGCCCTTCTCGAGCCAGAGGCCGCGGCGGCACATGGCGCGCTCGTCGCGCTCGAACGCGTCGAGCGCGCTGCGCAGCGCGCCCACGTCGCCGCGCGTCCAGGGCGGCGCCGATGGGGCCGACGGCGTGTCGTCCTCGTCCGCGCGGGCGGCGCCGCAGGCCGGGCAAAAACGATTTTTCGACTTGAGCCTCGCGCCGCAGGTGGCGCACTGATGGCTTCCTTTGGTCGCGCTTCCCCAGCGGAAGAGCGGCATCGCGTTCGTATCGCAGGCTGCCCAGCAGCAAACTCTGGGGCTCGGCGCGTCGCTCGCGGTCCGGGGCTGCTCCCGCAGCCTTGTGCGCTGCCGCCAAAGAGCTGCGCGAGTCGTGCGTCGCGAGCTCGCGCTTTACGCCGCGCACAGAGCTTTGCAAGGCGCGTTGCACGAAGCGCTACAGCCAGCAGCAGATGAGGACAAAAATGGGAGCACGCGACGCTGCCCCGGCGGACTAGCGCACCGACACGATGCGTGGCGAGGCCTCGGACTTCGCGGCGATGCGCGACGCCTTCCGCAGCGCGGGCCTCTGCAGCGAGGCCACGCCGGCGGCGCTCGTGGAGAGCTGGTGCGCGCGTCGGGACGACGCGAGCGACGGCGAGGACTCGCTCTACGTGCCGTCGCCGCAGCGCGTCAAAATCCGGCGGCGCCTCGCGGAGGCGTGCGTCGCGAGCCCGCGCTTCGTGCGGCGCGCGGCCGAGGCCGCCGCGGTCGAGCGCCTCAACCGGCGGCGCGCGGTCCGGGCGCTCGCGGCGGTCGTCGCGCGCGGGCGCGCGGCGTGGCTGCTCGCGCGGCGGGCCGACGCGTTCCGGGCGGCGCGCGGCTTGGACGCGTGGCGACAAGCCGCGGAGGCGGCCCGGCGCCGCGCCGCCGCGGACGACCTGCTGGACGCCTACGGTGACGCGCGCCGCACGCAACGGGGCTTGGGGCGGTGGCGGCGCGGCGCGGCGCGACTTCGAAGGCGGCGGCGCCTGCGGACGCACGGCCGGCGCGCGTTCCACCGGTGGGCCAAGCTGATCCGGTACGCGCGGCGGCTGCGCGCGGCCCGCGTCTTCGGGGTCCTGAAGCGCGCGGCCCAGCGGCGCCGGCGCCGGGAACTGGTGGTCGCGGACGCGTACCGGCGGGCTCGCTTGCGCCTCGTCCTGGGGGCGTGGGTCCCGGTCGCGGCGACGTGGAAGGCGCGGCGCCTCGCCTACGTATTGTAGCCGGCGTCCTTCATCTTTTTGGAAGCCTTCGTCGATGGCCGCCGCCGAGAGACACCGCAACAGCACCGCCGTCGACGCGAGAGACATGACGCGCCCGCAGGAGCGCGAGGCGCGACACACGCGGCGCCTCGTCGCGGCCGTCTTCGCGCGCTGGGTGCGCGTGCGGCGGTTCCGGCGCGCGGCGCGGGACTTTCTGCGGGCGCGCGGCTGTGTGGAAATCAACCAGTGCGTCGGGTGCACATTTCTCGGCGATGATGCGGCCGTGCCGGCTCCGTCGGGCGGCGAGGAACCGGCACCCTCACGCTATCGAGCAGGCGCCGCGTCGATGGCGTCGAGGTCGATGCGGCGATTCAGCATGGACGCCGTAACATTTCGATTTCCACGCAGGCGCGCGGCCTCGAGCGGCGGCGGACGCGCCAGCTCGCGCGACGCTGCCTCCGAGGCTGGCGGGCGCGCGGGCGCCAGGCGCTTGTACTTGCAACGCCGCAGCAGAAACACAACAGAGAGCGGTCGTCGCGCAGTTTATTTAGCGAGGACGCGATCCGGCGCATCCACGCGCCCTACACCTGATTTATTAAATATTAAGTATTACATATCTTCGTGTGCCTCGCGTGCGCTTCGTCTTTGGAACCGGGCGCGCCGTAGGCGTACATGAGCTGCGCGAGGAACTCGCGGTATAAATGATCCATGCGGTCGCGGTGCGTGTTGCCGTCCGCATCTTGAGTCTCCTCCCACTCGACGCGCGCCGCGCTCTTGTGGTGCGGGAAGTGCGTCAAGAAACTTCTCCCCAAAACCTGGAAGCGCCAGCCCGCATACCTCAAGTGGACGATCTGCTCGATCTTGTTTTTGCCGTAGCCCGTGAACCGCTCCTCGTACATGGGTAAGAGCGGCGACTTCCTCAGCACGACGTAGGGCTCGTATCTATTGGATCCAAAACACGACACGGGCTTCAGACTCTTCCCCCCGTCAAAGCCGTGCAACCAACTCCTATAATCCGTCGTGCCGTGGCCGTCGTGGTTGTACCGATCAAAAATGTGGCAGTCCTTGGCCATGATGCACTTCTTGAGCGTCTCGAAGGAGTCGGGGATCTGGTCCGCTTCCCGGTGACACAATTTGAGGTCGACGCGGTATTTATCTCGCTGGGCCTTGGCCGTGGAAGAAGCGCAGTCCGTCTTGACCTCGCGCGCGAAGGCCGCGATCACGATGGCCTGCCGCGGGTCCGCGAAGGTGTGGTTGTGCCGCGCCATGCTCGACAGTCGCTTTAACCTCGGTAGTAAATTAGCATCTGGCCAGAGATCGATATCAGCGTGTAAGAAATGCGACGTCCTTACTCTCGAAATGGCCATATTCCTCAATTTATTAACCGGGTAGGACGAGTGGTCGCTGTAGATGTGCAGCTTGACGGTCGTGATGATGTACTCCACCTGGTTCGGGTAGCACTTGTCCCGCTCCGTCTGGATCTTCTCCGTGATCGGCGCGTAGACGGAAATGACGATGGGCCCGTGCCACCGCTGGCAAATGTGGTCGAGCATCCACAGCCGCTCCGCCGACGCTTGCGTCACGAGCGTAAAATCGACCCGACACAAGTCCCTGCTCTCGGGAAACGGCTCCGGCTGCGCTAATTGTGTCGCAATACTCACGAATGAGTCATTTGTAACTACTGAACCGGTGAACGCCGAGTGGATCGACGCCCGCGCGGGCGCGCGCTCCTGCGTGCGCCAGCAGCCCCGCGGCCCGCGGTATAAGGACCGGATGGCGTCGTCCGTTTTTGTGGAGTAGGACGGGGCCGGCGTCGGCTGATGCAACAAAGCTTCCTCGCGGAAGAAGTGCGTCTTGGGGTCGTCGTCGACCCACTCCTCCACCGTGTGCTGCTGCTCCGTCGTGGGCCGGAAATGTTTTAGGACAACATAGGCGTAGAGCGTCAGGGCGCCGAGCACCGGTAGCAAAACGAAGCACTTGGCGCGCGGCTTGCGGCGGCGCCGTGGTGGTGGAGGCATGTCTCAGTTGCTGCGTCGGATGAGGTCGCGCACGCCCGGGCCGAGTAGTGCTCGAATAGGGCTCTGTGGTGGGCAGCACTTATTCACCTCAGAGGCTGCCGCATGGCATGCGTTGCATTTGTTTGGGTTGTGCACATAGCGGTGCGGCACAGTTCTTGCTTGCAAGGCCGTACAATCGTGCAATAATCGCCTGCCCCCACCAAAACTTTTACCAACCCTTTTTTTTAATAAGGCAGTTCCTAAAGGGGAGGGGCGGAGAGGACCCGTGGGGATGGGTGAGTCCGGCCGCGCGGGGGATCCCGTCCGTCCCTCGGCTCCTCCGCCAGCAGTGCCAGGTGTCTGCTGCATGCTCTGCATATCGCCGGTAACACTCGACCGGCAACGGAACCAGTCAAACTGCGTAGCTGATTCGAGACGTGCACTGAATTAATCTTGCGTCCAGGACATCGTTGGTTTGCAAGGGTCTACACAACTAAACACTGCAACCTCTGCCAGCAGCATCAACCATGCGCGCGTTGCGGCTCCTCTTAGCCCTCGCGAGCACACATGCCTGGAAACGTCACACGAGCGCCGCCGCGATCCATAGACGAAAGCGGCGTTTCGTCCGCGGCGGCGCGTGGGGCTTCGGCAAAAACAAGGACAGCGCGGCCGAGGCGGACAACGCCACGACCACAAGTGAAGGCGGCATGTCCCAGTCCCAGATCGACGAGGCCTTGTCCGTGGTGCCCGTCTTTTGTCTGGCGGACCCGGAAGGCCGGCCGGTGCTCATGACGGCCCCCGAGGACAAGGACGACGCCACCAAAAAACCTTTGCAAGCTTTTTTTACGGATGTTAATGTCGCCCAGGCCCACGCGGCTCGAATTAAAGAGTTGAGTGGTGATGATAAATTAGACCTGAAACTAGCCGTCGTCGAGCTCGGCCGCGTCCTCAGCGCGGGCGAACCGGAAGACCGGAAGGTGTCGCTCATGGCCGATCCTAGGGAGTTGCATGTGGCGCGGCAGTTGGTCCTCAAAGGTGCGGGGTTCCGGGACACGAACTCGACGGGGACGTCCGACAAAGTCGTAGACTTCTCGTCGGAAGCGTCGGTGAAGAAGGAGTGCAAGGCGCACTGCCCCGACGGCGTCGACCTGGATCAAGGCGTGCCGCTCTTCACGCTGAAAGATTTGAATGCCACCGTCCAGGGCGACGACGTCATCCAACCGTGGTTTCTATCGTTCGCGGATTTGGTACGGGCCTACGTGAACTCGACCGGATCTTCCGACGAAGAGGAGGCGGCGTCGGGCTTGGAGCGGCTGCTCATGGAGGGCGGCGTCGTCGTCGGCACGCTCGATTCCGTATTAGCTGCGGCGCGGGGCGGCCACACGCGGCGCGCCTTCATGATCCCGCCGGCGTCGTCGTTGGCGGTCATGCGCCAGCAGCAGCAGGCGCCGGCGGCGGCGCCCAAGGCCGCGCCGAGCGCGGACGACGCGCTCGCCGCGATGGCGGCCGACGCGGGCGCCAGCGACGGCGGCGGCGGCGGGCTGTTCGACTGACCCCCTGTTTCTCTCGGAGTAACTTTGTTTCGCCCGTATTTTTAAGCTACTAATATACTCTCGGGCTCCGCGGCGGCCTCGACCTGGGCCTCAAGCCTTGCCCGCCGCGCCGCGCCCCGCCTTCTAAGCCGCTCCAAGCGCGCGTTCGACCGCTCCTTCTCGTTCGTCGTCTGGCCGACGTCGACGCGCCACGCGGGGGTGTGGCCGCGCTTCGCGAACGGCGCGTTGTAGTTGGGCAGCGACTCCTCCGAGGGGCGCCGCGCGGGGCCGGGGATGAGCGGCGCCGGGGGCGTCCGCGACCGCGGCGTCGCGTCCCGCGAGACGACGCGCGACGGCGGCGGCGGGTCGCGGCGGGGGCGGCGGTCGGGCGCGGCCGTCGCCGCGCGCGCGGGCCGCGGCGCGGCCGGCGCGACGGGCTCCGGCGACGGCGGGGCCGGCCGGACGGCGGCCCGCCGCCCGCCGACGAAGGACGGCGCCGTGCGCGGCGGCGCCCGCCGCCGCAGCGCCTCGAGGGGCGGCCCGTCGGCGAAGCCGGCCGGCCGGCCGCCGAACATGGCCGCCTTGCGGCTCCGCCGCGCCTTCTGGTCCCGCTCCTTGCAGAAGAGGAACGGGTCCGCGGCCTCGACGCCCAAGTGGTGGTCCTCCTCCCGCGCGCGGCGCGCGCGCTCGAAGGCCTGGAGGCGCGCCGGCGGGACGTTCGAACTCCGATCTACGGGCGTCGGCGAAGCCGGCGGCGCGACCTCCGGCGCGGCAACTGGAGCCGGTGGCGGCTCGCGAGGCGACTCCACCATTTTCCGCGGCACGGCCTCGCGGAGCCGCTGGACGAGCGCCGCCACGTCGCGCTCGCAGCGCTCGATGTCGGCCGCGCGCTGCTTCGCCTGGGCGAGCTCGCGCGGCGTCAGGCCGCTGTCGGCGTCCCGCAGCGCGGCGGCGGCCCGCAAGTTCGTCAGGTGCGTCCGGCGCCTTCGCAATAAAGCCTCGAGCCGCCGCGCGTCGCGCGCCGTTTTGGGGGGCGAGACCTCGGGCGTCGGTGGCAGCGCGACGGGCTTTGGAGGCGGCGTCGCCGGCTTTGGCGGGGGCTTCGCCGGCGACGCCGGCGGCGACTCGTAGGCCTTCTCGCCCAGCGTCACCGTGGCCCCGCTCCGCCGGTCCTCGCAGACCTGAACTAGTTTCTGCACCGTCGGCCGCGCCCGACCGTCGACTCTCAAGCACATGGAGACGACCTCCTTCAGGAGCGACGAGTAGTGGTCCCCGAGGGGCTCGAAGGCGCCCGCCTTGATGGTCTTGGCCAAAGCTACCAGGTTGTTGGCCGTGAACGGCGGCTGCAACGCGCACAGCTCGTACAAGACCACGCCCAAACTCCACACGTCCGTCTTCGCGTCGTAGGGCGTCCCGTCGCAGATCTCGGGCGACGCGTAGAGCGGCGTGCCGAACATGGTCCTTAACATAATCGTGTTCTCCGAGCACTCCCGCGACACCCCCAAGTCCGCGACGCGGAGGTTCGGGTCCTTCGGCAATGGCGCCAGGCCCCGCGGGACGCCGCGCTCCTCGAAGACCTCTCGCGACGTCGGCGAGACCAAAACATTCAACGCCTTGATGTCTCGATGCACGACCTTCTGCTCGTGTAAAGCTAATAAACCGCGGCAGACCTGCTCGAAGGCGAGCCAGACCCAGTCCTCCGGTAGAAAGTAGGCCCGGTCACCTAATGTTCTTCGCTTGAGTAGCTGAGCTAAATCACCTCCTGCCGCGTAGTCCAGGACCACGTACAGGCGCGCGCGTTCCCAGAAGTGCCCGTGGCAGCCGATGAGGTGCGGGTGCCGCCCGACGCGCCTTAACAAATTGGCCTCGTGGTCCGCAGGCGCCCGCTTCCCCAGCTCCGCGACGCGCCTCTCTTTCAACACGAGAATCTTCTTGTCGCTCCGCCGTCGGACTTTGTATACCGCGCCCGTATTTGAGCGGAACAACTCCTCAATTATGATGTAGTCCTTCAGCGTGTGCTTGGCGCAGGGGTTGTCCCGGACCTTGTCCCTATCCAGGGCGAAGGGCGGCGCGCCCATCGCGGCTCGTCGACCGGCGGCTAGGTTGTCCTTGATAAAAACTACCGGCTGCAGTCGCCGAGCAGCAGCCGCGGGCAGCCTCGGGCAGCCTCGGACAGCCTCGATGGCGTCTCGCAACGCAGCGGCGTCGCGTCAACGCCGTCGAAATGCCGCAACGGCGCCGCCGCGCTGTGCCTAACGTGCGGGGTGATCAGTTTGCGGCGCCCAAGCGTACGTTTGGCCGCGCCGCGGCCACCGCGGCTCCAGCCATGGTGGAAATGGCGGACGAGGGTGCGACGGCCGCCGGGGCCGCCGCCGACGCCGAGCTGGCCCGCGCGGCGGAGCTCAAAGCCCAAGCAACAAACCACCACAAACAAGGCGAGTACGCCGAGGCCATCGCGGCCTACGACGAAGCGTTGCAATGCTACGCCGAGCCCGTGGACCCCATGGACCCCAGCCACTGGGGCGAGACGCCGGACCAACGAGCCCAGCGCGAACTAGACGAGCTCGAGCGCCTGATGGGTGATACAAGGGAAGAAATGGGCCTGCCGCGGAAGCCGCTGACGGATCCTAATGCGAGAAAACACAAGGTACCTCTTAGGAAGCGACGAATCCCCGGCGCGAAGCGGTCCAAGATGTACGCGCGGCTGTCGAACCACCACCTCTGCAACACTGGTAAACATTTCTGCTGCGCGGCGTCGCTGGGCCCGAAGGGCGGGCCCGAGGCTATGATGGAAGCGGTTGCAGCGCGGCGGGAGAGAGGAGAGAAGGCTAGAAAAGCGTGGAATAGAATAGATCTGCGCCGCACGCGCGGGACTGACGACGGGCCCGGCCCGGCGGCTTATGTCAATAGAGCGACGCGGTTCGGGGACGTAGCGACGGAAGTTGCTCCTCCAAAAAATCGGAAGCGGCCCGCGCCGCCGGACGAGAAGCCTTGTGCGGTGTGCTACGACCACTGCTGGTACGGATGTGGGTGCGCGTGCCACGACTCGGACGGTGGCGAATTATCCGAAGAGGACGAGGAGGCGAGCGACGGCGAAGTGCTCTCAACGGAAATTCCGTTGCCGGCGCGCGACGGACCGCGTCCTTCAAAACCAACGCCGCCGCGGTGGCTCCGCCAGCTGCTCGGAAGAGAGGAGGAAGACTTTGAGGTGGCGCTGCGGGACTTGGAAATCGCGCTCCGGAGGCCGCCGTCGCTGCCCGACGAGGGAAACGAGAGGGAATGTCTCGTGGTCGCCCGCTATTTAAAAGCCGCCGGGCCGGACGCGGCGGCGTGGCTCGAGTTGGATGAAGAGACGCTCCGGCTGCGGTTGTCGGGGCAGGTCAGCCTCCACGATCTCCGGGACGTTTGTGGAGGCGCCTTGTCGTGGTCGGCGCTGCGCGCCGCGTCGTTAAGGACGGTACTGGCGCCAAAACGCGTCGCGCGGCGCGTCAACGCTTCGATAAGAGCGGCCAAGGGCCGCGTCGCCGATGTCTTTGCGAGGGCCTGCGACGACGGTATTTGTAAGGCCCGCGCGCTGGCCGAGGCGCTGGCGCCGCTCGCGGGGCCCTTCGTTCGCAACGACGCGTTATGTGCGGCCGAGGCGCGACCTGCGGAAACCGCTCCCGAAAGCGGGTGCCCCGACTGCGCCGACGCGTGCTGGTACGGCTGCGACTGCCCGTGCCACGATCAGCTTATGTCCGAGGAGGAGGAGGAGGTTATATCAAGGGAGCCGCCGGCGCTCGGCGCGTCCATACACGTGCGCGTCGCCGGCGCGACGCAGTGCTTCCCGGCGAAAGTCGCCTGCGTCTACGAGGACGCCATCGACGTGCTCTACGACGACGCTGAAACGTTCGAGGCGCGCGTGCCGCTCTCGAGGGTCCAAGGGTATGACGTTCAGAGAAGGATTCCGAGGGCCCGGACGCCGCGCGTACCCCGGAAAAGGCCGCCAGTCCACGAGGAGGCCAAGGAGGCCTGCGTCGAGCCGCGCGCCGACAAGCATATCTTGACGTGGCATAAACCGGCCGAGCAGAAGCCGCCCGTCTCCACGAATGACGGGCTGGAGCGGCACTCGCAGGTTTTAAACGGAGAAAAGGTCCTGGGACGACGAGTCAAGGGTGTCCGGGCGTGGTCTACTGTTGAAATGAAAGACGGCAAGGAGACGCGCGTGCACCCGCGCCGCTTTCCGGAGACGCCGCGGAAGGAGTCGCCGCGCTCCCTCAAGACGCCGCGGTCGCTGCACGACGGGCTCAAGAAGCACGTGCCTACTTTTGGTTTTGGCGAGGCGCCCTCCTCATCATCCGAAGACGAGGTCCTCCCGGGCCCCGGCGAGTACGACCGGCCGGAGGAGGCGCCCGCGCCCGGCGGTCGCATGAACCCGCTGCCGTCGCAGAAGATCAAACCCTTCGCGAAGCTGGCCATGGCGCGGCGGCGGCGGCCGACGAAGGCGCCCGGCGAGTACGACGTCGTGGAGACGGACGTTGTGAATGGCCGCTTCCGGACGCTGAAGGGCGGCGTGCGCATGGAAGAAAGTAAGACGCAACGGCGCACGAGGCCCGTCGAAGCTCAGAAACAACTGGCCGAGCTCGAGGCGCTCGTCGCGCTGAGGGACAAGAAGGCGCGGCGGCGGCGTCGCATGCAACGACGCGAGGCGCGCCTCCGGCGCCAGCGCGACAAGGAGGAGCAGCGGGAGTTCGCGCGGTGGCGCAGCGCGAAGATGTCTGATTCGTCCTACACGGACTCGTCCTACACGTCCTCTTCATCATCCTCGTCGTCGTCGTCATCATCATCATCATCCGAAGAAGATCTAGCTCCCGTCGACAAGGACCGGCTCGTCCGGAAACGCTCCACGTCCATAGTCATCGGCAAGCCCACGGAAGACAACAAGCACGTCGCGCGCAAGAAGTATCTCGAGAAGGAGTCCGAAGCGCGACGGGGCGTCGGCGCCTACGACATTGACAAGGCCCAGCGGGCCGTCGAGAAGGAGGTCCCGCACGCGGCGCTCTTCGGGGACGAAGTGGCCGCGCGCGAGCGCCACGTCAAGACGAAGGGCGACGTCGTCCGGGAAGCTCGGAAGAAGATTGATGAAGAGCGGGACGCGACGCGGCCGATCCTGGCGTCCCAGGCGCAGGTGCCCTGGGCTTCTGTCAAGGACGACGCGAGGCCGGAGGAGTTAGCGTTCAGACGGTTCCTGAAGCCCGACCGGGCGTCGGTGCGGTACATGGACGCGCCGGCGACGCCCGAGGCCCTCCGCAAGAAGCGGGAGCTCGAGGACGTTGCGAAGGCGAATCGCGACCTGCGACCGCCGGGCAAGGAGATTATGAAGGAAGCGCACTTGAATGCTGTACAATACGACATCCAACGGGGCCGCGACGTCATTGAAATTACGGCCAAGGACGAGATCCACCTGTCGACCTTCGGCTCTCCAACTTTACATCGGAAGCGCGACGCTCCATTAACTCCGGAGAACGTCGAGCAGGCCTTGGCGTACCTCGAGGGCTCGCCGGCCAACATCACGTCGTTCGTCGCGCCGGCTCGGTCGGAGGCCGTGGGCCCCTTCGGCGAGCGGCCCGAGGACGCCTTGGTGGAGGGCGAGGGCGACCATCTGGAACTAGATGTGGAGAGGGCCAAGGCCTTCCTCGACGCGGAGCGCGATGCCATGCAGCTCGGCAGGGCGCCGCGCTTCCCGTCCCCCGTGTATGAAGATCACGACGGCGACGTCCTCGACCTCGACGTGGCCGACAAGAAAGGCGTCGGCGACGCCCCCGCGAAAGGTTTTAGGTACTCCTCCTTCAAGACGCAGCCCGGGCGAGGAGTTGTGAAGAAGAACGATGACCAGGGCGACGTGCTCGAGCTCTCGCCGCACTCGCCGCCACAAAAGGTGCCCGCGGCGGTCATCGGCCGCGAGGAGCGCTGGACGGAGTATTCGGATGACGACACGGGCCTGATCCTGTCGCCTAAAAAGGTGGAGAAGCACCGACCCGGCTTCTCCCTCGAGAAGGCGCCAGATCGGTGGCGCGTCTCGGACGAGATACCTGAGGAAGTTATTGTGGACCATGACAAGGTCGAACGAGCGAAGCGACGGGCCTGGGCCGCGCCGGTGCCCGATCTAGCGGCGGGCGGCGACCGCTTCGTCGAGAACTCGGTGGACGAGCCCGCCTTGCAGTTAAATCCGAACGACAGCGTGCTGTCGACGCGGGGCGTGACGTCGCAGCTCGGCGCGCTGTCCTTCGGCAAGCGGCCCGGGCGGTCGAAGACCAAGGAGGAGGCCGGCCACGTGCTCGAGCTCGATCCGGGCGAGCGGCCGCGCGACCGGGTCCAGGGCGCGGCCGACTGGGCGCGCGAGGCGCCGCGGTCGCCGCTCCAGAACGTCGACGAGGGCAACACGCTCGTGCTCGAGCCCGAGCGCGGTCGGCCCGCGGCGGCGCCCAAGGGCCACGTGTCCATGGCGACGGCGCCGGGCCGCCACGTGCCGACGCGCGACCCCGGCGGCGACGTGCTCACGCTGAACGTGACCGACCCGGGCCTCAAGCGCCAGGACCGCGCGGTCTCGTTCGCGAGCGCGCCGAACAAGCCCAAGCTCCCGAAGAAGAAGAAGAAGCGGCCGCGCCGCCAGCGGCCGCGGCCGGCGTCGGCCATGGGGCGGGCCCTGAAGGCGCTCGGGAGCGTGCGATTCTTTTAAGTTGTACTACTGATACTACTGATACTACTATCACAACGTACTACTGATACTACTGATACTACTATCACAACGTTATTGTCTCCGACGGACCGCCGGGCGGTTCGTCGTCGCCGAAGAAGTCGTCCTCGGCCGCGTCCGTGCCCGTCGCGCCGGCCGCCGGCTTCCAGTGCAGCATCACGCGTCGCAGCGCGTGCGGCTGGTGCGCGCACGCGTTCCCGTCGCTACACCGCCAGCCCGTCGTCTCGCCGTCGCACGCGAGCGCCGACGCCAGCGCCGACACCTGCACGAGATGCGTGCCGCGGCAGCCGTCGCAAAACGCCGCGCCGCACTCGTCGCAGGTCGGCGCGGCGCCGAGCAGCGCGTCGCAGCGTGCGCCGCACGCGAGGCACTCAAGTTTTTCGCCCGCGCCGACGCAGGCCAGGAGGCCGCAAGCGAAGGAATCGAGGGGTTCCTCCCGCGCGATTCGCCGTCGCGGCGGCGGCGGCGGCGGCGGCGGAGGAAACGCGTCGCCAATGTCCGGCAGGTCGGTTTCGTCGCCGCGCTCCTTCAGTTCCATGGCCGGGGCGCTCGGTTTTCGCAGGGGTTTCAGGGACGGGGTGCTCATGCCCTGCAGCACTGGTGTGCTCCTGGCTCTTGCCAGTGGTAGAAGTCGAGCCCAGTGAAATGAGGCGTCGAAATAAAAGTGAATATCTTAGAACTAGAAACGAGGGTGTGCCAAAATTCACGAAGCTTGTAAAATCCGCAGCCTGCTAGCTAGCGTCTGTAAGGCACTAGCAAGCACGTAGCGTTCATCACCTTAAAACTGCTTGCGAGACCCGTTTCCGAGAGCCCCAGACCCTTGCCACCTGACAGCGCAGAACTGGAGACGCGCAGGAGGCCATCCCACCAGTGAGAGCACCTAGGCTCCGTGACACAGACACGCGCAGACACGCGCAAAAGCCATCTCAGGGGAGACGCATTGGTGATGCCGGCCGGAAAGACATTACTGGTGCTGCTTGCACCATGGATCTCACAAGTGGCAGCATTTGCCCACGTCCACTCACAGCCGCGGACCCGCAGCGTAGCCAAGAGCGCCGCCGGGGATTGTGACTCGCCGACTTCGCGACGCGACCTCCTCAAGGCGGCCTCGCTCACGGCTCTGGCCTTCCCGAACGCGGCGCTCGCCCTCGCCCAGATAACGGCTCCCTCACAAGAGCAGCTCAAGCTCTACGACCTGCCGCGCAACGCGCTCCAGGACGCAGCCTTCGCGCAAGGCATGGCGTCGGGCATGGGCTCGTATGAGAGAGCTGCCTTCCCGACGAAGCAGCGCCTCTTCGAGAGAATGTTTGCGAAACTCCAGGACACCGCCGAGCCCACGATCGTAGAGATTGGGATAGGGAGCTTCCCGAACGCTCCGCTCAGGCCTGTGTGACAATCGACCCAGTTAGGGAGAGAACGTCGCGTCGATAGCGTAGAGAGCGGACGTCCCAATTTGAATCCCGCACAGGTATTACACCCCCCGACTCAAGGGCCGGGGCGGCCTCGACATCATCGGCGTGGACCCCAACGACCGCATGGAGAATTATGCAAGGGACAACGCGGCCAAGGCCGGCCTCGGTGCGACCAGCTCGCTGCGCGTCGTCCACGGCGTCTCCGAGGCCCTGCCGCTGGCGTCAAAGTCGTGCGACGCCGTCGTCTGCTCGCTGACGCTCTGCAGCGTCGTCGACCCGGCGCGGTCGGTCGCGGAGATCAAGCGCGTGTTGAGACCCGGCGGCCAGTTCGTCTTCTGGGAGCACGTCCTCTCGGAGACGGATCCTAGTTTCGCCGAGGAGCAGGTCCGGGCGACGCCCATGCAGATCAAGCGCGCCGACGGCTGCCACCTCGATCGCCGGACGGGAGACATTATCCGCAAGGCCGGGTTCAGGTCCTGCGACCTCGAGTATCTGGAGTTGAAGGGCTTCGGGTTCCTGAATCCGACGGTTTGCGGTATTGCTACGGCATAAGTATTTGTTTTGTGACTTACTCGCCTCGCGTGTCGCGCGCTACACGCCATCGACGTCCAGAGATAAAATCCAAGCCAACTTACGCAGAGGGGAGGGGACACGCATCGCTAGATGTCCAGGTCCGCGTACTGCGCGCCGGCGTTATCGGTGTCGATGCCGAGCTCCTCGTCGAGCGCCTTCTTGTCGAGGATGACCATGACGTTGTCCGCGAAGCGCGTCGAGATCTGCATCACTGAAGAAGTGTCGGCGGCGTTCCGCTGCGACGCTTCGAGGAGTTCCGCGGCCTCGGCCTGGAGCTTCTCGAGCTGCTCCGCGCGAGCCCGTAGAACAGCTAACAATTGATCTCTTTGACCCATCAGCAGCTCCTCCTTGAGCTTGAACTTGTCCTGCGCGTCGCCCATGCAGACCTCGAACCACTTCTTGAAGCCCAGCGACTTCTTCATGTTGATCATGCGGTACAAGATTTTGGTCGTCAGCGTCGTCGACTCGTTGAACTTGCGCACCTTCTCGGCCCAGATCTTGAACGCAAACACGGACATGTTGCCCGTCATCTTCGCGAGGATCTTGATCAGCAATTCCTTCTGTTCGCCCGTGGCCCGATTCAACGCGGCCTGCATCGCGGCTTCTTGTCTTGATTCACATTCTTTCTCAAATGCTTTCGCCTTCCTCTCGAGGTCCTCCAATTCCTTGATCAATCTGTCTTTAAGAGCGATCTTCTGGACGAGGTCCCACTTCGTCGCGACGTACTTCCACTGCTGGTAGCCCTTGTGGAGCTGGCCCTTCAGCAGTCTTTTGAGGACCTTCTTCATGACGGCCTGCATGCGCTTCTTCCCGAAGGTCTGCATGTCCCAGTGCTGCCAGAAGACGCGCGTTTTCCCTTGGATCATCCGCGTGAAGATCTTCTTGCAGAGGTTCCTTTGTTTATCGGTCGCCGCGCCCATGGCCTGGGCCGCGGCCTCGTCGGCGCGCGCTTGCGCCTCCGCTTCCAACTTCTCGGCCTGCTCCTTGGCTGCCGCGACCTCCCGCAGTAACATTTTGAGCTCTTCGTCCGCCGACAGCTGGTTGATCTTGATCGTGCCGTTGTACCACGCCGACCAGGCCTGGTAGTAGGTCATGTTCGACATCCTTGACAGGATCTTGATCATCATCTTGCGCTTGTGCTCCTCCTTGAGCTTGGCGAGCTTGGCCTTGAGGCGGTCGCGCTCCGCGGCCGCCTCCTCGGCGTCGGCGCAGAGCTCCTGGATCCAGCCGTCGTAGGCTGCGTGGGCACGGGGCGTGAGTACATGTGGGACGGCGCTCTCTCTTACGGACGTCGTGGCGGCGACGGCGCGGCGGTGGTTCGAAGGGCTCTCGCGGGGCGACGGCGTGGCGGCGTCGAGCGTTGTTTGTGTGGTCACGCGCAGTCCGCGGCGGCGGCGCGGCGGCGGGCGCTACGCCGCCGCCGCGCCACACACCGCCCGCGGCCGCCCGAGCGGCGGCGGCCGCGCGCGATAAGGTGTTCAGGGACGCGGGCGCGCACCCTGGCGCTGCTTCGACAGGTGGCTCTCGACCATGCGCACCGTCGAGCTCTTGACGCTCTTCGCCCGCCCGGCGAGCTTGTGGTTTTGCATCGTGGAAGCGGCGCCCGGGAATCGGGGCTTTGTTCACTCGGCGACCGCCAACCGCGCGTCCCGCGGCCGCCTGCTGCGGGTGGGCAGCTCCTCTGTCGCGCCGACGGCGTGTGAGGCCGCGCTGCCGAACAGGACGCGCTACAAAAGCAGCCCCCGGCCAAGCTCTCTGGCGGCGCGTTAAGTCGGAGGTGAACATTTTGGAAGTTTTTCCGGGACGCCTCTCCCTGTTTTGGCTTGTACCGAGGACGTCTCGGCCGCCCGGAGCGGCTCGCCGACGGATGCGCGCCCCAAACCTTTCGGCTCTAGCTTGTGCAAAACTGAGAGCCGGTGGAGCCTCGCAAAGGCGCCCGTATGGCGGGGTCCGGGCTGCCTCGCATGGGTAGAGAGGCTTGATTGTACTCCAGACATACCCTGGTACCGGGGGGGCAGCGCGGCGGCGCGCGCGGGCCACCAATATGATAAAAAGGCGGCGCTGGCTGCTGCTGGGCTGCGCCGCGCGCGGCGCGGCCCAGTTCGCCGACACGCGCGTCTTCGAGTTGGGTTCCTCATCCAAGACGAACATGCTCGCCGATGCGGTGGTGCGGGACGAGGCCGCGGGCTGCCTCGAGTCGCCCGGGATTAGTCGGAGGTACGGCGACCGCTGCGTCGCCCAGGAGGCCGACGCCGTGGAGACCTGTTTGAAACTCTCCAACTGCCTCGCGTTCACGTGTCTGCCTTCCGTATCCTTCCGGGACCTGCCGGACAAGATTGGGATCGACGACGAGGGCCTGCCGATCGGCGCGCAAGCGGCGACCATCAAACTCTGGGACGCCGCGAAGCGAGGCAACGCCGGCGAAGTATCATCCAGCTTAAAGCAGGGCGCCGACATTGACGCGAAGGACGCGCGGCAAGGGCGCACCGCGCTCATGTACGCCTGCGCCTCTGAATCGTTACCGACGGTGCGAGCGTTGTTGGAAGCTGGCGCCTCGACAAGACCGACGGACAAGAAGGGCCTGACGGCCTTGGACTTCGCGGTGAACAACTACGACCTGAACGGCGTCGGCTCCGCCCCGCCGAACACAAATAAAAGAATAAACCGCCAGCCGCGCCAGGACGCCGTGCGCCACGCCATCCGCAACGCTCTCGTAAAGCAGGCTACCGCCGAGCAGGCGGCCCAGGACTCCTTTGAGAAACCTACAGTTTATGGGTCCTCTGAAGAATTGGCCGCGTTGTCGCGGTCCGTGAATGCCGAGGATCCACAAATGAAACGGTCCGCCGCGCGGTCCGCCGCTTTGCTACACGACGGCATCGACGGGCGGCTCTGCGTGTTTCATAGTTCGCACGTCGAGTTGCAAGCGCGCGACGAGGGCCACGAGTTGTGTGATGCGAACGGTACTGAGGTGAAGGCAGTGCATCGCAACCGCCGGGCCACCCCGTCACGCGAATGCGACCGCTTCCTTTTTTCCATCAAGACGGTGCGCGACGTCTTGGACCTGCGACGGCTGCCGGGCGTCGCCCAGCGCGCCATTTTGAACGCGGCGAAAGAGAAGCGCACCGCGCTGATCTACGACGCTCCTTTAGGTGTTGTCGAGTGGCAGCGGCGGTTGAGGGACGTGGCCCGCGGGCAACTGCGGCACCCGATCACCGGCAAAAGTCGTCGATTAGCCGTGCTGGACGGGAGCGCCCTCCAGACCTGCGCGCCCCGCTGCCCCGCGAAGCCCCTCACGGACGCGCGCAAGACCTGGGCGCGGACGTCCTCCGTCTTCCGAGACGCGACGAAATCCTTTACCGTGGGCCACAAGGCCAACGAGACCGCCGCGTCGAGCGTCGCGGCGGGCGTCGCGGGCGTCGGCGACGCCGACTGGCTGGAGAACCTCGGAGGCAACATGGCCGACGAGCGCGCGCGGCCGTCGGCGGACTACGTGGCGAGCACGTTGGAGCTCGGCGACCCGCTCGTCGGGGCGTTCCCGTGGGAATCATAATAGTTTTGTTTTAATCTCGCGCGTCGACGGCGTGCGGTCGACGGCCCGCTGCGCCGTGGGTTGTGTTCGTTGGGTATTTCTGTTACGGTGCTAGGACTAGTGGGCGGAGTACCTGGAAGTGTCCCTGGGGGGAGACACGCTTCTTTAACAAAAGCTAGTGTCTTTGTTACGCTATAGGCGCGTGCTCAACCATAGCTTGTACGCACGCCTGCACCAGCGCACCGGCGCATCTCGACTCGCCGGACCGCGCAGGGCTTTGCTGGCCGACCGACCAGAGCCCCTGGAGGACAGGCAGGGCGCTCGCCCCTCGCCCGCCTTTGAATTGGGAGAGCCCTGTTGAGGAGCTCCAAACTGCTGAAGCAAGATGGCCGCGCCCCCCAAGGAGTGCCCCTTCGCCAAGGCCGGAGAGCTCGTCGAGCTCGCCAAGGAGAAGTGCCCCGCCTTCCAGGAAGGGTGCCCCTTCTCCGAGACCAAAACGCCGGTCGAAATCAGGGCATCGCTCCAGAAGATGCCGCCGTCGCACACGTCCAAGAGCCACGCCGTCCACGCGGCCGTCGCGAGGACGCGCGCCAATTCACTAACGGACCAGTCGGGCGACGACGTCCTGGTGGACGAGTGGCTCGGCTGGTGGGCGAGCCACACGGACGTCGACATCGAGAACCAAATTTCCAGTGATGACGGCCTCGCGTCGCGCTTGAAAAAGGGCACGGAGCAGGCTCATGAGGAGGCCGAGAACGTGGCCTTCGTCAAACTACTGCTCAAGGGCAAGGCCCCTCTGGAATCATACGTGGCTTTGATAGCTGCGCTGAAGCCGATCTACGGTGCTCTTGAGAAAGCGGCGGATCGGGTATCCAGGACTTGCCCCGCGGTGGCGCGAGTCTGCGACGACACCCTACCACAATTGAGGAGATACGAATCGCTCGAGGCGGACCTGGCCTACTATCGGAGAAGGTGCCCCGACGTAACAAAACGGGCCGAGGCCTTTGCAAGGCGGTCGAAAGCCACGAACGAGTACGTGTCTTCTCTAGATAGCTGGCCTGCAACTGGCCCGAAGGCCGAAGCCTTGGTGGCCCATTTGTACACGAGGTACCTCGGCGACCTGTCGGGAGGCCAGATTTTGCGACGGGCCGCCGTCCGGGCCTACGGCCTCACGCCGCCGGGCGGCACGACGCTCGACGCGGTCGACGGCGTGCGGTTCTACGACTTTAGGCTCATCGGCAAGCCGACGAAGTTGCGACGCTTCAAGGACGAGTACCGGAGGCGGTTGGACGACCTGCGCGTGGCCGATGGTGATCTGGTCGTGGCCGAGGCCGTCGCGGCCTTTAGAAGGAACACGCAGCTCCTCAAGGAATTAGATTTTGTGGTCCTGGGCGCCACCGAGGCGGCGGCGCGCCACGCGCGGCCCACGAAGCCGAAACAGCAGGGCCAGTGCCCCTTCCTCGCCAAGGAAGACATCGCGGCGCTGCCCTTCAAGGAGTGCCCCGTCACGGGCGAGAGCGTGAGCGCGTCCCGGGCGTCGCCGCGGCGGCGTTTTAACGCCGCGGATATCGCGGTGGTGGCGTTTTTTGCGTTGGGAATGGTATTCCTGATCCACCGCGCGACGCCGCCCAGCGTGCTGCTGCCCGGGCCCTGATTGATAAGCTTCCTTTGTTTGTACTTCACTTACAACTACTACCAGCGACAGGGAGGGGGTGGGGGGTCGCGCCATCGAAGATGTGGTTGCCACAACTACCGGCGGAGGAGAGGGGGCGACTGCGGTTCAGTAGAAGCCGAGGTGCGCCCAGAACGTGAGCACGAGGCGCACAATTTCTTCGGGTAGGCCCGGGAACTTGGGGACGAACACCTTGGCCAGCGCCGCGAGGTGGAGGGACTCGTAGGCCGCGAAGCTCCCGAGCTCCATGACCTTCTGCAGGTAGACGAACTCGCTCTCCTTCGGTAACGACGCGCCGGCCCTCAGTAGGTACGGGAGGACGCGGCGGCACCGCGTGCGGTGCGCGCGGGCCGTGATCTTGGGCCTGCGTGCGATTGAGTCGTGAGTCGTGAGTCGCGTCAATGACGTGAGGCGCCGGTAGGATGCGGGCAGTTCGCTAAATCGAGGGCCGTGCCGTAGCGACCTCTAAAGTTGGCGTCGGCGCCCGCGCGGAGGAGGGCGTGGACCGTGGCGGCGTGGCCGTGCTGCGCCGCCGCGTGGAGGGGCGTGCGCCCGCCGCCCGTGGACTGGTTCGGGTCGGCTCCATAAATAATGAGCAGCTCGACGAGGCGCGCGCCGGCTCTACGGCACGCGGCGGCGCAGTGGATAGGCCCCAACCCATAGACGTTGGCGGCCTTCGCCGACGCGCCGGCCCGGAGCAGCGCCGTCGCGCACGCGACCTGGGCGTCCGCGTGCCCCTCGTCGTTGCTCAGCGCGGCCGTGAAGTTCGACTCCTCGCAGCACGCGAAGAAGAGCGGCGTGCGGCCACCGGGCTCGTCGAGGGCGTCGGGGTTCACGCCCTTCGAGATGAGCTCCTGGATCTGGTCGACGTCCCAGTACCGCGCGGCCTCGTGGATCGGGAGCCTGCGAGGCATCGGTGAGTGCCTCGGCGAGCGAAGCATGTCGACAAACGCCGGATCGGACAAGGCGGACGGCGCCGAGGCGACGAAGAGCGTGTCCTGCACCCAGACGCGGCGAGCGTCCCGTTCCTGGAGCCACACCCGCAGCGTCGCGCGGCGACTGATGTGGGCCATCTTGTTGTTTGTGCTCGCGAGAGTAATGGCCTTGGACGGCTAATCGACGGCGTCTTACTTCGATGCTGCGATGCTCAAAAGTAGTTCGACGGCGATTGCGGTGCACCAAACCTCTCTGCAGGCTTGGTGCTCCTGCTTTGTTTCGAGACGCGTACGCAAGCGTTGCATCTACAGGGCTGGGAAATGGGTGCGAGGGTAGCTCGTAGACTGTGTGTCTGGTATCGAACGTCGCGAACGTCGTAGTTTAGGGTGCAGCAACCGCATTGAGAGCCTGTGCCTGAAGAGGCTGGTTTATTTTTTTTTGCCGCACGTGTCGCAATCAACCCTGCAATAAGCAAAAAGATAAGTGAATTACTCTCGAAACGACCGGACGGCGCCGGCGCACAACGTACGGGTTCACACTCCACACACAAATAAATAGATAAATAAAATTTGCTTTGCACAGCTAGGCTGCCTAGCCACCAGCCGCCGCGGGGGCTGCATTATTACCGAGGCAGCTCACCAAAAAAGGCTGCCCTTTACACGCCATCGATGCGTCGATGCAAGTATTCATAGAAACAAATGGGATGGCAGCCGAGTGAGCGCCATCATCGATGCGGCTGATGCGAGCGTTCCTCACGATCACGCTGGTGACGACGAGCGCGGCGGCCCGCGGCCGCGAAATCTACCGCAACGTCACGAGCAAGCGCGAGCGCTGCTTCGAGAATAGTAAGACGGGCCGGCCCGCGCAGCGCCGCCTGGGCTTCTGGACCTGGGGCAAGAAGAAGCAAAAGGCCGACGCCTATGAAAAGGAAGGGCGGCGCCGGGACGCGCTGCCGGCGTGCGGCACCGAGCTGGACGTACCCCGTAGACCACCGTTACTCTGGTGCGAAGCGCATCGCCTGCGCTTCCCGAAGCGGTGCGGCCATACTGTGCTCTGCGTGCCGCAGAAGAACGGCAACCGCGACTTTAGTTTGCTGATCTATGCGATGACCTACGGCGCGATCCCGCAGCAGGAGATGGCCATGGACACGAAACTGAAGCACGCGGGCCTGTCCATGACGACCGTCTCCACCAGAGATACGGTGTACGTCGTCAGCCGGAACCCCTACACGCGCTTGCTCTCGTTGTACCTGGATAAGGTCCTGCGGTGCTTCGGCGTCGGGGCGAATACCGGACGGAAGCGGCGGGTCAATTGTGATCATGATTTATTGAGCCAGTCGGGCGCCTTCCCCGACGAGATCGCGGACGTCGAACGTAAGCCAAAGAACGCGCCGTCGTTCGCCAAGTTCGTCACGCTCGTCGAGGAGGCCACGGAGCGGTACGACCTCTGCCAGGTCGACCACCACCTCTGCCTCCAGAGCCAGGGCTGCCTGCTGAACGGCGCGCGGCGGCTGCGCTTACTCCGCCTGGAGCATATGCAGAGCTGGTTCCCCTGCTTGAACCGGACGCTGGGCCTCACGTTCCTCGAGGACGACGGCTGGCGGCGCTGGAAGCGGCAGCCCTGCTTCTACGGCGACTGCGGCGGCGCGGAAGCCTCGAACGTCGGCGCGGTGCACCCGACGGGCGCGAGCGACCGCGTCGGCGAGTTCTACGACGACAAGACGGCGGCGGCGGCCCTTCGATTATACCGGGAGGACTTCGAGATCCTCGGGTACCCGACGGCGTTACCTAGTTAGTGTACTTCTGTTATTCTTCCTCTTCGTCAAAGTCGCCGTACGTTCGACAGAGATACGCGACGATGTCCGCGCTCTCGGCGAGCGCCTCGCCCGTGTTCGGATCCACCAGATACGGGCACTGCGACGAGCCCGCCAGCTTCGCCAGCACGTCCCGTCGCGGGCTGTCCTTCCCCGCGGAGTAGAGCCGGTACGGCAGATCGAGCTCGCAGAGGACCTCGCGCACCAGGCGGCAGAACTGGTTGCCCTCGTACGAGTAGAGCTCGAGGAGCTTCCGCGGCGGCTTAGCCAGCGCGCCCGCGGACACGGCGTCGCCGCGGCCCGGCCGGAACGCCGTCGCCGCCGCGGACGCGAGCACGCCGCCCTTCGGCGGGGTGAGCGTCGTCCCGCGCTTCTCCGCGAGGTAATCGACGATGTCCGCGCTCTCGTACAGGACAGTGTCCCCATCCACTAACAGGGGAAACTGCTCCTTGCCGCCGACCTTCCGCGCCTCGGCCCTATGCCTCGACCCGCGGCCGCACGGCTTCACGTCCACGACGAGGTCGAGCGCCGTGACCGCCTCGCGGACGAAGCGGCAGTAGGGGCAGGCCTCGAACTCGTAGAGCACGGGCGGCGTCTTGAACGCCGGGTACGCGGCCAGCCCCTCGACGACGGTCGTGCTCTTGCCCGCTGCCACGGGCATTCTCGCCATCGACGCGAGACCGCTGGCGGCGACGTCTGCAGCCTTGACGACGGGTGGCGCCAGGGCGGCGGCGTGGTTTTGGAGCAGTAGCAGCAGCGCTGCGACGCGTCTCATTGCTTGGGAGAGCTTAGTGGTTGCTGACGCTCTCTGCTGGACTTGGCACTATTGCCGCTGCAAGCGCTCGAGCCCTGCGGAACCTGCAGAGCCGCGACGATGCAGCAGTGGGCAAGGAATTGGGCAAACCTGTACAAATCTCGTACAAAATCGGGGGAAACCCGTTCGTAATAGCCGAGCTCGCCCCGACGCCGCCGCCGCATTCTTCTGAAACTTTTACGCCCCCAAGGGAAAGTATCTACTCGTCCCCGTCGTCCCCCAATAATGCTTCCATCATCGCGTCCGCCTCCTCGGCCTCGGCGTCCGGGTCGTAGTCCGGGTCCTGCTCGCCCTGCAGATTCTTGCGGTGCATCTCTTGTATTTTTTCGGCCTCTTCTTCCTCTTGCCTAGATTTGATCTCCTCGGCCGCCAATTCGGCCCACGACGGTCTTTTCACGAGATCAATATCGTCCTTCGACTGCTGACTAAAATCCGTGAGTAACTTCCCATCGTAGAGATCATCGATGAACTCCTTCTGCGCTTCGACGAACAAATCGAAATCGGTGGGTTGATTATAAGCCCACGCGAAAAACGCGACCGTGCCCATGAACAGCGCCGCCCGGTAGTATCTCTGACCCTTCGCGCCGGGGTCGAAGGAGTAGCCCGGCTTGAAGGACTCCGCAAATGTGAGGGACTCGTCGAACAAATTCGGCAGGATCCAGAATTCATACCCCAAAACCCAAAAGTTCATAAATAGTAACATCCGTAGCGTGCAGAAGATGCTCATGAAGATCAAGAACGTAACACTGAGGTACCAGAGATAAACTTTGAGGAAGTGGGGCCAGATCGGGAAGCACGTGCAGACGAGCATGCCTACGATGAGCAGCCCCGTCATGAAATTACTAAAGCCCTTCGAGCCCTCGTAGTCCCAGACATAGTAGTCCCGCGGCTCCCAGGTTTGTTTGGGTTCCCATTCTAATTGCCCTTTGCCTACTCGCGTCGCTCGGTGGATGTAGCCCGCGGCCATCATGCTTGTCACAACGTTTCTCGCCTCCTCCGTGTCCTTGGCGGTAAACGGCCGGCCCTTCTGCTTCTTCTTCTTCTTGCCATTATCGTCGTCGTCCAAGTCTCCCAGTAAGAATATGGTGAGCTTCTCGCCCCTGAAATACTCGACCCTCCGATCCGTGTCGTGCGCGTTCCTCAATCTCTCGATGCCGCTCCGCACCGGGAAGCCGTTTCTACAAAACTTGGCGATCTCCTCGAGTCCTTCGTCCGTGTCCCAGTCGGCCTGGGGCATGGTTGTCTTTGTGGCGCTAGCGGTCACGCGCGTGGCTCGTCGCTGCGTAGCTATCGGTGATGCGCGGCGGCGGTGCGGTACGCGTAGCTATCGCTGATGCGCGGCGGCGGCGCGGTGCGGCTGCGGCGTAGCTGTCGGTGATGCGCGGCGACGGCGCGGTGCGGCTGGCGCGGCGCCGGGTTACGGCTGGCTGTGGCGAAGGTTCCTCTACGTGGCTGGCGCGGCGCGTCGGCCTCGGTGGCGCACGCGGCGGATCGCTGCGCTGCTTGGCCGCGTTTACGGCGGCTGAGTCCGTGACTTGGTGACTCGCTGGCTTACGGAGCCTCTCCAAAGCAAGGTCAACCTCGAGGTGGCTAGCGTCCTGTAAGACACTAGAAAGCTTCGTCCCTCGTAGAATCAATCCTACGGCGGGCAAAAGGGTCACTTGTTCGCCAGGTGCCGTCAGCAGAGACGGTCGGCACCAGACGCGCCGCCGCGTGGGCCGCGTCGTGTTCCAACCAACGCCGTCGACCAGCGCCGCCATTCCCAAGGGGACGCATCCCAAACAGTCCCCAAGAAGGAGAAGAAACAATAAGTTAAACACTCGCCTTGCCGCTCTTCGGCGGCGGCAGCTTGTCCTGCAGCGCCGCCTCGTGCAGGTCCGCCTCGTGGAGCTCGTGCTCGGGGTCCAGACTAATCGTCAGCTCATCGTGCGGCGCCACGGCGTTCGCCACGGGCGTCTCGAGGTTGATGATCGTCCGATCTCTATCGATCATGATCCGGCACTTCGTCGCATCGACCGGGTCGTCGGGGTAGTTCTCGTTGAACTTCTTGACGTAGTACTTCAGGATTTTGGCGGCGGGCTTCGCGGCCCAGGACGCCGGTAGACTCATCTTCACGACGAAGACGCGCTTGTCCTCGTTATACCGGTCCTCGTCGAACTTGATCGTTACGGGGATGGGCTCGCCCATGGTCGCGCGCGCCCAGGTGCTCCTTTGTTGATTGGTTCCGATGGTTGCTTTTTTAATCCGCTGCTGCGGCTGGCTTTGATGGGTGTGCAGGGGCTCTCACGCGCTCGTGCGTTGCGCAGCGGTCTCAAACTCTTGCAAAACAGCGACAGTGGATGGCGTGAGCTTTGCTGCAAATGCTCGTTCGAAAAACGTCCCTAACTTATACGACCGCTGAGCAGTGGAAATCGCAGGGCTAGCGCAGATGCCCACTAGTCCGATAATCTCCAGCCGCGGGAATGGGGCAACAGGACGCACCACAAGAAGCACTCGATAATAAAAAACCGCTCTAAATTACCACAAGAAAAACAGCTACTACGACTCGCGCCCCTCGAGCACCGCCAGGGAGTCCGCGACGCCCTCGGCCTCGCACGCCGCCGCGCGCGCCGCGTCGCCCAGGAACCGCTTCGCCGCGGCGGCGCACTGCTCCGCGCGCTTGGGCGGCCCGGCGCGGGCGACGGCGCGCGCGCAGTGCTCGCGGAGCTGGCGCCGCGCCGCGTCGGCCGCGACGTCGTCCGCGAACAGCGGCGGCGCCTCGAGGTGGCGCGTCGCCGCGTTGATCGCCGACCCGAGGTGCGTCTTGCGGCCCGGGTCGTCGGCGAGCAAGGCTTGGAGCGCGAAGGCCGCCTTTGCCGCGAGGCGCGCGCCGTCCTTCGTGGCCGAGCGCAGGAGCGCGTACTTGAGCACCTCGCAGGCGTCTTTTTCTACGTAGCGCTTCTCCATGGGCGCGTTGCGCGTCGTCGCGCAGAGCGCGTGCAGCGCGCGCCGGCCCCAGCCGTCGTCCTCCCTGGCCGCGCTCCGCCGCCACGCCCCGAGCAGCGCGTCCACGGCCTGTTGGCCCGCGCCGTTCTGCACCTCGGCGTCGTTCGCGGTGGCCACGGCGACGACGCCGCACGCCGCCGCCGAGACGGCCGCGTCGTCCGCGTCGACCGCTTTCAGGACGAGGCCCAGCATCCCCACCTTCAGCAGGTCGCGCGCCGCGTCGAGGTCCTGGGCGTCGTCCTCGAGCTGCTCCAGCGCATCCACACACGCGTCCGCGTCGCCCGCGCCGTCCACATATTTCTGCACGGCTTCAAAGATCGCGCGCTGGCGCTCGGCGCCGTCCTCGCCCATCGCTTTTAAGGCACCTTCCAGAAACTTGCGCTTTTCCTCGCTCATGGGCCCCTGCGGCGACGCACTCGTGCCGTCGGAGCCCTGCGCCAGGCTCCAGCGCAACAAGCTCGACCACATTGGGTAGTCGGGGTGGGCCGCGGCGGCGCCGAGCTCGCTCATGGTGCAGTCCTGCGGCTGTGAGTGCACTGCTGCGGCTGTATATAATAAGAAGTCGAGGCATACTAGTATGTTACAACGCTAACACAATTGTCTCCCCTCAACTGGGGAGCTGCTGAAAGCTGCGGGAGCTGGGCAAGGGCATCGACCAGGGGTTGGGTTTCGTTGGATCTCAGCACTCACGCACTCACAGCCAAATCTCCAGCCAGGCCGGCCCACAGACACCCCTTGTCTACAGCTGTGAGAGGACGCTGTCAAAGATGAAGAACCAAGGCAAGACCCTCGAGCCCCTCGCGCGCAAGCTGCGACGCGGCGCCCCCGAGGGCGACGACGCGGCGGACGGCGCGAAGAGCCGGCTCCGCCTCCTCTCGGACGAGGTAGTGCGCGTCGTCGCATCGTATCTGCCCGCCGTGGAGACGCCCGGCGTGCGGCCGCCCGCCGCAATGTGCTTTCGGTGCGGCGGAGCAGAAGGGCAAGTAAGAAGGCTGCGGACCTGCGGCTGCGCCAGGGCGAGAACGTATTGCGACGGCTGTCACCAGGTTAGACAAACACACAGTCCACTTTTTGAGCCATGCGAAGCATCGTGTCAGATGCCGTCGTCGTACGTGCCATCGACGACGCTGCTGCGCTTCGTCCGGCGCGCCGCCGGTTCATCATTATCGAGGCGCGACCGCGACATGGCCGCGCTCGCGTTCGTGAAGCTGCGCCTGCTGGAGGCCGGGCGGGAGGTGTCGGCGGAGAGATGGCGCAACGTCCTCGGCGACGACTTCCGCCCCGCCCCGCGCACGTCGGCCTGGCTGCGGCGCTTCGGCCACACGGAAGCCGCGATCCGGTGGATCCAGCCCGGCGGCGCCAAGTTCGCGCAGTGGTTCCAGCGGGCGTCTCTGACGCAGCGGCGCACGCGCCGCGTGCCGGAGGACTACGCCACGGTCCAGATGGCCGTGTGGGCCGCGAACGCCGGCGACCGCGTCCTCGTGGCGCCCGGCACCTACAACGAAGCGGTCGAGGTGACCAAAGACGTCATCATCGAGCCGTCTAGCGGCCGGGCCACCATCCAGTCCGTCGAGGTGAGTTATGGCGTCCGGGACGAGCCCACGGTCTTCCTCGTCAACCTGGACGTCTACTGCCCGGCGTTTATCCGCGATCGCCCGGCGTGCAAGGTCGAGGGCGCGCGGCTCGTCATGGTCGACTGCCACGTGCGCTCGGCGTCGGTCTCCGGCGTCGTCGCGGAAGATGACTGGGCGCAACTGCGGCTCATTCGGTGCCTCCTCCACGACTGCGGCGAGTCGGGCGTCTTCGTGCGCGGCGCGAAGTGCGCGCTCGACGACTGTCGCTTCCTCCGGAACAAGGCGTCGGGCCTCTCGGCGCACGGCCGCGCCGAGGCCAGCGCTAGGGGGTGCCACTTCCTCGACAACAAGGAGAACGGCGTCCACGCGTCGAACGCGACGGTGACGCTGCGCCACTGTGTTGCGAACGGCAACGAACGGCGGTCCACTTTCGTGCAGCACGGCGGCCGCGTCGACGTCGACAAGACCTGTTCGCTCGCCGCGTCCGTCGGCGCCTACTGCATACGAAGCGGCAAGGGCGCGAATCGCACGCCCAGGACCGAGGCGCAGGCGCGGGCCGCCGCGGCGATACTGCCGCCGGCCGCGATGGCGCCGCCGCCGCCGGCCACCGCGCCGCCGCCCGGGGAACCCCCCCGCCGCTAAACGCCATTGATTGTCTTAATCACAAATCTCACGGAGTCCCGCCCCCGAACGCGAGCGCCTTCGCCGCCGCGGACGCGTCGAGGTCGACGAGGATGGCGGTCACGTTGTCGCGCGACCGCCGGCGCACGCACTCGGCGACGAGCGCGTCGCACTGCGCGTCGAGGCCCTCGACGCACGAGTCGAGGATGGCGCCGCACTCCTCGCCCGTCAGCACGTCCCAGAGGCCGTCGCACGCGAGGAGGACGCAGGACCGCTCGCCGCCGCGGCACTCCTGCAACGAGAGCGCGCGCGCGTCCGCCTCGCACGTCACGGCGCGCTCCGTCGCCGTCTTGAAGACGAAATCCCCTAAAGCGCGCGTCGTCTGGAGCGCGCCGTTCTCGACGACCGCGCCGTCGACCTTCCGCGCGACGCGCGGTGCGTCGTTCTCGCGCCGCAAGACCCCGAAGTTTTGTAAGGAGTCGATGCGCGCCGCCTCCGCCGGCGAGCCCGCGGTGTGGTCGGCCAGCGTCAGATCTTGGGACGACCACTTTCCCCCCTGCTTCCGGAGCAGCGCGCCGCGCGAGTCGCCCAGGTGGGCCACGACGACCTCGGTCCGCGTCACGAGACAGAGCAACGCCGTCGCGCCGCTCTCGTCCTCCGCCACCAAAGGCCCGGTCCCGCCGCGGCCGCTCCTTCTTGATTTAACGAGGCGCGGGTGCTGCTCGAGTTCCGCGTCTAGCGTCGCGAGTGCATTTTTCAGGGACGCCGCCGGGTCCTCACTCAGCTGCAGACACCGCTCAATGTTCGCCGCCGCGTAGTTCGCGACGAGCGACCCCCCGTGGCCGTCGAAGACGGCGTACAACGTCGCGCCGTCCAAGCGACAGACGCAGTGCGCGTCCTCCATGACGACGCGCCAGCCCGCCGTGCTCGACACGGCGTGCGCCGCGTGCGACTTTTCTGATCGCCGCGGGAGCACCGTCGCGTCGCCGGGCGAGAAGAGCGTCGCCTCCAAAGCGTCGCGTTTTTGCGCGTCCTTGACGCGCTCGGCGGCCCAGGCGCAGGGCGTCCGGCCGCTCATGTCCATGGGCGCGTTCTCCCCGACGGGGTCGTCCTGGGAGGCGCTCATGGCCTTGCGCAGCGCGTCGCAGCATCCGACGTGGCCCCGCTCGGCCGCGACGTGCAACGCCGTCCGCCCCGCCGTGTCGAGCGTCCACGGATCCAATGGAGACTCTTCGATGGCCAAGACGGCTTCGATGACGTGGAGCTGGCCGTGGAAGGCCGCCGCGTGGAGCACGGACGCCCCGTCGTACACCTTGGGCCCGCACCGCGTCGCTCTAGCCCTCAGCAGCGTCTCGTCCGCCTTGAGCCGTAATGCCAGCGCGTCCAGGGCCTTCGTGCCCTTGCGCACGCCGCACACGTCATCAAACAAACGCTGGATCCGGCGCCCCTCGGCGTTCGGCGACGCCACGGCCCGCGCCGTCTCCTCGCAGGCCTCCAGGACCTTCTCGACGGACGCCGCCGAGGCGTTCGACCCCGTCGAGAGCCGCTGCTGGTTGCGCCGCCGCGCGTCGTCGCGCTCGCTCCAGGCGCTGCCCGGCCGGAAGCGCACGGGGCTGCGCGGCCGCGGCGGCGTCGCGGGCGCGGGGCTGCGCGGCCGCGGCGGCGACCGCGGCCGCGGGGCCGCGCCCGCCGCCGCCGGCCGGGGCTTGAAGGCCGCCGCCACCTCCGCATCCGGCGCCGCCGTCGAAGCGACGGCGGCGCGGCGCGGCGACAGCTGGCTCGCGCCGACGACCCACGCGGTCGGCGACACGAGCGACACGGTCTTGGCCGCTGCTGCCGGTGGCGGCGCGGCGGTCAGGCGCGGCGGCGACTTTGCCGTCGCCGCGCAGGGCACGCACACGGTCGGCGGCGGCGGCGGGCGGCTCGCGTCCCCGGTCGTCGCGTCGTCCGCCGCTTCGAACGAGTACTGCTGCGGCGGTAGCGGCGGCGCTGATGTCGCGGCCGCCGCCGCTGCCTTGGGGTCCGGCGCCACGTACTGCGCGAGGCCGCTGAGCAGCGACGGCGCCGCTGTGTGCTCCTCCTCCGGCCCTTCCCCCGCCGGCAGCGGTGCGAGGATGTCGCCGGCTTTTAGGAAGAGATTGAACATCGTTCAGCCGCAGAGTCTTGCAAACGCAGCGATGAAACGAGCACTCAATATATTTAGTGCCGCGGCGCCGCGCGCACAGGCCACGGCGCTAGCGATTTGTGCACACACTAGCCCTCCGTGTGCGCCGTGTGCGCGCGAAATAAAAATCGCTCCGTTTCACACGTGGGGCTACGAGGGGTGTCCTTGGACCTCGAACGACTGCGCGCAGGCTTCACACACGGAAAAAAACGCGCGCGCGCATGATTTTAGCCAAAAGCGCTGCGATGCCTACGATCGGTCACGGCCGCCCGTAAACGCCGCGCGGACTCATTTCGCGCCACGGGACAGTTGCCGACCATACATACAACACGTCCGTTGCGCCAGCATGACTTATAACACTCTTTAGGACTCGCACACACCCATGCGCCGAGACGCGTTTTCGCACAAGTGCAGTGCGCGGATGAAAACCAGCCACTGATCGCTATGACGCGCTGTGGAGTCGCATCGCTCGCTATACGTGATCATGGCAACTGTGGTGCTCCGCCAAACTGGCGGAATCGATCGTCGCGGCTCGTGCGGTCGTCGGGTGGCCGTCCGCGAATGCGCGACCCGGCTCCCGTCCGCTCTAGGCCTACTAGGGAGGCCCTATGGGCGCGTCGGGTTGGGCTGTAGGGCGTTTGTTCCTTTCTGGGGCCGGGAGTGGCCAGTAGGTCCCATAGAAAGAGTCCCTGAGAAACCCGTTTAGTATATTTAAGAAATTGAATTTTAGGAAACAAAGGCGCTAAATGCCCCGACAGGCGGTTTCCGAGCCGATAGAAGCGCTCGCGACGCTCCACGAGTGCTGTGCGACCGCGCGCGTAGCGCGCATCCATCTGTTCGGCACTTTTGCGATTGCGCGTTCGTTCTCGACTCGATGCGCCGGGCCGGCACGGCTCACAAAATCCTTTGAAGTCGCGTCAGAGGTTTCGCTGCGTCCCAGAACTCACGCGAAACGATGCCGTGGGCCTCAAAGTTCGCAAAAACGGAAGGGCGTGAAAAATTGCATCTCGGCGATTCTCGGCGAACGCGTCTTTCGCGCACAGCGCGCGTCTAGAACCGTTTACAGCTAGAATTTTTGGCGTCGCGGCGCCCTAGGATGTCTGGCAGCTGCTGCGCGCGGTTGCAGCGCGCGAACGTAGAGTTCGCGGCCGTCGAAAGGCCTCGAGAGCAGTCGTGCCAAAATCCGTCCAAATCGCTAGCGCCGTGGCCTGTGCGGCTTCACATGAGGCCTGTGCTGCACACGCAAAAACACGGCTGGCGGCTCCGCTGCGCAGCTTCGCTGCTCCGCTTCGCTCGCCAACCGTGTTTTTGCGTGTGCAGCACATGGCCTCATGTGCAGCCCGGTGAGCTAGCGGCCTGTAAGACACTAGCGCCTAGCCGAGGGGTACGGGGGACTAGCACCGTAACATCGACTTAGCACCGTAGGGTACGGGGGACCCTGCGACGTAACTAGCCTTAGCCTGAGCCTAGCCTGAGCCTGAGCCTGAGCCTGTTATGAAAGAAGCGGCCCGCGCCCGCCGCCGATGAATCGGCGACGCGCGGTGTCTCCCCCCCAGGGGCTCCGCCCACTAGTCCCAGCACCGTAACATCGACTTAGTCGCGCGCCGATTACGCCGCGAGGCTTACTCAACAAAAAATTACGTGTTCTTCTCCGGACTCGTATCGACCACAACATCGACGACCTTCTCCTCCTCCGCGGGCGGCGGCGCCGGCGGCCGCAGCCGCGGGAACCCGCCCGGCGGCGGCCGCGGCGAGTAGATCTTCGTGCCGGGCGCCGCGAAGCCCAGCCTCGGCCGCCGCGCGAGCGCCCGTCGCGCCCGCCCCGCGGCGCGGAACGCCGCCTCGTCCGCGAGGCGGCGCTGCGTCTCGCGCGCCATGTACCCCTCGTCAACGACCACCAATTCCGACTCCCACCTGCCCACGCCGCACTCGTCCCGCAGGTAGGTCGCCACGGCGTCGCGGCCGTCGTAGAGCGCGACCTGCATGAGCGTCGTCTGGACGCGCCGCCCCGCGACGAGCTCGTGATCGATAAAACACGGCCGCCGCGCGTCCGCGCCGTGCTTCACTAAAACCTGGAGCGCTTCGAGGTGGCCCGCCCGCGCCGCGAAGAGCGACAGCGTGAAGCCGTTCCGGTGCAGCCGCTCGCAGTGGACGCCCGTCTCGAGGAGGAACGCGAGCGCGTCCGCCTTGCCGAGCGCCGCGGCGAGGTGCGCCGGCGCGAAGCCCCGCGTGTCCTCGGCGTCGACGTCGCCGTCGAACTCGTAGAGCGCTCGTAGGCCGTCCCGCGAGTCGATGGCCGCGCACCGGTGCGCCGCGCTCCTCCCGTGGACGTCCAACGCGTCCGGGGCCGCGCCCAGCCGCAGGAGGCACTTGAGGACGTCCAGCATGTCCGGACTATCGGCTGCGAAGTGCAGGGCCCGCTCGCCGTCGTCCGTCAGCGCCGCGTCGACGTCGAAGCCCAGCCGCTGCAGCCGACAGACGCGCCCCAGCTGCTTCTTCTGCAGCGCGTCCACGAAGTCGCTCAGATGCTCGTCGTCCGTCTTCGCCGGCGGGGCCGCGATCGCCGGTGCTTCCGGGAGCGGCCCCAGCTCCAGGGGCTCCGCCTTCGCCTCCTCGGCGCCCGCCTCCTCGTCGACGGTGTCCCCATCACTCTCGTCGCTGCTCGACTCGTACCGGAACTGGTGCGTGCGCAGCTGCTGCGCCGTCGCGGCCCAGGGGTAGCGCTCCCACTGGTTCGCGTCGTCGTCGTCTTGCTGGGCGGCCTTGTCTGCGTCCATCTGCTCGCTCCAGGCGCTGCCTAGCTGGCCGTGGCTATCGCCGCATGTCCTGCGCTCGCAACGTTTGAAAGGCTCCGATACCTTGCTACTGCGTGAGCTGGACCCTCAGGCAGGAGGAAGGAGGGGGACGAATTAGCGCACAGACATACTAGTAATAACAAACGCTCTCGCCGCCGATGAATCGGCGGTGCGCGTGTCTCCCCCCAAGGGGCTCCGCCCACTAGTCCTAGCACCGTAACAATATCACCCCGCGCCGGAGCAATCGACGCGCGGTGTCTCCTACCAGGCGCCCCGCCCACTAGTCCCGGCACCGCAACAATAGGAGCAATTGCGGGAGCCCTGAAGTTAAAGAAGACGGGTGTTACTGCCGGTAGAAAGAAAGCTCGGCGAAGAGGGCGCTCGGACCGAGTGCTCCACGTCGAGCGCCGATAAGCTTCCCCCCAGCTTCTAGATCCGAGGCTTGCTAGTGTCTTACAAACCGCTACGAGCTTGTAGACGCTGCCCGCCGCCGATGAATCGGCGACGCGCGGTGTCTCCCCCCCAGGGGCTCCGCCCACTAGTCCTAGCACCGTAACATCGACGAGCACGAGTACCACCCAGGAGGGACGAACAAGACTTAGAGAGATAGACTAGGGCGGCGAGATGAAGTTCCGGTCCGCGCGCGGCGGCTTGAGCGGCGTCGACGACGGGAGCGGCACGACCTCGTGCGCGAGGACGCGGTTCGTGGCCTCGCCTCCCGCCGCGTAGTCGAACCAGCCCTCGAAGCGCTCGCCCGCCAGGAAGCGCGGCAGCCAGAACGTGTCGTCGTGCCACATCTCCGCGTAGGGGATGGCGTCGACGTCGAACCAGCGCGGCGCCATCTCCTCCGTCTCGACCGGCTCGCCCGCGAAGCCCTCCGCCGCGAAGACGTGGACGCGCATGAGCTTGCCCGAGTCGCGGAACGTGAACAGCAGCTGCGCGCGCCACTCCATCCGCTCGGGCACGAGGCCGCTCTCCTCCTCCAATTCCCGCAACGCGCAGTCTCGAACGGTCTCGCCCGCGTCGAACTTCCCTCCAAAACCATTCCACTTGCCGACGCCGAAGCCGCGCTTCTTCATGCCCAGCAGGAGCTGGCGCTTGCCTTCGTGCGTGCGGAAGCACTCGACGAGCGTGTAGTCCTTGATGCTGCCGATCGCCTCGACGCCGTCCTCGCGCGTGCGCCGCCGGATCTTGTCGTAGAGCGGCGCGTCGGTGGCGAGCGGCAGCACCGAGTTGGCGGCGGCACGGGCGTCGGCGTAGGCGGCCATGGCGCTTTGTTGCTGCCGCGCTCTGCCGTGAATTGGCCGTCGATCACGGCAGCGAGCAGCTTCGCAGTGCCGAGATGTCGTGCGGGACAGCGCTCACGTGTAGTTAGCGCTACTGTGTTGACAACGTATGGCGGCGTTTTATCGAAGAGAGCGCGACTTTGGTTTGAGTTAGCTAGATGTAGTAAGACACTAGCAAGCACAGTCCTCCAGGGGCTCCGCCCACTAGTCCTAGCACCGTAACAATACTACTCACGAGAGCTACTGGATAATACAAGGCCCCCACCGTCGCGCCAGGCCCGGCGCCACTCGTAGGACCGTAACAGATCCCACGCACTCCAAGACGTCCAAAGTTTTAAAAGTTAGACGCGCCCCTTGGCCCCGGCGATAGACAGCACGCGCGTCGGGCCCGCCTTGGGCTTCGCGTGCGTTGACCGGAAGGGCGGCCGCTCCTTGAGGGACGGCGGCAGGTGCCGCGTCTTGATGGCGACGGGCTGCCGCCGCAGGGGCAGGGCCGCCCGCCGCCGCGCGACGTCGTCGTAGGGCTCCGGCAAGAGGTCGGGCACGGGGCAGAACATCTCGCCGCCCTTGACCGCCCGTCGGAACGGCCCGCTCCGCGTCCAGGGCCGCGTGTTGTCCTTCGCGTACAACGGCTTGTCGGTCTCGGGCTCGTTCTCCACCTTCCCGAAGGCCCGATTCGCGCACGTCGCGGAGGAGTAGGGCCGCGCCGAGCCGATCTTGGCGCACAGCTCCTTGTGGTGGTCCTGCTCCTTCTTGAGTTGGATGTCCGTGGCCTCGAAGGGATCCGTGGAGTAGGTCACCATGGGCTGGCCGGTGATCGTCTCGTTGCGGGAGCGACCCTTGGCCGTGCCCACGTTGCGCGGCGCGATCGTGTCCCGCCGCTTGACCGGGTCGTAGCCGCCCTCGGGCTTGTACTCGATACCCTTCCCGAAGGCCTCGGGCCGCTGCGACGCATACCGAAAACCCTCGGGCGTCCGAAACTTCTGTTTCGAGGCCTTGCGCACCTTGCCCATCATCTTGTCGTACTCCACATACGGCTCGCCCCCATAGGCGCCTCTATAATCACAGGGACCATCCCCAAAATTCGCCGCGGTCTTGCCCTTCTTGGACGAGCAGGTCACGAAGTTCCGGCTCTTGTCCCGCCACTTCGCGGGGAGGTGCGGCGGCTGGCGCCACTTGTCGCCCGTCGAGAGGAACGTCGGGGGGCTGAAGCAGTAGTCCATTTTATTCGCGGCGCGGTGGCCAGTCTCGGTGGTGCCTCGCGGCGCGTCGACGGCGTGTGCGAGGCCTGGCCGGCAAGGAGGCTCAGTTCGATCAGGGCGCTTGCGCGGGCTGCCCAAGCGCGGCACGGAGCTGTTTGTGGTCGCTCAAACGACCTCGGCCAGTCGTGTGGCCGGCTAGCGGCGGCGGCGCAGCGGAGAGCCTTGTAGCTTCGCGCTGTGTGAGTTTGTGTGCGTGAGATGAGGGGGGTTACGACGGACCATGGAGATTTGCCGACGCTCCAGGAGACGTGTGCGGCTGGGAAACGTCCCGAAGACGACTGCTTGCGACCGTCAGAAAAAAAAAATGTAAAACCCGTCCCGTTTTTAGCCAAAATCCAGTCGACGTGGCTAAAATCCACCTTGAAACGCCCCTTTGCAAGCCGCAAGGCTGTCGCAGCTTGTGCAAATTGCAGCACGAGCGAGCAGCGCGCGCACGGCCGCAATCCATCCGTAGCCCTTCGAGCAATGCAAGCTGCAATGCAGCGTGCGCTACTCGCAGCATGCGTCACCCGAGCAGTAGCACTCACGATGCCCTTCGCCACGCCCGCGACCTGGAAGGTGCACACGCTCGGCGGTCCGCGAGTGGCCAAGGTCGACGGCGCGTACACGCTGTTCTACCACTACCGGCCGCTCGAAGACAAGGACGACCCGGAGCTGCCGCCCCTCTCCACGGGTCGAATCGGCCGCGCGACGAGCCCGGACGGTCTAGAATGGGAGGTCCAGCACGACGGCCTGGGCGAGGGTGGCTCGAGCGTCTCGAAGGCGGAGGACTGGTTCCAGCACGACTGCGGCCACGTGGGCTGCGGCGACGTGTTGTCTGGAGACGCCTGGTTCCTGTACACCTACGGCGGGTCGAACGCGCCGATGGCGCTGCGGGATTTAGGCGTGGACAGGGACGGCGAGGTCTACGGCATGGACATGAAATTAGGTGTGTGCGTGTCCCAGGACGGCATCAAGTTCGGGAGGTTCGAGGGCGACGAGGCGGACGGGAGCCTGCTGGGGCCGCCGCCGGCCAATAGCTGGGAGCGGCGGAACGCGCCGGTCGCGTGGCCGGCGGTCTGCGAGGACCCCGGCGGCCAGACGGGCGACCTTCTCTTGTTCTACGGGACGACGCAGGACGCTACCGGTCTATCGGCGTGTGGCCTGGCGCGCTCGTCGAACGGCGTGACCTGGCGACGGGCGACGCCGGCGTCGCCGTGCATCGCGCCGGGCGACGACTGGGACGCGGGCGGCATCCTGCGGCGGAGCGTCCTGCGGCGCGGCCGGGAACTGCTCATGATCTACGAGGCCAAGTCCGCAGAGGGGGTCCACGCGTTCGGCCGCGCGACGTCCGATGATGCGGGCGTCACGTGGACCAAGACCGGGCGATGTTTTGAGAGGGGCGACACGTGGGACGCGCACGCCATCTCGGCGCCGCATCTTCTGGAAGAAGATGGTATTCTACGGCTGTACTACGCGGGGAGCGCCGAGGCCGGGGGAAGCGCCTCGCTGGGCGTCGCGGAGTCGTCGGACTACGGCGTGACGTGGACTAGGCTCTAAGAACAAATCACAATTTAGGAGAAGAGTGACGCCACGAGGGGCCAGCCGCCGTCGTCGACCCGCCGCGCCTCGACGCCGACGGACCGGTCGCCGACGAACCCAACGAAGTCCGAGACCGCCCGCAGGCACGCGTCGTCGGGCATGTCGTGGTGGCCGCAGCCCTCGAGCCAGACCGGCGCGTGCGGGTCGACCAGAAGGGGGTACAGGACGTCGTGGCTGTGCGCGAAGGGGACCATCTGGTCGTCGCGCCCGTGCATCAGCAACGACCGGCACGTCACGGAACTTATCTTCTCGTAGTTCCTAAACAAGTCGAAAGTGGATAATGCGCGCGCCGCGAAGGAAGGCATGACCACGAGTCCCGCGGACGCGATCGGCGACTGCAGGATCATGCCGCCCACCTGATGCCGGGCGCACAGGTCGACCGTCGGCCCGCTGCCGATCGACCGCCCATACGCAATGATCTGCTTCGGATCGATGCCGCAGTCCCTTGTCAAGTACGCGTACGCCGCGTCTATACATTCCATGCACCCCTGCTCCGACGGATCGCCCGACGCCAGGGAATAGCCCAAGTATTCGTACGCGAGCACGTCGGCGCCCGCGTACCTCGCGAGCGCCTCGACGAAGGGCAGGGCCAATCCGAGATCCTCCGCGTTCGCGTGACTGTAGAGTAGCGTCATGCGCCGCCTCCTCTTCGCCTTGGAGTGCACGTGGACACACGCCGTCGTCTCGCCGCTCGCCGTCCGCAATAGCACGAGGTCGCTCCGCCGCCGCAGCAGCGCGACGGACCAGGCCTTGTCCGGCACGGGGAAGGCCAAGGCATTGACGGCGCTTTGCATGGCTTCCGGTCGACGGTGTTCCGGCGACGGCGTCCGATGGGGTGCACGCGTGCGGCTCCCCCGCGGGACGAATGGCTGCCCGATGTGAGCTGGCCCAGGCAAACTTTTGGGTTCGGGGTCGGGTTTATTGCGACAAGGCAGCCCTCGCGGGGCGCCGGCACGGCTCGGGGGCCCTCGCGAGCTTTCATGATGCGCGCCGCGCGAACCGCCTGCGGCCCGAAGGCCGCGCTGTAGCTAGCAGCCCAGTTGGTTGGCGCCGCGCCATGACCACCGACGCGTGCACCCCATCGGAGGCCGACCTGCGCGCCGAGATCGCCAAGCTCGAGCTTGAACTCAAGGGCGTCACCGAGAAGGCTCGGCTATCGCAAGAAGCCCTTGACAGCGCGCGGTCCCAGGAGCCCACCGAGCCGAAGAAGAAGCCGCGGCGGCGCGGCGGGAAGAAGAAGAATAAAATGTCCGACGCCATCCAGGAGGCGCGCCAAGAAGTGCAGCGCTGCCCGCGGAACGCGCAGTGCCGCCTCGACCTGGCACGAGCGTACGAGGGCGAGGATAAATTCAGAGAGGCCTACGCCGAAGCGTCGGCGGCCAAGATCTTGATCCCGACTTATGGAAGGGCCTGGCGGCTGAAGCAGAAGCTCGAGAAGGTCATGGCCGAGAAAAACATCAGTTTTGAGGACGATGATAACTTATATTTGGATACGCCTCTGGATGCGAAAGTAGAGGATGATAATGAATTGCCGCCCGTCACGGCGGACACACCAGAGGAAGCTCGAGAAAAGGCCGCGGAGGAGAAGAAACAGGGCGACGCGCATTTTCTCGGAAAAAGACACGAACAAGCGTGTGAACGGTGGGGCCGCGCCATTGAATTGTTGAAGGCGCACGACATCACCGACGTGTCCGTGGCCAAGCTCTACTCGAATCGCGCCGCGGCTCACCTCGCGTTGAAAAAACATGTCCTGGCGGCGCGCGACGGAGCCTTGGCCGTCGAATGCGATGCAGGATGGTGGAAGGGCCACTGGTACTTCGGCCAGGCGACTTTGGAGCTCGTGAAGGCGTCGGCCGCGCAGCGCGGCGCGTGCACCTCGAATGGGGAAAGAGCCCAGGAGGCCTACCGGGCCTTCGTCCGGTGCGCCGGCGTCTGCCCCGCTTCCAAGAAGGACGAGGTGGAATTACTGGCGGCGACGACCCAACAAAAGATCTACGAGATGACGGAGCAGGAGGGCTGCGTGGTCTGCTAAGTAGGGCTTTTACTACTAGTGTTACGGGGCGAGGACTCGTGGCCCAGGGGGAGACATCGCGCGTCGTTTCGCATACTTGCTAGTGTCTTACAGGCGCTAGCTAAAGCCGGTAGCGTTGGCCCAAATCGGCCCCAGATCGTGGCCGGTCGCATCCAGGGGCTGCCCGCCGCAGGAAAACGCCTGCCAGCGACCGGGGGCAGCCCTTCCGTCTGCGAGCCTGGGGCAGAAGCTATCAGAGCCATGCTGGCCCAGCTGCCCTCGGCCCTTGAGGCTTTTGACGACGCGGGCAGCGTCTTCCTGCCGCCGGACCCGAACTTTCAGGATCATGACGACGACGACGATTCCTTCGCGTCCCAGGATACATTATTAGAGGACGCGCGCACGAAGCACAAGAGGTTGGCAAGGCAGCGCCTCGAGGCCGCGTCGAGGGACGCGAAGCCCGTGAAGACGATGCCGATGACGCAGCCTATTGTCGTCAAAACGCCGAAGAAAGTGCAGCCGCCGACGCCGTCTCCCTTAACACTCGACGCCGTCACAAAACTCGCGACGGCGGACGTAAGACGAGAGCTCGAGGCGCGAGGCCTCCGGAGCGCCGGGCCGCGGAGTATCGCCGTGGCTCGACTGAGGCACGCGCTCGAGCCCCAGCAACCGACCCAAAAGAAGAGCAGCGGCACCGGGACGGGCGTCTTCGACATCGCCGACTTTGCGATATCTCCGGACGCGGACCGCGTCGCGTTCGGCTCGACGATACGACTGAAAGTCAGTCCCGAGGAGCACGGCGCCGTGGAGTACTCGATCCAGTGCGCGAAACTTATAGGAGGGAGCAAACAACTCTATCAAGCGTGGGCGGCGCCGTCGTTGACCAAGGGCCAGACCTACGAGCACGTGTTCGACGATGTTGGTATTTACATTTTATCGGAACCGACGCACCGCTTCGAATGCCAGGTCGAGGTCTACGCCGTGACCGGGATGAAGGAGCTCCGCGAGGAGGCGAAGCGCCGGAAGGTCGAGGCGAAGCGGCGCCAGGTGTCCGAGGAAAAGGCGTCGCAGGAGAAGATGCGACGAGACGCCGAGGCGAAGCGACGGCAAGAAGAGGCGCAGCGCCTCGAGGCCGATGAGAGAGCCAGAGCCCAGGCCGAGGCCGAGAAGAACGACCCCAAACTAAGGAGGGAGGCCGAAGCGAGACGCGAGGAGGCCGTCTTCGCCTCGTCGCACCAGTGGAAGATGCGGCCGCGCACGTCGCACACGGGGACCGGTAGGCGGCGAAGATTGCACCAGCTCCTCGACGAGTCTCGCAACGAGCAGAAGCCGTCGCGGCCGTCCACATCTCATTTAGCGATGCCGGCGCCCGGCCAGCACAAGCCCATGTACGCCGATCAAAGACGACCGTCGACGTCGGCCATGCGGCCGGCGTCCTACGGCGCTTCCCTGAGGAGAGCGCCCCAGGTCCGCCACACGGCCGCCTCTATTTTAGCTCTGCCGGACCGCTGGGTGAACACCGACTTGTTAGATGATGAGAGTGATGAGGACATCGTGGCACCGCGACGGCAGGCGAAGAGCCAGATGGTCTTCGTAAAAAGTTCGGGCACGTACGAGCGACGGTTGACGAGGGCCGCCGTGTCGTCGTTCGCGCCGAAGGCGGCCAAGGCGCCTCCCAAAAAAGCTACGGTGATGGAGTTGAAAGCGCGCGCCGCCGCTGAGGCTTGTAGGGACCAGCCGAAGCGCCTCGGGGCGCCGGCCGACGACCCGGAGCCAATCACTCCGCAGCTTAGGGTGGGCGGTTCTGCGACAGAGCGGGCCACGGGCAAAGTATGTAGAGTCGTCGGCAAGAAGCAGGGCCTCTATCAAATCCAGTTCGCCGGCTCAAGTGCGACGCACGCGCGGCGCGCCGCGCAGCTCACGGCTACAATAGAAGAGGAGGCCGCCGCGCCTGTGACGCCGCCAAAACCACCCGCGCCGTCATTACCCCAGATTATCATAGAGGACAACGCCTGGGCGCCGCTTGACCTCATCGTGGCGCCGGGCGACGAGTGCGAGGTGCGGGTCCACGAGGACGAACCTAGATGTGTGGAATATCAAATCAAATGCGAGCGCATCCTGGACTACGTGCCGCCGCTGCACGTGGAGCTCTTCGAAACCAACATAATGACGGCCGGCGAGGTCTTTCGGTATGTGTTCAAGGAACAGGGCCGCTACGAAGTTTTTGACGTCGACGCGCCAGAAATACGCGGCGTCATTCACGTCACGACGCAGCCCGACCAAGTACAAGAACGACTAAAACGAGGGTCCTAGTAGCTTTTCTTCTCTTACACGCGACGCGATGAAAGGGGATGGGGTGCCCGCTTCTTGCGGGTAAAGGGGGAAATCTAGTCGAACGCCTCGCTCACGCACGCCCGCTGGATCTCGTCGAACGTGTCGCAGAGCTTGGCGTTCGCCGCCAGCTCGTTGGCGAGGTCGTCGCGCCGTTTTTCTAGAGCCGCTCGCGCTCTAGCCACATCAAAGAGGTCCGGGCAGCCCTCGCTCGAGTTGACCTCGTCGTCCAAGTGCTCCCGCAGATACAGGGGAAAGTCGTCGACGAACGGCATCAGGAAGAAGCAGTTGAACTTCACCGCGACCGTCCGCGCGAAGTGCTCGCGCCACGCCGCCGCGATGCGTCTAACCAGAGAGCCGACGACCTCGTGCGGCGGCGTGACCGGTGACAAGGAGCCAATCGGCGTCGCCAGCGTCTGCTTGAGCACGTCGACGTTGTCGTTCTGCTCGCCGAACGCGTCGCGCCAGTCGTCGACGATCGCGGCTTCCACGGCACTCTCGTCCCTGGCGCTGAACCATCTTCTAGCTTTGCTCTTTTTGGAAGAGCGGGGATTGTCCAAGGCCGACCGCGCCGCGGCCATGTCCGCCTGGACGTTCTGGGCCAAGTCAGGTGTGGGTTCTAGAGCAGCGGCCATCGACGACGTCGCATCCGACGAAGAAGCCAGATCCCAGGTCACGAAGCGCGTCATGGCCTCCAAATCGTCGCGACATCTCGCTACCGCCCGATCCGCAAGCTCCAAGACGTACTTGTCGTAGATCGACGCTACTAATCTCATCACAGCCTCGTACGGCCCGTCCGCTTCTTTCCTCAAAGTCGACGGCCCGCCGCGCGCTTCGCGCACGGCGTCGGACGTCGACGGCGCCGGCTCTTCCTCAGAAAAGACCCGACGCGACGGCGTGCCGCCCTGCAGCTCCATCATCCTTTCTAATGCAGGAGGCAGCCGCCGCATGACGTGCGACACGCGGTGCGCCAGCGTGCGCAGCTGCGGCTCGAAGCTTCGTCGCGCCTTGTCCACCGCGATCACGCAGGACGCCCTGACAAAATCCGCGCCGTCGTGCGCGTCGCCGACGCCCAGGGCATTCGCGATCTCGTCGCTGCCGACCGATGGTAATGATAAATGTCTCACGGCTAGAGCGAACTCCCGTAACGCGCGGCGGTACTGGGCGCCGCCATAAAGAGCAGCGTCGGCGTGGCCGACCGCACCGTCCAACGCTGTTTGACTTAACGTGAGCTCCATCGAGGCTTTGCCCTGTGCCACGTCGGGCTGCTGCACGAACGCCGCCGCCGCGGCCCGCACGCCTGGTGTTCTTCTACTGGAAGTGGTGGGGAAGAAGCCTCCCCTGAGAACGCGCTCACCACTGTCCTCCTCGACGTCCTCGTCCTCCTCGACGAGGGTCTCGACCGGCGCCAAGAACGCCCCACCGCTCACGCGTTCATCAGCCAACCGCTCGCCATAAATATTCGTCTCCGCCGCCACGGAACCCGCGACCGCCGCCCCCAGCGACCTACAGAACTTGTCCGCGACGGCCTCGGCGGACCTCCGCAACCGCTCCGGCGTCAATGCGGCCAATTCTTCGTCCGCCGCCTTCAGGGCCGCCTCCGTCGCCTGGCGCTCCTGGCGCAATAACGGCACGACGCGCGCCACGTTCGCGCGGTACTGGCGCTCGACATGCTTCTCGAGGAATCTGCGTAAAGCATGAACACCTAACCGGTCCTGCACGGTCCCAAAACCCTGGTGGCCCAGTTTCGCTCGCACCAAAGAAGCGTCCGCCCGTGCCGCCCGCGCGACGGCGGCTCTGAATTCGGCATCTTGCCGATAGGCCACACCATCATCAGCGGGAGCACCCGCAAACCAGGCCTCGTCGTCGTCCCTTCTCTCATAAACGTCTCCTTGTGAGCTGATTGGTGACGCTACTCTCCCACACGGCACGGACGTGAAGAAGGGTCCCGCGAGTAACCGAGGGTGGAGATCTTGTAAAACCCCGGCCCGCAGGAAGCGCATGATGTCCCTCGCGCCGCTGAACTGGACGAGTTTCGTATCTAATTTCGTGTTGACCACGACCGTTCGCGCCAGCGTCGGGTCCGCGTCGGCACAGAGTCGTCTAGCCGCCGACGCGAGGCCCCAATCATTGTGGTCATCAATACACAGCAGGATGGCGGACCGTTGTTTTGCTTTCGACAGAGCCAACTCATAAGCTTCTCGCGCTTGCAGCTTGAGGTTCCTTCTCGTAGGACTATCTCTGGCATCGTCGGCCTCGTCCGCGGCGGTCACGTCACCTACTAAGCCGGGCGTGTCCACTAAAACAAGGTTGGGACAATGTCTATATTCGACGCGAATGACGATCTCCCGCGCTTCGAAGCTTCTATGAGCGTCCCGCTCCAATCGTCGGTTCTCCTCCTCGATGAAGCGTCGCGCCTCCGCCAAGGTCGCTCGGCGCTCGTGGGGCGCGCCGTCGGCGACCGGCTCGCCGCCCACGAACCTTTCGTCCATGATGTACACGGCGGGCTCGTCGCAGGCCGCGTTGTAGTGCATCTGGAGGGCGATGGGCCTTCGTGTTCTCGTGCCGCCGCCGACCTCGTTAAACTGGAAGCCCATGAGCGCCTCGACGAGCGCGCTCTTCCCGGCGGACTGGGCGCCGACCACGACGACCGCGGGCACCTCGAAGGGCTTGCGGTAGGCGTTCGCGAGGCTGTGGAGGCTGTTGTAGGCTTCGTACCTGTGTGTTTTGGGGTCGTCGTCGTCGTGGAGCCCGACGGCGTGTTGACCCGCGCGCGGGGCGGGCGGGGCGGTACTGACAAGCGTTCTGTGTGCTGTGACACCGGTACTGACAAGCGCTCGCGATTCTCCGTGTCCACGGCGTCGCGGTCCGCTTCTCGCGCGCCGCCTTCGACGTTTATGGCGCGCGCGGCAAGCGGCGTCGGCCGCGCGACCCGCGCGCGCGGCGTGCGCGGCGCAGCGCACGCAACGGCTGCTAACAAGCTAACTCGCGCCCAGCGCGCGCGGCGCGTCTCCATATCTGTTTGTGGTGCAGTCAAGTACTGCTGGATGCGTACAGCGAACTCTGGGGCGCAGCGCGCCTTGCGCAATGCGCCTTATTAGGACGAACTGCCGCCGAGTGAAATTCTAGTGTGTCTATCAACTGTCACTCTACATTGTTCCGGAAACCCCCCAGCAGCCCTCGCCAGCGCTCCCCGAGCACCCCTGCCGACCCCGCGCAAAATTTGGCGCTCGAAGTCAGACATGCCACCGCGCGGAGCCACCACAAGTACAAGGAAGAGAGAAACACATTACAAACAGCTACTACCGCTCGCACAACCACGTCCGGTTGGCGCCGTCGCGCGCGTCCACGTTATCGCGCGCCTCCGCGACCGTTTCTTTATAAAGCTGGTCCGTCTCGTGGCTGCCGCGCCCCGTCGCCATCCAGCTCCGTTTGGACGAGGACCAGGGGTGCGGCGCGTGGACCAGGAACCCCAGCGGCAGCACCGCGAATACATACCCCGCGTACCGCAATCGAGCAATTTGCTCGATCTTGTTCTTGCCGTAGCCCGTGTACGACGCGTCGAAGCGCACGTCGGCGTTGTTCCGCAACACGACGTAGGGCTCGAAGCGCGCACTCTTAAAACATGCGATGCGCCGCGGTTCCACATAAGAAGCGAACGGTAACAAACCTTCGGGCAATTTGGGCGCGTCCTTGCCCGAGGGCTGGGCCTCGGCGGCGCGCACGCGGTCGGCGGCGCGGAAGGCGCGTGTTGACGCCGCTTTCGCCGTGGCCTCGACCCAGGCCGCCGTGTTTGTGGTTCCGTGCGCGTCGCGGTTCCACGTAAAATCAAACACGATGCACGCGACGGACGCCAGACAATCGAGGAGCTGGGCAAAGTTTTCGGGAATGAAGTCGGGTTTCGATAGTTCGCGCTTCCACCTTTTATCGGAATAGCCGCGCCAGTTGCCCTTCCTTTGGAACGCCGGGACCACCAACGCGCTTCGAGGGTGGTTTTTCAAATACAAAGATTGCGCCAGGATGGCCTCGTGCAGTTCCGTGGACGGGAAAAAATCCACGTCGACGACTAGGACGTGGGACGTCGTGACCGCGTTGAGCGCGGCGTTCCGCAGCGCGTTGATGGGGTAATTGCCAGCGTAGGAGAAGAGCTGCATCGTCGTTGTCGTTCCGAGAAGCAAGGCGCCTCTCCATCGTAAAGACTGGTCTATTTTGGCTCGTAGCACGGAAGCCGAGGGGTGCGGTTTTGATGAACCGCAGACCGCCTCCGTCGCGATAGACTGATCACCCACAACAGCCACAGAAATGGGGCCGCTCCAGCGCGCGCATAGGAAGCGCAGCAGCCAGACTCGATCAGACGAGGCCTGCGTCGCGAGCGTCGCGCCGATACCCTCAGTTGTTACTAGGGGCGCGGCGCCCTCGTCCATTTGTTGTTCCTCCTCGGGCAGCGTCGCCAGGGTGATGCTCGCGAAGACGACGGCCGCCAGGACTGTTAGCACGCAGCACAGCGCGCAGCGCCGCGGGCGCCGCCGCCGCCGTCGCGGCGACAGGGGCGTGTCCGCCTCCTCGACGTCGACGCTCGGCGACACCGTGTGGCGGTGGGAGAGCATCGGTGCTGCGCCGCGCGTCGTGTGAGTGTCGCAGCTCTTTTGATGTGCTGCACCAAATCTGGCTATGTGCGTGCGCGGCGGGCCTAGGTATGATGCGCCCTCCTCAAAATTATCCGAAACGATGCTAAATGTCTATGATGCAGTGATTTAAGCCACGCTACGGCCGCTTTCCCATCAAAATCGCGCCAAAAACCCGTCGTTCACTGCTTCGACGGGTCCCGGAGGAGCGGGAGCGACTAGGGGGTCGCGCGCCGTGTAAAACCCGAACCCGAACCTGCTTTGCAGAATTTACTCACCTCGGCGCAGGCGCCAAGGATGAAGCTCCCAGCAGCGGCGCGGCCAACGCCGGCGCCGCGGCGACGGCCTCGCGGAGCAAGGCCGGCGGGACCGCGCCGCAGAGCACGTCGACGCCGACGACGGCGCCGCCCGCCGCGACGGCGACCGCCACCATGGCGTCAGCGGGCTCGTCCGCCGTCGTGTCCGCGAGCAACGTTCCGCCGACCACCGCCAGCGTCACCACAACAGGACACTCATCCACAGATAAAGTGGTCGGCGGCGTCTCGGCGGGTAATAATGAGAAGGGGAGCGCCTCCGTCGTCTCGTCCGACGCCTCCAGGGCCTCCTCGGCCGCGGGCAGTTTGGTGGAGGCGAGCGCCGCTCTGATAGCACAAGACAGCGCCTCGCGCAGCCCGCCGTCGTCGCTTAGGATGATGCAATCAATCACAAGGTGCCAGCCGAGCTTCTCGCCGATCTTGGGGATCGCCGCGCGCCATGGTGTTAACCAGGCGTCGGCCTCGCGCGCGAGCCGTTCCTGCAGCGCGAGTTTGGCTCGGTCGTCGCCGGCCGCCCAGAGCGACGGCGAGCACTCGACCTCGACCCCACAAGCCGTGCCCTCGCCGATTTGAGCTGTGACGGCCGCGAGGCACTCGGTGCCGCCGCCCAACCCGCCGCCGACAACGCAACGGGCCGAGCCCCAGCACTGCACCAAGATATTTGTTTCTATATCAAATTCGCGCGCCTCGAGCGGCTGGCGGCCGTCGGAACGCATCGCTTTTTGCACGGGCTGTGGGGGCCGCAGTGTGGTTTGGCTGTGCACGTGCCGCCGCGCCTAGCGTGTGCCAGCAGCGCTTGCCCAGCTGACTGGGAAGGACGCCTAAGCCCAACGCAATCAAAATTTGATGCAAGTGGGTAGTTTTTGCGTGCTTTTTGCGCTTTTGCAAAGTCCTTGCTGACAACCCGCACGTTGCGGGTCCGCTTCCTTCGGTTTCCTCTGCACGGGTCCTGGCTGTCGCGAGCCGTTCACGGACGCTGCGACGGATCGCGGGGGACCGCGGCGCCGACAGCTGTGCTTAGCACTCTCCACCAAGTTGGCTAGAAAACGCGAGCGAGGCGCCGCGCACCCCGCTGTGCTGCTTCAAAGCTCTGTACTATATTGCATATTAATTTCCAAGCGAGAAAACCGCGTCTTTTACCTCGCCCGAGACAAGAAACGCAGCTTTTTACCAGCAGCCGAAGACGTCGTCAGACTGATCGCGCGAAGCCACTAGGAATCACGCGCAGGCCCAAAGTCAAGTCCCACAACACGATGGAAGAGCCTGGCATCGAGCCCGCCGCCAAGTCCGGACTCCGGCCGCGCCGCCGCCCGTCGGCCCGGGCGAGCGCCCGGCGTGGAACGCAACCGTCGCTTCGAAACTCACACGAAACACGCAGGCCACGGACAACTACCTCACGCCCGCCCAGCAGACGAACTTCAAGACGAGACCCACGACGCGACGACTCGTCAAGCCGCCCGACTACGCGGTGCCGTCGGACTGGCGCACGGAAGGTAGTAGATACCTGAGGCGGTGGGTCATCCGTTCAGTGGTGGGCTTGGACGGCATCCTCAAACCGCAACTCGGCTACATCGCGGCCTGGCTGAGCGCGAAGGAGAGCGACTTCCAGAACAGTCGCGGCCGGTCCGCCGGTCTTTATAGATGCGTCTACGTCGGTGGGGAATTAGATGGCGACGCCGAAGATTTAGAGTTGCACGAGACCACGGCGACGCTCTGGCAGCACGCCTGTGGCGGGTGCAACGCCTTCGCCGTGGATCCCGAGGTCCTGCGTCGCCACTGCGCGACCTGCAAAAGCTACAAGCGCAAGGTCGACGCCGACGCGGCGGCCGCGGCCGCGGCGCAGGCCGCGTTGGACCTGAAGAAGCGGCCCGCCGACGGCGGCGCGACGACGCGCGGGAAAGCTAGACGCGTCGAGGAGACGGCCCCGAAGGCGCCCCCGGGTCCTCTCCCCGGCGCACGCGCGGCGCCGTACCCGTTCCACGCCCTGCCCGGGGCCGCGGCGCCGCCGCCGCAGCGCAAGCTGACGATCCGCCTCCCGGCCGGCGCCGGCGCGGCGGCCGCGACGCCGCCCGTCGCGCCGGCGCAGCGCATGCCGCCGCGCGCGCCGCGCATCGGCGCCCAGTACCAGGCCGACACGGAGCTGCCCGAGCCCGAAACCGCGCCGCCGCCGCCCGTCGCCGTCGCCGCCGCGCGGACGCGCACGATGCCCCTCGTGCCGCGGCCGTCCTACGAGTTCGACGTGAGCGCCGGTTTGTCGATCGACATCGCGCTGAAGCGCGGCCGCGGCCTCGCGCCGCTCGTGCTGCGCCTCGGGCCGCGCGAGGCCGTCCTGTACCGCGCGGACCGCGACGGCGGCGCGGACCCGGAGCGCGTCGTCGCGCGCGCGGCGCTGCCGGCCCAGTAGGTGGCTCCCTGTCGTAATGATCACATACTTACATCAGTCGGCGCGGCGGGCCCGTCCTAGGGTCACACACGGGCCGCGCCGGCGGCGGCGGCGCGACGGGCCCGTCGCCCGCGAAGGCCGGCACCGTGTCTAGGAGCGACTCGACGTCCGCGTTGTCGTAGGAGGGCGCCAGGTCGGAGCCCACGCGGAAGAGCGTCTCGACGACCTCGCCGTGCTGGTACACTACGAGCGTCGGCAGCGTCTCGACGTCGTAGCCCTGGAGCGCCTCGCCCGCCTCGCCGAGCGCGAGGCCCAGGAAGCGGACGTCGCGCCGCCGCGCCGCCAGTGCCGCGAGCGCGCCGTTCAGGCGCCGGCAGGGCCCGTAGTTCGGCTCGTGCAGGTGCACGACCACGACCGCGTCCTTCGTGGCGAGGGCGTCGAGGTACTCCTGCTTGGAAGCGGTCGCGTTGAACGCGCCGAACGTGGGCGTGGCCTTCTCCGCTTTAAGCTCCGCGAGCCGCTTCTTCCGGTAGCTCTCCAGGAACTCGTCATCATCATCACTCTCCGACGACGCAGACTCGGTCCGCGCATCCGGATCTTTCCTAGGAGGCGGCGGCGGCGGTGGCGCGTCTCGGACGACGCCGGCAGCCACTTCCAGCATCTTCGCCTCCCGATCCACTTTATTCCACAGGATCTCGGCGCGCTGCATCTTCTTAAAATATCTGTACTGGGCCAGCGTCGCCTTGACGCCCGTCTTGCCCGCGGCGGCCGGCGCCTCGCCGTACCGCAGGGCCTCCGGGACCGCCCGCGATTCCTCCGGTTCCGGTTCCGGGTCGTCCGGCACCGACGCCGCGTCGTCCTCGTCGTCATCTCTCGTATCGTCGTCGTCGCTCGCCCAGGTGCCGTACCTGCCTGGTATGTTGCGGCGCAGCATTTTGTCCTCCAAGCCCCAGTCGCCCATGGTAGCGGCAGCCCTTTTGGGGGAGAGCAGCAACTGTACCGAGCAGCAAACGAGGAACAGCAATGAGGTGTGCGGGCAGCGCGACAAAAGGCGCAAGACGGAGGCGAGCTAGTGATAGTGTTACTAGTATTTTAGGAATTTCCTGACCTGGCGCTTCTCGACCACGTACCCCCCGCCCACGAGCCTGGCGAGCTGCGCCTTCAAAGCACACTGTTTCCGGGGCACCTTGGCGGTCAGGTCCTTCTTGGCCCGCAGTTTCGCCTTGCGACGCGGGCCGTCGCGCCGCCCGCCCGCGAAGTCGAGCACGACGCTCGCCATGGGCGCCTGGCCCGTACGCACGAGCCGATCGAGCACGACCGTCGCCTTCGGCGCGTCCTTGACCGGCGCGGCCCGGTCCTTGGCGCCGAGCAACAGATTGCGCTCGACCTCGCGGACGAGCGTGTCGCGTTTCTTGCGGCTATAGAGTATACACTTGCTGCACCCCCCTCTGTAAATGTTCTCTTCGGTCGCGGCTTCCGCGGTGTCGTCGTGCCATTTGTGGTGCTTCGCGCAGACCCATTCTCCGCAGCGCTCCCGCTTTAGAATTCCCTTGCGACAGGCTTCGCAGTACACGGGCTTGGGTACCTCATCGCAATGGCACGCGTCGTTCTCCCAATCGCATGGGCAGTCTCGATTGATCGCGCACTCGGTGCAGCCTTCCAGGCACTCCGGGCAGGCCCTCTTCCCGCACCCCGCGCATTCGCGGCGCTCTTCCAGATTATCGTCGATGTCCTCCGCGGTGTATGGATCTTGGCAGATCGGGCAACAGCTGGCAAGGTGCTGCTTCTGCTTCCACGCCGGCCAGTCCTCGAAGAGGCAAAGATTGTTGTCTAACGAGTTGCCTGAATGGTCCGAATGCTGCGAGTTGCTTGACCAGTCGGCCATCTGCGCTTGAATTCAATCTGTGCCGGCGCAAAAGATGGCTGCCTGCTGCAGCCGGTTGGGGGCCTAGTTCAAACTAGTGGCGCCCTGGGGGCTCTGCGGCGCGCAGCTCTGGCTAGTTGCGTGTCGCACTGACTGGGACCACGTGCTCGTGGCTGCCCAAAGTCCGTGCGCGGTTCGCGCTGCTCTAACGACTTGGGCGCCGCGTACTTGCTCTAGAGTGTCTTACAGGCCGCTAGTAATCGATGGTGATCGGTCTTTACACAAAAAGAGACTAGACGTCGTCGGCGTCGAGCACGACCTTCTCGAGCTCCTCGACCGGGTGCCGCCGCGGCGCGTCCAGGAGCGGCACCGCGCCAAGCGCGGCGCTGCGCCCGCGCTGCCGGCACGCGTCCGCGGCCTCCTTGCACTGCGCGGTACCCGACGCGATCAATTCCAGCACGGCGTCCTCGGGCCGCTGGTCGCCCGGCATGCCCGCCACGGCCCGCTTCGCCTGGACGAAGGCCGCCACCGCTTTCTTATATGATCCGTGGGCCGCGCGCCAGTCCTCTCTTGATTCGTGGTCTCTACCCTCAGCCGTGTGCCTTAAAGCGTCGTCCAACGATGCTTCGAGGCCGGCGAGCGTTTGGGGCCGCGACCGCTCGGCGTCCTCGGTGCGCTTCTCCTCCTGCGAGAGCTGGAGGGCCCGCTCTTCTTCCTCCCGCAGCCTCCTTTCATACTCCAAGTGGCGCTGCTGGTCCTGCTCTGCCGTCGACTGCGACACCTTCATGGCCTCTTCCACTGCTTTCGCCTCCTCGGCCTGGCAGGCCCGCTCTCGGTGTAATCTCTTAAAAAACCGCCTCAGACTCATAACCTCGGCGACCCACGCGTCCCGGTCCTCGTTCGTCGAACAGGCCAGCGTCAGCTTCATGTCCTTCGCCTCTTCTTCGATGGACGAGCCGAAGACACAAAATGCACCAATACGGCCGGCGGTCCTCTTGTCCCACGCGTCCGCGCGGCCCTCGCGCACATCAATGGACCCCTTCTCCCGCGATCCGACGGCGGCCCATCGTAAACACCCGTCCGCCCTTAAATCGACGTCCACCGCGCTCCACTGCGAGGCCCTTCCCACTTCACCTCGCTTATACATGCGCGCACTAATAACAGATAACCCATAGCGGTGGCGCACGCGCTGCAATAACAAAGCTTCCTGGCCCGCGTACTTCTTGAGCAGCGCTTCGACCTCTCCGGACGCGAGCTTCTCTGGATTCGCGCTCAGGTAGCACGCGCGGACGTCGTCCTGCGCCTTTCTTAGTTGATCGGGCGTGAGGCGCGGCGTCTGGGGTTCTTCCTCAGTGTCGTCGCTGGCGACGGTCCACTGGGACATGGTTGCGCGTGCGCTGGTCCTTGGTTTTGTAGGAGCTACTTGGCACAGAGCTGTGAAACTGTTGCTACAGGTTTCGTGCGCGGTTTTGATTCGCTGCCAAGCAGTTCGCTGTCTTCGGTCGTTTTACCTTGTGTCGTGACCCGCAAACGTGCCGCGCGAAGACGGCGTTTTTTGCGGCTTTTTCGCGGCGGAGAGGCCTTTTGTCCAAATACGGGGCCGCGAGCGCGACGAAGCGCTCCATCGCGCCCAGGGGAGCTGTGGTGTTCACCTCTCGCCCGAGGCATGGTGATGAGGCGGCGCCGGAACGCCACTGCCAGCAGCGCGGGATCGCGACGCGCGGTGTCTCCCCACCAGGGGCTCCGCCCACGAGTCCTAGCACCGTAACAATATAACCAAGAGAGACAAGCAGTGGGCAAGAACAGACTTAAGGGTGCCCGGAGGACGAACGAACGCGAAACGAGCGGGGCCGTCAGAAGTCGTAGATGTCGTCGTCGTCGTCGTCCGCAGCAGCAGCCCCGGGCGACGTCGAGTTCCGTTTTATCGCGCGCGCGACCTCCCACTGCGTGATTTTTTGCCGTAATTCCTTGTCGGGCTTCAATTGGGCGGCCGACAAGGGCTGGCCCGTCAAGGGGCAGACGCTTCCGTTCTTCGCGAACCACGCCTGGATGACCTTGGCCTCGACGACGTGGCCGTAGGGGCTCCGCATCGGTTCCCTCATCATCCGTTTTGAAATGGCACAAGCGAACTCTGCTGGTGTGTCTGCGTCCCACTGCTGCTGCGGCGTCGCCGGCTCGTCGTCGTCGTCGTCGTAATTCGGGGCTATCCTCCTTCGTTCGGCGGACGACGCGCCTTCCGACAATCGCCGATGCTCCTCCCGGTCGTGTGACCTTTGCGGCGTCAAGGACGGCAGCTCGCCGAGCATCGCGCCTTTGTGGAGGAACTGCGGTTCTTCGGGCAAATCAACAGCTCGTGCCACTTGGTTGATCGGTTTATTCGTGACGTCCACCAAGTTTTCGCGCTTGACGGCGATGCCCTTGCCATCTAGCAACACGGCGACCCTACCTGCGGGTACGCTCGATGGCGTTTCTATTATCTTCCCTCGCCTCCCGTTGAGTTCGCCCTTCTTCAAACCTACTAACTCCACCGGCGTGCCCACCGGGAAACCCTCATCCTCATCTTTGGACTCGGCCACCAAGGGCTGCACCTCGTCATCTGAAAAATCATTCCCGAGCAAGGCCCCGAACTGAAAGGCTAGACCGGGAGGGCAGTCCCTTTCCGGACACGCGTCGGGCCCACCTAATTCCTTCAACACATCTCTGACGGACGGCAGAGACGCGACGTGGAAGGGCACCGCGCCGCGCGCGTCCTTCTTCGTCGCGTTGGCCCCGTACACCAGTAATGTCCTAGCGACATCAACGTGATTATAAAACGCCGCTTCATGTAAAGGCGTCCAGCCCAGGTGATTTACGAGGTCTTTATCGGAACCGGCCTCCAGTAGCACTTTTACGATGTCCTCAAACCCGCACCGTGACGCCTCGCCTAGCGCCGACTGGGGGGGCGGCTTCGCCAGGGGAAAGGCCTTCGACGCCTCGACGTCCGGAATGTGGTCCAGCGTCTTGTTTCCCGTTAACAGCTTCCGGACAATGCCGTCGAAACCCCTGTGACAGGCTTCTAATAGTGGAGTCCAGCCCTGGTCATTTTTCGTGTTCACATCGGCACCGGCTTCGAGCAATGCCTCCACCAACGGTTCGACGCCATACGCGGCAGCCATGTGTAAGACGGTCCAACCCGAGGCGTACGCCCCGGGACCTCTCACCGTCTTCCTCTCCAGGGAAGCTTTCCTCTTCACTAATTCCTTCAGAATATCGAGAGCCGCGCCCATGGTCTGGTGGTTGTGGCAGCACGCGTGGAGCGGCGTCCAGCCGTCCTCGTTGGCTCTCTCCACATCATCCACCACAATGCGTTCTCCCGACACCGTGACGTGGAACCTCTCCGAGTAGTCGAAGGGCCGTTCTTCCTCCCGTTCCTCATTTTCTCGGTCTGCTAACAACCCGAGGTCGCTCCTTAACCTAGGCGCGTCGTCCGCGTGGAAGTCTTGGATGCGGTACATGTCCGGGAAGGACATGGACGATAAGGCTTGTCCTAGTAAATACGTGCAGGCCACGAGCTGCTCGAGCTCGCCGCCGTCGGCGCTGGCGCCGGCGCCCATCCTTCTCTTTGTGGCTTAATGGGTGTCCCGCGTCGCAGGCGTGCCGGGGGCAGCACCGGGCTGCGAGAGATGCGCCTCGGCGGCGTCCCCGGCCGCTGGAGGCTGAGTCTGGGGACGACTTTGGCAGCGCCTCCTCTTGGTTTTCTGGTAACCCGATTTGTTTTGAATTCCGGCACGGCTCCATGGATCGTATCGGCGCGCCCTGAGCCGCCCCTGCCGAGCCTCGGAGCCGGTGGGGAGAAAAACCCGCGGCTCTGTCGAGCTCAGAGCTGCTGAGAGGCTCTCAAGGCAAATGCTGCCCACACGTCGAAGGCGCAGCCCAAATGGCCGCGACGGACCCGCGTCGACGACGCCGCGCTAGCGTGAGCAGTGCTGCCGTCGCCGGTGACTAGTTCGACCGGTAGTGCTGCCCCCAGCTGGCTGCTGTAAATGCAGCGCGCGGTATTCATAGCCGCAGCGCTGGTGCAGGCGGGAGCAGCGGAGGACCCGTGGGCGGCGGACGCCCTCGGCCTCGTGGCGGGGGTGCCGGTCGTCGACTGGCGCGCGCCGCACCGGTTCGCCGCCGTCCGCGCGCACGAGGACGTGGCCGTGCGGTTCCGCGTGCGGAGCGCGGGGTCGCGGGCGGTGCTGCTGCAGGTCGACGGCCGGCGCGGCGCCGTGGTCTGCGAGAGCACGCCCTGCGACGGCCGGGCGACGCTCCAAGTGGTAGGGGGCGGCTGGCACGCGGCGGCGGTGTTGCTGGGGGAGCAGCACGAAGGCGGGTATACGAACATGACGGCCGCGGCGGCGCCGTTCTTCGTCAATGAGCCCCTCGAGGCGCCGGCGCCAGCGGAGCTCCCCGAGCCGTGCTCCACCAGGAGGACCGTCGTCCGCGCGATCGCGCACGACCGGCCCATGCAATTGCAGAACCTGCTGGAGAGCCTCGCGGCTGCGGAGTACGACGGAAATAACATCGATCTGGAGGTCCACGTCGACGGCGCGGCGTCGCCAGCGAGTATCAAGGGCCACGACGAAGCCGTAGAAGTCGCGCGCCGCTTCGCGTGGCCCCACGGTCGCTACGATGTTGTTGAACGGCGGGGCAACGCGGGCCCGACGCGCCACCGCTTCGAGAGCTATACGCCGCAGCACTGCGAGCTCGTCGCCTTCTTCGAGGACGACGTAATCGTGGCGCGGCTCTGGCACCGCTGGCTCCGCGCGGCCGACCGCACGGCCGGCGCCGACGTCGCCGGGTTTACCTTCCAGCGCCACTGGCTCGCGCCGGGGGCGTACCTGCGCGAGGCCCGGAGCGGGCCGCACGAATCAAAAGTCATCGGTCCCTTCGCGCACGCCTGGCGGTCGGAACACTGGGAGCAGTTCCTGGACTGGTTCGAGCGGAGTCCGTCGGCCGAGGTCCCGGGCCACTCCTTCAGCAACGCCTGGCTCGGGAAGCCGGACTTCGAACACAGCCTCTGGACGGCCTTCGTCGACCGCTGGGCCTGGGAGTATGGAAGATGGTTCGCGTCGCCGCCGACGCCGGACGGGTCGGCGCTGGCGCACAACGACGCGGGGCCCGGCCTGCACTACAAGTCGGCGAAGGGGTGGGATTCGGCGCCGTTCCCGGAACGCTGGGCGCCGCGGCTGCGGGCCGTGGTCGCGCCGCCGCGGCTCGACGCCGCCGGCGAGGCGCCGCTGCGACCGCCGTGGGCGGCGGCGCTGCGGAGTCTCCATCCCTGGGACGTGGTGGGAATTCGCGGTCAGTCTGCGAGATTGCTGGAGGCGTGCGCGACGGCGCCGGACGTCGTCGTCGACGACGTCGCGGGCGCGGGCGCGGCCATCGCAGTTATGACGTCGGCGCCGTGCCGCGTCGAAGGGTCCGCGAACGCCCCGACGCGACTCGTGCTGGGTACGCCGAAGAGTCCCGCGCTCGCCGCGGTTCTGCGGGACGCGGCGGCGGAAGGCTACGTCCTCGCGGCGAGCGACGCGCGCGGCGCCGAGGCGGCCTACGTCCTGCGGCCCCGCGACGCGGCGAACCCGCCCTCCGTCCTCGCGCGCCACCACGACGCGGACGGCGGCGTCGAGGAGCGCGTCTTGCTGGAGCGCTACGGCGTCGTCCAGGATCTGCGGACGGCTGCGTAAATGTGTTTTTGTTGCTAGTGTCTTACCGGCCGCTAGCTCGCAATATATAGCCACAGCACAAAAACAGGGGCTCAGCGTAAGCCATAGGCGTTCTGTTTCGTGCCGTTAAACGTCGATCGTGAACCGTACCACCGCAGCGCGTAAGTGGAGCGATCGAGCGGTGTCCTGCACAGACTGCCAGCAGTGCCAGGCTGTCGAGTGGCAGCACACGTCGTCGCTGCTCAACCAGCGTCGACCAAAACTGCCGCAGCACCGTGGTAAAGACAAATGACGGACGACCTCTGCGGCCACCTGCGCCTGAAGGGCGACGCCGCGAAGCTCCGGGGCCGGCGCATCGGCTGCGGCTTCGGGGCCGAGAGCCTCACGATCAAAGGCGAGGCGTCGACGTTCCTGGCCGTGCAGCGCTCTGCGTTCGGCGAAAACTGGCGACAGCGCGGGAACGTCTTGAAACCGACGCTGGTGCTGCGCGACGGGGCGTCCGAGACGGAGGTTAATGTCGACGAGCTGTTCCGCGGCGAGGCCTCGGTCGTCGAGGCGGCGCTCGACGACTCGGTGCGCTTCTGGATTGAATATATACCCGCGCCACCGGAGCCGCGGCGCGGCGACGTCGTCGAGCTCGAGCCGTGGTCCCACCACGGGGCGGTGGTCCCGCACAACAACGATGGGTTGGATTTCACCGTCGACGCCTGCGCCGACGGCCTCGTGCGGATCGCCTGGGTGGAACGGCCGGCCGCGATGTCCGACGACGACACTCCGTGGCAGTGCAACGTCACGCTCCCGCGGCCGGCGGTCCGCGTCGCGCGGCGGGACTCGTGGGCCGACACCCTGGCGCGGCCGGCGGCGGCGCTGCGCGAGACCGAGGCCGGGCGGCGCCTCGCGCCCGTCGCGGACGACGTCGCGACGGCGCTGGCGCCCGCCGTCGCCGCGTCGCGGCTGGCCTGGCGTTCCGTCGCCGCGGCCGCGACGGCGGCTGCGCGCGGAGACAGTGCCGCGCCGGGGCCGTACTCGTAACCTTGTTCTGTCTGTACTCATCCGTGCGCCCCGCACGGCACGCGCGCAGACATGGTGGGTCCAGCTCATAATTTGCAATTGACGTGCCGTCGTCTTGTCAGAACAGCCACGCAAGGCAGCCCACGCACGCGAACACAACCATGCGGCTGCTCCCATGCGTCCTCGCCACTGCGGCCGCAGCCAACGTTGACTGGGAGAGCATGCACCCCACCCCAGCACCAACCCCAAACACGCTGCCCGCGGCCGCCGGCGAGACAGTCACGTTCACCTGGACTGACACGCACGACGTTTGGCTGATGCCGGACCAGGCCGCCTACGATTCGTGCACCTTCACCAGCGCCACGGAGATTCACTCGACGTCGGTGAAGACCGGGGACGTGGCCGGGCTCGGCGAGACCAAGTACTACGCGTGCCACGTCGGCAGCCACTGCGAAAGCGGCCAAAAAATCGCGATCACCTGGGCCGGCACCGCCACGCCGGCGCCGACGCCTGCGCCCGGAAGCCCGACGCCCAGGCCGACGGCCTGCCCCGAAGCCCACGATCACTCGGACCACGACCACAGCAGGCGCCTCTCGATGACGTACGCCGGCGCCTGCCAAGACGGAGGCAACTACCCGCTCTACGCGACCGAGGCCGAGGCGAAGGCCGTCGACGGGAGCGACGGAACGGCGCACCAGATGGGCAACTACTGGATGCCCAACTGCCTCGAGCACTTTTACCACGGCGACTACTCGGGCGACGCGCCGACGTGCGGCGCCACGGAGTCCGACGCGGCAAGTACCTTAGGCGTCGGCGCGCTCGCCGCGCTCGCCGCCGCGCTGGTCTAGGACCACGCCCCTCGCTCAATATCGCTTGTAAGTCTATTTATTTTGAAACACAAGTTAGTTTAGCGCATGGTCCGCGCCGCGCACGCCTCGAGGCCCTTCCGCTGGCGCGCCCGCTCCCCGTCGAAGGCCGTCAGGAAACTCCGGAAGGCGTCCACGGCTCTATCTTCCGAGTCGTCGCCGGCCGGCGTCTCCGTGACCGTGGGCGCGAAGCGCACGCTCCGCGGCCGCGGCGCCTTGGCCGGCGCGGGCCACCACATGTCGTCGTCGTCGTCGTCGGACTCGTCGAAGGCGGGACGGGAGGCGCCCCAGGCCACGGGCGGCGCGTCGTCCGCCGCGGGCGTCTTCGGCCCGGATAGCGGCGCCGCGGGCGTCTGCGGTCCGAGCGGCGACACGGCGTTTGATCTATGGTAGGGCGTCCCGTTGGCGCCGTGCCAGGAGCCCCAGTCCCAGGCCGACGGCTCGGAGCCGGCGGGCGCCGGCGGCGCGACCGCGGCCGAGAAAGACGCGTGCTTCTTCGGCGAGAGGTCGAAGCTGACCCGTTTTGATGGCGAGACGCCCGGCGTCCGGAACCCGCCCGGCGTCATGCCCGCGGGGGCTCTTTCGGTAGCGTCCGGCCGCAGCGGTTGGAGGGGCGGCGGCCGCAACGACCTCTGAGGTGATAATTCTTCAATCAACCCGCTCATGATTTTTTTGAGGTTCGGGTCGTCCAACGACGCGAGCTGCTGCTTCGCTTGGGAGAGTAGAGCCTCCTTCGGCGAGGCATTCTGGGCCCGTCTCTCAGCTCTATACTTGCGCATGCCCTCCATCGCCTCCCGTTGCGCGGGGTGGAGCATCTTGTCCCAGTAGTCTCCTTTCTGTTTGCCGGCCATACGCTTCCTCTTATCGATAAGAGCCTGCTTGTTCTGCTTGTCGTACGTGTGGGCGGCCCGCTTGTACTTTGGGACGACCTCGGGACTATGCTTCGCCGCCGCCTGCCGCAGATCCTGCAGCGCCGCCTCGAGGTGGTTCGGGTACTTTTGGGCGTGGGGCTGCGCGTCCCAGGTCGGTTTGATGCGAGGCAGGGCGCGCTGCGGGCTCCGGCCGCGGCCGCGGCCGCGGCCGCGCCGCGGCGGCTGGCGTCTTTTTTTTCTCCGTTCGGGCGACGCGACGTACTGCTTCGACCAGGGCGGGCACTGGGCCTTGGCGCTGGGCTGCGGCGCCGTCGGCACGGCGTAGAGCTCGGCCGTGGTGGGCCTGCCCTGGTTGTAAGCCATGCCTATCGATGCCGCACGGCTGCCCGATTCATGCACTTCAGTAGGAACGGATCCGCCGTCTCATGTTGAATCGTCTCGTCGCCATTTCATGCGTGAACGCGCGGCGCCTGCATGCAGCGCGGCCAACCGATGCCCGTACCTTCCGGAAGCCCGCGAGAGCAGACGCGTGGCTCGCGAGGCGTCGGAGGAGCGCGCTGAAATCGCTGGAGAGCGGAATAGTAGAAGCTAGGAGAAAACGTGCGGGTTTGGAGTTTCTGCGGCTATTTTGCGCTCTGACCCGATTTGTGGGCCACCAGGGGACCCGGGGCGCCCGCCAGCCGCTGCGCGCTCTAGCTGTGACCCCGACAGCGGCTGCTGTGCGAAAAACCGGTATTAAAATGGCCCGCGGTGTGGCCCGCCGGTGACAATAACCGAGACTTTCTAAGTTGCACGCAGCGACATGGCTTCCCTCCTCCCTCCCACATTAGCCCCGGCCACGGCGCCGCCCGCGGAACGCCAGCACTCGGCGCTTGTCCTAGAGGAGCGCTTGAGGGCCATCGACGAGGGCGCCGCTCTAGATGATCGCGGCCTCGCCCCGATCCAAGAAGCGTCGACGCCCTCGAACTCCGAAACTGGAAGTTCACGAAGTTTACCGTCGCACCAGGAGGACACGAATCAAAGTGAAGGACTCCCGGAGCGCGAGGGGAGTCTGTGCCGGGGCTGCTTTGGGCGGGAAAAACCGGAGCCCCCCGCGGTCGACGCGCACGACCGGCCCCTCCGGAGAGATAGGAGGGAGATCCCGGATGATTTGGCCTCACTCCCGATCCGGGAAGCGAAGGAACGGTTGCTCGAAGCCTTACGCGAGGACGACGAGCCGCGGAGCGCGGGCGTCGTCCAGCGCGCCTCCACATTAGCTAGAGAGGCGTTGAAGGATTCCCAGGGCGACTCGAAGACGGACCCCGCGAAGCAGGCTTGTGGGCGGTGGCGCGCTTTGACAAGGGCGGAGTTCCCCGGCGCCGTCGGCAAGAACGAGCGCGGCGAGTACGAGTACGCGCTCGGGCGCATGTCCTTCGGTTTGTTCGACCCGGCGGATGTCGTCGTCGCCGTCGAGGACTGCGCGAATGTCATCGAGGTGCCGCGGACGAGACCGGTGGTGCCCAAAGCTCTAGTGGACGCTCGTATACGCGCTAGAAAGCCGCCCGTCGACGCTTCTGCTATAAGGTCCTACGACGTCGAGACGCGGTTTGTGGTGAGCGACCGGCGAGGGGCTGGTTTGAGAGGCCGCTTGTTGACGAAGGGGTTTTGTGTGGCGGCGCCGCGCGGCGCCCAAGCCCCGGACGCCGGTTCTCGTTTAGACGTGTGGTTCGTCGGCGGCACGGTCGAACCCATCTCCGACGACCCCGACCAGCTCCAGCGGTGGGAGGCGCTGTTCGGGGCCTCGGCGTTGCCGCCGCCGCCCTTACTGAAACGCGCGACGCGGTGGCTCCTGAAGGTGGCTTTAGGAATTGAGCTCGCCCCACCAACCGTCCAGGGCTTGCAAGCGTACGCCGTCGCGAAACCGATGCTGGGCTTCGTGGACGTGCTCTACGCCGACGACGGCCTCCGCGTGACGCGCGGCAACCGCGGCAGCCTCGTCGTGACGCAGCGCGTCCGGTAGGATCCGCGCGAGTTCATTTTCCACGCGGGGCCTAAGGCGGTGTCCATACTAGTAGTTACTCGTGCGCGCGGCCAGCCTTGCTTCTTCGTCCGCCAGCGCTCTCCGACGCGCCTCGGCCATCTCCTCCGCCAGCGCCCCCGAGGCCTGAGGATAGGACGGCTTCTGGAGCCCTCGCACGTCTCCCCCAGTAAGGATGTCGTAGCCCGCCCGCGACCCGCCGTTCTTCAGGAGGTTGGACGACCGCACCGCCGCGCGGTACCGCACCTTGTCGTCGTGGTAGCGTAGGCGCTCGCCGTCCAAACTGTCATGATATTGCAGGGTGACCATGTCAAACGGCACAGAAGACGCGTTCCGCTTGGCCTTGATGCCCGCCTGGCGCTCGGCGAGCCAGTTCGCCTCCTCGTTCGCTTTTTCCTGCTGGATGCGGGCCCAGCGCTGCTCCTCCGCCTTGGCCCTTTCTAGACGTGTATGCTCCCTCCGCAAATAATCCTGCTTGATTTTCGCGTCCCGCCTCAGCTTGTCCTCGCCCGCGACGTCCGTGTGGAACCGGTCCGAGTCGGCCATGAAGCCGGCCGCGTCCGGTCTCGGTACGACTAACCCGTCACTCGTGTCCGGGGCGTTTTCTCGATACATTTTAGCAGCTAATCCGGTGCGCTTCATCAGTCTGTCTTTCTCTAGAGCTACTTTATCTCTTAAAGCGGCTCTTTCTTGGCGCGTCTTGGGCTTGATGTTGCGGAAGGGGCTCGACGTCGGGCTGGCTGCTAGGATTGGCTGGGCCGGCGGCGTCGCGGGGCTCGTGTAGACCTTGGGCGTCCGGTGGGGCGAGCCCTCCATGGTGGTCCTGGGGCAGCCCCTCTGGGCAGCTTGCGAGTCGTTCTAGGGCGGGGTGGGGCAGCCCGGGGCAGCTTTGCGAGGCGTCCCTTTTCGGATCGGGCGGGGTGGCGTAAGGGCCACAGAGCCTGTCGATGGCGTTACTTGTCGGAGAGCAAAATTCCTAGTGCATCTCTCATCTAGCGTCGTGTCGAGGCCCGGGCCGCGCGGCGTGCAGTGCTGCCCCGACCAGCCGCAGCAATGCACCGGTGACGCCCTACTATGGCCGCGGGCAGCCCGCGCTAGTTTTACAGCAGCCATGCGCATCGGGCTGGCATTCGTGCTCCTCCTCGGCACGAGGGCCCAGCTCGAAATCCGAGTCGACGACCGCACCGTTATATATAATGGCGGCGCGAACTACACCGCTTCACTTCAATTCTGCGACCAGCACAACATTCCGGACGCGGACGCGTGCGCGTGGGATATACTGCAAACGAGCGGCGCCACCAATGGCCAACTGATCCAGGAGGCCTGGGCTTTATTACCAGACGCCTACGTTGACGTGAAACAAGCGCGCGCCACCGTATCCGAGCTGCAACGGCGCGTCTCCTCGTTGACACCGTTCGCGCTCGACGATGATAGCGTGCCCGTCCTCCAGCCGCACTGGCGGCTGGCCTTCTCCGGCGGTACTGGTGATGAAGTCTCGTCCATTTTACGAGGCTGGGGCCGCCTCTATTCGCATGCTTTGTTCCATGCGCTCGCGGAGCCTCACGTACGTCGCAGCAGACCTAAGGTTGGGTTCGCGTCCTCTTGGTTCTGCAACTCCGCTATTGGGCGGCTGTACACGGGATTACTGGAAAAGATCGATAAATCAAAGTTCGACGTCTACGTCTTCCACGTGCGGGAGCCCTCCGGGCGTTTAAAAAGAGACTTCTTCACGGACGCCATCGACGCGGTGAGTACTTCACAAGTGCTACCGAGGGATTTGAGTGAAGCCCGGGCCATCATCGCCTCAAGTCAATTGGATATTCTGGTGTTTACGGACATTGGGATGGAGCCTTTTACTTATGCTCTAGCTTTCAGTCGGTTCGCCCCGATACAATGCGTCTTCTGGGGCCACCCGACGACGTCCGGTATTCCCGGCCACGCGATTGATTATTACGTCGTCATGGACGCCGCCGAGGACGACCGAGGGTATTCTAGATATGCGGAGCAATTAGTACGATTAGATACATTAGGAGCGTTCTACTTCAGTAACGAGAGCGGCCAGTACCGTCCTTCGAAAAAACGCGAGGACTATGCGCAGGAAATGGATTTGCCTTCTTCAGGACATATCTACGCGATCCCGCAGCACTGCCTCAAGTTCCATCCAATGTTCGACGAGGCTTTGGTGAAAATTCTCGCGTTGGATCGGGACGCGATACTCGTCGTCAAGAACTGCAGTACGTCCATAAGAGTGGAGGAGCGTCTCGCGAAAAGCATTGATATTAGTGGAAGAATCATCCGCGTCCCGCAGCTCTCGCTCCAAGATTATGTGAGGCTCTTCGGCGGGTCGCAAGTCGCGCTCGAGACCTTCCCCTTTGGGGGGTCCATTACCTCGTTAGATGCGTTCGAGGGAGGCACGCCCGTCGTTTCTATGAAACAATTCCGAGGAAGGCCGGCGCTGACTGTCGCGCTCTACGACATCATGGACGTATCCTGCTGCGTAGCAGATGGAATAGACGACTACGTCCAAAGGGCCGTGCGCATCGCGTCGGATCCTTCCCTCCGGTCATCGATCCGCTCTTCATTGGATGCGGCGCGCTTCCGCCTCTACGAGTCCATTGACGCCGTGTTGGAGATCGAGGCCTTCTTCTCCAGAAGTCTTAAGTTGTTATAACATTACGCGCCTTACGAGAGCGCGAGAAAAGCCAAAGCCCCGAGCCCCAACACCCCAGCGGCCACCGCGGGCACGTTCACGCCACTCCCGTCTTCGAGCAGATCCTTCTTCTTGGAAGGCGCCTTCCGCGTCTCCCGCTTGCCGTAGACGACGAAGAACGGGTTCAGCGGGTGCTCCTTCCCGTAGACCACGGGCTTTCCCGCGTCGCACGCTTTCCCCCCATCAAACTGCAGCACCTCGCCGCCGGCGCACTCGACGATGGCCTGGGCCGCGCACGTGTCCCACTCGGACGTCGGCGCCAGCCGCGGGTACACGTGCGCGGCGCCCTCCGCGACCATCAGCAGTTTGAGAGAGGACCCTTTCGACAGCCGCTTGCAGTCCTTGTACTTCCCGATGAACGCTTCGGTTTCCTCCGAGCCGTGCGACGCGCTCGCGACGATGGTTAGGCCGGCGTCGGACTCGTCGAACGTTTTGCAGAAGATCGATTTATACGAATCATAGCCCAGGGGGTCGTCGATTTCTCGAACAGGCGGGCCCAGGCCCTTGACGCCCTTGTACATCACGGGACCGTCAGCGGCTGCAGGGACGTAGACGACACCCGCGAGAGGCGAATCGCCCGCAACGAGTCCAATGTTCACGGTAAATTGCCCATTCCGCTTGATGAACTCCTTCGTCCCATCCAACGGATCGACGCACCAGAAGTGCGTCCATTCATTTCTCTCCTCATGAGATGGGATCGGGTCCTCCTCGGACACGATCGGGATGCGCGGGTACTTCTTCCGTAGCGCGTCGCAAATAATTTTGTTGGCCGTCGTGTCCGCCTTCGTCAGCGGGCTGCCGTCGGCCTTGAAGTCGGCGATCTTCTTCCAGTCCGCCTCGCTCGTGCCATTGTAGATGGCCATAATAGCATCACCAGCTTCCTTGGCAATGGCGGCGACGTCATCTATGACAATATCCGTGGCGCCGGCCTTGAAGCGGCCGAAGGTGCTGTTATCCGCCTTCATCGCGCTGCGTTTGTGTGTTATCCTTCGATTGCGCAGAGATGTGGCCTCTCGACATCTCGATCGAAAATGGAACGAGGGCGCGGGGGCAGCCTCATCTACTTTCCGGCGAGGCGTCTTCACCATCGCTCATGGAGAGGAATGATGCGCGTTCATCAAATTGGTCGGGTTCAGCGGCGCGCGGCGCGCCCAAGCTCGCCTCGCATTGTATCGCACTGCCAGCGCCGGAGCGCGTCCGGGCAGCGCCTCCGGGCAGCGTTACGTGTGCCGCGTGTCGCCACGGGCACACCAACCCAACGTGCGACGCCACAGGGCAGCTTGGAAAGAGAGCCGCAGGGCAGCCCTCGGAAACAGCCATGGCGGCGCGCAGCGCGACGCCGGACTTCGGGGACGACGGCGTGGATGAGGTCGACGGCCGGTTTCCGGAGCCTGTTGCAGAGCCGCGATCCGATGCGGACGACCCGCCGGCGCTGACGTCCGGTTTCTTCGGGCGGCGCAAGGTCGTGCCGCCGATCGGTGAAGCGAAGACGCCAACTTCTACGAAGAGCCGGACGTCGCAAGCGGAGGAGAAGCTCGAGGAGATGCTCGAGTCAGGTAAGCACTTCCTCGAAGGATTGGGCACGGGACGGCACGGTGTCAAAAGGCAGGACACCCTCGACAAGAACTACTGGTTATCCCTAGAAGACGAGGCGTCCAAAAGCAAACAGTTCGGGAGCCACCCCGACTTAATACTAAAACAGAAGAACCGCAAGAAGTGCCGCCTGCGATCTATCGAGCAGTGCGAGTTCCCCAAATCACTCAAAGATAAGAATCTGTGGGTGTTGAATCCGCAGAATAGGTATTCCTGGGACTTGACGATTCTAGTGTTGATTATTCTGGTGATGGTCCTGGCGCCGTTTGAAATCGCGTTTGTCCGCGCGTCGGTCGGTTTCAACCGGAACGCATGTAATACGAACCACGCGGGCCCGGAGTGCCATAAAGGTTTTTTACATCCTGATAGAGTTGGCTTGTTCGTCGTGAACTTGTTTATTGATATATGTTTTGTGGCGGATATCTTTCTGACGCTGAATACGGCGTACTTCGATTCTGGTTCAGGTGACTGGGTCATCGACCACTGGCACATCTTCCTGAATTATCTGCGGAGCTGGCTGATCTTGGATATCCTGTCGGTGTTGCCGTGGGAGTTCATGCAGATCAACGGCAACGCGTCTGTTTTACGATTGGCGAAGTGCATGCGGTTGTTGAAATTACTACGGGTCCTGAAACAACCAAGAATCATGGCGCGGCTCAATCGCCATTGTACGATCCGGGCGGAGATGCTGACGGTTATGAAATACCTAACATTATTCATGTTCCAGATCCACTTTGGGGCGTGTATCCTACGAGCCATCGACGGCGAGGTCTTACGACAGAACTGCGACTTCCACGAGTACCGGGACATGCACATGCGCCACTTCGACGGGGCCAAACCAGGATTCGGGCGCGGATCCGACCACTGTCCCATGGATCTCGTGAAGGGCGAGTGTCCGGTGTCTTGTCCACTAACAGTTTTAGGATTCTACTGGAACCAGGGCATCTGGCCCCAGTACATCGGGGCCATAGCCTGGACGCTGGGCTGCATGCAGGGCGAGCTGAACGGGAATAACGTCGCGGAGCTATTACTGAATGTAGCTATGTCGATCGCGGGTATGATTATTTTGGCCTTTTTGGTGGGGGACTTGTGCAATGCGGTGAGTAACATGGATCCGGTCAAGAACGACTTTACCTTGGCCTTTGACTCGCTGAACAATTATATCGATGAAGTGAAACCACCACCATCCCTAAGATACAAATTACGGGAGTTCATGTCGCTGTCGGAGGTGGTCTTCCGGGAGGACTACCACCGAGGCTTACTCGAACGATTGAGTCCGGGATTGCTGTCGGTGGTAGCGCAACATAACCTGGCTGGTATTGTAGTGCAACTCCCATTCTACGTCGACACGTTACATAGAGCATATAACTTATTACCCACCGACCATCTGGTGCTGAAGGGCGGACGAAACGCGAAGTTAATAAAAATTATCCCCAAGATGCTCGCGCTGCAGGTCCATTTTGAGGGAGACAGTCAGTCACGTATGGTTAAAATGGAGATGGTCGATGGTACCAGATTTGTGGTCAAGTACCCGAGGAACGCCGACGACGTGCAGCACGACAAAGAAGATACGTTTAAGAAGCGGTGGGCCACTCTTATTAGAGTACATAGCAAATTCTTATTATGTGACGTCCTTTTTGACGAAAAGCTAGATGAGAACTTCAAGCGCTTCCAAACGATACCGATGAACTGGATCGACACGCACTCCTACGGCACGGCGCATTCGAAGGCGCGCATGGCCCGGGCCTTGTATGAAGAAAATAGGTTCGTCGTTGCGGTGACGCAAAGACTCACCACTCGACTCTACATGCCGAAAGATACATTGATACGAAATAATTGTTCCTTGGTGGACGAGATGTACGTCGTGCACAGTGGCAAGGCCATGACCTTTGGTAGACATACTGTGCAATTATTATCCATCAAGTTTAAAGGTGTTGATGATATAATGGGCGACGACATCTGTACCTTACTGGTGGGTGATCGCTTGCACCGTCGACGACACTTCACGGCGAAGGCCGAGTCCGTACTGCACGTCTTCGTGTTAAATGGAGACACGTTCTGCGAGATTGTGGAAAGCGGTAGTTTTGACGAATTCAGACTAGGAGTGAAGCGCTACGGCTGCTTCCTGCGCATCCAACGCGCCTTGATCATCCAGACGCGAGCGCGCATGGGCATGGGCGGCTGCACGTTAGCTAACTCGCATGCGATGACCTACGAAGAACAGGCGACCGAGGCCTTATCTCCTAGGTCAATGAGGCGGAACGCGAACCTCCATTTATCGCGGGACGAGGAGCAAGCTTTGGAAAGTGATAGAGTGTTGTCCGCGTTGCGAGACGTCCAGAGCGATCTCGCGAAGCTCGCGGCGGCGCCTGCTGCCGTTAGAAGGGCGTTTGCCGAGGACAACGGCGACTTGGCGGCCTTGGCGCCCGTGTTTGGGGATCTAAAACGGCGCGTCGTCGGCGCCCTCGCCAAAAAAGTGACGCAGGGCCGGCGGCAGCGCCTCTCCGTCGTCTCGCGGCAGGAGGAGCAGAACATCCAGCGCGCCGCGGGCTTCCGCCAGGCCGTGGTTTGAGAATTCCTACATCGTAATTCGACTTATCTTTACACAACTAATAGCCTTTTGCTAGCTCGTCGACCGCGACCGCCGCAAATAAACCTCCGGGGCTCCCCTGCTTGATCACGAGCAGCTCGTCGTCGAGGAACATGACGTCGAAGAACGCGGGGTTGCTCGCGGCGTCGCGCGGGTCCTCGTCGTCTCCTACACTAAATATCCGCCGCTGGACATCTAACCCAATTTGCGGCAGGTCCACCTTTGGTTTTGGTAGCCAGTCGGGCACCTCCTGGCCGAGGATCGCGAGCTGCTCGGCGCCGACGGATTCGAAGCTCAGGCCCACGCGCGTCGCCGAGCGTGGTCGGGCTCTCGTCTGGACACGCAGCCGCGTTGTCGTCGCGAGTTTCGAGGCGGCGTCTGGGGGCAGGTTCGCCAGCAACCTGCGTCGGGAGATATTCTCTCGAATGGGTGAGTCGTCGGCGACGTCAAGGGACCTCGTCGGACTCGCGGAAACGCACCGCGGGAACGAGTCGATCACGTTCACCACGACCGGCAGCTCGCGCGCGTCCTGGTAGATGCCTCCCAGCGAGGCGAGCGGGTTCGCGGCCAGCGTCGAGACGTCGGACGCGCTCGTGTAGACGAGTCGCCAGCATTTCCGCAGCGGCGCGTCGGCCGCGCCCTCCGCTAGACCCCGCGTCGGCTCGTCCGTCGGCGACAGCGGCGACAGCTCGTCGAGGAGCGCCTCGATTTCTTGTCTATCCGCCGGCGACGCCGCGAAACCGCGGTCCGCGGCGGCGCAGGCCGCGAAGAGCTTGGATTTGAGCGCTGCCACGTCTTTCGTCGGCGCCGCGGCGGCCGCTGGTGGTTCCTCGATGTCGTACGGCGCTGAGCTTTCCGCCCCTCCCTCGACGTCGTAGGACGATGATCTGACAACCACGAAGCGGCCTGTGCTCAAAATGCCGGCGCGCTTTGTGCTGGCAGTGCTGGTGTGTTTTGTGCTGGGGGGCGCGAGCGCCTTTGCAGCAGCCAGAACGATGATGAGGCGCATAGCTGATTATTTTCAGCTATAAAGTCGAGCCGTTAGCGATCAATAGGCCTCGTGAAACGAGGATACAAAGGCAGCACGCAGCTCGCTAGTGTGTTACATGCCGCTAGCTAAAGCTAAGGCTGCACGCTCAAAAGCAGCAGCACGGATCATAATTGATGGTCAAAGCGAGGCCAAGACTCACCCAGCGAGCCTTTCTGGCCGGCTGCCTAGTACTAGTGCCTCTGCTGCCTCTTGCACTGATGCAGGGCAAGGCTGCGCCAAAAGAGGTGATCTGGGGCATCATCGGCTGCGGCGATGTGGTAGAAAAGAAATCAGGACCGGCGCTACAAAATGCACCGCGGAGTCGTGTCGCGGCAACGATGCGTCGAGACAAGGCCAAGGCCGAAGACTTCGCGCGGCGCCACGGCATCCCGAGAGCCTACGACGACGTCGACGCATTGCTCGCGGACCCCGAGATCAATGCGGTATACATCGCCACGCCGCCGGGGTCGCACTTGGAAATCGCTCTGAAGGTTGCCGCGGCCGGCTACCCGCTCTACGTCGAGAAGCCGGCCGCTCGCACCGCGAAGGAGTGCGAGACGATGGAGAGGGCTTTCTCGAAGCTGCCGCTCTTCGTAGCTTATTACCGCCGCGCGTACCCGCGTTACGTGGCGCTCCGCGACGCGCTCCGCGGAGGCCGCCTCGGCACTATTCAGAGCGTCTCCTACGTCTTCGCCCGGCGGCCGGCGCCGCCGCGCGCCGGCGACTGGCGCCACGACGCGGAGCGCAGCGGTGGTGGTAGGTTTGTCGACATCGGCTCGCACGCGTTGGATCTCATCGACTTCCTGCTGGGGCCGCTCGAGCGCGTCCGCGCGTCGGCGACCGGGCCCGCGGGGCAGGTTGAGACGCGCGTCGAGATGCACTTCCGCATCGTCGGAACTAGCATCGATGGCACGGCGACGTGGGATTTCGAGGCGTCGGAGGCCGAGGATCTGCTCATTATTTCGGGTTCGGAGGGCTCCGTGCGCGTGCCAGCAGCGATGAATGGCCGCGAACTGGTGTGGCCGGACGGCGTCGAGAGCTACGACCCGCCTGACCCGGTCCAGCTACCGCTCGTCACAAAAGTGGTGGACGCGATCCTCGACGGCTCGGAGTGCCCGTCGACAGCAAGTTCATCGACGCGGACGTCGCGCGCCATCGACGCCGCCCTTGGTCATTATTACGGGGGGCGAAGTGACGCGTTCTGGGCGCGGCCCGAGACGTGGAATGTTGTGTAAGAACTATGTCTTAACCCCCGTCATGGACGGCCCGTCCCACGTGACGACGCAGCCGCCCGTCGGCGACTCTAATGAATCATCGCAGCTCGCGTCCGCGTCGTTGTCGAAGGCCGGCTGGCCCGTCGACCGCACGAGATCGCCGAAAATGCGCCCCGTGACCGCGCAGACCGCCGCGCGGTTCGCAAAATCTTGGAGAGGGATCTCGACGTAGTGCGTGTTCACCGTGCCGACCGCGAAGGCCGTACTACCGCCAAGCGCGCCGTGCGCCGCGTGCTGCGCCAGTCGCGAACAAAAAATCGTGTCCGCCGCGTTCGAAGGGGCGGAGCGAACGGCGTAGCTCGGGTCCACGTATTTTAAGGAGATTGATTCGAGGTTTGCCTTCAGTTGCGCACACAACCACGGCCCGACGTCCCCGTCGACCGTGACGGGACCGTTTCCGTCGATGACACGCGTGTTGACGCCCTCGGCCACGACGAGAATGCAGTGGTCCTTCTCGTCCAGCTTCTCGTTCACGTACCGTAACAACGCGTCCACCGAGAACGACTTCTCGGGCACGAGGCACGCGTCCACATCCCCCGGCGCCGCCAAGCAAGCGTGCACCGCCAGGAAGCCCGCGTCGCGGCCCATGAGCCGGACGACGCCCACGCCTCGCCTGTGCGGAAATCAATCAGTGCGTCGGGTGCTCAGGCGGAGGACGAAGCGACGATTCTCAGATTTCCACACGGCGCCCCGCGGGAAGCTTCTAGCTTCGACGGACGCGACGTCAATAAACCTTTTCGCCTCCGTCACGGCCGTGTCGAACCCAAAGCTCCGGTCGATGAGCGGGATGTCGTTATCAATAGTCTTCGGCACGACGGCGACCCGACACTTCGAGTCTCGTTTCTGGAGTTCTTCGGACAGCGCCGCGGCGCCGCGCATCGTTCCGTCACCACCCACGACAAACAAGCAGTCCAGCGCCTCGCGCTCGACGGCGTCCGCTAGTTGTGCAGCAGGTATCTTCGGCCTCGAGGTGCCTAGTAGCGTACCTCCTTCTGCGTAGACGTTCTTTTTTCGCAGGACGCGGGCCAAGTCTACGCGTTTGCCCTGGGCCAGCCCTTCGTACCCGCCCTCGAAGCCCCAGACCCTCTCGACAAAGTACTGCATTGAAAGGCAGCGATACAATTCTTGCACAACGGTATTAAGTCCAGGGCAAAGGCCCCCACACGTCACAATACCACAGGTCTGAGCGGGTATTATCTCGCTTCGCGGGCCCGCCGCCGCGTAGGCCCGATCAATCAAATCGCCCTTTTCCGTCGCTGCGGATGCCAGGACTGCCGCGCCGTCGCCGACGAACGCCGTGTCGGAGCTGAGCGGGCTCGGCACTTTTGGACCATCGACTTTGTGCGGCTTGTGGACTGTGAGTGCGACACATAACTCGGCATCTTCGTCGCCGGCGTGCAGTCTTACGCGTGTGCGCAGCGGCCTGCTCGGGAGCTGCAGGGCTGTGGTGCAGCAGAGTGCTGCGAGGCGCCACATTGGTGCACGGCTTTCGCGGTCGTGCGCAGCGACCAAAAAGTCGTCTTTTTGGAGCTGCCTTGGCGGCCTTATAGCTGCGGTTCGCGACGGAAAGGTGGAGCTTGTCTTTGCTAGTGTCTTACAAACGCTAGCTAGAAGCCGCCGCAGGGCGCGTACCTCTGAGCGTGTGCCCACTAAAATAAGTTCGCACAATCTGGCTGCTCGTTTTTCGCTGGGCCGTCCATATATTAGCGCCTCACAAGCTGCTCTCTGAGTGCCTGACCCTCAGGCTGCTCTCTTGCTCTGACCCTAAGCTGCTGCTTCCTTGAGCTGACCTATGGCAGCACCACCCATAATATCTGCCGCACGCGGCGCTGACGTCGAGACGCTCCGACGATTGCTTGCGGAAGGTGTGTCGCCAGATGAAATAACGTGGGGTTTCGGTAGAACGCCTCTTCATTGGTTGTGCAATCCCGACACCTTCAACCCGGTTATTTCCGTGAGTCCTAGTGAGGTCAGTGACTTCGTGACCTGCTTCAAGCTCCTTCGCGAAGCCGGTGCAAATTTGGAAGCGGTCGATGGTTGGGGGTACACACCACTTCAATGTGCGGCTTACAGTGAATTCCCCGAGTTGTTATCGTTGCTAGTTCAAGCCCGCGTTAATTTGGATGCGAGAAGTAACGTTGGTACCACAGCGCTGCACCGTGCAGCACGTGTGTCAGATAAGAGGGCCGAAGATTGCGTCGACGTTCTCCTGGCCGGCGGTGCTTCCGTGAACGCAAGAGATAGCTCCGGAGAGACACCTCTCGACGTGGCACTCTCACATCATTGTCGCCGTGTGTGGCCTTTATTACTCCGCGCGGGCGCTGAGATCCCCACGAACAACACGCACCCGTACATCGTACGAGTCAGAAACGCCGGCAGCTTCAAGAAATACGCGCAAGCCCACCTGGCGAGGGTCGCGAAAACTGTCGAGTCGAAGCTCGGCCTCCCCGCCCGGCCCGCGCGCCTCGTCGTCGAGTTCTGGCATCACGCGGGCTACTACTGAGTAATTTCACATGTTTCACACATTACCCTCCGCTCACGACGCAGCACGGGCACCCCTGGGGGTGCTCCGCCGCCGCGCGCTTCTCCGCCTCGGCGCGCTCTCGTACCGAAACGACGTGCGCCAAAATCTCCTCCGTCATGCGGATCGTCTCGCGGAGCTCGTCGAACTTCCCCTCGAGGAGCTTCTCCTGGTCCGGCGTCAGGTCGCCGTGCTCCCGCTTCAACGCCATGGCCCTTGCTAAATTCGCGCCGTACTGCTGGAGGTTCCTTCTTAAAGTCGCCTCGTCCGGCAGGTCGGGCTTCGGCTTCGGGGCCGGGGCCCAGCCCGCGCCGGGCGCCTCGGGCTTCTTCGAAGGTGGTGGCGGCTTCGGCCTTTTACGCCGCTTCGGTCGCTTCTCAATGAGCCGCCGCTTGCGGCCCGCCTCGCCAATAATCATAGCTATCGCGAGCGTCGTCAAAGCCAGCAGACCGTGCGCCGCCTGCGTCCGGCGCGGCGACCACCTTCCCACATCCTCCATCATGTCAGAGAGCCACCGTGTGGGTGAGGTCGCATAGTACACGCACCCGTCGAGCACTTGTTCGAGCGTCGGGGGCCAGGGCGCGTCGTCCGTCGCCTGGGTCCGCTTCCAGAGGAAGTACCACGTAATCAAAGCCGTGACCACTCTTGTGAAGAGCTTGCGTTTCCTTCTGCCCTTGCCGTGGACGCTGCCGCTCAGCATACTGGCTGGCATGGTGCCGGGGGCCCGCGGGGCAGCCTTCTTTGGTGGTCGACGGGGTCCCGGGCGGGGCGAAGGGATCCAAGGCCGCGTCGCCGGGCGTCGGATGGCACAAATTAGCGCGCAGCGCCTTGGAAAGACGCTGCCTTGCTAGTGTCTTACAGACCGCTAGCGCGATTAATTTTGCGGCAGCACCGCTCATGCCGAGGCTCTAATCGAGCGCATCACGCGGTTGCGTAGGCTCAGCAGCGCGTGCGGGACAGCATCGATCACCGGCGTCGCGCCTGAATCGAAATTGTTGACTGAAACGAGTGCCCAGGAGCTCAAATCAGGAGGGTCAGTCACAGCGGTTGCGCGCGAATACGAATGGCCACCATCGACCTCACACTCTCGGACGACGAGACGCAGCGCCCGCCGGCGCCGGCGCCGGCCGCGCCGCCGCCGCGGCGCCGGAAACGCGACGTCCTCGACAGCAGCTCCTCGGACGGCGAGGCGCCGGCGCCGGCCCCGGCTGCGCCGAGACGTAAAAAACGCGACGTCCTCGACAGCAGCGACGACGACGAGGCCGCGCCCGCGCCCGCGCCGGACGACGAGGCCGCGGCGACGGCGCGCGCCGCCGCGAACCTGAAGCGCGCCCTCGCCAAGCCCCAGGACCTCACGCTCTCGTCCGACGACGAAGAGCAGCAGCCGAAAAAGAAGCCGAAGACGGCCGAGCCCGCCGAGCCCGAGAACGTCGTGAGCCGCAAGACCGTCGAGGGGGCGATTACGGCGGCCGCGAAGTGGCGCGGCGCCCACACGCGTATTTCCGGAGGCGACGACGTCGACGAGGACGAGGACGTCGCGAAGGCCAGGCGGTTGATGAGAACGACGCAGTCTTATGAAGATGTCGAGTTCCCCGCATCGATCCGGTCCCTGAAGGGCAACGAGCACGAGCAGCCGCCGCCTCCCTCAGATCCGTCGCAGCCGCCGTCGTGCTCCTGCGGCCATCGAGCCGGGAAGTCCACCGTAAAAAAGGAGGATTCGGAGAACAAAGGACGGCCCTACTGGCATTGCGCGAATCGTAGGTGTGGTTTATTCCAGTGGGCCGACCGCCCGCCGCCGAAGCCGCTGACCTGGGCGCGCATGGACGCGAGCGTGCCCGTCGTGACGGACGCCGGTTTTTCTGCGGATGACCTCGCCCAGGGCGGTTTAGGGGACTGCTGGTTCCTCGCGGCGTTGTCCGTGGTGGCCGAGCGCCACGATTTGATTGCGCGGTTATTTGTGGAGACACCTAGGAACTCAAGTGGAGCGTACGCTTTGAGACTGTTCATGGACGGCCTCTGGACGACTGTGGTCGTAGACGACCGCCTGCCGTGTACCGAGAAACCTCGACGAGAAAATATGGTCGCGGACGTCCGAAGAGCACCACTCATCAACGCGTCCAAGGCGGCGCGCTTAGCTTATGTACGTTCTAGATGCGCCCAGACCGAAAGAATGACGAACGTGCCGACGCCGACGCTCTGGGCCTCGCTCATCGAAAAGGCCTACGCCAAAGCACATGGGTCCTACCAAAGTATCTCGGGAGGCCAAATCGCCGAAGCGTTGCTGGACCTGACGGGCTGCCCGACGTTCGCCATGAATCTGGGCGACCGCGATTTTGATTCGGAGAAGCTGTGGCGGAACCTCGTGAAGTGGAAACGACTCAGCTACCCGATGGGCTGCGCTACCGATCCGGTACCTGATTTGAGAGAAGTCGGGTTATGTGGCAGTCACGCTTATAGCATAGTGGATTGTAGGACCGTGCGGTACCGGGGCAACGACGAGCGGTTACTGCGGATTAGGAACCCGCACGGCGTGGGGGAATGGAACGGCGACTGGAGCGACCAGAGCGACAAGTGGAACGAGGTGTTTCGGACGGAGCCGGGCATGGTCCGTCCAACTAGAGATAATGATGGTACCTTCTGGATGGATTATACGCACTTTCTGATGGGGTTCTCGCGGGTGGACGTCTGTGCGGCGCCTCCACAGGTGAACGCTCGTTCATTTGGGAACAGCTTCCCTCCGAAGAAAGCTGCTTGGAGAGTGGGAGCGTGTTTTTATAGAGTTAGGGGCGAGGGTGATGTGTTTGTGACGGCCCTGCAACCAACTAAAAGAGGTGCCTGGTGCCGCGCGGACCGCAAGAAATCCTATAGACCGGGCGACGTGCAGGTCGTGGCGTACGATCTGCGGACGAAGAAGGTGCTCGGGGCTTTATTAAGGGGCGCGGACGTCTACGACCGGGGCGCGTTGGCGGTCAATCTCCGAGGCAAGGACGTCCTCATCTATGTTTATGCCTTGGGCGCGAACCCGGCGGCGGCGGAGACGCGGGCCGCGCAGCCGTTCCGCGTGAGGTTCGTCTCCGTGGACGGCCCGCTACAAGTCGAGGAGCTCGATTTTGAGAGTAAGCGCCACGGGGCGATGGCGTTGGAGGTGTTACATGGTGCCCTCACACGCCCGAAGGAGCGTACAGACGATTTACTGTTCGCGGCGGCGCGCGCGCCGTCGCTCAACGTCGTCAAATCGCAAAACGGCGCGACGTGCGCGACGACGCAGGGCGAGGGCCTGGTCGTCGTCACGATCGTCAACGAAAGCGACCAGTACAAGACGGCCGCCGTCGTCTGCTACTGCAAAAGCGCCCAGGCGCGGTCCGTCGACGGCGTGCTCGAGAACGTGAAGGATCGGGCCGACGCGTACTACGAGCGGTTGAAGGCCTTGACGCCGAAGCCCGACCCGCGGGCGCCGCCGCAGCGGGGCCCGCGCTTCCCGGCGAAGTGGAAGGCCTTTGTCGCGACGGCGGACCTGCCGCCCCGCAGTCGGCGCGTCGCGCTGGCCGTCGTGCGGTCCGGGAGCCAGTACGAGCTCGGGGACATCGATTGTGCTTTTTATGATGCGGCGCCGCCCACAAAAAAGGGCCAGCAGCGCATCGACGCCTTCGTGGGCGCGTCGAAGTCGCGCACGGCGCTGGATGCGGACGGCCTCTTCGCGGCGGTGGCGCTGCCCGAGGGCTACACCGGGGCCGTGCCCGCCGCCGACGATGATTTGGAGGAGGCGCTGCGGCGGTCTCAGCGTGATAATGTGGAGCACGACGACCTCGAGGACCTCGCCGAGGCCATTCGGCGGTCGCGCGACCGCGACGACGACCTCGCGGAAGCGCTGCGCCGGTCGCGCGAGGACGCGGCGCCCCGGGATCCGGACGCCGAGCTCGCCGAGGCGCTGCGGCGGTCGCGCGAGGACGCGGCGCCGCCCCGTCGGGACGTGGTCAAGACGGACCGCGACCACCCGATCGTCCTCGACGACAGCCAGGAGGAGGTCGGGCCGATCGTGTTGGACGAGTCCCAGGAGGACGCCGCGCCGGCGCGGCCGTCGGCGGAGGAGGTCCGCGCGGCGCGGCTGGCGCGGCTGGGGTAAAGATGTGTAAGATGTGTGCGTGTTGACTACTAGCTTACACAGGGCCTCTTCATAGGAGGGTCAGCCGCGGCCTACAAGGCGCGCTCGGCGATCGCCGCGGTGAGAGTGGCCACGACCGCGTCCCGCCGGCTTGGGAAACCGCACGTCCGCGCGACGTCCATCGGTGTCAGGCCGGCGGGGATGGGGAAATAGTCTGTTCCCACGACATCTTCATCCGTCGCGGCAGCAGTCGTCTTAGCGAGCAAGTCGGCGCCGCTAAGCACCAGCGTTCGCATATTGTATCGGAGAATTTCGAAGTCATTCTTGTCGGACTCAGTTAATGCGTCGTACACCGTAATATGGAGCGCCGTGAGGCCATTTAGGAAGACCTCCTCGGTGACGTCCTCCCAGCTCTGCAAACCCGCGGCTCTCCACACAGCACACGCAAGGCGCTCGAGCTGAGGCACATCTAACACGGCCGACTTGTCCGCGGCGAAGCGAAACGCCCTAACTAAAGCGGCTCGCACGCCGCCATCGGGATTTTTTTCACGACCGGCCGCCAGCACCAGCCGACGTGGGATAGCGCGAGCGCCACCCATGGCTTCGACGAGAGTTGTAGCTTGCGCTTCCCCAAGTACGGTCCCACTACCAGTGCCAATGGGAATTGGGTCAATCACTGTCCGCCAGAACGTCTGTCTTGTCCTAGCTTCGTCTAAGTTGCCTCTTCGATTGTCGAGATCGACCAAGACGCAGCCGACGGCCAACAGGGAGGCTCGGGAGCGCTCGTACGCGGCGAGCGACTCCTTCGACCGCTCCTGGTCGCGCGGATCCAGGCCGCTCGCGGCGCGGAGGAGCTGTGGGGGCCGCGGCGACGTCAGCAAGACGCGGTTGTCTCGGTACAGTACGTCGGCCGTCGACTGGTGGGCGCCGTCCGCGTACCGCCACGTTACAGTCATACCCTCGCTCGGCGGGGGGAAGTAGCCTTGCCTTCGCGCGTCCTGGATCTCTTGTCGCGCAGCGTGTTTAACGGCCATAGCAGGGTTCTTCTCCTTGGACACGTCGAGCTCTAATTTTGCCGCGCGCAGCGCGTTCCGCGCCGGCTTGCACACCTCCTCGAGGCGCAGCACCGTGCGGTAGCCGGCAAAGTTCAAAACCTTGCTTGCGTTACCGTCCTTCTGCAGTACGACGCGCACGAAGGCCGCGCCGCTGTTTTCCGACGGCTTCAGGCGCTTCGTCGCCGACACGCTGTCTGCGGTGTCCGCGTTCGACTCGGCGGCGTCCGCGGCGGCCGGCGCAGCGAGCGCGCCTCTGACCGCGTCGGCGTCGGCCGAGCGCAAAGCTGCAGCCAGCGCCGGCGACGCAGCTTCTAGCGCCGCGATCGCCGCGGCGCAGCGCTCGCCGCCGCTGGTGACCCAGCTCTCGAAGCTCGCCGCGAGATCGTCCGCCGGCGTCGTGTCGGAGCCACTTGACGCTGCTGCACCCATCTCTGTTACGCGTGCCGCACGCGCACTATTGTTTTTTCTCTGTATCTGCGTCAGTCGCAGAAAAGCTGTAGGTACCTTGAGTCCTGCAACCAATCAATACCGACGATTGGTGGAGGCACAAAGGCCACAGCTCTCCGGTGGCTGCTAGTGCCTTACTGGCCGCTAGCGGCTACGCGTGTTTTCGGTCCCATGCGTGCCGCGAGCCGACGACGAGAGAGAACAAAGTCACAACAAACCCCCATTATTAGTACTACCGCAGCGCGTCGAACGCCGCCCGCTCCTTGAGCACGGCCTTGCACCGCTGCCGCATCAAAGCGCAGAATTTGGGATACGACGCCGCGGCGAGGAGCATCGTCGCCGACTTGTCTATCGGTAATTTCAGCTTGGACCCGTCATCCGCACCTGCCCTAATCCGCGCCGAGAGCTCGTCCATGCGCTCGCGCCGCGTGCCGTCGTCGTCGAATTGGGACGTCACGAACTCCTCCAGCGCCTCGGAGACGCGCGCCTCGAACTCCTTGTAGAGCGTGAAGAACTCGGGCTTTTGCTCCTCGTTCTTCGACGAGCCCTCGAAAATGAGACAGTGCGCGTCCATCCACTCCCGGAACCCGCCCTCGCACTCCGGCGCGATGATGCGCCGGTAGATGTGCGCCGTGGCCCTCCTCAATAGCCCGTCGGTGCCCTGCCAGTAATCACCTAATTCCTCGAGCGGCGCGTCGTCGCCCGGTCTTAGGGAAGGCTTGGGCTCGGCCTTGGCCTCGTTCCTTGTATCATCGTCGTCCTTCGCCTCGCCCTTGCAGCTCGGCTTGTCTTCATCACTGTCATCCTTTTTCATGCTCCAAGCTGGTGTCCCTGGAGTTGGTGCTGGATGCTGCGAACGACTCGCGCGCCGGGCCAACGGCGGGCACGAGGCGCCGTGGCGGGCCGTCCGCGGGAGCAGTGGTTCGCTCTGCCGCGCGTGGGGCAGCCTTTTGCAAGGCCTGCCTCCAAACCCTATGGCCCGTGGCCCGCGCGGTCGAAGGGGGATCCAAGTATAGATTCGTCTCGACGCGCACGGACTCGTGGGCTTATGGATACGGCCACGTGTCGATTTTTGCGCAACCCGTACGCTAAAATTGCAAAACTCACGGCGCCACAACCAAACTGCCTGCCTAATCTACGCCTACAGACCGCGCCAAGCCAAACACCTCTCTGTGCGCTGTCGAATCACTGTGAGGCAGCTGAGCACGAGAAACTGCGCGCGTAACGACGCCCGCTACATAGATAACGAGGCGAGTGCTGAAGTGCCCGTTTTCACCGAGAACGCGACGATGGCTGCCCTCGAAGAAGCCGCGGCCCGGCTCGCGAACGTTCAGCTGACCGACGACGCCGCCGCCGCGCCGCCGGCGCTGGCGCAGCCGCAAGCGCCGCCGCCGCTCGGCGCAACTCTACAAACGCAACCCCAGGCGCCGCCGCCGCCGCCGCTGCTCGGCGCCGCGCTACAAACGCAACCCCTGGCACCACCGGCTGCGCCGCTGCCACCGACGACGCCCGCGCTCGGCCGGCCGCGCAGCGCGTCGACGGCCTCGGCCATCAGCGAGCTCACGGCGACGCCCGCGACGCAAGCGCCGCCGTCGACGGCGCGGCGCACGCCCGGCGGCCGCCGGTCGACGGCCTCGCCGGCCTTCTCGCCGGCCTTCAGCACCATGTCCGTGCGCGGCGAGATCCGCGTGCCGAACCGCCGGTCGACCTTCGGCAGCACGACGTCTTCATTAAGAAGCAGCGGCTCGCACCCCTGGACGGCGGCCGCCGCGGCCGCCGCGCGGCGCGGCCAGGAGGAGGCCTTCCGGCGCGAGGCGAACGAGGCGAACATCATCCGCGCCGACGAGGCGACGACGACCATGACGATCCGCCCGGACTCGCCGCCGCAGCGGCGCTCGCTGCTCATGGACACGCTCACGCGGCAGCTGCGGCGCGAGCAGCGCGACTCGGGCGCGACGCGGTCCGTCGGCCGCGAGGCGCCGCCGCCGTCCGGCGACGGCCTCGGCGCGTCGCCGGCGACGCCGGCGCCCGGCGCGCGGCGGCGGCGCACTGCTGCGCCGCCGAGCGACGTCACGAACACGACGGCGCGGCGGCGACCCACGTCGAAGGCGGGAAAGAAGCCCACGCCAGCACTCGCCAGGCGCGGCCGGGCGAAGGATCAGCCGTCGATGCTCGGCTTCCGCTAGGCGTATCGCGGGTAAAGCTAGAAGTACCCAACCTTGCCCGATGGCGTCCAGGGTGGAGAGTAATCCTCGCGAACGTTCCTCGCGGCTCCCTAGGCAGAGCGGGAATTAAGCTCTGAACTTCACTATTCGGGGTCAGTCGTTTGCGTCTGTTTTCAGCCACATCCGCCTGAAGGCTATATATATGCTATACTATGTACTAAGTATATGGCGCGCGTATAGCGGCGTATATATACGGATTCCTAGTGTGTTGATACGCTAGATCACTAGGCCTTGCGGCTCGCCAAAATACACCAGCGACTGACGGTGCCATCTACCGTCCAAATGGTACATCATATCAACTCCAGCTCAGTTTTCATACAAGTTGGACGGAACCGGAGCCGACGGCCCGCGCTCGGAGGGCGGGAAAAGAATTCTACTAGACAACTCTCGCGTTTATGTTCGTTTTTTCCCGTTTGTTAGTGGTAGAGTCCATCTAGGCCGATTGAACCATTACCTATCTATATTAGGGGCTCCGTTAGAGCCGCGCGAAACGACCAATCCGCGCCCCCACGTTTGCACATAGAAGAGCTCAGAACCTAAACCTGCGAGTATCAGCGACGCCACCATCTAGATGGACCACAACGCCGTTATTCTATTCACGATCGACCGACTTGCCCGTTCTCCGCGGACGACGGTGCGTACGCGGGGCACTGAATTGGCCCCAGACCGGTAGTTTATAAAGTAAATTTGCGTTTCAGGCGCTTCGGTTGTGGGACGGGCCAGATAACCGGCCTGACTGTGTACTACATTGCTCCGAGACCCAAAGATGCTCGGCGCGGGTCGTCGTTCTCGCGAGCCCACGATCTGGCTCAAATCGGCCCGAGACCCAAACCTGCGACCATCAGCCCGTGTACCTTCACCATGAACCATGACGCGATCATTTGTTCCATGATCGACCGACTTGCACGAGGTCCAGATGCAGATGTTCACGTCCCCAGCGCGGTCGGCCCAAAGTACCCTTCTCGTGGTGTAGATGGCATATACTTGTAGTTGACTATCGGTGGGGTAGTATGGGGCCCGACGAGACCGCTATGACGATTCCTGGGGCCCTAGAGAAATTGACGTTTTTGACGGGAACTGGGCGCGATCGGGCCCGAATTGCACACTTTTTTCGGATGCAGATCGGCTCCCGGACGCCCTCCGGGATATGTCTGGGGTCGGGTAGTCGCCTACGCCGCATGCGCCCGTACTTGGAGCTCCCCAGAGAGCTTTGGATCGAAATCTTTGGCAAATCATGGTCCAGAGCAATAGAGCGCAGAGGACCTTGCCTATATGTATGCACCGATGGGAGCGCCCGCGCATGCGGCGTAGGCGGTTACACACTACTACTAACGACCCTAGGCGACCCCGGGGAGACCTCAGGACCACGAATTGACAGATTTCCACTGACGCGGCCGTCATGCGGGACCGTCAATATCGCGAATTAAAAAAATTAATTTTTTTGGCCCCCAGGACGTGCCCCATTGATCTCTTTGGACCAGTAGCGAACCGAACGGTACTCGAACGGCTGCATGTCGAATCGATTTTTTCCCTAGTGGCCTTAAGGCGCGCTAGCATCATCGAGGATGCGCATACGTACAGCTCGAAGCCTTCGTCTGCTAAGCCGACTCACGTGGTTTCTATAAACAGTTTTGGCTGCGCGCGCGGCCACACGCAGTCGTAGCTATATAGATAAGCACATAGAGCAGTACCATAGGCTTTGCAGGCTAGCACAGCTCAGGCACGGCAGCTACGAGAACGTAACACGCGACGCTCGTAAAAGACACACAGCAACCACATGGCCGCCGCGAAATCCTCCGCGGACCGGCACGCGTCGGACACAGCCGTCGACACGGTCTGGCCCGATAGAACGCAATCACCACCGACCACGCCGTCGACACCGGACACTCCAGCAAGAGAACAAGAACGCCTCGCGCACCTGCGCACGAAGGCCGCGCGGGCCTACGCGAGTTATGATCCGAAGCACTGGACCAGCCACATCGTCACGACGCGCGGCCGCAGCGGCCACCACGTCTGGCAGCCGTTATTGTGGGTGTTGCTCGTGTCGATCTTCGCGGCCTGGAGCGCGCAGAACGCGGAGAAGCTCGGCGTGTCGCAGCGGCGCTGGAACAAATGGTTGCTGAAGATCGAGCCCGTCGAAGCGTTATTGCGGCTCGTCATGTCCTTTTTGCTCGTGTTTCGACTAGGTAGAAGCGCCCAGCGCTACTGGGAAGCCCGACAGAAAGCAGGAGCATTAATCGAAGTGTGTCGAGTGATCGCGTCGACGGCCTGCGCGCACATGGTCTTCGGCGACGATCTTCGAAGGGTGGAGCATCGCATGCACTGGCCCAAGGCACCACCCTCAACGGAAGAGAAGGACGAGGTCTGGATGAGCACGACGTGCAGTCCGGCGTCGGCGATCTGTCGGTGGGTCGTCGTTTTTCCGATCGCGGCGAAGAATTACTTGAGGAGCGAAGGCGGTGATCCGAAGGAGCTCGACGGACTGTTATCCACGGGTGAAGTGGACGAGTTATTTGCGGCCCCGAACCAGTGCCTCTACGTCCTAGATACGATGCGCGGCCTGTCGGCCTCGTGGGCGGCCAAAGCCGTACACAATGGTGCTTGCGCGGAAGTGGTAGCACAGGTCTTCGGGGCCCTGACGCGGCAAATAGATCTGCTGACGGGGACGTTTGGAGGCATGGAACGGATAAACAACACGCCGCTGCCCTTTGTGTATGTTTCTCATTTGAGAACGTCCTTGACGGTCTACCTAACTCTGGTACCGATTGTTTTCGCGCCTATTTGGTTGTGGGCGACGCCGCCTTTGACACTAATCGTCGCGTGGGCGTTGTTAGGTATTGAGGCGGCGGCCGTGGAGTGCGAGCGACCGGTCCGAGGCTGCGCGAACCACATGCCCCTCGAGGCTTTTTGTGCGGTCGTCGCCGACAACGTGCGCCAGACGCTCCAACACTCCGCGAGCATGGGGGCAAAATTAAGGAGTAGATAGTTAGATGGGGGAGGTGATCGTCATGCCTCCCAGCGAGAAGCTTCGATAGGACGCGAACGCCTGCTCGAAGTCCGCGACCAAATCCCTTGGATCCTCGACGCCGACACACACGCGGACGATGTCTTCCGGGAAGTCGCGCGACGCGCGCACCTCGGCCGGAATCGACGCGTGGGACATGTCGCAGGGACAGCTGATGAGCGAGTGCACGGAACCGAAGGACACCGTGATGCTGAAAAGCTTCGTCGCGGAGACGACATGCTTTGATAATTCCACATCCCCGGTCGTGAAGCAGACGACACACCCGCCGCCCGTCGCTTGAGATAAATGTAATTCGCGGTCGGGATGATCGTCAGACGTCGCGTAGTAGACCTTGGTGACGAGCTTGTGCTGTCGGAGGTACGACGCGATGGCAATGGCGTTCTGTTGGGCCCGGTCCACTCTAAGAGCCATGGTCTTCAAGCCTCGCAGCGCCAAAAAACAGTCAAAAGGAGCTAGTCCAGTACCCTCGGCGTTCTGCACGAAGTACAATCTTTTAAATAAAGCTTCGTCGTCGACGCAACAAACGCCGGCCATCGTATCCGAATGACCGCAGATGAATTTCGTGGCACTATGTACGACGATATCCGCGCCTAGTGCTAAAGGCTTCTGCAACAGTGGCGACATGAGCGTGTTGTCCACTTCTAGGAGCGCATTGTGCTTCTTGCAGACGGCGGAGAGACCTCGCAAGTCGCAGACGCGCTGCATCGGATTGGTGGGACTCTCGACCATGACGAGCTTGACGCGGTCCGTGAAGGCCCGCTCCAACCGCGCGGGACCGTCGGGCCCGTCCATGGCCACGTACTTCACCGTCACGCCGGCCTCCTTCGCGCCCTTGGCTAGTAAGCGGTACGTACCTCCGTACGAATCGTCGCTCAGCAACACCTCGTCCCCGGACGAACACAACCGCACGACGGCGGCTAAAGCGGCCATGCCCGTCGAAAATGCTAAACAGTGGTTGCAGCCCTCGGCGTCGGCGACGGCGCTCTGTAGCGCGGTTCGCGTCGGATTGCCGGACCGCGTATAGTCAAAGTCCCCAAATTCCGTGGCCGACGCCTGCTGGAAGGTCGCCGTCACGTAGACGGGCATGTTCGCGGCCCCGTAGGGGTCCGGTTGGGGCGCGTGGCCCTGCACTAATCTAGTTTCGACGCCGAGCGTCTTTGTGGAAGGCGCGCTGGCCCACTTCTTCGGTGGTTGCGAGAAGGCCTTCACGACATCTTTCGCTGCTTGGACGTGGCCCTTGGCTCTCAAGTAGTCGACGACCTCCTGCATGCCGGCCATGTAGCTGTTGCAGCGATACTTGTTTGCGGGTGCAGCAGTGCGGCGTCGACCGGTGTGCCAGTGCTAGCAACGCAGGCACGCAACGCGTGTGATTTGCGGCAATACAGCCAAACGCAAGAGTGCAAGCCCCAAAATAGTTGCTAGCGTCGTATCGATACTAGTTTTGACGGGAAGCGCGAAAGCGGCGCCTAATCGCCCACTAGAAGCACTCACAGATTCGCACCGCGTTGGTTCATACATTAGACATCGCTCCGGAGCCGCACGAGGCTTGCGCGCTCCACTAGAAGCACACACGCGATTCACCCAGCAGCCTATCCAAACTGCTGCGCACAAATCCGCACGATGCATGGATATAAGTGGATATAAGTGATGGGCAAGGAGCGCGGCGGCGGCAGCACGTTCTTCGCGGCGCTGCTCGTGACCTGCGGCATCCTCTCCTTCGGGCTCCTGGAATGGCGGCTCTCGAAAACTCTGAGCCACCACCCCACGCGACACGAGGGCGACGGTCCGTGGCTGAAACCGCGCGTCTACCACCGCCGGAGGAATAGTGAAGGCGTCGGCAGCGGCGCGTCGTCCGCGGCCGCGGCCGAGGCCGCGGCGGCGCGCGCGGCCAGGGCCGCGGACCGCGCCTACGCGGCGTCGTTGACGGCGAAGGACGCCGCCGGACAAACGAGGGCACAAGTTGCCGAAGAGGACGCGGCCTTCGCGGCGCACCTCGCCGTCGTCCCGCCGCCCCATCGCCGCGCCAAGGTCCCGCACGCGCCAAAAGCGCGGAACCCGCTGCGCTACTGGACCGCGACGCAGTCCGCCCGGGACGCCGAGCTGCTAAGGACCGGCAAGGTGCCTCCCGTGAAGTCGGAGCCGGAGACGTTTCTGACTTTTGTGCCTGACGTCGGTGGGTTTAACAACGTGCGCCTGGCGCTGGAGAACGTGCTGGTCATCGCGCGGGCCACGTCGCGGACGTTAGTGCTGCCCCCGCCGCAAACATGGTACAAGCTTGGTGATAAAATACATGCGTTGGAGGAGTTCTTGCCCGACCTATTGACTTCTCAAAGAGTTTCAGTGATCACCGCGCAACATTTCGTGGAAGACAAGCTGCCGAGGACGCACGCGCTACCACCACCATCAAATGTCGTAGACGTCGTGAAGGGGTGCCACCCGACGCACAAGGCTCCCGACTCGTGCTTCGTCTGGTATGCCTGGCTCGAGGAGCATTTTGGGCGTAACGAGGTCATCCCGGACGTTGGTCTAACCTGTCTCGTCTTCGGTTCACTGAAAACGAACAAGTGCGGCCCCAAGACGTCGTCATTTACAACAAAACAACAAGCCCACAATCGAACTTTGCTAGATGGCTACGGTTTGTATGGAGCGGCCGAGGGCCCGATCCTCCACATGCGTTCGTCGGGCCAGGCCACGCATTTTCATGAGGAGATCGAGGCCAATAGGAAGGGTCGAGCAAAGGACAAAAAAATAAAACCGATGGAGCCCGCGAGATTAGGGAGACTATTAGCGCCGTTCTACGCCTACGTCATCTTCCCCGAGCCTTCGGTGTCGAACTTCTACAAGCGTTTGATACGGGACGTCGTCCACTTCGACGACCGTATATATAAGTGCGCCCACGTTATAACAAGGTGGCTCGGTGACTATTCGTCATTACACGCGCGGCGCGGCGACTTCCAGTACTCTTCCCAAGGTACTGAGGAGGTCGTGCTGCGAAGTGTGAAGCGGGGCGAGGTGTTGTGGATAGCGTCGGACGCGTCCTTCCGGTCATTCAGCGCTTTTGAGAGAGCGGGCCGGCCTGTTGTTTCTTTAGCTTACTTGCTCGATCTACAACGGCGCCAAAAGCGGCACATCATCATCGAGCGGCGCCTGGACGGCCTGTCGATGCCGCCCCACGAGGTCTGGGCGGCGCTAGAAAATATAAGGGAGCACGAATATGGCGTCGTGGACGTCTTGGTGGCGGCCGAGGGCCGGACCTTCACGGGGACATGGTTTTCTACTTTTTCTGGGTTGATCCAGAGGATCCGCGGCTATCGCGGGAAAAATGATAGAGACACGTTCTTCTCTTCTCGAGAACGGTGGGCGGCCTTCCAGGGCTTCGAGAGCCCCAGGGCACCCTTGTACCAGCGCGAGTGGCCGGCGGCGTGGCGCGGCATCGATTCTGACATAGAAGCCGCGCCGTTAGCCGGCGAACGTTCCTATGATAGGGACGACGTCTGGCAGTTACAAAGAAGGTACCCCGCGCTCGATTCGAAGAGCTGGCACCCTCAAACCGCCTGCGACCTCCCTCCTAAAATGCGCTACTGGTCGCCGCCCGAGACCTCCGACCTAGATAGGCGGTTGCTAAAAGACGGCCGCGTCCCGCCCCTCAACCGCGACCGGTTCCTGACCTTCGTGCCCGATTTAGGAGGCTTCAACAACGTCCGCTTAGCCCTCGAGAACGTCGTGGTCTTGGCTCGCGCGACGGGAAGGACACTCGTCCTGCCGCCTCCCCAAACCTATTATTTGTTCACGGCCTGCAAGGAGAAGTGCGCCTTCGGGCTGGAGGAGTTGCTGCCGGGGTTACTCGCGAGGAAAGATTTGGTTATTACGGCTCGGGAATTCTTCTCCGAAGAGGTCCCGCGACTCAAGGTCGATCCTCCCCAACATTTGAGCGACGTCGTGGACCGCTGCACGCCCACGAAAAAGGCGGGCGACTCGTGCTTTCTGTGGTACGACTGGCTCGAAAGTAATTTCGGCGACCCGGAGCACTTCCCGGACGTCGGGCTGCAGTGCGTCGTCTTCGGGAACAAGTCAGATGATGGCATCGCGGACTTCTGCGCGCCGCGCACGCAGATCAATGGCGCCGTTGCGCGGCAAGTTGTGGATGGCGACGCCTACTACGGTACAAATACACCAATCTTGCATCTAAGGACGTGCGGCGTCGCGACGCACTTCCACGACGCCTGGCACGGCAAGCCCAAGGGGGATAGGACGGTGGAGCCCGCGCGCATGGGCCGCTTATTGGCGCCGTTCTACACGTATATCTACTTCGCGGATCCCGCAGTGAACAACTTCTACAAGCGACTCGTCAGAGATGTGGTAAGGGTCGACGAGCCGCGCGTCACGTGTGTTTCCGGAAAAATTGTGGAGTGGCTCGGTGGGAATTATGTAAGCGTCCACGCGCGGCGCAACGAGTTCCAGTTTGTGGAAGCGAAGACCGGAGTGTCAGATGCGGTGCGGAGGACCATGCCGGATTCTACTTCTACCGTCTACGTCGCGACGGACGAGAAGGACGCGACGTTTTTTGATGAGTTGCGAGCCCATCATCAGGTCGTGTTATTGAGTGAACTACTGGAGGCGGCTCAAAATGTTTCGCGGGGGCTCGCGCTCCGGTCCGGGAACTGGCCATCAAAAAGTGTTCTCCTGGCACTCAACCGCATCAACGGCAACGAGCTCGGCTTCGTGGATGCGTTAATAGCGTCGCAGGGTACCGTTTTCACGGGCGCCTGGTTCTCGACCTACACCGGTCTGATAAATCGGTGGCGGGGCTACGGCGGCTTCCCTGATCAAAGTTCGTACTTCTCGACGCCGGGGCGCTTCAACGCGTTCCAAGGGTTTGAGAAGCCGCGGTCTCCACTATATATGCGCGAGTGGGTCGAGGGCTGGCGCGGCATCGACTCGGATTCGGCCGCGGCGCCGCGGCCCGGCGAGCGCGTCTTCGTCGACGGCGCTTACGACTAGTGTCTTAGGTAATGTGTGTGTATTCTAACAAATCTGCTGCGCCCTCCGAGGTACAGGTTCGCCACGGACTCGTCCACTCCGGCGCGCGTGTCGTGTGGCCTTTCGCGCGCTCAGCCTTCGTCTCCAAAGGAGGTAGTCACTGGGGATCGGTCTCGAACCGAGCTCGACGATGCGGCACGGATGCGTGGTGTCGGCTAGTGGGTTCTGGATCGCGAACGTTCGGGGTGAGTTTTGCTCGAAATTGCACCACACGTTTGACACGCGCGCGGCGCCCCCGGTACTTGACCCACGCTACTACGCCGCCAGGACAGGCCCCTAGCATGGCCGGGGCAGCCTCATCGCCCAGCGCGCTGGCCGCCTGGACCTGCCCGCTGACCGGGCAGCTATTCGTGGAGCCGGTGCTCTACCTGGCCCCAAACGACGGCGCGGCGCAGATTTACGAGCGCGCGGCATTGGAACAGCAGCTCGCGTCGCTCGGCATCACCGGGGACGACCGCGGCCGCCTCGTGCCCGTGGAGGCCGTCCGGTTCGCCGTCGAGGCGGCGGTCGCGCGAGGTGAAGCGCCAGCCCCGGCGCGGGAAGCGTGGATCGGCGGCGCGCTCGCGGCGGCGGCGCGCGCTGCCCTGCAGACGCACGACCTCGGGTCCCTGCGGCGCGTCTGCGCCGCGGCGGCGGCCGCCGGCGACGCGCTCTCCAAGGATGGTGCGGCCCTTTTCGTCGAGGGCCTGCCCGCGGAGCTGCGGGACGAGGCGGAATCCATCCTGGATGCGAAGCAAGTCGACGTGACGCCGCTCCAGGCGCGCGCGCGCGGACGCATCGAACGGCGGCGCCACGCGGAGCGCATCGCCTTCGCTCTGCGCTGGAGCGCGCGCCGCGAGCGCCACACGACCACGCCGCGGTCGACGCGGCGCATCTCGTGGGACCCGGACCTGTCGCGCGAGGCGCCGTTCCCGTCGCCCCTGGCCGAGACGCCGCACCGCGACTGGCCGCTGCACGCGGCGACCTCGGCGCCGGCGTCGCCCGAAGCCGCGACGGAGACGCGCGGTCGCTTCCGCGTTTCAAGAGGCGCCGACGTCGTGCCGACGCCGCCGCCGACGCCGCCTCCGCCCCGCAAGCGGCCCTCCTGCGCCGCCACGCCGCCGGCGCCGCCCCGCGTGACGACGCCCCGCTCCCTGACACGCTTCCAGGCCGCGCGGCGCGCGGCCCAGGCGTCCGACAAGGCGGCATCGACGCTCCAGCGCGCCTGGAAGGCGCACCGGCCGGCCGCGCCCGAGCCCACCGAACCCACAGAGCCTTCGCCGCCGACGGGCCGCCGGGCGCGCACCTCGATGACGGGCCGGCCCGTCACGCGCCGGACGCCGCGCAAGCGCGCGCCCGTCTGGGCCTCGCCGGACGGCGCCGAGGCCGCGGCCGCGGCGGCCGCCGGCCGCGCAGCGACTGCCGCTGCGACTGCTCAAGCCGCGGCGCGGGAGGCCGCGACCGCCGCGGACGCCGCCGAGGCCATCGAAGAGATCGTGGGCGCCGTCCTCGACACGGTCGCGGACGAGCCCTCGGACGTCTCCGCGGACGCGCCCTCGGACGTGCCCTCGGACGCGTCGGACGCGCCCGTGGCGCCGCTCGCGGTGCCCGAGGAGCTCGACGCCGACGAGCCCGCGCCGGGGCCCGCGACGCCGCCGGCCCGCCCGGCCGGGGCCCCGCACGCCCGGCCGGCCAAGTCGCCGCGGCCCGACGGCGAGGAGGTCGCCGACGTGAGCTACACGGAGTCCGAGCTCGCCGTGCTCTGCACGCCGGCCGCCGCGACGGCCTCGCGCGAGCTGGCGGCCGACTCCATCAGCGCTTCGCGCGAGACGCCGCGGCCGCCGAGCGCGCGGCGGCCGCGGCGCGCTACGCCGCGCGCGCTCGCGAGCCCGCTGCGCTGCGCCACGAACGAGACCCCGAAGGTCGTCCCGGGGCCGAAGCCGGCGCTCCCGCCGCGGCCCAAGAAGATCTCGCCGCGCTGCGTCACCGCGTTCCCGCCCGCCGAATCGCCGCCGGCCGCCAAGGATTCCCTGCCCCTCGTCCTGCCCGGCGGCCGGAAATTGCCGCCCGTCGTTTAGAGTACGCCAAGCCTAAGTACTCCTCAACAACATTACACGCGGCTCCTAGACGCCGTCGTCGGTCCCGTCGTCGCTTCCGTCGTCGTCGACGCGCGCCCTCTTCGCGGAACCCTCGTGGAGGTCCTCGGCCTCGGCGAGCTCGGGGTACGCGCGCCGCTTCGGCCGCACCCACCGCACGGGCTCCGCCGGCGCGGGGTCGTTCGGGTCGCGCCAGTACTTGCGCTTCGGGGCGACGGGCTGGTCGGGGGCCTCCTTGAAGCCGTGGACGGGGATGTCCAGGACCGTCGGCGGGCGCAGCATCGCCACGTCGTCGTAGCGTCCCGTTCCCTCGATCAACCGGTAGCCCGTGATGTCCGGGAGGCCCGTCTCCGACGCCGCATTCGCGAAGAGCGTGCCCGGGTGGCGCCGCGACACGCAGAGCCGCGGCCCCGCCTCCTCGTCCGACTGCTGGGCGTGGACGTGGCCGAAGACGCAGAGCGACGGCGCCTTGTGTTGCGACAGGGCTTGGGCGAAGGCGTCGCAGCCGCAGCGCCGCTCGCGCTGCACGAGGTCCAGAATACCGTAGGGCGGTCCATGGGCCACCATAATCACACCTCGGTCACAGTCCGCCCGTTTGAGGAGCGAGTCCCACCTTTGTAAAGACTCGGCGTGGTCGTCGGGCCGGATGCCGTTGTGGCCTGACGCGCAGGGGATCTGATCTGCCTTAGTCTGCTGGTCCGTCAAGGGGATGAGCGGCGTCACGGGACTGCCGATGACGCGTAGCTGCGCCGTGTTTCCACCAATGGTCTCCACATCAACATCGACGTGCGTCTCCCGCAAGACATGGATCTGACCAGGATAACTACCTTGGAGCAGCCGGACCACGGCGTCCGTCGCCTCTCTCGCCGTCCGGCCCCAGGGCCTTCTTCGTTCGGTCTGCCAGCGATGCGCTACTCGATCCATGGCGCCGCACGAGTCGCATAAGTCATCATCACAAAGTAACCCGTCGTGGTTGCCGCCAATCACGATGATGTGACAGCGGGGCCGCGCGTCGATGATGTCTCTGAATAAAGTAGCCCAGGCCTCCACCGACGCCAATTCCTTCTCGTGGCCCGTTTCCAGTATGCCCTTGGCCCTCCGGTCGATGCCGCGGCCGCTCTCCGTCGCCAATTCATCATTTTGCTCGAGGCCTAGGTCGCCGGCGAAGATGGCGAGCCCTATGTCGGCCGGCGCGTGGTCCCGGAACCACTCCGCCGTGTCGACCCTTCTCCGATCTTCCCCGTCCCCCACGAAGTAGGCCTTGTCCCACTGGTGCCGGTGGAGATCGGCGAAGCAGGCGCACCTTATTTTCTGGTCGTCCTCGTGCGCGCTTTCGATTCTTAATTCATGGGTGGTCTCTAACTCATCATCCGTGTCCTCAAAGGTGTCGAAGTACGAGAACTTGGCCTTGCGCGCGAGGAGCGTGCCGGGCCTTGGGGGCGGTGGGGCAGGCGGCGCTTCCGGCGCCGGCGCGGGGCCGGCGTCCTGCGGCGCCTGCAGCGCTGCCGGCGCCTCCTGCTGTGACTCCGTCGCCACTGGTGCGGCCGCTGGCGCCGCCGCCGTGGCCGGGGCGCGCCGCGGCGGCGGCAGTGAGTCCTGAGAGTCGGCTGTCAAATCTGTTACTGGAGGGCCCATCAGCTCTACACTATCGTCATCATCCAGCGTAAGGTCTATTGCGGAGGCCATTTTGGGCTCAAAGTCAATGTGCGGCCGTACCCGCGGTTCCGCTCACCCGTCGAGCACGGTTCGGCTTTTGTGCGGCTAGTGTCTTACATGCCGCTAGGTCGAGCAATTGGACTAGGCCAGAGTCTGGCGACAGCGATCAAATTTTTACGATCTAAATAATGGTGGTTGTTCACCCTCATTTCCAACTGTTTCTGTACGTGTTTACCTTAGTCGCCGCGGTATGCTTAGGCCTCCTCTTTGTCAAGCAAAAAGGAGTAGCAGACGCGGCGGACACCCCGTCGACGTATCAGGTCGGCGCGAGGGTCGAGCTGGTCGGCCTGAGGAAAGCTTTGCTTAATGGCGCGACGGGTCATGTGGTCAAGGAGCTCGACGAGGGCACCGGTCGTATCGCCGTCAAACTCATCTCAGGGCGCGAGGTTGCGATCAAGCCAGAGAACCTCAAGGCCGCCGACCTCGACCAGATTTTGGAGAACCAGAGTCACGTGGACAAAAAATATAACGAGGCCGTCGCGGTCGCGGTCGAGGCGTGCGCCGAGGACACGAAGGGGCAGATGTGCTACATCTGCATGGACGGCGCGGCCAAGGAGGCCTCGTGCGCGGGTGCGCGTGCCGCGGCGGGAACGGTTTTGTGCACGTGTCGTGCCTGGCGCGGCAGGCGAAGGTTTTGGTCGCGGAGGCCGAGGAGAAAAATTTGGGCCCCAAGGTGTGTAGTGAGAGGTGGGCGAGGTGGCAGTCGTGTCGCCTGTGCGAGCAAGATTACCACGGCGTCGTGGCGGGCGCCCTCGGGTGGGCGTGCTGGAAGACGTACGTAGGTCGGCATGAGATGGAAACGGCTCGGCAATTGGCGATGAGCTCGCTTGGGACCGGCTTGTTCGCCGCAGACCACCGCGAGGACGCTTTGTCCGTGTACGAGGCGAACTTGTCTATACTACGGCGCGTTGGCGCAGATGAAGAGAGCATGCTCAACGTGCAGGGCAATCTTGCGTGCACGTATCACAGACTAGGACGCCTTGAAGAGGCAAAAAGTATGCGGCGAGACTGCTACTCTGGGTGGTTGAAGCTTAAGGGTGCGGAACACCCATCAACCCTCTTCGCAGCCAACTTCTACGCGACGTTGCTAAACGTAGTTGAAGCCAAGGCACTGTTGTGCAAAATTATACCCGTGGCGCGACGCGTCCTCGGCGATTCAGATGATCTCACGCTCAAGATGCGATGGGTTTACAGTCAGGCACTCTACGGTGACCCCGGCGCCTCGCTCGACGATCTCCGCGAGGCCGTGACGACACTCGAGGACACTGCACGCATCGCGCGGCGCGTGCTCGGTGGCGAGCACCCGCTCACAACGGGAGTTGAGAAAACTCTAGGAAAGTCGCGGGCAGCGTATGATGCGCGTCGGGGCGTTTTAGAGGCTCTAGCTGGAGGCCACGGCGTCGACCTGGCAGCTCTAAGACAGACCTATCGCGCCTAAGGAGAATCAAATATTAAGCCTTCCCCCGCTTCAAGTCCTCCCGCCGCGACGCCTCCTGGATGTCGATCTTCGCCTGGCTTTGCGCGGCGATGCCCCGGATGCCTTTATCCGAGGCGTTGAACTTCGGCAGCCAGTGGTCCTTGAACCAGGCGATGGTCTCGGCCCAGCCCTGTTCGTAGGGAATGATCGGCTCGAAGCCGAGGTCGCGCTCCGCATTCACAATGTCGAACCACCGGTGCATCGTCAATACTCTAACGTTGAACGGGTTCAGCTTGATTGTTGTACGTAGCACAATCTCGAGGCCTCGACAGACATAAGCTAAGGGCGTTAGAAACCACGTCGCCAAATGAGTTTTATCCCACAACGACGTAAAGCCCATGCCCACCACGGCTTTATCTAACTCTTTCCAGAAGATGAGGTACTGTTCGTCGTTCGGGTGGGTCCTACCATCTGTCGTGATGTAGAACTTTCCCAGAGCTGGCGAGTTTTTCTTGAGGGCCCGTTCGGCAATAATTAACCCGTGGCAGTAGTTGTCGACGTGCGTGAAGCAAATTCTATTAAATCCCTTGCCGAAGACGCGTAAGCGGCCCGTCCCCGCCGCCTCCAATAAATTCGGCAGGAATAAATTATCTCTCGGACCATACACCTGGTGCGGCGCGACACTCACCGTCATCAACTCGTCACAACAGGCTGCTCTTACCGCAAGTTCCGCCCGAGCCTTCGTCGCGGCGTACTCCTGGAGGTAGGATTTGAGCGGTAACGAGGGCATCTCGTCCTCCCTCAACCCGTCGACGTCGGCGCCCGTGAACCGCGTCGACGGCGACGACGAAAAGACGAGCTTCGGCACGCCGTGCTTCCGGCACGCATCCAAGACATTCAGCGTGCCCTCGTAGTTGACGCGCGTGTAGAGAGGCGTCGGGTGGAAGGGTCCGACCGCTGCGGCGTTGTGCCAGACGCAGTCGGCGCCTTTTATCGCCGCGGAGACGCCCTCTTTATCGGTCACGTCGCAGACGCGCCAGTCGATGGCCGGGTGCTGCCACGCGTCCTTGGGCGGCGGCACGATGTCGAGGGAGATGACCTTTTTGGCCCCTCGCTCGACTAACATCTCAACGAGCCGTTGCCCGACGAAGCCCGTGCCGCCGGTAACGACGCATACGTTCGGTACGGGCGGCCTTGGTTTGCTGGATGCCGCCTTTTGTAATGGGGACGACTGGGGCGCGAGGAGCGGGGCCATGGCTGAGACCGTGGCGAGGAGTGCTAATGAGCGCGCCGTTCTTGCAGCGGTTTTGCGACGGCTGGGGCGCGGCTGCTTTTTTGAACAGCTCACAAGTGTTCGCAGAGCAGCGTATGCCGCGCACGGCTGCAAAAACACACGCTGACAAGGCCAATCGCAGTACCTTATCTTATCTCTATACCTTGTACGTATATATGATACGAGACTTACAGCTCGATGGCGTCGGCCGATGTTGAACGACGCTTGCCGAAGATGCGTCCGAGGCCGCCCCAGGCGCCCCAGGGCACCGCGCGCACGGCGTCGGCCGCGACGAAGTCTTTCCCGGGGGACGTCTTAAGTGAGTGGAGTGCCTTAGCGCACGGGGAGGGGAAAGGGAAGAATCAGACGACGGCGCGCGCGCACGCGGCCCGGTGCGTGCCGATCACGCGCGTCAGGGCCATTACCACGCCGGCATCAAAGCCGGGGCCGCGCGGCAGCGCCGGGGGAGCGCGCGCGACGGCGGGTGCCACTCCGCCTCATGCAGGCACCGCGCGAGCGCGGCGTCGTTTTCCTCCTGGCGCCGCCGCCGCGCGAGCGCGTCGTCGTCGTCGCCGTCAGACTCTGACCAGTCGTCGTCGCTGCTGTCTGACCTCGGCCGCTTCGGCGCGGGCGCGGCGGCGTTGTCGTCGCTGAGTTCGGCCTCTTCTTCTTCCGCCGGCGCCGGAGCAGGCGGCGCGGGCGGCGCCGCGGCGGGCGCGGCCTCTTGAGCCGGCTGCGGGCCGGGCGACGGCGGCGACGGCGGCCGCGGGGCTTCCTCGCCTTCTCCTTTGAGCTCGCGCCAGGCCGCGAGGAAGCGCGCGCGCGAGACCGGCGCCCACGCTTCGAGATTTAAATGCTCGGAGAGCATATGATCAGAGAGCCACCGCAAATCCTCTAGCGACTCGACTACCGCTCTCACCTCGGCGCGCCGGGCGTCCGTGCCGACGTTCGTCAGTAGCCACGAGTCTAAGTCGGCCATTTTGCCCAGGCAAAAGTTGGCGCCCAAGCTAGCGGCCTGTAACACACTAGCAATCACGAGGAGCTCGCATAAAAATCGCAGCAGTGCCTTAGCCGAGGTCTGCCACGCCTCCAAGGACGCAGAGAAAGACTCCGAGCAGCCCACCGCTCGCTCCCAGCGAAGAGCCGCCAGCGCTATGGGCATCCGCGACTGGAAGTCCTGGCTGAGGCGCGACGACCCGCGCGAAGAGGCGACGGAGGAACTCGTCCAGGCCCTGCCCGGGTCGAAGTCCGCCGCGGAAGATTTCTCGTTGGTGGACGTGCCGATCCAGGGCGGCACGCTCCGCGTTTTTTTGCCGTCGCGTTTCCCACACGACAAGCCGACGCTGCAACTGCTGCAGCCGACGCGCCACGAGTTTGTGGATCGATATAATCAAGTGAAGTACCCCGGGTTAGACAACTGGTCCCACAAGACGGACATTGTTAGCGTGGTCCGGGAGGTCGTCGAGGCGCTGCACAAGCCGACCGCGGCGCCCGCCGTGGAGACGAGGCCGAGTTTGGAACGGCCGCCTTCCGATAGATCGATCCAGGCGCCGGCCGTGCCCGACCGCATCGATGCGGTGGAAGCGATGTCCACGAAGGAACTGCGCTGTTTGGATGAAGACGGCGTCCGGGACCTCGTCGAAGCGCTCCCGCAAGTGACGGTCATGTCCCAGATGCTCGCGGACCTACGAAACACAAACCTCGAAAGCGCGGAGCGCGTCCGCGCCCAGCGCGAGGCCGCCTCGATCAAGGACGCGGAGGCGCAGGCGCTACGCATGCGCCTCGCGGACGACGCGGCGGCCTACGAGGCCCTGCTCGCGCGCGCCAGGACCCTGGAGCCCGCCGACGCGCTGGCCGAGGCCGCGCGGGCCTACGAGGCGCGCGCGCGCGAGTGCGACCAGACGTCCCTCGCGGTCCTCGACCGCTGGCAGGACGGGAAGTGCGACCGGCCGACGTTTTTGGAGGAGTACGTCGAGGCGCGCGCGGCGCACCACGAGGCCCGCGTCCTGGCGAAGCTCGCGGAGATAAAAAGGACGCGGCCGCCCCTGACGCGCGAGTCGCCGCGGCCACCGCTGCCGCCGCGGACGCGGTCGTACGGGTAAGTAGATATTTAGATTTCTAAGAGGCGTGCCCGCCGCGCCGCTCGAGTTCCTCGACGATCATTGCCCTCAGAGCGTGGTTCGGTATGAGCTGGAGCGACGCCAGCGGCTCGTTGGTGGTGGGAGATGTGCGCGCACCAGTAGCAAACCATTGATCTATCGCGCAGCGCTGCGCGGGGCGGGGCGTCAACGACCGATCGATGCACGCGAGACGGGACGCGGGCGACGAACCTCGTACGTATGCCCATCCGCGGCCATGCACGGATCGCTCATCACTTCGGTTGTGATACAGCAATAAAATTTCGAGGGCAACTCGTCGCGCCCTATCTGCAGCCGCGCTATCTCTGCCCGGTGCGCGCGCAATGTCTCCTCTAGCACGCTCTGATGCTTTGCCACGTCGAGTAAGTCGTCCGTCACGAGCTTCTTCGCCTTCCCGCGAGCGGCCGAGGAGCCGGTCATTCCGATTCTGACTGCTCGACCACGTACCAAGGAGCGTGGAGCGGCTGGTTGAAGGAGTTTGTGCTGTAAAACATACGGTACATATCCGTCACTTTGGACACTTTCCAATTGTCAAGCGGCTGGTTGAAGGATGTTGCATCTTGAAACATATATGCCATGATCGTCACATTGGACACGTTCCACTTGTTGAGCGGCTGGTTGAAGGAGCGTGCGCCACTAAACATACAATGCATATCAGTAACATTGGACACGTCCCAATTATTGAGCGGCTGGTTGAAGGAGCTTGCGTGGTCAAATATACCAGCCATCAAACATATAACTACACAACTAAAAAAAGTATCTAGTGTATATTTATCTTTTACTAGTAAATTAGAAAATCTAATTAGTGGTACCAAGGAGCGTGGAGCGGCTGGTTGAAGGAGGTTGCGTCCGCAAACATATAATTCATATTCTGTCCAATGTGACGAATATGAGATGGATGTTTGCAGACGCACACTCCTTCAACCAGCCGCTCAACATGGCGCGCGCGAAACGCCACCGTCGGGGGGTGCATAAAGATCCTTTCGCCGGAGCACGCCAGTCCACAATAGCTAGGGTTAAACAAACTTAGTCATAGGTCGCCATCAAACTCCGGCAGTCGCCGCCCGCGGACGCGAGCATCGTATTAAACCGGCCCTGGACAGCACCGATCAGGTCCGAGGCGACGGCGCGCTCCTTCTCGAGGTTTATCGGTGCGGACGGCGCCGCGCAGGCCATCGATGCGGGCCCCGACGTGAGGTCCGCGAGCGGGCCGTCCGGCCCCGTCCACGGCGCGCGCGACTCGAGGTCCTTGGCCAGCTGGAGGGCCGCCAGGGCGTCATGGCGCCAGCGGCTCGCGTTGCAGTATGTAGTCGAGACGGCCTTGGCGAAATGAGTCGCCGAGCTCTCGAGAGACACGGGACCGAGGAAGGGCGACCTGCCCTGTAAAGCAGCTTCCCGCGCGGCGGTAGGCAAACCGCGACTGCCATCAATGGTCGTCGCGATGGGCAGGCCGTGCTCGAGCGCGAGCCAGACTTTTGTGGAAATTCCCGAGGGCACGTCGGCCGGCGCCGCAAAGACTCGCGAGCGCCTGAGGACATTCCCAACATTGTCCAGGCGGCCGGGCGCCCAGACCCGCGCGGACGTGTGGGGCGGCCGGCCTCGCCCGACGTTTTCGGCCGAGCACACGCGCTGAATTTGCTCGGCATCGTTTTTACTGCGAGCGTCCTTGCACGCGGCTCGAGCCTCTTCCGCCCAGACGACGGTCCCCGCCAGCATCAGGTTGGCGTTGCGCAGCTCGTCGCACCCGCCATCCACATCGGAAAGCGAAGATATGGCCGGCAGCGCCTCGCGGAGCAGCCACCGGACCACTTTCCGGTTCGAGTACGTACCTCCACCAACAAATACCAGGTCTTTCCGGGCCGCCCAGGTCTGGGCGTGCGCGTCCCAGCCTTTGCGGGCCGTCTGCGGGTCGATGCGCGCCCGAAAGGGCAGGACGCGGATCGGCGGCTTAGCCGCACTGATGGTCTCCTTCTTTAGTAATTCATGACCAACGAAGTCCGCCGACACCTCCGATGGGGGCGACGCGCGCACCTCCTCGAAGGCCCTCGAGTCGTCGTCGCTGATCGAGAGGACGACCTCCACATCAGGATGTCCGTACAACACGCGCTCCGCCTCGCGCACGTTCTTCCAGTAGTTCGGCGCGTCGCCGCGCGCCGCGGCTACGGACTTTGCCCTAGCGTACTGCACGTCGTCGGAAACTAGCGCTAATCGGATCTTCCTTCTTCTTAACAGGCCCAATTCGCGGACGACAGGCAGTAATAGCAACGGTATGGGCGCCGCGTCCCTCCTATAAAACCACGTCGTCCCGATGACCACGTCCACCCGTTGCTTCGCTAGGCGCGGTGCCGTCACAGCCTTCAAATCGGAGGACACAGCGAAGACCGCGAGGTTCGAATCTTCGCAGCCGGCGATGTCCAGGTCGCGCACCATCTTGGCGGGCAGGGCCTCCCACTTCGACGAGAACTCTTTTGGTGCTTTGGCGTCGCGATGGGCCAAAATCACACGGTGGCCCGCGCGGCACGACCACGACAAGATCTGGCGGATGCGCACGTGGCCGCCCTCGTAGGGCGTCGGGAGCTTCTCGTAGGCCACGAAAATCGTCAGGGCGGCGCCGGCCACCGTCGCGTCGTCTATGAGTTCAGCTTCGAACTCCGGCCGCGCCCGCGCCCGCGCGCAATCCGAATTATTCCGGCGCTGGGGGCACGTCTGCGTCGAACACCACTTGTTGACCTCCTCCTGGATTACACTTGAAGGCAATAGTTGGATACCCGGCAGGGCCGCACATCGCGACAAGTCCACATCAGCACCCAACCGGTCCCAGAGGTACTGGTAGGAGTGCATGCCCAGGGCCTTGAGCCGCGGCTTGTTCGGCCCCGAGAAGAAGTTGAGGGCGTAGGCCGACGCCGGTGCCGGGAGTCGAATCGTGCCGTGCGGCGCCGCGGCCGCGTCGACACCACAACAACATCTCGAGACCACATCTTCCTGTAAAGTAGCCGTCAGGAAGGCGGCGGATTCCAATGTTGTGAAGAAGGTGCCGGCGTGGTTCTCGCAGACCTCGGTCCGCTTTTGGAGCAGCGCGTCCTTCTGCAATTTGCGAGCCTCGGCCTTGGACGCGTCCGGCGGCACGCCGTCGCCAGCTAAATGAAAAGTCCAGCGCTTGCCACCTAACACGACGGCCCGTCCGACATGCGCCAGCGACGCCATGAAGGCGCCGCCCCAGGGCGAGAAGCCCGGCGTTAGTGCCGTCGGCGCCTGGAGGCGACTCAGCCAGGACCTCGGGAATACGAGCGTATCGTGGCCCAGGTGCGGCTCGCCCACGCTCCGAAACACGTCATCCAGCGTCTCAAACGCGCGCGGCGCGATCTGTCTTCTAGTAATAGACCAGGCCGTGCGCAACGGCCTCCTTTCATCTAACACGAGCTGTTGGAGGTGAACGTAGAAGTGCGGATGTATTAGGATATCAGGATTGGTCAAAACGACGTAGTCCGCCTCGTGGTTATGCGCAGCGCACTCAAGCAGGTCCGACACCAGTGGTAATCTCATCCCGTTCGCCGTAATCACGCCGTTCCCCAGCTCGCACGCCCGCCGCACGGGGAAGCGCGTCAAGATGCGTTGCGCGTCTCGGTCGTCGTGCCTTGCTGCCGCTACGAGCTCCACATCAATACCTGATCTTGTTGCGACCCTCCAAGCGCTACTTAGAGCCTCATGAGCGACCTCGTCCTCGTTGATCGCCTCGCCACCGATGGTCGTGTGCGCGTGCGGCTTACTGCGGAAGAAGGGGTTCGTCACGTGCACGAAGCGCGGCCAGGCCACGGGCGTGCCGTGCGTGGGCCTTCGGAAATCCCTACCGTCCATGACCTGGGCCCGCTCGGGCAGCGAGTCCACAAAATTATTGCCCCAGTGCTTTCTAACTGGAGAGAAGAGCAGGCGCCTTCTTTGATTGCCGTCGTCGTCGGGCTCGCCCTCGTCCTCTTGCTTTGGTGTCGGTGCCGGCGTAGGTTCCGCGTTAGTAGTGTTGACCTCCTCGGCGAAGGCCCCCCTCAGCAACAAGGCGGCGTCCGTGTCCTCCTTGAGTCGATCGTCGCCGTCATCGTACCCATGAGCCGAGAGCCACCCACCAAATCCCTCCGTGACCCTCCTAAGAGCCAAATAGACGTCGCAGTGCGGCACCCTTCTTTGAACCTCATCTAAGACAATTCGTTTCGAGTAGGCCTTCGGTTTTGAGGTGGCCGCGTGGACGTGGCCGGCCCCAAAGCCGGTGGTCGAGTCCCAGCACTTGCGCGGCTGGTGCCTTCCTCGCTTCGGCGAGTTGGCCCCTCTCTGACACGACGTCGGCTTCCGATTCGCGAGCTCGTCGACGTGTTGGACCACTGCTGAAGCGTCGACGGCGTTCTCGTTTCCCAGAACGGCTCTACTAAGTCGCTGGACCTCGCTCGTATAATTCAACTTCATGCGCTCATACACAGCATCGTAGCAGACGTAGGGCGCCCAGTGCGCGTACTGCTGAAATCTCAAAGCAACACCATGAGATCTTTGGGTCCGCGTGGACCCGGTCGGCGCGAAGCAGGCCCCGAACATAAGCATCGACGACAATACCACATCCCGCACGTCGCGGTGGGACGTCAGGATCACATCGACCTGATTTACCAAGCGAGGCACGAAGATGTGCGTCTTCAGCACGCAGATGCGGGAACTCAGACAAGCGTCGAACGCCGCGGCGTCGCCGTCCGCGTGCGCGCCGTGGACGGCGTACTCTTCAGCAGAGAGGCGCCTTCTTTGAACGTACTGCTCGAGCATGCTCTTGACGGCGTTGTACTGCCACGTGCTGCCGCTCCGCGACAGGCCGGTCACCAAGACCCTTACGCCGAGCCACGTGTTGTTCTGCGATCGTCGCGCGCGGCAGGGCACTGCTTTACCGGTCGCGAGCGCGTTGGCCTCGGCGTGCGCCGCGCGGCGCGTCGAGTTGACGCGGTACTTCGTGTCGACGGCGACGACGGCGCGCGACGCCTTCTTCGGCGTCGCGACCGGCGCGGGCGTCGCGCGGTCCCGCGGCTCGTAGCGGTCCGGCGTCGGCGCGGGCGTCGTCCGGTCCCGCGGCTCTTCTTTTGGCGTAGCGACCGGCGCGGGCGTCGTGCGGTCCCGCGGCTCGTAGCGGTCCGGCGTCGGCGCGGGCGTCGCGGGCCGCGGTGATGGCCGCGGCGACGGCGCGGGCGTTGCTAGCTTCCTCGCGCGTTCGGCCGCCAGCCGCGCCGCCTCCGCGCGTTCGGCCGCGGCGCGCTCCTCATCCACCTTTTCTTTTTGTGCGCGCCGCTCCTCCGCCGCGCGCTCGGCCTCCATCTGGTGTCTCCGCCGCTCGGCCTCGGCCGCTGCGCGCTCCTCCGCGTCAATCTTAGGCGTTTCCACGCGCATCGTCGACGGCGCCGGCGTCGGCCGCGGGCTGTGGACGACGCGCGGCCAGGGCGCGTCGCCGGTCCAGGCGTCGCGCGCCTCGGCGCGCCACGTCTCGAGGAGGCCGCCCTCGCGCTCCGCCGCCGCCGCACTATGTAGTTGCAGCATGTGCCGCGCGTTCACCGCGAGCGCGCACACCACGGCGAAACCGATCAGCGCGCACCACGCCGGGCGTGATGAGCTTTGCGTCCCGTGGCGGCGCTCCCGTGGCCAGGGCCGCGGCTCGCGCGGGCGGCGCATGCTTTTTTGTGGTGGGCTGCTTCTAAATGGCCGTCACGGCTGCCCCATTTGCATCCGTACCATTGTGCAATTCGCTGTCGCAGTGCGGAGGCTGCAATAATTTTTAGCACCACTTCGATGGTGACGGGTTTTCGGGATCCAGAGGAGCAGGCAGGGGGCGCATCGACGCGTCTTCTACGTTTCCACGCGGTTTGCGACGCCCTACTTTTTTCGGCGGTGGCGGCGGGTTTGGAGAGCAGGTTTGTATCTCAAGCTAATGAGAGGCGGCAGCCCGCGGCTGTGCAGCGACGGGCGTACCGAGCTGTACGCATCACTCATTGCATCGGCGTGATGACGGCTGCGGACCGGGACCACGCGTGAGGCACCGTGTGCGGCTGCCCTTGCCATAGCCTCCAACCAAGCCGCGGCGCAGCGATCGCGGGACGACCGCCACGCCGTCGGCGCAGCGATCGCCGGGATGGCCGACGAGGCCCGGTCGACGGCCGACGAGCCCCGGAGCCCGCTGAGCCCCGGCGGCCACGAGGCGGTCGATTTGGGCGATGACGACGGCCCGGTGACGTACCAGGCGTGCGACTTCGCGGATTTGGATCGAGTGGGAGACCGCGACGCCGTGCCGGTCTACAACGTGGACCCGCGGAACGGGACTCCAAAAAGGGGGTCCAAGGACGTTAAGTTGGACGTGCCCTGGCCGCCGCCCTCGCCGCCCCTGTCGCCGACGGAGGAGGCCCAGCAGCTCGTGAAGATGATGATGTGCGCGGGTTTCGACGAGCGCGGCGTCACGTACGACGAGGCCGTCGGCCCGCCGCCGCCGCCGTACTCGCCGCGGAGCCCGCCTTCTACTGAAGACCACGCGGCCCAGGACCAGGACTCGACTTGTGATGACTCGGGCGACGAGGTCCTCCAGGATGGTCCGAGCGTCAAGGCGCACGGGCCGCCGGACCCGGCCGCGGACGACCGCCGGCCGGGCTAATTATCTGTGAATGAATTGATATATACACTAACTATCCCGTCGACGGGATATGTTACTAGTCGCCCTTCGTCGGCTGCGACCGCACCAACACTAACAAAGCGTCCTTCACCGGCTTGCCCCAGACGAGCCACTCGCACATCGGCAGCCCCACGACCAAGCCGACAGCCTGGCCGCCCATGAAGGCCGGCCAGGACTTGGGCGTGATCGACGCGAACGTGTCCGTGAAGGATCGGCCGATCGTGACCGCGGGGTTCGCGAAGGACGTCGAGGACGAAAACCAGTAGCCCGCCGTGATGAAGAGGCCCACGAGCATGGGCACGTCTCCCTTCGCCTTGATGCCGCCAAAGATCGTGAGGAGTAAGCCTAGCGTCGTCAGGGCCTCGGAGAAGAACTCGCCCCAGCTGTCGCGGTCTTTCCCATCGAAATAGTAGATCTTCTTCTGGAACATGGCGTGGGCGACGTGGGAGCCGAGGATGGCGCCGCCGATCTGGAACGGCACGAATAACGCGAACTTGAGCGAGCTCAGCTCGCGCTTCAGCCAAAAACAACAGGAAACGACGGGGTTGAAGTGGGCCCCGCTAATGCCGCCCAGCACACTAATCAGCACGTACAGGATACCCCACGTCGCCAGCGTGTTTCCGAGTAAAGCCACACCATCATCCGGGCTCAAAATGTCGCCGTGGTAGCCGCTCCCAACGATGACGGCCACGAGGAACATCGTCCCCAGGGCCTCCGCGAAGACCTGGCGCGCGAGCGACGCCTCGGGCTCCTCCGCCTCCTCCGCTTTTATCTTGTCTAAAGGAATGCACTTGCCCTCGACCATCACGCACTTGGCATCGGCTGGCGCGCAGCCCTGGCCGGCCTCGGCGGCGTCGAGTACTTCATCGCCTTTGTCTGACATGTTTGACTCAATGCTGCTTTCTTTTGATCGATGCGGCGGCTGCGATAGCAGCGCTTATCGTGCGGTAGCAGGTTCAGACAGCCACGCTCGACCTCGACGCCGAGCAAGCCCACGATTCGCACAGGTGCGTCGGCGTCTCGTTTTTGCTAGTGTCCTTACGCCGCTAGCTCAGACTCGACCCTTGCCACGCCATGCTTCGGAAGCCCTCTTCGCGTCACACGCTCAATCGCATGGTCACGGTTTCCGGAGGGGTCCTGTGAGATCGAGACCCCCTCAGCAGAGATGCGATGCAGAGCATCGAATAAGCCGCCACGACGACTCATTGCCTTTATCGTTGCGAGTTGCAGCTCCACGCAACACTCCACTACGCCACCGCGCTGCGCCAGTTCGTCGCGTGCATTGTGCGTTGCGAACAAGCACGCGCAAAGACAGCATCAGCAGAAGCCATTGAATTGCGCGACGTCGTGGTGCGCATAGATCAAGCAAAATGTCGACGACCACGGTCCTCACGACCGAGAAGCCGAGGCAGTGGCTCGCGCGGCTCCGAGTTGGCAAGCGCGACGACGACTACATTCCCGAAAGGCTGAAGCACGCGGCCCGGCCCGCGACCAAACCGGACCGCACGCTCCAACTGGTCTTCGCGCTCGGGGTGCTCGTCCCTTTTCTCGCGTTCGCGTTTCTCGACCCGGCGGGCGCCCGGGACGCGTTTGCGCTGCAGTATGCGACACTAGCACAGCTCCCTTCCTACATCATGACAGGGCCGTTCGTCGCCGCGGTTTTGTGTCTCTGCGTCGAGCGTGTTTGTTATACGCTCGTCTGGTGCTGCCCGAAGGCCTTCGCCGAGTTCTGCTCAAAGCATAACTTGGGGGCGCCCGTCGACGTCATCGTGCGATTATTCGGCGTGAACAAGTTCTTCCAACTGCTGGGCTTCGCGCACCTATATCTGTTGGGCGGGCTCGCGCCGCCGTCGTCATTGTTCGCGCTCGGCGTCGGCGCGACTCTGGTAGTGTGGGGCCAGGCGCTCAACGTAGGCATCTACCGCGCGATCGGCAAGGCGGGGGTCTACTACGGCTACAAGTTCGGCGTCGCCGTGCCGTGGTGCACGGGCTTCCCCTTCACGCTCGGCCTCGCGCACCCGCAGTACCTCGGGTCCGCGGCGACGGCGTACGGGTGCGTGCTGCTCTCGCTGACGGCGGCCCACGTCCCGGGCGGCTACGGCGGCCTCGCGCACGCCCAGGCGCTCCTCTACGCCTACATGGCCTACGTCGAGCACAACCTCTGATGATGGACTGCGTGTCCTCCGTCCTCGAAATCTAATTGTTTATTTATTCTCGACTCGGAGCGTCTCGCGCAATGCGCTCCCGCCACGACGCGCGCCCATCGGGACTCGGGCGTAGCACCTACGCCATCGACGCGAGCGCTCCCGGAAAGTCCACGACGCGATACGCCTTCGACGCAAGTGCTCAAAACAACGACCTTACTAGTGTCCGACGATGCCCCCGGCCTTCTCGGCCTCGCGCCGCTTCTGCCCAATTTCCTTCTTCGTCTCGGCCCAGGCCTTCGGCAGCTCAATCCCAAAAGTCTCGCACTCCCGCACCACGTCCTCGCGCGGCAGCCCCTCGACCGGCGACACGACCCGATCATACCTATGCTTGAACGTGTGCAAGGCCTCGATGTTCGCCAGGTACTCCGTATCTCTTTTATGCGCGTCGATGAGGAACTTGCCCTTGAAGCCGATGGCGTCGGGCTTGCCTGTGTGTTTTCGTGTGTTTTTGCGCCCCCACGCCATCGACGCGGCCTCTCTCTGTTCTCTCGGCAGAGGCCTCGCGCTTACTGTCCGACGCGACCTGGCGGACGCCGTCGACGCACCGATGGGCTCCATCTCGTCCGACAACCGGTAGATCAAGGGTATTCCGGTAGGAATTTCAAAGTCCCGGATGTTCTCGATCGCGATGTTGTCCATATGTTGTACCAAGCAGCGAAGCGTGTTGTTGTGCGCCGCGACCAGTACCCTCTTACCCCGCCGCATCGCCGGGACAATATTGTCGACCCAATAAGGTAATACTCTCTCTTGACACATCCTCAAACTTTCACCAGTGGGCAGGGCGTTCGGCCCCAGGTGCTGGTACCTTCGATCCCGCCCCGTCCAGAAGGGGTGGTCGGGGCGCATGCCGATCGGCTTCTTGTCGAAGCCGCGCCGGAACTTCTGGAGCAGTTCCTCGCCCATCTGGTCTTTCACCTCCTGCTTCGACATGCCCGTTAAAGCCCCATAATGCCGCTCGTTCAACCGCCACGACCGTCGGACCGGAATCCAGTGCTGGTCGCAGCAGTGGAGCGCGCTCCACAAGGTTCGTACCGCGCGTTTCAATAACGAAGTATGCGCTTCGTCAAATTCGAAGCCGTGCCTTTTGAGCATTATGCCCGCGTGCGTCGCCTCCTCGCGGCCCTGCTCCGTGAGGTCCACGTCGACCCAACCTGTAAATCGTTTCGACGCGTTCCACTCGGACTGGCCGTGTCTTAATAACACGAGTAGGTGCTGGGCCCGCGTTTGTGCTTTGCGTGGTCTTTGTCGCGTGAGCAGTCGCGCGGCGCGGAGCATGGTGTGCTCTGGCAGTGCGTTGCTCTTGCAATGCAATGCAACTACCGCTTAGGTTTGAATTTTGAGCTGCGGTCTGCAAGGCCGATGAATTATTATTAATGAACAGTGACTTGCCGTTCTAAACTGCCGCGTCGGCTTCGCGTACGCTGCTCAGAGCTAGGCTGGTGTGTGGCATGATGAGCTCCTCGAGCAAATCGCGCCCGGTGCTCGAGAGGTCTCTACTTCGACTTGATATGTATCCCTTCACGGTGCGACGCATGGCTGGCCCTGAAAAAATGCGGCTCGTAGCTTTGGAGACGTGCCCCAGGCGAGCTATTTTGGTCCGCAATTACGGCACGCACAGCTGCGTGCACGCCGCGGCTGCAGCAGTATTCGACGCATCGCTGCGTTTCCTGTCGCTATCCGAAGTTTGAACCGTCGCCGCGACCGGCAGCAGGAGTACAAGCAGTAGCAGCCAGCATGGCGCCGGCGACACCAGATCTCGAGGCCCAGGTCCTCGCGGCCTTACAATCAACGCCAAAATTCGACACCTACGCGCAAGCCAAGGCGTTAAATGTCGACCACCAGGCGCTCGTCGGAGCCGTCAAGTCGTTATGGGCCGACGGCTACGTGACCATGGACCAGAAGAGTTGTTCGTGGCTCAACGCCACGAAGGAGGGCTGCGACATCTCGAAGAACGGCTCGCCGGAGTATAAAGTGTATGCCGCGGTCTCCGCGGCCGGATCACTACCCGTCGCGGACCTCGAGAAGAGTGTAGGCAAGGCCAGCGCCAAGGTCGGTCTTGGTGCCGCCATGAGAGAAAAATGGCTCAAGAAGGGTGGAGACGGTAGCCTGTCGGTGGCGAAGGAAGGGGTTGCCGACGCGACGCGCAAGATGCTCGAGCCCTTCGTTGGATTGAGCGAGCCGCCGGCGACGCCTCCAGTACTACAAGCGAACGACGAGAAGCAATTATTAAGACGAAAATTACTCAAAAAAGAGACTTTGAAACAGTTCGAGGTCGCGAAGGGTGCCAATTATTCCTTGGAACGCAAAAGGAAGCAGGGCGACTTGTCGGTGGACATGTTGAGAGATGGGTCCTGGAAGACGGCGGATTTTAAGGCCTACAACTATAACGCCGTCGGCGCGCCCGTCGGCGGCGGCTACTTCCAGCCTTTGTTGAAAGTGAGGGCAGAGTTCAGAAAAATATTGATGGGCATGGGCTTCGAGGAGATGCCGACCTCCAAATGGGTCGAATCGAGTTTCTGGAACTTCGACGCGCTCTTCCAGCCGCAGTCGCATCCGGCTAGGGATGCCCACGACACGTTTTTTGTCAAGGAGCCCGCTTCCACGCTGAAGTGGCCCGCGGACTACTACGAGCGCGTGAAGAACATGCATGTAAGTGGTGGTAGTGGTAGTATCGGCCACCGGTGCCCGTTCGACGAGGGTGAGGCTCGGAAACAAATATTAAGGACGCATACCACGGCGGTGTCGGCTAGGATGTTGTACCAGCTCGCGAACCGCGAGGGCGGCTTCCGGCCGGCGAAGTACTTTTCGATCGACCGCGTGTTCCGGAACGAGACGATGGTGCGCGTCGGCGTCCCTTTTGTATTTTGATTCGCGTCGATGGCGCGATGTGGCGCGGCCGCGACGCCGTCGGCGCGGTGATGCCGACCCCCCCGCACGCCATCGACGCGATACACAAGACGCGACCCCCAACAACGCAGGACTCGACGCACCTCTGCGAGTTCCACCAGGTCGAGGGCCTCGTCGCGGACTACGACCTGAATCTAGGTAATCTCAAGTGCATCATCCGGACCTTCTTCGCCGAGATTGGGATTACGCAGCTGCGCTTCAAGCCCGCGTTCAACCCCTACACCGAGCCGTCGATGGAGGTGTTCGGCTACCATCCCGACTTAAAAAAGTGGACGGAGATCGGGAACTCGGGCATCTTCCGGCCGGAGATGCTCGCACCCATGGGGCTGCCGCCGAACGTGAGGGTGATCGCGTGGGGCTTATCGCTCGAGCGGCCGACGATGATCAAGTACCGCATCGACAACATTAGGGATCTGTTCGGGCACAAGGCCGAGCTCGCGAAGACGGAAGCGGCGCCGATCTGCGTGTTCCCCTAGTGTAAGCTTTCGGATACGCGTAGTTCTTCGCCCTGGGAACGGGTTTTTCAGCTTATGGCGACTCTTTTAGGACGCCCGAGCACGACCTGACAGCACAGTTTAGGGCAGGCGTCTAACAAAGGTGTGGCCCTGTCGCTCCTCGCGTCCCGGGAGGCCGCTGTTCAGCGACACGAAACGTCGAAACCACCCACTGCAATTGGCTATGGCGAAGAAGAACTACTACGCGGTCGCCTCGGGCAAAAGGACCGGCATTTTCGACTCGTGGGACGAGGCCAGGCCCTTAGTGGAGAGAGTCCGCGGCGCGCTACACAAAGGCTTCGCGACGCGCGACGAGGCGGAGAAATGGCTCGCGGAGCAATCTGGCGGCAGAGGCGCGGAACCGGCGCCGGGCGACGCGGCGCCCGGGGCGCCGCCGCCGCGCCCGCGGCTCGGGAAGACGAAGGTCGGCCGTCCGGCCGGGAACCGCGACGTCGCCGCCGACCTCGCGGCCGCGATGCCCGAGGCCCTGGCGCGCCAGCGGCGGGACGTAGCGAGGAGCGCGCCCTCTCCGGCGGCCGGCGAGCGGCGCGACTTCGGCCTCAACCTGCCGGCCACCGCGTCGCGCGACGCCTACCGGAACGCCGTGGGCGCATTCCCGGGCATGGCGGCCCACCGGCGCCCGGCCGCGCCCCCCGTCGCCGGGGCGCCGCCGCTGCGCCGGCGCGACGGGCCGTCCGTGGGGGATTTGCTAGAGGGACCGCCCAAGAAGAAGGCCCGGGCCGACACCGCGCCGGCGCCCTATCGGCCGAGGCTGACGTCAGCTGGTATAATACCGGCCGAGAATGGTGAGACGTACTTATACGGCGTGCCCCTGGGGCCGCCCCGAGGGATCACGGGGAACTCCGAAAAATTTGACCGTTTGCCGGCGCGCGACCAAGAGGTGTGCAGGGCGAGAGACGACTTTGATGCTAATGACGGAGAATACTTTCCTAACCTAACGGGCACACTTACGGACTGGGAGAATGAGATTTACTTGTATCTCCTCAAGCAGTACGGCCAGCCCCTGACAGGAAACTTCTACGCGGTTCGTGAGTTCAAACGGGAATTCGGATATCGCAAGTGGGAGTCGGTGAGAACTCACGTTAACCGGTTCAACGGGGGCCAGACGACGCACAAGACGGGACCCCGGGGCGGCAAGATCAAGAGCACGGTGTACAAGGATTGGGTCGCGGCGCACGGGGGCGAGTGGGTCGGGTTCCAGTGGCGGCCCTTATGAGGACTAAATAAGAATGCGAGTTCATAATATTATCTCTCATCGCATATGGCAGCTTGTGCTCGCGCCAAAGTGGCTCACAGTTTTCTTATACAGCCACCAACGGCGTCATGACCCGTCCCATGGCGCCCCGAGCGGCGTCGGCCGCACGACCGACGCGACGAGGTCCGGCCGGGTACACGCGCCCGTCCCGTTCGCGGGCGGCCGGCCCGGGTCGCGCGCGACGCAGGCGCACGCCGTCTGCGCGGTACCGGGCAGGCGGCAGCAGCCGTGGGTCCGGTCGCGGCAGCACGGCTTCAGAGGCGGTACTGTCGGGTCGTCGCGGGCGCCGCGGTCCAGGAGCCGCAGCGCGGCCTCGGTCGCGGGCGACGCCTTCGCGTCCAGCTTCCGAGCTTGGGCGTCGAGCAGCGCGCGCCACGCGCTCCTCACCCACGGCTGCCGCAGGTCCAGCTTGTGGCCGCACGCGTGGCGCCGAAATATGTTGGGGTCCGTGCACCACGACTGCGTGCAGCCCCAGCAGTCTAGGTAGACTTGGCGTAGTTTCAAAAACGCCGCCGCCGCGCGAAGGATCGTCGGCGCGGCGACCTCGTGCGCGACGCCGCCGAAGACGCGCGCCGCCCTCGCGAGGTACGAAAACGCCTGCCGCGGCGCGTGGAACAAGTCGGCCTGGGCGGCGCAGACTTCGGCCGTGCCGAGTTCTCGGGCGGCTTCCTTGGCGAAATCGCGCACGCCGTGGCCCCAGGTCCAGTCTTGTTCATTCACGAGGTCCTCGAAACTCAGACACCCTTTGCCGTAGATGCGCAGGTGTTGGGACTCCGGCGGAGGCCCGGTCGGCGGCGCGTTGAGGCCCGCCGCGAGCGTCCAGATCGCGTCCGAGGGGAGCAAGCCTTTCGCAACCCGCCGCTGGAACGCGAGAGGCTGGATCCAGAAGTCCATGTGCGCCACGAGGACGCCCGACGGCGCGCGCGTGTGGCGCCAGGCCTTGCGCAGCCACTCCTTTCTCGGAGCGAAGACGTCTGCTCCATCAGCCTCCGCGAGATCCTCAAACAACCGCGCGTAGGTGGGCGTCCGGTGTTCGGCCCCAGCCCGGTCGACGAGGCAGCCCAGGCCGTGGGCGTCACAGTCGGTGGCGTTCAGCGGGGCGCAGGGGACCTGGCGCGGTCCGGCCCTGCCGTGGTAGACGCGGCCGCACCCCGGCTGGGGCCAGATGACGTACGCGACGCCGCCAAAGAACCGCTCGTAGCGGCGCGTGAGGTAGAAGCGGTCGCGCCGGGCTACGGTGAGGACGAGCAGCACTTTTTGGAGTGGTTGGTGCTGTCTCTGCTGTTGGGGCGTGGCGTTGGTTATCGCTGCCAGCAGGAGTGTCGCCCGCCACGGCTGCATGCTCTTCGAGTCACATGCTGCCCGGCACCACGTATGCGCTCAGTAAATGCTCTGCCTGCAGAGAGGCTGCATGCAGAGCTGCCTGCCTCTCCCTGGCCCTGATGCTAGAGGCCGCGTCACCCGAGCGCTGATCAGCGAGAGCCCGCCTTGATGCGTCGCCGGAGTGCCCGACGAGTGCTAGGTCACTCCCTATTTTAATCTAGCAGAAATGAATGTACGACGCGGGGGCCCCGAGGATCGCCCAGGACCATCCCCAGGGTAAGGATTAGCACGTAGCTTCGGCGTAGCCCGAGCGGTCTCTTTGTATGTAGGGTCGGTATAGGGTACATGTATTTTTAGGGATTATTTATTTATTTTCCCAATATACATATGTATGTGTACCTTAGGGGTCGGTGAGGGTAAATGCACTTTTTTGCGACTAATTTTTTAGGGTCGTCCTAATATTTACGGTCCGTATAGGGTAAAATGTATTGGTTAACGTATTTTTGGATTATATATGTCCTTGACTGCTCGGCGTTCGGTCATCGTTTTTGGCATTGCGCCCAACGGCCTTGAAAATTGGTCTGCTTGACGTACGGGCCCTCCCAAGCCAAAAAAAAGCAAAAAGAAAGCGAAGCATCGTTCAGCCGGGAATCGAACCCGGGGACAGTCGATGGCAACGACTGATGTTGCCACTACATCACTAAACGTGTTTTGGCGCGCGTGGATGGTTGTTTTACCAGGGATGCTGGTTCAGCTGTGGGGAGACCTGGCTAACTTTAGCTTAGCAGTTCTGTTTCGTCGCGGCGGAATTTAGCAAAGTAGCAAAGCGAGGCGGCATTTAAAAAAACAATATAGGGCGCGCGCGTGCAAGTGCCCGTGTACAGGCAGCAGCGACCCGAAGACAGCAAAATCGGCACTCAAAGCGCTGCAAAAAGCGGGAGACCGGAGCAGCAGCGTAAGCACCATGGGGCGACAGCAAAGCAGCAGGGTGGTGGTATTCAGGGCGGTCGCGGCGATGGCGTAACGGTGGGGCAGACACTCTCGGCGGGCTCCGTCGGGGCGGCGTCGCAGTGGCGCCATCTTCGCGCGGGCTGGGCGGCGCCGCTGCCGGTGAGTCCATGCGCCTCCCTATGCTCCCTATGTTGTTCTGCTGTCGCGCGTGAAGCGGGTGCAGGGCAGGCGGCCCGCCAGCGTCACCGGGTCGCTTGCGAAAGGCGCGGCGTGTTCCTCTCTGAGGCCGCTGAGCGAGGCCGTGGCGCGACATTCGACAACGCCCTCTTCGAAATCCGCCGGAAGCCGTCTGAGGCCGGCGCCCTCTCGACCGCGGGGGCTGCCCTTGTGCTGCGTGCGGTGCTCCGCCATGGCCGCGCGCGGTCAACAATGATGGGTAAACATTGTTGAGAAGCTGTGCTGTCGCCGGCACCGCTCCGCGCGCACGCCAAGGCCGAACTCGACGGCCGCGGGTTCATGTCGGCTAGTGGGTCTTTTCACTAGGCGACGAGTGAGGGGCTAGCCCGCCATACACTCGACGAAAAAGCGCTGAGGACTAGCTAGCCCGCCATTCGCTCGACGAAAAAGCGCTGAGGACTAGCTAGCCTACCGCGCACCCGGGCCCGTCGCGCAAGTGCTGAGGACTAGCTAGCCCGCCATGCGCTCGACGAAAAAGTGCTGAGGACTAGCTAGCCCGCCATTCGCTCGACGAAAAAGCGCTGAGGACTAGCTAGCCTACCGCGCACCCGGGCCCGTCGCGCAAGTGCTGAGGACTAGCTAGCCCGCCATACGCTCGACGAAAAAGTGCTGAGGACTAGCTAGCCCGCCACACGGCTTGACGAAAAAGTGCTGAGGACTAGCTAGTCCTCGGCCGCGCGGGGTGTCGTTGGGGCGCCGAGTTGGGGCGCCGGCGGAGGCACGGTCGGCGCCCGTTGAGGCCCGCCGCGAGCGTCCAGATGGCGTCCGAGGGGAGGAGGCCTCTCGCGACCCGGCGCTGCGCGGAAATTACATGGGAGTTACGAGCGACGCGTCGGCGACGCGTGTCTGAGACTTCTAAGCCACCGTCACGCCATCGCCGCGACCAGTTGCTTGAAAACACCGGCGCGCGCCTGAAACGCGAGGAGCTGGAGCCAGAAGTCCATGTGCGCCAGTGCAGCGCCACGCGACGCCATCGAGCGACGTGGCGTCGATCGATGGCATGCGGGTTCAGCTGCCGAAGAACCGCTCGTAGCGGCGCGTCAGGTAGAAGCGGTCGCGCCGGGCTACGGTGAGGACGAGCAGCACTTTTTGGAGTGGTTGGTGCTGTCTCTGTTGTTGGGGCGTGGCGTCGGTTATCGCTGCCAGCAGGAGTATTGCCCGCCACGGCTGCATGCTCTTCGAGTCACATGCTGCCCGGCACCACGTATGCGCTCAGGAAATGCTCTGCCTGCAGAGAGGCTGCATGCAGAGCTGCCTGCCTCTCCCTGGCCCTGATGCTAGAGGCCGCGTCACCCGAGCGCTGATCAGCGAGAGCCCGCCTTGATGCGTCGCCGGAGTGCCCGACGAGTGCTAGGTCACTCCCTATTTTAATCTAGCAGAAATGAATGTACGACGCGGGGGCCCCGAGGATCGCCCAGGACCATCCCCAGGGTAAGGATTAGCACGTAGCTTCGGCGTAGCCCGAGCGGTCTCTTTGTATGTAGGGTCGGTATAGGGTACATGTATTTTTAGGGATTATTTATTTATTTTCCCAATATACATATGTATGTGTACCTTAGGGGTCGGTGAGGGTAAATGCACTTTTTTGCGACTAATTTTTTAGGGTCGTCCTAATATTTACGGTCCGTATAGGGTAAAATGTATTGGTTAACGTATTTTTGGATTATATATGTCCTTGACTGCTCGGCGTTCGGTCATCGTTTTTGGCATTGCGCCCAACGGCCTTGAAAATTGGTCTGCTTGACGTACGGGCCCTCCCAAGCCAAAAAAAAGCAAAAAGAAAGCGAAGCATCGTTCAGCCGGGAATCGAACCCGGGGACAGTCGATGGCAACGACTGATGTTGCCACTACATCACTAAACGTGTTTTACAGCGTGGGATAGCTGGTTGTTTTACCAGGGATAGCTGGTTCAGCTGTGGGGAGACCTGGCTAACTTTAGCTTATAAATTGTTTCGTCGCGGCGGAATTTAGCAAAGTAGCAAAGCGAGGCGGCACGCGAAAAAACAATTGACTGCTCGGCGTTCGGTCATCGTTTTTGGCATTGCGCCCAACGGCCTTGAAAATTGGTCTGCTTGACGTACGGGCCCTCCCAAGCCAAAAAAAAGCAAAAAGAAAGCGAAGCATCGTTCAGCCGGGAATCGAACCCGGGGACAGTCGATGGCAACGACTGATGTTGCCACTACATCACTAAACGTGTTTTACAGCGTGGGATAGCTGGTTGTTTTACCAGGGATAGCTGGTTCAGCTGTGGGGAGACCTGGCTAACTTTAGCTTATAAATTGTTTCGTCGCGGCGGAATTTAGCAAAGTAGCAAAGCGAGGCGGCACGCGAAAAAACAATATAGGGCGCGCGCGTGCAAGTGCCCGTGTACAGGCAGCAGCGACCCGAAGACAGCAAAATCGGCACTCAAAGCGCTGCAAAAAGCGGGAGACCGGAGCAGCAGCGTAAGCACCATGGGGCGACAGCAAAGCAGCAGGGTGGTGGTATTCAGGGCGGTCGCGGCGATGGCGTAACGGTGGGGCAGACACTCTCGGCGGGCTCCGTCGGGGCGGCGTCGCAGTGGCGCCATCTTCGCGCGGGCTGGGCGGCGCCGCTGCCGGTGAGTCCATGCGCCTCCCTATGCTCCCTATGTTGTTCTGCTGTCGCGCGTGAAGCGGGTGCAGGGCAGGCGGCCCGCCAGCGTCACCGGGTCGCTTGCGAAAGGCGCGGCGTGTTCCTCTCTGAGGCCGCTGAGCGAGGCCGTGGCGCGACATTCGACAACGCCCTCTTCGAAATCCGCCGGAAGCCGTCTGAAAGCCGGCGCCCTCTCGACCGCGGGGGCTGCCCTTGTGCTGCGTGCGGTGCTCCGCCATGGCCGCGCGAGCAAGAGAGTGCTATTGGTCTCGGGGTTTGTTTTCGCTCGCTTCGCGCGCGAGGACCACACCCCGCTAGGATGGTTTGTTTTAAGGCATGTTGTTTATTCGGCCGCGCCTACTACGCCATCGTCGCCTTTGCTACGAGTCGACGCAACAGCGTTCGAAAAACCCGAACCCGAACCCATTGAAAATCAGCGCCAGCGGCCCGGCCGTGCCGCGAGGCAGCCCCGCCCCACCCGCAGCGATCGTCAAGAGCCAAAACGATCTCGCAGTGGTAGGCACACGGCAGGAGACGGACGGCGGCAGCCCGAGGGCAGCCCAAAAACTCATAGAGCAGGATGTTCAGCAAGCGCGCCTTCAACGCGCGGCGGCGCAAGACCCAGGCCCTCGCCAAGAAGCCCGTCAAAGTAGCCAATGAAAAACCTACAACAGAAATTTTCGTCAATCAGACCGTGATTCCCTTCAAGAAGACCTGCGACTTCTGCGAAGAGAAGCGCGCGGTTTTTCATTGCCCGAAATGCACGACGACGGCGACGGGTACCGGAGATTTTCTTTGCGATAGCTGTGATCTCGAGGTCCACCGCCACGTCAAGAGAAGAAATCATATTAGAACCCAAATCCCGGACGTCACGGCGCGGGAAGCGGTGCACAAGATCATGGGCTGCTTCAAGTACCTGTTGGCGCGCAAGGTCCTCGTGGCCAAGTGCCGCCTCGAGTTCCAGCGCTTCTTCGACCCCCCTACGAAGACGTACTTCTACTTCCGGCCGTCGATCCAGGTTTCTAGCCGGCGTCCTATGTACTTTCTTCGCGTCGCGGCGATGGCGTATGCTCCGGTCCGGTCCGTCGAACGCCCGCGTGGCGCCGCTCGAGGTCTTTGGCGCCGCGGCCGCGGCCGAGCCCACTTCAGAGCCTACGGCCAAGCCGACGAACGCGCATCGCCGCGGTGAGAGAGAACACGCCATCGCCGCAAGAGACAAAGCCAACACCACAAAAACCAACGCAGGAGACGTCCTGGCGCAAGCCCCTCTGCCTCAAGGAGGCGGAGCTCTGCCCCTACCCGTCCTTCGACGACTACGTCTTCCGGATCCAGGCGCGGCCACCGCGTCCGAGGGGCCTTCACTCGCGTCGATGGCGTACGGATGGACGCCGCGGCGCGTCGGTGGCGCGGTGGCGGACGAGGGCGCTGAGAGAGACGTAGACAGAGGGACATGAACAGCAACAACGCAGGGCCTCGCGCGTCACAAGGCCGCGCGCAACTACTTGATCGAGCTCATCCGCCAGACCTACGACAAGATCTTCTCGCGGGAGTACACGCGCTTCTACTACCACTTCAACGGGAAGTCGACGCTCGTGCCGCGCGTGGCCTGGACGAAGCCGCGGTTCCTCTACTGGCGCGACCTCAAGGCGTTCAAGAGCGAGGACGTCGCCGCGCTGATGATCCAGAACCAGTGGCACGCCTACAAGGCGCGCCAGTTCATGATGAACGCCGTGCGCGCGCAGTACACCGTCAAGACGGACCCCCTGACGGGGCGCCTCATGTACACGAACGTGCACACGCACAAGCGCGGCTTCAAGAAGCCGCCTTTGTTAGGTAGCGAGGAACTGGATCCCGAGGACATGAGCCTCTGGGGCATTTATCGGCTGGGCGTGTTCTTCCGGCGGCTCGGTTATGGGTTCATCGCGCCGGAGCTCCGAAGGTTGATGCTGTGCGGAAATCACCATCGACGCGACGTCGTCCCCGTGATGCATCTGAAGGTATAACTCACTGGTTGATTTCGACACAGGTTCGACGTGGACGGGGCGCTTCTCCTGTCCTTCGAGTGGCAGGACTACGTCGATTTAGGATTCACGCAGTCGCACGTCATCAAGCGCGTTTTACTGCAAATAGAAAAAAGGGCCTTCTTCAAGAGCCACCGCGATTTACCCGTAACGCTAGTACGACGGGACCGGCTGCGATATCACCACCGCGTGGAGAAGGCGGCGATCAGCATTCAGAGAAGGTACCGCGTCATCTACGCCGCTTTACAAAGGGCGCGCGCGGCCGAGCGCGAGCGCGTCGAGAAGGCGAAGAAGAAGGCCGAGAAGGACCGCAAGGAAGGAGGTTTGTGGTGGTCCGGGAAAATAAAAAATCTGCCCGTGCCGGACCACGGCAAGGTCTATGGGAACCGGACGGTGGAGACGGTGCACGGCTGGGGCTCGTGGATCGGGGAAAAGTGGGTGCCCCTCGACGACAAGACGCGGCCGCACAAGCAGCGCTACAAGCACAATCCCTTGAACGTGCGCTTCAAGTTCGCGCGGACCCTGCACTTCAAGAACGACGACGCGGTCCAGGAGCAGCGCGCGGCGTTGGTCGCGCGCTTGCTCGAGGAGGACATGCGCCAGCGCCAGGCCGAGGCGGCCGTGGCCGCGGCGGACAAGAAGGCGCGGCGGGCCTAACGATGTGTGTGTGTTGATGGGGCGCGGCGACGGCGTTCAATGCGTTGCTCGCGCGCTGAGGCTGAGGCTGAGGCTAGTTACGTCGCAGGGTTCCCCGTACCCCTCCCGCTCCCCCCGGGCCCACCCGTCCGGCTGGACTAGGACGCAAGGGCTGAGTCGCATGGACTCGCGCGCTTGCTAGTGTCTTACAGGCCGCTAGCATCGCGGTCGTCTTGGCTTTTGTGGTCCGTGATCGCAGCGCCAACAGCTGCGCTGAGTAGCACAGACTATATTCCTCAATCATTTTGGGCTGCGCGCAGCCCTCGACGAGCGATTTTGGCAGCGCTACGAGCGCTGAGCCGAGATCAGGCCAAGGCCACCCCAAGCGATCAGTGAGCGCATCTGACCCGCAGAACAGCAGCGATCATGGCGCCTCCTCGGAGAGGCGGCCGAGGCGCTGCCAAGCCGGCGCAGCGCACGCACGCGGCGCCGAACGGCCGCGCGGCCGCGCCGACGCCACCTGCCGCGGGCGGCGGCCGAGGCGCCGCGAGGCCGGCGCAGGCGAGGCCGGCGCCCGCGGGGTTCCGGGTCGTGACGCCGGCGCCTGCGCGCCGCGCGGTCGTCACGCCGCCGCCGCGCGACCCCGAGCCCATCGCCCAGTACGTGCGCAATATTGAACAAGACAACGAGGAGCGCCTCGAGTGCAAGATCTGCCTCGACGCGCCGCGGGCCGTGCGCTTCCAGAAGTGCGGCCACTGCTGCGTCTGCACGGACTGCTACAACGAGCTGCTACAACTAGCGCCGGAGCACCGCAAGTGCCCGCTCTGCAACGTTCACATCGGCGATGCGCACTCCGTGCTCAAGACGCAGGCGGCGCTCCAGACCTTCATGGCGTCAAGGACGCGGGGCACGAACCGGCAGCAGCGCCGCGCCGCGGAGCAGCGCAAGGACAAGGCGCAGCGCGTGCGCAAGCTGAGCCACGCCGAGGAGAAGAAGGCCCTGCAGCGCGGCCGGCGGACGCAGCTCGCCGACGGCGCCACTTTATTAGAATACAAGGGCCTCTACGCCATCCTCGAGGGCGGCCAGCGGGCGACGCCCTTCGTCAAGCCGCCGCCCGTCTTACCGGCCGCGGCGCCGCCGGCGCCGCCGCGGCCGCCGGCCCCGCGGTCGGCCGCCGCCGCGGACCTGTTACTGCGCGCGGCCGTCGGCGCCGCGCCGGCCTACGCGCCGCCGCCGCGGCCGGTCCCGGTACCGCCGCCCCAGCGGTGGGCGGGCCCGCCGCTCGCCGCGCACTACGTCGTCATCGTCGACCACTCCGGCTCCATGAACGCCAAGGACTGCCTCGACGACTGCGGCGGCAAGATTACACGGTTAGAAGCCGCCTACGACACATTACTAAACTCCTACGTGAAGGAGACGCGGGAGAACGCGCCGGACGGCAAGGACATCGTCGTATCCTTAGTAACGATGTCGACGAAAGCCGAGTGCGTCTTCGAGCGCTACCGCCTCGACCTCGCCGAGGACGCGATCGGCAACCACGCTAGGGTGGCGTACGCGCACGACCACGGCAATTATCTGCCGGCGCTGGCCGAGGTCGAGCGCCTCTTTAGCCAGCCCATCGACGCCGAGGGGTCCCACGCGCTCGGCGTTGTCCTACTAACGGACGGCAAGCCCTCGGACACGGTGACGGACCCGCGATTTGTGAGTCCGGCATTACGGGGCTACGACCGCATCATTGCGCAGCTCTCGTGGCTGCTGCGGGATCTCGAGCAGAAGGTCGACGAGCGCTTCCCACGCTTCGCCTGCAACTTACTGGGCATCGGCGCATCGCGGGCCGAGTTCAAGATCCTGGACGACGTCAACGCCGACATCAAGCGCGGGAGCGTGGACCACAGCGCGCTCGACTCGTCGCTGCTGTCGTCGACGATGACGTCCATGGCCACCACCATGATGTCGAGCGTCCTCGAGACCTCGGTCTGCGCCGGCCGCGCCAAGCGCACGGTGCGCAAAGTTGCTCAAGAATCGGCCGACGCCGCGGCCGCCTCGTCGCCGCGGCGCCCGACCGAAGCCACGGACCCGTTCGACGCCGCACTGCCGTTCCTCACGCCGGCGCAGCGCCGGAACTTCGTCGATAACGACGTCACGTTGGATTGCCTCGCGTTGCTGCACGACGAGGACCTCGACGACCTCCTGGAGGGCGACGACGGGGCGAAGTCGTCGTTCCGGATGCGCTACCCGGACCCAGCGGCCGCGGAAAGGGGCCCGTCCGTCGAGGAGGCGGCGGAGATGGCGCGCCGCGAGGTCGAGCGCCTCCGCGCGGAGGAGGAGGCGCGCGAGGACGCCCGCACCTCGTCCCTGGGCGAGAAGCTGGACGTCAAGGACCCGCACTGGCTCATCAGCGAGCCGGTCACGGGTGCGACGCTCTGGAACGGCGAACGGTTAGCCTGGCGAGACTTCGACGCACCGCGGATTCTAGCGAAGCGGCGCAAGTACTTCTCGGACGGCGCCGAGCGGCTGGCCTACCGCGGGGCGCTCGTCGAGCCGAACACCGCGACGATTCTCGAGGACGTGGTTTTCAAAGAGTCAAAATTCGAGGAGGATCACGTCGTCGTGAAGCAGGAGGACGAGTCGGACGACAGCGACGACGACGATGACGAGGAGGGCTTCCTCGCCCGAATGACGGCGGCGAGGAGCGGCGGGTTGGCAGCGAAGCATCGGGAGAAGCGCGACGTCAAGGAGAACGCCCACTCGGCCTACCACATAACCTTCTGCAAGGCGCAGTTCGAGGCGGGCCAGCTCGCCGTGGAATTTAACGCGGCGACGGAGCGGTGGGGGCGGCTGCCGCGCGTCACGTTCGTGACGTCCTCTGTCTACAAGTTCACGACGGGCGTGCAGGGCGAGCTCGAGACGACGCGCGTGTTGGGCGAGCCGCGGCTCCGCGGCGAGTACAAGAAGTTCACGAACAACGCGGGCAAGAGCGCCGACTTCCCGGGCTCGGACATGGACTGCGGCCCGGTCGTCGAGCCCAAGCAGCGGGCGCAGCCGCAGCAGGGCCTGTCGGGTCTCGGCGCGATCGGCGAGGAGGACGAGGAGGACGAGAGTGACGACGAGCCCGAGCACCTCACGGCCGGCGAGGTGCCGTACAGTGCATAAACAAATACTACGGCGCCTTCGACCTCACTGCCGTACATCACACATTATGCACACAGGTGCCGCAGGCGTTCTCGCACTTCAGCTACGAGTACTCCAGCGGCGCGCGCATGGTCTGCGACCTGCAGGGCTGCTTCGACCGCGAGCGGGGCTTCGAGCTCACGGACCCGTGCATGCTGTCGAAGGTCGGCCGCAGCGAGTCGGGCTACGGCCGCACGGACCGCGGGCTGCACGGGCTCGTGGACTTCTTCCGGACGCACAAGTGCACGCCGCTCTGCAAGGCGTTGGGGCTCACAGACGCGCGCGTCCGCGAGCAGGAGCTGGTCGTCGAGGAGGCCCTGCGAAAGAAGGAGGAGCGCGAGGCCGGCCGCGCCGCCGCGGAGCGCGCGGCCGAGGCCGAGCGCGAGAAGCGCCGGCAGGCCAAGGAAGCGAAGCGCGAGCGCCGCGCCGCCGAGAAGCTCCAGGAGAAGAAGGTCGAGGAAGATATCGCTGCTGCGGCAGCCGAGGCTCGCGGCTTGCGCGCTCGGGCGGCGCGCGCGGTGAGCGGCGCCGTGAAGGGCGCCGCGAAGGGCGTGGCCGCGGCAGCGGGCGGCGCGGCGAACCTCATGGCGCCGGCGGTGCAGCGCGCCCAAATGCTGCTCAACGGCTCCGCCGAGGAGCTCGAGGACGCGGCGGCGGAGGCGGGCTATCCGCGGTCGGCCGCCGGCGTCGTCCGCTACAAGCAGTCGCTCCGCGACAAGGTGAAGGCCGAGGAGCGCCGCCTGGAGCGGAAGGCCGAGGAGGTCGAAAAGGAGCGGAGGAGGAAGGAGCGGCAGAAGGCGAGGAAGGCCGCGGACGCCGCTGCGGCGGCGGCCACCGACGAGCACAAGGACGAGGAGAAGGAGAAGAAACGCGTCCGGCCGCAGCCGCCGGCCGCGGCTTTTGAGAATAGCGACGAGGATAGCGACGACAGCGACGACGACGAGGGCTTCTTCGCGCGGATGACCGGGCGGGGAGCTAAGGCGGCCCCGGCGAAGGCGGCGCAAGCCGAGCAGGCGGCGATCGCGCGCGGGCGGATGGCCATCGGGACGGAGCACCCGATGTTTCCCGACAACTGCGGGCGGTGCGGCGCCCCCAACGCCTCGAAGATATGCGGCCGTTGCAGGGCCATGCATTACTGCAGCGCCGCCTGCCAGCGGGCAGACTGGGCGCAACACAAGGGGGACTGTTTCAATGCCGAGCTTATTGTGAGGCCGCGGGCCTGAAGGAGGACGAAGAGGGATGATGCCCGGCGCGGCGCCGCCAAACTGTGTCACGAATGTGTAAGACAAGACTAAAATTAACGCTCGGCAAAAATCCAGAACGTCAGCGCGTAACGGTCGCGCCGCGCTTCGAGGACCTCGTGCTCAAGGAACGAATCGAAGACGACGACGCGGCCGGCCGCAGGCGTTATTTCCACGGTGTCGCCGCCGCTCTCGTCGTAGATGCGGAGCGCTCCGCCGTCCTCGGCCGCCCAGTCGAGATTCAGATAACAGATGCACGTGAGCGCCCGCGCGTTGCCGCAGACGCCGTCGGCGCCGCGCGAGTTGTCCGTATGCTTCCGATACCTGCCGCCCGCCCCGTAGCAACTGAGCATCGACGACGCGGGCACCGTCAGCGTCTCGCGCCACCGGCCGTCGGCGTTGATCGCCGCCGCGACGCCGCGCTGGAGCCGCGCCAGGCGCGCGAGCGTCGGGCAGCCGTTCGCCGCTAACTCATCGGCGCCGAACCACCCGACACGGTCGGACCGCGTGCCCGTCAGCGCCTGGAGCGTCGGCTTCAATTGGATGCCGAGGCTCTCCGCTTCCTGGCGCGCGGCGCGCGCGGTGTCAGCATCCAAGACGTCCTCCACGACAACATAGCCTTTCGCGAGCAACCCGTCAACGAGGCGCGACGACACGACGAACGCATCCGCCTCGGCGCATGCAGAGCTGCCCGCGGGCGCGCCGACGATCGCGCGCGAAGCCAGGTGATGGGTGCGCGTCATTTCGGCCGCGGCGGTCCGTCGCAGGACGTCGGCCCGGATTCGCGCGCGGAGCGTGCCCTCGTCGGCGCCGGGCGCCGCGGTCGCCAGCGCCGCGGCGCAGGCGCGCTCGACTAATACCTCCGTCTCGCGCCGCGTGGCCGCCGTCTGCGCGTCGGCCGCAGCCGACGCCGCCGCGAACTCGTCGGCGGCCAGCGGCTCGAGCAGGCGGCCGAGGCCCGGCTTTTCAAGCATCATGAAGCCGCCGTCGACTTGGACCCAGTTGTCCGCGGCGGGCGCGGCGCGCACGAGATCTCCTTGGAGGCGGCGGCCCACGACCGTCGCCGAAGCGTCTGGCGCTGCCCTAACAAAAACGAGCGCGTAGGCGACGCGGTAAGGCTGCAACGCTTCCACGAGCTCGAGCATCGTTTCACCGTCAAGGACTTCGGCGTCGTCGAGGGCGCGCTCCGCTGTCCGCAGCGTTGCCGCCTCCACGCGTGCGCGGCGGCATACGGCGCGTCTCGCTCGCGCGACGGTCGTCGGCCCGCGGCACGCGATTCGAAACTTCCGCGGCCCGTAGCGCACGTCGAGGGCGAACGGCGCCATGGTTACTTGTCCTTCGGCTTCGACACGCGCGGCTCCACGATGTATTTGTTGACGGCTGTGGAGATGACTGTGGCTGTCAGGACCACTGCCACCATGCGTGCTACGAAGAGCTGATTCATTTGTCAGTTGCTGTTGCTGCTTTGCACTGTGAAAAAGCACGAATGTGGGAGGAGACGGCGCTCGAGCGTGGAAGGAGAAGGGGACGAGCTAGCGGTGTAAGACACTAGCACTTGCCTCGAGCGACTTTATACCATCGCTTGGCAGGGACGCGTTGTCAGCTCTTCCAGTGAATCACATTTATCCTGGCTAGAACCTGAAAGGGCGTCCGACACCATACCCGGCTCACAAGGACCAAGGTTGCCTCTGCATGCGTTTCGTATCAGTGGTCGTCGCCGCATTCTTACCATATCAAGGGGTAAGCATGAACGACCCGCAGGGCTTTCTCGCTCATTTGCGGGAGGAGGCCAATAACGGCAACGGGGAAGCCTTGCACGACCTCGGGCAGATCTATGCGGCGCCCCAATTAGCTCAACAGTTTGGGATCGAAGTCGATCAGCGCCAAGCGGTCGAGTATTGGCGGCGCGGCGCGGACCTTGACGATGCGCTGTGTCAGTCGAACTTCGGCTCCCGGCTAGTTAGAGGGTACGGCGTTGAAATGGATGAGGCCGCGGGTTTCCGCTACTACAAGCTGGCGGCCGATCAAGGATCTCTGGAGGGCCTATTTGGCGTGGCGGTCTGCTACGAGAACGGCGAGGGCGTCGCGGTGGACCTCGACGAAGCATGGCGCTTGATGAACTCAGCACTCGCCTTGGCGCAAGCGAATGGGGACCCAGGCGATTATACCAGCGATATCCACGCGGGGCTGGCGCGCATTAAATCCAAGCGAGGCGGTGGAAACGTCGCGATGGTGATGACCGGACCAGATGGAACAGTCCGGACGTTCTAGGCGCCCCAGGACTAAAACAAGACCAACTTAACAACTACGACGGCGACGCCGCAGGACCCCTCCGCGACGAAAAGCGCCGAGGCCTGGGCGGGTCGCGCCGCCGGAGCCCTACCGCCAAATGCCGCGCGGGCCCTTCGTCCGGGAGAAATGCGGCAACATGCCTCAAAACGTCGTCCGGTAATTTTCCAATGTCTTTCAGCACGCGCGGCCCGGGAGCGCCGCAATCAATTAATGTGGCGGCAAGCGACACCTCGCCGCGCCGCAGCGCGTGCGCGAGCGGCGGCCGCGGCGCGGCACCACACAACGGCCGCTCAAAGAAATCGGGGCCCCGTCGGACGGCGTCGCGGTCCCGCGCCGCCGCGACGAGCAACTCGAGCGTCTTCGAACCATCGACAGACGCGCCGTCGACGCAGGCCGCGACCGGCGACCGCCGCCGGCCGTCCTCGCGCAGCGGGTCCGCGCCAGCGGCCAACAATACGCGAACGCAGTCGGCGGATGCGCGCCGCGCCGCCGCCGTCAGGGCCGTGTCGCGCTCGCCGCTCACTTCGCGCGCGTCGATGTCAAACAGCCGGGCCCCGCAGAGCTCGGCGAGCGTCTTGGCGTCGCCGGCGCGTGCCGCCTCTTGCAACGGGCCCACGACCAGCTTGCCCGGACAGTGGGCGCCGCGCCTTGCGCCTCCTAACAATTCACGGACCAACGCGGCCCGCCCGCCGCCCGCCGCGGCCGCCAGCGCGGACCGGCCGTGCGCGTCGGGCACGAGAGGCGACGCGCCGCCGGCGACGAGCGCGCGCACGATCGACGTCGTCGCCCCCTGCTTGACGGCGCGCTCGACGGCGTAATGCAGGGCCGTCCGCCCGTCGCGCTTCGACTTCGCGTCGATCGCAGACCGCCCCTTGCCCGGCGTCGCGTGGCACAACGCGCGCACGCACTCGACGGCGGCGCGGCCGCGCGCACTCGCCGCGCACGCGTGCAGCGGCGTCTCCAGCTGGCGGTCGCGCGGATACACGTCTGCGCCCGCGCTGAGCAGCGCCTGGACGCAGCCCGCGTGCCCGCGCGCGGCAGCTGCGTGCAGCGGCGTGCGGCCGCGCCGATCGCGGCCGTTCACGGCGTCGCGCGACGCTCGTAAAGCGAGCCGCAGCGCCGCGACGCGATTGTGGGCGCAGTGCGCCGCGAGGGCGGCCGCCGACGTGTCGGGCGGCGGCGCCTCGACAGACGTGTCCGACGACGTCGCCGACAGGTCGTCGTCGTCCGACGAGTCATCGCCGCGGGCCCGCGCGACGGCGGCGGCCGCGCGCGCCGCCGCGCCCGCCCGCGCGATGGCCGTCGCGCGCATCTTCGCGAGCGCCTGATCCGAGGCCAGGGCGGCGTCGCGGTCCTCGCGCCAGGCGTCCGCCGCGACGCGCCACCGCGCCCGCGCCGTATCGCTCGGCCGCGCCCTCCGGACCTCGAGCGGCGCGGGCGGCGGCGGCGACGGCGACCGCTGCCGGGCGGGCGGCGGCGGCGCGCGGGGCCAGACGGGTTCTGGTGGCGGTGGCGGCTTGGCGTTCCTGCTCTTGCGTGCTGGCGCGTCGGCGGCGCGCGGCTTGGGCCGCCTCGCATTGGCATCTGGAGGATTCTTCTTCTTCTTGCGCCGCCGCTGCTGCTTGCGCGCGACCGGTATCGGTATTGGTGCGAGCACGAGAGGCGCTGGCAAGAGGGCCAGGACTGAGGGGTGAAACTCGGCAGCCTCAGGGTTCATCTTTGGTGGGTCCAAAATGTCATGATACGTCGAAAGAATGATTTTATAGTGTGTGCGAAGCGTTTTAACTGGCTGCAGTCTCTCTCCGCGCCGCTTAAGGTCAGCTTGCTAGTGTGTTACAGGCCGCTAACATGATCGCGTCAATTGCTGCAGCGGAGCCAGTACGTGCAAAATAGTAGCTCATCGCTGGCAAATCCGTGATGACGACGATGGACGCCAGTGCTTCGTTTTTCACGGCGCTACCGAATGACCTGCTGCAGCGGGTGCTCGTGGGCCTACCCTTTGACGACCACCACGCCGCCACTGGCGCGTGCCAAGCCTTCCGCGGCGTCATCACTGGCTCGCGTTTTCCCGCGCTACGCCAAAAGTACGGCTTCGCCGAGCGCGGCATCGTCACGGTCAGGCCCGCCGACAGAGGGCGCCAATACGACGTGACCTCTCGCCTGCAAATTGTAATGGCGCACAAAAATGAAATTGTGGCAAGCATTCCACAAAATGAAATTCTGATCTCTGGCGGCTCGACGACTGACGGCGGTAGCCGGCTGTTTGTCAGCACCAAAACACCGCCGTGGGACGCCACTCCCAATGAAGTTTTGACGGTGGATGTCTCGTCACGCCGATGGAAACGTTTCGCAACCCTGCCGCAGAAACTAATTGGCCACAGCATCGAGTGGCACGGCGGGCTCCTGTACGTCGCGGGTGGTTGTCGAGACGATGGGCCATCCTATATACTTAACTCTTTCAGCGCATTCAACGAAACAACTGGTTTGTGGGAAGCGTTACCTCCAATGCCAATTAAAACCCTGTGGGCGGCGTCGGGCATTATTGGCAACCAGTTGTTCATCGCGGGTGGTCGCAATGGGTTAAAGGCACTGCAGATTTATGACATCCCTAGCAGGACGTGGCGATTGGGTCCATGGATCCCAAACTCGTACTCACGTTCCGCACAATATGGTGGTTTTGTTGTTGATGGGAAGTTGTGCTTGATGAATGTGCGTGGTAGCCCCATACTGGTCTACGACCCCCAGGCCAACACGTGGACCGAGGAGGCACCGCGCTCATTTACAATTCGTCTCGCATGCGTCCACGACGGCCGGCTTATCGTCTACCGAGAGAACTCAATCGTGATCGCGCGAGCCAACGACGGCTCTTGGTTCCCCTACGCACACGTCGAGCCCCAGAGACATTGGTCTTACACATCTGTCTCCCGCTCTATCCTCCTCGGCTAACTAATCGGGCGACCCATATGTACCCTGTAGACTTCATAAGAGAGAATTACTAATGACAGGGGAATAGCGCGAAAAAAGACAGAGACTCCTGAGCTCGTCGTCGTCCTCGTCGTCCTCGTCGTCCTATCTGAACAAACAGCAGTATTTACACACAAACACAAAGGCTCACCAGTTGTCGTCGTCCGACTCCTCCGCGTCGCGCGCGTCCTCGAAGACCTCCTCCGAGGCCGAGGCGAGCTCGTCCGCCAGCGCCGCCCCGGCCCGCTCGGCGCGCTTCGACCGCAGCGCGTCGGCGGCCGCCGGGTTCGAGAGTGCGACAGCGAGCGTCTTTTCGGCCTCCGCTGCCGCGGCGACCTCGGCGTCCGACGCCGCGTGCTCGAGGTCCAAATCAATATCTCCGAAGAGGTCCGCGACGCCCGCGGCGTCCACCGCTATGGACAGACCCGCCACGAGGCTCCGCGCCAGCGCCGCGAGCACGGTCAGCCGCGACGCAGCCGGCGCGGTATAGGCGTCGCGCACGGCCTCGAGCGGAATCGCCAAGGACACGAAGCCGTCGTCCGCGCCGCGCACCAACACGTTGGCCGGGCCCGCGTACGGCCGCACCGCGTCATATGATGCAGTTAATGCCTCCAGGACGTTGACGGCGGCCCCGAACAACGCGTTATCATCATCACGCTCGCTTATGATGCACGCGTCTTCACCGTTCACGCGCTTTGATACTTTCGGCGCGATGGCCGTCCTCCAGAGCTCGCACGCGCACCAGGCTGAACAGCACCGCGCGGCGCCGTTTTTTGAAGACGAGGACTTGCGCACGTCGCTGCACGACGCGGCGAGGGCCCAGCCGTCGTCTATGGAATCCGCGGCTCGCATCAGCGCTCGTAAGCATCGTAAAGCGTCTTCATCTAGTTCGGGAAACGCCCGGTGGAGCCAGCCTCTTTCAGGTCTCTTCCTTATGAGTTCGGCGAGCTTGGCGCCTTCTCCACCGAGAGCGGCCGGGACCTGCTCTTCTGTAGAGCCGGCCGCGGCGTCGGCACAGACCGCGTACGCGAGGCGTCCCCGTTCGTCCCTTAACGCATTCGCCGTCACATCTGACAATTGAGACGGTCCCTTTGCAACAACCATAGCGCACCGCAACGTAGCTATTTCTCCATCTAGCGTCGCGAGGCCCCAACGATGGTCGTCGGCCGTGAGCGCCCCGTGGCATCTATCTTCCGCCGCGACGGCGCAGACGCGCACGGCACTTGTAAGTGCACAAGCGAAGGCTAGAGCCTGGACTTGGGAATGCGAGGCCCGGCAGAGCTTGATACATGGTGTCACGACGGCGCGCGTGTCGGCCGCCAACTCGTGAAGCTGTTTTTCGGCTTTCGAGGGAGGTTGTAATTGAGCCGCCCGCAACACCGCGGCCCGATCGATGATGTAGAACCTCAACCACTTTTGCAATGAGCCGCTCTCCAGCGCTTTCAGAGCATCATCTGAAGATAATCGTAGGAACCATAAAGTAGTCGCCAAGGCGCGCTTACCTCTATCCAGGTCTAGCAAAGCGCAAGCCTCATCGATAACCTCGACGGCACCCAAATCACAACTCGCCAACGGGGCGCACAACGTGGAAGCGAAGGCGCAACACGATGATGCGAGCGCCGTCGCCGCTTGTGACGCGTCCTCCGTCTTCCCCACGGCCAAGGGCCGAAAGCCGATTCTAAAAGTCTGGGCGACCATCTCCTTGTAGAACGTGGCCCGGAAGGCCCGGTGGCCCCGGAAGAAGGAAGCGGCGCCGTCTTCACTATTGACAGACTCAACTAAACCTGCAGGCGCCGCATCCCTTTTCAGCAACATCGCTAGGGCTTGCTCAACCAAAGGATGGGTCTGCTCCGCTGTTGTTGTCAGAGCGAGCCAGGCTCTAGCTTCTAGCAGGCGCGGGTCGTCTATGCTTGATTGGGCACTGCCAGAGAAGTCCCTCGTAACGAGGTCGCGGGCCTTTTCGCATGATATTAATGCCTTCGCGCGTTCATCTCGTGACGTTTCGAGGACCGCAATTAAGCATTGGGAGCTCGTAAACGTACGGACACATAAGCCTAAGACGTTTTCTTCACTCTCTTCCTTAACAGCTTCTTTCATGGCCTTGCGGGCTGCGACCGGGTCGTTCTTGGCGTCGGCTCTTTGTAAAGCGGCGCGGCACCTAGCTTGAGCGCCCGCGAGGCGCGCTAGTTGTCTTTCTTTGTCCGCGAGGGCCCGACACCTTTCTAAATCCGGCTGCACCGGCTCCAAGACCAAGGAATCACCTCTCAAAGCCGCGAGAAACGCCGTCGCGTCCGGCGCTTGTACTAGTGAAGCATTTTCCAATGCAACAGAAAACGCGGCCGCACAGCCCCCGAATCTACAACGCCAGACCCGAATCTGTTTTCTTTGAGGCGCCAAGATGGCCAGATACAACGACTCCTCTCCATCATCTAATTGGAGCCAGGCGCATTGCGCATCTCTCACACCTTTGAACAATCGAACGACGCGGCCGCTCCGCAGGTCCACAAGTAACACTCTGCCTTTATTGTCCGCGACGGCGCATAGTGTGGAAGTGGGCGCGACCCAGACCTTCGACGCCTGTCGCCTGCTGTCGTCGAAGCACGTCCTCCTGATGTGCAAGGTGCCTCGTTTTCCCGTCGAGAGGTCGACGACGCCTTCTTGCATTTCCTTGGGTTCGACCGGTCTTAACCACCGCCAGGCGGCCTTGATGAGGGATGACGAGGGCGGTTTTGCGACGAGCTCGGCGATGGTGGGCGACGAGCCGACACCAATCAACGTCTCCGCGTCGACGGGCGCTAGTGCTGTCGGCGGCTTGCTGAACGTGAAATGAGATGCGGTCGGGGCGCCGTCGAATTTTAAGCGGGTCAGGAGGCTACCGCTGCGGTACCACGCCTCTTGCGTCGCGCCGGGAGCGACGCACGCAGCGCCGGCCTCATCGCTGACTTTGAGCGTGTACGCCCACGCATCTCCACGTCTGATGCGCACGAGGCCGTCCTTGGTGCAGACTAATAATAGGTCTCCGCACCAGGCGAGATCATTAATGTCCTCGGCCTCGACGCGCGCGGCGGCGCCGCCTCCGACCGGACCGACGTGGAACGCGTCCGGTTGCGTGGCGTAGGCGACGCGGCCGTCGTTCGAGAGCGTGAGGAGGAGGCGGTCCATCGATGCGCGCTGGTTTGCTGCTTCGGCGCGCTGGTTTGGCTGCTTCGGGCCCCAAGGCGTGTGAAGCTATGCTCCGCCTCCAATTGTTACGGCTTCGTGCGCCAGCCCACAGATACCGCCAGAGCTGTGCGCACGTATCAGGTACAGCTCGTAAGGGCGCGGCCCCGGCAGCTCCCGCGTTTGGCAGCTAGCGGCGTATAAAGACACTAGCACGCAGCGGTGGCCGGGCTGCACAGGCCGCAGAGCTGCATAGCTCATTGTCCTTGCACGGCAGAATAGCTAAACCAACTCGCACACTTAGCCTGCTACTCCCGCTGCAGCACTCGCTGTGCAGAAGCGGTCGATTCGCAGCACCACCACTGGCCAATAAGGATGCCGCTCCCGGACCCGACCGGCCCGCACCGCGTCGGCGTCATCGAAGCGGACGTGCCTGCACGAACGGATGCCGGATGCGTACCGGTCGTCGTCTACTACCCGGCAATCGACGAACCCGACGCGCCGCCGTCGACGGCGCTCTGCGGCGCGACGAGTAGCGAGCCGGAGCAATTGCGGTGGCTCGACGCGCGCTACGCGGCGGCGCTCGGCAAGAGCCACCTCACGGGCACGCTTGGCGCGTGGTCCGCCGGGGCGTTGATGGGGAATTTGGGCCCCGCCGCGACGAATTACGAGGTCGTGCGCGCGGCCGTCGGCGCCGATGCCAAACCGCCACCGGCCGGCGGCTGGCCCGTGGCCGTCTTCTCGCACTCGCTGACGGGCTGGCGGCACGTGAACTCGAGCCTCTGCGCGGAGTTGGCCTCGCACGGCGCTGTCGTGATACATATGGAGCACGCCGACGGCACGGCCTGCCTCTGTACCTCGTCCGAGGACGGCCGCGTTTTGGCCGAGTACGTCGACTGGGCGCGCGAGAAGACAGAGGAGCTCAAGCAGAGTACGGACGACGTCGGCGCGGCCCTCGAGGCCTGGCGGCGGGCGCAGGTCGCGAGGCGCGTCGTCGAGATCGCCGCGGCGCTCGACGGTTTGGAAAAGATCTGCGCCCGCGTGCACAGGGGCGGCGCCTTCGCGCGGACGGCGTCGAATGTGGCAGTAATGGGCCAGTCGTTTGGGGGCGCCGCGGCGGTGGCGTGTCTGCGTGAAAGTCGCTTTTCGCATTGTTGCATCTACGATCCCTGGCTCGACGGCGTGGGCCCGCACCGGCACCCGCTCCCGGACGCGGACTACCAGGGGAAATTCTCACCGGCCCTGAAGAGACTCGCGCTCTGGTCCTGCGGCGCGAGCCCCTTACAGGAGTCCTGCGGCGCCAACTGGGATTCAATAATGGCGAAGGCTGGAGGTGTTGGAGTGAGGCACCACGAAGAAAAAGCTGGTCATTTCGCGCAGACCGACGCCCCCGTCGTCTTCGAGCAGGGTCCCCTTTCTTCAATTTATTCAGCCCTCGTCTCCAAAGCGGACCAGAGCTCCGACTCCGAGACACTACTGAGAAGGTGCCTAGAGCAGACCGTAGCAGAACTAAGTAGCCTTTACGCATAACTACTTCTTCCGCGCGGCCTTGGCCCGCTTCGCCGCCTGCTCCTCCAACAATGCGGCATACGTGGGAGACGTCTCGAGCATCTTCTCGACCTTCGTGATGACGTGGCGCACGCCAAATCTTTGTAAAAGAAACACGCACCGCTCCCGCGTGTTCATGTCCTTCCAGCCCTTGCCGACCTTGAAGGCATCCAACGCTTGTTTGACTCTTCTCAATGCCTTGGCCACTTCCTCGCGCTCGGCCGCGACTTTATCTCGCTCGGCAGCCACAGCACCGATCTGGTTCGCGAAGTCTTCGGCCGACGGCGCCTCGGTCTCGTTGAGTACTGGTAACAACTCCACGTTCGGGTTCTCCTTCAGCACCAACGTCTCCAGGTCTAGCGCACCATCGCTACCAAGCAATTTCACTTCAAGAATCAAGGGATCCGCCTTCGACGTGATCAATCGCTTCAGCGTGAAGTCGGCCATCGCCTGCCTTGTTACCTCCTTCGCGACAATAGCCTTTGCGGAGTCCTCCAGTTTCTTGTTCCCGCTCTTCTCCTTCTTCTCGATGTCCTCCTCGATCAACGCTTCGAACTCTGAGCCTTTGGCCTGGAGGATTTTGGACGCGTCGAGGAAGACGGGCGGAAATAAATTCTCCTCGGCGTCCTTGCAGCTGATCGCGAGACAGTTTTTTTCTTCCGCGTAGCCAATCTTGATGCAGAGCATCTGCTTCGTCTTCCAGAGGGGTTTCTGGCCCTCGTAGATCTGTTCTACGGGCGTAGGCGGCGGCGGCCCCGGGTCGACCTCCTCCTCCTCCTCCACACCCGTCTTCTCGCCTGCTGAACTTTTACGAGATCGTCGCTTCTTCTTGGCTTCTTCCTTGCGCTTCTTCTCGGCCTCCTGTTCGCGCTGCCATCGCAATCGCTCGGCCTTCCACGCGATGTTCGGGATCTGGTAGCAGTACGCCTGGAACTCCTCGATACTAATGGTACCGTTGCCATCCTCGTCGAAGTCATCCAACAATGTTTTGAGCTGTTCATCGGTGCACTTCCAGCCCAGCTTATGCATCGCGGCCCCAAAGTCTTCGGGCGTGATATCGCCCTCGAGCTTGCCGTTCGGTTTGAAGTAGCTGAAGATCTGCTGGACCTTGAGACCGCTCTCTTTGGCCGTCGACATGACTTGCTGCAATTTGGCCGTCACGGACATGTCCGGGTCGTCGTCCATGAATTCAGCTAAATCTACAGTACCACCGACGGAGAAGCGTTTGGCCGCTTCGAGGCGCTTCTTCTTCTGGGCCGCGTCGTATTCCGCCTTCTTGCGCTTTTCCTCCTCGGGGTCGACCTCGACCTTCTTCTTCGCGAAGGAGGCCTGGCCTCTTTTAGGGGGAGGCATGGCTAGTTAGTGCTGCCCTCGCTTGATACTTGTTTCGACCGCGGGCAGCCCTTCCGCGTTTTTGTTGGCTTCCGTGTGGGACCAAACGGCAGCCAGCGGGGCCGGTGGGCGTGTGTCCTCGCGCGGCTTCGCGCGGCGCTGCTCCGCTGTGCGCCGGGCCGAGCGCGCTATCTAGGACTTACAGATACATAGAAATGCACGGCCCGAGGACATCACCCTGTGGGCCGTCGCTCCGCCAGTGGTCGCTGGCGCATGCGTCCCGCGGCCGGCGGGCGCGAGAGCGCCTCGACGGCGCGCCGTCGGCCGCGCGGTGTCTTCCCCACCCACGAGTCCTAGCACCGCAATACGCCATCGGCGCGCGACGCTTCGAAAAATTCGCGAAAACACAATCATTACTCTTCGATTTCGACGGCCCACATCAGGAAGCCTCGACGTCGCCGCAGCAGTCCGCGGTCACACGCGTAGGTATGGGCTTGGACGCATCTAGATCGTCCTGGGCCTGGCAGCACGGGTCCGTGGACGCCGCCGGCGCGTCGTCCAAGTGCAACAGGGCGTAGCCCGTCGTCGCCCCGAGACACACCGCGGCGAACAATTCAATGGAATACGTCATCGCCGCGAACATCGCCAAATAACCGAGCACGGACTGGACGAAGTGCAGGAACACGAGGCCCATCCTGGCCCAGGACATGTCGCGCCGCCTTCGGTGCACGTACTTCCGCACGAATGACGTACATTCGACTAGCAACCCGACGAAAAACGCCCCAAACATGCCGCCCACGTACTTGCCTACCGAAGATAGGGTCCAGTCCGCCACGTAGAGGTTGATGCAGGGCGGCGTGCTCTCTTCAAAGGCCGACCGGAAACCGTCCATATGCATGTCCTGGCCGCTGCCTCGACAAAAACCGCCTTCTCTCGATCTTGAACTGTTGGAGAGACTACCACTGCGATCAACACACACGGGCGAACAGTTGTCGAAGGAGTGCCCTTCGCAGTGCGTATCTTCCGGGACGACTTGGTCATTGTCGTCGAGGCAGACGGCGCCGTACGCACAGTCCACCTCCAAACACTGGAGCCAGCAGAAGATGCCATCTTTCCCATCCTGCGTCTGGCACGTCGCCGCCGGGTCTACTGCGGTTAATGATCTCGAGCGACCGATCGTGATCGTACTGGTCCTCCGCGCTCTTCTCTCATCAAACCGTTCGCCGTCCAATAACGCGTCGTCGGGCGGCAGGACCATGAGGCCGTACCACGGTCTTGCTTCGTTGTCCGACAGTGCCAATGATAACGAGTGCGGCGCCGGCCTCGCATTACCTAGGTACCTTGAAGAATCACCAGCGAGGATCAGCACCGCACTATCAACATCCCACCTTAATTCATGTGATGCGCCGCCGGGTAGCGTGATATGTAGTGACCCGCCCTCGCCCGCGACCATCGCCACCAGGACACCCTCGTCGACGTGCGCCTCGAGCGCTTCGCCTTTTGAAGGTCCGTAGTAGGCGTGGACGTGCTCGAGGTGGCGGCCCTTGTCGACGACGCCGCGCCAGTCGTAGTCTGCAGCATCGCCGCGCAGAGGGGTGGTGCCACCTCCATCGAGAGCTACAGCGACCGCCTGGACGGCGTCGAAGGCCGCCCTTCTCAATACATTTGATGCCTCGTCGTCGAAGCACACAGAATCAAAACCGGCTCCGCGCGCGGCTATTGTCCTCCTCCGCGTCCCGTCAACCAACAAAGCCTCCTGGCCGTCTCCCTCTAAGCAGTCCGCCAGGCCCTCGAAGGCTGTGGCACTCGCTTGCGCGAGCCCGGGCACGCGCACGGCGACGGCGCCCGTCGTCTTCAGCGCCGTTTTTGTCGTGCGCGCGTCTATCGAAACTAGGTCGACGTGGGGCACGGCGAAGGGCGCTGCAATGGCATCGCTGCACGCTATTGGAAATGCTACGAGGAAGCACGTCGAAAAAACCGGCCGCATCGCTTCCCAATCAATGTGGGCGTTGGTGACGCTGTTTCCAAGCTCTCCTTGCGACTAACGTCTGTGGCTCGAACTCACGGAGCAAGGAACAGTCCACAAATGGACTCTGTAGGAGCAGCGCGAGCAGCTGTGCTAAGTCGTGCGGCGAGGGAGCAGCTCGCAAAGAGGCCCTTTCAGGCAACAAGCAAGCATGCCGACGAGTGCGGGGTTTCAGAGTCGAGCTCCCAACGACTCGTTGCGGAGGGAGATTGAGTCCTCAGGACGAACCCTACAAAGTTGCGCGCGCTTCGGGCGGCGCGAGGACCGCCGCGCGCCCCTGAACGCCGGCGGTCCCCTCCACGCTGTCGGGGCGCCCGAGCTCGCTCCGGATCCTCACTACTGGGATCGCACTCCGGTGCAGGAACACCTACCCGCACACATAACCGGGACACACAACGAATTACACGTACACCCCGTGGTCGACCTCGTCGTTCGCGCCGCCGTGGTACGCCTGGTAGTGCTCCGGTTCTTCCCAGGTCGAGATGCCCGTGATGTTGTTGCACCAGTAGGCGTGGCCCGTCGCCGGGTCGTCGTAGCGCGTCCATTCTGAGGCCTCATCTGCTAGACCCATCTGCTGCTTGTCTTCGGGGGACAAGTTGTCATGAAACAATCCTACCAAATCGCCCTTCTCAAAGTTGGGGCGCATCTTCTTCGCTCTTTTGAGAGCGTGTCGTCTCCGTTGCCAGTACTCTTCCCCACCGAGCTTCTCCCGCAGATCGTCCGCGGTCCTCAAAACAGGCCACAGTAATTTTTGGAACGTTAACCTATGTTTCTTGCCCATCACTTCGTCCAGATCCAGTACTTGATCTTTATTCCCCGCATCCACCGCATCCAGCTGCGCCGCGATTTCAGCATCAGTCATCTGCGGCTGGGCCAGCCTACACAACTGAGCGAACTCCACTTGATCCAACACCCGATTATGATCCGAATCGAACATGTGAAAACAGAAGGATACTTGCGAATCTTCGTCCTGCACCAAAAACGCGTGCAAACAAACAAAAAACACGAGTGGATCGATACCCACGGCTCTTTCATCATTGGTCTCGATGATCCCGAAGAACCGATACAAAAATTCGTCGTGGGGATGCTTCCGGTCCGTATGCTCCTTGTTCTTCCTCATAAATTCTTTCAGATCGAGTTGCCCGTCTCCGTTTCTGTCCATCTCCATGAACTTCTTGAGGATGACCATTTCGTCGCCGTCATGGTAGCACAGCTTGTTTTTTTGATCTTCTCCAGCCAGTCCCAGAGCTTCCTTGACCGCGATGAAGCCCTGGTTCGACTCGATCCACTGCATGTTCGCCGGTAGACTCGCGCCGGCGCCCATGGTCGCGTGTGGCCGGTGCGCTGTCGGTGACAGTCACAAATCAATGTCGCGTCGATGGCGTGGGAGCCTGAGATTTGATAGGGGCAGCCTGATGGGAGTCTCAATGGACTGATTGCACGCACGGGCGACGGTTGATGGTGGCAGAGCAGCCAGGGCGGCACCGGTACGGCTCGATGGCGTGCGTTCGACGGCGTGTGGCTCGGGCGTCGTGCGCGCCGCGTACAGCGCCTCAGTGTGCCAATCTCTCGAAGTTGAGAAATGCCGGACATCGGCGCGCTATTTTTACTACCGGTGAGTGGTGGCGCATCAGCAAACGGGACTCTTCAGATCACTACGTCCAGGCATGGCCCTAGCGGCTGTAAGACACTAGCAAAAGCAGGGAGGCGCGGCGCCGCTTTGTATCGCCCGTATAAATCGTCCGGACTTGCAGCGCTGCGCGTATAAGGCTCGTTTCTTGCATAAGCTGCGCACGCCAGCATTTCATCGTAAGCACAAGCGCGAGCACACTGCACGCTGCAGGATGGTCAAAATACTCGTCTGCGGCGACGTCGAGGGACGCTACGCGGAAACTTTTAAACGCGTGGCGAAGCTCGACAAGAAGGCGGGCCCGTTCGACGCTTTATTTTGCGTCGGCGCGTTCTATGGAGCTGACAAGACTGTCCCCGCGGCGCCGATCCCCACCTATATATTAGATGGAGAGGCTGGAGAAGTAGCGGAGAACGTCACGGCGCTAGGGAGTTGCGGCGCGACGACCATTGAGGAAAGGAAGGGCGGCGCCGGCGCAAAACACCTGAGCGTAGCGTTCGTAGCAGACGAAGGCAGTGTAAAGCCGCTGGAGGACGCCTGCGCGACGGCGGGCTTCATGGGCGTCGACGTATTACTGTCGTGCGAGTGGCCGCGCGGCGTCGATGTCGGTGTTCCTGACGCCGAGGTAGAAAAACTAGCTGAATGTGGTGTGCGAATAAACGCCGCAGGCACCGACAGAATCGCGGAGTGCGCGAAGATGACGCGACCGAGGTACCACTTCGCGGGGACCAGGAACGCGTTCTGGGTGCGAGCACCTTATAGACATGCACCGAAGCCACCGTCCACGAGGAAGACCCACGTCTGCCGGTTTGTTGCTCTGGGCAAGGCGGCCTTATCCAAAGATCCTCAAAGAAAATGGATCCACGCCGTAGATATTGATCCGGTCCCCTACGCCCCTCTACAAGCTCTGCAGGACGAACCCGTGAACTGTGGCGATTCGCCCTACTTGTGTTTTCAGTCGTCCGAGCGGCCCGTCGAGAAACTCGCCAAAAGACCCGTCGAAGATACCGATAGAGGCGCCTTCCGCTGGGCTTCCGTGGGCGGTGCCCAGCCGAAGCGCCGGAAAGTCGACGAGGACTCGTCCACCACACTATTTGTGGGCGGCCTGCCTCGAAATTGTGATGATAGCCAACTGGAAGACGTGGCGCGGAAGGCCGACGCAAAACCTTCAGCATGTAGGTGCGTCGCGGGCAAAGGCTACGGTTTTTTGGATTTCGCCTCGAGGCAAGACGCGGAAGCCGCATTGACAGCACTCCAGAACGCCGACGTCAAGCTCGGCGGCCGCTCATTAACCTTCGACTGGGGCACTTCTTCGGCAAAACCAAAACAGCAGCACTATCCCGACGACGCGAGACGGGACTGCTGGTTCTGTCTAGCTTCTCCTGGGTGTGAAACACATTTAGTGACGGGTGTGGGCGACACGTGCTACACTTGCCTGCCGAAGGGCGGTCTCGTGGATGCGCATGCGCTCATCGTGCCGATCGCGCACGCGTCCGACCGGGCGTCACTGGATGATGCGACGCTCAATGAATTGGAAGCGACGTCGGATAATCTAGCGAAGTCATTTCGCGAGAAGCTGAATAGCCATGCGGTGGCCTTTGAGCGGGTTGCTGATACGAAAAAGGGCGTGTACCACATCCATAGGAACATCATACCCTTACCAAAACGGGGCTCGGGCGACGCTTCTAGGTTAGTGTCCGACTTCATGGACGCCGCGCAGCGCATGTCGTTTCGTTTAGTGCCTGTGAACGATGGCGTCTTCCGACCGGCGGCCTCCGACCGTTTTTTTGTGGTGGACGTCTACTGCGGCGAGACCGGTTCCAAGAAACGGTTCGCGTGCGTGCAGCCCAAGGACACTTCACAAAGGTTCGCGGGGCTGCACTTCGGGCGCGACCTGCTGGCTGCGGCGCTGGGCACGCCCGGTCGCGCCCACTGGAAGGCGTGCGAGGTCGGCCGCTCCGACGAGGAGCGGCTCGTCGCGGCCTTCAAGGCGAAGGTGCTCGGGGAGGGGGGTTCGTAACTCTGGTTGTATCAATTCTTACTCTGTTCGGCACGTGCTCTAGTCGACGAAATGGCAGGTGTTGCCACTCGTCAGGAACACAAAGGGCGAGACCCTCCTCGAGACCAACTCGTCGACCGCGAGCGAGACGACACTGCCCGCGAGACCGACGGAGAGCGTCCCGGTCGAGCTCGGCGTTCGAGTACTCGGCGTTCAGGCGCTGGCGCTTCGTCGGGCGCTCCGCGTCGGCCATTTTTTTTCTCGTTGGTGTGAAGGCTGTCCAATATGACCCGGACCCAGGACCGTGCTAGCGGCCTGTAAGACACTAGAAAGCGCGAAGCTGAAGGCGCTGCCTTGGCTAAAACGCTCTCATACCCCCTCAAAACAACGATACGTGTCGCCCAGCAACACGTCCTGATCTGTGTGCAACCCTCTGCATGTTACCGCGCGGCCAAAAGAGCACTGCAAGGGAGACACAGAGAGCACAGCTAAGAGAGCAGTGCAAGTTGCGCGCGGAAGCATAGCGAGGAGAGCACACCGATGCCAAAACGCAAGAAACGCCGCCAAAATGACAGCTCTCGAGCCATGCAGCAGGCATTGGATCACTACGAATGCGCTCTCCGGAACTTGGAAGACGCCGACGAACGCGCGGCGCTCGAGGCCCTGGACTTCGCCGAAGTCTTTCTGGAACGAGCGCAAGACGACGACGTGCGGCAGGGGCTCGTCGCGGAGGTCTCGCTCGCGCGGGGCGCCCTGCTCGAGGTCGCCGATCCGATGAACGCGCGCCTCGCGTACGACCGGAGCTTTTCCGCGGACGGCAACGCGGCGGCGGCGCTGCGGGCGGCGCGCCTCGCGTGGCGGTGCGGCGACGACGAGGTCGCCTGCGAGGCGTTGCTGGAGCGCGCGCGCGCCGCGGCGGCGGGCGACGAGGAGGCCCGCGGCGACGCGGCGGAGCTGCTGGGCCGGTTCCTCGCGGAGCGCGGGCGGGTCCACGAGGTTCACGAATTGGCGGAGCTCGGCTACGACCGGACCTTTTCCAGGAAGGCGCTGACGAATAACTTAAACGCGAGACCCTGCGACGGCGCGCCTGCGCGCCTCTTCGACGACGCCCTGCCGGCAAAGGCCCTGGCGGCGCTCCGGCGCGCCCTGCGGCCGGCGGCGTGCTACTGGCGCGAGACGGACTACGGCTCGCCCGCCGTCGGCTTCTTTAGCTTCACGCATCGAATCGACGCGTTGTCAGATACCGCGCTCGAGGGCGTCCTACAAGGTATTTGGCACGCCGCCGTCAAAGCCCTGCCGGAGGCGCGGAACGCTACCTACGTCGAATGGTGGGCGCACACGCGGAGGCGCGGCGACGGCCACGCTCTACACTACGACAGCGTCCCAGGACTTGTAGACGAAGCGCCGCCGCGGCACCCGCTCGCGTCGACCGTCACGTTCCTCGAGGCGTCGGTCGGCGGGCCCACGATCATCTTCGACCAGACCGTGGCCAACAAAAGGAGCACGCGGGCCTGGGTGGCGGCGGCGCGGCCGAACCGGCTGCTGGTCTTCGACGGAAGCCTCCTGCACGGCGTCTTGCCCGGAGGGCGCGGGCACGGGCGGCGGACGACCTTCATGGCGAATTTCTGGCGGGACGACCCGCGCGCGGGCGACGCCTCTGACAACGAGGCGACGCGGGGCACCAACATCCTGTTTCCGCCGCCGGACTGCGACTGGCCGGCGGACTTTGGCGAGCGCGTTGGGGACGTGGAGATTCGTTGCCAAGGTCAGAACGCGCCGGCCGTGGCGCTGGAAGACGTCGTGACGCGTCTAGACGGCGGCGCCGTCGCTCCGGGCGACCTGCTCACGGACGGGACCTTCTTCGATTGTCTGGAGACAATCGGCTGCGAGGCGCGGGCCGGCGGCGCGGACGAGGATGTCGCGGTCGCGCCGGCGCGGCAGGACTACGGGAGGTACGAGATCCGGACCGACGCCGCGGGCCTGGGCTCTTCCGACGACGACGACGGGGCCGACGAGGACGACGAAATGCCGACGTACGGCTACGGGTGCATCGGCTGCCATCACGCCGCCGACGGGTGCATCGCCTGCCGCGCCGTCGACGACCGTTGCTTCGGCGATGACTTCGGCCCCACGGCCGACGTCGACTACGCGGACAGCAGCTCCGAGGACGACTTACCGCCGCCGGCCAAGCGGCTCCGAGGACGGTGGAACCGTTCAATCTACGAGGCCGCTGAACGGGCTCGCGCTAGGCGCAAGGCCCGCCGACGTAGGAACTAATGTGTAGCAACAGTGTAAAACAAGCTTAGCGGCCCTTCTCGAACGCGAGCAGCGCGAAGCGGTCGACCTTGAGGTCGTCCGCCGGCGCGGCGAGCTCGTGGCGGTTCGCGAGGCGGCAGACGCCGCCGCTCGTCGTGGGCACGTTGCGCGCGCAGTCGGCGCCGTCGTAGCAGCGCTGCCAGCAGCGGCCGTTGACCGGGTCGACCGTCACGACGAGGTTCTGGTTCTGGTGCGGCCGGCCGCGGCTTCGACAGAAGACGCCCTGGCCCTTGACGGTGAGGTGGAGGTACCGTTCCGACGGGAATTCCGCCGCGACGTAGCGCCAGGACATCAGCGTGGGGTCGCCGTTGTCGCGGTGGTCGCGCCGGAGCGCCGCGAGCGCCGCGGTCGCCGCCGCGGCGAACAGCGCCGGCGGCTGGCCTCGGTCGCCCGCCCGCGCGATGATGAACTTGTGGGGGAGCGCCGTCGCGTCGAGCAGCGGCGTCGCGGTGGCGCCGTCCCACGAATCCTCCCAGGAGCCCGCGGGCGCGGGCGCCGCGGGTGCCGCGGCCTCCTCGGCGGCGCCCGGAGACGGCGGCGGCGGCGGCGGCTCGACGGGCGCGTCGATCTCGAGGCAGTCAATTTCTCCTGGTTGTAGTTCTGGTACGACCAGCGTCTCGCGGAGCGGCGACCGCGTAAACGCGACGGGCCGGGAGCCGGGGGACACCCGTTGCTCCGTCACGGCGAACGCAGCTTCGGCCTCGTCGCCGTGCTTCGTCGACCCCCAGACGCGGAAGCAGCGGTCGCGCGTGTAGACGCCGGTGTCGACGAAGCTCGTCGTCGTCCGCGCGTCGCCGCTCTGCACGGTCAGCGCGTCGCCGAGCGCCTTGATCACGACGTCCGCGAGATGACCGGCGTGCGGCGAGCCGGCGAGCGGCGCCGGCCGCCGCGTGCCGTCCGTCCAGTGCGGCCGGAGGACGACGTGGCGCGAGAACTTGGTCGGCCGCGCCGACGCGAGCACAATCACCTCGATCTCCAGCGGTCGGTCGCCGGCGGCGGCCACCAACGCGTCGCACGCCGCGGAAATGACGCGCTCCGTGAGCGCGTCGCCGTCGACGGCCGCGTTGAGGCCGTCCTTTCGCGTGAACTCGAGGTCGAAGTAGGCCCAGCAGGGCCGCCGCGCGTCGATGACCTCGTAGACGTGCCGGTCTTGCGGAGGCAGGCGCGCATAGCCCTCGTCGACCTCGGCCGGCGTCGCCACGAACCACCGCTTCGGCGCGCCGCCCGAATCGGGCGGCGGCAGGTCCACCCCCCAGATGCGCCGGCCGTCCTTGTCTCCCTTGAGTTGCGCCCGCGCCGCGTCGATCGTGTTGTGGATCACGGGCCCGCCGTATGCCACGACGACCGAGGGCAGCGCGCGCTTCCAGAGGGCCTCGGGGCCCGGCCGCCACGTCACGAAGTTGGGCACGGGCGCGGCCGGCGTCGGTGGCACGGTGGCTGGTCGCGGTGGCGCGGCCGGCGCGGGCGTGGGCGCGACCGGCGTCGGCGCGGGCGCGGGCGCGGCGGCGGCGGCCTTGGCCTCGGCCTCGGCGCAGATCTCGTCCATGAGTCCCTGTTCCGCATCCGCGAAGCCGTTGTGCTCCTTGACTTCCTTGAACATGACGGTCTTCGTGTGGTTGCGCGAGCGGGGGTCGATCGCGTCGTACTTCCCGATGGCGCGCCGCGCCGCGCGGAGCGGCGCGTCGCCGTCGCCGCGGAACCACGCCGTGCCCTTGGGTCTGCCCGCTCCGTAGGGCGGTACGTCGAGTTCGACGGTCACGTCGTCGTGGTTCGTCCGGTCGCGGAGGTATGCCGCCGCGGCGCCCTCGGCGCGGTCCCGGTTGTCCTTGTACCAGTACGGCTGCACGCCGCCGAGGAAGAGCGGGAACGAGTGCTTCTTGCGCTTCGGTGCGGACGCGGGCGCGGCGTCCTCGCGCGGGCGCTTTTGTTGTCGGTCCATGGCGCGACGCAGCAGAGCTCTGGTGCGCGGCGACCTTTGCGCGGCGTGAGTGTCAGCAGAACCTCTCGCGCGCGTGAATAGTTGTCAAACGGATCGTTCTCTCTGCGGCGCTCGGCCGCGCTAGGTCGCGCGCGGCTTGCAGTGCGCAGCGCTGGCTTGCTGGCTGTCGCAGGGCTGCGCGCGTCGGTTCTGTGGTGCGAGGTCCTCGGCTTGAAACAAAAGTGCGCGGCGTGCAGCTAGCGTCGTGTAAGACACTAGCAAGCTAAAGCAAGACTTTGTTTTGCGCCGTATTTAGCGGCAGCCGTGCTCTCCGGGCGCGGCTGTGGTTCGATAAGGTATCAGCCTTGGGGCTGCTGCCTTTTTTTCGGGCGCAAACGACCCGTGCGGCGCGGAGCGCCTAGTTGGGGGAAGCCGCCATGCGACGCGTCGCAGCGCTGCTCATCCTCCACACCATACAAGCCCTCGAGGAGGGCAAGATCTGCTTCAATGGCTGCTCCGGCCACGGCGCCTGCGCCAATTTTGTGTGTAGTTGCGAGCCCGGCTGGACGGGCGACGACTGCTCGCACAGTCTTGTAGGGGGCAACGCCACGGTGCAAACGCTGACGGCGGGCCACTTCAACGTCACGGCCAAGAATTGGACAAAGCTGCTCAAAAAGAAAGATGTCGTTTTTATAGCGTTCGGGAGTAGATCTTGTCTGAGGTGCGTCGGCGCGGAAGGTGCCTACGCCGCCGCGGCTCCTCTTCTCAAAAAAATGGGCGTGCCCCTCGCGCGCGCCGACGCCGACGAGCCCTTCTTCCGGGAGCTGCTCCAGGACTTGCAGCTAGGAAGTATGCCTCAGGTCGTGGCGTATCGGAAATTGTTCGCGATGCCTTATGCTGGTTTGCACGCGCCAAACGAGCTCGTGGCCTTCGCGCAGAAGCTCAAGCAGGCGGCGGCACCTTCATTGTCATCGTTGAATGCAGCTCTCACCTTCCTCGGCGTCGACTCGGAGCAAGCGAGACGGGCTTTGTATGATGAGACTGGTATAGAAGAAGAAGTGACGGAGGAGGACACCCTACCTGGAACAGCAGCTAGAGTACTGGGTTTATTTTCCGACATTGATATAGAGGACGAAGAGAGCGCGGAGTTTATGGTCGCGGCGAGTGAAAGAAGACAAAGGCACGACGTCTACTTCTCGCGTGTTGATGATCCAGAGATCAGTCAAGCTTTAATAGATGCGGGATTTGCGGATCGAACGCCGGCCGTCATCGTAGCGAACGACGGTCGACTTGTTTCCCATGTCTTGGATGATGCGCCAGACATCGGTTTGGGTCCATGGGTCGACGCGGAGACCTTACCAGCTGTCGGCGAATTAACCCACCAAAACTTCGCGCGGTATGAAGCTCTGAGTAGGCCCATGCTATTGCTGTTCTTGGACTTGAGGGGCCACGACCGGGGGATGGAGTTGAGTGGCCTGTCCGGGGGCGTGCCGAACCGAGACCTCGTGGAAGAATTTAAAGCCGTGCGCCGGGACGAGTCGTTTCGAGATAGAGTAGCCTTCGCGTATGTTGATGGTGTCGCCCAACAAGATCGCATGAAGGCGCTAGGGCTGTTTGGGGGGGCAAGGCGCTTGCCCGCGGTCGCGGTGAACGCCAAGGAGGAAGGTGTGATCGCGCCGTACCCCGAGTCCTTGCCGCTAGATAGAGCACATCTCCGCGATTTTCTGGGCGCGTTCCTGGCTCGAAGGCTGCGGTCCAAAGAAGATTCCGACGCGTTCGCCCTACAAAGGCAAAATGACGTCTTCGACGCGAAGTGGCTGCCCAAACGCAAACCGCGGAAGAAACCAACGGAGGAGGTCATGGGCCGCTACGAGGTCTTTGGCGAGGATTCGATCCGGGCGCGCGAGGTTGGCAAGATAGATGACGTCTTCGTGCTGAACCGAGATAACTTTGCCGAAGCGTTAGCGGAGAAAGACGTGCTCATCCTGTTCCACGAGGAGGGCTGCGAGGCTTGTGCGGCTTTAACGGTGTACTACAAGAAGATGGCGGAGCGGTTTGCGTCCCTGAAGATTCCGTCGCTCGTCATCGCGCGATTTGATGTCACAAAGGAGACGCCACCTTTAGATGGGCTCATCGCCGGGCCCCTGCCCGTGATTGTACTGTTACCGGCCCACGACAAGCGGCCGCCCTTCCGCTTCTATTCCGGATTAGGCAAGGTGCAACCGATGATGAAGTGGGTCCAGGCCTCGAGCGATATCGCTTTTGATTTGCCGGAGCTGTGCCACTTGGATCCCTCCGAGATCGAGGCCTACAAGCACCAGGTGACGGAGCGGGAGCGGCGGCGGCGGGGGGAGTTGTAAATTTTGATCTGTTAGTCCTTTTTTCTAGGCCCCATGAGTACAAAGAAATCACAAGACCCCCAGTCGTTAGCTCGCGTACACCCCCTCCCGTCGATTCGCGAACGCCTCTTCTTCACCTTCGCGCGGCGTCCGCTCGTCCAGTTCGCGCGTCGTATGAGCGGCTTCCTGGAGAATCGCCAGCAGCTTCTTCTGCTGCGAGACCAGCAACTCGACGAGCCTCCGCTCCAACTCCTTCATGTCGTCCTCCTTGCGTTCTCTGGCATCATTTAACCGTTGCAACCGAGCGTCCGTCTCCGACAACGCGTTCCTTTGTTTTTCGACGCCCAACAGGAGCATCTCATGGTCGTCGTCCATGCGCTTCTTCTTCTTCGCGTGGGCAACATTCACACGACCGTCGGACGAGATCGCCGAGTTCTTGCTATGGGCGTGAATCGCCTGCTCGATGGCTCTTACAGATTCCTGCATCTCATCCACATATTCGAGGATCTTGTCCCTTTCCGCTTCCAGCTCATCTCTATCCCTCACAATGACCTCCAATTCCATTCCTAACTCGGTAGAACGCCGTTTGTGCGCCACCAGCGTCGCTCGCTCATGATTGACAAGCGTGTCGTGCATCCGTCCCCGGAAGGCCTCGCCCTCCTCGATCTGCGCCTCTAATTGTGTTCTAACAAAAGCGGCCTTGCGCTCCGTCCGGCGCAATTGTAACGTGAGCATGCGCTCGACCTCCTTGGCAGCCCGAGACGCGTTCCTTTCCCGTTGCTCGGCCTTCTTCTCCTGCACGACGGCTTTCGCCGCCGTCCGCCACTCTCTGAGAGCGTGTTGCCTCCGCTGGAAGGCGACTTCCCCGCGCAGATCCACGACGCGATCGCGCTCGTCGTCCCACTGCCGCGACGCTTGGGCCAATTGCGCCTCGTAGGCGGCAGACAACGCTTGCGCATCGTCCAACGCCACGACAAGCGGCGGGATGAGCACCTCCTGCGCGTGTTTTTCGGCCTTCGCGACCGCCTTGCTGACAGCCGCCTTCTTCGACTTGACAGCCTCGAGGTCCTTCATATCCAGCACCTCCAAGTGCAAGCGCGCGCCGTAGCAGGCATCAAAGGCCCGCAACGCGTCGGTCTTCTCCGCTTCCCGCTTGATGAGCAGCGACACCTCGTCCCTTAGTCTCTCATCGGCCAACGCCAGAGCCGTTTGATGCTGCTTCTGGAGCTTTTCGGAAGTCTCCAATTCACGCTGGTTATGGTCCCGTTCGGACTTGACGGCCTGTCGCAATTTCTCAAGCTCGGCATCGAACCTTTCCTGCAACTTTTCCTCCTTGACGTCTCTGGCACGTTCTGATCGGCGATGCAGCGCGCCCAGTTGATCGACCTCGAGCTTCAAACGAGCTGAACTACAAGCAACAATAGCCTGCTCGCTGTCCACGCGCAGAGAACGCTCTTCTCTGCGAGCCTTGGCATCCGTGCGAGCCACAGCTTCCTCCTCCCGCTCTTGGGCCGCGAGAGCAGCTTTTTCTAACGCGGCCTTCGTCTTGGCCTGCACGTCCTTCAGCGATTGCGCCGCACTGCGCTTCACTTCACTCAAAGCCTTCTCCGCCGTCGCCTTGAGTTTGTCCGTTTCTTTTCTCGCCAAGGCATCTCTTTCTTCCATCCCGCGCCGCCAAGCAGTGGCCTCCTTCGCCGTGCCTCTCTCCTCAGCATTGGCCACGGATTTCCGCCATTTCTCCGCAACTTCCGTCTTGGCGTTGGCGATCGCCGCCCTTGCGCACGCGTCCGCGGCCTTCTCCGCCTCGTTAAATTTCTCGTCAAAGGCGTACTCCACTCTTGACAATTCCGCTCGCACGGCCAAACAAGCGACGTCCGCCGCCTTGTGCCGATCCGTCGACTTGTGCCAGTCCCGCGCCCACTTCTTCGTCAGAACGTCCTTCTCTTGGACCGCGTCTCGTACCAGTTGCTTCTCGTGCTTGATTAATTCGAGAGCCGCCGTGCCCGACACTTCGGCGGCGTGGATGGCGTAGATAGCCGTCTCGAGCTGCTCCTGCTTCTCGAGTAACGCCGACGACGCCTCATCTTTGACACGCTTGAGCTCCAAAGCAGCACTCGCGGCGTTCTTCGTCACTTCTCTACGTTCATGTAACGTAGCGTCTCTCCTGATAGCTACGGTTCTTGCTAAACAACAATTCTCCGCGGTGCGAGCCGCAGCCCCAGCGCAGGCTATGGCCGCGCCGGCCCGGTCGGCCGCCAAGTCGGCCGTCCGTCTATATCCAGCAATGTCGCCCGTCGCCGAATCCAGAGCCTCGAAGGCGCCGGCGGCCTTCACTGCTTCCCTAACAGCATGTACGGCATACTGGTCACATTTTTCGACTTCTTCTGTTAACCGCTGGACCTCTTCCCTCAGCTCGGCCGGTGCCCGTTCCAGGTCGAACTTCGTCGCGGAGATCGAGGCCTTGCACCTTGCGGTACGAGCCGCTAATAGAGCCGCCGCATAGTCGTAATTACAAGCTGAGGCCCGCGACGCCTTCTCGGCGCGCTCCGCGCCTTCGGCCAGAGCTATTTTTGTCGCGTCTTCGGCCTCGCTCAACAAGTGCTTCAATTCCAAACGAGCCCGATCAATTTGGGCGGCCTTCTCCTTCTCCTTCGTGATGATATTCTTCAAATTGTCGACTTGGCCCCTGGAAATTTCCCGCGCGGTGTCGCGTTCCTCGTCGCGCTCCCTCATCTTCTGCTCTACTATCTCAATACCTTCTAACAGCGACACGGCGTTGGAGCAGGCGACGGCCGCGTCGCGTTCCTCCTTCAAACGAGCAACTAATGACTCAACAGATTCCTCATGCGCGTCTCGAGACCGCGTAAGGGCCTCGTGGACCGCCTGCGCCACATTAGCGCGGTTCTCCTCCGCCGCCTTCGTCTTTAGCACGAATATACGCCAGGTCGCAAAGGCCTTACACCCTTCTCGCCGCAGCCAGGGCACCTGGTACTTGTCGCCAAAGAAGCTATCGTTAACTTTTGACTCTAAGGCATCCAGCGCCTTCTGGCGCTTGTTCGAACCGACTCCAGCAGCTCCAAGAGCCAGACCCAACCGACCAGCTTTAGAAACGCTCTTCTGCAGCTCGATGAAATCTTGACGCAGTTCTAATTCCTTAGCTCGAACCTCTTGCAAATGCTCATGATGCTCCCTCAACTTCTTACGAGACTCCTCCGCTTCCAAACGCATCTGCTTCTCCCGATCTTTGAGAGCTATGAGATACTGGTCCTTGTCCTCCGAGGCTCGAGACTGGTCGTCCTTGCGATCCTGCTCGAGGCGCTCAATTTGTTCTCGTAAAGAACCCGCCGAGTCCATGAGCTCCGACACCTGGATCTTGAGTCGTCCCGTGTGGTGCTGTTCGATGCGCAGTGCGTCTCGCGTCTTCGTGTAAGCATCCTTCAGCATCTCGATCTGCTTCGTGAGGGCCACGTCCTGGGCCTCCTTTTCTGTCTTGACGGCTCGCAACTCCTTCTCTGCTGCCGAAGCTCGGTCCGCACTCTTACGAACGCTCTCGAGGGAGTTCTGCAGTGCTTTGTGGCCTTGCGCTTCCGTTTCAACTAACCGTTCTTCAGCTTTATCTAAGGCTGATTGGAGCTCACCCTTGCAAGTCGCTTCGGACTTTAGCTGCGCGGCCAAGTACTGCTTCTCGTTCTCCAGCCTTCTTATGAGTGCTTTTTCCTCCTGGCGCTGGCGGTCCTCCGACGACAATTCACCCATCTCTTGACTGCGTAGCTGAGCTAGTTTTTCCGTCTGCTCTTTCAGGGTCTTCTCCCTCAACTCCTTGGCAGCTTTTTCTCTTCTTAGTTCGCCCTTGATCTGCTCCTCTCGTCGGCGAGCGGCGCCGGCGTCGTGCACGGCATCGCTATAAGCCGCTTGGGCGGAAGCTAATTTCGTCTCCAGATGAGACGCGCGGTCATGCGCCTCGGCGACGGCGGAGTGCGCTCTAGCTTCCGCACTTTCGACGGCGGAATTGAGCTCATTGACGGCGTCGGCCAGCCTCTGTTCGTTCTCCTCCCGTTCTTGTTGGAGCATGGCCCTCGCTTGCCTCAAATCTTTCTCCAGCGCGCTTTTAGCGTCCATCTCCATCTCCAGCGAACTTTTCAGGAACACTACTTTATTATGTAGTTGTCTGATTTTTGCCTCACCTTTCGCAGCTTCGGCAGCTCTCAAGGTTTCCGCTTTATCGGTATGGGCCGTGATCAACGAGTCATCCGGACCGAAGGTCTGCTTCGCGGCCCCAAACTCGAGGGACATGGCTCCCCTCGCGACTTGTCCTGCCGTTGACGACCCTTCGCCGAGTTCCCGTTTCGCGGCTCGGAACGTCTCGACCTCGTCCCTCAACTCGTGGTTATCTTGTTCCACGATCTTCAAAGCTGCCTTCGCTTCGGCACATTCTGTGGTCAAAGACTGTACTTTGTCCTCCGCCTCCGCTAACTGAGCTCGTAACTCGTTCGACTGCACATGTAATTGATATTGGCTTTGAGTATTAGTACGCTGTTTGTCTGATATGAGAGCTTGCCGCTCCAGGGCCCAGGCCTGCTTCGCTTCTATAAACGCCTGCTCCTTCTTATGTAACTTACTAAGTACCTCGTCGATATTCGTGTCGCCCGTTTTGATGACCGGTGCCGGTACACTTATGTTTTTAGTATTCTTGAGGGTCTCCATTTGTAACGTAACGACTTCCAACTGCACGTCTTTGTCTCGCAGTTGCTCCTCCAACGATGCTTTCGTATTACTTAATTCAGAACCCAACTCGCGGCACTTCTGCAGGGTCTTATCTCGTAATTCCTCCGCCCTCGAAGCGCGGTCCTCACACGACCCAATCTGCTTTTCCAGTGTAGTAATGCGATCCGTCAAAACCCCTTGAGTGAAGGCCCGCGCACTGCCCGGCTTCGGCGGCATCGGAGTCTCCAAAGGAGGCGCTTCCGTCATGACCGTGGCCTCATGGGGCGCAAAGAGCGACGGTTCATCACTTGCAGAAGCCAACAACTCGAACTGCTTCCGCTTGGCCGCTTGAATTTCCTGCTCCCACGGGGTGGGCAGAGCGAGCGACGCCGCGGTTCTCGGGGAAGATGCAGATATGGCTTGTTGCCTTGCTGCGTCGTGCACGTCGAAGATAGGCCTCGAAGATTCGACGGGTATGTCCTTCTTCTTGCGTCTCTTTGCCGCCTTTTCGGACAGCGGCCTTAATTTCTGGCCCCCGGTCTTGGGCCTTGATTTTTGTTGAGAGGGACGCTTCTTCTGCACAGGTTGTGTGGGTCCAGACCAGCCCGCCCTTTGGACATCAGACAGCCAGAACTGGCCGTGCGCGTCCGCCACGAATCGCGCTTCGACGCAAGGTTCTTTGGCTTTCAGTCTCAGAGAACGGGTATATTTCCCCAGGGCGTCGTCGACGTGCGAAGCTAGGGGTGAGGGCGACGCGCCCAAACCGGCCGTGGTCTTGCTTTCACCATCGACCTTGTCCACAGCCTCACATCTACACCAGTAGTCGTCGCCGTCGCCCAAGTAGACTTGCACGCCACCCACACCTTCCAACATGGTCGCTCTCGTCTGATCGTCGGCCCGCGCGACGGCAGCAAGCTCCTGCTCGCCTAAGATCGCTCTCGCGCCATCATGCCTCAGCAGCACGGCTACGCGTCGACCCGTGTTTTCTTGGGAAGCTAAGGCGAATTTCGCGAATCGTCGACCAATTTTGGGCCAAGTTAATTGATGAGCGTCCTTGGTCGCGACTTTTCCAGTTTTACTGGAAGTGTAGAACCAGTTCGTCGGTCGACCCTGACCGTCCAACGTGACGGTGTCCAAGACGCGCACGGGCGCGTCGGCGAGCCAGGCGCGGTACCAGGCGAGGTCCGCCATGGTGCTATCCTGAGACCTACGCAACCGCAGGAGCGATGCCCGGGGCCGGTACTCCTGGGAGCTCAGTAGCTGTTGGGGCAGCCCTACCGTTGGAGGCGGCGGCTGCCCCGGCGGCAGGGCTCGGAGCGCTGCGGCCGCTGCTTGGTTTGCAGTCGTTCGCGCCGGCCCGCGGCCGGGCAGCTAGCCTGGAGGCTGCGCGTTACCGCCGCGCTTCGCAAGCTGCCATTAACGGGGGGGTCTGGGCCGACCGGCGCGAGCCGCCCTTAGGGCCGCCGCGAGCTCTCCTTGACACGTCGGGGGCCCGCATACACCTCTCCCGGGACGGCTTCGGCCATCGCGACCGGGTTGCTTTGGTAGCGCCGAGCGCCTCGCCTCGTATTGGCCCTCGGAGACGCGGTCGCGGCACGCTGCGACGCAGTAGCGCGCTACCTCGACGACGCAATAAGCCCTCGTCACTCGGCGGGCAGCCCTTTGCGCCGGGGAGCACCCAGTAGCCCCTCACTGACCACCCAGAGACCAAGGTGAGGCAGCCCGTCGACGCCATGGAGGTCCACTTCAGCGACCACGAGCTGCGCGACCTGAAGAAGGAGCAACGACTTAGAAGAGAGGAGAAGGAAGCTCGGGAGTCCAAGATCGCCGCGTTGCTCGAGATGGCCGAGGAGACGATACGAGAGGAGCGGAGCGGTATCGACGAGCACGGACGGCGGTACAAGGCGCCGCCGCGGAGCTATACGCGCGCGGAGTCGACGTATTGTGCCGCGGCGCCGGCGCCCGCGCCCGCGCCGGCGCCCGCGCCCCCTATCCCCGAGGCCTTCTACGAACCGAAGTTTTCCGACAAGGTCCTGTTACCGGGCGGCATCGAGGTGTCTACAAAACCTATTGTGGAGGAGGTGGGGCGCACCAAACAAGAGCTAGAGCAAGAGGCGGCGGAGCTCGAGTTCCTCGAGACGCCTCCTACGCAACATGCTGCAGCCTTGATCAAGGTCTGCGACGATAGCAGGAACGCGTCCCTGAGTCTGGGGGAATTGAGGAAGGCGTCGGGGCATGAGATATATGATGAGTTCGTGCACTGGTTGATGGCAGACCGGGAGTTCGAGTTTAAGCGGAGGGCCGTGAAGATGGCTATGGACAAGGGACATTTAACGACGGCGTTCCGGGACTACATCCAGGTGCTTAAGAGGAAGAAAACACAAGTCGAGGAGGAGGCACCCGTAATCATCAAGAGGTGGACGGGCCGCCAACTAACACGTAGGGAAGCTCTGGAGATGCGTAGAAGGATAAAAACGCCCGTGGAGTTGTCGAGAGAGGAGCGCCAATTAAGACTGAGAACCAACTCCCTGCAAACAACTAGGACATATGCGGAGGAGGACCGAGAGAACGTGGACGCCAAAATAGCCCAAGAGCTCCGCGAGAAGAGCAAGCAACGGGTCCAGGTCAAGGGCCGGCCCCGCTTGCCTCCCGTCGTCGTAGAAGGCGAGGAGAACCTAGAAGAGGAGTACGGCCCGTTCCGACTTGATCGTCGCGATGTCGAGGAACGCATCGCGGAGTTGTCCTCGTCCCGAGATCTGCGGGGCGCGCGAGCCGTGCAGCGAAGGCCTTCTGGTAGTGTACGGTCTAATAGGGAACCGTTCCGCGGGAGTGGTATTGTGGTCGCGCGCGCGGCGCTGGCTGCGGCTGCTATCACGAACGACGTCAAGCTACCTTCTGGTAGAGAACACAAGGAGCTGCGTCAACGATTATATCGCCTGCGGAAGGCGCAGCGCGCGCAGTTTGCACCAACTGAATTACTCGGCTCTGATGAGGTGACAAGGGCCGAGGAGGATCAAGACGATGAGGAGATCCTGGACGAGAACGCGGCTCTTAAGGAAATCGATTCGTTAGTACGAGGCCTCGAGCAGCTCGAGAAGGCGAAGGCGCGCGAGACCGGGCGCAAGTTAGGTAAACTCAGGAAGGAGACTCTAGCGTTAGGATTGGATGCAGAGAAAGTGGAGGACGAGCGCTACGAGGCGTGGGAGCGCGAGATTGAGAGGAGGGAGGCCGCGCGCGAGCGGCACGCTAGACTCGTGAAGGAAGAATCAGAACGGAAGGCAGCAAGTACGCAGGAAGGTCGAAGGGACGCGCGCGTGAAGCGCGAAAAGGCTGAGAGGAGAGCGTATCGAAGACGTGTCAGGACGGACTGGCTAGATGTAGTGACACTTATCACTCGAACTCAAACGTTCCGGAGAAAGCTGCAGCATCATAAAGATGTGTTGTACGAGCGCGAGAAGCGTAGAGCTACAATTGTGCTTAGGTTGAGGTTCCGCAAGTTCCTGCCGGCCTGGAGGGAGTGGGCGGCCAAGAAAAAAATAGTCTGGTTCTGTACTCGTCTCAGGATGATGGAGAAGTGTCGAAAATCTTGTCGAAATTACTTTAAGTGCGTAAGAGCGGTCCAGGGCGCCTGGCGTAGAAGGACGTTGCGGGTTAGTGCCGCTCTCAAGCTCACGATCGTCCAGTGGGGCCGCGTCTGGTCGGGTCGTATTTTTGAGGAAGGTAAGGCGCCGGAGCCTTTACATCCTTGGCTGGTGGAGCGAGCGTGTAGGCAGCTCGTGCAGGAAGCTTATAGAGTTACAGAGAATAAGTACGGCGCTCTGGGACGCATGATGCTCGACAAACAGAGGGGCGCGACGTTTCCCACGGAGGAGGTCGTGGACGACTCTGTGGTAAGGCGGCGCCAGATCGAGGTCATTTCCCTGATTAATGCAGAGGCCAAGGGCTGGGTCGTGCCTGATGAGGTGCTGCACCCGCCGGATGTGCTTGAGAACGTGCCTTGGGAGGACGAAAGTATGTCTGGTGTTAGAAGTAGTCTCGAGTCCGTGCGGTCCGAGGTGCGGGCGAAGATGGAGCGCAACAAGGAGCGGCGGTCCATGCGGCGCAGTCGCCACAGCTCGCTGACGTCCTTCCGGTCCGCGGCGTCGACGATGCAGACGGGACTGTCACTTCAGTCAGGGTCGCGTTTTTCGTCGCGCAGCGGGTCGATGGCCGACATCTCGGAAGTAAGTCGGTAGTTTGTTGTGTACTCGTTGCTTCTGGGTTGTCCTCGGCTTCGGCCTGAAGTCAACCTGGGCGGCAATCACTTTTGTTTGCTCCGACGTCAAGGCGCGAGTTTGGCGCGCGTAGCTAGAAGTTTGGCGCGTGTTCCTGCATACGCGCACTATTGGCTCGGCCCGCGGGCCGTGGCGCGTTCAAACACGAGCGTGAGTACTCATAAATTGCTCCTTCAACCGCAGTACTGATCTGGCATCGCCACCCGCCCTATTCTGAGCCCGTCGCGCTTCAGAGCATCATCAACCACTGCGGGACCACCGCCAGGCGTCTACGCCATTGATCTTGCGGCGGTGGCCGAGCGCGGCCGGAGTTTCCCGCGCGAGAATCCGAATGAAGCTCATCCTGTTCGCCGCGGCGGCGCGCCTCGCCGCCGGTGATGACTTCTGCGTACCGGCGGCCTGCCGCAAGCTCGCGCCGGGCGCCGAAGACGAGCATAGTATGAAGAACCTCGTCGGCGACCTCGAGTGCTGCGCTCCGCGGGAACGCGCCGGGTGCGCCGACGGTTATCGTTACGCGACGCGCGGCAAGTGCACGAGCGGCCCCTGCGAGGAGTACGCGACGTGCTGCGTCCATTGCGTTGATGGAGAGGCGTGCGCCCGCGTCGACGCGGCGCGGTTCGGCCAGACGGCCAGGCGGGATTGCGGCTCCGACGATGCTAATTATATCCGGGTCTGGATCGTCATGGCCGTCATGAGCTTCGTGGCGTCGATCGGCCTCCTGGTCTGCCTGTTCGCGCAGTACCACCGCTCGGAGCAGCAGAGGCGGCTCCAGGTGAAGCGGGACACGCACGCGCCGGCCCGGAAGTTCTCGCTGGCCGTCGTGGAGCTGCTCCCGCCGGACCTGGAACGGGGCGCGACGCCGCGCGTGGAGGCGCGTTCGCTTGAACCGCCCGTCGGCGAGACGCGCGGGCCGTCGGTGTGGGACCCCGACGGCGACCCGCGCGGCGCGTACGCCGTGCCTGCTTGCCCGCAGTGCTTGACTCCGTGCCGGTGCGCTCCTAAGGCGTGCTCGGAGCAGGACCCTTGTCATGCAATCGGCGGCCACGTCGCGGCCCCCGAGGCCGAGTCTATGGCCCGCGAGGAGGAACTGTCGCGGTCGACGCCTCCCGACTGCGCCCTCGCGGCGACGCCGTCGGCGCCTCCCGACGGTGACCTCGAGGCGGCGACGCAGGCGGCGTACCCAAGGTCGTGCTCCAGACGTACCGCGGCGGCGTCCCTATCGTGGTGCCTTCGACCGATTGGCGCAACGGTAGCGCGTCAGATTCCAGTCCTGAAGGTTACGCGTTCGAATCGCGTATCGGTCACTTTTGCCCGCAATAGGCTCACCGCCGACGGTACACCCACAGGCACGGCTCCCGACCTCGAGGCGGCGACGTAGGCCGGAATCATTTTTCTCCCGGTTGGCCCGACGGCCGACCGGCATCCATCACCACGATGTGACTCCCCCACGACTGTGACGACCCCGACTTCTCTCTGGACATAGCACCACCCTGTACACAGTAAGATTTTACCCCCAACGCATCGCGTCGTCGTAGCGATTATTACTTCTTCTTTAGGCGCCCCCGCCGCATGACGTAGAGGAACGCGCCGTCCAGGCGCCGCACCTCACACTGCTGTATATCCCAAGCGTCGCACTGCAACAGGGGCCATAGATACTGCGGCGCGCTCAGCGACACACACAAAAAAGTGCCGCGCGGCTCCAACACCCGCGCGGCGCCGGCCGCGACCGCGCCGACGTCCTCTGTGCAGCTATCGCCGGCGGACAGGTAGATGGCGTCGACCGTGCCCTTGTCGACGATGGCACCGAACGTTTCATCAGAAAAGGTCTCGTCCAAGCGCCGCGCGTCGCCGACCATCCAATTGACCGAGGGCTCCATTTCTAGTCCTCGTTTCACGGCGACCTCGGAGAAGTCCAATGCAGTCACATCAGACCAGCCCTCGTCACAGAGGGCCTGCGCGAGCGTCGACGTCCCACCGCCAAGCACCAAAGTCTTCGCGGCCCTGGGGCAGTCCTGGTCCAAGGTTGCGGTGCCCCTCGCGGTTGTTGTCGTGCGATGCATTGATACATCCCGAAATTCATACTTTAACAGAGACGAAGGTGGCAGGGCCCACTCGTGCGGCAGGACGGCCTTGGCGTAACTTCGCTCCCAGAACTCTTTGGTGTCGAAGCCGCCGCGCGCCGTCCATCCCAACCGGTGCCTCGCTAAATCAAGCAACGCGCGGCCGCGCACCGAGCCCATGTCACTTGACTGATGTCTCTTTTTCCTGAGGGGCCCAGCCGACGTCCGCACAGAGCAGGACGGCGAGCTTGCGGTTTCGTCGACCCTCTTCGGTAGACTGGTCGGAGTCGTAGAGCTCCGCGAGCTCGTCGAGCACCTTGTCCAGGCTCTCGTCGCTCAGGAACGCCAAACTATCGAGCTTGCCCGGGCCGTGCACCGCGGCGAGGGCCTTTTTGACGACTTCGTTCTTGATCTGCGGCCCCTCCTGCTCCTCCGGCGGTTTGTCGGCGTTCTCGGCGTTGTGTTTGTCCAGTAACGCGAGGTACCTCTCGTGGAGGGACAAGTTTTGGTGCTGCTTTTTGTCCTTTTTGTCCATTTAGGGAGCTAGGCGGCAGGGCTCCAGCTTTTGCCCAGTGGTATGCGCCGCAAAACGGTGTGCGCCGCAGAACTAAACCAAAGCGTCCAGGAGTAGCAAGCCGAGTTATGGGCCAAAAGCGCTGCGGCCTCCTAGTGTCTTACATTACGCTAGCACCAGGTTGGCCAAGCTTTTGCATTTTGACCTCCATTGGTGGTGTGGGGGGCTGCAAACGTGCCCTGTGTATCACTCGCGCCTGGCAGCAGAGCGATTTCCATCGCTGCTGGCTGTAAGCTCTCTGGGAGCCCTCACGTGACAGTGCTAGCACCGCGCACGTGCAGCGCTCGCGGCTCATCGGCAAGCAGCCATCCCGTTTCGCAACGCGAAACCACATGACCAAGTCGCTGCTAGCCTTTCACCTGCTCCTCATGCGCGTCGCGGCCGCGCTGGCGCCGCGCGTCGGAGGCGTGCGCGCCGCCACGACCGCACGGTTCGCCGCCGCCGCGCAAGCAAGCAACCCACAACCGGAAGTTGGCATCTCCTTCACGGTCGGCGGGCTCCTGTTCCCGTACCAGCTCGGCGCCGCCAAGGCCCTCTACGAGGCCGGCGTCGCGTCGCCGGCGACGCCCTTGGCGGGCGCGTCGTCGGGCGCCATCGTCGCCGTCGTGGCGGCCCTCTCAGAAACGGGCTCTCCCACGCTCGACGACTCGCTGGAGGCTGCCTTACGGGTCAACGGATACTGTCGAGATAGGGGAGGCATGCGCGGCCAGTACTACGATGCTCTGAGTCTGGAAGCGGACCGGCTGCTCGACGGCACGTCCGCCGCGCGACTATCAAACCGCCCGGCCAAGGTGAGCGTAGCCGTTACGCAGTTCAAGCCATTGCCAACACCGCTGCTCGCGTCGTCATTTACGGATCAGGACGACGTCAAGCGGGCGCTCCTGGCCACGTCGTGCATTCCCTTCTACTTCAAGGGCGCGCGGCCGTTCGTGACTTTTCGCGGTGCGCCGGCCGTCGACGGTTTTTTTGCCGTGGAGCGGAAGTACTTCGGCGCGCCGGAGTGTGACGCACGGCGGACGATCCGGGTCTGCCCGTTCCCCGCAGCGACGATAGGGCTCGAGGCGGACGACGTCATCGCGCCGTCGGAGGCGTCGCTGGGGAGCCTGCTACAGTGCGCGCTCGGCGCGCCGCCCGTGGACGACTCGTATTTGGAGGGGCTGTTCGCGCGCGGCGCTGCGGACGCTGGAAAGTTCATTGATACTAAGTTGTAGGTTGTTGTTACAATGAGTAGTAGAAAAGAAACAAAAATGGAAGGGAAACGACGATCAGGCGGTCTCTTTGGTGCTCACCGGCACCTGGATGGTCGTGCCGGCCTCGCGGCCGGCGGGCACGACGAACTGGACGAATTGCCCGGCCGCCGCGACCGTGAGCGTCTGCCCCGGCACGGCGCCCGACGGGATCGTGACGCTGACGTGCGTCGGCAGGGGCTCGTCCGGCGCGCGCGCCCGCAGTATGAGGTGGCCCGCCACGGCGACGGCAAGCCCGGCGACAAGGGCGTTGATGACGAAGTAATACCAGATCTCACCCCACCCGACCGTCGTACACGCAATCGCCACCCACACCGTCCAAGGCACGATGAACAAGACGTTCACGAGGGCGCACGCGGTCACGGCGATCTTGCACTGGCCCCGCGCTTTGTGGCACCCCAAAGAGATACAGGACGCCCCGATTGATGCCGCGACTAAGACGATCGATCCGAAAAATACTACGAGAAGCAGCCCGAAGTGCTCCGGAAATGCGAGGACCGGCTGGGCTGCCGCCGCGAGGAGGAGGATTCGTATGTGGCGCCCCATTGGGCAGCCTCGAGATCGTTGCTTTCAATCTCTTACGCCGTCGATGCCGCCGCGCCCCACAGAAACGGGCAGCCCTCTCGCAATCCAGAATCCAGATCTGGCGCTAGATAAGCGCTCTAGAGACAGCGCGCAGCGCGGGCAGCGCGGCAGGGCGTGCGCGCGACAAGTCGTAGAAGCGCACGCGTTGACGCCACCGCCGCGACGACCCACAAGAGAAGAGCGGGCAGCCCAGGCACCAGCAGCCACCAACCAAACCATGGGCGGCGGCCCGAGCCGCGGCACGGGCCCCATCCACTGCGAGGAGGTCGCCGAGTTATTGGGGGAGCACTACTACGACGAGGCCTGGCGCGTCTTCGAGAAAGTCTCTTCGCACAGAAAGGACGCCCATGGCCAATTTATCGTGCCGTTCCACGAGGCGCCGAAGTTGGCAAGAGCTTTTGCCAATGATATGTTGGTGAGGTACGGGGACGACCCCCAGAAGCTGGTGCGGACGGCATCTTTATTTGCCGAATTGGCTTCTCCGCACGCCACTTTGCTCGGTGACGAGGTGAATCAGCCTGATACTCAGATGGCTAATGAATTCTTAATGATGGCCGAGCAACTCAGCTCGGGCTTCGAGCAGCACTCGCAAAATCTGAAAGATCGCGTCGCGTTCCTGAAGCGCATGGCGAAAGAGGAAGAGGACTACCAGATTCAGATGAGGTGGGAGGCCGACCAAGAGCGCCTCGAGAAAGAAGCGAAGGCGAAGGCGAAGTGGGACAAAGAAATCAAGAAGAAGGAGAAGGAGGAGATGCGGCTGGCTTCCATACAAAGGCGCAAGGACCGCGAGGCCGGTATCAAGTCGACGCGGAAGAAGCTGCCGGAGCCGCCCGAGACCCTGGAAGCTGCCGAACGGTTAACCCAAGAAGCCATGGCCGCCGTCATGCGGGGCGACAAGTGTCCTGATCGTGCAGATAAAAAGCGCGAATTTGAGGACGCGGAGCGACGATATGGTCATGCTTTGAGGTTATATGAGAAGCTTACCGGTAAAGATACGATGGAGACGGCCATCGCGTTGAATAGACTCGGGTGGCATTTGAAGGTGCGAGGGAAGTATTCTGCGGCTGATACTTTATACCGACGGTCTCTGGCAATACGAGAAAAACATAAAGGGCCGCGGTCCATGGAGGTGTTGGTGGCGTTGTCGAACCTCGCGGAGAATTGTAGACATCTGAAAAAACATACGGAGTCTGACTGTATCATGGCGCGCGTCGCGTTTTTGCGGACGCTCCACCACGTGAAGCCCGCCGCGCCCGACGGCGCATCGGCCAAAGTTCAGGGTCCAAAGGTCTGGCAGGTCTTCGAGGACGGCGCTTGGAAGGACGTTCCAGCGGAGGTTGCGCAGGCGCCCGCGCCGGCGCCGGCCGCGCCGGCGGAGGAGCTGCTGGGGGAGCTGCTGGCGGCGACGTCGACGACTTCTTCGTAATGTTTTCTTGTGTGTCTTCTTGCTACTGTCTCGTCCCTATGCATATGCATCGCGATCCTATCTACAGGTATGATCCTATCCCTGAAAACCCGTTTTGATATCGGCACGACGATCGACGCGCGCGCGTACTGTGCTCCCCAACTTCATCGACCTCTATGTCCAGATGCTCGACCAACTTCTTTCGCAGCAGCGCGCCCAGTATGATAGAATCCGGGAGAGGATCCCGGAACTCCGTCGCCGCGCACCGAGGCCGTACCCGGACGTGTCGGACTCTGATTGATGCTTCCGACGGCAACGAGCATGGAACCTAAAACAATTATCGTTCTTACACACTCTAGTCTCCCGACCCACCATCGGGCAGCGCCGCACACAGCGCGTCGAAGTCCTCCAAAACTTCCGACAACGCGGCGCACGCCAAACTTCCATCCATGACCCCTCTATAGATGGCCACGAAGTCGTCGCAGGCCAGCGTCTCCCGGCCTTTCAACATCCCAAAAGTCTCGGCGAAGGTCGGCTCGGCGCCCGTCAATGATTTGAGCAATGATCGCAATTGCGGCGCGCCGACGCCGCGTTTCCCTTGTTTATGTGCCCGCTTCTCCTCATCAAAAAAGGCCCGTCGCACGGCCATATCATCATCATTTCGAACACCTTCCACAAAACACGTGCCCACGGCCGCGTCGGAACTTCTACGGGCCTGCGCCATCTCGGACGCGGCGGCCCTTTGGTCGTCCAATTCGCGCGCCGCCTTCGTTACAATATTCGATTCCAGCGCGATGACATCGTTCGCCAATTCTTGCCGTTGCTTCTTCAGCTTCTCGCGCAGCACGTTCTGGCGCAGCTTTGGTTTTGCTTTGGCCAATGGTTTCCTCGGGTTCTCCTTCTGGAGGGCGGACATGGTGCGCGGCCGCGGCGACTGCGTCGGGGCTGCCCCGGGTCCCACACTGTCGATTGCTTGCGTGTTGATGACAGGAGGACGTACCAAATGAGTTCCAACAACTTTTTGCCCGTCGTTGCTAGTGTCTTACTTTCGCTAGCTAATTATTTTGGCGGCTTACTAAGGCCAGCATAAGGCGCCCAACTGCACGCCAGCGCTGCATCGACGCTCCTTGCATGCACAAACACCTGCTCGCCATGGCCGCTGCTGTGCAAGCTAGGGCCTACCACATCGGCGCGCCCGGCAGCAAGTGGGGCCCGGCCGAGCTGTCGCAGTGGCGCGCCGAACACATCAAGTCGAGACCCTACGACGACGACGTCGTCAAGGTGCTGGATTCCTTAAGGGATGAGTACGACGTCATCGAATATGGTACATTAACCTACGACGGCGTCTCCCACAAGCTCTACGCCGCGAGAAGCAAGGACTGGAACAACCGACCGAAGGTGCTCGTGACGGGCGGCGTTCATGGGTATGAGACGTCGGGTGTGCATGGTGCTTTACGACTGCTACAGACCAAATGCAAGGACTACGCTGAGAGAGGCTTAGATATACTGGTAGCCCCATGCGTCTCGCCCTGGGGCTACGAGCATATTCAGAGATGGAATTATGATGCCGTGGATCCTAATAGATCATTCAAACGGAATGACCCGGATGCTTGCGGCTCGCAGGAAGCGAGGGCGCTAGTAAACTTGGTCAGAAATCATGGCAGTGACGGCTGGGCCTGCCACATCGACCTGCACGAGACGACGGACACGGACGAGTCCGAGTTCCAGCCGGCCAAGGCCGCGCGCGACGGTGACGTTTATGAGGAGGGCACCATCCCGGACGGCTTTTACTTGTGTGGAGATGAGAAGAATCCTCGCTTGGAGTTCCAACGAGCCGTTATTAAAGGTGTGTCTGACGTAACGCACATCGCGCCGGCGGACCCCGACGGCACCATCATCGGCTCTAAGGTAGTAGCCGACGGCGTGATCCTCTACGACTACACGGCATTGGGTCTCTGCGGCGGCGTGACCGACGCGCCGCTCACGACCACCACCGAAGTGTACCCCGACTCGGCGAAGGCGACGGCCGAGGAGTGCAACAAGGCGCAGGTCGAGTCCGTGCTCAGCGCTTTAGACTTTCTGCTCGCGGAGCGGTCCTGGGGGCCGGCTGTTAAAGCGCTCGGCGGGGGGATGCCATAGTGTAATTGTATTATATTTCTGTGACTCGGTGTGCGTCGACGACGCCGTGTCGATGGCGTGTTTTTTTCGTTTCTAGTATGTATGTTGATACGCTAGCTTCCAAAAGTCGGCGCGTCGGCCCGCGGCATTAATTGGCTGCACAAACACCTTCAGATCGGATCGCGGCAGGGGCCACACATTGCTGCGTTTGCTGTGTGCGGTATCAGTAATTGGCTGGTGGCAGATAGTCTTCCTGTGCCCACAAAAAAGGTGTATGCCCAGGGAGCGCTCCCCACCAGCAAACAAGATGACATCATCGGACAGAGCGAACCTGCTGGACAAAGACGAGGAAATAGCGACGCCGGCGAAAAAACCAACAATCACGACGAAGAAGCTAGCATTATCAATAGGCGGCGTCTTCGTGCTCTACGTTTTACATGATGCATTACAAGAACGGGCCTTCCGCCAGCCGGGCTTTAGATTTGGCTGGTTCATGACGTTGATAGAAATAGTGGTCGTTTCTACATGCGCATTTATGTTCGAGTGGGGCGCGCCGCCAGATCCCACGGTAGTGTCGGAAGAGTCCATGCGCACGATTAGGATGTGTGTTGGTGGTTTAGCGCTGTGTCTAGCCACCTCACAAGGCACGGGCAGCGCCGCGTTGAATTATGTGCACTACCCCGTGAAGGTCGCCTTCAAGTCCTCGAAGCTCGTGCCAACCATGATCTTCGGCATACTGCTGACGCGGAAGACCTTTTCATTCCTCGAATACGGGGCGGCCTTGCTCATGTGCTGCTCGTTAGCGGGTTTGTCGTTGGCCGATAGACGGGCGTCTTCTGATGAAGAGGCCGAGAATTTGCCCCTTGGTGTCATGTTGCTGATGACGGCGGTGTTTGCGGACGCTTTAGTACCGAACCTCCAGGAGAAGTGCCTCAAAGAACTCAAATATCCGGTGGGGCGGATGATCGTTTATTCTAATGCCGGGTGTGCCGCGTTGGTGTTGCTCTACTGCTCGGCGACCGGTGAATTAACAATGGCTTTGAAGTGGTGCGCCTCCAATACGGAGGGCAGCGCGTTTCTGTTCTTACAGGCCTGTACGTCTTATATGGGGTTAAGGTGCTACCTGGTCGTGGTCAAGGAGCTTTCTGGTGTGGCGGGCGTCGTCACGACTTCATTAAGGAAGGTCGTGACGTTGATTTTGTCCTTTTTATTATTCGAGAAGCCCTTTACCCAAGGCCACGCCTGGTCCTTCGCCGTGCTGTTCGCGGGCGTCGGTCTGGCCACGTACGCGAGGCAGGTAAAGTAGTTTTGTATATACTTAGGGGTCGTAGGCTTCCTTGCGCGCCGCGCCGGCGTCGAGCGCATCCGTCCGCGTCATGGGCCCGACCGGCGGCAGCTGCGCACACATGTGTTCTAGAGTGTCGGCCGTCGCGTCGTACTTCTGGGCCTCGGCGTAGTTGAGGTGGGGTCTAATTTCTAGAACGGTCTCGGCGCCCTGGACGCCGACGACGGTCGGGATCGAGAGGAAGCACTCGCGCGTCGGGTCCTTGACCGAGACTGGTAGCACTGCTTTTCTATCGAAGAGGATCGCGTCGACCTGTGCGCAAATCAACCGGTGAGTCGAGAAGCGCCGAAATTTGACTTGTGCACTGGGCGTCGGACGATCGTCGCCGTCGCGTTGGCCACGCCGTAGGCCGTGTACTTCTTGCGGTTGATGATCTCGTAGGCCTTGTGGCCGACATCATATTCCAGCTTCTCGAGGTTGATCGCCTTGACGCCCGGGAACTCGAGCAAGGGTCGCCCGCCGATGTTGCCCACGGAGTAGGCCGAGAACTGGCTGTCGCCGTGCTCTCCTAAGACATTGACGTGGACGTCCGACGCGTGCACGCCTAGCCGGTGCCCGAGCTCCACGCGCAACCGCATCGTATCTAGGACCGTGCCCGAGCCGAAAATTGCGCCCTCCGGCAGATCCGGGAGCAGCTTAGCGCGCGCCGCGCAGCCTGAGGCGGCGGCTCGCGGCCTGGAGAAGGCGTCGCGTGGCCATGGTCTTGTAGTCTGCGGTCTTGTCGTATGCAGTACGCGGAGCGGCGCTCAAAACAAGACCAGTTTTAGATGGCTGGCCAGGAGGAAAATAATCTGCTAAGTGTGGTCTGAGGGCCGCGTCCAATTCGCGAAGCTCAGCGGACACGAGGCGCCAAACGAAGAGGAATGCTACTTCAAACGCCCCAAACACGAGCGCTTTGATGGCTTGGTGGTAGGGAACCGAGCTAGCGGCCTGTAAGACACTAGCAAACCAGGCGCCGTCGTCGATCGTGCTGCGAACGAGCGCTAAACATATAGCAGTGCCAAAAGAATAGCCCATTTGTCACGCCGACGAAGCGAGATCATCTGCTCACGAAGAGAGTGCAAGCGCACGGGCGGCTGCACCTATCAAGCCTCAGCCAGCAGCAAATCCGAAAATCGACGCGGAGTTATGGAGCTGCGCCTCGGTAGCACGGTCCAGCTCACCGATCTCACGGGCATTAAGGTCGACGGCGAACCGCCGGCCGGCGCCGTGCGCGGCACCGTCACGCGACTCGACGGCGACACGGTCGAGGCCGCCGCGACGTGGGGCTCCTTCACCTGTAAGCGAGCAGCGATCACAAAACATTCCGCAGGCCCGCCCGGGACCTGTGTATTATTCTCAGGAAATAGGACGGGCACGTTACTCGGCTGGCGCGACGGCGCGCATCTCGTGAGGGAGGGCGCCGCGGACGTTGAAGTGGCGACGGAGTCCGTTCAAAAGACGGTCCCGGCGGCTCAACATTTACGAGTGCGCACGCTGTTCGGCGACGGCGTCGCTTCCACTGTAGACGCGTCGGCCACTACTGTACTACTAGACTGGGGCGCTTCACTAAAGGCGCCGCACTCAACGAACACAGTGCGCTGCCCGGCGGCGGCCGCGCTGCCCGTCGTGCGCTGCGTCGCCCAATCGACTCAAACCATGGTCGCGCGGTCGCTCGACACGCTCAAGTCGTTGACGGCCAAGGTCTCCGCAGATACAAGACAGCGGTTAAGCGACCAACTAGGAGACGTCGACGGCGCCCTCGACTCGATAGAAACGCAGCTCACCGATACACAATCGATAAAGGCCCTGGCGGCGTCGACGATGACCGACGACCTGCAGCAGCGGGCGTCGACGGCTTTTGTGGGAGGCGACGTTACTGAGCTGACGTCCGTCGCATCGGCCACCGCCGAAAAGCTCCGCGAGGCGTCGCAGATCGACTCTGTGATCGAGGAGACGTCGCACGAATTGAGCACAGTCGTCGAGGAGATCACTCCCATGGTTAAGGAAGCCGAGAAAGCGTCGGAGCAGGTCTCGCAAGTCGCGTACGAAGTAAGCAATGCGGCGTCGCAGTCCAAGGCCGCCCTCAAGCTGAGCGAAGAGACCGCAAAGTTGACAGACGGGTTTTCTACGGAGTCTAGTGAAGGCGCGCTAGGTGCGCTGCAAAAAACGAAAATAGACGACGCGACGGTGCGACAGAAGGCTTCCGAGGTGGCCACGAAAGTGTTAGCCTCGAAGCTCTTAGATGGGGCCCTCTTCGAGAGCGCTTTTTCAGACGCGCTGTCCAGTGCAAAGAACACTGACATAAGATCAGTCGTCGCTCCAGTCGCCAAGGCCTGCGCGGACTTCGCCAAGGCCTGGCTCGACGAGGCCTCGCAAGTCGGGTTTTCGAAGCTGCCTCCTGAAGTGGCTGTGCGTGCGCTCGAGGACGGCATCACTAGTGCCGCGGATGCCGCTTTAGTTTCTGAGAATGATCTGGCTAGAAGGGGTCTGCTGGAGGTCGCCGTCGCGTCGGACTGCTTCGACGGGTTACTTACCAAAGCTACGTTGTCTGATTCTGACGATCTCACGAAACGAGCAGCGAGATATGCGTTAAATTGTGCTGAGACCACGGAACTGCTCGGTGATGCGGCGCCCGTGCTACGAAAGGCTCTAGAGAATATTTCTGATAGTGGCGACGTCGCGGACGCGGTGCGAAGTGCTCTTGATGGAGATTTAGTAGTAGACGGCGTCGGCCAACTCGGGAAGATCGGCGCTTCTGCTTTGGATGCCTTGAAGACCTTAAATAGAGACGAACGAGTCTTATACTTCGCGCGCATGGCTGCGGACGATGAGGCTGTCTCAGGAGTCCTCGAGACGATCCAGACCCTCGACGCTGAAAGTGCGGTCAAGGAAGCGGAGCATCTAGCGCAGGACGCCCAGGCGCGAGAGGTGTTCATAAAACGTGTGAATGACGCGGCGCTGGCGTTCCTGCTGCGACACTTACCGGCGATGCCCGTTCCCGACGTCGAAGAAGAAAATGATAACTTAAGGTACAAGGTGGCCAACTTAAATTTGTCCAACCTCGTGATTAAGGAGGAAAATGTCGTTGTCGAGGTGGCCACGGGTAGCTCGTCCAAGGTGAATCTCAAGGGTTCCGAGGAAGTGGAACCGGACCCGACGTCGTTGTTTGCCCTCAAGGCCACTAGAATCCAAGCGCGCTTCGAGGATCTGCAGTGGGCCGTCACGCAGAAGTCCTTTCCTTATCTGGAGGCGGAGGGTAGGGCCGATGTCATTGTCGAGGATGCGCAAGTGTCGTTGGCGCTATGTGTGCGACGGGCGCCCGGTGTCACTGGTGGCCTGGAGCCCAAGGTAGCTCTGACAAGGTGCGACGTGAAAATAGCGTCTCTCGACTTAACGATGGAGGAGCACGGCCTGAGCTGGGTCTTCAATGCCTTGGCAGCACTCTTAACCGACTACGTCCGCGACTACGTGTGTGAGTCGTTGCAGGACTTACTTAAAGATCGAAGTCAATATCTGTTGGAGCCGGTCAACTCATTGCTAGCGACGTCGTGGGCGCCCCTGTCGCGAGCCTTGCATTTGCCGGATGTGGCCGACCTGCCTCCGTTAGATGAAGATCATGAATCAGAGGACACGATCGATATTGTGCTTCGCGCTCCCGGGGCTCTTGGCGTGGAATTGCAGGAGCGGGTCAAGGAGGGCCAGTCATCCTTAGTTATTGCTGGCTTAGAGCCGCAAGGCCAGGCCAAGCCGGCGGTGGCGCAGCTGGGCTTATCTATTGATGATGTGAAGGACGCGGTGTTGGTAGCCGTCGACGGCGCGCAGTGCGCGGGGCGAGATCGCGACGACATCGTGCGGCGGGTGACGCACGAGCGGCGACCGCGGACGCTACGGTTCCGGTTGCGAGGCCAAGCGGCTCTTAGAAGACGCGCTGTTTCACGAGCTCGCGTAGACACGTTGGAACTGTTTCCTGCTGGAGAACCCCGAGATTTAGAGCCGTTAGGACTGCGCCTGAAGACGCATCCGACGATACGGCGGGCGTGTGCTATTGCAGCTTTAGTGCGAGGTACAAATGATGAGGTACTGGCGGCAGAAAAAGCGGGCGTCGTCCGAGGCGCGTTACTGTGCGCCTGCACGGGGCGGCCGCGCCTCTGGACGAGTGAGGGAGACGCCACGCCCCAGGACGTCGGTTCTGATGTGTTGGAGGCCGCGAAGGAGGCGGCGTCGAAGGGCGAGGCCTTTTCCGTGACGCTCGCGCCGGCGCCGGACCGGCAGCTCAACCCGAACGGCGGCTTTCCCTTGGCCGTGGAGGACGGGCTCTTCTACGCGCGGCCGGGGTCGCAGCTTATTAGTGTGGATGGCGCGATCATACTACCGCGCGCGCCGGAGAATTTAGTCAAGGACCGGCTGGCCGTCGCCGAGCGGTGCGTCGTGCGGGACGCGTATCGGTACGAATATCTGCAGGCGCTCTTCGAGAAGCGCGGAGATTGGCTCTAGTGTAAAATGTGTGTTAGTCAGCAAGTGGGATCGCGTGGTCCACGCGATAATCAGAGGTTGCGCAGCATGACGTCGGACTTGAACGTCTCGCCCGCCGCCGTCGTGTCCTTCTTGACTCCTTCCAAATCCCATCCTTTAATGCCGAGCTGCTGCGCGAGCTGGACGCGGCCGCAGACGTTGGCGCAGCAGGCCGTCGAGACTAATACTTCGGCGTAGTTCTGCTTGTTGAAGTCCTTGCGGTCGGGAATGTCGTAGCAGCACGAACCACAGAGGAAGAGGTAGTTGAACGGCGGGATCGGGACGACGAACGCTAATGGCACGCCAAGCGCACAAATACACGACGAGCAGCAGTTCCTACCCTGCGCTTTGCTGATCTGGCCCTGCAAGATGCACGGACACAAGATCGAGAAGGCGGCCAAGCCGGGATCGGCGCAGAAGTCCGTGCAGAGCTTCTTGCTGTAGTGGCCGTTCTCGTTGACCTCCTTGAAGATGCCGCAGCAGCTCGCCTTGCAGTCCGTGACGCAGGCCTTGCAGGTGTTGTCGCCGCCCATGTTGATGGGCTGCCCCCGGTGGGCTGCGTCCCGCTACGTGGCTCGATAAGCGAGGCAGAATCGAAATCAGCCCATGAAAAAACGGGTTTTTCCCGATCCGTCACGATAATAAACGCCTCGTTACGCACTACTACTCGAGCTTCGCCGGCGCCAAATGAGAGGCCTCGAGCGGCTCCCGCGTCCTCAACAGGTACTGTTTCGGCCCGTCCGCCGTCGCCGCCGTGACCGCCACGCCGGCCTTCGTTTTCACTAAACTCATCTTCTCGGACAGGGCGAAATTCAACACGACCTTGCCGACGTCGTTGCGCACGACGACGCGCGCCGCTCCCGTCGTCTTGTGCCTCGTAATTCGCAGCTGTCCCTTGCCGAGGTCGCGCCACTGGGGCTTTTCTCCTTCCGGTTTGTCGTATCGACGTAACGCGCACCGACTCTCGAAGGCTGTTGTTTCGTCACCATCATCAGCCTTCGCGACCGCCACCCGTTCTTCCTTGGGCATCGCGTCGTCTTCCTTTGATGATGGTGCGGGCGCCGGTGCTCCCCCAAAGTTGAACGCGCTCGTGGATGGTGGGGCGGCGCCGAAGCTGAAGGCCGGTTTTGGCGCGTCAGCTTTAGGAGGTGGCGCGCCGAAGTTGAACGCCGGCTTCGGCGCCGCCTCAGGTTTAGCTGGCGCGCCGAAGCTGAAGGGCTTTGAAGCCGGCGCCGGCGCCGGCGCGGCCGGGAAGGCGAAAGGCTTTGATGCTGCGGGCGCGCTCGGCGCCGCGACGGGCGCGCTGCTCTCCAACTTCGCCACGTGGGCCAGGTAGTCGCGCACGCCGGCCGTCCAGGGCGTCGCGGGCTTGTTTTGGGCCTGCCTTCTCACCCACTTGAGGAAGGCCCGGTTGCACGCCTCGAGCTTGTCCGCACTAGACTTAATGATGGGCGTCTCGGCCATCGGTTTTGTTGCGTTAGAAGGCGACGCGAGGAAGGACGAGCCACCGCCGAAAGCTGATGACGGTGCCGTCGGCGCCGGCGCTGGGGCGCTGATGAAAGAAGCGAACGGGTTGCCTCCGGCCGGCTTCGGAAAGCTCAATCCTGAAGACTTCTGGCCCGGCGCCGGCGGCGGCGCCGTCAGCTTGACGTTCGCGAAGATGCCCGCGCCCTTGGCGCCGGCCCCGATGCCTTCCATTGCCACGTAACCCTGCTTCGGCTTTGCGGCTACTGTTGGTTTAGTACCAGCGTCTAAGGCTGGAGGCGCCTGCATCTGGGGCGTGCTCTTCGATTTGAAGCGGCCACTTACGGACACGATGCGCCTCTTCCGCAGTTTTTCTTGGGAGGCGCGCTGGAACGTGCCGGCCTCGACGACCTCGTCATCCTCGGCTTCCGCTTCTTCTCTACGTTGCTGGGCGTTCGTGTTGCGGCGCTTGCCGCCGCCGCCTTGCGGGCGGTCGGACATGGTTTTGCTGCTGTGCGCGTCGCTGGCGCCTCGCTGTGCTGCGTTTTTGCGCAGCGGTGCGTCTTCTCGCGTGGCTCGCTGCTAGGAACTCGCGCGCGGCTGGCGATTTGTGGGGCGACCGCCTTTTTTGTGATTGCTAGCGGGATCGCCTCGAATTACGTGCTGTGGCGCCCTCGGCTTTTTGCTGCTGCTAGTGTCTTACCTTCCGCTAGGTCGGCATTTGTTTTTTTACACGTATTACACACGGCGCGCGACGTTCAGTTCTGCCGGTTCTTGATCGCGTCGGCCGCGACAGGGTCGACCTGGTAGGCGAGGGCGTGGAGCTCGTCGATCTTCGTCTGGAGCGCGTTCACAGTGAGCGTCAGCGGGTTCACGAGGTCGTCATGCACGTCCTCGAGCTCCTCGGCGGCATCCGCTGCCTCGGCGGTGGCGGCGGCGGCGGCGGCCGACGCCGCGGCCGCGACGGCGTCGGTGCGGTCGCGCGCCCCTTCGACGGCGTCCTTCTCCTCCTTGACGCGCTTCAGAGTCGATGACTGCTGCTCATCGTGCGCGTCCCGCAGCGCGTTGCGCTTCTTCGCGGGCGGCGAGGCGTCGCCGTCGCACAGATCAACGACGTCGTCGCCGGCGAGCTGGCGCTTGAGCGACGCGTTCTCGGACTGCAGTCGCGACGCGTACTCGGCGAGGGGTCCGAGTTCTTTCAACGCCTGCTGGGCGTATGACTTGCCGACGTCCGAGCCATTTGCCAGAAGCGCCGAGAGCGCCTCGACGCCGCCGGCCTCGACGATCGCGGTGCTAGTGTCCATACGCCCACAACAACGGGTGAAGCACCACAACGCTTTTGCGGTCTCCTCCTGGTCGTCGGCCGAGCCGCCTGAGAGGCGCCCCACGAATCGCTGAGCGATCGCGGTGCAGTGGGCGACCAGGGCGCCGGCGTCGGCCTTTTTCTTCCTCCGCTTGCCCGGCGGTTCGCGCCGCGCCGGCGCCGCAGCCTCGGCCTGTGCGGCGCTCGCGTCGCGGCGCTTGCGCCGCGGGCGCTTGGCGTCTAGATCAATTTTTTTCACGTCGCCGACGGCGACCTCTTCCCGCGCGCCGGTGCTCTCCCAGCGCACGAGGACCGTATCGTCTCCTGTGCGCACGGGCCGCGCGACATACGCCTGATGTTGGTGGTATCCTACCAGGACCTTCTCGTCGACTGCGTAGAGCACTGGTGCAGCCTCCATGTGACTCGAGTGCCTCGTGCGCGCCCGAACCGCTCGTTTTTGTTTACCGCTTCGACTTTCAGCTGTGCAGAGCGTCTGGAAACCAGCCCAGCTGCGTCGTCTGTTGCCAGGAGGGTCACAAGCAAAGACCCAAAGAGAAACTAGCGGCTGTAAGGCACTAGCAAGTTTTTTTTCGGGACGCGCTTTTGCATTGCGCTTGCCATCGGCATTGCGGAAAACCCGTACCGAGACAAGAAGACACTAATAAAACCTCACCTATACCCAAAATACCGCCGCTTCGTCACGTCCTTCCGCGGCACGGGCCGCGCTTCGAACTTCAGGTCGCGCCGCGTGTTGTGCGTCGCGTTCGCGCTGACCAACTCGAAGACCCCATCCCCGTGGAACGCGCGGCACGCCTCGGAGGGCAGGCGGAACCACGTCGACGCGGGGACGGCTTTGAAATGAAGGGACCCTTCCTCGGGGCCCAGCGAGCCGTCGACGGGGTGCTTCGCGTCCGACGAGAAGTGTGATTTTGAGGAGTGTAGAGTATAAGGCGTCACGTGGCTGCCGACGGCGTCGCTCACGGAGCAGCCGTAGGCGCGGTCGCGCCGCCACGCCGCGCCGGCGGCTTTCGCCGGGGCGCACTGGCCGGGCTCCGTTTTGCACAAAGTACCCGTCGAGGGTAAGACCGTGCCGCCACTGTAGAAATGAGATGATACGGGGTGCTGCGGTAAGTGTTGCACTCGAGGCACTCGCACGAGGTCGTCGCGATACCCACTCCGCGTGGCGTCCCTTGCGGCCTGGTAGGGCGAGGCCGCGTAGCAAGCTCCGAGTAAATAAGCGTTATGCTTATCATCAGCTGAGTCATACGTCGGTAGAGGAGCCACAGACTTAGCGTCGAGGGACCATTCCGGTTTCTTCCATTCACCATTTTTTTTCTCCCTTCTTACTTCCTGCTTGCGCCACTTGGCGATGGCCTCGGGCATCGTTTGTGGTTTACATCCTCTATCGACCTCTTTACCATGTCTATAACTGCGATACTTCGTCCGCAGGGCCCTTATTGTTTTCGACGTGTTGGCGCCCAGATATAAGTGTACCGCGTCATCTAACCGAGTCTTGGGATTCGGCACGGCCTTCCTCCGCTCGATACGATGTTGTAAATAAGCTTCGACCTTCTCCGAGCCGCCCATGCGGCTCCGGTCCCACTGCAGTGACCGTTGGAAGTGTGATAATTCACTATTCCAGTCGACCTCCGGTTTCTTGGGCGACTGGCCCGTCTCGTAGTCCGCACCCTCAGCCTTGTCGTCCCAGTCCTCGGGCTTCGCGCGCGGTGTGGGCAGGTCGCAGCCCCGCGACGCGACGCGGCAACACAGAAGGTTCATGCTCCACATCGTCTTGTGGGCCATGTCCGTGACCGCCTTCCTGACGACGCGCTGCGCGACAACCTCCGCCAAAACTTCCTCGGGGTGGTCCTCCCTCCATTTCTTTTGCTTGAGCTCCTCCTGGCGCTGCTGTTCGCGCTCGAAGCTTGCTCGCTTCGCCGCCGCCTCGTCTCTTCTCTTAGATTCGCGCGACGCCGTGCGGGCCCGTTCCCGCTCTTCGGCGGCCTCGGCGTCGTATTCGCCATAAGCCTTGAGGTCTCTGAGGCTGGCCATGGCTGCCCCGGCGCTGCCCCGGGCGACGTGCCGTCGCAGCGGTCCCGCGTGCGTGCCTCGCGCTGCGATTGGCAGCCCAGGCCCCCGGCGCGGCCTCTGCAAAGGCTTAGCGCCGCCGAGCGCTGCTCTCGCGCCCTTGGTCCGAGGCGGACGCCTCGGCACCCGTCTGCAGCGCCGGGAGACGTATACGTAGGTCTTGCGGGAGCCCACCGCGCCTACATTCAGGCTCGCGCGGTTATTGAGCGCGCGCGGCACGCGCCCGCCACTGGGGGGCGCCGCCCACTAGTCCTAACAGACGCCATCGCCGCGACAGACAGAGGCAGACACAAGGGCGATTACTCGGACGATGTACAGGCAGGCGAGCGGCGTCAGCGCTTCTTTCTCGCAGACGGCTTCTTCGCGGCAGGCTTCTTGGATTTGGACTTCTTCTTGGGCGGCTCCTTGGGCTCCGCCTCGCCCTCGGCCGGCGCGACCACCGTTTTGATGACGCCGAGGCGGTAGACCGCCGTTCCGCTCGCGTCGCGCAGCACGAGGACCGTCAGAGAGTTCCCGAAGGCGTTTCCATCTCCATCGTAGTTCCGGAGCACGACGTGGACGTCTTCATTAGAACGGAACGCGGCGGACAGCTGCTTATTACATGAGTCGTTGACGGCGCACTTTTTTGAACCCTGGAGCTTCTTGCAGTTGTGGCCCACGAGCGCGCCACGCGCGTACTTCATGTCGGCCACGAACGTTTTGGACGCGGTCAAGATCTTGTGGTCGTGGTCGTCGGCTCTTGATAGGAGCCAGGGCCCGCGGAAGCGGCGGATCTGGTTCACGAGCGCGGCGTCCTCGGTAGAAATTGCGGAGAGGACCTCGCTCAGCGCGAGCGTCGACTCGTCGCTGACGTCTTCAAAATTCGCCGGCGTGCCCGGGTAGTGGGCGGGGAGCGCGGCGCCGAGCCTTGCGCGCGCCGAGAGGCTCTTCAGCGGCTCACCCATAACTGCGCTCTTGCGATCTGTCTCGCGCTCTTCTTGTAGTCTGTCTCACCCTCCGGCGAGCTTGTTGGCAGCGTCTAGGGTGCGCTTTCACCGCAAGATCAACAGGTGCTCTGTGAGAGCCTTGCTTCAACGAGAGCTGTGCAGCCGGGATTTCGCTGCCGGTCGAGGAACTGAAAAGTTTGAGTAATGCGAAGGCTTTTGGCAATCTACACTAGCCGAAGGCGCAGCAATCGCACAAGATCAGCGAGGATTATCGAGAACGCTTGCCTATCGTAATGTAAGGCTCTAGCAAGCGGCAAAAAAAGCTGCTGCTCTTGTCGTGCACTTGTCGTGCGCACGTCTGCTTTGAGCTGCTTTGAGGCGAGTAGAGTTCGTCAGAGATACGTTCGCGCCCAAGCCCTTCGCTGCGCGAGAGCACAGAGCCGTCTCAAAGGCCGTGCATGCTGCTCAGGACCACAGCGCTCCTCGCCGGCTCGGTAAGAGCCATGACGACCCTCACCTTCGTCACGGGCAACGCCAAGAAGCTCGAGGAGGTCACGGCCATACTCCAGAAAGGAAGCCCACTACCGTTCACGATCGGTAATCAAGCATTGGACCTGCCCGAGCTGCAGGGCGAGCCTGATGAGATTGCCAGAGAGAAAGGTAAGCTAGCAGCGGAGGCGGCAAAAGGTCCAATCATGTGCGAGGATACGTTGTTGTGCTTCAACGCGTTGGGTGGTCTGCCGGGCCCTTATATAAAATGGTTCCTCCAGAAGTTGGGGCACGAGGGCCTGAACAATTTGCTGGCGGCCTACGAGGATAAAAGCGCGTACGCGCAGTGTTTATTTGCTTTGTGTGCGGGCCCGGGCCAGCCCGTGCGGCTCTTCGACGGGCGGACGCCGGGTAAAATCGTGCCGGCGCGCGGCGACAATCAATTTGGGTGGGATCCCGTCTTCGAGCCCGACGAAGGTGGAGGCGGCACCTACGCGGAAATACCGAAGGACGCGAAGAACGCGATCTCGCACCGTGGTAGGGCGCTGGCGCAGCTGCGGGAGTGGCTTCTTGCTAACTCCGAGGCGTTCGAGGCCGAGTGCCGGGCCGCCGCGAGCTAGGTTTTATGTTTATATTTTGGTTGCGTCGATGGCGTCGAGGTCGACGGCCAAGACGTGGCCCGCGGCGACGCGGGTCACGCAGCGATAGAGTCGGCGACGGCGTGGTGGGGACCACTGCAGCTAGAGGGTTCAGCCGCTGGCCAGCCTTGACGGGCAACCCAATACGCCATCGACGCGCGGAGCAACCCGGGAGTAGAAGAAAGAATCTAGAACACTTTTTATGGCTTCCTTCCTTCCCGCTGGAACTAGAGGGGATAGGGGTCGTCGCTGCCGAGAGCGACGTGGAATTCGCGCGTGGAATGGTGGTCACGCGGCAAGGGCTTGCGCCGGCGCCGGCGAGGGCTCGTCGACCTTGCGCCGCTTGGCGAGGTCGGGCAGGTCCGCGTTCGACACGACGGGGCCGTGCAGGGCGCGCGGCGGCGACGGCGGCGTGTTGTTGCCGCCGACGACGTGCAGGGTGTCGGACGACACGCAGGCCGGCAGGCCGGCGTCGGGCGACACGCCTCGAACAAATGATTCGTCCGAGTCGTCGGAGCGCGCGCGCTTGCGCTCCATTTCGATGGGCGCGCGCGCCGCCGGCCGCTCGGCGACGCCGTCCAACAACTTGGCCGCCGCGGTTAATAACGCGAGCTGCGGCCGCGCGTCCAAGTTCGGCACGGCGGCGGCCCGCGCCAGACTCACCTCGTCGTCGGACGACACTTTTCTAGCTGGTGGCGGCTGCGCCGCCCTTCTTAGTTTTTTAAAGTACTTCTGCGCGTGGGAGCGGACCTGGATGACCGTGCGCGTGCCGACGTGCTCCGCGATGCGGATCCACTTGCGGCGGCCGTACTTCTCGAGGCCGTCGACGAAGCGCGCGTGCTCCTGGGCGGACCAGCGGCCTGCGTTGCGGGTTCGCGTAACGGTTTCGCCCGGGCGCGGCTATCGGTGTGTGTTTGAGGTGTGGAGCACCCCCGCCGTCGCGCAGGCGCGCGCGAACCCGTCGGTGTGTGTGTGTGTCGCGTTTGGCAGCGCGCGCGAAACGAAACGACGCGGTTTTCTCTCAGGCGTCAAAAACGCGACTCGGGAGATATACCGGATTCGAGCTGCGCCTCGTCGGTGGAGCTGTTGCGGCTCAGGGTCAATTGCGGTTGGATTTTGGAGCGACGACAGGTGCTTACATCCTCGGCGCTGCGCCCGAGGTGGTCGGCAGCATCTTGCTTCAGCTCCCGATTATCCTTGGCTAGCTCCGCGCCTGCGTGTCCCTCGCTTGTCGTGCTGCAGTATGTTGTGGCCATGAACCCGCTGGTGCTCTGGTCGAACGCGCTATGTACAGAGATGCGTCCTTCGCGTAGATAGGAGGCTGGATGAGAGGCTGGCGTCCTGACGCCAGTGGGCTCTGCACGGGAGGCCGACTTCAAACACAGCACGGCGTGACCCCCGCCGCCCAGGCCTCTGAAAATACTCCATCACGAAACCCTTGTACCCTTGTTTGCCCGTTCTCGGCTCTCTGAGTTCAACGCGGGAGAACGCGGGCCAAGATGCGGCGTGCGCGGGATAGGCTACGGACTCGACGGTGAAGACCCGATGCCGGATCCGGAACTTTAGAGGCCTGGTTCTAGTGCATCCATATCCAAGGGGCTAGCACCCGCCTGCGAATACTAGCGTCTTTGACGCTAGGGGTGTCCTGGGGGACACCCGCAGACATAACCAGGCACGTACATGGTAATCCCAATATTGAGCGACCAAAGGTCCTCTAGAGTGACCAGGCCGGGGTCAGCTCGACAGAGGGGTTCAAGAGGGGCGGGTGTATATCAAAAATCGGTCGATCGGACGCCCCTACCATCGACGGTCAAAGCTGCGCCGTCTTCCAACGCCCCCAAGGCCAGATCGAGCGCCGGCACGCCGAGCGCATCGAGCGCGCCCGCGTCGATGGGCGTCAGGACCGTTGCCTGAGGCGTCGATGGACGCGGCTTGATTAACCCCGACGGGACAACGACGTGATGAAAGTTGTAGGTCAGAGCACTCGCTAAAAAGCCATCCACCAGGGCCGGCACCGCCTCCCGAGCCGCCTCTCCCGAGCCTTGCGGGCCGCGGGGTACGGTTCCCAAGCGCAGCTCGCCCCCTCGCGAGCGCGCGCGGCGAGCGGCGTCCCCCGCACCTCGACGACGCCTACGCGACGCGACGCCATCGCACACCAAGAGACTAGGGAAGAGAGATATACACGCATTAATAGGGGGGAGAGAGGAGCCGCTCACTCACTAGCCCACCAGCAAATTGGCGTCGCCCGTGAACTTGTAGGGCGGGATCTCGAGGTTCAGGGGCGCCGGGCCCTTGCGGATGCGGCCCGAGACGTCGTAGTGGGAGCCGTGGCAGGGGCAGAACCAGCCGCCGTAGTCGCCCGCGTTGGCAATTGGCACACATCCTAAATGAGTGCAGATGCCCATCACCACCAGCCACTCGGCGGATTCGACCCTAGCAGCGTCCGTCTCCGGGTCCCTGAGTTCGTCCAGCGACACGGCTTCAGATGAGGCGATCTCGTCGGCCGTGCGGTGTCTGATGAAGACGGGCTTGCCGCGCCACTTGACCTGTGTATTTTGTGTGATGCGTCGATGGCGTACAGACGGACACTGAGTGCATACGGTGATCGTCTGCCCCTCCTCGACGGCGGACACGTCAAACTCCGCCGACGCCAATGCTAGAACGTCTTTTGTCGCAGACATCGTCGCGATGAACTTTAACGCGCCGATCCTCACCGCCGACGCGTAGATGAACTTGTTCGCCCCCATCAACAGGTAGGTAAATCCCCTATTCTCGGCGGCGCCAGAGACGCCGCCTTTGTCGATGCGGTCTTTAGTGAACCCATAATCAAAACTGCCCAGGTCCTCGCCGGGGCTGAGGGTGGCCGGGGTGGTCGCGAGGGGGCGCGCCCACCTCGCTTGGGTTTGAGGGGCCCGCGCGGCGGCGGTCCGCGCCGGGGCCCGCGCGGCGGCGGAAGCTGTGCGGCAGAGGCCGCGCCTCAGGAGCGCCGCGGCGGCCATGAGGTCCTCAGGCGGGCCCGCCTTACTCCGCTACCCTACTCTTGAGGTTGCTGGCTCCCCCCAGCGCTCAAATTCTGCCCGATTGAGGCCTTCCTCGAGCAGCCAGTTTTTGGTAAGGCTAGTATCTATCTGACGCTAGATTAGAAAGAAGTCTGAAAAGGGGACCGGAGCCGTCCGTAGCGCCTTCTTATCGATCCTCGCCGGCAAGAACGGTCGGCTGGCAGGAATTGCCCGACTTGGCATGTCGCCTCCGCAGTCGGCTTTAGCAGTGCCGTGCGGGACGTGCACACACTTATCGCTGGGTCTGACGCGCGTTTTAGGACTACCGAACCAGACTCTCAGCGCTGCGAACGATAACGGCATCGATAGCGCGCGCCACAGCAGCAGAGGCCCCTGAGTGCTGCAGTGCTCAAATTTGTGCGGCGCGCGGACGTAAAGATGAAAGGCTCGAACCAGACGAGCCGCGCCATCATCCGGGGCGGCGCGAACACGGGCCGTTTTGACAGAGGAGAAGATGTGCCGAATGCGGGCGACGTTACGCTGCGGGACCCGGTCTCGCAGGGGCCCATCGAGACGCACGCGCTCTATGGTGCGGCCACGCCCAATGTCGGCAGCGCGTGGGCTTTGCCACGAGCCCATCCCCTGTGGGCGCCCATGGACTTTGAATGTAAGGAACTAACGAAGGAGACACCGGCGCAGCGGGAAGAGCGCTTGGCGCGCTTCGAGCCGCCCGCGGAACCGCGGCGCCAGCTCACTTCCGAAGAAATCGTAGACGTGAGAAACAAGTGCCGGGCCCACTTCGCCTCGAAAAAAAATACGGAAGCGGGCCGCGTCGACTTTATGGCATCAGACAAGTTCGCGGGCAAAAAACCGGGCTACTACTTCGGGCGGAGCGCCAAAGGCATGGGGTATCATATCGATTATGCCCAGATGCGCCGATTGATGACGTTGTCGCCGGGCGACCGGTGCGAAGCTAGATATCAGAAGGTACGGCGGTATTTTGATGGAGTCGTCTGCGCGGCGCACGTATGAAACGGCGTCCTTTGTCACGGCGCGTCGCGTCGATGGCGTCGAGTTCACAGCGCGTCGCGTCGATGGCGTCGGGGGTCCACGCCGTCGCTCGAAGCAACCGCGTCGCACCGACGCCGTCGCGGCGAGAGAGCGAGAGCGAGTGATCCACAACACAGGACGACGACTGCTCCTACGACGTCCGCTTCAAGCACGGCCACGTCCAGCTGCGCGTACCATGTGAACACTGTAGGAAGAAGGCCTGGGTCGGCGTCCTCAAGGAAAATGACGGCGTGAGCCGGTCGCTGATGGCGGCGAACCCCTTGACCGAGAAGAACGACGCGTCCGTGCGGTGGTACGAGAAGCTGCTGCTGTGGGAGCAGGGGAAGCTAGAAGAGGCGCCGTCTCCCGATTTTGAAGAGGGTGGTAATCCGCTGGCGTTGCTCGAGGCCATGGCGCTCGCCGAGGACCAGGACGTTTCGGATGAAGCGCCCCGACTGGATAATGCGGGCGCGGAGGCCCTCGTCGCGTCGAGCACGAAACCCGAGAGCGCCTCGTATCAACGCGTCTGGGACGAGGACGGCCGGCCTCTACGATCAGGACCGCCGACGCACCAGGACTATTATGGTAATGATGCGCCAGCATCACAGGAAGAACTAAGCGCCACGCGCGACAAGCCCTATTTACTAAATGGCGACGACTCCGTCCAGAAGTGGATCACTACACCTAGTGAATCGGAGAAGAAGCCAGCTGCGGGCTCGTGTGTCGAGTGCCACGTCATCAAGAGACATCTAGATGGTTCGATTTGCGCGACGACGCACGACGGCGACCCCTTACAACTGAAACTTTTTTGCGATGAGGACCGGAACGGCGTGCCAAATGCAGACCGCTACGTCCAGGGCCTGCACGAGGGCTTGAGTTCGATGCGCGTCGGGGAAATAGCGCACTTCGTCGTCGCGCCGGAAAAGGCCTATGGTCTCAAAGGTTTATATCCGACGGTGCCCGGGGCGACGAAACGACACCCGCGGGGGTCTTGGTTGTGGTACGAGGTCGAGTTACTAGCCATCGAGGAAGACGCCTCGACGACACAGATCACGGACCCGCGGTCCTTCTTCTTATTGCAGCGGCCGGACGGCTACGACTGGACCGGATTGACGCAACAGGAAGATCAAGCCTGCGGTTTTTGTGGAAGGCCGGAGCGAGCCCTGCACCAGCGCAAATTTAGGAAGTGCGGCCGCTGTAAAGTACAAATCTACTGCTCCGCGGACTGCGCCAAGCGGCACTGGCCCACGCACAAGCTCACGTGCTCGAAACCGGAAGATCATCTCGTGCTCGAGGCCGAGGCGTCTCTCACACATGCGTTAACTGTGAAAAGAGACGACGCCGTCGCGACATATATCTCCACGAAACTAGGACATGTACCACCCAAGATCTTGGTGATCGTCGCGTATCGGAACCAGTTACCCTTACAGGACCGCCAGCCGCAGTTGTTCAAGTTCGTGCCCTACATGATCGCGTTCCTCGGAAGTTGTCGACCGCGACCGGATTTTAAGATTGTCGTCGCGACGCAGACGGATGATGGGCGGAAGTTCAATCGAGGAAGGTTGATGAACGCGGCCTTCCGGGAGATGCGCGGTGACGAGTATGATAGTGTGATCTTCCACGACGTGGATATCCTCCCTTCCGAAGAGCTCATGCCCTACTACGCCACGCCACCTTGTGAAGGGAGACCCTGCCATCTCGGGGGACGGTGGCGCTCGAAATATACGGAGGATGCCTTTGTCGGGGGCGCCATCGCCTTTCGTCCCGCAGACTTCGTGAGAATTAATGGCTACGCGAACGACAACTGGGGCTGGGGTTTGGACGACGAGGAGTTAGGTCTGAGGATGGTCGAGTGCGGTTTAAGGGTTGTGAAGCCTTCTGTTGGAACTTATTGTGATTTGGACCCGATCAACCTACACAACATTGTTCATAGTGATGAAAGGGGCTACTACTCCGAGTGGTGGAATCTGGACATGGAGAACGGTAAATGTAAACCGAAGCTGGGTGCCATCGATTGGTCGCTTTATAAAACGTGGTTCCGGGCGCGGGGGCTCTGCGACATCGCCGGGAACTCGGAATTGGTGGCGAGGACGCACGAGTTCGGGGGAAGGGTCGTGCGTCTGTTATATGCTCTGGAGAACGACCATGAACGGAAGGAGGGCACCGTCGCCCTCGTGTCCGCGCGCATGTCGATGCGCGCTTGTTTAGATCGGTGTGGAAATCAAAAGTTCACTTCATGCTGAATCATCGCGTCGTCCTCCACGCCATCGACGCGCCACCTGCTCGATGGCGTGGCGATGCCGGTTCCTCACCGCTCGACGGAGCCCGCACGGCCGCGTCGTCGCCGAGAATGCACCCGACACACTGGTTGATGTCCACACAGGTTTAGATGCGAAGCTGACCGGACCGGTCGCTGAGAGAGCCTTGGCGCAGACGCAGCAGCTCGCCGCGCTCGGGAACCTCGACGCGCGGAAGCCGCGAACCATGGACCTGCATAAGCTGGCGCCGGAGCAGCGCCTCGCCCTCCAGGACTCCGCGCCGCCGCGGCCGCGGCGCCGGCTCGCCGGCTAGTTTTGTTATTTTGTCGCGTAAGTGCCTTCCCGTAGTTGGAACGCCCCCCGGGAGCAGAGCTAACACTCGGGGCGACGGCGTACGTGGGCGGGGCGGGCAGACCCCGCGGCGGTCGTGGTGGCTAGGCGGCCTAGCCTGAGGTAGCTCTAAGCAAAGCAAGAGAAAAAAAGCAGGTGGATGCGGGTCCTCTTAGCATCGTGCCCCGGGAGCGGGGTGCGTCGGAGGGCCGGGGAGGGGGCGCACCCTTTCTAGACGGCAAGCGCGGACTGCTGGTCGCAGTTGTCGCCCGTGTAGCCCGTGAAGCACTCGCAGAGGCCGTCGTCGCCGTTGCAGAGGCCGCGGCCCGAGCACTGCTGGACGAACTCGTACGACGTCGGGCCGGGCTCGAACTTGACGATGGAGTGGATGCCGACCAGCTGGGTGCCCGCCGTCGCGCCGCTCGTGTCGCCCTCGTCCATGACCGACCCGCGGAAGGCCGAGCGCGCGGCCGTGGCGGAGCCGTCCCAGTTGATGGCCTTGTCGACGACGAAGTAGAAGCGGTCTTCCGTCGTGCCGGTGGAGGCCGACGGCGCGTCGACGCCGACCTTGACGACGGTGTAGAGGTTGCCCGTGTTCGCCGAGGCGGCCGCGTCGGCCACCGAGACCTTGACGCCGTCCTGGGCGACGGGCATGTACGGCAGGAGCACCTTGTCGCCCTTGTTGAGGCACGCGTTGAGGTGGTTCGAGTCGCAGGACACGTCGGCGGACGTGTAGACCGTGGTCGAGTACTTGGCGAAGCGCGCCGTGACGGACGCCGTGACGTCTCTATCGATGTTGCCGGACGGGTTCGAGTCGCGGCCCTGGCCGCTCGTGCGGTTCGCGAGCACCGTGGCCGTGCCGTCGGTCGTGAAGACGCTCATGTCCACGCCGACCTCGGGCAGGCCGCTGAAGTAGAAGCGCTCCGTCGCGTCGCCCTCCTTGCCCGCGCCGTAGTAGGCGAGGTAGTACTTGCCGGCGTCATAATCGTCGGCGACGCCCGACGCGTCTTCGCGCGCGGTCGGCGTCTTCGTGAGCTTGACGACGTGCGGGTGCCACGTCGTGTTCGTCAGGCCGTAGTCCCAGTTGTAGACCTCGAGGTTGTTCGAGGCGTCGCCGTCGGCGTCTCCCAGACACGCCTTGAGGAGCTTCACCGCGGCGGCGTCGAAGCCGGTGCCGCTCGCGTAGGCGAAGCCGCCGGCCTCGACCTCCGAGGAGCCGCCCGAGTTCCCCGCCCCCGCGTCGGCGACGGCCGTCGCCTGGAGCGTGACGCCGTCGCACATCGTCGGGAAGTAGTCGATGTTCTCGCCCGAGATGCCCCGGGCGTTCGCGAGGACCTTGACGTCGACGTCGAATTTCACCTTATTGTCGTCGGTGCCCGAGTGGCCGATGGCGTAGACCGAGGGCCGCGTGCCGTCCAAATTCGCGTTGATCTCGATGGGCTTGAGGTCGCCGAGGTTCTCCGTGAAGGTGAGGTCGTACTCGACCTTGTTCCGCGCGGTGAGGCTTCCGACGTTGGGGGTTATCTCCGAGCAGATCACGGAGCCCGCGGGGACGATGTCGTTCGCCATGGACTCGAGCGCGGCCTTGATCTCGATGCAGCCCGCCGTCGCCGCGAGCGGGTCCGTCTGGTAGTCCTCGCCGAAGGCGTCGTAGAACTTGATGGCGTAGGTGCCCGTGATGGAGAGGCCCGTGCTCAAGTCGCCGTCGGCGTCGGCGTTGCCGAGTTCGTCCATTGCCTCGAGGTTCCCCGTCACGTTCACGTACTGCAGGAGGACGCGCGCCGTCGGCGCGCGGATCGTCATGTAGTCGTCGTCGATGTAGAGGGGATCCAAACCGTGCTTGCACATCTTGGACTCGCACGTCGGGCCCGAGTAGCCGGGCTCGCACTTGCAGCCCATGGTGACCTCCGAGTCCCAGAGGTTGTAGACGTTGCCGTGGTCCGCGGCGGCCAGGTCCTGCGCGCTCATGCAGACGCCGTGGCCCGAGCACGTCGCGTCGCCGCAGGCCGCCTTCTGGCAGCCCGCGCCCGAGTAGCCCGGGAAGCAGTCGCACTCGCCGGACTTGCGGTCGCAGATGCCCTTGTTGCCGCACTCGGCGTAGGCGTGGCCCGTGTTCGTGAGAGACCCACCCGCCGAGTCGACCATGAGCGGGTACTGCTCGGTCGTGCCGTGGGGGTAGACGGTCGAGCCGGCGATGACGGTCGTGCTCGTGCCGCTCAGCGCGTCGGCGGAGCCGTCGAGGTCGCCCTTGGGCGTGTCGACGTGCGCCGGCACGAAGGGGCAGGTCCGCCCGGAGCAGTCGGCCTCCTGCCAGTTCGGGTAGCAGATGCACTCGTCGAACGTGCCGCAGGTGCCGTGGCCGGAGCAGGCCTGTGTTGTTTTGTGGGTCTCGTTCGGCTCTCTCGCGGCGCGGTGCGGTGTCTCTCTCGTGCGGTTCATGGGTTTCACGCGTCCGTCGCCGCCGGCGCGGCGCCAACGGCGTTGCTCGCGCGCGGGCGCGGTTTTTCGTGGGAGCGCGGCTTGTGGAAGGTCCCTGGGTGGCGGGGGCTGCCTCCGGCGGGGCGGGGGCTGCCTCTCGCGGGCCGCTCCCGGGCGGCAGCCTTTCTCTGTCCGGCCTTTGTTGCAACGCTGCTGCTCACGTTCGGGCACTCGGCGACGGCCGTGCCGGCGGCTAGCGCGAGCACGATGAGCTTCATTCTGCCGTCCTCTGGTGCGCTGGCTGGATGTCCTAGCGCGCAGCGAGAGCCGCTAATATAAGCCGCAGCTCCCGGGAGGGCCAGCGGAACTGGCATTTTAGCGATCTCAGCTAATGTTTGCCCCCAAAATCTTGCGTCCGGAAATGCCCCAAACGGGACCGAGACGCTGCCAGACAGCCCCCGGAGCCCTACGGGCACGTTTGGCCCGACCCGAGACGTGTCGCCGCCGCCATGGCACACTCCATGGCACGATCTAGGGGTCCCAAGGGGAGCACTGCTGCCCGGGGACCACGCTTCGCTGTGGCGATCTACGCGCGAGCGGAGGCGCCGAACCGCACCCCCACACCGAGGAATGAACGACCGCCAACGAACCAAATCACACACTCAATACTTAGTCACCTCGCCGCCGCCGCCGCGCCGCCGTCGACGCCCTCGAGCAGCGCCGCGAGGTCGCGCTCCGGCGGCGCCTGCCCGCCGGCGAGGACCGCGACGTCCTTGGCGAGCGCGGCGACGTCGCTCTTCTTCGCGTCGACGATGCGCTCGAGCGGCGCGATGGCCGGGTCCTTCCGCCGCTTCGTCTTCTTCTTCGTGGGTGGCGGCGCCGCGGCGGCACCTAACGAAAGCTCCGCGAGGCGCGACGCCGCGTCGATGACGGACCGCTTCTCCTCGAGCGTCGCGAGGGCGTCGTCCAGCGCCTTCCGCAGGTCGACGGACGTGGCGCGCTCGGCGTCGCGCTCGGCCTTGACCTTGCGCAGGTCGTCCTCGGTCGCGTGCGACGACCGCCTCAATAATTCGAGGTCGTTCCGGCACGACGACAGGGCGCTCTCCGCCTTCACGGCCTGGTCCTGGAGCACCCTTTCGTGCCGCTCGGCGAGCTCCTGCTTGTGGTCCGCGTGTGCCCGACCGTCCGCGTCGTGGTCCTCCCTCACACTATCGAGCTGGGCCTGGACCCCATCCAACTCCCGCGACAAGCGTTCGCCGGCCTTCCGGGCCTCCTTCAATTCTCCTGCGAGTGAGCGTTGCTCGTCCCGCAGCTGTGTTATGATAGCGTCCTTCTCGGCCTCGACGCGGGCCGCGGCCTCGCTCGTCTTCCGGTCGCAGTCGGCCCGCTGCTGCCTTTCTTGTAATTCGCGCACTCGCAAATCCTCATCCCTCATAAGCTGGCTCTGCGCCGCGGCCCGGCTCGTCAGCGTCGTCACCACAGCTCCCGCGAAGACTAAAACGACGCACAGGTCCTTGACCCGCAGGCGGCGGCCGGCCGCCGGCTGCATCGTCGGCGTCGTGTCCGCCGGCGCTGCGCGCACGTAACTCCTGTAGGGGTGCGCAGCAATGGTGTGTCTGCTGCTGCGGCGCGCGTCGACGGCGCTGCGGCGTTCAGTACCGCTTTGTAGCAAGTGTTTGCTCCGGCGCGTCGACGGCGTGCAGGCTGTTGGATACGGCTGCGGAAGCACTGTCGACGCGTCTCTGAGTTTTTTTGCAGGCCTTTTTGTTAAATTTGCAAACCCGAAGAGTCTAGAGTGTTTGTGAGGCTAGGCATTACTGCGCGCACATAAGGGCCTTGTGGCAGCATTGATAGGCGTGCACGCGAAATAGTTCTTCTGACAGCTGAGTTTTCGACGGCCTGCGCTGGACGCTTGCCTCGCACTGCTTTTCTTTTGCCCGCACGCCATCGATCGAGGAGTGGACTGCGCCTTGACGCCCGCGTCGCGATATACCAGCGATAACCATTGCTGGGCAGCGCGCTGCACGCCAAACGATTGCCGGCCAGGAGCGCTGCACAACGATGTCGACGCCTGAAGAAAAGAAGGACGCCAGCAAACTACGCGGAGACGCGCCGGCGTTCAGCTTCGGCGCGCCGCCGCCCGCCGCGGCCGCGCCGACCACCCTCAGCTTCGACGCGCCCAAGGAGCCCACGCGCACCTCCACGGACTCGCCGGACAAGCCGGCCGAGGACGAGGTCGGCATCCTCTTTCAGGTGGCCGACCAGGAGGGGGTCGCCCAGCACGCGTTCAGAGTGAACATACTTCGTGAGGAGGCCCAGAGCAAGCCGGTGCTAAAGCTGGTGCAGGAGGTGTTGATCAACAGGAACCGGCAGCAGACTCAGGTCGACGAGTGCCTGCCGGAAATCCTCAAGGGCCTGCGCCTCCCCGACGCCCAGTTCCACCGACCCGACGTGGGAAAGCGGCTCGCCGCGGGGGACACCCTACTCGAGCCCGGAGAGACCCCCGACGCCACTGTAATGCTGATTGCCATGTGCGGCGGCGGCGCCCGAGCGGACATGGTACTCGTGGTCGGCGACGCGCGTGGCTACGTCGGGTCGCGCGCTTTGAACATCCATCGGTTGGGGGACCGATCACTCGGCGACGCGGCAGCCGCGGCGTGCGAATTGCCCCGAGACGAGTGGGCGCGCGGCGTGAGCGCGAGCCTGGCGCTCGTCAACGACGACGTCGCCATCACCGAGGTCTCCCACCAGCTCGTGGAGGCCAAAGCGCCCTGGTGCGGGATCTCGATTGAGCTCGACCCCACGGTCCCGGCCGCCGAAGCCCTCCAAGACGCGCCGCGACCGCCGCTCGTGCTCGTGCGCCGTGCGGACGACCACTTCGCGCGGCACGGCTTGAAGACGACGAGCGTCGACATCGCGTGGGCGGGCGGCCGCATCGAGGCCATCGCCGTGCGCGAGTGGCCGGTGCCGCGGACGCCGCGCATGTGGGCCGAGTGGGCGCTGCGGACCGTCTCCGCGCCCCTTGTGCTGCACGGCATGATGTCCCCGCAGCTCCGCGACGCCGTTGTCCAGCAAGCGATAGAAAGCATGGACATGGACGACGTCGCCGTCGCCGTCGACGGCGCGCCGGCCGCTCAGATGGTCCCAGGCGATGAGCTTGAGGTGGCCCACCCGGAGCGCCTCGTCATACAGACCTCCGGCAACCTGTTCCAAGACCAGCCAGAAAACGGGTCCTACCTCGCGGTGTCCGCGATGACGGCGGCATGCATGCGGCGCCTCGAGGCCGGCGAGGAGCTGTACGCCCCCAAGTCAACCTGGCGCGCGCTCGAGGTGCGCAGCCGCCTCTACAAGGCGCGCAAGGACGATATTAACGCGGGTAATACTCTCGCGACCGCGCACACGTGTCTGGAATTTCTGCACGCGCTGGGTCTGTTCGAGGCGGCGGGCCGGCTCGACCGCGCCGACGCGGCGCGCGCCATCGACTGCGTCATGGAAATCGAAAGCTACTTCAGGGCGGCCAACGCGCCGATCTTTACGTGTGTGCTGGGCGTCGACGGCGCTGCGCGGGAACAAGCCGAGATTTTCGCGAGCCGGTTGGGGGTGGCCTCGTTCCTCACGCTCCGGCGGGTGCCGGAGCTGCAGAAATTACAGGCGAGTATCCATGGCGACTACGACGAAACGACCGTGGCCTGCAGGGCGCTGGAAGCCGTCGAGAACGTGCGGAGGCAGCTCGCGATGCCCAATCGGGAATCACGCACGCGCGGCCAGCCGCACGTCGCCGCGTTCTGTCTGAGCGTGTTGTGTCAGGCCGCCGCCACGCGGGACAGACGGGCGTTCGTGCTGGGCGAGTCGAGAGATACCCGTGTTTCCCTGAACTTGCTTTTGGCCCTGCCCATCGATCTACTGGAGGCGCCGCTCGACGAGTCGTACCTCAATCCCGAGCAGCAGTCGCGGCTGCGCGAAACCATCTCCGATTTGCTGCTGCTGTGGGACCTGGTGCGGCCGGCCGGTGTGTCCAAAGACTTTAGGCAGCATTGCGAAGCTCTCGCGGACCGGGCGGAGTCCAAGGGCGAAAGCGACGCCTACGTGTCCGGCCAGATGCTTCGCGACCTTATGGAGAAGCTGCGGGGCGATCGGGCGTCGAAGCGGGCGGGGGTCCAGCGCAAGCTGTTGTTGAGGAAGTTAGAGCCCGACAAAGTGTACTCGAATTTGATCGTGCGGGACCCGCCGGCGGGCCTCCGCGCCCTGTTGGCGCGGTTCCGCGTCGCGCCGAGACTGCGCGACGCGCGGCCCTCGCCGCCCAATGCGCCGAAGCCTGCGGCGCCTGCGGCGCCGCCCACGTCCTGGAGCGACGACGAGGCGACGACGTTGCCGCAGCACGGCTCCGAGGCCAAAAAAAAGAAGAAGCTCGGCGCCAAGGCCGCAAAGAAGAAGCGCCAGAAGGAGCGAAAGAAGGCCGCCGCGCTGCGAGCGGCGGCGGCGCGCGCGGAAGCGCCCGCGGTCGCTCAGCCCGAGGCGCGGGAAGCGGCCCAACCCGAGGCCGAGCGCGCGCCCTCGCCGGACGTCGACGAGGCCGAGACGGCGTCCGAGGCGTCTGCTGACGATGTCCGCGCGACGCGGCGCGACGCGGCTGAGAAGTTGAAGGTGGTTGGCTTCGACGGGATGTCGGATGATGAATTGCGCCAGGCCTGTCGGTATCACGGGCTGGGGGTCTGGCGCCGTCCCGACAGGAAAAAGTGCGAGGAGGCGCTGACAGAGTACCTCGAGTGGGAGTCTCGATATAACCGTCGCCAGACGCGGATGAGGGCCAACGTCCGCGCGATCGTCTCAGCACGAGAGAGCGTCTACGTCTCGCAGCTCCCCGAACTTTATCGAAGGAAGTACGGCCGCAAGCTCGAGACGTACGAAAAGTTGACCGAGTTTCTCGCGGAGACCCCGGGCCTGGAGATGGTGGATGGCATCGCCGGCGGCTCTGTTCGATTGGCGCCGGTGCCCGCTCCCCTAATGTCCGACGACGTCGCGTCCGGCACGTCGCTAGACGCCGCGACCGCCGAGGCGCCCCCGGACGACGGCGCTGCAGAGGCGGAGGCGCGCGCGCGCGACGATGAGGCCGCGTCGCTGGCGCTCGCGCGACGGCTCGCGGCCGAGGACCCTGTCGCCCCCATGCCACCGGCAGCGACGTCGGAGCAGGAGGACGACTTTCGGTTGTTTTTAAGTTCGCTGGGGCTGGGGCACCATGCCGACCGGCTGATCGCCGAGTCGGTGGAGAGCATAGAGGACCTCATGCTCCTCACCCGCGCCGATATCATGGCGTGCGGCGTGCCAGCGGCCGACGCGACGCGCCTCGAGGCCGCCCTGGCCGCGGCGCGCGGTCCGACCGCGGCGGAAGAGTCCAAGTCGGCGCCACCGCCGCCGCCGCCGGGCAAGGTGCTCGTCGACGAGATTCTCGACGACGCCGCGGCGCGGGCGGCGGCGCTCGAGACGTCCCTCACGGCGCACCAGGAGGAGCTCCGGCGGCTGAAGGGGCTTTTGACGGAGCGCGGCGTGCCAGACGGATTGGTGTGCCCCCTGTCGCTGGAGATCTACGAGGACCCGGTGGTTGCTGCAGACGGCTTCTCGTACGAGCGCCGCGAGATCGAGGCCTGGCTCGGGCGCGGCAACCGCACGTCCCCCAAAACGAACGAGGAGCTGCCGCACACCTTCCTCACGCCGAATCGCGACCTGAAATCCACCTGCCAGGATTTCCTCGACGACGTGCGGAAATTCGAGGCGCGCTGAGATAGACACTGTGGTAATGTGAGCTTGTGCACGCTACATAGTATTCTGACACAAAAAACATTACTAGCCGGGAGGGGGCGACTTGTCCCGCCCCCCGTCGTCGCCGCCCTCGCCTGCGACGACGCAATAAGAGGAGGACTCCAAGACAACAAAAACACCGAGCGGGCAAAGGTCCCTCGGCGAAAATAATCAGAGTTTTTCGGCCCCCACGAAAGGTCGGGCGAAGTACTTGGGCGTCGTCATCAGGGCGAAAAGGCATATAAAGGACGCTGGGAAAGGACGCTTCCGCTTGCGCTCGTCGAAGTAGTCGTCGGAATAGACGCGGCCGTCGCTCGCCGGCTCCTGAGACGTCGGCGTCGCCGCGACCCCGACCAGCGCCGCCAAATCTCCCAGCGTCTTCGTGGCCGTGACCGCGTCGTGCTTGAACGGCAAGGAAGCGAGCTGGTCCCGCAGGACGCCGCGCATGTCTGGAGGGTGGCGCCTTTTGGCCAACATCTCCTGGACCACGTACTTCGTGTTCTTCGGGTGCGCGTCGTAGCGCTGCGCGTAGCGCACGTACTGCCTTAGGACATCGAGCTTCGGGAGGCGCTCCTCACTCCTCCGGAAGATTGATGAAGGATCCAACAAAGCCGGCCTCGCTAACAAAACGCCGTCCGTGTACGCGTCTACATTGGAAATGGCTTCGTGCGTATACAGGTCGCCGTTCGCTAGTAAAGCGCAGTCCTCGCGGAAGGCGACGTGTTCCTGGCGCAACCGCTCGAAGACGCGTTTTTGCGTCGGTAGTTGGGGATCTTTTGGGGGGTCCACGCCCGCATACCTACAGTGCAGCGCGACGGCGACGGCGCCCGCCGCGTGCAACTGCCGTATGAGATCGCAGGTTTCACTGATCTCGGGCAAGAGTCGAATCTTGCACGTGACCGCGACGCTCGCAGGTAACGTCCTCCTCAGACTTTTGACGATGGACGCCGCGCGCTCGCCATCTTTCAGGAGGGCCTGGCCCATGCCGCCGCCCGTCGAGAAGGGCTTCGGGCAGCCCATATTTAAGTCAACACCACACGCGACGTCCGCGACGACCGCCGCGGCTCTCGAAGCGCACTCGCCCTCCGCCGCGCCGAGCTGCACCACCAGTTTATTTTTTTCTCGGACCGGGTCCACGCGCAGACACGTCGTCTTGCCCGAGGCGTCGACGAAGTCAATCGTCTTAAGCTCTTCGTTCTCTTTGCGTGTGCACAGCTCCAGGCGCCGCGCGATGAGCTCTTCGCTGTAGACAATGTCCGCGCCGTAGTCCAATGCTAGAATTCTTAGAGGTGTGCTGTTCGCGCGCACCATGGGCGCCAGGCACCGCAGCTTTTTGGACTGCAGCGGCCGCGGGGGCCAGAGTTGGACGGTCTCCTCCATGTGTGCGTGCTGCGCACTACTCGAGGTAGTCAGCGTCCACGCGTGCGGCGTTTGGAAGGTCTAGAGCCGGAGTTATCGTCGATTGCAGCAGGTGCGACGGGCTCCTGGAGAGCTTTCTAGTGCCTTACAGCACGCTAGCGCTGGGGGGTTTGACATCCGCGGAGAGCAGGGCAGACACCGGCGGACGTCCAAAGGCATTGAGCAACGTTTCTAAGCCTTGCGGAGCGGCCGCACCCTAAGCTATGGCGCGTCGGAGCATTGCCGCCTTCATTGCCTCACTGGCTGGCGCACGCGCCGGCACCGTCGGCTTCGCCGGCACCTACGTGAGCGGCGGCGGCGGCCCACCGACCACCTTAGACGCGTTGGGAGCTTGGGCCGCGGCCCTCGGCGCGCCGGAGACGACCGAGACCGCGCGGCTCCCGGCGACGAGCCTCATAAAACCGCCGCGGCGCCTCGCGCTCCTCGTGGCGGCCCCGCCGAAGGGCAGCGCGGGCCTCGAGCGCACGACGAAGCTCGCGCCGCACGAGGACGGCTTCGCGGCGCTGGGCGCGGCCCTCCGGCGGCCGCTCGCGGGCGACGGCCGCCGCATCCAGGTGGCCTGCGCGGGCGGCGGCGACGACGCGCGGGCGCTCTGCGACGACTGGCGCGAGCCGCTCGACGCGACGGGCGCCTTCGCGCGCTTCAAGGAAGGCGGCGCGCTGCGCGACGCGATCATTAGTAAAGGCGGGTCTATCGAAGCGGACGGCGCCGTCGCGTTCCCGAAGGTCGGGAAGGTGGACGAGCCCTTGGTGGAGGAGGTCGCCGCGCTCGTCGAGTACGCGTTGAAACCGGGCGCGGACCGGCTCGACGTCCTCGTGGCCTCGGAGGCGTCTCATGCAGCGAACGCGGCCGCCGCGGCGCAATTGTTAAAGTGCGCCTGCGCGGCGATCAGTAGCAATGAAGACCCCGCGGCGCTCGTCTTCGTCGAACAACCAACAGCCAAGAGCCGCCGCCTCGCCGCGACGGACGCGCCCACGGCATCATCTTCCACGGAATACTACTCGCTCGAGGAGATCCGCAACTACCAGATTTGTCTCTGGACGGCGATCGCGCTCATCTCCGTATTACTTAGTGCGGTCCTGTTCCTCGCCTGCATGCGGCCCGAGTACGACTCGCTCCTCTACGCGACCTTCCAGGCGAACGTCGGCGACCACTTCGGCAAGGAGAACTAGGAGTCGCTTTCGTTCCCCTTTCCCTGTATAAGTAGCTATATCGTATCACGTCGACGGCGCGCGTCGGACTCAGTGATTCGTTCGGCCGAGCTCGCACCATACGCATAAGCACAGCGCACGCCGTCGCCGCGACCGACAAGGCGACAGACCCCGCGTCGGCTCCGGACGCGGCGAGGCAGCAAAGCAACAAGGCCCGGGACCGTGACTAGTACTAGACTATAACTTAGTCAGCTGCTTCTCGCGCGTCTCGGCCTTCTGCTTCTCCCTCGCCTCGAGGCCCCGCAGCGTCTTCTTCACGATCTCGCCGCGCGTGAACGGCCTTTCGTCGTCATCCTCCTCGTCGTCCTCGTCCATGTCATCATATGCGGGCGGGGCCACGACGATGCGGTTGGCCGGAGGCATGACGACGCCGATGGCCGAAGTGCCCGGCGGGTGGGGCGTGCAGTCGGGCTGCGTGGCGGCGTACTGCTCCAATATTTCCGTGGTGCGCTGCTCGATGATCTCGAGGTACTGCAGCATGTTCGACTCCGTGACGCCCTGGTTGCCGAGCATTTCCTCGACGGCGGCGCTCGTGCCGCCCAATCGCGAGAAGATCGAGTGGATGCCAGTTTTCAACTGTCCGATGGTCTTGGACGCTGCCTGGTGCTTCCGCTCGTACGCGTCGGCGGCCGCAGTAGTCTTCTCAAGTTTTTCTTCCAATTCCTTGAGCACGCGCTTCCGCTGCGTGTCCGTACTGACGCCCTGGCCCTTGAACTTCTCCGTTTCCAGTTTGGTCTCCGCGATCGCCAATTCGGTCGCTTCGATGTCGGAATTCAACTCGTTGATCGAGTTGAACAGCGAGAAGTTCTTCTGCTCGATGTCCTGGAACGTGTCCACGAGTTCTTCGACGGTTTGTATCCCGGTGGCCTTGGTGATCCTCTCAAACGTAGCTTGATATTCCGCGACCTCTTCTTCGGTCAGCTTCGGTCTATCTTCTTCAACCTTCTTCTTTTTACCGGGAGACTCCTCCTCCTCCTCCTCGGACTCCTCGGGGTCTTCGGACATGTACGGCTCCTCGTCGGCCCTCTGGGAGGCTGCTAACGCTTCTGCGGTCTTGCGCTCGTGCTCCTCGCGCTCCTTCCTCCGCAGCGCCTCTTGCAACTGGCGGTCCTGCTCCATGAGCGCGCCGAGGTCGGCCCATTCTTTTTCAAATGCTTTTTTCTCGTCCTCCATGCCTTGCTTGAGCTTGTCCAGTGATCTCTGCGAGCGGTCCGCCCGTCGCTGGGCATTCTTCGAATCCTCAATGATCGCGGCCATCTCCTTCTTCTTCTTATGTAAGTCGTATTCTAGCTTCTTGTAGATGCCGTCGAAGACCACGCGCTCCTTATGTAAGCTATCAATATAACCCCTTAAAGTTTTATTCTGGGCCAGCGCTTCGTTGAATTTCTGCAAGGCTTTGTCGAGTTTCTTCTCCATGAGCTTGATCTGCTTGACGAGCATGTCGTGGTTCTCCTTGCCCGCGTTCACACCGCCCATCTTCTGCCTCTGGGCCGTCATCTCCTTCTTGCACTGCGAAATCTTCGCATCCAAAGTAGCGATCTTGTTGCGCTCGTTCTCGATCTTCTTGAGGTACAAGTCGGCCTCCTCCTGGAGTCTGGCGGCCTGGGACCCTTGGCCCTTGCCCATCGTCGCCGTCAAATTAGCTTGCCTCGTCTCGCGCGCGAGATCCTTCTTGAGCTCCTCGTTCTCCGCGTGCAGGGCCTCGATCGCGGTGCGGACCTGCTGGCCCAGCATCTTCTTGTTCTTGGCCGACTCGGCCTTGCCGGTGGACGGCATGGTGGGCTTTGGTGTTATATATCTGCCCGGCGGCGTCCGTCGCGCGCGGTCGAGGCGTGAGGGCTTTGTGGTGTTATGTACTGGAGCGGCGCCCGGCGCTGTACTGGAGCGGCGTCGACGGGCGCTGGGGGTGTGATTGACAGCGGTCGGGCGCTCGGGGCAGCCGCGTCGGCAGCTTTTGCGCTCCTCGCGGGCGGCCAAAAAGGAGGCGCTAGGTCCAGCCTCGGCGGGCACTAGCGCCGGCGCGCAGGGGCGCCGCCGGGCAGAATGCGTGCGGGAGGCGTGCGCGGGGCGGCGAGGAGTCGTGGGGCAGCGGAACTCGTTCTTCTATCGTGCGGGTTTCACAATCGCGGCTCGACGCAAAAACAGCTCGTACCGCTCGCACGGCTTGATAAAACGCGTGCGAAGGCTAGATACTGACACTCCGTACTGTTCTCGAGCAGCGAGACAGCTGAAACGGTACCGGCGGGCATTCGTCTGGCCACAACCAGCCTTGGGGCCCATTCCAGCAGCGGCAGGGAGAACAGCCTTGGCCATCCCAGCAGCCGCATTGTGAGCGCAAAGCGATGGACGCCATCGCCCAGCACTTCGGCGCCATCCAAACCGCCGTGCAAACGCAGAACGGCTCGCAATTGGCCCAACTACTGAGCTGCCTCGCGCCATCAACACCACTGCCGCCGCAAGTCGCGGGCGTCGTGCAAAACGCGCAGTACGCCGAGGACTGCGCGAAGCATTATTGTGGGGAGCCCTGGGGCCCCATCGCCGCGAAGCAGACTTGTGCGCGCGTCGCGCTCGACAGAGGGGAGACGAGGAAGGCGTACGATAACGTGGTAAGTGCGTACAACGGGTTCCTGAATGCGATTCGGGAAGAATCAGGCTGGGTCGCGCCTCTGATTCGGACCTTGACCTTCGAGGCGCGCGTTATTGCTGAAAGGGCCGATTCTGAAGTGTCAAAACGAGCGAAAGCTGCGAATGCACATGTCGCCAAACCGAATGAAACTTTAAGGGATGTGGAGAAAACGCTCAAGAAGGGCTTCTCGGCGTGCTGGACCGACCGGACGGGCGGCCCGCCGGGCGCCTCCAAAAAAAGAGCGACGTTGTATGTTGTTAGTCAGCTCATGAAAATATATTTCAAACTTAACCTATTGAAATTAGCACAACCACTCATCCGGCCGGTGGAGGCGTCGGCGGGCAAGGCGCTGGAGTCGAATAGTGTGTTTCCCGTTGGTGATGTGGTCTCGTATCGCTTTTTTGTTGGTCGATTACGGATGTTCGAGGATAGATATGAAGAGGCGGAGGCTCATCTCGCGTATGCCTTCGCGCACTGTCGTACGACGTCGAGGTCCAATAAAAGGGCCATTCTCGAGTTCCTGTTGCCGGTGCGACTGCGGAGCGGGCGGTTCCCGCACCCTAAACTCCTGGAGAAGCACGGGCTGGCGAGCATGCTGCCGTTGGTGCAGGCCGTGAAGGTCGGCGATCTGCGCACGTTCAATAGTGAACTGAAGCGACACCAGCGCGCGCTCGTCAAAAAGGGCACGTTTCTGCTGCTGGAGCAGTCGAAAATTTTAGTTTATAGGAATCTCTTCAAGAAGGTGTTCCTCGTAAACGAAAAACAAACGCAAGTCAAATTGCAGCTGTTCGAGCGGGCATTACAATGCCTCGGCGAGCCGACGGACCTCGCCGAGGTCGAGTGCGTGGTGGCCAATTTGATATACCGGGGCTACGTGAAGGGCTACATCAGCCACCAGAAGGCCGTGCTCGTCGTGTCGAAGAAGGACCCGTTTCCCACGGCAGCAGTAATGAAGAGGTAGTATTAGGTCCCCACGAGCGCGCCGTCGACCTCGCGCAGCGACAGCGCCACACTCAAGTCCCCGCGGCTCTCGATGTGGTGGGCCCAGTCGGCCGGAAAGAAGAGCGCGTCGCCGGGCTCTAAGATGGCCTCGACGGCGCCCCGCGCGACCTGTTCATACGCCCCGTCGCCGCTCGGGCCAGTTTCTCCAGCCGGCAGGCCGCGCTCGTCCCCTCTCCTCAATGCGGCCTCCGCCGCGGCCGCGCCGTCCATCCTTATATCGACCCGCAGCCGCCGCGCGAGCGGCGACGCGGCGTCGTACGGCCGCAGCGCCTCCAATGTTGTGGAGGGCCACAGCACCACTCTTTTGGAACCGGTCGCCTGTAGTAGGTGAGAGTCCTGCGCGTCGTAGTGCAGCGGCGAGTAGACGCCGCCGCGACACGCCCAGACGCGGCACGCGTCGCGTTCCCCAAAATTCCCGAGAAAACTCAAATCCACGTCACGCAATAAAGATGGCGGCGCCAGGGCCTGGACGTAGAGGTGCTCTCCATTTGGATAGACGAAGGGAGAGGCTGCCTCCCCGTTCAGCCTCGTCTCCAGCTCGGCGGCCGGAACCACCAAGGCCCTTGACAATGCTTTCGTGACGCCATCAACAACATCGGGGTGCGACTCCCGACAGAAGCTGACGGCCGCCGACGGCGCGACCCTACAAACGGCGCCCGCCGGGAAATTTTCTGAAAGCGACCGCGCCGTCCATTGTGGTGCGGAAAACGCGCCCTTCAGGAGCACGGGCGTTTTGTTTAGGCGCGCGGCGTCGAGCGCCTCACCGTGATTGGCGTGGACCTCCTCCACGCTTTTCAGCACATCAACCCAGAGCTCGGGCAGCGGTTCGATGATAGGTGCCACGGCATCATAACCCGACGGCGCCGCGGGCGGCGGCGCCCGTCCCTCAAGCTTTGAAGCGGTCGCGCGCGGCAGGTCCTCCCAGCCGAAGCCGTCGTGGAGCATCGCCTCGAAGAAGCGCAGCGTCGCGGCGCTCCCGCCGGCCGCGAGGCCGTCGAGCACGGCGGCCCACGCTTCACAAAGCTGCGGGTCCCGCGCCTCGCGCGCGGCCTCGAGCTGGCCGAGGGCTTCGACGAGGTCGCCTCGCTTCGCGCTGGTGATGCAGGCCTTGGCTGGCGTACGTTGTTGTGCAGGCCAGGGGAAGGTGATGCTGGCCGCAGGCGCGGCTATTGCGATGATCAGGAGTGCTGTCGCAGCCATGTGTCGCATCGGTCGCATCGATGCAACAGGTTGCGCTCGTGCGACGACGTATGAGGCGGCGGGCGCAAGGCCTGTGCAAGAGCAATGGGTGCTCAAGGCCTAAAGCGGCCACAGACGTTTGGTAGGACGTTGTGAGATGACCTGAGCGACCAGTAATGATCGCGCGCGGCGTGAATCAGTAGTAATTGGGCCCGAGCTGCGACTTGCAAGCTAGCGTTTAGTAAGACACTAGAATCGAAGCAAGGAGCTAAAAGGAAGTGCATTCAGCCATAGATTGCATCCAAGGCGCGAGGCGCACCGCAGCCATGCGCTGGATGCGACCCGCAGCCATGCGCTGGTTAATCGCGCTGTTCGTTGCACATGCTAGGACAAATGCCAGGGGCAGTGCCAAAACAAATGCCAGGAGCAATGCGACCAGCCGCTTGGTATTTGGCAGCTGCAGCAAGGTCCACCTCCCGCAGCCGCTCTGGCCCTGGATCAGGAAACGCCATCCGCGCGCCTGGATCTGGGCCGGCGACGCGATTTACGGGGATCGCATGGTCCGAGCCGTGCCGCTGACCTTCGAGGCGCTGGGCCCGGAGCACCTGCGCGCCGCGTATGCAACGCAGAACGCAATACCAGAGTACGCCGAGCTTAGAAAGGAGGTGCCTTATTGGATAGCGACGTGGGACGACCACGACTTCGGCCTGAACGACGGGGGCGGCGACCTGCCCTGGCGGGACGCCTCGCAAGCTGTTTTTCTGGAGGCGATGGACCTGACCGTAGAAAGCGGGCAACATGGGGTGTATACCAGAACAACAGTGCCTGTGGAAGGCGGTTCCGTTTTAGTAATAGCGCTCGATTTGAGGTACCACAAGTCGCCGTATTCTGATGTAGATGGAGATTTTTTAGGAGAGGCCCAGTGGGCCTGGCTCGCGGAGACGCTTCAGAGTGTGAAGGAGGACGCCGTCGTGGTCGTGTCGTCGCTGCAGGTCCTGGACGAGCGCTATGGGATGGGCGAGCGCTGGGGCCGCTTCCCGGCCGCGCGGCGCCGGCTTTTGAAAGTACTGGAGTCCTGCAGGAAGCCGCTCGTCGTCGTCAGCGGCGACGTCCACATGGCCGAGCTGAATGTCGCGCGGTGCGGCGGTCGCACGCTGATCGACTTCACGTCGAGCGGCATGACGCACGCCTGGAGCCATCAGATGCGAGCCGGCTTCTCGAGGGCCTTCGCCCACGTATTGACGGCGGCCATGGCGTCGTTTCAATTCATAGCGCCGCTCGAGTGGCAGGCGAGCGACGCTGGTGGGAGGCGCATGCACTATCTGGACTTGAACTTTGGGGAATTAGATTTCGACGTGGCAAAGGGCCTTGTGACGGCGCGCGTCTTCGGGGCCGCAGAGGAGCCGGTCCTCGAGCGCACGTTTTCGTTAAGGGACTTGGGGGTGGGCGGCGCGTGCCGCCCGGTGCACGGGTTCCTCCCGCCGTGGCGCCACGCCGTCGCGCTGGCAGTCTGGGCGCTGTGCCTGGGTCTCGTCGTCGCGGCGCCGCTGGCGCTGGCCATAGTCGTCGCGCGACGCTGCCTCAGCGCGGGCCTGACAATAAACACGGCGACGGTCGACGAGGACGCCGAGATCTTGACAAGTGCCCGCCGCGTCCGGCGCGAGGTTTTTTGTGTGGAGCAGCGCGTGCCCGTCGAGATGGAAAGGGACGCCCACGACGCGTCACCGTCGACGATCCACGTCGTCGCCTTGTATGAAGACTTCTCGCCTTGGGACGTCACGTTCGTGCCGCGGCCGGTCGGCGCGGCGCGCGTCGTCATCTCCACTGAAAAGCGCCGCGGCAAGATCGGGCGCGTCTGCGTGCTGCGGGACCACCGCCACCGGGGCATCGGGCGCCGCGTCGTGCGCGCGTGTGTGGATGCGCTGCGGCAGAAACACCCGGGCTACCTCGCGACCCTCGGGAGCCAGGTCCACGCCGTCGGCTTCTACGAGTCGCTCGGTTTTCGTTGTATCGAGGGCGAGGAGCCCTTCATGGACGGGCCCGGGTGCCTGCACCGCACGATGGTCATGGAGACCTGAGGCTGTTATTTGTGTAAGTGTTACATTATGGAGCACCGAACACCGGCGGCCTCGGACAGTTGATTGAGCGACAGCTCAAGCTTCATCGCCGTCGCATTCCCGGCAGCGTGTCTATCGCCTGCGTCGATAACAACGGCGCGACGGACGTCGTCGTCCACGCGGACGACGTCTCACTGACGCGTACCTACGGCGCGTCGGGGGCGCTCGTCGCGGTCATCCTCCACGCCGCCGACGCGCCCACGGAGGGAGAGACTATAGACTAAACTTGTCCAAACCGGCGAGCGCGCGGGGTGCCCATATTTGGGACTTCATTATCGAAACGCAGCGCGGCCCCTTCCCCGTTTATGACGTCAACGTCGCCCTGGGCCTCTTCCGCGAGAATGAGATGCCGCCCGAGCTTCCTTGGACGCGGCCGCGCTTCGCCCCCGCCGAGGTCAAGGCATTGATCGAGCAGGCCCTCGCGTGGTCGCCGCCGGCGTCGGAGCCCTCGCCGCCGCCGGCCAAGAAGCCGCGCGCGCGCGCGGCGCCGCCGCGGCGCTCGTCGCGCCTCCAGAAGTAGACCTGCAGCGTCGATGGCGTGGGGAAGGTTGTACTGATAAGCACGGGGTATTTACTCACGCCATCACCGAAGCCGCCGCCCCACTCACCAACCGCAGCGGCTGTTATTTGTAAGAAACGAACTGTTACATGATTGAGCACCGTGGCCGGGGCTTGCCAGTGGACCCCTTCTTGGGCAGGGCCACCTGGCGCGCCAGCAGCTTCGTGAGCCGAGCGTAGCCCTTTGCGAGGAGGGGGACGCGCGCCACGACCACCACGATCCGTGCGTCGACGGCGAAGAAGGCCTCGTGGAGCGGCCCCGCCGCGGCGCCGCCCGCCGTCGCGCGCTCGAGCAGGCACCGCATCTGCAGGTACTGCCAGTACAGCAGCACGAGGATGGGGTTGCGCCGCGGCGTCGCGAACTCGAGCAACAACACGAGCGCGGCCGTCACCTCGAAGAGCGAGCACCGCCTCAACACACCACTCGCGACGCGCCCGGAGCCGTCCAAAAACGAACCCTCACACTTTGCTATGAGTTTCAGGGAGAGGGGCCGGGTCTTCACGTTGCGCCGCAGCCTAATAACAAGCTGCGCTAATAACGCGGCGACCTCGGCGTCGGCGACGGGGATGAGACCAAACAAGCTCCCCGACCCGACGAGCAAGATCAAAACCCCGAAGAGCCGCTGGGCGTGGGGGTCCGTGAAGAGGCGCCGCGCGTAGTCGGCGCTGAGCTTCGGCACGCCGTGCGCGCGGTAGGCGTGCAACAGCGCCGAGAGCACGGCCCAGCGCACGGCGCTCTTGTACTTGAGGCGCAGGACCGAAGAATCAGTGGTAAATGACGTGGCGTAGACAACGACACCGGCCAGACACGCCACGCGCACCAATAAATGCGGCGCGTCGAGCGCACCGAAGGGCTCCGGCGCCATCGCCACCGTATTTAATGGAGGCGGCGGCCGCCGCGGTGGCGGCCGCCGCGGCGGCGGCGCCGCGAGCTTCGCGGCCTCGCTCTGATATTCATCGCAGGTAGGATCCAGCTCGTGCGCCTTCTCATACGATTCTATTGCCTCTGTTACTTCGCCGAGGCGCCCCTGCGCCGCGCCCAAGCGCGCCCAGCCCTTGGCCCACGACGGTTTGAGCGCCGTGCACGATTCAGCATCTTCCTTAGCACCCTTGAAATCCTGGAGATGCATGCGGCAGGCGCTGCGGTTCGAGTAGAGCTTATGCGTGTCCTCGGCGTCGATGTCCTCGAGGGCCTCCGTGAAGCAGAGGGCCGCGGCCTTGTAGTCGCCGTTCTTGTAGTTCGCGCGGCCGGCCTCGGCGGCCTCCGCGGCGGCCATCGTTGCGGTGCGGGCAGCCGCGATTTCGGAGATGGGCAGCCGTGAGATCTCGAGAGTGCGGGGCCTCTGGCCGAGTCGACGACCGGCCGAGACTTCTCGGCAGGCGTCCGCAGATGCGTCGCGCGTAGCCGAAGAGTTTCGTTTGCTTGCTAGTGTCTTACAGCTAGCTCACGCCGCGGGTCAATTCACAGTTGCATCGACGCTGCCCGAGAACGCCGCGGGTGCGCCGCAAGCAGCGCGCAAGCAGGGCATCGGAGAGGGCCTGTCTCTCGGGTTGAGCCATACGGTCGGTCTTCGACGCTCCGGTGTGTTGCAGGCCGGCCGCAACCCCAACCATGCGCTACCTCGAGATCCTCGCCTCCTACGTGCCCCAGGTCGTCGTAAGACATCTGCTGGATAGCCCGGACGCCCCGACGCCGAGTAGAAAAACGCTAGAGACGGTCTGTATGTTTTGCGACGTGTCGGGCTTTACACGTTTGACGGAGCGTTTGGCAATTACAGGAGAGGGCGCCGAGGGCCTGAAGAAGACGTTGAATTCGTACTTCGGGCAGCTGAACCGCATCGTCGCGGGCCACGGCGGCGACATTTTTAAATTCGCGGGCGACGCCGTGATAGTCCTGTGGCCCGCCGACGAGCCTCTTCAGTTAATAGCGCGGCGCGCGGCGCGGTGCGCTTTGGAAGTGCAGGCCGCCTTGCATTCTGATAGTGAAGATAGTTTGAGCGTGAAGATCGGACTGGGGGTCGGACAAGCGGCGACGCTGCACGTAGGTGGGAATAATGGAAGAGCGGAGTGTATTTGTGTCGGGCCCCTCATGGCCCAGGCTTTTGCTGGAGAAGGTCACGCGTCTCCGGGCGACGTCATCGCGTCGAAGGAGTGCTGGGCACTAATCCGGTCTCATTTCTCCGGGACGGTACAAGGAGACGGCTTCGTGAAGATCATCAGAGCGCGCACGTCGCTGAAGCAAAAAGGCCTCTCGCAGAAACTATCCAAGCGCCTGCGGAAGGCGCCGCCCGCCGTCGCTGAAAGATTGGAGGCCTACGTGCCCCGCGCGGTCCTCGCGTCCCTAAAAGGCCGGAGCGGCGGTAGGGATGCGGAGCGCTGGGCGGGGGAGACGGTCTCGTGCTGCTGCGTCTTCATGGACCTGGGGCTCGATGGCGACACCTTGGACCGGGCTTTGCATGATGATGGAGCTTTACGAAGCGTCCACGCGGCCTTTGCTGCCGCCCAGGCCGCGGTCTACGCGTACGAAGGCGCGGTGAACAAGTTTTTACATGATGACAAGGGCTCGACATTAATCGCCTGCTGGGGCCTGCCCCCCTACGCCTTCGCGGACGACGCCACGCGATGCGTCCGGGCGGCGCTGCGGGCATTCGCGTCATTGACGGAGCTAGGATTGACACCATCAATAGGCGTCACGAAGGGCGACGCCTACTGCGGCGTCACGGGGTCGATCCAGCGGCGCGAGTACACGGTGCTGGGCGACTCCATCAACCTCGCGGCGCGCCTCATGGCCCAGAAGAACGGAGTGGTCGTGGACGCGGCCATCGCCTCCGAAACATCTCTAAATGTGGAAGCTCTGGGCGAGGTCCAGGTCAAGGGCCGGAACGCGCCCGTGGCCATCTACCGACCGACCGATACAATTCGGGAAACTCACGACGAGGACCGCGTCTGCACCATACCGTCGTCGTCAGCAAGACGGCCGTCCTCTTCCACATGTTTGTGCGCGATTATTGACGTCGAGGCGCCCTCCTCCCCGTCGAGCGAGTCCGCTTCCATCAAGCGGTGTCGGCACTTGTGGAAAGCTCTGGAAAAGTGCGCCTTCGGCGACGAGAGCCGCGACCGCTTGAAACGGAGGGCCCTGGACCTGAAGGTCTCGAGTTTTGAGGGAGGCCGCTGCGTCGTGGAGTGCGGGTCGGGTCCTTGGGCGCCCTGCCTCGAGTTAGACTTAGAAGGCTGTGAGACCGTGCGCGACTTAAGACTGCGAGCCCACGCGGCGGCCGTCTCCCAACGACTCGTCTCGGGCCGGCGGCCCTCGACGACGCGGCACGCCCAAAGGTCGCCCTTCCACCGGGCGCTACGGACGGCCTCGCCGCGGATGCCCTTCTTCTTCCGCACGCCCACCTCATCTGAGAGCGACGGCTTCTTCGCCGACAAACCGCCGCCGGGCGCGCACGCCTTCGTGCTCAAGGTCCGCGGGTGCCGCTGCTGGCTGCCCGACGATTTACCATTAAACGACATGTTGGGCTTCGTGGCGGCCCAGCTCGAAGTGCCCGAAGGCGACCTGCGGGCGCCGGGCACGGGGCCGCACGCGTGGCCGAGTGGCGGCGGTTGCGTGCGATTATGTCTCGTACCAAAAGAAAACGTGTTGGACCTGACGAGCCGCGCGGCGCGGGTGCGCGCCGCGCTCTTCGCCGGGTTGCGGGAGGGCGGTCTTGTGGTTGTGGAGGGCGAGGCCGGCGTCGGCAAGACGCGGCGCCTGGAGGCGTTTGCGACGAGCGCCGACGCGGCCGGGCTGGTCGTGACGCGCTCCATTAATGATGATGGCGACGTCCTCGTCGTCGACGACGCCCAAAACCTGGACGCGTCGGGCTGGCGCGCGCTGCGCTCAAAGGAGGGTCTCGTCGTCGTGGCCACGCGGCCGCTGCGGACCTGGCCGCCCTGGCGCGGCGAGGCCTTGTACGAGGCGCGCAAAGTGGTCGAGGGGAGTTTGGTGTTGGACGGCCTCCCGCGCGAAGAGCTCGACCTGATCGTTTCGACGAAAGTGGCGGCGGACGTGAGTCACGAGTTTAGTGAAGCCGTCGCCGCCTACGCGCAAAACAACCCGGCCGTCGCCGTCGAGTTAATCGATGAACTCGCGGACCGCCAGCAGCTCCTCAAAACAAACGGCGTCGTGTCATTTATAGGAGACGAGTTCCCTTTGTCCGAAAAAACGCGCGGCGCCATGACCGAGCGCCTCAACGGCCTCGAGGCGGCGGCATTAGTGGTTCTCAAGGCCGCCTGCGTCGCGGATCGACCGGTACACCGCCGCGACCTCGTCGAGTGCCACGGCGTCGCCGAGGGCGGCCGCGCGGCGCGCGATTTACAAGCGGGCGTGCGCATGCTCGAGCGAAGTGGTTTGTTGCGGTTGGTCGGTGACGATGTGGTGGACGTGGCGCACGGCGCGCCGATGCGCGCGACGTGCCTGAGGAGGACGCTCGTCGCCGACGCGCAACTCATTTCAGATAGGCTTGTAAGGCTGGAAGCGAGGCAGCGTTTGATGAGGTCGCCGTCGTCGTCATCGGCGTCGGACGCGTCGGACGTCTCCATATTGAGGGAGGGCCCTTTACTAGTCTTCAAGCGCCGCGACGCCGTGAACAAGGTGCGCCGCGTGTCTACGGGCCGGCCCGGCGACTCGTATCGGTTACGGCACGCCGTCCTCACTTCCAAACAATTCGCGGTCTACGGCTCTGCTGAAGATTTCGTGGAGGGGCGGCCGCCGAAACTGGTGCTGGACACGCCCTTCGACGTGTTCGCGGAGGACGGCGTCCTGCGTCTTACAAAGGGGAGCCAGAGGGACGTCCTCGTCCGGTCGCCGGACCGTATTACATTAGAGGAGTGGCGCCTCACGCTGCGGGGCATCAGTGCTGAGACTGCGAAGCCGCCGCCGTCGCCCGACCGGCCTCCCTCACCTCCCGTGGCCGAGGACCGCGTCCGCATCGTGGTACATCTAAAAAGTGTGCGGGATCTGGTGAATCCGATCCTGGTATCAAAGCCGCTCGTCGTGTCCTGCACGCTGTCCCTCGACGACGTGCACCGGGCGTCGTCCACGAAGATGTACGTTAATAATGCGGCAACTTGGGACGGGCAGGTCCTGACCTTCGACGTGGCGCGATCTAAGATGGACGAGCTGCGCCTGACGGTCCGGGACCACCGGCCCTTCGCCGCGCCGGACGTCGTGGGCATCGCGTCGTACGACCTCAGCGACGTTTCCGACACTGCGGAGGCGCGGTGGGTACCCCTGGCGCCGGCCATGGACGGCTTCGCGAGCGGCGAGCCGCGCGTGTCTCTGGCCGTGCGCGCGGAGCGGCTAGTATCCGGCGACGCGGCCGCGGCGCCGAAGCAGCCCTGCGCCGTCGACGTGTCCCCGCCGCCGACGCCGCCGCCACCGCTCCCGCCGCGGCCCTTGCGGGCGTGCAATCGTCGGCGCCGCCCGGCGCCGATTCGTGTGGGGGCTGGCTAATGTTGGATTTCTGTACCATACAAGTTAGGTCTCAGGCTGACTACCCGACCGTCGCCGCCGCCGCCGATTATTGCGCGGCGTCCCGGCAGGCGTCGACGGCGTGCGCGGCGAATCGGCAGGTGTCGTCGGCGTCCCGGCAGGCGTCGACGGCGTCGCCGGGGACTCGTCTAGGAACACTAGGAAATAAACAGGCCGTTCCGAGGCCAAGCGGGAAAAGTTCGTGGAGCACGTTTCCGCGGCCTACGCTCTCGTGGCGTTTGAGTGGGTGTTTGGCGCTAGTTGTGAGCCGCTTAATCTCGCCCCTCGCGTCTCGCTCGCGTCGCTGGTTGAGGCTGAAGTGGCTTAATGAAACCGCTCGCTATATCAAGCGGCGTAAAGGCGCGGAGATGTTGATGGGCGATGGAAATGGCCCGCGGCGGCGGCGCGGGCGGGACTGGCAGGTCTGCGAGTCGCGCGCGGCGGTCTGTGAGGCGTGTGGAGCGTGGCCTATTGCTTCACCTTGTCGACGGAGACAACTAAATGTGAAGCGAGCACCGTGTGCCCAGCAGGTCTCTCTGTCCCACCGTGGGTGTCTGCCTCCTGGGAAACCTGGGTTTTGGGGCCCGCGGGCTAGCGGTCGTAAGACACTAGCAAGCAAGCCGGCGGTCTTCTCGTCGTTACGAGGTCGCGCGGGCGCCACAAGAGGTAACAACACAAGCCAGCGCTGGTTCCTGGACCGCTCTACACAACTACAAACCATGAGCTCCTCGGAGGAACCGCCAGCGCCTCCCTCAGAGACCCGTCCTGCAGAACCGCCACAGCCGCGCGCCTCGACCGGTGGCTTCTCGGAGCACGGCGACGCCGACACGCCGCCGCCCGCCGGCCGCAGCCGCGGCGACGCCGACGCCGACGTCCCGCCGCCGCCCGCCGACCGTTCCCCGATCCGCCCGGAGACCGCGGCGCTTGCCGCCGCCGCCGCGACGGAAGCCGATCAGGCCTGCGACTCGACGGCGGCGTTCCTCGCGGACACTGTACCACGCACGCCGGCGCAGCCCAAAACGAAACAATCAAAAGCCCTGGCGGCGATCGCGTCCGAGCTCGTCTGCTCGATCTGCTGCTCGGTCGCCGCGCGGGCCGTCGTCGCGAACCCCTGCGGCCACGTGTTTTGTGGCGGTTGTCTGGAAAGGTGGCTGCGGCGGAAGCGCAACTGCCCGAACTGCCAACAACGGCTCGACGCGACGGCGTTCGTGGCCGTCCCCGCCTTAGATCACGTCGTTTCTGCATTGGTCGACGCGTCGCCGAATCTGCGGAGGAGAGACTCCATAGATAGGCGGCGGAACCGGAGCCCCGTGCCGCCGACGCCGCCGCCGCCTCCATCGAATGGCTTCGTGACGGCCGCGGAGCTCCTGCGGCGGAGCAACGGCGCGGTGCCGCCGCCGCCGACGCCGGCCGATACTACTATCCTCGGCGCCGTGCGCGCGCTGGACCCGCGCTCCGACATCGAGCGCGCCGTCGAGGGCCTCGACGGGCTGGCCATCGCGGGGGGGCGGTCGGATTTGGAAAGGGCCGTGGACCGGCTGAACGACCTGCCACGGACGTCGCCCGCGCGGACGCCGCCCGTGCGCGCGCGCCGCGGTACCGGCCGCGTGTCGCTCGTCGAGCGCCAGCGCCAGCACACGGCGGAGCGCCTCGCGCGCCGGCCGCCGAGACCGGTCCCGGGCGCGCCCTATCGCGCCTCGCCCCGGACGCCCTCCGCGGCGGCGACGCCTCCCGGGCCGCGGCGGTGGCGGAACCCGTGATAAGAATTCAAGCTTAGGCCCCCTCCTGTGGCGTTTCGCGGGCGCTGAGCGCGGCTTGCGCGTGTCGCACGCGGTCTTCGGTCCCCGCCGTGAACGGGTGTGAGCTTCCGAGGAAGCGCCGCGCGACCCGTACCGTGTCCTCGAGTGTCGCCACGGCCTCCCGGAGATCGTCGAGCGTGGCGTCGTCGTCGTGATATGGCGCCCCGTCCCCGTAAAAAACGTCAATTTCTCTAGGGCCCCAGGAGTCGTAATAGCGGTCTCGTCGGACCCCATACTACCCCGCCGATAGTCAACTACAAGTATATCGCCTATACATTATGAGAAGGGTACTTTTGGCTGCCCACGCTCGGGACGTGAACATCTTGATCTGGACCTCGCGTAAGTCCGTCGGTCATGGAAAAAATGATCGCGTTATGGTCCATGGTGAAGGTACACGCGCTGATGGTCGCAGGTTTGGGTATGAAGCCCGATTAGGCGAGATGTTGGGCCCGCGAGACCGTCGACCCGCGCCGAGCATCTTGGGGTCTCGGAGCAATGTAGTAGGCAGTCAGGCCGGTTATCTGGCCCGTCCCGCAACCGAAGCGCCTGAAAAGCAAATTTACTTTATAAAACACCGGTCTGGGGCCTTTCTGGTGCTCCGTCTCCGCACCGTCGACCGCGGAGAACGGGCAAGTCGGTCGATTGTGAATAGAACAACGGCGTTATGGTCCATTTGGATGGTGGCGTCGCTGATACTCGCAGGTTCAGGATTGTGGCTCGTTTATATATAAACGCGGGGTCGCGAAGTTGCCGATCCGCGCGGCTCTAACGGAATATCTAAAATAGCTCAGTGGGCGCTGATGCGGGTTAGATGGACTCTACCACTCACAAACGGAAGGAAACGAACATAAACTCGGGAGTTGTCTGGTAGAGTTCTTCTCCCGCCCTCCGAGCGCGGGCCGTCGGCTCCGGTTCCGTCGAGTGTGTATGAAAACTGAGCTGGAGTTGATATAATGTTCTATTTGGACGGTGGATGGCGGCGTCAATCGTTGGTGTACTTTGAGGCGCCGTAAGTGTCATCCGCGAATGTCGCGGGCGGTGCCTTCCGGGAGGCGCGAGGGTATGTTCCCGGGCCGCTACTCTAAAATATTTGGTCTCGGCGAACGACTAGGATGTGTTATGAATTTGGGTTATTCTTTTGACGCTATTGAGGCGTATCCTTGAATTTGCTAGTATGTCGATATACGCTAGCTCGGCTTGGCTCTTCCGTTGTATAAACGTGGGGCCCGGAACAGAATAATCTCGCACCTTGGTACATGGGACTACTTGGGGGCGGGCTCGCGCAGCCATCGACGCCATCGACGCGATATATATATATATACATTCCTAGCTATACTTACCCTCGTCGTCGTCAAGTTGTCTCGCGCCATTCAAAGTCGCCGTCGTCGTTGTCCGGCAGCCGCGCCGCGACATCGTCGTCCTCGAACAGCTCGCAGGCCTCGTCGAGCTGCAGGATCGCCCGGTCCAACCGATCCAACCGACCTCGCAGCCGCTCGCGCTTCCGCGGGTCGGCGGCCCGCGCGTCGTCCAAAGAAAAAGGGTCGAGGCCCTCGTCTTTTTCACATTCGAAGCGCCTCCTTTTCAGTAACCGGGCCAAGGCTCGCCGCGTATCAGCCAACACCACGACGCGGCTCCTCTCACAATCGGCCTTCCACAGTTGTATGGCACCGCCGGGCCGGTCCGCTTGCCTCGGTAATTCGACGTGCCTCGCAAATCCTAAATGGAACAACGCGTAGAGCTTCGTCCTGGCATCCTTCGGCGGTAATAAGGCCCGTTCCGCAATGTCGCTCTCGGCCAAATGCTCGTGCTCCGACAGCGCTCTATGTAGTCTAGCCGCATCTGAATCGAGCTTCTGCTTCACGAGCGCTCTGACCGTCTCCGACCTAATATAAGCCCTACACCGCTCCGGCTCCAACAAGTAGGTCTCCTGGCTTTCACCCCGGCCGTACTTCTGCCGCTGCGAACTTACAACACGTATGTGGTCGCCCTGCAATAATTCAAGATCCTGGCCGACCTTTTTGGCCGCCGCGTCGCCGTGCCTTCGTCTTATTAACGCCTCGACGTCTGCTACTTTTGCCGCATACTTCAAAACGTACGAATTCTCCCTTTCCTCTCTCTGGTCCGCGTCGTCTTCCGGGTCCGGCGCCGGCGTGATCGGTACGGCCCGCACCGCGCCGAGATCCCACAACGCGGCGGCGACGCGTCGCATGCGTTTGTTGAGTTTTTTTTCGATGACGTCGAGCGTCGCTTCTCGTCTCAGCAAAGCTTTCAGGGCTCTATGGGAGCAGCGCCACACCGACCCATCGTCGGAATGGAGTGCTTGGCCCATGGCCGCCGCGCGGCTCTTTGCTTTTGAGGCCGTTTCCGTCGGCAGGTCCCGGTTCTTCTCGTCAAATAAGGTATTCGTGTTCACGTCCCGATAATCCTCGACGCCGTCGCACTTCGCTAATACGCCATAAGTCGCTAACTGAGTAAGTAGAGCATCTTCCTGGGCCACCTCCCGGAGCTTTTGTGTAGAACAGCACCCCGCTTCCAAACACGCCTCGACGACCTTCGCACCGGCTTGGGTATGCCGTCGCAGCGCCCGTAACGCCCGGGCCTGGCGCGGCCTTCGCAAAACCGCGTGCAAATCCACCGAGTAGACAGGCGGGCGGCTCTCGTCAATTGATGAATGCCGCGCGCGGCCCTCGCCGTGCTGGAGAAGTGCTACCAATGCTGAGGCCACGTCGGGCTGGTCCGGCAGTCGCCTTCTCAGATCTCTTAACGTCAGGCCGTCCGCGTGCTTAAGGAGCAGCGCGCCGACGCGCGCGCACGCGTCGCCGTGGAACGCCCTTAGGACTTCATCCGCTAACTCGAGCGCCGCGGCGCGCGCTTCTACCGACATGCTGCTGTCGCGCGGCTGGCGTTAGCGGTGGCCGCAGCGTGTGTCGCTGCAGAGAGCACTTGCCGTGCGCGCCTTGCTGGGAGTCCTAGCGCGCGGCTTTTTGCCTTGCTCTGGTCCAGGACGAGCGATGCGACTTCTAGGCTAGCGTAACGCCCAGAATGGCTGCTGCAAGCCCTGAAATGCAGCTCCGCCAATCGCTTGCTAGTGTCTTACACGACGCTAGCGCAGTTCGAGGGTTCAACTTACTCAGCGTGGCGTGAGAGCGTTGTTCCCACGCTACAGCAGCGCCAGGGATCGCCCATACAGCTGTGCGAACGATCATCCATTGTTCAGCATCACAACAGCTCAACAACAGCGTTAGACTTGCCACCACAATGCGAGCAATGACGCTGCGCTGCATCCTCGCGGTGACAGCGGCATTGGCACCGCATCATCATGACAACGGCCGAACCGCGCGGAGGTTGATCACAGCTGAAGCGAGCCCTGGAAAAGCTCCGCGCGCGGCCGACTCAGACCGCCGCGGCGCGTTGCACCGGTTCGCGGCCGGCGCAACCGCCGTCGTAGCGCCGCGAGCCTATGCCAAGCCGCCGCCGACGCTGCAGGGCGCCTACGCCTCGTTCAACGCCGGCAAGTACGACGAGGCCTTGACGGCGTTCGAGGCGCTGACGACCGCGGACGACAACGACGCGACGGCCTGGGAGGGCAAGGGCACCGTGGAGCTGATCCTCGGCTCCCAAAAAGCGACGCTCGGCGTGGAGCCCACGGGCACCGCGAAGGAGCTCTGCGAGCGCGCGGTGGCGTCGCTGCAGCGGTCGGCGTCGCTCTCCGACGACGCTCTGACGCTCAACAACCTAGGCAACGCCCAGGCCGTCTTGCTGCGCTGGAGCGACGCGGCCGAATCGTACCAGAAGTCGTTGGATGCGGCGCTGGCGTCGAAGCGCGACCGCGGCCTTGCTTCGATCCCCGCATCCAATAGAGCGCAGGTGGCGATCGAGCTTGGCGATTTGAAGGACGCGGCGCGGCGCACCGAAAATCTGTTGCGGAGGGACCCCAACTTCGTCGACGGCCGCGCCCTGCTCGCGGCGATCCGCTACAAGCTGGGCGACGCGAACGGCGCCGAGGAAAGCTACGCGCAGCTCTGCGTCCCGGGCGTAAAGTCGCAGCGCGGCGCGGTCTTCACCGACGGCATCGGCGGCAGCGACTGGTGCGAGCTCTACGCGTCGACCGACGTCGTCAGGGGCCGCTGGACGCCGACGACCATCGGGGCCTACGAGGCGTTTCTGAAGAGCAGGGACCCGCGGGCCCGGGTCGCCGCGAATACCAGAGACTTATAATGTGTGATAGTAACTTAGCCACTCTACCAAGTCTACCGCGCCGACTTGCCGAAGCCGTCGAGGAAGCCGCCCGGCGCGATCGCGCCGAAGCGGTCCCTATCGGATTTGCGACGCCGCTCGCGCTCCGCCGCGCGCTGGGCGACGACGTCGTCCTCGTACTTTTTGTTGCGCCTCCAGACGTCGTGGCGGTAGCGCTCCTCCTCGTCATGAGCCAATCGTAGTAGTTCGGCTTGCGACGCGTCGTAGTCGTCGTCGATCTGCTTCTCCTCCGACTTGGCGGCGTAGTTCTCCTCGACTAGTGTATCGTTCTCCTTTAACAACTGCGCCACTTGTTCCCGCGCGAAGCCCTTGAAATGATCGGGCCGGTAGCGGTGGGCACCCAACGCTGATCTCGCAACAGCCGTGTTCTCGCACAACTCCGGATCGCTCAGGCGCCGATCGATCTCGGCAGCTTCAATAAGAGCCACCTCCCGCTTTCTTGCTTCAGCAACAAGCCTCCTCCTCTCGGCGTCCTCCTCGTTCTTCACACGAAGCTCGTAGCGGACCCTGCTTCTTTCTTCGTTCTCCTCGTCCTCGAGATCCGCCCGTTCCGCCGCCACGAACCTTTCGTAGGCCGCATATCTCAGGAGCTCGTCCTTCTCCTCGTCGACGCGCGCGGCCTTCTCCGCTTCTTGCTGGGCGAGCCACGACCGCACGTTCAAGTTCTGGAGTTTAGTTCTTTCCTCAGCGGTGGGATCCTCGCCCTCGAAGACCTGGGCGCCCGCGGGGCCGGTCTTCGCGGGATCACACCGCAGGTCCTCCGAAGCAATCTTCGCGCGGCGCTCCGCCCGCTCGGCCACTTCGCCGTCCCACTCCTTGGCCAGCGACCGTTCGAACTCCCGGTCTTGGGCTTTAAAGCTCTGCTCGCGCTCCTCCACCACATCTCGCATGTGGGCCTCGTACTCGACGTAGGCCTGCGTCTCCTCCTGCTCCTCTAATTTCGCTTCTTCGCGCTCCTGGATTTGTCTAGCGAGCGCCGCGGGGTCCGCGCCGATGGCTCTTTGCTTGGAGTTGAGCAGTCTTTTCACGCGGTCCGCGTTGCGCCGCCGCATGAAGTCGATCTTCGCCTGCTGCTTGATGGCGTCATCGCTCCCGCGGAAGGGGTCCGTCTCGATGGCGGGGTTGCGCTCGAGGGCCATGGTGGCTGCCCTTGCGTCTGCGCTCCGCTAAATAGGCTGCCCTCGACAACCGGGCGCTCCATGGTAGAATGTATCCAGTAGTTAGGCGCGGGCTCATGGACGCGTCCGACGCGCCGCTGGGGGCGCAGCGGCAGCGTGGCGGCGGTCGCAGAGCCCTCGGGTCGAGTCCTGGAACGGCACCCGCCCAACGCCCCGGCGCGGCTCGCATGGCGGTCGCGAGCGAGGCCATCTCTCGAGACGCCATCGCCGCGACCCATCCTAACAGAAAGACTAAACAAGGAGGTTAGTACCGCGTCGTCCGCTTGCCGCAGTTGATCCCGTAGAAGCCCTTGAAGCACTTGCAGAGCCCGTCCTTGCACGTGCCCCGGTTCGAGCAGTCGACGTGGCAGATGTTCCCCGGTCGGCCGACGCCCCGACCGCCGGCCGCGACGACGCCCGTGCAGTTCGTCTCGTCCCTTTCCGTCATCGGGTCGTCGCCCGAGGGACACCGCTTCTGGCCACAGTCGGGCCCGTGGAACTCGGCCTGCTGTCGTTCGCCCGGACCTAAGCCCACGGGCCAGGACGAGTCGCAGAGGCAGGCCCGGTTGAGATTCTGGTCGTACGTGGGACCTCCGAGGCCCGACCGCGACATCGCACCATCATAGCGAATAGATATGTTTTGTGTAGGATCACCGGGCTCCGGGAGATTCGTGAGATCATCCGTGTTGTTGACGGACGTGAAGCCGTCGTTGAGAGGTAAAGCGTCCTTCATCTTCGCGAGTTGGCGCATCGTGAGACACAGCCCTTTGCCCGAGCAGTCGTTCGGACACGTTTTTGATTGGCAAGCCGTGCCGGCAAACCCCGGGAAGCACTGGCACGTGCCCGTGAGTCGGTCGCAAAAACCAGCATTGGAACATTCCTTCAGCGAATGGGCTTCTGTTACTGAAGTGGGCATGTCACTCTGGGCCTTTCCAAACGGACATGTTCGTTCGGTACAGAAGGCGTCGCCGCCCCAGCCGGGGTCACACTTACAATTCGCGAACGGGCTCCCCGGGCCGCCCTTTTGTTCGCACTTGCCGTGGCCATTGCAGTAGTTCAGCGTATGACACCCGAAGCACCGCGCGCCTTCGGCCAGGCAGTCGATCTCTCCCACCGACTCCCAGGAGCTCGGCTCTTGCGGCGCTGCTAGGGGTAGGCAGAGGAGGAGGAGCCGCATCGCGGTTCGTTGACGCGCAGCGATGCTCCGACGGACTTGGCGCTTCGATGGCGTCTGCGGACGCGCAGTCACGCTTCGTCAGCCGTCGGGGCAGCCCATGTTTGCGCGCTGCCTACCGGCACTGGCAGGGGCTTACCCCGCACGATAGAGTCACCACACTATTCTTACTAGTCTTCCCCAGAAGCATCATCGCGCCACCGCAACGGCGGACAGCCGCTCGGTCTCCCCCTCCGCGAGCGCCAGGTCGTGCGCCGGGTACGCCCTCTCCACATCCGTCCGCGCCGCACGCAACGCCGCGCGGCACAGCTCCGCGGCGGCCCGGAAGTCTTCTCCCGACGAAGCGCGCGCGAGCGCCAGCGACGCGACGCTATGGAGTGCGACGACGTCGTAGGGTGCCAGGCGTGCCGCTTCCGAGAGGTGCGCCGCCGCGGCGTCGGCCAGCGCCTCGGCCAGATGCGGCCTTCGTCGCGCGGACGCGTCGGCAAGCCCGCGCAACGACAGACCTGCCACCTTATGCAATTCAGCCGCGTCGACCGCGTCCGTCGGAAGCGCCGACCTCGCGGCGCGCACGGCCCGCGCGTACTTGCCAGCGCGTCGCAAATCCATGGCCCGCGCCAGGGACAAGCGCGCATGGTCCGGTGCCGTCGATGCCAAAAAACAAACGAGGACGTAGCGCTCGCCCTCCGTCGTCGCGGCGCCGGCGTGCCGCGTGCGGCCGGCGTGCGCGACGGCGTCGCCGGCACGCACCGGTGTGAGCGTCACGTCGCCGGGCCCCTCGAAGCGCGTACCGCCTCCAATAAAATCATCAGCGTCGCTCAGGGCGACATTAAGAGTCAGCGTCGAGAAGTCGCGATGCACCGGCTGGCCCGACGCGGCGCGGTCCCGTGCCAGGTCCGGCGCGTACTTCACTATTAGTGCGTCGTAGATGGCTAATTGCGTCGCGTTCGCCGCCTCGGGCACGCGCAGCGCCCCCGCGAAGCGTTGCGACGCGACGAACGCCCGCAGCCAGCGCTTCGTCCGCGGCAGCTCGTCCGCGTGGCAGTCCCGCAGGTCCTCGGTCATCGAGAAGCGCGACATCGACGTCTGCTCTGAAAAGCGCGCGTCGGCTTCTCGCTTTATTCGCCGCGCGACGGCGCGCGGCATGACGCTTGGCGCCGCGAGCACGGTGCGCGGCGCAGCGACGGCGCGCCAGCTCGCATCGTCGTCTCCCGTGACAGGGATCGGCGCGCCCCAGCGCTTCGCCGAGTCCGCGAGATCGCTTTCGTGGCGCTGCACGTTTTTGGCGTGCTCTGCTGCGAGTTGGTGAGTGCTGAGTGGTGTGAGCGCTCGCGCTGCGGTGATGAGCAGCAATGTAGCACTTCTCATCGTTGATTCTATGCTATTCCTGCATGCTTACGTTGCATTGCATGGGCTGCGCACCGATGCTTGCGATGCGATGCATCTTGCATCGGTGGCTTGCTAGTGTCTTACCGGCACTAGCGCATGCGAGAGACCTCCGAACACTCCTCCGCGAAAGGAGATCTCCAAGGCCCCACGACGAGAGGCAGGTCTCCCACGCCGCGAAGCCAGCAGCCCGCCCGTTAGCTGATCAGCTTCGCGCTGTGGGCAGCGCCGAAGGGCACGCAAACGCTGAAGGGCAGCGCAAACGACCACCCACGATGTCGCGGCGCATGCAAACGCTCCGCAACATAAGCAACCGGCCGCGGTCCGCGCCGGCCCAACGGAAGCCGGTGGCCACGAGCACCGCACTGCCGGGCCCGGCCTCGCCCTTAGGCGGCGACGCCCACGCCGGGTTGCGGCCGGGCACGGCCAAGAACATCAAGCGACGGTCCGCGAGTGCGGCGTCGCGGAGGCGCCGAGAGATCGTGGGTGAATACATGCGCCGCAGCGTCGACCCCGTGATGAGGGAACTCGTGACGCATTTACTGGTCGAGAAGCCTTCCGATGTGACGAAGGAGATGCTGGCTTATCTCAGAGGTGTCCGGGACGGGACGACGCCCCAGATCCAGATGGACTCGCAGCGGAAAGTGTCGAAGGAAGATCGGGCTTACATGGCCCGCGACGTCAAGCCATTACTGACCGATTTACTGTCCGACGTCGTACGGGCACGACCTAGAGCTCCAGTGGACTTCTCCATAGCTTGGTTGGCATCTAGAAGGGCGCAGGCTACGGACGTGCCGGCGCCAAAGAGCGTCTCAAAATTAAGAGATGCCATCTCCTTCGATGCTGCCGTCACATCGCAAAAACCGACAACAACGCTAGAGAAGAAGCGCATCTTTGTGTTAGGCGATGTCTCATCCGGCAAGACGACCCTCCTCAAAGCGATGCAGGGCGACCTCGAGCCATCAGCAAAGCCGTCGGGAGGGTTCAAGACCTTCGATCTGGGCCACCAACTGTCGGAGGACGCCCCGCAGTCCACCTTAACGTTCTTCGACGTGTCCGGTAAAACAAAAGCGCGCGCGCGGTGGCCTGCCTACTTTTCAGATTGCCACGCCGTTGTTTTTGTGGTCGACTGTTCTAGCGACTTAGCTGAAGCAAGGACCTGCTTCGACTACTGCTTCCGGGCTACGAATGAAAATGAGGACGAACGCCGCAGTATGCTCAAGGGCAAGCCGCTGCTGGTGCTCGCGAACAAGCAAGATATTGAGAGTAGTGCGAAGCCCGATGAAGTGTCGAAAGCTCTGGATTTGGACGCGTATCAACGAGATGGATATCATGTCGCCGTCTGTCCCGTCGTCGGAGACCCGCAAAAAAGCAATGGTGCACTGGACCCGCGCGTGGAAAGGGCCATCGACTGGCTCGCGCAGCGCATCGACGATAAAGCGGGCGCCCTGGAAGCGCGGCGCACGCGGGAGACGGCCGCGACGGACGCCTGGGACCAGCTCCAGAAGGAGAAGAAGGAGCAGCGGGTCTTCCGGAAAGTTCTCAGGAAGGCGCATCCCCAGGAGGGGGAGCCCGAGGAGTGCATGGATGAGTCTGAAGGTCTCGAGTTCTTCGCGTCGGAGCTAGGGTGTACGATAGAAGACATGGACCCCACGGCGAAACGACTCGCAGCACTGATGAACTACCAGAAGCTCGCCTTGCAGATGACCGCCGCGATGAACCAACCGGTAAACCCCAAGAAGCGCGCGCCCATGGCCTGGCCGGACGTGGCGGCCTACGTCGAAGCTCGCAATTCAGAAAAGTGGGACCCGGCGGTCGTCCAGCGCGACGAGGACGAGGACCCGACGAGCATGAAGAACCGGATGGCGAAGCGGGCTTAGTAGCTGATGCCGGGTAAGACCAAGATTACTACAACATACTTACTTCCAGTCGGCTAGGTGCTCGAGCATCATGGATGCCTCCGGGCCGTCCATGTCCTCCCAAGTATCGATGACGCTCCACTTCCAGGACGCGTGGATTGTCGATGGGCTTCCCGAGTGTGCTCTGTTGACATCGTGCGGAGCGGTACGCGAGCCGGATCTTTGACTGGTAGTTGCAGGGGTGGTATAGAGCACCGCTACGGTCTCCAAATGCTGCCCTCGTTAGCTAGCGGCGTTCAAAACGCTGCCAGAGCTGCCAATCTGCTGTTTGAAAATGGTGGAGAGCGCAGTCAGTCACTGCCGCCCGTGGATCCCTAGACTGGTCTAGCACCACTCCAGGGAGCTATCAGGGGATGAATGTAACGGAATAAGATTACTACTCGCGCTTGATCGGCGACGCTACCGAAAAATCGGCGAGGGGGAGGATCCGGTAGCCCGCCGCCGCCGTCTTTGATACGGACGCCTGGAACTCGTCGAGGCAGTCGCCGCACGTCCGGCCGAAGGTGCTCCCATAAGCAGACTTCTCGCCCGGCAGGTGGCCCGTGTAGCCGTTGATCCTATCTCTGGGGATCCGCTCCGTGTCCGTGCCGCTCAGTATACCTTTCTGCGGGTATATCGTCTTGGCCTCTTTTTGTACGCGTGCGAACGTCGACCCGAAGAAGTGCTGCGCGCCCCGGATGCACCCCGTGTAGCCCGGCGAGGCCTCGAGCTCGTGCCTCAATGCTAGCGTCTTCCCTAGGGCTCTGGCTTCCCGGAACCGTACCTCGTCTTTATCTAAGACGATGGTGTTCGTCCCCGACGGCATTTCTGTCGTCGACGTGGACACGATGCGATGTTTTGAGGGAGACGCCGACTTGCGGTGCTCCGCGAAGGAGTTTTCTACCGTCCTGCCGAAAGTTTCGGCGTAGCGGGTGACACGGCCGGGAATATGGCCCGAATACCCCAGCACGCGGGCCGGCGCCGCGCTGTCCAAGCTTTCCGTCGCGACGCGCGGGCCCGCCTCTTCATGGGGATTCCCCGCGGGCGTCGGCGCGAAGTTGTGCGACGGCGCGCGCCGCGAGACCTCGCCGTCCGTTAATCCATAATAGTGCTGGCTGCCTCTGATAAAACCGCGGTAGCCCGGGATGGCTTTAGGCTTTTGGCTCTGGGTTTCGCGCGGAGGCGAAGGATGCTGCTCCTTGTCTGGGACGAAAAGGTTGTGCTCGGCCTTGGGAGGCGAGTGCAGGGGGCGCTGGAGCGACATCGTGGGGTGCCCTTTTGCGCTGCCGGTCGAACAGGAGGCGGGAGCGGTTTCTGTGGAGTATTCGTGTGCGTCCGTGCGTCGAAGGCGTCCGCGGGGAGGGCGTTTAATTTGAGTGGGCAGCCGGACGGAGAGCAAAGGCCGGCGGTTTCGTACTCGGGTGCGCGTGCGGAGCAGGTTGGGTCAAGTTCTCGTCGAACGGCGTTCAAGGGCCGGCTGGGAGTAATCCTACGCTGCGTTGAAACCCGTACATTAGCTTGCCACTGGGGCCACGCGGCGCAAATAACCATAGACAACCAACTCGCGGCTTTACGCGTGTGTCTTGCAGTTATATTAGTTGTGCGACACGAATTGCAGCCGAAGTTTTGCTCGGAAAGCATCGCTAAGCACAGCATCACCTCTGGGCCACTGCCAGCACAGCAGTCGAACAACGCGAACACATCGAAGAACGCATCGAAACATGGCCCGCGAAGCATTAAAAAAGATCGTCGTCTTCGGCGGCAACGGCTTTGTGGGAAGCGAGGTCTTAAAACGACTCAGCACCAAGCCGACGGTGCAAGCCGTCAGCGTGTCGCGGCGAGGAGCCGCGCCGGGCCACTGCGCCGACTTCGCCGATAAGGTCGAGTGGCGGACCGGCGACTGCCTCGACAAAAAGACCTACGCCGACGCCCTCGAGGGCGCCGCGGCCGTTGTTGTAAGCGTAGGGAGCCCACCACTACCCGGTGATGTAGAAGCCGCGCGTCGAGCGAACGGAGAGACGAATGTCAAGGTCATCGAGGCCGCGATGGAAGCGAAGGTCGGCCGCGCCGTCGTCGTCGGCGCGACGATGCCGCCGTGGCTCGACAGGGTCGCGGAGGGTTATGCCTTGGGCAAGCGGGACGCCTTCGAGGCGCTTGGAGGGTTCGCCCTGGGCGGCGGCGCCGTCGTCGTGAAGCCCAGTGCGATCTACGGGACGCGACATACGGAGTCAGGCTACCCCATACCGCTGGCGCCGGTCATGGCGCCGCTGTCCTACGCGCTTAGAATAGGAAGACCGGTGACGGGCTTCGTGACGGGCCTCGCGCCGTCGTTGCTCGACGGTCTCTTGGAGCCGCCGGTCCCCGTGCACGCCGTCGCGCAGACGGTCGTCGACGCGTGCCTGGAGGAGGAGTATGCCGAGGGCTTCGTCGCGCTCGGCGTGGAGGAGATCCTCAAACGCTGTTAATTGTATATTTATGCGACCTTCTTCCGGTCCGCCCCGTCGTAGTATTTGGCATGGCGTGCGCGTCCCGCGGTTTGTCCCGCAAAACGCGCTACTGCGCGAGGTTCTTCGTGGGGTAGCGGTGGTGCGTCTCGTGCGCCCGCGTCGTATATTCAAAGCCCCAAAACCTAAACTGGACGTCGTAGGCCGTGTGGTTCAGGAGCGCTAGGATAGCGTACAGGATGAAGTGCACGAAGATCGTCAGGGCATGCACTGATGTTGTGTGACCAACAATGACCAAAGTGATGTACAAACAGCTCAAGCCAAGCACCTGCTCGATGGGGTGCTCGTTGCCGGCGTCCGCATAACCCCGCTCCGGCAGTTGTTGTCTATGGTGGTGCTTGTGGACATACGGGTAAAACCACGGCCGGTGCATCAGCAAGTGGAGCGGCGCGTAGAAGGCGTCGTCGATCGCGAAGATTAAGTAGAGTGCTGGTAATGTATTCAGCATTCCTAGGTCATTTAACCTCCAAGCAAAGTTCGGGGACGACAGCACGATATCGATCACGTGGCACGTGAACTGCCACTCCACCACCGAATTGATGCACAAAAACAAATAGTCGATCCACTCCAACTTCACGAGGCCCCGATTGCCCGTGTTGATGCGGTACATCATCATTTTATTGTTATAAGCGCGGTCTAGGAGTACGAGTACGATATGATCGAGGAGCTGCAATCCTAAACATTTCAGGGCCCACCCACACCAGTAGTACTCTCTCGATAGGTTCAGGGGGTTCGTCAATTTCTCAAAACTTTCTCGTCGCTTACTTCGCAGCAACAGGAGCAGTCCGACGAAAGCCGCGAAGGACTGGAAGCTCTTCTTGTGCTTGCGGAGCTGGTCCTCGACTATCGTAGATCTTCGTCGCGCCGTGGGCTGGGCGAGGCTCTTCGGGGGGGCGACGCACATGCTTGCGGCGGCGTTTTGCGGCTGCCACGCCAATCTCGTTTGGAGCGCCGTCCGGGGCGTTAGTGTTGGTTGTTTCGCACTTGAGCCGTTGGTAGGTGTCGTGGCTGTCGTATACGCGGCTTAGATCGGCAGCGTCGCCGCTAGGGACGGCGGTAGAGCGGCGAAACGACTGCCACCTCGACTTCGCTAGCGGTCTGTAAAGACACTAGGAATAGCCACGCTTTGGTTTTTCGCTTCATACGAAGCCAAGCTGCGGCATCGGACAGCTTTGACTGGTTCGGACATCACTAATCGATCACAGCTGCACGCCTGAAACAGCAGCGTGCCGATTAGAGGCTTTTAAAAGGCTAAACACAGCCTACCCGCGAAAGCCGCTCTCCGGCAGGATATAAGCGCAAGAAACGCAGCAGAAAACGCCGCGCCCCGCTCCCCGACGTCGAAGAAGGCCTCGGCGACGCGGTCCGCAGCCAACACCCCCCAAAAACCAAGCAAATAAACGTCGTCGAGACAAGGCGGGAAACCATGGAGTTCTCGCACGTCGGCGACGTCCTGCACCCGTCGCCGGATGACGTCGAGGCAGCAGTAAGGGCCGCAGGCACGAACACGGGAGAAGAAGTTTTAGAAGCCGCGAGACGGAAGAAGATGAGTTTCGTCCGGAGGCAATTAGCGCCGGAGGCATCTCGAAGAGTCGACGCGGCCCTCAGCGAGGAGTTCATCGGCGCGCCGGGGTGGCGGGTAGAAGTCGTCCAGGCGAGGCAGGTCTGCGGCGGGCCGTTGTGGTGCGTGTCGTCCGGAGGCAAGGGTCTCGTTGCTTGTGGTGGTTCTGATGGTGTCGTGCGAGTAGCGACCCTAGGAACGTTTGAGCGTGCCGAAAGGTGGCGACTCAATCGGGATTCGGCGTTGTCTGATGTCCAACTGCTCGAGGGCCACGAAGGGGCGGTCTTCGACTGCGCGTTTTCGAGGCAGGAGGACAAGAAGAAGACCACTCTCGTAACAGTATCGGCGGACGCTACCGCAAGGTTGTGGACGGGCTGGGAGGGCGACCCGAGACTCTCGCCGGGTTTGATCTTCGCCCACGGGCAGGGCGTCTGCTGCTGCGCTTGGTTAGGGGGCGAATCATTTGTGACCGGCGGCTTCGACCGAAACATCCGAGTGTGGCACATTCCCGACCGCAAGGCGACGGCCTGGGCCCACTTGAACGATGCGGTTACTGCTGTTGGTTGCAGAGCGTCGGACGGTCCTGGGGCTCCAGCAAGGTTAGGTGTCGGTACAAGAGGCGGCCAGGTCTTCGTCTACAAGTCACGAGATCATACCCATGTAGAATGCGACGAGATGGTGCTGGGGACCATGCGTGCGGGAGCCTTCAACGAAGCGGAACGATGCGGTGCTGCGGGCATTCGGGCCCAATCCAATGCTCTGCAGGGCATCGTGGCCGGTTCGGCCAAGCCCAAGAAAAAAGGTGGAGGGGGCTTCTTCTCCAAATTGTTCAAGCCCCGGAAGAAGACCGCTGATTTGCAAGCCGAGTCCGAGGCGCGCGCGGCGGAATTCCTATCAGGTACCGACGAGGACACGAAAGTGGAAGAGCAGAGTACTGATGACGAAGGCGACGATAGTTCTGAAGATGGCGATCTACAGGAAATAGAACAGACCGACAAGGTCGCTTCTATTGAGTCCGTGAAGTATAGAGCTTCCTCGATCTCATTTCCCAGAGAGGACGGGTTATTGTGCTGCGCGAACAACGGCGAGCCCGCTCTCTACGATGCGATGAACCCCCAGAAGGACGCTCAAACCACTTTTCGGGGAGGTGTTAGATCTGTGGTGGGCTGCGGCGTGTCTGCGGACGAGACGGGCACGTTCTGCGTCGGAGGCTCGGAGACGGGCCAAATCTTAGCGTGGCGGCTGCCTGATGTTGGGACGTCGAAGCCCGAAGCGCTGCCCTTGGAAATCGACGTGAAGGCACGGAACGCTCGGATTGCAGCGGTTACTGCCGTTGCTTTTGTGCCTGCTGAGAGCGCGTCCGCTACCTTAGATGCAAAAGTACTGAAGGCGACCTACGACAATACTGGAGCGTGTTTGATCGTCGCGACGGACTACTCTGGAAGGTTACTCGTCGCTCAGCGCGAGCCGGGCGACGCGCACGCCGAAGGTGTCGATACTTTACCGACGCCGCCGCCGTCGGCCACGAAGACGAAGAAGAAGCGCCCGTCCCTGCCGGGCCAGGCCTACGTCGAGGAGGAGTAAGTCGGCCATTTCTTGCATTAACGCGGCGGCGGAATCGCGGATATCGCTGACAGCTAGAATAAAACGGGTTTTACACGGCTCTAAATTAATTTAAATTTGACCCGCGCCGCCCGCCACGCCCGCCGCCGCGACTGAGATCGACAGGAAACCAACGCCTGACACACGACTCAAGCATGAGCACCGCGGAGCCCATCAATGAGGCCCAAAATTTGAGTTCCATGCCCGAAGACGTGCTCCGCGCCGTGCTCGCGCGCGCGCGATTCGACGACCAGGCCGCGCTCAAACGCGTCTGCAAGCGGTTTCTCGCCGTCATCTCGAGCCGTTCGTTTCGCGAGGAGCGCCGCGCGAGCGGGTGCCTCGAGCATACGGTCCTCGTGATGAAATACGAGACGTTTTGGTGGGAGTGGAAGCACATCTGCTGGCTCTTGCGCCAGCCGGCCAAGGATTCCAAAACTGGGAACCGTGCGTGGCGGCCGGAGAATAGCGATGGGTCCTGGACCACGCTGGTCGCCATGAAGACTTTTCAATACTCGATTCCGATCTTTGCCTTCGACGGCGAGGGCGCCGTCGCGCGGTTCTCGTTCGGGGGCCTACCGTGCGACGGGCCAGGCGGCATGGTGTGGGCCGTCGCGACGCTCGGATAGGACCCCACCCCCCCAACGACTAAGAGCCCTCTCCTTACCCGGGAAACCCGCCTCAGGACTCCACGGCGAGCTTCATGAGGTGCTCCATGAACACCTTGAGGCTGACATCGTCGGTGGGGATGACCTGGCCTGCGTGGACGTCGGTCGAGTTGTGCGTCACCGAGGGATTCAACTTGCAGATGAGGAAGCGCGCCTCGGACTTGTGCTGGTCGGCGATGATGTAGCGCGGCACGGGGAAGCGCGCGTCCATGATCGCGTTCGCGTCTTCTAGGGGCTGATGTAATAAAGTTCGGAAATGCACGTGTTCATCACTGTCCTGGTACCGTTGATCCCTCCACGCAGCAATTGTCTCGCCATGAAACACAATCACGTAGAAGAACGTATCTAGGAGTAGTATGACGTCCGGTCTCACACTACTGGCATCGAGCATGGCTGGAGTAGGAGGAGCCTGGAAGCCATAGGACACAAGTGTAGGCTGGATCATCACCAACGAGTTGGTCGTGTTTTCTCTGACTAACACCATTCTGTAGTAAGAAGCCTCATCGGGCGAGGAATTAAATAATTGGAGGAACTGCGACCTTCGCAAGTTAAACACGAATTGCGGATAGACCGAGAACTCGTGCGGCAGTCTAAATGAGGAAGGATCGTCCTTTCGATAGTCCGCGAACTTCGCGCACAACCTGATGAGCGACCGGTCGACCCACCGCAGGATATCAGCGACCTCCTCAGTCTCGGTTCTATGGACCGCCACTCTAGCCATCAACACCGCGGCGGCCTCCTGGTCGAAGGAGCGAGCGACCGGTGAGGCATCCGAGGGATCGGGCTGCCACGCTCCACAGAGTGTGGTACACCTCAACCTTTGTTTACCAGACGCGTGTTGATAGCTCGTAAGGAATTGCGCATATCTCCTCTTATGAGCGGGCACCGGCGTAGTAGACGCATTAGTAACTTCAAAGTACACCGCAATAGTCGTCGAGGGGTCGATCCCACCAATAGACCACTGGTTTGTGCCGCCCTGCCCTATTTCCGTCTCGGAGACGTAATTGGTCTTGATCTTGTTGTTCTTGAGAGCAGCGCACGGGCCGATGGCGCCGGCCACCTTGAATTCACGAGAAGTGAGCACCTCTAGTGAAGCGGCGAAGCCCATGACCAGGTGCCCGGCGTTCGGCCCGGGCTGGTCGTCGGCGTGCCTCCGGAAGACCCTCCTCAGACTTTCTTTGAAGACCGACTGCGTGAAGGAATCACCCAAGATGGCGACGCCTCCTGTTCTATCAACGCAGCTCCGCATTTCATGCAGGCCGACCTGATCCAGCGAACAAGCAAAACAATCGACGACGTGGGCATTGGAGGCGGCCCGTTCCGCTAGTTTAGCATAAAACTCCTGCGCTTTCTTCACGTGCGGCGCGTTGCCCTTCACCAGGTCCTGGTGGCTGCGCATGTCCTCGCTTCTTGCTTTATCCACGACCATACCTGGTCCCACGGTACTGGGACCGCCGACGAAGAGCATGACTCTACTACCTTGTCTCGGCGCTGCGGCTTCTAGTAAGCCCACAGCGACAGCTAAGGCGGCCCCGGTGCACCGCGCGGCTCGTTGGTCCGCCGCGGCCGGCCACGGGTCCCTACCTAAGTCTTCCAGGACAGACTCGACCGTAAAGGAGCAGTCCCCGACCGTCATCAGGAAAGACCCGATCGCCGCCGCCCTTCCACCTTGTTGTTGTTGCTGCTGTTGGGGCCTATTGCCAGGCGCGATATTCAATAATTCTTGGACCCTTTGGGCACTGTAGTCCTTCGACCCTTTGAAGGCTATGGCCTTGTGGCACTCGCCAAACCCAATTTCGTGGACGAGGACGTGGGCGCCGAAGGTGATTAAACCAACAAGGGCGTCCTCCGGTAACAAGTTCAGAGTTTGCTGGATGGAGTCCTTGAGGGACTCGAGTTCGCTTTCCGGGAGACACGTGTCGACCACAAATAAGAATACTGGAGGGCCTACCGAACGCTGTTGGAGTTCGTACTCCACAGTGGTAAACTGGGGGATGAGCTCCGCCGGTAAATTTGTTTCCGTGATGTTCTCCGCGTAGTGCGGCGGGAAATGATTCCTTCCGAGACAAAAGGGGCACGTCCAGAGTTTGGTTCTGAAGTCGAGCTGGCAGTAGGGGTTGAGGAGAGCTCCACAACCATTACATCGGATCGGATCGTAGACGAGAGGTGGGGGGTTGCCGATGGGTTTCAAAGGAGTGTAGAGCGCGCCGATCGGGACGACGATGCGCGTCGCTTCTAGTCTGGACGAGGGCCAGACGTTCCAGCTCAGGCGCACGCCGTCGCGCTCCTCCTGCGCTTGGATGCTACTCATGTCCATGATGCCTCGCCGCGCCGCCGCGCTGCGCGTTTGCTAGGCCTTGGTGTGTCGACAGCCGCGCGGTTTCGTGCGCAGCGCTGCTCAGCTTTTGTAGCTCTTCAGCGATGCAGCAATTTTACAGACAGCGCACGTACGCTGCTGCACGCCCGGCTGAGACGCGTGGGGCTTTTGGCTGGCCGACTCGAAAAATCGAGCGAGGCAGCCCCTATCTCCGAGGTATAAGGTACTTAAGTACTTACTGATACCTCACCTGGCGGCCGGGCTCACGCCAGCCGCGCCGTGAAGATGCCCACCGGCATGGGGTCCTTGGTGGTCGCGACGGCCTCGGGCGCACCGCTCGCGGCCTCGAGCGGCGCCCACGTGATCGCCTCGAAGCCCGCGGCCTCGATCCACAAAACGCCCCCACCGGGTCCCGAAGATAACAACGAAGATAAGTTAAAACACGATAGCTAGAAGATGTCGTACACGAGAAGATACGGCAGCATGGCCCCCTTGCCGTCCGACGGCTCCGCCCGGGCCTTCACGTCCTCCCAGCCGCCTAGTTGATGGACGGAGCCGCGGTCGTGCCACTCCCAGCCCTTGTTCCAGTCCCTGCCTTTCCGCACGAAGGACGTGTAGTGGTTGCCCCGGAACATGATGAGGGCCACGAGGTCGCGCTTCCCGGCCTTTTTAGCCTTGTCGTCGAAGCACTTCGCCGCGTCGCGCACGCCGCCCATGAGAGCTAAGTCCATGACGCTCAAGACGTCACCCCGCGAACGATCGATGCCGGTCCACGTGATGCCCAGGATTAGTGTGGAAGCGCACCTTGATAACGTTTGCGAAACAGCACAAGCCTTCGGCGCGTGGCACGCGTCACAAGATTTAGCAGTATGGGCGTGTGCAAGTAAGTACACGGGCGCTAGATGGGCCCCTCGCTTGTAGGCGACGCGGGCCTGCTTGAGCTTCGTGGCCGGGGCTGAACGCGCATATTCTAAGACTTGCTCGTCGACGGCATCACTATTAGATTTGCCGCATTTGGAACAGGGCGCCTGCGTGATGCGGCCTACACTTGTAAGAGTAGAGGCGGCGCTTTTGGTGGAAGCGTCCGCTGTCAACGCCTCGACTAATTCGCCGAGCACCTCGGCCACATCCAAGTGAGCGCCGCCCGTCGCGAGCTCCTGTCGTATGTCCGGGTCGCCTCCCTCCCTCTCGGCTAGCGCAGCTCGTAAATCGTCGATGGCCTGGTCGTACTGGCGCTTCTTCGTCGTCCTTCTCAACAATGCATTGCCGCTCTGGTCTAGGGGCGGGAGCGCGTCCAAAGCTCTACGCAAAGCCTTCGGCGCGGCGTCTTTCGCGTCAGCACTATCGAAGGCGCGCCGGAAGGACTTCGCGGACCGCAGCGCCGTCGCGAGGGCCTCGAGCGCGCAGTTCGCGCGGGGCTTCACGTCCTTCAAGTTGCGGGGGATGCCCTCGTCGACGGCGCCCCAGCCCTGCCGCTTGGGCGGCGGCGGCGCCGCCGACGGCAGCGGCCCCAGCGCCAAGCTTTGTGGGGGCGGCGAGCCCGGTGGCAAATTCGCGTCGACGGCGCCCCAGCCGCGCGGCGGAGTAGGCGGCGGCGGCGCGGCGGGCGGCGCCACGACTGGCGACGCCGGTGGCGACGTCGGCGCTGATGGTGGCGCGGCCGGCGCGGCCGGCGGAGGTGACGGCGGCGGCGACCGCGGTGCGGGTGGTGGCGACGGCGGTGGCGCAGAAGTAGCCGGCAGGACCGCCGACGGCAGCTTCGAGTCGACGGCGCCCCAGCCGCGCGGCGCGGGCGCTGGCGCGGGGGCAGGCGGTGATGGCGGCGTGGCAGGCGGCGCAACCGGCGGCGACCGCGGCGGCAACCGGACTGGCGGCGACCGCGGCGGCGACCGGACCGGCGGCGACGGCGGCGCGGGAGGTGGGAGGTGCGCGTCGACGGCGCCCCAGCCGCGGGGCACGGGCGGCGGGCGCGCCGGCGTCCACGGCGGCGACGCCGGCGGTTTTGGGGCGGTCTCCGCGTCCTCGATGGCCTGGAGCGCGCGCGCTAGCTCCGCGTCGTTCGCGAGGCGGGCCTCCTCCGCGGCTCGGCGCGCCGCGGCGGCGGCGGTCTCCTCCTCGAGGCGCCGCGCCTCGGCCGCCTCGGCCGCCTGCCGCTCGCGCTCGGCCTCGGCGGCCAGGCGCCGCCGCTCCGCGGCGGCCCGCTCGGCCTCGGCCTCGGCCGAGGCGCGCGACGCCGCGAGCGCCCGCTCCAGCTCGGCGGCCTCCTCGGACGGCCGCGCCGGTCGCGCGAACGCGGCCGCGGGCTCCGGCGCCGGATCGGGCGGTGGCGGCGCCGGCGCCCGCGCGGGCCGCGCCGCGGGCGCCGGCGCCGGCGCCGGCGGCTGCGCGGGTCTCTGCTTCTCGAGCTCGTGCGTCACGAGCGTGGACACGTAGGTGAAGGGGATGTCGACCTTGCTGTTGCTCTTCCGCACCCGCTTCGCCACGACCCGCTGCGTCGCTCCATCCAAACACCGCAGCTGGTCCACGGTCGCGCCGGTCACGCCGCGCGCCGCGAGCGCCGCGGCGAGCTCCTCCTCCAGGTCGTAGTCGCGCGGCGGCTGCGCGAGCTGCTCCTTGATCAGCCGGCGCAGGACGTGGCGCGGCGCGTCCTTGTGCGCCAGGATCTGGCGCTGCCGCTCCGCGCCCAAGCCCGCGAGGGCCGCCGTCTCCTCTGCATCAAGTTCGACGTCGCGCGCGAGGGCGCCAATGCGCCGCGCCTCGGCGCTCGCCGCCGGCCGCTTCTCCCGCTTCTTCTTCGCGGGTACGGCGGCCCAGCCGTCCTCCGCGGGCGCCTCCGCGGGCGCCTCGACGATCGGAGGCGGCGGCAGCTCCCTGGAAGCAACCTCGGGCTCGGGCGAGCGCGCGTCGAAGAACCGCTCGCCGTCCGACGACGACGACGACGACGAGGACTCGTCGTCGCTGTCGGCCGGCGGCGCCGCGCCTCGCTCGGGGATCTCGGGCGCCGCCGCGCGCGCCGCCGCCGCCCGCAGCGCGGCGGCCTTCTTTCGCTCCTTCTGGCGCTTCTTCTTCGCGGCCTTGGCGCCGAGCTTCTTCTCCTTCGGCTGCGCGGCGTCGCCGCGCGGCGTCGACGCGGGCGTGCCGTAGACGGTCGCCGGCGTCGTCGGCGTCGCCTCGTCGTCGCTCCACGACGTCGACGGCGCGGCGGGCTTCGGCGCCTTGGGCGGCGAGGGCCGCGCGTCGCGCAGTCTCGGCGCGACGCGGAACCGCGCCAGCAGGGCGCGGAGGCCCGCCGGCGGGTCCCGCACGATCAGATTCGAATACACGGCGCCGGGCTCGTACTTCCTCAATAAGAGTTTGCGCTGGGCCCCCGCCCGCTTCGAAGCCCGGTCGCCCCGCAGCTTCGCCGCGAGGTCGCGAAGCATCTGGCCGGACACGTAGGCGTCGCTTTCGCCCTTGGACTCCGCCCGGTCCGCGAGAGCTTCGCAATGCCGCCTAAAGTCTTTGGCCTCGTCCGGCCGCACGAGGTCCCACAGCAGCAGCAGATCGGAGATGGTCTCGCGCAGCCGCGACCGCTGCTCGAGGTCGAGGCACGACTCGTCGAGCGGCGCCTCCAGTAGATCGAAGGGCAGGGCCAAAAGCAAGTTCAAGGAAACACGCCTCTCTGTCCGCTCGCCCAGTAGGACCGCCTGTCTTCCCCGCGTGGCGGCGGCCTGACACAACACGCTCAGACAGAACGCGGCGACGTGCGGCTGGCCGCGCGTGCGCGATTCCCGATTGGGCATCGCGAGCTGCCGCCGCACGTTCTCGACGACTTCCAGCGCCTTGCGGGCCACGGTCGTTTCGTCGCCGTCGCCCTGGATGCTCGCCTGTAATTTCTGCAGCTCCGGCACCCGCCGGAGCGTGAGGAACGAGGCCACCCCCAACCGGCTCGCGAAAATCTCGGCTTGTTTCCGCGCAGCGCCGTCGACGCCCAGCACACACGTAAAGATCGGCGCGTTGGCCGCCCTGAAGTAGCTTTCGATTTCCATGACGCAGTCGATGGCGCGCGCCGCGTCGGCGCGGTCGAGCCGGCCCGCCGCCTCGAACAGACCCAGCGCGTGCAGAAATTCCAGACACGTGTGCGCGGTCGCGAGAGTTTGACCCGCGTTAATATCGTCCTTGCGCGCCTTGTAGAGGCGGCTGCGCACCTCGAGCGCGCGCCAGGTTGATTTGGGGGCGTACAGCTCCTCGCCGGCCTCGAGGCGCCGCATGCACGCCGCCGCCATCGCGGCCACCGCGAGGTAGGACCCGTTTTCTGGGTGGTCTTGGAACAGGTTGCCGGAAGTCTCTACGACGAGGCGCTCCGGGTGAGCCACCTCGAGCTCATCGCCTGGGACCATCTGAGCGGCCGGCGCGCCGTCGACGGCGACGGCGACGTCGTCCATGTCCATGCTTTCTATCGCTTGCTGGACAACGGCGTCGCGGAGCTGCGGGGACATCATGCCGTGCAGCACAAGGGGCGCGGAGACGGTCCGCAGCGCCCACTCGGCCCACATGCGCGGCGTCCGCGGCACCGGCCACTCGCGCACGGCGATGGCCTCGATGCGGCCGCCCGCCCACGCGATGTCGACGATCGTCGTCTTCAAGCCTCGCCGCGCGAGCTGGTCGTCCGCGCGGCGCACGAGCACGAGCGGCGGTATCCGCGCGCCTTGGAGGGCTTCGGCGGCCGGGACCGTGGGGTCGAGGTCAATCGAGATCCCGCACCAGGGCGCTTTGGCCTCCACGAGCTGGTGGGAGACCTCGGTGATGGCAACGTCGTCGTTGACGAGCGCCAGGCTCGCGCTCACGCCGCGCGCCCACTCCTCTCGGGGGCATTCGCACACCGCGGCTGCGGCGTCGCCGAGTGATCGGTCCCCCAACCGATGGATGTTCAAAGCGCGCGACCCGACGTAGCCGCGTGCGTCGCCGACCACGAGGACCATGTCCGCTCGGGCGCCGCCGCCGGCCATGGCAATCAGCATTACAGTGGCGTCGGGGGTCTCTCCGGGCGTGAGTAGGGTGTCCCCCGCGGTGAGCCGCTTTCCCACGTCGGGTCGGTGGAACTGGGCGTCGGGGAGGCGCAGGCCCTGGAGGATGTCCGGCAGGCCCAGATCGGTCTGAGTCTGCTGCCGGTTCCGGTTGATCAGCACCTCCTGCACCAGCTTTAGCACCGGCTTGCTCTGGAGCTCCTCACGAAGTATGTTCACTCTGAACGCGTGCTGGGCGACCCCCTCCTGGTCGGCCACCTGAAAGAGGACGCCGACCTCGCCCGGCTCGGCCGGCTTGCCCGGCGAGTCCGGCTTGTCCGGCGGCGGCATCGGTTTCGCGTGTCAGTTTCGTGCAGCGCGGCGTATAGAGTGATCTCTAATCGTTCGTGCCGCGCCTTGCGCTGGCTGCTACAGCGATTGCAGCCCTCTTTGTGGTGCGCAGTGCTCGCAGCGTTGGCGGCCCAACGGCTCGCCTGATGCAGCGCAGTGAGTGCAGTAGTGCGTAACCGCTCGTAATAAGCGCACGCAGACGGCGCTCGCAGGCTTGCTTAGCTGAAAAGAGAGGCGGGCGAGTTAGGCTAGCGACCAGTAAGACACTAGCCGGCGCTTTTTCTCCGCGCGGGCCAAACTCTGCGGTTTGGAGCAGAGCAGCTCTCGACCCAAAGGACTGCACCTCTAATCACGCGCGTCCATCCTTGCCAGCGCGCAGCGCAGCGCGCATCGCATTTGTGGTGCTCCCAGCACAGCTCTCTCAGTCCGGTCACTCCAGTGATCGCGCAGCGGAGCAGCCATGGCAAAAGACTTCGGCGAGCTCGCCCTCGTTTTAGGAGATGCGCACGTGCCCGGCCGCGCGCCGAAAATTCCCGCGAAACTGAAACGCATGCTCGTGCCGAACAAGATGCAGCACGTTTTGTGTACGGGCAACATGGGGTCGCGCGAGCTCTATGATGAGTTAAGGGCGCTGGCGCCGACGCAACATTTTGTGTGTGGAGATGACGACGATGATGCGGACTTCCCGGAGGAGACGATTACACAGATAGGTGATGTGAAAGTAGGCGTCGTCCACGGCCACGACGTCCAGCCCTGGGGCGACGCGAAGGCGCTGGAAGCGCGGAGGAGGCGGTTGGACGTCGACGTATTGATCTCGGGCCACACGCATCGAGCCGAAGTGCGGGAGGAGGGCGATTACTTATACCTCAACCCCGGGACGATCACGGGCGCTTATGCACCTGCTTCTCCAGACATCGTGCCGTCCTTCATCCTGCTGGCGGTCCAGGGGCCGAAGGTCGTCGTCTACCTCTACGAGCTGCATGGCGACTCGGTCGATGTCTCAAAGTCCGAGTTCACGGCGCAGCCTAAGTAGTATACACACACAACACGTTAGTCGCAGGACCCTACAAGATCCCGTTGCAGCACGTCTGGTAGCCGTCGTAGGCCCGCGTGCGCCAGTGCATCGACGCCTCCCGAATTAACGAGTTCATGAACGCCCGGCACTGTCTCTCGGATAACTCCGGCCGGAACCTTCGCTTCAGGCCGTCCAACGCTTCGCGCGCCCTCCCATCGAAGCAGGGCAGGTGGTCGCACCCCGCGGCCGCCATTTCGGCCAGCAACAACAGTTTGTCCGAATTCCTTCGCAGACAGACGAAGGTTCTATGACATAAATCCCGGAACAGCGGCAACAAATCGTGCCCTAAGACCTCGAGAAAGTCGCGCGTGAGCTTGAAGGGCGCCGCTTCGAAACCCATGTTTCCTCCTGGCGACGAGGCTAACAAATAACCATAGTCCACATGGGCCACGGCGCCCGACGCATGTAGCAAGATGTTGCCGTTGTGCCTATCTTTGAGCTGCAGTAAGTAGGACACGACACAAGCTGGAGCCAAGGACTCGACGAAGACCTTCCGGGCTTTTTGCAATGCTTTTTGCGTCGTAAACCGCCTCCGGAATAAATCCAATAAACCGCTATATGCCAGATCATGCTTCCGCAACGCATCCAACGACACCGTATCCGGCAGGGCCTCGATCAAGCCGCTGTCGGGCCCCGTCGCGACGACGTCGTAGGCCGGCAAGCGCACGGGCACCTTTTCGTTGTCCAGCGTCAGCGCGCAGGCTTTTATGAGTTGCGAGGCGAACTGCTCCTGGCGCAGGTCGTCCCTAGCTTTCACGATGATGGGCACCAAGGCGTGGTTCCGCGCGTGGAGTAATCGAGAGCGCGTCTCGCTCCAGCGCTCCCGAAACACGACGGGAGGCTTCTGGGGCGGCAGCTCCGCCGCGACGCGCGGCGCGAGGGGCTCGCCATGTTGTATGGGAGAGGGCGGCCGTCTGGGCGGCGGCGACGAGGGGCCGAACGTCCCGAAGAAGTCCTCGGGCGGTGCCTTCCATTGCCCGAGGGCTTCGTCCTCGCGCAGCGCGTTCTTTATCAATTCCGCGGGGGAATGGGAATTGAACGCCGGGGAAGGGCTTCGTTCCGACGGAGGAGCTTCGCTGACGACCTCCACCACACATAAGTAGGGGCACCGGTCTCTGGTCGAAAACGCCCTCGCCTCCCCGAAGTGGACGCGCACGACTCTCCTCGAGAAGCCCCCCACGGCCAGCTCCGCGTCGCTCAGATCGCCGCTCGTGACGCGATGGTCGAGACTCCTCAAGTTACTTTCAAGGAAGGCCTGGCGCTCGTCTCGATCGACGTCGCATAACTCTGAACTGATTGTTGTGAGCGCGTCCGCGAGCGTCAGCGTCCGAGCAAAGGCCTGGGTGGCTTGGGCCACGTCCGCACTTAAAGCGGCGACGGCCGCCTCGCCCGCTGCCGTCAGGTTCAGGCCCGGCGACAGATCTGACGAATCCGCGAAGGCCCTCAAATAAAACGCGACGCGATGCGCAAAGGCTAAATCAGACGCGCACAGGTCGAGTAACAAGTCGCGCATCCTGTCGCCGTCCCGGTAGGCGCCGAACAAGACAAAAGTACTGAGCTGGAGCGCGTAGAACAGCAACGCGGTTCGATCGTTCATGAGGGCCGTTCTTAATTGATCGACGACGTCCTCGTGGGCGAACAACCTTAGTAGTAGTGAGAAAGCGTCGTCTTGGGTCGGCGACGGCGCCCTTTGGTTCACGCTCATGATCGTGTCCAGTTGGGACCGCCAGTAGTTCTTGACGGACTCAGAGCGCGCCAAAAACCGCTGCGCCAGGTCGGGCTGCGCCTCGACGTCGATCAAGGACGTCGCTTCGCCGTGCGTCGAGAGCATTCTTCTCAATGCATCTTGCGTCGCCTGGAGGGTTTCCGAGGCCATGAGGAAGATGTCGCGTTCGACGGGCGGCCGCGTCTGCAGGAACGACCAGCTGTACCGGTAGAACGTCGCGGCGATCAAACCGAGCACGACGAGCACGAAACGGTGGAGCTGGATGGCCGGCGTCGCTGCTGATGTCTTCGCGAGCGCGGCGAGGACGGCTATCACTAAACAGGCCAGCGCGTGCGCGGCGTAGCACCGTTCGAGCGTCGCTCTTCGCAACTCGGCGCCGCGTCTGGACGCGGCGAGCCAGGCGTGGAACAGTCCTCGAAGCCCGGCCAAGCACGCGACCGCCACGAATAAAGGTCGGGCCTCCGGCCGCCGTTCCGGATTGCGGAACGCGACGCGGGCGTCGCCGAACCACTGCGGCCGCACGCAGTAGAGCGTTATCGACGCCGCGTCGACGGTGAGCGCGGTGACGGCGGCGACGGAGCCCCAGCGCGGGCGGCCGAGGCGCGAGTACATCGTTCTTTTTTGCGTTTTTTTAGCTACAGCGCTGCTTTTTTTGCAGTCTTACTACGCACTACGCGTCTTGATGCGACACAAGCTGCGTGGCTGCGCTATGAGATCGCTGCGGTGCCCGCACCAATGCCCCTTAGCGCTGTCCCGGCGGCGGATGGCAAAAATACAGATCCACCGCGGCGTTTTCAAGCCGGTTCGGCTGCACTGGAGCGCGCACGGCTGCCGATTCCCCTGTCGGCTTGATTTGCTAGTGTCTTACCGCTAGCGCAAAACGGCTCCAAACGTGCCAGCGCTAGAGCTATGCCTGGCTGCCTCCGCGTGGTACATTGAAGGGAGGGCAGCCCCACGACGCGCCATGCGCGGCCCCACGGTTTACCTCCTCCTGGCCACCGTAAGATCAGAGGACTGGGTCCAAAAAACCACTGACAATATAGAACGAGCCTGGCCCTCGGCCCTCGACCGGAGACTTAGTACAGGAGGCGCCTGCGACGCCGACGCCGCCCTCACGACCTTCCAGAAGTGCCTGAAGGCGCAGTGCCCGACGATCATCGACAGTAAAGCGGCGACGCTTTACGTGTTTCCAGCACAAAATGACACCGCGACCACCTGCCAAGAAGCGAGAGAACTCCCTGCTTTCAGAGACGCCTGCTGCGCGTCGCAGCTCATCGAGTACGCCTGCGGGCACCACCGATCTTATGTGGGGGAGGGCGCGAAGGGCTACCAGCAGGCCAAGGCCATGGCCATCCAGCAAAGGAACTCGCTGAAGTGGGTCGAGGGGGAAGATTATGACGATAGTGGCTGTCGGGACGCGTGGCGGGCCGTCGTGGAATGTGTCTGGCACAACGGTGTAACGAATAAGGGCCTCGACTGCGACATGACGTGCCCCGAGCCGAGGACGCCCGCGCCATCCATGGCGCCGTCTTCCACAAACCAAATCTACCCCACGAAGATGCCCACGATGCCCGAAAGTCACCTGGAAAAGTGCCCCTGCTCCAGCGACTGGGGCTGGGACCGCAAATCCCTCGGGAACGGCTGGGCCGACGGCAGCGGCAAGCCTGGTAGTCATGAGGGCGGCGCCGACCCGAACGACCCGGACCACTGGCGCTGCCGCCACGCGCTCGGCGGCGGGCCGGGCGGTTCTGGGAGGCGCGGCGGGCCGCGGCCCAAATCCGAGGGCCAGGAGGGCACGAAGAAGGCCAAGGGCCGCTACAACGGCCACCGGGGCGAGTGCGGGCCGCGCCTGCCCGACGAGGGCCGGGCCGCCGGCGGGCCGCGGTCCGCGAACGCGGACCTGTACCCGCCGTGCGCCGTGAATGCCGCGCTCCCGTCCGCGCCGGGGGTCGCGCTGCTCCTGTTCGCGGCGTTCGTCGCGTAAGATTGCTTGTGTACTCGTGGGTTCGCGTCGGTGGATCTGTCGTCAACTGGTGTTCGATGTTACGGTGCTAGGACTAGTGTCGTCAACTGGTGTCGCCTGGCTCAGCGGTTTATGCGCGGGCTTCGTGCCCGGACTCTTAGAGGTCTGTTCCTAGTAAATCCATCCCCAAGGTGCTCCCAAAACCGAGTAACAACTACGTTATTTTTCGCGCTAGTATCTTACAGACCGCTAGCGCTTTATATTTGAGCTGCAGCCGCAGGTGAAACGCGGGAGTTGAGGCGTGCGCGGCACCAAAGTGGTGCTTAGAGTAACCAACTTCTTGCTACCGAAGCCCTCCTCGCAGCGGAGGCAGAGCTCTGCGCGTGACCAGCCGCAAAGCCATCCTTTGGTACCTAGTCCCACGGTAGCAATCACTGGCGCAGACGCTTGCCGCCGCCCGCTCGCCACGATTCGATACCACAAGACCAGTGCAGCAAAACTACTGCACCGCGGCCGCGGCGCGCGAGCTCGCCACGATTCGCCGCTGCGAGCCGTGCGGCTGCACCATGGGCGCATGCCTAGGGAAAAAGGAGAAGCCCGAGGTGCACCGGTCGCTCCGCACCCAACATAAGTCCGCGAAACAGAACATGATGCGGCAAAGAGACACTGATATCGCCCAATTCTACGACATCGACGCGACCATTGGAAGAGGTAGTATAGGCACGGTCGCGCGAGCGAAACACAAGGAGTCGAGCAAATGGTACGCCGTGAAAACATTACAGACCTCCAAAATGTCGAAAGACGCCCTGGAGGAGATGATGAACGAGATAGCCATTATGATGGGCCTCGATCATCCTAATATAGTGAGACCTCTGGAATTGTTTCAGAAGAAGCGGGAGATCTATTTTATCATACCTTATTGTAGCGGCGGCGATCTCTACAAAAGAGCACCTTATACCGAACATCACGCTTCTAGATACATCGCCCAGGTCTGCGACGCCGTGGCGTACATGCACAAGTTTGGGGTCGTGCATCGTGATCTGAAGTTCGAGAACGTGCTCTTCCAGTCGAAGGCTCCTGAATCGGAAGTGGTTGTCATAGATTTTGGCTTGGCCAAAGCGAAGGTCGCACGAGACAAGCGCTTGCACGACTTTGTGGGTACGCTGTACAGTATGGCGCCGGAAGTCCTGCGAGGTAGCTATGATGCCAAATGTGACGTCTGGAGCATTGGAGTGATATCGTACATGATGCTGGCCTCGGCCATGCCCTTCACGCGCTTTGATGATGAGGAATTACTACTAAGAGATCTCGAGGCGGAACGGTATGATATGCGAAGGCGGTGCATCCGGAAACGTAGTGAGGACGCGCGCGACTTCGTGCGATCATTGCTGAAGGCGAAGGTGAAGGAACGGCCGACCATGGCTGCGGTGCTGAAGCTGCCTTGGATCAAAGGTAAAAATCGGGACCACGAGCCTAGTCCTAACTCTGAACGGGCTTCTTTTTCAGAAACTTTATCGGAGCAGGATCTCGCTGGGAGTTTAAGGGAGTACTCGGCCACGTCCGCTATTAGGAGGGTGGGCCTCATGGTCATCGCCCATAGAACGGAGGCCGATTCGGTAAGGACACTGAGAAAAGCTTTCAGAGCGATAGACACGGGCGGCGAGGGCTACATCACGTTTCAGGAATTGGAGGATGTCCTGGCGAAGAACGGCCACTCGTCCGAAGAAATAAAAGACATCTTTAACGCGGTCGACCACGCGAACGACCAGCGCATCTCGTACACGGAGTTTCTCGCGGCGATGCTCGACGGCCAGTCGCATCTCCAGGAGGACGCGTTGCTCGACGCCTTCGACCGCATCGATAGTGATGATTCTGGATTTATTTCATTTGAAAATCTGAGAGATTTGCTGGGGAGGCAGTTCTCGCCCCAACTCGTGCAGCAGATGATCGCCGACGCGGACTTTAAAGAGAACGGCGTGATTGATTATGAGGAGTTCAAGCAGATGATGCTTGGTTCAAGGCCGGCGCGGAGATTGGCTGACGAGGCGGCGAGCGAGTAACGTATACTAGTGTTATTTCTACTAGCTATGATTGACGCGTCGGCTGCGCGTATGGCCAGTCCTTCTACCAAGACTCGGAGTGAATTGACCAGACAAGTATCTTACATCAACGCACAAACCCCCTCCTCGCGCGGGGCATTATTTGACATTCCGCTCGACGCCCGCCGCCGCGGCGCCGCGGCAGCGCCCATCATTCCCCTGAGGCATTGAATCCACGCGTCGCGTTCTGAAGCCGACGCCGCCTGGAGCATCCACTCTTCCCCGTGTTTGGCGCCCGGCGTGCGGACTCGAAAGGCGTAGGGCGCCGTGGGTCGGGACGTGAAGTCGTCGCAGTCACTGAAGGAGCCATCATCCAGACTTTCGCAAATTGTAATGCGCGAACACTCGATGTAGCCGCGGCACCGCTTCTCGTTGTACTCGCGGAAGTAGTACAGCCTGCCTTCATCGGGCCAGGCCTCGCACCACCGCGTCTTCCAGGCGGGGTTCATGCGACCGCGCTTCCGGAGGTAGCCCGTTTTGGAGACGCGTCTCGTCGCCGGCGCGTCCGCGGCGTCGTCCGAAAAAGCTGCCGCGACGTCGCCCAGGCAGCCGAAGGCCTGGGCGTCACCAGTGCTATCCGCCGACGCGGACGACTGGAGGTGCGACGAGTCCCAGACGGCGGGCGCTTCAGGCGTCTTTTCAGACGTCGTGACGCGGGGCAGTTGTGGCGGCGGCGGGGGCGCCGCGTCGTCGCCGCGGCCGAGGTCCGAGAAGCATCGCGCCGCGGCGTCTTCGCCGAGGTCCGAGAAGGCCCCCGTGGACGGGCGCCCGGCGGGCGCCGGCGCCGGCGCGGCGGCCGGCTCCGAAGACGGCGCGGGCGGCGCCGCCGCTCCAAAGCTCAGGCGCCCGCGCGGTTCCTCCGCGGCAGCGTCGTCAGCACGAGGCGCCGTGACGGCCGCTTTCGCCGCCCGCGGCGCGGGCTTCGGCAGGAATCGATACGGGTCCGCATCCGCATTAACGCTCTCGGGAACGATTAATTGATTCGTGCCGCGGAATCGACTCTCGCGCCGGCGCTGACTGCCCGACCCTTCGTACACGGCCGCCGGGCCTTTTTCAGCCGAGCGCCGCCGCGACAGCGTGGCTGGGGTCTTCAGAGGTGTGTGGTTCTCTTTTACAGAGCTCTTCTCCGCCATTGATCTCGAAACTCTGCGAGCGCAGCACCAGCGTTCAAGACGCACTGTAGCGCGAGACAGCGTCGTTGTTCTCGCCACCGTTTAGCACAGGTGGACTCGTGTGCTGAAAATTCTAGCTAACCAGCTAGCGTCCTGTAAGGCACTAGCAAACCAGCAGGGATGCGAAAGCGTACGCAAGAGACCCCCGAACAGCTCAATCGCGCCGCGAACTCATCCAAGGGGCGCTAGTGGACCGCCACTAATGCTCGCAATTCCTTTCAGTTGTGCCGCCCTGCACTCAAAACTGGCGCGTCGCAGCCCGACAAACGGCAGCCACAACACACAAAGCAGCTGCCAATCGCGGCTGCCCCGTATACATAACAAGAGGCATAACGATGAACGCCCACCTCCCCGCCCATCTGGACTCCATGAAGGCGCCGCCGCAACGCGACGCCGTCCACGCCGCATTTTTAAGAGCGTCGCAGGACGGCAAGGCCCTCACGGCGGAGTCGGAGTGGCGGCGCTTTCTGGGGGAGCTCACTTCATTGAAAGTGTGCTCGTCGAGCAAGGAGCGCCGCGTCCTGGAAGAGGCGTGGGCTACTTGTGAAACCCCTACAGCGAAGAGAATGACCTGGACCGACTTCCGGAACCACGTCGTGGCGCAGTTCCTGGATGCGGACGACCAGTCGGAGCAGGCGCGCGACGCTGTCAGACGTGTGAGAGCCGCGGCCAAGCAGCTGCAAGCGCTGTCCCTGGTCGACGATGCGCCTCTCAAAAGGTGTCGTGAATTACTTGAGAGATGTAGAGACGCCGACGAGGCCCTGGAGGCCGGCGAAGCTTTGGTCGAAGCGTCGCTCAAAGCAAACGCCAAGGAACTCGAAGCGTGGACAGCAAAGGCCATGACGACGAACGACGACTCGGACGACGATGAAGAGTTAATAAGACCGGCGAACCCCGTGCAGTGGCAGCTCACGAACTCTCTACAGGTCGAGAAGGCGGCGGGAAAGAATCGAGTCACGTCAAGGGACCAGATCAAGTTTCCGCGCGGCGGTGGTCGGGTCGAGGATCTGTGGGGGTTGAGCGGTGGCTACGACGGGAGTTGCGTGGAAGTTCGGAGGGCTCGGGTTCTCTGCGCGGACGGGGAACAAAGGGACGCGTACGTGGTGGCCATGGTGCCTCCTAGGAGAGGTGCTCGCGTCGATCCAAGGACGGCGGCGGAAGCTCGAAAAGCCTGCTGGCGCACGTACGCCGCGCATCGAGAACTATCAACTTCAAACGGTCTGTGCAAGGCCTACGGCTGGTTGGAAGAACAACCCGTACCGCAGGGTCAACGGCGTATGAATAATGATGACGAGGACGCGCCGCCTGGAAATGGCCCGTGGTTCGTCTACGAGCGACCGAAGGGCTGTGCGTCGATCGTGAGCATGTTGGCCAAGGTCGAGGCGCGGAAACGACGACCGCCACCGCTGTCCGCGGCGTCGCCGCTCGTGCGGCATTGGTTACGGGAGGCCCTGAGCGCCCTGGCCGACATCGATCGGTGCGCGACGTATTCACTCAGGGAACCGTTCCCGGGCGCGAAGCCCCTCGAGGCGAAGAATTTCTACGTGGGCGACCACGGCGCTTGTTTAAAGATGGGCTCGATCCCTTGGTCGGAATCATGGGACGCGCCGCTGAAGGTTTCCACTGTTGAAAATCGGTCGAGGATGTTGGTATCGGCCTTCGGGGAAGTAGCTTCAGCGATACTAGGGACGTTGTGCGAGGATCGAAGAACGGCTGATACATTTAAAAAGATGGGTGGCGCGGACAAGCCGCCGAAAAAAGTGTATGTGGAGGACGACGCCGTGGCCGGCGTCTACGCCTCGCCCGGCGAAAGATTCGACATCCTCCTGGATCCGCCGAAACGGGGCGTAGCGCATCGATGGCGCGCCCCTGACCTAGGAAGTATGCACGCGGAAGAAGTTCTAGATTTCTGCGACGACTTGGAGCCCGGGACCGCGATGCCCATGGACGGTCCAAGTGGTAGAGTGCGCATCAAGTGTACCGCTTTAAGGCCGGGGGCCTGCGTTTTGCAGTTGGTCGCTCTGTCGCCGGGCGACGGCCATCGGAGTGATAGCCTGACCGTACCGATCTTCGTCGCGGAGGAAGGCCTACCTCCGGACCTGTCCTCGATCCTAGCGAGATGTAGAGACGGCGCGCGGCCCGTGCCCGGGTCCAAAGCGACGACGCCGCGCGCGTTACTCGCGCACCCGTTCTTCCTGCCTTTGGATGCCGAGGAGCTCGCGGCCGCGATGGACTCGTACTCGCGGTTGTTTCTGAGTGGTGGGGATGAAGAATACGATGAGACGCTCCCGTACCCGGAGAAGCCCGGCCGTAGGAGTGGACGGCGCCTGGACGACGCCGAGGAGTAAAAATATAATTACATATCCTGGAAGTCGTCGAACGAGTCCGCCCTGAGCAGTCGGTGGAACTGGTCCGCGTGGATCGCCGCGAGGTGCTCCTCGGCGCCGAGACCGGCCACGTTGACGGAGTCCTGGCCGTCGGGGAAGATCTTCTCGTCCTTGCGCGTTTTGGGCTGGCTCTTGCGCCGCGCGTGCGCCGGACTCTTCGCGAGCCGCGCTGCGCGGCGCTTGTAGTGCTCCCGCTTGTCGCGCTCGGCCGACGTGAGCGACGCGACGAGCTGCTTGTGCTCGGCCTCGGCGATTTTATGGGCGGCCTCGGCGTTCTGCTTCGAGATGCGGTAGACGCTCGAGTCGAGGTCGTTCGCCGACGCCGCGACGAAGGAGTACTCGTCGCCGCAGCGCGCCGGCGACGCCTCGCAGGCGCTCTGGAGCGACGGGTTCGACGGGTCCCAGTCCTCATCCACCACACTCGACGCCGCGCGGTGCAGCTCGAAGATGCGGTTGTTGTAGCGCCGGATGCGGTCGTCGCCTGTGGAAATGAACCAGTGTGTCGGATGCGCCGTAAATTTGATTTCCACACAGGTCGTCGCGGGCCTTGCGATTACCGAGAATCGCCTGCTCTGAAAAAAAAAGCTGAGTCGGCCACCACTGCGGCTACGCGTTCGCTTCCGTCGCTTAGGAGTCGAAACGCAATCTATTTCTCCGTCCCACTCAAAATCGCTCGGCCGGTTGTGACGTTTTGCGTGTGTGGCTGGAACTATTTACAAAAACCCGGCGCTGTCTAGGAAACAAAATACACAGCAATTACAACTATACGACGCCGCCGCCGCGAACAAACACCGTCGCCGCGTCGAACCCCACTCTTGAATCGCCGCGGACGCCGGCCTCGACGCGGTAGGCGCCCTTCTTTGCGAAGACCGTAGAAGGCACAGAGAGCGCCACGGACACCGTCGCGTTCACACCAACATGGACGCGGTCGAACGCCACGAGATTTTTGAGCGCCACGCCGTCGGCGCCCGCGTTTGGTGGAACGAGGAACAGCAAAACGACGTCGTCGCTGGCCATGCTACCAGTATTCGTCACGTCCACCACGAACGAAGTCGCGCCCACGACGCGCAAGGCATAGCGGAACGTCGTATAAGACAGCCCGAAGCCGAAGGGCACGACAGCTTTACCTTCGTAGAACCGGTACGTGCGGCCCGGGTTCACGCCTCGCGGACACCTTGAAACATTCTTCATGGCGCAGTCGGGCCGCGCGAAGACCGAGGGCCCCGGCCGCATGTTGAAATCGGCGATGGAGATGGCATCCTCGTAGGCCGCGGGGTAGACCGTCTGGACGGCTCGGCCCGCGAAGGACCGCCGTCCGTACAGCAGATCACTAAAGCCGACGACGGCGACGGACGGCTGGCCGAGGTGCGCGATGGCGCCAACTTTGTCATTGGCCTTCAGCGCGGTTATATCGAGCGGCGTCGCCGTGAGGAGCACGACGGTGATCGGCTTTCTGGCCGCGGCGGCGACCTCCTCGACCAATCGCAGCTGGTCCGCCGGCAATCTGATCGATGGCGCGTCCCTGCCCTCGCGGGCGTAGTTTAAATCAGTGCCGAGCGCCAGGACGACGGCGTCGACCGTAGATGCGGCCGCAACCGCGCGGTCGAGGTCCTGCTCGTAGACGACGTCGACGCGGCCCGCTTCGCGCACGGCGTCCACGAGGCCAGGGTAAGCGCCGCCACAAACATCACGAGGCCCGTAGTAGCTCGCCAGGACTTGGGAAATATTCGCCGTTGGGCCGCTCACGAGCAGCGTCTCCACCCTTCGAAGGGGCAAGGCACCGTCGTTCTTGTACAGCGTTGCGGACTGCGCGACGCCTTCATAACTTGTCTGCACGTGCGCCTTCGAGCAAACAACACTTTCGGGTATCATATCTAAGGGTCCCCGCGGCTTCTTATTATCAAAACTCAGGTCGAAGTGGCCGAGCCTTAATCTAACCTTAAAGAGGTTGACGAGCCGCTCATCAATTAAAGCCTCGTCAACCAGGCCCTCGGCGAGCGCCTTCGAAGCATGACGAGTAACGAATTCCCCACAATCGACGTCTGTTCCTGCCGTCAGGACGTCGCGGACCTGTGTGGAAATCAAATTTCGGGCGCCCCACGCCATCGACGCGACATGCCTCCGTAGCTGCGTCTGGGCGATGGCGTGGCGATTCCACGCCATCGACGCGAAGTTGTCCTCGTGATCGCGTCGGCTCGATGGCGTGGAGGCTCACGAAGGTCCACTAACCTAACTCACTGGTTGATTTCCACACAGTCGCAGACGGCCTCGGCGCGCGTCGCCGCGTACTTGTGCGTGTTGTAGACGTTGCGGTCCGCGTCGCAGTCTGATGTGACGTAGCCGTCGAAGCCCCAGGACTTCGCAGTGTCGAGCAATTCTTTGGAAGCGCACGCCGGCACACCATTAAGTGAATTGTAGGAGCACATCAACCCGGACACGCCCGCTCTAACACAAGCTTCAAAAGGCGGCAAATAAGAATCAAGCAGGTCGCGCTCAGTCACTTGCGCATTATCGTGCCGTCTATCATACTCCTCGCCGTCAAGTTGTGTGGTTTTCTCGAGCTCGTTGGCCACGAAGTGCTTGCAGCACGCCGACGCCTGGAGGAAGCCGCCCTGTTTGTTTTGTAGGCCGCTGATGAAGGATGATGCATACTCTCCGGTGAGAAAGGGGTCCTCGCCGGGCACCTCGACGTTCCTCCCCCAGCGCGGGTCGCGCGCGAGGTTGACGACGGGCGTCCACAACGTGGAATAGGCCTTGCCGGCGTTCATGAGCGCCCTCGCTTCCCGCCCGATGGCCTCTCCTGTTACTCGCCAGAGGCTCCGGTTGAAAGCCATGCCTGTGGTCACGGGATAGGCGAAGTGTGTATGGAAACCGTCCGCGCCGTGGGCGCCGTTCGCCACGCCTGACGTCGCCTCGGACCACCAGTCGTACTTTCCGAGGCCCAGCGACGGCGTCGGGCCCTGCTCCGTGCCCAGCGCGTCGATCTTTTCCGTTAGTGACATTCGGCCGACGGCGTCTCTTGAACGTTGGTCAATTGTGAGCGATGCGTTGCAGAACGGCAGCGCTGCGAACGGTGCGGAGAGGCATGGGTTGGTGAGCTTGCGGGTGTCGGCGCTGGCGGCTGCCGCCAGGAGGAATGGCAGCATTGCTTTCCGCATCGATGGCTTTGATGGTTTTCGCTGCGCTTGGGGGGTCTCAGGCGTATGGATGAATGCCTTTACGCCTCTCGGATCGCCCGGTAAACTCAGCACTGAGCAAAAGCCCCCCAGCACTGCTTATGTAGCGTCTGTAACATACTAGCCAGCACCGAGTATAACCTCTGACACTAGCGCTGAAGAGATTTCCTCGAGTAGTTTGCACAGAGTCGCCGTAGATATTGTGAGGCTCGATCGTACCGCGGTTAGGTAACCGTGTTACTCTCCTAAAAAAAGCAAGAGAGAATAATCCTCAGTGAGAGCCATCATGGGTTGCGCCGCCTCCAGGGCCGACGGCCTGGACCACGAGGAGGCCCTCCAGCACGTCATACAGATGATGCGCGAGCTCAAGGTAAAACAAATTGCAAACATCGCCGCGCGGCGCGAGGGCCGGAGGAGCCGCGAGAAGTATTATCTACACGTTCTTCCAGCGGTCGGGGAACCGTGAGCGGTACGCAGTGGTGATTCGCGGGGTGGTCTGCGGGCTAAGCTAAGTACCAACGAATTAAGTTAAACATCAGAGCTCGTCCTCGCCCTCGCCGAACCGCTCGTAGAGGCCCTCCTCGACATCCCCCAGCTCGGGCTCGACGAGCTTCACCGTGGACTTGTGCTGGTCGGGGTGCTCGTCGTCGAAAAACGCCTCGCCGTAACCGTCGTCCGCGTACAGGACGCCCTCGGGGCCCAGGCCCAACTCCTCGAAGAGTGCGTCGAGCTCGTCGCCGCTTGCGGGGTTCTCCCCAAAAATCTTCTCGAGGAGCTCGGGCGAGACCTCGCCCGGGTAGTCGGCCATGTCCTCCATATTAAACTGCTCGATGCCGTCGTAATAATCGTCGGGGCCGTCGTAGTACAACGCCTGGTCGTATTCTATATAAGACTCCGGGTCCTCGTAGTCGCCCTCTCCATCGAGGTCGAAGAGGTCCTCCTCGTCGAGGTCGTCGGCTCGTACGTAATATCGTAGCAACAAGCAGAGCAATGCGCGCCGGAGGCGCATTGTGCTGCTGCGTTCGGGAGAGCCCTTGGGTTTTGGAGGCTGCGAAGCTCTGGCACGCGTCGGCCGCGCTTGTGGCAGGCTGCAGGGATGCGTTTGGGCTGCAATGAGCCAGTGGTATTGTAAAAACACACGGCTGCAGGCGATTTGACCTTGGTCGGCTTTGAGCTCGCTAGTGTCTTACAGTACGCTAGCGTGCAGCGTCTTCAAGTAGCGCATACTCTTCACCTAGGCAACTCTGTGACCACATCGATCGTCAACGCAGCAAGCGTGGTCCTACGGAACGTGCGGCAGCACAAACACCGCATCTCAGCACGGTGCGACTGCAAAAAACACAAGTAAGAGCATGCACGCAAAAGCAGCCCTCCTCGCCGCGGCGGCAGTGGCCTTCGCGCCGCCACCAAGCCAACCAGCACCACCGCGACCGCACGCCGCATCAATCGCACTGGAAGAGGAGCCGGCGAAGCCCGTACGCGGCGTCCGCCGCGCCGCGCTCTGGATGAACGTGAGGAGCGCGCTCTGCTACGCGAACAACATCTTCCCAAAAAACGCCTACGGACGCGGCGTGTCCTTCCGGGCGAAGCGCGAGGGCTTCTGGGTGTCGCCGGCCAATCCTTGGGCGGCCAAACCAATAATAAGGGCCTGTCGCACAATCAAAAGCCAACAACCCTACTTACTCAACGACTTGCGCAAGAACGTCTGCTTCCTGCACAACCCCGATAAAAAACTAAGTCCCCAGTTCGTCATGCACTGCGACTGGTGTTCTTTACTGAACGGCATTTGCCATACCATAAAAACGAATGCAGGGACCGGCGACGAAGCCGCGCGGGTTATTGGAGTGGCTTCCGGAGATTTCGAGCGGGCCGAGGCCTACATGCGCTTCGCCATGGCCAGTCGCCACAATGAAGATGAAAATGCGTTTTTGCGGGACGCGGACGCGTACTGCGACGAGGCCTTCGGTTCCTTGGACGAAAGCCTGCGGGTCTTCTCGCGCTTCGCTTTGAGGTTAGAAAGGGTGGAATTGGTGTGGTGTCCGTTCAAGCGCTGCGCCGAGGATTACTACCGGAACGCTGATGCGAGGTATCGCCGTCATCCATCGCCCGAAGCCGAGGAGGCGCTCTATAAACGTTTAGGGGCCATGCTCGGTGATACCGTGGAATGTAGAGACTGCGCATCGGAGTTCAACGCGGAATTCCCGATGGAGGGCTCGAACGCGCGATCGATCTACCAGGGGCTCCTGGACGCGCTGTGTAACGATTAGTGTAGAGACCTTCGTGAACCTCCACGCCATCGAACCGACGCGGCCACTGGAACGACATCGCGTGGATGGCGTGCAAGTTCCACGCCATCGAGCAGATGCAGCCATAGGAACAACGTCACGTCGATGGCGTGGGGCGGTTTATAGTTAACTCACCTTAGGGCGCCGCAGCTTCACGTAGAGCGTCGCACACATCGACGCGAGCGGGCCGACGCAGCAGACTCCGACAAATTGATAGAGCAGCGACCACTCGAACCGCGTCGCTACACTCATAAACGCGACGGCGGTCACGGGTGCAACAATGATCCCGTCGTCGCCCGCGTCCCGCGTCGCTCCCAACACCTCCATGGCGCCGCAGTAGCAGGCCGCGCCCGCGTTCAGCCCCATCCCGAACGCCGTCCCCGTCGGTATTATTGATAGGTCCAATACTTTCGCAAGGAGATAGAAGGGCGGCGCCACGAAGGCGGCGAGCTGGACGAAGTGCGACCAGATGTGGACGAACGCGAAGCCCCGGTTTAATAATCGATCCGTCCAGCCGGCGCCCTGGTAGGGGGTCGCGGTCGATGACATGGCTGTTCTGATTTTGGGGGCGCGTCGACGGCGTGGCGGCGGTGCTGCCTTCGATCGATGCGCTCGTCGCGACGCGTTCGTGAGCGGCTGCGACGCACGTGCTCTCCTGAGGCACTGATGCTCTCCGAGCTGTCCGCCTCCTGGAGGCCGTGAAACGTTGCGCGGCGGCTCGTGTTGTATGCTGGTGACACAAAGAGTGCCGCGTTAATCAATAGCACCAACAATGCCTACAGCGCGTGCGCGTGAACTTGTGCGCGGGTTTTGTCTCGTTCCAAAAACGCGACTCTCTCTCGCTCGTATTCCACGGAAGGAGCCCACCCACAATACCTCATACTTACGCCTTCGGCGCCACCGCCCCGCCCTTGTCGAACATCGCCGCGCGCGCCTTCATCTTCGCCCTTCTAGCGTCCGCGTCGGCCTTGGCCGCCTTCTCCTTCTCCTCCTTGAGATTCTTGACGGCCTCGGCACCACTCGTCTTCTGGGCCTTGCGCTTCGCGGCGGCCAGGGTGAGTTCCAATTTGTTCGTCTCGGTCTCGTCGCCGGACTCGAGGATGCGCAGTTCTTGCCGCGCGGCCATGCCCTTGACGCCGCCGGCCTCGGCCTTCGCCGTGAGTTCGTCGACCTTCTTCTGGCGAGCTTTCTTCTCCGCGGCGAACGTCTCCAGGGCTTCCTCGAGCTGCGGCGACAAACCGGCAGGCATACTAAATAACTCCTCGAGCAATTTCGCGCCGACTTCCGTAATGCCCACGCCATCTAACGACAGGTCCTCCAAGGGCTCCTTCTCATGTCTCTTGTAGTATTCTCCTAAAATCATGGCCTTGTAGTGCAAGATCAGATATTCTATGAACGATATACGACCATCGGAGTTAATGTCCACGTCTTCGACCTCGTGCTTCCGCTGGATGCCGGTTCTCGTTTTCCCGTGCTTTTGCAAGAAATCCGCGGCTTGAATGTGGTTCATGTTTTGACTGGAATCGCCCGTGTTCTTGGCGTGCTTCTGGAACTCGGTGCAGAGTCGCGGCACGTCCTGCCACTGATCTCCTAACGCAAAGATAAAGCTCTTGAGGAAGAACTCGCACTGGTCGACGGGGTCCTTCTGCCCTAGCTCCGTGAACCTATCTTGTGTGGATTGGCGGCGCTGGGGCTTCGGTTTTTCCAGGAGTTGGGCCATGGTCGTCAAATGAGTAGCGCGGCGTCCCGCGGAGTTGCCTGTTATGCGCCTGGCCTAGGAATTTGGCTTTTTGGGAGGGTCGCGGCGGCTTATGCGTCGCAGCGCTGCGTCGACGGCTTTGCAGCGGTGCCCGTGCGTCCAAGCGCAGCGTGTGCTAGCACTGTGGCGCCCTGTAGCGCCGCAACAGATTTTTTTGACCCGGGGGAGCTAGCGGTGTGTAAGGCACTAGCCTTATCGGGCGGCGTCGAGCTTGCGTCGCAGGGCTGCCCCCGAGCGAGTTGACCATATACAAGATGATCCTCACGCAGTGCGCCGTCTGCGCCACGGACCTTGGCCTAACTTCGGGCAAGAAATGCGGCCGCTGCAGTACACGCTACTGTGGGCCTGAATGCCAGGTGCAGCACTGGAAAGAGGGCGGCCATGACAAGCTCTGCAAACCAATTAAAAAAGCAGGCGGAGCTGAGCAGTACAACGCAAATAATAAATACACGGAGGCCGTCGCGGAGGCCGTCGAGGCGTGCGCGGACGACACGAAGGGCCAGACGTGCTACATCTGCACGCAGGCCCTCCATTGGAAGACCAAGGAGGGCCTTGTGCGCGGGTGTTCTTGCCGCGGGACGGCGGGCGTCGTGCACGTGTCGTGCTTGGCGGAGCAGGCGAAGATTTTGGTCGCAGAGGCCGAGGAGAATAATAAAGACTCGCAGTGGCATCGGTGGCACACGTGCAGTCTATGCGAGCAACAATACCACGGTGTCGTGCGGTGCGCGCTCGGGTGGGCGTGCTGGAAGACGTACGTGGGGCGACCGGAGACAATACGTGGGCATCGGACAGGTGCGATGACAATGCTTGGGAACGGTTTATCCGCGGGAAAACACCTCGAGGACGCGTTGTCCGTGAAAAAGGCCGAGCTGTCTATTCTGCAGCGCCTTGGCGCACCGGAAGACGTCATTTTCGTCGTGCAGGGCAATATTGCGGTCACGTATGAATTGCTTGGGCGGGGCGAACTGGCTATCCGTTTAAAGCGAGACGTCTACTCTGGAAATCTGAAGCTCTTTGGCGAGGAACATTTTGACAGCCTCACATCAGCCAACAACTACGCGTCGTCCCTCGTCGAACTAGGGCACTTCAAAGAAGCCAAAGCACTGATGCGCAAAACGATACCCGTGGTTCGACGTGTTCTTGGCGAGAATCATGATCTCATTCTCACAATGCGATGGAATTACGCGGAGGCGCTCTACAAGGACGATGGCGCGACGCTCGACGATCTGCGCGAGGCCGTGACGACGCTCGATGGCACGGGACAGACAGCGCGGCGCGTGCTCGGTGGTGCGCATCCGATCACAAAGGGGATTGAGAGAGAACTGCAAATGTCTCGATCAGTGCTCCGTGCCTACGAAGATACAGCGCCAGGCGTGAGCGGTATCCGGAAGGCGGTGGAAGCGATGACGGCGGGGGATGCGTAAGAAAAGAAAAACACAAACTACGTACTAGGACATGCTCACCCCCCGCTGCTGGAACGGGTACGTGTACGTGATGAGCGTCTCGAGGGCCTTCGCGTGGCGCTCGGCGACGCCGAGCGTCGCGTTCTCCAGCTTGAGCATGCGCCCGTCGACGGCCGTGTCGGCGTCCATGCGCGCCCGAGCTTCTCTTTCTAGAGCCTCGGCGACGTCGACGACCGCGCGCTCGAGCTCGCCGGCGCGCGCGAGCGCCGCCGCCGCGGCGTCGCCCGACACCGGTGGTGGTGGTGGTGGTCGCGAGGCAGCGGGCTTCGACGAGGACGCGGGTACCGCGTTCGCGGCGCTCGCCGCGGTCCGCGCGGCGGCCGTCGCCGCGGCGACGTCACGAGTTAAATCTGCGACGGCCTGTTCCAGCCGCTCCAGCCGCTTCGCGTCGAGGCCGCTCGGAGCGGCGCCCTCCGGAGGAGGCGACGCGGTCTCCGGGGGAGGCGACGCGGTCTTAGAGGCGGCCAGCGTCGCCGCGTCGAGGCGCGCGAGCGCCGCCGCGAGCTTCGCATCAGAAAAAGCGAGGCGCTGGTCGACCTCCTCGATGCCCGGCGCCCGTTTTAATATCTCAATAGCTTCATCTAACCTCTCCAACGTCCGGCACTCGGCCTGGGTCTCGCTCAGGGCCTGTTCCAGCGGTTGTGTCGCCATCGACGCCGCGGTCTGCATCCGGCCCACCAGGTCGTCCCTCAAAGATGCGACCTCGTTTTGTACGAGTAGTTTGATCTCCGCCTCGCTCATCCCCGACCCGCCGCCTCCACCTATAGGGATGTACTGCGGCTCGCACTTGCCACGGCTGCCGCCGCGGCCGTCCATGAGGGTGAGCTTGGCGTCCAGCGCCGCCCACGTGGCGCAGAGGAGCATGCGTCGCATGATTGACGCGTGTTTGGGCAGCGCGGGCAGCGTTTACAGTGCGCTGCAGCGGCACATTTGTGAGGCGCTCTGCGGCCTGAGCCTGCACGAAAAAATTAGCGCAGGACTCTTCATCAAGCAGGAGCGCTCGATCGCGGGGAGGTGTCCGGCAGGGACGGGTTCACGGCGCTAGTGTGTGTGCGACCGCTAGCTAAATATCATGCCGCTCAAAAATCGCGCGTGCACCTCGAGAATTGGTGCCGAGTGGCCGAGTTGAGTTGCTCGGAGCCATCTTTGCGACTTCCTTTGCGCCGCGAGCAACTCGACGTGCAGAAAGCGCTGCGGGAGGGCTCAAAACGCTGTGAGGCGCCAAAAGGCCCAAGCTGACAGCACACGCGCGCGCACCCTGCACGCACGCAGATTAGGACACGCAGAAAAAAGACAATGGACGCCTTCGTCAAGAAGCGCAAGGCCCCCGACGGCGCCGACAAAGTGCGGCCGACCTTTGTGGTGTGCCCCGGAGCCGGCGGCGGCGACTGCGCCGCCTTGACCCAAGCGCTGGCGACCTTCGGCAAGACCACAACAATTGCCAATGGCAAGTGGGCGGGGAACTTCCCTTCCCAGATGGGCGCGAACGTCCAGCTGGTCGTCGATGCGGCCCGAAGAGCCGCGGCGGACGGCGCGCCAGTTATCTTGGTGGGCCACTCCTTCGGGTGTCGCGTCGTTGCGGAATTGCTGACGAGCGAGGCGGTCCCGAAGCCGTCTGGTGTGCAGAGATTGCCTTCCAACGTCATTACGAGTGGCGCGGTCCTGGAATCATTTCCGCTCTATGGCCCGTCGCCGCCCAAGCCCTCTACCGATAGGGAAGTGTCGATCCGGAACCTCCCTTCTCAGTCCAAGATTTTATTTTTGAGTGGAGCCAAGGACGAGTTCCTGGATAGGAGCAAGCAGTGGCGCTCGGGTCAACCCGTGGGCGAGGCTGCGTTGAAAGCGGTCCTTGCTACGTCTCAATGCGACCCCACGGTGGTCATGGTCGACGGCGCGAGACATGCGGCCTTCAAGGTTGCGAAAGCAAAGAGCGACACGGTCCGCCGGAGCAACATCGCCGCGATCAAGGCGCACGTCTTCGAGCGTTTGTTAACGACGGCGCGGCCCGTGACGGCGCCCGTGCCCGCTCCGAACAAACCGCCGCCTCTCGTGAAGCCTGTAGCTTTAAGGCCGCCGACGCCGCCACCTTCTTCTGAAATAGTGCCGCCGTCCACGACCGAGCGGCCCGAGCCCGAGCCGCTGAAGGTCGCTCTACCTGAAGCGGGCCTGGCCAACTTCATGGCCAAACCTGATGTGTCGAGCCCGGAGCCGAAGAAGGCGCGCCCGAACGCGGAGAACTAACGCCACACCTCATGGTGTGGACCTAACCTAAGTATATTGCCTGTTATTTGCTCCGAGTCGATAGCATGTAGCAAAAAACATACTTACATGAAGCGCCCGTCCCAGGCGCCCGGGTCCATGGCCTCCGTCAGCGCCTTGCCCGTCCGCAACCCTTCCCGAGCCCTAAATTCAAACACCCTTCCTTCCCCAAGCTTCCTGCGGTACCGCACCACACCAGAAGGGTCGGCCTCCTTCCAGCCGTACTCCGACGGGTCGTCCTTCTGCGGGCCGTCGTCGTTCTGGCGGGAGGACGGCCGCGACCGTGATGACTTTCTGGGAGGGACGCGGATCCCAGCTAGTTGTTTCCGGTCGTCTTTCTTCGCGTGTTCGAAGAGTCCGAGATGGGGTTTTGGTACTTTTTCCTTCCCATGTTTGAACGAGAGCGGGACCACGCTACAAACGTATGGTGTCGGCTTCGGTACGGGTGGCATCATAGGATTTAAACCAGCCTCTCTCAACCGCTGCTCCCGGTCGATTTGCGCATCAATTGTATCCAGGAAGAAGTCTACCACTAGGACATCCGGTGCCGGTGGTAGAAACCGGTCGCGCTCGTCACAGATCTCGCCCAATTGCGAGCAGACCTCGTCCACGAAACCCCGGACGCGTCGATGGACCGACGGCACCTCATGTACCGCGGGTAAGGATTCCAGCATCCCCAGAAAGTCCTCATATTTAGTTTCGCTGCCGTCGCATAATCGCTCGACGTCGATCATAGACAGATCAAAGCCTAATTGATCAAAGGCCACGCACAGCTCCTTGACGTTCAAGGAGTCGCGATCGCCCGCAAGTTTCTGGAAGGCGTATTGGGCTCGCATGTGCATCGGCTCTCGTACTTTACCACTATCAAACAATGCGTCGGTGCCAAAAAGTTTTACGTAAGGTACTGTATCCTCCTTCGTAAATGACCGTAAAGAACACCGTACCACTGCTCTTTTGACCCGCAAGCCCTTCAGCGACTCCACCGTTGCCTGAAATTGCTCGAACGACAACTCGCCCTCGACGAGCAAAGCCTCAATTTTCTCCGACGTAAAGTAGTGCTCCACCCGCAGATCCCCAAAAAGTAACCCTAAGGCTTCGCCGTTCAGCGTCGTGCGCCGGTCCCCGCCCTTGACACTCCATAACCTCATCAAGTACTTGTCATATACTTTTCTCAGTTTGTAGCCCTCATCTGATTCCAGTAAGTCGAGTAACTCCGAAAACTGTTCGTGGTTCACACCCTCACCACCCTTCGAGTAGTGCTCGATGGTATCAGACAAGTCTTCACTGTCAGGCACAGTAAGCTTCATGTCCACAAAGACCTGCTCCAGGCCATCGACATCCACTCGACCGCCCTCGTTGTACTTGATGAAGGCGTCCCGATGCCTCGTTGCCTTCTTCTTTGATGTTTCATTCGGTTCCGCAATTCGTATGATAGCCTCGCCCACACCCTCGTCCGGCTTGTCGAGTCGTGCGCGTTCCACAGCTCTTCTTCGGTCGAAATTCTGAAAAATAGCCAACCAGGCACCCTTGGTCTTTTCGAACACTTCCGTCAAGTCATTGACCGTGGTTTCCATTCTAGCGAGCCATTCCGGACCGTGCTGTACACTTGAGTCGTACTGCGACACCGCGCATAACGTACCTTCACTATCAATAGTAGCGACGTATCTCTGGGCAAGGTCAAGGCAGTCGACTCTTTTTTCAACGAGGAAAGGCAGGGGGAAGCACTCCCTAAGAGGCCACGCAGTCTCTTGCTGGTAGATGCGCAGACCGTCCTCGAGGGCGTGCTTCACCGTTTCCGACTTAAGGATCAATCGCAACACATCTTCAGCTTTATAATAAGATAATGCTTTGAATTGAGACTCCCTGAATAATTGTAATTGATCATTTTTCGCTTTCCGTTGTTGGAGCGTGTCCCGACCACCGCGGTTCATTTCCTTCTGCTCCTTGAGCTTCTCCCGCGCTTCCTTGCGCTTCTGCCTTGCTAGTTTCTCCTTGGCCTTGTCATCTGTGGTCTTCTCGAGGAAGCAAGTCGAGACAGGGGCGTCCCATTTGATGCCCTCGTCGTCTTCGCTTTCCGACGACGAGGGCTCCTCTAACCGCGCTAACAACGCGTCGTCGAGCAGTCTCAACGCATCGCTCTGGGCGCTGTCGTCGAGCGTCGCGCACGGTAGTAAGCTACAGCACGCGTGGTGCTTCAAAGCTTCTCTGATCGCCTGGGCCTCCCGCTCCTTCTTCTGCGCCTTCTCCCTCTCTTCCAGCGCATCCAACATGTTACAGAACTCGTCGAAGTAGACCTCGTCGCGCTCCTCGTCCTTGACCTGTGTGGAATGGACTCCGTCGCGACACGGCCGCGGCTCCCGCGCGAGACGCGTGGACTCTCTCACGGCCACATCGACGGCGTTGAGCGTCGATGCCATCGACGCGCCCCCACCAGGATTCTGCGCCGCGCCACGGACCGCATATTCAAAAATCAGGTCGTTGATCTGCTCCTGCGGTAACACGCGCTTCATGTCCCGGAAGATGACATCCAGCTCGCCCGCGTCCACGGTACCTCCTCGATCGACATCGTATCTGTTGAAGATGATCTGGTGTTCTTTTTGTTTACGTAAACGCATCTCCTCGGTGACATACGGCTCGTCCTCAGACTTCTGTGGAGGAGGCTCCTTTCTATATCTAGGTTGTGATAGTTTCCTCCCTAGGTACCGATGCGCGTTCTCCAGGGCGTCCCGCAGTTTACCGAGCTCATACAGCGCCTCGGACCGCTCATCTCGCAGTTTCCGTTTCGCCTCGTTGGCCTTCCTATGCAATGTATCTTTCTGTAGCCGACGCTTAGCTTTCTCTTCCTCGTTCTGTAAGCGTCGTTTCATGTTCTCCATCGTGCCCAGATTTGGCTCCCTTTTCAACATGAGTGGTGGTCGCTTCCAGGTTAAGGGGTGCGGATTTCTCTTCGACGTGAACGAGGCCTTCTTCTTCTTGCCTACTGGACTATGCGCTTTCTGCTCCTTCTCGACGTCTAGGTCGATGTAGTACTTGTTGTTTCCCTTGGCTCTTTGTTCAAATTTTGTTAACAGCCACCTCCTAATTTTCCTTCTACAAATAAAACCTCGTCCTAAGGATTGGAGTCTCGGTAACAACTCTCGGGCACTCGCCATCTTCTTGGCCATGAATTCGTAGGTAGCAGGCATGTCTGTCAATATCTCATCTACGAAAATATCGAGGTCTTTTGCATGAGTCCCCTGCCTTGCTGTCCTTCTCAAAGCTGCGGCGCATTCCGGCGTGAGCCAGATATAGGTCTGCGGGACGGCTTGGAGTGACTCATTCTGTTCGACGTCGTCGCGCCACAGGTCGGCGCCGTACTGTAAGAGAGTATGCGCATATTCACACGCCTTTTCTCGTCTTTCCTTGACTACTTTTTGATTCTCCTCTCTAGCTTTGCGCTCGACCTCGTCCCTACACACAGCCCACTGGTGCTGGGCGCTCCTTAAGCACACGGTGGCTGGCAGCCACGGGGACAACTGGAGGTAGGCGTCGGACTTGGGCGGCGGGGGCTTCTTGGGCGCTGCGGCTGGCTTCTTCTTCTTCTCGCCGGCGGCCATGCCTACGGCATGGGGGCTGCCCGCGCAGCGCTTGGCTGGTTGTCGGGGCGCGAGCCCGCACGCTATCGACCTGGGGCTTTGGATATCAAGGCTCCTAGTCTTGGTACTTACGGACTATGTACTTCCTTCTACTGACGGGGGCGGCGCGGCGGGCGTGCTGCGGCGTCCTCGGCCTGCTCCCGCCGGTAGGCGGCCCGGATCTTCTCTAGCTCGAGGTCCGCGGCCAGCTTCTTGATGTCCCGGCGCATCTCCGCGATGTCGCGGCCGGTGAACCACGCCTCGAAGTCGTGGTCGCGGAAGTCCAGGGAGACGTCCCGCCCGTTGACGGCGAGCGGTGCGCCTCGACACACGGCTCGCGTGAGGAACTCCTGGGCGTAGCGTAGCGCGTAGAGACCGGAGTCGGCCGAGTTCATCTGCTGCGGGACCTTGGGCCTCGCCAGCAGCAGGTCCGCCGGGTTCATGATGGCGCTGCCCGCCCGCGGCCCCGCCCAGAGCGTGAACGGCTCCTCGCCCGCGTGCCGCTTGCGCCACTCCATCTCTAGGAAACAGCGCAGCCACTTCTCGATCTTTCTCGCGCTGTGCAGCGAGGAGCCGCGCGAGTCCATATGGATAACGCAGGGCCGCGCCGGGCCATCCTCGTGGTCGGCCGAGTCTACGGTGGGGTAGATGTGGCCCGCGATGGCGCGCTTCGCCAGCTCGCCCGGGTGGCAGACGATCGCCAGGCTCCAGTGCAGGTCCTCGACGACGGGCACGAGGAGGAACTTCTTTGCGAAGACGTCGACGCCGCGCGTCCAGCGCTCCACGCGTTCGTTGCCCGCGCTAAGCATCGTGAAAAAATCCGAGGGGAATGCGTGCACGGCGGACGCCATGTTGCCGAAGTCCGGATCTTCGGCGAGCGGCGAGCGGCGGGCGTCGGCGACGATGACCTTGAGGTAGAAGTCCACGAGCTTTTCGTTGAGGTACCCGCCCGGCTCGAGGCGGCGCAGGTCGCCCCTCGTGACGACGATGCTGTCGCTGGCCGCCACGCCGGGCGGGTACTGGAAGACCAGCGTCGGGTCCGTCTCCGCGGGCCCCGCGCGCGTCGCGCGCGTCCGCCGTGCCGCCGGCGGCGACACGACGGCCAGATCGCCCGGCCGCTGCGCCTCGAGCGCCTCCAAGCGCGCCTTCAACCGCTGCGTCGCCTCGTGTTCCGCCGTCAGCCGCCGCTTGGCGTCGCGGACCTCGCCCTCCAGGTTCCGAATCCGCGCGTTCTGCGCGTCGAGCACCGGACCCAGCACGACGAAGGGACACGCTTGCTCATGGGCTGCGACTTCAAGGCGGCTCCCGACGAACGCGCAGCGCGCGCACTTGGATGGCTTGCACGGGCAGTTCGCCTCGTGAGCCTCGAGGTCGCCGAGGGCGCTCCATGCTTCACAGCCGCGCGCCGCGTATCTGCAGGGGACCGACTGCGCGTCGATGATCTGCTGGACCGCGATGTTCGGGACGAGGACCGCCGCGATGTTGCCCTCGCGGACGGTGAGGCGCGTCCCGGTGAGCGGGTCCGTTCGATTCTCCGAGAGCCACGCCGTGATGCAGCCTTTGCAGTACGTGTTCCCGAGGGGCTTCACGAAGACCGGCTCGTCGAACGGCCCGAGGCACATCGAGCAGCACAGATGCTGGCGCTTCCGGCGGCCCTCCTCGCCCTGGGCCTCAAAGGCTGCCTCCAGCCGCTGGCGCTTCGACGGGGGTGCTTCCGCTGCGTCGGCGGCGTCGGCCATCTCTGAGGCTGATCTCTATGCTGAGAGCCTTTTCAACAATTCAACAAAGCTCGTCTCCCCTTGCGCGCCGATGCTCCCACGCTTCCAGCGCGCTGCCACGGAACAGATGCGGTACCAGAGACAACCTTTTTGTCCTGTTTTGCCGGTGAATTACAAAGCGTTCCAAAGCCCGAGCTTAGCGTCCGGTAAGACACTAGGAGCTTGGTCCTAGTCCACAGCCGGACGGGTGGGCCCGGGGGGAGCGGGAGGGGTACGGGGAACCCCGCGACGTAAATAGCCTGAGCCTGAGCCGATGACTAGCCTGAGCCTGAGCCTGAATCGGCGACGCGCGGTGTCTCCCCCAAACCCACTAGTCCTAGCACCGTAACAATAGGACGCTCATCTTAGCTTAGATCCTTGGCTTGGTAGAGACCCAACCGGCGCCGACGACGAAAGCAATACAACAACACTAGAATTAGCACCCGCTCCCCCGCGCGTCCACGGCGAGCACGTCGACGACGACGCCGCCGCGGTGCAAGATCCAATGATCATGTAAATTCACGCAGGGGTCGCAGTGCGACGGGTACAGGCGCAGCTTCGCGCCCACTGCTAAATCGTCGCCCGCCTCGAGATCCAAAATGCCGTGCTCGTCGCCGCCGCTTCGGTACGGCCTGTTACCCTCCACATCTGGCGGCCCGGCGACGAGGTCAACGGCCTTCGACCCTGCGTCGACGACGCATCGATTCGGTGCTGGCCGCGAGAGGACCGTCGTCAACACTTCGAGAGCTCTCTCAAAAACAATTTCGTGCTCTATTGAACCATACTGGAGGTCCATGACACAAAACGAGCCAGGTTGGACCTCGTCGAACACACCGCTGTCCCTATCTGCGGCTAAGGTACCGGTGCCGCCGCCCGTGATTACGAATTCGGCCAGCCCCGCAGCACTCAGAGCATTTCGGACCTCGCGGACGGCGTCGGCCACATCAGCGACCGCCTCCCGTCGTTCTGCCTTCGAAGGCACGTGCTGCAATAGCCCGTGGTAGCAGTGGCAGCCCGCGAACCTCAGATTCTTTAACCGTGAGATTTGTAATGCTAAAGGCGCCGCTTCGGATGGTGAAACGCCGCAGCGGCGCTGGCCCACGTCGACCTCGACGTACGCATCTACTATCACATCGTCGTCCAGCGCGAGATTTAAATCGGTCGCCTGGGCCCAGAAGTCGTCGATCAGCACGCCAACTCGACCACTGCTTTTTTTTGCGGCCGCCGCGACGCGTTCGATTTTATCCGCACCGACGACCTCATTCGTGAGCAAGACGTCACCGACGCCCGCGTCCACAGCAGCCTCGAGCTCACTTACGGTCTGGGCGCAGACGCCCGCCGCGTGCACGTCCAGCAGCTCGAGCTGCCTTTTCGCGAGCGCTCCCGACTTATGAGCCTTCATGTGGGGTCGCGCGCGCACGCCGGTGAGGGCGACTGCTGATTTTAACGTCTCGCAGTTGCGCTCGAAGGCGTCGGCGTCGAGCAATAAAGCCGGCGTCGCGACGTCGTGCAGTTTCTGTCCGATTACCGCGGGCGGCTTCGCGAGGGCGCGCGCGCCGGTTACGAGGAGCGCTATGAGGCGCATCGCTTGTATGCTCTCTGGCAGCCTCCGGTAGCCGCTGCAGGCCGCGCACAACTATGCTCTCAGAAGGGAGATGGCTCTCCGGGCTTTTCTAGCCGTTTTGGCTGATCGGAGTTGACGTGCTTGGCTCGGTGGTGTCGGAATGTGTCCGAACCGTAGCTGCACGGCTCCAGATGCACAGCTGCGGCGAGATAGAGCTAGCTCCGCCGGAGGGCCTGCTTGCTAGTGTCTTAAGCCGCTAGCTTCGGACGCTTGAAAGCAGTCCAGCGAGGCCAGCGAGGGGTGTGGCGGCCGACGTAGCCATCTGGAGAGGCGTTCGCGGTGTAAAAATAGTCGCCATCGCCGGCAAGGCCAAGCCCATCGCCGTGCTAATTTGCCGCTAGCGCAGCGACAATTAGCCAGCCGCAGCCAGCGAAAGCACCTCATCCAAAGCAGCGATGAAGGACGTCCGGGTCACTTTCTCGCGGCGCCACGCCTACGCGACGAAGAGCAATGTGCTCAAGGTCGTCAAGACGCCGGGCGGCCGCCTCGTCGGCGCCTACCGGAGCAAGAAGCGCCAGGGCCCGAAGTGCGGCGACTGCGGCACGCCGCTGCCGGGCATCAAGCACCTCTCGTCGTTCGCCTACAAAAACACGCACAAGCGCGAGCGCACCGTCTCGCGCGCGTACGGCGGCAGCCGCTGCGCCAAGTGCGTGCGGCAACGCGTCGTCCGGGCGTTTCTCATCGAGGAGCAGAAGATCGTCAAGCAGATGATGATCGAGAAGCAGAAGAAGACGAAGTAAGCGGCCGCCGAAAGGCGGGCGCATCTCGTTAAATTTGTGTCTCTCTCTACTCGCAGTGTCTCCTCTCCCCCCTCCTCTCCTCGACGGCGTCGCGGGGAAGCGTCGCGGCGCAGTCGTCGAAGGAACTCCCCGGGGGAGCGCGGCGGAACGTCGGGCCGGCGCACGTGCCGGCGCGACTCCATCATCTGGACCTGCGCTCCCAGCGGGCAGCCCAGGACCCGCTCTCGCTGTAGTGCGACTACTGGGGCCGGGAGACATACGCGCCACCTAGACGCCGTCGACGCGACTACCAAAGACTAGTAGAGTCGAACCCTTACGCCTTCTCAAGAAACTCCTTCACGACCTTGGCGTGGTCGTAGCCAAACGTGACGCAGTCGGGGAAGGCCACGCCCGTGCGGTAGTTGCCCATCACATATAAGCCCGGCGTCTCGGCTTCGGCCTTCTCGAGCTGCTCGATGAGCGGCAGGTGCCCGAGCTCGTATTGCGGGATCGCCGTCGGCCAGAGCTTCACTCCCAAAATCTTGGGAGGCGGCGCGTCCGCATTCAGCAGCACCTGCCTGCACCCCTTGTCGACCTCGGCGACAATTTCTTCCTCCGACAGATCAGCAATCCCGACGTCTCGAGACCCGCCGATGTAGTTCAGCAGCACGTTGTAGTCCGCCGGGCACCGTCCGGGAAATAGTGAAGAGGACCACAAGGTACCTAGCGTTCTGACACCCTCGGTCCGCGGATTCAACGACCCGAACCCAGGTAGATCTCGTAAGTTGCCAAACCCATTATCCAGCTCGATATCTCTGAACGCCGACTTGGGGTAGGCGACCGTGCAGGCGCAGACGGGCGGGTAGTACACGCCTTTCCTCTTGATAGTGTCGCGTACCTCCTCGACGAGCGGCAAAGCCGCGGGCAGGACGTTCTTCAGCACGTCGCCACCCAACTTATGGGCTGGTAAAGTAGACACTAAGGAGCGACAGTCCACTATTCGTACACCGTCCGGTGTAGAAAAGGTAGCCTTGTAGCCCTTCGCCGATTTTTCAACAGACGTCAGTTCCCATTGTAGTTTCGCTTGATCACCTAATTCGACAGCGATGGCGTTCGGTAGAGTGGATAAGCCCTTCCGGAAGCTCCCCGGATTGCCATATTCGAATTCCGGCCACCGCGGGTCCGGCGGCGCGGCTTTTCTTTCCTTGGTTAATTCGACCTGGCGCGCCAAACCGCCCCAGAACAAGCCGCCGAACTTGTTCCACTCGATATTGTATGAGTATCTTTCAATACGATTGATTTTTGGTAATGCCGCAGACATAGATAACGTCTCGGGATCTCCCGCGTACACGCCGCTCACGAACGGATCAATACATCTCAAAAACACCTCTTCACCCAATGTACGCGTGACCCACTCCCGGATCGTTTCCTCTTTATCGTCGGGTGGCGGCGGGTGGCCCAAAAAAGCACCTATGGCCGCCCTTATTTTCCCGGGCCACGTCAACAAATCACCAACTAATCCAAATTTCAAAACACCGTTCGGCCCAAACACCAATTCGAGCTGGCCCTTGGGGCCCTTGCCGCCCTGGCCCTTTGGCAGAGGGTGGAGCTTCCCGTTATGGTTGACCCACGGCGGTAGCGACTCATCCGCAAAAACCAACTCGTCACTAATACCGAGTTCGTAGGCGATCCTTACGATCGACGGCTGCGTCGCGAAGGAATTAGGCCCTTCCTCCCACGTGAAGCCGTCTTCGGTGGTATGTGATTTCACGTTTCCGCCCAGGTAGTCCCGCTGTTCCGCCAGTAAACAGTCTACATTGTTCACTTTGAGGTTGTGGGCTAACGTACAGCCCGAGATGCCGCCGCCCACCACCAGACAGTCCGTCTCGATCGTCTGCGGCGGTTCGACGGGCGCGGCGTGCAGCGCCCTACTCTGGCGTACACGTAGAGGTGCCTGGAGCGCTGTCGCCAAAGCGAGGACGCATGCGGCTGCGAGCTGCCGCCGCGCGGGCATGGCTATAGCTGCTCAGCTTTGCTTGTAGTTGCTCAGGTACGTCACCGCTCGCGTTTCAGCCGATGGTGCGTCGCGGATGCAGTATGCGCACACGACTGACCACAAAAATGCAATCTCTGATGCAGCAGCGGTACAGCACACGCAATAGATCCAATGCCTCCACTGCTACATTAGCATACCCGCACGCAACGTCACTGCCAGCACGGATGTTACGGAGCGGTCGGAAAGGTCCGTTGGAACCGCAACGGGTCGCTCTCGCCTTTGAATCCGCGGGGCGAGACGGCCTGCTTGCGGCATGCCAGTGAGTCTGGCTGCTGCGCTATACTGGTGTGTACGAGCGTCTATTAATCGTCGCGCGCGCTCATACGAGCCATTTTCACACGTGCACCAACTTGCAGACAGTCGCTGCGGTGCTGCACAAGCTGCACACACTTAGCCACACTCACTGCACCTGAAAGCATGCGCCTATACGTCCTCGCAGCGGTACTGCTGCTGCAACACACGCATGCGCTCACCTTCCCCAAGTTCGAAGTGCAGAAGAAGGCGCCGCCGCCCGCGCCTGCGCCCGCGCCGTTCTCGCTCTTCGGCCCAACGATCCGCAAGGCCCAGATCGCGGACCTCGAGCCCCTCGCCGAGACACGGTTACAAGCAAGCCCGTTCGCGGCGGGCTACGCCATCGCGTCGCGAAAGGAAGCCGGCGAGAAGCTCAGCGACTTATTTTGCAGAGGTATTGAAAAGGGCGACACGGTCTGCTACCTAGCCGTGGAGAACGATGATATCATCGGGAGCTGCGACGTCACGGTGCGCAAGCGCTTGGGGAGAGGGCTGCCGAAGCATGCCTACCTCAAGAACCTATTCGTGGATGAAGCGTATAGAAGGCGAGGTATTGGTGGGAAGTTAGTAGCAGCGTGCGCGGAGGAAGCAAGGCGCTGGGACGTGTGTACGCTGGCTCTCGAGGTCGAGAACGACAATGACCAAGCAGCTAGACTGTACGAGCGCCTCGGCTTCGAAGAAAAGGCGTCGCTGGCGTCCTTCGAGAGCCTGTGGCGCTTCGAGACGTTCTTTTATGGAAGGTCGATCCTCTGGAAGGCCAACGACGGCGTCCGTTCTTCGCGGGGGGCGTGGTTCTAGGCCCTCGGTCGCGGCGACGGCGTGCCCGTGACGCCGTCGACGCGAAGACTAGTGAGGCGCCGTCGACGCTAGGGGCCGGTCGCGGCGACGGCGTGCCCGTGGAAGACTAGTGTGTAACTGTTGTTAAGTCTAGTTCTTCGGCGGCCCGTAATGTCCCAACCCGCGGCCCGGGCGGCCCCGCCCACGCCCACGGCCGCGGCCCGCCGACCGGATGGACCGCCCGCGGCCCTTGCCTCGACCCCGTCCGCCCTTGCCGCCCTTGCCCCGCTTCGCCTCGCGCGCGGCCTCCCTTTTCGCGTCGGCATCTTTCCGATACGCGTCCTCGAGCTCCGGCGCCATCACGACGACGGTCACGGCGGCGCCCTCGATCTCCACACAAGCACAAGCCTTCACGGCGCTCTCGTTATCATCAAAACGCGCGATCGCATAACCCTCGTCGTCGTTCAGGTCCACAAAACGCGGCACCGCAAACTCCGACAAAGCTTCCTTGATCTCTCCATATTGGATGGCCTGGCCCGACAAGCCATCAATGCGCACGTGGGCGCCTCGAGGTGGCGGGTCTCGCGCTTTTTTTTGAGGCGACTCCTTGTACTCGCGCGCGCCCATGGACTGCCTTCCCAAGGTCAGTGCCGACTTCGTGGAGTCTTTCGGGTAGAGCTCGTCGACGCACTTGCGGGCGGAGAAGCCCGCTCTTGAACCATCGGTCCGCTCGACAAAAAACGACTTCGTGTCCGGGTACTCTTGATTGATATCAAAACCGATCTTCGCCGCACCCGGCGCGAGTTTCTCGTTGGCCCCGGGGTGGCACGTCACCAACGCAAACAAGAAGAAGGCGTCCGCGCCCTCGGCGACGCCGCCGTCGATCTTTCGCTGGAGGGAAAGCACGTGGGCCCAGAGCTCGTCTCTATTCGCAAAGCGGCGGCCGGCTATTACTCTCACCTTCGCGGCGTCGTCGTCTTCTTCCTCTTCCGCGTCGGCTGGTGCTGGTGCTGGCGCTGGCGCCTCGCTCGCGGGTGCCGGCGCGGCGGCCGGCTCCGTGTCCGGTTCTTCCGTGCGCGCCTTCTTCGTGGCCGGTTCTTCCGTGCTATCGGCCGCTGCGTCTGTGGTGTCCATGGCACTCATCGCGCTGCGGCAAAGTTGTTGTGCTGTCCAGCGATTGATTGAATGCTTGCAAACCAGCCGCTACTAGCTGTCGTTTGCACCGGAAATAGTTCACGGGGGGTGTCAGTAATGTACGCACGTCCCCAAGTCCTCCTAGTGGCACTATTGTGATCGCTAGAGGCAAAAAACGCTACGGAGAGCTGCTTGCTAGTGTCTTTACAGGCCGCTAGGCCGAAAAAATAATTAGTGGATTGCGGGCCGAGCGCGCACGATCCGGCCGGGGCTGGCCCGGTAGTGGTTGATCCGAGCTCGGCGGTCGTCACAGTGGTGCTGCCGCTCGCACAGTGGTGCTGCCGCTCGCCCCCAGTCTGTTTCAGGGTGTGGGGGCTGCCTACTCCTCACTTGCGATCCGGGCCCCGGGGAGCGCCGTCGTCGAGGCAGGCCACGATGGCGCGGGCCGATGCACCCATCATGCAGTGGCAAGGTAATCCCCGCAACCTGCCCATAAGAGATGGCAGCATATCCCTCAACTGGAGCGCGCTCGGGAAATGGGATCCCCGCTCTAAAATCGGATTAGTATGGAAGTTCCAATTGGAGCCGCGGATGGATCTGGGGAACGGCCACACGGTCACGCTGACGGTCTCGTTCCGGTCGAGTCGGCGCGTCATCGTGCACGACGGCGTGCGGGTGGAGTACAGCGTCCGCGAGGATCGCGCGCGCAGCTATGCCTGGCGACGTGACGGCCACGACTTCGCGATCCAGGAGCTGCCGAACGGCCCGCGCGACATCTCGCGCTTCCGATTTGTTGTGGACAGCGCGTGCTCGTTTACGACGCCCGGCGGGCAGCGCGCGTTCATCGACGTCGCGCTGTCGGGCACGCGCTCCCCGACGCACGCGCAGCCAGTTTCTGCGAACGCGGCTAGCGCGCTCCCGTGCGCCGAAGCGAGAGTCGTGGACGCGGACCCGGCGAGCGGGACCCTGACGGCGGAGCGCGCCGGCGTCTACTTGACGCCGGCGGAGCGGCAGGAGCATATTTTCCAAGTCGGGGGCGTCGATGCAGACCTCGCACGGGCGCTCGCGGCGTCGGCGCGCGAATCGGCCAACGCCCGCCAGTTCGAGGCGGACACGGCCCTGGCGCGCCAGCTGTCGAGCGACGGAGAGGTGGCGTCGCCGCGGAGGCCGCGCGCCCCCGACGCGCCCCCGGCGTCGCCACTGTCGCCGCGGTCGCCGACGGCGCCCCCGCTGCCCGTGGCCTCGCCGTCGCCGCGGCCGTCCGCCACGTGGTACTGGGAGGAGGAGCCGCACCGACTGACGGCGCACAACCCCGCCCTCGTGAAGCCGCCACACTGGGTCGCGTACCCCGACGACGTCCAGGCCGTGCTGGAAGCGGCCTTTCAAGCGGGACATCCCACGTGCACCGGCGCAAATAACGTCGTGGACTTCGTGGCGCGGCAGCAAACGAATTTGCGGACCGGCGCCAAGCGGGCCGTGCTGCGGGACGACGCCGCCTTCTTCGAGCGCGACGTGCTGCGGGAGGACCGCGACGCCGCGGCGGCCTTCGCACCCCCGTCGCCGCCCGCGGTCGTCGCGCCGCCTGCGCCGGCACCTGCGCCACGGCGTCCGCCGGCACCCTCGTCGCCGCCGACCGGGCCGCCACCTCAGCGGCAGTGGGACGAGGCACGGCCGTGGGTCGCGGCGGACGAGGCGCTCGCCGACATCGCCGAGGCCGCGTCCATCGTCCATGCGTCCACGAGCGGCCAGAGCCTCGACCCGCGCGCGCTTGCTTCGGTGCCCTGGGCGCACCAAATCATCGAGCTGCGAACTTTGATCGGCGCCAAAGGCATGGAGACGCTCAGCGCCGGCCGCGAGCCCGTGCCCCGCTTCGCTGTGACGTGGGCGAAGCTCCGCACGCAACGCGCGGAGATCGACCGAGCGCTGCGCGATCGAGCTGCCGAAGCGCCGGCGGCGTCGGTCGCGCCGCCGTCGCCGCCGCGTCTCAGCCGGGCGCAGGAACTGCAACGACGCCGGGATCTGCAACGAAGCCGGGCACCGCCGTCGCCACCCGCGGAGCCGCTTCGCCTACACGCGCGCATCACCGCTTTGAGCTTTGAGGAGGCACGGCACCGGACGCAGGAAGGCGCCACCGCCGGCGTGGGTGACGACGATGATCTGACGCGGGCGCTGGCGGCGTCGCGGCGCGTCGCGGCTGCCGAGGAGCGGCACCGGGAAGATCTCACACGGGCGCTCGTGGCGTCGCGTGACGTTGCGGTTGCCGAGGAGCGGCGTCGGGCACAGTGCGCCACCGCCGACGACGAGGTCGAGTACGCCCGTCACGTCCACATCGGCGAGACGCCCGTCCCGCCTGGCCATGTAAGAGTTCGCGTGCCGCCGGGCATGGGCCCCGGTTCGGAGGCGGCCTTCACGGCGCCGGACGGAAGAGTGCTTAGGGCAACTATCCCAGCCGGTGCGACGGAGGACTCCCTCTTCGACGTACGATTGCCACCGCGGCGCACCATCTCCGAGGAAGCTTCACCCGCGGCGCCGCCGTCGCCGCCCGCGGAAGAGGCCAGTCCCGGCCGTCGAGGTGACGTGATACGGATCTTCGAGGAAGCGCAGCGCCGGCGCGCCGCTGAGGCAGCCGCGGCCAAAGACGACGTGCCACCCCAACCGCGCGTCGCGGGACGCATGATGGCCGAAAGTGACAGCGATAGCGACAGCGACGAGGCAAAGGAGACCGCCCGCGGGGCGCGGCCCGCCCCGCCGCCGATGTTAGGCGGCGTCCCGGACGGACCGGAACAGCTCGTTAGGAACATCGAGGCCCACATCCGTCTGCTGGAGCCCGCGTCGAGGGCCGACTTCCGCCGCCGCCTCGCGGCCGCGCGCAATAACATCAGCGCCCTGGCGGAGCTGAACCGACGCGTGGCCCAGGCCGTCGACGAGGAAAACGAAGCCACCGCGGAGCCCGAGCCCGCGCCGATCGACCGGGAGGCGTTCGAGGCGCTCCTCGCGGGCCTCACCGACGACTCGGGCTCGGACGACTACTAGGAACCTCCATGCTCCCCTTCTACCAATCTAATGTGATCACAAAATTAAAACTACTAGACCTGGAAGTAGATGGCCGTCTGCGGCTCCACCAAACACGCGTCGCCGGCCTGCTTACTGATCGTCATCGCCGTCTTGTAGAAGAGGAGCTGGCCCTTGTGGTTCACGAGCCAGCTCCGGTCCGCCCCCGCTTCTACCTTGAAGTTGCGGCCCGGCCGGTAATCAACTTCATCTAAAGAAGAAAAGCACCGGAAGCACTGGAGCCGCGGCCTTGTTACTGTTTCGGTGGAAATCCAGAACAGCGGCGTCTCCGGGTTCGCTATTCCTCTGTCAACGGCCTCGTCGACGTACCACGTCTGATGTTCATAAGCACTGATGGTAGGCGACCGCCACTGATGGGCCCGTTTCACCGCCTCGCCCCAGAGCGGTATACAACTATAACCAGCACCACCAGCACCACAAGCCGATTTTTTGGTACATTCGAAATCATAAGGACGCCTCTCCTGAACATGGGACCCGTTCATGGCCCACAATTGCAACCATTCTAGGGCAGCTTGGTCGTGCGGGTGGCACTGGGCCAAACCGTCCCGCGCGACGGCGAGCCACTTCCGCACGACCTCCCTTCCATCTGCATTGCCCCTTACGAGAAACACTCCAGTGTTCAAACCTCGGTAGTTGCCCAAGACGACATGTCTATTTTGAGGAACGTCTTCGACATACCTCTCGAGTTCCACAGAAAACTGACTAGGATTCACCCAGGCGTCGGCGTCGATCCAGCAGTACCACCTCGCTGTCCTATATCGACGCATCGCGTCGCGCACCATGAGTATCTTCGAGAACTCCCACGCCAAGCGCTTTTCCTCGAAAATATGTGAATGCGCCGTCTTCCGCCGCAGCAACCGATCCAGCGTGTCCGCCACATAGAAAGCAAACCCGTAACCTCGGGCAAGAGCGTAGGCCCGCTTGTTCAGCGCAAGGTCCACGTCCGCCTTCGCGTTGTTCCCGTCCCTCACATTCACGCCGGACACAATGACGAAAGCTGGTGCATGCGGCTCTTGCGTCGTCGCGAACCCATGCATGCATGGTAATCTCCGATCACCTTCATCTCCAAGAATACGAGCGGCGAGGGCGTCGATTTTACTCGCGTCGCCCTCGAACTTGACTAATCTTTCAGGCGTGCCCGCGCGGACTTTCGCCCGCTCGCGCTCGAGGTCGGCGCCGGCGCAGCCGGCGCCGCATGAGGCGCAGCGTAACTGTGGAGGGAGGTCGCTCGGTTCTATACTAAGATCGTAGGCCGCGTCCAAGACCGCGTCCGGCGGGCTCTCGGAGGACCCGGGGCCCGCCAGTTGTTTGTCTCTGTAGTTTCGTAAGACGTCCGCGAGTTCTTTGGCCCTCTGACCACCTTTCGTAGAAGCCCAGCCTATCAAAGTGGTCGAGAGGTCCGCGACGGCCGCGTGGCCGGGTTTTGTAGGGGGTGCCGCGGCGACGTATAAAGTGTCACCATCAATGGAGGGCAGCGCGGCCCAGAAGTCCTTGGAGAAGGTTCTGCAAGGGGTCCACGCGTCCAGATCTATAGACACGATGATCTGCGAGGAGGCCTCGGCCGTGCCTTCGTCGAGCTCCGTAATTAATGATTCGGTGACGCGGCTCGTTCTGGATGAAGTACCGGACGTGCCGAGCGCCGCGTGGCGCCGTTCCAAGCCCGCCGCCTCCGCCACCGACCAAAGCTCGTCCTGGAACCGCTCGCGCTCGTCTTCTTTCGAACCGCTCCCCCAGTAGGGCGTCTGCACGAGGACCGCCGTGCGTGCTGCTCTTTGACCTCTCAGTTCCTTCACGATGCGCAGCGCGGACCGCCTTGCAGAAGGCGAGGCCGCGTGCAGCGTCAATCGCACGGACGGAGGCAGGGGCGCCGGCGTCGGCGGCCGCGGCTTGTGGTCGTCGGCGGCCCAGTTCGTGACCTGAGACATTATTTTCGTGTAAAATTGCAAAGCTCGTTCGTCCTCGGCGAGCTCTTTTGGAGTGCGGGGCGCGTAGTTCTCGCGGTAGCGCTTCTCGTCGGCGAGGGCCATCTCCTTGGCGACGGGGTCGACGAGGCGCTCATTTGTTATAGCTGCGCAGGCGGCCGCGGCGCAGAGGAGGAGCGCTCGCATCCTTCACGGCAGGCGCGGTGCAACAGGCAGCATGGCTTTGCACGTTCGAGCGCTACTAGCACTCGTCCGTCACGGATGCGCAACTATAAGGTATACCAAGCCAGGCTCACGCTTTTTTTTGGTCAGCTTGCTTTCTTGCTAGTGTCTTACAGCCGCTAGCTAACCAACACCCGATCGCCAATCCCAATAGTGGCGAAGCGTTCGGGGTCCGTACTACCTGGGGGTGGGTTCAATAAGTGGCTCTCTCTCTCAGCAGGCGCGAAGGTTTTGTACTAGCACCGTAACAACGGCCTTAACGCTCCATCTCTTCCACGCGGACCGAGCCCCCGCCCCCGCCGCCGCCGCCGTCGCCGCCGCCGCCGTCTCCCTGCTGGTGGTACGGGTACACGACGCTCTCGAAGATGGCGGCCGCGAACCACACCTCGGGGGGCACGTCGTTCTTGGCGGGCAGTTGCATGCTATACGTCTGGAGGCCGATCGGCTTCCCCCCGGGGCAGAAGCAACACGGCATTCGCCGGAAGGGCTGGACTGGGTCGCGCCCGGGCCCGCTCGCGCACGGCTGGAGTATCCACCGGTACATCCCCGCACCCGGTTCGCCCTCGACGGGCCGCACGAACGGCGTGTCACAGCAGGGCTGCACGCAACACGGATACAGCGTGCCCTTCAGAGTTGTTGAATTGACTGTCATGTCAGCATCAGCAATACACTGGGGGCAGGCGCTCGGGCCGCCGTGGGACACGAGGGGATACGCGACGCCGGCCTTGACGACCCGCCCCGAGATAGGCGTGTTGTCGCAGGGGCACTGACACGCGGGGACGACGTCGAAATGAAGTCGGGCCGCTTCGAAGTTTCTGTCCGTGATCTTACCGTTGCCAGCGTCGATCGTCGAGAGGTACACGGGCACCTCTAAACCTTGATAGGGGTTCTTGCAGCAGCCCATGTTATCCATGATCATGCCGAACGTCACTTCCGACGCGAAGGCCGGCCGCGCCCCGGCGCCCATCACGTCGTCCGCGGCGTAGCCCGCGAAGGCCTGTCCCGGGAACTTGCCACAATTGGCGACGAGCAAGTGGTCGACGAGGACCACTGGTCCGGCGGGCGCGGCCGGCATCATCATCTGCGGAGCGGCGGCGGGCACGGCGATCGTGAACTGCTGGCCCGGGCCCAGGCCCGGCGGGATCTGGACCTGGACCGGCTGCCCATTGGGGGCCGTGAGCTGGACCATTGTCCCGGGCGGAGCACCCTCTGGCACCTGGACCGTCATCATGGCGCTAGGGGCCGCCATGACTTGTGCCATGGTTCACTCGACAGCAGCCGCTCTGGGGCCGTGAGCACGAACGGTGTGTTACTCGGGCTGGCGCACAACGTAATGGGCAGCCTGAGCGAGTCGTGGGGGTCTAGTCCCTAGTCCTTGGTGATGGCTAGGCTACTATCTTGTAGCAAAGCACAGCGCCTGTAAACTACCTAGCTAGGTAGAGACACTAGCCGATTCACCAGCCGGACGGGTGGGCCCGGGGGGAGCGGGAGGGGTGCGGGGGACCCTGCGACGTAACTAGCCTGAGCCTGAGCCTGATTCACGCACTCCCGTGCTAGCACCGCAGACTAGCATCGTATATCAGAAACTGAAACACACTCATAAAATTAACAAAACCGCGTCGTCAGCGACGCGACCCTTCGCGCACGAACTTGTGCGGCACGTAGCCCTCTCGGTCGGAGCCGTCCGTCTTCCTGGCGTAGACCAGGGATCCGAACTTCGCGAGGTCCGCGGCCGGCACCAAGACCACGTCGCCTTCGTTCACCGAGAGCTCGTTCGGCGAGTGGGCGACAAACGCGCGGACGACGACGCAGCGCCGCTCGCCGCGCGAGGGCGTCACGGTCGCGGGCGCTGGGGCCGGCTCCGGCGGCGCAATTGGCGCCGCTTTTGGCTTTGGCGGCGTCGCGACGGGTTCTGGGCTCCTCTGTGGCGTCGCAGGTGGCTCCGGCGCAGGCCTCGGCGTCGCGGCCGGCTCCGAAGGTGACAGCTCGATCGACCGCGGCGTCGCAATCGCCACGGGACTCGGTTTGCGCGGCGACGGCGACGGAGACACGGGCGACGCGGCGGCGGTCGAGGCCGGACTCGTCGGAGGCGACGGGGTCGGGCTCTTCGGCCCGCCCGCTGCCGCGTTGACGGTGCGCAGGAGCCGCGCGCAGGCGACTGTTGCCCACAATGCCTCGTCGGCGTCGGCCGCGACGCCGTGGCCAAAGATCAGCGGCGCCGTCGCGGCCGCGAGCCCGCGCCACGAAGCGCCGTTCAAACGGCGCCGACGCACGATTTTCCCGAGGTGTTTCGCCAGGCGCGTCAGCACCTCGCGGTGAAAGGGTGGGAGCTCCCCGAGGAGAATGCACAGGTGATGACGCTGGCCGGCGACGCCGCGGCTCGGGCTCGGCTCCGTCGCGGCGCGGATGAAGGCTTGCCTCCGCCCCAGTGTCGCCAATGGTGCGCGCTCCCGGAGCAGCGCGGCGACCGCGTCGATCACGGCGTGCGGGTCGCCGGCGTCGATCGCTGCGGCGATCGCGGGCTTCGCCTCTAGAACCACTCGCACGGCCGCGGACCTCGCCTCGTCGCCGTGCCGCATCCAGAGTCCTGGGGCGCAGAGCGCGCGCTCGTCCCCGTCGAGCGCGTCGAGCGCGCCTCGCATCACCTCGGCGTCGCCGGCCGTCCAGGGCGGCAGGTCGTCGTCGTCGTCGTCCACGTCCACCTCCACGTGTTCATCCGGCGGCCCATCCCCTCCCTGCTCGAAGGCGTCGTCGTCGTCCTCGGCGCCGACGCGGCAGCAGGTCGCGCCGAAAAACGCCGATACGCGGGCGAACGACGCGCCGTCCGCGCCGGGCGTCGCATGAGAGGCGAAGGCGGCGCCGCAGCCGCTCGAGATGGCCCCCTCGATGCCCGTCGACAGAGCCGCCCCGCGCGCCCCCTGGGCCAGGAGCTCGAACTGGAGCCGCGCGGTTCGGCGCCGCGCGCCAAAGGGGCCCTTGTGGAGCTTCGTGCGCTTGACCACGTGCTCCCAGAACTGGTGGAAGCTCAGAGTTGAGGCCACCTGAGCTGATACGTCCGCGACGCGCTCGTCGAAGCCCTTCATGCGCACGAAGAGAGTTTCACTTAACGCGCGCCGCGTCTCCGCGTCGAGGCCGAGGCCACTGCAGATGCTCGACGCGCACGCCGCGGGCTCCTCCGACGCGAGGCGCCAGACGCAGAACGCCACGAACTCCGGCAGGTCGAAGCCCGGCGCGACGGCCACCTCCCGCAGATCGTCGTCGACGAGTGCGTAGTAGCCCTTGCGCGCGCAGGAGATGGCGTCGACGAGCCCCAATGCTTCCTCGCTCGAAATCTCGCAGCCCTGCGACTGGTAGTGGAACCGCAGGTCGTCGACGCTCACGAGGCCGTCCTGGTCCTTGTCTAGCAAACGGAAGGCCGTGCGCAGGTGGCCGAGCTGGAACGGCAGCGCGACGTCCACCAAATGCTCGGGATCCTGGATCGCGTCCGCGTCGAGGGCGACGGCCTTCTCCGAGGTAGGACTCGCCGGGCGGCGGTGCTTCAGCGCCCGCTCGGCCGCGTGGCGCCAGGCGCCCTTCTTGCTGCTCGCGTGTGGCTCGGCAACGGGGCTCGGAGCCGTCGCCTCCATCTCTAGAATTTCCTCGAGCTCGTCGACGTGGCCCAAAAAGGCGGCGCGCATCGGCGCGCCCCGTAGCTCGTGGTCGGCCACGGCCTCGCGCACCTTTCGACGCAACTTCGTCGCCTCGTGCTCCTTCCGCGCTTTCAATCGCGGGTACGCGCGGCGCCAGAGGCTCCCGGAAATGGGCCGCGCGCGCCACGCGGCCACGTTGTACGGTTCCAGAGAGGGGTGCAGCGTCAGCACGTAGATTAAGTGCAACGCTCGCCAGGCGTCGGCGAGTTCTCCGCGCTTCAATGATGAAGGAACGCGCCCGCCCAGCAGGACGTCGTCCAGGATGCGAGCGAGCTCGTCTGATTGTAAACGGCACGCCAGCGCGCGGCTCGGCGCCGGCGCCGCGAAGGCGAGGCAGTGCGCCGGCCGCACGCGCCGCGCGTAGGCGTCCTCGACCGCCGACAGTATCAAACGCGAGGCCGCGCACATGACGGGGTTGTTGTGTCTCTCAGAAAGCATGACCGTGGACGCGAACGTGTTGTAGCCCGGGTCCAACCAGCCGATGTTGCCCGTGAAGAGCGAGACGTCGACCCGGAACACGTTGATCGTGGCGATGAGGTAGAGGACGAGCACCCGCAGCGGCCCCGCGACGGGCCCCACTATCAAATCCCACATCCCGAGCACAAAGTCCCACAAGTCGAAACAATTCCGGTGGTGCACGTACGTGCCGTCGCTGATGAACTTGTTGAGGAAGACGAACAGCAGCATGTTGAAGAGCCACAGCACGAGCAAGGGTACGATGGCGCCGCCCAGCAACTCCACGACGTACCGCCGCGCCGCCTCCTGCGCCTCCCAGGCGTTCCAGGCGAAAACCACCAGTCCCGCGCCCAGAAAGCATATCGCCGAGACGACCAGCGCGTGCGCCACGACGACGCCCATGAACCGGATCGCGTATGGCGCCGCCGGCGTAATAAACCCACGCCACAGCCGGTCGCCCAGGGTCCGGGGCAGCGTCGCCTCCGCTTTTATAAGGTCGCGCCCGTCCAGCAGGCCCGTCTCGCGCATCTCGAGCGTCGCCTCCTCGAAGCGGAACAGGATCATCAGCAGGCCGTAGTTCACGAACACGAACGCCGCGACGGCCGCGACGTTGCCGGCGTCGGTGAGCATCGCGCAGTAGCGCTCCGCCGCCGCCGTCCATTTGCCGAGCTCGCTCCGGTACTCGAGGACGTACGGTAGATATTGGCGGGTCATGTTCTGCGCGCGCTCCATTTCGACGGCGAGGACTTGCGCGGCGTCGGTCAGGCGCGAGACGTCTTGCGCGACGTCGACGCCGAGGCCCGTCGCGTTCAGGGCCGCGTCCAGGGTACTGGCGGCGCTCGCGACGCCCGCGACCGCATCGTACTGGGCGACTTGGGCGCACGACGCGTTGGTGAGGCGGTCGAAGCTACTTGTACACGAAGCATTGTAGTAAGACGCCACGATTGCGTCAACGTCGTCCAGGTCGTCCTCGAGGTTCCCGAGCCGCTTCTCAACAGTGATCGCCACGAGCCACGTCAGATACGCGAGCGCGGCGATGACTGTCACCGCTACCAACCACGCGGCGGCTACCGCGGCGATGAGCCGCGCGGCCGGGTGGTAGCTCCGGTCGCGGACGCGGTCCTCCCAGGCCGTCTCCGCGCCCTCGGGCAGGTGCAGGCGGTCGAGGCGCGGCTCGTCGCGCGCGTCCCCCTGGGCCTTGAAGAGCGCCCCGCACAGCGAATTCGTGCAGCACTCAAACGCGAGCCGCCGCGAGTAGAGCTGGACCCGGCGGGCGCCGCGCTTCGCGACCCTGAAGGACCTGTCGTCGTCCTCGGACGAGCCGCTCTGCCGGACAAAGTCCTCGTACGCGCCGTCGCCCTTCTCCAAGATCGCCTGGGCGCGTCGCTGCAGGGGCCGCGGCCGCTTCGTCGGGTCGTGCGCGCGTTCGGCGAGGTCGTGGCCACCGAACGGGCCCGGACAGGCGCCCGGTGGGTGAATGAGCGCGGCGAGCAATGCGCGCTGCTCGGCCTCCTTGTAGAGGTGCGAAGGAGCCCAGGTCGGGTCGCGCAGCGTCCCGCGGAGCAGCGCGCGCCAGGCGTCCGCCCTCGGGCGCCAGGCGCGCGGGAGCGCGCCGGGCGCCTCGGCCTTCAGGTCCGCGAGGAGCGCCTCGTCGCGCGCCAGCGCTTTTTCGAGGACCGCACGCTCGACGGAATCCTTCTCCCGCGCCAGGCGGTCGCGCGTCGCCTCCACACGTTTCGCCTGCTCGGCCGCGTCGTGCGGCGCGAATGCCACAGCGATCACGAGGGCGTAAGCCAGGACCGCCACGAGCAGCGCGTCGCAGATCAAGATGATCGCGCAGCCGATGACATGAACAATACTCCGGGACTTCGCGGTCGCGTCGAGCGGGCGCTCGTGGTTCCAGTAGGTCAGGCGCGCGTCGCGCGCGACGGCGACGAAGAGACTCGCCGCCGCCGCGACGAGCCAGTGCCAGCGCCGCAATTGGCACCTGTTGCGCTGCCTTGATTTCACGGAGGCGTTGTTCGCGCCGCACACGGCCGCCATGAAAATGATTTCCAGTAGCATGTCCGCGTAGAAGTTGGAGGCCCAGCCGTCCCGGTCCACAAAAACCGCGTACAGAAGCTTGCCGAAGCTTGATTCGGGCTCGTGCTCGTATAATTTCTCGCGCTGCGCGCACTCCCAGCGGTACATGCTGTCATCACATTTCTTCAAAGGAGCGAGCAGGAGCACGTAGACGCCCCGCAGCACGAGCCGGAAGATCACGATCGCCGGAAAGTATTGCGAGAGGTGCGAGTTCCGCAGCAGTTGCCAGCAGTTCAGTAAGTACCGCTCGAGATACGCCGTGGCCTCGTCGATCGCGCGCGGGACGGACCACCGTCTGTGCTTCGCCTGCCGGTCGGGCGGCTTTTCGTGGCGCGCGACGCAGGCGCCTTCTACAGCAGCTACATGACGCGCCACCGGCGACTCCACGTCTTGGTGCGCCCTTGCCTCCTTCTTCGTGCGCGCCCGGCCCCCTCCGAACATGATGATTGCTAGCTTTTGCCGGCAGTGGCAGGAGCCAGGGAATACCTTGGTTGCTTGAAAGCTAGCTAGCTGCCCGTGGTGCGCATTGTGCACTTTGTGGGTCTTTACGGGCTGCTTGGGGCAGCGTTTTGGCACAGCGCCTTGAGACCCAATCACAAACCTAGTATGTCTCACACTAACCCACAAAACTGGCCGCGCGGCGTCCAGTGCGCGCCCTTGAGGCTAGGCTAGGCTATCTATAATATTACCTCGCTATCCGCAGCGCCTCGTCGTCGCCCCGCGGCGTCCAGTAGACGCCCGCGCGGCACGCCTCCTCGGCCGAGAACTGGCGTCGTTCTTCCCGCCGCCGCGCCGCGTGCACGATACAAAAGCCGCCGAAGAGAATGGTGAGGAGCACGACGCCGCCAAGGACCCAGAGCGCCGCCGTGGCGAACGTGTCGGCGTCGGTCGGTGCCGCGTCGTCGTCGCCGTCGTCGTCCGAGCAGCGGCTCGCGGCTGCGAGCCCCGCCCGGGCCTCGGTCGTGTTCGTGGCGTTGCAAAAGCGCTCGAGGTCCGCGCCACAGGTCGCTCGCGCGACGGCCTCGGTGCAGTTCCAGGCCGTCGGCGCGGCGGACGGCAGCGGACTCGGAACGGCCGTCGGCTGGCGCGTCGGCTGGTGCGTCGGTCGCGGCGTCGGCTGGCGCGTCGGTCGCGGCGTCGGCTGGCGCGTCGGCCGCGGTGTGGGGCTGCCCCATACGGCCACCAGCAAGAGCCAGCCCCACGCATGCATCCAGCATTCAGCGGGCGACGTTCTGGACCATGGCTTCGCTGCGTAGCCGTTGTCTAGGCTGCTGGTATGCAGCGCTCTGATTGATTTTTTGCAATCTAGTGTGTTACTACGCTGGCACAGCATCATCGGCGCCGCACTGGGGCAGCCCAGAACGACCCGCAGCGCTCGTAAAAACGGCGGCCGTCCCTCCCTGGGCCTGGGCCCTGATTGGGCTCATTGTGGGCATCCCATTTTGTGCCCAGCTCAATTGTTACATCGAGAAGAAGCGCGAGGAATGCGCGAAAAGAGATGAGGTAGACGCAAATGTGTGATGATGCCTCCGATGGCGTCTGCGCCACGGGCTCGTTCCTGCTCGGCGGCTTTTCCGGCGGCATGGGCGGCTTTGTTGGAATGCTCCTTGGGGCGCCGGTGTTCGGCGTCTTCGGCGGCGTGACGCTCGGCGTCCTCGCGGGCGCCTACCCGAACGGCCCGCCGCGCGCCGTCCTCGCGACCGTCGTCGCGGCCGCGGCGCCGGCGGCCTACGCGAGCTGCGCAATCGTAAGGACGCGCGACGCCGGCGTGCTGTTCGCCTGCGCAGTATTTACATCCGGTGCGGCGAGCCTGGCCCTCTTCGCGAGCGGGGCCCTCGCGGCGCATCGGAGGCGGCTCGAGGTCGAGGAGGAGCTCCTCAAGGAGACGTCGGTATGATACGTCTGCTCGATGGCGTGGATGCTGGCGCCCGTCTCACGACTCGGGCGCCGTCGACGACTGGAACGCGGCGTGCGGTCACTCAGATGACCCGCTGGTGGCTAGGCGGCCTAGCTCTAAGCAAAGCAACAGGAACTAGGAATCTCAACCTTACTCATGACTGCGTCGACCGCTGCTCGCGGACCGTCCCGCGCGTCCGTCTTTTTCGACGCACGGTCTTCCGCTTCCGCTTGACAGAGTCCTCGGGCCACTCCGCGTCGAGCTCATCCAAGAACCCCGCCACATCCGACGACACCTTGCAGACGGCGCTCCGTGTCGCGTACTCCTCGACCTCCTCGATCGACGGCCAGGAGACGTTTATCGCGTTCACTTTCTCGGCCTTGTCCCTTATTCTTCGCAGTAGTCTTTCTTCGGACTCCTGCTTGCGTTGACGAGCCATGCCTTCTTCTTCTCGTCGTCTTCTGTGTTCAATCCTGACAATCTTGTGGAAGCAAGTCAGAAATTCCGCGCCGTCGACGAGGCCGTCGCCGTGGCGATCTAACACACCCATCAACGCAGCTAACTCCGCCGGTGTGAGCGTGATCCGTAAACAGACTTTCAGGAAGTGTTTGAGAGTGGTAGCGTCCATGTTCGACCCCTTCTTGAAGGGGTTTAAGTCTGGTGCGGCCGCGCCTCTCAGAGCCCCTCGCGCGATCTTTGCCAACTTGCCCAACGCAGACGCCTCGTCGTCCTCCGTGTAGTCCTCCAACAAAGCCTCTTCGTCCCTCGCGAAGAACCTTTCATGGATCGCCTCCTCGACGTCCCGTTGCCGTCGTTGCCGCTGCTCCCGCGATCGCCGTTCCTCGTCGAAGCGCGCTGATCTTAATTCAGCACTCAACCGGAAGAACCTCGAAGCAAATTCCCCACCATCAACTAACCCGTCTTCATTGGCGAAGAAGGCCATGACCGCCGCGAGTTCCGACGGGTCGAGTTGCACGTTGAAAACCACGCGTAATTGCTGCCAGAAGGATGAGGGAGTCAGGGGCCCGCCCTCCGAGAAAGGAGTTAGTGCAGGACCTTTGGGTGGCGGCGCCCAGGCACCAGCCGCGGCCTCCAACTTCCGCAGACCCCGGTCGCGGTCCTCATCACTCCACGTCGCAGCTACAGCGACCTGCGCCTGCTTCCGATGTTTAGCAACAACGGCAGCTTCCCGTTCCAACTTCCGCTCCAGGAAGTAGGAGTTGTCCTCCCTTGCCAATCGTTCCCGTTTCGTCTTCTCTTCCGTTTTCACGTCAGACAGGTGTTTGGCGAACTCCTTCGCAGCGACGGTCCCGTCGCCGTCGTTGTCGAAGGCGCAGAACAACATGCCGAGCTCCTTCGCATTCAGCTTCACGTTCAGAGAACGCATCTGCTTGGCGAAAGCCTTCGGGTCCAAGTCGGCGCCCGTCGCGAGCTGCCTGAGCTCCTTCTGGTCAATCACAAAAGCGCCCCGGGCGAGTTTTCTCCTCGTCAAAGCCCATCGCGGCGAGTCGAGCATGGCGCGCCTTTCGTTTATGTTGGGCAGGATGAGACTCCCTCTTGTGGACAGCGCCGACGCGTCGTCGAGGTGGTGGTAGGACATGCCTGCTGCGCGTTGTGTTGGGGCAGCCCCCTCGGTGGTTCTGGCGGTCTCTGCGCTTTCCTGGGGCGCCTTTTTGGCCCTGGTGTCTCTGGCGTCTCTGTGGCGCTGTCCCGGGTGTGACCGGGACGCTGGTTGACAACGGACGCGTCGGCGGCCTTCCTGACGCGCGGCGAGGACTGGTGGGGCGGTGGTGCTGGATTTGCTAGTGTCTTTGTGTCTTTAGCTTTTCATCGATCTCCAGCCAAAAAAAACAGCGTGGTCTTGCCCACACGATTGCCGGTCACCGCCACCAGGTTAGCAGGTAGGCAGTAGGAGCTCCGTTCCGGGAGCTGTCGCTTTCGCGCTGCCGGCGTCGGCCCTGCCGGCTGCATTGCCACTGTTGCACAACTCCCGCCTGCGGCGGTCGCGGGCGGTCCCGGCCCGGCAACCATGGTGAAACATGCCGCATTCATGCGCCGGAAGGAGAAGAAGGTCGAGGCGCCCGCGCCGAGCGCGCCCGCCGCGCCGGCGCCGACCGCGCCCGCGCCGGCGCCCGCCGCGCCCGCGCCGCCGCCGCCGAAACCCAAGCCTAAGGCGTCCTGGGGCGCGCCGTCGCCCGCGCCGACCGCGTCAAAACCCAAGGCCTCGTGGGCCGCGCCGTCGCCGAAGCCGACGGCGTCGCCGGGCGCCGCCGCGCCCCGCAAGGCGTCCTGGGGCGCCGCCCTCGGCGGCGCGAACAAGCCGAAGCTCAGCTGGAGCCAGCTCGGCGGCGCGGCCAAAACCAAAGCCAAGGATATACGTATCGGCGACGCGCCGCCTCCCAAGGCCTCCTGGGGCAGCGCGCTCGGGAAAGAACGTACGAACTCCGAGGAGAGCCCGCGCAGCGTCGTCTCGAGCCCCGTCCAGGCGAAGGAGGCCACCTCCACGAAGCGAGGCTGGGGCGACGCGACTGGTAACCCTGTCAAGAGACAAAAGACGGAAGACCCGGAGAGCTGCGTGGTTTTAGCGTGCAAGTACGACACGCCGAACAGGAACAAGGACTGTCCCGACCACGTGCGGTTGGACGCGTTGCAGAAACTGTACCCTTCGTTTCGGGTCGTCGGGTGCTCGGAGTATCGCCCGGGGCCCAAGTCCTTAGATTCAAAGTCGGGCAAGGCCGACGACGTCATCATGGGCCAAGCTAACACAAAGGAGGACACGCACATCTCCGCGAATTTCAAGAAGACGCTACGGGAGATCTTGCGGGGGCGGAACCCGAAAGTGCTCATGTTGGACTACTTCTGGCTCCAGCCGGGCTACTACGAGGAGCGATATGGGATGAATTTTTTATCATCAAAGGTGGATTCCGATGTGGGATCTAAGATAAGAGAACTGTTCATATCGCACCAGTGCCAGGTCATGCTGCTACCATGCGACTCGCGGGGCGCGGTGCGGGAAATGTACAAGAACTCGTTTGATGACCGGCCGGACTGCGTCTGCATCGACTTCGTCGATGAAAGGGATGGCCTGAAGCACCATCCTCTCGTCAGGGCGACGCGGCATATCGATAGTGAATTGAAGGACCTCGCGAAGCGCGTCCAACACTCCAAAGGCAGGTGGCACGACATGCAGATGTTAAGGTTACAAAATCCGGAGCCCTTCCTCGTGGCCTACCGGAAAGGTTTAGATTGGCGCGCGTATTTGGATGAAAGATGCATCCTGGGCGTCGCCGCGGAGCCGTCTCCCCTGGAGATCCGGCCGCCGCCGCCTCCAACGACAACAAAAAAGCGGCGGTCGCGGTCTACTACTCCGCCAGTGGTTGTTAGTGCTCCCGCGGACGTGTCCTCGGACGACGAGCCCGTCGGGTTGATCATAGCGAGGCAGGGCGGCGACGTGTCGTCGGACGACGAGCCCGTGGGGCTGTTGGTGCCGGCGAGCGCCTGATGATTTTTCTCTTAAGTTATAGTTACTCCGTTTACCTTCGTTGTTTTAAGGACCAATGAGGTGGGGATGGGCCGATGGAACAAAAAAGGAGCACCGGGCTCTTTTCGCGTCCATCGGGCCCCACACACCCACTCGCGCTGCACCGAGCGCGTACCCTCTGTCCTACGGCCCCGGCAACCCCGCCGGGCAGCCCCTGATCACCGCATCACAAGCACGAGCGCAGCTAAAATGTTTGGGTGGCTCAAGGGAAGCGGCAAGACGCCGGCTGCCCGCCGGCAAGAGCTCCGCGACGCGGCCAAGCTCCCGAAGGGCACGACGACAGAGGCCAGGTCGCCCGTCAAGCGGCGCAACACGGCCCCGGCGTTCTCGCGCGAACAATGCCGCCGCGACCGCGCGATGATGTCCTCGTCGTTCCGCCGGCGCATGACCTGGCAGCAGTCTTTGTGCGTGGCGCCCGTCATCCAGCTTCCAGCTTCGGAGCGCCTGGCGAAGTAGGCCCCTCTTCCCCCGTCCGCACCTTAACTTTATGTCTCCTCTCTATCGCGCGCGCGCCGACTCGAGCGCGCCCTCACTGGGCCATGGTCGAGGTCCGCGGTTCGGAAGGCCGGCTAGCCGTGCCGACAAAACTAAACGTGATACTACTATGTACATTACTAGCCCCCGATCTTGACCATGGGCCGGTTCTCGGACGCGTTCCGCGCGACGCCCTCGGCGTTCCCGTGGCCGCCGTGCTTGAAGTGCTTCTTCAGGAGGGCGCCCTGTATTAAATCGCCGAGCTCCCGGTCCGACACGCCGCTTCGTAAAGCGTCCCTCAACGAAACAGAATCGGACCCGAACAAACACGTTTTGAGCGACCCGTCGGCCGTCACGCGCACGCGATTGCACGACCCACAGAAGTGCTCGGACATGGACGTGATGAAGCCCACTTGTGAAGAGCCAGCGGTCCACCATTTCGTCGTGTCGTGTCTATCACTAGATGGGAGCGGCACCAAGGGAGGCAGCATCTTCATCATTTCCGCGTAGGGCACCAACCGTTTCGCGTCGTAGGCGTTGCCCGAGAAGGGCATCCACTCGATGAAGCGGACTTTCACGGACGAGTCCCACCTTTCTGCGAAAGCTGCTAGTTCGTGCTCGTTCTCGCCTCGCAGCACCACACAATTGACCTTAACATTTAAACCGAGGGAAGCGCACGCGTCGATCGCATCCAGGACCCGTTTATGGGTCGATGATGGCCGCCGCGTCATGCGCGAGAAAACGTCGGCGTCGAGCGAGTCCAGGGAAATGTTGACCGAGTCCACGCCCGAGGCTGCCAGCGCATCCACTAGTCTCACACCATCCGACCGCGATAGCAGCTTCATGCCGTTCGTCGTGAGGCCCAGCGATTTCACACCAGGATTGTCCCGCTTGATCGATGAACAGATGTCCACCAAATCTCTTCGCAGCGTCGGCTCGCCGCCCGTCAATCTAACTTTGGACGCGCCGGCCCGCGCGAAGACGTTGATGACGCGCTCGACCTCTTTTGTTGTCAGTAACTCATGTGAGGGCGTCAAATCGGAAACGCCCTCGGCCGGCATGCAGTACCTACATCTCAAATTGCACCGCTCGGTGAGCGACATGCGGAGGTAGCCGTGGAAGCGTCGATATGAATCCGTCAGGACGTCGCGCGGCAATGCGTGCGTGTCCCTCGGCATCGCCTCGAGCGGCGGCGGTATTGATGGCCTCCGTAAAAAGTCGGCGAAGGACGGCCCCTGGGGGAGCGGGCGGCGCTGCGGCAGCGCCGTGGACTTCTGTCTTCTCAGGAAGAGGCGCCGCCGCGCGCGCAAGCGCAGCAGCATGGTGGCTGAAGGGCTGGAGGCAAGGTGGCCGAGCGCTGCTTTTTGCGACGCGCGTCGCCGGCGTCGATCGCTACGCGTGAAATGCGTCTACTTTGCACTGCTATCGGCACGCGTGTCGCATCGCTGCGAATGGCAGCGTCTTGTGATGCAAAGAGCAGCAGGCAAGTTGACATAGCAGTTTTCCCTTTCGCCACCCGTCCCGGAACGGGTCCGAGGACGACGGTCCGTACACGTCGTAGAGGTGAGCGACAAGAATTGAAACAGCAAAGCCCGCACGCCTCCTGTTCCACGCCCCAGGGTCTTTGCCAATGCGCTGCCGAGCAGCAGCGCCGTGGCAGGAAGAGGCGCCGCGCGCCGAGGTGGAGCGCTGCTTTTTGCGCGATCGCTGACGCGTGTCGCACTTGTGATGCAAAGAGCACGGCGACGTATCGTGCAGCTTTGCCAATGCGCTGCCGAGCAGGCGTGGGGAGCGGTGGCGCGCCGAGACGCTGACGCACGGCGACGTATCGTGCAGCGCCGGATCGCAGCGCGCGAATCGGGTAGCCCTTTCGCACTAGCGCACAGCCCCACCTGAAACCCAGGGCAGCCAGCACGATGGTGCTCGCGCTCATCAAGAAGCCCTTCGTCTGGGTGTGGGCACTCATAACAGCACCAATACGATGGCTGCGCGGCGGCAGGAGGAGGCACCGGCGCGGCCTCTTCAGCAAAGTGGGCGACCTGATGCCGACGTTTTCGTTTATGTCGTTCGTCCGAGGCGGTCAGGACGAATCAATACCGATGCAGTGCGAGCGCGACCAGCAACCAGGCGAGGAAGCGCCGCCCGCGCGAGTGGTGGAAGAGGAAGCGCCGCCTCCCCCAAAGAAGAAGCGCGTCGCGTGGTCGAAGAAGGCGGCCACGACCAAATTACAAGCTAGATGGCGCGGCAGGAAAGCGAGGCAGAACTCGAAGCGGCGGGCGCCGCCCCGACGGCAGCAGTCCTTCTCCGAGGGTACCCTTGGCATACATAGGGACGTGCATCCCCTTACCAGGGAAGACATCTTGGCTCGGAGAGCTATCGCGCACTGTCGCCTAAGGCAGAAGGTCGGGCGCTTCGTTACGGTAGCGTGGCCCGTGCTCAACTTCGTGAAAAGCTGTATCAGGTGCTACGTCGGCACTTGCTTACGAGTGTTACTCTTCATTTTTGTCCAATTGCCGATGCTGGGACGAACGAGGAGGGACTTCAAGTGGCCTCTGCTCACAGCAGCCTGCAACGCCTTCCTGACGCTGTTCTGGCCGCGACTGCGAATCATCGTCTCGAACGTCTTGCGGGATCGCGTCCGAGAGATCGTCAACGATGTATTAGATGGCATGCCCAATCCACCAATCAAGTCACTGGTCTCGCTAGAATGCAACCTCGGCCGACGAGCGATCACGATCGAAGAGGCGTGGCTCTCGACGTCCTACCACTCCTACGATTTCCTAGACTTACACCTAGTTTGCTCCTTCGAAGGCGACACGCTGGAGTTAGTTTCCGATTTATGTGTCGATTCCAGGAATAAACTCCTCCCGCAGCTCACGGCGGTCGTCCGAGGTTTATCCTTTCAATCCGAGCGCCTCAAGGTCAAGTTCGGACCCTTGTCGACGTCATTGCCCTGCTTCGGCGCCCTGCAAGTCGCCTTCGCCGAGGCTCCGAAGGTAGACCTCCGGGCCAATGTCACTGCCTTAGATGCGATCTCCCTGACCGGTTTTAGTTCGTTCAACGTCATCAATAGTTTTGTGGAGAAACTCGTGCAGAATCTACTGCGGAACCACTTCTGCTGGCCTAGAGCAGTTATTGTACCAACAAAAGGCTGGGCCCACAATATTGGGGCCGTGCCGCGATGCGACGAGGAGTGGTGGGGTGATGGGATAAGGTTGGAGAAGCAGCGGGAGCTCGTGAAGGGGGCTTTATCTTTATCTGTATTTGACTGTGCGACGGCGGGGCCCATGTCCATTAACGGCTCGACGTTCTATGTGCGAGCGAGCGTTGGTTCTAGGATAAAAGAAGCTCCCCTCGTCTTGAACGACCGCTCTGAAAACGCACAGTGCACCTTCGACTTCCACATCAAGCCCGATGTGGATGACATCAAACTAGAAGTGTATGAGCGAAGTAAGAAAAAAGACCTAGGCGTAAGTACGACGAAGGACATGTTACTCGGCCAGGCCGTGCTCGATCACGTGCAATCCATCGATAGCTTGCCGCCCCACGTCAAGGTGCGACGCGTCTTAAAACTGGAAAAGCAGCAGACCCAGCTCCAGAGCGGCCTGGAGTACGTTGAGAAGAAGATGGGCAAGGTGTACCGCAAGGTCGTCAAGGCCGAGGAGGAGGTCATCCACGAAGGCAAGGTCTGTTGCGGGTGTGCGAAGGACCAACGGACCCACAAGACCTCGAAAGTGGCCAAGAAGGCTAGAAAGAAAGCTGTAGGCGACGAGCGGAAGCTGCCCGAGAAGAGTTCGTTCACCCGCAAGCACTCATTTGATTCTCCTAGGGCTTCGTCGGGCCTCGGTTTCAGAGCGACGCAACTGAAAGTCGGCCTGGAGTGGGCGCCGGCCTTGACTCTACGTCGCCATTTCCACCACCGCCTCATGCTCGGTCTGGTGGCGGTGTTGGTCGTCGCGATGGGGCGGTGGGTGTACGCGGAGATCCATAGTCGGACGTGGTTGGCGGACTTCTGCGGCCTCGCGGTCGATGTCGTCGCGTCGGGCGCGCTCGCGGCGCCGTTCCTCGTGACGGCCGGGATGAGGCTGCTGCACCGGGCGCACGACTATGCCGCCGGCGACATCTACGCCGACGCATCGGCGGGGAAAGTGATAGCCGCGGAGGACTGGTAGCTCGGCGCTTAAGTTTATTTGTGTAGTACACACGCCGTCGACGACGCGAGAAGATTTTCAATGCACTACTTACGACACGCAGCACCCGTCCGCGTTCGGCGTCGGCGATTCGCCATCCAGACATGCAGCCAACACGCGCGCCCGAAACGCCCCCTGGGCCTGCGTCGCCGCGTCCTTGTTGATGTCCTCGTAGGACCCTATTCTTTTGGCGCCTTTATTCCGCGACACGAACAGAGCTTGCTCGGTCGCCGCCAACATCCGAGCCGCGAAGGTCCTCAATCTAGACACGGCCGGCGCCGGCGCACCTAGTAAATCCTCGTCGTTTTCGGAAGGCAAACAGTCCACCTCGGCCACGAAGCCTCTCAGAACTAAGACTAATTCCTCGACCTCGAGGTTCGCGTAAGCAGAGGGCGCCGTCCAGTTCCGCGCTTTCTTTACTGTTTGTTCAAATAACCCTTCTGGTGCCGGCGGCAATTGCTTCGCATACAAGGCGTGTAGTTCCGCCAGTCTACGGGAGCATTCTCTCAAATGATCTGTTGTGACCGCGTCGGATCGACCTTGCTGGTTCATGTGCGAGAGGACCGGGGTCGTCCGTTCCAACGCGTAGACGTCTCCGGAAGGACCGGGAGCGTCGGCACAGGCCGCGTCTATTAATTCTAGCTCAGACTCGCTCAGTTCGAGCCTTTCTGCCCGGCCGGCGTCTTTCACATGTTCCGCGGCCCTCGCTCCTAGCACGACGGCTTTCACGCCCGTTTGTGCTAACGCCCAGGCCACAGCCACCATGGACAAGGTGACGCCGTCCCTGTGACAAGCGACGTCATGCAGCGCCTGCAGCACTTTCTGGAATCGAGACCAGCCCCCAAATTCTTCCACCAGTACAAGATTCGACCGGACGTTCGGGTGGGCGTCGGGCGACGGCTTTGCGGCGCCCAGCCACTTTTTTGACAGTAAACCGCCCATGAGCGCGCCGTGGGCTAGTAATCTCACATCGTGTGCGACACACAACTCGGCGAGACCGCTCGTCAGCGCGCGGCGGTCTACCACGGACAGGTTGACCTGGACGCTGTGTATTCGAGGCGTTCCTGTTGATGGGGCTTCCAGTAAATGTTGTAAGCTTTGAGCATCCACGTTCGTTAATCCCACATCTCGCACGACGCCTCGCACGCGCAGCGCTTCCAGCGTCTTCAGCGCCGCGTCAAAACCTTGTTCCGACCAGTCGCCCCAGTGCAGGTAGACGAGATCAATCACCGCGGCACCTAGTCGGTTAGCTGACCGCCACACAGAAGCCTCGACGCATCTCGCTACTGCTCGTTCGCCCCGTCTACGAGCTAGCGGATCGGGACTGACGCATCTTCTCGTGATGTGGCGGTCGGGCACGACTTTCGTATGCAATCGCACGGCGTCCGCTAATGCCCTATGTTGGCCGCGCGCCGTCGCCAGGAACCTTCCAACAAGCTCCTCGACGCCGGCGTAGATGTCGCCGCAGTCGAAGGCGCGCGACCCGACGACGGCGTGCGCCGCGCAGGCCCTTCTCGCAAGATCATCAGCCTTGTCGGGATCCTCCTTATTCAGCCGCCACGTGCACGAGCCGGCGACGATGCGCGCCTCCTGGTCGTCGTCGCGGGGCCGCGGCTGCGCGCCCTCGAGCTTCGTGGGCGGTGGCCTTCGATGCTGGGCCTTCAGCCGTTTGAGGAACGCGCGGCCTGCGGCCTCGCCGGGCTCGTCGCCGCCGATCGCGTCCAAGGTGCGCTTCAAAGCGAGGGGCGAGGCCTGCGGCGCCCGGTTCTCCGGGCTTTCAAACGTGACGCGCACGTCTCCCTCTGTTTTGGCCTGCAGCGCCTCTACCAGATCGCTCTTGGACGCGACGGCCGCGCCGTCGACTTCTACAACAGTCCAGTGCACGACGCCGTAGCGCGCCGCCTTGATCGCGCGGCTGTCCGGGTCATTTACCCTTCTTACTTTCAGGGCCTCATCCACAGAAATGCCCAGCGAGGCGCCCGCCGGGAACTGGATGTCCTGGCGCAGGCGCGCTTCGGCCATCCTCTAGGTTGTTTTATCTTTTGCGCTGCTGCTCTACGTACACGGCTGCGGTATAACCCTGCCGCTGGCAGCGTCTTCGGCTTGCAACCTTGTCGCGCAGCCTATCTTTTCAGTTGGCTTGTCTTTGGCTTCTAGCTTTTTGTGACGCGCGCTGTTATGATCGTGGCTTGCGCAGCTGCGGGACACGCTTGTGGCGGGTACTGTGTGCAGCGTCACGGCTCTATCGGTGCGCACGAGCCGATATGCAAGCCAAATTACAAGCTTTGTTTTTGCCTACGCACATCCTCGTGCCATGTTGCAGGAGGCCGAATCTCCGGGATAGAGGTCTCCGGAAGGTCTCTAGGACCCAATCGGGGGCCGATGGGCGGGACTTGTTTGTTTTTGTTGTTGTTGATGGCAGCAGATCACCCTAACTACAGCGATCTGTCGCTGTAGTTAGGGTAGACTGCAACGCACTGCCGCGACGCACGCTTCGACGGCCGGGGCCTTCGTGGCGCAGCACGAGGTCGCCGCGTTCTACGCGAGACGGCGGCCACGCCGGCGAGTCGACCACCATATAAAGCTAAACACCATACGACGCACACACACTAACGGAACTCCCAAACCCCGCCTTACTACGCGTCTACCGAGAGCGCGCGGCGAGAGGCTCACGACGACCCCGGGATCCGCAATTGATCAAAATACCGATCCAGGACCTTCGGGTGCGCGAAGTCGTCCATCTCGTGGATGATACACTCCCCTATAGACTTGGAAGACACGATTTTCGCACCGTTGACCGTCACTCCCCCATCCTCTTTACCTCCGATGCCCATGAACCCACCCACCACCGACCGCCCGACGTCGATCCGCCCGCCCGCCGTCACGACGCCCGACGACTCGTACAGGTCGTCCTTGGACACGGGGTCGCTGATCACGTGGTACGCGCCGATCTGTTCGACGACCTCGCCGTTCCGCGGGTCCTTCAGTTGCGAGCGCCGCTTGTCTTCTAGCTTGTTGAAGGCGGCCTCGTTCGGGGCCAGCACCGTATATCCAGAACCGTCCCGCAGGCCCCGCCACAGCTCCTCGTTCTGGAACACTAGAGCGGCGAACGACGGGAACTCGTCGTTGAGGCAGGCCTCGACCTCCGCCGTGTTGTACAGGCGCGTGGCTGGCCTCTGGGGTCGCTGCGTCAGGCGTGGGGGCTGCAGGGCGCTCGTGAACGCGGCAAGGAGCAGAGCGCGCATGGTGCTGGCTCTGTGGAGCACGGCTGCGCCTTGTGTTGTACAGGAGAGTTGTCGGCTGTGTCCAATGGACTTCTATCCCGCTGCCGTAGCCCAGATCGACCGCTGGCGGTAGCCTAGGACTCAGAGCTTTGGCCGATCATAGCTAGAGCTCCATGACCTAGCTAATGGCCAATTGCAAGTGAGGCTAGCGCATAAATGACGCTACGCGCATGACACGGGCGTCTTGGCAGCTCTATACACTCCAGTACTGTCCCAAAGTGCTTAACTCTGGCGGCGTCCATCGCTAAGGGCTGAGCGCACTGGCTGCAGCTCCGCATGCATAGATGAGTGAAAACTACGTGGTCTGCCACAACTGCGACGGCGAGGGCGACGTCGCGCCGACCGAGCTCAGCGCGCGGCAGAAAAAGCGCCTCGCCCACACGGGCAAGGCGCCGCAGCGGCAGCCCTGCGTGACCTGCGCAGGCCGCGGCGTCGTACCTGGTAACAGCAGCCCGGGAGGACCACCCCAAGTCGCCATAGTAGGCGGCGGCCTCGCCGGCTGCGCCGCGGCGTTGGCCCTCAAGCAGCGCGGCGTCGCCTGTGCTATCTACGAGGGCGACAGCTCCCAAAACGAGCGGCCCCAGGGCTACGCGCTGACGCTGCAGCAGGGCTCGCGCGCGCTGCGGTCGTTGGGCGTCGTTGTGCGCGGCACGACGCCGACCGGGCACGCGTCCTTCGATTCGACGGGACGCACGCTCGGCGCCTACGCGCCCACGCAAACTGGCCAGGGCCGATCACAAATGCGCAGCGCGAACGTCGTCTGCCCCCGGCGGAGGGTCCGCGACGCCGTCGCGGCCGGCCTCGACGTGACTTATGGGAGGCGCTGCGTGTCGGTTGCTGACTGCGTCATCACCTTCGAGGACGGGACGACGGAGGGGCCCTTCGATGTGATAATAGGCGCCGACGGCGTGCGGAGCCGCGTCGCGCGCAACAAGCCCACGTACCTGGGCTACGTCGTGGCTCTAGGCATCGCACCGGCGGAGGCCGTGCCTACGCATTTACGAAGAGCGACGTGGCAGTGCCTCGACGGCGTCGCGAACCGCATGTACTCCATGCCCTTCGACGGCTGTACGGACGCGAGCACGGACGCCGCCGACGATATCAGGGAGACGTCCGACGGAGATCGGGTCATGTGGCAGTTCTCCTGGCGCGAGGCCGACGAAGGCGCCGCGCGGTTACTCGCGAAGGCCGGCGGCGTTACCATTCGCGAGACCGTACAAGAGCGCTGCCGCGACTGGGCCTCATATGTGCCTCATTTAGTATCGGAAACGGCGCCCGAGGATATTGTCGCGTACGCGCTCGTCGACATCGATCAGGTGAGGTGCGTCGTCGACGACCGCACCGTGTTGATAGGCGACGCGGCCCACGCGATGTCGCCGTTCAAGGGCCAGGGCGCGAACCAGGCGTTGGTGGATGGCGTCGAGCTCGCGCGGCGTTTGTATAGGGTGCAGTCGTTGCGGCCTGTATCATCACCACCGCCGCGCGGAGCCTTATCTGTCGAAGAGGCTCTGTTGGACTTCGAACGGGAATGTATCATGAGAGTGACTCCGAAACTGAACATGTCGCGGGCCAACGCGCAGCTGACGCATTCCATATCGGCGCTGGCCGTGGCCGACGTGCCGCGGGCGGAGGCCGCGCGAGCCGCTCTCTCCGGGGCGTTGTGATTTTAACCTGTGGAAGTTGTGTGTAATTCTGCCCACCGCACCGTCCGCGAGCAATCGAATTTTGCTAGTGTGTTTACAAACCGCTAGCATGCAGCTTAGCCTTTTTTGCGATTTGGGCTCGCAGCGGTGCTCATAACGTGTGGTTTCATCGTCCACGGTGGTCGTCGGATAAACGCAAACAACTGCCGAACGAGCAGCCATACGCATTTCAGCAGCACAAAGGAGGCCGCACAGCTCGCAACCATGGGCCGCTCCGGCGGCGGCAACACGAAGGTGATGGCGGCCAACGCCAAGAAGGCGGAAGCCCAAGCCGCCAAAGACGCACAGAAAGCAAAAGAGCAAGAAAAAAAGGACGCCGCGGCCTGGGCCGTCGGTTCCAACCAGCGCGGCGCGTCGAAGGCCCAAGCGGCGGCCGACAAGCAGGCCGAGAAGATGCGGCGCGACGCCGAGAAGAAGGCATTGGAGGCGGAGGAGGATGCTGCCGCATCAAAAGTTATGAAGCCGAAGAAGAAGAAAAAAGATAAAGACGACGTAAGTGCGTTACTCATGGCCGGCTTGGACGGCGGCAAGAAGATGAAAAAAGTCCCTGTCACGAAGTCTGCCGAGAAGGAGAAGTTGAGTGCGTTGCGGCTGGCCCAGGAGGAGGCGATGCGGAAAAAAGGCGTGGTGCTGCAGAATGACGATTTACTGAGGGCGAACAAAAATCGGCAGATGGAAGAAGAAGGTAGCGCGACGGGTTTGGACAACGCCCTGAATATGTTGGGCATGGAAGAGAAGGAGAAGTCGAAGAATTTGAAGGTGCTCTTCAACGAGTTCTCCGAGCGGGAAACACCCAAAGTGCGCGCGGACAACCCGGGCCTGAAGCTGTCGCAAGTGAAGGAGCGCGTCTTCCGGGCCTGGGAGAAGTCGCCGGACAACCCCAAGAATCAAGTGTAAGCTGTAGTATTTTTCTCGCGGTCGCGGTGACTTCTGTGACGGTGCTAGTCGCGGCGTCGGGTTCTGGTACGGTGCAGGGACTAGTGGGCGGAGGCCCTGGGGGGAGGCACCTGGTAGGCGCGTCGAGCTGCGTGCGGGTACGTCGGCGCTCTCCGACACAGCACAACAACACAGCAACAATTGTGCGGCTAATTGAGGGGCGAAGGACGTTCGATACGCTTGCAGACACGCGCAAGGAGCCAGCCAGCCAAGCAGCAGCACTGCTAACCGCACAGCATTAGGGCGGGCAGCATCTGGGGCAGCACAAAAACCAGGCTTGAGCATACACAGACAGGCTCGGCGGTAAAAAGGGCAGCCACCCCATGGCGACAAAAGCAGCAAGACGCAGCCGCAAGCCGCGCCAGGCCCCGAAGAGCGAGGTCCATCTGTCGGTGCAGACGCCCTGGCCCGACGAGGCGCCGCGCTTGCGGAAGCAGCACGCGTCTTTGACAAGACCGCCGGGCTACGTTCCGTTGGTGCAGGGTTGTATTGAGTGCGAGCCGCGGCGAAGGAGCGACGTCGACGACGCGCGGCGGCGTTATGAGCGAGATGGGGACCGGGACCAGTTCGCAGATGCCATTTACGAATGTACTGTGGAGACGTCTACCGTGAATGGGGGCGGCTGGTTCGACGATGGATTGGATCGAAGGGAAGTGGAAGCGCCTCCTCCATCAGAACGGTGGGTCGGGCCGCTGAGCTGTTTAGATGGGCGCGAGGCCGTCGACGACGCTACTGGACGGGGCGGCGTCCAGGTCTTCGGGGGGCTGGACGACAACGAGACGCCGGGGTCGCGGCCGAGCTCCCCGGGCTTCTTCTCGACGTTTGTGAGTAAAGGTACATGACATTCAAACTTACAGTGACGCGGACCCACTGGTCTCCCTTTCCGACGGGCACGGGCACTACATCTCTGAGCCGCGGCGACTTCGTCAATCCGTCGAGGCGCTGGAGCGGCCGGCACTTGCGGAGGCCCTGGCGCGGCGCCAGCGTCAACGAGCCCGCACATTGCACATTGTAGGCGAACCGCCCCGTCGCCACAAACTCCGCGAGGTCGCACTCGTCGTATTCGTCCATTCGCGTCGTGACCACGGTCCAGCGCCCGAATCGCGTCGTCGCATCCAGCGGGACGGCGGCACCATGAGGCACCTTACCTTCGAACACCGCGTCGTCGAAGAGGTACAACGCACCTTCTTCATCCAAATACGACCGCCAGCCCTTCTTGAGCTCGAGCCAGCCCTCTACGGGTAACGCGCCCTCGACCGGTTTCGAGGCGACGCCGCGCGCGCCCTTTAAGCGCTGCACGAGCAAGTTGATCGCCTTCCGCGACAAGCGACCTCTTCCGAGTGAGTCCGCGAGATCCCCAAGAAACGTCCTCCAGAAGAACGGGGACTCATCTTTAAACCGCAATAGAGCGATGCGCACGCCCAGCCTGCCTCTGGACACAGCTGAATGAGCCTCATGGAACACCCTCCGGTCGCACAATGCTCGTAGTTGATCGGAGTCCTCCGCCAGTTGAGTCAAAGACTCCAAACAACCAGCACCGTACACATCTTTTAGGAGAGGTAAAACCTCATTTCTCAACCGCCCGCGCGTCGACCAGGCCGGCGTCGAGTCGCGAAAAAACGGCACGCCGTGATCATACGCGACTTTCAGAATTTGCGCCTTGTCCAAAGTCAAAAGAGGCCTCCGTATCTCGACGTCATACAACCTATCTCGTGCATTCATGCCCGCCAGTCTCAAAGGCCCGGCGCCCTTCAGCGCATTGGAGATACAATTTTCCATGACGTCTCCGCGGTGGTGCGCTAACAGTACGGGGACGCCCTCCTCCCGGTAGAACGCAAACCTAAGCTCTCGAGCTTCCTTCTCGTACTGTTCGCGATCCGTGACGCCGCGTCGCAAATGTGAAGGCATTCGTAGCACCTTCAGAGGTATCTGTAACGATGCGCACCACCTTTCCAGGAACGCCGCCTCCGCGTCCGCCTCGGGACGGTTGCCGTAGTTGATGTGTAGCGCTGACACATCTGTGAGTTTTGAAAGGACATATAACAGGACCATCGAGTCTACTCCGCCAGATAAGGACACGGCGCATTTGTCATGCGTTTTTGAGAATTCTTTCAGCACGCCATGGACTTCCGAGTCGTTGCTCGACGTACCTCCACTGGTACAGCGCGTATCGAGCAACTCCGCGTCCTCACCGTTCAGATTGGGTCTTCCGCCCGGCGGCTCCGCGCGCTCGCGCCGTCGACGTTGTGTAGCTCTTCGAAACTTGTCGAGCACCTCGGCTTCCTGCTTGTCGTGGTTTTGGCGTCTTTCAATAAGCTTCTCAATTACTTCGTAATTGTAACGATTCGCGTGTCTCATCGACAACAATCCAAATGCGTGCTGCGACGGCGTCAGACTCGTATGCGGGTCCCATCTCCCAAAATCCTCCAGGTACACTTCCGCGGCCCTCTTCGCAGTAAGGGTGTGGTCCTCGTCGCGGTGCACGTGCCTCGACAATTGGTCGAGCACGACCACGAGCGCGATTGAACCGCGCGGCGTCCGGCGCCAGTGCTCCAACTTACCAGAGAGCGCCTCCTCGACGACGCCCGCGAAGCGGTCTCTCACTAAAACGTCCGCCGCGTCCCTATCCTTGCCGCGCGCGAACCAGAGCTTGCGCCCGCGGTCGGCTCCCTTAAACCAGAAGTCGAGGACTTCTATGATGCGTGCGTCGTCCGTTTTTCGTCGGCGGCGTCTCAGTGCGAGGTAGATCGCTGCTGCAGCGGCGCCTCCCGCGATAGCGGCTGCAGCTTTTCGCATTGGTGCCTTGCACGCCCTGCAGTGCTCTCCGTGTTGACTGCAGCAGCTTATGCAGCCAAGAAATGCTCGTAGATGTCGGCTTCGAGGCTTAATCTAGTTGCACAGCAATGCCAATCGCAGGCGCAAAAAGCTAGTGCGTTACAGGCCGCTAGCTCGAAAAAACGCGCCTTGGATTCTCGGGCTCAATCTCATCGCAATTGCTGAATCGGTGCTCGCGGCCTTTTTGGGGGTGGGCCAAGGCACCGCCAGCTACAGCTCAGCGCGGCGAAGCCAGCATTCACAGCCGCCAGCTCACAAAAAAGGCTGCTCTGCCATTTTTCTTCGGCCTTTACTACGCGCGACGAACTCACCGACGCGCTCCGAGCTCTCAAGTTTTAGTTAGTTTAGTATTTAGTATGCGGCTCACGCTGGTGTTGACGCTGCCGTGCGTGGCCCAGGCCCTGCGCGTGCCCGGGCCCGGGCGCATGCCACCGCAGAAGCAGATCAACCACCATCTACCGGGCGCCGTGGCGGAGCCGCGGCCCGACGCCATCGCTGAACTGCGACGCAACGACTTCGGCGACCTGTACAACTTCCTCAAGTCTTTCGAGTCCTGCGCGACGCTCGCCGACGCGCTCGAGCCTCTATCATTACCTCAAGTGGACTACGTCGTCGACCAGGCCGTCAAGCCGCCCTCGACATTAGCGGACACGGGCGCCTGCCTCCAGCTGATGGCCGAGGGCGACTTTCTCGGGGCCCACGACGTCTGCGAGGGCTTGGTGGAGAAGGGCGCCGGGGCTGGCGACGCGGCCCGATCAACAGCCTTCTCTATCATTAGTGCATTATGTGAAGGGGAACTGACGGGCACCTACGACCTCGCATTCCTAGATCGTTTGGACGACATTGTGATCAATGATCCGCGATCAAGACCGTTCGTCGACCTCGGACGAGCGTTCTCGTCGACGGCCGAGGAGGCTCTGGGCCACGCTTTGGCGGCGGCGGCGCACCCGGCGCTCGCCGCGCTGGCCTCGGAGGCGGCGCGCCGGGCCGACTCGGAAATATCAGTGGTAGAAGTCGAGGAGGAGGTCCATACAGAGGTAGAAGAGGACGAGCAGCTCCCGCCCAAAGCGCTGACGGCCCTAGACGAGTTAGTGGCCATCAAGCCGGCCAAGGCGTTGTTTGCTGCATTGACGGACGCGGCTCTGTTAGCGGAGGAGCGCCAGGACGACCTCCGAGAAACTAGCTTCTCATGCGTCTTTTCGGGCAATCCCGGGACGGGCAAGAGCACCGTGATGAAGCTCTACGGCTCCCTGCTCGAGGAATTGAAGGTAGCCCCTCAAGGGAAGACGGTCGAAACGACAGGCGGCGAGTTAGCGCGGGGCGGCACGGACGGCTTCGAGGCACTCATCAAGAAGTCCTTCGCGGACCCGCAAACGTCTATCCTACAAGTAGGGGACAAAGTCGAAGTGAAGCGCGGCGCGTCGTGGGGCAATTTTGGGGAAGTGGTGTTTGTGGACAAGAATACCTATGACGTGCGGCACGGCGACTGCGTCGAGATCAAGGCGCCCCGACACAGAATCAGAGACAAGCGCGAGGAGGGCGGGGTGTTGTTGGTCGATGAGGCGTATCAACTGGACCCGTCGAACAGTAACGCGGGAAGACAAGTACTGGAGATGCTCGTCAAGGAGATGGATGCGCGTCAGGGTTCACTGACGGTCGTGTTCGCGGGCCCCGCGAAGGAGATGGACCTGTTCCTGTCGTCGACACCTGGTCTATCGAGTAGAGTGCGTCGCACGGTGGACTTCCCCGACTTTTCCGACGATGAGTTGGTCGAGGTTTCTCAAAGAAAATTCGCGTCGCGGTTCGGGAATTATCAATTAGCAGACGAAAAGTATTTGCGGATCGCGGCGCGGCGGTTGGGCAAAGGTCGGGGCGCCCCGGGCTTCGGGAACGCGCGAGCCGTCTCGCATCTCATAGACAACGCCTGGGAGAAGCAGACTCGGAGAATCTCGTTAGAAAGGGCCCGAGGCGGAGACCCGGATCCCTTCTTTATGACGAGGGAAGATTTATTAGGCAATAGGACCTTGGATATGTCCCAGTCCGAACCGCTCCAAGCTCTTCGAGCCATGGAGGGCCTCGAGCGAGTCAAAGCGAATGTCGATGACTTGCTACGCGTGGTGGAGACGAACAACGAGAGAGAAGATAACGAAGAGAAGCCCCAACAGCTGTCGCTCAATAAAGTCTTCCTGGGCAACCCGGGGACCGGAAAAACAACTGTAGCACGGTTATATGGTCGCATCCTGAACGAGCTCGGGTTTTTGTCGAAGGGCGACGTCGTGTTAGCTACTCCCTCGGATTTCGTGGGAAGCGCACTAGGCCAGTCGGAAGAGAAGACGAACGCTCTGCTCGACAAGGCTCGGGGGTGTGTTTTAGTTATTGACGAGGCCTATGGACTGGACCCGTCGTCCGGGAATGGGAATGGCGCCATCGCGGGCGGCGACCCATTTAGAGGAGCCGTCGTCGATGCCCTCGTCAGTAGAGTGCAGGGCGAGGCCGGCGCCGACGTCTGCGTTTTATTACTGGGTTACGAAAGACCCATGCGGGAATTTCTGCGCAAGGCGAACCCGGGACTCGCGCGGCGCTTCGACCTGGAGAACGCCTTCGTCTTCGACGACTATGATGATCAAGCCTTGCTCAAAATCTTATTACAGAACGTGCGGAAGCGTTCTTTGAAAGTTTCTTTGAGCGATGCCAAAGCTGCCGTAAGAAAGCGCCTCGCGAAGCAGCGGCTACGGCCGAACTTCGGCAATGCGGGGGCCGCCGAGGCGTTAGTCGCGGAAGCTGTTCAAAGAAGGGAACGCCGATTAGAGTCGTTAGATGCTTCGCAACGATCTATGGAGCGGGACTTGGTTCTTGAGGACTTATATGTGGAACCTGATCACGTCAAGGACCCGTCACTGGTCTTCGACGGACTCATAGGTTGCCAAGAGATAAAGCAGAAGCTCACCGAATACAGAGCGGTGGTGGACGCCGCTCGAATCGCGGGACGGGATCCCATGGACGACCTCGGGATGACGTTCTGCTTCCAGGGGAGTCCGGGGACGGGCAAGACGACGGTGGCTAGAAGGATGGGGCTGTTGTTCGAGGCGCTAGGCGTATTACCGTCGGCGGAGGTCGTCCAGGTCTCGGCGTCGGACTTCGTGACCGGTTACGTGGGTCAAGCGGCGAAGAAGACGCGGGACATCTTCGAGAGTGCTAGGGGTGCGGTCTTGTTCGTCGACGAGGCCTACCGCTTGTACGACCCCACCGGAAGGTCGTATTTTCAGGAGGCCGTCGACGAGATTGTTACATTATTGACGGAGGAGGAGTACCGGAACAAGCTGGTCGTGGTGTTTGCGGGCTACGGCGGGCAGATGCGCACGTTGCTGGATCGGGTGAACCCAGGTTTAAAGAGTCGCGTGTCCGATATCATCGACTTTCCCGACTTTACGGCAACGGACGCCGCGGCGATTGCTGCCAATCTGTTGAAGCGGAAGCGTTTGGGACGGGTCGGCACGGATATCTTGGTCGAGGAAGCTTCGAAGCTTGTGAGTGCGCCGGACTGGGCGAACGGGCGGGACGTCGACGCGTGGGTCCGGCGTATTGCTGTTGAAAGTGCCACGCGCGGGTCTTCTGTAGCGACGCCCGCTTCTGTACGAGCCGCGACCCAAGATTTGTTGGAGCGGAAGCGCGGCGCCGTTCTTGTGGACGCGCCGCCCGTCCTGCAAGAAGATTTCATGACCGAGGACATGACGATAGCGCCGCCGCGCGTCGAGGTGCAGACGGTGACGGACGTGCGCGAGGACGACGATGATGACGACGACGACGAGCCGTCCTTTGGTGCGCCGGATTTGAATGGTGCCCTCGAGGAGGCCTGCGTGGCGCTGGGCTACGGCGACCCGGCGCGACGGGCGGAGCTCATGGACGCACTCACAAATGGAGTGCCCGACGACGTCGTCGCCCAGGTCGTCGCGACGCGCGGCGGCGACCGCGGCGCCGTGGCCCAGGAGCTCGCGCGGCAGGCCGGGCCCTTCCGCGAGGCCCTCAAGCGCGTGGCCGTCGCGACGCGGCTCGGCCGCAAGATTGACAAGGACCGCGACGCGGAGGCGGGCGGCGACGACCTGACGGACGAGGACATCGTCCAGCGCCTGCGCGAGATGGGGCCCTGCCCGATGGGCTTCGCCTGGCACCGCGAGGGCTCGGGCTGGCGCTGCGGCGGCGGGAGCCATTTCGTACATGATGATGATCCGATGCTCCAGGCGTAGTTGGAGCGTTCTTCCCTTCCCCGTGTGTAATTTATTGATCAAATCTAGATAACCACCACCGAAAGGAAGCGCCTACTTCTTCCGCCGCGCCGGCGCCGCGCCGGCCTTCTCCTTCTTCCGCCGCGCGATGTGGTCGTCGACCAGCCGCCAGAACGAGTGCGCCGCCGTCGGGTCGAGGTGTCTTTTATGTTTATTGACGGAGACCACCGAGACGTTCCACTTTTTGACGTCCTTGGGAGTTTCGCTGTCGTCGTACTTGATGTGCACGCCCAGGTACTTGTTGAATAAATCCACAGGCTGGGAAACCTTCCAGCCCTTGAACTGCCAGGCGGCGCCCTGCGCGACGACGGCCACGACCTTCTTCCAGTCGCTGTCCGACAACCGCCGCGGGTCGTCTACTAATTTAAATGATTGCACGACACCATCACCTCTTGTACGAGACACCTTGACGACCGGCTCCTTCTTCGCGCCCTGCTGCCGTTTTTGGGCCGGTGTTATGTAGGTGTTCCGTTCGAGCAAATCGGCCGCATTTACTAACGTAAGTAAGGCCGTGGGGGCGTTGGGCACGATGATGATGCCGACCGTACCGGACGTCCTCGGTTTCTTCTTTGATTCGGCCTTGGCCTCCTCGCGCGCCCGTTTCTTGTCCGCGGCCACCGGATCTTTTTTGCGGAGCTTTTCATCCCTAGCGGCCTTCTCCTTGGCCTTCTTCTCTTCGTGCTGTCGTTTTTTGGCCGCCTGCTTTTCCCGTTCTACGTATCTCTCCCACAGCCTCGCCGCGAAGGAGAAGTCGCGGCCCGGGATACAAACTAGAGCGGCATTCCGGTCGCCCAACGAGTAGCACTTCGACTCGAAGGGGTCGTCGGCGTCGTCGTCGACCTCTTCCTTCTGTTGCGTAGCCTGGGTCTCCACCACTTCGATGGGAGGCGCTTCTACCGGCTCTTCGCCCTCCAAGTTCGCCGAGTCGTCCTTGGCTCCCGATAACAGCGCGCGCACGTCGCCCTGGTCGACCGTGACGACGCCGCGAATTTTGCGCGCGATGCACGCTCGGAGGTATTCCGATTGTTTTGTGTACCTTACGAGCAGTACGACGGCGGCGAGCGAGTACACCCCGATGCCCTGCTGGGAACTCCGGTACCCGGTCGGCTCTTCACCTTTATAGGTCGTACCATCGATCGCCACGGAGCCGTCGTCGGCGACGTCGGGCGGGTTGTTGGGCCGCGTCGCGAGGTGGGCCCGCAGCGCGCGGAGGCAGGGAGCGCCGCGCATCTTGGTGTTTTTGTCTCGCGCTCGCTCGCGCGCGGCGACGGCGTGGGGGGCGGCTTGCCTTGCCCTCAGCGGAAGAGGTGTTGGTCGCGCCGCCTCGCAGGTCCTGCGTAAAGGGACTAACTGGTGCTTTGAAAGATGACTGCCAGTGAATCTCTTGGGCTCAACAGCAGCTCTGATGGCGCAAAAAACGTCCCCGCGAGCTGCTCGAGCTCACTAATCGTGCTAGCGGCTGTAAGACACTAGGAAGATTAAAACTCCAGGAAGCGCAGGGAGGGCACACAGACGCGTCCCGAGACAGCTCGAGCATCGTTGTAGCGCGTGGGAGCCCGGAGGCGCCGCTCGACGTTTGTGGGACCGCACTTTTTGACGGCTCCCGCTGCGCCAACAATTCGCCAGCGGTGCGCAGGAGACGTCCATATAGTGCGCTGAGAGCCGGTTGCCACGCCTACGGCCGCGGCGCTGCTCGCAGACGCGCCCAAAACGCGGGCGACACCACCAGTGCCCAAAAGTAGTTGACGACGTAAACGCCGCGCCGCGCCCTCCTCTGGCACCGTCGGACCGTCCTGAAGGACGCGGCCGCCGCAAACGACAGCGACACCATGCCCACGACGCCCCCCAAACCGCCAAGCGCCGAGGCCGCCGAGCGCCTCGAGCGCATCAGGTCTGCGTCGGCCACAAAACCCGCGTTAGCGATGCGCACGAACGACCGCGTCTCCTTCTGCACGCCGCCCACTTTGCAAGTGCCCGAGACGCCCCAGGACCGCAGCGCCAAGATCCGCGCGGACGCCTCCGCGCGCTTCGAGAGGGAAAAGCGGCGCCGCGCGTCGTCGATCAGCGCCACGAAGATCCCGGAGGGCGGGCCCCTGCCGCGGAGCACGCTGGGCGGGCCCTCGGCGAAGAAGATCTGTGACAAGGAGAATTCTGCTGTCCACGCAGAAGAAACTTCGACAATCGACGAGCCGCGCTTCACGGAGGCGTCGCGCTGGTCGTCGACGTCGCTGAAGGGCGTGAGTGCGACGCGAGATGATTCCTGGAGCGCGGCACTCGACGCGCGGGCCTGGGAGGAACCCGTACCTCAAGTCGCTGCTTTGGAGGCCGATCTCGTGGACAAGATGGTCTGGGCGCCCGTTGGTGATGATGAAAAGCCGGGGAGGGTGCGCAAGGTCTGGCTGGACGACAAGGGCGCGTATTTCGTCGGGGTCGAGTTATTGCAGGACCACGCTAACGCCTCGTCGACGGCGTTCCCGTGCTTGCCTCATCGGGGCGTGGCCGTGTCGCCGTCCTCCATTAGATTATTGAGCTGGCAGGACTTGTGTGCTCTGCCGCCGCCGGCGCCGCCGCCGCCCGCCGGGCCGCCGCAGACGTCCTCGGAGGGCTCGACCGAGTGCGACCCGTCGCCATTAATCGAGGGCCGCACGCCGCCGGCCTGGGCCGAGCGCGATCAGTTGAATGCGTCGCTGCGACGGCAGGACTTCGCGAACCCGCCGCTCGAATTAGGACCGGAAGGCGCCATGGGCACGTCCTGCGACCTCGCCGACGTGTTCGGGCGGGCGTCGCTCGCGCCGCGGGGCTACCGCGAGACGGGGGACTGGGCGGCGGACTCGTGGGACCTGCGGACGGGCGCCGTCTAGAGGTGTTCGTCGGCTAAGACTTGTTGCTTTTTAGATCCGCCTCGATGGCGTGAAAATGAACGGGCTATCATCATCATCGAACCGAACGGTGCTCGAACGGCTACTTGCTAGTGTCTTACCGCCGCTAGCCGGCGGCTTGGCTGAAGCGTCGCGGCGAGCGTCGCGGCGCTGCAGGCGTACAGTGGTCAGCACTGGCAGGCTAAACGGCTTATGAGCGCTGCGGCTGCGCCACTCGCAGGATATCACCTTTGAGAGCACCCCGCGGGCAAGCCAGACGCCGCACCAAGCCAGCATGGCCTCACTGCCACCGGAGCCCGCCGAGGGCTGCACGCTGCGCCTGGAAATCCAACCGCGCGGCCAGGCGCCGCGCCGCCTCGAGCGCAAGTTCGACGGAGACGACACCGGCGCTCTGGTACTAAGGTGGCTCGCCGCCGAGGGCTGCACCGACTGCTTCCAGGACTGGCGTTTATACCGCGTCGACGTGCACCCGGAGGTCGTGATCCAGGAGACCTTCGCCCGACAGACGCTGCAGTCACTAGGACTGTGGCCGTCGGCGCGTTTAGCGTTGCGCCCGCGGCCCACGTATCGGATCACGGTTAGGACCGCCCGGTCCCAGGACGGTGAATGTCTACTGGAGTGCTTCGCCGACGAGACCGCTTCAGCGATAGCGCGGCGCGCGTGCGAGAAGCTGCCGCTATTTTGTAGCGACCGCTTACAAGCGAGGGACTGGGACAAGTGCCGCTTAGTGTACGCCGGCAAAATTATCGAAGGCCTCGGCGACGTCGACCAGGACGCGACGCTCTTCCTCGCGCCGCCGCCGCCTACCACAACACCGGAGCCGCCAAGAGTAGACGAAGGCCCGCCGACCTGCCGCATCTGCTACTCGGAAGACAATAGTCAAGAGGACCCGCTCATCAGTCCCTGCCTGTGCACCGGCACGATGCGCCACGTCCACGTGTCCTGTCTGAACGCCTGGCGCGCCGCGGCGCCGGACGCGCGGTCTTCCTTTAGGTGTGACCAGTGCCGCTACGCCTACCGCATCGAACGTACAAAAGTTGCGGCGTTCCTCGGGACAAGAAGGGGCGCGTTGCTCGTCGCGTTCTCCGTGCTACTTTGTGTTGTTCTTGTTATGGGCTACCTATGTCTCTTGGTCGTTCCTCCACACAAGCGGGTGTGGTTGTACCGGTGGCTTAGATTAAGGACGCGCCTCGACCATCGCGCCGAGGAGGTCATAACGCTGGGCCTCGCCTGCGTCGGCCTGGGCATGTTCTCCCTGTATGCCTGCCTGGAGGTCGCGGCGGCGCAGCACTTCCGGCGGCCGACGCCGGCCGCGTTACTGGCGGTCTGGATCGCGGCCGAGGTGCGAGATGCGCGGCGCGGGCGCGCCTTAGCTGTGGTCGGATTGTGGCTCGCGGGCCAGGCGACGTGGCGCACGGCCTTCCACGCGGCGCGGGCGCTCGCGCAGAAGATCGGCGACCGCGTTTTGGACGTGCAGGCCGGTGATTGTGCCGGCGTCTCTTACACTTCCTGCCGTCGATGATGCTCAAACGATTAGTCTTTCCAAAGGGCCTTTCGGGCCCGGTGCCGACAGAACTTTTGATGATTCACCTGAGACGCTCCTGTTTTCCTTCTGCCGCTCGGCGTTCGTGCGGCGCGCGGCCGAGCTTTCCCCGCTCGCAGGTACTACGTAGTGCGCCGGCGTGATGTGTGTAAGTGTATGATATGTTCTTTTCTCTAGCTCTAAGTAGAGCCGCCCCGCCGGCCGCGACCGCGCCAATCCTGCTCAAGTGGGCAGCCCGGGGTTTTGCGAGTGGGTTTCGTCATGGGAGAAAGCCACGCTCGCGGCCTGCGGAGTGAGCCTACTAGCCGCAGCCGAGCTCCAGCAGCTTCTTCACTTGAGTTTTTGCCCTACTTTTTTGGGGTTACCCTCCCCCGCGCTGGCGCTTATAGGGCCGCAAATACGAGGACACACGCGCCCTGTGAGACCTCCTCCGCTGGGATGCGTGCAGGGGTCTGCGCGAATGCGAATAACAATTAATTAGCCTGCAATTTGCCCATGCGGGCGGCGCGGCGCTTATTTGCTTGTTGCGCGCACTCTAAGCCCGCGCGCGACCGGGAAAAAGGCTTCCCGAGCCCTCACTCGTGGGCAGATAACTTTGGACCGCAGCCCGGACACGGCAGGTCACGGCAGCACTCGATTTGACTTGCCCGCCGCTTGCCGTCTCAACAGCTAAATACAGAGTCACGAGCCGTGTCCCGCGGGCCCACAAGCGATCACAGACCACTATGAGCAGCCCCGCGAGTCAACCGGACCGCAAGAAGGCGAGAAGGGCCTGGACGGGCGAATGCCGCACGTGCGGCGCGCGATTTAGTGGAGACGGCGCCTGGAACACGCGCGCGGCCCACGAGCGCGCCTGCGGGCAATCTATAGCTCCCATTCCCGTGACGCGCGAGGCGAGCGACGAGCCCTACGCGCCGCATCGCGACCCGGCGTCGCCGCAGTCGCTCGTGAGGCGCGCGTCGCTGTCGAAACGACCGGATCTCGAGGAGACGCCGGCGCCGCGCGTGTCTGGGAGGAAAACGAGACCCGTCGAGCTCTACAATCCATTGCTCGAGGCCGCAAGGCCGCAGTGGGGCGGCCTCGAGTCTCCGCGGTCTCCCGCACCGAGGCAGTCTCTTGGAGTCAAGTCACCCGTACAATACGCTCCCGATGATAGGAAGTTCGAACCTATTGATCCGGCGCAGATTCCCGACGTCGGTGCTACTTTGGAGGACGATGCGTTACTCTATGAGAAATTGTGGCGGCCGTCGGGCGACCCGGGCGCCGACCTGGCTCTGTTGAGGAGAGTCGTGCCGCAGCACACGGACGAACCTATCCAGAGCGAGCACCCCGACGCGGATAATGCAACGAACCCGATGCCTCGTGAAGCAAGAGCGCTAGCGGCTCTACAGACATCAAGCAGAGACCCGGACCAGGCTAAATTACTACTAGAGAGGCGCGACGCCGCGTTTAGAACCGCAAAAATAGGCCCCGGGCCGTCGGCGTGCGACGCTTTGCTCGTCGAGCATGGTGGTGATGTGCAGTACGCGGCTCGCTTGTACGCTCCGGAGAAGCGGGCGGCGACGCGCGGCGCTCTGTTAGCTCGCTTGTACGGCCAGCCGCGCGTCCAGGCCAACTTGTTGGGAGGTGATGACTCTTCAGCGACGTCCAAGAGTGTAGAATCGGATAGCGATGACGACGCGCCGTCCGCGCGCGTCGCGGTCGCGGACGCCTGGGAGGCGGAACCCCAGTTGCCCGCGGGTGCTTTGAGAGCGGTACCTAGAGGTGCCAAGCGAAGGTTCTACCGACGAGCACGAGCAAGATGGGGTTCGGACCATTGGACCTTTGATCGAGGGCGCGGGCCCGTGCAGACGACGTGTCCGCTCATCTGCGAGCCGGGGAAACCGCGAGCTAGATACGCTGTGCTACCGGTCGACTTTTACGTCGACAGCGATGATGGGCACGCGATGCTCGTGTTCCGCTGGTTCTACAAAAAGTCCGACATCGACCGGAAAGCACTAAACGCGCTGAAGAAGGACGACCCGTTCGATGCGAGGGATGAATTGGCGCTGGGCCGGGGCATCTACGAAACTCCTTTGGAGTACGTGAGGGGCGCGACGACGGTCTTCGCCGAGGCCGGCGTCGGCCGGTACTGCGCGCGCGACTATGATGAACAGAAGGGGAAGCTGTATAAGAGGCAACTATAGTAGTCTGTGTCTGCTCGGCGGCGTGCCAGTGGAAGGTCTCCGTCGCGGGGCGCCCGCCGTGTTCGGGGCCGCGCCGCCCGGGCGCCGCAGCGCAAAGCGCACTACTGCTTAGTTGTCCACGCCATCGAGGCGACACACGAGTACTACTACTATCACAACAGCATGGTCTCCGACGACTCGCGGCGTGACTACGACGGGCAGTTGTAGATAGCTACTACTAGTTACGCCGCCGGCGCGACGTGTCGGGGCCGCAGCCCTCTAAACCCATCATCTGCTTCCGCGTCCAGGTCGCGAGCTTCTCCCGATGGATCGACAGGCCGATCAATTCCGACCGCGGCTCGCGCCAGTTCTCCGTGACGTTGTGCTTTTTGACCCCGGGCTTCGGGTGCAACGCCTTGAAGGCGCACGTCTTCTCGAAGACGCCGGGCACGCCCGCGTGGACATACAACAACACGTCGTCGCCATCCACGGAAATCCCGTCGACGGCGTGGTCGACAATTTCGCCCCCAACGTGACTGGACTCGAACAGCCGTATAGGTGCAGAGAAGTGGGAGCCGTCGCAGGACACCGCCATTAAAATGGAGGCGGCCGTCTTGAGGGCCGTCGGGAAGAGGCCCAGCAATGTACCCGGCACGGACGGGTTCTCATTCACCGCTCCGAAGTAGACGTCGGCTTCTTCCCTAGCTTTGTTTGGATCATGCAAGACGTCGAAGGGCTTGGGAGATGGCTGAAACGTGATCGGTCGCAGGGGCCCCCACTCGTTTTTTACGAGCGTAGAAATGGTCACCGCGCGCCCGCCACTCACAGGGTTCGTGTTGCCCCGCGCGTAGAGTAACGTGGCATTCCCGAGCTTCGCGAGCGAGAAGCGCCCGTCGTACTCGCACACCGGCCGGTTCGGCCTCCGCTCCACACATCCCGGGTGGTCGCTGGACAGCCCCGGTATAGAATTGACGAGCCAGTCCGACGATGAGGCTAATAAACCCATGGTCGTACTGCGCTTCTGGGACGTCAGGCCGGTCACGCCCCAGACCTTCTGATTGTCAGCAAGCACAGCGTAGTTGTGCACGTCAGAAGCACCTTTCGCCACGACGTGCGGCGGCGCGCAGCCTCGGAGCTTTGCATCGCAGCCCTTGAAGACGTTTAATGTAGATTTCAGCGCCGCGTTCGGGTATGAGCCGTTCTTGGCCAGGAGCCAATAATCGGTGCCGACCGGCGCCCTTATGATCGAGAAGTAGCGGCTTGGATCATGACGCGGGAATCGTTTAACAACCCAGCGCCTCGTCACGAGGGCGTGGTGGTGGCGCCGCGGCCTTTGCGGCGCGTCGAGGCAGGCGTGAGTTGTGGTGATTATGGCTAGGAGCTTTACAGCTGCCATGCGGGCTGCCGCTTGCTGTGCATCACATCACATCCATCGCAGGTGTTATGTTGACGAGGCGTGGTGCATTCTTATGGCTTCTGGGCTGCAGTGCCATTCATGGACGGCGTCCTGAGGCGTACAACCCGAACACGGTTCGTTGCAAAAAGTTGCATCCCAGCCGTACATAGCCACCAGAAGAGCTCTCCTTACGCGCCGGGAGAGCTCTGAGGGAGATCTGCGAGGTTGCGCCTCGCGCTTGGACTTGAGCAATCACGTCTCCGTGATCCTGTCACCGCGGCCTAAACGCAGCGGTTGCGCGCAAGGTGACCGGTTGCAGGTCGGCAACAGCGTCAGTGTCTCGCACAGTTGCAGCGAGCGCAACGGCGTGATAGCTGACGCAGCATATCCAACTTCGCCGCCAGACTGGAGCAGCTCCTGTAGCTTGCTCGTCAAGGCGCGCGGAGCCAAGCAATAACCATGGCGCGACGGAGGATAGCATGCGTGCTCGCAGTAGCGAGCGTCAGCGCCTGGCTCGCGCCCATGAGCAAGCCGGCCGCGCGCGGCATCCGGCCGCAGACGGCGACGATGACGCCCGAGGAGCGCATCGCCGCCATGGACGCCCAGGAGGGCGCGGCCAAGGACGTCACGGCGCGCAGCGAGCAGGACGGCCTGCCGCTGTCCATGGTCGTGGGCCAGGACAGCATCAAGACAGCGCTTCTACTCGCGTCCGTCAACCGCGACATGGGCGGCGTCCTCATTTCTGGGGGACGCGGCACGGCGAAGTCCGTGATGGCTCGAGCGTTACACTCGTTGTTACCTCCCATCGAGGTCGTGAAGGACTCGAAATACAACGCGGACCCGGAAAACGTCCAAGAAATCGATTCTCTGTTGCGAAAGCAGCTCGAGGCCATGGACGACGGCAAGAAGGTGACCGAGCGACTCGCTGATCTCGACCGGGAGATCATTAAGGCGCCGTTCGTCCAAATCCCGCTCAACGTCATGGACGACATGCTTCTCGGTAGTATTGATGTAGAGGAATCGGTGAAGCAGGGCAAGTCCGTCTTCCAGCCCGGGTTGTTAGCTCGGGCCCACCGGGGTGTGCTGTACGTCGACGACATCAATCTGCTGGATTCCGAGGCTACTAATATCCTGTTGCAGGTTATCAGTGATGGCAAGGTCATCGTCGAGCGCGAGGGCATTTCGGTCACGTATGCGTGCAAACCCTTGCTGATCGCGACCTTCAACCCCGAGGAGGGCGAGATGCGCGACCACTTGCTGGATCGCATCGCCGTGTCTTTATCTGCCGATGCGGCGCCGCTAGATATCACCCAAAGAGCCGAGGCCGTTGACAGTGTATTAACCTTCGCCGCGGGCGGCGAGAAGCGCGCCAAGGCCTTAGACGAGGACATGGAGGCCTCCGACGCGTTGCGGTCTAGAATTATCTTCGCTCGTGAGGAGATCGGGGACGTCACGTTATCGAGGGACCAGTTGGTCTACTTATGTGAAGAAGCTGTAAGGGCGGGCTGCCAGGGCCACCGCGCCGACATCTACGCCGCGGAAGTTGCGAGAGCCTCGGCCGCACTCGCGGGAAGAACCGCGGTCGACGCGGAAGACCTCAAATTGGCCGTCAAACTCGCCATCGTACCTAGATCTTCGTTTGTAGCGGACATGGAGGAGCCGCCGGACCTCGACATGCCGCCGCCGCCGCCGCCGCCGCCGCCGCCCCAGGACCAGATGGACGAGATTGACGAGGACCAGGACCAGGACGAGCAGCAGGAGCCGCCCGACCAGGAGGACCAGGAGGACCAGGAGGACGCGCCCGAGCCCGAGCCCGAGGAGCCCGAGCTGCCGGAAGAGTTCATGTTCGACGCGGAGGGCGTGCCCATCGACCCCGAGTTACTGGCGTTCGCCAATAAACAGAAGCAGGGCAAGTCCGGCGGGCGGGGCATGATCTTCTCGGAGGATCGGGGGCGGTACATCAAAGCTCAATTGCCTCGTGGTAAGGTTCGGCGGTTGGCTGTGGACGCGACGATGCGAGCGTCGGCGCCGTACCAAAAGCCGCGCCGCGAGAGGCAGCAGGCGAACCCGCAGAAGAAGTACATGGGCCGCAAGGTGTTCATCGAGGAGAGCGACGTTCGCTCGAAGCGCATGGCGCGCAAGGCCGGTTCTCTGATCATCTTCGTCGTCGACGCGTCGGGCTCCATGGCTCTGAACCGCATGCAGGCCGCGAAGGGTGCGGCTCTCAGCTTATTGACGGAGGCCTACCAGTCGCGCGACCAGATCTCGCTGATCCCCTTCCAAGGCGATGCCGCGGACGTGCTGGTGCCGCCGACGCGGTCGATCGCTCTCACCAAAAAACGCTTGGAGACCATGGCGTGTGGGGGCGGCTCGCCGTTGGCGCACGCCTTGTCCATGGCGGCGCGCACGGGCATGAACGCCCAAAAATCAGGCGACGTCGGCAAGGTCGTCGTCGTCTGCATTGGTGATGGGCGGGCGAACGTGCCGCTCGACGTGTCGTTAGGTACGGCGGAGCCCCTGGAGCCGGGCACGAAGCCCGATAGGCAAGCTCTCAAGGACGAACTTATCGACACGGCGAAACAACTCGGCTCCATTCCTGGGTTTTCGTTACTGATGCTCGACACGGAGAACAAGTTCGTCTCGACGGGCCTGGCCAAGGACATCGCCGACGCGGCGCAGGGCCGCTACTTCAAGCTGCCGAAGACGAACGAGGCCGCGATCGCCGAGCTGACGCAGGGCGCGGTCGGCGCGATGAAGGCATAGATAGGCGCGCGGTCCTATCCTCGACCTAAGGAGGCGTGGTCGCTAGTTCTTTTTGCGGCGGGGAGACACAGTGCGTCGCCGATCCATCGGCGCGGGCGGGGGCGTCGGGCGAGGGCCGCGTCGGGAGGGGCCCTTTTCGTCGCGCTCGCAAAGGAGCGGTCTGGCGAGGCCTCTCATACGACCGAGAGCGTCCGCGGACGAGTCTCCCGCGTGCGGAGCCGCATCTCTAGAGCGCATGATTTGACAGCTTGGAACGCCTCGGCACCGGGCCAGCGGCACGACCGACCGGCTGAGTTTCGACGCGGGGCAGCCCCGGAGCGCGCATACGTCGAAGGGAGGCCAGCACGGCCTCGATATATGCCGCTCCCAAGCCATTAGGATGAGGAGCCCACTCCCCCTGCTCCTGGCTGCGGCGGCCGCCGGCGCGGCCACCGTGGAGGTCCGCTTCACGGCGGACTTCACGGACGCGGTGACCTCCACCAGCAGCACGTCCTGCCGCGGCGGCGCCTACCGCGCGCACGCGCTCAACGTCGCCAGCAGCGCCGACGCGCTCCTGCGCATCGAGGGCGGGGGCGTGGCCAAGGCCTGCGGAACCGACGCAAGATGCGCCCAAGTCTTCGCCGCGATGGGCTACGACGCCTGGGCGCTGAACGCCGCCGACGTCGCGTCGGGGTCCCTCCAGACATTCGTCAATGCCGCCGGCAGCAAGCCCGTGGCCTCGAACTACGACGAGGTCTACACGACGACCTTCGCCGACCTCGGCGGCGCCGTCCTGCTGGCGCTGTCGGCGACAAGTACTGCCACGTACCGCAAGGGGCTCGAGGTCGGCTGGGCCGACGCGCTCGCGGCCGGCGCGAGCCTCGACGATATCGTCGTGCTCTGCGTGTCCGGCATCTCGCAACCCGACATCGACGCGTTCGGCGCGAGCAGCGCCGCGGACGCCGTGCGCAAGATCGCCGAGGAAAACACGGAGGTCGACATTGTGATCGCGACGGGTATCTCCTCCGACCTGCCGTCGGCAGAGGAGCGGACGAACCACTTGAATCAGAGGGTTCTGATCGTGTCCGCCGACGCGGACACCTCCGTCGCGAAGTTCACGTTCGACATGTCCGACGTCTCCCCGGCGTCGGCGGCGGCGGTCGCGTCCGGGACATGTTCGTCGTCGTACCAGGACACGTTCGTCAAGGGCATCATCGACGGCGACGTCGACACCGTCCAGGTCGCGATGCTCTGCGAGGACAGCGTCGCCGGGCGCGAGGAGTGCGACGCGGGGCGCGCGGCGATCGACGCGATCAACGACAAGAACGATGGTTATTTCGACGACCTGCTACCCCTCACGAAGCTGCAGCCCTCGATCGTGGAGTTCCAAAGCTGCGGCGACAACGGCGCACGGACCGCGTGGCAGTCACTTCCTGTAACTCCCGTGGCCTCGATCGGGCCCGGCGCCACCTCGTGCGTCAAGTCCGTGACATCAACCACCAACCGGGACTTCCTGGGCCAGCCGGACGACCACCAACCAGTCGTCCTCTCGGAGTCGTCGACGGCCACGCCCGTCAGCGATCGATCTCAATACCCGAACCTCGTCCGGCTGAGCAGCTCCGAGCGCATCGTGAACGTCGCCCTGTCGGCGGTCACCAACTATTATGGCTGGGACCGGATCGCCGTCGTCTACGAGGTCTCGGACTCGTGGGCCCGGGACGCGGCGCGGATATTTAGCGAGAACGTCAACTCGGTGGTTGGCGACCGCTGCACGTCGACCTACTGCCCGACGGAAGACGAGGCGGGTCACGACGGGCCCAAGACGGGCATCCGTTTCGATAAGACCACGCACTGGTCCGGCTGGCACAAGTACTGCGCCGGCGAATCGTCGAGGACCTGCTCCAGCGACGCCGACTGCGTCGGCGCCGACACGTGCGACGACACGCTCCGGCCTGAGGCGGCCGACGAGATCCTCAGGGAGCTGGAAGCCAACGACGCCAAGATCATCTATGTGGCGATGCACCCCAGAGACCAGAAAGTACTTTTCGAGTGCATCAAGGAGACCGGCATGATGCATGGCGCCGGCCACGCGATCCTCAGTGGGTGGCTCTCGGAGGGTATCTTCTTGAACGACGACGGGACGACGAACGCAGCAGCCGTGGAGGGTGCCCGGGGCGTCATCATCGCCATGGAGAAGGCCGTGACGACCGGCAGCGTCGCGCAGGACTTCATCGCCCACCGCACGCCCCGCCTCGACGAGAGCGTGTGCACAGGCGACCAGATCGCCGGAATGTACTGCGACGTCGACGGCGACGGCGGGACCATCGGCGGCTACGGGCCGTTCGTCGTAGACACGGTTTATACGCTGGCGAAGGGGCTCGACAGCCTGACGAGCATCACCCGCCAGGACCCCGATTCGGTCTACGCGGCGATCGCGGGCCTCGGTTCGTTCGAGAGCTTCTCGGGCGACGTGACCCTGGATGGCAACAACGAACGCCTGGGGTCGATGACGATCGTGAATCTGCAGCTCGTGACGAGCAACCAGACGTCGCGGCGCCTCGGCGTGCCGCTCAGCGCGACGAGCGCGGATTTTGTCCCCGTGGGCACGATCGTCGACGGCGTGTTCAGCCCGATCGCGGGCGTGGACGTCATCTTCCCGGGCGGCACGACGGACGTGCCCTGCGACCCGTGCCCGGAGGACAAACACAAGAGCAAGGTGGACACCGGCCTCGCCGTCGGCCTCGGCTGCGGCTTCGGCGCCCTCATCCTGCTCATGGCCGGCGTGTGGTACCACCACTCAAAAAAGCTCAACAAGGACCTGGCCAAGGTCCGCGCGGATTTGCAGGACTTCAAGGACTCCGTCGTCGGCGTGAAGGTTGCGGTGAGGGACTACGTGCCCAAGGCCGTGTCGACGGGCGACGCCGGGACGGCCGCGGCCAACGCCGTCCAGGGCGCGACGTGGTACTGAAAGGAGACGGAAGCGAACATCACGCGGCACGACGTCGCGCTGGTCAAGCCGCCGTGCTGGGTCGCGTATCCTCCCGACGTCCAGCGGCAGCTCGAGCAGGCCTTCGAGAGCAATTTACCTAGGGTCCAGACGGGGCCCAACTACTCTGTTGAGTTGGGGACCATGCAGCAGGTGAACGCGCGGAGCGGGTTCAAGCGCGACGTCTTAAGGGACGTCTCATCAGCCTCGCAAAAATCAACGAGACCGAGCGAAAAGGCAAATACAGAAGTGCGGCCCGACGAATTGTTGGGAGAGGACGCCCTGCTCCTGCGCAAGGGCTCGATGATCCAGATCAAGGACCAGCGGAAAGACGGCTGGGCCTACGGGACTGTTGTCCTGAACAAAGGAGACGAGAGTAAAGATAGACGGTTCCTCGAGGACGGCATCTCGCTGTCGGCGGGCTGGTTTCCCCTCGCGTGTACGGACGTGCCGTCCGTCGATCAACTCGGCGAGCTCCAGAAGCTGCTCGGCGGCGCGGGCGACTCGGCGCTCGATCCGCCGAAGTACTGGGGCCAGGTGAAGGACCCGCTCATGGCCGAGTACTTTCCGCTGCAGCAAGGAAGCGAGGAGTACCAGCGCGTCTACGACGCCATCAACCTGACGACGGGGCCGCAGCAGCTCAGGATCCACTCCATCGAGCGGGTGCAGAACATTAGTTTGTGGCAGTCGTACTGCGTGAAGAAGAGCGCCACGGTCGCGCGCGAAAAGGACCCCGTGGCGGCGGAGCGCAAGTACGTGCGCAATTGGTCGAGAGCTGTGTGGAAATCAACCAGTGAGTTGGCTGCCTGGAATTTTCACGCCATCGAGCAGACGCAGCTACGGAGAAAATATCGCGTCGATGGCGTGGGGCGCGACCGAAATTTGATTTCCACACAGGCTCTTCCACGGGTGCGGCCCCGACGTCGTCGATAAGATCCTCCAGCAGGGATTCAACCGCTCCTTCTGCGGCAAGAACGCGACGTTCTACGGCAAGGGCGTCTACTTCGCGCGCGACGCGAGTTATAGTACGTATCCACTCTACTCGCCCGCCGACGGGCGCGGGTTGCAGACCATCTTCGCCGTGCGCGTCGTCGTCGGCGCGTGGTCCAAGGGCGTCAAAGACGCGCTGACGCCCGACGTGCGCGACGCGAGGCGCAACCTCCTCTACGACACGACCGTCGACAACATGGCCGACCCGAGCATCTTCGTGACCTACCACGACGCCCAGGCCTACCCCGAGTACCGGATCCGCTTCACGCAGTCGAATCCGGCGCAGGGCCACCCGCAGGCCGGCCAGAAGCGCCCCGCCGGCTACAAGCCGAATTTGCTCGAGGGCGTCGAGGACGTCAAGCCGCGGGCGTCGTCGATCGACGCGCAACCACAACAACAACCACAACAACAACAACCGCAGCGGGTGGCCCCGGCCCCCGTGCCCCAGCCCGTCGCTCAGCCCGTCGCTCAGCGCCAGCAGTTCATGGTCCAGATTCCCGCGGGCGTCGCGCCGGGCGCGGTGATGACGGTGAGAGCTCCCGACGGGCGGCTCTTGCAGGTGCAAGTACCGGCCGGAGCTGTACCTGGTAGCACGATACAAGTTGCGGCCTAGCTTCTACCCGCCCGCCGCGCGGCGGGCCACTGTCCAATGTTCTCAATTCCAATTCCACCCTTTTTCCTCTTGCTAAGCCTTTTTCTGAGTTTGAACGACTCGGATGTTGTATACAGGTTTTTACACACAAATCAGTACGACGTGCCCCCGAGGCCGCAGCGGCTCTCGAGGCACGCGAGCGCCTCGCTCGCACCCTTCTGCTTGTAGTGGAGGTATGCCCAGCGGTTCGTCGTCTCGCAGTCGATGGATTGGATTTTGTCGCATCCGCCGGCCCGCGTGATGTAGGAGGCGAACGCCCACTCGCAGACGCACCAATGCTGCACCGGACAGAGTCCTCGCTTGCCGTCGCACTGCATGTAATCGTCGCACCAGTTCGGCTGGCCCGTCACCTCGCAGAAGTTGCCGCCGTCGACGCTATCCATCTCTATGCATATGTGGTGCGAGCCCGCGTCGTCGACGCGGTCAGTGCACGTGCCTTCGCGCGTGAACCCAGTCAACGCCATGCCCGGGCCGCTACACTTCTTCAGCGGCGCACCGTAGACGTTCAGGTAGCGGTCCGACCGCGTGTCGTTGTCGTTCTCCGTATGCACGTCGAGTCGGCTGCGCTGCGCCGAAACGCTCAGTGCGAGCAGGATGAGGGTTTTGACAGTCATAATCGCTTTCCGGTGAGAGTTCGTGTGTCTGACTGGGTTTGCTCTCTCTGACTCTGATGCCCTGTGCTCACGCGTGGGCAAGTTAGCGATGGAAATTATCACGCTCTACGTTACGAGAGAGCAAGCGACGCTCGCTTTTAGTACTGATGCTGCGTGCAAGCCAAATTGCTTACACTGCCATACACACAAGTCAAATAATCGCGCTAGCGCGTGTAAGACACTAGCAAACTATCACCTTGGAGATCACTAGCTCTATTCAGGCTGCCCGACGGGTACCATGGATGATCAGGCGATGGATGCTGAAGCAGCAGCTATCTTGCGGCAAGAGGCAACTGCGTACGATGTGTTGGGCGTCGATCCGCGCGCAGATGCCAATGCTATCAGACGAGCTTATCACAATCGAAGTATGCGGTGGCATCCGGACAGGTGCAACCACGCCCGCAGGACGGAGGTTATGCAGCGTATCAATAGCTCCTATGAATCGGTAAGGGACGAGGCTCGCCGAGCAAACTACGACGAGTCGCTCAGGGCCGCGGCGCGGCGCGCGCGCCGGAACCGAGATTCGCCATGGATCGGTGCGACAATGCGCAACGGCGCGTACGGCCGATTGATGGAGTTCGTTGCGAAGGTCGACCGTGACGGTGTGTTCGAAATGACGCTCCCCACCATCGTGGTGGTTGGCCTCGAAAGTCACGGGAAGAGCTCGCTCATGGAGCGGCTTGCCCTACGCGACGTGTTCCCGCGTGGGGTGGGCTTCGTGACCAGAATGCCCATTTTGCTGAAATTGCGCCAGGTTAACTTCGAGAACTCGGTCGGCATCCGCCTGATCCGCCTGAGCGGCTCGAGTGTCGTAGAGGAAGTCGAAGAAGAAAAGAAGTTTTACGACATCGGCCAGCGCAACTTTGCGGAGGTCGTCGCTGAGAAGATGCAGCAGTTTATCTCGCAGAGGGGCGGAGGTAGCGGCGACATGCAGGTCGTTATTGACCATAGGATTGAGATCGAGATCCGTGCCGCGGACCTGGTCGACATCGACCTCTTAGATCTTCCGGGCATCGTGAGCATGCCGAAGGATGTTGCCGAAGCATCGCTGCGACTGACGCGCGAGTTTCTGCAGAGAGACGACACGCTGGCGCTGTGCGTTATCGATGATCTTTTGCCGGCCGTCAGATCGTCCCAGGCACTGGGCGAGATCGGGCGAGTCGACGGCCTGGGGGCACGCACCATCGTGGTGCTCACGAAGGTCGACATGTTGCAGGGTCCATCGTCGCAGCAGAACCCGGCCCGCCTGGCGCATCGCCTGGCAAACCCGGCCACAACGGTCGGCTTTGCGCCCAAGGCATTCATCCCCGTCATCAATCGTGGCGAAGACGACGGAAGGTCGCTCTCAGATACGCTCGACGCCGAGGAGGCGACCTTCGCGGAGTGGAAGAGGACAACTCCAGAACTGCCCGCTGCCGACCACTTGGGCCTCACGGGAGTCCTCAAATCTCTCAATTCGCTCATCGAGGAACATATTCGCCAAAAGTGGCTACCTCATCAGCTCGAGAAAGCAACACGTCGACTGCAGGTGGTTCGGGATGAAATCGACTCGCTTGGCGCGCTGTCTGTGTCAAGAGAGCTCTTCCTTGATCGTTTATGTGAAGTGGTGAGTGAGAAGCTGGCAGAGTTGGACTTGAAAAATGGTAGCAGCAATCCCGAGATGAAATTCTACTATGATTGGATGGCAAAATTGAACTTTCCAGCTGATATACCACGGGGGGGCGGTCGATTTAATCGTGTTCGTCGCCGTATGCGGGCGAAGGCCATTTGGAAACTCATCGTGGAAAGCGTGCCTAGTGAGGACTTGGTACGAAAACTGATCAGCTTGGCACTTTCAGATTCTCAGTTGCCGGTCAAGATGGACCGTTTCGACCCGAGTATCGGCCGCACGCTGTGCGCATACGCGATGAATAACAACGCCGAAATTGAAACGCTCGCCAACTTAGGCTTCCGTGAACATTGTTACAGTGAACCGCTGGATGACTATCAGTATCATAATCATGCTGCAGCTGCTGACTCGCGAATTAGGGAAGAGGCCAAGGATGCGGTCCTCGAACACGTCTTCATGCCATTGGTTGAACGGTCCTTTTGGTCGGGTCTCCAGCTCGATCTTCAGGAGAGCCCTCAATCGCGGGATCGGCGGAACCACCTCCTCGCTCAGGACGCGGCCCTGGTGCGGCTCATTGATGAGCTGAACCGGTTCCGCGACGGTCAACACTCTAACGCGCAGGCGCCAGCAGGTGACGGTGGGTCACCAGCAGGCGCCGGACGGGCAACACCTACGGACTCCTCGGGGCGGCGGCGTAACTCGGGGCGGCGGCGTCATCCAAGGGGCAACCCGCCGCAATCGCCTTTTGGCCAGTCCAGTTCGACGTTTGGCGGCGGTTCGCCATTTGGAGGCGCCTCGCCCGCTCCCTCCGGCTTCACAGATGCCAGTGGCGGATTCACATTTGGTCATGGTGGCCCTACATTTAGCGCGTCTCCATCTGCCGCCGCGCCGCCCGCGCCTGGGCCCGCCGCAAGTTTCTCCTTCGGCGCTACCGCGCCCGCCCCCGCGCCCGGTTTCTCCTTCGGCGCCGCCCCGCCCGCGCCCCCACCCGCCGCCCCTTTCTCCTTCGGGCCCCGATAGGTAAGCGCCCAAGAGCAGCGGCTACGTACAGTTAAACGGGGGGCGGCGGCGGGGGGAACTTGTGTGGGGGGAGCTACTCCAGGTAGACGCGGACGGCCTCGTACTGCAGGTTCCGGACGGCCTCCGCGGCCGCGCCCGTCAGCGCCGGGCCGTCGACGGTGGTCTTGGCGCCGTCGTCGTCCTTGGACGCCAGGAGCTCCATCTTGACATGATACTAGCGTTGACTCGGACATACTAGCTCCTCCAGAGAGAAGTACAATAAACCAACATTACACAACGCTCTCGCCGCGGCGGTCGTCCTCGTCGTCGCTACTACCATCGCCGAACTCGTCGAAGAAGCCCAGGGACGCGGGCGCCTCGGTCCGCGGCGGGTGGAGGATGGGCCCCTTCCACGAGTCGAGCGACCCCAGGGCCGCGTCATAGAAGCCGTCGTCCGCGAGGGCGCAGCGACCCAGGGAGAAGGCCCAGAACCGCCGCGGGTCCACGTTTCCAAAAATAGTGGGGAGCGGTTGTATACACCAGTCGCCGTCGTCGTCGAGGGGCATATTCCTGTACACAACAAAGGCCATGCCGGGGACGAGTAACGATAGAGCCGACACGAGGAAGAGGCAGCCCTCCCGCAGGTACGCGCCCGCCTTGGCCGACACGCGGCCGCCGGCGTCGCAGTCGCAGCCCCGACTTACACAGACGAGGACGCTCAGGACGTACAACAATAGGGAACCGAGCAGGTAGCCGGGGCAGCGGCACAGCGCCTCGAGGCACGCCGCCGGCTGCTCGCAGCAGGCCACCTCCATTACCAAAGCGATGCGATCGCAGACGCGGTCGCAGCCTTCGAGTTTAGTCCGCCGGTGGCGCTCGACGGTCCGCAGCATGCCCTTCTTCTTCCAGTTCCGCGCGAGCGCCGCGTCCTCGGCCTTGTCGTCCGTGTACACCTCGCCATCATCAAAATCACTCTGCCGGAAGACGTCCGCGCTCGTCGGCGAGACCATCTCGAGCTCGACCGGTGGCGCGGGCGCTCGCGGCGAGGCTGATACGGGCCGCTCACCTCTCAAAGCCGCGCGCGCCTGCTCGGCCGCCGAGCCGGCCCAGCGCGACTCGCCCGTGCTCGGGTTGTACAGATACGAACAGCCCGTCGCCGGGTCCGTGAAGGTCTCCCAGGTGTCGCTTTGCGCGGCGACTTTTGTGGGGAGGAGCATGGAGCGCACCACCGCTGCTGCTCCGAGTTCGGCCATCCTGGCGTCGGTTCGACGGCCTCTGCACCCTGGCAGTGCACAGGTCGTATATGTGTGCCCAGCACCCTTGCCGCGCGACGACACGCAGCCCCTTTTGCACGGTCTTACGTTGGGAGTGATGCGATGAACACAACCACGTGTGCCGCCGAAAGGCAGCCGTTTGCGCGCACGCCGCAACTGACAAAAGCTGCCAACTGACGGGTTTTCCCGCTGTCGGACGCCATCGACGCGACGCGATGAGAGCAAGGGTCGCAGCGACGGCGTATTCCACGCCATCGACGCGCGCCATCATCGTAGCTTCAGGACTAATTAAAATGCGCCCCGCCTAGGCCGACTGGAGCTTGTCCTGGTAGCGGTAGTGGAGCTCCTGGATGAAGGCGTCGTCCTCGACGAGCTCGCGGAGCACGTCCTTGAACGTCGCCAGGTCTAGGGACGGCGCCGCCGGCTTTTGAGGTACGACCGGCGCCGGCGCCGGCGGCGCGAAGAGCGAGGGCGATAGCAACGGCGCCGCGGGCTCGTTGACCGACAAGGCGCCCATCAACGACGCCGCAACTGCAGGAGCGGCCGGTGGCGGCGGCGGCGGCGGCTGCTGGGCCTCCTCGACGAGCCGCTCCAGAATCTCGCCCATGCGCGCGTGTTCTTCCAGAGAGTGGAACCAGAGGCCCCTGATGCGCGTCTCATCATCAGATCGACGAAAGATTAAGTATCTGTCAACAACCTCCAGCTCGAAGGTCTCATCGACGTCTTCCACCATATTCGTCATGCTCAGCCGATTCAGCACTACCAAACGCACCCGCGGATGCGCATTTCGCGCCGCAATGAACAAAGGTCCTTCGACGTCGGCGCGCTCCCACTCCTGGTCCGCCCCGAAGTTGTACAACGTCGCATGTGTGGCACTCGCTAATATCTCGACGATGGAAGGATCTACTCTTCTCAACGAATTCAGGGAGTTCGTGGCGGCTTGGGACGCGGCTTTTTGATTGGCGAAGTTCGTCGTGGCGGCCGGTGGCGACTGGCCGCGTTTTCCTTTGGCTTGGCGCGGCATCTTCTCTTCTTTCTCCTTTCCTCTCTTGCGGATCGCTGCGCGCTGCTTCTGGCTGAGCCCAATCTTTGCAGCTCGGGCGTCTGAGGAGGCGCCAAAAGCGGCTTGTGCTCGCGGAGTCTTGTGGCGCGATGTGGCGTGGCTTGGCGTGGAGTGCGTAGCACTTAACGCTGCCGCGGAGCTTTTGGCGTTCTCTAATGCGTCAGCGATGCAAATTTGGGCCTCTCGCGGACCAAAAACTCGCTTTCGCGTCGACCAAAGAAAGCTAGAGCACTTGTGCGCTAGGTGCTGAAACTTAATCACGCTTTTGCTGCATTTTGTAGCGGTAGCGCGTGGTGGCTTATTGTCGACGCGGGCACGTTTACAAACGTTTTACAGACGTGCTGTGGCATACCAGAGCACTGGTGCTGACTCCGCGCCCACCCGAGTGCTGTGCCATCCCTGCTGGGCTGCACTGCACAGGTGCACGCAAGCACAGCTATGCAGTTCACCATCAATGCCCCAACCCTCCCAAAGCGCTACGAGCGCCCCGCCGCCTTCGCCGCCTTCGACGAAGATCAGCTGCAGGCCGCGCCCCGGGAAGAAAAGCCGCCGCGCGACCGCGAGGCATGTAGAAGAGACGGCTGCACGCTCGCGGCCGCCGGCCGCTGGGGCGCTGCTTTGGAACTGTTCGACGAGGCGTTAGCTATCGGCGGCGCGCCCGATCCGTGGGTGCTCCACGAGCTGCGGGCGCAAGCTTTGTTGGGGTTAGACCGGTGCTTCGAGGCGGCGCGGGCCGCGGAAGTATCTATAGCGGGCGCGCCGGACTGGGCGCCGGCGCACGCGACGCGCGCGCGCGCGTTGCTGAACTTCGGCGAGGTGGAAGGCTCAGTACAATCCTTCCGCCGCGCATTAAGCTGCGCGCCGGGCGACGCTGAGCTTAGAAGGGAGCTCGACGAGGTCCTCGTGCTGGAACGGCGCCTGCAGGATTTGAGACGGGAACGCCTCGAGGCCGCGGCGAGCGCGTCGCATGCAGACGTGGCCGAGGTGAACCGGTGCAAGGCTGCCTTGCGATGCACGACCGATCCTAATAACATGATTACTTAAAGCCCTCGACCCCGAACAGCCCCAACGCGAGCGCCACGCCGAAGCCCGTGCCCCGCTCGTTGTCCGTCGCGGGCCCCGCGAGGTCGACGTGCAGCCACTCGCCGTCCCAGCCCTCCCAGAGGTTCTCATAGATAAAGTTCGCGGCGCACGACGACTGCGCGTTCATGCGGTCCTTCACCGAGTTCTTCGAGTCGGCCACTTTGGAAGCAAATTCACTTCTATAAAACTCCGGAGCAAATGGCAGCGGGTGCACGAGGTCGCCCGTCCGCCTGCCCGCGACGACGGCCTTCCGTTCGAGCTCCTCGGAGTTGGAAAAGACGGCGGCGTGGTTCTTGCCCGTGGCGACCTGTGTGGAAATCAAATTTCAGGCGCCCGACGCCATCGACGCGATGTTGTCTCCATAACTGCGTCTGCTCGATAGCGTTGAGGTTCCACGCCATCGACGCACCATCTGCGCTCCTGTTAATGTGGCCATATCCACAACAATATCGACGCGCTTCCCCGGGAGCACGTTAGGTGCGGTGGCGTGCGCGACGCCGTCCGCGAGGACCAATCTCCCTTCAGCGTCGGTGTTGTTGATCTCGCAAGTGCGCCCCCCGAAGAACTTGATTATATCATCGCATCGTAAAGCATCGTTACCGATCGCGTTCTCCGCGATACATAACACGCAGTGCAACGCGCTCAGTTCGCCGCCGCCCAACGCGCAGGCCGCTTCGAAGCCGGCCAGGCACGCCGCGCCACCCCCCAAATCGGCCTTCATGCCCACCATACCTCCAGAAATCTTGAGGCTCAACCCGCCCGTGTCAAAACAAATAGTCTTGCCGACGAGCGCCGCGGCGGGACCCTCCCGATCAAAGGTCTTCGTGAGGACAACCAATGCCGGCGGCTCCTTCGCGCCCTTGCCGACGCCATAAACGCCACCGTACCCTTTCTCGCGTAGCTCCTCGCCCACGATCTTTGTGATGGAGATGCCGTCGCCTCTCGACGCCACTGCCTCTGCCTCGGCGACTAATTGAGTCGGCCCCATCTCGTTGGGTGGAGCGTCGTGGATGCGCTGCGCGAGTCGGACGGCGTCCGCGGCGACGGCGCAGGCGTTGAGGGTCGCTGCGTCCGCCACGGGCGGCTCGAAGGAGACCGTGACGGTCCTATCCTCGTCCTCGTCCTCGTCACTTGCCTTCTTGTTCGTATAAATGGGAAAGGCCTTGGCGACGGCGGCGGCGGCGGCGGCAGGCGTCGACCCGTCCTCGAGAAGCACGACGACGGCAGCATCTTTGCTGCCGCACGCGCCGCCGACGAGCGACGTGAGGGCGCGCGGCCGGAGGGGCGAGTTGTGCCGCGAGCAGTGCTCGGGCAGCACCGCCGCCACGACGGTCTCGAGGCCGTCGCCCTTGGGCATCGCCGTCCGGGCGCTCTTGCCGGCATCGCCCGGCGAGCAGCTCTCGACGAGCGGCTGCCACACGGCCGGCAGCGCGTCATTGTTCAATGCGAGGAGCCGGTCCTTGCGGCCGACGTAGACCGTGGTGTCCGCACTCGTCTGCTTGGCGTCGAAGCGCAGCGACGTCGTGGCCGCGCGCAGCTGCGTCGTCAGGCGCTGGCGTACGCTTGCACGTGGCCGAAAGGCTGCCGCATGACGCAGGAGCATCGCTGCGATGACGAGTTGCATCGATTACTGCGACAAAGCGTGCCAGCACCGTCGATTGATGGCGACAATGCTGTGCCGGCAGCTCTTTGTGCCACTATATTTTCGAGCTAGCGGCCTGTAAGGCACTAGGAACCGGCAGCATGCAGCGGCAATTTGCGCCGCAGTAACCCAGCGCAAATCCCTGCTTAGATCAGGCACAGCCCGCATTCACCCCTCGTGACGCCTGGCGCCGCTGAGCGACTCTCTTGCCCCGATTCTTTACGAGTTTGTAGCTTGCAGCCCCAACCACTGAAGTGCATCAATTAGCAATCACTCGCTTACGGAAAAGACTGCGCACGCATGCCGCTGCTACTTCTCAAGCTCCCGGCCGACGTGCACACAAAACTAGCGGCATTCATTCACGCCAATGATGCCGCGCGCTTCTGCTTCGCCGGGAAGGAGGCTTATAAGGCCTTCGGGCTCCAGGCCTGGCGCGCCTGTTTGTTCTCGACGCACGGCGGGTTAAGAATAGGAAATGAACAAAACGGGTTGCACGCGGCGAGGCGCCTGGCCACGTGCGGCCGCGGCTGCCTCGGGTTCAGGGCTCTGGCCACGGACGGCGGGACCTTCGACGGGGGCGACAGCCGCTTCTGGGTCGACGCGTTATTTCGGCCGGAGCCCTGGCGCATCTACTGCTCGCGCCAGACGTCTGATCCAATTCTGTGCGCGGCGACGTTCCTCCCGGAGCGCGAGGCGGAAGACGTCGATTCCAGGGACCGCCACTGGATGTGCGAACTCATCATCGAGACGTGGAGCCTCGAACAATTGCAGGTCGAGCCCTTCTCGTCGAAGGACTACGCGCTCGGTTCTGTCTTCCTGCGGGTCTGCCACGGGCTGCGGGACGAGGACGTCGTTTCCTTGAACCTGCAGAACGGCCAGGAGGCAATTACCAAATACAGAGCCAAGATCCTGGAAATCGTGCAAAGGTTCAACACCACCGGCGCGCCGGCGATGCGCATCGGCCTCGACAAGACGGTGTTTGCCCAGCGCGGCTCGGTTTCGGTTGATCCTAGAATAGAGGCGCTCGCGTCGAACGCGACGGCCGTCGCGACGACGCTGATAGTCAGGCGGCCGATCCCCGTGACGTGTCCCGGGCGTTTAGGGATCGTGTTTGGGTGTCGAAGAGCGCCTCGCGTCGGAGACCTCGACGGCCGCCTCAGGCGGGTCTGCGCGGACGCTACGCCATACATACGCGCGCTGGTCGACGGGCCATCGTCGCACATACTATCTAGAGGTCCGCGCGTGGAGCTGGGGCGGCGGTTGGGAGGTGTCCGACCCGTTTTACTCGCGGCGAGCTGCTCGCCGGAGCAGGGCGTCTGCTACCAGCTGCTCGGTTCAAACGACGACGCGGACGTCTTCCCGCTCGCTATTTTTGGCTTCGGCGGGCGGAATCTCGACGATGCCTTCACGAGCCTCAGAGCGCGTTTTGAGAAACCGGTGACGCTGAAGGGCGTCGTCGTCGCGCTTCTGGAGGCGGAGCGGCGGCACGACGTGGTTGATCCAAACGTGGACATGGAGTTCGTCGGCTTGGAGGGGTACATGTACGAGGCGCCGCCGGAGACTTAATTTTTCGGTAATATTGTTGGTTCGGAGGGCTTTAAAGCCCGTTCCTAGGAATCCCGAAGGCTAGCGGCCTGTAAGACACTAGCATTGTAGCAAGCAAGCAAGCAGCCAAAAAGCGCCGCTGCTCGGCGCCGGCTGCTGTGCTTGACGCGTTTGCCCGTGCATTCGACGCTTCGAACTCTCCGGCACTGCTCCTCAACGCGTGCGGGCCGCTTCACGTCACACAATCACCAATCACTGTCAGTGGCTCTCGGACACTTATATAGGTGCTCAGCTTAAGAAACCATGCCGCGGACGCGCAGCTCGATTGCGCGTGCAGCCCCCAAGCCCCACAAATTGCCCACTGACATCTTGACGCGCGTCGCGGCCTACGCGTGCGACGACGAGCTCGCCCGGCTCGCGCTGTCCGCGAAAAGCGCTCTCGCAGCGTTAGACAACCAGCAGATCTGGGCCGCGGCGGTGCGGACGAATCACGGCGGCTTGCGGATTCGCGCCGACGAGCCGAGCGGTCTCAAGGCGGCCGCGCGCCTCGCCGAGGCGCGCACGAACAGGGGCCCGGTCTACGGCTGCCACGCGCTCGCGTCGGACGTGACGTCCTACGGCGGCGGTCCCTACTGGGTCGACGGGTTGTTCCAGCCCGAGCCGTGGCGCGTGTTCTATGGAGCTATGGGGGACGGGCGCGTCCTCTGCGCCGCCACGTTTCTGACGGGGGGTACCTACGACCCCGACCGCCAGTGGATGATCGATGCGCTCCTTGAGCTGTTCGATAATTGGGATTTACAGAGGAACTACTCGCAGTGGATCGGGACGTGTCCGGATACCGTGGAGGCGGTCTTCCTTCGCGAATGCGGCCCCAGTGGAACGGCGGCACGCTGGGGCCAGCGGGTTAGTCAAAAGTGCGAGGAGATTGAGGGCCGCTTCGAAGCGGGCGAGTCGCGGTCGCGGATCGGGCTAGCCGCGACCGCGTTCGAGGAGCGCGAGGGCGTGACGGTGGACACGCGCGTCGAGGCGTTGTGCGGCGGCGCGCGCCAGGCGACCGTCGTCGTGACGGCTATCGTAATCCGCCGACCGTCGGACTACGCGACGCGCCCCGGCCGCCTCTTCCTCGTGTTCGGGTGCCGGCGCCCGCCGCGGGTGACTGACGTCTCCGACGGCCGCCTGAAGCGACTTGCTGGTGATGCGACGGCGTTGTGTCGCACGCTCATGGACAACCCGATTCGTAAGTGGGTTGGGGGTATCGCGGGAATGTTGGGGCTCGGATGTACGGCTGCTCGATCTCTGCGGGCAACCCGCCACAAGAGTGAGGTATACGCATACCAGCTCTTTGGAAGCGACGAGGAAATCTTCCCGCTGGCTATTTGCGGCTTCCGGCAAGACATCGACCCGGAAGTTACGGACTTTCGCGCAGAGCTCTGGAAACCGGTGGCGATCCAAGGGATCATCGTCGCTGTTCTCGAAGTCGACAATGGCGATCCAGCCATAGGCGTCAACGTCGACATGGAGTACGTCGGCGTCGAGGGCTACACCTACGAGTAAGTATCACAACATGTTATCCGATCCCGCGAGCGACGTGCGCCGCCCAATGCAACGCCTCCCGAAAGCGGGGTTTCTCGTCCCAGGCCTGCTGCGTCGGCGCCGGCGTCGCCTTGATGCCGCGCTCTCTCCGTATCCGCTCGGCGAGGTCGAAGTCTGGGCCTTCGTCGGGGTAGCTGGGCTTCGGCGGCACCCACTTCGTCGCGTAGAGCGACTCCTCCTTCCGCCAGGCCTTGACCCAGTCCGCTTCGCCCTCGTACTGCGGAGGCAGGGGCGCCCAGGTGCCCTTGCCCGTCGGATCGCGGTCGTACGATTGATCTGTCACGCCCATCAGGGACCACGTGTTCAGGTTGCGCAACGTATCTACGACTCTCGCGTTTCTAGGAGCACAGCAGGGCACGTTGTCCTTTCTCTTCGCGTAGCACGCGCTGCAGTCCCCGGGGCTCCAGCAATTTGCGACCGCGCGACTCATGCCCGGCTCCCAGGGCACTGTATAGACCTTGGCCTGCGTCGCGAGCATGGCCGCTGCTTGACTTAGCGGAGAGTGGCCCAGGAACAGGTTCGGAGCCGTCACGAGGCCGTGGAAGGTCTCGGCCGGGTCGCCGTTTAACACAAATGTAACATCTTCCTTCACTAATTCCCCGAACTGCTCCACCGAACCTTCGGAGAATATGCAGATCTTCGCGTTCTCATCGCTTTTCTTTATGGACCTCACCAAACAAACATACGTAGCATTCGGCACGAGGCCGTCCCTATGCATACCTCGACGCGCGTGGATCCGATAGTCACACTCGAACTGCTTCGTCGGATGTGCTACGGCATCGTACATCTTCCGTAGTTCCTTCCTCACATTGATATCGGCGACCATGTACCATTTTATATCATTTGGCTTCAAGAACCTAGGTACCACACTATTCTTCGCCTTGCCGGCTTCGTAAGTAGAACATCGTTCGTCGGACTTGAGACCACTGATGTCATGTGGCATGGGGCTGTGCACGTAGCAGCACCCGCGGTCCGGCACGCGCCTACAAAGCGCGAAGACGGCCATGCGCTGCAGGTATTGTCCCCCGAAGCCCGCGGCGTGCTGGCCCGCGGGATAATAGGCCTGCACGCGCGGCGGCTTGTTGGCGTCGTAGCGCTCGCCCTTGGGTGGCGGCGGTGGTGGTGGCTTCTTCACCGCGCGGCCCCCGACGAAGGGCGCCCGCGTCGCCGCCTCGGCCTCGCGCGCCCGCTGCCGTCGCTTCAGAAACTGCTGGCGCTGATTTCGTAGGCTCGGCGAGAACTGGAGCCGGCGCGTCGTGTTCGCAGCGTCGGTGGCGGTGCTGTGTGTCAGCAGCGTGGCTGCGAGCAAAACGAGCGGCATCGCTGCCCGCGGCCGCGCTGTCGCGCGCATGGATGGTCCAGCAGGCCCGCGCGCTGCCCGGAGCCTGCGCCACGCTCTCGTGCGTTCGTCCTGCGCCGCCCCACCGATTTTTGGCTGCTTGCTAGTGCCTTACGGCCGCTAACAAGAATCACACACCAACAAATTACTCCGCGCGCAGCTCCCGCGCGAGGCGCTCCGCCTCGAGCGCGTCCTCGTCGACGCGCCTTTGGATAAACACCGTGCCGTCGCCCCACGCCTCGCGCATGGTGCCCGTCCAGCGCAGCTCGAAGTCGTCGGACGGTAAGGGAGCCGTCATCGTGATGAAGTAGCAGCCCGGGTCCATGTTCGAGGCCATCCTTGCAAGGGTCTCCATGAGCTTCCGGTCGAAGCATGTGGAATTGGCAAATACGACTCGTGATGAAATCCACTCGTCGATCACCGTAGCGTCGCCCCGGATGAAATTGACGTCGACTTCCCGCCTCGTCTCCGACTCCATCTTCTCGCGGATGTGCAGGTCGAACCTTGGCAGCAGCTTCTGGTCACACAGTTCGTGCAGCCCCTCGAGGATCTCGATGCCCAGCACCTTGTCGAAGTCCCACGAGAGAGCTGCGGCGAAGACCGCGCGCCCCGCACCGGACCCCAAGTCGCAGAACTTGCCGCCCGGCTGCAGGCCGTCGTTCCGGAGCACCTGAAACAGCCCCGCGAAGGGGCCGAAACAAATTTCGCCGTACGTCAGCGACGCCGCCACGAAGCCATGCTGTCGCCGTTCTTTCCGGGACGTGCGCTTGCCGACGTGCTGGGGGTAGAGCTCGTAGAGCTGGTTGTAGAGGTGCTCCTCGGGCGTTGGAGGTGTCGGGTCCGTGAGGCCCTGCTCCTCGAGGTAGCAGCGGTGGTCCCTTATTTTATATGGAGAGAAGCTGCCCTCGAGCTCGTCGGCGCCCATGGCGCTGTTTTGGGCAGCCCTGTGATGGGCTGCGCTGCGCGCTAGTGTGTCGCTACACTAGCACCGTCTTCCGTTTCTGGGCCGCCAGACCCATTGAAGTTGATTGAACCATGGCAACTACTAAGTTAGTAGTATTAACAACGTTTAGTCAGAACAGAAAAATTAGTCGAGCACGTCCTCCACGGGCGTCGTCGGCAGCGACACAAGAATCGGGCGGAAAATTGGTGCAGGCAGCGCGGCGTCCGCGCGCTCGACGGCGTAGAGTTTCAGGCCGTCGACGCGCTGGGCCGCGAAGCCGAGGTCGTCCAGCGCTATGCCATGGAGCGAGTCCGCCCGCCGCCGCAAATTGAAACGCGGCAGCGCGCCCCAGAAGTACGCTTCCACGTCAGACCGGGGATTGTAGAGGACGAGGCAGACGCCATTCATCGAAAGCAACTCGGCAATCGTCGAAGCCAACGCCTCCATCGTCGCCGCCGCCACGGTTAAATCAGTAGCTTTTAGGGCGTAGAGGCACTCCGAGGCAATCACGAGGTCCGCCCGTCCATGAACGCGGGCGAACGCTTGAGCGTTGGCGCGGCCCCAGCTTAATGAAGCCGCTCGCACCGTACCGGAGAAGCCGTCATTACGAAGATGGTCCTCGAGCGCTTTGGACGAGGCGGCAATCATCGAGGGCACGTCCGTCGCGTAGGTCTCGAAGCCGCAGAAGGCTGCACATGTTGCGGGGATGGCCGCCGCGCCGCAGCCTAACTCAATTGCGACGCCTCTTCTCTGGGATTTACCTTCGTGCTTCAGGATGCGGGCCGCCATGACGCTTGCCCCTCGCCACACGGCCCGGCCCGTCGGGTCGCCGCTGTTCGTCTGCGATTGTGGTGCACGTAACGGGAAGGGCAAACCAGGGATGACCACGTCTACGCCCGGTCGGAGGTGCTCGCACGGGTGCAAAAAGTGCTTCGCGCCGTGCGGGAAGAGCGGGTGCGGCACGAGCTGCGTGCAGTGCGGGCGCCAGTGGGCCGCGTCCGGCGTGGGCTGGGCGACGAGCATGGTTTCGCGGCGACGGCGTCGGGGGTCCGAGCAGGCTGGCTGCAAAGCTCACTCAGGTGTGCACACAACTTAGGTAGAGATGCCGTTGCGGAGGATCTGTCTCGAGGATGCTGTGAGCGATTCTTTGGTTGCAAGGGCCGGAGGATGCCGCAAAATAGGTTAGGATGCTTCCCAAAAATATAATCTGCTAGCGTCCAGTAACACACTAGCGGAATTGATTTTGCCGAGAGCACCAGCCCGTAAAAGAGCTAGGCAGGCCGGGGCCGCGCCTCAGTCGAGCCCCGGGCAGCCCCATTGGTCGACGGCAAGCGTCGGAATAGCCGCGCACCCATACTCGACGCGTTCGGGCAGCCCATGGCGAGCACTGCTGCGACGCACCGCCGCCGCTGGTCCCAGGCCGAGAAGGACGTGTGCGCCGCAGGCGTGAAGAAGTTCGGGGCGTTCAACCACCGGCGCATCGCACAACTCGTCGGCACGCGCTCCAAGGCGCAGGTCCGCACGTACCTCTACGCGGCGGGCTACCGGAAGTTGGGGGCCGCTCCGTTCTACACGACGGTCGATCAGCCGCCGCCGCCGCCGCCGCCGCCGTTCGCGACCCATGAGCGACTCGACAATACCGAGGTCCCAACCATAGACATATTCAACGGTGCCAAGGACCGAAGCGACGATGAGGGCAATACCAACGATGGCGTAGAGCGCCACCAGAAGATTCTCCGTCGAGAAGAGCAACACCACGTCCCGTTCTGGAGCGCCGCCGAGCTCGCCGCGGACGACTGGACGCCGCCGCAGCGACAGGCCTTCGAGAAAGCCTTTTCGCGGAAGATGGCCGCACGCTTTGAAGCCACGGACATCACCTCTGCGGATGTCGTCCACGGCCACGGCACGGTCGCGAGACGCCTTTTGTTGCGAGGCGAGGTCCTCGTTGACCCCTGCGCTTCTTATATCGAAGGCGCGCCGCCGCCGGCTAGTGACGACCGCGCCGTCGCATACAACGACGCCCACTTCCGCCTGCGGACAGACACGCGCGCCGCCCCGTCCTACTACCTCAACGAGGCGCGTGATCGAGAACCGAACGTCGAGTGGCGCGTGATTGATCTGGGCCGGCCGGCGCTCGGCGTCGTCGTCCTACGAGATATCCAGCCGAAGGAGGAGCTCCTTCTATTCTATGAGGCGCCGGACTAATGTACTTATAACTCGTCCTTCCCGCTCGCGAGGAACGCCCTCCTCTCAGGATAGTCGGCCCCGTGGCGCTCCGCGCTCAGGGCGTCGATTTTTTTGAGTTGAGCCTTCTTCGACCGCGGCTTCGCGTCGCCATTGGCATATTTTTCGAGCGCGGCCCAGGCGGCGCCGTGGCCGCCGTGCGAGGGTGTGACAGACGCGGTCTTCGCCGACCTTAATGCTGAACCCGCGGCCAGCGACACCAGACCCACGGGCACGGTCACGTTGCGCGCGGCCCAGCGCGGGTGGCAGCCCGCTCTTACCAAAGCGTCCGTCGAATCGCGGTTCGAGATCAAAACTTCCGCGGCACCCGCCTCCTGGGCCCGCCACGCCTTCTCCAAAAACTGGCATCCGCCGCCTCTTCTAGCGATAGCTATGGCACCCGTCAAATCGTCCTTGGTAGGTAGACAGCCGTCGCCAACGTCCACAACTTTCCGCTCGATCCCGCGGAAGGGCCGGCCAAATTCTGCTAGTAAATACTCAAACGTCTCTCCCGATACTGTCAGGACCCCGCCATCCACTCGATCTTCTTGGACGTACGTCGCGTCGCTCGCCGCGGCCGGCTCGCATAGGCTTTGTGTTTGTTTCGTCTCCGAGGACTCGATACAATTGATGGGCACGAACGTCGCTTCGTAGGACGATGCATTCATCTCCTCGAGCAGGGCGTCGCCCTCCCACTCGGCGACCATGGCTACACTAGCCTGCACCTCGTGGGCGTCGGGGCCCGGCGCGTGCTGGTTGCCCGGCTCATTGTTTACTAACAGTAATGTTGCTAGAGAAGCGTTGTCTTCCACACTTTCCGCTAGGTAGGTAGCTTTCGTACCAAACGTACAAGTGCCCCGCTTCGCTACCACTGTATGTGGTTTCGCATTGATCCGTGCGACAATGTCCTCGCTCAAAGAACTACAAAGGTCCAGAGGCTCGGCAGCGACAAGAGGCAACCTCCCAACGGGCAAATGTTCCCCAAAATGCCCTCGTAGGTACTGCATCGACGCCGGCCAGCCCTCGACATAGAGCCTCCCCCAGTGCGCGTTTTTCCTCAATTCCTCTTCAGCCTCCAAATCACCGGGCGCCGCATGGTCCCGCACCTCAAAAGTGAGTTTGGACATCACTTCAGGTAACAGCTTCATCTCGTTGTTCACCGAGAACCAGTTGCCCGGGGCCTCGAGCTGAGCAGCCCCTTCGGGAGCCGGCTCCATCTCCTTGGGCCGGAAGTAGACGATGGGGGCAGCCCATGTTGTGGTTGCGACGAGGGCGAGCACTGCTTTCGCCATGGTGCGATGGGGCAGCGCTGCGCCGCTGTTACTGGGCCGCTGGGCTTCGGCCTCTCTCCGGCCGCGTGGCTAGTGGCTTCCTTTCCGCGGGGAACGGTGTGTCGCCGGTGGATGGCTCTCGAGAGCGATCCCCGCGTGGGAACCCTGCGCGGCTAGCGTAGTATGGGCACTAGAGAGAACAAAAGAGCAGGAGCCAGCGCAAACAACCCCAGAAATCATGCGTACCGCTGTATTTCTTAGCCTCATCGCGGCCGCCAGGGCCTTCGCGCCGCCCTCGATCCTGCGGGCAACGGTCGTTGTCAAGAACGAGGCCGACGCCGCTAGTACTGTGCCAGAGTCTCATAGAAGGATCCCCGTTGCGCGGCGCGCAGTCATGCCGCGCGCGCTGCGCCGCGCTTCGACGCTGTTGTTGAATACCAAACGTTTCGCCGGAGGCGCTCAATAGTCATGCAACCCATGCCTATGGCGCCCTCCGCCGACGGAAATCGGCCCCGGCAGAAACGTGCCATCACTAACGCGCGCCCGCACCGCTGCGCACCGCGCGATACCGACCGCACCCAACACGACATACCACACAGGTGGTTTCCGCTACGACAACTCCGACTCCGTGAGCCCCCTCGAGAAGAAGAAGGCGCTCCAGGACACGGCGAGCTGGTGCCTCGAGCGCTGCATCAAGCTCGGCCACTGCGAGGTCTTCGAGGACCTCAACAAGATGTCGACGGCCCAGGTGCAGGACTTCTGCAAGGCCTGCGTGCTCACGGGCGAGGCGACGCAGGACGAGTGCGACGTGTCGATGATGTTTATCGAGGACGGGCCGTGGGCCTCGATCGACCGCGCGGCCGTGGGCGTCTAGAGGACGCGCATCGCAGTGGTCGCCGCCGCCGTAAGGATCTGTTTCCCTGAGGAGTAGTACGCGCCGAGGGGTCGCGGCGACGGCGTGCACGACCACTCTCCGAGTCCCCCCCGGTGAAATTGTTACGGTGCTAGAACTAGTGGGCGGGGCCCCTGTCTAGGGCCTCTGCCCAGGGCGGGGGGAGACACCGCCCGCGGGCGAGCGCGCCAGCAAACTCGAGTGCGCGAGCGACGTTCGCGCCGCCGCGACTTCTAGCCGGGACGACGCCGCCGCCGCGCGCCCGGCGACGAGTGACCGCCGGGCGCCGGGCGAAACCCTCTAGCCGGGTGCAGCAAACCTCGAGCTGTCAACTGCTTCGTTTGGGCCGCGCGCGCACGGCGCACGGGACAAGGAGGGCTGCCCCAGCGCCAGCATAGAGCCAGCGCCGCCGTCGGACGCCCTCGGCTCAGCAGCAGCGGCTCTACAGTAGGCCAAGCAACAGCATGAGCTACCAGCCGGGAGATAGAGTAGAGGCCCAGTTCCAGGGCGGCCAGCAGTGGTACGCCGGCACCATTTCTGGAAAGACGGCGACGGGCTACGACGTCGACTACGACGATGGAGACAAGGAGCAGAACGTCGCCGTGACACTGATAAGAAGCCAAGTCTCTGATGCGGTAAAAGCGTTGCAAGGCAAACCGGAAGGGACGCCGAAGAAGCCCATCACTTTGAAAAGGCAGGACTCTGCCGAGGCCACTTCTGCCTTACTCGCCTCGGCCCAAAAGATCAAGGAGGACTCACTAGAGCAATCAGCAGAAACGCTCGCGAACCTGCGGGCCGCGGCCTCGGAGAGCGAGGCCGAGGCGGGGCTGAAGGCCATGAACGGCCTGCGACGGGCCTCGTCCGAGGTCGAGGACGAAGGGATTCAGAGGGCTACGAAGGCGATGCGCGAGGTCGCCCGCGAGGACAACACTCATCAAATATTGCGGAAGGCCGCGCTGGACGTGTCGGCTGATGATGCCGTGAATACGCTCAAGAAGGTAGTGGCGTTCCAGTCCGATTCGGAAGACGACGACGTCCGCGAGGCGCCGGCGCCGGCGCCGGAGCGCTTCGACGGGGATTCGGACGATTCTCGCTTGGAAGACCAGGCGCGATCGATCCGGGAGAAGCGTTCCAAGAAAACGAGGTTCGCTCTAGAACGAGGCACGATACTGTTAGGAAACACGGAGGAAATCCGCCAGGTCCATGATGCTAGACAGAGATATTTACGACCGAGGATTTCTCGACGAGATTTAACAGATGAGGACATCGCGCCTCCCTCCCAAGACGCGCGTGCCGTACTAGAGGCGTGTTTTGATGGTGATCTGCCAGCACTGAAGAAGGCAGCCAAAAAGTGCGGCTTCAGCGAAGGCCTTGGGTTGAGGTGTGCGTTAGTTGCTGATCAGAAAGGACGCACAGCGTGCCACTACGCCGCTTTGCAAGGCAGGCACGACGTGCTCCAATCCTTCGGGGAGGCCTGGCGTGCCCAAGCTTCTGAAGAGTACGACCGCAAGGTGTCTGATCTGCGAGGGCGATTGGTAGAAGCATCTAGAGACTGCCGCCGCCGGAACGTAGAACATGAATTGCGAGGCGCCTACGAGTTCGCCGCGAGAGAAGCGGATCGGGAACTCAGGCAGAGAGAGTTAAGATGCGAGGCGGCCTGGCGGACCTGCTGCACGGCGCGGGACGACCTTGGACGGACGCCTCTGCACTATGCCGTGGCGTGCGTCGATGCGGCCCACACGGCGTTGACGGTAAAAGCCTTGATGACAGGATCGGCAGATTTAGCACTACCGTCCAACGCGCTCGTGAAGAACGGGTCGCTGGGCGAGCCTCCCTTGCTACGAGCGGTGGCGTCGGAGCTGTTCGCGGATGATTTTGCGGCCCAACGCATCGCTGATAAACTCTTCAAGAACAACGGCGGCGGTGACCGACCGCCTAAGAGAGGCTGGAGGTATGTGGGAGACACGTGTCGAAAACATGCCAAGAGGGACAACAAGGAGAACCTTGATGCGGCCTCGAAAGCAAGAGCGGCTCGTAGAACTCCTGTGTTCTTGCGAGTGCAAGAAGCGGGTAGGTCTAGGGCAGCTTACTTATTCCCGCGGCACGCTCGAATTGATGTGGGCACCGGTGCCCTCTGCGGCGCGCCTCGCAAAGCGATGCCACTCATTCAAGCGTCAGCTCCAAAGGAACCGGACGATGTTTTGAGGAGGGAAGCGTTGTTACTGTGGCTGTGGCGAGCTCTAAGGCAAGGCGCGAGGCGAGCCGCTCGAAGGTACGCGGAGGTCGGCAAAATACATAAAGACGGCCCCGGGAAGACGCGCACGAACGCCGGTGAACTTTTGAGAGCCTTCGAGCGGGCGGATCCGAGGGCCGACGGCTGTATTACCTTAGATCAGTTCGACTCGTGCCTAAGGGCTCTGGACGTGCGCCTGGCGTACGGCACGCTGGAGGAACTCGCCGCGAAGTACGAATTCAAGCCGCCGCGAGATCGGCCCGAGTTGTCCAGAGACCGAAGGTTAAAAGTCGACTACGAGCGGTTGATCGATGATGTGTTGGCTTCGCAGAAAGATGAAGAAGCGTCTTTGTCTGAGGAGTCCGAAGGGAGCGCACCGTCACGACAGCACTCGTCGTCCGACGAGTCTGATTGCGGTTCTATCAAGCGCGAACGACTACGGAGGGAGAAGGATCAAGACAGACGTAGGAACGAGAGGCGAGACAGAGTCGGCGCGCCCGCGCCAGCGCCCACCCTCAAGGGCTCGTCGTCGAGAACCGTCGCGGCGGCCACGTTGAAAGCCGTCGGGAGCGAGTTGGCGATCACCGACGGTAGTAACGCGAGAGCGGGCACGGCCTCGGCTCGAGCGTGGCTGACGAAGGGTGCCGCCTGGCCCGCCCAGTCCTCCTATTTAGCTGGTTTTGCGGAATTACTAAAGGCGAGGTCCGCGGTCCTCGACGCGCACGATTGCGCGGGCTTTACGCCGTTGCACTGCGCTGCTTACGCTGACGCGCCTACCGAAGTCTGCGAGTCGTTGCTGAGGCGGGGCGCGACGCGGTCACTGAGGGCGGACGACGGCGCGTTGGCCGAAGATCTCGCGAAGAACGGCGCCACACGCAGAAGCTTGCGGAGGATGTGTATCAGAGAGTTCGACTTGTCGTTCCAAAGGACTTACTTGGAAGAAAGCGATGATGACACGGAGCAAAAAAGACCGAAAAGAGGAAAGGGTTTCTCCGCCGATAGGATGCCGGGCGAGTACCACAATTATAGGAATGGTGATGATCGGGGCGTCACGAAGAACAAAGGAAGGGCGGCGGCGGCGGTCGCTACTCTAGCGGCGCATGCTTTAGATGCGGTCGACCCAGATCAAAATAGACGGGGCGGTCGGCCGGGCGCGCCGGGAAGGCACGACGCCTTTGATGCGTGGCGGACGACGCCTGCTGCAAATGCTGCGGTGGACTTTAATACGAGAAGGCCGGTCCTGAAGCGGTCGACGTTCTTCGATGCGTGTGCCTTTCCTCTCGACAGATTGGTGGGCGACGGTCGGTTAAGGTCTCCACTACACTTGGCGGCGGAGGCGGGGTTAAATGAGTTGGTCGCTTCGCTGTTGGCGGGCGACGAGGTCCACCAGGACGGGGACCTGGAGCCGACGGGCGCGCCCACCTTCGAGATCAACGGCAAGGATTGTGATGGGTGGACGCCGCTCATGCACGCCTGCTTTCGAGGCGGTTGTGCTCGTAGATCAGTAGCTCGATCGTTGATCGATGCGGGGGCGGCCGTCGCGCAAAAGAATGTGCGGGGACGCACGGCGTTACACTTAGCTGCTGCTCATGCTAGGGAAGATAACATACAAAGGGAGGACGCGGACATTGTAGAATTACTATTGGACGAGGCCCCTCAAATAATAGATGTGCGGGACGACGAGGGCGCCACGGCGTTGTACGCGGCGTGTGCGCGCGGTAGAGTGAGATCGGCTGTGGCCTTGTTGAGCAGAGGCGCGGACCCGTGGGGCCGCCACGTCAATACAAGATGCACGGCGTTGCATGCCGCGTGTTCGACGAGATCGATCGGCGGCGCCGACGCGGCGCGCCTACTATCCCAGTGGTGCTCCGGCGGCGATGCGCATCTGAATTCCTATTTATTAGCTTCGACGCGCGTCGCGCACGACGACGAGATTTACGGCGAGAACGACAAGGACCCGCAACAGACCTCTCGTAATAGAGGTACCGCTTCCAATCTAGATCGCGAGTACGAAGTTGTGGGCTTCGCGCCGTTTCCTTTGGATGCGTCCTCACATAAGTTTAGATTGGACGCCAACGAGCGCGCGTCATCAAAAGATCGGAAACGATTGCTCGCTTGTCCGCTGAACGCGGCGCGCGACCGGCGCGGGGAAGGTGCGCGAGACGCGGCGCGGTCTCGCGAACAAAGAGAAGCTCTCGACCACGTCTGGGACGCCGCGTTGTGTGGCTCGTTGCCTCGGTTGCGCGATGCGTTACAACGGGAAGGGGCAGCTAGAGCGGCGTCGTCGTCGGGAGCTCTCGTAAGACCGCCGTGGGCCTTCGTGTCAGCGCGGGACCGGACGCCGCGGCTGGGACGGACGGCGTTGCATCTTGTAAGTTTGGGTGCAGCTCGAGCCGTCGCCGCGGCCCAGCGCCGTTTAAGGAGAGACTGCGCCGCCGGCGGCAAAAGTTCAGGAAGGAACCTGCAGTCCAAGCAGTTCGAGGCCGCCGACGACCAGGACCACGCGCGCTGCGCTAGATGTTTGTTACAAAGAGCGGGCGCGGCCGTCGACGCCGAGGACGCCTCAGCAAGAACGCCCCTGATGTATGCGGCGGCGGCCGGCGCGGGGCGCGTCGTGGCGGTTCTATTGGAGCACGGCGCGGACGTTAGGGTGTGCGACGAGGCTGGATTGACCGCGCTGCACCTCGCGACGGCCTGGGGACGTACCAAGGTGGCCAATCAGTTGAGAGCGGCGGGCGCGTCCGGCGGCGCCAAGGACCACCGGGGGCGGACGGCGCACGACGTCGCGGGCCTCGCGGCGAGAGTCGAGATGTACCCCGACGACGTGCCCGCGGCCGAAGATAGGCGGATGTGCGAGGGCAAGGAGCCCGAGCCGTCCGAGGAGAAGAAGGACGACTCCCCGTCGCCGCGGCGCCGGCACAAGTCCTCGCGGCGGAGCGACTCCGACTCGGACTACTCCGACGACTTTTCCTAGGTATCATAAAGTTAAGCGAGGCTCGATCGGGGGGCAGCACAATCAGGACGTGGCCTCGGCGATGAGGTCTTCGACCTCGGCGGCCGCGCCGTAGTCGCGAGCCGTCACCGTGCCGCCGGCCGAGAACGTGGTGAACTCGATGGCGACGCCGCAGCCGCCGACGCGCTCGCAAACCTTCGCCTCGTTGATCGTTATCGTCGGATGGTGGTCGAGCGCGTCGCAGAGCCTGGCGACAGACTGGATGAGCTCCGAAGCTTTGCTAAACGACGCGAGGGTCACGTCGCGGCGAAGCGCGTTTCCGGTGAACCGCCACGTGTCTGGAAGGTGGCCGAGGGCGGTCACGCGGCGCTCGGCCGCCCCTACGACGCGGCGAACGAGCGTCGCGGCGCACACCGGGCCGCAGCCGTGCGGCGTCGGCGTCACGATTTTTGCGGAGACGTTGGGGTCGACATCTGCTAACAGAGAGCCCGTGGCAGCGTCGTAGGTCGTGCCCACGTTCACAACGACCGTGTCAGCGCCGACGTCGCCCGGCTGAACGAGGCCTGGGCAGCCCGCGGCGGCGAAGACGTAGTCGGCCTCGGCCAGCGTTCTGTGTCTCAAGTCTTCCGGCGTAGACGAGTGACAAACGGTGACCGTCGCGTCGAGGTCGGCGAGCGTTCGCGCGAGGGGCGCCCCGAGGTGCGGCGACCGGCCCAGCACCGTGACCGCCTTGCCCGCGAAATTTAGGTTCGCGACGTCGTCCAAGTAAGAGGCGTCGTCGTAGGAGGCGCCCGTCGTGAGCTCGGCGGCAGCGAGCGTCCGCAACGTCGCCTCGACCATCAATGGGTCCCGCACCGAGTCGACATCCGAGTCGACGGCGGGCGCAGCGTCGGGGCCGCGCTCGACGAGCACCGCGTCGGCGCGCGCCTCGGCCGCCCGCGCCGCCGCGGCGATCGTCGCCGCCGACGCGTCTTCGGCCAGCGCCACAATTTCGACGTCGATGCCGTCTCCTGTCAGCAGCGCCTCCTTGGCGAACCAGGATTCGACGGCGCCCGTGGTTTCGTTCGTCGCGATAGCGGCCCGGTCTTCGCCCCCTGCCGCAGCCTCGGGGTCGCCCGCGCGGACGATGGCCACGCTCGGCGCGCGGCCCGTCATCTTTTGGACGCGCCGCGCCCGGAGACGAGCGTCGGCCCGCAACGCGCGCGCCACGATGTGGCCCACGGGGACTGTCTCTGGCTCGTCGGCGCCGACGGCGATCACGTCGACCGGAGCCTTACCGAGCACACGCTCGAGCTCGGCATCGACGCTCGCCCAGCGATTGCCGTCAATCCGTCCACCGACGGCCGCCTGGCGCAGCGCCGCCGGCGCGCACCGCGCGGCGACGGCGCCGTGGAAGAGCGCGTCGCGGCCGGCGGCCCCGAAGAGCGCCGTGTCATTGTCGTCGGCAGGCAGGGCGGCGATCTCCTCGCCGGCGCGAATCGGGTCCGCCGAAGCCGCACGCCAGCCCTCGAACAACCCGTCGAGGAACGCCCCGAGCACCGCCGGGTCGGCGCCCTTGGTAGCAAAGAGCGCCTGCGAGTAGCCGAGGTCGAGGGATCCGATGCCGCCTGGCGCCGTCGCGCAGACCGGTAGGACGTCCATGGCCGACGTGCTGTCGAACCAGGAGAGCGGCTCCGTCGTGTGGTAGCACTGGATGCCGTCGACCTCGCCGCCGACGAGCAACGCTTTGCGGTGGGCCTCGTCGACGCGGGACACCTCTTGGACGGCTACGCCGCGTACCCCTCCCGCGTAGCCGTCGAGCGCCGCCTCCATGAGCTTCAAAGAGTCGACATGCGCCGCGACGCGGCGCAGCGGCTGGCCGCGGCGCCGCGCGACCGCGAGCGGCGAGCGGTCGAACATGGCGCCAAAGGCCACGAGGGGCGCGTCGGCGGCGAGCGAGTTCTGCTCGCAGACGCCGACGACGACGGTCGCGTCCTTCATCTGGCTCATCTGGCGCTGATGCGCGACGACGGCGGCGCCCTCGTTGCCTGGGGTGCACGGCGCGACCAGCGACACGTCGAGGCCGCGCGACGCGAACATGCCCCGCGCGAGGCCCGTCGCGAGGCCCGCGAACTGGCCGCCTAGGTAATAGTCGAGTTGGAGGATGACCTTTCTCATCGCTTCGGACGCGCGAGCGTATCGAGAGGCCACTGAGTTGCTTCAACTTTGAGAGGAGCTTCTCGCGCTAAAATCGGTGACCTCTAAAAGAAACTCCTCGAAGGAAAGGTCGCCCTGCCACGCTCTTACAATCGATAACCAACTATGCGGCTCAAACACGTCGTGAAACTTCTTTGTGTTGTGGCTCAGGCTAGTGTGTTACAGGACGCTGCTCGCAGCTATGCCCATAGATGGGTGGCAGAGCCTTGTGATTTTACCGCTCCGCCACCATGTCCATGATGCAAATGCTCATGGCCAGCCACATCTCCGAAGGCCTTGGTCCTGTGCCTCCGATCCCAGTCGAGGACAAACCCTGGCTCACCGAGGAGGTGGACAAGGGCACGGTGGTGCGCCGCGCGGTGAAAGAGAGGCTGACGCCGATGGGTTCCCAGCCGGGATGCATTCATCAAACGGCACGTCTGTGCTTTGACAGCGAGCGGCCGATCACGGCGGTCCGCGCCTGGCTCATCGACAATGTTGGGGAAAGCGGCGAGCCCGTGATTACCAGCCTGGCCTTCCGATACCGCGGCAGCAGCCGGTTCATACCCGACGCGCCGGATGCGGCCGACGATGCGGCGCGGCGCGGCCGCGATCCGCAGAACTTTCGGGAGCAGACGGAGACGCTCGCGACCGGGGATTCCATCGTCGCTGTGAAGTGTAGCTCGACGGCGATGGAGTTTACGTCAGAAATTACCTTCCAAACGAGCCAAGGCCGTGCAATCGTTTTCGGCTCGCACGGCACCATCATACCGTGGGGCCCGCCCGACGTGATGAGCGCTGACGGGGCGCCTCTCGTCGGATTCGTGGCGCTTCGGACGGTCTTAGCGCCGTGGGTCGATTGGCGGAGCCCGAACGTGGAGGCCATTGACGTGTATGGCGGGGCGACGCTGACGCCTATCGCGTGCTACTTCTCGACCGCCTGGAAGCGACGCCGGTCCCTCGTCCTTCTCAAAGCACTGGTCAAGAAGGACAAGGCCAAGGCGCCGGGCGCGCTCTGGCCGCGCGTCCTCGACGCGGACTTCGAGGAGGGCCTCTGGCGCCACGTCGTGCGCTGCTTGTGAGTTTGTTAGAGAGTCGATGTAAAAATGTAAAAACCACAAACAATACTCAAACCGAAGAAGCAAGGGGCACGCGCTCCCGGACGCGCGCGCCGCCGCGCCGGCCCGCGGCGCTCATCTTCGGGTCGCGGAACGGCGCCGGCAGCGCTCCCAACAAATCGCAGGCCGCGGCGCCCGTCGCGGCGGTCCGCCACGTGATCGACCAGCCCGGCTCGCGCCGGTTCCGGGGCGTCCCGCGCACGACCTCGACCAACCCGGCCGCGAAGTGCCGCGCGCAGTTCTCTCTTGATAACAATTCGGCGAGCGTCGCGTTCGCGGTATGGTGCGTCCGCTGGTTCAACGCGGAATCCAGAAGGGGCAGGCGCTGCCTCAGTGACGTGAGGACGGTCGCCACGTAGCTGCCCATGCACTCGCCACATAATAGATTGTCTGCCACGCCGCGCGAGTTCTCTAACAATTCATTGCGCCACTCTACATGGTCGGTGATGGCGTCGAGCGTCGCCTTGGCCGTCGACACGTTGACCGTGACGTGCGTCCTCCCGTCCCTTAACCCGGCCGAGTACCACTGCAGCGCGCCGCCCGGTTCGAGGAGAGGACCGGCCCAGAAGACGACGACGGCCCCCAGCAGCCAGAGGTGGTTTAAGTTCCTAGAGTAGCTTCCCGTCGTACTTCCGGGCAAATCCAATAAATACTGGAACGTGTTGAACTTGCCGTGATTCATGAACCGGCCCTGGACCGCCCTGCAACCCGAATCTCGTATTTTAGCTAAGTCGTCGTTCTGCGGTAAGACCTTCCGACACAAGTCTTGAGATAAAGACCGGATCGGCCGCGGCCGACACGTATTCGTGCGCACGTCAAATTTCTTCGCGTCGTGCGCGGTTAATGAAGCCGCCTGCAACCGCGCGTAGTTGCCGGCTTCTCTACTACAATCTCTCTCTTTGTTAATCACGGCCTCCCGACCTCGAATCTTACCCCGCCAAAACAACTGCGGCCTCCTGTTCTCCCACTTCCGTCGTCGACCAAGCGCCACCAAGGCACTCCGCTCCCGCTCCCAGTTCCTATATAAATCCCCGAAGTACGGATTCGGCACCAGAACGCCGCACTGCTTTTCGCCGTTCTTCTTGGCTATCACGAGCTTCGGCAGGTGCGGGTCGCATTCGTGACTGGGGCCACTCGCGCCCTCATCGAACGTATATACGACGTTCTTTATCAGGTCGCTCTTCTTTCTTAGAACGGAATTCATGAATCGCAGATGCAGCTCGCGCTTCATCTCGCCCAAATAAGCCTTGTGGACAAATAATCTACCTTGCAAGATCCAAATCGCGTGCGTCTTGTCCAGGAGGGCGCTTCGTAACGCGAGCTTCGTGCTCTTATGGGACTCGTCTATAGAATAGCGTGCCACATCCCGCATCGCGTGGTCGAGGACACGTCGTTTCGCTGCTTCCCAATCATAACTTTCGTTGCGCCACGACCCGTACGGACTGGCGCGGTCGTAGTCGACGGGTGCGCTCTTTGGTTTTTGCCACTTCCCTGTTCTAATAAATGCACCATGGCAGGCCGCGGCGCAGAGCAGGAGTGCTGCCCTTACACGCATCGCTGCCGCGCGCGTCGGCAGTGCTGCCCCGCGGCGATGGCGTACCGCTATCGCGCCGCGGAGGCAATTGCGCAATATATTTTGTCGAGGCACGGCTTGCTAGTGTCTTAACAGACGCTAGCTGCGCGGGGCTAGCGGCCTGTAAGACACTAGCAAGCGCGAGCCAGGAGGGTCACCGGAGAGAGTCACAATGTCTGCCCTAGCCGCGCTGCAGCAGCAAACTACCAAGCTTTACCACGGCACCAGCTGGGAGAACGCGCAGAAAATCTTGCGCGACGGGTTTGAGCCGTCGGAGCGCGGATCACTGGGCAGAGGCGTCTATCTCGCCGAACCGAGAAAGCTGAGCGCTACGCACGCAACGAGAACTGGCACGGCTCGTCGCGCGGCGCGGTGCTCGAGGTCACGGTACGCCTGCCCCCCAACAAGGTGAAGCACGTGGACCGCGACGACAAGAGCTGGGCCCGCGAGGGCTACGAGGCGTGTCGCGCCCAGCGCACGCGCGTGTCGCATCAACCCGAATACTGCGTCGCCGATCCGAAGAAGGTTCGGGTCGCGAGCGTCGAGGAGGTGCCGACGGTCGCGCCGCGGGCTCTTCCGAATTACGGCGCGGGCGCGCGCGCGAACGACCCTTCGTCGGACGGCGAAGCGGCGGCTGGTGCTGCCGCTCCGTCGGATCCGGAGGATGACGAGGTGCGGACGGGCGTGTTCCATCCCGGCGTGACGTGCGACGCCACCGGCGGGCCGATCTACGGCACGCGATGGCACCTTGCAGGCGAGGACTACGACCTGTGCGACGCTGCATACCGCCAGCTCGTGCCGGAAGACCGCGAACTTTTTGTTCGGGTCGATGAACCGCACACGTTCGTAGACTGGGACTCAGAGGAAGACGAATCTTCCGACGCACAAGGACACGCTGGCGCCGACACTGATGATGATGAAGACCACTGGGACGACGGCGATCGGGATGCGCCCGACCAGCTTAGGATTGGGTACGCTTCTCTGGTAGATGAAGAAGACGGCGATCGAGAAGAGCCGGAGTTCAGGATCGGATATGCTTGTCTGGTAGATGAAGGGGACGATGATGAATCGCGTGGCACGGTCGAGATATATCACGAAGACGGTACTGAATCACAAGATGGCGGCAGCGATCGCGTGGAGGATCAATATGACGACGCCAGCTCCGAGGGCGACGGTGGCGCGGAGGATCACGACGACGCTGGCTCCGAGGGCGACGGTGGCGTGGAGGATCACGACGACGCTGGCTCCGAGGGCGGCGGCTGGGACGGTGGCAACGAAAGCGATTATGGGGGAGGTTACGAGAGCGACGATTGCGGCGGCGGCGGTTACGGCGGCGGTTACGACAGCGGCGACTACTAGGCTACGACAAGCGACTAAGAAACCTGTGAATTACAAAGTATTCGGAGCGAAACCTCACACCATTCGTGTCTGGGTTCGAGCGAGACTCGGGGGGCAGGGTGAAACAACACCCTATCGCCAATCCCAATAGACACAGTGGCGAAGCGTTCGGGGTCCGTACTACCTGGGGGTGGGTTCAATAAGCGACTCTCTCTCTCTCTCTCTCTCTCTCTCTCTCTCGCGGGAGCCGTAACAATAACTATCCTGCGGGAGCCCTTGCAAGTCTAGGCGGCTTTGGAATGACAACACAACATTACAACGACGACTCAGAGGTCCCCGCGCACGACCCGAAAATGCGTCAAGTCTTGCAGGGGCCCGTACGGCCGCGGCGGCGCGAGCGGCGCGGTCAGCGCCTTCAGAGCGCGTTGATGCACGGCCGCCCACCGCTCCGTCAGCTCAATGATCGTAGCGTCCGGCTTGCGAAAATAGACCCGAAAATCACTTGAATTGAACATGGCCACGCCGTGCCAGGGCTTCCACGCGACGTGGCCCGTGCCAATGGTACACGAGTCGAACTCGAGGATCGAACAAGCATCGGCACCCTTGGGCCACTCGCCGCTCGCGACCTTCTCTGCGGAACATTTGTATTCTAGGGATAATCTAGTGTGCTTTCCTGCGAAGTGCACGTTCAGAAAGTCCTGCTCGCCGTACACATATAAACCAGAGTCCTCTGCTAGTGTTTCGTCGAAGGGCTCGGGGCCCGGCTTCAGTACTAATACACCTCCACTCAAGTAGTCGTTCGGGGCCGCGAGCGGCTCGCCCCCATCCAAGGCTGAGAATAACTCCGAGACGTCTCTGAGTACAAGTACGTCGCTGTCCAGGTAAATGACCCGCTCCGCATCAATTGACCAGAGCTGGAGCTTGGCCCACTGGCCCAATCCTAGGGCCGGCAACGCCGACGAGTGGCCCACGCCCTTTCTGGGACGGACGTCCCGACAGATGAAGCCAAAACTTTGTAAAGCGTTCCTCGCCTCGGCGTCCATATCGTCTCCTAACAAGGCATAAAAAGGCACAGATACACCATTCTCCAGTAGAGACTGTTTTAATGTAAGAGCGCCGTGCACGTAGCCCGTATCACTGGACGAGCCGTACAGGATGGTCGCGACCGCCGTCTCGTATTGAGAAGTTCTTTTTGATAATGAAACCCGATCCCAGATGCGGGCAGGTACTTCTGGTTCTTGGAAGGGCCGGTACGTCACCGTCTTGGCCGCATGGTACCACCGCGGCTCGGGACAATAACCTCGGACGCCAAAATACGCCGCCGCCTCGACCCTAAACAAAGAGCGTAACCCCCCGTCCATGGCGCCGCCGCCGCCCTCCCTTCTAAATGCCGGTTTTAATGATATAGACACTTGACCCCTATGGTCCTCCTCCAGCGTGTTCCAGTGCTGGCCGGCCGCCGTGCTCCACAGAGCTGAGCCTCCATCCCTTTCACTGGGATAGGCGTCCAGATGGACCGGACCTGCTAAAAAAGCCTTCCAGTGCCACGTTTCGTTTTCGTAGACCTCCACACCTAGTTCACAAGCAACGTCGCCTAAAACCAACACCTCGCCATCCCTCGGCCGGTCCAATGATAATCTACATTTCGGTTGAGGTTCCTCTTTAGCCAACGCGAGACTATTGTCGAGTAGTTCCACAATCTGTGTTGCTTGGCACGCCCGGTCATACAGCAAGCAGCCGGGGAAGGCCTCCTTCCACAACCGCAACCGCTCCACAGCATGAACCGCCTGCGCGTAGACGTCTCGTCTTGATGAAGGCAGAGTGAACCGCAAGGGAATCTTCTCGCCTCCGTCCTTCTCTCGACGATCAAACAACACCAGGCCACCCTTTGATGTCCCTACGACCTCGTCCGCGTCGTCTCCGTCGTAAGGCGGCACCAGATCATCAAAATCACCCGTCAGCTCGAGGTCAAACGTGCCCGTCGCTGTCGTGCACCCGTCGGGCGCGTGGGAGACCTCCAGCACTAGTCTGCCTCTTAAATCAATCAAGCCTCGCACCCAGACATTTACGAGGCCGACGTCCTCCCACGTCACCCTTAATTCAGGGAGTAGCTCCGTGCCATTCTTCGTGAGGAGAGAGCAGTGGAACGTCAGTTCGCCCCAGACGTCCCGTCGTGTCCCATTCGCGTCGACGCTGCGGATGTGGAGGTCGATGTGTCGTGAGGCCACGGCCAGCAGCTTGGCTTCGATGGTGCACGGCTCCGCGGCGACGCGTGCGACGCTGGCCAGGAGCAAGGGCAGCCTCATCGTCGCTTCACGGCTGCATTTTTGACTCTGTCGAGTTCGCTGTGAATGCTAGCGTCGTGTGAGGCACTAGCGTTGCTCGGCGCTACAGCGTTTACGCGCAAATAAATGCGCATCACTACCGCTGTAGCACGCTAAGGGTTGCCACGCACCCTTGGCTACCAGCTCGACGCCGTCGCGCGCAGCGTGAGGCTGCGGGGCAGCCCTACACCTACTAGAACACAGAGATGCCGCCGCCGCCGCGACCACGCCCCCTGACGCCGCCCCAGTCACCAGACTCGACGGAGACGCCGGCGTCGCCCCCGGACCCGCCGACCTTCCGGTCGCCGGCGTCCGACCGAAGCCCGGCACCGCCCGACGGCGCGGCACCGGCAGAAGAAGAGGAAAGAGAACCGATTATCGGCGAGCCGCGGACCGTGCGAAGGGACCACGAGCAGCCCATGACGAATAAAACGTTTCAGGACATACTCATAGAACAGTTGGAAGCGGCGGCGGAGCTCGGCAACGCGGACGCGATGTACCAGCTGTTTCTGAACGAGAAGATGTGCCCCGAGGATCCAAGTAAAGCCGATGAAGACCGCGCCGAGGAGTACCTGAAGTACGCCTACGAGAACAATTTGGAGCCCTGGAAGGCCATGCAGATCATGCGGTATAGTAGGTGGGGTTATGATGGTGAACTGAATGCGAAGGCGCGAGAATCGGGCGACTTGCGGCCGGGCGCCAAACCGCCGGACTGGCATGAGTGGTCTGGTATTCCGGATCCTTCAAATCCTTCGCGGCCCCAAACCAAAGGATCGATGGGCTCCATGAACTCCTTTCGGACGGACCCGTCCGAGGAGCCGCCGCGGTTGATCGAAGACGAAGATAGCCAGACGACGTGGCTGGAAGATGATGGTTCAGGACGCTTCCCGTCCGTCGAAACTATCGGGAGCTAACATTGTTGTTTTTTACACACGCGCCCGCTTGTTGCTGTTCTCCTCTGCCGCGGGAACATTACCGGCGGCCTCGGACAGTTGATTGAGCGACAGCTCGAGCTTCTCCATTGCTTCATCGCCGTCCGCCGCGGCTTCCCGTCTCGCGGCTATTACCGAAGCATCGTCGGCCGCGGCCGCGGCCGGGTGCGCTTGCGTCAGTAGATCCGCGATGGCGTCCCGCCCCTCGCCCCGCGCGTTGCCCGCCGGCGACAGGCCGTCGCCGTTGCGCACGCTCGCGTCCGCACCGGCGGCCAGCAGCATCCGACACGACTCCACGTCCTCGACGACGTGCAGCGGCGTGTCGCCGTCCTCGTCGCCGCAATTCAGGTTCACGCCGGGCCTCGCTATTAAGTACTGTAGTAATTCGTGGTGGCCGTACGACGCCGCCGCGTGGAGGCACGTGTACCCTTGCTCGTCCGGCGTGTGCGGCTGGTGCGCGCCGCCTTCGATGCACCGTCTTACGGTGTCCAGGTCGCCGTCCGACGCGGCGGTCCAGACGTTTACAGAGGCGTCGTAGGCGGCCATTGTATGATGTGCAGCCTGCAGTACACTGGCAGCTGTCGCAGCGATGGTGTGACTTTCAGAATCGACTCGGCACAGTGATAGTTGCTTAAAACAAGTCTTCCTCGCCGTGCCGCCGAAGAGTTTGCGCCGCTGCGTGCAGCCTTTGTGTCGCCGCCCACATGGGCTGCACAGCTAGATTGAAGGCAGGCGAAGCAAGAACAGACATAAGAGAAGGATCCTTCGCCAGGCGAGTAGTAGCACAACAGCTGGCACAAACCGCGGGTCCACCTAGCGCACAAGGACACTAGCTAACCACAGCGCAAACCGGCCGCGCTTATAAGCCCTGTGCGGCGCGCGGCGGGCCTGGGAACTGCCGTCGCGGCGCGAGAGGCACCTCCCGGACCGCTGCGTGCGCCACCGCGGCGGGAGAGGCCAGCGGCGCGACAGGGGGCTGCCGCCCAGCAGCTGCCCCACCACGCCACCGCCGCGGCTAAGCAGGTAGGACACGCGGGGCTGCCCGCCAGGAGCTGCCCCTCACACACACTCACTAACGATGCCGAAGAAGAAGAAGGGCAAGAAGGGCAAGAAGGAGAAGAAGAAGACGCCGCACCAACTGCAGGTCGAGGCCCTGACCCGGGCCTGCGACGAGGCCGAGCGGGTGTATCGGGACACGCGCGACCTCAATGCGCGATTGAGCCGAGAGAACGAAGAGAGGCGCTTGACGTTAGCCGAGAAGCGGGCTCTAGCTGATGAGCAGGCCGAGCTCTTCGAGTGTTCGGAGCGGCAGGATGCGAGGGAGAGGAAACAACAAGCGTCTTCACTAAAACACGAGAAAACGCTGCTCCAAGCGCAAGTCGAGCAGTTACGATTACAGCGAGAACGACGGACGGAATTGTATCTCGAGAACGAGACGCTGGAAGGCGACCTGGACCGAGCGCGAGAGGAGGCGAGGAAGGCGCAAGAGGCAGCTGATAACGAGGCCCTGGACCAGGAGCGCCTCCTCCAGAACGTCGAGACCGACGCCGAAAATGCTTTCAGGGAGGAGCTGTCACAACGAGTCGACAAGCATTTTAAAACTGCCTATCACAACCTGAACGCGGTCGCGAAAGCCAAGTATCGGCGGACCGAAGTGTTGCGGGAAGAATTAGCCTTCCAGCACGAGGGGATTGTAGCTGTATCGCGGAAGATCGCCGAGGACTCGCAACGCAAGAGTGAAGTAAAGCACGAGGTCAAGAGTCTCGAGAAGTCGGATCACGATAAAGCCATTCAAACAACTCTGGAGAAGAGGAAACGGGACCAGGCCTTGAAGGATGCGGACCGGCTTAATCAGCAATTAACGGAGCTACGGAGTGAAAGTGAAGGGTTCGAGCGGGAGAGTGCTGAGGCTCTATCCGTCGTGCCGCCGCCGCCGCCCGGCTCCGATGCTCTACATCATCTAGAGAACGTCCTGCGGGAGCGGGAGGCGGAGCTCTGTGACTTGGAAAGGCGCGCGGCGACGTGGGAGAAGCGCGCGAGCGCGGCCCGCGCGTGTGCTGTGGATATCCGGAATGGTAGTAGGAGAGCGGGGCCGCCACAAAACTACGACGACGCGGCTGCGTCGCTGGACGCGGGCGACGGCGCCCATGCGACGCTCGACGCGCGCCTCTGGCGCGGGTGCCACGAGCGGTGGAGTAGTGCTGATGCGGATCTGACGGCCGCGCCCGAAACGCTCGACGTCGCATCGGTGTCGACGCTGCCGACACTCTCCAAGTCCGTCGGCGAGCGCACGCGGAAGACGCAGCGGCGGCCGCGGCCGCGCGCGCCGCGCGTCCAGCCCGCGCAAATTTCCAGGAGGGCGCCCGCCTCTCTGGGTTTCGCGCAGATCAAGGCGTTCCGGAGCATCGCGCGTTTTGAAAGGGTGCGCGCGGCGACGGACCTGGAACTCGGGTAACAAAAAGTGTGTGGCTTATTTTGAGTTGTAGTCGATGTTACGGTGCTAGGACTAGTGGGCGGGGCCCCTGGGCAGATGCCGGAAGCCGGCGCAGGTGTCAGCTAGCGGCCCTTGAGGTGGGGCCGCTGGGACGCTGCGGGGGGCGCGCAGGTGCCGGCCGGGAGCCCCCGGAGCGTCTCGTCGAGGTGGCGGTCGCCCAGATGCCAGAGTTTCCGGTCCCAGCGGACGAGGTGTTCCAGGTCCTCGTCGGTCGTCGCGGCGTGGGCGGACGGGTTCAATTTCTTCTTCGCGTCGAAGGAGAAGCGCCACTGGAGGAGGTGGCCGAGTGCGCAGAGGCTCTCCTGCATGCGCTCGACTGTGCCGACGAAGAAGAAGAGGTCGAGGTGGCGCGCGGCGCAGCGGAAGGTCTCCTCGGAGGGCTCGGCGGTCTCGAGGATCGCGTAGTAGCCGCAGATTTTGCGCGTCTGGTAGTTGGAGAGGCAGTATTCCTGGTAGACGCCCCCCGTCGACTCGGCGCAAGTGCCGGTCGTGCGGTGCCGCACGAACTCGCCGAAGGTGGCGTTGGCGGGGAAGCGGCGGTACTTTTTCCCCTCGCCGAACATGAGATACCCGTAGAGCGACAGGAGGCGCGCGGTCGGCTCGCGCAGCATGGTCATGTAGAGCGGCCGCGCGCAGTCGACCGTCGCGTGGTAGCCGTAGGCGATGTGCCGCGCGAAGACGCGGTACGGCCGCGCGAACGCGCGCAGTGCGCGTATCCGCGCCTTGTTCTGCACGACCAGCGCGTCGCGGAGCTCGCCCTCGTGCCCCGTGTCCGGCACGAGGAACGCGTCGCCGTACGCCTGCCGGAAATAGCTCTCCACCGTAGTGCCGCCGCACTTGTGCAGGTGCACGAAGAACAGCTTCACGGTGCATACCGCGCAGCCGCGCTGCGCGTTGAAGTCCCGGAGCTTGGCGACCGCGAGGCTGTCCGCCTCCGGCGCCGGCCGCGCGGCGGGCATCCCCCACGGCCACACCGCCAGGGCCCAGGCGGCGCGCCGCATGGCGGGATCCGCCGCCTGCGGGCCACCGCGGGAGCCGCAACGGAACTGCACTCGTCACGGCAGTGGCAGCATCGCGGTGCGAGGTGCCGGTGTCGTAGCGGACGCCAAGCCTGCCGGGCGACACCTCGCCGTCGAAGGTATTCGTCGGCTCCGGTAGCCTCGGCGGCACGGATCGCACAGCACAGCACGGAGGGGCAGCACAGCACGGATATTGCCAAAATCCAGCCAAGCCAACTCCAACTCTAGAGTCTAGGATCTCGACGGTGCGGGGTTCTCTGGAAACGCAACGGCAGTCTTCCACTCGAAGGACATTGGTGCCTCACCTACCGCTCCGTTGCGCGGGATCCGCCGCCTCGTCGTCGGCTTCGCGCGCGCCCGCGCCGTCATGCTGATGCTGATGCCGACGGCCTACGGGCTCCTGAGCGTCCGGCGCCGCCTCGGCCGCGCGCCCCAGTGGAAATACCTCATCTGGGGACCCGTGCTGCTCGCGCGTGTCTTTGCCGGGGACCACGCGCTGCTGCGAGTTTGACCATAAACTTACCCGAAGCCGCCACTAGTCGGCTTCTTCTTGCGCTTCGCGCGTTTCGGAGGGGAAGGAGGCGCCTCCTCCGTCGAGCCGGTCCGCACGAAGTTCGATAACCGCTTCAGGGCGTCGCCGTAGCGCTCGGAGGCCATGAGCGTGAGGCCCGCGTATTGCGTGGCACCCTTGCGCAGCAAGTCCTCGATGGATTTGCTATGCGTTTTCTCGAGCGGTGTCCGGAGCCAGGCGTCGTAGCCGTACGTTACCAAGAGTTCTTCACCCGCGGAAACGTCTTCGGCGAGCACGAGGCCCATCAGTGGGATACACAGCGGCACGAGGCACGCGTTCGCCCGCGCGACGGACTCACCAAGGTACCTTTCTATATCACCGTCGTCGGCGCATAAAGCTCCGTCATTCGCAAGATGGCCGAGGAACCCCGGAACCGCCTCCTTGGCCGGGTTGGCCGCGACCCAGAACCGCGGACAAGGATCGGGAATGGCGCTCGTTTTCACACCTGGCGGAAAAACAAAGTACTGGCGGCTCCCTGCAGCTTGGGCCTTCTGAAAGTCCTGGAAGTAGTCGCTGTCGGCCTGGTCGATCATGAGCGCTTTCCCCGTGTCGTCGACCGTTAGGTCGGGCCTATATAACGTGACGAGCGTACCCATCTCGAGGTCTTTCGTGGCAAACAACCCCGTGCCGTGGATGTCGCTTTGCCGCGCTTCCACAAGCTCACTGAGCTCGGCTATGCCGATCTGTTCCGCGACATTGCTCCATTCGTTCGCCAGGAGCGCGGCGCCGGCTTGGCCCCACTGTACGGGGTCGACGGCTTGTTCCTTGGCGTCGTCGTCGTCGAGCAGGCGCCGCTTGCCTCTGACCGGTGCGACGCGCCCTTGACGCTGCGGCGGCGGCACGAGGCTCGCGCAGAGGCGTGCAGTGAAGAGGAGGCGCAGCAGCATGGCTCACTTCTTCTCGTCCTGGCTGTCGCTCGGCTCCGGCGGCGGCCGCTTCGTCACGAGCTTTGCGAGCTCGGCTTCGTACGCCTTTTTTACCGCCTCGGCGCTCTGCGCGCGGTCGTTCGTGGCCGGCTCGAGTCCGCCGCACCACGGACCCTGGCCGTCGACGCAGGCGAGCACCGCTTTTGCCGGTCGACTCGGACACGCAACCGCGACCGCTGCAACGCGCAGCGCGACGCGTCGGTCCAGGCTGAGCGCGGACGCGCCGGCGGCGACCAGCAATACGCGCGTAAGCGCACGAATCTTGCACGACGGTTGCTGCAGAGCTGCACACTGCTGCAGCAAGTCTTTCCTGGCACCGCTGCGAGGCAAAAAAGGCTTCAGCTGCAGCGAGCTAGCGGCGTGTAAGACACTAGGAAATATCGCGTTCTGGACGCAAACCTGCCCTCTGAAGCAGCAGCGGTGCATCATAGGCTGTAATTGCTGCGGTCGTAACCCCACAAATCTCACTGATCACTACTGCGGCGCCTGAGCATCACTGCGACCCGTGAGCATCACGAGCCCCCATGCGCCTTCTCTCCGCCCTCGTCCCGCTCGCGACCTCGCGCTACCGGCCATTCCAAATCTTCGACGGCGACGCCATACGCAGCGTTAAACAACTGCGTGAGGTCTTCGACGAGCGCTTCTCAAAACCTCGCGAATCGCACCCGGACCGGTTCAGCTGGGACCCGTGGCACGTCACGCGGCGCGCCGAGGACGCGCCGACGGCGCGCGTCGCCGCCGCGCCGGAGGTCATAGAAGAAGAGACGGACTCCATCGAAGAGGCCGTCGCAGCAGCCGGAAGAGCAGAGCGCGGCGCCGCGAGCGACGAGGGCAGTATCCAGGGAGAAGGCTCGGGCCTCCAGTACTCCATGCTGCGCACGCCGGCGGCGGCCTACTTCCCCGAGGAATTATTCGAAGAATTTTGTGAGGAGCTCGCGGCGTTCGGGCAGAAGCATCTCGGGTGCGATGCCTTCACGCCGCCGTGGCTGGCCTGCTATACCGACGGCCACGAGATGGCCTGGCACAGCGACGCGAGCCACGGCCCCTTCGCATTCGTCGTGAATTTAACACCAAACGGGTGCCACGCGCGCGCGGAAAGTGAAAAGCCGGGCTGGTTCGAAGGCGGCGAGACCGTGTTATTACGGCCCGAAATCCTAGATTACTGGCGGGGCTTCGACGGCTCCCGGGGCCTCGAGGCCGATTCTATAATAGAACGCGTCGACCCGGCGCCCTTCGGGCGCGTCGTCTGTTTTGATGGAAGGGTGCCACACTCCGTTTCGCGGGTCCGCGGCACGCGGGACCCGCGGCGCGGGCGCCTCGTGCTGACGGGCTGGTTCTCGGCGCCGCGGCCGAGCGCCGTCGGCGGTTTGGCGGAGGACGGCGCGCCTTCTGAGGAGGCGGCGGAAATTCTCGACGCCGCGCTCGCCGTGGCCTACGACGCGATGGACGAGCTCGAGCTCGCGCGCGTCGCGGGCTTCCTCGGCGTGCGCGTGGCGGTGACCGCCGCCGGGGTTGTGAAGAGCGTCGACGCCTTGTGCGACACGCTGCGCGTCGATAGCGGGGAGCAGCGGCCGCTCGACGACGACGAGGTCCCCGACGACGTGTCGACGCGGGAGCTCATCGCCGCGGCGCTCGGCGAGGCGGAGTTTCCTCCCGCTTCCGAGGCGAGCACGTTCACGCTGCCGCTCGCGTTCGATTAACTTTATCTGTGATCACACAAGAGTTATATTTACACTAGGGTAGCCGCATATGCCTATTCACGTCCTTGTAGAGCAAGTATCTAAAATCAGAAGGACCGCCGGCATAACACGCCTGCGGGCAGAACGCCCTTAACCACAGGAAGTCGCCCGCCTCGACCTCGACCCAGTCCTGGTTCAGGTTGTACACGGCCTTGCCCTCCAAAATATACAAGCCGTGCTCCATGACGTGCGTTTCTTCGAAGGGGATGCAAGCCCCCGGTTTAAAGGTCACGAGCGTCACGTGCATGTCGTGCCGCAAATCGGCGGGATCCACGAACCGAGTGGTACACCATGAGTTATTCGTGTCGGGCATGGGTTGCCTTTCGGTAGCTTGGTCCGACGTCACTATCATATCAGGTTTGTCGAGGCCGGGCGCGGCCTCGTAGCGCTTGCGGATCCACACAAACGACGCGCCTTCGTCGCTACGAAGGTTCCACCGCGCACCGGGTGGAAGATAAGCGAAGCCGCCTTCACGCATCTCGTGCGTTCCTTCATGATCGAGTGTTATCGAGCCTTTGAGCACGAACAGCACGCCTTGGACGCCCTCGTCCGGCTCCCCATCTCCAGAACCGCCCGGCTCCAGCTCCACCACATACTGCGAAAAGGTCTCCGCGAAGCCGGACAGGGGCCGCGCGAGGACCCAGCTCCTTGCTTTATTCCACCCGGGTAGCGGGCTCGTGACGATGTCCCTTAACACACCTCGCGGCAGGACCGCATAGGCGTCTGTGAACTTCGCGCGGCCCGTCATCAGGTCCGTCTGCGGCGGGAGGCCGCCGGGCGGCGCGGCGTAGGAGAGCGTGCGTGCGCATTGGCGCCTGGGGAGTGCTTGTGCGGCTCGCACGACGGCGCGGCGGAGGAGCATCGCTCTTTTTGTGTTTAATCCGTGACGTTAGTGACTGCTGCGGCCTCTCAGACGGATTCGCGCGCGATTGCAGTGTTTTAGCACCCTGCTCTCGATGCGCTGCGAGGCGCTCTGCTTCCTGGCCTCCGATCGCCGGACGCTTCACAACAGAGGGCAACTCACCGACGCAATGTTCGGGGAACGTATCCCACGTAACGCGAGCCCTCGCATCTAGCGTCCGATTCCACTAGCTTGGCAATCAAAAATGAGGGAGAGGCTGCCCCTCTGCTCGCGACAGGCCTCAATCGCGTGGCTGTCGGCAACACGCAGTAGTTCGCAAGCACAGTAGTTGCTGCGACGCGACGAAGACGCGCCGTACGCCGCGCAAAAACGAGCAGGCACTCTGCCACCTGCCGCCCAGGGCAGTAAAATGCAGACGCCGCTCGCGTCGCGGGCGTGCGCGGCGGACTCGTCCTTTCTTGCTGAAGCTACCGGGACGCCACGGCTGCCGCCGGCGGAGGACGACGAGCCATCAATAGAGGAGGCGCTCTGGCGCATCTTCACGCGCTACGCGGACGCGCGAAGGCCGGACCGGCTGCCTTCTAGACAATTCCTCGCGTTCTGTCGCGACTGTCAGCTGCTGCGAGGGAAGGAGGACCGCGCGGCCGCCGAGGTCTTGGTGAGGACGCGCCTCCAAGGGCGCCAGAACCATCTCACTTTTGTAGACTTCGCAGAGATCCTCGCGGCGTTTTCTCAAAGCATTAGAAAGGGCGAGGACGCCTTCCGCGATGTACTACTGGAGCACGTCCTCCCGCTCGCGAAGCGGCGCACCGTTGGACCTGTGGACATGACCGGCGACGTCGCGAATTTGTTGAAGAGGTTTAGAAGACCGCTCGACGGCGCCTTCGCGCGGCTCGGCGAGAAGGACCTGCCGGCATTCCTCGACTTCTGTCGAATAAAACGCCTCCACGAGGCGACGGGCCCCGGCGCGGCGTCTCCTTTATCCATCCGCGCCGCGGGCGAGTGCTACCTCGCCGCGACGCGGCCGGGCTACCGGCGCATGACCCGTTCTATGTTCGATGAAGCGCTTGCCCGCCTCGCGGACGCGGCGTACCCATCAAACATAACGTTGCCGGACAAGCTGCGCGCCTTGCTCGTGCAGCTCTGGCGGAGCGACGGCGCGCCGCAGCCAGGGTCGCCGCGCAAGGGCGACGACCTCGCGCGCGCCGTCGTGGACATGTGGCGCGGCGACGACTACCGGGACTACCTCGCTGTGGGGGGGGCGGTTGCTAGTGGCGTCCCGGCGCTGGAGCGGCTGTCGCCGGCGCGGCAGAGTCCGGGGGTAAGGAGAGTACATTAATGAACTTACACGCGCGGACGCCTCTCAGTAATCTCCAAGATCAACATCGGATTTCCAGACCTGATTCGGCGCGGCTTTCTCAGACCAGATCTCGATGTCTCCAATCCTTGCTATACCCGGACTATAGTTGTACAAATGGATCGACGAGAGCGGGTTGTATGCGACCGGCAGCCCCCGGGCGGCCGTCTCACCATCTACGGAAATGTCAACTGTGCCCGAGCAAGAATTCACCGACTCATGATTGAACGTCGCATCGACGATATACGGGGTGTTGGGCGCCACGTCCTCGACGAGCGTTTGAGTTGCCCTACTTTCCTCAGCAATACGATAAAACCAAATGAGGGAGATAATTCCGTGTTCGTTTAGGCGAAATCTCGGGCCACCAATGAAGTCATTCACCACGTGTGATCTGTGATTTGGACGCGTAGGTGCGCTGGGCCCGCAGAGTAGTGCATAGCCCACCGATACGCCACCCGGTGTATGCTCTACACTACACTCCACGTAGCTCATTGCCACTCGGTATCGCGTCACGAGCAGATTTGGGCCTCGCAGAAGACGAGCAAATCCCCGGTGTCCCCTGGGCTCTGTGAGCTCGAGGCACGATCCAACGCCGTGGAAGGGCTTCACTTCAGCATTGCCAGCAGTTCCATTACCAACCCAAAGCCACTCCCCAAATCCCCGCTCCCACTTCTCGCAGAAGTAGTGCGTCTCGCCAACAAGCAGGGCGTCGAGGCACGCTCGCGTCGTCGGGGGGTTCGGGACGGTCTTGCCGCGCCGTTTTATTGCTGTGGTGAGCAGGCACGACTGCGCCTCGCGCAGCGGTTTCGCAACCACTGCGAGCTCCGCTATGGTCTCTGTGGGCAAGAAATCCACAACGGCCGCGCGCGCATCGTCGCGTCTCCAGAGCACGAGAAGTGGGGTGCCGCGGCGCCTCGTGGAGCGGGTCGCAACCATTGTGAGTTTGAGTCTGCGCTGTAGAAGTGCGATTTACCAGCGCTGCTTGTCAGAGCGAGCCGCGCGCGTTCTTTGCGACTTGGGCAAAAAGCTGAGCTTGCTAGTGTGTCTTTTGGACGCTAGCTCCGTGAGCAAGCGCGTAAGCGGGGTTGCACGGGCTTTTAGACCACGCACGCGAGGTATAAAGACCAATATAAAGAGATCATCGCGGCGCAGCCAGCAATCTCAGCGCCAAAAGACATAGCGGCCGTCAAACACGTCCCGACACACTGAGCTGCAACTTGCCCTCGCGCAGCGCGTCGACGCGGTGCGCGCGACAGAATGATGCGCCGAGCGGCCTGCCTGCTCCTCCTCCAGCACGCAAACACACTGCTCCATGCGCCACCAACGCGACGAGTCAACACCCGCCACTACTCGACGACGGAAGAGACCACAACAAAGTTCGCCGGCGAGCACGGCCCCGCCGACTCTGAGCAGTGGCTCGCGCGGCAGGGCCTCGTGCAGCCCGGCGCGTCGCCGGAGATCCACGAGATCGCGCGGAAGGCTAGAAGGAAGAAGAAGGGAACGAAGGCTCTCGCGTTACGGCCCAAAAAGGCAAGGTGGGGCGACGCGGACAAAATCCGAGACTTGCCCGTCGAGGGCGGCTGGTCGCAATCACGGCAACGCGGCGCCTCGACAAAAGCGACGGACGCCGTCGAGGGCGAGAAGGCTCGACGGTGCTCGCAGATTTTGGTGGCCACGTCGGGCGTCGCGAACGAACTGCGGGACGCGCTCTCGAAGGCCAAGGCGGACTTCGGGGCCATGGCCGAGGCCATGTCGCTGTGTGAGGTCACTTCCGCTAAGAAAGGCGACGTCGGTTGGTTGGATGGGAAAGATGTCGTCGATGATGCTACTGAGGCATTATTACCTTTAACAGCTAGACTTGAACTGATGGGCAAACCCCTGAAGCCCGGCGACGTTTCTGTCGTGCAGTCCCATCTCGGCTACCACGTCATAAAAATAGATGATATCATGCGGGACTTATCTTTAGTAACGAAGAAACGCAAAAACGCCATTGATAAAGGAATAACGTTGGAGGAGGCCTGCGCGGGCAAGACCTACGCCATGGTCACGATGGGCTGCCAGATGAACGCGGCCGATTCGGAGCGGCTGGAGGGCGGTCTATTGGATCTTGGGATGACCGAAGCTTCGGAACCTAAAGACGCGGACGTTATCATATTAAATACGTGTTCGATCCGGGAGCACGCCGAGGCCAAGGTCTACTCGTATGTGGGGCCGCAAGCTAAACGTAAGAGGGATGGCGAAGACGTGACTATTGTCGTGGCCGGCTGCGTCGCGCAGCAGGAAGGCGCTCGATTGCTGAGACGAGCCCCGGAAGTCGACGTGGTCATGGGGCCCCAATATGCTAATAGACTAGCTGATGTCTTGGAGGGCGTGATGCTGCGCGGCGAGCAAGTCGAGGCTACTTCGGCGTCGTACGGCGCGCTGGACCACGGCGGCTCGACGACTTCTCGAAGAAGTAGTGATGTGGTAGCGTGGGTCAACGTGGCCCACGGCTGCAACGAGCGGTGCACGTATTGCGTCGTGCCGAACACGCGAGGCGTCGAGCAGTCGCGGACGCCGGAAGATATCCTGCGGGAGATTGATTCTCTGGGTAGAAGCGGCTACCGGGAGGTGACGTTACTAGGGCAGAACGTCGACGCGTATGGTAGAGATATGCGTCCTAGACGTACTTTCTCTGATCTACTGGAGGCGGTGGCGGACGTCGCTCGCAAACACGATAACATGCGGGTGCGCTTCGTCACGTCGCACCCGCGGTACATTACTAATGAAGTGATAGACACGGTCGCGTCTCATACAGATGTATTGATGCCCGTGTTCCACATTCCCGCGCAATCGGGCGACGACGAAGTTCTAAGGCTGATGGGCCGCGGGTATACTTCTGAGAGGTACTTGCGAGTCGTCGCATCAATAAGGGAGCGGCTGCCGGACGCGACAATTAGTGGAGACTTTATCGTGGGCTGCCCGGGCGAGTCTGATGAGGCCTTCGAGAAGACTTTAGATCTGATGGATTCCGTCGTGTTCGACGCGTGCATGACGGCGGCCTATTCCCCGAGACCAGGGACGCCCATGGCCCACTGGGACGGCGCGTCCGTTGCGTTTGAGACGCTCGGGGTTGAGTTACGAAAGCTCAAGAGTGTTGATGAAGCTAGGGAGAGTGTGCACGCGCGTTTCAAAGTACTGGCGCAGCAGAAAGCTAAAGCGAATAAGCACGACGATGATGCGGCGTGGGATTCTGTGGTCGTGGCAAAGCGGGAAGCTCTGGAAGCGTTAGATCGGGCTGAAAAAGCGCCGCCGTCGGCCTTCCATCCCTTGTCGGGCGTCGGGCCGGCCCAATGCCCCGACGAGGTCAAGGAGGAACGCTTGCAACGTATTAATGAGAAGGCCGACGCCCACGCTTTACAGAGGTCGGAGCGCTACGTCGGGAGAATAGAACCGGTCTTGGTGGAATCTAGGAACACGCGCGTGCCGACGCAAGTCGTGGGAAGGACGCGGGGCAACAAGCTCGTCTTCTTCGAGGGCGACGCGGAGGAACTCGTCGGGCGGACGGTCGACGTGCGCATTATTGAAGCGAACACATTCTCGCTGGTCGGGGAGAGGGTAAGCTAGTATGTTTGAAAGTCTGTTGACCAGACGCCGTCGCCGCGACCAGTATAAACCTATTAAATGTTATCGCTCGGCCGCGCCGGCGACCGGATGCGGATCGCAGAGTGCGGATGCGGCCCCGTGGGGATGGGTTCGCGCCGCTTCGGCGAGGGCGCGGGCTCGTCGAAGCACGGGCAGAGGTACATGCCGACCGCCCGCGCTGCCCGCTTCAGCGTTCTAATACAGGGGTTTTTGTGCGGGCGCATCATGCCGATGGTCGGCGCGAGGTTGTGCTCGACGGCGTAGCCCAGACACCCCAGAGCCGTGACCGGCGGCGCCAATGCGGCCGTGTAACACACGAGGAACCAGATCAGCGTCCTTGTACTGAGAGTTGGACCCATCACGTAATGAGCAATCAGCAACAGCGAGGGGAAGTACACGATACCCACCAGCCCGCCCAGACATAAATGCCGCGCGGGCGCCCAGCGCCAACATCTGTGAGTACCAAGAAACGGCAGAAATATGCGCCATCTTCCGCACGTCTCCAGTCGTATCGGTTTAAACCAGCCCGCTTCCACGGCCTCGGGCATGGCCACGGGCATCATCATGAAAATGAGCAGGGGCGACATGATCAAAGAGCCCCACCCAACACCCACGAGCTCGGGCCCGTCCGAGTCGTAGGGGCCCTGCTTCAGGACTGCGAATAATAGTCCAAACATGACGATGGGGCCGACGATGGACGCGACGACGTTCAAAATGACCTGGACGACCACAAATTTCGAGCAGAGCACCGCCGAGACGCTCTCCGCGTAGGCCTCCTCCGGAAATAGGGCTAACGTCGAGCTCGCGCGCACGCGCGCCGGCGGCCTCAGCCGCGGGTCGACGTTTGCCGGCGACCGCGCCTCGTCGAGCCGCAGGTCGATCGCGGTCGGCGAGAGCGCTTCTGCTGCCCGCGGGTCTGGCGGCTCGGACCGCGACCGGCGCCGGAACCGCGTTGGGGTGGTGAGCTCCTCTTTGCTTTCGTTCGCTGCGCCCGGTGACTGCCCCTCCTCGAGCGCGCCTTCCGGTGCCTCCTCCGTCGACTCCTGAGCACCCATGGCAGCAATGGAACCGATTCAGCTGGCGGCCATGCACGCGCTTTGGATGGTGCCGCCGCTAGGCAATGGCTTATTTTAGATTCATGTGGCTGCCGATAGATGTATTCGCGTCCTGGGGCAGCGCGCGGCGCGTGTCTGGCTTGTCGGACGAATCGTTGCCAACAGGCGCCGGGTTTTTTTGGCGCGACGCGCCTTTTTGATTCTACGGGTCCCGTTCGCGCGCAAATGAGTCCTCTAGTGCGGTGTTGGGTTTCGCCTGAAAAACCCGCCACCGCAGCTTATTGGCCATGGACGCCAGGCGCCAATACGAAGCCAAATAAATGCCGGTGGTGCAGTATCTTGCCGCAGAGACATCGGCAGTATGCCATTTCCATCGATCTTGAGCGCTGGTGCAAAGCTGGCTGGCTTGCATTTGCCCTGAGCTGCAATAAGCACATTATTATCTTGCAGGATGCGCAGCGACGACGCGCGTAGCGCTGGCGACGCGACGAACGCCCCGCCGCGCTGCGCGTCGCCGCGATCCGCCAGCCACGCCGCGCTGCTGGAGGACGAAACCCCCGCCGTGTGCGGCGCCGGCGACGCGAGCCCGGCCAGCCACGCGCTGCTGGAAAACGACGCCGCCGCAGACGGCTGCTGCTGCTGCCGGAACGAGCGCTGCACGAACCACGCCAAGGTGCTCACCGTAGCATTGGTGCTCTTCCTGAGCATCACCTGCGCGCAGTTCGGCCTCGCGTTACTCGCGAGGAGCAACACGCTGCTCGTGGACTGCGCGTCGATGTTGGTCGACAGCGCGACGTACGCGGGGAACCTCTGGGCCGTCTGCCGCGAGACCAACGATCCCGAGGACGCCGCGCGGGGCGCCCTGGTGACGTCGGGCCTCTCTATTTTGGTGCTCGCGGCGATCACGGCCTGGGGCCTGTCCGGCGCGGTCCAGGACTTGAGAAGGAGGCACCCGCCCGACCGGGTGAACGCCGAGATCGTGCTCATATTGGGGATCTTCGGCCTCGTGTTTGATGCCGCGACGCTGTTGGCGTTTCGCGCCTGGGGCCATACTGAGGAAGACGATGAAACGGGCATCGAATTAGTGGGCACGGGCGAAGAACACGACTTTGAGGACATTGAAAGGACGGCCGACGAGATGAACATGTGTTCCGCCTTCTCGCACGTGGCCGCCGACACGATTCGGTCGGTGACGTCGGTGTCGCTGGGCCTCTTGATCATGCTGCGGCCCGATCTGAACGGAGCGAAGTGGGACGCCTACGCTACTTTAATTGTTACGGCGACGGTGCTGCTCGGGTCGGTCCACCTGGCCGTGGACTGGTGCCGCGTCGCGCGCGGGCTGGCTCGGGCGCGGCGGCGGGCGGAGATCCTGTCGAAGTTGACGCCGCGGCGAGTCTTCGAGGAATCGAAGGACAGCGAAGAATGTGGTAGTCTTGTGTAAACAACATGTGTCTTAGTAGTTGAATTCGCCGCCTACTTCGATGACAAACAGCTTCATCCCCGACGCGTTCAGCCGGTCCACGAGCGCGCGCCCCATCGCCGCCGCCGGCGTGGACACGCCGCCGGCCGCGCACTTCTCGCGGTCGAGCGCCAGCGTCAATGCAGCTTCCGTCGACATTCTTGCGGTCGCCTTGTAGCCGCCGTCGCCCGCGTCGCCGCTCTCGACGCGAGCGACGGCGATGCCCGCCGGACCCGCGGCGTAGACCTCCGAGGCGAACTTGCCCGCGTCGCGCGCCTCCCGCGAGGGCCCCTGGCCCGGCGTCGGCAGCACGTACTTCTTCAGCAGGTAGCGCGTCGGCGGGAAGAGCACGAGCACCGCGCCGACGCCGAGAAGAACGTACTCGCCCAAGGCCCCGACCGCGTACACATTGCCAGAGTTCTCCTCGTAGGGGATAACGTCGCGGCCGAGCAGCTCCATGGACCTTCGAACCACGGGCGCGTTGGCCGCCGCCATCACAAAGGGCCCCATCCACAGCTTCCTCAACTCGTCGTACTCCACAATTTTCGCGGTATCTCTCGTCTCCGGCCCGCAGACGTCGTTCAAGGGGTAACTGCCCTTCGCCAGCGTCTCCGCCACGAGACCTTTCGCTTCCTCCGTCATCAGCTCGTCGGCATAGCCCAACAACGCCAACCCGGTGTAGATCGTGCCACCGCTGATACCGCCGCCTTCGAAGCCGCGCGTCAATAAGCGCGCGCGCTCGGGCTGCGCGTTGTACCTCTCCTGGTACGCGTCCGACGCCAGCAGGTAGCCCAGGTCCGACGGGATCGAGTCGTAGCCGCACGAGTGCACGATCAATGCACCCGTCTCCTTCGCCTTGGCGTCGTGCCTGCTTAGAGACGCTCTATGTAAAGCTACTTCGCCCGTCACGTCCACATAGTGCGTCCCATGCCGCGCGCAGGCTTCGACGACGGGTAGGGCCTTGGTGATGTACGGCGAGCCGGCGTAGTTGAGGAGCACCTTCGTCTGCGCCACCATGGCATCGACCGACGCCGCGTCGGTGGCGTCGGCGACGATGATCGGCACCGCGGCCTCAAGAGCTTCGAGTCTCGCGCGGCTGCGGCCGGCGATCGCCCACTTGAGCCCGCTCGTCGCGTAACGGTCCGTGAGGTACTCGACCGCGAGGCGGCCGGTGAATCCGCTCGCGCCGTAGACGACGACGTCGTACGCTGGTGGTGCCGTAGACGACTGCACGCTGGTGGATGCCATCAGTAGGGTGGTGGCGCGCCGGATGAGACGCATGTTTGCTATGCGTGTGCTGCGTGTCGTGTGTTGCTGTGCAGCGCGTCAGCTCTGGGTGTTGCAAGGTTTTGCACCCGCCAACGCGAAAGCAATGCCGACGAACGTCGCAGGCGTCCTCAGGTGACGCGAACGAGCCCACGCAGGGCTGATTGAGCGGTGGCGTGCTAGTTGCGCCTAGCCAGAGCAGGCTGAGGCTGCAGCTGGCAAGCCTGAGCGAGGCAGCAGTCTTGGCGCACTCGTCGCACCAACCAACGCGCTGCACACGCGAAAACTGCTGCGTGTGTCGCCGACGACGCTCTGCAGGCTCGTGCCGGCTCCCGCGCGCCGCCGGCGCGGAGCTGAACACAGTCTTGGACGCAGTGCTGCTGCAGCAAGGCAGGGCTCCCGCGGACGGCACCAAGGCTAGAAAAAATGAGCGGCCTCGTCGCCGCGCGACCGCGCCCGCCCCAGCGAAACCAGAAGAAGGCACCAGTCGCACAACGCGCGAGCGACGAAGACATCGCCGCCGTCCTCGCCAACGTAGCAAAACTCTGCGGCCCGGCGACGACGCTGCCGCAGCGTTATAGAGAAGCCTACGGCGTGGCGCTGGACGCGCGCGCCCTGGGCTTCGGCAAGCTCGGGGCCCTCTTGAGTCTCGGCGAGCGCCGCGGCCTCTTCGCCGTCGAGCGCACGGAGCGACGAGAGGACGGCACGTCCGGCTCGTGGTGCCTCCGGCCCGTCGGCGCGGAAATTACTGAAAACGCATCCGACGGCGGCTCCGTCGGTTTATTAGGATTCTACCACTACGCGCGGCCGCCCTGGACCGAGCCTGCGCGCGACGCGACCGCGGCGTGGCTCCGCGCGCTCTGTGCGCAGCATGGTCTGGGCGGCCGCGTGCGCGTGGCCACGGAGGGCGTGAACGCGACCGTATCTGGTTCTACCAGTGAATTGGACGCGTTCCAGGCGACGCTCTCCACCACTGAAGGGTGGCATAGCGTCCTCTTCAAGCGCGAGCCCTGCACGTCTCACCAATTGTGGCCCGCGCTGTCGTGCTGGACCGCCGACGAGTTGTGTGGTTTTGGCGCGGACGAATCGACGCGGGAAAGATTGGACGCCGTCGGGCCCGGTATTTTGTTGGAGCCGCGCGCGTTCCGGGCGCGCATGATGGAGAAGGACGCCGTTTTAGTAGATGTGCGCAACGCCTACGAAACGACCATCGGCGCCTTCCCCGGCGCGCTCGACCCCAAGACGCGGACCTTCGCGGATTTTCAACAATGGTTGGAGAAAGACGAGACGCAAATCGCTTTAAAAGATAAGGACGTCCTCATGTACTGCACGGGCGGCGTTCGGTGTGAAAGAGCATCGGCGGCGTTACGGGCGGCCATGCCCGAGCAAAAAGAACGGGTCTTCCATCTGCAGGGCGGCATCGTTTCGTACATGGACGAGGGACTGGAGGGCTTCGCGGGCGCGAACTACGTGTTTGATCGGCGGAACCGCCACGGCGCGGCGCCGCGCGGGTCGGATCAAGTTCTTGGGAAGTGCCTGGCGTGCCGCAAGCCGTGGGACGTGTACCGCGGGTCGGCGACGTGTGCGAAATGCAAGGTGCGCGTGCTGCTCTGCGACGCTTGTTTGTCTTCCCGTGATCATGAAGCGCTCGTCTGCGATTTATGCTCTTGACGGTATGCCTCAGCGTCTCTCACCGATCGTCGGCGTTCGTTTTCTAGAGTCGCGGCCCGGTGCCACCCCCATGCCCGAGGCACGCGCTACTCGGCGCCCAGAGGAACGACGAGCGGTCCGACTTGTGTGTGGATGCCCCCCCGCGCCGGCCGGGCCGAGACTGACGACATACGCGCTCCGCGCAGGTCCTCGATCTTTCTTTTGTTTGTGGGTAACTGTCTGTTTTTCTCCAGTAGCTGCTCGCACGGGTTTAGGATTGCGTACACGCCGCAAAACCCGTGCTAGTGTCTTACAAGACGCTAGCTAGCCGCGTTTTTGCAAGCTGCCATTGCGCCGTCGGATTGTGAACACAGACACGCCTCTGCTGTCAGTATAGCTCACGCTACAGACACGATCCTCTGCTGCCAGTTATAGCTCACGACGCCCGCGATTTGCTAAAGCACCCATCAAAAATGCGCCGCGGACGCACACAACCAAGCAGCCGCGCGCGGAGCGGAGGGACAAGCGACGACGACGCGAAAGCAGCCGCTTCCAAAACGGGCATGCTCGCGCCGCTCCTCTTCCTTGCAATTGGTGTTGTCTTCGTGGTGTCGACGCTCTACCAGCCGCAGCATACGCACGTCATGCCCGTGGCGAACACCGTCGAGCTGCGCTCTCTGATAAGGGAGCAGAACGCGACGATCCGCGCGCTCGCGCGGCGCGTGGCGCACGCGTCGGAGCAGCGCGAGACGCACGCGCAGCGCATCGACGCGCACGCGGACCGCGTCGAGGCGGCGCTCGCCGCGAAGTTGGTTGCGGAGACGGAGCTCGCGGTTGCCAGGGCCGACGCCGCCGCGGCGCGCAAAGAACTTGTGGAGATGCGGCAGCGGCTGCGTGATAACCATGCGCCGTTATCAACGGCACCGGTCGCACGACAGACACTGACAACAAAAGCGGAGACGAAGTGCGACGATCTCTTCGGCGAGGGTTTAGTAAGGAGCTACCGCGACTCCAAAAAGGTCTGGTGCGGCGGCGGTTCCACAACGATCGAGTGCTACGAGCACGTCTACGCGCACAACGGGCGGATAGGGCATTTCTGCCGCGCGTCCAATCTATTGGTGGACTTTTCCAAGGTGGGCGGACGGCACTCGACCACCACGAAACCGCAGCGGGGCCCGAACATGTACCACTCCTTTGCGCCAGGTGCATTGCAGGCCCAGTGCGCGCGAACGAAGCACTGGTCTCTACAGAAGGCCATGCCCCACGCGAAACTGATGCTCCCTAAGCTCGAGGAGGTCCAGAGCTTTTCAAACGATGTAGAACGCGTGCAGACGCCTACTTATCTACTAGCTAGAGACGAGGACTCGGAAAATATGTTTCATTCCACTGCGGACCACTTGAATGCGTTTTTAGTATCAGAGGTGCTCCAGTCTGATAGAGACAAGTGGCAGACCGTGCTGTTTGATCGGATGCCGGACGGGCCCTTCCACAGTCTGATCGAGAAGACGTTTTCTCCGAAAAACAAGCTGAAACGAGCCGCGGACTACCAAGGCAGAAAAGTATTATTTGAGGAGTTGATTATTCATCTCGAGTCCCCTGCCGGTATTGTGTTCCCGAAGGTCGCCGGTCCGAAGGGTATTATGACCTGTACACAATCATCATTGTGGTTGGGGTTCCGCGCGGCTGTGTTGCGAGGCTTCGGGTTGTTGGACGTGCCTCCACCAACAGTGCCGCACGCTGTGCTGTCTGTTAGAAGACGAACCGGTGGAAAAAATACCGGTAGGGTTTTTGCGGATGAGGCCGCGCTCACAAAAATACTGAAGGAAGGAAATGCGATGACGTCCGAGGTCGTCGATCTGGGTTCGTTGCCCTTCGACCGGCAGATCGCTCTGATGCGGCGGACGAACATATTGATTGGGGCCCACGGTGCCGGTTTGATGCACGTTTTGTTTCTCGCCGAAGAAGCTGTTTTGTTGGAGATCCACCCGTCCTACAGGTTAGATAGGCACTTTAGGTTGGCCGCGCGCATGGCGGGGAAGATCTATCTGCCGCTGCGATCGACTCAACCGGTGACCTGCAAGGGCACCTCGGACGCGGTGCCCGTCGACGCGGGCGAGTTCCGGCGAGCGCTCGACGCGGCCGTGCGGCTGGCGCGGTCGTTTGATGATGGCGTCGCCGAGTGCGGCTTGTCCTGCGACGCGCGCGTGCTGGCCTTGGATAGCGGGAACGCGAAGTTCCTGCCGCCGGGCGCGCGGCCGCTCGCGACGCGGTTCCCGTGCGGGTAGTTTTTTGTTATTTAATAAGTCTACTTAGGACAGGTGTGCGTGCACTCCGGGCAGTACGCGACGTCGCACCGCTCGCAGTACCGGGACTCGCGGCACTCCTCGCAGAACGGAAGCTCACACTCTTCGCAGTAATATACGTCGCGGCACTCTTCGCAGAAGGGACACCCGCAATCGTCGCAGAACCGCACGGGGCGACACTCTTCACAAAACGGCTCCCCACAATCCTCGCAGAAGCTCGTGAACCGACAATCGTCACAAAATTGTTCGTCGCAGATCGAGCAGAACCAGGTCGGGCGGCAGTCTTCGCAGTAAGGAGTCTTACAGAGCGAGCAAAAGCCAACCATCTTACAATTGTCACAAAAACCTTTAAAGCACTCGCCGCAATGCATAACGAGCCGACAGTCCTCGCAGTACGGATTATGGCAACTACTACAGTAACGCACGCCCCAGCAATCCTCGCAGGAGGCCCTCTCGCACATGCTGCAGGGGTTGAGGTGGTCCCCATTTTCACAAACTAGACAGAACACGGAGGCGCAGTCGTCGCAGCGCTTGAGGATATGCCCGGGACAGGCGGGAGTCTCGCACCGCTTTTCGGCCATGAGAGCACACATCTCACTGTGCCTCCCGCCCCAGTCGCGCACCTGGCAGGACTCCGAGCAGTAGCGCCGCCTCATGCACCCGCCGCACACGGGAAAGCGCTCCTCGGAGAGGGGGCCTCTTCGAACGCAGACTTGGCAGACGCGCCGCAATATCCTCCGCTGTCGACGAGTCATCTCCGGTGGCGCCGCTCTCGTCACGCGCGTCTCGGCGACACGTGTCGCAAGCGCGTCGATGCGGGCGGCCGCGGCCATCGCGGCCGAGGCCGCGGCGGCCGCGGCTGCGTCGTCGCAAATCGCGCAGTCGCGGCCGCGGCCATGCTCGCAGAGCGTGACGGTCCTCCCGCTATCCGCGCACTCGCGACATCGGCGCACGGCTCTCGCGGACCACTGTTTTTTGCCAAATGCAACGCGAGGTTTGTAGTTGCCACAGGCGCTACAACTCTTCGTCGGATCGTGTTCTGCCTTACTCTCGGATGCCATGATTGCGAGCTTGTCAATAAAAGGTAGCCTTGTGGGATTGGCGCCTAGACCGGCTGCACGACTGCAGACGCGCTTACAGTCGCTGCGTCTTATGGTGAGAGACTGCTTGACAGCGTAGCGTCTCTTGAACAGACGTATCCACGACGATACCGCCCACAAACGAGACCCAGGCGCTTCCTAGTGTCTTACTACCGCTAGCTTTATGTTTTGGCCCATTTTTGAGACCGCGAGGCAGGGAGGGGGTGTCGCGGGTCGGGCGAATTAGTAATGTTATCTGCTTGATTCGCAGCGGAGTTGTGCGAGCCGTGCGAGCCGGTGACCCAGCAGACCACACCGCACAATGCTGCGGGTCGTGCGCTGCTTGCGCTCCGCTGCTCGAAGCGCTCGCGCGCGGCCGCTGGGCGCGTCGTACGGCGTCGCGGCGGTCAATCTGGGCTGCGCAAAGAGATTCCGCGCCAGCGCCGCGGACGCCGCACGAAACGCGGCGGACGTGCGCGACCTGCTGCGGACGCGGCTCTCGTTGACCGATGCGGAGGTGGACCGGATGGTGCGGCATCGGCCCCTGGGCGCCCTCGCGACCGTGGCGCCGAAGCTCGTCTGGCCGCAGCGACGCCTCGGTCTGGACGAGGCGCAGCTGAAGAAGGTCGTGTTGTTGAATCCATCGCTGCTAAGCAAAAGCATCGAGGACAACCTGGCGCCAACGCTCGACTGGTTGCAGGCGCGTCTCGACCTGGATGACGAGCAGCTGAGGAAGATGATTGTGGCGCTTCCGGCACTGCTGGGCTATAGCGTCGAGGACAACGTGGAGCCGAAGCTTCAGTGGTTACAGCGGCGCCTCGATCTGGACGAGGCGCAGTTGAGAAAGATAGTGCGTTTGGATCCGTCTCTGCTTAACAAAAGCGTCGAGGAAAACTTGGAGCCGAAGCTCTACTTCTTCGAGCGGGAGCTACTACACGGCTCGCGCGCAGAGCTGCGCGATTGGGTGGTGAAAAAATCACCCTGTCTTTCCTACAGCCTGACCAACCGCTACCGCCCGCGCCTCGAGGCGTGCCGCGCCGCCGGCGTCGACGCGAAACGCGTCCTCTCGTACGCCACGAACTCGGATGAAATCTTCTGCAAGCACACGGGCATAGATCCCGAGGACCTCACGGCGATCCGCGAGAGCCAAACGCTCATCCTCAACGACTTCTCGGCCGCGCGCGTCGTGCCGTGCGAGACGGGCGGCAAAGAGCTCGTCGCGTCCGGCGCTTTCCCGGCGGGCGCCGTATTGTTTCGCTTCGCCGGCGAGCTGAGCCCGGTCAACATCGGCGACCGGTCGCTGCAGGTCGGCCGCGCGGCGCACCTGCTGTCGGTGCCGCCGGAGGAGCCCTGGGTTTATTTGAACCACTCGTTCGAGCCAACGGTCTCACTGATTGTGGACCCGATCACGCCCGTCGCCACGGCGCGGACCACGGAGGACTTGGTCGACGGCGCGGCGCTCACGATCGACTACACGCTCCACGAGTGGGAGATGAGTGGTGACGGCTTCGTCTGCAGCGAGTCCGGCCGACGCGTCCGCGGCTTCAAGCATCTCACGGCGAGCGAGCGGGAGGCGGCGCTGCCCCGCGCGGCGCCGCACATCCGGGAGATGCACCTCGCCGCGGCGGAAGACTAAATGTTTTGGTGTTTGTCACCGGCTACCCCACGCCATCGATGCGGAACTAGACAGGAACTACTAAATGTCCCCCACGAACTCCGCGCCCTCCTGGGACCGCTGGTACCACTTCGCGCAGTTCAGGAGTGTTGGCACGACGATGACGAGTGCCGCCGCGCCCGAGTGGACCCCGTCGCCGGCGCCGGCCCAGCCGTCCACTATGGAACCGGGGATGAGCGGCGGCGTATACTTTACCAAGTAGGCCAAAAACGCCGAGAGCGCGAGGAGCTTGCCCAGGAAAAACGCGTCCGAGTCGAGGGCCCAGGCGTCTCCTAAATCTTCCCAACCGAGCAAGGACGCTGTTGTGGAGGACGGCGCCGCCGTTACCAGTGAAGGTGTTTCCGTTTCCGCCGCCTCGGCCTCGACGCCTTGTGTCAATCGAGCGTACAACGCCTCCGCGTCGCTGCGGCCGTCGCTCAACGTCCAGCCCGACGCGACGGCCAGCCGATACATGGCGAAGGCCATCGTCGTATTTCCCAAACATGTGCAGCCCGCCTGGAGCGCGACGCACCACGACAGCTCGGGCGCGTTGTAGAAAAGATGGTAGCAGCACGCGACAATTCCGGACGTATGCAAGGGCAGCATGCCCCAGGTCACGCCCTTCCACTCTTTTCTACCAATAACGTCGGCGTAGCGCCAGGCGAGGCCCATGGCCACGAGCCATTCCACTAATGAGGAGGTGTGGATGATCCAGGTCGGGATCGACAGGGCGTTTATCGGTTCATTTACATTGTCGAGATTGCCTACACCATTAAGCCAGGGCGCGTGGGCCGCGGCGTCCATCGTCATCAGGTTCCCGGCGACGACGACGAAGCAAGATAGGATCGCGAACCCTGCCCAATAGGTCGCCGCGGTTCGTAATCTGTCAGGATCATCCTTTCCCGCGAGAGCGTCCCGAAAACCTAATACAACCACACAATTCGTGGCCGCGAGTAGAGATTCTGCCGCGCCATGCAACCAATCGGCGTCGGCCAGCGACGCGCCATACAGCGCACCGGCGCCGATCGCCGCCGGGATGGACCCAAACACAAACGCTAGGAGATAAGTCAAGCCGAAACACACACCTTTGGGTGCTTGCGTCTTCGGGTGCTTCAGCCAGTAGAGCATCGCGAGCCACGGCAATAAAGAGGCGCCGAACAAACTGCCGGCGAGCTCGTCGGCCGTCGACGTGAGGGCGCTGTTCGCGGCGAGGGTGTGGGTCGTCAACTCGATGGCGTCCAGCGGTACGGCTCGTAAGGGCTGCATGGGCCTGAGGCGGCGGACAGGTGTGATGAATGCATGCGATGCGGCTGCCAGGAGGAGCAGTGCTTTGGCAGCCATGGTCTACGGGTCGAGCAGTGATCGATGCCGGCTGCGGGCTGTGTCTGACAGTGAGCAGACGTTTGATAAGTGATCACTGCGTACCACAACCGTGCTTTGCGCACGACGTGCGGCTCGTGCCGCAATTATGGCAGGTGAAGCTAAGCGGTCTAAGACACTAGAGGTGATTCTGCGCGGAGACTTACGCCGCCGCCGCGAGGCCTACTCAAGAACGATCACGAGTTCTTATCCGGACTCGTATCATCTACTCGTATCGACCACGACGCCCGCGGGCTCACTGCGCGCAAGACGATACGGCCGAGGTGGCGCTCACCGAAGCGCAGGAAGACGCGCTCAGAAAGGTCTTCAATCGCGTCGATATTTCGGGCGACGGACACATCTCCGTGATAGAAGCCATCAAGGCGCTCCGCGGCGCACGAAGTTCGACGGGCATCGAGGCCGACTTCGCGCGGCTGCTGGGCCTCGACGACATGACGCGCATCCACCAGGAAGACGGCACGAGAGATAAGCTGATGCTGGCGTTCGGCGCGCTCGACGCGGACGGCGACAAAAAGCTATCATACGAGGAGTTCCGCCGCCGCGGCGCGTGGTGGCGAGCGCGGCGACGGCGCGGGACCCCGTGCTGGCGCTCGATCCGTAGCCCCCCTCCCCCCCCCCCATCTTACCCTAATGCACATAAAAATTGCCTAGCTCTAAAACAAAACCGGCGTCTCGCGAGCCCGCGAAATCCACCTCGCATGCTCCACTTGTCCACCCTAACGACGCTACTTTGTAATCCAGTTTATAATAAATAAATAAATACCTACTCCTCATACGCCAAGACCTACTCCTCGCCACGGCGTCGCGGCCGTCGTAGAGCGCTAGCGGAATGTAAGGCACTAGCAATCATCACAGGTGTAGCTTTGTTTTTGTTGCTAGCCCAGCAGCGGTCAAAAAGCTATGCGTTTCGCACCGTTTGATACCCCCCGGTAGTAGCCAAGTTGAGCTGCAGTAGCGTGGGGACGAATGGGGCGAACGCAGCAGCATTGCTTGTGATCGCAGCGATGCTCGCATTCCTGCTCCTAAGTTGTGCACAAGCGCTCAACCCCGCAGCGCTCGCCCGCGAGGCGCTCGTCGAGTACCGCGCCAACGAACGCATCGCGCCCGACAAGGTGCTGGCGAAAGTGCTCCGAACTAATCCGTGCACGGACGGCGAGCGCCGCGCGGCGGCCGACGCATTCCTAGGTACCGCGGCCCGGCTGCGGCGCTACGAGTGGCTCTGCAAAGACGTGCACGGGGATGCTGAAGAAATAGCGGCGTCACTGCTCCAAGCGAGGGACGAGGACCGGACCACGACGGAGTGGCCGTCGGACCCGAACGAACGGCTGAGCGTCGAGAGCGGCGCGCCGCTCTGGCTCTGCGCGCGCTGGCGGCGCGATCTGGGCGACGACGAAGCGCGAGCCGTCGCGTTCGCGTCGACGAGCCGCGGGCCTGTCACGTTGCGCGTGAGAGACGAGGTTGCCATAGACGCCGTCGAGGCGTCCCTCGGCGTGCGAACCGCGAGACCGCCTCGAAACATTGGTGCGCCCCGCGCGCTGACGCTGACCGAGGGCCGGCCGCCCGGCGGCGTCTGGGCGCTGCCCGGCTGGGAGGAGGCGTTGTTTGAGGTGCAGGACGCGGGCTCGCAAGCAATTGTGGAGGCGTGCGGCGATGGCTTCGGCACGGCCCTGGATATGTGCGCGGGCAACGGCGGCAAGTCCATACCGCTCGCGGCGCGCTGCCGAGAGCTCTGGTGCCACGACGTCGACACCGAGCGCCTGAAGCGCCTCCGCGCGCGGGCGCGCCGCGCCGGCGTGTCTGTTCAATGTACGGATGGAACTCTTCCGGATGCGACGTTCGACCTCGTCCTCGTCGACGCGCCCTGCAGCGGGTCGGGCGTTTTGAGGCGGCTCGGCCGCACGATGAGCTTCGACGTAGCTGATGGTGACGAAGAGGATCTCGCCGCGCGCCGGCGCAGCCGCGACCGAGTAGTCCACGCGCGCGCGGACGATGCGCTTGCTGATTTCGCTCGCTTGCAGCTCTCGCTGTTGCGCAATGCCGCGGCGCGGTGCGGCGATCGGCTCGTCTACGCGACGTGCTCGACGCTCCGCGAGGAGCTGTGTGGAAATCAATTTTACGGCGCGTTCGTGCTGAATCGCCGCGTCGACCTCCACGCCATCGACGCGACGTTGTCGGTTCCTCACCGCCCGACGGAGCCAGCGCAGCCACGTCATCGCCGAGAAATGACTTAGTGAAGAATTATCGGGTGCACCCGACACACCGGTTGATTTCCACACAGGCGAGGAGAACGAGGACGTCGTGGCGGCGTTCGACGACGAATCCTTCGAGCTCCTAGACACGCGACGGCTCCTGCCCGGCCCGTGGCACGACGGGTTTTTTGTGGCGCGGTGGCGACGGCGGTCTGTGTAAGAGTGTTTTCTGTGACCCCTTTTACCAAGATGATCCTTACCCAAAGTCCCGCACGTCTGACGGCGGCCCACCCCTGTCGATCGCAGCCCTAATAACGTTCTGCAGCTCCATGGCCGTCGGCCTTTCCACAAACTCCGCGTGTCTCCTATAAGCCCCTCTTCCAATATCCACGAAGATCTCGTAGGGCGCCGGGTAGCGCCGCGAGACGACGACGCGCACGGGAGGCGTCCCGCCGCGGACCATGAGCGGCCGCAGGCAATACGCCTCCGTCGCGTCGAAGTACTCGCGCGGCGGCTCCGCTCCGCCCGGCTCGTCGTGCCGATGGTTCAACACAACAACGGGTAAATTCTTGAATGCCGCCGCTCGGAACACCCGCCGCGTGGCCACCATGTCCTCGTTGGAGAACGGCGCGAAGACAACATATAAAGTCGACTCGGGCGTCTCCTCTTCATTGGCTTGCCCGAAGTTTAGGAGCAGCGGCTCCGCGGTGATGCCCGCTTCCTCCGCGAGGCGCGTCGTGCCGGCCGCGTCCAACAGCACCAAGTTATCGTAGGGTAACCGCGAGAGGGCGTTCTTGGACCAAGCTAAGACAGCGGAGCCATCGATCGTTTTTTGAGCTGGATCTAAACCCTCCACGCGCGCCTCGATCAAAACTTTCCGCTTCCCTTCGAGCACGGCAGCCACCGTCGCGTCGCACGCGTGCCGCGCCGCCTCCGCGAGGTCTAGGGCCACACCGTCCGGCACGGCGGGCCGCGCCTCGCCGGCGCCTCCTTTCGGATTCAGGGCCTCCGCGAGGCCGTCGGGCAGGTCCGACGACGGCATTGACGGCTCCCGGGCCTCGGGCGTGCCGCGCTCTTCCCTCAGCTTCGAGAGCTCTTCACCAAGACTGTCCGTCGGCTCGTCGGGCGCGCGGCTCTTCTTCCGGCGGCCGAAGAGGCCCCTTTTTTTGGTTTCGTCGGCGCCCGGCTCGTCCGCGGCGGCGGCCGGTGGTGTCTCCGCCTCCGCGGCCGGCGAATCGCCGCCGCCGCCGAATAGCGCATCCATGCGCGCGCGCATCGCCGCGTCGTCGTCGTCCGCTGCGGCCGGCGGTACCGGCTCTGGCGGCGCCTCGGCGGCCGGCGGTTCGGCGGCCGGCGGCTCCGCGGCCGGCGCCTCGCCGCCCCCGAACATCGCCTCCATACGTGCGCGCATCTCGGCGATGCGCTCTGCTTCGGCGTCACTCTCCGGTGGCCTCTCATCGTCCACTGCTCGCAACGCTGGTGTACGCTGTGGCAGCGGTGGCCGCAGGACAAAGGATTGCACGCATGCGCATGCCGCGAGCAAGAGTTTCATCGTCTGGCGATCTGTGCGCGGTGCGTTTTGAGTCGTGCGCAAGTTCTATACGTTTGCGTTGCGCTTGGCGCCGCGCGCGTGCCCGATCCAACTCTGAGATGCCGGCCGATGGAGAGCGGCTGATGGAGAGCGGCACCCAAACCGCTCCAAAATTGCCTCACGAATCGATAAAAAGCCTCCGTTGCGCTTAACGGGTGCCGAGCGATGCGTGCCTAGTTTGCTTGCGCTTCCCGACGTGCCCGCGGCAGAGGACCTGCCTGCAGCACAACAATGCGAGCTGTCTACCTCTGCGCGGTCGCAGCAGCCCTGCGGCCCGCGCCACGGACGCGACGACGGACGCGCCTCGGGTCGTCGACCGACGTCGACGACTTCCGGCAGCGCCTGGAGGCCGGCGCCTTCTTCCTCGACGACGGCCGACACGACGTCATCGCGTGCGACACGCGGCAGGCCGCGCAGCATGCTGGGGAGGCGCTAAAGGCGGCCGTGCTCACGGGCGAGCGGCGTTGTGTGATTGACTGCCGCGTCGACACCTTCGACTCGACGTCGCGCCGCTTCGCCGCCGACGACACGGCGAGATGGATAAGACGCTGCGCGAACGAGGTCGCGTTCTTCTTCGAGACCTGCACGCTGCTCTACCCGCAAGCCGCGTCCGGCGCGGCGCCGACGGCGGCCGGGCTGCCCGTCGAGCCCCTCCTCAAAAAATGGGGGCAGGTCATGGACGGCTCCGAGGACCACGGTTTGGCACCGACGGACTGTTTCTTCGTCGTGTCGCCGTCGACGTTTGACGAGCTCGTGGCGCTGCGACGGTTGTACCGAGCGGCGATGGCGGCGCGGGCGCTCATCGTCGTCGTGAACCACGGCTTCGAGGCGCCGCCGCCCGAACTCGAGGAGGCTTCGGAAGTCTACCGGCTCCAGCCCCTCGATATCGAGGAGCCATCCACAGGGAAAGTCGCGCGCGTCTGCGTGTCGCGGCGCTTCCCCGCATCATATGAAGTTTACGCTGCACGCGGAAAACAGTACGAGGCGTCGAATCGGGGTGTGTTCAAACAAAAACCGGACGACGCCGTCGTGCGGGCCGTGGCAAGACAGGTCCTAGATGAAAGTTGACGGAATGTGTATACGCCACTCCCGGACCGGCGGCCCTCAACTGTTTTAAGTAAGACATAGTAGATAGTTACCCGCTCTTCTTTAGCTTCAGTTTCTTCTCCTGCGTGGGGAAAGCGACTGGTGGAGTCGACGCCAGCGCGACGATGGCGTCACGAAGAGTCAAAGGACGCGGGAGGCAGCACCTTCTTCTTCTTCTTGGATTTGGACGAAGTAGACCCCATGTCGACATACGCCTGCTGGTTGTTGATGGGCACGTAGGCCTGGCCCGTCCGTTGTTGCGCGTGTTGGAGGATAGAGAGCGAGCCGGCACCCGCGGACATCTTGATACTGCGTTGCCGTTCCGCCTCGCGCGCCGCGAATTTTTCGGTTTTCTTCTTGCCGGGGCCCTTCCCATGAAATTTGTGGCACATCTGCCGGAAAGCTTCTTTGCGCGTGAGTAATTTGCCGTCGGCGTCCCTATATTCTAATTTAATAGGCTTGAAGGCAATATCAGCGTTCTGCGCCGCCAACCTTTGGGCTTCGGCCATATCTTCACCGGAAGTGCCGTCGCTCTTGAAGTCCCGACGATCGCGCGCTCGGCCAATGCTCGCCTCGACGTGCTGCGTCTGGACGTCTCCGGTCTGCCTCAGTAAACCCATGGTCGCGGCCATGCCATCTCGAGCGAGCGGTTGTTTATGTAAGAAATCCACCAATTCGCCGCGCGCCTCCGCCTCGGCCGCCTCGACGCTCTCGTCGTCTGAAGGAGGTGCTTCTTCCATCACTACATCATCAGTCGTTTTCTCTTCCTTGGCCTGGGCGCGTTCCTCCAGTCGCGCTCGTAGTCGAGCCGTGAATTCGGTTGTTGACGTGAACACTAAGGCGTCCGTGGGCTCCGCGGTGTCTTCGGGAGCCTCCTCCTTGACACGAGCCGCCAGCGCCGCCGCGCCGGCCTCGCCCGTCGGTTTTTCACTTTTGAGCCTTCTAGCGCGATCTAAGGCGGCCCGCAATTCCGCATCATCTTCGTCCTCGCCGAGACCGCTCACGTACTTCTGCGAAGACTCCTGTTCAGTGACGGGAGCGTCGGGGATGGCGCGCGCGGCTTGCGCTGTAGACTTCACCTCATCCACGGACGCCCCGAGGCCCTTGCCGAGGTTGTTTTGCGCCGTCTTCTGCGCCGCCGCCCAGTTCGCCTTTCGGCGCTGGTCGTCGCCGTCGTCCGCCTGGACCCGTCGCGATCGCGATCCTCGTTCCCCATCGACCTCCTCGAGGCCGTCGAGGATGGACCCGGTCGACGGCAGCGCCTTCCTGGAAGCTTTCCGAGCTTTCTTTTCCTTCTTCCTAAATAACTTCCGGGCTTCGTCTCGCGTCAGGTAGTCGTTCTGCGTCTCGAACGCGGCGGAAGACGCGTCGACGCCGCCCCAGCGGCCCGTACGTAAAGTACTGGTGTCATTCGTGTCCATCTTGGCGTTCGGAGCTTTGCCCATCCTCTGAGCTAACGCAGCGATGTCCGCGCCCGACAAATGCGACTGATCCTTAGCAGACAACCCGCCACTACTACCAATCTTCAGCTTGTGGGCCTGCTTCGTCCGATCATCATATTTCGCCATCACAGAACCCCCAGCAGTAGTGCCAGTGGCATACTCGAAATCATCTGCCACGTCACCGCCCATGTGCAAGGCTTGCTCCTCCTGCAACTCGACGCGCTTCCGCCGGATCTTGTCGTCTTCGGCGCGATTGACGTTCTGGAGCGTGTGCTGCGACTCCTTCTTCAAACCGACCAATTTCCCATGTTCGTTGCGCTCCAAAATGTGTTCGTCCTCCAGCGTCAGAATCATCTCGTCGCCGACTTTGAGCGCTTCCGCGGAGTGGGCGGCCACATTCAAGCCCTCTAAATCGTTAGATGTATAAGCTCGCTCTTGATCCAACTGGAGTCTCCGTCTTCGTTCCGCCTCCAAGGCTACGAGCTGCGGGTCCTCCTTCTGGCGCCGTTGGCGCTGGACCCACGCTTTTGCATCATCTACCTCGTCTCCTAGCGTCGATTCGGGGAGTTTGGCCGAAGCTTCTCGTCTTCTCTTCGCCTTGGCTAATTCCGCTTCGATGTCCGCCAATCGTCTAGCTTCTAGTCTCTCAGCTCGAGCGAGCTCGAAGTTGCGCTCGGCCTGCTCGCGAGCTTTGGCTGCGGCGCTCGACACTTCCGCGTTGAGGGGCTTTAATCCAAGTTTCGCTCTCAGCGCGTTCGTGTCGTCGACGGTCATGGAGACCTCGCCGTCGGCGCTCGTGGAGACCTTGACGCTCTCCGCTAATTTAGCGTAGTCGACGCGCTCCGGTGCTGGCGCGGCCTTGGGCGGCTCGCGGCGCGGGCGGCGGTCTCGGCTGCGCGAGCGGCTGCGCGAGCGGCTGCGCTTGCGGTCGCGGCGGCCCATTGCTTGTTTCTTACGGCGTTACCGTGCGCTTCTTAACGTGCGCTTGCGCCGCGCGGCGCTCGCCTCAGGCTGGTCTGAGGGTTTTGTTGCCGGCGCTTCGGCGGCGCGCCAAAAAGCAAGCAGAGCGCGAAGCACAGCGATGAATGAGGTCTGCAGTCGTATGAGCGCTTGCCTTGCTTTCGTCGAGGCTGCGCCGCGCTTTGCTTGTGCTTGGGCTTGCTAGTGTCTTACAAGCCGCTAGCTCAACTTGCCGAGAAGTCGCACGTCGTGCCGCCGCGCCCTCGCACGAGCTCGGCGAACGAGTCGTAGCGCTACGACGTGGGCCGCTAGGGCCACGTTTTGATTGGCTCGTCCGCCTCATGAGCCTCCTTGACAGCTCGGTAAATTGAGCGGCAGCGGCTGCCGCGGAGCGACAGCGGTGCCCGACGCGTTTTGACTACGGACGCCGGCGCGGCCTTCCAGCGAGGCGGCTCCCACGACGCCGCGGCGCGTCTCCTTTTCGCTGGGGCAGCCCCCGGTCCGCGACCGCCCGCGCCCGCCGCGGGGCCGGCTCTCACCCAAAAAGAGCGCCACCCGCGCGACCAGCCTGCGCGCGCGCCCGCCCGCGCGCGCGAGGGCCATGGGCGGCGGTGCGAGCACACCGGTCGCGCCCGCGCCGGGCAACCAGCGCCAGCGCCAGACGAGCGACGCGCTGAACCAGATGCCGCTGGAGGAGGTCCAGGAGGTCGTCACGGTCCGGTCCCGCTTGTCCAGGATCCGGTTGTCGTTTATAAGGCCCTCGTTGTCGCCGCCGGAGGACGGCACGGGGTTATTACCCCAAATGCGCAAGATCCTCGAGAACGACGGCGATTTGTTGGACTTCACGAACTTCCTCATGCGCGAGTTCGCCGACGAGCCGCTCCAGTTCTACGCGGCGATCGCGGACTTCACCTCGCAGTTCGGCACTCCCACGGAGAAGAAGCGCGGCATGGTCGAGCTGCCGCGGCGCTTCACGACCGTCGAGGAGGGGCCCGATGAAGACGATACGATTGAGGAAGTTGCTGATAGCAAGACGGAAGCCCGCCAAGCCGCGGCAAGGGAGATCTTCGACGAGTTCCTGGCGACGGACGCGCCGCGCCAGGTCCACGTCCCGGCGAAGATGCGCAAGGCCCTGAAGAAGGAGCTCGACGCTGGCTTATGCTTACCGGCCGTGTTCCGACCGGCGTTAGGTGAGGTCTTGACGGCGTTAGCAAGAGACAAGCTCGTGCCCTTCGTGACGCATCAGCGCAACGACAAGAAGATCTGGATTCGAGTCTTGCGCATTCTCGAGAGTAGTGTCGCGTCGGAGAAAAGGCAGTCGTTTCGAGGTGGAGCCCCAAAGCCGGACCCGGCGTCGCCCGGCCGCGCGCGCCAGCCGACCATGGCGACCGTGCCCAAGAAGCGCTTCGACCACCGGCGCTTGAGCGTCGACGTGCGTATGGTGGTCGCGCGCGAGCTGGACCTCGAGGAGCTCCGGAAGAAGCACGCCGCGGCGACGAAGGCCTAGCCTATCCCTATCCCTATCCCTCCCCCTGTGCTAACGGCTCGTGTTACTTGAGTGGTCCCGACCCTAGCGGTCTGTAAGACACTAGCAAAAGCATGTTTAAGCAGGCTCCGCGGCGAAAGCAATCCGTTACGCGTGCGAGGGCTGCCGCAGGACACAACGGCTACTTCGCGCGAGTCGACCGCACCGCGTCGTCGACGCATGCGATCCATGGGTGCCTGAGCAGGGGCTGCCCACCGACTGCGCTGTGGGCCGCACGCCACCGCTGCGACGCGTCGACGGCTCGCCTGCGCCCGTCGGGTGACCGGGTCGTGGGCGTAAGCGGACGATGCCGCGCCGCGCCCTCGTCCTCGCGGCGAGCGTGACTCTGGCAACAGCCAAGAAGCCGCTCATGCCCAAGTGCGAGGACCAGGCCGACGACATTGGGGCCAGCGTGTGCCAGGCCATGCTCGCCGTCGAGTTTTATACTTGTGAGAAGGACTTCTGTCCCACGTGCGAGGGGCCCCATGCGGGAGTGTGCAACCTGTCGTGCGACTACTGCCCTACGTATATGCCTACAGTATCGCCGTCATCCTACACGCCTACGACGCAATTCGCTCCCTCGTATCTACCTACGAGACGACCTACAAAACGACCAACAGCTATGGACGTGACTCCCACAAATGCACCGTCCTACGAGCCCAGCAAAGCACCTTCCTCATACCCACCTTCTCTCCGACCGACCGGCGCCTTTCCCACGCATGCGCCAACCCAGTGCCATAACGCCGCCGATGCAGCATTAGGTGAGTTCACGTGCGCCCAATGGTTAGCCAGTGACGGCGTCGACTGTTCGTCGGTCGAGGGCGCCTGCGCCCTGAGCTGCGACGAGTGCGGTCCCACATCGCATCCGACGATGCGCTACGACATGAACTCGCGCGGGCATCCTACCTATGCCTTCGACGGGTGGCGCTTGGAGGGCCGGACGGAGCCGCCGGCGCCATCTGGTGTTGTCGTGGTGGGCGGCGACGCGTCCTACTTCGTGGGAGGAGCCGTCGTCCTGGGATTCCTGGTGAGTCTCTGTATCGCGTGGCGGCGGAAGTGCATTCGGGATAGGGGCTACGCGCAGTTCGGCGAGGTGCGCGAGGAGCGGGCCTACGAGATGCCCGACGCCGGGCTGGAGCTGTCGGATTTTGATGGTAGGGGGCTGACGTAAGGTTCGATGGCGTACCCGTGTGTACCCGTTGTGTAGGGAGGTCGATGTTACGGTGCTAGGACTAGTGGGCGGACCCGCTTATTTGCTAGCGGCTGTAAGACTCTAGCCAAGCAAGCAAGCTGCGTCATTGCCCGTACACCCATTCACGAGACCTAGGGCATAATTCGAGCATCGCAGCAGTGGAAGTGTGACGACTGTTCGGTGTTTCGTAATCGCGAGCTCTTCAGACGAGCAAACACGAGCTTGTAGCAAGTGCTGCAGCTGGCAGGAGCTTGTAGCAAGTGCTGCAGCTGGCCAGAGTCGCACTACGCAGCCCTACGCAGTCCGTTGCAATCATGCCCGGTGCGAAGAAAGTGAGATTCGCGTCGCCACCCGTGCTGTCACCGATGTCGCACGACGAGCTCGACGACTACGAAGACTACGAGGCCGCGAAGGCGGCGGCTCGCGCGGCGTACGAAGAAGACGACGATACAGCGGAGACTGCAGCCCTGACCGCGCGCGACGAGGAACGCGGCAGCGCGGACGACGACGGCGCCGCGGCGGAGACAGCAGCAATGACCGCGCGCGACGACGACGCCGCCGCCGCGGAAACAGCACCCAAAGCTGAGCTGGGCAGCGTCGCCGCACTGATACTAATAGCGCTGAGCGCCTTTGGGTTCTCGGCGCAGGCGCTGATCGTGAAGTTTTTGACGCGCTCCGACCCCGTGCCGCCCATGGAGATCGTCTTCTTTCGCGGCTGCTTCCAGTTCCTGGGGTGCTGCGGGTTGTTAGGTTTGTACCCGCCGATGTGCCGCGCTCCGTCAAGGTGGTTCGGCGACTCTTGGAGGGAAATGAAGTGGCTCGGGTTAAGAGGCTTGGTCGGCTTCGGCGGCATCGCCTTCTCCTTCCAGGCCGTGTCGTTGTTGGGCATAGCGGAGGTCCAGGTCGTGCAGACGTCGACGCCGGTGCTGGCTGCTATTTATGCGCGTGTATTGCTCGGAGAGCCGTGGCTCCGGCTGGAACAATGTGCGGCCGTCGTCGCGTCGATTGGCGTGGCCCTCCAGTTCGGCGGCCACCAACACCGCATCGACGGGTCGGACCACGCCGCGGGTCTCGCCTTCGCCCTCGCGGGCGCGGCCTCCGCGGGCGGCGTCTACGTCCTCGTGCGCTACCTCGGCACCGTTGTAAAAGTCGACTGGCCCATCCTGATGCTCTACCAGGCCTGCGGGCAGATGCTCCTCGCCTTCCCCGCGCACGTCGCATTGAGAGGAGGCCCTATCCGGACAGCCTTCTCGCAACGATCAGTACTGTTACTAATCGCGTGCGGCGCGATGGGATTTCTCTCGCAAATACTGATGACGCGCGGCATGCAGCGCGTCAAGAGCGCCTCTGCCTCCATCGCGCGGTTGTCGGGCCTGCCGTGGTCCTTTTTGTTCCAGGCAGTGTTCACCTCGGACCCCGTGCGCGGCCGGACCGTCGCGGGCGCCTTGATAGTAGTGGCGTCGATGGGCTTCGTCGTCCACGCGGCGCGGCTCAAGAACACTACGCCCCAGGCGAAGGTGCTGGTCGAGCTGCCGACCTACGCGAAGGTCCGAGCCGACGACGACGACGAGTACTGCGGCGACTCCGACGACTGATATGATGATGATGATATGTTGTTGTTGTGTATAGTTAGTTTTGCTTTTGCTTTTCTTATTTGTTCCGACGTTCGCGGCGGCGCGCCGCGCGGACTGCCGTTGCGCGTAAAAGTTTGTATACATACGTCTCAGAATGCGTCCAGAGGCATTCCAGCGCGCGGATGCGTCCCCAATCCGCGCCGCGCGCGCCCGCACGAGCACAAGCAAGTGATGCCACTCTGAGCTGCCAAGCTCGCCGGCGCATCGCTTGCGCCAATCTCCGTTGGCATTCCTTGTTTGTTATTTATTGCGCTGTTGCACTTGCGCAACGGTTACGCTGTCGCCGCGTGCGTGCAAAGTCACTCAGCAGCACACTGCAGCAGCAGCATAAGCATGCCAGCCATGCGCCGCGCCCGCCGCTGGACCGTCGCCGCAGCGATGTTCATCACATGCACCACGGGCCTGCAAGCACCCGCAATCAGACAAGCGCCGCGCACCCTACGCCACGCCACGCTCGACAGCACCGTCCTGAGCTGCGGCGCGAGTCGGCCCAAAACGGCCCTGAGCAACGTCGAAATCTCGGAGTTCGTGGACACGAGCGACGAGTGGATCTCTCAAAGAACTGGAATAAGATCTAGGAGAGTCCTTCAACCCGGTGAGTCCATCGCGGACCACGCCGCGTCGGCCGCGCAGAAAGCCCTGGACCGCTCCGGCCTCGACCCGGCGGACATCGGTCTGGTCATCGTCGCCACGTCGACGCCGGAAGACTTATTTGGAGACGCGGCGAACGTCGCGGACCAGTGCGGCTGCAAGAACGCCGTCGGTTTCGACATTACGGCCGCGTGTTCTGGGTTTTTATTTGCGTTAGTCACAGCTTCACAATTCCTGGAATCAGGCACCTACGACGCGGCGTTGGTGGTCGGCGCCGACGCCATGTCGCGGTGGGTCGACTGGGGCGATAGAAACACGTGCATTTTGTTTGGAGATGGGGCCGGGGCCGTCGCGATCAAGAAAGGTGGTGCTGGACTACTGGGTTTCTCCATGGGGTCGAACGGTGCGGGTCGCGAGAAATTAGCGTTACCGTACAACGGGAACCGGCTGCCATTGATCGGTGGGAAATCTGCTACTGTGGTCGGCCCTCGCGCGATGTTGATGGAGGGCCGGAGCGTCTACGTGTTTGCGGCGACGACGGTGCCTCGCGTTTTGAGAGAAGCTCTAGAAGATGCTCACTTGACAGTAGACGATGTGGATTGGTTTTTACTTCATCAAGCGAACGAGCGCATCCTCGAGGCCGTGGCCGACCGGATAGGTGTACCGAAGGACAAGTTCATCATCAACATGGACGAGAACGGCAATACGAGCGCCGCGTCCATCCCCCTTGCCTTGGATTTCGCCGTGAAGAGCGGGAGCGTGAAAAAGGGCGACGTGCTCGCGTGCGCCGGGTTCGGCGCGGGCCTGTCCTGGGGCGCGGCCATCTTCCGGTGGGAGGGCGAACTATTGCAGTGAGTATCGGGGCTTGAGCTCGCCGAGGCCAGAAGTTGGCGGGCATTCGCGTCGATCGTGTGTCGTTTATACCAAGTCATTAAGTCGTAGTACATCAGCATTCTTGCTTCGCACCTCGGTAACATACTGCCGATGACGGGATATGTTCCCGCGTCGCGTCGATGGCGTGCGGGTCGGTCTCGATTCGCCGCGCTGTGGGCCGCGCTGTGCAGAGCGCCACGACGTGCGCGCGTGTGCTTGTGCTAGGGACGTGCGCAGCACTGCACAAAGTTGGAGGCAGCCCGAGATGGCACAAGTTGAGCCCGCAGAGGCTGCCCAACCAGAGACCATTGCATTCGCGCCAGACACGACGACGCGCCAGAAAAAAGGCGTCCACAAACCAATCATTGCTCCATTCCTGTCGAAGCCACCGGAGGACACGCAGCGGCCAGCACGGGTGCACTTATTTGTCAATCCGTTTTCCGGACGACGCCGCCGCGGCGCGACGGTCGCCGCCGAGGCGACGCGGCTGCTACAAGCTGAGGGTATCCAAGTGGTTGAGTACCGGTCCGAACGCGCGGGGCACTTCCTCACGCTCTCGGCCGGAGCGGAGGTCGCAGACGACGAAGCCATCGCTGTAGTCGGCGGCGACGGGAGCGTCTGCGAGGTGATCACGGGGCGGCTGAGGCACCGCAAGACGCTGCCGCGCGTCGCGATCATTCCCTGCGGCACCGGGAACTGTCAAGCCATGGAGCTCGGGATCACATCTGTTGAAGGCGCCGTGGAGAGGATCCTGGCGGGCCGCGTACGTAAAATCGATCTGGCCGAGGTGCGCGTTTGCGACGACGGCCTGTGGTATAGCCACAACCTGGTGACGTGGGGCCTCGGCGTCGACTCGACGGTTTTGGCGGAGAAGATGCGCTGTCTGGGCCCGGTCCGCTACGACCTCGGTATCGTGGCAACGATCCTCGCCAACCGACGGCGGCCGGCCACGCTCACCCTCGACGGCAAAACGCTGACGGGCGACTACACGCTCTTCCTGATCCAGAACACGCAGACCGGCGGAAGCAACTTGTTGCTGGCTCCTGGGGCCACGGCGGACGACGGCTGCATGGATATTGGTGTCTTGCGACGCATGTGTCGGCGGAGCCTCATCAGGGCGTTCGGCATGCTGAAAAGCGAGGGCCGGCACGTGTTCCATCCTCGCGTCGCGTACCACCGATTTAAGTCGCTGGCGCTTGAGACGCCCGTTCCCATGAAGATCAACGTCGACGGGGAGATCGTGGGTACGACGCCGCTGGACATGTCTGTGATGCCGGGGGCGCTGGCGGTCTTTGCGTAAATTTTGTATGTGTAATAAGCGTCACGAAGAGCTGTGCTGGCTAGTAGCTTGCAAGCTACTAGGCACAGCGCTGCCGAGCCGACGCGTTCCCATGAAGATCAACGTCGACGGGGAGATCGTGGGTACGACGCCGCTGGACATGTCTGTGATGCCGGGGGCGCTGGCGGTCTTTGCGTAAATTTTGTATGTGTAATAAGCGTCACGAAGAGCTGTGCTGGCTAGTAGCTTGCAAGCTACTAGGCACAGCGCTGCCGAGCCGACGCGACGCTCTCCGTGCCGCGCGACGAGGCAGCAGCGGTGCACCAGCTCCGCGGAGCCATCGGAGATAGCGTGTTGTTTCACGTGCTGCAACGCGTCGGTGGCCGCGACGCGGCCGGCTGCTCTCCAATCAAGGCTGCCCCAGAGGACGCAGCGCTGATGGCAGCCGCCGAGCGCCGGCGCCAGCTGCAGAGCCACTTCCGCGAATCTGATGAGCCGCCTCAAACTCCCGAGAACCGCGCGACGAAAACCTGGCGCCGAGCGCTGCGCCACGAGCCGGACTCGCCCCTCGAGGCGCTGGCGCTTCGCGGCCGGAACGACGGCAGCGAAGTCATGGAGGACTTCTTCGGGCGGCGGCGCCGCGTTCGCCGGCCGTCGAGCGCGAGGCCGGCACCGCCGACGCGCAAGGCGCCGACGCCGAAGTCGCCGCAGCGCCGGCGGCCGCAATCCGCCAAATCGCCGAAGCGCATACCAGAGGCCACGCCCCAGCGCCCGCGGTCCGCCGCGCCGTCGCGGCCGCCGCCCGTGCCCGAGGCTGGGGCACCGCCGCCGACGCTCGCGATCGAAATCCAATTGCCGCCGCCGCGCTGCCCGCCGCCGCGGCCCGACGGCTCTCCCAGTAGACGGCGGCCGCGGTCGGCCATGGCTAGATTGGAGTCGCCCAAAAAGCTCTTCAAGCGCGCCAAGGGCGACGTCGCGCGGCTGCGCCAGCGGCTGCTGAATGGGGAGCGCGACGCGAGGAGTGTCGTGAAGGACCTTTACGAAGGCAGGCAGAAACGTATAGAAGCGGACTACGACCGAGGCAAGGTGCTCCTCAAACAAAAGCACGCGGACGAGCGCGCCTACCTCGCCTCGTACCAGGCCGCCGAGGCCTCGCAGAAGCGCGGGCCCATCCAGGGCGAGCGCAAGACCTACAACGTGCGGGGCGTCCGGAAACATACGCGCAATAATTTGCGAGGTGTCTCCGTCGAGAACACGGTCGAGGGCGAGCTGCCTACCTACCTCCACAAGGGCGAGCCCAAAGTTCTGCCGGGCGTCGCGAAGCGCTTGGCCTGGGACCGCGATCGGAGAAGGAGGACCGTTCTCGAGTTAAAACGCCACCAGCGCATCGAGGTCCAGGCGCTGGAGCGAAAGTGGGCCAAGGAGCGCGCGGCGCTCGCGTCCGAGCGGCGCGTCGAGGAAATGCGGCTGCGGGAACTCATCGCGCACGCCACAAAAACCGTGTCTGACGCCGAGGAGGCCGAGGCCCACCGCCGCGCGTTGGATGCGCGGGCGTCGGGGCCGCGGCGCTGGCGCCGCGCGACGGATTTGGAACCCGACCGTGTGACGACGGAGACGCGCGGGAAGGCTCTTTTAGCGTGCGACGCGGCCGTGGCCCGCGCGTCGCTGGCGTGCGCCGCTTTAAATACCTACGAGCCGCACAAGCGTGTCCAGAGGCCGCAGTCCGCGCGCCCGGCGCGGCCCGCGAGTGCACGTGCGGACAAGCATCGCCTGACCATGCGCGTCGGCGGGCCGCGGCCCGCGTCGGCGCCGGCCACACGGCCCCGGTCGGCCAAACGACCAGCGTCCGCGGGTATGAGGCCGCAGAACGTCTGCGCCTGCTGCCGCAATGTATTAAAGGAGGCGGTGCGCCTCCCGCGCGACTTCTTCTTCGGGAAGAGCAAGACGCAGTTCTGTTCGCTCGCCTGCGCCAAGGAGTGGAACCACCGCTTGGGCCCAGACATGCACCGGGGCTACCGGGACATGTTGATCGACATGCTCGTGTCGAAGCGCGACCCGGGCCACGCGCCGCCCGTCGAGATCTTGAACAGGTTCCAGAAGGAGGACCAACTTGAGAAACACGTGGATCAGGTCTTCTACCGGCCGTCGCGGTCGTTCTACAACGGCGGCGCGAAGGTCGGGCCCCTGTCTCTGGCCTCCTACGATGCCTCGAAGTACACGCTCGAGGACTCGTCCTACTCTGTCGCGGAGAGCGTCAAGCAGCGCGTGGGCGCGGACTTCGTGGCGCCGGAAATCTTGAAGGACCTGGAAGATATCTGTGCGCCGTCGGCCACGCCCGAGGCGCTGGGCTCGTACGCGTCGATGACGGTCGACGACGTGCTGTCGCGGCACGAAGCCTCGGCGGGCAGTTGTTAATAGAAGTATATATATATATCCTTATGTACCTCCTAGGAGGTAGGTAAAATTGAGTACGCGAAAACAGCACAGTCCCATCACCGACCCCTCCGCATCTTCTCTGAGAAGTGCCCGAGCATATGGAGCCGTCGCCCACGTATCTCGCTCATACCTCGCTCATACTCCGCTCGGGCAGGCCCGAGCACGTCGGGAAATCCCTAGCCGTGTAAAAACCTATTCGCGGTTCAATTGTAGGCCTTCTATACGGCGTACGTAGCCTTTGCAACGCGGGGTGCCTCAGACGCCGCAGGGAAAAAAAAAAAAGAGCTTGAGTGAAGCGCCGCGCGACGAGCTGCTGGTCTACGCCGCGTCGGGCGACCTCCTGGCGAAGTTTAGCGGGCGCCAGGCGGACCGACCGGTGGAGCGCGTCGCCGGATGCGGCTGCGACCATGACGTTCATGAGCGAGTTGTCCCCGAGTCGTGGCCCGACGCGGCCCTCTACGCGGTCTGGCGCACGGACAGCTTCGAGCTGAGTGGCATCGGCGCGATCGACCCCGTCGGCTTCTCTGCCACGGCCGTCAGCGTGCCGAGGGCAAACGACGTCTGCGCCCCGGGCTTCTCGGGCACGCGCTGCGACCGCCCGTTCTGCAACGGGATAGTGGATGTGACGGCCGGCGGCGCGACGTCCGGCGTGATCCGGTCGCAGCCGGCCGGTGCCGAGACCTACGCCCCCTACAGCCAGTGCGGCTGGCGCGTCCCACGAGGCGACGCGAGCCGCGTGACCCTGACCTTCAGGGAGCTCGCCCTCGACGCCATGTTTGACAAAGTCAAGGTCTTCCGGGGCGGCCCGCCGGATTCTATTGGCTGGACGGCCCTGGCGCGGTTCGCGGGCGATACGACAGCGCACGGCCCCTTCACCTCGGCGCTCGACCCGGACTTCGCCTACCAGTTTACAGGCACCGTCGACGACTCGGCGCCGACGTCCCCCGTGTGAGTCCATCACCATCCTATCCCATCGTCGCCCCATCTTCCTTTCCACTTTCCTCTCCTCAGGTTATAACTTTATTTTTAACCTTAGTAGATAGATACAAATTAGTCCATCGAAAACTCCGCAGTCGCGTTCGTGATGACAAATTCCAAAGCGCGCGGCATCTCGTTCGCCGGCCGGTCGTACAACGGCAGGTCGATGCGGTTGAAGCACGTGTGCGCGCGCGGGTACGTCGCCTGGCTCACGGGTATCGACGTCAAACAGAAGCACCGCGAGACGCCGTCCCTTTGTTGCAATTGCGCGAAGCCCCCGACCGGCAATCGTGCGGATCCGGTGGTCCACTGCAGCAATCGAGCGCGTCTTTCATCGTCCCACCGCTCGACGACCTGCCAGAAGGCTCGGGTCACGGGATGCTCCGCGCGGTCGTTCGCGAACGCGCCCTTGTAGACCGTGTGCTTCTTCCACTCGTCTAGATCCAGCGTCGGCGTGCCGCACAAAGCTAATTCGAGCTCGCGAGCCGTGACTAACAACATGGCTGCTGGTGGCACCAATTCATGAAACCCAGCCAACAACGCTGTCAAGGCATCCCTATGGCACCCGTAGACCGCCTCCCGCAGCCTCAAATGGATGAACTCGTTCACGTTGCCCTTGCTGACCGGGATTCGGTCGCCATCCTTTTTCAATTTGACCGTTTCCGTGCCACTTACCGTTTTTCTCGTGACCTCAAAGGTCAGACACAGATGCTGGAAATCCTCGGCGGGCATCTTCCGCAGTTGATTTAAGGAGGTCCACAACTCTTCATCCACGAGCCGCAAGTCGTCGAAGATGATCGGCTCGCCCACCAGATACTTCAAAATTTTTACGTTCGGCGACGCCTCCAGGCTGATATGATTGTCGAAGAGGCACTTCGCGAGACACCTACCGACGAAGCGATACTCTAATAGCTTGTTCGAGCGCTCGTCTTTGTCCTTGATGCCTCTTATTCCAACAACATCATAAGTCGTATTTCCTGCGTCGCTCGGTCGGAACAAGCCATTGTTCTCGTCAAAGGCCTTCGCTAAACATAACCGCCAGAAGTCTCGAGATAAACCGCCCGCATCTAGACCGCTTTCACCATCGAACTTGAGGAACCAGCTCATGCGCCATGCTTTGGGCGCTAGTTTCGCAAAGGCCTTTCGCGCACCACCATAACAATCACTCCGTTTTACTTTCAGCTCCACTCGTCCCGTAGCGTAGGGTACTCTCAGCTTCTCTAGAGTTTCTCTCATGGCAGTTAACCTCTGAGAAAAGGGCCACATGTCGGCGCGCTCGACCGCCGCCCGCAAGTCGTCCGATAGTTGCACGGAAGGTATGTCGAACCCTTGTTGCGCGGAACCGACCCACATGGACTCGCCCGGCCGCACGCCTTTTGTGGGTGGTGCTTTGCCCTGGTCTGGGGGTAATTTCAAAACTCGCACGAGAGCATGCGCGAAGCGATCACCTTCGGACCACTTCACGAAGGCGGACCCATCAGGACGCCACTCGACGAGTCGGCCTTTCCGTCTCGCTACGTAGGACGTCACCGAGTTCCGTCGAGGCGACGGCGTGTCCAAGGGCCTTTCTTTCGCCTCGTCGCCCATGGTCTCGTCCGCGTAGTCCCACTCCTCAAAATCAGCTTCGAGATCATTGTCGTCGACGAGGTTCGAGGGCGGCGGCGGCGGCGGCGGCATTAATGGAGGCCGCGGCGTTTGTCGAGGCGAGTCGACGTCGAAGGGCGCCTCCTCGTCCTGTTCTCGCGCGTACTGCTTCTTGTACTTCCGCCTTTTGTAAAGGGCGAACAGGCCCGCTAGTATGAATAAAGCTGCACCGGCGCCGCCCATCGCGGCCGGCCCGCCGGCAGCGTCGACGAAGGACATGGGTTGGGCCTTCGCCGGGACGGGCGACGGCGTCGGGTTTGGGGAAGGGACCTGGGACGGTCCTGGCGTCGGTGCTTGCGATGGTGCTTGCGACGGCAGAGGTGTCGGCAGTCGCGTCGGCCGCGGCGTCGGTCTCGGCGTAGGTGCCGGCGACGGCGCCGGCGTCGGCGCCGGCGTCGTCAACAAGGAGAAGGCTTGGACGTGCTTCAGCTCCAGGTTCGAACCGGGGCACCACGCCACTAGCTCATACAACGACCCATCGTCAACGTCGCCCTCCACAACAATATTCGTCGACGGCGTCGCGTCGTTCGGGGCCTGCTCCGTCAGGACCCAGTCGCACTGCTTCGTGTCGCAGGGCCCGTCGTTGAGGCGTACGGTCAGCGTCACTTTGTTGCAGTCCGCCTCTGCACCTGAGGTCCGCCAGGACACGAGACAAGGCACGTGCGCAATACAAGCCATGGCCGTGCCGATTTCGACGACTTCTATAAATGAAGCGGTCGGTTGCGGCGACGGCACGGGGCTTGGTACGGCGGTCGTCGGCGTCGCGGTCGTCGGCATCGATGAAGGCGTATGAGTAGGTCGCGGCGTCGGGACATGTGAAGGTCGTGGTGTCGGTTCAAAACTAATTGAGGGCTTTGGTGTGATCGTCGGTGCGGGCGTGGGCAGCGACGTCGGGAACGATGTGGGCGCCGTCGGCGTCTTTGTGGGTGACGCGGTCGTCGGCTTCTTCGTCCATGTGGGTGCTAGGGTTGGTCCGTAGGTGGGCGGCGCCGGGGTGGACGTCGGGTCGTACTGGGCCCGCGCCGCGGCCAGCAGCCACAAAAAGTATATTTTCATGGCTGCCCTTTTATCGTCGCGCATGGCTGCCCATTTTTTCGAGGTGCGGCCGTCCGAAATTTTCCGACGGCAAGAAACGCAGCGCCAGCCGGCTCACGCGCGGCAATTACGGAGTCGCACCTGCGGATAAGGCGTCCGGCGCACCAGCCTGTAAATTTGGCAGAGGCTAGTAGATGGCTAGTAACCTTCCCGCCGGCCGAGCGCGCGCGGCTCGCCCCCTGTGTATGATTCGTCGCGGTCGATGGCTCGTGGCGCCCTGCTGGGCTGTTCGGCCTCGGGCAGCCTGCGTCTCCGCGCGCGGGGCTTGGGACCTTGCTATCTCGCTTCGGCCCGCCGCTAACGGCTCCGCGCTGCTCCAGAGACTGCTCGGAGCCATGTAGCCCGGAGTTTGAAGAAGAGACCCCCTCTAGAATTCAGAACTGAGAGCACATGACAGCTTTGTGTCACCTGTGCTCCACCCCATCGGCGCGACCGCAGCCAAAAAGTAGCCAGAACCTCCTCTAACGAGCACCGCCTCTAAACGTGCAACGCCAGATCCCCGTCGAAGGACCTTGCACAGCATACACAAGCGCTCCTCATGTCTGTGACACTCAACCAGCAGGCCATGGAGCACGCCATGGCCTCGAGACCGGCCATCACGGACCCCGTAGCGCCCAGTGCCCGCGCTGGCTTTCAATTTGCGCGTTTTGCGGCGATGGCGTGGAGGTCGGCCGCCGCACGCGAAGGCGCCGCCCCGCTCCTCCTGAATATTTGAGACGGCTCGGACGCCCTCGACGCGAGAAAAACCGCGCAGGTCTTCCCGAACAAGGACCGCGGCGGCCCCAAGATCACCTTCGTCTCGCGGCCGCGCGCGAACGTCGTCGCACCCGTCAACATGGGCAGCCCGGCCAAGCGCAAGTCGCCGGGCGTCCTGCCCGTCACGCCCGACTCTAGACCCGCGGACTGCATCATGCCGCCTCCGTTAGAACTCGACGAGTGCGGCTCGCCCAAGCGCATCCGCTTCTACTCGTCCCTAAGTTCCGTGCGCGAGCACGGCGGCTGCACAAAATGTGGTGGAGACACGATCAAGTGTAGAGGCCACGCCTTCGACCGTAGTGATCTGGACTACTTCGAGCCCTGCGCCGGCCGCGTCTGCCTCGAGTGCGACGCGCCCGAATGCGGCACGTGCGCGCAGCCGATGCCCCTGCCCTTCTGCAGGGCCTGCGTCGAGATGGTCGTCTACGAGAGCGGCAGCTTCGTCGCCGACAAGCCCGAGTACGCCCAGTACCTGTGCAAGGGCGGCGGCGACGACTGCTGCTGCAACGCGCTCGTCTGCGACGACTGCCACGACAAGACGACGGGCACGCGCACGGCGGCCTACGCGAGCGCCCTCAAGGCGACGCGCGCCTCGGCCCTCAAGGAGAACCCGCTCAAGTACGTCGTCCAGGAGGCCGTCACGGCGAAGACGCGGCTCTGCGAGGACTGCGTCGAGCGCCTCGAGGCCCTCGGCCAGGACGAGTAGATCTGACCCGGCTGTCCCATTTCCCCCTTTTGGTTGGTCCCCCCGCGCGCGAGGCGGGCTAATACTCTCTTGTTTGCACCTCGCGGCGGCTCGCTGCGGCGGCACATTGCCCGATGAGCACAGTTGCGTGTATAGAACTTCCAGAGTACGTGTGCGCTAGAGAGAGAGAGAGCCACTTATTGAACCCACCCCCAGGTAGCGCTAATTGCTAGTGATTGTGAGACACTAGCCAGCAGCCGAGCCTCCTCGTTATCGATCCGTGTGCCCACTGGAATAGCTCTGTGACCCACGCAACGCTGTGAAATTAATAGCGTCACCGTCACCGCACTTGCCTTGGTGCGAACGCGCGCAGCGCGCAGCTGTGCGGCACGTTCTCACAGATGCAGCACTCTCAAGGAACACCGGTATCAGCGCGCACGCGGCGCGCGCGGGCGCGCACGCAAAGCGAGGCCGCCGCGCCGACGCAGTCCTCGACGCGGAGCAGTTCTCGCCGCCGGACGACCCGCGGCGCGCCTGAAACCGCCCCGCCGACCGGTCCGCGACGCAGAACCGTCACTCCACCACCCGGCGCGCCCGGCGCGGCGCCGGCTCCCGCTCCAGCGCGACGCCGCCGCACGCGCTCGCCGCCGCCGTCGCAAGCGTTGACGCAAGAGTCGCCGGCGCCGCCCGCGGCCAAAGCGCGCCGGAGGACGACGCGGTCACGCGCGCCCGCCGAGGCGCCGGCTGCGGCACCGGCTGTGGCGCCGGTCGAAGCCATGCCGTTGATGTCTGCGTCCGAAGATCTGACGCAGCCGGGCGAGGCGCCGCCGCCGCCGCCGGTGGAAGCGTCGCCGTCGGTCGACGTGCCGATGGCCGAGGCGCGGGCGCCGCCGCCACCGCCGGTCCGCGACGGCCTCGACATCGTGAACATGCTGCTGCCGCGGCTCCAGCGGCGAGAAATTATCGCCTGCCACCAGACGTGCCGGCTGCTGCGCGACACGGTGCGCAAGGCCGACTTCCGACCCTGGACCAAGCGCCTCGCCTTGGCGGAGCAGCGCTCGCGGCGGGCGTGCAACGCGGACAAGAGGCTGCTCGAGGAGTTCCGGAACGCCTACACGGGCGGCGCCGCGATGACGGCCGACCACATGGCTCGACATGCCGTGCCTCTCGCGACGCTCAACGAGGTGTGCTCGGCGTTGCGCGACTTCGGGCCGGAGCGACCGCCGGCGGGCTGGTGGACGACGGCCTTGCCTCGAGCGCTCGCGGCGACGCCAGAGACGGCCGTGTGGGGCCGGCCCGCGCTGGACGCGGCGCGCGTGGACGATCTTCGAGACGCGCACGAAGTCGCGGGGCGCCTTTGCGAAACGGTAATCGGCGAGAGCCCGACGGCTCAACCGTGGGTCGCCGCGGCGGCGTTCGTGCTGAACGCGGGCGACGGCTGGCGCGGTCCGATGTACGCACTCGCGGCCATGGAGCACGCGCTCGGCTCGTCGACAGCGACGTACACTATCAGAGAGTTCGCATCGCGGCTACTCGTGGCGCTCGTCGACGGGCACTGGCCGCGGCTCAAGCTCCTCAACGACGTCCCCGGTCGCGGCACGCTCTTCGTTGATGTATTGAAAGCGTTACACAACCTCGGCTTCGCGCCGGCGCTCCGCGTGAATCGCGATCCGCCGGGCACACTGACCGCCGAGCAGGAGGCCTACGCCGGCGCCGATTTGACGCCGCGGACGACGGGGCACGAGTGCCTGATTGTAGAAGCCTACGCGGGGACGGGCAAGTCTCATAGTACGCTCCAGTTCGCCGCGCGGCGCCAGGCCGCGGGGGAGCGCGTGCTCGTGCTCTATTTCAACAAGAGCATGTACCAAGAGATGGTCGTCAAGCTGGCAGCGGCTAGCCCCGGCACGGTGTGTTCGACGATGGACGCGCTCGTGCTGCGCGAGTTTCTGAGGCAGGCGCCGGAACTCGTTGAGCCTGGCGAATCTTCGATGTTCCACGACGTCTCGGCGGGCGGGCCGGCCTACTCGGCGCTGGCGTTGCGCCGCGCGTTGCGCATCAGCGAAGATGACCGCTACAAGGGTCAGCTCGCGAAGCACACTCGCCAGGTCCTCAACGCGTTCGTTTATTCGGCGGATACGGACGTCCCCGACATCGAGGACCGGCGCTTCTACCGAATCCGACAGTGGTGGCAGGAGCGGCAGCCGCAGATGCCGCCGTTCCAAAACCACGCGCGGGCGCTCTGGCGGAAGGTCATCTCGCGGGCGCCGGCGGACGCCCACATGAAGCTAAGCTTCGCCGAGGTCGCCAAGTGCTTCCAGTTGCGAGCGTTGGTCGCTCAGAACAACAACTCCGATATCGACTGGATGCGGCGCGGCCTACCGGCCGGGACGGTGCTCGACCGCATCACGCCCTTCGCGGGCACGCAGGATTATAGTTATGTGGTTATTGATGAAGCGCAGGACCTGAATCCGACGCACTACGAACTTTTCGTGACGGGCCCGCGGCGAGCGCGGCAGCGTATCGCGCACGCACTCGTGGGAGACCCGTTCCAATCGCTCTATGCCTGGCGCGGGGCCAAGAACGCTTTGCGCGACGCCAAGGCCACTTTACAGCACACGCTCATCCGACTGACCAAGTCCTTCCGATTCGGTGAGGAGGTCGCGGATCTCGCGACGGCGGTGCTGCAGCGGTGCGGCGACCCGGCGACGGCGAGGCTCGTCGGCGCGGGTCCTCCGGGTCGCATTCACCACCGGAACGATATTGACTGCCACGATTGGAGGACGGGCACGCCGATCACCGTGCTGGGAAGAAGCAACAAGAACGTATTGCTAGCGGCCCACGAGTATGTGGCGGAGTATCTGAGGCACGGGGACCGGACGCCCTTCATATTTGTCCGCGGCGCCAGAGGTGGTGCGGATATGAACAAAACGCTACGCCTCGTCGAGCGCCTCGTGGAGCTGAGGAATAGCGGCGACGTCGGTACGTTCGGCGAGGATACTGCTACTTACCTTGAATTCGTGCGTTTGTGGAGAGAAGACGCCCTCGATAATATCGAGCTGGAGCGAGGGATTCAGATGGTCGAGGCACGGCCCGACGCTACGGCGGTGATCCGCGGTATACGGGACATGTCTGTTGAGACTCCTGAGGAGGCACGGGTGGTCCTCTCGACAGTACATCAGATGAAGGGCCTCGAGAGCGGCGCGATACGGATCCTAGACGACGTTGTCAAGGGCGTCGCCGACGATTTGGGCCGGCCACAGAGACTGCCGGACGCGACGCTCTGCCTCGTGTATACGGCGCTGTCGCGCGCAATCGGTGATCTTTACCTGCCGAAGGCCCTGTCGGCGGTCTGGCTACGCCAGAACCCGCCACGGGCGGTGCTGCGATGCGTCCCGCCGCTGGAGCGGCGGACATGGTGCGGCTTGTGTCCTCGCACCTTAGTGTACCCCGCGGACGAAGAGGCTGAGGACGCTTTCGGTGCCGTGCCGGCATACGACACGGGGGCGACTCTACGCGTCTGCGAATTCTGCCGCGGATTTTGCGACCCGGCCGTTCCGCTCCAGGTGCCGACCTACGAGCATTTCCGCGCGGGCTGGGATCTGCGGGCCATAGCTGGCGACAGCGACGACGGCGGCGACGCGACTTAGTGTGTAAACAACAAATTACTCTACCTTCTTCGACCCATACCCCCGTAGGACTTGTTCCGGTCCCGCTCGACCTCGTCCCACGTCCGCCGCGGCGCGTCGCTTCTTTTTTTAGGACCGTCGCGCCGCGACCACGACGCCGGCGCGCCCGGCTCCCGCGAGCCGCGCCACGACGGCGCCGTGACCTCGCCCTGGCGGCCTTGCGGGACGAGCGGTGCCTGGGCCGGCTCGGGGAGGGCCTCGCGCCGGTAGTTCAGCAGCGGCGCCTCATCATCAGTCTTCGCCTTCTTCTTGCTCTTCTTGTCCTTCTTCTCGTGCTTGCGTTTCTTCTCCTTCTTCGAGGCTTTCTTGGCCTTCTTGGCCTCGCGCTTCACGGCGTCCGCGGCGGACAGCTGCCGGTGGCCGTCGCGCTGCTTAGAATCATCGGCAGCCGGCGCGAAGACGTCGACGCCCCGTTCCAGCGTCTGCGACGACGCGAGGTCCTTGTCGCGGTACGCGGCGCCCGGCGCGAACTTGGACACCGCGGGACCATAGGTATCAGGTTCATCTTCCTTGTCCCTCAATTCCGGCGGCAGCTTGTACTTCTCGCAGTGGTCCACGCGCAGGGTCCGTCGTAGGAGAGACGCACCGTTCAGGTTGTCCACGGCGAGAATGGTAGAGCGCTGGTCTTCGTACTTGCACCAGCACCAGCCGCGGGGCTTGCCCGTTTTTTTATCTCGAGGATAGTTGAAGTCCTCGACCTCGCCGAACTGCGACAAAACACAAATAATGTCTCCTTCACTTAACTCGGTGGCCAATCCTCCGACGTAGACCCACGCGCTGTCCTTGTACTTCGCGTGCCAGGACGCCTCGGGCGTGATGCCTAGCTCGAGCTCGCGCTCGTTCAATTTTTGTACTGCGGCCATGTTATTCATGATGGTGGTGCGTTTTGCGCGCGGCGCGCGTCGACGGCTTGGCTGCGCGCGGCGACGGCGACGGCGTGCAGCCTAGCCTTTGGTGTACCGCTGCTGCAGCAGGCAGCGCGCGTCTCTCACGCGCCAAACAGCACCGCACAGCGTGCGCGTGCGATATGCGGAGCACGAATAACTGCGCAGGAGTCCTTGCTCTCCTAGCCAAAGCAAACAATCAAGAGGCAAAAACACGTTAATCCCAGGTGAGCTAGCGGCCTGTAAGACACTAGGCATCCCTAGCAAGAGCTTGGGCCGCTCCGCAAGTTGGGTTGGGCAGCCCTGAGCAGCTGTTAGAGCAGCGTGGGCAGCGCAGGTGACAATAATTGTAGTGCCCTACTAAATGCTGCAGCTCGCAAGATGGCAGTACTCGACGAGTTAAGAACAGCTCGACAAGAGGGTTATGATGTCGTACAGGACACCCTAGCTTGGCTTGACACCGACGAATACAACAACGACGGCTGCGCAGATTTTCTGTCAGATATTTGCCACGATTTCGAAATCACCGAGACGGACGTTGACCTTGCACGGCTGCTTCTATCACGTGGAGCAGACGCCAATTATTGTGAGGAAGGCGACGGGTGGACCCTTTTACATGCCGCCGTCAGTTTTTCTCGCAATGAATACGGCCGAAAGCTTACCACAGCGCTCATCGGCGCCGGCGCGGATGTCAACGCGAGGGCACATGTAGATAATACTTCTCTTACTCCTCTCTGTACGTTGTTAGACAGCAATGCATGTTCCACTAGTAGACTGCCTCACTGTCTGGAAACCGCCACCCTATTACTGCGCGCCGGCGCATCACTAGACGCATGCTGGGATGATGATTCGGCCGAGGACTTTGTCGAAGCCTTGTTGCCGGTGCCTCGAAGCCGGAACGGCGTGGCCTCCGACCCCAATTTTCTCGCCCTCAAAACGCTTTTCGCCAATGTGCGCCGCGCCGGAAGTTACAAGCTGTGGACCCGCGAAAACGTCAAAGCACTGCTCCGCCTCCGGTCCCTCGTCGCGCGCGGCCGCGCCCGAGACATAAAGCGCCTGCGCGCGAAGACGCCCCGAGAATTCGCGCTCCTCTTCGCGCCGGCGTTCCCGAACGAGCTCTTCTGGAAAGTGATGGAATACTGGAATCCGCGTGTGTAAATGTGATTACTCGCCCCCCACACCATAAGCTAGCAGAACGAGAACGGCCGCGTCAGGTGCAGCAGCTCCTCGACGGCCTGCTGGAACCTGAGCGGCGCCGCGCCGACGCGGTCGAAAGCCTCCTCGCTCGCGACGGGCCGCGCGGCCCGCGCGAGGAACACGTGCGACTCGGCGCCCGGCGCCAAACTGTCGTCGAAGGGCCGGTCCGTCTCCGGATTGCCGGACGCGGAGCCGCCCTGGACGAGCTGACACTTGACTCCCGGTGCTGGTAGAGCACCGCAGTCCATGGCGTTCTGGAAGGATTTCGAGGCGTGGTCTCTTTCAACAAGTAACGTATCATAGTCCATGGTCGTCTCCTGTCCCGATGCCGCGGCGACGTACATGGCCGTCTCGCGTAATCGGACCGAACACCGGCCACTCGGTAAACCCTTGGCCGACGGGTCGTTCGCCACATCAAAACCGGCAGCCAATGCCGCTAGCTCCTCGCAGAGCTTCTGCTCCACAGACTCGTCCTTGGCCGCCCAGTTGCCGCCCCTACTCGCTACTGCTTCTTCATCCAGAGCGTCGGGCGCGAGGTGGATGCCGCACTTTGATAACTCTGCTATCAACCGTCCCGCTGTTGTACTGTTGGTCATGAGCGGCTTGAGCTCCGGTCGATCCGGCCCGACCAACCGACAGCTCCCGTCGCCCCGCGCTTCAATCTTCACGGTCATGCGAGGCGTCTCCAAACTAAGAACGGCGCAGGCCTCCTCGACCTCGGACGGGCCATCCTGTACCGCTGGCAAGGCTGGAGATAAGGACCATGATTTGTAAAACAGATCTAAAGTACGGGGCTGCGCGATACATAAAACCCCAGTGCGATTCGACACCCAGCTCACCTCCCGCCCTGACAGTTTGATCTCGCACGTCGTGCCGTCGACCCATTTATCACACGCAGTATCAAACCACATGACGCGCAGGGCGCCTTCTTCCTCCGGTGGTACGACCGTCGGAGGTAACGATACTCGTAGCCGTATGTATTTATTTGGCTCCGGATCCTTCGCCTCGTACCTAAAAGGCTTGTCTTCTTCGTATTCGGGGAACGGCTTGACGTCCACACTTGTACTGAGACCGGTTACCGGCGTGACGAACCAGCCTTGCTTGAGCCGGCGCGCGGGCGGCGGCAATCCCAGGACTTCCACTTGGACCGACCCGCCTAACGGTAACATGTCTCGTCCTGCTAGGAGAGAGCCGTCCTCGCCCTCCGGTAGATCCATGGAAGCTCTTCGTTGGAGCAGGGTCTCTCCCGTATTTCTACGGGTAGGTCCGACATGTGCCCCACCTAAGACCATGGCTCGCACACACAACCGCTGTGTACCCAACGCCTTCGGCAAATCGACGTGCACATCCACACCATCCCCAAATGACAACTGCTTGAAGGGCCCCCTTTGCATCGTCTGCTTCATGTTGGCCCAGATGGCTATTCTGGTAGCCTGGGCGGAACCACTGACATCGTCCTTAGCAAGGGCCAGCATCTCCCGCTTGTCCGGGTCCTGTTCATTCACCAATTTGTAGTCGTCGGAGTGCTGCAGGACGTCCGCCGTGCACCTGTTTAACCTTTGCACGACGGCGTCGCGCAAGTTGTGCAACTGCACGTCACAGGCAGCCGCACTCGCTAGATCCCCCCTCGCGAGAGCATCAGCTCTAGCACCTTCTACACCCCTAGCGACGCCCTCTATCTCCTGAATCCGAGACAAAGAATGCTCGATCGTAAATCTACCAGCAAACTCATGTCTGATTTTCTCCTCGTTCATGTCCTGCTCCAGCCGCGCCTGGTACCCATTCACGGCCAACGCGTCGTCTCCGGTCGGCACCTGCACGCAATTTCGGAAGTGGGTCCAGTTCCGGTCCGTTTCCGCCTCTTCCCGCAAGGCATTGATCTTCGACCTCCGCCGAGGTAGGTTGCCCTCCTCGTCCCTCAGTTCGTCCTGCAGTCTTTGTAACTCCTCCTCCCGGTACGCTTTCTGCTCTGCTTTCAGTTTTTCGGCCGCGATTCTCTCGCGCTCCACACGTTCGGCCTCGGCCTTCTCCTCGGCGACGCGCCGCTCCTCGGCCAGGCGCTCCTCCTCGATGCGCTCGGCTTCTAATTCCGCCTTGGACTTCTTGCCCTTCTTGCCCATACTTGTTGGGGCTGCCCTTTTACCAGGTGGTGGCTTTCCCAGGCGGTGCGGCGCTCGTGGGCGCTTGGCTGCCTTCTTTCCGACGCGAGCGCTCGAAAGGTAACCTCTCTTTCTTGTCGCGGGGCTCCCTCGAGGCTCGGCCGGGGCAGGTTGGCATCCAGCGCTGGGCCGGGAGTTTCGTCCGTGCGGGTCCTACGATAGTAGTTAAGCGGTCACCTGAACCCTGGTGGCTCGTAGCATCGATAGCGTACGTGTCGTGGACGCGTGCTTGCTTGCTAGTGTCTTACAAGCCGCTAGCCCCACTCCATAATCTCGACGATGCAGCGCTCGATGCGCCTGCGTGCCTCGCACAGCCAACACGCCATCGATGCGAGCCCTAATTTTAATCCTGGGAGCGGTGCTGGGCATGTCCGAGAAGCGCGTCCAATTCAAGCTCGCAGCCACCGTAGCGTACGAGACGGTCCCGTCGCGCGCACAAACTCTAGGTGAAGCCGCAGGATTAAGGGAAGTGAAGCGCGTCTTCCGCCACGCGCCGAAGCACGAGGCCAAGCACCGGGCGCAGGGCCTGCACCTCTGGTACACGGGCGCCGCCGCGTCGGCCGCGGACGCGGATCGCGCCGTCGCGCAGCTGCAAGCGGACCCCGACGTCGCGAGCGCTGAATTAGATCAAGAAGTGCAGATGCTCTGATGGCTTTTCTCACGCAACCGCTGCCGGCCGAGTTGCTCCACCTCCTCGTCGAGGGCGAGTGGGCGTTAGCGGCGCCGCCGCGCGCCGATGCCGGAGGTAATTCTGTTCCGGTGCGCCACCGCTTCGAGGCCGAGGGCGTGGACGTCTGGCTCACGCGCGATACGGGCGTGGCAGCAGAGCCGCTGGAGGCCGTGGCTCTGAATCTGGAGCGCCGCGAGGCGTCGGTCGAGCGGTCGAACGTCGGCGGCTACCACTCGCACACCGATTTGTTCGACGCCTTCCCCCGCGCGACGCATGCCGCGCGACAAGCGACGGAAATCGCGGCGAGAGCCATGGGCGCCGACGTGAGCGCTCGAGCGCCGGCGACGCGCGTCGCGGTCGAGGGCGCGCGCTTAGTGGTGGACGGCGACTACCAACTAGCGGTGCGCGCGGACGCAGCAAACTTGGAGCTCGCCGGCGCGGCGCGCGCGCACGACGCCGACGCGAGCGGCAGCGTCGAGGCGTGGGTCAACGTGTCGCGCGCCGGCCACTTCAACGCGCTCCATGACCACGCCGGGGCGTCGGTGAGCGGCGTGATATGGGTCCGCGCGCCGCCGGCGCCGCGGGGCGTCGAGTTCAGCGGCTGCTTGTTCCTCGCGCTACGATTTCCCAGCGACGACGCCCCGGGCGCCTACGCGCTCGTCGCGCCCGCCGATCGGGCGCTCGTCGCGTTCCCCGGGCGCCTCGCGCACGCCGTGCTGCCGCTCGCGCCCGAGGCCCTGCGCGACCCGGACGACGTGCGGATCTCGCTCGCGTTTAACTATCCGTGATATTGTGATTCAGGGCTTGGCAGCAGATAAGGAATTTGTGGCAGGATCCGCAGGGGACGAATTGCGAAAGAAGGCAGCAAAGTGCACAGGCAAAATCCTCCGGAAAGTTCCGATTAATCCATCGATAGTCGATTAATCCATCTGCGCCAGTGGTAACATACTAGACTTCACCCAGCGTTGTGCGAGAGCCGCGGGCCCACACGGCGCCGTAGCAAGCCGGGGCAGCCATGTCCGAGTTCCCGGGCCTGGAAAAATGGTACCTCCAGAAGAAGCCGACCCTATCCATCCAGGATGTGGCCCTCTGGCAGATGCTGCCGCCCCACCCCCAACGCACGAAGACGCCGGCGGTCTTACGGGTCGCGCTGTGGAACGGCCACGTGCGGGACGTGCCCGTGCCAGATCGGTCCATGACCGCGGGGGATGTTATACGGATCATCTGCGCCACTGAAATCCACAACCCGCCGTACGACGAGACGCGGTTGTGCGTGGACGGGAATCCCGTGGCGCCCTTCCGGAGCATCATTCATTGCTTCGACGGGACGTACAAGACAGAACAGCCGAAACACCTAATCAACGAGGACGGCTCCTTACAATGTTCGATCATCATCGACCCGTGCCCCGCCGTCGCGTCAGGTATTCAACACCTCGAGCCCTGGAAACGAATGAGAGACGCGGACGACGCGTCGGACGTGGCGCATCGAACGCAAATATACCACGCTTTACGTGAAGGACGTCCACTCCCGCAGCGGCCCGAGGTCCTCGAACCACACCTGATGAAGCCCCCGAACCACTTCGAGCGAGATTCTTCAGACCCCGAGCCCCACTCGTCCAAGCTACGCTTCGACATGTTCATGAAGCGGCGCCACGAGCCGAACCAGAAACTGTTGGAACGGGGCCGAGGTTTGATAGCAGGTCGCAATGAAAATAAAGTACGGCCCCTTAGATCTGGAAGGTGGAAGGAGAGCTTTCCCAAGAAGGTGCCTTGCTCGTACCGATGGAACGAGAAGAACTTCATGGACGAGGACACGGGGAAGCTTTCCGCGGACCCGTCGACGATCGACGAATTATATAAACCCTTCCTCATGTCGGCGAAGGAAAGGCGGCAGCGGTCGCGCGGCGGGAAGCGCGTGTCGATGGCTGACACAGACCGTCCGCAGACGCGCGGCGGTACAGCCGTTTCTGAAAAACGCGACGCGGCGGCGGACCCGCTCTCGCCCGGCGACCAGGAAAGTATCGACACGTTGCACGGGCGGCATCGCCGGGCGACGGTGCCGCGGGCGATGCCCTGATGGCGTAAGAGGTGTGTTGTGTACTACTATGTGTCATTACTAAAGCGCGTCCAGCTCCGCGCGCAGCCCGTCCGCCGCCGTGTTGAGCTCGTCGGCCCGCTCGTAGTCCTCCGCCTCGACAGCCGTCTCTATTTCTTTCTCCAGCTCCGCGAGGCGCGCGGCCAGCGCCGCTTTCGCCTCGGCGGCCTCCGGCGAGTCCTCCTCCTCGACGGCGGGCGCCTCCTCCGCCGGCTCCGGCGACGCCGGCGCCTCCTCCTCAACAACACCGTTCTGCGACGCCTCCGAGTCCGACGACTCCGCCACGTCGTCGAGGCCGCTCTTCCTTTTTAAGTCAGAACACCGCGCGTCGAGCGTCGCGAGCTCGCAGCGCACCAGGGCGTCCGCGGCCGCGTCCAGCCGCAGACCGGTCTGCCCCGACAAAGCGCGCCGGCACCGCTTCAGGGCGCGGGCTCTCCTACGAAGCGACCGCAACACAACCACATCAGCCTCGCGCGCGACGGCGTCCAAGGCACTTCGAGCCTCGTCGCGTTTTGATCGCGCTTCATCCACCGCTTTCGAGGCCGCGGACCGCGGTTCCGACAATGCCGCGAGCTTCTCCTCCTTCGCCGCGCGCGTCGTCTTTAATTCAGTGGCCTCCTTGGCGAGCGCGCCGGCCTCCTTGTAGTTCCTGGCTGCGGCGGCTGCTTTTTTCTGGCGTTCTAATTCCGGCAGCCGGTCATCTAAAGCCTTCAGGGCGTTTCTGAGTATAAGAGCGTCGTCGTCCAACGCGTCTCGCTTACTGCACGCCTCCCTCAACGATGCCTCGGCTTCTTCACAATTTTTACGAGGCTGCCTTAAGCTTTCATCATCATCGTCGACCTCGTCCGCCTGCCACACCGGTTTTGAATTCGCTAATCTGTCGGCCGCGTCCAGCTCCGATGCGGCAGTCTCCGCGACCCTTCTTCGAGACGATAGGTCCGCAGCAACGAGAGCGCCAGAACAAGCCTGCTGCGCTCTCTCCGCATCCAAAGCATGCTGTTCCCTTTCGCAATCCTTGGCGGACGCCTTGACCATCTGGTCGCGCTGCGCTAACCTCTGGAGTTGCCGCTCGAACTTCGAGCGCGCGAGCTTGATCTTCCCGTCGCAGTCGTCGAGCTCGGCCTCGACCGCATCTCGCTCCGCCTCTAAGACCGCGACGCGCCTCCTTAGATCTTCAAGCTCGAGCTCCTTCAAAGCGCGTTGGTCCGCCAACGCGTCTCTCCTTTCTAAGTCGCCGGACGTCTGTTGTTCTATTAACTGCTCCATGCGCTCGAATTCGTCGGCCACGAGCGCCGCATCCCTATCTACATGAGCTCTTTCCATGGCCAGTCTCTCACCCTCGGCCGCTAATCTCTTTTCCTCTGTGGAACTCTTCCTTTCGGCATTGGCCTCTTCACAAGTTAACACCGACCGCTGGTCTTCATGAAACCGTCGCAGCCAGCTCGCCAGATCTTTGAGAGCAAGTTCATGATCTTTCCTACGTTGTTCTATCGACGAGTCCTCGCTATGGACGTCTCGGTCGAGCTCGTCGAGTCGCTCGACTCGTAGCTCCACTTCTCTACGAGCCGCGTCGACCCGAACTTGCAAAGCGTCCGCCCCCTCATAATCTTCCGCTTCCGCCAACTCCGCCTGCTCCTTGAGCACTTTGGCCAAAGCTGCATCGAGTGACGAGCGCTCCTCGGCCAGAGCCTGCCTTTCGCGCTGCGCTTCCACGCCGCGTCGCTCATGCGACGATAACCGCATACACAAGTCCTCGGTCGCGACGACAAACGCGTCGAGCGTGTCCTTGAGCTCGTCGCCCGGGCGTTTGGTGGGAGGCTCGACGACTTCCTCGCGCGGCGCATAATCAAGCTCGTCCACAGATTCGTCGGAATCGTTTCGCGCCATGGCCGCCCGGACTTTGGCTTCTAAATCAGAGGTGTCGTCCTCCTCGTCTTCGGAGGACGAGGGCGCGACGTCCGGCGTCGGCGCGCGCGCGGGCGGGCTCTTCTGCCGCGGCGACGGGCGCTTGAAGACGCCCGTCAATCTTTTACCGGCCTCCTCCATCTTCGAGATGACCGTGGGCTTCTTGCGCTCCGCTTTCGGAGATGCTGTGTGCGGGCGCGGCGGCGGCGCGGCCCGAACGGGCGCCGGCGCGGGCGCCTCGGCGGCCTGGTGGAGCCAGGCGGCCTGCTCCGCGCTCAGGCCTTCATCAGGATCCTCCTCCTCCTCCTTTGGTGGCGAGGGCTCGGGCTCCGGAGCTGCGGGCTCCGGCTCCGGTTCTGGCGGAGGCGGCGTCGGCGGCGCCGAACCATCCTCCGAGGTGCGCTCGTACCCGACGCGCTTCGCACGCTTCTTCTTGACAATGGGCCTCCTCACAACAGGCTTGGGCGGTTCCGGGACTGGTGGTGTCGGAGCGCGGATCACCTCGGGCTCGGCCCGCAGGTCCAACAGGCTCGGCTCCGGTGCCGGTTCTGGCTCCGGCTCTGGCTCGGGCTCCGCTGGCGGCGGCGAGTTGAGGAAAGAGAACGCCGAGCCGGTCGACTCGCGGCCGGTCGCCGGCGGCTCGGGCTCGGCGGGCGTCGCGGGCGCCTCCGGCGCGGGTGATGGGGGTTTTGACGCTTCTTGCTTCACGGAGAGGCCGCCGAAGAGATCCATCAGCCCTTGCGAACCCCCGGGATGCTGCGCGCGCGTGCGACCCGGGCCACGGGATGGCGGAGCGCTGCTGAGGCGCAGGTGTTGCGGCGCTCGGCACAAGCCGCGGCGAGCGAGAGCTGCGCGCTTTGACTAGCTTTTGCAATAATCTTCCACCCGCAAAGTGGCGTAACAGCTGGGGAGCGCAAAGAGAGTTTTTTTTGTGGCTAGTGTTACATGCCGCTAGCACAGCCGTCTCGACCAAAAAAAAGCCTCGTGTGCGACGCATTGCACATTCCATAGAAGTGCTCAGCAGCGTCGCTGCTCCCGACATCGCTGGCCGCGCCTCAATAGGAGCCCTCCCGCATAGCGCTGAGGGCCCAGAGAGGAATCCTGGTTTTCAGTCTTTGTGCGCGCACAAGTGACTGACTTGAGATGGCCTCCCAGACGCCTTTGACGCGCAGCGCCACAAGCATGGATCGATTAGAAGGCCAGGCCCTCACGCGCAGCCCGCCGGGCTCGGGGGGTCCCTCGGCGAACGACCACGGCGGCCCAGATGATGAGGTGGTCATGGCGCGGCTCGAGCGCATGTCGTCGGCGCAGGGCCGGCGGCAGCTCTCGCTCGCGGGGCGCCAGGCCATGCAGTCCGTGCGCGACGGGCTGGAGGAGATGCGAAGGCGGCCGTCGATGCGCGAGCGCGCGGAGATCGCCGCCGCGGCCCTGGACGGCAAGCCCCTGCAGCGCGCCGCGACGCAACCGACGCCGCCGGCGCCTCCATTAAAACGGACGCTGACGGCGCCTCGATCGAGAAGCGTCCGGCTACGGCCGCAGGAGGCCGCGCAGGAATTATCAAGGACGCTGTCGATCTCCGACGAAGCTACAAAGGAGCCGCCGGAGACGCTGCTCTTCTCCTGGGGCCGCGGGGCGCTCTTGCACGACGGCGACGCGACCGCCTCGACGCCGGTGGCCAAGTTCGCTTCTCGAAACATTAGAATAGTCAACGTGGACACGAGCGGCTACCACGCGCTGTGCGCGGATTCCGAGGGCCGCGTCTTCGCGGCCGGCGCCAACGAGTCCAAGCAGGGCGACGCCTCGCGCCCCGAGGATCATCTGCAGAGGGCGGTGCGCGTCGAGTGCGTCCCCGTCGGCGCGCGCGTCGTGGCCGTGGCCTGCGGCGCGCGGCACAGCGCCTGCGTCACGTCGCAGGGCCGCGTGCTGTGCTGGGGTTCTAATGATAGGGGCCAGTGCGGCGATTCCAGAAAATCCGCGCAGCCGCGGGCCGTCCAGGGCGCGCTCGCGCGCTGCGTCGCCGCGACCATAAGCTGTGGCGACGAGTTCACGGCCTGCGTGACGTCACGGTTCGAGATTTACGCGTGGGGCGCGCGCGAGGCCTGCGGCGCGCCCGAGGTTCAGGGAGACGACCGGGGCGCCGTCGAGGTGCGAAGAGTGGACGCTTTGGTAGGCGTCCCCGTCATCGGCCTCGCGGCGGGCGCGGGCCACTGCGTCGCGCACACGCAGACGGGCGAGGCCTGGGCCTGGGGCCGCGACGAGCACGGCCAGTGCGGTTTGGGGGATGCGACGCTCGGGCGGTCCACACAAGTCGAGGCGCCGAGGCGGCTGGAGGTCTCCTCGCCCATCGACCGCGCCGCGTGCGGGCGCGCCCACACTTTATTAGTGACGAAAAGTGGTGAGGTATTAGGCTGTGGCCGGAACCACGGCGGCCAGCTGGGCCTCGCAGAGCTTGAGGACGTCTTCGCTCCAACAAAATGCTTCCCCTCACTTAACGGAAGGGCCGTGGTCGCCGTCGCGGGCGGCGACGCGCACTCGCTCTGCGTTTTAGATGATGGGTCTTTACGAGCTTTCGGGCGGCCCGCCGGCTGCGGCTCAACTGATGGAGACGATGTAGTGGACGCCGTCGCGGTGCCGCTGCCGCACGAGTGCTTCCACGTCGTGGCAAGTGGCGACGCGTCGCTCGCGCTTTGCCGCGCCGGTGCGCTCGCGCGCCGCGCCAGCGCGACGGGGCCCTTCTGGCGCGACGGCTACACCGACTACGCGGCGCAAGGTCAAAAGCTCGCGAAGCGCGCCGACTCGTTCCTGCAGGCCGCGGCCTCGGCCGCGCCCATCCGCTCCAGCGAAGCCGCTGCCGTCGGAGCCAAGGCATCAAATGGGGACGCCGGGTGCTTGGATAGGGTTTGTGATGTGCTCGCCTGGCCGTCGCTGCTCGCGGCGTCGTTCGTCCGTGCGGAACCGGCGGCGCCCCACGACGACAGCCGCTTCGACGAAGACGCCTTCGAGAGCTGTTTCGCGCCTCTGGACGCCTTCTTCGCATCTGACGACGCCGCGCGGCGCCGGGCAGCTTTAAGCATCCTGTCGGGGGCCACGCGCCTCGGTGCAGCTAGGCACGAGGCCAACTCGGCCGACGCGGCGCGATGTGCTTTAGCGCTGATGTGCAGCGCGGCGTCGGTGTTAGAATGTGACCATGGGCGTGCCTCGGGGCCTGCATGCGAAGAACCGTCGGACGCGGACGCAGCGAAGGGCGCCACGTCACTACTTGCCTGGGACGCGGCGCGGGCCGCGATCGAGGTCGTCTTGAGCGCGCACGAGGCGACGCGGGCGCGCGCCGTCGTCGCTTGTTTACCTACAGACGACGAGGACCGAGCTGTTTTACGAGAACGGCTCCGTAAGCCCTTGCGGTTCCTTGTGGCCCAGGCGTGCCGCCGCGCCGGCTTGGAGGGTGTTTTACCATGTGGTGGAAACTTTCCCCCTTTGGGGCAGCTGGCTGCACTGAACCTCGCGGGTGATTTGGCCATGGCCCGGGACGTCGTCCTCGACCGGCCCGCGCAATTAGCTCAAGAGGCACTAACATTACAAAGAGTCAAGGCGCTACCTCCTTCACAGACGGCGTTCTCGGCCGCGCGACGGGCGTTGTTTGGCCTCGAACTACTCAGGAGGGCCGGTCACGCCGCGGGCGTGCCGCGCAAGGAAACGCTGCAGAGCTATAGAGTAGAGCAGGTCGACTCTTTAGGCGTCGTCATCGCGATGCCCTCCGAAGACGACTCGCCCTACCAGCCCGGGCCCGGCGGCCTACTCATCGATTTTCTGAAATGGCAGGAGGCCGGTGCGCCTTCTGTAAATACTGATGGGTGCTGGTACCTGTCCGGCCACACATGGCTCTGTTCGCCTTCCGCGAAACGTGAACTGCTAGCCTTCGACGCGCGTCGACGGCAGCAACAATCATTTGTCCAGGCGGCCATGCTCGCGCGCTTCACGCCAAACCAGACTCCTTTTCTCGTGCTGAAGGTGCCCCGCGCTTCACTATTAGAGGACTCGCTGGCCTTTTTACGATCTGTACCTGATGGCGACCTGACGAAGGAGTTGAAGATTGAGTTCGTCGGAGAACAGGGCGTCGACGCCGGCGGTCTGAAAAAAGAATTCTTCCAGCTACTCGTGCCCCAATTATTCGATCCCGTCGTTGGCATGTTTTCCAAGACGGCGCACGAGGAAGTGTTCTTCAATGCGGCATGTGATTGGTATCTAGATGAATACGAGCTCGCGGGCTTACTCGTGGGTCTGGCGGTGTACAACTCCGTCGTGCTCGAGGTGCGGCTACCCGTCGTAGCGTACAAGAAGTTGCTTGTCCACAACGGTGACTCCTTCGAGCCTAGTCTAGCGGACCTGGCGGAGCTCGACGGTGACCTCGCGAAGGGTTTAAGGCAGCTCCTCGCGTTCGACGGCGACGTCGAGAATACTTTTTGTAGGACCTTCGAGGACGACGACCCGGCGGGCCTGCCGGGCGCTACCATTGAATTGATGCCGAACGGCGCTTCCACAAACGTGACGAGTGAGAACCGGGAGGACTACGTTCATGCGTTATGTGACTACCGGCTGAAGGAGGCGGTGCGCGTCCAATTCGATCGCTTCGCGAAGGGCTTCTGGCGCGTGCTGGGCCAGTCGTCCATTGAAAGGGTCGTGGAGGCGGAGGAGCTGCGGGTCATGGTGCAGGGCGACGAGGCGCCCTTGGATTGGGCGGCTTTACAAGATGTCTGTGCCTATGAAGGGTTCGGCGAGGCTGTCGGTGGTGCTGACGATGCGGCGACGCCGCCTGTAAATGACGACATGTCCGCCGACGTCGAGGACTCGTCGGACTCGGACGCGAGCGACTCGAGCGGCGAGCCGCTGTTTGGAGCTGTGACGGAGCCGCGCGTCGCCGACGGCGACGGCGCCGACGGCGCCGCGTCGACGCCGGCGGAAGGCAACGGCTCCGGCGCCGCGGCGACGCCGGACGGCGGAACCGCCGCGGACGCCGCCCGACAAAAACGGAACCCGCGCGACGTCCCCGTCGTGAAAGCTCTGTGGGCGGCCGTCGCGGCCTTCGACGACGCTTTGCAGCGGGACTTCCTCATGTTCGTGACAGGGTCCAAGACCGCGCCCATGGGCGGTCTGGGGGCCCTGCGGCCGCCGGCGCACGCGTCCTTCAAGGTCCAGCGCGCGGGCCCCGATTCGGACGCTTTGCCTACCTCTCATACGTGCTTCAACACCCTGTTGCTGCCGGAGTACGACCCTCCACAGAAAGTGGCGAAGCTCCTGGAGTATGCTGTGAGAGAGGGCCACGAGGGGTTTGCCCTCGAATAATGTGATATCTATATTATTTCTAACTTTCTGTTCGGATACCCAAACTCTCCTTTGTGCGCGTCGAAGAGCTGCGTGAGCTTCTCGACGAAGACCGCGTGGGCCGCATCGACCTCGTCGCGCGTCGGCTCCTTGCTATGCGGCGGCGTCCACGCGTCGCCGAAGACGATGTCCTGCGGGACTTGGAGCGGGAAGCCCTTGGGCGTCGGATAACAAAAAAAGCCCCAATCTCCAGAGTAGAGAGGTAGGGCAATTCTCAAATTGCGCACGAGCCACCGCCTCGCTCCATAGAAGGCGCCGTAGGTCCTATAGAGGTCCGAGGAACCAAAACAATACGCCGGCACGAGTGGTACGTTATGGATCATCGCCAAGCGAACAAAACCTTTGCGCGACTTCAAATAGACGCGTTCCCTCCCGCAAATCGTCTCGAGCTGCTCGTCTTGGCCGCCCGGACATAGGAATAGAGATAGGCCTTGCCTGAGGCAGCGGTTCGCCGTTTTCCGCCCAGCGTCCACACAACCGGTCTTCAACGTGACCGTCCTCACCCCCGGGATCTTAAACAAGATGGACGCGGCCAGCGTGCGCGGCGCGCCCCTTTTATGCACTTTCGGAAACGCATCATACATCGGCCCGGCCATGAGCACGCGAAAATCGCTGTTCACGCCGTGCGGGAAGAAGGCGAAGATGGCCTGGTCGTCCTTGAGCTGACTTTGGACGGCGTCCGTGCGGTGCAGCTTGAGCGGGAAATACTCTCGCAACCGAGCGAAGACCCAGTGGCCCTTGGAAAAAGTCTCGTCGGGCCGGCCCGTTTTGAGTTCGCAGTTGTCTATGGTCACGTAGGCGAGCCACGCTATCATTGATGCTGCTATGGCGGTGTACATGTACCTCGGCTCGACGTTGGCCGCTGCGTACAATGCTAGCAGAGGCGGGGCGGCGATCGTGAATACATAATTGAGGGTCACGAGGAGGACTGTGATGGCTGGGGAGTATCCCTTTGCATCTTGCGGCATTTTAAAATGCTGCCTTTGGGTGCTGCTTTGGGGTGCTGATGCTGCGACGGCGTCGCGAGCGGCAGCTGCAAGGGCACAGCTGCTGTGCACTGCGCTGCACTGGCAGCACCGATGCCAAACGTTTGCGATCCGTGACAGCGACGCTGTGAGTGCTAAAATTAGCTGGCGAGCGTGCTCACAAGCTCTGTTGGTGACAGCCAAAAAAGACAAGCGATTCCTAGTGTGTCGGTACGCTAGCTCAGCGTTGCAGCTCAAGGGCGCAGGGCTCTGATAGACGCGCAAGATAACGAGAGCGAACGCAGATAGCACCGTTTATCGATAAACGACCGTCCGGAAGCGCCTCGGCCTCTACGCCACCGATGCGGCAGCACAAGGTCAGGAGCAGAGCTGCACTGCACCTGCTCCTTTTGCGAGCAGCAGGGGCCCTGCAAGCCGTAGCGCCGCGCAAAGCCGCGCCAGTCCTCGCGCCGCCGACGGCGGACTTGGTTCTGATTGATGGGGACAATGTGAGAGGCAAGACGGCCTTCGCGGTCTCCGCGCAGAGCCTCCTCGCGCAGACGAGGACCTTCGCGGTGACGCAAGACGCGGTCCTATACATCGACCACGGCCTCGCCGCCGAGTGCCTCGCCGTGGACGACAAGCTGCGAGTGGTCTTCGCCGGCACGGCCCAAAGCGCCGACGACTGCATCGTGAGGGACGTTGCATACTTACTAGAAGAAAACCCCTCTTTAAGTGTCAGCGTCGTTACATCCGACTCGGGTCTCATCGCGCGGTGTAGGAAAGCAGCGCGCGCTAGGGGGCGCAACGGCCGCCTCGACATTTGTGGGTCGGTGCGCTTTGCGGAAACGGTTTTGGACGAAGCCCTTGGCGCTGACGCCGTGGACCACGTTTCTGCAAATGAAGACCACGTGGCCGTCGCCAAGGCCCTGCAGGTCTCGACGGAGCGCGCGTCGCTGAAACGAGTGCGCAATAAACGACTCACTAAAAAACGGCGAAAAGGCACCACAAACGACGTGACCGCGTCCTTGGCTTCGTTAAATGGCTTAAATGATAAGCCGATCAAGACGCCCGACGCCGCCCTCGAGGAGCTCGTGTCGAATGGTGCGACGCTACCTCAACTCGAGGCCGCCATCAGGCAAGCGGGAGGCGGCCTTCGAGGGCGCGAGAAGACCTGGGAGCGGTGCGTGCGCGCGGCCTACTTGCACAAGTGTCTTCGAGGTAAGACGGCAGCACCGCATAAGGTGCTCGACGGCCTCGCGGTCTACGTCAACAAGCTCATGACTAGCCGGGCATTGGCGCGCGAGGCCGTCCTGAAAACTGCTAAAAGGCCGCCCCGCCTCAAGGTGAAGAAACGTCTAGAACCCCTCAAACAACTGAAACAGATTGAGAGCGTCTCCTCAAAGACGTGGCCGGGCGGCTGGCCGGTTGACGTGAGCGTCATCGAGACGCCGAGAGGTGCTTTCTTGCCAGATCTCGTCAATTGTTCAGTAGCTCTAGTATCGGACACGCACGGCTTTCGTATTGACGATTTGCCGATGAAGGGCGACGTGTTAATCCACGCGGGCGACTTTTGGCTCGATACGCAGAACCGGAATAGGAACGCCAAGGCGTTTGAGGACTTCGACGCGTGGCTCTATCGGCAGGACTTTACGCACAAGATCGTGCTGCGGGGTAATCATGATCCTGTCAGGTGTGAATTCAAGGCGTCGAACGCTACTTATATCGCCGCGAAAAGGCAGACTATTGATATAAATGGTCTGAAGGTCTACTGCGTGCCTCATGGTTCGGCTGTCTCCTTGACGAAGGACTTCAAGGCTCTGAAGGAGTTACGCGACGCGGACATACTGCTGACCCATGCACCTCCTAGAGGTACGTTGGATACTACGTATGAGGGCAACAACGCCGGCTCCAAGGCCTTGCGGGACGCCTACTACAATGCTTGTGACGACGAGGCGCCGACGCTGTGGGTCTGCGGCCACATCCATGAAAGTGCAGGCGCCGCGCGCGTCGGGGCCACGACGATAATTAATGCAGGAATGGCGAACGCGGGCCGCGCCAAAAGATTGGACCGCGGCTTCGTCGCCGTCGGGGCGGATCTTGCAGAGGCGCCGCGCGCGCCTCCCTCACCACCTCCTGTTGAGGAAGTCGAGGAGGAACTGACCATGGTGGGCCCCGCGCTGCCTCGTTTGTTAGCCGTTGATCTGGGCGAAAAGACCGTCGGGGTAGCTTTATATGATGAACAAGGTGCGCTGCTCGACTTCGCTGCGGCGACCGATGAAGAGGACGGCGCCCGGGCCGTCGTCGCCGCGGCGGAGCGGTGCCTTGGCGGGCGCCAAGCGACCGTCGTTGTGTGCGAGGGCACGGGGCGCCTCCTGGCGGACGAGGCGTTCGACGCGCTTTCCCAGAGCGGCCTCGTGGCTTGCGAGGCGCCGCACGTCATCAACCCCGACGAGTGGCGCGCGGCCGTGCTGGCGCCGCGCGAGCGCGTCAACGCCAAAAAGGCAAAACACGCCGCGCGGTTGGTGGCGCGCCAACTCGCGGGCGGCCTCGAACATTGGCGCGAGGACCTGACGACGGACGCGGCGGAGGCGTGCGTCTTCGGCGCGTGGGCTTGCACAGAGCTGGGCTGGCGCGATGATGCTATCGTAGAGCGGTTCTCGAACGGGGACTTGCGGGTGGTGGCAAAGCGGCCGCTTGTGGATTAACAACTTATGTTTCTTACAGACTACAATGAAACGTGCTCTGCCGCTGAGCTACTGAAGGAGATCCTTCAGGCAGGATTCGAACCCGCGGCCACGTGCTTATAAGGCAATTTTTTGGGTGCTGTGCGTAGTCTTGGGGTCGTTGTCATGCGCCCTCGAAAATCTCGCGGAACACGCCGAAGTTGTCCGGGCCGTAGCCCGCGTGGAAGATGGCGAAGGCGACGACGTCGAAGTGCTCCTTCCTCTTGCGCACCTCTTGCTTGTAGGTCTCGGCGACGATGGGACTCGGATTTTGGAACGCGCCGCAGCCGAACGCACTGAGCACGACGTGTCGCACGCCCGCCGCCATGCAGGTGTCTAGTTGCGCCGCGATGCGTTTCCGCAGTTCGGCATTGTCGTAGCTTTTCTGCGACGCGCCGCGCATGTCGACGGCGGCGCTTCTCAACTCAAAAAATGGGAAGACGTCCTCGTCCGCCAGCAGGCCGTAGCCCAATCCATCACGTTCCTCAGGCCCCTTGATACACACGCGCGGGCTCGCCGTGTCCAGGTAGACGCGCCCGTCCTGACCGCTCACGAGCCTGTGCATGGCGTCCGAGTACTCCATATCGTCTCGGCTGTATCCCTCGTCGTGGAAGTGGCCTGCGCGCGCGGACCGTGAGTACAAACTCACGACGGGACTCGAACCCGCAATCTCCCCCCCTGGTTGGGCGCATTGTCCATTTTAGGCCACGCGAGTAAAGCGACGCCGGTCCGCGCAGTCCGTGCGCCGGAACATGTTCTCCTCCTGGGCTACCTGGCCGTGGGCGTAGCCACCTCCAAAAAGGTAGGCGTTTGCCATGTTGAGAACTGCGAAGGTACGGCCGTAACTCTTCGTCAGCGTCAGGGTAACGTCGCCCCAGTCGCCCGGCAGCACCTCGACAACGGTCGACGACGGTTGCTGCGCTCCCGAGGCCCACCGTGCCAGATTCTTTGATGCGAGGTCGTGAAAGGCTCGCCGCTTGTCTGGCGTGGAGAGCCGCGCCAGTGTGTCTCTCAAAACTTCGATGCGGAGGTAGCCCGCTGGATCCCACTCGCGCCGGCTCGGAAGGGGTTCGAAGATCTCTTGACCGTGCTCTGCGACGTCGCCATCTTCGAAGAGGGTTTCGCCCTCGTGGCGCTGCTTCCGGCGCCGCCGCTGCGCCGCGTCGTCCTCGTCTAGGGCTGCCATCTGGGTTTGCGGGCTGGGGCAGCCTTTATCCGGAGAGTAGGCCAACAACGATTTCGGGGATAATCTCAGCCGTGAATTTCACCAGGGCTAGCATTCCATGAGCTATGGCTCCAGCCGTGAATTTCACCACGGTTGCTGTCGTTTTCAATATTGAATGTACGCGTCTTTTAAGAGTAGAGTTCCTTGTTTTCATGCGTCCAAATTAGCCCCAGGGCAGTAGCTTGGGCAGCTTAGCAGGGCAGCTTCGAGATCAATCTGGAGCTACGGGTTTTCAGGAATGTTCCCGATCTCGCCGCGCGCCGCGACGTCTAGCATGTCCCAGGAGGGTGCGCGGACTCCGTGGTGCCCCAGAGGCTCCAGCCACTAGTCCTAGCGCCGTAGCAGAACAAGCCCCACACGCCCGGGCCGTCGAAGCAGAACTAAAACAAGGGGAATCTTAGGGTAGGTATGTTCAGACAAATTGTGTGCAGACAACACAGGGTGATGGTGCGATTCAGGTGAAGGTCCACTTCGTGCGCAGCCTCCCCGCCTTTCTCACAGAAGGCGCCTCGGGCAGCAGGTCGTCGAGCGCCACGAGGCCCTCGAGCTCGCCCGACGCGTCGTCGATGAGCGGCAGGACGGACAGCCCGTGCGCGCGCATCAGCAGCAACGCGTCGTTCGCCGCGCATTCACGGGTCACGACCGGCACGTTCGTCTTCATGACGTCGCAGACGCGGATGCCCGTCTTGAGCACGTCGGCGCCCGTCAGGCCGCGGGCGCGCATGAGGGCCGGGTCCTGCTGTTTTTTTGGTTTCCGCGTGCCGTGGCTCAGGTAGGTCACGACGCCTCGGTCCGTCACTAGACCCGCGAAGCCCTCGTCCCCGTGGACCACGAGCGCGCCGGCCTTTTCCATGCGCGCCATCGCCGCAGCATCCAACGTCGCCCGCGGGCCGATCGTCGCCTTGGCCAGGCGGTCGCCCGCGAGCTCGCCGCGCCTCGCGACGGCGCACGCGACGGACTCGCCGTTCACGAGCTTCGTCGCTGCTCTTGAAGCCGCGGCGGCGATGTTGGAGATGGAGCGGCCGACTGCGGCCATTTCTGCAACTGCGACTTGCCTCACAAGTTGCCTGTGGCAATTTGGCACGACGCGAGGCACCGCAATGCGCGAGCTTCGAGGTCCAGCTAGATGTGGACACGAGGCGAGCTCACAGCGGTTGTCTCGTGCAGAGACGTGCAGGTGGATGAGATTAAGGACGCACAGGGGTCGACGACCGCCAAGGAGGAGGCTGGCGTTTGAGCATCGGAGTGACGCCCGGGCAAACACCCTTCAAACGATCCTACTCACCGCTCGCAGTCCTCCAACAATCCCGACATACGGATACCGGGCCAAATTTTAACTGGCCCAACTGGCCCCACTGAGCCACTGAGCCGCGTCCGCGGGCAATCACCAGCCGAACACAACACATAGTTTTTTATCTTTTCTGCAGGACGCAGTCCTCTCACAACATCGCAAACACACGCATCCCATAGTACAACCTCGACCTTAGGCCCGGAGCGCCAACACACAAACACGCCTCAGAACCCCCGCGCCGCGGCCCGCGCGGCGGCCCGCTCCGCGTTGACACGCGGCCGGACGCCTCCCGGAGAGGCCTCGTCGAGCCACGACCCGAAGACGAGCGACATGACGCCGTCCCCGTCGTGTTCCTCGATCTTCAGCGACACGTCAGCGCCGAGCGTTTTACGTACTTCCTGAAGCGCCGTAACCGCGTCGTTGCCCATGCCCACAAAGACGCAGTCGTCGCTCTCGAACAGCGCGTAGACGCCGGACACGGCCTCGCCGGCGTGAAGCTCGAGCCACTTTTCGTACTCTAAACTCGGCGCTTCTCTCAGCAATTGCATCGTCCCGCCGGTGTATCCATCATCTATTAATTCTCCGTGTCCTCCCGCGTGGTATAACCGAGTGCTGGGACGGCATGACCTCCAACCTGATGCAGGCGTGCCGAGAGGCGGCGCCAGCGCGCTGGCGGTGCCTACTGTCAATATTGTTGCAAACCGCATCGCTCTTTCACTCGTTGCGGCTAGCGTCGCGGAGCTGAGGCTGTGCACGCGCCGTTAGCATCTCTGTGCCACGGAGAGCGCATGCTCACAGTGTCCGCGCGAAGCGGCGCCGTGCAAGACAGACGCGCCTGCCGAGTAATACGGAAGTCTGCTACACACTGCGGTACAAATTGGTGCGAACCGCGAGTCGCAGCGACGCCTGCAATCCATAAAGCAGCACGATGCACACTGTGCTCCTGCTCTTGAGCGCCGCGGCGACGATAAATGCCTGGACGGCGCCCACCAAAGCAGTGCATAAGCTCCGCGTCCCGCCACGAAGAGATGAGGATCGATGCTTCTACGGCGAAGTCGGCGTCGACGGCTCCGTCGTCGCGGACGTCGCGCAGCCGCGCGCAGACACTCTCCCACCGAAGCCGCCGAGCCCGGAACTCTCGCCGCTCGTATGGACCCGGCGTCACGCCACCAGCACGCCATCGTGGTGCGAGTCAGACGAATCACCGGTTTCTAATTACACAGGACGTCGTCGGCGAGCAGTTCCGAGCGTTGGAACGAGAAGACGTGAGCCACGCCTACAAGTTCGTGCACGAATCTATAAAAGAGCAGTACTCGCTGGACGTCGACCGCTACGAGCAAATCTTCAAGGGTGCCGCCTATGACGGCTTATTGGGGTGCGCGTCGTGGAAGGTCACCGCACTGTCACCCTCCCCGATCGACGACGACCGGACCGTCGCTTCGATGACCGTGCTCCCGAAGCCGGTCCCGGGGTGCGTCAGGGTGGCTGGAGTTGCCGGCCAGCAAGGCATAACGTGGCCCACGTTCTACAAGTGGGAACTGCGGAAACAAAAAGACGGCTGCTGGATGATCGAGAACATGACTCCCGAGCCGCCGCCCATCGACACGGTGGCTACCGACGCGACGCCACTGCTCGAGTCCGAGTCTGCCACGGCGGCGCCATAAGATAAGATTGTGCTACAACAATTAGATCCTACACGCCTCCGCCAGCATTCGTTCCGCCGCGACGTGGTCCGCGAGCCCTTGATAAAACAATGACCGGAGCTCGCCCCCGTCGCGCGCCGTCGCGCGCGCGTGCTCGGCCACCCGCAGCAGCGCCTTCACCGGGTACGGGTCGTCGCCGACGCCGTCGAAGGCGTCGTCGCCCACGCCTTTCACCAAATCGTCGGCGTCGTCAACGATGCCGGCCAAGGCGCGAGCGACGTCGTCGGGCCCCCGCAGCGCCGGCACGACGAGGGTCTCGTCGAACGCCGTCGCGAGCGGGCCGCACGCCGCCGCCGGGTCCGCCGCCGTCGCCACCACGAAGAGTCTGTCGCCCGCGGCGGGCGGCCGCCGGCACAGCGCGCGCAAGGCCGCCGTCGCGGGCCCGTCGACGACGGAGTCGACGTCGTCCAGCACCAGCACACTCTTCGCGTGCTCGGCCTGGGCGTCGAAGGCCGCCGCGAGGCCCGTCGAGGGCGAGGCGCCGTCCCTTAGTAAATCGTAGGCCGTCTGGAACGCCACCGCGTCGACGGCGCCGTCCCGCGCCGCGTCGCGCGCCGCGACGGCGGCGTGCGCGGTGCAGCCGGATCCGCGCACCTCCGGGACCAAGAGTACGCTCCGCGTCGCGCCCGGCGCGCCGCTCCGGAGGAACCGTTTTAAGTAAGATCGGACCGACGAGTGCGCGGCGACGTCCAGGAGGCCGTGCGGCGCCCTCCGCGCGAGGTCGCCGTCCGCGCGCGTCGCGGCCGGCGTGATGTCCTGGAGCGCCTCCTCGAGATGGGCTTTTGACACGGTAGGTGAACCTTGCGCTAAGGCTCGCGACGCCGCCGCGCGCACCAACCCAGCAATCTCCGCGCCCGAAAACAAATCTGTGCGCGCCGCCAGGCCGCCCTCGACGTCGTCGACGTAGGCCCGCGCATCGTCGGCGAGGGCGCCGTTCTCCCTCATCCGCCGCGTGTGAATGCGGGCGATGTCGCGGCGGCCGACGGCGTCCGGCCGTCTTACTTGTAATTGCACTTCCAGGCGCCCCGGCCGCAACAACGCTTCGTCTATGAGCTCGGGCCGGTTCGTGCAGCCGACGACGAGCACGTTCGGCGCCTCGACGACGCCGTCCATTTTGGCCAGGAGTTGATTCACTACCCCGTCGCGCACGCCCGTCGTGTCCCCGGTCAGGGAGCCCCGCCGCCGCGCGATGGCGTCCATCTCGTCGAAGACGACCACGTGCAGCGCCGACGCGTCGCCGACCTGCCGGAACTCCGCCTCGGCCGGCGCGAAGAGCTCCCGCACCTTCCGCTCGGCCTCTCCGACGAACTTGTCGAGGATTTCCGGCCCGTTGACGATCTGCGGCTCGCGCGCGCCCAAGGCTCGCGCCAGCTCCCGCGCCAACAACGTCTTGCCGCAGCCCGGCGGGCCACTCAATAGAACACCTCTCACGTGGCCCACGCCGAGTCGCTTCGCCGCTTCCGGCGAGGCTCGGCTCGCGAGGACGCGCCTCACGATGGCATCGAGCTGCTGCTCTAGACCGCCGACGCGCTCGCGCAGGGCCTCCTGGGTCAATAAAGCCGGGTTCGCCTCGAGCTCCTCCTCTTCTTCTTCGTCCTCCTCCTTCTCCTCCTCAAAGGCGACGAGCGCGTCGCGCACGTCTTTAGGCACCTCACCACTGAGCAGCTTCTCGAGCGCCTCGCGGCCCTCGTCGGCCGAGCCCGTCGGCGGCCGCAGCACGACTTCGAGGACCGCGGTCGGCCCCTTCTGCGCCGTGAGGCGCTGCGGCGGGCCGCCGAGCATCTTCGCCACGGCCCCGACCGTCGCCGAGCCACCGACGCCGGCCGTCGCGCCGCGCAGCTCCTTCTTCGGGCCGAGCGGGCTCATCCCATCCCGGCCCCGCCGCAACTTCTGGAGGAACACCGTGCCCGCGAGCGGCTTGACGAAGACGTGCGAGCCCTCGAGGAACATCTGCTCGACCTCCCTGCTTTCCGACTCCTCGCCCCACGCCCGCAGCGTGACGTCCCAGGCCTCGCCGCCCGCGAGCCGATACGCGCCGCCGTCCTTGAGCGACGAACCCCAGAGCTTCTTCGACCCCTTCAATCGTATCGCGTCGACGGCGTCGCGCACGGCACTGACTTTGTCCGTGTCGGCCCACGTGCCCCAGGCGTAGCGCCCGTTGCCCGAGGACTCGGTCCCTTCGCCCGTCGACGTCTCCACCGCGATGCGCGCCAGTTCGGCCAGCTCGTCGACCGCGCTCTTCGAAAAGTCTATGCCCGCATCCAGCCGGTTGTCGAGCAGTAGCCCGTCGCCCTCGTACAGTTCGCCGCTCGCCTTGCGCTGCTGATGTTCCATGTAGATTTGGCGCCGGCGCGTGTCGAGGCGCGCCGCTTTGCCTTGGAGTTTGCTCACGTCGAACGGCTCGTCGCTCGCGCGCAAGGGATGGCTGCGCTGCGTAGATGGTGAGGGTGCGAAGGCTGCGGCGACGCCTAGCGTTAGCCAGGCGTGCCGCATGATGCTGCAGCTGCACGGCTCGTGCGCGCTAACCACGGGCACGGATCGCTGCGACTGTCTTGGCTTTCACGAGTCTCGTTGGTGCACTGAACCTGTCGCTGCCACCAATTGCAGCGGTCGCAAGCCCGATTGCCTCTCTTGTTGGTCACCGCTCTCCTAAGCCTAAAACGCTGTCAGCAGCACACGAATAGTGCGCTATTTGTTGCGTGACGCACGGCATCGATCGCATACGTGGGAAACGAGACTTCTGCCGCCAAGAAGACCGCTCTAATCCTGACGCGTCGGCAAGCAGCACCACAGCAAAGACCACACCGAGGGCTGCACGACGTCGCCGCAGCGATCATACAAAAAAGAAGTAGCGAACGATGCACTGGATGCTGGCCGCCCTCGCGGCAACGGCGGCCTTCCAGCCGCCGCAAGCGCAACTCACGCCGAGGCGGCCGCGCGCCACCTCGGCCGCCGACGAAGAAGGATGGCGCTTCGAAGGAAGGTTCGTCTTCGCGCCGCAGCTGGTGAGAGTGCCCGACGACCCGCCCGACGCGTACATAGTGAACGTCTTCGGCTGGACGCTCGGGGGTGTTGTTGCGCTCCAATACGACTCGTCGCTCGTCGGCCCCTACTTGGAATTCGTGGAGATGGGCGCTTTGGTTGTGAGGAACGGTTGTATCGGCCAGTGGGGTGCGCGGTTACTCGTTTCAAACGAGGAAGCGAAAGAGGCGTGCGAGGACGTGTGGCGCGTTCCCGCTGGGACACGCTCCCTCAACTATATTGATGAGGGCGGCACGTTGGTTGTCGAAGGTGATGATGACTCCTCTAAAATTCATGGCTGGTCCCGCGTCAAGGGCGGCCTGCGGCTCTTTGGGTGGCGGTCGCCGGCGTTGCCCGTGTTGTGGACGCCGCAGATCAAGGCGCTTTGGGCGCCCGTGAAGCTGCCTTCATCTAGAAATGTTGATTTGGACGTGCACGTGCTGGGCCTCTCGGCGACGTCGATTGCATTACGGCGATTCCGAGATGACCGCGACGTCGATCGGATCCCGCTGGGCTTCTGCGTGGCCGCGGACGGGCTGCGGATCGATATTGCCCCGTGGCGCGGGGACCGGTTGTGAATGTAATGTTTTTGTTGTGATCACATACTTACTCCCGGCCCGCGCGCCGCACCCGCCACCGCAGCAGTCTCTCACTGGTCCAGACGCCGAGCGCAAGCCTCGCCTCCTTGAACGCGTTCCCGAGCGACGGCGGCGCCGGTGGCCGCGGAGCGTGCGACACGGCAGGGAAACTTAGCGGCGGGAGTTCAGCGAGCGTCGGCGGGCGTGCTCCAGGGAGCAGGACGACCTTCGGCGGCGGCCGCCCGAGGAGCGCCCGCGCGAAAGCGAAGAGCGCGCGCCGCGTCGGCGGCAGGACCACGACGACCGCGGCAGCGACGGCGGCGCGGCGTAGGCGCCGTCGTCGCCGGCCCGGCGCTGGTGGGGCGGCGCCGCGCGTCGGCGCCGGCGCGACGGCCGCGTCGGCGGCGACAAGTTTGGCGCTCCGGAGTTCTGCGCGCAGCTCTGCGATCACCGTGTCGCGCGCCGCGAGGGCATCTTTCTCCCTTAAAAGCTCCTTGAGCATCTGTTGCGTGCGCTGCTCGTGCGCCTTGAGCTCTTGCTTAAAGGCCGCGTCCGACCCGCGGTCGGTGAGCGCCCACTTCACCTCCGTCCGCAGCCGCTCGATCTCCGCGTCCTTCGCGAGGAGCAGCTGGGTATTGACGGCGGCGCGCGGCGGCGGCGCCAGCGGCGCTTTGATGAGCAGCCGCGAGGGAGCAGCTTCGGGTGGCGGCGGCAGCGGCGGCACCGCGAGCGCGAACGCCGCGCCCAGAGACGCCCCGAGCGCCGCGTAGAGGACCAGGTCCCGGAGGAACGACGGGGGCTCGTGCTTTTTTTGGACGACCGCGGGAGACTTCGGGGCGCCCGGCTCCTCCTTGGTCTCTTCCTTGCTCACGACCCGTGGGATCGGCTTGTCGTCGACGTGGGCCGGAGCCATCGTACTCTTCACGTTCTTCTTGGGCGAGAGGGTGACGGAGCGCGATTGCGGCGTGCTGTTGCTTCCTTTGCCCAGCGCCTCAAAGCGCGAGGGCGGCGACGCGGCGTTGCTCCCGTCGCGCAGCGCCTCGGACGAAGGTGAAGCTACCGGGGAGCCGACGACGCGCGGCCGCGGCGGGATGTTCTCTTTGGTCGGCAGGTTCTCCTTGGGGCTGGGCGGGGGCATTGACTCCGCGCCTGGAGCTTGCGAGCAAGCAACTGATGAATTAATTCGCCGCGGGCTTGTGCGCGCCCGCAAGCCGGTTACTTTCAGTTCGCGCAGTCCACAGCGACCGCGCCAAGCTGTAGCTAGCCTCTGCAAGCCGCGGAAGCTCCTCAAATTAATTGAGAACTGAAAAATCTCCTCCAAATGGCGTGAGGCGGGGGTCTAGCCTAATTGGCTTCCTAGCGTAGCAGACTTACTAGTAAATCACAATACACTTAAAGGGTCTTCAGACTCGTCTCTCGTCGAAGTACCGCGCGATCGCCGCGATGCCCTCCTCCGCCACGGCGCGCGGCGGCTCGACGAGGTTCACCGTACCGACGCACTCGACCTCACACGACGTGAGCTCGGCGATAGACCGGGGCAGCGTCGTTAAACTGGAGCAGAAGATGAGCTGGAGCGACGCGAGCGCGCGGAGTGATCCGATCGACGCCGGCAGCGCCGATAGTCGCGAGCACTCGCTCAGGTCGAGGGCCCGCAGGTTTTCGAGGCGCCCGAGCGACTCCGGCAGCGCCGCGAGGCCGCTGCAGCGCCAGAGGACCAGCTCCTCGAGGTCCTCCAAGTCGCCGAGCGCCTCGGGCAGCGCCTCGATGTCCTCGCCCGACAGGTCCAACACGGTCGTCTCGCCGCGCTCGACGCGCCGCACGGCCTCGCGCGCCGCCGCGCTTGCTTGCCAAGCCGCGTCGTCGGCGACGGGCGTGGCAGAAGAAAAATCTCCCTTCTCCTCGCTCACCGCGACGCCCTTCGACCACTCCACGACCGACACAGGCGTCGACGCCGCCCCGAAGAGCGGGTCCACGAAGCATACCGGGAACGAGTCGCTAGCCAGGGGCGCGCCGTCGGCGATGCCCGGATCGCTCGTTGGTATGGCGCAGCGGCCCGATTCGAACCGTGGTCGGTCGAACACGACGTCGTCGCCGACGAAGCGCAGCACGAGCGACCGTCCGAAGCAGCCCGGACCGCCATGAACGCATCGAGCATCGAAGACCAATGCGTCGCCCGCGCACAATTCGAACTGCGCCGCGTTCGTGGGCGCCGCGGCCGCCGGCAGGTCCCGGGCGGCCTCGTAGCGCTCCCCCGTCGCGAACTGGACCGGCGCCAGGTCGCCCTCATGCAAATGCGAGCCAGGTGCAAACGCCAGGGAATTCGGCGCGTCGTGGTCGTCCAGAGCTATGGCCACAGAAGCGATCTGCTTCCCCCGGACGGCCCAATAGGAGCCGTCGGCGTGCCACGGCGTGCTGGCATTTCGCGCGTACGCATTTGATGCGTGCTTCACGAACAATTGGTCGTAGAGGAAGGTCGCGGTGCGCGACTCCATGAGCCGCGCGGCCACGGCGGCGGCGGCACCCGTCTCCGCAAAGTCCCTCAACGTAGCATGTCTCTTGTACAGCTCTAGGTCCGTGAAATAGTTCGGCTCGCCGTCGCCGCCCGGCGCGAGGTCCTCGGCGTACGGACCCGGCGTCGCGACGCAGTCCGCCACCGCCTGTCGCAGTAGTTCCACCGTGGCGGCGTCGGCGACGCCACGAATGACGACAACGCCATCTTTCCGATACTTGTCGACGTGCGCCGCGGAGATGCGCTTCGCGACTTGTGGTATCGTCGACGGCGCGAGGCTGCTCGCCAGCGCGCCGACGAGCGCGAGGCTGGCGCCGCGCATGGTACACTGAGTCCACCGATGCGGCGAGTTGTAGGCTGCTGGAGAGGTGTGATTTTCAAGCCAGGGGTGCGGAGTGGCAACGCAAGGAGCGCGCCGAAGCGAACGCGCACGCAATGAGCAGTATATGTCTGGAGTCTAACGCGTCACGCGCGCCTCACAAGGCCGCAACCAACTTGAGTAAGGCGGGACCGCATGTTAGTGTATCGACATACTAGCGTCGCAAAATCGACATCGCACAGTGCGTCCAGCCTTCTGCACAGCAGCGAAAGCGAACGCAGCCTCGTACCGTCACAGGTCGAAGGGCAGCCATCGAGGATGGCACGCCTCCTCCTCCTCCTACTACTCACGGCCGCCCAGGCCAGGCGCAAGGGCGTGAACGTAAAAAAGAAGGAGAAGGTCGAGCTCGACGACGCCCGGCTCCCTCCCTTAAATGAGGTGCTCGACGAACTTGAGTTAGATGCGGCCGAGTTGCTGGCGCGAGGCGTCGAGACGACGCGCCAACTGTGCGCCTGGGGCCGGAGTGATATTTCTATACATGGCAACGACTTAGGATGGGATAGGGACAAACAGAAAGTAATAAATGAGAAGATCAATGCCATTCGTGCTGAAGCGGCGGTGCAGAAGACTACGGAGACCGTAGATCCTTTGAAGGCAGCGAGGGACGAGAGAAACGCCCTGACCTACGGTAGAGTGTTCGCGGACCGCGCGACGGCGTCCTTTGAATTTAAAAAGGCCTGGTTCGGCGCCGATTTTCCTGAAGCCTTGTCGATGCCTCTGGTGAGGGCGCTGCCTCTTGATGGGTGTGATGAGCTTCTGTGGCAGAACACGTCCATCTACAAAGGCAGTGCGGTGCTCGCGGACCGAGGGGGCTGCTCCTTCGTCGAGAAGGCCTGGGCGGCGCACAACGCCGGGGCCAAGCTACTCCTGGTCATCAACAGCCCGGATCGGCCCTTCGACCGCCCTACTTCTGGTTATGCCACAGATGCCGAACCTACACCGTCGCCTGATACTCTAGCGGTTGGCTTGGTGCACCAAGATGCAGGACCTGGATTAGCAAGAGCGGCCTCTAGCGCCTGGGTCGACCAAGGTCCCCAAGCGGTGGAACTCCTACAAATACGCGCGCCGTGGCGCGTATTCATGGAGAAGTACGGGCTTATTTCGAAGAAAGTTGTGGTGGACGCGCGCCAGGGCCCCTGGGATTCGTATGATGCTACCACCATAAGAGCCGTCCCTCTTAAATGTGTCTCAGGGCGGCCCGACTGCGCACCTATCCTAGAGTCGGAGAAGACCATCCTGCCGGACACGGACTCGGGCACTTTGCATATTGCTGGGGAGAGTTTTGAGTTCGTGAGTGCGGCGTGGGGGGGCGTCCTGCCGGACCGGCCCGTAGCCGTAGTCACCGCAGAATACCTCTGCTCACCTCCACCACACTGGTTTTGTAGGGTACTCTCGCTGTTCTGCCCAACATCAAACTACAAGGACTTTTATAATAGGGCGCCCGGCGCGTTGGTCCTTGCGAGGCGCGGCGGTGGCTGCGACTTCGCGACGAAGGCGCGCCATGCTTCTGCTGTAGGGGCTGCGGTGTTGGTCGTCGAGCAGGCCGATGAGGAGCCATTACTGCGCATGGGCGCGCGGGACCCGCCGTTCCCGAACGTCGTGGGCGTCGCGGTGCGTTCGAAAGCGGGCGCCGCGCTCCGACGAATTGAGAACACCACATTCGTGAGGTTGCGGCCCGCGCCGGCGCCCGGCTTCGCGCACCGCTGGCTGGAACTCGCCGAGGCGGCGCCGTGGCCTTCTGACGCGGGCAACGCGGCGAAGGCATTGGCTTCATTGGAGGAGAAGAACGCGGGGTCGGCGGAGAGGCTGGCGTTTGCGCGGGCGGCGCACGCGAACCGTGTTGTTACGGAGGAGGACGTCGGGAATAAGGGGGGCGAGCTTTAACATTGGTGTATCCCACGAGTCTCGCGTCAACGGCGTCGCGGGTGAGGAGGCGCGTCGACGGCGTCGCCGTCGCGCGTCCGTTTTCTTGGGGTCACGAACCGTCCGGAGACGGGTCCATGGGTCTTTAAACCGCGAGATCGGGCAGCCAATCAGGTTATGCTGCTCTCAGAGAGACACACTAGCCCTGCGGCAGCGCGGAGGCAAAAGCCACGGGGAGCAGGGCCTCGCCGCGCCATTGACTTCGCCCAGCCAGTGGCAGTGCGCCGCCGAACCGCTGCGCCAGTGCGCGTCGTTGGATCCGCCCACCAGCGACGTATACTTTCAAACGCGCCCCAAATCCAAATTGGCTCATTTTGGCAGCGCGCACCGCAAGTAAACGATGCCCCGCTCCTCCTCGCTACCACCGGCCCAGCTCCGCCGCTCGAACAGCGGCGGCCGCCTCCAGTCCGTCGAAGCCCCGGACCGCACCGTCCTCCTGCGAAGCAGGGGCTACGACGCCACGAATGGACGGGTTTTGAGCGAGGGGAGTTTTGGTAGTATAAGAGCCTGCGAGCGGCTGGCTGATGGGGCCGTGGTAGCCGTGAAACTGATAGAGCAACCGACCCATAGATACGCGACCGAGCGAAGAGTGCTCGAAGTGTCCGCGAAGGGCGACACGCCCTTCGTTTTGTCTCTGCTCGACGCCTTCGAGGCGCCGGGCGTCGCGGCTTTGGTTACTCCCTTGTATGATGGTGACGCGCATGATTTACTAAGGGCGGTACGGGCGCAAAGACGAACAGAAGTCGACCCTCGCACGTCCTTCGCCCGGGCGTCCGATAGACTCTCAAGGAACTTCACGGATGCCTTCGGGTCCTCCAAGGATGTCGTCGAGGCCAACGGGCTGGACAACGATACTGCTCTCAAAATTGTCGCTCATACGGCATCGGCCCTAGATTGGCTCCACGCGCGAAAGGTCGCTCATCGGGACCTGAAGCCCGAGAACGTGCTTTGTGCTGGAGGTGGTGGTCCGCAGGCGCGCTTTGTCCTCGCGGATTTCGGTGTTGTGGGTGTCGGCTGCGGGCCGACGACCGGCGCGCGCACGCTGGTCGGCACGCCCGAATACGCGGCGCCCGAGATGGCCCAGGCCTTCCTGGCGAACGGCGGCGACGTTAAAGTCTTGCAGGCCTTCGAGAAGAGCTCTCGAAGGGGCCATGGGTTAGGGTCGTTCTTCCGGCGGCGGTCCAAACAGATGCGCGGCCAGAATAAAGCAATAGGCAAGACGGAGTACGGGCACGCCTGCGACTGGTTCGCGCTCGGGTGTTTGCTGTATGAGCTTTCTGTGGGGAGTCCGCCGAAGCGAGGCGTGTGGACCGCGTCCAAGCAAGCGAAGGGTCTCGATGGAGACGTCGCTTCCACGATCGACTGGTTACGAGCCGAGGACCCTTCCCGAAGGTGCGGCGTGCGAAATGGGTTGAACGATGTCCGACGGGCTGGGGCTTCCGTTGCAAAAGCCTTGGATGCAACTGCATTACTACAAAAAACCTTCAAGGACAAGCCTAGGTTATCTCCAACGAAAGATTTGAAGACCCAACCGTCGCCCGTCAAAAAAACGTCGGGCACGCGCGACTGGGCCCGCCGGCGCGACATGCTCGCGCCGCCGCCACCCACGCCGTCGCCGCCGCCGGCCCAAGTCGCGGCGAAGATGGCCGCGGTGCCAGCTCTCGACTCGACGCCGCGCGTGTCGCCGGACACGTCGCCGCGCGTCGCGCAGAGCACGCCGCCGTCGGTGCCCAAACAAACGCCGGCGCGGCCCGCGAAAACGTCGATAAGGGACAAGGAGCCGCGGACGCCGCCGGTCAAAGGAGCGGGCCTGCGCCTCTTTTCGAATGAGAGCCCGCCCTCTCCATGTATACAGAGACGCCCCTTTTCCGACGGCGACCGCGTTCCAACGGACGCGGCGGACGTCGAGGTCGCCGCGGCGCTGGCGTCCGTCGTCGAGGCGGTGGAGAAGGCCGCGGCGCAGGACCGTTCGCCGCGCGCGACGCTGGCGTCGGCGGCCAAGCGCGAGGCGTCGGCCGCGGCGGTCGACGCCGCGGCCGCGGCGCAGCGCGCGCGCGCCGCCGCCGCCGCCGCCGAGGCGGCCGAACAGCCGGCGCCGCCCTTCGACATCACGTCCTCGGAGTGGAGCCCCCTGCGGCGGGCCGTGCGGTCGCGCGTGCTCGCGCTCGAGGCGCGGATGCATACCCCGCCCGCGACGCCCAAGCCCGCGCGCCGGGCGGCGCCGCCGCCGCGGCGCGGCCCGCTGGTCCTCGTGGGCCTCGTAGGCCTCGGGGGCGCGGCGGCGCTGGCCCTGCTCGCGGACCCGTCGCTCGTCGACCGCCTCCGCGCGGCGCCGCCCGCGGCCGCGCCGCCGCGGCCCGCGCCGCCGCCCGACTTCGTGGCGGACCTCCGGCGGCCGCCCGCGCCGCCGCAGAAGACGTGCCGCTCGGCGATCAACGCGCCCGCGCCCCGGCCGGCGCCGACGGTCGTCGTCCGCAAGCGCGGCCCGCTCGCGCCGCTCCGCAAGCTGATCGATCTGCTCCTGCTGGGGCCGCTGCGGCGGCGGCTGTTTGGTGGGGGAAGGTAATGATGTGTCCGACTCCTTTTCTGCGTGGACAAAACCCGCACTCAGTGACGGGACGCGCCCTTCCTTCCTGCCGTTCGCGCATCTATCCTGAGGCCCAAAGGAGGATTGCGAGAGGCATTCGATAGGTCGACTCTCACAACTGGCCTATCGAGCCTCTCGATTAGGAGCTAAAAACGAGCCAGAGAGAGAGAGCCGAGAGACAGTGGCCACCCGAGTCGACTCTAATACTACTAAACTGCCCTCTGCGTTCGACTTTTTGGAGAAAACAAGTCTTGCGAAAGGGCTGGAACCATCGGATCTACAAGTTCGCCAACGCAGAGCGCGGGGCGCGGTCGCCCAGTCCTTGAGATTGTAGGCGCGAGCTACAACAGACCTGGACCCGCGTTAGCCGCCCGGCCGGCGCGCATCTGGTGGCCCTGGAGGCGGGTCGGATGCGACGCCCGCGCCGACGCCGAACCGACGGTGCCGAAGGCCCAAACGCAGCACCAGCCCCCGCGACGAAGCGCGGTCCCCCCATATGGACGCCCGGAAAAAAATCAAACAAAAACACAGAACAAAATTCCGTGTGCAGTTCCTCTCCCCCGGCTGGCGCCGCTTGCTGACTGTGACAAACTACCATCCCGGGACTACCATATCCATGTACTTAAGTACTCTTCCTTCTTCCTTCCGTGTATGATAGGAGCAGGAGCAAAGTAGATACAGCACACTGATGGCGTCCACGACCGCCTCCGCGCGGCGCCGCCCGAGTTCGTTGCGCCGTGAGAAAAAAGGGACTCCTGAGACACAACAACACACTTACTCAGAGGTCCCCGCTCCGCCGGTCGGACGCGATCCGCGGGGGATGAGCCTCGTCCGCCGCCTCGAAGCCGTGGACGCCGTACCCGCGCTGCAGGAAATTTTCGGAATTGCCCGCGGGCACCCACTCCCGGGCCTCCTGCGCCGCCTCCTCCCTCGCAATCTCGCCCATGGAGCCGCCGACGCGCCGGCCTTGATCAAAACGCCGGCTGTCGGCCTGGATGTCCCGCACCGCGTCGTGCAGAGACTGCGTGGCCTCGGCCTCCCGGTGCAGGCGCGCTTCCATCCTCTCCGCCTCCTCGACCCTCAAATCGTTGACGGACTTGCCCGCGTTCTTCGTGCGGACGTTGGCCAGCGCCTCGGCGACCGGCGACAACCCCACAAGCTCGTCGCAGCGCCACTCCCTCCAAGAATCCTGGGCCGACGCGTCATCGACACCCCGCACGGGGCACGCCGCCCATTCAATAAATTCGCGCACGAACTGGCCCTCTTTGTCCAGTTCCTGGCGGTAGCACTCGTGGCGGATCAGCGCGGTCTGCAGGTCGTCGCACCGGCGCATCTCCGCATCCAAAAAGCTGTGGCCGGCCCGTCTTATCGAAGGCGGCGCCGGCGGGACGCTCTCGCAGTCGTGCCGCCGCCACTGGCGCTCGAGCTGGCGGCTCTTCTTGGGCAGCCTTGCTCTCCTCTCCTTGTCGAGGTCGAGGCAGGTGTGGACGCGGTTGGATGGTTCCGCGGCGGCCACGAGGGCGATTGTCCAGGCGTGCTTCATGGCATGGTGCGGTGGGGCTGCCTTTTTCGGGTCCCTGAGAGCTTGCTAGTGTCTTACGGTACGCTAGCCCTCCTTTTGCGGCGCTATTGTCCAACGCGTAAGCTGCTACACATTGCTACGCCTAAGTGCGCCCTCTCGGACTGCTACAACCACGCGCTGCGCGAGAACAACGGCTGCGGCTGCTCACGGCATACACAGATGGAGCCCTCTCCCGCTCCTGTGGAGGCTGCCGCGGCGCACGCCTCGTCGCACGACACCGAGGCGCGCGGCATGCCGCCGGCTGCGCGGTACCGGGCCGCGCAAGCGGCGACGGAGCCCACCGCCTCGCACTCGTCCCACGTCGGCGTCAGCGGCCGGACTCGCGCGGCTGTAAACGAAGACTTGGATGTTTTGGCCGTGGGCGATCGCGTCGTGGTAAATGGCGTGCCTGGCGTCGTCACGAGGAAGGTGCCTGGCGGCAACGGCTGGTGGAAGGTGCGGCTCCACGGACGACACGCTCGCGAGGACCGGAGTTATCGCAGAACCCAGATCACGAAACTCCACGTGCCGCCCGCAGCGCCCGCGCCCGCGCCTGCCCCACCCCCAGCCGCTGTCGGCGCTAACGTCGAGGCTACGCCGCCGGCGCAGCTGTGGGTCGACACGACGCCGGCGGGCCGCGCCCCGGCGCTGAAGGTCTGCGCCGTCCAGCTCCGTGCGACGCCCGGCGACGTGGAGGGCAACTTACGACGCGCCGAGCAGCTCATACGAGCAAATCCCGGCCACCACCTCTATGTCTTGCCCGAGCTCTCCAGCTGCGGGTACAGCGACGAGGTCCTCGCAGACTGCGCCGCGTTCGCGCACGGTAGCTTCGACGGCGTGTTCAAATTCTTCATCGACCTGGCGCGGGAAGTCGACGCGCACATCTGCTTCGGGTTCCTTTGCCGCACGTCGAGACCCCTTTCGGCGGTGCCTGCCGTCGGCAGCCGGGTCTTGGCCGCCAACCACCCGGGCCATGTGACGCGCGTCAACGCCTTCGCCGCGGCCGCCGACGTGCTATTCGACGCCGGAACCGAACGAACGTACCTCCTGAGCGACCTCCGGACGCCGGTCTTCACCATCGCCCAGGCCGTCGTCGGGCCCACCGGCATCGAGCTCGTCTACGACAAGATGCATCTTTGTGATATGGGCGCGTGTTCCGAGGTCGCGCACGGCCTTACACGCGGGGAGCGGCCGGGCGTGTTCACGTGCCGCGGCTGGCGCGTCGGCGTGTGCATCTGTTACGACCTGCGCTTCCCCGCGCTCTGGCGGCGCCTGGCCTGGGAGGAGGACTGCGACCTGATCGTGCATCCGTCGGCGTTCGTCCGCGACGCGACCTTCCCGATGTATCATACGTTCGTCACGACGCGGGCCGTGGAGAACGGCATCTACGTCTTGTCGGTGAACTTCGCCGGCGCGGACTTTGGCGAGTCGATAGCCGCGCCGCCGTGGGTGGGACCCGTGCCGGGCCTCGCCGACCAGCGCGCGCGCGTCCTCGGCTGCGACGAGGGCGTCCTGGCGCTCAGTTGCGAAACGGCCGTGCTCGACGCCGTGCGCGCGGCGTACCCGTACCGGCGCAACGCGCACCCGTCCCTGCGCGCGGCGCCGCCGGCGGTCTCTGTGACGCCGGCCGCGGTCTCACCGCGCGCGGCCACGCCGTTCGCGCCGGCGGAGCAGGAGCCCGCGAGCCATCGCCGGCGGTGGACTGATTCTGAAATAGCGCTCTGTATGTCTGCCGTCCAGACCTATGGGGAGCGGCGGCACAAGGCCATCGCGTCTGCAGTGGGCACGCGGACGGCTGCACAGGTCCGAACGTTCCTCACGAAGCGGAAGGCGAAAGGAGGTCTTCCCGCCGCGCCGGCGCCGCCGGCGCCCGCCCCCTGGGTGCCGCCACCGCCGCCGCCCCGCGACGCGCGCGACGCGCTCTCCGCGGAGGTGCTCGCGCCGCCGAGCCGCAGCGACGGGTACGGCGCCGCGGAGGCGGAGACCCTCTCGGCCCTCGTCGGCCTCACGCAGCAGGCCACCGCGGCGTCCGCCGAGGCGTGGGCCGCGCCTTCGGCCCTCGTGGGCCTCCAGGAGGCCTGCCAGCAGGCCACCACGGCGTCCGCCGAGGCGTGGGCCGCGCCTTCGGCCCTCGTGGGCCTCCAGGAGGCCTGCCAGCAGGCCACCACGGCGTCCGCCGAGGCGTGGGCCGCGCCGCCGCTCGATATGGATATGTGATTAATGTTTTAAGACGTCATCGCCGCCGCCGCACGGCACCGTTCCCGCGCGCGGTGACGCCCGCCTTGCCGTCGTCGTCGCTGTCCGACCCAGCCTCGTGGTCCTCCAATTCATCAAAGCTCCCGCCCCGCAGCGTGACGTAGACGAGCGAAATGCACGTGACCACACCGCCCCACAGCACGAGCGTCCGCATCGCCGCCGTATCCCTAAAAGACGCGTCGCCGCGCCACGCGTACCGCACGCGCACGGCCGGCAGGAACGCCGCCGGCGCGACCCTATCTATATCCGAGTTGCCGTCGCGCCGCCGCCGCTTCTCGTCGCGGCGCGCCTGCTTCCGATCTACTTCGCCGTAGCGCGCGCGCGCATCAATAGAGACGATCTGCGACCCGTCGTGCGTCAGCGTCACGTCGACCGAGGTCAGGTTCCGGCCGTTCTCCATCAAACGGAGCCACGGCGTCGCGGCGGCGTCGGCGGACAGGGCCAGCTCGACGGCGTCGAGCGGGGCGCCGGCCTCGGGCAGGGGCACGCCCCGCAGCGCCCGGTCGGATTTGACGCGGAAGCGCGGGCTCGCGGCCTCGCGGCAGTCGCTCCAGGCGGTCTCGGCGCCGCGCAGCCGGCTCCGCGCGCGGAGCCGCACGCCGTCGCCGTAGACGTAGGCGCTCGCCGTCGATGCTACGAGGAGCAGGAAAGCGGCCGCCATGCGACGCGTTCGCGATCGCGTCTGCAGAGGCTGGCTCAGCTCAGGCACCAGAGAGATCGCAGGCGTGCTTTTCGCAGCGTTTTCTCCGCAGCAGCGGTTGACCACCGATGCCTGCTGTTCACTGCTGCTGCGTTAATCAGCTGTGAGCTGCACAGCCCGCCGCAATCAATCGATCTTTGCCATGCGAAAACCCGTTACTAGCACCATACATAGCGCAAGACGCCATCGCCGCGCCCCCCAATACGAAATGCCGAGGCACATCTTAGCTATCCGGACACATCCCGGGAGCGCGCACCAAAGACAGGGGAGATTGGGGGAAACACGGATCGAGGCGAGCAACAGCCGGGGATCATTTGTGGGGGCTCTTCTTCTTGAGGAGCCGTCGGTCGTGGAGGTTCTCGGCGAGCTGCTGCCGCGACAGCGCGTGCGAGACCTCGTCGGCCTCGCCCTCGTTCGCGACCCAGTCGTCATCCACTGACGTTTCGCCGAGCGCCTCCTCCTCGAAGGCCTGCAACTCTCGCCGCCATCGTGTCGCCGGCGAGATCTGGCGCTTCGTTTTCTCCGTCAAAGCTTCGATCGCCTCCATCAGAGGCTTGTTGTCGTACTTGACCATGTAGCCCAGTACGATCAATACGGCCCACTCGCTCCGCGCGAAGCCTGATCGAGAGTGGACGAAGACGCTTCCACCGCACTCGATCTGCTCGCTGATGAAGTCGCAGGCCTCGTGGAGATTTGGCGAGCACTCGTCGTGCGACGTGTCGACGTCGAGTTGCGTGAAGTTCTCGTTCTGCGTCGGCTTGTCTATTGTGCTCACGATTGATGTGACGCCGCACTCCAACAACGTAGCTTCGAGCGAGGCGCCCATCTTCGTACCGCTCACGGCAGACACCCAGAGGTTCTCGCTCACGTTCGCGATGGCGCTCGAGCAGTCAAAACTGGACTTGACGGCGGCGTCCTCGGCGGCCTTTTGCTTTTCCTTCTCCTTCTTGGCGGCGCGACTTGCCCGTCCTCTCCGTTTGCTCTTCTCGCCGTTCTTTTTGCTGTCGGGGCTCCCGGGCGGGCTCTTGGCCTTGCTCGGCGGCTTGGGCGGCGACTTGGGCGCCTTGGGCGGGCTCTTCGGCGCTTGTTTGGGGGAGGCGGTCTTCGGGCTCCCCGGTGGCCTCTTGTCGACGATGGCGCTCATCGCTGTTGCGCCTCGTCGGGCTCAATACCTCCGGCAGAGCCTCTTAGCTCTGGCTATGCTCTCCGAGGGCGCGGCGGCGTGCGCTCTTCGCGCAGGTCGTTTCCGCGGTGCTGCGAGTATGCCTCGATACGATCGCTCAGTGCGCGGATCGGCTGGGGAGGAGCAGGTCGAGGCACAGGCTCGATACGACCTCGAGTGACACCGAGAGGCGCTGCTCGTTTTGGCGCTTGGGGCGTACGTAGCCTGTGGAAGAGCCGTATCTACGTGGTTCTCGAGGCGCCGGCGCCTCTAGCGGTGTCCGGAATACCGCGCGGGTTTCGCCTCACAGCGCGTTTTGTTTTGCGGCTTAAGCTCCGCGCTATCGTGCACGATACAGCCAGAAAGCCGTCTCCGTCGCCTCTGACACGTGCGCTTCAGCTCACCCAAGTTTGAAAGAAATCGGCACAAGAGAAGCAGTCCAACACAACAATGCGCACCTTGCTCGTCTCCGTAGCACTCGCGTCGGGCAAAGTAACGGACCTCCGCGGCCGCCTCGACGCGCTCAAAAGCGATCATATTAAGATGGCCTGCCCGCTCGGCAGTCTTGAGTTAAACGCCACCGAGGCGCGACTGCTGGCCCGAGACGCCGCCGACGTCCTTACCAAAGCCATCACATATATGCGTGACGGCGTCGGGAGGCTGCTTGGCGCTTTAGATCGCAAAGTCGCAGACCCGCGCTGGGTCGCCGGGCCGCTGCACGTGGACTCTGAATGTAGAGCAAAACTGGAAGCCGCGCTCGTGGCCGCGGCGTCGCCGGCGCGGGCCGCCGGCCGGCAGCTCGCATCAAAGGTCCTGGCGCGCGCGGCCGCGACGGTGAATACAGTGTATGTCGTCCACGTGCCCGAGCTCCCTTCACTAAATCCCATTCGAGATTCACTGAAGCCGGCGCTGCACGCCGTCCATCAAAGCAAGCAGCGCCTCGAGGCATCTGAATCGGTCTTTACGCGGGCGGCGCCCGTCGTCCTCGGCGCGCTGTGTCTCGGTATCGTCGGATGGGCCGCGGCCTACGTTACCTCAATGACATGGTCCGTAATCACATCAATCGCGTCGGTGCTCGTCTCATTAACGACGCTGGCGGCGCTCGCCGTCGTCGCGACCTTCAGCGTTTTTGCCGCGGGCGCCATGCAGCTGGAAGTGCTCGGTCTGTTCCGGCGGGACTTCGCCTTCCACCACGAGGCGGGCTTCCACCTCGTCCCGGCGGGCGCCGTCCCCTGTGCGTTACATGGCTGGCTGCCGTTGTATTGCGGGCTGGTTGCCGCGGCGGCTCTTGCATTATTTTTCCTCGCGATCTATGCGCGGAGCCTCGTGGGTCGCTTGTTTTTTTGGCTGCGGCGGGCGAGAAAAATCGACGTCGACGCTGCGCTCATCGCCGCGGCGTCGGGTTCGGAGTGCGCGATCTGCTTCGAGGACCCGGCACAATTACTCGTGTTCCTGCCGTGCGGCCACCGGTGCGTCTGCGCGTCCTGCGCGGAGAGGATAGAAAGGCGGTGCCCGCTCTGCCGCGCGCGCGTGCGCGACCGCATCGCCGTCGTGGGGAAGCATAAGTTCCGGGTATGACCTTACATTGTCGCGGCGACGGCGTCGAGCTCAAACCCGTCCGGAACCCCCGTTTTTGTTCGCTCTCGGCCGGGCAGGGGCTTCCCAAAAGGAAACCGCAGCTAGCGTCGTGTAGACACTAGCAAACAAGCAGCAGGCGGCCGGGCGGGCGAGGACGCCGCAGGGGTGCTCCCGCGCGGCCGCGATACACGCATTGATACGTTTGGACCGCATCGTCGCGCCTGCGTAACAGTTGTGCCGCCTAGGAGCGCTTGCCAGCAGCTCCTCAACTGCGACCAGTGTGGTACAGCCGCACAGACGCCGCGGCAGAAGCTGTGCATGGGAAGGGCTAAGCATCGCAAGCTCAAGAAAGCCGGTACGAAAACACTGGTGTCCCTGGACAAAAAGCTGCCGAGCCGGCGCCCGCCCGAGCACAAGCGATTCCGAGAGCAGCAGATAGCCAAAGAGAAGATGGCGAAGAAAAAGCGAAAGGCCCCCGGGAGCCACCCGCCGATCAAGAGCCACGGCGACCTGCCGACGCCGAAGCAGCGCAGCCCCGCCGCCGAGGAGCGCCGCGCGGCCAAGCAGGAGAAGAAGCGCGCGAAGAAGCAGGCGAAGCGCGAGGCCGCGCGGTCGCCGGCCGCCGCCGCCGAGGCGCCCATGGCGCCGGCCGCGGCACCTGCACAACCGCCGGCGACGCCCAAGCCCCTGTCCAACTGGCTCGGGAAGTTTTTGAGCACGCCGCGGTCTACCGATATAATTGACGCCTCGGGGCTCGAGGACGCTCCGATGGACGACACGTACATGCGCGGCTTCGCGGACCGCTGCCGGCAGGAATCAAAACCGGAGGCGCACGACTCGTCCGACGACGAGTCCGTCCACGTGCCGCCGGCGCCGCCCGTCCAGGAGACGTTTTCCGTGTTCGTGGCCAACGTGCCCTTCGCCGTAAGTGAAGCGCAGGTCCGCGCGGTGTGCGCCGAGCCGGGCGGCCTCGTGGACTTCGACCTGCCTTTATGTAGAGCCGGCGCGAACGCGGGGCGGCCCGCGGGCTACGCCATCTCTGCCTATGCGTCGCGCGACGCGGCGGAAAGGGCGGTCGAGGCGCTGGACGGCCGCGACTTCCTCGGGCGGGAGCTGAGGGCCAAGTTGGATGAGGAGGGCACGACCACCAATGGGCGAGCGTCGCCACCGTCCACGAGACGGAAGCCCCCCCAGAAGCGGCCGCGCTACTTCGACGACGGGGGCGACGGCGCGAGACCGGCGCGCCAGTCGAACGTCATGCGCTGCTTCCTCTGCGCCTCGGACGCGCATCTGGCGGAGGCCTGCCCGAACCAGCTTTGTAGGAGGTGCCGCCGGCCGGGCCACGTCGCGCGGGACTGCCGGAACCCGCCGCGGCCGATGCCGGAGCTCTGCACGGCCTGCGGCGCCGTGGGCCACTCGTGGAAGTGGTGCGAGGCCGGCGACGGGGAAGCTAGATTGTCCGACGGCGCGACGTGCATGGTCTGTGGGCGCGAGGGCCACCTGATCTGCGGTGCCGTCGCGGGGCCGTCGACGCACGACGTCTACTGCGCGTGGTGCGCGCGCGCGGGGCACACGGAGCCGTCGTGCCCCATGAAGCAGGCGGGCGGGCGGCGGTCGCCGACGGGGAGTAGGTTCTAAGTTTGTATATCGCGAGACGTTGTTCGCCGGTCGACTACTACCCTTCTTTCTTCGTCGACTATGCGTTCGGAGAGAGGCTGCCTCGGACTGAAGCCTCGTGACTGCAGTTTCATCTGCAGGCTCATCCACTCACGAGCTCTCCTCACAGCCTGCAATTGAAGGTTGGCGAGTTCGAGATAAGCCGCGTCCACGCGAACGTCAATCATCACTAATTTCAAATCTATTATGGATCCGCTCGCCTGCTTTTTCGTACTGATCTTGGGTGGCGAAGTTTATGAGACTGCCAAGCTATTGAGAGGCCATTGGTTTGGCCTGCGAGGTCCCATCCGCCTGTTTGGCTTCCTCTCGCTTTAAGGAGACCGCGCTGGCGCGCCGGCGACAGCTGTCCACCCGAGGTAGCCGCCGGCGCGACGCGCGCGACTGCCGAGTCGCCGACGATTTGACAGCAAGCTGTACATAGAGTCTGGATGCGCACCGTGACGCGGTTTTGTGCTCAAGATCGAGGCTCGCGTCTCTCGCGCCACATACTAGTCTTTTGAGTAACCTGTCTCTTTTGTTTCGTGCTCCCCCAACGTCGTCGACGCGGCGTTCGGCGGATTACACACAACTAAGAAGGCTTACGCCGCCGCCGTTCTCGAACGGAGTAGCCGTACTTCCGCAGCGCCCTCTTGGACAGGTCGTCCATCGCGTCGAAGCGATGCCTCGAGCGGCGCCACTTCGCGACCGTGTCCTTGCGAGCGAGGGAGCCCGTTCCCTCTTTACCGCTCGTGCCGAGGTCGCCCGAGAGCGCGTCGACGGCGGCCGCGACATTCACCGCGCCCGGCAGCACGGCATCTGCCATCCGGCGGAGCGTCGACGCAGCGCGCTTGCCGCGTAGGTCCTCCAAGCGCACGACGACCGACGGTAGGGCGAGATTGGCGAGGGTCGCATCGGTGGCTGTGTTCCAAATCGCCCAGATCGTGAGCTTGCGCAGGTGCGACGGCCGCTTGTCCGGCACGAGCGCCTCGCCGAACAATTCTAGCGGCCAGCCAGACGACGCCCCCAGCGCCTGGTCGCGGCCGTCCCGCACGACGTGGACGTAGGACGCGTTCGATAGGGGTAACCACGGCAACAACAACGAAAGTTCAGGTTCCTTGACGAGGAGCGCCTCGCCGCCGTCGGCCGTGCGCGCGTGGAACTTCGTGAGGCGTCCGCGGCGATACGTATGCAATTGCTTGCGCAGGATCCCGTCCAACGCTGCTGAATCTGAACGAGACAGGAACGCGCGACTCGTCGGCAGCTCGCTTGCTGACCGCACGCGCCGCGCCAGCAAGCCCATGGCCTCGCAGCAGCCGACGCCCGAGTCCCAGGCCGCGTCGCCCCAGCCCCTGGCGCCCAGGTGCGCGAGCGCCTCGGCGGCGACTCTGGTTCCGCTCGACGGCAGGCCGCCGACGAAAATTGTCGTGACGTCGCTGGTCTCCTGTGCGGCGTGAGAGCACACTGCTGCGAGGATGAGTGTGCTTGGTCTCATCGGTTACAAGCTACCAGTGCCTCGCATCGATGGCGTGAGAGCATGCAGCAAGGATGAGTGGGCTGCCTACCATGGATCGGCTAAAGCTGGCCGCTGCCCCGCATCGATGGAGAGCGTATCATGCGCCATCAGTGCGGAATAATGCTGCCCTCGGTTGTGCTGCATTGGCTTCATTTGTGGCACACTGGCCCCACTAAGCTAGCTCACAGAGCGCGTGCGGGTTTTCGCGGATTCCTCCCTTTGGGCGTACTGAGACAGGTATATGCTTAAACAGAGTCTTCGTCACAATCGGCACGCACGCCGTCGCCGCTCACAACCCCCGCTTCGCGACCGCCGCGTCGAGGCGCGCCTCGGTGGCCTCCCACAGCGCGTCCGCGAGCGCGTCGTCTTTCGCCTGGTCCGAGCGCTTCGACGCGACGGCGCAGTCGTCGAGGTACTCGCCACGCGGGAGGTTTGGAGCGACGGCGGCCCAGACCGTCGTCGCCGCGCCCTGGGGAATGCTCTTGTCCGCCATGAAGCGGCCGAGGAGAAAGCCGCCGAGGCCGCCGGCCGCCGCCGTCTCGCGCCATAAAGGCGTGCGGATGACGCCCGGGTGCAGCGAGACCGCGGTCACGGTCTCCGGGAGGCGCTTCGCCAACGCCTTGGCAAACAATATATTCGCGAGCTTCGAGTTGCCGTAGGCGCCCCACGGCGAGTACTTCACCTGCTTAAAGTCGAGGTCGAGGCTCTCTGCACTCCACTCCTGGGCGGCGAAGCCGTGCGCCGTGCTCGCCACCACCACGACGCGCGACGGCGTTTCCATCGTACCCCGCGCCTCGAGCTTGGGTCGCAGGAGCCGCGTGAGGTACGCGTGGCCGAAGTGGTTCACGCCGATCTGCTTTTCAAAGCCGTCGACGGTGAGTTCTTTTTTATTTAGAGCCATAATACCAGCATTGAGCACCAGCAAATCGACGTCCGCGACGCGGTCCGCGAACCGCTTGACGGACGCCAGGTCATTCAAATCCAGCTCCTCGACGTCGATGTCATACCTCCTATACATGTCCTCGCGCGCGGCCTTGCCGGCTGCTACGTTGCGGCACGCCAAGATGACTTTGCATTTCGCGCTCGCCAGTGCCTTGACGGTCTCCACACCAATGCCGGAATTACCGCCCGTGACGATCGCGATCTTGCCCGAGAGGTCAGGTTTAATCGTGGCGATGACGTCGGCCGCCGTCGATTTCTTGCCCAGGGCGCTGGGCGCGTTGATGACGAGGCCTCGCGAACCGCGCAACCAGGCAAGCATGCTTACTGCGACGAGTCTGGTCATTTAGTGCAGCTGTGCTTTTTGTTGTGCGACCGTCCGATCGACAAATAGAGGCGGCGTACGGCTGAATAGATCGGCTGTGCTGGCAGAGCAGTCTAGATTTTGGCTTTGCTGTCTCGTGCGAGACCTAATATCGCACCGCACTCCAGCGAGTAGTCGTCCTAGGTCACTGCCAGCAAATGCTATGCAGCTATCTGCGCAAATTGCACGGCTACGCAGGCGCACAAGACCGGGAGCAGTGACAGCAGTGGGCCTCGACGCCGTCGACGCGCAGAGCCGAGAATATCTATGGCATTTTACCCGCTGCCACTATCAACCTAGAACGTCAGCTTCGAGCCGACGACGCCGAACGGCGAGCCGTCCTTGACCAGCCACGAGATCGGGCCCATGCCCGTGAGCTGGTCCGTGACGAGCATGCCCATGATGCCCATCATCGCTAATCTGCCGTTCTTGAGCTCCGAGATGAGCTTCGTCTCGCGCTCGGCGGGGTCCGAGTAGCGGCGGAAGAGGTCGCCGCCGACGTTGCCCGCCTCCTTCGCGGGGTCCTGCTTGAAGGTGGTGGTTTCCAACACACCGATGAAGCCGATGATCTGCACCCAGCCCGCGATGGGTACGCTGTTCGGGAAGCCGTGCGTCGCCGCCAAACCCGTGGGCACGTCGGCGAACTTGAGGCTCGCCGACGGCGACAGCGTGCCGGGAAAGTTCAGCTGGAGGTCGTTGTAGAGGTAGCCCACGGTGGCCGCCATGGCGACGCGGCCGTGCTTCAGTTCCACGCACCGCCAGCGGTGGAGCTGCTCGTCCGACGCGCCGTCCGACAGCCGCAGCGGGTCCCAGAGGCCCGCCGTCTCGATCGTGCCGCCGATCATGTCCGAGACGCCCTGGACCTTGACCGTCGCCTTCGGCGCGGCCGGCGCCACGAGCGCGCCGGCCGGCGCCGCGAGGGCGAGCACCACCGCGCTCAACCGGGCCATCGTTGCGACCTGCGGCGGGGGCGCGCGTTCCTGCGGCGTTCCTCTCCAGCAGCGGGCGAGTCAGCTCCTCGTCGCGGCGTCGGCGTTCCTCTCCAGCGGGTGCGTCGTCTCCTGGCCGCGGCGGCGTCGCGCTTTTGTCTGCTCTATTCTCTATGAGCTGGTACGGCCCTAGATCTCAGCCGCTACCGCATCGATGCGGCTCATCTTTTGCCACGAGATGCGTATCGGTCGTTCGGATCATACTTGATGAGAAATTTTGACAGCAACGCTGCTGCTGACGAGCAAATTGGCTCCTTAACTTCGCGAGATCGGGGTTCAAACCCGCACTATCGTGGACTCCACTAGCCTTTTTCATACCAACGTCGCGTTCGCGCGCGGTGGCGGTGTATGGACGCCACGCCATCGCCGCGAGGCAGTGTAGGCTAACTCAAGACCTCTTAAAACCACTAGGTAGGAGACGACGCGTCCGCGCCGGGCGACTCCGGCGGCTCGAGCTGGCCCCACGGCCCCACGTACTGGCCCCCGGGCCCGTTGATCTTGGGAAAGTGGATCGCGCAGTCGATGAAGTCTCCTGTTTGAAACCGTAAATCTCTCAATGTTTTCCGCTCCGCCTCCGGAGCGCTCCGCGCCGTGTTCGTCGACCAAATCAACCCGACCTCCTTCATCGCCGTTTGACCTTTTTTATCTGGATACACAACAGCGAAGGACAACCGGCACCGCGGCCGTCTCGCGTCGCTCAGCGCGTGTTTCACTAAGTCCGTGAGTTCTCTTAGTGTACAATCGGGCCACGTATAGAGCTGGAGCTCCTCGCAGTTCGGGACGCTCGTCGGACTGTAGTCGTCGATCTTATTGTGGCCGTCCCTTTTACAGAACACGCGCAGTAAAAAGGGGCACTCCGTCTTTCGGTCGACTTTGTCCTGTTTTTTGGGGGGTGGCCGCCGTCGGGGCGGGCTGTCGTCGCGCCGGGCGTCGCGGCCGCGCTTCCTTGGGCTTCGCGCGTCGGCCATCTTCCCTTTGTGCTTCCTCGTGCGGCTGCGGCGTGATATGCCTTAGTCTGCTGACGAGTGCTCGCGGCGCCGCGGCGTTGATCGCTGGCGCAGGCGCGTCGGGGGCGTCGCGAGGGCCTCTGCCTCCAGCGGTGCGGCCGTGAGAGTACAGTAATGCACGATTTTTTGCGTGTGCGCCGTCCCAAAAACCCGTGCTCGACGCTCGATCGCGAGCACGCCACCTCTGCAGCTAGACCATTACACACCAGCTGTGTGGTGCTCAGAGACCACAAATCGATCGTGGAGCAAGCGCACAACACAGCACGAAGCCGCCGCGGATCGGCAAACCCAAGCAACCCGAGCCACGCCGCAGCCTGCCGCGCAGAGACGCAGTGCGAGAGACTCGAGCTACGGAGGCACGACGCCGCCGCGACCGGCACACGGGAGAACACCACAGCGACGACACGACCGATGAGCGCCCTCAAGGCCGCCGGCCCGTCGCTCAGGGCGTCGGTGGCCTCGCTCTACCGAAGTTTTTTGAGAGAAGCAAGAAGAAAGGACCCAAACAACACGCGCGGCACCGTCGAGGACATACAGAGACGCTTCCGCACGGACGCGGCGAACGTCGGCCGCCGCGAGTTCCAGCGCATCGAGTTCATGCTCCGCGAGGGGCACAAGAAGCTGAAGCTGCTGCGCATGCCCGGGGTCACAGGCGTCGCGAACCGGTGGGGCGCGAAGCGGTGACGGTCGCGACGCTCGTTTTGTTGTGTGTGTTGTGCGTAAGTAGCCGTCTGTGCGAACCGAAGCGCGATCTACTATGGGGTAGCAATCCCGCGGCAGGCCTACAAAGCGAGCTACGCTGCGTCGACGGCGTCGAAGCGTGCCGACCTAGCGGATAGTAAGACACTAGCCCAAATTTATGGGGTTCGATAAGCTGTCCGCCGGTTGTGCACAGCCGCTGACACTAAGCTGCAGCAGTTGCAAGCTCGTGAGGTCGCCAGGCTTGCGGTCCACCCCGAAGCTGCGTTTCGCTGCAAGAAGAGCAGCGCGCGCGCAGTTTAGCCGCCGAAGGCGAGCACTGCCAAATTAGGCAGCAATTTATTCGCCGCGTCCCCGCTGTTAACAGCAGCGGCGGAGCGAATAGTTCGCAACCATGATGGCCCCACCGAGAGGCATGCCGGGCGGCTACGGCCAGCAGCCCGGCATCATTTTGCTCCGGGAGGGCACGGACACGAGCCAGGGCAAGGCCCAGTTGATTTCGAACATCAACGCCTGCGGAGCTGTGGTGGACGCCGTCCGCTCGACGCTGGGCCCGCGGGGCATGGACAAGCTCATGTATGATGGTACTAAAGTAACCATTTCGAATGACGGCGCGACGATCATGAAGCTCTTAGATATCGTGCATCCGGCCGCGCGCGTGCTCGCGGAGATCTCCATGTCGCAGGATAGCGAGGTCGGCGACGGCACGACGTCCGTCGTGCTCCTCGCGGGGGAGATGCTCAAGCAGGTGAAACCCTTCGTCGAGGACGGCTTGCATCCCCAAACCATTGCGAGAGGGGTGAGAAAAGCGGTCGGGTTGATCTCGAAACGTCTCGCAGAGGTCGCCGTGGACATGCCCCCGGACCAGCGAAGACGTAGATTGGAGATCCTCGCGGGCACGGCTCTCAACTCAAAGCTCATCGCGAACTACAAGGATCTGTTCGCTCCGATGGTCGTCGACGCGGTTATTGCGCTGGATCCATTACTGTTAGATCTCAAACTCGTCGGCGTGAAGAAGGTGCCGGGCGGGTCTGTGACGGACTCGTTCTTCGTCCAGGGCGTCGCGTTCAAGAAGACGTTCTCGTGAATTGCGGCGTCCTCGGTCTTCCCAGAGGCGCGCGTCGTCGCGCCCGCCACGCCGTCGCCGCGCCGCCGAGAGCTCGAGCGCGCCCCGACATGACACAACGCGCACAGGTACGCCGGCTTCGAGCAGATGACCAAGTCCTTCGACAACGCGAAGGTTCTGTGTCTGAACGTCGAGCTCGAGCTGAAATCGGAGAAGGAGAACGCGGAAGTGCGCATCTCCGATCCCGACGACTACCAGTCGATCGTCGACGCTGAGTGGAAGATTATTTATGACAAGTTAGCTTTGTGCGTCGAGTGCGGCGCGAACGTCGTGCTGTCGAAACTACCTATTGGTGACCTGGCGACGCAGTACTTTGCCGATCGGGGCTTGTTCTGTGCGGGACGAGTGGCCGCGGATGACCTAGGCAGGGTCTGCAAGGCCACGGGTGCCGTGATTCAGACGTCGGTGCAGGACATGGATAGGCCTGGGGTGCTCGGTTTGTGTGCCCACTTTGAAGAAAAACAAGTTGGGGGAGAAAGGTACAACGTCTTCACGGGATGTCCCGCGGCCAAGACCGCTACTATAGTGTTAAGGGGCGGTTCCGAACAGTTCATCGAGGAGTCGCACCGGTCGATTCACGACGCGCTCATGATTGCTAAAAGAGGTGCGGGTGATTCTAGAGTCGTCGGTGGCGGTGGTGCGGTCGAGATGGAACTTTCGAGATACTTGCGAGTCGAAGGTCTGAAGTGCGACGGGAAAGATCAATTAGTACTCTGCGCCGTGGCCAAAGCGTTGGAGGTCATCCCGACTCAATTAGCCCAGAACAGCGGCTTCGATCCCACGGACATTTTGAATGCCTTGCGCAAAAAGCACCTCGACGAGGACGGGCTCTGGTATGGTGTGGATTGCGACAACGAGGGCATCCAAGATACGCTGGAGAAGGAGATCTGGGAGCCGGCCCTGAACAAGGCCAATAGTCTATTGGCGGCGTGCGAGGCCGCGTGCGTGATCCTCAAGATCGACGAGACCGTGCGCAACCCTCGGTCCCAAGATCCTGGGGCCGCCGCCGGTGGGCAGACGCTCCAGCAGCAGCACGCGCGCACGTCCCAGGCCATGGGCGGCCGCGGCATGGCGGGCATGATGGGTAGAGGTGGAAGAGGCGTCCGGCGCCTCAAGTAGGTCTGTTCCTCTTCCCCCAGAGTAACTTTTTTCGACACGTTATTATCCCTCTGAACCCGCGCGCGGGGATCGCCATCAGATCTGATGCGCTGCGCGCCGCGAGATCTCCACCGCCGCGGAAGAGAGCTCCACGAGTCGTAGTAGTATCTGTTGCGTCGGCGGCGTCCTACGCGAAGACATAAACTTAAGGGTGAAGTAAAACTCGGGGTGCGAGGTGCTAGCCGACCTTCTTCGCAATGAATGTGCAAATATCCTTGAAGCTGCCGGCGCAGCCGGGGCCGCGATGCCAGTGGACACCACTGCCGTCGTCCTCAGCGAAACCATTCGTCGGGTGGCCGTTCACGTATACCCGCGTGCGCGTTCCGGAATCAGAGCACGGCAAACACAGACAACAACTAATTTCCGACACCTCGTACCGGTCCTGGTCGAGCGCCTTCTTTGTAGTGCAGGAAATGAACGAAAACGGCCAAAACTGCACGAACAGACTGCAACCGCAGCCGCGCCATTTGCCCGCGAGGTCCCTCGTCTCGACCTTGTGAAAGGCCCGTTTCTGCGACGTCCGGCGTTTTTTGTAGCCACAACAACATCCTGACTTGGCAGTTCCGTCGGCCGAGAACGTCATTAAATTACTGTTCGGATCCGGGTTCTGCGGGTTGAGAAATGCATTGGTGCCCGGGTTGCGCGTCCGGACCGCGCCTTCCGCTGTCGGCCCGATAAAAGGAGGAAAAAATACACAGCCCGTACGCCACGTCTCGATTGTGTCGGCTCCGAGCGGCACCACGGTCATCGAGTTGCAACTCACTGGCAAACCATGAACACATGCACACGCGGCCGAATAATCGCCCGAGATCTCCTCCGTGCACACCAGCTCGTCGCTCCGCGGGCCGGTGTAGAGCTCCTCCGGCGCGGGCGGCGGCGGGCGACCGACCCACTTGTCCGGGTCGAGGCCTCGGCTCGGCAGCGTGACGCGGTAGACCGCAATCTGGTCTTCGTCTCCCATATCGTCGACGACGCCCTCGAAGTCGGCGAAGCGGGTTGCGTTCTCAGCTTTCTTCTCCTCCTCTTCCGCCGCGAGTTGGGCCTCACCGTGCCGCTGGTAGCTCGCATCGTCCAGGCTGGCGGACCAGGAAAACCCCCAAACCGTCACGATAACGCGGTTACGATCGCCCCCGCGTGACTCCCTCCAATTGCCGATCGCGAGAATGCCGCTCGACGCATTAGTCTGCACGAGCTCGTCGACGAGCTTGCCGAGGGCGACGCGGACCATGGTTTCTCTGTTTCTCTCAGCTTCATGCTTGATGGGCATCGCGCGGTCGTCATCTTTCTCATTCCAGCGCCCGAGGAACTCGACGGAGCCGCGACCTTCCAAGCCTTCGGAGGCCCCGGGCTGCTCCGTGACCACGCCCACGACCACTCCCGACACCGGCGCGGGCTGCTCCTCCACCGGGACCACCTGCATGCCTCTCGCTGGGATCCCTACCGCGCAAGCGGCACGGCTGCCGCAGCGGCCAACAAGCCGTAGCAAGCGCTCTGCCGCTGGGGCAGCATCTGATCAGCCCAAACTTTCTGAATTGCGCACGCAGCCATGGGGCTGCGACGAGCGCTCCCGTTGGCACTGCTGCTCCGCTCCCGAGCCATGGGGCTGCGGCAACGAGCCAGGGCGCTCGCCGTCCGCGGCGGTCGAGAAGCCCCGAGCCACACCGCCCATCTCAATTACCAGGAGCCGCACCCCGAGCTCGCTACGGGTCGCTATATCGATCGAGAGGACCAGGGCGATCTGGTGGATACGGTCGAGCCGCGGCCCGTGGAGATGACGGACGCGCGGCAGCTCGACGAGCCGGCTACTCTGGAAACTATGGGCTTCTGCCTGGAGAAGCACCCGACGGAGTGCCGGGACCTCCGCGACGATGCGGCAGTGGGCGAGATTTACTACGAAGAAATGCGAGAGCTGGTTAAGAAAACATCGGGCGCGTCGCGGGTGTTTGTCTTCGACCACACCGTTGACTCGGAGCAGAATGAACTTGAACGTGGCGCCGACGCGACGCCACGTCGCCTCGACGCCGTCGCCGTCGCCGTCAGAGAGTTGGCGCCGAGATTGTCCGTTCCCCACAGATCCGCGAGACCGGCGTCAAAAACCTGAACGCGGCGGCGGGCGGCGCCGCGGCGCCCGTGCCGCGCGTGCACTGCGACTACACCCACGAGGGCGCGCCGCGGCGCCTCCGGCAGCTTGGGGAGCGGGGGATCTTTTCCCATCTTAAGAAGCGGGACCTGACCGCGGCGGAAGTCGATGCTCTAGAAGCGGGACGGTACGCGTTCATCAACGTCTGGAGAAGTATCGACGCAAAACACGCCGTCGCGCGGAGCCCGCTCGCCGTCTGCGACGAGGCGTCGGTCGATCCGGACGAGAAGTTCAAATATGAATTGCGCTTCCCGGACCGCACGGGCGAGACCTACTCGCTGCGCCACTCGGAGAAACACCGGTGGTACTGGTACCCCGGGATGTCCCACGACGAGTGCCTGGTCTTCAAGTGTTTTGATAAAAGGAAGGACTCGACGCGCTTCACATTCCACACGGCCTTCGACGACCCGAGCACGACCGAGGCCTCGCCGCCGCGCCAATCAATAGAGGTACGCACCATCGCGTTCTTCGACGAGGGGTAACTTTTCGACGTGAGACGCTCCTAGCGGTAAGACACTAGGAAGCGCCGATTGCTAGATCTTGCGGGGCAGCCATCATTTGTGGGGCATTCCTTCCTTTCTGGCCATGGGGCTGCGACGAGTGCTCCCTTTGGCACTGCTTTCCTGCGCCATGGGGCTGCGGCAACGAGCCCGGGCGCTGGCCGTCCGGGGCGGAGCCCTGCGCGAGAGCATTGCCTACGGAGGACAGAAGAAGCCCGTTTTCTACGACATGACGCACTCGAACAACGCGGCGCGCGTCCGGCTCTGGTTGCGACTCGTCGACCCGGCCCTGTCGCAGCAGGTAGAAAGCACGTTTATTACCTACGACGACCTGAGGAGTGAGGAGTACGGCAAGCTGAACCCGCTGCGCAAGGTCCCCGCGCTCGTACGAGGTGATGGGGGGACGGTCTTCGAGAGCGACGTGATCCTCAAGTACCTGGCCGTGTGGAATTCAAATGTCGGGCATAACCTAACTCACTGGTTGATTTCCACACAGGTACCTCGAGGATCTGTACGGGAACAACGAGGCGATGACTCCCGCGACGCCGGAGGGCCGCCAGGTCATGAATTTATTTATCAGAATACATGATATATATATCAGTTCGCCGAATTGCTCTGCGGACGGCTTCTGCCACTCGCAGGGCGCCATGTATCTCTCAACAAAATGGCACGGCGCGAGGAGAGGCATGGACATCGCAACCCGAGAAGCGAAGATCGCCGAGATTTTCAAGCAATTGACCTGGCTCGAGGCGAACAAGGTCGAGGGGCCCTGCCCAGAGCACAAAACAAATTTTTGTGCCCGCGCCGGTCCTACCATAGCCCGCGGCTGAGTCATGGTCTCCACGCCATCGATGCGACGCCTGCTCGATGGCATGGCGATGCGGTTCTCCGACCGCGCAACTTGGCCAGCACAGCCGCGTTGTCGCCGAGAAATGACTTCGCGAAGAATTATGCACCCGGGTCATTGGTTGATTTGCGCACAGGCCCTTCCTCTGCGGCGAAGACATGACGCTCGCGGACCTAACTTGGATGCCCACCTGCGTGTTCATGGAGTTCCTCCTTCCGCGTGTCTTCGGCTGGGCGGACCCGTTCGGCACCGCGTCGCCCTTCCCGCGGCTCGCGGCCTGGTACCAGGGATTGCTGGAGCGGCCGGCGTTCGCGGAGACGCGTTCCGAAATTTGGAATTACTGGGTGGAAATGGAGAAGAAGGGCCAGTTCGAGCCGATCGTCGCCGAACTCAACGCCGCGCCCGAGCGGAAGTGGACCTACCCCTGACCTCTTCTGACCTACCCCTGACCTCTTCTCCGGCCGCGTGGACCCCCCCGGCCTCGATTCCTAATTATTCTTTTGTCTTCCTATAAATGAGAGCCCAAATTCAGAATTCACCATAGTCGTACGCCGAGACCATTTCTTTACGAATAGCGCCCAAAGGAGCAGCAGCAAGAAGCTAGCGTGTGACATACTAGCAAATCTAAAGATACGCCTCGATACCGTCAAAAGAATGACCCAAATTCAGAATATATCCTAGTCGTTCGCCGCGACCAAAGATTTCAGCGTAGCGGCCCGGGAACATAGCCTCGCGCCTCCCGGAAGGCACCGCCCGCGACATTCGCGGATGAATCTTACGACTCGCCAATTTACACCAGCGATTGACGCCGCCATCTACCGTCCAGATGGTACATTATATCAATTCCAGCCCAGTTTTCATCCACACTCGACGGAACCGGAGCCGACGGCCCGCGCTCGGAGGGCGGGAAAAGAATTCTACTAGACAACTCCCGAGTTTATGTTCGTTTCCTTCCGTTTGTTAGTGGTAGAGTCCATCCATAACGCCGGGACGATCCGCTAGCCCCATCTCTTACTTCGTACGAGCCGCGGGATTCGACGACTTCGGTACCGCGAGTCTATATGAAGACGGGTAAATAAGTAAAGCCTGACAATATCAGCGACGACACCTTCCAGATGGACCATAACGCCGTTGTTCTATTCACGATCGACCGACTTGCCCGTTCTCCGCGGACGACGGTGCGTACGCGGGGCACTGAATTGGCCCCAGACCGGCGATTTATAAAATAAATTCGCGTTTGAGGCGCTTCGGTTACGGGAAGGGCCAGATAACCGGCCTGACTGCTCACTACATTTGATTAAATCCTCCGTATTATACTCGCGGCTCCGCCACTCCGCGACCACAAGATCTCCTCAATTTGGGCCTAAGACCTGGACCTGCGACCATCAGCCCGTGTACCATCACCGTGGACCATGACGCGATCGTTTGTTTCATGACCGACCGACTTATGCGAGGTCCAGATCAAGATGTTCACGTCCCGAGCGTGGGCAGCCAAAAGTACCCTTCTTATAATGTAGATGTCATATACTTGTAATCCACTATCGCTGGGGTAGTATGGGGTCCGACGAGACCGCTATTACGATTCCTGGGGCCCTAGAGAAATTAACGTTTTTATCGGGAACGAGGCGCCATCGGGTCCAAATTGCACACTTTTTTCGGGGGCAGATCGGCTCCTGGAGGTCCCTCGGGGTAGATCTGGTAGTGGGTAAGCGCCTGCACCGCATACGCCATCGATGCGACAGTCTAGTGCTCCCCGAGAGCCCTGGAAGCAAACATTGGCAAAAAGCTGCTATTCCTCTGCGGACTGCTGAGAGAATTCGACCAAAAATGATTGAAGCGGCGGCGTATGCGGTGTAGGCGTTTGCACGTGTATAGTACCGACCCTAGGCGACCCCAGGGAGACCTCAGGACCACGAATTGACAGGATTTCACTGGCGCGGCCGCCATGGATCGTGGAGGCATCGTCGCCGCGAATTAAAAAAAAAATCGTTTCAGTACGTGTCCCATTGATCTCTTTGGACCATTAGCGACACGAACGATACTCGAACGACTGCATTCGCGTTTTGGATTGCATGCTTGCTAGTGTCTTACAGGCGCTAGCTCTAGCTCGGCTCGACTCGGCCAAGCAAATTTTGCGGTGCCAGGACGGTTACGGATCAATCCTGCACGCTGTCGCAGTCCTCATGCAGCTCCCGCAACCCAAAGTGCCGAAACCGAAGGCCGCGGTGCCGCTGCCCACGCCGCGCCTGCCGGGCGGCGCCAAGGCCGCCGCGGTCCAGCCGCCGAAGGCGCCGAGCCGCACGCAGGATCTGCGGGCCGCGTCGCTCGCCTCGCTGACGATCACGGGCGCGCCGCGGGCACCTCGGGTCGGCGGCGGCCAGGCGCGGCCGCGGCGCGACCGGTCGCCGTCGAAGCCCGTCGGGAATAACGACAGCGCCTTCGGCGAGGGCGCGTGGCGCTCGTCGAGGCCCATCGAGCGACGAGGCACGACCTTTGAGGTGGTCGTAAGGGTCCCGAACGCGCTCGAAGTCGCGAGGGACCCGCGGAGCACGCTCGCCAACCCGGCGCTCGTCGTGAGCAAGGTTAATGATACTGCCATCATCGGCGGCTTCGAGGAGGCCGGCCGCGACCGCGCGGCGGGCCACAAGGTCGTCGGGCTGCGGGTCGTGGGCATCTCGACGACGCCCCACGTCGTCCAGGCGCCGCCGCCGCCTTCATCATTGGTCGACGCCCAGAAGGCGCTGAGCGGCCCGCGTACCGAAGAGGACGGCTGCTGTTCCCGCAGTTTGTCGATTGAGGAGTTCCCGAAGTTCGTCTTACTGCAGAAGCCTCCCGACGAGGCCCAGGAGCCCGTCCTCGCGGACCAGGGGTCGTACACCTGGCGCGACGAGAAGCCCGAGCCGCCCAAGGAAGTTCCCGTCAAAAAGTACCGCCTCACCAAAGTGTTGGTGGCGACGAATAGGAAACCCGTCCTGAGCGAGGGCGAAGCTGTTTTTTCTTCGACCCTAGACGCGGACGCGGCGTCGCCCGAACTTACCGAAAGGAAGAGCCACCTCGGCATCTCCGCCCGGGCGCGTGCAGCATCACAAGACCAGGACGAGGGCCTCTGGTGGGGCTGCGCCGTCGTGGCGTGCGACGCGTCAGTACCGCGCGACGGGCCCGCGTCGTGTGACATCGAGAACTGGACCTATCTTGGTGGGGACCCGTGTGGAAGTCATCGGTCTACGCTGCCTCTACGCCATCGCCGCGCCCGTTCGTCTGCTCGAGTCGCTGCCACGCAGGCTGGGAACCAAGAAGCAGAGAGGACGTCCTCGAGGCACTAAAACAAGCGGACGACGACGCCCACGTTTATGTCCATGGCTTCAATAACTCGCTCCAGTTCGCATGTCGCACGGCGGCTCTACTAGCGAGGGACCGCGTCGCCATCTGCGTGGCCTGGCCGTCGAACCCGCCGTTACCTAGATCGTGGGCCATCGCCGCCGTGTTGAGTGTCGCGGAGCGGAACTACACGGCGGCCGAGCAGCAGATGCAGCGGTCCGTGCGGTCGGTCGCGAACGCGGCGTTGTTGTTACGAGAAGCTTGTAAGCGGCGGCTCGACTGGACGGCTCATTCGATGGGGTGTTATTTGTTATTGTTGGCGCTGCGGGATGCGACGAAGCCCTTTGCGCGGGTGACTCTGTTAGCGCCCGATGTGCCCACGTGGTTTTTTGTGGACTCCCTCAAGCGAGGCGTGCGGGAGAACGTGCGGTTCCTGCACTGCTTTCATAGTAGAGACGAAGCGGTGGAGATCTCGCGGCAGAGGCGCGGATTGGACTTCCCGGTCCCGGGCAACGGCGCAGTGTTGCCGAACAGGCCCGGCGTGACGGTGTTAGATTGTTCGCGCTGCGCCGCTACTCTAGGCAACCACGACTATGGAAGGGTCGACTTTGCGTGCGTCTTGGAACAGGGCGCGTTCTTCGAGGGGGCGCGGCCCGAAGATAGAAAGGCGCTCGAGGACTCGGGGGAGGGCGTGTGGGTGCTGCGGGCGGAGGCTTCGTCTTGAGGCGACTAGTGTGTGTGTGTAAACTTTGTGAGCTGAGGTGTCTGTTATATGGGAGCTAGTGGCGCGAGAGCTCGACCAACCCGAGACCAAAACGGGTTTTCCAGCGGCTCTCATTTGCCAAAAAAATCTTTTAAGCTCCTACAGACCCCATCCTCGTGAGTTTCGGCGCCCCTGACCTTGTCAAAATGGCCGCGCGTCGCAAGAGCTGTCCTCTTCCGTCTACAAATTGCGAGCGCTGCATGTTTCTTTTGGAAGATGTCCCAAAACTCCGTCGGCTGAGCGCCGCGCGGGCCTGTCACGCGCGGGCAGACCGCTCATGGACAGCCGACACGACGAAACCGACCATGGGGGCCGCGCGCGCGGCGCGGCGGCGGGCGCCCGCGATACCGCTGAAGGAAATTTCCAAGGGAGCATCGAGGAGCCCTCGAGGTGCGTGCACCTGCGGAAATGTTCACGGTTTCGTGCTGAATATCATCGTCTACGCTGGCGCGCGCTTCTTGATCTTGACCTTGATGTCAGTTTTGCCCATGGTTGAGTTGTCTGCGGGGCGCGGGCCGGTTTCCGCGCAACGGTTACGCGCGCGTCCCGGCAACAAACTTTCTGTGTCTCTGTCAGTGAAGCGCCCGCGGCGCGCGGTTTACTGCGTCGAGCCGCGGCCCGCGGCCGCAACGGCGCGCGTGCAGAGGATCTCTGGCCAGCCAGGTGGTTTTTCTCTGGTAGGCATGCAATGGCGAGCCGAGATCGCCGCGCGACCGTGGTGTGGCGTGTGACGAGAACCCCTTTAACGTGTGATTTGCGCGCGGTCGTCGCACGAGTGTGTTTTATGCCGCAATTGCAGATTGGTGGAGGCTGGAGCAAAACCTAGCCGGCGCGGCCGCGGCCGCGCGAGCGAGTCGCTACTTCGATTACCAATCTAGGAAGGATTACCCGGTCGCGCATCATCGCCCCGCCCCGCGAACGCGTCGTCCACCGCCCGTTCGCGCTCGTCGATCTCGGCCCGCAGGCCGTCGATCATCACCTCGAGCACGGCGTCGACGTTGTAGGCCGAGCCCGCTGGCATCCAGAACGCGTACAGCACAGCGAGGGTCACAGCGATCGCGAACGTCATCAGCCCGAACAGCACCGCTTGCACGCGCAGCAGCCCGTCCTCCGGCGCGACCGCGGCGCCCGTCGCCGCGGCTAACAAAGGAAAGATGGCCAGCACGAGCACCCCAAGCACCGCCAACAATCCAAAATGCGCCGCGGGGAGCTTCCGTTGCAACGCGCCGAGGCGCTGCCCGCGCGCCTCGCGCAGGCTCCGCACGGTCTCGTAGACGTCGCCCGGCGAGCCCACGGACGTGAGCCACATGACCTGCGCTCGACGCGGTCCGGACGGTCGCGGCGATGGCGTGCGGGTGGGATCTCCGACGCCGGGCAGCGAACCTGCTCGAGCGGGTCCGCGTAGTTCGCCGGCGAGCCACCCAACAACGCGGTGACGGGCTCGGCGCTGAGCCGCGTCAGGTCGTCGTCGACGTAGCGGCGCACATTTTCTAAAAGCTGGGCCGCGTACTCCGGCCGGCCGCGGCTGACGTAGGCGATCTGTTCGAGTAATGCTTTGGCGACCGACACCTCGGCGAAGAGCGACACGTAGAGCTGCTCCTGTTGATTATACAACCAGGCAAACGTATTGACCAGCAGCAACGAGAACATAACATCAATCGCGTTCACGTAGTTCTGGAAGTACTGGCCCTCGTCGTTCGCCAGGACCGCGAGGCCCTCGCCGTTGATGAAGGATCGCAGCCATATGGCCAGCGGCCCGAAGGCGATCGTGCCTACGATGGCGAGGCCGACGCTCGGCGCCAATGCTTTCGCGCCGGTCGCTGCCGCAGCCGCAAACTCGGAGCTGCGCAGCGTCTCGGCGAGCGGCGCGGTGGTTTCGTCGTATTTTTGCGGCGCCGCACGCAGGGCTACGGTGTGCACGCGCACTGGGGCTCGAGGTAGCAGTAGTGCAGTTACGCAATGTGTGAGCACCGCGAGAGCCGCGACGCGTCGTCGCGCCATTGCAAGCATCAATGCTGTCCTTACCCTGGTAAACACTTAGCCGAATGAGCACATCTACGGCCGTTTTTTGCACGGAGCACTTGCTGCCGCTTTTGCTAGTGCCTATGTCCGCTAGCGCACAATGCCGGCACCAGACGAGAAACCACGCGCACGCCTTCCAGAAGCAGCGGATCCTTACAACCGCCCTGGACCCCTTCAGACAAAACCCGTCACCTACGCTCAAAAATCTCGACGTCGTAGAGAGCGCAGAGCTCGCAGTAGAGCCGGACTGGGACGCCGTCGTGATTGCTGCGCGCTCCCACTGCTGCCGCGTCGCTGCAAAACAAGCGTCGGCACTCGTTTCTGCACCGCAGCTTCAAAATCGCTCTCAGAGGTGAAACAGAAACTGTTGCATAGCTCGCCGTCTCCACAATGCTGCTATTGGGCAAAGCCTGGAAAATAGCGGCCGCCGTCGCCGCGATACTGACCGCGAGCCGCCGCGTCATAACAAAACCCACCCTTTTGATCGGCTGCGCCGGCGGCGGCCGGGGAGACTCCGCAGCGAGATGTGCGCTCGAGCGCTCCGCCAAGCTTTTGAATAAAGCGAGTTCGGGCAAGAAAGTGCCCGTCGAGCAATACTGCGCGGCCATGGAGGCCTTGATGCCCGCCTTTTCCGCCTACGGCAAGATGTTTGAGAACGCCGCGAGGAAAGACGTCCAGGGAAATGTCGATAAACTCAGAAGCCGAGCAAAGGCCTTGCAGCGCAAGGAGGCGGGAGCAATGGTCTTGCGCGAGCGGGAGCTCGATCCCGCAAAGACGGAAGCGCCGGATTCCGCAGCACGAGCGCTCTTCTGGATCAACAAGATCGTCAGTCAAATCGCCATGTCGTTCGAGTTCTTGCTGGACCGCCCGAACGCGTCGCTCACGCGGTGCGCGACGGACGCCTACGTCAAGACCTGCGGCCCGTACAACAAATTGATCCACCGGAACATCGCCAAAGTAATGTTGAAAATCATACCGGACCGCGATTCTTTCGTGCAGATGTACGGCGCCGAGGACATGGCCGAGCTCGCGCCGACGCTGCGCGCGTGGATCAAGGCCTCGAAGAGCAGTCGCCGCGCGGTCGACGAGTTCTTCCGACGGAATCCTGATCTGGCGCCGCGGCGGCGGTAGGCCCCGCGACGAAGCCAGATGTAGACCTTGACCGCGCCGCCGACGCGACACCGGACACCGCGTGTCGGCTCGACGGCGTGGAGGGAGTGGCTCGCCGCAGCCACTCCGCGAAATTAACACTGTGACAGAATAAAAATTAGTACAACAACAAACTACTTGTAGAGCTCATCGTCCTCCGGATCCTCCGGTGGTGGCTCTGGAACGCACTCCTCGGTCGACTCCTCGAAGTCCGTTCGGCCCGTTTTAGCCGCGTAGGCCTGGGCCGCGGCCATCGTCGGGAACAGCTTGCCCGTCGCGACGCATTTTATAGATTTGGCCACGGGGGCAGCGGGCGCGGGCGGCGGCGCCACGTCGTCGCCGGCCTCGAGCCGCCGCCTGCGCGGACGTCGTCTCGACCAGCAGGCGCCTCGATGGCGTCGCGACGGACGCACGCCATCGACGCGACGCTGAAGGTCAACTGGGACGCGGCACACAGACATGGCCACGTCGAGCTTGGCCTCGAGCGCGCGCGCGAGGCGGTCCGCGTCGCTCTTGGCTTTTTCAAGCTCGGCCTCCGCATTTCGGGCGTCGGCCTCGCGCGCGGCTGCGTCGCCCTCCAACGCCGAAGAGACCTCCTCGAGGAACTTTAAATCCGACTCCGTCGCTTCCAGCCTTTTTCTATCGCGCGCCGCGCGGCGTTCCAACGCTCGAACTTCAGCTCTCAAGTCCGCGACGCGCGCCTCCGCCGCCGCGTCCACCACGCCGCCCGCGCGCGCGGCCAACCGTTGCTCGTAGACGTCGCGCTGCCTAGCTAGCTGCGACCGCAATAATTGCGTGTACTCCAAAGCCAAACCTTCAAGCTTCCGGTGTTCCTGCGCGTCCGCCGCGTCGACGCTTTCCCCGTCCATCACCAACCTATGGACGTAGTTGCGGCCACTAAAGTCCCAGACCAGCTGCGACGTTACGGAGACGGCGTAGGCGTGCTTCGTTTGATCGTAGTGGTCCCGGATGTGGGACGATTCCTGAGGATTCCCCGCGGAGCAGCCCGCGAAGCCGCAAACCACGCACACCCACAAATCTCTCCGTTCATCCGAAGACTTCTGCTCTTCACTCCCGAGAGCGCACGTGGCGCAGTGCGTCGCTTGGGAGGCGAGTGACGCGTGCAAGTAGCGGCAGACGGGGCACGGTGCGTCGCTCCATCTTCCTAAACACGCGGCGTGGAACGAGTGGTCGCACGCTGTTGTTAGGACGACGTGGTAGCTCACGTCCAACCTGTCTAGACATACAACACATAAACCGTCCGGCGGCGGCGCCGGCCGCGACTGCCACTCGACTTGTTGTACAAAAGCCATCGCTAGTTTGTGTTCTTCTCTGTGAGTTGTCCCATGTAATCTCGCGTAGATCTCCGTGGCGTTTTGTTTTGATGAGCACGCTATGGTTACAATACATAGTGAGGGCGGCAGGCGCGGCGGCTCGGCGTGCCGAAAGATTCTGATTTCTCTCACGGAGTTCCGGAACGGCGCCAATAACTCGACGACGTCCGTGGGGACGAAGCGACTCGGCACGCCCACCAAGGCCACGGTGGCCCTTCTCAAATTCGCGTCCGGCAGCGCCTGGCCGTAGTCCCGCTCCGCTAGACTTTGCGGCGCCTGCGTCAGATGGATCGAGCCTCGATGCAAATGGTCCGCGCCGAGGGCGGGGTTGCCCGTCGTGAAGTGGACCTGCATCGTCTCGCTCGGCGTCGCGGCGGCGGCGTGTGACTGGTCTCAGAGAGCAGCGGTGCCTCTAGTTTGTTGCGGCGGCGGCGTATTCGCCTCAGAGAGAGCAGTGGTGCGCAAGCGTCCAGTGTGCGCGATGGGAGGCGCTGAGATGGCCGCACGCGACGGGCACGTAATCTGTCGATAAGGTGGAAGCCTCCGGGCCCTTAATTGCGAGCACTGCGGCGCTTTAATGCACACAAAAGTCGGGAGTTTGCTCGTTTCTAGTGGCTTACTAAACGCTAGTTCGAAGTCTAGGTTTAAAACGAACCCACGCTGGTGGGGCGCTCGTTCATCTCACGTGCTCCTACGCTGTGTGCAGAGTCCTCACTCCAGCGCTGCTTGACCAGAAGCCAAAAATAGCGGCTCCGCGCACCGGCTTGAAACGTAAAGCGCAGCAGTGCTGCTGCAAGCGTTGCAGCGGCGTTCACCGCCGGACGCGCGCTATATATACGATTGCGGCGCATACAGCCTTGCGAGCTACGTAGCCTCACCGCAAGCGGAAAAAAAATGGAGCCCGGCGAGACGGAGAACTTCGCCGGGCTCGAGGCGGCGTTCACGTGCCGCCTCTGCGAGGACCGCCTCGACCACGAGGACCTGGAGATGCTGCCCTGCGGCCACGCGTTTTGCGCCGCGTGTCTGCGGGACGAGACGGTCGACGAGTACGTCTGCCCCGAGTGCCGAGTCCCGTTCATCGTCAAGGACATCACCAAGGGCCACGACCTCCAGGAGGCCATCCAGCCGGGCCTGGAGCTGTTGGACCTCGTCTCGCAATTGCGCCGGGGCGGCGACGCGACGAAGCTCAATTCTCTACCGACGCCGACGTCGGCCGACTGGCGCGCCGCGCGGCAACCGCTGGCCCCGGCGCCGGCGCCCACGGTCCTGCCGCGGCGGAAGCCCGCGGGCCGCGGCCGCGCCGCCGCGCGCGCGCCGGCGGCGGCGCCCGCGCGGCGCGGTCGCACCGCGTCGCCGGCCGCGCCAGCGACGAGACGCGGCCGGACCGCGTCGCCGGCTGCGAGACGCGGCCGCGCGGCCGCGCCGGCCGCCGCGCCCGCAAGGCGCGGCGCCGCGTCGCCACAGGCCACGTTCCGCGTCGGCGACTTCGTCGTCGTCGCGCCGGACACGTCGCCGGGCCACAACCGGGAGGGCGGCCCGGGTACGATCGTCGCCGCGAACGACGACGGCTCCTTCGACGTCCGGTCGCCCGTCGGCCGCCGCACGATGCTGCGCGTGCCGGCCGCGGACCTCGCGCACGACGGGGCCGCGCTCAGCGGCCGCGCGACGCGCCGGAGCAGCGGCAGCGCGTCCAGCGCCCCGAGCGAGGCGCCCGCGCCGAAGCGGCGCCGCGGCGGCCGGCGCCGATCGCCCGCCGCGCTGCCCGCGCCGGTCGCGCGCGGCGGCTCGACGGCCGCCCAGGCGTCGGCGCGCGCCGCGCGCGCGGCCGCGCGGTCGCCCGCGCCGGTCGGCGCGCCGGCCGCGCCGGCGTCGTCGTCCGAGAGCGAGGACGCTGAGCCGGCTCCGCCGCGGCCGGCAGCGCGCAAGCCGGCAGCGCGCAAGCCGGCCGCGCCGGCGTCGTCGTCCGAGAGCGAGGCCGCCGAGGCGGAACCGCCTGCGCGCAAGCCGGCGGCGCGCCGGGCTCCGCGGCCATCGTCGTCCTCAGAGAGCGAGGCCGCCGAGGCGCCGCCGCCGAGGCGAAAGCCGGCGGCGCGCCGCGCAAAGCCCGCGGCCGCGCCCGCCATCCACGACGACTTCGAGTTCGACGGCGGCGACGCCGCGCCGGCGCGGAAGCCCGCGGCCGCGCCGCAGCGGAAGCCCGCGGCGAAGAAGCGGCCGCCGCTGTCGCCGGTCCGCGCGGCCGACGCCGAGGCGCGCGAGAAGCGGCAGCGGCGCGCATCAAACATCAAAGTGCTGTTCACGGCCGTCGATGTCACGGACAAGGAGCGCGCCATGCTCTCGGCCTTCGGCGGCGTCCAAGTCAAGGCGCCCCGGGAGTGGCGCGACGCGACGCACCTCGTGTGCCCCGTACCATTGAAACGGACGCCCAAGTTCCTCGCGGCCGTGTCCGTCGTCGAGCACGTCGTCACCCTAGACTGGCTCCGCCAGAGCGAGCAGATGGCGCGCGCCGTCGACGCGGCCGACTACGTTCCGCGCGACAAAAAAGCCGAGCGGAACTGGCGGTTCGATTTGGAGGAGACGCTCGCGCGGACGCGAAATGGCGAGAAGTGCCTCGCGGGCTACGCGCTCCTGCTCGACCACCGCGCGCGCCGGGACCCGAAGGCCGGCCTGCCCACCGACGACGAGCTGAAGGCGATCGCCGAGTGCGCCGGCGCGCAGTGGCTCCTGAACCCGACGAAGGCCGGCCGCCGGTCGACGGGGCCCTGGCCGCCGCGCCGCGGCGTCGTGCTGCTGGGCGACCCGAAGATCGCCGTGGATCGGTTCATCCGCGACCAGATCGCGCCGGCCGCGATCGCGGCGCACGTCGACAAGGAGACGCTGTGGTCTGCGATCCTGTCCAAGGACCTGCCCTGGGCCGCGGGCGGCGACGCCAGCGACGACGGCGCCGCGGCCCCGCCGCCGAAGCGGGCGCGCGCGCGGCCCGCGGCGAAGAAGCCGGCCGCGAAGCCGGCGGCGCGGCGCCCGTCGCCGCCGGCATCGTCGTCGTCGGAGAGCGAGGGCGAGGACGTCGCGGCGGCGCGAAAGCCGGCGGCGCGCCGGGCTCCGCCGCAACCTCATTCAACCGGCCGCTCAACGATTGGAACGCCGCAGTCGTCGTCCTCGGAGAGCGAGGAGGAGGCTCCGGCCGCCGCGCCGGCGTCGTCGTCCCGCGCGCCGGCCATGATACGAAGGCCGGCGGCGCGCCGGGCGCCGGCCCCGGATAGCGATCATGACAACGTCGAGGAAGAGGCCCCGCCGCCGCCGCCGCCCGCGGCCGCCGCGCCGTCGTCCTCGGAGAGCGACGACGACGAAGAAGCCGAGGAAGCGCCCGCCGCGCCGGTGGCCCACAGCTTCGAGTTCGACGCCGACGGCGACGCGGCCATGCCCGCGGCCGCCGCCGACGACGCCGAAGAGAACCCCTGCACGCAGCCAGAGGCCCCGGTGCCGGCGACGGGCCCGCACGGCACGCGGCGCAAGGCGCGCGCGACGACGCCGCCGCACGACGACGAGGACCCCGCGCCGGCGCCCGATGCGCCCCCGCCGGCGCCGGCGGCGCCGGCCGCGCCGCCCAGCGCGTCGTCGGCCGACGACGACTGGGACGACTCGCAGCCCGAGGCGCCGCGCGCCGCCGCGCCGCCGACGCCGCCGCCGCGCGCCGCCGCGCCAGCCGAGGCGCCCGCGCCCGCGCCGCCGCCCGCGGAGTCGCTCCTCGCGAAGCGCCGCGCACAGGACGCGCTACGCCGCAGCGCAACGCCGTCGCCGCCGGCGCCCGCCCCCGCCGCACCGGCGCCTCCGGTCGCGCCGGCGCCCGCACCTCCGGCACCTCGTGTCGCCGCGCCGCCGCCGGCAGCAGCCCCGGCGGCGCCGAGCCCGGACCTGCCGCTCGAGGCGAACACGCTCGAGGCGAACTCGCCGCCGCTGCCGCCGCCCAAGCAGCCGAGCCCCGCCGCGGCGCCGGCGCCGAGCCCGACCATCGGCACGCAGTGGGACGCGACGCCTACGGAGTCGGCGTACTCGCACCCGGAGCCCGCGCCCGCGCCGCCGCTGCCGGCCGTCGCGGACGTCGTCGAGGCCGAGCCGCCAGCGCGGCCGCCGCCGATCGATTTCGAGGACTCGATGCCGCCGCCCTCACCGCCGCGACCGCCGCCTATAGAAATCGAGGACTCGCTGCCGCCGCCGTCGCCGGCGCGGCCGCCCGTCGAGGACTCCTCGCCGGCCGACGAGCCCTTCGCCGCGGAGAGCATGCCGCCGCCGGCGCCTGTCGTGCCGCCGACGGGCCAGGCCGTCGGCGGGTCCGTGAGCCTCAGCGAGTCGTGGGACGAGTCCGCGCCGGCGCCGGCGCCGCCGCCTCGGAGCCCTTCGCCGGCGTCGGACTGGGACGACAGCGAGCCCGCGCCGGCGCCGCCCCCCATGGCGGCGGCCACGCTCTACTACCCCGACAGCCCGGCGGTCGAGGCCGAGGCGCCGCCGTCCGCGCCCTCGCAGCACTCGGGCGCGGGCTCGGACACGGCGCTCTCGCCGCGCTTCGCGCGGCGCCGCTCCACCGAGACGTCAAGCGGCGGCGCGCGCTCCTCCGTGGCGTCGTCGGAGCGCGGCTCGGAGACGATGCTCGAGCCGGCGCGGCGGTCGGGCTCGTCGGGGCCGAGCCGCTCGGGCCCGCCGACGGCCGGCGGGTCGTCAAGCGACGAGTCCGACAATGAAGATGACGCTCCACATTCCTCCCAGGGCTCGACGCGGCTGCCGTCGTCGGACTCGCAGCCGGCGCGCCGGCGCGAGAGCACCTACCCCGACGAGTCGCTCGACACGCAAGGCATCCGGGAGTTGATCCGCGACGGCGCCGACCGCCGGGAGCAGACGAACCTGCGGATCCTGCGGAGCCAGCAGGACCCGCGCGACGACGACGACGACGACGTCGTCGAGTCCGAGCCGCCGGCGCGGCCGGCGCTGCCCCCGGAGCCGGCGCCGATCGAGACGGGGTCGGGCTGGTACTCGGAGCCGCCGCCGCCGGAGAGCTGCGGCTTCTCGGACGACGGCCGCGACGCGCCGCCGCCGCGGCGCGGCCGGTCGACGACGACGAGCGCCGCCGCGACGGACATCGTCGAGGACACGCCGCGCTTCTCCGACGACGGCCGCCGCGGCCCGTCCATCGGCTCGGAGACGCGCTGCTCGCCGGCGCCGCGCGCGTCCCAGGGCTCCGAGACGCTGCCGCCGTCTCCGTCGAACGTCGAGGCCGCGGCGCCGTCCCAGGAGGAGACGCAGACGTACCAGCAGCCGCCCGAGCGCTTCGAGTACACGCGACCTACAAATGTATCAAGGGGCCAGCCCCTGCCCGGCGAGTACACGTTCGACGAGGAGGCGGAGTCCATCGACGACGACGGCGACGACGACGACCTCGACCCGCACCCGCACCGGCGGCTGCCGCCGGCCGCGGGCTCGCTCAATAGCCTCGCGGCGCAGTCGCAAGCCGAGGACACGCCGCGGCCGCCGCGGCCGCGCGCCGCGGACCCCGGCGAGCCGTCGCTGCCGTGGGAACCGGCGAAAGGCCTGAAGGGCTTCTCGCTGGGGAGCTCGCCCGCGTCGCCGGCCGCCGCGCCGCCGGCCGCGCCACCAACGGCCGGCGGCTCGTCCTCCGACGAGTCCGAAGCCGAGGACGAGTTCGACATGTCCGCGGCGATGGAGGCGCCGCGGCCCGCGCCGGCGCCGGCGCGGACGGGCTCGAACTGGCTCCACGCGTCGGCCTTCCGGTCGACGGTGCGGCGCGTGGGCCCGGGCATGCGGAACCGGCCGATGGGGTCCTTCCGGCCGCCGCGGCCCGTGGGGAAACGCAAGTAATATGTACGAAGGTTCTTTATGCAGTGGGTATGACTCGCGCGAACGCAGCAACAAAACCCATCGCGATTTCGCATCACTGCATATGCCACTCACTCCTATATACATGCCAATAGCAACTATCCAGCATCCCCCGCACGCTTCCCGAGCCGGCCCTAGCAGAGAGATGAAAACGCATCTCCGGCGCTGTGTTTTGTCGTGGCTGGATCCAGCGCATTCGCGCCGATCTCGAAGAAAGGCAGCGCCCGTCCGGACCTCCGCGGCCTCACGCTGTCGCCGCGCAACCAGCGGAACATAGCTGCAAGGGCTGCATCTCATACCAAGCACCAAGCTACCAAGCTACCACCTCCACGACCCCACGCGGTCGCCGCGACACCAGCGGAACATAGCTGCATCTGACATACCAAGCTAACCAAAGCTACCACAAGCTCCACATGTCCAACATCTTCGGCGTCGCAAACCCTGACAGAAGGCCGGAGCGGCGCACCTACGACCTCCAGCAGGAGGTGCGCTCCGGAAGATGGCAGGACAACTCCAGTCTGTGGACCCACGGTTATAAGTACGGCGACGGCCACGCTGGTTTGAGAGATCACCGCTTCCTGCCGACGCAGCCGCCGGCCACCGAACAAAGAAAGACGGGCTGGCGCGCTCCCGTCGACGACGAGACCTTGCGACCCTCCACCAAAGGTGCAGCTAGATTGGCGCCGCGCAAAGCATTGGTGGAGGCGGACCGGACGGGCGCCCTCGCTTCTACGACGACAGCGCGGCGGAAGGGCTGCCCCATGACGGCCTTCGAGCACCACTGTTTTTTGAGCGGCTCCAAAAAAAACGAGGCCTGGTTCCTCACCTCCAGTAAAATGGAATTCGCGTCCGTGCCGACGGGCAACCGGAGCGTGTGCCACTAAGTTTATTATCTTAGATAGCTCCTACTGCCCCCGAGCCGCTCCTCCTGGAGCTCGTGGACGCGCGCGAGCAGTTTCGCTTCCTCGTTCCGATCATCCTCCCGCCACTTGTTCGCGAGCCGCTCGTTCTTGATCCGCCACCCCGCATCAGCAATGTCGTTCAACAAACCCAAGCCGCCGCCCGCGGAGAAACCTCGATCGTCCCGCTGGATGCGGTCGCCGCGCCACCAGTACTGCCAGCCTTCTTTCCGGTCCGCGCACTGTCGCAGAAACGCCTCCCGACACACTGTCGACTTGTCGTCATCCAGCGACGCCTGCTCGACGAGGATCCACGCGTCCCGGCGCGCTTGCTCCTCGACCAAGTCGCCCTCGTCCCGCAACCCTTTGGCGATTTCCTCGACGCCCACCGGTGAACCGTGCTCCAGCAGCTCGTCGTACTTCCGGTTGAGGTGGTCGAGCGTCGCCTGGCTCAGCTTCGCGGCCTTCACGAAGGACACGGCCTCGTCGATGCGTTGTTCGTGCGCCCGTGCAGCGGCTTCCCGCCCTTCGATGTCCTTTATGCGGTTCGTAACGGTGTCCCGGAAGCTCCTTCGAAAGGCCGTCACGCTACTCGAATCGCAGTCTTGCACTAGCTCGAGAAATGAGTCGAAGTCGAGGCCGCCGCAGTCGTTCACGACCTTGGCAGCCGTGTCGATGTTCGCGTCCACTCCCACAATTTTGATGAGGTCGAGGAATTGTTGAGGTGCTACTTGGCCATCGATGGGGTCCATGGTCCCGAAGGCGTCCTCGTAGAAGGCTAATGTTTCAGGTGAGAGGCTGCCGCGGAGGCCGCCGTCGTCCGTGGCGTCGGCCATGGGTTCCGTCGGCTGCCTGGGTTCGTGGAGCTCCGGACAGCGAGCGCTGCCCGTCGAACGCTGCGAATTCGCGCCGTATGGACTCTTGCTCTCGAGTGCGTTGTGAGAGGAGACCCGCACTTTGGCACTCTCGCGCGCACTTTGGCTCGAATTGCTGCCCAAACGGCTCGACGTGCCGCGCGGGCACGCGTATGGCTGCCCCGCGGCGACCCGAGGCCGTGCCGCGACGAGTGCTGCCCGAGGCAAGCTGACAATCATGCGCCGAGCTGCTCTGCTCCTCGCCGCCGCGCGTTTGATACAAGGCGAATACATCCTCGGCGTGCCGAGCAACTGGCACGCGTCGCGCCACTTCGCCAAGTTGGTCGAGTACCAATCGATAAGCAATCTGACCTTCGGCATACGCGCTACTGAACAAGGTAGCGGGCACTGGCGGCCCTACTGGACCAAAGACAAGTTCGCGACGCTGTGGCGCGTCGAGGCGAAGCGGCGGCAGCGACGGGCGCCGCCCGCTGCTACGATCGAGGACGCGTGTGGTGCCCTGGGCGGAAGCACGATCGTCGCCCTCGACGCGGCGGCTCTCGCGTCGATCTACCAGCTCGCGTCAAGACGGGCGCACGGCACGACGACGCGCGAGCTGGGCGTCTCCATGGACCTTGGGGATGGAGCGTGCGGCGCGCGCGCCACTGCCGTCACATTCGACGAGGGCGAGCTCTGCCCGGCGCGGCGCGGCGGCTGCCGCGTGAGGCGCTGCGCCTTCTCCGACATCTGCGCGCACACGCACCCGTCCACCAATAGACCGTCGGCGTCCGACCTGCGGGCGGCCCTCGACGCCCACCCGTGCGCCGGTCTTGGTGGCAAAAGACGGCTGAGCCTCGTCCTCGCGCCGAAGGGCGTCTTCGCCTTCGTGCCGTCGGCGAAGCGGGTGCGGGCCTTCGCGGCGCTGAGCGACCAGGCCAAGGAGAACGTCGCGCTGCAGTGGGCGCGCTCGGGCCGCGAGGACCAGAGCAGGACGCAGCGCGGCGACGCGGGGCCCTGGCTCGCGCACGTCCGCGGACTGGGCTTTGACGCGGCGTATCTGCCCTATCAACTGCTCGAGGCCGCGTCGTCTGATTCGAACGCCCACGCGGTGCTCTTGCTGCGCGTCGGGGAGGGGTCTTGTCGGCGGCGGCGGGCTAGGCTACGGTAAGGTTCACATTATTAGATGCTAGGCTCAGTCCTCCCCGGACTCGGACTCGGAGTCGTCCTCGGACTCCTCGTTGGCCTGAAGGAATTCTCCGGCTTGCCCACCCAGGGTGTCTGGGCGACCCCATTGCGACGGGCCAAAATCCACGAACGGTCTATACTGATTTTTCTTTCCGCCGCGGCCCTTGAGCAGCTTGTTGATGGCCTTGACCGTCTTGCCATGCTCGATGGGTGACAGTAGCTCCCCTGAATCCCCTTCGAACTCGGAGAGCAGGGGACAGCCGCGGACGAGGCGCAACAAGTTCGCCGGCGTGAAGATTTCGTCCATGTAATAAATCCCGATGCCGCGGAGCGTCTGGGCGCTAGAACTTTGCAAGATAATATCAATAGCAGCTGGACAAGGAATAGATGAGAATGTAAGATGCTCCAGCGACAACGACTCGCATAGAATTCGTAGGCACTCGTCGTCCGCACGGCATTCCGTTCCCAGGTCGAGACCGGTGAGCGTAGGCCGCAGCTGAGCTAGAGAGCGACAGAACTCAACGTCGATGGCACACTCTGGTGGCAATCTTAAAAACCTCAGACCTTCGAAGCGTGCGCACTGCAGGATCACTTCATTCGAAACGGGCAAATCAAAGCCCAAGTCTAATTTCCTCAGGCGGCCCCGTAAAGGCGTCCGCAGCAGCATGTCCACAAAAGCCGCCAGCTCGTCGTCGCACTCGACAAGGCTTACCTCGTCCGCGCAAACGCACGCCCGCGCCGCCGCTTCGATTGCGGCGTAATTCTCCGGCCGCCCCCGAAATTCGAGAGTTTTCAGTCGGGGGAAATGCTGCTGCCAGGTTTCTGCTGGAATGTCTTCAAAAGCGCTGAGTCTAACGTACTCTAGGAGCGGACACAAGCGGCCCACTTCCATTGCGAAGGATTCCATAGCCGCGCTCGTGACCACGTGTCCGGCACCAAAGCAGCTCGGGATCCAGTTCAAAACGACGCGCGACACAATTCCAAGGCGTAGTCCCTGCTTTTTGAAAAGCCCAGGCTAGTGAGGGTGAGCTCGCGCAGACGCCCTTGAGTGCTGACTACGAAACTCTGAAGCGCGTCTAGTGCCTCGTCTGACGGCTCTATATCAGATGCCTTGTGTCCTGTATAGAAATGGAGCTCGCGGCATCCGCTGCCGAACATTTGCCCCCACGCCGCGATGGCGCGCGCAGTCGAGCCATCGCTCAGCCGGAAACTTGCTTCATCCAGCACCGGGTGCTCCTTGGCGGCCCGACGCACCGCGTCTTGACACGTGCTGGATACTAACCGCAGAGCGAGAAAGTCTCCTACAACCGCCTTACGAATTTGTCCATCAACGCCACAGATGATCACTCGTCCAGCATACGATACAACGTGCGCGAGCAGATCGACAGGCAAGTCATCGAGCCGAATTGCCGGCCGCGCCGCCGCGGCGATCTCAGGGCCGGTGGCAGCCATGATTAGTGCGCTCTCTCACAGCGTATGATAATAACACGCGCACCAGCAGCTGAGATAACGCGGCCGTACCCGATTTTGACTCGAGGCTAGGAGTCGTAGACACACTAGCCCCAGCCGGTCGAGGACCCGTTCAACGTTGGTTTAGAACCCCAGGACTTCTACGGGGGGAAGATCTATTCGGCGCCGGGCCTCGATCGCCTCAGAGGTTTGGATCGGTGGTTCGCGGACGTCAGGTCGGGCCGGGTCACGCCGAATCCTCGGGAGCTGTGGACGGTCTTCTGCGTTGCCGTAGAGGAGAAGGAGGGTCCGTTGCACCCCGCGATGGTCCAGCGCCCGCCGAGCGGTTACGGTGGGTACGCGCCGTCTCCTGCATTTCCGCCGGGCGGTTTCGGTTCATCTGCCTGCGACCGGACCGACCCTACGGAGCGGAGCTGGTCTCGACCTGGGAGGCGTTGGGGGCGGCGGCATGCCGCCCCCCGTAACCTTAGCCGCGCCGGCCGAGCTTTCGCAGGCCCTCCGAATCGCTGGGGCATCCATTGAACCCATTAGTTCCGTTCCGACGAGTTGTTGTCAAGGGCCGTCTGGGCGGGTCGGAGCTCTCGCTCCCCGCTTCAGGATTGCTCGGCCTGGTGTGCGAGGGCATCTCTCTCACCACTTGATTTCCGGCTCGTCATAAAAGAGGAGCCAGTGGCCAGTTTCCACACCCTGACGGGGGTCGTCCCAAAAAAGGGGGGGCGTGCGAGTCCCTGTGACTCAGCCCTTGCGTCCTAGTCCAGCCGGACGGGTGGGCCCGGGGGGAGCGGGAGGGGTACGGGGAGCCCTGCGACGTAACTAGCCTCAGCCTCAGCCTCAGCCGGACGGGTGGGCCCGGGGGGAGCGGGAGGGGTACGGGGAACCCTACGACGTAACTAGCCTCAGCCTCAGCCTCGGCCTGAGCTGCGAGAACTCCTACTTACCCGTCCGCGTCGACGATAAAGCAGACACCGTCGCCACCGCTCGAACAACAGTGCTCATCGTCGAGCACGATTCGGAGGAAGCCACCGACGAGTTGTCCGACGCCAACCTTCTACGACGTCGCCGCCGCGGCGCCACGACTTTAGATAGAGCCGTCGCCCGCCCGTGCACCGAACGGAGCCGCCAGTACTCGAGCGCCCAGAGCCAGCGCTCCGCGTCGTTGGGATTCGAGGGGTTCAAAAACCACAACCGCCCGTCGGGCAACTCGACAGACAAGGCGTGGTAGCCCTTATGTAGGCGGTGCGCGACGCGGCATTTGGTAGCGTTCAAGCTGACTCGAGCATGAGCGTCTCCTTTATGATAATAAAAACCAAGGATGCCGTGCGCCAACGTGCACCAGTAGACTTGCGTCCTGCCACCTGTTTCTTTCCCGCCACACGGAGCGCTCAGGATGTCGATGTGGGGCCCCTCGAGGAACCCACAAAAATTCGCGAACTGGTTCAGGCCTCGGATCGCCACTCGGACCTCGCCGCCGACGTAGTTCCTATAGCACTCTCTGGCCGTGAGTTTCATTTCTTGCACGGACTGGTTCTTCAGCGGGAAATGGAGCCGGTGGTTGAAGGGGATAACAGTGATAGCATCTCTGGAAGATCGGTCGCAGCACCGCGCTAGGTCAGCCGGTGTCAATTTGTAGCTACCTTGTCCAAGCAGCTGGGAAACCTCCATCTGGTGACTCCCTTTCCGTACTTTGAGATACAGCGTATACACTAGCGTGAAATCGAACGAGCAGCCTGGTACAGTGTTCTCGAGTTTGTCAAAATGAGCCACACTTCTATGATGGGGATCCTTGAGACGCGCGTGCGCCCGCGCTAACTCCAACCTCGCTTCGGCGATCTCGGCGCGGATCTCCTTCTCCGACTGGACGCCGAACTGGTGTCCTTTCTTGGCCGGTTTTTTATGTCTGTCATCATCTCTCAGTCTCAATTGCGATTCGGGAATGTCGTAGGCAAATAAAACGTTGCGCTGATCATCCAGCACGGAGCAGACCGCAAACAGGCCCGTGTTTTGCGGTAACGGAGGACCTTTTACGGTGACATCATAAAGTATCAACTGGATATTCCTAAGAGTAGCGACGCGCTCGTGCCAGAAGCGGCACCGGCATAAGGCCATCCGACACAAAGCCTGGACCTTGATGACGCCTCTTTTGTACGCTCGGAACTGTCTATGCGACAACCAACTTCTAGCACATCGCGCCAAGATGTCATTCGCCAGAGCGCACCGGTAGTCCTCCTGGGCCTTGATCAAGAGCCGTTCCCGCTGTCGCATCATCTCTTCCAGATGCCCACTACAGACGTGGCAACAGAGTCGCGCGCCGCCCTTCGGGTCGACCCAGTCGTAGCCCTTTGCCTGACAGCATCGGTCGTGGCAGACGACGGGGCAGTAGTAGCATTTTCGGATCCGCTCCGTCGGTCGCCCGTGCTCATCTACGGCAGCCATGACGCAAATTTCGCAGAACTGGTTCGTCTTCTTGCCCAGCCGCGGCGAGATCAAGTCGGGCACCGGGATTTCTGGTAGTTTGAGTGGTTGCTGTACAGCGCCTCGCCCAAAGATCGACAGGGCGCCCTGTCTCACTAAACCGCTCGCCTCGATGCCCGAACTATGGTTCAGTCTCGCCGCCAACCCGGCGCCGATCCACCGTCCCCTTGCTTTGTTGTGGCGCGCGTTTCTAGCGGCCACTCCATCTTCACCAAAGGTCCGGCACATCTCGTCGAAGGTCGCGCCGTAGCGGTGGTTCGACCTGCCGTTTGGTCTTTTGTCATCCTCGATGGACTGCTTCGACGGCTGTACGGGCGGGCCGCGGATCGTCTCCCGCAGCGCGAGGAGGTGGGGGTCGTCGCGCATGGTATTGGTGCTGGGCAGCCTCTTATGTTGCTGCTGGCTCTCACGGCTTCGGGCAGCCGGACCGTGGGAGTCTCGCGACGCGCGCAGAGGTTTGCTCGATCTGTATGCCCTGCGTTTTGCGCGCCGGCGCGAGAGAGCAATTGCGCCGCGCCGCTGTGAGAGCCCGCGAGCGCTGGGCTCTCAAATCCGCCCAGCCGTCACCCCAACGGTGCCAGGAGATGTGCGCCGTCTCCGGACGCATCCATCCGTCCCGGCTCGATCACTCCCCAAGAGCAAGCCGAGCACCTGCTGCAGGGCAGCAAAACCTAGGCCGCAGTGCAGCTATCTGTGCAACTCGGCGGCGTTTCATAGCGCAGATCACCACTGAACTCGTCTCGCTTCGAGACACGGGCAGAAAAGAGCCGCCCGCGCCGCGCTGCCTGCCAAAGAGCAGGCAATTTTTTCATTGCACGCCGTCGCAGCGCTCGCAGATGGCAGCTCAAACGGAAGCCCTAGCAAAAGTAGACACGCTCCTCAAGGAGCTCTGGCAGCTGCGCGACGCCTTCTTCGCTAGTGACGCAACAAAAAAGAACGAGGCCGTCGCCGCGAAGATCCAAGAAATAGTACAATTGATCCCGGACGGCGCGCCGAAGGCTCGAGCCGCCTATCTTAAGGGGAGGGCCCTCGACGCCGTCGAGAGCTATTCTGAGGAGGCCAACCAGCAGCTCGAAAAAGCAGTTAAGCTCGCACCGGATTTAGTCGAGGCCTGGGCGGCGCTGGGCCACTGCCTCTGGAAGAAGCCGGACCTGCACGAAGCGAAGAACTGCTACGAAAAGGCCGTGGAGAAGCGACAGACGGCGGAAGCTTTACGAGGTCTCTCCGTATTGTCGAGGACGCACGACACGCGAAAGTCGACCCCGGAGCAGGACGGCGCTTTTCACGATGCATCGGTGACGCACGCGCGGGCGGCGTGCAAGCTAGATTCAGAGGAAGGCGAGTCCTGGTACACGTTAGGTAATGCGCATCTGCGGAGATACTTCTCGCAAGGCCGGTCCGGAAGGAATAGCGTCGACCTGCTGATGGCGATGAAGGTCTTCGAGAAGGCCGAAACGTGTTATGCTAAAACAGCAAGACCGTCCACATCATTGGAGGGAAAATGGGGCAACCCCGACTTACGGTTATCAAGAGGCTTAGCCAGGAGGCACGTGGAAGATTACGCGGGCGCCATCGACGACTTTCGGGCGGCCCACGCCTTAGATCCGTCCCTGAACGCGGGCGACATGGCCGAGGATTTATCAAGGTGGGTGAAAAGGGTCGCGGACCTGTGGGAGCGGAACGCCGCTTTAAAACCCAAACAACGCCAAAAGCTCGAGGAGAAGCTCTACACCATGAAGGAGCCCGCCGGCTACAAGAACACGGAGCTCTCGAAGTTAACTCAGGTAAATGCCGGCGCGGACGCGAAGCACTTCGCGGCGAGCCCGAACGCCGGCAAGTGCCTGTCCCTCGTCGTGGCGCTGGAGTTACGAAGGGGGGGCTCGGTGCCCCCCGACGCCTTCCTGTGTTTCGCCTGGGACGGCGACAAGTGCTCCTGCGTCGCTTTATCTGTCTATGATGTGGACTGCAAACGCTTGGCGCCGGGCGCGGTCCTCACGGCGCTCGATCCGGTCATCGTGGACGTCGGGACGTCCGTGAAGTACAAGACGGTGCAGGTCCAGACGGCCTCGAAATTATTACACGACGGCAACCCGCTCCCGCGCGTGCTCAAGGGCTGGGCGTCGTCCGAGGGGCGGAAGTAAGGTTAGGGTATTTTCTCTTGCGTCGCGCCGACGGCGTAGGGCGGTGCTGGACCCCCACGCAATCGCCGCGACACCAATCCTCTATTCGGGAGACATATTTTAAGACAGTTCATTTACTCCTCTTCCTCCTCGTCGTCGTCGGACTCGTCCTTGGGCCGCCCGCCCTTCTGCCACTTCTTGGAATACTTTAAATTGCGGTAGAACTTCGCGTCCATGTGCTTGAGGGCTTTGTACCGGAAGTTGGGCACCCGCTTGATGCCGTTGGCGTGCTCCTTGACGGTTTTGTTCCGCGCGGTGTGGTTCTTTTGCTTCACCATCTTGGCGGCCTACGGAGGAATGGTGGTTTGGATGTGTATTTGTGTGCGTGGGGAAAGGTGGGAGGAGCTCTCGTCTTGGGGAGTTTCGGCGGACCGGCGGCAGCGGTCGAGCCGTTCTCGGCCAGCACCAAGCGTGGACGGCGCCAGCCGCGACAGCAGGCTCGGCGGCGCCGCGGCGGCGAGCAGAGGTCTACAGCGGTGCCCGCTAGGCCGTTTAGAGCCCGTTTTGCAGCGGCTCCGTGTAGAGGCCTGTGGTACTCGCTAGCCGCACCGTCACGCAAGCAGCTCTCGTCTGCGACTGATGCGATGCCAAATCTACCGCTGTGCAGCGTAGCTCTCTCGTGGGGTCACAACTCACCTAGCTAATTGCGCCTCGCCGCACTCGCTCGAGATGAAAGCAGCATAGATGGACGAGGGCCGAAATGGACCTGTAGCAGCGTCCGGAGCCGTGAGACCATCCCTCAGATGGATATAAGGACCGCTGCAGCCTGCTGGCCGGCTATCGCGTTTTCGTGACGGGTTTTTGACAGCTCGTGCGCAGACGTAGAGCTCGGCCCTCGGGCGTCCTCAGGAGGCGCGGACGTTCACATTCGACCAATAACTGAGGCCTGTGGGCGCGCCGACCGAAGCGAGCGCTCAAAAGTGTCAAACTCAAGGCCAAGGCCTGAATTCATTTGCAGCAAGCGCCGCGGCCAGGACGCCGCCGAAAAAAGATGTCCGCCGTCGCGCGGCCGACGGTCTTCGTCGTCCTCGCAAGTTTCCTCGTCCATCGAGCTACAGCAAACAACGACGACGACGACGACGAGTCCATGTCGAGATCGAGGCGCCGCCGCCGCCGGTCTACGAGGAGCCGCCGCCTCCGGTCTACGAGGAGCCGCCACCTCCATCGTACGACACAGCGTAGAAGTAAAGCCGTGGTCGCGTCGATGGCGTGGGGGCTGACGCGGTCGCGCACTCGAACTTAGATTTCCGCACAGATACGACGACCGCTGGCGCTACGGCGAGAGCTTCGACGCCTACGACCGGCGGCGACCCGAGCCCGCTCCGTTCCGCCCGCGGCGGACGCCGTCGCCTGCCGTCGTCGTCAAGGAGCCGCCGACGCCGGTGCCGGAGGACCCGCTCCCGACGAGCCCCTACGCGCGCGCCGCCGCGTCTACTGCGGCCGCGCGGCGCAAGCTCGCGGCGACGCCCCGGCGCGAGGACTACGACGAGCTCCACGCGGAGCGCGAGGCCTTCGAGCGCCACGTCCGCAGCCTGATGGCGAAGAAGGCGAGGAAGGACGCGGCTAGAGCCGCCGTCGCGCTCGCCGCGCACGAGCGGACCGTCGAGCGGGCGTCGCGGCGGAAAGCCGAGATCGACGCCCGGCGCGGGCTCGCGGCGCGGACGGCCGAGCGGCGCCAGCGGCGGAGCGCCTCGACGTCGCCGGCGCCGGACCTCGGGGCGCGGACGGCGGGACGGCGTCGTGCCGCCTCGATGTCGCCGGTGCGCCCGCGCGCGCGCGCGGCCCCGGACGATCTCGCCGCGCGGGCCGCGGAGCGGAGGCGTCGGGCTGGGCGTTGAGACGTTAGTCTAACTTTTGATCAGATACTTAGATTCTTAATAACAAGGCCCGAGGAGGTGCATGTGAGTCGCCGCCTCGTCGGGCCCCATACACCACAGCTGACCGCCGTTCAGACAAAGGCCGCCAAGCTCCTTGCCGTCCGGCGAAGGGATAACCTGCACGACGGTCGCATTTGAGCTTACATCATCGGGCAGGCGCAGGATCCAGATTCGGCCAGCGACGTCCTCAGTCGAGTCGCCTTGCTCAGAAACATAGAGCATTTTGCCACTGACCGCGACGCCCCATGGCATCCTGAACGCGAGGTCACCTCCGAGTCGGATGAGGCCTGCCGCGGATCCGCGACGCCAATTATATATGTGGATGGCGTCGGTCGCAAAGCCAGCGATGTAAAGCATGTCATCCTGAACCGCAAATAACGCATTTTCGTGTCTCGATAGGGACGTGAGAAATTGGTACAAAAGCGCTCCCGTTCTGTCGTCCACCACGTGAACTCTTGAAAATCGCTCGGGTTCATTTTCAGCCAAAGTTTCGGTTAGAATAAGGAGCCTATCACCAGCAAGGCCGATGTCGCAGACCCTACAATCTACCACATTTTCATGATCGGGATAGAAACGCTCTGGATCGATCTCCATGATTTCGGATGAGTACGTGGGGTCATCCAGTCGCGCGCAAACAATTAAGCATGAGCTATGTAGGAGAATCCACGCCGTGCCATCTCCGCGGAGGGCCACTGCAGTTGGACGAGGGGTGCCCACAAGTAGATCTGATATATGATCTCCGCTCGCCGAATACGTCTTCAGACACCTGTCTGTGTCACCAAATCCATAGTTTGGGACGAGCGCGCCGTCACCATACGCGATCACCTGTTCGCTGAATACCAAATCTCCGACAGGCGAGCGATGCACCCTGAACAAGCCTCTGCACCGCCGTCGCCACAAATCGCGGTACATTTTGCACGCCGGGTCCACGGCCCGACCCGCCTCCGGCGCGAGAAACGACAGCACTGTACTGACCACATCGTCTGACAGCAACGCGCGATGGGTTCGCGTCCGCGGCACCGCTTGCTCCGAGTTCATGAGTGCTGGTCTAGACACTTGCGCGGCCGAAGCGATGGAAATAAGTTGCGGAAAGGTTCAAGGTGAATCGTTGTCCAGCGTGCGAGCTGTTTGCGCCCGCCTGCGGGCGTGTAGCGGCGCGCGCGTATGCCGGGCTGCTTGCTAGTGTCTTACTTGCGCTAGCTGCGCTCCACAGCGTTTTTGGTCGTAGCTCGAACCACGCGGCGCGAGGCAGGCTGCGAGCTGGCACAGGTTCATTAATTCCACTAATGCGGCCACCCATCCCACGCTCACGAGCAATTACCTACGCGGGAGCCGCAGCCGCCTCGGCAGGAGCCGCATGGCTGGCGTACCGGCACCGCCAAAAGCAGGACGCACTGATGACCTGCCGCCTGGAAAGCGTGACGGATTTATCACGAGATACGGCCAGGTACCGCTTCGCGACGCCGCGACCGCTCAACTCGACGCCGATGGCGCACGTGCTCGCGGTCGACGAAGGCAATATCCTGCGGCCCTACACGCCCGTCGCCGAGAGCGACACGGGTTTTGAGATTGTGGTAAGACGATATGCTGGAGGCTACTTCAGTGACAAGTTCGAGAACCTAAAAGTGGGCGAGGCGCTGACTTTCAAAGGCCCCGAGCCGACGCTGCCGTACGCCCCGAACGCCTTCGACTGCGTCGCGTTCGTCTGCGGCGGCACGGGCGCGGCGCCGGCGGTCCAGCTGCTGCGGGCCGCGCTCGCTGATAAAGAAGATACGACGCGCTTCCGCGTGCTCTACTTAGCACGGACAAAACGCGACCAGACGCTGAAGCGCGACCTCGACGCGCTCAAATGTGATAGACTAGATCTATTCTGCGCCTGCGACGACGTCGACGGGCTGGTGGACGCGACGATGCTCCGGCGGTGCCTCCCGGCGCCGTCAGATACGAAAAGCGCGGTCCTCGTGAGCGGGCCGCCCGGGCTCGTGCGGCGCCTCTGCGGCACGATTGATAAGCGAGAGCCCCTCGGCGGCCTCCTCGCGGAGATGGGCTACGGCGCCCAGGTCGCGCGGCTCGACTAATGTCTGTTACTTGTGCCCCCTTCGTTCCGCCTTCCGGCGCATCGCCTCGGCCCAGGCCCCGAAGTCGTCGCATTGTCGTAATAATGTAACGACTTCCGCCGTGGACGCCCGCGCCCAGGACCAGCCCGGCGAGTCGTCGACCTTCCTTAATTGGTCGACGAACTCCTCGGCGCCGAAGTTCTTCTCCTTGAGCACGGAGTCCAGCCGGTCCTCGACGAGTTTCCGGAACTCGCCGTGCAGCGCCGACTGGCTCAGCGAGTGCTCGTCGCTGTCCCAGTCCTCTCCCTCAATTGCTCTCCGCTCGAGCGCGTTGATCGCATCCCTAAACGACTGCCCGCCCTTCGACTCGTCGGCGTCGGCGTCGGCGTCGTAGCCGTCGCCGTCGTCCAGTAAATCCTCCAGCTCGCCGACGACGTCGACGACGACGTCGACCCATTCCTCGGCGGTCGCCGTCTCGCGCTCGAAGCGGGCCTCCATCTCCTTCTCGTCCTCGTTGTCGCTCGGCATGGTGGCAGCTCGCGCTCAGAGAGAAGGGAGATGGGAGTACGGACTCAGGACGAGCCCGGGGCAGCCTTACGAGGCTCAGAACGGCGCGCAGACGGCCGTGCTCTGCCGCCGCTGCGAGAGCCCGTTCGGGTCTTTCACAGCGCGCCCCATCGCAAAAGCGCTGCGTGCCGGCCGTTCCGTGCTCGAAGCGGCGGCACAGTGCATGCTGAGGCTGCCCGCATGGCGGCGCGCGCGCGCGACGAATGCACGGTCAACGATGAAGACGCATGCGCCACCATTAGGCTGCGGCTCGTCGGCGTCACGCGAAGCGAGGTGCAGGTGGCCTGCGCGCCGCGGTGCGTCGAAGTGCGCGTCGGCGGCGCCAAGCCGCGGGTCTTCGTGATTGATCTGCCGGGCGACGTTGCGGACAACCCGGTGTGCGCGTTCCGTGACGGCGACGACAGCGCAATAGCGCTCCGCATCACGGTCGCGAAGGTGCAATCGGGCTCGTGGACGGAAAGCATCCGCGTGCGGCGGCGGCGCGTCCGGGAGTCCCCCGCGGCGCGGGCCGGCGAGGTGAGCGAGCCGGCGCCGCGCCGGCCCGTCGAAGACGCTTCTCCGAGCGACGCCGAACTCATCCGGCGGCTCGTGGACCTGCTCAGCGGCCCCGTTCCACCGCCGCCGCCGCGCCGCACCGGACTGCTCGGGCGCCTGCGAAGCGCGGTACGGCGCGTGGTCGATGCCGCTTGCAGCGTATTTGCGCGTTTCGGCCGCGCGTGGACGCGGATCGGCTGGCGACCCGCAGCGGCTGCCCCGAGGACCCGCGCCATTTCGCGACCGCCGGCGCTGCTCCTGGCGCTGCCCGAGGACCTCCTCGTGGTGGCGCTCGCGCGATGCCCCCTGCGCGACCACGCGGCCCTCGCGCGGACGTGCCACGACTTTCGCCGCATCGTCGTCGCGCCTACCTTTGCGCGGACGCGCCGGCGCCTCGGCGTCGCCGAGGTGGTCGTGGCGATTTCCGGCGGGCGCGACCGACCCCTGCGTTGGTCGCGCACCAGCGCTGATACGTCCGCGGGGGCACTGTACTACACGAACGGCTCTCGGCGCGCTCTTGCCGACCTGCCGGCGCGGCGGTATGGAGCGATCGCTGGTTTCATCGGCGCGGAGCTGGTCGTCGTCGGCGGTTTCCTCGAGGACAACAGAAGCACAAACTCGTGCGTCTCGCGGAACCTGCGCCTGGACGCGCCCACGACAGAGTGGCGACGGTTCCCGGCGACGGCGTCGCCGCGCGGCAACTGCGCCGGCGGTGTGGTCCATGCGCCGGGCCCGCGCCTCGTGGTGGCCGGCGGGGTCGGCCAGGCGAAGCAGTTGCGGCAGGGAAGCCTCACAGCGCCGCATAATGTCGTCGAAGCCTTCGACCCGGCGACTCGGCGGTGGTCGCGCCGAACCCCCATGCCGGTACCCGTCTGCGCCGCCGCGTCCGCGGCCGACGGCCACCGCTTGTTTGTTGTTGGCGGTCAGATGGAGGAGCGGTTCACGGCATGCGGAATACTCCAGATCTACGACGCGCGCGCGGACACGTGGAGTCTTGGCGCGCCGCTGCCGGTGCCGACCTGGGGCGCGAGTGCCACCGTCATCAACGGTCGATTGGTCGTGGCGGGCGGCTGGCTCGCCGACGGCGCGCGCACACAGGCGAGTCGTTTATGTTGGATCTACAACCCCAGTGTCGACGCTTGGAGCCAAATGCCACCACTGAGTGATCCGGCGGCGATGTACACCCCCCTGCCCACGGCGATTGCCCCCGACACGCCCTACAATCGGCTCGTGCGGGCCGAGCTCGACCGCGCGGCGGCGGACGTGGCGGCCAACGAGCCCCGGCCCGCGCCCGCGCCCGGGTTGTTTCACGTCACGACGCTGCCGTGGCTTTTGGACGAAGGGGGTCGGCACCCCGAGCGAATTTTCGAGAAATCGGATTTCCGGCTCGCCGCGGCCGCGGCCGTCTCGGAGCTTTAGTTAATTATGTTTCAAGTTTTACCCTTCGGCCGCCGCCAGCCCGAGAGCCAATGACTACGCCGCCCCGAGCTCGCGGGCGCGTCGTCCTCGGAGTCGTCCTCCGTCGTCCTCCGGCGAGGGATGTCGGGCTCGATGTACGCCTTCGGGTACAAGCCCTCGCCGGACGCGTTCCGCACCTCGTGGTAGCCCTTCTCCGGCCCGCAGTCGGCCTCGAGCACTTGGACCTTTTGTCCCGCGACGACGTCGGTCAGCGCGAGCGGCCCGTCGAAGGCGGCCACCGTGTCGACGCGGCGCACGATCGTCGCCGAGAACTGGGGCTTGCGATCGGAGAACTTCGGCTTATTCTCTTGTTGCTGTCGCAACTTCTTCTCGTCCTGACCTAGCTGCGTCAGCGCCATGCGCACCTCGCCGAGGGCCGCGGCCTTCTGGTCGCGCCGGTGCTCGTCCCAGGCCATCGCTGCGGACGTGGCGACGCCGAGGGCGCCAGCACCAATCAAAAAGTTGCCGTTGCGCCAGTTCGTGACGAGCGTGCGGCGGAGCGTTGGTGCCAGCCAGAGGACCATGCTTCGACGACTGCAGTGGTTTGGCTTTGCCACAGTGGCAAGGCTGCACGCTGCTGTGCGAGCTGTAATCAGTCGCGATGCCGCGTTCCTGAGATAGAGAAGGATCTATGCGATCTGTCGCAGGCGTTAGACGCCTCACGGATGCAGTTCGGAGCGCGCACGAGCGCTGAAAGAGCCACCTCGGCAGCCACACGCTGCTTGCTAGTGCCTCACAGGCCGCTAGTAAAATGAATGGTCCACGCGCCACCCACGCCTCAAACGAAGCATCCACGAGCGAGGAACCCCGTCGGGCGGCGCCGGAGCGAAGCGAGCGCAGGCCAAACGCGGTGCCCCAGCGCGCATTGGGCAGCCACAAAACAGCCATGGCTCGCCCGCATAGATGATGAAGAGTCATTGAAACAACTACTATGAAGCAGTCGGGGCGCGACGCGCGGCCGACGAGTCCGCCGCGGCGGCTCCCCTCCATTTATGGCACCTTGCGGAGAGTAGCGCGGCTCCACCGCGGCTGGGCGCCGCCGGTACCCGAGACGAAGAAGCCGCCTCCCAAGTTGACAAAGAAGCCGCCGCCGTTGACGCTCGAACGGTTGGCGCCGCCGACGCCGCCCGCGCGGGACGCCTTGCGGGAGCTCCACGAGGAGCTGCAGGCTGATCTAGAACCGCACAAACGACGCGTACGCTTGCAAGGCGTTGCTGCCTTGCCAGGACATTATCTGTTAAGGACGGGCATCAAGGTTTATAGGAGGTCGAAGCTAGCTCCGGCGCTACAAAGGCTATGCTATAGAATACCTTCCCTGAAGGCCGCGGCCATTGAAACCTGCTACCTGAACGCGCGTCGACGGTGGGTCGACGTACGCATCGTGGAGGTCATCATACGACAGCGGCGGCTCGAAGCCTACGAAGCTGCGCGGAACGCGGCCCAGCAATATTTTAGGAGGTGCTGGAACACGTTTCGATTACGACGACGACTACTCGCGAGGAGCCGCATCCCCGGCATCGTGAGAGAGGTGGCAGCTCAAGCGGAGAAAGGATTGGTGCTCCAGAAGATCTGGCGGCGCGTGTGTGGACGAGCCAAGGCCAACAAGCTAGCAAGAAAGATCCTAGCTGAGGAATTGATGCGGTATCATATAGGAGCGAGTGAAAACGCGCGCATCCAGCGGTACTTCCAGGAGGACGACGACTACTATGAAACGAGGAACGAGCCGTGGGAAGACCCTAACAGTTTCGTCACGTTCGTCCACTTGGCGGGTGTGGGCGTCGTCCACACGGACTTTGTACTCACGACGGGCGCGCGAGCGCTCTTTGCGGCCGCGCAACGAAACGCGGACGTCGCGTTCTACCGAGACCTCCCGGACTGGCGGAAGTGCCTCCGAGGTGCTAGAATAGTCGAGTCCTACCGCCACATGCGCGACGCCTGTTACGCGGCGGACAAGGCGGTCAAGGCCAACAACCAGCGGGAGATGGTCGCGATGAGTATCGAAGAAAAACGTACGGTGCAAGCGGACGCGCTAGCGCTGGACATGGACGCTTGTGCGGCAGAACGAGTAGCCCAAGAAGCTGTTCGTATTTTGAGAGAGAATGACATGAATGCGTGGCACGCGTGGCTCGAGGAGCAGAAAAAACGGGACCACGAGGCCTTTCGGGGCGAGAGCGAGAAGGAGGCCTGGCTCAAGCACCGCACTGGGGAATCATCGCCCTTGAGACAAGCAACTTTAACGAATTACGAGATGTACCACGACGAGGAAATGGAGGAGAAACGCCTGTTGGGCCAATTACCCGAGCAGATGGAGTGCCAATGTATGTACCTCGAGGAGCAGCGGTTGCGAGCGATAGCTTTCACTCTGGTAAGAAGGGAGCGCAAGCGGGAGGCTGTTCAGTTGGAGGCGATGCGGCGCGAGGAAGTTATTCAAAGGGACTACGAGGCGCGACTCGTCGTGCTGGAGCAGCGACGTCAAGCTACTCGACGAGAAGTTGTCAAACAGAGCGACAACCTGTTCAAGCGGGCTCGCGTGGCTATTGCGCGAGGTGGCTTGGCGGCGCAGCGGTGGTTCCGCGCCTTTACGTTGTGGGAGGAGAACGTCGCCCTGGCGGAAAGGAGGGCCATGGAAACTGAAGACCTTGAGAAGCTTGTACTGAGGTCCTACGAGCACTGGTGCTGCGCCTTTGATGAAGCCCAAACGGCGGACAACATCTGTGCGCGGAAGCACGCTCTACACGCTATAAGTGAATATGTCTGGCAGGATGCCGTCGACGCGGCGAAGGCTGCCCAAGACACGATTCCAGGACTCCAGGACATAGCTCAAAAGTCGATAAAACCCATCAAAACGGCCAAGTTGGATTTGAGAGCCGCGGAGAGCGACCTCGCCGAGGCCCAGATCGATAGGGATAAAAAACTGAAGAAGAAGGGCAAGCCCTTGAAACTCGCCGAGAAGAAGTTAATTGAGGTCCAAGCGACGCGAGACGCCGTCGCTCAAAGGCTGGAGGACTGCAAGTGGGAGAAAGTGCGCTCCGAGTTCACGGTCGAGGCGGCGGAGGCGGCAGCCTTAGCTTTAGAGAACGCCGTCCCCTTCCGGAGGGCCGAGGCGAACGTTTGTAAAGTGGAGGCCGTGAAGGCTCTAAGGGTGTTGGGTATGGCCAAATTATCTGAAAGAACGGGCGAGGCCGACTACGTGTATCGGAGGTGTGTTTATGTGGAGCAACGTTCCGAGCTACCGACGGCGTTCGGACTGCTGCTGTTCCGGAAAAGACAGAGTATCAGAGTGAGACAACACGTCGAGAGCGAGGCGCGCTTCGCCGCGGAGCAGCAGAACGAGGCTCGCGACTATTATGAAAAGTACGTCGCAGAACCACCACCACCACCACCGCCTCCTCTCGTGCCTCCTTTGAAGATCGGCGCCATCATCCGCGCCCACTACTTCCAGTTCCGGGCCGAGGCGCGCATCGCCCAGCAGGCCTGGGACGCGAGAGCGTCTAGACTAAAACTGAGGCGGTGCCGGCTGCGACGGGATGAAGCCGCAAAGCGGTTCTTTAGTGCAAGGGCAAACGAGTGGCGCGCGAAGAGTCAGATGTGTTTGTGGAGAGCGAAGCAGCGCATCGCGAAGCCCAAGACGCGGTTGGAACGCCAGAAGTACGCTTCTCAAATTACCTTCTACCACGAGCGCAGCGAGGAATGCGAAGACGAGCACGCGCGAGCATCCGATTCTCTGAGAGACGCGCTGGACGAGGAAATCATCGCGTTGCTCGATGCCTTCAAGGCGCATCCTACCACGCCGAAACTAGCGCCTTCACTAAAATCGGCGGCGAAGCTACTCCGGTCCAAATTAACAACGGTGGTCGAAGCCCCCGCGCCGCCGTTCCCCTGGTTCGACTTCTCTTCATTATGCGCGCCGGCGCCGTCGGTGGGCGCGCCCTGGGGCTGGTGGTGGGGCTCCCTGTGCGCCCCGGCGCCGGCGCCCTACGGGTCGCTCTGCGCGCCGGCGCCGGCGCCCTACGGCTGGTGCGCGCCCGCACCGGCACCTGCACTATTGACCATCGAGGCCGAGGTGCCGTCGCAGCCGCCGTCGCCGAAACTCAAAAACTGTAGCAATGCCCCGGTCTTCGACGCCGCGCCGGCCCCGGCGCCCGAGGGTGAACCTCCAGAACTCCTCGTGATGGGGTGTGAGCTGGGTGCGGGCATCGCCAAAAAGGTCATTCATATTGGTGAGACAAGGGCCTACGTCCTCGAGCGGTTCCAAGGCACTAAATTCGTCGTGCCGGCGGAGACGTGCGAGCGCCTGCCGACCGGCGGCGAAGTTGTCACCGAAGTCTTGGAGAGGATGCGCTTCTGGTTTTTGGACGAGAAGGAACGCCAATACCAAGAACGGTGCCTCATGGTGACCCAGGAGGCTTTTGAGAAAGAAAGGTTATTCTGGGAGGCGGAACACGCGAGGGTAGGCGAATACACGAGACGGGAGCGGCGATTACTGTTAGAGGCCTTTTCGCGCAACCGAAGGAAAGCAGCAGCACCGCCGCCGAAACCGAAGCAGTGGAAGTTCATCCCAAGGGCGCCTCCTAGTTTCAATACTCCAAGAACGCCATCCAAGACGGATGATTGCGAGTGGCTCCATGAGAAGCTGCGGAGATTAAGGCATTTGGAAAAGGCCTGGCGCGAGCGCAACGATTCACATTTAAGAGCGGTGTGTCGCCGGCATTCTATCGAGTACGATACGGGCCGGCTGCCGTACGCCGATGAGTCGAGTGAGCTCCTGGAATTACTATCAAAGGTAGGGTGCTACGTCGACCTGGCCATTGTGGCCGTGCTACCGCGCAAATACCTGAAGGTCGAGTCCTTCCTGAAGAAGGTTTTAACAAGATTGCTACTCGGTTTCCAGCTCCGCAAACAAGGAGATGCGTTTCAACAATGGTTAGAGAAGGACTGGGAGCTCTTCTATTCCATTGACGAGGCGCCCGCGCCGGCACCGTCACCAGCGCCGGCGCCGGCGCCCTACGGCTTTTGTACTCCGGCGCCGGCGCCGGCGCCGGCGCCGGCGGATGCCCTCACGACAGTACGGGTCTCCACTCAAATAACGTTGGATGGCGTCGTCGCCGCCTTCAATTATGATGGAGGACAGCAGGCGGCCTTCGCGCTGGCGGTCCTAGATGGTGCCATTCACTTCGATGATATCATAGATATCGTTGTAAGGCGGGAGGCCGGCTGGCCGCCTGCTAGACCCGTGCCGGGCGTCGTCTCCTTTACGGGACTCGCTCATATATACGACGTCGAGGACCCCGCGGAGATCGCGGCGGAAGCTTTAAATAGATCCACGGAATCACTGGAGGAGGCGCTCACCGACGGGAGCTTCCTGACGTCATTGCAAGGGCACCCCGCGTTCGCTGATATAAGAGTGGACCTGGACGCGACGCTACCGTTGGAGGCCACGGTCGCTTACGACGTCTACATACCACCGGCGCCGGCGCCCGCGCCCGCGCCGGCGCCCGCGCCAGCACCGGCGCCCGCGCCATCACCAGCACCAGCACCCGGCGAAGCGCCGGCCCCCGCCTTCGTCACGTCGTTGGAGGCCGAGGCCCTCGTGTTTCCGCCGGGCGAACGGCCGCCGACGCTCAAGGAGCTCTTCGGTGCGAAGCTCCCGGGCACCTACGAGGCCTTTTGCGCCGGCGAGATTGGGGGAGAGGAGCTCTGGGAGCGCTACTTTGTGGAAGCATCAACACTGGCGGAGACGATGGCGTCAGAGGCTTGCAAGGAAGTGAGTGGAAGGAAGGGTTGCGTCACGAAGGCCGGCGAGGCCGCGGGAAGGGCGCGAGAAAAACTGGACGCCTGGTTTGAGGTCGACGACGAGGTCGAGGTCACGCAAGGCGAGCAAGTCGGGGAATTCGGCGTCGTCCAACTCGTAGACCAGTACGGCTGGGTCACCGCGCGTTTAGATGCCAAGCCCTACCCCATCAAGGTCAAGTACACCGACTTAAAATGGGTGCCCCCGAAGCCGCCTTTGCCACCCGGATGGAGCGAGCTCATCGATTCCGACTCTGGTTCTAAGTACTACCAGCACGAGAACGGAGACTCGGCGTGGGAGCGGCCCTTTTTGTATAGTATTGGTGACAAGGTCGACGTCTTATATCAGCACGGAGCCGTGTACTACGCGGGGACCATCTCTCAAATCTCGCACCGGGGTTTATATGACATTGCTTATGATAATTTGCAAGACAGAGTCTTCCGCAACGACACGGAGGACTGGGTCGACGACGACCGGGCGCGGGCTGTCGCGGCGACCGAGCGCATGCGCACGGCGCTCGAAAGTGCGCGGGCGCGTCGCGAGGTTTTGAAGGATGAGTGCCTTGCAATGAAGGCGGCGGCGGACGCGTTTGCATTGTTAAATCCGGAGGAGCCCGAGCCTCAGGTCCTGGAGGCGGAGGCGGTCGAGGCGGATGCCGTGGTTGCCGCGGCGGTCGCCGCCGACGCCATGGCCGCACTAACGCCTCTTTCGCCGAAGGAGCACTACGAAACTATAACCGCGTTACACGAGGCGGCCCAGCTTGAAGTGGAAACGCTCTGCGATCGCCTGGCGGCGGCCGAGAACGACCTTGTAGTAACACCGGGAGCAAAACCCCACACAGTGACCATCGACGGCGCGTCATTTGTCCTCGCGGCCGGGCCCGAAGCCGACGAATCTGAGGAAGGCGTCCAGGAGTTTATGATGAGACGGCACGAGGTGCCTCCGAAAAAGCTGAAGCTCGGGCTCTTCGGTTCCACTAGACTCGGCAAGTGGCGTGCCAAGGCCGTCGAGGCCGCGGCGCCCGAGTCTATTGAAGAGGCGCCGGCGCCGGCGCCCTCTCCAGCACCGGCGCCGCCGCCGCCGCTCCCTTCAATCTCGATACCGGAACCCAATGCATGGGTCCACGACAGCGGCGCGGAACGCGCGGCGCTCGCGGCGGCCCACGCCGCAAACCCGCTGGACATGGCCGCCGCCCGGGCGTACAGGGAGTACGTCGAGCCCGCGCCGTGGCGTTGTTGTGTAGAGGGCGACTGGGTCGCGTGCGAGCTGTGCGTCGGTCTCGTCAAAAAGGTCGTGCACCTTCCGCCGCCCGGCTTCTCCTCTCCTGAATCTCCGGCGGAGTCCACGGCGGAGCATGCGGCGGAGCCCGCGCCGGCGCCCGCGTCGGAGCCTACGGCCGAGCACACGGCGGAGCCCACGGCGGAGCCGACGACCGAGCCGCCCGCGCCGGCGCCCGCGCCCCCCGTATCAACCTGGGAGGCGCACGTCGACGACGAAGGTCGAACCTACTATTTTAATGGAGAGGACTCGACGTACGGCCGCATGACTTATATACTAGAAAGCAAGTGCCGCACGCACGCGCCGGACTGGCTCGGGCGGCGACCTCCATTATATTACGTCGTGCCCGCGCAGACCTGCGAGAAATTAGGAGAGTGGGAGTTCCGCGAGGCGGTGGATCATGCATCAATTGATTCGGACATGGTTGCATTGCAGAAGGATAGGCAAGCGTGTTTTGACGACGTGTTCCTGGCCGACGACAGGAAGGAAGCTCAGTTAGAAGCACTGGACGCGAAGATCGACGCGTTAGTCCAGAGGAAGCAAATAACATGGGCCGCGATGCATGAGACGATGTCCCAGACCCTGCACGTGGCCCGCCACAAGTTTCAGTACGAGGGCGGCCCGCCGCGGTGCGTCGCGGGCAACTTCGAGGTCAACTTCCTGCGGATGGACCGGCGCAACGTCTTCACGCAAGCCATGGACGCCGTGCGCTACGTGGGCGACGCGCCGCCCCGGGCCGTCGTCGAGGCGCCGCCGCCGCCGCCGCCTTCCGAATTTTTGACGCGGACGCTGGAAGTGCTCTCGTGGCGGTCGTTGTCGCATTTACCACTCTTGGCTTCCAGCAACGAACTGCCCCTGGCGAGCTGCGTCAAGCCCGCCCTCGGGTTGGACGAGTGCTACGTCGAGCCGCACTGGACTTTGGCTGATCGGAAGGAGCACCTGGCGCTTTTACTAGAGTTCCTGGCGGACCGCGAGCCGAGCGCCGTGTTCTACCGCGCGCCGGCGCCGGCGCCCGGCCCGTCGCCGGCGCCCGCGCCGGCACCTTCTACAACATTGTTCGAGGCCGAGGCGCCGCCCTTCTACCGGGGCCTCCGGCCGAAGACGCCCGAGGCCTTCGCGCCTCCCTACCAGCGCGGCTCGGGCCGGAAGCGGCTGCGATTTCGAGAGGCGGGCTGGGACCCGCACGCGCCGGCGCCGGCGGGCTGGACCTATGCTACACATGCGCCGTGCCCGGCGCCGGCGGGCGGCTGGGAGGCCGATTCTTCGGAAGACGCGGCACGGTTCGCGGCCGCCTACGACCGGCCCCTCGCGTCCGTCGACGTTCTCGATGATGTCGATCTCAGTTCGTACGTCGCGGCGTGTCTCTGCTTCCTTCCCGCCAACCACGGCCTGCCGAAGAACTTTGTCGAGGCGTCTTCCGCGGACGTAACGCTAGCGTTGGAGGGACCCGATATTATAAGAACCAAGCTGATATCTGGACAAGAAGGCGCGTACGAGGTCAAGGGCTGGCGCGGCGCCAGAAAGACGCAGCTCAACGCGACGCAAGCGCAAAGTCTGGTAGACGTCTCCCACCGGGTGGCTGCCTGTTACTACTTCCGCAAGCGAACGATGGACACGTCTTCATGGAATGCGGCGGCGCCGGCGCCGGCGGGCTTTACGTGGAAGTGGAACGCGCCCGCACCTGCCGGGACCTGGTCCTTCGTGGAGCCGCCGTCCCTACCCATGGTCCTCGAAGAGTCGGCGACGGAGCTCGACGCGCTCTTCGGCATGCTGCAGTACAACGTCGCGAAGCGGGAGCTGACCACGTATGTGTCGTTGGAGTCGACGAAACTCAGACGGGTCGCGAAGGACGTGCCGGGGGATATTGTGGAAGCGGAGGTCGTGGACGTGCGAAGTCCAAACATCCGGCCGCGCCTCTACAAGCAACGGTCGAACGTGGATCCCTCCATAAGCCACGAGCCGCCGTCGAGCGGCACGCGCGACCCGACCTGGGGCTTCGACGGGCACACGCTGTACGTGGTCCACGGCCTGCACGCCGAGTTTCGCGTGACCTACCTCCCGGACGGCGCCCCTTGCGCCTCCGAGATCCTCGAGGACGAGGTGCCCGTCAAATGGGGCGTGCTGGCTACGAACGACCTGGCCGACGACGAGGCCGCCGCGGAGGGGTTGGGGTCCGGGGTCTGGTTATAACTTGTGCTCGTGTGACGATTGGTTACTTGGTACGATGGGGAGGGGCGATGCGGGGGACGGTGCTCAGAACGCGACTCTGAGGCAGACGAGGAGCGGGCCTTGGCGTTTATCGAATTTGCGCGGCTAGACGCTCTGGACGGCCGTGACCGTAAACTTGCGTGGGGCGCTCGGCTGGACGGCCGTGACCTTAAACGTGTGTGGGGCTCTCGGTTCCACGGCAGTGACCGTAAACTTGCGTGGGGCTCTCGGTTCTACGGCCGTGACCGTAGACGTGCGTGGGGCTCTCGACTTCTTCGCCGCGAGCTGCTGCTGGTGCAGCGCGAAGAGCAGCAGCCCAGCGACCAACGACAGCCCGAGCAGGCCAGCGAGGACGACGAGGGTCATCATCTTGTCGTCGTCCGCGACGTCGTCTTCGTTGGACTTCTGGGACGAGGAGCTAGACGACGACGACGACGACGACGACGTCGATTCCGAGATCGGTCTGGGTGTCGGCCTGGGTGTCGGCTTGGGCGTCGGGCAGTTGCCTTGGGTGACGCCGCACCACGTCGAGTAGCACTGGGTGCTCTGGAACGCCCAACCGTCCAGGCTCACTTGCCAGGTTCGATCATATTGAACGTATGAATCCACGCACCAGCCGAGGTCCTGGTCGAAGGCCGAGGCGTAGCGGAACATGTAGTCCATGTCTGCGACGCTGTGGACAGCCCAATCACCGATGTCCTGGTTAAAGGCCGAGGCGTAGTAGAACATGGAGTCCATCGACGTGACGCCGGAGGTGTCCCACGCGCCAATGTCCTGGTTAAAGACATAGCAGTTGTAGAACATGGACGTCATGCTCTTGACGCCGGAAGTGTCCCAATCACCGATGTCCTGGTTAAAGGCCTTTCCGAACCAGAACATGTACTCCATCGTTGTGACCCCAGAGGTGTCCCAAGCACCGATGTCGTCGTTGAACGTTTGTTCGTAGGAAAACAACTCCTTCATGTCCGTCACCCCCGATACGTCCCAAGTCGAAATGTGGCCGTACGTCGACTCGGCGGCCGTCGCGTCCGAGAGCCACGCATCGACGGCCGTTCTAATCGTGCTGTCGTCCATGACGTAGCCCGAGAGCACGCGCCGCTGCTCAAGGCTTCGGACTGACGAGCTCGGAGACTCATTGGTCGTGATCTTGGAGCTCTTGGTAACGGCGTAGTCGCTGCCGGCGTCCGCGGCGAGGCATGAGATCAAGAGCAGGTGCCCAAAAAGGCGCATCTTAACGCTGCCGATGCGCGACCTCGCAGTTATAGAGGCTGCCCGCCCTTCCTTTGCCGCGCCGCGCGGCCGCGGGGCGTTGCATGCGCAATTGAGAAAACACGGGTTTTCTTCACTTCACAAATTACTCATTCTCGACCTGCGTCGCCCCGTACAGGTCCGCGGCCACGTCCTGCGAGAACTCGTCCTCGTACGGCTCCTCGGCCTCGTCGTAGCTATCGAGGACGAGGTAGCGCTCGCCCCGGATGTCCTGGGCCCGGAGCGCCGCGACGCCGGCCGCGCTCGGTTCGAGATTGGCCCAGGGCGGCACGAGCACGTCGACCTCGGCCGTGTCGTCGACGAGCCGCGCCGCGAGCACGCGCCCGTCGGCGTCGTCGCGCCGCACCGCCGGGACGGCGCAGCGACAGGCAAAGGGCCCGGCGTCGCGGCGCTGCGACGCGTCGATCAAACAGCAGGGGCCCGCCGCCTCCTCCTCGTCGTCCTCGACCGCGCGGGGCGTCGCGCCGCGCAGCCGCGCCGCATACCTCGTCAACCCGTCGGACGCGGGCGTCGGCTTCTTCGCGCCGCAGTAGTCGACGGCGACGGCGACGTTCCGCAGCGGCTGCTCCAAACCCGGCCGCGCGGGCCACGCGAAGCACGCGAAGCCCGACCAGCCGACGCCTCTCAATCTCAAATGCGTGGCCTTGTCGCCGTCCAGGGGCGGCTCGAAGACGACGCGGCGGCACCGCAGCGCGTCGCCCACCTGACACGCCGGGAGCCTTTCGGGCTTCTCGTGGAAGGCCGTGAGCGTCGCTGTATAAACACCGTCCGCGTCGCACAATTCCAGGGTCACGAAGTTCGACGTGCGGCCCCGCTGCAGCGGTTTCGTCGCGTAGACGGCCCCCAAGACGTTCACCTCCATGCCGGTACCGCAGTGCGCCCGGCAGCCTTTTAACGTTAAGTGGTCCTTGTCCACGCGATCGGAAGAAGGGTAGGTGACGTAGGCCGGGATGGCCTCGCGCTTCTTCTTTTTCGCGGGCGGCTGGTCGACGTCGTCCCACTTGTCGTTTCGGTGCACGCAGCAGCGCCAGGCCCGCAGCGCGTCCGGCGTCTGCGACGCCATCAATAAATCGCGCGGCGCCAGCGCGACGGAGCCCGCCCGCCTCCTTTCATGTAGGGGGTCGGCCGCCATGCGCGGGTGCTCGCCTGCCGGCCGGAGCCACGCCGGCGACGCCTCGAGCCACAGCCGCGCGCCTCGTTCAATATCGAGGCGCGCCGCGGCGTCGGCCAGCTCATCATAAAAAAAGACGTCGGCTTTTCTTTCGTTTACGGCGTCGACGAGGACCTCGACGTTGAGCACGCGTCTGGCGTGGCTCGCGAGCGGGCCGTTGTCCTCTTCCTCGGTGTTGGTGGCTCTAATTGGGTAGACGAGCGTGACCTCGCCCTCGACGAGGGCCGTTGCGGGCTGCTCGGCCATCTTTTTTGGCGCTTTTGGCGCTGCAGCAGTTGGTCTAGGCTTTTCAGCGAGAACCGCCCAGCGCAGTGGATGATGGCAGCGATGCGCTTGTCAAACTGAATGTCTGGCGCCCTGCGCGGCTGTCACAGCACGAGGATCGTTCGTTTTTGCCCGGGCTGCTTTCGATTCCTAGTGTCTTACAGCACGCTAGTTAGGATGCGCGCGCGGGCAGGCGCAGTTTGCTGCTGAAGCAAAACCGCAGCCATGCGGACATGTTACAGCTTGCTCTTGACCGCTGCTGCTCTCACAGCTGGTTTGAAGCCACCACAGCGATCAAAAGCGATCCGAACGACTGCCCGCAGCGCAGCCCAACCGGCGGACCTATGCGCACAACTTCTGAACGAAGTAAACAAGTGCAACGACCTCGGCGACGGCGTCGCGCTGCTCCCGTTGATCGTCGACGGCCACAAGGTCGGCGAGCTGCGGCCCGAATTAGCAAAGGCGGTCGCGGACGCCGGCACGGCATTTAGAATAGACGCCGGTGTCGTGCGGCTCGACGCGGCGCTCGAAGCGGCCGACGAGCCGGCGCGCACGGAAGCCGTCGCGACGTGCATCGATCGCTTGGCGAAGGACGGCGTCGTGACGGGCTGGCGCGACGAATTACTACCGGTCGTGGCGTCCTATAGCGCCGCACCGGCCTTCCGCGTCGAGCGCGCCGCGTACCCGCTGCTCGGCGCCAAGGGCTACGGCGTCCACGTCAACGGCTACACTTTCGACGGAGACGAGCTCCGCGTCTGGGTCGCGACGCGCGCGAGCACCAAGGCGACGTATCCCGGCATGCTCGACCACGTCGCCGCGGGCCAGCTCGCCGACGTCGGCGGGAGGCCCGGGGAGCAGGTTTTGGCGGAGCTCGCGGAGGAGGCCGGCGTGCCGGACGAGCTCGGGAAACGGGCGGCGCCGGCGTCGGTTGTAAGCTATCGCGGCGTCGCGGGCGAGGGTAAGGGCGAGCGGGTGACGAACGAGGTCTTATTTTGCTACGACATCGAGTTGCCGTCGTCGTTTACGCCGCGGCCCGTCGACGGCGAGGTGGAGGGCTTCGAGTTGCGAAGCGTGGACGCCGTGCTGGCCGACCTTGTAAGGGGGCGGTTCAAGCCGAACGTCGCCGTCGTGACGGTCGATTTTTTGGTCCGGCGCGGTTTTCTGAGGCCGGAGATGGACGGGTATCTGGCGCTGGTCGCAGCGCTGCGGTCGGGGGACTGCTCTTAATTTGGTAATGTGAGTGCTACTTAGGCCTGGCTCGCCGGCGGAGTTTCGCGGGCGCGGAGCGCGGCTCGCGCGTATCGCAGTTCGCGCTCAATCTGCGTTGTGAGCGGGTGCGCGCCGCCGAGCACGCGCCGCGCGGTCCGTTCCGTAGCCTCGAGCCTTTCCACGGCCTCGCGAGAATCGTCGAGCGTGGCGCCATCGTCCTTGTAGAGCGCAGTCGCGTACATTTTCCTCATCTTGAGCGTGAGTCTATGTCCGTCTCCGAGAACGCGTCGCACCACGGGCATCGTTTTGCGCATCAGTGCCTTGGCTTCTTCGAAGCGCTCTAGATTCACAAGGGAGTCCGCGTAGTTGTTGGCTGCTCGGAGGGTTGTCTCCTGTTCCTCGCCATTGAGCTTCAGACGTCCCGAGTATACGTCTCGTCGCATCCGCAAGGCCTCTTCATTCCGTCCGAGCGCTCGATACGTGATTGCAAGATTGCTCTGCGTGACGAGTATGGAGTGTTCTGATGCACCAAGGCGCCGCAGACTTACGCCGCCGTCGCCGAAGCCGAAGCCGAAGCCGACGGGGACAGCTTAGACGCGGCGGCGGTCGCTTCATCGTCTAGGCGCGGCTCCGGCCGACAGCATCATCAATGCCGGGGGCGGCGCTGCCGGCGCCGACAGAAAAAGAAGCACGAATCCGGCGCGTGAGCACCTTTCCCCCGAAGACGACTCCCGGGTGAGAATATTAATATTACCACATACATTATCACATCCACGAGTGACACTAGTGGTGGCCGGACTTGGCTCGGCACTTGCGGCCCCTTCGCCCGTGAGCGCATGAGGTCGTCGCCACGGCCGCCGTCTCGAAGGAGGCGCCGCCGCCGACACCGGGGGCCGCCGTGAAGTTGTGCGACCTCTGAAAGACGTCGATGCGGTGCACGAGCTCCGCGAACGACGGTCTGTCCTCCGGTAAAGTTCGATTCGCCTCGCCGATGAGGCTCCGCAGGAACTTCTTCGTCTTCCAGTCGCGCGCGCGGTCGGCGACGAAAGGGAGGAGCCAGGGGCGGTTCGAGACCTGCGCGGAAATCACACCTGAACACGCCATCGACGCGGCGTTGTTCGACACAGGCTGACGAGCATCGAACACATGTGTCTTCTCCGAGACCGGCATGCAGACTTTTTCGCGGCACGTCCCGGTCGCTTCGGGCGCGGGGAGCGACCCGGGCTCGCAAACGTTGTCTAGGCAGCTGTGCAGGCGGTGCGTGGCCGGGCAGTCTCCGTCGCTCGCGCAGTTACGAACGGTGTTGTCCTCCTGGTTGTGGCGCGTGTGCCACACGTCATAGACCTGGTCGCCCAGCGATGACTTGTGGAGCACCTTCGGGCCGTCCACCAAGTAGATATGACCCTTGCCGTCGAGCGTAAATTGCGTGACGCGGAAGTCGTCGAGCAGGAAATTCGCGGCAAACGATTGGAAACACGCGATCAGTGCTCGTGCGAGCTCGAGGGGAGAATGCTCCGCGCGCCGCGCGTAGGCCGTCGAGAGGATGCTCGGTTTACCGCTCGTGCCAGCGCCGATCGCTTGCCCGCAGTCACGTACCACATACGTGACGTTCCCATCTTCGACCCACGCTCCTAGTAACTCTGGGATGCCCGGCGCGCCTCGTAACGCTTCCAGGTACAGTAGCTCGAAATACAGGACGCCGGCGCCCCGGTTCTCGTTCGAAAGCCCGTGCCGGCCGCCCGCCTTGACGACGACGCGCCGGCCCTTGACGTGCGCCCTTGAGACGCGCTTAGCTTTGTCGTAGATCTCGGTGATTGGGCCGGTGAGATCGCTTCTCGACCGCACGCTCCAGGTAGCTGGAGTGGTCGCGTTCTTGAAAAAGGCGTCGATCGTCGCGGCGCGCGCGAGCATTTCGTCTGCCGCTGTCGCGTGCGCGACGAGCAGCGCTAGGCTTACGACTCGTTTCTTCATTTTATCACTTCCTACGCATTGATTTGACGCTGTCGAGCTAGAGTGTGCCGATCTCCCTTTTTTGGCTTAGTTTGTGCATACCTTGCCTAGCGCCCGAGGCAGTCCCAATCGCTGCCCAACCAGCGCAGCTTTCATCGCTGCGACATATCTTACACATTGGGCTGCGTTGCGTCGACCAGACGTCGCTTGAGGGCTTGGTGCAGCTAGCGGTCTGTAACACACTAGCAGTACCAATCGATACACTTTTTTTTGGTGTCAAGTAGACGTGGACAGTGCAACCCAGCCGGATGGGCAGCGCTTAACCGCACCAGGCGGACAGTACCAGGCCTGTGCCAGAGCAGTGGTGAGAATGAGGCTCCTCGGCCTCGCTCTCCTAGCGTCATGCGTCGAGAGCCAGGATGGCATCATATTAGCCCGGGTCACGTTGTTCGACCAGTGGTTCCGGCGGACGGAGCACACGCGCGCCCACACGTCGAGGCACACGGACGGCAAGGCCGGGCCCGACGCTCCAGAAGCGTGGACCGTGCGGTCGAAGCGGGATGTAGTAAGGGGCGAGCTCATCTACAACAAGGCGAAGCGGGTGCGGCGCGGGACGACGGTGCAAGGCAACGTCAGTGTCGTTATCAAGGGCGTCGGCCGGCACGACGTCGCGCACTCGTCCAATAGAGGTGGCTCTTTACTATATCTGGAGCTGATGTTCATGGAGGCGTTGCGGGACCAGCCGGGCATTCCTCCCTTGCTGGGCGCGTGGTTCGAGACCGACGGGTCGCTGACCTACGTCGTGAAGGACGTGGGCCAGCCCATCGGCGGGGGCCAGGGTGGGCACACCACGTCCCTATCGAAGGCTTTTAAGAAAAGAGCCACGGAGACGCCTCTACAATTAGCTAGAAGCCTATTAGCATGCTTCCAGTCCTGGGCCTCGGTGGGGTTCTTGTTGGACGACTTCCGGGCGAACCAGTTCACGATGGATGCCCAAGGTCAAATCTACTTGGTCGACGGGCCCAAAGCGTTGACCGATTCGGTCCTAGGTGTGCATGTGGTCAACACGTACCACAAGACGAAGCACCAGATCGAGAATGGTGTACACGAGTGTCAGAGGGACGCCGACTGCCCGGCGACCGTGCCCCAGCACTCGTGCCCCGTCGCGTCGCTTGGGGTGAGGAAGTTGGATGAGGAGGCGGCCCGGTGCGAGCCCGGGTCCGTCGGCGCGCCCGAGGCGCGCGGGAAGTGTATGGAGGAGACGTGCGAAAGGCTCTCGGAGAAGACGCATGTCTGGGACGTGGCGAATCGGCCCTGGTTGTTGCCCTTCATCGCCGACAAGGCGACGGGGCCCGCGAAAAGTTTCCTGCTTCGGTTGATCGCCTTCGCGAGCGAGGAGGACCCGGACAAGCGGCCGGACTTCGGGGAGCTGCTGCGGCGCGTCGATGGTTTTGTTAAGGCGCGGAGCCGGCGGCGGCGGCTGAGTAATTCCTGAAATTTAACGGCTCCCAGGGCTCGCGTTTAGGACTCGCTAGGTACTGTTAACGGTGCTAGAACTAGTGGGCGAGGAATCGCGCGCTAGCGACCGGTAAGACACTAGCAGCGGCAAAAAGGCTGTGCCGACGCACAGCTCGGCGTGCAGTCGCTTATGCTCCTCGTCTGGTGTTAAAATATTGGTACGACATCACTACTGCAAATCACCACCGCTGCGACACTTCTGGCCACTGCTTGCTGCACCACCCCACCCACCCTGCTTGAGCGCCGCGCATCGATGGCCGAAGCCCCAGCCTGGCGCGTGCGCGGCACCAAGAAGGGAGATTGGCCCATCGACGTCGAGAAGCGCACGCACCACACCGTAACTTGTATAAGAAACGTGAGCGGCGACGCGCACGCGCTCTGCACGGAGCTGCAGGACGCGTTGGGTGCCGGCGGCACGGTGCGCGGCAGCGTCGTCGAGCTGCAGGGCGCGCACACGGACCGCTGCATCGCCTTTCTGTCTGCAAGGCGCCGCCACGTCGCGGGCATCCGTGCGGCACTGCTCCCAGACGACGACGACGACGAAGAAATCCCCCTCGAGGTGAAATCCGAGCGCCGCAAGCCGCGGTGGGACGCGACGCGGAAGATGATTGGTAAACACGAACCGCCCCGCGCCACGGCGGCGCAGACGGCTCAGGCGCTCCAGAGCGGCGTCTGCCCCCTCGACTTCTCTTTGGTAAGTTTCCGGGACGCGTGCGCCATCTGGTGGCGCTGCACGTGCCCCAAACCCGACCCGCGCTGGCTCGAGCCCGGCGACGACGCGGCGCCCTTCTACGATCCTAAATTGGACGGCCCGACGGCTGTAGTGAGAGACGTCTGCGAGGTCTTCACGCTGTCTTCGGTCAGTCGCGTCGACGCCGAGGCGCCTCATAAAAACGAGCGCGCGCGCAAGATGGAGGCTCGGGCACATGCGCGCCAGGCGGAGCGCGATCGGCGCAGCGCGGCGGCGGCGCGGCGGCGCGAGCCCGTCGTCCAGGCGTCCTCCAGAGCCTTCGCGGCCAAGTCGCGCAACGCGTGGCTCGATGACGATGATGTTAATGAGGGGCTCGGCCGGCTCGAGGACGACTGGAGCGAGGAGGAGGATATTTGGGATGATGACAAAGAGGAGTGGCGCGCCGCCGAAGCGGCTGCGTCGGGTGCCGATGCGACGCGAGATATTGCGGATTGGAACGCGGCGGTACGCGCCGCCCACGACGAGCGAGCGCGGGCGGGCGCGTTCCTGGAGAACCGGGCGCCCGTCGTCGACAAGGTCGACGCGTCACAGCTCAGTGATGATGCCGTGCTCGCGCGCGCCGACAGCAAGGGCTGGAGCGAGACCTACGTGGGCCTGCTCATGGACTCGCTCGGGGGCCGCTTCCAAGATCTGGAGCCGACGCTCTGGCGCAAGGTCCTCGCCCTGGTCTCTTCCGGCGCCGACGCGCACGACGCGGTGCTCTCCGCGCTCGCGGACGTGCTCCGGCCGGCCTGGGCCTGCGCCGCGTGCACGCTGGAGAATGAGGGCGCGGCGGACTTTTGTGTTGTTTGCGCGACGCCGCGGGGCGCGCTCGAGTCTGCGCCGCCGCCCGCGCGACCGGCCCCGTCGTACGAGGACTTTGTCGAGGAGCCGGCCCTCGTGGACCGGCGCTTCGACGTCGAGGAGCCGTCTACCGAATGGACGTGCGCCGTGTGCACGCTGCGGAACCGCGCCGAGCACCTCGCCTGCGACGTTTGTGGGGCGGAGCGGGATGCGGCCTAGTGCTGCTTTTGTTGTTGTAACAGTTGTGAAACTTACTCAGACTAGTCTAGGCTCCAGCCCGGCAGGATGGTGCCGAAGAGCTCGAAGGCGCGGACGTGCATGCACCGCCTTCCGCAGAGCTTTATCCGGAAGCGATTGGAGACGAGGCCATCCTCCAGTTCATCGTCCTCTACATTGATAATCTTCTCGGGACCCGGCTGGAGGCCCAGGGAATCAGTTGCTCCCGGCGAGATGAGATCAGCCCACGGACTCACCGAGCAATAGTGGCAGACCATCCACCGATTGTCAATGTATGCCTCAAACGTCCAATTACCAAATTCACGCGCACAGCAATTGCCGAACGCAATCCGGAAGTCCGAAATTCGGAGTTGGAACGGTAGCTCGTACTCTATGAACGAGCCGGATTGGATGGAACAATCAGGAGATTCTGCATTCAATGCTGAGCTAACAGAAAGCCGAGAGACGAGTGCTGCATCGAAATTTCGAATGTACACCATGGCCCGTTCGTTGCGCAATTCCAGCTGGGCTTGATTGGGGCCTCCAACCAGTCCGTTGGCTACGCCTCCAACCCTATGGACTGTGACGCACAGCGGCGGTGGCGGCACACATAATCGACACTCTGCCCGTGGGAGACCAGCCCAAGTTCTCTCCGGAGCCCTGGTGGGCCATTCCTGCGTCCCGAACGCGGTGGCTAGGGCGTGCACGACGCCGTTGTCCGGCGGGCGCAGCACGTAAGCTCCAGACGTGCGCGCGGCCATCAGTCGTTTGGACGATACTTCTTCGCGCATCGCCTTGGACGTGGCGCCCGGCCCGAGCGCGCAGGCACTGGGGGACAGGAAGGTCAGCACATTGCGTAGCGCATCATCACCCAGCACAAACAGGCCTTCGGTGGCGCGACGCTGAGCACGCGTGCGCGGCATTATAGATGACTTTCGCTTGTGATATGCGCGCGTCGTCAACGCAGCAATCGCATGAACAAGGGCTCGCAGCCACTGGGGCTTGTGAAACGCGGACTGCGGCACCCGTTTGACCCGCTGGCTTGCTAGTGCCTTAAGGTCGCTAGGTATGTCCTCCCTGACCGCTGCGATTGCACCTGTCGCGCCATCTATAGCCAGCCTGTCACCATCCTTCGTCCAAAAACAGACGTCATGGGCGGCGGGGCAGCGGGGCAGCCCATGAATAGCGACGACAAATCATGGCCCTTTACCAGCCCAGCCGGCAAGGATGCGGGCAAACCGCATGAGATCGACCTCTACATCGAGCCGTCGCCGCGCGACTCGCCGACGGCGCTGCCCAAGCTCTTCACGACGCTCGAGCCCGAGCCCCTCGCGCCCACGAATAATGCCCACGTCGAGGAGGATTTGAGCTCGACGCCGCCGTCGCGCGACTCCCCCACGACACTGCCGACGCCGGAGGCCGAGACGAGTCCCGAGGCTAGTGGAGCTGCGTCCGCGAGCGACGCGCCCCCGCCGCGGCCGCGCGCCGAGCCCGCGCCAGCGCGCACCGTCGAGTTCTACCAGGCGGGCACTTCTGGAATAGCGGACGTCGAGTTCTTCGTTGAAGAGGACGATACACCAAACGTCCACGAACCGATGACCTACGACGAGGTCATGCGACGGCGGCGCCCGCCGCCCGCGCCGGCGCCGGCGGCCTCGGACCTCGTGCCCGCGTGGCTGAGTAACTACTGGTCCTAGTACTACCCTTGTTCGACGCGTCGCCAGGCGTGCGCGTGGGGACCCGCACGCTGGCCTGAGAGTGCCAGAGCTGCCCATCGAGAGCACCGGGATTGGCAGACGAGGAGACTTCGTCACGTTCGCCCAGATCGGCGAGGTAGCCCCAACAAGCGTAGAAACGGACGCGGGGCAGAACCACACAACCGCTGCCACCTGCAAGACACCCAGACCAGAAGCAGGACCACTGGGCAGCAAAAGGACACGCCCGGGCGCCATGAAGACACAAACGCTGCCCCCCGTGAGCAGCAAGACGACCTGGACCGTAGCGCCACCAGGAAGCAACGAGACATACGACCATGGACACCCTCGCGTCCTATGAGGGCTCGACGGAGGCGGGCCGCATGGAAGGAGAAGGGGTCTACACGTACGGGGACGGCACACGGTACGTCGGCCAGTTCAAGAACGGGGCGTTCCACGGTGAGGGCAAATTAGTTTTCGCCAATGGAGAGTTCCGAGGTATTTTCAACAACGGCAAGCACGTCGACGGCCAGTTCGTTTTTAGTGATGGGCTCGTCTACGTCGAGGACGACTGGAAGTACTGCACGTCCGCGGACCGGCGCCTGCACTCGGAGATGAAGGAGTAAGGTCGGTCCGGCCCGGACGCCGTCGACGCAAAGTGCGACGAGACGTGTGCCGCCGCGACGGCGTAAGACTAACTACCAATCGAGTTATCCGGGAAGAAACGGGACGAACGGGTGCCGCGGGGTTAAACTTCAGAAGAGAAGTCCCGCGGCTAGCCGCACTGCGCGCAGGCCCAGGCCTCGTCCGGCGCCGGCGCCGCGACGTCCTCGCCGAGCTGGGCCCACCTCTGGCACTGGGAGCAGTGCGCGAAGCGGTTCTCGATCTTCGAGGGCCGCCTGCCCAAGCAAGAAGACCAATCGACACAAGCCCCCTGGCAGAAGGGTAATACGGTGACCCGAATGGCCTCTCCATTTATTTTCTGGGTCTGCTCGTAGGGCAATTGGGCGTGCGGCCGGCAGCCGAGGTCCGCGAAGACGCACGTCGCGCGCGACTCGTCGGTCGGCACGATCAAAGGCTTGGGCGGCTCGGGCGACGGCAATCTTCGACGACTTTGAGCCTGGGCCTCGGCGTGGACCTGGGCGGCCTTCGCCGGGTCCTCCTCCAGTAAACAGATTTTCCCGCCCTGCGCATTGGCCTCGCCCACATTCAGGACTAAAATCGGCGCCACTCCTTTCACGTCGCAGTGCGCCGGTGTGGTGGTCTTCGCGTCGACTTCGGGGGATGAGCGAGAGACCACAGCGACGTGCACCAAGCACGTGGACCAGCCCGTGCTCTTCATTCTATAGGCTTTATCTAAGACCGCGTCCGTCCGCGAGTCGGGTCGGAACCGATCCGCGTCCGGTTTCGGTACGATGGTCGAGGCCGCAACGTGCAGGTCCCACATGGCCTCGAGCAAAGGAGCTAAAAAAGTATGCTCGAGCTCCTGCACATCGTCTGAATCCGTGTCGAGTAATCTACGCGGCTGCACCAACGCGCCGTCGGGGCACGTGCCTTGGGACGGGCCGGCCCAGCCTAATGCTACCCTTCCATCGACGCCGTGCGCGTCCACGACCGCTCGCGCGCACTCTGCGAACCTTCGCGCGAAGGTCCGATCACCTCCGCGACTCAACCTTTTAGCTCGTGACGGCGCTCGTTCCGCCAACAAGTCATCCAACGCTCGCGAAGCCGTCGCGACGGGCTTGTCCGACTTCGCCGTATCATTGATGTCCACGACTAGAGCTCGGCCGACCCTCCAAGCGTCCGCAACCCCGTCGGCATCGTATTGTGGAGGCGCCTCGGCGCTTGCGAGTCTAGAGTCGTCCTTCCTTAAAACAGTACCAGTCAAGGCCGCGCCGCCTTCGTTGGACTTCTTGGCCAGTGGCGAGGGCGGCTCGTTCTTCCGCCGCTTCGGCGCCTTGGAATCCGGGATTTTTGAATCAGCCACGCGCTTGGGCGAGGGCGGCTTCTGGGGCGGTGCGGGCGCCGGCGGCGGCGGCGCGTGGACTAGAATAGGTACGCCGGGCTGGCCGGCCTGGCCGGGCGCGAGGTGCCAGAAGGGCGCCTGGCCCTGCATGTGCGGCGGCAGGGCCACCATGCCCTGCGGCGGCCAGGGGATGACGCCGGGCTGGCCCGGCACGCCGGGAGACATGGGCCACGGCTGAAAACCGGGCGGGAGCGGCGGCGGCGGCGCGGGCGCTTCGCTGATGGGCACGCCGTGCCGGCCCGGTGCTTGGGCGAGCATGTAGGGCGCTCGTTCCGCTTCGGCCTTCCGGCGCCATCCATCGGCTCTATGGCATCTCTCGCTACAGTACGCCGCGCCGACGAGACCAGCTCGTCGCTGGATCCGAAGACCACACGTCCCGCACGGCACGATCTGCGCCGTGTTCGGGTCGTACAACATCATGACCGGCGGGCCGGCCATGTTACTACCGGGGTAGGGCAGGAGGTTGGGTGGGGGCTGGGCCATTTTTTTTTGGGGCGCCGCGCGCCCGGGGCGGCGCGTGCGCGGTCGTGGAGGTGCCTTTTGTGTCCTGCGAGCGTTTTTTGGCCCTGGGGTAGCGTCGCGCGGGCGCTCAGCGCGTTAATCCTCTGCCAGACGCTGTGCCGTCTTCGCGGCCGCTGCGGCACGCCCGCGCGCGCGCTGCCCTTTGGGATGCCGTGGGGCGGCGCGCGAGGTCTCGTTGGGGGGCTGGACGCCTTCCTTCTCCGTAATCGGATTGGTGTGCCTTTGGTTGTGTGAGGCCTCCTCTGCATGCGCGTGGCCGAGTACACGCGTGGTTGGCGTGCCTTGAACAGAGTGCTGTGAGTCAACTGGGGCTGCCCTGGGCGCGTGGGGCGGTTTCTAGATTTTGGCCTATGACATGACCTCAGCCTGATAAAGCTTCCAGCCGCAATCTCCGCACTGGCGGAGTGTCTGCAAGTGGGACAGCGACAGAGACACGCTATCTCATCGCTTACTGCCGCGCTGCAAGAAGTGAAGCCAACCTTGCCCTCCCAGAGAAGTTTGCTGCATCCTAAGTGGTGGCCTCAAAAACAGCTAAGACACTGCGAACGCCACAAATTACGATGTCGCGCACCCTGTTATTGATCGCAAGCCTCGCCACGAGCGACGCCTTCGTCGCGCCGCTGCAGCGGGTCGAAACACCGCTTGCCGTCTCCGCCGTGAAGCTCGACGCCGCCGCCGTCGAGGGCGAAGAGAGCCGCCCGAAGACGCCGCCGCTCGGGGCGAATCTCGTGCTGCCGGGCGACGACGACCTCACTTATGGGACGACGATCGTGTCCTGTGCCCTCGCGTCGTTCCTCATGCTTACGGCGGCACTACCGTCTGACTGGCAGGCCCCGCCGGCGAACTCGCGGGAGGCGCGAGCTGTCAAGGTCGAGGCGCTCCTGAGGCAGAACAAGAAGCTCGCGAAGAAGGACGGCCGCGTCGTCGAGGTCGCGGGCGAGTTGTCCGCGTTTGACAAGGCCGAGGCCTTCATTCTTCCCGCGGCCGCGTTGTTCATCGTCGCGCCGGTGCTCGTGCAGGGGAGAAACTTGAAACAGATCTACGATTACTCGAGGACCGAGGACATCCTGAAGGACTCGCGCGACGCCGGGCGCGCGTCGAGCGCCGCGGCGAGCCGGAGCCTCGGGACGTCGATGCGCAAGTGGCTGGGCTTCGACAACTAAGCGCCGCCGTGCCGCGCCCGTGTTGTGGGGCGCGCCGTCGGCGGCGACGAGCGGGGGACAGCCCAAGGCGTGTCCCCCCCAACCTAACTAAAGTTGTGTCCATAATCATGAATTATAGGTCCTCGGCGGCCAGATCCCCTTCATCAGCGTAGGATGAGTCGTCGGACGCGTCCATCTTGCCCTGGACGCGCGGCGGCGGGTCCCGCGGCGACTCGGGCGACTCCGGCGGCGGCGGCGGCTTCACTTTCTTCGTCGACTCGCGCGGCGTCTTCTGCATCTCCTTTCGCATTCTGTCTAAATGTCTCGACGACGACCGCTCGCGCGCCTCCTGCGGAGTTAAAGACGACGATCTGGAAGAAGACCGCCGCTGCGGCGCCTCGATGTCGACCTGGTGCGCCGCGGCGATCTCCCTGAGTAATTCAAGGTCCTCCTCTTTCGCTTCGTCTGGTTGTTGTTTCTTTGGTTGCTGCGGCGGTGATGGATCCGCAAGCCAGCCATTTCTAACAGCTTTCAACACCAAATACTCGACGTCCAACTCCAGAGCAGCTTCTAAAGCATAATCGGGAGGCAGGTGCTTCGACCGTCGTAGATGCGTCGCGTACCTCTGCCGACACGCCGACACCTTGTGGAACCGCGCGACTTCCTGTCGATCGATCGTGTCGTTGCCGTCGCCCACGACGTCGTCAAACGCATGCCTCAGCACCTCCAATGAATCACAGTCCAACCGCCCTTGCCGCACAAACTCCAACACGACAAATTCCCCGAACGTAACACGCTCCGTATCACCTAGGAGCTTCCTGACACGCATCGGACTCGTCTCGTGCATGAACGCGTTGGCCATCTTGGCTCGTTCGTAGGCTTCTCTATGAACAAGATTGTCCGTCACCATCAGTAATGCGGCGCCAAACAACACCGTGCCCACAGCTTGATAGAACGCGACAAATACCGCAGTCCTACTATCAGCTCCATCTTTGAGACCAGTCATCGGCGCCGCCTCCAACCCGGCCGTCGTGATGGCTCCGACCGTAAACCTCAGTGCTCGGCAGAAGCCCCACCCCGGAACCACCATACTCCACCCTAAGCCGAGGCCGAACCACAGCACCAATAAAACGGCGGCGGCCGTCCCGGCGCCCGGTTTGAAACCTTGGGCGCCTTTCCCGTCGATATCTGAACTATCGTCCAGCCCTTGCCTTCGTGAGACGACGCCAACAATATCTAAGGCGCGTCGCCTCGCCTTTTTGTCCAACACATCGAGCTCGGCGAACTTGCCTCGAATATAGAGTTGGAGCGCGCCTACTATAAAGAATGTGCCAACCACATTCATAGCAGTCGAGATGAGCATGGAGGAATCCCTCGACTCCGGGGCGGCGCCGGAGCCAAAGAGAAACCCCACATCAACCGCAAAGTAGAGTGATTGCGCGAAGTTCCAGCCGTTCGTCGTCGCGTACAAGATCGAACCGACCATGATCCACACGATGATGCCAAGCAGCAGGATGATCCAGCCTCGCAGCCGCTGCACGGGCGGCCTTCTCTTGCCCCCGGCCTCGACGCCATCCGACGTCAATTCATATTTCGCCAGCAGCTCGTAGGGGTCGAAGGCGTCTCTCCTATGGTGGCGCCAGGAGCCCGGCGACAGGTCCGCCTGTAACGAGCGGCGCTTGAGCGCGGCGCCTGGCGTGTTGCCGGGCGACTCGCTCGCGCCGCTGGTCGCGCTGCGCGTGCTGCTGGGGAAGTGGAACATGGCTTTGGGACGCGTCGGCGGCGTGGGGGCAGCCCTTGGCTTGCGCGCGGCAGCCTTTTGGCAGCGCCGGCGCTCCACAACAGTGTCGTGCGGGGCGCGCTGGATGGGACCGGTTTTAGACGGTGCGGGATTTCTCCGGAGCCGTGTCGAAGCATGATAGGAAATCCACAGACCAGTCACGAAAACCCGTGAAATTTGCTTTTGGCAGAGTTTGGCTCTGAGAGCTGGCATCGCGCGGGGCAGCCCGGAGACACTGCAGATCACAAATGCCGCCCAAGAAAAAGGCCAGGAAGCGGCCGCGCGAGGAGGAGAAGACGGAGAGCGCTCTGGCCTCGTCGGTGCTAAGCGCCGTGACCTGCCCGATCTCGCACAGCCTCGCGGTGCAGCCGGTGCTCGCCGAAGACGGCCAGTGCTACGAACGCGAAGAGATACGCAAATGGCTGGAAAAGAAAAATACGTCTCCGGTCACCAACGAGCGCATGGGGACTAGACTTGTCGACCACGTCGCGGGCCGGAATCTGGCCTCGTCCTTGATCGCGAGCGGCGCCGTAGATGCCGAGGCGGCAAGTGCGTGGCACCTTGCATCGGCGCGCCTCAAGATAGTCGGAAAGCTACCCGGCGGCTTAGATTCGGCTAAGGAGCATCTCCTGGCGGCGAGGCCGCCTCCCGAGCACACGGCGACAGATCAGTCGCCCGCGTGCGAGACGCTCCTAGAGGCGTGCGAACTCCGCGAACGCATGACGGCCGTTGTCAAGCGGGGCAACGAGCTAGACGTTGGCATCGAGGTCGAGCGGCTGCTCGCGAGTACTCTCACTCATACATTCAATGGAATAACTGGTAAGCAAATGACCGAGTTCCGCGACGATTTGGTGCCGGGACAATCCATGGTTCGCGTCATTGACGACGAGGACAAGCTTGAAATACTCCACAAGCGGGCAAATTTGACTTGGTTTCAAGAAAAGTCGGAGGTCTGCGGCGAAGCTATGACTGTCGAGAGGTTGCTTCCCAGCAGATCTGGCTACATACTTGGCGGGTGGATTATTCCCTATCGCGCGTGCATCCTCGTCAAGCTGTGATATAGCTGCCTAAGCTTACTAGTGCGCATACTCGTTACACGACTAAGGGGGATCAAGCCCGCCCCGCCACCACCGCCGTCACGTAGCGGTCGAACACCTGGGGCGCCTGCTCGCGCTCCCTTGCTAAGGCCCCGGCCTGGCGCTCGAGCAGGTTAAAGTGCTCCTCTTTCAGGGTGGACGCGATGGCCTTTTCGTGACACCGCGTCCAGATGCCGTCCAATATAGTACCAGCTCGATAGATCGGCGACCGCGGCTCATTGTACAAAGCGCAGGCATGCCAGACCGCACGTATATCAGACACCGCCCTCGCCGCGCCCGTGGACCCGGCATAAGCTCCAGACTTCAATCTCTTCTCAATGGTCCCCAGGTCCATGGGTCTCGCGACGACGTGCTCGTATCCAGCTAAATTACGGGAGGGCACTGGTTCAGCAAAATATTTGCGGAACGCATGGGTCCTTACTGAATCCAGGAACAGCGCCACGCGCACCTCCGCGCAGGCCGCGTCGTCTTTATCACGAGACAAAGCTCGACAAGCAGCCCGAGCCGCCTTGTAGCGGTCATCGGTCAAATCAGGCGAGAAGTAGCGCCCCCAGTCGAAGTCGCATTCCCCACACCGCCAGTTCTTCTCCTCCTCGCCGTCTATTATTATTTGGGACGCCGCACCTTTCGTGCAACACGCGGCGTGCCAGACCCGAGGACAGTAGTCGCAACACAACAAGTCGCCGCCCTGGCCGCACGCTTCACAGGTATCAAACGACGCCGCGTCAAAAGGACACACCTTGATCTTACCACTTTTTATCGCTTCGTCCGAGGCCGCTCGAGCCGCCGCCAGCGCAGCCGCCTGGCCGCCCGTCGGATCGTCATCATCGTCATCAGAGCTATCACTATCAGAAGCTAGACACGCCATATCTTCATCATCCGAAGAGTCGTCCCGCCTCTCATGACGGAAGTGGTCCGCCGCCGCCTTCATGTTATCAGGTACATTTTCTTCGGACGAAGACGCCTTCGGGCCCGGCGTGTTGTGCGAGGCGATGTTTTTGAGAGCTTGCGGGACTCGCAAAGCGCTCTCCGGGATGGGCGCGCCTGGTAACGCGGAGGGGACGACGGGCGGGCCCGGCGGGGCGTTACCTTGCACAGGTGCAACGCCAACGTCGCGATCTTGAGGCGGGTTCGCGTGGCCTTGCGTCGGGAGCGGCGCGCCCGGCAATGCTGACGGCACGATCGGCGGCCCCGGCGGCGGTGGTGGTGGGGGCGCCAACGCAGCAGCGTAGGCCCTATGTGCGGCGAGCTGCCTCGCAATGTCCGCGGCTATCGCTTTCGTGCCGTTGTCGTCCAGTTCAAAACGTTGTTGCACATCTGCGGCGAAGGCTTCGGGCGTGGCGCACCTCGGCTCAGTAGTTTTCCAGGTCACGGTAGCTTCCGCGACGCGGCCGCCGCGTAGCGGTACCTTCACCAACACGCGAGGCTCGCCCGAGGCCGTCGGCCCGACGTCCGGTGCTGGGACCACGGGCCCCGCCAGCGCGTCCGCCCGTCTCCCCACAAGCGGCTGAATCGGCCTCTGCCTTTGTTTGGGGGGCCGGCCCGGACCGGCCGCGCCGCGACTCCCACCGGGAGCCGTTTTTCTAGGCCGCCCGCCCTTGTTTCCTCTATAATTGCCCGTGTCCTTGGCGTTGCCCACGAGGCCGAAGCCGACGCGGCCCGCCGTGTCCGGCAGCATGAGCTGCAAGTTCCTAATATGTCTCTCGGAGTCCGAAGAAGCGCGACTACCAGCATAATAGCCGCAGTGCGCCTTCAACGCATGACACACCTTCGACGGGTCTTTTTCGGCCACATTTCGTATGGTGTCCGACAGAATCTGTCTAGCCTCGCAGACCTCGCATCTTACGCTCAGCATGCCCTCGTCTCTGAAAACCACAAATTGTCTTCTTCGCACACCGTTCTTGTCATCAAACACGTTGCGTATGCCCGGACCCATCGTGCCGCCCGTCGTTGCTACTATCACATCTCTATCCACATGAGCCTGCAGCGACGCTACTTGGTCCAGCGGTTCTTTACATAATAATCGCTCTCCATCGGTCAATGGCTCCAAACCGGGCCCACCTAGCAATGCCGAGAGTTGGCCCGGCCTTTGCTTGCTTTCGTAACCTGAACAATACCTCACTAAGAGCCAAGAACCGGCCAACCGTTCGGTCACGATGCCGCGTTCGGCTTCGCCCTTCAGGCACACTTCTTGGCCGACGCGAATGGGCGGCTCCGTCGTCGTGCCGCGGTGGGCCCTTCTCACCTCGCCCGTCGGCGCCGGCCTGGCGCGCTTCGGGCGCCGCTCCTTCACGGTGAACGATCCATCACTATCATTCCCATCACCGCCGCCTCCGTCCAAAACCGCTTGCGTCGCTTTTCTCACGCGTTTCGAGGCCTCGCGGGATTCTCTCACAGCGTAAGCATCGTCCTCCTGGGCCGGCGACTCGTACTGCTGCTGTGGAGGCGGCACGTAGGGCGCCGGGATCTGGACGCGCACCCGTTCTTCTCCAGTACTTAACGTGTTGTCGGACTCCTGGATGACTTGGTCGTCGATTTCGTCCACCATCGTGGCTTGGCTCGTATCTCGGCGCCGCGCTGGTCTAGGACCGCTGCGCTGGCGGCGCGTGTGGTTTTGGGCGCTTACTGGTGCCCGCGCGGCCGTGCCGCGTCTCTACGCGTCAGGAACACGCCTTGGCTCTTTGGTCAATGTTTTTGCAGCGCGCACGCAGTAAAACTCGACGCCAGTCGGACTGGAGCTTGCTGGTATGCCAGGGAGTGCCGCGGGCCGCACAAATCGATTTCTGCTGGCGAAGCGGCTGAGCAATCGAGCTATTCGGGCCGGAGAGGCAGCTTTTTGAGCCCGGCCTCGCACGCGCGAATCGGAGGTTTCGGGGCCGCCCCGGCATCAGTCCGACGTCCTAGGACGGGATACGGGCCCTTTTCGGCCGGTCGGCATCAAGAAGCCGCAGTCCGCGCGCCCCGATGCACAAAGCCCCCATGACGCCATCGAGCAAAACAACCCACATTACGCGAGCACGTCACACACGGGGTGGACCGTCGGCGTCACCTCGCGCAGCATCTTCAACACGCACGGGTTATGGTACCGCCCTTCGAGCGCGGCCTCGAGCTCGTTGAAATTAAACACGACGTCGCGCAAGTCATCAGAAGTCGTCTTCTTGCCCGGAGCGCGAGCTAAGACTTTTGAATCCATGCGCGGCATGACCAACAATCGTCTAATAGAATCCATGACGTCGGCCGTGTCGGTCTGGAGCCGCTCGTAGTAGACCACAAGCCACTCCGCATGAACTTTGCTTCGGATCCCGAGCAGGTCATTATTGCGCCGGATCGCGTCGTTGACGCTCTTCACGAACAAAGGCAAAGACCAGTTGCCCCGGTGAGGTGTTCGATGTCGCAACAATTGCCGATGGACCCCAGCTATTCTGAGAGCGGTCTTGTCGCCGTTGACCGCTCTCGATAATTTGACGACGTTCGTCCGCAGGAAGAGGATCGGTTTCGCGCGCGTTTTTGTTATAACACCTTGCAGCGTACTGGCGATGCCCGGCCTTAGCCTTCTTCGATTTCCCAACAGCGGAGAGAATGAAAACCCGATGGCGTTCAGTTGGCACGTGGCGCGGTTCTTCCAGCACCTTTGGACGGCGGGGTCGCCCGACGACTTCGACCACGCGGGCGAACTACCGCGGCCCGACGGCGCCCGGAGCGCTTGGACGAAGATGGCCTCGAGCTTCTTGGCGTCGAAGTTGGCCGAGGCTCCCACCAGCTCGTCGAAGAAGTAGGTTAGAGGTAGGTTCAGGAGCAGCGCCGAGAGCCACGTCGAGCCGGAGTGCCCCCGCTTCAGGACGAAGAAGGCCTGCTTCGCGGCGGGGCGCGTGAGGCGCGTCGTGGCGCTTGTTGTCGTGGCGAGGGCGAGGAGCAGCCAGCGTGCCATCCTGGGGCAGCCTCCTTTATGGTGCTTCCACTGAGGTGCTCAGCCGACGCCGCATCGATGGCGCGCGGGGGCGGCACTTTGCGTTCTTAAATCAGTCGGCGCGCGCCATCGCAAGTCAATTGTAGCCCGCCGGTCTCCGCCCTGCTCATCTCTGCTCTGCCAAAGCTCGAGAGGCGGGGTGCCAGCAAACCACAGGGATGCGTAACGGGCGAGCGAGCAGGTATCGGGGCGTCCCTTTCACGACTCAAGTGGGCAGGAGATTCGCGTCCATGCTAGTAGGATAATACTAGTAACATCATAAATAAAATAAATATATTATAAGATACATACAGTATAATCATGAGTGCCAGCAAAACCCCAGGGATGTGTGACGGGCGAGCGAGGAGGTACTGTGGCGTCCCTTCACGACACAAGTGGGCATGGAGATTTCGCGTCCACGCTAAGCTAACTACTGGTGGCTATCGCACTAGAGCACACTCTGGGAGCCCGATGGCCGTAACTCAGCGATTGCCGAGCCGATTTCCTCGCTGACTGCGGCACTGGGCAGCCCACGCGTATCCCTTTCGTCGCCCTACGGGCAGCATCGGGCGCCGATGCGCTCAAGCAGCCCTATGTAGGATTATATCCACAGTAGAATCCTACTAGAACTATCATTCATGACCTATTGTTATATCTCAGTTCTGATCCTTGCCGACAAGCAAGCACCACGTCCACAGAGCCGAGTACATTATAAGCAAGCGCGATGGATCCGGCTGCCCCCCAATCGCGACTCCCGGCGGGCTGGCAGCCGAACTTGCAGAGGCTGCTCTCGGACATCGTGCCGATGCTCTCGATGGAGCTGCGGAGCACGTTTAGGGAATTAGTGAAAGACCTGAGGGCGAAGCGGGAGGCGGGCGAGATCCACTCACTGTCCGGGGCTCTCATGGGGCAGGCACCCCAGGTCGTCGGCGATTTGTGGCAGCAGTGCATCGACCGGCAGCGCGAGGAGGCCGTGCGGCAGGCCGCCGCCGCGGGCCTGAGCGCGCTCAGTGTGCCCCAGCTCAAGGAGAAGTGCCGGGCCGCGGGCCTGCCCGTCGGCGGCACGAAGCCCGTGCTGATCCGACGCCTGCAGACCACGACGGCGCCGGTCGCGGCGCCGGCGCCGGCCGCGCCGGTGCCGGCCGCCGCGGGCGCGCTGGCGCCTCCCCCCCGCAAAGCTGACGTCATCGATCCGACCGGCGATGCTTTGGACGATATTCAGAATTTAGCTCCGCGCGGCGGCAAAAGTCTGAAAACGGCCGTTTCGTTGAAAAGAAAGGCGCTCGAGGAACGCGACCAGGCGCTCGCTGAGGCCAAGCGCGCCAAAGCTGGAAAGGGCGTCGCGGTGCTGAGTACCGTGAGCGAGTGTCACAAGCGGATCGACGAATTAGAAAGAAGATTGACGAAAGTTTCTGACTACTGCATCGAGCTCGGCGCGGACCCGGACGACGTGAATGAGCTCCGGTACGGCCCCATCTAGGAGGTCCGGACCAGGAAGACTGCCGGGGCACACGGCCGCCCCCTCCCACAAACATCGCGTGGACCTCGTCGCCGGGGTCTAAGAGAGAAGGACACAGAACATAGATTAGGACGACTCGAGCGCCTCCCGCTTCGCCTGGGCGAGCCGCAGGACCGCGTCGGGCAACCCGGCAGCCTTCGCCGCGTGGAGGCCGAAGGACTCGTCCGCGAGGCCCTCGACGAGCTTGTAGAGCATGACGAGCTCCGATTCGATGTCGAGCGTCCCGCCGCCCACGGCGGCGTAGGCCATGCGGTAGGTCGCGACCTTGCCGGGCCGCGCGGCCCGCGCGCTCGCGGCGAGGTCGTGGTAGTGCGTGACGAAGATCGTGGCGCAGCCGCGGGCGACGAGCGCGTCGAGCGCCGCGCCGGCGACGGCGACGCCGTCGTGCGTCGCCGTGCCCCGTCCCAACTCGTCGAGCACGACGAGCGACTTGTCCGTCGCGTGCTCGAGCGCCACGGCCGCGCGCTCGAGCTCGTGGAGGAACGTCGACCGCCCCGCGGCCAGCGCATCGGCCGCGCCCATGCGCGTGAAGACCGCGTCCCGCAAGGGAAGCGCGGCTCTCTTCGCGAAGACCGGCGCGCCCGCTTGCGCGTATATTGATGCGAGAGCGACCGCGCGAGCGACGGAACTCTTGCCTCCCGCGTTGGGGCCCGTGAGCACCAAGCACGCGCCGTCGTCGAGCTTCAGGTCGTTCGTCACCATGTCTCCGGTCAGCGTCGGGTGCGCGAAGGCCTCGAGGTCCAGATCTTGCCCGAGCGCCGGCCAGCACCAGCCGGGCTCGCCACCTAAACGCCCCAGCGCCCGCGTCGCGTCGATCAATGCGACGGCGTCGAAAATCTTTCTTAGTGAAGCGCTGAGCTCGTCGTCGAGGTCCGCGACGAATTTGCGCCACGCCACGTCGGCCGCCAAGTCGGCTTCGGCGACGGCAACGGCTCTATTTGAGACCAACACTGACACCCCGGGCGCCACGAACCGCCGCACCTTCTGCGTCTCCGACGCGACGTGCCAGGTATCATCGATGGCACCTCTCCTCATAAATCCCTCGGCCTCGCTTCGCGTCGCCTCGATCAGAAACTCCTGGCGGCCGCCGGCGCCGCCATTGATGTGCGTCCACTGCAAAGCGGGCTTCCTTAGTGTAACGCGGAGCTCCTTGAGCTTCGCATCCAGGGCGGCGTCGGCATCTCTACAAGAGCGCCGCGCGACCGCGAGGGCGTCGTCGTCATCATCCGCCGTCAACAGCGCCGTCGCGGGCCCGGCGTCGTCCGCGCAGGCGTCCGCGTCGAGGCGTTCTAAAGCTGCATTTGTTTTGGCGAGCACGTCTTTTCTCACACCCGACGCCTCGGACATGGCCAGCGCCGGCGGGAGTGACGAAATGTTCTCCGGTAAAGCGTCGGCCACGGCCCGCGCCCCGAGCAACAGCTCGCGGAGCTTCGAGGGCCGCGCGCGGCGCGCGGCCAGCGCCGCGCGCGCGCCGTCGGCGCGCTTCGCGAGCTTGTCGCCGGAGCCCTTTTTTAGTAGCAAATCGACGAGCGGCGTGAGCGCCGCCACTTGGTCGTCGTGGAGCGCCCTTGCCGCATGTTGCCGCGCTTCGATAGCACTTTTATCAGTAAGCGGCTCGCGGAACCAGTCCCGCAGCAAGTTGCGGCCGGCTTTTGTGGAGGCGTGCCTCGCGACTACACTGACGGCCGCGCCCGTCGTCGAACCGTCGGAGGCGACGAGGACCTCGAGGTCTCGTAGCGTGGACGCGTCCAAACGCATCGGCACAGTGCTTGAAGGAGCGCGTTCTAAACAACGTTCAAGGGCGCTGGCCACGCCGGCGGCCTCGCAGTAGGCCAGCAGCAGTTCCTCGGCGTCGCCCTCCGTGTCGAAAGTCGCAACGCTTGCGTCCGTCGAACGCATCAATCGCTCCGCGCGCGCGCCAACCACTAAAGCTTCCGCCGGCGGGTGCGCGGCCACAAAAGCGTCCGCTTTGTCTTTGTCCGCGCCCTCGCAGGCCGCGCGCCGCTGGCTCCTTAAATCAACTGCGAGCAGATCCATTGTACTCTCAGTGTCGACCGCCGCCACGAGCCACGCGGCATCAGTAGTATCTTCTCCGAACTCGTCTCCCACTAAAGTCGCCCTGGAATAGACCCGGTCCACGGCCCGCGAGAACGTGCCCCCACTCTTCTGCCGCAGAGCCGCTCTTTCGGTCTGGCGCGCCACCGCGACGCGGTGGCCGTCCCTCACCAGTCGTCTGATTTTGTCGTCGATGGTGCCCGTGGGAAAGGTGCACATGTCTCCCAGTTGCGCGTCCTTCCAGGAGCCGATGCCCAATGTCTTGGCTGCCCTCGGCACGTCCGTCCCGAAGCACTTGTACTTGTAGCCCACCTCGACGGCCAGGAAGCAGCCCTTGTTGTCGCGTATCAACTGCTGGATCTGCTTGGCCATCGGCGTCGGGCCGTTCTCGCGGGTTGGCGGCGGGGGGCGCTGGCCGCTCTCCGGCATAGCGTCATGTGCGTTATTGAGTGCGGCGCGCGCGTTTTCAGGCACCGTCGCCGGGTCTAACGCGGGGCGCCAGGGTTCTGTTGTTTCGGCGGGGTCCTCTGCTGTCAGGTCGACGACCGGCGGTGCGGCAGCGGGCGCGGGCGCGGTCGTTTTCGCTTTCTTGTTAAAGAAACTGCTGATCTTTGGTTGTTGTTGCTGGCGCTTCATTTTCAGGACTTTTGAGCCACCCGTACGTCGCGGCGGCGGCAGCGCTCTCCGTACTTTGAATGGCTTGTGGGAGAGCAGTCGTGGATCGGCGCGCTGGCAGCGCACAGCTCTCGGTTGGTGAGAAGTGGTGCGTAAGGTGCCACAGCCAAGGTGTACGTCGCACAGGACGCTGTATGCCCCCGGGCCGCCGAGGCATCCGCCGGGCTGTGGGTGTATGCGCTAGTAACTCTGTCACTAGCTTTAGCACCGGCAAAAAGGGAGGCACGGGCAGCTGGAGGGGCAGCCGGGGCTGAACATTTCGCGTAATTTCGACGTTTTCCGTGGCAGTCTCACCCAGGAGCAAGCACTTGACCAGACAGATCTGATGCCGCCCAAACGGAAGGCGCGCAAGCCAGCCGATGCCATCGATCTCACCGAGATGGCGAGCTCGCAGGAGAAGAAACAAAGGGTAGCCTTGACCACCATCGCGAAGGAGTTCATCTGTCCGATCACGCAAGAATTGCCTATTTCTCCCGTGACCGCCGAAGACGGCAAGGTTTACGAGGAAACAGCTATACGCGAGTGGTTCTCGAAGAAAGATGGAGCCCCAACCAGCCCGAGCACAGGCGCCGTCATCGGGACGAAGTTATTCCCGGCGCCGCAAGCGCGAAACACGATCGAGGCGCTGATCCAGAGCGGCGCGATCGCGGGCGAGATTGCTGAGGCGTGGAAGCAGAAGCTGGAGGATGAGAAGGAAGTGAAGGAGACGCGCGCCGAGGCGGAAGGCGGCGACGGGGAAGCTATGTATATGCTCGGCGCGTGGTACCGAGAAGGTGTGAACGGCCTCGCAAAAGACGATGTTCAGGCCCGCGCGTGGTACGAGCGCTCTGCGGCCGCCCGCCACCCAAAGGGGATGGCGGCTTTTGGTGAACTTCTCCTGCTTGGCATCGGCGGGCCCGAGGACAATGTATTTGGGGTTATGAACGTGACCGCGGCGGCGGAGCTCGGATCGGACGTCGGCGCGTATTTTCTTGGGTACGCGTTCTTCAGAGGCGCTTACGGTCTGCCAAAGGACTCCATCCGAGCGCGGTTCTGGCTGACGAAGGTCGTAAATGGCGAGTGCGAGGTCAAGCACCTAAACGAAGCCGGTAGAGCCGAGGCGGCGGCATGGCTCCGCGCGCTGCAGGACGAGTAAAGGTCAGTGTGTACTTAGTAGCACCCCCCCCCCCTAGCCTAGCCTGATTAACCCGGTACTTGCGTCGGATTTTGCGGGACCCCTCCCCGCCCCAGGGACTCGTCGCCAACGCTTCAGGCTCAGGCTAGTTACGGCTCAGGCTAGTTACGTCGCGGGGTTCCCCGTACCCCTCCCGTCGTTCCTAGTACCTCTATCACTAGCCCGTATTGCTCTTGGTCCTTGCCTTGCAAGGTTGTGCTCGCGCAGCCGTCGAAGAATTGCGCGTACAAGCCCGCATCGCTGCCATTTTGCATAACTGAGCTCGTGGCCTCAAAATATTAGCCAGAGCGGCCTCCCTGATCCAGCACACTATTGACCTGCGCCTTGCTGGCTCCCTACGTCCGGCGCTCGAAGGCACAAACCATGTCCCAAGCATCGCAAAAGCGCGCCCGCGGCGCCGACGCCATCGACCTCACGACGGAGGACGTGAGCCCTCGCGAAAAGAAGATGCGCGAATCTATCAATGGCGTCGCGGCCGAGCTGCTATGTCCTATTACTCAGGAACTGCCGTTCGACCCCGTCATGGCAAAAGACGGCAAGATATACGAGCGGACAGCCATCCTGGAGTGGTTTAGAAAGAAAGATGGCGACGCGACCAGCCCGAGCACGGGCAAGGTGATCGGCACAGAATTACTGCCGGCTGTCCAAACGAAGAACACAATCGAGATGCTCATCAAGAGCGGCGCGATCGCGGGCGAGCTGGCCACGGCGTGGACGGAGAAGCTGGAGCAGGAGAAGGTAGTGAAGCGACTCCGGGCACAAGCAGAAGGCGGTAACGGTGAAGCTATGTATCTGCTCGGCGCGTGGTACGAGTATGGCGAAAATGGCGTCGCGAAAGACGAGGTGCAAGCCCGCGCGTGGTACGAGCTCAGCGCGGCGACCCGCGACCCAAGAGGGATGGGAACTTATGGCGAATGTCTCCTATGTGGCGTCGGTGGTCCAAAGGACAATGTATTTGGGGTTATGAATGTGACCGCAGCGGCGGAGCTCGGCTCGAACCTCGGCGCGTATAGACTTGGCTGGGCGTTCTTCGAAGGCGGCCACGGCCTGCCGAAGGACCCTGTTCGGGCGAGGTACTGGTTGAAGAAGGTCGTCGACGGCGAGTGCACGCACAAGGACCTATACGATGCAGACTTACTAGCAGCCGAAGCGGAGGAGTATCTCCGCGAGCTGGACCAGGAAGCGTAAGGTCAGTGTGTACTTAGTAGCACCCCCCCTCCTTCATCAAACCTACTCCTCCGCCGCGGCCGTCGCCTCGTCGTCCTCGGCCTCCTTGATCATGTTGAGGAAGTCGGCATCGACCGCCCGTAATTGCTCCTCCATGGCCTGGGCCTTCGCCTCCTTCTCCTCCTCCGTTTCTCCGGTCTCGCCCTTGGCCTTGTCCCGAGCGCGTCTGAGGTCGCGCTCTCGGAGCTCCAGATTCTTCTCCTGCTTCGTCTCGCGCTCGAGCATGGCGCCGATGGCCGACTTCTCGTTGTGCTGCGGCGTGGCTAGGGAATCGCAGACCTCCATCAAGGCCACGGTACCCTCGACGTCACCGACACTGAGCAACCGTCCGGTAGTAGCATCGTTCGCGATGGAAGAAAGCGCACAATCGCCGACCTTATGCGTGTAGGCCACCTCGTTCTGGCGGTAGAAGTAGTCCCACACATCTACAATACCGTCCATGCGCGTGACGAAGAAGACGCCGGCCCGCGTCGACGACCAGCACCCCGACGTCAAGTAGGCCGAGTGGTACTTCGTCGTCATGATCGGCGTCTTGAGGTCCTCCATCCAGACGCGCGCGGTCCAGTCGCCGACCGTCATGAAGAATTTTGTGTGCGTTTGGTTCCGATGGATAGCGTAGATGGGCCCGTGGTGCTTGCCGTGGTTCTGATCATACACAGCGATGCCGTTGTTCTGCTTGCGGTTTCGCAGGTTGATGGCTAGCACGATACCCTGCTCGGTACCGACGACATATTTCGTTGGCACCTCCTTGTGGTAGTCCATGGCGCTGCCGCCGAGCACGGCTCCGTCTTTGCCCGTCGACAGTTGTAGGGCGTCGACCGGTTCGCCTAGGCGTCGCGTGTCCCACCAGAGCATGTTACCGTCGGTCGAGACAGACGCGCACTGGTTGCCTGTTTTAGAACTGATCCAGAAGCAGTCGTAGACCGGATCATGATGACTTTTTTCGATGACGGAGCACTCCTGCGGGGCACCGCTCTTCCGAAGGTCGTAGAACGAGACGAGGCCGTTGTAGGAACCACCAACTAACGTGTCGGTAGATTTCGGGTTGAATCTCAAACAACAAAGCGGTGAGGGCGGCGTCAACGCCTGATCGGGCGTGTTCGGGTTCGTCACGTCCCAGATGTAGGATTCAACAGGTAGTCTAGCGTTACTGAATTTCGGGTCCTGGAAATTCAAGATAGAATACGATACCGCGATCTTGGTAGGGCCTTCCGGGTGCCAATTAATAGAAGTAGCGGTCCGCTTGATCTCGTTGGGATCGCGAAACACAGCGAGACCCTTGGCCGAGGGCGGCTCCGACGACCAATCCCGATCCTCCCCCGCAAAGTACTCCTCATAGATGTCAATCGTGTTGTTCTGGCGCATGCATCTCGAGATGATGGGCCCCAAGGCCTTCATATTAGCTTTATAATCATCGTCCTTCTCCGCTTTTTTCCGGTAGCGCTGGACGTCGGCCGGCTCCGTCGGGTCCACGTCTTTCGGCCAGCCGCCCTCCGCATGGCGTATCGACGAGGCCTTCGTCACTAGTCTATCGGTGTTCGTCTCGTGCTCCGAGTAGGTGGGGCACGTATCAACCGTCGTGCAGACGGGGTTCCTCGGAATATAGTCGTCCTCGAACTCGTCCGTTTGTGGTATGGTGTGGAGGATGCGCGTGTCCTGGTCGCTGAAGTTTGTTTGTTTCCCAAATTCGCTTCGTACTTTCGTGTAGAGGTAGGCGACCTCCATCGTGCCTCACGCTGGGCGGGGTGCCTGGAAGGCTTCCGTGCGCGCGACGGGCAGCCCGGCAGCGACTGTGCGCGGTGGCTCTTGCGTCGGTGCACTGCGGGTCCACCCCGAGGCAGCCCTTCGTGCGCTTGGGGGCGTTATAGCGCTCCGGTTTTGCGCCGACGACGAGCGCTGCTTAATTGCTTGGTACGCTAACTACATGTAGCTTCCAAGGCGAGGGTTTGGCGCGCGGTCTGAGGCGTGCACAGGAGCACCTAGGCTCTCGACAGGAAGTACACAGACACACGTTACAATCCTACCTCCATCTTGGTGCACTGGTCGCCGCCGTCGCCGCCTCGTCTCGCGTCGGCAACTCGCGGATTCCCGCAGCGTGCGTCCGCGCGAAGCCCACGTAGGCGCGCGCCGACTCCAAAATGAAGGCGGCCTCGCCCGGTTTCAGGGGCCGCATGAACTTCGCTGGGGAGCCGCCCCACAGCTCGCCGCTCCCGACGGTCTTGCCAGCCGTCAATAATGCTCCGGCCGCGAGCATCCCGCCCGGCTCAATAGTCGTATGCGACATCATCGTCGCGTTCATACCCACGAAGGCTCCATCCCCCAACGTGCAGGCGTGCAAGAGCGCCATGTGCCCGATGGTGCAATCCGCACCGATAACCGTCGGCGTGGAGCCGCTGCCTCCGAGCGCGTCGCTGTCGACGTGCATCACGGTGCCGTCTTGGACGTTCGTGCGTGGACCAATTGATATCGCCGCGACGTCGCCTCGTATCGTGCAGTTGTACCAGACCGAGGCGTCGTCGGCGACGTCCACCGACCCGACGATGCTCGCTGACGGCGCGATGAACGCTGCGGCGGCGGTGTCGGGCACCTTGTCGCCGAGCGCGTAGCACGCGAGGCGGCGCCGCGGCAGCGCGCGTGTTGCGATCGATGCGAGGCGCCGCGGCGGCGGCAGCGCGCATTTTGAGATCGATGCGGCGAGTCGGCGCATTCCTGCGGTGCTGTTCGTTCGTTTGGAGATCGATGCGGCTGGTCGGCGCTTCTCTTTTGTTAAGCAGGCGCGAGTGGCTGCAGGGTGTAGGCTGTATGAATGGTGGCAGCGCGATTTTGCCGACGGAAAACGTCAGGGAGCTACCGTCGGTCACGAAATCGATCCCGGAGCAACGAATTGCGATGGATTATGCCGTTTAGGCCCCAACAAATCACATTGAAAATGCCTGCAAAACCCGCGAGAAAAAGACACTGGTGTGACCAACGCCTCTATCACTCCATTCAGAACGCTCGGTGGGGACGAGAAGCGCGTCGGACGACTCAAAGGCCATCGGCGCCTCGTCTCAACGCGCGAGAGAGGCAAATTGCGCCTCGCCTCGCTCCCGGGAGTAGAGCAACAAAACACTGCCCAACGCAGCTATCACTCCCACCCGGCCTCGCGCGAGGCCCACGGACGCACCGGGTGGCGTGAAGGCTAGCGCGCCCCATCCAACACTAACCTCACAGCACCAAAACCATGATCGGCCGCTCGAGCCTCGGCCTCATGGTCGAGCGCCACCACGACGCGCCGCAGTCGACGGCGGCGGGCTGCCTGCGGCGCGACGGCGGGCCGCGCATGACGCACGCCATCCTCAATCCGTCGTCAGAAGGTTCTACGTGGGGCAACGGACTGCGGGGCTACGACCTGAAATATGCAAGACGCGTCCCGCGCGTCCGTAAATTCGAGTGGGGTTCTGTTGATGACCACTCCTTCGTGCCTTCGGCGATGTCGCTGGCTTCTCTGTCTATTGGTAGCCAAGCGCGAGGCGCTCGGGTCGCGGCCATCGGGTCCTTTGCCTCTTCGCAGCCTACCTCCTACGCTGAAACCTCTCAGAGGTTGCTGGAGCCCCAAGGCTCGGCCTATCTAGAGACAAAGCCTTACCCTGTCGATTTGGCGGAACGCGACAAGCGCGTGGCAAAGCAATGGTTCTCGCCGAATCTGATCGGGAACGTGAAACAGAGAAAACGACGGTACAAGACGCCGGCATCGCGAGGGGCTTCTCAATCAATCAAAGTGCAAAATAAAGACTACGATCGCCGCATCGAGGGCGGCCGCCTCTTCCAGAAGAAGGAGGTGCTCCAGTCGAATTCGTCGCTCTACGGGAGCATGTCCGGTAGAACGTCGCAGCCGGGCACCGTGGCCTCGTCGACCGAAGGGTATAGGAACAAACTCCACGCGAAGCACTCTTCGGATTTTTTCTTAGATGATCCGCCGACCGAGGCGAAATTGTTCGGTACCGAGGCGGACACGAACCAGAGCGGTTCGGCGCCGACGAAGCGCGACTTACAAGCACTAGCGAGGATCACGCGGCCGACGGAGGACCTGGCGTTGCTCGGTGCTGCGTTCTTGGTTCTGGTCGATGGTGCTGCGGATTTGCGGTGGGGCGCCTTTAGACAACGGGCGAAACAGTCGTCCTCGGCCTCCGACGCTTTGCGTTTACAACCAAATAGCATCGACGACGCAAGAAGGCGGGCGCTGCACGCCTTCATCGACGGGCGCCTCTCCGCGAACGTCTCGAATTTCACGACGCGGCAATCGAGAGCGATCCGCAAGCTCGAGGGCTGGGTCCGCGGGGCGCTGGCCAAGGCCGACGCGCACATCGCCGACACGTACGGGCCCGCGCGGACGTCTCCTCCAGAGGACCTCGAGACCGTATAATAGTACACGTCTTAGTCTTATAGGGCGGTGGTCATAGGGTCGCGTCCGTCAGAGGCCCCGGAGACGCGCGCGCTGCCTTTCTAAAGCCGCGGCCTTGTTCCGCGCGATGCGCGCCTTCTGCTCCTCGGTCAGGCCTCCGCCGCCCGAGGCGTTCGCCGGGCGCAGGGCCGGGGGCGGCGGTCGCCGCGGTTGGACGGGCGGCGGCGGCGGCGAGCGCCGCTGCGAGAGCGACCCCTGCGAGAGCGCCACGGCCGCGGGCACGAGTTTCACATGAGACCGGCGCGGCGGCGGCGCCTCCTGGCTCAGCTGGCTCGCGGGGCGCAGGTCGAGGCGCGGCCGGCGCGGCGGCGGCGCCTCCTGGCTCAGCTGGCTCGCCGGCCGCAGGTCCAGGGGTCGCTTCCGCGCGACGGGCACGGGGATGCGAAAGGAGGACTTTCGCGGCCCGCGGCGCGGGGCGCGCCCCGGCGGCGGCGCCGACGCCTCGAAGGACGACTTCTTCTTCTTCCGGCGCGCCGGCGGCGCCTTGCGCCGCGGCGGCGCCGCGCGGAAGCGGCCGCCCCAGTCGTCTCCAACATCATCCACGTCGGAAACGTCCTTGTCCGAATCGGACCAGCCGCTGCCCTTGTTTACGGTGGGCAGGCGCCGGTCCGCCCAGCGCACGTCGTCCTCGCCGCCGCCGCCGGCGCGGCCGCGCGTCCAGCCGTCGTCCTCCGCGTCGTCATCCTCGTCGTCCGTGTCGACGTAGCGGCCCGCGTCGCCGCCGCCGCCGCTCGAGAAGCTCCGCGTGTCGCGGTAGCGGTTGCTGTTGTAGGCGTCCTCGAAGTCCAGGGCGTCGCCGCCGCCCGACGCGTGCTGGAGCGCGGCCTGCAGCACGCCGCCGCGCCGCATGCGCTTCGAGCCGCCCCGGCCGAGCGCCGCGCCGAGCGACGCCGACGACCGCCGCGACAGGTCGAAGCGCGAGTGGTCGAAGCCGCCGTCGTCCTCGGACTCGTCGTTCAGCAGCGAGTCGCGCGCCGCCTTTCTGTCGTCCGCGGAGCCGTGGTCGCTCTCGTCGGACGAGCCGTCGCTGCACGCGGCCTCGTCGTCCAGGACGTCGTCGTCGTCCTCCTCCGACTCCGCGACGGCGCGGCGGCGGCGTGGCGGCGCCTCCGAGTCCGCGGCGGCGCGGCGGCGGCGCGGTGGCGGCGGCCGGCGGCGCGGCGGCGGCCGCCCGTCGCCGTCCGAGTCCGAGTCCGCGGCCCGCGCGTCCTCCTCGGCCTGCAGGCGCCGCGCGAGCGCCGCGTCCGCCGCCTCCTGGGACGCCTCGTCCTCGACGAAGGAGAGGGCCGCGCTCGCGCCGCTCCCGCGCCGCGGCAGCTCCGGGGCGTGGTTCTTCCGGAGCCGCCGCAGGCGCCGTGGTGGCGGCGACGGCGACGCGATCGACGAGTCGACGGAGCGCCGCGGCTGCGGCGAGTCGGCCGTCAAGTCGACGACCTCGCGCGGCGACGCGCGCGGCGACTGCGTGAGGCGCCGGTGCCGCGCGCAGAGCACCTCGAAGGGCGTGTCCGGGTCCTCTCCCGCGGTGGACAGGGCGAAGGGCGTCGACGCCTTGAGGGCGCAGCTCGCGTGGACCGCGGCGCGGCAGCCCGCGTGGCCGCACCGGACGGCGTTGCCGCGGCCGCAGACGTCGCACCTCGTCGCCGCGCGCTCGGGGCCGACGTCGAGGTCGACGGCGCACATGGCGTCGTCGACCTCGAGCTCGGGCGTCCAGAGGACGCAGCACACGTGGGCCCAGCCCTTGCGGCCGACGCGCTTCAGGCCGCCGCTGTGCGTGCCGCAGAGGCCACATTTGGGGTCGGCGTGCGCCGCGCGCGACCCGCGCCGGCCGCTCTGGCAGGGGTCGCAGAACCACCGCCGCGGCGGCGCGCCGACCACGCCGTAGCAGCCCTGATGCACGCGCACGTCGCACGCGTCGCAGTCGACGAACGCGCCCGCGTCCGCGCCGCCGCCGCAGACGGCGCAGACCTCGCCGTCTGAGCTCGCGGTGTTGCTTATCGTGCCGCGGCGGACCGAGGCCATCGTCTTGCGCGTCCTTCACCCGCGCGGCGGTTTCTTTGTGGCGTCAATTTTCTTGTGCGCGCCGCCGGTCCGCTGCTCGCGCGCGGAGTGGTAATGGTAGTTTCCGCGCGCCTCCTGATAACCGCGAAGGCGTTTTGCGTTCAGCACGGTTTCGTCTCGGCAAGTCTTAATACGCGGTGCGGACGCACACAGCTCCTTGCTCAGCGAGTGCCACAGCGCGCGGTGCCCTACTGCTGCGGCACCAGCGCTTGGCGCCGCGTATGCACGCCCTCAGCGGCGCGCGCAGGCGTCCCGTTGTTTGCGAGATTGTCCTCGCGTCTCGGCTTCGCGTCGGGATGAATCCCGCGCCACGGAGGCCTACAGACGCCGAGCCGGACGGCTGTGACGCCTGGCGGAATCGGTCTTGCTTGCTAGTGTCTTACAGGCCGCTAGCCCACGCGGACTAATTCCACAAGCGCGTTTTTTGGCCTGCCATTGCTCCTTCCGGACGCACCTGTGCCACTAGACGGCTGCGTCGAGCGTCTGTGCTGAGCTGCTCTCGTTGCGTAGCGCAGGCGACACAGCCCTCGCACCCTCAAAATGCCAAGTTACAATGGCCGCAGGCGAGGCGGTAGGGGACGTGGACGCGGCCGCAGCAATAACTACAATAACAACCAGAACCAGAACACCTTCGGCGGCGGCAATCAAAACATCCCGCTTGGCGCCGCCGGCCAAAACAACGCGTTCGGTGGTGGCATGCAGCAGTCCTCGCCCTTTGGCGGCGGCATGCAGCAATCGAATACCTTCGGCGGTGGCATGCAGTCGAACAACACCTTCGGCAGCGGCCTGGGCGTCCAGCAGTCGAGTACGTTCGGCGGCGGCCAGTCGTCGACCACGTTTGGCGGCCAGTCGAACTCGTTCAATCGCGGCGGCCTGGGCATCCAAAGGAACCGGCCGCCGCGGACGCCAGCGCGGACGCAGAACATCCCGCTCGGCTCGGCCGGGACGGCCTCGACCTTCGGCGCGACCTCATCCCTGGGAAACTCGTCCATGTTCGGCGCGGCGCCCGCGCCGACGACGTTTTTCGGTGGGTCTACCGCGCCGGCGGCCTCGCCCTTCGGCGGCGGCGGCGGAGCGACGACGTTCGGGGGAGGAGCGCCCGCGGCGACGCCTTCGCCCTTCGGAGGCGCCTCGCCGGGCGGAGCAACGACGTTCGGCGCGGCGGCGCCGTCGACGACGTTCGGCGGGGCCGCGGCGTCGCCCTTCGGGGGCGCCTCGCCGGCCGCCGCGTCGCCGTTCGGTGGAGCACAAACCGCCGCGGCGCCGGGCACGGGCGCGCCGCCCTATGCAGCGACGCCCGACACGACCGTGGACAACTCGAAGCACCGGCAGGTGCTCCTGCCCATCACGGCCATGCCTCCCTACGCCGGCAAGTCCTTCGAGGAGTTGAGGGTGGAGGACTATCAGCAAGGCAACAAGGGCCGGGGCGGCGCCGCGCCGGCGACGCCGGCCTTTGGCGGGAGTCCGGCGGCCGTGGCGTCGCCGTTTGGAGGCGCTGCGGCGCCCGCCGCGGCCGCGTCGCCGTTCGGCGGGGCGCCGGCCGCGTCGCCGTTTGGAGCGAGCCCTGCTGCCCCGGCGGCGGCCGCAAGCCCGTTTGGCGGTGGCCCGGCAACTAGCAGTCCGTTCGGTCAACCCGCGGCCGCGGCGGCGAGCCCCTTCGGCGGCGCGCAACCGGCCGCCGCGAGCCCCTTTGGCCAGCCGGCGGCGGCCGCGGCCTCGCCTTTTGGCGGAGGCTCGACGCCAGCGTCGACGCCGTTCGGCCAGCCGGCCGTGGCGTCGCCGTCGCCTTTCGGCGGTGGAACAACGTTCGGCGGCGGCGCGGCGGCGCCGACGAGCAGTCCGTTCGGCGGCGGCGCAACGTTCGGGGGATCGGCGTTCGGCCAAAAAGCAGCAGTCGGTGCCGCGGGAAGCGCAAAGGCGGCGAGCGACGGCCCCGGCGGCGGCGGGCCTTGTACCTGGCCCGAGCTGCCCCAGGCGCCTCCCGCGGAACCCTACACGAGTCCGATACGCCTGGGATCCGTGCCGGAGGTGCCGCCGCCGCCCATCTAGCGTACTAAACGACGTCTGCGGCCTCGCGGACGCCGACGCAGCGCGTCGATTGCGAAGACGCGAGCGAAATTAATTTTGTGAACACTTACTACAACGTCTACTTCCCGCCTCCTTTGCGCGCCACCTGCTCGAAGCGCTCCCGCGTCTCCGGCGGCAGGTTCGCCCAGGCCTCCTCCACACTAATGTCGGGCACGGGCTGGTCCGCGGCGAGTTTCGCCGCGCGGTTCTCGTGCCACTTCGACGCGAAGACGTGGAGGCCCGTCATGCGCGGCGGCGGGTCGCCGATGGGCTGGGGCCCGGGCACCTGGGCCCGGGGGTCGCGCGGGTCGCGCGCCTGCCAGCAGTGCGGCTCCGCGCGGCCCGGCATGGGAAAGTCTCGCTGCGACGACGCCTTATTTTCGTGAGGTCGGAAGCCCAGCGCCACCCTATAAAGCTGCCGGCGGATGGCGAACGCGACCGCGGCGTCGAAGGGTGCGTGCAGCCCCATGTCCGCGCACGTCCTTCGCGCTAATAGTTCAGGCTTGTCGCAGGACGAGTCGAGCGTGTCCCAGACGAACTCATCACAAAAACGCTTCTGCTCGTTCGTCGCGTCCACTACGAGCGTGACGTGCCGCGGCAGCAAAGGTTCGTCGCGCCGCGCTACAAATTTCTGGAGCTGCTGGGCGACTTTCAGTTGCTCTCTCAATGAAGCTGCTATCAATGCAACGCATTCTTGCGGGAGCTGCAAATCGTCTACTGTTTGTTTCGCAAACTCTTCGGGCGCCATCCGCGACGCATCGAGGCTCCAGAGGAAGGAGTCGACGTGCCTAACTCCTTTGCAGTCGACGTCGACGACTATCGGTGCGAGGTTGCCGGGGAAGACGGTGGTCCGCATCGTTTACGCTGCGTGTGCTGCTTGTCACGTGCTGTGCTGTGTTTGAGGGTGTTCCGCGGCGTCGCGCTGTGCAATTTCGCGCAGGCCTCGGCACGCACGTCTCCAAACTGTGCTGTTTCAATACGTCGATGGCGTTAGCGGCTGACCACGCAGGGAGAGCCGCTTCAGTTCCAATTGCGCTAGCGTCGATAGACATACTAGATGAATGTTTAAAGTTAGACGGGCCGCTTTTACGCCACCCCGTCTAAGAGGACCTCCAGGGCTCTGGATACGTGCATCTCCGCGCGTATACGGACGACACGTCTGGCTCGCGAGAGGAGGCGCGAGAGAGCGTTGCGTATTTGTTGCGGCCCGCGGAGCGGACGGCAGCAAGATCTAACCCCTCTGGGCTACAGAAGTGTCATCACAGGGCAACATAGGCGAGTCTCGGCCCGAGAGGTTCCGCGGCGGCCTAGTTTTAGCACATTAGGCGGTCGCGGCTTTCGCCGGCTACCGCGGCGAGTGGAGCCCCCCGAACCGCCCGCAAACGCTTCTAGGACGACCGCGCCCGCTGCGAAAGACGCCCCCCGAGGCTTACAAGACATTTGAAGCCCTGCCCGCGGAGGCGACCCGGCGACATGGAAACCGCCGCCGATAAGATCGCCCCGCCCGCCGTCAAGGCCGAAGCCAAGCCCGAAGCCCCACCCATACAAGCCCCCCCGCCGCCTGCACCACAACCGCGCCTCTCGACGCGCAACGGCGGCATAAGACCGGAACCGGCCGCGCCGCGCGACCCGCCGCCCGCGACGCCCACGAAAGCCGCGACGGCGACGCGGCCCACGTCGTCGCGACGATCGAGCGGCGGCGCGAAGAAGAGCCCGCCCCGCGCGGCGCCGACGTCCGGCAGCGCGCCGTGGTCGGCGAGCGAGGACGCGGAGCTCACGAGATTGGTCCAAGCGAGAGGCCCGAGGAGGTGGCCCACCATCGCCGCGGCCATGCCCGGTAGGACCGGCAAGCAGTGTCGAGAGAGGTGGCACAACCAGCTCGATCCAGCCGTCTCCAAAGCTCCTTTTACCGTCGACGAAGTGAGAACTATACTAGTCGAGCACCACAAGCGCGGCAACCGCTGGGCCGAAATTAGTAGAATGCTGCCCGGCCGCACGGATAATGCGGTCAAGAACCACTGGAACGCTTCATTACGAAGAAGGTTCGAACGGTTTGTGGCGGAGGAGGTCGGCCCTGAGGCCATCCAGCAGCAGCCGTCGCGCGGCGACGCGCCGGGCCCGAAGGGCCGCGACGCGCCGACGCCGGCCTTCGATTTGTCGGGGCCGTTGCTAGAAAAAGCCCTCGCCGCTTGTGTGGGCGGTGCGTCCTCACCAGCACCCGGTACAGGAGGGCGCGCGACCGGCGCGTCGCCGCAACGCAAGCGCCAGCGACGGTGGCAGGCGGCGCCGCGGCCGGGCACCTTCGCGGCTGACCTCGTTGAGGAAGTCCCGCGCGGGCGACTGGGCAAGCTCGCGACGGTCAATGAAGAGGGCAAGCCCTCTATTGTGCCCAGCACGCCGCGGCGCGACGGCGCGGGCGTCAACGGCGACGGCGCGCCGCTGCCGCCGATTCCCGCGACGCCGTGCGTATTGCGGCGTCCTTTCATTCATGTGACGACGCGGCTGACGACCAAAAAATTCAAAGCATATTAGACTACCGATCCGAATGAGGACACACTAACTCTCTTCCCGACGCGTCTCTTTGACGCCATCGCGGCGACGAGCGAACGACTCATAGATTACGATACACACGCAGGCCCAAGAAGATCTCGTTGCCGGCGAAGAGCCCGGGCGGCTCCAAGGATCCCAAATCAAAAAGGGAGATCGTCGCGGCCGGGGCCTGTCGACACGAACTGCTGCCCGTGCCCGGCGTCGTTGACGACGCGGTCGCAGCTAAATTGGCCGCCGAGCTCTGGGAGCAGGTCTGGCCCCTCCCGGCCTCGGCCCAGAATAGAGCTGGAGCCGTCGCCGCGTCCGTGTCCGCGGCCCAAGGCAAAGACGGCACGCAAATTGCGAGAACGAAGCGCTGGACGGCCGACGAAGCCCAACGGTTCGGGGAATTGATGGTGAGATCTAGGAAAGACGTGGCAAGAGTCGCGAAGGAATTGGGCGGCGGCCGCACCATCGGCGACTGTCTGGGCTTCTACTACGGGCGCTGGAAGATGACCGACGCGTACCGAGCGCTCAAGGACCAGATGCGGCGCGATAGGAAGGCGGGCATGATCAACGTGGGCGTGTCGTCTGCTGCTACTAGATCTGCCTCATATGCGAGAGGTGAATTGGGGCCGCCTCGTAGAAGGTCTGCGGGCGGTCCTCGGGCCTCGGCCAGACGTAGAGGTGGTGTCATGCCCCCGGCCTACACGACGAAGCCCTTAACAGGAATGCCGGCGCCGCCACCCTTGCCGAAGGAGCAGCTCGAGTTAAGAAGAGAGGTCTCCGAAGATCCCGAGAATCAGTGGCAGAATCCTCTCAGAGGCTTGCGGCCGCCGCCGAACGACATATTAAGAGCGGCGACGTCGCTGCGGGGCGGCGTCTGCACCTACCATGGGCACGACTGGTACGTCTGCACGGGCGGCGACACGTTAGAATCCGTTGCGGGAGAATTGGAACTTGCGGCCGACGTTTTATGCTGCGTCAACGAGGCGGCGCGACGAGCTGGGGCATTGAAGAACGGTGCCGAGGTCACGCCCAGCAATAGTGTAGACCTGGAGAAGCCGATCTTGCGAGGGTTTCGGCCCGAGGCGGGCGCTCCTATCTTGTTACCTACAGCTACCCAGGTCAAGCCGCCACCTCTCCATAATAGAACAGGTAGAGAAGGTAGCGTCGTAGACTTCGAGGAGCGAAGGTGGTACGTCTGCCGCGACGGAGAAACGTGCGCGACGGTCGCTCGTTCGCTGTCAGGGGCTTATCGGTTTGACGTTTCCATACGGGAGGACGACGACGCTAGATTGGCGGCCCAGGCGGCGCAAAACGCCCTGGATTACTTACGTAGTCAAAGTGGAGAAGCCCCGGTCACGAGACAAGTACCGGAACCGGAGCCGCAACCCGAACCAGAATTACCGGACGACCGCCTGACGGAACGGGCCGCAAGGTTAGTTGCGGAGGCCATGGCCGTGCCTTCCTTGGTCTCCGTCCGCAAGGACACGAAGCTACCAGCTCGCACGTGTTTACCGCTACCAGAGGACATGATCAATAGTAGGAGCGGCTGGCCCGGACATGCTATTAGGGTGGCACCACCTCTGGTGGAGGCGGAAGCCGATAGAGCCGCTCTCAGGAATGGGGATGTCCTCGTGGAGGAGGCTTCGGGGCGGCGGTGGGCGGCGGCGAAGAGAGGAGAGTCCCAGCAGCAGGCGGCGCGGCGGTTCGGTGTGGATGCTCGTCGCGTGGCCAAGGAGAATGATTTAACGCCCTGGGGGGCGGCTTTGCGGAGAGGCGCCGTGCCGGAAGGCGCGCCTTTACTCATTCCCGAACCAGGGGCGGCCGCGAGGGACCGCGACGAATCCCCAAGGCCGCACACGGTCCGACGGTCGCCGGCGGCTAGAAGCACACAAGTCACATCACCTTCGAGACCGGCACCCTTAGCCTGCTCCGCCTGTCGATTACTAGGCGGCTCCGCGAGTCGATGCAGGAGGGAACTGCGCCACTCCGCCCCACCCTACTCGTTACCACCCGACGTCGGCACGCGAGTTAGGGTGAGGTGGCTCCCCGAAGGCAGCGATGAGAACGGCCACCACAAACGGGCGTCGTGGTATTTTGCTACTGCAACAGTCGTGGGCGAAGAGACCGCCGAAGGGACACGCAAGGTCGTGGTAGCCTATGATGATGGCGGCGGCGACGACGAGATCGAGTGGCCCGACGCCGACGCTATTAGTCTACCAAAAGATCAGACGAACTTGGCCCGAGCGGCGGCCGTCAGCGAGGACCAGAAGAAGATCAAGGGCCAGGCCTTCAAGCTACAAGGTGATAGTAGGGACTATCGGGTCAACGACGTGTTTTATTCGGTCGAGGAAGGTATTGACGGGGTCGTGGTACAGTACTACGACACGGGCGTCTACAAGGAGCCGCCGTCAGATAAGGATAGCCACGCGTTCGAGTGGGCGGCCTTTGACGACTTCGAGCAGCGGGCCACTGTCGAGTCTGATGCTTCTCAGTTCGGGCGCGGGGCTCGCAGAGCGCGGTCACCGCGCGCGTCGCTGGAGGGGCGGTCGGACTCGCCGCCGCGGAAGAAGCGGCGATGAGTGGGTGCGGTGGCAATAAGTTATTTATTAGATACCTTGGTATCTGTTTCGCTGCGTTCGGCATCGGCGTTCGCGTCTGCGAGTTGAAAAATCGGGTTTTGCAAGCCGAGTCAGCGCCGCGCAAGCCCAATAACACCGCAAAACGCAAGATGATCCTCACAAATTGCGCCGCCTGCGCCGCCCCACTGGCCCACAACGCGCCGCGATGTATTAGATGTTGGACCCGCTATTGTGACTCGACTTGCCAGCATGACCACTGGCGCCGCGGCCACAAGCAAATGTGTAAGAAAATACACCGCGGCGGCAACGCGGAGCAATACCACGCCGACGAAAAATACAAGGAGGCCGTCGCGGAGGCCGTCGAGGCGTGCGCGGACGACACGAAGGGCCAGACGTGCTTCATCTGCACGCAAGCTTTGCATTGGAAGACGAAGGAGGGCCTCGTGCGCGGGTGCTCGTGCCGCGGGACGGCGGGTTTCGTTCACGTGTCGTGCTTGGCAGAGCAGGCGAAGATTTTGTACGCGGAGGCCGAGGAGAACAATTTGGATGAGAATGCGTTAAATGAGAGATGGGAACGGTGGGACACGTGCAGCATGTGCAAGCAAATGTACCACGGCGTCGTGAGATGCGCGCTCGGGTGGGCGTGCTGGAAGACGTACGTGGGTCGGCCGGAGGGGCACTGGGCTCGGTGCCCTGCGATAAACCAGCTTGGGAACGGTTTATCCGCTGCAAATCACTATGAGGACGCCTTGGCCGTGCGAGAGGCCGAGTTGGCTATGAAACGGCGCATTGGCGCATCAGAAGAAAGCATTCTCGTCGCGCAGAGCAATCTTGCGAACACGTATCATGATCTTGATCGTTTTGAAGAGGCCGTGCGTTTGCGACGGGACGTATACTCTGGAACTTTGAAGATATGTGGCGAAGATAGTAGAGACTCTCTTATAGAGGCCAACAATTACGCGGCCTCCCTTGTTCATCTAGACTCAGAGCGTTTTGAAGAAGCGAAGTCGCTGCTGCGCAAAGAGATACCCGTAGCGCGACGTACTCTCGGTGATAGTGATAGACTCACGCTCAAAATGAGGTGGAATTACGCGGGGGCGCTCTACAAAGACGACGGTGCCACGCTCGATGATTTCCGCGAGGCCGTGACGACTCTCGAGGACGCGGGGCGAATCGCGCGGCGCGTGTTCGGTGGCACGCACCCGCTCACCGAAGAATTTGAGAACGGATTGCAAGACGCGCAAGCCGCGCTCACCGCCCACGTGTCGCCGGAGGAATGGCGCGCGGCCGCGAGAGGCGTAAAGATCCACTAAGATCCAAAACGCCATCGACGCGCCCCCGTAGCAAGTAAGAGTCAGTAAACTTTAAATCTCGTCCCGCAGGATCCGCCCCCGGAGCTCCCGCATCAGATGGTTCATGTAGTAGATGTTGTGCAGCGACGCGAGCGTCAGCGCGAGGGGCTCGTTCTGCTTGAAGAGGTGGTGCAGGTACGCGCGCGTGTAGGGGATCGACTCCATGTGCGGGTCGATCGGCGTGTGGTCGTTCTGGTACTTTGTGGCGGAAATGCGCACGTCACCCTGCGTCGTCAATAGAGTGCCGTGCCTCGCGACGCGCGTGGGATTGCACGAGTCCATCGTGTCGACGCCCAGCGGTACGACCGAAGCGCAGGACTCGGGGTCCGCGATGCCCAGTAGGTGGTTCGGCTTGTTGCGTGGCAACAAAGGCATCAACCAAGATAACATGTCCAGCATCTCCTGGCGATCTTTCCCCAGCGAGCCACCAACCGCCATGCCGTCGAAAGGTAGTGAGGACAGGTATTCTACGGATCTCGTCCGCAACTCCCTATCCACACCACCATGCACGACGGCGTACATGGCCTGGTCATTCACATTCGACAAATGCTCTCGCAGACTACGAGCCATCCATCTATGACTTAGTTGGACGGACTTCTCCAGGCGATCCCGCGTGACGTGGTACGGCGGCAGTTCGTCTAGAGGTATGATAATGTCCGCGCCGAACTTTTTTTGCGCTTGCACGCTGCTTTCTGGCGTCAGTTCAATAACCGCACCGTCCCTATAAGATTTGAAGACCACGCCTTGCTCCGTCACACTACACAATTTGCCGTGCTGCGTCTCTTGAGCATCTTTCTTCCTCCTTACCCTCTTCTGTTTCAGCTCGGGGCCGTCGTCGTCACTATCCGCATCAGCTAACGAAAAAACCTGGAACCCGCCTGAATCGGTAATCAGAGGTCGATCCCGTCGCATAAATTTGTGCAGACCGCCCGCACTTGATACAACCTCGGTCCCGGGATGCACCAACAAGTGATACGTGTTGCAGAACATGAGCTGCACGTCCGCATCATTCGCTTGTTCCGAGCTCACCGCCTTGAGCGCTCCGTTCGTCCCGACGGGAACGAAGCACGGCGTGTCAATCACTCCATGAGGGGTGTGGATGCGGCCCACCCTTGCCCTCGATCCTGGTTTTTTGGATTCATGTAAGACCTCGAAGCGGAAGTGGCTTCGAGGCGCCCACGGTTCGAAGGTCGAAGCGTCAGGCGGCGCTTGCATCGGGTCGACGACTTCTTGGCTCGGCGCCTTGCGCTTCTTGCCGGCCTTGTAGTCTTCACTTTCGCCTGTGAGTGCCTTATATCTAGATTGCAATTCAGCGATCTCCTTTGACACATCGGCATTTGGTAAGAGTTTTGACTTCTCGGTAATGGAACCCTTGACCTGTGCCACATCCTTCTCCCAGGTTTCTCTCGCCCGTAACCGCTCTTCCAATGCAGCCGCTTCTGATGAGGAACCGTTGCCGACGTGCTTCAACCGTCGCAGTTGTTTTTTTAGTTCTTTCGCGGTGGCCTGTTCTGGGGTTCCGGTCGTCATCGCGAGCCTATGTAAGTGAGGGTTTTGCGGCGTAAAGTCGCGCGTCGGCGTTGCGTCGCGTGTGTGGGACCGCTCGAGATTGAGTAGGAGGTTAATTTCCCCAGCTTTGGTGCTCCGGATGCGACTCCGGGGCGTGAGAGAGAAACGTTCTTCACTGCGGTTGCTTTGCTTTGTGTGTGTTGTTGCTTCTTCGGGGGAGGCGTCCTTACCTGCTGAGCACCGCTGGTCGTAGTCGTCGCGTCGGCTGCCTGCTCTGCAGCAGCACTGGTCTCAGAGTCTGTTGCAGCAAACCGTTCGCGCGTCGCAGCAGAATTGTTGCAAACAGTAACCCGCGCATGCAGCGCGAGTACTGCACGTACGCGAAGCGGCAGCGCTCAGCTCGCACTAGTTGGCGAGACTGCAGCGCTTTTGCCCTCCTGTGCAGCCCCTCTCTGCAGCTCTGGCCTCGATCGCCGGACGCTTCACAACAGAGGGCAACTCACCAACGCATTGTTCAGGACACGCACATGAGGCGTACGGAGAACGCGCCGTCCCTGTTTGATCTGGCCTCGTCTAAGCTGACGCGCGCAAATCGCGCAACAGACGAATGATCCACAACATTACGCACTAAATCCCCAGTGACGCGGTCGCATCGGCGCGGCGTCGTGGCGTCTACTCCGCGAGCCGCGCGCGGTCTCCCCTCCAGGGGCTCCGCCCACTAGTCCTAGCACCGCAGTCACGGTCCCGCTCGAGCCGCCGCTCGTGCGCCGCGTTGTCGTCGACGAAGCGCTCGATAAGCCGCGCATAGGCGTGGTCCGGCGGCAGAGCCCGCGCGTCCGGCGCGCCGACGCCGCCCTTCTGCAGGATCATCGTCGAGCCGCTCCGGCCCGGTAGGTTCGTTGGGAGCGAGATCGGTACGGGGCCCTCGAGCACGTCGAGCGCGCACTGCAGGATTTCGGGCCAGAGGCGATGCGTCGTCTCGGCGAAGAGGAACAATGCCCCGGGCTGGGCCGCCTTGAAGAGATCGCGGAAGAAGACGTACTCCGAGGCGCGCAGTGATACAGCGTTCTCGGCGACGACATACGATGCGATGAAGACATCTGTCGTGTCGGCACGTTGCGCCACTGCGGCGTTCGCTTCTGAATCCAGCGGAATGGTGATGTCGCCCGTGTGAAAGGCCACGCGGTGCCCGCCCGGAACAACCGAAGCCAGCGCCTCCACGCAGGCCGCCCAACCCTCTTCATAATCGACGACGTCGCAGTGCACTCGCGCCGACGGCCGCTGGTGGCGCGTCGGCGCCGGTCGGTTGTCCAGGTAGTCGCCGCCCGCATAATCCGCGAGCGTCGCGAGGGCCGCGAAGTCGCCTCCAGGACCTCCACCGAGCGAGAGCACGCGGCACGTCTCCTGGTATAGTATCACACGAGCCACTGCCAACCTCAACCACGCGTCCTCGGCGCAGAAGAACGCATCAGCAATTTTTTGAGCTCTCGGCGCGAGGTGCAGGCGCGCGTAGCCCTTCCGAGCAATCTCGTCCCCAAAGCACGGCATCGTCCCCCACGTCGCCGCGTCGCCCAGGGCGACCTCGAGCGCCCGCGTCGCCGGATCGTCGCCGTCGCCGGGGAACGCTTCGGCGCTCAGCGCGTCGAAGCGGCGCCGCGAGCGTCGCAGCCACGCCGTCCGTCGTCGTCCGGACGCGCCAAGGCCGGCGGTGCCCTCGGTGAGGACAGCCCTCGCTTCCGCGAAGCGGCCGCTTCTCGCAAGCGCCACCGCGGCCGCGTCCCTCACGCGGGCGTCGTCGGCGAGGCCTCGGGCCACGGCCTCCTCGAAGAGCGCGGCGACGTCGTCGGGCCGACTCGCGCGCCCCAAACACCGCAGCGCCGTCGTGTACGTGAACGCGTCGGGGCTGAACGAGCGCCGGCCCATGAGCTCCCGGGCCTCGGCCCACCGCGGCGCGCCGCCGAGGCCGCGGCCGCAGCCCGCGCGGTCGCAGGCAACTAAAGCGGCGGTGCCGGCCCTCACGGAGACCACCTCATGTCTGCGCTCGAGGGCATCCAGCAACGCGATGGCGCGGCGCCACTCGCCGCGGCGGCCCGACCGCGTGATGGCGCGCGTGTACGGCTCGTCGCGGCGGCGCAGCGATGCCTCGTCGGCGACGTGGGGTAGCGTGCTACTCAGGCGCACGCGCTGTCGCACGAGGCCGCCAGCCTGTCGCAACGCGCTACAGCGCAGCATCACGAGCAGCAGCAGTGTCATATGTGCAATGTCATTTATGCGTAATGAGTCACAGCTAATACGCGTTGCTGTACGACGCGTGGTTGCCCTATGGTGCGTATGCGTGCGCTCTGCAGCGGCGGCAAGCGCGTGCTGCAAGCTAGCTGGCAGGCTGTGCTCTGCGAGCCCAGCGACGCGTACGCGAGCGCACGAAAGCAAAAAGCCTTGACGAGTGCTCTTGGTTTCGCTGACGACGACTAAGGCAGCCAGGATGTCGCCGCGCTTCGTGGTGTGTCTGTGTGCAACGACAGCAGCGCTCTCTCCCATCCACGAAGCTCTGCGCAGTCGTCGCACCGTGCACAACTTCGACAACTCGCGAGACGTGCCCGACGACGTGTTGCACCGCGCTATCGAAGCCGCGACGTACGCGCCGAACCACAAGATGACGGAGCCGTGGCTCTTCCGGCGGCTCGGCACCGACGCCATCGAGGCGATCGCGTCACTGAATGCCGCGTCGATCTCCGACCCCGAAAAAGCCGCAAAAAAGGCGAAGCGCTGGGCCGACATCCGGAACTGGCTCGTGGTGACCTCGCGGATCACGCCCGGAGACGACTTATTAACGCGGGAGGACTACGCGGCGACGTGTTGCGCCGTCCAGAACCTGCAATTATCCTTCGCTGCCGACGGCATCGGTGCGAAGTGGACGTCTGGGGACATCCAGCGGACGCCGGAGTTCGAAAGGATTTGCGGCGTCGACGGGAACGCGGAGTGTGTTTGTGGAGTCATCTGGTACGGCTACGCGGCGGACGGCGCCGTGCCGGCGGCGCCGAGGCGGAAGCTCGGGGTGGACGAGATTTTGCTAAGTGTACCTTGAAACGTCAGGGCCCTTCGTTAGTCGATGTTACGGTGCTAGGACTAGTGGGCGGAGCCCCTGGTCAAAACCTTCGGTGTCTGTCGATGTTACGGTGCTAGGACTAGTGGGCGGAGCCCCTGGGGGGGAGACACCGCGCGTCGCCGATTCATCGGCGGCGAAAACAGCTAGCGCTGTAACACACTAGCAAGCTCGGAGCGGTTCGGGAAGGCATTCGGGAGGGCCTATGCTGCCCCGTCAGAGCGTACAGTAAATCAAATAGCTGCGATTTTGGCTTTGCAGTTACTGTCCTTGTAGTCTTGAACGAACCGAGGCAGCATGTCGGAGCACAGCGGGAGCGACTCGGACGAGGGTCCGCCTCCCCAGTCCCCACTCGACCTGTATCAATGTAACAATAGGATCCAGACGAGGCGCCAAGCGACGCACGCGCGAGACGCGAAGAGTACCGTGAACGTAAAGACATTCCTGCTGTGCCGCGCGCGGGCGAGCCGTGGGAGCGCGTTCGGGCGTGTGCCCGACGCGATATGTCGGCTCATTGCCGCGATCGCGGGCGGCTGCTTCGTGCCCGCCGACGGCTTTCGTGGCCGGCGCGAGGGCTGCGTGTTCAAACTCGGCGGACGGGGCTTGGGTTACTACCCGGACTTCGCTGCGCTGGAGCAAGCAGCGCGCGACCGGGAGCTCTCCTCGGAGGACCGCGTCCGGGCTATCAAAATCCAGTTGGAAGTCGACAGCGCAAGCCCGCCGGCGTCGGCCGAAGCTTGGGACGGACTCTTGTCTCGGCTTCAGGAGCTCGATCGCCTTACTACCGATGATCCTGGTACGAATGCTATACTAGCATCGGTCGGGGGTGAAGTTATCGGCCTCCTCCTCGATCTCCGAAACAGCCAAGGACGGCGTTTCCTCAGGCAAATCCGAATAGGCGTTTACTCAGGCAAAACTCGAGTTGAGTTAATTCAGCCGACCCAGCCCAGCAAAGTCGAGACGGCCGTCGCCGAGCTAGCCCGGGACCTCGTGGCGAAGTATAAACAGTGGCGCCAATTTCCACTTCCCGGAAAAGCGCCAATTTCGTACTTCTAGTAGTATGATATTAATACTTCAAGTTAGCACATTCTCACATACTCAGCGGCGCCAGCCCCGCGGCAAGCCACGCGTCGGCGTCGATTCGGGGGGAGAAGGGCGGCGGCGGCGCGTCCTCAACGATTGAAGCAGGAGCGGGCGCCGCCGCGTCGCGCTCCGGGCTCAGCAAGTGCCCCAGCCCCTCGCGCTCGGCCCACTCCGCGAGCTCGGCCTGCTTGCGCGCCTCCCGTCTCGCTCTTTCGGCAGTCGTCGTCTCGCCCGCGCCGTCCAGAGCGATGCCCAGCCGCCCCTTCCTGGCGCGCTCCAGCTCGTAGCCCCGCGGGCCCGTGGCCGGCATCGGTCCCAGGTCGAAATCAATAGCAGGTATTGGTGTATTGTACTCCTCGATGACGTCGCCCTTGAGGCCGTGGAGCTGGCCCTTGAGCGCCGCCCTCCTCACGACTAGAGGTGCCTTGGCGGCGGACCCTCGACTCCGCGCCCAGGAGCACCACGACGGCACGACGACGAGTTGGTCGGGCGGCGCGCCCATCGACACAAGTTTTTTTTGCAGTTTCTCTATATCTAACCGCAACGCGGCTTCGTCCCGCGATAGCTCAGTTAAACCGGCCTTCGCCGCCTCCCTGACAACCTCTTCGACGGCCTCCCGGAGCTGCTTCCGATCTTGGGCTTTCTCGGCCAGCGTCCCGTTCCGATGAATGTCCTCCCGCGAAAAGAAGTCGTAGTGGTCTCCCACACACTTCTTCAGCAGAGGCATCGATACAGTATGACAAATATCACAAATCTCGCGCTTCCGCTGGTCCGACGTGCCGATGGACTTGAATTTGGCATCGAGCTCGGGCACGCGCTCGAAGACGCCAGCCCCCTCGCCATTCGCGTAGACGCGCTCGCCGACCTCGAAATGAATCGATTTCTTCACCTCCCTCTCTAGAATCAATGGATCGACGTCGGCAGAAAACCCGAGCTCCTTGGCCGCACCCTTCATGCGCGTCTCAGCTACGTCCCTACGAGTCCGCTCTTCAGCTATTTTCATGATCTCTTCGCGAGAAGGCATCTTGACCTCCTCCTCGTTCTTGACCATGGCTTGTTCCCATCGTTTTTTACGTGCCGCATCCCTCTTCGCACATCGCTCAGCCTCGCGTTGCGCCCCACCTTCATAAATATTCCGCACGGCCCTCCTCCTCTCCTTTTCAGCACCGAGCTTCCTTTCTTTCAGTCGTTTCTGGAGCTTCCAGGTCGCGTCGGGCTGAATTATATTTTTTGCGGATCGTTTCGCGTCTTCGGCCATCTTGTAGTTCGTCACGCGCTTGAGCCGTCGGTCGTGCCTCACGGCCTTGTCGACTCTTTCCAATTTCTTGGCTTGCATCTGCTCTTGGGCCGCGTCGACCTGCGCCTTGGCCTGGGCGCGCATCGCCTCTAAAGCTGCCAGGCGGTGGCCCATGACCTCGGCCTCCCGTACTCGCATCCTCTCGATGGCTCTGTCGGCCTGGTCGCTGGCCGAGGGCTGCGGCTCCATGGTGTTCGACGGCGTTGGTGTTGCGTCGCCTCGGCGGCGTCGAGAGGCTGTGCTGCCCTTTACCTGCCCTGTGACTGGGCGCTCTTGTCCTCGACGCTGAGTCGGCCGGCTGCCCGCTGTGTCGGAGCGACTGGGCAGCGCTTCGTTCCTTGACGCTGAGCGCGCGTCGACGCCGTGGACGTACAGCTCGTACAGCGCCGACAACGATGGCCAGCCAGCACCGATTTGTTTTTTAGTCGCGGCATCCGTCGAGACGACGCCGTCGCCGCGGAGGGGCTAGATATACTTCACTTATTCCACAGGGACCCCCTAGGCCAGCGCGCCGGCGAACCTTTCCAGTAACGACACGACGGTGAACGCTCCACCCAATATAGATAAAAGCGACGTGATGTAGTCGTACCACCTTTTGGCGGATCTATTTGAGACGAGCGCCGTCATCGGGCTAATGTCAAACCCGAAGCGCGTCACGACCGTCTCGCCCTCTGTTTCTTGATGAGATAGGTGGTTCTGGTGGAGCAATTGGAAGGCCGTGAAGCCCCGCCGATTCGACAATTGATACTTCGTCGGTACGACGTGCACGAAGTGGTGGAAGACCTTGTCCGCGGACGGTGAGAGATACCTCGCTCGTTGGAGCGTAGGCGCTTCGGTTTTCGCGTACCTTTCTGGTAGAGAACGTAAACCAGCTCTCTGGGAGCGACTGAGAGGCATGCCAAATGTAAAATCTACCACATGATGACTGAGATCGGAACCCGCCGGCGCACTGATCGCGACGGTACCGGGAGAGGTGTGCTCGTAGGCAATAAATCCCTGCAATTTACAACCGGGCATATCAGAGGTGTCGGCCTTGACGCCGTCCACGATCTTCCTATACGGCTGACTTCTCTTCGTGGCGTCGTCGAAGCGCCTTACTCTTAAAGTTCGTTCCAATCCATGAGTGGCCGCTCGGCTTTTGCCGCGCCACAATTCGACGGTGGCATCATCACAGTTGAGCTTGGGGAACTCGATGTCGATGTTGATCCGCGCCGGGGAGAGTCCTAACTCCACATCAATTTTCTCTCGGACATCGCCAGAGCCCACGAAGGCCCACGTTTCGACGAAGGCGAGGTAGCTCATTAAAACAATAGCGCCAATACTAAAGGCGCCGCCCCTGTTGGTCGCTACGACCAGATCAGGGGAGATCTTGCGGTACATGTCGATGGCGCCCTTCATCTTGCTTTGCTGCGGTGTTTTTGGGCTGCCGAGGGTTTTGCGCTTATCTCAGCCGCTGCGGTGCCAATTGCAGGGCAGTTTGCGTGGCGGGCGGCGCGCGGGATCTGTGCTGATTACACAAGCAAGCGATCCGTTCAGCGCGCTGCCGTCGGCGCGCTGTCGTGTCGACCCTGTTTTTTCGAGGTTTGCGTGCTAGTGTCTTACTACGCTAGCTAGTTCTAGCAGCAGCGGGTCCTCGGCACAAGCCCACTAGTTCTAGCACCGTAACAATACTTCGGAGCCCGGCACAGTTACAGTATACCTTCGGCTACGCGCATGAGTCGCGGCGATTGGCGCCACGGTGACGACGAGTCGACGACGGAGCGCCGGCGTCAGTCCGCCCTCACGCCGTCGCCGCGACCGCTGCTACTCTACGCTGCTACTACTAGTAGCAAAAGGGAGAGAGACTCAGAGAGAGAGAGAGAAAACTGTAGACAGGGCGAGCGCTATCACCGCCGGCCCGCCGCCGCGTCCTTGAGCTTCTGGATCTTCGCGTCCTTCAGCCTCACCAATTGTTCGAGCTTGGCGATCTTCTGCTCGAGGATGTCGACCGTCTCCCTCAAATCGTGGATCTCCTGCTCCTTCTCGACGAGGAGCTCCTGGTCGACGTCCGCCTGGAGCGACGCCTTGGCTTTCGCGGGCGGCGGCGCGACGGCCTCGTTGTTCGCTTGCGTGGTGGCTTTCGCCTCCTTGCGCCGTTGCTGATTTGCGCGGTAGCGGGCCATTTTCAGTTGGAGCGTATTTAGGACCCTTTCGACAGCTCCCGGCGCGCACTGGCATACGGCCTCGACGTCCGCTCTTGGTAGGGCCGCATCTAGCTTCCGCAATACTCTAGCGTTCAGCGTGTCCCAGTTATACAGCTTCTGTCTCATACTATTTGCTGGTGGGTAGTTGTGGAGATCCACTAATCGCGGGAAGTAGTGGTGGCAGACCTCGGCCGCCAACACGCCGTCCGCAAAATCTCTAGCAATGTTCCGCTTCGGCCGTGATAGAGGAATCTCGTCGACCCAGGCATACAAGCGCTGCAGCTCGTCGTCGTCCATCATGGCCGCCATCGCGTTTGTGTTCGGTCGGCTGGCAGACGGTTGTCCCTCGATCTCAGCTTGTGGCGACCGCACGGAGGTACCGCTTCACTTGCTGTGGCTAGCTATGAATGCGGTCGTGCTGCACCTATGACAATGTCTCGGACGCCCCGGCGCGGCGCGAAACTGCCTCGCGGGGCCGAGGCTGCCTAGCGCGCATAGAGGCACTAGCTTTTGGCTCAGCGCTGAATCATGCCGCAGCACGACTCCCGGCGAGCTCCCATGCGTCGCGGGAAGCATGGGTGTTGCGCGCAGGGGATGAGCAAAGGCCTTGATTTCATGACAGCAAACTCAGCCTGCACAAACGCGTCGCATCGCTGGCTTTGGCTTGATCTGAGACGTGCGTCGAGCAACAGCACTGCGGCTGTCCTTGCGGACGACAGATAAGGGCGCAAGCATGGCTTGCAGGCGACGAGCCCTGCTGCTCGCGCTCGTCACAGCTGCGAGCGCCTTCGTGCGGCCCGTTACGCACGTACGCGCAGCCCGCATAGACGTCGCGGCCAAGAAAAAGCGAAAGGGCAAGCCCGCGGCGGGCGGGCTCCAGTCGCTCAAGGTGCCGCAGCTCAAGGAGAAGTGCCGCGCGGCGGGCCTGCCCGTCGGCGGCACGAAGGCCGTGCTGATCGAGCGCCTGCAGGCCGCGACAGCGCCGGCCGCGGCCGCGGCGCCGGCACCGGCCGCGGCGCCGCCCGCCGCGGGCGGCCTGCCTCCGCCGCCGGCGCCCCGGTCCGCCGACACGCCGGCCGCCATGTCCATCGGCACGCTGCCGCCGCCGCCCGCGCCGCGCTCGGCCAATACGCCGGGAGCCTTTTCTGTCGGGCCGGCCACGGCGAAGCCCAAGCCTCGGGCGGCGCCGAAGCCGAAGCCGAAGCCGGCACCCGCGGCACCGCCTGTAGCGCCGGCCGCGGCGGCGCCGCCGATGGCTCCGCCCGCGGCGCCTCCCGCGGCCGCCGCGCCGCCGGCCGCGCCCGCGCCCGCGCCAGCACCACCTGTTGCGCCGCCGGCCGCACCACCCGCGGCGGCCGCACCGCCGATCGCACAGCAAGCGCCAGCCGCGCCGCCGGCGGCCCCGGCCATGCCGATGGCGCCCCCCGCGGCGCCGCCGGCCGCGCCGCCTGCCGCGGCGCCCGCGGCGCCCGCCGCGCGCCCGAAGCGCCGCCGCAAAGCAGCCGCGCCGGTCACCGTGGCGCCCGTGGCGCCCGTGGGCGCCGCGCCGCCCGCCGCGCCGCCCGCGGCGCCACCTGCAGCGCCAGCCGCGGCACCGCCAGCCGCGCCGCCCGCTGCGCCGCCCGCGCGGCCGCCCGCGCCCGCCGCACCGGCACCTGTGGCCGCGGCGCCCGCGCCCGCGCCGCCGCCCGCGCCGGGCACGATCCGCGTCTCGCTGCCGCCTTTACCGGAAGAGATCGACAAAGAATCGCTGTCATCCATGGCCTCCACCACCCAGTTCCCCGTCGCGAGCGAAGAGGACCTGGGCGGGTCGCAACAGGCCGACGGCTCCATCACGCTGGCGACGTTCGACGAGCTCGACCAGCGCTCTCAAAAGCGCGCGGCCAAGAACGCGCCCGCGGCGCAACCGCCGAAGCGGAAAGCTGGAGACACGCAAGCTTTAAGGAGGGCCATGGAGAGCGACCCGAACGCCGACGTGAATTTCGAATCCCTAGAAAAGCGGCAAGACGACTTGGTGGCCATCGCCTTGGGCGAGAACGCCCAGACCTTTTTTGGGATTCAGTCGTCCTACATCCAATTGGGGCACACGGCGCTCGTGCTCGTTATCTTGCTGGCGGCGTTCGCCGTCGACCCGAACTTTCCCCTCACGAACCTACCGGTCGAATATAGGGACTTCCTGAAGCAGGGGCTGTTCGCGGTGTACGCCATCAACACTTTAGTTGCTGGGGCTGGATTCTTCGAGGCGCGCGATCGAGGGCAACCCGTCGCTCTGTGGGTCGCGAAGTGCTGGTTTTTGGGCGGCGTCGGCTACAACCAGCTCGTGACGTCGACGCGGAAGCCCGGGGGCGGAAGCCGCGGGCGGAAGCCGCGGGGGCGGAAGCCCGTCGCCGTCGAGGAGGAGAAGGGGTTCTCCATGCCTGAGTTGCCGACGTTTAAGAACCCGTTCGAGTAGTTGTGTTTGCGCGCGACGGCGTAGTGCGTGCACAGGCTACGGGGGCGTCAAGTCAAAGGAATATCGGCCGTGAGGGCTGTGCTAGATTCGTAGCATTAGAATTATCCCTCGCGACGCGTCGACGGCGTCATCGCTCGACCGCGTCGCGCAGGGCGCCGGCGATGCGACACGAGACGCCGTTGCGGAACCAGCTGTTCGGCCACAGAAACACGGCGGCGAGGAGCGGCGTCTTCGCGACCTCGAGGAACGAATCGACCGTCACGAGGCCGTCGACGCTACGAAGCGCGTAGCCGATCGGAAGGCCCCACCAGCAGAGCTCGACGGCGCTGTACGCGGCCAGGCCGTACGCTCCGTATTCGGCAACTTTCGGCGGTACGATGCGCGCGACGGGTCGCCGTCGCGGCGACATCGCGAAGTTGTTTGCAGTGGCGAGCCGCGCCGACGGCGCGAAGCCGGCGGCAGCTCCGATGATTGCGACCAGAAACCACGCGCTCCGACGCCGGCAGTCCATCGATGCGGCGCGTAACCGAGTGCTTTGAGGGGCTCACTATATTAATTGACAGCGTGCTGAGCCGCGTCTAAGATTTGTCGAAGACGACGACTGCAGTGAACGTTCGCAGTCGGCTGTGCGCTGCAGCGTGGGTCGTAGCGTCCTTTGGCAGCGGTGCTAGCAATTAGTTCAGCTGCAGCTGGCAGCGGCGCTGCTGCAGGCACTTGCTCTGCTCAGCGAACTACTGCTGCAGCGCGCAGGACGGCGTGCGCACAGGCACAAGCAGTGCAAACAGATTGTAAACCAGTCACGAGCCGCACACACAACAGCGATCGGTGCAACAGCACTGGGACTCAGAGGCTGCAACCTCCTCGCCGCATGAAGCGTCGCTACATCCTACTGATGCACCTGGCCCTCGCGCGAGCGCTGCGCGCACCGATCCGGCCGCGCGCGGTCTCGCGCCTCAGCTCCTGGGGCGGCGACTACGACGAAGTAAGTACCGGCGACGGCGCGCGGAAGCCGAAGCGACCGGACACGCGGCCCGACTTTGCGAAGCCGAACTACCGCGAGCCACGTAGTCCTGGGAGAGGCGGTCGTGGCGGCGGCCGCGGTCGTGGCGCTGGCCGCGGTCGCGGTCGAAATGAACAAACGTACGTGCGGCGCGAGCGCCAACAAAGACATTGGGACGCGTTCATGGAGGACGATGGTAACGAGTTCGTCTACGGTATCGCGCCGGTGCTGGCGGCGTTGAAAGCGGGTCGACGATCGAAACACGCGTTATATGTGCTCGAGGAATCACGACGGAAGGAGTCGCGGTTGGATGCTGTCGAAGCATTGGCGAGGGAGAACGATGTGGATATCGTACAGGTGGAGAAGGGCCTGCTGAACGAAGCTGTTAATGATAGGCCGCACCAGGGGTGCATCCTGTGTGCCTCGAAGCTCGACTTCGCAGTATTGGAGGAATGGACCCCGCCGGTCCAAGGCACCGGCTGGCTCGCGCTGGACGAAATCGTAGACCCGCAGAACTTGGGGAGCCTGTGTAGGACCGCGCGGTTCCTCGGGGCCTCCGTTTTAGTGAGCGCCAAAAACTCGGCGCCCTTGAGTGCTGCCGCGTCCAAGGCGTCGGCCGGAGCTTTAGAAGAGGCGCCGGTCTACGCCGTGCCGAATTTGCCTCGAGCACTGGAAGATGCGAAAGCCCAGGGCTGGCGCGTGCTCGGCGCGGGCGTTGGCGACAACAGCGTGCCCGTATCAGGTTTGGATCCTACACAACCGTCCGTCTTGGTGGTTGGCAGCGAGGGAGAGGGCCTGCGGACGACCGTGAGGCGCGCGTGCGACGCGCTGGTGCAGGTCGGCTCTGCCCCTGATAATTCGGGCGTGGACTCTTTGAATGTCGGCGTCGCCGGGGCCATTCTGCTGCACCACCTGCTCGGTGGGGCGCCTAAGTAAGAAGCTTCCCTGTGCTCACTCCCGTCCGCGTCGGCGGCGTCGAGGCGACGCCGCGCCGCGCCCCCCGGTACCGCACTGTTTCTTCTAGTGGTCTGTGGAAGCTTAGCTTACGCCAAGGAGGTCTTTCCGGCCGCGCCCTAAAACCCGATTTGATTTGGGCATTTGGGCACCGGCGCCGGCGCGCGCGCTCTTGCTGCGCTTACGCGTCTCGCTGGCCACACGAGATAAGCCATAAATCAACCGCAGAACAACGCGCGACCACTGCCGCCGCAGCCCGCTCGTCCGTGCCGTAAAAACACAAGCCTCCTAAGCCACCACCCGCCAGACTCGGCGCCAGTGCTCCGCCGCCGCAGCGCGCGTACACGTACGCGTCGAGGCCACAAATGGCTCAGATGCTCGACCCCGACGCCATCTTCGCGACGGCGGAACCGACGAGACGGTCCGGCCGCGCGCCGCAGCCGCGGCAGAACTTCGCGCAAGATGCTTATAGAGCAGAACGAGAAGAGGAGAAGAAGCGGAAGGCGGCGCTGGCGAAGAAGCCGCGCGGACCTAGTAGACCGGCGCCGCCTCGAAGCAAGTGGGAGAACTACGAGCGGAGGGTGGATGGCCAAATCGCGAAGGCGAGGAGCGCGGCCTTTTTCATCGAGACCTACGCCATGGACGCGAATCGCGGTTCTAAAAGAGTGCAGCCCAAGCAAGAATTAGCGAAGGCGAAGGCTACCCTGAAGGCTGCTCGTTCTGAGATCCGAAGCGTGCTGGAGGAGGTAGCTTCACTACATAGTGAGATACGGTGGGGCACGGAGAAGGAATTGACCGAGGAGGACAGGAACGCCGACCTCGTCCCGGACGAAGCCAAGATCCGGGAGGAAGATCAAAACTTGCCGGGGATTAATGTCGAGGAAGTTGCGTGTAGCATCTGTGGTCAATACGAGTCGACGGACGATAATGATATCATCATGTGCGACAGAACCAATTGCTTCCGCGCGTTCCACGTGAAGTGCTGCGAGCCGGTGATGACCCCCGAAATGCTCGGTGGTGCGGACGAGGACTGGTTCTGCCACCAGTGTTCCACCATTGATAATATAGTAGAAAAGGTCAACGAGTACTTCGACAAGAACTACACCTGTGCGGGCTGGAAGGATGTGTTTGCGAAGGAGGAAGAAGAGGTAAGGGTACCTACCGGGGGTATCCTCGACATGGATTTCGGCTCGGGCGACGACGAGGACGACGAGGATCATGTAAGTGGAGATGAAAGTGACGACGAGGAGGACGACGCGTCGGACGTCGTGAGCAGGTGCTCCGGGGATGTTGCTTTAGGTGTGAAAGTTCCGGAGGACAAGATCGACGTCAGAAATATTTTAGAAGGTCCTCGGAAGAAGCAGAAGCTCGACTACGCTGCTTTAAATGCGGCGCTGTCGGACGCGGAGTCGGACGACGGCGGCGCCTTTTATGCGTCTTTGCCGAAGCCGCGGCCGCCGGACTCGGACGAGGACAATGGTGGCGGGAACGGCGCGGCGGCGGCGACCGGCGACGGCGACTCGGAGGGCGACTTCGACGCTTGATTGATCTAAAAGTACTTAGTTATCCTTGTCACCGACGCGTTGCTAGCGTAGTAGGAGCACTAGTCATGACTCCAATCTCGCTCAGGTGGCACTCTGCGGCCCCTGTGAGCCTGGGAGACAAGCAGTTGCGTAGATAGAGTAGTCCCAGGGGCTCCGAAGCTGCTGAACTCAAGCGCCTCCCCGCGGGCGCACGCCATGGCGAGGCCCCTACTATGCTTGCTGGCGCTGCAAGGTGCACCCCTGCTATGCTTGCGAGGCGCCGCCGCGCTCGCGCCGCCGCAAGGCGCAGCGCGAGTCGCGCCGCTGCAAGGCGCAACGCTCACGCCGCCGCCGCAAGACGCAGCAGCGCCGTCCGCCGTCCCGGCGGCGCCCGCGCCAATCACAGTGAACGAGGCGCGCCAGCAACTCTGGGCCGCCCTCGACAGCGAGAGAGACGTCGCGGCCGCCGTCGACCGGCTGCTTGGCGTCCACCAATGCAACTACGAGACGCGCGCCTTCGTCGAGTTTAGCCTCGCGGGCGCCTGGCGCCTGCGCGAGTGCGTGTCGACGAAGCCGTCGCGCGAGCCGACGAAGCTCGCCGCGCTGTCCCTGGAGCGCGATCTCGTCGTCGACGAGGTCACGCAGCACTTGGCCTTCGAGGGCGAACTGGTCAACGTGCGCCACGAATTCGCGTGGCGGCGCCCCCGGAACGGTGACAAGGGCGTGCTCTTGGCGACGAGTCAAGGGACGCTTGTGGAGTCCACGACACGGCTCCGGACCTGGACCCTGGAGTGTTCCGACGTCAAGCACTCGTTGCACCCGGAGGGAAAGCTCACGTCGGACGCGGCGGACGTAGTCGACGCCGTCGCGCGCCTCGCGCCCCTCGAGCTCTTCGACCCGAGCGGCACGCGCACGGACCTCGAGTACGTCGACCCCGAGCTGCGGCTCGTCGGCGTCGCGCCGGGCAGCGCGCGTGGGGCGAACCACGTCCACGTCTGGTCGCGCGACGAGCCGTGGGGCTTGGCTTCGTAAGACGAGTGGTTGTAGCTGTAGTTCGGGTACGGATTGTACGCCGCCCGTCCCCCAGGTGCTCCGTCCTGGACAACTAGTGACGGGTTTTCCAATCATCGAAAATCAACCATTCATTGCCATAGTGACCGCTTGCGCCATCTCTTGTCTCGTGGCACCCTGCGCGATCGCGTGGGAGCGCTTCGACGGCGGAAACGGACAAATGAGGCTCCGCATCCTCACACTGATCATAGCCACACATGCCCTGTCCCCACCGAAGCGCATCTCGCGAGCACTGTTCGGTGATCCGACGAAAGCGCCGCTACGAAACGCAGTCCGCCAGAAACTACGTGAAGCGACGTGGAACCTAGCACCTACGGCGGTCGTCGACGCGGCCGTCGATGCGAGCTTCGAGCTCCTTGCACGAAAGGGCCTTGACAAAATCGACGCCACGGCGCTGAAGAAGCGGAAGAACGAGCTCCGGTCCGAGGTGTCGCGCCGCGTCGCCGCTGCCGCGGACACGCCGCTTGGAGACGATATCGAGGCGAAACTGGGCGGCGCAGTTGTTGACGCGTTGTTTGATCAAGTGACGTCGTCGACGGAGCTACTGAGTACGCCGCGCGAGCGCTTGATCGTTCTCGAAGGCAAGGTCTCCGACGTCAAGCGCGAGCTAGGTCTATTCCGTCTCGCGTGGCATCGCGTCCGCAAACACGCCCGAGCCATACTGGTCGCCGGCACCGCGGTCGCGGGCTTGCTCTGGGCGCGCGCGGCGGGGATGGGCCCGCGGTGGATCCACTAAGCACATTTAAACTACTAACGCCCCCTTCAACACACCCGCGGCCAAGTCCCAATTGTTGGAGAAGGCCTGGGCGCGCGCCACGAGCCTTCTCCGCGCGGCAGCGAGCCGCGGCGCGTCCGCCGAAAGAGCAAACAGCGCCCGGAACGCGTGCCACGCGGCCGTCGCGCGGTCCGGATCAATTAAAACCGCCGCGCAGGGCTTATCAGAGCCACAGTGCGGCAACACGAGGTCCCCGAGCAGCTCTTGAGATGCGGGGATCGCCGCGGCCACCACAGGACAGCCACAAGCCAAAGCTTCGAGCATCGGTAATCCGAAGCCCTCGTCGCGCGACGCATACGCCAAAGCGACCGCGCCGGAGTAGGCCGCCGCTAAATCATCATCGTTCAGGAAACGCGCCCAGCTCCAGGACACGTTGAAGTGGGGCCCTCCTAATATTTCCCTTTCTCGATCGGTGGGAGGCCCGCCCCCGACCATAAATAAATGAAGTTGTCTAGCACGAGCTTGGTAGAAGGCCCGCTGCACGACGTCGCCGTTCTTGTAGCCTAACCGAGGCCCGACCAACAGTATGTAGGGCAGCTCCACGTGTGTCCTACCTTTGAGGTCGTCGATCTCCTTCTGTTGCCGAGGATAGAACACTGAGAGATCGACGCCGTTCCGCGCGATGACTGAACTACGGCCGTAGTGTTGTTGTGAAGCATCGGCCGTCGCTTGCGACACGGCCACGATTTGATCCGCTTTTATGACTGCCTCGCGTTTCAGCGTCCAGTAATTATCAAGGGGCCAGCCGAAGATTTCTGGGGTTAAATCGTGCACCAACAACACCACTCGTCCTTTCCAGGTCTCGGAGGGCCGCGTGTACTCCGTAGAAATGAAGACCGAGGCGTCACTTGCAACCAACGAGATGTGTTCGGCGTCGCCGGCGTGGTCGTGGTCCTCGGGGAAGGGGGCTAGATTTCTAACCTCGCCTATGTGCGGCGCCGCGGAGCCGGCCCGCTCGAGCACAGTTAACCGCCAATCAACACTTTCAAGAGCAACGTGCAACCGAGGTAATAATTCAGTCCACACCCGCGCGATGCCGCCCGTCGGCACGCGCTGGAACGCGACGCCATCGACGGCCACCAGTGGTTTCTTTTGGATCACGGGCGGCGGCGACGCCGAGACGGCCCTCAACACTTCGGCCGCCGCCGTCGACGCATGTGGGGCTGTGAGGGCCGTATGTGCTGGACCTCCGACCCCTAATATAGCGGCAGCAGCAAAAGGGGTCGCGTCGACGACTGTTGACGCGAACCGCGGCTCCGATCGGACCCAGTCGAGGTAATCCCCAAGATCCGCGGGCGGCGTCGCATTTTGTAAGGAGCGCCAGCCCTCGACGGCGTTGTCGTAGCCGTAGAACTTCGCCTTGAAGGCGACTTGTCTTTCACTTACATAGGCGTGGTGCGTAAACACGAGGCCTTTTGATGCAGTTGTGGCGTGCGTCATACATGCGTCGCCCGTTAATTGTAGCCAGGTGCCATTGACCCGTTCCACAAGCAAAGGTGGTGCGTGAGATGCCCAGAAACTACGTGAAGGATCGGCACGCCAGGCGCGCAACCACTCGTACCCGTCAGAATGGCCGTATCCATTACTTGTCGCTGTGGCAAGGTGCGGCCCGACCAGGAAATGGCAGTGGAAGTAGGCGCACCGCTCTTTTAGTAATGAATCGCGTATATTCAACAGTTGGTCGGCGGTCCACAATTCATCAACATCTATTTGCAGGATGATCGCATCAGGGCCTGTCGACGCCTCTTCGAGAGCTTTGTTGATCATCTCGACCTTGTCGCGCCACAATGATCGATGCACATGAATGCGGCCGTCTATCCGAGCCAAGGCGTCGATGTACTCGGACGTGCCGTCAGTACTTAACCCGTCTCTATGAAAGTCACTCAAATCTTGTGAAGAGTACGGAGATGACGCGTCCGCCCGTCCCGTCGCTAAACCCTCGACGAGGTGCCACTCCCACTCGATATCTAGCTTGGTGAGTGTCTTGTGGTGGTGGGCGAGGAACGGCATGCCGTTGAGAACAAGAGTCAAGACGACGAGGCGGCCTTTTGAACCTCGCGGTCGAGGTATTGTGGATTTTGGGAGCTGGGGTTTGGTCGCCGGAGGACAGCTCTCGACGCAGAAAATGGTAGAAGCGTTCGCTATTGTGACACCGGACGGCAGGCCCGTCGCCACCGCATGCAGGACGTGCCAGCCCGGCTTCAGACGACTGAGCGTCGCCTGGGGCGCGCAGCTGACTAATTCAGACTCGTCGAGGAACGTGCAGAACCGCACCGCAACATCATTACCGGTCACGGCGACGTCACGGTTTATTGATGGACGCAGCGTCTCGTTGCGTTGCACGAGCGCCGGCGCGCGCACGGCGAAGTCGCTGCCACCGGACGCGGCGTCGAGCGCGGCCGCGAGTTGGGCGAGCGCCGCGTCGCGGAAGGAGCCGCGGGCCGCGGCGCGCCGCGCCGCGCGCGCGGCGTTCGACCGCTGGCCGTCCGCGAGCAGCGCGGTCGCGAGGGCGAGCTCGGCGCGCGCCCGGCAGGCGCCGCTCGGAGGGTCGTCGGGTGATGCATCGGCGTCGGCGCGCGCCTCGGCGGCGACGGCAGCGATCAGATACGTTATTGATGCCGTGGCCTCGTGCGCGGGCCATCGCTCGGCAGCTTTGGACAAATGCGCGGCGGAGGCGCAGCCCGTGGTGTTAAGTAGCGCGCTGTTTGCGGCCGCGTGTGCGTGCCAAGCATCGTGCGGCGTGTTGTGCGGCGTCGTTTGAGTGCGTGCTGTTTGTGGTGCCGGTGGGTTGCCGCCGACGCGCACGACTCGCTGGGCGGTCGCGCTCCAGCAAAGGGCGAGCCATGCGAGCATTTTTAGGCTGCCCCCATGCAGGGCCGCGCCGCGCCGGCGCGCCGAGCAAGCCCGAGCTGCAGCGTGCGGGTCTATGTTTTTGTCCGCGTGGCTTGCCCCAATAATCGATTCCCTGGCCGCGCACGGCCGTAACGTTTATCTCTCGCACGGCTGGTGCTCCACCAAGCGTTTTGACCGTGCTGCGACATGACGGAGTCCGCTTCAGAGCAGCCGAGCCCGAGTGACACAACTTGCGCCGCGCCGGGCTGCCTCAAGGAAGCTCATCTGAAGTGCTCGCGCTGCCAGACCGTCCGCTACTGCAGCAAGGCCTGCCAGGTGACGCACTGGAAGGCGGGCCATTCCAAGGCGTGCCGGGCGGCGCCGGGCGCTCCAGCAAACCGTCCAGAAGAACCGGCACCGGACGCTCCAGCTGCTCCAGAAGACGCGCTCGCGCGCCAGGACCGGCTCCTCCGGGAGTCGCCGCGCGCCGATTACGTCGTCGAGGTGGACAAGACGCACGACCGAGCCGTGGCCTTCGAGCGAATGCAGGACCGGTTATTGTTTCGGATGCTGCGGGGCAAGGCGGGCAAACGGTGCCGCCGTTCGTTATATCTGATGAACGACATCCTCGCGAAGGCTCAACCGGAGCACGCGGAACGCATCCGGCAACAATTACGTTCGGAATATGGCGTCGACCCGCTCGAATGTAAGAATGCGCCCGTGGGAGGCTTGAAATTGGGCGCGGACGCGCCGTCCTTTGACGACAACATGGCCGACATCGTGCGTGCGATGCGCGCGGGAAATATCGACGACAATGCTCTCCAGGCGGAGATGGAGGCGTCCGCGGAGCGGCTTGCGGCCAGGAAACGGCCGGTGAAGCCGAGGTAATATGTATGTGTTAGATAATCTAGCGGCGGAAGTGGTCGCCACGTCCTCCTCCGCGCCCGCCGAAGCCGCGCCCGCGGCCACCACCGCGACCCTTGCCGCCGCCCTTGCCGTGCTGGGAGAAGTGCGGCGACCTCGGGTCCGTGAAGTGCGGCGGCGAGCCCGCCTCGTCGACGACGTCGGCCTGGCCCCACAGGATGATCGAGACGCGGCCCTTGCCCGAGCGCTCCTCCTCCGGTAGCAGGTTGACGCCGTGCTTGAAGCCTGCGTGGAAATTCCATGTCAGACGCCATCGACGCGACGGTTCATTTCCACACGGCTCGGAGCGAATATTGACATCTCTTCCAAAGTAAAACAAGCCACCGTTCGTCTGTGGGAAGTAGAAGCGCTTGGAAGGGTCCATCGCATCCACGAACGCCAGTTCCCGGGCGTCCCCAAACGAAACACCCACGGTGCAGTTCTGGTTGCGCGCGCGCTGCGCGTTGAACGCCGCCGAGTCGTGGTGGAAGGGCTTCCAGTCGCTCGGGTTGTTGTACCAGTTGAAGCGCGTCCCTCTTGACTGCGGCTGGAGGCCGAAGAAGTCGCCCATTTTTTTCTGGACCTCCTGGTACCTGCGTGGAAATCATAGTGTCGTCCTCCACGCCATCGACGCGACGCCTGCTTGATTTTCACACAGCCTGGTACGTCTTGGAACCGCTCGGGTCCTTGGAGATCAAATGGGCGCCCTCGTGCCAGCTCTGCCATTCTGGGCCGGGACCGCGCTTCCCGGGCGCCTTGCCCTTTTGTTGGGACTCGCGCATCTCGTCGATGAGCTTGTAATACAACGACCAGTCGTCTTCTTTACAAAAAAACTCGGGCACGATGACTATATCGTCGTGCTTCAGGGGCCTGTCGTACCTGGGCTTCGAGCCGGAGCAGACGCGCACGCGGAACGAGGGTCTCACCAAGGTCGACTGGGGGTCGAAGGACTCCGTGTTGCGGCCCGTGGCGACGCCGAGGCCGAGAGCGGCTCGTTGCGCTTTCCCGAGGGGGCCCTGCTCGCGCGGATCATCTCTCAAATGAGGTAGATCGGCGTCGGTGTCGCCGCCCCAGGCGGGCCGCGCGTCGCGGCGGTCGTCGCGGCTGCCGCGGCGGTCGTCGCGGCGAGGCTGGTCGTGGCGGCGCCCGTCGTCGCGGCGGCGGCCACCGTCGTCGCGGCGGCGCTCGCGCGAGCGGGAGCGGCTGCGGTCGCGGCGCTTGCGCGAGCGCGAGCGCGAGCGGCGGCGGCGCGAGCGGCTGCGTTCCCGCGTGCGGTCTCGCTTCTCGTGCTGCTGCGGCTCCTGGTTGTGTCTTGCGCTGCTGAGGGGGGCGTCCATTGTGTGGATTACGGTCGTTTTCGCAGTGTTGACGCAGCGCTGCTATTACCTGGCAACTGTTTCGTAAGAGAACCAGCAGCTGACGGCAAATGTGGATCAAACTCAAAAGCGCGCGAGATGAAAAATAATCATAGCGTCCGTAAGACACTAGCAATCACGACGCGTCGCGGGCAAGGTGATTGAACGGGCGAACGTTGCCCATTGGTCGAGAGGCGCCGACGAGGCGGCTCTGCTTAGATGGAAGTGCTGTGATGAAAAACGCGGCCCGTGGCCCGCCGCCACAGGTATCCCCAGGGCTTCGCCCACGAGTCCGATGCACAACAACAATTCCCGGCACCGTCAGTCGTCGAAAAAAAATGAGAGAGTGGTGTGGTTACAGCGGGGGGGCGACGAGCGAGACAGAGGTTTTTCAGGGCGAGATCGTGGGCACCGGCGGCCCGAGTCTGGGCGACGCCTGCTGCGACGGCCCCGGCGAGGCCGTCGAGATCTGGGGCGACCCCGGCGGCGGCGGCGGCGGCGGCGACGACGCCTCCATCGTCACGTCCGGGACATCCCTCAAATCCGCGGCCAATTGCGCCTCGATGGACCGGAGTCGTTCCGCATCCACAATAGCGGCGCCGGTCCGCGCGTCCACGACGTCGAAGGTGTCGACCGCGGTCCGCGTGATTTGCGGTTCCGCGCCACCAACTACAGTACTAATTTTGGCCCCTACCACGTTCAGCGATAGAGAGTCCAGCGACGCGACGATGCGTTTCAGGAGGCCCGGGCGGTCGGGCACGCTCACGGAGAGCGTCGTTGTTGTGGATTTGTCTCTTTCAGTTTTTTTGAGTGAGGCTAAAACGTCGCGCTCCATCTGCGCTAATGCGGCAGCATCCGCGACGGGCCGTCGCGTCGTCGCGTCGACGACCTCGAACTCGTCGTGCAGGACGCCTCCCGCGAGCGTTTCACATCTAGCAGCTAAAATAGTCAAGTTGCGTCGCGCGAAAAACCGAGACATGTGGCCTAATAAACCAGGTCGATCCTGCATCACTATTCTGACCGCGGTCCTTCGCTGCTCGTTGACCCGAGCTAGGACGGACGTCTCGACCGGTTGCCGCTCGTTCGCGTCGTGAGGAGCTAAGTGAGTCACCGTGAACAGCGTCTGGGAAGCGGGAGCGATCAGCTGATCCGTAGGAGCGTCGTCGTCTCTTGACCTCTTGCCACCGCCCCGCGTCACCCTATCAGTGGGCAAAATCTGCGGAGTAGATACAGGTTCACCGGACGGCCGCCTTCTAGGCTCGACGGACGCCAAGAATGCTCTTCGAGCCGCGTCCAGCGCTTGCCGCTCGTCGTTCGTCAAGGACCCTCTTAGCTTAAAAACGCATTTGCCGATGGCGTGCGTCGAACTCAGTTTTTTCGTCACGCGCATCGGCGTGCAAGCAAGGCACTCGGATAAAGTGGTACGTAAAGATTCGCCGCCTAGCAAGCCTGGGAGGCGGCCGCTCGTGAAGTGCTCTATCAACAACATCGCGTAGTCGCACTCGGCCTGCGTCCACTTGCCGTGTCTTCGTTCCAGGGCGCGCGGCGCGCTCGATGCGGCGGGCGTCGCCTCCATGCCGTTTATTTTTGGGGGTGTGGCACCACCCTCGGTTGCGTCTCGCGCTGTCCTTGCTCCGTGAGCTGTCTTTTGCAGTAGCAGGCGATTGAGTGCGCTGCGGCCAGACAACTCACCCTAGCCCGATGCCGAGCGATGCCGATGGCTAGGGGAAGTCGCTAAGTAGGCGCAGGGAACCTTGGTTGGGGTTATATGGCCGCCGTCAGATCATCAAGTCGGCCTCAAATCTCTAGAGCTCGACTTCGCTAGGTCCGGAAAAAATAATTACGATGACAGCCCGATGACAAGGCATACAAGCTTGTAGCAGGGTAATTGTGTACAGGCTCGTAGCATCGCTGCGTGCACTGCTGACGCCTCGTCCTCATCGGCCACGCATGCGCAGAGCCGCCAGCCAACTCGTGAGAAGAGCCATGTCGACGAAACGCATCGGCGTCCTCGTCAAGGACAACCACGCGGCCTGGCCGCCGCGACTGAAGGACTGCGACGCCGAACTGATCAACGCTGCGACATCAGAAGAACTGCAAGCCAAGGCATCATCCATAGATGCGCTGGTCTGGGTGCCCGGCGTCGCTGCCGCAGAAGTCACACAAGCGTTCGAGACGCTCAAGCCGCAGTGGGTCCACTCCTTCCCCGCCGGCGTCGACGGCTTGAGTGGGTTTCTCTCGTCAGATGCGTTGCAAGCTAGACAGGTACCAGTAACCAACGGCAAGGGCGCCTTCTCGTCTTCCTTAGCGGAGTACGTCATCGCGGCAATAATGCATTTCACGAAACGAGTGCCCCGCTGTTTGGCAAATCAAAAGGAGAAAAAGTGGGACCCCTTCGTGATGGACGTCGTCGCGGGGAAAACCGTGGGGTTTGTCGGGTACGGACACATCGCACAACAGACCGCGGTTTTATGCAAAGCGCTGGGCATGCGCGTCATCGCCTGCCGCCGGTCGAGTGGTGGGGAGGACGTCGTCGTGCCGTCGCAAACGTATTCACCGAATGAGCGCTTGAAATTATTCGCTGAAGCTGACTACGTCGTGTGCTCGCTGCCGGGCACGGCGGCGACCCAGGACTTCTGCGGTGCTCAGGAGTTCGGCGCCATGAAAAGTACAGGGGTTTTCGTGTCATTGGGACGGGGCGCCGCCGTCGACGAGGACGCTCTCGTTGATGTGTTGCAGAAGGGTCAGATACGGGGCGCCGCTTTGGATGTGTTCAAGGAGGAGCCCCTGCCGTCTTCGTCGCCGCTCTGGGCCCTGGGCGACCGCATCTGGATCACGGCGCACAACGCGGACTTGACCGAGGACTACTTCGACCTCGGCTGGGCCGTCTTCGCGGACAACTACCGGAGCTTTGCCAGTGGTGAACCACTCAAGACCCCCATCGAGGTAAGTAGGGGCTACTAACTTTTTATGAGTCTGACCGCTTCACATGCGTGGGAATAGAGCGCGCGCCACCGCTGCTCGAGGCCCGGCGGCGGCGGCAGGCTTTGATCAACAGCGGGCGTGACCAGCGGCGCGAGCCTCCGCACCGCTTGATCAACTACGACGAGAGACGCCCGGAGCGCGTCGCCGTCGAGCGGCGCGTACAACTCTTCCCCCAGCGCCACGGCGGCCTCTCGTACCGCGTCGGCCGCCGCGTACATTGCAGAAACGTCGTCGAATTTCCCAGCGTTGCCTCGTTCATCAATCGCCAATAGCGCCTGCTTGTAGAGCTGGCCCACGACTTTGAGACACCCGACCGAGGCCTCCGCGGCCGGGGCTTGGTCAGGTGCATACGCGTCGTCTAAACCCCCGAAAGGGTCGTCGAAGGCGTCCTCTGTATCATCATAATCTTGCGCGAGGAGCTCCTCGAACTCCGTCAGCACCTGCGCGGCGCGTCGCGGTCGCTCGACGCGGTCCGAAATGACCCACGGCCTCGTCTGATGGACACGAGTCCATCCAAGGAAGTGAAGGCGCCTCTACACGACGGGACGCCGAGATACGCACGTCCTTCAACTCCTTGGCCCACTGCAGAAATTCCCGTCGGTAGGCCGTGCGGTTCGACTTCGGGATTTTGTGGCACATCTGCGCCGCCTCCCAGGCGACGCCCGTCTTCTGGGGGACGTCTTTGTTTGTTTTCAGGGCTTCCGCTAGTGAACGCCACGCGTCGAGCAGCCGTCTTCCATTAACACGAGCTATGGCTCTCAGAGGCGCGCCCGCACCAGCCGTGTCGGTCTGCAGCAAGGCCGCGGCCGTCTGGAGCTCATTTGCTGCCTTTTCTACATCTTTGCAGATCGCTTGTGCCGCTTCCGTCGTTACGGAGGGCTCCTGTAATACCAAAGGCGCCTTCGACGCCAATGCCTCTAAAGCTTGGGCCGCGCCGGCGTAGACGGCCGTGGCCGCCTTCACGCCGTCGCCCTCGCTCCAGCTCGATGGCGGCGCCGGGCCTTGCTTCACGCTCTCGCCTAGCGACAGGCCGCCGAAGGCGCCGGCGTAGACTTGCGACGCGGCGTCGGCGTCGACGGCGTCTACTAAACTTTTGAGCTTTTGTTCTAGAGTTGTTGCGGCGGCTTTGGCAGCAGCCATAATGCTGTGGCTAGTTTGGGAGTGGCACCGCCGGGCGTGCAGCGCAGCGTTGGTTGCAGCTGGACGAGGACTTATACCAAGCTCTCACACGCGTATCGCAATGACCAATGCCGCTATATAGCACCAGTTTTGGAGCAAAATGCCGATTTCGCCAACAGGCAAAACCCGCACTCTAGTCCTAGCACGGTATACAAAGTTGTGTCGCTGTCGAAGCGACTCATTCAAACAACACGCTTCGTTAGAGAACGGCCCCGACCCCAAGCATACACGCGCCCGTCGCGAGCGCCACGGACGCCGTCCCCGCGAGGAAGACCGCGATCACGGAGACGAACTGCGGGTACCACCGCTGCGGGAGCCGTCGCTGGACAGAGAGGGCCGTCCGTTGGTACCGATTGATACTGAGCACGAACAGTAGGGCTTTGACCGGGAGCAGTGCGGGCTCGAGCAGGCGGAGCGTCGGGATCGTGGCGATGGCGCTCGCCCAGCGATCGGGTGCCGCGCGCAGACACGCGCGCGTCCACGCGGTAAACACGAGGCCTGCGGTGCAGGTGGTTGAGACCAACGACCAGACGAGCACCGCCATCGAGCCATAGGACGTGATCGCCGAAATGAGAGCCTCGCGTTGTTCCTTCGGCAGGCCGCCTAGGATGAGTCGCTGCAATTCATTCGGCAGGTCGCGGAAATACTCGTCGCGCAGCGCCTCCAGCGAGCTCTCGGCGTCGGCGAGGACCTTGCGCGAGATGTCGCCGAATTCATAATCTTCTTTGCCCGTGAAATTCGTGACGGCCTTCTTCGTGATGTCGCCGAATTTGTACTCACTGGCGTCCTTCCCAGTCAAGTCGCGGACGACGCCCTTCGTCAGGTCTCCGAACTGATACTCGTCGTTGTCCGTCACCGTGCGCACGACGCCCTCGACCAGGCCCTTCGTCGCGTTCGCGGCGAGGTCGATTGCGCCGCTGGCCACGACGGTGCGCGGTCGTGCGGTTTTGACGCCGATGCTTGGTCGCTGCCGTAGCCTCTGCACAATGCTGTGCTGCCGCAGCGGACGGAACGTCGTGAAGCCGCGGACGGCTGCGAGTAGCAGGGCTGCAGTGAGAGCAGGCTGTGCTGTGCGTGCTGGAGCCATTGCGACGAGCTTTTTGCGACCACTGCGCGTTTTACCGCTATGGTGGGCTCGGCCAAACGTATCTTAGAGAGCTGTGCGCGTCGTTGTAGCGGTTTTGGCCGGGAGAGCGTAAATCTAAGTGTGTCAACGCTAGCTCCGCCTCACTAACTCGACGCTCTCAAACCACGTGCTGCGCCATTGCAGCTCTCCCCGTGTTGCTGACCGCGGCCAGGCGCACCTTGAGGTCTTCCACTGCTAGCCATTACGCTCTTGGCTTGGGAAGAGCGCTGCAGCCGCTTCAAGCTGCATGCTCTCACTCCTCCTCAGCGGCTCCGTCGCGGCGGCGGCCGCCCTCACTGCGACGAATGAGAGGCCCCCAGCAACACTCGCGAGGCGCCCCTTCGTCGCCGCCGCGACGGCGCTGCCGCTCGCGTACGCCGCGACGGGCGCGTACGCCGCGTGCCTCCCCTCGGACGCGAGCGTCGAGTGCATCGGCGTCTACAAGGAGCGGTCCACCGACGTGACGCGCGAGGACGCGAAGGCGGCGGGCATCCGCTGGGTCGACCAGCCCTCCTTTACGAGTTGCGCGAAGGCCGCGAACTACCTGCGGGACGCGCGCCCACAAATCGCGAAGTGGCGGTCTTCTGCTGATTTCACGAGCGTCGGCCAGGATCTGTTGAGAGTGCGGCCGCGCGTCCAGGCCGCGGCCGCGCTGCTGGCGTCCAACGTCGATCCAGGTAGCGCCACTTTACTAAACCGCGCGGCCGAGAGCGCTTTGTATTCAATGGACGCGGCCGACGTGGCCCTGGGCTTTGCCATTCGCGAAACGAACACGCGGTACGTGATAACGCGCGCCGCGGCGGCGGCCGACGCCTTGGATACGGCCGACGCGGACTACTGCGAGCTCGTGCGCTTCGTGGACGCACTTTATCCCGAAACGAAGCCTAAGAAGAAGAGGTAGTACACACAACATATTATTCAACGTCGCAGGAATCCTCGACGTCGCAGTCCCGCAACAACAGATTCTGGCCGAAGGCCGCGGCGGCGATGAGCGCCGCGCCGGACAGGCCCGCGGGACCCAATCGTTCATGCAACGCAAAGTAGGCGAAGAACGCCGCCCACAAGGGATCGGTCGCATAGACGACCGCGGCACTCGAGGGAGGCACGGTCTTTTGTGCGATCGTCTGCAGGTAGCCACATAATGCGGACGGGACGAGGCCGAGGTACAACGCGGCGACGAGCACTTCTGACGGCGGCAAGGTGAGTTCTGATGATTGAAAGCGCCCAGTCTGCCAGAAAGCTAGAAAGGCCAGTACTGACGTAGCCAGCGCCGTGGCCGACGCAAGCCCTTCCGGCGACGACGCCTTTTGCGACGCCGGTTCCAAACGAATGATGAAGCACGCCGAGGCCAACGCCGCGAGGACTGATAGAGAATCGCCCGGCGCCCAGGCCCCGCCCACCGCGTCTGAGTCGGCGGCGAGCAGCAGCGTGCCGCTCAACGCGGCGAAGGCGCTCAACCACGTACCTCGCGGTAGTGTTTTACCATTCACCAATTCTAAGAGAGGTACGAACTTGACGTTGAGGTAGAGGAGGAAGGCCGACCTTGTCGCTGTCGTCGTTTCCAGGCCGATAGTCTGCAGCGCGAAGCCTAAAAAGCTCCAGACGCCTAGTTCGCAACCCCAGCGCCACGTTTCTTCATCTTTCGGGCGGAAGTTGGCTAACGCTAAAGCCGCGACGAGGAACCGGGCGGCGGTCAGCTCGAGCGCGTGGCCGTCGCCGACGCTATCTAACGCCGCCTTCGCGACGGAGTGCTGCGTGCCCCAGGCCGCGGTCACAAACGCGAGGGTCGAAACGGCCTTTTGTGCGTCGCTGGAGCGCGTCGGCGCCGCGTATCGCGTGAGGCGTCGGCTGGGTGGTGCTGGTCTTGGCCTCAGTGGTGGTGGGGCGTAGCCGTGCGCACTGGTGATGATAGATAAGGCGATAAGCCATCGTTGCATGCGCAAATTAGCCATGTTGGCTGCAGCTACAGCTCTGGCGCCGGCTGGGCTTGCTGGGCTTGCTAGTGTCTTACTGGACGCTAGCGCACTCGCATCGAGCCACACAGCGTGAGCCAGCCCTCAGCACCGCAGCGCTCGTCCAGGGCTTGCGCCAAGTCTCCTCTGCCTTGCGCAACCCGCTTTTTTGCATCGAAGCGGAGTGGTTAGCTCACTCTGCCCACCATGCTGGCGGCCACAGCACTCAGCATTGCGCTCGCGCTTGCACCGCCCACTGCTCCGCCTTCTCTCAAGCCATGCAAGGGTGAAAGTGATTGCATCTCATCGAACGGCCTCGAAGCGCCGAATCACTTTCAGGCGCCGCTCGCCTTCGCACCGAAGACGCGAGCTACGGCTTTTGCCGACGCGGCGCGACTCCTACGAGACGAGTGCACCGCGGTCGACGACGGCGCAAGCTACGTCCAGGCGCGCTGTGAGGGCGACGTCGTGGAGTTATTGCTGCGAGACGACGTCGCGACGTTCCGCGTGGCGGCCCTGCAAAAAGGCATCACGCCACCTTGGTGTGTTGAGAAAGGATGTATCAATGGCTCAATGAATCAACGCAAGCGGATCCTCAAACTCGGCGAGCGGCTCGGCTGGTCTCCCGTCGACTCGACGAACTTGCAGGACGAGGGCCGCTGGACGCCGATCTTTTTCAACACCGACGCGGTGCCGCGGGATGAATAGGTATGTGCTGTTGTGTTTGTGAAATAAACTTGAATAATTAAATAAATATCGATCACGCCGGGTTGATCGAGTCGCGCATGATCTTAACGCTGGCGACGTGGGCGGCGACAAAGAGGCCAACGTCGACACCGGTAGCCGCCGTATAGCTCGTGACTCCTTTCGCGCGTGAAAACTTGGCAACAACGGCGCCGTCGGCCAATTTGAGCACGCCACCGTACGTCTGGGTGTTGCCACAACTAGAGACGAAGCCGATCGTGGCAAAGCGCTCGAAGCCGCCGGGAGTCGCGAGTCGGATGTCGGTACTGTACTGGCTCATCCATGACATCATCGGCGAGACGGTAGCCCACGGGTAGAGTGCGACGCCGTCGTGCTCCAAGACAGGGGTGAGCCCCTCCACGCGCGGCACCGTGCTTAAGATGTTTGACGAACACTGGAAGCACGCGGTTTGGCTCGGCCGTATTAGGGGGATGGGCTGTACGAGCGCCACGAGTTTACCGTCCGCGCCTTTGACGGGCGTCAGGTGCGCCATCATCTCGGCGGTCGAGGCCCTACCATAGTCCTTCATGAGCGAACGGCCGTCAATTTGCGCGATGGTCTGCCCATCGAGCGACAAGGGCAGCACGCTGCCCGGCTTTGATTTCTCATACTCGGGCAGCGTAAACGTGGCCTCGCCGCCGCCGGTCGCCGTCCCGAAGAGGTATGCACCGGTCGGGGGCTGCTGCGGTGCGAGGACCGCGGGGATCGATGCGCCGCACCCCATTGATGAGTCCTGCGGCAGCTGCTGGGCCCGGTGCGTGCGCTACGCAGCTGCAGAAAGGATCGCGCGCTAGTGTCTTACAGGACGCTAGAGGTCGTCGGCGCTACGCGACGTGCGCCAGCTCTCCGCATCGCATCGCTCGTACAGAGCTGCGCCAAGGCCCCCTCTACCCTGTACAATCGCCTTTACCGAATCGGAAGCGAGTGCCACGCGGCAGGGCATCGATCAAACATGACGACAAAAACCGGCTCCACCCCCGTCGACCTCGACGCCATCCCGCCACCGGTCCCGTTCATCGTCTGCATCGGCGGCGCGGCGGTGCAGGTCGCCGGCCTGCTGGCCGTCTGGTCCCAGACGAGCGCCGGGCCCTGCCTCGCGGCGCCTATGGCCTGCGTCCGAAGCGACGACGCGGACCCCTGGGGGCGACTGGTCGTCGGCGTTCTCACGGTGGCGGCATTTATTTGGGCGGTCTCCCTAAGGACGGACACGCACTCCGACGCGTCGATCGTCGACCGGCTCTGGTCGATCCAGCCCTGGGTCTACTGCTGGTATGTTTGTTTCATGTTTCCATCGTCCGCACGCGTCGTGCTCATGACGGCGCTCGCGACGGCCTGGGGTATACGACTTACCTACAATTTCGCGATCAAAGGCGGCTACGCCGGCGGCGAGGACTACCGCTGGGCGGTCGTGCGCCACTGGTACCCGGGGTGGCGCTATGAAATTGTCCATGCGGTGTTCGTGTGCGGATTTCAGCAATTGCTACTGCTCGCCATCGCGGCGCCGGTCGTCGCGGCCGCGCAAAGTCAAGCACCGCTCAACGCCGGCGACGCGCTGGCCGCGCTGGTTTTCGTCTGCGCCTTGGTGCTCGAGACGATTGCAGACCGGCAGCAGTTCGCCTTTCAGACGGCGAAGTATGCCAGTGGCACGAAGCCGACCAAGGGTTTTCTGGACACTGGCGTCTGGGCCTACAGTCGCCACCCGAACTACTTCGCGGAAGTGTTGTTGTGGTGGGCCTTTTACGGCTTCGCCGTCGCGGCGACGGGCGAGCTGAATTGGTCCGGTGCCGGCGCGGTATGTCTTACAATTCTCTTCGTGGCGCCGGGTGCATCGGCGGACCTCACTGAGCTCCTATGTTCGAAGAAGTATCCAGAATACAAAGAGTACCAAAAAAGGGTGTCGCGGCTGGTGCCGTGGATTCCTAGCGAGGAGAGGCCGGCGGTGCTGGGACCAGTCGCTCGCGCCGCATACCTCTTGTACTTTGCGAGCCACATCCCAATCACGTTACTGATAGATGCCCAAGCGGCGATCGACCATAGATACTTCCCGGAGCCCGCGCAAGCGCTCTTGGATTGGCACATTCGAGTCAACGGAGATTTCCTCATGGGCGCGCCGCCGCTTTGGTTCCGGAGCGTCGTCTGGGGAGAGATATGCCTCCAGCTCCCGTTCTTCTTCGTGGCGGTGAAGGCGTTGTATGATCGCGACGAGGCGGCCTTCCGCATACCGTTTGTCATTTACGGCGCGCACACGGCGACGACGATGATACCTATCCTGGGGGAGATCGGCGGGTCAACGCGGCTGACGCTGATCTACCTGCCCTACCTGCTGTTCCCGCTGGGGTGCGTTGTGCTGTTTAGTGTGTAAGTCTTAGGCCGAGAGAAGCTTCCCCCAGCCCGCCGGCGGCGCCTGCCTCGGCGCCGGCGCGATCGCCTCGACGTCGTCCTCGTCGTCGTCGTCGTCCTCGTCGACGTACTTCGTCAGGTCCCTGATGACGTCTGCATGCTCAAAGCAGTCGTCGGCGGCGTCGCCGCAATAGCACGGAGTCTCGTCCTGCGCGACGAGCTTCGAGGCGCAGAGCGCAGAGGCGTCGAGGCGTTGCAAGGCCGCCCAGCCGCCGCGTTCGAGCGTGCCGAATGCGTGCCCGCGTGAGCTATTTTCTTGCTTGCTTTTGTCCTTGGCTTTTGGGCTCCAGTCTCGCGCGGATCGAACGTTGTTCTCACGGACGCTAACGGATTAATGGTGAAGGAGAGGGTTCATATAGTGGTAATTCCTTCAGGAAAGAGGTAGGAGCTGACAAGCAAAGGCTCCGACACTGACACTGGAGCTAGCGGTAAGACACTAGCATTCACAAAGTGTGCAGCTGCACAGCAAGGCAAGTAAGCAAGCAAGCGCACGTTGCGACGAGGTGGAGCGCTTCTGCACTTGCGCTTGAGCCATAGCAGAAGTAGCAGCTGTGAAAGGAACCACTGCGGCCGGCGGCAGCCATGCTGCACTAGAGCACCGGCGGCGAGCCGTCAAGCCGCGGCACCAGAATCACCGAGCCGCCGCGCAGCAGTAAACACCATCACCGAGCCGTCACGCGCAGCACAGCTGCACCACCACCATCATCACAAAATGCCAGTCGAGCGCGTCGACAGCACGTCGCCGCCCGCCGTGCTGCGGGCGCATGAAGAGGTCACAACCAGCGTAAAAAACACACCGTCCCGGGCACGACGTTAAACTGCCCGCGGTAATGTTGACTTCCAAGTTCAACAACATGATGAGTTGTTGTGCGGCGTCGCAAGCCGCGGCGCAGCAATGCGCCGCGGTCGTGGACGACAGCGCCCCCGCTCCACCTTGTTACGCAAGGGGGCGAACAACCTGACCCTTTACCAACACGCAGGCTCTCGTAAACTTCAGCGAGCAGCTCCTCGACCACGAAGCTGTCGAAAGTGTCGCGTTCGACGATATAGCCATCGGAGGAAGCCTCGCGGCGACGCGCGCGACGCCCGCGACGGTCGAAGACAGCACGATCATTCTCTTCCTCCACGGCGGCTCCTACGCGCACTATTCGCCCAAGGACCCGTGGTACGCGTCTCTTACGTCGCGCCTCGCCCATAGTACTCGTAGAGTCGTTGTGAGCCCATCTTATAGATTGGCGCCGGCGCATCCGTTCCCCGCGGCGCTCGATGACGCTCTGGCTACATTACGATACCTGCGACGGACAAGTCGCGTCGTTGTCTGTGGCGACTCGGCCGGCGGCGGCCTCGCGATGGCTCTCGCGTTGTCCGCGCCGAAGGATATAGTAGGCGTCGTCGCCTTGTCGGGCCTCTTCGACCTCACGGCCTCCACAGGATCGTATGATAAGCGCGTGGACCCCCTCTTCAGCGACGCGCCCGACGAGGAACGACGGTCGACGATCCGCGACGGCCTCACGTATTTGGGGCATAGAGAGCCGCGCGCCAAGGATGTGAATAGTGTCCTCACCGCGGCCTGGTGCTGCTATCCCCCAAAGCTCACGAAGTTGTTACGGGACTGGCGCTGCTCGCCGCTCTTCGCACCACTTGATCTGTTGCAAAAGCTTCCATCAACGTTGCTCGTGGTCGGCGCGCACGAGGTTTTGTTGGATGAGTCTCTACAATTGGGTGGCGCCATCAAGGATTGTAGGGTCGTCGTTTTTGAAGATATGTGGCACGACTTCTTCCTCTATTCAGAGGGCCGCGGTTGTGATGGTAAAAAACTGGACGAGGCGCGGCACTGTATCGATATCGTCTCCAAGTTCGTCGCGGACACCTCCGCGGCGGCCGCGGCGCGCCGCGCGGCGGTCGCGCCGACGAAGGAGTCCCTACCACAGCCGGCGAGTCCCATCGGTGACGGCGGCGTCTTCCTCACTGGAGTACAAGACTCGCCGGAACGGGTGCTGTCGCCGGGCCGCGAGCAGACGCCCGAGGACGTCATGATCGCTAGACGACGGGCAGCATTACTGCCGCGCTGCTACGTGGCCTACGCGTCGTCGTCCGATGGAAGGATGACGGCGTCGAACTGGACGACGCTCCTCACGGTGAGTGGCGTCTTCGAGGCGGAACGGGTGAAGGTTCTGAAGGCTGATTTGATCTTTTCGGTCCTCGCGCGGGACGGCGCGCTGGGCTACCGGGCCTTCCGCCAGGCCCTGCGCCAGGTCGCCGTGACGCTGTATCCCGAATTGGGCGAGGGCGACGCCTTTCGGAGGTTGGTCGAGGAGGACGTCCTGCCGCGCGCGACGCTCGCGTCCGAGGAAGAGGCGCGGGACGCGGGGCTGCTCGGGGTTTCGTAAGTTTTGGTTTTTTGTGATACTCTGTGCCATTCCCTACACCGCATTGGCGTTTGCTCGACGGCGTGGCATGGTGCTAGTGTCTTACATGCCGCTAGCAGCGTCGAGCGCGGCGGCGCGGCGCATTTTGGCAGCACTTGCTTGCTAGGCCAGCCCGACGCCATAAAACCGAGTTATAGATCAAAATATTGGCACGGCGCGAGCGATCAGCACGAGAAGACGCCAGCCGACGCGAGCCAGCAAGTGGAGCTGTAATCAGTGCTGCTGTGCAGCAATGGAAATCTCCATACGACTGCTCATCAATATAGCAACAGCAGCGGCACTCCGACCGCTCATCATCTTCGGCCGCCCCGGCGCCGGCAAGAGCACGATCGCCGAGCGATTGATTGCCCATCCCGACGCCGACGGCGCGTACAACGTCGACCTGGACGTCTGCGTGCCGCAGTGGATGCGCGACAACTTCGCCAAGGGTGTGTACCCGACGCTCGCGGAGCGGCGGGCGTTTGCATCGGACGCGGCGGATCATGTGGCGACCGCGTCCGCTGGCAAAGACGCAGTATGCGTGGTCTCGTTCTCCTTCGTGAACGACGACCTGCGCGACTCGTTTCGGGAACGTTTCCCCGACGCGACCTGGGCGCTCGTGGACGCCTCCGACGCCCTCGCCGGCGAGCGCATCGCGTCGCGCGACGGCCACTTCTACGACCCGCCGCCGGCGAAGGGCGACGAGTGGCTCTTCGCGCCCGTCGAGTTTGAGCACCTCGTGCTGGACGCGACGTCGCCAGTTGAGGAGAACGTCGCGAAGCTGCTGCCGCTCGTAAGACGACCAAGCTAATCAAAACACAAATTAGTAGCCCTCGTCGGACCAGTCGACGCGGTAGCCCGGGAGCGCCGCGCGGATCATCTCGGCCGTCGCCTCGTTGCAGCCGGGGCTGCGGCCGAACGTCTTCGAGTAGCCATATACAGAAATCGTCTTGGCGGCGTCGTCTCGCTTGATGCGTCCTCCGCCCACGACGCGGACGTGGACCCCCAATGCCTTGAGCGGCGCGGCGGTCACGTCGTAGTTCTCCGCGTGATATTTTAGACCCTGCAGCGCTCGCACGATGCGTTTTCGTCGTCCGTCGAGTTCGCATTCGAGGAGTACGAATTTCCAGGTGCCCGCGGCCACGGCGACGTCGACGAGCGAGTCGAACGCCTCGGTCGCGCCGGCACCGGGCGCGGGCGCGGTCGCCGAGTGGCGCGCGAGGATGGCACGCGCTGCGTCGTTGAGCGGTGCGCCCGTCTGGTCGTCGAATTTTGCGCGCGGCATGTGGTGCTGGTGGTAATGCTGGGCTTGGACGAGCGCTAGGGTTACGAGGAGCAGTGCTCGCATTGGTGCATGGCTGCTGGCTCTCTGGACTAGGGCAGACCTTCTCGCAATTCGTGCGATGATACCTAGGTCGATAGGAGCCGTAATGGCTGTCAAATTCTTTCTGCCAGTCGATTTCCTAGTGTCTTACATGACGCTAGCTCATCGAGTCGCCCGCCCTGACCGCTTGGCCTGGTATCGTAACTTTCTGGCCACACGATGAGTGAATTGCAATCTTTTTTTGCGTCCGACTCGGAGTACTCGGAGGACGAAGCCCAAACAAGCGCTGACCTACCTCGTCGCGTGGCCGATGCCGCTGCGTCCGGAGACATAGACACAATTCGGAGATGGCTCGCCGCCGGCGGCTCACCAGACGCAGTTCTGAGATGGAGCGACGGGAGGACATACGGAATCCTCGATTTTACCTGCGCGTCGAGCCGGCCGTCGAACACTGAAATTGTGGACCTGCTCCTCGCGGCCGGCGTCAACCTCGAAGGTCCACGTGGTGGCACGTCAGTGGAAATTGCGTCAAAGTATGGCGCGGAGGCTACTGTTCGCAGACTCCTGAGGGCCGGAGCATCGGTCCATGGAGGTGGAGCTCAGAGTGAAGGGCGTACCAGTGGCGTCACACCCCTCCACAAGGCCGTGATAGCGAATAATTGGGGGTTTTACAGGGACCCTTGGTCAATCGCCCAAGCCAAACGAGCCACGTCGCTCGGGCACCAGGGCATCGTCCGAATGCTCCTCGCGCATGGCGCCACGGTCGACGGACGCGCTTCTTCATCTCAATCCACCCCGCTCCATATAGCCGCAAGGCTGGCCGGTTTTATTTCTCTCGGCCTCGTGAAGGAGTTGCTGAAAAATTGCGCGTCACTTGATGCCGTCGACTTTAGCGGACATGTTCCAGAGGAAGTTGCACAGAGCAGGCTAGCAAGGCCGATTTACACTGGTAACGGCATTCCAGAGGACCCGCAGTCCCTCCGGCGCCCGGGAGCCGTCGAGGCGTTCCTCGCGCTCCTCGCCGACGTGCGCGCCGCGGGTTCGTTCAAGCGCTACGCGAACGCGCAGAGCGCGGCGTGGAAAACAAGCGTGGTCGCCAGCTGAGCCGACTCACCGGCGATATCCACGCAGGCCGCGCCTCGATGTCGTCGTCCTGCAGGCGCTCTGCGCCGAAGGCCGCGCGTCGCCGCCGCCCGTCCTCACGCGCCTCTTCCCGACCTCTACGAAGTCGCCGCACCTGCCGAAGGAAATCTTCTGGCGCATCCTCCAGTTCTGGCGCACGGACCGCGACCCCTGACTAGTAAGAGAAGCTTTACACAGTACCTAGTGCCGGGCCTTCTTCGCGGCCGGCTCGGAGTTCTCGTCGTTCTGAGAGATAAAGTCGTGGTGCGTCGCCACCGCAGGTGCCGCGGCAGCACCCGTCAGGATGTCGACGCGCTCCGGATTCGCCTTCTCGTCGAAGTCCTTATTTGCCTTGTGGCGGACCTCGACGTTCACCTCGAGATCGATCTGGAAGTCGTTCACGCAGAGCAACGTCCCGTTGACGACCCCCCCCGCCGGCAGCTTGGCTAGGGTCAGAGGCAGGTTCCGCGCGAGGCCCTCGTCCTCGGAGTCGACCAGACCAGAATTGCCCTTGTCGACGGCGGGGTCGATAAAGCCGAGCTTCTTCTTCAATACGACATCAACAAACGTCTGGAGAGTCGTTTCATTCGTATCTAAGGCTACGGGTATGGTCGCGTTGCGGCAGACGTAGCAGGTCGGCTGCGGGCCCTCGAGCGCGACCGGCTGCAGCAACTCGCATTTCCTCCCCGTAGGAAAGCGCTGGCAGTACGTGTACCGTCCTACTTCCGCTAATGACGTCCGCTCCTCGCTCAAGATACACTTCTGCTCGACCAACCTTAACAATTCCAGTACCTGTAAACCCGCGACGACGGCATTGGTAGTAGCGATGGCAGGCACGATGTTACCAGCCACACCCTTCGCCTCGTACAACGACAAGGGATCAATGTGGAAGACGCGGCACCGCAGGTTAGCGGCCGCGGCGACGAAGCGCATGGACGCCTCGTCGTCCTTATCAAATTCCCAGGAGCCTAATCTTTCCTTCATATCGTTCGAGAGTAGTTCGCGCGCTACTTCCGCGATTTCGGCAGAACACTGCGGCGCGGTCCAGACGGCGCGGTCCCAGTCCGCCGGTCTGTTTGTTATTGTGGAGGGCGGTTGGGATGCAGCGCCGTCAGTCAACTCTGGCGACGATAATGGAGTGGGTACCTTTTTCGCCGTTTTGTAGGTACCCAGCGCCAATTGAGCTTTGACCTCGGCGTCACATAAAGCAGCTAAAGCGGCACCGACGGCCTTTGACGCGCCATCAACGGAAGTAGTACGGACGGCAGCACAAGCTGAGGCGAACGACGACGGCTCGCCCTCCGCAGCGGGGTCGTCGAACAACATCGACGCCGACGCGTCCCCGAACAGCAGCTTAAACAGCTCCTTGGCCCACACCACACAATGCACCGGCTGCGACGGCGTGCTCCGGATCGTGCAGATCGGGTAGACCACGCGCTGGGGCTTGGGGAAGCACTCGTAGCACGCCGTCTCTCCTTTCCTGATGCAGAAGACCTGCCCCAAAAATCCAGTCGTGCCGGCCTCGATGAGCGGCTTGTCGGCCGCGAGGCACATCCTATTGACATGTCTTCTGGCATCGACGTTATCCAAAGCATTAATGACAGCGTCGAAGCCTCTAAACCAGTCGACCTTGAACAGGGGGTTAGTGATGATGTTGCCGTGGATCGCCTCGACCTCTACGTTGGGATTGAACCGCTTGATAGCTTCGCCCGCGACTTCCGCCTTGCTCTTCCCGACGTGCTTCTTTCTGAAGAGGAACTGGCGGTTCAAGTTCGACACGTCGATGGTATCTAAATCTACGACGGTGAGTTTCTCGCAGCCGACGAGCACCAAATTCTTTAGTAATTCGCATCCAATACCTCCAGCGCCGACGACCAGTACCTTGCAGGTCCGTAGTTTCTCGAAGTTGGCTTCGCCTAGGCCGGCTACCGAGTGATCGTAGCGGGGCTGGGCCATCTTTATTATTATTATGTGCGCGCCGTCCGCGTGCGGCGCCTTGGGTTTAAAATTCGAGCCGCGGAGAGCCTTGTCTCTTGTGCGGTGTGGCACGCCCGAGCGCTGCAGCGCGGCTTTGTACGATCTATGAAGCACTGCGCGAGCACACGAGAGGAGCCTAGCAATCGCTCCTGCTGCCTGATATGCGCGGTGACTGCGCCTGGATTAGCTTGCTGGGAGGCTAGTGTCTTACGCAATTAGTTTTACCCACCGCCAGCGCGTCGAGAGGCGTCGTTGACGGCATGGATGGTTGGCGACGGGGGCAGTTCAATGGCCGCAACCATGCCTGGCATTCGATCAGCTCGGCGTCTAATAGCGCCCGACGTAGCGCGATGAAGCACAGATAAACAATCTCACGAGTTCGGCCCAAGCCCAATCGACGCCGCCGACCAAAAATCGCGGCTCGCAGGACACGCGCCGTCAAAATACCTGGAAATCACAGCTGAAACCAGGCCTGACCACCCGTCAGGGACGCCCGCCGCCGACGCCCACCCCAGCTCCCAGCTCCCATGGCCCACCGCCGCGGCTCCACCACCGAGCTCGCGGCTTTACTAGCGGCGCTCGACCTCTCCGCGTTTTTGCCGGCCTTCGTCGAGGACAATTTGGACGACCGGTCCCTCGTTTCGCTGCGCGAGGGCGACCTGCGGGCGCTAGGTATTCCGGCGACAGCTAGAAGACGGTTTCTGGAGGCCGTCGACGAGAGGAGGCATGTGCCGGAGGCCCTCGAACAGCTCCGAAGGGACCGCGACGTGGCCTGGGCCGAAGTGGCACGCTTGCGAGCTCTCTTAAGAAGACGCCAGAAGCCCGCGGCCATTTCAGCGTCGCCCTACGGCGTCGCGGAGCGGCGCTCGAGCTTCTCGCCGTCGCCGCCGCCGAGTCCCGCGCCCAGTCTCCAATCAGCCTACAGCCAGCCGCAGACGTCTCCTGTACACATGGGTTCGGAGCCCCCTACGCCGTCGTCCACGGTCACCTCATTCTTCCGGTCCACGTCGCAGCTCACGCTACCGCGCATCGACGACCGAAGGCGGACGGTTAACCTATGTGCCTCGCTCAATCAGACTGGGGGCTTTGCCGAGGCGGCTTCGTTCTCACGTCAAGCAGTCTCGGCATCAAAAGCTGCACTCGGAAAGGAGCATATGATCACGCTAATGCTTTGGCATTCGTTGGCTCAAAGTCTCTACCTCGACCGCGACGCTTCCCGGGAACAACTCCGCGAGGCCGTAGAAATTTTGGAGCGCATCTACATTACATCGCAGCGGGTCTTCGGCGGCCAACATCCCCGCACGAACGATATCCGGTTCACCCTCTGCCGGGCGCGTGGTGAAGCTTTTTTCAGCAAGCTACGAATCCGATTTGTTATACGCTTCATCCGCTTTGTTATATGCTTCCTAAGAACAAAGGTCAAGTAAATGCACCGGGTAAGAAAGTAGGATTTCACAAAGTTAAGACTTAATCCAGCTCGTCCTCGTCATAAAGCGCGGCAGGCGGCGCGGGCGGAGGCGCCGGCGCGGCCACCGGAGGCGGAGGAGGCACGTCGTCATCGCTGGACGCCGGCCGCCGCTCGGAATAAGACCGCCGCGGCGCCTTCACGGCCACGAACTCCGTCTGGCAGACGACGCACGTGTGCTTGTGCGACTTCTGGAACCACTCGGCGAGGCACGACGCGTGGAACTTGTTGTGGCACGTGGCGCATTCCAAGTGGGGCAATTTCTTCGACTTGGGATGCAACACCCCGTAGCAGACGGGGCAGGGCTCGACGCCGTCAAATTCCAAATCTACATCCTTGCGCCAATCTAAGACAGCTCGTTTCGCTGTGGTCGTTTCTGCCGCGGCTCGTAGCCGCAGGGCCCACCGTCGAGCTTTCTTTTCATCGATGCCCTGGTGCAATCCAAAACTGACACTGACCGACCGAAATGGAAACGCGGGGTCATAACTCAGAACCATCTCGATGAGGCACTCGTCGCGCTCGTACTGGGCCGTCACCGTTCGCGCTCTAGAAGCTACTTTGACCTTCAGCGTAGAATCAGGATTGGTCTCGTCCCCGAAGCCTTCCCTGGCCACAATTGACAAAGCTTTTGCCACTGGCGTTTCCTTGAGGACGTCCACCACTAAACTTCTAGCTCTCTCAGCATCTCGAGGCCTCGCGGCAGCGCCCCACCGTCGAGCCTCCGCCGCCCTTGATACACATAACCTATGAAGCGCCCAGCATGCGAGTAATGAAGCCGGTTCAGCTTGATGTTTCTTGAGGTACGCACTGCAGGGGCCGTCTATACACTTGTCGACGGGTCGCCGTTTCAACGCCGGTAAAGATGCTGAAACGATCGCCATACAAGCGTCGAAGGCTCTACTGATCAAGGGATCGTCCTCGCCCACATCGAGGTCGACGACGGCCCGCAACAGGACACCCTGGTCCGTTTTGGGGGAGCCACAGGCCCCACAGATCCCAAGGACATCCGCCACACACGCCGCTAAGCGCGGGTTCGCATCGAGCAGCGGCGTGAGCGCCGCGGCGTCGAGGTCTATTTTTCGGCCCTCGTTCCTCCTTGAAAGCTCCACAATACAAGCCTCGGCGCAATCCAAGGCGGAGACGTAGGCGGGCGAGCCCTCCTCTTTTAGTAGGAAGGCGCAGGCCGTTTGTAAGGCAGTTGCTACAGTTTCGAAGGGGACGACCCTTGACGCGTCCGACCGTAACACTTGAGCCGCGCAGGCCAGGGCCGCGGCCCTTTGAGCATCACTGTGTAGGGAGAGGCCGCGCGCCATGACGTCGGCGGCGCGTCGACACGTCGCATCTGTCAAAGAGTATCCTTCTAGAGTCTGCGCGACGAAGCGGCACGAACCCGCGTCACCAGTTAACGTAGAGAGCGCTCTCTCGGAAGCCGTCCCCGTCGCCGCCAGCGCCCTTACATGTGTAGAATCACCAGAACACAACGCATCCACCGCAACTTCGCGGAAGACGCCATCGGAGGCCCCCAACCGCCTCACGACTTTCGTCGCGAGCCAGGCTGCAGACGGCGTCGCGTCCGTCGAGGCGTCCCTCAACTCAGCTATCTGGTCGCCTAATGCTTTGAAGGGCGCATCTACCTCTGAAGAATCTCGTTGGAGCTTCGCGGCGACGGTCTGCCTCTCGCGCCCGTCTCCAAACCTGACGGTGTAGAAGGTCTCGTCGTCGTCAACGTGGACCTGGAGGATCCGACAGCCTTCATTCGTTGGTGAGTAAATGACGTCCTCGCTCTGGCGGAGGGGCGCCTGCTTTTTTATTGATGAAGGGAGCCGTTCGCTCAGAGCCGAGGCCACTCGCAATGAAGCTCCAATATCTCTGTTGGACAGGGCGACCTTCAAGGTAGCTAGTAGTAGTGAAGGGATCTTGTCGGGCGGTAACGCAATGGTAGAAGCGCCGCCTCCCTGAGAAACGGTAGAAGCGTCCTGCAGGCCGTCCAACGCGAGCTCGAGAGCTAACTCCGCATCTACAACGCCGGGTCTCGCATCTAACCGTAGTAAAGCCTCCACTAGGACGTCGTCCCCACCTATTCTAGAGATGTCGTCGCCACTCTCCTCGAGGAGATCCAGAAACGTGTCGTTGCGTCCTTCCCGCCACGCATCAGCGTTTACCAGCGGCGCCGCGCCCTTCGCTGTTGATGAACACTTTGATAGGGCCGCGCGCCACACATCTAGATCGGCGCTTCCTGACACGGCGAGCGTTTCCAGCGCTCTACGAGCCGCTTCATTTTTATCCTCGCCCCGGACGCAGGACAACGCATTCTCGAAGTCATCCAAAGCGCCCAGGACCAGCGCGCGGCCCATGACATCGGCCGCTAAATCGCAAGAGCGGCCGCACTCCTTCACGAGAGAAGATAGGGCCTCCCTTGAGGCGTCTACAGCACAAGCTCGTAACGACGCCATAGAAGCGAAGGGCGCTATCGCAGGGTTCCTCTTCAGTAAATCTTCGACGGCCTTGCCGGCGGCGCCCGTCAGGACGGACGGCGGGAGCAATGCGAGCACTTTGTCTAGCGAAACGCCGGCGTGTGCTACTAACGAGTCCCTCGTCTCGTTATCACCGTTCGACGCGCGCTTCGAGGCCAAGTCACATAACGCGTCCATGGTCGTGTCGTTGAGTAAGGACGCGGCCTCGTCCGGAGGCAATGCATGCTCCGCGCGTTTTGATAGAGGCGATGCTGCTAGTTCCCCCAGAAAAAGGCAGCGCCTCGAGACACGCGTCAGCGGCAGTGCTTCCTCGATGAACGCGAAGGTCAGGTCCGCCCAGCTTGCTGGAGCGGCGGCGAGCACGGCTCCACATGATTTAGCTGTGGCGTCGACTCCTAGTGCTAGAGTGAACAGGCGGTCCGACGCCTGCTGGGGCTCCGTCTTCGCTAGTGATTTAGCAACTCTCTCAACAGATGAGCGGGACGGCGCTTCTAAACGCAAGAAGGCGGCCGCAGAAGCCCACTTCTCGCTTGCGATCGCGACGGCCGCGGCGACGAGTGGTGCACTCCCGGAATTCATTAGGGCGTCGACGACCTCCGAAGGATCCGATAACGCGTCGCAGAGCTTCGCGACGTGTTGGGAGACGCCCTTGGCGTGGTACCTATCTTTTGCCGCTTTCGCGACGGCGCGCGCGGCCCTCGTGGAGACATCAATTCTAGTCGAGGCGTGTTCGACGGTCTCCGGGGACGCTATGGAAGCGACGCAGCTCCACAACGCTTGTACTTCTAGATCCTCCTGGTCTAAAGCAAGTAGCGCGCGCACGGCGCCCGAGCACTTGGTATCCGCAGCGTCATGCGGGAGGCGCTCCAGCAGGGCGTAGCAACTTCGACGCTCCACCGCATCTGAACTTTTGACGTTCTTGAGGGCGAGCCAGGTCTGGGGCGAGGCGTAGACCTCTCTCAGTGATGATAAAAAGGCGTCGTCCACACCCGTCCGTTGCGAAGCCGCCACCAACTTGGCCAGGCCACCGAGGACGCGCGCCCTCGCCTCCGCATCAGAATCCTGGAGCATGGACTGCGCGAATGCAATAATGGTACTGCGGTTCCGCGCGGCGCCTATCACCCCATTTTCTTTCGGGAAGGCGGCCTTCCAGGCTCTCACGGCGGCGCGCGCGACGTCGGCGTACCTGTGCTTGCTACGCTTTATCTCTACCGGTGTTTCTCTCTCCGACAGTGTCGCGATGGTGGCACCGGTGCGCCATCGATGCCGTCGCACGAACGACGTCATGGCGTCGAGGAGACCAAACGCGTCCACCTCCACGCCGTCGACGCGACGCCTCTCACTGCGTGGGACGCCGCAACGCACGCGTCGGCCGTCGCCGCCCACCACGGCCCCGCTAAACTCGCCTCGACGGACCGCAACGGCGCGCCGGCCGCAGCGCACGCTTGTAGAGCATCATACAACCCCTGGCGGACGCGCGCGTCGTCATCTTTAAAACCGAGCAATTCGACGACGCGCGCGTCTCTCAACCAGTGCGCGACCGCTCGCACTTCGGTCGCGTCCACGGCGGAAACGCGCTGTACCAAAGCATCTAACCCTTTCAGCTTCGTGGCGGCGTCCTTCTTGCCGCACTGCTTGCAGGCCCGTTCTAAATCTCGGTCGTTTCCGGCGAAGCCCTTGCGGGTCACAACCTGTTTATCTGGCGACGGCGCCTCGAACGCGGCGAAGCCCACGAAGCTCATACCGTCGAGTCGCTGAACATCACGTAGGCGGCGTGTGTCAAAGCGGCACCTAGTCCAACGGCGTAGTACTGCGGGAGGCGAGGATTGCCTTTCAGCGCGATGCGCATGAGCGGGAAGAGCGGCGCGTAGAGAATCGGTACCAATAAGGCCCAGTTCGGTTCGCGCTTGTGGACGACCTGGCCTTGCGTGCTCTCGGCCATGCAGTGATGCGTGTGGTTTTGCCTAGCGAGAGCACTTCGCTGTGCTCGGCTCTACTCGGCTCTACGTGCGTCAGCGGTGCTCGGCTGTGCCTTGCGTCAGCTTTGCGCGTCCTAGAGCTTTGTAATTCGCAGCGGTAATCGCTCGCAGGCTAGTTGTGCTGGTTTTGTGGAGCTTGCGATGCCTAGTGTCTTACAGGACGCTAGCCACGGTTTCACGACATTTTCATTTTGTCACGCGCTTTTGCGCTTGGAGACTGATTTACGAGGTCACAACATCGCCGCCAGACGACTGAACGGCTAGACCGTCAACAACTCGCGTCGGGAGCGTTTGTTGATCAATTTTGACTTTTGACCTGCGCTCAAAACTAGACGCCACGGCGTCGACGCGGTGTACAAGTATGGGGTGGTTCGGTGGTCGGTCCCTGTGCGGAAATCAAATTGTTGCGGCGCGTCTGAATCATGGCCTCCACGCCATCGACGCGACGCCTGCTCGATAGCGTGGTGGTGCCCATTCCTCGCCGCTCGACCGAGCCCGGTCGGCCGCGCCATCGCCGAGAAATGACTTCTTGAAGAATTGTCGGATGCACCCGACACACTGGTTGATTTTCGCACAGGTCGGTCCGACTCCGTCGAGACCGTCGAGGGCGCGCAGGAGGTGGTCTCGCGCGTGAGCAGTGACTTGGCCAAGAAGAAGGACACGGTGAAGAGCCTGCGCGACGCCGGCGTCCCAAAGGCCTGACGCCGTCGACGCGTGTGTGTCCGCGCAGGCAGAAGACGGTCAAGGCATTACGAGCGCAGCGCCGCGAGAGCCTCGTCCACGAGATCGTCGCGCTGAAGTCGTACCGGGACCAGCTCCGCGCGACGCTCGCCGGCATCGATGCCGAGATCGCGGCCAAAAACACGCGGCTCGCCGCACACGACGCCGAGTCGCGGACGGGCAGCGAGGAGTACCAGCGGCTCAAGACGCCGCGCGCGGCCAAGAAGCCGGCGCGGAGCGTGTCCGACGGGGAGAAGTAGGGTCTTGGGCTTGTGTTCTCTTCCCCGCGTTTACCCTGCAAGACCCCCCCTTTTCGCTTCTTATGGCCCAGAGACGTCCCGAGGTGTCAATGGACATGTATCGGGCACCGAGACCGCGCGGGGGAGGGGTCCAAAAAAAGAGAAGGCAAGGCAGCTCTGCCTCGCGGGAGGTGCCCAAGCTGGCCGCCGCGCGACTTTAGAACAGCGCTGGCGGTACAGGGAGGGCCCTTTGGGTCTACGCTGCAAGCGAAAAAAGACTGCGTCAGTATTGCGTACCTGTGGGCCGAGGACGAGGCTGAAACTCGCCAACCTTAACAGGAGGGGCCCAAACAGCCGCCGAATCACCCCGCGCGGCCCGAAATGGTCCTCTTTGGCGGCCTGGAGCTGATCGCAGCCGGCGCGTTCCTCGGCGGTGGCTGCGCCGCCTGTAGAGAGGCCCCAGCAGACCGCGAGCGGCGACGAAGGTCACGCGTGGCCGAGATCGTGACGCGCACAAGGGTACGCTTGATGCGCGAGGGCGACAGAGCCGCGTCTCGCCAATTGTTAACAACACCTGAGGCGAGCCCGAGCCGGCGACCCCGGCGGAGCGGCTCCGAGGCCGACTTGGAGGCGATCGCCTCCCAGCTCAACTCGCCAACGGACGTCTCCGACGACACGGCGCTTGGTTTTGATGATTCCGGGCGGCGCCTCGACCGGCTCCTCGACGACGCCGAGCGGCGGCGCATCCAGAAGGCCTACGGCCTCGGCGAGAGCCCGCGCGCGCCGCACTGGCTGCCGCCCGACCGCGACACGAGCCCGCTGCGCGCCGTCGTGAGCGCTCCCACAACCATGGACCAGCCCGTTGCCCCCTTGGTGGCGGTCCAGTAGTGAATTAATAGATCTTTTACCTATCTCGCCCCCGATTGTCGTCGAAGTAGCCGCTTGGTACATGTTGATCTCCCAGCCGCTCCGGCAGCGAGGCGTCGGAGTCCCAGCGCCTGCGTGGGAATAGGGCGTGAGTCGCGCGTCGATGGCGTATGGGTCTCCACGCCATCGCCGTGAAGCAGGACGCGGGCCACGGACGGCTTCAGGTTGTGCAGGTGCCGCAGCGCAGGCGTGATATAGCGCCAGGTCAAATTGATCCGCACGCCGGCGCCAGTCACTCGCGGCAAGGAGTGCTCGTAGTCGCGCTGGAACGCTCCTTTCATGACGAGCAGCGACCCATGGCCGAGCGTCACGGAGGTCTCGTTGACGTCACCGCGACGCCGCGTCCGGAACGGCCGCGCCGCGCCGAGCGAGAGTGAGGGAACGTCGAAGTCGCGGCCCAGCCACGGGTCGTCGTCGGAATGCCACGCGGCGTGTTCAGTGCCGTCCGCGTAGAGGTTGATCAAGACCGCGTTGAACGACTTTCCGACAGCCCTTTCAACGTCGCGGCGCATGCGGCGCAGCGTCGGCGTGAAGGGGTGTGCGCGTAACCCGGGCACGTGGTTCGCCGAAAAACGATATTCGCCGACGCCGCCCTCCGCGCACCACATCATGCGCCGCGGGCTGCGGACGCGCGCGCCTTCGATCAGATAGGACGTGAAATTGAGCCCAGCATACTGAGCTATCTCGTCGAACATCGCGTCGGCCGTCGCGCGGTCGTAGAAGCGCGGCGCGTGCGCGAGGGCCGACGCGCGCGACTCGAAGACCGTGGCGAGCGCACTCCCGCGGCGTTGACAACGCGCCAGCGCGTCGACGAGCGGCGCAATGCGCGGCACCTGCACCACGGCCGCAGCGACGATTACCGCAGCAGCCGCCGCGCGCCGTGGCGGAGGCCCCATTGGAGCTCGGTGCGCTGCTGCGACGTCGCCAGTGGCTTGGCGCACCAGTGCGCAGTGCGACGTCGCCTCTGGCAAAGCGCAAAGGAGAGCACTCTCCTTTGCAGGCAAGGTTTGAGTGCCGCGGGCCAGCCACAAGCGCTCAAAGCCCTGATACCCGCAAGAACACCTCAAAGGCTAACTACTGCGGCGCGAACAGGCGCAAGCTGCGGCGCCTTCGCTTTTGCGACGCAAGCCGATGATCGGCTCTTGCTAGTGTCTTAGAGACCGCTAGCTCGATTTCCCGCAAGCACCGGCCAGGCGGTTCGAAGAGGCCTCGACGAGCGCTCGACCGCCCGCAAAGGAGCTCGGACGTCCAACACCCCGCACGCTGAGCATGATCAAAGCGCCAGGCTGCCCATTTTGCGGGACGACTCAGGCTGCACGCCCGCCGAGGCCAGCAGTCGGACGCCTGCAGTGTCGCCTGGACGCCCACGACTCGCCCGAACGCCTGAAAGCGCCTCAAAGTGCCACTGCCCGCTGGACAGGACGATGGCCGCCCAAATGACGGCCAAGGAGCTGGCCAAGATGGTCCAGCTCTGTGGGAGAGCCGAGGCCGGCGGCGTCATCGACGACGAGGACGTCAAAGAACTCATAAAAGCCATGGACGACGCCGCCCTACCAACGTTAGTAAGAGAGGAGAACTGGCGCAAGGCTCATGAGAGAAGGAAGAAGCGCAACAACAAACCGGACACGCCGGAAGATTCAGAAAGGTACATTCCGTTCTACGAGAAGGAGGCGCGGCTCGACAACGCGGTGCGGATGCTGCAAGATAAACTGACAGCTAACACGCCCAAGGGCGAAGCTCTCAAGTTATTTCGACGAGCGGCCCATGGCAATGATTCCATACCCGTGGCGGAGCTCATCCCGTCATTAAGGGAAACTTTAAGGATCTCCGAGGCGGATCTATCATCTACAGATTTGGAGAACATGATCAAGGCGACCACTGATAGGTTTGCCGATGATCAGGGAAATTTGGACCTGGAGTGGATGAGTAACGAAGCTGAACGGTTAATGAAGACGTGGGAGGTCGAGCGCCAAACGGAAAAACGTTTGACCCGAGAGACGCCGATGCAGCGGTCCCGACGCATAAAACGGGAGCAGACGCAGATGAGCGCGGCGGAGCTCAAAGAACGAAGGGACTTGGAGCGGGCGGCGCAGAAGAAGATCGATCGACGGAAACGCGTGGTAGAAAGGTTGGATGACAAGTCGGGCATCGACGCCGAGACGGGCGAACCGGTGCAGATCGAGGAGGAGGTGCACGAGCGCACGGACCAAATCAGGTGGAAGACGGGCCATCTCGCGCCCCGCGCTTATGCGGAGGGGCCTCCAATAAGGCCGCCCGGTTCTCCGCCGGAAGCGGCGAAACGGAAGGCCGCGAAGATGAGGGCGTCCGGCCAGCACTGGGGGACGTGGTAGTAAGATAGTTGTACTAGTACTGGGCGCTCGTGGCGGCGGCATGCGTCCCTGCGGCGCGGCGCTGTGGCGTCGAGCGTGGGGCCCCACTTGCGTGGCCACTTGCGTGGCCCGGGGCTTGGGTCGCGGGCGTCTGGGACACGGACACGGACGGCTTCCGGCGCGAGTTCGTGGCCAAAGTCATCGTCGTCGACCCCTACGCCTCGGAGCCGCCGGCCTGCCGCGGCGCTGACTACGTCTGGGCGGCGAAGGACGAGCTCGACCACGCCAACCACGCACTTCCACGCCACCGAGGCGACGGTAGTCAGGAGTGTAGTCAGATACGCACCGACGGTACTTACGCGGCGCGCGAGCGACGACTCGGACGAGGCGCTTAAAGATCATGACGCTGCGCGTACTCGGCCGCGAGGTCGAGCTGGACCAGCGGCATGCGCAGGTGGTCCTTGAACTTCTCGAAGACTTCGAGCGAACCGTCCTGCTTCCTCCCGCGCTTCGCGTGGAAGGCCTGGAAGAACTGCGCGTTGACCCGATCTAATGATGAAGGGTCTTCACTGCCACCGGGCTTCTCAATATCATAATTGATGATCGGACCGCCTAACGCGGCACCCCCACCGGCGACGCATCTAGGTAAAGCTTGTTGCGACTTGTGGCGCATGTCCGCATTTAATCCAGCCACGGTGCATCGCACCGTAAAGGGATACAGGCCATTTCTCGGTTGCAATGCCGTTTTGACTTTGGTGCGAGGCGTGGTAATTGCGGGATCGATGGGCGCCTCGTCGGCCGTCTTCACTAATAGTGAAACGTGAGAACGAGTGCCGCCGTCCTTGCGCTCGCCTCTCGGCCTTCTAAACAGCGGTCTATCTAAAAGAGCGGCGGTCTTGATGCCCCGCAATTGCTTCTCGGGGTGGAAGACGCGCGTCGGGTGGTCGCGCCACTCCAAGCCGGCGATTTCCCTATTTTCGATCGTGAGGCCGTCTTCAGCAACCAAAACATCTTCAAAAATGCACTCGAGCTTCGGCGGTAACGGTTTTGCGGTATCGGCGGCATCTATCAAGCCGAAGGCCGCCGAGATGGCCTGGGCCGTCTCGTACAACGTCGAGTTGCCTGAGACTATCAGTGTTCTGTACGCCTCTCCGCCGCCCTCCACCGACGCACAGCCTTGGAGTAGTACGGTGAGTTGTAATTGTACAAATCTACAATCTTCTCGCGTGCGAGGCGCCTCTAGCATGTCAGTCGTTTTCGGTAGCGAGCGGCACAACATCCGTCGGTGTTCTATTTGGGCTGGATCGACAGCAGCTTGAGCACCCCGGGCGAACTTCCCACCCGCGTAGTCCTGGGAGTTGCCGTACTGGTCGATCGGCCCGCGGCGCCGGACGGGGCTCCGGTGGCGCCGCCGGCGCGGCTGCGGCTTGCCCTCGGGCACGCCCGGCATCATTGAATTGTGCTGCAACCTCGACTGGGAGATGGAGCCCGGCGGCAGCGACGGCAGCGCCGCCAGCGCCTCGTGGACGTTCTGCATGCCGGCCATGGCGGCGTTGGGCGGGCGGCCTTCCGGGCGCCGGTCGCTGCTTTACGCGGGGGCGCGGCGGCTGTCCTCGGTCGCGCGGTGGCCCGGGGGTTCCGTCGGGGTCCCGGGGCTGGTTCTGGGTCGCGGGAGGCGGCGCAAAGTGGCTGCCAATTGCGAAGCCCAACCACCTGATCATCCTAGTGGGCGCGCGACGACGCGTCGCGGGCGTGCCCCGGAGTGCGTCGGAGGGGTTACCTCCGCGCGGGACGCGTCGCGACGGCTGCTGGTGTTTGCTAGTGTGTTACATGCCGCTAGCTTGGTTTTTGCTGCTGCTTTTTGCACAAATTGTGACAGTGCTGCTCGCTAATAGGCGGGCTGTGCCGCTGCAGGTGCTGGCAGTACCACCTGCGCATCTGTGCGCCCGACACCATTGGTTTTTGCAGCGACTGCACGAGATAATTGGCTGAACTTGGCGCTGCAGCCTGCGATAATTGGCGCCGCAGCGTGAGACTGGCACGAGTAAGCTAGCTGAACTTGGCAGTCTGCAGAGTTGCACAGCCGCAGCGAAACGATGCCAAAAAACGGCACCCTTAGGAAAAAGAAGCGCATGAAGGCGCGGCGCGGCCTGGACCGCGCGACGGGCGTCGCGGACGAGGGCGGCAACGGCACGCGGCCGCCGCGCACCGCGCTCGCGCGCGGGCCGACCTTCGCGGACGCGCCGCCGATCCCGCGCGGCGCGGCGGGCACGAAGCGCCCGGCGGACGACGACGACGCGCGCGAGCGTCTGCGCGAGGAGCGGCGCCAGCGGAAGCGCGCGAAGCGCCGCGGCGAGGCGCCGCCGCCACCCGGCTCCGTCGCCGCGGCGGCCGCCACCGCAACCGTGCCGGCCGAGCTGGCTCCCGCGTGGACCGGCGACGCGCCTTCAAAAAGGACTTTGGGAGGCGGCATCGTGATCGAGGACACGGCGCTCGGCGAAGGTCGAGAAGCGCGGCACGCGTCGAGCGTCGACGTGGCCTACGAGGCCTTCGTGTTGAGGGAGGACGGTGCGGTAAGGGGCGCGGCGATCGACCGGGCCACGGCGCGGGACCCCTACGGTTTTGTGGTCGGTTCTGGGGACGTGATCCGAGGCCTCTCCGAGGGCGTCAAGGGCATGCGCCCGGGCGGACGCCGTCTTATAGAGGTGCCGTGGCAGTACGCCTACGGTGCGAAGGGCCGGCCGCCGAAGGTGCCGCCCAAGAGTCGCTTGCGCTTCGACGTCCAGCTCCTCGAGGTGGGCGCGGGCTTCGTAAGTTAACTTGAATACATTACATCGCTATAGTTCCCGTTCGCGTGGCGGATGTCCGCGACCAGCACCTCGGACGCGCTCCAGAGCCGCACGCCGAGCTCCGCGTCGGCGGCCCGGTCCGAGGATACGTGGGGCCGCGCCACGGGCACGAGGTAGCTCCCCGGCTCTATTGTAGAATCGACGAGGGGGCGCAGCACGGTTAAGGCCGCCGTCGCCGCGTCCCAGTAGAACAGGCGCTCGAACGCCCTGACTACAAACCACGGCGCCGGGACGAACCTTAACAGGTTCCCGCGGACCGCGCCGGGGTGGACCGCGACCGCGTGGACGTCATACCGTCTATGTAATTCCCTCGAAAAGAGTATGTTGCAGAGCTTCGACCAGCCGTACCACCGCAACTTGTTGTACGTCTGACGGTCATTAAGCTTCTCGGCCGTCCAGAGCTCGTCTTGGGAACTGAACCGATGCGCCACCGAGCTGACGGCGACGACGCGCGCCCCTTCATTTAACAAAGGGAGCACTTCGTTCACCAAGACGAAGTGCCCGAGGTGGTTCGTCTGGAACTGCGCCTCGAGGCCATCCTCACTTATCGATAACGGAGGCATCATAATACCGGCGTTGAGCACGAGGAAGTCGATTCCTGATGGAGCCATCTCCTTCACGACGCGCGCCGCGCGGTAGACGCTCTTCAGCTCGAGGAGCTCCATCGCGACGCACGTGCCCGATCCGACGGTTTTTGTCGTTTTGGCGCACTTGTCGAAGGTGCGGGCCGTGGTTATGACGGTACATCCTGCATCTGCGAGCCCTCGGGCCACGGCCAAACCTAACCCAGAGGAGGCTCCTGTGACGACGGCCGTTTTGTTCTGTAGTGAAGGCATGTGCGCGTAGGAGAACCCGTGCGCGTGTCGGATATGAAGCCACGGCGCCGAGCCCGTGAGGAAGGACTCGTCTCCCGCTAATTCCCAGACTACGACACCGATTGTTGTTGCCAAGCATGCGACGCAAAGGCTGAGGAGGTAGTGCGGTATGCGGCGCCGCAGCGCATTGTGCAGCGAGGTCATTGCAAGTGCCGCAGCGATGGCGTGCTGTCAAGAATCGATGAGAAGCGGTCACAGAACCAAGCAACCGTCACCTATAGCGGGTTGTAGCAACTATATGTAGAGATTTTGCCTCGGCTTGTCTGAATGCTAGTGTGTTACATGACGCTAGCTTGTGCTTGGGCAAAAATTAGCCGCCACCAGCAGCAAGCTGTGTCAAGACGTAGCATTCTTCCTGGCATCTCTGTGCACCAATGCTCGCAGCCAGCAGAACCTTCGGGCGCGCCCTAGCTCGAAAAGCCAGCCACGCTGGCGGCACAGCGTCAGCCGCCGCGCAGCTCGCGCGACGGCGCCAGAGCACGCTGAGCGCGCGCGAGGCCGAAGCTTTGAAAGGGTTTCCCACCGTGGACGTCGGCGGTTTGTTCCCAGACGCCTCATCAGACCGACGCGACGCCGCGCACGCGGAGCTGCGAAAAGCATTAATAGATGAAGACGCGCCGGGCTTCTTCTACGCGTTGAATGCACCAGAAACACTAAACGCGAAATATCTGGACTCGGTCTACGCCTTCGTGGAAGACGCCCACTCCCTACCTTTAAGAACGAAAGCACGGTTCGCCGATCCGGAACGAGGTTCTGGAGAATTGGGCGCGGCCTACAACGGCCCCGACGTGGGCTACTTGGAACCCAGCTATGATGGTGTCTCCGTGGCCGCGGCCTCGGCGTGGGACTACTCGCCCGAGGGTGCGAAGAAGGCTGGGGATAATTGGGACGCGGAGCTCCCCGCCTATTTTCGGGAGACGATGGAGGACCTGTACGAGCGCCAGAACGGCGTCGGCCGGGCCGTGTTGACGGGCATCGCCGAAGTGCTGGACTTGCCCCCACAAACCTTCTCTGATAGTTTTGATCGCGGCGACCTCGGCACGATCCGGTTGATATCGTATCCCGGCTTCGAGCCGCCCGTCCACACGTTCTCGGCGGCGAACGCGAACTCGGGCGACCACGCCTGGACCTATTCTGATGAAGACGACGACGACGACGACGTGTGCCGGGCGGATGTGGGGATTGCGCCGCACACGGACTTCGAGGCCTTTACCTTGATGCACCAGGACGCGCCCGGTTTGCAGTTGCTGTCGAGGACGGAGCTCGAGAAAGGAAAAGATGGGAAGTGGATCGACGCGCCGGTCGTCGACGCCTTCATCGTCATCGTGGGCGACATTTTGGAGCGGTACACGAACGGCGTGTTGCGCGCGACGCCGCACCGCGTCGTGCGGCGGTCGTCGTCGCGGAGGTCGATCATCCGGTTCAACGCCGTCGCGCCCGACGCCGTCGTCGCGCCCCTGCCCAAGTTCGGCACGCCAAAGTACTCGCCCGTCACCATGGACGAGCACATGGCGACGACGCTCGGCAACTTGAGGAAGGGCGTGCCGTCCTGGGACGCGGCGACGAACACGAGCCGGTCGGCGACGTACGACTACGCGTCGTAAGTGCTGTTGTTACTATCTCGCTTCCGAGTCCTCCCTCACCACATCAAACAAGATTAGTCCCGCCCAAACAAATCGGGCTCCGCCGGCTCGAGCGGCGCATAGCACGTAGGCGGCGGGATCGCTGCGCCGCGCGGCGCCGACCGGCAGGCCTCCGCGGCGCGCCGCGACGAGTCCTCGCGCAGCGCGACGAGGCCGTCGACGTCGAGCAGCATGCCCGCGAGCGACTCGGATCCGAGCGCGTCGCTCAACGCCCTCCGCACGCGACCCACGTCGACGCCCCCGTACCCGACGCCGCGGATCGACAAGTTCGCCGTGAGGCCGCCGCCGCGGCGCCCGGCCGTCCTCTCCAGAAAACCCCGGAGCAAGCCGACGTCGGGATCCGGCCGTCCGAGGTACGTCGCGAGCAGCAGCGAGGTTCGAAACGACCCAAGCCCGCCCGTGAACGGCGCCGCCTGTGTGGAATCAACCAGTGAGTGGGGTTACATCGAGCCGACGCGGTCACGGCGACAATGTCGCGTCGATGGCCTGGAAACTCCACGCCATCGCGCAGACGCAGCTACGGAGACAATATCATGAAGATGGCGCGGGGCGCCCGAAATTCGATTTCCACGCAGGGCGCCGCGAGGTCGCGGTCGCGCAGCAACGCCTTCAGGAAGACCATGAGGTCGCCGTGATCGGCGTGCGCCGGCGCGGCGGCGACTGGAGGCCCGCCGTCGTCGGCGAAGCTCACGTCGCACGAGACGCGCGTCGCGCGGTCCTGCAGCACGACGATGGGTACGCGCGCCCGCGGCCGGCTCTCGACGCGCCCAAATAACGCGGACCGCTCCCGCAGCGCCTCGGCGAGCTCCTCGACGGCGTAGCTCGGGCTCAAAAACGTCATGGCCTCGTTCGGCGCGACGCGCAGGTCGAGGTCGCTGAGAAACCACGTGCTCTCCGTGTCGCTGCTGCCGTAGACGCTGCAGGTCGCGCGGGGCCAGACGGCGCGCGCGGCGTCCTCGACGCGCTTGACGACGAGGCGCCGCGCGCGCCGCTCGTCGTGCGTCGGCCGCGCCCACGCGGCGAAACGCCGGACCTCGGCGTCGAGGCTCGCGGGCCGCCCGTCCGCGAGCCACGGCGGCGGCGGCGGCTTGCGACCGCCCTCCTCGTCTGCGCGCTCCCTCCGCGACCGGCGGCGGCGGCCGCGGTCCCGCGAGCGCGAGCGAGAGCGCGAGCGTTCACCCAGCGCCGGTGCCGCGACCGCAGCCGGCTCTTCGCCGGCCCACGCGTCGTCAGCCGACTGCTTCTTGCGTTTTTTGCCAAATTTCGCTGCGTAAGCCATCCGTGCGGATCGATGCGATGGGCTGGGTGCAGGGCGCACACTTGCTCAACGCCGCTGCAGCCCAATGATTGGTGGGATCAATGCGCTACGCACAATGCAATGTCAAGGGGCTGCAAAATGCAAATTTGTGCACGCGAATCGAACTTCCAAAAGACGAAGCAGGGGCGCTGCATCTAGCGTTTAATAAACACACTAGCATTATATATTCACTGGAAAGCTTAAGCTTAGGGCTGCCACCGCATATAGAAAGCGAGTTGGGACCGCTTCGCACGCACATCGCTGCCCCACCGACGCCACCGCTCGGCCCCGAGGTGCCGCAGGTCGTGGGCTGCCCATCAAACACCACTACTGACAATGGCCACAGACGACGCCGAGCCCCTCTACACCATGCGGCTCCTGCCCAAGCCCCCGTCCCTCGCGCCCTTCGACGCGGGCCGCGACCTCGTCGAGCTTGATACAATGGCGCTGCCTTCAAGGCCCCGCGACGACGTCGTGCCGGACGAGGCGCAACAGCTCGAGGAGCTCCATAGATTAAGACGGAAGTTCGACGACGGCCTCGCGTTGTGCTTGAATTTACATGGAGAGCGGACGAAGCTGGAGCATGAGTTAAAGGAGAAGAAAAAAGTATATGCCGAGGCCGAGCAACGACGACGCGCCGACGAGAATGGAGACGACGGCGTCGCGGCCTTCGAGAAGGCCTTTGATGAATCACAATCCCGGCAGGGCCTGACGATCGTCCAGAAGGTCGTGGTGGTCGTGGCGGCGTTTTTGCTGGGCTTCGTGGCCGACCGGATTCCCGACCTCGTCTACGACTTTTTGGATGCGGACCCGGATGCCGACGGCGCGGGGCCGCGCGTCGAGGCGGACTTCTACGACTGAGGGGGCGCGGCGACGGCGTCCGGGTTGCCCACGCGCTCGCGGTGCCGACGATCAGCCGCGACCCGCGCCGCTGTAGTAAGATCACATGTGTTAACACTAACCTCCAGGAGACGCCTCAGCTCACAAGACGCCGCCGGCGCGACAGGTCACTCATCGCCCGATCCCCACGCAGACGCCAAGTGCTGCAGACTACTGCGACGCGATGCGTGTCGAGCGCCGCGGCGACGCCGCCCGTTTCGGCGACTTGGCCCGCTTCGGCGACGCGGCGCGCTTCGGCGACCTGGCGCGAGGCTTCCGCGGCGACGCCACAGACGCCGTTGCATCCTCCTCCTCCGAATACGACACAAACTGAGAGAACTCGCCCCGACATAAACCGACGAAGGCCGCCGCCCCTAAACAACTTGGCACCAAATAAAGCAGAGCCGGCTGCGCCGCGTCGAAGCGGAACATGACGTACAGCGTCACCGCGAGCCCCAACGAGTAGGCTAATAACGTAAAACGGAAGAACGGCCTCCCGCGGCGCTTCTGGGCCACGTCGAAGCGCAACAATAACGCGAGGAAGAGGCCCGGGACGACGACGTCGCCCAGACCGAGCATCGAGAAGTTTTTTTCCGCGTCGTCGAAGGACCGCCGGAACAACAACTTGACAGGTCCGTCGATACCCTTGGCCACCGTGACCATGACGTCGGTGCCAAAGACCCACGTGATGTCGTAGACGAAGAGTAGAGCGAGGAGTAAAGCTGCCGTTTTTGTGGAGCCGATGCTTATGGATTCGATGCCGCCAATACATAAAGATACCGCAATGAGGTTGTTGAGGAGCCAGTGCTTTGTACAAGCGTAGGCGACCATGAGGATGATCGTCACGCCCCAGCAGACTTGCTGGAGCGTGTTGACTCGGAGATCGACGGTGGCCTGCTCAGCTATCGATGCAATTACTCGCGGGAGCGTGACGACGCGGCCCCTCCTCTTCCGCGACCGCGCGGCCTTCTTGAAAAATCTAGATGCCTCGGCCTCCAACAATTGCTCGACCGCCACCAGACCGATGCCCAGGAAGTAGGCCAGTAAAATGTAGTTCAGCACCTTCTTGCCGAGCAGTTTGATGAGGCCATACATGCCGCACAGCGCCAAGGAACCGTACAACGGGAACTGCCAGGCCTCCGTCGCGCTCAGCGTGACCGTCTCCTGCGGCGCGGCGCTCTTGCCTTTCGCCGCCTTGGCCTTGGCGCCGGGCAGCAATTTCAGGCCCTTGCGGCAGCCCAGATAAACAATAGCCGTCGCCGTGACCACGACATTCACGGCGAGCGGCGGGATCGTGAGCAGTGAGGAGGCGTGCAAGGCCAGCAGTGCAAAGGCGGCGAGGTTGGCTGGAGTGGGCTTGGGCATCCTTGCGAGGTGCTGTTGCAGCGCGGCGGCTGGCGTGCGCTCTGGTGGCGGCGCGGTGCAGCGAGGGCGTGCCGCGCGCTGCGAGATGCAGTTCTAGCAGCGCTGCGCGGTGCTGGGTGCAGCAATGCACTAAAACTGAGGGCTGCGGAGTTTGCTCGGCCTCTTCCTAGTGTGTTACATGCCGCTAGATAACACAGGTCCGCGCCTATTTTCAAACTCGCGCATTGCAACGTGCTGGCGCGTTGATAGCCCATAGAAGATCACATTTCCTATTTGCAGCCGTGTGCTGAGCTCGCGAGATCGCGCGGAGCCCATACAGTACCGCAACCATGCGCCTCACACTCATCCTCTGCAGCAGCCTCACGGCCGCGCGCGCCTTCTTCGGCCCACCCCGGCCGCCGCGCAACCCACGCCTCTCGAGCAGCTACGGAGACGACGGCGACGAGGGCCTGGGCCTCAACAGTGCGGCGAGCACGGCCATCACGCTCGCCGTCGGCGCCACCATGCCGTCGCTCGCGCGGCGCGCGTTGCGGCGCAAGGCTCCGGCACCGGCCGTCGCGGGAGCACCGTCGGACCCCAACAGCTTCGCGGGCACCTGGAAGCTCGCGCGGAGCGAGAACATGGACGCGTACCTCAAGTCGCTGAACGTGTCCGCGGCGCACCGGCGCCTCGCGGCCGGCGCGTCCGTGACGCACGAGATCGAGCAGACGGGCCGCGACTGTGTTGATGTGTGCGTCGTGACGCGCTTGGGCAAGTCGCGCGAGCAGCAGAAAGTCGGGGCGACGCGGACCGGCAAGGACCAGTACAAGCGCCCAATCACCAAACGGACGACCTGGGAATCGGGCAACAAATTGAAGACGACGACGGAGTCCGAGGTCGGGACCGTGACGGACGTGCGCGAGCGCGTCGGCGACGGCATGGTGATCACTTTGACATCTCCCGACAACGTCGTCGCGCGGCGCTACTTTGAGAGGGTCGGCGGCGGGCCCGTCGTCGCGGCCTCGGCTTCGCCGGCCAAGGCGCTTGTTCCAGTGCCGATCGTCTGCGGCGTGGCGACGGGCTTCGTGGCGGGGCGGCTGACGGCGCGCGGGAGGGGGCGGTTGGCGCCAGCTAGATCCTAGCACCGTAACAGATATCATTCGAATTCTTACACGTACGCCAGGGGCGGCCTTTGTGTTCCACGCCATCGACGCGGCATTTTCTTCAGCGATGGCGTACACGGGGCGCGACAGCAAGATCATCACCAGACCCCCGCCCCATCCGAGACCCCCTTCTCCGCACTCTTCTTGAGCTGCACCGCCTCCGCAAACACATGTTTCTTGTCGACGGCGTGGGTCACGGCCTTGAACTCGTCCAACGCGAGGACGTGCTCGCAGTCGCCCCGGGATATATGGCACTTCTTCTTGATCCACTTCTGCTTCTGCTCTTCTGTCAACAGTGTATTCAATCGGACATGGTCCAATTTCGTCTCGAAGTCGCCGCCGCACGTCACCGAGAAACAAGCGAGCATGTGCGGCAGAACCAAAGCCAATTTCTCCGCCAACGTTAGTTCAGTGTCCGGCGTCAGCATGCGTCTTAATTCATTGATGGCGTGGACCGCGTCGGCGCCATTGGTAGCTCTAAAATGCAAAACCTCGTAGAATTCACACAGTTCATTGACGCCAATCTCCCGTAGGTGGCCGAAGAGCGGCACTTCCACCTCGACGTGGACGAAGCGACACAGCGCCTCCAGGAAGTTGATATAGGTCAGTTCCTTGTACCCCGCGTCGCACGTGTCCACGAAGAACGTTCTCCCGAAGGCGAAGGACCGACGCGCGGCGACCCTCGCATCACTATTATGACAGAGCATGCACTTCGTGAGGAACTCCGCGAAGACATTCGGCGAAAATTTGGCCCGTCCCGCGTGACGGTACTGGTTACCATACGCCCTCCAGATACCCTTCAAAATTTTATCGTACTTCCACAATTGTATATCTACTTCTTCGTTATACAAAGATTCTCTCCTGAACGTGTCCGGGCACTCGTGGAGTTCATACGGTAGTTTTGATAAGTGTTCATCCCTAAATCGTTCAACTGATTCTAGGATGTGATCTTCTCGACTATGCGAATCGGGCGGCTCGTGATCTAGGTCATACTTCGCCTCGACCACTCGTAGGTTGGCGTCCAGAAATTCATATCTACACAGGTGCTCGTCGTCGTTCACGGCACGCATTTCCTTCGAAACACCAATCTCTACTTTGCACTGTCGAAACACAATTTGCGCGTGCTCCGGCGTGAAGTGCGTTGGTGATTGTTCATCATCATCAAAACAATCAGTCGCACGTAAGTAAGCGATCCAGTCCGTCATGTTGAGGTCGAAGGCGTTATTTGATGCTAGGTCGACGGCCGCGTAGTGCTTCAGGATCGGCAGTAATGCGCCATACAAGACTTCCGCGCCGTGTTTGATAGCTTCAATAACCGATGCGGGTGCTTCCTTCGCGTCCCTCATAGAATAACCAGCCAATCTTTTGGCGAAGTTCGGGAACCTTGGCATCTGCGTGAGATACGTCCAATCTTTAGCGAAGCCGCGATGCAGCACTTTCGGCGTATCATAAAAGTCCCTGGCGTCGGACTCGAGCTTGCGCGGCGCCCAGATCGACGCCTCGAGCGTCCAGGTCGACTCCGGCTCAGGGGCTACTTCTTCTTCTACTGGTATGACGGGTCGCTTCGTGCAGAACAGACAGAGGGGGCAGGGTGCTAAGCGGCCCCAGGAACCGGGAGGTGCTTGCTCTAACTCAGACATGTAGTGTCGCGTCACGGACGGTGCATGGGGCGGAAATGGAGCTCTGATCAAAATACAAGAAGGTGGCTTCTCCATAAAGACCATGGCAAACTCGTTTTCATGATCGTCGGGCACCCAGCCCGGCGGTGGCGTGCCGTCCCGCCATTGGCCCGGGTGGAGCACCTCGCACGCGACGCGCGTCGACCGAAATAAGTGGTAGGCCGTGTATTCCGTCTCGTCGTCGTCCTTATCATCAAGCGTAGCCTTGAACTTTCCGATAGCCTTCGCGAAGGACAAATTACGCAGCGCCTTCGACGCCGCGGACACCTCGGGCCCGTCTAAGTCGTCCTCGGGAACGTCGTCGACCTCGTCATCTCTTTTGCGAGGTAGGAAGAAGGTCGGGCAGTCGCCGACGTAAAGCTTGGCACCGACACAGCTCTTGAAGCAGCACAACTGCGTCTCGCCGTCATTTCCCGTAGCTAACCCCGGCGGGAACCGGAAGGTGTTTCTCGCGCCGCCCGGAGCTAGCACACACCTTTTCCCGAGCTTCGGCGCCGCGGCGCCTCTGGCAACGACGGGATTCCACGGGCTGACGCCGCCCTTGTCGTGCGCAGGACCGACCCTAAAGGAACCCATCCTTGGAGCCTCCCGCAACAGCGGCGTCTCGAACTGAACCCCGCCCCGCGAAAGGAGCGGCGCCGTCCTCGGCCGTTGCACCGCATCCTTCAGCATCTTTCTTATCGTTTTATCGCCCTTGGGCTGGGTCCAGAGGGAGTTGGGCATCGCTGAGAGTTGTCTCTTGGCCTCGAGCCTCCTTGCGTTTGCGGCAGCTAAGTCGATCGGGTTTGACACTACATCAGTACTTCGGACGGTGCAGACCGAGTCCTCGAACAATCTTTGGACATTGTCGTACTTCGTCAGTTTATTTCTTAAAGATGAAGTAATCGACGACTGCGAGGGCTTGTTCAATTTGGCCAGTTTTTTCCGCCCGCAGTTCCCGAAGTCGACCCGCAGCTTCCGCAAGTGGATCTGGTAGCAAACTCGCGCGTCTCTTGACAAGTTCGCGAGTAGCGACACGGCGTAGGTCCTCAACTCCGAAGGTTCGTCGGACGCGTCGAGCGTCGGCTCGAGCGCGTGCTTGGCCACGGGCCAGCACGCGTCCTTTGCGACGGACAGATTTAACAAAGCGTGCAGGGCGGCCTTGCGGACGTCGTGGGTGTGCTCGGTACTTAACAACGCGGCTATTCTCTTCGACCCTTGCTTCGCTAACCGAACACCTAGTCTTCGGTCTCTTGCTGCTAGTAGTTGTACCGAAAATAATGCTGTTTCCTGGATTAGGGCGTTGTTGCCCGGTTCGAGGCACCTCAAGACCTCGGTCACGACATCTGAACCGTTCTGTTCCAGTTCCCTCGCACCGACAGCGGTCTCGCAGCACAGTCGTAGTAAAACGCGGCACGCCGCTCCCGTGAGCTCCTTCGAGTCCGAGGATGGAGAACGAGCGTGGTCGCTCCTCAACAAAACACAGAGCGGCTTCACGAGAGCAGGCCCGAAGCCGCGCGCGTCGATGCGAGAAGCTTCGACATCCTCACAGTTATCCTTCGTGAGCTTCCAGACCAATTCCAACATCTCCCGCCGCGCTTGGACGCCGTTCTCATCTCTCATATCCATTTGTTCTTCCGGCGATTCGTTGACGAGTACAGAAACCACGGCCTTCTCAACAGCCCCGCGATCGAGCAACTCCCCAACACTGGGCTTGGGGATGGACGCCGCGCCCAACAAGAGGATGCGCAGCGCCGTCGACGCGGCGCACGTAAACGCGTCGACGCCACCCTCTGCCAATAGCCTAGTGATAGCACATAGCGTCCCGAGGCACTTCCGCTTGAGCAATGGTGAATCCTTGGCGTACTTGCCCTTCTTTGAACATGATCCAGCCCAATGCCTGGCTAATCGCGCCACCGCAATGGCGCCGAAGCCGACGACGTTTCTTCTTTCTCTATTGTCCCTATAAGCCTTGCCGGTCAATGCGAAGCTGTCGATGAACGGCTGCACATGGCTCACATCGTTCCAGGCGTTCGGTTTCAAAACCACGGAGCAGGGGTCGTAGCCGCCCCTGCTCAAAATTTCCAGGCTACAAGCTACCGGTTCTAAAACCTGAGACGTATACGTCTCGGACTTGAGGAGTTCACATAGCACCCGGAAACAATTCGTCGACAAAGCTGCCTTCCTCCCGTTCTCCGTCTTGATCGCCTCCGGTAAAGCTCGCGTCACGCGCTCGTCCAAGGAAGGCAGTAATTCACCGAGCACGCTCAGGATCCACTTTTCCACGCTCTGATAGGAGACGCCCCGCGCGATGACGCGGGCGTGGGCGCTCGCGACGGCCCGCGCGACCTTGGGTTGAGTGAGATCGACGCACCGCTTCGTGAGGTCCAATAAACGCTCGACGTCCGGGACTTCCGCGCATGAAAGCGACGCGCAGGCGTCCGCCGCTTTGGCGGCTATATGCGCGGTCTCGAAGTCCTCTTCGTTTAAGGATCTTTCGACAAGTAATGCACAGGCATCTACACACAATGTGGCGCCCGGGTATACGCCTGTCAGGGCGGGATCGCTCGCGAGGACGCCGACGGACGCCGCCGCTAAGCGAGCGTCGTCGCACGCGAGTAAGGGTGCCAGCGCCGCGAGCGCGCCGGAAGCTGCCGTGACGGCCGGCGCCGGGGCGCTCGCCACGTCCTCGGGCGCCGGCGCCGGCGCGTCGGTCGCCTCCGGCTCCGGAAGCACCACCGCTTCCTCTTCAATATCACTCGCGACACACAAATGCTCCCTGACTTCAGAGGAAGCCACGGTCACGCCGAACAACAAACCACCTAAAGCTAGCGTCGAACGAAATAAAGCCGCGCTCGTCACCAACGCGCGCAGTCCTCGTTCCGACGCCAGCACCTCGGTCCGCACGGCGTCGTCGCGGTGCGCCAAGGCCACCAAACAACCCAATGCAACGTCGCACCTTCTTTCTACAGCTCCGACCAGAGCGGAGGCCAATCCTCTTCGGACCAGTTCCCGACAAATACCCTCGTCGGCCTCGCACAAGCGCCAGGCCGCGCGACACGCCGCGATGCGTATCGCCGGATCCTCGGACAATACATTTGAAGCAACTTGCCTTGCTAAAGACCCGCACGACGTGGCGTTCGACGGCTCGTGCGCGAACTCCCAGCACGCATCTAGGGCAGCTTCCAGGTCGTAGCCCTCACTTAATCTTTGAGCTAATTGTTTGCCGCACTTTCTCGCACGGCTGCGGTAGCGGCTCTTGCAGCCGTGGTCCCAGGCCTCGATCACGTGGCGCCAGTCGTCCTCCAGCGCTAAATTGAGACTTCTTTTGGGCGCCTTCTTCCACTTGTCGCACCACGCTTCCAGAGAGAGTCTATGTCCATCTCCTAACACTAATGGAGCCCACGCGTCGCCGACGCCCTTCGGCGTCGGGTACCACCATTCATAATCTTCCGAGGGCGCCGCCTTAAACAACGTCGGCATGACCTTCATCCAGCTCCCTATGTCACTGGTTGCGACGAGGTGGTCCTCGCTGCCCTCCTGGTCTTTCGTAACCCTCAAGACCATCTGGCCTCGCGGGCAGCTGCTGGCGCGGATCATCTTCGAGGTCTCGGCCATTGCTTGACACTGTGGTACCTCGGTAGCACAGCCAGGTCACGCTGGGGCGCCGCGCGCGCTGCCCCGCGCTGTCATCTCGAGGCAGCGCGTTTAATGCGCTCCTGCGGAGGCAGCTATGCGCCGCGGATGGCGGCCCGCGACGACGCTGCTCTGCAGCGCCTCTCTGCAGCACAGCGCAATCCCGACCGCGAGCCTAGCGCCGCGAGTCCCTCCGGGCGACCCTGAGCACTCTTCTCATTGTTGCGTAGGGCTGGCACCGGTGAATCTAGCGGTCCGGCCGCTAGCATCGAATGGCAGAGACAGAGAGGGCCTAGCAATCAATTGCAATAAACAGAGCTACCCGACACGGTGGGGCTGCCCAACTTGCGGGATGATCCTCACAAAATGCGCCGTCTGCGCCACCGAGCTCGGCTTATCATTGGGCAAGAAATGTGGGCGCTGCAGCACACGCTACTGCGGCGCTGAGTGCCAAAAACAGCACTGGGAATCGGGCGGCCACGACACGCTCTGCAAAAAAATAAAAAAGGCTGGTGGCGCGGAGCAGTACAACGCAAATGAGAAGTACACGGCGGCCGTCGCGGTCGCGGCGGAGGCGTGCGCGGCAGACACGAAGGGGCAGACGTGCTACATCTGCACGCAGGCGCTCCATTGGAAGACGAAGGAGGGCCTCGTGCGAATGTGCGCGTGCCGCGGGACGGCGGGCTTCGCGCACCTGTCGTGCTTGGCGGAGCAGGCGAAGCTTTTGAATGATGAGGGCGAGGAGAACAACTTGTCTCCCGAGGGGAGGTGGCGGCGGTGGGTCACGTGCAGCTTGTGCAAGCAAGATTACCACGGCGTCGTGCAATGCGCGCTCGGGTGGGCGTGCTGGAAGACGTACGTGGGCCGGCCGAAGACATGTAGGCCTCGGGTCTGGGCGATGACCGTGCTTGGGAACGGTTTAGGCGAAGCAGAGCAAGACGAGGACGCGCTGGTCGTGCAAGAGGCCGAGTTGTCTACGAAGCGGCGCGTTGGCGAATCAGAATACAACATTCTCGTCGCGCAGAGCAATCTAGCGATCACGTATGAAAATCTGGAACGGTTGGACGAAGCCTTGCGTTTAAAGCGAGACGTATACACTGGATTCTTGAAGCTCTTCGGCGAAGAACATGAACAAACCCTCCGAGCGGTCAACAACTACGCAACGTCCCTTGTTCGTCTAGAGCGCTTTGGAGAAGCCAAGTCGCTGCTACGCAAAACAGTGCACATGGTGCGACGCGTCCTTGGAGAGAGTGACGAGACCACGCTCCGGTTTAGGTCTTCGTACGCGGCTGCGCTCTGCCAGGACGACTGCGCCACGCTCGGCGACCTCCGCGAGGCCATGACGACGCTGGAGGACGCGGGACGGATCGCGCGGCGCGTGCTCGGCGGCGCGCACCCGTTGACAGGGGCGATTGAGCGCCATCTAGAATGGTCGCGAGCAGCGCTCGCCGCCCGCGAAGATACTAAGATTAAATAAGGTTACACGCGACTCGATTCGACAGTCGACAGGGGGTTGGGCGCGGCGATTTACGTGTCCCGCGTCGGCGGGGCACGGCTGCGATCGCTCACGCGCGCACTACGGAGATGGGCGCGGAATTCGCGCGCTTGGGGGCGGTGGCGTTCTCCTTTTCAGCAACAGGTAGCGTCGTACTACGTTTGAGCACGCGCTTGACGTTGTTGGAGGTTGGGAGGTCGCGAAGAAGGCGTCCTCGGCCATCAGCAACATCAATGGAAGCGCCGTGCCGCAGCAGCAAGTCGACGCAGGCCTTGTGTCGCCGGTCCTTTTCAAAGCGCGCCGCCAGGGCAGCTACATGCAATGCCGTCGCGCCGTTCGAATCCCTCAAATCGACGTCGGCGCCCAGCTCGAGCAGCGCTGTCATTGCTTCCAAATGCCCATACATAGCGCACTTGTGGAGCGCGCCGGTTTTGACGTCGCCCTCAGACGAGAGCACGTCGACGGACTTCCGAAACTCATCGAACCGGCCCGCGCGCTTAATCAGGTCCGCGGCGTCGGCGATGGCCGCGAAGTGCAACGCCGTGTAGCCGTTGCCCGGGCGCCGCGCGGCGCTCGCGAGCACGCCCTTCTCCCGCAACGCGTCCGCTACGACCTCAAACGCATTCGGGGAGTTCTCCTGCGCCGCGAGGAGCAACGGTCGCAGCTTCTGCGCGTTCTGGACCTGTTGGTACTCGGCCTCGGCGGCGATGAGCACCCGCACGATCGTCCCCGCGTCGTACTTGCAAGCCTGCAAGAGCGGTGTGAGGCCCTCGTCGTTTTTTACCTCGGTAGGCGCACCCGCGACGAGCAAAGCGCCGACCTCGAGCTCCATCTGCGTCATTCGCGCGTGGTCGCGCTTTGCCCGTGCTCTATACCAGTTCGCAATCCGCACGTGTAACACGCCGTCTCCTCTAATATCAATGTAGTCCAGGCCCTCCCTAATATTCGGTCCGGGCTTCTCGAAGGGCTTGCCTAACCGTGTGGCTGCGAGCGTCGCTTCGTGGTCCAGTTCCGCCTGGCTGATCGTGCTGAGGAGCGGCATGAGCTCAGCGCCGTCGAGGGCCAACGCGCGCCACCCAGCCGCGACGGCGTCCTCGTAGCGGGCGGTGTGCGGCTTCGACGGCTTCCTCGTCTTCTCTCTGAAACGCAGGAGGACGCTCCGCAGCTTGACCGCCTCGGCGCGGTGGCGTTTTAGTTTATTGAGCCGCTCGCGGCTCCAGGCCGTGAGTTCCTTCATTTCTACTGCGTCGGGGCGCCGCGCCGCCTCCTCGACGCCCTCGTCGAGGATCGCGACGTCGCAGGCGCAGCCAACACAACCCTCGTCCTCCGAGTCGGAGTCGCCGCTCCCGGCCTCGGGGTAGACGCAGGCAAGCAACGTCTCCAACGTCTCCATGGCGCGTCACGGTCGTCCCGGTGGGCCCACGGGATCAAACGCGGCGCTCCGCTGGCAGCCGGTGCTCTACAAGCTCGTATGAGGGTGGTACAGCCTTGGTCAAGCAGGTGCTTGCTGGCCCCGCAAGGGCTGCCCGCCGCCGAGCGCTGCTCGCAGGGGTGCAGCGACGGGCGCAAGCAGGTTGCCCTGCAGCCCTGCGCGCCGCGGGCAGTCAAATGACCCAGGCCGCCGGCTGATCGGAGCGCCATCTCCGCGTCGGCGCGCCGGGCCGGGGACCGGAGGAGGCGTCTACAAAGCCGGCCAGGAGTCCTTGTCCCGTGCCACGACCGCCGCGTCGAATCGAAGCCAAAACGCGGACGACCGCAAGACACACAACAATACTTAGGCCGGCGCCGTGAACGTCGTGAACGTCTCCGGCACCTGTAACACACCGCGAGAGGCACGATCGACCAGATCCGAGATGTTGGCAGAAGCCAGGTTCGCCGCCGCGCCGCCCTTCGACGCCGCCGCGACGCCGCCCAGCAACTGCAGCAGCTCGCCGGCGGGCCGCCCGTAGGCCTTCAGCAAAAAGGGCGCCGCCGTCTCCAGGAACGCTACGAGAGGAGGCAATGCCGCGTCGGCCTCGGCGAAGGAGTCGTTCGCCGCGCGCGCGAGCCAGCACCACGCGGCTCCTAAACCTCCAAAAGGATGGCCTCGCATGGACGGCGTGTCCACAATACACAGCGCAGCACACAACGCCGCCGTTTTTGAGGCATCAGGGCCTTCGCACGGCTTCGATAGTGATGAGGGAGACGCGTCCCGGAGCTTGGCCTGAAACAATTCTCGTCTGAAGGACGTAGTATCCTTGGCCACGAACTCGCAGACGCAGGCCGCGAGGGCCCAGACGTCCTTGCGTCGATCGAAGGTCTCTCCAGTTAATTTCTCGAGGAGCTTGTCGCAGGCCAAGTGGGCGGCAAATCTAGATACGGTCCCGTCGTCGACGCCGCATTGCTGCAAGGCGGCGCCGTGGGCGACATGCAACGGCTGCGACGCACTACCTCCACCGAAAGCACCGAAGGGGTTCGACGGCGCCTTCGTCTTGCGGCCGAGGGGATCCTCGACGAGGTCACTCAACGTTTCGGCGCACTTGAGGGCCGAGGCGCAGTCGTTGCCCACGCTGTTGACGGCGGCGCCGACCTTCTTTTTGAGGGCCCGCGCGAGGGGCTTTAAGGTTGTTTGTGACGTGAAATTTGCTGCGGCTAGCTGGGCCTCGGTCTGCGCGGCTCGGGCTCGGGTTTCGGCGTCGGCGGTGGACGGCGCCGGCGCGGCCGGCGTCGTCACCGGGGTCGCCGCGGGAGCGCCAAACCCGCCGAGCTGCGCCGCGTACTTCTTCTGGAGCCGCGCTATTAATTCAGCCTCGCGGCCCGCGTATTTGGCCAGTAAATTGTCGACCTCGCCGAGCTTTGTGGGGTTGCACTTCTCGTAGATCGCGACGACTTGTGATCGAGCGTCGCCGCCGCCGGTCCCGACGGCCGGCGCCGCGGGCGCGGCCGGCGTGGCGGGGGCCGCTGCGGGAGCGGCGGCCGGAGCACCGAAGGCCGGCGCGGCGGCCGGCGCCGGCGCCGGTGCACCGAACGCCGGCGCCGGCGCCCTCGCCACCGGCACGGCCGCGAGCTGCTTCAAAGCGTCGTCGAGCTTTGAGATTGCGTCGGAGGCCGCTCTTCCCGCCTGAGACGTTTCCGTCAGCAAACCGCACTTTCTACTTTTCAGCAGCGCGAGCTGCTCTGTCAAACCGCGGCGCGCCTCCGTGAAGGCCTCCTCCGTTGTGGCTTTCCGAGCACTGCTCAGGTGTTTCAGGATGGCAGCCACACACTCTTTCGCGCGTTTTATCGTCGAGAGGTCCTCGTCCCTCAGACCATCTAACGCCTCCAAACTCTCGAGGTCGTCCCAGGCCTCCGGCGAAGATAGCACTTGACGCGCCTCGTGCTGGAGCTTCGCCGCGGCCTCGGCCTCCTTCCGGCGGCTCCGTTCGTGCTCAATCGCCTCGCACCGTTTTTTGGACTCGGCGTGCCTCAAAGCTGCCTCGCGCCGCGCCCGCTCCATGTCCCGTCTTATATCTTGATCTTGGCGCTCCTTTACTTCGAGCGCGGCTTTGTCGGCGAGTTCCAGCGCCCTCATAGCAGCTTCTGGTGGAGGGCAGTCGCCGGCGTCGCCCAACGCTTGAATTCTAGCGCGGAAGGGCGCTAGCTTTTTCTCAGAACGTTTCTGCGCTTCCCTATCTCTTAACAGCTGTAATTCCAAAGCGCACTGCCTTAAACGGCAGGGCGGCGGCTGCTGTATCGGCGGCGGTTCGCTCTTGAGGAACTGGCGCGGCGGTGCCTTGGCTATGACCGCTGCGTCGTCGTCCGAGGAGTCCTCGCCGAGGCTGAAGCGGACCATCGTTTCTTCTTCGGGCCGCGCGGGCAGCGCTGCAGCGTTTTGCGGTGCTTGTGGCTCCCAACCCAGTCTTTGAGCGGCGCGCGCTAACCAGTCCCGTTTTTTTACGAGCGATGCCTTCGAGCGAAGGCTCGGGCGCGCGTACGTCGCGCTGGAGCGCCGAATGAAGCCACAAATGGCTTTGCGCGGCCGCGCCGCAAACACCTCCGGGGTAAGTCTACCATACCGATATCTTACTGATACCTTCCCCGGCGGCCGAGCGGCACTCATCCGCCGCGCCGCGGCTCTCGGGCCGCTGCGAACGACTTTGCAGCGCACCCGGGCAGCCCCCAGGCGCCGTCGACGCTGCCCCACCACAGCGACGATGCCCGAGAAGCGCCTCACGCGAAGCAACCACCGGACCCAGCAAGCATTAACAAATCACCCGGCCATCATCGCCTATGTGTGTGTAGGACTCGTCTTTTGTATTGTAAGTTGCTTCAAAGTCTTCGGCCATAGACGGAGGAGAAAGTTCAGCAAGAAGCAATTGGACCGGTTGCGGGACTGGCGCGATGGGCGCGCGGAAACCAAAGTAGAATCCCAAATACGCAAGATGAAGGACAAACTCAAGACCATGAAGCAGCGGCGACGGTTAGAAAGAGGGAGAGATGCGCATGAGCGACTGTTGGACGAGGCGGAGGCGCGGCGGGACGCTCGAGGTCGAGAGGTCTACGGCGACGAGTGGGACAATCCGGACAACGACGGTACGTAGACAGCGTCCTTTCAACGAGTGCGTGCTTGCATTGCGGTGCAGCACCCGAAGACGTCGGTCCCTGTTGAGGGAGTCTCTCCACCAAAGTTCGGTGACGAACATCAATACCAAAAAATGAGAATAGGTCAAGACTGATACGTCGTGACGACGAGAGACGCCCGAGAACATCACCGAGAGAGAGAGTTTCAGACGACGCGCGCCGCAGTGTATGATCGTCAAACGCGCAGGCGTGCCCATCCGCGACCTGTTTGCGCTCAGCGACGGCGAAGTAAGGCAGTTGCAGCTCGAAGCGCGCAATAAACGAGCTCTGGACGCGGCGAAGAAGCTTGAACTCGTGGAACGGTCAAAACCCAAACCGCCGCCCGGGCCGCCGCCTCCCACGAAGAAGCCGCCGCCGCCCCCGGGACCGCCGCCGGGCGTCTACCCCTTCACACCTAGACCGCCGGAGATCCCAGCAGGTACTCGGTTCGTGTCGACGCCGCGCGAGGCGTTCGGCGGCGTCGAGGAGGAGAAGGGCGGGAGTGCTGTTCAACAGCTCCGGGCGCGGCTCCAATCACCACGACGTGGACCGCGGGGGCCTCCACCCCGAGGACCGCCGCCGCCGGAGCGCGGCGCGCGCGGGCCCCAGCTTGTGTGAGTAATGTGTGTAGTTTGATGAGGTCTGGCGCGTCCGTCGCGGTCCGGTTGTTGGGGGCGGTTTCTTCGGGAGACGCGAGCTTGGGTGGTTGTCGTGGGCGCTGGTGAAGTTTTGGCGTCTTAGGAGGCCTGCAGATACGTGTCTGGACCGATCGTAGCTAGCGGTAGTAAGACACTAGACGGCCCAGCCCAAATTGACTGTGTTTTATCGCGGCCGCGAGTGCTGGCGGAGCACTGAGGGGCCAGCCAAATGGCCTAGTTTTAGCTTTGGAAAATCCGATAAGGTTTTAAAAAGACCGCTCGGGCCCTAACTTGTGCGGCGGCGGCCCGCGGCGTGCGTAATAGGGCGGCGTCTGAAAAGCTAACAACAAAGCTGGCTTAACAAAAGCGCACCACGCCTTTTTGAAAAATAAATATGCAGAAGTGTTTGCAAGGTCGACGCGCGCCTGTGATAATTTTTTGGTGCATGTCAAGGGCCCGCAAGCGCTTGGCACCCAGCAACATTTTCGCGGTAGCACGCGCGCGGCCGCAGCACTCGAAGACCCAATGTGCAGTGGAATCGCCGCCGCACCGATGCTCGCGGCATACACACGCATCCGAAACCGAGCGCTCGTTGCAAAACGGCTGCGGGAACCCCCAGCCACCCTCGTGACGTGCGAGACACGCGAAACCGCCCGCAGGTGACCTCGGCGCCATGGTCAAGGACGACACGGGCCCGGCCGTGTCGACGCGGAAGCGCAAGGCCGAGGAGGAGCACGTCCAGCCGCTCGGTGCGTACTGCAGCGTCTGAAACATCACCGCGGGGGCGCGGACGGCGCGGCCGTGAGAGAGAGTCGCTGCGGTCGCGTCGACGCCGTCGCCGCGACACACATGGAAACCCGTCGCATCCGCGCAGACCTCGGCAAGGAGCAGGCCGACCCGCGCGCGCCCGGCGCGCCCGCGGCGCAAAAAGCGGACTGGGCCGACAAGTACAAGCAGACGGGATTGAAGCCCGAGGGCTTGCGGCAGGCCTACGACGGTGATCCCACGGGTGCCATGGGGTTGATGGAGCACCGAATTGCTTCAAGGCATTTAACAGTAACAAACGCCACTCCCCACAAGATCCACTTCTCGCTGGAAGTCGGCGAGGTCTGGGACTGGGAGATGATGCACCCTTCTACCTCACATACGTTCCCTACCAGACGGAGACTGCCCTTCGCTTGTTCGAGCTTCACGTCGAAGGAGCACTACCACGAGCATGCCGCGTACCTAGAGTCGGTACCGAGGGACGACACGCCGCCCATCTACAAGATCGTAGCCGTCGGGAAGGACGGCGACCACAAGCTCGTGAATAGTGACGGCGACGCGTGCCCGACGGAGGCTCCTGACGAGTCTGATTTGATGGCCATGACGATCGCGGAGCTGGAATTGCAGACGAAGCCGCCGCCGCCTCCCACACCTCCGCCCGACGACCCCGACGACAAGAAGACGTTTACTGCCGCGAAGCTCAAAAGTGCGAAGAAGGCTCTGGACGACGCGGAAAAGCTCCCGGAAAAAACGGACAAGGAGCAGCGCATCAAGGCTCGCATCGTCCGCCAGACGACGCACGCCCACGAGCAGGCCAAGAAGGCCAATGAGCATGCCATAAAATTCAGCGACGACTTCGAGAAGAAGAAGAAGGAACGGTCCGCGACTCGGCGTAGGAATTGCCCTTGAACTTGTGGTCGCGTCGCGATGCCTCGACGCCGTCGACGTGGCCGTCGGAGCGTCCACGCGTCGCGCGAGAGAGCTACGACGGCGTCGGTCGCGTCGATGGCGTCTTCATGAGACCACGCCGCCTCCACGTCGTCGTTCCACGCAGGGAGGACGCCGCCGAGAAGAAGGTCAAGGACGCCCGGGACCTGCTCGAGCAGGCCGAGAAGCGCCAGAAGGAGGCGGAAGCCCTACCTGAAGGTACGGATCCCGAGGCCGCGGCGAAGGCGTCGCAGCACGCGAAATGTGCCATGACAATCAAAGGCTGCAAGAAGCAGGTCGACGCGGCGCTGGCGGACCAGAAGAAGGTCGCGGACGTCGAGGTGTCGCGGCAGTTGGAGCGAAAAGTGGAACAGACGTCTCGAGCCGTAGATCGCCTGAAGAAGGATCTTGATCAAGCAGAAAAATTACCGGACGATAGTGCGAAGGAGAAGAAGGCCAAGACCAAAGCTGTGGATAAGGCCAAGAAGGACCTGGAAAAAGCTAAATCGGAGAACGAGGTCGCGGTCAAGGCTCGCGACAAACCGATCCAAGAGGCTCTGCAGCGACGCATCGACAAGTGCCAGAAACTAATCGACGAGGCGGAGAAGATGCCCGAGACCAATGATCAAGAAAAACAAATGAAGCTGCATCGCATCGAGCAGTGCAAGCGCGCCAAGGCGAAGGCCGAGAAAGAGAGGGACAAGGCCTTCCCGAAGCCGAAGGAGGCGCCCGCGCCGGCGCCGGCGCCCGCGCCTGCTGCTGCCGACGCCAAGGTCAAGGAGGAGAAGACGGACGGCGACGGCGACGCGAAGATGGCCGAGGCGCCCGCGCCCTCCGAAAGTGTCGCGGAGGGGCGGCCGCGGCGCGGCGCGGCGACGCCGAAGGCCGAGGCGCCCGCACCTGCTGCTGCGAATGGCGACGCGTCTCCCGAGAAGGAGGAGGCGCCGGCGCCGGCGCCTCGAAGCACGCGGCCGAAGCGCGGCCGCGCGGCGCGCGAGGAGTCCGAGGCGCCGGCACCGGCCGCGGCGGAGGAGGAGGGCGGCGACGACGAGGAGGAGGAAGAGGAGGAAGAGGAGGAGGCGCCGCGGCGGCGGCCGACGCGGCGCGCGGCCTCCGCAGCCAAACAACGGACGGCGGACATGATGGACACGAGCTGATGATGTTCCCGCCGTCCCTACGTTATCTAACCACCCCCGCGACTGGCTTCGGGGTGAGAAATAAAAATACAAAAGTAACTGGCAGTGTCGGCGTGAGCGTTACTGAAGCTTTCTTAGCTAGGCCGTGTCCGAGTCCGCGTGACCGTACGCCCGCGGGCCCGATGTATCATATATGCGCCCTTATATTTATCACCACACAGGACGACGCCTGGTCTCTCGCTACGCGATAGTATTGTATAAAATATATATATGTAGTATTATACCTACGGTACCTATACTGGCATGTAGTAGCTGGTACCCATACCTATGGCTCTACGCTTTTTTAGTTGTGCGCGGCCTCGCGAATGCCATTCCCGCGGCGCGTTTACGACCCGCCGCCCGCGACCAACGAGGAGATCGCGATCGTACTGCGGAAGCTCCAGATCTGGCGGAAAGAGCTCAAGGGACTACTCATTAGCATTACGCCACGCAACACCCCGACCGAGCTTATTGCCCATATCCTCGGCTTTGTCGGCTTCGATCCCCCTCAAGAGTTATCAAAGGAGGAGCGGAAACTCACGCTCACAGAGTGTCGCGACCCGACGCGCGCTCGGCTGATCTACGTTTGCATCTACGTTTATTTACAACCAGCTTAAACATGGCCCTCTCCACGGTGCGCCGAGCGGCATTTGTCACTCTGGACCTCCAGCCCTTAATATGCTCGTTCATGGACGACGGCCAGCGCGACGCCCTCGTCTCGCGTGTGAACAAGACCATGGCGCAAGCGCGCGCCCACAACGTGCCGATCGCGCACGTGAGAGTAGCGTTCCAGCCCGGGCACCCTGAAATTCACGAGAGCCATCCGATCATGGGCCCCGCGAAGCAAGGAAACGTGTTGGCGCGGCCGCGGCGTCAACTTAAGCGTCGGGACCGCGCGTCGACGGCGTCTCGCTAAAAAGGATCCACTCAGGTTGACGGCACGCCGGAAGCGGCGCTACTCCCAGAGCTCGACCGCGACGCGAGCGAGCCGGTTTTCACCAAGGTTCGTGTCAACGTTTTGCCCGTGTGGAAATCAAGCGGGAGTCGTCAGTGTGGGGCGCCTGTCAGTGAGTTTGATTTCCACACAGGCATTCACGACGACGGGCCTCGCGTCCTGGGTCTCGGCGCACCAGACGACGGAGCTCGTCATGTGCGGCGTCGCCACGGGCCTGGTGGTATTGAAGACGGCCGTCCACGCCATCGACCAGGATTTGGAAGTGACTGTGCTGTCGGATCTGTGCGTCGACGCAGACCAAGCACGCCACGACGCGTGCATGGACGCCGTCTTCCCGACGCTCGCGCGGGTCATGCCCAGCGACGAGTGGCTGGCGACGCTCGGTTCCCCGCAGAAGACCGCCGCCGGCGCGCTGCGAGGACTCCTCTAGGAGAAAATCTAGAACTTAAAGTCGTCCTTCTCCTTGCGCCGCTTCGCCGCCTTGCCGCGCGACGCGTCAATTTTTCTTTTCTGAGCCGACGTCCCCTCCGCTAGAGCCTCGCCGACCCCGGCGTCGGCCTTGGCCCGGCCCCCCTCATACGCATCTCGCAGCGCGTTCTGGTCACCCGCCTCCTCCGGATCTATGGAAGCCTGGACCCCACTGACGTTGTAGCGCTTGTCGCTCGCGAAGAGCGTCCCCGCCTGCCTTGCTGACGCCTTGCCCTCATCCAAGACCTGGTAAAGGGGCTGCTCCGGCGTCTCGCTACCAGCTCTTTTACGTAAATCGATCGACTGCGGCGTTTCCAAGCCAGACGACTGCATGCCACTCACAACGGACGAGGCCCCGTCCAGGGGCGTTTCTATACCAGAGGTCTCCGACGCGTCGGAAGAAGACACCTCCTCGCGTCTAGGTGGCTGCACCGTGCGAGCAGCAAACTCCTCGCCTCCCACCGCTTCAAACCCTTCGTCCTCGTCATAGTCGTCCTCGTCATCTTCATCCGGCAATTCCCCCCAATGCCCACCGGTATCTTCCGGTCGGAACGACTCTTCGGGAGCCGTTTGCTGGGCCCCGAAGACATCCCCATACAAGGGTCTCCCATACTCGTCGACCGGCGGTTTCCCCCAGCCTCCGGGGTGATACCCGAACGACGCGCCCTCGGGAATGGGCGCGTTCAGCCCGGCAACCCGCAAATTCGGGTAGGACGGGGGAGGACCATACCTCTGCATGTTGATGAGCCAGGGTGGAGGCGCGCCCTCGGGCATCCCCAATGCCGCTTTGAGTGAAGCCGACAAAAACCCGGGTCGCTTCTCCTTCAGATGCACTTCAAATTCCTTGCCCTCGTAGTAGACCTCGCCTGCGTGGCACGGACGCCCTCGCGAAGTAGACTCTCTGACGGCCACGCCGACGGCGCCGAGGCGACGCGGCGATGGCGTGGCGGTGGTGTAGCTCTCGCAGGCACGCCATCGCCGAGGCGGCGTGACAGCGCGTCGACGCCATCGCCGCGACATGGCAAGTTCAAGTTCATTAACAACACTGGGTCAGCACCCGGACCGGACAGCGGCGGCTTCGTCTGCCACTTAAAAAACGCGTCGTGCAGGACCTGGTAGTCGACGTCCATGCGGCCCATTTTGGGGGCGACGCGGTCCCGCTGCTTCGCGGCGACCTTCTTCTGCTCGTTGGCCTCTTCCACTGCTCTTCTGATCTCTCGATGCCTACGTGGTACACGGGGTGAGATGTGCATTTTCACGTGAATCGTATGGGTGTATGGGGTTTGGACTCGAACCGAAGCTCTCGATCACTCCCGTCGCCGTTTTTTACAGCAAGGGCGCTCAGACAGGGATAACTGTTTGATGCGTGATTTTCGTCATCGTCCTCTCCTACCTCCAAGCCATCGAGCCGACGCGGCCACGGGGCCGACGTCGCGTCGATGGCGTGGGCGCACGAATAGACAACACTGACGCATACCGGTCTGGGCGATGTACTCGGGGAGCTGGAACGGTTTTTTTTCCACGCCCCGTTTCCCTTGTAAGAATTTTCGTTTGTGGCACCAGTGTCGAGGCACGGGCACCGTATTCCGGTAGGACTTCAGGAACACCAATAACCGCGGGTCCGAGGCCGTGACGTCGTGCGCCTCGACGGCCTCCGGCCGCGCGACGACTTGTTTCAACTCCGCCACCGTCATGCGCGACATGGCCTTGCGCTGCTTCCGCGATAGTCTTTTTTCCGGGGCCTCGTCCTCGTCCACGTCATCTGTAGCTTTCTCTGCAGCTGGTGCCTCAGCAGCTTCCTCCACTTGATCAGTAGTTAATTCTTCGGCGGACGCGAACTTCGCGAACACGTCCTTGAACAACGACGCGGCGGCGTCCGCATCATAAGCCGCGGAGACGTACTCAACCACCACGTTTTCTTTCTTCGGAGGTGCTGGTGCGGGCGGCGGCGCGGCGGGCTCGTTATTTTTAGCCGCGCGTTGCTGCTTCTTCTTGAGGCGCTTCTTCTGGTTCTTTGTTAAGACTACGCGTTTCGGCTTGGCCGCGCCGCCTCCATTATTGGTTTTGGGGCCGCCAGCCATGGCGCGTCGCCGCCTGGCGGGCGGGGCTGTCTGCTTTTTTGGCCCACGTATGCGATGCGGCGACTGGCGTAGGCCAAGACCAGCGTCACAGTGGTGCCGTGTGCGCTGTAGGGGCGTTGGTGCTGCTCTGGCTGGCTCGTAGGGCCGCCTCGCGCATCGACGCTGGCTAGCGGCAGTAAGATACTAGCAAGCATACTTGGTTTTAAGCTGCGGCCGCTCGCGTCAAATAGAACTGCCTCCCAGCAAGAGAAAGAGAGCTCTAGGCAACCTCCAGGGCCTCCTTCGTGGAACGCACCATCGTCTTCGCATCGCTTCCGCCGCGAGCCGAGCACAGCAGCGCTGCAGCCGAACGCGCGCGGCAATGATGGCGCGCGAGCACGGCTCACGAATACTGAATTGGTGGCGACGATTGCGGACCTGCGACCGCCTCGCGCTATGTGTAGCATTCATTCTCGCCGCGGCATTGGTAAGAGAAATGCCGGTGTCGAGCGACGACGGCGGCACGGCCGCCTGGGACGCGCCTCCACAACCGTATGACGCGGCACGAGCGAAAAAGCAACTCTGGGGCGGCTCCAACGCCACTCGTTTACCAACGGTCGCCGCGTGCGCGCGCGTGCGGAATGAAGGACCTTACTTAAAAGAGTGGATCGAGTTCCACCTGTTGACGGGCATGTCGCACTTCTACATCTTCGACGACGCGTCGTCTGATAACACTCGAGAAGTGTTACAACCTTACGTACAACGAGGTATTGTACGATTATGGTCCGTCCAGGAGAAGTGCCCAAAGCACCGGGAAGAGATCTGCGTGAGTCGTGAGCACGACGCGGAACATGGGGAGAGGGGTTTTCGCGACGAGTGCCTGCGGTTCAACCCCGATGGGGCGGCCTGGGTCGCGGCGATCGACGTCGACGAATTCCTCTACCCGAGCGCGGGCACGTCGCTGCCGCAGCACCTCGCGCAGAACTGCGCTCCTTCCTTAGCCTATGCTTTGGTGCGGTGGAAGGTCTTCGGGAGTGGTGGGTATCGAAGGAAGCCCGCCGGCACGTCCGTCGATGCGTACCGAGCGCGATCCGTTTCTGATGATACGGGATGCTATCCTCGCCTTACTTGTGGCGACGAATATGCTCCCCCAGTTTGTGCCAAAGTCATCGCGCGAGCGAAGTGCGTCCAGAAACAAGGCACGCACTACGTCGTCCAAGCTGACGGGTGCGAGTCGATATATGCACCAGAGGGTAGTGGCAGGGGCATCGGCAAGCTCGCCGCGCCTCTTTCTACGGATTTCGCGCGAAGTCAACACGCGACATGCTCAGCGCCTTTACGATTGAACCACTACGCCGTGCGATCACGAGAAGAATACGTCCAGAAATTCTCGCGAGGGCGGATCTCGTCCGGTGCTAGAGATACAAAAAAAGGCATCGCGACGCGCGGCCCGAACGGCGGCTATCTCCGAGAGGTCGATGAGAGGGACCGGGAGGACTTCATCGACGCTGAGGTAATACCCAAAGAAACGCGGGCCTCGAAGTTAACGAGTACGAAGGATTTGATGCTAGCTGAATTTGCTCGTAGGGATTTCAGTACGGTCTTGGACGAGGGCGCGGCGGTCAAGTACGGTGCTCGACTACGCGATAAGCTGGGGGCGCCTTCACTCTCAGATCATCAGACGTGGGCCTGTTCAGACACCAGTCGAGATAGTGCTTCCCTGGAAGCGGCTCGAGTGTGGCATCATCTCACACCGATCACGCATGAAAAGGGCCTGTTCATTCACATCCCGAAGACCGCGGGCACTTCATTAAATTCGATACTGAGGGAGGCGTCTGTCAGAGAAAAAAAGACGTTCTGCGAGCTTTCATTTAAGGAGCTGGACGACCGGTCTTCGAGGTTTCGCCGGGCGAGGAGCTGCCATTTGGTGAGCGCGGAGACGGACGTCTCGGCACTGCTCCAGTGGCCGTCGCGCAAAACGGTCGCGGCGTTCACGTTTCTCAGGGATCCCCTGTCCAGAGCGGTGTCGCAGGTCGAGCACCATAGATCCGTGGGCGGCCGCATTAATGAACAAGGGGATCCCCGCACGACTCTCGTGAGGCTCGTGTCGCCGAATTTGTGTCCTCAATTAGAACGTGACGCGCGGTGTCGGTTCCTGAGGCATCCCGCAAAATGCTTGGCCGGGGGCTGGTGCGGCCTCTTCCAGAACCACCAAACGCAAATCCTGGCTGGCGCTTTACATGTGTCCGAGGAGGCGCGCGGGGCGGTCCGTAGAAGTGGAGAGAATTTGTTGTGTGCCGCGAAACGATCGTTGGCCGCCCTACCGGTCGTAGGACTGACAGAAAGGTTGGCGGACTCGCTCTGCTTGGTGTTTGATGCGCTGGGGTACCACAAAACATATAAGGACTGCTGCGTGCACAAAAAATGTTCGTTACTGGATCGGCGGGAGACGCGGCATTCTGGGGCAGCTAGAGGCAACGCGTCCTACTCGGCGTCCTACTTTTCGGATGATGTTTTATTGGCGGCTTTGTACGAGGGCAACGCCCTCGACTGCGCGTTGTACGCGGCGGCGGCGGAGAGATTGGGAAGCGACCTCGCGAAGCTCCGGCCGCGGGCGGCGCCCGTCCCTGCTTATTCCGCGCGGTGCCGGCGCGGGGAATTGGCGCTGCGGCGGCTGCGGGGGTACTAGTGTAAGCCTGTTGGATGAGTAGTTAAGAACCCCCGGGCGACGACAATGGGAAGGCGTCGAGCACCTGTCGCACATCTCCCAGGTGACTCGCAATCTGCGCTACGAGCGGGTGCGCGCCGCCCAGTACGCGCCGTGCGGTCCGTTCTGTCTCCTCGAGCGTCTTCACGGCCTCGCGGAGATCGTCGGGCGTCGCGCCGTCGTCCCTCGCGAATATACGGGCCGGACCACGAGAATACGATTATCGACGCCATAAACCTAAGCGAATCGTTAATCGCCGCGAAACTCTTCAAAGAAGCCAAGTCATTCCTACGCGAGAAGATCCGTGTGGCGCTGCGCACCCGTGACGACCGAAACGAGTTTGTACTGGATCTCCGAGCCAACTACGCACGGGCAATATACCGCGACACGAGCAGCTCACGTGGTGCTGTGCACGATGCGGTGGCGATCATAGAGGACGTCGTACGTACGAGCCGGCGGGTCTATGGAATTCGACACCCTTTCTTCGCTGAATACCAACAGGATTTGGAAAGGGCCCGCATGCGCCTGGCCGACGACGAGTCGCGAGAAGCCCTCGCCGCGCCCGCGCCGCCGACGCTCCGCCGCCGACGCCGTCGACGCGCCCCGAGCAGTAACTAGCTTGAGTTTCACTGTCGCGGCGACAGGCGTGGAGACGTGCGTGGAGGAGACTCAAGACTACATCCCCATACTTATCTCCTTCCACCGTCGTTCCGCGCGCCAGCCGTTCATCCCTATCCGGTCCCCCACGAGCCCCCAGTTCTTCTCCCCGCATTCCGCCACCGCCGCCCGCAGCGCCTCGTCCTGGACGTGCTGCTCGCAGTGGAGCGCCGTCCGACCGGTACCGAGACGAGATGCTATGGCACTCCAGTCGTCCCCCAGCTCCTCCCTGAGCAAAGCAAGGTGCTCCTTCTCGGCGCGGATCCAGGGCACCCTACCTAGGTCCAGGGTCATCCCGGCGTCGACCTGCGGTTCCTCCGCCTTTGAAGCTTCCTGAGCCTTGAGGATCTTCTGTTTCTTGTACTCCAGCGCTTGCAGAGATTTGTACAGCTCGGTCGCCTTCTCCTTGGCCGGGGCGATGCCTTCATCTTCATACGACTCGTCGTCGTCCTCGCTTTCCGGGATTGGACTATCCGGTCTCTGATAAGGTGCCGGCGCCGGCGGCGGGCCCCGCTCCACAATGCCTTCTCCATCCAAACCTTCCAGGTCGAAGATGTCCCGGGCTCGCTCGAGACTCGCCGCCGTCTTCTCCTCGTCAATTTTTTTATAAGCCTCGGCCAGTGTCGTCAGAGCCACGGCGACCTTGACCGACTCCTTCCCGAACTCTCGTTCGTCGATAGCTAGGGCTCGTTCCAAAACAACAATCTGTCGCTCCGCGTTCCCGAACGACGCGTGCGCCGCGCCTGCACTATAGAGTGCCGACCTTATGCGAGGGTCGTCCTCACCATAAGCTTGTTCTTTTATGGACAAGATCCGTTCCATCACTTCGACCTTCTTGCTGCCTCGACTATCTGCCGCGTAGGCGTTCGCGAGATTGTACAGCGTCGCACACAACCTTAATGAGTCAGTACCGTACTCATGCTCCTCCATGTTGAGGGCCTTCTCCAGTAGTGTGCATTTCTCCTTCGCATCGCCTAGTGCACCGTGGGACTTCGCCAACGAAATTAAAGCTTGGGCCGACTCGCCGATCGTCAGGGACCGCTCCACCAGTTCTTTTTGTTTGTCAAAGGCGCCTCGATGTCCCATACAGACAGCTAGCAGGAGCAACGTCGAGGCGACCTCCGGCTCCATGTGCAACTCTTCATAGATCGATAGCGCTTCTTCGACCATAGGCTCCATCCGCTCGTCGCCTAGGTCGCCATACGTCTCGCCGATGCCCGCGAGCACATACGCGACGCGCTCGCTCCTCCTTCCATGTAAAGCTTCGTACATCGGTAAAGCTCTCTGAAACAAGTCCCGCTTGCCGGCGTGGTCGCCGAGACAGCCGCGCGCGTTACCTAGATCCACCAAAGGATTGGCTAGAGCAGCCCCATGCTCCGTGTAGATCTCTAACGCTCTAGAAAACGCCTCCGACGCTTCTTTAAATAACCCAAGGTCGCCCCGCGCGTTGCCCACGTTACTCAGCACGACCCCTACTCTAATATCCGTATACCCGTACTGCTGCTCGTTTATGACCAAGGCTCGCTCGAGATAGTCTCTGGCGGACTTGACTTCTCCCAAATCTGTCAAAGCCTTGCCGAGATTATTCAGCGTAACCCCAACGGTCGGATGATTTGAACCGTAGACGTCTTCCTTGATCGACAACGCTCTGACAAGACAGTCGCGCATGCCCGCGGCGTCCCCTAGAGCGCCTTTTGCCGCTCCTAAATTACCTAACACGGCGGCGACTTTCACACTATCCGTCCCATGATCCCGCTCGTACAATGGCAAAGCTCGCGTCAAACATTTAACTTTTCTCGTCGGCTCCGTTTCGCACGAAGCTAGCTTCACGAGGGCCGTCGCGACTGACCGATGGTCTTTCCCTTTGGCCTCCTCCGTCAACAGGACAATCTTCCTCCTCAAGGATCGCAAATCAACGTCCGCGCTCTCGAGGAGGTCTGCGACGCTTTCCAGTAAAAGGTGGTCGTCTCTCGTAATCAATCGCGACGTGAGGTCCTTCAATGAACTAGATTCGGCCAACGGGAGCTGCGCGAAGAGCAGAGCGCGGTCTCGCACAGCCCTATCCGCCCCCAAAAAGACGGCTCGGAAGAACTGCGCGCCGACGCTACCATTGTCTGCCAAGATAGCCTCGTAGGTAGCTGGCAGCGTCAATAGCACGTCCTTTCTCTGTTTGAGTTGTGTTTGTGACGCATCGAGGAAAAACGGCCGGAAGAAGCAGTACGACGCGTAGGACGACTTACTGTAGACCTCCCGCAAATGGAGCTGGAGCTCGCAGAGGTGCTCCGCCTCCCCAAGAGGCACGGCAACCGTTAACAGCAAGTCCTTGTATCCCGTTATACCGGGTTTGTCGAAGCGGTTCTTGACGCGCACGATATCCAGGCCGCGACGAAGCTTCTCGTAGAGCTCCAGGAGGTCCAACTCCGTCTCTGCCACTATCGATCCTCGCACCACATCCAAAATACGAGCCGCATCGCCTCCATAGCGTGTTTTGGCCTTCTCGGCGCAGCGACTTCGCGGCTTGAGCGGCTCGACGACGAACAGGGGCTCAGCTGGAGCTTCGGCGTACGCGGCCGGCGCCGGCGCCGGCGCCTCGGCGTACTCGCTGAAGCGCAGCGCCTGGTCCACCAGCTCCCCAAAAATGTCGCGGGCCTGTTGCGCCACGACGTACAGCGACTCGAAGTCGACCTCGGAACCATTAGCTTCGCGCTGGCGTTTTGACTTGTCCAGCGCAACGCCTTCAATATCACGCAGGTCACGACCGTAGGGCGCCAATTCGTTATGTTGTTCCTTGAAGCGCTCGAGGTTCCTCCATAAAACGGCCTTCGGGTCGGCGGCGTAGCGACTGAGCGTCTCCGTGTCAATGGTGCCACCCGAGGCGGCCCCGTCGAAGGCGGCCGCGTCGCAGGCCACGCCGATGACCGCGAGGACCTCGTCCTTGGTCCAGCGCTGCGTCGAGGCGCCGGCGCCCATGGTATGGTGGTGGGCAGCCCTTTTACTCAGGCGTCGGCGGACGCAGCGGTAACGTCGTCGTTGTTTAGAGCAGCGGACACGTCGCGGCGTCCCTTGCGGTCGTGTCCCGGCTGTGTGCCGCCTGGCAGTGTCTCAGCCTCTCAGGCGCTAGATTGCTAGTGTCTCACAGAGACGCTAGCAGCACTTATCTCCACTTTTTCGCGCCGCTGGCGGCTCCCAGGGCCATAGCCGTGCTCGTTGCAGAGCTATAGAGAGCCTGTCTGCAGTGCTGCGTCGAACTAGCAGCGGTCTGAATTCTGCAGCATGGCTGCTCGCAATAATGCATACTCAATGGAAAAGCTCGTAAGCGGCGTGCGGCGGGCCATAATTACGCTACCACCGGACGAGTCTGGAGCCATACTTGCCGCTGTGCAAGCAGCGTTATACAAACTGGTAACACGCGAGGACGTCGATGCGCATATGTCGGCGCGCGACGTCGCCAAGGTGCTGCGCTCCGAGGCGAAGCGGCATAACAGCGCAAAGGCTGCTGCTGCTTTCGCGGAGGGCGGCGGTGCGGCGGCGGCGGTAGCTGCTGTGGAGAGTTGTACTGCCCGTATTGCTCGTTTCAACGAATCTCCGGAACGGATGAAAGCGACATCCGACAGCTTTGCAGCTCTCGCGGACCTAGCGGCAGCCGGTGGTGCAGCGCATGCCGCTGTGGTCGCGGCCGGCGCGGCGGCTTCGGTGACAGACGTACTCTCTACGTTTCACGGGGGAGATTTCTCGCCAATCTACACCCAGGCGTGCCGCTTGGCCGGGAACCTGTGCTTCGGCGGCGCCCACGATTTTGGCGATGACGCTTACACGTTTGCCATAGTGGCAATGAATGCCAACGACGCAACGGCCTTTCGCTGGGCCGCGCACGCGCTCTGGAACGCGTGCACGCACTCGCCGGATACGCGCGATGTGCTCCACAAGACTATGGCAGTCCAGTCGCTCGTGAAAGGCGCTTTACGCTTTCCGGGCACCCCGCGCGCATACGGCCTCCGCGCGCTAGCCTACCTCGTGCTCGGGTCAGAGCGGCGGCGCAAGTCAGCGTTGCGAGCCAACGTGGCGCTCGTCCTCTCGGACGCGACGTGCGACGAACCGGCGACAGCGGCCGCGGCATTGCTGTGCATATCGTCAATCGTCGGGCCCTGCGGCACGGCCCATCTTGCGCGCTGGCCCGGAGTCGCGGACCGGGCCGACGGCCTCGCCAATATTACTGCAAAGCTCGCGGCCGTCGCCTTGGAAGGCGGTGGCGACGCAGCCGCTGTGTCCGCCGGCATTGTCGCCGTGGCGCGCGGCGCGCGCGACCCGCGGCCGCTCCGAGCCGCCGTGATGCCGCTGCTGCGAGTTGCGATCGAAAGCGCGACGCGGCCGCGCGCGCGGAAAGCGCTTGGCGCCGCGCTGCACGCTCTGCAGCCGCGGCGCCACCTCTACAACGTCGGTGCCGAGGCCGAAGCTGCTGGTAGGGCCGTCCCCAAAAATATGCAGATCCTCCGGAAGGATCTCGCACAGCTACCGTGGGTGCTCGCGCGACCCGGCGACGTCGTCGTCGCGCCGCCGCTCTCCGAATCACTCGCTGCGCGCCTCGAGGCCGCCGGCGTGGCGCGGGAGACGCTCCCTTCGTTTGGAGATGCTTCGCTGGGCCAGCTCGCGCTGCCGGACGACGTCTTGCGCACTGTGCTCGGCTATCTCGTCGACGCGCCGTGGGCGGTCGCCGACGAGCGGCTCCGACGGTCGCGCGTCACGCGCTACCGCGACGGCGACGTCGTCGTGTGCGCGAGTCTGGACGACGTGGCGGCCGCGGCGCGCGCCAACGACGAAGGTACGATTCTCAAGGCCGAGTACTCGTCGAGCGGCCTGGGCGCGCGCACAGTGGCTCGTGAGCTCACGGAGCAGGATGTGGCCTGGGCGCGGAATCGGCTGAAGGCCGACGGCGTATTGACGGCGGAGCCGCGCTACGAGCTCGAGGCGGAATTTACTCTCGAGTGGTACGATGGGTTCTTTTGCGGCGTGTCGCGGCCGATAGTGTTGCCACCAGGTCGCTGGCATGGCCAGCAACTCGGCGCCACGGATGATCTTGCGACCGACGTTAAGGAGTTCTTACGAGATAATGTGATCGAGAATGACGTCGCGGCGCTGTGTGACGACGTGCCGGGCACGTGCGGCTCGGCCACGTGTGGCCTCGACGTGGGCCTCGTACGGGGCGACACGAAGGTCCTTGAGTGCAACGCGCGCACGACGATGTCGCACATCGCCCTGGCGGCGAAGCGCCGCGTGCCGAACGCGTCGCGCTTCCTCGTACTACCGAAGCGCGACCTCGCGCCGCACCACCTACCCCTGACGGACGGCGAACATTTCGTCGCTGTTCTCGAGCTCGGCGACGACTCGGGGCCGTTTCCTTTTCTGGATGAAAATGACGACGTCGTGATAAGATGGTAATCTTGACTTCGATAAATTTAGTACGATACAAATCGGGACGGACCCTAGAAGCGCGTGATGTCTCTTCCAAATACGCGGTCCCGCACCCAGTCGCCCGCGACGAGGACGCGATTCCGCAGCGACACCTGCTTCGCGAGGTAGACGCTCCGCCAGAGCGCGAAGGCGCGGCGGCCCGTGTCTTTGACTGTGTGGAAATCAACTGTAAGGCGCCCGGCGCGATCGACGCAATCTATTTCACGCAGGCAAAAAGACGGGTCGAGTCGCCCAGCGACACTTGAGCTAGAGCCTTCGAGTCGCCGACGTAGGCCAGGATGCCCAGGTTCAGGAACTGGAACGGGCGCGCTACCACAGAGTCGCCTTCCGTCTCGCAGAACAACTCGTCCAACCGCCGCCCGCCGGCGCGGCACGGTTTCGCCGCGCCGAGGTCGTAGCGGCCCGCGCCTCTCAGCAGACCGGCGAGGTACTCGCCCTGCTGCGCCGCGACTTGCGCAGTGGCGGGTAAGGGAGGCGCACCACAAGCACAATCTCCCAACGCGTAGACCTCGCCGCGCGGCGCCCCGAGCACACGAAGCCAGGGGTCCACGGCCAACCGCCCCCTTGCGGTAGCCTGGGCCTCCGCCTGGGCGCCCTCTCCTAATGAAGACACCGTCTCGGACACGACAGACACGGCCCCATTACCCGTCGCCCAGACACAGAAGCCGTAGGGCACCGGGTCCGCTTCGCCTAGTAAAACGTGCGTCCCATTCACTTCAGTAACTTGCGCGCCGAGCTTGACGTCGACGCCGGCGATGTCCTGGTTGTCTGTGGCCAAACGTCTCACTCGGAGCTCGTCCAGGGCCTCCGCTCTTAATGACGCGTCGAAGGCGCCCAGGACCTGGTCCGTGGCCTCAAGTAACGTGACTCGCGCTTCGCCAACTAAGTCTGGATAGTACCGCGCCGCGTCCGCCGCTAAGAAATCTCGTAACTCCCCGCAGAACTCCACGCCCGTCGGGCCCGCGCCGACGACGCAAAAGCTCAGAGCTCTCCGCCTTTCGTCGGCGGACAGAGTCGGTAGGGACGCTCGTTCGAAGGCGTTGCCGAGCGCTTTCCGAAGGCTGTCGGCGTCAGATATCTGCTTCAGAAATAAACAGTGCTCCCGCACGCCCGGGACACCGAACGTGTTGGTCGTCGCGCCGACCGCGATGACAACTCTATCATACGGCAACTCGAATTCATCAATGGAACACTGACTCCCTTCGCAGACCACGGCCTCGCACACGACGACCTTGCGTTCCGTATCGACTGCGGTGGCCGTGGCTTCCACATACGCAGCGTGCTTGTTCAGACTGCGGACCGGTTGCGTGATGGAGCGGTATTCCACCGTCCCGACCGCCGCACCAGCCAGCATCGGCGTGAATAGGAAGTAGTTCCGCGGCGACACGACGGTAACCCGCTCACCGTTGCTCCCGAGCGCTCCCACTAACGCCGCGGCGCCCCAGCCGGAACCGAGCACAACAATATCCTCGGTGGGCTTCGCGGGGGCTTCGTCGCTCAACGAATCGGCGAGCTTCGAGCCGTACTGGAGCGTCCGCTCCCACAGCAGGGACGCGAATCCTAGAGGGTCCGTCGGCTCCGGCTGCGTCGTGGGCACGCGCGGCGCGTCCGCCTTCGCTGCGTTGCGGCGGGCGATCTCGTCGCGGAGGTCGTCCTCGGAGCCGGTGACTTGCAAACGCGTTTTGAGGCTGCGCGACGGCGTGTAGCGTGGCTGCAGCGCAACGGCGCCTGTTATGAGGGCGTAGAGACAGCGCATCCTTGCCTCGCAGTGTTTTGAGTGTTTCGCTCTCTCTCAGTGATTTTGCTCTCCAGTGTTTTGCTGACTGGATCTTGCTCTCTGAGATGCAAGCAGTTGTGCGCTGCAGCAATTGTGCTGCTTATGAGCTTGCAGAGCGACGACTGGTGTTGGCACCACTGCTGAATGGCCCGACTGCGGGTAGTGACGGAGTTGGATAAAAAGCGTGCTAGTGCCTTTCGGTTCGCTAGGTAATTATTGCACGCTGCGGGCGAGGCTGCCGCACGCATGCTCTAAGCCCCAACTGCAGGCTGTCAGCTACAGCACGGATTACCGAAGCGACGCACACGAGGCCTGACCAGTACTGCCTGTCGCAGCGCCCACCACTGCTCACCTGCAGCACTTGCTCTCCCTGCAGCAAAGAGAGCTGGACGCCAGCCGCGGAGCGATGGCCAGCACACCGAATGACAAGTCCGAGGCCGAGCAGGCCGAAGAACTCACCGCGAAAATGCAAAAACTGACGCCCAACGTCGACGGCGCGCTCCAGGACACGACCTGGACCTGGGAAGACGACCTGCTCTACGCCTTACCCGCCAGAACCGCAAGAAAGTGTGCGCGTCGAGACTGCCCGAAGACGGAGCCCCTGGAGCCGCCGGAGGACACGGCGAAACGGTTCGCGGCTTGTGCGAAGTGCCAAACAGCAAGGTATTGCTCGAGGGAGTGCCAGATCCAGGACTGGAAGAAGGGCGGGCGGCACAAGCGCATGTGTCCCCAACTAATAGCGTTCAAGAACTTCGACCGAGATCAAAAAAGACGAGCGGTCATTGTTGGATGTCTCGGTAAAGTTAGATTGTACGTCTTTCCCTTCTACGTCGGCAAGCGAGCTAAAGTAGGAGACGGCTTCCTGTTCCTGCAGTGTCCCGCGCCGCTGGAAGATTTCTTTTTTGACACGGACGTGACGCGGTACGGCGAGCCGCAAAAGCGAGCTGTGGTGGCGTCCTACGTCACTCCCAAAGAATTCGACGATGAGCTCGTCGCGGCGGACTTTGAACTGGCGCTGGCGCGGCGGGGTGTCCTCGAGGCCGTAGGTCAGGCCGACGATTCAAAAGCTGCGGTGCTGTGCAAGTTCCGCTGCGGCTTCGTCTGCGCGTTCGTTACCAAAATCGTGCCCGACGTGCGCGTGTGTGCGGCCTTATGTGCCGATTATGAGGAGATGGCGACGCTGCGGCTGAACATCGATGACGATTCATAAGAACATTACTTGTCTCGGGGCGACGGTGGCTAGGCGGGGCTCTATCGGTAGTTCGCCGTTTGCGCCTCGTAGGCCGACGGCGCCGGGCCCGTGTAGGAGTCGTCCATGGCCACCGGCGGCGGCTGGACCGCGGCCAACGTCACGGGCTCGCCGCGCACCGTCGCGACGGGCGGCTGCGCCGTCGCCGTGGTGGCGTGCGACCGGCGGCGTCCTTGCGTGGCGTCCATGCCGAGCTTGCGCAATTCATCAAGCAACAGCCGCGTGTAGTTCGCCGTGGCCGCGTACAATATGAAGAAGGCGAGGTTGACGACGAAGGCCACAAAAGCCAGGAAGATGAGCGAGATGAGCACCGTCAGGGCCGAGACGGCCGCGAAGACGATGTAGATCGCGTAGAAGGTCGTGAGGTAGCCGCAGCCGCAGCCGCCGCAGCAGGGCGGGTTCTTCTTGCGCACGCCCTGCACGCCCAAATACAGAATCACCAAAGAGAAGAAGATGTAGACCGAGTACTCCGCCACGAGGAGGTCCCGGCCCTCCATGGCCCAGAACGCAATATACACAGCTCGGATCGTGACGATGACGACGGCGTTCACGACGGCGAGCTGTAATACTCGAGTAGACAGGCGGTGGATCTTTTTTGCGGATTCGGGGTTCACGTCGTCGTAGCCGTTGCGGATGGAGAAGACGCTGTTCGCGTCGGCCGGGATCCCCGGAACTAAGGAAACATAGGTCGTCTCGGCGTTCGGCTGGAGGGGGTTGGCCGTCGGGACCTCGATGTCGGCGGCGGGCGGCGCGCCGTCGGCGGTCATCATGGTTGCGCTGCGCTTTGCTGCTGAGTGTGCAGTTTTTGCTGGGCCGCAAACGACGCGGTTGGCGCAGTTTCCCGTCGGTTCGCGTCGATCACGTAAAGAATGTGTCAATTTGGCGCGCAGGAAACCTAAAGCACACAACAGCTCCACTCGATTGGCCAGCCAAAATGAGACATTTTCTTGTGACGGGTTTTCGCGATTTGCGCGCGACCCATAGAGAGCCGCGATCTCGCAAGCCCCGACCCGCTCGGTACCGCCGGGAGACTGGCCGCTCGGGAAACCCGGCACAAGTCCAAAACTTGGCAAACTGGCAAAGCCCAGCCGCCGAGTACGCGCCGATTCTGGGTGCGTACGGCCTAAGCAAGGAAGCGCCGGCACGTAGGACACCGTAGCAGCCGAAACAACGCGAAGGGGCAGCCGCCGCCGCCGTAAAAAGCCCACCGAGACACGATGGCTGCCGTCCTCCAAGCCCAGACGGACGCGCCAAAGGTCCTCCAGCCGGCCGACAACCCGGATGTGGATATTGTGCCGCTGCGCTTCGGCGTCAAGTACGCTTCCGAACAACCGATGCTCGCGCTGGAGTATCGCGACAAGGCGTCCGGCGAGCTCGCACTGAAGGAGATCCCGCTGACCCTCGCCGACGACAGCAAGGCGCTGGAGGTCTACGCCGCCTTAAAGGAAAGCCACGCGCGGTTCCTGGCGCCGTACATCGTGAGCGTGGCCCAGGTGGTCCGGTTGATTCAGCTCGCCATCGACAACCGAGGAAAGGCACCCCCCGCGCCGCCGCGCGGCGACGTGCCCATCCGGGCGCCGCCCGACGCGCCGCCGACGCCGCTCTCGCCGGACGTGCCGTCCGTGGCATCGGAAATCGACTCGCCGGACGTCCTTGCCGCGCCGGCGTCGCCCGCGTCGCCGCCCGTGCTCGCGTCGCCGCCGAAGGCCGCGCCGGAGAGCCCGCCGGTGCTCGCCAGTCCAGATGCGCCGCCGGCGTCGCCGCCCGAGATCCCGACGCTCGCATCACCACCGTCGGCGCCTGAGCCCAAGTTCGCCGTCGGCGACCGGGTCGAGGCGCGCTTCGAGGGCAAGGCGACGTACTACGCGGGGAAAGTCACGGAAGTGACCGGTTCCACCTATTCCATTGCGTATGATGATGGGGACCACGAGTCAAATGTGGCCGAGGACCTGATCCGGGTCTACGCAAAGACAGATGATTATTCGGAGGACGACGTCGAGGAGGAGTCCATCGCCGAGAGCGTCGGCTCCACCGCCAGTTTCGACGCGTCCGAGCCCAGTCGTGCAGAAGCCTCGGACTCCGACTCGGACGAGGCCTACGCCTTCGACTAACAACACATTTTTTACCAGGCCCGCCCCAGATGCGTGTACTTGCCCTCCTTGACTTCCGTACTACGTCCGGTCGCATCGACCATCCGCAGTTTCTGGATCTCGTCGACGGCGATCTGCGTGGCGTTTCGCGGCGGCTTCGCCCCGAAGGGATCGTCGGCCGTCGGTAGATAACCGATCTGAATATCCGTCGACAGGTAGTCCATCGGGTCCTCGTCGACGCGCGTGCAGCCGTGGAAACCCCTCACATAATAGCGAATGACCAGTTTCTTCCGCATGCCCGGACAGGGATCCCCGAACGTCTCATCTAAATCTAAGTCAGTGTCTAGGTGTAGTCTAGAACCACCTTGCGCGTTCGCGAGCCACTTCACGGCCTGCGCGGACCGATGCCGTCTTCATCATTCCTGGAGACGACTCATATCAACAAAGTGAAGGCGCCGCAGACACTGATCTGGACCTCGGTCACGTTCCAGTTGAATTTCGGTTTTGTAGGATGTCCATAAGAGGCGTACCTCACTTCCACGGTGGGCATTATTGTAGGAATCCCAATGAGGACGTGTTCGCTACAAAAGGCCTTGCCTTCGTCCGTGTTCGTGAGTACGCGCTCGACAATGCCTTTTCTCTGCATAATGAAATTGGCCTCGTAGCCCGACGCCGTCGCTTCCGGCGCTTCCGTGCGCCGTTCGGCGTCGTGGCCCACTATGAGATATTCGATATGCAGTAGTTTAGATTGGTAAGGTGTCGGGTCGCCGAGTTCAGCGTTCAGGTCGTCCGCGACGGTCGGGTCTACTTGTAATTTTTGTAGCTCCACCGACGCCCACGAAGCTAGCTCTTCCTCTGGAGAATCTCCAGCGAAGAATAGTAAAGAGCCGCCGCAGGCTTCGACCCTTCTTTGTACGAGTCCCGTGGCGTCGACACTCCCAGCCTTAAGCTGATAGAGCTTCTTGAGCTTCTCTTCGATGGCTGGCAGCTTCCTCAGGCGATTGTTATCTTCTCTCGTCAAAGCTAAGCCAGCAGTCCTTTTCGCGCGGATCGCTTGCCTGCGCGGAGCACCACCCACGTCATCGTGAGATGGACACGAGTCGCGGGACGCCGAGACCAGCATGTCGAAGATGTCCTTGTGGTACCGGGCTTTCCACGCGTCGAGCAGCTCCTCCGTCCAGCCGTAGGACGCGCTCTCGATCAAAATCTGGGGCGCGACGGAGGGCGACGCGGCGACGGACATGGGGTACATGAGCCTGCCGTTGAGCTCGTACCTGCGGCGCGTGGTGGTGTCAGTACGGGCGTCGCGGCGACGGCGTGCGTCGTGTCGATGGCGTGGAGGTGGGAGCAGTCATCGTGTTGACGTCGATGCGACGAGAGGGTGTGTATTAGGTCGCGGCGATGGCGTATGGGTGCCCCCAGACGCCATCGCCGCGACTTCCCGGCACGACACCACCAACGCCGCCACTGCTCCGAGAGAGGCTCACCGCCGCGGCCACGCGACGGCACGAATCGAGGCGTGGCCGCCAAGTCGAAGGCCCGGACACCGCGCAGCGGACTCGTGCATCTCGCCGGCACTCCCGTTGATCTCGTACTCGACCGTCAGCGTCTTGGCCCGACCTAACGACGGCTCGCCGAACCACGACGGCAGGTGCTCATCCCTCTTGACAATACAAAACCTCCCTCGAGCGGCGTGCACGCGCGCTTGCAACGAGTCCGTCACGTCAAAGGCCCCCCTACCATTTTTGATGCCGCCCGGTTGCCCGTATTGCGCCCGCACGATGTTGATGAGCGGTCGCGCCGCCCCGCCCTTAATTTCAAAGTCCTCCTTCAATCGCCCCGCGAAGTTGCCCTCCCACGTCGACACGGTGCCCCGCCGCCCATTTAAGATGTACCTTACAATAACAACCTTCCGAGCACCTGGTGCGGGATCCTTGCCGTTACTTAGTGTTCTTCGTAAATCCTCTGTCCTATCTAGGAACAATGACTCTCTAGCTGATTTCTCACAGAGCGCTTCGAGCGCAGCCGTGCAGTCCACCGCTTGAGAAGCATCACTCGGATGGCCGTAGGACGCCGCCAGGATCCGAATTTTCCCCTGCTCCCGGAGCCACTTCTTCTTCACCATACTTGCGATGGTCGAGGCGGGTTCGTGGATGAAGGAGCAGTGGTGACACAAGCAATAAGTTTTGACAAGAGCGGGATTCTTGTGCGCGTGGCCGCACTGGGGGCACCGCCGCTCGCCAACGGGCACATTATCTATATTCGGCCGCCACTGGGCCAACTTTTCTGGAGTCACGAGTGCCTCGGGGTCCGCTTCCAAGAGAATGTGGCTCTTCTTATTGTACCACCGCCGGTCGCGCTCGCCGATGGGGATGAGCTTTTTGGGCGGGGCGTTCAGCGCTCGCGCAAAGGCCTGGTACGATTCTATATCACCTATTTCCGGTTCATGCGGCGGCGGCTGCCACTCGTCCGTGTCGGGTGCTACAGCTGCCATCTGTGTAGCGCTTGCTCTGTGCCGCTTATACCGCCTAGTAGTGGTGCCGCGCAGATGGGCGCGTCGACGGCGTCGCGTTGATGGCTTTTGGGCAGCCGCGTCGCGCGCGCGTCGACCGCTGCCCAATGGCGCTGCTGGAGCGCTTTGTTTGCTAAACTTTAGTGGGCATTAGGCTGCCCGCGGCCGGGACGTGCCTTCGGGGGTCGGGAGGGGTGCGGGGGCACCGGCTCTACGCGTGGAAGTGCCATCCGGGCGCCATGGGGGTGGCTTTGGCGCTGCAAGCGGCCTGCAAGGCAGCCTCCTTGCCGAGAGGCAGCCATGGCGAGCCCCGTGAGTCTTCTCGCGGAGGCTTGACGCCTCGTTACTAGCGACGCGTGTAACAATGATGCCTTGGCTGCAAAACGAGGCCCTCTGGCTTTTTTAGCACCAGCCTCGCTGAGGCCGGTTTGACAGTGTGTGCGTAGCGATGGGGGTCCTCCGGGACCTAGCAGAGCCGTTGTAGACCGCTGCGCAAGCTCCGACGTCGTTCAGTGCTCTGCAGGCTAGCGAGAGCATCGGCAGCTCCAAAGTTGCCGACGAGGCGTGCGACGCCCGACGAGCCGCACAAGCGTTCAAGCGACGCAGCCATGGCCGTGTCGCAGCCGCCGGGCCTGGGCTTCGGCGGGAGCTGGTCCAGCTTCGGCGCGCAGTCGGGTGACGAGACGCCGACGACGCCCTCCCTGCCGCCGCCGCCGCCCGGCGCCGCCCCGCCTTCGTTAGAATCGCTGCGACGGCAGCTCGACAGCCCGGCGCCGGCGCCGTCCGTGGTCGGCCCGCCCTCCAGGCAGCGGTCGTACGGCACGCTCGGCGAACGTTTGGGAGAGGGCCTGCGCCCGCCCATCGGCTGGAACTCGAGCGTCGCGTCGGACGCGGTCTTCGAGCCGCCGGAGCGGCCGAGCACGGCGCCGGTCGACGACCGGGCTAGAGCTAGAGATCAGCAAAACGTAGCTTTACTGATCTCGAGCATGCAGGAGCTCACGGCCGTCGTCGCGACGCACTCCGAGGAGATCCGGCGGCTGCGCGAGGATTGTAGAGCTTTTGCTAGGCGCGACGCGATCAACGAGGCGCTGTCCGACGTCGCTCTAAGAGCGCGCTCCGAGGGCGACCACAACCGTGCCGCGCTGGAGCGCGTGGAACGGCGACTTGCTTAATTGGAGGGCGGCATCGGCCGCGCCACCGAGGGCCTGAAGGACCCGCTCGTGGCCGCGGCCGAGCGGCTCTCGACGCGCGACGCGCGCTACCCGCCACCGCCCAACGGCCACTACGACGCCCGCGGGCCGCGCGGGCCGCCGAACGGCCACAGTGCGCCGCCGAACGGCCACTACGGCGGAACGCCCAACGGCCACAGCCCCTCGAACGGCTACGCGCCGCGCGACCGGCACGCGCCGCCGCCGGAGGGCCGCGGGCCCTACCCGCCTCCGAACAACGGCGAGGCGCCGCCGCGCTTCCTGACGCCCGCCGACGTGCCGAACGGCCACGGCGCGCCGCCCAACGGCCACTACGACGCCCGCGGGCCGCGCGCGCCGCCGCCGAACGGCTTCCGCGGCGTCTGAGTGACGTCGACCTGTCCAATTCGCCGCCCCGCCCGGAACCGGCGGGGCCCTGACTGCTGAACAAAGACCGTGCGCGCCTGCGCTTTTACGTCCGCTATCCCCCCTCGCGCGCACGATGAACCCTCTCTGGCATGAGCATAGCCGAAGATGCTAGCCGTGTACATAGATATAAGAGACATACTTCCATTCGAAACTGACTTAAAACTAGGGGCACTCTCGCGGCGATGGCGTCCGGGCTCTTGCGTCAAAGCAGTGAATTCACAGAGAAGTGCGAATTTACGAGAAGGGGATGGGAAAGGGGATCACACAAAGGAGGGACGTCCTCACTTCTCGGACGCGTACGCGACGACGCCGACGCGGGCGCCCTTGGGCGACACCACGGTCACCCGGCCCTTGGCGCCCTTGGGCGACGCCACCGGGCCCTCCTCCGCGACGACGGGCAGGCCGACGATGATCGGCGTCGCCCTCGGCGCCTTCCTGCGGCAGGCCCGGAACGCGCAGCAGCCCAGGCCGCAGCCGCAGCACACCAGCACCGCGGTCATCACCACAATGCACCACACGAAGCCCACGTCGTCGTCGCAGTCCTCATCTACAACATCGTGCCAGGGCGTGCGCTTGTAGATTATCGAAGCCGGCTTCTTGTACCCAAATCTCACCTTGAGCTCCGTCTCGGACACTAAATAGAAGTCCATCTCTTCGTTGTGACCCGCGTGGTCGCTGTGGGGAAGCGACTCGACGCCGTAGTACGGGCCGCCCCCACCGCCGTTCACAAAATATATAGTATTTTGGGCGATCTTGATGATCCTCTCGTCGTCGTAGGGGTCGGGGTCGCCGCCGCACTTCGCCGAGCCGCTCCAGTCCTTGGCGACCCAGGCGTAGCCCTCGAGCGCTTCCAGGGAAGTCGTGCCGTCGACGTCGATAGTCGGCGCGCACGTCGGGTCCGGCGCGCAGGTGCCCTGGGCGAGGCACCCGGTCGACGACGCGAACGCGTCGCGGTCGACGCACATGCACTCGCCGTCGACGCGGTAGTACCAATACTCCGAGTCGTCGGCGCGGCACAGGCGGCACAGCGGCTCCGCCGTGACGTCCGCGCGCTCGCCCGTCTTCTCGCAGCCGCACGAGATCCGCCCGGGGAAGTCGCCGCCGTGGTTGACGGGGACCGTGCCGGACTCGGGGCAGGCGTACAGCGGCGTCGACGACGCCGCCGTGGCCCGCAGCACGGCGTAGAGGTTGTGCCCGCGGCCGACGCCGTTCGAGGCCAGCGTGCCGTCGGTCATCAGCTCGCCGTCCTTCCTCCAGAGGCACAGGTCCCCGGCGCCGAGGTTGGCAAGGATGCCCTGCTTGATGGCGTCGAGGGACATCGCTAAATCGTACACTTGAACATCGACGTTCTTCCCGTCGGCGTTGGTCTCGATACAGACATCGGAGCCGACGTTGAGGCCTTGGGTGCCGCCGACGACGACTATTTGCTCGGGGCCGCCCGGCATCGCCTCGAAGCTGTGCTCCTTCGCGATGGTCCAGAGGGCGTCCGGGCAGCCATCCGTCGACGGCGCGCCTTGCCGCGCGTAGACGATGGTCGCCGGCGACGCGTAGCCGAACTCGACGACGAGGTCGCCGTCGTCATCGAGCGAAAACTTGATCTCCTCGCTGTCGGGCGACGAGGCAGTGGCCGGAAGACTTCCGATAGCGTAGGGGCCGCCGCCCCCGCCGCCGGTCCAGCTTATCTCGCCGCCGGCGATCTCGACCGTGGACTCGTCGTCGTAGGGGTCCGGGTCGCCGCCGCGCGCCGCCGCGCCGGACCACGTCTTGGCTTTCCAGGTCGTGCCGTCCAGGGTCGCCGTGTTCGTATCGGCAGCGACGGCGGACAAGGCTAAAGCCACGAGGAAACGCATTATTGGTCTCGTACGAAGTCTCGCTTGCGCTGGGCCAGATGCCCCAGATTATCTGTGGGCAGGCGTTTCAAGCGTTGCAAGGCGCCGAACGTTACGGGGCTCTGCTCAGTGGCTGTTTGGGTACCTATAGCAGTGCGCGATCGCTTGAAAGCACTGCTTATCGCTTAGAAGGGCTGAACACCAGCGTTGATTTCAGTCACTCTGGGCCTGGCAAGGTACATTTTTGCGCAAATCGGGGCAGGGCGGACGCGTCCAAAAACGCATCCACGAGTAGTAAGAATACAGATCACAGAAGTTACACCACAGGCGTCGTCGCCGCCTCGCCGTCGAGGAGCGGCTCCGCCAGATCCGACCCGCCGACGAGGCGCGGCGGCGCCACCATAAACACAAACAACCCCAGCGACGCCACGCCCACGACGAACGCGAAGACCGGCAGGTACGTTGATGAAGAGACCGCCACCAACCAGCCGGCCGAGAGGGCACCAACACTTCTACCAGCACAAACGCAGACGCTCCTTAATCCGGCGTAGAAGCCCGGATGGTGGCCCATGTCCGCGACCGCCGCCAATAATTGGATGTTCGCGTTCGACGCCGCTAAAGCCCCGAGAATAATTAACGCGCCGCTCGCCAGACCAAAGGCCTCCCGCGCGAAGATATGTGACGGAGGCACATACAGAAACGCCACCAACCCCGTCACCGCACCTATAACCTCACAAGCCAACCCGACGCGCACGACGCGCACCTTGCGGTTTCTCGCTATTTGAAAATCGCCGTCGCCGCGTTTTGCATAAGCCATCGCTAGAACCATCGCACAGACACCCAGCAACGCGAAGGCCGCCAGCACTAATGAAATTGTGGTGGTAGTAGCGTGGAAGTCGTCGCGCGCGACCACGGGGAAGGCCGTGTCTAGGCAGGCAATCAACGCGCCGCCCACGAAGGACACGGTCAGCGTGGCGGCGCCCCGTCTTGTTATCAACGCGTCGCGCACGTCGCGGGCCGGCTTCACCGAGACATTGCGCTGGATGACGGCCTCGCCGACCTGGCGGCTGGCCCGTCGGGATGGCGGCGTGGCCGGCAGCGCGAGGCAAGCCCAGACCGCACATAATAGAGCGAGCGCTGCAAGAAATAATCCAGGAGCGCTGTACGCGTCGATATCAAACACCTCGTGGTCGCCCTCCGGTAAAAATGAAAATAGGGCCGCGAGGCCCGGGCCCGCCAGCACCGCTATTAATGAAGTGCCGTTGAAGACGGCGAGCCGCAAGTCGCGCTTCCTTCTCATCGTAGCGTCGTCGCCGTCGCCACTCCCGACGACTCCGAGCAGCACTCCCGTGACTGAACTTCCCAATCCAACAATCGCGCGCGCAACGACAACATCCAACGGCCGCGATGCAGCGAAGTAGTAGACGTTGCCGATTGCTGCGACGAGAAACGCGATGACCGCCGGGCGGCGCGGTCCGTACCTATCCGCCAGCGCCCCTAGCGGGACGAACGCGGCCGTCTTCGCCAGACTAAATGCCGCGGCGGCGACGCCGGCTAATACAGTGGGATGCGACCCTAACTCCCTTAAATAGGGGTAGATCGTGGGGTAGATCAGGCCGTACTCGACGCCGACGCAGGACGCCGCGACGCATGACCCGATCAACAGGCTCCGCGGGCAGGGGTCGGCCGCGCGCGGCGCCGGCGCGGCGGGAGTTTCGGCTTCTTGGGGCGTCCCAGGCGTCGAGGCCGTGGCTCCTCCATCATTATCGGCCATGGTTCGCGTCGCGCTCGCGCGTTATGCTGCGTTGGCACACGAGGCTGCAGCGCTGTGTTTGAGACTGCTGCGTCCTGTGAAACGCCACCGTTCGCTCAGCTGCGCACGCGGCTCGAGATGTACGTTCTGCGCTTGTGTAATGTGTGAGACTCACCTGTACGCGCGTACTCCAAAGGCTTAAGCAAGGTTCACAGACCTAGTTAAACACTCTAGAAAATATGCGCACGGTCCGCGGCTCTTCGCGAGACGCCTCGGCCTCTAGAGGGCTCGGATTGATCGAAAAACAAAGACGTGCGGGTCTGCTCCCAGCGCAAACCAATTTGGCCTGGCAGCGCCATATCGGCACCGGGCTGCGGCTGCCCTCCGCGCACGGACGTGCCGGGAAGTCCGCCAAAACCAAAGGCCAAGAACTACTGGCCGTGCAACGCAGCCCCGCGTCGAGCGCCGAGCTCTGGGGGCTGCCCAGCAGCCATGCCAAGCATGCCTGCATATGCTCTGGCCGCGCGCCAGGGCCAATCATCTGTAAAAAAGCGCAAGGCCAAGAAGAAGCGGGCCAGTTTTGGGCAATCACCGAAAGGCGCGATGCTTAGCCCGAAGGCCCAGTCGCTGCCGCTCAAGGAGCAGGCGTCGCCCGAGGCGTCTTGGAAGGAGGCGTTCTCACGAACTGGCCCGGCGAGTGTCACGAAAGCCAAGGCGAAGCGACGGGGCAAGCTGCGCATGGCCGCCAAGGCCGTCAATGCTTTGAGTACAAAAGAGCGCCGCGAGCGCGTCGAGGACGGCCTGCGGATCCGAGCTCCGTACGAAGTGCCGGGCGAGGAGCCGCCCTACGAACGGGCTCGAGACGCTCCTCACGAGATACCAGAAGAATTGTTTTATGAGAGGTGGTCCTTCACACCACGACCTTCGTTAGACTTAACTCGATGGGTAGATGTTGACGTCTGTGCAACATTGACGCATTGTCATGAGTTATCGAAGGGTGCCACAGCAACACTAAAACTAGGTAGTCGAGATCGGGATGGGGCGCCCGACGACTGGTCCGTGCTGCAGCTCGCCTCGACGCCTTCGTTCCTCGATTGTATGACGTCACTCGATCTGAGCGGTTGTCGAGATGTCACAGACGGTCCCTGCCGCAAGCTAGCTAAAGTGGTTTCGAGACTCACGTCTCTGGACCTGTCTAGGTGCGCAAAGCTGACCGACAAGGCGCTGCGGGGCTGGTCTCAATCACCGTCGATAGAAAGGCTCCAGGTCGTGAAGCTGCGAGGCCTGGCGCAGTGCACGGACGTTGGGGTGGTGGAAGTCCTCGAGAAGGCCAAGAGGTTGCGCATTGTGGATTTGCGAGACATACCAGATTGCACTGGTAGAAGCGCCATAGCTCTAGCTGGCTGCGGTCCTGTGGAAGAGGCTCTGTTAGATCACTGGCCGAAGCTCGACGATGGTTCGTTGGGCCAGTTTCTAGCGAGGCTGGGCGAGCAGCACAAGTCCTCCGTGAGAGTCCTTAGTCTGAGAAAATGTGGACTCTTGACGGATACGTCTGGACGTTTATTCAGCCACCACAAGATTCTGAAGGGCTGGGTGCGCCACAATGCGCTCACCCATTTGAAGAGATTAGAACTAACAGATAACTCAAATCTAACAGATAAATGGATTGAACTGGTCACGGACGCGTGCAAGAGCCTCAAGGCGTTAATCGTGGCGCGCTGCTCCGAGCTCTTCAAGAAGGTCGAGAGTGCGATGAATTTAGCTAGATTAGTTCATCTGAGCGAATTAGATGCGCAATCTACCTCCTTAACCGACGAAGGCCTGTGCGCGTACGCGGGGAGCGTTCCCAAGGGTTCGCCGCTGCGAAAGCTCGACCTGTCTTTCTGCGCCGTATCGGACCAAGGTCTAGGCGCCTTGGCAGCTGTTGGTGATCGACTACGGTCGTTGAAACTAGAAGCAGTACCAGCGGTGTCGGGCGACGGCATAAAAGCAATTGCCGAGCGGTGCAAAGCCCTACGAGAATTACGCTTAATTAAATTAGCTGGTGTCACGGACGCGTCCATATTACAAGTGGCGAAAAGGGTGCGGAAGCTGCGAATTTTTGAAACGGCGCTGTGCCCCGGCGTCGGAGCTAGAGCTATAAAAGAAATCGCTTCCCTCAAATTCCTGACGGCCTTGGACGTGTCGGGCTGCCAGCGCGTCGACGACGCGGCGCTGTCGATCCTCCCATTATCATTAGTAGCGCTGCGGGCCGCGTCGCTGCCGCGCGTGACGGATCAAGCCTATATTCTACTGAGGGAATGCGCCCCGAACCTAGCTTCTGTGGATATGCGGGACTGCGCCCAACTGACGGAACGATCAATCTTCGCGCTGATGTACTGTGAAGATCAAATTCCCGAGAAATGCGTTTTTTTAACGAAAGGCATGGACGCAAATAAAGCGAGTGTCTTGCAGCGCGTCGACTTCGGCGGTTGTGCTTCTGTCGATCTGGATAGAGTCCAAGCAGTAGTCAAGCGCCATCCTTACCTGACGTGTTCGGTCGACCGCGCGCCCTTCGACGACGAAGCGGTGACGGAACGGGACTACAAGGGTCTGATCGATGCCTGGACCTTGCCACGTACGGGTCGAGGCCAGTCTCTGGACGACTTGCCCGAGCGACGCTCTTTGCATTGGACCGCGTCTTCCCGAGACCTGCACCTGAGGCACTTTTGTGCGAATGAGAGGCAGCAGTCCATCGACGCCTGCAACCGCTGTAAAAGGCAGTACCGCGAGCGCAACGCGGAGTGGGAGCGGAAAGAAGCTCGGTTTGCCAAATTGGTTGAGCGCGACGACGCCGCCGTTCCGTTGCAGAGTCAGTTGCGGCGACGATTGGCCAACAGACGCGTTCAGCTCTTGTTGGAGCAGCAGGCTGCTACCAGAATCATAGGTAAAGCTATTAGGATACGAAAACGCGCGCAATTAGCCCGCAAGCGCATGGTGCATGCTGCTCAGTTGCACAGACGCGTCATACAGCGAAGATGTCTCCTGAAATGGTTCCACGTTGAACGAACGAAGGCCTGGCTCGTTACGGAAGATCCTGTACATAAACAGCGCGCTTCAAGGCACGCCATGGCCAAAAGGTGCTTGCACCTCATCCGCGCATGGCATAAATACGCATCGAGAGAAGAAGGCCCCAGAGCCATGTACAACAAGGCGCGCGAGTACTGGGGCGACAAGATGCTCGAGCCCCTGTTTGTCTTGTGGGCGCGCAAGGCGAGGAAGATGGCTCTCAGAAGAAGACGGCTGGTCATCGTCTTTCTGCAGTGTGTGGATATAAAAACATACAACGGTAGTACACCGCTAGCTGAAGGTGTCGTGAAGGCCAAAGCGAAATATGATGCGAAGCTTCGCAAGTTAGGGTTTGAACCTCTCAAACTGTGGCTCCAGGAACGTTCCCAGAATTCCAAGAAATTAGTTGAAGCTAGAATCATACTAGCGGAGATCTACGAACGGAACACGCTACCTCGCATCTTCCATGCGTTTGTAGCCTATCAACAATTTCGGATTGAGAAGAGGCGGATTATGAAAATCGGTGAAGCCGCGACGCTCGGGATTCGCCTGAGATCTACGCTGAAGCGAGTGCGAAGGATGGCGCTCCAGTACCAAGTGTCGCAGCAAGCTTACGGTAAAGCCGACGCCCATCTCATCGATCGCAGACAGAGGATCGGCCTCACGGAATTGTGGGATTGCCGCTACTGGCGCAAGCACTGCCGACGGGCGTTGGTAAAGGGTAAAGCGGTTTATGATGCGAAGTGGGACGCCTTTGTGCGGGAGCAGTGGTCTATCCTCGTAGAACATGCGAGGTATCAGGTCTTTTTGAGGCGAGCGGAGACGCGCGTGGAGCTGAATTGCGAGGCCAATGCCACCAGACGCGTTTTAGCGAAGTTCCGCATCAACTGTATGTTTTTACGAGCTACTGCTTATCCGCGAGTACCTTATATTAATAGTGTAGCATCTACAGCACTTACCGTAGCCGCAGCAGCTGTCACTCACTGCGCGATCCACCCGGAACTCGCGCGACGAGCGGCGTTCAGATGCAGAATAGGCATGGAGGACATGGACAAGGCCGAGGACGCCAAAAGGTTAAGGGACCTCGAAGTTGAAGCTTGGGAGCGGTCCGCGGCCGAGCAAGAGACGTGGAGGATCAGCGCCATCCAGATCGAGCGCGTGGCGCGCGGCCATCTTGGCAGAGTATTTGCGAAGATGCATCGCATCGATGTAGAGTACTGCATCGTTGTTTTACAGAACTTTGTCCGCAGATGGTTCGCGCGTCGTTCGCTCCATCGGGCGGGCAAGCACATGGTTTTGAGGTTGCACGTTTTAAGGGAGAAGGAGGTCGACGGCATGGTCCAGGCTGATGAGGAAGCTAGAGTTTATGAGGCGGATCTGCAGAGGTTAAGACGGGTCCAATCTCTCATCAGGATCAAGATCGCGAATCGCCGCATCGCGAGGATGCGCGCTCTCATACAAATCGACCGGAGCAAGATGTACAAGCGCGAGCGCGAGGAGGCCGTCCAGTTGGCGAAGGATCGCCAAAAAGCCAAAATGAAGTTGGAGTACCAGCGGGGCGAGGCGGCGTTGTTGATCCAGCGACGGTATCGGGGCGTGCTCGGTCGTAGAAGGTTCGACAACATCCTGCAGTTCCACCTCGAGAACGTGGCCGCGACGACGTGCCAGAGTGCCTTCCGGAAGGCGTGCGGTCGCCGGAAGGCCTGTGCGAGACGCAGGATCAAGCAGATGTATGCTTATCAAAGAGTACAAAGGGGTAGGCAGGGCAAGATCATGCGGGACGTGTTCGGCCTGAAGCAGCGCTTGTATCAGAGGGCCTTTCTGCGCGTGGCCATGCCGATGGGCCTCGATCCCATGTCCTACACGCTGTCGCCCGTGTCCCAGGTGCGAGAGCTCTACAAGGACTACAAGGACTTGTACCAATGCGTCAAGATCGAAGCGACGGTCTGGAAGCAGGGCGGTGTGGGCAGGAAGGACTCCTCCATAGATAGGGACAAAATAAGAAGGCGATTATGGGAGCTCGAGAAGGCGCGGACGGCCATAAGACAGGGCGATGCTGCTCGTATTGTTAATTTCAGACACCCGAGACGGGGCCAGACGTGTTTTGTGGCCGCGATCGACAATTCTATCCCAGGGCAGCACGTGGCCGAACTGACGTATGACCTGGATGGAGCTACGGAGTCGTTGCCGTTGATGACGGTCGCGGATGCGTTTACCGAATCTAAGAGTGCATTGCATCGCATCGACAACCTGCAGCGACCCTACAAAGAGTGTATGGAGCCTTCAGCAGTGAGGGACAATAGGCATAACCTGATCCGGTGGGCGCGTCGAAGCAGACCGATCACGAAGTCGCATCGCAGTGCCATTGCGCTGCAGAACTTTGTGAGGCGAGCCCAGGCTTGCAAGAAGGTGGCTAGAGTCCGATACGCGTACTGGTGCAACAGTCGCGCGCGACGCGTCGTGCTCTTGCAAACCCTGACGTCTTTCGCGTCGTTGCACACGCCGGCGGCGCGCAAACTTCTGAAATTGGGCATGCAACTCAATGTGGTCGATTTGCAGGGCGACCTCCCGGACTGGGAGACGATCGCCCTCGACCCGCTCATGGCGCCGCCGGCGTATACCGCGAGGATGCGCAAATTAAGGATGCGAGCGAATCTGGCGAAGGAAGTCCAACTAAGGCATCGTCTGCGCAAGTTACGCGTAGATCATATGAGAAGAGGTGCCCGACCGAACAACACCGTCAGGCAGGTCATGGGCGGGGCTGGTGCGAAGATGTCGGCAATTTCTACGGTACGAGAGGACCGCGGCGCCGACGAGCAGGCCTGGAAGGACTTCGTGGCCATGGCTCCGACGTCTCGCTACTACCGCCACTATCGGAGGTCGCATCCGAAAACGATAATCGAACATTATAGGGATACGTTCATCGGGGGTGCCAAACGGTCGATAGCCAATGTTTTAACGCATCGATTGGGCATGTACCGCCTGGGCTGGGTCGTGGCCGGCCCCGAGGCTCTGCTCGATCAAGCGCAGCGCGAGCGCCAGAAGCAGTTCGGTTCCGAGGAGAAGACGCAGCCTTTTGATCCCGAGACCCAAGAGAACCCCGACGAGGAGCTCACGGGCATCAGTGAAGAAGAAAAAAAATTGCCAAATGATTCGCAAGCAGCGAGACAGCAGTCGCGGAACGTCTGGGCGGCGCGCGTGGATATCAGCAAGCAGTTCGGCCAGTCGCCTCATTTGCGAGTTAGAGATGCCGCGGTGTACCACGGGTCGTGGAGTGGCAATCCGCCCAAGAGCGCTTTGCATCGCATCAGAGGTAAAGATAAAGCGTACGAGGCGTCCCTGCCGCACGGCGAGGGGTTATTGGAGTTCCTGGACGGCTACGGCTGCGCCCAGGAGGAAAAGACGCTGAAAATTACGGTGATTCGCTGCACGGATATTAGGGTGGCCGATCTCATGTCTTCCGACCCCTACTGCCGCGTCGAGTGCAACGGCCGCGTTTTTAAAACTAGAACGAAGCAGCAGAACTTAAATCCCGAGTTCAACGAGACGTTCGAGATAGATGTGAGTGACCCGCAGGAGATGGTGCGCTCGCGGCGTCCCGCGGTGCCTTCACGCCATCGATGCGACTCGTGTCCAGGAATGATGGCGGTGGGTGGCTTCTTTTCCGATTCTGAGCCGTTTCGGACCGCGTCGGGGCCGTCGCGGCGTGTCAGAGGGACCGCGGTGATGGCGTCTTCACGAGACATTGTGATCCCATGAGAGTCTACGTGGTCCTCGGGACGCCGTCGACGCGATGCTTTGACGGAAATGCGCCGCGCAGGTCCGCGTGTCGATCTACGACTGGGACGCGTTCGGGAGCGACGACTTTCTGGGGGACATGGTCATTCAGCTCGGGAACCTGCCCCATGAAGGGAGAAGGGCCTTTCGGCGGTGGTTCCGCTTCGGCGACTACCGGCCGTACCACTTTTTGTGGCGGCGCACGGACCCCATGAAAAGAGAACAAATACATGATCGCGGCGAGATCGAGTTAGAATTGCACTGGCAGGACAAGCCCGCGCCCGAGGACCTCGATCGACGTAGACTGAGGAGGAGAGCGTCTACTCAGTTGCAAGCGTGGACCCGGAACCGACTAGCTACTTTTTTGAAACTGAAAAGACGTATTGAAAAAGTAGAAGCGGATAAAATAGTAGAAAGGGCAATAGTAGAGATCCAGTCGGGGTATAGGGTCACGCAGGCTCGAAGAACCGTGAGAACGATTAAGGCCCGCAAGCATGCCGCGACTAAATTACAGAGCTTCTTCCGGCGGAAGCTGGGCTGGAACCGGTTGCAGCAGAAGCGGTTGGAGTACCATTCGGCCCGGAAGCTGCAGATACGATCTAGACGTAGATTGGTCGGCACGGCGCGCATCGCGCGACTACGGCTGGTAGAATGGCTCGAGGTCACTTATTCTACATTGGTAGTCCAGTCCCTGCAGCGCTGCATCATCGCGCGCAAACTGTCAGCGGAGCGGAAGGAGGAGCTCAAGGCCCAAGGTTTATATGTCGAGCGGAAACGCAAGGCGCGATCTCGGCGTTTTGAAGTGTTGCGGCGCCTTCACGCCATCGACGCGACTCGTGTCCATCAGACGAGGTCGGGGCTGGTTTCTTTTTCGAATTGAGGCCGTTCGGACCGAGTCGAGATCCACACAGGTCGCGGTAGAAGAGGAGTCGCCCGACAAGGCGTCGAAGAAGACCAAGAAGAAGAGGAAAAAGAAGAAGAAGAAGACTCAACAAATCGAGGCGGAGGCGTCCACGGATTCGAAACCCAAAGCTGAGGCGAATCCCTTCTTTTCCAAGTTGAGCAAAGCGTTGCAGAATTATGATTTGAACTGGCTCTGCTACTACGGTCGCGATCCGTTGTTTGGTACTAAAAGATTAAAGCGCATGGCCATGCGCGCGGCGAAGATGATGTGTTTGAGACCGGGTACACGTATCAGGACCGTCTACGGTCCCGCGTTAGTTGTCGAGTACCCGGCACCGAAGCTGCCTTATGTCGAGACGCCTCGCGACGAGGGGCCGCCGCCTGCACATGTGGCCACGGAGATCGAGGTCAATAATGCCAAATCTGCATTGTCGGATGCCGAGCAGATGAGCGCTTCGACAGATATAGAACAGCAGGCGAAACAAGCAGCTATCGACGACGCTACTTCTGCATTAGAGGAAGCTAAAGCGAAGCACGCCGAAGCTCTTGCAAATAAACCGCCCGAGGTCGAGAAGGGCCTACGCATCCCGCACCGGGGCTTCGTGTCCGTGTTGTTGTTAGGTTGTCGCGAGCCGCTGGATGTCCTACCACCGTTAACATGCGCCGAACGAAAGGCCATGGTCGAAAGTAAAGCGGTACCGCGGTACCCCGCGGTGATTCGATTGGGTAGTATTGATGCCTACAAATCCGTACTTGATAGACTACTCATAATCCAGTGCAAGACGAGGTACCAGCAGGCCTGCCGACGCGTCGAGCGACTGAGGAAACACACCTACGCGGCCATGGCCATCCAGCAGCTTTGTAGAAGTTGGATCGCTAGGCGAGTGGCCGCGAAGTTACTCATCCAAGCTACGGGCCGGATGTTCCTCGCGAAGTGCAAGCTCGCCTTCAAGAAACTTGAGATACAATCAATACTGCAGATCCAGTGCGCGTACCGCTGCATGAGGGCGTATCGCGTCCTCGACGAGCGGCGATGCGTCCTCCCGCACGCGATCATGGTGTCGTCGGAACACTCCGCGGCCTTCTCGGCGGACAAGACGCTGGACGGCCGCCGAGATACGTTCTGGTGTTCGCGAACAGGAGCAACCAAAAAGCAGTGGATCGTCTACGACATGCGCGAGAGCGCGTGCATCGGTGCCGACTCGGCGTCTGTTTCCGATTTGCGTCGATGGCGTCAACGCGACGTCACGACGTGGCCGTGAGAGAGTCTACACGTCGCGCGAGCGAGCCGCGGCAGTTTCGTGACGGTCTCGACACGCAGGTACGATCGAGCTCATGATTAATGATGATACCACAGCTCCAAGAAGGGTCGTAGTAGAAGCCTGCAATACCGCAAAAGCCCACTATAGTATCGTCTTCGCCTTCGATTTACCCCCGCCTCGCAATTTAGAGGATATGGCCTCAGTCCTGGCCAAGCAACCGAAGAACTTCCACAACCGTGCGATTCTGCGTCCTACGGTGCCATCACGCCATCGACGCGACTCGTCTCCATCAGACGAGGTTGCGGGTCGTTTCGCGGCGCGTCGGAGAGACCGCGGTCGCGTCGACACGCGTCGTTCTCACGCAGGGGAACTCGCGCTGGAGCGGGAGAAGCAGGACTCCCTCGTGAAGGAGGAGATCTCTGTGAGGGCGCGGATGGACGGCGGTCGCACGTGGTGGCGCGTCGTCGTGCCCACCTCAGTATATGCCGTCCGCAGATACTGGCGGTTGCGGGTGGACAAGAACTGGTCGTCGACGGAAAGCACGACCATAGCCAACGTGCGCTGGATGCGGGCCATGGAGTACACGCCTCAGATCACGCTCCAGCCTCGCAGTATCTTCGCGCCCGAGGGTCCCCAAGTCTCGCAGTACACGTCTCCGATCGTGCTCGAGTGCTTCGCCGACGCCTGGCCGCCCGTGTCCTACCAGTGGTACAAGGACGATGAACCTCTACAAGGTGAGGTGTCTGCGACGCTATCCGTCAAATCTAGAGTGTTAAAGTCCTACCGCCACAAGAAATTTAGATGCACGCACTGCCGCAAGGTCAATAAGGAGGTGCCCATCAACATCTACCGGAACATTTGTCTGAACTGCCGCACTTTATTTAATTGGCCCGAGCAGCAGGAAAGCGCCGTGGTCCGCGATCGCATCGTGACGAACCAGCAGCGCTGGGAGAACGAGATCGAAACGTTACAGAGGAAGATCGGGTTCCTTCGCTCGGACACGGGGGCGCTCGAACTCGAAATCCGCGTCGAGGAATCGAGGGAGGCCGCTCGTAGATTAGAGGAGTCCGACGACGAGGAAGCTGTTATACAGGAGTACCAGGAGAGTGATAGCGACGAGGAGAAGGAGCGCGACCTGCTCAAGGCGGCGAACGAGGAGATGGACCGGCGGGAAGCGGCGCTCTACGCGGAGATGATGAAGCAGGAGAGGGGCGAGGAGGAGGAGCGGAAACGGCGCGCGCGCGGCGTCCCGTGACTCGTGGCCATCTCACGTCCACGAGCGTGGTCTCTTCGTCGATCTCGGGGCCGTTCGGGCCGCGTCGGGCCGCACTCGTGTCGGGTCGCGGCGATGACGTCTGGGCGGCGCCCGACCGCGACGCTCCGCGCAGGCAATCGCGCATGTCGCGCCAGTCGCGCCGGTCGAAGGACGAGGAGGACTACTCGTCCGACGAGGACACGGTCGCGGCCGCAAACAGGGACATGGAGGCCTCCGACTCGGATGAAGACGGCGCGAAAAAACACATGTCCGAGGAAGAGCGGAAGAAGCGCGCCAAGGAGGCCGAGCGCCTCAAGAAGTTAAGGCAGAAGTGGTTGTTATCTCTCAGTCCAGCTGACAGACTAGCTGAGCTCTACAAGGAGCTCCACGGCTACGAAGCGCGAAGAGATCACTTGAAGGAAAAGATCGAAAAGCTCGCCTTTGAAAGACTCAAGGTAAGACAGATAGACCCGGTCAAGCTCCACTACGACTGCGAGGGCATCTACCACTGCGTCGCCCAGAACCTGCGAGGTGGCACTATTGTGAGACGCGTCGCGACGAAGAAAGCGGCCGTCGTGATCGGAGACCCGCCCCCTCTCCTCACGAAGACGGCCGAGGACTACCATCCCCGTCCTCATGAGAGGAGGAAGTACTACGCTTCTTATGTTTCTGCCCAAGGGTTCTTCCGCTACGGAAAGTTGATCGGCGACGTCGTGGTCAAGTTCTACAACGGTGCTGACTCAGCGTCTTTTCCGGACGTTTCCGAACTTCAAGTTCCGTCGACGGCGTCGTCACGATGCCGCGCCGCCGTGACGCCGTCGACGTGGCCGTGCGAGAGTCTACGCGTCTCGTGAGGGAGCCTCGGCTGTGTCGCGACGCTGTCGTTCGACGCAGGCGACACGTACTGCGGTCCCCTTGTGGGAGAACGGTGGCTCGACGCGATGGGCGTGGCTCGTACGGAAGGGCGCGACGCGGACCACTGGGGCGTCTGGATCCGGCCGTCCGGTCTTGTAGCGGCGTCCTTTGTACTTCATTGACGCGTCGACGGCGTCTGGGAGCGTCATCAAGCGCTCCACGCCATCGACGCGACGCGTTTCGCACTTCTCGCCAAGTGTTATCTGACGCTCCGCGACCACGGCCCCGACGCGGTCCGAAACGGCTCAAAAAACACCCACGGCCTCGTCTGATGGAGCCGACGCGCAGGTCTGACCTTCGAAGGCGTGACCGTCGACAACCACTTCGACATGCTGCGGATCCACGGCGACTTCAAGATCACCTATCCGCCCCCGAGACACGACGACGACGACGGTCCCGTCCGGCGGGAGGTCTTCGAGGGGCAAGTGGTGGACGGCAAGCGCCACGGCGTCGGCGAGTACCGGTACAGCGACGGTTCCAAATATGCAGGGGAATGGTTCAAGGGGTACCGCCAGGGCTACGGCCAGCTGACGTCGAAGGACGGTACTACTTATTGTGGCGAGTGGGATAGAAATAAAGTGCACGGCTCCGGCTCGTTCAAGTGGCCGGACGGTAGTTCTTATACGGGCGAGGCCTTCGAAGGGACTCGACAGGGCAAAGGCTGCTACATCAGTGGGAAGCACGACGTTTATGTCGGCGATTTTAGAAAAAATCAGCTCGAGGGTGTTGGAGTGTTCGCGTACCACGACGGGAGTCGCTTCGAGGGCGGGTTTCGACGGAATCAAAGGCACGGCCTGGGGACCTTCACGGACATCCTCGGTGTTCGTTACTTAGGAAACTACGTCGATAATCAAAGACATGGCGAATTTGTGGTCCGCAGACCCGTGAAGGTCGACGACGACGACATGTACAAGACGTATGTATCGCGGCGTCCTTTCGTGTTGTCACGCCGTCGACGCGGCTCGTGGCCATCGGACGAGGTCTCTCGTCCAAATTTGAGTGAATTCGGACCGAACCACCTCGAAATTCAACGAGAAACGACCCACCGCCACCATTCCCGGACACGATCCTCCCGTACCACGCCACGACCCCAATTCTCCGCGCAGGCAAGAGGAGCTCGACGCCGTCGACGAATATGATGCCGATGGTCAATTAATTGTCAAGTACGTCAAGAGCGAGGAGGAGCTCGCCTACGAGCGGAGCACGCGGGGGACCATGTTCGACGAGATCCAGGTCCGGACCTGTGTGGAAATCAACACCGCCTCCACGCCATCGATGCCGTGGGGCGGCGTCTGCGAGAGCTCATGCGCCATCGACGCGGCTTGTCGATGGCGTGGAGGGCCGGCAGCGAGTCTCTTGGCCCCGCGGCCCTGGTTTCGGCTCAAACTCGGACACGATCCCCGAGAGATGCACGCGACCGAACGAGAGCCAAGGGATCGCCACGCGCACCCAAGGAGACCAGGAATTGACCTTTGATTTCCCCACAGGTCGGCCTGTGGGAGAAGGGCGAATTTATCGAGTGGGTGAGTCCGCCCGTGAACCCCCTCGCGACGCTGCAATTCTGCCAGCAGTTCGAGCAGAACGAGGAGGAGTACGACGGCGTCTACGCGCTCATGATCGCGCGCCGACTGCCCAAGTTGCCCTACGGCGTGCAAGACGACCATCCTCGGGTCAAGCCTATTATTGAAAGAATAAGGCAGGAGGGCGGTTCCCTCGTCGCAAGGGACACCTACGAGGAGACCAAAGAAGAATTAGCGGCGAAGGAACCTTCTCTTGAGTTGATGGTGCAAGATATGCGGTCCGCGCGCGACGCCATGGCCGAGCACGCCGAGCTCGTCAAACGCAGTCAGCAGGTCGTCGACACGGCGTCGATGCAAGTCGAGGCCTTGTTGAAGAAGAAGCGCACGCTGGTGCAAACCGAAAACAAGTTCTGGGACGACGACCCGCACAAGACGTCCGTGACTCGGCGTGATTTCCTTCAATTTCTCAACGCGACGCAGCGCCGCCGCGACGCCATCGACGCGACCGTTCACGCGCAGGCGCGACGCGTTCGCCGCGGCCGTCCGGAAGATCCAGGCGCTGGAACTCAGAGACTTCTTCGTGATCCGCTACTTCCCCGAACCGCCACCACTCCTCGAGAAGGTTTTAAGGGCGGCCTGCATCCTCACGAGCGAGCAGGAGACGTGGAAGGCGGCCCAACTACTTCTGTCGAGTTCGCAGATCAACGCGGACGAGGGCGACCAGGAAGCCTTGACCGTGGTTTATGACATCAAGCTGCAGTACAAACTCTCGCACTACGACGTCTGGAAGTACGCGCGCAACAACCTTCTACTATCAAGGATAGCAGGCATACTCGTCGACCCGCGCTTCAAGCCGGACCACCACCACATCAAGAGTTACGGCCAAGCTTTGCCGAGGATTGTCGAGTGGGTGCGCGCGGCCTACGCCTACGTCCAAAGGTGTGCGGACATCGCGCACACGCGGGACGAGTTATCCGCGGTCGAAGATTTAATTGAGGACGCGAAGCGCAAACAAAAAATGGCCGAGGACGAGAAGACGGAGGCCGTCGACGAGTTCGAGTCGAAGCGGAACCAGCTCGAGGAGACGGAGCGGCAGGGCGCGCGCGCGAGTCGCGAGGTCGAGCGGTTGCGGAAGATGATTCTGCAGTGCGAAGCGATGATCGAAGAGTACCATAGCGACGAGGAGGAGCCGCCCGAGGACTACTACCTGGCCTTGGATGGCGATGCGAATGTCAAGGATGACCATTTGGTCCAGATCGTGTTGGACGAGGTCCGTGACTCAGTGTTGAAGTTGACCTTGAACTTGACGCGGTCGCGTCGATGGCGTCTTCATGAGACCACGCCGCCGCGACGCCGTCCGAGAGTCTGCGCGTCTCGTGAGGGAGCCGCGGCGGTGTCGCGACGGTGTCTGTGCCACACAGGTCTGCGCCAGGGTCACGAAGAATCTCGAGAGGCCCGTGATCGGTACGGAGTCCTGGCTCAAAGCCAATGAAAGCATGGTGGCCATGATGGGCGGCCGGGCGGGCGGCACTCAAAAACAGAGGGAAGCCGCTAAAAAGAGGGCTGAGGAAGCTGCTCAACAGAGGATGAATGAAGTGTCGAAGCATGCGGCGCAATCCGCAGCATACTATGCCAGTACAAAAATGCCGCCCCCAGGAGAAAAGTTTGACATCTACGAGTACATGTGCCATGCCGCTCATTGGGCGAGGGATTCTGTTTTGCGGAAACTGCCCCACTTCCACTCGGGCGGTTCCATGTACTTCGGGCATCCGCCCGAGGGTCTCACGGTGATGACCTACCACTACGGCAAGGGGCAGTACGCGTACGCGGACTACTCCCCAGAGCAGTGGATGGAGATTGGCCCTCGGCTCTGCGAGCAACTTTTATATAAAACGGTGAAGTTGGTCGTTGCAGCTCTGGAGCAATCGCCCCTGAAACACCCCAAAGGCTGCAGGGAGTTCATCTGTCGCGATTCTAGGGTTGACCCGGGCTACGTCGTACCCTTGTTGAGGAAGGCCTGGGCCGAGGAGAGCGACAAGGAGACGCGTAGATCGGCCATATTGTCCTGGGAGCGGGCCTTCCCGCAGCCCTTCGAGAACCTCGTATTCCACGCCGACGGTGGAGGCCAGTGTCCGAATTTCTCGTCTGCGCGATGGCGTGCCTTGATTCGCGCCGATCGCGGCGGTGGCGTGCTGGTGGGGTCTACACTGCCTCTGCGCCATCGACGCGACGCGAGTGACACCTAGCCCACCGGCACGCCATCGCCGCGACGTGAGTGACGAGTCGCGTCGCTGGCGTATGAGCTAGACACGTTATCGCCGCGAGGCTCGCACGCACACACACCTAAGGACCCGACTCACCCGTTGCTTCGCGCGCAGGCATCACGAACGTCGAGGATTTGGAGCCGATGTGGAAGATGGAGGACGGCCAGTTTTACATGAGTCCCGAGTACATGGCTATAAAAGCGCGGACGTCCCTCGTCATGAAGCGCACGGCGAAGCGCGAGGCCTACCTCTGGGAATTGGACGAGCGCCACAAGAAGAGAGTTATAGATGCGGAATACCGACTGAGCGAATATTTTGATTATCAGTGGGAAAGTACCGATAGAGGCGCCGCGCGGTGGGCCGGTGATATTATGAAGTACTACCGCAAGCTCAAGGACAAGGAGATCAGTGAGGGCGACCAAGTACCAGGCATAAGTGAAGAGGTCCCACCAGTAGCCGCCGACCCGGACAATGTGGTCAGTGCGCAGTGCTGGCGCAAGTGGCATCCGGAAAAGGTCATAGAAGCTAAATTGGATGATACGTATGATCTCGCGATGGACTTCGAAGAGCGGCTGGGCGATCCCGACGAGGCGCCGCGAGCGGCGGCTCGGTTGCTGGTGGGCGTGAACATCGATGGGCTGGAGCCTGCTGATCCTAAACTACTCCCATTCGCGTCAGCTTGGGCGGAGATGAACGTGGGGCTGTTCAGTGACGCGCAGGAGGAGGTGGGGGAGGAGCTCGTCGATGAATTTTGGGACCGCTTCAGTGGTACGCGTCCGTGTCCTTTACGCCATCGACGCGATACGCCGTCGTCGCGACGTCGGCCCCGTGACCGCGTCTGCTCGACTCGTCCGAATGGCCTCGATGGCGTGAAGGCGGCGCAGAGCTCACTGGTCCATATCCGCGCAGGTGACGGCGACCCCGAGGACCCCGAGGTCGTCAAGAAGGTCGCCAAGATGGCCGTCAAGAGCCAGCGGGACCCGCGGACGCCGCCCCACTTCAAAGCTGCTGGTTTAGCGTGGAAGTCGAAGCACCAGTTGGTGTGCAAGAAGGAGCTCCAGCAGGTCAAGGACGACATCATGGTACGGACTCGGCGTCCCACGTCGCCGCGACGCCGTCGTTTCGCGACGCGTCGTTCCCGCGCAGGACGAAGACGAGACCAAAGCGTTTGCTGCGAAGAAACTGGAGTCCGAGGTCGCCGAGAAGGAGTCGATCATGAAGCTGCGGGCGCGAGCGAGATTAGTCCGCAGACAAGCTGGTGGGCAGAAGGCGAACGACGCGGTTTCCGCTTTGAAAGATGACCTCCGGAAGGAGGCTAAAGAAGATGCGGCGACGCTGCGGGAGTTCAAGAAGGTCCACGCGGACGACATTGTGGAGCTCCTGAAGTGGCGCATCGCGACGCATGAACTTTTGAGGGATGAATGGCAGGCGATGTATGATCATGAAAGTAACGATAAAGTGTATTTGGTCGTGCTGAAGAAGGTGCGGCCGTCGGATGCGGAAGAAATGCTCAAGGAACAGAAGGCCGAACATGATCATAAAGTGGATTGTTCTTTGGCCGCGTTAAGCGCGGAGAACGCTCTGATTGCGATGATGCGGCGGGACATGGACTATCAACAGGAGGCGGACGAGGTCGTGACGGATGATGAATTTGAGAAGGACGAGGTCGTGTTTGCCGTGGAAGCGGCGGGCCCGGCGCCGGCCGATGGGTCGCGGCCTTCCTCTAGAAGGTCGTTTCGAGGCGACGGCGAGGACGCGTACGGCGGCGGCGGCGGGCGCGAGGCTTTGGCCAAGCGCAAGTCCACGGAGGAGCTGGCCGCGAAGGAAAAGCAGCGGCTCGAGACGGAGGAGGCGATCCGGCAGTCGCTCGACACGTTCGACGCGCCGGACGACTACTAGATTCGCTCTCTTGTGGTGTGTAATATCCTTTTGTTATTACTTGAGGAGGTCGTCGCCGACGAGGAACGATCCCAGGTGGCGCGCGAGGTACTCGTCGCAGAGGACGGCATGGTCCAGGCGGGCGAACGTCAAGGCGTAGAGGCGCTTCCAGAAGACCGGGAGGTGGTCGTCGAGGAGATACTCGAGCGCCCCGTTGTCGGTCGGCGTCTCGTGGTCCGGCGCCGGGAACCGGAGCGCGTAGTCCAGCGGCGTCTTGCCGGTGGCGTCCGCAAGATTAATGTCCGCGCCGAGGAGCAGGAGGCCGCGCACGACGTCCGTTTTGCCGATGATGCACGCGCCGTGGAGCTGCGTCCGCCCATGCTCCCCGGACTTGTGGTCGACGTGAACGCGCTCGAGGAGCAGCCGTCCGCACGCAGTCCGGCGGGGCTTCGCCGGGGGTAGCTCCACGTACCTCATGCATCCCCCGTCAAGATTTTGCCCCCCCCCCCTTTCGAGCCGAGCGTAGCGATACCTTAGGAGTCAGGATAGGATATAAATAGAGTCTATTAGAGAGAGAGAGGATAATATATATTAGAAATACTGACTAGTCGGATACATTCCGGAGAGACGATTCGTGGTTTGCGCGGACGTACTCGGACCATTCCGGGGTCCCGAACTCGTAGCGCTTGATGGCGCGGGGCTTATATGCAAATTTGTCGTGGGCGGTCGCCCGATAGCACTGGGTCATGTTGACGAGGTCGAAGTCGTACGTGCGGCCCTTACCGGCCTTCGTGTCGAGGCGGAGCGCCACCCCGTCGAGGCCGGCCGCGCGCGCCTCTTCGAGTGCGTAGGCCGTGCGCGCATCGATGCACTCAAACTTCGGCGATCTGCGGTCATTGGAGCCGTCAAAGCACCAGGGTGCTCTCCCGTAGAAAGAAATGGTCGGTGCGATAGTCCGAGCCGCGGCGTCGAGCGCGGTCTCGAACTTGTCGAGCGAACCATCGACGCGCTTGCCTTCGACGGCGACCGCGATCCAGCCCCGGAGCACGCCCGCGCCGTTGGGCGTTCTACCGTCGACGCTGAGCTTGTTCCAGCGGATCTTCTGAAAATCTGACCTGCCGAAGGTTACGTCCGCGACATGAACGTCGAAGAGGCGTTCGCAGAACGCCGCGACCTTCTCTACCCGCTTCGACGCGGGAACTCCCGTCCCGGGGAAACGCAGGCCGGTCCCCGTGAGGTCCAGTTCGCTTAGGTGTTCTAAGAAACCAAGCCCCCGCGGGAGCGGGCCGACCATGTCTTGGTTGCCCTTCAGGCTTATATTTTCCAAGAATTGTAGCTCCCGGATCGTCTCGGGCAATACGCCGTTCGCCTTGAGGTTGCTGAGGTCCAACTCGACGACGCGGCCCTTTCCGTTGGTTTTCACGCCACCCCATTTTACGAGGTTTTCGCCGCCCCAACCTTTCTTCTTCGACACCAGTAGCTCCGCGCAGCCGACCGCGTGCTTGACGTGAAGCAGCACGAGGCGGTCCCGGTCCTTCGCTAGGTCTATCCTGAAGGCCGCCGCGACTTCATCGAAATCGTAGCCCGCGTGTAGCAATGCGCCCGGGTCGTCGGTGTCCGAGCAGCCGCGCAGGTCGGACGCTTCGTAGCCGGCTTGCAGGATGCCAGAAAGTGGCAGGCCGGCCGCGGACAATTCGTCGGCGCTGAGGCCGGCGTCCTTGAGTTCGTGGGGTTCGAAGCAGGCCGCCGCGACGAGATCCGCTGCCTCGACGCCCTTGTCCCGAAAGTCTTTCGCTGTCTCGCCGGATGCCGCGGCGAGCTTGCCGATGCGAGCCGCGCGGTCGTGCTTCTCGAGGCCCATCTTCTCCAGGAGCTCGGTCGCCACGCGAACACAATTGTATATCGCGTGTCCCGGGAGACCTCTGCGAGCGACGAGCAGCTCGCGGTGGACGATCTGGACCTCCCAGACGTGTGGCGAGCCCCCGGTGAAGCGACCATTGATCATGCAGTCACGCCAGCCGCCGCTCGTGGGTTCCCGGACGAAGCGCTCCTTGATACGGACGATCTCGACCTCTGAATCCGCCGCGAGGCGCGAGAGCGCCTCGGCAGCGATGTTCATGTCGTCAACAACGATCATACACCTTACGACGTCGAAGATGCGCGAGCAAGTGCCTTGACAGAAAGCCTTCTCGACGATGCGCGACGTTTTCTTGAGCTCCGCTGGGGGGCGGTACCTCGCACCCTTGATGGTGTCTGCCAAGGATGACATCTGCTCGTCGAACCGTGCCTTGACCCGGCCCGCCGCAGCCACGAGCTCCGCGATGCTCTCGGTGCCCTGGGTAACGCTAGCCGCCGTCAGCGAGCGTCGTCGCACGGACGCCACAGCCGTCTCGTATGCCTCCAGGTCATCAGTTTTCTTCGCGATGCGATCCCACATAACCTTATAAACCGAGAGGAAATCGTCGTCGCCGGCGGCGATCGCCGCATCGCACATCGTGACGACACCGGGCCGCCCCGCTTGCGACGCGAACGCCTCGCGGACGTCGCGCATCGCCTCCTCGACGCTCTCCGCGAGCGCGCGGCGCGCCGCCTCGTCGTCGGGATTCTCGGCTGCCGCGCGGGACCGGTCCGCGAGCGCTTCGGGAGCCGCGATGGACGCGGACAGCGCATCTAAGCCCTGGAGCTCGGCGGGCAGCGACGACGTCGATTCTTCGGCAGACACATTCCGACGCAATGGATGCCGCGTCGGCCCCGCCTCGAGAGCGGCGATTCGCGCTTTCAACGCCTCATTCTCCGCCTCCAGGCGGTTCACGTGTTCCACGACGTCGCGCCGTGCCACGGATATCTCTGCTTCCGACATCTCCTGCACTCGACTCGCATCGATGGATGACGCTGCCCCCATGATGAGGCGGCTGGGCTGCCTCTTGTGGTCCTCTGGTCCAGCAGCGTGGGCTGCCCCGGGTATATATACAATTACACCATGTCCTACGTTGCGTGTGCCCTCGCAACTGCAGGAACACGGAGACTAAGCAGGAACACGGAGACTACAAGCTGACTGCAGCCAAAGACAACAGCTTCGCATCATATCTCGCGTCGAAATTGGAGCTAGCTGCTGTAAAGACACTAGCAAAAAAGGAGCTGGTGCATTGTACCTTCTGTAATACTTACGTACATGATACATTCATTCGCTACGAAGAGGAGTCCGAGTCCTCCTCAGCCCACATGCTCGAGGCGTCGCTCGCGACGGAGGACGCGTCGCCGGCATCTGGCACATCCTCTTCCTTGCGCGGTAGGATCTCGCCGGTCAGGAAAGACCCGAGGTGGCGCGCGAGGTACTCGTCGCCGGTCGCGTGGTTCGGCAGGCGCGCAAACGTGAGATCGACCGTTTGCTTCCAGCGCGCGGTGAGGTGGCGGTCGAACATCAAATTCAGCGCTGCTTTCTCGCGGCGGGCCTGGCCGGGGAGGGGCATTCCGTCTGGCCCCCGCTTGTACTTGTCGATGTCGAACCAGTCCAACCAAGCGCTACGGTCCGTGCGCAGCCCGCGCGCGGCGTCGAGCGGAGTCATACCCGTGGAGTCCGCGCAGAACGGGTCGGCGCCGTGGGCGAGGAGCACCTTGGCGACGCCCACCCGACCGGCTAAGCATGCGACGTGGAGCTGCGGTCAGCCAAAGTCCCCCACCTTTGCATCGACGTCGACGTGTTCCAGGAGCAAGCGGACACAGGCCGCGCCGTCGCAGGCCTCGTCGACGGCGGATTCGTCGTCAGAGTCCTCCACAAAGAACTCGATATACGGATATTCGACGTCGTAGTCTTCGATGTCCTCGTCCGCGGCGGCGCGACACGCGAAAAAGAGCGGAGACATGATGGGGAGATGGCAATCGCGTTCAGAGACATGCAGCCGATGGTCGCCGCCCGGAGCATGGACCGTGATCATGAGCATCGCGTGAACGCTCGCACCGTGCTCGATCAACACCTGCGCCGCCGCGTGATACCCAAAAAACAAGGCGTGATGCAGTGGGGTCCAGTTTCTCTTCCCCTGGGCGCTACCTTGATGCGGCTCGTCCACGGCCGCGCCGCGCTCGACGAGCATTTTTACGAGGTCCGTGTGCCCGCGACCGCTCGCGATGAACAGTATGCTCTCGAAGCAGCCGTTCATCGCGTGTTCGATTTTCACGCCGGCGTCGAGGCATTTTGCGACCGTGGCGGCGTCCCCAACGTTCGACGCCTGGATGATCAAATTATGAGGGCTCTCCAGCGGCGAGCAGTACGCCTTCCCGTTCGGCGCGAACGCTGGGGTCCCGGGGTACCTCCGGACGCGCTCGAGCGGCACCGCCTCCGCCACGCGGCCGTCGCCGTAGCGCACGTCGTACGTCGCAGGCTGGATAGGGGCCCTCTCGGGAGCCCGCCGGATGAGCACGACCTCGCCGACCGACGACGGCTCGCTCCATCGGCCCCACTCTTCGCTCGTCTCCTCGCGCGTCTCGACGCGGGCGCCCACGGCGTAAATTCCGTCCGCGCGTTTCTTGAGTTCATCGATCTCCTTCCGCAGGGCGATTTTTGTCTTCGTCTCGGCTAAGAGACTCTGGCGCAGGCGCTCCTGGTGCGCCTGCTGCTCGGCTGTGAGGTCTTCGTCCATATTGGGCCCTTCTAGTGCAGCTCGCTGCTCGGCTGAGGGTTCGAGCAAATGGTGCCTTGTTGTGCAGATATCACTACCGCCCCCTACACGTGATGCCAGCGGTGGCAGCGGTCGCTCAGTGAACGATGGACCACAGACGCGAGCCTGCAGGCTATCTTATGGCGATTACGCTGCGTATGCGCCCCACAAAGTCGCGTCTAAGACGTGTGCTAGTGTCTTACAGGCCGCTAGCTAGCATCGCGCATTGGTGGGCAAAAAAAAGGCTGCTCGTGCGTGCGAACAGCTGCATTCATATTGGCATAGTGCGCAGGGATGCCGCGACCACTCCTGCGGGGACTCCTGCTATGCCTGGCTGCCAATGGCCTGCAGCCACTGGCACTCATCACGCGGCGCCGGACAGGCCGCAGCGGTGCGAGGGCATCCGTGCGCAGCAGCAATGATGCGAGACGTCTGGCATCCGTGCGCAGCAGCGATGAAAAACGGCCCAACCTCGCGCGCACGGCGAGCGCCGCCGCATTGGTCGCCGGCACGACCGTCGGCGGCGGCTTCCTCGGGCTGCCCGCGGTCGTCAAGCCTGCTGGCTTCGTGCCGACCGTCGTGACGCTGACGGCGTCCTGGCTCTTCTTGCTCGCGGAAGCATTAGTAGTCGCCGAGGCTGTCGGGCGGTGCCGCGGGAGCGCTTCGCTGACGACAGTAGCAGAGACCGCCGGCGCGAGCAAACTCGCGGTGCGGGGTTTATTCTTCGCGCTCGTAACAGCAACGCTTGCATCTCAGCTGAGCAAGGCCGGGACGCTCCTCCCAAACCTCTCGTACCGCGCGGCGACACTCGCAGCCGCGGTCGCCGCTTGCCTCGCTGCGCTCGGCCCCTCAACAAAGCGTGCGGCGGACCTGAATGCCGTTTTGACCGCTGTGTTCGCCATAAGCGCAATCGGCGTCGGTCTGACCGCGACCACCGCAATCGAGTCGGGCGCGCTCGCCTTCGACGCGTCACGACTAGCCATCACGAATGCGGCCGCGGCGCGGCGGTCGGTTCCGACGATCCTCCAGCTACTCGTATTTGCGGAGACTGTGCCCACGGTCAACGAACTGCTCGACGGCGACGCCCCGCGCATCCGGGCGGCGCTCACGTTTGGCTCGCTCGCGCCGCTGGTCCTCGAGGCGGCCTGGGCTTGTTTAGGATTAGGCGTGATCACTCGCGGCGACCCGTTCGAACACCTGCTGGGGTCGGATCCGACACGACTGTGCGCCATCCTGCTCGCCGGCTCGGCCGTCGCGACGACGGCGCTCGGTTCTATATTGGCGCTGAAGTCCGACGTCGCGCCGACGGCATCCCGGCCGCGCCGTGCAGCGTTATACGCGACGCTGCCGGCCGTCGCCGTCGCGCTGACGTCGCCGGAGGTCTTCTTCAAGGCGATGGACTTCGCCGGGGCGTATCCAGTGGCGATCCTCTGGGGACTCTTCCCGCCGCTGGCGTGTCTGAAGTTGCGGCGGACGACGTCTGGCGCGCGGTCGGCGGGCCCCGACGCGTGGCTCGTGGTCCTCGCGGCTGTATCTGGTCTTTTTGTCGCGTCGACGGCGGCGAGAGATTTGCGGGGGTTGTTTAGACTGTTGTTTTAACGTCGCACGACTAGTTTTTAGCTAGCGGCTGTAAGACACTAGCAATATGCAAGGCGCCGCCGCGGCACGCAGCTCTAGGGCCCTCAGGCGACCGCAGAGCTAGCGGGACACATATATATACAGCATAAGTCACTGCAGCCAAAGCGCTCGCATCCCTGCGGCACCAGCGGCAGCGGGAGCTTGCCTCCAGGGAGACAGCCACTTGACAGCAGCAAGCGCGGCGGCGCAGCGCCAGCAGCCAAGAGACAGCAGCAGCAACAGCTAAAAAAAAGATGGTCTACGGCATCGTCACCATCGGCCCGGCCGGCGTGGGAAAGACCACCATGTGCCACGCGCTCCAAATCCACGGGAGATTACATAAGCGCGGCATATACGTCGTGAATCTGGACCCGGCGGCGGACACGCTGCCCTACGAGCCCGATATCGATGTGCGAGAATTGATAAGGGTCGAGGACGCGATGCGGGAATTTGGGTATGGCCCCAATGGCGGTTTAATATACTGCATGGAGTACCTCGCGATGCATTTGGAATGGCTGGAAGACAAGATTTCGGAGTTTGGGGAGGATGACACGTTGCTGTTCGACTGCCCCGGCCAAATAGAGTTGTATACGCATCTGCGGGCGATGCCGCAATTGGTAAGAGCATTGCAGGAGTCTTGTCATGTCAAATTATGCGCCACGTTTCTCGTCGACGCGGTGTCCATCGACCAGCCGGCGAAGTTCGTCGCCGCGGCGTTGGCGGGCCTGTCGGCGATGCTGCAGCTGCCCGTGCCGCACGTGACGGTACTATCGAAGAGCGACGCGTTGGGGGACGAGGCGAAGCTCGAGGCGTTTCTGGAAGAGGGTAGCGCGGTGTTGTTCGTGCGGAACCAGAACCAGATCAGAGATGAAGAAGGACGGACGCCGAATAGGAGTCACGATCGACTCCATGACGCGATCTGCTCGGTGCTGGACGACCACGCGATGCTTTCCTATGTCCCGTTCACGGTCAAGGACGAGGACGCGGCGGCGCACGTCCTCGCCTTTTGCGACCACCTGACGATGTACTCGGAGAATGCCGAGGTGAACATCCCGCGCGACCTGGATGGGGACTCGGGGATTGATCCCTCCGTCAGTTTCCCGGGGCTCGGGTAATTTGTCTCGGTACTAGATATGACTCGAATCCGCGTCGATGGTGTCTCCTCGCGCGTCTGCTCGATGGCGTGGAGGCTCTACGCCATCGACGATCCGTGGAGGCTCGCGTGTAGCGAATCTTCTTACTTGCTTGGTCTTGGGGGGAATGTGGGCGCATCTACTCGATGACGAGCTCCGCGAAGGACACGGAGTACTCCGTGCCTTTCGACAGCCAGCCCTTGCTCTTGGTGGCGGTCACCTCGTAGAGGTCCGGGCGGTTGACGAGGTACTCCCCCAGCGCCGTCGTGTGCGACTCGAGGTCGGCGAAGCGCTCCTTGTCCGTGAGGCCCGCGAAGGTCTGGTACAGAGCTTCGTCGGCGTCCGTGGAACCAGCACAAACGATCTTCGCCGCGGCCGGGCTGAGGATCTCGCAGGCGAACTTGGCGACGCGCTTGACGGCGACCTTGGCGTTGTCCGTGTCCTCCGTGGCGCCGCGCGTCGACGCGCGCGCGAGGCCGAAGCCCCAGCCGCTCAGGCGCGTCTGCGCCGCCTTCTCCGAGCCGTCTCTCTGCAAGGCCCGCAGGAAAGTTTCGATGCAGCGGCGGCGCACCTGCGTTTGTCGATACGTGAGTTGAGTACGATGCATCGTCGATAGCGTGATGTGTATCCCGGCGTCGATGGCGTCAAGCGCACGACATCGCCGCATCCGAATCGAAGAGAGGACGCCGCGTACGACGTCGGGCTGGCGCAAGGCCGAGAGGGGCAGGCCCCGGAACGTGAGCGGCTCGAGCATGGCGGCGCCCATGGTGGCCTGGGCTCTGTACCCACCTGTGTGGAACTCATTTTACCGCGCGTTCGACGCACCCGACGCACCGGTTGATTCCACACAGGCACGCACCGAAGTCGTTGAAGAAAACGCGACACTCGTGGAGGATCTTCTCCGAGAGCACGGCCTCCTTCTCGACGGTCGCCGCCTCCTGGTCCTTCACGGTCGCCGTGCCGGCCTTGGCGACGACGCGCGCGCCCTTGCGGTCGCAGAGTTCCGCGGCGGAGCCCGGGAGCGACGCGCGGCGCGGCGTCGCCGCGTGGCGCAGGGGCTTCATCCACTTGACGACCTTGCAGAACTGGACGCGGACGCAGCCGATCTCCTTCGCAAGGCGGACGTCGGCGCTCGACACGGACGAGCGGGCCCGCTTCGGCTCGGGCTCGTCCTCGTCGACGTTGTGGCTCCCGAGCGACCGGCGCGCGGCGGCCGCGCTCCCGAACTGGAAGGGCCACGAGCTCTCGGTGTCGGCGAAGAAGCCCCGGACCTGCGCGGGCGGCCCTCGGTGACGCCGTCGACGCGAAGGTTTTGCGACGCGGCCGCCGCGCCACGTACTCCGTCTCGCCGGGGCCGAACCAGAAGTAGTGGTCCGGGACTGAGGTGTCCACCCCGTCCTCCGCATCGCCCTCGACGGCCGCCGACGTGTAGACCGTGTCCGGCTCGCCGCGGTCGACGTAGACTCTAGCCCCGTAGGACACGCCGTCCGGCGGCGGTCTTAACAGGGAGCACTTGACCTGGAACTTGACGCCCGGTTCCTGCGTGCGGGACGCGTCTCGCCGACGCCGTCGATGCGAATATGGAAAAGACGCGGGGCCAGACGGCGCAGTAGTAGGCGAAGGTCGCCGTGGCCTCCTCGTCCTCGGAGGCCTCCTTCCAGTAGGAGATCGGGAGCAGGGTCTCGGGCTTGTCGTCGCCGCCGACCACGAGCTTGGCGGAGAAGAACTCCTTCGCCTCGTCGACGTTGACCTGCTTCTTCGCGGTGTGGCTCTCCGCGGCGCCCATTGTGTGAGTGCTTCGCGACGAAGGCGTGCGCTGAGGATAATCTGAAGCCTGCGCGGCGCGGCGCTGAACGACGGGACCACGACCCGGCGCAAGGCGACGCGATCGGCGCCGCGGAGACGGCGCGCGCGGACGGCGCGGGCAGTGGACGCGACGCCAGGCGGTCCCCGCGTCCCTGGCGGCCCACACGCGCCGTTCAAGCTGCCTGGCACCGAGCGCGCGCAGGGCTATATCTCTGCGTAGGAGGCGCCAAAGTTCGCGGCGCTGCGTCGCGCAGTGATTTCAGTGAGTCCACTACGCGCTGCGACGGCGCGCGGCGACCCCTATGGGCTGTGGGCGTCGTATGCGCGCTGCCAATGCGCAGAGCGGACCGAGACGCGGAGCGGTGCCTCGGGGGTCGAGCTTGATAGGTCCCGGCAGACCTACCCCGGCCAAGACGCCATCGCCGCGCCCGGACGAACTATCAGCCGGCTGAAGGCCAGGCGTTGAAGCTAACACACACAGCTGACCTTACGACACGACACACCCCCCCTGCTCCCCGCTCACATCCCGCCCGGCCCTCCTCGCGCGCGCCTTCGCCTTCAGTCGATCGACGACGTTCTGCTTTTCTTGCCGCACGGCGTTCATCGCCGCCGCGTCGTTCCTTTCTTCCTGGGACCGGATCTTGCGCTCGAACCATTTCGTCGTCGTCGTCTTCTCGCCGTCGCGCGTTCTGTTGGTCTGGAAGACGGGGTCCCTTTGGACGGTGTCGCCATCCCCATAATGCCAGGCGTTCCACGTGTCGCCGTCGACGCCGGAGCCCCCTCCTGGATACGCATGCGGCGCCGTCGGTGATTTCCTGATAGACGTGGGGCGCTTGGCCAGAGGCGACGTGGCGTTGCCGATCTCAGCGTCGTACCTGTGTGGAAATCAAATTTTACGGCGCGTTCGTGCTGAATCGTCGCGTCGTCCTCCACGCCATCGACGCGACGCTTGCTCGATGGCGTGGCGATGTCGGTTCCTCACCGCTCGACGGAGCCAGCACGGCCGCGTCGTCGCCGTAAAATGACTTGGTGAAGAATTATCGGGTGCACCCGACACACTGGTTGATTTCCACACAGGGTCGTACGCGCGTCGCGCGCTGTCGTCTGTCAGCGTCGAGTGCGCATCCACGAGCCGCTGGAAGCGCGCCACGGCCGACGCGTCGCCCGGGTGCAGGTCCGGGTGGCTCTCCTTCGCGAGGCGGCGGAACGCGCCCTTGACGTCGGCCTCGGAGGCGTCGTAGGCGATCTCCAGCGTGCGGTAGTGGTCCCGTCGTCTTGCGGAGCCGCGGTAGTGGCGTCGCGCGCGCCTGCTGTTTCGTGCCGTGGAGGTGGTGCAGACTGTCAGTGCTGCAGGTGCTCTATACATCCTCGGCAAGGGCGTGCGTGCCAGCTGCGATTCGTACAGTATCCAGCGATGGAGAAAGCGACTACTAACGGGCTGGTTGGCCCAGCGAGGCGATTTTTGGTGCCCGTGCACGCGCCACCAAGCTAGCGGCGCGTAAAGACACTAGCAAAACTAATTCGGCCACTTATACTCAGGAACCGTACGAAAGACCAGAGTCCGACCCCTCGTCGGGGCAGGTACGTGGTCAGCGCAAGGAACGGGAACGAGCGTTGCATTCAAAAGTGGAAGAAGAGCGGCCCATGGTCGTGGATCGGGACGGCGGGCGCTCGCCTGGCGAGCTCCGCGGCGAAAAAGCCGTCGGCCGCGTGGAGACGCCCCTGCGACGGCTGGGGCTTGCCATCTTCAAAGAGGCCGACGGCGAACGTCACGTTGCGCATCGCCGACGGCCGCACGAGCATGCACCCCAGGTCGATCGCCGCAATGCGAAAGGCCACTCTCTGGAATCTTTTGAGAAGGTGGCAGAAGAAGTCCACCGCGGTCGACCCGACGTCCGGGCGCGCGTTGAACACGGCGAGCTGGTGCCGGAAGAAGTCGACGTGGTAGATGTTGTCTCCATTGGTAACATGGATGAAGTCGCAGCCGCCTCGCCGGCGCATCTCGAGGAGCCACAGGTCCGTCAGGATGTAGCCAAAGACTTTGATCTTGACGCCCCAGCGTCGCCTGAAGGCCGCCTCGGCGCGCTGGTAGCGATCGTCGAAGCGCTCGTGGATCTCGAAGCTGCCCGACGCGTTCTGATCAACGCACGACGCCTCGAACGCTACGCGGCGGCGGAAGCAGGGCGACAGCGGGAGCCGCCTATCCGTGTTGGCGAGGTGCACCTCCAGGTCCACCGGCGTCCCGGCCGCGCGCGCGGCCGCCCGCATTGTCTGCAGCATCGTACCGATCACGCTCTTGTGGCCATCGTAGCTACGGACGTATGCGCAGATGCGGGTCGCGTTCTGCGCGTGCGTCGCTCCAGCCCGCGCCGCCGCCGCGTCTAAGTCCGCGGGTCGGCCGCACGCGCAATTGCCGCCGACCGGCCGGCACGTCACGCCGCGGGATCCTTGCCGTCCTACGTTCAGCCTGTCGTCGCACCCGCCGACGTGATGGTCCGTGGGACACGCCACCTGTCCGTACTTGGCCTTCTCGGCGGCGGAGATATTCACGCAGCCGAAGCTGCGGCCCTCCCCTCGGCCGTGGTCGCGGAAGTGGTCGAGGAGCGCGCCGACGTTGCAGCCCTTCTTGCAATAGTGATACTCGAGGTCCGCGTAGTTCTTCGCGTAGCACGTGGCGTTCTCGGCGCGCGCTTGCTCCGCGGCCGCGTGCTTGCTCTTTTTACGGAGCTTCCACTCGCGCCGGTGTTGGGCGACGCGTTCTTTGTGGGTTGTGTGATTGACGGCGTGCGTGTGATTGACTCCGTCCAAGCGCCTTCGACGGGCGTCATCTCGTCGCCGGAGTCTCGTCACCTCCGATATATTCACCTGAAACGAGCCAAGTCCCGCGCGGCAGGCCGGCGGTGACGCGGCGACGACGGCCGCGACTGCGGCGAGGGCGAGGCTGGCGCGCCACATGTGGGCTTGCGAGAGCAAGTTTCAACTCAAGATTTACAACTGAGCCCTTGCACGCGGTCTTGTCTCAAAATGGATGGAGTAGAAGTATTTCCGCCCGCTGGCGGTTGCGACAACGAGGGACTGGGGACCAGGGCTCGCGAGACCGTAAATTGTTAGCTAGAGTGCTAAGACACTAGCCAGGCCGGGAGGGTACGGGGAACCCTGCGACGTAACTAGCCTCAGCCTCGGCCAGAGGACGCTGTTATGAAAGAAGCGGCACGCGCCCGCCGCCGATGAATCGGCGACGCGCGGTGTTAACCCCACTAGTCCTAGCACCGTAAACATGGATACTAATTCGGCCACTTATACGACTAGGACCCATATGATAGCCCGGAATCCGACCCCTCGTCGGGCTTCGCCGTGAACGCCTTCCACCCCAAATACGTCGTCAGCGCCAGGAACGGGAAGGCGCCGCAGAAGATGAGCGGCTCGACGGGGTCGCCGACGACGCCGTGCCACGCCAATTTGCACCACCGCAACACCATCTGGATGTAATTTGGATAAAAATTCAAATGAGCGTTGTAGAAGGACACCATCAGCACCATCGTCGATGTTAACAGACTGGCAGCGAATCTGTTCATCTTCCGCGTACTTTCACCTTCTTCCGGCTGCGGGATCGCGTATTTGAGAGCTACGGCCCCCAGCCACGACAGCAGCCCGTTCAGGAAGGACAGGCGACAGGTCAAATATTCGAACTCGTGGTTCGCCTGCAAGAACCCCATAGCAGTATCTCGCCCTACTAACGTTTTGACGGCGTGGGCCGTGCCCTCGCCTGAACTCAGTAACATGGTACCTGTCACCGTGGAGACAAATACACAAAGCACCTCGCAGGCGAAACTGCCCACTAATAGGACTTTGATCATCTTCTTCGCCTGGCGGACCCACTTGTGGTCGGCTTCGCGCGTGACCAGCGATTCGTCGTCCTTGTACTCCTGGGACGTGGCCATGACCGCGCCGGCCACGAGGGCCGCCGGCGCGCCGAGGTTGCAGGTCCAGTCGAAGGCCCCGGTCGCGACCTCGAAGACGTCCGCGGCGCTCGCCTTCACGGGCGCATGGCGCGGCGTTCGCTTGTGTTGTAGCGTGAGCCGCGGCCCCGTGAAGGCCTGGGTGGCTGCAGCTATCAATGCGGTGCGCACGAGCATGGTTTTGCAGCCACTGCCTCCCTGGCTCCAATAGACAAGCTCGTACGACTGGCGGCTGGGGTTTCTCTTGCCGGATGCCTGCTCAGCTATAATTGGGGTACGCTCGCAGCCTCCCGCTGACCTCCTTCGCGCGCAGCGATGCTGCCAATGTGCTATCAGCTCTGAGAGCAAATGCAAACCTTGATGCGAGGAGGCCCGCCTGGCAGCAAGTTCACGGCTCGTCGTATGGCAGTCGACCCCTCCAGGGCTGCTGGATAGGTAACTCGTGAGGCGTTCTAGCGGTCTGTAAGACACTAGCAACAGCAAGCCTATGCCTTTGTGCAAAGAGCTATCGCATTGATGCACCAGACGCAGCTTTGGCACGAGCATCGTGACCTTTAGGCAACACAGCAGCTGTGCTCCGATCAATGTGGCGCGCGAGGCATGTGGCGTCATGTGCCGCTGCTGCCTGGATCGGCAGCCGCGCGTCCGCGACGCCAGGACACCCTGCACTCAAGCATGGCACTCCAATAAGCCATCGCACGCGCTACGACGAAAACTACGTGGTGCATTTTGACCAGCGAGCGCGAGACCCTTTGTGGGTGGTCGAGCGGCTGACGAAGCAGCGGCTCGACGCCGAGGCCGAGCACCCGCCAGGCCGCCGTGACGCGCGCTATCTGGAGGCCGCAGACGTGCCTGCCCGCCTGCGGTCGCGGCTCGCGCACTACAAGCACAGCGGATTCGATCGAGGCCACCTCGCGCCGGCGGCGGATCACCGCGGCTCCAGAGACGCTGTGCAGTGCCGAGGCGGCGTCCTCGATTGCGTCGATGGCGTCCCGGAGAAGCGTCAACCTCCACGCCATCGAGCAATGTCTCGCGCAGGTCGACGTTCTACCTCGACAACATGGCGCCGCAGGATAGTCTTCTCAACCGAGGACCCTGGCTGAAGCTTGAGGAGCTCTGCCGGAGCGTCGCTCAAGTCGCCGACGAGGTCTACGTCGTTTCAGGGCCGCTATTTCTGCCCGAACGAGAAAAGGACGGTCTGCGCATGCGGCATCGTGTGCTCGGCAGCCCGCCGAGCGTGACCTGGGTCCCGTCGCATTTTTTCAAGGTGGTGCTCGCCGAGCGAGGTGGCGTTTCGTACATCGGCTGCTTCGTTTTACCGAACGGGAAGTGCGACGACGACCTCTCAAGATGGCTCGTACCACTGGAGAACTTGGAAGCCGCCGCAGGACTGATTCCGTTCCCCGACGCGCTCACCGACGAAGCCGCGCGCGACGCCCTCGCCGCGGCGGAGGCGCACTGGTGCCCGCGCGGCGCCGGCGTCAATGCCGGCGTCGCGCGCGAACGGGCCGACATTCGCCATCTCTGCGACCTCCTGCCCGCAAACGCGCTCGCCGCGCGGAAGGCGCTCCCGCCGTAGCGGTTGTGAATGTAAAGATACGGTTGTGTGGATGTTATGCGTCCAGGGGGAGGAGGCGACAAGGGGGTGGCCTACGCGTCGTCCGCGCAGGGCGGGCACTCGTTTTGACCACTTTTCCCGTGGCCGTAGCGGCAGTCGGCGCCCCAGGAGCACGCGCCGCCGGCCAAGGCCCGGTCGTGGCTGAACTTGCAGTCGTCGCCGTTCTTGCACATGTCTCGGAGGAAGTAGCAGCACACGACGGCCTTCGGGTCCTTGCCTGAAAAGTTCCGCGGGACCTTCCGCTGCGGCGGCTTCTTGAAGCCCACGCGCGGCTGGGGGAAGTTCCGCTGGTATTTCTCGTTCTTCTCGCGCGACTCCGTCCGCACGGGGAAGAGCTTCTTCTTGCGCGGTTGTTCTGGAGAGTCTCCTTTGCCCCGGTTGGGGTGCTCGTAGAAGCCCCTCCCGCGGCCGCGCCCGCGGCCGCGGCCCTGGGAGCCTCGCTGATACCCGCCTTGGTAGAACGCGTTCTGGTGCGTCGGTGGGGCAAGAGGAGGCGGCACGAACAATTGGGGCACGAATTCGCCGTTCTGCACCGTGAGCTGCGTCGGCGCCGTGCCGTCGTCAACAGCGAGGCACCGCAGGAAGCAGACGTCCGGCCTGGATCTAGCGTCCGCTACCACTGTCTTCGCATGGGGTTGGACTGTTTTTAAGGCCGTGCCCGCGTCGTCGAGGACACCCAATCGCAACGCTAGCACTTCATGAGCGCCTCTAGCAGCCGCATGTGCTGGCGGTTCTCCGAGTCGCGCTCTTGAAGCCCTAGGTAAGCCGACAACGAGCCTACCTTCGACGAGATGCGCAGCCAGCAGCACCCTCAGATCAGCTAACGGTTGATTAGCGTCACCTCTGAGAGTAGGCAGTAGTGGCGCACAAGCAGCCAAGTCCGGGCAGGACTGCTCGACGAGCGGCGGAGCGTCGTTCCGCACGACAGCCAACCCTTGAGCTTCCAAGAACGCACTTAACTCCAAGCGAGCTAATTCTTTGCCAAATTCATCATCAGACGCGTCCGTAGCCCGCGCCAGCACGGACCAGGGCACGGCGCACGGCGCCGCGTTCGCGACCGGCGCGAGCTCCCGCCCGACGTCGCACAGCTGCTCCATCTCTTTCTTCGAACCCAGCAGTAGTAGGGAGGGCGCCGCGATGTCCTCGAAGTGCTCGTTGACTAATCTAACGTCCGTCTCCGCCGTCAAGGGCGTGTTCAGGGCCTCGCGGCCCCAGCATTCTACTCTCACACCACCCTCGCCTAGTCTAGCAGACAGTTCGCGCTCCGCACCCAGAGGATCGTTCGCGTACTTGTGCGGGTCGCACTGCAGCACGAACGTGCCCACCCAGGAGCCCCGTTCCTTCCGTAACGCTACACTGTCGAGAGGCATGTTCCTAGGTCTATCCGGACAAGCACACCCGGGCATGTGCGCGTGGACGCGCTGCCCGCAGGCCCAGGCCCGCGCCTCGCCGGCAGCTACCGGCGAGAAGAAGTGCTCCTGCTGGACGTAGGCGGACTCCTTGACCTGTGCGGGATACCGTCTCGCGTCGCGTCGACGGCGTCCGGGGCGACCGTACTCTCTCGTCGCGCCGCGTCGACGGCGACGGGCACGCGTGCAAAGAGGACGCCGCGTTCGTACAGGCGGTCGGCGCGGCTGCTGGGGCATCGGAGCTTGCACAGGTGGCGGCGGCGGCGGCGGCGCGGGCGGCGCCGCCGGCGGCGCGGGCGCCGGGGCGGCCGGGCCGATGCCGAAGGTCGCCAGTCGGTCCAACTGCGCGCGCCGCTCCGAGTTCTCCGAACTTCCATCAGTACTTTCAGGTGTGGTCTCAGAAACAGGAGCGGCGTCCGACGAGTCGGGCGTGACCGACGGCGTCTTGGACTTGGCTTGCGCCGGCGGCGGCGGCGCGCGGCGCAGTTCCATGGGCTTGGACGATCTAGCTTCGCTCAAGCGCGCCCCGTCGCGCGACCACCTTTCTTGCTTCGGCGGGAGTTCGATGACCGTCCCGGTAGGGACCACATCTCTGGCGTTCGCGCGGCCGTGGTTGTCTATGAGCGTAAATTCGACCTCGGACCCTTGTTCCAGCGAAAGGAAGTCCTCACAATCGCGACTGCGGAAGTGGACGTGGAACTCGCGCGCGTTCGCCTTCGTCGATTTATGTCTCCTGAGAAATCCGAAGCCGCCGTCTCCACTATCATAGTATTTTAGAGCATCGACGACGCCGATGAGCCGGTCCTCCTGGTTGTCGACGCGCTCCTGGGGCTCGGCGTGGGGGATGACGCCGGCCATGGTTCTTGCGCTGTTGTTTATTTGGTCGGTGCCTCCCCGCCGGGTCGCGCGCGCGCGCCGTCCGGCGGCTCTCTGGCCCTGCGAGAGAGTGCCTGCTCGCCCGAAGCAGGCTAGTTGCGGTCTCGCGCCGCTGTTTTTTGTGGGAGCGCTTTAACGCACACCTCTGGCGAGCTCCGAGCGCTGTCACACAGCCACCGGGTGCGCTGGCTGGCTGCTTTCGGCCAGCGACTGTGAAACTTTGTGGAGGGGAAATGCTAGTGTCTTACAGGCCGCTAGCGTGCCGAAACGCGACCTCTCCGCCAAAGACCTCTGCCCCAGCCGTCGCGAGGCCTGTGGGGACGCGTCGGCGCCGGGGGCAGAGATGCTCGCTTCGAAGCGCCAGCAAAGCCAGCACACGTAATTCAGGGGCCAACGCGTCCCTCGAACATCCCTACAAACAGTCGGCGGTGGGAAGCCTAGCCCCGGAGGCGTTGGTTTCTAGCCTACAATGGGCAAGGGCTCGCACGATCCGCAAGCAAACGAACCGGCCAAGCTAGCCGCGCGGACGCTGACGATGAAGCGCAGCGCGTCGCGCGATTTATTGGGGGACGCCCTGGACTGCGCCGCCTCATGCATCGACGCCGCGGCGCTGGACGCGTACCGTTTAGATTATGCCTCGTCCGCGCTCGGCGTCCCGTTATCCGGACACTTCTTTACACTGCGTTTGCGTTTCGTTCGCACTCCCGCCGAGCTCTCGAGGCGTCGCCGGCGTGCCACGGGGCACGGAGAGCCACGGAGACGCCAAATCTCTGCAAAATCACACACCCGTGCCACGCCGCCAGCAAACCGCCAAAAAAAAAAACGCAGGTATCGATTGGGAGCGATGCGCGGCGCGAAGGGCGAGCAGCCGTCGGCCAACGACGACAAGGCCGCCATGATTCAAAGAGAATATGAGCTCACCGAGGCCCTCAAGAAGAAGACGGAGGAATTACATGCGGCCCAGCGCCAAGTGGAAGAATTGACGAGGGCTACGAGAGATCTTGATGCCGTGCGGGCGTCCTTCGCCACGGCCGATGCGGCTCTCGATCGCATCCAATTGACGGCGAGGAATAACCTCCGGGAGCGCATGGAGTCGCGTCGCACGAAGCGCGTCGCTCGCGTCGAGAAGGCCACCTCACAAGTAGCGAAGAACAGCGCCGCCGGACCCATCGAAGGCTCCTCATACAGTTTCACGACGGGCGCGCCCGTCACGACGGAAGTGCTCGTCGCGAGAGGCGTCGTCGCGGCGCCGGAGCAGGCCGCCTTCGAGATCGTGCCGATGGCCTCGGCGTCGAGCCCCTTATTCGTCTTCACGGACGAGACCGTCAACAGCCTGTACGGCGACCGCTTCATTAGTGGATTTGAGCGCATGGGCTTTGTTGTCCATAGGATCGTGATCCCCGACGGCGAGGACGCGAAGACGCTGGAGGTCTACGCTGAATTAGCCGATCGCGTCTTGACCGTGGGCATTGATAAACTCTCAATCTTGATCTCGCTGGGAGGTGGGGCCGTCGCGAACGTGTGCGGCTTCATCGCGTCGACGTTGCATAGGGGTATTGGCCTCATCCACTTCCCGACTACCTTACTCGCCCAGTGCGACGCCGCCATCAGCCATAAACAAGCAGTCAACGCGCCGCACGGCAAGAATTTGGTCGGGAGTTACTATGCTCCGATCCGCATCGTCGTCGACCCTGATGTCTTGCAAACTCTAGATGACTGGTTGCTGCCGGACGGCATGGGCGAGATCGTCAAACACGCTCTCTGTCAGGATGCGACTCTGCTGAAGATGCTGGACGAGTACGACGGTCCACTGACGGATCCCGCCTTCTTGGAGCGGGTTGTTCGTCGAACGATCGAGTTGAAGTGTCAGGTTATTGATATTGATCCCAAGGAGAAGCGCGAGGCGGTGGTGCTCGTGTATGGGCATACGCTCGGCCATCCCATCGAGGCGATTTCGCATCGACCGGGGAGTCTCTGTTGCTTGTCGCACGGGCAAGCGGTCGCGATTGGCTGCGTCGTCGCGGCGCGCGTCGCCGTGAAGATGGGTCTGTGTGATCATGCTGTGATACAAAGAACCGTGGACCTATGCAAGAAGTACGAGCTGCCTACGGTGGTTCCTGCGGATCAGTCCGTCGATAGAATTATGGCGAAACTACCGTACAACAAGACGTGGACGCAAGAAGGTACCGTGATGGCTCTACTGGAGGACATTGGCCGGTTATTTAATGTCGACCAGTCGTATCTGCTACCCGTGTCGGAGTCCGTTATTAGAGAAGCTGTCACGGAGACGATGGCGCCCCCGGGCACCGTGATCAGAGGTGCCGGTAGTTCGGGCTTCTTACGCAGAAACAAGGTCTCGGCGAACGACATCCTCGAGGCGGCGGACAAGCCTATTCCTGGCTCTGGTTGGGACAAGAATAGCGCCGTGCCGCACGCCTGTTAATGCTCACAGACAGAAAAGCCCTCCCTCCCCTCCCCCCCCCACCAACCACATACCCTGGTGCGCCTACCAAGGCGCCTCCGGCCTCAGACGACGCTATATACCGCTGAAAGCAAAATTCCCCTCCCGCGTCCGATGGGGGCCCCGACCCGGCTACACGCCGGTGCGGAGGTGTTAATAACTGGTTTTGATTATACTACTGTACGTGCGCACGCGGCGACGGGCGTCGCGGCATAAAAACGATGTCACGTCGATGTCTAACGTCGATGATGAATGATGGAGAAGGAATGATGAATTTTCGTGAATTCAGAGCGCCTCGCTCAGGACCCAGGCACTGAGGAGATGCCAGAGGCCGTGCGTGACGAGGTAGGAATTGTAGCGGCGGCGTTTCCGGCACGCGATCGCCACGGCGAAGAGGACAAACGCGGTGGCCGCCGGCCAGACTGGCGCGGACCGCGCCGCGGCGGCGCCCACGGCGCTCGCGAGGGCGATGTCGCACCGGCTGAGTCGGTGCGTCCACAGAGGTCCGCGGAGGCAGCAGCAGCCCGTCTGGACACTGTGGAAAATTGTGGAGACGGCGGCCAGCGCCCCGACGCCCAGACGCGGCCAGCCCTGCAGCGACCACGCGGCCACGACGTAGGCGACATTCGTCGCTAGGAACACAAAGCGAGCCGACCGCCCCAGCCCGGTCGGCGCCCACTCGCAGACTGTGGCCGGCGTCGCTACGAATCCGAACGGTCGCCGGAGGCGCTGTTGCCGTAACGCGTGGCCGATATGGCGCACTTCGGGCGTCCACTCGTCCAACACGCACGATATGGAGATCTCATGTGCGTTGTTGATCAGTCCGGGGGCACACGTGAGCCAGGCGCACCTAGCAGCGTGCCGCCCGTCCGACGCGAAGAGATAGAAGCAGCCGAAGAAGAGGCTACACCCCCAGAGCTTGCCCGTCACCGAGTGGTACGCGGCGAGCCGCCCGAACTTTGCGTAGGCCACCGCCCACTGCAACAGATGCGACAGGACCGTTGCGAGGATGAGCGGCAGCTGATGTCTAAGCTCGGTCGCGTACCAGCGCAGGCTCACGACGACCATCGCCGAGTAGAACGCCGTATCTGCGCGTCCGTCCAATTCTGCACCGAAGACGCTGCAGAGGTCTAGGCGCCGTGCTAGGTAGCCATCAGCCCCGTCCGATAGGCCACCGAGCACAAACATTGCACAGAAGGTAATATCTGGGCGCGTCTCCCAGTACGCGGCGACTAGCATTGGACCACATGCCAGCCGGAAGAGCGACAGGGCATTCGGGAGGTGTCGCAGGGCCGATCTGCTGCCTCTGTCTGCTGGGTGGGGCATTTGTTTGGGCATCGATGCCCTGAGGCTGCCGAGCCGCTACCACGGATCAGTAGCGGTCCGGAGGAAGCAGTTAGACGCCGGGAGGCAGCCCGCCGGGCCGCGAGCGCCGCACCCAGCCCCCCTTAAGCTTGGGCCGCTTGGCAGCCTCTTTCTAGTGTGTTACTGCCCCTAGCAAGCTCGGCTCCCACAAAATCGCTCCGAGCGCTGCCAAAAACACAAGCGGGCCACTCAGGAATCAAGGAAGGACGCCTGTCGACGCGATCAGCCACCCATGAGCCGCAACCCGATGCTCGACACGCTCTGGCAATTCCTGCAAAGCGTCCGGGACGGGGGCCCCCACGCCGTGGCGAACCAGCTGTCGCAGGGCTGGGTCCCGCCACCAAAACAGACGGAACGGACGCGCAAGGTGCTGCTCGTCCACGCGCACCCGCTGCCGGGCTCGTTCTCGACAGCATTGGCGTCGGCGGTGCAGCGCGGCCTCGAGAAGGGCGGCGCCGAGGTCACTCACCTGAACCTCTACTCTATGAAATTCGACCCGCGCCTCAGCGCCGACGAGCGGCGGCGCTACCTCGGGCCGACGGCCAAGGACCCGAAATTGCCGCCCTACCCGACGGTCCCACGCGACGTGCGACAGCATGTGGAGGCGCTGAAGACCCACGACGCCGTCGTGTTCGTGTACCCGACGTGGTGGTTCAACGTGCCGGCCATGTTGAAAGGGTGGTTGGACCGCGTGTTTTTACCCGGCGTCGCCTTCAAGCTGCCTCATTTAGAACCGGCCGGCTCACCTGTGAGGGGAGGCCTCGTGCCCTGCCTCGACCACATCCAAAAAATGGGCATCGTCTCGACCTACGGCGCGCCGCGGCACATCACGAATGTTTGTGGAGACAACGGGCGGCAGATGCTCTGCCGCGCCATCCTGCCCCTGTTTTCTGCTGATTGCGCCGTGCACCACCACGGCCTCTACGAGATGGACTGCTGCGACGCGGCGCGGCGCGGCGCGTTTTTGAATGAGGTGGAGCGGTACTACGGGGAGGAGTTCCTCTGAGCCGCGCCCTGTCGGAGAATCATGCTTGTGTAAATAATAGACTGTTATCACAACAACACCGGCGGCGACGTATGAGGGCCGGCCCCAGCCGGGTGGCTAGGCGGCCTAGCTCTGAGCAAAGCAACATCAGTAGCCCGCGGCACAGCCGTCGCCGCGGCCGTCGCTGCCGGCCCATAGGACGCACCCGTGGCCGTCGCGCGTCCGTTTCTTCGAAGAGCCGTCTGGGCGAGCAACGATGCACTGGCCGCGGCCGAACATCTTCCGGGCGTGGCCGGCGATGCCTCTCGCGCCAAAATAGCCCTGGTAGCCCGCCAGCTCGACGAAATCGACGGCGTCGCGCGGGAAGCCCTCCTCGAAGTGCACCACGATGGAGCCGCGATCCGCCTGCAGCATGTCCGGCCGCTTGTCCTGGAGGTCGCCCGAGGCGGGCGCGATGCAGAAGCGCGGCGCGTCGAGGGCCGCCTGCGGGTCCATGCCGCGGTCGAGGAGGTTGGAGAGGACCTGAACGTGGCCTTGCGGTTGCATGAACCCTCCCATGACCCCAAACGCCGCGTAGAACTCACCTCCACCTGTGTGGAAATCAACCAGTGCGACGGGTGCACCCGACAATTCTTCACTAAGTCATTTCTCGGCGATGACGCGGCCGTCCTGGCTCTGTCGAGCGGTGAGGAACCAGCATCACCACGCCATCGAGCAGGCGTCGCGTCGATGGCGTGCAGGTCGACGCGACGATTCAGCACGAACGCGCCGTAAATTTGATTTCCACGCAGACCTCCACCATCCGTCACCATGCCTGGAATGATCGTATGGTACGGCCGCTTCCCGGGTCCGATACAATTCGGATGCCCCTCTTGCAAGACAAAATTGCGTCCTCTGTTCTGGAGCGAGAAGCCGCAGCCCTCCGGCACGAGCCCGGAACCGAACGCCTCGAAGTTCGAGCAGATGAACGAGCAGGCGTTGCCGGCCGCGTCGACGCAGCACAGGTATGTTGTGTCGGTGCCTAGGTTCTCGAGCGCAGCGGACACGGCGCGCGCCTCTGAGAGATGGGCGTCGGCGCTCGCCGGCGTGCCGTCGCCGATGTCTGCGAGACCTTTCGCGAAGGCCATTCGGAGCGCTTCCACCTGGCGCAGGACGTCCTCCGGTCGCCCGCTCGACGGTGGTAGCTGCTCCAACGTCGCGAGTGCCATCAGCGCCACGAGGCCTGACCCATTCGGAGGGAGTTCGTGGACCGTCTTTCCACCTGTGCGGGGACGGGCAGTGAACCCACACGCCATCGCTGTGAAGCTTGAAGAAGGACACCGGACGCGGACGGAACGTCGTCGACAGCGGCTCGACTCGCTCCGTCGCGTGCGCCGCCAGGTCCTCGAGAGACAGGACGCCGCCCTTGGCCCGGACACACTTCACGATGGCCTCGGCGACCGGGCCCTTGTAGAAGCCCTCGGCACCTTTTGAGGCGAGCGTTCTGAGAGTCGCCGCGAGCTCAGGGTTTCTGAGCACTTCGCCGTGCCGCGGCGGCCGGCCGTCGACGAGCAACGACGCGGCGCCCGGGTTACCTTCCAGCCCGCCCCAGCGTAGCAGCTGATGCGCGTTGTCGCTCCAGAGCTGCGCGGCGACGACGTGTATGGGTACGCCTTCTTCGCTCATCTCGATCGCCGGCGCCAGTACGTCCGCCAGCGGCAGCCGCCCGAAGTCCGAGACGCAGTCGGCCCAGCTCGCAGCGGCGCCGGGGACCGTCACGCAGTGGACGCTGTCGGCAGGCAACCGATTCGCGCCGTCGCCGGCGGCCGCCCGCGCCCGCTCGGGCGTCAGCGCTTGCGGCGCGCGACCGGAACCGTTGAGACCGCGCACCGTCTTGGTCGCGGCGTCGTAGTACAGACAAAACGCGTCGCCGCCGAGTCCACACATGCATGCCTCCGTCACGTTTAACGCCGCGACCGCTGCGACGGCCGCGTCGGCCGCGTTGCCTCCAGCCTTCAGGATGCGCAGGCCGGCTTCGCTTGCGAGCGGTTGCGAGGTGCAGCAGACGCCATGCGTGCAGAGCATGGGTGAGCGCCGGCTGGCGAACTGCAGCGGTTCTGTGGCTTCTGCGATTGCAGCCATGGCTGTTATTGATCGTTTATAGATGCACAACGAGCTCTACGCGCCACGCGCACGCTTTTTGCAATTTTGCTCTCTTTGGCTGGCTTGTCTCAGCTTGGATTCAGCTCTGCAGCTACGCGCACACGCGACGCTGTGAGCTATTCGGCCACGCAGCGCTGTTGCGAGACCCGGACGATTGCGCAGAACGCGCGCAGCGGTAGCCAGACGTAGCCAAAAGCCACAGTGGGGACAGGCTGCCACACTGCATAAAACACAGCTGCCAGCGTGCGACGAGGACGAACGATGAGCGCCATCGTCCACCGAGATCTCATAGATGCCTCCGAGCTAGACAGCCTCCTGCAGCGGCTCACGACGGCGCAGAACGACAAGGAGCGTCTCCGGCACTTGAAAACCGCGGCGCGGAACTACACCTTCGACGGCGGCCAGATCGCGCGGTTGCTCGCACCGATGGCGGCCTCTCCGGCGGCGGCCGTCGAAGCCGCGGTCATGCTGCTGCGGCGCGCGGTGCCGCGGGCCGCTGATCCGGCGGCCGTCGAGACCGCGGTCGCAGCACTGGTTTACGACGAGCAGCGCGCGGACGTGAAAGCGAGGCTCGGCCTCGGCCCGGGCGACATCACGGACGCGGCCGAGCCCCTCGCGGTGAGCTCGACGGCGGCGGACGAGGCGCTCCGGGGCTTCGCCGACCGGTCGGGCGCCATCGCTCTCAACTGCCCGGCGGTCCCGACGGCCGACGGCCGAGGCGTCACCATGAGCGTGCCGGTCAAAGTCATGTTCCATAATCCAGCGGACGACAACAAGGTCCGCTTCGCGATGATGGACGACGCGGCGTTCCGCGACACGTTCGGCATGGACCGCGGCGCCTTCGACGCGCTTCCGCAGTGGCGGCAGATCGCGCTGAAGAAGGAGAAGGGGTTGTTCTAAGAAAATGTGTCAAAACTTACGATGCCTGGCCCGCCCCGAAAATCTTCTTGCGCATGGCTGCTCGTGTCTCGTTGAGCCGCGCAGCCGCGTCGCCGGCCTTCTCCTTGATCTTCTCGCGGACCTTCTCACGTTTATGTTGGACGGAGTCCGCCAGGGCCGCCGTCATGACGCGCTTGACGACGAGCTTCTGGAAGTCGCGCATCGTGCCGCAGTAGGCCGCGACGCGCACGGCGTGGTCCAGGCGCACCTTGCGGCCCCTCAACGTGACGGCACACCGCTCGACCGCCAGCGACCCGATATGTATCAGCTCGTCGTCGAACGCAGGCCGGATCGTCGCGTACGTCTTCCTCAGGTCCTCCTGCAGCTCCTTTTGAGCGTGGTCGGCCGCTCTAGCCTGGACCCGCGCCGCGACGCGCGCTTTGACGCGCTCCCGCGCCGCCTGCAGGCGCTCGGCGTAGGACTGCTTCCCCGGCGACGACGCCTCCGCCGCGTCCCAGTCCGCCGCCGCGCTCTCCATGTAGGCCTCGTGCTCGTCATCCGACTCCGAGTCTTCTCCATCGAGCGACCGGAGGAGCTCCAGCCGTTTCCGAACCGCGTCCTTGTCGTCGACGTGGAGTAAACGCCACCTTAATTCTTTCTCCAGGACTCGTCTTTTCTTGGCGGCCGACTTGGCCTTGAGGCGCGCGTCCCGTCGCTTCCAGAATGCGCCGTTGCCCTCGTCGACGACGACCGTGCACCCCTCGACGGCCACGTGCTCGATCATCTTGCCCCGGAAGCCCACGACCCAGGGCACGTGCATGCCCAATGAGAAAGTTTGCGGCCCCGCGAGGCTGAGTGTTCCCAGCACTCCAGTGGTGGTGCATCTCAAAATGTCGATGGTGGCGAAAGTCGTGGACGTGTCGCCCTTGACGACCAGTCCTCTCAGCTCGAAGACGCCGGCGAGGGGCCGGACGACGAGCGTTTTTATCGATACGTCCGTGCCGAGTTCCTTGCGCATCTGTTTCAGGACCATGGGTTTTACGACTAATAGTAGGAAAGCGTTATAGCTCACGATGCTCGCGCAGACGGCGGCGGCCGCCAGCTTTGGCAGCTCTCCTTCGAGCAGGGAGAGCATTTTAGCAGTCCCCCGGTCTTTCTCGCGGCACCAGGCCCAGCCAAACAAGCTCTCCCAAAGTGTGAAGGCTCTCCGTCAATTTGCAGCCAATTTTCGTGCTGGAACCGATGCGAATCGATGCTGGAGCAGTGATTTTCGTTCTTGAACGGGTCACTGGCTCATTGGCAGGGTCAGACGCCCCTCGAAGCCACAGACAAAAACCAGCCTGAGCTCCCCCTCGTCGATTTGAAATTTGGGACTCTTGCCCTGTCGCCGACGCATGCACGCGTCCATTGTACCGCGACGCATCCGTGTCGAACGCTAGCGGGCATGTGACGCTAGCAATTTGGTGATTAACCTGTGTCGCTGATCGACAAGAGGGCCGTATAACAGCTCGAGGAGCAGCTCCAGCGGACTTTTCGGCACACGGCAGTGTCCAACAGACCTACAAGCGCTCGCCACTGCACTGACGCGCCGCCGCGAGGGTTAGCGACGGCGATTGAGCTCCTTTGTGTCGCTGGACAAGCCAGCCCGCAAAGCGAGCGAGACGCGGCAGCCGCGCACCCAAGAAGTTATTGGATCGCTGGCCAGCGCCGCCGCGCCGCCCTGCACCGCTGGGAGACGTGCAAAGAGAGACACTCGCCGCCGCGCACCGAACTCACCCACGACAAAACGCAGGCACCATGGCCGAGACCGCGAGCGAGATCAAGCTCTTCGGCAAGTGGACCTACGACGATGTGGAGGTGAACGACATTTCCTTGGAGGACTACATCGCCGTGAAGGGCAAGCACAGCGTCTACCTGCCGCACACGGCCGGCCGCTACCAGAAGAAGCGCTTCCGCAAGGCCCTGTGCCCCATCACGGAGCGGCTGGCGTGCGCCCTCATGCGCAAGGGCCGCAACAACGGCAAGAAGCTGAAGGCAGTTCGGGTCGTGCAGTCGACCTTAGATATTGTGCACCTCCTCACGGACCAGAACCCGATGCAGGTGCTCGTCCAGGCTATTATTCAGGCCGGGCCCCGCGAGGACTCGACGCGAGTTGGTTCGGCGGGCGTCGTGCGGCGGCAGGCGGTCGACATGTCGCCGTTCCGGAGGGTGAACATGGCCCTGTACCTACTCTGCACGGGCGCGCGCGAGGCGGCCTTCCGCAACGTGAAGACCATCGCCGAGTGCCTCGCCGACGAGATCATCAACGCGGCGCGCGGCTCGTCGAACAGCTACGCGATCAAGAAGAAGGACGAGATCGAGCGCGTCGCCAAGGCGAACCGATAGGCAGTTCCATTGTTGGGTAACGTGGTTCGTTCACAAATAGTCGCGTCGATGGCGTAGTTAGGAACTTAGTCACCGCTGCCGCTTCGTCGCCGTCGCGAGGATGTGGGGCCGGAACGGCAGCGGCATGGCGTCCGCCGAGAAGGGCTCGACCCTCAAATCCTCGAAGTCCCAGGAGGCTCTCAAGATCTTCTCCGTGTCGCGCCACTGGCAGCCGTTGCCCACGATCTCGAGGATCGGCGCCAGCGTCTTCTGCAAGTAGCGCAGCGGTGTTCCCTCAGGCGCCGCGACGTGCTCCATCAGCAAGAGCGTGCCGCCCGGCTTCAACGCGCGCGCGGCCTGCTGCAGGACCATCGACGGATCCTCGACACTACAAAGCACGTGCGTAAAATACGCCGCGTCGAACGTACCCGACGCGACGTCCAATTCCAACGTCTCGGCCTTGTACCACCGCGTCGAGCGGACCATGCTCGCGTCGAGGTCCTTGGCCGCCTCGTCCTGCATCTCCCTGAAATATGAATTGGGCTCGATGCCGACCCAGGACTTCGGCGCGGTTCCATTTTCAAAGCACTTGAAGGTCGTCCCGGGGCCGGGGCCGAACTCGATGACGTTCAGGCCGGCCAGTTTCGTGGAGAGGCCTAACCTCTCGCAGCGCGGCGGGAGCATGGCTGGGTCACTCGACAGCTTTTGACACAACTTCGAGAAGAAGCTGTCCTGGAGGTCCTTGTTGGACTTGAGGGCGACAAGGAAGCCGGCCATGAGTACGTTCATTACTACACACGACCAGGTGAGGAACCTGAGGACCTTCCCGACCTTGCCCGTGCGCGGGAAGAACATCCTCGCAGAAATAATGACGACGAGCGCTGCTGAGAGGAAGCTCAAGGCGACGGGCGGTACGCAGCAGGGGCAGACGCCGAGGTTCAGAGTCATTGTTGCTGCCGGTGCGGTGTTTGCTGCCGGTGCGGTTTTTGCTGCCGTGTGGTGTTTGGGCAGTCTCTGCTCTACAGCTTTGGGTGGCGCTAGAAAGGGGCTTAGTGCTGCGGGCTGCCCGCAGAAGCTTGTGCAGCGCCCTTGGCGAGTAGGCAAGGCTGCCCGCACGGTGTTTTAGAGCCCAAACGGTGCGTCGGCGCCGTGAGCTCGAGCTGAAAAGCAAGAGATTGCCATTGAAAAAGCTACTAGAAAACGCGGCAAGAGATAGCAATTACCCACGCCGACGGCAAGAGATAGCCATTAACCGTCGAAAACGGCAGAAGACAACAATCCGGAAACGTCCTCGCGCGCCGCCGTTGGAAAATGAGCCCGCGCGACGGGGAGCCAAGGGAGCGTGCACAGGAGTCCCCAACGCCGTCGACGCGGCCTGCCTAGGGTAGTCTAAATTCCTTCGTCGGTATGACTTTACACACTGCTTTCGGTTTGCGGCGGACCTTCTCGGTCGGCCGCAGGGGAAGGGAGCGAGCGATTCTAAGGGGCGTCTCCGCGCGTGCGGCCGGAGACGGCAAGGAGTCTAGGCCGCGACGGCCTCCTCGGTTTGTGCTCTTCTGGCATCGTCGAGCTCGCACGCCGCGCGCGTCGCCTTGACCAAGCGACTGACGGCCCGCGTCACGTCCACAGCATCGGCGTAGCGCTGCAGGAAGCGCTGGGCCGCGGCGTTGGACTGTAACGCGCGCGCGAGGTCGCCCTCCGTCGCGGCCAGCCGCCCGCGCCAGCGGTGGGCCACGCCGCCGCCGAGGACTCTTGCTACAGTGTCGTCGGGGGCGTCGTCAAAACGTTGCAGGCAAGTGCGAGCGTACGCCTCCAGCGCGTCGAAGGCGTCCTGCTCCGTCGCCGCGTCGAAGGCGTCCATGATGACGGGGACGCCATGCGCGGCGATGAGGCCGGCACACCTTGCTAATGCCCATGATCTCAGTTCACCACCATCAAAATCTCGCGGCCGTCCGAGAGGTAGGTCGCCCGGTTCATCGGCGTTGAATCGACGCATGGTAGAGAAAGCTAAAGTGGTATGCATGCCGTTGACGAGCTGGAGCTTTCTGTCCGAGAGAAAGGCCGCAGCAGCATGACTCGTAGGCGCGTGGACCTCGGCCCCGAAGGCCTCGCCGAAGGGCGGCGGCTTCTTCCGGTTTATGCGAGGATCGAGGGAAGCGATGACGCCGCCCCACGACTCGCACGACATGCGGATCGTACCTCGCGTAGCATCTACACTTCTCTTCGTCGACACGCGATCGACGACGCAGTCCACCACATCGACGCGATCGCCCAGCTCGTCTCGCAATGCAACAACGGCCGAGTGGTCGTTCTCGCAGCAGTACAGAGTTTTTTTGTCGGTAGAACCCGCTTTCGAAGCACACTCGAACAAGTGCGTCATCACGGGGTTCAGGAAGGGCCCCAACGAACACGAGACCGTCGTCGCTCTGGCCAGCGTCGCGCCGAGGGCCTCGACGTCATCTGTTACGATGAGACTCGCGCCGCTCGCCGCCGCGAGCCCGTCGTGGAAATCTAAAGTAGTGACGTGCTCGTCGTTGACCAGCACGTCGATGTTTTGCCTTCCTTTTTCGAGGAGGCCGGCCCAGGCCGGGTCCTTCGGGGTGTCTAAAACAGCGAAGTCGTGGTTTTTGTCGGCGAGCGCGGGCACTACTAACGAGAGGCCGAGCTTGCCCGCGCCGACGTGGACGTGGTAGGGCTTGGGCGTCGGCGCGAGGGCGCGCGCCGACCGCGCCGACGCTATTAGTAAGAGCGCGCTGCGGCTGGGCGCCAAGCAGGATCTCGATCTCCGCGCCATCGTTTGAGCTCGCGCCGCGGATACGGCGGTTTGGCTGTACAAGAGCGCCTCACGGGCGGTCTTTTACCAGTTTTAAGCTGGTCGGGCCGCGCACGCTGCCCTCCTGCTCGGTGATGATCCGCTCTAGAAACCTGATTTGCGGCCTCCAAAAGCGCCCGGGGGCTCTCGCCAGCCCCCCTTGCAGTCGGCTGGAGGCCTCTGGGAGGGCTGCCGTAGGCCGAGGGGAAACAGGGTGCATTTTTATCACAGTAGGTTCCTAGATCCACCTGCTAGTATCCTTCCCCTTTAACTGTCGTCAGCAAGCGCGAACCAGGAACCTCCCGACGCATAGGTCTCCGGAAACAGTACAACGCATCACTTTGACGCCATAAAGGCAGCAACTCATTGGGCTAATTGCTGCTCAGGAATTACTACGAGGAATATTGCGAAAAAATGGCTGCGGACCTTCAGAAGACCGTCGAAATCGTCCAGTCATCATGGCAGAAGATCGTTGCAATCAGCGCTTGAAATCTCTCAATTTTTGTCGGAGAGGCTGCAAAAAAGGCTGCGGTTTGACGCGCGTCGAGCACAAACGCAGCGGTCGTGGTCGCCCCGCGACGCGGCGAAGGCGCAGAACGCGTCGCGCCGCGGAAATCGCGACCGGCGCGATCCGCGCGGGACGCGGCGGTCCGACGTCGGGATGAGTCAAGATCCTCACTTGCAGCCGGCGCACCCCGCGACGCGCGAGGCCACGACGGCCGCGACGGTCGAGCGCCCTCGCAGGTCGACGCGGGCGTGACGCACGAGGCGGCCGGCGTCATCCTGTTCAAGCACATCTTCCGCATCGCGCCGCAGGCGCTGCCGCTCTTCAGCTTCGGCCGGGTCGAGGGCGCCGAGGTCAACGACGCGCTCTTCGCGCAGGAGGCCCTCAAGGCGCACGCGACTAAGGTTGTGGCCACGGTCGAGACGGCCGTCGGCATGCTCACGAAGCTCGACGAGCTCGTGCCGATCCTGACGAGCCTCGGCACGAAGCACGTCGGCTACGGCGTCGTGCCGGAGCACTACGCGATCGTCGGCGAGGCGCTGATCGCGACGCTTGGCGACGCCCTGGGCGACGCCTTCGACGCCGAGACGAAGGCCGCGTGGGTGGCCGTGTACGGCATCGTGCAGAAGACGATGATCGGGGACAACTACAACTAGCCGGTGCCAGCTGGCGGAGTGAATCTCAACACGACCACTAGTGTTCCGAGTAATCTGATGATGATGATGCTACTTTTGGAAGCCCACCGCACCGCAGAGCCCGGCGCTGGGGGATGCGCCTTGCCGACGGTTTTCGCCGGCACAAGCCTCGGCAGCCCCTCCACGACGCCCCCAGAACAAAAAGACGCCTCGCCGACGCCCGCCAGGAACCCGACCTCTGGCACAGCGGCGCAAGAGAGCGGAGCGCTAAAGCAGGCCGCAGGCGCTGCCCGAGCCCACACAAGGCGCCATGGAGACCACCCCCGGGTCAACCATGGCCGCCCCGCCCTTATCGGAGGGCGGCACGACGACCTACCGCGAGCTCAATAGGGACAAGACGCGCCTGCCGCGGTGGATGGACGACGTGATGCACCGGAAGCCGCGCTGGGCCTCCGACGCGTACAACGACGAGCCCGCTTCCGTCACGGAAGGTGTAAGGACTCAAAGAGCTAGGCATGCCGCGGTCTTCGAGGAGCTGCGACGGCAAGTGCGCGTGCACTCGCCCCAGTTGTCGAAGCTGCTCGGGAAAGTGTGGCTCGGCGAGGACGAGCTCGTGAAGAAACTTTGTGTGGAGGCGGACAAGGTCCACGATACGATCGTATCGAGTCAGAAGGAGCGTTCAGAATTGATCAAGCAGTCGAAGAAAGCACTGTCTATCGTTGAGAGGCAATTGGCCGACGTCAAGTATGAGCTAGCTGTATCGAAAGCCACTTTACGTGAAAGAGAAGCGGAGTGCGCGTCGAACAAGTCCCTCGTGGAAAGTCTCAACGAGGAGCTCGGAGCTCTGCGGGAGCAAGTGGGCAAATACGTCGAGGGCCACGTCGACGACATCGGGGACCGGTACGAAGCTTTGAAGGCTGAGAGGATGAAGCTCATGACGGAGGAGGACCCTGCCACGGGCGAAGCCTATCCCCTCGCCGAGATCGAACGACTCGCGAAGAATCGCCTGCAAGGCGTCTTCGAGATGAACGACGAAGTGGACGAGATCCTCGCGAAGTGCCAACGCAGTCACGACTCGCTGAAGCATGGTCTGAGGGATCTGACGGGATTGGTCGCTAGTGTCGACCCCGACGACTTCCGCGTGTCCAAGTCCTACAAACTCAAGAAGAAGCCGTCTACTGACGTTGGTTGTCAACATGTTACGATTAAGGTGGAAGGTGTTCGTGTCAATAAATCCTTACCACCACCTGTTGTTGAGGAGCCGGCGGAAGAAGGTCTCACGATGCCTCTGTTGCTGCGGAAGCAGATGTGCGAGTTCCCTCCCTCCCAAAGGATACCGTCGTTGCAAGCTACTTTGAGACTTATATTATCGTTATATCTGGAAAAACTCATGTATGACAAGCTCTGCGACGCGAACCACAAACGAAGGGTGGAACTGGGCGCGTTTCCCCACAAATATCTACTGAAGAAGTTCGGGCTGCAGAATTTGGCGGACGAGCAATGTACGCAGCTCGTGGCCGCTGTCGCGTACCACAAGGACGAGTCGAAGCGAGTTAGACTATTTGGTGAGTATTTAGGGATGGGCGACTTCGCGAGGCCGCCGGTCTATGGCGTGCGCGATGGGAACTTCGTCTTCGGTATTTTGGTCGCTTTACGCAAGGCGAACGAGTTCACGGAGGCGGTTTGTAGCGGCGTCCGTTCACGAGTCGACGCGAGTCGCGCGTCGCGTCGATGGCGTCAAGAGTGGCGGCAGCAGTCCGGCCGACGCTCGCGCTGGCGCCCACGCCGTCGCCGCGACGGCATGCCACAGCGAGTGTGTCGACACGACGTACGCCATCGACGCGTCGACGAGGGGATTCCCACGCGTTTGACGCACACAGGTCCTCCAGGACAAGGACCAGCAGATCGACATTAACCGGAAGAAAGCTGTTGATGTGATGCGGGCGTGCTTTAAGCCGATCCTGCCGGACCAGGGCGCGAAACTACTACACCGAGTGCAGAACCTACCCCCACCTAGTGTGTCGAGAAATCCGAAGTGCATCGATCTCGACGATCTCTTAGAATTAACCCACAACACCTGGGCAACCACGTCAAGGAACTGGCGCACGCATCTCGAGTTCTTATATGCACGACATGCCAACCTCTACCGAGTCAAGGAAGAAATGCGTTTCGCGAATGACAATGGGATACTGTCGCAGGACGTCATCCTGGTCCAAGAAGAACGGGCGAAGAACTACACGCTGCGAGATGCGCGTAGACCTCTCTACGACCTCCAGCAACAAGGCGACGTCGTGTCGCAGCTGATGAAGGAACGGGCGTCGATGGACGACGACGATCTCCACGGCAAGAAGCGGCCGGAGCTGGTGGCGGCCATGCCCTTCGAAGCGTTCGATGCTTGTATCCGGGAGATAGATCCCTATGTCGAGGAAAATGATATTCGAAGGATTTTTGACGATTGTAAAAAATTACAAACGCATCGCATCGAGACGTCGTTCCGGGAATTATGGGTCAGACATGAACTTGTTGATGGTGTCGCGAATATCAACCAGCCTCCGGATGAGGAACCGGTCCTCTCGAAATTGATGCGAGGCGTGGAACCTTCGTTCGAGACCACGCGGAAGATGAAGGCGTTACCTCGCATGAAATCGCCGAAAAAACGCAAAGAAGGTTTTGATGTCCCAAGGGCGGAAGATCCCGAGGACCCCCACGCGGCCTACTTCTGGTACAGCAAAGAGTTCGAGACGAGCGTCTGGACGCCGCCGTGGGACCCGAAGCTGTTCGAGGTGCAGGAGGTCGAGCGGGACGTGTTCTTGGAGGTGTGCTTGGACGAGTTCTTGCTTCCCAACTCGCCCTTTGGCTCATTATTGGACAAGCTGCCGACGGACCTCTGGCCGAACGCGGAGGCGTACCTGGAGCAGCTCGAGGGGGGCGAGACGCTGTTCTAAGTTACTAGTACTGAACGAAGACGATTACACGATGCCATCTCAGGCATCTATTCCTCCTGCCGGCGGCGCTTCTGCACCAATCCAGCCAGGTTCGACTCGGAGGGAGGTCGCCGCTGGCCCGGCCGTTTTCGCGCTCTTATTAACGCGGCGAGCTGGGTCGTCTCGACGTCTTGCACGTGGCACAGCGCCCTCAACACCAGCGCCCGGACCTGTGTGGAAATCGCGTCGTCCTCCACGCCATCGACGCGACGCCTGCTCGATGGCGTGGCGATGCCGGTTCCTCGCCGCTCGACGGAGCCAGCACGGCCGCATCATCACCGAGAAATGACTTAGTGGTTGATTTCCACACAGGCCCGGACGTGGATCTGTTCCTCGTCGTCCAACCCGCTCAACAAAAACGTGAGGCCGCGGCGCGGGTGCTCCTCCTCCTCCTGCGCGTGTATGAGGTCGCGGCGATGGCGTACGGGTGCCCCCAGACACAAGGACGCCGCGGACCGCACGAGTTCCCCGATCGTCACGCCCGCCGCGGCGCTGGCGAGCCACGACCGCGGCAGCGCCACGGGGCAGGGCGTGAGGCGCATGCTCGTCAGGCTTCGTAATGACGTCGCCCGCGAGACGCCGCGCGGCGGCTCGCCCACGAGCTTCCAGGGCTCGATCGGCGCCTGGCCCACGATCAGCAGCCGCAGCGTCGACTGCATGGTGTGCGCACTCATGCTCTGCTCGTGCGCGCTGTCGGCGAGTTCTTCCAGCGGCGTCGAGGCGAGCGCGTAGTTGTGCGGCGGCGACGCCGGCCGCGCCGCGGGCGCTTTCTGCAGGAAGTTGCCCATTGGCTTGTTCTGGCCAGTGTGTCCTGTGGGCTTTGTTGTGCCGGGGGCAGCCGTACTTGTAGCGCGGCGGCCCCAGCTGGCTGCCTTAGACCTCTGCTGCGGTTTTTGGCTATTTTCGCGGCGGCTGCTGGCCGTGCGCGGGCCCAATTAAGACAGTATCCTCCCCCCTGGTTGTTCTGCCTCGATCTATGACCTGTCCTTGACCCTCCACGTCAGCCACAAAAAAGAGGCGCGTGCGAGGGCTCCGGCCCGGGCCCGGGCCCCGGGACTCGTTGCGGTACGAGTGTGGGCGTCTTGGGCCCCCGCGGGCGCGGTGGGCGCGCGGCGACCGCCGGCGGTCGAACGGCGCTTGACCTCGCTGAAGAGACATGCAGTAACTCTTTCCGGGCACGACTGCGCCAGGAGAAGCCCGATCGCGGAGGTCGCATTTGGAGATGGCTGGCGCACACGACGCCACAGGCTGCGGATTACACCTCTCAAAAAGCCAAAGAGATCGAATACATAGCGTCAGCTGATCGCATCCATGCCCTTCTTCAGCTCCGCACCGCCGCCGCCGCCGCCGCCGAGCTGGGAGATCGATGCAGCCCTGCAGCACGACTTTGCCAAGGCTTGTGCGATAGTAATCGCCGTGTCATTGACGACGCATATGATCGCGCGGTTCCTGCCGCTCCACGACGTCAAAACACTACAACAACGAAAGACAATAACGCTAGAGCATCGCGTCGAGGCCGGCGAACGCTTATTGCTCACGCCGTTCTGGACCGTCATAGCGTATCTCGCAATAAACGCAACTTTAGAATTGAAAGGCTCGCGAGACCTACGCTGGCACGGCGCCACGTTTTATTCAAGGTGGTGCTCGCTGCTCTACTGTGCGAAGATGGCGGTCGACGTCCCTTTGAGTGCCTACGAATTAAGAGAGAAACGATCCGCGCAGCTCATGATGGTCGCGCACCACCTGTTGTCATTTGTGGCCATCGGCTGCGGGCTAGCGACGAAGCGCTGCGCGTTTTTTGCCTGTATGGCATTGTGCGCGGAGGCCTCGACGCCGTTCCTCAACAATATTACCGCAGCCAAGCTCTTTGGCGGGCAGCGAGGGGCCGATTCGCTCCTTCATTTCCTCTCCGGTATTATGCTGTGGATCGCCTACGTACCTTTTAGGATGGTCAATTTTCCAATTTGGCTGTGGGTGTGGTCCTCGGATATACAGAGTGATCCATTAAACACATCACAAAGGTGCACGTGGTTCGAGCTCGCCTTCCACCCGGGTGTCATCCTGTTGCTCTTGTACCTGTCGAGCGTCTGGTTCGTGGCCATCACGAAAGGATGCGTCAAGGGCATCCGGAAAGCTTTCCAGGCGCCGAGCCGCGTCGCCAAGGACGATTGAGGGCCGGGGGCGTGGCCGCTAGGTGTGAGTGTACTAAGATTAAACGAAACAAGACTTAGCGAGCGGCGATGCGTGCGGCGGTCGGAGCGATGCGTCTGCGCATTTGCGGTGGTGGCGTGCCGGTAGAGTGTGCAGTACCGGCGTGGCCTCACGCCGTCAATGCGATGTTACCGGTCGGAGCGATGCGTTTGCGCGTTGCGGTGATGGCGTGCCGGCGTGACCTCACGCCGTCGATGCGATGCTACCACATGCGAAACCCATACTGGTAGTAGAACTTGTCCTCGGCCTCGCGCCACTCCTCGACAGAGCCAGTCTTTCCGTAGCCGGCGTTGCCGTACCAGTTGTACAACTCGTCGCCGCAGCGCGGGTCGTAGCCCCGCGGCGCGCGCACAACGAGGTCGTCTCCATCGCTCGTCGACTGCACCGCGAGGCCCGACACTGATATACTCTGCAATCGCTCGGGCAGTGTTGTGGATGACGGGTGGTTGAAGAGGTCCGCAACGGGCGCGAGCGCCGGGTTCAGGCCGTCGCGGAGATGACTCAAGTCGAAGGCCCGCGTCAGCACGAGGAGACACGCGCGGAACGACACATGCTCATCAACCGGCGCGAGGCGACGCACGCTCTCCGAGGCCTCGGTCAGCTGCCTGAGTGTGTCCTCCAGGAGGGCGTCGCCCTCCATTTCACCCCGTTGACACCGCTCGACGGGGTGGTCGCGCAGCGAGTCCCTCCCTTCAAGGCCCCAGTCGAGGCTGAGCGCGTGCGGCCGCCACCGCTCGCACGACGCGACGCCGACGTACGCCGCGGCCAGGGCGCCGGCCAGGAGGCACTGCGGCGGCCCCGCGAAGTCGTGCGCGTCCAAAGCCTCCGCGGCCGCTTCGGCGCCCAAAATACTATCAAAGGGCACGCGCGCGAGCTCGTCGTTCCGCCGCAGGTCGCGCGCCGCGTAGACGCCCCGGCCGCCCCTACCGTCCGCCGCGATGCGACACCTTGATAGGTCTACGGTGCACGTCGTAAAGGAGGCCAAATCAGCTAATGCAGCGGCGTCGACGCGCGGCGCCGCGATTAAGGCCGGCGATTTTTGTATAAGGTCTTCCTGCGTGTCGGCGTCCGGCGCCGGCGCCAGCGCGCAGTACAACAACGCCCTATGTTCAACACCAGAAGTCTTCTTCGCCCCGAAATGCAACAACGACGCGTCGTAGGCGATGACGTCTCCCACACCAAAGGGCGCGCTCCGCTTGATATTATCAGATCGGTCCGCGAAGACCGTCGCGCCGGCGTCGCCGTCTTCTACGTCATCCAGAGCCACAAATAATACAATACGGTTGGGGATGCCGCCCCACGTGTCCCTATGTAAAGCTTGATGAGTGGCGCCGATCGACGCCGTCAGCGCGCCGAGCTCCACTATTTCTAGCGGACCGGTTCCCTCTAGTAAAGTGCGGGCTTTTTCGACACCAGCGAGGCATGCTTTAATTGCTGTCGCCGCGACATTGCTTACTACCGGTTCTTCGATCGGCAATAGTAGATCAGCTCTACTACCAGCGAAGGACAGCCGCATGGGTGTTGAGAGAGAAAGACGTGTCCCGGGCACGAAGCGGGCGTCTTCCGGTACTGCGTCTTCGACGGCGAGCCATTTTTCTACTTCTGCTCGGAGCTCTCTACAACATTCCTTGTCTACAATATTGTTGACGCGGGCGACGCCGTTGTTTAATAGGTCCTGGCCCAGATCATTTGATGGCTTTAGTGGAGTCGCTACTGCTGCGAGCGCGGCCTCGTTGCCCTGCTTGGCGGCGGGCTTGGTCGTTGCGGAGAGGGCCGCTGTCGTTGCGAGCAGTGTGAACCATCGCAGGGCATGCATTTTAGCTGCAGTGCTTTGAAATGCTACAGTGCAGTGCGTCTTCGTGCGGCGCTCTCACTGAGTCTCAGCGCAGTGCTCTCAGTGTGTGCAGCGCCTCAAGTGCATGCCGAGCACCACATGCCTCAAATACGCGTCGGCAGCGCGGAAGTCGAACAATAAAAGGCCGGATCCAGCCCAAATGAGCACTGATGATGCTCTGTACCGCGAGTGCAGCAGCCGCGGACACGAGCTTGTGAGCTTGTGGTCGGGTTTTGGCGCAATCAGCTCTCCAATGAGCTCCTGCGAGACTGTCGTACGTCCCCCGCATGACTCCCATCCGCCGGTACCCCTTCAAATAATTTGCAGCGCTCTTTGAGCACTCTGAGATCAGGTCTGCAGCGGCCCTGAACGTCAGGTGTTCCGTCCGCGACAAGCCGCGCCGATGGCCGCCGCGATGGCGCAGCCGCGCCCCATTCCACCCCCGACGGGGGCAGCGCCAACCCACGAGGTCTGGGAGGTAGCAGAACCGCCCTTAGCAGAACCTGAAGCGCCGCTCCCAGGAACCTCCCATTGGCAGAACCTCCCACGCACCATCCGCCGCGAGGGCGAGGCCGCCGCCGCCGCGCGCGCGGCGGCCCTGGCGGCGCAGGCCGGGGCGCGGCCCGCGGTCGCGCCGCTGCCGCTGCCGCGCGCGCTAAGGCGAGAGGGCCCGCCGCTGCCGCGCTACAATAGGGAAGGAGAGGCCGCCGCCGCGGCGCGCGCGGCCGCTGTAGCAAGAGCCGCGCTCGACGCCCTGCCGCAGCCGCCGGCTCACCGCCTCGACCCGATTACACCAAGACGTAGGGTCAATGCGAACATCCACCTGTCGCTGACGACGGAGTTCGCGACTCTTGTTGGTGAAACTCCACCCTCCTTCCCCTGTCCTAGTCGTCGGAGGAACGGGCCTACGTTACACGTCTCACTGCAGCCGGAATTTGCAGAGCTCCTGGGCCTGGAGGAGTCGGACGAGGACGACGACGACAGATCTATTCTATCCGCTGTGTCCTTCAGCGCGCGGTGCGTGCCTATTGATGAAGAGGAACGGCCGCGCTCCGCCGGTAGCACGGTGTCATTCCGAGTACGGCCGACGTCTCCAGCAAGTGTCGTCAGCGAGGACATCGAGGCCGACGCGACGTGGTGCGGCAACTGGCGTTCTCGAAGGGCGGCGCAGGAGCCCGAGGACGAGATGGACGTCACGTCATTGAGGACGGCGTTGGCGCTCGCGCGGCGCGACGCCGCCGCAGCGAGAGCCGACGCCGCCGCGGCGAGGAGACATGCGAGACGGCGAGCGGGCGCCGCCCGAGCGGACGCTTTAGCAGCTCGAAGATCAGCGCGCGACGCGGCCGAGGCCTTCGATGCCGTGGCCGAGGCGGCCGCGGCGGCTGCCCGGGACGCGTCTCGCGCGCGCTCGAATCAAGCAGCAGCAGAAGCGGCCCACGCGGCAGCTAGAGCGCAACTACGCCGCGCTAGGGACGGCGAGGTCTTCGTGGACGCGCTGGACGCGTTGGAGGCCTTCGACGACGTACCTCCACCACCGCCAAAAGTCGAGCCGCCACTGACTCCGGAAACAGCGTTGACTGCGTGCGAGCGGGCCTTCCTGCCCCAAAAACTGCAGCCGCTTTCATTAGATGCGTTGGCCGATCTGGATCGGCGCGTCCAACACCTGGGGGATGAACTGAAGCGCCAGGTCGTCGACCGCGCGCGCTGCGGCGACGAGGCGTCCCAGTGCGCGCTGTGTTGCTCGGCTTCCAAATCAATTGCGTTTGTCGACTGCGGCCACGCCGTCTGCGGCGCGTGCGTCGAGCGCGTCGACCGGTGTCCTTTTTGTAGAGGGCCTGCGCAGCCGACGATCCGCATACACCTCTGAATTCGAATTCCCTTCCCCCCTGTTGCTGCTGGACATAAGGTCTACTCTACACAAGTCTTAGAAGAAGGGAGGGCATTTCGACGCGTAGGATCCCTCGAGAGTTCCCCCACGGCTCTTGAGGAGGCGACGGGCGCTCACAATGTTTGCGCTGCAGACGCTTCCCGAGGAAAGTTCACGACGGTTATAATACCCAACTTGCTTCAAGTTCGGGCAGCCCTGTACGATGCCCAGCAACTCCGCCGCGCCCCATTCAGCAGCCAAAGTAGAACTAACAGTTGCCTTGCGGAGACTCGCCGCTGAAGAACTTTTGACTATGATGTCGACAACAGCAGGTGTCACGCATAAATCGGACTGGTCGCGGCGAGTTATAAATAAATTAATTTCCTCCAGTTGGCATCGGTTGCAGATGATGCGCATACACTCGTCGTCTATATCTACTGCAGAGAGCCTTCGAAGCATGGGCGCCGCAAGCGCCAGCTGCTCGAAAAATTCAGTCGGTGCCATGCGCGGAATAAGCGCGTTCTCGAAAGGCCCCGCGAGTTCGCGCAGGTTCGGAAAGCCCCTCACCAGTTGAAGGCCCGCTTCTGGCCACAGTTGCGGAGAAAATGATCCGAAGAAATTAGTGAAGCACAAACTGGTAACACGATCCCGCAGCGGCGTCTCCAGGAGTCGTGCCACGAAATCCGGCGTCACAGCGGCCCTGGGGATAACCACCCTCGTCACATGCACGCAGGTCTCCGCCGCCACCGCAATCACGTCAAAACAAATAGGCATTTCATGTATTTGGCTGTCCCACTCCCTCACGAATTTGAGTTCTCTGAGGCGAGGAAATTGCCTCGCATAGGTCTCGGCCGGACTCAGGCCTCCTGTCGGAAGCACGACGTATTCGAGCAACGGACAAGCCTGACTTACGGCGACAAAGTGCGTAGGCTGGATGTTCGGCACACGTGGCACATAAAGGTTTTTCAGCAGAGGGCACGCCCGGCATAGAATCAAGAGGGTGTCTGGGGTGATGTGATTGTCTCTGGGGGGCTCGATAGACAGTTGGTTCAATAGGCCCCCCGTGCTAAGGACGAACGACTCAAGCGCCGTCGTGACGGCTGGGAACCCGCTCACGGTGTTCAGATATCGGCAGCCCGCCCCAAACACCCGACCAATGGCGACGAGCGCTGCATTTTGGAGGGAATTTCGAGCGTAAAATCGCTTGTACACGTCGTGGTGCTTGACGGCGCGGGTCACGACTTGCTTGCATGACCCAGCCGAGCAGCGCAGGGCTAATAATTCGGCCTTTCCCGGCAGGAACTCCGCCACGCGCGCCTGCAGCTCCACCGGTAGGTCCGTGAGACCGGTCGCCATGCTCGATTTTGATCCCTGGCGCACACCACAAGCTAAACGAGCAAAGGGTCAAAAGCCGCAGCTAAGCGGCCGTAACACACTAGCACACAGCCCAGCCAAGCAAAAACCCCTGGATTGTTCACGCTGGTGGCCTAAACCGCTCTCTCTCTGGCTCATTACGCGACCGTACCTATTTACGGGAGGTCCCGCAAGACTGACCTCCTCGAAACGACGACTCCAGCGACGGCAGAGACAGCCCCAGCAGAACCCACAGCCGCAGCGATGGCAGAGGACCAAAGCCAGCCCATCCCCACGCGCGGCCGCCTCGCGCCGAGCTGGAGCGAAGCCCTCGCGAGAACGGACAAGCCCAAGCTAGGGGGAGATGCCTGCTGGGGCGGCGCCGCGACCTTAGCGGAGGAGCTCGCTCTACTCGGCGACTTCATGGCACCCAGGAGAATCGAGGACGCCGTCGAGCAAGGACTGGTGAACGCCGTCTCGGAAGCCTGCAAAACCGCTTGTAATGCGGAGGCTTTCCGGATTGGGCCGCCGACGCAGTGTCGGCTCAGTGGTGATCCAGCCTTGCTCTGCTGCGTGACGGCCAAGTCCGCGGATTCATTGGCCAAAGAGTTGGAGAAGGACCCGGCCAACGTAAAAGTCGACGCCGTCGACGACGCGAACGCGCGCTCGGCCTGCGGTGACGTGCTGTTATCCGGTGCGCGAGTAGGTTGTGTGTTGGTCGAGCGTGCGAGTGGTGCCCGCGCCCATATTGCACTCGTAGAAAACGTGGACTACGCCGAGGCTTTGCGGTTACGCAACGCCGACGCGGCGGCACGGTTCAATGCGCTAGCGCCTCGGTCTACCAGAGAGTCCGCAGTACCGAGAGTGTTCCGGACGGCGTTGTGTGTACATGGTCTGGACTCGGCGCGGGGCCTGGGCTGGTCAAAATTAGCCGAAGCCTTACATGCACTGAACGAATTGCGGCGCCATCCGTCCAAAGCCAGACGCGGCGATGAGGCTTCCCTAGAACTCTGTGATAGACCTCTGTACGTCAACGACAAAAACGTACTTCGCGATAAGGAAGACCACGGCCTCACAGATGATCAAGAGTTCCTCAGCTTCTCGACTGATGCGCCCCTCACCGAGGAACGCACAAGGAAGGTCCTCTCAGACTTACGAAGACGAGTCCTAGCAGCACACCGAGGCGGCGGCCTCACCTGCGAGCAGCTGCGTCGAGACTCGCGGCGGAACACGTACAAGACTGGCAGCTATTTTACTGATGACGGCGACCTCGAAGAATTGGATCGGGATTTGGTGGAGCAGGCGAAGCTACGACTGCAGAATGGCGAGATGCTGCAGCGGCCCCTGGATCTCTTCGACAAGGCTCCTGTCCAGAAGATAACATACTCGAAGGAGACCGCGTTAGTTGTGGCAGAAGATGAAGACCAGCGGGCTACCAAAAAAAGAAGAGGTGGCGCTCTGTTGCGGCTCGTGGAGTCGGCGAGACCGCCTCCTCCACTCTTCGGGCCGCCACCGCCGCGGACGGCCGACGAGCAGCGCTGCGCCGCCGCTGTTGATTGCGCTCGGTTGGAGCCTGCGTGGAAATCAACCAGTGCGTCGGGTGCACCCGACAATTCGTCACTAAGTCATTTCTCGGCGATGGCGCGGCCGTCCTGGCTCGGTCGAGCGGTGAGGAACGAGCACCACCACGCTATGGAGCAGGCGTCGCGTCGATGGCGTGGAGGACGACGCGACGATTCGAATGCGCCGTAAAATTTTGATTTCCACACAGGTTGGAGCTGGAAGCCGCCGGTACGTCCAAGAACAACTCCGTCTTAGGTGCAGCCTTACCGGGAGGGGCTTTACGCGACATGCGGGCGAGGCAGCTCCTCGCCATTTTTGTCAGGTCCTGCGGAAGCGCCAATAGAGGCTCAGATGTCCTATCGGTCCAAAGCGCCTACGCCGCTTGCCTGTTACGTGTCTTGAAGCACGACGCCCCTTATCCGGAAGCCTGGTCTCCAACAGAACCACTCGGCGCGCAGGGGGCCCTGTGGCGCGCGACACGGCTCGGCGACTCGAACTTGGAGCATAGGGAGGCGGCTCTGAGACCGGCTCCCTTGCACGGTACTGCGAGAGATTGTAAAGCTCGAGCGGACGTCGCCGACGACGCCTACGAGGCCATTGGCCATTTGACGGCGGCATTGGGTGCTTCTCCCTCCAATGCTTCGTTACTGGCTCAAAGAGCGGCAGCTTATCTAGCTTGCGACCTGACGAACCACGCCCGCTCCGACGCCGCGAGATGCTTGGCCTTAGCACCGGCCTGGGACGGCGCGTTGAGATGTGCCGCGCAAGTCGTGCACGGGTCGCAGCCGATGCTGAGCGCCTTGCAGGACTACGCCGCTTTGGTCCGACGGCAGGCGCCGGCTCCTTCCGATGTAACGGACGCTCCACCTGTCTCGGGAGATATTGCGTCGTTGAAAAGTTACGCGGACGGGGAATTCCGAGCCAAGCGCCTCCCCGAGGCCGTGACGGCCTATACCCGATGCATCGCAAAATGTGCGGACGAGGACGACGTCGACCCACAAACGGTGGCGGCTTTGTTCTCGAACCGGGCCGCGGCCTGCATGGCTCTCAATTCATTCGGCGACGCTCTTAGGGATGGGGTTGCTGCCGCAGCTGTAAAGCCGGACTGGGTCAAGGGACATGTGAGAGTCGCTTTAGCGCTGCGGGCCCTGAACCTACCTAGGGAAGCCATCGCGGCCTACCACAGCGCTCTCAGGTGCAAACCGGGCGACGCGGACCTCAACCTAGGCCTCTGCGACGCCGTCCAAGAAGCTAGTTCTAAATAAATCTGTTATTCATGTAGTCCCGCAGCTTTGCGTTCTCGGTCCGGAGCTTGTCGTTTTCTTCTCTCAATTTCTCGTTGGCCGACTCCAACACTTGATTGGCCGCGACGAGCTCCTCGTTTCGTCGCCGGAACACGCGACACGCACTCTCAGGAGAATGGTCGAATAATCTTTGCCGTTCCCGCGCCTCGGGCGCCGAGGCGCGTCGATGGGGCCGTCGCGGCCCGTATTTCGACACCCGCCCATCCAGACCCGGATCATAATCATCGAGCTTATCTAAAATCTGGCCGTGCGTCTTCTCGGCCTTGCGGATGAGCGACGCGCAGCGCTCGGCGTCCTTCATGTCGCCCGGTTTGTCCGTGAAACTTCCTTTCCGGAAGGAGAAGGACGCTCTTGACGAGCGGGACGACCGGTCCGATCTTGCTGAAACGGGCCTGCTTCCTTGGAAGGACGACCGCGCCGACGGGGGGCGGAAGCTCATGGTTTTTGGCTAGTCCTCTTGGTGGTGCTGCGTGCTGCGGCGCTCGACAGCCCCTTCTTTTGGTGGCAGACGCTGCCTCGGGTGGGGTGAGTCGCCTTTGCGGCGGCCGGCGCGGTCCTACGGCCTTTACCGGAGGCAGACAGGCCATGCAATTGCGAGCAGGGCGGGCGCTCCACATCGGCTCCGCTAGGTGCCGGCGCGCGAGCTCTCGCCGCACGCATAAGAGCGGTCGCGAGGCGCCCCGGGACTACTCATGGCGCTGCCGTCGCGCGGGTCTCAAGTTCCCCCGTCACGCCGCGACAACGACGCCCACGAGTCCTCGCACCGTGGTCTAGCACCGTGACAGAGCCCCCCACGCCGTCGCCGCGGGGGCGACGCCATCCCCACAACAACGAAAAACGAGAATGTGCAGCGAAAGTTATATGGCGCGCGCGGGCCCTGGGGGTGGGGGGAGTTCCGGCCGTGCGCCTGCACACACTCTTTGCGGCCCTAGCCGCCCTCCTCGATGAGGTCCCGGATGTCGCAGCTCATCTCCACCTCCGCCGCGAGCGCCTCGATCTGGGGTTCCAGGTCTTCCTCGCACAGATCAATAGCTTCGGGCAAGGCATCCGCGACGGCTTCGCGCCCGGCACAGACCCGCTCGGAACACTTGATCTGCGTTTCGACGCACTGCCGCATGACCTCCACCTCCTCGAGCTGCGCCTTCAGGATGTCATCCAGCCTCGAGACCTGATCGCCCAGAGTCGTAATGCTTTTCTGCAAGTAGATCGTCCTCCGCTTCGCGCGGAAGGCCACGGCACCCTTGTCGTAGTACTCCCAGGTCACCCAGCCCTTCTGCAGGTAACTCTTCATCATCCTATTAATGAATCCCGTCATCAGCGCCCGCTGCCGGTCGTAGTTGTCGACTTTATACTTCCACTCCTTGATGACCACGCGCTTCATGTGCGTCAGCATCTGGCCCAGGATGCGTTTCAACAACATCTTCTTGTCGTCGGACAGAGCGTCGAACGCGGCGGCGGTCTGCGCCATGACGATATCCTCGTAGAGCTTCTCGTTTATTTTCATATCTTTCCGAGCCTGCTCGACGGCGAACTGGAGGTGCTTGATCTGCTCCTCGGGCGGCATGTTCGCGGAGTAGACCTCGGACTGCCATTTTCTTATAGCCATACTGACTTTGAGGTTCAGGATGCGCTTGAAAAATCTTTTACAGGTCTTGTAGATTTTGGTCGCCTCGGCCGCCTTGATCTTCCACTCCATGAAGACCGCGCGCTTGCCCTCGGCGCCGCCCTTGCCGAAGATGCCGATGAGGAACGCGCGTTTTTTGTCGTCGACCGTACGCAGCCGCATGTTCACGAAATTCCGCATCTTCTCTTCCAGCTCCTGCTCGGCGATCTCCATGCGCTTCTTCGCCTCGACGACCAACGGTTCGAGCTTCTTTATCTCGCGCGGGTCCGCGAAGCCGACCATCGTGTTGCAGTCGCCCGCCCACTGCGACCACGCCTTCGCCAGCAAGATCTTCACGCGGCCCATCATGACGCGCATGATGACCTTCACCAATTCGGAATGTTCCACGAAGAAGATGATGTCATCCAATTCATGCATCTCGTCGTGGATCTCTTCTAATCTATGGGTAATTCTGTTGACGTTCTCCTGGTTGATCTTCGCGCGCTGCTGCGCCGTCATGGACAGCGACACTCGCCTATTCCCTTTGCCGTCGTTGGCGATGACGGGCGCCGTGCGCGTCTTCTGCATCATTTCCTCGGCCTTGAAGCTTACTTGCTTGCCGTAGGACGGCGCGCCGCCGCCGTAGCCGCCGCCTCCACTACTCCCGTAGCCGCCGCCGCCTCCGGAGGAGCCGAAGTAGCCGCCGCCACCACCACCGCCGCCGCCCGGTGGTGCGCTAAAAGGATCGTTCGCGTCGCCGCCGTAGGGATCCGCCGGGATCGACGAGCCGTAGCCCCCTCCACCTCCACCGTAACCTCCTCCTGAGGAGCCATATCCACCGGAGCTACCGTAGCCGCCGCCGCCGCCTCCACCGTAACCGCCGCCGCCGCCGTACGAGGCGCCCTTGATCGCGGGCAGACCGCCGCCGCCGCCGCCGTAGCCGTCCTCGATCATGTTCCCTCCGCTCAGTTTCGCCTCGGCCTTCGACAACGTAATGCAGGTCTGCTCGAGCATGTATTTGACGGGCTGGAGCGCTTCCGCGGGCCGGCCGTGGCCGCCCTGCGCGCGACTCATGACGGCGCCGCTGTCGTACCAGTCCCGCTCGCGCTCCTTGAGTTGCTGGCGGGTGACGCGCGGGAGCGCGACGGCCATGGACCGCGCGCCGGCGCGCGCCTTGCCTTAACGCCGCTTCGACGCTCTCCGGGGCTGCCTCGGCGCGCCTTGTGCGCTTGCCGTAGGGTCGCCGCGGAGTCGCTGGGCTCGTCTGTGAAGGGGCGGGGCTGCCCCTTGCTTGCGCGGTGGACGCGCGACGCTTTTAACACTGGCGCGGCAGAGAGAGGCAGCGCTACTATAGTGTAACTAGGGCATCGTTTCGTTATGGCGTTTCTGCCGTCCTCGGTGCTGGGGTGGTGTCGTGAGGGGTGCCGGGGCAGCGTTGTAGTGGGGGAGGAGTCCCGGGGCAGCCTGCAGTTCCGGTGGCCTTGGGAGGCCCCTCGGCGTCGCTTTTGGACTGGGATCCGTCGCGAGGACTCCGGAGGGCGCTGCTGCCGCGGCGGCAAGCGTCCGGCTTCCAGCCGCGCCGGCCGAGGAGCAGTAGCCAAGTCTGCGAGTTGCCACTTGGCATAGCAAAACGCACGCGATCGCAATCTGTCCTTGCACGAGCGCTTGCGACGCATCACTTCAAGCGCAGACCGCTGTGCGACTCGCTGGCTTGCATTCAATCCGTGCCGGGCAAGCGCCACAATCGCTGGGCTTGCAGCACACTGCTCGCAGCGCTAGCTCCGCGCATCGATCCGCGACAGCAGCCATCATGCGGCGACGGTGTACGCTGCGACGAGCAGCGCTCGCCTTTCTCGTCCACGGCGCGACGGCGCAGGACCCGCTCGCCGGCTTCGGCGGCGGCGACGCCTACGGCGCGCCGCCGCCGCAGCCCATGGCGCCGGGCCCCGGCGGGCCGCCGGGCATCGCACCAGCACGAGGTGGAGGCGGCCTGGGCGGCAAGCTCGCCTTTTTGACGATCGGCGCCGGCGCGGTGAAAGCTTTTGACACATTCCAGAGCCAAAAGAAACAAAGGGAGCACGAGTCGCAACTCAGCAAGCTCCAGACAAGTGTTGCCGTGAAACGCGTCGAGAGCGAACAGGTCGCGCAGCAATTGCAGACCTGCTACCAGACGGTACGAAGCTTACAACAAGCCTTGTATGAGTCTGAACAAGAAGCCCTACAGCGCGACTACGAGGAGTTCAAGGCCCCCGATTCGGATGGCGACGAAAGGATCAGTATGTACGAGTTCGGGGCTTATATCAAAAATTACATGAAGGCCTACCCGCACATCCCCGAGGAAGATTATCCTACGTTTGATGATTTCGATCGCAACGGCGACGGGACCGTGACCTTCAAGGAGTGGCAGGCCTACCTCAAGGAGCAGAAGGCCGAAGCGAAAAGCTCGAAGGCCTCGCAGAAGGGCTACGAGGGCCTGTCGAAGACGGCGGACAAATCCCAAAGCTTCGCGGAGATGTACCGCAAGCTGAAGGCTGCCGGGGGGTGAGGGCGTAAGGGTGTTGGAGCGTTATGTTCGCGGCGGCGGCGTGCGCGTTGCGTCGCGGCGGCTCGATGGCGTCACACTGGCTTCATTGGCGCAACCTTGGGTGCAGGAAATCCCACGGAAAGGCGCGGGGAGGCGTCGCCCGGTGGCTCGGCCAATAGGTCCCCCACCGCCACGCCATCGCCGCGTTACACTACGAATCCTTATCCGCATCCATCCCCGCCTTCGCATCCGTCCAGTCGCCCGCGAGTTGTAAACTGACAGTATGCTTCGCAGCTTTCTCTCCGAGCGCCTCCGTCTGCAGCACCTCGACGGGCAAAGCACCGGACGATCGCCGCAAGCCGTTGCAAGCCCACGTCTTACTGTGTTCGTCCCTGAGCTCCCACCTCACATTACACTTCCAGTCGCGGTGCTGCCTTAAGAAAGCTACTTTTTCATCAATAGACATGGCCTCCAAATCTTCCAGAGAACCCGACGCGGGTGCCTCCATGGTAAAGCGTTGACCAAAAACACTCTTGCACCGCCGCATCATCTCGTCGTCCTCGCCGCCCCAGCCCCAGTAGTTGTTCGGGAAGCCGTTGATCCTCGCGAAGTCATTTGTGGTCCAAGCACACACGCCCCCGAAATAGTCTTTGTTGCCACTGTAGCGGTCCCAGACGCGCGCGATGTGCAGGGGCTTGTCTTCTAATGGCAACGCGGCGTAGGCCGCGCCTAGGTCGTCTGATGGGAGTAAATCGACATCATGAAAAATCAACGAGTCGCACTGGTCCCTTTCGGCTAGGATTGCTCCTACGTTCAGCAGTTGTCCTCGGTTGAACTTCCTCTGGTCATCGGACTGCTCGATGACATAGACGCGATGGTCGTCGCAAGATGCAGATAGGAACCGAGCCATGTGCGGGATAAATTTCCTTAAATGTTCCGACCGCTTCTGTTCCTTGTGGGCGTCGCGGAACGGCACGATCACGGCAACTCTCTTGGCCTTTGGTCTCTCTGATAGGGGCACGCCTTTCTCGGCTAGGTCCGAGTCGTCTTCGGGCGCCCAGACGCGGGCCGAGGGGTGGTAGTTCGGGACCCGTACTTCCGTGGTTATCACCTCGAGATCCTTACCCGGCACGGGTATGAACTCGAAGTCGTTCTCCGGCGTTCTTACGACGTGGCCCGACGCGCGCTCGTTTTTCCTCCTCAACACGGCGACGACCCAGCTGTCGTCCTCGCCCGGCAGCTCGTATTCGATGACGCCGTCCCGGTCCCGGAACTTGGCGAAGGTGTCGCCGGCCGGCGGGTTGCGGATGCGCACGGCTTGGCCCGGTTTTAGGGCTGTGCTTGTGCTGTCCATCGCAGCCATGGTTGCTGCAGAGGGTCTCTAGTGGCGCAGCGATGGCGTCAGCTGGGTGTTGCGTCGAGGGCGATGCCGCAACGATGCCACGCGCGGCAAAACGTGCTAGCGCGTCTTTTTTGCGGCGCAAGTTGCGCTCGGACGGCTGCTTGCTAGTGTCTCACTGCCGCTAGCTCGGAGCGCATCAGAAAACGCGCGCGCGGCCTTATAGCTCATTTTTAGTAGCTATCGACGATGGCAGAAGCCAGCGGTGGCGCGCCCGCGAACGCGGCGTCGCAGAGCAGCTTAAATGACCAGCTGCTTGTCGCCGCCGGGATGGGGGACCTCGCAGCGCTGCGCGAGGCCCTCGCCGCGGGTGCCGACGTAGAGGCGAGGATGACCGAGAATGGCGTCACCAGGACGCCACTCGCTCGCGTTGTCAATCCCCCCATGTCCATATCTGACGAAAGGAGGACAGCGTGCGTACGCGCCCTGCTTTTAGCTGGCGCATCGCTCTCAGCGCCCATAACAACTCCTGGGGGGAATCGTTGGATGCCGTTGCATGACGCAGCATTCCTTGGGTTGTACACAGTGTGCAGACTGCTTCTAGACGCCGGCGCAGACGTGAACGCACTGCACGGAGACACTTATACTCCGCTTCACTACGCTGCAAACCGTAGCCACCAAAAGATCATCGCCCTGTTCCTCTCGCGCGGGGCCGTAGACGGCCCGAACGTGGACCGATTGGCTAGTTCATCGTACCTCGAGAAGGTCAGGGCCGCCGGCGGTTTCGCAAACTACCAGAAGCAGCACCGCGCAAAGCTGGTCGCGATGCTCGCGCCGAAGTTCGCCCACATGCTCCCGCCGGAGCTTGTGTCCGTCGTGATCATGTTCTGGGCCCCTGTCGGCCTCCACTAGTTGTGCCGTGTGTAAAGTGAAATATAGAGCAACTTACGCCGCCAACGCCCGATAAAAATGAGTCACGAGGAAGTGGTTCTTGAGAGGTTTGCCGTGGAAACCGAACGCCCCACCGCCCCAGCAGCCCTTCGTGCACGGCTCGCTCGGCTTGCCGGCCTCGCAGTGCCGCCGACCCGCGGCCGTCGCCTCGAGGAGCCGGAGCATCTGGGGTTTGCGTTGGCTCCGCATCGCGCTGATCAAGGCGTCTCCACGCGCATCGACCGCGGCCGTGCAGGTCAGATTCGCGCGGTCGAGGCATTTCAAGAGGGCAACGTCGCCGGCGCTTTGCGCCTTGTAGCGTCCCGGCGCGCACGTGCCGACGACGGGGCGGATCTGTGCCAGCGCGGCCCGCGAGAACAGATGCATGCCGGGAGACCTATCACAAGCGCACTGGCCGAAGGTGAGCGGGTCTGAGGATGCGTACCGCCCCAAGAACGCCCTGAGCCGCTTCAGGTGGACCACCGAGTCGTCCTCGACCATCGCGAGCCAGTCGAAACCGCTTTGTGCCGCCGCGTATTCGACTGCCGACCGGATCGGGAGCCAGGGCGTGAATCCTTTTGTGTCGTCGTGCGTCACGGCGACGTTGCGAGTGATGAACTTCCGCGCGCTCTTGCGCCGCGCGACGGTGGCGCCGCGGCTCGCGTTGTACTGGCGCGCGCTTACGGCGATCGTGACGTCGTCGCAGTCTTTGAGCCACGTGCTCGCGACGGCTTCGAGCGACCGCGACGGCGGCCAGCGCGAGGGGACGACGCAAAGAATCCGACCCGGCTCGGCGGCCGCGAGGGTCGCGAAGCAGAGCCAGGGAGTTTTCATTATTTTTGCAATGTCATGCCAAGCATTGATGAGATATTTGGATCGTTGTGATATATGCGCTTGGTGAGCATACCGTGGACCACAGGACTGGCCAATGCGCGCGTCGCGTCAGTCGTACAAAACCCGTTTTGGCTAGCGTCCTGTAAGACACTAGCAAAGCAAGAGGCTGCTGCTGCACAGGCGAGTTGTACGCTGCTGAACACGAAGCACTCATTTCTGACAAAGATCAAATCACTGCTATGACATGCGCCACGTGCTAATGCTCGCCCTCGCTATCAGGCGAGCCTCCACCCTGCTGCCGCCTGCAGCACCGACGCTGCGCACCGCACGCTTCGCGACGGACGCGTCGAGAGCCCTGGAGCGGCGCTTCGACGCCGCCCTGAGAGACGACTGCGGCGTCCGCGCGAACGATACCGTGGTCGCTGCCATCTCCGGCGGCGTCGATAGCACGTGTCTCTTGCATTTGCTCGCGCGGGCCGAGTGCCGAGTGAAGGTCGTGACCTTCGACCACCGCCAGCGCGGCGCCGCCTCGACGGAGGACGCGGCCTTCGTGCGGCGCCTCGCGGCGCGCTACGGTTTGGAATGCGACACGCACGTCTGGGAGGGCGACAAGGGCACTGCAAATGAGTTCCGCGACTGGCGCCGTCGGACGCTTCTTGAGACAGAAGGCGACCACGTCGCGACGGCGCACCATGCTGATGATGAAACAGAACTGTTCCTGCTGCGGCTGGCGCGCGGCGCGCGCCTGACCAAGGTGCTGGGCGGCATGCGCATGCGGAAGCCGCCCTTCGTCCGGCCTTTACTAAGGGAGCCGAAGAGCGAACTGAGGAAGTACCTCGAGGATAATAACGAAGAGTGGCGCGACGACGCGTCGAACGCCGACCCAAGTTACGGGAAGCGGAACCGGGCGCGCCTCGAGGTCGTGCCGCCCCTGGATGCGCTCTGCGAAGGCGGCCTCTCCTCGAAACTGGATAATTTGAGGCGCCAGGCTGAGGCCGTGCAGGCCTGGATCGACGCCGAAGCCGATACCGTGCTCGCCGCGCGGCGCTCGGGCGCGCTGCCCCTGGCGACTTATCGGGAGGCGCCGGAGCCCGTGCGCCTCGAGGTGCTGGACCGCCTCGCGGCCGACGCCGCGGCGACGGACGGGAGCTACGCGGTGCCGTACGCCGTGCTCTGCGACGCCGACGCGAAGCTCTGTGGTGGCGAGGCGGCGTGGACGCTGCACCTGCCGCGCGGCGTTTTGTTGAGGGTCGGCCACGGCGCGCTGTCGTGCGCGGAGCCCCCGCCTTCGAGAAGCGTCGGTCGCGTCCGCGTCGACGGGCGGCTCGGGCATCTGTCCGTGGCCCTAGATAGGGGCCTCGCCGTGCCGGCGCCGGCCGACGGGGCCCTGGAGCTGCGGCCGCGGCAGGCCGGCGACCGCTTCCGCGCGCCGTGGCGCGACGGCCCGCAGAAGCTCTCGACGGTGCTGCGCGGCCAGCGCATTCGCGACGCGGACGACCGCGCCGCGACGGTCGTGCTCGCCTGCGGGGAGCGCGTCCTCGCCGCGTTCCCGCCGGGCGGCGACGCGCTCGTCTGCGCGGCCGAGGACGGCGACGGGGAGGTGCTCGTGGACGTCGCGTCGACTTCGTCGATGGCGGGTGATGCGTAGAGGTGTGTTTTTGTCTAGAGATAGAGTCACTAGAGCAACTCTGCCCAGCCTCCGACTAGCCTCCACAGCAAAACGCAGCTTGCTGGACTTACAGATGGCCGAAAGGGTCTATCGCATCCCCGGGCCGCTGGAGAGCTTCGCTTCCTGGCCCGCGTGGCAGCGAGAAGTGCACCTCACCCACTGCTGCCAATTTTGCAGGGATCCATTCACATGCCCTCTTTTTGCCAGCCTCAAAGTATGCGCTAGGTGTGGACAGAAGGGCTGTTCGGATTGCGTTAGAGGCTGCGACGATTGCTCTGAATGGGGGGGTCCCGACTGCGACTGCGACCAGGACGACGTCCTCGAGTACGGGTGCACTTGCCAGCGGTCCACGCCCCGCTACTGCTATGAGTGTCACCATGGACCTTTACAGCAAGTGCACTGCGGCAAGGTTGTCTGCGCCAGGCACCTCAAATGGCACGACGACACCGCGGAGGCCTGCGCGCACACTCACCACTGGAGGTCCAAAGGCTGCTGCGACTGTATTCTCCATCAGCGCAAGTGCCGCGACACGCTGGTGCGCGAGGTGGAACGCAATCTATTGCTCGGTGCCAAGGACCGCGCCGCGCCGGCCAAGGACGCGCCGAAGGCGACGGTCGTGCTCGATCGGCTCGTGCGGAGCGGCCAGGAGCCGATGGCGAGCGTCGTGCTCGACTTTGCGGGCGGCCGGCGCAACAACGGGCCGCGCAGCAGAATGCCAAGGCCGAAGTTGAGGGCCAAGAAGGATACGAGAATGAAGGCGCCCCGGAAGATGCTCGCCAAGCTGAACGGTCCCTGGCCGGAGAAGCCCCGACGCGTGGTCGAGGGGCGCTTGTAATGTGCAGTATTATTTAGATTTGAGACGCCTCCTGCGGCTCGCGGGAGAGCCATGCTCTCCCGGCTTTTGTGCTCCCACACGCGATTCGGTACGCCCAGCGCTGCCTAAAAGCCATTAATAGAGGCACCCCGCCGTCGTGGGGCTGCCCGTAACGATCAGCACGATGGGGCAGCGATGATCATTGGCCTCAGATGCGAGCTGGAGGGCCGGCGGCCGCCAGTCACGTTCTCGGACGACGCCTCCGTCGGGACCATGAGCACGCTCGGATCGCCCTACCGGCGGGCGACGGTCACCATTTCGGATGACGCGAGCGTGGGCTCCTACTCGACGTGGTCGACGTGGGGCAGCCCACCGGCGCTGTCCGAGGAGGAGCTGGCGGCCCGGCGAGCGGCGCGGCAGCGGCGGCGCGCCGCGCACGCCGTCGCGCAGCAGCTCGACTTCATGTACCAAGAAAGGGAAGCGTACCGCCGCGACGCGCCGCTGCGGCGCAAGCGCGCGCTGGCGAGGAAGGGTCCTGGCGACTTTGGATTAAAAGTGCCGGAGCTCGCGCCGCGGCCCGTGACGCCCGTTTTACCCGTTGGCAACACTATGACGGGTCTGACCACCAAGGGGCGCAAAAAGAATGCACAACTCGAGCTCAAAGCCGCCGCGGCGTTTCTGGAGAGAGGCGGCAAGGCCGAGGCCGTCGCGCGGGCCGCCGCCAAGTTCAAGAAAGTGGGCAAGCTCCGCACCGTGAGCCGCGGATCGCGCACGCGCGCCCCGCGGCTCACGAACATGAGGCGGGAACTTCCGGAGCCGGCGCCGCAGCCCGAGCCCGCTCCCCTCTTAGATTCGCGGCGCCTCGAACGGCGCTTAAAACGCGACGTCGCCAACTTGCACAAAGCGAAGCCGAGCCCGACGCATCTCAAGGCGAAGCGTGGTCGCGCCCACGCGCTGCGGCTGCGACGGCGCCTCAAGGCGGCGCTCGGCGACGCCGTGCTCGTGTCCGGCGGTGGAGATGCGAATCTAAGGCGAGAACGGGCGTTCCTCGACGCGCTGTCGCCGACGGGCATCGCCAATGATCAACAGCGCATGGCCGCCGGTGACTTCCGCGACGCCCTCGCGAAGCGACTGGATTACCGCATCGACCACGGCGCGGCGAGCGACCTGGCCGCGTTCTTCGGCGGGCACGACGTGCGTTTGCCCGACGTGCCGGGCGGGTTGCAACGGGCGGCGCGCCTGGACGCAGAGAAATTCTGCGGTGCGATCGTCCGCGGCGTCGCGCGTCGCGCGTCGATCGAGGCCGTAGCGCGGGAGGAAGAGTTGGAGGCAGCAACTGCGCGACACCTGGAGTGGCGGGCGGCGAACAAAAGAAAGCGGAAGGAGCGCCGGCGCCGCCGGAAGTTCGACGCGAGTGCCACCCTCAGCGACCTGCGGGCGGCCGAGGCCATGGTCACTCGCGGCGACGAAGACATGCGGATAACTCGGAAACTCGGCAAGGCCATCGCGGCGCGCTTGGATCCCTCCCACCCGCGGCAGGTGCGCACGGCAAAGCTCCTCGCGCCGCCCGACCCGCGCCGGGGCGGCATCTTGCACGACGCGCCGAGCCCCTTCCTGACGAGCGCGTCGGCGCCGTGGGAGTACAAGGACTTCGCCGACTTGCCCGAAGCTGATCAGCGGATATTAGCCGGGTTGATAAGTACATAGCACACAAGTTACACCGTCTGGCCCAGCGGCACGGCCTTGTTCGTCCAGTTGATCAGCGAGTTGTGCACCCCCAAACCCTTCGGCCGCACGACGCCGTCCACGTCCACATACTCGTCGTCGGCGATGGCGTCCTCCAGGTCCTCCTCGTCGTCCGAGAAGACGACGGGCGACTGGCTCGCGACCGCGTCCCGCGCGCGCCCCAGGTCCGTCTTGACCACATTCTTCGCGATACATGCATGGGCCGCCTGCTCCTTGAGCGCGTGGAAGAGCTCGGGGCAACGGGACAAAGCAGAATTGATGATTTGCGCACTCAGGACGCCGTCGCCCAGAAGCCCATTCACCATGGGCCGCAGCCGCAATTCCAGAAGCGTCTTTATGGAATGGCGTTCGTCGTCCGACTTACTCGCGACGCAGAAGAGCTGCGACAAGTCATCGACGCCCCCTCCACTTCTCTCGAAAAGCTCAAGCAGCCCGGGCAGCTTGGCTTCCAGAGGCTCCCTCCTCGACGTACCGGGATAGGTGTCCGCCAGCAACCGCAACGCGAGTAATAAGCCCAGCGCGTTCAGACCGTCGTCGCCACCAAAGTGCTCCCAGAGCGCTTCGAAGTGGTCACCGTTGAGGCTGGCCACAGCCGCGCGGAAGTTCGACCGTGACACGGTCTTCTTAGCATCAAACAAGTCCGCCACCTTCACTAGCAAAGGCGCCTCCGCCTCAATAACGGTCCTATCCAACAAAAAGTGGAGCTCGCACGCCCTTAAAAAAGCCTTCAGTGCCTGCCACTTGAGCTGGGCCTTTCTATCGTCCTTTCGAAACCGCTCCAGCTGGACCCTTCTGATAACCTCCTCCCGCGTCTCGTTCCGCTCCAGGATCAGATTTTTGCCGGACTGGTGGTAGACGTGCGTATCATCATTTGTGTTTGTTGGAGGGCGCTTCGATGGAGCCGACCTAGGACGCCTTGTTGTCAAGAGGGGCTGCCGCTTCAGGGGCCGCGCGCTGTGGAAGTCGTGCGTGGCTTTGGTCTGGCGGTGTTGCCTTCGCGCCCGCGGGTCCACGTGCTGCGGGCCGCGCGGCACGGGCTCGCGCCCATCGACCAAATGGCCGTACGTGTCCCTGCGAATGGAGGCGGACTTGGGCCTCGCCCGACTCCGTCGCAGCCGTTCCTTTTTGCGACGCCCGACTTCGGCTAACGTAGCCGTGGTCTGCGACGAGTAGAACTCGGACCCGCGGAACGTTTCCTTGAGCACGTTTTTGGCAAATGCCCCGGCGCCGGGGAAGCGCGCCTCGTCGGGCCAGCACCGACACGAGAATGTTGTACTTGGACCGGCCACATAGCCCAGCGTCTCGTTCCTCAGAGGAGGCGCCCACTCGTCCGCTAATAATGACACGGACGCCGCCTCGAAGCTTGTGACCGATGGCACTCCTTTATTGGTACGGTCCGCGGACCGCCTCACTATGGTCGAGGCGCCCCTCCCTCCATACCGATACGCGGCGCCCCGCATACTCCCGGGCGGCACCACGGCGTTGCCCGCGTAGAAGTGGCCCTCCCTCCCGACAACGGGGCGCGGTTCCGTTCGCTGGTGGTGGTAGGCGAAGAGTCTTTCATGTAAATCGACCGGCACCGGTTCGGGCGCCGGCTTTTGTTCTGGTATCGGAGGCGGTGCGGGCTTCTTCCTCCGAATCTTGCGCAGCAGCGGGTCGCGCGTCGAACAGCCATAAAGCCGCGCGCGCCGCAGGGTCTCTGTCCGAGGCTTGTACTCCGCATATGAGCGTGGGGCTGCTGGTCCACCCATTTTGCGGCTGCCCCGCGCGCACGGCTGGCGTGTGTCGGTGCTCTCGGCGCTTCTCGCGGCACTGAGCCTGCTCGCACAGCTTGTATAATCTGCGCTGCGTCCAGCGCCTCCCGCGCGCGGCCGTGCAACATCAGACCTCGGAGCTATCTCGAGCGAGACGTCCCGACCGGCTCTGTGGAGCCGTGATCGTCAGAGAGGGAGCTGCTCGAAAAAGCTAGTAGCTCCGAGCACCAGGCCATCCGAGCTCGTAAATTGAGCGCGGCTCGTACGCGTCGGGCAGCCCCCCCTGCTCGGGCAGCCCACGCGTCGTTGCACGCCTCGCTGCGGCCCGGCCCCGGCTTGGGCGCAGAACGCGCGCCGCCGCCCCTGCGGCAGCCCTGAAACTAAACTTTCGCACAGCTGCGCGTCGGCCTCGGCTGTGGCCTGAACCAGAGGGCGCCGCCGCCCCCGCCAGCCTGAAACTAAACTTTCGCACGCCATGCCGCCGGGCCGCAAGCCGGAGCCGGTCGCCACGGCCGCGGCCATCGCCGCCATCGTCGAGGAGACCCATCAAAAGGAGTACCGGCCCATCCTCCAGGCGTTGGACGTGCGGCTCGCCGCGACGCGCGAGGGCCAAAAGAAGGAAAGGTACCGCGTCTTGGTCAGCGACGGCACGCACTTTTTGAGATGCATCGCCGCGGAGGCGCTGGCGCCGCTTTGTGCGGAGACTGGCACTCTCAAAAAGGGCTGCCTGATCCAGCTGAAGCAGTGGCGCGTCACTCGCATCCAGACGCGAGCGGTCATTGTGCTGCTGGACGTGGAAGTTGTCTGTGGCCCCTTGGCGAAGATCGGCGCGCCGGTGAACTACGCGGCCCCCGAGGAGATCAAGAAGGAGCAACTTAAACAATCGTCGTCCCAGGGCTACCAGGATTTGGCCGAGGACGTGGTGTTGGGCATCGCGCGGGCCATGGGCGCCATGCGGCCCGGCGGCCCGTCGCAGGCGGGGGCCGGGCCCACGGCGCAGCGCGAGATCACCTCCAAAAGCTACCAGATGGACATTGCGCGGGACGTCGCGGCCCTGGACGCGGCGCTCGACGCCGGCATCGCGCGGCCGCGGGACGCGGACTGCGCGGCGCGAGCGGCGAATGTCAGGGACGCCGCGGCTGCGGGTGCGCCCGCGGGCACGTCGGAGAAGGCCCGGAACGTGTTGCGGAGGACCGTCGCGCGGCATCTGGCGGGCTGCCGCGACGACGCGGACCCGGACCAGAACGACGGGCCCCTGCCGTTGGCCGCGTTTGCTGCCTTAGATGCTCTCAGACACACCGCAACCTCCGTCGACGACGTCTCCGAGGCGTCGGCGAAGGATGCCGAAGCCTTAGCTCGGTTGGCCCGGCGCGTCCACCACCACGACTTTTTGCTGAGGCCCTCGGCCCTTGGTTTATTAGCGTCGGTCGCCGCGAGACAAGAAGCGCGCCACGCCAAGGTCAAGGAGGCCGCGCGCAACGGCAAGCCGCCGTCGCCAAGTGATCGAGCTTTGTTTGATGAGTTAAGACGCTGCGCGCAGTGCGTCCTTTCTCGTTTGCTGGCGTGGCCTGAACGAGCGGCGCGATCGCGGGCCGTCATCGAGGCTAGTAACAAGAAGACGGCGGAAGATGATGCTGGAGGTGCCTTGGCTTTCTACGACGCCATTGCTTGTGGGGAGGCTTTACGAGCTCTCTCGCTGTTGGGAAGGCTGGGCGTCGTCGGCGCGACGGCGGATCAGACCGATAGCGCGCCGTTAGTTGCGCTCTTGGGCGACCGGAGCGCCGTCGCCGAAGGTCTGGCCGCGACGGACGACCCCGTCGCGGCGGCCAAGGCGCCGGCCAAGGCTACTGTTGGAAGAGCTGTCGCAGCGTGTTTGCGGGCGGCGTGCGAAGGCGAGGCCTGGGAACCCAGAAGGCCCGGCGACGATGATGAAAGGCAGTTGTGGCTCGACGACGTCGCCGCGCACGACGGGCCCCGCTTACTGTTAGAGCTTTTACTATCGCGAGAAGATGCCAACGGCGTCGAGGACTGCGGTTGCGACGATGCGTTTGAGATATTGTCGGCGCTAGCGCGAGTGCCACGGCACCAGGGCGCGGTCGTCGAGAGAATCGTGCGGAGGGTGGGAGGCGGTGTTTTCAGCGCACATGCGGCGGGCATGGCCCTGTATCAAATGGTCGACGGCTCGACCCATAAAAAGGGCGAACTTGCGATCTTGACAGCACTGGAGGCCATCCGCGAACGCGCCCGCACGTGCCGGAACGGCGCCGACTTTAATAAGAGAAAGGGCATCAAGCCCATCAAGAACGGCGAAGAACTGAAGAAAGCAAGTGCCGAGGCCGACGCGGCCATGGCCGAATTGCTCGCCGAGGAGGACCGCGAAAAGGAATCTAAGAAGAAGAAAAAGAAGAAGAAGAAGCCCCCGTCGTTGGACGAGAAGCCTCCCGTCGTCGTGGAGCCTACGCCTGAAGAATCGGAAGGCGAGGACGAGTCGGATGATGACGTCGATTTATTGGCCTTCGCGGGCGGGCGGGCCGCCCAGCAGGTCCGGCAACAACGAGAAAAGAAGAAGGCCGCCGAGGTCAAGGACGAGCCCAAGCCGGTGGTGGAAGAGAAGAAGCCCCGCGCGTCCAAGGCCGAGCGCCGGCGCCAGGCGAAATTGGAACGCGAGAAGTCCGAGCAGCGCAAGCGCGACAAGGAGGAGCGCCTCGCGCGCGAGCGCGCCCAGGCCGAGCAGCGGCGCCGGTCCGCCGAGGGGCGGGCCCGGGCCCAGGCCGAGAAAATACAAGCGCCCCCTCCAAAGGCCGTCGCGCCGCCGCCGGTCCAGGCCTGGGGCGGCGCCGCGTCTCAGAAGCCCGAGCCTTCTTTTAGTTTGAATGACGACTTTCCGCCTCCTTCTGCACCAGCGTCGCCGCCCGCGCCTGCGCGCCTCCTGGACCTCTCGGCGTCGCGACCGCTGCAGCCCGCGGCGGCGGCGCGCGCCGCCGACGACGTCGACGATTTGTTACGAGCGGCCATGGACGTGACACTGGACGACAGCGACCCGCGCGTGCCTACGCGCCGCGCCGCTGCGCCGATTGGACCGCCGGGAGTTGGGGCCATCGGCCGCGCGCCGGGCCGGCCGCCAGTCGATGAACCGCCGCCGTCGTGGGGTTTTGGCTCAACGGGGCCGCAGCTCGGTGCCGTGGGGCTGCCGTGGGCGGGTCTGGCCGGCGTGCGGCCGGAGAATCCGGCGGTCGCGAACCCGTCACCGTTCGGTGGCTTTTGAGACCATCTTTTGCCCTCAAAGGGCGTTGGTTAATTCATATTTTGAGTGCATTTTTGCGCGTTGCTAGAATTACAGGCACAGGTGCTTATGCTCACAGTGTGCAGCGAATGGTGCAGCTGGCCCGCTACTGCATCATGTCGAGGGCCGTCAAGATGCGCGGCTTCTTCGCGAGGCACTCGCGCACGTAGCGGTCGAGCTCGCGGAACGTGTGCGCGTCGATCATGTCGATGCTGATCTCGATCTCCTCCTTGGTGGTTTTGTCGATGGCGTCGGGGCACATCGTGTCCAGCTTCTCGACGAGCACGCACATCTCCTCCGGCGTGATGTGGTAGATGGCGTGGCTGAACCGCGTCTTCTCCATTAAATCGGGCATGGGCGTGAGATCCGGTGCCACGGCCTCGACCTCGGCCCAGCTCTCCGCCGACGAGACCGACGGGGGAGCGATCTCCGACCACGTCGTCGTGGAGGACGGCGGCGAGGGCTTCTCGCCCGTCGACGGTTTGTCGCCGGCCTCGAGCATAGCCAGCTGCTGCTTCGTCAGGCCCGCGGGTGGCTCCTCGTCGCACGTAGTCTTCGGCGGCACGTCCGTGCCCGCGCGCACGAGCATGTAGAATACGAGCGCCAGCGCCGCGACGACGGCCCACACAGGTCGGTTGCGGGCCGTGGGTTGCCGCCCACAAGCCTCCGGGAACTTCTCCACCGGACTTAGGGTCCACGTGTCGCCGTCGCTGCACGCGCTCAGCAGTAATTGGGAATGCTGCTCGTCGACGGCGAAGATCTCGATGCCCAGGCCCATGACCGCCCTCCTTGCGGCATCGAGGCCGCCACCCGCCTTACGCGCGGCGGTCATCGCCTGCAGCGGCTGCTCCGCGAGGCCGCAGACCGTCGTGAGATACGCGCGCGCGTCCCGGACGCCGGCGCACTCGCCGTGCTTCTCCCACTCGTGCGTCTCGAAGTCAACTATATGAGAAGTGCCTTCGCCCGTCGCGCCGTAGCACTGGACGACGCGGCGCGGGTCCGCCGTCGAGAGCGACGGCTTGGCGCACTCGGACGTGCCGTAGGGCGCGACCTCGGGCCAGAGACCGTGCACCGACGGCGTCGGGTGGCTGTAGGCTCCCTGCCCGAGTCCCGTCTGGAGCGTCAGGACGCCGCAGAGCGCCACGCCGTCGCCGCAGACCATCTGGCCCTGCGCGGCCGGCCACTGCCGCGGCGGCGGCATGTTGTTCCGCGCTAGCACGAGCAGCGCGCCGCCCGCGACGGCGGCGAGGAGGACGAGGCCTCGCCTGGTTTTGTGGGAGAGCATGATTCTTAGTATGCGGTTTGTGGATTTGAGCGCCGTGGTGCGCTGCTGCGTCGTTGGATATCGCGGTGGCGTCGCGGCTGGCTCGCCTCGCGCGCGCTGCGTATCAGAGCAGTGCTAAGGACCCTTGGGTTTCCTCAAAGAAATCGCCCGCGCGCGCTCTCTGCTGGCCAGGGCGCGACGACGCAGCGAAAAGAGACACCCCGCGGAGTCCGAGCGACGCGTAAGAGTCTAGGCACTGTCAAAAACCCAGCGCTGCTCGAAGTTATGGACTCCAAGCTAGCGTCGTCCCACACTAGCAAAATCCGCAAGCCAGTCAGAGGCCACTCACAGCGACGCCAGTAGCATTGCAAGTGTTGTGACTCAACAACGCAGCTCCTGGCACCGCAGAGACGCCATGCAGCAAGTTGCGTGGCTCCTCGCAACGTATATTGCGTGTACGAGCGCCCTGCTCCCTACGGCTGGACTCGTAGCCACCACGCCGGCAGCCAGAGGCGCCACGACCAGACTCGCAGCCACGACGCCGTCGCTCGGTCTCTACGGCGACTGGGAGCCGAGTGCGGGCGGCAGCTACGTCCTCGAGGCGGCGGACGGCCCCGAGGCCGCGAAGGGCGTCGTGCACTTTTTGGGAGGCGCGTTCGTCGGCGCGGGGAGCCAGCTCACGTACCGCTACCTGCTCGAGCGCTTCGCCCAGGCGAACTATGCGGTGATCGCGACGCCGTTCCGGCTGTCCTTCGACTACCAGTCGGTCTGCGACGCCGTCGAGGCGTCGTACGACGCGGCGCGCGCCGAGGCACAAGAAAGGGGCTACGGCAGCGACCTCGAGGTCGTCGGCGTCGGCCACTCCTGCGGCGCCCTGCTCCAGGCGCTCATCGCGACGCGGCGGCCGAACGAGCGGCGGCGGCTCGCGCTCCTGTCGTACAACAACAAGCGCGCCGCGGAGGCGATCCCGCTCTTCGAGTCGGTCGTGGCGCCCATCGCCGTCGAGGCCGTCGCGGAGTCGCTCCCGACGACGCCCTTCGCGCGGCAAGCCTTATCGCTGCTGCGGAACGCCGGCGAGGAGTTGTTGGATGCAGCCACCGACACGGACAGCCAGAACCCCTTCATGCGGCTGCGCGCCGCGGCGCCGGCGAACGTGCGCGCGCTCGGCGACGCCTTCGTCGGGGAGACGTCGACGATCGCGCGCCAGGGCCTGGAGCTCGCGGACCAGCTCCCCGACCTGCTGGGCGAGATCGCGGGCGGCGCGCGCGAGTTCGAGCCCGAGCCGCGCGAGATGCGCGAGCTCCTGCGGCTCTCGTTCCGGGCAGAAGACGTGCTCGTGGTGCAGTTCGACGACGACCAGCTAGATGAGTCGGACGAACTCTACAGCGTGCTGCGGGACTCGGTCGCGCGGCGCCAGGCCGAGGGCGAGGTCGAGGGCGCGGCGCCGGCCGTGCGTCTTGCCAGATTGGGCGGCACGCACGTCACGCCGCTGACGCAGGACATCTTCCTGCCGGCCGAGAAGGTGTCGGAGTACGCGTCGGCCGCGGCGAACGTGTCGCCCGTCATCGAGGCGCCGCGGCGGTCGTTCCTCCGCGACGTCGACGCGACGTGGGGCGAGCTCGAGGCGTGGCTCGCGCCGAGGTAAGGTGTACTACATGTCGATAGTTGTTAAGCACACACTGATACATGCGATCGATGGAGATAAGACTTGTTGCGATGTCGATGTTCGATGTTCGAAATATGAGGCCTCAGGCCTCGCGCACGTGGAATTGCAGCTCGTCGCCGACGCGCGCCGCGTCGACCGAGAGGCCCGCCATGTAGTCGTGGCCGGGGCTGAACGCGTGCGGGCCGTAGCGTATCACGTCGCCGGTCCGCGAGACGAGGTCGCGAATGGGACGCACCTCGCCTCGCAGGCCTACGAGTAGTTCGCGGTCGAGCTGCGCCCGCTCGGCCGGCGTCGCCGCGTGCCGCGCGTCGTCGATGGCCGAGAGCGGCGGCTTCCCGTTCAGCCCGGTAATGACGGCGCCGCCGCGCGCGACGGCCGTGACCCGGGCGGGCTCGCCGACCGGACGCGTGAGAGCCACCACGGCGCCCATGACGCATGCGCTGCGCAGCACCACATGCAGGGCCCGCATGGTCTCCTCCTTGCCCAGCTCGTTTCAGATGTAAAGATGTGTTACCATGCAATATGTACCCTACGCACCTTGTTATATTGATTCCGCACTGCACTCCTGCTTTTATTATAGCTGCTCTCGCTTGCGTTGCCGCAATAGCTCTGACCTTCAGCTGCAAAAACTTGACGTGTCTAGAGACTATACAGGCCGCTAGCTAAAGCCGGTTGCCATATTGCAGCCGGCACATAACGCGCCGGCCGCGCTGGTCATTGCGAGCGGGTTACGGCCCTCTACCAGTAAGTAGCCAGCGGCCTCGTGGAAATTTGCGGGCGTCGTCGTTCCGTCGGACACGAACGGTCCCAAAAAACCGACGACCCGTCAGAGCAAAACAGCCGTCGCGCGGACGCGTACGGCACACGGGCACCCAGTAACAATGGCCAAGACGCGCAAAGGCAAGGGCAAGGGCGGCGGCCGGAAGCGGAAGCCCTGCGAGCTCGGCGACCTCTGCCCGTACAAGCACGAGGGCCAGCATAGGGGGGAATACTGCCACCCGGGCGATCCCGACCATCCCGACACGGTCAAGCCCGCCGCGAAGAAGCCCGCGGGCCGCGGCCGTAGATTAGGGGGCACCACCGCGGGCGGTGGAGGCCGGACGCTCGGCCGCGGCGGCCCGGCGCCGGCCCCGAAGCCGGCCAAGAAGCCCGCGGCCCGCAAGGCCCCCGCGGCAAAGAAGCCGGCCGCCAAGAAGCGCCGCCGGTCGTCGGACGTCATCGACCTCGCGGCGTCCTCGGGCGACGAGGCGCCGCCGCCGCGCCGGTCGCCGCGCCGCGCGGGCGCCCCCGCGCCGGCCATCGACCTCGCGGCCTCGTCCGACGACGAACCCGCGCCGGCGCCCGCGCCCCGGCCGAAGCGGCGCAAGCGCGACGTCCTCTCAGATTCGTCGGACGACGAGGCCCCGCCGCCGCGGCCGCCGCCGCCGCGCAAGAAGGCCCCCAAGGCGGCGCCCATCGACGTCGACGCCGAGGCGCCGATCGACGTGGACGTCGACGACGACGAGCCCGCGCCGACGCCGCCGTCGCCGCGCGCGCCGCCCGAGACGCCCATCGACGTCGACGCGCTCGACTCGGACGACGGCGCGCCGCCGCCGCCGCCGCCGCCGCCCGCGCCGCGGCGCCCGCGCGTCGACGACGACCTGCGCCTCGCGCTCGCGCTGTCGCGCGGCGAGCGCCCCGGGGGCGGCGCGCCGTTCGGCGGCGGCGGAGAGGCGCGGCCGGAGCGCTACGCGCCCTTCGGCGGCGACGCGGAGCTGCGCCGAGCCCTCGCCGAGTCGCGGCGGCGGCGCCGCGAGGCCGAGGAGCTCGAGCGCGCCCGGGCGCGGAGCCGCGCGACCGAGGCGCGCGCGGTCGTCGACGAGACCGAGGACGCCTACGCCGCCTCGCTGCGCGAGGACCAGGCCAAGGACCGCCGGCGCCGCGAGGCGGCCGCGGCGCAGGCGGCCGTCGACGCGGCCAAGGCCGCCGAGAAACAGAGAGAGGAGGCCCTGGTGGAGCGCCGCGCGGCCGCCAAGGCGCGCGTCGATTCCACAGAGGAGGCGGCGGGCCCGGCGGCGAAGCGCGTGCGCGTGCGGCTGCCGGCGGGGCCGCCCCTCGCGCGGGCCTTCCGCGAGGGCGACGCCATCTCAGTCGTCCGCGACTTCGTCGACGCGTCGGGCCGCGCGCCCCGGAACTTCGCGCTGGTTTATGCTGGCCCGCCGAAGCGGACCCTCGGCGACGACGACGCGCCGCTCTCCTCGCTGGGCCCGGGGCCCGTGGCGCTGATGGTCGCGGACCTCGACGCCTAGCTGTACATCTATCCCCCCCCCACGTATAACAAGATGTCTTAACACACCACATCACGGCTGCTCGAAGACGCGCCACGGCTCCTCGACGTCGTCGAGGTCGTCGTCCGCGTCGCCGAAGGAGAGCGCGTTCCGGGCCGCGCGCCGCCGCTCCGCCGCCCAGCGCCCTATTTTCAACGGCCTGAGCCAGGGCGGCGGGGCGCCGACGCAGAGGTTGAACTGGACGCACAGCTTGACCGGGAACCAGATGACGTAGGACCAGAGGACGCCCGCCGCCCACCAGGCCACGACCTGCGCGGACGTCGCATTTCGTTAACCCAACGCACTGCCTGCTTTCCACGCAGGGCCGCGACGGGCGCGTCGCTATCGGACCCGTCGAGACTCATCGCCTCCAGGACGAGGAAGCCGCACGCGAGGAGCACGAGGGGCAGCACGACGGCGTGGCCGAGCGCCTCGAGGGTCTTCTGCGTGCATCTGAAAACCGTTTCCCGCTTGCGGCCCCGCCGCTCGAAGCGCGCGCACGGACACGCCAACAAAAACCACAGGAGCTCCGCCAGAATTAGGAGAGGCACGGAGATGTAGGCGACCGTTATTTGCGCGTTGTGCGCGTAGTTGTTTAGCGACGTCCAGGGCCGCTCGGCGCGCGACGCGGCACCCGCCGCCCAGATCGCGTAGGCCTGCTGGACGAGTTCCGCCGCGAGGGCCTCGCTTCTCCCATAAGGATGGGCCGGGTCCCGTAAGCAAAAGAGGGCCGGGTGGTTGTTCCTCGCGTAGAACCAAAAGTCCTCGAGGTAGCCGCGAGGGAAGGGCGAAAACCACTTGAGCAGCGACGGCGTCGTCTGGACGTCATCCAACCCTTTACCCCAGTAGCACCGGCCCTTCACGAGGCCCATCTCCCGCAGGTGCCTTACTCGTTCAACCGCCATGGCCTGGACGAAGCGCTTCCAGCCCCGCCGCGAGACGAAGGGGCCGCTCGAATCGTCGATCTCCTGCAGCGCGCGCCCGACGCCTCTCCGGTCTCGCAACAGCCCCTTCAGAATCGCGTTGCCCGTCTCGCGCACGTAGTGCACGACCGCGTCGGACCGGACGCCCTGCCGCAGCTCCTCCGCGCTCAGGCGCCCGTCGCCGTTCGTATCGAGCAAGTCGAAGATGGGCTCCGCGCCGCTCACGTCGATGACGTCCGCGTTGGACAGCGCCGCCAGCACCGCGAGCTCGTTCGGCGGGCCCAGGGCCGCCTGGCGGGCTTCACACTCGGCGTCGGAGGCATCACTGGCGCGCATCATTGTTTTATGGGGCGGTGGAGCGGTGGGCGGCGCGCCGTGGGGGCGGGCTGCGCCGCCGGGCTCTTCCTCCGCCTCGGGCCACGTCGACGACGCGCAGGCGCCTGCGCTCGCCTTGTATCGAGGCCAAACACAAAACAAAACGAGGATGCTTGGCTTGCTAGTGTCTTACGGCCGCTAGCGCGGTTCGTGGGCGTGTGTTCTTTTTGAGAAGATTAATGAGAACGGTATTGGGTCTCGGGAAGCCTTGCTCACGAGATTGCGATGCGAGCATAATCCAAGCTCCAGCCTTTTTCCCGCCGCCATCCTCCACAGTTTCGCCGTCATCGTGAGCGTTGGACGCGCGACTCGCAGAGTGAGCCTCTTTTTTGATCGGCGGACGCGTAGCGAGCCGGTGGGTTAAGTTGTGACTTAGGCCTAAGTTGGCAGCTTTTTTGCTACAACAAGCCAAATCAGAGCGCCGGGCGCGCGAGACGATAACGAGCGTCGGGAGTAACAGGTCATTCCACCCGAAAACCGCTCGCGCGAGACGCCGTCGCCGCGCCGCGTTCGCAGACGTAACGACGAGAAAAGATGGGCTGCGGCGCCTCCGCGCCCATGGAGGAGAAGACGAGCCCCCTCGACGTCGACCGCACGCCGTCCGCGCGGCTGCGGGTCGAGCGGTCGCTCTCCGCGTCCGTGCGCGGCGAGACCGCCGTGACGTTACGAGGCTACGAGTTCTCCGGAACACTCGGCTACGGCGCCTTCGCGCGCGTGCTCAAGGCGCGCCATATAGCATCAGGTGGAGACCGCGCCGTCAAGGTCATCGACAAGGCGGTGCTACGGAAGAAGAAGACGATGAGGAGGAGCGGCTCGGCGATTGCCGTCTCGTCCGCGCTAGATAAACTCGAGGCGGAGATCACTTTGCAAAAAGACTTCGCGCACGGTCATATTATCAGGATCTTCGAGGTCGTCGAGGACCCGGTCGCGGACCGCACGTTGCTCGCTGTGTGGAAATCAAATTTACGGCGCGCTCGTCCTGAATCGCTGCGTCGACCTCCACGCCATCGACGCGACGCCTGCTCGATGGCGTGGCGATGTCGGTTCCTCACCGCTCGACAGAACCAGCGCGGCCACGCCATCGCCGTGCACCCGACACACTGGTTGATTTCCACACAGGTTGCTCGTGATGGAGCTCGCCGCCAGAGGACCGGTCATGACGTTTGACGGGAAGCTCTTCTCCTGTGCGGTGTCCGGGGAAGCCGTCGAAGCCGACCGAGCGGCGCGCATCGTGGCCGAGGTCGCGTCGGCGTTGTCCTACTTGCACATGCGGCACGTCGCGCACCGCGACCTCAAGCCGGACAACATCCTGCTGGATGCAAGGGACGCGGCGAAGCTCTGCGACTTCGGCGTGTCGCACACCTACGGCAATTCCCTGGGCGGCCGGGACGGCGACAGCGGCGCCTTCGACCGCAACGTCTACGGCGCGGACCGGGCCAAAAGGTTGAAAGAAATAGGAAGAGCCAAGTCCGCGGCGCAAGTCGCGCAGACCGAGGGCACCTACGCGTACTGGGCGCCGGAGATGATGAACGAAGCGGCGACGTTCAACGCCTTCTCGTGCGACTGCTGGGCGCTCGGGGTGTGCTTCTACAACTTTAGGACGCGGCGGTCGCCCTTCGAGAGCGAGACGCTGGATGGGCTCTTCGATCGCATCAGTCGCGCCGACCGGGACCCGGCGCCTGAATATTTGTCGCCCACGGAAACGAAGCTGCTGGACGGGTTATTGGAGAAGGACCCGGATGCGCGGCTCACGGTGGGAGACTTACTGGAAGACCCCTACCTATCGGCCTATGCACTCCACGAGGAGCGCCAGACACAGTTCCGGAACCGGACGCCGAGGGAGAAGCTGTCGAAGCGCGGTTCATTAAGAGGCGGCTTCGCGGGGAACTCGCCGCTCGCGCGCGGCGACGGCAAGGAGGAGTCGCCGCAACTCGAGAAGGCCCCCTCGGAGACGATCTCGGAGCTCGCGACGCTGCAGAGCGAGAACGCGACGCCTCCTCCGGCGTAGTAGACGATCCTTGTTATAAGATCCGCTAGTCCCACTAGATGGAGTTGCTATGCGATCTAGGTCACCACAGCTCGATCACGCATCTAGGGCTAGTGTGTTATACGCTTGGTGCAAAACATAATGTAGCGTGCAGTGCATCCGTGTTCGTCGGCGCACGTGCGTGCGTTCATAGGTGCCGTGTCGTCGAATCAATGCATGAAAGCAACACAGGGCTGATTGTCTAAGAGCAAGATCAAATGGTCAGCTTCGCAAGCGCCCTGGTGGCCTGCATTGGGGTCATAGCTGCGGGCTACGCCGCCGGCCGCCTCAAGATCATCGACACGAAAGGCGCGGGGCCCGCAGCGATTGGCGCCTTCGTCGGCCGGTTCGCGCTGCCGGCGCTGCTGTTTCGCGAGCTCGCGACGCTGCGCTGGAAGGACATCGACGGGCGGCTCCTGGCGTCCGTGGCCGCGGCGAAGGCGTTGTTGTTCGCGGGAGTGCTCGGCTGCTCGACGCTGCTGGAGAGCCGGCGGGCGGGCGACGACCAGTGCACAAATTAAATTTCGCGGCGCCGCGTCGCGCTGAGAAATGCTCAGTTTGTGAAGAATTATCGGGTGCACCCGACTCACTAGTTGATTTGCACAGGCGACGACCGCGACTTCAAACGCCTCGTGGCCGCGTCGGCATCGCGGGCGATATTTTGCACGCAGTCCAACGACTTCGCCCTTGGCCTGCCGGTGATCCAGGCGCTCTACGGCGGCGACGAGGGCCGGCGCATGGTGGCCATGCTCTACTTACTCGCATCGATCAGTGCATGAATCAAATTGCGCGGCGCTTCTCGCCCACGGCTCAATCATGACCTCCACGCTATCGACGCGATGCCTGCTCGATGGCGTGGCGATGCCGGTTCCTCACCGCTCGAACGGAGCCAGCACGGCGGCGTCATCGCCGAGAAATGACTTAGTGAAGAATTATCGTGCACCCGACGCACTGATTGATTTGCGCACAGGCGCCGATCTCGCTCGTGCTGCTGAATCCGATCGGTTTCCTGCTCATGGGCCTGTACGAGCCGGACGAGGGGCGGTCAGGGCGGAAGGAAACGGTCCGGCGCGTGCTGAAGCGCGTCGCGACGACGCCGCTCGTGGCTTGCACGGCGCTCGGCGCTTTGTACGGCCTGGCCCTCGGGCCGGACGCGCTGCCGGCCTTCGCCGACGGCTTCCTCGGCATCCTGGGCGCCGGATTCACGCCGACCGCTCTGTTCTTCACGGGCCTGTCGCTGGTCGGCCGGGTGACGCCCGAGACGGACCTGCTGGTGCCGCTGGCTCTATCATTCGGCAAGTGCGTCGCGCTGCCCGTCGTTATTTACGCGATCCTCGACGTGGCCGGCGCGGACGCGCTGTCCAAGGGCTTTGGGTTCGTGGTGGGCGCGATCCCGACGGCGCCCTCGGTCCTCGTCTACACGAACGAGTACCTGCGCCACGACGAGGCCCTCGTCGCCAAGACGTCCGTAGCATTGGTCGTGTGCACCGTCTTCTCCACCCCAATCATCTTCGCGGCCGGCCTCGCGGCGCGGTCCGAAAGTATGGCGACGGCCGCCGACGCCGAGGTCGCCGACGCCTTCCTCTGCGTGCCGTCGGCGCTCCTCGCGACCTGGTGCCTATGTTCCTTCGCAGCGACGTGGCGCGACGAGGGCACCGACGACGACCGCTTCGCCATACTCTCGGTGAACGCCCTGTGCCACGCCGTCGGCGCTTTATCCGCAGCGCTCTGCTCCGTCGCGTCCGGCACGGCGGGTGCCGCCGTCGTCGAGGTCGCGCGGCTCGCCTCCTGCGGCACGGCCGCCTGCGGAGCGCTGCTGCCCGCGAACGGCCCGAAGCGCCGCGGATCGGCGCTGTTGACCGACGACGTCGCCGCGAAGACCTGGACTTCGGCGCAGCGTATTTCGGCGTTCGCGTTCGCGGTCCTGGTGCCCGTCGCGGCGACGGTGGCCGTGGCCTCTCACGGGGGCACGGCACGAGACCGCTGCGGCGTCGCGTTCGGCGCGCCGCAGGATGCGCTGACCTTCGTGTACATGCTAGCCTGCGTCGGCGCCGCGTTAATTGGCCTGCGGCGCGCGCGGACGGCCGCGGACCGGCGCTATGCGTCGAATCCCGACCTCGTAGCCCTCGCCGCCAACGCGGAAGGCATCGCGTCGCCGCTCCGGAGCGACGGCGGCGAGGTCCCTACGGCGCCGCCGAGCCCACGCCTCTCGACGGCGATCGGCCACCGCCTGCTTTTGTTCGTCCTGTTGCACGCCGCCGTGGCCTTTCTCGCCGCCGCCGCGTCGGCGTCGCGCCTCGCCACGCGCCGGATGGCAGCCGTCGACGTGCTCGACCTCGTCGAGCGCACCGCGTCCTCCTTGATGGGCGCATTTCTGTTCCTGATCTTTGGCCTGGCCAAGGACCAGGTTCTCGTGCGGCACATCTCCGACGCCGTCGCGCGCCTGCGAGAGCCCCGGTCCCCGGCCCCTTCGCCTTCAGGCTTCACCGAGCAGTGGTTCTGAATCTAATTTTTGTGTCTACTCTTACCCACCTCGCAGCGCCGCCATGATGTCGAAGCTGTCGTCGTGGCCGCCGCTCGCCAGGTCGCTGTTGTCGTCCGGCGCGGCATCAGCCTCGTTGACGAACGCGCTCGTCTCGCGGTCCCCGAGCACGCACTGCTGGTAGATGGTCTGCCGCGCGCGCTGCACGCGGACCTGTGTGGAAATCGATTTTCGCGACGTCGTCCCCGTAGCGGCATCTGCTCGATGGCGTAACCTAACTCACTGTTTGATTTCCACGCCGACGCGGACGGCCGTCGACACCGGCGTGAACAGCTGCTCGATCACCGTCGTTAGTAAGAGGAACCCGACCGAGAACGCGATGAAGAGGCCGAGCTTCATCTTGACCGCCTGGTAGTCGCGCCTCCCGTCCTCCTCGTACCTTGGATTCAGGAAGATGGGCGAGATGTCCACGACGAAGAAACAGAGGGCCACGTTCGTCACGCAGCCGATCTTCGACAATATTTGAAAGATGTCCTCCCAGATCCCGATGTTCCTCACTTCCAGCGGCAGCGGCCTTCTATGAAGCTTGAGCAATTTGTGGCCGTCCATCCAGATCTGCAGCGTGTTGAACGCGAAGCTAATCAGCGGCGCGAAGGGGTAGACCGCCGTGAACATGGTCACGTAGCCGAACTGCAGCGTGAGCTCCACGTAGTCCTCGATGGGACCCTCGATGTTGTCGTACTCCGTCAACTCGACAAAATCCTTGCGCGCCTCCGTGCGCCAGTCGGCGTCGGGTTCTCCCTCAGTACCACCTAAATTGTCCTCGCAGCCCAGCCGCTGGATCCGCCGCTGGGACAGGAACCGCAGCACGACGGGCAGCACGGCCTGCTTGGCCAGGGAATACCCCGCCTGGCCCGCGAACAGGATGGCGATCTGGAAACTCAATTCGCCCTTGCAGTTATTGGTCGGTGGGCACATCTTATCGTCGTCGTAGCGCATGGGCTCGATGAACGCGACCCAGAACTGCGGGAGGAAGGTGTTGATGAGCTGGAAGATGACGTCCTTCATCGTCAGGTGGTGCGCGTATTCTTCGTCGGTCTTCCAGTTCTCGTATTTCGTAAGTATGCGGGCTAGAATCGAGCCGAGGGCGTTGACGCCCTGGACCTGGCACATCGCAATTAATATAGACAAGTGGTTGTTCGCCAGGCCCTTTATCTGTTCGTCCTTCTGGTGCTTCAGTACGTTGACGTACGCGACGACGCCAAGGTCCGCCCATAATAAAACGACGATGATCGACCAGGCGACCGTCTGGCGCCCGCGCCGCCACCAGTCCGGGAAGTCCAATTCGACCTTGCCGTGCACGACCGACGTCATGGGCAGCCCCTCGAAGGCCGGCCGCACGCGCGGCTTCGCGTCGGCCCACTGGTTCGCGCCCCAGCGCTTGTTGCAGACCTCCTGCTGCCGTTTGAACTTCTGGAGCGTGATGGAGCACATGATGATCACCAAGCCGGCGTGCAGCGCGTTGGGCACCTGGTGGATGGCCCCGTGCCCGTTGAACGGCGGCACGAGCTTCATCAACGCGTACAGCACCAGGCCGATGATGCCGTTGATGAGGTAGGACGTCGCCCACGTCGACACGAAGAGGAAATAAAAGCCCATCTGCTCGCCCAAATACACTCTAATATGATTGATCGGCTGCTCCCACGGCTTCAGGATAATTTTATAATTGCCGAGCCACTCCTTGTGCAGCGCGTCCCTCTTATCATGGTCGTGAAGCAATATTAACGTCGAGATGCGCGGCCCGTCGCCGCTCTTGTCGGCCTTGTACGGGAGGAGCGGCGCCGGTTCCACGCGGTCCATGGCTCTCGCGTCCAACCCGGCGCCGCGCGCCGCGCCCGGCAATTTGGAAGAAGCGCAGAGCATCCGCAGAATAACCTTGTGCCGCGTCGTATCGACGAAGGCCGTGAACATGTCGATCTTCGCCGGCCGCACGACCGCGTAGATATAATCGAAGAGGGGGAAGAGGGCCAGCTTCTCCGTTAGTGACCCGAGGGACCAGCCGTGCTCGTCGGCGGGTCTCTCGTTGAACGCGAGGGGCGGATCTAATGCCGCCGCGGCGGCCTGGAGCTTGGCCGGGTCGAGGCGCCCGGGCACGCCCTGGGCGAACGCGAACTCCATGAGGCGCTGCTGCGGGGCGCCGAGCTTGAGGACCGAGACCTCGTATTGGCCGCTGAGGGCATCGAACTCCTCCGTCACAAAACCGGCATGTTCCACGCGCTCCTTGAGCTCCTTCAGGTACGCGGGCGAGACCTTGGGCACGACGATGGCGTAGTCGTAGTGGACCGACGGAGCCGCGGTGAGGCGCTCGGCCTCGTCCAGCATGTCGCCCGCCGGGGCGACCTTGGACATGATGCTTGGGTGTCGGGCGGCAGCCGCGTGCGACGAGGGGATGCTTGGGTGTCGGGTGGCAGCTGCGTGCGACGAGGGGCCGCTAGGTGTGGTGTTGTTGTGGCAGTAAGAGGCTGCCCCACGCGGTCGTCGACGGTGCGTGCAGCCCGAGCGACGGCTGCCCGCGTGCTGCTCGTTTCCCCAATTTACGTGGCAGAGGCGTCGGCACGTGCGAACGCCGTTCCGGGCCGTCGTTGCGCTGGCTCGGCGCTGAAATTCCTAGTGCCACTAGGAAGTCAGAGGATAGGGGCCGTGCCCGCAAGCCTGCGAGCGCGCCGGGACGGCGACCGACCCTTCCCGCCGTCGGCGCGGCCCGCAGTAGAAAAGTCCAGCGTCGGGCCCGCGCGCCGGCGGGGCTACACTCATGCGGCACACGAGTCAAACACCGGAGCTTACTCACAATTCCGAATACGGGCTCCACTTCGGGCGCCGCGGCCGCGCGGCGTTGCGCTTCGACGGGGCCGACCGCGGCCGCCAGGACATGTGCGGCCGCACGCGCCGCGGCGGTGACCGCTCCCAGGACGGCCGCGCCTTCTCCACCGGCTTCGCGGGGGCCGGCGGCGGCCGCCACTTCGGCGGCGGCGCCGGTCTGCGCGCGCAGGCGAGCGGCGGGTTCCCCGTCGCGAAGGCCAGCTCGCCGCAGATGCGTTGCCGCGCGGCCTCCTCCGCCGCCGCGAGGCGTTGATTGTGCTCCGCCTCCCTTCTATAACTCCCGGAGATCATGTCGCACCGGAGCTGCTTGCCCGGACCCGTCTTCCGCCACGGCGACTTCTGCGGTGGAACCGGTTCTACTTCAGGATAGGGCTCGTAGCGCTCAATGCGCGGTCTTCTCGTCGAAGCCGCGGCGGCCTCGAGGGCCCGCCGGTGGTCCGCGCGTGCCTTCGCGTCCGCGGCGAGCGCCGCGTCGCCCCTTAACTGGATGACTTTCGTGGGAGGCACCCAGCGCGGGCCCGTGTCCTTCGGCCGCGGGTCGATCCATTCGACCTTCGCCTTGGCTTCGACCTCGACCAGATGCTCGCGCGCCGCCAGGCAGGCCCGCCGCGCCATCTCGTCGGCGGAGATGCGCTCCGGCGCCCGCACGGACCAGGCCGGCCGTTGATCCTTTTTGACCGGTTGTGTCGCGGGCTTCTCATCGTCGAGCGCTTCGAGGGCCCTCCGCAACTCCGCCCGCGCCCGCGCGTCCTCGGCGTTCGCCGCGTCGCCCTTGGACTTCTTGACTTGAGTGGGCTTCACCCAGCGCGGCCTACCATTTACCGCTTGGCCGAGTTTAATCGCGCGCGCGCGCTGCCGGGCCGCGTCCTTCTCTCGTAGCACGTCCTTCACCTCCTGGCGTTGGACTTGTTTGACCGCAGCCCGCGCGATGGTGAGCTTCGCGCGGTAGTCCTTTTTGTCCTGCCATCCTATAGTATTGTCTCCGGCCATGGTGGCGCGTCTCGGGCAGCGGCGGCCGCGTTGTGATCACAGCGCCAAGCTTCGTGCAGCACTCAACCGATTTTTTGCATCCGCAACGCTCACTACGGCGTGGCGTCGCGTCGGCGGCGTGCAGTTGACGGAGGGATCTTTCGGAACGGCCAGAGAAGGCACTAGTCTCCGTTGGCATTGTGCTTGGCAAGCCGGCGCAAAATGGCCGTCACGACGACGCCCGAAATGCTGCCCGCGGCGCCGCAATGCACTCCTGGCGCTGCCCGGACCCCACTGGCGCCGTGCAACGACGCGCTTCCCTCGACCACCAAACCGAGCCCACTGCCGGACCAGGCTGCTCTCGCGCCGCGGCCGCCCGCTGTAGCCCAGACGCCGCTGCCGCGCGCGTCGGACGCCGTCGTCGCGACGCCGCGGCTCCCGGCGCGGACGCCGCTCCCGCCGCCGCCGCCGCCGGAGGTCGAGTGCCAGTGCTGTTATGATACCGTGCCCGTGACGCAGACCGTGACGTGCGCCGCGCGCGCCGCGCACACGGTCTGCGAGGGCTGCGTGCGCCACCTGGTCCAGGCGCGCATTGGAGAGGGCTCGGCGAAGCCGCTGACGTGCCTCGCGGGCGGCGCCGGCTGCAAGGCGCCGCTCCCGCACAAGGCCGTCGCGCAGGCGCTCGCGTCGCCGGTGCGGCGCCAGCGCGACGCCATCGTCGCGCGCGCGGAGTTGATGCGGGCGAACATCGAAGGTTTGCAGAGCTGCCCGTTCTGCCCCTACAGCTGCGTCAAGCCGGCCTTGTTCACGGACGCGCCGGAAGTGTTTCAGTGCGAACACCCCGCGTGCGGCAAGCGGTCCTGCACGCGGTGCAAGGGCGAGGTCCTTCCGTTCAAGCCCCACGCCTGCCCCGAATCAGAAGAGACGGACGCGTTGACGGACGCGGTCATCCGCGACTGCCCGCGCTGCGCGACGCGCTTTTATAAAGATGCGGGGTGCAACAAGATGCGCTGCCCGACGTGCGCCGCCGAGTCGTGCTACGTGTGCCGGAAGCTCATCACGGACAAGGTACCCTACCTCCATTTCTGCTTCTGCGACTGCAACGTGTCGCGGCGGGGCCACATCACGCGGCGGGGCGCGACGGCGCGGGAGAGGTGCCGCCTCTGCGGGAAGTGCTCGCTCTGGCACGCCGACGCCGCGCAACCCGCGTTGGAGGATACGGGGAAGCGGTCCTGCGCGTGCGTCGTGAGCTGATACTATGCTTAAATTTAACTTTCACATTCGCCGACGAGGCGCGCGACGTGCTCCGCCGTCTCGGCCGGATGCGTGAGCGGCGCGAGGTGGCCGCCCTTGCTGAGTATTGAGGTCGTGAAGCCGATCCGCTCAAGCACCGCGCGCAGTCCGCGGAGACAGCGCTGCGATCCTACACCGGGGCACGCCGACAGAACAAGGTGCTTCGCGGCAACGTGTTCGAGCGCCGCGAGGTCCCGTTTCGATGAGTGTCCGCGCGCGCCGTCGATCGACCCTATTTCGTAGGCGCAGCCCGGGATGGTCGTGTCGAGCAGGACTTTTTGCTGCGGCTCCGGCACCATTGCCCACGTGTGGCTCTCCTCCTCGGCCAGCCAGAAGCGGTGGAAGCACTCGCCCCAGCCGTGGTACCCGCTCTGCGCCTCCGCCATCATGCGTCCCAGGAACGCCGACGCGTCGTCCACTCCGCCCGTGCGTGCCGCTTCGTCCGCACGATCGTCGAACGGCGCCGCGGCCTCCAAGAGAGACATATAATTGGGCTCCACGACAACAATGCCCGCGACCTATGTGGTTATCATTATGGGGCATCTTCTCCGGACGCAGCATGCCACCTCACGCGTTGCCGCGTAGCGCAGCGCGACCGCGGCACCGTGCGAATGGCCCACAACGATCGGCGCCCGGTCGTCGTCGCCGAGCGCGTCCTTGGCCGCAGTTTCTACCAGTGCCGCCGTGTCGTCGAGGGTTTGAGGCCTCCCATGCGGCGGCCACGGCGTCGTGCCGCCGGCGCCAAACAGATTGGGCGCAACGACGCGGTGATTTGGCCCGAGCGCGTCGCAGAGGGGCGCCCACTGCTTGTGGCTCGAACCGCTGCAGTGCACGGCGATGACGGGAGCTCCGGCGCCGCGGACCGCGTACTCGACGCGGAAGCCCGGCGCCGACGGCACCTTGAGGTCGACGCTTCGCTTGGCCCACGTCGACATCTGCCGCCGTCGAAACGAAAACGTCCGCGACGACCCGGCGAATTGCTTGCAGTCGTAGCGCGAGAGCTGCAGCTTCGAGAGATGCCGCATTTCTCGCTTTTCAAACCCATCTCTTTCGTAGGGCGGCCGCGGCGCGGAGACCTCGTCCGAGAAGGCGGGGTTGCCGTGCGTCCGCCAGTTGTGCCCGCAGCAGCCGTCCCACGCCTCGCCGATCAGGATGTATTCCACGAGCTTCGTCGACCGGCGAAAGCTCTCGGTCCAGTCCACTCCGCTCGGCATCCACGCCGCGACGGCCACGTGCGCGCCCTCCGCCGCGCGCTCCGCGTTTACGTTCTCGACGGGAAATGCGGGGGCGAAGCGCCACGAGCTATCATCAGTCGCGGTGACGGCGACGGCTTCGGACCGCCCCCGCTGCTCGAGCGCGCGCCGCAGGAACTGCGAGAGGCGGCCGTCGCCGGCGCCCACCTCCACGACGTCCAGCGTAGACACGCCGGCCTCGTCCCTCGCTTGCAGGAGATGGTCAGCGAGGCCGTCGACGTAGTCTGAAGTATAAAAGTCGTAGATCTCGTGGTTCTCCATGTAGGCGTTGACCTCGGACCGGCCCGCCACCGCGCAGCCGGCGGCCTCGAGCAGCGCCTCGTAATCGAGGCCCTCCGTCGATGATGAGCCCTCGAGCTTCGCTAGCGCTTCGTCGCGCGGCGCAGACTCCAGGCTATCGTCGGTGGCGTCAAAGGCCCACTTCCCAAGACCAAAAAGTTTCTTGAGCTCTGCGAGCGACGGCGGCACGCGCGGGTCCGCCTCGCGCAACGCCGTGGCCGCCCTCATGTAGCGGTCGCTGCCGCGGTACCGGCGGTCGATGTGGTCCTTGCGCAGCCACGCCTTGAGTCTCGAACACGCGGCGATGGCGTCCAGGTCTGATTTTTGCTCGTTGGGCGCTACGAGCGCACGACGCAGCACGCGCTCTGCATCTTCGACCGGTCTATCGGCGATTGAGATGCTCCGCGCGAGCTGGCACAGGTAGCTTCGAGCACTGCTGTCGATTGGTGCTGCTCTGGCAAGCCTAAGGAGCATCCTGTCCATCAGAGGCGATGCTACTGCATTGAGAGCTTATATTGTGGCCGCAGAGCTGCAACCAAGGAACTGTTGTCCACCAATAAGGCAGCAAAAGCGGCTTGCTTGTGTTTGCTAGTGTGTTACACCGCTAGCTACCGAGGCGGCTGGGTGCGTAAGCAGCGGGAGGGAGGGCGCCGGCTGCCCAAGGAGCGGGGCCAAAAACGGGCCACATTTCGCCCAAAACAGGCCGTAGGCGACAAAACAGAAGGGCCAGCGCGCCGGAGGCAACAGCTCGCGCCGAAGGGCAGCCATGAGGCCACCCCTCCTGCTGGGCTGCCTCGCGTGGACGGCGCGAGGCGCGGACCTCTACGCCGTGGTCAACGCGTCGCGGGACGCATCGACTGATGCCCTCCTAGCATCGTACGTCGAAGCAGTCGACCGCGACCTCGCGCCCGCGGCCGCCGACGCCGAGGCGCTCGCGCTCGAAGCGTCGCGAGCCGCTGACGCGCACGATACAGCTCTCAAGGAGGCGCGTCAGGCCGCAGCACATGCGCGGACCGCGCGCGCGGCCGTGGAGGACGCGCTGTTGGACGCGAAGCGCGCCATCCGCCACGCGGCCTCGGCATTGAAACAAGCCGTCCAGGGCAAGGAGCTCGAGGCCACGCTCGCGAGGCACGGCCGCGGCCAGCGTTTGGCGGACGCCGAGGTCGACCGTAGTGCCGCGAAGGCCAAGGACGTCGTCCTGAAGCGCCACGCGGACGTCCAGCGCACAGCCCGCCAGGTCGAGGCCAACGCCACGGCCGCCCTATTAATGTCCTCGCTCTCGGAGGAGTCGGCATCACACGTAAGACGCGTCTGGACGTCTTTTTTGAGACCCGCGCCGTCAACGATGACCCCCAAACAAATCGCGGAGCGGGTCCCGACCACAGAAGAGCTCCTCGACGCCTGCGACCCTTTGCTGAGTTCGTACGCGGAGAGGACCTGGCCCAAGTGGTCCTGGTGGATCCCGGCGGAAGACAACGACCCGCGCTTTAACAAGCGGCGCGCGTGGCAGAAGACGCTGTCCCAGGCGTTCAATTACATGACCCGGCCCGTGCAGCTCGTGCAGTTCCAGCATTCCGTATTACGGGAGGTGGCCCATTTACCCACGAAGGACGTGTCACGATTCATCTCCGAGAAGCTGGTCATGAACGAGTCGTCGGGCAACGTCTCCACAACGTCGGGGCGCTTCATCCTCGACGCCATCAACGCGACGCGCGCCCTCAATGATCCGGGCCTCGCGGGCTTCGAGACGCCGACGCCGGACGTGCTCGCCAAACGGCCGCCGCGCTTCGTCGAAAGAAGAAGTTTATTAACTGAGGAGCGCGGCGCGGCGAACGCGTCGCTCGCGCGGGCCATCGAGACGTCCTGCGAGCGTTTGGATAATGTGCCCGACGCCCTGCGCCACGCGCAGCGCCTGGCCGAGGCGGCCGGCGCCGCCGCGGCGGAAGCAAAGCGGGCCTTGATAGATGCGGACGCCCTGCGTCTGAAGGCCGACGCGGCGCTTGCGACGGCCCGCGCCGCCGCGGCGGCCCACGGCGACCGGGCGCGGTCCTTGGACGCGGCGTTTCGGGTCTTCTCCGACGCGGCCGCGCGGGAGGCGTACGACGCGCCATGTATACCCTCGCGCGACGCGCCGGGCTGCTGCGAGCGCGCCGCGCCTGGTGGCGCCGGCGTCGTGCTGACTTGTGCTGTTGACGACTAAGTTATTGCCTGTGTATACTAGTATCCTCTATACGCCCTCGGCGCGGAGTCATAACATAACATTTATACTACTAGAGGTCCGTCGCGGGCGTGTGAATCGGGAGGTCCGTCCGCCCCGGCGGCGGCGCCGCGAGGTGCTCGAGGAAGAAGTCCAATAAACGGCCCCACGCCAAATCGGCCTGGCGCATGTCGTAGGCCGGGAAGCCCATTTTTTCCTGCCTTTCCTCGAAAGTGGAAAAGGGCGCCGGCTCGGGGTTCATGAACGCGTGGCCGACGCCCTCGTAGATGAAGACCTTGGCGTTCGTCAACTCCTTCTCCAACCTTGCGCCCGTCGCGGGGTCCGAAAAGCCCTCCATGGCGTCCAGGGCGCCAAAATGGCCCTGGACCGGCTTTTTCAGTTTTTTGGCGTCGAAGAGCCCGAAGTTCACTCCATAAAAAGGGGCGCCCGCCACGATGTCGTCGGACGCGGCCAGCGCTCCTAATGTTAAAGCGCCGCCCATGCAGAAGCCGACCACGCCGACGCGCGACGAGCCCGTCTTCTTCAGGTATTGTGCCGCGATGCCGATCTCCTCGATGGCCTTCGGGAAGTCGAGCTCGCCCATCAGGTGCGATGCTTCTTCCGCATTGATACCCTTCTTTCCTTTGTAGATGTCTGGTACCAAAACGCGGTAGCCGTGCTGCGCGAGGCGTAAAGCCTTCTGCATCGTGCCCCGGTCGACGCCCCACCACTCCTGGATGACTATTATTGAAGGCGCGTCGGCCTCGCCGCCCACGTAGACGGGGATGTCTTGGTTGTCTCCCAGCTTTACGGGGACGAGCGTCGCGTGCGCGATTGCTTCGGCGGCGGCCGCGCAGGCGACGAGTTTGAGGAGCATGGCTGCGTCTGTTCAACGAGAGCTGCTGCTCTGTGGTCGACGCACGTCTTATCGACTGCAGATCACCGCGCTTGGGCTGCTTTTCCAAAGTTTGGCGCAGCTTGCTAGCTAGCGGCAGTAAGACACTAGCAAGCAAAGCAAGCTGGGCAGCGAGGGCGCAAAACAGGGCGCAAGGAGGCCCACCAGACATCACAGCACAGCTGCAGCTCGCCAACAGCGCGCTAGGCCGGGAGCTTCCGAAATCTGGGCTCCGCGAGGCCACCAAGGCCACCAGCCACCCCTCACACTTACAGCAGACGTACAGCGGCGCGGCGCAACATTAAACCATGGCGCGAAATGAAGAAAAAGCCCAGCTCATGCTCAACAAGTGGGTGACCATGAAGGAGCAGTTCAACTCCGGCCAGGCCGCCGAGCGCCGGCCCTTCCTCGCGACCGACTGCTCGAGTTTGGCCGACTGCGAGAAGTGGCGCATGCAAATTGTCAGAGAGGTCACGAAGAAGGTCGCGGCCATCCAGAACGCGGGTTTGGGAGAGCACAAGATCCGGGACCTCAATGATAATATAAACAAGCTCTTGCGGGAAAAAGGCCACTGGCAGCGGCGCATAAGGGACCTGGGCGGGCCGGACTACAACGCCCTCGAGCCGAAGGCGCTGGACGCCGAGGGTCGGCCCCTGCCCGGTGGTGGCGGCTACCGGTACTTTGGGGCCGCTCGAGACCTACCGGGCGTGAAGGAGCTGTTCGAGGCGCCCCCTCCCCAAAAGAAACGTAGGACAAGAGGCGACATGATGAGGAACGTCACGCCGGACTACTACGGGTTCCGGGATGATGACGACGGTGGAGCATTGAAGGCGCAGGAGGCGGCAGTCGAGCGGCCGCGCGTCGAGGAAGCTAGACAGGCGGAGCTGGCCGCTCGGGCGGAGCGGCGCGCGCGGAATGATGGAGCGGAGTCGTCGGACGACGATCCCTTGGACGAGCCGGCGTTGCTGGACGGCATCCGGCGCGCGACGGACGCGTCGGCCCAGGCCTTCGAGGAGGTCATGGGCGGCGGCGGGGCCCAGGACCTGGCGGGCCGGAAGCGGGCGTTATTGGAGGCGCTCGGCGCCGACGACGACCTGCGGCCGGCCGCGGCGGCGCCCGCGCCGGCCGCGCCGGTCGCGCCGCCGGTGTCCGAGGCGCCGCCGGTCGCGCTGCGGCCGGCCGATGCGACTGCGCGTCCGTCGACGGGCGGCTTCTCGGAGCACGGCGACGACGCGCCGGCCGCCGCGCCGGCCGCCGCGCCGGCGAAGCCTCCTAAGAAGCCGGCGGCCAAGCCCGCGAAGGCGCCCGCGGCGGCGCCGCCCGCGCCCGCGCCGGAGCCGGCCGTGCCCGCGCCGGAGCCGGCCGCGGAGCCGGCGCCCGCGGCCGCCCCCAAGTGGACCGTCGGAGAGGTGAACAAGATGACGGTACCCAAGCTGAAAGCTGCGCTGACGGAGCTCGGGCTCGCGACGGACGGGCTCAAGAAGGTCCTGAAGGAGCGGCTTCTGGCGGCGCTCTAAGCATCTTGACACTAGTGTCACTATGACGTCTCCTTACGCCCCCCGCCCTGGCTACCGACGCCCTTCCCGCCGTGCCACGCCGCCGCGCCGGCGTCCGAATCCGGCGCCACGAGGTGCAGCTCGGGATCAAAGGCCCAGACGTCGGGCGCCTCGCGCACGCGCGCCGCCAGCTTCGCCGGATCCAATAAATTGTTCGTCCCGACCACGGTCATGCCCGGCGGCACGTCCACGCTCACGACCGCCTGGGCGGCTACGGTCACGTCGTCGCCTATTCTTATATCTCCGACGATCGTCGCACCGACACCTAGAGTGACGCGATCCCCAATGGACGGATGCCGCTTCGTTCGAGCTTTACCAGTACCGCCCAGCGTCACGCCGTGCAGAATCGTGCAGTCCCTCCCAATGGTGGCGGTCTCGCCAATCACGACAGAAGTCGCGTGATCAATAAAACACCCCCCGCCGATCTGCGCTCCTGGATGGACACACACGGCAAATAACTCATTTATCCGATCCTGGATCGCGAACGCGACATGATCATTCTCAAAGCCTCCGGCCTTCCAGAACACATGGGCCGCCCGCTGCGCCTGCACGGCGTGGAACCCTTTGAGATATGCTATCGTTTGTAAATGGGTCGTTGCTGCTGGATCTCTCTTGATGATGGCCGCGACGTCGGCACCGACGCGCTCGTCGCCTCGAAGCGCGTCCCAGAGCAATTGCCGCAAAGCCCCGCGCGGCAATCTAGTATCGGATGCGGCCCGGGACATTTTCGCACTGACCACTTCAGCGACGGCTTCATGTAACGAACCACACTTGACCAGCGCCGCCATATCCGGGCGGCTCCTCCTGGCGAACGCCTCGGCTCGTAACTGCTCGAATTGCGTTTGATCCCTAACGGCGGGGCTCACGCCGACGCCGCCGGACGCTGCCGGTAGTGCGTCCGAGAAGTTGCGGCGGCGGCGGCGGCGCGTTGCGGCTCTTAGGACGGCGCGCCGCATCGTCTCTGTGGCTTCGGAGCGCGAGTTTCGTTGTGCTCGAGTCCAGCTGCGGGACGCAAGGCGCTCGCGCGAGCAGTATACGTTGCGAGGAGCTGCAGCTGCAGTAGCAGCAGTGCTATGCTGCGTCTGCTGGGCGTCGCCCGGCGTAGCAGAATGGATGCGTTGGTTGTGAGGGACCACCAGTGCGTAAGAATGCCACTCCTTTAGACCAGCAGGCAACGATATCGCCGGTCTCGGCTCCGGGCCTAAGTCCGATCTAGCGGCATGTAAGTCACTAGCAAGCAAAACGACATGCAGTCGTTTGAGCTTCGTTCTGTTCGATAATGGTCCAAAGAGATCAATGGGACGCTTGCTGGGGGCCGAAAAAATTAATTTTTTTAATTCGCGAAATTGACGACGCCGCCATGGCGGGCGCGTCGGTGGAATCCTGTCGATTCGTGGTCCTGAGGTCTCCCCGGGGTCGCCTAGGGTCCTCACGAGACATGTGCAATCCCCTACGCCGCATGCGCGGGCACTTCCAGCGGTAGATAGATATGGCAATTCTCTTAGCCAGGCATCTCACTTGCCCATGATTTGCCAAAGTTTTGGATCCAGAGGTCTCTGGAGAGCCCCAAGCGCCACCGCATGCGGCGTAGGCGACTACCCGACCCCAGACCTATCCCGGAGGCAGTCCGCGAGCCGATCTACATCCGAAAAAAGTAAACAATTTGGGCCCGATGGCGCCCCGTTCCCGTCAAAAACGTCAATTACCCGAGGGCCTCCAGTAGTCGCCGTAGCGGTCTCGTTGGACCCCATACTACCCCAGCGATAGTCAATTACAAGTATATGACATCTACATCATAAGAAGGGTACTTTTGGCTGCCAACGCTCGGGACGTGAACATCTTGATCTGGACCCCGCGCAAGTCAGTCGGTCATGAAACAAATGATCGCGTTATGGTCCATGGTGAAGGTACACGGGCTGATGGCCGCAGGTTCAAGTTATTTGCCAATTTGAGCGAGATCGTGGGCCCGGGAGACTGACGACCCGCGCCGAGCATCTTTGGGTCTCGGAGCAATGTAGTACGCAATCAAGCCGGTTAGCTGGCTCGTCCCGGAACCGAAGCGCCTGAAACGCAAATTTATTGTACAAACCACCGGTCTGGGGCCTTTCTGGTGCTCCGCGTACGCACCGTCGTCCGCGGAGAACGGGCAAGTCGGTCGATTGTGAATAGAACAACGGCGTTATGGTCCATCTGGGTGGTGGCGTCGCTGATACTCTCAGATTTATGTTCTGAGCTCACCATTGGAAAAACGTAAGGCGCGAAGTCGTCGTTTCGCGCGGCTCTAACGGAGTACATGATCATGCTCACTGTCGCTGAGGCGGATTGTATGGAATCTACCACTACTAAATGGAGTAAAACGAACATAAACTCGAGAGTTGTCTAGTAGAATTCTTCTCCCGCCCTCCGAGCGCGGGCCGTCGGCTCCGGTTCCGTCGATTGTGGATGAAAACTGGGCTGGAGTTGATATGATGTAGTATTTGGACGGTAGATGGCGGTGTCAATCGCTGGTGTATTTTGGCAAGCCGCAAGGAATAGCGATCTAGCGTATGGACACACTAGGAATCCGTATATATATATATATGTATATATGTATATACATACATTTAGTATACATGTATACAGGCCTAGGCGGATGGCTTTTGAAAGCAGACCTCTCCGACTGATCCCCGAATAGTGAAGTTCAGAGCTTAATTCCCGCTCCGGGAATGATAAAAAAAAACACAAAACTACTGTTTAAACGAGCGCCGCGAGCGCGCTACGCGTCGCTGCGTCCACGACCGTTAATGGCGTTGCCGAGGGCTTCGGCGACCCCGTACGCCGCGTTGGCCACCGCCGCGGCGACGTCGTACATCGCCGCGGCGACCCCCGCGGCGACGTCGTACATCGCCTGGCCAACCCTCGCGGCGACGCCGTAGATCGCCTGGCCAACCCTCGCGGCGACGCCGTAGATCGCCTGGCCAACCCTCGCGGCGACTGCGCACATCGCCGCGGCGACGGCGTAGATGCCGCGGCCCAGGGGCGCCATGATATGATCGTAGACGCCGTACATCACGGCGAGCACGAAGTTGCGCAGCGGCGTCACGACGTGCTCCCCGACCCAGTTGCAGCATTTTCCAATGGACCGGCAGATGCAGGTACAGCACTTGCATGCGGCCCCGGCGACGGCGTTGCAGCCTCTGGCTATCTGCCGGCAGATAGCGGCGCAGCATTGTACGAGGGGCTTCACGACAATGCGGCAGATTGCTCGACAGCAGACGCCGACGGCCTCCCCGACCGCCGCATAGCATCGACGAAGCGCGTAGGCCATGCCGTTACAGCATTTCCGAATCACTTTTACGATAGGCGCCACGAAGATGCGATGTGCGGCGGCGCAGCATTGGCGGATCGCACGGCCGAGGGCGGCACAGCACCGCCCGACGGCCGCGAGGCATCGTTTGAGTAAATTCCCGAGGGCGGTACAGCATCGCGAGACCGCGGCCGCGACTGGCGCCACGAAGATGCGATGTGCGGCGGCGCAGCATTTGTGGATTGCGCGGCCGAGGGCGGTACAGCATCGGCCGACGGCCGCGAGGCATCGTTTGAGTAAATTGCAGAGGGCGGTACAGCACCGCCCAACGGCGGCCGCGACTGGCGCCACGAAGATGCGATGTGCGGCGGCGCAGCATTTGTGGATGGCGCGGCCGAGGGCGGTACAGCACCGACCCACCGCGTCGCAGCAGCGGAAGAGGGCCACGCAGAATCTGCCGAGGGGCACGCAACAAACGTAATACACAACGTCACCCATCAATTCCCAGCACCTTTTCAAGCACGGCGGCAGGCACCGACGCAGGAGGAAGCCGAGCGCGCAGGGGCAGCACACGAAGTAGAGGCAGAGTTTCCGGAGGAAGCGGAGGGGCGTCGAGCGGTCGTACTCGGTGAAGAGGGGAATGCGCTCGGCGACGGCGACGGCGCCGTCCTGGGAGCGTTCCAATGGCGCCCCCTCGACCGGCTGCGCGGTCGGCACGTCCCCGAGCGCTGCTTCGAGGTCCACGAACTCCGTGCCCTCCTCGGCGAGGTCGTCATCGGAAAAGGTGTCCCCAGACAGCGTGCGAGCCTCGACGAGAGATGCGTCCAAGTAGTGCTCCCATGCAGCACCGGCTCGCATGGGACCGGCTGATGCAGATGCAGCACCTTCATCATTGCCAGGGCTTCCTCTCATCTACGCGGCGCTTTGGGCAGCCGTTCTTTTCGGCGTAGCGCGTGCGCCTTCGGTGACAAAGCATTAAACATTGTTATACGGTGGTTTGGGCTGCCTGCCATGCTTAAGCGCTTATGATTTCAGGCGGAGGTGACCACGGACACGCCGGGAAGGTACTAAACGCTCGCACGAGCAACAAAAGCTGCCCCAACTCCTTGAAGGTGCGGGTTTGCGGAACTTTCTGCCCGCCGCGGCCGCGCAGCCGTGGGTAAGTCTAGCATGCCCTAGTAGGGAGCGCTAACGCGGTGACGCGACGTACGTGTTTTGCCTGCGATGGAAAGGCGCGCCGGCGGTGCCGCGGAACGTCTGAACCTCGTCGTCTGAACTCCATGCCCCGTACACTAGGGTTGTTTGTGTAAGGGAAGGAAGGGCTCGCTCGGAAACCCGAATTGCATCGAGGCGTACTAGGTACTGCTCTTACCCTTGTCGTCAGCGCCCTTGTGCAACAGCTTCGTCAAATCTTCAAGAGTGATCTGCGCGACCTTGTTCGCCAGGGCCACGTCCCCATCCTCGGTCTCGCGCTCGAACGCGCGCTTCTCCAGGATCGCCATGACTTCTGGTGTCCTCGCCATCTTCGCGGCGATCTTGTCGCCGCCTTTGGTCGACAGGACGTGCAGCGCCCAGGCGCCTTCTGACGAGCAGTCCGGCCGATCGGACGCGGCAAGCCTAGCGAGCGCGACGGGCCCGCTCATTAATTCGCCGTCCAAAGCTTCGCCTCGTGCTGCATTCGCAATTCTATTTAATGCCGCGACGGCGTGCTCCTTGACCTCGGCGCGGCCGTCGGCCACGAGTAACCGTGACAATAGCCGGGGCACCTTGGCCCTACACAGTTCTCCGGCTTGGTTCGCGCCGTCCGAGGCGACGTTCGCGGCCAACACGCAGCACTGCAGGAGGATGTCCTGGTCCGTCCTTAGTGACAGAGACTGGACGATGAGCAACGCGAGGCCCTGCTTTAATAGGTGGGAGGTGACCGGGTGCGTGCTAATCGCAGCGAGCCACCGCAGCGCCGCGAGCAACGACAAGCGCTCGGGCGCGGCCCGCTCCGACGGCGCGCCCGGGCGGCCGCAGTGTCTACAAATAGCCATGACCGTCGGCAGCGTCGACAGCTGCTGGCCGAGCAAGGGCGGTGACCGTAGCAACGCGATCTCCGACAGCGCCTCGAGCACGGGCGGGAGGATGGCGTCCCGTCTTTCGTCGCGCACGGAGCAGAGCGCCGGGGCATCATCAGGGGTGTTCGTCGCAGCTACTAACCGCCAGCTCCGTGACACGATCTGGGACCGTTGCAATTCAGTGAAAGCTGTGGCGTTCTTGCTCGCTAGTGCTCGAAGCTCCTCGGCTGCTTTGCCGCGGCGGTCGGCCTCGGTGTCCTTCGCGCAGCACTCGTCGATGAGGGCTTTCGCCGTCTTGAGGTCCTTGGCGGCGGCGAGGGGCGTGGTTTGGGCTTCGGCGATGGCGGACATTTTCCTAATAAATGATCTCTGCGGCTTCCTGTGCACACTGCTCTCTTGGAGCTCTCTGCTTGATTGATCGATTGCTCGTCTTGTTTGGATGCCAAACACGCTCACACGTCGCAGGCTATGATGAAAATGCTCTGCTGCGCTGCTGAATGCAGCGATGATTCGTCTGCCGCTGCTTGCGGAGCACAATATTGGGCTGGCTTGCAAGACCTCCAAGGCCCTCGCAAAGTGTGTCGTTTTTTTTTTCGGCGCCCGCCATCCGTGCAGACGCTTCCTGCAGTCGACTTCACGAGTCCCATGGCTGCAAAAAATGTCACGCCCCGAATTATTGGCAGCCAGCTCCAGCGCCGTCGGGGCTCCGTACCGCCTCGCATACGAGGTTACAGCTCGTTTGAAACTGTGCATCGGAGAGTTTGCGACGCATATCAGAGCGCTGTGGAACGACAGCACTCAAAACGAGCCGATAGCTGCGAAACTCGAAAGTGTTCGAGCCAGTGGTTGCGTACGTGTATCCGAGTCCTCGTGAGCTACAAACCGCGCAAAACAGCGCTGTACAGCTGCGAAACTCGAGCAGAGCCAACCAGCACCGATAGCGCACTCAAAGCCAACTCGTCGAAGCCATGGATTCGACGGCCAGCTCCGAACCGCTGACGCCGCGCTCCACCGGTGCGCCGGCTATGATTGAAAGGCGCAGCAGCTTCGTGCTCGAGGGCGCGTCGACGAAGTTGGTAGACGATCTCGCCAAGGCGGCGGCTTCTGCTCGGGCCGACGCTATCCTGGGTCGTGCCGAATTCGTGCGCCGCTCCTCCTCCATCGGCGAAGAAGCCGAAGTCGCCGCGGCGGCCTGAACAAAGACGTGTACCTAAGTTATTTATGTGAAACTGCGTTTCCGTGTTCCGAGCTCGACGCGCGCCAGTCCGAAGGTCAAACGGGCAACATGACGAAGGCATCCGTCCTGAGACCACTGCGAGGTGCCCGGGATGGGTGAATGGCTCCCGCACCAGGGACCAATAGGATCAGAGCGCCGCAGCAGGACAGCTCCGCAGTCCATTCCAGCACGCCGCGGGAAGCGCCGCGCCGCGCCAAATCAGCTTGGTTCAAGCGCTGTGTAACTGCTAAATCGCTGTAGAGCGCAGCAGGTTAAGCGCCGCACCGCCGCGCAAATATCGGCGCATAACTGAATATGGCTGAAGTCTTTGACGTCGATGCGCCGGCGCCGCAGCCGCCGCAGAAGAAGCGCTCACACGACGTCATCGACCTCCTCGAAGACGACGACGTGGTGATAGTAGCGCCGCCCAAGAAACCGCGGCCGGAGGTCGTCGACGTCGACGCGATCGACAGCGACGATGATGCGGACGACAACGGCGAGCGCGGGCTCGGGCCGCCGCGGCCGCGCGTGAAGCCCGAGCCACCGCGAGCGCTCGCCGTCGCCCAGCCCTGCCCGGCCCAGCGCCCGGTGCCGAAACCGGAGCCGCGCGGCCCGCCCGTGCCCGTCAAGCCTGAGCCGAAGAAGGAGGTCAAGCCCAAGGTCGAGCAGAAGCCCAAGGTCGAGCTCGACGACGACGGCGACCAGTCGCGCGCGGTGTCCTCTTCGCGTCGATGGCGTTCGTGGCCCATGTTCATTCACCGCGCGCAGGCCCATGTTCACGCTAAAGAAGAAGAAGAAGAAGGCGGCCGCACCGTCGCCGGCGCGGCTCTCCGAGGACGGCTCGGACGACGACGAGCCCGCGGAGCCGCCGCCGCCGCGCAGCGCCTTCCCGCAGTGGCTCAAGGCGCGCGAGGACGCGGGCGACGCGCCCCCGCTCGACCCCGACCAGCGCCGCGCGTGCGACTGCATCGTCGTCCAGAGCAAGAACACGTTCGTGACCGGAAGCGGCGGCAACGGCAAGTCGCACGTGACGCGAACCATCCTCGACTTCTTCGAGAAACATTACGGAGATCAGCACTCGCCTGTGTGGAAATCAAATTTCGGGACGAACCTAACTCACTGATTAATTTCCACGCAGATACTCGCAAAAGGTCGCCGTCTGCGCGCCGACGGGCATCGCCGCGACGCACGTGAACGGCACGACGATTCACTCGGCACGTTCCGGCGTAACACGTCATCGCGTCGCCGCGACATCGTCGACGCAACGCCACGACGCCGCGACGCCCTCGCCGCGGCCTGACGTGTCGCTCGACGCAGGCAACGGGCATCGGCGTGCCCAAGTGTCAGGAGGACTTCCGCCGCATGCATCAGGGCTTCCGCAAGGAGCTCTGGACGAAGCTCGTCGAGGTGCTGATTATTGATGAGATCTCCATGTTGAGCGGCGAGTGGCTAGATAATTTGGAGAGGATGCTGCGGGAACTGACGCATTACTACGGCCGCGGCGAGTTCCAGCAGTATTTGAGGATGCCGATGAAGGACATCCCGGCCTTCGGCGGCATCCAGGTCGTCGTCGTCGGCGACTTCTACCAGCTCCCTCCCATCCCGGCGACGATCCACGGCGAGACCTTCCAGAGATTAGATCATGGGCTATTCCACGCGCAACACATCCCAAAGGACAGCCACACAAAAAAGATCTACTTCACGAACCGGGGCTACGCCTTCCAGTCGATGGCGTGGCGCGCGGCGGAATTTGTGTACGTGCACCTGCGCACGTGCCACCGCATCGGCGCGTCGGAGCGCGAGTTCGTGCAACTCATGGGCCGCATCCGCCGCGGCGAGGCGCGCGACAAGGACTACGATCGACTGAACAAGGTCGGGGCCAAGACGCACGCGGACGACGCCGAGCCCACGGTGCGTGCGCGGCGTTTTTTTTTCTTCGACCCACGCCATCGCCTCACGAGCTACACACGCAGGAAATCTGGCCGACGAACGCCAAGGTCAACGCCGTCAATAGGCAGGGCCTCGAGCGGCTCAAAGATCCGCCGAAGCGGTTCGAGCATGGCACTTGGGTGCGACCGTTCAAAAATATTCCGCCCTACATCTCCGTCGACGAGGTGACGCACGCTTTGAAGACGTGCGACTTCATCAAGTCCGCGCCGGCGTCGTCGAACGCTCACTGTTGCCTGTCGCCGAGGAAAACTCACGGTGTCTCACGCAGGTACAACAAGCTTGTGGAGCCTACTGTTGATTTGAAGCCGGGCGCGCGCATTTTACTCCTCAAAAATATTGATACACGTAATGAAGCGAAAAAGGAACAACCGCTCGTCAACGGCACGACGGGCCGGATCCTGCGCTGGGCGACGGCGGCCGAGGCCGAGGCGGCGCTCAAGGCCCGCGAGGTCTACCTCGAGGACAAGCTCGAAGCCGCGCGCGAGCAGCGCCTCGCCAAAGGTAAAAGGTCGCACGAGACGTCGCTGGAGCGCAAATTGTACGAGGAGCTCCAGAAGCTGCGCGAGCACGTGCTGCAACATTGCGGGCACCTGTGTGGAAATCAAAATTTTATGGCGCGTTCGTGCTGAATCGTCGCGTCGTCCTCCACGCCATCGACGCGACGCCTGCTCGATGGCGTGGCGATGTCGGTCCCTCGCCGCTCGACTGAGCCAGGTCAGCCGCGTCATTTCCGAGAAATGACTTGGTGAAGAATTGTCGGGTGCACCCGTCGCACTGGTTGATTTCCACACAGGCGGCCACGACGTCGACAAGCAGGGCCAGACGATCAAGACGGCCGGCACATTATTGCCGTGGGTGCGGTTCTCCAAAGGTAGGGAAGAAGTCGTGCTGCCGGCGCTCTTCGACGACGAGCTCGTGGGCCAGGGCGTCGCCTACGTGATGCAGATCCCGCTCAAGCTCGGCTACGCCGTAAAGATCTGTGTGGAAATCAAACAGTGAGTTAGGTTATCGAGCAGACGCAGTTACGAGGACGACGTCGCGTCGATGGCGTGGGGCGTTCGAAATTTGATTTCCACACAGGTAACCATCCACAAGAGCCAAGGGATGTCCCTCGACGCGGCGACGGTGTCCTGCTCCGGGTCCTTCGCCGAGGGCCAGGCGTACGTCGCGTTGTCGCGGGTCACGGGCGCGAACGCGCTGGCGCTGGCGCGGCCCGTCCGCGGCGTCGACATCAAGACCCCGAAGATGGCGACCGCCTTCTACGAGCTACTGAATTCGCTCGAGGCACAAGCAAAAATCCTCGGCGCGCCGCTCGACCTCGGACCGCTCGCGCTGCGCGAGCGCTTCGGCGGTACGGAGCACGACCCGCTCGGCGCCGCGCGCGGCATCGGTCCCGGGCCGCAACTGACGGCCCTCGAGGCGATCGAGCGCCTCGAGCCGTCGCTCGACATTGAGGAGGAGCAGCCCCACGTCTTACACTGGCAGACGAAGAAGCCGTCCGTCGCGCGCGAGGAGTTCGGCGGCCACGGCGTCGGGTCGACGACGAAGGGCAAGGGCGGAAAGTGCTTCAAGTGCCAGCAGGTCGGCCACTGGGCGGCGGAGTGCCCGAACTAGAGCCGTCCCTCCCCCCACGTGTGTAAAGAACAAGCAAGTTATATACACATCATGAGGCCTCAGTCCACTGCGCTGAATGGCCCTCCTCCCCGTATGCCGTCGGGAGCTCCGTCGGCGCTTCGGGCCAGACCATTTCCGCTTGCTGCACTGGCGCCGCCGTCGTGGCAATCACCTCAGCCTCCGGGAGCGGCGGCGCGCTGGGCCACAGGTGTCGGGTCACGCGACGGTGCATCGGCGTCACGGACGGTACTCGCGCCGGCGCCATCACGGGCGCGTCCGAGGCCACGCGCGCGATCGCCGCCGCGGGCAGGAGCGGCGGCGCCGAAGGCGTAACCGCTCTCGTCGCCCTCACGGGCGCGACGGGTCGGTCGAGCGCGCGGAGCATCGCGTCCTGCTGCTCGACGGCGACGCGGCCCGTGACGTTGTTTACGTTCTCCCGGTCCTGGGAGGTGCGACGCCGCTGGTCCACGGCGGCCGCGAGGCGCCGGCGCTCGGCGGCGAGGTCGTCGCTGGCGACGTAGGTCGACCAGTCGCAGCGCGCCTCGCGGACGCGGGCCCAGCGCGCGCCCAGCCCTCCTATCCCCGTGGCGCCCGGCCGCGCGTCGAGGCCGCAGAGGCCCCAGCCCTTCGGCGCCGGCGGGTCGAGGCGGATCTTCACGCGCCCCAGCGCCTTGCGGCCGAGCCGCCGCTCCGAGTAGTACGCCGCGCGGTTCTTATCGATCCGGAGCCGGTGCTTCTTGCCGCTGGATGTCTTGACCTTGAGCCCGACGAGGCGATGCTGCGGCACGGGCCGGATCGCGTCGAAGGCGTAGACCCAGTCCTTCTCGAAGACGCAGTCGACATACCTCACGTGCTCCCAGGGTTTCAGCGCCGCCACGTGCCGCGAGACGTCGCCGCAGAGCTCGGCCTCGGGGAAGCTGTGCTCGACGCGGCCGCAGCCCCAGACGTGCCACACCAGCGACAGCCTGACGACGTGCGTCGCGGAGCACTCCGCGACGACCTCCGCGAGGCGCATGCGGTCATCCGTGCCTGGTCCCCATATGCGGACGGGCAGGAGGAGCGCGCCCGGCTTGTTTTTATTCAGAGCCGCGGCGGCGACGGCGTTGATCGTCGAGACCTCCTTACCGTCAAAACCGCAGGCGCCCATCCGCGACGTCGAGAGCGTGGCGAGGTGGAACGGGCGCCGGACGCCGTTCGCGACGAGCGCGTCGAGCTGCTCGCGTGGAATCTCGCGCTTGAGCACGCGCTTGAGCCAGTCGTTGAGCGACGGCAGCGGCCCGTAGACGTTCGGCGGCGCAACAGGGCTTATTCTAGTCGCGATGGGCTCTGCATTTGTGTCCAGGCACGTGTGGTCGTGGTCGCCGTGGAAGACGAAGAGGCCCATTGGTTTGTGGGGCTGCCCGCGCGGTGGCCCAGGCACACCGCGACGGCGTCGGGCAGCGTCGACCCTGTGAACACTGGCTGATCCAGGCTCTTTCCAGCCTGGCAGAGTGAGAGCGCTCTGTGCGGGGTGTTTTGACGAGGACGAGTCCAGTCCTGCACGGCGCCGCCCGGGAGTCGCTGTGACGGGTGCCAGACGAGTCGGGCAGCAGCCTCGTTCGTGCGGGATAGACTCTCCAGTTTCGAGAGGACACGGAGGGAGAAATAGCCCTGAGCGCAAGGCAACAAGCGCCCCAAGCTCACGCTGTTGCCGGGGCAGCCCTGCCATTGCGCCGCAGGCAGCCCTTTGAGCGGCGCACCCTCGGGCGCTCGGCACTCACTGATTGGGCAGCCCAGAGAGCTCCAGCATGGCGGCCCAGGACGAGCTCACGCTGCTGGCCGGCGAGCTCGCAAGGAAAATAGAAGGGACCAAAACCAATAAGGTCTTCGCGCGCGGCGTGCCCGGTATTACGAATGAGACGTTCACGTCCGAGGCGGCGGTTCGCGCGCTCATGACCTGCGAACGCCTTTTTGAAGTGGACGACGAGGAGAAGTCGCCTCAAAGAAGAAAGCGCGTGTCGCTCTTACCGAATAAACTGTTGAGAAGGCATTCGCTGGACTTTAGGAGGGCATTGGACGCGTGGGATCAGCTCGTCGCGCGAGGATACGTCTTGCACGTCGACCCGGGGCATTTATCCTTAGATGGAGAAAGGGAACTGAAGAACAAGGACGCCGTGAACAATTCGACGCACTTCAGATTTGAACCGTCTCGCTTCGCGCCGTTCGCGCTGAGGTGTGCCGTGCTCGCGGTGCGCGGCCTCCCACCCTCAACAACAGCGTCCTGCGTCGTGACCGTCGGTTCCCAGACGTCGGACTTCGTGCCCATCCACGACGACGACCATCGCGGCTCGGAAGCGGCGCGCGGGACGCAATACTATCAGAGCGAGCACCCGGCCTTTTCGCACTTCGGGTACGACCCCCACTCTGCACAATCGGAAATCTTGAGGGTGGGGTTGGAGTGGAGCGGTCGCAACGGCCGATCGGGAAATTGGGCCGTCGGCGAGACTTCCCTCTCGTTACCGGCGGAAGGTGAGCGGAAGACACCGCGACCGAGCGTGCCGCCGGCCTTCACCGAGGATGAGTCGTTGCACGTGCCTCTCTTGAGCAGGAAGAACGACTTCGAGCAGCGGAGCTTCGAAGCTATAACTTCGGAGCGATGTACATGGGTACGATGCAACGTCGTCGAGGGGTCGGACAGTACTTCCACTAAAGTCGAGGTGTTAGTTGCCGCGTACACGGAGGCCCAGACGGCTTCTTCATCTAAATCATTGTCGCAAGATTTACAGATCCAGAGCTGGCGCGTGTACGTGCGAGTCGGGCGGTGCGAGGGCTGTAGATCAGGTGGCCTTTCGAGATTGGGGCAACTGGGCAACAACGTGACGCTGCAAGCTCTATCGAGGGTCGGGACCTCGGAAGCTAGAACTTTACCAATAAAAAAAGATTTCGAGAGCGAAGGCTGCGACTTCGGGAATCAACGGTTGCGGTGCGTCGCGACGGTGGCTAGAAGGTCTGGAAGTGTCAAGGTGACCCTGAAGGAATCTGCGGCCTTGGAGCACTGCGCCCTTGGTAGCGTGACGCTACCTTTACGCAAGGTACCCGTGGTCAAGGCGAGCCACTACTCCGACTCCTCGAAAAGGAAAGAACCGCCTTCCAAGAGGTACGACATCACCTACCGGAGGATGACCGGAAGTGACGTCAAGAACGGCGGCGTCTGGCTGTCGGTCTGGATGACGCCGCTCTTGCCGCCTTCCACAGTGGCCAAGAGGGTGGTCCGGTGGAACTACTACTTCTTCATGGGCATGAATTTTTTATGTTTTTTATACTTATCAAGGCGCTTGGCCGGTGGCGTGACGCAGGCGGCGATGATGTGCTCGTTCATACCTCTATGTCGCTTGTTACTAGAGTTGCCGCAACTCCTAGGTAAACTGTTGACCTGGATCCTGGCTTTAGCTGTGCCCGGCCTGAACATGTCCATGGGCGCCATTCGATTGCTATTGTGGTTTTCCGATACTAAGAGAACACCTACCTCTTCAGCGCAAGATTTAGCCGCACTCGCGGCCGGCGCGTCGCGTCGATTGTGTCTGAGGATCGAGGTCGACGACTTTGCGATCCGGAACCCGGGCCCTCGCGCGGCGCACTCGCACGAGAACTTTGTGAGTGCGCAGTCCGTTTCCTTAGTTCTGTCCTTTGATGCTAGATTGCTACACGGCGTCATCGACACGTTGCGACATTGGTTGCGAAGGACCTGGCGCAAGAAGGAGGACGACCTCCAGCTGAAGTATCGGGAGGTCTTCAAAGAGATCGATACGAACGGTTCTGGTACCATCGACGCCAGAGAGATGAAAGCTTGTTTAAAAAGATTAGGTTGCAAGTCGACGGAGAAGGAGGTGCAACGGGTCCTGGAAGTAGCCGATGTGGATGATTCCGGTGAGTTAGATTTCGACGAGTTCCGAAAGGCCATGGTCCATGCCACACAGTCGTGGGCTGGTGTTATAAGGAGGTTCGGGCCCAGACAACCACCAAGTGTCGTGAGATGGAACCCTTTTCCTTCGGAACATGCGAAGGACCGGGCGCTGGACGACTTCGAGCCGACTAGAATAGGCAGCATCCGCATGGACGACTTCACGGTGGACGGCGTGAACATCGCCTTTAATCTAAGTACGACGAACGAATTCAACGTGTGCCACTTCGTGCGCGGGCTGGCGGAAGGCAAGGTGTCGCAAGCCATTGGTAGGAGGAAGGCGCCCAATACTTTACGAGTTACCGTGGTCTCTTGTACCGGGGTGACGACTGACGTCGCTCCCAAGGTCGTCCTGAAGCTGAGAGACGCGACGTGGTCTACGTCAGCTCGAGGCTTCGAGGGCAAGAAGCACGTCTGGAACGAGACCTGGACGACGCCGTGTTTCGACCCCTCTGCTGTCTTGCACCTTGGGTTGGTCAATTCGAGGATCGCCGCGACCTACAAGGACCTGGGCCAGTGGCTGATCACGACGAAGATGATCGTGGTGGCGCCCTACCACGTCTTCGGGTCGAACCTGAAATATAAGCGATCCGGGAACGAGTGGCACCTGCGGGGCGACATGATTTTGCGAGGGTCCGATTTCTTAGTTGAGTCAGGAAAAGATCTAACAGTAACCTTGGAGCTCTGCTACTACTACGACCCGAGGACCGAAGAGACGGAAGTGAGCTACGGCACGCAGATGAACAAATCTAGGAAGAGTGCCCTCGAGCAACTCCAGCAGAATTCGGCCGAGACGACGTGGCGCATGGGCAATCTAAGCGCGTGCGGCCACATGCTCGAGGACTTTCCTCTACTCTTCGACGTGCGGAAGTTCCAGATCTCGCGCATTAACTTTTATTTGAAGGATCTCTTCGCGGGGACGGCTACTTCTGATATGATCGAGGCGGTTCGGTACGGTGTCGTTTATGCCTTCTGCTCGATGGCGTGACGTGACGGGGGCTTCGCGCCGACGCCGTCGCTTCGATGGCATCGCTTCGAACCACGCGAGCCCCGCGCCGCCGACGCGTCCGCTCTCGCGACGGGACGCCGTCGACGCAGGTCCACCTCAAGTCCTTCACGCGCGCCGCGTCGGGCAAGATCGACGACCACGTCTGGATCGAGAAGCTCGACCTAAGAACGCACCTCCAGGCGCCCCCAAGTGCCCCGGAAGGCATCGACTTGCTCGCCTTGTGCCAGAAGTTACTCACGAATGCGATCCGGCCCGTCCTCAAGGAAGTCAATATAACAGGTGCATTAGGACATATTGCGGGCGCCTTCTTCTCTTCATCATCATCGAGGGGCCAGTCGACTTTGGATGTGATTCCGACCCCAGACGTAGTGGCGCAAGAAACGTTAAAAGGCATGAAGGAGGCCCAGAAGAGCATGAAGCGGGGTGTGGATAATGCGGCCGGCTGCTGTTTACTGGCGAAGGATTCGTGTCTCCGGAATTGCTTGCACGCGGGCGCGGACAAGTACTGCAACACGGACGACAACACTATTTTATTACGATCATCTATATGCGAGGGTTTGTTGGACAAACGGGTCAAAAGGTACCGGGGCGAGTGCTGCGCGTGTGGTGGCTGGTCTCGACCGGTACTGGAACATGTGAGGTTGAAGAAGGGTTATGGGGGTCTCGTGCTGTACTACACGAAGACGTCGGCGTCGGGCAACAAGGGCGCCACGAAGAAAATAAGACTGCGGAAGGTGCGCTACGACCGCGACTCGCTGTCGTGTTTGTTGGAGGACGCGCGGGGCCGCAAGCGCAAAGAGGCCATGTTCCGCATGCCCGCTATTTCTGACGTCGCGACGGAGGACAAGCGGCTGCCCCTCAAGGAGTGGTGGGCGGCGATCGCGCCCGGCGTCGAGCCGAGTCAAAACTGGGTCGAGCTCCGCGTGTCCGCTGCCGATGAAGTCACGGAGTCGTCGGAGGACGAATCGGCGCCGTCGTCTCCCGTCGCTAGGAAGAAGTCGGTGCGGTTCGAGGAGGAGTGGTAATTGTGTTCATTAGCTTTTTTCGTTACTCGGAGGGGGTGGAGGGGAGGGGGGGAGGGGTAGGGAAGGTGTTGCAGCGCTCACGATACCTTGATCATCGTGTACTGCGATCCGTGTCGGCTTAGTAGCAGGTGCCGTGGGCGCCGGTGTCGTAGGACGAGCACCGCGTGCAACCGAAACCACCGGACGTGAGGCAGTCGCTGTCCTTGAAGCAGACTTTGCCGCACGACTGGCCGCCGGGAGACGGGGTCGGCGCCGGCGCCGGCTTCGACGGCTTTTGGATGTTCCACTGGGCCGTGCTTGGGAGACCGTACTTAGAGCTGCATTCCGTGCCGCCCTTAACCGACGATCCCTCTTGCGTCATGCAAATCGTTTCGCCCTGGAACTTCGACTTGAGAACGATGGCTTGCTCACTGGTCGTCGTCCAAATCGAATTCTTATCCCCAGATTTGCATTTATAAAGACCGATGGAATCGCCGGCTCTGAACGACCCCCCACCTAACGCATCGACGCAAAACTCCTCGCCTTTGTAATTAGTGAAGCGGATCTGCCCCTTGTGCTCGTTGTAATGGAAGAGCTGAGACTGCTTACCGTTGCACGGCTTAACGCCAATCTTCCCGTTCTTGTAGGGGGCTAAAACTTCCATGCATTTTGTGTTTGTGCGCGCGTCCGCGATCTGCACGAGGTCGCCGGACGACGACGAGTGGAAGTCCGCGCCGCGAATACTGGGCGTCGTCGACACGGCCGTCGCGGCCAGCGCGCCGAGCACGAATGCCGCGATGGCGGCGCCGCCGATGAGCGTCTTGGCGTTGACCTTAATGTCGCGGCTCAGGAGCGGCTTATCGGCCTCGACGTCGGCGGAGACGGGGAGAGTATTGTAGGTGGCCATTTTGAATTGTCTTGCGGTTGTTTTGGAAAGTCTCGCGAGCTGTGCACTCTGAGACTTGGGCGTTTTAGTTGGTGTCGATTGCGCTGGCAAGTGCGCTCTCTGCTCCGAGGGGGCGCTCTCTCCGCGTTCCTCATCGGCGAGCGTCGTCAAAAACGTAGAGAACCCCCAGAGGCGCCCCAGGATACGTCCCTGGTGCAGGTTCCACCGTGAAGCCAGCCTTTGCAGGTGGCCGCGCCGCGCGCCGGGACCGCGTCCAACAACACCACATTACTCACCTACCGAGACACCGCCGCCTCCCTTTCACGCTTGCGCCACGCCGTGATCGTCATGTCCCCGATGCGCTCGAGCGGCGGCGGGTGGTTGTCCTTCCAGCGCGTGTACTTGTCCGACCACATCTGCGTCGCGTCGGGCCCGTGGCCGTACATTTCCCAGAGTTCTAAGCCACAGGCAGCTAGCGCCGCCTCGATACGCTCCGCATCGCCGGCCGGCCAGAGCCCGTCCTCGGAGCAGAGCAGCGCGCCCTGATACGACTGGCCGGCCTTGCGCGCGGCACCCGAATAGTGGAAGACGGCCCAACTGAGATCATCGGCCGCGTCGACCGTCGTCCAATGTTCTTCGCTGACGATGCCATTGTCGAGCGTCGTCAAGGTCCACAATCCCGGCACGCCGCCGCGGGGCACGCATCGGTAGTGGCGCTTCGTCCAGACCTGTGTGGAACCCGTCGCGGCGATGGCGTGGGGTTGAGCGATTTCCGCACCGGTCCAGACCAGCTCGCCCTGCAGCGTCTCGACGCAGAATACAGGGTCATACCAGAGCCCATCGCCGCTCTTGGTCGGGTAGAAGATCTGGTGCTGCATCGGAAACGCGTCGTAGGCCGGGTTCGCACCCACCACAATCTTCCAGGACCACGGCTGTTTAGAAGACGCCGAGGCGGGGTCCTCGAGGTGGCCGATGAAGATCTGCCGCGCCGCCTCGAGGTCGACGGGCCGGCCGCGCCACTGAGAGAGGACAGGTACTTTTGGTTCAGTCAGGATCGGCGCATCGGATTGGAAACAATTGTTCTGCTGCAGGATGCACAGCGAGAACTCCTCCAGTTGTGGGGTCTCGTTGGACACGATCACTCGGTAAGACCCGACCTGATCCCTCAAATCCACGGCGTTGAGCGCGTCGATGGCCGACTTCGTCTTCGGGTCGCTCAGCGCCGCCGCGATCTGCGGGCCGCAGCAGTCGGTCATGGTCTTGAACTCCTGGAGGTTCCTCACGACTCCTTTCTCCCAGCTAGGATTGATGTCGCTCGCGACCACGGCGCACGGCCGCACCAGTGCGTGCACAAGGAACAATGCGGCGAAGAGCGCGTCCTCGGAGGAACCGCGAGCCAGGAGCAATTCGCTCTGCGCCAGCAGTCGCGCGCGACTCGCCTTCGTCGTGAACGGGAGGGCCTTCTGCAGTTTATCTAAAATGCTGGCGGCGCCCGGTGTCCACCCCGCGCAGAACGCGAGCGCTTTGACGTCCGACGAGCACTCGTCGTCCGCCACGAAGCACGACGGCTGGAGCCGCGCCAGCGTCGCCTTCGTCTTTGAGACGTCCGTCACGCCCAGACCAATCACGACGTCGCCGGCCGCCGCGTCCGTCGTGCCGCTCACCTTTGCGTCGAAGTGCCCCACGCGTCTCGCGAGTTGAGACGCTACGGTGGCGTGAGCTGGATTTGGTCGCGGGCTCGACGCGCCGTATACCTTCGAAACGCCGTCGCCGTGCAAGAAGAGCACCGTGGCATCGTCACTGACAGCTCGCAGCGCCGCTGGCGTGCGCACGCGTCGGGTTGGTGCCAGCAGAGCGGTGCTCAGCTGGCAGCCCAAGAGTAGTACTAGGGCCCGTGCAGTCATCTTCGCGTCGACAGCGATGACAGCAGCAACAGATACAACAAGTTTGCCAACTATTGCGTCGCAAATAAGCGGAATACGCCTGGATGCGCTGGCTGTCGAGCTAGCGTCCTATAAAGACACTAGGCAGCGCTTTGTTTTTGGCCTTGATCATCCTGCTCGCAACCACCCACAGGGATCGTAAAAATCCGTAATTAATCATTTCAAGACGCCTGCCGCCGCGTAATGCAGTCGTAGGAGCAATACCACTGCAGGCTGCAATGTGCTCACTGCTGCTGCTGCTCGTCGTCGCGCCGGCAGCAGCGCTGCGCGGCACCCCACTGCGCGCAACAACACGCCTCGACTACGACCACCTCTACCACATCGGCTCGCCCGTCGACGTCTTCAAGCATTGCGTCCTCACGGCGCTGCTGCGGCGCTGCACGGAGAAGGCGTCGCCGCTAACTTATGTCGAGACGCACGCCGGCCGCGGGCTTTATCCGTTCGACTCCGAGGAAGCGGCAACGCTGGCCGAGTTCGAGGACGGGCATCATAAGCTGCGGGCGCGAGCCGCGGGCCGCGAGAAGCTTCATGCAGACATCGCGGCGTATCTTGCGGCCCAGCGACCAGAGGAGTATGTAGGATCCGCCGCTCTGGCAGCCCTAGCGCTGCGCGAGGGCGACCGCGGCGTCTTCTTCGAACGCGATGAAACGTGTGCCGACGCGCTCACGGACGCCTTGTCCCGTCTTGGGGCGGAGTCTACCGTCGAGGTTGGCGACGGCTACGTCGGCACCTGTGTGGAAATCAACCAGTGAGTTAGGTTGTCGCGTCGATGGCGTAGAATCTCCACGCCATCGAGCAGATGCAGTTACAGGGAAGACGCCGGGTCGATGGCGTGGGGCGTCCGAAATTTGGTTTCCGCACAGGCCGGCACGAAGAAGCTGCGCGTCTCAACCCGCGGCCTCGTGTTTGTGGACCCGCCGTACCAGTCGGGCAGCGACACTGACCTCATCGCCGCGCTCTGCGGCCACCTCAAGCAGTACTGGCGGGCCGCGCGTATCGCTGTGTGGTACCCGCGCGGCGACGGCGCCGACGCGCGTACGGAACGGCTGCGTCACGAAGTCCTCGCCGCGACCGGTGCGTTCGACGTGCTGGACGCGCACCTGACCGTGCCCGGGGACGCGTCGGCGCGACTCCGGTCGTCGGGGATGCTCCTCGTGCAGCCGCCGTACGGCTTCGACGACGACCTCGAGTCACTGTTGCCCGAGCTCGCGGAGCTGCTCGCGCCGGGCGGGAGTTGGGGCGTGGAGTGGCTTCGGCGGGGCTAGTTGTGAATGTTGTAATCTTATCACTTTTTACACAGTTCCGCTCACTGGTCCAGTTCCCGGAGCATTCTCGCCGCGTCGGCTCTAGCGGTATCCGTCAGGTGCTTGTACTCGTACTCGCCGTCAAAGATCTTCTTGAGCCAGAACCGCGCGCGAGCGGGGTCTTTCGGCAGGCCGTGGCCGCCTTCGAAGAACGCCCAGCCAAGTTGATACGCGGCGAGGTCCGAACCCAGACCCGCCGCCTCGGTCGCGTTCATGATCCCAAATGCAGTGTCCTGGGGCCCACCGAGGCCAAGCAGGAGATATTCACCAAAAGCGGCCATCCCTTTCGGGTCTCGGGCCGCCGCGCTGCGCTCGTACCACGCGCGGGCTTGCGCATTGTCTTTCGCGAGGCCGTTCATACCTTCTCGGTACCACGCGCCGAGCATATACATAGCTTCCCCGTCGCCTCCTCCCGCCATCGCGCGCGTCTCCTTCACTTCCTTTTCATCCTCCAGCTTCTGTTTCCACGCCTCAGCAATCTCGCCCGCGATGGCGCCGCTCTCGACCAGCGCCTCGATCGTGTTTCGCGCTTGCGGTGCTGGGAATAACTTCGTCCCGATGACGGCACCCGTGCTCGGGCTGGTTGGCTCACCATCTTTCTTCGAGAACCACTCGCGGATGGCTTTCTCCTCGTAGATCTTGCCGTCTTCGGCGGTCACGGGTTTGATCGGCAATTCGTGCGTGATCGGACAGATGAACTCCCTCGCGATGGCGGCCAAGGTTTTTTGTTTCTTCTCTGCGTTCGCGTCCGCCTCGTCGCGTTCCTCGAGCGCCCTTTTTTTCATAGCATCGGCCACTTTCAGTAGATTTTTGCCCCGCGGCGGCGGGCCGGCGGCGTCAGCCATCGTCGCCGTCGGACGCGTCGCGCTGCCTCCGAGTACTGCAGGACAACAAGGTGTGTAGTCGCGTTGCAGCCGAAATTGCGCTGTTTCGCTCGGATCTCCCGTAGCGCAGCGCAACAGTGCCTGCCTCGGTCCAAAATCGACTGCAAAAGCACGGGTAGCGGCTGTCCTCTCGGCGCCAGAGAGCCTGAGACCCTGGAATTGCTCTAGTGTCTTACTAGCCGCTAGCAAAACGGGAGAGCGCTTCCGTCGTGCAACGACGAAGACTAGTTCGACGCCGCACCGACTCCTCCAGCTCCGAACGCAACAACACTAGCGCTGGGCAACCAAACACAGCCTTTGCGGAGCGCCGCCTTTGGCACGGCCCGCCGAGGCGCGCGGCGCGGCACCGGGACACGGCAGCCGCCAAACAGTGGTCAGGGCTCCACGCCATCCCCTGAAGCAGAAGAGGGCTGCCCCCCATCACCTATCACCCAGGACAAGAGCAGCCATGATCCACGCCCACGACGTCGAGGCCGAGCTCTGGCGCTTCGTCGACGACGGGGACCAACCTTCACCAAATGATTTGTGGAGGTGCATCCAGTACACGGCGCGCAAGAAGGCGACGGCGCTGCCCAGTAGCTTCACGCGGGACAGCGAGATGCATTTGGTCGATCAACACATGATCGATACGACGGACCGACATCTCGTCAAGGCCTTCTGCGAGCAGTTCCGGCCGGGCGCCACGGAGCGAGATATGCAGAAACCATTATTTTATCTCACGCCGTTCATCACTTGTAGCAAGTGCAATAGCATACTCTTTATCGACGCGGCGAACGCGCGGTGCTTCGGGGCGCCCGTGCCCGAATCCGTGCGGTTGAAGCGGGGCGGCAACGAGACGCTGGCCGTCTGTCCGGGCTGCGCCATGACGGAAAATTTGGAAGTGGGTGCTCATGACTTCATGGAGGACATCGAGGACGCGAGTCTCGGCGTCCCGTCGCGTAGAGACGCCTTCACTTCATTAATACGACTCGTGTCCATCAGACGATTTTGAGGCAGTTCGGACCGATTTGACGGAAATGCTCCGCGCAGGCGAGGGAGGCCATGGCCAAGGAGATGAAGAAGCGGAAGCGGGCCGCATCTCTATTGATCATGGTCTACCGGTTTTATTTGAGGAGGCAGCTAGCTCGCGCAGCTAGAACGAGGCAGAAGTGCCGCTACTACCTGTATCATCGGTGCGCGTCTATTGTCGAGAGTGCGGCGCGTGGCAGACTCGGGAGACGACGAGCAAGGACCTTCGAGAACCTGAGGTACATTAAGAACAGGCATCCCATCAGTCTGAAGAAAGCATTAGCTCAAAAGTTCGAAGTCGACAAACGGACGGGCGAGTCGAAGCGCCTAAAAAAGGTCTTCTGGTACCATACGAAAGTCCAGCTCGATTGCCTGTACCGGGACTACTTCATCCTGTGTCAACGGACGGGCTTCGTACCTCCCAGAATTATCGTCGAGCAAAATATTGAAGAGATTGCTAGGCGTATTAGGGTACGGGAAGAGTACCTGATCACGCTCATCCAAGCGTTGTACCGCGGGATCATATTGAGGAAATGTTTGGAGATTTATAAATACGAGATCATACGAATACGAGAAATTCGGGCGCAGTCGTGCTTTCGCATCGGCACGATCTGGCGGGGCTACGTCGCGCGGAAGCTGCGCGTGCCGGCGCGCATAGCTCAGGTATTACGACGAAAACGCCCAGAACAGTACGCGCGCGAACGGCGGGAGAAGCGCGACCGCATCCGCGCGAAAGCGGCCCGATCTAGGTTGAGGCAGCTCTACGAGAAGGAGCGCGCCGAGGAGGCGACAGCTAGAGCGTCCGGTCTCGTGAACCCGAACAATGCGCCGGGCGGCGGCGGCAAGAAGATGGCCGCATTTCTCGACTCAGCCTATGGCTCCGACGACGTGCGGCGGGGCGGCCGGCAGCTCTTGGATGGCATCGCCGAATATGATGCGCGCATTCAGAGAGAAAAGGAGGAGAAGCAAGCGCGCAAGGACTGGTTACGGAAGGCCGTGGCCGACGAAGCGGAGCGAGGACCGAAATTTCTACGGGGAAAAATAGCCAAGGACAACTACAATGGCACTTATGACATCGACTTCGAGGACGGCACGAAGGAGGCGAGTGTTGATGTGCTGAAGATCAAGCAGGCCGAGGGCTTTCCGAAGCCGTCGCTAGGCCACAAGTGGAAGGTCGGGATGGTATGCCTGGGCCGGTATTCGCATAAGCGGGATCTCTGCGGCCACGACGTGAACGACGCGGGTGCGTATAAGCGCTACTATCATCGCGACGAGATGTCTGCTAACTCGCAACAGTTAATTGACAAGTTGACCACTTTTCAAGTGAAGCCGTCGCACGATTCTCGATCGTTGCTGAAGAACCATAATCAAAGGATGGAGAAGCGGGGGCGAGGGATTTCTTTCGACTTTCCTTCCACATTATATGGCGACCCGCGCGCGGCGCTCTACGAGGGCGAGCGGAGTCCCATCTCGCCGAAGGACTCCGAGGCGCGCGCCGGGGAGTTCACGTAATTAGTTTGAGTGTATGGTCGTTTTGGGGGTGCGGCGGCGGCGTTTCGGGGAACTGCGTCGTAGTAGGGCGCATTTGCTCGTTTTTTTTTTAACCCCTACCACTAGTCCTCCTCCGCGTTTCCTGCCCCGGTCCCCCGCCAGAAGGCAGTGGGCAAGGGGCGCGACGATGCGGCCTCCCAGATATACGTGAGAAACGGAGGATGGTAGGGGTCTCGTTCGTCGTCGGCCTCGGATGCATCATCGTCGTTGATGCTCGGCGCCCCGGCGCATGCGATTTCGCGCCGCGCGGCGGGCGTGTATGCGTGCAGCGGGTCACGGACCCAAGGATCTGACGGTACGACATCTGACGATAGCCAGACGAGCGCCTCGGAGCTCGCACGGCGCGCAGCTGTTGCATCGCCCTCGCGAGCGAGCGCACGGAGTCGTTCGACGTCGGCGGCGAGACGATTGCGCGCGATGCGGAGCGCATCGAGGTCGCTCGTCTCGCATCCAAGCGGGACTGCCTCAGCTTCGGAATCAGTCTCGTCCGCCCAACACCGCTCGACGGCGCGCCTTGCACTCTCGCGACTGGCCGCTCGCCTCGCGCGCGTTCGGCAGCACGCGCGCATTGCGACTTCAGGCCTCTCGCCTCCTGTCGCTGTGCTGCCACCTCTTGCCGTCCCGATAGCTGCTGGTGCCTCGCCCGCCGCGACGCGGCGCAGGTTCCTCGCCACGTACGCCCGAACTTTGGTCACCGCGCGGACTCGCAGCGTGGCAGCCTCGAGCCGGGGTCGCGCATGCGTACGACGCGACGCGGTGTGCGGCCAAGACGCTGCTGACATCTTTGGCGCTTTTGCACGCCTGCTGAGCGTAGGAACGTCAGGCTTCGCCAGTTTGCCCGTCCCAGATTGTTTGGCAGTGTAGATCTAGGGACAGACGAGTATTTTGACCATTGTGTCTGGCTGCGCGTCGCGGCGACGGCGTTTTTTACAGCAGTGCAGTGGAGGGTGCTGCGGCGCTGCTTACAGTCCACGAGGACAGCTAGCGTTGCGCAGCTTGCAAGATCCGAGATCTTGCACGGCAGCGCTGCACCTCGGACGATTTATACGGGCGATAAGGCCCGGGCCGGCGTGCTTTGCTTTGATGCCTAGTGTCTTACGACCGCTAGCTAGCTCCGCGGCGCAGCGCTTGTCCTTTGGGCCGTAGCCGTGGCTTGGCAGCAAACGCTGTAGTTCTCTTTGTTCCTACACCTCTTCGCTGTTGCACCGCGACAACGGACGTCTCCGCGTGCGCCAGCCGTCACACAAGCTAGCAAGAAGCAGCAGAGCCACCATGCGCACGCGACTGTACGCCATCGCGGCGCTCGCACAATTAGCACATGCTTCAGACCCGCTGTCCTACCACGGCGGCTCCATTTTAGCGATGGCCGGCAGGGACGCCGCGGTGCTCGTCCTCGACAAGCGCATCGGCGCCGGAAACAATCTCATAGGAGACGAGTGCTGCCGCGTGCTCGAAGCGTCAACGCGCTCCCTGCTGGCGGTGCGCGGTATTCAAGGAGACGTGCAATCGTTGCTCGAGGACGTCGCGGCGCGGCTACGACTGCGACGCCTCGAGGAGGGCGACGACGCGTGCCAAGAGCCCAAAACGCTCGCTTCCCTAGTTTCCGTGATGCTCTACGGGCAACGAGCGCGGGGCGGCGCGCCCGGGTATAGTGTCGAGCCCGTCATCGCGGGCCTCGACAAAGACGGCGCGCCCTTTTTGTGCGCCCAAGACGGGTTAGGAGCAAAAATGACTTCAAAAACGTTCGTCGTCGCCGGCACGGCGGCCCAATCGTTGTACGGGTCCTGCGAGGCACTTTATAAACCGGACCTGGCGGAAGAGGAACTTGTGGAAGCTGCTTGTGGCGCGATGGCCGCGGGCCTCGACAGGGACTGCCTCGCGGGCCGCGACGTCGCCGTCCACGTCGTATCCTCGACGGGCGTGCGGCGCGAGGACCGGCGGCTGGGGAGGGAGGCGGTCGCGCCGGCGGGCGGCGCGCCGGCCGGGTTTAGGTGACATAAAACTCCGCCCGTTTTTCTCACGTTGTGTTGAGCACTCACTGCGACGGCGTTCGCCGGCGACTCGTCTCTGACCCTGATCAGGATCGGCGGGCCAATCAGGCTCTCACGCCAGGTTGGAGATGCCGCTTGGCACGGCCTGCTTCCGCCAAGAAAAGGAGCTATTCTGCACTCGCGGCGCGGTAGGAGCGCACTGGACACGTTGGCTTCACGAGCAGCGCAGCAGCCTGCTCGCGATTTGCCCTAGCTCGTTTGAGCAGCGATAATTTGGAAGTGGCAGCAGAGTTGCAGGACGCGAGCGCGCGCAACAGGAGCGTACGATCAACGTCCAGACGAGCAACAGAGGAACAACGCAACAGACGAGCAACGCGGAAGCGCGCAACAGAGTCGCACAGCTACAAGCAACGCAGCGATGGCGTCGATCCTCGACGCGAAGGTCCAGTCCTACATCGCCCTCTACAGCGGCATCATCTCGACGCTCTCGCCGTCGCTCACGACGCTCCAGCTCCTCAAGACGTTTGACCGGAGCATCTCGGCCAAGGAGCTCGCCACGATCTCTATACGAATTTTTCCGCACCAGTGCTTCCTCAAGTGGGCCCAGATGAACGCCGCGACGCCCGTGAAGGAGCACGCGAACCCCTGGCTGGCCTTTGGTGTTGTTGGTGTGCTGCAGGGCGGCGTGTATGGGCAGTGCACGACCTACGTCTCGAAATTGCTGGGGTTGGCCAAGAAGCCGCCGAAGCTCCAGGATTTGCTGCGAGGTTCTGCGTTCGCCGGGTCGCGGGACACGATCTCGCAGGGCGTGCCCTTTGCCTATAGTGCCACTGTACAGTCGATGGTGGTGGACCCCCTCTACGCGTCGGTGGCGGGCCCCGTCTCCGGCGACGACGCGTCGCAGCCCGTGCGGCGCATGGCCGCCGTGATGTCTTGTTCAATAGGTGCTACTGTAGCGTCGCAGTTCCCGCACAACTGCCAGATCCGGATGCAGGCCGACCCGTCCCTAGGCTACGCGGGCGTCGTGCGCGTCCTCACCTCCGAATTTGGGATCAGGGCGTTCTACATGGGTGCGTCGGCGCGAGTGGCGCTCTTGCTGGTCGTGAACTCGCTGAACGAGCTCGTGCTGAAGAAGGCGTGGGCGAAGGACGACAGCTAGCCCGCGTGTCATGTATATCTAAACTTATGTATATCGGGAGTATCTATGCGGACCATGCCACTGGCAGCGTCCGCCGTTATCATCGGCTTGCAAGTGGAAAAGTCTATGTAGAATCTTAGGACCCAGAACCAGGCGCGACGCGCGCGCCACCGCGCCGCATGCGCGTCGACGCCTGGACGGCGACGCCCGTCTTGCGCCGCCGCTGCGCCGGCGACGGCTTGACGGGCGACGGCGCCTTGGCGGGCGACGCCGGCGCCGCGGGCGCCGCGCGCAGCCGCGCGAGCTCGGCCTCCAACGCGGCCACGTCCTCGGACCGCGCAGCTAAAGCCGCCGTCGCCCGCTCCAGGGCGTCGCGCGTCGCGCTTAGTTCTTCCGACGTCTTCGCCACCTCATCGGCGTGGTCCCTTTTACTTTTCGCGGCGGCCCGGCGCATCAACACGATCTTGTCGTGCTGCGCCGCGTTGCTCGCGCGCAGCTTATCGACGTCGTCCTCCTGGACGACCTCGGCGCCCCGTTGATGACGTAACCTCTCCAAATCCTCGGGCGTCCGCAGCTGCCACGTGTCCGGATCTAAGAACGGTAATTTGTGCGAGAAGAGGTGCTTGCGTCGCTGGGCCTCGTCCAACGACGCGATCCGCCGGAACGGCTCGTCGTGCGTCTCGAGCGCGTTGTAGGACGCCAGGCCCAACCTGATGGTCGCGAGAGCCAGGTCCGCGCCCGCGAGCGACTCGTCGAAGGCCGGCGGCGCCGGCTCCTCCACAACTTCGCCGTCCATGACGCGCTCGACGACGTCCTTCAGGCGCCCCGGGCTCTCCGCCACGACGTCGTCAGACGGCGCTTCCTCGGGCGCCGGCACGGGCGCGTCTTCGATAGCAGTCTCCTCCTCGGAGGGCACCGTCTCCGGCGGCGGCACGGCCTCCTCCTCCTCTTCTGTGGAGGGAGGCGCCTCGACGCTCGTCCCCTTGTAGGCGTCGGGGTCCGCCGGGTAGGTTACGGTGACTTGCAGGTCCACCGAGGTCCTTTCCCATGGATGAGCCTGCCGCTCCAACAACCTAGCTCGAGACCTTTCCACTCGCAACGGCAAGTCGCCCTTATCTAACAAAGCGCAGAGACATGCCAATACATAGGGATCCTCGGCCTCCACTCGACATGAGACGCAGGCCGCCGTACTATCGGCAGACCGAGGCGGCCGCGTCGGCACGGCCACCAGGTCGCACCTTCGAGTGCCACCCACCAATAGCGCCCTTTCATCGGCAAAAGGTAAAGGAAAGACCAGGCCCGACAGGCCCAACTCGCAGGGGTGCGCCGCCGCGTTGATCTGATCGACGACGGCCTGCAACGCTCCGTATAGTACAGGCCGCGCCGCGGCCGCGCGAGCTCGCAAGTGCAGCTTCCGCGCGGCATCACCCGAGTCGGCATCGAAGGGACAGTCCTCAACAGCATGATCCGCGCGCCACCACGAGCTCGTCGCGTCGGCTCTCGGGGGTGGTTGTGCTGGCATACTCGCGGGGTTCCGCCGACACCTATCAGAGGCCTCTATGAGGGAAGACCATCTAGACCCCAGCGCCTCGTACTTCTGCGTCCGTAAAGCTTCGCGCACTTCCGACAGGCGCCGGTGCTCGTCGGAACAGACTTGCGCCGCACTATCTAGACAAGAACGCATCTCATTTAAATCAGGCTCCGGCGAGAGAACGTCGTCGCCCTCCACCACTCTTCTGGCAGTAGCCCGCGCGTAGGCCGCCGCCGCGGATCGCAAGCCCCGTACTACTTCTGAACGAGCGTTCTCATTATCCGGGGGATCGTGCAGCGCCGTGTCGCTCTCCGTGCCTACAACCGTCGAGACTTTGATGCGCTCGTCCCGGTCTCGCTGTAACAGGGCGTGTCTTTGTATTTTACGGTGCCAGAGTCGCGAGGCGAGCTGCGGTTTGAGAGATGTACTGAGCTGCCTTTTCGTCGTCTCGACGAATCTGAGGGACTTATTCACCTCGTCCAGACTTAGTAACGCATCCAATTCGACCTCACTTAAACTGAACAGTTCTGCAGCCGAGACCGGTTGCGTCGTCTGTGACCCGTTCGCCAGTCGGTCGCAGATCGCGTCGGTAGCCAGAGGCCCGTGCCAAGACTGCACTCTAAACCATCTTGCCACGTCGTCCGGGCTCCTTATATCTTGCTCATCTAAGACCTCGACCGCTCCCGCGCTTACTAATTCATCTAAGATTGCATGAGATGCTTCGCTCTCCTCCGCACAAGTCGCCAAACGCAAAGGAGTAAATTGGGGAGGAAACGTCAACGTCTCGGCCCCGTCCTCCTCCTCCATGATGCCGCAGAGCTCCAATTCTTCCTTGGATCGCGTGGCCGCGTTGACGTCCGCGCCGTGTGACAATAACAGGCGTACGAGACCCAATCGACCTCGATACACGGCCGCGTGTAAGGGTGTGGCGCCCTTTCCATCGGTCCCGTCCACTTGGGCCCCCTTCTGGAGGAGCAATTTACATAACGCATCATCACCTTCAGCTAACGAAGCCGCCACGAGTAGAGGCGGCCGCCCCTGCCCGTCGACACTGTTCGCGTCGGCCCCCACATCTAGTAGCCTCTTCGCTAATACTAAGGAACCTCGCTGGCACGACGCCGTCAGGGGCGTATGGTTTTCTGACGTCTGGTCGGCGTCGGCGCCGCCCGCGAGTAGTGTTTCACATAGAGCATCTCTCAGCGTCTCCGGAAAGTCTCGTAATGGCTCAATACGCCTCCCTCGCCTACGTCTAGTTCTGACCGGAGAACTCTGTACGGGAGCTTCATTTTCCACAGCAGCCAACAATGGCGTCGCGCCGCTTTCGTCGGCGATGTTCGCGTCGGCCCCGTGACACAGTAAGAATCTACAAACGTCGGAAGCACCCCGACGCACCGCCGCATGGAGCGGCGTCGCCCCTGTTTGTCTTTTGCGCAGGTTCACGTCGGCCCCGTGCTCGACCAAAACTTTCACGGCCTCTTCGTCACCATTGCTACAAGCCAGGAACAAGGGCGCCGTCCCACTCACATTGCACCGATCGACGCCGGCCCCATGTTCTAAGAGCATGGTCATCGGTTTTACATGGCCCTCCTGGACAGCTAAAGCCAACGAAGTCAAACCCGCGGAATCGGTCTTGTCGACTTCCGCCCCATTTCGCAGCAGCAGCGACACGACTTCTTCATTATTGGTCGCGACCTGCGCGGAGCATCGCGGTTCGGTCCGAACGGCCTCAAATTCGAAAAAGAAACCACCCCCGGCCTCCTCTCCTGGAGACGACGTGCGTCGATGGCGTGAAGGCACCGCAGGACGCCGAGATATACGGCCATCATGAGCGGGAACCAGTCCCGATCGCATTCGTTGATGTCCGCGCCGCTGTCAATAGCTCTTTTCATCGCTGTGGTTTCTCCTCTTTGCGCCATGAGGTTGAGGGCGTTGGCGTGGAGGGACCAGGGCGAGGCGGCGCCCCGCGTCGTGGTCTTGCTTGGTGTGGCCATGGCGCTGTGTCTTGGCTGTGTCTCGCTTGGTGCCGGGCCGCTGGCTGCCCGCGCGTCGGCGGCCGGTCGCTCTGGACGGGCTGCCTCGTCGCGCGCGTTGCGTCGTGCGTCGCGCGCGTGTGCTGCTATAGCAAGGCGTTGTCCAGCCAACTCGTTGCGATGAAGGCTAGTGGCACTAGGACAAGCCCGGCATCGATCATCGATTAAGGCACCGCCTGGCGACGGCTGGGACCGGGTCCCAGGACGCATGATGCGCGTCCGCGTTTCGCGACAAAGCCAGCACGCCCGGGCGCCCCGACGTCGGCGCAGTTGACTGCGCGAGGACGGCCGTGGGAGCAAGCGCTGCCCCGAAACGCCTTGCCTTGAAACCGTTCAGGCAATAAACGAACGCCGGCGGCGTGCTGCAGCGGCGCAGCCCCTCCCGGGATTGGAGTCCACACACCACCACTGCATTCGCCGCACGAGCGCGCGACGCGCACCAAGCAATAAATCATGGGCTGGTTCGGCGGCAAGAAGGCGCCCAGTAACGGCACCAGCAATGGCGCGCGTCAAGAAGCTACGACGCCGCAGTCGCCGCCGCAGATCAGCCGAGAGGACAAGGCTAAAGTGGATGCGGCGGGCGGCGTGCCGGACATGACGGCCCTCGAGAATCTGGGGGAATGGTCCATGCTGCGGAATCTGGAGCTGCGGCTCATAGGAAAATCAGAGCCGTATACGCTCGTCAGTACAGTATTAGTGGCAGTCAACCCCCTGAAAGAAACCGCAAAACCGGACTTCAAGTCCTTCGTGGACGCGTCCTGGGATCCCACGCGGCCGCATCCGAATCAACTGGCGGAGCTGGCCTACCAGCGGCTGCAGGGCGGCCGCGCGCCCGACCAATCACTTGTAGTGAGTGGAGAGTCGGGCGCGGGCAAGACGGAAACCTCAAAAATTGTCGTCAAGTACTTAACACAAAGGGGCACGGCGTCGGGCGCCGGCGACACGCAGTTGGCGAAACGGATCTCCGCCGTAAGTCCTGTGCTCGAGTCCTTTGGGAACGCGGCTACCATGCGCAACCACAACTCGTCGCGGTTTGGTAGATTTGTGAAGTTATTGTTTGCGCCGTCCGGTAAAAAAGTGGTAGGCGGCGATGACCTACTCTTAGCTGGAGGTGCTCTAGAAACGTACCTCCTCGAGAAAAGTAGAGTGGTAAGGCAAGGTTCGGGCGAGCGGAACTTCCACGCCTTCCACATGACGCTCGACCAGAGGCCGTCGCGCCAGCTGGGCGACCGCAAGCTGCTCCTGGACCCCTCGAAGCATGCGCATCGGAGCATGCCGCCCTATGGGCAACAAATGAGGGCAAAAGCCGGTCTGGAGCACGTGCCCGAGTACCGAGCCTGTGACCAAGCGCTGGAGGCCATCGGCTTCGATGCGGCGACCAAGGCGGCGGCCTGGGACCTGCTCGGGGGTATTGTTTCATTAGCGGACGTCGTAATCAAGGTCAAAGTCGATGCTGCATCACAAGAAGACGTCGCCGATGTGGAGCTGGACGGGGCTTGTCTGAGAGCTGCTAAACTATTAGGATGGGACGTTTCCGCTCTCTCACAAATCCTGTGCGAGCGAACCGTAAAAATGCGCAGCGAAGAGGTTACTGTCAAACGCACACCAGGAGAAGCGGCTGGCGCTAGAGATGCCGCCTGTCGGTGGCTCTACGGCGCCCTCTTCGAGAAGCTCGTGGTCCAGTGTAATGAGGCGCTCGACGGTGGCCTCGCAGCAAAATCAACGCGCTTCGTCGGGATTTTAGACATCTTCGGCTACGAAACGCTCGAAGAGAACGGCCTCGAGACGCTCCTCATAAACTACGCGAACGAGTCCTTGCAGCAGCTGTTTTGCGATGCCATTTTTGCGGCAGAATTGCAGTTGTACGAGGACGAGGGCATCCTGACGGAGGAGGACGCGAAAGCTTTAGCACCACCTGACTCGACCGCAACTCTCCAGTTCTTGGCGGGCAAGGGGCCGCCACCGGGCATCCTGCGGTTGCTCGATGCCCAGTGCGCCACGGGCGGCACGACTACCGGCAAAAAAACTGGGCAAGATGAAAGGGACTCGCGCTTCTTAGGAGAGGTCGCGCGCGTCCACAAGGGGAACAATTCACTTGCAAATACGAAGCCGAAGGATCGGAGGTACATGTTCCACGTGCAGCATTATGCGGGCGTCGCGGGCTATACTGTGGTAGACGATTCGCAGAAGGAGGGCCACGAGGGCTGGGTCGTCACGAACTTGGATCAAGTTCCGGAAAGGTTAGCTAAGCTCGCGTTGACGTCTACCGTATCACTAGTCAAGGGTTTGGAGGCAGTGGGTCAAAAAGCATCAAATGAGAATCAGAACCGACGGGGCAGCATGGGCAAGCCCAAGACCGTCGCTTCTAGGTTTGCCGCCTCGATGAGCGAACTCACGAAGGTCCTCGAGGCGACCGACTGCGGCTTCTGCCGGTGCATCAAGCCGACGCCCAAGATGGTGCCGAATGAATTTGATGGGCCCTACGTCGCGGAACAGTTGAGGGCATTGGGTTTAGTTGCGGCCACCGAAGTTTTACGAGTAGGCTTACCTCATAGGGTCGAGTACGCGTCTCTGTTAAATACGCTACCGGCCGAAGCGAAACGGGTGTTGAGTGGCGAGCCGAACGACATCGTGGTCTCCTGCACGCTGTCGGCCTTCGACGTGCCCGCGTCCCACTTCCGACTCGGTAAGACGCGGGTCTTCTTCCCGGCGGCCGCTCTCCGACAGATCAATGATTTGTTGGAATTTGATCCAGCGAAGGACCCGGAGCGAGCGGCACTCATCGCTGGTAAATTACAAGCTGCTAAGCAAGCAGCACAAGAGGCGCGGAAGGCCGCGCAAGAAGCGGTAGATGCATTATCACGAGCCGACGCGGCCGTAGCTTCCGCGAGGCAATGTGTGGCTTCGTTACCAGATGATGACGGTGATGATCAATGCGACGAGGACGCGCGACAAGCTGGATTAGATGCGCAGACCGCAGGTGCGGATGCGGAAGATGCGCAAGACTGCGCGACGCAAGCCAAACAAGCGGCGGACAAGCAGCCGAACGCCCCGAAGGCGGCCGAGGCGGCTCGAAAAGCTCAATTGTGTGCGGACAAGGCGAAGGAGGCGTCGGACCAGGCCGATGCTGCGGCTTCGAAGTGCGACGACGTCGCCGAGGCGCTCGGTGGGGCGCGTCGAGCCGCAGCGCAATCTCAAACGGCGTTGACCATTTGTGTGGCCGCTAGGAAGGCCTGTCTCGCAGCCAAGGACGGCGCGACGTCGGCCGTGCGAAGGTTGAAATTGAGTGAAGTGACGGTTAAAGTGCAAGAGGCCAAGGCCGCGGCCCAAGAATGTATTGATGCGGGCAAGGCGTGCGAGAAGGCGGCCGCCGCCGCAAGTGCGGGGCCCCGTGCTGGTACTGGCGACCTGGCTCAATTGGCCAAACGGTGCGCCGAGAAGCGCGAGATGGCTTCACAAGCGCATGCCGAAGCGCGAGCCTTCCGAGATGAAGCTTTGAAGTTTGCGGAGGCGCAGCGGTTAGCCGACGAGGAAGAACGTAGAAGGAAGGAGGAGGAAGAACGTCGACGTAGAGAAGAGGAGGCGCGTTTACGGAGAGAAGCGGAAGAGCGTAAACGTAAAGAAGAGGAAGCGAGGGTCGCGGCCGAGGCCGAACAACTTCGTAGGAAGGAGGAGGAGGCTAAGCAACAGCATGAGGCCCGCATCGCCGCCGCGAAGGACGCCGCTGCTGCTGAAGAATTAAGGAAGGCCGAGTTGATACGCGAAGCCCAAGCTAGAGAGAATGAAAGACAACTAAGGGTCAAGGCCGAGAAGCTGCGGCGGGCCAAGGAGAAGGCGGCCAACGACGCGAAGGCCGCGCAAGCGTTTGCCGCGTTCGATGTACCAAAAACGCGCCTGTCCGACGTCCAGCCGCCCACGCCCCAGAAGCTCACGACGCAGTTGTCGGGCGGGTTTTCGTCCCCAAAACCGCCGCCGCCGCCGGATGATGAAGATGAAGAATTTGTGGACGACGAGGCCGGTCCGTATCGCAGCGTCTTCATTGACCCGTACGCCATCGACGCGTCTCGCGACGATATCGATCGACACAGGCTACGACCAGGACGACGACGACTTCATCGAAGAAGCCCTGAGCCCGTCGAAGAAAGTGAGTGCCGAGTGGGTCGTCCAACATTTACGACGGTTCAAGCGGTGGTACGTGGTCGAGAGACTTGGTAGTGACGGGAACGTCTGCAAGTACGAGCCGCCTCCCCCGCCGCCCTTGGAGATTCTGAACCGGCCCCACCCGCCCCTACCGCCGAGACGAGAGGTCAACGCTCTCAGAGATATGGCTTTTAGAGGTGTCGACCTGTGCCCGGAAGATCCAGCACCTAGAGATAGACGGACTTGTTTATTGCACTGCGTCGTGAAGCGGAAGAAGTCGACGTTAGGTTCAGCACAATTTGAGTTTTCCTTGTCTTGCTTGCCTGATGATACATTACTCACAGCTAAGTTGTCAGGCAAGCACTGGCAGCTGTTTGATGGAGACGCGACGTTACCCTACGGCCAGTTGCGGGACGCCATGTCCATGACGGCTAGGCCTGATTCGGAGATGGGTCTGTTCGGCCACCAGCGAGCGAACCGAGGTGGCGCTCCCAGGGAGATCGGCGTCGTCGTGGAACCACCTGTCTCTGATGCGGGCTTTCTGGAAAGCTTGGGAGGGGCCAAGAACCTACCCGGCGGCGCGTTGTTCGATCGGTTCTCGCGGCACGACCCGCGCTTGGTGGTCTGCATGCAGCGCGACCCCGTGAAGCGCAACGGGAAGTACTCGCTGGACTTCCGGGGAAGAGGCAAGGTCGCGTCGGTCAAGAACTTCCAACTACAGGCCGCGGCGGACCCCGGGCGACGCTCCAAAAAGGCGGACATCGTCTTGCAGTTCGCCAAGGTGTCTGCCAATAGATTTCACTTGGACTTCGCGGCGCCGTTCACGCCGACGACGGCCTTCGCGCTGGCCGTGTCGACGTGCGTGACCTAGGCGCTTCGATCTAATTTCATTACACATATCTCCCTCTAGGCAGCCCTCCCCCGCACAGCAGAGCGCGTAAAACAGGTTTTCATCTTGGAATTTTAGCTGAAAACCAAGACCACGCGCTCAGTCTGGCAAGCAAAACGGAGTGCGCTCGTAGGAACGGACGGACTTCGAGTCATAAGCATCTCAGCACATCAATCTCGCGACTGCTTGCTGATAAATTAAGCTTAACAAAATGAACTCTGAAGCTGCTCCTCTGCGTGAGCCGCGGTCGCGCGAACAGCCACGGTCGCGCCGCGTACGCGCGGCGGCGCTAGCCCTCGTCCTGGGATCGCTCGGCCTGTGGGCGGTCGTTGCGACGCGCGCGGGGCCCCTCGCGGGCACACGGCCCGGCGTCGCCGTGGACATGAAGCAGGAAGAACGGACGTGCTGGATGGAATACCGAGCCAAGAGCGGGAACGGCTATAAGCTCAAGAAGAAGAAGATCGCGTGCGACTGCGGCGCTGGCGAAAGTGGCGGAGGCGGCACCGGTGGCGGAAGCGACCCACCAGTGCCACCAGTTGTCGACGATCGTCAGCTGCCCTACTTCGAGGACTTTGAGGAAGATCTCCAGCAGCCCTACGCTGATTGACGTTGTCCATTTGTCCTCGCGTCGGCCCCGCGGCCCGCGCGTGTAAAAATTAGTGTGCGACGCCCGCGGCGCGTCGACACCTCTCGGAGCAAAAAAAAGAGAGTCGTACTGGATGCCGGGTTCGAACCGGCGACCTACTGCGTGTAAAGCAGACGTGATAACCACTACGTTGGAGCTTCGGAGAAAAAAAGCTTCACCAATCCAGCAGTTCCTCCAAGGGTGCAGCCATCGGGCGCACTCCTCGGTCAGAGCTGGCCGATTTTTCGCTTATGAAAGCCCAAACCTGGGTTTTGTGCCGCCGCCGCGGCGCGTCACGGGTCCGTTTTTGCCTCCAGGCCGTCGCAGGCACACTGCCGGCATTGTTTGCAACCGCTGCTCGCAGGTCTGCTGGTTGCGCGAGACATTTGAGGCCGGAGAGCCAGCATGCTCTCCCTTGCAGCCAGGCGCACAAGTCGCCGCGCGGCGCCGATACTGCGACGAGCGCCGCTGACACGCCGCGCATCACCGCCGCGCGTGCATATACAAAAGCTCAGCACCACCGCACCACAAACAAAAAACGTAGCCCTGAGACTCGCCCTCGCGCCCTACGCCGCTTTATCATGCTTCCCACTGGCGAGCGGCGCCGCGGCACTCTACCACTCCATCAACGGCGACGAGGACGCCGCGCGCGGCTGCGCCTTCTTCAGCTGGACCGGATGGTTGTCTTTACCAGCGACGATACCGATGTTCCTCGTGGCGGCGCCGTATACCTTACTCTGTGATCCCTACGAGCGGAGCCTCCCGGATAAGGTAGCCAAGGCCTGGGGCCGTTGTACCACAACACCCTTCTTCTCTACTCATGTAGAAGGGCTGGAAGCGTGCGAAAAACAACTCAACGGCCGACCGGCGGTCTTCGTGGCGAACCACCAGTCGTGGTTGGATATATATGCTTCGTTTTGGCTGGACTGGGACCGCGCCTTAAAAATCGTGTCCAAGGCATCTATTTTCCGGATTCCTCTGTGTGGGTGGGTCATGTCTCTGATCGGCCACGTGCCCTACGACCGGTCCAAGCCGGGCGGCCACGTCGTCGGCGCGTGCGAGAAGCTCGTCGAGAACGGCGCGAGCATCCTCTTCTTCCCGGAGGGGTCACGGTCCAAGGACGGCCGGCTCAAGCCGTTCAAGCCCGGCGCGTTCGTGGTCGCGGCGCGCGCTGGATGTGCTGTCGTGCCGGTCACCATAAAAAACACGGGATATTTGATGCCCGTCGGCGACGAATTCTACGCCGGCGGGCGCCTACGGCGGGGCGACGTCGAAGTGGTCGTCCACGCGCCTTTGTATGCCGATCCTACGAAGGCGGACCCCGTCGCCGATCTGCAAGAGAGGGCGCGACAAGCGATCGCGTCGCGGCTCTGATGATGTTCGTTCGCTCGCTCGTTATTTATTACGCTGTATAAGTTTGAGTGTTATTTACAACAGGATGAGGAGGCCTACACGACGTCGGCCCAGGCCCGCGCCGAGGGAGTGCCGACGGTGCCGTTGAACGTGAGCGAGTCGATCTCGAGGTAGTGGTGGTAGGGCAGCTCGACGTAGAGCTGGAAGACGCCGTCAGCGCGGCGCACGGGCCCGAAGAACGGCTTCGAGTCGATCTCCAGCGCGGCGACGACGGGCGTGAGGTCGTCGACGCTCCACGCGCAGTGCGTGTTGCAGAAGACCGTCCACGCCCGCATGTCGTCGTCAGCTTCGTCGATCCACTCCTGGAGCGTCGCCTCGGTGATGCTTCCCATCTCTTCCTTGGAGACGACGCCGTCGCCGTCCAGATCGATGCCGCCGCGGAGCGCGAGCGACTTGTAGGAGGCGCCGCCTTACTCGACGGCCGTGTACGGTCACCGCTGGGTCTTGGAGGTGACGGTGCCGCCGTCGGACTCCGCGGCGAAACGGAGGCGGTTCTCGGCCGTCCACGTGGCGCCGCGCACGCGGCCGCGGCGCGGCGCGGCGCCCGGACCGCCGACGGCGGGCACTCCTGGCAGCGACGCGTCCCAGAACTAACAACAGTCAGTGGTTACTCCATCTCCCCCGCGACGCCCTCCACAAGATCGTCGACCCAGTCCAGGAACGGCGCCTTGTCGTCGCGCATGGCCCGCATCGCGTAGTCCAGGTGGCCGCCCTCGACGTCGACGCGCGTAAAAACAACGTCAGGCGCGGCCGCGTGGACCGCCGCGACGGCGTCGGCGCCGCTCGTGAGCGGCGCCGTCAGGTCCGCGGCGCCGTGCACGAGGAGCACTTTATCCGCGAAGGTCTTCCCGCAAACGGGCGAGTAGGCCCGCATCTTGCCCGCGTAGGCCGCGCCGAGCGCCGACACGTCGTGCACTCCTCTCCTACTCTCGTGCGCGTAGTGCTCCTCGAGATCGAAGACGCCCGAGCAGAGCGCCGCGGCCGCGGGCCGCGCGCCCCGCGTCGTCGACGCCGCGGCGACCAAATGCGCGCCGGCCGACAGCCCGACGGCCACGACGCCGCCGGGCCGCCGCCGTTCGGCCCACGTCAATGCCGCCGCGACGGCGTCGACCATGTCCTCCCCGTCGCCCAACGGCCAGGGGGCGTACTGCGCGACCGCGACCTCGCACCGGCTCCGCTTGGCGACGCGCGCCGCGAGCAGGCGGTAGAGCCGCGCGTCGTCCCCGTGGCACCAGCCGCCGCCCGGGACTAATACAACGAGCGGCCGCGTCGAATCGCCCCCTGCATAGAGGTCGATGGCGTGGCCGCCCTCGTCGCGAGACTCGACGAGCGTCTCGCCGGCGCGCCGCCACTGCTCTAATAAAGCCCGGCCGGCCTGGACCAGCGACCGGCCCGAGTCCTTCGCGTCGGCGGCGGCGAGCGCCACGAAGCCCGCGACCGCTTCGAACGCCGTGAATTGGCGCCACGCTATTCTAGAATCTCGGAGCAACCGGGCCAGCCGCGTCGGGATGACTTTCCCGACGGCGCCTTCCGCGTCCTCGGCGCCCGCGGCCGCGGCGCCGACGACGCCGAGGAGGACTGCAGGCATGACCGCGCCGGCCGCCACATCAGACGCGGTGCGGACGAGCGGGTTGCGCCGTTTTGGCGGCGGCTGACTTGGTTTGAGTGCCGCTGCCAGACAGGCGAGGCTCGTCGCGGCGATGGCCCAGACCATGCCTTGCTGGGGCATGCGCATGGTGGTGGTGGTGAGATACTGCCAGCACTGTGCGGCCACTTTTATTTTGATCGATGTGCGCGCGCGTGCTGCTCAAAACCTCCCGGAGAGCCTTTGGCTGGGGCGCTGCGCTGCACGCTCTGAGATGCGTTGTGGATGTTACTGGGGTCAAGTTCTGTAAGAGGACGACCCCCGAGACCTATTCCGATCACTCGTAAGCTGCTGTAGCTGGCGTACAGAGCGTTTTTGCGTGGCATGCTCGTGCTGGCTAGTGTCTTACCGCTAGCTCAGTCGCGCTCGCGCACTAGTCCGAGGGCTACGATAGAAGTCTCTCTAAGCGCGATGGAAAGTAACGCCGGCCGACGCGTCCCTAAAAACCAACGAGCGCGAGTCTACGAAGAACACACATTACACGCCGCCGCCGCGACACTAAACTCCCAGGACGCCTCCGGGCAGACGGCTTTCAGCCAATCCCGCGGCGACGGCACCTCGTGGAGCACGTCCATGTACAGATCCGCCACGGCCTTGGCGCCCTTCAGCGGCAATCGACATAGAGTCGTCGTCTTTCGTTTGACCGGATCATAAAACGCGACGATGACGTGCGGCGGGCAGTTGATGGCCGTCATTTTCCGTTGGTAGTCGTCGCAGTCGAGGGCGTCGGGGGGCTGGACCGTCAGTTGCGCGCGGCCGACGTTCTTCGTTGCCCACTTGGCTATCAATGCTTCGTCATCTATTAATGACTCGCCCTTCAGCGTCGCGCAGCAATCACGTAAAGCAGTGAGCTTCCCGAAATATTCGCGCAAATCCCCGCCATTCAACTGAAGACAATACGGCGACGACGCCCACTGCAATGCTCTAAATCCAGCGTGGAACGGCGCGACTCGTCTAGAATCAGTAGAGGAAGCCGGCATGGCGATCTCGCGCGCGAGCAGCACGCGGCTACTTTCCGCCTCAAATTCCACCGTCACGCGCTGGTCCAACACCTTCAGGGAGAGCACCGATCGTTTGTGTTGTGCACAGATTGCCCAGAGGCTCCCCGGCCACTTGCTCCAAGCCATCTTTTCTTTCGTGGCGCGCGCCCAGAAGGCGTCGGCGAACTCGTTGGTGTCGTCAAGGTCTCCCAATTCGCGGGGCAGCAGCTCGGACTCATCTATCTCAGGTTCGGTTGGTGTGAATTGTGCTAATAACCGTCGCATGGCTGCGATCTCGGGGGGTTCCTCCGTGCTCATTGATTGGCGCCTCTCTTCCACCTCTCTGATCAAGGTTTTGGCGTCCTCTTGGGCTTGGTTCGGGGGCGGCGGCGGCGGCGGGGCGTCTGCCATGATGATTTGGGCAGCCTCACTGTCCTGGTGGCTTGGTGCCAGCAGCTGGGGTGCAGATGGCGGTGGCCGCAGGCCAGTCGACTTCTTAGAAACCCCGTTGCCGCGGGGATTGCAATAGGGCAGCAAAAAGCGGCAAACGAGCGCAAAAATGATTTTCACGACCCGTTTTGCAACATAAAAAAACGCGATAAATTTTTAGAGTTGAATAGCGGTACGCGGCCCTACACACGCAGCGCAGTTGTCATTTATCGCATTCATCGACGACGTGAGCTCACAGCCCGCGAAAGCCGTGCGTGCATCGCCGGCACGACAACACACCAAATGGCCAAGCCCAAAACTAGACCAACGCGGCGCGAGCCGACCTACGCCGCCGTCGCGAAGCCCGTTGCCGTAGAAGCGCCGCCGCCCGCGCCAAGTGCACCGGCGCCGCCGCCGGCCGCCGTGGATGTGCGCGGCCGCAACGTCTCCGGCCGGCCCTGGAAGCAGCCGCCGAAGAGCCGAAGCTCATCGCTAAAAATGACGCAGCCGCGCAAGTCCTGGGACGCGAAGAAGCGGGACCGCGAGGCGCGGCAGCGGGCGCGCGAGAAGGAGGCGGAGTTGGTCGAAGCGCGGAAAGAACGGATCGCCGAGCAGAAGCGCAAGACCGAAGAAAAAAGGAGTCGGAAAAGGAGGAATGAATTCCGGAACGCCCAGTACCAGGTCATCACGAACGACAAGACCGTCAAATCTTTATCGAAGAAAAAATTGCGGCAAATCAAGCGGACGCGCGTCGCGGCCGACGGCGAGGTGGAGCTGGTCGACGCCTACGCGCCCATGCACGGTCCTCGGGCGAAGCGCGTGCGGGGGGGGAAGTGAGTTTTCTTCGCGCGGACGCGGCCGTCGCGGCGACGGCGTCACATCGTGGGGGCGGCGGTGCAAGTAATGACCTGTGTAATCGTGCTCCCGTGTTGTCGCAGTTCAGGGTTCGCCGGCCGTGCAGCCAGCTTGAGCCATGCCCAACTTTTGCTTCTGGCAAGCCAAAGCTCGCTCTCGCACAGGAACAGTAGCACCGGCGCCGAATTTCGCTGCCCTACCGCACCGCGCGCGCGCCGGCCGACGTATCCGGTCGGCTCGCGACCGCTGCCCCGCGGCGAAAGCATGAAAGCACCACAACCACTGCCCTAGACATTACATTGCAAACCGCAGGTCCTCGCGCACGAATCGAGAAATGAAGCACCGGCGCCCCCGCGCCGCGCAGAACAAGGACGTCGTGCCGCTGATCGCGGACCAGGTCTTCCAGCCCGCCGTCGTCCACGCGCCGCGGAAACCGGCGCCGAAGCGGAAATCCCTCAACAAGAAGGCGCCGAAGCGCGCCAGGGCCAAGACTGTCGTGAAAAAATCGCGTGGGTCCGGCAACCGCGGCGGCTCGCGGAAGGGCGGCGGCCGCAAGAGCGGGCGGCGCTAGGCGGCGCGCGCGTCCCCCGTAACGATCGACACACTCAGTTCTTACTTTTTTCGCGCCAGAGCGATCTTGTCCCAGACGCGACACACGCACATGTCCTATTTCGTCGCGCGCCAAAACGAGAGCACGTTCCAGACGACGCCGTTGTCGCCGAGGCGCGCGAGGAAGGCGACGGCCGCCGTCCACTCGGCGGTGCCTCGCGTGCGACGACGAGGTATGAGGTGGCCCCGCATCGCGAGGCCGCGGAGCAGCAGCACCTCGCGGTGCGGCTCGCGGCAGTAGCTCTTGAAGGAGCCCGCGCGGCGCACGCCGGCGACGAGGGCTCTCATGGCGGGCCAGAATGATTCGGGGATGTCCCGACCTCCAGTATCATCATCAGAATCCGGGAAATGGTATTCAAGTGGATGTCCCTGATAGACACGGTCAAGCGACGCGCCCGCCCTCAGCAGAGCAGTCACGCACTCCAAGCTGGTAGTTCCGCCGTAACTCACGAGGGCGCTGAGGCATGTTCGGTCAATGTCATTCCTTGCGTTCGGGTCAGCGCCCGCCGAAAGCAGCAGCTGTATCATTTCTGCCACAGGCCCGTTTTCGTGGCGGTAGCAAGCCCTCAACAGCACCGTATTTCCAATTGCATTGCGAACCTCAGTCGACGCGCCGCGGGACAGGAGGTAGCGTGCCACCTCGACGTTCCCTAGAGTCAAGCCACCATCTTCTCCAGAAGTGCCCCCCGCACACCGCATCAGAGGCGTCATTCCAACCACATCTTCGCAGAGGCCGTCCACGTCTCGCGCGCCATCGCTCTCGTCTTCAAAATAGACCCTGATGGTCTCAAGGTCTCCTTCAGTTGCTGCGACACTAATGTGCTCTGGCAGGGTCATTGCCAGCCGAGCTGAAAAACGCGCTGCCGAGGCACGGCGGCGGCTTAGCGCTGCAGAATACGCTGTAGCACAGCGCAGCCGCTGTGCAACAAACTAGATAGCTGCTTGATCAGCGCTCTGCGCTGCGCTGCGGCGGCTGCTCCACCTCTGCCCCAATACATTCCTAGTGTCTTACAGGCGCTAGCTCGTAGACAAGGCAGACAACCTCAAAGCACCGGTCCAAACCTCCCGGAAGCACGCCTCGCGCGAAGGGAAACTAGAGAGGCCGCCTGCGAGGCACATCGGTTGGCCGTGCGCCAGGGTCACGATAATATTGCGGCGCGGGACGCCAACGGCTGCACGAGGAAGGTCCGTAGGACTCCTCCGGAGCCACGTCGCACCGCGCACGCGCAGCAACGGCTGCCCCGGCCGCGCGCACAGGAACCACCAGCAAGACCCAGCCAAGATGAGCAGCCCCGAGCTGCGCAACGTGGAAGTAAGAGTACGGGTGCGCCCCGGCTCGAAGAAGAGCGCTGTACGCACGCACTCCACGAAAGAACTCTCGGTCGACGACAAGCGCTGGGCCTTCGACCGCGTCTACGGTCCCGACTCGCAACAATCCGACGTCTACGAGGAGGCAGTGAAACCGCTCGTCGAGGCGACGCTGGATGGCTACAACTCGACGGTCTTGGCCTACGGCCAGACGGGCAGCGGCAAGACGTATACGATGGGCACCGGGCACGAAACGCTCAGTCAAAACGAAGGCGTGGTCCCTAGGGCGCTGCGGGACCTGTTTGATCATGGTAGTGCCGTGAAGATCCGCGGGTCGTATGTGGAAGTGTATAATGAAGAACTCAGGGACCTCCTCGACCCCGCACCGAAGAAACTCCATATCCGCGAAGACGCGACGCGAGGCATTTTCGTCGACGGTGCCCGGCAAGTGTCCCTGACCTCGGTCGAGGACGCCGTCACTTTGCTAGAGAGAGGTGCTGCTTCAAGAGCGACGGAGGCCACGAAGCTGAACGACCGCTCTTCCAGAAGCCACGCGATTTTAACGCTGACGGTCGAGCGGCGCAAGCACTTGGTCGAGGACTCCAATGGTGATGTCAGAGCCTCGTCGCACATCGCCGTCGTGCGGTCGAAGATCCACTGCGTCGATTTGGCGGGGAGCGAGCGGTGCAAGCGGAGCGGGGCCCAAGGCGCGCGTCTGAAGGAAGGTATACATATCAACGGTGGGCTATTGGCGCTCGGTAAGGTCATCTCGGCCCTCTGTGACCGCGAGGAGGGCAAGTCGGCCCACGCGCCCTATAGGGAGTCGAAGCTTACAAGGTTATTGCAAGACTCGCTGGGCGGGACAGCGAGAACGTGCATGCTCGCCTGCGTCTCTCCTGACTCACAAGATCTGCCGGAGACACTCACAACTTTGGGATACGCGTCTCGGGCGCGACGGGTGAAGAACACCATTCAACAAAACGCCACTACTGTCGTCGTGCAGGGCCCTTCGCACCTAGAGTTGGAGAACCGGAGACTGCGGGCGCAACTCGCGGCCATGAGCGTGGACAAGCCGCCGCCGCCGCCCTCGCCGAGGGACGACTTCGGGGATGGGCCTCATCGGTTGCAGCAGGCTGTCTGCGAAGGCAATCGGCGGCTGGCGCATGTCAAGGTCGCTTTAGAGTCCATAGTGGCCAAGGGCGGCCTGGATCTGAGGACGCGGGACGCGATTCGAGCTATTGTGGAGAGCGTAGGTGGGAATAAAGGTGATCCTCCTCTAGGTGAGCTCGTGACCGGAGGACCGGTCCGTGCTGTGTTAGAATTACAAGCGGCCGTCGACCAGCGGGATGCGAAGCTAAGATGTCTGGAAACGCAACTACGCGAAGCTAGAAGTGACTTACAACGCGACGAGGAGATCTTCGCGACGCGAGCGAGGGAGCTGCGAGACTGCAAGGATGCATTGCGACGGAAAGATAGAGAAGTGTCTGACTTGAGGGCGCATCTCGTGAGGGCCGAAGCTAGAGCGGACGCGACGGAGCAGGTCCTGAAGTCGGCCAAGAGTCGCTTATCGACCGATAACACAGAGAATCAAGACCCCCTCGACCTGACTTCTAAGTTGAGAGCGTCCTGTTTGAGAGCCGAGTCAAAAGCTAAAAGGGACTTGGATCGCGAGCAGGAGTCCCTCAAGCAGCGCGAACAGGCCCAAAAGAGGCTGCAGGTCCTCGAAGCGGAGATCTCCACGAAGGAAGCGTGCATTGCATCGTTGGCGGCGTCGGAACGGGAAGCGACGAGGGCCGTGTCGCAGTACCAGAAGCGCATCACTTTGTTGGAGCGCGAGGCCGAGCAGCTACGGTCCATGCAGTCGCCTTGCACCGTACGCGAGAAGAAGAATGAACTAGCGCAGCTGAAGATGCAGGATATTGAAAGAGTGGAGCAGCTGCGGAAGGCCTCGGAGGTTAGGATTTGTGAGTTGCACGAGGAAGTTTCTACTCTCAAATCGCAGCGCGACTCGCAACGACCTTCTACTTCTAGACCGGTCACGGCGCGGACGCGCGACAAGCTCGAGAAGCGGGCGCACCGCTGGCTGCGACGACGTTTAGATGCGGTAACACGACCGCCGACGGCCGGCGCCTCGGTTGAAACGGACCCCTTCGACGCTTTACGAAGTGACGTCGCCGAACTCCCGCAAAAGCACTGCGCGGCCGCGCTGACGGAGGCGCTGCGCCAGCTCGTCTCTCATAGAATCAACCGCGTCGTCACGCCTCCTGTTCCTCCTGCCACTATTCAAGCTTACGAACAGAAGATCGACATGCTCCTGCGGGAGCTGCATAAGTATGAATCATAATTCGAGATATATATTATGTTAAAGACCGCCTTCGCGGCCACAAGCAGACCTGCAAGAGCATACGAGCAGGCCTAGAACGTCGGGCGCGGGTGGTCCGTTCTCGAAGGCGGCTCCCAGACCCCACTGCTGTAGACGCTCTCGCCGACGGTCCAGCCCTTGACGCCCTCCATGACGCGCGCCTCCTCCGCGTCCTCCGCGTCTTCGGACGCGCAGAAGCGCCTATCTTCTTCCGCTTGTAAATAAGGGACCATGTTCATGCGGGCTTCGCGCTTCTCGCGCTTCGCCGCGTTCCTTTCTAAATTCGTCTGGCCGACGCGGTAGAAGCCGACGGCCACGACGGCCATGGCCGCGGCCCAGATCTTCCAGCCCTCGGGGCCCCGGTCCTTTTGCGCCTTCGCGAAGAGCACGGAAGGGTAGCCGCCGGGCGGCGGCATGTCCTGGTGGATTGGTCTCAATTCTTGGGAGACACCATGCTTGGTGGGGGCGCCGCCCGACAAGCGGCGGCGCTGCGGCCGCGCTCTTGTAGCAACGACGCGGGCGCTGCGCAACATGACCTGTGTGAAATGCGCGCGCGTGAGGCGGGCCGCTCGAGGGTATAAAACTCTCGGGACCGGTGCGCTCCCGGCTGCGAACAGCCCGCGCCGGGCGTCGCGAGGCGAAAACCGCCGGGGCCGCGCCGCCCGTCCTCTCGCAAGCCGTATGAAGGTCCCCACGCTACGTGAGAGCGCGGCGACTGATTAATTAGGTGCTTTTTTGGCCTTGGTTCGGGACGCCGGTGGGCGCAAGTTGTTGGCGCTGCCCTCGAAGTGCTGTTTTGCGTGAGCACGCGTCGGCGGCGTCCACTCCCGCGCGTGATTAGCAAATTGCTGGTGCAGCCCTCAAGTGCTGTGTTTTGCGTGAGCGGCCCGTCGGCGACCGCTTATTCCGCGGCAGGTCGATAGCGTGACTAGAAGCGATGTACCGAGGGGCTGTGCCACCTCGTGACCTCTCTCGCGCCGCTGTTTATCCCGGCCTTAGCAAGACGGGCGCGCTAGTGTCTAACTACGCTAGCCGAACCGAACGCTCGACCGCACGCCGCCGCCGCGACCCGCACAGAAGATTAATCCAATCAACCAATTCTTAGGCCACGACGCAGCTCAGCTCCGAGCAGGGCGCGCTTTCTTCCCCGAACGTCGTCGCCAAACAAGACTCTCTACCTTGTCGAGCCTTCGCTAATTCTGGATCTTGACGTTCCAAAAAAGCCACGACGTCGTCCCTTTGCGCGCGTTTAGCCACCTCCAACGGCGTCCGACCGTGCCCGTCGATGGCCCTCGCGTCGAGACCCCGTTCCACCGCCAAGAAAGCCACGACATCGAGGTGGCCCCGATAGCAGGCCATGTGGAAGGGCGTGATGCCGTTCTTGCCCCGCTTGCAGTCCACTCCTCTTTTGGCCAAGAAATCGACCACCGCAAGGTTCCCCTCCTGGCACGCGAAAAAGAAGGGAGTGGAGCCGGCCTCGTTGACCGGCTCCAATGCAACACCTCTGTCTGCGAGTAACTCCGCAATATCCAACCGACAATGCTGGCAACATATAAAGAAGGGCGTGTTGCCTTTGGAGTTCGGCCGCTCGAGGTCCGCGCCCTTCTCGATCAAGAACTTCACGATGTCGACGTAGCCCCTATAAGCTGCTATAAACACAGGAGTAGCTCCGTCGTGGATGGGCCTATCGACGTCCGCACCGATCGAACAGAGAAAGCGCACGATCTCCAGATGGCCGTTCTGGACGGCCGCGGCGAAGGCCGTGCCCCCGTGGATCTCGGCGTTGACGTCGAGCGGCGGCTGGTTCGGCTGGTTTACGACTCGTTTTACTTCGTCGAGCTTCCCATCATAGCAGGCCGTGTAGCACTTTAAGGCGCGGCTCGAGACGGCCGGTGCCGTGGCTTTGTAGGTGGTGTCGGCGTCTGAACTCATCGGGCTGCCTTTGATGGGTTTTGTGAGATGCGACGGGGCCAGTGCTCGCCGCCGTCGGGCTGCCCGCGGCGGTGTTAGATGCGAATTTGGGGTGCCAATTCGAAGCTGCGGCACCGGTGCCGGGTTTTGCGGCAGCGCCTCTGCCACGGAATCTATTGGGAGGTAGGGCTCCGTTGTGTCGCCGGAGGGTTCACACCTTCGACTCGCGCGCCGCGGGTACCGAGGCTAGTAGAGGCTAGTAGGGCCAAAAGCAATAGCGCCGCGCGAGCCCATTAGGCTGGGAGACGGCCGGGAGCAGGCGCCAGGCCTTGCACGGGCTCCCCCGCAGCCAAGGGCAGCAATAACGAGCGTCTGCGCCGCGCGCGTGCGCCCGCAGCGCCGCTAGCCAGCCCCCAAGGGCAGCCCAGACAAGCAGCCCAGACACCAATGGAGCAACCAACAATGAAGAGCGTCCAGTCCGCCGCGACGAAGGACGGCCTCGGTGGACTCGAAAGAGAACTGCATGCGACCTTCCAGGCGTCGCGCCTGCCCGCGCGCCAGAAGCACGAGCATGCTCTAGTTGCCCAAATAACAAATGCCTGCGAGGACCACTCGCCGGAGGGCGTGGCCTTCGTCATGAACCCTTTGGTGGTGCTGGGGCCGCCTGGGAGCGGTAAGTCGACCATCGTCGCGGCTTGGTTGGCGAAGCGCCGAGCGGCCGAGAAAAGGTTAATAAGGCAGCACCCGTCACTCACGCCGGAGTTCCAGTTCGTCCACGTCGTCGGGTGTACCCGACAAAGTCTCTTGGTGAGAGAGTTGCTCAATCGATTGGTGTCGGAGTTAGTGCAGCGATTTGATTTGCCAGAGCCCCGCGACTGGTCGCCAAAGACCCTAGCCTGGAAATTGCCCGGACTGCTCGAGAAGGCGGGCGCGAAGGGCGACGTGTTGATTGTTATTGATGGCTTGAATCGCTTGCGGAACGACGACGGCGAGGTGAATCTAGCCTGGCTGCCGCAGGTGTTTCCGCCCAACGTGCGGGTCGTAGTAGCTACTACTCTACCCACGGGCATGGAATTGCCCGATGCGGCCTCAATGTTGTTAGATGACGACGACGTCGTGCTGGAAGGCCATGCCGCGGAATTACGGAGGAACCAACGGCGCGTCGTAGCCGAACTAAGGAGAAGAAGGTGGCACGTCGCGCGCGCGGACTGCAACGAGACCACCAAGAGTAGTATCATGCGTACGTATTTGGAGTGGCACGAGCCGGACCACGAGAGCGACGACGAGACGCACGTTTCCGACTCCGTCTTCCTCACGACGACGGGCCAGACGCTGGGCAGCGGTTCCATTGAAAGCAGTACATTAACGAAGCCCTCGCAAGGACCGCGAAGAGGCGCTCTCAGAGAACGGTCCCAAGCTAAATTAGATTTATTTGACGCGCAGCACCGAGCGCTGGAAGACACGCCTACTTCTTCTCTGACGCTAGCGACGTTTCTACGAGCGTTGGTCTGGTCCGCGGCGCGCGGCTTCGACGTCTGGTCGCTCCAAGAGCACTGGCTGTCGACGGAGAAAGAAAGTACTCCCGAAGAACTTTTTGAACACATATTGGACACCTGGGAGGCGGGCCACGACGATTCGGAGGAGAAGAGGGAACGGGCTCGACGCGCTTCCAACGAGGCCGGCGTCATGGTCGGCCGGGATTTGAAACGTAGATTGGCCAATGTCGTTTCTTCGTCCGAGTCGGAGGCCGAGTCGACGGATTCGGAGGGGCCCGCCGCCGCCGATCGGAACTCGTTGTCGGGACGCTTCGCGAGCGACCACCCCGCGACGACCGGAAGTCGCCGGTCCCTCGACCACGTCCAGTCACCTACAACAGATAGAGTGCGTGTCAAAGGGGAGGCGACGCCGTGCGACGCCCACGCCATCGCGGACCAGAAGTGGCTCAAGGTGCAAGCAGGATGCGCTAGGAGGTTGGACCACGTGCTGGAGGTGGCGTCGCTGGTCACGGAACGACTACTCGCGACCGACGCTCAAGATCATTCGTTCCTAGATGCCTTCCTGCAAGGCGTCGACGACCTCGAAGACGACAAGGAGGAGTCGCTCGTATCCATGAGCATCCCGACGGGCGGCGCGTCGCTCGTAGAAGAGCCAACAGTGGTCGAGGAAGCTCCCGCCGAGCCGCCCGCACCTTCACCCGTGGAAGAGGCCGAAGAAGAGAGTGATGATGACTACGGCGACGACTCCTACGAGGACGAGGAGTACGGCGATGATGATTTTGACGACTTCGAAGACGAGGGCGGAGACTTCTCGCAAGATATCAGTATAGAAGACTATTTGCGGAAGGTCTTCGCGAGTGTGGACGTCAATGGGGACGGGGAGATCTCTACCCAAGAAGCGGTGAAGGCCGTCAGGTCAGATCCCGAGTTTGCTGCGATGCTTGGATTTGACTCCGCTATACAAGTGAAGCGCTCGGACTACACGAAGGACCAATTGGAAATGGCTCTTGAGCAGCTGGATACGGACGAGTCTGGTAGCGTGAGCTGGGAGGAGTTCCGGAACGCGTTTTTGCCGCCCTCCGTCGACGAAGATACGTATCAGGAGACCTTTGACGAAGCCGAGGACCCCTTCGCTTCGTATCTTAGAGATTATGAGACCTACCTCAAGGCGGTCTTTGACCAGTGTGACAGTAACAGCGATGGCCAATTATCCTATCAAGAAATCGTAAATGCTCTATCTTCAGATGAGTTCGTGGAAATCGCCGTCGACGCCATGGGCTTTGTGGAGTCCGGCGTGTCTCGGGAAGAGTTCGCCCGACAATTTCTCGCAGCGTGCGACTGGGACGGCGACCGAGCGATCGACTGGAGCGAGTTCCGCGAAGCGGCTCTGGCGTCGGCGCTGGACGCCATGCACGAGGCGCGCATGGAGCACGCCTTGCGGGAGGTGTTTGAGCGCATCGACACGGATGGTTCTGGATCCATAGACATCCGGGAAGCTGTGGAGGGTCTCCGGGACGACGCCGATTTCGCTGATATACTAGGCTTCTGGAGCACGCACCAAGCTAATAGAGAAGATGGTAGTCTCGACTATTTGTTGGATCAGCTGCAAGCTCTAGATACGAACCAAGATGGTGTCATTTCGTGGGCTGAGTTCCGGGCCTCCGTGTTCGGTGGCGAAGAGGCTGAAGAACCAGTAGTCCAGGAAACGGAACCACTCCCGGACTACCTGTTGGGTGGGTCCAAGGTGCCTGGGTTGGGTACGTTGCTGGGGGACGCGCTGGCGCTGCTATGCGTCGCGCGCTACGGCCTGCTCGAGGACGAGCTCTGGGCGCTGCTCGGTGACTTGGATCGGGAACGCAAGGAGGATTTGGAAGCGTATGAAAAAAGACAAGCTGATCTGGAACGAGAACGCCTGGAACAGGAGAACGAGCTCACGAGACATTCGGTCATCGAGACAGATCAAAAAGAGGAAAGCGACGAGGACCTGGACGACCTGGAGGCCTTCCTGTCCGATGACGGTGCGGTGCGCGCGTCGGAGCCTACCGTGTTTCCTCCAGAAGTTGTGGAAGAGCTTCCCAAAATGCTCGCGGCGCTCGGCGTGCTGTGGGACCCCGTGGAGCGGTGTTTGGTGCTGCCTCTTGAGAGTGAGGCTTTACGCACAGTAGTTCATCAAAGATATGTGGCACCCGGCGCGGAACGGGTGCGGATCTCGCTCCTGAGGGAACGCGAGGCGTTCGAGCGCGAGAGAAATTCATTGTGGGGCCAGGCCGACGCAAGTCATCAATCGACACTCACGACGGAGGAGGAGAGTAGAGGTGGGGACTGGTGGCACGCGCGCGTTGCCGCTTACTTTGCGGCAAGACCACCTTCGCGACGACGCGCGGAAGAATTACCGTGGCATCTGAAGGAGTGCCGCCAGTGGACGCCTCTCTGTGAGGCATTGTCGGACATTCATACGTTTGAGGTCATGTTCCTGGGGCCGCCCCAGATGAAGCTGGAGCTCGCGAGCTACTGGAAGCTTCTGGTAGATGGACCCTTGTTTCTGTCCGAGGCCGCGGAGCACGCCCAGGCCGTGGCCCACCAGGGCATGACGCCCAATCAAATCATCCTGTCTGGTTTAGATACGGCCCACGCCCTGGGGTTGACCGAGTCTCGCGCGAAGCGAGACGGGCACGAGCACCAGGCCGCGCGTTTCGACGTGGTAGACTGCTACACGAAGTCCATTGATGTGTGGCACGCCGAGGAGAAACCGTCGTTGCATCGTCTCCAAGAATGTTTACATCGCATTGGCGACTTCCTGGTCGTTTTTTCCGAGACCGTAGACCCGGCCGCACCGTTTCTCCGCGGAAATCTGAACTGGGAGCGGTTGGAGGGCATCGGCGTGCCGAAGCCGACGCCCTGCAAGACGCTGGAGAGTACACCATCAATCATTCCCGATGATAGTAGCTATAATTCCAATCAAGACGCGTCCGTGGGCCTCGGGGCCGCGGACGACGCCACTGTCAATAGTTTGGAGTTCCTGCTGCAGGGTGCCGGCGTGCCGAACGCTGGTTTAGTACAAAGAGATCGCCAGCAGAACTTCTACCATTTCTGGCGCTGGACCTGGATCCAATATGTATGGTCGGCTATGGCTAGTGGCGCCGCGGTCAGTTGGGCCGTGGGCAATATATATAGGGGCGTGCCCGAGGACGAAAGTATCGGGGAAGAAGGTGTCGAGGAGTCACAGCCTACGAACGTACCTCTGGATACGATGGTCGGCCAATTGGCGGTGCGAGCCGCGAAAAGAGCAACAGCATCACTACATGGCTCGTCCTACAAACGGAGCTGGGAGATCAAGCGCAAGGACCCCATCAACGGCGCGAATTTGGCGCACCTGACGGAGCACCAGTTCCGGTCGCGAGCAAGGCCCAATCCTCTGAAAGACGCTCCTTTATCTTTGCGAGATGGCGGTTTTCGGTCCATGGCCCGACTAGCTGCGGGTGTGGACTTGGACGCGGCGTGCGGTCCCCTACGCCTAGGGCAAGAAGAATATGGTAGCGTGCAGGAGGAGGAGTCACTCTTCAGTGAAGACGCTCTTTCTCCGGATGATCGCACGATCAATACGATGGATAGGATAGATGCCCAAACATCGAAGGGCAACCCGTTGACGGCGGATCTGACCCTGGCCAAGCTCCACGCTACGAAATCACCGGAAGGGAGGAAGATGGTTAGGTTGCGACGTGTCGCGAATCGACTACTACCTCGTAGAATGAGGATCGGCCCGACGTACGGCGACGGGAAGAACATCCATTTGGAGAATGGTGCCGGTCCGTATTCCGCGTCATCAATAAGATACCAGCGGCGCGGCACGCGCTTCCCGACCGCCGCGAAGCACATCGAGGAGACGCAACGGGCGAAGCTGAAAGCTTTGGATAAGCATACGGTCAAGTGCCTGAAGCGGTTCGGGGGCGTCACGGAGCCGCAGGACCTCATGGGGCAGATCAAGCTCAAGGAGATTGAAAGGATGACGGACTCTGTGGCGAGAAATTGCAAGGACATTGGAAGCTTAAATCACACGTCGATGATCTTCCCGGCCCAACCCTTCGACCTCGTGCTGGCGCAAGCGAACGCTCAGAACGGGATGCTCCGGACGGAGTGCGATAGATTAGTTGCGGCGCGGCGCGAGAAGCGGCGGCAGTTGGAGAAGGACGAGGTCGAGCTCGCGGACATGAACCGGGCGAACGACTTTTGTTTGACGCAGCTTACCAGGGGCGAGGAGACGCTGAAGATCCTCGATGATCGCTTGACGAATGTGCGGGTGGCTCTCGCCGAAGCTGCTGCGTTGGGTGCTTGTTACGGCGAGATCGTGCGAGCGGCGCAAGAGGATCGACCGACGGGCTGTGCGCAGCGCATGGAAGTTGTCGAGAGGCAACTCAAATTAGCCCAAGTGCAAGCTGAGGACTTGATCGAGCAGCGTCGAACCTTGCACGAGCGCGTGGAAGATGATGCTGCCAAGAGGACACCTCACTATCATAGAGAGCAGCAGAAGTGGCAGGCCATGAGAGCTGTTACCAGAGAACGAAATAGATTAGTGTTATTCTCGGTCAACGAGCTCAATGAGAAGATCGACGCTTGTATCGCACGCATGAACCCTCCCCCAGTGGAGGAAGTACCTGTTATCTATGAGGAGGAGGAGGACAAGCATGCTACTCTTAATAAGCTCGCTATTGCAAGGATGTTCAAAACTACCATGGCCCATGGCTCAGCTATGGATGTGTTGACCGCGTTGGAGGATCTGAATCAAAAACTGAAGATTGCCGCGGGTGCGACCGACCCGGAGGGCGTCGCTCACAAGTTACGAACAGCTAGGGAGTTGAGTGCTTCATTGGAGCACCAGCACCACCAGGCCGTGGCCAAGGCGTCGCACCTGAAGACGCAATTGGAGCGCCACCAGCAAATTCTATCAGATATGAAGATGACCGGCGAGTCGGCTGTGCCGGATCCGGTCGTTACGTTGGACGATGGGACAGTGGCCACTCTCTCCTCCACAAAGACCCCAGACCTCTTCCAGGCCGACCTGGATCTGGAGCACGCTCGTCGCACGGCGAACGAAGCGCAGCGCGACATTGCAAGCGTCAGCACGGGTGTCATACACTTGGCCAAGCTCCTGGAGGCCTACACGAAGAAGACGCCCAAGGACGACCCCGTCAAGAGGCTGTCACTCGATAGAAATACTATCAGAGACGTGGAGCGCGGCGATTTGCCGGACCTCGAGAAGGTCGACACCGAGAGGGCGGCCGTCGTCCGGTTACTGTCGAGGTGTGAGCTGACGATCGTGAGCGTGCGCGAAGCTTTAGCTATTGCCAAACAATTAGGGGACGATGATGATGATGATAATGGCATGATCGACGCGTGCCACCAAAGCCCGAAGAAAGGGCATAGCCTTGAAGGGCCAGTTAGGTTACATAAAACACAACCCCTGGACCACCACGACGGCCCGGACTTCATGCACCGACACTGCGACCCTAGTGTTCGTGCGCGCACGCGTCGGTCCGTCGAGAAGGAAGTGTCGAAGGCCGCGAAGCGCCGAGCGAAGGCCGACCGCGAGGCCGCGAAACTCGATGACATGCCCCGGCCGATCGTCGACGCGCCGGCGGCCTTAATTGTCAAGCGCGCCATGGGCCGGAAGGCCGTGCAAGACGCCCAGCGGCAAGCCAATATGCTCAGTCGCTTGAAGCAAGGCGCTCGGGCTCCGTTGGGCGTTGCCGTCGCCGAGGCGCTGCGGACGACGAAGGACGCGGCGGACGCGGAGTTTCGTCAATCGCGCGGCCGCAAGCCGCGCCAGCTCGGGCTGTCGACGCCCGGCCTGCCTCTGACGACGCGGGATCTGGTGAAATCCCAAGCGGCCGAAATTGCAGCGCAGAAGGAGCGGGAGCGGCTCGAGGCTGCTAAGCGGAAGCGCATGTTGGAGATGATGGAGGACTAAGATACTAGTATTGTCACATTATACAGCTAGTGGCCGCCGCAATCCGCCCAGATCGATACGATGTGGTGTATCACTTCGACCGGGAGACCGGGGAATTTTGGGATGAAGATCGCTGCGAGTCGCGCGCGGTGGGCGCGCTCGTAAGCGCGGTAGCCGCCTGGGGTCGCGGCGATCTTTCTGAGGTACGCGTTGCGGCGACTTATGGGCGGCAGCGTGGCGCCGGCCCTGAGGAGGGGAGCGTAGGCCCGAACATTGCGCGTTAGTGTCGCACCCTCCATGGCCGTATACTTAGGGACACGGAGCCTCCGGTGGACATTGGCACCCGCAGCAATGAGCCGAGCGACAGTGTCGGCGCACGCGTTCCGGGCTGCCGTGTACAGCACAAAAAAACCATGATCGTCAGTTGCTTCGATTTCGGCGCCGGCTGCCATTAGTTGTGCGACTATGCTACTGGGCGGAAAGTCTCTGTCATAGACAGCGGCCATCAAGGGCGTCAAATCAACGGTAGGGTACATTCCACATCTCGCGTTCACGTTCGCGCCGGCACGCAGTAATGCAGCGACAATCGCCTCGCGCTCGCGAACCTTTTCCCTCCATATTGGCGGCGCCATCGTGACCACCGACGGGGGCGGCCTCGCTTTGCAAGCGACGTACAGAGGCGTCCTGCCCGATTCGTCGATAGCGTCGACGTTGGCGCCAGCCGCGAGCGCACGGCGCAGCGCCTCAACGTCTAAATTTCGTACTGCTGCATGGATCGCAGGCAGCGGCTGCGCATCTGAGTCCGATTCCGAGTCCGACATCCGCGCGGCTCACGCTCACACAAGTAGCTCTGTGCACAGTCGGGATGTGACTAGTGCCAGACAGCCGCACGACTGCCGCCTTGGCAGAGAGCACGAGACAGCAAGTTTGAATCGTTTTGCTCGCCGCTGGAACAGCGCCGCGTACATACACACACGCGACCCGAGATTAGCTAGCGGCATATAAAGACACTAGCACGCAAGGATCCCCTCCCCGGCACGGCCACGCCCTCGCTCGCGACGCGTCACGAGACCTCTCGAATCCCTCTCCGCCTTCAAGAATTGATTCCAAGCCTCTGCGCTGCCCCTGCAGCAGAAGGCAGGAGGACGGCGGCCGCGCGCGCAGCAGGCCCCGCGGACGCACGCGAGGCATCCGTACCGGGCTCACGACCGGGCTTGACGCCGCCCCCGCGCCGCCGCAGCGATCCCAGCTCCTTAACATCAGAGTGACAGCGGGGCAGCCCCGGACGCGCCACCATGCTCCAGGGCGGCAACATGGACCGCGTAGGTGCCTACAACCAGCGCTCGAGCGCCTACAACATGTGCGGCGCGAACGAGGACGACGTCGTCGAGCCCCAACGAACTAGACGAAGTAGACGCCCGAGGGAGTACGATGAAGTACAATATGAGGACGACGACTCCCAGTCGACGGCGCCCTCGCGCGGCGACCGTGGGAGCTTTGATGATGCGCCGCCGCGACGGCCGCGTCGGCGCCAGCGGGAGTGGCCCCAGGAGGACCCCGAGGACCAGCTTGCGCCGCCCCCGACCCACGAGAGAAGGGCCGTGAAAGCAATAGCATACACGAGACAAGATGAAAAGAGCCCTGGTCCCGCCGCGACGCCGTCGTCCAAAGGCTCGGCGTTCGGCAAGCTGTTCACACCTAAAAAACCGAAGGAAAGCTTCAGAACGAAAACTCTGACCGAATTAACTGAGACGGGAACGTCGAGCGTAGCTAGGGTCAAGGAGGGCAACGTCAAGTTCCCGAATTCGTGGTCAGGACATAAGGTCACGGTCTTCAATCCCTATCACCCGCGGCGGCTCATGTGGGACGCGACGATGCACCTTTCTGTGTGGAAATGCCCTTCAATCTGGGGTGCTGCTCTCTGGATACGGTCGAGTGTATCCCTTGGAGATCGTGTCCGAGTTTGGGCCGAAAACATGGCCGCGGTGCCGAGATAGCGAGACGCGATAAGCTGACTCACACACAGGCTCATACTCATTATCATTATTGCGGTGGTGACGCCCTTTGAGTTGACGTTCCTGGACGGGGTCCCCTTCGGCAAGGCCGACTGCCCGACGGACAAGCACGGCTGCCCGGCGCCGGGCGACTTGTTCTTGTTCTGGCTCAATCGTTTGAGCGACTGCTTCTTTTTGGTTGATATGGTCCTGACGTTCAACACGTCGTTCTTCGATAGTATACGAGGGCGGTGGGTGGAAGAGCGGTCGGTCATCGCGCGGGAGTACCTCCGTTGCTGGTTCTGGCTCGACGTCCTCTCGCTCCTCCCCTACTCCCTGATGTTCTCGGAGATCAAGGCTGCTGGATTAATCAGAGTCATCCGTTTAGTTCGACTACTGAAGCTCCTCAAGCTCGCGAAGCAGCCGCGGATCATGGCCAAGCTCCGCCAGTTCGTGACCATGCCCATCAAGCAGCAGACGCTGATCAAGTACTTCTTCATCATCTTCTTCATCATCCATTGGACGGCCTGTACGCTACGATTACTTACGTCATTTGCGGTCGGCGACTGTCGGCCCAAAGGTAGCGATATGCACAGTGGCCTACCTTTTGATGATGAATGTGCGAGAACCTACTTGAACACGAACAGGAGGTGGGGCCAGGGCCCCTGGTCGCAATATGCCTCGGCCATCATCTGGAGCATCGGCGCGATGTCGGGCGAGGCTTATCTGCCCGCGAACATGGAGGAGACCGTATTAAACACTTTAGTGATGCTCATGGGCATCGTGGTCATGGCCTTCTTGGTGGGCGAGCTCTCAAATATTCTCGGGAATTTTGATCCGGTCGGGAACGAATTCGAGCAGACCGTACGGGCTCGGTGTCTCGTATCTCAACAGTTTTACGCCATCGACGCGCGTCGTCTCCAGGAGAGCTTGTGAAGGGTGGTCGCTTTTGCGATTCTGAGGCCGTTCGCACCGCGACGGTTCCGTCCGCACACAGGTCGACAACCTCGACGCGTACTTTGAGAGCAACCAGTACCCGGAGATGCTGCGGTTGAAACTGAGGGAGTATGTACTACTTACTGAACCCATATATAGAGAAAAGTATTACATCGAGCTCATGAAGCAGTTCTCGCCGGCTCTGAGGACTACCGTGGCCAATTTCCAGTTGTCTCATTATGTGGCCAATATCCCCTTTTTTGCATTTGCTATTCAAAGAGGCTGCGGGTTTGAAGAGGGCGCCATCATGGACGTGCAGGAGCCCCCGCAACAGGTCGGTTCTGGTGACAGGGAGGAAGTGTGGAGACGAGCCACCATCGTGGCTGCGGATCCCATGACCGAAGGCTACGAGGTGGCCTACCATGACGGGCAAAGTACGAATGAAACGAAGGTTTCTGTGAATAGGCTGCGGGCGGTAGATCAAAGGTTACACTACCGGATGATCCACATTAACAGATTAAGGCGCAAGTTCGTGGGCGACTTCGCGTTACGGCTAGAACCCATGTTATTTATGCCGGGCGACGCCATCATCGAGGCGAACTGGTCTCGATGCGATTCCCTCTACTTGGTGACGACGGGCACGTGTATCGTGGTCAAAGAAAGGTTAAACAGTATGTTCGATATTAGATTGAGACACTACGGTTCCACGATCGGTGGCGACATCTCGACGTTGCTGATAGCCGGCGAGAAACGGCGCTTACGACACTACGACTGCAAGGCGCACAACGCCGTTCAAATTTACAAGATGGCCGACGGTGAATTTCTGAGCTTGATGGCCTTCGAGAACTACGCGGAGTTCGCGCGGACGATCAAATATTTCGGGTTCTGCATGCTCGTCAAGATGCTCACGTTCCGACAGATGGAGAAGGCGACGGCGGCCGGCCTGACGCTGCAGCAACAATTCGCCAAGCTCGAGGCGGCGAATCCGTTCGTGCGCGAGAATGAAACTCCTAAAAGTAAGGAAAAGCCGGTCAAGGTTCGCTTGGCTTCCGATCTAACTGGTTTGTTGGATCAGCTCGGTTTGTCGAAGTCTGTCAGGTCGAAAGTTGTAGCGGAGTTGAAGAAGCACGAGATCTACAACCTCGAGACTGCTCAAAGTCTGAGAGTGGAGGACTGGGACATGCTAGATTTGAAGATGGGGACGCGGCGCCTAATCCTGGCGAAGCTCGGCGCGCTCGGCGGAAGTTATTTGGGGTCGTTGACGGACCCGTCCCAGGGCTGCGCGCGGCCCTAGTTCTTTGGCCCTCTTGTGGGCGACATATCCACTGCTTGCTTGCTTAGTATAAGTATATAGTTGCGGACTTATATTACTGTAGTCGCCCGCGCCCCGGCCAGGGGGTCTGACCTCTCTGTTTGCGCCTCGGAGCGCGCGCGCCGCGCCGCGATCGCGGCCTCGAAGGGCGATTGCGTCTTCTGGTCGACGTCTGCCGCGGGCGCGGCCTCGAAGGCAGCGAAGTCGTCGCCGTCGTCCGCGGCCGGCGTGGCATCGAAGGAAATGAGGCCCTCGTCTGCGTCCGCGGGCGCCGCATCGAGGGTCGTCTCAAGGTTCAGAATATCGGCCTCGATGGCGTCGAGCATCGCGGTGCCGGTCGTTGTGGGCCTATAGGGCTCGACGGCCGGCGGCGGCGGCGCCGGTTCTGCGGGCGGCGGCGCCCTGGACACCGAGCCGGACGACATGGTCACGACGCGGTGGCCTTGCGGCGTCGCCGTCTTCGTCGAGGCCGCCCGGCTCACTGGCGGGGGCGCCGCGTCGACCGCGTCAGGAATCGGCCGAATTGCGTCGACCGCCGGGGGCGGCGCGTCGACAACCGCGGCAGGAGTCTGCGCTGGCGACATGATCGGCGACACGGGCCTCGCAGCTTCCAGAGTGGGCGACACGGCCCGGGGCGGCGCGTCGTCGTCGCTGGCCTCAACGACGTCTTCGGTACTGGAGGCCCGCCGCACGGCCTCGGCGCGCACGGCCGCCACGAGCTCGTCGCTGGAGAGCTCGGCGACGGTGTCAAGCACCTTCGCGGTTACCTCGGGCGACGGCAGCGGCGACGTCGACGCCTGGCGCTCAAATTCCGGGGTTGTGAGCGGCAAACGCGTGGCATTCAGGGCCTTCTGCGCGTCGCCCGGCGACGTCTGGAAGCGGTAGCGGAACCCATCCTGCGCCGGCGTCGACACGAGCGCCGCGGGGCTCGCCGCTCTGGGAGTTGCGGCGTCGAGCCAGTCGGCGTAGCTCCGCAGCTTCAGGGCCAGCGCTATTTTATCCGCCGCGCTCAAGTCGGCCTTCGCGAGGCGCCCGAGCGCGACGTCGAGGTCGTCGACCGGGTTCGTCTCTTTGCCGAGTAACTTGTTCACGCCGTCGAGGAGCGAGCCACGGCGCTTCCGCGCGGACGCCGCCCGGGGCGATTGCGCCGGCGTCGACGCCACCGACGACTTGGGCAGCGACGCCGGCGACGCGCTCGTGCTCGCCGGCGGCGGCGGCGGCGTGGGCGCGGCGACGCGCGCCGGCAGGGGCGGCGGCGTCGCGTCGGCCGGTGGCGCTGGCGGCGGCGCCGGCGGCGGCGCCGGCGGCGTCGCCGGCGGCGGCGCCGTGACGACGATCGGTGCGACCTCCTTGGGCCGGAGGTGCGCCGGTACCGGCTTCTTGTGCCGGAGGGCGGACGCCGCGAACTTCATATCCTCGGAGGGCGGGGTGCCGAGCTTGAGCAGGTGCCCCGTCTTCAGGCACATCTCCATCATCTCGCCCGTGTTCGCGTCGCGCACGAGCATGCGCTCGTTGTTCATCTTGACCGGCTCGTCTCTTGGCTCTTGCGTGTTATGTGGCTCCTCTGGCTTTTGCGTGTTGTGCGGGCCCAGGACCGGCTCTTGCTTGTTATGCGGTTTTAGCCCCCAGGCGAGGCGCGCGCGCCGCGCGCCGGGCCGCAGGCCGCGGCGGAGCGGGATCTTGACGTGTCTGCGCAGCGATGGGCTGCTTGTGCGCGCGTCGCGGAGCTCAAAACGTCGGCACAATCCGAAAATCGATGCGTGCCCCGCACGATATCAACCAGCACTAGTCCTAGCACCGTAACAGAAATCCCACGAGCATGAATCGTGCCAAGAATCAGCGCCGCAAGGAGACTAAAGTTAAGTTAAACACGGGCTGGGGCGCATGGAAGATACGCGGATGGGGGAAGAGCCAGAGAGGGCTCACACGAGGAAAGACCCCGCACAGACCGACATGCTTTCGCGGGCCGCCGCCTCGAACTCCTCGCTGACGACGCGGCCGCCGAAGCGGTCCGCGTCCGCGAGGGCCCGCAGCAGGGGCGACGCGGCGAGGTCGAGGGGGCCGAGGGGCGGCGACTCGGGCCGCGCCGCGCGGTACTCCGCTGCGAGGCGTTCGACGTCCGACTCCGGACTGGCGTCGCGTGGTGATACGGGCACCCACGTCGGCACGGCCTGTTTGGAGGGCGATGCGAGGTGCCAGCCGCGCCGCGCGGCGCCGTCTGTTGCGTAGAGCAGGGTGGGTACGAAAGGCGAACGGCAATTCGGGCAGGTCGGATTCGGAGCGCGCGTCACGACCTCCTTCAGACACTTCACATGGAACGCGTGCCGCGCGCTGCACGGCAGCGCGACGGCCGGGGCCAGACTGAGGTCGTCGAGGCAGATCGGGCAGGGCTCGCGGCCCTGGAATGAAAAGAGAGGGTGGGGCTCGATGGTCGTGGGGCACTCGACGCGGTAGGGCGCGATGCCGTATCCAGACCCAATGCTGCCCCGGCTGCCCCGTTGCTCCGCGCGCGCCGCGCGTGCGTCGAGGCGCGCCGTTCGGCGCTGGGCGCTCGACGCCGGCTCCATGCTGCCCCCGGCTGCCCTCGGCAATGCGGCAGCGAGGCCGGCAGCGAGGGTGCAACGCAAAAATGTCTTATAGGCGTCTTCTGATTCCTGACGTGTCCCGACCCGCAACGGGCGCAGCCGATCCAAGTCTGACCAGCGCCTTTCTGTGTCATCTACCCGTCGGCGACGCCTCGAGGGGCAGGCTGGCACCGCGGCCCGCGGCGCCACCCGACTCCCCAGACGCCGTCGACGAGGCGTCCCCTCAATTGCTACAACTTACTCGATCCCACAAGTCTCCCGCCGCGGGAAGCGCCAGGGCGCCGCCCAGCCCGGCGGGTGCTTCCGCGTAACCTCGACCTCGTCCCACGGCTTCGCCCCGCCCGGGTAGTGGCGGATGAACGCGCCGCCCCAGCACCGCGTGTTGTGGGCGTGCTGCCGGTGGATGCCCCGCATGCAGTTCCACCTTGGATCCAATCTCACGAGGTCCGGGCCGACCGCCAGCACGAAGGGCGGATTCGAACCGAGCTTGTAGACCTTGCCCTGTGACACTTCATTCCTCGAGATCCAGCGCGCGACGCTATCCAAGCGCTTCGTCGACCGCCACCGATCTAGTTCGAAGACGACGACGCCCGCGTTAAAGCTGTGCATCTCGCCCCTACTTCTTACCATGGGCAATTTACAATTCACGACGCCGTCGCATGGTTTTTTAAAGTCCCGCGGCACGGCTGCTATGACACTATTTGGTTTCTCTTGAAATAACTGTCGCGCGGCGTCATCGAGGTCTGCCAGCGACCTCTCCACAAAAACGTCCGTGTCGAGGTAGATGCATCTTTGTGAAGAAGGTAGGAGTTCGCCCACGAAAAAGCGCGCGTAATTCAACGGGTCGCGCAATCGAGGATCTCTGGCCCTCGGCGCCGGGAATCTAGAGATGTCGTGGAAGTGTTTCACAGCAATTTGAGCTTTGTTCTCAACAGCGCAGCGGGCCGCGCGTCCTATGCTCTCGACCTTGGCAGCGTCATCAACTAAAAGTAAAAAACGGAGCCGGTGTCGCTGTGAACGCGTGGCGTTCGTCGCCGACGCGACGACCGCCAAAGCTCCCGTGTAGTGCGCCTTGGAACAGGCAACCACCACATTGATATCATGTTGCATGGGCGCCGCGGCCGGCGCAAGCGTCGTCGGCGGCGGCGTCGGGCCCTCGTCGGTGGGCATGCGCGTCGTCGGTACTTGGGTGGGCCCCACGGGCGTCGGCGCCCGCGTCGGCGCCGGCGTGTGCTTGCGGAGGTGCTGCTGCTGGCGGCGCTCGAATTTGTGGAGGCCGCCCTCCTTGGCCGCAGCAGTGCAGAGGCAGAGGGCTGCCCACCACCTCCTTCTCATGGTGGCAGCGTCACGCGAGACGTCTCATTTTGCATGTATGCGGCAGCCCGGCTGCGCTTTCGTGCCTGCAATATTTTTTGCATGCTTGCTAGCACGTCTAACCTAGCAAGCACTTCTGGGGCGCCAGCCTGGTGCTGATTCCGCTGGCCAAATTGGCCCGTTTTATCGTTGATTGGACACATTAGACTGCTGAACGCGCCGACAAGCGGCGAGAGAATCGATACGACACATACCATGCATCGACTCATTCTCACCCTGCTGCTGACCAGCGCCGCAGCGATGCGGTTCGAGGACTATGAGGTCGCATTCAACAAGAAGTATTCCTTCGGAGAGCGCATGATTCGCCGCGCGCATTTCGAGCAGTCGCTCCAACGCGTCGCGGCCCACAACGCGGGCGGCCACTCGTGGAGAGCTGGCATCAACCAATTCTCTGACCTCTCCGACGAAGAATTTAAGAACAGCTACCTGATGAGACCGCAAAAGTGCAGCGCCACGAACACCGTCGGCGTTCCGGGGGAAACTGCGCATCTCCGCGGCGCCGAGAACAAGAAGAAAACGGCCGATCTGCCCCCGAGCATCGACTGGCGCTCGCGCGGCATCGTCTCCGAGGTGAAGAACCAGGGCGGCTGCGGAAGCTGCTGGACCTTCTCGACGACTGGAGCACTCGAGGCTCACCTCGCGCTCAAGGCGGGCGCGTGGCGAGCGCCGCGATTGTCCGAGCAGCAGCTGGTGGACTGCGCGGGCGCCTTCGACACGAAGGGCTGCGACGGCGGGCTACCATCGCACGCTTTTGAATACATAAAACATGCCGGGGGCCTCTCGACCGAGTTCGCCTATCCGTACCACGCGAAGGACCAGAAGTGCTCGTTCAACGCCTCGGCGTCGGTCACGGCCCCGCAGTCCAACGGCATCGGCATCCGAGTGCCCGGTGGGAGCGTGAATCTCACCAAGGGCGACGAGGTGGCTCTCAAGTACTACCTGGCCACCAAAGGGCCGGTGTCGGTGGCGTTCGATGTGGCGTCCGATTTCAGAGATTACAAGAGCGGCGTCTACTCGTCGACGATCTGCAGCCACGACGCGGAGCACGCGAGTCACCGTGCGAAAAAAAATGTTGCGACGCGAGCTCACCGGTCGATGTCCACGCAGGTCAACCACGCGGTGCTGGCCGTCGGCTACGGCGTCGATCCGGTCTCGGCCAAGCCCTACTGGCTCATCAAGAACTCGTGGGACTACACCTGGGGCGATTCGGGATACTTCCGCATGGAGGCGTTCAAGAATATGTGTGGTGTTGCCGACTGCAACTCGTTCCCTGATCTATACGGCGCCTGACTCTGAGCCGACGTCAACGCTGTCGACGCGACTACTCGATGGCTAGACTCGATGGCGTACGTCGCGACAACGACAATTGCGCGAAGACATGTGTTCCCCCTTCCTGTGTAATATACGATAACATCTTACAAAGATAGTGGTCACGCGAGTGAAATCGCAATGAGCTCGGCCTTGACCTGGTCCCCGGCCAGCGTCGGGGGGAAGTCCGCCGCCGCGTCAGAAGTCGCAAACCGCCCGAGCGGCTCGAGCACCTCGTCCGACGCGATGTGGGCGAAGCACGTCGACGACACGCGCCACAGCGATCTACCAGAAGCCTTCGCTTTCCGGGCGGCAACGGCCGTTTTTTCCGAGGCCACAACTTCATGAAAACCGGCCAAAACGTGTCCAGCGGTCAGGTGGTGGAACTGCTGGCCCGCCTGGAGCAGCAAGCACCCCTCCGGTATCACCGGAGCCACGGCTCTACCAGAACGCGTCCAGACGGTCAGCCCCGGGAAGCGCGACTTGCCATGTACACTTAAAAAGTTCAGGTCCGTGTGGAAACCAGCCAACACGGTCCCAAGTCTCACCTCATGGGCCTTCCTTTTCAGGGGCGGCTCGTCCTCCGCTAGTAATCTCAGATCCGAACCAGTGGGCGCTAACAAGTGCGGCGCTTTATTCATTTTCGAAGAGAACGCGCCTCGCTCCAGCCCAAACCCAAGAGCGGCCATCTCCGCCACGGTGGTCGCCGTTTCTACGAGGGACGAGCCCCAAGCATTCATGGTCGTTTCCCACTCATCAAACCCTTCGGGAATGACAGCGGGCGCGTTGAGCTCCTCGAATTTTGATTGAGAAGGTCGCTCCCCGATGCGCCAGAAGAAGCGCCACTTCGCGTCCGGCTGCGGGGGGCACTCGGAGCGCGGCTTGTCGGTTAATTGGGAAGCTTCGTCACAGCGCGGTCGAGCTTTCTCGACGCCCGACGGCGTCACGCCGACCTGGTAATGTAAGTCCGGTCGCGCGTCTTCCACGCCGTCGGACTGCTCGAAGTAGGCCTCCATGAGGTCGAGGAATTCTTCATTTTTTGAAGCGTCGACGCGCGGATCCTTGACGACCAAACAGCCGCAGTCGTGCAGCGCCCTTGCCACCGCTTCGCAGGCTTCGGCGTCGTCGCCGCTCTTGACAAAAGTACCGACGTCTATCACTGGAATGAGGGCTTCCGCCATCGGTCCGAGTCGTGTTCTTTTTGGGGGCGCCTTTCGTCGCGCGGTTTTGAGGCTGGTTCGCTGGACGGTGTCCGCGGTGCGTTCCGTGCGTGGCGTCTGCGTCTACGGGCGCTCCTCGTCTGGGCAGCGCCGATGCGGTGCCCTCGGTTGCGAGAGCAATGCGGCGAATACAGGCCCGTTTTGAGCGCAGTCTTCGACGGCAAGCCTTCGTGAAGGTCTATGAGGTGCCGCACACGCAGCGGGTAGTACCCTAGCCAGATATTTGGGCTAAAATTGTTGATTGGCTTTGACTGAAAAACCCGTGATTCTCAAATTATTCAAACACGCACTCAAATTAAAGCGCAAAAGGGCCTAGCTCAGCTGCAAGGCCTTTTTGCATTGTGCCGCAGCTCATATAAATCACATATAACTTGGAGCTGCGCTGCGCGCCGAAACCGCGCGTTGAGGCCATCGCTGCGCGCCAAAAAGCGACCAGCCGCCAGCCGCCGCTCTGCGCTGCAGAAGCACCCTAGCGCGCCACCGGCACGCCTCCACAGGAAGACAGCATGGCCGCCGTCCTAGCCAGGGCGCCGCCGCGGCCGGCCCGCGGCGCGGCCAAGGGCACGTCCGTCGAGCTCGAGCAGGGCATGCTCGACGAATTGTTACTGGTGTGCACTTTCGTAGGGACGAGGAAAGTCAATGATGATGAGTCCGACGTCGAGTCCTTCGTGCGGGGCGAGGACTGCGTCGCGTGGCTCCAGGACTTGCAACGGGCTCTCAGAAGAGACGACGGCGACGCGCGGGCCGTAAGGACCACTGTAGGCGCCTGGGACGTTTTGCGGTCCAAACTCTTACCTCTCGCCGAGCAGTCCGGTAACGATCTGGTCGCCACGCGCACCCTGTGCAAAATTTTTGTGCTGCTCACGATGCCTCTGTCCGAGAAGTGCCATCAAGCATTGGCCGCGCGGCCGGACCCCGTCAAGGACAAGATGAGGAATGGTGAGGCGTTGAAGAAGCGACAGTTGTTGCGGGAGGCCGCGGAACGGCAGGCGCGCCAGCTGATCGAGGCTCGCATGGCCTTTGCCGAAAGACCGAAAGTATTGAGAGGGTTGTTGCGCATGTTCGAAGGGGCGCGCAAGCCGAGAGAACGTAGATCGTCGAACGATGATGCCGATGTGGAGCTAGCTCTCACACTCCTGCGAAATCTCGTCGCACCGCTACCCCATACGTCGGACCGGAACGAGCGCGACGCGGGTTCGTCATTGGACGCGCTCGTCAAGGCTTTGTCTGATGAGTTGGTGCTCGACACCGTCGCTGATCTTTGTAGTGCCTCATCGAAGCGAGAAAACCGGCACTGGGGCCTCGTACTTGTGGAGGTGTTAGCTCCTTTGTTAGCGCAGCACAAGCCGGCGGACATCGCCCAAACCGAAGTCCTCAGTCAGAAGAAGTCGGAACGCGCTTCTACTAGAAAAGATGTGGATGACAGATTAGAACGAGCCCTGCTGTCGAGGGACGAAGCTGCGGTAGAAAAGGACCTCCAGAAGCGGAAGGCCCTGGACGACGCGTCGAAGCGGCCGGTCGGCGGCGGGGCCCTGTCGCGGGCGCGGGACCGGGAGAAGGCGGCTCGCACATTAGCTTTTGCTTCGAGGCACCATAGGTTCGGGACGTGTCTTCGCGTGACGCCGGCCGGTTCGGAAGATTCGAAGCTAGTGGCCGGTACTAGAGCATTATTGTCCAGAGAAACGGTGAAAGGTGACGGCGATCTGACGTTACACTCCAAAACAGCGGCACAGCGACGGAGGCCGGTGTTCGTCGCGCCGCACAAGGTCGGGGCCGTGCGGAAGGCCGGCCGGCGGAAGAAGCGAGATGAGGAGGAAGATGATGAACCTCATAGGGATGAGCTGTCCGATGACGACCATGATGAGGACTGGGGCCAGGGCCGCCAGCAGGACGAGGTGCTGCGGGTCACGACGGTGACTCGAAGGGGTGTTGCTGCCGATGATGCGCGTGAGGCCGTATCTACTCTAGTATTGCGGCTGGCGAGACATGGCGCTGGAAGGCTACTAGATAGAGTGAAGCACGAACTCCGAACGGACTCGGCAGCGGTCCAGAAACGCGACGCGCATTATTTTTTCTGTTTGGCCGAGTGGTTATTAGCTTGGAGGAGGGAAAGGGCCGCCGTACTTAGTCGTAGGTTGAGCCGTGCTGCGAGAGAAGGGTCGTCGAGCGAGGACTTCAGTGAAAGCGTCTTCTTCCCGCGATCGCTACTCAAACTCGTAGATGTCTTCACGGTGAAGTCTTGTCTGGACGATTTGTCCAGAGCCAAAGACCGGAAGCAACGACTGGAGGTCGAGCGGTCCGCATCGCTCTACCGAGAGATTTTGAGGGCGCTAGAGGCTTTACAACACGGCGACCGCGACTCGAGGAAGGACCGTTCTAGATTAGCAAAGAAAGAAGTGCCTCCCGACGAGACATGTTCGGCAGTCGCCTCGGGCATGCTCGACAAAGTATTTTTCGCCCCAGAAGCGGCGGACCCCCTGCCTACGCTATTGCGCGATTGGAAAGGCGGACAGCACACGAAGCGCTACGCTTGTGACCTCGTGGAGATCCTGCACGCTACGACGAAGATCATGGATTCACACAAGCATGGCAACTCCCAGGAGTATTTGAGAAAGATCCTCAAGCCCGTCCAAACGCTAGATATATATGGCGCTTTACTGGAGGCTTTTAGTTCGAACGCGCCGGCGATCAACCACTTCGTCTACGCGTTTCTGCGGCGGGTCGCGCAGTGTCCTTTGGAGGGCATGACCGACAAACCTTCGTCAGAAAAGATTACTACATTAGAACCGCTGCTGTACCGAGCCACGTTTTTCGTGGCCTTCGCGTCGCTTCTCGAGGACAAGACGCCGGACGCGACTATTGACCGATTAAGGGATCTGGCTTCGTCAGTACTAAGGCACTTCGACGCCCACGCGCAGCGGACGCCTCTACTGTATGTCGAGGCGCTGTTTGGACACGCGGGAGCGCCCGTCGACCAGTACTGCCGGTCTCTCTCGTATGACGACGGGGTGGAGGCCTTCGGTGGTGTTGCTTCATCCAGAATCGACAGTGGACCGGTCTGGCAGGGGTCCGACGAGGAGGAAGCGGTCGACGACGACGTCTTCGCGCGCCTCGCGGAAGAAGATGCCAGAGCCGCGGAGCGGTTGAAACAAGCTAAACTGAATAAGCCGCCCGTTGACAGAAGAAGGTGGCAGCCCGCGGAAGACGCGGCGTTGTGCTTGGTCTATGCGAAAGTGACGGAAAACGACGGCGACTTCGACCCCGTTCAGGCTTCCAAGCTGAGTGTTCTATTGCCCCACCATAGAGATGCGAAGAAGCTGCGGGCGCGCGTCAATAAATTAGTAGATGATGCCGTCAAGGCGTTTCCTGTACCTAGCGAGATGGACGAAGCCTCCGGATGGGTCCGCGCGTTGCGCTTGTACGCGGAGCAGCTAGGGACCAAGAAAGTGTCAAAGAAGAAGAGGGCTGATAGTGATGATGAGGACTCTGTTGATGATGAGCCCATTGTGTATGATGATAGGGAGATGGAAGTTGATACTTCACTCGGACGGACGCGCCTCGAGACGCAGACTGAGAGAAGGGCGTCCGAGCCCGCGGCTGCTCCTTGGGACGACGACGAGGAGGTCGACGACCGCTGGTCTGATAGGAGAACGTTCAAGGGGCGCGCGGAGGCGCCTGCTCCGGAGCCGGCCCCGGGCCGGCTCAAGCGTATGTCTGAGGCCGCTCAAGAGTCGGAGGAGGAGTTCGACTTCGAGGCGCCGGCGTCGCCGGCCGCCGTGGCGGCGCCCACCCCAAAAACGGCGCCGAAGCGGCGCCGCGTCGTTGTCGAGGACGAGGACGAGGAGGACTAGGCCCCTTCCCCACCTAAAGCTATATTATTCACATGCCGTGCGCGCGACCACGAACACGACGGGCTGCGCCCGCGGACGCCCTCCCCGGACCGGGTCGAGAACGAGCCCGATGCACGGGTGCCGCCGCAGGAAGCGATACAACGCGCGCATCTCCTGGTCCGGGCGCACGCACTTCATGTCGTCTCCGCACCTGCCCCGCTGGAACTCGACGAGCTCGTGGCTGTGCGGAAATCCAATGTCACGCGACGCCTGCTCGATGGCGAATATTCCACACAGCTGCATACAAGTGGAGGCGCGTGCCGACGACGAAGCGCTCGTGGAGCCGTTCGAGCACGTCGAGGGCGCCCTCGTAGAGGTCGTTGTCGATGTTCAGGAACGTGACGTCTCCAGCGTTCGCCTCCAGAAATGGCCCGAGCGTCTCGTTGAACAAGCCAGTGACGAGCTCGACGCCCGCGCGTACCGGCGGCGTCGGCGTGCCGTGGTCCTCGCGCCAGCTGAACGCGCCCTGCTTCCACTTGGGGCGGGCCTGGCGCTTCGACGTCTTCCATTCGGTAGGAATGCCCTCGAACGTGTCAAAACCAACGACGCGCGGCAGCGCCCCGGGGAAGCCGCGGGCCTCGAACGTGTCCCGGAGTGCGGCGGTCGCATTTATAGATGTGCCCCGATACACGCCGAACTCGAGCCACAGCGCCGGCCGCGCGTGCGCCCTCGCAAATGTAGGATCCTGCGTCGCGCGCCACAGCGCCACCGTCAGCGTCTCGTACGCCTGGAGCGCGCTGCGGTATTGTCGAGCGTCGCGGTCGGGCCAGCCCACGCGTTTCAGAGCAGCGCGCGCGGCCTCAGCGTCCGCGACGGCGGGCCGCCGCGCGACGACGTAGCGCGCGAGGGCCGCGGTCAGTGGGCCGACGCCGCCGCCTGACACCGGTATGGCGCGCGCGCCGTGGCCCGGGCAGTGACCGATGCATGGCCAGCTCGCGTAGTTATACTTGTTGTTGTGCGCCGCGAGCCGCTCGGCCGCGTTGCGCCGCGCGCGCGCCAGGGCGGTCTCGCCGGTCTCGTCCGCGACCGCGGCCGCGCAAGCGGCGAGCAAAAGAGTCGCGCGCATATTTACGGATCCGGCAGGAGCCCCGCGAGCCACGCAGCTGCGAATATTAATGCCACGAATAGGAGTACGTGTTGCCCGGTGACCTCAAATTGCGGTCCATCGCCAGAGTGGCCTCTGTGGTGTCGCTTGCGGAGAGGCTTTTTGTATTTTGGCTCTGCACTTTTATTCCCTCTTATTAATGCCATCGTTAATCTATACCGGAACTATGGCAGCAAAAAACAGATACAAATGCGGGAATACGCTAGCTCGACATCGTCGATACGGCGCAAATTGCCTGGAAAACCCGTTTTTATGGAATTGATATAGGTATCTCTGGCTTTTTTTTCGCGGTTTTGAGCCAACGCGGGAGGCGTTCGGGCCCCGTGGGTGCGCACACACGCGTCGGCGTACTGCGCAGAAACGTGCCACACGGGGCACCGCCACGACACAAGCGCGAGACTACAAACAAACAAAACCCACGCCCCACAAGCGTCGAGCAGCAGCCCAGGGGCGCGCGCACAGCCTACGGTGAGGGGCGCGGCCTCTGGAGGACACTAGTGCCGCGCGCGTGGGGCACATGTACGGAAAGGTCTCGCACTCGCCGTCACTTTTCCGGGGACGGCTGTGTGCAACGCGAGGCGCGCGGGGACAGCTTTGCACGGTTTTTTTGTCGCGGCACCCAAGCTGGCTTTGTAATTGGCAACACCCCAGGTATAAGGCGAAAACCACCTTAAGGAGTCCAAACAGACGCTTGACAGGCGCTCGAGCAGCGTCTGTAACACGGTGGAGCCGTCCCCGTAGCTTTCTAGGAGCGTCTGAGACGCCTACAAGCCAGGAGCGGCCTGAAACAGGCGGACACAGCTGTGCTCGGGTTGTGCTGCCAAAGGGCGCCGCATTTGGCCGCCGCGCGCCCAAGATACGCACTCGGGACCGGTTCCAGTGCCAAGGGCTTTCAAGAACACATACTTTGCTAAGGTTCGGAGCAGCGCTGCGATCGCTGCGGCAGTATATTCACCGCCTGAGCGATTTGACAGGAAAGACACCCAAGCGCGGGATATACCAAAAAACGATAGCGCAGACCCGCAGATCCGCCGCAAAAGTCGCACGGCTCACCGAACAAGCTGCTGCGCGAATCTCCCGCGCATTTGAGCCCAGCGCGGCCGCGTCGGAAATCCGCGCCGTTCGAACGATTATGGCGTCCGACGACGAGGCCGCGCCGGCCGCCTTCGACGACGAGGACGCCACACGGCTGGCCAAGAAAATGAAGGTCGATGAACTCCGCGCCGCCCTCGAGGCGGCGGGCGCGGACACCGAGGGTACGAAGCCGGCGCTCGTCGAGCGATTGGTCGCCGCGCAGCGCGCCGCGGCCTCGCCACAACCGATGGAGGAGGACAGCGACGCTGACGCGCCGATGGAGGCCCGCAACGGCCACGACAGCGGCGACGAGGCCGAGGAGGACGAGGCCGAGCCGGCGGCGTTCGACGAGGAGGAAGCCACGCGGCGGGCCAAGAAAATGAAGGTCGAGGAGCTCCGCGCGGCGCTCGAGGCCGCGGGCGAGGACACGGAGGGTACGAAGCCCGTGCTCGTCGAGCGCGCGGTCGCCGCGGCGCGCGCCGCGGCCGAGGAGGAGAACTCCGGCGAGTACGGCGAAGAAGGCTACGACAGCGACGAGGGCTACCCCGTCGAGGAGGGCGACGATATCGACGTCGGCGCCAGGCTGCTCGGCAAATTCAGTGGAGACGGCCGGTACTACGATTGTGTGGTAGAAGAGGTGACGGAGACGGGCTACCAGGTCTTGTTCACGGAGTACGGCGACAGCGAAGAATTATCAAGGGAGCGCCTGCGCTACTACGCCGCCGAGGACGACTCTTGCGCCGGCGACGAGGAGGGCTACTTCGTCGAGGAAGTTGTTGAAGGCGCCGAGCTGCTCGGCCGGAAGTCTGATGATGGCCAGTACCACAACGTTATGGTCGAAGAGGTGACGGAGGCGGGCTGCAAGGTTTTATTCACAGAATTCGGCGACGACGAGGAGAACCGCGCGGAACTCCCTCTGGAAAATCTGCGCTACCCTTACGCCGCCGAGGAGGAGGAAGAGGAGGGCTACGACGCGGAGGACGGCTACTACGACGATAGTAACGACGAGGCCATCGCCGTGGGCGCGGAGCTGAGCGGCAAGTTCAGCGGAGACGGCCTCTACTACGACGTGGTCGTCGAGGAGGTTACTGAGAATGGCTACCAGGTCCTGTTCCCGGGGGGCCCGATCCGCGAGGTTGTTCCAAGGGAGCAACTGCGGCCGCGTCCTACTGAAAACGACGAGTTCCGCTATTATGACGAGGAGGGGGGTTATTATGATGAACAAGGTCATTACTACGACGCCGAGGGGAACCAGTACGTCGTAACCGAGGAGGACGGAGCCGAGGAGGACGACGGCGACGAGGTGGGCTATTTTATCCAGGAGGGTCAAGAGATCGCGGTCGGCAATGTGCTGCTCGGCAAGAAGTCTGATGATGGCCAATACCACAATGTTATTGTAGAAGAGGTGACGGAGTCGGGCTACAAGGTCCTGTTTACGGAGCACGAGGGCGAAGACGGCGACCGCGAGGAACTGCCGCGCGAGCACCTGCGCTACTACTACGAGGAGGACTACGCCGACGACGAGCCGGGCTACCCCGTTGAGGAGGGCCACGACATCGCGGTCGGAAATAACCTGCTCGGCAGAAGTGACGGCCGGTACTACGACGTTATTGTCGAAGAGGTGACCGAGACGGGCTACAAGGTTTTATTCACGGCAACCGGCGACCGAGAGGAACTCCCACGGGAGCGCCTGCGCTTCTACGACGGCGACGAGGAGGGCTACTTCGTCGAGGAGGGTGCGGCCATCGCGGTCGGCGCCGAGCTGCTCGGCCGGAAGTCTGATGATGGCCAGTACTGCAATTGTGTGGTAGAAGAGGTGACGGAGACGGGCTGCAAGGTCTTGTTCACGGCGTACGACGATGGCGAGGGGAACCGCGCGGAACTCCCGCGGGAGCACCTGCGCATAGCTTACCCCTACGAGGAGGGCGACGACGACGACGACGAGGAGGAGGAGGGCGACGAGGAGGGTTACTTCGTCGCGGAGGAGGGCATACCGGTCGGAGCCGAGCTGCTCGGCAGAAAAAGTGACGACGGCCAGTACTACGACGTCGTCATCGAAGAGGTGACGGAGACCGGCTACAGGGTGCTCTTTACGGCGTACGAGGGTGAAGACGGCGACCGCGAGGAACTCCCGATCGAGCACCTGCGCTACTATTATCCTGATGAGGAGGGCGACGGCGACGACGACGACGAGGAGGGCGACGGCGACGAGGAGGGCTTGTTCGTCGAGGAGGACTGCGACGACATCGCGGTCGGCGCCGAGCTGCTCGGCAGATGGAGTGAGGACGGCGAGTACTACGACGTCGTCGTCGAAGAGGTGACGGAGACCGGCTACAGGGTACTCTTCACCGCGTACGAGGGTGAAGACGGCGACCGCGAGGAACTCCCGATCGAGCACTTGCGCTATTATTACCCCGACGAGGAGGGCGACGACGACGAGGGCGAGGAGGAGGGCGCCGACGAGGACGCGGCGCCGAGCGAGGACGGCCTGGCCGTCGGCGACGACGAGGGGCCCACGTTCCGCGTCGGCGACGCCGTCGTCGACGGCAAGACGGGCGAGGTCGGCGAGGTCGTCGGCAAGGTGCCGGGCTGGTGGAAGATCCGGATCCCGAGCTCCGCCCAGGTCCAGTCGCGGCGGGAGAAGGACCTCACGGCCGCGGGCGAGGGCGACGAGGGCTCTGACGATATCAACGTCGGCGCCGAGTTGTTGGGGAGATGGAGCGAAGACGGCGAGTACTACGACTGCGTCGTCGAAGAGGTGACGGAGACTGGATATCTAGTTTTGTTCACGGAGTACGGCGACCGCGAGGAACTCCAGATTGATGATTTGCGGTGGTATGACGACGAGGACGAGGAGGAGGATGGCTACGGTACTGATGATTGCTACTCCATCGAGTCGAGTGACGACATAGACGTAGGCGCCGAGCTGCTCGGTAAGTACAGTGACGGCCTCTACTACGATTGTGTGGTCGAAGAGGTGACGGAGAATGGATACATTGTGCTCTTTACCGAGTATGATGAAAGAGAAGAATTAGCAAGGGAGGACCTGCGCTGGTATGAAGACGAAGACGAGGAGGAGTATGAGGACGAGGTAGCATCGTACGAGGAAGAAAAGCCCCCCGAGCGCGGCTCGCGGCCCGGCGAGGTCGTCCAGGAAGCTCCAGAGCCGAAGGAGGCGGGCGACGGCGACGGGGAAGAGCCAGAACATAAAGAGGCGAAGTGGGGGGGACCCTTGACCGAGGGCGGCCACGACGATCCTCGCGCCGATACCACACCTAGAGATGATTATGGGCGACGGCTGAAAGGTTCGAGGCTGCTGGAGTACATGGACCAGGGGCCGCTTGGGGCCGATGCGGTCTACTATAGGTATAGGCGGGGTCCTCCTGACGAGGACGTCGAGGAACTGGAAGGTGATGCGGTGAATGAGGCTCTACGAATACCGGCCTGGCCGCCGGCTCCACTACTACCACTGTCAAATGAGGAGTATAACCAGCGGCCCGAACAACCGTCATCAGAATACGAGAATTGTGCTGGCGACTTTGCGGAGGGTGATGAGGATAGGACCGTGGAGTTGTGGGACCCTTCTGATGATAAGAAGCGCAAGAGTCGTGTGGAGAGGGAATTACCCAGTATTATGCCAAATGAGGAGGGTCCTCGGGGCTCGAGGAAAGACGACGACGCCGTCTATGCAGCCGACCGGGTAGAAAAGGAAGCGACTCAGGATCCGAAGGTGCTTGCGTTGAGACGGTTGCGGGTCGGCCAACGCGTCGATTACCGGGACCCCGTCGGCGGGTGGGGCCATTCTGGAGGCGTCATCGTTGGGGAAGTCGGTCGTACTACGTGGGACGTGGAACTCGATCGCGGCGGCATCCTGCGAGATGTCGATGAGCGAGACCTCAAGAAACTCAACAAGAAGCAACAGGGTATCTTGGAGAACGCGTGGGATCGGGGACCGACGGATATGTGCGCATCGACGGCGTTTTTGCTGGGGCAGCACGATCATAATAGAGCATCAGTACCAGTACCTGAGCGGTTGCGGTGCTTTGCGTGCGAGGGGTGTCTGGCGACGCCGTGCGGGGAATGCGCGCCTTGTAAAGACGATCGCGCGAACGGCGGTCCGGGAAAACTTCGACGAGTGTGTGTCCGGTGTCGGTGCAAGGAAGCCAGCGAGGTCGCGGCGTCGGCGCTGGCGCGTGCCGGGAGGTATCGGCAGGCGCCGCAAGCCCCGCAGATCCTCGAGCAGCTCGAGGACTACCTGCAAAACTGCGGCGGTGCCGCGGGTAGTGCCGATGGGTGGACCATTGATGTGGTCGAACGCAAGGGCGGCGAGACGGCAGGCGGCCACGACGTCTACTACTTCCCGCCCGACGGCGGCAAGCGGTGCCGGAGTCGCGCTGAAGTGGCTCGTGCCTTGGGGCTGCAGCCGGCGAAAGGGAAAAAATATTCTAGCAAATCTAAGAAATAGCACATTATCAGACTTTTCCCATTTCCACCGCGTCCCCGATCTGGTCGTAGCCGCCCTTCGACCCCCTCAATGGATTCGGGATGGACGGCATCGACGTGCGCATCGCTGGAGGGCGAGAAGGCACGTCGACGAACTGCGCGCCGCCCAGCGCCTCGCGCTTCCGCCGCTTCACAATGGCCTGGCGGATGGCGCAGGCCGTGATCGCCGCGGCGACGAGCGCGATCAGGATCGCGGCCGTCGACGACGCGTCGGCCGACGCGGCGCCGAACGGCGTCGGCGCCAGCGTGCCGTCGTCGTCGTCATCATCGCTGCGCAGCGGCCGCGTGCTGATCACATCACCGCCGTGGCTGGCCATATGTGGCGGCGCCGTCGGTCGATTCCCCGAGGAGTAGGCCGCCGCCCAGCTGGACGGCACGCAGGCGGCGTCCGCGCTCCGCGAGACGACGCCGCCGCAGGCGTCGCAGTCGTTGCCGATACATTTAGTATCGTGCGCGCACTGACAGAGGGGGCATAGAGTGGTGGCGTCGAGGGGGCCCGCCCGGTCCGACAGGTAGGAGCCGCCGCCACATTGGTAGGTACCGTGAAAGGGGCCTGCGATGGCCGCCGAGCGCGCGGGGCAGAAGCCGGCCATGCTGCCCCAACCCACACACTGCGCGTGCACCTCGCGAGCCGCACATTTGATGGCTGTGGCCGAATCGCACTCGATGACGACCGTGGCGCCGCCACTTTCGCTGTGACAATCGAACGAGTCCGCCCAGGCCTCGCAGGCCGGCAGGTCGGACGTGGCTTCGAGCTGCACCTTCAGAGGCCTTCCGTCGAGGCATGGAATAGACACATCACCTAAGGCGTCGACCTCGCCGCGCCACGTCGGCACATCGACCACAGCTCTCACCTTAGGATAGGTCAGCGTCGCCTTCTGGGCGCAGCGGTTGGCCACGCGGAACTCGGCGCCGCTCGGCGGCGACTCGTGCGGCAGCTGCGACGGCGCCTTGCCCTCGAGTTCCTTGCCTTTTTTTTCTACAGAACCTTCGCTTGGCAGCGAGGGCGACGCGGCTGCGAGCGCGATAATGACTGCTAGTGTGTGGGCGCGCATCGCTGCCGTGTCGCGCGCGCGGCGTTTCTGCGACTGGCGCTAAGTGGTGCTCTCTTGCGCGGCGAATTTCCGCCTCGCTTCGTGCGGTGCGTCAACGCCGTATGTAAGACGTGTGCACGGTGAACTCTGCGTGACCAGTAAGCCGGTTTTGAGGCGGTGCGCAGCGATTTCTCTCCTTTGCGAGCAGCGCGATTATCTAGCGTACCGTGAGATACTAGCAATGTATACCTATCTGATACTTCATCTATCATACTTATAATAAGAAATAAAATTAAGGAATACCAAGAAGAGACTTCTGACCTGCTTGGCTTACCCAACGTGGTAAGGTAAAGTACTTACTACCTAGGACCCCTATACATCTATACATATGTAGGGGCAAAATTTTTCTTGGATGAGAAAACCGGCCGGTCCTGTCTGTTCTGTTCGTTCTGTTTGTTGGGTTGCTATGGAAAACGAGATATTAGCCGGCGGTACGCCGTCGCCGCGACCGCTCGCTACACGGCGAGCTCCGCCGGCAGGAAGTACCGGAACGCGTCGCGCAAATCGTCGTCCCGGCCGCGCGCGAAGAGGCGGTCCATGGACCGCGCGACCTGCTTCTCCGACAGGAGCCCCTGGTCGTAGCGGCGGAGCGTGGCCAGGGCCTCGGCGTGGGCCGTAGGACCCAAACCGCGGCGGAGCTCCTCCAAAAACTCGGCGACGAGCCGCGACTCGTCTTCATCAACAGCGATGATGCCGGCGTCGTCCTCGTCGTCGGTGTTGGGATCGGGATCGCCGACGACGAGGAAGTAGCGCGCGACCTGTGCGGTACGTCGCGTCGATGGCGTGGCGCCACGAAGAGTTGATTTCCGCGATTTCCGCACGGCGCGATACGACGCGCCGCAACCGCGTGCCGACGGATTTTCGGATCTTATCTAAATCGTCGCCGTACTTGCGCACGGCGCGCTCGAATTTTTGAGAAGTCTCCGGCGACCAGTCCTTGCCCCGTATCGCCATCTCGCGCTCGAGCGCCGCGGGGTCCTCCACAAACGACCCGCCCCGCCCCTCGGCGGGCGGCGGGCGGCGCCGGTCGAGCCGCGGCAGCGACGCCTGGTGCCGCGGCCCAATTTTTATTTTGGCGTGGCTCCAGTCCGTCTTGTTCGAGAGCGGCCGCGGCCGCGGGCGGCTCTCCTTGCGGACCGCGGTGTGCATCGCGCGGTCGGCCTCTTTTTCCGCGGCCGCATAGAAACCCTCGGGCAGTTTGCCGGGGCGGCGGCGGGCGGCGAGCATCGTGGTTCGGCGGCGCGCTCGCGGCGTGTTTTGAGGGTTCGCCCTCGCGTTGCGGCGGTGTCGCGCGCGCAGCGAATCGACCTGTTTTACTCGGGTCACTCTGAGAGAGCAGGTTGCAACTTGCAACTTGCAAGCTCTCCTGAGCCCGGCGATTATCAATGCGGCGTTGCGTCGCGCGTACTTGGCGATCTGCGTTATTTACGCAACACACTGATCGATGCCTAAGAAAAAAGTTGCGCTGGGCTCGTAAAACCCGTTTTGTTTTTCGGAGTTCTCTTCCGGTGAAGCATGCATGCTTCTCCACAGGGATGGCTCCCCGGGCTACAGCTTGCCTTCCATTTATGATTTCTCCTCTCCGCAGGCATCTGGAGGGGGGGAGCAAAAAGCTGCAAAAACGAAGCCATTCCTGGGTTCGCCTTGGCAGCAAGTGCCACAAAAGAAGCCAATCAATTGCCCATCAATACCGATCGAGCGCGGAGCTGTCTATCGTGCATTCGGCAGCTCCAGGCAGAGATCTCTGCTGTGCGCTCGGGAACAGGGAGAGTTTCGGCAACCGCGCGAGACAGCCGAAAGGCTGCGCGGCTGACACCGCGGCCGGCCCTGCATAGCTAGCACCGCAAAACACGCGGCCGGCCCTGCAGCTAGCACCGCAAAACCGCGCGTCAAAATGAGCGGCATCCCGCGCAGTAGGGAAGGCGAGCTCCTCAAAAAAGAAAAGGGCCCCTTGGGAGCGAAGTGGACGCGGAAACTCGTCGTTGTTGATGGAAGAAAAGGCACGGTAAGGTATCATCGGCCGACGGACGACAAGAGCGATGTTCCCAGAAAAATCTTCCATTTGAAGTCCATGACGCTCATTGAAGATTGCATGGGCCCGAAGAAAGCCCCCCACGCTCTAGAATTGAGGGATCTCAAGGGCTATTCTCTTATTTTAGCTTGCGAGAGAGGTGCAGGAGAAAAAGAGGCCTGGCGGAGCCTGTTAGCACCCTTATGTGCGGGCGGCACGCCTGTTGCTGCAGCTCGCACGGCATCGACGGACTGGGTCGATCCACAATCAAAACCACCGGAGGAGGACGAGCCGTGGCCCGTGCCGCAAACTTTTGACAGTGCTCTGGCCAAGCCGTTCGAGACCTACGAGGCGACCTTCCTGCCGGACCAACCGCTGGGTATCCAACTACGACTCGAACCGGAGGTGGATGGGAAGCGCGCCATCCTCGTGCTCGAGGTCAAGGACACGTGTCCGCAGAAAGGTACTATACAATCGGGCGACGAGTTGGTAGGGGTACAAAATGAACCGCCCTTGACACCACGAACGACCGATGAATTCAAGAAGTGCACGACCGAACTGGCGCGAAAACCGAGACCATTGGTACTAGTTTTCCGGCGGGAGGTCAGTGAGACGCCGTTCGACGAGCCCGACGACTCGCCCAAGGTCCGCGACGCAGCGTCCTTACGCCATCGACGCGACTCGGCTCCATCTTCTGAGCCAATTCATTCGCGTCGGGGCCTCGCGTCAATGGCGTCTTCACGAGACCGCGCCGCCGCGACGCCGTCATAATGATCACAACGCAGGCGCCCTCCTTCGACGAGGCCCCTCCTTCACATGTCGTGGACGAGCCCGTGCGGCTGAACGCGACGTGCGAGCAGCCGCCTACGTCGTTAACTCTCTGTTTGGCTCGTAGTGATGAATTTTCGCGCGCGTGTGTCCGAGTCGAGAAAGGATCATGTGCTGGGTTACAGGTATTAGATGACCTCGTGGCCCTGGACGCGGAGGACCTGACGCTCGTCGACGCGGAGACAGCTCTAGAACGCCTGACGCAGCGATTGATGCGGGGACCCTTTCCTTGCAGGGTCGGCGTGCTGAGGAGGCCGAGCGTCTTCAGCCTCGAGTTCCCCGACGACGGGAGGCCTCTTGGTGTCGTATTACGACTGATAACACCTCCCACGGGCGGCGCGTCGCGCGTTCTAGTGGAGAGTATACATAGAGACGACGGGCCGGCGGGGGAATTAGAACCGAGGAATGATGAATTGGTGGCGATCGAGGGCGAGCCCATTGGCCGGGACTGCGGGCCGGCCGACTTTGATGCTTTATTACTCAAATTGAAGGGTGCTGCAAGACCGCTCAAACTCACATTCGTGCGCGCGGGGAGCATGTCCCAGGACCCGCGCGACGCCACGATTTATGGAAGAGCCGTCATCGAGGAGCCGCCTGTATCCTTCGAGGAAACCAGAGCGGCGGCGATGTCGCCGTCAGCGGCCTTCGGGGCTCCGGTCGATCCCGTGGCAGCAGATGATGGAAGTGACTGGGGCGACCCTCCTCCTTCAACGGACGATTCTTCATCCGACGAGGGCGCCGCAATTGGTGTGGATGCGAACATCGTGGAAGTCTCCGACGACGCGGCGGCCGTCTCTGATGAAGAGCCGCCGCCTCCACCCATCGTCGTGCCGCCGGTCGCCGACGTCCCGGCGCCGACGCCGTCGAAGCTCGCGGCATTTATGGCCAGCACGCCGAACCCCACGTCGCCGACCGCGTGAAAATCAAATTTCAGGCGTCTCACGCGACATGAGGACCTCAATCACTGGTTGATGTCCACGCAGGTCGCCGAAGCCCACAAGTCAACAGACGCCGTCGCCGCCGCCGCCTCCCCAGGACGAGTCCCCGGGCGAACTTGGAAGGAGCGTCATCGAGCAGGTCGCGTCCTTCGGCGACGCGCCGTCGGCCGCGCTTGAGTTGGAGGCGGTACGGGCCGAGCTCGAGAGCAGCGCGCGAGCGTTGGCGCGGGCTCGAGAAGAGCGGTCCGCGGCGGTTCGGGAGCTGGAAGAGGTGGCCGAGGACGCGAAGGTGCAGCGGGAAAGAGTCGGGAAACTGGAGCAAGAAAGGAGAGCGTCGCTCGAGCTGCAGAGCGCGTCTGAACAGTTAAGTAAGCAGCGCGACTCTTTACAGTCTGAAGTGGAAGCGTTGCGCAATGAACTCAAAGCGCGGGAAGAGAAGAACCGGGAGCTCGAGGCGTCGACGCGGGCGAGGGACGCGTCCCTAGAATCTCTACGCAAGAAGCTGTCCGAGGCCGAGAGCCGCACGACGAAGGCTGAACAGGCCGTCTTAGACAGACGGGCCTCGCTCGAGGTCGCGGAAGATCATGTGAGGGCGGTCTCGGCGGCGGCGCCGATGGCGGTTGCGGCGGCGGCGCCGAGGGCGGACGCCGCTGCGGCGCCGAGGACGGATGCCGCGGCGGCGCCACCGGAGAACGTCCGAGCTTCCGGAATCGAGGCCGTAATAGCCGACGACTACGTGAACGGGGACTGCTCTGGAGAAGACTTAGCTCAATTGTTACAAAACTGCGTCTCACCCCCTCCCTCCAAGGTAGAGTTGGTCACAGCATTGATCAGGGTCGTGCCCGATTCATTGACCCAACCCTTCTGGTGCGATGCGGACGAGGCCGGACATGCTCTCGCACAAGCGGAAGGGGACTGGGTCGCCGTGCTCGATACGGTTGTAGAAGCCGTAGCACCAAGTTTTGAAGCATCACTACCCTTACTTTTCGGCGAAATAATGAAATTAGCTGATGAGCCTCGCAAGAAATTAAGTGAGTGGCGCCGGAAGGCCGCCGACATCTCGACGCAAATCAAGCACGACAAGCGTACCGTAAATGCCGAAGCGCTGCGGAGGACGGACGCGTGGTTTGATGGGGACTCGGAACCGTCCCAGGAGCTCGAGCCGGTGCTGGAGGCGGACCACGAGACCGTCGAGAGCGTCGATGATGATGATGATGAGGTTAATGAGACGGAGCTATCTGTCGCGAGTGAGTTAAGGAAGGCGCTGGAGGTAAACGCGTCCCTCGATGACCGCGGCGCGTCGCTCGCGAAGAAGGTCGCGTTGATCAAGCCGCGGCCGCGCGGCGCGAAAGTGCTAGAAGCTTTGTTAGAGCAGTGCGAACCGTCCCTGATCTTCGGCGACGCCAACGCGACCTGGGGGCAGCCGGCGCGGTGTGGGGCTGCGTTGGAGGCTTTGTCGGAGTTCGACCCGTCCGAGCAGGCGCGCATGTGTCGCTGTCTAGAAAGGTACTGCGCGCGCCATGCACGGTCGGACGCTTTGTCATCGACACTGAGGAAGTTGGTCGATTACGACGTGCTCGAGGACCAGGGCGTGGACCTGTGGCGCGACCGCTGGGGCGACGACGCTCTCGTCGATGAGCCTACTACCTTCTTACCTTCGCCGCGAGCTGTTCTCCTGGAGCAGTCTGATGAGGAACCGGAGTCGCCGGTGGACCGGGCGATTCATGATGCTCGTCAGGACATCGAGGAGCGGGTCGAGGCGCGGCTCAACTCGCCGAAGCAGTCTCCCTCATCGGTGGCGTCGCCGCCGTCGCCGCAGCGGTCGCCGGCGTCGGCGTCGTCGCCGCAGCTGGAAGAAGCCTTAGAATCGGCGCGGAAGGCGTCGCAGGCCGCCGCCGAGGCCTTGGATGCGGCCAATTCTTCCAGAGCCGAATCTAGAACTCTGAAAGCGAAGCTCGAGCGCGCCGCGTCGTCGGACCAGTTATCAGATTTGCAGAAGGAGACGTCCGCGTCTACCAGCAAAGCGTCCACCGAAGCCCAGAAAGCGAAGCTCCAGGCCGACGAGGCGTCGCAACGAGCTCAGCGCGCGGAAGAAGCCGCTCAAAGAGCTAGGGATGAAGCGCGGGAAGCGAGACAAGCGTTAGCTGTTGCGGTGGCGGAAGCCGACGAGCGCCAACGGGCCATGGAGGCGTCCGTCGAAGCTAGATCAGCGTTGGCCGCCAAGCGCGACGCCGAGGTCGAGGCGAAATTCGAGCGGAAGCTGGCCGCCTTGCAAGCGTTGGAGGAGCGGTTGTTAACTGCTGCGCGAGACGAGGCTTCTCGAGTCGCCGAGGAGAAGGCGTCGATTGTCGCCGACGAACGAGCTGCCAGAGTAGCGAGGGACGCTGCCGCGGAAGTCGGGGAACGGACGGCCTCCATCGTCGAAGACCAGCAAAAGAAGCTCCAGGAGGAGGTCACGGACGCCAGTCGTAGGGTCGACGCAAAGTTCGCGGAACTCGACGAAAAAATAGTGGAGGCGACGACGCCGAGGCCCTTCCCGCCGCGGACGCCCGTCGCGCGGCCGCCGTCGTCGTCCTCCTCATCATCAGATGACGCCTGCGTCAATCTGGGAGAGTCGCTGGAATTACAGGCGCCCACCCAAACCGAGACGCCCGCGAAGTTGTCCGAAGTCGTCGGCTTGCCGTCTCGGGCGCAGTCGAAGCTCCGCGAACGGTTCTTGCGGTTACTGAGGCAGCCGTCGGGGCCTCTGCTAGATGATGAAGGTTGTCTCGTGCGCGTTCGGGTCGAGCACGGCTACGAAGGTAGTAAAGGAAGGTGCCGCGTGGAGGTGACGAATGTGTCTGATTCAGTCTTAGAGGACCTGAAGATCGACGCGTTCGCCGATGATGAGGAACCCACACTCATCGTGTCGACGCGGCTGGAGGAAGAGGCTTCGGATCTACAACCCGGCCAATCATTAACTTGCAGGGTCTCGTGCGCCTGCCGGGCGCCGTTTGTGGTCCCTCCGGAGCTCGCCGTGCGCTTCGAGAGTGAAGGAAAGAGGTACGCCTACGCTCTAAGGCTGCCGGTGGCCGTCACGTGCTTCGCGCAGCCGGATGGCTACAACGCGAGAGATGTGGGCGCGTTCCGGCGACGGTGGGACGAGTGCGGCGGGTTTGACGGTTCGGAGAAGCAGGTCGTCGTCGCGGCGCGCGGGGCCGTCGACGTCGACGCGCTGGACGACGTGCGCCAGCGCATTGTGGGAGGGGCGCTGCGCGGCGCGTTAGTCAGGGGCGCGGATCCGACGCCCGCGACGGCGACCGCCGCGTCGCTGATCAACACGACGGACGACGGCGCGGTGGACGTGCTAGTGCGGTTGGAGGCGAACGCGGCGGCGCGGGCGTTCCGAGTGACAGTCCGGTCGCCGTCGCCCGCCGCCGCCGCGGCGTTCAAGAACGTGCTCCAGGCGCTGCTGACGTCGTACTTCGCCGTCTAGGAGTGCTCTCTCCCGCCTCTTTAAGCGATTTTGATACATCTGGATACAAGTCTAGCGACTACAAGCACGGGTTTTTCACGCTAAAATAATAGCTTATTAGCTTGACGCACGCATATCGATACAACACTGCCGAGTCAGCGTTCGAGAGGCCACAACGCGATATATAGGACTCGCAACCGCAACAAAGCTCGTTGAACCAGCTCTCTCAAAAAAGTGCACTTTTGCCTGTTTGCAGCTAGCCAATTATCCGTGGTCTAGTCCAGCGTTCGTTCGCGTGCGCGCTCAACGACTCCTATTTTTGCCAAGCGATCCGTATTCTGAACAGTAATGGCGGACGTAGAAGCCGCCGCGACGGCGAGCGACGACGGCGGCGAACGGTGAGCGGCTGGGGGCTCGGTGTCCTGGAGTCGATTCTTATTGTCATAGTGATTGGCTTTTCGGTAGACTACACCGTCCATCTGGCCGATAGCTACATGCAGTCGCGCGCTATCGACCGCGAGGGCAAAGTTACGGACGCTCTGACGCACACCGGCATGAGTGTGCTGAGCTGTGTGGAAATCAACCAGTGTGTCGGGTGCACCCGACATTTTTCACTAAGTCATTTCTCGGTGATGACGTGACCGTGCTGGCTCCGTCGAGCGGTGACGAACCGGCATCGCCACGCCATCGAGCAGCCATCGCGTCGATGGCGTGGAGGACGACGCGACGATTCAGCACGAATACGCCGTAAAATTTTGATTTCGACACAGGTGCTGAGTGGGGCCATCTCGACCATCCTCGCGTCGATCCCGATGCTGTTCACGCAGATTATATTTTTCTACAAATTTGGCGTCTTCATCCTCCTGACGATCGTGTTGTCACTGATCTTCAGTCTGTTCTTCTTCGCCAGCGTTCTGGCGGAGATCGGCCCCGTCGGCAAGCGCGGCCAGGTGAGCCTGCTCTACCGGGATTGTGTCAACCGTGCGAAGGCTGAGCTCGACGAGATGGACGAGGCGCAACGGCTCGTGGACGAACAGTCGGTGCGCAAGGAGGGCTCGGTCAAGCGGTCCTGGTCGCGGGCATCCGTCGACGACGCCCCGGCCGAGGAGTCCTCGCCCGCGCCCGTAGACCTCTAAACAAGATTCACATTACACCACATCCTATATCAACGCCGCCGCCGCGCCCGCGCCACCTCGCGCCTCCATAAATACGCCATCGACAGCCCCGGCACGCCGACGCGCGCGCCCAAGCCCCTTAACAACAGCGACACACGACACGTGAGCATGTACTTGCGCGGGATCTTCCGGACCTTCTCGCCGCGCTGCCGCTCGAAGTCGTTCAAGGAAAGGAGACCGCCATCGACAATGTTACGGTCAAACAGTTGCGTCGCGAAGGTACACATATAATCCTCGTCCATCCTTTTCGAGGAGAAGCCCATGGCTTTGACCGCGTCGACAACACCTCCTCGATTGTTGTGATGGAGGTGATGATACAGGTCAGCCAACACCGCGACTTCTTGATCGTTATAGGAACAAGAGCACCCGTAGTCGATGAGGCCCAGGCGGCCGTCCTCGAGCACCATGACGTTGCCAGGATGCGGGTCGGCCGAGAAGCCCGGGGAATCCTCGCCGAAGATGAGGGCGCCCTGGGCCGCCGCGACCCTCTTGAGGGACACCACGGCCCGTCGTTGCAGCCGCCAGAGCCGCCAGCCCTTTACGAGGGCGTTGCTGCGTTGCGCTGCGTGAGCTTGCTCCTCGAGGTCGCTCCGCAGGCTTCGTCCGTTCAACCAGGCCATCGTGAGCACTTTTTGCGAGGAGAGCTCCGGGAGGGACGCGGGGACGGCGATTCTACGCGCGAGCCGGGGCCGCTTCGACCGCAAGTAACGTCCACACGCGTCCATCTGGGCCGCCTCTTTACGGTAGTCGAACTCGCCCTTTACTCTCATCCGAAATTCGTCGACCGCCGGTAACAGAGCCGGCTTCACTATGCGAAGAACGCGCCGCACGTTGCTCAGATCGGATAATACCAATTGGCGGCCGCCCGGATACATGACCTTCACGGCAACCGTACGATTGTCGAGAGTTGTCGCTCGGTGGACCTGGCCGATCGATGCGGCACCGACAGGCTCAAGCTCAAAATGCCGGAAGCTCTCCTCGACGGGCCGCCCGAGCTCCCGCTCAAGGACGCGCTTCGTCACGCGCCAGGGCCGCGCCGGCGCGTCGTCCACCAAAACCTCCAACCTCGACACCCAGGGCGCCGGCAAGAGCTCCGGGAAGGCCGTCGATATCAATTGGGCCGATTTCACATAGGCGCCGCGCAGGTCCCGCACCAGACGCTCCATGCGCACCGCCGTGGCCTCGTGCACGTCTTCCATCGGCGCGCGCGTGACGTAACGTACTGCGTACGCGCCACCGATGCGCAGCATTCCCGCTTGGAACCGCGCGCCCCGTCGCACGGGTCGTACGCTTGTCGCGGCGGCGGCGGCGCCGAGCACTGCATAGCGCTTTCGGAAGCGCCAGTCGTCGTCGCCGTAGTTGGCACTACCGAAGCGCGTCTGGGGACGCAGGCCGATGCAGCGCGCTAGAACGAGGGCCGCGAGCCATGGCCTCATCCTGGCCCCAGGAATGCTGCACGACTGCTCTGCTGCGCCGCGCTGTCCACAGCTGCAGCGCAGCGATGCGTTACGCTGCTGCTGCACAGCTGGTGCCCGTCGTGCAGCCCAGATGGCTACACAATGCCAAAGCCAGCAGCAGCTAGCGGCTGTAAGACACTAGCCAAAAAGCAAGCCAGTGCCGCGCCGCGCGCACAGCTGCAGCCACGCAGCGCTAACATTTGCCAGCGCGTATTCTTTGGCTCACTTGTACACCGGACCGGTACGGACCGGTAGCACAAGCTTAGCGGCACGGAGAGGGCAGCGCATCACTTTGGTGCCAACCGCAGCCGCGCGTAGCACAGCAGTCAAAAATGAAGAAGAACACCTTCATCCCCGAGGCCATGCGCGGCGTCTGCTTCGAGTGCGGCGCGCGCGGCCACTTCGGGCGGGACTGCCCCGTCCGTAAAGCAAATGACGGGCGGCGAGGCAAAAAACGCGTGCGCTTCAACCCCGAGGAGGACGTAGCAGAGGCGGCCGAGGTTGATGAGGGCCTCGAGCCCCGGACGGCCATGGACGGAGATGTGGATGATGATGATGAGGACGACGACGTCCCGGTGCGCGCGATGAAAGATGAAATAGAAGGCGAGGAGAACGACACGGGCGAGCGCTACAATGAGGTGGGCGAGCGCATCGAGCCCTTCAATCTGCGCGCGGAGCGGGCGAACGACGGGTTCTTCGACGCGAACGGCAATTTTGTGTGGAAGCGCGGCGACGCGGAGCCGGACGCGTGGCTCGCGTCCATGGACGAGGCCGCCGAGGAGGCGGCGGTGGGCGAGGCGTTGGCGCGTTCTACGAAGATGGAGGAGAGCGACGGCGACGAGGAGCCCTCGCGAGAGCCTTCTGAGTTGATTGTGGAGCTTATACAACTACTGGAGCCGGGCGAGACCGTGGCGGCGGCGGTGCGGCGCGTCGGTCGATTGCTCAAGGGCGATAAATCAGTGCGGCCCACTTTTGAGCGGCTGACGGCCGCCGCGGACGCATTGGTGCGGAGCGGCCGCGGCGGCGTCTACGAGGAGACGCGCGAGGAACTTGAAAAGACGGGCAAGCCGCCTCGTCTGATAGCGAAGCCCGACGATAGGAGACGATGGGAGTACTGGGCCAAGGACGGGAAGACCTACGGGCCGTATACCACCCAACAAATTTTAGATTGGCGCGCCGAGGGCTACTTCGCGGGCGACGGCGGTGTGCCGATGCGTCTCTACTCAGAACCGAAGGCCGCCGACGACCTCGCGGGCGACCTCGAGGACTCGGACGACGACGCGCCGGCGCCGGAAACGAAGTGGCTCCACTCCGACGACATCGACTTTCTGGGCGACGGGCAGGAGTCGCCGCTCCCCTAGCCGGTCGCGCCGCGTAAAAACTAATGTGGTCTCTACTGCCCGCCCGGATTTGAGAAACAGTGTACTTAGTAGTCGTCGCCGCCGCCGCCGTCGCCGAACATGTCCATGCCGCCGCCCATGTCGATCTCCTCCTCCTCTTCCTCCTCCTTCTTCTCCTCCTCGGCCGCGGCCCCGCCGCCGCCGCCGCCGCCCCCGCCGCCGCCGCCGCCGCCGCCGCCGCCGCCCATGGGCACGTCCTTGATCTTCTCCATACCCGCGTCGATGACCGCTGCGAGCTCCTTGCCCTCCATGTCCTTGATGAGTGCCGCGATGCTCTCCTCGTCGGGCTCGGCCTTGCCGCCCGCGACGACGACGGCCTTGACCTGGTCCGCCGTCGGCTTGGCGTTGCCGCCTAATACAAGCATCGTGTACGCCGCGGCGTTCTCCATGGTGCGCGTCCGAACGGTACAGCGGTCCGCAGCGTCGGGCGCAGCGAACGAATTAAGCCGTACCTGCGGGGGCGGGCGGTGAGCGGGCTTGCTGCCTCTCGTTTCTCTCGTCTGCGCCGCTGCGCCGCGCTCCTGCGCCGTTCGCTCTCGCTGCACCGCGGCGGCGGCGTCGCGCAGCGTTCCCGCGCCGCTCGCTCTCGCTGCACCGCGGCGGCGGCGTCGCGCAGCGTTCCCGCGCTTCTCGCTGCCGCTGGTAGCGCTGCGACGGCGTCTAGCGGCGTTCCAGCGGCCCCAGGCTGGGTGTGCTGATTACGCCGCGAGATGAAGCGCTGGCGGCGAGATTTTTGCACGATGGCTGGCGACGAGAGATTTTTGGACCAGTGGCGACCTTCTTTTTTGCTTGCGGGTCGATATAGGGACGCAGCGGCGTACAGTTTGATGCTATCGCGGCGCAAGGGCGAGCGTCGCGGGTTTTCTTGCCGAGAGAAATCGCACACATTTGGACGATTGCTCCATCGAGCCATGCGAAAGATCCCTCAATAGACAATAAAATTTTAAAGGCTAGAGCACAGGTTTGCAAGGCATATTTGCGCTCGGCTAAGCCGCGCCCGAGGTAAAATCAGAAGCTGGCACGCGAGATTTGCATATATTATAGCTGCGACATGCAGCTTGCAAAAAAGGCCGACGCCCATCGGCCAGCGGCCTTTAAAAAGGCTCTCAGGCTATATGGGGCCCGTGAGGAGCAGCAGCGCGCCCTCCACGGTCCACAGCGATAAGATGAGATCGACGTCTAGACCGACGACGACTTCTACCAGTTGCCCATGCCGGGGTACTTCACGGGCGCCCGCGGCGCCGCCTTGTCGCCGCGCGCCCACTCCAAGCTGGGCGCCACGTAGATGTCGAGCATCTCCTTGTTCTTGCCGTCGCGGCGGCGCACCAGGCCGGCGACCATCTCGTGGACGAGCTTGATCGTGAACTCGGAGTCGTCGAGGCCGGTGTGCGTCTGGATGCAATCGTAGAAGGTGTAGATGAAGAATGCTAGGCCCTGCGAACGGAACGCCACACGTGACCGACGTTCGAAGATGGCGTTTCGCGCGGGCTCGTGCGGTGCTCATTTGGTCGCCGTAGGGGGAGTCGACGGGAAATTGGCCGTTGCCTTTGGCACCAAGGATGTAGCGGATGAACTGGAGCGCGTCGGCGAAGTGCTCAGTAGGGATGCCCAGCTCGCGCAACCACTTCTTCTCGGCACCGCCAAAGTGAAACGCGAGCACGTCGTCGCTGCTGCTTCTCTCGATTAATTTGGCCGCGTATGCCTCGAGGGCGGCGCGCTGGGTTGCGGTGAGCGGCGGCGGCTGGAAACGGAAGCGATTTTGTCTTCCAGTATCAAAGGTGTTGCCCTGGCCGCGGTTCGACAGGTTCATGATCTCCGTCATGGGGCCCTGGGCCGTTTTTTCAGCGGCACCGACCTCGTAGTACAATCCATCAGTCCCCTCGCCGTCGAGAACGAGGACGGAAGCGTCGTTCTCGATCTTCTCGATCCAAATGAGGGTGTTTTGGGCCCAAACTTTCTCACCACTCAGTAATTTATCAACGTCGACTTTTAAGGCATGGAGCAAGTAATCAATGGCCATTGCCTGCGCGGAAAGAACCTCTCGCGGAGCGTTCATGTCGACCTCAACGCCATCGACGCGACGGCTGCTCGACGGCTCGACTCATTGGTTGATTGCTACACCGACCATGACAATTCCACGCGTGGCGACGATTTCTCTGAGTTTGATCACCAGTGGCGCGTCCTTGATCTTGGCTAATTTGCTACCGCCCCGAGTTAAAGCATCGTTGCGATTTTTAAATCTATCCCTGTGGAAAGAAAGGTCTCCGGCGTTACTCGTCATATAAAGCGACGTACCGATCCAATCGTTCAGGAAGCATGTCCTTCCTCAATGGTTTCTGCTCTCGGTACCTGCGGGCGGCGGGAGTGGACGCGAGCGTTGTGTGTGCGCGATCGGAAGGCTTCTGGACGACGCCGCGACGTGCTTTGCTAATTGGGCCTCATCCATGTCCGCTACTCGTGGCTTCTTGTCCTTGTACTTCCGGTCGCTCTCCCTAATCCGCATGTACCTGCGACCGCGCCGGCGTCGCGCGCGCTCCCCCTCTAGAGTGTAAGTTGATTTTGTGGTTTCGAACGGAGTATTAATTCCGCGCGCCGCGGGGCGTCTCGCTCTCGCGGCGTGCCGTCTCTCGGCCGTTGCCGCGGCCGCATCGTAGACCGCCGTGCCGGCGGGCGTCAGAAGGAGCGTCGGTCGATAGATTCGAAGGACGTGGACGCCGGGTCGCGCTTCTGGAACTCCTCGGGCGATTCGGCGGCTTTCTTGCCGGCGTCCGACGTGGGGTTGCTAAGTTTGTGCCTGCGGTCGTGGTGTGTCAAAGGGCGAGAAGGCAGCGCGACGCGGGCGCCGCACGCCTTCCACCGCTCTATCGTCGCGGCATCCGGTGGAGGGAGTCTACTTGCGGGCCTTGCGCAACTCTCTATCTGCTTTGCCTTCATAAACGGAGTATCATCGCTAAGCCCGAGCGATTCGAGAGGTACCCAGCCGTCGACGGGTTCGCAGATTTTGCACTCGCCCTCGCGAAGCTTCGCTTTTGGCACGAAGCACTCCGTGACCTTCGTTCCCACTTCGAGGTATTTCCTAGGACCAGATGTCGTGTTAGGGCTTCTGGAGTCCCCGCGCGTCCGGTTTTTCGGCGGCGTCGAGGAACAGCGGTTCTCGTCGCACTGTCAATCGTCTGTTTCGCGCCGTTCTCGCGGTACTACCACGCTCTGTCGATAGAGCGGACCGCTCGGCTACGCCGCGCCGGGTTTACCCGCCAGTCTACGCGTAGCTACGGTCGTTTCTCTCTCCTAGCTATGAGCGTGATCGATCAGGAAACTCACATTAAGACAAGCTCAGCAGCCGCCGCATCGCCGCGACGCAGACCGGCGTCTTTCCGCGTCAGCAGGTACGTCGTCTCGAAGAAGGAGTAGTCGCAGCCACGTTCGCGCCAGGACGCCGGCCCTCGAGCTTGAGCACTGCGACGTCAAACACGACCGCCTACTTCCCCCGAGTCCGCGCCCAGCCCAGAAACAAACCCGCGCCGACGCCCGCCCCAAAGACCCACGCGTCGCGCGCCGGCCCCTTTACTGACCGCGCGACGGCCCGCGCGCCGCTTACAGAACCGGCGTGCTCCTCGCACCAGGCCAGCGCCGCGTCGACGTCCGGCACGCTCGCCAAGATGTCCGCCGGATTCTTGGAAAGCAGCCCCTCCTGTCTAGCTCGCTCGAGCTGTTTTAAGGTAGAATCGTAGTATCCATCAATATTCACGGCGACGACCGGTCGTGCATTTGGCATCCCGAGCTGAGATAAGGCCGCGGCATCCAACATCTCGTCCAAGGTGCCCAGGCCGCCGGGCAGCACTATGATGACGTCGCAGCGTTCGACGAGAGCCCTTTTCCGCTCGCCGAGGTCGTCGCCTTGGCAGACGATGAGGTGATCGCTGCCTTCAAATTCTCCTTCGTCAACCACGAACATCTCGTGGATGACGCACTCGATGACGCCGCCCGCCGCCCGGCAGCCCTCGTTCAGCGCGCCCATGCCTCCAAATTTGCCGCCGCCATTTATGAGGACGTGGCCGCGCTCCGCGAGGAGCCGGCCGAGGCGCCGGCCCTGGGCCACGAAGGCGCTTGACGTCTTCGGCGAGGACGAGGCGTAGACGCAGACGCGCATCGTTTGCTTCGACGACGTGCTGCGCAGCTCCTACTTTTGTCTCCGGAGAGCGTTCTGCTCTGCCTGGCTGTGCGCGGCGAATTATGGCAAAAGCTCTCCGCTGTGCGCGGCGAATTATGGCAAAAGCTCTCCTCGTTTGCGAAGAGCGATAGTGGTGACGGCAGTCTCTGTTTCTGTTTGCAGTACTAACACCAATTACGGTCGTCGCGCGCGCACAGGCTGGAGGGGCTAGCGGAAAGACTCTAGAAGAAAGCGCGGGTTCGCCAGAAATCCTCCAGAAATACCGGTGGCGAAGCGTTCGAGGTCCGTACTAGTGGGGCTAGGCAAATGGCGTCTCTGTCAACCGCGTCGGTAGAGTCGCGCGGGGCGAAGGCGCATGAGGCTTATTTTTCTCCAAAATACCCATACTCCCGTACGAGGCAGCGGCGTATATCTCCGAGCCGTACTTGCCACGGGCATGTGCCGTTCGTAAAGAGTAGGGCTGCTGCGCGTACCGTCTACGCGCGGGGTATCGCGAGCGGCATTCATTCAATCGCTCGGCACACGTCCCGGTAGCTCTAGGGCGGATGGCCCAGGGTTTCGGTGCGTCAACGCTGAAGTCAACGCTAGTAGAAGTCAACGCTGGGCACCCCAGAACTGGACAGCAGCCAAATTCGAGAGCTAGGAGCAGGGACTTACGGGGAACGAGAGCTACTTGAAAATGCTACGCGGCCTTGTAAGCGCTGCCCTTGTGCTGTTCGTGACCAGCGCGCTGCCGCTACGGCCCCCCGCGCGCATGAGCAGCTGCCAAAAGCCCTGGAAGGGCTGCCCCGAGGAGGATGAGGGCGGCTCCCAGCTCGGAGAGAAATTAACTGGCTTCTCCGAGGCCATGGCCATGTACGAAGACAAAAGCGGCAGCACGTCCGCGCGGGCCGGCGAGAACGGCCTCGACCGCGCTGCCTCCAAGGGCTTGGCGACGAGCGCCGCCGCGACGATGGCGCGGCTCCAGCTCTACAAGAACCACGGGGCGGACGGCAGCAAGTCCGACGAAAGCGGCAGCACGCGTTCGCGGGCCGGCGAGAAAGGCCTCGACAGCGCTGCCTCCAAGGGCGTGGCGACGAGCGTCGCCGCGACGATGGCGCGGCTCCGGCTCTACAAGAACTACGGCGCGGACGGCAGCAAGTCCGACGAAAGCGCCAGCACGCGTGCGCGGGCCGGCGAGAACGGCCTCGACCGCGCTGCCTCCAAGGGCTTGGCGACGAGCGCCGCCGCGACGACGGCGCGGCTCCAGCTCTACAAAAACTACGGGGCGGACGGCAGCAAGTCCGACGAAAGCGCCAGCACGCGTGCGCGGGCCGGCGAGAACAGCCTCGACCGCGCTGCCTCCAAGGTATTCGCGACGAGCGTCGCCGCGACGATGGCGCGGCTCCAGCTCTACAAAAACTACGGGGCGGACGGCAGCAAGTCCGACGAAAGCGCCAGCACGCGTGCGCGGGCCGGCGAGAACGGCCTCGACCGCGCTGCCTCCAAGGGCTTGGCGACGAGCGCCGCCGCCGCGATGGCGCGGCTCCAGCTCTACAAAAACTACGGCGCGGACGGCCTCTACGCCGACGCGTTCGACTCCGAGACTACAAAAGGCGCGGCGAAGGCCGAGCTCGACCCGAACAAGTACCAGGCGGGCGGGGTGCACGCGCTCCACGCCATCGAGCAGGTCAGCTACGTGCGGTACGAGAACTACCGGCTGAACGGCAGCGATGCCGGCGCAAACTCGGAGACGGTGACGGCCTCGGCTGCGGGCCGAGCCTCTGTCCTCCCTCAGGTTGACCAGCTCAGCACGTCAGCGGCGCGGCTCCGCGTGAAAGAAGCATCAGCGACCCCTGTGCGCCTACCTCGTTCCGCACAGGCGCTCGGCGCGGTCAAGACGATGCTCGAGTCCAACCTGATCAAGTGCGAGCAAGCAGCGGAGGGCTGCTCTGGCGAGACTATAGGAGGCTGCCCGCTCGCCGGCAGCGCGAACAAGCCGGCCGGCGTCGACGTCTTGGACGTCGCGTCCGCCGAGCCGCCGCTTGTGCCCGGCACCACATTGATGTTGGCGGCCTGGAACGCGACCAAGTGGGACTTCGGCGAAGAAGAGTGGGCCCAGAGCAACCTCGTTTGGGGCCTCGTCAAGTTTCTTGCGATGTTGGTCAAAGTTGTCTTTATGTGCGGTTGCATTTCGGTCTACGTAGTCTTTATGTTCGGTTGGGTCGTTCCGCGGCTCAGTAGCTTGGCAAAGGGCGCTGCCTGGAGCTCGTCCGTCGTCGGCTACCTGCTCTTTTGGCCAGAGATCGCCCTCGTGGCGGCGGCGACGACTTCGGTCCGCGGCAGCGACTACACCATTACAAAGAGTTCCAAGATCAAGACCAATGAGTCTCCGAGCTCGTCAGTCCAAAGCCTTGAGCAGCGGCGCGTGCTCTCGGGCGGCCGCAGCGACTACGCCATTACGAAGAGTTCGAAGATCAAGACCAATGAGTCTCCGAGCTCGTCAGTCCAAAGCCGTGAGCAGCGGCGCGTGCTGTCGGGTTACGTGATGACCGACAGCAACATTAGAACGGCCGTCGCGGCGTGGCTCTCGGACGCGAGTGCTGCCGAGACGACGTACGGCCACATTTCGACTTGGGACACATCGGGGGTGACGGACATGTCGGAGTTGTTTAAAGATGCATCGTCCTTCAACGAGGACATTGGTGCGTGGGACACCTCGGGCGTCACGACGATGGAGTACATGTTCAGCAGCGCCTCGGCCTTCAACCAGGACATCGGCGCGTGGGACACCTCGGGCGTCACGGAGATGGGAAGGATGTTCACCGCTGCCTCGGCCTTTGACCAGGACATCGGTGGTTGGGACACCTCCGGCGTCAAGGGCATGCAATATTTGTTCAGCGGCGCCTCGGCCTTTAACCAGGACATCGGCGCGTGGGACACCTCCGGCGTCACTGACATGACCCGGATGTTCGAATACGCCTACGCCTTCAACCAGGACCTCGGCTGGTGCGTGGACGACGACGTGGACCTGGACATGGCGTTCGACTTCACGCCGTGCCAGTCGACGTCGTGCGGCGTCGAGCGGGGCCAATTTGTAACTGCGAGCGGCAGCTGCGAGTCTACTCCTGCGCCGACTGCGTACTACGACGGCGTGCATCACACAGACGTAAGCATCCGCACGGCCGTGACGGCTTGGTTGAGCGACGCGACGGCCGCCGAGACGACGTACGGTCACATTTCGACTTGGGACACATCGCGGGTGATGGACATGTCGGAGTTGTTTAAAGATGCATCGTCCTTCAACGAGGACATCGGCGCGTGGGACACCTCCGGCGTCACAACGATGCGGTACATGTTCAACTCCGCCTATGCCTTTAACCAGGACATCAGTGGTTGGGCAGTCGACAGTGTCAAGGACATGTACGCAATGTTCGAATACGCCTCGGCCTTCAACCAGGACCTCGGCTGGTGCGTGGACGTCGGCGTGGACCTGACAAACGCGTTCATCACTGCTGGTATGTCGGCTGGTGGTACCCCGTGCGCGTCGACATCGTGCGGTGTCACGCATGTGGCAGGCGGCTGCGCGCCGACGCCGGCACCGACGCCGAGGCCGACATTTACGCCAGCGCCGACAGCCTCCCCCCTGGTCGCGGACGACAGCACGATTAGAACGGCAGTGGCCCTCTGGTTCTCGGACAACGCCGCCGCCATGAGCACGTACGGCCACATTTCGACGTGGGGCACATCGGGGGTGACGGACATGTCGTGGTTGTTTTGCGTGCGGCAGACTTCCGAGAACAGTCCCCATTTTTCGATGGACGATCCGATGGACGAGCCGGCGTCTTATTATGATTCCTGTGTGCTTCCGGCATCTGCGTCGTCCTTTAACGAGGACATCGGCGCGTGGGACACCTCTGGTGTCACGACCATGTACTGGATGTTTGGCTACGCCTCGGCCTTTAACCAAGACATCGGTTCGTGGGACACATCGCGGGTGACGGACATGTCGCATTTGTTCCGACACGCCGAGGCCTTCAACGCGGACATCGGCGCGTGGGACACCTCCAGCGCCAAGAACATGAACTCGATGTTCCTCTCCAGCGCCTTTAACAGATACATCGGTGGTTGGGCGGTCGAGAGCGTCACGGACATGGGCTCGATGTTCCTCAGCGCCTCGGCCTTCAACCAGGACATCGGGGATTGGGCGGTCCACAGCCTCACGGCGGGGGCTATGCAAGACATGTTCGCCGAGGCCACGTCCTTTAACCAGGACCTCAGTTGGTGCTTAGACGACAGCATGACCTTTGATGCCTGGTTCAGAACTACCCCGTGCGAGTCGACGTTATGTGGCGTCTTTTGGGGCGGCTGTGACATCCCGAGCAATGGTAATGTCATGGCCAACGGGAAGCTCAGAATTGCAGTTGCAGCGTGGCTCTCGGACGCGACGGCCGCCGACCCACATCCATACCGACCACTCTGCCTACTTCGGAGCCGACGCCCACGTTCTCGCCGACGGGCACCCCGACGACCGTGCCGACGCCGGTCCCAATCTCCAAACCGACGCCGGGACCGTCAGCCGTGCCGACTCTCGTCCCGACCTCGTCGCCGTCGGCAAAGCCGACGTCCGAGCCGACGAAGTCGCCGACGAAGGTCCCGACCTCGGTGCCGACGGCGAGCCCGACGCCTTCGCCGTCGGCACCGCCGACCTCGGTGCCGACGTCGCCGACGTTTTTGCCAACTCCCCTCCCGAGCTCGGTGCCGACGTCGCGGCCGTCCGCCTTGCCGACGGCGTCCTGGTCGCCGTCGTTATTGCCGACGTCCACGCCGACTGACATGCCCCAGCGCTCGCCCGAACCTAGTGCTTTGCCGACCTCGATCCCGACGAGCGCGCCGTCGTCGGCGTCGCCGACGTCCGTGCCGACGGGCATCCCGACGCCGGGCCCGACCGTGTCGCCGACGCCCGCGCCTACCGTGCAGCCGACGAACGGCGACTGCCTCGAGAAGATCACGGACTTCTGCCAGTGCACGTACGTGCTCTTCGAGGTCTCGCACACGCTCGCGCCGACGCCGGCGCCCACGACGGCGGTGCCCTCGCCGGGCCCGACGCCAAAGCCCACGCGGGTGCCGACGTCGGCGCCCACGAAGCGGCCCACGTACAAAGCGCCCGACGACCCCCTCCTGGCGCCGACGCCGAAGCCGACGCGCGTGCCGCGGCCCAGTCCGACCCCGGCCCCGACGAACGTGCCGACCTCGGTCCCGACAACGCCGCCGTCCCCCGAGCCGTCCGGCGTCCCGACGACGATGCCGACGCCCCAACCGTCGGGCACGCCGACGGCAGCGCCGACGCTGCTGCCGACGCTCGTCCCGTCGTCCGTGCCGACGTCCCCGCCGACGTCCCAACCGTCGCCGGCGCCGTCAAAAACCCCGACGACCGTCCCGACGTCGGTCCCGACGACCGAACCTACTGCATACCCGACCAGGACCCCGACGGCCAAGCCGACGTTTCCTCCGACGAGCGCTCCTTCGGCAAGCCCGACCTTCGACAGCCACGCCCCGACGCCCATGCCGACGACGGCAGCGCCGACGGTGAATCCGACGCTCGTCCCGACGTCCGTGCCGACGACCGAGCCGACGTCCGTGCCGACGACCGTGCCCACCGCGCAGCCGTCGCTCGAGCCCACGTGGCAATCCCAACTTCCAACCAAAACCCCGACGTCCGTGCCGACGACCGAGCCGACGTCCCAGCCGACAGTCGCGCCGTCCGGCGTGCCGACGAGCGCGCCGACGTCCCGGCCGTCGCCTTCGCCGACGCTCGTCCCGACGCCGTCGCCCACCGCCAAGTGCCCGGCCATGGCGTGGCTCGAGGGCGACATGAGCGGCACCGGCGGGAACGGCGCGCGCACCGGCGGCGCCCTCGGCGACAACCTGGGGGGCCGAACCGAGGGCGATGGGGCGCTCCTCAACGCGGAGGACATCCGCGCCCAGGGCGGGCTCCTGGTCCTCGACCACAACAGGAATTGGGGCATCAAGGCCACGTGCTCGAACAACGCGGCCAAAAGTTGCGAGAGAGATGAGGATTGCGGTACCGGCAACACATGCGAGGCCAACGGCTACGAGGGCGGCGCGGCGGCGTCGAGCGGCATCGACGCCTGCTGCCGCTTCGTGCAGACGACGTGCCCGACGCCGCTGCCGTCGTCCGCGCCGACATCGCCGCCGTCGCCGAGCCCGACGCTGCTGCCGTCGACGACCCCGACCAGCGTGCCGTCGAGCGTGCCCACGGTGCCGCCGTCGGAGACGCCGACGTCCGTCCCGACGGCCGAGCCCTCGGGAACCCCGACGAGGATGCCGACGCCGCGACCGACGTTATCGCGCTACCCCTCGCCCGTGCCGACGATTCCCGCGCCCTCGCCCATCCCGACGAGCGTGCCCACGCCCTGGCCGACGACGGCGAGCCCCTCCAAGATCCCGACGCCCGCGCCCACGCCGGCGCCCACGCCGGCGCCGACGAGCTGCCGCTGCGTCGCGTACTACGGCGTCAACCGCGGCGTCGGCAACTTTGCGTTCCGCGACGACGGCCTCGTCTACGGCAGCCTGCCCGCGGTCAACCCGGCGTCGGAGCACTACGACCTCGCCTGGGCCGCCGGCGCCATGTGCACCGGCACGCCGACAGCGGGCGGCACGTGTCCGGACTTTTCTACCTATGCCGACTCGGAGAAGTCGGCCGCGAACTGCCCCGCCGGCTGCAACTACTACGCGCCGCTCACGGACGGCTTCAACTGGGACGACTACCTGGCGGCGCGGGAGCACTTCTCCACGATAGCCACGAAGCAACAGGGCGCGGCCTCCTTCGCCGCGAAGAACGACTACGCGCCGCTGGGACCGGGCGCCGCTGGGAAGAACGGCGTGACTGCGAACACTGGGAACATCACCGCGGCAGAGAGCGCGCTGCTGGACGGGGGATCGACCCCCCCCAACAAGTACAACTACAACATCACGGACATGGACAAGCGGTGCATCTACCGCATGGAACCGGAGCCGTCGGCCGCGCCGACGCCCAAGCCGTCCATCCCGCCGGGCGCGCCGGCGCCGACGCCCGCGCCGACGGTCACGCAGGCCGTCGTCGAGGTCTCGGCCGCGGTCGTGCTCACGGGCATCGACCCCACCGACTTCAACTCCGACCCGCAGCAGGTCGAGGCCTTCGCGCAAACGATCCTCGCGACCCTGCCCGCGGCGCTCGCGGGCGCCGAGGTCACGGACATCCGAGCCAAGTCCGCGCGTCGGCGGCGACTCCAAGCGGGCAGCGTCGAAGTCGAGTACACGATCGTCGTCCGACAGGACGCGGCTACCGTGTCAGACGGCGGCCAGAGCATCTTCAGCGACATTACGACGTCGCTTTCCGCGGCCGTGTCGAGCGGCGAGTTCCTCCAGACGCTCATCGAAGAGGCGGCCGCGGCGGGCGGGTCCGCCGCGATGGCGTTCATGACGATCGACGTCGACGTGACGGCGTCGACCGCGGCGATCAGTTCGGCGACCCTGACGCTCGTCATCACGACGCCGGCCCCCGTGGTGGCGACGCCGGCCCCCGTGGTGGCCCCGGCCGCCGCCGCCGCCGGCGGCGGCGGCGGCGGCGGCGGCGGCGGCGGCGGCAGCGACGGCGGCCTGCTGATCATCATCATCGTGGTCGTCGTCGTCGTCGTCATCGGCGGCGGCGCGGCGGCTTTCTTGGTGATGAAGAAGGGAGGCCGAGGCGCCGCCAAGATCGAGGCGTCCCCGCACAACTAGCCCCTGAACATATCCCCCCCCCGTCGTAAACAATCGATTCACTATCGCGTCGACGTCGACAAACAATCGAGTCCTAGCACCCGGGCCGAATAGTTTTAGTCCATACGAGGCGCCGCGAGTCCCGTCTCCCACCGCACGTCCCGCAGCCCCACGTTCGACACCTCCGCGCCCGCGCCGCCGCCCGCCCGGAGACATTCGACGGCGACGGCCTTCAGCTTGCCCATCAGCCGCCGCGCGTCCTCGACGGACAAGGCCCCCGCGAACGCGGCGTCGGGCGCCGCGACGTAGTCCGCCACGCGCAGCCCGCGCGCGTACCAACCGAAGTCGCCGGACGCGTCGCCGGCCCGCCGCGCGTGATCTAAAGCCACCTCGGCGAGGTACGCGGCGGCGGCGCCCGCGAGCGGCGCGTCCGCGCCCCGCAGCCAGCCCTCGTCGACGGCCGCGCCCTTCTCCGCCAGCGCCCGGCGCGTCTCGAGCACCGCCTCGCTCCGCCACCGGATCTCTACGTCGCCGCCGGCCACGCGCGGAAACTGCAGCGCGGCAACGACGCGAGCGTGGGCGTCCTCCGTCAGTTCCTCGGCCGCGGCGACGGCCGTCCGCGCGCAGCGCCAGCCGAGGTGGGCCTCGACGGCCGCCGCGGCGCCGTCGTCGCCGTGCCTTGCTAGTGAATGCGCGTCGTCCAGCGCTTGATCGCTCACCGCTTCCAGGATCGCGTCCGCGCAGGCCCACGCGCCCCCGTCGAAGGCCTGGCCGCCGTGGCCCGCCAACAAGGCGTTCGCGGCCCGGACGAGCTCCAGGGGCTTCGGCTTCAACAAGCGCAGCGCGGCCACGCGCAGCGCGTCGCCATCACTGACGCCGCGCACCGCGTCCGCCGCCGGGAGCGGCCGCTTCTCGAGAAATGAATCGGCGTCGTCGAAGACACGCGCGACGGCTAACCTACAAGCCTTGGCAGCGTCGCGCGGCCCCAGGCTCGCGTCCAGCGCGGCGCGCGTCGCCGTGACCTCGTCCTCGCCCCGCGCGAGCGCCGCGACCGCCGCCCCGGCGTCGACGCGCAGCGAGTCCTCGTGGATGAGTCCCGCGTACGTCGGCGCGAGCCCACAGTGGCCCGCGTCGCAGAGGCGCTGCGCTTCGCCCCTCAACACGGCGTCGCACGCCCGGTCCGCGTTTGGGTCGTCTCCATAAATCCGGCGCCACACGAGGGCCAGGGGCGCGGCAACCGCCCCGTCGAGCGACTCAAGCGCCTCAGGGATGGCCCGCGCGCCGGCCGCAGCCAGCGCCGCCGCCGCCGCCTGCGTCGCGGAGCCGGCCAGGCGCAGGACGGCGGGCAGGCCGCCCGCGGGCTTCAGGTCCCGCGATGGATCCGTCGGCGCGTCGTCGAGGGCCGCGGGCGCCGTCGCGTCGGCGGCGTCGGCGTCGCGCGCCGCGCTGCACGCCAGCGCGGCCCAGGCCCGGTCCTCCCAGGCGGCGCCGTCGCCGAGGGCCCGCTCGACGATGGACGCGTCGCCGGCCAAGGCCCCGAACACGGCCGCCTCGTGCGCCGCGGCGTCGCCCAGCTCGCGCGCGGCCCTGCGCGCGTCCGCCGCGCGGTCGTCCGTGGCCACGCGGCGCACGCCGTCGGCGACGGCCTCCCCATGGAGCCGCAGCGCCTCGCAGCTCTCGAGCGCGGCGGCCGCGCGCTCCCGACAAATATCCCGCCAGAGCCGCAGCCGCCGGTTGCCGCCCCGCACGAAGCCCGCGCAGCCCCAGGGCGCGCCGCCCCGCAGCGCGACCGCGCGCCAGGCCCCCGTCGCGCAGGCCTCGTTCAGGTCCGCGGCGGCCTCGAGCCGCCCCGCCCGGACGAGGCGCCACGTCGCGACGCAGCGGCCCCGCTCCGCGGCCGCCGCGCGGCAGGCCTCGGCCGTCGCCGCGCGCGCGGCGGCGGCGGCGTCGCCGCGCGCCAGCCGCGCGATGCAGCCCTCGACGCAGTCCGCGTCCTCCAGCGCCTGGCGCGACGCGCCGCCCTCGGCGAAGTAGCGCACCTGGTCCTTGGCGCCGTCCTCGAGCCACGCCCGCGCGGCGGCCTCGCGCCGCGCGCGCGCCGTCCGCTGCGTGGCCTCGTAGGCGCTCCAGGCCGTGGACCTCGGGCCGTCGTCGTCCATCTCCGGGCGGTCGTGCTCCAGCAGCCCGGCGGCGGCCAGCTTCGCCGCGGCCGCGTACAAATCTCGAGCTTGCCGGTCGCGGTCGTCGCCCGTCTCGAGGCGCCGCGCCTCGGCGCGCTGGGCCGCCGCCGCGAGCCAGGCGTCCAAGGGCCGCGCCGCGTCGAGGAGGTCCGGCAGGGCCCTCGCCTCGGCCGCGGGCCCGCCGTCGATCGCCTGCGGCGGCGCCGCCGGCAGCGCGAGGGGTTCCGGTGGGTCCGTGTCCATGGCCTGAGCCAGGCGGTCGCAGGCCTTCGCGAGGGCGTCGCGGGCGGCCATTTTCGTTGTGAGTTCCTGTTGTGTGAGCGCGGCGAGCCCACAAAGTGCGCCAACTAGCTCGCTCTGCGCTCGCTCTGCGCGGGACAGCTGCGGAGCTGTTTCTTTGGACCAAAAAGCGGTCTACCCGTGTCTCCCGCAATTTCTAATGCGAACAGCAGCGTGTTTTTGCCGTCCCGCCGCGATTTGCTAGTGTACACACGCTAGCGAACGGGTTTTCAGGTTTTCGACTACTACAGATACTAATTAACCATCTCCCGCAAGAAGCGCCTCGGCCTCCAGCGCCAGCGCCCCCTCGAAGCCCAGGCCCACGGACTTCTCGGCCAAAGCAAGCAGCGCCGCGGCCCGGTCGCGGTGCGTCGAGAGCTGCGCCGCCGCCTCGGCGGCGTCGTCGCCGTCCAATTTGGCCAGGCGCCCGAGAATCGCGTCGACGTCGCCGTCGACAAAAGCGGCGTCGCCCAGTTCAAGAAACGCCGCCGCCGCTACTTCGCCCTCTTCATTCAACAGCGCGCGGCTCGCCTGCTCGCGATCATCCAGATGCGCCTGGATCGCGACGCGCGCCGCCGCCGCGTCGGAGGCCTGGTCGGCGACGTCCGCGAGCTCCTCGGCGAGGTTTTGTAAAGCGTGGTCCGTCACGACGTGCGTCGCCAGGCCGCAGGCCTTGAGGGCCGTCCCGCGCACGGGCAGGCCCGACACTAGAGCTGCCCGCCCGTAGTTGCCTGTTCTTGAACAGGCGAACGCCGCGCCGCCGTCGAGCGTCACGCCGGCTTCGACGGCCGCCGCACCCAACGGCGGCACGAAGACGGCGCCGTCGCCGCAGACGCGGAAGCCCCTCCCCCCAAGCCCGACGCCGCCCGGCAATAACAGGCCGTCGACGAGCTGCGTTATTGGGGCGTCGCAAGCCGCCGCCGCTCTGTATAGTGACGCGCGGTCGCCGGTGCGGAACGCGCCCTGCACGCCCTCTATGACCACAGCCTTGACGAGGCTGTGCGCGGACCACCTCCGCAGCAATTTCGTGAGCTCTTCGCACGCGCCGTCGGCCTCGAAGGTGCTATGCCTCAAATAGACGCCGCGGCTGCCGACGCGCTCGCGCGCGTCGACGCTCGGTGCGACGTAGGGCGTGTTTATTGTTTTGAGCCGCGCGTCGCGCCGTTTCTGGATGGCCGCATTGCGCTGGGCCTTGACGCTGCTGCTGAGGCGGCGCGCGGCGCGGCGCAGCATGGCTTATCGCTCTGGTCCGAATCGATGCGTGCGCGCTTAGTCGGAGACGTGCTGAATGTGTCGCGTCGCTGTGCCTTTTGCAGCCACCCTGGCGAGGCGCAGGAGCTTGCAAAGAGCAGTTTTGTGAGGCAGGCTCACGCGACACCGACGAGATTACACAGCATTGGCGTAGCTCATCGGCTGCTTGAGACCATCAGCTGATAGCACACAAAAGCTCAGGCGTCACCCGCGTCGTCAACACCAGCAGCACCAGCCAGTCTCACTTGCAGCGCTCTTGGGTGACGCGACGCCGACGAACAGAGACACCCGTCGCTCTACTGCAGCAGCGTACAGGCGTCGACGCGCCGCCGCGACGACGCACAAATGGCCGACGCCACCAGCACGCGCAAGGACCGCCGCCGCGACTTCAAGAAGCGCGTCCTGCGGAGCGGCGACCAATTGGAACCGAAGCGCAAGAAGCGCGACCAGCCGCTCGTGCAAAACGAGGAGGAGGCCGCGGCGGCGAACGCCGCCAAGAAGAAAGCCGCGGCCGAAGCGAAACGACAAAAGGAAGAGCAGCAGCGCGCCCAGAAGGCGAGCGACGCCGTGGCCTACGTCCACGCCTGGAGGCTCCGGGAGACGACGCCCTGGCGCTTCCAGAAGGGCCTGCAGGAGTGGTGGTTGAAGAATTGGGGCTCGACGGCCGCCGTGGCCAAGGCCGACTTCGCGATATTTCTCTCGTACGCGCCCACGATCCAGGGCGGCGCGAAGGAGCGCCTGCGCGACGACGCGAAGAAGGCCGCCGCCGCCGACGTGCCGGAGACGGAGGGCGACGACGAGGACGCGGCGACGAAGGCAAAGCGGAAAAAAAGGATCCGCGCCCGGAAACTGGTCAAGGCGCTCGAACGATAGCGTCCGCGGCGGCGTCTGCCCTTTGGTGTGCCTTCGCTCGAGTGATGCCGGATCATAATCCAGAATCCTAGCGGCGGACCGTGGTAACAGCGGCCCGCCGCCGTGCGACGACCAGACCCGTGACGAGCTACGAATCAAATGAGAGGCTCGGATCCCCCACGCGCGACGCGGCTCATCGGTCCGGCGCACAGGTCCTGTTGCGTTTGAGTCGAGTAATCATCAAAATTCACAGTTACATCCTACCACCGTCTCACCTCTTTTTCGGGGTAGCCCGCGTCGCAGCGAAGGGCGTTGACCGAAGCCGCCTCGGCTTGAATCTCCAGGGAGATCGCTTCGTCCTGGAGCCGCTTGGCCGCGGCGGCGGCCGCCTCGTAAGCTTCCCTGAGCCGCGCGGCCTCGGCCTGCGCGTCGGCTGCGCGCTGCGCCGCCTCGTCCGCGACGAGCGCCGCGCGGGTCGCGTCCCTCCCGCGGCACGTCCGGTGGCAGAACTTGCGCATGAAGCCGTCGTTCCGCTCGCATTCGCCCGCGTCGCCCCAGGCGCCGCAGTCGCCGTGCCAGTCCTGGCACTTGGGCGCCGCGCGGATCACGAACGGGTTCGCGTCCGAGTCGACGTGCTGCCAATTCAGACACGACTCTTTGGTGAGCGGCCCGCCCGCGCGGACGTCGCGCACCGCGAACAAATGGGACACGTAGGCGTTCCGTTCTAGTGAAGCGCCCGGCGCCACGTCCATGGGATCCTTCGCGTGGCCGCCGTGGACCCACCACGTCCGGATCGTGTGGGGCGAGTCGTTCTCGAAGCGCACGCGCGTCTGCAGCTTCGGCCAGAGCCATTCCTCCAAAGATTGCCGCGTCGGCCGGCGGAGCACGTCCATCTCGCCAAACAGGTCCGTGCCGTTGCCCGCAAAGACGACCTGGGGGCAGCCCCGCCGCACGTCGAGATTTAACTTCTTCGCGATTCTTGATAATTGGCCGTCCGCGTCCGTTAACCGGGTCTTGGCTGTTTGCAAAACGTCCTCCCACCAGATGCCGTGGGGGTCCAGCTTGTCCGCGAAGGGGTAGGGGAACCGCGTTATGTATGTTAGATAGTCCTCGCACTCGCCCTCGTCGTAGAGCGCCAAAACAAAATGCCGGTCCACCTTCCCATCGACACCCAACGCGGCGTCCTCCAGATGTTTCCTTGAGCGCACGTTGAGCACTCTTGCTGCTGCTCTTTCTTCTTCTTCTGTCAGTGGAGCGTGCTTCTTCTGCGTTCGTCTCTTGTACGTTTTTGTGGTCGGTCGCTGGTACGTCCCGCGACTATCAAAATCTCGCCGCGCGTTCTCGTCCGTCAGCAACTCAAAGGCCGCCGCCACCTCCAGGAACCGGTCGCGCATCTCGGCCTCGCGGCCGGGCCTGGCCTTGTCGGGATGCGTTTCTCTGGCTTTCGCGCGATACGCGTTCCTAATTTCCTGGACCGTGGCGCGGCGGTGGACGCCGAGGATGTCGTAGGGGCTGGAGGAGAGCTGCACGCCCTGGGGCTTGTTGCGCTGGGCGACCGCCATCGTGAGGAGCCATAGGGCTGCCCGCATGGTTTTTTGGTGGGCAGCCCCGGGACCAGTTATCGCTGCGATGGCGTGCGGCCCGGGCTGTACTGTTGCCGGTAGACCTCCGAATCACTCTCGGTGGCCGGCAGGCTGCCCCGGCGCCCGCAGCCACAGCGCTTCGATTATTATCTTGGTTTGCTAGTGGGCTTACCGGACGCTAGCTTTATTTTTACCTCTGACAACACCCTCGAAACTCCTCGAGTACTCGACGTAGACGGCGCTTGCACACCTAACGCCAATAGTCGTTGGTGGCAGTACATCCGCGTACGCCGTCGTGCCAAGCCTTTTGCAAAGAACAGCTTTGCGCCAGCGACAGCTGCAAGAGCAGTGGCGTGACGCAGGCTGCCAGCAGTCCGGTAGAATTCAGACTTCGCTCACTAACGAACAAACGACAACACGCAAAGGTCTAATAGGCATGAATCGGCAACGGATACTACTCCTCGCAGCCGCCTATGCATCACACGCATTGCAATCACCGTCATCACGCATTGTGCACCACCGCGGCGCCGTCCGGCAGCTAGCAACGCCAGTCGTCGACGCGGCCGAGGCGCCAGCGGCCGACATGTCCGACGCCTCTGCCGCAGCGCTCATCGCGGGCACGACCGTAGGCGCCGGCGTGCTCGCGTTGCCCGCGGCCACGGCCGGTGCTGGATTCGCGGCGTCGACGGGAGTTTTATGCTGCTCGTGGGTTTTCATGGCGGCGGCCGGTCTGCTCGTCGCAGAGGCTGCCGCGGCGGCCTCACGACGCACGGGTGAGGCCGACGTCGGCTTCCTGGCCACCGTCCGCGAACTGTTGGGCGACGATGTGTCACGCGTGACCGGAGCGACCTACGCGTTCCTGCACTACGCGCTGCTCGTGGCCTACGCTGCCCAAGGTGGTGGCTTACTTGCGGGCGCCGTCGGCGCGCCCGCGGCCGCCGGTGCCCTGGTCTTCGGCGCTGGCGTGGGTGGAGGCGTGGCCTTCGGTCCTCCCAAACTCGTCGACAAGGCCAACGACGCCTTCTGCGCGGTGGTGGCGGCGTCGTTCGTCACGCTACTCGTCGTGGGAGCTGGTGCGTTCGACGCGGGCCGGCTCATGTCGACGGCGCCCGACGCCAAGGCCGCTTTCGAGGCCGTTCCTATTTCTATCCTGTCGTTGGTCTATCACAACGTGATCCCCACGGTGAGTCGGCGACTGGGCTTTGATCGTGCTCGCATCGCGCGGGCGGTGCTACTGGGCTCGGCGTTCCCGCTAGTGATGTTTATCGCGTGGAACGCACTTGTACAAGGCGTCGTCGACGCCGGCAGCAGCGCGGATCCGGTCGCGGCGCTTATTGCTGCGGAGTCGGGGGAGGCTGGTGCCGAGCTCTCGGTCGCGGTGCAGATTTTTTCGTTCTCGGCCGTGGTCACCAGCTTCGTGGGATTTTACTACGGCATGCGGGGCTACGTGAAAGACGTCCTGGTCGAGAGTTCAGCGAGTGGCCTGGCCGACGACGAGCGCGTCCTCGCCGCGGCGGTCCTTGTGCCGCCGTCTATTCTTGCAGCGACGGACCCGGGACTGTTTTTACCCGCCCTTGACGCCGCCGGAACGTTCGGTATCACTTTACTTTTTGGTATCATACCGGCGGCGTGCGCCTGGCGGCTGAGAAAAGACGAAAACTCCGAGATTTTCGTCCCCGGTGGGGCCGCCGTCCTCGCGGCGATGGTCGCGCTCTCGGCGTTTGTTATTGGCGAGGGTGCGCTGGACGCATTGGGGCTCATCTGATGATCGGCATGTGTTCTTCGCTCGTGTAATCTTGTAGTCTAGTCGTTTTTCCTTCGATTCCGCGCTTTCTCGCGGGTTTTGCTGACTTTGCCGCAGCGGTTTTGGAGCCATAGCCGCTCACCACTCATTAATTCTCAGAGCGAGATAAGAATATCTCGCGAACTGTCACGCGCGGCAGCACTCCGCGGTCGTAAGGCCCCCCCCTGTATTGCTCATAACCAATAAGTGGGCCCTCACCACGTATTTACCAGTGCATAAATCAACTTGTGGCCGAGCGTGCTAAATCATGGCCTCCACGCCATCATCGCGCACCCGACTCACTGGTTGATTTGCGCACAGGTATTTACTGGCCTCATCCCCTTCTTCGGCCAGATGAACAGTCTCATCGGCGCGGTCTTCGATCCTCTGCTATGTTTTGTCTTACCGTCGATCATGCTCTATAAGAGCGGGCTGCCGATGACGCCTATCGACAAGGCCGGCGCGCTCTTCTACGTCTTCGTCGTCGGTGTGTTCGCGTGGGGTCCCGGTACGGGCGTCGCGATTTACTCGATCGCGGAGTCGAGCGACGACGTCGGCGGGCCGTTCTCGTGCCAGTGCATCGCGAAGCAGTGTTCTACTTGAGCATGCAGATATCTCCAAGTTCTTGTACATAGATCGAGTAATCAGTGCATCCTAGTGTCTTATAGGCCGCTAGCCCTCGTAATTATTCTCGACAAAAAACGCAAAGCGCAGTAAAACCGCAGCGCAGGCGTTGCCGAGGCAAAAACGTCTGATAACCGCTGCGCAGGTGCTCTCTGCTGCATCGCAACCATGGAGCAAACCGACCTCATGGCAGAGCTCTCGAAGGCCTGGCAGTCGGTACCTTATTTGAGCCTGGCTTTGATCGTCAGCGCCTGGACCATAGGAGTGTTTGGGCTGTCAATTTTATTGGACGATTGCGGCGCGGAGGGCGAAAGCGCGGCGGACGCCATCACGAAGCTTGCGCGACGCCGCGAGTTCATGAAGAGCCACGTCGTCTGATGCGCCTCGAGCTCGTCGAGACGCAGCGCTACGCGGTCCTCTCTCAGCGCGCGACGCGGCAGCGCTGGTTCGGGAGGTCCGTGGCCGCTTTCACGGTAAACTCACCCCGAGTAGATTATGGCGACGCCGCGCTGCGAGCGCTCATGGAGCCGCACCTCCGGAAAATGCGCGCCGCCCGGCCGACCACTGACAGCAGCATGACGGCGCGTATCCTGCGATACGACGCCGACCGCTACAAGCTCGCCGAGTCGCTCCGTGACACGCTCGGCGTAGGAAGCCTCGAGGCCTGCGCCTGCGCCGACGCTCATGCAAAACGGGCATTGCTGGCGCCGCTCCTCGATCCCGCTACGCGCCGGCCGTTTCAGCGGGCCTACGACGCCTGGATCCGCGGCGTCGTGCTGCCTGAAATTGCGGCGGACGCGACTCGCGTGCGGTACCAGCAATTTCCCTGCGTGCGGGCGCAATGTCCCGGCGACATGACGCTCGGGCCGCACTGCGACGCGGCGTATGGGCATTCTCCCTCTACACTGATCGTCTCGTGTCTCCTCACGCCGGCATACGGCACGAACGCGCTGATCTACGAGTCGAGCCCGGGCCGCGAAAATTGGACGGCCTTCGAAGGCTCTGAAGGTGCGGCACTCGCCTTCCCCGGAGGTCTCGCAGCGCATTTCACCTCGGAGAACACGACGGGCCGGGCGCGGTGGTCCATCGACGCGCGCGTGCTGGTGGACGACGCGACGTCGGCCTACGACGCGGGGTCCTACTTCGCGGTCGCGGAGCGCGTCGGCGGCGCCTGGCGGCGCGTCGGGGACGAGATTGCCGCCGTCGACCCCCGTGTCGGTATTCCATTTGATCGAACGTAACTGTTGTGTCAACATACATTACTCTATTCGCGCGATGAGGTCGCGCGTCGAGTTGCGGAAGTGCTCCAGCGCTCGCACGGCTCGGTTAACCTGCGCAACTTGCTGCTCATTCAGGCCGGGCGGGAGGCCCGGCCAGGACGCCATGGCCCCGTCGAACGACCCGAGGGCATCGCGGAGCCCCGCCGCGAGGGCGGCTTCCGACGCGTCGCCTTCGTCCCCGGCGGCGGCCGCCGCGACGCGCGCGCGGACGCACGTCGGCAGTTGGTTGCAGAGCGTCGCCACGTCCTCCGCGTCGGCGCCGGCAGCGAGGTAGCGTGCCAGCGCGCGGCTCAGGACGACGTCGGCGTAGGCAGAGTGGTACTGGTGATTCGGGCTGCTTGCCGCCGCCTTCGCAAACGACGAGGCGGCCGCGTCGAGGTCCCCGGCGGTGAGTTCCTTGTCGCCACGCGCGAACCAGGCGGCGCCTACAGTCGCCGCGTCAGCCCGTCGTCCCGGCGACTGCGTCTGCTCGACGGCGTCTAGAGATGCTTCCCGCCAGGCGTATCCGACGGCGGCGACGGCCACAGCAGCCGCCACGGCCGCCGCGCGGAGCCAGGACGGACCTCGGCGGCGCCGCGCCGCGAGCGCCTCCGCGAGCGCGTCGTCGTCGTCGGTTCGGCGGCGGGGCGGCGGCCGCCGGCGCTGTGGCGGGGCCTTGTGGTGCGGGCGCCGTCGCTGCGCGACCAGCGGCGACCTCGGCCGCGCCCCCGCGCGCGGCGACGCCGGCGGCGACACGGAGAGCGCGTCGAAGCGTCCCGGCGTGGTCGACACGACGGAAGGCCTTGGAGCGTCCTGCTCACGGCACCGCTCGCGCCCGCCCGGCAGCGACGGCCCGGGCCGGCAGGCGTCGCCCGTCTCCTTCGCTGGCGCTGGCGCGGCCACGGGCTCTGGAACGGGCGCCGGTGCGGGCGCCTCGACCGGCGCGGCGGGCGCAGGCGAGGCCGCGTCGCCGCCGCCGCAGCCGCAGGGGACGCGCCGCCCGTCCCACGCGTCTAATAACGTCGCCGCGGCGTCGCCGTTCGCGCGCAGCGTCGCCACCAGTCCATCTCCCGAGAAGAGGCTCCCGTCGCCGAATCCCGTCGTCCTCAAACGGTCACACAAACCCTCCAGCGTCACCTCGACGCCCTCGTCGCCCGGCCAGACGGGCTTGTCCGAGCACACGCACTCGGCACAGCCGCAGCCGCAGCGGTAGCGTCGGACCGACTTCCCGTCGACCACCTCCCTTACTAATCTCGTGAGCGAGTCCGCGCCCGGCGCCGGCGCCGGCGCGGCGGCGCTCACCGTCGCGTGGCCGACGGCCCCGAGCGCCTGATCAATCACGTGCAGTTCGACGGGCCGCAGGAACTCAAAACTACACGTCTGCTTGCGGAAGTTGGCGCTCACGGCCTCGATCACGGCGACCTGTTCCAGGGCGCGTTGCGCGACGGCGACGCAGCCGCTACACTTCACATCACCCACAATCACTTTGTCAATTACAGGCATGGGATTAACACGAAACGAGTTCGCAGTCACCGTAGGGGTGTTAGAAGTTGTACTGGCACAAGTTATTTGAAACCGTTCGCTGCTAGCGGCAGCGTTTGTCAGCTGCCAAGACCAAGCACGCTCCCAAAACCCTGGAAAACCTAGTGCGTCTACACTAAGCTTATGATACACATACTCACACAAGAGCGTGCTGTCGCCACTTGACCAACTCCATCTCCCACGTGTGCCGCCGCGCGACGGCCGCCTTCCGGATCGGCGGCGGCGGCGCCGCGACCGTCGCCTTCGACGATGCCGGTCGTTGTGACATCGACCTCTTAACGCGACGGAAGGCCGCCCGCGCGCCGTCGAAGAATCGGTCGCTACTTGTCTGGTGCACGGCCTCCCAGTGACTCTGGAGGACTTCCTGAGTCGGAGCCCGCATAAAGCACGCTGGGCATACAAATCCCTCTATCACCGTCTCGGACGGCGGCGCCGCGGGCAGCGACCGGTGCCGGCCGCGTCCGCCTCTTCCGAAGCGCGACGACGCCGGGACGGCTTGCGGCGGCGGCGGGCGCTCCGGCGAGCCGAGCTCCGCGCCCGGCGCCTCCTCGGTGCTCGGTATCCGCGCAGCGAGTCGCTCCGGCGAAACGACCGTGAGGAGCTCGGCAATCGTCGGCGCCTCCTCGAGCGGCGTGGTGGGCTCCCGCGGCGGCGTGAGCGGTTCTTCTTCCTCCGGGGCCTCGTGGATCGTCGCGATCGCGCGCGGCGACGACGATGCGCTCGACACGTCCTCGTCGGTCGAGCGTTGCGCGAGGGCGCGCAGTTGATCGCCCTCGGCCCGCGCCGCCTGGAGGCGCTTCCACAAGTTTTCTCGCTCGACTTCCTGCCGCTCGAGGTCTTCGGTGATGGCGGAGTTGCGCAGCTTGAAGCTGGCGATGTTGAGGCCTACTGGGGGCGATCGGTCGGCCATATTTTTTCTGGGTATAAGGCGCCGCCGAGCACTTTACAATTTGATTGCTGTTTTGCTCTCCGAAACTTTCGAGCCGAGCACGCCGCGATCGTTACGCCAGGGGCTGTGAGATCGTCCTGAGGGCAAGTACGCGTCGAAATTTCGTACGTTTTCACGGTCACCGGCCGCCACAAAGCGCTGATGCGATGTGAAAACCCGTGCACTAGGTACTAAGAAAGGCAAGTCTAGATTACAAACAGGGCAGTCAACGGCGCGGGGTAAAGGTTGGTGTGAGAGTGGGGTGTGGCGCCGGACCGTGGGTCGAATTGTGTCAAAAATTTCTCAGGAGCCTGTCATGTCCGCCGACGCCTCGAGCTCCTCCAGGCTGCGCCCGCTGTGCGCCACCATCGAACGCCGCAGTTCGATGGCCGACGCGCGCACCCGGTCCCGCGCCGTCGCCGGCCGCGGGTACACGCGAGAAATCGCCGGCTGCTTGCAGAGAGGACAAGTGTTGCGCTGCTTCAGCCACGGGTGTAAACAGTCCGCATGAAACAAGTGGAGGCAGTCCGGCAACCTTACCACGTCGTCGTCCTCGAGTGCATCGAGGCAGATGGCGCAGACCTCGTCCGCACTTTCTTCGGGCGCGGGTTCGGCCGTCTCCATCAGCTGGGTTATTGAACTCTCGTAGGCCTCGGCTACTCTCCTAACAACATCAGCGTTGCGCGTGACTCGTGTTGGGGGAGGTGCCTGCACGGCCTCATTCAAGGCGCGCCTCCTCCGGAAGTAGCGGAACGCCCTACGGTACGCCCTCCGAAAGATCGACGCGCGCGGCGTCGACCGAGGCACGGGCGGCCCGTCCTCGGTCGCCCACCTTGCCAATCTTCGTTGCCGTTGTTCGGGCGTGTCCGGCTGAGTCGCCTGGGGGTGCTCCAAATGATCCTCAACTAACACTTCCAAATCCGCCCTAGCTAGTCTCGAGTAGGGCGTCGGCCCGAAGTCCAACGGTTGATGCGGCCCCCGCCGGGAATTGCGCTGCGTCGCGCAGATAATCAGGCACAGCGAAGTAGCCACGAGCTCCGCGGCCACGAAGGCAGCGAGCCAGGGGTGCTGTTTTATCGACCGCGCGAAGCCCGACTTCCTCCTTTTTTCGTCATGTTTTTCTTCCGGCTCTGAGCAGGCCGTCGCGTTCCCGAAGCACACGCCGCACGCGTCCTCGGCTTCGTTGAAACCTTCACAAATGCCGCAGCGGTCGACTCTCGCGTTGCCGTAGCACCCTCCGGCACAGTCTGGGAGGCAACAAACTGTGGCATTACCTAACGAGCCTTCGAAGGCGTCGCCTGAGCATTGGCCGAGGCAGTCCGTGGTCGTAATGTCGCAGCAGTTCGCGTTGCTGTCCTCGAATATGTTGACAGAGCAGGTCCCGTCGCAGGCTTGGACGACGAAGGCATTGTTTATATCACATGCGTTATCGCATTCTGAACGGCCGCACCAGTCGCACGTCGCATTTCCGTCTATTGTCAATTCGGTCGAGAGGACGAGGCGCCGCTCATTTGCAACAGAGGTGGCTTCGCCGCCGTCGCCGACACCGTCGTCATCATCATTGCTCGGCGACGCGTAGCGCAGCTCGATTGCATATGAACCCTCCGTTGGCGGCGCCTCGCACGTGATCGTAGCGGGCCCATCAGGACCATCGTCAAAAGTGAACTGAGCCGGCGAGCTGAAGCCTCCGCTGAAGGCGCAGCGCCACGCGAAGGCAGCTTCGCCCGAGCAGCCGAAAAACGGGGCCCGCAGCGTTATCATGGACGCTACGGACTCGACGCAAAAATCCTCGGGCACGGGACATAGCGTGACCTTCGTCATTGCTAGTGGTGCAGCGCCGGCGTAGGCGCCTTCGCCTAACGTGCCCCACGCTTCTGCACGTTTCAATTGCTCGTCCGTCGCGGCGACTCTTTCTGAACCGTCGAACCGCAGCCCGACGACCAACAAATCCGGTTCCTCATTCATGACCTCCTCGTGGATTATAGTGAGCCTTCCATCCTCAAAGACCTCGACGCCGACTGTGGCGCGTAAATCCGCTCTTCCATACAACGAGACGTTGCGCCATCGCACAGCTAAAGCGCCGTCGTCCGTGGCGGCGTAGATCGCCGCATTATCATGACCCGGATTCAAGTCCGCGGCGTAGGCCGCCAGCACGCCGCGCCAGTCGTTTTCTGTCTCGAGCGAGCACTGGTCCGTCGCAAAAAAACCGCTGCAGGGCGGTGCTGGGGAGAAGAATAAGGCGCCGTTCGGGTTCGCCCAGGCGTGATTTCTACGTCTTCCTAGGACCGGGGCCGTGCCGTCGACGTGCGCCATGGGCGTGTCGTCAACATCACTACTCGCGAGGCGCGTCCACGCTTTCGTGGCCCAACCGTCGGTCCAGGGGTCCGTTCTTACTAGATAGCGTACGCGCGGCGACGCCGTCGCGAGGCGGCGATGGTCCGGCAAGTGCCGGGCAGGCGGTTCTTGGCCCGGTTCCAAGCGCCGGGCGCCGGCCAGAGCGACTGCAACTATTAACAGACGCATGTTTACTGGGCTATGGCAGCATTTTACGGGACTATGGTACGGAGTCACTCTTTGCAACACTAGTGCCGGTAAGCCGCTAGCAATTATTTTATGCTCTTAAGCAAAAGCGCTGGATTAGACTGTTGAACTTGTCGTGGGAGTTTTCGGGCAGTGCGCCTGATCAGCTCTCTTCGACCTGCACACGGTTTTCGACCGCTGGGGACGCTCTGCTGCCAGCTAGAGGCTGCAGCCAGGCGCACCCCAGCCAGCCCCAGCCGTCGAAGCGCAGCCGTCGACGCCGTGAACGACCAGCAGCCATGGCCAACAAAGAGCCCTGGGCCGCCTCCCTCCTCGTCGCCCTCGCCGGCCTCACGCTCGCGGCCCGGCCGGACCTCCGCCTGCCGATCTGTCTCTTATTGATCGCGGCATTACTTTCGCCGCCCGGCGTCGCTTCAATAGTAGATGTCCATGCGAACTTCATGGGTGCCACGCTCGAGCGACGACGAGTGCACATGGCGTTCCGCGACATTATGCGCGGCGGCATGGGAGATGCCATCACAGATGAAAAAGTGAAGCAGGCCCTCAACGCCAACATCAAGGAGGCCGTGGCGGACGCGCTGCGGGACCCCGAGTTCACGCTGATCGCGCGCGAGACGGTCAAGGACGCGCTGCGGGACCGCGACGTCCACCGCGCGGCGCTCGAGGGCGCCATGGGCAACCTGAGCGTGAAGCTCAACCCGTTTCGACGGAGCAACGACGACGCGGCGTCGCCGCGGGGGCGGGCGGACTCCGACGGCGCGCGGTCGCCGCCGCCGCCGGCGTAGGCGTCCTTTGTGGATAAGCTGTACCTGTGCACTACCTTACCTTTGCCGAGCATAGTCGTGTGGACATCGCCTCCGCCGGTTCGTCGGCGCCGGTTGCGCAGAGGCCGGCTCGCGGCGCGCGGTCGCCATTCCGACGGGCAACGTCGGCGAGGCGTCCGCGCAAGGCTGCCCCCGTGACGACGAGGGCGCTAAAATATTGCGCCGATGTTTGAACCAACGGACCATGCTCTCTGGCCAAATTCTGGCTTCTCGGGCTGCCATTGACGCCGATTCACCGCCGCATTGGGAATCGACGCGCGTGCCGAAGCCTCCTGAGCTCGCCCGGCCTGCGGCTCCCCCGGAAAATCGAGGCGGCGGCGCTCGCGCTGCCCCACCCCGCAGGACCTTGTCTCAAGGGCAGCACGCCGTACCTAGACGCGCGTGCTGCCCCCAAGACCATGATGCGCCTCCTCGCCACGGCCACGGCCGCACATGCCCTGCTCTTCAGCCCGACGCCCGGCGTCCTCGTGCTCAGTCCGGCGCTGACGGGGCCGCGGACGACCTTCTCCGTCGGGCCCCACGCGGGCGAGTCGTACGAGCGCGTGTGGAGGGAAGATCCCCAGTTCTGCGTCTGGGCCTTGGAACAGCCCGCGCCGCGGGCGGAACTCGAGGACTTCCAAACTTGGTTACGGTCTGTGTGGAAATCAACCAGTGTGTCGGGTGCACCGATAATTCTCCACTAAGTCATTTCTTGACGATGACGCGGCCGTGCTGGCTCCGTCGAGCGGTGAGAGACCCACACCGCCACGCCATCGAGCAGGTGTCGCGTCGATGGCGTGGAGGACGGCGCGTCGTAAAACTTTGATTTCCACACAGGTTACGGTCGAAGAGCAAGGCCCGGCGCGCCCCGGTCAAGCTCACGATGCGACGCCCGAAGCCCATCGTGCCGACGCCCGTGTCCTACCCCGACACGCTGGAGCCCGACGTGGTCCTCCAGCACCAGGAGGTGCCCGTCGTGCACCAAACGATGAAAGTCGCCGCAAGGATCCTGAAGTGGACCGCGAGCCTCGTGGCCCTGCTCCTCACGCGCGTCCTCGTCGGGACCTGCGCGCGCGCCGTCCGCGCCGCGCTCGCCGCGGCCGACCGCGCGTGATGTTGATACCCCTGGCGGGCCAAGAAGGCCCGCGTAGCCCTCCGTCGTAATGCCCTCTTAACTTTACCCGCGCAGCGACGCCGCCACGGAGGGGAGCCACGTGGACTTACTGCAAAGAGCGATCGGCGTCGTGCGCGCGTCAACCGAAGGCTATCAGAACAAATTGATAATGAAGCTCCTCTTGCGTGCCCTCCAGGTCCGTCGCCATGTTGGGCAGCCCCCGCTTGCAAGCGCGACTTGCGAATCCTTTCTCCAAGGGATCCCTAGTGTCTTACAGGCCGCTAGCGGTCTCTCGTTCGGCCGATGAATCGGCGACGCGCGGTGTCTCCCCCCCAGGGGCTCCGCCCACTAGTCCTAGCACCGTAACATCGACTCCTCTCGTTCGGGGTCCGTACTACCTGGGGGTGGGTTCAATAAGCGACTCTCTCTCTCTCTCTCTCTCTCTCTCTCTCTCTCTCTCTCTCTCTCTCTCTCTCTCTCTCTCTCTCTCTCTCTCTCTCTCTCTCTCTCTCTCTCTCTCTCTCTCTCTCTCTCTCTCTCTCTCGTCTCAAGATCCCTGGGGACGTAGAGCGGCACTCTTCCCCGCCACCGAGATTGGTGTCTACCCACGCTCCGCGCCATCGAGCAGGGCCGTGTCGACGGCGCGGGGCTCGACGCGAGTGGAACCTTGACGCCATCGACGCGAATTACTAATGTCAGCTTTACCCCCAGGAAGAACAGCCCTACTTGCGCAGCGCGCGGCGGTCGGCGCGCGTCTGCGCGTGGAAGCCGGCCCGGATCGGCGTCACGCTCCGCGACGACCCGCAGTTCTGGCAGTGCAGGAAATACAACCGGGACGTGGGGTCGCGCGTCAGCGACGTCTGCGGGCTTCGACACATCTGGCAGGTCACGTACTCGACGATGTACTTTCTTAACAGTGATTCAATGTACTTCGGCATGTACTTGCCCTTGATGATCAGGCGCTGCGTGCCGTCGATGGACCCGTCCGTGCCGAGCTCCGCCATAAAGTACTGAAAAACGTGTTCGGGCGACCGGTTCATGGCCTTGCAGATCTCCGCGTAGTTCACCCAGAGCGTCTTCTTCGTGCCGATGCGCATGAGCTGGGGCGGCTTCATCGTATGCCGGCGCTTCTCGCCGAGCTCGGGATTCTTTTCCTGGATGATCTTCGCGACGCGGTCCAATAATTCATCATAGGTGTAGTTCGCGTACTTGCTGTCGGTCTTCGCCGTCTCCTCCTCTTGTACTTTCTTCTTCTTCTTTTTCTTCTTCATCTTGCTGAGGTCGAACATCGCCGCGACCTCCTCGTCTTGCGTGGGAGCGGCCTCCTCGAGGGCCGCCATCGTGCGCTGCTTGCTTTTGACGCTGTCGAGCTTAGTATGCCGCCGCGCGATGGGCTGGGCTTTTTTAAGAGCTTTCCTGCTTGCTGCTGCTGTGCTGCTTGACGCGGCGACGTTCGTGCAAAGAGAGAGCACTGCTGGCTTCGCTGGGGCTCGAGTGGACAACTGGGCCTCGCTAAGGTGTCAGCGTGGGCTGAAAAGCGCCTACACACCACCAAAGCGCAATCGCCGCCGAGTGGCTAGTGCCCTTACTTGCCGCTAGCAGCGAAAAAAATAAACCGTGTAAACTCGGCCGCTCCGCGCCTAAACACTGCACTGCCGTGCGCAAGACACCGTCTATATCAGCACTGTACTGGGCGAAGACAGCCGCAACGCGTGCGTGCCGCTAGCCCTTCGTCTAGGAGGGTGCACTCTTTCTCTTGCTTCAGCGCAGCGCGCACGCGTAGACATGGGTAAAAAACGCAAGACAAATAACAAGGATGCCGGCAAAAAGAGCAAAAAGCAAGCCACGCCGCGCGCACCGAGCGCCGCGCCGGCCGCGTCGCCGTCCGGCGCCATGAGCGACACGCTCCTCAAAATGAAGTTCATGCAGAAGGCCTCGCCGGCGCCGGCCGCCGCGCCCGCCGCCGCCGCGCCGGTCGTATCCAAGGAGCCGCCCGAGCGCAAGCTCTTTGGAAGGCGGAGCTTCGGGGGCTTCAACCGCGAGATCGAACGGAACGAGGCCTCCTTCTACCGGGCCCACGGCCTGCGCTACGACGTCATGCCCGCCGCCGACGCCCCGAAGCCGGCATTAGACTTCGGCGCCTACTCGCAGGGGAGGCGTAAAGACAAAAAACGCTAGAAGATCGTTATCAGCACGAAGCACGAGTAGATCAGCGCGAGCGGGTAGGCTATCAAATAGCGCTGCGGCCGCATGTGCAGCTTCGCCTCGAACAGTCGCGTGGAGGTACACGTCGAGGCCAACACGGCCAAACCACCCAATACTTGCCCCGGCACCGATGACGAGGATACCACAATAGACGCCGCCGCGAGCAAGACCACAGGTAGTAAACAATACCCCAAAAAACTCACGACCGTCCCGAAGGCCACACCTCCATCTTGATGCATCAGATTAAGGAGCACGTAAGTAGCAACGCACGAGGACAGGCCAAACCCGTAGACGTAGCCGAAGTGGAGCTTGCCTCTCAACACCAACGCTCCAGCTAACAGTAAAGCGAAGACCGCGGGACCGGCCAGATCGCTACCTTCGACCAATCGCTCATCGACGGCCCGGAACGAGGGAGTCAAAACCAGTTTCGTCTTGGACCAGATGTCCTCGAAGTCTACGCCGAGCTCTTCCAGGAGTGGCGGTTCGTCAATACCGGAGGGATCATAGCCAAAAGACGTCCCCTGCGACGAGGCATAAAACGCGCCGCCGTTCGGCGTCGGTTGATTAAATCCATTCGACGTATATTGGGTAGGTTGCGCTTGGGCACCCCAGGTCGGGTCCTCGCCCAAGTTAAACTGGAACTCTTGCTGTTGCTGGAACTGCGGCTGTTGTTGGAACTGCTGGCCGCCGGACGCGTAGTCGCCGCCGTGGGGGAAGCCGCTACTTTGCTGCTGGAATTGCTGTTGTGGTGGTTGCTGGAAGTTCGGGTTGAAGGCGGCCATGGCTGCGGCGGCTTGCGTGTGCGCCGCGCTTTTTAGGGTTGGGCTAGGAGCTGCAGCCGCGGTTCTCGCGCTGTCAGATGGTGGAGATCGCTGGAGCGCTTCGCTAGGATGACGCGTGCGTCACAAATAAGCGCTCGGCGGGCCGTAATAAGTCCGAGGAAGTCGATTTGTGATTTGGCTGCCTAAACCCGCACGAAAAGGATTCGTCCAGAGACGACTTTGTATGATGAAATATGCCTGTTTTGCTTCGCGCAGAAGACTGCCTTGCACATGCCTCGGCCTGCTTAGAAAAAATTTGCAGCTGCATCACGCGCGGCGGCTTATCCACGCGGCCGACGCATAGCTCGTTTGCACAAGCAGCGCAGCGGTTCAAACGAATTGCAAACGGCTGCGACAGTGAACCAGCTGGGACAGCAAACGCCGCTCCAGCAAAAAAATAGGTGTCCAGCCAGGGCTGAGCCCCAAATAAAAAAACCGGCGGAGCGCGCGCAGCGCTGGAGCGCCTGCCGCAGAACTACTGGGCGCAGCGGCGGCGCGCCTTGTCATCACCAAAGAAAACGAGCAAAACCATGGAGACCATCACGCTCCGCTCTTTGACGAAGATAAAAAAGCATTGCCGCGGCCAGGCCAAGCTCAAAGATTTACGAGCAGTCTGCGACGAACAGATCCAACGCATCGAAGCGTACAAGGCCGGCGGTGAAGGTGGTGATGATGCGAGTCCGTTCTTCGAGCCGCTCCGATTGGCCTGTAAGTCACTCCACGCGCCATGCATGGAGGAAGCCTTAGATTGCATCCAGAAGCTCATCGCGTATGGCTACCTCCGAGGGACCGCTAGAGGCCCCGCGTCGCGTGACGACGACGACGACGAGGTGACCCCGAAGGAGACGCGGACACCGTCGACGATGGATAGCATCATAGAAACGATCTGTGGGTGCGACGACTTCGACGACGACAACGTGCAATTGCAGGTCATCAAGGCGCTGTTGACGGCCGTTACGTCGCAAACGTGTGAGGTGCATGAAGGGGGGTTGTTGGTAGCCGTGCGATCGTGCTACAACATCCACTTAGTTACTCGTAATGCTGTGAATAAAACGACCGCAAAGGCTACGTTGACCCAGATGTTGTCGATAGTGTTCCAGCGCATGGAGGCGGCCGACGCCGGGGCACCTACCGTTCCCGATACTACATATGTGGAAGGTGATAGTGTACATGTACCAGACTACGGGTTGGGTACTGTCGTTTCGTGTGATGGCACGAATTGCGTCATATCATTACAAGCCTGGGAGCAGGACGGCGAGGCGGCTCAATTGCACTGCTCGACGACTTCCCTGCGACCGCCGGTCAACGAAGAGGGCCGCCAGAAGAAGGTCGTCGGCACGGACCCGACGCCCGGCGCCGAATTAAGAGATGGTTCTCTGGTCTTAGTGAGGCAAGACTCCTCAGCGCAGTTCTCGAGCGCGCATCACAAGGACGCGTTTCTGCTCGTCCGAGCCTCTGTAAATTAAGCATGAAGGGCGGCCCCGCGGAAGGCAACGAGGCGGACCCCGCCGAGCCCATCTCCATGCAGTCCAAGGTGTTGTCCTTAGAACTACTGTTAAGTGTCTTGGAACATGCTGGACCTGCATTTAGGAAGGGTCCGAGGTTCGTTGGGGCGGTTAGACAGTACCTCTGCGTCTCCTTACTGAAGAACTGCACGTCGTCGGCGACGCACGTCGTCGCCCTGGCGTTGCGACTCTTCGTGGCACTCATCGTCCGCTTCCGATCGAATCTGAAAGCCGAAGTCGAGGTCTTCATCTCCCACATCTTCCTACGTATTCTAGACAGCGACAACAGCACGCACGAGCACAAGATGCTCGTGCTGGAAGTGTTCCACCGGTTATGCGCCGACGCCGATGGGTTGGTGGAGTTGTTTTTGAGTTATGACGCGGACTTTGATAGTTTTGACATCTATCGGAACGTCGTGATTAGTCTAGGTAGAGTCGTCAAGGAGCCCATGCCGGTCCAGGAGTCCGGGGAGAAAGGGAGACGTTTATCTACGAATGATGGGGCATTGAGGAGACTAGCTCTGTCCGGACTAGTGGCGGCTCTCCACTCCTTGGCGACGTCCTGCGGTGTGGATGTAGGTGAAAGTGAAGGCGGCGCCGAGGACTACGCCCAACCTTCCGACTCATTAGCTAGAGCGGCGCCCGGCCAACCGCGGCAGCCCGAAAAAGTAGCCCCACCCCCGCCCCCGGAGCTGTCGGAAACGCCACGAATGCTCTCTCGACGTAGTAGTGACGACCTGGCCAAGACCAAACAGGAAAGATTGGCCTCGACGCAAGTCGACGCGTTCGACAGAAAACAAAGACTGCAGGAGGACCTCAAAGATGGGATCCTCAAGTTCAACCTCAAGCCCAAGCTCGGCCTGGCTTCCTTGCACAACAAGGGCCAGCTGGACCAGAACGATCCTAAAGCTGTGGCGCAGTTCTTATTACAAAATGCCGAGCGCCTTGATAAGACCGTGGTCGGGGACTACCTGGGCAAGGAGGAGACGTACCAGGACGGGTTTTGTGTCAAGGTGCTGCATAGCTACGGCGAGCAGATGGACTTCTCCGGTTTGTATCAGTGTCCTTTGTACTACGCCGTCGCCGCGAGAGCTCACACGTGAATCACGCAGGCCTCGAGTTCGACGTGGCCATCCGCCACTTCCTGTCTGGTTTTCGCCTGCCGGGCGAGGCCCAGAAGATCGACCGCATCATGGAGACCTTTGCGGCGCGGTACTGCGCGCTGAATAGCGAAGTGTTCCCGTCGGCTGATGTCGCATTTGTATTAGCGTTCTCCGTCATCATGCTCCAGACGGACCTCCACAATCCAGCCATCAAAGAAGAGAAGAAGATGACGAAGGACGGCTTCCGACGCAATAATAGGGGTATATGTAATGGGAGCGACCTCGACGCCCAATTCCTCGACGAGATCTTCGACCGCATCAAGGCCGCGCCCATCACGCTCGCCGAGGACGACAAGTTGCGGGAGAAGGAGGAGCAGGCCTCTACTTCCGTCGCTTCGTCCATGAGCGCGGCCTTTGGCCTGAATAGCGACGCGACGCGCCGCAAGCGAGCCGAGGCCTTCAGCAAAGAGAGGGAAGCCATGGTCCGTTCGTCCGTCCAAGCCATCCGCCAAGGCGCTCGACCGGCTTTTGCGGCTTTCAGACAGGACTCAGCCACCGAAGAATTTTCAAAACCGTCACCAGCGAACAAGGTCGCCGCAGCGGCAAAGATGTTCGAGGTCGCCTGGGGTCCCGGTTTATCCGCCTTTTCGCATGCGCTGGAGCGGATCTTCCACGGTCCTAGGCCTACGGCCCTGGCGCTGCGAGGCCTGAAGATCTCGGCTTGTCTCGCGTGTGCGCTCGAATTGGATGTGGCTGCTCTATCCCTAGTGAACGCTCTAGCGTCATTTACAACTTTGGATGGGCCCTTCAAGGTCATGCTACCTCGCAATGCCGCTTGTGTCGAAGCGTTGTTAGGTCTCACAGCGGTCCCGGACTGTGCCGAGAACTTAGGCTCGGCCTGGTTGCCCGTACTGAGAGTAGCGTCGCGGGTAGCCCACTTACGCCTACTAACGACAGGAGCGCGGACCGACGACGCCTACTTCACCTCTACCCATGCGCCGGACGAAAAGGAGTATCAAGATAGGAAATTGCGAGATGAGGAAAGCGCCAGGGCCTTGGCGGCGCACTCCGTGCTCACGGATGCTTCACTAGATGAACTGTACGCTCGCTCCACGAAGTTGTCAGCTGTTGGGGTCGAGAGATTCGTGGCCGAACTCTGCGCCGTGTCCGCAGCGGAGCTATCCACGGGAGATCCGTCGAGCGGCACGCAGTACTTCCTCGACGAATCGGATCTGAGGCCGGGCGGCAAGTACGACGACTTACAACCGTTACCGGCGTTAGGAGACCCGAGGCGGCCGCGAGTGGCGGCATTGCAAAGATTAGTAGATGTCGCGGATATGAACGTGCACTTGAGGCCTAGATTAGCTTGGGACCGCATGTGGCGCGTCCTGGCGGCGCATTTTGCGAGGGCGGGAGCCCACGCGAATGCAGATGTGGCCACGTACGTTGTCGACTCGCTGCGCCAGCTATCGCTCAAGTTCTTGGCCAAAGAGGAGCTCAAGGCGTTCACGTTCCAAAGGGCGTTCCTGAAGCCCTTCGAACGGGCGTTCCGGGCGAACCAAGGGTCGCTGGATAGAGCTCCGGTGCGGGCGTACATTGTCGCTTGTCTCGATGTTTTGGTGCAAGCTCGAGCTTCGAAGATTAGGTCTGGATGGAAATCAATACTAGGCGTGCTGAAGGACGCGTCCGGCGATCCCGACCGAGCTGTGTCGCAAGCGGCCTTCGAAGCTCTCGGACGGGTCTTGGACCACCATCTAGCGTTGGTGGCGCCCGACTTCGTTTCTGTGGTAGGAACGGCGGCTTCTTTTGCTTCATATAGTTCAAATGACGAAGCTCGATCGGCTACGGCGCTAGAAGCTCTAGCTAGGTTGGACGCGTGTGCTCGCGCACTAGCGGACGGATCGATACGAGCAGCTACGAGAGCCGCCTCGGCGTCGCGTGACGGAGACCTCCCGGAAGGACCGGAGAACGAACCCCCTCCAGACGACGCGCAACTCGAACTGTGGTGGCCCCTCTTACTAGGTCTGGCGCGACTCGTCGCGGATCCGCGGGAAAAGGTCCGCAATGCCGCGTTAGCTACCCTAAGAAGAGTGCTGGAACGAGATGGCCTCAAGGAGTTCGGCGCGGAGACGTGGCGACTGGTCTTCCGGGGCGTCTTGTTCCCTTGTTTAGAATCAGCGTGGACCGACGACGCGCCTCGACCCGCTTCTGTCAGACCTACAGATCCACCCCCAGGACCACCCCCACCTAGTGAAGCGTCTTGGCTGGACACGACGGCTCCGGCGGTGCTGGATTGCATTGTTGGTTTGTATGCGCGTCTAGGTGGAAGCAGGGAGCACACGCCGTTGTTAGGTGAGGTATTAGCTTTGTTGGGAGATTGTGTGTGCCAGGACGCGGAGAGACTAGCCAGACTAGGAGTAGATGCTCTTGAGAGACTATGTCAGGCCGTTTCTTCATTCACAGATCCGGAGACGTCAGAGGAGGGTTGGGACGTCTGCTGCCGAGGCTTGGCGCACGTGGTTGAAAGAGCCTTGCCGCCTGCATTGGATGCTTACCTGAGACCGGATCCCCGTCAACAAAAGGATAGGGACGCCGACGCCTTAGCTGCTTCATTACCGCGCGCGCCTACTCTCGCAAGACTCGTGGCGTCGCTGCGACTACCTCGGGTGTGCGGGCTGTTGCTGTCAGATGCCGCTAAAAGAGGTTCATTAACAGAGCAAGGTGCCGACGCGTTGCTCGGAGCATTGGCCGGGTCGAGGCAATTCGCGTGCGCGTTCGACGCCGACGGTCCCTTGCGCAAGGCCTGTCTCACGTCGAGACTCATGGGCGCCGACGCTCCCGATCTAGTAGCTCAGAGAGTGTCGGCTGGCTCGGAGGCCTTTGCCGCTTTACAACGAGCCTTCTCGTCCAACAATGAAGGCATACGTTCATTGGCGGAGCCGCGGTTGCTGGGGTTATGTCGGGACGTCTTGCGCGAGTACGCCTCGGCCGAAAGGCGGGCTTTAGCGGAGAAGGCGGGCAAAACAGCGGGTCTGCCGCAGCCCGCGCAGTTGCTGGATAGCGCGACGCCTCTGGCGCTGGAAGCTTTGGCGTTCGTGCGCGACCTGGACGCCCAGGCCTTCGCGAAGCACTGCGCTTGGTTGGTACCTGTGCTCTCTGAATTGATCGTGTGCCAGTCGGTGCCTCTCCGGACGACGGTCGCGGCGGTCTTCGCCACCAGACTGCCGTCGGCTTTGCTATCGACGACTCGCCCGGAGCGCGTCCAGACGCCGACGGACGCCGCGCTGGCGGCGCCGGTCTTCAGCCAGCCCGCGGACGCTGCGTCGCCGACGCGGCACCCGGGGACGGTGTCGCGGGCGTACAAGCTCTTCGAGTCGCCGGCTTGATGAGCGCTTCTCCTTTCCCCTCCACGGGTAAGGTTGGTGTTCTCGAGTACTCCCGACGCCGTCCCCTCGTCAGTGACGGTTCGTGCTGCGGTCGATCCCGGATTCGTAGAGGGCAGCCTCAGGCTCAGGCTAGTTACGTCGCGGGGTCCCCGTCACCCCCAGGCGTCGCATCTAGTGTGTTTGTACCGCTAGCGTGTGATGCCAGATTTGCTCGCAGGACTTGGTCCGGACCGACTTACGGCGTGCTCTCGGAGGCGACGGGGGGACGCTCGCCGGCATCCCGTTCGCCCACGCGGCGTTGCCGTTTTTACCCTTTCTCTGGGTCGGCGCTGCAAATGTATTTAGCTGTAACGGCAACTCGTGCGCCGCGATGGCGCGCCAGTATATGGGCGACGACGGCAGCCGCGCCCAGCTGCTAGTCGTAATCGGCAACGCGCTCTACTGGGTTCAGAATGTACTCATCAGGTTGCCTATCTGGCCGCTGCTCTTCCGAATGCTCGCGACGACGTCCTCGTCGTATATCCGCTTCGCTGGCGACTGCGTGTTAGTTTGGGCGGCCTATGCCCTGCCTACGTTTCTCGCCCAATGGCCGGGTAGCATGTTCTGTTACCGAGGCTTGGGCCGTGGCGACGTTTGGGCCGCGGGCTGCGTCGCTTGGTTCTATGTGCTAGTCGCAGTGAATGTTAAGCTCTTCTCCGCGCCGCCGCGGACGCAACGCGGGCGGCGGCCGCCGATGACGCGGGCCGTCTCCTCGATCCGCTCCCCGCGCCGCGGCGGCGAGCCCGAGTTGACCTTTTTCCCGGCGGCGGCGTCGATGCCGGCGACGCCATCATGAGCCGAGCCCCTTATCCCCATCGAATCCCCATCGAATCCCCAACTCTGGAGACGCGTCTGGGACTATCCCACTGCGTAAGGTAAATCAAACCTCTATATATACACAACAATTTACCCGAGCGCGTATTGCACGCGGTCATCACCAGAACGGGCACCAGCCCACGAAGGATTGGCAAAGGTTCTGCACGTCTGTCGCCTGTAGGATGAGCCGGTCGACCTGCTCCGCGACCGGCAGCCGCGGCCCGAAGTCCTCGCCGTTGAGTTTCGCCTGCACGCGAGCCATGACGGCCAGCGCGCGCTCGTTCAGGGCCCCGTTCGGCAGGTCCGCGCCGTCGGCCGCTCCCAAAGCGCGGACCCGCAGCGACTCTCTAGCTGATCGGTGATCCAGTCGCGACGCGGCCACGGAGTCGGGACGCGAGGCCCGGCCCGCAGCTCCAGAATACCTGGTAGAAGTCAGCGAGTTGGCCATACGAGTCATGCGATGGTGCATCGCTTCCCTGCTGCGCTGCGAGGAACGCCTCGACCGACGCGAGTCCGCGGACCGCCGCGACCGCGCCAGGCTATGCCTCGAGGACGGCCGCGACGAATCGGGCGTATCGTCGCCCTCCTCGTCGTCGTCGTCGTCATCCGTCTGATCGCTATCATACGAGTCGTAGTCCTCTTCATCAGATTCTTCGTGATCAGACTCGTCGAGGACGGGCCGCGAGCTCGGCCGCGAACCGACGCGGCGTGATGGTCTTTCATCACCAGGCTCTTGCGCACCTAACAAACGCCACGAAATTAACGGGTCGTGAATAAAGGCCTCCAACATACTCAAGAGCGAATCCCTATTATCTCTGAGGACACGCATGACGCGCTCACAGGTCAATCTATAAGTACCTTCGACGCCCGACACCTCCATGGCGTGGACCAGCATCCGCGTCAACCGGAAAGGAACTCTTTCGGGGAACTTGTCGCGGTGCATCGCCACCTCGAAGCAGTCCCCAAAATCTATGTGCAACACCTTGCCCGTCCTGCGATCCAACATTAAGTTGGACGGGTGCCGATCCCCTAAACCCAGTATGTGGCCGACCATGGACATGACGGCCAGCGACCGCGCGTAGTGGGTCCGCCGCTCGAGCCACTGCTCCGAATGTGAGCTCTTGAGCCAGAGCACCTTACTTAGATCATGACCAGCGGTGTTTGCTAATGCGGCATGAAACACTTCTACTTTCTGAGGGAGCCTGCGCGGAGCATCGCGGTCGCGCGACGCGGTCCGAATAGCCTTGTCTGATGGACACGAGTCGCGTCGATGGCGTGAATGCGTCTCTACACAACGGGACGCCGAGATCGCACGTCAAGGCATCATAGTCTGGTGCCAACTGCAACATCACGCGGTGCTCCACGTTCAGGACGACCTTCCGCGCGTCCCTGAAATCCCTTACCAGAGCGTGTAAGGTATCACAGGCCGGCACCCAGCCGATAATCCCGCAGTTTTGTGATAAAGGAGTAATAGCGTACCTCTGAATCAGCAAGTGGCCGTGTTCCGAGGTCCTCCGATCCTTCGCTAAGAGGGCGTTGGCCAACCCGAACAACTGCATCGCTCTTTCATCTTGCCTCAGGTCCTCATGACCCTTTAACAAAAAGCCGTACTCCCTGCCATCTTCTCCTCTCATGGCTAAGCGTCGAGGTCGCTGTTTGGACGTGATAACATGTACTGAGGGAGAGAACCGTGCTATTCTAGCTGCTGAACCATCGACTCTGTAGGTTCCTGGTACCGCTAATTCTAATGAACGAGCATTTAGTAAAGCTGGAGACACATACCTTAACTCCAACGTCGTCAATTGAGGTAATTGCTTGTTCACCCGCCGAAACACGGTATAATATAAATCCCAGGCCTGGTTCAAGGCGGCATCCGCGTCATCCCTTAGCTTCGCTCGCTGCGACTGCGGCGACTGCGGCTCGTCGTCATCCCCACGCTCCTTTGCTGCAGCTTTCGCATCGGCCGCGACCGCAGCCGCAGCGGCGTCCTCGGCGACATCCGACGCCTTCCGTCGCGGCGTATCGTCGAGCCCAAGGGCCTGTTCTTTGCTAACACAATTCTCATACTCCCCGAGACAGCGCGCGGCCTCCCTCAAGTCTCTCCCGAAGGCCTGCTTGAACGACGCCTCTCGTAGCGTGGTAGGTCCCGCGTCCAACTCCGCGTGCAGCGGCTTGAGGATGGCGAGCATGGCCTCGACGTCGCCGTCGCCGAAGTAAAGTCGCGACGCCTCCTCCAAGCCCTCGTGCCACTTCTCATGCCACAGGATGGCTACTCGCACTAACTCTTCTGATACAAGTAAAGCCTGCTCGACGAGTCGCGCCGCTACGCGTCGAGGCCCCGCGTCGATGATCGCTCGGGCAGCCGCGGCTCGGTCCGCTCTTGGAGACTTAAGTTGCAAGGCCAATGGGTAGACGAGGGCTTGGGGGTGCCTAGCGCCTAATCGCGCCAGCACTTGATACAGTGCTGACCGAGGTGACGAATCCCCGGCACCGACCCTCGCGATGAGCTGAGGCAAGACGCCTAGCCAGGCGTCCAAAGGCGCCCCTCCTTCTTCGTCTCTGGGAACGAGTTGCGCTTCGACGTCCGGCTGCCGCCCAAAGCGGAACCACAGGTTCAATAAATTCAACAAATCTTGCTGGGCGCTTGCAGCTCTTCTCCGAGTACCCAGAGCCAACGCTCTAACGAACCCGCGAGCTGCCGCCACCAACTGCGCGCGCACCTCCGGTCGTGATAAGGCCGCCGCGTCGGTACGTCTACGAGTAGCCCGCTGCACCGCGCGGTAATTCGCGAGCGCCCACGCGTGCCAGGCCTTGTAGGACGAGCCGTCTAGCGACGCCGCCGCCCGAAAGGCGTCGGCGGCGTCCTTTTGCTGGCGCGGGGTGGCGTCCTGTTGCGCCAGCTTCCAGTCCCCGACCCGCAACAAACAGCGAGCCCGTAACTTGCGAGAGTCGTCGTCGTCCTCCTTGGCCAGGGCCTCAGCCAACCCCTCCGCCCGTAGCAAAGCGTCACTTTCACGACCCGCCCGCCAGCAGTGCTTCGCGTAGGCGTACCGTAACCGTCGCTGGTCGTACGTCTCGTCTGAACACTCCGAGTGTGGATCGAAGCCCAGCTGCCTCGTAAGTACGCTTTCCGTGAGAGCCGCATTGCCCGCGTTTCGACAGAGTGACGCATATCGCAACCAGCCGTCGGGGTCGTCGCGATAGTCAAAAACTAACGCTCTGACATTTAAAACGCGCTGCCAAGTCGCCACATCGTCGGCACAACCAGCTAAACGTCTCCTCCAAGTAGAAGCTAAGTCTCTCCTTTTAGTACGCATCGACGACTGGGCTCGCACGGCGTCGCCGCCCCGTCGGACTTCGGCCCTTACTTCTCGTTCTAACTTGCGGACTTCCGCTATTTCTTCTAGCTCTGCCAATTGCTGCACTGTTACTGTGGTACCATACGCGCGCTTATAGGACTCTCCCACCAAAGCTGCGAAGGCCGGATGGAGCAACTTGCGCGCTTCGTCCACCAAACGAAGAGCGTCCACCGGAGACCGCCTCACGTCACAACCGTCAACCCCAGAAGGCCGCAACGCCAGCACCGCTCGGTAAAAGGGCTTCCCCGCGTCCTGGTCCTCCATGGCTCTGACAAAATCTCCCATCTCGCTCCACCTCCCGAGCGCCCAGGCCGCCCTTGCTCCGACATTAGCTGCTTTCATAAGTAAGCGTGGCACGGGCGTTTTGATGGAGTTGATCAACGGGGTGGGCGGCGGTGTGGGATACGAAGGTCGCCTAGCTTGGCCCTCGCCCCGCATGCCGGCTTCGGCTGCTAGTGTGTCAAGTGCCGCGGTCGAGGACCTTGTTCTGTTAATATTTTCCTTCGCTGCCTGTTTCAGGGGTTGCCAGTGCGCCACTAATAAATCACAAGCTTCTCTCCAGGCTCCTAGGGCGTCCAAACATTTGACAGCGCCGAGGACAGCTTCCCCATCTGCGGGATCGGTATCTAACCTTCTTCTGTAGCGTTGTAGAGCCTCATCATATGAACCTAATTTACCTAACCAAGACTCATTCACGACAGACGAGGACGGCGGCGTCTGGTCCAAGGCCTCGTCGTCGTCTTCGACTTGGTCAGAGTTCGGATTGACATGTCTTGTGCGTCTTCGTCGCGCCGTTCTCCGTCGCGTAGCGTGCAACACGCCTAGAGCCGCCTCGGGCTGGGCCAATTTACGATTGATCGCTATGAGTTGTTCGGCGGCGGCGTGCCTATCTCTAGCTAGTTCCGGAGTGGCAAATTCGAGCTCCTTATAATGTAAAGCTTTCGCATACGCTCTACACCTTGTCGCCAAATCGGCTAACTGTCTGATATCAATGGGCAAAGCGTCGACGTCCCGTTCCATGAACTCCGCCAACTCGAGCAACGCTTGTAACGCGTCGGGGGCGGCCGCTTGGAGAGCATCGGACCGGAAGGCCGTTTCTAATGTTCTCACTAACGAGTCTCTGTATTGATCGTCCAGTTCGCCCCAACACGACACAAAGGCCGGCTGGAAGAGGTGGTGGGCTAGTCGAGGATAGGCATGCGCGACGGCCGCACACGCTCGCAATGCCGGTGACGGCGACTCTCGGAGTAGTTCTAACGACAATCTTCGTAACCAGTCGTTCCAGTCGTCGGCCGTGACTCTCTGACTGACGTCCCAGGCCCGCTGCAGGTTTGCCGGGTTGCTTCGGAAGACGGATTGGGGCGGCGACGCGGGATTCTCCAATGATGGTGCTCTAGATCTTCGACCGGATATGAAATGGATGTCGTGCGACGCCGTGTCATCATCAGAATCACTCCCGTTGGACCAGTCGCCGTCTACTATTCTTCTAGACCATCGCTTGTAGGATCTAGAAGAAGGCCCTTCCGGGCCCACGCTCAGTGCTTTATCAGCTACGGGCGCAAACGGTTTAAATGCCGAGGCGCCCAACTGCGCTCGGCAAGATCTTAGAGTTGAATAACACGCATCTCGCAGGTGCTCGGCGTCCTGCGCTCGTTCCGATTGGAGTCTCAGTGAAGTATCGGCGCAGCCACTCCTCTCCAACAATCGACAGATGTCCCGCGTGATCCTAGCTCCCACGTCCTTTCGACGAGATAAGGCGCTTCCAGCACAGGACACCCGTAAGCACCTGACGACTCGCGCCTGCCACGCCGCCCCTTTCGCGGGTTGTTCTTCATCACAGGGCGTATACCCCTGGCCGCCCAAGGCATCCGCTAGTTTGAGTAGAGCTGGCGCTACCAAAAACAAAGCATCCGCTAGAGACTCTCTTAGGAGCATTGTCGCTCTCAGTACCAAGGCTAACCTAGCTTCATCGCGAGCAGCGGGCGGCACGTCATCCTCCGACACGTCCGAGGAAGGTGGCGCCAACGACGCCAACAACAACGGCAAAGCTCTAGTAGCAAAGGGCCGCATGGGCTCCTGGGCATTTGCGGAAGCGACTTGCTCCAACAAAGGCACTACTTGCTCTAAATGTTGAGCCCAGTACTCCACAACTAAGTCCAGGATTCTAGGTACGTAGTCCCTCAAATGATAACGAGCTGTTGATGCTAGTGACGCCAATTGCTGTAAGACGCTTTCCCGTAGGCCGGGCTCGCCGTCGCGAGCGACATCGAGCAAATGCGGCACGAGCGCACCGAGGAACGGGACACACCTATGTCCAAGGGCCTTCACGACTTGGGTCAACGCTTGCGTCGTCGTAGCATGGTGCGACGCTAACGAGGGGTCCCTTAGTACCCTTACAAGGGCATCAACGGCACATCGAGCATAGTACTCCTGGCCCTGCTGGGGCGTAGGCTTCTCCGCATCCTTCAGCTTCCGAGAAGAGCCATCTCTACGTCTTCTACGAGTATGTTTGAGAGATGGTCCAAACTCCTCGTCGTTATTTATGGTACTCTTCGTCAATGTGGTAGTAGAGTAGTAGGCATCTTCATCAGTTCTTTGTTTCACTTCCGGCGTGTCCCGCACCGCCGGCAGAGCCACGGCGCAGCTCTGGGCGTACATGGCGGCCGCGGCCGGTTCACTAGGATCTTCGTCGAGGAGCGCCGCCAAGTGCGGAGCTAACAGGTCGTTCGTCAGAGCTCGTTTTCTGGCGCGAGTACGCGCGTCTCTTCCTGAACGTTGGACCACGTCGAAGGCGTAGGGGTCCAAGGCGCCCAGCAAGCCCAGAGTGCGTAAGGCTTCTCTACATAAACTCCAGGTCGCGTGCTGGGTGGCCAGAGGTTTATCATCCTCTCGTGTTGCTCGCGCCGCCGAGTTCTCGCAGACCACAGCTAGCACTCTAGGTAGGAGAGGGGCATGCTCTAAGTACGGAGCGACGACACATCCCGCATGGGCCGCGAGTCGTCCCAAGACACGCAAAGCTAGTTCTCGCTTCCTCGTCGAGGACCGATCTAGGAGAGCGTCAAACAATGGCGCCAGAACTTTGGGAGCGTAGACGACGTCCCTCGCTCGAGGCCCCAACACCAAAACGCATTCACCGAGCGCGTCTAGGGCCGCGCAGGCCAGGCGCGTGGGCACCCGCGCTTCGCTTTCGACGATCGGCGCATCTAACGGGCGGTAGCCGAGCGGTAGGGCGGCGACGACCGCCGCCGCGAGAGGCCAGACGGCCTTCCTCGCTCGAGGTGATTCCGCCCGCAAAGCACCGGCGGCTAATCTAGCAGCTCGTTCTCGCGAGACGGGGTCGCTTCCAGAGCACCTCAGAGCATCTAAAGCGCGCGCCAGTGCGTTTCTCACAACAGCCAAGGCCGCCCCCGGGTTCCGCGCCGCCAACCGACCGAGCAAAGCCAGGGCATCTAACTGTAAAGCACAATCTTCATCATGTAACAACAACGCTAGCGAATCGACGTGCTTCGCTCTGGCTAGATGGCCGTCGAAGCGCGGGTCGCTTCGTAAAGCTTTCACGACGCTCCGGCGAGGTGCCAAATCATCATCAGCCAACGCCACCGCTAATAGTTTGGATAGGACGTCATCGACAACAACTGCCGAAGGGCCGCAGTAGTAGTGCGGCTGCAATAACGCGTCTTCCTCCTCCTCCTCGTCGACCTCCGTGGCCTGTCGTCGCGGCGAGAACTTGGGACGGGATTGAGGCGTTCGGGGCGGCGTCCTCGAGCCCTTCCGCACGGGAGATCCCACAATAACCTCGTCCTCGTCACTTGAAGATGATTCAACGTCCTTTGTTGCGTCCGAGCCTCTCGGGAGTAGTAAGCGAGCACAAGCTCGCGCGGCGGCCGCCCGTACCAGAGGAGACGGCGCCTGGAGGTAGGGCGCCACCGTGTCCCGCGCCAGAGGCAGCAAGCAGGCCCGCGTATCCAATTCGAAGGACGCCAGCGTCTTCAAGGAGAGGAGGACGACCGTCTCGTCGACACCAGATAAAGCCCGCTCGAAGGCCGAGCCCTCCTTTTCACTGGTGGAGGGCCGGCGCCAGCCCGGAGGCGCGAAGCGTTTGGAAGGTTCCAGGCCGGCGACCAACGTCTCGAGCAGTCTGGCTCGGACCGCGGACCTTCTCGAAGGCACGGCCCTCGCGATGACGTCCAACGCGTTTATGAGCGGCTCCGACAGTCCTGAACGAAATAAGGCATCTAATAATTGATCGGCTTCGGACGCCGGGACGTCCTCGCCCAGCGCTTCAAACACATCAGCGACGCAGGCCACGACCACCGCTCGGCGCTTGTCCATGGTCCGCGCGACGACGACGCCATTGGTAGAATGACCATTTGACACCCCAAGAGCGATGGATCGTAACTCGGGCGCCAGGGCGTTGTCCACGCTCTGCACCTTCGGAGTTTTGGGCGGCGACGAGGCCTGCCTCCTATAAAACGGCCAGGCGGCATGGACGCCGTGCAAGGGTCGCTCTTCTCGTGTCAATGGTGCATCCAAACAGTGGTCCCGCACGACAGCCACCAATTCCGGGAGAGCGGGCCGCAAGCGGTGCTGCACAGCCAACGCTAGTCGGCCAATCGACACATACGCCGCGTCCCTCAAAGCGTCGTCATCCCTAGACTTCCCGGGCTTCTTGGCCGTCTCCAGTAGATGTTGGGTAGCCCCACCTAGATAAATTCTAGAAAAGGCCTCGGGCTGGTATTGCGCTAATCGAGGTAACAGGTCCGTCACCGCCCTTCGAACACGTACGGACGAGTGGTCCCGCAAGGCGAGAGCCGCATCACAAGCCTCCCGGAATCGCGGCGTCATGAACTCGCCCGCATGATCTAACAAAGCACCTATACTCAATAAAGCGCCGTGGGCCGCGGCTTCGCGTTGCGCACTCGTAAGGTACTTGGCCGGCGGTGTTGAGGTCGGAGTCATGGAGTGCCTTCTCTGTAAAGAAGGCTCGTCGTCGTCTTTGGTCGGCGTAAATAAGCGTTTGATGGAAGACCAGGGCGTCTCCTCCTCGACGGGGGCGGGCGTCGGCGTGGCGAAGAAGGCCTTGGTCTCGTCCTCGCTGACCAGGTCGGCGAGCGTCGGCGTCGGTAAGGAGCGTCTCCTTGCTTTCCGGCCGGCCTCGACGTACTTTTCTAGTGCTCTATGGGCCTTCTGGTAGATGGCGCAGTAGTAGCCCGAGTTGAAGGCCGGTCGCGCGGCGACGAGTTCGAGCGCGGCCGCGAGGGCGCTTGCGGCCGCGTCCCTGACATCTGGATGAGAGACGTCCACCACGGCCGGCCAGATCTTCTCGAAGAAGTCTCGGACCTGCGGTCGCGTCGTTAGCATGAAAACGTCGAGTGTTTGACGCTGGGGCCGCACCCGCGCGTAGAATAAGGTCGGCGCATGGCGCGCAAGCTCCCTGAGCACCAAGCAAGCGGCGAGTCGTTTCCGCGAATAGCGAGACCGTTTCTCCAGCGGCTCGTCGAGCCAAGCCAGAGCTCTAGACACTTCTACTTCCACGTGGGCGGAAGACGAGGCCGGGCCGCGCCGCGCCAACCGACCGAGGGCGGCGGCGCAGCGAGTGACGAATTCTCGCCGCGCGTCGTTCTCCTTGAGGGCACCTGAAGGTCGATCCCCCTCACAGCACCGTCGCAAGGCCGACGAGAGGACGTCGGCGAACTTGCTGCCCTTCCCTTCCGGCTCCGCAGAGGGGGCGCCGATCAGCGCTTCGAGCGCGGCGACGCCGCCGAGCCGGTTCTCCAGCGTTCGGCCGTGGTGGACGGCTCGAAATAATGCACCGTATAATTCATCTTCAAATCTACCAAAGGTCTCACCGGACGTCTCTCGCGCAGCCCTCGCAACGACGCGCCGCAGCTGATAAGCGGCTTGCAGGCGGTCGGGCTCGCTGCGCGCCTCCAGTAGCGCTCGCAACGACTCGCGCTCGTGCGGCTCGAGGACGTCGAGGGGCGGCGGCGCCTCCTTGGTGGTCAGCATTGTTTTTCAATGCGTGTGCTAGGTCCGCGCGTTCGCTGGCGCGGGCCGCGTTTGTGGTGCTGCTGCACTCAGTGGCTTTTTTTTTGGGTTGCGCTTGTGCAGGTTTCTGCAGGCTTCGCGAATTAGTGTGCAGTCTTCAGCGCAATGTTCGCATAAATAATAGCAACTTCATTTCGCCGCGGGCACTGTAGCAGGGCACAGCTGCGCACAAAAGTGCAGCCCGAGTGCGATGCTTGCTAGTGTCTTACAGCTAGCGGGATCCTAACGCGCGGGAAGCCCTGGAAGCCGCGTGAGATCAGCTAGCGGCTTGGAAGAAGACACTAGGGATAGGCGAGCCTTAGATCGCTTGATCGTGACTGGGGAACGGGTCTTATGTCGTACGCGCGCCATACCTAAGGCGGCCCTTGTGGAGGAGAAATCTGCGTTCACACGCGGTCCTCGTTGTGCGGGGAAGGGGGGACGACGGGCCGCGGCGCCGACGCGGTCCAGACGAGGGAGTTCGGGCTCTTGCTGGAGGAGCCGCCGAGGCTCGAGTCGCGGGTCAGCGCTTGCGGCAGGGATCTCGACGTCGACAGCGGCGAGAGCCCATGATTCTGGGTGTCCGACGATGAATGGCGAAAGTTCTTCGTCGAGCGCGACAGCGAAGACCGCAACGACGAGAGCATGGACGGCCGCGCGGCGCTCCGCGCGACGCTCCTTCCGCGCTGCGCGACGCGCGGGAGACCGCTCGTGCCCGGCCGAAAGTCCGGCGTCGGCTTGTTTCGTATCTCGTCGCCCGGGAACGACGCGTCCAAATCTTCGTAGTAAACCACTGCCTCGACGAGATCACCAAAGAGAACACGCTCCTCCGGCTCCCCGTCGGCGACGGTGAATTTCGCCGTGGCGTCGGTCGTCCAATAAACACAGGTCGGGTCTGCGGTGCACGCTTCGCAGCATTGCCGCGGCTTGTAGCCCCGGTTCCGAGCGCGCGGAGAGTTAATGTCGAAGCGCACCGGGCCTACTTCCGAGCACGCGCCGGGCGCGGCCGTGCAGTTGCCGGGCGCGCGGGAGTAGCTCGGGTCGCGGACGCAGGAGAGCTCGTCGACGAGGAAACTGCCTTGAGCCGTCTCGCCGGGCGCGCCGTGCATCCCTGCACCTATACGCCAGCGCCGTATATCGCTCGCGTCGAGGATCGTGCCCGCCCTGCCTATATCGACGAACGGGTCTACACTCCGCGAGCCGCCCGAGCACAGCTCGACGAGGAGCGTCTGCCACTCGCCAGTCACTTCGTCGAGAACGAAGCCGTTGCCCCAGAGGAAGAAGGCGAGCGGCTCGCCGTCGCTCGGCGGACCACCCGGTCCGCCTCCCGGCGGTCCTCCGCCCGGCGGGCCATCGCCCGGCGGACCGCTCGGTTGGAGGCGACGCGCTGGTGGGCCCGCGTCTTCATCGTCCCCGATCTTCGTCTGGACACCGATGCGCAGGTGGACGGAGCCGGGCAGCGTCGACGCGTTGACGACCTTGTAGCGGAGGGCCACGTGCGTCGCGCCGGCGCATGCGAACGTGGTGCTGTTTGGCGCGAACCGCTCGACGAAAACGCCGGCCGGTCCCGCGGCTGGCATCTTGTATTCGTACTCGAGACGCAGAGTACCATCGGCGGCGCTCGCTATATCGAGATTTCCCGGCGAAAATGGGCCTGGCGGGGCCATCATATCCAGCGCATCGGCTGAGCCGTCAAACGCCTCGAGGATAGAAACGAGCTCCGGGGCCGCCGCGGCCGCGCCGGCGAGTGAGAGCAGGAGGAGCGTCGTCATCGTCGCCGACTCGTCTCGTCGTCGCGCGGCTTGGAATTCAGAGCAGTTTATCCTCTCGGCCGAGTGAAACCACTTCTCCGTGCGTGGGTGAAAACCCTATCGGGGGGCGCCTCGCGTCAGGATCCGCACTGCAATTGCACTGGAAATTCCAGCTCAAGGTCCGTGAGGAGATCGATTGCCGGGATTTCAAGAGCGAGAGGCGAGCTCTGTGGGGCGGAAAGCGCCGTTTACGCGTAACTATGCTACAAACTCGCACTGAGCCTTTTCAGGGCCTCCCGAGAGCTCCAGGGAGCTTGCTAGTGTCTTACAGGCCGCTAGGTGCGGGATCAGCGCTGGTGCCGTTGACGCCGCGCCCCGGGTACGGTATCTCCCCCGAGGCTGGCCGTCTTGACGCCAGACGAGACGATTTTCTGGGACGTATGCCCCCCCCACGCCGTCGAGCCGACGCGATAGGACAACTTTAGATCCAGTCCCCCTGCCTCAATTTGCGCGGCAAATAGACCTTCGTGACGAACTGGAAGCCGAAGGCCGAGAGCGCCTGGATCTCGGCCTTTTGCTTCGTCTGGAGCATCCGCTCCAACTCCCGCACCCAGGCGGGATTCTTCAGGACGAACTCCTCCTTTAGTAATTGTTTGCCCATGTCGATGTCCTTCTGGGTCATGGGCAGTCGGCATTGATCGGGGAGAGCATAGGCGTCGAGATCGGACGGCCTTAACCCGAGCCACTTGATATCTGGTGTAGTTAACGAAGCGGAGTCGTAGGACATGGCCTTCGATCCCGACATGTACACGGATAAGATTTTCAGTCCATAGGGATCCGAGTCCACAAATGCCAAGACAGGTATCTTGAGCTCCTGTTTGAGTCGAGATAAAAACATCCTCGTAGCGACGTCAGGTTGACCTTTCCCCGTAATCAAGATGCAGGGGAACTGGTTATAAAATCGATCCTCGGCTAAGCGATTGTAGGCCGCGTCCTTTTCTACCAGCAATACGAACTCCGCGTCTGATCGTATCTCGGTGATCTTGTCGATGTACGCGGGAATCGCCTTGCCCGTCACGCCCATGCGCGTGCAATCAATGAGGTCGCCGTCCTCGCGAAACTGCAAGCGACCCACGACCAACCCCTTGTCCGCGGCGACCACGTTCAGACAAGATCGGGGGCAGCCGATCATGCACGCGGCGTCGTCCAAAACCGCGTCACTTTCTTCCTGCTTCTTGAACAGTTTCACGTCCGTATAAAACAAGTCGCGCTTCGTCACATGAATCCCCTTCGTCGTGACTTCATGCACGAGTGACAAGACGCGGGTCATGATCGCGGTCTTCCGCACCTGGCTCACGTTCGCGAAGGACCTTTCTGAGGTGTTCTGCTTGAGCACAATACGATCGAGTTCGGGCACGTAGTGCTGGTTGCCCGCCGCTCGTGAGGGAACGTCGAATTTGAACGAGTTGCCCGCTAATATCGACTCGGCGCACTTCAGGAACAAGTCGTGGATCTCCTTGGCGACCTTGTCGCCCGTCATTTCTTTCACAACTCTATACGCCGACAAATCGACGGTCGACTCGTCGATCGGTTTCTGCTTGTCTAGTAACGCTTTGCAGCGCCGCACTTCTTTGAGGACGATCTCGGGGTCGAGGATCTCGTTTTCCAGGGGTCGTTGCTGGCGGGCTTTCTTCTTCTTGGGCGCCATGGCTCCTTGCGCTGGCTCCCGCGCGCTGCGCTGTCGGATGCTCTTTTGGCTCTGCAGAGGCAGAGGTGCTCTGTTGGCCTCTGACGGCCGAACGCCTCGCTTATGCCGCAACGCGCGCTGGCGACAGGCTGGCGGGCGTCCACTACGCAATTGATTGGTGCCGCAGGGCACTCTATCCACTGTTTTTGCGCTGCGCGCGAGCACTGCTTGCTAGCGGTTCTAACACACTAGCAAGCAGCCCAGGGTCGAGCAATCTGCGTGGGCAGGGCCATACGTGGCTTAGTGCACGCACAATCGTAGCAGTTTACGACCATATATCCTGCGCACCCGCTGCAGCCGCTTGTGTGGATCAAAATGCGTTTATTCATCACCGCTGGCCTGCTGAGTCAATGCACGGCTCTCTTAGCGCCACGCATAACGCGCAGTGTTGCACCGTTGCGAGCCGCAGCCACGGAGGAGGCGGCGAATCCTCGAACTTTCGGGCTAGCACTAGAGTTAGATGACGGCACGCGCAAGGTCCACTCGGTGGCCGAAAACACGCAGTCCGCATCAGTGTGATTGTTTGCGACAGCTCCACGCCATCGACGCGAGCCCCGTTCACCGGTAATTCTTCACGCAGGTTCGTGGCCGGCTTCTTCAAGGGCCTCGGCCAGCGCGAGTCCTTCGCCCAGCTGACGACCTCGTTCTACTTTGTGTATGAGGCGATGGAGCGGGCCCTCGACACGCTCGACTGCCCGACTTTAAAGGCTCTAGATTTTCCCGAGCTGCGGCGCTTGCCCGGTCTCGAGCGCGACATGGCGTTCTACTACGGCGCCGACTGGCGGAGCAAGATCAAGCCGTCGCCGGCGACGCGCAAGTACGTAGCGCAGATCGAGAAAGTCGCTTCCGGCGACGAGCCTGAGCTGCTCGTCGGCCACCTCTACTCGCGGTACCTCGGCGATTTGTTCGGCGGGCAGATGATGAGTGGCATGGCGGTCAAAACGTTGGGCGAAGCCGTGGGCGACGGCAGCGGCGGCCTGGCCTTCTACGAGTTCGACGCGATCCCCGATTCGAAGGCGTTCATCACGGACTGGTACACGGCGCTCAACGCGCTCGACCTCGCCGAGGCGACGCGCGCGGACATCGTCGAGGAGGCGAACGTCGTCTTCCGGCTCAACATCGAGGTCTTCAACGAGCTCGAGGGCAGCGCCATCGGGAGCGCGCTCCGGCTGGCGCTGTCGACGCTGAAGGAGAAGCTGTTCGGGTAATACTGTGTATGTAGAGGTACGGCGGGTAGTTGGTGGCGGCAGCCGCGACGAGCCTAAGAACGTGCGGGTTTCAGAGCGAGAGCAGTATTCGCAGGGAGACCAGTCACAAGCGCCTCCCCGACAGATCTTTTTTCGGGGGCGCCGCCCCGCGCGCGTTTCTCTAGTAGCTTTTGGCCGGCGCTGTTGATTGTGGCGCTGCGATTGGTCGGGAGGGCACGGTTCCGGGGGCGAGGAGTCGTGCGCCGGGCCTTCGTTTGCTTGCTAGTGTCTTACAGGCCGCTAGCTAAAGCGCTCTCGCAACCAAAAACGAGCTGTACTTGGCTTCGTGGGCAGCATCGGTGGTGATTTCTCGGTTTAAGCCCGCTGATTGATTGACGCAGCTGCCGTACAATTTGCCTGCGCTGTGCAGTACTGCACTGAGGCAAAACAACACCGCGCTGCCAATGGACAAGGAAACAGCGGAGGCGCTGACGAGAACGAAGGCGCTCTACGACGCCGCCGCGGTGCTAGAGACGTCGCACCCTCGCGCAGCGAAGCGGTGGTGACGCAAACGCAACACCGACACCACAAAAACCAAACAGGCAACATTGGTGGCGGACGCTCTGCATGGCCTCCTTGGCGGCGGCCCTGGCGCCGCCGCCGCCGGTGCGTATTGGTTATGTGACGGACATCGAGGGGAACCTCGACTATTTCCGCCGCTACGTGCGCGCGTCGGGCGTGCTGCGCTTCGACGACGACGCGGAGACGGAGCTGCGCTTCGCGGACGACGGCTGCAGATTCGTCTTCGGCGGCGACGCGGTCGACAAGGGCGACGGCGACGTGCGCCTCTGCCGCATGCTCGCGGACCTGAGCGACCGCTACGGCCGGGACCGCGTCGCCCTGCTCGTCGGCAACCGCGACCTGAACAAGCTCCGCTTCACGGCGGAGCTGTCGCCGGAGGCGCTCGCGACGCCGCCGGAGGCCGTGCCCGGGCCGCACTGGGACGACGCAGCGCCCCGGCTCGCGGACTACCTCAAGTCGAAGAGCCTCGACGACTCGCGGGCGAACCGGCTCCGGTGGATGCTCGAGCACACGCTCGGCTGCCCCGGGACCTTCGAGTTCCGGAGGGCGGAGCTGAAGCAACTACGAAACGGGGCCGACGTGACGGACGACGACGTCGTCGACTCGTGCGTCGGCGAAGTGCTCCCCGGCGGCGCGCTCCGCGCCTACCTCGAGCGCGCGTCCGTCGCGGCGCGGTTCGGCTCGACGCTCTTCGTCCACGGCGCCGTCGACGCGCAGACCGCCGGCTTCGTGCCCGATAAAAACACGCGCTTCCGCGTCGGGAGGCACGGCGACGCGGGCTTCCCGCCGACGAAAAGCTTCATGGGCGAGCGCGACGTCGACGCCTGGGTCCGCGACCTCAACGCGCTCCTCGCCTGGGGCCTCGAGGACCACCTGGCGCGGCCGACGTTCGCCGCCGACGGCTCGCGCGGCGGCGACTGCCTCCTCGCGCTGCAGAACCGCTGCGCCGTCTGGGGCCGATCCGTCGTGTCCAACTGCTACGCCGACGGCGGCAACGTCGACTCAAGATCCGCGATGACGCGGCGCGCGCGGATCTGGGCCGCGGTCCGCGAGGGCGCGTCGACGGGCGCCTACGACGCGCGCGCGTTCGAGGCGTCGACCAAATACACGTCGGACGCTAGGGACCCGGCGGTCCACGCCTGGCTCCGGCGCTCCGGCGTGAAACGCGTCGTCGTCGGCCACCGGCCCGTCGGCGACTCGCCCGCGCTGCTGCGGGCGGCGGCCGGCGGCGTCGAGGTCGTCATGGCCGACACGTCCTTCGCGGACGTCGCCGCGCCGGACAAGCGCGGCGCGAGCCTGGTCGTCGCGACCTTCGAGGGCGACGACCTCGAGCGCACGGCGACGCGCATCGTCGGGTCGCGCGCGGACGGGGCGAGCTACGAGGTCCGGGTCCCCGCGCCCGGCGACGACGCGGACGCGGACGACGTCCTCGGCACGGTCGACGCCGACGGCTGGTGGTGCAAGGCCCGCTGTGAAGACGGGTTCCTCTTCTCGCGCGGCGACGGGCGCAAGGTCGAGTACGACCTACGACCTCCTTAAAGTCTAAGAAGCTCCAGTGTGTGGGAAATGACTACGTCGGCGCCGGGCCGGGCCAAGTCCAAGACCCGCCTAGGACTCTTTTGTAGAGGTACGGCGGGTAGTTGGTGGCGGCGGCCGCGACTGAGCCTAACGAACGTGTGGGTTTCAGAGCGAGAGCAGTATTCGCAGGCAGACCACTCGCAAGCACCTCCCCGACAGATCTTTTTTGGGGGGCGCCGCCCCGCGCGCGGACTCCCAATCAGCGCAGATCAACAAGAGCTTATTAGAATTGCCGCCTGCGTTGGGAGACGTAGAGGCAGCGCGCGGTCTGTGGCGCTATCTATACGCGTGATCGGTCTGCGCTGCTCCCGGGGCAGCACAACCCCAGCAAAAAGTTTGTGCTCTCAGAGGGGAAGTGGGTTGAGACTGGATCCTCGTAGCTCTACGAAGCAGCCTCAATGGACGAGGAAACAGCGGAGGCGCTGACGAGAACGAAGGCACTCTACGACGCCGGCGTCTTGACGGAAGAAGAATACAACGCCAAGAAAGAAGAGTTGCTCCACGCGCCAGCCGTCGTCGTCGCGCAACCGCCGGCCAACGAACACGGAGGCGTCGTCCAGGGCCACGTCGTCGTCGCGCAACCGCCGGCCAACGAACACGGAGGCGTCGTCCAGGGCCACGTCGTCGCCGTGCAACCGCAGAAAGTCCACCCGGAGCCTCGTCCAGGCTCAGAACCAGCGGCGCGCCGGCGTCGCCGCCGTCGCGGACGCCCCGCAGGAACCGAGGACATCCTCGCCAACTACCGTTCGGACGAGGAGGCGTCGCGCGCGGCCACGCGGATACAAGCGGAAGCGCGGCGATCCGCGGCTTGGAAGGACTTCCCGCTGCCGCCCGGCGCGATTTCCGCCACGAGTTTGCAAGGATGGTGGTGCGTGCGCCGGCGCTGAAGACGTCGCGATGATGCCGACGCGATCGTCTCCCCCCGCAGGTTCGGCCCTGGCCCAATCGGTATTTGCTGCTGGGGGGTTGCCCCCGGTATCCTCCTTTTGCCGTTAGGCTGTCCTTGTTGGTGTTTCAAGTTCGAGGCACGAGGGCACAATCGACTCATGATGACCAACCTGTGCGGTTGCGATCGCCACGACGGATACAGTCGCGAGCGCGACTCCAAGAATTTCAAACGGAACGTGTTCCAGCACAAGGGGGAAGGCAATCCATGGATGATAATCCACAACTCGATCTGTGCTACGCATATCTGTGGCTATCACAGCGTTGGCCGTGACGTTAGCGGCAATCCGAATGGCGGCGTATTTTGCTGGGGTTGTATAACACCACTCATGTGCCGCATCCCCGGGACGGTGCGCACGGCGTGGACAGACAGATACGGCTCAGCCGACGTCGCCACGACGCGGAACGGCGTTACAGGCTACTAAGCCGACGCGGGCAAGGCATCGCACGCGCCGGCGGCGGCCCAGATGGATCGGGGCTTCCCCATCGCCGGGCACAAGGGGCCGCTGCGCCTGACGCTCGCGTCGCACCCCGGCCAAGCGCTCACGTTGGAAGGCGATTTCTGTTGTCCGTTTCCGCCGCCGGTCTGCTGCTGCTTCGCCTGCTGGTCCGGCGTCAGGCTAGGAGACGAGCATCGCGCGATGCAAGTCTTCTACAAGCCGTACAACGGCCAGCTAGAACGCACCGAGGCCTGCAAAGAAATGCGCATACACAACAAGTGGGCAAAGTGGGAGCCCAACAATGAAGTGATTTCCTTCGCCTGCGGCTGCTTCGACTGCGTCACTCGCGAATCCTGGACCCTCTACTCGGACGGGACGATTCACTCGAAATATCATCCGGAGCTGGTGCTCGGCGCCCGCGACAAAGACGGCAAGCTCATCCTCGTGCGGCAGGAAGACCGGCGGAGACAACTGGTCTTCAAGGAAGTGCTCGCGATGGAAAAAATACCGGGACGAATAAACGTGCGAGGATGATTACTAGAATTGTCGATTCCCCCCCACTGATATTGTACGTCCGTCGCGTACGTGCGCTCCCGATAATCATTCTTGACTTCTTCGTCGACACTGCACATGTAGCGGTACGGCGGGTTGGTGCGTGCCGAGCCGGGCCAAGTCCTAGACCCGCCTAGGACTCTTTTCGCTCGACGCATCGGCCCAGAGCAGTGGGCTAGACCTAAAAACGAGGTCCGCGCACAAGCTCGTAGGCGTAGGCTAGTATGAAAAATTCTAGTATCACGCCCGGTGCCAATCGAGGCTGTGCGCTGCGCCGGCTGTGCCGCGAAGAGCTGCCACCAGAGGGCTGCACGTCGCCAGTCGCACGAGCGGGCTGCCCGGCGCACGCCTCCGCCGCGAGGCAGCCGCTGGCCAACGAACCCTTCAGCTAGGGAGCCAACACGCGGTCGTAGGCCAGCATGCCCAAAGCAAGCGAGACGGGCGAGCTCCACCGCCACGCCTCGCAGCGGTCCTACGCTTTTCATAACAACTTGCATGCGAATGCGCAGTCGAAGAGCGGACCGGTGCTGGCCATCCTCGGCGCGGAGCCGCGGACGGCGCGGGCCCCGAAGCAGCACAAAGGGGAAGGCGTCGTCGCCCAGCTCGACCCGAAGCGGCCGCCGCAGCACTACTTCGCCGTCGTGACCCAGAGGTATCTCACGCTGACGCCCCTAGCGCCCTCCAAAACCATCGGAAGCACGGGCTACGCTCGAACAAGAGACACGGTCGTCGTCAAAGCCAAGAAAGCGCCCGAGAAGAAGCGCGTCCCCTTGGAGCCGTCGGCGTCGTGGCGGCCTGGGAGGAGGGGGACCATCGCGACGCCGGGGACCGCCGCCGTGATCGATGAAAGGCTGGAGAATGCTCTGGAAAAAAACGACGACGAGGAAAAAGAGGAGGAGGCGGAGGAGCTCGAGGGCTGGGATTCAAATATGGTCAATAGGATTGACTTGGACGAAGTGCGGTCCATCGAGGCGGTCCCGTTTTCGCTGCGGATGGCGACGATCGCCGAAGCAGCTGCAGAAGACGAGAAGAAGACGAAGAAGACGGACAAGAACTCCTTAGATAGTTTTGAATTTGCAGACGCCGAGCTGGAGGCCCACGCCGTGCACGTGTTGATCGACGTGGAAGGTAGGAGACCGTTCGTCGTCCTCACGTATCAAGAACAGTCGGACTTCAGCAACGAGTTGATAGGCGCGCACCGGACCGCTCTCCGACGGAACGCCCTTGGTCTACGGCCGTCGAAAGTCGCAGATCCTCGGGCATTTGCCGCTGCTTACAATCTAAGGACGACGCGGCGCGACGCGACGGAGGCCGACCTGGACCACGCCTTTTCCGTGATCGACGAACTGGAGAATGCGATCTGCGACGATAGCGACGACGACCACGTTTATGACGATGAGGCCGAAAGGGAGCACGACCTCCTCCAGAAAAGGAAGCAGGATCAACGTTACAAAGAGTACGGGGAGAGGATGGCCAAGAATCCAAGCATGCCCCTGCCATTGATAGTAGCAAGGCCGCCGAACGGCAGGCTCGAGAAGGTACGGAGGCTGGAAGACGACGGCTGTTACCGAGACGCCAGGTTGCTGCGCGATGTGGAGGACGACCTCGCCACGGACGTGGCCCTCAAACGGGCCTTCTTCACGTCTGGGAGGTTAGCCGCGCGCATTTTGGCCTGGGTCGAGCGGCTGTCGTCGGATATTGCCGCTTGCGCGGACCTCGAGGGGGCCTACTGCGCCGCCTACGACCTGGATGACGACGACGACCAGGCTAAAAGAGTGATACGGAAGGCCCAGACCGGTTTGGTGGTGCGAGCCGTGCAAGGTCTGAAGATTCTCCGGGCGGCCCTGCACGACGCGCGGGGCGTCAAGGAGCGCTTCGGCATCATGCGTTTCCGGTTCTGGTCGCCGTCGCGAATCGTCCAAGCTTTGGCGAGGGACCACTTCAACCACACGGATCGCGTCCAGGAGAAAGAAGATTTAAGACGCGCGAGGGAAGCGCGAGCGACTCGTAGGAAGCAGATCGCCGCCGCGGGCTCCGAGAAAGCGGCCAAGGACCATAGAAAAACTGCGCGCGAGGCCCTGCAACGAGCGCGAGAAACATTCATCCAGAAGCACCTGACGCACCACACGAGTACGCCAAGTACGCCCGGCGCGCCGGCGACGCCGCACGCCGCCGTCGCCGCCTTCTCCGCGGCGCTGTCGAAGCCCGCGCCTTCCCGAAAAGTTGTTTCGTACCGCTCGATCACGGAAGAAATGACTCCCGGCGAAACTTTTGCCGATGCGGCGTATCGACTATCGCGGGGCTGCGAAACCACCCAGAAGCGCCAGGCCATCCTGACGGCCGTCAAGGCGGCCTCGTCGACCAAGAAGCTTTCAGGTGGCATCGCGTCCGCAGCAACCAGGTTGCTGGCGTCGCCTGTTAAATCGATAGACGACGACGACTCGAGCGTGTCGACGACGTCCACGGCGTCGTCGGCATTGTTTAGGGCCGCCCAGTCGATGCAGCAAGATTCGCCGTCGGTCGCCTCTTCCAAGAGTAGAGCGGAGTCGTTCGGGGACCTCGTACCTCAATCGTCAGACTCGTCCGTCTCGGTCCTGCAGCGGCCGGCGGCGGTCTTCGTGCACGACGACGGCGCGGCCACGGCCTTCGGGGACGTGCCGACGTTGCGAGGCGACGCGTTTCTCGCGACGGACGACGCGCTGCACTTCACGCGGTTGCTAGATGCCCAGGTGGATGTGCTCGTGGCTCTCGACGACGTCTGCGACGCGCGCAAGCGGGAGGGCGACGCCCAGGTCTGGATCGCCGGGTTAAACGACGACGCGGACTCGATGCCCCGCCCCATGGAGGGCCGCTGGGTGGCCATGGCGCTGGCGCCCGGGAACGACACGGTCCACGGCTCCCGTTTACTTTTGAGTGCATTATTCGAGCGGTGCGTCGCGCTGGGTCTGCGGCTGGCCAAGGCGCCGGATCTGACTATTACTAGGAAAAACTTCTTTCCCGACCAGTCCCAGGCGATCGCCCTGTACGGCGCGGGCGACCAGTCGGCGCTCGCGTTATTGAACCACTCTACATTATTATTGGCGTTATTGAGAGCGGGACACATGGCCCGGGCGTGTGCCCACGAGTTTTGTCGAGACGAGGTCGACGACTTCCTGGCCAAGGACGAGTTTTACGAGCCGCTGGACGCGAACCGCATCACGAGGCTAGCCGCGGCGAACCTGCGGGAGGCCGTGCGACTCGCGCGCGCGGCGGGCGACTCGGCGCAGGCCGCGCGCGACCGGCAGCTGTCCGGTGGGCGGGTATAACTGGGTTTATTTGAGCTAGTTATGATCTGCCCGGGCGCCGCGCCCACTTCACTACCCATCTCACTACCCGGCCAGTGACTCGTGATACGCACGGTGACGTCGATACCAGTGGCACTCAGGTTCAGGCTGATGGCATCCATACTAGTACTCCGAGTCCGAGTCACCACGGGGAGCCGCGAGCGTTCAGGCAACGGTGTACTTAGGACCAGTACGCCAGGGGGCAGACTAGACGGAAAGACCACGGACGGTCTCGTCGACGCGACGGATCATGACGCCTCACACGGCCTCGTCGCCGCGGGGCTGCTCGTCGCATATGTCGGGCGCCGGCGGCCCGCCCTCGCCCCGCTCCCTTCTACGATCAGCCTCCCTTTGTTCCAGCTCTTCTTTGGAGGCACCACCTCCAATATTATCCATCCAGCCGGCCTTGTTGTGTTTGCCTCCCACCGCCTCCTCGTCGTGGTAACCTGCGTGGAAATCATCGCGTCGACCTCCACGCCATCGACGCGACGCCACGCACCCGACACACTGCTTGATTTCCACACAGATGATAACGCTTCACGTGCCAGCCCTTCGCGTCGAAGTTCAACCCGGCGTCGCGCAGCATCGTCAGCGTGCCCCGTCGCTCCGGAAAGCACGTCAGCCGGCACCCGCCCCCGCAGCAGTACCCCAGCGAACCGCCGACGCAGCCGCGGCACGGCCCGAGCAGCCCCAGACCCTCGTGGAACTCCATCGTCTCCGTGCCGACGGACCGCGACGCCCCGACGAAGTAGACGTCGTCGACGTTGGCCACGAAATCCTCGACGCACATCCAGAAGATGCCATCATCACTTTCCCGATCTACTCGTTTCCCCTTCATCGACGTCACGCCTTCAGCCATCCAGGCCGCGTCCTTATCCGAGTACTTTCCTTGCCATTCGCCTTGCGCGTGGGGGTTCCTTATTTTCAGTAACTTGGCGCCCGACGAGAGCTTGGCGCAGTCCAGGATGCTATAAGCATGGCCCGTGATCAACCCCTGCTCGGCCTTGGCGAAGGAGCAGCCCACCAGCATGTTTGGGGGTCGTACGTCCATGACAAACCCATGAGACAAAGTCCCATGGATGACGTCGAAGAACTGGTCGTTTGACGTACTTTGGCAGTACTTCTGGACATCCATCAGGACCCCGTGGTTGCCCGTGAAGCTTTGTAACGCTAGAATCACGTGGCCACCCTCGAGATACCCGTAGGCGCCCCACAATTTCGCGAAGGCCTTTTCGAGTAGTAGAACCCAGAGCTCCGGGCCGTTCGGCCGCGAGAAGCGTGGGTGTAGTCCATCGTCGGTCATCGGGATCCGATCGTCTATCACGACCGTGGTCCACCGCTCATACCGTACGTCATACAATCTTATACGGTAAATACCACAGGGCTCCACAAAATTCGTCAGGAATAGAGATCTTATTATCTCCGGATGGGCCTCAGCTATCGCGCCGATCGCAGCGAGTAACCAGCAGTTCCCAAGGCCTCCTTGTTGCACATCTGCGGCTTCGATCTTGCCTTCAAATAACTGCGCTCTACCTTTCTCTTGGCCATCTCGCGACTCAACGACGTCCGTAGCTCTAGACCAAGGTATGGTAGCTTCCGAACAGGGGTTGTGGCAAACACACACGATCTTCGCGCAGCAACAACAAAAAAAGTCCAAACAAGGCTTCGGCCCTCGACCCAACAAGTTATACCCGATCGACGCGTCGTTCGCCGGGAACCACATGTCCCGGTACTTCGGGAAGACCTTGCCGCATCTCAGGATCTCGCAGCAAAACTTCGACAGCATCATATGCAGCGTTGTGAGTAGGCACGGGATGACGTAGATCCGCAACCAACCAAGAGCGAAGGCGAAGGGTGCCAGGAACAGATTGGCCAGACAGGCCAACAGCAGACAGAACGGCCGCGGGAAGTACCAGCACACTGGTCCCTTTTCTTTTTGGCGCACGTCCCAGAGACACGTCTTGGACAGGGCGCAGCCCCCCACGTTGCAGCAGGGCGGGTCGCCCATGTTGATGGTCTTGCTGGGCTGGACCTTGGCCGCCATGGTCTACGCTACGGCGTTACGACTCGGGTCTTCTGGCTGCCGTGAGTGCTCTGCAGCCACACTGGGATTACGATTGGGCAAAGTCCTGGGGCTGCCCGAGGAGTGTGGCCTACAGTAGGACTTCGGATGCTCGAGGCAGCGTCTCCTCGGGGCTGCCGTGGAGAACTTGTGCCCAGGGGCAGTTCAGGTACCTCTTAAGCTGCTGTGGCAGTGATCTGACCCGCGCTGGACGATCGAGCGCCGCAATACCCGCACGTTCAAAAGTCTTCGGCTACGTAAACGTCCGCGGGCGACGGAACGGCCGCGGGAAGTACCAGCACACTGGTCCCTTTTTTTTTGGCGCACGTCCCAGAGACACGTCTTGGACAGGGCGCAGAGCAGGGCGGGTCGCCCATGTTGATGGTCTTGCTGGGCTGGACCTTGGCCGCCATGGTCTACGCTACGGCGTTACGACTCGGGTCTTCTGGCTGCCGTGAGTGCTCTGCAGCCACACTGGGATTACGATTGGGCAAAGTCCTGGGGCTGCCCGAGGAGTGTGGCCTACAGTAGGACTTCGGATGCTCGAGGCAGCGTCTCCTCGGGGCTGCCGTGGAGAACTTGTGCCCAGGGGCAGTTCAGGTACCTCTTAAGCTGCTGTGGCAGTGATCTGACCCGCGCTGGACGATCGAGCGCCGCAATACCCGCACGTTCAAAAGTCTTCGCTTCTACTGCTCAACGACGCCTCGTCAAGCCTCCCAGCGCGACCCGACGACCCATCTCCGCGTTTGCGGATGGCCTTACGCATTTTTGCGAGGCTGGGCCACAGCTTAGAGATCCGCTGCGCAGGCCCGTGGCAGGCAGACAAGAGCTTTCGCAGCACCACGGCATAGCTGGGACCTCACAGCTTTGCCTGCTCGCGCTCGGCGCTGCGCGGCGCTCGCCGGCAAGCAGATTTGCCTCGCTCTCCGAGACACGTGTAAACCAGCATTCGCGGGCGCGCGCGGGCGAGGGCGCCGTCGCGCTGAGCCGCGCGCGACGCACGATGACGGGCGACGGCGACCTCGCGACGCTCCTCGTCACCTTTGGGGTGGTCTTCGTTGGCGTGCTCTCGGTCGCCTACTTGTTTGGCACGAAACCCGCGAAGGCGCCCGTCAAGAAGGCTAAAAGGAGAGAGAAGAAGCAATCTCCACCACCGAAACCGAAGAAGAACGGCCACGTCGCTGAACCGTCAGGGTCGGCCGGCGCCGGTGCACCTAGACAGCCGCAAAAGCAGACCTCCCAACCGAAGCGCAAGCGCAACAAGAAGAAGAAGAGCCAGAGCCCGCCGCCGCCCCAGGAGCCCGTAGCTCCGGAGCCCGTAGCCCCAGAGCCCGTGGTAGAAGATAACACAGACGACGGGTGGACGGTGGTCGCGGAGGAGAAGCCTCGCCGGAAGAAGGAGAAGAAACCGACGGTGGTGCAGCAGCCCGACGTCGATGTGGTGGAATGTGGTGGTGGCGCTGCCGCTGTGGTGGGTCGCGGTGGCGAGACGATTAAGCGTATAGAAACTTCGACGGGTGCGAAACTGAATCTCGACAAGAAGAACCAGACCTGTGAGATCACGGGCGATGCTGACAGTAGGAAGAAGGCCAAGGCTCTCGTGTTAGAAGCGCTAGAAAAAAGTGGTCATGGGCCGAACGCGCCCCGGACGACGTCTTGTCAAGTGGACGGCGGTTCTAACGTAAATAAGGTCATCGGTTCGGGCGGTTCGACCATCAAGTACATCCAGGAGACGTCCGGTGCGAAGGTAGACACTGGGAGAGAATCCTCCATGATTACTATAAGTGGTACACAGCAACAGATCAGCGAAGCACGAACACTGGTAGAACGAGCCCTGAAGGGCGAGGACGTCGCGGCAGCGACGTCGCACACCATAGATTTGGGAGCGCGAGGCGCCCGGATACTTGTGGGGAAGCAAGGCGCGGCCATAAAAGTACTCAGAGAAAATCACCCGGTCCGATTTGATGTAAGAAGGGGCGACGGCCGCGGCACGTCGCGGGACACGTGTATTATTTCGGGAGACGCGGACGAGGTCACGGAAGCAGTAGTCGCGCTGAATGCGTTGCTTAGTGATCACTCCTCGTCAGAAACTTTAACGTTGGCCTGTCGAGTCGGCGCCATCCTAGGGAAAGGTGGTTCCACAATAACGAAGATCCAGGACGCGTCCGGCGCCGATCTGGATGTCCAAGCTCAGGGTGCTGATGAGTGTGTCGTGAAAGTGACAGGTACAAATGCGCAAGTCGCCGCCGCCAAACGACTAGTGTTGAAAGCCTGCGAGGCGTCGAAGGCGCCGCCTCCTGTGCCGCCTGGCGAGGTTCGGGAGACGCTGCCGGTGCCCGATAGTTGTAGAGGCGCGGTGGTCGGTCGGGGCGGCGCGACGATCTCCGCCATCCAGAGCGAGACCGGTGCTCGCTTAGATTTGGTCGACGGTGCTGATGGTACCGGATCGTGCGTGATCACGGGTAAAAAAGACGCGGTCGCCGACGCGTTGGAACGGGTGAAGACCGCGGTCGAAAAGCACGAAGCCATCGCCGCGCGGGACGCGGCGCGCCGCGCGCCGGCGCCCGCGGAGGGCGAGGGCGGCGCGGGCTTTGACGCGGTGGCAGCGTCCGCCGACGACGCGTGGGCGACGCCCGAGGGCGAGGACGCGTGGGGCGCCTAGGAGCCTGCTCCTGCCGTGACTGGTGCCTTGCTTCTGCCGTAACTGGCGGGGGCGGGCTGCCGCGCCTAGGAGCCTGCTCCTGCCGTGACTGGTGCCTTGCTTCTGCCGTAACTGGCGGGGGCGGGCTGCCGCGCGGTGGATGCCTGGCTTCTGCCGTGACTGGCGGAGGCAGTTGGGTAAATACTTATGATGATGAGTCGGCTCGGCGGCGGGGCGGGCTGCGAGTACTCGTCCTTCGCGTAGCTCCGGCCGCCCGTGCGGTCGAGCCAACGACGCGACCTCGCGTCCTCGCCTCCGTGGCTCGATGGCGTGGAGGGCGTACGCCAGATCACGGCTCCCGCGACCGAGGGCGCGCTCGTCGCGGCGGCGTCCGCGGGTCCGCAAAGGCTTGGCTTGCTCGTCGCCTTCGAGATTTGGCACCGAGAGCCGGCTTCGCAGTGCGCCATCGAGCAAACGACAGCACGCAAACGACCGCAGTCGACCGCAGTCGACCGCCCCACCACCGTGCAGCCCTTGAAGGGCCCGGCGCGGGGCTGCACAGCACTCCAACAAAAGTGGCCTCTGCTTTTCTGCGGGAAATTATCCTACGATGACGCCGAACCGCCTGTTGTGCGGCGTCCTGCTCGCCGCCAGCCTCCACTGCGCGCGGGGCAACGCGCACGAGCCGACGCGCGCACCCACTACACAAGCCGCGGCGCCGACGCCGCGCCCGACCATGACAGACCGCCGCGGCGGGGACGCGGCCGAGATTCCGGTGCGCGCCGCGGCCTTCGCCGCCGCGGGGTTCGCCGCGCTGGGCCTCATCGCGGCCGCGGTCTGGCACGAGTCCCGCGTCGAGCGAGTGGGGCCTTCGTCGCCGAGCCTCCCGCGCGGGCTCGCTCGGAAGCGCTGCGGGACGCCGCGGCTCGGCTGGCATGCGTGGACGCCGCGCCTCGCCCAGCCGCGCGCGCCGCGCGGCCGCCTCCTCCCGTCGCGCTCCCGCGTCCGCCCGACCGCCACCATCACCGTCACCGCACAGGTACCGCCCCAAGGCCGCCAAGAAGACCTACGCCAACCAACTCCCGACGCACACCAAGGGCCAGGCTTCACAATTAGTAAAACAAGTGAGAAGACACCAACGCCGCAATACGCCGCCCGACGCGGGGAGCTACTTCCGGCGCCGCCGCCGCCGCGTCTTCGACTGGATTAATAATGTTGCGAGGTGGACGTCGGACGGCCCCGAGGAACGCGAGGACGGGTCCCAGCGGGTCCTCCGGCACTACCGCCGCAACCACCTGTCCCTAGAAACTTTATCGGCACCACTACCTCTGGGCGAAACATCAAAACAACTCCAGCAAGCCTTGAGTGAAGCTACGTATGCCCCATACCAAACGCGGGTCGACGCCTTCCAGAAGGCGATGGATTCTACAAGAGTCTCGTGGGAAGTCGGCCGCGTCGAACTACGCATTAGGAGACACCACTGTTTGGTAGACGCCGCAAAGGCCCTCCAAGACCTACCGTCCCACAAGTGGCGGGAGCCCTGGTACGTCACGTTCGCGAACGAAAGTGCCCTCGACGCGGGCGGTCCCTCGCGCGAGTTTTTTCGTTTGGTCTCGAAGGATCTGGCGTCCTCCGGCTTGTTCTCTATTGCACATGATGAAAGCTACGCGTTGAAAGCGGACGCCGTGCTATCGGACAAGTTTCCGCGCGCTCACGAGATGCTGCTGTTGGCGGGCCGATTGTGCGGCAAGGCGCTGCTCGAGGGCCACCATCTGGAACATCTTAGATTGAATCCCATCTTGCTGAAGCATGTCGTCGCCGAACCGTTGTCATTGAAAGACCTCGCGTTGTTGGACGGGGACCTCGCCCGGGGTCTCGACGCGTTGCTGAATATGGATCCAGATGACGTGCCGTCGTTGTGTCTGACGTGGTCCGTGTCCGACGATTTGGATGTGGATGACAAGAAGTGGACGCGCGACCTCGTGCCGAACGGGTCCGAGATTCCGGTTGCGAGCGTGCGGAAATCGAATTTCGGGCGCCTGCTCGATGGCGTGGAAGTTCTACGCCATCGACGCGGCGTTGCCCCCGTTACCACGGTTCCACGCAGGTCACCGGCAAAGACGCGCGGGGCTTCGTCGCGGCCCGTTTCTTAGACGCGTGCTTCGCGAAGAGCGCTGATGGTTTGAGAAGCTTCCTCGGGGGTTTATACGACGTCGTCCAGCCGGAAGCGTTGATGTTATTAAGCGCGCGCGAGCTGGAACTGCAGCTCTGCGGCGCGGCCGTCATCGACGTGAAAGCCTGGAAAAGAAGTTGTGTCTACAGGGGCGACTTCGACGTCCAGAGGGGCAACCCCTTCGCGCCGCTGCATCCGGTCGTGCAGTACTTTTGGGATGAGGTGGAATCGTGGTCCGACGAGCAGCGCGCGCTTTTGTTGCTGTGGTGCACGGCTGTGTGGAAATCAACCAGTGCGTCGGGGGCACCTGACGCCATGTTCGAGGCGGGTCCCGTGTTTGCGACGGCACGCGATGGAGGGGCGTTCAGCGCCAGTGTGTGAGTTCAGGGGGTGTAGGGGGTTAATACTCACGAATTTGCGGCCTCGGTCTTGCGCCCAGCGGCTCGTAAGAGCTCTGCAATCCGGGAGTTTCCAACACAGATTTTAGGCTGTGACGCCCTTTGCGGCGACCACTGGGGCCAAGGAATAGATAGAAGGAAGGTTTCCGCCCGCTGGATGTCGCGTTTGCCAACGAGGACGCTGGGAGACGCGCAAAGCTTTTAATCTCAAGTTTGCAAACCTGCTTTTTGCCCCTGCTTGGGCACCCCGCGCACGCGCGCAGGTCTTGTTGCGAAGCGTTGTACTCTGATACCTCTCTCGTACGCCGACGACGCGCCGTCGACGCGACCGTCCAAAACCGCGCCGCGCGAGAAGACCATAGGTTAGTACATACTTACTAAAGGAACTCGATGCGCCCGTCTAAACCGTCATCTTCGGACGCGAAGCCGTCGCTCCACCCCTCCGGTAAAGGGACCGTGTCGCCGACGACCTCGGGCCCCCCAAAGAGTTTGCGCAGGCCCTTCCGCGCCAATAACCTCGACTTCTCGCGCCGAACAATGGCCGAGAAGGCGTCGCAGCGCGCGTCGTGCGTCTCCGCATCTAGCAGCGACTGCAATTCGTGCTTCGCTGCGTGCACGGGCTCCAAGTCGTCCGCGACGCGCGCGTCCAACGTCGTTAATGCTGCTCTCAAATCCCGCGGTAATTCAGATAAAGCTAATGTAGCAGAAGCGTCCCCCACGTCCATGCCGACCTCCGGCAATCGTCCTGTCGAGCGAAGAAAATCCAACAACCTTTCATGCAGGTCGGCATGCAACTTACGTCTAACACCAGAAGCCCTTCCATCCAGGTAAGCCAGCCACGTCTCGGCGACGTTCCACAACGTGCCCACGCCCACGCCGCGCCCCGCACCTAAGAGTGATACGGCCTTTTCGTTAAATCTGACGTCCTCGTCCACTTCTCTTTGCAGGGCCGCGACTTCCTTCAATAACTCGAGCAGCTGCTTTTCTCTTCGAGGTAGCGGCAATTCCGTGACCGTTTCTTCGAACGTGACCTTTTCGATACCTATCGAGTCCTGTAACGTCTTCTTCGTTCGGACGTCGAGTCTTTTCACGAGCTCGCCCAGCTCGCCCGTCGTCTGTTCCAGCGTCTTGAGTAGCGAGGCCAGCGGCGACTTCTGGGTCTCCTTCTCTTGAGGCAGGTCGACGACCTCCACACTTCTCCGGCCGCGACTCGCGAGGACCTCGCCGTCATCAGTTCGGAGACGGACCCAGCCGTTGACCACGCCTTCGACGGTACCGCTCACACCAGCGTGCTTGCCCGTCCTGACACGTACTTGCGAGCCGGCGATGACTTCACTCGGGTCGGTCTCGACATCAGCCGATTCAGACGCGACGCAGCGTAGGTAAGACGCGTCTCCCGCGGATCTAGCGACTACTTTGTCAATTCTAACACGAGATGAAGACAGTTGGTGGCGGCAGCGCCACTGGAGCCTACCTTGCGATTCGTCCCTGACGTCCTCGACTTTTTGCAACTCCATCTGGCACCCGTACCGCGCGAGGCAGGTCCGGTTCTCGGCCCGGACGCCCCAGGTCGTGATGACGCGGCGCGAGCCCGTTCTTAGCAAGTCGTCGAAGAGCTTGCTTAGTCCAGCGTCGTTCGCGGGTACGGAGACGTCGTGCGAACTGCCCGGGATCAAGGGGCCATCTAACACATATAAAGGCACGGCCTCGTCGCTCTCAAAGTCGCCGGGGACCCAGTCCTTGGGCTCGACCCAGACGGCGCGGTCGTCCTTGGGGGCGGCGAGCGGGCTGGCCGCGGCGGGCTCCTGGGGCTTGGCGGCGAGACGCGTCGTCGGCCGCGCGGGGTGCGGCCTGCCACTTCGGTGGGCCACCGGCGCCCAGCCGCTTACTGCGGCGACGAGCATCATCAGTGATGCATACTTAGATGCTCTGACTCCAGTCATCGTTGATACGCAACCGTGGCGGGCGCCAAGGCAGGGCGCGGCTCAGTGGGGCCTGGGGAGAGTTTACCGAAGCCGTGTGCTGCGGAGGTGCTCTCTCGGCGGTGTTTGTGAGTAGCCGCAAGGTGTGCGTGTCGCGGTCCTGCAACGCAAAGTCGATGCAAGGAAGCGTTTTTTGACAGCTCCGGGAGCTGCACGAGGCATACAGGGCTCCGCTCCCGGGCTTTCGCTGTGTGCTCGCGACCGTACTAGCGACAACCGTACTAGCAGCTCTCGATGCTTGGGCCGCGGCGCGAGCAGCCTCAAGAGCAAGCGCGAGCAAGCATATATATATTGTTAAAAGCCTTCTTGCAACGCCGCACAGCGCTGTGCCGACTTTGAACCGAAACGAGCCAGCAGCGGCAGCAAAAAGCACCATAGCAGCTGCAGCTCTCGCACCACGCCATCGCAGCGATTCAGCGCAAAAGTAGAACGCAGCAATCATGGCCCAACTCTACGACGCCGGCCCGCGAGCAGCCCTAGACTTAGGCGACGTCCCGGACGACGCCAGCGACGCGACGACCGAGGAGGATCCGCAAACCGTCGAAGCCTTCGTGCGCCGCATGCGTAAGGAAAGCAGGCAGCTCGGCGACGTCTTCCTGGCTGATGATGAAGCTGAGAACAGTCGGAGACGGTCGACCGCGTCCGACCTGCCCGAAACGAAGGAGACGATGCCAGTCGAGTGGGCGCGCAGCGTGCTCGCGGACTTCTCCGACTTGCGGTTGGCGCTCGAGGCGCATGCTGCTGCTGGTGTGGGCGGCAAGAATGGACCTAGAATGCCCGTGCCGCGCCTGAAAGATAGTAGGGGCTGGCACCGTTTTTGTTTTGGGGACACGGAGGCGTGTCCCGACTCTAGTGATGACGAAGAAGAGACAGTAGAAACACCGCAAGGCACTTTACCAAGCGTGCGGTTGTTGCTCCAGTTCGACTTCGTGATGACGCAGCGGCTCGTGGCGATGCACGTTAGGTGGTTAGATTCCTGTGCGCTGTCTCATAATAGAGCGCTGTGGCTCTACGCTCTCCTCGCTAGATTGCACAAGCCGCTGCACCGCGACACGTGTGCGGTCCTCCGGCAATTGGTGAAGCGCCTGCTGGCGCTGCGCGATTCGTGTGACGAGCCCGCGGCGCTCAACGCCCTGCTCGCGCTGGCGGGGCGCTACTTCGACCAGGCGTCGGCGGACGAAATCGGTAGCTTCTAAGGGTGTTCTGTGTTATTTTTACATGGTCGCGGCGATGGCGTACTGGTGGGGTCAGGGCCGGGCCGCGGGCTTCGTCTGGCGCCGCCGTAGGCTATGCCGTGATGGCGGAGGCTGTCGCGCCGACGGCGTCGAGCCGCGGCGCATACAGGTCACACAAAAAGGCACGATCGCGTCACACAAAAGGCGGCAACAGTCGCGACGGCGTTTTCGCGGCGTAGTTCCGCCACGCGTCCCCGAACTGCTCCTCTAGGATCTTGTCCTCGCTCGCCATCCGTGGTTTGTAGAACCTCCATGCTGATAGCAGCAGTACCGCGATGGCGAGCGGCGACCCGAGACTGGCGAGGCCGCCGGCGAAGAGAAAAAGATAAGCCGTGTAGATGGGATGCCGCACGACGCGGTACGGGCCCGTCGTAACGAGTGACTCCGGCGTCACGACGCGGTCGTAGGCCCGGCCCAGCGTCCACGCGGCGCTCGCACCGATCAGCGTGCCCGCAATCCGCAACGCGAAGAGCTCTCGCGAATTGATCCACCCGCGCGCGCCGCGCCAGGCCCCGAGCCAATGGGCCGCCCAGACGCTCAGCAGGAATTGGCCGAACTCGCCGCCGCCGGCGCCCTTCGCCGGCTCCGCGGCGCGCTCCGAGTATTTTCCGAAGCGGTATGACCTCGGCAACGTGACCTGCGCGGACGTGTAGACTTTCATGCGGCCGCGTCGACGACGTCACGGCGACCGTGTCGTCTTGAAGCCGACTTCCCGCGCCGGTTCAGACGACTGCAAAGAATGCGAAATATTCCGTTGAGAGGCGCCAGCCGAGCGCGGGGCGGCCGCAGGCGTAGCACGGCAGCTCCACGAGCAGGCCGACCGCGGCGGCCAATTGGACGGGCTGCAGGAGCTTTTGAGTCGGCGAGAGCGGCGTCGCGCCCGCGTCGGACTTTTTGATTGCCTCTGCCTTGCTTACAAACCTGGCTGCCGGTAGTACAAAGGCTGCACTCACCGCAGCTATCGCGAGCAGTCTCGGTAGCATGCGCATCGTTGCGAGCAGCTCAGGACTCACGGTGATCATCCAAGCTGTTGCGGCCACGGGGCAGCTCAGCGATGGCGTCGATTGTGTTGGTTCCACAAATAGAGCTCCTGCGAGAGCAAGAGGCTGCCAAGAGCAGGCCCTGAGATGCTTGCTAGTGCCTTACCGGCCGCTAGAAAGAATAGCACAAAACTCACAAGTTAAACAAACATAGACTACCTCTTCGCCTCCGCGGCGACGGCTCCCGGCCGACGCTTCGCGCGCCGGTCGGACGCGCGGACCTTTTTGTCCTCGCGCGCCGCGGCGGAGCCGCTCTTCGCGGCGAGCTTGTGGATGTCTTGTTCCGGCGCCGCACAACCTTCCACGTCGCAGGGAAAGATCATCTGGTGGCCGTCACCGATGTACGGATCCTTCCGGTCCGCGTGGCCGTTCCTCGTCAGGCTCTGCAGCGTCTCGGTATCAGAATTGATCGACATGCGCGGGTCGAGCGGCGGCCGCACGGTCCCAAAGCAGTGCCGCTCAGTCGCCGAGCGGTACGAGTTCTGGTGGAGCGTCGAGCCGCTGTTCGTGAGGCACCGGAAGCGACACAACTCGAAATCGTCGGCCGCCTCTTTGAGAACGGCGTGGACCGCATGCTTCCGGACGAGCCGTCTCTGCTCGACGTTCCTGGGCCTCACGCAGCACGCCACGCAATTCTCGTACGTGTCGCAGCAGCTCGACGCCGCGCAGCGGTCGCACGGGTTTCCCGACGCCTGGCAGCAGCAGCCGTTCTCATCAAGGCCGTCGGGCGCGCAGACGCCGCCCCGCGAGTCGGCGACTGCGCTCGGCGACGCGCCGTACGTGTTCGCGCAGCCGGCGGCCGCGGCCGCGCGCGGCTGGCGCCGCGCCGGCGCGCCGGCGGCCGGCGGGTGGCGCACGACCGGCGGCAAGACCGGCGCGCCGCCGGCCGGCTGGTGGGGCACGACTGGCGCCGGCGGTGGCCGCGGGCGGAGCACCGCGTAGTGCGCTGCGGCCGTCATCACCAGAGCAGCTGTGAGCACTGCACCAGCAATTATTTTCAGCACGCTGCAGCGCAGGCCTCGCCTCGCGCGCGCCGCCGTGCCTCGAGGTGTTGTAGGCCTTGACAGAGGTGCTGGGGCTGCTCCCGAGAGGCGCCGCGCGGCCATGTCAGCGGTTTTCGCACTGTATCTCGCACAGCACGCAGCGATGCGAGACTGTTCGGGTCAGCTATGCGCTGCTTGGCGCGATGCCAAAGAGCTGGCTGCCTGCCCTGTGCAGGGCCAGACTTTGCAAAGCCTGTCGTGACGCGTACGCCGCACCGATTGACGTGAGATTTTTTGCAGTGGCTTAAAGTCTCCACCGAATACAGCGTACGAATTCTGCAAGGATTTCGCAGCGTGGCCGCGCTCACTCTTGGTGCATAAGCATGAGGCTGGCACGACACATTCGACGGCGCACCGATGCCGTACGCAGCTTCAGCGCACCAACCATGCCTGTGGCCAAGCGCCACGACTGGCTGTCCACGCTCGAAGACGCCGACGTCGCAAATCTCAATGCGCGCTGCTCGAAGATTATCGAAGGCGCCGACGCGAAGCCGTATAATCGTGATTGGATGGACAAATGTGAAGGCAAAGCTAGAATAGTAGCGCAGCCGGCGACGACGGAGGAAGTCTCCGCAGTATTGGCGTACTGCAACGAAAAACGACTGGCGGTGACGACGCAGGGCGGCAAGACGGGCCTGGTCGGCGGTAGTGTCCCGGTGCACGACGAGGTCATCCTGTCGACGACGCGGTTAAATACAATAGAAGGTTTGGACAAGGACACGGGCGTTGTGACCTGCGGCGCGGGCGTCGTCCTGGAGACGCTCGACGCCTATCTGCGAGAGCACGACTTCGTGGCTCCCTTGGATTTGGGCGCGGCGGGCACGTGTACCATTGGAGGCAACCTCGCGACGAACGCCGGCGGCGTGCGCTTCGTACGCTATGGCTCATTACGAGGCGCCTGCGTTGGATTGGAGTTCGTGAAGGCCGACGGCACGGTCGTCGACTGCGCGCGGACGTCGCTGCGCAAGGACAACACCGGTTATGCCTTACCGCAGCTGTTGATCGGGTCGGAGGGCACACTGGGCGTCATCACGAAATGTTGTATAGCGTGTCCCTCGTTGTCACCTTTCGTCAACGTCGCGTGGCTCGCTTGTAACAGCTTCGATGAAGTGAGGAAAGTGCTGACGACCGCACGTAGTACGTTGGGTGAGATTCTGAGTGCGGTGGAGTTCCTGGATCGCGGGGCGTTGGATGCTACCCTTAGAGCCCATCCGGACATCGAGGACCCGCTAGAAACGGATGCCCCGTTCCGCGTGCTCGTCGAGACGGCGGGATGCGACGCGACGCACGACGCGGCGAAGCTGGAGCGGTTCCTCGAGGCCATCGACGTCGAGGACGGCTGCGTCGCTCCAACAACCTCAGCGATGAACGCGTTGTGGACGCTCCGCGAGGGCGTCTCCGACGCGATGACCTCACGAGGCTTCGTTTATAAATACGACGTGTCCCTGCCTCCTTCCACTTTATATGACCTCGTTGAGAAGACTACGGAAAGGCTGGAGCATTTGGACGTCGACGTCGCGGGGTATGGACATGTGGGCGATGCGAACCTCCATTTGAACGTCTGCGACGTGACGGGGTATAGAGAAGAGGTCCACGCTCTACTGGAACCGTGGGTTTATGAAGAAGTGGCCCGTTCAAGGGGGTCCATCAGCGCGGAGCACGGCGTCGGCCAGTGCAAGCCCGAGTACTTGCATTTGAACAAGTCTGTTGAGGCGATGGACCTGATGGGGTCTTTGAAAAAAGTGATGGACCCTCATCTCATCTTGAACCCGTACAAGGTGCTGCCGGCTTCGGTTTTGTAAGTGAGATTTTGTTTGTGCTTTTCCTTTGACAGTCTGTCATGTGATTGTTACGGTGCTAGGACTAGTGGGCGGAGCCCCTGGGGGGGAGTGTTACCGCGCGTCTAGAGCGCACGGCGCGGTGGCTAGTTCCTTTTTCCGCCATTGCTGCATGAGTTCCAGCTACGCCTCCGGACGCGTTGCTGCGGCGTGCGGCGTCGGCGTCAGAGGGCCTCAAGTGTGCAACTTTTGGACTCAGTTCGACGACTGCCACGCTGTTCGCGCCGTACACCTCGCACAAGCAGACATTTGTCGCAAGCATCATGGTTCGCACGCTTAAAACAGCTCTCCTGCTCGGTGCCAGCAGCTCCGCGTTACTCGTGCCCGGCAAGCCGCGCACCAAGACGCTGCGCTTCGTGGAGGTCGCGGAGCGCATCTCGACTTCGGAGGACAAAGCCGAGACGTTCGAGACTGCGGACTACTTGCAGGACATGGACCGATACGAAGGAAAAAACAACGTGATACCCACGGGGTTCGACGTGAACGCCGCCATCGACGCGGCGGCGACCGAGTCGACGACGTTCATCGACGTGGTCGTTGAGGAGACCGTGGCGAAGGTCGCGGAGGAACGCAAGGACGAGGCCGCGGCCGACGCTGTCGCGAGTGTCGAGAAGAAACTCGAGGAGAAGCTCGAGACCACTATGGACAAGATCGAGGCCGCCGCGGTGCCGATGGAAGAGATCGAGGTCGGCCCGGTCGGCGAGTTCCTCATTAAATGGGGCTTCAAGGACGACCCAAGGATCCCTGAGGACGAGCGCGTGCCTGCGATGCAGAGAATCAAGGATAGCGGCAAGGCCGGTGTGATCGCCTACGCTCTCACCGAAGGTGCGTTCTGGATCGGCTCGGTGCCGTTCGCGATCGCGGCGGTCACGCTCGCGACGGGATCGTTCCCGGACATCGCCTCGGACGAGGGCAAGGCCGCCATCGGTGCCGACGCGTTCATCTTCATCAATTTCGCACGCCTCATTGTGCCGGCCCGCATCGCGTTCGCGCTGGGCCTGGCACCGTGGGTCGACGAGAACATCGTCAAGAAGTTCGGCGGCGACGAGAAGGAGGAGTAGGCGGCCGCGTCTGCCCAAGAAAGCCGAGCGAGGCGTGTAATTTGATTTTTATGTGATTTGATGTCTCTTCTTGCTTGCCACTAGCTCCAACGCCATAGAAATTACTGGTTTGCGCGTTCATGCTTAGCTAGCGGCTGTGTGACACTAGCAAGCTCTCCGACGAGCTTGAGCCTCGGCTCGTTCCCAGCTGTTCCCGGGCGCATACCTGGCCGAGAGTCGACAGTATTGCACAAACGGTCTACGACATCTCGCTGCGCGAACGTGTGGGCAACTCTTGTGCCAGTTAAGCCATTGCAGGCACCGCACTCGAACTAGCCGCAGCCGGATACGCAGCCGCATTGATCGAAAAGCAGCCGGATAGGTAGCCGCATCGATCAAAAAATGCGCAGATTCCTACTTCTAGCACTCACCGCAGCCAGCGCGCATGGCAAGAAAGCGGTGATAGGCTTCGACATCGGCACCGAGAGCGTGCGAGCTGGTTTATTCGACGCCCAGTCGGGGGAACTCCTCGCCACGAAGTCACACCCGCACGAGACGCGGTTCCCGCAGCCCGGCTACGCCGAGCAGTCTCCCTCAGATTGGTGGGCCGGCATGGGCGAGGCCTGTCGAGCAGTCGTGCAGGAGTGCGCCGATGTTGATGTGGTAGCGATCTGCCTCGCGGCGACGTCGTGCACGGTCGTGGCTTGTGGTGAAGACGGCGCGCCGCTGCGCGACTGTCTCCTGTGGATGGACCAGCGGGCGGCCGCGGAGAGCGACGAGATTTTACGGCTCGGCGACGGCGACGCCGCGCTCAACGTCAACGCGCAGGGCAAAGGGCCCATCTCCGCGGAGTGGATGCTTCCGAAAGCCTTGTGGCTCAAGAAGCACGAACCTGAAATCTATGCCGCCGCCAACGTAATCTGCGAGTGCCAGGACTGGCTCAACCACAAGTGCACCGACACATGGGTCGCGGGCGGCTGCAACGTGGCGACGCGCTGGCACTGCGACGGCAAGGCGGCGTGCGAGGAAGTCGAGAACGGCCGGTTCGGCGGCCGGCCGTCGGAATTACTACGTAGGTGCGGTCTCGAGGCCCTGGAGGAGAAGTGGCCGCGGACGTGCGTCGCGATGGGCCAGCCGGCGGGCGCGCTCACGGCCGCCGCCGCGGCACACCTAGGGCTGAAAGAAAACACACCGGTCTCGCAGGGCGGCGCCGACGCCTTCGTGGGACTCGTGGGCCTGGGCACCGCGACGCGCGGCGGCGTCGGCGTCATCACCGGGTCTTCAAGTCTACACCTGGCCGTGGCGCCCGCGCCGCCGAAGGGCCCGCCGCGGGGCGCGCCCGGCGTCTGGGGCCCCTACCGCGGCGCGCCGCTGGCGGACCTGGCCATGTCCGAGGGCGGCCAGTCGACGACTGGTGCAGCTTTACAGTGGGCGCGGCGCATCTTCGGGGACGCGTCCTTCGACGACCTCGAGGCCGAAGCTTCAAAACTGCCGGTCGGCGCCGAAGGTTGTGCTGCATTGGAGACGTTCCAGGGCGCGCGGACGCCCGAGACGGACCCCAAGGCGCGCGGGGCGCTCTACGGTTTGACGCTCAAGCACGGCCGCGGCCACGTCTGGCGGGCGCTGCTCGAGGCAACGGCGCTTGGTACTCGCGCGAGCGTCGACGCACTTACGCAAAATGGGCCAAAGGAAGATCTTGCGCTGTCCGGCGGCGCGACGCGGTCCAAGCTCTGGCTCCAGATGCACGCCGACGCCTGCGGCCGCGACGTTGTTGTCTGTGTGGCAGTCAAATTTCAGGCCGTTATCCCGTCACTGAAGGTCCCTGAACACAGGTTATAATCGGCGAGTCGGCCGAGGCGCCTTTATTAGGTTGCGCCGTGCTCGCGAGCGCGCTCGCGGGCGTCCACCCTACTATAAGCGAGGCGGTCGAGGCCATGGTCCGGCCGGCGCGGCGCATCAAGCCCGACGCCGATGCGGCAAAGGCCTTCGATGCCTTGTACGACCGCGTCTACCGCCACGGCTTCTCGGCGCTCAAGCCGCTGTCGCACCGAACCTCGACTGAGGCAACCGCTGCATCCGACGATCGAAGAGGCGTCGTCGCCGCGTCACTCCTCGCGGCCGACGCCGGGCATTTAGGAGATGCGGCCGACGCCGTGCTACACGCCGGCGCCGACTGGCTCCACGTGGATATTTTCGACGGTTCGAAGGCGTCGAACGGCGCCCTGTCGTCGATGGGGCCCCAGACCGTGAAGGCGTTGCGGCGGCGGCTTCCAGACGCCTATTTAGACGTACATGTTGGCTGCCGCGACCCTTCGGCTGTTGTCGAGACGCTCCTCGCGGACGGCTGTTCCAGCGGGCTCACGTTCCAGTTCGAGTCCTGCGCGAGTCTGGATGCGGCCAAGGCGCTCGCCGGCGAGATAAGGCAGGGCGGGTGTGATGTTGGTATCTGCCTGGCGCCGGAGACGCCAATCTCCGCCATAACGTCACTCCTGGACGCGGGGCTCGTGGACATGGTCGACGTGTTGGCCGTCGCACCGGGCCGCGGCGGCCAGTCGTTTGATGGTGCCGCGGCCCTGCCGAAGCTGCGCGCGCTCCGCGAGAAGTACCCGGGCCTGCGGCTCCAGGTCGACGGCGGCATCGATGCGACGACCGCGCCGGATGCCGTGGAGGCTGGCGCGGACGTCCTGGTCGCGGGGTCGTATATCTTCCGGGCGGGAGACGCTGCCGAGGCCGTAGCAGCTCTGCGCGAGGCGTTTCCTTCCGAGACGTCGCCGCGGGAAAAACGGTGGCCTTGGCAGAGATAAATTAGAATTAGTGAATAGATGCCGACACGGCCCCTCGCTTCTTCATGCCGAAGACACGCCGTCCCCGCCGCCGCACGGATCTGGCGGCGGGGTTGCTTGCACCGGAGTATAGCTCTTCCAAGGCACCAGGCGGCGCCGACGAGAACAGCAGCCCCGAGGGCTTGCCGTGCTTGCGCACCGTCGCTAACGCCTTCCTTCGCAAGGCGGCGTCGACGTCGCCAGGGGTGCACGTGGCGAGGTCCCGCGGCGCGATCGCGGGCGTATCGGAGAAGCATCCGGCGTTGACGGCTATGTTCATAGGCGTCATAAAATTCTGGAGCATCATGACCATGAGGGCGAACATGAGCGCGGACAGGCCAAGCATCACACCGCTGTCCGACGCGACGCAGACCGCCAGCGCGAAGAAGAACGACGACGCGTAGAACATGAGTACGATAAAGACGTTCGGAATCATGAGGCAGTTTGTGACGCTCGACGAGCGCACAAACGCTGGTAAATTTGTATCGGAGACGGGCGCGAGCATGACGAGTACGAGGTAGACGGCGCCGATGACGAGCCAGCTGAACACTATCGATAGCCATCCCACGACGACGAGCCAGAACCGGGCCTTCGCCGGCTCTACCTGGCGCACCGCTTCGTAGGCGTCCTCGTCCACGGCACTGAGGAAAATCGTCCAGTTCACGCCGAGCATCAATGCCGCAAAAATAATCTCGGTCTCGTACGTCGAGCTGAGTCCGTCGCGTAGACTCGCGGCGTCGTACTGCTTCGAGCAGGCCAGATGTTGCCGCCACTCCAAATTGTGGTCCTTCGGGATATTGCCCATCTTTTCGAGCAGCGTGAACGCCTCGCTCCAGAAGGTCATGTAGCCGATGCCGCCCTTCACGGGAATCGCATCGTCGCCCGCTTCCTCGAACGCATCGGATGCGTCGTCTCCAGCGATCACCGCCGCCTTGGCGTGCGTGAACTCCTGGTCGGTCAGCACGCCCTTGGCCTTGAGCTCGGCCAGTTTTTCGATCTCCGACGCGAGCGAGGCCATTATGGCTGCCCTGAGACGCTGCCCTGTTCGCTGGTCTGCGCCAGCGATCGATTACTGAGTCTGCAGCAGCTTCGCACTACGCGTGCACAGCGCTACGGTGTGGCGCGTGCGATGGGCAGCGTTTTGTAGCAGGTGCGGCCGGCAGCCGCAGCGGCAGTCGGGGTCTCCGGCGTTTGAATCCTCGGATGGCTGTAGTCTACGCGCTGCAGTCGATGCGGCGCCTGGGCAGGGATGGAGGGCTATTTCCCGTTTGTGGCTTCCCCACGGTCCTCGCCGCCGACGGCCCTACGATGTTGTATTTAGGCCCCGCCCCCCTGGGCCCGGTGCACCTTGACCTGCAAGGCGGCCCCACCAGACCCGGCGTAGCCCGAGACGCCGCTCTTCAATTTCACCACATCCTTGTCCCGAAAAGAAGCCCCGGTCACGGGGCACCGCTTCTCCTCCAACACTTTCAACTTGCGCGCGACCGGCTCCAAGATGATGCAGCCCGTCGGCTTGATGAGCAGCACCTCCTGCGTCGTGATCTCGTCGCCAGACACGTGGCACAAGAATCTGACGTCGTGACCGTCGTTTTTATTTTGGGACGCCTTGCCGACTGACGATCGTCGTAAATCTAACGAAACTAAGTCCTTCGATCTGAGTTCAGCGCCGGTCACGGGCGACGGCGGCCGTCTGGGCGGTCGCGGCGGGATCTTTTTTTGGGCAGAGGGCTGCTGCGACGGCAGCCAGAACGAAGTACGCGCCAAATCCGTTTTATGTTTGTCCTTGGCCTCGAAGTCAATTTTCTTGGACGTCTGCGCGACGACCAGAGCGTGGGAGCCTGTCGGGACCGCCTGGGCGAAGTTGGACTGCGAGTGTTCTGTACGTTGTCGTTTCGGTGCTGATGCACTTGTGGTAGCATCATTAGTCTGCTCGAACTCCAGCAACAACTGGCGGTCGTCCTCGGTGCGCTGCTGGCCCGCTTCTTTGGCCTCGCGCGCGCGGTCCGCGTCCCACTTGGCGCGCGCGGCCTTCAGCTCGTCGCCCTTGGAGACCATGTGCTCCAGCAGACTCTCGCGGGAGTAAATGTGGCCGGAGGGCGTGCAGACGGGGTCCTTTGCCGGTTGGAGCGACAGCGCGCACCACCCGAAGGGCAACTGGGCGTCGGCGCCCGTGCGCTCGTCGATACTCGACATGAATGAACATTGCTTGCGCTCGCCATACGAAAAGACGCCGTAGGTGGACGAGCCATTGTTCTTGGAGTGCTTTTGGGGCATGGTTGCGTACGCGCGACGGCTGCGGGGCGTCTGGGCTAGCTAGGTGTAGTGCAGCTCCTGGAGCCCGCGGGCGTCTCAAATTACCTTTCGCGCAGCGAAGGGCGTCTCGTAGGCTGCTTTCAGCGAAGGCAGAGAGCCGTGCGAGTCTGTGCGAGCCTGCGTGGCGTTTTTTGCCGTGCAAAAAATAATGGCTAGCGGCATGTAAGACACTAGCAAGGTCGGACTCGCGGGCGCCTGCACAGCTCGATACGCAAGTGTTGCAAGGCCTTAGGCCGCTCGTGCACTCGTTTGATACCCAGCTTTCGGCGTGCAGCTCAACAGCTCTCAGAAAGGGCTTGCCGCCCAGCACTGCATAGTGCCCAAGCCAGCAAGCAAGAAAGGCGGCGCGGCGCGTCGGCGAGCAAGCAATGGCCGACGACGACGTGCGCCTCACGCTACTAGCCGACTTCCGCCTCGCGCAGATCACAACAGACCCGCAGAGCGCCGTCGCCGGCGCCGGCGTCGCCGTGCTCGACCGCCACGGCGTCGTCTGCGTCGGCGCGGGGCGCGAGATCGTTTGTGTGGAGGCGGCGGCGCTCGAGGCCGCCGCCTGGGCACGGTACGACGACTCTAAAAAATCGGGCGGCTCGAAGCGGCGCGAGGGCGCGGCGCCGCCTTCCCTGACACGCGCGGAGCTTGCCGGACCGTGCACGTGCTGCGCCGCTTCATCGGACGCCGCCGTCGTGGCCGCGGCGTCGAGTCAAGATGTTGCGGTCTTTGCGGTCGAGCGCGGGCCCTCGCTGCGACGCGTCCGCGCGACGCCCCATGCCAACGTGACGGCTCTGGCCGTCTCGGCCGACGGCGCCTGGGTCGCCGCGTCCACTTCCACCAAAACGACCGTCTTCAAGGTCGATGGAGGCGGCGACATGGAGCTGGACGGCTCCCACGCGGCCTTCCGCGGAGCCAAGCTCGCCGTGGCCTCGAGCGAGGGCGTCGTGACCTACGCTTTGGCCAACGACGTCTGGCGCGAGGAGGGCCGCGTGGGTGCGGACGCCGACTCGCTGGGCGACGACGACGCGCGGTCACCACATTTCGTGCGCTGGCTCGACGACGCGAGAATTTTACTAGGCTTCCGCCATACGGAAGATGCCCTGGCGCGGGCCATCGTCGTCGACGTCTCCAGTAAAACGGTGACGACCTACGCGGCGGATTTAGGTGACACGGTCGTCGCGTTTTTTGATCGGGAGGCGCCTGGTTCTCCACATACCTTCTTCGCCGCGTCATCTAGGAGTGGCTTGTGTCTGGTCGCCTGCAATTTGAGCAGGGACGTCGGCGTGGTACGGGAGGACCCCGAGCAACCTGGTGCTTATTATTTACATGAGGCCTACGACGAGGCGGCGCTCGTGTGTCAGACGCCCTGCCAGTCGTTCCAGGGCGACGAGCGCGAGACGCTGGTCGCGGGGCTGGGGGTGCTGGCGACGGGCGTGGCGCGGGCGGCGCCGCCCGCGGACCCTTCGCTGCCTGTGCCGCCCGACGCGCCGCCGGCGGCGCTCGTCGTGCTGCTGTCGACGGCGGGGCTCCTCTCGTGCTACGCGCTGGCCGACGACGAGCGGCCGGCTTCTAGGGTCGCCGCCGCGCCGCTGCCGGCGCCTTCCGCCGCCGCCGCGACGTCGAGCTATCCGCCGATGCCTTCCAAACCACCGAGCAAGCTGCCCTTCGGCGCGCCCGCCCCGGCGCCCGCGCCGGCGTTCTCCTTCGGCGGCGCGGCCGCGGCGAAGCCCTCGTTCTCCTTCGCGGCGCCCGCGCCCGCACCCGCCGCCGCGGCGAAGTCGGGCTACCCGCCCATGCCCACGAAAGCGCCGAGCAAATTACCCTTTGGGGCGCCGGCGCCCGCCGCCGCGGCGAAGTCGAGCTACCCGCCCATGCCCACGAAAGCGCCGAGCAAATTACCCTTCGGCGCGCCGGCGCCCGCTGCCGCGAAATCGGCCTACCCGCCGATGCCCACGAAAGCGCCGAGCAAGCTTCCGTTCGGCGCGCCCGCGCCCGCTGCCGCGAAATCGGCCTACCCGCCGATGCCCACGAAAGCGCCGAGCAAATTACCCTTTGGGGCGCCGGCGCCAGCCGCCGCGGCAAAATCGAGCTACCCGCCGATGCCCACAAAAGCTCCCAGCAAGCTACCCTTTGGATCTCCTGCGCCGGCCGCCGCGAAGCCGTCCTCGGGCTACCCGCCGATGCCCACGAAGGCTCCCAGCAAGCTTCCGTTCGGCGCGCCCGCGCCCGCGCCGGCCGCGAAGCCGGCGACCTTCGGCTTCGGCAGTCCCGCGGCCGCACCGGCGCCTGCGAAATCGGCCTACCCGCCGATGCCCACGAAGGCTCCCAGCAAGCTCCCCTTTGGAGCACCTGCGCCGGCGCCAGCGGCGAAGCCGGCGGGGTTCGGCAGTCCCGCGCCGGCCGCGCCGACGACGCAAGAGGACCTACCCCCCGGCTGGTCCCTGCAAGTCCCCAAAGACGCGGAAGAGGCCGAGAAGTGGCGCGTCTGCCTCGAGATGGAGCAGGCCATGAGTGCCATGAGAAAAGAATTACAAATCGCGAAGGCAGCCATCGCCCCGCAATTGAAAAAGGGCCAAGAAGATTTACGGAAGGAACGGGCGTTGTTGGCCGAAGCTAGAACAACTGCTCTCGCATTAGAAGCGCAGGAGCGCGAGTTCGGCGAAGCGAGGGCCGCATTGCTCGGTTCCGTGGAAACGGCCCAGCGCCAGAACGAAGAGACGCGGGCCAATCTAGATATCGCCGAGGGCATGATGGCCGACTGCACCGATGAACAATTGAAGAAGAAGGCCAAGGACTGGGAGGAGGTCCTCAAGCACCAGGAGTTGGACGCGGCCAGTCAGCGGCAGCTAGATAAACTTACGAAACTATCAAGTGAGGTCGCCGACAAGTTGGCCGAGGTGTCTTTGGTGAACTCGCACCGAGAAGCTTTGTCAAAACAAGCCGATGTGGGAGACACGTCCTTCTTCGGGTCTCCTCGAGACGCGCCCTCGTTCGGGACCGCTCGAGTGAAAAGTTCGTCGCAGAACGACGCCGCCGCGTTTTTGCGGAGAGTCCGGGCGACCTACGAGCAGACGCTGCAGTTGCAGGAAGTTATTATTCCTTCATTGGATAAGAGGTGGGACGCGGCCTGTGCTGAGAGGGACAGGCTCAAAGCCCTCAAGACCGATTTGTCGCCCGAGATCGAGGCGGCCATGAAACGCGATTGTGAGGCGCGCAAGGGCATCGAACCGCCCCCTCTCGAACCCTGGGAGCAGGCCTTCATCAAAATGTGTCAGGAGAACACGCCTCCCATTGTAAGGGATTGCCGACCAATGCACCAACGGACCAAACCTATACCAGGGGCGATCCCCGACGACCACTACCCTCAGCAGACATTCGTGTCTCAAAAGGTCGAAGAACCGAAGCTGGCGACGCACGTCGAGGGCCTGAAGGGCGCGGCGGCCGTGCCCTGGGCGAAAGTTCATAGAGAGGCCGTGCACCGCGCGAAGCTCGAAACGCCGTCCACGCCGTCGACGCCCGCGCCGGCGCCGGCGCCCGCGCCGTCGCTGGGCTTCGGCGCCGCCTTCGGCGCGGCCCTGGACGCGCCCGCGCCGGCGCCCGCCGCTCCATCATCGTCGACCTACCCGCCGATGCCCTCCAAGCCACCGAGCAAGCTGCCCTTCGGCACGCCGGCGCCCGCACCGGCGCAGAAGAAGAAGGCGAGCCCGTTCGGCGGCGCCTTCGCGCTCGAGGGCCTCGGGGCCGCGTTGGAGGCCAAGGCCGCGGCCGCGGGCGCCGCGCCTGCTGCCGCACCCGCGCCTGCGGCCTCTGGCGGCTTTGGCGCCGCCACGCCGGCACCGGCGCCCGCTGCCTTTGGCGGGTTTGGAGCGCCGGCGCCCGTGCCCGCGCCCGCGCCGGCGGCGCCGGCCTTCACGCCCGCGCCCGCACCGGCTTTTGGTGCGCCTGCTGCGGTGCCCGCGCCGGCGCCCGCGGCGACGCCTTTCGGCGGCTTCGGCGCGCCCGCAGCCGGCGGTGCCGGCGACGCGCGCGCTAAGGTCGTCGAGATCTACCAGAAGTGCAACCCGACGAAGCTTTCGGAGGTCGACAAGCTCTTGGCCAAATACGCGGGCAAGGAGGCCGAGCTCGTGCTACGACTCCAGAAGAAGTACGCGGCGCAGCTCGGCTCGCCGGCCGCGGCGTCCCCGTTCGGACAAACCCCGGCGCCGGCGGCGTCGCCGTTCGGCCAGGCGCCGGCTCCTGCTGCATCGCCCTTTGGCGCACCCGCGCCCGCCGCCGCGTCGCCGTTCGGGACGACACCGGCCGCTGCATCGCCGTTCGGCCAGACGCCCGCGCCCGCTGCCTCGCCGTTCAGTGGCAGCGCGCCGGCACCCGCGCCCTTCGGCGGCAGCGCGTTTGGGAGCCCCTCAACGCTCGGTGCCGGCGGCTCGGCCTTCGGGAGCACGTCTAGCCTCGGCGCGGGCGCCGCAGCCTTCGGGAGCGCGTCGGCGCTCGGGACTCCGGGGTTCGGAGCCGCGGGCGGCGACGCTCGATCAAAAGTTGTCGAGATCTACCAGAAATGTAACCCCACGAAGCTCGGCGAAGTCGACAAACTGCTGGCCAAGTACGCGGGCCGCGAGGCCGAGCTCGTCGCGCGGCTCCAGAAAAAATACGCGGCGCAGCTCGGAAACGCAGGCGGTGGGTTCGGCCAGCCCGCGGCCCTGGGCGGCGCGACGTTCGGCGGGGCGGCCGCGGCGCCGAGCGCGGGCTTTGGCGGGTTCGGCGGCGGCGCCGGGGCATCCACTGGCGGATTCGGCCAGCCCGCGGCCCTCGGAGGCGGCTCGGCCTTCGGCGCCACGTCGACGCTCGGCGGGGGCGGTGCGACGTTCGGCGGGGCGGCGGCGGCGCCCAGCTCAGGCTTCGGAGGCTTCGGCGGCGGCGCGGCCGCTGCGCCGACGAGTGGTTTCGGCGCCGCGGCGCAGGCCCCGGCGTTTGGCTCGCCAGCGGCGCTCGGCGGCGGCGCGGCGTTCGGCGGCGCGTCGCCGGGTGGCGGCTTCGGTGGAGCCGCGGGCGCGCCGAGTTCTGGCTTCGGAGGTTTCGGTGGGGCGGCCGCCGCGCAGTCGCCAGGCTTCGGCCAGCCCCAGCAACAGCCCGCGTTCGGCGGCAGCGGTTTCGGCTCGCCCGCGGCGCCCGCCTTCGGCCAGCCACAGGGGCAGCAGTCGTCCACATTCGGGCGGAGCTTCACGCAATTCCGGGGCTAGTCGTTTAAATGGATGTTTAGGTTATGTCATATCCAAGTGCTGTGCCCCGAGACAAGTCAGGCCACAGCGCCGGCGCTCACGACTGCCCGAGCACCTCGAGCACCGCGTGGCGCACGGGCATGCTCTCCGCGGCGTGCTCGGCCGGCGTCTTGCCCTCATTGTCCCTCGCCTCGACGTCGGCGCCCGCCTCGACGAGCAGCCGCACGCACTCTGTATGGCCGTTGGCGGCGGCCTCGTGCAGCGGGAGTTTTCCGTTCTTTCGCTTTGGGTTGACGAAGGCGCCGAATTCGATGAGACATCGGATGCAGTCGGCATGGCCGCCCTTGGCCGCGTCGCCCATCGCGGAGAGCCCGAGGCCGCCGCTGACGTAGTCGATCTCGTCGCGCTGGCCATGCGCGACCAGGTGCTCGCACAGGTAGCGCATGCACCGGGCGTGGCCGAAGCGGCCGCACATCATCAGTTGCGACATGCCGAAGGCGTTCTTGAACGTCGGGCTCACTCCGAGGGTCTCCACGCAGTACTTCAGCATCGGCAGGTGCCCCATCATCGCGCAGTTCCACCCCATCATGTTCATGTCGCGCTCGGGGTGCGAGTCGTACCCGCCCTGCCGCCCGTCGCCGCGGCCGCAGAAGGCCTCGTAGTCGTCGCGGGTGATCTCCGCGGCCGGCGCCGACCAGCCCTCGGCCACGAAGTCGGGCTCCTCCGTCGTCTCGGCCAGCACGAGCGGCTTGAGCGTGACGAACGTCCAGATGTTCCAGAAGGCCTGGATGCTGCCCTTCATGGACGCGCCGACGCGCTCCTCGAAGGGAGCCTCGCGATGGCCCTCCGCGTCCAGCTGCGACCAGACGTATTTCAGCTGCCGCTCGAAGAGTCCGTGCAGCACCCGGCGCAGCTCGAGCTTGTCGCACGCGATCGGCGTGACCGAGCCGTCCGCGGAGGTGACCTTGTGCCCGAGGCGGCAGCACGAGAAGGCGCCGGTGAGCACGGCGGTCTTGCGCTGCGTCATGTTCCACGCGCGGTCGATCTTGTCGAGCGTGCGCACCCGCGGCGGCTCGCCGAAGGGCTGCGTGACCAGGAGCGGTCGCCCGTCGCCCAAACGCACCAGGTTGAGCACGGCCTCCTCCATCCGGCACCAGCCGCGCGCGAGCCACGTCTCGTAGTCGGCCTCGAAGCCGGCGTCGGCGTGCCGCACGCCCGCCGGCGCGCAGATCCAGAAGTTCTGAGCATGCTGCACGTACGAGGGAATGGCGTGGATCGCCGCCTTCTGCTCGGCGAGCACGCGCAGTGTCTCCTCCGTCGTCGTGCACGTGATCGTTTGAGGGATCGATATATAATCCATCCACACCCAGCCGTCGGCGATCGACGCGAGGAAGTGCGCCTCGCTTCGCAGCACCGACTCCTCGTCGCCGAACGACCCCTGCGTCGCCGACGCGTGCTTGGTGGAGGCACTTCCTGCATTCTCTGCGGTGTACCCCTTACTGTAGGCGTTCCAGTCCTCCTCGGAGCGGAAGATACTCTCGCCGGCGATGGCCATGCGGAAGATCGCCTGCATCGTCTTCAGGTGCGCGCCCTCGGGGTCCGCCTCGGCATAAGCGAGCCACTGGTGCGACACGAAGTTGAGGCGTTCGCCGCGGTGCTCGCCCGAAAAGTCGACGGGCACGACGAGACCCTTGGCGGCCAGGGTGTTGTGCGGCTCGAGCCTCGTGAGCTCGAGGAAGTCGCGCATCCGCATGGCGTAGAGCGGGAAGCCCGTCTCCGGCTCGACCGGCGCATCGGCCGTCGCGTGCTCGCCCGTCGCGACGGTGGTCACCTTGGCGCCCTCGGCGGTGGCTTCCTTCGTGGATTTGGCCATTCCACTGGGGCAGCCTCCTACTTGCTGGAAAAGCAGCAGCACTGGTCGAAATAGCTCTGGCTGCAGGGCAGCTGTGACAGATGGTGCTGCGGTAGCAAGCCGGATCTCAGAAGTCCTGGCCGCGCTGCATTACTATCTTGTGCTCTAATATTGGCAGCCTGCGCTGCGTGCGCGGCCCTCTAGTCCCGCGGGGGCAACGGCGGCCCCGGAAGAGTCCTCGTATGGCTGAGCACAAGGAGCAGAAGCTTCCGGGCAGGGTAAACCACCCGAGCTGCCCCATGCTGGGGGACACCGCCGCCACGCAGCCCTGGTGGCTTGCCCGTCCCGCGAAGCTTGCGCCGACGCATCAGCACGGGAGCCCCACGAAGGACCGCACTTCCGTTTCAAACCGGCTATAACTAGGAAGCTAGGATACTTTCGCCTCCGCCGGCTACTCGTCGTCTGTCTCACGCCGGGAGAGGCCTTCGAAGCTGCCCGTCGCGGCGTCGAGGCAGCGCTCCGCTACTCGTCGTCTGCCTGCGCGGGAGTGGCCAACGAGGCTGCCCGTCGCGAGCCCCGAGGCAGCACCCAGACCGTAGCCAGTAGCCCAGCTAGCGCAGCGCCGCGCGAGCAGGCAGCACCCGGACCGTAGCCAGCTCAAGATGTCCGCCGCCGCGGCCCACGCGGCCAGACAAAAAAACAAGGCCAAGAAGGAGGCCGCCGCCGCGAAGGACAACTCGCCGTCGAAGTGGTCCTTCCGCAGCACGAAGGTAGAGGACGCGCCGGCCGAGGGTATCATACAAACGGACGAAGATGTCGAGTACTCGAAGTGCTTCCCCACGCTCGAAGTGGAACGACCTAGCACGGACGGCTTCTTCCTCAACAAATTGCGCTACTACCAGCCCGAGGACAAGTATATCTACGAGCACGTCTACGTGCAAATCTTCGTCGCCGTCCTCATCATGGGTAATTTCGGCGTGAACATCGCGGAAGCGCAGATCGGCACGAACGGCTACGCTAAAGAGGCGGAGTCGGGCCGGGGCAGCTACAAGGACAAGGGCGGCTACAAGGAGACGACGTACGACGGCACGGATATCTACTTTAAGAGGGGCGAGGACTCGCACCTGTCGTCGACGATGCGCGTCTTCGTGGGCTTCGAGGAGTTTTTTTTCTGGGCCTTCCTCATTGAGTTGTCGATGAACTATTATAGATATGCCGATTATCGACTCAACGAGTTCTGGAAGGACGGCTGGAACTGCTTCGATAGTTTCATTGTGGGCGTGACGATCCTATTCAAGATGCCGTTCGAATTACCGGTCTACCTGAAGTACTTGCGGTTATTGCGGGCGTTCCGCGTGTTTCGATTATTCAAGCGCATCAAGTCGCTCAACAAAATTATTGTTTCATTGGGCAAGGCCGTGCCCGGCGTGTCGAACGCCTTTTTGATCCTTTTGTTAGTGATGGCGATCTACGCGATCTTGGGCGTCGAGCTCTTCAGCCAGCTGCCCTGCGGCGTGAACAGCCGGGACGGGCCGAACTCGTGCGTGAGCATGAACGGCTGGATGGCCGAGGGCTACCACCTCTATGGGTTGCAGGACTCGACGTGTACCGGCACGGGCTGCCCGGATTTTTCTACCTATGATAATTGGGATAAAACGGCCGCGAACTGCCCGGCCGGCTGCGTATACACTGCAAACGGCTGGGGGCGCGACGGGAAGTTCAAGTGGGGCGGCGACGTCGGCCAGGCTGGGGTGGATAGGCCCGCGGACGGGCCGCCTCCCTTAATGTGCTCCAAGGAGGGCGCGCCCGGCTACGGCATCGTCAAGGAGTGCCGGATCCAGTACCACTACGGCCAGGAGTACTGGGGCAACTTCATGAAGTCTTTGTATACACTGTTCCAAGTGTTGACGGGCGAGTCGTGGTCCGAGGCCGTCGCGAGGCCGCTACTCGAATGGTCCCCGGTACCAACGGCCATCTTCTTCGTGAGCTTCATGCTGCTGAACGGTATTGTTTTGATCAACGTCGTCGTGGCCGTTTTGTTGGAGAAGATGGTCGACGAAGACCCGCCGCCCGAGGACGAGGGCGGCGACGAGCCCATCACGGAGGCAGGTGTTGACGGCGGCGCGCCGCCGCGCCCCGATGCCGACGGGGACGCGTTGATGACCAAACTGGAAGCGATTCAGAAACAGCTCGACGTCCTGACGGCGCAGCGGGACGGCGCGGTCCGGGCGCAGCCGGCGGCGGCGGCGTAGACCGCCGGCGCCCTAACGTATAACGAATATTAGTCTATAGTACTCTTCCCGCGTACTAGTACTAACGGGACTCGGGGCGACGGCGCATGGGGGCCGGTGGCGGGACGCGCGTTCGGTCAGTAGTACGTCCCATCATGATCGCGGATATTTTTAAAATGGTCAAGTCGGTCGATCATGAATCTAATACCGGTTCCTATGTCCTGTGTGGTAGTGGAGTCGCTGATATATTTTAGGTTTTAATCCCGGCCCATTTTAATACCTTACCCCCATGGCGACGGGTCGCGCAGCATGCGGGATTTTATGGAGAGTGGTCAAGTCGGTCGATCATAAATGTAATAACGGTTCCTATGTCCGGTGGATACCCCCGTCTCGGCCTAGTCACAGCTTTAATCCCCCGTGCCGTTTTAGATACCTTACCTTACCCTATTGCCAACCAGTTGCTGACCAGTAGTCACTGACCAGTAGGTTGGGATTAAAGCGTCCGGCACTGCTCCCGGGGCCGCGCCGCCGTCGCCGCTAACACTCGGCAAAGCACCTTGAACAAATATTAGTCCCCCAACGCCGTCGCCGCGTGCACGAGCCGCGCGTCGAGGCCCTCCCCCACCTCGTCACCCGCGCGGTAGAGCAGGAGCCGGCCCGCCCGCACGAGGTCCAGCACGACGCGCGCGTCCGCTCTTGAGGGAGGCGGCCGCCGCGCGGCGACGCACGGCTCGCCCGGCGCGAGGGCGGCGAGCTGCGCGTCGCCCCGTCGGATCACGAAGTCGTGGCGCTTCTCGTTCTCCACACAAATTCCGCCGCACCAATGACTTGGATCACCCCTCACACAACACGCGTCGTACTCCGCCTTGGATCGAGAGGACGCGTCCCTGACAACAGCGACGTACCGCAAGTCCAGCGCGTAGTCGAGGCCGTGGTTTCTGGCAGGCGCCGCGACCCACTCCTCGCAGTCATCGAAGGCTTGTCGCGCCACCCTCGCATGTATCGAGGCGTCGTCCACCGAGAAAGGTAACGAGACCCAGGCGCACGTTTTTTTACCTTCCAATGGATCGAGCCGCCGGAAGTCGCTCGTCTCGTGCGAGTGCAGGACGTCGCAGTGGCGGCCCCCCTTCAGCCGTTTCTCGACGGCTAGGGCGGCCGAAACGGCTCGTGGGGAGGTCTCCGGGTCGTCCGTGGAGGAGGAGGTAGCCACGAAGGTATCCTCATGATCAAAGCCGTCGCAAGTTAATGCGGCATGCGCGCGCGTCGCCGGGTCCCGGCCCCGGCAGTTCGCGGCGTCATCTATTGAATGCCACTTTGCCCGAGATATATGCAGCGCCGCTCTGAAAGCGACCTGATCCATCAATTGCGGCGGGTCCGCTCGTCGCAGGTCTCTGTACGTCCTCGACCAATGGTTTAACAGATCTAACGCTTTCGGCGTTCTTCTCAGAAACAAAGCACCGGTGTTCGCTTCGGGTGTTGATAGATCCACATCATAGGACAGCCTCAACTGGCCGCCGGCGTGCCACCTTGCTGGAGGCACGGGCACGAATGCGACGTCAGCTTTGTCCATAGCACAAGCGTACTTCACGAGGCTGCGACACACGATCGTGTCCGCGTCCAGGAACACGAGCGCACCGTAGGTCGGCGCTCTTTTTAAAGCTTCCGTCAGGGATCTGATTTTTGCCGCTCGCAAATCCGCGACCGCCTTGTTATTCGCATCCCCAACAGTAGTCCAGGGCTTGTGCTTCGACACGAGTTTTTTCCCGTCCTTCTGGTACGTGCGGAAGGCCACAAATTCCGGCATGCTGTTGAACGATGTCGCGTTTTCTGCCTCTGCCAATACGTCGACATAGTCAAAAACGACGCCGTGGCCGTCGCATTTTGTCGCTTCCTTCTTCACGTGCGACGCGCCCTTCGCATCGGTGATCAGCACCGTATGGGCTTGCGGATGCGCGGCCTTCGCCGAACGCGCGCTCCGGCGCGCTTTCGCGAGCGTCCGCGGGCCTACCGCAAAATAGGCGAAGGCTAGTTCTTCGCAGTGGTCGGCGTGTTCGTCTGCCGTTGTGGCGGCGTGCTCCTGCGCCGCCGTGGCGAGCAGCAGAAGCAGTAGGCGCGCGATCATCGCATTTTTTTGGCAGCCTAATTGGAGCAGGTGTGCTTGCGATGAACAATGCCTCGAATTGCAGTGTTTTTTCGTCTTGCGCTGCACCGTAGGGTCGCCTTTAGCTCCTGGCCGCACGTAAACTGGCGGTGCGTGCAAGCTTAAGCAAAAAAGCAAAAAATTGCCGATAACTAGCGGCTTAAAGACACTAGAAACGAAAGCCAAGCTGGCGCGCCGCTCGACTGAGGCTATAGAATCAGTCTCCGGCGCCGCTCTGGGCTCAGGGGAGCTATTTGTCACCGGCATCGCTGCCACGCGCGCGCGCGCTGCGTCAAAGGCCGCCGCCGCGCCGGGTCAGATCGATCTGCCAAAAGCGCCTTTAAAACGCGCCGCAGCGCGACGTAGCGCACGATGACCAGCGACGTCGCGAGAATAGCGACGAGCACCTGCGACAAGCTCCTCGCCAAGAAGGACACGTTCGGCGACCAGTGCGTCGCCGTGAGGGCCGAGCTCGAGAACTTCGCGAAGACTTGCAAGAAGCTCGAGGTGTCCGACGCGGCGAAGAAGAAGGCGTTTGATGCCATGATCAAGGCGATGTCAGGCACGCTGGAGACGACGCACGCCATCGACGCGTTCGTGCGAGCCTTGGAGAAGGTGCGGAACGACGCGAGGAGGGGTGTTTTCGACAACTCCGGAGACGCGTTCCCGGATGAATTCAGGAAAGCGTTGGACGCGGCCGTCGAGTCTTATGGAGAGGCCGACATCGACGACGAGCCTCCATTAAAAAAGCTGAGGGAAACCGCGGGCTTCGAGAAGGCTGATGATGCGGACGAGGACGTGGTATTGGACGACACGCATGATCAGGGAGAGGCGGCGCTGACGTGCCCCCTCTCGACCGGTCTTTTAGTGCAGCCGGTGAAGGCGCGGCCCTGCGGCCACGTCTACTCCACGGCCTCGGCCAAGGCCTTCTTCAAGGGCCAGGGCAAGAAGTGCGCCGTCTTCGGCTGCGACAAAATGCTCAAGTGGAGCGACTTCGTCAAGGACAAGGCCTCGGAGATCGCGCTCCGCGAGGCGCGGAAGAGGCGCGAGCGGACGCAGCGGTCCCAGGCCGAGGAGATCGACGACGAGGACGACGAGTGAGTAAGTGTGTACAACCCAACTACTCAACTACTTAACAACAACACTGAAGTCCCACGTGATGCACACGTTCAGGAGGACGCTCTGGGGGGCGACGGGCTCGGCCGCGGCCGAGGGCGCCGTGCGGTCCAGGAGCCCGTGGCCGACGCCGACCTGCAGGGCGATCATGGCGACCCACGTCGCCGCCGCATAGATCGGCGAAATGTGCAGGTCGGCGGCCATCGCAAGCTGCGGCGGCGCGAGCCAGACCGTATGTGGAGGCCGCGCCGCCGCCGTGCCGAGGGCCACGCAGACCTGGAGCGCCCAGACTACCACGGGTCCGCAGCACTGCCGCAGGACCGCGAGGAACGCGACCCACTCGATCGGCGAGAGGAGCGCGTGGAGCCATTTGTTTGCCGCTCCCGGATGCGCCGCGGCGTATTTTCTCCTTTCTTCCGCGTAGGCGTCGCGCCAGCGCTGGAGCGGCGAGCGCCGCGGCAGCGCCAGCAGCGCGTCGAGTTCTTTAGAAACGCAGAGCCCGTCGTTCGTCCAGGCCGAGACGGCGGCGGCGGCCGTTTTGGCCGCCTCCGTAGCGTTCGCCGTCGCGACGCCGACGTGCGCGGCGCGGAGCATCGCCGCGTCGTTGTGGCCGTCCCCGATTGCTACCGTCGCCGTCCGTAGCATCTCGTCGCCGAGGACGCGGCGCAGAGCCGTGGCCTTGTCGACCCCTCTCGAGACGAACTCGACGTGGATCTCGGCTTCCACAACGTCGAGGCCGTCGGGGAGCCGTACGTCATGCGCCGTCGCCGCTGGATCGTCGCTCAGCGCGAGGACCTTGATGGCTTCACATACGTAGGGCGCGCCGTCCGCGACGACCTCCTGCGCCGATCCGGCTTTCCGATCGAGCGCCGCAAGCTGGGCGCGCTGCTTCGCATTTGTCGCGACGCCGACGCTGCGAGTCGGCAGGACCAGCGAGACCGCGCCGCCGCATTCAATGGCGGCACGATACGCTTTGGCAGCGCGCTCCTCTCCGAGCGGCTCGAGGAAGCGTGTTACTGGCGCAGTGTGCGGCCGCAGCGTCGCACAGGACGCGCCGTTGAACAAAATGCACGTGACGGGCGCGCCGAGCGCATCCACAAAAGGCTGGACGTCCCAGGTCGGCCGGCCCGTGGCGAATATGAGGCGTACCGCTCTGCTGGCGCGGCGCAGCGCCGCGAGAGTTGCGGGTGCCAGCTTGTGGTCCGCGTCGAGCGTCGTGCCGTCGAGGTCTAGAGCTACTACGGCTGGGCGTACTTTTAGCAGGGCGGCTGCGGCCATTCTTTAGCGCTGCGGTTGCGTGTGCTGCTCTACTTTGGGAGAGCACCTCCTGAACTCGATGTCAAGTGCAGCTCGCAGCCCAAAACTTGCAGCACTGAAAGCACGCGTTACGAAGACAATGATAACGGCTTGAAATAGCTGAATTCACGACAGCGGCAGCGGCAGCCGCGTCAAAGCCGCGCCGAGCTGCATGCAGAGCTCGGGTTTTTACGAATCTCCAGGTGCGTTTTCTTCGCCAGCAGAGCCCTTCCAGCCCTCGTGCTGCCGCAGCACACGCGAAGAGACGGATGCGGCTGGCCATAGAATTTTTTTTTTTAGCAAAAAACATCTCGCGGCTTCCTCTTGCGGGAGCGTGCGCAGCGGTGGAGCAGCCGCCAAGCGCAGTGTGCTGCGGAATTGCAGCGCTGCAAGCGGCCCAAAGAGCTAGCGCCGAAGCGCTGCGGCCGTGGCGCAAGGCGTGACCCGACCGCCTCACAACAGGTGGCCTGAGCGCCCAGCCGGGACGCGGCGCGCGGGAGCAAGTTACGCAGCGGAATAATTCATCATGGCGCAGCAAATACCCTTAACGTTTAGCGAGGTGCTCAACCTGCCGAGCCTGGGCGTCTCGGCGAACGCGATAAAATTCGGCGTACGCGACCTGAGTGAATAATGACCTTCCCGCCCGCGCCGCGCCGCCTTAGCTGTTTCCCCGTATTATCGATCCGAACGCCCCGCGCGCGCCGCGCCGTTTCGCACCGTCGCGCGCGAAACCCCCGCGGAACGCCCACGCCTCGTTTCCTCACACAGTCCTGCGCCATGGAGTCCGACGCCTTCGTGAGCGTCTGCGACGGCTCGTCCGGCCAGCCCCAGGTTTTTATTGTGGACCTCAAGAACGGCAACCAGGTCATGAAGCGGCCGATGTCTGCTGAAGCCGCGATCATGAACCCGGTGAGCAAGATCCTGGCCTTGCGGGCGGGCCAACAACTACAAATCTTCAATCTGGAGTTAAGAGCCAAGATGAAGAGCCACCAGATGCCCGAGGCCGTCGTCTTCTGGCGCTGGGTCTCGCCGTCGACGATCGCGCTGGTCACACCGACCGCGGTCTTCCATTGGTCGACCGAGGGGTCCTCAGCACCCTCAAAAGTCTTCGACCGCCATGCGCAGCTCGGCGAGGGCACGCAAGTCATCAATTATCAAGTAAGCCCGGACGAGAAGTGGTGCCTCCTCATGGGCATCAGTCAAGGCGGCGCCGGCGTTATTAAAGGAGCGATGCAGTTGTATTCCAGAGACAAGTCGGTCTCGCAGACCTTGCAAGGCCATGCCGGCTGCTTCCACACCATGTCCGTGCCCGGTCGAACGGACAAGGCCCAGGTCCTCTGTTTCCAGGAGAAGAAGGAAGGCCAGCCCGCGAAGCTCTTCGTCATGGAAGTTGGTCGAGATGCGTCGGCCGGCGCGGCGTTCCGACTGGCCCCAGTGCCCATCCCGGTGCCGGGCGACGCGCAGAACGACTTCCCCGTGTCTATGTGAGTTGCAGTGTCCGTGACGCTTACGCCATCGCCGCGCGTCGTCTCCGTCAGACGAGGTCGTTCCGAGAGGACGCGGTCACGTCGATGGCGTCTTGAGACCGCGCCGCCGCGACGGCGTCGACGCGATGCCACGTCGACGCGGCCGTATCGAGGGAGCTGCAGCATCGTAACATCGCACACACAGGCTCGCCTCGCCGAAGCACGACATCCTCTACATGGTGTCGAAGATGGGCTACCTCTACTTGTTCGACTGTCTGAGCGGCAAGGCCTTATGTAGGGCTAGAATCACGACGGACACCGTCTTCGTCACGTGCCCTCAAACCTCCACCGGAGGCATTCTGGGCGTCACCGCGAGAAAAGGCCAATTATTACAAGTGTCGGTCAACGAACAGACGCTCGTGCCGTACGTCGTCTCGACGCTACGAGACACGCAATTGGGAATAGCGTTAGCCGGAAGACTAGGCTTACCAGGAGCCGACGACTTGTACGCGCAGGAGTTCCAGCGCCAGCTCGCCGCTGGTGATGTCTCTGGTGCCGCAAAAACAGCGGCAGACTCGCCCAACGGCATGCTGAGAACGGCAGAAACCATCCAAAGGTTCCAGGGTTTACCAGGACAGCCGGGCCAGCCCCAGCCCGTCTTCCAGTACTTCCACCTGTTACTAGAGAGAGGCAAGCTCAATTCCTTGGAGTCGATGGAGCTTGCTAAGCCCGTCATCGCGCAGGGGCGCACGCAGTTCCTCGAGAAGTGGCTCACGGAGGACAAGTTGGAGTGCTCGGAGCAGCTCGGTGATTTAGTAGTACAATCGGATGTCAATATGGCTCTCTCAGTATACTTGAGAGCCAATGTCCCCGAGAAGGCCGTGAATTGCTTCTTGCAACGGGGCGAGTACGACAAGATCGCGGCGTATGCCGCGAAGGTCGGCTACCGCTGCGATTATGGAGTTATGCTCGGCAACCTAGCCAGGCAGAACCCCGCTGGCGCGCTAGATTTTGCGAAACAACTTAGTGCGGGTTCATTGGTGGATCCGAACGCCGTGGTAGAAATCTTCATGGGCCTGAACCGCATCCAGGAGACGACGGCGTTTCTGTTGGAAGCTTTGAAAGGTAACAAGCCCGAAGAGGGCTACCTCCAGACCAAATTGTTAGAAATCAACTTACGAGGCGGCTCCCCACAAGTGGCCGATGCCATTCTCCAGAACGCCATGTTCACGCACTACGACCGCCAGTACGTCGCGAAGTTGTGCGAGAGCTGTGGGTTGTCTCAAAGGGCTTTAGAACACTACACGGACACGGACGACATCAAACGGTCACTGCTCGCGATGTGCAGCAACCCGCAGCAGTTGAATCCCGAATTTGTCCTGTCCTACTTCGGTTCGCTGTCTCCTGAAGCCTCATTGGACTGTCTTCGCGAATTATTACAGCGCAACATGCGGGGCAACATGCAGATCGTTACCCAGGTCGCCGCGAAATACAACGAGCAGATCGGGGCCGAGCCGCTGGTCGAGCTGTTCGAGGGCTTCAAATGCTACGAAGGGTTGTTTTATTATTTAGGACAGATCGTGAACTTTTCTCAAGATGCTTTAGTGCATTTCAAGTACATCGAGGCGGCGGCGAAGTGCCAGCAGTTCAAGGAGGTCCGTTGTCCGGTGTCCTGCCTACGCCATCGTCGCGTCGACTGCGTGGAGGCGGACGCGAGGGCACGCCATCGACGCGATACACACGCAGGTTGAGCGCGTCTGCCGCGATAGTACCGTGTACGACCCCGAGACGGTGAAGCAGTTCCTGATGGACGCCAAACTGCCCGACCCGAGACCGTTGATCCACGTCTGCGATAGACATGATTTTGTGGAAGAAATGACGTCGTATTTGCACAGCAACCAGCTCCAGAAGTACATTGAGGTCTACTGCAACAAAGTCAGTCCCCAGAAGACGCCGTTAGTCGTGGGCAAACTCCTAGATCTCGACGCGAACGAGGACTTCGTGCGCGGGTTACTCAACTCCGTAGGACATGCGTGTCCCGTCGAGGAGCTCGTGGAGCAGGTCGAGCGTAGGAACCGACTGAGGTTGTTACAACCGTGGCTGGAGGCGAGAATCGCCACGGGCAACCAGGAGGTGGGCACGCACAATGCTATTGGCAAGATATATGTTACACTTAACAGGGACCCCGTATCATTTTTAACAAACGACCAGTGGTACGACCCGGCCGTGCTCGGGAAGTACTGCGAGAAGCTGGATCCGTCGCTCGCATTTATCGCGTATAAGCGGGCGGGTGGGGCCTGCGACCAGGATTTGATTCGCGTTACTACTGCTAATGGGTTGTTCAAGGACCAGGCTCGGTATCTCGTCGAGAAGCAGGACCTGGAGCTGTGGGCCACCGTGTTGACGCCGCCGGACGAAGAGCAGCCCGGGGATACCTCGGAACAGAACCGTCGCTCTCTGATCGACCAGGTCGTGCAGACGGCGCTGCCGGAGACGCGGGACCCCGACCACGTGTCTACTACCGTGAAAGCCTTCATGGCCGCGGACTTACCTCATGAGCTCATTGAGTTACTTGAGAGAATAGTGTTACAGGGTAGCGACTTCAGTGAAAATAAAAATTTGCAGAATTTGTTGATTTTAACCGCTATAAAAGCGGACAAGGAGCGCGTCATGGAGTACATCAACCGCCTGGACAACTTCGACGGGCCGGAGATCGCGAAGATCGCGATTAGCGACCAGTACGGCATGTACGAAGAAGGTTTTGTAATATATACAAAGTTCGCCAAGGCCGCGGCCAAGCCGGATGAGGCCACCGAGCTGAACGTTTTAGCGATGGGCGTGCTTGTTGGTGATCTGAAGGCCATGGAGCGCGCCGCCGAGTTTGCCGAAAGGGCCGACGACAAGGCCGTGTGGTCTCGGCTGGCCAAGGCGCAACTCGCTGAAGGGTTACTGGCTCCGTCAATAGCTTCTTACTTGAAGGCCGACGACCACAAGGACTGGCCCGAGGTCGTGTCTGCCGCGGAAGGTTCCGATAGCTATGAGGAGCTCGTTCCTTATCTAGTGATGGCTAGAACCCATGTCAAGGAAGCCCAACTCGACACGACCTTGATCTACGCCTACGCCAAAGCGAACAAGCTCGGCGAGCTCGAAGAGTTCATCAGTGCGCCGAACGTGGCTCGCATCGACGACGTCGGCGAGCGCTGCTTCAACGAGCAGATGTTCTCGGCCGCCAAGTTGTTATTTGCGTCGATCAACAACAACGCGAAGCTTGCGCTGTGTTTGGTGAATCTCGAGCAGTACCGCGAAGCTGTCGACGCTGCGCATAAGGCCAACAGTGTTTCTACCTGGAAGGAGGTCAATCGCGTCTGCGTTCGAGTGGGCGAGTTCAAGCTCGCTAGGATCGCGGGCCTGCAGATCATCGTGCACCCGGATCACTTAGAAGAGCTCACTTCACTCTACGAGCGTTCAGGCGCCACTGATGAACTCATAGAATTGATGGAGCAAGGATTAGGGTTGGATCAAGCCCATTCGGGCGTGTTCACGGAGCTCGGCGTCCTCTACTCGAAGTACGTCCCGGAAAAGCTCATGGAGCACATCAAGATCTTCTGGAGTCGCATGAACGCGCCCAAGGTCATGAAGGCCTGCGAGAAGGCGTTGCTCTGGGACGAGGCCGTCTTCCTGCTCAAGGAAGATGAACAATATGATAGCGCCGTGAAGACGATGATCGCGCATCCGTCCGCGTTCTCCCATGATCTGTTCCTGGATTGCGCGCAGAAGGTGCGGAACGCCGAGGTCTACTACAAGGCCATCGCGTTCTACGTGGAACAGCAGCCGCTGCAGCTCAACAGGCTATTGCAGGTCTTGACGCCGAATCTAGATCACTCTAGGGTCACGCATCAACTGAGAAAACTTGAGAATTTACCTTTGGCCCTACCTTACTTGAGGGACGTCCAGAAGGAAAATCTGACGGCCGTCAACGACGCCGTGAACGAGCTCTGCGTCGACGATGAAGATTACGACGCTCTCCGGTCGTCGATCAACGACTTCGACAACTTCGATCATATTGCTTTGGCCCAGAAGGTCGAGAAGCATGAGCTGCTCGAGTTTCGACGCATCGCGGCCACGATCTACAAGAAGCACAAGCGCTGGGAGAAGAGTATACAGTTGTCCAAAGCTGATAAGATGTACAAGGACGCGATCGACACGTGTTCAGCGTCGGGCGACCCGGCCCTCGCGGAAGATTTGTTGAGGTTCTTCGTCGATGTGTGCGACAAGGAGTGCTTCTGCGCCACACTCTATACGTGCTACAAGATCGTAACTCCCGACGTGGCCCTGGAGCTGGCCTGGCGGTCGGATTACGTGGACTTTGCGATGCCCTATGTTATACAATATGCGAGACACCTGCACGATACGATCGCGGAGCTCGAGAAGCGCACGGCACCGAAGGAGGAGCCCACCGAGTCGGAGCAGGCCCAGGCCGCCGCGGCGGCCATGTACGGCGACCCGGCCATGGGCATGGCCGGCGCGCCGCTCCAGATCGGCTACCAGGACCCGTCGATGGGCTACGCGGACCCGTCGCAGATGTACAACGCGGGCATGAACGGCGGCATGGCGCCGCCAATGCCTGGTACCATGCCTGGTATGCCTCCACAAATGCCGCCGCAGGGCATGTACCCGGGCCAGATGCCGCAATACTAGACACGCGCCTTCCCTCTCCCCGTCCCCTCCCCCGCTTCGTCGTAAGCATCTATAGGCGCTATTGTTCTTACTCGAGGCTAGAGTTCCAGACGACTTCCAGACGCGTCTCGCGCAAATCTCGAAAGATCTAGGGTGAAGCCCTACTACCGCCGTAGTACCGGATTACTAGTAATCCGAGTCCCGGGCCGAGTCGATTGCGCCGTCACGTGACGGTGGAGACTCGGACGCCTGAGCATAGAGCTATGACCCCGGAGCTATGACGTCCAGTCACTACGGTCCCCTCAGGACGCCCTCGACGCGCACCAAGACCACACAACCCTTACTCATCTTCATCAGGTAAATGAACTTCGACGGCCACGCGAGGCCTTCCACTATCATCCCGCAGCTCCAAGCGATGGCCGTGCGGGATCGCCCGGCTCGATTGACCGCCCGGGCCGAAGGGCACGACCGGCGCGTCGTCGTGGTGCTTCAATTCAATGACTGAATTACTTTCGAGCATCGGGTTCGAAAACGTGATCCCATAGGGCTGCTCGATGAACCGACTCGGAATGATGTGAAACCGCACGCGCCACTTCATGTCCGCGCTCCGGACCACGAACGAATCGCGGAACCGCACGAACCGGCCCGCTTCCTCGTCCGGCCCGAGTACCGCACAGAGCGTCTCGGACATGTCCCACGTCGGTTCTGGATGCTCCATGCCCTGGTTGCCCTCGTTGCCCAAGTAGTAGAAGGCCAAATCCTCGTCCCCAATGTTGGAAACGATGATCTTGTGGTGTTTATCGACGCGAAAGTCCCGTGCCAATTCGATGTCCGCGTGGCTGGCGTGGATGTGGTCGTCGGCCGCCGCGAGGGCTGCGAGGAGGAGTATCCGCCGCATGGCTTCGTTGCAACACGTATCGCTGGGCAGCGTGCAGCAATGCGATAGCGTACGGTGGGCTGCCCCCAAAAAAAAGTCGAGCTCGACGCGTGCGTGCGGGTTCTTGAAGAACGCTCCAAAGGTCCCAACCCCTTACGCCGTCGCCGCGCCACGCATCAACTTCCACAAATATATACAACACATCCTTACCCTCACCGCAAAAATCCATTGTCGCGCAGCTGCATGACCATGGCCACCTGGCAGTCGAACTTGACGCGCTGGAAGGCCACGCGCGCGCGATGGCGCTCCAGGGCGTGGTAGCGCCGCCCGGCTGCGGTCTTCTCCAGAGCGTAGGCGACCGTCGTCCGGTAGTGCTCGTCCTCGAGCTTTTCTGTTAATGAAGCTGTCAACAACGCATTGGTGTCCAGCGCGAGGCGCTCCATGGCGTCGGCGGCGTCCTTTGCGGGGCCTGCTGATTGCGCGGTTGTTTTCTTCAGCGGAGGCCGCGGTAGCGTGAGGCGGGCGTTCTTCCGTCTCAAAGGTCTTGAGAGTAACGCAGAGGACGACGTGTCGACGGGGCAGCCCCAGTTGACGACGGGGGGCAGCTTCTGTGTCGGCTTTCGTCGTCGTCGTCGCTCGGGGATCGGGCTGCACGCCGGCCGTTGTGTCAATGACGCCCGCGACTGTGTCGTGGCGTGCGACGGCTCACCTTGTGATGACGGCAGCGAGTCGAGGGACAAGCGAGAGAGGACCGTCGACTCGTCGTCTCCTATGGACAATCTACGCTGCACCTCGCTCGCGTCGTCCGGCCGCGGCTTCTCCCATTGGAGGGGAGGCCGCGTCTCGTAGTCCCGGGCGAAGGCGCGCATGGCCTCCTCGATGCTACGTCGCGTCGCGATGCGCCGCCTCGTTACGCGCTGGAGCCGCCGCGCCGCTTGCTCGGGGTCCAGCGCCGCCGCGGCCTCGGGCGGCGGCGCCGCCGCGGTCGGCAGTGGCGGTGGGGTCGCCGCGGGCGGCCTTGCGTTGGCCTTGCGCTGGCTCTGCCGGAGGAGCACCCGGCCCAGCTTGGCCCTGGCCCGGTCGCGGGCCCAGGCGTCGACGTCGAAGGCCTCGGCGGGCTGCCCCGCGGCGTCTGCTTGCTCCATGCCTTGTCTTGTGTCGCCCCGGGGGCTTCTCCGGCGTGGCCCGAGCGCGTGGTGCTCTCCAGAGAGCTCTGGATCGAGAAGTTGTCGGACTTGTGCTCAAGCCCGATGGCTGGCTGAGGACCTGTACTGATATGTATCTACCGATCGAAGCGCCCGCGCATGCGGCGTAGGCGATTGCCCACGTCTAGTATCGACCCTAGACGCCCTCGGGGAGACCTCAGGACCACGAATCGACAGGATTCCATCGACGCGCCCGCCATGGCGGGATCGTCATGGCACAGAGCATCAAATCACCCTCAGAGAAGCCAGCAATTACGCACTCACCCTGATCAAACTAGGGCGCTACGCAGAAGCCAGGGCATTTACACGCAATAGAATGCCCGTAGCCAGCCGCGTTCTCGGAGATAATAACGACATCACGCTCAAGATGAGGAGGACTTACGCGATGGCACTTTACAGGGACGCCGGCGCCTCGCTCGACGATGTCCGCGAGGCCGTGACGACGCTCGAGGAGTCGAAACGGACCGCCCGGCGTGTTCTCGGCAGCGCCCACCCAACAGTAAGCTGGATAGAGCGGTCCCTGCGAGATGCGCGAGCGGCGCTCCGCGCCCGCGAGACGGGGGACGCCTAAGCTACTAACAGATTACACCACAATAAAAATCAAGCCAGCCCGTCGTGCAACAACAACCGCAGGATCGCCCCGACGACGGCCGACCCGAGCACGTCCAGCTGCGGCCGCTCGGCCTTGTCCACGAGCAAAGCGTCGAAGTGCTCCCTCAGAGCAGCAACCAACGCCCCGACGCGCGCGTGCGCCGCGAAGGAGACCCAACCATCCACCACAATCGACCCCTGCAACGGCCGCGGCTCGACCCTGCCCCCGAAGAGCAGGACCGCGTACGGCGCCGCCTCGCCGCAGTCGCGTATGGACACGCGGTGCGTCTCGACGCACTCGCCGTAGACGGCCCAGGGCGACGGCCACGAGCGCTCCGCGTAGCACGACGACGTCGGGTGTAAGAAAGCTCTTTCGAGCTGCCCCGTCGGCGTCCTTCTGAGAAACCGCAGTTCCCGCGCTTGGGCGTCCATGGCAATGTTCCCCTCCGACGTCTCGGCGTATTTCTGCGAGGGCTTCTCGATCTTCACTAAACGCGGATACAGCGCGCCGGCGACGACCGCGCGTGCGACGCGCCAGAGCGCCGGTCCCGACAGTTGCGTGGCGTACGACCCGAAGCCGCGGTCCGAGAGCGCGCCGTCCAACTGTTTGACTAGGGACAACGCGTCCTCCAAGGGGTCCGCGCTCAAGCCGCGCTGCGCGCACCAGTCTCGTAAAGCCCGTTTCCGCGCCCAGCCCCGCTGTGACCTGTGCGCAAATCGACCAGTGAGTCGGGTGCAGTCGCGTCGATGGCGTGGAGGTCGACGCAGTGAGTCGGGTGCACGCCACCGAGCAGGCATCGCGTCGATGGCGTGGAAGGCACCGTGACGTGTTGATGCACAGGTTGGGACGAAGCCTCGGCATAGGCCCGCAACGCCAACGCATCTAGGGCGTGGTCCGACCGGCCGCAGCCGTGCCGCTCCCGCAACTCCTGGCGGAATTTTGCTGCTAAAGGCCTATCATCAGGATGCGACCGCCACGGGCTTCTCCCCCCTAGACCGGCCGCGACCCGCAACGCCTCGTCGCGCACGCCCAGGGACGCCCCGAGCACCAGGAGCTTGCCTAGTCTCGGCGCGCACGGGAGGTGGGCTAAATGACGGCCCAATGGAGTTAACTTCTTTGACGAGACAGCACCCAAGTCCGAGAGCTCCCGCAACGCTTGCTGTAACGTATCAGGTGAAGGAGGATCGAGCAGCGATGGAGCAAAGGTCTCGACGTCGAGGTCCATCGACAGGACTTGCAGACACAACCCATCCAAGCCGACCCTATGGATCTCCGGTGTGGTGTGCTCCCCAAAGCCCTCGAAGAAGGACTTGGGACACAGCCGGTAGCACCGGCCCCGCCGCACGCGGCCCGCCCGACCTTTCCTTTGCTTCGCGGCATCCTGGCGCACCCACACCTCCTTCAGACACGGTAACGACCTAGAAGCGTCGTAGCCCGTCTCCTTGCATCGCAACGTGTCCACCACCGCCGTCACGTCGGGTATGGTGATACTGGTCTCAGCCACATTGGTAGCAACAACTATTTTTGTTTTACCTTTAGGTGCCGTATCGAAGGCTCTACGTTGGTCCTTTGCGGGTAGGGAACCATGTAAAGGTAGGGGGTACAATGTAGGGTCTCGCTCCAGTATTCTACAGATCTGTGTTATTTCTAGAGCACCACTCACGAAGACCAATACCGCACCGGTTGAATCTCTCTGAAATTCATCCAGAGCGATAGCTCGACAGGCGTCGGCGACGAACTGCACATCCAATCGTTGCGGCGTCGCCGTCCAGGCCTCCTTTTCTCTACGAGTCATCTCTTCGTCCTGATCTAGTAACCTCTTGACATCATTCAAATAACTCACGTCGACGGGATGCGCGAATCCTGGTATAGATAGGACGGGACACCTGCCCTTATATAGCTGAGGATTGAGATCGGCGAAGTACCGCGAGAACCGACTCGTGTCCATCGTTGCCGACATCAGGATGACTCTCAGGGAAGGTCGCTTTTGTAGTAGTGGCCTTAGTAAAGCTAACAACAAATCGGCATCCAGGTGCCGTTCGTGCACCTCATCGACAATCAGGTGTGTTATGCCTTGTATATTAGTGTCGCTCCTTAGACGTTGTAGTAACACCCCAGTCGTGCAGAACAGCAAATGGGAGCCCATCGACACTTCCCCTCTTACTGCTACTCCGACCGTACTACCGACGTGTTCGCCCCGTTCTTCAGCGACTCGGGACGCGACACCCACCGCAGCCACTCGCCTTGGTTGGGCCACCACTATCTTGATCGGTTCAGTCGCATTATCTAATAAAAATTGGGGCACCTGGGTCGTCTTACCACATCCGGTACCGCCCTCAATTAACATGACCTGGTACTTGGATACCGTATCGATAACGTTGCTAGCCTCTTTGTGCGCGGGCAGCGTCTTCCGTTGTAGTGTGATGGATGTCCTAGGCTGCGATGGCGGTGGCGGGCCATTCGAAGGCTGCGACCACCAGTCGGGGCCCCGTCGACGCATGCGCCGCGGCGGTCGCGGTGCGACGACGGGCGCCGCCTTCGGTTGAACGACGGGCGGCGGCGGCGGCACATCCACAGGATTCTTAGCAGCCTCGACGAGATCGAAGAGCATGGGCTCGCCCACCAAGGAGAAGGCGAGCGTCGCCCACGCCGCATGTGCTTTTTGTGACGCGCCCTTCTTGAGGACCATGGCCGGTATCGACGGGTACGTTGATGGTACCAGCAAGCACGCGTCCCCCATGGTCATCACCGAGCCCTGGTCCTCTTTTACAGCAGTAACGTCGAGCGTCGCCTCGAGGGCCTCGATTTCATCAGTCTCACCACCTTCCCCCGCTTCGAAGGACGCGTCCGGCCTTGCGAGTCTAGCGCATTGGGTCCACCTACTACAAAAGTCGCCCTCAACCGCAAAAGAAGCTACTTTGCGAGAAACAACAACGTCCAGATTCGCGCCGCTCTTCGGGTCGAACGTCTCCGGTAAATCGCCCTCGTCCACATGGAGACATAAATGAGCCAACGCCGCCTCGGTAGCTTGCAAGGCATCATTTGTTGATGTCGTAGCCACGGCCTCGACGGCCTGGCCCGGCCGAAAGCCTAGACCAACTAAGTGTTGCGCCGCGTCCCTCTTCGCACCTTCGAGGTCTGCCAATTTTTGGAGGTCGTTCGAACTTCCACCGTCGTCCTCCTTTGTTCGCTGTAAACCTAACGCCTCCACGACGGCGCGCCTTACGGAAGGCGCCATATAAACTCGAGCGTCGGGGTTGGCCCGCTTCCGCGCCTCCCGCGCGTGCGTCCTTTGGTTCCGGACGGCCTCCTTGGCGCGCCTCGCCCTATCGGCCTCGGCCCTCGACGCGTGGGCGCGGTCCATCGTCGGCACTACTATAGAAGGCTTCTCCGGCGCGGCGGCGGCGGCCTCCTCGAGATTATTCTTCGAGCCCTTGCGCGGGAGCTTCGCCGGCTCCTTCTTCGCCGTGGCCGCGCCTGCGTGGAATCAAATTTCGGGCGCCCCACGCCGTCGACGCGATGTTGTCCCCGTGGCAGCGTCGGCTCGATGGCGTGGAGGTCACGAAGGTCCACGCTATGATTTCCACACAGGCCCGCGCCCATGGCGAGCCACGTGCTCCGGTAGGGCTCCGGTAATTTCCGCTCCAGAGGGAGACTCCCTTGCGTCTGCTTCAGAGCTAATAGCGCAGCATTCTCCTTCGCCACACTTTCGGAAGGAAACGCCTCGGCGGGGCAGAAGGCCAGGTCGTGCTCGGCGCCCCGCCTCTTGGGATCGGGCACGATACACCTGGAACGGTGCTTGCCCGGCGGCGCGGGTTTGGCCGGGTGCCATCTAGGTTTCGGCCGCTTCTCGCGCTGGCACCACTCACCCAGCATCTGGGAGGGCAACTTCTCGTGCGTTTTCAAGGTCAAACCCTTCACTTCCTTGGGACCCTTGTCCGTGAGCTTCGACGCGATGCGCTGGTCCCGACTCCCTTTGCCGACCCATTTTTGCACCTCGCCGTCCCATCGGAAGCCGTGGTCGGGCTTGCCGTCCTTTTTCGTGGGGCGTTCCGGCCTTATGCCGCACTCGCACCGTCTTTCACACTCGCAGCGTTTTTGTACTGGCTCCTTGCCCTTGCCCTTCTTCTTCTTGTCGGCCTTCGAGGGCGGCGGGGGCTTGTCGCGACCCATCTTTCTCGGCAGCGATGCGCGCAGCGATGCAGTGCTGCAGCACACAGCGATTGAAGGCTGCAGTGATTGATGCTAGCTGTACCAGCAATGCAGCGCGCCGCAGCAATCGACACAACGACGAGAAACGATGTTAAACGCTACAGGAGCACCCCTGTCCAGCAGTACGTCCGTCTACAGCCCCGCCACAGTAGTCGAGGCGGCTTGCTAGTATCTTACACCGCTAGCTCCGCTCCGTCCACTTCTCCCACACGCAAACTACTAAACTACGTCGTCTCCGACGCCTCGAGTTGAGGTACGATTCGCATTTGCTGGGAGTTTGAGTCCTGTTGACTCTCCGGCCGCCAGAGAGCCGCCAATACTGCTGCACTGGAAGGCGACTAGGACGCACTGAATGCTGCGGCTAGCGAAACGGTTATTCAGACGCGGTGGGGACGACATGGCAGCGCCCTCGATCGACGCAAAAGCCGACACCGCATCGGAAGACACCTCCGCGGCGACGACCGCATCAGTGTGTGACCTGCTGATCGGAAACAACCTCCTGCAGGGGTACTTGGGCGGTGCGGACGCGCTTCGCTTGGAGGTCGTGTCGAAGCGGCACCCGTTCGGGAAGGATGCGCTGCGCAACCGCACCCTGCTCCGATTCCCGAGCAACGACGAGGGATTTAGTTATAAATGGTGGCAGTCGCCTTTGCGTCACATTCTGGATCGCTACCCGAACATACGAATTATCGACGCAGAAATATCGACCATGGACTGCATAGGAGACGACAATCGCCGCTTCCTACACGTCCTGATGATCGAGTTGGCCGGCGCATCCCTGCCGCACCTGCGCGAGCTCCAAGTACCGGAAGCCTACTTGTCCGTGGAGCGGTATATGGTCTGCCAGGAGTACCCGCACCTCGTCGTGACACCAGCGCTTGATGCTTCCGTCGAGCAGTTCCTGGCGGCGGGGTATGCGTGCGGAAACCGCGAGGAGTATCCCTGGCGAATCCACCGTTGTCACCAGTATGAGGAACCGAATGGCTGGTATATATTTTCTGCGCCGGGCACGGATGGCTACAGTGCAAAATTAGTAAACTATGAATTACGGGGCGGGATCATATACTACGAGGCCGTCATTCGAACGCCGGACAAGGACATCCGGGTAACCTGGGGGGACGCCAACTCACCCCTGAACGGCGACATCGAGGCCCTGGTGGACACTTGGCACGATCAGATCTATGAGGCATTTGGCGCTAGCCGGCACGGGCCTTCGTATGAACTCGAACCGCCCGGGCTGATCTATGATATCGTGGCTGATCTGTTGAACAACATGGATTGGGAGGGAGAAGCGTGGCTTGCGTTCGAGCGAAGCTGCCGAGAAGATTACGAGGAGCAACAGCGCGAGTCTTTCCAGCGGGGCGCCTTCGATATGCTGTTATATTACATGGCGGATTTTTATGGGAATGACGTCCAGATCACCATCATGGCTCGTCGCGGCTAGGTCCTAAGAGTACGGTATATATATCCAGAAGACTTAGAGACTCGTCAGCTCCGCCGCGCGCGGGCTGTACCCCTCATCCTCCATCACTTTCTTGCGACTCCGCACCGAATCGGAAATCTCCTGCTTCCGTTCTTTGCCATAATTTTCATAACCAGGATAGTCCAAGTAAACCACGGAGTCATCTTTATCAAATATGGTCACGTCCGGCGCGTCCCCATCGTCGGCGTCCGCGTTCGGGACTTCTATTTGGTCGTCCGCGGCACAAAAGATCAGCTTCTTCTCGACGAACTCCTGCCTATCTATTTGTATTTGGACATCCCCAGGAACATCTTCAATCACCAACGCCGCCAACTGCTTCGCCACCACCATCCCGTGGTACAGGAAACAAAAGGTGATGATGCGGTGCGCGTTGTTCCAATGTGTGAGGAACTCGCCCGTATATGTAATAATGATACTATTCGTAAAGACCGCGATATACGACAGCAGTTCGATGATGTCCGCCCAGGAGCCAATGTCCTCGGCGTTTTGTGGCCAAGGGCGTCTGCTGACCACCGAGATGTTCCAGGCGTCCACCCGGATCTGGGCGTAGGCGTTTATTAACGCGAGCATCGGCGCTAGAGGTAATGCCGCGACGAATAACACGGTGTAACCATATATAAGTACCAAATCTCTGTAGTCTCCAAAAGTACCTAACATATGATGGTATTCGTCCAGCTCCAGCTCCCGTTCGGCAGGCGAGATGTCCCGAGAAACAACCTCCTCCTCCTCGGGCGGCTCTTCGCCCAGCGCGGCGTACTCGTCGAGCCTCTCTTGCTTCGCCATCTCATCGAGTTCGGCCCTTCTTTGTTCTTGGATGCGGTCCTTCTTCCACCAGAAGTGGGGGATCATGATCTCCTTGACGTTGGCCAGCACGACTTTCGAGATGAAGATAGCTTGTAATTGTTTATTCAATTCCGACATACAGGTGCCCTTGCAGCCATAGCTCCCGGGAAACGGCTGCAATATGGCGCGGTTCGCTTGGAGTTGCTTGAAGAAGGCTATATATATATAGGAGAAGAAGGAGTTGATGCCCTGGAAGATGAAAACCTTCTCGGTTAATTTATCCGTAAACTCGGTATCGGTCGCGTGGTTCTCGTAGCGATTCAAGAACAGAGCGAGTTCATTAAACACGTTCTCCAAAGCGAATATTTGTGCAGCTTGGGCTAGCGACACAAGCGTGTTGCCGATCTCGCCGGACATGTCAACACCGAGCCAGCGCGGGATGCCGTAATTCTTGACGCATTTGGGAGAACCAGAGAATTGCCTCTGGTTCTTCCTGCAGTTCCAGTGGCGCGTGTTCAGCAAGTTATTTCTCACCGCTAAGATAGCCTTCAAAAAAAATGTAGCTATAACAAGGGCCATCACCGCCGTAGAAGCCACGAGAATGACGGTCCACGCGATTAAATTCCTTCTAGCCTTGATGTTCGGCGGGAAGTATTTGATTTCCTCGCCGTCGACGGGCGAGTTGATATCTATAACTAAGTCACTCTCAAGAAAATCAGGTCTTTCTTCTTCGATCTCCTCGATGCCCACCATGCCCCACTCCATGGCATACCTGCTTTGCTTTCTCTTCCACGTTTCCAAGAACACAGTAGCCCATACTGACATGACGACGCAAAAAAACGGTATGACTGGCGAATTCACGCCGCCCGTGAGACACGCCGCGAGCCACACGATCACCCCAATAATCGCCGCGACGCCGGCCTGCTCCGTGTAGTGGCCCAGGAACACGAAATACAGGCCGATCTTCTCGCCAAAATAATCCTTGATCTTCACGAACGGCTGGTCCCACCTGCGGCGGTGTCGCGTGACGCGGGGCGTCTCCCCGTGGTCGTCTCCACGAGAGATGATCGAAGTCGGGCGCGACGCGAGGACGCCGCGAGACGTACGGCCAGCTCCAATACACGAGCCACTTCGCCTGGCAGGCCTGCAGTTCGCTTCGATCGTGCAGCGGGAACGCCGCCAGGATGATTTCAGCTTTGAGCAATTTCTCGAGCACCAATCCGGCGCCGTTTTCGTTCGGGTCGCACTTCAGGATGCTCATGATCAACTTCACGCGATCGACCGACCGGAACATGCTTGACGTCCGAGGGTACTTCTGATATAATGATTGCAATTCCGGATTCGAGCGGTACTCCCCGTAGATATACTCGTAGTACCTGCGCGTGATATGCATCGAGTCGCGATCTCGCCCGAACCCACGGCCTCGTCTGATGGAGACGAGTCGCGGCGATGGCGTAAGGAGGGATATATAGGGCGCCGCTGCAAACGCGTACGGGCACTGGTCCTCGGTGTCGGTGATGGCCGTCTCCATCTGGAAGCCCTTGTAGGTCCAGCCGTTCTTGCGCGGGTAGACGTCGTACTCGTCGGGGTTCAGGGGGTCCGGCTGGCCATCTAGCAGTCGTTGTTTCACATTTCTTTCATCTAAACGAAACTTCATATTCAACCGATCCGCTTCCTCCTCGAGTCGCTCGCGACTAGCTCGGATCTTGATGAAGACCTTGTCGAACTTCCTGGACTTGTACTGCTCCGTCTCCAGGTCGGCGTTCTCCAGCGCTGAGACAATATTACGCATACTGTTTTTTCTTTGTAGGTCATCTACGAGCTTATGACCCTCGTCCTTAATAGAAGTAACAATAACAAAGTCGTAGTTCCAGTTCTGGCCCTCCTCGCGACTCTGGAACTTGTCCTTGACGAACCGGTACCTGTGTGTGATGTATCGAGTCGCGATCTCGCCCGAAACGCGCTCAAAATCCAAAATGAGACCACCCACGTCCATCATTCCTGGAGACGAGTCGCGTCGATGGCGTGAAGGCGCCGCAGCACCGCGGGACGCCGGGTCCGTACTCCGGGAACTCGTCGATCTGGGCAGTAGCCATGTGTAACAACTGCTTGAGGCAGAACATCACGAACGCAATGTTCGCGAAGATCGTGATGCCCGGCGTGAATCGCGACACGATGGTGTACTCGAAGAAGACGGCCTCCGTCGCTGGGGGTGGGGTGGTTGTGGTATTGGTGGCGTTCGTCGCTTGCAGGAAGCGCCGCGCGAAGTGCTCGTCGGTCATGAAGCCCGCCCCTAGGTCATGTAGTGGTCTTTTTGGGACTATGAATGACGCTATGAAGCATACGAATGGGATTGCTACGAATACGTAGTTGTATAAGCGCAGCGGTTCCTGGGGTAGGTAGTCTTTTATTGATGAAACGCGCCGCCGTCGTCCCGGTCGCGGCTTTCTAGCCGGCGGCGCTTGTTCAGCGGCGGCGTCCCAGTCGTGGGGCGTGGGGCCGTCGGTGTCTCGTCGGTGGCGCATGCTTGTGTTGGGGCTGCCTCTGGTCCTGTTGTGTGCTTTCAGGGGCAGCCCTGGCGCCTGGCTGCCGAAGCCGCCACGCACGCTAGCGTCCGCTGCGGCGTCTGCCTAGCAGCGTAGACCTTTTGGTGGGCGTAGCCCTTTTGTTTTTGGCTCCCTCTCGATGGCTTTTGCTTGCGAAATGCTAGCTTCCCCGCACGATGCACGCCACGAGAGCGGTGCGCCCAACTCTCTGAGGCTCGTGGAAGGGATCGGATGCGTACGCAGACGAATAAAAAGTTTAGGCCTCCAGCCCTCGATGCCTCTGCGCAGCGGCTCTTAGAACGCAGGCAGTGGCCGCAGACTCGAAGCGCGCTTGATTCGGACACGCAGGAATCATTTAATTGCTCTCTGCAAGCAATTGCTGCTTACGCGAACGCCGCATCTGCCCTACACAGGGAGAGCAGCATGGCCTCATTAGCTGGCTTTGCTGACGCCAAGCGCAGCACACCGGTGGCGTCCGAGCAAAAGCCAGCCACGACCACCACGCCGGCGCAGCGCTCCTCCGCACCGCTCGCCGGCTTTGCGCCTGCTGCAAAACCATTGAGCGGTTTCGCGCCCGCCAAAAAGCCGGTCGCAAACGGCTTCGCCGCCGCCAAGCCGGTGCGAGCGCGCACGGGCGCCGCCGCGATTCCGCCCGGGAGGGATGGTGGCGTCGTCCCGCGCGGCCCGCGCCTGTCCGACAAGTGGGTGTCGGGCGGCAGCGCGCGAAAGGTCGTGGCGGCGCCGCGCGCTCCCTCGTCGCGGGACGTCTGCGACGACTGCGGCTGGCGCGACTGCCAGTGCGCGCACCGGAAGGTCGTGCGCGTCGTCCGGGCGCCGCTGCCCGCCGGTGCGGCCTGCCGCGTGTGCTTCTGCGGCGAGGAGGACGAGCCCCTCTGGCAGCCCTGCGCGTGCCGCGGCGAGTCGGCCTACGCCCACGCTTCTTGCTTGAGAAAATGGGCCGAGATGGCGACGGTGAGCACGGCCGCGTCGTACGAGTGCCCAACTTGCAAGACGCGGTATACGGGCCCGACCGCCGTCGCGCTGGCCGTGGATCGGGTGGATTTGGAGTACGATAGGTCTGGTTCCGACTCGCGGCACGCCGACGTCGCGTGCGCGAATCTCGTCGTCGTGGGATTGCGCGAGGGCACGACCATCGACGCGGCGCTGTTGCGTCGGCAACTGCGCAAGGACACGCGGCGGGACCGCCTCGACTCCGTGCTCGCCTCCATAAAGAAGTGCGAGCAAAAACGCGACAAGGCCATCGAGGCGACGAAAGCGTCCCTGCTCGACGTTGATGAAGGGGCTTTGCGCAAGAAATGCGACGCGCCCGCGTCGACGGCCGCCGAGCAGCTCTCCCGCGCCGACTCGCGACTGGAACTAGCCTTCGTGCTCGCGGAGCGCTGCGTCCGGCGGCTCAACGACCACACTCGATCTCGCGACGAGGATCGGAAGTTGCAAGTCGCTGCATCGGAGGCGTTATCGCTCGCGCAAGCCGCGCATGGGGACGTAAAGCGGATACTCGGCCCGAATCACGACGACACACGCCGCCACCTGCGCTGCGTCGGCCGCCTCCACGCTCTCGATAAGCATCTCCGCGAGGTGAACGCGCAGCGGGCGAAGCGCGAGAATTTGGCCGAGCGGCTGGCGCGCGTGGATTGTTAGGTTAAACTTGTACACACTATCACACTTAGTAGTAACCACAGTGGGCCCAGAGCTTCACGATGTGACGGACGACGTCTGCGTTAAGATGCGGAAATTTCGGGACGAATATCGCGACGAGGGCGTCCGTGTGTTCCTTCTCGTAGGCAGCGAATGACCCTGCTCGCTGGATTTGGGTGAGGTACGAGAAGCGCTGCCGGCGAAGGTGCGCTGGTATCGCATCCCAGGAGTGCCGAGGGAAAGCTGCGCCGGCCCGCAGGAGTAGTGGGTAGATGCGGTGCACCCGTGGCCGGTTGTTGACCCTGCCTGTTTCAATCGCTCTGTCTAGCGGTGTCCAGTAAGGTCCCGTAAAGTTCCCAGTTTGACGATCACGGTCCTGGCACTTCGCGTCCACTTCGGCGCCAGCAGCTAGTAGTAGCTGAACACATTGCGGGCATTGCTCAGCTGCATAGTGTAGCGGCGTGCTACCGAGGTAGTTGGGCGTCCGGGGATTGCTTCCCGCTTCTAGAAGCAGCTTGATGATCCGGGCGTGGCCATAAATTGCCGCCCCATGGAGCGCTGGAGTGCCGGGCGGATTCGGCGACGCGCCCGCGCGCAGGAGCGCGACGACACAGGCCTCTTGATTTTCTTGAGTTGGGCGCACAATTTCCCCTGTTGAGAGTCCAAAGTTCAGTCCCCCCGACGCATAAAACAGAGCCGAGCGCTGAGGCCATTGGTGTAACCAGCCATTTATATGTGGAGCAGTACGAGCAGCACTTGCTAAATCAGGTGAGACCCCCGCCGCGAGTAATCTGCGTATCTCTGCGACGTCGCCGCGCCTGGCGGCAGCTAGGAATGGGTGACCTATGCTTGTTGTCCCTTCCAACTGCAGATCCGCCATGTTTGACAACAGGGGCCGATAAATGCGGTAGTTATACTTACAGGATAGGCGCGGAGGCTTGCTAGTGTCTTACCGACGCTAGCTACGGCTTTTGCGGGCGCGGCTTGTTTTTGGGCACCAGGGCTATAGACTGATTATAGCGCTGTAAGGAAAGTCATCAACGTCTCACAGCGCCGCTGCAAAACAACTCGTACTGCCCTCGGAGCCTCTGAGAAGCCACCAAGCTGCCACTGGCTGTGCATAGCAAGAGCTGTGTCGCCACATTGATCGATAGCGATGTCCGCACAACTCGCGGAGGACTCGTCAGACGGCGACGACGCGACTCTCGTCGGTCTGCGGGCAATAGGCGAAGATGAACCACTCGTCGACCCAAACGCGGACACCTTCGAGCTCGACCTCGGCGCGGGCCGACGAGTGGTCATACCGATGGACCGCGCAGCCCAGCGCCGCGGCGTCGCCGGCGCGTCGGGCACGGAGGCCGCGTCGGAGACCGGCGCGGTCGTCTGGGACGGCGCGGTACTGCTAGCGCGTCGCCCGGCACGGCGCCCAAACGAAAAGCGCAACGTACTGGAGCTGGGCGCGGGCTGCGGGCTGACAGGTATAGCCTGGGCCGTGACCCTGGGGGCCAACGGCTGCAATTTGACCTTGACCGATAGACCGCACCGGCTCCAGGCGCTGCGAGAAAACGCTCGGCGCAACGGCGTCCAGGCAACGGTTGCGGCTCTAGACTGGACGCGGGCCCTGGAAGACGCGGCACAACTCGAGTTGTTTGGCTCTTCAGATGTCGTCCTCGCGGCGGACTGCGTGTACGACGAGGCGCTCGCCACGCCCCTCGTGCGCACGATCTCCTACGCGATGCACGACGAGTCGATCGCCTTCGTCGCGGTCGACGAGGCGAATCGGCGGCCCGCGGCCCTCAGGGCCTTCCTGCGCGTCGCCGAGCGCGCGTTTAGCTATTTCAGGGAGGAATCATATGGAATGGAACCGCGGAGCCGATGGAGCCACGGCCACGACCGTGAGTCCATCCGGCTCTTCGTATTTCGCGGCCCGCGGCTCTTCGACCCGCGACGGCCTCTTCGCGTAATAATAGCAGGCCCCTGCGGCTGCGGCAAGACCACGGTCGGCAGGGAGCTGGCCGCGGTCCTCGGCCTCCCGTTCATCGAGGGCGACGACCTGCACCCCGAGGCCAACCGGGCGAAGATGGCGCGCGGCGAGCCGCTCGACGACGCCGACCGCGCGCCCTGGCTCGAACGCATCCGGGCCGCGGTCGGCGCCAGCCAGGAGGGCGCCGTCGCGAGCTGCTCGGCGCTCAAGCAGATTTATCGAGACGCGCTCGGCCCGGTGCGCATCGCTCTGCTGGACGTGCCCGAGGCCGTCGCGCGGGAACGGGTCGAAAAGCGGTCGGGCCACTACATGCCCGCGTCGCTCGTCGCGTCGCAGTACGCGGCGCTCGAGCTGCCCGCGGTAGAGTGCCGGGCCTTGGTCTTCGACGGGACGCTCGCGCCGGCCGCGCTCGTCGACGAGATCGTCGGGACGATCGCCAAGGACGAGCTCTGGCGTCGGTCCTGCCGCTGACTAAGCTTTTTGTGGTGTGTGTTTATTGCATCTCTGTCAGCAAAACCCGTCACAGCACTGTTTCTTTGTTTATACGACCTTGCCGGACGCACCGGTCGTCGTTATACACTTGATCACGCGCGAATAGCTCGTTCTCCAACGTGCGTGTCCGCCACTCTGCATTCTTCAGCGATCTCAGGCAAGTAAGATCCTGATTAAAGAGATAAAGAGACTGCCCTGAAAGACATGACGCCGTACGGGGCGCTCGACAAGGAAGCCGGCGGCGATTCACAACCACCGCATAAGTCGTATAGCCGGTTGGGGCTCGGTCTGCTGGCGTTTGTGCTGGTCGCCGGCGCCGCCGCCGTCGGCCTGGATTTGTATTGCCCTGCTGGCTACATATGCCCATTCAACAACAGCGACTATGTTTCCACATCTTCCGGCAAGTCCGTCGCGTCCAGCTTGTCGTCCACCGAGTGCCCTCCAGGCACCGATCCGCAATTTCAGTGTGAAACCGCATACGGCTATTGCAGAGCTCATTGTAGCAGCGGTATTGCGGTGCCCGAGTTGCAGGAAAGATGCAGGAATACATGCAGTATCGCGCTCGGCAGATGCTGTGACAACTGAATGGCATATACCTATTCCCGTCGCCGCCCCACCCACTAATCACCTTCATTATGTCGTTAGTCAGTGGAGTTAGCAGGGAGGGGGAAGCGTTACCGCCGCGACCGCGCCAGCGCCGCCAGCCCGCGCTCCGCCAAACACAGGTAGACGAGGAAGAAGATGATCAATGCTAAAGCGCACATGCCCACGGACGGCGCGCGCCTGACATCATAATGGTCCAGGACATCCGTATTGGGGGACCCCATCTCCGCGCTGTCGTAGGAGAAGTTGTCTCTGAGTAGAGCCATCCAGGCGTAGTAGAGATGATTGCATCGGGTGTACCAGCGCCAGCCCAGGGGTATGTCCGACGTGAGTAGGACATATCCTGAGGATAACAAATTGCATGTGATGTAGGTCGGCAGGAGAGCATTCGCCGCGTCCGCATCCGGCGCGTAGGCGGCGACCATCTGGGCGATGGCCAGGCCCACGATCACCGTCAGATAGAACAGTCCAAAACTAATCAGGAAATTCCCCTGCAGCCCCACCGAGAAGAAGACCGCCGCAAAATAGATCAAGGCAAAGGGCAATATGATGATACACTCCTCTATTGTTTTGGCTATCAAAAATGTCACGGGCAGGTACGCACCATCGGCAGTTTCTCGGAGGAAAATAGGTCTCTCGGAAACTAATTGCGGCATGTAGCAGGCCGCCCCGTACCCCGTGAGCACAGCAGCGAACCATAAAACACCAGCGGAATTCATCGCCGCCTCCATCTGTCTTTTTTTACGACCCTCGCCCCAAAATAGGGACATCATGACCAGGCCATAGAGTAGCTTGTCTCCTAATCTAGTCATGATGTACTCCACGTCGCCGAAGGAACGCAATGATCTATATCTTAGTAACGTTACGATACCGTGCGGTACACTTGTAGCTACGGCTAGTTTCCTTCGAGGGTCGTCCTTGGTCCACGCGAGACTCCCAGGACAAGCTTCTCTGAGTCGTTGGGCCGCAGCGTCGGGGTCCTCCGTCTCGGCCTTCGAGGCTAAGTATTGTACTCGTTTCAGCGTAGCTGCATATACAGGGTGCTTGCTCCACCTCTCGGCTACATCAATGTCCTTCGTCTTGGCGTCGCGCATGGCATACAGCAAATGTTCGGCCAACGAGTCGCCGTCCACATACTGTGAACCGAGGGATTGGGACACATACGTCGCCAGGGGGCCGTGGGAACCTTCGCCCGGCGGAGCCGCCCACGCGACTTTTCCTCCGTCCAAAGCTACGACGTCGTCGATCAACAACCGGAACGCTCGGGACGACGGCGCGTGGATCGTACATGCTACCACTCGACTCCCATCTCTCGCAAGTTTTTTCACGGCCGCGAGCACGTCGTCCGCCGTGGCCGCATCTAAACCAGTTGTGGGCTCATCTAAGAGTAGTACGGGGGGCTTCGAGACGAGAGCTAACGCTATACTCGTACGTTTTCGTTCACCCCCGGAAATAACTGACACTTGCGAGGACGCGATGTGTGTTAAACCCATCTCGTTGAGCAACTCGTCCACCCGTTGTATCTTGGTAGAATGACTCAAGTACTGGGAACACTTCAATTCCGCCGTGTACTCGAGCATCTCTCGCACACTGAGAACATCTATCAATGAATCATGCTGCTCGCAGTAGCCCGTGTATCGCTTCCGGACCACATCGGTAGGCTTCGCTCGCGCGATCACGACATCTCCCGAAACTTGGATGGAGGTGGTCGTTCGACCAGCTAGGACATTGAGTAGTGTCGTCTTCCCAGCTCCCGAAGGCCCCATGATCGCGGCCACGCGACCAGCCCCGAACGCCCCCGAGACATTATCAAGCAACTTCTTGTCGTCGCACGACGCGCAGATGGCGTGGAAGACTACACTCACCTCATTGTCGTCCGCCGCGACGGCTATCGCCGCGTGGTCGACCTCCTCCTTCAGCACCGCGCTCAGCGGGATCTGGCTGCCCGTCTCGACGCGCTTGATGGGCATCTTTTCTGCTGGTGCTGGTCGTTAGCGCTGTTGCGCTTTCGGCTGATGGGTCGTTGCTTTGTTGGATGGCCTCGGCGCCGTTGCACGGGCGCCCTGCTGTTGAACTGGCTGCCTGCTCTGCTCTCGGTGCTAGTCTCAGAGGCGGATATGGGGCTGCCTGCTCGGCCGACGATCGGTGCGGGCGTGCGTGCGTGTTTGCGTGCGTGCGTTGGGTAGCCTGGTCGCCTCGCTCAATGGTGGGAACAGGATAAAGCCACTCTGCCAGAGCATGAAGAGCATTTTCGTCCAGCTTCACAGGTACTCGTGTTTCGGCCCGCCGCGGCGTCGTGGCGGGCCAGAGACTTCCTCGGACGCGTACGTCGGTATTCGTGCTAGTGTCTTTACAGGCCGCTAGCTACGAGTTTTGGATCAAACTTTGCGCCGCGCGCCTCGCTAGGCGCCACAACCACGCTCCGCAGCGCCTGCAAGCACCGCGACAGCGCACTTGTCCCAGACTTTTGAAGCCGTGCGCCGCCGCGCCCCAAAAAAAGCATTCCAAAGACCAGCAGCTTTAAGCACAGCGCAAGACGCCAAGACGCCGCGCGGCACAGATAGCTTCTTAAGCCAGCGAATAAACAGCAAAGATGCCCATCGCCACGCTGTTTGACGACAAGAAGGAAGACGACGACGAGCAGGACGACCGGAACGAGCTCTACACCGGCGGGAATCGGCGGGGCGGCGGCGGGTCCGGTCTCGCCGTGATTGGCGGCGACGACGACCCCGATGCCGATGCCGTAACGCGCATGTTCCGCCAGGCCCAGCGCAACGCGGCTGGTAATGGAGAGGGCCCCGAGGAAGGCGCCGATCAAGTGAAAGTTACTGTTTACTCGAACGGCTTTGTGGTCGGCGACGGCCCGTTTCGGCCCTCTGATGGCTCTGAGGAGAACGAGGCGTTTTTGCGCGATGTTGGGAGAGGTATCGTGCCGCGAGAGTTGGAAGATAGAGCTGGCGCCGGCGCCGTGAATTTGGAACTCGTCGACAAGCGCGGCGAGAGTTACGAGGCACCGGCTTATACTGCCTTCTCAGGAGGCGGCCAGACGCTAGCCTCCACAAACACGTCGGGTATCTTTTCGGAAGCTTCATGCGAAAAACCAGCTCTTGATGACGGGAAGCCGAAAACGACGCTACAAGTGCGCTTGTCAAACGGGAAGAGAGCTAGAGTCACCCTGAACCTCGACCACACGGTGGCGCAGCTCGACGCGTTGATCCGGGCGGACCACGGCGCCGAAGGCAGCTACCAATTGTTAGCAGGCTTCCCGCCCGCGCCGCTCGCGGACCCCGCGGCCTCCGTCGAGGCGGCCGGGCTGAAGGGCGCCTCCGTGACGCAGAAGGCGGCCTAGTTGTGTTCCTCCCACTTTAAAACTTCCTCTCGGTAGTCGTTTGCCATCGGCGCGTGGCCTCGTGGGATCTCTAGGTGTCGTCACAGTCGCGTCAGTTGTCGCGTCGATGGCGTCGAGAGGCGGGCCCTGGCAGACGACGGCGCGAATTTCGGGTAGCCCGAGCACGCCATCGCCGCGTATCACAATAATGATTTACCCGAGCCCCTCGTAGCACGTTTTGCCAGAAGCGTTCACGATGCGGTTGTCCGCGCCCTTCGTGATGAGGTACTCGCCGAGCTGCTCGAACCCGAACGCAAAACAAAAATGGAGGCACGTGTTGCCCCGCAGGTTCGCCGCGTTCACGTCCGCGCCGCGCCGCAGCGCCGCCTTGACGACGCGCTTGTGGCCGTTCTGCGCGCCTATTATTGCGATCGTATTGCCATGAACGTCTCGACTATCCGCCGGCACGCCCCGTACCAACAACCGTTCAATATCCGGCACGCGGTTGTGCCTCGCGAACGAGAAGACGTCGGCCACGTCGGCATCGGAATGAGTCGGTGCTGGTGCTTGTTGCTGCACGGGGGGCCGCGCGCTCGCGAAGCGGTCCGCCGCTCTTGTAAATTCGTCTTGCACATATAGCGACGACGCCGGCCCGGGCGGCGCGGGCCTCCAGTCTTCGACGTCGGCGCCGGGCGGCGCGTAGGTTGGTGGAGGCGCTCGCGGCGCGCCGCCGAGCGCCAGCGGCGGCACGCGTGGCGCGGCGCCGTGCGGCGGCCCTCGCGGCGGCGGCCCGCGCGGCGCGGCGCCGTGCGGCGGGGGCCCTCGCGGCGGTCGCGGCGCGGCGCTGGGCGGGCTCTGGCGCGGCGAGTACCAGTTGCTCGATCCGTCGCTATTGTTACTCCGCGCGGTGTCGTACCAGACGTTCGATGCGTCGCTGCCGGCGCTCCGGGCCGTGTCCTGCCAGGCGGCCGGCGGCGACGGCGAGCCGGTGGTCGAGGCCGCCGACTCGCGCGGCGTGTACCAGCGGTCGTCGTCGAGGCGAGCCAGTGTTGCTGATCTGGTTTGTGGCTGCCCCTCTTTTAGGGCTCTATCCGCAGTAGCGGTCGAAGCGATGCCTGTTATGGGTGCCTTTGGAGAGCTGGCGGCATGGGAGCTGCGCCTAGCGACGAATGGCACAAATGAGTGCTCTCGGAGCCTGTTATGCGGCAGAGTGCCAGTGTAACTTCGCAGGCTCGCAGCTATCGTGCGGGTCGGACGCTTGACTGGCGGGCGCTATGTTTCCGTGGCGCCCGGACAATGGATTGTGGACAGAGTTCAAGCGCTAGCGTCTGCAAGCCACTAGCCAGCCTTTCCAGCCTCCATCTTTGTCAAGTCCTTCTTGCTCGCGCAGGACAGGGGGTGCACGTCGACGCAGTTTCGTGGCTGATAAGTGATTGAACAGCTTCGCTGGTCCATTTTTGCAATCGTAATGGCGGACGACGACGAAGTAGTGTGCCCTCTCCCGGCTTTGAGGAAGGTCAGGCGCCGCGTCCGGACAGGGGGGGACGGCGCGCACGCATGAAAACGCTGCGCGTCTCGGCCAGAGATGGGTGGACCGCGAAACCGACCATTTCCGCAGTTCGCTGCACGCCTCGCGCCTGACCGCAAAAGAGCCGATCACACACGCCCATCCGCAGGCCTGCGAGCCGCGCTGCGCGGACGTCTTCAAGCACTACTTGGCCTGCGCTGATCGCATCGAGCAGAAGGGCGCGGGTGCGGGCGCCGCGTCCTTAAACACAAAACCGCCATCGTACGCCATCGCCGCGACCGCACCACAACCCCGCAGGCGACTGCGAGCCCTACTACTTCGACTGGCTCAAGTGCATAGACAAGTGCGCGATGCCGCACATCATGCAGAAGCTCAAGTAGAATTCTTTAAATATTATTAGCATATCGCGCACGTACTGTTTGAAGATTTCTTCGCCTTCCCGAAGACCAGCGGTGGGAGGTCGTCCCGCCTTCGAGATCGCCTCTTGACCGGAGATGACGGCGGCGGCGCGGCGATGCCGCGCGTGAAGGCAAGACCGGCATTTCCAGGTTTCAACACCTTCACCCACAGAAATAAATGATGCCCTCGTTGCACCGACCACGACGTCGGGTACCGGTCCGCGAACGACCTATTAGCCTCCAGTTGCCGGAACGGAAAGGGCTGCCCCGGCAGGCGCCAGACCCGCCGCAGATCCAAGTACGTCAACAATCTACAACCCTCCTTGCACGCGTCGAGCAACCGCGAGAACTCGCCGAACGTGTCGGCCGGCACCTCGGTCTCGAGCATGACGATGGACCTGCGCGGACATCGTCGGTTGACCTTCTTGCGCGTCGCGTCGATGGCGTCTGGTGGAGAGCCGGTCGCCGCGATGGCGTCTTCGCGGATTTACGGCGCGACCTCCACGCCCTCGACGCGACACACACCGGTTGATTTCCACGCCGCTCCGGACGCGTCGCCGACGTCGCGCGTCCGCATCAGGTTGCCGTGCTCTATTATGAGAGTGCGGTCGACACTTGTGACCTCGATGGAGGAACCGGGCTCCCGCCTCGTTATATGGGCGTCGCAGTCGTCGCGCGCCGCCAGCGCTAGCAGTGCTCGCTCCGCGACGTGGAAGCGCGCGAGCGACAATTCCACACCATACACTCTTTTCAGGTTCGGGAACTGCAGAAACGCCTGCAATGCTACTTTTCCTGTACCACACCCTAAGTCATACACTGAAGAAGCCCGGGCCGCGTCCAGGTGTCGCGCATCTAAAGCTTTATGGACGCCTCGCGGCAGCAACTCGCCGTACAACAACGAGCCCCGATCTTCGGTCGCCCGCCTTCGATCGTCGTCCGTCACACAAACATGACCTAGCGTCTTGTGGCCCGTCTCCTGCGTCCGCCCGCCGTAGCAGTCGTGTAAAACACTTTGAGCCTTGGCAAACGCTAGGGAAAGGTCCTCAGCAAAGGTCCAGGGCTCGTCGCGCGCGTTTCGGAGTACCGGTAGGCCCTCCGGTTCCTTCGTTTCTTCGTCACAAGTACCTCTATCCACAATATAGAACGCGGTTCTCAACATCAGGAGCCACCGCCTCGCTCCCGAGTGGCGGAATTCGACGCAGTGCTTGCCTGATGATCTATGGTACTGGGCCACCAGGCCCTCGGACCACTCGCGGTTTTCTAGGAGCACCGATACTCTGCACCCAACTAATCCAGCGTTGGACCAGGCCGTCTTGGCTCGCAGGTGTCTTCTTAGTCCTTCTAAGTCGGCCCACTCCGTGCCGTCCTCGTGGCAGACGAATTTGGTGCCCGTTCGCGGCGGGGGCTTGGTCTCGGGTTGATCTGAGCTGGTCATGGTGTGATTCCGTCGCCCGGGACGCGGCGCGTCTGGCGCGCGGCCGGCGGGAGCTAGTTATTTAGAGCGCTGCTCGGCCCGGATGCCGGGGTAGGCAGTATTTGGGCCCTCACAGGGGCGCGGCGCGGGATCCGGGAGCTCTTTGGCAGCTCTTGCTCCCGAGCGCTGAGTTGGTTTCGGCCGATTCAGGCGCAACAGCTGCGGCCCTAAGATTCTAGACCGTACCTTATCGATGCTGAGAGGTGGTCGGGCGGCTCTTCGGCGCGCCGGGTGCCAGCGTGCCCCAGAGTCCCAGGTGCTTTTGCCGTCTCTTGTCCGGCCGCGCTGAGTCTGAGCCGGGCGCTTGATCGCTCTTGTCCCAGGGATTTCGCGGCCGAGGAGGCTTCCCTCATACGAGTAAAGTGCCAATTTGCTTCGCTTCTTGGCGCTAGTACGGCCGGCAGAGGCTGCTTGGCTGATGCTCTCGCAGCTTTTAGCGGTCGAAGGCTAGCGCAAAAAGCAACAAGAAGAACGTGCGCGGCAGCATTTTCAGCCATTATCACGCCTGCGACGCGATTTGGCACGGTCTGAGGTGATGGCGAGCGTTTCTGAAACCCAGGCCATCTTATTGGTGCACGGGCCGGATCGTAAAGGCATCGTCGCCGCGTTCTCGCAGACGCTCTTTGGCCATGGATGCGGCATCGTCTCCTCCGAGCAGCATACCGATGCGGAATCGAGCGTGTTCTATCAACGGATCGTGTTTGATGCGGCGGCATTACACACGGACCGCGTGAGCCTCGAGCGCGGCATCGACGAGGTGGCTAGTCGCTTAGGCATGACGTGCGAGGTGCGCTGGCCCAAGCCGAAGCGAGTTGCCATCTTCGTAGCGCCCCCGCGCCCGACCGTCTCGATGGCGCACCACGAACGCCGCCGCACGCAGGTCTCCAAGTACGCCCACTGCCTCTGGGAATTGCTCCTCAGGCACGACGCCGGCGAGCTGCCGGGCGTCGAGATTGTTCAGATCGTGTCGAATCACGAAGATTTGCGGCACGTCGCGGAGCATTTTTCTGTGCCCTACGCCGTGTTCAAGGTGACGAAGGACACGAAAAGAGCGGTCGCGGCCAGTGCGGAAACCAGGTACTACGCCATCGATGCGACGTCGTCCCTGCGCGATGGCGTAAAATAGCTCTAGTCGCACAGGTGGAGGACCAGGAGCTCGCGCTCCTCAAAGAAAAGCAGGTCGACCTCGTCGTCCTCGCTAGATATATGCAGATCATCACCGACGAGTTCTGCGACGCCTTCCCGCACCGCGTGATCAACATCCACCACTCGTTCCTGCCGGCCTTTATTGGCTCGAAGCCGTACCACCGGGCGCACGCGCGCGGCGTGAAATTAGTCGGTGCGACGGCGCACTACGCGACGGCGGACCTCGACGAGGGTCCGATCATCGAGCAGGACTGCGCGCGCATCTCGCACAAGAACTCCATCGACGACCTGCTGCGCAAGGGCCGCGTCCTCGCCCGGCGCCGAATCAGGATCTTGTGGGGGTCGCGGCGACGGCGTGGTGGGGGCTAGACGTTACGATGCCGCGCAGGTGCTCGAGAAAAACGTCCTCGTGACGGCCGTCCGCGCGCACGTCGAGGACCGGATCATCGTGTACGAGAGCAAGTGTGTGGTCTTCGGGGAGTGACGTGTCTCTCGCGGCCGGGACGGTCGTCGGTCGCGCTATCTCCTAAGTTACTGTCGTTTCCTGGACATCTCCTCACTAGTAGTCTTTCTCCGCGGCGCGGCGTCGGTCGTTGATAAATTCCCCATGACCACGCCGACCTTGCGCCGCACGTTTGCCAGCGTCATTATACTTAGCCCAATCGTGCCGTCGCTGATAGGCACAGAAAAAAAATCCCGAGGCCCATTTCAAATCCCTTCCCCCCATGACGACGGTACCGCGTAGCTTGCGGGATTTTTTGAAGAATGCTCAAGTCGGTCGATCCTCAATCTAATACCGGTTCCTATGTCCTGTGTGATAGTGGAGTCGCTGATATATTTTAGGCTTTAATCCCGGCCCGTTTTAAATTCCTTACCCCTATGACGACGGCTCGCGTAGCTTCCGGGATATTTTAAAAATGCTCAAGTCGGTCGATCATAAATGTAATAACGGTTCCTATGTCCGGTGGAATACCCCCGATCGCTGATAGACGCAGCTTTAATCCCCCGTGCCGTTTTAAATACCTTACCTTACCCTATTACTAACCAGTTGCTGACCAGTAGTTACTGACTAGACATCTCCACGAGTAGGATTACTAGCGGTACGCCTCGGCGGCGTTTCTTCGCGCCTCGTGTAAGACTAATCACGACGGAAGCTTACACCCGACCTAGTCCTTCGACTTCTTCTTCTTCTTTTTGGGCTTCTCGCCCTCGCCGCCAGCTGCAGCTGCTTCCGCCAGTTTCCTCGCTTTTTTCTCGGCCTTGCGCGCCTTCTTCGCGGCGGCCTCGTCGGGCGACAGCTCCTCGCGGTCGCGCTTCTTCTTCTTCTTTTCTTTCTTTTCTAACACCATATCCGATGCAGCACTGTAGCCGGCGGCGCCGTTGCCGCTCTGGACGACCTCGATGAGCTTCTTGGGCGCGCCATTGGGGGCAGAAGCACGTACAGAACCGCCCTCGAGCTGCCGCAGCCTCGCCTCGACCTTGGACCGCGCGTCGATGCCCAGGGACGCGTCGTCGCCCTCGCCAAGCGCGTCGACGCGCACGGCCAGCGAGCACTTCGCGGCCAGCACGCGGGCAATTTTGCCTTTGTTCTTCGGCGCAGCCTGGCCGATGAGGGAAGCGTGGTAGATCAGGCCGTATTTGGGGGTATCATGCTTGGTCTTCAGGGCTCGGAAGAGGGCCTTCTCGGCGCCGAGGATCTGCACGGTCGACGCCGGCTGCTTCGCGAGGTTCATAATCGAGCCAGCGTGCTGCACGAGGCGCGCGCCAACGAGTTCACCGACGAGAGTCGTCAGGTTGGGCGCCAGGGCCTGCATACGGGCTCTAAGGTAATCCGCGAGCCGCGTCCGATACGCCGACAGCTCCACGACCTGATCAGCTAACGCAACCACATGGTCCATGTCGCTCGGATCGACCTCCGTGCCCATGGACATCTCCGCCGTATCTAACAAAGTCTGCGCGGCCGTTTCGTCGTCGTCGAGGATTTCCGTGACCACATCCCTTGAGTTCTTGAAGTTCGTCCTATCGCGAACCTTTCGTACGAGTTCGGCATAGTGCACATTATCGTTGACCAAGCGCGCCATCTCCGGGAAGTGCCAGCCGTACCACTCCTTGACCCTCATGGCATAGGTATTCACCTCCTTGTCGAGGTCGTCCAGCAGACCGACGGCCTGCACGACCATCGTGTCCACTTTATCTGGAGAGAACTTGAGCTTGTACCTCGATAAGCTATGAGATAGACCGAGCTGCATGGCTCTCACGTCATGTGAATCGGCAACTGGGGCGTCGCCGTCGATAGCCAACGACCGAGCCCCTCGCAAACATTCATTGACGAACGACGACGCGACACATGGAATGTTCAGCTTCTCCTTGATGAGGGCACCTAATTTAGGATCCGCAACTCCGAGCTCGACGCCCCCGTTCGGAACTTGCTTCTTCAGAAATTTCTTGAGCTGCTTGTTGAGCTTGGACTCGACGAAGTCGGACGCGGCGGCCACGGCCTCCGTCGTGTCTCGAAAGGGCGCGAAGGTTTTTAGTGAGAGCGCCTTTCTCGGGTCCTCGCTCAGCTTCGACGCGAGCTTGTCCGCATCCAACTTCTTGAGCTTGTCCTCGTGCTTGAGCTCGTACAAGGCGTGGCCCGCGGCGGTCTCGAAGAGGAGGAGCATTGTGCCTTACGGTGTGCCTTACGGTGGCCGCGGCGGCGGGCGTGCCGCGCAGCGTCCGGGTTCGCGCCGCCGCGCGCGGAGGGGCGCGGGCTCGCTGCGCTTCTCGGGCGGCTGCCTTTGAGGCTTGTTTTTGTTGCCGGCGGCGTTTGGCGCGGCGGTTTCGAGGCTCAGTCGCAGGGAGTTGCTATCGAGCGTACCCCTCGTGCTCCTGGCGCACTGTTTGGAGCGCGCGCACGTCCTGCCCGTCGCTTTCGCTCTCAGACTGAAGTTAGTCTAGCCTCTTAAAGTCTCTAGTCTTGCAAGAGCGCAGGGATCGGTCCAGCCGTCGCCACGGCACCGCAGAGCTCCCACGGCGAGCCTTCGAAGGCAAACCCCTACTTAGCGCGCAGCGAGAGCGTCGCATTGCTTTGCAGCGCCGAGATCAAAACGCCGCGCGAGGAGCGCACATCTGGCTGCCCCACGGAAGCATTCGTGAGCGGACAGGCACCGTCGCACGTGGTGCTGCGCCTCGACTGGCGTCGCGCCCAGTTCTGACATACATCTCAGTATGGTACCATCATGACCTAAACGATGCTGCGTGAGAGGGACCTCATTGCGCGCGTGCGCCGCACGAAGAAACCAGAAACGCTGCCCGCCGTCGTCGAAGCGGCAACGAAGGCCCCGTTCCCTGGGCGGTTGAGGAGACCGTCGGCCCAGAAAGCAAGAGGACCGCTGCCGCACACTGGATTAAAGAACCTGGGCAACACATGTTTTATGAATGCAACATTACAATGTTTGTTTGGTTGTTCGGAATTCTGTGCCGGATTTGTCGAGAGACAGTATCCGCTCGCGGCGAAATCTCCCTCTTCCGGAAAGATAGCCATGGCCTTTGCCGAATTGCTTGGAGATATCGCCCAAGATAAACCTATCGTGTCTCCATCAAATCTCAGGAAGAGTCTGACGAAGATCGCGCCCCAGTTCCGAGGCAACGGCCAGCACGACTCCCAGGAATTACTTCGGTGTCTCTTGGACGGCCTCGCGGAGGATTTGAAGCGGCCGCCGCCGCCGTCACCTGTCACGTTACCACGGCAGGAGAATACGGAGATAGTGGAGGAGGCGCATTGTGAGGCGTGGCGGACCTATGTACGTGATAATGCCTCGCCCGTTTCGGATCACTTCGCCGGGTTGCTAAGGAGCACGGTCGAGTGCTGTAAATGCAGTCATCGATCGATACGGTACGACCCCTACCTCGACCTGTCGCTGCCGCTGCCGCCGCCTCCATCATCAACCGTGCGGAGCCCGCTCTCGGCGAAGCTGCAGAAGGGATCTACGAGTTGTACGCTCGAGAAGTGTATGGAACAGTTCACAGCTACTGAAGATTTAACGGAAAAAATAACCTGTGAAAAGTGCAAGAAGCCGCAGAAGTCGAAGAAGTCTCTGACTTTGCAGACGTGGCCCCGCATCCTGGTGTTGCACGTGAAGCGCTTCTCGTACACGGAGACGCGGAGAGAAAAACTCGACACCCTGGTCACGTTCCCGACGGAGGGCCTCGATCTCAGTCCGTTCGCGTCCGAGGACCGGCGGAGCGTCCCGGCCGTCTACGACCTCTTCGCGACGACGGACCATTTAGGAGCGTCCGGCGCGGCGGGCCACTACGTCGCGCACCGCAAAGACCAAAGCGGCTGGCGTACGTTTGATGATACGACGCACGCGCCGACGGCGGCCGAGCGGCTCCAGGGCGGCGCCGCCTACGTGCTCTGGTACCGGCGGCGCGACGGCGGCGCGCCACCAGCGAAACCTAAGTTAGTTTAGTCTATGCGGTGCCATTCGTGCCGTTGGCACCGCCGCTCGTCGCGGAGAAGGGGCGCGGCTTATAGCATTCCCGCGGGCGCTGAAAAAAGAGCAGTATGCTCAGGCTCAGGCTAGTTACGTCGCGTGTCCCCCGTACCCCGTTGATGCTTGCTAGTGTCTTACTGGCCGCTAGCCCACGCCAACTCGACCTCACGAGTATTCAACACCGGTGACGGTTTTTTGCGGTGACGGCGTGTTATTTAACACCTCGAATACACACAAGTCCGCTGTCCAGGCGACGCGATCTGGCTAATCTCAACACCTGAGTTACACCTCAGGCTGGCCTGCTTAGCCGTGGAGCTCCCCTCTCGCTCCACGTAAAAAAAACACGGGACCCAGTACTCACTTCAATGAGTCCGCGGTAACGCTTCGGTCTGTGCTCATTTGCGGGTCGGAGCGACCATGACGCGTCCCGCGACTCGCGGAATGATAGTCCTGCTGGGCCTGCTCGCGACAATCGATGGCGTCGAGGCTGATTTTCGCACAGGTGACGCTCGGCGCGATGGAGCGGGTCATGGCCGGCGAGTACGAGTACGACACCATCAAACAGCACGAGTACGGGACCGTAGGTACCTCCGGTACCGTGGGAACCCTCATTTCACGTACGGAATTCACGACGGAATCAGTTTTAACCTTCGACGCGTACCACGCCGTCTGCCTCGAGGACCTCGTGGCCTCGCGCGAGGCGTGCGGGGCGGCCTGGGCGGCCGCCGCCGCGACGTTGTTTGGCAAAGGCCCCTGGGGGATTTTGTTCGGCGAGCGCGTCGCGAACGCGACGTGCGCCGGGGACGCGAGCCCCGTCGAACCGCACCACCGGGGACATCTCCGGGCCCTCGTGCGCGCCAACGACGCGGCGCTCTTCGGGGGCCGCCTCGCGGCCGTCCAGCGGCGCGTCGCGGCGCGCGGCTGCGGCGGCGAGTGGACCACGCCCGCGCCGACGCCCGCGCCGGCGCCCGCGACCCCGGCGTCGATGGACGGCCGGACGCCCGCGCGCCGCCAAGCGGACTACGCGCTCCGGGAACCTCATGCGGAGGCTGGCCAGACTGATATGGTGACAGGCCCGAGAACCGCACGAAGAACCCACGTTGCTTTGCCTAGAGCTAGGCCGCCTAGCCACCACGACCGCCTCCTTGCGTGACCGCGCCCGCCCCGCCCCCGCCCTCATTATGGGCCTCATACGCGTTCTATTCGCGTTCCCTCCCTAGGCTAAGTCTATCGAGCAGGCCTCTTACGGCAGGAGGGGACGCGCCTATCGAGGGATTTCGACGACGACGCACGTCATGTTGTCCCCCCCAATACCTCTGGTTTCGCGAGGGTTCGTCGCGATGCACCGGTCGAACACGGCCTCGCAGATCTTCGACAATTGCGGTTCTCGACCCGCACCCCGCTCCGCCTGGATGCGAGTCCGCACGAAGTCCACGGCCTCTTGGTTGGACAGGACGTCCCAGACGCCGTCACAGGCGACGATGAAGAACTCGTCTTTGGGATCGAGCGTATGCTTCAGGACGTCGGGCTCCGCCGTGATGATCTGCGCCTCCGGGGGTAATTCGGGAGACTGCTTGTACTTGAGGTCGCCGATCGACCGCGACAGGTTCAAATTGCCGTTGACGCGGAAGAAGCCGTTCGTGGCCTCGACGAAGCCGCCCGCCTTCGTAATTCGCGTCGACTCGATTTCACTGTTGGGCTTGTGGTCGAAAGATAGAGGGATGGCCACGCCGTCCCGACAGACCACAGCGCGAGAATCCCCCGCGTTCGCGCACCACAGCGTATCTGACGTGGCGGCTACGACCACCGACGTACAGCCCGCCTGCAAAGGGTGGTCCGGCAGCGAACATTGGGGCCGCTGCTCGACCTCTTGCTGGGGCTCTTCCTCATCTCCAGATTGACGGGCGTTCGACGCGGCGATCATCTGCTGGAAGAGGGCAAAGGCTTCTTTTACTGAGACCTTCTCGCCTTCTTCCTCCTCCTCCTGTTGCGGTGCGTTTTGGAGCTGGCCGGGCGCCGTGGCGCCGTTCTTGAGAGAAGCGAGTTCGGGCTGGTTCTCCGGTAAGCGCAATCGCTCATCCATGCGGTGGAACAATTTCTTAAGTGCTTGTTCGGGATTCTCTCCCCAATTCTCGGGGAAGTCCTCGGCCATGTGCCTTGCCACGTATCTTGCAACTTCCGCGCCGCCGTGCCCGTCAAACACGCCGTACAACGTCGCGCCGGCCTTTTCCGTTCCAACGATGTGCGCGTCTTCCATGGATCGACGCCAGCCCTGCATGCTCGACGCGCCGTGGCGTAATCTTGATGTGGCGCCGTCCTCGGACTCCTTGAGCGTGATGGGGGCGCTGAGGTAGGCGCCCATCTTTATTTATGCGTCGCGTGTGTGGCCGTGAATCCACGGGGTTCTATTTGTTTACTGGCCGCGCAAATATAGATGCGGTGTGCGCGGCAGCTTATGGAGGTGCACAGCGCAGTGTTTTGAGAGCTGACAAACTATGATCTGTCAACGAGGCGGGCGCACGCGCACGTCCGTAAAAACCAGTGTTGGCATAACGGTACCGCTAGTGAAGCCCACTAGAAATCGAAACGTGTGCTCATGCCCCGTACCGTTACACGGGGCACACAGGCGTACTCGGGGGAGTTTGCCGAGCTGGTTCTGCTTAGAAGGAGGTATGCTGTTATGAAAGACGCGGCCCGCGCCCGCCGCCGGATGACCAGGGCGCCGCCCACTAGTCCTATCACCGCAACACGACGCTCGTACCATAATAAAACTCCCTAAAACTAAATTACATGAGCGCACAGACCTCCGACTTCTCGGGCGCCGCCTTGCGCGCAAAGCCGGCGGGCGACCGCGCCGCGGGGTCGACGGCTAAAGCGACGGTCGCCGCGACGGGCCGGTGGTCCGACCATCTTAAGTCAGCCACGGACTCATACTCTAAAATAGCGGCGCACTCCTTCGAGGCGACCAGCACCCGATCGGTCCACGAGGGCACCCTTCGTTTTTCCGACGTGTCGTAGACGTCGCTGCGCTTGTCGAACTTGTACGTTGGCGGGAAGGCGCGTTCTGCTTCTACAAAACCAGCGAAGGCGTCTCCCTGTCTCCGCGCGTTATCCAACTGGTCCCTGGCTTTCAACAGATGCAGGTCATTTGCAGCCAGAGCGTTATCGGCGTCCTCTCTTGATAAATCAACTCTATAGTTCAGGTCCCCGCTCCAGACGACCGCATCGAAGGCCTGGCGCAACCTGTCGCCGCCCTCGATACTGTCATCGAGGAAACCTGGTGCCAGTACTTTGGCCAAGCCACTCGAGATACTATGAAACTCAGCATTCCTCTCCTTGACCTTGTGCTGGTGGGCACACAAATGCGCCGCGACGAAACACACGTCCAAACCACCGATTTTCAAGGCAATCCCGATGCCGCCTTTGTTGCCCATCTTCGCGCCTTCGACGCCCAGTCCCGTCGCGACCGCCGACGTGGCGACGTTGCTGATGTATCCTTGTATAGATACATGGGCAAACACGACGCCGTGGGTGGCCTGTAAAGCGTGCGACGCCACGACGCTGTAGGCGGGTCCTAAACAACTTTGTAAGGTAGCCGTCCACTCTCGCTTCGACGGGTTCGCCACACTATTTAAAATGGACCGTTCGCACTCCTGGCAGCCGACGTGGATCAGGTGGAAGCGGTCCGGGACGAGTAGTTGACTCTCAAGACCGTCCGCAGTTATCTCCTTGGCCTGCTGGTTCCAGGTGACGCAGCGCGCGCGTATCCTTCCGTTCCGCAACTCCTCCTCTAATAAATCAGCTCGGATGGTCCGCCTCCACCGATCAAAGGCGCCGGCCCGCGACACCCGCCCCCACCGACTCACGGCGACGGTCACGAGCTTCCTAGCTCTCGCACGGCTTGCGACGTCCTCCTCCGACGGGATCGTCGTAGCATGCGAAGGGAGTAATGACCTAACGTCGTCGGCCGTCGCTCCGGGTGCTACGCCGAAGCGCCGCTCCCGCCCCGTAGACACCTCGCGCGCCACGACAAACCGCTGGGCGTGGACCTTGTCGTCCACGACCGTGACCAACAGGTCCTGGCCTTGTTGCGTGTGGGCGAACTGGTCCACCAAAGTGCCGGCGGCGGCCGTCATGGCTGCTGGCGCGATGGGTCCACTGGTGCAGCTGGCGGGCGAGGACCGCTGTGGTACGAGCCGTTCGGCTCACAGCCCCATAGCACACGCCGGGGCAGCAGTGCGGCGTCGAGCGCGGCCAACGCCTGGCAGGCTCCAACTGCTAGTGCCTCGACCGCTTAGCTCCACAGGGCAGCGGTCCACGGCATTGCCGACCGCTCCCAGGGCCGCCGAGGCGGTGGCGGGACGCGTCGCGCCGATAGTAGGCTAGAGCATTTCGTGCTGGGCACCTGCCATTTTGGTCGCGCGCGGCGTGCGCGCGCGGAGGGCAGCCGAGGCGGTCGACGCAAACGGAACGGCCGTTCCTCCGAATTTGTTGAGACAGCCGCGCCAGCGCCAGGGACAAAAGCGGGCAGCCCCACTGAGCACGATGCCCCGCCGCGACGACGAGGAGGAGAACGAGACGCGAGCGAAGCGCAAGGTCCACCCCGGCTTGATCGAGGCGGACAACGAGGAGGTGGCCATCGTGGTGCATTTCGAAACTTCCGAGCCACCGTCGAAGCTCCGGACGCCGCACGTGCGCCGGTTGCGACTGAAGACGCTCGATGAACGGTCAGATCCGGAAAAGATCGCCGACGACGTCATGCGCAAGTGCAAATACATTCCTTCGTCCAAGCGAAGAGTCGTGGAAATGCTCGTGGCCAATCTGCAAGACCACCTCGCGAGGAATGATGATGCGAGGCAGAACGCCCAGGATGCGAGGGAGCGACGGCGACGGAAGGAGACGAACACGAGCGAGCGGGCGTCGATCGACGACGTCGATGACTATGTGGAGTTACTTTACGAGGGTGATATCGACACGAAGATCAAAGGGACTTCTCTGGTACTGTCTCTTTGTGGCCGAGTCGGTGATTTGGAACATCTCGTACAGCATCAAACGTTGATGGGCGCTCTCGCTCGAGTCCTGCAGGAAGACGGTAAGAAGTCGACGGAGGTCGCGTACAACGTCCTCCGCGTGTTTCTCTCGTTTTCTAATTTTGTCGAGATGCACCAGTTACTTGCCCAACATAGAGTTGGAAGCGTCTGTCTCGAGGTCGTCGCGTTCGAGACGGACCGCATCACACATCACTCAAAAGAAAGTGAGAAGAGGGAGCTGGAGCGAGCGAGACACAACGAGATGAAGGAATCATCAGATAAGGATGAAAGGCGCGCTAGACGCGCGCGACAAAGATCGGATAAGGCGTTGTATGTGGCTCTCCACGTGTTGCTGAATTTGGGCGAGGATAGCGGTGTCGAGCACAAGATGGTCCGGCGACGATTAGTTCATCATTTAGCTTCTATCTTAACGCACGCGACGTCCGCACCTTTGTTAGTGCTGACAGCTGTATTCTTAACGCGACTCGCAAGATACGCGGAAAATAAGGACACGATGGTCAAGCTCGACGTCTCTGGTAGAGGTGCGAGATTCCTAGGCTGCGGGCATCGGGATTTAGTTGTGTCGTTACTACGGTTGTCGGCGAACTTGAGCTTCGACAAGGACGCGCGCGAGCAGATGGTCTCGCGGTCCTACGTTCCGACGCTGGTCAAATTACTCAAGGAACATCATAGATACCGGGGGCCCTCTCTGAAAGTACTGTACCATTTGTCAGCGGACGACCGGTGTCGGGGGATGTTCGCGTACGCGGGAGCGGTTCCCATTATTTTGCAGCTGGTCCTGAAGTTCCCCCCAGATAGGTGTGTGGCTCGGGAATTAGCTGCTTTGATTTGCAATTTGACCTTGCACGCGTCCTGTGCGGAGATCCTTTGCAGTCAACAACGAGGCTTGACCGCATTAATTGATCGGATCTCGTCGACGCAAGACGCGCCACTCGCGAAAACTTTGAGGAATTTGACGCAGTGGTCTCTCATAGAACAAGAGAACAATAACCTAGATGTCTCGCAATACAAGCGGCGAGGTCTGTGGGCGCGGCACGTCGACAACATCGTGTCGTTAGCGAAAAAAGCCGATGATCGGCACGATTTACTAGTGGAAGCCTTGGGCGCCCTAGGTAATCTGACGCAATACGACTTGCCGCGAGCTACGACCTGGAAGGATTTGGTCGACGACCACGACCTGTGCGGCTTCTTAGCTCGACTGTTAACGCCGGGCTTCGCGAGGCACGACGTCGTGCTGGAGGTGGTCAATGTTGTATCAGCAATGGCCGCCGACGAAGGGGCTGGTAGTGTCGTAGCGTCGTCCGGTCTAGCTAGGGCATTGGAAGAGGTCTGGCGGGACAAAGCGGACGACGCCGAGGTCGTTCTGCAATTGCTCGTCGCCTACGGGAAGCTCTTCGCCTTCAAGAGCGTGCACGACGAGTTGCTCTACAATTCTAGGGTGTTACTAGATGTGATGGACTGCCTGGAAAATGAGAATCCCGTCATTGCTCACAGAGCGGACGCTTGTCTAGACTTGGTCTGCGAGCACGACCGGCAGGCTGATGGAGACTTCGGTGATTTGGGTAGTCAAGTGCGCAAGAGGCGCTTCCAGTCGTTCAACAAGGCGTACCTCCAGAAGACGGAATTGTCGACAGGGGTCTATGGGAGGCGGAACTACCCGTCGCCCTCCAATAGCGATGGCGAGTCGGAGTCGGCATCGCCGACGCCCTATAAACGAGGCGAGGCCAAGTACTCGGACTCGGACTCGCAGGAGGAGAAGTACGACGACTCGGGCGAGGGCAAAGGATGGGACTAGACGCGATGGCGTAAGTTAAATACAACATATACGTTAAATAGCCGCGGCCGTGTATGTGGTGGCCGCGTCGGCGCCGTCCGGGGCGCCGCTCAGAGCTCGCGCTCAGCGCCGCTCGTCAGGCCCAGCCGCTCGGCGGCCTCCTCCTTGCGCTGCCTGATCAAATTGCGCCGCTTCCTATCCCGCCTTGCCCGAATTTTACTGAACTCGGGGTATTCGGTGGCCAAAGGACAGCCCAGGCAACCGTTGGTGGGACAGTTGCCGCACGCTTTACCGTTGACGCGATCACCCACACCGAACATGGGGCAATCTTCGCACTCGTTCGACGGGCAGTTGTTGCACCGCAGCATAGAATTCGTCGAGATGTCCTGCGACTGGCCGCCTCCTTCCGCATATAAGAACCCATCATTACCGACCAAACGAGACTTGAAATTGTACGCCGTCATCACCTCGGCCCTTTCCTGCTCCAACCTCACCAACTCGTCCCAGGGCACGAAGTGGATGCACGACACGGGACAGGTCGAAATGGCCTCCGTAATCGTCTCTTCGTCTTCACCCTCTTGGTTGAAGACCCGAGCGCGGCCGTGGTCGTCGGTCATCTGAAATGTCGAAGGCGCGATGCCGGCGCATAATGTACAGCCGACGCACGTCGCCTCGTCGACGTACGTCATTCTAGCGGTTTCGGTTATTGGATCTCCATCTTCATCCACCTCGATGAGCTCGTGGGACGGCACGACGCCTAACCGCTCATCATAAAATTCGATCTCCTCCTCCTCTTGTTCTTCGATGAAATCTAAGAAATCCTCGACGTCGACGGCGGCCGTCGGCGCGTTGTCGGCGGCATCGTCGGCGTCTAGAGGCCGGCCGTCGAGGCCGATGACGCGCGGTTCATCGAGGCCCGCCTCCCCGAGCTGCTCGTCCGTGAGCGCGGACGCGAAGAGGTCCAGCGCGCGCGACGCAGATGCGTCCGGCGGCGCCTCCGAGGGCGCCTCCGACGACGCCCACTCCGTGTCCCACGAGGCCTCGGAGGGACTGCTGTCCTCCCAAGTCGTGAGCGCGTCAAGCGCGGCGTCGACGCGGCCGCCGAGCTGCGGCGTGTACGGCTCCGGGTCCGCCGCGAGCGCGTCCAGGGCCGCGTCGACGCGATCGCCGAGCGGCGGCTTATAGCTGTCGGCCGGCGCGTCCCAGGCGCCCGGCGTGGCTTCCGGCAGCGCGCCGTCGACGCGACCACCAAGCGCTGGCGTGACGCCCTCGTCCGGGCCGTCCAGCGGCAGGAACGGCGCCTCGGCGCCGGCCACGAGCGCCTCGAGCGCCACGTCGGCCGCTATCGCCTCGGCGGTGCGGACGTCGCCGTAGAACGGATGCACCGTGGTGGGCTTCTCGTACCCATCCTCTATCACATTATAATAGGTATAGGTGCCACCTTCGTCCCAGACCTCCCAGCCGCTCGGCAGGTTCTCCTGGGGGTCGGTCACGCCCGGCGGCAGCGAGTGCAATCGGTGTTGCACTCTGTGCCGCCGTCGGTCGCACGACGCGTCCCAGCGGTGCCTGCTGGACACTCTGATTGCTGGTGCAAGCCATCCATGCGCGGACGCGACGAGGTAGGCGCCGGCGAACTCGAGGAGGCGATTACGTCGCCTACCGATCTTCATTGCACAGGCAACTCGCACGCTCAAGCCTCTATGAAGTAGAGCTTCTTCTTATCTACTCCTTTGATGCATTATGCAATCCATGGCAGCGCTTCGAGTGGCCGCGTCATCGATCTCGGGAAAAATCATACTCTAGCTTCCCCCACTAGAAAAATAGACTTAGTCGTAGTACCAGTCCGCCGCCTTCCGGTGGTGTTTCCGCTCTTCGGCAGTCAGTCCCGACGACCAGCGCAGCCCGAGGTCGGGGTCCTTGGGCTCGGCCGGGTCCTCGCGAACCAGTCCCAACGAAACCTTCTGGGACTCGGCCCGCCACTTCGGGGGCGGGCCCGTGCCCGTTTGACGTAGCCGTCGCAAGACACCACTCTTGGACCCGCACCGGCCGCCGGCCGTCCAGACGTAGCCCTCGTCCGCGTCCGATCGGTCCTTGAAGTGGTCGAAGGACGCCTGGTTCGCGGGCGTCGAGAAGACCTTGGCCTTCGACACTAATCTTGTGGGCGAGTAGGACCAGGGCTGGTCGGGCAGCGGATCTTCTCTGACAGCAGTAGCGTTCGTCTCCGACGCTTCTCTCGCAAATGCGCTCCACTCCTCCTTCCTCGTCCGACGGCGATGCGAGGATGCGGCCCTAGCTCTGTTTCTCAAGTTCTCGTCAATCAACACAGCTCTACTTTTCTCGGACCGCTTCCACGCTCGATCGGCCGCCAGAGCCGCCTTCTGCGAAGACATCACTCGGCTCTGGACATGTCTACCATACTTCCTCTGTCTCGTCGTCGCATACTCGGACTGCGCATGGTAGGTCACCTGAAAGTCGTCATTCTTCAGAACTTTGCGCAAGGTCGCGATCGCCGCCCTTAGTGCGCGCATGTCCTCCAACATAGGAAACCGGGCGTGACTCTTCTCGCACGTCGACCAGATGTCCTCTTCACTGGACGTGGGAGCCAGAGAGCCTTCAAGGGCCTTTTCCAACTCATTAAGTATCTTCTGGCCCTCTTCAGCATTATTGACGCACCTCGCCTTATGCAATAATTGGTCGATCTTCTTCCGGCGCTGCGCCTCGCGCCGCTTCTCCTCAATAACATTGTAGTTGGCCCAGCCGATCGCTCGGCCCTTGCGCAACTTGTAGTCCGCGCTTTGTTCGCAAAAAACGGGCACGCGGCGCTTGCCGTCGCCTCCGTAATACCGCGGCATGGCTGGAGCGCTGCGACGGCGTCTTCTGGGTAGCCCTGAGGTGCTGAGTGAAGCCGCAACGCGCCGATGGCGTCTCCGGGGCAGCCCTGAGGAGGTGCTGAGTGGGCAGCTCTGCTGCAATCGAGAGCGTGTCCCGGTGAAGCGCGGGGTCAGACAGCGTGAGCCGAGAGGCTCCTCCCTCGCGAGGAGCTTCGGTGCGGCGCGGAGAGCGGCGGACTCGCACTCGGCGCTGCAGCAGAGGCAAAGCTCACAGCGCATTTTCCGGCGAGGGCTGGCACGAGCCGGTCCGACGCGTGCGCGCGCGGCACGGATCCACCGAGGAGCTTGTGCGTTCCGTGCGGGGTAATACCGTGCGGGGCAGGTTTCATTGTTGTGGCAGCAGACTTGGAGCGCGCATATTGGGAGCGGGGCAGCCGCAATCATGCTTCAGATACACCGAACGACGTAGTTTGACGACCATGCGCCGCGTCTGGGGCCATTTCCGCCGGGGCAGCGACGAGGAGCTGCCCTCCTTCGAGGAGGCGGTAGCCGCCGACGCGCGGCTCCGCGGCGCTGCTCGATTGGCGGTCCTCGACGCATCGCGCCTCCAGCGTCGCTCAGCGCGCGCGTTTCGGAGCTGGAACGCGCATACGGTCTCTCTGATTGTCTCCGACGCCCGGGAGAAGCAGTACGCGGCCCAACTGCGAGCCAAGGACGGCGAGAACGCCCAGAAGATCTCCGAGGCGCTCTCCGAGGCCTACGCGGGCCACGCCGCCGAGCTCGCGGCGCAGGCGCGAGAGCACGAGGAGTCCAAACAACTCGCGCTCGCGGGCCAGCGCGCGTCCTTTGAGGGGAAGACACCCACTAAGAAGAAGAAGACGCCCGGCAAGGGCCAACACTCTGATAAACTCGTGGAGAAGGCCTTCGCCGACCGCCAGAGCCGCCACGACGACGCCATTAAAAGTTTGAGACGGTCCCACGACGCGAAATTGGTAGCGCTGAAGGCGTCGCACGCCAAAGAACTCACGATGGTCAAGACGGCTATCTCATTGGAGAAGGATCAAGAAAGGGTTACTGCGGTCAACGATGCTTTAAGAGCGGCAGAAAAGATACATACGGAACGGATGAAGGAGCGCGCGTTTGTCATTGAAGGTAGGACGCCGTGCAAGACGCCTGGTAGAGAACGTGCGGCGCGGGCAACCGCCGATGACGTCTCGCCGGAGACGCTGGCCCAGCGCGCGGCGCCGGGCGCGGCACGCAGTGCGGATTTACGAGCTTTGTGTTTGGTCCTGAACGCGAAGGCGCGCCACCGGTCACATGCAACTATGGCGTCCCGCTTCGCGGCGTGGGGCCACGCTACAAAAACGACGACGCAGAAGGCGAGGGCCGCGCGCTTGTTGAGGGCGATGACGGACCGCATCATAACACAAGTAATGCAACGACGGGCCTGGCGGCTCTGGCGCGACATACTCATAGCGAAGCGCGTCTTCGTGGAAGCGGAAGTGCGGCAACGGGAAATTGGTGAAGAAAACGAAGCGAGGTTGCGGTTGCTGCGCGTGGACTACGACCAGCTGACGGCCGAGCGGCAGCACGATTTAGATAACGACCTGCAGGGCGTGTCGGAGAACGTCGAGCGGAACCAGATCGAGCGCTTCAGCAAAGAACTCGAGACGCAGAAAGCGAAGCTGGTCCGGCAGAATTCGCAACATGCGCACGAGCTCCAGACGACGCAGTCCAAATTACTCGAGCGAGCCAACGAGGCCGTGGTGAAAGCTGTTAGACAGAGAGAGCAGGAGCTCGAGGCGGCCCACGCGTTGGTGCTGCACGACCTGAACAAGCAGTGGCGGTCGAAAATGGCGGCGTTGGTCGACAAGCAGCAGGGCGACGTCGATTACTTGCGCGTGTCGTGTACGACGGAATTAGAAAGCGCCGTCGATTCGCTGAAGTTCGAGCACGAGCGCGAGCTGAGTGCTCGGCGGAAGGCCCAAGCTTCTCAACTCGAGGCTGAGAGGGGCGTGCGGGACGCCGCGTTGGCTGCGATTTCTGATGCGCAGACGGCCGCGAGGAAAGCCAGGGCGGCGCGGCTACTGTGCATGGCATTTGCGCGGTGGGCGTCGCAGTCCGTCGGGGGTGCCTTTGTCTTCTGGCGCGGCGTGACCCGCACCATCTTCCTCGTCGAAGATCAGCGGGCCCGCGCTTCGCGCCTGTTCGGTCTAGCTTTACAGAGATGGGCCCTGAAGTCGCAGGCGTGCGCGTTCGTCTGCTGGCGGTCGACGACGTCCGAACTTTTGCTGATCGACGACGCGCGCCGACGGGCGACCCGACTACTAGCTCAGTCACTGCAACGACTGATGCGGCAGTCCGAAGGCGGCGCGTTCGTTTGGTGGCGTCGCGTGACTGCCGAGGCGCGCGCCAGCGAGGAGGCGCGCGCACATGCTGCAAACCTATTTGGCCTGGCGCTGCAGCGGTGCATGAGACAGTCAGTACAAGGGTCGTATCTCTGGTGGTCCACGACCACAAGGGACGCGAGGCGTCTCGAAGAGCGCCGGGCACTGGCGATGAAGCTTTTCTCGGAAGCTTTACAGCGTTGCATGAGGCGGTCCGAAGGCGGCGCCTTCATCTGGTGGCATCGGGTGGCGTCTGAGGCGCGCGCTAGCGAGGAGGCGCGAGCGCACGCCGCCAACCTATTTGTGCAAGCGCTGACGCGCCTCGCGCACAAGCATACGGGCGGCTGTTTCATGCTGTGGCGCCGCACCCTAAGGCTGCAAGACCAATACCGCTCAGCGGCCCGGCTGTTCGGCCAGGCTCTGTGGCGGCTCGCCCGCAAGTCCGCGTCGGCGGCGTTCCTCTGGTGGCGACGATCCACTGCCATCGCGCGCGACGCCGAGGCGCAGCGCCTGCGGCTAATCGAAGCTGAACAAGCAGCGACGACGGCGAAGCAGCGCGCTGCGATAGCTCTGGAACGAGTGACTAGAAGATGGGCCAGGACGTGCGTCGACGGGTCGTTCGAGTGGTGGCACCGCTGCGCCGCGTACGCACGAGCAAGTGAAGCAGCGAAGTACCGTGCAACTTTACAGTTACAGCGCTCATTTTCGCGGTGGGCGCAGAAATCGGCCGCTGGGGCCTTTTTGTGGTGGCGGAGAGTAGTTGCCTCGCAGAAGGCGCTGGAGAGCGAGCGTCTCGCAAAGGAACGCGCGCTCGCCGCGCTCGAGCGCGTCGCGGTGCGGTACCTACGCCGGTCGGTGAGCGGATCCTTTGAAGTCTGGGACCGAGCACTGGCAATCGAGCGGCAGCGGCAACGTGGCGTTCATCTGTTCGATGTCGTACTGCGAAGGTGGGCGCGGCAATCGGTCGCGGCGGCCTTCGTTCGTTTACAGCGCGAGGCGGACATCCAGCGCCAGCTGCTCGCCGCGGAGATGCGCCACGCCGCCGCGCGCGATAGATACGATTCCCAAAAGGAGGCCGAGTCCGCCGAGGCGCTGCAGGCCCTCGAGGCGCGGCTCGTCAATGAATTCGCGGCGGAACGCGCGGCGTTCGAACGCGACGCCGGCGAACGCCTCGAGGCGGAGCGGGCATCGTTGATGAGCCAGCACGGCGCGGCGCTCGCCGCGCTGGCCGCGGAACGGGCGAGGAGCGAGGAACTCCTCGCCAACCAAAGCGACGCGGACGTGACCGTGCTACGGAACGAGTACGCGCTGCAGACGGACCGCACCGCGGCGGCCCACGCCTGCGCCCTCGCCGAGGCTCGTTTACTCTACGGCGACGACCTCGCGGAGCTCCAGGGGCAATTGGACGACGCCCAGCAGGCGCTGCGCGACGCGCCCGAGCCCGTTGACAATCAAGACGAGCTGCTCGCGCTGGAGGCGGAAGCCTCAGCCCAGGTGCGGGGCATGTCCCTGAGTATGGCCGTGGTCTTCTTCTCGAACGCGCTGGAGGCACGGAGCCGGCGGCTCCTTGCGAGGGCCTTTGCGGTCCTCAAGGCCGCGGCGGCCTCGGCGTCGGCTGTAGCTCTCAGGGATATAGACCACGCCGATGCGTTGCGAGAGGTGGTGCTTGAGTCCAACAAGGCGGCGGCGCGAGTCACCGGGAGTTCGGATCTCGCGCGCGTGCTCTGGACCTTCATGAGACGGCGCCATGTGGGTGCCTGGAATCAGTGGCGGCGCGTCGCGCTCTACCAGCGCTTCTGCAACGAGCGGGATATCCTACTGGAATCCCACACGTCCGAACTTTCTTCCCTGAAGGAAGAGTTCGCAGCGGAGCAAGAAGCAAGCAGGGATGCTGCGCAGCTTGAACTCGAGGACGCCGTGGCCCGCGCTTTGTCCGAGGGAGAGAGGGCATCACTCAAGGCGCTCGCCGACCGCGAGGCCCTCGCCGAATCTACATTGGAGGCGCGTGAGCAGGAGCTTTTGGCATATCATGGGGCCGACATGGACGCGCTCGACGCGAAGCATCAGCGCGAAATCGAGGCCGCCGTCGCGGACGCGGAGCAGCGCATGCGGGCCCAGCGCGAGGCGGCGGAGCGGGCGCTGGTAGAAACGCATCGGAGCACGCTCAAAAGTGCCCAGTCGACGTACGAGGCAGCGGTGAAGGCGGCTTTAGCCGATAAGGACCGCGCGCGTCTGCTCCAGGCGCAGAAGCAGGCCTTGCAACGGGTCCTGAGGGTGCTGCGGCGATGGCTGCGCGAGTCGCTGGCCGGCTCTTTTGTCTGGTGGCGTCGAGCGGTGACCCAATCCCTGGAGGGCCAGGACCTAACAGCAGTGCGGCTGCTGGAACGAACAGTGGCACGAATCGGTCGGCGGCACGTGGGCTTTGCTTTCGCGTCCTGGGTGCGTGTGATGAAACGCGAGGAAAGGAGACGGGCGGCCCTGCGTGCGTTCGACAGAAGTCTGAGAAGGTGGTGCCGGAGCTCCGCGACGGCCTCCTTTGTCTTCTGGCGGGGCATTACTCAAGCGGCCGCGGCCCAGGAGAGGGCAGCGCGCTTGCTTGACCAAGCGCTGAATCGCATGGCGCGGGCGTCAGAAGCAGGGGCATTTGTGTGGTGGCGCCGCGTGGCCTCTCAGGCGCGTGCCAGTGACGAAGCTCGCGTTCACGCGGCAAACTTATTCAGTCAGGCGCTGACGCGCCTCGCACACAAGCACACGGGCGGCTGCTTTATGCTGTGGCGGCACGCTTTGTTATTAGAGGACCAGCAAAAACAGGCCGCGCGTTTCCTGGAGCATGCGATAGCACGAATGGCGCGAGGGTCCGTAGGCGGCGCCTTCGTGTGGTGGCGCCGAGTCGCGACGAACGCGACGAATGCTCTATATGCAAAGCACCGCGCGTCGCGCGCCCTCACGCGAGTTATGAGGCGCTGGTCACGCATTTCGATGGCGGGGGCGTACCTTTGGTGGGCCCGCGCGACGCGCGACGGGAGAGCGTTAGAAGATTCCAAGCGTCTAGCGACGCAACTCTTCACGCGGGCCCTCGAGCGGCTGGCAAGGAAGTCATGGACCGCAGCATACTTATTGTGGCGGAAAAGGACGACAGACGCTAGAAATGCCGACTCCTCGCGGAGCCAGGGCGCGCTCCTGGTCACACGAGCCCTCCGCGGTGCTCGCGAGCGGCGCGCGGTCCTCCGGGCCTTTTTGAAATGGCAGGCGTTCAGCGACGCCGTCGCGCAGTATCTCTTGATCGAGGACGAGCGCGAGCGCGACCACGACCTGGCATTGCGCAAGGCGGTCTCGGGCATGAGAACCGCGCTGCTCAAGGCATCGGCGGGGTCGGCGCTCATACGCATCACGCGGCGATCGCGATTCTTCCAAGCGTGGCGCGCGTGGAAGGCCTTGAGTGTCCAGGCTGTGGCGACGCGCCGGCTGAACCGAGTCTGCCGACGCTGGTGCCGCATGTCCATCTACGGCTCCTTTGATTGGTGGCGTCGCGTCGTCGTCGATGCGGTGGCGGCGGAGGAAGCGCAAAAACGGGCAGCGCGCTTGTTTGGTGCGGCGTTGCAGCGGTGGAGTGTCAAGTCGCGGAGTGGCGCCTTTGCCTACTGGAGAATAGTTGCCACGGAAGCTCGAGATGCAGATGAGCTCCATGGTCGCTCGGTACGCTTGCTAGACCAAGCTTTGTCGCGAATCGCTCGCAAATCGGTGGCGGGCGCGCTGCTGTACTGGCGACGCACTATCGAGCTTGAGAATCAAAGGCAGGACGCCCTGATTGCCTTCGGTCGCGTGATGAGGCGGTGGCTCCGGAGCTCGCTGGCTGCCTCGTGGGTGTACTGGCGTCGCGTTGTTGCGGACCAGAGCACGTTAGACGATATGCGGCACCACGCGGCGGTGTTGTTTGAGCAGGCGCTGTGCCGACTGGCCCGTACATCACGAGGCGCGGCGTTTGCATGGTGGGCGCGGATTGCGAGAGCCATGCGTCGCGCGGAGGAAGCGCAGGAAAGAGCTGCACGCTTGCTCGGCCAAGCGCTGAATCGCATGGCGCGGGCGTCACAAGCGGGGTGCTTCGTGTGGTGGCGAGGGGTCGTGCGGGAGGCGGTCTCAACCGAAGCTGCCCGCAAACATGCATCAATCCTATTCGAGCAAGCCCTGTGTCGCTTCGCGCGGAAATCGGTGCAAGGGGCGTTCGCCTGGTGGCGCCACACAATCAGGCTGCAAGACTGGCACCGGGCGGCGGCCCGGCTGTTCAGCCAGGCACTGTGTCGCTTGGCACGCAGCTCCGAAAGTGCCTCATTCGTCTGGTGGCGCGGCGTCGTCCGGCAGGAGATTGAGGCCGAGGCGGCAAAGCGCCGCAGCGCGTCAGCGATGGAGCGTGTTGTGCGAAGGTTCGCCCGCACGTCGACGAGAGGTAGCTTCGAGTGGTGGCGGCACGTCTGTTCACACCTTGTGGCGGCGGAAGAACAGCAGCTCCTGGCCACGAAACTCATCACCAGAGGTCTAGTGATGTGGGCCCGCAAGTCCGCAGCGGGTGCCTTCCACTTCTGGCGAAGGCAAGCGCTACGCTTGAAGGAGATCGAGGACTCGTGGAACCAAGGCACAAAGCGCATGTGGCGCTCGTTCCGGCGTTTAGTGGAGAACCGCCAGAGGCGCTTCTTCTTCCGCTGGCGCAGCAGCGCGGTCCCGAGGCAGCTGGCCCTGGCCGATCCTCGCGAGCGCCTGCACCTGCTCTTGCGCAACGCTGTTTTAAGGTGGGAACACACCACCGAGGCCGCAGCATTTGGAACCTGGAGGCGGCGCACTGCATCCTATTCCTCAAGGGAACTCTCTCTGCACTTCCTCGAGCGTATCGTCCGGCGCCACGCCAAGAAGTCGCTTCACACAAATCTTTTGGCCTGGAGGTTAAGGGCAAAGCACACGGCCGTGTCGGCCGTCGCGGGCGCGGCCAAGCGAAGATACGAGGAGTTATTGTCGATGGACGCGCGATGTGCCTCTCTGGTCGCCGAGGCGGCCCGACGCTCGGAAGTGCACCGGCTTCAGTTGCTCCTTCTGCGCGGCTCCTGTGTCGACGCCGGCCTCTGGATGCTCGCGGGCCGGCACGCGAACTCGAGAAAGAGGGCGCTGCGCCGCGGCTTCGACGCCTGCGGTCGAGCCCTGCGGCGTTTCCGCGTGATGAACCGATGCATTCGTCGGCTGGCACACTTCCACGCCGCTGTCGCGCTGAACCGCTGGAGAGTCGCGGCGGGCGCACGTACGCGAGCTATTGCGGCGTTGCGGGCCTATGGTTTGCACCTGAACGCCCGCGGCCGCGCTGATGCGCTGAGACGTTCCCTGACGACATGGCGCCGCGCCTGCGACGGTGGAGCCCTGCGTCTGCAATTGGAGGCGCGCGATGCGGCGGCGGCGAGAGCTGCTGCAGACGCCGCGGCGGAGATCCGAGCGGTGCGCGAGGAGGTTAACGATGCGGTAAGAGCGGCGACGCAACGCGTCCGAGAGGCGCGTGACGACCGAGAGGCCGCCATGCTTGACGCGCAGCGAAGAGATCTATCTCTAAGACATACGGCGGAGCTCGAATTTCTCGAGGCTGAGGGCGATGCTAGGACAAAGCGGCTTGTGCTGGGCGGCGTGTGCGCCAGATGGGCGCGGCGGTCGCGGGCCGGGGCGTTCATTTTCTGGCGTGAGAATAGAAGGACGATTGAAGCAACGAAATCGCGTAGCTTGACTCTGCTCCCGAGGCTCGTCCACAGCCTCTCGATGCGATGCGAGCGACGCCAGCTGACCAAGACGCTACGCCAATTGCGGAGGCACGCGCTCGAGGTGAGAAGACGCCAGATAAACTCGTCGCAAGGCATACGTAAATTGAAGAGGCGTCTAGCCATCTGGATAAGGCGGAGGCGCCACTCTGCTTTCCAAACATGGCGGGAGAACGCGCACGATAAGCAATGGCGCCTCGCGTTGGCATGTGGAAGAGTCTACCAGTGCATGCGCCGGCGCTCTCGCTGGCGCCGACGTGCGGCCTGGCGGATCTGGTGCGAAAGGGTCAAGGACATCCCGAGGGCTTGCCAGCTCCTCAGTCGCCTCCTCCACCGCTCGGCCATAAGCAGATTGATGGGAGCCTTCAGGCAATGGAATGATCACTATTCCTTCATGTACGAGCTCCACAAGGCGCTTGGGAAGAGCGTCCTCAAGCAAAAACAGGAATTACTGGAGACAAAGCGCAAGTTAAAGTTGAGTCAGACGACGCCGAACAAAGCAACGGAGCGGGTATCTGCGCGGAACCGTACTTTGGAGAAAATGCTACGAGAGCGCGAGGTGAAGACCGACAAAACGGTCGCAGCACTGCAGACAGAGGTGGATACGCTGAGACGTCGCGTCAAGATGCTCCTCGAGGTGCAGTCTCCTCCTGAGACGCCGCCCAGGACGCCTTCGCGCAGAACTAGTTTCGACTCGCCGCGGTCGCGCGCGGGCTCCTTCCGGAGCAAGTTCGACGTCGCCGCGGCGCGCTTCAGTCCGTGATGCAACAACCGCCGAGGCCGCCGCGCCACGACAACGGCATCCATGCCCACAATTCACCCCGCCCGCCGGGCCACATATGTTCTAATGTCATTCATAATCTAAGTTAAAGCTACCGGTACCGCGCCTTGGCCTGCAGCATCGCCTGCTCGTAGGCCTCGTTGATGCGCGCCATCGCCGCCGTCGCGCCCGGCGACGTGCACCGGTCGGGGTGGAAGCGCAGCGCGAGTTTTGCGTAGGCCTTTTTGATGGCCGCCGGCCGCGCGTCCCGGCCGACGCCGAGCACGTCGTGGTACGACGCCGCGCGCGCGACGCCCGACGACGAGGAGGGCGGCGGCTTCGCGCGGCCGTGGCCGCCGCCGAAGGGCGACCGGCGCGGCGGCGGCGGCGGCGGCGCATAGGCGCGCCGTCGTGGCGGCGGCGGCGGCGGCGCGGCGGCCGACGGCCGCCGCCGCCGCGCGTCCGCCTTGCGGCGTTCATTTTTTTGGGTTTCGATGGCCTGCTTCGCCGCGGCGCGCTCGCGCTCGGCGTCGGCGATGTCCTTCTCCGCCGCGCGAGATGAGCGGGCCCCGCGCAGGTAGCGGTCGAAGTCGCCGACGGCGTCCCGGAAATCACCCGCCCTTGCGCGAGCTCGCGCGCGGCGCAGTCGTGCTCGCAAATAGTCCGGCCGTAACCGCAATGCTTTCGTGCAAGCATCGACTGCCTCGCCGCACCGGTCCAACACCAACGCACACGCGGCGACGTTGCAGTGCACCGCCGCTCGCAGCCCGGCAACTTCAGAAAACGCGTCCAACCGTAAAGCGTCGCGGTACATGGCCGCCGCCGCGCGGTAGTGGCCGCGCGCGTACGCGTCGTCGGCGCGCGTCTTGGCCCGTCTAGCTTTCGAGGCCCTATTCAAAGCTTCGTCACAACGCAACCGAGCGCCTCTGGGAGCGCCCTCTGTTGAAGCTGTCGCAACAGCTTTCAAGGCGCGGTCCGCTCTTGACCTAGCAGCGTCGCAGGCCTCGTCGGGCGCCTCGTCTCGCCGCAACGCCCAGACCCAGACTTCTGGGAGCGAGTCCTCCTCCACCGAAGCGGCGTCGAGCGCCGCTAAAGCTCGCGCGACGCACGCAGCACGAGAAGCCATATCCATACCTTCGGATATGGGCGTGCCGATGGCCGCGGCGGTCGCATCACAAAACGCCGCGCACTCGCGCCACCGGTCGCCCGCTTTTAAGGCTTGCGCTTTTGCCCTTCGAGCGCACGCCGCCAACGGCGCTCGCAACAACGCGTCCTCCGAAGCTCTAAGAGCCCGGTCCACTTCGACGTCCCTTTGTGCTGAACTTCTACGTTTCGCGGCCTGCTGCACGGGGTTCTCGTTCTCCTCGTCGTTTTCCTTAGTAGTGTGACTCCGCGCCGCATCCAAGGCCGTTTTTGCTCGTCGTAAAGCGTCCTCATATCTATGAACATCAACCAACCCAGCATCAGCCGTCGCCAAAGCCGCCAGCGCGTCTTTCGGCGGCGGCTTCATGGCCGACCGCGCCGTTTCCACCGCTTGCGTAGAAGCATTCCGCGCGCGCTCGAAGCTCCGCCTCGCTTCATCACTGCGACCTAGTGCTAATCTCAAGCGCGCAGACCGGTTGTGCACCTTAGCTAAGCCAGGCTCCAATTCCACGGCCGCGTCGCAGTCGTTGAGCGCGTCGTCGTGCCGCCCGAGCATCGTTCTGGCCGCTCCTCGGTTGCCCAGCGCTTTCGCAGCTAAAGACCATCCCTGTGGTGCACTATTGAGACAGGAAGTGTAGTGCTTCACTGCTGTTTCATAATCACCTCGCTCGTAGCATCTCCCGGCTTCATCATAAGCGTCTAAAGCGTCCTGGTCTACTCTTCTCACATGTTTCGGTCTCCTATTCTTCTTCTTCTCCGAGGAGGACGGCCCCAGCTCGAACTTGACGCCCGTCGTCTCCTCGGTCTCCATCGGAGCCTGTTCTACGGGCTTCGTCGCCTGAAACACGAAAGGGGCGCTCTGCCGAGACTTCGGCCTCCCAGGCGGCCGGCCAGGTGGTTTTCTGGGAGCAGCAGGCGCGCCGATGTTGAAGGCACCGGTCGGCAGGTCCGTGTCCATGGCCTGCTCAAAATCCAAAGTTCGAGCGGCTCTGGGCTTGGTAGACGCGCCGACGTGGAAGGGAGCGGCCGGGAACGGCTTTGCGGTTTTGGACTTGGACGGTCGCGCCGACACGCGTTTGTGGCGCTTGTCCTTTGCTGATGGTTCACTCGGAGGTGTTCCCAATGAAAAACGCCCTGTACTCCTAGGTGGACTCGCCTCGCCGAACAACTGCCTTTCGACCTCTTTTTCCGCATTGGCATCCAAAGGAGAAGGGCTCCACGTCGCGCCGTTGACGGGCCGACCCCTCGCGGTGTCCGGCGCGGCTTGTTCTGGTGGTCTAGGAGAAGTGAACTGGAACTTCTGTTGCTCGGGACTGACGCGCATCTTCTTGAGCATCTCGCGCATGGACTCCGCTTGTGCCGGGTCGTGGAGCTTCATGCCTTCGGCCAGTAACTGTTGCAAGCGCAGTATAGAATCGTAGGAGAGGTTGTCCTTGTTGAGCGAGAGGCCGGCCATGACGGCGTCGAGGTCCATGGCTTGCGCGGGCTCGCCGTTTGCTGTGGTTGGCGCGGCGGCGGTCGTCATCTTCGTCGCGCGCGTCAGCTCGTGCGCTGCCGTGTGCAGCGGTCGAGCGCAGCCGCGGGCGCCTCAAAAAGTTGCAAATGCCTCCGGCTCTCCGGCTGATTTGCCCGCGCGCGGCCGCTTGAGGTGCAAAAAAATTGCACCGGCGGTGACAGCTGCGAGCTATGCGGCCAGCAGCGCGCTCTAGTCTTGTCTCGCGCGGCCGAGATGGCAGAGCCAATTGCCAGTACCTCGCAACTCAAAATGTGAGGCGCCTCCGCCGCGGATCGCGGGTCAAATTACGCTTCCTGCGCGAGTCCCATGCAATAGAACACTCCATAATTGATACATAGCGTCCTCCTGAGCTCGGCAAAACCCGTTTTGACCAAAGTTTTTGCCGCGGGCCGCGCGAGCAAAAAGAGCAGCGCTGCGGTCCTCAGAGTCTCAGGACAACCTCCGCAGTACCGCTCAATACGCCAGTGATCGACCTTGGCCGCGCGTCGCATCTGTTCGCGCCGTTGAGACAAAAAAAGCATCAAACGGGCACAGCGCAAAAAATCGCAGCGCGCGACGCAAGACGCAAAAAGGAGCGCGCGACGACAGCAAAGATGAGCGCCGAAGCCCTCGCCGCGAGCAAGTGGCAGGACCGGCGCGAAGCCTGGGAATCAATAACAAACGCCGCCGACGCTGAGACGCTGACGACTCACCTGGCCAAGGAGACGAACGGCGCCGTGCTCGACGCGGCGCTCGACGCCGTCGCGCGCGTCGCGGCTCCCGAGCTGGCGCCTGCTTTACCCTACGTCGTCCAGAAGGGCCTCGCGAACGCGCGCGGCGCGACCCAGAGAAGGGGCCTCCGGGCCGTCGTCGCTTTGCAGCAAGTCGCACCCTCTGAAACGACGGACGCCCTCGTCGACGGCATCACGACCTCGAAGAACGCGCGGGGGCCTTCTGCTTGCGCGAAGGCTCTGACGACGGAGTGCGCGCCTTCCACGGCGTGGCTCTCGTCACATTCAGACCGCCTGGCGACGGCCGTGGCCAAGCTCGCCTCGGCGGCAAACGGCGACGCTCGAAAAGCCGCGGTCGACCTCGCGGTCGCCGTCGACGACCCCGTCGTTTTCCAGAAACTTCCGGAAAATGCGAAGAAGGCCGTCGCCAAGCTAAGAGGCAACACACCACCACCGCCGCCGCCCCCGGAAGCGGGCCCGCCGCCGCCGCCCGGATCTCCGCCCAAGCGCGTCACGATCAAAGCTCCCCCGCGGAAGGCGCCCTCGCCCGAGAAAGGCGACGACTTGCTCGCCGCGTTGGCGCGGAGGAACATTACGCCACCGTTCGATGCGGCGTTCCAAGGCAAGTGGGACGCACGACGCGAAAAATTGGAGGCCGTCGCCTCGGTCGCCCGCGCTTGTAGCGGCGACGGCGAGGCCCTCGCGCTAGCTGTTGCGGCAGCTTGTGAAGCGGAGCCCCACGCGGCCGTGGCCAAGGCGGCTATTAGTGCGTGCGCTTCGGTCGCGGGCGTCGCCGGCGTCGTGGGAAGACGTGCTTTAGTGGTCGCTTTATTACCGAGGCTGCGCGATGCGAAGCTGGCGTCTCAGGCATCACAAGCTCTCAATGACGTCTCAACAATACAACCGGAGGTCGTCTTCGACGATGCGACGGTACGAGCCGCGACGGACGCCTTAGCGGCCGGCGCCAAAAGACGTTTGCCTCCACAAGGCCGCGCGTGCGGGTTTCGATGGGCGTCGTCTGCCTTCGCCGCGTCGTCGAAGGCGCCTCCCCTCTCGACGAAGGCCTGGGCCGCGCTTTGTGCCGCGGACTGTTCGGATGCACACGGGCCGTTGCGCGCGGCCGCCCGCGACGCCCTTTCGGCGTTGTGTCAAAGGCCGCGCGCCGACGTCAAGTCGGCGCTCCAAATGTTGGACGCGAAGACGCGCGCTAAGGTACTCGAACGCAAGGAGCCACAGAAGCCGGCCGCCGCTCCGAAGCGCAAGCCCCCACCGCCGAAGCCCCAAGAAGTAGTGGTGTGGCCTCCTCCTCATATCACGGAGCGCACGGGAACGATCGCGGCGTGCGACCTGGCGCCCACGTCCCTCAGAGCGACGCTACGGGCCCCGTCGGAGCAGAGACGGGCCAAGGCCCTCGCCGAGTTACTGAAACGAGCCGCGGGGCCCGGTGGCGGCTTGGATGCGAGAGAAGCCGACGCGGACCGCGTGTTGAGGGAGTTAAGGCCGTTGGTGGGCGACGCGCGCGCCTCCCTCCGAGCGCCGGCGTGCGACTGCGCGGCGGCGTGGTTGGATCGCGTGCGGAACCGGGACGACGCTCGAAAACTAGCGGCGAAGACCGGCTTAGTGGTGGAGGCGGCGGCGGCCGTCGTCGACGCCGGGGCGTTGACGGCCTACCGAGCGGCGGCGTTGCGGTTATTGCAGTCTTGTTGTGGGAAGCGGTGTGCATCGGATGACGCGTTGGTCATCGACGAGAATGGCGCCAAGGCAATGGCCAAGGCTTTACAAAATGCGTCGGGCGCGGGTGCCGTCGCGCTGTTGACCTGGCTGGCCAAGCACGCGGACGCTTGTGACATCGGCGACGCGCTGGCTTCACCGCTAATAACGCGGCTCTACGACAAAGCTAGAGCGCCTAAAGACGCGGCCCTCGAATGTGTAACGGCGCTCGTTCAGAAGGGAGCGCTGGACCGATCGGCGCTGGAAACAGCGCTCGACGCCGCGCCGATTGTAGGCCGGCGCGTCGTCGCCCAGTTACTAGAGGGCGTCTTCCGCGAGGCGTCTCCAATTAAGGTCGTCAAGCGGGTTCCACAGGCGTCGCCGCTGCCCGCGGCCTTTGACTTCGGGGTCGCCGACGACGCGTCGACGCCGGTGGTCGAGGCGGCATCTCCTACTGAAGCGTTCGCGGCCATCGAGGCCGCTATTGACAACGGTGACCGTCCGGCGCTCCGCGCGGCGGCGGCCGCCGCCGCGGCGTTCGACGCCTCGACCTTTACCAGAGACACGTGCGGCGGTGCCATGCGCGCGGCCATCGCCGGCGCGCGTTTTGCCGAGCGCGACGCCGCCGCGCGCGCGTCGCTGGACGAGGTCGCTCGCAAAACAGCTTTGGAGGCGCCGCGGTCGTCGGCTATTGCCGCGGCGTTGGACTTATTGAGGGGCGCGCCGGACCGCGTCGTGGCGAACCATTTGGCGCGGCTGCTGACGCTCGGTCTGCGGGACCCGGCCTGGGGCCGCGCGCTCGACGCTCGTAAAGGCGACGCTTTGGTAGCGTGCGCCGAGGTCTTCGACAGCGTCTCGGCCGAGGCGCCGTCTCTGGCCCTCGACGCGGCCAAGACCGTGGCGGCGTCGGCCGTGGACCGGATTGGTTCTGACGCCGTGATCGCGTTGAGCGGTGCTGCGGAGGATTCGCCGCTGGCGTGCCTCGTGCGCGCGCTGGCCGGGGCGCCTCCTTTGATGAACGTCGAGACGTCGTCGCCGGAGCAGAAGCCGCTCGCCGGCGTCTCCGACGACGTCGCGGCGCTGCGGCGGCGCGCCGCGGCGGCGCGGGCCTCGCTCGGGTCGGCGCGCTCAGTCCCGGATTCCGCGGGCAAGGACCGGATTGCCGCGCTGCGGACGCGGTTGGCTGTTGCCGCGCGGACGCCTGCGGTTGCGGAGTAAGGGAGTTGTGATCTATCCATCCCGTGGGCTAGCGGCTTGTTGTTTTATTTTTGGTGGACTAGCTGGCGGAGCCCCAGGATAGCCCCAGGAAACACCGCTCCAGATACCGCTCCGGCGTTCCTGTTCGCCGCTAGTATGTCACTAGCTAGAATTAAGGCTGTTTTCGAGGCGGCCCCGGCGGAGCTAATACGAAGCCATTTCTCCAAGCCTGTTACCGAACATCTCTCATATAACACATAACAGCGTCGACCTAGCCGCGCCGCCGCCGCGCACTCAGAGGATTCAGGCAGCGCCTCCGCTAACAGGTGGTTAGCCATGTCCGAGCCCGCGACGCCGACGCGGGAAGCTGAAGACGAACAACCCAATAAGCCGCAGGACAACCCCTGGTACCAACAAAAAGTACCCGCCTACCAGCCCCTGTTAACGCCCATAAAAATCGCCTGGATCCTCTTCGGCACCGGTATTGTATTTATCATCATCGGTTTATCTGTGAGATCCGTGAACACGAACGACATCTTCACGAGGAAGGTCCAGTACGACGGCGACGGCACGCCGTCGGCCAATAGAGATTGTCGAACTGAGAGAGCAGACACTAATACTGAATGCACTGTAGAATTGGAGATCAAACAAAAAATGGAGGAACCGGTATATGTATGGTACGAGATCGACAACTTCTACCAGAACCACAACCGCTACATGACGTCCTTTAGCATGGAGCAACTCCTCGGCACCTACCCGTCGGACGACTCGACGTGCAAACCCCTCAAGTCGAGTGGAGACAAGGACCTGTATCCCTGTGGCGTGATCGCGAACTCCATGTTCAACGACGTCATTACGCTCGAGAATGCAGATATTACGATGCGGGAGAACAACCTCGCGTGGGCGAGCGACCACCACAAGAAGTTCGCGCAGCCCGAGGATTTTGAGTGGTCGACTACCACTGCCGACATCAGTGGCTGTTTAGGTGTTATATCTACTACTGATGCTGCTGGCACGGAGACCTTATCCATTCCCGCCACTCAAACGTCGTGTCTCGAGTCAGTCTGCCAGGCTGATCTAGGCAGTTCGACGTGCTTCGGTTATGTGTGTCGGGGCGGCGACTTCGACGGGGGCCACTGCGTGAAAGGTACTTCTACCGTATACTACTACAAAGACGAGGCCAAGTACCAGTACCTCTACGAGACGTACCCGGATATTGTTTCGCCATTGATCGGGGTGAAAAATGAACATTTTAATGTGTGGTTGAGGCTCGGTGGTCTGTCGGACTTTCGCAAGTTGTACGGGCGGATCACGTCGACGCTCGACAAGGGCACGGTCCTCCAATTCAAGGTCAAGAACAACTTTAATGTGGACAGCTTTAAGGGCAAGAAGTATATTGTGGTCGGCACGTCGTCGGCGTTGGGTGGGAACGTGGCCGCTCTGTGGGAGTGCTTCGCGTATCTCGGTGTGGCGATGTGCGGCATCGCGCTGCTGTTCCTGGCGAAGAGCCAGTTCGTGGGTGCGCGGAAGCTGGGAGATACGGCGTACCTGAAGGGCTAGTCTACTAAGTACACATTAGGCTTGAGCGGTCTTTGATATCGTCGCCATCTAGGGTCTCCACTAAGCTGGAGAAGGCCTCCGCGGCAGTTTTGATAGGTTGCGCGGCGTCGTCCAACTCGTCGCGCTGGCAGGCCGGAATTGATGCAGGCAGGATACCCTTCTGTAGTTTCTTTTGATGGAGGCCGCCGACGATGCGCTTGGACACAACCTTCGAGTTGGTCGCGTAGGCCCGCTCGCGCGCTTGTAGTAGTGCGCGCTCGCGCGGCGCGTCAATATCAGAAAGAGCCGTCCGCGCCTCGTCGAACAAATCGAGCTCGCGGCACGCCCGCGCCTCCAGCAGCCGCGCCTCGTCGTTCCCAGAGACCTCCCGGCAGCTCCGGAGGGCCGCCCGCGGCAGCTTCGCCTCGAGGTAGACGCGCGCCGAACCGAGTAAAGCGTCGCGCCGCATGGCGTCCAATAGCCTTTGCGTTTCACCATCTTCGGGAAACGCGTAGTCGTAGGCCACCAATGCCTTCTCGTACCACTGTATCGAGCGCTCTAGTCTACCTTCATGAAACATGCGGTCGCCCCTTTCTACGGCGAGCTGGGCGCCCTTCAGCGTTTCATGAACAGGCTGCGCGAACAAGGCCCGCTCCTCGGTCCTGTCGAGGTTCCGGCAGCCGCCGCAGGCCGCGGCGGCGGCCGCGGCCTCCCTTCGTTTCGTGGCCGCCGCGGCGTCCTCCTCATCGTCTTGTTTCTTGAGCGTCGCCTCCCACGTCCTATAAGGCCGCGTCCAGTCGTAGTCCTCGGCCGCCGCCATCTAGCTGGCCTCGCGCGCCTGCGCTTCTCGCAGCCTCGCGAGCGTGGCCTCGTTCGCGATCGTGTCCCGGTGCTCGGGGCCCAGGACGTCCGTCGACACTTTGACGATCGCCTCGAGCTGGGAGATGGCCTCCCGCCGATTCGCGGCCTCGCCGCGGCGGTCACTTGTGGCTGGCTGCCCTGCTATGTCGCGGTAGGCGCTGCCGAGGCTGTCCATGCGTCGCAGCGGCCGCGCGTGGGGCGCCTTTCTACCGGGCAGGCTTCACCTGTGGCAGGCCGCGCGTGGGGCACCTTTTTACCAGGCTCAGGCTTGCCTCTGGCAGCAGAGACAGTGTGGCCACCTGCTGTTTTTCGGCCCGTAGGGCTGCCCAGAACTGACCCTGCGACGATGATCTTGGTGCAATGCGCCGCCTGCGCTGCCCCGCTCGGCTTGTCGTCTGGAAAGAAATGCGGCCGCTGCAGCACACGCTACTGCGGGCCAGCTTGCCAGGAGCAGCACTGGAAAGAGGGCGGGCACGACAAGCTCTGCAAGAAGATCAAGCGCGCTGGCGGCGCCGAGCAGTACAATGCGAATCAGAAGTACACGGCGGCCGTGACGATCGCGGCGGAGGCGTGCGCGGACGACACCAAGGGCCAGACGTGCTACATCTGCACGCAGGCCCTCCATTGGAAAACGAAGGAGGGTCTCGTGCGCATGTGCGCGTGCCGCGGGACGGCGGGCTTCGCGCATGTTTCTTGTCTGGCGGAGCAGGCGAAGATTTCGGTCGCGGAGGCCCTGGAGAACAATTTGGATGGCGAGAGATGGTCTTCGAGGTGGGGGCGGTGGGACACGTGCAGCCTGTGCGAACAAGAGTACCACGGCGTCGTGCGGTGCGCGCTCGGGTGGGCGTGCTGGAAGACGTATGTGGGTCGGGCGGAGAATGACTGGCCTCGGCTGGGTGCGATGAGCGCGCTTGGGAACGGATTATCCGTTGCAAAACAATACGCGGACGCGTTGGCCGTGAGAGAGGCCGAGTTGGCTATGAAGCGGCGGCTTGGCGCAGATGAAGATAGCATTCTCGTCGTGCAGAGCAATCTTGCGAGCACGTATCAATTTCTCGGACGGCGTGAGGAGGCACTGTCTCTGCGACGTGTCGTGTACTCCGGACGTGTAAATCTCGTAGGCGAAGATCATAGAGGCACCCTCGGGGCAGCTGTCAACTACGCCTCGACCCTCTTCGCTCTGGACCACTACGCAGAAGCCAGGGCACTACTACGCAAAACGGTTCCCGCGGCGCAACGCGTTCTCGGTGAGAATCATATGATCACGCTCAAGATGAGGAAAGTTTACGCGCAGTCGCTCTGCGGCGACCCCGCCGCCACGCTCGACGATCTCGGCGAGGCCTTGACGACGCTCGAGGAGACGGGACGGACCGCGCGGCGCGTGCTCGGGGGTTCGCACCCTTTCGTTGTGGATACTGAAAGGTTCCTGCGAGGGCTGCTCGAAGCCCTCGACGCCCGCGAAGCGTCAGAGACGGGGGTCGACGTGAACTCCGTCCGCGAGGCGATGGAAGCGATGACGCCCGGGGATGCGTAACTAGTACATGCAAGCAAATTAGTACCCCGGCCGCGCGGCCATCATCTCCTGGATCTGGGCCTCTTCGAGGTCCCGACCGATGAGGCCACCTTCTTCTCCCCTAGAATACGCCAGGAGCCGGGGCTGCGCCTCGGGGCGGCCCGACCCGGCCAGATAGGTTCTAGATTTCAATGTCAAAACTTTCGAGGCGTTCTCGAACTTGACCTCTAGAGATTCAAACGCGGCCCACGCGTAGACGTGGACCGGGGCGCCTCCAAAACTCAAAACCATGCCGTCGAACTTGACGGGATGGACCAGGCGCTCGATGCCCAGGAAGCGCGAGACGTCGTTGCCCGTCAAAACCCAGCGCGTCATGCGCGCCGTGTCGGACTTCGGGTGGAGACCATTCATGAGCGCCACGGCTACAGCTTTGCTGGCGCAGCCGTCACTTATTTCGGAGTAGGGCTTCTTGCGGTCGTTGTGGGCCATTTTTTTCACGGCCTTGACGACCTTATCCCGTAGACGCTTGCGCATGGCCTTCAAGGCCTTCGCGTCGACGACTTCATCGCCCTTGTGCTTCTTTGCCACTTGCTGCTGTAATGACTGGATGATCTTGATGAGCTCCGGCTTGCTGAGCTCCTCCAAATTCTCGGGGATCGCGGCGAGGGGGCGCTTCTTCTTTCGCGCCGAGGCCTCCATGGGAAAGGCCCTCTTTGCAACCGAGGCCTCCGTGGGAGGAGAACCGGCGCTGCGGCGCGTTGCTGAGGCTCCGCAGGGCTCTCTTGCTCAGGGCGGCGGCGAAGGACATCCAGCAATGGCGACGGTGGCGCGGGGCAGCCCTTTTGTTTGTTGCTCTGGGGCTGCTGGTTTCAAACTGAGTGCGACCACCCCGTGCGCCTGGATGTGTCCGTCGCGCGAGCTCTCTGCACGCGTTTGCGTAGCATTTTTACCAGGGAGATCAGTGAGGTGTGTGCTAGCGGCCCGTAAGACACTAGCAAAGCCGGCAGCCGTAAAAACAAACAAAAAGCGCTGGGTTGCGGGGCGCAGAAGGTCGTTCCGGGTGCCGGCTGGACAGTTCGAACACCTGGCGAACGCATTCGAACAATGCGATAGACCACAGCTCAGACGCCAGCCGTCCCAAAGCCCCCACAGACCAGGGCAGCAAAACTACTGCGGCGCGGACGCCAGCCGCTCAAAAAAATGAGCTCCCTCTCGGCAGCCGCCTTCGCGGCAGTAAGAAGAGCCTTAGATGGCGACGTCGACGACGCCGCGGCCGCGGAGCACGCCGCGGCCGCGCCGGAGGACCGTGCTTTGTTAGCGCTGGCCCCGGGCGACGAGAATTTGGGCAAGGCGTGCTACCACGCGGTCCGGCGCAAATACGGGCGGGACGTGCAGGCCGCGCGGCGTTTACGACGAAGAAGAAGGCCGGCCGCATCATCATCGAGTGACATTCTATCTCTAGTAAAGCGCGGCGCCGCCGACGCGCGGCGGCTGAGTGCTTTGGCCGATGCGAGATTATCGAGGCAGTTGGAAGCAGCAGAAAGAAGGCTCCAGGAGCTGGCCCACGAGTGCGTGGGCGAGCACGCGAAGGCTCGGTCACGCTTAGCTGCGCGGGCCGAGAAGACGGCGTCTCGAAGACGCGCGGAACGAGCAGCCGCGAAAGCAAATGCAAGGTGGGCCCTGTTCTTACTGCGGTGCGAGGGCGACGCGCCGCCGCCCGTGAATACGCGGAAGCCGCCCCTGCAATTGCGGAGTTGTGTGGAACGGGACGACGTTAAGCGGGGCGCTTCGGCAGCGAAAGACGCGTGCACGCGGCCCGGCCCCGCGCGCGTGTCTGCTGCGTTGGCCTTGCGGAGCAAGCGGGGCGGGATGGTTGATGATGCTAGAGATGCGAGAGCATTGGAGACTTTTAGAGCTACCAAAGTAGCGTTTTGTAGGGGCGCCGCGGCCTGGACGGCGCGGAAGCCCGCCGAGACGTTTCCGGGCTTCCCCCACGCCGACGGCGTCGAGACCTTGATTGATCTTCTCGTTCCTTCCCGTCCGAGGACGCCCTCGACGAAAAGAGCGGCCGATGGTGCGGAACTCTTATCTGCGGGGCCCATCCACTGGCTCTGCGTGGGCAACCCTTCCGCAGCGTTCGACGATTGTTTAGGGACGGATGAGGACCCGGATCCCGCGACGCACGCCCTCTGTTCATCTAGAATATACTACCAGCTCGACGGCGCGCACGTGGAAGACCCGCCTTGTACCGGTTCGGATGTCTCATGCTCGCTCATCGACGACGGCGCATCCCTAAAAAGAGCCTGGGCTATCCATGACGCTCTCGGCGAGGCGCACACGTTTCAGGCGCTAACTGATGACATGACCGTCACGCACGTCGTCTCAGCAAAAGACGACCACGTCCAGAAAAATAACATCCAGTCGAACAGCGACGAGCTCGCCGACAGCGTCGTTTCTCAACCCGTTGTCCTCGAAGATAGTGAGGGTAAAAGGTTCGCCGCGTGCAGCGTCGCCCAATTACTGGAGGCGAAGCACCTACAGACCTCTGATATGGTGAGGAGGGCGACGTCAGTTGTAGCATCGCAGAACGGCGCTCGTATTCCAAGGTGGGGCGCGCGCGATTTATATGTATGTACCACAATAAGGGCTCCGTGCAACGTGCACGACGAGACGACGACATCTTACATGCGGCGGCTTTCCCCGAGGGCGGTCGCCGAACTAGCGCGGGCCTACTTAAATGATGATTCTGAAACGGATCTAACGGCGCGCGACGTCTTCCCGGCGTCCTCAGCTGACGAGGTCTTTAGCTTGGTCCAGGACCAAGAGGGCGATAAAGGAGATGCGTTTTTAGTGAACTGGTGCATTGACGATGATACGAACGAAGAGCGAGCGGTGTCAGCCAGAGTAGCACCAATGATCGAGGAGGACGAGGAGGAGGACGACGACGTCCTCGGCCCGGTCTGCCAGTGGCGGTCCTGCTCCTGCGCCGCTCGTTCGTCAAGACGTGTTGTAGGCAAGAAGCAGCCCAATCGGCCGTTATGTGCCTGGCACCGCTCCTTAAAACGGCATTTAGATGATGGTGCCCAAGCGGCTGGAAGGGCGTCCGACGCGTTGCGGTTCGTGCCTCGAGCGAAGGCGGCGCGGGAGGCCGCCGAAGCGGTAAGAGCCTCCAAAAAGTCGAATTACGGCGACCAGGACGCCGCCGAGGCCGCAGCGATTCGCGGCGCGTCGCCCCTACTGGTCGAATTGTCGAACGGGAAACTTGGTCAAACAGTAAGGGTCTTCTGTCGGCGGGCCGCGGCGGAGTCCGCGGAGCGCAAATCCCGGAGGAAGGACAAAGAGGACAAAGGTGAAGGATGGGCGCGGTGGGACGACGCGCGCGCGTTGTCCGCCGCTCGCAGGGACGTCGCGGCGTCGCTCGATCGCTTAGATCGGGTCTGTGCTGCGGAAAGAGCGGCTACGGGCGAGTTGGCAGCTCGGCGGGCCGCGGGCCAGTTCCCCGCCGACGCGCTGGTGCAGATCAAGCGTGAGCATGCGCGTCTCGACGCGGAGCGCGCCGAGGGCGATCAGGATCAAGCGGCCGACGAGCGGTTGGAGCTCGAGTTCGCGCGGCGCAAGGTCGCGTTGCTGAAGGCCGACACGGGGGCGCAGCGGCCTCAAGTAAGTGTCGCGGCCGCGGCGGACATCTTGGCGGCGACGGCGGGGAGGGGCGACCGGTCGCCGGACGAGCTCATGGCGTCGCCCATCCTCGAGGAGCCCACGGACACGGGCTACGGCGCGCCGCGGCGGCGGGCGATGGCGTCGACGGCGAGGAGGGCTGCTCAAAAGCTGCGCTTCGTGTCGCCCTACTCGTCGGCGAACAACCAGGCGCCGAAGCGGCGGTCTTCCGGTAGGAAGTTTTGATTTAATCAGAGGTATATTAGTTTGGACGCAATCAAATCGGGTTTTTGCCGCAAGTTTTTTGGGATTCCTGCTCCTAGCTCGTGGTTTGGCACCGCGCGCGTAGCGTAGCGGTCGTGAGTGGCCCGCTGCTATTGAAGCGACGCCAAATTCAGCGCCTTACCTCCGGTTAGAACCGCGCATTGGCCCTGAGTCGATTTGCCTCAAGTTTCCAGCGTGCGTAACATGGGTCTGCTCTTTGGAGGCAAGCCGGAGGAGGTGCCGTTCCGCCGCAAAATCCTGCGCTCGCTTGTCTACGCGGCGATGAAGGCCATGACATTCGCAATTCTCGCGCCGGTGTTCAAAGGCGATACATGCTCCGCCCTGCCGTCGGCCCGCGCCTACTTGATCGTGTTCGCCGTTATCCAGCTCGCAACCGTGCCGCTCCTGCTTTACACGAACTCGATGCGAATCAACAAGGGCTTCAATCCGCACATGAATTGCGACGTACGCGCGGACGAGGGCGGCGAGGTTTTTAATGGGCACAAGACCGTCTCGAACATCGATAAACTGCTCGGACTGGCGACGCTCCTCGTTGGCGTCGTGTGGGGCTTGACGCTGTGGTCAATTCAGACTTCGCGCGGTGGGTCCAACTCGAACTGCGACAAGGGGATTTATTCGGCGATCGGCGTCAGCGCCTGGATATGCGTCGCGATCTTCGTAGCTATCCTCGTCTACATCATACTCATCGTCCTCAAGGTCGTGCCGATGCCAAATAAGGGCAAGGCCGATCTGGAGGCGCCGCTCGACGCGGAGGCGTCGGCGGAGTAGTTGCCGTTGAGCAGTCAAGGGCGCGTTTAGTAATAGTCTCATTCGATCGATACCTTCAGGCTCGGCTGCGTGTAGGCTAGTGTGTGTGTTCCCGCTAGCTAGCTGTGAAAACTGATCATTTCGACACGTATTTGCTGGATTCCTCTTTAATCGAAAGGTGTGACACCGCGTCTTTGTGAACCTTCGCCGCGGCGATGGCGTGAGAGAGACGCCATCGACGCGACTGCGCGACAGCGAGACGTCGTCGACGCGACGGCGTGGCAGAGAGACACCATCGACGCCGCGACCGAGACGCGCCGCCCCGACGCAGACTTCTGCCACATGGTAAACGTGGGGGACGACAAAAAGGACCTCGAAGAGCCCCTGTCGCCCAAGGAGCCTGAGCCGGCGACGGCCAACAGCTAGACTCACTGGCCCCGGGCCGCGCTGCCTCACCCCCCACATATCCCTAGCCGCCAGCCCACGCACCGTACGTAAAAATATAGCTCCTTAGGCAGGAACACTACTGGGGGGGAGGGAATTGCGCGGTGGCTAGTCGCACGCGATCTTCGAGTCGAAGCTCGACAGCGTGATCGCGAAGGCCTGGAACGGCGTGAGCGGGTAGCGAAAGTCCATCGTGAACTCGTCTTTCCCGACCCGTCCGAACTGCAGGAGGACCGCGTCCTGCTCGTCGGGCTCGACGAGCTGGAAGTTCTTGACCGACGCCATCGTGACTCGCCCGTTGAAATTGAGCACGTAGGCACCGACCTGGTCGTTCCATCGGGGCGGCTTGTTGATCGTGTACGTGATGTCATTTTTATCTTGCGCTTTCAGCTTCGCTAGGACATCAATACTACGACTTTTGCCGTCCCGATCTAGTTTGGGTACCGCTGCTTGCATCTTGCGCGGACCTCTGCTCCCAAGAACGTTCGCCGTGTAGACGACGGCACCCAGCTCGCATCTCTCCGACGAGCCAGTATCAATCAAAGAGGGATTGGCACCCGAATCGAAGACCTGGAACTCCGTGCCCGCAAAATTAGCTCGCAACTTGCCAATGTAGTTCTTCGAGTTCCGTTTGAGATCGCCCTCGCCCATACTTATAAGGTAGTTCGACGTCTTGTTGTTCGGCCGCTTCTTCGAACACATCAAGAACCTATCGCCCTCCTTCATGTAGACGGCATACTCCGGGAACAATTTGTTCGTGCCGCTTCGGTTCCTTTTGATGGAGCACTGGACGACGCCGGCCCGTCGCGGACAGGCTGTCGTGAGGAACTTGCGCATGTCCCTCAAATCTAAGGCTGAGGCGTCGAATTCCGGTGCTGACGGCGTCTCCGAGGCCGGACTGGGACCGCGCTCGTCCTCGTACTCCTCGGGTTCGGGAGACGGGCTCCGCTCCTTCTTCCTTCTTCGCGTCTTCTTCTCGTCGCGCGGTTCTCGCGGTTCCGGCGATCCGCGAGGAGGCGAGTCATCTGAACGTCGTCGGGGCGGCGAGTCGTAGCCGTCGTCATCAGAATAGTCTCTGCGACGGTCTTCGCGTTCTCGTCGAGGCGGCGGCGAGTCGTCCCTGCGGCGCTCACGTTCCCGTTCTCTGGGTGGCGGCGACTCCCTCCGTCGCTCGCGCCGGTCGTAGTCGTCATACTCGTCGCGCCTCCGATCGTAGTCGTCGTCACGCCTCCGGTCCCGATCGTCATAGTCATAGTCGTCCCGACGAGAGCGAGACGGCTCCTCCCGCCTCCTCCGGTCAAAATACTCGTCCTCCTCATCATAACGTCTCCTGTCGTCGTAGCTCGACCGGTGGTCCCGGCCCGGCGAGGGCTCGTCGTAGCGCTGGGGCGAGGGCTCGTCGTATTGTCGATCATCGTAATCGCGCCTCCTCTCCCGCTCCCGCGCCTCCTGCACCGGTCTCGAATAGCGCTCGTCGTCGTCGCGGTAGACTCGTTCCCTACGAGGCGGAGGCTCCTCGTCCCGCTCATCTCTACGACTGCGATAGGGCGACGCCATATCCCTTTGATCGACGGGCGCGAACCGCTCGCCGAACTGGCGTTCTTCTCTGGAAACGTTCCTTGCAGAGTAGTCCTTCTCCTGATTTTTGCGAGACCCCCAGGCCGGATCAGGTTCATCATTGAAATCGTCTCTCCGACTTCGCCCGAAGGCGCCGTACTCCTGGACGTTCTTCTGGGCTCTAGGTGCGGAGAACTGGGCCACGCCGGGCGTGAACGTATGGCCTTCAGACGACATGTGCGCGGCGCCCCGAGACATGGTAGAAGCCTGCAAAGCCTGCTGGCGCCGCTGCATCTGGATCTGGCGCTGCTTCGCTAGGGCTCGCGCCCGGGACTGCGTCGACTCGCCCAGGGCGCCCGCAGAGCCAAAACCTGACGACTTTTCCTCGTCCTTCGACTCGGAATACAGGTCGCGCGGCGGCGCCATAGAGGGAGGCTTCATGGTCGGCGGCGCCATGGAGGGAGGCGCCATCTTCTTCTTGCGCGAGTGGCGGCCCCGCGACGGCCGGTCCAAGGGCGACTTGCTTTCTTGTTTGGCCTCGCCGCTGCTCTCCAGATCTAGACCCGCGATGCCGGACCGCATGGACCGCGGGTCCCCGAAGTCGTCGTCGAACTCGTCGGCGTTCATGAGCATCTTGTGTCCTTGCGCGGCGGCGCGCGCGCGCTGTGGGTCTGGCTCAGCTGTGCCTTTTATGGGGGTTGGTGGCGGCGGCGCGCAGCGGAGGCCGGGCTGCGCGTGGCGGCACCCGCAGTGTGTCCGTGGGACGCCTTCGCCGCGTGCAGCAGTCGCGCGCTGCCCCTTTCTGATTCCACCACACTCGATTAAGCCAAACCACCGGCGGTAGAAGGCGCCCGCTCGGCGCGTCGCCCACGAGCGGTCTGCAGTCGTCTCGCGACGGCTGTGGAGGCCCGGCGAGGACTACACACCGATTTTAGGTTTTTCTAGTGTGCTTACGCCGCTAGCGTGCATTTTTGCTGCTTTTGCTCAGCTCGTTTACGGCCCAGAGCTCGTGCTCATCCCGCCCTTTGGCTGAAATCCATCGATTAGCTAGCTGCGCGCGAGGTCTGGTCGCGATTTGGCTGCAGGCTTTGCACAAATCACTTCTCTTTGCTGAGGCTGGCTTTGGTCGACTCCAGCGCTCGCGTCCGCAACCCTCCGCGCCCGTCGCGGGTCACAGAATCTCACAGATACGCTACGGACGGTGGAGGCTCGTGAGATACCGAAACCTTACGTGTTGAAAGCCAATATCAAAGCCGAAGCGATGGCGTCCGACGACTCCGCGTCGTCCCAGGAGGATAAGGAGGAGAAAAAACAGCGCAAGAAAGCGAAGAAAGCGAAGAAACAAAAGAAACAAAAGAAGGCTAAACGAGAGCGGCTCACGGCCCACGCGGCCCTCGACCTCACGCCGGCCGGCGAGCCCGCGCCGGCGCCGGCGCCGGTCGCGGAGACGCTGGACGACCGCGTGCGGCTGCTGGCGGCGCGCGGCGCGAGCGACGCCGAGATCGGGAGGCTGCTCCGCGAGGCCGCGGGCGCGGTCGCGGCCGCGCCAGCACCCGTGAACGACGGCTTCACGGACGCCGAGCGCGCGGCGCGCGCCTTCAGCGCCAAGGTCAAGGGCGACGAGGGCGCCGCCGCGGCGCTGCGGCCCCTCCCGGAGCGGCGCCGCCGCCGCCGGTCGCGGTCGCGGTCGCGGTCCCGCTCGCGCGGGCGGCGGCGGCGCGCGCGGGGCGCCGCGCGCGGCTCGCGCTCGCGCTCACGGTCGCGCGGACGGCGCCGGTCGCGCTCGCGGAGTCCGCGCTCGCGGTCGCCCGGCGGCGACGACGCGATCGCAGCCATGCTCGGGAGCGCCGCGCGGGCGGCGCGGCGGCGCTCGCGCTCGCGGAGCCGCTCGCGGAGCCGCGGTCGCTCGCGGAGCCGGTCGCGGTCGCGCTCCTACTCTTCGCGCTCGTCCTACTCGCGGAGTCGCAGCCCGGTGCCGCGCCGACCGCCGCCCGACGCGCGCAACGAACTCGACCGGCTCAAAGGCGGCCACTACGAAGGGCGGGCCGCCGACGACCCCTACTGGGAGCACGACCAGTACGACCCCCACGCGCCGCCGCCCGAGCGCGTCGTGGACGAGCGCTACGAGCCGCCGCAGCCCGAGTGGTTTTCCAAAGCTGGTGGCGTCTGCATCGCGAACCCGCGGGCCTGGATGAACGAGCGGCGGGAGCGGGAACGGTCGGAGAGCCCGACACACTATATGGCGCCGCGCGTTTTGTGAGCGGCTCCACGGTGTTGTATGCGTCGACGGCGCGGAGGTGACGCCATCGACGCGCCACTGCGTCTCGTCGACGGCGCCGGGCTGACGTCATCACCGCGCCCATGCTAAGAATGTGATGTGTCACTAGCTACTTAGGAGCCCCTCCTCGACACAACTCTCGTCGCCCTCGACGAGGCGCGGCCGTCTCAGAGGAAACGGCGCCTTGTCCCGCTTCCTCAATCTTTCCTCTTCGCGCTGGAGTTGCTTCTGGACCTTGCGTCGCGCCTCCACGAGCAGGGGATCGTCGAAGGTCTCGGAGCCCCAAAAACCGGGCCCTTCGTACAACGTCTCCAGCGCGAAGTCTCGCCGGAGACCGTCCATGAGTGCCCTCCAATACCCGACCATGGCATGTGCGGCCACCACATTCCCGGGCGGGTCCGCGGCGCAGACGTGGCGCGGCTCGGCAAAATGTGCGGAAGAACCGCCTCCGACCAGTCGCGTGGTCGCGGGCACGATGTCCGGCCTACAACCGGGAGGGGCCGCGACGGCGACCCTCCTATCATACCGTCGAGCTAATCGTGGATGCCTTCTCCGCTGGGCATCGAAAAAACGCCGGTCCCCGATCGGCGGTTCGCCGAAGGTCGTCACTCTTACTTCATGAGCCTTTCTCGGGCGGCGTTTCGCCGCGAACAAGGCTAATTGCAACGCCAGAGCCCCACCCAACGAATGACCCGTGACCCAAATTGGGGCATTAGTACCTAACGTAGCGGAGGCCAAATCATCCAACAAACCAGCCAACAACTGCTCCTTGTCCGGCCGACATACGTCCGGCCCATTCGTATGAAGCCATCTACCTCTACAAGCATCTTCTATCGCCCGAAACACGGGATCGTCCCGCCTTCGACCCTCGTCCAACCGCGTAATGCTACCACCTCGCACGCGCTCAAAGGCCCCGCGCATGCCTCTCGCGGTCTTGCCGCCACCCCTTTTTTCATGCGTCTCCATGATTTGCACGTTCGTGATCGCATGCCGCATGTCGGCGCTGCCCATGAACGCCACGGCTACCGCGCCGGCGTCGCCTCTCGCGACGAGAGCCGTCGTCGAGTGCCACCTAATCCCACCGGGGCCCGGCTCGGACCAGTCCGTGAAATAATATGTGGGTTGCCACCGTCGGTGGAACGGCGGCGCGCAATCCGCACCAAGTTTTTGGATCGTGCCGTGGGGCGGCAGGAAAGCGGATTGGACCCCAGGGACTCGAGGCGCGGCTCGAGCCGCTCGCGCCGCGCACTTCGCCCACCGCGCTCGTTCCGCCGCCCAGCCGGACCGCCACGCGTGCTTGGACTTGGATGAGTAGGCCCGTATTTCTATGGGTAGCGTGCGATTCTTCCAGCCACTGACATACACTAAAGAAGCTAGCGCGGCCATGGCCGTCGCATCTAGTGAATTCATCGCGTCGACACCTTGGCCACCGGCGTGTCGGCATTGGTGGCAGAGCACCGTGCGGTTGACGCGTTTCCTCATAAAAGGCAGTGGGAAGGCGCTTGTCGTTAGCACGGTGAGGAGTGCGCCCGCGAGCGCGCGCCGTCGGCGGCCGCGTCCGCGGTGCCGATTCATCAGTTGGAGCCAAGTTTGTACTCAGTCGTCAAAAAACGGCACGTGTCGTCGCTAGGGCTGCGTCACAACTATACTACTGATGCTGTGACAGGGCCAGATCGTAGGCACAAGGCCGGTGAGGCCGTAAACTGGCTTGCACGCTTTGCTGGCTCGTGTGTTACTGAACGCTAGCTGATTATTTTTTTGTGTGAGGTGTCCGAAGTTTCTTGGCTTGTCTACGATACACGAGCAACCTCACACTGCGTGACTGCTTCGGCGAGGTGATTGTGGTCGCGGCGCTCCAACCTCATCGAAAAATCGCAGCTGCAAAGCTCAAACACCAGCGTACAGCATGGCACGCCTCCTCCGCATCCTTATTGCGCTGAGCGCGACCGCTGCAGCTCTGGTCCCGAGCTGGCAGCAGCAGCTCGATAGAGTGTTCCTAGACATCGATATGAAGCCGCGGACGCGCTCGCGGACGCTTTTCAAGGTCATCGAGCGGCGCGAGGAGATCCTGACCGACGTGCGCAGCGCTGTCGATAGCATCCGGGAGAAGGGCTTCAAGGATGGCCACGGCGAGGCTATCGATTTGCTCTTCCCGAAGGGCACGATCATTCGTGGCGACCTCGAGGGGTTACAATCTCTGAGGAAACAACTCCCCGAGGCCATCGAAGACCTCCGCAAGACGCGGCCGACGAACACCGCGACGACGCCGTCGCCGCCGACGCCCGAGGACCTGCGAAAAGTCGCAGAGAAGCTCCGCGACGGCTCGCTCCAGTCAGACATAGAGGAGGAGCTCAAGAACGCGCTCCGGAGCACGCCCAAGGGCCTCGAGACGCCCAAGTACTCTATCGATAAAACCTTTGGCGACTGCGAGGTGCGGACCTACGAGGCCTACGCCGTCGCCGAACTGACGGAGCAGCGACCGGACGGCGACGCATTTAATATTCTGGCCGCCTATTTGTTCGGCAAGAATTCTGAGGACAAGGCCATGGCCATGACGATGCCTGTCGAGATGGTCGACGGTGTGATGTCCTTTGTCCTGCCGAAGGCGGACGCTGATGCGCCGCCGGCGCCGACGGACGACAAAGTTACGATTGGGGAGCGGCCGGCGCGGACCGTCGTGGCGCTGCCGTTCCCGGGCGTGGCGACGCCGGAAGAGATCGAGCGCCAGCGCTCGAAGCTGGCGGACGTCTTGAAGGCGGAGGGGCTAGAGGCCGCGGACGACTCGTACACGGTGCTCCAGTACAACTCGCCGTTCACGATCCCCTGGCGGCGCCGCAACGAGCTCGTTGTGGCGCTAGCTGAGAAGCCGAAGCCGCTCGTGCGACGGAAGGCCCGGGGCGATCGGGGCCCCGCGCCGCCGGCCATGCCGCGCGCGGCTTGGAGCGGGTCCCCGTTCCCGGCGAAACGCGGCGCGCCGGCCGCGGCGCCGCCCGCGAGCGATCCGTCGGGGTCGTACCTGGAGTCGCTCTAGACGAGTCCCCGTATAAATCAAGTACTTGTTGCATGGGTTTTACCTCTTACCTCTACCTCTTACTAAGTACCTCTACCTCTTACCTCTACCTACATGAAAAACCTTCCTTCTGAGCGACTCTTACGCGTGCTTGCGCGCGCCAAAAGTACCTCCAGAGAGCACCCCTGCGTACCTTAAGTGAGCCCTTGGCCTTGGGGCGCGATAACTGCACTGATCTGAGGAGCCTGGCCAGATGAAGCAGGAGAGCTGCCGCGATATCGATGCGCAGCTCGGCCGGCGCCTGGCGCGCCGCGTCGGTCGCATTCGACTGCGCGTGGACCAGGCCCACGTACCGCCTTACAACTAAATTCAAACATTTCAAATCCGCCGCTTCTAGCGCCTCGGGGTCCCGTTCCGGCGCGTGCGACCGGCCGTCGCCCGGCGCTAAGCCAAGCAGCACCGCAAAGAGCTCCAGCCGCATGTGCCTTGCACGCGCCTTGTCATCCTTACAGGTCGCGACGACCGCGCGCAGCTTCTTCACGGCTAAATTACGCATGCCGAAGCGCCGCACGCACGCCGTCATCGCGAGCGTCCGGAAGGGCTTCGCGGCCGCCGCCGCCGCGACGAGCGACGCGACGAGCGCGTCGCCGCGCGCGCGCGCCTCGTGGACCGCCGCGGTGACATCCGCCCGCAGCGCCTCCTCCAGCAGCGCCGGGATGAGCTGGAGCGCTTGCTGGATCGGCATGCCCCTTACCGAATGCGTCCCGTGCCGCTTGCTGTGGTGGTGCGCCAGGCCGAGCTCGTGGTGCTCCCGTTGTCTACGCGCGCGCGCCTGCTTGTGGAGCCTCCTTCTCCGCTTCTCGTGCGCGTCGTGCGGGTGCTTGCGACGCCTCCGTCCGAATCCGCCGTCGTCCTCGTCGTCGTCGTCGTCGTCGTCGTCGTGTCCTCGCAAGAGCGTCTGCGTACCCCTGTCCTCAACGTCGGGGACCATCCTCCGTAACCACTGCGCGTCCGTTTCTCCATGTAGAGGCGTCGCCTTGGCAATTCGATGCCGCCATTGATCCATGGATTCGCCCTCGGCCGGCAGCCAGCAGGCGTAGCCGCCTTTGCGGAGCCGCTCCTGATAGGCCTCGTCCGTCTCATCATCTAAACGGGGCGGCGGCGGGCCCCAGCCCCGCACGATGTCGACGACGTCCTCGTCGACGGCCACTACATCCGGGCCGCCCTCGTCTAGTTTCGACGCAAGCGTGTCCAGGAACCCGCCCTCCTCCTCCTTGGGCGATGATGGGGTTGCGCCCCCCCTCGTCGTCGTCGTCGCTACCTAGCTATACTCGGGGCGACGGCGTATGAGGGCGCCGGGGGCGGGACACTTGGTGGGACAGGTCCACGGTCACACGGTCGGTGGCTAGGCTGCCAGCTAAGCAAAGCAAAATGAAATTAGATTTTGGCAAGGGGCATCAAGTCGGTTCGTCGGCGAGGCGTCCGGTCGCCGGGATGCAGAACGCGTCGACTGAGCTGCGACGCCGTGCGGCAGATCGCGACGAGCCGGACGTGCGCGAGCCCTCCACAGAACGGCAGCAAGGACCGCGACACACTGCCAGAGGGAGGCCGATTGGGCCCGTCGCTCATTTACATATTCCGTCGCCCTCTCGACGCCGCCGCCGTCCCAGACGCCGACGACGGCTCAGCGCTCGCCGCCTCAGCGCCAGCTCTCCGCTGGTGAGGGCAGTTCTAGGCCTCCCGCGACGATATAACGCATTTCCCTTACCGATGGTGCAGGGCCCGTGCTGCTGCGTCGCGACGTCGCCAGGAGCCTACGCGTCGAGGGCGTCTGCTACGACAGCGCTGAAAGTCCTCTCTGGCTCCTGGCTTGTGCTGTAGCCATTCGGTGCTGTTTGAAATGATGAGGATGGGTTCAAATCAGCGCCCGAGGATGCGGAACTCGTGCGCCGCGGTGGCGTGGACGTCTGCCGGTTGTCGGGAGGCCATCGATGGGCACGGCGACGGCGCCGGCCGCCGCTGAGGTGCCATTTGCCACAGGTGTTTTTGAGCATGCCAATACCCACTAGCAGGAACCTGAGAGCGCTCGTTGTTTTGCAGCGCTGCGCCTGCACGCGCCGCGCAGCCAAGACAGTTGTTTGAGCCGAAACTAGGAGGTCCAATTGCCGTGTCCGCACTGCCGCTAGAGTCTTTACGCCGCTATCGCATCGCAAACACATAATTTCGCCTCGAAGAGAGAACGCACTCAAACAACACCCAACAGCCTCCAGTGACCCACGGATCTCCTCCTGAGTGTCTCAAGGAGTGTACGGATGGGCCTGGGACCGCGCGGCGACGGCCGTGCGGGGCGGCGCCGCGCTGGACCGATGATGACAGCCATGCTTTTTGGCTCCCTCATCTTAGGCGCCTGGCGGCGCGGGCCGCCGAGCGCGTCGGCGGGACCCCCGAGGGCTCTGAGGGGCGACGTGTGTGGTGACGCTAGGGCTCGCGCCGCAGACGCGGTCTCGGACGTCTGCCGCACAGGTTCGCAAAGCCGCTGGGCCTCGTCTCTGCCACTCGGCCTGCGTCCGTCGACGCGCCGCGGCCACTGCGTCATGTCTACCATGAAGCCGCGGAACATGAAACCGGGAGAACTGGAAGGGGCGGGCGAGTACGGCGACAAGATCCTCAAGACCGACTTCGCGAACCTGCCGGGCAAGGACCAGATGAAGTGCTTCGACGAGGCCTTGCGACGAGCGGTGCAGAAGAAGATGAAGTGGCCCCACCCGCCGTCAGGGGAAGTGCTCTTCGCCGCGGTCCGGAAGCACCGCGAGCGAGCCAACGCGCCCGCGGCGAAGCCGAAGGGCCGCCGCGCGCCGGGCCCGCCGATCCCGTCGCAGCCGCCGCGCAAGCGGCGCTCGAAGCCGCCGCCGGCCAAGCCCGCGGCGCTCGCGCAGCAGAACCTGAACACGAGCGAGTCGGCCATCGTGGCCGTGGCGCCCCAGACGCCGCTGGTCGACGCGGCCAACTACGCCTTACGGGCGCTTGCTGGCGAATCAGAGGACGTCGCAAATGCATCGCAGATTGTTGAGGTGAAGAAGGACGGCGGTGAGTGGAAGAAATTCACGTCGAAGTCAAAAGCGGTGCAGAAGATCCGCGGCCTCACGACCTACGTGTTAGATGACCTCCTCGAGGGCAAAGCCTCAGACATGTTTGAGGCGCGCCGCCTCGTCTCCAACAAGCGGCCGATCAGCAAACTGCAGGCGTTCACGTGGGCTGCCGACGCGCTCGGCCTGCGGCACGACATTAGTAAGGCCACGGCCCTCGGCGACCTCGACGCGTGCGTGCTCGAGCTCGTCGATCACGTTGTGTTGCCAGACTCCGTCAAAGTGCGGCCGCCGTCCTGGGAGGCTTTGCTGAAGTACGTCAAGTCGTTATCCTCACGCGATCAGCGCGTGCTCGTCGAGAAGACGCGCCGCGCCGAGAACGAGCGCGTCCTGAAGTTGCGTGAGGCTGGTTGCGACCTTGGACGCGAGGCTCAACGCGAGTTGCGCCGGGAGGAGGCCGAGGAGGGCCGGCTCCGGGACGTCGAGGCCTTGCGTGACCTGCTGCTTCTGGGCTACAACCTGCTAGACGACAAGACGACTCAGAGGGCCTTCGAGGGCGAAGTCAAAGTGTCCTACTTGCCATCGCATGTTGTAGATGATCGCCGGCCCGTGTACGTCAAGTACAAGGGCGATCATAGGGTCGAGCTCAAGGCGGGGCCGTGGCCCGACCGCTACGCGTGGGGCGACGGCGTCCTGGAGCTTGGGTCGGCGGGCGGGGCTGATAATCCGTACGGTCCGCGCGAGACGCTGGTCGCGACGATCAGCCGCCAGGCACCTGGGGACTTTGCCTGGTTCGATTGCGACGGCGCGTGCGGCGACCGGCGCTTGCTGCACCGCGGCCAGCGCGGCCGCGTCGCGGTTACCTTGACGCCGCGCCAGCCGGCCGGCGCCTACGTCCGCCAGCGCCCCTTCTCCTCGCTCGAGCAGATGCAGAAGCTGGGCTTCCGGCTGGTCGAGGAGGAGGCGGCGACGACTGCCAGCGGCGAGACGATCGAGGGCTTTGGGAGGTGCAGCTTCACGTTCCACGTCGACGAGGACGGTCCCGACCAGATGCCGGCGCTGCGAGAGGAGTTCCTGCGCTTCCGCGGGGACCTGCTCGGCGTCACGCTCAAGGACAAGCGCCTCGCGGAGGGCGTATACGCGTCGACCCGGCGCACCCAGAACGGCGCCACCGACGCGCCCCAGGTCGTGTCCTTCATGTTCTCCGTCCCGTGCCGCGCGACCGGCGCGACGCCGCGGACCGAGCGCGCCCTCCAGCACCTCAAGGACCAGGGCTACCCGCTCATGGCCACGCTCGACCACCGGTGCATCCTCAACTCCGTCGCCTTCGAGTTCCTCGCCTACCGGGACCCGTCGGTCGGCGGCAAGTGGCACGTCGACCGGGCCAAGGACCTCCTCCTCTCGGCGCTCCAGATGAAGTCCGTCACGATGAAGGAGGACGCCAACCTCAAGCGCTCCAAACAACACTTCACGCGGGAGGATGTGGCTCAGATGGAGGAGTGCAGCGACGACTCGGTGATCTAGATCCGGGCGTGTGCTGTGATCCTGTCCCCGCCCCTCGCCCCCTTGACTAACTAAGACTGGTCTACTCGCAACTACATGGCCCACGTCATCCGCGCCACAAGTCGATCTCGCAGATCGGACCCCTTAGTCACTAAGGACCTCGAGTCGCCGATTTTGGCCGGAGCTTGGTGGCCGATTTCGGCCGGCTAGTAGTACGGGAGCGGCGCTTCTTCCTCAATCGCGATTGCATGGGCGACTTGGGCTCTTCGCGCGCCTTCGCCCCGACTTCGAGTCCGTGATCGTCTGCAACGACGCGCAGGAACGCCTCGAGGTGCACGTCCTCGCCGCGCGCCCCCTCGAGCATAAGGTGCAGTTTGGCCTCTTGCGCGTCTTCCAATTCATAATCGCCGAGCACGTCCGCGTCGGCGGACACGAGGCTCCCGAACCAGCAGCAAACAGCCTGGGCGCCCCGTGCCCGGTCCGCCCGCGCACCGTGATCAGTTCCCGTGCGCTTCGTGAACCACGAGCTTCTAAGGACCGCTGACTGGACGGCAAGGGCAGCAGAAAGTTCCTTCTGCCGCGTCACGCGCTCGTCGTGCGTATCCCGCGCGATCGCGTCTGCAACGACGGAGAACTCGTCGAACAGGTCGTCGACGCCGTCCGTCGAGCAGTGGGCCGCCGCGAGCAGTTCCCGGAAGGCCTCCAAATCGACGGCGCCGTGAGTCGCCGCCGCGTCGCGCTGCGCGAAGATCGCGGCCCACCTCTTCCGGCTCTCGGCGCGCCGCCTCCTTCTTATCACCTTCCGGCGCCAGTGCGTCTGCAGTAAACAGGCCGCGTCCCGCCGCGCCCGGGCCTCGCCCGCGAGGGCGCGGTCGCGCCGGCCCCACGCCACGCACGCGAGGAGCGCCGCGTCGCAGTCGGCCCTGGCGGGGTCCGCGTCACCTGCGTGGAAATCAAACTTCACGGCACTCCCTTCATTGAATCTGTTTGATGGCGTGACCTGACTCCCACGCCGCGCGCGACTGGCCGGGTCGCCGCCCCGCTCGACGGTCCCGAGCGCCTCCAGCGCCGCGACGGCCTGAGTTAGTAGGTCCGCGTCCAGATGCGTGAGGATCGCGTCCCTCGCCGCGTCGATCAGCAGCGGCAGGTCGAAGCGATTGCGCCCGAGCAGCGCCTTGCGCAGCTCGGCCGGCGCCTGGCGCGCCGCGTCGGTACCGCTCGACTGCGCGTGCACGAGACCGACGTACCGCCTCACGACTAAATTCAAACACTTCAAATCTGCTGCCTCGAGCGCCTCGGGGTCTCGCTCCGGAGCATGACTTCGACCGTCGCCCGGCGTCAACCCCAGCAGCACCGCGAACATCTCAAGCCGCGCGTGCCGCGACCGCGCGGTCGCGTCGCGGCACGTCGCGACGACCGCGCGCAGCTTCTTCACGGCTAGGTTCCGCATGCCGAAGCGCCGCACGCAGGCCGTCATCGCGAGCGTGCGGAAGGGCTTGGCTGCGGCCGCCGCCGCGACGAGCGACGCGACAAGCGCGTCGCCGCGCGCGCGCGCCTCGTGGACCGCCGCGGTCACCTGTGTGGAAATCAAAATTTCACGGCGCCTTCGTCGCGTCGACCTCCACGCCGTCGATGCGACGCCTGCTCGATGGCGGAGCACCCGACGCACTGGTTGATTTCCACACAGGCGGTCACGTCCGCTCTTAATGCTTCTTCAAGTAATGCGGGGATGAGCTGCAGGGCCTGCTGGATGGGCATACCTCGCACTGCGTGTTTCCCGTGCCCGCGTCCGTGGTGGTGCGCTAGGCCGAGCTCGTGGTGCTCGCGCGCCCGCCGCGCGCGCGCCTGCTTGTGGAGCCTCCTTCTCCTCTTCTCGTGCGCGTCGAGCGAATGTCGTTTCCTGTGTGGAAATCAAAATTTTACGGCGCGTTCGTGCTGAATCGCCGCGTCGTCCTCCACGCCATCGACGCGACGCCTGCTCGATGGCGTGGCGATGCCGGTTCCTCGCCGCTCGACCGAGCCAGGACAGCCGCGTCATCGCCGAGAAATGACTTAGTGAAGAATTGTCGGGTGCACCCGACACACTGGTTGATTTCCACACAGGTCGTTTCCGGCGCCTCTGTCCGAACCCGTCCTCGTCGTCCTCCTCCTCTGAGTCGTCTCCTCCTCGCAAGAGCGTCTGCGTCTCCTTGTCCGCAACGTCGGGAACCATCCTCAGCAACCACTGCGCGTCCGTTTCTCCATGTAGAGGCGCCGCAAGCGCGACCCTCCGCCGCCATTGCTCGTCCGACTCGCCCTCGGCCGGCAGCCAGCAGACGTAGCCGCCTTTGCGGAGACGCTCCTGGTACTGGTCATCAGTCTCGTCGTCGAGCCGCGGCGGCGGCGGGCCCCAGCCCCGGACGATGTCGACCACGTCGTCCGGCGACGCCACTGCTACTACCTCGCCGTCTCCGTCGAACTGCGACGCTAGCGTGTCCAGGAACCCCCCTTCCTCTTGCTTGGGCGACGGCAATTCCTCGATCTTCTCGCTCACGATGTCCCCGAACGACACGTTAAAGTCCTCCTCGACCATCTCGGCCTGTGAGGAAATCAAGTTCAAGCGCCCTTCAATATGGGGTCTCTCGTGGTCTGCGCGAGATGCTGCTCGCTCTACGCGGTCGAGTGTATCCCTCGGAGGTCGTGTCCGAGTTTGGGCCGAAACCAGGGCCGCGGTGCCGAGATAGCGAGACGCGAATAATTGATAACCTGACTCACTGGTTGATTTCCACACAGATCTCAGCCATCGCCGCGTCCGTCGCGACCGCGTCGACGCCCGTCTCATACCCCAAGGTGAAGTTCTCCTTCCCCGTGCGCATCGGTTCCTGTTCCACCGTCGCCCAGGCGAGCTCGACCCTATCTTGTCCAACAGCACCCTGCAGCGCGTCCTTCAACACCGCGGCGCAGGCCTGGCGTCTTCTGGCATTCTTGATGGCTACCAGTAGCCAGGCTCTCATGTAAAGCTTGAGGCGGAGCCTTCTCACAACTTTCGCGTGGCGCACGTGCAACCGCCACGCCCTCAACGCCCGGTTCTTCGCCACCTGATCATATTTCCGTCGCCACCGCTCGACGACCTCCCTATTTCGGGACGCCGTCGCCTTGCACGCGACTAATCGCGCTTTGAGTTGAGAAGCCACATCGAACCAAGGCGTCGCTCGCCCCAGCGTCGCCCGCGTGACGCCTCTGCTTAATTCCGGGGCAATTATGTGATCATAATCGGCAAAGACGCATCGTAGCTGCGTCTCCGTGAGCAACCTCGTGAAATTCCCGAAGCGTCGGTACAGCGTCGTGAGCTTCAGCAATAAATCTCCCGAGACGGCCGCCATGACGGCGTGCGGCTTGGCGTCGCCGTCCAACATGAGGGCCTCGCGTAACCGTAACTCGCCGTAGATCGCCAGGGACCGCGCGCCGCCCGACTCGTTATGTAAGGACGTGTGCCACGACTTGAGCTCCGCGTGGCTCAGCGTCGAATCGGGGACATAGAACGGCGCCGTCTCGAAGGTGATGTGCGACATGTCGTCGTCCATCGATTCGAGCGACGGCGTGCGGCCTCGATGTAGCGCGTGCTCGGGCGACGTCATGCCGTGATGCGCGGTCGTACCGTAGGCTTCCAGGGATTTCAGTGATGGCGGGCCGCGCCGCCGTCGATACTTCTTCCGCTGTCCGGGGCTCGCGGGACTCGTGACGGAGAAGTTGTCCGTGAACATGGTGGCCTGCCTGGTCTGCGGCTCTGACGGTCTGCTGGTCCTGCTTGTCTGCTGGTACTACAGCTGTGCTCGTGGCTCGTGTGGCTCCTTGGGCCTTGTGCCCTGGCTTCTGCGATCGCGTGCGTGCGTCGAGCAGTCCCTGGGCTCGTCTCAAGGACTTTTTGTGCTCGCTCCCGTTGATGGGGCAGCCTTTCAGGCCATCAAATGGCAATCAGCGCCTGCTCTCCGGCCTGCTCTGCCGGCAGGGATGTTTTCAAGTCGCACCACTGTCGTAGGGCGGGAGAAGGATCAAATGACGCGTGCGACTGTTGCGTCAGGCTTCACGAAAACCCGTTCTGTCAGCGTGATCCGCGGCAAGAGCAAGCAGTTTAAGGCACCAGTAGGCCCGCAGACGGTGCGAGGAGGTGAATTCGATCACACACCGCTGCAGCGAACGCGCATCGACGCAATTTCAATCAGTGCTTGCCGCTACGGCCAGTTTGCATCGGAGAGCATCTGTGGCAGCAAGGCAGATCGGCGTGCGATATCGACGCCGTGGACGCGTTGACGTCGCATTGATCACTGCGGCAGCATGTTGGCAATGCGTATCGCGTCGCGAGTTGCGAGGACCGCCATACGCGCGCGGACGCCGCCGGCGCTGCGCAGCCGCACCATCACAACTACCGCAGCGGTCTGCACCGAGCTCGGCGCGCCGCTCACGGTCCGCGACGACTGGACCCTCGCGGCGCCGGGCCCGGGCGAGGTGCTCGTGGAGACGCGGGCGGCGGGCCTGAATTTTGCGGAAGTGCTCCAGACGAAGGGCCTGTACCAGGAACGCCTGGAGCCGCCCTTTGTGCCGGGAAACGAGTGCAGCGGTACTGTCGAGGCGGTGGGTGCCGGCGTCGCCCACGTCAAGGCGGGCGACGCGGTCATAGCGTTACCGCGCGGCGGCGCCTGGGCGCGCCACTGTGTTGTTAGTGGCGCTGCCGTCGCGCCACTGCCGAAGCCCCCATCGAGCGACGCCGAGTGGCGGCAAGCCGCTTCATTGGCAGTCGCCTACGGCACGGCGGACATGGCGTTACGACGACGGGCGCGTATGAGCGAAGGCGAGACCGTATTGATAACGGCGGCGGCGGGCGGCGTGGGACTAGCTGCGGTGGAACTCGCGGCGCAGGCGGGCTGCAACGTCATCGCGGCGACGGGCTCGCCCGAAAAGGCGGAAATTGCGCTGGCCGCGGGCGCGGCCGCGGCGGTGTCCTACGGCGACGACCCGCGCGCCTTCCGCGAGCACGTCAAGGAGCTGGCGCCGGGCGGCGTCGACGTCGCCGTGGATATGGTTTGGCTGCGGTGCGGAATATGACAGTCGCGTAGTGGAGTGATCTCATTGATCCCTACACAGGTGGGCGGGCCGCATCTGGAAGCGATCGTCCGGTCGATGGCCTTCGACGGGCGATGCGTGGTCGTGGGCTGTGTAGAAATCAAGCAGTGAGTTAGGTAATGGAGACCTTCGTGACCTCCACGCCATCTAGAAGACGTAGTTACGGGGACAATATCGCGTCGATGGCGTGAGACGCCCGAAATTTGATTTCCACACAGGTCGTGGGCTTCGCGTCGGGGGACATCCCGAAGGTCCCGGCAAATTTGTTGCTCGTGAAGAATTGTTCGCTGGTGGGTTTGTACTGGGGCGCGCACGCCAAGGCCCGGCCGGACGCGTTCCGCGAGTCGCTCGGGCGCGTTTCGAAGATGTGGGCCGACGGACTTATAAATCCTCGAGTCGGCCTCGCGCTGCCGCTGCGCGAGGCCAACGCCGCCGTCGCAGCTCTAGCGGGCCGCAAGTCGACGGGAAAAGTCGTACTCACAATGGACGATTAAGTAGTATACCCTGACAGGTCCCCCCGCTCCAAAAACGGCACCACCCGCTCATCCGCCACGCCCCCGAACCCCCGGCAGACCACGAACGCCTCGCCCGACCGGTCCCTGGATGAGGGTGGCTTCGCGACGGCCACGTCACTAAATCGGCACCGCAGCCGATCCACCAGCAAATCGCACTCGCTCCGGAAGATCTTGGCGACGAAGCACCCGCCCTCCCTCAAGTTGGTATCACAAACGCGCGAAGCAGCATACAGCAGAGCATCATGCGCGTGCTCGTCGACGTCGTGTAAACCAGAGACCTCGGGCGCGCCGTCGCAGATGATCACGTCGGCCTTTCCAGCACACGCTTGATTTATGCTAGAGAGCGTCTCGGGTGACGTGATGTCGCCCTGGAGGACAGTGACTCCATCAAGGGGCTGCATGGCCTGCACGTCGACGGCCACGACCTTGCACGCGGCGCCGCATCGTTGTCTCAGCACCTGGCACCAGCTGCCCGGCGCCGCGCAGAGGTCCACGACGGACTTCGCGCCTCTCAATAAACCGTAGGCGTCGTCAATGTCCATGAGCTTAAAGGCACTTCGGGCGCGGTAGCCCTCATCCTTGGCTCTCCGGTAGGTCGTGCAGGCCCCTCTCGCTGGTTTTTGGGGCATGGCTGAGGCCTTCTTTTCGGTGTAGTGCTGCAAATATGCTGTGCCGTGGACCGTACGCCCAGTGGCGTAAAGCTAAGCTGCAGCACTTTAGCAGAAAACGTGCTTGGCGCGGCAGCGCTGCAAATTGCAGCCTGAGCGTGGACGGTAGGTGCCGTTGAGCTGCTTGGAGCCCCGTACGCGCTTGCAGTCGATCTACGCAGCTCACGGAGCTAGCGTCGCGTGAGACACTAGCAGCTTGGTGCTGCTGCCTGGCAGCACGCGCTCGCGTACGTATCACGCCGTGGCGGCAGCTCAGGCTTTTATTGGCAAAAGCACAGTGATTGCGAGCTGTCTAGCGCACGCCATCGCTGCGGCACAGACTACAAGCTCGCAATTTTGCTCGGAGAGCAGCTGCATCTCGGAGAGCACTGGACAGGACAGGTTCAGCGATTCGGCATTAGCCACACTGATAGCGTCACGCACTGCTTTGCTACCTCAGTGCCATTTGCACGGCGTAAAAGAGACAATGCTCGCTACCCTCGCAAAACGCGGTCCGGGCCTCGGCGCGGCAGTGGCGACGGCGGCGGGCGGCGTGGCCGTCGCCACACAAATGCCCGAGAGCCTGCACATCAGCGGCATCCCGTGCTCGCTCGTCCTCGGCGCTGTCGCGAACAACCTCGCGCCGGCGAACATCAGGCAAGCTCTCCAGCCGGGCGTCAAGTTCGCGACCACAACGGTGCTCCGCGCTGGCATCGTCGCGGTCGGCGCGAAGCTCTCGGCGACCCAGGTCCTCGCGCTCGGCTGGACGACCGTGCCCGCGGCCTGCGCGAGCGTGGGGGCGGGCCTGGTCGCTATTCCGTTACTCGCGAAGGGCGCGGGCCTGCCGCCGCGGCTCGGCGCGCTGCTCGCGGCCGGTACCTCGATCTGCGGCGTCACCGCAATAGGGGCCACTGCCCCAGCCATCGCCGCGACGCAAGCCGAGGTCGCGGTGGCTGTCGCGAACGTGGTAGCGTATGGCATCGCGGGCATGCTGGCCTACCCCCACGTCGCGCGGCATCTGTTCCCTCACGAAGACTCGAAGAATATTGGACTGTTCTTGGGCCTCGCGGTGCACGACACGGCCCAGGTTATGGGCTGCGCGGCGTCGTATGCACAAACATATATGGATGAGGCCGTGGTGGCGGCCGCCGCCGTTGCTAAATTAACGAGGAATTGCTTCCTCGCCGGCGTCGTCCCGCTCATGGCGGCGCGCCACGGCGCCACGGCGGGCATCGCGACTAAAGCGGCCTTCCCGACCTTCGTGCTCGGGTTCGTGGGGGCCGCGGGCGTGCGCACCGCGGGCGACGTCTATTTCGTCGGCGACGACGCGACGCGCTGGAAGGAGGGCGCGAATTTTGTAGGAGGCGCCCTCGGGACGAAGTGCCTCCTCGCGACGGGCCTGGCGGGCGTCGGGCTGTCCGTGGACGCGTCCGCGTTCCGAAGCGCGGGCGTGCGGCCGTTCCTCGTCGGCGGCGCGGGGGCAGCGATTGTGGGCGGGGTCGGCCTCGCTTCGGCGCAATTACTTTCGCGGTTGAGGCCTGAGTAAGTTTCCAAGTCTTAACTACACGGCTATATCGCGTCAGGCGAGCATGTCCTCGAAGACGCTCCCCCCGAGCGCCTCGGCGAGCTCGTCCCAGTTGGCCACGACTTCAGACAAAGGCAGCGTCGCGTGGACGGCGTGCGTCGACGCCGCGGCCCGGTTCCGCACGCGCTCCGGGTCCGGCGCCTTCCACAAATCGAGCTTCACCATCATTTCGGACCAAAGCTCCACGTGGTGTGGCGCCGCGTCGACAACAGGCGGCCTACGCGCCGCTCGTCTCGGAGGCCGGGCCCGCCGAGTGAATCGATCGATCTTTCTTGTACATCTCCGCCTGCGCAAGGCGGACGCTTCTCTGTGAACGTAACTGTATTTGGAACAACCCCTTTGACGCCATCGACGCACACACAACAGTCTTACTCCGCGAGCTCGTCCGCGATCCGATCCGCGACCAGCGCGTCGTCCTCGGGAAACATTCCCTCCATCTTCTTCCCGAAGCGCACGAGCGTCGCCCTTAGCAACGAGCGGATGATCGACTGGGCCCGTCTACCCTCCACGATGGCATAGATGGCCCGCGGCGTCCGATACGTAATTTTCACCTCGACCTCCGTGCCATCGGCAACGGGCGTGAAGGACGCCGCCCCATAATTCTCGGTCCCCGCCTTCGACGTCCACCGGAGTAGTTCGGGCGGCCGTTCCTCCAAATTCTCGGCCGTCCATCCCACGGACACGCCTTTAAAACCCATGCGCCACTCGCTCTTGCGCGTCGCCTCGTCGAAGGTCACTTCTGAGAGTAAAGGGCACCACTCGGGCATGCGCGTCAGGTCGCTGTACGCGGCGTAGCACTCTTCCGGTGTGGCGCGTACTCGGACAGTAGCAGCCGTATCCAACCACCGTTCGAGCTCCTCCGGCGGCGGCGCTTTTCGTCGTCGTCGTAGCGTCGGCAGCGTGAGGGCTTGCGTCGAGGCGAGGACGCAGAGCGCGGCGCGGCGTCGCATCGTTGCTGCTGCAGCAAGGCGGCTTGCAGAGGCTGGAGGATTAAGCTAGCGCTCGCAGCGTTGGCCAGCACGCCAAAGCAATAAAGAGATTCTCGAATCGCCTTGTTCAAATCGTCTGTCGATGGCGGATGGCACTTGCGCCGCTGATTTGCGACAAGTCGGCAACTCGGTATGGTATAGGGTATGGTATGGTATATATGTGGTGGTGTTTTCGGAACCCATCGCCAGCCACCCCTACCGTAGCGAGGCAGGGCTCGAAAGCAAGCATAGAATTTCCGAATTAAAATATATCACACACCATATCCAATTTAAGTTTTCGGGTGCGCCAACAGGGGAGCTCAAAAAACACGCCGCGCGACGCACGTGAGACGCCACCGCGCAGCCCACGGGCCCGCCCCACCCCCCAACGACCTACACAAGCCCCAGAAGCAGCCCCCGGACCGCACCGATGGCGGACAAGGCCCCGCGGATGAACACGACCAACCTGCCGCGCCACGAGACGCGCTGCAACGGGGGTTCAGTATCACTGGTGTCGCGCTACGCCGTGATCAAGAACGTGCGCCACAACAAGCGCAAGCGCATCACCGTCTCAGCTTTTGATCAGCGGTCCCAAATTCCCGTCATCGTGCAAAAACGCATCGACTGGGGCACGGAGATGACCAACTTGGATGAAGCTAGAAGGATCGCGCGCGAATTGCGCATCCTAAAGTATTTGCGGGGTTTTGATGGTATCTGTGCGCTGGTCGATATCATTCAGCCGAGTGATGATGCCTGGACGGATTTGTACACTATTCATGAGTACGGAGGCGTGCCCATGACGCGGTACATAAATTCGAAGCATCCGCCAACCCCGAGACATGCTAGATACTGGTGCTACCAGTTGTTGCGGACTCTGAAATTTATGCACGCGGGCGGCGTCGTGCACGGCCACATCTGCCCGGAGAAGATCTTGGTGAACGCGATGAGCGCCGATATCAAATTAAGTGATCTGGGCAGGTGTGTGGTCGAGGGCTGTTCAGTGGCGGGCTCGTACAACATGTCCTACATGTGTCCCGAAGAACTTGTGGTGAAGCAGCAGCCGTCGGCCAAGGGCGACGTCTGGGCCGCGGGCTGCGTTTATGCGGAATTGCTGGAGAAGAAGGGGCCTCTGTTCCAAGGTTCTTCCCACAAGGAAGTGCTGGCCAAGATCTGCGCGCGCGTCGGCCGACCCTCCGAAACTTTGTTAAGGGACATGATCTACGGCGACACGCCCATGCACCAATTCGTACTCGCGCAAGACCCCGTGCCCGGGCTACCTACTGGAGATAGCACCTCCCCTTACTTCCGCGCGGCGTTCAGTATAGCGGACGCCGACGCCGACGCGCTCCAATGCATCGCGGCGACCGTAAGGTTCGACCCTAGAGCGAGGATGACCGCGGAAAACGCTCTAGCCTCATTAAAGCTCTTCCAGGCGCGGCGGAGCGACAGCGACCCTTGTTTACACAACCCGCGCGACGAACCTAGATTAGCTTGCAGCGCCTACCACGAGTCCATGGCGTCGCGCGACGCGCCCGACGCCGCCGGCGTCAAGGTTTGTGTGTGGACGGAGTGCGTGCACCACAACCCGTCGGCGACGGGCGGCGCGCCGCCGCCGCCGCCGCCGCGCGCGCCGCCGCCGCTGCCGCCGCTGCCGCCGCCTGTTCAAGCGCCGGCGCCGGTGCCGCCGGTCCCGGGCTCGCGGCAGGTGAAGCAGGTCGTCCTCGTCGATACAAGGGGCGGGCCCGTCCCCTGCATGGTCGTGCCCGGCGGCGTGCGGCCCATCCAGGTGCCGCCAAACACATTACACCAGATGGTGGCCATCCGCGAGCGCAAGCGCCAAGAGGCGCGGGCGAGAGGCGAGGCGCCGCCGGTGATGCCGCCGCCGACTATATTGGTCCCGCCGGGCCAGGCCGCGCCGCCGGGCACCGTCATGATGACGGGCCCGCCGGCCGCGCCGCCGCCGCCGGCGCAGCGCCTGCCGGCGGCCTTCGCGCCGTAGGCCTTCCCCTTCTCCCCCTCCTCTTGGGCGTGTTAACACAAATTCGCTTACTCAGTAGCGAGGGTTCCAGAACGCGAGCACGCGCCACGCGATCTCGTTCGGCAGGCTCCGCGCGAAGAGCCGTGCGAGGTGCGGCGGCGTCGACAGCTTGGCCTTGGCGCGTTTGCGCGCCAGGAGCGATCGGAGGCGCAGGAGCTCCTTCGGCGGGACGAGGCAGTACTTCTGCCAGGGCGTCAGGCGCGTCGACGTCGACGTGGACTGAGCCGCGCGCACGGCCCTCGCCAGCTCGAGAGCGTCGTTGAGGTAGGGCGCGTCGCCCGTGTAGCCCGTAGCTACCGGCTCGATCAGCGCCTCGAGGCTCGTCAAACTTCCCTCGTGAAGAAAGTCGAGCGGGTGCCCGCCCCGTAAGAGATACAGCATGCACTCGTACATGCAGCGGAGTTGTGCATCCCCTGTCCGCCCCATCCTTTCTGCAAAAGCCCGCCAATCCCCCAAGAAAACAAGTGATATGGGCTGACTGGCGGGGAAGTCCCCCGTAGGACCTCTAGTTACCAGAGTCACATCAGCGCCGCCCCGCACCAGAATTTGCAAGAGCCCCGTACAACTGAGTATACACGCATGGTGTAGCTCTGTCGGACCGTCGTGTTCCGGGTCAAACCTTCGGTCAACGTTCGCTCCGGCTGTTACTAGCAGCTGCACGAGTTCGAGGGCAGCTGCACTGTCCACTTGTTCCATCATAGGCAAGGCTGCGAGTTGCAACATTGTTTGGTCCTCATCGTCAACGTCGTCCACGCGCTCCGGGTGCTGCGCGAGGAATCTCCGAACGGCGTCTACGTCTCCGTCAATTGCCGCCCTGGCAATTTCGTTAGGCAGGACCATAGCTACGACGGCGCGACGACAGGTGCGGCACACAGTCAATGCTTAGGTCAATTTTTTTTTTAGGTCAATGCTTGAAAACTATCAATGGTCCTCGACTCACGGCGCTTCGGCGCTCTCCGACAGCGAGATGCCCCAAGGCCAAGAACGCTCTGTTCCCCTCCCGACGCGGATGGCCGATGCGCGTGAGCCGGGCAACACGTGAGCTAGCGGCCTGTAAGACACTAGCGAACAGCCTCGACACTTGCCATGCTGCAAGCAAAAGGCAGTCCCAGACGCTGTCGAGCAGCGTCGTAACTCCATTTGTGGCACATCGATCAGGGCCGGCCGCGGCGCCATCGCTGCGTGACCGTAGCGGCGGGAGCAAGGCAGCGAGAGTGCAGCGCTGAGACACGATGTCCAAGCTCGCCTTCGACTACAGCAAGTGGGACAACCTGGACACGGACGACAGCGACGCCGAAGAGCCGAAAGCACCGATCCAGGAGGACGACGCCCAGCAAAAGGGCTGGCGGCCGCACGCCGACCCGATCCTCCAAGTGAAAGATCTGTCGAAATTTGTGATATCCTACGAACTCGAGGCCGTCTTCGATGCGCAGGCTTTTGATAAAGGCACTCCACGCGCCAAAAGAGCATTACGGGCCGTCCTCAAGGGCAACCTCGCGCGCCTCGACAGTACGTTAGCGTGGGACCACGATCGGGCCGAGGACGCCTTTTTGAGGGACATCAAGCCGAACGTTTCCACAACAGAGTGCTGCTACATCTTGTTCCGGACGAAGACGTGGGCTTTATTTGTCTGGGCCCCTAGCAATCACGTCGACGCGGACGCGTATACCTCAAAGGCGCTGCAGTTGAGGGAGGCGCTGGGCGGGTCCATACGGATCCCGAACGTCTTTTCCTGGTTCAAGCACGAGGACGTCGTGTTAGATAAGAGCGTCACGGACGCGCCGGCCTTATCTTTATCAATAGAACAGGCCGGCGGCGTCGAGGGCGTCGTGCCTCCGGCGGAGCGGTCCAAGGGCGCGGCCGTGCCGAAAAACGTGCCGGACCCGCCGGCGCCGCGGTCGGCGCTCTGAGTTAAGTTGTTGTGCCTAGCGTGTCTACCCGTCATTGGTTGTGCGCGGTTCCCGCGACGGCCGGCGCGTGGTTACGGTACTATACCTCTAGTGTAGAAGCCTCTCGGAGCCGCACGAAACCCCGGCTTCCAAAGGGCTCGCGTTAAATCCGTGCTAGCGGCCGGTAAGACACTAGCAAGCCGCAGCGCCGCGCGATTTCAGCGCTGTTCAGGCCGGGAGAGCGCTCAAACGCGGTCCCGCAACGCGCCGCGCCGCGCGGGCAGCCCCCTGAGCCGCGCCCAGCCGTCGCGCGCACAAGTGTGGGCAGCCCAACCACCAGCAAAGCAACACCGATGGACTGGAATGAGGGAGACGATTTTGACGAGGAGGAGTACGCCGACCTCTACGCCGACGAGGACGAGGCGGTCGAGCTCGACCTCCAGCAGGATATCGAGTCCGAGGCCGAGTCCGTGGATTTGAGCCGCTTCGAGAGTTCGGCAGAAAAAAACGTGTTCTCCAGGAGGAACCGGATTTGGATAAGACGAGCTGTTTCTAAACCGAGACGACACCGAAAAAGCGATGAAAAAGGCGACTGGAGCGAAAGTGCATTCCCAGACGCATTAGATGATTTCAGAGACCAAGACCGCAATGCAGAAGCGTTTGAGGCTCTCAGAAGCTCGGCGCGGGACAAGGAGGTGCGGAACTTCCTTGTAGTGGGCGCACGTGGCAGCGGCAAGACCGCCGCGTGCGTTGCTTACGTCAAAGACTTCGCGAGACCTGACGCCGACCCGAAGGCCGAAGGCGCGCGGCGACGGGCGAAGAAGCTCGCGAAACTAAAAATGAAGGACGGGAAATTACCTTTACTAAGGCTGACGCAGGACGACGTGCGGAACGCGGCGGAGTTCGAAAGTGCCTTCGCGAAGTTTGTGAGAATGGCAGATCGGGACTGCGGCGAGAAATGTACGAAGTTCGTCATTCTGGACGGGTTGGACCAGTTGCTCGGCAAGGAGCAGCAGTTGATCTACAAGATCCTGAAGGAGTCGCACAAGAAGGTCGGCTTTTTGCTGACTGGGAGTTCCGAACGGAGGATCCTGGACAAGTTCAAAAAGAAGTGCGAACTGCTCCACATGAAAAGTTTGGATCCGCGGGATGCCTTGGACGTGTTTCTAGGTGTGGCGCAGGACAAGAAAGTAGGGTTTGATAGGCCAGGCGCTTGCATGTTATACCGCGACAAGAGGTGCGCGGACATGTCTCTGGGACTGGCTTTGCGCATGCTGCAACGGTGTTTTGTCAAGTGGGATTTTGTGAGTGAAATGAACGTCACGAAGGAGTTCTGCCCCGAGGCGTTTATCGCGCCGAAGACGATCCAAGCGGGTGCTGCGATGGGCGTGCCGGCACCGCGGTGTCCCATCTGCACGCTACCGATGCCCTGCGCGCACTGCGACGAGCAGGAGTTGGCGTCGCAAGGTTTGGAGCGGAGGGAGGAGTTACCTCGATACGAGAACGCGCTGGCTTGTCCCTGTTTTGTCAAATATGGCTATTGCCGCGTCTTCAACGAGTTCGGGCACTGCTCGCTGGACCATCCTAGGGATCGCCATGATGTGATAAAGCCACCCCTAAAATGTCCGCAGTGCACGATGGTCTGGCCGTGCCGCCATTGCAACTTTACACGAGCTCGTGATGAGCTGCTCGAGACCGTCAAACGGGCGCAGAGGTGGTTCTCGCGGTATAATAAAGATAAGGTTTTACTGAGGCGGGCCGCGGACCGGTACAAGGAGAAATTAGACGAAGGTGCGGAGCTGGAGGAGATAGATTTTGAATTAATGGACGATGAGGCAGACGCCGTCGCTGCGGCTGCTGAAGACGCCCAGGAGTTCTATGATACGGAGCTCTGTGTCGTCGAGGAGGAGTACCGGGCCTTCACGGACTGTATTTACTCGTTACATCGGGTCGTGGGCGACAAGATCAACAGTTTTTTACCCGTCATTTCCAAAGAGGTAGCGGCCAAAAAGACGATCCACAGCGATGCGATGCTGCGCATGCAGCTTGAATATTTGTGCTACATCGACCAGGACCCGCCGAAGCCGACGACGCCCAAAACCACGATTCGGTTGTCGCGGACGGCTAGAGCTATTCGATCGTTCTCGCCGTCGCGACAGGGGACGCCGGGGGCGCCGGTTGTGTCCTGGGACTAAGTTTTGTTTGTGTGAGGTGCGCGTCGGCGGCGTTTCTGGGAGGCGTTTGCTGTGAAGCGCCCAGCGAAACCCGTGCCTGTACGTTTGGCGCGTCAATTTTTTGCTAGTGCCTCACTCGCTAGGTTAATCGTGTCCTGGGGGCTCCGACTTGCCTCCCGCGCGCATACGTTGCCGAAGATTCAAAAGAGCAGCGCTTCGGCGGCTCCCGGAGCGCTACAGGCAATACCTGAGCCGTGCGCCCTGCCGCGCTGCGATACAGGCAGCCCCACCCTCGCAGCCATGCCCCCCAAGGGCGTCGACCAACCCGCAAGGGAAGCCATGACCACTAAAATCGCCCAACGATTAAATTAACTACAATGCTTTCCGGCCAGAATATGATTGAAGCCGCGCGCCAGATCGAGGCGAAGTGCTACGACAGCGCGAAAGACGCGACAGACTACAAGAGAAAAGTCGAGAAACGCCTCGCGAAGGCCGCCAAGGCCCTGGAAGCCTCCCAACGGCCGTCCATGTCCGAACCGTCGGACACGGCCCCTCTCGAGAAAAAACAAGCCCTCGCGCGGAAGAGGAGTCGGGAGGACGCGGCGCCAGAGTGGAGGGATTTGCTGCGGGCCGCGCGGGATTCCGATTCCGCGCGGGATTTGCTGCGGGAGCACGGCGCGACGCTAGAGTGGTGGCGCGGGGCGCCTGCAGTTATTGGCCGACGGTTGCGCGCGATTATTGACGCCGCGACTCAAGCTGGATCGGTGGGCGACGAAGCTCGAACGTGGGCTTCCGGAGCGTTACAAAAGGTCGAGAAGCTCGAGAAGGCGGCTACTTCGCTACTCAAGCAATTGGAGGCGCGGAGCGGCAACTTGGCGGAGCTTCGCGGGTATTGTACGAAGCTGAAGGAGTCGAAGGCGGAACTGGAGTCCAAATTGGATAAATTAGCGCCGCTTCTTGGCTGGCGCGACGTGCCAGCACCTGTACAGCTCGTGGTCTGCGGCTACCTCGATTTGAAGGCGCTGGGCCGCCTCGAAATCTGCGGTCGAAACTTGGACGCGGTGCGCGCCTGGAACACGAAGGCCGCCGGCCTCGCCCGCGGCACTCTCGGCGACCTATCGACGAAGCAGTTTTTGCGCGCCCAGACGCGCGCCCGGGCGCTGCTGCCGCCGTCGCTCGGTGGCAAAAGTCCATTCCAGTTCGGCACGCACTGGCGGCCCGTGAGCTTCGACGAGTTCGCCTTCACCATCGTTGTCACGTGGATTGAACCCGGCAAGCCCGAGAGATCTTTCGCAGAGTTCCCCTTCATGCGACTCCGAACCCATAGTGAGCTGGGCGATGTCAATCTTTCGTGCGGCGTGTTCACGTTCTTTCCGACCGCCGGGGCAGAACACGAAGCCTTCTCAGCGTGCCTGAGACGTGTGTCTCAGGAAATGGCGGAGGACGGGAATGGAGCCGGTGCCGATTTCCCGGGCCGAGTGCTTGAACAGTTGGAACCGAAGGCTTATCTGACCTGCACCCGGCGACGCGACGGGGCGGCGACGCGAGTGGGTCTGTTTAGTAGTATCGGTGCCGTCAACGAACATGTGGCTGACGAAGAAACCGAGGGGAGCCTTTACTTCGGCGAGGGAAAATTGCTCCTAACACCAATTGGAGCCCATACTTCAGACGTACACGAGGTTCCAGCGCTCGAGATAACACTGACCATCATCTGGGACGCCTCCAGCGGGCGGGTGCGGGGGTTTGGTTGCTGGCTCTACGTGAATGGCGAGAATGGTGGTGAAGAGCTTCCGGAAGAAACGTTCCTCGCCCTTCTCCGCGCGCGGCTCGACGAGTCGGTGCGAAACTAGGACATAAGATATACAATCATTGGTCTTAGGCGCTCTGCGCGTCGACGTGCTCCGCGATGCGCTCCACGAGGTCCTCCTTCTTCCCGCTCTTCTTCAACCCCAAATCGCCGCAGCACGCCTTGAGCGCGTCGTTCGTGTGGTTCTTGAGCTTGTCCCGATCACACGGCGCCGTCAGCAGCGCCTTGTCGACGAGGACTTTGATATCCTTGGGAGCAGCGACGCGTCTTTTTTTAGCTACCGGTTGCTCCTCAATTTCCTCGGGTAGCGATGACGCCACGGCCTCCGCCGCATTCACTAATTCCGTGTCCGCGCGTGACGGCCGCAACGCCTCCGCTCTCGTTTTCACCTTCTGGACCGCGCTATCATCAAGTCCGAGCGCGAACGCTTCTAGGGCGGCGTGCTGGCTCCGCAACGCATAGTTCGGCACGCCCGCGTCGACGTCGACGGGGCCTCCCGGCACACAGCGCGCCTGCAGGGCATTGACCAACGTCGACATGCTCCGATCCAGCTCGGGAGCTGGTGGGACTTCATCTGGTAAAGGTACGCTCCGCAGCTCGTCATCAAATGGTAATTCAATCAAACCGAGCCCATCATCTCTAGCTTGCAGAGCGACGAGCTTCGGGCCCCGCCGCCGCGCCGCCGACCGTTTCGGGATGTACCTCGCCAGCGCTACCAAGTTCTTTTCTCGTAACGAAGCAGCAAAGGCCTGCACCACAGCTGAAGATCCAGGTGCTTCGGAGTCGTCGGGAGACAACGCACACGGACTCGAACCGGGGTTCTGCACTCGTAATCCGGAAGGAAACGCGTCCCGCACGCTACAGACGCCCAGCACGCACACGGAACCCGGCTCAAAGCACTCCGCACATTCGTCCCTATCCTGCGCATCCACGACAACTCGATGCGACCGCCGCAACGCTTTCGCCGATTCCGGCTCGTCCTCTTCTTTCGGCGGCTCGTAAAAATGACCGACAGCGACATAGGTATTTACGTCAGTAGCCTTGTCGAGCTTCGCGCCCGTGACCGTATCTAACACGTCGCCCTGTGCTTTCACTCTTTGTAAGGACTCGCCGTGGACATTTGTGGCAGTTTGAGCACGTTTACACTGGTGTAGCTTCCTCAACCTCACGACGACTTTTGTAGTACAGTCATCACCTAGCGACAAATTCAATTCAACACCGGGCACGGTCTTCGCCCCGCGCATGCCGCGAGCCATTCTAGCCCGCTCCCTCCCCGCGTCGAAGACGTCGACGATCTCTAGAGCGGGCCACGCGCGTTCCTGCCACTGGTCTTGGGCATCTTGGGGCGGTGCAGATGGAATTAATATCCGAGGCTTCCAGAAGTCTTCAACAGACTCGGCCTCGCCGAAATAGTACAACTGCAACTCTCGGTCGACATCCGACGAGTCGCGCGCAAACACTTCACACGCCGCGTGCTGGTCCGCGTCGCCATCGCAGGGGTCCTTCGCTCCACTAAAAATATATATAGAATCTACAGCTGAGGGGCCCTTGGACGCATCCTCCAAGTCGCGCGCGCACCGGTCGAGGCCGTTCCTCAGTCTGCCTTGCCTCGCGTCCGTGCGGTTCCTTGGCTTCTGGGTTATCTCGTCGTCGTCTTCTAACCATTTCCGGAAAGCTTGTGGTGTGGCGCACTTTCCGGTCTTCAGCGCTTCTCCCAATGCTCTAGCTGCCTTCGCCGAGGGTGCCGCCGGCGTCAACAACGTGACCGCGGCCTCGTCGGGGCCGCAGGCCACCAGGCCCACGATGTCCCGATTCTTCTCGAGGAGCCGGGCCTTCACATAATCCAGGACCTGTCTTACCGCTATTTCGCAGCGCGTTCCTTGTTCGGTACTTTCGAAGAGCTCCGGCCGGGCGTCGAGCAGGAATAACGCTCGTTCCTGGCCGCCGTGGTGGTCGTCGCCCTCGCCCGTCGGTTCGGTGAAGTCCATCTTTTTGGCGCTGCTGTCGCCTGGCGCACTGGAGGCCTCTGCGGCTGGTCTCGCGCTGACCGGCGTACTGGGCGACGCGGCTGCTCAGGCTGCAAGTCAGCAGCGCTGATGGCCTCTACTCGAAGTCTGGCGCTTTGCTGGCGCTCCGCTGGCGCGTGAGGGTCGTTCCCGCTGCAGATCCCTGGGCTTGCTTCTAGTGTGTCTCACACGCCGCTAGCTGCCAGCATTGCGGCTAGTTTTAGGCTATCGAGACATCTGTTGTGTGTGGACCACTGCCTGCCTTTGTTCACTGCGCCACGGTACGGATTTTCGCTGTCCGGGGCGTCACGGTGCCCCCAAAAGCATCATGACGCTCCTGCGCGCTATGACGCTGCTCTCGTGGGCCGGGAGCGCCGCCTACGCGCCGCCGACGATTCAGAGGCTCCGGCCTCGCGGCCCGACGATCCAGAGGCTCCGGCCTCGCGGCCCGCGCGTAGCAGACCGCCGACGCGTGCTACGCGCGGCAAAACGCAAAGCCGACGCGGTCGACCACGACGACTTCGACGACTCCTACGCGCTCAACGACATCCGGACGAACGAGCTCCGCCTGCCGACGATGGCCGATCTAATGAGGCGCACGGACGAAGAATTGAGGGAGCGCCAGAAGGACACGTCCAAAAGGGAAGCGCTGCGGCAGAAGGCCGGCGAGTCCATCGTCGACGGCTCCCGCGCGGTCCTCGAGCAGCTCGAGGACTTGGAGTCGCACAACCATACGATATCAAACGAGTTCACGGTGGCCATCGTCCTGGGCAAGGCGCTAAAGAACTCGCGGTTGTCGGTAGAACACGCCGCGCGCTGCTCGACCTTGGTAAGACAGATGAAGGACGGCACGCTCAACCCATCGATGCTCATGTTCACGGCGTCGGCGGCGTCCATGGCGCCCGGCGCGGTGCGCGACGACGCCACCACAGCCTGCACGTACTTCCTCCACCTCTGCGAGTCCGAGGGCGTGGACGTGGACGCCGGGGCCATCCACGTGACGCACACGCCCGTGACCACCCGAGACGGCATGGGCAAAGTGCTGGAGGAGGCCATCGTGCCGCGCCTGCCTTCCAAAAGTTCGTTGCACTGCGCCTTCTTCGCGTCCGACTATCAATTAACTAGACTGGAGCGCATCGGCAGCGTGACGCCGCGCCTGTCGCTGTTTGCGCCGCTCGCCGCGCGGCGCGACGCGTACCTGAAGAATTTGACGGCGGCTCCCACAACATGGAGCCTGGTCAAGGTGTCGTACCCGCCGGGGTTGTTAACTTCCGGCGAGGACGGCGTCGCCGCGGCGTTCCTGGCGCAGCTGTACATGATCTTCGACAGCCTCGTCCCATTGCTACACAATTTCCACGCGATCGTGCTGCACGAGGAGATCCTGTGCAGGGAGTTTTACGACGATTTGCTGGTCGCCAAGGACCACATCGCCGAGCGGCTGCGGCTGGTCGACTCGCCGCTGCGGCCGAAGGCCCTGAGCCTGCGGACGACGGCGTCGACGGCGCCGGCGGACCTCGTGCGCCACGACCTCGAGACGCCGCTGGACGAGGCCCTCGAGCGGTGCGTGAAGAATCTCGGGGACCTGGAACGGTTGGTGCGGCCCGCGGCGACGCGCCTGGACTTCCTGGACGACAAGGACTGGCGGACGGCGCGGGAATTACTTTCAAGGACGATCAACGCGGCGCGGGCCGCGACGGATCCGGACCAGGCGCTGCCCTCGTCGGAGTGGGGCCGCTTGGTGGACCGCGACGCCGCCGACGATTTAGATCTGGCCGAGCTGCTCGCGCTGACGCGCGGCGAGGACTGGCGCGAGGACTCGGCCGACCCGCGGGACACGTCCTTGGTGGACACGGGGCCGCTCGTGCTGGACTACAAGACGAAGCGGGCGAAGACGAGTAGGTAGTAATCGTGACCTAGAACCGTGACCGTGACAAACAGAGTGCTTAGGCAAGTAGCTAGATGGACGTGACCTTGCCCATGGAATCAAAGGCGACGTACTCCTTGTTCGACGAGCTCGCCATGAGCGTCAAGAGGTAGTCGAGCGACGCCTTGTGCTTCTCCGACGTGAAGCCTAGTTCGTCGTAGAGGTCCTTGAGACCTGTGTGCAAATCAACCAGTGCGCCGGGTGCACCCGAAAATTCCTCACTAAGTCATTTCTCGGCAATGACGCGGCCGTCCTGGCTCGGTCGAGCGGCGAGGAACCGGCATCGCCACGCCATCGAGCAGGCGTCGCGTCGATGGCGTGGAGGACGACGCGATGATTCAGCACGAACGCGCCGTAAAATTTTGATTTCCACACAGCTTAAGACCCTGGAGTCGGGCCACTTCGACTTTCTCGTCGGCCTCGGTCACGGCGTTCTCCTTGATCTTCGAGGCCGAGGCCGTGGCCTTCTTGGCCACGGCGTCGGCGTCGTTCTCGATCTCGAGCACCTCGACCGCGGTCTGCTCGCGCACGAGCGTCGCCTCCTGGCTGTAGGCCTCCTTCGCGTTGGACTCGACCTGGATCGCTACCGCGAGGCGCGCGCTCTGGTAGTCGTCTTCTGGCTCGATGTCCCGCAGCTGGAACGAGAGCACGTCCATGTGGAGGTCCGCGATGGCCAGGCTCACGTTCCGCTGCAGCGTCGCCTCGATGAGCGGCCGCTGTGATAGATAGGAGTCGATGCCGAAGAGCGGCGCCGTGTTCCGGATCGCGTCCTGCGTCCGCGACGCCACGAGGCCCTCAAAATTTAACGCGACCATGCTGTAGAGCTCGCCCAGCTTCTCGGGTTTCAGGAGGTACTGGTACGACACGTCCAGATAGACCGTCGAGCCCGCGTCCGAGCCGGAGGATTTGGACCACACGCTCAAGCGCTCGTTAAAGTTCTGGACGTTGAGCGGGTAGCACCGGAACGTGTAGTCGGGGCCGATGCCGTAGCGGCCCGCCTCGTAGACCTCATCCCGCCAGACCTTGCCCGTGGACTTCTGGCTGCGGAGACCTGCGACGCGAGGCGCGACTGTCGGCGCGACGCGGCGGCGGCGTTCTACCGACGACGCGAGGCGCGGCGGCGCGACCGCGGAGGACGAGGCCGGCCGCCAGCGCGACGGCGCGACCTCGAAAGGCCAACGGCCGGACGCCGGCGCGGACAGCCCTGGTAGTACTCGACCTTTTTCCAGGTCATCGGCAGCAGAATGAGCATGAGGAGGACCCCCAGGGCCGACAGGACGCCCGCGCAGCTGTAGCATCCCTGGCGCTCATAGCGATCCATGGCCATGGCTGCCCCCTGGCGCTGCCGCCCGTCCCGGTGCGGCGATATGCGCGAAATTGCGCTCAATATGCTCTGGAATTGGCAGCTCTGGAGGCGTTAAAAAACCTGGAAGGTTCTGGAGTGACACCGCTGCCCCCGCGGCCGCTAGAAACCACCCTTGCGCGGAAAGGGGCTGTCGAGGCTGCTCTTGGCCGCCAGAACCACTGCGCACGACGACGCGCGCATGACCTGGCAGTGGAGGGACGGCACTGCCTGGAGAGACTTCGACCCCGGCCTCGCCGCGCAGCTGGAGCGCGCCCGGGAAGCGGGGCAGGCGACTTGCGTCTACTCCTTCCGCGGCCAGCCCTACGAGGTCGACTTCCAGCAGAATACGCAGGTGAACAAGAACACCGGCTTCGCGCGCGACGTCCGCCGTGTTTACCCTTCCTCCCCCGCGCACGCCGAGCCGGCCGTGAGCGGACGGATGGGGTTTTTATATGATGCGCGAGAAGATCTCAAAGCCGGCCTACGTACGGAAACGGGAAAGAAAATCAGCACGAGCGCCGCCTGCGGCTGCTGCCTCCTGCTCTTTATCAACCTCATCATCTGGCTCTCGATGTCGCTGCAGCAGGTCGACTCGGAGCACTACGTCCCGCGCCAGCGTCCCGGAGCTATTGGGCCCTCTGCGCCTCGCTCTACTCCCCGGCCCCCACGCACGCAGGCGATCCCCTACAACAAGCCCACGGGCCGCGTCCGGAACGAGGTCTTCGTCGAAGGGCTGCACCTCAAGCCGTCCTACGGCGAATTCATATTGTGGCCCAAGACGTATGAAACGGTGGAAGAGGTCGTCGAGTGCAACTCGGAGGACGGCGTGCGGGTCGAGCTGACGGTGCGCTACCAGTACCTACCGCGGGAGAAGAGCCTCTACAAGCTCACGAAGATGTACACGGAGCACAAAGATGATTCGGATTCGGAGTTCGAGTACATCTACGACAAGGTATTGGCGTGGCAGGCGCGCGCGGCCATCCGGAACGGCTGCGCGAAGTACGCGGCCCAGGAATTCCAGACGCAGCGCGGCCTCGTCCAGACCGAGATCTACACGTTGGTGTCGGAGCGCTTAGACCGGTTCATGCACACGGACGTCATCGACGTCCAGCTCGTCTACATCAAGCGGCCGCCCGAGTACGAGTCCGAGGTCGACGCCAAGGAGTCGGCGCGCAACGACATCGACAAGGCCAACAACGAGCGCGCGCAAGCCATCACGCAGGCCCAGACGAAGCTCCTGGCCGCCGAGACGGCCGCGAACAAGACGCTGGACACGGCGCGGACCGCGGCCCAGAACACGCTCGTCGCGGCGACGGCCGAGGCCAGCGTGCTCACGACGCGCTACGCGACGCTCGCGGCGACCTACAAGAACGTGAAGACGATCCACGGCATGTCCAACGAGGCCCTCCTGACCTACATCGCGACGCGCCTGCGGGGGTCCGTGGCCGCGACGATCAGCCTCGACGGGCCGGCGCAGACGTCGTACATCGACGAGCTCACGTGACTTTTTTTTCCGAGTAACCTTTCCTCTTACAACCACTATGCGAGCTTGTAGTCACAATGTAGTGGCCCTGGGGCGCGGCCGCTTCGATTTTTTTTCGGCGACCTCTCCATATCTCTCACAGCGATCGAGCGAGCTCCCCGGCGACGCATCCGAGCCACGAGAGGGCCGAGGGCTAGTAGATTATAGGCTAGTAGCCCATGTTTTAAATCAGGTGAACGTCTCGTAAAGGGCTGTGCAGCTAGAGCCGGTCGAGTCGCTTGCACCGACGTGCGGTCGACAGCGCGCGGCCGTCCATCGGGTTCTCCTGCGCCGCTGCGCCGGCTGCCCCACGAAGCGCGCGACGTCGTTTTGCTGCCCACAGAGCCACCATGCCCTCGACAGCGCGCCTAGGCAGAGGCGAAAGCACAATGAAGCGCCGCGACGAGAATCGAGTGGGAGAGACCGTCACGGAGCTGTTCGGTAACGAAGACCTCGACGCTCAAACTGCTTTAAAGTTGGAAGCCCTGGCGGCGCTCCACGAGCGCAAGGTCGGAGCCCTCATGAAGAGCATCAGCGCCCAGAAAGAAGAGCTCGCGAAGCTCAAGGCGGCGTCCAGGGAGCATAGACGGTCCCAACTCATCCAGGATTTGAGGAATCAAGTGCGCGAGCAGGAGTTGGCCGTTGATGTGCTCAAAGAAGCCCTAGTCGAAGGGCCGCGCGGCCAACTGACCCAGGAGGCGGTCAACGAGCTTGTTATATTACGAACGCTGGGCGGGCCGAAGCGCTTCCGACCTAAAACCAGAGAAGAGTTGCAGAACGAGTTGCTGCACAAGCCGGCGGTTGTCAAGCGGACGATTCGGAGGAGGGAAGCGAAGCCGACGCGCGCCTGGGAGCCCCAGCCTACGCGGACGCCCATCGCCGAGGAGAAGGAGTGCAAGGGTTCTGAAACTCCAAGAGTGTTGCGGGATACTGGGGACCAACCAGAGGGGTTGCCCTCCGCGGCTCACCTCCGAGAATTAGCCGAGGCGTCCGCGAAAGCAGAACAAGCGGAAGTTGCAGTGGCGAGAGCCGATCTACGCGTCGCGGAGTTACAGAGAGAGCTGGATGCGTTGCGGGCCGAGAAATTTGCGGCGGAACGAAAAGTCGACGACCTCCAGGACGACGCGTCCCGCGCCGAGGACCTGCGACGAAGGTTGGAGGAGACGCGGCGGCAGGTCAGCGAGGCGGAACGGGACTGCGCGCGCGCTGCTGGCGAGCGGGACGCCTTGCAGCTCGAATTGGAGCATGCTCGCGCTAGCAACGACGCGGATATCCACGCCCTCAAAGCGGACCTCGACGCGGCCAAGGAGGAGCTCGCCGCTGCTTTATCGCAGGAGGCCGAGTTGCAGGCCCAGTGTCGGCTCGAAAGAGAGCGGGCCTCCGGTGCTACTTCTTCGGTCAAGTCGGAGGCCTCGGCCCTTCGTAAGGAACTAGCGACGGCGGAACGGCAACTCAAGGAATCGGAGCGATCCAATGATAAATTAAGAAGGCAACTCGAGAAGGCGGAATCTGACTGCAAGTCGGAACGGGAAGCCCTGCAGCGGGACATGAAACGGGCCCGAAATGCTGAGAGGGAGGCTGCTAGGAAGGAAGTGCGGGAGCTCGAGGTGAGAGCGTCGCAAGAAAAACGGGAGCTTGAGGTGAGAGCGTCGCAGGAGCAGGATAAAGCTAGGAAAGTTTCGGATAACGACGCGGTGTCTGCGGCCAAGGCCGAGCTGCTCCAGCAGCACGTCGACGCCTTACGGGATGAATTACGACGTAAGGATGATGATATGGCGGATCAGAGAGCCACGTCAGACGCCGAGCGCCAGGCCCTCCAAGAAAAGTGCAACGCGCTCGAGGTCGAGCTCGAAAAATGTCGAGGCCAGGCTTCTTTAGACGTGCAGGCCGCCGAACGACGGGCGGACTCGCTGGCGAAGGAGGCGCGGGCGCTGCAGGCTCGGGCGGACCGGCTCGAGGAGCTCGGCGGTAACAGGAGGAGGAAGCCGGCGGCGTCGTCGTCCTCCTCGTCGTCGAAGACGCCGCGGTCCGACGACGACGACGACGAGGAGCTCTACCATACGCGCGCGGCGCTCGCCGCCCATATGCGACTGGCGGACGCGTATGCCAACCAGCATGCTTTGCAACAGGTTCCTGATGACAGAGCCGAGCAATTGAATGAAAGGGTCCTGGCTCGAGCTCGGAGGGACCTGGAGAAGGCCTTAGCTGGGTCTAGGCCTCTGGGCGCGTTCTACTCGAGGATGTTGGAAAGAATTGAATCGAAATCCTCAACAGTACCTCTATCGCGGAACAAGGGCGGCCCACCGCCACGACCTAAACCGCAGTCCCAGAAGCGCGAGCAGCGCATCCACCACGGCCGGGGCACGCACGCGGCCATGGTCGACGGCACGCCGCCTCCCGATTTGGCGCGGCTCGAGATTAGAGGAGGCCACCGGTCGTCGTCCTCCGAATCAGGATCATTGGATGACCGCTTCGACGTCGACGACGACCACCTCGACTACTCGCAGTCGTCGGTCAGCGCGAAGTCTAGTCGTACGTACGACCCGGACGCGCGTTAGAGGTCTCCTGCGTAATCATTGAGGGATAGTATTCCTGCTCGGTGGCGTGGCGGTCCACGGAGGTCTCCTGGGAACCCCGACGGCGTGGAATCGATAGGTCAAGTATACCTGCGGTATAAGTACCATACCACGGTACCGGTACACCGCATTTTCGTAATTCACGAGGCTCAAACTCGCTGCGCAACGTCACAAATTTCAGCGCGACGCGTCGACAGCAGCCCGAATTTGAACGCGCGCATAACAGCGTGATGAGGCTGCCCGAAACTGATGATGAGGCAGAAGACAGGCGCAAGGACATCCGAAGAAGGTACAAAGACGCCGGCAAGCGGCTGCGCAGCTTTGCAAGATATGGTGACCTGGCATCGGTGTTGCAGCTCTTGCCCGAAGGCGTGTACGCGTTCTGCGCAGGGTCGCACCCGCGGCTTGGCGCCGCCTCGCCAGTGCGCCTCTTGCCGCGGCCGCTGGTGAAGGTTATAGCGCGCTTCGCTCACGAGAAGATCGACATAAACGCGGCCGACGACCGCCAGGGTCTAAGTCGTGGCGGGACGGCGTTGCATCAAGCGTGCGAGGACGGCCACGTAGAAGTTGCGAAGGCGCTCATCCGCAACGGAGCCGATATTAACGCCATGAGGTACCTCGACGAGACCGTGCTGATGGCCGCGTGCGCGGCGCGGCGCGGAACACATGGTTTTCAACGCCCGGATCTAGACACGGCGCGACTCATTTTGGAATCTGGAGCGGACGTCAATCTTGGGAGTCCGCTGTTCAATGCAGCCTTTTGCAATCACGTCGACGTCGTCCGACTGCTCCTGGAGTTTCGTGCCGAGGTCGACCGGCGGAACAGGTGGGGCACGACCCCTCTCATCGCGGCCGCGAAGGAGGGGCACGACGAGTGCGTGCGCGTCCTCCTGGACGCGGGCGCCGCTGTAGACGGGAGCGAGGAGACGGGCAGGCGCGCGCTGTACTACGCGTGTTACGAGGGCTATACGTCGACGGCGCAGCTCCTCCTCGCCCGCGGCGCCGACGTCTCCGCGAGCAATGGCAGAGACCCCTTCCGCCCCGTTTTCCGGGCAATTACGTACGACAAAGATAAACGAAAAATTGGCGAGGCCCTCCTCGCGACGATGCGGGCCCGCACCGCGCGCCTCGAAGCCGAGAATGCTGAGCTCAAGTCGCGGCTCGCGCGCTACGAGACTAACAATGCGTAGTAGACTCACAATAACCACCCGGCCGACGCGGGTCTGCGTGACCGCACGCCGGCCCGAGACGACACCGAGAAGGAGGGATATATTACCCGGGGAGACCTAATCCAACATCGCCGGCAAGCCAGCCTGCCCCCGCAATCTTTCGGCGACCATGAACGCGATCTCGAGCGCCTGCGCCGAGTTCAGCCGCGGGTCGCAGTGCGTCAGGTACTTCGTGTCCAAGCCTCTTGGGCCGTCCACCGTCACGGCGTTCATGTCGCCGCCCACACACTCGGTGACGTCTTTCCCCGTCATCTCGAGGTGAATCCCGCCCGCGTGCGTCCCGCACTGCTCGTGGACGTCGAAGAAGGCCTGGATCTCGGCCTTGATCGCCGCCACGTCTCGCGTCTTGAAGCCGTTGCTGGACGTGTAGGTGTTGCCGTGGACGGGGTCGCAGACCCACAAGGCGGCCCTTCCTTCGGCCTTGACCCTGTTTAATACAGAAGGTAAATGTTCTCGAAGTTTGTCGGCGGACATGCGCGTGATCAACGTGACCTTGCCCGGCACGTTCTTCGGGTTGAACGTGTCCAGGATCTCGATGACGTCGTCGGGCGAGGCCTTGTCGCTAATCTTCACGCCGACCGGATTCTGGATGCCGCGCACGAACTCGAAGTGCGCGAGACCCGGCTGTCTCGTCCGCTCGCCGACCCAGAGCAAATGCGCAGAACAGTCGTACCACCTGCCTGTGGTAGAGTCCTCCCTAGTCATCGCCTGCTCGTAAGGCAGCAGAAGACACTCGTGGGCCGTGTAGAAGTTGGACTGCGTGAACTCCGGGGTGGTCGTGTCCACGCCGATGGCCCTCATAAAGCGCAAAGACTCTTCGACCTTCGTCGCGAGCCTTCTATATTGAGACCCCTGTTGCGTCTGCTCGACGAAGTCCAGGTTCCAGTTGTGTAAACGCGACAGATCGGCGTAGCCGCCGGTAGAAAAGGCCCGCAAGATGTTCAGCGTCTGGGCGCACTGGTGGTAGGCCTTGACCATCCTACTCGGATTCGGTTCTCGGGCTTCGGCCGTAAACTTGTCCTCATTAATATTGTCGCCCTGGTAGGACGGTAGAGTGACGCCATCTATCGTCTCGGTCGACGACGAGCGAGGCTTGGCGAACTGGCCCGCCATGCGCCCGATCTTGATGACGGGCTGGCCGCCGCCATAGGTGCAGATCAGGGCCATCTGTAAGATAACTCTGAAGGTGTCTCTCACATGATCTACCGAGAACTCGTCAAAGGATTCCGCACAATCACCGCCAAAAATGACAAACCCGTCACCCTTGCAGGCTCGGCCGAGGTCGGACATGAGCGTGCGTACTTCTCCCGCGAACACTAATGGGGCACTACCGGCGAGTTCCTCCTCCGCTTTTCGGAGTTTTTCTTCATCATATTTGGGGATCTGCTTCGCCTCGTAGTTTCTCCACGAACCGGGGCTCCAGGGCGCGTCGACGGGGCTCGCGAGGACCGATCTCGCGGTGAGGGGCTTCGTGGCGGGCTGCGGCGCTAGCAAGGCCGCGGCGGAGCTCACCGACGCGGCGGCGAGGAGGGGACGCCTGAGCTTCACCATCCTGGGCTTCTTGCGGCAATTTGCCGCTGGCCTCAAAGAGGGTTTCTTTTGGCCGGCGGGGGCCGCGGCGACGCGGTTTTTCGTCCTCGGCGCTGGAGTTGGTCTACAGGCTCGCACTGAAGCTGCCAGGTAGTGCTCAAACAAGCTCAACCAGGCGAACAGGGGCCGAAGGCGTGATCGATGAAATTGCCGTCGCTAGTGTGTCGATACGCTAACGCCCGGTTCAGACTTCGACGGCCCCAGACGCAAGTCGATGCTCGCCGGTCGGGCTAATCATGACTATAGGGTGATTCACTAACAATTTAAGACGGACGGGACGGACGCGGCCGACGGCTCAGAACCCCTGCCCCGGAAAGCCGCCCGGGAACTGCTGCTGCTGCATGTTCATCTGCGGCGGGAAGCCCTGCTGCTGCGGCGGCGGGAAGCCCGGTTGTTGCTGGAATCCCTGCTGCGGTTGGCCGCCGAACGCGCCTCCAAACTGCTGCGGCGGGAAAGCCTGTTGCTGCTGCTGAGGGAAGCCGCCCGGCTGCTGTTGAGGATAGCCCTGCTGCGGCGGGAAGCCCTGCTGCTGCTGAGGATAACCCTGCTGCGGATAACCCGATTGCTGCTGTACAAACTGCGGCTGCTGCTGGGCATAACCCTGCTGGAAGCCCATGGCCGGCTGTTGCACTTGGGGCCAATCCAGCGTCGGCGGCGGCGCCGCGGCGCCCGCGTTGTAGTCGGGCACGAACTTCTCCAACCGTTGGGCGTCCGTCTGTCTTTCCGCACCCGTCGAGTCGAGCTGGATCGAATAATAGGGAGGATCGCCGGCGTCCCAGTGGACCTTGAGGACCGTCGCCTTCTCGGGTGGTAAAGTGGAGCCCTTGGGCGGCTTGTAGAGGACGCGGTCGTTCGGTTGAAACGGGGCGGTCTTGCCGTTGCTGTTGGCCGAGACCCCACCGCCCGTGAGCTCGGCGAAGGGGTCCGCGGACGCCTTTTGTGAGGACGCTGGCGGCGGCGAGGCGGGCACGAGGACGTGCGCCGCCTCCGTCGTGCGCGTGGACCCGTTTGTTAAGGTAACGGTGTAGTAGGGCTCGGCGGCGTCCGTGTGGACCGTCGTGACCGTGCACTGTTCAATTTTGCCCATCATCTCGTAGTAAGCTTTGGACCCTTGCGTCGGCGGCGTCTTTGTTAGTTCGGTGACGGACGGCACGACGCGTTGCGCGTCGTTGCGGCCCTTCACTAGTATTCCGGAGCCCTGGGCCTGGAGGATGGTGACCTTCTCCAGCGCACCGTTCGGCGCCGCCGCTAGAGCTATTGAGCCGGGCGCCGGGCCCACGGGCGCTGAAGCGGGCGCCGAAGCGTTCCAGGAGCCCGACGGCGACGCGCGCGTCTGGGGGGGCGGCGCCATCATGCTTGATGGAGACGGCATGGCGTTGGAAACCGGGGGCGCGGCCATGGCGCTCCACGAGCCCGAGGGCGAGTTGCGCGTCTGTGGAGCCATCGCGCCCGCTGCCGGCGGCGCGGCCATCGCGAAGGAGCCGGAGGGCGACGCGCGTGTCGGCGCCGTCGGCGGCGAGGGCATCGCCATGGCCGGCGCGCCGTTCGGCGACCCCTGGGGCGGCGGCGTCAGGCTCCAGGACCCCGCAGGCGACGGCCGCGTCGGCGGCGAGCCGGGCAGCGCGGCCTGGACCGGGGCCATCGCGAACGGGTCCGCGGCCGGCGCGGCGAACGGGTCCGCGGCCGCTGGTGGCGACGCGAAGGGGTCCGGCGCGGCCGCGGGCGGCGCCGGCGCGCCGGGCGGCGGCGCCAGCGCGAAGGCCGGCTGCGCGGCGGGCGCGGCGGGCGGCGGCGCCAGCGCGAACGGCTGCGCGGCCGGCGGCGGCGCCAGGGCGACGGCCGGCTGGGACGCGGGCGGCGCGGCGAAGGCGTCTCCAAAAAGATCCGGGGCGCTCGGCGGCGGCTGCGCCTGGAGCCGGGCGTTCTCTGCTCTTAAACGAGCGATCTCGGCGTCGCGCGCGTCCGTCGGCGCGGCGGCGCGCGGCGCCACATTAAACTGGGGCGCCGGCGCCGCCGCGGCGCCGCGGTGCGTCGTCGCGAAGCCCTGGGGCTCGGGAGTGCCCTTCTTCTTGGCGCCGAACGAGATGGAGATGCGGCGGCGGCCGTCCGCGGGCGGCGCCGGTTTTGGTGGCGCGGGCGGCGGCGCCGCGGCGAAGACTGGTGCTGGTGGAGGCGCCACGGGGCGCGGCGCGGGGACCGGCGGCGGCGCCGGTTGGCCGCCCGCGACCCAGGCCTTGTCGACGTACTTGCGCGACAGGAACCGTTTTAAAGCTTCGCGCGGCGCGCCCGCCGGCGGCTCGCCGTCGCTTTGAGACCAGCGCGCGAGCCAAATTTTTCTTGAAGCTTCATTCCCGTGCTGCCGTAAACCTCGCACCTCGTCCGTCTCGAACTCGGCGAGCGACACGCTCTTCAGCTTGTTGTCGGGAAAGAGCTCGCGGTGCGCGTTCGCGCAGGGCTGGCAGACGAAGGTGCGGAAGGCGATGCAGGCGACGGTCGGGCCGCGCGCCGCGCAGTCCGCGCAGCGCCGGTTGCCCTCCCGCTTCAGGGCGTCCTTGACGGCGCGCGTGTTGCGGTCTATTGTTTCTTGGGAGGGCATCGCGTCCTGCTTTTTTTGCGGTCGCTTGGCTGGTGTCTTTGGACTGGCTCTCCTTTTAACTGGGGCGCTCGCTTCGCCTTGCGCTCGCGAGTGCGGGTGCGCGGCGGGAACGTGCGCTTCTGTAAGCGGTGATCCAACCGTGGGCTGTGTAAAACCGCGACCACAGCTTTTTTTTTTGTGGAGCGCTAGTGTGTTACAGCCTGCAGGCACGCTAGGTTTTCATATTGCCAGCCGCGGCGCCTCACCAACGAGCGCGTTCCGGCAGTCCCTGACGGCCTCGAGAGATTGATAGCTGCACAGCGACAGCCCACAGCGACGAGCAGCTCTCGCACGCACGTATATTTCAAACTAGAGGTCCCGGCCTCACCGCGCAGCCGGACGCCGTAGACCATGGCCGAGGCCTCCCCCGCGCGGCGCTTACTAGAACAAATAGAACGCTCCTCACGAAACGCGGAAGAGCCAGTCGGCGAGTTCAGCGACGAGGCCATGAGCCAACTGAAAGCCGAGTGCGCCAAATTGTATAGCGAAGTCTTGAGACTCATGGACGGCGGCGACGCGCGCGTCGCGGATTTACCGGACGCGACGAAGGCTTCTTTGGTGGTTCACCACCAGCGCGTCCTGCGGAACAAGGAGTGCGCGCTGTTTTACTTGCGCGAGCGGCTCGAAGTGTTAACTAGATTGCGCTGCGAGGCCGGCTCCAATCTGCCCCGCAATGTAAGGAGGCACTGCTCGCCCCAGGAGTCGCAGTTCAACGCCGCCTACGACCAGCTGTACCAAGACTTCTGTCGAGCGTCGCGACTCGATCCTAGAGATTCATTGAAGCCGCCGCGCGATCTATATGTGGAAGTGCGGTGCAACGTCGACTGCGGCGACGTCCAGACCAAGCACTCCGGGACGGTGCGCATGGACAAGGGCACGTCGCACTTCCTGCGGCGCGCGGACGTCGAGCAGCTCATCGCCCAGGGCCTGGTCACGCACGTGACGACTGGTGTAGCACCCTAAGTTGCTGAACTTAGAAACCACCCATCCCCCCCGCGATATCATTCTCTCGGTTCGAGGACGAGGGCTTCTGGTACTCGAACCCGTTGCACGTCAAACCCCCGTCCACACACAATATTTGTCCGGTCACATAAGGCGCCGAACAGAGGTAGGCGACGGCCTGACTGACGTCGGACGGCTCGCCGACCCTTCGCAAAGGTGTCCTCGCTTCCACCGCTGCTCGGAAATCGGAATCATCCAAAAGAGGCTCCGTCAGCTCCGTGCGGATGAACCAGGGGTCCACGCTGTTCACCCTCACCTGGCAGGGCCCCCACTCGCACGCTAAATATCTAGTGAGATGATCCAAGCCGGCCTTCGAGACCGCATAAGCCACACCCGTGTGGTCGCAGCAGACGCCCGAGATCGAGCCGATGTTCACAATACACCCGTTTCTTTCCTCGAGCATGGCTTTACAGTCGCGACACAGGAACACGGCCGCATCTAAATTTGTTTCTAACACTGAGCGGTAGTCGCCCTCGTCGAGCTCCGTCGTCGGGCCTCTGACGTTCGTCCCGACGTTGTTCACGAGGATATCTAAACCTCCTGTGGTCGCGATGGCGTCGACAAAAGCTCTTCTCCCTTCTGTCGTGCGCACGTCGGCCGTTACTGCCACAACATTTTCGAGCTCTGCCAATGAATCGACGTTGCGCGCGCAGGCGATGACCGTGGCACAGCCCTGGCGCAGGAGCTCGTCGACGACGGCCCTACCTAATCCGCGCGACCCGCCCGTCACGGCGGCGATGCGGCCGTCGAGGGGTTTCGGTTTTGCGCTAACCGTCGCTAGGACGAGCCATGCGAGCGTTTGGGTGCGCATGGCTGCTACACGCGTCTTGCTCCGGCCTGGGTGCGACACGCGTCGGTGCTCCGCCCTGCAAGTGGTGCAAGTGCAGTGGCTGTCACTGCGCTTGTGAATCCAGCCGAGCGCTGCGATTTCGGTCTTACCGGCTAAAATTAGAAGTGTGTGTCCGTCAGAGGCTGGTGAGTATCGATAGCGCCCCCAACCCGCTCGAGCTGAAACCGAGTGGTGCTAGCGTCGTGTAAGACACTAGCAATCTGCCTTTTTGGCTCCTCGCGTACAAGCTCGCATGAACAAGGACTCTAGGACCGAATTTACTCTGAGAAAGGAGCGACCTAGTCGAAGCCCATCGCCTCCAGCCCGGCGACGAGGACGACGGAGGCCGGGTAGATCGCGAGGATGAGCGCGCCGTCGACGGGCGTCAGCGTGCCTTTGCGCGCGAAGACGGCCACGGCGAGCTGGACGAAGACGATGGACAGCGTCTCGGCCGTGTACTGCCAGGCAATTCCTTTGAAGTAAACGAGGCCCATGAAGATCGCGAGGCAGAACGTGTTGTTCATGCAGGCCGCGCCTTCTAACGCTGCGAAGGAGATGGTGATGGAGGTCTGGGTCTTCTTGCCCGCGTAGTACATCGATGCTAATAGTTCTGAGGCGTTCGAGGCCAACGGAGCGAGTAAGAAGGACACGTAGAAGGCCGGCACGCCCGTGCGCACGCCGATCTCGGACATGACGTCGACCATGGGGTCGCTGAAGACCACCACCAACGCCGTGCCCAGGAAGAGCTTCTGGGCCGCTCTCGACTTGATCACCTTCTGTTGGTCCGCCGGGCTGAGATCTTGGATGTCCTCCGGGACTTCTTCATCCTCCTCACCCTCGTCGTCGTCCGCACTGCTTCCAGAGCGCTTGATGGCCTCGCCGACGGCTCTCGAACCCTCGCTCTCGTGCGACCGTCGGTGGACGTGCGACCAGATACCAGTGACAAATTCATCGAAGTCGATCGTGCCGTTCTTGTCATGATCTAATTCATCGAAAATAGCGTCCAACGCCGCAGGCGGCGGGTCCTCGCCCAAATCGTGGAACACTGCCTTAATTTCACCCTTGTCGAGGTGGCCGTCGCCGCTCTGGTCGAACTTCTTGAAGAAGGGTCGCACGACCTCGCTGATCTTGGCCTTGACCACATGATCTAGGCCAGAGGTCGTACCGTAGCCTCCTTCATTCCCTCCCGCGAGAGGGTCCTGGGTGGCATAAACTAATCCAGCCATGGCTCCGGCCAGCGACACTTGACCAGACGCCAGCATGGTCTTCATGACCGCCTCCTGCTTCTTCTTCTGCACATCTTGCGCATGGGAAGATGAGACTTGATAGTACAAGTAGGAGACGAACCCCCCTAGCGTCGTAACTAAACCCAGCAGAGCCCAGGACTTTTCATTTTCGGCCACTTCGGCCCTCGAATCGCCGGCCATGAAGAAGGCCGGGCCTTGAATAATAACATACGACACGAGGGTCATGACCATGATGTTGGCTCCAGACTTGACCTGCGGGCCCGGAGAAACTCCACATTCGGTGGGGCCCCGGTTGGCCCCTAACTTGGGCTTCCGGGCATAATTCGCCTTGCCCTCCGCATCTAAATCCACGCGACCCGCCCATAATGAGAGGGCCCACGGGACCGTGAGGAGCATAATCGTACTACCAGCCAAGGCTCCCACACCAACAGCCAGGTTCTCCTGCGCCTCCTCGACATCACCCAATCCGGAAAAGAGCATGATCGCGCCGTCGGGCACGGCGCCTAGGACTGGTAAAACGCAGCTCCCAACAATGCCCGCGATGCTCGGCACCAGCAGCAATAGGTCCGAACCCTCACTAATCAGGTTCGAGGCGAAGTAGAGCACGTACCCATAGGAGAGGAAGAGCCACAATAGGCCGCTGTCTCCGATGTCGTCCGGCTCTCTGCGATGGGGGCGGTGGTTGCTGCGAGGGAGTGGGCGGGGCGGGGGCGGCGCGCGTAGGGAGGGAGGGTGCACTCACATGGCCGGGAACCCCATGTTGCGGCGCCTCTCGCGTGCGCGCGCGGGCGTGGGGCAGCCCGTGCACCGCGGCAGCGAGGAACTGACTGCAGCTTAAAAAGAATTGCCGGGGGTGTTTGTGGTGTTGTGCGAGGTCGTCGGGGGCGGCGCAAGTGAGTATGGTGACCCTTCGGACTCGTCTTTGGATGGGGGCACTAGCGCCTCTCACCACAGCGGATGTTGCTCTCCCCACGACGTGAGCAGCATAGTGGACGTCGCGCGCAACGCAACGCGGTTCGAGGAGCGTCGCGGACGCTCTCTCGCGCCGCTCTCTCCCATCTTGTGCCACTGCCAGGGAGCGCGTTCGCCGAACGCACTCTCTCAGGGCAGCCCACTATGTCCACAGCGGAAGACGCGCGGCGCCGGGGTCCGGGCAGCCTCGACAAAATGTCCGCAGCGCCGGAAGACGCGCGCCCGGCGCCGGGGACCCCGGTGAGGCCCAGTCCAGGCACAACAGTCGTCACCCCGACGAAGGTCGGTCCCGACGAGTGGCGCCGCGACGGCGTCGGCGGCCACACGCCGGAGGACTTCTACGCCAGGGCCGCGGAACTCAAGGGCGCGCCCACCACACAACGCGGCGCCGGCGTAGGAGTGGTGGGACTCACGCACGAGCTCAGCGAAAAGGACGCGGAGAGTTTTTATGTTCAGGTCGCCGACCTGAAGGGCGACGCGCACGCGGAGCGGACGCGGCGCGAGAGGGAAGAAAGACGCCTGTCCATGGAGCGCGAGTTCCGGGAGATCCTGCCGCACACGAGCATCGGCAAGCGGCGCGCGGGCTGGGAGGCGCCTGTCTACTGGAAGGACAAGGACCCGAAGGCGCCGCCGCCGGACGCGAGCGGCGGCTCGGACGCGGCCGCGCTCTGCGCGGCGGCGGCGGCCGCGCGGCGCGAGGCCGCCGCGGCGCGGCTCAGGCCTGACGAACCGCGCGCGGCGCCACCGGTAGATAGGGCTGTCAGCGCGGCGGCGTACGACATTGGAGATGCCATAACGAGGCCGAAAGCGCCCGAACCGGATCACGCGCCCATCGAATGGGTCGCGCCGCCGAAGCGCCCGACGTCGCCCGACGGCTTCGACTTCTTCCCCGACATCGACGAGCGCGACGACAATAACAGGGCGCCCGCGCCGCCGCCGGGCGCGTGGTGGTGGGAGCGCCTCGCCCACGGCGTCCAGAACTGCGGCCCTCTCATTGAGGCCTGCGGGGATCCTTGCCACACGGTCGTCGACGACGACACGTACCCGGCGCCCGCTGGCTGGAATCCGCCGCCACGCGTCTCGCGGCGGGGCGCGTCGCCGCCGCGGGCGCCGCCGTCGGGAGGTAAGGGCCCTGCATAATTATACATACAAAGTTACTTGCCTTCGGGAAACACGAGGTCGCCGTTGGCCATGTGTTCCTCGAGGGCCTCGACGAGTCCGCCGAAGTACAGCTCCGGGAAGACCGTCTCCCGGCACCAGTCCCGCGCTCCGGCGTCGCCCCCGCACTCCCGTGACCCTCGCTTGCGGCGCCGGAGCTTGTCCAGCGCCGACGACTGAAGCGTGTGGAAGCTCCGCGACGTGAGGATCTTTTCTAGCGTCGGACGCGGGGAAGAGCGCGATGTCGACCGCACCGACAGCTCCGGTGAAGGTGGCACCGTCGCTTCCAAGAAGCGCACGGTCGTCGGCGTCGCGGAGGAGCGGACGGTGTGGGAGGAGTCGTCCAGACCGGGCGGCGGCGGGGGCGGTGCCGCCGAGAAGCGCCGGCGCGACCGCGGCGTTGTCGCTTCGGCTTGTCGCAGAGCTCGCGCGTAGAGGCCGAGCACGTTGTCCACGATTTTTTCCTTGTCGTCCTCCCGCGAGAAGTCTCCCTCAAAGACGCGCATCGCGGCGTCGTACCAGTCGCGGCGGCCGGCGATGGGCGCCAGGCCGGCGTCATCATACACATACATCGCGGCGGCGCCGCCGGCCTTGTTCATCATCGCCCACATTTCTAGCCGGCACCACCCGCGCGCGAGGTACGTCGACGCGTCGACGCGCTCGCCCGTGTCCCGGTGCAAACCGCTCGGACACACGGCGACGAAGTAGCGCGCCGCGTTGCTATAGACCGCGAGCGAATTGCACGCGGCCGCCTGCGACGTCCGGTTCCGCTGCGGCACGGACGCGTAGTCGCACCACAGATAGATTTCTTCGACTCCGCACTTCCTTTGTATGGCCTGCGCCGCCCCACAAATCGCGGTGAAGTGCGTGCCGTCGGGATCGGGTTCGTCTCTACCCAACCACTGGTGGCTCACGAACAGGATCGGGTGCGACGAGGCAAATTCTACAACATCGTCGTAATTGTCGAGGAACACGAGGTCGCCGCGCACCGCCTCGTGCGGCGGCAGGCGGCCGAAGCGTCGTAAGGACTCTAACGAGAACACGACCATGGGATGTTCACACGTGTGCACGGCGTCCACTGCTCTTTGTAGTCGCAGGAGGCGGGCCTCGTCCATCTCAGTTCGTGCAGCCTTCGCCTCGCGCCAGGAGGCCCACGCAGTACAAAAACACATGTAGAGCGCTATGACCATCGCGAGACACGCGATGCCGATAAGCAACGCAATAAACCACGTCTGGTGGGTGAAGCCGCGGTCGCGGTTCCGGCTCCTACCACCTTCAGTCCCGTCATCAAGGGTATGCTGGATGCTCAACTGCCACCGTTCCTTGTTGTCCTTAATCCAGGAGCACGCTGCGTCGCGCATCGACGAGGATTCGCGACACGGCGGCCTGGACCTGGCTCGAGAGCCAGTTCCCAAATTCGATGACCACCGGCTCACGGTTGCGCCGGATCCCGGCGAGGCCCTTGTCCTCGCGGAGGGAATTCCACTCCTCACCCAGACACGGCTCGCACTTTTCCGCGACGCAGCCGAGGCGCGGCCGCGTGTCGTCGAAAGCCACATCGTTGAGTTGCGACGGCCAAGCTCGCGGCGCGGGGCAGGGGGCGTGCTCGGCGACGGCGAACCGGCACGCCGCCAGGGCGATTGCGAGCCACCACATCCGTCACTTCATTGAGCTTGAATTAGCCTCAGGAGTCTCGAGCGGTCTGGCCAAGTCTTGCCGTGTTTATTTATATTTATGACGAGCGAGCGGCGAGCTCAGGCCGGTATCTTATTGACTTGGCGCCGCGCCAGCTAAATGCGGAATGCCGCGTACCACAAAGTTATACTACCTCGAGCACCCCCCTACTCAGGGCCTACTGTACACAAGCCCTGTTTTGGAGGTTGCTTTGCTAAGAGCTACGCCGCGCCACCAAGGCGACTTCGGGGAATGCGTGACCGAGGTTTAAAACACAAACCAAAAAGTTACACAAGACTACCGCGGACTAGCCGCCAACCCCAACTGCCCCAAGACGGCCGCATCGCACGCCTCCAGCGCCTCCTGGACGGCCGGCGCGCCGACGCGGCCCGCGACGGCCTCGAGCGCCGACCGCGCGAGCGCCACCAGGTCCGTGCGCGCCCAGTCGTGCTCGGCGCGCCAGGCGCATAAAGCGTCGAGCGGGAGCTCTATGTTCGCGTCGTCGGCGTCGACGGGCGTCTCCAGCGTGGCGCGGTCGGCGACGCGCGGGCTCCGGCGCAGCGACGCGCCGGGCCCGCGGCGCACGGCCTCGTTCACCAAGGTTAAAGCCCCGTCCAGGTCCGCCAACAAGGCCTGGCCGTCGCCGCACGCGGCCAAGCGCAAACACGCGAGGGCGCCCGTGGCCGCGCGCGCCGCGAGGACGTCGCCGCTCGTTCCGTCGACGTCGGCGCCTTTCCGAGCCTCGCCGTCGTCGAAGTTTTGCGAGTCGCCCCGGACGTGCTTGCGCGCGAGCCAGGCTCTATAGACGCCCAGGGCCCGGTCCTCGCCCAGGGCTTGCGCAAATTCCTGAGGAGAGTGGGCGCAGCACCGCGTCAGGACGGCGTAGTGTTGGGCCCGCACGCTCTCGGCCGTGCTGTCGTCCAGGGCGTCGTCGGCCAGTCTTTGCAGAGCGCCGTCGCCCAAACTGGTGGAACCAGGGATGACATCTCCCGAGATGGGGCTTCGGAGTGTTGTTGGGGTCCTGGTTGACAAAGCTGTAGAAGCGACGTCGGGCGCCACTAACAACAAAGCCTCCAACGCCTTGTCCACGTGGCCCGACGCCCGCCAGCTCACTTCCCCAGCTAAAGCGCTGCACGCGCGCGCGGCGCAGGTAATGGCTTCGACGCCGCAGCGTTCCGACCCCAGGATCGCGAGGCAATGGGCGACTTGCGCGACGTCCATGGCTAAGGCTAAATCGCGCGGCGGCGCGCAGAGCTTCTCGAGGGCCTGCGCCGGTTGGCGGCAGGCCTGGACGCAGGCGTCGTGGTCGTCCAAGGGTAGCGTCCTCAATGCGTCGAGCCAGAGCCTTGCGGCCGCCGGCGCGGCGCACAGCTCCACGTCCCTCGAATCGTCGAGCAGTAACGCCACGAAGGCACAAGCCGTGACGGAGGCTTGCGACGACGACGGCGCGTTGCGCGCAGCAATGAGCGCCGCCCGGCAGCAGTCGGCGCAGGCGTCGATCAACGAAGGGGCATTGCCGTCGTTGACAATGCGCTCCCCGAGGGACGCGACGGCTCGCACGCGGTCCGCGGCTATTGACGCGTGCTCCGGCGTCTTCGACGCTGCTACACAAGCCTCCGCCGCGGCGCGCAGGGCCGCCTCGGCGAGGTCGTCCGACGACTCGAGGAACGTCGAGGCGCGCTGTAGCGCCGCATCGAGGAGCGATGAACTGGGCGGGAAGCGCGCCGCGAAGCGGCGTACGACGTCTAGGGCCGCGGTGGCGACGGCCGCGTCCCCGTCATTTATATCTTCGACACAAACGTCAGCCAAAGCTTGTAAAGCGGCGCCGTTGGCTTCGATCGCCAGGGCCCAGCAGCGGCTCAGCCAGTACAGGCGCCGCCGGTAGGCGTTGACGCAGATATCAGAAGTGGATACGCTTCGTAGCTTGATCAGTAACGAGGGAAAGTAGCTCGCGAACAAGGAACCAACAGCTTGGTCGACGCCGGGCAGCGCATCTGTCAAAGACGCGGCCGACGTGCCGACGGCTCGTAACGAAGCGTCGGCCTCGGCGAAGAAAGCTCTACACTGCTGGACAGTGTCGCTCGACAACGTCGCTAACGCCCCGACGGCCTGCTCGACGGCCGCGCGCCGGTCGTCGCCGAAGGCTCTCTCGACAAGCATGCGAGATAGAGCAGAGTCGCCCGTCCGGTCCACGGCCAATAAGGATAGCAGGCACCGCTCGGCCGCCGCGCGCACCGCCCTACAACCGTCTGGCGCGTCCGTCGAATCGGCGTCGTACGCTTCCTCTTCGTAGATGTCGTCGTCGTAAGCGGCTTCTACCTCCCAGCCGTCGTCCGCGTGGAGGGCGTAGTCCTCCGGGTCATTTAAGTGCTCATTGAGCTCCGACGGTTGCAAAGGCAAAGCTTCATTGAGACAGTACTGTGCCAATTTCGGACCGTGCGACCGCGCGAAGGCAATCAAGTCTGAATCGCCGTCGGCCGCCCTCCCTAAGGCGTCTCCACACAATTCTAAGCGAGCCACAGCACCGGCAGGCGTCAGGCCCGGCTCATCTAAAGCTGCAACAGCTCTTTGCAGGAACGGCGCCCCATAAGCCCGCGCAAATTCAGAATTGCGCCGCCACGCACTGAGAGGCACGACCACTGTTTGCAATTTACGTCGTTGCCTCGGAGCTGCGTCCGTGAACTCCGTGATGGCCCTCCGGTCCAACGCGAGAAAACAATCGTAGACCGTTGTAGCTGCCGCGTCGGCGTGATTGAGCAAACGCGTCGCGGCCTTGGCGAGGATGCGTATGGCGTCAATATCTGACGAAGACGACGCTTGCCTTAACGCCGCGGCGACGTCCGGTAATAATAGCGCCGCGTCCTCCCTGAGCACTCTTCTGTCTCTGGGTAAACCTTTGCGCGCCAGCTCCTTGACCACGGCGCCGAAGAGCCGCAACGCCCTTCCACTCCCACGCGAGTAGCTTGTTAAGTACACAGAAGGCGCGTCCCGCCAGGTCGCGGGCCAGTCGTTTTTGGCGCATCGACGAGCACACAGTTCGAGCTGCGCGAAGACGCGCTCATCAGTTTCCTCGCCGGCGTCGTCGAGCAGCCACCTTCGGACAAGGTCCTTTTCCCGTTCGTCGACGGCGTTGCCTCTTCTAGGTCGCCAGCGCCTGCCTATCACGTTTTTGAGGCAGATCGCGGCTAATAATCTAGCACCGGTGGCCGCCTCGCCCTCGGCTCTCGCTTGCGCGACCTCGACCAACGCTTGGACATAGCCCGGCGACGGCCCGACCTCCCACTCCGTGACCTTTTGTTCGGACTTGGATCTGATACTGCCACGGCCCTCGGCGACCATCACCAAAGCACCGTGCACCTGCGTCGCCGTGATGCGGCGGTTCGGTTTCGGGCTTCGAGGTGCCGGGTTGGCCGAGGCCTGCATCATGGCGCTCATCTTGTCTTCTTGCGATCGCTGCGGCGTGCGCGCGGGTGGCAGCTTGTGCTATGGCTGTACAGCTGCTCTGCTCCAAGGCGTTCCTGCGAGAAACGCCTCTGAATCCAAGAAGTTACAGTAGTCGCTCTCTCAAACCAGCACTGCTTGCGTCAAACGATGCGGCGACCGCGAGTTTGCTTTGTTTGCTTTGCCAGGCATCCCTAGTATCTTACAGGGCGCTAGCTCGCGGGGGATCCTCAAAGCGCGAAGTTGAGCCCACAGGTGCGTTTTTTATACAAAAAGACACAGATTACTGATCATACCACATACCCGGGTGCGCCGGCCGCCGCGCCAGCAGCCGCGCGTCCGACGGCGGGACGAGGTGCGTCGACAGGCCGCCGTCCTCGAAGCTGCCGAAGCGGTCCTCGAGCACTTCGACGAAGACGTCGTCCATGGCGCTGTCGTAGCGCTCGCCCAGGTTTTTGCGCAGGCCCGCCGCGGCACGCCTCAGTAGCACGCCGGCCAACGCGTCGGCGCCCGTCCCGCCGTCTTCCGTCCAGTGCTTGTAGGCGTCGGAGGGACTCGACGCTTTCGATCCGCCGTCGATGGCCGCCCTCACTAAATCGCGGCACAATCTGACACGATCCTCGGCGGTGCGGTGGTGCGGCGAGGCCAATTGTTTTTTCGCCTCCAGGACCATGGCGAGCGCCTCTTGTAAAGCGGCGGGCACTGAGGCCTGTTCAACGACTGCGTCCCCGCTCGCGAGGACGATTCTGGCTTTATTTGCGAGGGCCGCGTCGTCGGCGCTACGCACCGCCGCGGACAGCAGGACCGCGGCCGAAATGCCAAGGCGCACGCGATCACCGATTTCGTCGCCCGAGTCAGCCGCGGCCTCGGCCTCCTCGACGGAAATGATATTCCGGTCGAGGCACCGCTGCAGGAGCACCGCAGCTTGTCTGAAAAAGGACGCAATGACATGTTCGAACGCCGCTGTATCTCTAGCGTCGTGGCCGAACAAGCGTCGCAGCGCCACCAGCGACACGTTGCCAAACTCGAGCAGGCCCGCCTCGGCGCTGTCGAGCATCAATGCGGTCGCATCTCCGAACACATAATCAGGCTCGTCGTAGACGTAGCGCGCGATGAATTCGCCCGCCGTGTAGAGCGCCGTGTAGACGCCGACCATCGTCAGCAGGGGGTACTCGCGCGCGCAGTGCGCTAGGGTTTGGAGCGGCTTCATACTTGTGAATCTTGCTTTTTACGCTTGCGCGTGTCTGGTTTTACTTGTCAAAGAGCGCTTGTGGTGCGCATGTGATTTTGACGTCTCGCAGCCTCCAGCTCGGCACCGCTTTGTTATCGAACGACTGTCGACCACTCGTGGAGGATTCCTTTGGACTCCGAGCCAATTCTGTCGTGCGCACGGCGCGTATAAGACTCAAGCGCGGGCGGCCGAGCTAGCGGCATGTAAGACACTAGCAAGCAAGCAGGCGGGCGCAAAAGCTTGCTGATTGCTGCGCGGAGCAACCGGTTGCACGTAAAGACGTACTCCGTGGACCACTGCCAAGGCAGCACTTGCTGCCGCGACCGCGCTCCGCCGCTCGTGCTGTGCCCACAAGGTAACCCTACCACTCACTGCCAAGCAGCACTCGCTGGCCGCGCGTCGCCGCACGCCGTCGCCGCGACACGCCGAGCAGTCGCCGCGACCGCTAAGGCAATATGTCCACGGGCCTCGGCCTCAACATCATCAAGACCCTCGACCGCGCCGCCAAAGATAGGTTGTACGGCGCCACCAATGAAGAGGACGCCGTGAGCGCTGGAAATGAATGGACGGTCAAAGCCGTCTTCGGCATGCTCGCTCCGCTCGAACAGCAGATCGTACTGAGGTTATTAGTGTGCGGCGAGGCGGGCGTCGACATCACGTTGGCGCGGAACTGGGTTACGGTGAGCGGTTCGTTCGCTAGAGCGGTGGCGGTCCTTGAGTCATTGAGGATCGTGGAGGCTCTGGATGGTGCTAAAAAGCTAAGAATCCCGACGGCATTTAGTACGAATCTCGGGAAGGCCTTGGCGGGCAATACCGAGGAGCCCTGGAGGTTGCAAGGTATTACGAACGACAAGAAACCCCCTACTCTAGACCAGCTCGACCAGTGGACGCGGTGGCGGTGGACCAATGTTTTACTGTTCCTAACAGGAGAAGATCTGGACGAGACGGCGATCCCGCCGCAATGTGCCCAGGACTTTTTGAAAGGTGCTCAATTAATGACTCCTATCGAAGGCGGTATGTTGGAAATTACGGGTCGAGGTGTGGACTTTCTGCTGAAACCGCGAGCGGAGCAGGTCTGGGTGCTGGTCGACGAGTATTTGGCGAATCACGCTCCACAAAATGATCGGGGCGACGTCGTGGCTTTGATTTTATCTTTAGCATACACGACTGTTGGTCGATCTTACGCTATCGCTGAATTAAGTGACCCGCAGCAGCGGGCTCTTGAAGTGTTGTTTGCTCTCGGTCTCATATTCAGGAGGAAGGAGACCTCCTCAAGATTCTACCCGACGTCGATAGGCGCGGGCGTCGCGTTCGGCTCGGACGAAAAGGCCGACACGGGCGGCGTGTCCATCCTCGTGCAGACGAATTTTCAAGTGGTGGCCTACACGGACGCGACGCAAGCTTCCGCTTCGTTGGTCCTGAACACGCTGGGGTTGTTTTGCGAGATCAAGGTGCGGCTGCCCAACGTCGTCGTGGGCGCCATCACGCGCGACATCGTCAAGAACTGCATCACGCAGCGCCAGATTCGTTGTGGTCAGATTCTGAAATTCCTCGAAACGCACGCGCACCCGCTGACGGCGAAGAATCAATCTCCGATCCCGCCGAACGTGCGCGACCAGATCATCCTGTGGGCCGGCGAGGACCAGCGCGTGGCGTTCCGGCAAGGATGGTTGTTAGAATGTAGAACGGACGACGGCTTCCATGCTGCTGTGAAGGCGGCGAAAACTGTTCACTGGCGGAGTGTAGGTAGGCGACGGTTGTTTGTGGACGACGCGGACCGGGAGCGGTGCCTCGTCGCCGCTGCGGAAAGTGGCGGGGCGATGGATGTGGGGTAAATTTAGTACGTTAGTCTGCGCGGCGATGGCGTCACTCGGGGGCGTGGTACTTACTCGGTCGCGGGCGCCGCGCGACGACGACGCGGGGGTTCGCCGAGCCAGAACTTGCACACGAGGTGGGCGAGCGGGTCGGGGAGGCCCGGCGACGCCGGCACCTTCGCCGCGGCGCGCGTCCTATGGTGTCGATTGGCATCGCGCAGACGTTCATCTTCGACTTTATATTATTTCGGCGGTCTCACCGGCCGGCGCTCCGCAAGATGACCCTCGACTGGTTCCAGAAGCTCGCGGCGGCGTGTCGAGCAGCAGCGGAGGCGGCGGCGACCATCAACGCGGCCGAACCCGACGATGACGCCGTCGCGGCGGCGTCTCACGCCGCGGAGGACCTCGCCAAGGCCAGTAAGGGTGCTCAAGCGACCTTTGGTGTGGCCAAATTTGAGCCGCCCTGCCAGCGACCCTTCGACGCCGCCGGCTTCGAGCACCTGCTGGACGCCCAGGCGGCGGCCGGGTCTGCGATGACGACGCTGGCCGGCGCGATCAAAACTTATGTGGGGACGCGCGAGGACCACCGGTCGCGCATGCTGCTCCACGCGACGAAGCGGCTCGCCGACCAGGCCGACGCGGCGGCCGCGGCGGCACCGGCAGATCTGCCCACGGTCCTGGCCGCGTTCGAGGACGTGCGCGTGGCGCTCCTCCGCGCGCGCGAGGAGGCCTGGGACGCGTATTTCGACCGGGAGAATCCGCAACCCCTCGACGAGGCGATCGGCAACGAGGCGAGTCTGGCGCGGATGACCGCACTGGGCGCCGTCGAGACTGTGTGCTTCCACGTAGCGCGCGCGGCTGGCGAGGTCGACAACCTCGGGCTTCCTCCTCCGAAGAAGGATGATTAATCACAACAAACTACTTATAAAATCCCGCGTCCCCCGCGTCTATTTTCTTCCGCCGCTTGGCCGGCTTCTTCAAGCGCTTCTTCTCCTCCTTCTCCAGCCGCCGCTGCTCGCGGAGCGCCTCCTTCTCCTCCCGCAGCCGAATCTTCTCGTCGCGCTGGCGCGCCTTCTCGGCCTCTTGCTCCATCTGTTTTTGCTTCGCTTCGGCGACGTACGGTAGACTCTCGGGGATGAGCTCGGGGAAATTCAACAACGCCGCGGCCTCGACGCCGAGCTTCGACCAGATGGCTCTATCATACGCCTTCGCGGCGTCCGCCGGCGCCGCGTAACTTCCGAGGTGGATCGGCTGCCCCCCTATGCTGATTTGGGAGTACCAGGCGTTGATGGAGCCCTGGTACACTCCCCTATATTTTCTTTGATCCGGATGCGCCGTGTGCTTCGGCCTTCTTTCTTTATCTCTTTCTAGGAACTGTGATAAGGCGTCGAGGTCGTCTTGTTCAAACCCCAAAGCGTCCAGCGCCGTCAGGACGTCCTGCGGGCCTATTGTTTGTCTTTTGTTTTCCAAACACACGTCCGTCGCGGCATAAGTAACGGTCATCGCGAATAGACCGCCCGCGCGCGCCAGGGCCGCCTGGAGCTCCGGGTCTTTTGATTCTTTGGGTCCTAGAAACCGTTTCGTGAGTTTTGCGGTCGTCGAGCGCGGCAGCTCAAATTCCAGAGCGTTTTTTGAGGCGAGACGCTCGTCGCCATAACTCACAGGTAACACGTCCGCGTCGAGCTGGGCCTGGGCCGCCGCCGCGGCCTCGGCTTCGGCTAGCGCGTCGTTGTTGGGCTCTGGCGACGGGCTCTGGCGCACGGGTGCCGCGGCGGGCGCGACTTCTTCGGGGTCGGAGCACTGGCTTCGCTGCGGGTCCCAGCGGTTCATGGAACAGAACCAGCGCTCGGGCAATGAAGCGACGTCGACGTGCGCCGGCAACCTTCGCCTGTGGGTGTACCGTCGCCGACGGGATCGAAGCAAATCCTAGTGACCGATACGCGATTCGAACGCGTAACCTTCAGGACTGGAATCTGACGCGCTACCGTTGCGCCAATCGGTCGAAGGCAAGGATGTACGAGGACGCCGGTGCGGTACCACTTCTGACAGCCGTCGCATTGGACCCATTGCGGCGCCGCCTCCGGTGCGGGCGGCGGCACCGCCGGCGCGGGCCCGCCCCTGCCGCGGCCGCGGCCTCGTCCGCGACCGCGTCCTCGGCCGCCGCGGCCTCGGCCACCGCGGCCGCCGCGGCTTGGTGCGGGTGTGCTGCTCTCAGCCGCCCCGACCGGGAGTCGGATCGTCAGCTTGCGCTGCGGCGGCGCCGCCGCGGCCCCCGGCAGGGCGTGGAACGGGTCCATGGCCTCGTGAGCGTTCGGCAGCGCGCGTGGCGGGCCCTGGTCTACATCCGGAGGCGGCGGCGGCGCGGCAAAGGGGTTCGACGGCATGCCTCCTGCAGGCGCGGGCGGCAGCGGCGCGCGTGGCGGGCCCTGGCCTGCAGCTGGAGGCTGTGCCCAAGGATACGGCCCGTGATCCATTTCTCAGGTGTTTGGTAATCAGCCGTTCGATATCGCGTTGCCGCGCCGCTGTTTACAGACAGAGCTTCGTGTGAGGGCCCTGCTCACAGCAGGTGTGCGGGGCGATGCCTTGCACGATCAGTGTAAAAAATTGGACGTATGGACGCAGCGGCCCAGTCCGGCGGCGGCTACGAGAGCTTGCGCCGGAGGAATTGGGAGCAGCGACGGCATGCCCCAATATGTTCATTGCCTATCTAGGTAAATAATGGTACCGTACCGTATGGTACCTGCCGGTACGCGTCGCCGCCCGCCCGCAACAAAGCTCGGAGCGGTCACCATCGCCAGCAAGGCTGCTGCGAGGTATCGGAGCGGTACCCTAGTAGGAGCCCATCGAGGCGGCGTCCATCCAGCGCCCAAAACGCGCTGCCAAATCGACGCGTGCCGCGCTCAGTCGACGCCAGCCACACTTTCACGCGTTACAGAAAGACCGAGACCCATCAGGGGCAGCCAGAACCATGGCGCCGGCGGCCAAGGACACCACCAGCAAAAAGGATGGCAGCAAGACGAGGAAGGACGCGGCCAAGTCCAAAGATAGCGTCGAGAAGGAGCCGTCCGTGGAATTGACGGAGGAGGAACAGCTCGAGGAGTCCCGGAAGGCCGTCGAGGAGATGATGGGCGTGTCCGTGTATGAAGCCTTACAGCACGAGCGCGAGCGGCAAGCTAAAGAAGGTAAGCGCCGCGCTTCCGTCTCGAGGTTCATGTACGTCGGGAAGTTAGCTGAAGGTAGTACGGATGAAGAGGTGTTGGCCCAGACCAAAGGGGTGGTGGCCGAGCTGGACGCGGCCATCGAGGATAGCCCCTGGAACCACCCCACCACGGTGGAGGACATGGCCGTCACTGGACTATGTCTCGCCCACGCGAACTGCGTGGTCGGCGTCTTCGAGACGAAGTGCCCGAACGCCCTGGACTTTTTGACCAAACTAGAAAAAATCCCGGCCCTCGAGGACAAGGAATGTAGAGTATTGATGTGCACCGAAGATTGTCCTTCAAGAAACTTCACGGGAAACCACTTCCGGAAAGTCTCGAAAAAACCGGACAACTTCGAACTTTCGGATGATTTGGACGACGTTGATGTCGCGTGGGACCTGTTCCAAGACGTCCTGAAGGTCCACCAGATTTGTACCCGAAGGAACGTGCCGGACCCCATGGACTGCGGGGCCGCGGATTTCATTCCTTCCGCCGATCGGATCCGGGCTTGTGCGGATTCTAACCATAAAAAGCCCTGGTTCACGTTACGGGAATTCCTCGAGTTCTTCACGGACCCCATCCACATCGAATTAGAATCCGATAAAGTCTGGCCGACGCAGCGCTTCGAGCAGGTCACGGGCTATTTGGATGATGTGAACGACGACCTGACGTCGAAGAACCCGCTGCCGCCGGGCAACGAGATCGGGCCCGAGGACATTAAGAACTGAGGTTTCTTCTCGTGTTGTTGGGGTGCGGCGGCGGCGTGCGCGCCAGAGCCACACACATCACGGGGGGTGGGAGCTACACACGCGGCCAGATCAGAGCTCAAGATTCACACATTCATTCACTTACGCAGAGAAGCTACACAAGGGACCGGATCAGAGCTCGACGTGGTCCGCCACCACGCCTCCGTTCGGCACGTCCACGAATCTCTCCCACCCTTTGGAGGGCCGGAAGTGGACGAAGACGTTGTCGTAGCTCGTCCCGTTCAGGGGGATCATCCTCGCATGGATGGCCTTCGCGGACTCGTAGAGGACCATGTCGCCCGGCGCCATGACTACCGAGTGCGCGGTGCCGTCGTGCCCCATGATTTGTAAAGGCCAATCGCTATCCACGTCCTGGCCCACGTTCAGGATCGCGGAGACGGCGTGCGTCGCGACGACGTCGACGTGCGCTTGGAGCGTCGAGCCGTTCGTGTACCGCCGAATGCCGTACGTCGACGTGTGCACTAAGCTACCCCATTTTTCTCTCCCTATCCAGTCCTCTAGTACCGAAGCCGTCGCCCGGTTGATCTCGCGCGTCAAGTCCCTATCTAAGGGCATCGTCAATGTAGGATGCCGCCCGCAGTTGTTCAGGTAGCCTCTGGTACAACCCTCCCGCCTCAACAAATCGCGGTCGAGCATGAGCTGTCTATGTTGAAACAGCCGCGACCGCAGAGGCTCCGGGATGCGAACGAGCTTGTGCCCGAGCTCCGTAAACTGCGGCACCGTCGGCGGCTGGTGCTGGTTGATCCGCAGGTTGTTCGCGAACGTATCTCTGTCGTGGTCCGTCATCTCGTCGCCATAGAGATCAATTTCAAATCCAAAACAGTCCTTGGCTTTGGTACAGTCGACGCCGCACGCCGCCGCGCAGCTCTTGTCCATGTACGATGGGTTCTTAACACATTCGCCCTGCTTCGCCCAGTTGTCGCACTCGGGGTGCTGGTTCGCGCAGCGCGGGTTTGCTGTCACGCAGAGCGCGAGCGCGACGACGGCGGTCGTCCGCATTGTTCTGTTGTTGGCTCGCTGCGGCGGCGTTTCTCGCTGCGACGCCTTTGCTAAGTTGTTTTTTTGTGGGCAGCTCTCACAAAAGAGCTATGCTCGCTTCCCGCAGCCAGGAATCGAATGTAGTTGTCACGCAGCCTCAAGTGTACTGTCCGGATGTCAACAATGACCAGAGAAGGTCGAGCCAACCAGGCTGCAATGCCAAAATGATTTTTTCCGGGAAGTGCGAGCTAGCGGCCTAAGACACTAGCAATCTGCGCGAACCCGCTCGTAAGATGCATCTGATGTTGATTGTGGCTCCAGCTCCGAGGACGCCATCGCCGCGACGCGAAAAAAAAGCTACTCGACCGAATTAGTTACACACAAAGCACGCCCCGGAAGAAAGGACTAGTGGTTCTTCTGCCCATCATCTTGAAGCCCCGCGGTGAAGTCCTCCATGGCGATGCGCTCCTCGCGGATCGACCGCCAGCCGTCCCACGTGATCTTGATGAGCGTGTGGAGCGGGATCTCGACCTTCGGCGCGTCTCGACGTTCGCCACCCACTAAATAAGAATAGAGCACCCTCAAAGTAGCTTGATGACTGACAACTAGTAGAGGCTCCTTGTACGACTCCAATTCATGCATTAATGGATCAAGCCGAGCAATTAGATCCAAGTACGACTCGCCGCGCGGGTACCTGTACCCGAGCTTATCTCTCTTGCGCAACCGCGCTTCGTCACCATGCGTCCTTTCTATTTCCTCATAGGTCAACCCCTCACAGTCCCCGGCGAAGATCTCGTCCAGGTTCCTATAAACCCTGGGAGACATCTGGTGCCACACCCCACCATCGCGCAACTCCAACACTGGATGGGGAATATGCCGCGCCGTATCAATAGTACGTTTGAGGGTTGACGTCCACAGGCGCGCCGGCTGGATGGGCTTCGGCGACGTCGTACCCGTCCGCAAATCGACACAAGGAAACAATCTACCAAATAAAGGTCTTCCTGAACAGCTCTGCTCGTCCTCATCTGTCGAGTCCTCTAAATCTTTCAGAGGTGATCTATGATGAGTAGTCGTCCACACTTCCCCGGGCACGACCTTCCCGAGCCACTTCGCGTACTGCTCGCCGGCCGCGGTGATACCTGGATTGCCTCCTATTTTTTTTTCGACGTCGTACAGAGACTGCCCATGTCTTGATAAGTATACAGTTCTAGGTCGAGGATGGACATGGCTCAAATATTTCACAATCTGCATCAGTAAAAAACCGCGGATGTTGTTCGTGATGACCTTTTTCCCGTAGTCGATGAGTTTGACATATGAGAGATCATCTTCCGAACCATCATCTTGGATCGTCACGAAGTGCCGCCCATAATCCCGGATGGCTCTCTCAGTAGCTGCTAGTTTTCTCTGAACTTGCGCCTCGTCCATGTTTTCATCTGTGAGCCTTGACCTTAAGAATGACCGTACGACTCTATCATCTCGTACTACAACTTCGATGAACAGGAGCTTGACATGAACTCTGAGAGTAGATAGGTGCTTCATCATCTCGTAGCGCGCTGTTTTGGAGGTGCCGGCCCAGACCCTGTCTCGGGACTCGAAACCATCGGAAGAATCGAGGATGGCTATACGACCAGAATCGACGTTCTTCTTCAGTCGATCCAAGGAATCGTCGTCGATACCTTCCGCACTCCTCAACAACTGCGTCGTCGCACTCGCGTCCTCGGCCTCGAGATACGCCGCGAGGGCGTCTCCGACTTTCGCGTCGCTCTCCCGTAACTCGGGACCGCTCAGGTCGAAGACCTCGCACTGCGCGCCGTGGAAGAACGTTAAATAGCGTTGTAGTCTCTCGGCCATGAACTGCTTGCCTCTAGCTGGCAAGCCTAGGAAGCACACGACGTGTCTATCACCTAACGCTCCAGCAGCTAAACCGGCGGCCGGCGGCGGCATTGTTGTGGGAGACGGGTTCGACGGGGAGGAGCGTAACAAATGCTCCTGCGCGAGGACGTAGTGCTTGGCCGCGCCGGACGGGTTCCGCCGGCCGCCGGGCGGGCTCACGTCGGCGTAGCTCGGTAAAGCGTCGGCGGCTGCTGCTTGGGCGGCCATGCTTTTGTTTTTTGCGTCGACTGGCGTATTTATCTTGCGCGACGCGCGACCGGGTGCCGATGATGAATGGCTAGGCTGGATTTTTTTAATGACTTTGCTGCTGGAGCTCTAAGGTTTCACGGGAACCCGCTCCGCGAGCACGGATGTGTTCCTTGGCAGTGAGGAACGTCGCAGCGCTCCGGCAGCGTCTGCTGGTGGGGATGCGCGGCCGACAAAAGCTCGGCTTGTGATTGCGTCGGCGCCGACGCGGCCCAGCGTATGCGTGAGTATTCCAGCTGGAAGGGCTGTAGCAGCGCGTCTTGGACCCTATAACACGGCTGGAGCCAGCTTGGTTCTGAGCGCGCTAGCGGCCTAAGACACTAGCATGCAGCAGAGCAAGGCAAAAAAGTGGCTGTGCGGCGTGATTCCTGGCTCTCTGCTTCTGGAAAAGCTTGCTCGTGTATCGCATAAGTCGTGTGCAATCGCTGTCTGGCTGAAAATACGGCTACATATCACTGCAGCAGGGCAAGGATGGCAGCACCCCCCCAGCGCTACTCCTACGTCGAGCTAGTAGGCGGCGCCGACGGCACCGACACATGCTTACTGTTGTGCGTGGGCCGCTGCGGCAGCGACGCGCTGCAAAACAGGGAGGCGTGCTACGCGTTCCGCTGCGGCGAGGGCTGCGCGCGACTCCTCGGCGCGAACGACGTATCACTCAAACACCTCCGGGCGACGTTCTTAAACAAGGCCACGGACGCTTTAGGAGTGCCGGAATTGTTCTTGCACTGCCGCGAGAGCGGCGTGGACATGCCTGCGATTGTGGGCGACGCTCAGGCCTCGAGAATGGCTGCGGCCGCGTTACGAGCGGCGTGCCCCTGGGCTTCTGATGTTCGCATCGAGGAAAGGTATGAAGACGACCTCATCCGTGTGACGAGAGATAATGAGGCGTTCATGGTAGAAGTGTGCGGGCGGACGCTCGTCGTCAGCGCCGACGCGTGTCATGATGACGCGGACGTCGTGCTGCACACGGAAGCCCGCGACACGCAGATCGTCAATTCTATAATCGTGGACTACACGAGAGAAAACTGCAGGCGCGGCTTCGCGAGGGCAAATGCTTTAACGAGAGAACGGGCCGCGTTCTTCGGCGCCGGGCGGACCTCGTCCAGTGACTATGGTCCGGGTGTGCTGCGGTGCTACGTCGCGCCGCGGCTGCACGTCGAAGAATGTGAAGGGGACGTCGTGGACGACGCGGCCGCGGCGCCATCCGACGACAATGGAGAGGGCCCGCTCCTCACCTTCCTCGGCACGGGCTCGGCGAAGCCCTCGTCGCGGCGCGGCGAGTCCGCGATCATAATAGAGTGGGCGGCCTCATCAATCCTCCTCGACTGCGGCGCCGGCACGCTGCGAACGCTCGGGCCGGATACTGATGAGACGCTCGACGCGCTCGACGCGGTCTGGGTCTCGCACGCGCACTGGGACCATTTTGGAGGCCTCGCGGCATTGGTGGCAGCGGCCGCGCGGCGCCGCGGGCGCTCTAACGAGGACGTCGCGCGCGCGCTCAAGCGGCAGAAGTGCGACGATGTCAAACCGCCTCTCCAGGTCCTGGCGCCGGCGCGCGTCGCCGCCTTTCTGGGCGTGGCCCTGGACGTGCTCGGGGCGCCCGCGAGCGGCTACACCATTCAACAAATCGCGGACCAAGCCTCCTCGAAGATCCAGCGCGGGCCGCTTTCCATAACGTCGATCCGCGTGACGCACTGCCGCGAGGCCTTTGCGTGTATTGCGCGATGCGACGACGAAGAGTGGGCCGTCGCCTACTCTGGGGACGGCCGGCCCTCGGAGCACTTCGCGCGCAAGTGTCGGGAGGAAGGCAAGTTGGTCTTGATACATGAGGCGACGTTTTCTGATGAGGACAAAGCTAAAGCGTTAGCTACAAAGCACGCGACGGTGTCGGAGGCGCTTCGAATGGCAGCTGACGCGAACGCGGATTGCTGCATACTCACCCACATCTCGCAGCGCTACGACGGCGTCTTGGACGTTGATGATGCGCTCGTGGCCTTCGACGGGCTCCGCGTGCGCGCCGCCTCCGTAGCTACGTTGTATGAGGCTTCAGCAAAATGCGAGCGGGCCGTGGCCGCGAGCGCCAAAGCGCGGCGCGAGGCCCGCAAATTGAGACGCTGGGACGACGCTCCGTCCACGCGGCGACCGCCGGACGTCCGCGGTACGCCTGTGGCTTCACCGAAACCTTCTGATGCGCTCGAGGACGCGCTCCGCGCCTTCTACGCCGTCCACGCGCCCCAGAAGGCAAAGGACGCGCCGCAGATCGCTGCGGTCTTCCGGCGCGACTTCGAGGCCATGGACGACCGCCTCTTCCGCAAGTACGGCGCGCGGCTGCAATTACCAAACGACGCGGCGTCGTCGGACGACTCGTCGGACGACGAGGCCCAGGCCGTGTTAGCTTCGCCGGGGGGCTTCGCGGCTTTGGTTGGGGGCTGCGGCGACCTACCGGCGCGGCCCGTGTTTAGTTAGTTAATCTGTGTACTTAACGTCCCATACATCACGTGCCTGTTTGAGGCAGTCCCTCGCCTCGGGCACGCCCGCGTCGGCCGCGAGCTCCCAGCACTCGATGGCGATAGCTCGCCGGTCCTCCTCGGGCATTTTGAGGAGGGCGAGCGACTGCGGTTCCCAGTGCAAAATTCCCAAGTTGACCGCCGCTTTGAAGTGGCCGGCGTCCATGGCCTGCCGGTAGTGCGCCACTGCGGCGTCGCCGTCTTTCACGCCGCCGGGCCTTCTCACGTCGCCGTGGAGCGGGTCCGCCGCCAGGCCAAGTTGGAACGCCGCGCGGGCGTCGCCCAGGTCGGACGCCTGCTGGTAGTAGTCGTAGGCCCGCTTCTCGTCGCGCGGCACGCCGTCGCCCCGTCGTAAGGCATGCGCGTAGTTGAACGCCGCCGGCGCGCAGCCCAGCTCGGCGGCCTTGGCGTAGGCCTCCGCGGCGCCCTCGAGATCGACCTCGGGCGGCGACCCGCCGACGGTCCCGTCGTCGGGCTCGAGCAGGCCCGCTTTGGCCAAGCCGACGAAGAACGTGGCTTCCGCGTGGCCCTCCGCCGCCGCCGCCTCGAAGAGCGGTACGACGGCCTCCGGCGGCGCGCCGGCGTCCAAAGCTTCGAGCGCGCGCTCGTGCTGTTTCGCGGCGGCGTCGGAGAGGTGGCGTGCTGTGAGTGCGGCACGGCCGCGACGCGCGCTGGCTGCGAGTGCAGCACGGCTGCGACACGCGCTTGCTGCACGGCTAGCTGTGCGTGCGATGAGCATTTTGCCAGCTCCTGGCGACGCGTATTGCTCCCTTTGACAGCAGACAGACGAGGGCCTTTTACAGTGTGTGAGTAGGCGACACAGCGATGGCTTCCAGCTTTCGTAGGCGGCTGCACGCGACCAATTACTCACCCGCAATGCAGTATGTGCGTTCTGGTTGCTTCCGCTGGCTTTTAGAGGCAGGCCGCAAACAGAGCAACCTAGCGTCGTGTGACATACTAGCTCACAGCCAGAAATTCTCGTGTGCACAGGGTGCAATCGCTTCCATCGGACATACTATGAGGCAGCTCCTCCTCATCGTTGGGCTGGGGGCTGCCCGCGCCTTCCTGAAAGGCGGCGGCGGCGGTGCTACGTGTGCGGCGGACGGGGGGTCGAGCATCTACATCGAAACCATCGACGACAGCGGCAGCGTGCCCGTGCGCCGCATCCAGTTCTCCGGCTGCCCGAACCACGAGTCGTACTGCACGGGCAAGCCCGGGCGGTCGTGCGGTGACGAAGGTAAAACGTCGACGCTGGTCGAGGGCACCGAGCAGTGCGACGAGGTGGAGGTCCCGGCCTACCCGAAGTTCAAGGACTCCCAACCTGATCCCAAGGAGCTGGACTGCACCATGGGTACCATCGCATATGCCTTAAACGGCGTAGGCTTCTTCTCGGGCGCCGTCTCGTACGTGCGCGGCGGCGACTGCCCGCAGCTCGACGTTTCGGACCCCGAAGCCGAGTGGATCAGCTTTGACTGCTGCACCGGGCACTCGACGGGAGACGGACTGTACCACTACCATTTCCCTCCCTCGTGCCTGCTCGCTCAGGCCGAGGCCGACGCGCCGATGGGCACAACAGTAGCGAACGGGCACTCTCCGCAGATCGGCTGGGCACAAGATGGCTTCCCGATCTATGGGCCTTATGGGCCAGAAGGCGTTCAGATCCAGAATTGCGGAAGTGCGGGCGCGCACGCAACCTACTGCCAGGACGAGTGCGGCGGCCTCGAGATGGAGCTTGACGGCGTTGACAGCTACAAGTACCGCTACTACATCACGGGCAAGGTCGGCGACCTTGAATCGCTACCGTCGAACCCCAAACCCGACTCGGAGGCGCTCTACTTCCCGTACACGATCAGGTGCCACCGTGGTGCGACAGTCGACGAGGCCAAAAGTTCAATGACTAACGGCTACACGAGCGCCCTCAAGGCCGAGCCTCATCTCGGCTACACGAAGATAAGCCCCGTCAAGTGCCTCGACGGCAAGGCAAAGGCGGACTACGACTGGCTCGCCCTGAAAGATACGACCGAAGCCGTCTGCGACTTCAACGGCGCTGCTTCTGCGGCGCCGCAGGTCGCCGCTCTCGCCATCGCGGCTGCCGGGCTCGTTGCGATGCTCTGACCGAGGTTTTATTTGTATAATTAGCTATCGAACTATGTCTCCTGGGTCTTCTGTTAACGAGGTGGCCTCGCGGCGGCGTTTTTTTACGGAGCTAGTGTATCGACACACTAGCTAAAACCAGAAACCAGAGAACAAACAACACACGTGCAAGTGCAAGCTGTCGGGGGCTGTGAGGGCGATGGCACCTCACCACATGATCCTCGCCGCCCTGCTGCTGGGGGCAGCCCGCGCGCCCCCGCCGGGCGGCGGTGGTGGCGGTGGCGGCGGTGGGGGCGGCAGTAGCAGCGCGACCTGTGCGGCGGACGGGAGCAGTGCGAGCTACACGGAAACGATCACGACCCAGAGTGGCGTAAGCGTGCGCAAGATTGTGTCCACGGGTTGTCCCAACCACGAGTCCTACTGCACGGGGAAGCCGGGAAATTCTTGCGGCGACGAGGGAAAGCAAACGACGCTCGTCGAGGGCAAGGAGCAAAGCCTGAGTGTCGAGGTGCCCGCGAACCCAAAGCTCAAGAGCTCGTACACTGCCGAAGAACTAGATTGCAGCATGGGCACCATCGCGTATGCTCTAAACGGCGTAGGCTTCTACTCGGGGGCCGTAGCGTTCGTTTCGGGTGGCCCCTGCCCTCAACTCGACGTGGCCGACGCGACGGCCGAGTGGATCTCATTTGATTGCTGTTCCGGGCACAGCACGGGCTCCGGCGGCTACCACTACCATTTTCCCCCGTCGTGCCTATTAGCTCAAGCGGATGCGGACGCGCCGGTGGGCACAACAGTAGCGAACGGACACTCTCCGCAGATTGGCTGGGCACAAGATGGCTTCCCGATATGTCCGCGGCCAGTGTCCACTCCTACAGCTCGTACGCCATCGACGCGACTCGTCACTCATCTCCCGATTCCGCGCAGACGGCCCGCTCGGCCCCGGCGGCGTCGAAATTCGGAATTGCGGCGCCTCAGGCGCCGACTCGACCTACTGCCAAGACGCTTGCGGCGGCTACGAAGGGGAGTTGGACGGCGTTGATAACTATAAATACCGCTACTACGTCACGGGCAAGGTCGGCGATCTGAACGCGCTGCCCTCGAACCCGAAGCCCGACTCGGAGGCGCTCTATTTCCCGTACACGATCAGGTGCCACCGTGGTGCGACAGTCAGCGAGTATAACAGCGTGTCGGGTTCCAACGGCTACACGAGCGCGCACACCGCTACGGCTCACCCGGGCTACAGCTCCGTGAAGCTCCCCGTCCAGTGCCTCGACGGAAAATCCAAGGCCGACTATGACTGGGCTAACCTCGGAAGTACGACCGGCTCAGGCTCTGGTTCAGGTTCTGGCTCAGGCTCTGGTTCGGGCTCTGGCTCAGGTACGACGTCGGACACTCCGACGAGCGGCGCCGCGGCTTCCGCGCCGCGCCTCGCCGCCGCCGCCGCCGCCGCGACTTTGTTCGCATGGCTCTAAGCGGACTCGGACCGAATTCGCCCCATCGCCCCCATCGCCTGTTGTAACTAGCATATCCCGCGAATCTTACGACGGGGTTTCCAAGTCAGGGCGAGAAGCTCGTGACGCTCTCCGCGGCGATGTCGTCCTCCACCGTCTTCTGCGGCGTCGGCTCCGGCGCGGGCGTTAACGGAGACAGCGGGCCGACGCGGTCCGCCTCCTCACCTTCTGGTGCCGCCTCCTCATCAGAGTCGCTCTCATCATCCAACATCGCCCCCGACTTCCGCGGGCCGTCGGGCGTCGACGCCGGCGCCGCCGGTATAGTAGCCGTTTCCTCGACAACGACGGGCGCCGGCACATCAGTTTTCTTAGGCGACGACGGCCGCGGCGGCAGGGGCGGCGACTTCTTTGCGGAAGTGGACGGCCGCGCGGGCAGCGGCGGGCTCTTTGCAGGAGTCTTCGCCGGCGTCTTGTGGGAGGCCTGCTCGCGCGTCTCGAGGGACTCGGAAGGGCCCGCGGGCTCGTCCTCTTCGGCCTCGGACGCCTCCTCGACCTCCTCCGCCTCATCATGCTGCTTCTTCTTGCCGAAGGAGAACTTGGCCTTCATCGAGGCCATGGGCGACTTCTTCGCAGGCTTGGGAGTTGTAGCATCGCCTTCCTTCTTCTTGTGGGAGAAGAGGGACATTGGAGACTTCAGTCTAGGCTTCTTCTGTGCAGATTGTTCCTCGGTGGCCAAGTCGTCGTCGTCCAGCAGACCGACCAGTTCGTCGAACTCCGTCAATACTCTTGACAGTTCCGCGAAGCGCAGTTCACCGGACTTGGCCTTCTGGTGGATCCCCCGGAACTCCTCGAAGTCGATCAAACCGTCGCCCGACGTGTCGACGCCGGCCATCATTTCATCGAGCTCGTCCTCCGTCGGTGTGCTGCCCGTAACTCTGTTAAGTAGAAATTTAAGTTCGTGCCGATCGACCTTGCCGCTGTGGTCCGTGTCCACTCGTCTAAATTGGTCCCTCAATCTCGTCTCCTCGTGCTCTTTTGCTGCTTGTTCTTCTTGCTTCCTTTTTCTATTGTAGGGGGACAATGCCGCAAATTTCGAGGCGACGGACGTCGGGCTCTTGCTCTTGGGCGTCTTGGAGCTGGTCGCCTGTGTGTGGACCATCATCATCGCTGTCGCGTCGCAGGACGCAGGCGGCGCGCGGGCTCTTCTCCCTCGGCGCTCTTCTGCGGCACGCACACGCCGGGCAGGTTCGTCAAGCATGAGAAGATGGACTTCTTCTGGGGCGGCGGCGCTTCCTCCTCGGTCTCGGCGGCGCTCATGGCTGGTGGTTGTGCGGTCTGGGAGTGCTGCTTGTCTGCGCGTGATCCGCTGCCAGCGGTGGTTCCCGGCTGGAGGCGGTTCGTGCGGACCTGCCGGAGCCGCCGGTTCGTGTTCCGGGAGCGTTTTACGCGGTCTCCGGGCTGCCCAAAGCGCTACGCTTCGTGCAAGTCGTTGCAAGCCCGCACAACGACCGCGTGGGGTCGGCCGGCACTGGCTCCTTTCCGAGCCAGAGGCCTCCAGCCCTGGGGAGAGGTCTTCGGCCCCTTCTGAGGGCTCTCTGGGAATTTCGCCCACACGCGGCGGGGTAGAGATGACGCCATCGACGAAAACCACAACACAGCCAAGTTACCCCGCCTCCTCCCACGCCTCCCGGGACCACTCGCCCGGCGGCAGCCACGCGTCCACGGGCCTCTGCATTGATAGAGACTCCCGGAGCTGACCGCACTGCGTCGCGTCCAGCTTGTGCGTTTCACAAACCCCGCCGCTCACCTCATTGACATCCGACGTTGCTGATAAAGTCACGACGACGGGCGCACCGTCGATCGTCAGCGACACGTAGTGCTCCTCCTGGAACGAAAAGCCCTCGCGGACCTCGACCGAAGTCTCCGAAGACAGGGCCAGCGCGTCTTTACATTTCTCCCGTACTATGGATTTGACGTTCTCGCAGGCCGGCCGTCTTACCAACGATTCTCGGCACGCGTTTTCTACATCATGAGAAAAGCGCGCCTCATCTAAATGATCATCAAGTCGAACACAAACGACGCCACACTCAAAGGTCCGCGACGGCTTCCGGGAAGTCCCGTCGACGTCCAGGATGAACTGCCCCGCGGACTCCAATTTTGCGCCCGCGACGTCTGCCTGCAGCCACGCCTTGTCCGTCGCCTCCGCCTCACATCTTGAACCGCCGAACAGCTCCGGTAAGTCCTCGCGATGTTGTAAAGCGAAGCGAGGTAAATCACTTCGATCGGCCACACAATCGAAGCTCCCGGACGGATCTAAACCTTGCCCGGCGAGCTCATAATAACCAATACCGTTCCGCTGCAGCCGCTCCAGCCTCTTGTGATCCGTGAAGAAGGACGAGTTGTAGGCGTGGGCCTCGATGTAGGACTCGAGCTTCTTTTTCAGTAGTGAAGTGCCGCCAAACGACGAAAGGTGCCATCCACTGTCTCTGATGTGGGACCGGTCGATGCTCAAGTTTGATGCTTGCCGTTCGTCCCGCAGCATCCGCCGGAAGTCCGAATTTGATCGATATCGTAGGTCGCCGACCGCCGCAACTACGCAACCTTCGCGCGCGACCGCGCCCCAGGGCACGCGCGCGCGCCACCTAAAATCATACTGGTGCCAGGCCATCAATAACGCCGCCGGCAGGACCTTTCCGTCCGTTAAATAACCGTGGCAGGCGAGCACGTCGTTCAACCGTTGCGAGTCGGGGATCTCGTCGGCGTCGGACAGAATCACGACGTCGCTCGCGACGGCGCCGGCTTTCTCAAGCGCTTCTACGACGGCGTCGCGCTGCTGTCGCTCGCGCTGTAAGGCTGCCTCCTTGGCACTTAACTCAGGGACGTCGTGCGAGACGTCCGCAATATGCGAAGCCACGCGCGGCGCGAAGCGTCTGAACCTCGAATCGTGTTGTAAGGAAGGCCAGAGCGGCTCGTGGGGCCCGCCGTTGTGTGTTACTGTTGACTCGACGGGCACGAAGACATCTACCGAATCGTCGAGCTCCCGTAACCGGACCTCGAGCACTTTGTCTTCGTTAAAGAACGGGAACGCGTCGAAGACGCGGTGGCGCGTGGAGTTCGAGGTCTTTGCTGCTTCTGCTACACATCTTGATAGAGGCTCCGCCCGCACTCGCTGCACGAGTATTTCAGACACGTCCGCACCCGTCTCGACGTCGACGACGCGCATGTCCAGCGTTAATTCATGCGAACCGAACGCGCCTTCATTCACATCGACGCCAAAGGCCACGGCCGCGAGGCGCGCCGTGCCTGCCCCGAGCGGGCCCCAGTCCGTGCGACACGCTTCTCTACTACCGAGCCGGAAGCACAGCGCCCGTCCTTCCGCGGGCCATCCATCGTTCCATTCCAGGCCGCCCGGCCGGTCCGTGAGCACGGCGCCCGCGATCAGCTCGTCCGTGACGCGCAGTGCATCGTCGTTGACGAGGGACCACCATTCTGCTGTGGCGGCGTGTGCGAGCAGCCACGCTAGTGCTTTCATGCTGCCTTTCGCATCTTTGGGCAGCCCTACGGCTGCGGCTGCGTCGTGTTTTTTGGGCAGCAAAACGGGTTTTGGGGGAATTCACAGGATCTATCTTATGCACAGGGGCGCGCATGGGGACGCGCCGCAGGCGCTAGCGCTTGCCGAGCTTCGGGTAGAGCCCTTTGGCGAGCTTGTACGAGCCGAGCGCGGCGCCGACGCTGCCGACGTTGTTCACTCCGACGTAGGCCGCTGCTTTCGCGAACTGCTCCGCTTCGATCATGGTGACGACGTCCATGGAGAAGGTCGAGAAGGTGGTGAATGCCCCGCATGCGCCGACGCCCACACAGAGCTTCGCGGCCGGCGGCAGCGGCGCCGCGGCAACCGCTCCTAAGACACCGCTCCCAACAGTATTGATACCCGCGATATGCCACGGCGCCAGTGCGTGCTGCGTTGCGATCAGTGCGAGGTTGTGGCGGGCTAGGGCGCCGCAGACAGCACCACAGGCAACAGCTAGGGCGTCGGAAACCATGGTTTTGGTGCGCACGACTCGTCCAGTGAACTAAGGTGATCTGTGGAGCTGCCGAACGACGCGTTTTCCGCTGCAGGATGGCTTGCGAGCTTGTCTGCGGCTTGCCAGTGCTTGTTGCTAGTGTCTTACATGACGCTAGCTCCAACTTTCGACGCTTCGCGTGTTCGGGGCGCTCAGGCGTTCATCGATCTCGCGCACGCTGCTGGCAGCCTAAGCCTAGAGGGAAGAAGTCACCTGACAAGTTTCAGCCACGGATTCTACTCCTAGGCTGAGATCTCGGAAGGCCCCAAGATTTGCGGCGCGATTACGATGTGCCTCAGACTCGTCGCGTCTCTCGCGGCCCTCGCCGTCGCGCAGCAGGAACCCGAGAGCTACGTACGGCCCTCGAGTATGAACCTCGACGCCTATAAAAAAGCAAAGGACGAGGCCGCGATGCTGCGGCTCCTTCTGGCAAACCCAAACGCGGGCGACGCGGCCTATTACTCACAGCTCGTGGACATCGCGGCGGAACTCGGGCACTGCCATGTTCTCGATAACGCGCTCGCGCGCGGCGGTCACCCGCACGGCGAGAGCGGTTCCGGGCCGGCCCCACAAGGAACAGACTCGTGGATGGAAGTTTCCTCGAGCGATGACGCCGAAAAGTGGAAAGGAGCGTTGGGGGAGGACCAGGCCCACAAGGTGAAAGTCGACGAACACGCGACCCAGCATCCCATCGGCGTCGTCGACCACGTCGTCGACAAGAGGCCCCTGCCGCTGACCTTCGCGTGCATCGTCCAGTCCCCGGCCGCGGTGGAGTGCGTGCGGTCGCTGCTCGAGGCCGGGGCCGACCCCGACGCGGGCGGCGGTATGCTCGCGCCACTGAACATGATCGTGAACGGCGGACCCGGGGCGGCGCGGTCGGCGTCGCAGCGCGCGGTGGAGCTTGCAATCACCAAGATGCTCCTCGCGGCCGGCGCGGATCCGAACGCCTCCGAGCCCTTCCAGGGTTGCAGCGCGGCCTTCTACGCCGCGCAGAAGGGCCTCGACGACATACTGGAGGTGCTGGTGGAGAACGGCGCGGACCTGGAGATGGCCAACAAGGGCGGCACCAACCCGATGATGCTCGCGGCCGCGATCTTCGACGTGCCCGTGGAGGCCGCTGGCGGCACGGAGGCGACTGCGCGGCTCCTCGTGCGCCTCGGCGCCAAGCTCGAGCCGCCCAAGGCCATCGAGCTTGAGCTGTCGAATGGCATCCCGACGCTGCCCGAGAACAATTTTCTTCGCTATGGCAAGACCGAGCTCGCGAATCTCGTGCGCTACGTCATCCGCAACGGCGGCGACACCGCGTCGCCGAATTCGCGCGTGAACCCCGAGGCGCTCGCGCTCCGCGAGCAGCTCGTCGATGAGTTCGAGGCCGCGGCGGCACGCTTCGTCGTCGGCGACGCCGTCGTCCTCCAGAACGTCTCGGCCACGTACAACGGCCTCGTCGGAACCATCGCGGGCCCGATCAATAGCAAGCTCAGCTTCCCCGTGAGGGTTGCGCGGGAGGGGCTGCCGCCGAAGATCAACGTCAAGAGCTCGAACCTCGCCGCGGCCGAGGACACCTACTCCGACGAGCTGTAAAGTGAATTCTAGTGTCTTACAGTCGCTAGCTCGACTGCGCCAAGCAAAGCCACGCGCTGCCTCGCGCGCTGTACGTGCAAGTGCCTTGTAGCATTATATCTCGCATTGGCGCAGCGTATTTTGATCGCTCAGCGCGAGCAAAACACGCTATTGCTCGACTGCACACTCGGTCAGCAATCACAGCCTGACCAGCCGCTCGCCGGCACGCCAACCACAGCCCTGCCCACCCGCTCGCGGGCACGCCGTCGCCGCGACCGCAAAACCGGGCGCAGCAGTAAATGCTCGGCAGCGCCGAGTACGCCCGCAACATGCGCGCGACCCAGTCGGGCGTCAACGACCAGTCCGCCCGCCGCCGCCGCCAGCACCAGGTCACGCCCGAGGAGGCCGAAGCCCGGTGGGAGCAGGCCAAAAAGGACCACATGATCCCCTTCCACAAGATGGCTTTACTGACCATGGCGGCGACCGCGCCGGCCTTCATAATGGTGTTCATGTACACGGAGCCCGACGTCGGGTGGCATTGGGCCGTGACGCGGCCATATCCCCCCATTTATGATGTTGAAGAACCCATCATCCTGGGCAAGGAGCAATGTGCTGCTTTTCGAAGATCTACGTCGGACTTTCGACGCGCGGCGCCGGCGGGCCTGCCTTCGTCAGGAGCGGTCTACCTCTGGAAATTACTAAGATTGAACTGCCTCATGCCGCACGAGTGTTTTGAAAGGGAGCGGGGCTTCGACGACGACGACGACCGCATCACGCGTCTGTCGAACGCGGAGAATGAATTACAGAGAAAGAACTGCGCGCCCTTTTTGACGCAGCCGCCCTGGGGCCGCCACGCCTTCCACGGGTCTCCGAGGATCCTGGAGAAGCACCGGCGCGTTAATAGAACCGAGGTCCTGCCCGTGGCCGTGGCCAAGGATCCATGGACCTGGTTCCGGTCGGCCTGCCGGCGGCCGGGAGGCATGCGCTTCAAGCGGGGCGAGACGTGCCCGTCGCCGCCGGGGCCCGTCCGATTTGAAGAAAGACCCTGGGAGTCGCTCGGGCACCTCTGGGGCGCGTGGCACGCGTCTTATGTGGGGACGCGGTCGCTCGTCGTGCGCTACGAGGACCTGCTCTGGCGGCCGGTCGAGACGGTCGGGGCCGTGTGTAGTTGTGTGGGCGGCATGACGGCGCCGCCGCGCGACTTCGACCCCATCCTCGACTCTTATGGTCGTGGTTTATCACGCATCGGGAACCTGCGGCGCTACGGCAACGAGTCGCTGCGGTTTGCTCGGTTGAGTTCGGGCGACGTGGAGCGGCTGGCGGCGCCTGAATTAAAGCGCGTGGCGGCGCGGCTCGGTTACAAGCTTGGGTAATGTGTTCGAGAGTCTACTTGTTAGACAGTGGGGAGACGGTGGGGATCTATTCGGACGTTCAGCACGAGGTCTTAAAGACCATATTGAATCCTTGGCCGATGCTGAAGACGCAGCTTTCGCCTTCTTCAACTCCCCACTCGCGGGGGGGCTTCGCGCCGGCGCCGAGGAGGAGCTGGAGGCAGGCGCCGTGGCCGTTCTGCGCCGCATACTCGGCGGGGCTCATGTCGTCGTCTTGCGGACTCCCGGTGGACTTGGAGACGTCGGTGGGATTGTAAAGCGCGAGCGCCTCGACGGCGGCAACGACTTTCGGATCCGAGACTCGATCGTCGGCCGAATTAAGGGCCTCGCGCAGGCGCGCCTTGGCTCTCACGCGTGCAGGCGCCATTGTATCGAGAGCGCCAGCTGGCGCCCAGGATGGCTATGAGGATGATTTTGCAGGCCATTTTTGAGCGCTGCGACTTGTCGCGTGAGAGTCGTTTCTTCGATACGCGTTAATACAATACTTTTGCCGTCCGTGCGTGTCGCGGCACGTAAAACCGTGCGCGTGGAGAAGACAAAAACCACAAGTAATGCCACGCTCTCAAGCAGCCGCAGAGAGCTTGCCTTATGGATGGCACACTTCCTGAGATCCAATTCGTGAACACAGGAGGTATCATTACGGACAGGAGAAGATTGGGAGCGAATTTTGCCAGAGTTAACTAGCGGCATGTAATGACACTAGCAAGCAGCCTGGGCCGAGTTCAGTTGCTAAGCGCAGCAGCCCGAAAAGCGGCCAAGCGCGACAGGCAGCCCCTGCTTTAAATTTGCCTGCCGGGCGCTGCCCCCGTGGCCACACCTCGCGAGGCCCGCGGCGCGCCTGAGCACCGGTTTCGGTTGGCTTCCTAGGTACCAGTGCGCACGAGTCAGGACGCGGCACCGCGCGGACGAGCCGACCCATGGACGACAAAGACCAGTGGGTCGGCGTAGCGCCATGCGTAAGGGCCGGCATCCGGTCTCTGTTAAGACGCTTCGAGGACCAGCAGGCTGCGCTCGACGAGGCGGCCAAATCCCAAGCCGCGCTCCTCAACGCGCATGCGAGATCGGAGGCCCGCTGCGAGGCCCTCGAGGCGCAGATCGTGGCCGCGCGACGAGAAGCCACCGAAGCTAGGAGGATCGCCGCCGAGAGCTCTATGAATGTGGCCTCACTCGCGGCGGACCTGGCCAAGCGGCCCGTGCGAGACGAGGTGGAAGCGCGAGCATCAGAAGCCTTCGCGGCGGCCACAAAGGACGCACACGCGGCCATAGCGGCGGCCGAGGATCGCTTCGCCCAGAGAAGCGACGACGACGCGCGCAAGCTGGTCGCCCTCGTCACGAGCCGCGACCGCGCGACGCGTGAGGAGACGCGCCAGGCCATCTCGAAAGCTCAGGAAACGGCCCGGAGCCGCGGGGCGACCGCCGCGGCAGAGCTCCGGAAGAGCCTCGACGGAAGGTTCAAGGCCGAGGCCTTGGCGCGAGAAGAAGAAAAAAGGCGGCTCGAGCGGCGCTGCGATGTCCTATCGCGTGAGGCCGACGCGCTCCACAAGGCCTACGAATTGTTGAGGGACGAAGTCCGCCAGAACGTGCGCGAGGGGTGTGAATTCGCCGTCGCCTCGGCGAACGACGCTCTAGATGAGGCCAAGACCGAGCTGTCGCGACTGGCGAACGACGGCGCGCCGAGCGACGCGACCAGTGTGGGCGCCGGCCTCGCTCGAAATATTGCCACATTGGTGGACGCGCGTGCTGCGGTGGTCTCCGACGCAAAGGTCGCGCGCGTGGCCTCGACATTGCGGGCTGAGGCGGCGGAGACGTCGCAACGCATCTCCGAATCGGCAGGTGAGGAACGCACGAAGCGGGACGACGCACACAACGCGTTGAGCGACGAAGTGCGGAGGGTAGAGGAACGGTGTAGCGCCGCGGTCGATGCGGCGAGAAGTGACGCGTCGAAATCCCTGGACGCGGCGACGGAAAAGTATCAGAGCGACGCCGAGCAGCGCACCGCCGCCGCTACCAAGGCGACGACGCACGCGGTACGTAAATGCGCCGCCGAGGCTAAGGCCACGGCCGACGACGCACGCGAGGCGACAGAGCGCGTCGTCCTCGCGGCGGTAGCAGAGGCAAGACGGGCCGCAGAGCGCGACGCCGAGCGGTTGAGCCGCGAGCTGCGCTCCGTCGACGCGCGGGGGGCCGCAGCGGCCGCCGCCGCGGTCGACGGCTGTAGACAGGTCGCCGGCGAGAGCGCCACGCACGCCGTCGAGGCGGCCCGGAGCGCCACCGTCGACGACGCGCGCCGGGAAGCCAAGGCCGCCGCGTCACTCGCGGCGGACCGCCTCTTCACGGAGCAGCGCGCGTCGATCCTCGCAGACGCGTCCAAGGCCGCGGCGCAGCTCGCCGCGAGCGCGGCCCTCGAGGCGCGCCGCGCGACCATCGACGAGGCGCGCGCGGCCGCGGACCGGGCCACCTCAGCTTTACGGGAGAAGACGGCCACCGAGCTCGAGGCCCTCGAAGCGACCTGCGCGGCGAAGCGGGAAGCCCTGGAGGCGCGCGTGACCTCGAGATATAACGCCGACGCCGACCGTTGTATCGAGGCGGCTCGCAGCGCCGAAAGGAAGGTCGACGACCTTGCGAGCGACGTGAACAAGAAGCTCGGTTTGAGGCACGATGAAGTGAAGAGGAGTGTGGAACAGGGCATCGACGGCGTGCGCAAGGCACTCGTCGCGACGGTCGAGAAGCTCGACGGCCAGCAGAAATCTACCATAAAGAACATTAATGATGCATTAGCGGCGCGCGACCAGGCCATCACCTCCCTCGGAGATTCAATACAAACAGTCAAGGACGAGACGCACAAGGCCATCGCGGCGAACAACAAGGTCGTCGAGTCCAACAACGCGACCATCGCCCGGGCCATGTCCGACGTCGTGTCCACTATGGAGAAGCAGGTCAAGGACTCTACGGCCGGTCTCCGGGACGAGATCGGCGCCGCCGCCGCAACCACCGACGCGAAGCGCAAGGAGTATGACGAATCCATCACGCAGCTCACGAGCGCCGTGAAGGCCGTCGCGGACCGGTCCCAGGCGGCCAAGGACGGCGCGAAGAAGGCGCTCGCGGAGAGTTCCAAGTTCGCGGGCGTCTGGCCGCGCCTCGACGCCGCGGAGCGCGAGTGCGCCAAGACGCACGCGTTGGCTATGTCCGCGGTGGGCCAGGCCAACTCCGCGGCCGGCGACGCTAGGGCGGCCGCCGGCGACGCACGTGCCGCGGCGGCCGAGGCCGTCGACTCCTTCGTGAAAGCCAGTGCCGCAGAAGCGTCGCAACAGAGACCTGATGAACGCTTAGCGACGCTCGGCAAGGCCGTCACGGGACTGGCGAAGCAGGCCAAGCGATTGGCCGAGGACGCGCGCGCGGCCGACAAGGACCGAGCGGCGACGCATGCTCTAGCGGTGGCTGCCCAAGGCGACGCAAAGGCTGCGGCCTCCGAGGCAAGAGCGGCGGCGGCCGAGTCGAGGGCGGCGGCCGGAAACGCCGTGGATGCATTCTCGAGCGCCGCGGTGGCGGACGCGATGCGCCCCTCGACGGCGGCGCTCGAGGGCGTCAATCAATTGCAGCGCGCCGTCGACGCGCTCTCGGACGAAGTCGCCACCCTGAAGCGATTGGATGGCGGCCCGCTGTCGCCGGGCTCGCGGTCCGACGTCGAGAGTCTGAAGCACGACGTCGCGGCCGCGTCGGCCATGACGCAGCAGGCGATGAGCGTGTTAGAGTCCACGGCGGACGACCTGCGAGATCGCGTCGCGAAGGTCGTCTCTGGGACTGCGGTGACGGACAGTCGCCTGGCGCGCTGCGAGTCTTCCGTGTCGTCGTTGTCAAGATCCTACGCGCGGATCGCGTCGGTGATCGACCGGTTGCGACGAGAAACGCCGGACGCTAGGCACGCAGCGGCGCGGAACATGGGGTCGCCGTCCCGCGGAGCCGATGCGCGCGTCGAGGAGCTCCTGGCGGAGCGGGCCTTGACGATCGGGGCGATCGAGGATCTCGCTCGCGCGTTGGATAGGCCAGCCGCCGAGATGGATCCGCTCTCTGTAACATAAGACACAAACACTAACTTAGTCGTAGCCCGCCCGCGCGAGCAGGCGCCGGAGGCCCGCCAGGGTGACAGCCTTGCCCTCGCGCGGTCCGCGCCGGTAGAGCAGGTGCGCCCGCGGCTCGCCACTGAGCGAAGCAATACCGCCCTGGGGCAGGACCGCGGCCCGGAGCCATCCCTCGTCGACCGTCGAGGCGGCCGCGTCGTCGCCGAAGACGATGCGACAGTGCGAGACGACGTCTTCGCCGTCGCCGGCAGCCCAGACGCCCGACGATGCGTTGACCCTGACGAAGCCGAGGCGCGCGAGTTGTTCGGTGGCCTCGGGACCATTCGCCCAACGGATATATGCGAGCGGAGACGCTTCGTCTACGTTCGGAGCACGGTGCGGCAATTCGCGACGGTCCTTGGCTCTCGCGCGCGCCGCAGCCCGCGCCGTCCACGCGTCCGCGGCGCGCGCGGCGTAGGCCGGAAACGGCTCCTTGTCGTGCGCGAGCGGCGGCCGCCACGCTGCAGCGCAGTCTGCCGCCCAGGCGCAGAGCCGCCGCACGCGCGGCGCGTGTTGGAGGGACGTCCGGTGCGCGAGGCCCATTATACAACCGAGCACGCCCCGTAATTCATCATCTAGAACACGAAGCTTCTGCGTCAACGGCAACGAGCCTTCGAACACGTCCAGGACCCGGCTCGTCGCCCAGAACAGGTGGTCCGCGACCTGAGCCCCATTTAATTCAGACGACTGCAGGGCGTAGCTCAGCGGCGCGACGAGCGCCGGGTAGAGCGAGACCACGAGGTCGACGTACGCGTCGTCGCCGTAGGCGCTCACGAGGCGGTCGCAGCGCCGCGCGTACGTTTCCAAATCCAAGGCCCGTGTCAAGGCGTCCCGCGCGGTCCCCTTCAGGGTGCTGAAGCGCTTCGATGTACTATCAGCGAGCTCCTCCACAACAACTTCCAAGTCCGCGTCGCTGAGATCCGCCAGCTCCAATTTTAAACTTAAGCCGGCGGTGCAGTTGCCGGCCGGCTGCGCCTTTGCTAGACACGCGTCCCGCTCGGTCCTCGCGTCCCGCGCGCCGAGGCCCGCCGCCGCCAGGCGCTGGAGCACGGACATTCCCGTCAGACCCTTCTCCGCGAAGAGCTTTACCAGTGATGTACATGTCGCGTGCGACGACGGTAGCGCGCGGACCGTCGCCAGAGCCAGGATTGACCGTCTCGGAATGATCTGGAGGGCCCGCCTCAACGCTTGTCTCCTTCTATCATCGGTCAGCGCTTCCGTGAGTCGATCGAAGAGCGCCGCTCGGAAGCCCTCTATGGCACATCGGTATTCAGCAGGCAGTTCCGCGACGTGGTCCGCTTTTGAAAACGCCGCCGCCGGGTCGATCTCTGAGGAGAAGGCGGCGTGCGCACTCCTCTGAGCGGCGAGGTAGAAGCACGGCTCCGCGACCGCGTCCACCAGCGCGGCGCGCGCGTCGGCGCCCGCCACGTTCCTCGAGCGCTCTACTAACACAGGCAGCCGCTTCACAAATCTGTTGATAACGTCCGGCCAGCCTTCTTTTGATACTGCGGGGCAGGCCTGCGCATCCTGGAAGAAGCCGTCGAAGAACGGGGCGGATTGTTTCGCGAGGAGCTGGCCAAAGTCGCCGTCGAGCGCCCTCCGCAGCAACTCCCTTTGTGTATCCTCGCTGTCTGGCACGACAGGTGCGTTATCGGTCCAGCGCACCTCTCCACTATGATTGTAGAGGTAGTCACGGCCCGACTCGGCATCGGTCGCGACACGCCAGCCTTCGGGAGGCAGCCTCGCAGCGAGCGCCGCCGCCGTCGCCGCGATGGCGTCGTCACTCATCCGTGCGAGCCCGCGCGCCTCGCGCATGCGGCGCCCGTCGTCGTCCTCCGGGCCGGCTGCCCCTTCATTTTCAATGATGGCGTCCTGCGACGGGATGCAGAGCAGCGACGCGAGGAAGGGGTAGCGGTGCTGCTCCGGTTGTATATTCATGCCGCCGAGCATTTTGTGATGCAGCCCCTTGGCTTTTTTTTCGACGCAGGCGCGTTAAGCACGACGCGGGCGACTGCCCAGCACCTCTTACGCGGCTCTGCGTGATCGATGCGCTGGCGTGTGCGCTCAGCCCCCATCGCATCGAGATGCTTTTGTGCGGGGTTCGCGTTTTCTGAATCAAAGAATGGGTCGAATGTGACGTGAGAGAGGCCTCTGCCGTTGCCCGGACGACTCCGAGCCCGAGTTTCCGACCCCGCCGCCCGGAGCGAGTGCGGCGCTGCTGCTCTCAGTGCGTCTCGCTTGCTCGCGGGACACGCACAGATCCCATCGAGTACACGGTACAACCGCAAACGACGCCTACCACGCCATCGAGGCTGCCCCGTTCACTGGTCGCGGGACGCGGACGCATAGAGCACACCAGAAGCCGGCCGCACAGCACACCACCAAAATGCCGGAGGAGAGCAAGGAGGTGGACATCCTGCCGCGGCTGCGCGGCATTTTGATGAGCAGCGACTTTAGTAATCAATTTGAGGCCTTCGCGGAGGACCACATCGAGCCCTTCGTGCGCGTGTTGGACGACGGGAAGTCGCCGACGCTCGAACACGTGGAGCACGACCACGAGCTCCATGATATTTACAGATTATACCTCGAGACGTTCGAGAAAAAAATCGAAAAACATATTATCGAGGCGGGCTCGACGCTCGACGCGTTCATGCGCGACGCGCGGCGGACGCTGGAATCCGCCGAGGAGTTCGACAGCTCGCGGTTTTTCCTCGAGGCGCTCCTCGCCACCACGACGTACGAGACGTTTTTAGGACTCATGATGACCGAAGCTAGGCGGGTCAAGGACAAGCGCGATGCGAAGCTGGACACGATCGACGAGGACGAGGAGAAGAGTGGGCATAAGTAGCACATCATACTTTACCTTATCCTGCCCCCTTTTTCTGGTTGCATATCCTGTGGACGACCTGCAGGTTCGACATTTCCGTGCGGCCGCCGCGGGCGAGAGGCACGATGTGATCGATGTGCAAGAGATCGTCCGACGGGCCGAGGGCCTCCCCGCAGAGCGGGCACGGGGCCTTGATTCGCCGCGCCTTTTCTATCATTTCCACGCGCACAGCGCGCGAGACGGCACCGCCCTTATGGCCCGCGAGGATGGTCTGGATGGCATCCTCGAAAGCCGCGACGCGTGCCTCAGTGCCTTTGTTTGTCAGCGTCTCGAATGCGGGGTGCCTAACCATCAGGTCGACAAAGGCCGCTCGAACCTCCGAGGCCCTCGCGACCAGCGCCGCCTTGCGGTCCGGTCGACTCAGGCAATACAGGACGGTGTCCCAGATGTGCTTTTGGACGCTCGTTCTCGTTTGGAAGCGCGCGCCACCGTCGACCGCGCGTCGGAAGCGCTCCTTGGGGTCGGGGAAGATGAGGACCGCCAGCTCCAAGGCCGCGTCGAGGCCGCGCCGCCACTCTTCGATGCGTGCATCATCCTCCCCTTTGTTGAGCCGCTTCATCAGCTCGAGCGCGTGCTGCTTCATGCTGGGCTTGTAGAAGTCTCTGGGCCCGTCGCACTGGAGTGCAAAGTAGCGGAGGAGAAGCTCCTGCTTCTCGTCCTTTTCGAGTTCGCTCGTCTCGCCGAGCGCCCGTGCGAGGTTACTGCTGGTGACGCCCCCGCCATCGGCCAGGCCGTCGAGCATCGTCGTGAAGGGGCCGCGTGAGATCGCGCGCCGCAGCTCCTGGTCCGTCATCGGCGTGCCGCCGCCCTGGATGCGCTTGAAGAAGTCGAGATAGTCGGTCATTTGCCACGAGGCCGGAATGACGGCGCAGCGGAGCCCGTAGCGGCTCTTGATCTGCCGCTGCTGCTTCTTGTCGAGGTCCTTGAACGTCTTGCCCTCGAGGTCCTTTAGGATGGGCAGGCCCTCGAGTGCGAAGGTCCCGTGCGTGCCGGCTTTCCTCTGCGGGGCCGTGGCCTTCCAGTGCGGAGCTCGCTCGCCCTTGATGAAGAGCTTGGTGCTCGTGAGCCGCTGCTGGCCGTCGAAGACTGCGTAGCCTTCATCAGTGTCGAGCAGCACGATCTCCGGCAGGCACGGGTAGCCCCGCAGAATGCTCTCGATCCAGAGGGACGACTGCTTCTGCGTCCACTTGAAGCCGCGCTGGAAAATGGGCCGAAGGTCCAGCTCGCCCGCCTCCTCCTTGCTCAGGATATTCTCGAACTCAAATTCCTTCACGGCGACCGCAGCCAGCTGCTCTTGCGACGCGCCCGCGTACTCGTCGTCGTCGTCGTCATCCGGCGTGCTCGCAAGCGGCGCGCATCGGTTGCCGCGAGTCGATGTCAGCCGCAGCACAGGCGTGAACGCCGTAGCAGTGACGGCGGCGACGACGAGAACGCGTCGCGCCACCATTTTTTCGCGACCAATGAGCGATGCAGCAGGAGTAATAGCTGCCAATGTGCACTGCTGGATTTACTCGATCGATGCTAGTATCTTACATGCCGCTAGCAAGTCCATCGGACAAATCACATTACACGTCCTCCTGGGCCGCGCGGAGGGCCTCGAGGGGGACATTGAGGCGCTTGCAGAACTCTGCGTCGGTTTTCGAAGTGCTATTGAGGACAATCACGGGATCAGCACCGGCGGCCCGGCAGACTTTGAGGCGCGGTTGGTATCGTTTTGCCAGGCTGTAAGTAAGAAGGGGCGGCTTTCTTATCACCCGCGCGCGGATATCAACGCAAGCTATTCCCAGCTCTCGTTCGAAGAAACGTAGCTTCGGCTCGAGGTTTTTCTCGATGTTCAGATGGAGCAGCGTGGGAAGGCTTGTCAACATGCATGTGAGCTCTGCATTGTTCAGATCAAAGCGCGACTGCAGCCAGCGAAGCTTCGGCTCTATGTTATCCTCGATATTATAACCCAGTAGTGACGGACTTCCAGCCACCATCTTCTTTAGCTGCTCTTCTTCCAAGTCGAGGCGCATCTGCACCCAGTCAAGATTTGGCTTCATTTTCTTCTCGACGCTGTAGCCCAGCAATTGGGGTTTTATTAATACAGCCTTCCTCAGCTGCGCTGTGTCCAGTCCGAGGCGCGTCTGTAGCCATGTAAGGGTCGGTTCCATATTCTCCTCGATACTGTAGGCTAGCAGATTTGGTTTTATCAGAAGAATCTTCTTCAGCTGCTCTACGTCCAGGTCCAGGCGCCTTTGCAGCCACTCTAGCTTCGGCGCCATGTTGTCCTCGATGCTTAAGCCTAGCACCACCGGATTTCGTCCCAGCTTTTTCAGTTCTAAGTCGCGTAGGTCGAGTGTAGTCTGCAACCACTCCAATTTAGGCGCAAGATTCGCCTCGATGCTGCAACCTAATAGCGGTGGCCGACGTATTAGAAACTTCTTCAGCTCCGCGTCGCCTAGGTCCAGAGTCGATCGAAACCATTCAAGCGTCGGCGCCAAATTGGTCTCGACGTAGCAACTTAAGAGCGAAGGGGCTCTGAGCACAAATGTCCTCAGCTCCACGTCACTTAGTTCGAGCTCGGACTGCAGCCAATTGCACACGCAATCGATTTGCGCCCGTGTCAGGCTCTCTGCGGTCCTCGGTAACAGTTTTCCTTCAGCCTTGGCCGCCTCCTTCGCCGTGCAGCCCAAGGACTGGATGCAGTAATCATAGGCTGCCCCTGAACACACAACGTGGCTGGGCGGCCTGGCAACCGGCGGAACCAATGCGACCGTCAACGAGAGGTGCAAAACGCATGCCAACCTTGCCATTTTCACCCCATCGCGACCGTCCGGGCCAGGATCCCAGCTTTTGCTGCTCTTGCTAGTGCCTTACATGTCGCTAGCTAATCGCATGCGCTTCATCGACAAAAACGCGTCAGGAGCCACCGCTGAACGCCGACAGACGTGCTAACTGCGCCTTATTGCTCCTCACAGCCGAGCCAAACCACAGGGCACGGCGCCGCGCCGCGCACAGCCCCACCAGCCCACATCGGCTCACACAAGCTCATCGGACAGCGCACGACGCCAGCCGCCGCGAAAAATGTCCTTCTGGTCCCAGAAAACAGCAGCCATCGGCCAGAAGAAGTATGGCCTCGTCAAGAAGCAGGGGAGCGCCCTCCAGCCCCAAAGCGCCGCCGTCGCCGCGCTGTTCGGAGGTGGCGACGATGATGAACCAAGAGACCAAAAAAAGGAAGTGGCCCAGCAGATGCGCGACTTAGGGGCGGCCCAACGTAAAAGAGCCGCAGCACAAGCCGCGCAGGCCGCAGCTGTAGATCCTTCAATATATGATTACGACGGCGTCTACGACCAGATGAAAGAGGACGAGCGCAAGAAAATCTCGGCGCGGAGCGGCCTGAGCAATACGAACCACTCCAAACCTGGGGCGAGATATATTGGGAGTCTGAAGCAAGCCGCGAAAGTGCGAGAACGGGAATTTGACAGAGTCTACGAGCGCCAACTCCTCAAGGAGCAGGAACAAGATAAGGATACATATGGCGACACGGAGCGCTTCGTCACGGCGGCCTACAAGAAACAGCTCCAAGAAAGCAGAAAGTGGGACGCCGAGGACCGCAGGATGGACGAGGTCGAGGAACGGACCTCGGCCCAGACGTCGGGCATGGCCGGCTTCTACTCTAATTTACTTACTAGGAATATTGCCGCGGGCGCGGACGTCGAGAAGGCCGCCGTGTCGTCGTACACGCACGGCTCGCGGCGGAACGCGTTCGTGGACGAAGGGCCGTCATCGGTCGTGCCACGGCAGGAGGAGGACGCCGCCGCGTCTGCGTTGGCGCGGTTCGACGATGCGGTGCCGCCGTCGGCGGACGACGAGCGCAAGGCGCGGGCGGCCTTCGCGGCGTCGCGGGGCTACGACGCCGTCGCGGAAAGACTGGCCAAGGTCGAGGACGAGGAGGTGAAGCCTCCTCCTCCTCCAGTCGTGGAGGCGCCGCAGGTCGCGCCGCAGGACGCGGCCGCGGCGGCGCGCGAGCGGTTTCTCGCGCGGAAGCGCGAGCGGGCCGCGCGGGGTAAGTGAGTAGTGTGTGATTATTCTTTCTCTTTCTGTTTCGACACGCGGCGGTACTGCGCGAGGTACGACTGCAGCGGCGGCACGTACTCCTCGAACCCCAAATTCTGGAGCGCAAATATCAGGTCGTCGCCGTTGATCGTCTTGCGCTTCTCCTCGGCGCAGCGGCCGGCGGCTTCCTCGGTGACGAAGCAGACGAACTCGGACCTGCGCGTCGACGGCGTCAGCTTCGCGCCGTCGGGGCGACGTGTCGCGAACCGGAGTTACCGGACGCCGCGTCGTGACAGGCTCTCCTGGAGCACCTCCTTCGCGTCCTTCGAGATCTTCTCGTCGGCGGGCAACAAACGTCGCATGATGCGCTGTATGTTCGCGACGGGGAGGAGGCGGTCCTGTTCGCGGCCCTCGCCGCCCGCCGGGGATTGAGCGCTCATCGTTGCCGCGTCCGACTGATCACGAACTCTACTACGCGGCGGCGTGAAGCTCCGAGGACCGTCGCGCCGATGGCGTGGAGGGCCTTATATCTTTACGCAGCGGCGCGTGCGAAACAGGAGCCTCGACAGCCACTCACCGGTCGACGTTTTCAGACAACTCTAGAGAGGCTTGGGTCCTTGGAGTTACGCGGCAGTGTGGATGTCCCGTCTCTCTAGACGCTTTTCGACCCTGAGACTCTCAATGGCCGGCCGTGGTGCCACTAAAAAAGCGATGAACTAGCGTCCAGTAAGACACTAGCAAGCCGCCTGGCACGCCAAAAAAATCAGTCCCGGCGCAGCATAGCTGGCCGCAGCCGTCACATATCACAGGACTCGCGCCCGAACGGAACGCGCTGGAGCAACAATGCTCAAAACCCTCCTAGCCGCCGCGCTGCTCCTCACCCTAATAAAACTTTTGCTATGGTGCACGGCGCCGCTGCGTTCGAGTAGAGACACGGCGCTGGACGAGGACGCAAGGGAAGCGTGGCTGAAACGGCGACCCAAAGAGCAAGTTCAGCTCAGTATTATCATTCCGGCCTACGACGAGGCCGAAAGGCTGCCTCCCACGCTGCGGATCATGGAGTTGTATTTAAGAAACAGAAAAAAGGACGATGCGACGTTCACCTTCGAGATCATTGTGGTTGATGATGGGTCGAACGACGCCACGGCATCAACAGCGGCCTCGATCGGCGCGCAACTTTTTCCAGAAAACAATCTGGTGGTTGTTAGACTACCAAAAAACCGGGGCAAGGGCGGCGCCGTCAAGGAGGGTGTCTTGAGGAGTCGGGGTGCCTATGTGTTGTTGGCTGATGCGGATGGCGCGACGGACATCCGGGATCATGCTTCATTAGAAGCCCGAGCTTTAGCCGGCGACTGCGCCGTCGTCTGCGGCAGTAGAGCTCACTTGGTGGACACGGCCGTGGTCGCACGTAGATCTATGATTAGGAATATTCTGATGCGGGGCTTCCACGCGGTTGTGCAAATTGTCGGCGGCGTCGAGGGCGTCCGGGACACGCAGTGCGGCTTCAAATTGTTTCGGAGGAGGGAGGCGCTGGTGCTGTTCAATCAATTGCATCTGGAACGGTGGGCCTTTGACGTCGAGATCTTGTATGTGGCTTTGGCGTTGCGGTATCGCGTAGCAGAAGTTCCAGTGACGTGGACCGAGGTGCCGGGCTCGAAGGTCGACCTGGTGCGGGACTCGCTGCGCATGGCGCGGGACATCGCGTGCGTGCGCCTCGCGTATTTGGGGGGGCTGTGGCGGCTGCCCCAGCATCGTTAACCTTAGTGTAGTAGTAGTATCACGTTTCCGCGGCGATGGCGTGGTATTCACAGTAATACTTAAAGCACAGCACACCCCCCCTCACCGCGCCGCAACCAACGCCAGCGCGCCGAGCCCGCAGTAGAACAAGGACACGGGCATCGCGACGGCCCAGAAGGCCCAGCGCGGCCCGACCGCCGTCTCCGCTTCATAAAACACGGGGTAGAGCCAGGCGCCCGTCAAACGCTTGTTGACGAGCTGGAAGAGGTTGTAGAAGGTTGTGTAGCCGCCCACAAACACTAATACGTCCCGCATCGAGCACTGGCCCGCATGTTGGCCGTAGAACGCGTCCAATAATGCGGTGGGCAGGGCGAGGCCGTGCTCGAGGTGGTTGGCCAGGGGGATCATCGTATAGCCCTTCTCGATCCAGCGTTTATCCTCGGCGATTTTTTCGGGTAGAAAATGGTCGAGCCCGTAGTAGTTGATGGTCAATCCAACACCCGCGGCGAAGGCGTAGGGGTAGGCGTGGACCGCGATATATGACTCGGGCCGCACGTGGCGCAGCGCGTGGTAGAGCGTCAGCAGTATGTTCGACTGGACCGTGAGGAAGGTGATGCGGCCAAAGTACTGGCACGCTTGGGGTTTGCGCTTTTTTGCCGGGACCATCCACAGCAACCCGCTTGCTACCGCGACGAGGCTTAGGAGGCAGCAGAGGAGGTTGATCATGGTTGTCCTTGACCCGAGCTTTGCTTAGGGTTGCTTGCCGTCGGGCCGCGCAGCAGCTGGCGTGTGGGTGCGCTGCTGGTTGCGAGCACAGGGATGGGTTTGGGACGCGCCCACTTGCACACGCAGCGACTGCGTATACGTGGAGTCCCCTTGCAACGGATAATACGCGCTCGCGGTGCCGTGTTTGAGAGCGACGGCCTCAAAAGCCCGCTCAAAAGCCAGTGACCCCCGGTTGCTAGTGCCTTACTGGAGCTAGCTGACTATTTTGGGCCGCTGCAGGCAAACCAAAAAACCTCAGCACACACAGCCCGTAGGTTTGTGTCGCTTCGCATTAATCGAGCACGTACTATTTTGCTGGTCTCCCCGCGAGCACGGCTCGAAATACGCCGCCGAGAAGCCGTACAAGGTCCAAGAATCACAAACTCATTTTTGTGGATAGCTAGGCGGCACGCGGTCAAACACAACCATGCCGAGACCAGGCGACGACCCCACCCCCTACTGGACCGTCGACGACACCAGTAGCGACGCGCACACGAACTACGAGCTCGCAACGTCGATAGCTGTTGCGACGGCCCTAGAACGGCGCCGCCTCCCGCCGGAAGTCGAGCAGCAGATCATGACCTACGCGCGGCCGACGCTGCCGCGCGACACGGCCGACGAATTGGAGAGAGTCTGGGCGGCCGCGCGCGACGTCGCCGAGCGGGGGCGCTTGGATGGCCGCGGGCCGGCCGAGAATATTGATATACTGCGCTTCGCGCGGAGCGAGTTTAATAAGCGGCGGGACGTCGTCGAGCTCGGCGGCGTGGACGTGGGGCCGCCCCTACCATTAGAGGTCGCGCCGGCGTCGGTCGCCGCCGCGGTATTGCTGAGAAGGGCGGGCGTCGAGGTGCGCCTGCGGGGCGCGGGCTCGCGCCGCTGCTTCTACTTCCCGCAAGTGCGGCGGCTCCACTACCTCTCGCAGGGCACGCGCCAGGAGTGGGACCGCCTCTTCCGCTCCCAGGCCTCCTGATCTTTTTGTAAAAACCCTGTTCACATATCTTAGACACACCACATGTCCTCAGGCCTTGCACGTCTTGTCGGGGAGGCGGTCGACGACGGAGCCGCGCGCGGGGACCTTGGTGCCGCCGGCGATGACGTCGCTGTCGGCGGCGACCTGTGTGGGACTCGTTTACGCCATCATGAAGTTTGCTTTCGACGCCGGCCGCCCACGTCCAGGTTCCAGAGCTGGAGCAGGCCCTTAGAACTTTTATGGACGCAGCCCGTCACGAGGTGGCCGTCGGGGCCGAGGCACATGGCGTGTTCCCGGCCCGCCGCGCTGCCGAACAACGACGCCGAGAAGCCCGCTAAACTCAAACCGGCGAGGCCCGTCGCCAACCTGTCGCCGCAGACGTGGACCGTGTGCTGTACGCTACATTTGCTCCAGACCTGGACGTGCTGGCCCTTCGGCAATAATCTGATCACTTTCACCGGAGCGCCGCCCTTCCGGTGGCGCATCAATAACGCGTAGGCCTCGTCCTTGCGACGATGTAAGGGCGCGATGGCATGCACAAAACCTTGGATGGACGCCAGCTGTTTTATCGTGCCGTCTTGCGGGTAGTAGGCCATCAATCGAGTCCGCGCGTTTTCCACTTCCGGCGAGTCGTCGTCGCCCTCCACATCTAGACAACCCACCAGGATGCGGTCCCTTTCTCTTTCAGCACAGAGCGCCCGGATCATATTAGCCTCTAGAACGGGTGCCTCGTCGACCTTATTGCTTTCCAGGTCTACTTTCCAACACGCGCACTTCGTCTTCTTGCCTCTTTCAGCGCCGGCGACGAAGCACGTCTTCGAGTCCCAGGCACAGACGCTTGTTAAGCGAGGTGGTGTTTGATGGTGTCCTGCGGACGCGGCGCGCTCCACCTGATCAGTTTCGCAGTCCACTTCACATAAATGACCCTTGGCGTCGACCACGAGCACCTTCCTCGTTTTGGGGACACACGCTAGCGACTCGGCCTTGACGCCGTCGCCCAGCGGTATCTTCTTGAGGACCTCGCGCTTGCCTCGGGACACGAGGAAGAGCTCGCCGGCCGTGCTGCTGGAGACGGCCAGGGTGTCGTCGTCGAGGAAGGCTACTCCTTTGACGCCGGCGACCATTGTTGCTTGTGGGCAGTGCTGGGCAGTTTCTAAGGTGGAGTCTGTGCGGCCCTGCTGCTGCGCGGCGTTTGCGAAACGCGGTTGTCGCAGTGAGAGGAGTCACTGCGCTTCGCCCGCAGCCTCGTGTGCGCTTATCAGTGATTTAGCCACCCGCAGAGCTGATTGGCTGCAGACCTAGATCAGCAGACTCTCTAGCTCGCGATTTCCGCCAGACGTCTACAGGACTCCACAGAGGCACCGTAGACCCCGGACTCGTCGCACGAAGCGCTGCGTCTCTCAAACCCGGAGAGCACGCAGCGCAGCGCCGAGAGGGCAAGGCCGCCAAACAAGCACCACGAGGCACCCGAGGCGTTGTGTGCGCATCCGGGCAGCCTCTCGAGGCTTCGTTAAACGCACATCCCGCGGGGGCAGCAAACGTTCGCGCTGCTGCTTGCGAGAAACACTTGCACGCTCTCGAGACGCCGCCGCAGACGCGAACACCACACAAGCCGCCCCCGGCGCCGCGCGACGACCATGAGCGTCCGCGCCCATAAAGCGCGGGACCAGGTCCAGATCACGAAGGTGGCCATCAGTCCTAGCAAAAAGCCGAAGCGAAGACCCCGGTCCGAGAAGTGGGCGAGGGTCGTCAACAGCCCGCCGAAGACGACGCCGGGCCGCAAGAGCCAGAAGCCCATCCCCTTCCCGGCGCCCATCGAGATGGACGAGAACCAGTTCCCGCCCCACGACCCCTACGCGGCCGGTTTGGAGGGCAAGTCGCCTTATAGGGATCCCTTCGTGCGAGATCTTCCCGAAGTCACCGATGCCGACCGAGCTTTAATTGCCGACTACAAGATCCGCGTGAAGGGCGGGAAAGTCACGGATGAAGCGTATTGGAAGAGCGTCGGTTTTAAAGCTGTTGGGGACCCCGATGCCATCAGCGAGAAGAAGAAGAAGGACTATGGGTTTGGGGTTCCGAAATGGTCACCGCTCTACACCGGCAAGCAGTCGCCCGCGAAGTCGCCCGCGAAGCCGTCGTCCGCTCAGAAGACAGCACAAAAAGTTCTTGGAGTACCAGACAATCTCAAGGCTAAGTCAGTGAACCCGAAGCCGGGGGAGCTGTCGGCGCAGCAGAAGATGAACTACGGCTTCGGCATCCCGCGGTGGTCGCCTTATGCGCCGACTGGCTATCGGGTCAGCAAGGGCAGTGAAAGTCACGAGTACGGGTCATATACCAAACACGACTACCTCATCAAGCTCGCGGCGTACCTGCGGGAGCTCGCCATTCAATCCGGCGAAGATTTAAAGATGCAGCTCGACCCATCCTTCAAGAGCCTTAAAGAGGCCGAGGAGAAGGCTAAGAGAGAAAAGGAGAACGCGGAGGCCATGGAGCGGCTCTCGCGGGAGGCGTCACGTGAGGCATCGGCCGAAAACTCGGGGGCCGAGGAGGCCTAGGCAGCGCGCCCGGCGCGTAAGATAATGAGTACAGCCTAAGGAGACACGTCGCGTCGATGGCGTGGGGCTGAAGTTGGTCCATCAAAAATATTACCCTCGGTCCGCGCGGCGTGCCGGGCGATTCTGGAGCATGGTAAAAAAAAACAGTCGGTCACTGACTGACTGACGGACTGCCAGTGACTGGTAAAAAAAAAGTCGGTCGTTGATAAATGTAATAGGTCATTATACTTCACCTCAATCGTGGCGACGCTTAACAGGCGCAGAAAAATTCCCCGAGCCCTTTTTTAAAAGCCGACCCGAGTAGGGTAAGGTACCAGTACTATAATCCTAATAAAAAAAAATTCAGAAAACAGCCTCGACGCCATCGACGAGTACTCAAACGACGAGTGATGCCGAGTAGAGTATTCAAACGACGAGTGATGCCGAGTAGAGTATTCAAACGACGAGTGATACCGAGTAACTCCTTTACGCGGGTTCCCATCTACAAGCGAACGTATAAGGGGAGGGGGGGAACACCACGTTCACTCGCCGTCTAGACCGCGATCGCCTCGGGCCGCGGGTTCGGCGCCGGCTTTCCGGTGTACTTCTCGATCAGCGCGTCGAGCTCAAATCCGTCGATCGTCTCCTTCTCCAGGAGCGCATCCACGGTCGCATCAAGGAGCGGCCGGTACTGCGCGAGCGTCTCCTTGCACGTCGCGTAGGCCTCGTCGACCAGCTTCGCGACCTCGTCGTCGATGGTCGACTCCGTCTCCTCGGACGCCGCCGTGGAGCCAGCGAACATGCCCGGCGACTCGGCCGGCTCCCACGCGATCGGCGACAGCGAGTCGCCGGAGAAGCCCCACTGCGCAACCATCCTCCTAGCGATGTTGCGGACCTGCTGGAGGTCGTTCGACGCGCCCGTCGTCACCTCTTCACTGCCGTAGACGAGCTCCTCGGCGACGCGGCCGCCGAGCGCGACGGCGAGCTGGCCCTTGAGGAACTTGAGGGAGTAGAGGCCCGACTCGCTTCTGGACTCGTCGGGCGTGAAGAGCGTGAAGCCGCCCGCGCCGTTCGACCGCGGGATGATCGTGAGCTTCGCGACGGTGTCGTAGCCCGGGATGAGCGCGGCCATGACGCCGTGGCCCGCCTCGTGGTACGCGACCAAGCGTTGTCTAGCGGGGTTGTTCATGCCCGTCGTCTTGGCCAGGCCGACCGTCAGCCGGTCGATCGCGTAGTCGATCTCGGAGAACGTGATCTTGTCCTTGGACCGGCGCGCGGCCATGATGGCCGCCTCGTTCATGAGGTTCTGGAGCGAGGCGCCGGAGAAGCCGATGGTGCGCGAGGCGATCTCGCCGAGGTCGACCTCGTCGGCCAGGGGCTTGTTGCGGCAGTGCACGCGCAAGATGGCGACGCGGCCGTCCTTGTCCGGCAGGTCGACGGGCACGCGGCGGTCGAAGCGGCCGGGGCGCAGGAGCGCCGTGTCGAGGATGTCTCCTCTGTTGGTAGCGGCCAACACAATCACGCCCGAGTTGCCCGAGAAGCCGTCCATCTCCGTGAGGATCTGGTTCAGGGTCTGCTCGCGCTCGTCGTTCGTCGCGAAGCCGCCGCCGCCGGAGCGCTGGCGGCCGATGGCGTCGATCTCGTCGATGAAGACGATGCACGGCGCGTTCTTCTTCGCGTCGCCGAACAAGTTGCGGATGCGCGACGCGCCGACGCCGACGAACATCTCGACGAACTCCGAACCGGACGTGGAGATGAAGGGCACGCCGGCCTCGCCCGCGACCGCGCGCGCGAGCAGCGTCTTACCCGTACCGGGCGGGCCCTCCAACAAAACACCGCGCGGCGTCTTCGCGCCCACCTTGGTGAACTTTTCCGGGTACTTGAGGAAGTCGACGACCTCGACCAATTCCAACTTGGACGCCTCGCAGCCGGCGACGTCGTCGAAGCTGACACCGGTATCAGGCTCCATCTCAATTTTATTTTGATTCTGGAGCATGCCCATGGGCCCGCCCGGTCCGCCCATGCCGCCGGGGCCGCCCATGCCGCCGCGGCGGTTCAGGAGGAAGAGGCCGCCCAGGAAGAGCAGCGGGAAGAGTAAATTCCCGACGACGGAGCCCACGCCCTGGAGCGGGTCCTGCGTCGGCGGCTGGACCGCGAACTGCACGGAGTGCTTGCGGAGCGCGGCGAGGATCTCCGGGCCCTCGCTCGGCAGGATCTCGACGCGGTGGCGGCCGCCGTCGGCGTCGACGGCGACGAGCGCCTTGCCGGCGTCGTCGAAGGTGACGCGCTCGACGGAGTCCTTCTCGACGGCGTCGAGGAACTCAGATAAGGCCCACGGGCCGACCGGCGCCGCGGACGCGGAGGTGGCGAGCGACGCCGCCATGACGCCCATGGCGCCGGCGAGCGAGCGGCGCGTGCTCGTGGCGCTCATGCGCGTCGCGGCGCGGGCGCGCGGGATGGCGCGGGGCGCGGACGCGAAGGAGCGCGGCGCCTTGGCAAGGAAGGCATGGACCTCCACACTTGCCAGCAGGACGGCGCAGCCGACGGTTCGTGCCGCGGAGCGCGGCATCGTTTTAGCTGTTGAGCGTGTAGACAAGGTCGATGAGTGCGTAGGAGAGCACTGCGGTGCAGACGTGCACGAACTTGGCGCCCGCTGAGTTGGCTGCGGCCGAGGTCTCGGGCCCAAGGTCTCTGAGCTTGTGCTTGAATCGTAATCCTCCATTGTCTCTCCCAGCCCTCCAAAGTGACCCCCAGGACTGCTACGTGGCGTTGGTTCGTCCTTTGCAAGCGAAACCCCCAACTTGACAACACCCGCGCGCGAACTTGAACATTTTTGCTGACGCCCGCTTGAGGCGCCCCGTCCGGACCGAAAATACTCCACGGGGGGCGGAGAGAGCCATACGGACGGCCCCCGAGGCGCTGATAGCCGGAGCTCCAGCTAAATCCACAAAACGCGGCCCCCGCGGGACAGCGGTGCCACAACAGAAATATACTAGGATACCCAAGCTTACACTCGAGTCAAGAAGCTCACCCCCAAGGCGACGAAGAAGCCACCTCGTCCCCGGAGGCGAAAGAAAGGTCCCGCACGTGCACCGTCGCCAGCACGCGCTCCTTGCAGCACGGGCACCGCTCCAGCGCGTCCCTGCGTTTCAGCTCGCCCTCACATTGCGCACATAGTGCTCTATGCCCGCACGGCGCGAACGCCACGGTCGGCGCGCGAAGAGCACACGACACGCAGTTCGGGCCCCGCGCGTCGCGCTCCGCCCTTCTTTGAGCGAGGGCCCGGTTCCTTTTCAACGCCTCCGTTAGCTTGTGGTGCACGCCATCCAGTTGCGTCATATCAAAGGTGAGGTCGCCGCCCCTAAACTCCGTCTCCAGCAGAGCCCGCGCGGCGTGCGCGTCGTCGAGCCGCCGTTCGTAGGCCCGCCGCGCGTCATTCCACTCCTTCCTGAGTCGCTTCTCCTCCTCGAAGCGCCGGTCGGCCCTTCTCAAGTCCTCGTCGTGGGCCGCCCTAGATTCTCGCAACAACCTTTGCGTCGCCTCGAGCCGCTGCTTGAGCTTGGAGCCGGACTCCTCATCCTCGTCGCTCTCGGCCGTCACATCAATAGGCTTCTCGGTACTGGAGCGTCGTCGTTTCGGCGGCGGCGGCGCCTCGAGGGCCTCCGGCTCGGCGCGCTTGCAGGGCACGGCGCGCGCCTCCGGCGCCCAGCACTCGTCGGACCCGCCGCAGTTCCAGCACCCGCCCGCCAGCCGATCCTCCCAGTTTTCGGACGACGACCGGTCGACCAAAGCTGTCGTGTCGTCGTCCAATAAACGAAGGGACCCCGCCTCCGCGTTCGCGAGAGCAGCGTAGCGCAGCACTCCCACAGACCGTTCAGGATCGAAGACGACGCACGCCGCCACGACCGCGTCGTCCACGGAGCCTAGCGTGACTTGGACGGACGTGCTCTCGCGCGGCGCGAGCCAAGCTGTGATTGTAGGCGCCTCACCGTACGTCAACAGCGCGACGTGACCATCATCTAAATGGATCGCCGCCGCCTCGGCCCCGCGACAAGCCGAGACGGCCTGCACGCTCCGCTGGCGCCGTCTCCCAGACGCCGCGTCCGGCGGCGGCAGTTCTATCGTATCCGCGGTCAGCGGCGCCTCTGAAGAACCAGAGCCGTCGGGCTTCAAATCGCGCAAATGCGTCGCGCGCAGCTCGCCGCAGCCCATGCCCAACAACGCGACCGCACCTCTCGTGGAAGTCCGCCCCTCCAACCCACCTCGCACCAAAATACCCTCGTCGCCGCACGTGTCGGGGATCGCGTGGTGCTCCGCCTTCGCCGCATCCAACCTCCACACTCTCAACGGCTTCTCGGCGACGCGCGTGATCGCTCTACTGCCACCGGCACATAAAACGCCACTACGGAACGCGGGACCGCCAACATTTTCATGAAACGCACAAGTCCAGGTCGGCACGTTATCACTGATTGTCAAGTCCCAGACCGTCATGTGGCCGTAGCCCACGCCGCACAGTAGTCTATAACCTTTATCAGTGGTAGCAACAGAACAGAAACCTCGTAATCGAGCATCACTCGACGGATAGGATCTGACTCTAGTTGCTGATGCAAATCCGCGATTCTCTCGTAACAAATGGAAATGTTGTAAATCCCAGGCCCGGAAGCCCTTGCCCGTCCGCGCGCCCGCGAAGAGCATCTTCCCGTCGTCGCTAATCTCGACGTGCACCCTTAATGTTCCATGGGCGTTGTTTCCCACAACTCCTAAAGCGCAGCCCCAGCGGTCCTCCGGCTGGGGCGTGGACGTGAGGTCGAACAAGCGGACGACGCCCGACGCGAAGCCGGCCACCACGCACGTCCCGTCCGGCGCAATCGATACAGACTGGGGCTGGTGCTCTAACGAGAAGCAGCGCTTTGCGACAGGTGGACCGGCCTCCTTCGGCACAGCCGGTGGCTCCGGGACGACCGGCTTTACAATGACCGGTTCCGGCGCGGGCGCCGGCGCCTGGGCGGCGACCGCCTGGCGCCGCGCCTCCCTCCTTGCGCGCGCGTCGTGCGCCGCCGCCGGCCTTTGTACTTTAGCCACGGGCCGCCGCGCGCCCCAGTCGTCGTCTCCTAATGAGTAGGAGCGCGCCGGGTTCTCGCGGAGCGGCGGCCGGGTTGCGGCGGCCTGCTGCGGCGCCGCCGCCGGCCGCTCCTGCGCCTGCGCCGCGAGGAGCATCGCGCGGCCACGCTTCGAGTTGGGATTGATCATTTGCTGCTAAGCGATCGGCTGAGCTTCTTCAACAAGTCGTCGGCGCGCTTCACGTGCGCTCGCCGCGCTCCGCTGCCAGCCAGCCAGCGCAAGAGGTTGGCAAAGATCTGCATCAGCCGTCTCACTGCAGCTGTTTTCAGGCGTGCAGTGTCGCAGCCGATCACTGCAGCAGTAGCTAATTGCAATTGCAAAAGTAGCGCTCAGCGGCGGAGCTTGGCGCGTTCGCAATTCAGATTGGCCCACCTGAAAATGATAATCCTAGGGCGCCTCGAAAACTCCCCGCCACCCATGCATCTATACTGCAATTCGTCTGTTCAGCAATTCCACGCGTCTGTGCGCAGCTCGAGCTAGCGTCTTACCGGCACTAGAGTGATGCTGGCAAGCCAGCTCACTTTCACAGCCATAGTCTCGTCAACGAATGGGACGCAGAGCTCACCGACTGCTTAGCACGACCGGCACTACCACAACTGCTGCAACAACACAAGACAGTAGCATGTGCGTGCCCCCCACGCCGCCGAGCAGCATCGCGACGCAATGCGATTATGCAGTAGAAGTGGACAACCTCGACTTCGCCTATCCCTCGTCGCTGCCGGGCGAGGACGAGCACCTCGTGCTCAAGAACTTTTGCATGCAGCTCAAGCCGGGCTCGCGCTGTCTATTGCTGGGCGCGAACGGCTCCGGCAAAAGCACGCTGCTCAAAGTTTTAGCGGGCAAGCACTTAACCAAGGGCGACCGCGTCAAGGTCATGGGCACGGACGCCTTCCGGGACCTGAAGCTCAACCTCACGCGCGCGTTCCTCGACACGCAGTGGGGTATGAGGACCGTGGCCTTTGCCGGGTATGGATGTCCTCTCCAAGCCGATATCAGAGTAGGCGGCATGATGGAGAAGCTCCAGTCGCAATACCCGGAGCGAAGGGACGAGCTCGTCAAGCTGCTGGGCGTTAATCCCGAGTGGCGCATGCACCGCGTCAGCGACGGGCAGCGGCGGCGCGTGCAGCTGTTGCTTGGTCTGGTGCGGCCCTTCGACATCCTTTTGTTGGATGAAGTGACCACGTGCCTCGACGTGATCGTCCGCCAAGATCTCATGCGGTGGCTCCAGAAGGAGACGGAGACGCGGGGCGCTACTGTTGTGTATGCCACGCACATTTTTGATGGACTGGACGACTGGCCGACGCACCTGCACTACCTGAACCGCCACGGTGCCACGGGCTGGCAGGGGCCCATGGGCGAGCTTGAATTATACTCAAAGTTAAGGAAGGAGGGCCACCCGTCGCCGATGCTCAAGATCGCGACGACGTGGCTCCGCGCGGAGATCGCCGAGTACGGCGTCCAGGTCGAGGGCGCGGATGGCGAGGGCGCGCGCGAGTCGAAGAACCCGAACGCGCTGTCGACGGACCGCGGCGGCGGCTTCAACCCGGGGCGGATGCTGTCGTACAAGGCCTAGGTGCTGTTTGTCTCTCGCTTCGGAGGAGGCCGGCGCCGTTCTGCGCCGCCGCCCTTCCCCTCGATGTGTGTAATAACCTTCTTTCTTACTTACGGTCTGAATCGCTCTCAGGGAAAGAACGCCACACCCCGACGCCGTCGACGAGAACTACAGTCGTGAAGATTAAAGGGGGGGATTCTCTAGGCGTCCGGCACGCCCACCTGGGGAAAGCCGGAAGCAAAAGCAGACACGTCCTTCTTGAGCGCCTCGATGGCCGCGGCGTTCGCGCCCTCCGTGATCTTCTGGCGGAAGTCCTTGAGCTTGCCGCCCTGGGCCTTGACGTCGAGCGCGATCTGCACGCCGCGGTCGAACAAGTCGACGACCGTCTCGAAGTCGGCCTCGTCGAAGCCTCGGCTCGTTAACGCCGGCGCGCCCATGCGCACGCCGCCCGGCGACAGGGCCGACTTGTCGCCCGGGATCGTGTTCTTGTTCAGGGCGATGTTCGCCTTCTCGAGGACGGCCTCGACGCGCGCGCCGTCGATCTTCTTGCTGTTCTTCAGGTCTACAAGCACGAGGTGGTTGTCCGTGCCACCGCTCACCAGAGCGTAGCCCTTCTTCGTGAGGGCGTTGGCCATCGACGCGGAGTTGGCCAGGACCTGCTCCTGGTACGCGACGTACCCGGGCTCGGAGCACTGCTTCAGGGCCGTGGCGAGCGCCGCGATCGTGTGGTTGTGGGGGCCGCCCTGCAATCCGGGGAACACCGCGAAGTTGATGGCGTCTTCCAACTCGTACTGCGTGCCGTCGGCCTTGGCGCCCTTGCGGTAGAAGATCATCGCGCCGCGCGGGCCTCGCAGCGACTTGTGCGTCGTCGTCGTCACGACGTCGGCATATTCGAAGGGCGACGGCACGACGCCGGCGGCCACGAGCCCGGAGATGTGAGCCATGTCCGCGAGCATCACCGCGTCGTTCTGGTCGCAGATGTCGCGCATGCGCGGGTAATCAACCGCGCGCGAGTAGGCCGAGGTACCGGCGACGATGAGCTTGGGTCTAAACAACTTCGCCGACGCCTCCAACGCGTCGTAGTCGATGAGTCCCGTGGACTCGTCGAGGCGGTACGGCATCGTCTCGAAGTAGAGCGACGTCATGCTGATTTTTTTGGTGGGCGTCTGGTAGCCGTGCGACAGGTGGCCGCCGTGCGGTAAGTCGAGGGCCATGATGCGGTCGTGCGGTTTGAGTAAGGCCGTGTAGACCTGGAAGTTGGCCGGGGAGCCGCTCAGGGATTGCACGTTGACGCCCCACTCGTCGGGGTTGAGCTTGAAGACCTCCAAGGCGCGTTTTTGGCATAATAACTCGACCTGGTCGATGTACTCGTTGCCGCCGTAGTATCTCGCGTTGGGGTAGCCCTCCGAGTACTTGTTGCTCATCACGGAACCGAGAGCATCGAAGACGCTCGCCGACGTGTAGTTCTCGGACGCGATCAACGCGAGCGTGTCGCGCTGGCGGCCCTTCTCGCCCTCGATGATCGAGTGGAGCTCGGGGTCGGTCTCGACGAGGCGCTTGTTGAGGGCGTTGCCTGCGTGCGTGACGCGTGATGGCGTTTCCGCGGTGAGTCCTCTCCTGCAATCGAGCCGTCTCGTCGATGGCGTCTTGCCTGGTCGCGTCGGCGCCGCGCGCGGTGGCCGACTCACGTCGACCGGTTTTCGTTACGATGTGCCTTCAGTTCCACGACGCGCGTCGCATGATCAGTCGTTTCGAAGGCACCCGTGTCCTGCGCCGCTTTGCACCGACAAAAGCTTCGGATCCATCAGCCTTGGCCGCAGCCGTGCTCATGGCCGGCCGGGCGGCGAAACGCGTGCCGCGGCTCGCGGTGCGGAGCGCACGTGACAGCTGCATTGTTTCTAGCCCAACTGTTCGATCTGTGCTTGCTAGCTCAGCGCGTAAGCTGCGTCTTCTACGATGCTTTAACACTGATGCGTCACATCGAGCTGCGGGTTTTGTTCGAATTTTCCACGACTCTTGACACGGAGTAACGAGCTATCGTGGCCCTCGATCGACATTTACACGCAACCGAACAGGCGCGGACGGGGCGGGGCCGGGTTGGAGTGCCCCGCGCCGTCGCGCAGCTGGCATGGATCGCTAGGTGTCTGTGCGCGTGGCTTTTTCTAGTCGTCCGCTCTCTACCGAGTTGCGGGGTCGCGAGACAGATTGCAGCTCGCTTTTGCAGAAAACTCTCACTATCTCTTACCGGCGACTATTCTCAAATAGTCGTCCCCGGGATCTCCGGAAAGGCGTCGTCGTCGTCGTCGTCGTTCTCGTCGTCCATGGGTGCGGGCGCCGGCGCGGCGGCGGGCGTGGCCTCGTCCGAGGCGCCGTCCTCGCTCGCGTTTTCCCAGTCGGCCGCGAACGCCGCGTCTTCGGCAGCCCACGCCTCGGGTTCGGGCGGGAGCACCAGCAGCGGCGCGCGGGCCTCGCGCGGCGGCGGCGTGGCCCGAGCTACCCCGGCGTCTGCCCGGCGTGGCCCGTAACGGTTGAGCATTGCCGCGTAGTTCGGCCGAGTTCTCCGGCGTTCGGAGCGCCCGTCGTTCTGAAGCGCCGGCGCCACCGCGGGGTACGAGCGTGGGCGCGGCCGGTAAGGCCCAGGCGCCGGCCTGGGAGCGAGGCAGGCGTCGCCATGTCTCGTTCGGCAGGCGACACATCCGCCGCAGCGACGATGGGGCCGGCCGCAGCCGCAGCTCGCCGGGCACGGGTAGGTGATGGCAGCTCGCGGGCGCCCCCCCCCGCGCGCCCCGCCGCGCCGCGTAACGCGCGACGCGGGCGCCGGCGCGCGCGGCGCGCGCGGCGCGGGCGCGGGCGCCGGCGCCTTTCGCTTCTTGCCGTGCGTCCGCAGGTGCTCGTACTGCGCCGCGATCGACGTGCCATCCTCCGTGTCCGCGTCGGCATCGTAAAAGAAACAGTCGTCCATTTCGTGCACGTAGGCCGCGGTGGCCTCCTCGTCGGCGTCGGCGATGCGCCAGCCGAGGCCGAGGACCGGATCTCTCAGGGCCGCTCTCTTGTAGTGCACCGTCAACCGCTTGTAGTGGATTTTTTTTTCCTCCTCCTTTGTATTCTCGCGAAACGACAAGTCCTCAACTGCAGCAAAGCGGACCGCGTGTTCTGCGATTGAGCGCTGCGGCCGGCGTCGTCCATCGCCTCCAGAAAGTTGAGGTTTCGGGGAGAGTTGTCGTCTCGCTTGCGGTTGATGTGGTCTACTTGTTTCAACGCGATGTCCGCCCGTGTTTGGCCCTCCCAGACCACCGCGAGGCCGATCAGCCGAGCGAAGCGGAAGCTTCGGCCCATTATTCCTACGTTGATGTAGCCGTCGGGCGTTTTCCACCCAAGTAAGAATTTCCCTTGCCGGTTGAGCAGCTGGTTATTATCTTTTTTTATCCACCCTATCCAAACTCCGCCCTCGAACGGAGGATCCTCATCAGGTACGGGTAGACCTCCGGGATATTTACGTCGCGGCGTACGAGCCGTTTGTGAGGCGCGCGCCGCGCCTGCTTCCTGGCCGGCTCGTGCTAGCGGCTGTAAGACACTAGCAACCAGCCTGCTTTCCGGCGGTAAGATTCGCACCGGACCGTTCCGGCGGCGCTTGGACGAAATACCGACTTAGCTCGGTGAATGGGAGCTTGCACAAACCGCCCCTCTTGAGCGGTCGCGCTCAAGCCCCGATTTAGAAGCCCAATTTTTTTTATTCGTCCACATCTGCAGCGGACCTCTACAGTGTACTTGGTACCGCTCTGAGCTCGCGGAAGGAGCTTCGTCGAACCTTAGCGCAAAAATCGATAGCTGATGACAAGTATTTTGAGCGGCGTAAACGGGCCCTTCCGCTCAACATAGCTGCACAATCACGCTTGCAGAGGCACAATCTGACCCCTGCTTCCGCATACAAGCGCTGGTTTTCTTCCGCAGCGCCTAACGGGGCCGCAGTAAAGCGTTAGCCAGACTCGCATCCTTAGCCAAAACGCATCGCACGCATCCCAGATGAGGCTCGGCGCCCTGCTGCTGCTCGCGCACGCGACAGCGCTGCGCGGACGCCGCCGCTGGCGCGACCGGGGCGGCTTCACGACGACGCCCGAGCCCCAGCGCGAGGGCTGGACCTTTAGTACGCGAGACTTATTTACCGAAGAGGAGCCACCACAAGTAGCGAAGTGGACCTTTAGCACCCGAGACTTGTTAGCACGACGGAAACCGAAGAAGGTCCTGATGCTCATGTCTGATACGGGTGGAGGGCATCGAGCGTCCGCAAATGCCTTGAAGCAAGCATTGGTAGCGAGATATAATGTGCAAGTAGACTTGTTAGATATCTGGACGGCGGCGGGCGTGTTTCCGTGGTCCTCATCGCCGCGAGCCTATAGCTACATGGGCAAGCGGCCGATGATATGGCGCGCGTTTTTTTATGGTACGGCGTTCTACCCCGTGCGGCTCGTTACGAGACTGTTACATGATTTTTCTTTGAGAAGAAGGTTCAAGAAGATCCTGCGGGGTCAAGAACCCGATCTAGTTGTGAGTGTCCACCCGATGTGCCAACACGTTCCCCTCAGTGCGAGGACGTGGCTCGAGAAGGTGCTCAAAAGGCCCGTGAAGTTCGCCACAGTTGTCACGGATTTAGGGAGTGCGCATCCCATGTGGTTCGACAAGCGCGTCGACGCGTGTTTTGTTCCCACACAAAGACTGGCTAAAAACGCGAAGTACTACGGCGTGTCGAACGTGATCAATTACGGTTTACCTCTACGTCGGGAGTTCAGCCAGAAGCGCCTGTCGAAGGATCGCGCCCGGAAGAAGCTCGGCCTCGATCGAAATAGTTCGACCGTTCTGGTCACCGGAGGCGGGGACGGCTTCGGTAGTCTGGAAAAGATTGTGGACGCCGTCGCCCAGGAACTCGCCGGGTCGAACGCGCAATTGGTCGTGATCTGCGGGCGGAACGAGGAGGTCCGAAAACGGCTTGAGAGTCGAACTTGGCCGGTGCGCATGGAGGTGCGCGGCTTCGTTTCCGACATGAATTTATACATGGAGGCGTCGGACGTCTTGCTGACGAAGGCCGGCCCTGGTACTATTGCGGAAGCGGCTGCTTTAGGCTTACCTGTGTTGCTGACGGGGTTTTTACCGGGGCAGGAACGAGGTAATGTATTGTGGGTGCGCGAGAAGAATATAGGAGAGCTCGCGAAGAGCCCTCAGAGAGCAGCTACGACTGTATCGAAGTGGCTGCGGGACCAGGACGCTCTGGTCGAGATGTCGCGCAACGCCAAGGCCGCGGCGAAGCCGAAGGCGACGGATCGCATCGCGGAAGACCTCATGGGGCTCGTCGAGGGCGTCCAGCGCACAGCGACGGGCGTGCTGCGCGACCTCAAGGAGCGCGCGCCGTCGGCCGACTGGACGCTTTATGGAGCTTTGAACTCGACGCGCTCGGCGGTCGCGGAGCTGCGGGACACGCTCGCCGTGCGAAGCGTGCCGCTCGAGGCGTGGATGACTTCCGCCCTGCGGCGAGGCGTCGTGGCCTAGTAGTTAACTTTAGGATATGTCGTATTTTACGAGCGGCGTCGGTGTACCAGCGTACCTGTCGAGGCACGGGTATCTTCACGTCGCGTCGATGGCGTCGATGGCTGCGCGAGCGCTCGGAGTAGTCCCATGTACCAAGGTGCGAGATTATTCTGCTCCGGGCCCCCACGTTATACAAAGAAGAGCCAAACCGAGCTAGCGTATATCGACACACTAGCAAATCCAAAGATACGCCTCGATGGCGTCAAAAGAGCGACCCAAATTTAGGATACATCCTAGTTGTTCGCCGCGACCAAATATTTTAGAGTAGCGGCCCGGGAACATACCCTCGCGCCTCCCGGAAGGCACCGCCCGCGACATTCACGGATGAGTCTTACGGCTTGCCAAAGTACACCAGCGATTGACGCCGCCATCCACCGTCCAAATAGAACATTATATCAACTCCAGCCCAGTTTTCATCCACAATCGACGGAACCGGAGCCGACGGCCCGCGCTCGGAGGGCAGGAGAAGAATTCTACTAGACAACTATCGCGTTTATGTTCGTTTCCATCCGTTTGTTGGGGATAGATTCCATTTAGGCAGGATCAGCGACCACTGAGCTATTTTAGATACTCCGTTAGAGCCGCGCGATTCGTCATCTTCGCGCCCCCACGTTTGCACATAAACAGGCTCGAAGCCTGAACCTGCGAGTATCAGCGACGCCACCACCCAGATGAACCACAACGCCGTCGTTCTATTCACAATCGACCGACTTGCCCGTTCTCCGCGGACGACGGTGCGGAGACGGAGGGCCAGAAAGGCCCCAGACCGGTGGTTTATAAAGTAAATTTGCGTTTCAGGCGCTTCGGTTACGGGACGGGCCAGATAACCGGCCTGACTGCGTACTACATTGCTCCGAGACCCAAAGATGCTCGGCGCGGGTCGTCAGTCTCGCGAGCCCATGATCTGGCTAGATTTGGCTCAAGAGCCGGACCCGCGGCCAGCAGCCCGTGTACCATCACCATGGACCATGGCGCGATCATTTGTTTCATGATCGACCGACTTGCGCGAGGTCCAGATCAAGATGTTCACGTCCCGAGCGTGGGCTGTCCTAAGTACCCTTCTCGCCCTGTAGATGTCATATACTTGTAGTTGACTATCGGTGGGGTAGTATGGGGTCCGACGAGACCGCTACGGCGACTACTGGGGGCCCTCGGGTAATTGGCGTTTTTCACGGGGACGGGGCGCCATCGGGTCCAAATTACACACTTTTTTCGGGGGCAGATCGGCTCCCGGACTCCCTCCGGGATGGGTCTGGGGTCGGGTAGTCGCCTACGCCGCATGCGCGAGAGCTTGGGGCTCTCCAGAGAGCTGTGGATCGAAAACCTGGGGGACTTGGGCTCTGGCCCGACGTCTGGCTGAGAGAATTGCTTGATATGTATCTACCGATGCGCATGCGGTGTAGGCGCTTGCGCACGTCTAGAACCATTCTAAAACGACCTCCTAGAGACCTCTGGGCCGCGGATTGACTGGATTCCGCTGGCGCGGCCGACCACTTTGGCCCGTCGGCACCGCGAAATAAATTACTATTTTTTTTGGGCCCCAGGAGTCGTCGTATCGATATCTTTGGACCATTGGCGAACCGAACGATACTCGAACGGCTGTGCCTCGCACCTACAGCAGGAGAAGGGTGTGATTCTAGTGCGGCGCGGACCGCACGCAACTTACAGCCCAATTTTCGCTGCCCCATGGCGCGGCGGTTACCCTGGGTCATCCCTAGACGTATACGGATGCGTGCGCGAGGGTCCTCGGCGGGCGGCTAGTACCTGTTCCAATCGGCCTCTGCGGCAAAAATTAGCCGCGCGGGCTAAATAAGACAGCCAAAAACACGTAAGCACGCTGCGTCATGTCAGTTACAACCAGCCTTGTGCGTCCTCGCGGACCACGAGCCAACGCGGCGTGCCGTGGCCTCATAACAGAGATCACGGCGATTTCGGCCGCCCCGGCTATCCTCGCGGATACCGGCGGCGCGGCGCTTCGATAGCGCTGCCGAAGGGCTCTCGCAGCGCGTGGGAAGCCGCGGAAGCTCTAGGAACACGCCTCAAGCCCGTTAAGGGGGAGAGTGCGCTCGGACGAGCCCCGCAGCGCTCCCCAGCGAGACTCCGGCTGCTGCGCGGCGGCCCCGCGGTCCCGCACAGCACCGTTAGCCCGACGGAGGCCCCAGTAGCTGCGCGGCGGCCCCGCGGCCCCGCGAGCACACGGTAGCCCGACGCACGCCTGGCACGGGCTCCCCGCATTTTTTTTCCTTACTTCGCATGAAATAATTTATCGAGACGGCGGCGGCGAGATGCGACGGAGCTCTCCGAACCAGCACGGCGGCTGATGAAGGAGGTGGCTGCCGATGGGCTTCTGCGACCCGCTTGTCAAGGATGTTGCGCTCTCTCGCACGACCCTCCCCCAAGATCAATTGTCATCCCCCCCCGTAACACACAGATATAAATCATGGCCGACGCCGCCGACGACGACCTCGTGGACTACGACGACGACGACGTCGTCGACCAGACGGCTGCCGACGACAAGGACGCGAAGAAGGGCCACTACGTCGGCATCCACGCTTCTGGGTTCAGAGATTTTATCTTGAAACCCGAATGCCTCCGCGCGGTCGTCGACTGCGGCTTCGAGCACCCGTCCGAGGTCCAGCACGAGTGCATCCCGCAAGCCGTGCTCGGCATGGACATCATCTGCCAGGCCAAGTCGGGCATGGGCAAGACCGCGGTCTTCGTGTTGGCTACGCTCCACCAGCTCGAGCCGGTCGATGGTGAGGTCTCCGTCTTGGTCCTGTGCCACACGCGCGAGCTCGCCTTCCAGATCAAGAACGAGTACGCGCGTTTTAGCAAGTACCTCCCGTCCGTGAAGGTCGACGTCTTCTACGGCGGCGTGCCGATCTCGGCGAACAAAAAGGCCCTCAAGGAGGCCACGCCGCACATCGTCGTCGGCACGCCCGGCCGGCTCAAGGCCCTCATCGGCTCGAAGGACCTCAACCTCAGCAAGCTCAAGCACTTCGTCATGGACGAGTGCGACCGCCTCCTGGAAGCCCTCGACATGCGCCGCGACATCCAGGAGATTTTTAGGACGACGCCGCACCAGAAGCAGGTCATGATGTTCTCCGCAACTTTGGCGAAGGAAATTAGACCCGTCTGCAAGAAGTTCTGCCAGGATCCCATGGAGATCTACGTCGACGACGACACGAAATTAACTTTACACGGCCTCCAGCAGTACTACGTCAAGTTGCAAGAGGCCGAGAAGAACCGCAAGCTCAATGATCTCTTGGATGCCTTGGACTTCAACCAGGTCGTGATCTTCGTCAGCAAGGTCGCGCGGGCGACGGAGCTGGACCGCCTGCTCACGGAGTGCAACTTCCCGTCCGTGTGCATCCACTCGGGCATGGGCCAGGAGGAACGTATTTCCAGATACAAGGACTTCAAGGACTTCAAGAAGCGCATCCTCGTGTCGACGGACCTCTTCGGCCGCGGGATTGACATCGAGCGCGTCAACATCGTCGTGAACTACGACTTCCCCGAGGTCAAGGAGGGCAACGCTCCCACCGTGGCGTCGGATCAATATCTCCACAGAGTTGGCCGCGCGGGCCGCTTCGGCACGAAGGGCCTCGCGATCAGCTTCATCTCGTCCAAGGAGGACGCCGACATCCTGGCGCAGGTCCAGTCGCGCTTCGAGGTCGACGTGTCCGAGCTGCCGGACCAGATCGACATCTCCTCGTACATGAACTCCTAGACGTGAACCCGCCTCCCTCCTCCGGCACTAAGACGCCTGGGTTCCATTCTATTCTTCGTCCGCGGCGGAGCAAAACCCGATTTGCTGCCTGCAACATGCGCGTCGCAGCGGGCAAGAGGGCGCTCGCTTGACGCCGCATCCTACTCGCACGAGCCAAAAAATACAATATTTTTACTGCCGCAGCGAATCACGAATCGCTGCCACCGCTAGCGCTCCCGCAGGGCAAGTGCAGTCTGTGCTACCAGTGCAGCAGCGGCAAGCGAAGGGATAAACGCTCGAATAAACAACGCCCACCGCCGCGGGCCAAGGCCATGCGCATCATCATGCTCGCGCTCTTCGCACGCGGCGCCCGCGCGCTGTCGGCCGTGCCGGCGGCCGCGCGCCGCCTCCAGAAAATAAAAGAGCTCGAGAGCAAGCACGCATCATTAGTGGCCAGCGGCGCGAAGCCCGCTGTGATAAGAAACGCGCGGAAAGAGCTCGGGCGCCTGAAGCGGATGCCGCCGCCGGTTGATGGCGTCGAGTCCGCGGTGGCGACGTTCTACGGCTTCTTCGCAGTGGAGGAGCCGTCTGTAGTCGTCGCGAGGCTGCGTGCAGCGCTCGAAGAGGACGGTCTCGTGCTTGGATCGGTGTCGGTGGCTAGCGAGGGCTACAACGGCGCCCTCGCGGTGCCCGTCGAACGACGAACACGGCTGGCACAAACGTTGAGTAATGCGGCTCCGGAGCTGTGGCCAACGGAAGAGGACGCGATCAAAGCGCTGAACTGGGACGCCCAGCCGACGCGGAGCAGCCCCTTCCACCGGCTATTGGTGAAAGAAAAGAAACGAGCCCTGGTGGACGGCTTCGAGGAGCCCCTGGACTGGGACGACTGCGGCGCCGAAGTGCCACCGGAGGCCTGGCACGACGAGATCGCGCAACCGGGCGCCACTGTCCTAGATGTCAGAAACACGTATGAGAGCGACGCCGGCTCCTTCGCCGGCGCGACGCCCCTCAACACGTCGACCTTCGTGGAATCGTGGCCGAGGCTCGACGAAGCGCTCGCCGACGTGTCGAGAGATGAACCGGTGCACATGTTTTGTACCGGTGGTGTGAGGTGCGTCAAGGCCGGCGCGTACGTCAAACAAAAACTCGGCTTTACGGATGTCCGACGGCTTGAACACGGCGTGGTCGCGTACGAGCGGTGGGCGGCGGGCAGTGGCGAGAGTCGCTTCGAGGGCGAGAATTTTGTGTTCGACAAGCGCGTCGACGCCGTCGAGGCGCCAGTGATGTCTGATGAGGATCTCGAGGCGCGGCCGCCATAATACTAGCTACTACTTTAGAAACCCCTTCCGAAACCCCCTCTTCGGCGAAGGCGAAGGCGCAGGCGCCGGCGCCGGCGCCTCCGAAGAAGCCTCCTCCCGCGCCTGAGCCTCCAGCTCCTTAATCCGCTCGTTCAGCTTGTGCTTCCTAAAAAACCGCTTCGGGTCGAAGAAGCGCGGGTCCGCCGGCGGCTCATCCTCCTCATCGCCGTCATCCTCGAGGTCGTGCTCCGACAACAACGGAAAGCGCGGGCACGGCGGCGCCGTCGCTAATAAATCAGCGGGCCGATCCAGAAAGTCGTCGGGCGGCGCGTCCTCCGCATGCGTCCAGTCCGGTGCTGTAGAATCAATAGCAGTATCGACCTCGTCGTCGTGGCCCGAGAGCACGTCGAAGAACAGCCGCGAGCGCTCGTAGAAACGCACCGCGTCGTGCTTGACGAACGGCATGTACAGCTCCAAATCCACCGCATCTATGAGTGAGATAACCCTCTCAAAAATTGTGGTACCGGCGTCCAGCACTAGACGCATGACGTTTTCCGAATCGATGGCGTCTCTTTCATCCCCGTCTTCCCTTGCCTTCGCCGCGTCGGCCTTGAACGAGGAAGCACACCGCGTCGCGAGCATGTACCTCAATAAATAAGCATCTACCAAAACGGACAAGGCTCCTAGCTCAGAGACGTCTTGGAGAGCGTTCTCGTACGCGTCCTGGAGCTGCGGGGCGGCCAAGCGCCACAATTCCCTACGAGCCCGTTTGTAGTGCGGCGGCGCGTGCCTTCTCGTAGCGCAAGCGTCGGAAGCACATACGGTCACGGCGAGTTGCATGTAGAGCTGGAATAACGTCTGGCCCAGAACCAACGACGGCTCGCAGGGCAGTTGCGTCGTCTCCTCCATGTCGTTGCCCTCGCCGTCGTCGACCGCGAGCACGCGATCCCTCCACCGCGCGCCCTCCTTCATCCTTTCCAAACAGGCGTCCTTCTGGTCCCGCAATGCTTTGGCGGGTAGGGGCGGGTCCAGCGGGTCCTGGAGCACGTATTCTCCTCTCAAGACATCCTGCCAGCCGTGGGTAAAACCACCTAAGTCGTCGGCGAACGCTTCTAGGATGGGTGGGACGACGCCGCAGGCCCAAGCTGCTAAGCAGGACGTGCAGGCATCCCTCAATGACGACTCGAGGCGCTTCTTGACGTCGGAACAGTCGTCCAGGGCCGCACAGCAGAAGAGATAAAATTCGTCCCGCGAGACGTCCGGTTCAGATAAAGAACACGCGCCGACATCGTCAGACGCGCCCAGAATAGCAATAGCGGCTTCCCGCGCCGCGTCGCCCGACGCGACGTCGTTGACCGTCGCGTCGGCCACATCAAAAGCCGCGTCGACCTGATCCGCGGAGGCGCGGCCCGTCGATGCACAGAGTTGCGCGGCGGCCACCGGGCTTACGACGGTGTAGCGCAGCGACCAAGCTATGCGAGCCGCAATAACAGCAGCAGTGCAGTCCTCCCGCGCCTTGCGCGTCGTCTCGTGCGCGACCAAGGGTGGATCGACCGTCCGCCGCATGTTCGCCCTCCGCCTAAACGTGCGCCCCGGCGCCATCGGCTCGCCGGGCTCCTCCATTTGTCGGACGCGGTCGCGGACGGCGCGTTGCTCGGCTTCCGCATGAGATCTTAGATAAGTACCCGCGTCGCGGCCTCGCCTCCGCAACAGGCCAGCGACGGCTGCGACACATTCGACGAAGCGCGGCGCTACCGCTGTGAGGACCGCTTCGCAGGCCTCCCGTGACGTCTCCGACGAACCCAGCGACACGGTAGCGTCGGCGCAGGCCCTTAGCCTTTCGTCCAGCCACGAGGCTACTCGAGCTGCGGCCCAATTGCACTCCGACGCGCTGCAGTCGACCTGGGCGCCGCCTCCCGAATATTGCCAGTAGTCGAGCGACGCCTTCGTCTTCTCGAGGGCTTCCCCGGCTTGGGTCCTCTCGAGGTCGCGGATCGAGGCCTCCAAATGCGTCGGTGCGTTGTGTAACGCATCATTTGTAGCTTTGAGGAGGCGCTCCGTGTCCCTGCGGCAGGCCTTGAGGCCCCTCCTCAGTCGATGATCGACGAGTCTAGCGAAAGCTGGCGCAAACGCGGCGCGCCACGGCGAACACAACCGCCTCACGTCCCGATCGATCAGCGACGACGCGTCGGCGTCTTGATCATCTTCGTCGTCTCCCACCAGAACTTCTCGGAGCTTGTTGTGCTCGCCATCATAAAAGACGTCCGCGCGCACCCTCGCGGCTCGCGATCGCGCGAGGCGCCAGTCCGACGCCGCTTGCGCGTCCGTGGAGCCTTCCACGACAAACAGAGAAGCGCAGGCGGACCGCCACTCGCTGCCTAAATCTTCGTCGCAGGCCTTCTTCAGAGCGTTGCGTAGATGCACGAGCTGCGTCGTGTCCGAGACGCGCTCCGGTCTCAACACGTCGGACGCGCGCTCCCGGGCCTGCCGCACGGCGTCGCGCGTCCAGTCGCAGGCCTCCGACCGGACCTCGTCCGTCGCAACGGAGCAGTCGAGCTCGATAGTTTCAGAACCAGTATGTGACGACGCGCTTCGGAGGATCTCGGCCACGCTCGCGGCGAAGGCGCCGTCGAGGAACAGATCATTTACATCGGTCACGGTCCGCGCCACGGCCGTCGCCGCCGTCCGCAGCGCTTGCTCGGGGTCCGTTTCACTCGTGGACAACCAGGCTCGTCGCGACTCGAGAAAAAGTTGTAAAGCTCGACTCCCCGGCCGCTCCTCGCAGGCGTCGCACAATACACGCGCCGCAACCGCGGCCGCATAAACTGATGAAGGTGACTCCGCGTCCGTGGTTCTCAAAAACGCATCGGTCGCTTCGAGCAACCGAGTCCGCAACATGCGCGCCACGGGCCCGAGCGCGCCTTGCGCTTGCGTCGTCAGCGCGGCGACGGCCAAATAGCAGGACGCGGCGTCTCCATGATTGTTGGCGTCGAGGGCGCGCCACAACTCGGGCGCGAGCGCGGCGGCCTTGGCCGCGGCGGCGTCGGGGGACGTGATTCTTGCTGGCGGCGGCGGGAGGGCGGGCGTCGCTTGCGAGGCCGCGGTCGCGTCCCTGGCCTTCGCCTCGACGGCGGTCGCGAAGGCGGTCGCGTCCCGGGCCGCGACGCCCAAATCTCCAATCGCGTCGGCCGATTCCAACAGTCGGCGGTAGCGCTCGCCCAGCCAGCGGTGGGCTTCTTGGCCCTTTTCCGCCGCGCCTGTGCGGGCGCGCTCGCGGGCGGCGCGCGCCTCGGCTACGCTGAGCAGCATGGCGGGCGGGGCACCATTGCTTTGCGGTGCGGCTTGCGCCATAGCTTAGAGCTGCCCTCGGCTGGGTCAGCGCTTTTTTAGATAGTCCTTTCAGCTTCCTGCCCAGCAGCAGAGCCCGTCGGCGGCTGTTGTTTCCTAGTGTCTTACAACCGCTAGCTGGGCGCCAAGTGGCGTTTTGTTTTTGGGCCGCATGCGAGCTCATTGGGGCGCCTGCGCGCTGTTGTTGAGTGGCCTCGAGGCCGCACCGCTGCGCTTTCGACTCGTGCGCCGCCGCGAGGGCTATACAAGGCCCTCTCTGCGGAGTGCACTGTCGTCGCGGATAAGCATGCGGCCGCAAGACAAGAAATTAATTGCGGACGCCACCGCCGCGTCCGTCGCGGCCGTCGCAGTCGCGGCGGCGCTCGGGCCGAAGGCGTGCAGTAGGAAAGGCGGCGCCTTCTCGTCGGCGCTCGTCGAGCAGTGCCGCGGATTGCGTTACGACGTCCCCTATGAAGTGCAGGGCCTGGTCGACCCGGTGTGCGACACCTTAGCTGATGGTCACTGGGCATTGACTGGTATTGTTGCGGCCAATGTGGCGTGCTTCCTGCCCGCCCTCGCCAACTACAAGCAGTGGTGCGTCTCTAAGCACGAGCTGAGCCACGAGCGGTTGCTACGCTACCAGCTCGCGCACGCCAATTTGCCGCATATCATGGGCAACATGCTCACGCTCCTTGCCGTGGGCTCGGAGGTCTCCGAAGCACTGGGCTGCAACCAGCTAGTTCTCCTCGCTCTGTATCTCGCGTGCGGCTGGGCGGGCGGCCTGTGCGCCGCGTTGCTCTCGAACGGCTCGACGGTCGGCGCCTCGGGCTCCGTCTCGGGCGTGATCATTGCGCTGTCGGTGCTTAGACCGACGTCGGCCGTGACTATCCTCGGGAACGTCGAGGCGTCGAATCCGCTCATGTTACTTGGCGGTACCTTGGCCGCCGACCTCTCGCGCCGCGGAGTCTCCTGGCAAGCACATTTCGGAGGGGGGCTCGCGGGCTGCGTGATCGCGTGGGTGCTGAAGCTTGTTTCGTCCTTGTGAGGACTGTCACTAATGTTATTAATCTTACTTCACACATATCCACAAACAGACTACGCCTCCGCCGCGATCGCGCTCACGATGTGCGACGCCCAGAGCTCGTAGCCCCGCTCGTTCGGGTGGATGCTATCCGACGCCGTGTAGCCCGCGTCGTCGTCCGTTTGGAAGACGTCGACGTACGTCGCCCTACCTTGCTCCGCGAGAGATTTCTTCTGGGCGTCCCAGGCCGACGCCACGACACCCACATACGATTTCAGCGGCTCCGCGATGCCCGCCACGGCGACGGGATACGCCGGCAGCACAACCCTGGCATTGTTCGTCTTCGCTTTGACCTCGTCCACCAAGTCCTCCAGATCCCGCCCGAAGGCCCAGGGCGTCCGCCAGAACTCGCCCCGCGCGAGTTGTTTGAAATCGTTGAGACCGACCATAATAACAACAACATCATAATCTTGATCGATCCGGGGCAGGAGGTTGCGTCTTATTACGCTGACGTCGGAGCCCGTCTCTCCTAATGATCGCCACTCGACCTCGACGCCGTACGCGTCCGCCAGTAGTCTACTGACGCGCCTCGCGAGCGGCGGGCCCCTCACAGCTTCTGTTGAGGAGCCGCCCACACCGGACACCAGGGAATCGCCGACGAACAGCACGCGCTTCGGTCGCGGCTTTAGGGTGTCCAAGAGCTCCGTCGCAGTCCTTCTAAATCTCTCGGCGTGCGCCCGTAGAGCTGCTGAGGCTTTTTCGCGTCTCTCTCTAAGCTTCTGGGGCAGCACGCGCCCCGCGTCGGTCGCGTGGAGCTCCGGCAGCGGCACGTACGTGTTCGCGTGGTGCGCGGCCTGGCCGAACGCTACTGCGGTGACGCCTACAAACGCTTTGGTCGTGCGGTCGGCGGTCCAGAGGAGGGAGCGGTACATCTTGCTTCGCTACTGTGATTCCTACGCGCACGCGTCGGCGTCGTTTCGTCGAGGGTTGGTGGAGTGCAGGCTGGCTGACAGCTGGTGCACTCCCCAATTTGTGCGAATCGATCGCTGCGTCGTCACAGAACTCAATCACTGGTGCAACGGAGTATTTTGCGTGGCCGTGGCGTTGCGTCGCTGCGAAAACTGGCAGTGCGGGCGTCCTCAAAATGACGACGATTCCCCTGGGCACCTCGGCGCGCCGAGCCCGCCCACTGCGATCTCTGCTGGGGAGATACTACTCGTCTCGAGACAATTTGATCGATTACTAGTACCCCTCATTCGACGTGGTCACCGTGAAGTCCGGGTACGCCTCCTGGCACACCATCGCGGACAAGTCGTGACGATACTCGCCCTGCCACGGGAAGCCCATAGAGTGCCCATATATGTGGATGGTTTTTGCGTCGGGTTCGAACTGAATTCGGCCGCCGCCCAGAACTTCGTGCGCGACCTCCATCGCGCGGAGCTCCTCGACGAGCGGCCGCGCGGCGTCCATGTGGTACGACGCTCGCGGATCGCCGCGCACGAAGTAGCGCGCGCCGGCCTGGACCAACACGTATTTCTGCCGTCCAGGTCCCGCAAAGACGCAGCCAGCCACGGTCGGTGCGACCTCCGCCGCGGCGCCATCCGTCGTTCGCAGCGTCGCTGCCTCGGCGCGCTCCTCGGCGGTCGTCGTGGGCTCATCGCCGCCGCCAACCAGCTCGCTCATCGCGCGAGCGACGACGACGCTGAAGCGGGCAGTGGGTGCGAGGCTGAGGCGCGACGTCGTCGCCGTGGCTCGTAAAAATGCGAGCGCGGCGAGGCGCATATATGTAAATAACGGCAATTCCTGGCCAGAACAGCTGAAACTAACGACTTGGTGCAGCGCTTGGGCCAGATACGAGCTGAACAAAACCCGCAAGCAAACCTTATCAACCCGCACGCTAGGCAATTAATCATCATTACCAGCCAGGCCTCCTGGGCCAAGCACTCTCATCACAAGCGTCGCCCGTCGCGTTCGGCCAGCGCGCCCACGCGTCCGGTAAAGGCCGCCCAAGGAATGATGCCAGCCCGTCGTTGTAGGGCCGGAAGAGGACGGCGAGCCGTCGCTGCGCGAACGACGAAAAGGCATGGCGGGGGAAGTAGTCGAAGTCCGAGCCCTTCGTGTTGTACTTCCGCTTGCTAGTAGCATGCGCGTCTTGTTTGGTCGGGTCCAATCCGATGTATCGGAGGACGTCTCGCAGGTGGTCCGCCTGGCGTTCCTCGGAGAAGAACTCCTCGAAGAACAAGGTATGTACTGAAAAGCCCGCGTGCCGCCACCGCTTCAAGTGCGCAACATACACACCTTCATACACGCCATTCCGAGCCGGTTCGAAGAGGCCCGTGGGCTTTGGGTGAAGATACCACGTCGCGTGGTTCTTCGTTAGACCGCAAAACGCGTGGACGTCCCTCCTCATATCGGCATCCGCGGCACTCTTAGGAGTGTAGCCCCGCGTCTTGAGCCTGACACGCATCTGGAACTGACTCTCGTAACGCGCAATCGGCTCCCTTAGTAAGGCGATGATTTTCGGTAATGCGGTACTGCAGTACTCAAACATGCGCTTCGGGGCCTCGGCGTGTACTAAATAAGCGACGGACGCCTCGCCCGCGACCTTCCTCCCAGAAACGCAGGGGAATTGATGATTGTACCACTGGTGCGGCGGCTGGCAGACGTTGTTCACGCACGCTCGGCCCTGTTGACAGGTGTTCCCGAAGCAAGGTACGGGCTTCGCCGGAAATAACTTGTCGCTGCTGAAGTACATCACCTCACCGGCGCGCGGGCCGCGGTTCAGCCCGTAGCCCACCGCGTCGGGGTGGGCGGAAATCCATCTGTATAGCGACGTCGTGCCGGCCTTGCGCGCTCCAATAATCGCGTAGGATAGGATGCACGCGTTGCATTCGTTGCGGCAGCGCTGGGTGCATTGTTGTTGTGCAGCAGCGGCGGCGCCGAGGAGGAGTGCTGCTCGCATGAGGCTGCCTACGCCATCGAAGCGCTTCGATGGCGTGGAGGGTGACGTCTATGTCTTCGACAAGGCGTGCTTTGCTGGGGCAGCCCAAATTCTTGTGAGTTCCTAGTGTGTTACTGTGACGCTAGCTGCTCTACCAAGCGGTTTTTGCTTGCTAACGACCGGGTTACGGGCGTATTGGCTGTGGCGTGGTGCCCGGGCAACGCTGCTACGCTGTGCGAAGCGCTGCCGTGACACGTGCGGCTCTCAGTGCACCAACAAAAGACAGCCTGCCAGCCTTGCACAGCAGCACGCAACAATATGAACGACGCAGAGATGCGGGACGCGCCAGCCCGGCCATCATTGAAGCGACCACTCAGCAGCGACGGCGTCGGGAGCTTGCCGCAGAAACTCTTTGCCGCGACGCTGGCCGGGAGTCCGTCGCCGTCGCCGCGTCACCGCGTCATCAGCCTCGCCGGCATTAAGAGAAGTCGCAGCGGTGACGATGACTTGCCATCGAAGCGCCAGCTGAAGGAAGAAGCGCAGGAACTGCGGCGACAGCTGCTCGCCGCGCCGCTGCCGGCACCCGTCGCGCCGGAGCCGCCCACACGCGCGCCGACGCCGGCGCCGGAACCGACCGTTCCTGCGACTTGGCTCGACCTGATGCGCTCGCTCCAGGCGGACGGCGCTTCGCCTTATCCGCTGCCGCCGCGGGCACGGAGGCCGCCGAGGTGACTCTTTTTGTCGTGATAAGTGTGTGAATTGTGTTGCAATACAGTCTAGGGGAAGAAAGAAAGGAGGCACTGCTGCGATTGGATGCACAAATCAATTCGGGTTTCAGGTGCCAACTGAAAAGCAAAGGTAAATCGAGCCGCCACGCGCCCGGCAAGCATGGCTCGAAGCTGCTATGGGCTCTTATTGATCGCAGCGATGGGCTTACCGAATATGGCGATCGCTAAGGCCTCGCAACCAGCCCTGCAACTGCTGGTGGCTGGCACTGCATTTTTACAAGTCGCGCACGCCGTGAGGCCAAAGCAAGCGCTTGGAGTCAATTGTCGCGGCGGCAGCACGCAGACGAGTCCGCCGGAAAAAGCCTTGGGAATCCTCCGCCGCTGCGGCGCGTCGCGGTACGGCCGACCGAGCCCGCGGGAAGCGACGGAAGCGCTCGTCCGCGTCCTCGACGCCTTTGAGGCAGCGCCGCGCGTGTTGGATGTTGGAAACAGCGTCATTGTGCCATCGACGGACGACATCGCCCTCAAGATGGAGGAGCGCCAGGATATCGACCTGTGCCGCTCGAATGACTGGTCCCAATTTTTGAGAGGGGCGGCCTGGCGGCCCGTGTTCCATGCGTCCGTGGAGGCACTCGACGCGGCGCGGCGCTACCTGTCCTGCCCGACGCCGTCGCCGCCGCCGGGGAGCGCGGGCTCGTTTCTGGGCCACAACGTCAAGCGGACGTTCGGCGGCGACGGGACCTATCTGCAAAAGAGACCGTTCCTGCTCGGTTTGTTAAGGGTGCGGACCTGGGGCCGCTACCGGTACATGGCCGCGGGCGGCGGCGCGCCGGCCTGTACGATGGTCGCGCCCGAGCGCGTGGGCCTCCGGCTCCTCGGCGTGCCGCTGCCTTCCTGGGACGTCCGGCCCAGGAGCGCGACGTCCCGTCCCCCCGTCCTCGAGGCGCACACGTGGTGCTTCGCCGACGAGACGCTCTGCGTCACGCGCGCCGCCGACGGCTCCTACGGCGTCTGGCTCCGCGTCGGCTGAACCGGGCCCCTCCGAGAGGGAGTCTGGTAATTTGTGTGTACTAAAACTTGACAAAATTAAGATATGTGCAGTCGTCACCAGCCCCTCGAGCTGCGCGCCTTGTTGTACTCCGAGAGGAACGCGTCCAGAATGAACGCCACCACTATGTTCAGGAAGAGCAGCACGCCGATGACGTAGAAACTCAAAAAATAGACGCGAGCCACATCTCGAGATGCGACCGCCGCGAACCCATCTACCACAACAAACCAGTTGTTCACGACCAGGACACAAAACAGCGTCACGAAGGCGCTCTCGACGTCGTTGAAATTCAGCGTCGCGTAGCCCGACGTAAGGTAGTCCGTGCCTTGCAGTTTTTTTAGATCTGGTCCGTCTGGGTCCGTGTTGATGCGTTCCTGGAAGAGGGCCGCACCCAGCGCCGAGAAGAAGAAGATGACCACGAATAACGCCTTGAGCAGCTTCTGGGCCGCCGGCAGCATGCACAGAAACGCGTCGCCCAGCACCTGGAACTCCGGCAGCGCTACGACGAGCCGAGCCAAGCGCAACAGTCGCAGCATGACGATCGCATGGATCAAATCGGGATTGTTGAACCGGTTCGGGGCTAAGACAATGATAGCCGCTAGCATACAACCGCAAGTAACCCCCAAATCGAAGCGGTTGCGGTACTTCGACAGGTACCGCCGCCAGCCCAGGCCTACTATCTTCAGACAGGCCTCCACAGCATAAACGACAGCTAGGCCCGTCTCGACGAGCTCCAGAGGGTCGTCTGGAGCTTCTTCTTTTGGAGCATTTCCCATCAATTGCGGCCGCGTCTGTAGAGCGACGACTACCGCGTTCGCCACCAACAGACCATCCACCACATATTCAAAGCGCCGCGACGCGACGAGCTCGCCGATGGACGCGCGCCACTCCGACGACGGTCGGTCTTCGCTCGTCCAGGGCCGCGACGCCTCGTTCCGCAACGCGTCGACCAACCCTTCAAACTCGTCTCGCGACAGGTGGCCGTCGTGCCGCTGATCGAGTCGGTCGAAGATGCGCGTCGCCGTGTCTTCCGACACGTATTTTATATCTTGGTGCTCGTTGAGCTGTTTGAGTAATGCTGCGAGCTTCTCCGGCTTGACGATAGAGTCTTCACTTAACAGTGAAAAGGCGTCCTCAACGTACTGCACACGCCTACGGTCCCTCTTCAGTGAGTCGGCGGCTCGTTCTTCGGAGTAGGTGTTGTAGACCGTCGCCAGCCTGTGTGGAAATCATAACTTCGGCGCCCCGCGCCATCGACGCGATGTCGCCCCCCTGACTGTGTCTGCTCGATGGCGTGGAGGTTGATTTCCACACAGTCGCAAGCAGCAGGTTCATCATGAAGAACATGCCCAATGCTAGAAAGCTCCCGAAGAACAAGGTAGCGGGCCAGCGGTTCCGCTCGTAGGCGGGAAGCATGACGTCCGGGAAGTTCGCCGTCGTCAGCGTCACCTGTGCGGAAATAAAATTTCAGGCGCCCCACGCCATCGACGCGACTCCCCATGATTGCGTCTGCTCGATGGCGTGGAGGTCGACGATAAGCTAACTCTGGTTGATATCCACACGGAGCGCCACGATCAACTGCCACGCGGCCTCGCGGAAGTTCGGCAGCTCCTCGGACCCCTCCATCGTGTTGGGAGGAAAGATCACGACCCCGAACCAGGCCGCAAACAGCACGAGGCATCCTACCAAGGCACCGATGCGGCAGAACGCCGGCAGGATCTTCGAGACCAGCCTCAGTTGACTTCGTACGTCCGCCGAGTAGCCTATTAATAACAATAATCTCAGATAAGGAGCGGGTCGCCAGGCCTCGACCTCCAAGGCATCGACGCCGAGGACCACGACCAAAGCTCGCACGGAGTCCAGGGCTTTCAGTAAACAAACGACCATGACCCAGCCTTTCCCGTCCCAGCTCCAGAACCGTTGTGCACCGACGGCGATGCGAGCTAACAACAGATGCGCGGCGATCAGCGTGATGGCTACCAATTGGATGGCCACCGCCACGCGCTCGTCGACGTACGCTATATCATAAGTAGGATAAGGACAGACCTCGGGCGCGTCCGGGTCCCAGACGCACCGGCACATTTGGGCCTTGGCGCCGCGGCACCAGCGCGGCGCCTCCCAGAACGTGAGGAGCACCAAAGCCAAGGCGCTCATTTGCGCCAGCGGGTCCAGCCATAGATGGAGGCGGAAGGCGCGCTGGCTCGCCCGTCTTACTAAAGGCTGCTGCCTGTCCACGCCCGTGACCGCGTCCGCGATGGCGACCGCGGCGGCCACAACAGAACTGCCGCGCCGCGACTGAAAACCAACGTGGATCGAGTCCGCGCTCTCGGACCGCACTTGTATGGGCGTCGTGAGGGTCGCGGCCTCGTCGGCGACGGCGCCGTAGGCCATTTTTGCTATGGAGTTGCCCTTGGTCAAACGCAAGCGTTTGCACCACTCGCACACGTCTCGCGAGGCCCTCTCCCGTCAGCTTGCTTCGGAGAGCAGTTTTATGGTGTGCTGTTTTTTAGGAGCTGTGCAGCCGTGCCGACCGCAGCGATGGTCCACGACCCCCGTACGTCTCCTGAAGCACACGCTCCCGGTTTTTCGGTATCAATGCGACCGCAGCAGGCGATATTCAGGCGGCTGGTGCTGCCTTGCTTGCTTGCTAGTGTCTTACATGCGCTAGCTCGCCCACGAAGTGCGACATCCATCGACAGGGTCAATGTTCCCTACTGTTCCGGGGGATTTGCCGAGGCGACTCTGCTCAGCGGAAGTGCGCTATTACGAAAGACGCGCGGCCCGCTCGAATGGGGCAAAAACTCATAAGGGAAAACGTTAGCACAGGGGGAGGGAAAGGGGTCGGTCTCACCACTTGCACAGCCCGGCCGCCGCGTTCTGCTTCGCCGTCGTGTAGCCCTCGATGCAGCCGTACTTCGCCTCGAGCGCCTCGATGTCCGGCCAGGTCCAGGGTTTTGATAAGCGGTCGAGCTCCTTGGCCTTGAGCGCATCCACATAGACGTCGAACCTATCCCCCACCCACCAGGACATAGAATCAGCAAGCTCGGGCTTGCCCGACGTGCACTTGTCGAGGTTCAAGGGCGAGCACAGCACGACCGGCGGTAGATCCGAGGCTTGATGAATCACAATCTCCATCAAATCGACCATCTGCTCCGGACTCACCACGCCGTGGCCGCGCTGGTCCATGAGCTTGCGCGTGTTCTCAAGCGCCATGCCCCCTTCCGTCGCCAGCGCGCCCCACTGCGTGCTGATGACGTTCACATCGCCCTTGGCCCGACAGTCCTCGGCGAACCAGTCCATCGACGAGTTGGCTGCCGCGTAGTGCGTCAGGTTGAAGTCCTGCGTGTGCATATGTCGGACGCGACGATTCGGGGGACCCTGGGGCGCACGCCAACGGCCGCGGAGATGGACGACGCGAGCCAGAAGAATCTCAAAGAACGGTCCTGCGTCGCTTTGTAGAGGTAGCGCGTGCCCCAGTACTTGATGTCAAACAGTAATTTCGAGTCCGTTTCATTGGTCGCGGCGAAGGGCCCACCGTACGTCACGCCGGCGCAGTGGATCACGCCCACTAAATCCTCAATAGAGTCGCAGACGCGTCGCACATCGTCCTCGTCGCAGACATCGCAGGCGTAGCACTTCTTCCGGGGATCGTCGGTCTCCTTCGCCGACCGCGACGCGATTGCGACAGAACAGTTCGGGTAGTAGTGCAACAAGTAGTCCGTCAGGAGCCGTCCCAAGCCGCCGGCGCCGCCCGTAATAAGGACGCATCCAACTAAATCTTCGTAGCGGTCGTTCTGCGGCGGTGTTAATGGAGTGATCTGGCGGCACCACTTCGACTTGAGGCCGGACGGGCCTTCTTTCCGCACGGACTGGACCATGGCCGACGCGCCGAACTCCTCGCCATCCACGTACAAGTCGCGGCGCTTGTCGCCCTGCTCGAATTGCGCGCGGATCTCCGTCAGGTAGGAAAAGTCCGTCGCCGCGACGCAGCGCGCGTGGCGCGGGACGTGGGGGTTCCTTACTTTCGTGCTCGTGAACAACCACCACTCCGCGGGCGGCACGCCATACTTCTTCTTTGTGTCCCCATCAAGCATCATCTCGCGGAGCAGCGGGGCGTAAGCTCCGACGGCGGCCTCGGCGTCCCGCGGCTGGCTGCGGGGCTGCTGCTCGGGCATCGTTCGCGCAGCCCTTTGCTCGTCCGCGCTCGCGCTTTGGCTGTGCTGTCGTCTCCTGTGTGAGGCCCCTTTGCTCGACCCCGTACCCGCGCCGGCCATGGCCAGGACTCCGCGGAGTCGTACGATGCGTCTAGTATGAGTCATGGATGAATTACGAACTGAGAGCGGGAATACGCAAAGGTAGGTGCAGATTGGCAAACGCGAGTTTCGTTTTTCGGACGGGCTACACCTCCGCGTCGAGGAACGCGTTCGTGACCTGGACGAAGCCAGGCCATGCTTGGAATTCTTCAAGTTTCGGATACGGGCCCCAGGTTGCGCGCAACGCGGCGTTTTCCGGCTTGTCGTACCAATCGGCAATCCGATTGTACGTCTCTTTTTCGTCGGCAGGACCTTCGGCTTTCGGTTCGATAGATACGACGACGCCCTCGGATTCGGCGACCGGCTCCTGCTCCCCGAACAGGAACGAGGACAGCTTCCCCACGAAGCCCGGTTCCTCGGCATCGGCCTCAGGCTCAGGCTCGGCCTCGGTCTCCGGTTTCGCGGGTCTTCGCGTCTCGAGACTCTTCAAAAAGGCGGTCGTTGGCGTTAGTGGCGCCAGGTCCGCGCTTTTGGCCTCGCTAGTCTTGACTTTTTCGTCGACGTCATCGGGCTCCTTGACATCGGTGCCGCGAAGTTCCTCTCGATTAAAATACGCCTCATACGCTGCGAACGCCATGCCGACAACCATGGCCACGAGACCGCCGTAGAGCGACAGATCACAGCCCCTATGACCGAAGCTTCCGTATCGAAGACTCACGTAGCCTTTTTCCACGGCCGCGGCCACCGTGGACCTGTAGTTGGCAGCGCCGGCCAAACCGACGACGCCCCCGACGGCCAGCACCGCAGCCGCGCCGAAGATGGCCTTCGGTGAAGCCTCGAGTCCGCGGCCAACCAGGTGTGCGCGGATGTTGACGAAGAGGATCCCAAGACCCACGATGCCAGTGAAGATCAGCGCCACACACGTCGTCGCCCTGGCCGTATTCGTAGCCGCAAAGTGGTCCTCACATTGTTCCCCACGGCCACGGCAATATTCGTCCTCCCGCCCGCCGCCACGCCCCAGAATCTCGGTGGTTACCCACTCGCACTCGTCCCAGTGAGGGGCATAGGTGCAAAATCCTTCAATGGCGTTCCAAAGGTTGTACGACACATGGTGATAATCGTAACCCCTGTTGGGGATTTCGTCCGGGATTTCTCTGGAGTCAAAATTAGAGTCAGAGACCGTGGCCCAGTGCTCACAGCCATGTTTACAGTTCTTATATGGCAGCACGGCGAGCAGCTGCATAACTAAGCAGCCAAGGCCCACCACCCCCAAATACCTCAGGCGGACACGCGGTTCAGAGGCAAAGCGGCATGGGTCCATCGCTATTATTTGCGCTGCCGGGGCAGCAGCTGCGATGGGGGCAGCAGATGCCGGAGCGCGAGCTCGAGCTAGCGCTCGAGGCAAAAAAACAAATCCTACGGGTTTTACCCGGCGCGAATAAGCGACTCTCTCCCTCGTCTAGCAGAAGTAAAACAACGATAACTTACCTCCGCCGCTTCTTCGACGAAGCGTGCTTCTTCTTCTTCAGCCCCGCGAACTTGTGCCGCGGCTTCTCGTCGACAGCATCGTCCTCGTCGTCGAAGTCGTCACGCTTCTTTCGGCGCTTCTTGAAGGCGTCGTCGTCGTTCATCTGCCGCTGGGCCGTGCGCGACGCCTCGGTCACCCTATCTAGAAACGCTAGAGCTCGATCTTCGTCCACATCGGCTTTCGGGAGCCGCCTACCTAGCAGGTGCTCCAACCGTTGATACAATTCGACGTCGTACTGCGTCACGAAGGCCACTGCTCTACCCTTTCTCCCAGCGCGAGCTGTCCGCCCGACCCTATGGACGTATTCCTTGCCGTGGCTTGGGATGTCGTAATTCAACACGAGGTCGACCGTAGGAATATCTAGACCGCGCGCGGCCACATCCGTGGCCACCAGTACTTTCGCATCTCCACTCTTGAAAGCTCTGAGAGCTCCTAACCTTTTAGGTTGGTCCATCTTGCCGTGGAGGGCCTGCGCCTCAAACCCGAGTTGGCGTAACAGTAGTGAGACTTTGGTAGCCCCCGCACAGGTCCCGCAGAAGACCAATCCACTTCGACCGCGGTTCATGTCCAACAACGCAGCGAGGTAGCACTCCTTGTGCTTGGCAGGAATAAATAAGTACTCTTGCGTTAAGTTCCGAGGCGTCGCAAATTTATCATTCACTTCGACCTTCACGGGCTTGTGGAGCGACGCCCGCTGGAGCTTGGCGACCTTCGACGTCATGGTCGCGCTGAAGAGCATCGACGATCTTCCTTCCGAGGGTATGGCTTGACAGATCGCATCAAGCTCAGCCTCAAAGTCCATGCTCAGCATGCGGTCCGCCTCGTCCATGACCAGGCATTTACAGCCTCGCAGGTGGAAGCCCTTCGTGTTCTCGAGGTGATCTACGAGTCGACCCGGCGTCGCTATGATACAATGCGGCTGTTTTGCCAAAGCTAAAGATTGCTGGGCCACTTCTACCCCTCCAACAATACACACGCAGCGCAGCCCGATGGCCTTGCCCAGCGCGTCGAAGACCTCGTGGATCTGGACGGCAAGCTCCCTCGTGGGTGCGAGGACGGTGCCGAATAACCGCGACGGCTTCTCCAACAATTTATGCATGATGGGTAATCCAAATGCTCCGGTCTTCCCGCTGCCCGTCTCCGCCAGGCCGATCACGTCTCTACCTGCCAGCGCCACGGGAATGGCCTTCCTTTGAATTCTCGTCGGCTTCGTCCAACCCACAGCCGTCGTCGCGTCGACGAGCGCCGTGTGGAGGCCTAAGGCGGCCCAGGCGGGCTTGCCCTCGAGCTCCTCCTCCTCTTCTTCGTCGTCGTCGTCCGGCGCCTCGTCGTCCTCCTCGGCGGCGGCCTCCGGCTCGTCCGCGGCCGCGGGCTCGGGCTCGGGCTCCGGCTCCGGCTTCGGCGCTTCGACGCGTTCCGGCGTTTTAGCCTTCTTCGGCGCCGGCGCGGCGCGCGGGCCGTCGCTGTAGTAGCCCGTCACGCCTCGCACCGTCGTGAAGACGCAGCCGGCGACCGGGCCCGCGTACGTCTTCGCCTCGCGCACGAGCTCGCGCGGCGGTCCGCCGGCTGATTTGCGCTTCTGCTTCTTCTTTTTCTTGGTGCTGCGCTTCGGATCCATCGATGCGCGTCACAGCGAATTGATTGAATTTATCGCCTAGTTTTTGCTCTTTTGCCAGGCAGCTTGTCAAACAGGATGCGACCGGTGTCAATGCGTCGATGCGCTATTCCGCGCTGCGCAGCGATGTTGCGATCGCTTGGTAACCAGTCACGCGCTTAATGCGACGACTGCAGTCTGCTGCTCTGTGCACCTAGCGTGACACACTAGCCCCGAAAAATGTCAGCCGTCGCAATCATAGCAGGACGCCTCCGGGCCCGCCCCACGGCCTCGCGCAACCACGGACGTGCTACTTTTGGCAGCCTTCGTTGCCGGGCAGTCAACTGGAAGCTGTCAACTGGCATAGCTGCGGACCGGCGGCCCGGGTCGCGCGAGGCTGCCCGCGCGGTGCCAAACAGACCACCGGTAGCGTCGTACCGCGAGCGGTACGGAAAACGGCCATGGGTGTCAGGCGGAGGAGCTAACAACCGATGGCCGAGGTCGACGCCCTCACGGCGGCGAGACGGGCGCGCCAGCGGCGCAGGAAGGAGCTCCAGCGCCACGGCCAAGCGGTGCTTCGAAGAGTCCTCGGCGTCGCATTGCTCTCGGCGGCCGCGCTGTTGTACGGCGCTTCGTCAAACTACACGTCTCACAAAGACAAGGAATTTGGCAGCGGTGCGGGCATGCTTTATGGAGTGGGCGTCGTCGCTTTGCCGGGCACGATCGTGGGCCTGTACGTGGCCTACGGGCCCGGGAACGCCATGTCTCGGTCCGCTAGAGGTTTCGCCGTGCTCGTCGTCATCCCGGCGTTGGGCGTGCTAGGCATCGTACTTAACCTTGTGCTCACGCAACAAATGGACAGAGAAACTAGAAATTTTGGAGTATTTTTTGGCTCGTTTGCTGCCGTGCTGGCGGGCTTGGCTATCCACCTGACCTGGTCGTTAGTTGCTGCCGCGAATTCCTCTTCTCGAGTGCCTGGTGCGGCCGCGGGCTGGCTCGGCACCTGGATTTGTGTACTGATAATGGCTCCCTTGGGCGTCGCCGGCCCCCTCATTTTATTCAGGAAGAACGGTAGGGTACTGCACCAGTGGTTCGGCGTCGTGTCGCCGGACGACGAGGAGCATTCTGCAAAGCCGCCGCTGCAGCTCCTACCGGCTCTGTTGGTGCCCTGCGTCGCGTTGTTAGTATTAGTGCACCCGCTCGTGCGAGTGACGGTCCTACGATGGCCCGTCTTCGCTGACGGGACCGTCCCTTCCTTACGACACGCGCCATCGCGATGCGGGTGTTTAAGGAAACCTTTTGACGCCTTGGATGCGATCCTATGCTCGTCCTTTGTTATTTTTGCGGCGTCGTGCTACTATGAGGAAATGAGTGTACCTCTGAGACTAGCCGGCGCTTCATTAGCTCTAGTGACGCCGTGGACCGCAGCAGGAGCAGCTAGAATAGGCGCCTTCTCCGGCTCGACGGACGCCGTCTGGCGGCGCGCGACCTCGAAGTTCGTGGCTCCTGGTTTAGTGTTAGGTTTGATCGGTCTCAGACTTGGGAGAAAAAGCACGTGGTTCGGACCATTATCAAGGGTCTGCTTCGGCGCCGCGGCCGTTGCCGCGTTGGCACTCGCAGCAAGATTAACGGTTGAGAGGGCCGACGACGCCACACGCGTGCGGAGAGCGACGGCCTTCGCCGCAATTGGGATAATGCCGTGGTGGCTCTGCGTCGTGGGCGAAGTTGACCTGCAGTCGCCGACGTTACGGGGAGCGTTTATCGCGGCCCTGCCCTCCATCCTTGCGGGGATACGAGCGGCGCGCGACACGGCGCCGCCGCCCAGACGCCTGGACATGCTCCGGGCACTTCCACACCTGTTGCTCGTGGCTATTGGTAGCTACGTCGGCATCGTTCTAGCTTTGTCTCGTTTGAAGGCGGGCGGCGCCGGGGTGTTGTTTGCGACTTTTGTGATCGCGCCCTTTTGTACGAGGGTCGGCCTGGATACCGAGCGGAAAGTCCGAAAGTACCGCGGGTTGACGCCTAGAACGTGGTTACTCGTCGTTGGTATTACTCCAGCTCTGGTTATTATCATACTAACTCTAATCAGAGTCTTCTTCACGTCCACCACGCTGACGGACGCCCTTCAATCTCTGTTAGAGTTCAAGCGCAATGACCTGACAGACGAAGTCCGGGCGGGCTGCGCTTGGTTGTTTATTGCCGTACCCTGCACTACTGTTGGGTGGGATACCGTAGAAAAAGCAGCGGAACGGTGGCGAAGAACGGCAAGAGCGCAGCTGCCCGATCGGCCGGGCTACTATGATGAGCTTTTGGGCAGCGAGGACTCGAGAGTCCACGAGACGCAGGCGCGACGACGGTGGTCGACGATCAACGCCGCCATCCGGGCGGGCGCCATCTCACAAACTGATGAAGTGGTAGAAACGAAACTCCAGTCCGACTACTGGGACCACGACATCAAAGCGAGCGAGGCGGCGCCGGCCTTCGGGGGGATGTTGTGTTGCCTCGTGCTGGTGCCGTTTGGTGTCTTGGCACCCTTGTTCTTTTTGGTCGATGGACCGACGGTGTTGCTGTTAAACAAGTCGCGGTTGATGGGTGCGCTCGTATTAGCTGTGTTCGTCTTTGTGACGGTACTCACGACAGCCGCCAACGCGTCCATGGACCGCATCAAGACCGAAAAGAAGTCGAAGTTAGCTGGTCATGCTTTACGACTAGCTTTACGGGCTAACAGTGTGGTCGCGGACGGGAATTGTGCGAGACAGTTGTTTGATGTCCGGCACCACCACGTCGAGATGGCTACCGCGGCGTTACGTCGTAGGCCGGACGCCGGTAATGCGCGTAATGGCAGGCCGCTCACCGAGAGGCAACACTCTAGAGTGCAAGACGCGGCAGATAGAGCGCTATTGGATGACCTGAAACGGAGCGAATTACGCTACGAGAATGTGGTCGATGCCAGTCAAAAGGCTTTGGCTGAGGTGAGTCAGCCGTCTACCGGTTTAGATGCTCTCAAACTAAGAAGGAGAAATGCGCACGCGTCCTACGAATTGTTAATAAGGGAAGACCGCCTGCTGCAGGACGAGGGGTTGTACTACTGGCGCCCGACGGAGAAGGACGAACACAGCATGTCTATCATCAATCTACCGGTCTTGATCGATACGATAGCGAAGCAGTACGCGCACGACCATCTAATCGCCGAGGCCCACGCGCGAAAACGGAGGAAGCGCCAAGAACAGGAGGAGAAGCACCACACGCCGCGCGACGTGTCTCTGCAAATCGAACTGCCGTCGTGCCTGAAGTGCGCCCGGAAGAAGCGCGACGCTCCTGTACATGTCGAAGAAAAACGAGTGGACCCCGCGACGTTGAAACTGCGAAACGAAGCGCGCGTGGCCATCGACGCCTGCGAGCAATTAGCAGAGCAAGAAGGCCTCGCGGATCAAAGGCGTAAGAGGCCGTGGTCCGCTTCGGTACTGAGGGAAGCCGTGACGGGTGCTTTGATGGGTGGTCTCGACGACTTCCTCCAGCCCCTCGTGCAGCTGGAGGAGCGCCTCGTCGCGCGCGCTAGGTGGGGGTTACTTTGTGACGCTCTACCTGTATTAGTAGAAAGGCGGTGGTCGCTCACACCAATGCCGCCCAAATCAACAATGAAGTACAGGGCCGCTCTGCTCCCGCGAGCCTACAAGGCTTATGTACCGATGACCGAGGACTCGTGGAGGACGTTTTTATCTGATGCTGATGTGTTAGAGAACGGCATCGCTACTTTGAAGGCTGAGTTGGTGTTTGCAGCTCTGGCACAGAAGGGTGAAATGGACTACCGCTCCTTCCGCCAGGCGATGCGGCAGGTCGCCGTCGCTCTATATCCCCAACTCCCGGAGGCCGATGCGCTTAAGTTGTTGGGGCAGAAGCATGTGTTTCCTAAAGTTAAGTTGGCTCCGGAACGAGAGGCTTCCGATTTACTCCCCTACCAACCGGAGTCCGACTCGCCGCGCTTGCTGGAGTTACTTAAGCGAGAAGGAGGCGTGGTAAGGGACCCGGCCAAGCGGAAGGCTTCCGTCGAGACGCTGCGACGGGCCATCTCGTCTCAAGTGATTGTGAATGAGAATGACCATTGCTCGGAGCTCGCGGCGAAGGCGGGTTCGACGTATGCTCGCAAGTTGGACATCGCCCGTTCCGCGTGTTCGGAAGCGCGCGAGGCGGTCCTGAAGGCGGTCGAGAAGAGCAATAGTGATAGACGGCCGAAGACGCCTCCGGAAGAGGTGGTCGTGCTGTCGCCGGAAGAGGCCCTGGCCAAGGCCGAGCAGGAGAAGAAGGAACGGCAGGAGAAGCGCGAGAAATCGTATTATTGGAGACTGAGGAAGAAGCTACATGATGCGTGGAAAGCTAGGGACGAAAAAGACGAGGCGGAACTCGAGTTAGAATTAATGCGAATAGGTGTTGAGACGAGAGGTGACCGTCCGAAGGACTGGTCCCTGATCTCCGAGAAAGTCGTCGAGACGTTACGCGTCTCGGCGGACCACGAGCGACGAAGAAGTAATGAATTCACGGAGTCGGCGGTGAGGTTCGTGTGGAGCGTGGACAATGCCTTTGCCGTTTTCGACTTGTTGATGGAGTGGTTCACGTTTTCATCTTTGGGATTGAAGGGTGCCGCCGGTGTGGCCTGGGGGATGGAACGGCGATGCACCTTCACAAAAAGAGGCTGCAACGACGTGGTAGAAGATTCGGCACCGAAGGGTTTGCTCAAACTCGCGGCGAACGCGCCGTTGTTGACGGTCGATTCCCTGCGGACGATGCAGCTGTTTTGGATTAGTTGTATCTTCTGCTGTGCCGTGCCTTTGTATCTGATGCCGGCCATAAGACAAGCTAGAGAGCAGACGTTGGGTCTCGGCGAGGGCGGCAAGAAGCTCTCGCCGTTTAGCAAGGCGGGTTTGTACTTCAACGGCATCAAGATAGTCTCGGCGGCTGTCGCTCCGGTCATGACGACGCTGTTCTCTGCTTTTGTGTGCGACACGTGCGAGCCGTCGCCTCGCTACTTGTCGCGGATGTCCGTGCGATGCGGCTCGGCAACACACGTCGTCTATTTGGTTTGCGGGTTATTGGCCGCATTGGCGTATTATCCTCTTATTGCTTACTTACAGCCCCAATTACAATTCAAGTCGAAATCGCTCGATCTGAAGTTCGAGCCCACTTACTTGGTATTGGTGGCCCAGACGAAACTATCCTTAGCAGTGGTCGTGAACTTCTGGTCCGAGGACCGATCTAGGAGGTGCGGCGAGGGCGTGACCGCGTCGCAACGGCTGACGCAGGGGGCGCAGCAATTGGGCATCGCGGCGGTGTTGTGCGGCTTTTTAGCTTATAGAACCTTACAATCGAGGCCGTGCATCGTCGCCGAGTTCAACGTGGCCAGGTTCGCGTTACTTTCCGCGGCGGCGCTGTTTTTGGTCGCTTCGTTGATATGTGATGGCTTACAACGGGGTTTGAGTGTTGGTATGGACCTGGCCCGTTTTATATCAGCGGGGCTCTGGCTGCTTGCCGTGGTGGTCGTCGGTTGGGTGTCCCGGCGGCGGCTGAGGCGCATCGATGAAGAAAGGCTGGCGGCGGCGAAGGACGACGACGACGGGGAGGATCCCGTGTTGATGACGTAGGCGTCGGTGTAAGAGGTTGTGAGTGATCTTCGTTTCCAGAGAACCCCCCCCTCCAAGCTCTTACCCTAGCCCCTCTAGCCTCCCTTCAAGACGCGCAATCACGAAACCCGTTTTGTCATGCAAAGAAAAAAAAAACACGCGCGCGTGGCCGCTACGCGCCTTAGTACGCTCTCACGCAGATGATCATCACAAACTGCGCCGCCTGCGCCAAGCCCATCGAACACGACGACGCGTCATGGAGATGCGTGGGTTGTCAAACTAGATACTGCAGTGAACGCTGCGAACGCTACGACCGGCGGCGCGGCGGGCACGGCAAAATTTGTGGCGCGATCGCAAGCGGTGGCGGCGCCGAACAATACCACGCCGACAAAAAATACGAGGAGGCCGTCGCGGACGCGGTCGAGGAGTGCGCGGAGGACACCGAAGGTCAGACGTGCTACATCTGTCTGGAGGACGGCTCGGAGGAAGGCCTCGTTCGTGGGTGCTCGTGCCGCGGGGGGTCGGGCTTTGCGCACGTGTCGTGCTTGGCGAAGCAAGCGAAGATTTTGATGGATCAGGCCGAGGAGAACAATCTCCGCGGCAACGAGTTTGATGCGAAGTGGGAGCGGTGGCACAAGTGTAGGTTGTGCGGGCAAGAGCACCACGGCGCCGTGCGGTGTGCGCTTGGATGGGCGTGCTGGAAAACGTACGTGGGCCGGCCGGAGGAGGATGATACTCGGAGGATGGCGATTAACCAGCTCGCGAACGGTTTACAAGTTTCAGGACACCAAGAGCACGCGTTGTCCGTGCGAGAGGTCGAGTTGGCCACTGAGGAGCGCTTGGGTGCATCACCACTGAGGACGCTGGCCACACGAAGCAATTTGGCTTTGAGCTATTACCACCTCGGGCGGATAGAGGATGCCTTACGTCTCCAGCGAGAGGTCTACACAGGGTGGCAGATTCTGAGTCTCTCAAGCCAATTGCGAGAGGCGGTTGGCGATTGTCTTACTATCTCTGTCGGCAACCTAACAGAAATATTGATCGCTGCGCGCGAGTTTGAAGAGGCGCAATCGTTGGCGCGCGAAAAACTCCCCGCGATTATAGATCGCCATGGACCCGACGACATTTTGACTCTCGAGGTTCGGACTTGGTACGCGCGGGCTCTTTTCTTTGAAGGCGAGGAGCTTTCCGAGGCCGAGACGATTCTCGAGGATGTTCTGCGTAGATCAAAGCGGGTCTTGAGCGACTCCCATCCGGACACGGAGCGGGCTCGGAAGTTTCTGGAGGAGGTGCGGAGCGCGCGCGCGGACGCGGCCGAGGAGTCGTAGTGCAGGCTAAGTTTATTCAACGGTGAGACGCATGACCCCAGACACGCCGTCGCCGCGAAATAAACTGTACCACAACACAAGAGTTACTCCTCCTTCACCTCCGGCGCCTCGCGCAGCAGTCGTCCCCGGTCGAACGCGACGGGCAGCTCGTCCACGCGCCAGCCCGCGTCCGCGACGGCCGCCGCGAAGGCCTCGGCGGCGCCCTCGTCCACGGTAGCCCCGAGCCGCGCGCGCGCGTGGACCGCGGCCTCGAGCGCGTCGCGCGGCGCCGCGTCGTCGTAGAGCAGCACACGCGCGACGTCCCGCTCCGCGTGGAGGACGTAGGGCACTTCGCCCGCAAACGCATCTGACGGGAAAGCATCGACGCGGTCGCCCACGGATAACCAGGAAGGGTCGCCGCCGCCGACGAGCAGCGACTCGGCGGACGACGTCTCCGCCGGCGTCGGGCAGGTGCCCGTTTCCAGGAAAGCATCGACCAAAGCGGCTAATCTGGGAGGGTCGAGCTCGACGTCGGCCACGTAGCGTAGCGACAGCCACGTACAGGTTAAATGCGTGGCGGACAAAGCCGCCCAGGCCGGCCACACGGTCGTCACATCCCCACCACACGCGTTGGACACGCCGACGCCCAGTCCCAAGCCGACCAACGAAGCCACGATGGTCTGGGAGCCGGACTTGGCTGTGAGGTCGCCCAGGTTGGCCGCGCCCTGCCTGTTTGATAACGCGCGATGGATCGCGGCTCGGGAGGCCGACGCGGCCAGGTATGAGATGTTCTTCGCGACATTGGCCAGCCCCGCAATGGGCACGAAGTACTGGGGGAATGCTGGTAATGCCGCAAGCTCCACTAAAGCAGCCGCATCCAAAGCGACTGAGGACCGCAAGCGCCACCGCCGCGGTCTCGCATCCAAAGCGCCGCTCCAGATGGAAGCAAAGGCCACGCCGCCGAGCATGCCCAGCCCGTCCTTCACGGCCCAGTTCGCCGCCGCGGCTAAAGGTGCGGCGGACGCGTCGCCCACGCCGACCGCGGTCAACAGTACTCGCGTCGACAGGACGCCGCCCGCAGACGAACAGGCGAAGCCCGCGAACTGCAACAACGCATAAGTGCCGTAGCCATCTTTCACGGACTGGGGGTAGCCCGCCGGCAGGAAGGGCGCCAAGGGTCTCCTCCAGGGCCGGCTCTCGTTGTGCTTCGTGGCGGACCAAGTGGTGTCGTTGTGTTCGAAGCGCTCGTAGGCGGCGCCGGCTTCCGCGGGGCGCTGGAGGACGACCCGTTTTGTGGAGAGGGCTCGCCTGCCTATTGGTCTTGCGACTCGCAGCAGCATTGTTGCTGATGGTCCCAGGTCCAGGTGTTTTGCCCGTATTCAATCGATCTTGGGGCCGTCGAGACCGAGCAACAGTGCCTAGCTTATGAGATAAGCCAGCAGTGCAGCAATGTGTCAGCGTGTGTTTTGGCAGCCTTGCACGGCGTGGCTTGCAATTTTTTGCAGCAGTTATGCGCGCACACTGCGTCAGCGTTATCTGCACTGCGCAACAGTGCACGATGTTAATTTACTGCCGTGTTTTTAGGCCGTACAAAGCCATCATCCACACGCAAACCCGACCGCGGCATTTCCCCCACGTGCTTAGGCGTACTTGCAGCTGTCCGGAGCACTCATTTTGCAGCGAAACAGCGGTTTCCTAACTGCGTCGGGCGATTTTTCACATAAGGCCACGCACCTGAAAGCGCCGTAAAATTACGACGTCTACAGGCAACAGCGACGACTAGCAACAGCTACGCACGCCGCACAACTACCAACTTTGCGAACTTGCAAAGAAACGCCAGCCAGCGCGCGTTTTGCATCAAAAATCACTGCAGCCTGCAGCAACAACATAAAAAATGCCCAAGATCTGCGACCTGATAGCCGAGAAGGCGAAAGCGGGCGAGGACTGGGTCTCCTACGAGTTCTTCCCGCCGCGCACCGAGCAGGGCGTCAAGAACCTGGTGGCCCGGTTCGAGCGCATGAAAAACGCGCGCCAGCCTCTGTTCTGCGACATGACCTGGGGCGCCGGCGGCTCCACTTCTGAGTTAACGATGGACCTCACCCTAAAAATGAAGGCCATGGGCCTCGAGCCGAACATGCACCTGACGTGCACGAACGTCGAGCGCAAGGACGTCATCAAAGCTCTACAAACTTGTAAAGATAACGACGTCCGGAACATCGTTGCGTTGAGGGGTGACCCCCCCCACGGCCAGGAGAAGTGGGAGGCGACGGAGGGCGGGTTTGAATGCGCTCTCGACTTAGTGAAGTTCATCCGGAGGGAGCACGGGGACTATTTTTGTTTGAGCGTCGCGGGCTACCCCGAGGGCCACCCGGACACGATCGTTCACGTGGGTGATGACGAAACGAAACTCAGCGCTTCGGAGAGGACTCGCTGCAGGGTCACGGACGAAGACGGCCAGAGGAAAGTCTACGTCTGCCCCGACGCGACGTTCAAGCTGGAAATGGATTATCTGAAGAAGAAGGTCGACGCCGGCGCCGACGCGATCATCACGCAGATGTTCTTCGACGCGAACACGTATGGGGCCTTCCTCAAAGCTTGTCGCAAGCATGGTATTAACGTACCGGTCATTCCCGGTATTATGTTGGTGCAAGCTGCTGGAGGTTTTAGAAAAATGACGGCCATGTGCAAGACGCGCGTGCCGGCGGCGGTCAAGGAGAGTGTGGATGCCAAAGCCGATAATGATGTTGCTTTGAAGGCCTACGGCGTGGACTTGGGGGTGCAGATCTCTCATGAACTACTTGCTGTCGGCGCGCCGGGGCTCCACTTCTACACGCTGAACCTGGACAAGACGACCTTAGCTATTGCCAAGAGGGTCGCGGACGACCGCGCGTCGTCGAGAACAGCGAGAGACTGGCTCAAGGCCGCGGCGCTCGCGGCCGGCGCGGCTGTGTTGGTTGCGCTGCTCCGGCGCAAGTGAGGGGTGGGGTGGCCGCCGCGCCGCCAGGCTTCGGCGCCGCGCCGGCCGAGTAATCACTAGTACTCTATTAGTTCGAGACCGAAAGGACGGTGGAGTGGGTCACGACCTCTCCGAGGATGGGCGGCGCCGCGTCAGCGTCTGGCGCTTGGACCGCTTCGACCGTGCCCATGGGGAGCACGCTCGTCGTCCGGAGGATTGGCGGCGTCACAACCTCGGGGGCTGTGGGGGATGTTTTTACCGACGGTCGGGATTTGCGCATTCTCCAAAGGCATAGGAAGCAAGCGACGCAAAAGATGAGACTGGTGATGGAGATGAGAGCAATCTGCCAGGGGGCGAGTTCATCGTCGACTTGCTTTGTGGGCTGGGCGGTCGGCTGGGCAGTCGTCGGCTGAGAAGTCGGCGCGTTTGCATCGAAGGCGTAGGCCGATCCCGAGGCGGAGCCGCCGTCGTCGTCGCCGCTGGCTCCGACCATGACGGTGCCGCCGTCGATCGCCACGGAGACGCCGAATTTATCGCTCGCCGCGGCATCACTTGCAGTCAGCTTGGCCACCTGGCCGTACGAGGCGCTGTCGGTCGTGCGGAAGACGTAGGCCGAACCCGAGTTGGAGCCGCCGTAATCATCCAAGTAAGCTCCAATCACGACGGTGTCGCCGTCGATGGCCACGGAGACACCAAAGTTGTCGGCACAACAGGTGTCGGCGGCCGTCAGCTTGGCCACCTCGTCATATGTGGCGCCGTCGCTCGTGCGGAATAGGTAGACCGCGCCACCTGTGCCGTACGTGCCAGCCCCGATCGCGATGAGGCCACCACTGATCGCCACAGCGCGGCCGAAGTCCGCCGCCGCATCAGCGGTTATTAGCTTGGCGACCTGATTGTACGTGGCGCCCCCGTCGGTCGTACGGAAGACGTAGACCGAGCCCTTGTTTGAGCCGCCGTCGTCGTCGTATCGGGCCCCAACCACGACGGTGCCGGTGTCGATCGCCACGCAGCCGCCAAATTTGTCGCCCGTCGCGGCGTCGGAGGCCCTTAGCTTAGCCAACTGGCCATAAGTGGCGCCACCGTCGGTCGTGCGGAAGACGTAGGCCGAGCCCGAGTTCCAGCCGCCGTCGTCGTCGTAGTAGGCTCCAATCACGATGGTGTCTCCGTCGATCGCCACTGAGATACCGAAGTTGTCGCGCGCCGCGGCGTCGGCGGCCGTCAGCTTGGCCACCTGGCCGTAGGTGGCGCCGCCGTCGCTCGTGCGGAAGACGTAGGCCGAGCCCTTGTGGGAACAGCTATAGCAGCCAGGAGCCCCCACCACGACGGTGTCTCCGTCGATCGCCACGGAGTAGCCGAAGCGGTCCCCCGCAGCGCCGTCGGAGGCCGTCAGCTTGGCCACCTGGCCGTACGTGGCGCCGCCGTCGGTCGTGCGCAAGACGTAGACCGCTCCATAGCCCCACGGTGCGTAGGCCCCGACCACGACGGTGTCTCCGTCGATCGCCACGGAGCTACCGAAGCCGTCGCCCGCAGCGGCATCGGAAGCCGTCAGCTTGGCCACCTCCATGTAGTTAAAAGCTGCCAGCCGCCGCCGATCCGCGGGCGCCTCCACGAGGCAGCACAGCAGGAGAGCGCTGCGCAGCATTAGTGGTTGGCTGCCCCGAGCTGCCCCCGCGATTTGATCACCTACGGCGCTCTGTCGATCCGGCGCCGCTGCACATCCAAATCATCTTGCTAGAGTCGCCGCAACAAGTCATCAATAAGGAACAAACCTTACCCCGACGACGAGTCCGCCCGCGGCCGGCAGAAGCAGCCCGTATTTACCGAACCGCCCGCGAGCGGCGCGCACTGCTTCGCGAGGGCCCTCCCCAAGTCCTTGCCGCCGTCGCGGGACCGCACGTCGTAGGCGAAGGGCTCGGCGCCGAAGTTCACCTCGACGGCGTCGCCGTGGTCGAGGCCGACGCACGGGTACAACGGTTCGTCGAGGTCTTTTTGTTGTAAAGGGATGCCGCCGACGCTCACGCCGTTGCGCGTGAAGAAGACCTCCCTACGGCCCCGGTCGACGCCGCATCCCACCACATCGCCTCGGCCGAAGGTGTCGCCCCTTGCCACAGCAGCACCGTCGCCGTGGAACCGGCCCCCGTCGTCGCCGTGATACCCCCAGGACTCGGCGTCCCAGCCCGGCATTAACCGCCCGGCATCAAAACCAGCTCTCGCACAGCCGATGGCCACGCAGGGCGGCGCCGCCATCGCGCGCTCTTCAACTTCGCGCGGCGCGCCGGATAGAGCTACTCGCAGCTCGAAATAAGCTATCAGTGAGGGTGCTACGCGTATGGCCGTACCGGAGAAGGGAAAGGTCTCCTCCTGGACAGCTCTAGGTGTAGCAACACATTTTGGGGCCGTTTTCGGTTTTGATGAATGCCGGTTCATCAAGCTTCGAGCGACGGCTAGCGGCGATTGTGTGGAGGCACCGGTCAGCGCCGGGCCGAAGATCCGTCTTGAAAAACTTCCGTCGGCGGGCGCCCTTTGTTGAGGTGTGGTCGTTATTGCCTGGTCGCCAAAAAAGGGCGCGTCCGCGACGCAGGACCGGTCGCCCACACCTAAAGCGCCGCCGAAGGCTAACGTGACCAAGCCTGTCTTTGACTCGCCGACCCGCAGCTGCGTGCCGGCTCGCAGCCCCTTGCGCATTGTTGGGGCCGGTCTAGCAAGACCATACAGTAACCGGGGCGGCGCGGCGCACTGAACTGAAGTGTTCGGAGGAAGGTGCCACCTACTCCTACAAAGCACGAGCCAGGGCGTGTCACTCTGAGCTCGCCGGCGCCAGCCTCTCGACAAAACCGAGGCTAGTCGTAGCGCAGGCGCATCGAGCAAGGAAATAATAGCACAATCAATTAATTCAGAAGGAAGCCACTGGTCGGGGTCGAAGCCCCGCGTCTCCTCTATCCTCCTATTGAAATTCCGGAGGGCTTCTTCGGCTTCGTCGAAGTCGTCCCCTGTGACGGCGGCCTCTTTCACTAGCGCGGAGAGGAGCGTGGGCTGGCACATGTTGGTTGTTGTTGTGGGTGCGTTTTGGTGGTGGATCTTAGTGGGCGGAAGGTGTTTTTAGGGGGAGACTGTTTTAGCAGATCTCCAGCAGATCTCGTCCTATGCCGCCTCCTGCTTTAAGCTGCCACGTTCACAGCTGCGCGCTGACCCCCAGAGGCAGTAGCGCGTTGACTGGCGTCCAGCGCTTATCTGTAGGCCGCGCACGGGGCTCGTACCAAGCGCTGAAATCGAGCACCTCCTCCTAGAGGTCCTTTGTTTTGCTAGCTTTGAAAATGAATGTGGCTGAAAATCCCGTGAAGGCGAAAATGAACCATCTTAGCACGATTGCCTGGCTTTCGAGACGAATGGTGAGGGTTAATATGGGTGAGATTTCTGGCTCTCGATGGCAGACGCGCTTAAATTACCTTATATCGATCAACCAAACGATTGCGCGCTCTCAGGCCCCGTAGGAAAGTCCTCCAGGTACTCGAGCTCTCTGCGAACCCCACGCGGCAGCGAGTGCGGACGCGTACGCCGACGTATAACGAGCCTCCGGCGACTGCTCCACGTGCACTGCCATCCGCGCCCACGGCCCCTATCCGCGCCTCTGCGCCTGCCGCTGATCCCTCAAAGAACCGCACACATCGACCACAGCCAGGGAGGAGCGGCTCGCGGGCCTTAAACCTTTTTCCCGCCTGGCCGGCCAGGCCTTCCGCGCTCAAAAAGGATGCAGCGCCCCCAGCTCTCCCGCCAGCATATCTCCTCGCCTCTGACAGTCGTGACAGCGTGGAAATCAAACTTCTCCACGCCCCGTGACTGCGTCTGCTCGATGGCGTAACGATTTTCACACAGGTCGTGGACTCGGACGACGAGGAGGGCCCCGTCGTCGAGGGCTGGTCCATCTTCGAGAACTCCACCGACTCGTCGTCCTCGGAGACGACGCTCGGCCTCGACGCGCCCCAGAGCCCCGTCTGGGAGGACCGCCTCGAGTCCTTCCTCCGCCGGCGCCGCGCGTTTAGTGTCGACCACGAGGCCGCGGCGACGCCGACGAAGAAGCGCACCAAAAGAGCGCCCGCGCGCAGGACCTGCGCGCCGGGCCCGCCCGCGGCGGCCGCGAAGGCGGCGCCCAAGCAGGAGGCGCCGCCGCCGCCGCGCCTCGCGCGCGCCCAGTCCTGGACCGGCGAGTAGTGCCGCTCGTCTTTCGATTTGTTTCCACATACAGTTGCCAGTGTAAAAATGGTGTATACACTCCGTCTCGGGGACCGGCGGTGTGTGTGTGTGCACGAGTCGCGGCGATGGCGTGCCGGTGGGGCGTACGACTTGTTTACGCCATCGCTGCGACCGGTCGGTACTGCCAGTGCCAATGTTTGACATTTAAACAAGCTAACACTCGGGGCGACGGCGTATGAGGGCCGGGGGCGGGGCGGGCGTGCGGTAACGCAGACCCCGCGTCGGCCGGCTGGCTAGGCTCTAATCTAAGCGAAGCATGCCAAAACAAACACAAAATCCTTAAAAAATCCCCTGCCACCACCACCGCTCTACGGGCGCGCTGGCGTCGCCCACGACGCGCGCCGTCGTCGCCTGCGCCTCGTTCAGCGCGGCGGCGGCGGCGAGCGCGGCATTGAGTGAAGCGACGCGATCGGCGTCGACGACGCGTTCGGTGGAGAAGAAGAGCGACGTCGGCGCGGCGCGGGCCACTTCATGCGTAATGGCCGTCGCCGCGTGGAGCTGCGTGCAGCCCGTGTCCCTCACGAGCAGGCCCGCGTTCGCCTCGGAGACACCACCCGCGACGACGACCGCGATGCGCCGCCTCCCACAAGCCTTCTGGAGGGCCCAGAGCGTGCTGCGCCCGCCGCGCGCCGTCGCCGCGCCGCCGGACGACAGGACGCGCGCGCAGCCGAGGCGTTCTAACGCACTCGCGACGCGGTCGACGGCTCGCAGGTCCTTCGCTCTTCTTAGGACCTCGTCCGACGCGCGGTGGAAGCATATAACGGCGTCCTTGCCCGCTGCGTCGATCAGCGTCGCCGTTGCGGCCTCGTCAATACTACCGTCGGCCCCGAGGCAACCCAGCGCGAACCCGCGGCAGCCCACACTCCTCAATTCTCGCACCTCGCTCACCATGTCCCGCAGCTCCTCCTCCGTATATACGAAATCGCCGCTCCGAATGCGCACCAAGGCCACAACGTCCGCGGCCTCCTCGAGCGCCGCCCGGACGAGCGCCGGTGAGGGCGTCAGACCGCCGCAATGCAGCGACGCGCGCGCGCAGATTTCCACGCGCAAGGCGCCACCTCTGACGGCGTTGCGCACGCTCTCGCGGCTGTCGCAGCACGCTTCTAAGACGATTGCTGGTGCCGGCGGGCTGTCGGTCGGCTCCTCGACCTCCCACGCTGGTTGGTTTTCATCGGCCATTCGCCCGTCGCAGTCCTCCGACGCCGCGGCAGCGCCTCGCACCGGAACGGCTTGTTTGCGGCCGCCGCGGCCGCACAGCTCGAACCGCTTTGGTCAAGGCTCGTCAGGAGATCACCAAAGATGATCCCAATCGCTCACCCCACTACGATGCGCAGCGGCCGCGTACGAGACGACAAAGCTGGGCTTCGAGCTAGCCTGCGTTGACACACTAGAGATCTCTGGCGCCGCTGCCTTATTCAAACCAGCGGAGGACTTGCAGCGTTCAGCGGCGCTGGTGGCACACGCACAGACTCCCTACTACGCTGCCGACGTCGCGCAGCACCGAGAGATCGCCTGTGGCGGTAAACAAACAAAGCCACAGAGAGCGCGCGCTGCGGCAGCAAGCAAGATGTCGGCGATGGCCGCCGCACTAAGACAGGTCCCGCCCTTCACGCCCCTCAAACGCGAAACGACACCAGAAGACGCGCCGACCCAATTGAAAGCCATCGACGCGCTGCTCGAGGCGCGCGGGTTTGGGGAGGCCGACGCCGGCGTGTTGAGTCGAGTCGAGGACCTGCTGGAGCGGTACGAAGCGCGGGGCGAGTCCGTCCAGCGGCTCGCCGGCAAGATGTCGGCGCTAGATTCCCATAGAAGAGGTGCGGACGACGAGCTCGGCGCGATACCTACGTTAAGGAAGGAGCTCGAGCGCTGCCAGGCGGCGCTCAAGCAGTCCGAGGCCGCTCGAAGACGAGCGGAGAGCGAGAAGTTCGCCGAGACGGCGCGCGTCCACGAAGCTAGGTCTGATGCCGACCAGTGCCGCCTGAAGCGCACCGAGGCCGAGGCTCGGTTACGCCAGGCCGAATCATCATTACGAGAAGAGACCTTGCATCGGAAGCGCGCCGAGAGCAAGCTCCAACAAGCGAAAGCTAGGGCTCTGAAGCCGCAGAAAGCTCACACGTCCGCATCTGCACGGGAATTGTTTGAAGCCGCGACGGGCCGGGCGCCGCGGCCGACGTCCGCGGCGGATCAAAGGGCGTTAGAGGTCGCCGAGGTCGGCGCTAGGTGTCGCGCGAAGCTCGAGGAGGACGTGGCTAGACTCAGGGGCGACGTCGAGGTGCTACGGGCGGCCCTCGAGAGCCAGCCACCTGTCGAGCCGAAGCAGATCGTCGACGACGTCTGCGCTGCGCTCGAAGAGTCTAATTTGGAGGCCAAGGACGACGCCGCCCTGGCCGTGCCACCGACGCCGCACAACTCGCGCACTTCGTTGGTCGAGGCCTCTGGAGAAGATCCGCAGTTGCAGGCCCAGCGCGAGATGATCGAAAGAGCGGCGGAACGCAACAGAGACCTTGCGGCCGCTTTAGAACACGCGAATAGTAGGTTGGCGGAAGTCGAGAACGAGCGCGAAGCCCTCCAGTCGCGGCCGACGGCCAAGCAGTACGCGGAAAAACTTTCTGAAATATCAACTCTGGAGAAGAAGTTGTCTGACGTCCAGGGCAAGGCGCGGACGCACGAGCGGGCTCTGCGTCGCTATGCCGGTACGAAAGAATTAGTAAGAAGAGACCGGTTGGACTACGCGCTCGATCTCAAATCCCTGGACGCGATGCCCAAGAACGTCGCCGTGGACGTCGTGCGGGAGGTCTGCCGCGATTTGCGGCTGTCGGACGCGGGCGAGGCGCCCGTAGCGGTGCGGAAACTGTGCGCGGCCACGAAGAAACTCCCGGCACTGGTCCAATTCGCCAGAAAGGCGTGCGCCATGCTCGACGTCCCATCTGTTGGTGGTGGCCCTTTGCCTTTGGAAGCCGCTCTCGACGCGCTCGAAGCCGCGAAGCTTTCCAAAAGTGATCAACAACAATTGGTGGAGCACGTCGCCGCGACTCTGGACTTACTGAGGAGGGCGGACCTCGCTCCTGACGGTGACGTGAGGGCGGACGCGCAAGCGGTCCGCAGGGCCGTCGAACAATTGTTGGATGAAAAGGCGCAAAATGCCAAAAGTAATTCCGCATTGAAGGCCTGCAACTCGCTGATCGCGGAGACGCCGGACGCGACGTGCGGGCGCGTCCTGAACCGGGTGCGGGAGCAGCTCAATTGCAATGATGTGAAGGGCATTATTCCTTCCTTGTCGCGGAAATTATCAAGGTGCGCCGAGCTCGAGACGTTTTGTAGGGCGGCGGCCGATAGGTTGGGCGTGGCCCAGCCGGCTCGTACTGGAGCTATATTGGGCGCGATCGATAGAAGAATGGCGCGGCGCAAGAAGCCCGTCGAAGCGTTGCCGGCGTCGACGACCGCCGAGCCCGCAGCTCTGGCGCCTGCGACGACCGCGGACGAGGTGGATGACTTTTCCAAGGCGCTGGCGGCCGCGCCCGTGTAAGAGAAAGTTCACACGATAAATACGAACGAACGAACGAGCTTATTGTTACGGTGCTAGGACTAGTAGGCGGAGCCCCTGCCCAGGGCCGGGGGAGACACCGCGCGTCGCCGATTCATCGGCGGCGGGTGCGTGCCGCATTTTCCATGACAGCATACCTCATTCTAAGCAGAACCGCCTCGGCAACCCTAGTACAGGCTCGCGCCCCGACTTTCGACGCTAGTGTCTTTACAGCACGCTAGAATTATCGACGATCTCGATCGAGACCGAAGACCGCAGAGCTAGGACGCTGTCAGCTTGCAATCACATCGCTCGTCGTGGAAGCAGCGCGTCGTAGCTGTGCGCCGACGACCCGTGAACTACTGCAGCGACAGGTAGAGACAAAGCCTTTTCTCATAGATAGCTCTCAGACGCGGCCGACGCGTGCAGCAAATTGTAAGTAGCAACAACCATCATGGCGGCAAAACCGGAAGACATCATGGGCGACGGCTCCATTTTGAAAACTATCATCAAGGCGGGCACGGGAGAGGAGAAGCCGGCATGGGGCAATAAAGTGAAAGTACATTACGTCGGCACGCTCACGTCGAATGGCGAGAAGTTCGACTCGAGCCGCGACCGTAACAGCCCTTTTGACTTTCAAGTTGGTTCTGGGGTAATCACGGGCTGGTCCGAGGCCGTGCCGACGATGCTGCTCGGTGAAATCGCAAAGTTCACCATTTCAAGCGAAAAAGCGTATGGTCCCGGCGGCTCACCACCAAAAATCCCTCCCAACGCGTCGTTAGACTTTGAGATTGAATTACTCTCATTTACGGACCGGGAGGACGTCTTGCAAGATGGGACATTAATGAAAAAACAACTCGGCAAGCCTGACGAGGACTCGTGGGTCACGCCGAACGCGAACTGTGATGTGGAGTTCAAGCTCACAATAGCGGGCGGCGACGAGCACGCCGTGAGCTGGCCCGCTGGGACTGGGTGCCCGCACGGCTTACCCCCAAGACTACGAGAAGGTTTGTTTGAGATGAGGAAGGGCGAGACGTGTTCGTTCCTATTACCTAAGGACGCCCCTGGTGTGGATTATGAAGTGACCCTTGTGAGTTGGGTCGAGAACGAGGAGTGCGTGAGCGGGGACGACGGCGCGGTGGTCAAGAGAATTGAAAGAGATAAGACGATTGGCAAAGACGACTGGAAGTGCCCGCACGACTTAGATACGGTACATATGAGAGGTAAGGTGTGGGTCGACGGCGACGAGGCGAAATGCGTCGATTACGGCGAGATTCCGCCCAATACTGACGGGTCGCAGGACGCTTCTGTTTATGTTGTGGATGAGGACCTGACCACGTCTACTGGTAGTGCCGTGTGCCCTGGTATCGATGCCGTCGTGAAGAAGCTTAGAGTTGGAGAAATATCCACCGCGATCATTAGGAAGGACTATGGGTTCAAAGAAGGGCCACTCGCGGGCCAGCCGCTGCGCTGCCGCCTCGAGCTCGTGAAAATAGACCCACAGACCCCCAATTGGGAGATCAAGACGACCGAGCTCAAGATCGAGGCCGTTTCTGGCAGTGTGGAAATCAGTCGCCGCCGTGAGAGCACGTCGCGTCGACGGCGTCGACGCGATGCCGCAGCGTTGACGGCGTCGACGCGATGCCGCCGCGCCGCCGCCGACATGTGCCGCCCTGACGCTGTCGACGTCGCGCCGCCGCCGTCACGCTGCCCCCGCGCAGGTCAACGCCAAGCGCTGCCTCGGCAACGCCTGGGTCGCTAGAAATGATATCCCGAGAGCGATTCGTCGATACGGCGCGGCCATAGAAATAGGGGACTCGGATTACGACATCGTCGACGAGGACGAGAAGCGGAGGTTGCGGGAAGCTGTTTCTGCATGCAAGCTCAACCGCGCGATGTGCCACCTTAAGGTCAAAAACTACCAGGACTGCCTCAAGGACTGCTCGGACGTGCTGGACATTGATTCTACAAGTGTCAAGGCCTTGTTCCGGCAAGGCAAGTGCTATCTCGCGCTCGACAAGTGGGACGCCGCCAAGGAGTCGTTCCGAAAGGTCCTTGAGCTCGACGACGGCAACATGGAGGCTCGGCGCGGGTTGCAGAGCGTGCGCGTACCAGTCTGTGTGAAAATCAACCAACGTCGCGTCGATGGCGGGAGCGCCTGAAATTCGATTGCCACACAGGTCAAGATGCAAGCTCAGAAAGAAAAGGAGAAGAAGCTCTACGCCGGCAAGAAGCTCTTCGACGGGAAGGACCGACCTGCTCCGAAGAAGGCTCCCGCGTCGGCGTGTTGTGACGCGTCGGCGCCGGACGGGTCGTGTTGTCCGCCGCCGCCGCCCGAAGCAGCCGCGCCGCCGCCCGCGGAGCAGTAGGCGCGATTACCCCCCTAATATTGGTTTTACTACTCATCGCTATCGTCGCCCGAGGCGTCCGGATCGGGCAAATCCTCGTCGTGGATCCGACACACGACCTCCACGTCGCAGCGCGCCGATGGCGCGAAGGCGGACACGTACTTCACGAAGCGCAGCGTCCCCGGGTCCCGCAGCACGATCGACAGGCAGTTATGTTGCGCCTCGACCGACAGCAAATCCCCGCCCTCCTCGCCGCCCTCGCCACTCTCGCCCGCGTAGACCGCCGCGTCGGCGTCGCCCTCGTCCTCGGCCTCTATATATGTCTCGAAGCCGCCGACTTCGCCGGACGCCCACGCCTCGTCGTCGGAACCCCCCAGAAAACAAAACGTCGCATCAATAACAGGAACGGGGTCCCCGGACACGGCCACCGTGTAGTCGCGGCCCGGGCGGAACCTTCTGATCGTGGAATCGCGCGCGACGGGCCGCACGCCCGTGATCCTCGCGAGCAACCGTCGAAACGCCGCGCTTGACGCACCATGCTCAATCTTCGCCAAAGCTCGCCCGAGGTCCGAGTCGCCCCGGGGGACGCCGTAGCGCCGCTTGTGCGGCGGGCCCACGACGCGCCAGGTGTCATGAGGGCCCGCCATCTCACTTTTTGAGATCTCACTCGCAATTTCATCACGACAAAAGTCCACCAATCGAGCGGCGCTGTCATTCGCGAAGTGGTCCCTTAAACGCGGCCACGCCTCCGGGTCCAGATAGGCCGGCGCGACCCACGCCCCAAGCGCAGAGACGTCGTCGCTCGACAAAGCACGATCAACGTCGTCCTCGTCGTCATCCCCGTCAAAACTCTTGAAAGAACGCTGTTCAACAACGCGAAGCTGTCCCAAGGACGACGCCCGAGCCGCGGCGCCGTCCCTCTGTTCCCGCGCGTGGTACCATCCACTAATCGTGAGCCGAGGCTTGTCTCCAAGCACTTCGGCGACGGCGTGGTGCGACTTGCCCGGTTCGACTTTGAACAGTAATAAAGAGTTCCATTTGCAATCGACTCGGTTGCACGGGATCGGTGAGGGCTCCCCATCGACCACGGGAAAGAGCTCGAAGGCGCCTCCATCTTCCTCGGACCAGTCCTCGTCCACGAGGTACAGCACAAAACTCACAAGTCTGTTACCGATGACGTCGTCGTGGCACAACAAGTGGCCTCCTCGCATGTAGACGTTCGCGGAGCAGTCCACGGTGTCGCCGATGCGACCGCAGCCCGTGATCCGTTCCACGAGGCGTCGCGTCGACTCTGAGTAGAGGGCGTCCCTAACTCGTAACAGTGAAGGCGCCTTGTCCGCGAGGTGCGGTGCGGTCCTTTCTATCGTGCCAAGATCGTGCGGCACCTGATACACCTTAAACAGGTCCGTTTCCTTGTAGTCCGCTCTCAATTCATGAATGGCTTCGCGTCGCGCGTTTTTCAGGGTGGCGTCGTCGATCGCGGGGCTCAGGACGACGTGGGGGTACGGCGTGGCTGTCGCGTACTCGCTTTGTTTCGCTTTGATCTGATCGTCGCCGAGCGGCTGCAGGACGGCGTCGGCGGTCTTCTGGCGCTTGGTTGGCCCTTGGTCCATCGCCTAGCTGCAGTTGTGGTGCTCGCTGCGGCGCCTAGCTGCAGTTGTTGTGCTCGCTGCGGCGGCGTCGAGCGCAGCCGTACTTTGTCACACGTCTGTATGATACAGTCAGCTATCAGCTGCTGTTGTGCGCAGTGTTATCGCTCCAAATACGCTGTGTTTAGGCTCCAAATGCAACTCAATCGTGAGAGGAAATACCCGCGACGAACACAACAGCAAACGACAGCACAGACCACGCGAGTGCCTAGCTTTACGTTGTGAGCGCATAAAGTAGGTCTCCAAGTACATCCGTCCACGTCAAAAGCAACGCGACGACGCGTGCGCACGTTTAAAGCTCACACTGCCAGCTGTGCTCTGTGACACGACTCACACCGCTGCCCGCAACGCGCGTCACGTCATCATGCTACGGCGCTCGTCAACGCGCAACGCCGCTGCCGAGAATCTTGACGAGTTCGAATGCTCGATCTGCGTCGAGCTCCTCTACGAGCCCTACACGGGACCGTGCGGGCATTCGTTCTGCCGGCGCTGCGCCGGCGAGGCGCGCCGCCGCGACCCGCGCTGCCCGACATGTAGAGCGAGCTGGCGCGGCGTCCCCGCAAACCTGCCGGTCAGTTCGGCGCTGGCCACGGCGATCCGCCGCCTCGCGCCGGCCGAGTACGCCGCTCGAGCCAATGAGGCGCCGCCGTTCGTACCGGTCACTGAGCGGACGCTCGGCGTGTTTCAGCTCTACCACGTCCTGCCGCAGCAAAGACTGCAGCTCCACATCTTCGAGCCGCGCTATCGACAACTGGTGGCGCGCGCGCGCCAGCGCGAGCCGCCGACCTTTGCCATGGCGGGTCCCGGCGCACAAGTACTCTGCGAGGTCGAGATAACGTCGCTCGACCAGTCGCGCGACGGCCGCTACTACATCGAGGTCGTCGGTCGAAGGCGCCTGCGATGCGAGCGCGACTGGCAGGATAACTCAAACCTACGCGTCGCCGTCGTCTCGGAGCTCACGGACGACGCCATCCTACCGCAGCAGGAAGCGACGCTCGCCGCCGCCGCGGCGGCACTGACGGCGGCGTCTCAATGTCTAATTCGCGTGACGTTCCAGAGAACGGGGAGACTGGACATGGGCACGATGGAGGTCCTGGGCGCCGACCCGCCCTCCGACTTCGAGGCGCTCGGGCTTTGGTCCGCCGCACTCGTGAACGAGCTGCCGCCCCTGCGGGCCGTGCGCGACATCCGGTTGCACGTGCTCCGCGAGACCGATAGTCTGCGGCGCATGCACCTGGTCCAGGCCGTCATCCACGCGTGCCTCGACGAATTGGACGCGGCGCCGGCGACGATGCTGGACCGGGTCGTGCGCATCTCGCGAGCATTGCTCGATTACCGCGAGCTCGGCCCCTTCACACTTGTTGGAGCCGGCGCCGCCTGCGTCGCCTGTCGCACGTGGGGACAGATGGCGATGGTCTTCGTCGCGCTCTATGCGCTCTTGGCCATTTCCGTCATGGGCGTCCGCGCGCCACACGTGGAAGAAGCCGTGTAATGTGTCATGATTGTAACTCCTAGCGCAACGTAGAGATGACTAGAAGGGAAGCATCTTTCACGGACGAGGCCTCCCGCTCAACGGCACTCGGGGAATTGCTGGCCCGTCCAGCTGCTGGCCAGGCTCCGCTTTGCTCCCGGCGCTGGCAATCAACGCCCGCGTGAAGCACAAATAGTTTAGGGTCGCCGAGGCATCCGAAAGGCTGCCAACGCCGCCCTCGACGCGAAGTCGCACCGTGCCAACATACCTGCAGCCCATTGGGGCAGCCTAAACCATGGGCGCCGGCGCGAGCGCCGTCCTCCCGGCGGAGTGCACGAAGGACGACGCTCGAGCCTTTGCGGGCGAACGGTGGAACGAGACCATGGATCAGAAGTTCGACGCGATCTGCAGGGACGGTAAAATATCAAAGGAGACCGTATTACAACACGAGCACTCCTTCGGACTTGCCATAAGAGACTGGCGGCGCATCAGTGAACATGCCCACCAACTGACCGAGGCGGCGGTCAAGGAAGCTCCACCGGTCTTAGAAGTCGATGTCGAACAAATAACAGGTAATAAAGCCGCGACGCGACTCCAGGGCGCGTCTCGCAAAACAGCCGCCTACAACGAGAGCAAGATCAAGGTCGCGAAGAGGATTAATTGCTCCTTGGAACATGCGGCCGAGCGGAAACAGAACAAGCTCGACGCGTTCATGAGCAAACTAACGGAGAAAATGGACACCCTTGAGGAAGAAAAACAGTCCAAGGATCAGCTCCTAGATACGATCGACAAGATGCGCAAGGCCGGCTGGCCCCGGAACTTACCTAAGGATGATCACCCGGGGATGGACCTACCAGACCCATTGACCAAAGATGCGATGTGCGACTTGCTGGAGCGCTTGAATGAACAAGCCCGGAAGGAGACCAAAAAAAAGAAGGCTCGCAACGGCATCAAGGACATACTGCACGCGAAGTACGCCTTGCAGATCGCTACGGGATATATGGACGTCGTTCGTAAGCTCCCGTCAGTGGTCCATGTGAACACGCAGCAGTCGGGCAAAATTACGGTGGTCGGGGATTTACATGGCCAGTTGCGAGATCTCATACATATCTTTAGACATAACGGCATGCCCTCGTTTGATAATCCCTACTTGTTTAACGGTGATTTAGTAGATCGCGGCGACTACTCCGTCGAAATAGTACTCTTGTTGTTTGGCTTCGCCGTGGCGGATCCCGGAAGTATATATATCAACCGGGGCAACCACGAGGACATGACGGTGTGCACGGGGTATGGTTTTGTGGACGAGTTGGTCAATAAATTCTCGCAGAATACGGCCGGTAGGCATTTGCTGGCTATTATCGATACTATATTCTCCTTGCTACCTTTGGTGCACGTCATTGACGAGAACATAGCCGTGGTCCATGGGGGCATCTCGGACAAGTTCGACCTCGACTCCCTGAAACAGATAAACAGGCGGTTGTACCGCACCTTGACGGGCCTACCGCAAGCCATCACGCACGACGAGAAAGGTTGTGATGAGGAGGGCCACACCCACAAAGACTGGGCTGTTTTGATGGACTGCCTCTGGAGCGACCCGGCCAAAGCCTCGGAGCGGTTTCCCGGTGACCTGAGGTGCAAGTCGAACGACGAGCGGGGCGGCGGCGTTTTATGGAGCGAGCAGTTCACGAAGGAGTGGCTCTCACAGCACAAATTGGGCTGTCTCATACGAAGCCACGAGTGCCAGGACGAGGGGTACAAGACGCACCATGAAGGTCGAGTATTAACACTGTTTTCTGCCTCAAATTATTACGGGGAAGACGAGGAGAACGACGGGGCTATCTTAGTGTTAAGTCCTTTGCAAGATCCTCCGGGCAAGCTGTTGACTTATAGTACGTGTTACGCGAAGGGTGGCTATGAGAAATTACGTACAGCTGAATTGGCCGGCAAGATGGAATCTGCAGCATTAGCAAGAGTAGAAGTTTGTTTACTCGATCATAGACGAGAATTAGTAGCAGCTCTGAAAGCGAAAGACGTCAACGGCACGGGGCAGCTCAAGAAAGTCGAGTGGGCTTCTATAATGAATGATATACTACCGGTGAAGTTGCCGTGGCTCCACCTCGCGGAGAAATTTGTGCTGGTGACGAAGAAAGGCGACGTGATAACGTACCTACCCCTCACGGAGAAGCTCGAGGCCATGTTCGGCAATAGTGATGAATCTAAGGGCAGGGAGAATTTGTTCCGGAACCGCGACGCTTTGGTCAAATTATTCAGATTGTTGGATGCGGATCAAAGCGGTTCACTAGATAGAGCCGAGTTCGCGAAGGGCTGCGAGATGATCAATGCGCTGGCGGACGACGGCGAGAAACTATTTGAAATGTCTGACATCGACGGGTTCATGGACGCGCTGGACGTGAACGGGGACGGCGCGATTAGTTTCGCGGAGTTTTCCGATGGATTGCTGAACCACGGCTCCATGGCGGCGCATTCAGGCGCGGAGATCGGCGTGCACTCGCCGGCGAAGCCGGTCGGGGAGCCTGCAGCAGAACCGGAGGCTGCGGCGGCGCCAGAAGGCGGCGGGGGCGAGGAGACTGGGTAACTAGTCTTGAAGAAAGTGACACACACCACAGTAGTTACGAAAACTAGCCGCTCGCCACGACGTCGGGCCGCAGGAACTCGTCGAACGACGGCGGCCCTCTAGCTGTAGCCCCCTCCTGGGACCGAAACCGCGAGCGCCTTCTCCCGGGGGACCGGCCCGGTGAACCTTGAGACAACCAGTACTCCTCGCCGCTTTCGTCGATCTTCTGGAGCCAGGAGGGATCGCGCTCCCAGCGCGTCTCGCCGGACGCCTCGTTCCAGAAGAAGGTGTCTCCGGTAGAATTCTCCACGAGCTCGTGCCAGCGCTGCTCGCCCCGTAATGAGGGCGACGACGCGGCCCAGGCCGAGGCTCTAGCAAAAGCGTCTTCGAGGCCGCGCGCGGCACTATCATCGGACTCGTGCGACTGCCTTACGGTCGATTGGCGCTTCTTCACGTCGGACTCCACCGCCGACGCAAACGCAGATTTTTCGGGTGATTTCTGGGCCGTCCGCCCTTCACACGTCGCCCACGGCGAGAACCGATCTCCTTGTAAAGTTCGAACCCGAAACATGACGTGCGTACCTGGTTGTAGATTGCGCTTCCTAACCTTAGGAGCCTCGAGATTACGCGACGCCGATTCCCAGGTCAACCCCCCGTCGCAGGACCACTGCAGTTGCCACTGGTCACCTGCTCCTGAATCCCACTCCAACTCAAGAGAAGTCGCCTGCGTCCCGACGACTCGCAACCGTGACGGCGGCTCGACCAAAGCCCCGTCCCGCCGGAAGGCGTCCGTGATCTGTTTTAAGTTTTGGGGCTTGAGAGCTATGATCGCCCCGCTATCTTCGATTTTAATCTGGTACCGCTGCTTCTTGTCGTCGTACCTCTCGATGATGGCCAGTTGGTTGTTGAGTTCCGGCTTACTGATGAGGTCCTTCAATACGACTTTGCAGCCCGGCTTCAGGAGCAATTGGTGCGAGGGTCGGATCGTGCCGTTGGAATGGGCCACGAAGGTCCTTCCCAGCGGACTCGTGCCGCCGAACTTCTTCATGAGGTTGTCGAGCTCCTCGTTATCGTTGAGAGCTTGGGCGGCGGCAGTGGCACACTCCTTGTAGAAGCCGTCGTTCGCGTGCCAGGCCTCCTCCCTTGCCTTCTTCGCGGCTGCTTCTGTTTGTTTCTTGCGGTGGTCTCTGGCCGCGTCCATCTGTTGTTGCGCTTTCGCGTAGAGTCTTTCTGCCTCAGCTAGCTCGCCCGCGGATCTCGCACGAGCGGCCGCCGCAAAGGCCTCGGCGTGGGCGCGTCGAGCCGCCTCTTCCGGGTCCTCCTCCTCCGGTTCCGTGCGCCAGGCCGACGTGGACATGCCCCGCGTGTTGTTCTTCTGCTGGGACCGCCACCTGCGCGGAGCATCGCGGTTGTTGTTCGTTCCCCGTCTCGCCATCGACGCAATCCCACGCCATCGCCGCGACCCTACGCCATCGCGCGAACTCTCGGGGGACCTCTGCGCCATCGCAGCGACCCCGCCTCGCCCGCGCCTCGCCCGGAACGGCCTCGAAATCGAAAAAAAGACCACCCACGACCCGCTCTCCGGGAGACGATGCATGACGATGGCGTGAAACGGGACGCCGCGCGCGGACCACGCCTCATCATCTTCAGTCATGTCGTGCGTCTCGATGTCGTCGTCGTGTGCCCGGGGAAAGGGGTCGCTCCTTGCCCTCCGCAATTTCTCGGCTCGAGCAGCTTCGCGCTGCTGCTCCCGTTCCCGAGCCTCTCTAGCGTGGACCTCGAACCGTTCCCGCCGTATCCTCTCCTGCTCGCGATCCTCGGCCTCCTGCCGCCGTCTGCGAATCTCCTCCTCGCGCTCTCGCTTGACACGAGCTTCATTCCTTAATTTCTCTTGCTGGCGGTTCCTTTCAGCCTCCCGTGCTTTGGCCGCATTGATGCTATCTTTCCGCTGGCGGTCGTTCTGGCGCTTCTCGTTGGCCGCCATTTGAGCCGCGAGGTCGTCGGCTTCGCGTTTTCGCGCCGCAGCGGCCGACGCGCGCCGTCGAGTTTCTCTCTCTTGAACCTGCCTCCTAGCTTCCGCGGCGGCGTGGTGCCGTTGCGCTCGCTTGAGGTCGGCCTCCTCCTCGGTGGGCTTGGGCTTGGGCTTTTCCGAGGGGGGCGGTCGGTGCGGCGCCGGCGGCCTACGTCTTGGTGGTGGCCTCGTAGGCGCCGGCTCTGGTGCAGGTGGTGTCCGCACCCGCCCCGCAGCAGACGTCAAGTAGGTATTCGCCTCGTTGATCTGCTTGAAGCGCTCGGTCGCCTCTTCCACATTCGTCGGGTTGCGGTCGGGGTGGTACATGAGGGCGAGCTTGCGGAAGGCTTTTTTTATGGAGGCGTCGTCGGCGGTGTCGGGCAACCCTAGGGCCTTCAGGTGTTTCGTTCTTGCGGATTGCGCCATGGCGGCTGCCCCTCCTACCTAGGTCTGGGGCAGCCCACGGCTGTGGAGCGGCAGCCCCCGCTTTCAGGCGTGCTCACACCGGTCAGGGCCGATGGCTTGATCACCCTAATCGATCGGTAGCGCGGCCCAGGGGCCAGGGCAGCGTGAAATGCCGCTCTACACCGGCCGCCGCTGGGCTCCAGCGCCAGTTTGTGCGGGGCCGGGATGCGTCGTCGGCGCCGCCTAGGGGTCTCGTTGACGTGTCTTGACGGGTGGCACGAGGGCTGGAGCGGCAACCCGACCAGCAGCAAACCTGGGCAGGCAGTGCATCGCGAGCAGCAAAGGCAGGCTGTATAGGAACGGTTACGGGGGTTGCGCAACGTGGTAGAGCTTCGCATGTGCCTACGGCTCTAACAAAGGGTTCAACCCCTTCAATTCAGCCGCGCACGAAGACGCGCGGCTTGAGCCCAGGCAGCAAGTAGCCCAGGCGCTAAAAAGACAAGGCCCGCGCCAACAAGGCGGCGCGGGAAAGACCCCCAAGGCCCCCCGAAGACCCAAGCATGCCGAACCAGCGCACGCGCCAGAAGAAGAAGGAGGCCGCCGCCGCCGCCGCCGAGGCCAAGAAAGAAGCCGCGAAGCCCAAAGCCGCGGCGAAGCCGGCGCCGGTGCCGACGCCGCCGGGCGGCCGCCAGCGCGGCGTCTGCCGCTGGTTTGTGGACAAGAAGAAGTACGGCTTCATTTCTAGCGGTGATGGTAGAGATATATTTGTGCACGGGGCCGACCTCAAGGAGGCGATCGGCGAGGGCGACACGGTGGAGTACGCCGTGGTGGACTTCAAGGGCCGGCCGAAGGCCATCGAGGTGACGAAAATAAGTGGCAAGGAGCCGCCGAAGCCTGCCCAGCCGCCGACGCCGCCGCCGTCGCCTCCCCAGATCATGCAGCCGCCGCCGGCGTTGCCAGCTCCAGTGGCCCGACCGCCTCCTCCCAAAGTACCTCAAGGCCCGCCGCCTAGAAGACGAGGTGTCTGCCAGTGGTTCACGCCCAAGAAGAAGCACGGCTTCATCAAGCCCGATGGAGCGGGAGCGGACGTTTTCGTGCATCAGATGGATTTAAGAGCTGGCACGGAGATCACGGAGGGCGACACCGTGGAGTTCGGCACGGCGGATTATAAGGGGAGGGAGAAGGCCGTCGACGTCATCAAGGTGGACCCCGCCGTGCGCGCGGCCGCCCCGAGAGCGTTAGCCCCCCCGGGCGTGCCCGCCAAGCCCCGCGTGAACATCGCGCCGGCGCGGCCCTGGCCGAAAGTTGATGCGGGTCTACAAGCGGCCAGTGCCCCGGCGCCGGCCAGCAACGGCGCGCCGCCGCCCGCCGCGCCGCCGGCGACCGGGCCCTGGGGCGCGCGCGCGGCCGCGCCGGCGGCGGCGCCGGCGGCCGCCCGCCGGCCGTCCTGGGGCGCCGAGACGCCGGCCGCCGCGCCGGCGGCGCCGCCGCCGGCCGCCGCGCCGCCGGCGCCGGCGCCGGCGCCCAAGCCCCGCGGCCCGCGCGGCTGGGGCCAAGTTGACTCGAAGCCGTCCTTCGCGGACGCCTCCGCCGGCCCGACGCCCGGCGAGGCCATGCGCCGCGCCTGATTCCGTTCCCTGCCAGACGTCTGGCCTCTCGCAACACCGCTCGCTTGCGGCCCAGCCCGGCCAGGGCCGAGCCGACTAACATTGAAATCATGATTACTAGACCCAACGCCATCGCCGCGGCACACTCATGTACAGTACACAATGATTACCCCAGCACCCACCAGCCGCCGAGACCGCCTCCAGGACACGGACGGCGATCATGGCGCCGGCGACGCCTCCTCCGCGGGCGCGGACGGGTCGTTCTTGAGTAAATTCGAGACCATGGTCCCCACGTCGCCCTCGACCTGTTTTTGAATGGCGTTCTGCCCACCGTTCTGGATCGATTTCAAGGGCACGGGCACCCAGCGCGGCACGTCGAAGGAGGCCGTCACCGACGCCTCGCAGACCAGTTCGTTGTTCTCAACCGTAAAAACGGACGTGGAGGTCGTGTCCATGATTCCCGCCATGGCCTCGACGATGCGACAGGCCCAGCGGGGACCGGTCGTCTCCATGCGCTGCTTGTCGAGCGAGATGGAGATGGATCTCGGATTTTGACGGGTCAGGGAGAACTCCATGACCGGCTGGAGCTTGACGAGGGGGAACGTCGCGCCGGAGATTCTCCCTTCATAATTGCCTCCCCCGAGGTCGCTGACCTCCGAAATGGCGTCGTTCGCCGCGACGATGGCCCGCTCGACCGGGTTCTTCGCATCGGCGAACCACGCGTCGAAGCTCGCCGGCGCCGGCGCGCGGCCCGTCGTTTTTACTTCCCACTTCACGGTCCGCGCCGCGTGGGCTACTACGGTCAACAACGGGAGCAGCCTCATCATCGCCTGCGTCGGAGAGCGTCGCGACGCGGATGTGGTCGCGCGACGACGCGTCGTTTTTCAAATGAGAGGTCAGGCCATCTAGTAATATGGTAATTTGGTAAGACCACATGATAAGCGGGAGACTAATCCCTTCGGAGTAGCTGGTTGTTGGCATCACACCTCTCATCGATTGCTGCTGGGCTGGCTTTGGACGCTGGGCTTTGCTGTTTGTTTGTGCTGGTTTTGTGCACGTTGCAATCGGCGTTGCACAGGTCGGCAGCGATAGGTCGTGCTTGTATAAATCCTTAACGGCGTGGCGGCTGCACCGCTATGCCGCTGACGCCGTGGGCTTTGGCCCAAGCAAGCAGTTCTAGAGCGCTTGTACGCTAGCTCGCGGTTTCCTCCCGGAAGTCATTCTATCGTGGCCAACGCCATCGCAGCGGAGCCATCCTGCAGGGTACCGCTCCAGCGCGCACCAAAATGGCTCAGCTCACTCAGCTGGCTGGCAAATCGGGCGCCGCGGGCAACGATTCGTGGTCCAGACGTGGTCGACGGGTTGCTTTTTGATACCTTTGCAACGCAGCGAGCATTCCTTGTGAGCCGCAGCTCTTGGCTTGAGCCACACAGGGAGAGCAAGCACACGGAGAGCAAAATGGTTGCGCGCCTACTCCTGCTCGCGGTTGCGGCGCGCGCCCTCCAACCGCTTCAGCCCTGTCGCGCGACAAGAAGGCGGCACCTCGTCTCGGTCCGAGCCGAGCCCGAGCCCGACGTCGACGAGCTCAAACGGCAAGCGGAAGCGCTACGAGCAGAAGTCGAGACGTTGCAAGCGGAGGCGCAAGCGGCGAGAGAAGAGGAATTGCGGCGGAACCCGCCGCCGCCGCCCAAACCCGTACGAGAGCGGCCCAAGCCCGTGAAGCGGAAAACTGAAGAAGAGGAGGGCTTCTCGCTGCCGAGCTTCAATCTCTTTGGAGATGGCGATGAGTCAGAAAAGAAGAAGCAACCGGTGACCGACGACGAGGTCGAGCTCGCGTCGAAGGCTCTAGCTTGTTTACCTTACCTCCTGCCGATGTCGGACGCGATCCCGTTCGGCCAGTACGTGATCAACGACTTTCCCTTGATCGCGCTGCCGTTGCTACCGTTCGCGCCGTTCGTTGCGTTATTAAATGCGATTCCGTTCGGCGGGTTCATCGTGTTCATCGGGCTGTCCACCGGAAGCCGGAACCCGCAGTTCCCGCGCTTCGTGCGGTTTAGCATGCAGCAGGCCGTGCTCTTGGACATCGCGCTGATTTTCCCGCAGCTGTTCCAGTCGATCTTCGGCGCGACGAATATAAAGGTGCCCGAAGCCTTGGTGGAGCCCTGAGTGGAAATCAAAATTTACGGCGCGTTCGTGCTGAATCGCCATCGACGCGACGCCTGCTCGATGGCGTGGTGGTGCTCGTTCCTCACCGCTCGACGGAGCCAGCATGGCCGCGTCATCGCCGAGAAATGACCTAGTGAAGATTATCGGTGCACCGACTCACTGGTTGATCTCTTCACAGGTCGAGCCCGCGTCTTCATTTGTGTTCTTCTTCATCTTCGTGGCGGCGCTCTACTCGTGCGGCTCGAATATACTGGGGAAGCAGCCGAACCAGATTCCGATTATATCCTCTGCTGCCGAGCAGAGCATCGGGCCGTTCTAAGTAGATGACTTATAAGTTATAACGCGCGGGGTCCTACGAATAGGCACGCAACGGTCGTTCGGGCGCACGGGCGTGCCCGTCGTTGCGCGCTTCACGAGCAAGGCGTCGCACCGGGACGTCGCCGTCGACCGGGGAAACATCGAGAAGGCGCTAGACGCCCTCCTCCGGGCGGCGAAGTAGACAGACCACGTAAACGGGGATTAGTCAAGGGGGTATGTGCTGTCGCTATGAGCTGGCAGAGGGGGAGCGTGTTGTTCGCTGGCCCGCCCCGAGCCCGGGCCGAGGGGATCGGCGGGGCGGGCTTGTGGGGCAGGGGGGCCGGGGGGCAGGGGCTCTACTTCGACGCGTCGGCGATGACCTTCGCCTGGCCGGCCTTGTAGCGCGCGACGACGTCCGAGTCGGGCGCGGCCGCGCGGCGGGCGGCGACGGCCGCGGCCGTCGCCGCGCCCGAGGTGATGTCGTCGGCGCGCCGGGCCGCGACGCCTGCGAGGTAGTCGACGACGGCGCGGCCGCTCGCCGGGTTGTTGGCCGTCGGGATGCAGTGGACGTCGCAGATGCGCATGAGCGCCTTGATGTCGTCGTCGTGCTGCGCGCGGGGGTTCCCGTCTATCCATCGTCGGCGCGGCGTCGTGGCGGCGGACGCCGCGCCGCGCCGGGTGCGCCGAGAGCGGGTCGCGGAAGAAGAGGACGCCGTCGACCTGGCCGAGGCTGATCATGCCACCGATCTCCTGGTCGCCGCCGAGCGGCCCGCTGCACGTCTTGTGCTGCACCGCTAGGCCGAAGGCGTTCTCGAGGACCGCGCCCGTCGAGCGCGTCGTGACGATGGGGAAGAGCGAGACGACGTCGACGTTCTCCTCGACGAACTTCTTCATCGCCGGCTTCGTGTGGTTGTGCGCGACGACGGCGAGGTAGCCGTTGTACGCGTGCGGGTGGACCGTCTCCTCGCCGTCGTCGGCCGGCGCCGTTGAGGTTGTCGTCGCGACCGAGAACTGCGTGATCGCGGCGGAGATGGCGGTCGTGGCCGCGGCCTTGAGCTCGTCGGCGCGCGCCGCGTCGTGCGCGGCGGCGGCGGCCCGCAGGGCCGCCGCGAAGGCGGCGCGGTCGCCCAGGCCCGCGGCGGCGAGCGCGGCCACGTGCGCCGGGCCCAGGTCCAGGCGGAGCTCGGCGACGGCGCCCGCGAGCTTGGCCCCGTCCGCGGAGCCCTCCGGGAAGGCCTCGTCGAGGAACGTGGCCGCGGCGATCCAGCGCTCGTCGAGCGCGGCCTGCGCGGGCGGCGTCGCGTCGCGCCGCGGCCCGCGCGGCCGCGTCGTCGGCGAGCGCGGTGCTTAGCGCGCCCGACGCGGCGCTGGTTGATGGCCAGGCTGAGCCGGCGTCGGCGTCGCCCGCGACTCGCCTCGGACGCGCGGTTGGTTGAATTCCCGCCCCGGGCGGCGCCTGGAGCGCCACCAGCGCCTGCTCGGGCGTCGGCTTCGCGGCCCCGTCGTCCGCCGCCGCGGCGGCCCGGAGGTCGCGCGTGGACGCGGCGAGCGCGCGGGCCGAGGCGAGGCGCTCGCGCGCGGCGCGGGGGGAGCGGCCACGGGAAAAGGGGTTCCAGGACGGCATGCCTGCCGCCTGCGCGGGGCGATGCATTGCTCAAGGCCGTCGGAGCGCTGCAAGATGTCATTGCCGAATGTTTCGATCCGATCCCTTTAGGGTTGATTCGTACGCACCTAAGTGTTGATGTCTGTGGGACGGCGGCTCGGAAACCGACGTCAAGTCACCCGATTGTGGACTTTTTGGCTCGAGTTGCAAGATGAAGCTTTCACTAGAAACTCACAACTCACTAGGCGACACCCGCTCAACATCGGGCGTGGGAGTCCTCTCTTACGCCAGAAATAGTAATCATAGTATCATGAGTTACTAAAGAGAAAACGCGACGCCCCCCCCCACGTCGACCCGTGAGTGATCGGCAACGTCGCGACGATGGCGTGCTATCGGCGTAGAAGTACCCACACGCAACTGTGTTAAACACTTATACACTAGGCCCTCACCTGCGGCCCCCGGATCGCGGATCCCGCAGCCCCGCGTCGAGCAGCACCTTCTTGAGATCAGTCTCTGAAACAAAGGCCGCATGCTCCGGCGGCGCTTTCAGAGTGCTCGCGTCCAGGAACCGCGGCCGCAAGAACCGCAGCTGGTCCATCGACACGACGCGCTGGTCGTGGCCCTCCTCGTACCGCAGCACCAGCAACGGCTCCCATTGTTCGGTGGTGCGCTTCTCCAACAATGCCCCATCGTCGAGTCGCACGTCGAACGCGCCCGACTCGTGGCACGCGATGACGACGCCCTCCTCCCTTGTAGCGTCAGGCTTAGATTTCGAAATACCGCCGCCGCCGCAGCGCCGCACCCAAGCCCCGACGGGCACATGACCAGGTTTTACTGCGTCGCGCCACGCCTCCGGCGAGCGCCTTTCACGGATGAGGTCGAGGGCGACGCCGTCCTCGCGGCCCCCGTCGTCATAAGCTAGACAAGTGGTCCGGCCCCTCGATGCCGCTTTCGCGACCGTCGCGGGCCAAGCCGGCGAACGGCCGCGCCAGTAGCCCTCAACACGCTGGCCCACAGATACGGAGGTAGGAGCGCCCCCTGATCTCGGGTGAGCCGCAGGAGCGTCGGTAGCCAACCCGACAATCACCCCCCGCCAGCGCATCGACCCGCGCGACGTCCTACACGACTCGAAGGGCACGCCGATGACGTACCTCCATAATTCCCCGGAGGCCGGCGGGTGTAACGGATCGGGATCCCTTTCATCTTTGATATGTTCCGTACTCAAAGCGCGCGCGTCCACGGAGTAGTGCTTGGCGCACCTTGCCGCCGCCTCCACGAGCTGGTCGGCGGCATTCTCGAGATCACCGAGCCGCGCCTTGCGCTGCGCCCAGCCGGACCAGAACTCCCGCCCGTAGGACACCAGTAAAGGTTCACCCGCTTGGATAGGCTTCGTCGCGACGATGAACACACCTAAGACCGACGGCGGTTTATTGGTCGAGGGCTTCGCGTCATCCGCAGTAACCTCGCGGAAGTGGCAGTTCGCCTTGAGCTGCGTCTTTTCGTCGTCTCCTTGCGTTGCGCCCCTTGCTGAAGACCCTTCTATGAGCGCGGGTGCTCTGGCCGAGGCTAGGAGTTCGTGCTGCTCGAGGTCTTCGCTATCGCCACCTAACAGCCCTCCCTCGTCGTAGACGACCCTCCATAAAGGTGCCGGGGCGCCGGACGCATCTCGGAAGTCGCTCTCGGCCTCGTCGACCCAGGAGACCACTGTGCCATCGGCGGTGCCCAATGCTGATGAATCCTCGGCGAAGACCGTCCTTCGCACGCGCAACCCCACATGCCGCGAGCCCCAGGCGCGCCATTTTCTGCCTCCAGGAGTGCCCTTCACGGGGCCTCTTACTTTTTTAGCTTTTGGGGTTCGTGGTTGATTTCTAGCTTCTCTTGCTGATTTCGCAACCAACGCTTCCCGCGCGTCGGGCCCGCGCGCGCAGTTGATGAAGGGCGCCGGCGAGACCTGCGTGAGTCGTGCGTGACGTCGCGTCGACGGCGTGGGGCGTGAGGCTTCGCGCCATCGAGCAGATGAAGTTATTGGGCCAATGTCGCGTCGATGGGCTGGAGCTCCACGCTATCGAGCAGATGCAGTGGAACGCCGTCGCGTCGATAAGCTCCACACGCCATCGAGCAGACGCAGTCACGGGAACGTGGGGCGCCCGACATTGATTTCCACACAGATAAAAACGTTCTGCACGCCGAGGTACGGCAACACAGATAATCCAGTTTGGGCGAACTCGTAGCGGTACATGAGCCACCTAGCTGCTGCCCTCGGAGCTCGTCGTAGCAAGACGGCGATCTCGTAGTCGGTAGCAATAACTCCAGCGTAAGGAAGAGCGCAGCCGGCCTCAATTCCCCTGGTTGCGACGACGCCCTTTTCTCCTCTTAGTAGAGGATGAGCTCTATCGTTCTCCTCTCCAGTTAGATTGACGACTTGCGCCGCTCTCGCTAACGCCCCTTTACCTAATCCTTCGGCGAAGCACTTCTGGATCGGGGCTGGTACTGTTCTCAATAACATGACACCTTGATCTCCGGCCAAGGCCGCTCTCGCAGCAGCGCCGGGCGGCCGGTACGGCCGCGGGCCCTTCTCCGGAGAATCGTCCCGACGCTTCCGCTTCCGACTGTCGTCCCTATCCTCCACGACTTCGCGAGCGGCGTCGCGAGCCCGTCGCAACCAAGACGCGTGGGGTTCCGGCACTCGCGTCGACGGTAGGAACGCCCAGCAGTTCGAGCCTCTTGCGAGAGCGTCGTTCGTCGGTCCCAGAGTCTCCTCGGCCGATTTCGCGTCCCAGCACACTCTTATTAAATCAGAGGCGCGCTTCATGCTACTGCAAGCCTGTTTTTGATCTTGAGATTCCTCGGGAATGATGCCGACCGTATGTTGCTGCCCCACGCATTCGACCGCCAACGTAGCTCTCCGAGCTTCACGTCTAAAAGACGTCTCCAAGGAACACGCATCTGACCTGGTCGACGCCGCCCGACACAAGGGACCCAAGGCATCGGCCAGCGCGTGCAAGGCCCCGATCGGCGCGTCCGACGTTCTCGTGTCCCAGGCCCACGGCCAGTCGCTTTCTCGCGGTGTGGTGCGGTTCGGATCGCTCCCGTTGTCCTCCGAGAAGTCGTCCAACAACGCGGCGAGCGGGGCGACGACACCTTTCAGGGCGTCGTCGACTTTTTGTAGTCTTTCCATGGCCGCCTTCGTCCCTTCGTCTTGAACCACTGCTGCCGCTCTGCAAGCATCTGCCGCTTGCACGGCGTCTCTCCTACCTTTGAGGACTTCTCTCCACGCTCTGGTCTCCTGGGGGGCTATGGTGGTTCCTCGCGCTAATGATGCTGACGTCGCTCTCGGTACCGTCGCACTAGGTGTGGCCGGTCTAGGAATAGATGGTTGTCTTTCAGCTAACTGTGCCGTGTACGCGTCCAAAGGTGCCACAGACTCTACCACTCTAGAAGGCTCCTTCTCGAACGTCGCACCAGAGCCCGCTCTCACAGTGGTTAACAAAGGCCGCCAGTCCCGCGCGGGCGGCGGGCATCTATCTCGCGTCTGGGCCCTCCGTCTAGGAGCCTCGAGCGGATTTGCACCTTGCGTGCGCGGTGGCGCCAAGAGAAAAGCCTCGTGGTCTGGGTCTGGCCTGCGCGTGGTAGTCGCGTGCTCGCCCCGACGCCGTCGACGCGACACCGTGCTCGCCCCAACGCTGTCGACGCGACGCGAAAAAAAGACGCCGCATGTGCACCACACCAGTGCGTCGCGCGTCCCGTCGATGGCGTAGCGCACGTGTAGTCTGGGCGGCGCCGCGCCTCGGGGCGGCGGCGCCCAGCCGAAGGCCGCCCAGCACGCCGAAGCCGGTGGGGATGAGTAGGCGGAAGCTGGTTGCACCGCACCGTCGAGCGCGGGCTCCTCGACGGCCGCGGCCTCGTACCACTGGTTCTGGTCCCACAATACTCGGACCGCGTCGCCCACGCGCGGCGGGAACAGGTTCGGGTAGAACTCTCTGCCTGCGGATGATGACGGTGCTAGGCTCTTGGCGTCGCCCTTGGCGCCCGCCCTCAACCGAGTAACCATGTCCAGGAACTGGGGCGGGGCCGCTCGTCTAGCTTCCATCTCGTCGCAGCCTCTCAATAGCTCATCGCGTTCTTGCGCGGACGCGTTTTTCCAGTCCCCCTGGAGCCGCGCCGCCAAGGCTTCATCCGTTGAGGGTAGGGCGTCAACCCTTTCAGAAGACGTGAGGAGCCTCGCTTTGCCGGCTGGATCTCCATAAATCAGCACGCGTAGTCTGCTGCTTTGGCGCGTGTCCTCCTTTCTACACAACCACGCCGGCCGCGCGCGGCCGTCGTCTAGCACGGCTAGACACAAGCCCTCTACCGGATAGCCGTCGACTTTACCATCATCGTCCAATTGGCCCGGTTCCTTGATGGCGGCCATCTTGGTTTTTTTGGATTTTCTCGGGCGGTTTCGGCGGCGCGGAAGGGCGACCCGGTGGTTTGGTCTTTTTACCTAGCTAAGGATTAGCTGTGTTTGCTTTGCACGGCGAGTACTTTTGCGTGCTTGCTAGCGTCACTGCTAGGCGATTTGCGGCAGTGCGCTGAGCACTTTGGCGGGATTTTGACTTGGCGCTACAGCACCTGCTGCTGCGGCGGGTGCGCCTGTAAGAAGCTCAAGTTACAGCTGCTGCTCACTGCGTCGAGTTGAGAGTGTCGGCTCTGTGATTGCAATGGCGTATCAGGGTGATTTTGCGAGTGACTTTTGGGCTTGGTGGCAAGCCTTGAGAGCGAAACCAGAGCGGCCAACGCGAGGACCAGTCGTCCAACTAGTCCGTGCCGCACTCGTCTATGGGATGAATGCAAAAAACTCTGACGCTAAGGAACGCCGAGGCTCTCTGGGCAGGCTGGCAGGCTCCGCGGCGCAAATGCATGCGTCGTCCTTAGAAATTGGTGTGCAAATCACTTCAATCAATCGTTAATCAACCTGAAATATGAGTGAACAAGTTTCAAGCCCCAGCTCCGAGCAGGCAGCAAGTCCAGTACCTGCCACTGCTGAGAGCAGCCAGCCGTCGAAGGTGCAGAGATATGCAACAGAAGCGGACGTGCTCGCGCTCATGACAAACGACAAGTTCAAGAAGTTCTGCAAGAAGAAGTGCGGCGAGTGGGCGCCCGCGTCTCGCATCCCTAAACGCCATCGACGCGTGATCCGCGCAGGTGCGGTTGCGTCGCCTTCAAGCGCTTCGCCAAGATGTCGCCGCTCGTCGTCCGGGCGAGAGTCGGGAGCCTCTGGTGCCAAAAATGTGGCCGATTGCTGTGCGAGGCCCACCGGAACCAGCACAGCTGCGAGATGGAAATGCAAGAATTGGAGCGACGGCGGCGGGTCGACGTCGACGCGATTCGGGAAGGCATCAAGCGGCAGGAGGAGGAAAAGGAGCAGCGCGCCGCCGACGCCGACGCGCTCAAGCGGGCCGAGGCCGGGGCCAAGGCGGCGCGCTACCGCATGTGGAAGGACCGGCGGCGCCACGTCGTATGGTGTCCGGCGTCCTTTTAACTTCTGAACATCGCGGCGACGGCGTAGAGTTTTGTGCAGCTCACGCGCCATCGCAGGCGGGCATCTCGTCGAGCGTGGCGAGCATGGTCCAGCGCTGGAGCGTCCAGGCCGAGGCGGGGCGCAAGCGCGACCGGCTGCTCGACATCTACACGTCGTGCAACCGTATCAACCTGCGGCTCTGGAACGAGGTCTCGCAGCCGGAGATTTTGAGTGATATCGACATGGACGCGTGGAAGCGGCTCTGCCGCAACTACGCCGACGCCTGCGCGCTGACGGGAATGGTTATATTGGTCGAGGGCGTCGAGCTCGACCTGAGGCTGCCCTGGCTGCGGGACGAGGACCAGGACTGGCTCGACGCGCCTCCACCTGATGCAAATGAGGTGGACCTCTCGACGGCGGACCCGCCAAGTTAATATATATAAGTCTTAGTAGTCCCGAGCCGCGACCTACACGGCGTCCTTGGCCCACTCGTGCTTGTCGATCTCGTCGTCGACCTCCTTCTCGATGTCCGGGTAGGCCTCGTAGACGTCGTCGACGGTCGTCGCGTGGCCGACCTTCTTGGCGACCATGACGTTCATCTGCTTCGTGAGCTCGTCGATGCGCGTCTTGGATTCGGCGATCTTCTGTTGTGCTTCGGCGAACATGGCGTCGTACTCGGCCTTGGCCTCGTCGAGCTCGGCAAAGGGCGGGTACTGGACGCCCTTGAACTCCTTCTCGGCCAGCCTGTGTGTGGAGGATGAGACGCGGCGCCGGCGTGGAGGCGGCGTGGAGACGATTGCGTGGAGACGCGGCGATGGCGTGGAGGTGGCCTAAACGGACGCGGTTCTACCAACGCTAGGAGCGAGGCGTCGACCTTGCCCTTGTAGGCGGCAAAATCAATCGCCGCGGGGGCGCTTGAGTATTTTTGTTTGAGGAGCTCGGCCTCGTTGAGGGCCATCTTCAAACGATTGAGCTCTTGTTTACCCTCGTCGGAGGTGACCTTCGCCTCCAACGCGCTGAGGTTCACGCTTCGCCTCGGGGCGGCCCTCGCGGCCCGCGCGGCGGCACGGGCGGTTGCTCGCGCCAGCATCTTGGCTTTTATCCTTGCTTTTGCGAGTGTGGCAAATAAAGCGGCTTATCCACGTCGGCGGGGCGAGCGGCTGGGGGTTTCCCTGGCCGGTGCTGGCGAGACGTCCCAAAGAGTCAGAAGCACGGCTCTCCCGTGCACCTTGGTGGCTGGCGTGCTCGCTTGCAGGCTTTAAGGCCGGCGGTGGCTGAGGGCCGTGCTAGTGTCCTTATAGTTCGCTAGCTAAAATCTCAGAAGCGCAAAAAACGAGCCGTACGCGGGACCTGGGCAGTCGGTTGGACGTCAAACGACAGGCATCCGTCCCCCAGCGAGTGCTGCCGGCTGCGCGCGCCGTCGACGAGTCCTTGGGCAGCCCACCAGCGAGCATGCAGGCGCCCTTCCAGCCGCTCCCGGTCGTGCCCGCGCCCTGGATGGCCCACCGCTGCCCGACAAGTGGCGCGGTGTATTACGTGAATCTCCAGACGCTCGCGACGACCTGGACGTCGCCCGTGCCGGCACCGCCGCCAGCGCCGGAGGACGTGCCCTGCGCGACGTGCATGGAGTGCCCCTGCGCGTGCGCCGCCCGAGCCGACGAAGCGCAATCCGAAGCGCAAGCCAAAGCCTTAGAAGCAGTCAAAGCGCATACGGCGGTGCCGCAGAAATACAGTCATCACGAGGACGTCCCCGTCGACAGGTCGCGGCAGGGCCACGTCAGAGGTGTGTGCGTGGCCTTCAACCGGGGCTACTGCCGCCGCGGCGACGACTGCCGATATGAGCATGCATTCACGAGAGAGGCGCGTGAGGTGGCCGCGGCGACAACGTTCGTGGACGTCCGGGAGATCCCCGCAGCCCAGGTCGGCAAGCAACCAAAAAAGCAGCCCTGCTTCGACCTGAAGCACAAGGGCTTTTGCGGGCGGGGCGCGGCGTGCCCCTTCGCGCACACGGGCCACGAGGGCCTGCCGGCGACGCGTCGCCAGCGCAAGGCGCAACGGGCCGCGGAGGCGCAGGAGCCGGCCGCACCGGCTGAGTCCGTTCCGCCGGTGCGCGCGGTGACGGCGCCGGCGCCCGCGCGGCACCGCTCCGCCGAGCGCCCGCGCTCGCCCGTCAGCGACGACGACGACGTGGTGCCCCAGCGCGAGCGCGCGCCGCTGCCCGAGCGCCACGCGCGGCGTTTGTCTGGCGACGACGACCGCCCGCGGTGCGACTACTCCCGCGAGCGGCCCTCGCCGCGGCGGGACCGGTCGCGCGAGTGGCGGCGGGACCGGTCCCCTGAACGGTGGCGGAGGAGGCGGTCGCGGTCCCGATCGCGGTCGCGCGGGCGGCTGTTTTATGGATAATGTGAAAGTTTTGTGTAAATCACCAGGAACTTGAACCTCCGCGCGACGGCGAATGAGCGCGGGCGGCCGCCGGCTGGGCAAGCCAGGCGTGTTTCGCTGGGTTCTAGAGGTCTGGAGCCTTCCCATCTCCTAGCAGAAACCGCAGACGGTCCAGCGGTCAATGGGCTGGGAGCGAGGTCCCAGAGGTTGCTTTTGTGCTGCATTTTGAGCAATTTATCGAGCATATTTGATCGCGCCGCCGTCGTGAATAGTTGCTCCGATCTCAAAACGTCTCGCTAGAATAGTTCACGAGAACTCGCCCCGCTTCTAGCCCTACGTTTGATGATCATCGAGCATCACTAAGCACTGACCAGTAGTCGAAAACAGAGAGTAGTTAAGCGGTCACGGACGCTAAAAGGGACATGGCCACTGCGCACAGCAAAGACAATGGCTCTCCTACCTCGGTCGCCCACAAGTTAGACGACGACCAGACTGACTCCGTCGTCGTGCGGCGCGACGACCTCGTCGTTATCGACAACGCGGCGCTCGGCACATTGTGCGAGGACGTCCAGATCGCGAGTCGAAGAAACGCGGGCATCCTCGAGGTCGAGTGGTTCCGAAACGGCGCCGAGCTTACGCTCTTTCAGACGTTCGCGAACAGGGCGGCTGCGGCGGCGCAGCACGAAGAAACGTGGACCGGCCAGGGGTTCAGCGGGCGCGTCGCCCGCTCCTGCCGACATGTCCGAACCGTCTTGTACGGTCGTGGTCGTGTCGTGGACGACATGCTCGCGACGCCCCTCGGCGCCGGCATCGAGACGTACGCGCCCCTCGGCGCGCCATTTCGCCGCCCGCGCGCGGACCCTGCCCCGGAGCGCTATCGAATGCGGTACGACATGGAGCTGGTCACGGGCGACCTCGACGCCGTCAGGGCGTTCCTCCGCGAGCGGCAGAATTTGGCGCGCGCCGACCCCGGCATCCTCGACTTCGAGTTCTACTTCTCCGCGCCCCGCTCGGTCACGCTCCTCGCGTGCTACGCCGACGCGGCGGCCCAGCAGCGGAGCTTCATCCGGTGGATGAAGGCAGACGAGATGAAGTCGGTGCTCGCGGTCAAGGACATCTATACCTATGGCCGCGTGGCCTTGGAGCCCGGGGCCGCGCCGCCGCCGCCAGGTTGGACCGAGTTGATGCTCGTCACGCACCACCAGGAGCCGGTGGGCCGGTGCTTCCAGCGCTAGTAGTTTTCCCTTCCCTAAGATAAGAACTTAGAAGCCAAAAAAACGCGGACAGACTAGCCCTTCGTCGCGAAGCGCATGACGTGGTTGTGGAGCGCGGCGACGATGGACGGGTTCTGCGAGGCGAACTTCATCGTCTTCGTCCGCGAGTAGGGGTTCCGCAGCGCGAAGTACTTGACCGGCTGGTGCTCGCCCTTGTATACCTTGGACCTGTGCACAAAGCAACCAGTGAGTCTCGACGAGATCGTGGTCGCGCAGGATGAATCGAACGGAGAGAGACCGCACCGCCACGCCATCGAGCTGGCGTCGCGTCGATGGCGTGCATTGGCGGAGACGCGCGCGACGGTTTGATTTATGCACTGCCTTGGACTGGATCGCCGAGCACTTGAACGTGCCCGACAAGGCGTAGGCCTTGTACTTCATGCCCGTCAGCGGCTGGCCCTGGAACATGCGCACGACGATGTCCTCGTACTGCGCCTTCGAGGAGTACAGCTGGAGCACGTGGCGCTTCGCGACCGCGCCGCCGACGACGAAGAACATGCGCTGCCAGCCGGCCATCGACGACGGCGGGCCCGACCCCGCGGACTTTTTCACGAGCACCCAGCCCTTGGCCGAGTCGCAGGCCGCCATGGACTTCTCGAACACTAAATGGAGTGGCCGCGGCAGCGACTTGACGAGCTCGAGGCACCGCGCGTAGGGCAGGGCCGTCGCGTCCTGGCCGTTGATGAGGAGCAGCCTTGACCCGACGGCGACGCCCTTCTGCGCGGCCGCGCCGCCCTCGATGACCATGGTCACGACGGTCTGCTCGGGCCGCGCCTTCTTCTGCGCGGCCGTCGCGCCCGGCGCGAAGGCCGCGCGCCGCTCCAGCAGCATGCCGAGCTTGGCCTCGCGGTCGAAGGTCACGGTGTATGTCGGCAGCGACCCCGTCGTTGACGACTCCGGCTGCTGCAGCGTCAGCTGCTCGTTGCCGCCGTCCTCGGTGTACTCGGAGGCCACGGACATGGCGGACCCCCGTCGCGCCGGCTGCGACGGCTGGGACGCCTGGGACGCGGAGCCGCCGACCGAGAAGAAGTCGTCGTCGTAGCCGCCGAGCATGTCGCCGCCCGCCTGGCTCGGCGCCTGCGCCGGCGCGGCGTAGCCCATGGAGCCGCTGTTATCCGCCGGCGCGGCGGGCGGCGGCGCCGTCGGTTTCTGGTAGGACGTGTACGTCGGCCCGGCCTGGGGCACCTGGCTCGCCCCCGCGGGCGGCCAGACGGGCGCCGGCGCGGCCGGCGGCGGCGCGGCCGGCATGCCGTAGGGCTGCGGCGGCGGCGCGCCGTAGGCCGCGGGCGCGCCGTAGCCGTAGGGTTGCTGCATGCCGTACGGCTGCTGCGGCGGCGGCGCCATGGGCGGCGCCATCATCGCGGGCTTCTTCGCCGGCGCGACGGGCGCGGAGAGGCCCGCCAGCAGCTGCTCGTTGTGTTTGTCCATGGAACTGGACGTGAGGAAGTCGTCCATTTTTTTCCGTCGCGCGTCGCGTAACGTAACCCCTGGGTCGCTCTCCGATAGCCTGAGAGGGCTTTTTTTTGGTGGCAGCGTCTAAGCGTCTATCGCGGGGCGCAGCGTCGGTCTACTGAAATTGCTGCTCGTTTCTAGAATCCAACGCCTGTGTAGGACAGCAGGTCTTCCAAAGCACGCGCTTGTGCTTTTTTTGGCTTGCTAGTGTCTTAAACCACTAGCGTTTACATACGAACTAGACCAGTACCAAGAAGAATGCCCCCGCGACCACCGCCGTGAGCGTCAGCAAGGCGCCGCCAAATAGCAAAGTCGCCGCACCGGCGTCCGACGACTTAGGGTCGAGCGGGAACTCGAGCTCGCCGCGTTCCAGCTCGTAGGCCGCCGCGAGTCGCAGGAGGATCGATTCGTTTCGGCCCACGAGCTGGAACGCCCGCGGCCGGAGCGCGTAGGGACACGCGCCGCCGCCGCGACAGCGCGAGACCGCGGCGGGGACGACGACGAGCGGGAGGTCGGCGTAGTTGAACGGGACCATGTATCGCACGGCCTCGGCAAACAGTGTGGACGTCGTGACGATCTCCGGGATCTCCGCGGCCAGCGGCGCCGGCCGGCCCCAGACCGGCAGGAGCACCGCGTCGAGGTCTCCGAACGCGCGCGTCCACCGCGCCGCGGCCGCGCGCAACGCCTCGGCGCCGAAGATCGAGACGTATGCCCGCAGGTCGTCGTCGTGGCGGAACGCGCGCGCGAGGCGGCGCGAGACCTCCTCGAAGCTCGACGTTTGGCCGGAGCGGATGCGTTCCGCCGTCGACGTGTCGGCCGCTGTCGCGAGGTGAAGCAACAAGGGCGCCAGGAGACGCCGCATTTTCCTGGCCTTTATCTCAAGCGCTCTCGCCTCCGCCGGCTTTTTGAGTGATCACAAAATGGACACAAATTGATTGCTTGAATTCAGGAAGTCCTTCAGAGACCTTCAACACATTCGTGCATTTGCTCTGATACTGTGGAAGATTTCGTCTACTCTGGCGTGTAGTTAAGGCCCTGATACCACACAAAAGCATGAAACTTGTGCTAGCGTCCTGTAACACACTAGCAAACCATCTGGCATGAACAAGCACAGAGGCAGCATTGATCAACCGAGCGCGCCAAAATAGCACGAAAACTGCTGCGAAGTTCTCCCAGCGATGCATCTCCACCTCACTCCACTCATGCTGCTCCTCGCCCCCAGCTCTGCGCTATTGCAGGTGCACACGCGCCTGGCCAAGGCGATCCTGCACAAGGCCAAAGTCGACGCCATGCAGCAGCGGGAGGCGCTCTTGGCCCAGGCGGAACTACTCTTCGCGGCGGCGGCCGACATCGACGACGCGCTCGCGAGGCTCGAGCGCGGCGAGGCAATGGCAGAGCCGCCCGTCGTCACGCGGCTCGCGCCACCTCAACAACCCGAGGCGCCCGCGGAGACGGCGCTGCGGCGGCTCGGCGGCCGGGTCCTGCGCGTCGTCGACTTCGCGGGCGACGCGGCCGCGACGGCGCCGCTCGACGTGGCCCGCGCGGTCGCGCTCGACGCGGTGCACGTCCTCGCGTGGCGCGGCGGCGCGGGCGGCGCCGACGGCGTCGCCGTGGGCGATGGGCTCACGGCGCTCGCGGTGCGGCGCGACGACGGCGCGGGCCGCGTCGTCGTCGCGCTCGAGTGCGAGGAGCACGCGCGCCAGGTCGCGCACGTGATGACGTCGCTGGACGGCTTCGCCATGGAGGCCGCCCGCATCTCCCTCGACGCGGCGGCGGACGCCGTCCTGGCGCGGCGGGACTGCGCGCTCGGCGTCGTGCTGCTGGAGGAGTGACTCAGTGACGCCATCGCTGCGATCGTAATGTGTTGTGTCTAGCGCGGTGTCACGGTAATCTAGTTCGTCGTATCGGGTGTTACATAGGGGGTGGGCGGGGAGGGCGGGGAGGGGTACGGCCGTGACCGCGGGGTAGGGAGGGGGTGGACCGGACGCCACATGCGCCGGGCCCGGGGGAGAGCGGGAATTTTTTTTCCAGAAGACTGATCACAGTTCTGCGGCCTGTGTGGAACGACATCGTCGCGAAACCGCGGCTCCTTCGCGAGACGCGTAGACTCTCACGGGGCCGCGTCGACGGCGAGCTTGTCGCGTCGACGCCGTCGCTGTGAACTTAAATTTCATTTCTACGCCGATTCGCACCTGCGTAATCTTCTGGAGCGCCTGGGGCTGGTCCTCGTCAAGAGGGACCAACGCGCCGTCGCCGTCGGCGAGCGCGGCGCCCGCCCCGCCCCGCTCGGGCTCGACATCGATCATCTCCTCGGCGTCGGGCAGGTTGGCCTCGTCCGTGAACATCGTCGAGATGTCCCACGAGTCCTTCCTCTCGGTCAATTTCCGCTCCTTTTGTCGCTGCCACGCCACGAGCATGGCGATGAGGCCGCAGAAAACGACGCCCGCGACGACGTAGAGCACGATAAAGCCCGCAGAAGCCGTCTGGGGCGTGCCGCCGCCGCCGCTGCTGCCGGATTCGGCGGCGGCCGCGGCGGCCGCGAGGGCCGCTTCGCGGACGGCCGCCGTCGTCGGCGCGCTGGTCGGCGCCGGGACGGGCGCGGGCGTCGGTTTTGGCGTCGGGGCGAAGACGGGGGCCGCCGTCGGCGCCGGGATCGGTTTTGATGAGGGCGCCATCGACATGGTCGGCTTCGGCGTCGGCGCCGGCACGGGCGCGTCCGACGGCGCCGGCGTGGGCTTGGCCGTCGGCGCCGCGTTGACGTCGCCGCCGGCGGCCTCGAAGGGCACGGAGATGGGCCCGCTGACCAGCCCCAGGCCGCCGCTCGCGAACTCGACGGCGGTGCCGGCGCCGGACAGCGCCAGCGTGTACGCGCCGTCCGCGAGGCAGAACTGGACGGCGTCCTCGGCGCCGCTCTCGAGCGTGCCGGTCTCGACCGTCGCGCTGTCGGAGGAAATGGTGTAGGTCTCGCCGCCCCAGCCGTCGGCGCCGTCCGTGTCCGTCAGCGTCAGCGTGTACAGCGAGTCGTCGCCGCAGTCCGGCGTCGGCGACTTCGTCGCCGGCGTCGGCTGCGCCACGGGCATGGCGCTGGGCATGGGCGACGGCTGCGGCGAGGGCATATTGGTGGGGCCCTCGGTGAACAGGTACGAGTAGGCGCCGTCCTGGAGCTGCCGTCGCAGCAGCGACGACATGCGCTCGAGCTCGGCGGCGGACTCGCCGCTCTTGGCGGCCGCCCACCACGCGCCGTCGTCGGCGGCGCGCGGCGCGTCCTGGCGCGGCACGGCCTCGGCCTCCAAAGCCGGCGCCGCGCGTCGTCGCGCGCCCCAGGCGACGCGGTCGGGCGCCGCGGCGGCGCGCGCCGCGCCCACCGTCGCCAGCACGGCGACCGTCCTCATGTTCGGCGAGGCGTCGCCCGTCCGGCGCCGCCGCGTCAGAACTCCGCGCGTCGCGGACCTGCGGGGGATGGACGGTGAGCGTCGCGGCGGGGGGCTCTGGGGCGTTAGTTTGGGCCAAATTTGTTCGTTCGCGAATTATTCGGCTTTGGGGGTTCTGGGGCATTTCGGTCTCGTCGTGTGTGTCTGTGGGCCGTTGGCGTGGGCCCGAGCCGCGGCAAGTGCGTCCCGGGCCGCCGGCGCGGCGGCGGCGCCGGGCCGCCGAGGCCGGACGCCGACGTCGGATGTGCCGCGCCCGCGGAGCGGGGGCGCCGCCGCCGGGCCGTCCGTCCGCAGGCGTACGGCGCGCGGCGCGCACGCAGAGCCACCCCGTCGGCGGCGGCGACCCAGCGCGGCGCGGCCCGCCCGCTAGGAGGCGCGTCGCTCCACCGGCCGAGGCTGCCGCCGCCGCACGCTCCGCGCCGCCGGTCGGGCTGCCCGCGCTCCCGCAGATTTCCTGCCAGCCCCATGAATTCGCAAACGCGGGTGTGAACCGAGCGTGTCTCGCGCTACGGGCGCGATAGCACAGCTAGCTTTGCCCTAAAATTTGCCGGAGGCCCAAGTTGCCTTTGTGCCAACCCCCGCTCGAGCGCCCGTGCCGAGCTGTCGTCGCGGGCAGTCAGGACCCCTCGTCCGGCCACGCCAGGGGTCCAGGTTCCCGGCAGGGCTGCCCCTCGGGGCAATCCATGGGAAAGGCTGCCATTTGGCTGCCCCTTCGGCTCGTATCAGTCTAGTATCGTTCCAGGGCTGCACCAGCGGCTGGTAGACCCTCGCGCGAGGCGGGGCTTAGCGTCGTGCTGTTCACCCCCCGCTCTTCGCTTGACGGCCAGCCGCGCCCGGACCACGCGGACGTCTCCGCGACCGATCCCGGCGATCCAGGGGCTGCACGGCACGGGGGATTCGGGGATTCGGCGCTCGGCTTGGCGCCGAGTCAAGCCGCGCGAGATTACGAGGCGAGGCAGCCATCGTCGGGAGGACGCGACGAGCACAGTAAAGCCCCAGAATCCCATACTTGCGCCGCCCCCCAAGCTCGCTTATAAGCTGCCCCCGTGCGCGAATAACAAACGCCAATGAAGACCGCCGTCGCCCTCGCCCTCTGCCTCGTCGCCACCGCCGCCACCAGCGACGACGAGCAGGCCCAGGCCCGCGCGCGGCTGCTCCTCCAGCGGGCCGTGGAGAAGGTGCGCGCCGGCGTGGAACAGGGCGTCCAGGGCCGCGCGCCCGCCGCGACGGCGGGCGCCGGCGGCGCCCGCCGCCTGGCCGGCTCCGCCCACGCCGGCGTCATCAGCCGGGCCGTCTACCCCGAATCGGACACGACGTGCGCGACGACGCCCATGCGCTGGGACGTCGAGATGCCGCACGTTTTCACGGACGGCGAATGCGAGAGCTTCACCCTTGGCGGGCAGACACTCTCGACCCGCAGCACGTGCGCCTCGGCGACGAGCTACTCGAGCAACCTTTACTCGGGGGGCTCCTGCTCCGGCACGCTCTTTGATACGGAGGAGGTGACGGACGACGCCTGCGCGCCGAACTATGACGCCTCCAACTCGTACTCGTACTCGTACTCGTTCTCGTTCTCGTACGGCGACCTGGACGGCTACGCGAAGTGGGGCTGCGAGGCCATTCCCGCGGCCGACGTCGCGGCCACGATTACGTATCACATCGACTCCGTCACGTGCGACGACGCCGCGCCCAAGAACTACCAAGTCTGGCACGCGGGCTGCCAACCTCAAGGCCAGACGTCGGTTAAGTACTCGTGCGACGCGACCGATGGTTTCCGCGTCAAGTTTTACACGAACGCCGACTGCTCGGGCAGCCCGAACGCGGAAGTGACCGCGTTCCAAGCGGACACGTGCAATCAAGGCATGAAGGTGACCTGCGGGTGCGCGGCCGGCGTCGGCTGCTCCACCTCGGTGGTGGACGTGCCGACGGCGGCGCCGACGAAAGTCCCGACGTCCCAACCGTCGCGCGAGCCGACGACCAATCCGACGCTCGTCCCGACGCCCGTGCCGACATCCATGCCGTCGGCCGTGCCGACGCCCGTGCCGGCGTGCTGCGTCGAGCACCAATTTACCGAAAACGGGGAGGTGGAAGGCACGACGTGCTACGGCGGCCGCTCGCCGTGGGACGCCGCCACCATGACCGACCTGTGTACGGCGGGCTATTCGGAGTACGGCGCGGCGGCACCCCCCTTCCGCGATTGCAGGCAGGAGGCGGTTGACTCGGGGAACTGCGGCACGTACGAGATGTGCGTGGAGTGCGAGAATTGGTGGGACTGGGCCGAGGGCAAGTACTGGGCGAACGTCGGCTACGAAGCGTGCCCCGACTGGGTGGTCGACGCCATCAACGCGGAGGGGGCCACCGGCGGCCAGTGCGCGGATTGGGTCCGCGACGGCTACTCGTATCCCTCCGGTTCGTGCGGGGACCACGCCTGGGGCGCCGATCGCGACGGATACTCCAAGTGCGCCTGGCTGGGTAGAGAGCCCTATCCCGAGGGCGACCCCGGCCTCCACGTAATGGGGGACGACGCGGAGATGTGCTGCCCGAGCGAGGACTGGAGGTGGGCGAACGGCTGTCGCCCGGACTACTGCACGTCCTCGGGCAACGACTGCTACGCCTCGATGGACTGGGGCGAGCCGGCGACCTGCTCAAACGGCTACTTTCCGACGCCGCCGAACCCGACTACGGACGACCCCGAGTACACGTGCTGCCCGAGCGCGACCAGTTATCCCGCCGGTTCGTGCGGGGACCACGCCTGGGGCGCCGATCACCCTTGGAGTATTTCCAAGTGCGCCTGGCTGGGTAGAGAGCCCTATCCCGAGGGCGACGCCGCCCTCTACGCAATGGGGGACGACGCGGAGACGTGCTGCCCGAGCGCGGACAGCTGCTTTGTCCTCGTGGCGTTCGAGCCCGATCCAGCCACCCAGGCAATGTTGGGCCTGCCAGGCGGGGAGTTCTCGGTGGGCTTGAACGATGCCGGCAAAAGCTACCACCCCGATGAGGGCGGAAACGTGCACAGCAACACCTTTTTCACGGTGCAAACGACGGAGGGCACGAAGATGCTTCATCGCAGCACGGACAACAACATAGTTTTCCCGGACCTGCCGGACGAGTGGACGACGGACGCGACGCGGCCACCTCACATCGAGGGGGATTTCCTCATCAACGTCGGTCTGCACGTTCACTGCCAAGACTACGCGCCGGGCGCCTTTGTGAAAGCGCTCGGGAATGTGGGCTCCGCCGGGAGCTGGGTCGTCAACGGTGACGGGACAATTTCGCCGTTTGATGCCCCGCACCTCATTCTTGGCTGGGGCGACTTCACCACGGCTAGTGGGTCGTGCGGGGCCGACAACATGAACATGGACCCGCAACCGAACAACCTCGTCCTCCTGGACTCCGCGACGGCGCTCGGGTGCGAGGCCGCGAGAGAGGCCGATCCCGCTCAGATGTGCGCGCCGGTCTTCCGCGCGAGAGGCGTCGACTGCGATGACGCCGGCCACGACCATGGCAGCGCCTGCGACGGCATCCACCTCGAGGCTGGGATGGGCGAGGTCTGCACCTGGGTGCATCATGAGGACCACGGCTGCCCGATCGTGAACACCCAGTTGTGGGACAGCGAGCTCTGGAGCTGCGACGATCTGTGCGGCAGGGCTGGCGGGTGGTGCGAGCGCGCGGCTTACATGACCAACAATCACTGCGGGTCGGACCAGGCCTGGGAGTACGAGCTCTCGTGCGACCAGGGCATTCGCGACATCCGGACGTGGGGTGGTGAGCCGTCTCACACCTTGTGCTGGTGCCGGGCCGACTGGTGGCACTACTACGACGAAGACGACGACGACGACGACGGGTTAGGCGGCGGCTCGGAGCTCGTCATGTCCGGCGGCCTCGTCGCGATCGGGCTCACGTTCACGGGCATCACCATCGCGACCATCGCGAACCTGATGCAGGAGCAGTGCGCCCTGGGCCCGACGATCATCTTCGAGGCCGGCACCACCCACCCCTACTACATCAGCCCCAACCTCTGCACGATCGGCACGCACACGTACGCCTCCAAGAAGACCGTGCGCGACGCGTCGCCGCGCAAGGTCTGCCGCAAGTTCTGCGAGGCCGCGTCCGCCGCCGGGAAGCTGGCGCTCAAGCACGTCCAGGGCCTGACCTGCTACTGCAAGCGGCGGTAGTGCCCCTTTCTTTTTGCTGTCTCCCCCCCCCCTTCTGCCTCGGTCGACCCGTCTATAACTCCCCTCCCCCCTTCGGTCGTCGACTCGGACAAGTTGCGTATAAACTTTTTCGTATCATGCTTATGACGGCTCCTCGACGATGGCGTGGTCGGCGGCGTCCCCTGCGGAAAGTAAATTTCCCCCCTCCCGCTTCGATGGCCGGCCAGCCGCGCCCGGACCACGCGGACGTCTCCGCGACCGATCCCGGCGATCAGGGGCTGCCCGCACGGAGGATCCCGGCGGCTGGCGCCGCGCCGAGGCAGCAATCCGACAAATCCGAGACAACGAGACCAAGCCATCGGCGGGAGGCGTACCGAGAAGTGCATCGGGACACACCAGCGGAGATAGCAGGGCGCGCAGCATGCTCCTCCTCGGCCGGTGCGCGCTCCTCAGCGCGTTAGCGTGGGGGCAGCAGCGCCCCCCCCGCAGCGGGCCGAAGGCGCGGCGGTCCAAGGGGCGGCGCGGCGGCGCGCGCCGGCTCGAGGACACGACCGTGCCGACGGCCGTCCCGACGTCGCACCCAACGCCCACGTTCCAGCCGACGGCCGTGCCGGCGACCGCGCCGACGGCCGTGCCCACCGCGCTCCCGACGCCGGTGCCTACGATATTCAAACCGTCGAGCGAGCCGACGTCGGCGCCGAACTCGGTGCCGACGTCGCCGACGTCCGTGCCGACGTTCGTGCCGACGGCCCAGCCGACGTCGGAGCCGTCGCCCGCGCCGTCGCCGGCCCCGACGGGCGTTCCGACGGAGCAGGACCCGACGCCCGCGCCGACGTCACCGCCAAGCGCGGTGCCGACGTCGCCGACGAGCAATCCGACTCTCGTCCCGACGCCCGTCCCGACATCGACGCCGACGTCGGAGCCGACGCCGACGTCGGAGCCGACGCCGACGGCGTTTTCCCGCAAGCCGACCGGCGTCCCGACGTTCGTGCCGACGTCGGCGCCAACGCCCACGTTCCAGCCGACGACCAATCCGACCCCCGATCCGACTCTCGTGCCGACGTCCGTCCCGACTCTCCCGGCAACCGCCCCGACCTCGGTGCCGACGGCCTTGCCGACGGCCGTGCCGACGCCCCTGCCGGCGTGCTGCGTCGAGCACCAGTTTAGCGCCACCGGCGAGGTGGAAGGCACGACGTGCTACGGCGGCCGCTCGCCGTGGGACGCCGCCACGATGACCGACCTGTGCACGGCGGGTTATTCGGAGTACGGCGCGGCGGCGCCGCCCTTCCGCGATTGCAGGCAGGAGGCGGTTGACTCGGGGAACTGCGGGACCGGCGACTGGGACACCTGCGCGGAGTGTCCGGATGCGGGTAACACTGGGAAGTACTTCGCGAACGTCGGCTACTCGATGTGCCCCGACTGGGTGGTCGACGCCATGAACGCGGAGGGGGCCGCCGGCGGCCAGTGCGCGGCTTGGGTCCGCGACGGCGGGACCGGCGCATTTACGAGCAGCTGCACGAGCTGGTTATCGGCGCACGAGCGCTGCCACGACGCGCATGCCACGGGAGACGACGTGAGCTGCTGCGTCGGGAGCGACATCCGGGCGACGTGTCAGTGCGCCTCGGACTACGAGTGGTGGGACGACCGCCGGCTCTCCGCCGTCGACAAGCCGCGGCGTCTGGGTCACTGCTGCGACTACGGTGCGTACTGCTCTTGCATGGAGTCGGAGCTCGGCGCCGGCTGCACTGCGCCCGACTGCGGCGGCGACTGGGACGAGGACGACGAGGAATGCGACATCGAGACGTCCGGCGACCGCAGCTCCTCGCCAAGCGGCACGACGAATCACGGCGCCGGGAGCGGGTGGTGCTACAGCGACCTGGACGACCACGTGGGCTGCGCGGCGTCGCCGGGCGACTGCTGGGCGATGTGCCTAGGCTACTACGGCGACGGCCTGGTGGCCATCGACTGGTGGTCGGATGAGGGCGGCCAGTGCTACTGCCAGTACGACTGCGAGTGCATGGAGGACGTCGGCGACGGCGCAGGCTACACTGTCACGCGCGACTCGAGGGTCGGCGCGCTGCCGCACGAGTGTGGCCCCGACGAGGGCGATGGCGACCATGACTGGTACGAGGACTGGATGTGGGAGAACGGCTGCCGCCCGGACTACTGCACGTCTACCGACGGCGGATATGGTTACGACTGCTGCGCCTCGATGAACTGGGGCGAGCCGGCCACCTGCGCGAACGGCTACTCGCCATGGCCGCCGAGTCCGGGCGACGACTGCCAATACACGTGCTGCCCGAGCGCGACCAGCTGCGAGTACGTCGCCGGCCAGCCGTTCGTCCTTGTGGCGTTTGAGCCCGATCCAGCCACCCAGGCAATGTTGGGCCTGGCAGACGGGGAGTTCTCGGTGGGCCTGAATGATGCCGACAAAAACTACATCGCCGACGAGACTCCAAACGTCCACAGCAACACATTTTTCACGGTGCAAACGACGGAGGGCACGAAGATGCTTCAGGTCTGTTCGAACCCGACGTGCCCCGACGGCAGCGCCGCGACGTGCTGCGACGTCGATGGAGACTGCGAGGACGGCGACGACGACTACTGCTGCGGCGCAGACTACTACTGCTCGAACGACGGGGCCGAATACGCGGCGACCATGGGCGGCGTGCTCTGCTGCTCGCTCGGCCACGCGAGCGGCGGCATAACTTTCCCGGATATGCCGGACGAGTGGACGACGGACGCGACGCGGCCGCCGTCCATCGACGAGGACTTCCTCATCAACGTCGGTCTGCACGTTCACTGCCAAGAGTACGCGTCGGGGGCCAAGGCGCTAGCGATCGGGAACGCGGGCTCCGCCGGGAGCTGGGTCGTCAACGGTGACGGGACAATTTCGCCGCATGATGCCCCGCACCTCGTGCTCGTCTGGGGCGACTTCACCACGGCCTCGTGCTGGGAGTCCGCGACTGGGTACATGGACCCGCAACCGAACAACCTAGTCCTCATGGACTCCGCGACGGCGCTCGGTTGCGAGGCCGCGAGAGAGGCCGATCCTGCCCAGATGTGCGCGCCGGTCTTCCGCGCGAGAGGCGTCGACTGCGATCACGCTGGCCACGACCATGGCAGCACCTGCGACGGCCTCCACCTCGAGGCCGGGGTGGGCGAGGTCTGCAACTGGGCGCACGGGGAGACGCACGGCTGCCCGATCGCGAACGTGCCGCGGCACCGGTGGGAGTCCGACCTTTGGTCCTGCGACCAGCTGTGCGGGGAAATTGGCGGGCGGTGCAACCGCGCGGCTTACATGAGCAACAACCACTGCGGGTCGGACGTGACCGAGCAGTTCGAATTCTCGTGCTGGGACCACGTCAACGGAATGGGGGCTTGGGTCGAGGACTTCGATCCGGAGCACGCGCTGTGCTGGTGCGCGGCCGACGACACGGACCACTGGTGGCACTACTACGACGAAGACGACGACGACGACGACGGGTTAGGCGGCGGCTCGGAGCTCGTCATGTCCGGCGGCCTCGTCGCGATCGGGCTCACGTTCACGGGCATCACCATCGCGACCATCGCGAACCTGATGCAGGAGCAGTGCGCCCTGGGCCCGACGATCATCTTCGAGGCCGGCACCACCCACCCCTACTACATCAGCCCCAACCTCTGCACCATCGGCACGCACACGTACGCCTCCAAGAAGACCGTGCGCGACGCGTCGCCGCGCACGGTCTGCCGCAAGTTCTGCGAGGCCGCGTCCGCCGCCGGGAAGCTGGCGCTCAAGCACGTCCAGGGCCTGACCTGCTACTGCAAGCGGCGGTAGTGCCCCTTTCTTTTTGCTTCCCCCCCTCCCCCCTTCGAACGGTCGTCGCCTCGGACCGATTGTATAAATCTTTCGTGTCATACTTATGACGGCTCCTCGACGGTCGCGTCGTCGGCGGCCGCGTCCTTCTTCGCGGCCTTGCGGGCCTTCCGGGCCTCGCGCTCGGCCTTGGCCCTCGCCTTCTTCTCCTCCTTGGAGAGCTTCTCCTTCTTCTCGAAGAGGCCCTCGCCCTTTTGGATCGGCGCGACGGCGGAGACGTGCTCCTTCGGCCGAGGCTTGCTCGAGGGGGGTTGCGAGCCAACGTCGTAGTCGTCCAAGTACACGGCCGTCCCGGCGGACTTGCCCCAGAGCATGCGCTCGTCGCAGAGCATGCCTTCGCTGACGACGCCGCCGACGTTCGCCTTCTTCACGGGCTCGTCGAGGCCGCTCACCTCCGCGCCGACGCGCGCCACGACGATGCGTTTGCCGACCTTCTCGGGCAGCACGTTCGGCGCGTTCGACACGACGGTGAACTCCTTCTCGCCGTCGCTCACGGTGCACTTCTTCAACTTATCCTTGCCCGCTATAGCTTCGACGGCCAGCAGCTCGCAGACTACGATGTCGGGATGCATCGCCGCGACAAATGTCGGCTTTACGGTGCCCTGCTGCCTGCTGCAGCGACTGCACACTGCCAGCTAGCTGCAGTTGCGGTCCAAGTGGATGATCAATCGCCTTGGCGCGTTTGTGCGAATTAATCGTTATTGATCAAGAACCTTGGCGCAGTTTTTGCGGCAAACTAGTCGTTATTACACAACATGTACGCGGATGTGGTACGGTTTCTAGTGTCTTACATACGCTAGCTCTGAGTCGGTGCACCCAATGACTGCCGCTCATAGATACAGCATTGCTCGAAAAATGAAGCTGCTCTGCCTTGCACAGCTCCTTCACTTCGCTCACGCTGCGCAGCCTGCCCTCAGACGCCGCTCTCTCATTGCTACTGCTCCGCTGACGCTGCTGCGGCCGGCGCACGCGGCCGAGCGCTACATCGATCAAAAGGTCGTCGCTGAACTAGGCGCCGACGGGCAGCCCGTCGCGTACGAGACCGTGCGGCGCCTCACGGGCGAGGGCACGGGCCTGGATCTGTCGCGGAACGAGGACATCTCAGAGCGGATCTTCATCGACGCCGCGAACTGGCCCGCGGCGGCGCCCTTCTCGGAAAACGACTTCAAGCGGCTCGACGAGAATGACGACGCGCAGTTCTATCCCGCCCAGCAGCCGCGCCTGGTCTATCATATTGATGAGGGCGCCGTCGCCGCGCTGACGGCGTACTACAAGCGCGAGATCAAGCCGGGGAGTGACGTCCTCGACATCTGCAGCAGCTGGGTCAGCCACTACCCGCAGAACCTGAAGATGGGACGCGTCGCCGGCACAGGGATGAACGAGCGAGAACTGCGGGCGAACACGCAGCTCACGGAGTTCACGCAGCGCGATTTGAACAAGGTCCCGCAGCTACCGTACAAGGACCGGAGCTTCGACGTGGTAACGTGTGTGGTCTCCATTGATTATCTTACTCAGCCGATCAAAATCCTGAAGGAAGCCCGGCGCGTGTTGCGGCCGGGCGGAAAGGTCATCCTCTCGCAGTCTAACCGGATGTTTATGACGAAAGCGGTGCGGATGTGGGTCAGCATGGGCGACGAGGACCATCTGGAGTTGATCGGTCAATATTTGAAGTACGCCGGCGGCTACGGTGCGCCGGCGGCGTACGACATCTCCGCGAAGGGCCGCGGGGCGCGGGACCCGATGTATATCGTGACCGCGACGGCCGTGTAGCGTAATTGTTGTTGTGTCTACTCGCTGCTTCGATGGCGTCAAGTTGTTACGGTGCTAGGACTAGTGGCGACGCGTCGATGCGGGCTAGTGCCTTACATGCCGCTAGCTGTCGCTGCGGCTGGTCCAAAAAGCCCTGCTGCTCATCGAGCAGCGGTGTTCACACAGCGAAGGCTTATCTAAACAAAGGCTCTTACATTGGCAGAGCTCGGGCAAACCAGAACGCCACCCCTAGACGCGCCGTCGACGCATACACAGCCCACATCAACCACAGCGCTCTGACGCAAAACGATGCGACGCCACCTCGCGACAGCGCTCCTCGCGACCGCCGCCAGCGCGCTCGTGCCCCCGGCCGCACCGCGACGATCAAAAGCGCTGCGCACGCGCGACGCGGGCGTCGCCCACAAAATTCCAATTATAGAGGGCGAGGCCGTGGACCCGGCCTCGGACCCGAGCCGGCCGCGCTGGCTCTACGCACCGTCCAAAGTACCGAACGCGAGCCACTGGGACGTCGTCCTCGACGCGCGGTCGCCGTCCGAATTTGAAGAAGACCGCATTTTGGGCGCGCTCTCGACGCCCGTCCTGGACGACGATGAACGCGCCGAGGTCGGCACGCTCTACGCTTCCAATAGTTTTCAAGCGCGAGTGCGCGGGGCTTCTTTGGTCGCCAACCGCCTCGCCCACATCTTACAAGATGACCGCATCGCCACGCTCCCGCGCGACGCGCGCATTCTGGTGTACTGCTGGCGCGGCGGCGACAGATCGGGATCCTTGGCCCATGCGCTGTCGCGAATAGGCTGGCACGTGGCATTGTTACAGGGAGGTTATAAAGCTTACCGGAAGCTGGTGCGGGAGGCGTTGTATGAGGATAGTGAAGGTGCATTATTGAGGAACTGCGTGGCTATTGGAGGGGCCACGGGCTCGGGCAAAGGCCTTATTTTAGATGCTCTATCAGCGCGGGGCGCGCAAGTGATCGATCTGGAAGGTTTAGCGTCGCATCGGGGTTCTATCTTAGGGGCGGAACCTGGTGTAAAACAGCCCACCCAGAAGCACTTCGAATCGAGGCTCTACAACGCTCTGAAAGCGCTCGACCCGTCGCGGCCGACCTTTGTTGAATTAGAATCAGCCAAGATCGGGCGCTTGGATGTTCCTAGACCTATTTTTCGAAGGTTAATTGAAGCGCCCGTCGTGGAAGTGCAGGTGCCGGTCGAGAGTAGGGTAAAGTGGATCCGCGAGGGCTATTCGCACTTCGAGGATGGTGGCGAAGGCACGGCACAGCTCCGACGGTTGCTCGACTTCTGCGCGCCTACTGCTGGCAAGAAGACCGTAGCGAGGTGGAATTCGTTAATTGACCAAGAGGACTGGGATGCTTTTGTTACAGATATGCTCGAGAGCCACTACGACGTCGGGTATCAACGTTCTCGCGCTAGAGACCGTAGGAATGCCGGTGTGAGTCAAGAGGAGCCCTTCTACGTCGACATGGCCTCGACGCGTGACGACGACGTGTCCACATGTGCAGCGCAGATCTTGGAGCGCTTTTCCCGTCCGAAGTTGCGGGTGGCCGTCCACAAGCCAAGTAGACAGCCGCTGACGGTCATGCACGCTTCATTACGAGAAGGAGAGACTGGTGAAGTCTCTGCAGAGGAACTTACGAACGACCAAATTGTGAAATTCGTGAGAGAGGAGGTCACGGATCAGGAGGTCAACGAATTGGTTTGGCGCTGTTTGGGGTACAAACGGACGAGCGACGGCTGGAATGCCGATCATGTTTTTCCGAAGTGGGCCGCGAAGTACCCGCAGCCGCCCGATTTGATAGGTGTCACGCGGACCTACTCGAAGGACGTCGACGAAGTCGTGCTCAGGGCCAACCAGGCCCTCGTCGCGTCGATCCCCATGAAGTACAAGGGGGGCATCAAGGAGCACCTCCGGAAAGTGGGCTGGACCGGGTATCTGCTGGAAGGCCTCACGCCGAACAAAACTCGTCGTGCACAATGCGCGAATTGGGTGTTGTACTACCGGGAGGCGCTGTTCGGGAAGAGCCTGGAGGAATTGAAGGCGGCTCGATCAAGGGATATTGAGGCGGAGAACGAGAAGCTGCGGAGAGCGGGGAAGATGCTGCGTTCAGCGAAGGGGGAAGCTTCGGGTAAGGATGGGTAGCTTTCTCCGCGTCGACGGCGTCGGGGTGGCGTAACACTCGGTGCGGAGGCGTTGGGGTCTCGGGCATACAGTCAGACCCCGCCGCGTCGGCGCAGGTGTCGGCACTACCTATGGTGCCGAGCGCCGAGCGCCGAGCGCACCCCTTTCCGCCGGTCGAAACGCTGCTCCCCGCGTCTGTAGATAGGTTTCCATGCTTCCACACATGCCCTGCATACGAGCAAAAAAAGCGATCATATATACCTATGGTGCCGAGCGCCACGGCCAGGCCTCAGCCTATCGCTAAGCAAGGCAAGACTAGTAGTAACATATCTTACTTGGACGCGACGTCCATGATCAGCGCCGTGCCGGCCAGGACCCACTTCGCCGCCGGCGCTTTGGTCTTCAACGGCGCTGAAAAGACGTACGTCGGCCCGCGCCGCAAATGCTTGTAGCAGGGACATTCGTAAATGTTCGACTCGGTCTTGTCCGCGGGGGCCGCCTTGCAGTTGATGACTGGCATGAGGCAGGTCATCTCGCCCGCCGCCGATGGAGCGAGCATGGCGCCCTGCATGTCCCACCGAGCACCCTCTAAAGATAGACCGTAGACGTAGGCGCCGTCCCGAGAATGGGCACTAAACTCCGAAGGCTCCATGCGCTTCGTGACCTCCGTCGCGACTCGTAGTTTGTCCAACTCTAGGGATTGGGCTTGTGCGGTCGTCTGCATCACGGCCGTCAAGAATGACGTCGGATTAAATAATCCCGAGAGCCAAGTCACGACCGGGATGTCGGTCGGGCCTTGAGTCCACTCGCGGAGCTGCTCCAGTCGGCCTTTGAGGTTGGCCAGCCAGGTCGTCAAGCCCCGAATAGAGGGATAGGCGACCTTCGACCACGCGCCGGGTACCCTATCCAGGAATAACGCATCTTGCAAGCGCTCCATGTGGTCGCCCATGGTGAGCTCACCCTTGAAGCCTAGATCCAACTCTTCTAAGGTAGCGAGCATGGTTTCTATGAGTGCATTCATCAACTCGCACTCCTGCAGGAATACCGTATGATACGGCCCCGGCTCATCTAACAAGCTTAGAACAGCGTCGATGTCGAAGATAGCGTCCCTATGGTTCTCCAGGATATCCTGCAAAGCACTTTCAGCAACAGTTTGTTTCGACGCGCCTTCCTCGCCCGACGCCTCGTCGCCGGCCCCCAAGTCTAGGATGGATAGACATAGCTGCTCGGACTGGTCCGTCCGGAAGCCGATCTCCGCATTGGGGTGGAACCCGAAAGCCAATGGGCTGTCGCCCTGCATCGTCTGCTCGACGTGCTGCAACACCTTGTCGAAAGAGTCGGAAGTCTGCGGCGCCGCGAAGTACTGCAGCTTGACATCGGGGTACGGATACATGTCCATCTCGTCGAGGAGCTCGTCCTTCATGTAAAACCGCAAATATTCTTGACACACGAGTCGATCAAAATCGTTCACGATGTGGCCGCCGTACATGATCTCCCCAAATAAGTAGCGGAGGTCGTCCCAGGGCACCTTCGTGGGCGCGTTCTCCATGTAGTTTTTGAGGACCGAGGCCGAATTGATTAAGTCGCCCACCGCGAACGGGTAGTGCATGTTCCGGCCCTGGGCCCCGAACTTTCTTCTCTCGAGCATGACGGCGTGGAAATGGCATAATCCAAAAAGAATGCCCCGCGTCCTGCCTTCGAGCTCTTCATACTCTTCGCGACTGAACGTACAAAAAGCCTGTTTTATATTCGCTTTCAAGCCGCTGGGAGGATCAGACGTGAGCTTTATGGACCGGTCGAGGATGCCGATCGGGATGCTGTTCGACGGATCAGAAGACATGAACACGCGGAAGTTCTCGTGACTGCCGGACGAGGCATATTCATCTAATAATTTTTCCACTTTCTTCAGCCACCGCGGCATCAAATGGACGTTGTTCAAGATCACCCAGTGGCCACTGCGATGCGCCGCTTCCAACCGCTCCTGCGCGACGACGTCCTGCCCTTGACCGAGCGACACGTTAAAGTAGGTCTCGCCGGCCTTCATGCCATCTCTCTCGGCTAGCTTGTCCACGTCCGCCACGACATTCGCGCCCGGCGACAGCACGAAGTAGATCGGGACCGTGGGCGAGGCGTCGTCGAAGGCCTGCTCCAAAACGCCGAACGAGTTACTATCCGCATCCAAGTCGGCGTAGCCCGAACCACCCGGCAATGTCGTGCGCACGAACTGCATCAACGCCGACGTCAGTCGGTCCGGCCGCAGACATCTAACTACAAGTAGTTTCCGGAACGGCCTCCTGTCTAAGTCTCTCCAATCTAAAGGTAGTTTTTCCGTCTCGGGCGTGGCATGATTGAACCACTCCGCGAAGCGCGGCGCGTTCTCCTCCAAGTCTGAGGGTAATTTCTCGAACCCTAGAGCCTCGACATCTGCCAAGGCGCAGACCATGGCCCAGTTCTGCGGCTGGAGCCACGGCGCCGGCGGATCTCCGGGGTCGTCCTTCTGCGGGCCTCTTAACAAGAATGCCAGGGCCTCGGGCGAGTAGCCGCTCAAAGCGGCGATCTTGGACCACGCGCCGCCTTCCCCTCCGTCTTCTGGAGTATCATTTAGGCCCTGCTGTAGTAAGCCTACCACTACTTGTACTAGGAAAACTAAACGATGCCTTTCAAACAGCCCGCGCGCGACCCACTGGAAGATGGTCCACCGCACGCTCGACAAAAGAGCGTCGACGCGTTTCTTCGCGTCGTCAGACATGACCGCGCGCTTCATGCCGTTGTAGAAGAAGGTCTCGAACGACGCGAGGGAGTACTGGTAGGCGTACTGGATCTTGTTGAGCTGCAGGAGCATGAAGTAGAGACAAGAAGCTTCGGCCGCGACGGGCCGGTAGACCTCGCGCGCCTCGTTGATGCCGATCTCCGTCTCCTTGCCCTTGGCCACGGCTCGCGCGATCTCACCGGCAGTAGCTTTGGTAGATTCCAGACCCTCGATGAGAGGTATATCAGATAAAATGTCCGCGGGCGCGTTCGCGAGCTTGTAGAGTAAGTCATCCTCCAAGCCTTTCAGCTGAATTTTATATTCATTAAAGGCCTGCACGAGTTCGTTCTTCTGCTGCTCGATGTCCGCCCGTTCCCTTCCTACGACCTTCGCTAGTAGTTGATCCTCGAGACCCGACTGCGTAACTATAAAATTGATGAGCGTGCACTGCGCCGCGATCTCGGGCTTGTAGTGCGGGTTCGCCAGCCGCGTCTGGAGGTATAATTTAAAGTTCGCGTCGTACTCGACGTCCTCGCCGCCGAAGCGCAAAAACATCTGCCGACCTTTTCTGATGACCGTCCTCGCCAGTACCGGATCCAGCACGGCGTCGATCTGCTCCCCAAGATTCTCGACGATGACGCAGTCGCCATTTCTTATGGCTTCCGTAACTCTAAACACCCAGTTCTTCTCGCCTAGCTGTAGTTGTACTATACCGTTTCCGGTCGCGACCGGTTCCTCGTCGCCGGCCTCTTCGGGGTTCCTCGCGGCCAGCTTCTCCGCGAGTTGAGCTTGCTGGACCTTCAGCCGCGCCTCTTCATGCGACCGGATCCAGGAGATGCCCTGGAGCTGCGGGTCGACGATGAGCGGCCACCGGTTGCAGTTCGTGATGATGGCGCCGTTCTCTATACTAATCCGGTCCGCCGGCAGGCCCTCGTTCTGCCACGAGGCCTTCTGGCTATCATTCGTGAGTAGATCGAGCGGCTCGATGCCGCTCGTCATCGGGATTTCTCTTCTAACAAGATCGGCGATCCAGAAGTCGGTCGTTAATCGCTTTCTGAACTGACTGCCGAAGGCTCCTATGTAACTAACAAAAGCAGCGCCTAGCAACACATCCCCAACGAGCGTCTTCTCCACCGACCGCAACCGTTCGACTTCGACGGTCCACCGATCATATTCGGAGGCTAAACCATTCGTCAACCGCTCCGCTAAATTAAGTCGATCCTGGCAGGCGTTCGCCACGGCCTCGACCTTGGCTTTTTCCGACGTCGCTTCGAGAAATTGCATCTGCAGCGCGTCGAGCGCCTCGTTAATCTTCGCTAATTTGGCGTCGACGACGGCCAGTTCGCCTTCCGCTTTAGCTTTCACGGCCTGGGCCGCGGCCAGGTCCTCCATGAGCGGCCGGATCTTCTTGTAGACTTTGTTGTACGTGATAATGTTCACGACCCAGTTGCAGAGGTTCGCGGCCGCGGCCGACTTGCTCTTCATCTTGTCGTAGGAGAAGACCGGATCATCCAAGTAGGGCTGGACGCGCTTCACGAGGTCTTCCGCGATGTCCTCGCCCTTGAAGTCGATCAGACTTTGCAGGAAGGCGTCGACCTGCGCGGGAATCGTACCATCACGGAACCGTCTCCGTGCACTCACGCGACGCGTCGGCATCGCGTCGACGTCTTCATGAAGACCACGTCATGCGCGGAGCATCGCGGTGTCTCGACGCGGTCCGAACGGCCTCAAATTCGAAAAAGAAACCATTCTCTCGTGGAGACGACTCATATCAAGGAAGTGAAGACGCCGCAATCGCACTTTAGCCATCATCTTCTTCGCGGGGTCCCAGCCCAGCCCTTTCTTGCCCGCGCCCTTCACTAATATTAATAAAGCGTCGGTCACCTTGTCCACGCCACTCGGTGGCTTCGCGAAGGACTTTAGTTCCGTGACGGAGGCCTTGTCGAGGCAGTTGACCGCGTCCTTCGCGGCGTCCAATGCCGGCTGCGCGACAGCTAAATCCGACGCCGCGCTTTCTTCAATCTTCCTCGCATCTTGAGCTGCACTATCAGCACGGCCTTGAACTATTTTCGCGGCGTCCTGCTCGCCCTCGGCGATGGCGCGCTGCTCGCCCATCCTTTCCAGGAAAACGTCGCATTCGGCCTTCTTCTTGTTGACGTCGACCATCTTTATCTTCAAGTCCTCTTTCAGGGCCGTCACGTCCTTGTTCGTGTTCTTCAGTGTTTGTAGACCGGTGGCTAGTCTTTCAATTTGATTGCTCATCTCCTGTCGTCGCTCAGCTAACAAACTCTTGTAGAACGAGATCAGCTCCAGGAACGACGTCGGCGTCACGTAATTGTAGCGCTTCTCGACGACGAAGTACTGCTCCGACTGCGCACCGACGGACGCGTGGACCTCGGCGACGTGAAAACAAATGTTGTCCGCGACGTCGGACGGCCCCAAATCCACTTCATGCAAGAAATGCTGCGCGACGCTCACGAGGGCGTCCTTGGGCCAGGGGTGGAACCAGTCGATGGCCGTGCAGTTGATGAGCGCGGGGAACTTTCTTGCTCTTATTCTAAACAACTCGCCAATAGGTGAAAAACAAAGTACGACATGCAGGTTGTGCCGCACGCGCCCGATGAAGTACTCCATCATGCTGTCCGACGTGTCCGCCACTCCTTCCGCCTTCGCCGCGTTCCGCAGCGCGCCGAAGATCGCGTCGTACTCGTCCCGCGAGAAGAGGTCGGGGATGATCCCCGACGCCAGCACGTCGTTGATGAACACGAGAAACTTTTCATCCACAATCTGGGAATCCGTGAGCAGAAAGGTGATGGGTTCCGCGGGCTTGACGCCGGCCCTGCGGTACAGCTCCTTGAGCTCCTCCTTGAGCTCGCTGACGCCGAACGTGCTCGTGACGGCGACCTGCGTCACCGCGTTCCCGCAGATGAAACTGGCTAATCTCGCCAGAGATTGCTTGCCGCTCCCGCCCACGCCCACGAGCAGCGCGTTCCCTTGCGGGAAGCCGATGATCCTCGCGATGCGGACGACGTGGAGCATGGCCACGTCGAACAACACGAGGTTCATGATGGCGTTCGCCTCGTTGTACTCATTCAGTTGATCGTGCAGGACCTTCTTCAGGGCGGCCATCGATTTTATGGGTAAGTACGCCCGCGAGTCGTCCATGGTCGGCGTCGCGAACGTCGTCCACGCGTTCGGCCGCTTGAATAACAATTCTTGATCATCATCAATCACCCTTTTCGCCACGTCCACGACGATCTCCAGGCACCGCTGGATCTCCGTATTACTTATCAGTCGGTCCGCGTAGACGCGCTCGCACTCGTGCATCCAGAGCCTCGCCACTTTCAGGCCGTCCCGCACGTGGGCATGGTGGATGCTACACAAGCCTTGGAAGACCGCACTCAAATCCCTCATATTGAAGTTGTAGTGGAACTTCACCGCGCTCGGCAGGAAGCGGCTCGCCATCTCGCGGTGGATCGCGAGCGTGCCGTCCACGATGCCCTTGCCGACCTTCTGTACTGACGAAGAGAAGGACTCCAAGTGGGCATCGAGGATGCTTCCGAAGATCATGGCCAGGTCCGCGTCCGAGCTCGATTGGCACCCGAAAGCCGCGAAGTGGCGCTGGTACCGTCCGAGCACCGAGAAGGACCCGGCCTTGTGGTTCTGCGCGCAGATGAACTGGCAGTCCACGACCTGCTTCCGCAAACTCAAATCGGCCCGGTCGTACCAGGACCCGTAGTCGGCGTGCATGCGCAGCAGCTCGATGGGCGTCTGCGTGCCGTACTCCTCCACGAAGGGCATGTTCAGGTCGTCGATGAAATACACCAGAACTTTCCCCGCCGGTGGACCATAAGATTTGCCGGACCGCTTCTCGATCGGCGCCTCGAGCTGGCCCTGCGTCGTCACCGCGTCGGTATAAAAGTTCATGTTGATGGTGGCGGTGTCGTACTTCTCGATCGGTAAGCTTCTAAGAAAATCTCGCACCAAGACCGTTTTGCCCGTGCCCGCGGAGCCGACGAACAGCACGCCGTGGCCGTTCGTCTGGAGGTTCGTTGTTAGAGTTTTCAATGCTACGAGATCCGCCGTAGCCACGACTATATTCGAAAACTTGACCACACCGACCGGTTCATAGCGAGGGACCAATTCACTCCACTCGCAGACGTCGCCCGATGCCGGGTCGACGGCGTACTCGAAGCAGAGCCCGGCCTCCGGGAGTTTCAAACCTCCCTTCGCCACGTCGCGCCAGACCTCGTTAAATAATTGCCTGGAGTCCGTCGTCTTGTCCGCCGCCGCGCAGCCCCCAAAGGCCCAGATGCAGGCGTACAAAAACAACCGCTCGATCCGATGCCCGTCCTTCTCGCTCTCTGGAACTGCCGATAGATAGCCCTCCAGCAGGTGGCACAAGGCACTCACCTTGGAGATGGTCATGACCGGCGTCAGGTACTCTACACCTTTTTCTTTCAACATAGCTATCAGTTGAGGTATGTATTTATCAAAAAAACCCGGCAAGCAGCTCTTCTCGGTGTCCGAGTCTCGTCGTTCCGTCCACGACGTCGCGAAGGGCGCCCAGCCGATGTCCGTCTCGTTGATGAACAAGATACCCGCACGACTGACGGTCGCGGGCGTCGCGTTCCGCAGCGACTCAATTTCGAAGACCATCCGCATCGCCGGGGTGAGTGGAATTCTTTCGTTGGACACTAATGTCAACACCTTGTTGTCGTCCATGACCGTGTTCATGGACTCGATCCAGACCGCGTCGATGTCGCCGTCTAAGACGACCCACTGGTCCGTCTGGGCACTGGTATAGGGCTGCCAGCACTTGCACATGTTCCTCATTACTATGCTGAGACACCCGTCCTTCCAGTCCTTGGACAGCGTCATGTAGCCGTACAACTCGTCGGACGTCACGGCCTTCGGATTGACCGCCTCGTAGACGCAGAGCGGCTTCGGCTGGTCCACGTTCTTGCACGCCACGAGCGTCTGGTAGATCGTCGACTTGCCGGCGCCCGGCGGGCCCAGCAGCATGACGCTATGCCTGACGTCGAGCAATTCTTGAAATTGCACGACCTTCGCGATGAAGACGTCTTCGCTCTGGAAACCGTTTTTCCGGGAAACTTTGATCGCCGTTTCCTTCAGGACCTCGTCGACGTTGGTAGCTAGCTCCAGGCCCGGGAACAGGTCCGAGATGAGCCGCAAGAACACGGGGATGTCGTTCGCGGGAATCTTGGGCGTGTTGAAGTCGCGCAGCGCTCGCATTAGAATGGCTTCCTCGTTGACTTTTGGCTCGGCTCTCTTTAATTTACCGGCGACTCTCAGGACCGACTTCACCGCTCGGAGCCCCCAGTCGTAATGCGCCTGCTTACTGAGTAGATCAGCACTCAAGGCATACAGCGTGTTGAACTTGATCGCGAGCGGTCGCGCCGTGACGAAGCCTTCGCTCATCAACATGTTCTCCATGATCATCGCCAGGTCCGGCCGGATCATGGCGCAGGAACGAAACAGTGCCTTCAAATTCTCGGGCAGCTCCGTCCGCCCGGCATACCCCGGGTTCATCGTGATGTAGAAGCCGCACGTCGGCACGAGGCCGATCTCCTGCCCAAAAAAGTCGTAGTCGCCGACCTTGAGCGGTGGTGTCCCCGCCGGTAGCGTTTTGTATTCTCCTACTCTGTTCTCGGGGTCGGCGAATCGGATCGTGGCGTCTAAGATGGTCTTCACTTGCGTAGCGACCACAGACAGCACCTCGATGGGGATGCGGTTGAACTCGTCGAAGCAGCCCCAGGCGCCGGCCTGGCTGAGACCCCGGAAGATGTCGGCCATGGTCTGGTAGTTCATCTGGTCGGAGCAGTTGAAGACGTAACAAGGTAGGCCCAGGTCGCGCGAGAGGTCCTTCGTGGTCTCCGTCTTGCCCGTGCCCGCCGGGCCGGCTGGGGCACCTCCTAAGAATAATCTTATGGCGGTCGTGAGTGTGACGTAGCATCGGTCGGTCAACGGCGTAATAACCAATCGCCCGCAGTTGCCCACGTACTCGAAGCTGTAGACGCTTCGGTAGTCACAAATACGAATGTCCGCGTCCCTGGCATCGGCGGCCCAGTAGTAGCGCAGCTGACTGCTCCAGAGGAAGTCCTGCGCGTTTTCCACGCGTTTCGTGATCAACGCCCCGACGATGTCTCTACTATGAACATCGATCGTAATCAGCGTGATGATCTTGTTCCGCAGCTCCTTCGATAAATCCCCTTGCACCTGCTTGATCAGGGCGTCGAGCCGGCCTTTGCACACATCTAAATATTTCTTGACCGCGTCGTCGGTCCCGTTCTCCAGGTCATCCAACGCCGTTTCCGTCTCTTCGGTCCAGACGATTTGGGACGTTATGAGGGCGATCTGCGCACAGTGGTAGGCGACCCACTCCTCGCGCGGGCGCTCCGTGTCCCACGACGACGCCTCCTCGAGAGCCGTGACGAGGCAGCCTCGCAGCGTATCGCGCATGAACGTCACGAGCTCGTTCAACCACACTTCCACGGCGCCCTCCATCATGAAGTGGTCCTCGAAGGGCACGTCCTCGCCGTCTTTCGCGACCATGCTCGACGCCTCGGTCGGCGGCTTCTCCTTCTTCGGCTCGTCGTCACTCAGACTTTCGTCTTCGAGCTGCTCGAGCCTTGAGGGAAGCGCGAAGGTCAACCGGTCGATGCCGTCGAAGACGGCCCCGACGTGCGGCATGATCTTTGTAGGATTATTACTATTCGAGAGGATGTCGAGCAGCGCCATGTTGGAGACGAAGTAGAAGCGCGGGAAGATGTTCTTCTTCATGTCCAAGTATTCGGTCAGCGCCTTCTGGCAGAGCTCGAGCTCCTTGTACATGACCTCGAGCTGCTTTTCGCGCCCGTCGACCTCGCAGACACTCACCACCTGTTTCACGGCGAAGATCGAGGTCATCGTCTCCTTGAACTCGCCATCAATACCTTCGAAGCGCTTCGTATCATCAGGTAACTGCGCGCGGATGTCCTGGCTCCCGAGGAAGATGGCCTCGAGGGCCGCCCACGCGCGCTGCACCATCAACAGTATTCTCATGACCGCCTCGATCGTGCCTAGCGTCTTCTGCCACGCTTGTATGTCACTCCGGAAGAAGTCCACGGCCCGGCCCATGGCCGCCATGCTCTGCAACTGAATATTGTGCTCGTCCAGGGTCTCAATTAAGTCGTCTGGAGAAACAATAACTTGCACCTCCGTATCTTTATGTCTAGCTAGTTCAAGGCAGGCAACACTCCAGAACTGCTCGATCTGTTTCAGCTTCTGCTCGACCTTGTTCTCCTTCTGCGCGACCTCGACGATCTCCATGATGCCCTCGACGTGCTCGTGGAGCTGCAACTTCAACAAATCGGCGAGGCAGAAGCCGGGGCCCTTGTCCACCGGTTTATGACATTCGCTCGCGACGGCCTTCCAGTGGCGGTCGCGCATGCACGGGGACCGCAGCTCGCTTACGAGGGGTAAGATCGAGGCCATGTTTTGCACCGACCCTTGCAGGCGCAGGTAGCAGGGCCAGTCCCTTAACCGCCGCGGGAGGCGCTTCACGTGCGTCGCGAGCTTCTTGCACTCGTCGACGAGGTCATCTGGTCTTATGTCGAGCCATAACGTATCGCTCCAGCTGCCAAACAGACTCTCCACCACACCAACGCAGTCCCAGACCTGCTTGAGCAGTTTTAATTCTGTTCGTAGAGTAAGTAGTTCGGGAGCCTTTATTTTATTGAGCTCGAAGAGCTCCTGCAAATTCTTGAACGACTCGGCCTCCGCTTCCAACACCTTCATCCTCGCGTAGGTCCTGTCCATGCTCGCGTAGGCGTCCTTGATCCTATCGGAGGGCCACGTGAAGGGCCCGTGGGGCGCATCTCTAAATTCGCGGTGCGCGAGTTTGACCCGAGACACGTAGTCCGCGATGTCCCGCTTGATGAAGTCGACCATGGCGTTCTGGAGCGGCTGGATGCTCTCTTTCACGCGAAACGTCTTGTTCACCGTGTTGTCCCAGGCCAAGGGCGCTCGCTCCAAAAAGTCCAGAGCCTCCTCCTCGCCCACTAACCCTAAATCCAATTCGATCGCGTTGGACTTGAGCAGCTCCACCGTCTCGCGCAGCGGCACGAAGGTCGCCTCCATGCCCGGCATGCGCTGGCGCACATCCCTAATATGCGACATGACGGACATGAGCGTCTCCTTGTCGCCGTCGTCGACCTCCTGGTCGAGGCCGACGTCGATGGCGTCCATGAAATCATATAATTCGGTGAGGTCGCCCATGAGCTTCTCCTGCAAATAGTTCGTGAAGCAGTACATCCACTTGTTGCACCACGTGCTCAATGCTTGTTTTACCGGCTGGCTCTGGATCCTCAAAAAATCGATCTCGTGCGTCGGCCTCATGTCGTCGACCTCGTGCTGGACGCCCTGGTAGAGCTGGATCTTCTCCTCGAACAGTTCTAGATTTAAACGCTCCGGCTCGGGCTCTTCCTCGGGAAGGTCTTCTCCCGAGGCCACGGAAGCCGCTTCGGGCTTGATGATAGCCGTCTCCAGGAACTCGGCGAACATCTCGTTCAAGTCCGTCGTCCAGAGGTAGTCGTACAGCTCGTAGTTCCGCTTCAGCTTCTGGCACCGCTGCTCCGTCAAATTCAGCCTTTGCTCGATGCAAGCTATGAAGCCCATGACCTCCATGTCCTCCATGAGCTCTCGGAGGTACGTCCCTTCGCCCGTGTCTAACCTTTTCACCTGCAGCGCCACGTCGTCGAAGTTCATGCACCAGTCGCGGAAGATCGTCCTCAATTCCCCCGGGCCGGGACCCACTTCAGGAATGAATTTGACGCGACCGTCGACCAGATCTAATTCAATCTCCAACATCGGACCGAGGGCCGTAGGCTTCGCCAAGTGCACGGGGTCGAGCTGCTGCTCGAGCGCGGCGCACGACTTCACGACTATTCGTTTAAGCCCACCGACGATGATATTGTTCACGAAATCTAAATAGGCCTTCCAGTCCGGCAGGCCCTGGCTGACCTTGAGCTTCTTGTTCGTGTCCTTCATCAACAAATGGATCTCGTTGCCGCCCTGCGGGGCGCGGACGCGTAAGACGGCGTCGACGCGACCGCGTTTCTCTCGGACCCGCCGCCCGTCATCGGGAGATGGAGACGATGCATGACGATGGCGTGCGGTTCGGAAACGGACGCCGCGTCGCGGACCTTCCTGATGGCGTCGTACCTTTCCTTGAGCGTCACCTTCTGGAGCTGCTCGAAGTCGTCGACGGGCTGGGCCTTGCCCGAGCGCTTGAGGAGCGGCTGCGCGGACCACGCGTCGAGGACGGCCTCGGCCTTCCGGAGGTTGTCCTTCATCTTCTCCACCACTAATTTGATCTCGTTCGCCGCCGTCATGCTCTCGTTGACGTACCTGCGCGGACGTCGACCAATGCTCCCAGACGCCGTCGCCGCGACGTCCCGGCACGACGCCGTCGACGCGGCCGCTTCTCTCGGAGCCACGCGAAGGCACGAAAGGACACGGCAGGACGAACAGGTCGATGTTGTTGCTCTTCCAGTTGAGGGGCTTCTTCTTGGACTTCTTCTTCTTCTTCTTGGGCGTTTGCTCGTCAGGAACGGCGTCCTCGAGCAAGTCCTGCGGGGACGTCGACCGGTGAGCTACGGATCTCCGAGCACCATCGAGATTTGTGTGGAGCGTCGCGTCGACGGCGTTTCCAGCAGAGATGCGTCCGCGGGGACGCCATCGCGACTCCCCGAGCCGCCGCGTCTCGCGAGCTCGGCGCCGCGGCCTCCGAGCGACCCACGCGACCGTATCCAGAGAGAAACACCTCGCTCCGACCGCGCGCGACCCCGAATCGAAGTAAAACTCGAACTCGGAGGCGATACCTTGTGCGGCGCGATGCCTTGGGCTAGTACATCATCTAACAACTCTAGTTGTTTGGAGAGCAGGGGCCGCTCGACCGGCAGCATCTCGGCCTGCATCCAGTTGTAGACGTTGACCTGCGCGGGATCACGTGTAGACGCTCCGACGATCATGACGACGGCGTCGAGGCGTCGCGCTGACGCCGTCGACGCGTAGTTGAAGACGCTGAGTCAGCACCACGAGATCCAAATTGCCCATATGTTTTCTAAAAGTCTCGGCGTGCTCGTAGATCTCCAGCGCGGCCTGGGGCGCCTCGAAGCCCAGTAGCAGGAAGTACTTGACCTCTCGGAGCAGTCTCACCAACAAAGGGTCAAAATTCACGTAGAGCAGGGGGTAGCCGAACTCAGGATCGTTCTCGGACCGCAGCAGCGGATTTTTTAATTTAGCTTGACTCGATTTCTCCATCTCGGCGCCCCAGGCCTCGATCTGCTCGCGCTCGTAGTCGGAGAGCTGGCCCTGGAAGGCCGTGTAGTCCTTGATGACGTCGCGCGCCTCCTCGGACTCCATCACACTCTTGTCGAGCTTGCGGATTTTACTCATGGGCGTTTTTATGCGCTCCAACAGCCCTCGACACCAAGTAAGCGCACCAGCGATCGGCGGTAGATTGTGCGCGATCGGCGGCGCCTCTTTCCCTTCGATGAACATCTTCTGCATCGCTCTTACATCTTCACCTGCGTGGTCGCGACACTCGTAGGCTCTCGTGTGGTCACGACGACGCCATCGACGCGAAGTGGACACTGAGTCAGCACCGAACACGGACACCATCTGGACGTAGCGCTTCTCGAGCTCCTCCGTTATTACTTGTCTTGCTGTTAACCCCGCGAAACTGTCTAGTAATTTGAACTGCGCCCGCAACGTCGGCGCATCTGAAAAACCTTGCGACAGGACGGACGCCAATCGTTTCTCGAGCTCCCGCACACTTGTCCGGAATTCGTAGAACGCGTCGTCGAACTCCTTGGCCTCGGTATCCAATAATCGATCATCCCCATAAGATCGCACCCGATTGACCGCTTGCGTGAAGTCCGAGTGGATCTGTTGTACGGAAGTCGTGAGCACCTTGCCCTTCGTGCCGCCGATCTCGATCTTACTAAGTTGGCCGAACTGCATCGTGGTTTCTGTCAGTTCCAACACATCATGGCACCGCTCCCAGAAGGCGTCGAGCCGCACGAAGACGGCGTTGTTCTGGACGCGCCAGGCGTTCAAAGGGCATTCGGTAGCAGCCTTGTCCTTGTACTTGAGGTAGACCTCCTTGAAGGCCGCCAGGACTCTGAGAGTTTCCTTGAGCGCTGATACGGCTCCCCTCGCATCGTTGGGATCTTCTGACTCGATGAGCTCGAAGACAGACATACTACCAAGATACTGCTGGGATTGCGCTACGAGGGCGTTGCAGACCTCCCGCACCAACACGACGAGTCTTGTCGGCGTGTTGTAGTGGCCCGAGCCCTTCCAGATCAGTAAGATCGTATGCACGACCGGCGGATAGACTTCAGGCAATACGGAGTAGTCCGTGCAGTCCTCCAGCTGCTCGACCCACTTGCGCAAGGGCGCTAAGAACTTGACGTTGTCGTTCGCTTCAGCTCTAGCGTGGAAGAGCTCCTTGCACAGCTTCGCGAAGGGGGCATTATAGGTCGACTGCGCCTTGTCCAAGCACCGCAGGACCTTTCGCACACGCACGCTTTGCAATTGGTCGAAGATCGAGTCCAAGTTTTTGCTTTTAGCAGCCCAGAAGTCAAGCTCCGCAACTGGACCGGGATGCGGTCTCTCATCGGTAGATAAACCCTCGGGATCCTCCTTGAGCACGGCTTTTATTTGCTTCGTCCACGTAATGATCGCGGACTCTAACGCGTGAATCGCGTCCTTACTGTCAGCAGGCCCTTCGGGCGCACCAGACGACGCCGTCGTGTTCTTGCTGACGGCCCAATCGGGAGGCAAGGGCAACGCAGTAGTACCTCTCGCATGGCCTTGCATGATCTGGACGTTTGCGACGAACGCCGCCAACCCCTCGTCGACCTCCTTTGCCACGAGGTCGCTCGCGTCGCCCTTGCTCACGGCGAGTAGTGGTGCTAATACGGTCATCGCTACTTGCTCCGCGTGCTCCAAGACACCGCTCGAGCATTCGCCCACGATGCACTGCCGTTGGCACTTTCCTACATCGAGCGGCTTGTCTTTCTCAATTTTGAGGATATACAGGAAGCCAGCATCATCTTTTTTCTGCTTCTCCGGCGGTACGGCGGTGAGGATGACGCGACCGACCTTCTCGGCAATGTATAGTCCGCCGGGCGCGCCCTCGTCGGCGTTCGCGAACGCCTCGAGGAGGTCGTTTGCGCCCTGATCCCCTCGGAACTTCTCCCACATGTCCGGCGTCACGTGCTTGTAGGCGATGCGTATTTGTTGCAACAACCATCCTATCCTCTGATCGAGGACGGCGTCGCCCTGGGCGCCGCGGCCCATCCTTCTTTTGGGGCTGCCCTACTGTGGGCTTCGCTGCGCCGCGGCCCGAGGCGCGGTCTTGTAATAGCGGCCGCTCTAGGCTCGCGATGGGCTACGGAGCAGCTGGCTGCCTATACTTGAGGCTAGCCGGGCTGTCCGCGCCGCAATTGGCTTGGGCGCTGGGCTGTAAAACTTGGGGGATACTAGGACTAGTAAGTTTTCCATGCGACCTGCTCTTCCGGTGCGCGGAAGACTAAACGTCCCTTGCGGACGGCTCGCTCGCCAGGCGTCGGCCTCCCGAATCGGCAAAAGACAGCAAAACAAGGGCTGGCCTCTCACGACTTTGTCCGGCTGGCATAGCGGCGCTGGTGCTGCCCCTGGTGCACGAAACGACTGCAACCATCCCTATGGCCGAGTTTACCGATCAATTTGCAGAAAATGGGGGCATCTCGGGCCTCATGGAGGCGCTGGCCATGCACGGCGGCCTGCAGCAGCGCGTTTGCGTCGTCGTCGGCGTGACGGGCGACGGCAAGTCGACGACGGGCAACACCTTGTGCGGCCGCGACGTTTTCGAGACGAGCACGGGGCTGTGTTCGGCGACGCGCGGCCACGCGATCGGCACGTACACGGCCGGCGGCTCGTTACATGGGACCCTGTGGCGCGTCATCGACACGATCGGCTTCGAGGACTCGTGTTTGCCACAGGACGAGGTGGCGAGGCTCTTCGGCGCCTTCGCGGACGACTGCATGGACGGCGTCGACGCGTTTTTATTTGTGGTCAAGTGGGGCCGCTTCAAGCCGGAGCACGAGCGGGCCCTCGACGCCTTCGCTTCTAATGCGGGCGAGGACGCGCTGCGGCACACGTTGCTTGTGTTCACGCACTGCGATGTGGATAATCTCGATGCGATCTTGGCCTCGGACGCGGCGCCAAAATCATTAAGAGAAAGGTGGCTGCCTCGGCTGGCTGGCGCCGTGGGCGTCGACAACGAGCAGAGGCTCGTGGCGCGCGCGCGGCTGCAGACGGCGCTCGATGGACTCGTGGCTCGACTAAAGAATGAGCGCTACAGCCACGATTCATTAAGGGCCGCGCAGAAACGGCGCGACGCCGCGCGCGAGGCCGACCGGGAGGCGTTCCGGGCCGCGGTGCTGGACTGGCGGAAGAAGGACGGACCCCTGGTCGTGGAGCGGTTCGGGCGGCCCGTGGAGAAGGATAAGTAGTGGGATGTTGTCTTATTGTTTATATCGGGCTCACTGGCAGTAGCTTATTACTCGAACTCGAACGATGCGCCCTCGGGCGCGTTGCTACCGTTCTGCCACCAGCTCGCGAGCGTGAACCGACCGCAGGGCGATCGGAAGAGCCCGCCTCTCGCGCCGCGGGGGATGCTCGCGCGCCGGCGTGACCGCGTCGTCCCGAGAGTAGGCCGAGCGCCCCACCTCGAAGGCGACGCGGACGCCGTCGAGCGTCGCCGCCCAGCGCGCCTTCTCGGCTCCGAAGTCGCTGACGAAGTCCGTGGGCGCGTAGGACCCCTGCGTCGCAAAAATAGCGACCCCCGTGAAGATTCCATCGCGCTCGACGATCGTCGCGCCCAGCAGGCCCAGGCCCACGCTGTCCTCGCAGCACGTGATCCCGCAGCCCTCCGTCCATATGACCCACTGGCAAAAGTCTCGGAAGGTCCGAGCCGTCGTCCCCGGCGGCAGCCGCGCGCGCATGGGCGTGATGTACGGCTGCGATGCCGAGCCGGGACGGACCATCGTTGTCGCCCCGCCGTCGTAATTCAGCTCCATGCTTCCCATGACGCCCTCGAGCCCGCCGACGCCCGGGCGGTTCGCGCCGACGACGGCGTCGATCTCACTCCACAGCGCGAAGGCCTCGGCGAGCGAATCGCACTCGACGACGTCCTCGGCGGCCGCCTCCGCGACGCCGCGCGACCGGAGGTCGGTGTAGATCCCCGGCCAGCCGGGGCCGTCGAGCGGGTCCCAGGCGCTCGCCGCGAGGCCGCCCGCCGCCTTCATCTGCGACAGCTTCGCCCGCAGCTGGGCCTCGGTCAGCTCCGTGTTGCCGGGCAGCGCCGAGCCCCAGTTCCCGAGCTTGGCCACGTCGAGGCGTAGCGCCGCCCGGTGCTCGAGCACGCGGCTCGCGCCGAGCCGCAGGCCCGGGTAGAACACGTAGAAGCCCACGGCCTCGTCGTCCGCGACCGGCGCCGTCGTCGCGTCCACGTCGCCCGCGAACGTCGAGAGCAGCGACCGCTTCGGCGGCGGCGTCGCGGGCAGCGGCGCGGGCACGATCACAAGGTTCGCCGGCTTGACGGCCACGGCCTTGGCCGACGGCGACGCCTTGGCGGCGTCGTACGACGGGTCGGGGTCCCGCGCGTCGGCGTCGTAGAGCGCCGAGAGCCGGGTCTCCGGCGTCGCGTCCACCGCTTTCACGGTCTTTCCCGCCCCGTCGACGAGGCGGTAGACCCAGGCGCGCTTCCCGTTGAGTTGTTTGCCCTTTTCCGACTGGAGGCCGCGGATCTCGCAGTAGACGCGGCCGCGGTGGCCCGACTTGCCGAGCCGGTGCGACATCCAGCTGAACGGCGCCGAGGTGATGCGCGCCCAGTCGACGCTGCCGGCCTCGGCGTCCGGGACCCGCTCGTCCTGGTACGCCGCCGGGTAGCCGCGCGCCCTTGGATCCGTAGAGAACTGCTTCTCCATCATCGCACGCAAATGCGGTGGCATGCTCGCGAGCATTTCGGCCGAGGGGCCCTGCCCTGGGCCGCCTCCCGAAAAGCTAGCCATTGGTGTGTTCGCAGCTTCTCAGCGATAATAAGCGCTGGCAGCTGCGCACAGTACGACCTGCAATGTCTGCGACGCGTAGACTGTGCAGGCCGAGCAATGCCGACTCCTCGGCAGCGCTCGGAGCCAAAAAAGCTCGGATCCGACGTTAGCTAGCGGGATGTAAGACACTAGCAATTTAGTAGACCTCCTCCTCCTTCGGTCTGGGCGTCCCCTTGACGAAAGCCCCACCCGGACCCGTCACCTCCACCGCGTGCGTCCGCCCGTTGAGCTCGCCTACCACATACTCGACCTCCTCGCCCGGCGCGAGAGACCGGAAGCCCGGCGCGTGGACCTGCGTCTGATGCACGAAGATGTCCTTCCCACCCGTCGCGGGACTGATGAAGCCGTAGCCCTTCGGGCGGTCGAACCATTTCACCACACCTGATAACCGGGCGCCCGCATCATGTGAGGCCTTGCGCGCGGCACCTTTGTCCAAGGCATCGGTTCGAGACATAGGCTCGTCCTCCTGCCGCTTGCCGAGCGTCCACAGCGCCGTCGCGCCGAGGCTCGAGGACCGCTCGAGGAAGTCGGCGCCGCTGCTGACCTTGCAGACGCCGGTGCGTAGCTGCGGGAGGTTGACTTCCTCTGGTAAAGCTTTGAGCGTGTGCGTGTCCGCGTATAAGACCGTGGCGCCGTCCTCGAGGGCCAGCAACGTCGCCGCGGCTCTATCGGAAGGCACGCCGCAGCCGTGCAAACCATCAACATTCGGCAGGGAAATGGACGCGCCGCTCGCTAGGCACGCGGCCGCGGCCGAGCCAATCCCGAAGGCGTGCGAGAGCGTGATGGACACGCACGCCGTGTCCGACGGCGTGAGCTCCAGATGGCGCACGGCGTCCTCGGCCAATTCGTCGATCGTATCATTGGTCAAAGGGCTCGTCGAGTTGTAGAACGCGTGGTTGTCGTGCGCGCCGCCAGAGACAGTCTCGCCCTCCCGTCCCATCGACTCCTGGTGCAGGTCCGCCGCGGGTAGGATCAGCGACACGCCGTGGGCCACGTGGCCGTCGTTCGGCGCGTCGGTGCAGAGGATGCCGCCGACGTCCAGCGTGCTCGTCAGCTTGGCGAGCGCGGCGTCGTTCTTGGCCGTGCCATCTGCGTGGGATTCGGGGTGGGCAATGTATCGCGTCGATGGCGTACGCGCGTCATTTTGACGGCCCCTCGCAGGACGCCGGGACAGGCATGCGACGCCGAGCGACGAGCACGCGAGCTGCACAACCAAGTTCTGCGACGTGTTTTGCAAATCCGAGACGAGGACTTGGCCCGCCTCGAGGCCCTTGCTTTGCAGCACGGCTGCCGTCGCGGCCGCCCGGCGCTCCAGTGTGCCAAAATCCAGCGTGAGGGCCTCGGTCTGGCTACTGAGTGCGACAGCGGTGGGCCAGCGTTTGGCGGCGGCCTGGGCAAGCCGATAGAGAGCCATGAGCCTGTTTGTGCTGCAAAAGCGTCGGTACGCTATGCCTAAGTCTGGTCTCGAGTTGGGAGAAGGCGAGTAGGCGAGTTAGCTAGCGGCGTAAAGACACTAGCAAGCAGCGGGCTTATTTGCGCGTATGACTTCATTAATGCCCTAATCTGAAAGCCAGGCTCATTTCGTGAGTCGCTACGGTCCATAGGTTGCAGCGAAGAAGCAGCGAAATCATTGGTGCGGCTGGTCTCACGTACAGAGCGATTGTGGACGGAGAGCGATTTGCAAACTGCAGAGAGCGCTTAAGTGTACACATCGCTGCCGAGCAACAGCGAGCAGCGGTGCAACGCGATGGCGATCGAGGACGCCATCACCAACGACCCGGCCATCGAGCGCCACGGCTCCGAGGCGGCGGCCAAGTACATGGCCTGGCACTGGGCGGCGCTGAGCAAAGCCGTCGCAAAGGGCGATCCGTGCAGTTGCATCCTGACGGAGTCGCGTCAATCGGACGACCGCCTCTACGGCTGCTTCCGCGCGTCGATATCCGAGCCCGTCGACCGTTTGGACCTCAAGACGCCGACGTGGCGCGATCTGCTGACGTGCATGGCCGGGCGCGTGGTCGATTTCAGCTTCATGACCTTGCTGCGGCCGGACCCTTTGCAATCCTACGAGGCGCAGCGGTCCGAGTTGCTCGTCGTGCCGCGGGCGCAGTTTGTAATGGTCGAACTCGCGCGGCAACGGGAAGGCTGCTACGACGACCGGGACTGCTGCGTGAAAGCGGAGGCGCGGCACCTGTCGCGCTGCGCCGAGCGCCTGCGAAACGGGAACGACGACGCTCTCGTTGCGCTGGAGGCCGCGCCGCTGCCGTCGAAGGCGGTGCTCCGGCTCACGTCCGCGTCGCGCGCCCTGGCCGCAAAAGCCCGGAGCGGCAGCGACGCGGCGGCCCGCATCGTTGACGCCTGGCGGCGGCACCTCGAGCCGCCGGCGTCCGTTTTTGAAAAGAAAGGCGTCGTCGTGCGGCGCGGCGCGTTGGACGCCGACGCCGTCGCCGCGTTGGTCCAGGCGGCCTCTCTCTCTCAAGCGGCCTTCGAGAAGGAGGTCCTGGCGCCACAGAACAAAACGATCCGCGACTCCTTCGACGACGCCTCGGGGACGACGCGGCCCGGGAGTCGCGTCGACGTGCGCCACCGCGCCGCCGAGTTCGTCGCGCAGCGCCTTGGAACTTGTGAGGCCGAGCTCGCCGACGACGACCGCGGCGTCGGCACGCGATTATTAAGGGACCTGCTGCCTCTGGTGAAAGCCGCGCTGCGGACGGAGCGGCCGCGGCTGCTGTACTTCGGCTTCGTCCGGGCCTTCGCCGGTGGTACCGGAGACCAGCCGTGGCACCGCGACGCGGCGTCGCTCTTCGAGAGCGGTCGGGGCGCCTGCGACGCGCCGGACACGCCACCCCACGTCGTCAACGTCTTCCTTCCTTTGGTCGACCTGACGAATGCGAACGGGCCGACGGCCTTCGCCCCGGGCACGCACAGCGACGGCGCGTGCCGCGACGCGCTCGCGACAATCATCGAAAGGGGCGACCCGGCCCACCAGATCTCGCCGCTGCTGAGCACGGGCGACGCCGTCATGTTCGACTGCCGCCTGCTTCATAGAGGGAGGGCGAATCGCAGTTCCAAGGATCGCGTCATCGCTTATTTAACAATTGCTGCGCCGTGGTGGCGCGACGACGAGATGTTCCATGCCACGCAACCGACGACCGCCGCCGCGTTATTGGGCGAGGCGCTTTTGGGGAGGACGGCCGTTGACGATCATGACGACGGCACTGGCCACCCGCACTACACGCTGAGAATCGAAAGCATGGTGCGAGACCGGCCGGACCTCGCCGCAGCTTCGGCCTTGTTCCTCGCGCGCGCCTCCGACGACGTCGACGGGAAGTGGGCCGCGGCCGCGGCGTCGTCAACATCGCTTTCACGAATGCTGACGGCGTCGCTCGACGATCCGCGGCCGGCCGACGCCTTCGCGGACCGCTTCGAGGCCGACCTCCTTGATAACAATGGCCGCCGCGCGGACGCGCTGCGCGCGCCCCCAGCGCCCAACGGCGGCCTGTTCTCGTCGATCACGGACGACCTCGCCGACTGCTCGAGGCTCTACTCGGCCGCGGGGGCGCTGCTGAACGCGGAGGCGTACGGCTTTCCCGCTGATGCTGAGGGCGTCCCTCTCCTCGTGGCTCTGGCGAAGCGGGCGGCGCCCCAGAAGTCACGGCGCCGGCTCGAGGCTGCTTTTTCAAGTTGGTGGCATCGGGGCCGGGGCCGCTTCGAGCTCGTGGAACGCGTCGCCGGCGCCGGGGACCGGCCGGTGCTCGTCGTGGCGTTTTCGTCGCTGGGATCTGGTATTGCTAGACCTGAATGGCGCGGCGCGCTCTCCAAGGCAAAGGTGCCGTCGAAGGCGCGCCTGGACGTGCTGCATGTGCTAGACCCGGCGTCGTCGTGGTACCTGCAGGACGACGCGGCGACGTGGGCCGGTCCCGCGTTTTATCGGCGCGAGCTCGAGCAGCGCATCAGGCCCTACGGGAGCCGTGTGTTGTTCTTGGGCGACTCCATGGGCGCCTGCGGCGCGCTGCAGCATTGTGATTTGGCGGCGACGCTGGCGTTTACTCCACAAGTCGATCTGACGGACTACGAGGCCGTCCGGCGGCACGACCTCACCGCTGAACGCCGCGCATCGCTCCGCGACGCAATTTGTGACACCGTCGGCCGCGCGAAAGGGCCGGTCTTGGTCCACTACGGCTCGGGCTGCGCCGAGGACGTGGCGCAGGTCGAGCTGCTCCCCGGCAGCGCGACGCTCGTCGCGCACGACTTCGACGACCACGTCCTCTCGGTCCATCTCAAGAAGACAGGTGCTCTCAAGGGGATCTTGGACGCGGCGATTGCTGGCGTGTTGTAGTAGGGTGTTAACTTAGGCTTGTCGTTGTACACACTCGTGCGGAAAAAGCTAGCGGACAAAGACACTACCTAGGTACCTAGGTAGCAAAGAGGCACCGGCGCGCTCTTGGCCGCATTCATCGTCAAATACACCCTTGCGACACACTAACGCTGCGCGCGATGGATCAGGATCCTACGTACGACCGCTGCGAATCAGAAGCCCTCGCAGTGACGCTGGGCAGAGGCGACAAAACAAAGCTGATCTCGCAAGCACTGTACGGGCCCGAACGGTGGCCGGTCGGGAGACCCCGCGACGCGCGCAGCAAACTCCTGACCGGTGCCCTTGCGGCGAAGGAGCGGGTGCACTGGTGGCCCGTAGAGCCTTGGTTCCGGCACTACCGCGTCCCTTTCCAGGAGGGGCTAAGGGTGATCAGTTGGTTCGGACACGGCGAACGGCTCGCCAATTGCACGGTTCAGCACGTGGTGGACACGTTCCAAATCACCGATTGGGACTTCGACAAAACTCGCGGGGTCTACCGCCACGCATTCTCCAATATTTTACCTTTAGAGCCGTCTCTTCACATTTCTTGCGATAGCTTGGTCAAAGCCATCACCGAAGCGAAGAATGGGATGCCCATAACGCCGGGCAAGGCACAGCTGGATACCTGGCGGTGGGCGCCGGCCGGCGTCGTGGAAGACACGATATGGTGGAGCGGTGCCTCGCGCTACTACGGCGGCCGCGCGCCCATGGTGAGGATGGCCGAGTTGCCCGACGACGCCCTGCGCTGCATCTGCGAGCAGCTCGTGCCCCCGGTCCTGCGGTCCTGCGGTCCCCCGCTAATTCACGGTACGGCGGAGTCCAACGAAGAATGCATGGCGGCAGCAAAGGAGTACTGTGACGAGCACACGACCGACGCGGCGCTTCTGGCATGCGACGAGGAGGATTTTTGTTTTGTGATAGGAGATTTAGATTGCCGGCGGGCGGACATACACGACAGAATAATACATTGGCATCGGCACATGGGACCTGTCGCTGTACAACTTCGCTTAGTCTCGCGGCACTGGCACCGTGCGCAGGAGAAGCCCACGAATCTCATGAAAGCTGAACTCGCGCGGTTGAAACAGCACGAAGACATGCTGGAAAATGCGTACAGCCGTGCTCGCTCGGAATACAATCGGCGTTTCGACTCGCCCCACTGGGAATGGATGGGTTAGGACCCGTATGGCGGTGATGACTAGAAGTGTGTGTAAGTAAGTAAGACTACCATGTTACACAGCGTAGGTCGGCGACGGGATCTCCCCGGAGTACACCGTCCCGAACGCCGCGCCGCCCCCGTCGTCGGCCGGCAGGTAGCCGTCGATCCACAGGTCCACGAACCGCCGCTGCCACGCGTCCGAGAGCGTGTTGCCCCAGTAGGACGACAGCGAGATCTCGTTCACGTCGACCTTGCCACCAGTAACAAAAACGTCGCAGCGCAGGTAGTCGGCGCCGACGCCCTGGGCCAGCCTCGAACACGTGTCCCAGACCTTTGGTAAATGCTCAACCAACGAGGACGAGAACTTGGCCCAGAATAACCCCTGGACGTAGCGGTACTCGCGGATGCACCGACTGTACTCCAGCGACCCAAGGCCTCTACAAGTCCGCCGCCAGCCCCGATCGTGAAGCGACGGATCCTTGGTCTTGAACCACGTCTCCTGGGTCTTGCGGTGCGCGCGGATGTGCGAGTGATCATTAACATACCACTTCCCGAACCACTGCCCAGGAGCCCGGTTCTTCGGCCACTTGTAGCAGGCCCAGCCATCTGTTCGTACTAAAAATTCGACCGTATCTTTATGTTGTGTTTTTCCTAAAATCATCTCTCCCACCACATCGACGACGGTCACGCCTGTGTGGATATCAACCAGTGAGTTAGGTTATCGTGAGCCTCCACGCCATCGAGCCGACGCGGTCACGGGGATGGCGTGGGGCGCCCGAAATTTCATCTCCACTCGGGGTCACGCCGTGCAGCGGCACGCCCCAGATCACTTCTACCAGGACCTCCGTCGGTCTCATATCATTCCCGTCCGACGCGGCCGAGACCTTGCCCGGGTTGACCACATCTTGCAGTATTAAGCAGGGACTTGTCTGTGCGTACAGCTTATTTGTTACGGAAGCCCAGGTCTTACTCCCGTCATCAAAAACCGAGTCCATTTTTGTTTTGACCCACGAGACGTACTTGTCCGCGTTTCTCTTCAATTCTTTGCTGTCCTTTATATATAAAGTACTCTTCTGCTGGTGGATGTGGCCTACTTTAATGATTGCTGGGTATTCCTGTCCAAGCAGATAAGACTTCAATGAAGCCGCCTCGATGCTCCGCCACGTCCGCCGCACTTTCGGATGGGGCAGCTTCAGCGTCTCGAGCATTTGCAACATGACACATTTATCTTTCTCGATGGTGAAGCGCTTGTCCTTACTTTTATCCAATAAATTCCCCCATTTCCGCATCCTTAATTGCACCAACTCAGACCACGACGTCGGCCGCTGAGCGTCTTTCAAGGAAGAGCGAAGGTCGCAGTAGTCCCAGAGCGCGAATTTCGCGCGTCGCTGCCGGATCACGTTCCACCGCGCGTCCATGTAGGCGTTTATCAGTTTTTCATTTGCTGTATCTTTTGCGGCGGGCGGGATAAATACGTCGAGGAACTTCGTGGCGCGGAAGGCGACGTTGCTCACGACGATGGCGTCGTAATGGTGATATGTGAACGCTATGGTAGAGACTACTCCGATGGCCGCGCCGACGAGCTTGAGCTTGCTCCGCACGGGCCGCTCGTACTTGTCCTTCGGGCGGTCGAGGCGCTTCCTGACGGCGTCCTTCGCCTCATTCAAATTCGTTTTCAAGCGTTCGAGCATGGTTGCGGCTGCCTGCTGCGATTGGTGCTGCCCACCGGCGGGCGGCAATGCGGGGCTGCCTCTGCGCTGCCGCCTGGCTTCGCGGTGGCTGTGCGAGGTATTTTAATCCCGCTGCTGACTTATTTGGGCAATCTGGCCGTCGCACAGGCAAATAAAAGCCGCGCGTCGACACAAGCGAACCCGTACTTTACAGCGTCGCGCGCGACGTCGACGCGTTCGACGCGCAAGCGACGAGCCGGGCGGCTCGAGGGTGCCGATGCACCGCCCATAAGTGCACCGCAGCGCGTCGGGCAGCCCTGCGATCCGTAGACGCAAGGGGTGTGCCAGCAAGGGAGAGCCACAATGTGGCGCCCGCTGCTCGCCGCGGCGGCGGCGGCCTGGGTAGTAGTAAGAGCCGAGGACGCGCACTGCCACTGGCGCAGCTACGCGGCGCGCTATGATGATGTACGAGCGGCCTTCGGCACCGACGAACACGCGCTACGAGAGCACTACTTTTCTTATGGTCGGAGCGAGGGCCGCACCTGTCATGATGAAATGGAGCCCTTCGACTTCGTCCAGGAGCACTGGGTCGAGATCGAGGCGCCGTTGAACGGCGAAACCTTCGCGCCCGATTCGATCATCGAAACGACGGCGCGCGTGCACCAGTCCACCGTGCCGGCCTACGGCAACGCGACCCATGTTTCTTTGTCGATATTGGTCGCAAATATCGAGAGGACCTTCTTTTTGAGGAGGGGCGCGGCCCTCTCGGGTGTCGACGCGTTTTGTGGCGAGCACCCGCCGCTCGAAACTCAAAACTGCGCGAAACTGAAAACCACGCTGGAGAGTTTGGTGGCGCAGCTCCAGGAGAATGCACCGCCGGTGGTGCTGTGCTTTGTGGTCTCCGATGGAACGACCAGCACCGAGCGGTGTGATGCGAACCCCCATTCTTCATTCTCTGTTCCAAAGCCGGGGCGCTACACCATTGCCGTACGTGCTCAAGGCGCCCTCGGCAGTGCCGCGCGAGGCCCGCGAAGTGCGCGTTCCGTTGTTTCGGTGAATGTGGGTTGCCCGGGGCCGACCATTGTAAAGCCGCGCCACGGCGCCATCGTTTCTAGAGAGATAGAAGTGGAACTGGAAGAGGAGGCCTGCGTCTCTATCAATGGAGTGGAGAAGTGCGGTTCATTGTTGAGTTTCGCGGACCTTCCTCCTGGAAGAGTCGCCATACGAGCATCTACCGGAGATTGTCTCACGACGATCAGCGTCGACGTCCGTAGTCCCATCAGGGACTACGAGAGACCTCTACTCGTCACGGCCGCCTCCGAAAGATATGTACAGAGAAGGATGCTCGACAATTTAGTGGGCTCCTTACACTTCTGGGAGCCTTCGTCCACGATAGTGGTCTACGACCTCGGCTTTTCACCAGCATCGAGATCCAAGGTTTTGAGGTGGCGCGACGTTGAGTTGCGAGACCTGGCACCCGCAGTACAACGAGTTTTAAATGAGACGCCGCCACATACTCTACAAGCGTCGTCCTACGCGTTTAAGATGATAGTCGTCCAGGACGCTCTACGTACAGCCCGTAGTGTTTTGTGGATCGACGCGAACTGCGAGGCGCGACGACCGCTCGACGACGTCTTCCACCTCTTACGAGACAAGGGCCACTTCCTCGTGGAGCACCCGTATCGGTTTCCTACCACTCAATTCCACCACCCGGCCGCCGTGTCGCAGTTGGGTTGTGTTACTGAAGATTTCTCGCGGCAGCACTGCGCGACGACCTTCGTCGGCGTTGTGCAAGGTAGCTGGTTCGCCACCGACGTCCTGCCGAGACTCGTGGCGTGCATGCGGGATTCAGAATGTGTGAACCCGATCGGTTCGTCCCGGGACAACCACCGGCAGGAGCAGACCGCCCTCAACGCCATCCTTTGTGCGTTGCAAGCGCCTCCCGATGACGTCTGCCTGGCCTCCAAGTCATTCAGAATGACGGCGGATTTTGAAAATGATTTGGATGACATGCAGCCGACGCGCGACGAGACGGCCTGGAACGGCATGTATCTGTATACGCGGCGGGACCACGCGATCAAGCCCTACCTGCGGTTCCTCCGTGCTGAGGCTCCCGTGGCGCTCGAGCTCTAAGTTGTTGTGTTCTGTGCCACCTGCGTCGACGGCGTTTTGTGAGTAGGCTTCGTGTCTAGGGCTCCACGTCGAGGCGTCGGCGCCGCGGTCGACGCGGCTCGACTACTAGCACCGCGACGGCAGCGTCAGGGAGACTTCTGCCTCGCCGGAACGCCGTCGCCGCGACCTCTGCCCGGAGTCGTCCGCGGGCTCGACCGTGGGTAGGGGGTCGCGTTGCGCGGCGCCAAAACAGACAGAGCAACATCTCAGATCCTTTTGCCGCGCGCGAGAGGCAGCCCGCCGCATAAACGAAGCTCCGGTACCCATTAAGCGGCAGCCCTTCGCATCTATCGAAGGCTCCGGTACCCCTCGCGAAGCCAGCGGCAAAGCCCGAGCTTGCGCACAGCGTGCTCTTTGCCAGCTCCGCCAAAACATGGGCCTCGCGGACGTCATCCAGCTCGCGAATTCGACAGAGGAGTACGGCGACGACACCGAGGATTATGGAATGTGGGCGACGCTGGCGTGTATATTAGCTGGTGCGGTCTTCACGTTCCTGTTTCTGGCGGGAGGGCAAGAACGACAGGAGCAGACGCAATCTGTGAGAGACGCCGAGGACGACGACGCGCGTACGGCATTGCTCAGAGCGTGTACGCGCGTTTTAAGCTGGGAGGCCGACTCGGACGACGAGCAGGAAAGTCGTGCGTTCGCTACCGCTCTCGACGATGCCCTGAAACGGGCGCGGTCGGTACATGACGGCCTCAGCACGATGCCGACGCCGCCCTCCGTGAATACCTGGGCCCAGCAGGAGCTCCAGTTGCTCGCTGAATCGGATTTAGAGGGCTCGTCGGCGGGTCTGGAGTTGGGTGCTACCGCATTAGCGCTGGCGACGACGCGGAGGGACCACTGGGAGGCCTGCGAGACGATCAACGACGAAGGTAGGGCAGCGGCTTTTGTCGTCGCCGCGTCCGAGAATGTTCATGCTTCGGTCCTACTGCTCGGGACGCGGTGCCGTCCTAGGATGCCGTGCGCCGGGGAACGCGGTTTGTTGGTTGTGGCCGCTGGCGCCCTGGCGGACGAGAATGGGACACAACACAAGCCCGGGAGTTGTCTGGCGTTCCGCCAATCAGCGACTCGTGTGTTGCGCGCGGACGCGGGGCCGGTCCTGTGCGTGCTGCTGCGCGTGCCGGTGTCCTGCGAGATGCTGCTGCCGGACGTGTCCTGACCTCTCCCTCTCCGTGTAAATTCCTTTGCTGCTTGTGATTGAAGCCTGCTCCAGAGTAGATCTCCAGAGTGCTGGACCCGCGGTCCGCGGACCAATTTTTTTTTTGTCTTAAGGACACGTCCTTGATTGTGCCTTGCGAGGATTAGTGGGAGAGCGTAGCTGCCTTTATACGGCTACGCGCGTCGGGGATCGAGCTAACCGTCCATTGGCCCCAGTGTGAGCGGCGGAATTTGCGCGCGAGGACATACCTCGCGTAGTCGCGCTGTTCTGGCACGCCTGCGGACGCCACTGGTTGGCACAAGCGAGCGGGAACCGCGCGAGCGGCCGTAGAAAAAAAAAGAAGAGCAACAGCTAATAATCTAGGAGGAGCAAAAGCGGCCAATAGACCATGGGGACCCTTTCGCCGGATCTGGTGACGATGTCAAAACCCAGCGCCGAAACACCGCGCGCCGAAACGCCGCCGGCCGGCGAGTCGCGCGCGCGCGACCGCGACGCCGTACGGCTTCGCTCGCGCTCGCGCCAGACATGCCCGGTCCGCGGGCGCGCGCGCCTCCGACGCCGCACCGGTTCGCTCGCGCCCGCCAGAATCCGCGCCCGCTCACGCCGCGACCCCCCGCGCAGCATCACGATCATCATCGCGTCCCTACTGACGTTGTTGGTATACTACTTGGTCCTAGCCTACTATTTCATAGGGAAGCCCCAGATTTTATGTCCGCACGTCCCGGACGCGGAAGAGGCCCAGGCCAAGTCCGGCAAAGAGTGGCTCCAGGAGGGCCTCGCCATCAAGGCCAAAAAGGTCTACAAGAACGGCGGCCTAGATGTGGAGATCGGTGTTCTGCGAGCGAAGATGCTCATGAGACTCTTCCTGATGATGATCCCCGTCATGTTTGGGGTCGCCTTAGCTTGGTCCCTGATCGGCGTGACCGAGGCCGGTACCGCCAGATTAGGTATGTCGAACGTGCTAGCCAAAGACTTCGAAAAAAAGGGCCGGACGGACTCGAAAGCCATCGAATTGCGCATCAGATATCTAGCGGTCCGGTTCTGGGTCGCGACCGTCGGTTCCTGGTTCTCGGTGATCCTCAGTCTGTACGTCTGCGACAAGTGGGACGAGCGCATAGGGCTGGCTCGACCGCCAGAAGGACCACGACGCGGGCGACTGGCCGGAGTCGGGCGCGTTCACGGGCGGCAAGCACGACCGCCACGACTCGTCCGACAACCTGAAGGCCTAGTCGGCTCGTCCCTTGCTCGTGTTATATCCCCTCGTCCCCCTTCCCCATCCTGTAACACTAGAGCATCTATTGTTCGCGTGTCGCGGCGTGAGCTCTGCCTTTGACGAGGCTCCACCTCGACGCCATCGCGCAGACGTTCCAACTCTTAAAAACACACACGAAACATTTTTAGCGAGTCTTCGCCTTTTTCCGGCGAGGCGTCGCGTCATTCCCCCGCCGCACGACGACCTTGTGAGAGCGCCGCTGGCCCGTCGTTTTCCTACCTTTCCCCGCCTTGCGCTCCTTCTCGCTTCGCAGCGAACCGACGGACGCCCCTTGCGCGTTTCCATTGGAATCCTCGACGCCGGACAACAGGCTCCAGAGCGGCTCCGGTGCTCGACCTCTCGCGGCAAACAAGTCAGAGTAGGCCCCGAGCACGTTCCGCACACTCTCTCCATTCTCATCGACGAACTCGATCCTATACCGAGCAATGCCTTCCTCGAGCCAGTCAGCCAACGTATCCGCGCCACTTTGTGCTTGGGCATTGAAGACCGTGTTCCGGCAGCCCAGGTCCGCGAGCACCAGATGGTCCTGGCCGTTTTCGTCCTGTAGATGGATCTTGTGCCGCTCGCAGACGTGGCCGCAGTCCGCATACGAATTACCCTTCGACAGATATCGCGCATATAGACAATGAGACGAGTGGAAGATCGGTAAATGTTGGTGGAGCACCGGCTCCAGCTTCATGCGTCGTTGCGGCGACAAGTTTCGCGCGAGAGACGCTATAGCCGAACCAGACAGGTCGTGTGCTGGGGTTAGTCTCTCAAGACCTTCGTCCGCGTACGCAGCGAAGGACACCGCGTTCGCAGCGTTCAATGAAAAGTCGCCTCGGATCTCCACGCCGCCGTGCCCCCTATTTAAGCTTTGGAGTTGCCCGGGCGACCTAGCTAATAAAGCGTCCGGCTTTAGGGCGATCAAGCCGTCCAGACCGCGCTCGCCTGGTAAAGTAATGCGTGGCGCGGCGACGACCGCGCGCAGACCGCTTTCTCTCACGACGTCGATGGACGCCTGATAGTTCGTCATTTCCAGGAAGTCGAGGACGACCTCGTCGACCAGATCTGAGTGAGAAGCGAAGGCGCAGACCGCAATGACTTGTTCCGGGTCCCGTACCAGGACGGAGACGCGCGGCGTCACCGCCTCGACCTCAAGTAAATCTTCATCGTTCAAGCCACCATCAGCACCAGCTTCGTTGCGCTTCTGCCGCGCGGCGCCGTAGTTCTGGGACGCGCTCCGTTGTTGTGGAGCCCGCAACTTTTTCAGTGACTCGACGGCCCGCCGCCTAGCCTGTTTTATGTCGCCCGCATAGCACCACCAGTCTCCTTGAATATCGACCGACACACCACCAAGGCGCCAGGGCGTGTCCCCCAGACTCCCGACCGCCTTCACAATCGTGGCAGAGGTCAGAGGCTGCGTCGCCGGCGGCTCGACTACTAAATCTTCTACTACGGAGTGCTGGCCGTCCGTCAGTTGCACGGTGAGCAGACCGTCGCGTACGGAGACGGCCACGTCCACGGAAGTACGCTTCACTGAAGATGATGATGCTAGTCTCTTGAGCTTGGCATCTACGGTACTGTCGGACGTGCGCCAGAGCAAAGCACCTTCAGACAACCAGGGCTTCGATGCTACATCCCGGCCGAAGGTCAATCTCACAAGACCGTCATTGAGTGGAGCGACGTCGTACAACGCACCGCCCACTTCGTCCTGCGCGTGGTCCGGCCCGCAGTCGATGACGACGCCGTCGCCCCGCTTCAGCCTGTGTGGACATCAACCAGTGAGTTACGTTCCGACATTTGATTTCCACACAGGGTTCAACTCTATGGCTGCGGAGGGCTCCACCACCAATTCCAAGCCCTGTTTTTTCGGGTAGACCTCCACGACCCTCCCAGCTAGCACGCCCCGGTGCCGCGGCGCGTTGCCGACGACGAGGGATTGGTGCTTGGGCCCTCTCAAAAACCCGGGCGTGAGGCCATCTCTCTCACTGTCTTGCCCGCGCGCGAAGACCTGCCTCAAGTCACTTCTGGTCACAGTTTCATCTTCTGTGGAATGGTCCCAGACCGCATCAATAGCCTCCCTATAAGCTCTGGTGGTGGCCGCGACGTAGCGCTCGTCCTTCAACCTACCTTCGATCTTAAAACAGCTGACTCCCGCTTGAATTAGTGCGGGGACGTCGTCGAGGCCGCACAGGTCGCCCGGCGACAGCGCGTACTGGAGGCCCTCCTCCCTAGAACCGTCGACGACCACCGCATAGGGCAGTCTACAGGCCTGGGCGCACTGGCCCCGGTTCGCGCTGCGGCCGCCCCAGGCTTCGCTGCTGAGGCACTGGCCGCTCCAGGAGATGCATAACGCACCGTGGACAAACGCTTCCACTTCCGCGGACGTCCCTCTCGCGACAGAAGCGATTTCTTGGGTAGACAGCTCCCTTCCGACAACGACCCTCGTAGCACCCCGCTCCCGCGCGAACTCGGCGCCGTCCGCCGACGAGATGGATTGCTGCGTCGACGCGTGAATAGGTAATTCGGGCGCAACTTCTCGCGCCAGCGCCATGACGCCCACGTCCTGCACAATCACGGCATCCACCCCAGCCTCGGAGCACCTCCTTAGTAAGCGCTCGATCTCGTCGAGCTCCTTGTCGAAGGCGAGCGTGTTTAACGCCACATAACCCTTCACTTCATTTTCGCGTAAGTACGCGATGACCTCGTCCAACTCCGCACCCGGATCGAAGTTCGTGGCCCGGGCCCGCGCGGAGAACGTCGATAAACCAAAATAGACGGCGTCGGCGCCGTTATGTACGGCTGCTTTGAGCTGCGGCCAGCCGCCGGCGGGCGCCATGACCTCCGGTTTTTGCCTCAAGGTTATACCGGGGCCCTTCACCTCGTCGAAGAGCTCGGGCGTCTTGCGGCGGCGCGGGTCGTCCTGTTTTGTGTTCTGCGCCTGCATGCGGGTGGTCCGTGCACCCTGCGGTAACGGCGGGGTCAGCGCGGCCGCCACCGCGCCGGCAAACAGCCATATTCTTTTCATTGCCCCAGGCCTTAGTACTGAGCAAGGAGGCGCCGGGGCAACCCGCTGTCGCTTGAGATCGTTGACACGCAGCAAATTGACGATTTCTATCGCTTCACAAGCTTCCGTGCAGTCCTGCCTTGCGAGTCTACGTCAATTGCAGCTGTCTTACGCTAAATAATGGCTAGCTGAAAGACACTAGAGAATTTTTTCAGATTACTATTACAAGGGAGAAAGACAGGGGATCGATCATCAGAGCCCCGCGTACCACGGCTGCGCCGCCTTGGCGGGCGACTCGCCGTGGAGCGGGTTCACCTCGTCGCCGTCCGAATCGTCCTCGAACGGGTTCCGCGAGGACGCCGCGCCGACGCTCTCCTCGTCCGGTTCCGGCGGGTTGTACTTGTCGCGGTAATACGCCCGTAATTGATCGAATCTACCGGTCCGCGCGGCTTCGCTCACTTCCCGCCTCGCGTTCGACGCCGCCTCTTCGGCCGCCAGAGACACGCGTAGATCGTCCGCTTCCGACGACAGCGTCCTCGACAAATTTTTAGCAAGCGAGTACCGTATCATTTCAAGCACCGCCCCGCCGAAGACGCCGCCGACGACGAACCAGTAGTAGTGCGACGCAGTTTGCTCCTCTGAAGGTGTGGCTTTCGCGACATAGTCAAGACAGGAATCCTTCATCGTCGCCATGTATATGCCCGCGCCCGCGCCGACGATAGCTAACGGTATAGCAAGCAAGCCGGAGAGTCTGAGAGCGCAGGGGCTGTCGAAGACGGTCCCCCCGAAGCCGAGCGCCGCGCCCAGCAGAAAGGCGCCGGCCAGGAATAAACTAGCGTGGACGGCGCGCTGCACGGCGACTTCGGCGCCGGCTTTATTGCTCCGGAGGTAGATGGCCAGGCCCAGAGCCGCGCAGCCGATGCCCGCGTCGGCGGTGTTTATCAAGAGCAAAGAGAACTTCTTGAGCATCTTGCAGCAGGAGGCGCAGCAGCCGGTGCGGTTCGCCATGGTTTTCGGGGAGCGGCGCGTGCCGTAGCGCGATTGATTTTTGTATCAGGTCAAAGCGCACTGGCTGCGATTTTAAACAATCGACGCTGACGGCGTGCCGGGCTTCGAAATTCGTGATCTGTGAGCTCCGAGGACGCCTCGTTAAGATCCTACGAAATGTGAGCCAAGCAGCGGCTGCGTCAAACGCAAAAAACGCCGGGACCAAAATGAACGCGCTAGCGGCATGTAAGACACTAGCAACGAGCCGTTCGTGACTCAGACGCGTGCGGGAGACGAGTCGGAACACTAGATGGCGGCCCTACCAACGTAGCAGTCCAAGGCAAAGCAGCACAAGCGCCCAACCGCGTCGTTGCGTACGAATTTCGGCCTGTGCCGGCCGTGCGCGGGACAGCAACGTTGCTCGGGGCAGCCCGAGAACGCATTCGACGCCGGCGCTCGGCACGGCGCGCTCGCAAGGTCGTAGCCGAAACATAGCAATGGAGGTAGCACCAGCCGAGGAGCCCTGGCGCCGCGGCCTCTTCGACGACGACGATTACATGAAAGCGCCGGCGACGCCGCCGCGACCGCCACCGGCACCAGCGTCAACGACCGACGACGCGCCGTCCAAGGCGCTGCGGGCGCTCGCGCGCGCGCTCGCGACACCAGAAAAGCCGCCGCCGCCGACGCCTCCTCCAGTGAAGCCGCCGTCGCCCGTCAACGTTCACCATGAGACGGACGCCGCGGCGGCTGCTGCAAAAGCCATGGAGTCCCGATTTAACCACGCTACGGCGCGTTTGATGGAATCCGACCAGAGGCTCCACGCGGCCGAGAAGGAGAGAGATAGAGCTATAGATGGAGAAGCTAGAGCTTTACTTGAGCTCGAGGCCGCGACGCAGCGATGCGCCGCGGCGGAGGCCGCACGAGCGGCATCGGACGCGCGGTCTTTATTCATGGAGGCGCGGTCGCATGACGACGGCGGCGACGCGGCGCGGCGGGCGCTGGCGGACGTGCGCAAGGAGCTCGACTCTGTAAGGGCCGAACTACTCCGGGAGAGGCACGCGCACTTTGAACGAGCGGAACCGCCCGACGCGATGGCAGAGACGTGGACGCGCGCCGTCGACCCATCCACAGGCTACGCCTACCGCTTCGACGGGAAGGGCAACTCCGTCTGGGAGGCCGCGGACCCGCCCGACGAACGAGAGGTCGAGGAGGCCTACTTTTCGACTGTTGAGGAGGAGGGTCCCCAGACAATGCTAGCGGCAACTCAGATCGAGTGCTCCCAGTTGAAAGCGCATTGTGCATCACTGCAAGCGCAGGTCGCGTCCATGCATCGCGACGCGGTCGCGCTGCGGAAGGAGTTCGTGAAGGCAACGGGCGACCGCGACGCCTGGCGCGCCGCCTGCGAGGACGCGCGGCGGCCGCCGCGCGACCCCGACGCCGCCAGCCTTCGCGCGGAATTGATGGAGGCCCGCCGCGAGCTCGAGAAGCGCGGCCGGGAACTCGCCGTTGAACGGTGCAGGGCCCAGGCGGCGGTCCGGAAGCGCGAGACTATTTTGAAACGGAACGAGGCGCTGGAGGAGGAGGTCGCGGCGCGGCGTCCTTCTTGCCATCGCTGCGCGTCGCGTCGAGTCGCGCGCCATCGTCGCGCGTCACGCAACACGCCATCGCCGCGTGTCACGGTCGAGTCGGGGGTCCAAAGTAAGTAACGACGCAGGTCGCGACGGCGAAGCGTTTGGCAGCGGAGGCGAAGCTCGCCGCGCGCGCGCGCCGGGGCTTCGACGCCCCTGATGTAATTGAGGCGCGGCGCGAGACGAAGGAGGCCCTCGGCAAGGCCGCGGATTTAGCAAGGGAGGCCGCACGCGTCGCGACGCATCTGGCCGGCGCGCGCACCGAGGCCGACGCCGCCAAGGCCGAATTAACAGATCTGAGAATCAAGCTCGCCGCGGCCGTCGAGGCGTCCACAGTGGAAAAGCGCAAGAGCTTCGCGGCGGCCAAAAACGCGGAGGCGGCGCGGGCCCAGCTGCTTAAACAAATAACAAGGGCCGACGCGCTCGCGGCCGGCAAGGCCTCGGCCGACGCCGCGGCGGCTCATTCAAAGCGCGTCGCCGAACGCGCGAAGGACGCGGCGCACACGCGCGTCTCGCGGGCCGCCGCCGAGTTCACGCGCTACCGCGAGGCCGTCGAGAGGCGCCTGCGGGACACGGCCCCGCCACCGCCGGCGGCGTTCGAGCGCATGGGCAGCGCGTCGGCGCGGCACCTTCGCAAGAAGCGCGTGTTGTCTCCTTCTGTCCACCCGCGGACGCCCGTGGCGACGACTCGGCGGGGGTATGGGCGGTAATTATGAATGTGTTTTTGAAACTACAAGCTTACCAGCGGAAACACTCTACTTCGAGATGCAGTAGCCGAAGAGCTTCCGCATGGACCCGTCGAGCTTGTCCAGTTTGGCGGTCAGCAGCGTGAGTTTTTTGGGAGTTCTCACACCCTCGTCGTTGTACTTGGACGCCGCCTCGGCCTCGGTTATGTCCTGAATGACCGCCCGCGTCAGGCGGTCGACGCCGCGCTGCGTGTCCTCGTCCCAGATGGGGGTGAGTTTGTTGAAGGTCGCGCGGACCTTGACGATGTCGTATTCCTTCTTTAGGACCTTCCCGACCTGTGTGGATATAAAACAGTGAGTGCGCCACGCGCGAAGCTAGCTCGATGGCGTGGAGGTCATGAGACGCGCCTCGACAATTTGGTTTATGCACTGTTTCCGACGTCGAACTGGTTGTCGTTGCTCAGCACCTCGCGGAGCTTCACCACGCCGACGGCGTAGGATTTGAACTCGTTCAGCGCACCCTGCACGCTGCCGCTCCGTAGCGCGTCTTCGTCGAGCACAGCGTCGGCCGCCTTGACGATGTCCATCGAGTAGACGCCCTCGTAGGCGTTCGCGGCCGTGCCGATCAATGCGGCGGCGCCGCCAAGGAGCGCGTTGCCGAACCCTCGTCGCGCTACGGCGTGCTTTTGGGCGCTGGGCACTGACACAGGTGCCAGCGCCGTGGCGGAGCCAAGCATCAACGCGAGGATCACTCGCTGCATGGCTACGGACGTTTGCGGCTGGCTCACAGCCCTACACTTGCAAACGAGCGGATTGTGGGCGCCAAAAGCAAGTATGACAGGGACTTGAGGTGTCGTGGTCTAGAGCCCGTGTGACGCTGGCTGGACAAACATTAATCACTCTTTTGCTGCAAGTGCAGGCAATGCGAGGGCACCAGATGTTAGGGACCGTAGTATTGTGGCGCATTGCATGGCTGTGTTGGATGCCAAGTCGTTTCTCTGGTAGAAACCGCGCCTAGGAGCTTGCACTAAGTCTGCCACAGCACTGACAGCAGTGCAATACGCTATCGACGCGACGCATGGCAAAAATGGGCAGCAAAAAGAAACACAACAAGCAAGAGCAGCCGCCGCGACGACCCACCTGGCTCATCGCCGCTGCCGTCGCCGTCGCCGCAGCCGTCGCCGCGGTCGTCGCGCAAAGATCGGATCCCTTCCGCGACCTCGACGACGCGGCGGTGGCAACCGCGGCCTTTGAGGCCCTCCGGGACGCTCAACCTAAACGAGCGAGGGCCGCCTTCGCCGAGCTCGTCACCCGCGACGCCGACGACTCGTTCGCCTGGTCGTGGCGAGGGCGTGCCGAGGTCGCGCTAAGCGACTTAGATGCGGCCGAAACATCCTATACGCGAGCGCTGGAGACGCTCCCGCGGCGCCTGTTTGATGAAGACGACAACGAGCGGCGAACTATGAAAACAAGGCGCGCACAACTCATGTTGGATCTGGAACGCGTCCGAGGCCGGCTCGAGGCCCGAAGCGCTCCCATAAACTCCGTGACATATCATGAGATGGAGAGGAGGCACTGGCGCGACGTTGTTCCTAGTGACGAACCCCTCATCCTCACCGGTTTCTCCACCGTTTTAAGTTTGGACCTCATCACGGACCGCTGCGGTTCAAAACAAGTGAGATCGCGACGGCGCTCCCCGAACTCGACGGCCTGGGCCGCCATGAATGAAGGTGAAGAGACGACCATCTCCGAGTTCATTCACTCTCAGCAAAAAGACGCCGCGGTCTTCGACTGGCCGTTGCAGTACTGCCCCGATCTCCTTTCAGAAATTGAGGTGCCGCCCTTCGCGGCCCTCGATCATGTGGCGACGGCGTACGGCCCATCTTTATTTATATCCTTCTCTGCCAAGGGCGGCGGCCCGCACGTCGATAGTGGTAGTACGAAGTTCTGGCAGCACGTCCATGCTGGAAGGAAGGAGTGGTCGGCGGCCGGCGTCTCTGAACTTCGTGGGGCGCCTAGACGCCATCGACGCGACTCGTCCCTCGCAGGCGCGTCGCGTCCGTGCGGGACTGGCCTAGGTTGTTTGCCACGGATGACAACTGGAGACGGGCCTTCTTCCGCGACGCGCGGTGTTCTGGCATTTTTGGGAGTGTGCCGGCGGAATGCGACGACGGGTTTGGTGCGGCGCCCGTGGATTTGTTTGATGAGAGCGCTCTCCATAAAACGACGGTGCGGGAGGTCTGGCGCGGCGCCGCGCTACCGGGCGAGGTCGTCTACATTCCCATGAACGCGCCGCACCAGGTCCGCAACGCGCCCGACGAGCCCACAATTGCGGTATCGATGAATTATGTCGATGGGGGCAACCTGGAGGCGGCGCGCGCGGCGAGTTGGGCGGCGCCGGCCTACCACCCGAAGTGGCTCGCGCGCCTCAAGGTGCACGGAAGGGCCGTGCCGGGGTCGCGGGCGCCGTGGTACGCGCGGCAGCGCATCGCGCTTGCTTCTGACGAGCAGTGGGTGGGGGACTAGGTTTTGTTGTTGGTTGTATCCCTGTCATCGGTTCCTGGTGCGAGACCACGGTGCCTCCGGTTCATAGAGGCTGCGAAGGCTACCAAGCGTCTCGTGGAGTGCTCTCTAAGGACGAGTGGTGGCATGGAGGGCCACCGCGCGGCGCGCCGGCACTTTGGCGCGTAGCTCCGGTACTCCTGTGTGAACGGAGGACTGTTGTACCTGCTGCCGCAGTGCGGGGAGGCCTCTCGGCAATTTTGCCGATCTCGCAGTGGTGATGCAGCTATGGCTCGACCTAGATTGCAAGGCCGTGATCTCCGCCCGTGAGCCAATATTAACAGCGTGCTGCGCGTCGACAACCCGCCGCGTGCAAAGCTATCCTCACGCTGCAAAAGCAGCGGTCCATTTTCTCTCTACCGCGGCTTTCCGGCAGCGACCACTGCTAAGCCTTATCCAAGTGCCCGGACAGCGATGATCAGACGAAGAGTGCACCTCTGCGCCCTCTGGGCCGTCGCCCAGGCCCTCGTCGCCGGTCCAGCGACGACGACGCGCGCGCCGCCGCGGCCGTCGACAGTCGTCGCCGCCGAGCCCGAGGTCGCCGCGCCCGAGGCGCAGAGCGCCCTGGACCTCACGCCGGCCGAGCGCGCCCGGACCTGCGCCTCGCTCGGCGTCAAGCACGGCGCCGCGCTCTCGACGCAAACGGATAAATTGGGAGGCGCCGCGCTGTGCACCTTCGCCGAGTACGTGCTCGACGGCGACGGCGCGCCGGTGCTGCTGCTCGACGCGCGCCGCGCGGAGCACAGCAAAAACCTCCAGGCCGACCCGCGGTGTAGTCTGCTGCTGCAGGCGCGGGACCTGGACGACCGGGCGGCCGCCGTCGCGCGCGTGACCATCGCGGGCACGGCGACGCCGGTGCCCAAGAGCGCGGCCGACCGCGTCGTCCTCGAGACGCAGTTCGGCGTCGCGCACCCCTACGCCGATGCGCTCCTCGAGGACGGGCGCTTCGATCTCTGGCGTGTGGCCCCTTCCGAAATCTTCTATGTTGGCGGATTTGGCGTCGGCACGACGTGGGTCGACAAGGACGATTACACGGAGGCGAAGCCGGACGCCGTGGCTCACGAGGCCGTTGGTCTCTGTAAAACCCTCAACGGCGACAAGCACGCCCAGGATCGTTCGACCATCGCCTCCACGCTGCTCGGCCTCGATGACTCCGAGGTACGCGTCGACGGCGTCGACCGACTGGGACTCGATGTGCGGGTCAAGACCCCGGATAGTACCGACGAGTACCGCATCGGCTTCCGCGTGCCCGCGCGAACGGTCGAGGACGCGAAAAGCGAAATCAACAAGCTGTTCCAGGAGGCGTGGGAGCTCGAGCAGGGCGTCGAGTACGCCGGCGCCTACGAGGACAAGCCGGCGGTGCTGAAGCGGGCGAGCGAGCCGGACCCGTAGATTGTATGGAGGGGGAGGATATAGTATGCTACTACGTTTACTTAGTGACTCGCCCGAGTCGCCCCCCGCGCTCTACTTCCAGTCGACGTAGTGCTCGAGCGTCAAGCACGCATCGACGACCGACATGTCGTTCGAGTCGTTCGGCGAGTCCCAAATGAACCGCGCTACAAGGTTCGAGGGGGCGTTCCACCTCAAGACCAACCCGCCCGCCACCCGAGTCGGCACCCGAGTCCAGAACCGGAGCCGACGGCCCGCGCCCGGAGGGCGGGAGAAAAATTTTACGAGACGCTTCCCGAGTTTATGTTCGTTTCCACCCGTTTGTTGAGGGTAGATTCCATCTAGGCCGCCTGGGCGGGGGTGAGCTATGTTAGATGGTCTGTCAGAGCCTCGCGATTCGGCGAATCCGCGACTTCACGTTTATATATAAAGGGGCAGCTATTCCAGATCCGCGAGTATCAGCGACGCCACCATCCAGATGGACCATAACGCCGTTGTTCTATTCACGATCAACCGACTTGCCCGTTCTCCGCGGACGACGGTGCGGAGACGGAGCACTGGAAAGGCCCCAGACCCGTGAGTTATGAAATAAAATTGAGTTTCAGGCGCTTCGGTTCCGGGACGGGCCAGCCAACCGGCCTGAACGTCTACTACATTGCTCCGAGACCCCAAGATGCTCGGCGCGGGTCGTCGGTCTCGCGGGCCCAACATCTTGCTTATATGAGCACGACACCCGGATCTGCGACCATCAGCCCGTGTACCATCGCCATGGACCATAACGCGATCATTTGTTTCATGACCGACGGACTTACGCGAGGTCCAGATAAAGATGTTCAGGTCCCGAGCGTGGGCAGCCAAAAGTACCCTTCTTATAATGTAGATGTCATATACTCGTAGTTGACTATCGCTGGGGTAGTATGGGGTCCAACGAGACCGCTACGGCGACTACTGGGGGGCCTCGGGTAATTGACGTTTTTGACGGGAACGGGGCGCCATCGGGTCCAAATTGCACACTTTTTTCGGGGGTAGATCGGCTCCTGGAGGCCTCTCGGGGTAGGTCTGGTGGTGGGTAGTCGGCTGTACCGCATAAGCCAGCGCTCGTGCCCTCCGAGGGCTCTGGAAGCCATTGCCAAGTAATTCATGGTCAAATGAGCCGCAGTGATGAGAGAATCGGTCGATTATGCCCCGAGCCCGGGCGCATGCGCTGTAGGCGCTTGCGCACGTCTACTACCGACCAAAAGCGACCCCCGAGAGACCTCCGGGCCACGCCTCGACAGGATTCCACCGACGCGGCCGTCATGGTGGGACCGTCAATATCGCGAATTAAAAAAATTATTTTTTCCGCCCCCCAGTAAGTGTCCCACCGATCTCTTTGAACCATGAACGAACGGAACGATAGTCTAAACACGAGCATGGCGTTTTTGCCCGAAGTTTCAAAAGCGGTAAAACTTGAACGGGTTGTGTGGATCTAAAATTATGAATCACGTATAGTTACGCTTACGATTTCTGGCGCTTCGCGTTTTCCTCATCCTTCACAAGCTGCTTGGCGACGGCCTGCACGTCGGCTCGGCATTCAGGGTTGCGGCGGAGCAGGGAGGCGCGCGCGATGGTCTTGGGCTCCATTCTCTGCCTCAGCACGTTATTAATGAAGGACGTGTCCCGGAAAGTGCGCTCGTTGCGCGCGGCCGCGGCGACGCCGCCGAGGTAGGCCATGGCGGTGACAGCTATATAAGGCATCGCCCGACACGCACCGTCCATTTTGGGCTTCTTCTGGAAGGTCGCTAAATCGAATTTACCCCTCATCCAACCCACCAAGGGATCAGCTGCTTTCCGTTCACCATCAATCGCCATGAGTGGGAATTCTTGCATGTTCAAAACGGGCTGGTTCAAGTACCTGTGAGAGAACGCGTTCCAGCGGAGCGAAGCCCTCACTCTCTCAAAATCCCGTAAAATACCGCGCCGTGGCCGACGCATCGACATCATTAGCCGCCCTCGTAGTAGCACTAGGCTTCAGCGTTGTCGGCTGTTGGCCCGCGTCGTCACCAGGAGCACCTCGCTGCCGCATCCTTGCAGCAAAACCAGACCGCATAGACGTCTGGCGCGGCGGCTGCACGGTCGGTGCAACCGGTGGCGGCGCAGGAGCTGTGGCCGGAGCCGGAGCCGCCGGGGCCCGGGTCTGCTGAAAAAAGTTATTAGTGATAGGTCGTGCGTTGTGGAGGGCTTCATCATTTTCAATTGCCTTTGTCAGTCGAACCTTCAAAGCAGCAACCGCATCGTCGCAAACAGTTTGCCAGTTGGTCGTGTACTGCGGATCGTCTATTTTATTCTGAAGGATCTGGAGGTCGTCGAAGAATTGACGCTTCAACCGCGGATCTACAATGATCGTTGCCGCCTCGACGGGCGACATCTCACCAAATACAAATTGCTTGAGCTTCTCCACCGTCGTGCTCAACATTGGTTTTGCGATGGCGTCGTCCTCGTATGATTCCAGCGGAACGTCTTCCTGTTCAAAGGGATTCACTACTTTAGGGCAGCTGATGCTGCTGCTAATCAATTCCTCGAGCACATACATCATCAAGACGCGCGCGACGCTCTTCGTATTATACCTAAGCGGGAAACCTTCACCGAACGTCGCGTGCCCCCTGAAGCCGCACCAGGACCTCTCCGGACCGCGGGTCGGCGCAGTGGCGGCGTGCGGTCGCGGCGACGGGTCGAGGCGCCGCCCCACGACTAGCGACGTGCCCCGGGCTCCGACGGAGACGCGCCGACCGAAACGCGGCCCAAACGCGCGTATCGCGGGGCTCACGCGACCCCACCGACGCGGTTCGATTGGTGAAAGCTCAGTTTCTGACTCCGAGAACTACTCCTCGCCCTCGAGATATTTTTGAACGTCCATAATAGGCATAGCAACTCCCAATATCTTGGCCATGGACCGATACTCAGAAATGGTAAAGTCCAGTTCCTCACAGCCTTCGTTAGCGCAGTACTCGTGTATGATAGGTCTCTGCTGAAAAATGGTCATGAGCATCAACGTCAAGGACCAGCATCTAGTCTTTCCATCAGTAACAAGTTTTTTGGCGACCATGCCGGGGTAGGGGATCCGTAGCCCTTCTTCGACGGCTAATTCATCGCTTTCTGCCGCACCACCTGCCTCTGCAAGGGCCACGAAGTCGTCGACGCCATCATTAGCTAGGAGAGCATACAATGCATCAGTAATAAGAGTATCATTTTCATCAGTTGTGGGTTGGGCGTCGATGATTTCTGGATTCAGGCCCTCGGACAATTTGATGAGATCGTCCGCGGCCTTCTTCCACGCTTCGTTTGCATGCGTTGAGTTGCAGAATTTATTGGCTAGTCTGCGAGCTTTCTGGATGAATCGGCGGACACGTAGCTGTTCTTCAGTAAGATGCTTTTGAGCAACACATAATCCATGACATTGGACCTACGTTTCAGTGAATACGACCTTCGCGGGAAATTAACACACAAACTAAGTCGCCATCGACCGAAGGAGGCACTCGCTCGACTTCGGCACCGGATAGGACGAGGTCGAGATCATGAAGACGGCATGACTCGTGCCACAGACCGAGGCGGCGGGCCGATGCATGTACGCCACCGCCCGAGTCAGAAGTAAAGCTGAGAAAAGTAGCGCTAATGTCGGTCGTGTTAGAGTAGTTGTCGGACGGGATCTCGATGTCCGCAATTGGTATACTAAGAAGCTCGTCGAAGTGATCTGCTGTGGCAACGGCAATGTTATGCCCGTTGTGCGAGCCCGGCAGGTGCACCAAGCCAGCCGTACGTGCGCAACGAAGATCCTTGGTCCTAGTTGGATCAAATATAGGCTTAGCGCAGTGGTAGTCGAGGCCGAGGAAGGGATATTTACTTCTGGAAGTCCAGCAATCGGCAACGAGATGTAAAAACGGCTGATTTGAATAAAACTTTTTCAACAGAGACAATTCGTCCCGCATGTTCTTGATCATCAGCTGCTCTTCTAGCTCGGCGGTCGGAGAGCTTGCGCCAACAGTTCTCGAGCACGGGCATCCCATGCTTCCATCGGATAATTTCAAAAAAATAGCGTCGAGCAACGGGTGATCCGCGGTCGTGTCGGCCAAACCCGCCGAAGTAATCCAACGAGAAGTCATCACTTGAACAATAGCCTTGTCGAGCGGGTCGGCGGCATCTGCCTCGAGCGCGCGGCGGCGGTCCCGCCCACCGTCCTTTCTCGGTTGTGCTACCTGTGTGGAAATCGATCGTTGAGCCAGGTCATCGCGAGAGAGGACTACGGGTCCCCACAAAAATCGACGCGACGGCCCGTCGGCACGGGTAACCGACGCTCGTGCATGGAGACGTCTTGTCGAGGGCTACCTAGCCCCATGCTGTCGACGGCAGCCTTCGTGTCGGTGACGCGACGTTTAGCCTCTCGAAATTTGACTTCTACACAGGACGTCTACAGATGGCCCGGTAATACCCATGGCGGCAAGTCTTTCAGGAGTATATCCCTTACACGCTTTTACGTGTGACAAGAGATTGGACTGGCCGGATTTTGGAGAGCGCAATAACTTCAAACATCCATAGCAAACAGTGTCCGGCTTCGTATTTGGCTTCGCATCAGGTTGCGAAGCGGTAGGCATGTACTCATTCCCCTCGAAGATGCCCATGGCGCCTTTCGTAAATACATCTGGGACAACGGTTACTTGTTTGCGGTCGTAACGCCGGAAGAAGCCCGGTTCCGGTACATAACCTCTGACGACGCCGAGGTCGCCGTAATGTGCGTACTGTTGTGGGAGCTGCACCATTTTGCTGCCATCTTCGTCGTTGGTACTAATTATACCAGGACGATGTCTAATGCGCACATCTCTGACTACATTCGCGCCGCCGTCCTCGGCGGGCTCGGCCATAAGTAGTGGTTTCAGGATGGGTAGTTGATGGCTAGTCTGGAGGCGGTGCACAGCGGTCGAGAACGTGCGCGCGGTGCCTGAACGAACGAATCTGGCAGCGCCTGGGACCCCACCTTTCCCGAAGCGCTGCAAATTCAATCCTAGCCGCGAGAGCAGCATATACGCGCGTACGCGTGCTGCACAGACCGGCACAGCGTGGCACACCCGCGCACAGCGCCGGCGCGACGCGTGCGCGACCTGCTAGCTTCAGACTTGGCGAGATCATGGTGAATTGGGCTCAGTCTGACAGAGTTGCCAACTCTGGGTTGCCGAGTTGGCAACTAAAAAGGCTAGTGGCGACAGTTAGTTGGGTTAGTTGCGACCCGTCGCATCGGTTGTCCGGTTGGGAGACTTGTCGGAGACAACTAACCCAACCCAACTCGAAACCGAGCAACTATGTTGCTCCTTATTCAGCAACACCAAAAAGTGCCATTTTGACGGCGCGAACGTATTACAAGTCTTTGAACGTCCGTAGGACACATCTCGGACGTCATAGTACGTCGTGTGAATCGCCGCTCCGGTGAAACTCGCATATCAGAAGCAGTGAGAGCACTCAGAGCCAGCTGTGAGCCTGTGCTTCTAAGCGGTCCGCGCACGCTCACGCTCGACAGGGTTACCTAGAACGTCAAAGCGCACTCCAGCATGAAGTCGGTGGTGAAGTTGGTGATCGCGTGCCTGGCGGTCGCCGCGGCCGAGTGGCGGGACAACGACTACGATTGTCGGGACTACCAAGGTCACCGCGCGGGGTCCATAAAAAAGGGTAGAAGCCCGTTTTTGCGCGTCGATCCGAAAATTTCGGGGGACCGCTCGGAAAGGTGCTCGGGACACGTGCACGCGTCTGGGGGCGTTTACTCTCACGATGTTGCCGGCATTCAGCAGAGCCAATAAAGTGCCATTTTGACGGCGCGAACGTATTAAAAGAGTCTCTGAAGAACCGTAGGACACATCTCGGACGTCATAGTACGTCGTGTGAGCCGCCGCTCCGGCGAAACTCGCATAGTAGAGCAGAACTTTAGAGCACTCAGAGCACATAGCACTTGTGCTTCTAAGCGGTCCGCGCACGCTCACGCTCGACAGGGTTACCTAGGACGTCCAAGCGCAGTCCAGCATGATGAAGTCGGTGATGAAAGTGATCGTGGCATGCCTGGCGGTCGCCGCGGCCGAGTGGCGGGACGACGACTACGAGTACGCTAAAGTAGAAGCCGAGCAGGTACTCTCTCCCGAGCAGGAGGCGGCGCGCGCGACGGCGCTCGCCGAGGCCACGGTCCAGCTCAAGGAGGCCCATGGTAGGGCGCCGTGAAATTTAATTCCACACAGGCTACAACCGCGACGGCCGCCACACGGTCGAGTGCGTCCACGGCTACGACGAGAAGTGCTGGGCCTGGTACGCGCCCTTCGAGTGTCCGAAGTCCGGGGGGTGCCAGGCCACGAACGACGACGAGTGGGGGCGGCCGTGCCTGGCCCCGGGCGTACTGGAGAACTGTTATGGAACAGAGGCGTGTGGCCCGGGGCCCAACGCGCCGGCGGGGGGCGGCGGCGGCGGCGGTTCCAAGAAAAAGAAGAAGTCGAAGCCCGCGCAGCCGAAGGCGTCACTCTTCTCACGGACCTACAAGGCAAGGGCGCGCCGCGAAAGGATCCGGGCGCGCGCGTCCAGGGTCGCGGTGTCGTTGTTCCCGACGGTCAATATCCTCTTCGCCGTCGCGGTAGTCTACGCGGTCGTCCACGTGCTCGCCGCGCGGCGCCGCCGCCGCGAGCACGTCGCCGCGACGGAGTTCAAGGCCAAGGTCGCGCCGTACCTCGTCGAAGCGCCGGAACTCTAGGGCACCGCGTCGGTGCCAGATCCTCCCCCCCTCCCCCCCGCGAACGTATATAGCTCCCGACGGCGCTCCCCTCCGCCTCTCTAAAAACCTCTTGTCGGGACTCCACTGAATTGCAACATCATAATCTTACTCGGACCATCCGACGTAGTGCTCGAGACACAGGCACGCGTCGGAGAGGGACATGTCGGAGGTGTCCCCTTCCGTCATGAGTTTGAAACGCGCTTCAACCTTCGACTGCCTGTTCGCGAAGACGCCACTTTCCTGGGCCCAGACGAGGTGAACTTGCGGGTCGACGTACAGGTCATAATCAACCATGTTGCGGTACTGCCAGAGGACCCCTCCGTTCTCGGGGTTCGGCGGAATTTCTTCCCAGTCGAATATGATCGTACCATCATCCCAATCCATCACACCGCCCTGAAATAGCTTGGCGAATTGCAAGCGCCCACTGACCCGACGCGAAGCCATGACCTTCGCTCTCAAGCGCCAGGATCTACTCGTGAGGTCGTCTACACGTTCAAACACTCCTGCCGGTATCGGGAACTCGTAACATGGTAGAGAAGAGCTCTGCTCGCGTAGCACACCAGTCCCCGAGTAGACCGATTGTCGTTCCGCCATGGCGGACGCGGGGACATCGGCCCAGCGGGATTGCCTCCCATCGACAGGCTTATATAGTTCGATCTCCAGCGACAGAGTGTACGCGTCGAGGGCGGCAGTCGGCTCTGGTCTCGTAGGGCGGCGGCGTGGGCCCTCGAAGAAACGCGTGTACGTGCTGAAGAGCTCGCCCGGCGCCGGCGCTCCCTCCGGCGATCTCACGACGGTCCCGAGCAACGGATAACGCTTCAACACCAGGGAATGCTCGAGCCGCGGCGACAGCTTCGCCGCGGCGTCGCGCAGCGCCCGGCACGTCGCGACGCAGGTGAGCGTCTTGATGTCCGAGAACGACGCGATGGCGCCGAGCGCGTCCTCCGGCAGATCGTCGAAGCAGGTGACGACGAAGGCGGCCGCGGGGACGCCGAAGACCGCGGGCTTCTTTTCGGGGGGCTCCGGGGCCTCCTCGCTCGCCGCCGCGGGCGCGTCGGTCGCGTCGGCCGTCGGCGGTGCCGCGGGCGCGCGCTCGTCGGCCGCGTCGGCCGTCAGCGGTGGCGGCGCGGGAGCGGTGAGCGCCGCGAGCAGCCGTCGCGCCTTTGGCGAGAGCAGGGCGCCGATCTGCTGGCGCGTCTCATCGTCCACCACGTCAAGAGCCGTCGCGGCGCCTTCGAGGCCGCGGATCAATGTAAGCATGAGTGCGTCGCGGTCGCTCATGGTATATACCTTGTGGCTGATTCGTGGCCGTGCCGCGGAGATGTGACTCGCGGGAGAGTGACCCGCAATTAGAGGAGATTATCCGCTGTGTGCAGGCAAAGGTGCGCGCAGGGTGGTGCGCGCAGCGCGTGGGATACCTAATGTGGATTCTGGCTACTACTTGAGCACAGATGCAGCCGGCAGGACAAGGCACAAGCTTTGTCGACGCAGGCTTTTCTAGTGTCTTACATGCCGCTAGCTGCTCGAGCCGCGGCCAAAGCACAGCCAAAACGCGTCGCTGCCGCCTAAAAAGATCGTTCTGGCACGGCCCGAAGACCTGCAAGGCTGCAGCAGCCGTAGCGTCGACGGCTGACAGGTGCCCACGATCAAGAGGACTGCACAGACACAACGCGAGTTGCACGGCACAGCGTCCGACGCCTACAAAAAAAAGAAGCGCGTCCGATATGGCAGAGGCACCAGCCCTTTGGCGGCGCTGCAAAGCGCTGCCACACCGTGGGCTGGCGCCCGTGCGAACGCGCGAGAACGAGTGCTCGGAACGTTATGGAGGGGCCTGTCGATGTTACCGCCCGCGAGCCTCTATGAACTTCTGACCCATCTCTCTACACAGGCCGCCGCATGGCCGAGCTCGACGCCACGGCGGCGCGGAACCAGCCCTACGCGCCGCGGGGCACGAATGATGTGGATGCGATCCTGAAGCAGGACGACGCGGACGAGTCGCTGCAGCGGTACAAGGCGCAACTGCTCGGCGCGGCGGCGCAGGGCGACCGGGGCGACGCGTCGGACCCGCAGAAACCTGTGTGGAAATCAACGACGCGGTCACGGGGACAACGTCGCGTCGATGGCGTGGGGCGCCAGAAATGTTGTTTCCGCGCAGGCGGAAGCTAGTGGTCACAGAGTTCCGCGTCGTCTTCAACTCGCCCGCGCCGGACCAGGTCTTCCACCTCGACACGCGCGCCGGCAAGGACCACTTGAAAAAAACGGGCGTCGCCGTCAAGGAGGGCTCCGAGTACAAGTTCCGCCTGTCCTTCCGCGTGCAGCACGAGATCCTGCCGGGCCTGAAATACGTGAATCGATTGAAGCGCATGGGCATGAAGACGGCCGCCGACGAGCTCGTCATCGGGAGTTACGCGCCCCAGACCGAGCCGCACAGCTTCGAGTTCCCGCGGTACGACTGGCTCGAGGCGCCGAAAGGTATGATGTACCGCGGCGCGTACACCGCGAGCGACCGGTTCGTCGACGGCGACGGCCGGACGCACCTCGAGTACGACTACCCCGTCAAGGTGACGAAGTAATTTTGATTTTTGTTTATTGGTCGCGTCGATGGCGTCTCAGGCTCAGGCTAGTTACGTCGCAGGGTCCCCCGACCCCTCCCGCTCCCTGGAAGAATCGATGTTACGGTGCTAGGACTAGTGGGCGGAGCCCCTGCCCAGGGCTGGGGGGGAGACACCGCGCGTCGCCGATTCATCGGCGGCGGGCGCGGGCCGCTTCTCTCATAACAGCGTACCTCCTTCTAAGCAGAACCGCCTCGACAAACCCCCCCGAACAATGTGCAACGTTCGCCCGTTCAATCAACTTGTCCCGCGACTTCCCGCAGGCGACCTTGGACCGCGGCGACGCGTTCGGCACCGTACACTCCAACAAAGCCAGTAGACACTCGGCCCGACCCTTGACAATCGCCACGCCCCACTCCCGGTAGATCTGGGCCTGAATCACTCGCTCCCCCAGTCTGGTGCTAGTGTCTTACAGCAGCTAGCTTTCGCACAGGCCTTGCATGCTCGCAAAAGTGCGAGCCTTTGGGCCGGCAGTGCTGCTCAGCTACACGCGTAGTGGGCTCCAGGCAACAGCATCTCTCGCGTAGCGATCGATTTTGAGCAATGCCTGCGCCACAACCAAATGCAGAGCAGTGTGATGAGGCTGCCAGCAGCAGCGGCGAAAGCGTAGCCAGCGATGGTCGTGAGAACACTAGCGACAGTGTCACCACCAATAACAGCAAAGAGGACGCCACAGCTGCATTCAACAGCTACTACAAACACCAAGCCATCAGCGACGACGCGTCCGCACTTTTCGCGAAGCTTCTGCCGATAGCAGTGCGCGTCAATCGGTCCTCGCCGTGCGCCGCGCTGTGCACCGCCGCGCTGACCATGCGCCCAGCACCCGTCGCCGGCACGTATTTCGTCGACGCGGCGAGCGAGCTGCTCGCGGCGTTTCAGGAGGTCGGCGCGCTGGCGCGGCAGGAACTGGTCTCGTGCGTCCCGCCGGCGCTGTTGGCCGCGCAGCCGGGCGACGTCGTCGCCGATCTGTGCGCCGCGCCGGGCATGAAGGCCCTGCAGCTGCTCGACGCCGTCGGTAGCGACGGCCTCGTCGTGGCGTCGGAGGTCGATCGGAAACGGCTCGCCGTCCTCGTGCGTCGCGGGAGGCGGTCGACGGCGAAGGGCGCTTTTCTCGCGTTGTGCGCGGACGCGCGGCGCTTCCCCGGCATGCGGCGGCGGACGGGCTGGAAGCAGAAGTACGATAAAGTTCTGTGCGACGTGCCCTGCTCCGGCGACGGCACGGGACGGAAGAAGCGGAGCGTGGTCCGGACCTGGGACGTGCGGCACGGCTTGGGCCTGCACGCGCTGCAGCTGGCTATATTAAACCGGGGCCTCGAGCTGCTGGGCTACGGCGGGCGCCTCGTCTACTCGACGTGTAGTTTGAACCCCATCGAGTGCGAAGCCGTTGTTTCTGCCGCTCTAGCGAGGCATGCGGGACTGGTACGACTCGTCGCGGCGCCGGCGTGGGCCCGCGACCTGTCGACGCCGGGCCTCGCGTCGTGGAGCGTGCCGGGCGCCGCCTACGGAGCGACGCGTGAGGTCTTTGCGCGGTTCGAGGACGTCTCGAACCCGAAGAAGGCCCGCGTCGCGGCGACGATGTTCCCTCCGGCGGACGGGGCCCCGTTGGCGCTCGCAAGGCGTTTTTTACCGTCGGAAAAATGCGACTCGGGCGGCTTCTTCGTGGCGATCTTCGAGCGGTCGGCCGAGCGGCGGCCGCCGGCCGCGCCGCGCGCTCCAGTGCCATTGCCGCCGGAGGCGCCGCCCGCGCCGCCCGACAAGGAGGGCGACTGGCGCTGCGCCTGCGGCACGAACAACTTCGCGCGGCGGGGGCGCTGCTTCTCGTGCAAAAAAAGGCGGCCGCGCGTTGTTACGGGTACGTCGAGCCGGCCGCCGCCGCTGCTGGCGCGCTTCGGCGGCGACGCCTCGATCCTCGACGCGTTCTGCGACGCCTACGGGCTCTCTGCCGCTACGGGCTTCCCGGTGGAATCGGCGTTCCTCCTCAAGCGGCCGAAGCGGAGCTTGCTTGTGATCTCCTCGGCGGCGCTCGCGGACCTCGCCATCTCGGAGACCTGGGCCGCCGCCGCGGACGTCGGGTGCGCGCTCTGCGAGGTGTCGGAGGAGGACGCCTCGCGCTGGCCGCTCTTCGACGAGGGGCTGGATGTCTTGGCCCGCTGCGCCACGCGGCGGCGCGTGGCTTTGGGTCCGGACCGGCTCCTCGCGCTCCTGAACGGAGGCGTTCTGAGTGACTTCGGCGGCGATGGCTCGTACGTGGTGACGTCCAGTCTCGCGGTCGGCGCCGCCACGGGTCGGGTAGCCCTCGGCGCTTCGGTCGCGGACGGCGTCGCGTCGCTGTCGTCGTCCGCGCGGCTTTGTGAGGCGGTGCGTTGTGTTGTTGGTGCGTTTTTGTAGCTTGTCTGTTTTCGTAGCTTGTTGCTATCATACTGTTACGGTGCTAGAACTTTCGTAGCTGTAAAATGTTTGCTAGTGTCTTTAAGGGGCGCTAGCCTCGCTTTTTTTAGTGCCACCGGGTATCATTTGCCAGAGCGCACTATCCGAGCCTCGTCGGCTTTTATCGACTGGTTGTGGTGCTGTCTAAGAGCACTCCGTGCTGCGAAGTTTGCAACGGACTACACGCGCCTGCCCAGGACGCCGCCGGCGTGCCGTCAGGGCTGTTGAAGCCATAACTGTTTTTGAGCGCTGTAGGACACACGGCGCCTCGTACCGTGGATATACACGCGGTCTAGCAGCGACTGCGAAATCCCGTCCCACGTGCCCATACTCTTGTTGAGGCACAACAGTTTTTTCAGCCATGGCGGCACGCGGCACGATGTTGCTGGTACTGTTGCTCAGAGCAAACGCTCTCACGCCGCCGACGCTGCGACGGCCAAGCTTTTTCGCGCCGACCCAGCCGCCACCGGAGACACGACCGCAGAGCGAGTACGAGGATTCGGACGTCGAGGCGCGCCTCGCCTTTGCGCGCGACGGCCTCTGCGTCGTCGAGGACTTTTTTGATGAGGAGACGTTCGCGGCCTGCCAACGGTCCGCAAGGCGGCAAAGGGAGCTCAAGCCCGAGACCCTCGAAAGTGTCGCCGTCGGGAGACTCGGCTGCTTCCTCGAGCCGCGCGATCCCGTATGTGTCGCTCTGTCGAGGCCCGAGTCCGTGGAGCGCCTGCGACGAATCTGCGGGGACGATCGGTTGGAGCCGGCCGACTTTCCGGTCGAGTTAAGGAGGTATCCCGTCGGCTCGAGCATGGGCTGGCACAAGGACGAGGTCTTGTACGAGGAGCCCCAGCTCGAAGTGGTTCTGACGCTCGAGAACACGTCGGACTCGCAGACGCGCTGGGAGCGCGCCGACGGGTCCGTGCGCGGCGCGTGGCTCCCGCCCAATTCGCTACTGCTCGTGAAGGCGGAAGGCGCGACGCACGGCGTCACGACGGTCCGGCGCGGGGATCGATTGATAGCGAAGTTCGTCCTCACGGCGTCGCCCATCAAGCTGCAGGCGTGGTACGACAACATCCTGTCGTACCAGGCGCAGCCGTGATGCTAGCTATCGCACTAATCGTTTGTCTGATCTTCGGGCGCCCCCCGCCATCGACGCGACGTTTTCCCCGAGGCGTCGCGTCGGCTCGATGCGTCCGTACGTGACGGGTTTTCCCCGCCAATCGCGCTTTTGGCCTGCCTGCTCTGATCCTGCTCAAGCTCACAGGCTTCGTAGGACGACTCGGACACAGGGCCCACTTGGACGTCGAGAAATCGCTCAAACTCGCGGCGAGACATACAAAAAATCCATATTGGCTGGGTTGGATGAGAGGCCTTATTTTGGCTCTCTGCGTCGCAGCCGCGGCCGCCGCCTCGGCCGCGCCGGCCGCGCCGACTACGTCATACGGCTCATGCGAGAAGAAGGGCGCGCACGACGATGGTGCGCCTCCGGCGCGAAAGCCGGCCGCGATCATAAACTCACTGTTCGCCCCCGCAGGCCAAGCACAACTACTGCAACCCGCACATGCGCGGTATGGAGTGGGGGCTCGTCGTGCTCGTCTTCGTGCTGCTGTGGGGCCTCGGCCCCTACACGCTTTACTATGCGAACATCATGCTGCGCATTCCGCCATTCGTGGACGACGACGACTACGACGTGATCACGCAGATCGTCGTGATGTCGGCGCTGCGGTCGTTCGACAAGGATGGCAACAAATTCCTAGATGCGGATGAGGTCAAGGCGATTGTGCAGAAGATCGAACCGGGGCTCGCGGACGACGAGATCGACACGTTGATCAGGAGAGCCGACACGGACGGCGACGGCCACATCGACTACGAGGAGTTCTCGACGATCTTGCTCAACCAGGACGCGGGCGACCACGAGCGAGTGCAAGTGACCAAGGTCAAGCGCAAGATCGCTACGCACGCGAAGAAGGACGTCCGGCTGGGCGCGTCCGCGGACGAGAGCAAGGACTCGGCGCACTGAGCTCCTCTGCCCGCGCGTCGCCAGTCCCAGCGATGCGCGTGCTAGTATCCCCCTCCTGACATAACGCATTCAGACTCGAATTTATCTACCCAGACACGACACACGGCGCTGGCGCCACAGATAAGAAAAGTAAGGAAAGGATTGCTAGTGTCTTACATGCCGCTAGCTGCGCCTAGCTCGCGGTTTAGTTTCACACATTAGGCAAGCGCTGCCGTAGATTTGTTGGCTCACGCGAGCGCATCTGTACCGTTGCACGACCTCCTCAACGTGTGTGCTGCAACTTACCGCATTTCGGCAGCAGCAGAGCTATAAAACAGGCAGCGACTACGCGCGCCGACGCCGCGGTACCGAGCGACGCCGCGCTCAATATAAATAGCCGCCATAAACAACCATGGCCGGCGACACCAAGAAAAAGGCCCAGCAAAAAGTCAAAGACTCGGCGACGGGCGTCGAGGTCGCGGTCCCGCAGCCCCCAAAAAGACTCAGCGCGTACCAGATCTTCGTCCAGCAGCAGCGCGACGCCACGAAGGCCGCGAATCCCGCGGCGAATTCCCAGGAAATTCTCGGCATCCTGGCCAAGGCCTGGAACGGCACCGGTGCCGATGAGCGCGCCAAACTTGAGAAGGATGCCGACGAAGACCTCGAAACTAAGAAAAAGATGTGGGCCGTGGGCGAGGATATCCGCGAGGCCGAAAGATTACGGGTCTGCAAGGCCTTGGATATGAGTGATAAGACGACCTGGGCGTCGCTCTACGAGAAGGTCGTCGAACGGAACGAAAAACTCGGAAGGCCCGCGTCGCCTCGAAGTTCAAAATCCACGTATAAACCGCCCCCAAAGCCTGATGCGGCCTCGATCAAGAAGTCGCGGCAGTGGGCCACGGCGTTTCAAGGCCAAACGAGAAGGAAAGCCGTGTTATCCGGTTTAGATGCCATCGCAGCACTATCCTCGGATCAAGCGAACTTCGACCAGTTCGGCAACGACGCGATCCAGTGTTTTTACGATGTTGCTAGAGCCACGGAGGACCCCGTGCGGGCGAACGCGCTGATGTTCGTCGAACAATTAGCTCATAAATGGCGCCACCGCATCTTGAGCAGGGGCTGGCGGTCGTCGGGTCGGCCGACGCCCCAGCAAATCCTGGAGACCATTGTGGGGTTGTACTGTCTGGAACGAGTGGGTGTTTCTGCCCCGAAGCTCAAAGAGGACGTCGTTCATGCTGTCACATTAACTGGACCTGACGCCGATGATTCTCTCAAACCTTATAGTTGTAAGGACTATTTTGGGTGGGACCCTGTCCATGACGCGACCGTTCCGGAAGGCGTTGCTGAGGTGTTGTCCGGCGAGGCGGTTACGGTGTACCGGACGCTATGTAACTCCTTGATACACGCCTTCTATGCCGAAAGAGCCTCGATAAATATAGGGTGCGGCTACGCCGATGTCCTTGCGAAAGTAGCGACGTTACGACCATATAAATCGCACGGCGAGCTGCCCTGGGAGTCGTATGTGGATCAAGCCTACCTGATCACGCACGTCGTTTTTACGTTAAACAACTGGGGCGAGCTCGCTCTGGAGCCGGAGTTGCTGCCGCACGAGCATTTGTTTATCCGGGAGAATTTGGGAGTGGCGGTCCGAGGCTCTGTGCGGAGATCAACGAGTGAGTGAGTTACTTCCACGCCATCGAGCCGACGCCGTCACGGGGAAGACGTCGCGTCGATGGCGTAGACCCTCCACGCCATCGAGCAGACGCAGTCACAGAGACACCATCGCGTCGATGGCTGGGGCGTCGATGGCGTGGGGCGCCCGAACTGACGCGCGCGGCGACGCCGTCGACGCGGCAGTTTCGCGACGGCGTCCGTCCCACGCAGGTGCGCGAGCGCGACGCCCACCTCGTCGGCGAGTACGTGGAGTGTCTAAGGGCGTTTGGTTCTGACGACTCGGACCCTCTCATTCAGCTGGGCATGACGTTTTTGCTGCGGGCGCAGGATCCAAACACGCACCGCTGGGACGTCGGTGGCGACGCGTACACGTCGTACCACGCGACGATGGTCGCCTGCCAAGCGTTACTTGTGCATACGCATCGGGGCTACGGGCCCGGTCTCCCTTCGTGCGTCGCGGTCCTGGAGAAGTGGCACGCGGCCGAACGACCGGACGACGTGCGAGAAAACCCTGATATAGCATTACGGAAGCGCGTCGACGATAAAGCAAGGAAACCCCCGAAGAAGGAATCGAATGAAGAGAAGCCGGCGTCGCCGCGGCCCCAGAAGCCGGCCGCGGAGCCGAAGAAGCGGCCCGCGGCGCCCTCTGACCAGAAGAAGCGTCCCGCCTCGCCCGACAAAAGTGCGAAGCCCCCGCCACAAAAGAAGAAGAAGAAGGTCCCCCAGAAGCTCAGCAAGGAGGATATTGCTGCCGTCGAGGCCAAGATCCAGGAGGCGGTCGCGGGCCAGGCCTGGCCCGTCGCGTCGAAGCTTCTGAAAAATCTCGCGGAGAGCGACGTCTCCGTGGACCTGCTGAAGACGACGACGGTCGGCAAGACGGTCGCTGCCTTAAAAAAGGCCGCGGACGCGAAATTGGTGATGGCGGCCAAAGGCTTGGTGGCGCGGTGGAAGCAGATGGTGCGCGACGCGGACGCGGCGTCGTCGTAAGTTTAGAACTAAATTGACGGACGTCGGCGTGGGCGTGCGGTCACGCAGGGAGGCATCGGCCCCGCGGCTGGCTAGGCTGCCTAGCTCTAAGCAAAGCAAGTTAATACTTATTCGACTCGCGGGTGCCCGACGCCGCGCTCGGCGGAGATCGGCCTTCCCCTGGCCACCACCTTGTTGTAGCGTCGTCTCGCAGGCTTGAAGTTCGCCCTCGTGCGAGCTTTCGCACACCTGTACGCGGGGACCCGCACTCAGTCATCACACTCACATCGAGCTCAGCTTCGTGATCGGACACGCTGGCGACAGCCGAAGGTGTCTGACGCTCGGCTGCGGCAGGCGCTCAACGCAGTTGTACAATTTGACTGCGCGCGGTCTTGTTGGCTGGCGACATTCGTACAGCTCTCACACAAACTGCTCTCTCAGGATATCAAATTGGATTCCACGCAGCTAGGCGCAGTTTCATTCGCGCAGCTGTTCAACATCGGTCTAGAACTGTTGGAAGTCAGTCTTGCAAGTGTCAAAACGCCGGTCACTAGCCTACGATGGCAGTCCTGCGCCACCTCGTGGCCGCGGCGGCCGTAACCAGCGCCCTCGTGACGCCGGTAGCCAGGCCGCGGCCGCGCACGCGACGGCGCGTCATCGAGGAGCCGCGCGTTGACGACGAGCCGCGCGTCGAGTACGACAACGAAGACGGGCTAGTGTGCGTGATCGACGAGAACGGCTTCAAGAGCTGCGCGCCCGCCGGGCCGGGCCTGGAATGGTACGAGGACGAGCTCGTGAGCAACGAGAAGAAACTAGAAGCCGTAGAGGCGAAATTGGAAACGCTCAAAGCCGAGAAGAAATTACTCGTGGCGAAACAGAAGGAGCTCACGAGCGTCTACGACGAGCTCCGGTTCGAGGTACGGAATGCGGGGTTAAATGGGCCCATACTGGCCTTCGTCCTTTGTGCCGCGCTCGTCGCCCTGCTCTGGAAGGACTTGTTCATCGTGATATCCCTCTACGAGAACGACGCTTACATGGAGGCCGACTGGCTGCCCGAGAGTCTCCAATTGTTCGGTCGCCTACCGATGGATTTCCTCCGCGACTACACGGCTGCCGCCGTTGCGATGCCCGTATTGACCAAGGCGGCCACCTCCTGCGTGTCTTATCTAGGAGGAGATCTGACGGCGCAAGCAGTGGAAGGGCGTCGAAGGGTCGGCTTGCTCGACCTACCGCGCGCGGCGAGGAACGGTTTACTGGGATTCTTCCTGCACGGGCCGCTCCTGCACTTCTGGATCTTATTCCTAGAGGGCCCATTTGCAAAACTTTTGATGGGGAGCGGCCTGACTGAAGGGCCATTGCTGCTCGTAGCTAAAGTTGCCCTTGATCAGACGTTGTTTGCGGTCACGATCAACCTCGCGTACGCCTTCATCGACGGGATCCTGTCGGACCAGAGCCCGTCGGACGCGTGGCGGCGGTCGAGGCAGGTCTTGGTGCCCAGCGTAGTGCAGTCCTGGCGCTTCTGGCCCCTCGTGCACCTGATATCGTACTCACCGTTGATACCTGTGTGGAAAGCAACCAGTGCGTCGGGAGCACGACGATTCAGCACGAACGCGCCGTAAAATTTGATTTCCACACAGGTTGATACCCGTCGACCTCAAGGTGCTGTGGATAGACGTCATGGAAATCGTCTGGGTCGCGATCCTCTCCGCCACGGTCAATTCGGCTGGAGGAGACGACGATGATGGCGAGGGCCCGCGGGTGCCCTGGGGCGAGGGTCGGTGGGCGGAGCCGCTCGTCGACGAGGGGGGAGCAGTAAGTCGATAACATATTAAGTGAAGAGCCCCACGAGCCAGTTCCACACCGCTCCGACGGCCGTGAGCACGATGAAGGCCACGACCGACAAATAGCCGACGGCGAGGAGGCAATCGGGAAACTTCGGGCTCGCGCCCTGCGACGCGACCATGGCCAGACCGGCTATGATCGCGACGATGCCGCCGGCATGCGCATCGGCGCACCCTCTGCCGCACTCGTCGTCGTTCCCGAGCCCGTCGCCCGGGAACCGCCGCTTGTTCTCGTGGACGAAGTTGCTGGCCGTGCCCAGGGCGACGACGCCGCCGGCGAAGAGCGCCCAGCCGCAGGCCATGAAGTTCCTTTCCAAAGTCCACCACCGGCCCGGGCACACGCGCCGATTCAGGTTCAGCAACACGATAACGGCGGCGGCCGCCGCGAGGCACAGGGCGGCGCCCGCGCGCGCGGCAACCATATAAGTGCACGCCTCCTGCCCCAGCGTGCAGTCGCCCTCGGGGCTACACCTCTGATAACTGAAGTCCGTGCCGGGCGGGCACGCGCCCTTGGACACGCTTCGGCACGGCGTGCAGCCGCGGCCCTCGGCCTCGTATTCCACACTCCCTTCATAGTCACCGCACCACACCCCCGGCTCGCAGCACGGCCCGGCGCTCGAGACGAGGCGCACCGGGTTGCCCGTCTTGCACTGGCAGGCGCAGCCGCACGTCCCGTCCGTGTACGTGCCGCCCGCGCAGCCGCCGCCGCACTCCCACCAGTTTGCGTCCCCGCCCGTCACGTCTTCGTGTGTGTCAGGACAGGTCACGCTCCAGAGGCTTCGTCTGCGGGTCGCGTTCGTTTCCGCTGGCGCGTGCTCCAGCTCACGCCCCAAAACTTTGAAGTCGTCGCCGACGGTCAACCGGCGCGTCAAGTCGTCGAGGTGCTGCTTCGGCGGCCGCGTCGGCGCGGGCGTCGGCGCCGCAGCCGTGTGGTGGCCCGCCGCCGTCCAGCCGTGCAGGTCGAACGAAAGCTCGACGTCGTCGCCGGCCTCGCGGAGCGTGGCCACGGCCCAGTGGCGATTGTCGAGCAGCGCGAAGAGCTCGAGCAGCACGACGAGCAAAGCCGTGCCCATGGCCCAGCCGTGGCGGTCCGCCTGCAGCTTTTTCTGCGCAGCTCTCGCCTCCGCCGCGGCCTCCGGCGGCCGCGCGGCCTCGACGTCGTCGCCCTCGCTACGGATTGGGCGGAGCGAGTCGGCCCGCGCCAGCATGTCCGCCGGCGCGAGGACCGAGTGGGCCCGCTCGAGCGCCCGCGCCGGGTCCTGTCGCGCCTGATTGCCGCGGACGGCGGCCTGCACGTGCGTGATCGTCGCGAGCGGCGCCGTGGAGTGGCCCACGACGGGCGACGCGATCACCGGCCGCGCGAGGGCGACCGCCTCCGGCATTTGACGATCCCGCGCCTCCGCCGCCGCGAGCCGCCGCCGCAGCGCGGCCAGCTCCTCGCGCAAGGCATCGGCCTCGGTCCGCCGCGGCGCGCTCGGCCGTCCCATAGTGATGATGTCGCACCGCTAATGGACAGCTTGCTGTAACACCAGAATGGTACCCAGGCTTTGAGGCAGCAGAGGACTTGGGAGCACGCACGCGTCGACGAAAACGTTCGTTCGCGTCTCTATTGCCAATTTGTTGCAGCGTGGGCAGCGATTAGAGCCTGGGCTGCCCAGATCCAAAGTGCTTCCTAGTGTCTTTACGTGCCGCTAGCTCCGCGGCCGACGATTTGGGCAAACTCCCCGCGTTTCACGCAGGAAAGCCACGTTAATTGTTTCTGGCATACTCTAGGCAACAGCGCTTGGCTAGCCGCCCTTCGCGCAGCCGACGGGTTGGCTGGTAATTAAGGGCTCACTACCCCAGCACTGCGAGGTTGCAAGCCGTCGACGCGGCAGCCTAAAAAAGCAACCATGGCCCCACTCAGCAACCGCCGCGACTCGTTATTGGGCCCGAAGCCGGACCCGGGAGTAAAAGCGAGCTACGCGCAGATGCTCTCGTTAGCATTGATGCTCTCGTTGGGCGTGGGTCTCATGGCGCTCCCGAACGAGATATCGAACACGGGGACGGTGCCCTATGCCATTTTATTTGTTTGTGTAGTCTCAGGAATGAATTGGTCCATGCTCGCCCTACTAAGAGCAAAAGCGGCTGTGGAAGAACGTGGCATAAAAGTACAAAGCTACAGGGATTTGGGGTATGATTTCCTGGGAGGGGACCACGGGTCGCGAGCGGTGGACTGGTGCGTGGTGGGTTTCCAGTTCGGCGTCTGCGCGTCCTACTTTTCCTTTATGACGAGTACCTTACATACGTTGTGGCCCCATGGACCTTCCGAAACTTCATTTACCGTTGTTTTAGTACCGATCGTCGGCGTGCCCTGCGCGCTCAAACATCTAAAAGATCTAGGAACAGTGGCCCAGGTCGCCACTGTGACATATGCGTTCTCATTATGTACCGTTGGTTTTTATGCTATACACCGGTTAGTCGTAAAAGGCCACGTCTACAACACGCAGCCCTTCTCGGGCAGTCCTTGGGGTCTCATAGGACTACTGGGAAGTTTATGCTATGCCTTCGAGGGGATCCCGTCGACGCTCTGCCAGATGAGCAACGCATTAGCCGAACCGGAACGCGCACCGGAGCTAGTCACGACATCATTAGTCGGTCTCGCAATAATCTTCACGGCGACGGGCTACGTCTGCAACTTTGCGTATCAAGATCCTGCCAATCCGATTACGGTCTCGTTAATTGACGAGTTCGGGATTAGCGGTTTGCCGGCAGCAGCGAACTGGCTCGTCGTCATCTCGGTAGCTCTCAAGTTTCCCATGCAGTTCTTCCCCATGGCGCAACAGTTAGAGCATGCTTTAGAGATCGATCGGTACGTTTGTAAACGTGATGATGAGGAGTCGACGAGGTTGTTACCGTCGGAACAGACATTTATTGGCGAGCGAGATGGAGATAGGTGGTCGGTAGCGTTCCGGGCCATGTTGGTCGTGCTGGCGGCGTTGACAGCGTTGGTCGTAAATGATTTGACCACCATAATCAACGTGGTGGGGATCGTCTTCGGCCCGTCGCTGGGCTTCATCTTCCCCTGCTACTTCGACCTGATCTGTGTTAGGAGAAGGGCCTACGATCGCACGAAGCTGGAAGTGGCCATATCGATCGTCGTCCTATGCGTGGCGGTCGCGGCGACGTTCCTCGGTTTCGGGCAGCAGGTCGTGGGCCTCGTGCGAGCTTATATTAATGGGTCGGACGACGACCGGCGATAGCTCTAGTGTTTTCTCGTAATCAATCGTTTTGTGAATTACGGCTAGTATCTTACGATCGCTAGCTGCAGCTCGCAGCTGAGGCAAAAAACTAGGCAACAAAGGCCTACTCGTGCGCGCAGCGCTCCTCACAGACTGCTGTCGCACCACACTTTCAGAATATCCAGCGAATCGCGAGCGCTACGCCCCTCATTGTCCGCAGCAGCCCTGTTCCGCATCAGGGTCAATCATGAGCATCGGCCTTGATGCTATCCCCCTCGACGTCCTACGCGGTGTCGTGGCCTTCGCGACGGGCCGCTTCACCGTCGGCCGCCTCGACGGCGGCGTGAAGGTCTGTGGTCCAGAGTTCCAAGCGTGGTCGGGACACGAGGAGCGGCAGACCACGGCGCGCGACCTCCGCGCGCTCGTCAGCGCCATCGGCTTCCACCAGCTGCGCTGTGTGTCGCGGAGCTGGCGCTCGATCGCGGACGATCATCTGCGAGGCACGCACGAGCGGATCTTCGGGGTCCGGCCGCTCGACATCTTGCCCGTCGACGGCCGCGTGGCGCGCGAGCCGAGCTCCTGGCTCGGGCGGCTCCGGCGACTGGTCGGACGCGCGAGCCCAGACGGGGACGACGACGAATATCTCTTCAGCGAGCCGCCGTCGGAAGCGCTCACCGTGCCCTGGAACCTGGCGCGCTACGACGCGGGCACCGGCGACCTCGACGGCTCGGCGCCCGTGCTCGCGGCGGTGCGACGCGCCCGCGCCTGCCTGGCGTGGCGCACGTCGCTTACTAGCTACGCGCGCTTCGGCTGCTGCGGCCACGATACTCGCTTCCGCGAGTCCCTGGCGTGGACTGGCTTCTTCGGCAACGCCGCGGGCCTGCCCTGGCGCCTCGACGCGCACCACGTCTACATCGACCGGGAGGCCGAGACTGCGTTCGAGCGGGAAGGCGACCTCACAAGAGATGCCCCCGATCCGCCCTTCTCATTTAATGCGGACCACGAGCACGTCACGGCGCTGAAGGCCTTCGCCGTGGCGCTCCTACCTACGAACGTCCAGGCTTCCGCTAGCAGCGGCGAGACCACGCGCGTCGACCTCGTGGGCGGGCCCACTCATTTCATGCACAAGTACGACGAGGCGACGCGCTCGACGGAGGCGGTGCTCTTCGACACGGAAGTGGAGTATAAGGACGCCTACGCTTGCTGCCCGGAGGCCCCGTCGACCGTGGTGCCGGGGGCGTGCCTCTTCAGCTTTCGAGCAGACCCGAGCGACGTGTGCACTCCCGAGCAATGGGGTGAATGGCACAACTATGACGACCGGGAGTTCGGGACCCTCCGCCGGCGTGGCGGTCGCGCGTGGCGGGTTGCTGGTTGCGCTGCGCCCGGGCCTGTGATGAACAACGCTGACGTCGTTCTCGACGAGGTTCTTTTTGAGAAGCCTGACGACAGCGCCTACACCGCGTGCGAGGCATGTTTCGAGCAGGACGGCTTTGATTACTATGCGGCCACGTCGACGCGCCCCGCGCCCGCCGGCGTCACGGTCCGCCTCGTGTTCCGTGTACTGAAGCACGAGGCCGGCGGGCGCCTCGCGTCGGAGATCTCCCGCAGTCGCGACAGATACAGCGCCGACACCACCTCTTCTGCGTGGTCTCCCTACCGCCTCGTCATGTCGGGCACCGTGCGCGGGCTCCCTATTCTGACGCCCGTGAGAGAACCTGCCAGCGAGGCCGAAGAACTGGCAGAGCGGGAGCGCCTGCGCGAGTGGAAGGCGGCGGACAAAGAACTCCAAGCGCAGCTGCCGCCCTGTGAGCAGTACGATATCATGCATGCTGAAAAGTATCTACGCGACGGGACCTGGCCCACTCCCTTAAATCCGATTTATAAAGACCGCAAAACCGATCCCTGGTGGTCGGAGCCCCAGTGCGAGTGCGAGCGTTGCCAGTTCGAGGCCGACCGCGGCCGAGACAAAGAGTTCGTACGTCTCTCGTACTACTGCACCTCCTACGGCCTCGACATCCCGATATACCGTCTGGGCCTCGCGTGCGACAAGGTGCTTGCTCAATTGCCGTTGAACAAGCACGGGCGGAATCCGAGCAACTACGGCGAAACGAAGGTCCACTGAGGCTAAGCGCGCGCCCGCCGGGCGCGCGCATGACATGATCGGTCGAAGCCGGACACGGCAAATCCCCTACATCTATGACGGCGCCGTCGTTCATACACTGCAACGACGGCGCCCGACGCGCCGATGTCCGTTCGACTTGTGAGTAAGATACTTATAGAAAAAGAATTTGGAAAGAAGTGATCAATTTGGGTGCGGCGCGAGCGGCCCCGACGAATCCGACGCGACGGTGGCGGCGGACGAGCCCTTCTTGAACTCGGGCTGCTCGCGGAGGTACTCGGCGAAGAGGTATCCCAGCCGCACGAAGAGCCGGTTAATACCCTGTAGCTGGTCCATGGCCAGCTGAGATGACGGGTCGACTACCAACCACATTGGATGTTCGACGCCGTGGTCTTTGCGGACATTGACCTCGACGTATCCGGCGAGTTGGTAGAAGGGATTCCAGGCTTGCAGCCGCACGACGATCAGCCCCCACGACGCGTCCTCGGACCGCGGCACGTGGCCGGGCACGTCGTACGGATGCGTCGTGTGCGAGATGAGCGTGCACTTGCCGCCGCAACCCATCTGCAGGCCCGCGACTGTCATCGACGGGCGCTTTTCGGGCGGCAGCTGGTGGTGGCCCACGAACGGCCACGCGTCCGTGATCGCGCGGTTCCGTTCGCGGAGCAGGGACGACGTGATACAGTTCTTGATCGCTCCGCGCGCGAGCTCCTGGTCGACGGCGTCCGCGTCCCCGTCGCCGTCCGCGTCCAGCGGATCGCTCCACTGGTTAATAAACACGTCCTCCAGCGCGAAGAGCATGGGATTGATGTACGTGACCTTCATGGCCGGAATGAGCGCGATCATGAGCGGGATAGCGACGACGAGCTCGCAGCACCCCTGCCGGTGCGCGCCGCCGATGACGGCGACCACCAGGTCGGCGAACGGCCACACGAGGCCGAACTTCCGCGCGAGCGCGGCCTCCGCGATCGGCTCCTTGCCCGTGTTCCAGGAGGGCGCGTCGGCGCCGGGCCGTCCCATGAAGGGGCCGAGCTTCCGCAACGACGCGACGGTGCGCGACGGGTGCGACGCGCCCACCGGGAGCGAGAGCGCGAGCGTCACGAGAAATACGACGAGGGCCCAGTTGATCGCAAGAAGAATCAAGGGCAGCGAGAGCGGCAGCAGTACCACGTACGAGAAGACGTAGAAGCCTGCGTCGCGTGGGACGCGCGCGAGCGGTCGCGGCCGCGGCAGGCGCGCGCTCGTGTAGCCGACGACGAGGAGCAACGGCGTGCTAAAGAGCGCCACGCCCAGCAGAAACACGGCCACAATGCCGGGCGTGAGCACCAGGAAGATGAACATGGCCATCCAATCCCCAAAGCTCTTGCGTTTCGGCACGTCGATAGGTGTCATGTGCTGTGCGAATTGCTCAGGCGTCACCTTCATGGTCGGCATCGCTGCGCCGTTCAATCCGCCGTCGCAAGGGTTAATCTAGCGTCCGTGACCGCTTAACTACTCTCTCAATCCATCGCAGTGGGGCTGCCCAGCAATTGCCCAGAGCAGCACGCAGCGCCGACTGCCAGATGACTGCCTGCAAATCTCTACAAAGCCCCTGTAGCGCTTGCAGCCCCTGTCAAGCCCGCAGCATCCCAGCGCTCGAAATAGCTGCCCTGAGCCGTCAAATTGCTTGCACGGGCAGCCCACGGCCAATCATGGCGGCGCAAGTGGCGCCTGATGGTCAGGTGCCTGAGGCTGTGGTGCGACGCGTGAACGGTGAACACAAGCACACCAATGCACATGCAAGGGACATCAAATCCCGCGGCGACGACACGTCCATCGATGAACCCTGGGAGGTAGATCCAAAGCTAGCGTTCAACGACTCGTACGTTATGTTCACGACGAAGATGTATCTCTACCCGAAGCTCGCGCTGCTCTGGCTGCCGACGTTCCTGCTGACACTACCGTACGCGTCGCTTGCACATACGTACGGCTCATGTTTACCCGTGCCGACGGACCACGTCCGCCGCGGCGCGGGGTTCCATGCTAGCCTGCTCGTCGCCCGCCTTCTACTTATTCCCACCTTCGTCCTGGGCCTCGTGAGCCTCGTCCTCGACTACGTGTTCTACTACCTCTTCGGCGGGCTCTTCTTCCTGCTCTTCGTCCGGGACTTGAAGCAGTACCGCGCCTCTCAAAAGGTTATCGCGCCGTACCGAGGCGGCACGATCCTAGTCGAGGACATCTTCGTCGCGTCGATCGGGCAATGCCTCCGCAATGGGACAATGGAGCATGCCTTATCCTTTACCACAATGCTGACGGTGATGCCCTGGGTCAAATATTACATCAACGCGAATCCGCTGATCTATCCGCTCAAGGAGCGCTTCGTGCAGCAAATTTCGACCTCGTGGCACGACCTCGGCCCCGACGTTGCCCACGAGAAAGTGCGCGAGATCATCTCGCGGAGCCGGCAGGAGGGGCGCCTGGCCAAGCGGATGGACATGTGGCGGTTCTGTCCGCACTACCCGTATCCTCCGCCGGGCCGGCGCTGGGCGAACGGCCTGCAAGCCGGAAATATTTTCACGCTCCTGACGCACGTGACCCACGGCGTCGCGGAGGCGCGGGGCGTCACCGAGAAGGATCAGTTCGTCCTGTCGAACTGCACCGAACGACCGGTCTGGAGGGTCATGCTCTGGTACTCGAATCCGTACCATTTTCTTAGCGGGTGGGTGGAGGCCTCGATCACGAACGGAGAACCGTCCCAGAAGGACAAGGTGTTTGGCGGGGAACACCCCATGTGGCTCGTCACGGCTCCGAGCCCGTTGCTCAGCAACCGAGACAGTCTCACGGGCCCGGGCGTCATCGACGCCTTTTTCGACTCGTGGCTGCCAGTCATTGCCAACGAAGTCCGCCGCCTCGCGAGGGGCGCGGAATACGCGGCGTCGATGCACCAGGAGGTAGTCTCGAAGGACGGACTGTCGCGGCCCGCGGCAAGCGTTGGCATGGATAAGCTCAGCGAAGACGCCGAAAAGATTGACGCGCATCGCGAGCTGCGGGCGGCGGCGAAGAAATCCAAAACGGCACGCATCCTGAAGAAAGCTGGCCGTCATCGCGTTCTCCGCCGATCAGACCTCCTGCCGGCGCGGATGAAAATCGGACGCCGCGCCGCATCCCAGTGACGCAATGTTGGGTGCCGGCCTCCGCCTCGCGCGTCTCCACGACGACTTTCGGCGCCGTGCCGTACACGTAGATCGCGCCGACCACCACCAGGCCCCCTATCATAAATCTAGATGAAGGCGCCGGCGCGCTCAGAAAGATGGTTGCCGCGATTGTAGAGACGACGATCGATAAAGACGCCGCTAGAGTTTTGAGGACGTTATCCGCGTAGCGCATCGCCGCCGCAACTAACAAGCCGCCGGCCGCATTCAACGCGACGACGAGCCACGCCGAGAAGACGAAGCCGTCCAAATTTGACCGCGACGCCGGCCCCGCGGCTATCAAACACCCGTTCGCGGCCATCTGCGCCGCGCGCTTCCACAAGACACCATCACCAGAACCGCGTTGGAGCGTCGCCTCTATATAAGTACCGGCCGCCGCACCCAATAACGACGTCGTCATCACGGTAGCCACACCTAATAAGTCCGGCGGCTCCAGCGTGTCGACGCCTATGTCTGCCAGTTGGCAGATCGCAATGCCACAAGCGATCGCGCAGAGGCAGAACCACTGCCTGCCTGAATAGTCCCGTCCCCGGAACACCTTGCCGAACAATGCGGCTGTGAGAACTTTGGACTGTGACAGAACTTGAAAAGCAGCAACATCCAATCGTCGTGTCGACACGTGGTGCAGGCGATCCGCTAATAAGTATAAAGCTGCCGGTACGAGCATCGGCAATAACTCGCGGTAGTTCAAAACCTCCACTAAAGCCGTGATAAGGGAGCGCCTCACGCGCGCGAGCACGGCGATCGCTGTTGTAAATTTCAGAATTTCACAAGCGAAGACGGCCGCCGTCGCCGAAAAGTTGGGAGAGACGGTCCGCGCGTGCTTCATGACTAGTCGCAGCGACGTGTTCTGGAGCACCAGTAAAGCGAGCACGCCGATTCGCAGGAGCGGCGGCGTCGCGGCGCCGGCCATGGTCTTTTTGCCTATGGGTCTTTTTGCCTATGTGCTGTTTTGGCTGCCCAATGCCCACACGGCGCAACCTCGGGCCGGGGCAGCGAGAGCTTGATAATACGTGTGGATTCGGGCGTTTGCCTGCCCTCGCGCGTGTCTTTCGCGCGCGCCTCGCACAGTGCCTCGGTCTGGGCCAAGCCCGTTGGCGTATGCTCGGGACCGCTCCCCGAGGGTTCGCGACGGCCAGGGACGACTCCAATGAGTCCCATGGGCCGTGCATAGGCCCAACCCGATGAGGTGTGGGTAATGAACGGGCATAGGACCGGAGCAACGCCCGTCTGAGAGGCTGGGAGCCGCCGCGGAGCAGCCCCGCAGCCTAAGGAATCGCGCACCTGCAGCCCGCGCCGCACCGAAGCACGCCCTACCACCGGAGGCCACCACACCCATCACTGAATCATGGGCCGCGGCGGCCTACGCCTAGGCAAGCAGGCGAGAGCTGTACCGCCGACGCGGAAGCCCAGAGCGGCGGATAAAGTCGACCGATTGATCCAGGAGGGTTTGCGGAGGGCCTCGCGCCTCGCCGACGACGCCGTCGGCACGCGCGCGAAAACAAGAGGCACGCGGAAATTGTGGAGGCCCTACGATCCCGGGAACAAGCGCGTCGTGACGACGCAGGACGCGCGCAAGGCACTGAGGAGCGTCGGCGTCGATGTGTCGCTCGAAGAGTTGAAAAGTGTCACTGGTGGTGGGGAATTGGTGAAATACGATGCTCTTCGAAGGGCGCCGTCGCCCCAGAAGCAACGGAGGGGGCGGACCACGCAGCGTACTTACGGGAGGAGGCACGCGGAAGACGCGGAGCGAAGGCTTGTGTCTAGGATGGCGTCGTCGTCGGAGGTGGCGCCGCTCAGGGTAGCTTTACGTAGGAGAGACATGCACCGGTCGGGGCACCTCGCGCCCAGGGACTTCGTCCGAGCTATCCAAGCCCACTACGGCGCGGAAACGTTGGAGCAAGACGAGGCGAACGCGCTGTGTGCCGAGTACGGCCCCTCTTCACAAACAGAGGGCGTCGCCGATGCCCCGGGCAAGAACCACACGGAGGACTCGGACGCCGTGAAGGCGACGCTCCACCATAATGACGAGCGCGTGTCGTCGCAGCACTTCCGGGCGACGCACGCGGCCGTGGACTACGAGCGCTTCCTTGATCGGATTGAGAGCCAGGCCGACTCGAAGAATGCGGTCCAGGCCGCCCAGCGGGCGATGATCACGCCCGCGCCGCCGGACCACCCGCCTCCAGTCGACGAGCCGCCCTACGCGCGGCCCGACGACCACTCGGCCATTTCCCTGCGGGAGCCGCCGTCACCTTCTGGTCCAGACGTCATGGAGACGGCCGCCGGGCGCCGGGCGGTCCGCGAGGTCGCTAGGGTGCTTGATGACGAGACGGTGCGCGAGCGGTGGTTGCGGGACTGCAAGGGGCCCGTGGAGACGGTCGACGCGGCTCGTGTTATGTTGCAGTCGTGCGGCGCGCGCTTGACGGCGACGGAGGCCGACGCCGCGGTCGCTTTGGGAGTTATTGATGGAGAGTTCTGCGGGAGAAGATTAGCGAGGCGGTGCATGGCCGCGGCCGACCGCGTCCAACCGAGCCGAAGTGATGCGCCCCGGTCGCGGGCGGAGCGACATGAAAGACTTGCCCTTGAAAGGGCGGCCCAGGCCGTCGCGCGCGCGTCGGGCTGCTTGGACGCAAGGGCTAGAAGGGAGGCGTCGGAGCGCATCGCGCGGGCGTCCGGGTCGAGCGATCTTCCCGTGCCGTCTCCCAAAAAAGTCGCCTTCGCGCTGCGCCAGCACCACGTCCTGAGTGATGCGGACGCCGACGCTCTGGCTCTTGCCGCGGCGAAGCGCGCGCAGACGGTGCCGCTCGCCGAAGCTTTGCACGCCGTGCTTTTTAGAGGAAAGGACGCGGCCGTGTCCGAGGCGGATCCGAAACCCCAAGGGCCGCGCGCGGTCCTGCCTCTGAATGCGGACGACGCCGCCCCCACCACCATCATCTCGCTGGCGCGGGCGCCCGCGGCCAGCGCTCTGACCGTGCGGCCCGAGCACCGCGCCGCCGAGGCGAACATCGCCGCGGCTTTAGAACGGCTCGCGAACGCCCCCTGCCCGACGTTTTTCAGTAGGACGGAGCCGTGTCCCAGAGCGATCAGGAAGGGCTTTGGGCAGTGCCGCCAGCGCGATTCCGTCATCTGGTGCCTCGACGCGCCGTCTGTGGAAACGTACGTCGAGCCGCTCTACCCGGCCGGGTTAGATGTTAGCGGCCAGGTGCGTTTCAATAGAGGCTTGGGGCGCAAGCGCCGCTCGCGGTCCGAGCCGCCGCGCCGCTTCTCGACGACGTACGGCGACATGGTGGCGCCTCCACAACCTCTTGACGCGCCCGCGGGCCAGGTTCAGGCCTTGCCGCCGCCGCCGCCGGCCCGGCCGCCGCGGCCGCCGCGCCGCCGGAGCAAGTCCTGCGCGCCTCCCAAGCCGATCGGGGTGGTGCTCGGGCTCTGTTGACGTCCTTTTCCCCCTTTCCCCCGATCTAATCTTCCGGTCTACTGGCTCTCTACGAACGGCGACGTATTGCCACTGTCTGATGAGTTCAACGGCCCAGGGTCCTGTAGAGCGTCTTCTCGCACTGAACCGGGCCTTAGAACGGTCTGAGACTCGCTCAGACACCTCTGGTTTGCCCTAGACACAGCAAGTCTCTAGCATCGGCAGCGCTGCCGATTTGCCCGGAATTCGCGCTCGCCAAGGCGCCACGCCGGGTCAGCGCCTAAGCAGAGCCCGGCAAAGTCTTCTATTTTCCAATGGCTTTCAGAATTTTAGCGCTCGCGCTGGCTGCAAGGAGCGCCTGCGCATTGAAACCGCCACGAGGGCTCAAATTGAAGTTGCCGACGACTCCCAGAAGAGTTGCGACCCTCGAACCACCGCCTGCAGTCGACACTGAGCCGCGCATCGACCTGCGCGAGGCCTCGCCGCTGACAGTTGACGCGGCGTGGTTGACGACGACGCGGCAACTAGGAACCACCGATGCCACGCCGACGATGCGCCAGCTCGACGAAAGCAACGAGACGCCAACCCACTGGCGCCGCGCCGCCCGCGTCCAGCGCTCAATGATGCGCTTCGCACCCTTAGCGCTCGTCGGCGCATTGCTCACAATCCCGAAGACGCTGGACGCCGGCGTATCCACTCTATGGTCCAAGCTTTATGGGAGCTGGTGGGCGCACGCCCCCATGTTCGAGGCCTGGACCGCTACCTTAGGTTTCGTCGGCGCCATCGCGTTCTGGAGTTCCATCCACGTCTTATTTTTCAGAGACAGGAGGCGAGCCTCGGAGTTCCGCTTCGACAAGCAACCCCCGGTCGCGCCCTTTGAATGGTTGGGCCAGCTCGGCGGGAAACGGCTCTGGGGCGCGTACTTACCCCTCGTGGCTTACGTCGGCTCTATAAAATTATTCCACTGCGTCGTGACGAAGGCGCCTTTACCCATAGCGCCGCCGACGGCATTACGGGTGCTCCTCGAAGTTACTTGTGGCGTGTACTTGTATGACGCGCTCTTCGCCCCCATCCACGCGTCGATGCACCGCCGGGGCTCGCCGGCCTGGTGGCGTAGACTGCACAGGACGCACCACGAAGCTAGGCCGACTCAGAGAAGAGGCAAGGCCCTCGTGCCTTTGGAAACAGTGCAGCATTCGTACGCGGACGGCGCGTTACAAGTGGCCTGCAACGTCCTCGTGCAGCGGGCGCCGTCGATCATATGGGTCGGCTCTGGCTTCGCGCTCGCACCGAAGCACCCGCTGTCGCGCGTGCTCCACAATTTGGTCGTCACCTATTTGTTGGCTGAGGCTCATTCCGGCTACGACCTGCCCTGGATGACGCACCGGGCCTGGCCGCGCGTCTTCGGGGGCGCGAAGGCCCACGACGCGCACCACGTCCAGGGCGACCGCCACTTCCACCAGTTCTTCCACTCGTCCCGGCCATGGGCTCGGGCGCCGGCCTACTAACTCTCCTGTTTTAACTACTCACGAAGCGCTGGCGGATTTCTGTTGTTACCGTGTGCGCAGAGTTGTGTCCGCACGTGCGTGCGGGGCGATCTGGAAATTGCCAGGATTAAATTTTGGTGAAAAAAGCATTGCTGCCCCTGCGTCTCCCGCGCTCACCAAGCAACACACGCGTCGCCAGTAAGCCACCTGCCAGCTGTCCTCGCGTTTTCACGCGCGGCTGCCACATAAATTCCACAAGGAGCCCGTTTGCCGCTGCCCCTGCCCACGGACTGCCCCATCGACCTCACGATCAATAGCAACCATGGGAGGCCCATCATTCGGTACAAACAAGCACATGAACCTGGCCGTGCCCCTGGCCGAGGCCCAGTTCCAGCCCTTCGCGCCGGCGCCGAACAGCTGCACGTTCTGTTTTTGTCCTGATGCGGCGCGCGAACGCATGTACATCCACGCGCACGACAACCGACTGCAGTACAACCTGCCGTGCGCGCCGCTGCTCTGCTTCACTCAAGAAATCTGCGTCCAGGACGACGCGCGCGTCCTGTACTACGACAAGCCGCCCTTCCGCTCGGGCCCGGCGCCCTTCCCGTGCTGCTGCCTGCCGTTCACGTGCTGCGGCCCGCCCGTGATCTACTCGAAGACGCCGAAGTGTCTTTGTATTGACTGTTCGCCGTGGTTCGGCGAAACTCTCAACATCGCGCCCTGCAACTGCTACCGCCTGCGGACGTGCCTCTGCTTCGGCGCGCCGTGCTACGACTCCTGCGGCGTGCCCTACTTCGTCGGCCTCAAGAACGCCGCGGAGTTCTCGAAGGGCCTCAAGGCGGCCTACGACGACAACTTCCGCACCGGCGTCGGCTTCGACATCAACCAGAAGGAACTCGCCACGTTCGAGCACATGGACGACGAGATCATGCTCGGCGTGCTGGCGGACAAGAACCGGAAGGCCGACGGCGCTCCATCAAATGTCGAGCTCATGGCGCGCTAGAAAGACGCCCTACCTCGGTAAGATACCAGATATTCAATTTATTCCCGCAGGCTCGTCGCGAGGACCTACGCGTTATTGCCGCGCCCGCGGGGCTTGCCCTTTCGGGGCCGCCCCGGCGCGCGGCCCGCCGGCGCCGCGCCGCCGCCCCGCGCCGCGAGCCGCGGCGAGCAGAAGCAGAAGAGGCAGCAGAGAATAATCACCAGCGCGGTCCCGGGCGCGAACCAGATCCAGTGGTCCTCGATATAATGGACGGGATCCGCGACCAAAAACTCGAGCGACCCCATCCAGCCGAAGCCGGCCAGCGTCGACTCGTCGTCGTCGTCGTTGTCGTACTCCTCGTAATCGTCGTCGTCATCATCATTACTCCCGTGGTCGTTGTCGTCGTCGTCATCATCATCGTCGTCGTTGCTCTCGTAGAGCCCCTGCTGCGCCTTGAACGAGTGCGGCGTCTTGAGGAAGGGGTCGACGAGCGACTGACGGTTCAAGGTCGGCGCGGCGCCCGACGCGGCGAGGGGCCGCCGCATCTTCTTAATATCTAAAGCAGGCGCGGCGACCATGAGCGCCGCGGCGGCCGCCGTCGCGAGGACGCCGGTCCTTAATCTCCGCCGCCGCCTGCCGCCCGCCAGCGGTGTCGCTTCGTCAGGTACGGCCATCAGCGGCGTCGTGGCCTCCTCGTCGTCCTGCTCGATCATTTTTGTTGTGGGTGCTGCCCGGGTAGCCCTGCGCGCGTTTTGCGGCAGCCCTTTTTGCTTGGTCTCGCGAGGCTCGTCCTTGGAATATATCTATTTCTACCGGCTCGCTGCGGATGGACGCGCTCCGTTTCGCCGCAGGGACAGCTCACCGGACTGGTCTGGGTGCGTTGCCCGGCGCGCCCGCTCGAAAATCTACGACGCGCGCGACCGCGGTCCTCGGGGCTCACTCCACGAGCGGTCCGGTGGGGCTTATGTACAAGTCTTAACTACTACAGAGCTCCCGCCCGCAAGAAGACGCTTGCGACGGCGAGCGCCACGACCGCTGCGACGGCCGCCGAGAGCGCCGCGACGGCTGCAACGGGTCCGAAGGGCACACCCGATGAGCTCGGCGCGGCCGCGTCCTCCCAGACGACCCGCCACTTGATGCCGCGCTTGTCCAGGGCAATGGCCTGCGTCCTCCTCATGAGCTCGTGGACCGCGTCGATCTCCTTCCGGAAGATCGACACCGACTCGACGCTCACGCCAAGAGGCACGCCGCAGTCCTGCGTCTCATCTAAAATCTTCTCGAGCGTCTCGCAGAGCAGCGCCACGGACTCGTCGACGGGCGACTCCGCGTCGAGGATGCGCCGCTCGGCCTCTTCCGGCACGCGTATCCCCAACCATTTGAGGAAGGTCATCGTTTTTGCGCGGCCACAGGGAGCAAACGTCAATACGACCTTGCAAGGCGTCAGGCCAGCCGCGCGGCAGGCATCCCCATAATCCCGCAGGAGGCGGATCGTCGGCGCCGGATCATATACTGCTTGCGACACGAACCACTCGGCACCGGCCTGCTGCTTGCGCAGCATGTTGAGGTGCTCGCCCGGCGCGGCCTTGCCCCTTTGTGAAGCGTACTCGTCCGTATGGCGTTCCGGGATGCACACGCAACCAAACGACACGCCGGACGTCTTCTCCACCAGAGCCATGGCCTCTTTGGTGGTCGGCCCCTTCGCCGGGCCGTCGGCCGACGGCCTCCCGACCACATTGAGGCACCGGTGGCCGTGGACGGCTCGAGCTTTTCTTATCCAATTCTCGAACTCCGCGTCGTTGACGCACTTGTAGACGAGGCACTCCTTGCCGCTCGCCGCGCGGACCTCGGCCGCGTACGACGCGCTGTCCATGAGCTGGCGGAACGGGTACGGCCGCTCGGCGCCGCTGCGCGACGGCTCGTCCTGGATGTCATACACAATAAAACCGTCCGACGCTAACACTCTAGATCGCGCCACGAATTTCGCAGCGATCGTCCGCGCGGCGTCCGGCGTCGTGCTGTCCAGGGGCGGCGTGAGGCCGTGCAGGAAGGTCGGCCGCGAGGGGTCCTTGAGGGAGGCCTCCAACGAAGACATGCTGAGAGCTTCCGAAACGTCTCTTCGATGGCAAAAGCACCGCTGCGACTGCTTGCAGCGTGTTGGCTTGCTTTTGTTGCTAGTATGTCGATACGCTAGCTCCTCTGCTCTCAGTCCCTCAACGCCGCCAGCGCCGCCTCAGAGCCGAAGCAGAGTAAGCGAAGCATACCGGAAACACCACTGCCGTCCACCGCACGCTGCCGTCCACCGCACGCCGGCGGGCAGCCCTCAGACATGGGCAGCCTCCAGCGCTCCAGCAGCCTCGGGAGAGCAGGCGAGAGCAGCCTCCAGACGGCGGCCCGGAAATATCTTGAGCGAGAGCAGAAGCTCAAGAACTCGCCCTACGGGCGGCCCCTGGTCAAGAGCCGGTCGGACCCCGCTGCCATACGAAAACAGCGCTACTCGACCAGCAGCTCCGAGATCGGCAGCGGCGTCGCGCGGCAGCAGCAGTCGAAGGCGAAGAAGCACCGGCAGCGCATGGAGGACGAGGCCTTCGCGCGGCAACTCTTGCTGCGCGAGGGCCTCGAGGAGGACGCAGCTATAAAACGCGACGAGGCGCTCGCGCGCGAGCTCGCGAAGCGCGACATGACGCCGCCCGTATCAAGCGAAGGGCGCGAGCTGACGCCGCTCGCGCGCGAGCTGGCGAAGCGCGACGGACTGACGCCGCCCCAGGACGCCGGGCGCGAGCTGGCCAAGCGCGACGCGGCTCGGGCCCTGACGCCGCCCGGGTCCCGGGAGCTGACGCCGCCCCGAGCTTCAGACAAAGCGCTGAGCCTCGCGCGACGAGCAGATGTATTAAGGCCCAAGTCGGCGCGGCGGCGGACGCGGACGCCGTCGCCGCCGCCGGAAAAACTCAGAGACAAGCTTGTGGAGAGATTGCGCGATTTCGGATTACAAGAATTTGATGTCGCCGGCGACGGCAACTGCCAGTATCGCGCCCTCGCGCACCAGCTCTTTGATAATGTCGAGCTCCACGCGGACGTGCGGCGGACGGTCTGCCGGCAGCTCGCCGCGGAGGCGGACCGCTACCGCGGCTTCGTCGCGACGGAAGACGACGTGGACTACGAAGCGTGGGTGGCCCGCATGGCGTGCGCGGGCGAGTGGGGCGACCACGTTACCTTACAAGCTGCCGCCGACGCCTACGGCACGCGCATCTGTCTGGTGACGTCGTATGAGGACCGGGGAATTTTGCGCGTGGAGCCGGCGGAACCAATTGAGGGGGAGGAGCCGCGGACGGCGTGGCTCGCCTTCTGGGCCGAGATCCACTACTCGTCCATCGTGCCCATGTGCGAGGCCGTCGCGGAGGCGCCCGGGTAAGTACTGGTCGTTGTTATTCTTTCGTCTTCGCGTCGCGTCGACGGCGTCCTACTCCTGCAAGAAAACTCGGAGCTAGCGTAATCGACATACTAGCAAATTCAAAGATACGCCTCAATGGCGTCAAACGAATGACCCAAATTCAGAATACATCCTAGTCGTTCGCCGAGACCAAATATTTGAGAGTAGCGGTCCGGGAACATACCCTCGCGCCTCCCGGAAGGCACCGCCCGTGACATTCGCGGATGAGTCTTACGAGTTTCCAAAGTACACCAGCGCTTGGCGCCGCCATCTACCATCCGAATAGTACATTATATCAACTCCAGCTCAGTTTTCATCCACAATCGACGGAACCGGAGCCGACGGCCCGCGCTCGGAGGACGGGAGAAGAGTTCTACTAGACAACTCCCGAGTTTATGTTCGTTTCCTTCCGTTTGTTAGTGGTAGAGTCCATCTAACCCGCATCAGCGCCCACTGAGCTATTTTAGATGACCCGTTAGAGCCGCGCGATTCGTCATCTTCGCGACCACGCGTTTGTACACAGAGTGGCTCAGAACCTGGACCCGCGGGTATCAGCGACGACACCATCCAGATGGACCATAACGCCGTTGTTCTATTCACAATCGACCGACTTGCCCGTTCTCCGCGGACGACGGTGCGTACACGGGGCACTGAATTGGCCCCAGACCGGTGGGTTATATAATAAATTCGCGTTTCAGGCGCTTCGGTTATGGGATGGGCCAGATAACCGGCCTGAGCGTGTACTACATTGCTCCGAGACCCAAAGATGCTCGGCGCGGGTCGTCGGTCTCCCGGGCCCACGATCTATCAAAGACGAGCATCATACTTGAACCTGCGACCATCAGCCCGTGTACCATCACCATGGACCATGACGCGATCATTTGTTCCATGATCGACCGACTTGCGCGAGGTCCAGATCAAGATGTTCACGTCCCGAGCGTGGTCGGCCCAAAGTACCCTTCTCGTGGTGTAGATGTCATATACTTGTAATTGACTATCGCTGGGGTAGTATGGGGTCCGACGAGACCGCTACGGCGACTACTGGGGCCCCTCGGGTAATTGGCGTTTTTGACGGGAACGGGGCGCCATCGGGTCCAAATAAAACAATTTTTGTGCGGGCAGATCGGCTCCTGGAGGTCTCTCGGGGTAGGTCTAGTGGTGGGTAGTCGCCTACGCTGCATGCGCCAGCGCTGGGGCTCCCCAGAGAGCTCTGGATCCAAAACTTGGGGGAATTGGGCTCTGGCCCGATGTCTGGCTGAGAGAGTTGCCCACATGTATCTATCGATGGAAGCCGCCGCGCATGCGGCGTATGCGGTTGCGTACGTCTTGTACCATCCCTCAGCGGCCCCAGGGAGACCTCGGGGCCACGAATCGACAGGATTCCATCGACGCGCCCGCCATGGCGGCGTCGTCAATATCGCGAATTAAAAAAAATATTTTTTTCGCCCCCCAGGAAGTGTACCATTGATCTCTTTGGACCACTAGCGAACTGAACGACACTCAAACACTTGCGTGGCGTGTTTTCTAAAATTCAAATTAAACGGCGGGTTGGTCCCGCCATCGAGCTCTAGATACGCCATCGCGCAGAAACCAACAACTATGTTTTTAGCCTACTCCGCAGCTGCTCCGCGAGGTCCAGCATGCCGTCCTCCGGGTCCGCGTCCGCGCCGAGGTCCCCCAACAGCGCTTCATACCTCAGAAAGTGCGTTCGAGCGTCCTCCACTTTACCTTGATTGAACAGAGTGGCGGCGTAGTTCAAGCGACACGTGTGGTCGTCTTTCAGTTTGAGCGACTTCTCAAACGCCAAATACGCGTTCTCCAGGTCATCCATCGCGGACAAAGCCACGCCCATGTACATGTAGCAGGGCGCATAATCCTTCTTCCGATTCACGGCCGCATTGAAGAAGTGAAACGCCGACGCGTGCTGCTTCGTATGTAAATGTACCAAGCCTAGGTTGAACGCCACGATCCACTCGAACGGATCGAGGTAGTGCGCCTTCTTCAGACAAGAGATCGCGGCGATGTTCTTGCCTTTCCCGAACAGGGCCATGCCCACGTTGTTCCATAATTGGGGAGAGTCTGGTGTTTGGGCCGCGGCGACCCTATACTTATGCAGGGCCACGTCCATGTCGCGATTATCCTGTATGATACTACCGACCGCCAGTATAGCTTTGACATTCCTAGGATCATGGGTCAGCGCATTACCCAAATAGTCGAAGGCTCTTTGATGATCATCCAATCGCAAATATGCCAATCCTATGGTAGTGAGTAACTCGGGGCTCTCCGGCGAGAAGTCCAGCGCGTCCTGGTAGACTTTGAGAGCGGCGGTGGGGTCGCCCCGCTCCTCGTGGACCTTGCCTAGCTGCAGGAAGGTGGCGTCGTGCCGTTGGTTGGCGTTGGCTCGTTCGAACGCATTGATGGCTTCATCGAACTGCTTCAAATACGCATGGCATAATCCAGAATTGTGCCAGAGCTCCCAGTCGTCGCCGCCCTTACTTCTTCTAGAGGACTTCTCCTCGCCCTTGGCCTCCTCGCGCGTCTTGCGCAGCTCCGCGCTCAACGACCGCGCCTGCTCGTAGACGCCGAGCGCCGCTTTGTGCTTCCCCAGCAAGTACAGCGAGTGGCCGACCTGCTTGAGATTCCTCACGTTGGAGGGATTCAAACAAGTTGCGGCCTGGAAGAGCTCGAGCGCCTGCTGGATCTCGCCGCGCTGTCTTGTTATGAGTGCTTTCACATATAAAGGGTACTCGTTCAACCCGTTCGACGCCGTCAGAGCTTTCTCCACCACCGCTAAGCACTCGTCGAACTCGTTGCGCGCGTAGAGCTGCGCGATGCGCCAGTTGTGCTGCTCCGGTGGGGCGGCGCCGGCCATCCGTACTGGTGGGGCAGCCTCGGTCGTCGAGTGCTGTCGTCGACGGCGTGCGGAATTGACCACTGGCTGCCCGCGTGCGCGTGCTGCGTGTGCTTTTAACAACACACTGGCAGCTTGTCTTGGAGATGTTTTTGGCTCGTACGCGCTGCTAGCGAGGAGTCCTCGCCGAGCTATGGATTGCTTCGAGCAACTTATATGTGTCCGCGCTGTTTGCTAGTATCTTACAGCCGCTACATAGTCCGAACTTTCAGGCGCGGGACGCGGCATAGCGCATTCCTCGCGCTTAAAACGGTGTTTCCCGTGCACACGCATGCTGCTGCTGCTGCCCTGCGAGCGCTGCCTGCATCTAGCAGCGCAACCGTAACGTTGGCGATTACAGCACCAGTGAACAGCAGCACCAGTGAATCTGTCCGCAGCCATGGCCGACGAGAAGAAGGACGACATCACAGCCTTCGCGAAAGCACGGCTGCAGGACCCGTCGCCCAGGAAAGCGCGACGGCAAGGCCGCCACCGGAACTCGCACAGCACGACGGCCGTCCCCGAGCTCTGGCTTAGAGTGAGCGAGCGGCGCGCGGACCACTTCGAGGAGGACTGCGAGGTGGAAGGCGACGACTGGTACTTCTCCGGCCCCTATTCGGCCGAAAGCTCTTCCCTCCGAGCGGAGGCGGAACGTAGTCCTCGATTGGATTTTGGGGGAAGACCCTCACCGGGCTACCACGCTTTATTGTATGGCGCTTTGAGGGACGGCTCGGCGTCGCCGATGACGCCCCATACCATCGTAAGAGTATCAAGAAGACGATGGTTGATGTTGGCTTATCTATCGTTACTAGCTCTACTCTCAGATTGGATCTGCTTCTCGGCGGCACCCATAGCGCCTCTGGTGAGGCGGAACTTCCGGGTCCACGACGCGCATTTGGTGACGTGTTTTCTCGCCACAAATGTCATTTTCTGTCTACTGGAACCGTCGGTGGTCAAAGTGTGCGGTTTGAGAGTAGCGGTCGTCGGCGGCGCCCTCGCGATGGCTCTTGGTTGTTTACTACGAAGCGCGGCGGCGGAGGTCGCGGTCTACGAGCAGGCTTACCTGTCGGACGACGACGACTCGTTATCCCTAGATATGGCTCCTGGGTATTTAGTAGTAGCAGGCACCATGCTCGTCGGCGCGGCGCAGCCCTTCTTCCAGTGCACGCCTTCCTTACTAGCTGCCAACTGGTTCGGCGAGTCGGAAACAACTCTAGCCGCTACGTTAGCACTAAACAGCAATCAGTTGGGCATCGCTCTAGCGTATGCGGTCGGTGCGGGTCTAGTCCGGACGGACGCGGATCTAGCTTTATATTTTAGAGGATTGGCTGTGTTTGGCTGTCTGTTGTTTATTGGGTGCGCGGCTCATTTCCGGTCCTTACCAAAGAAAGCACCGTCACTCGCGCAGATGGCGGCCTTGAAGCGCGCCAAGGATCTAGAAGAACGGAGACGATGCTTCGACGCGCTGCGACGGGCCGAATTGGGAGGAACGCCCAAGGTCGTTCCCGAGAAGACGTCGTCGTCGAACCTATCACTCCTCGAGAGGCGAGTCTACGGCAAGCCCATCACGCACTGGTTGGTCCATGGGCGGCAGCTGGGGCACGGTGCCTTGGACCTCGGGACGGATTTGTTACGGTCTTCATTACGGTTGTGGTCGTCGTCGGGGTTCCGAGGATGTCTGATAGCGTTTGTTTCTTCCATAGCGTCTACGAACTTGTTTTCCGCCTTCTTGCCTCATCTCGTGTATGAGGGAGAAGGGAGCGCGGTCGATTTAGGATTGGTGGCGCCGCAGAAGTCGCGGCACCAAGCCACACGAGTCGCGGCGCTGGGGTCGGCGTTCCAGGTCGCTATTCTACTAGGTTCACTAACTTTCGGCGGCTACGTCGACTGGTCCAAGCGCTACAAGACGGCTACTGGATTGGCTATGATTGGTACCGTAGTAGCGCTGTTATTCATCGGGGACGGCGCGGTCGTGCGCCAGCGCCTAGATTGTACTGTCCTACTATTAGGCTGTCTCGCGGGCCCCGTCCAGCCGTTAGCGGCGGAGTTAGCGGTAGAAGTGACCTATCCGGAGGGAGACGAGAACACGATCGTCGCCCTGATGCAAACGGCTGGCAATGGCATCAGCGCGCTGGCGGTGCCGGCGTTCCTTGCGTTGCAGCGCTTCTACCGCGCGCGGACGACGGATTACCAGTTGCGGGTGGAGTATTTGGTGCTGGCGTTGTTGAATGCTCTTGCGACGGGCTACTTCCTCTGCCGCGTCTACGGAGAACCCCTGAAACGGTGCGCGGCCAACCAGTCGCGACCGGCGTCGCGCGCCACGACGCCGGTCGAGAACGGCGCCGAGGACACGCCGACGGCGGAGCTGCGTGGTCGGAGGCCTTCGGTGGACTTCCTGCCGATCGCTTCGAATCAACGGGGCGTCTCGGACGGGTACGGGTCCACGCAAAAGATGTCGCTGTGACTGATGTGGTATCTGATATGTAAATTATGTATATTGCAAACTCCTTGCTTACATCACCCGGAAAAGTGCTGAGGCTAGAGTCTTACATGCCGCTGGCACATTATTGGCAGCCGCAGTGGAGACCGTGCGTCCTATACGGCGCACTGATTGACTGGCGCTTCGGAACGCCAACACATCGATCGCTGCGTGCCGCGCGCCCAGCGAAATCCAGCTTGTTCCATCCCTGCGGTGCAAAAAACGCTCAGTGACCCTGCAGACCGACTGCACCAAAATACGGCATCAGAGAGCGGCGCAGCAGAAAGATGCAGATATTCGTCAAGCCGTACGACCGCACGCTGACCCTCGACGTCCGGCCGTCCGACACCGTCGCTATCGTGAAAGGCATGATCCAACACCGGACCGCAGATATGATTATACTCGACGAGGCTATTCCAGCCCACAAGATGTGCCTCGCCTACGCGGCCAAACCGCTCGCCGAGGACTATCGGACGCTAGCGGATTACGGCGTCCGGAATCTAGCCACGCTCACCTTTGGAATCAACGTGTCCGCAAAGCCGCCGCAAGCTCGTCACGTGCTGTACCTCGATTATCCCACCGACCGGAAGGCGTTCTCGTCGGATTGCTTCTACGATGTCGAGCTTGACACGAGTGTCCGGGACCTGAAGCGGATGGTCCTGCTCAAGGATAATATCGTTATTACTCGCATGTTCGATATATTTAGGGATGGTAGCAATCGCACGGAGCTGAAGATTGGCGGCGTTATACTGGAAGCCATACTTTCGGATCACGCGCGCGAGAACACGCTGCCAACGCTTAAGGTAACTCACTTCTCGCGGCGCGCGCGCGCCTCAAGAAATGTGACTCGACTCGCCACGGACCTCTTGCGCGAGGTGCTCTCGTACAGCGACTTGCGGATGCTTGCTGCGAGCGCCTCGACGTGTCGCACGCTCCGCGAGGCCATCCCGCCGAAGTTCGCGCACGAGCTGGTCCTGGCGCGGTTCCCGATCCTGTCGACGATCGTCGACGTGTCCACACCGATGCCGCCGGCGCGGGAGCTGTTCGAGTCGCAGACGCGCCTCTTCGACGGTGTTCGGCGCGTCTCGCCGATGCGCGGCCTGGACGAATATGTCTTCTCGCTCGAGCTCACGGTCTATGCTCGACGGGAGGCCTTGTGCCACGTGGGCACCGGCGTGGTGGTCGAAGACTCGTCGGAGCCGCGGATTCGCTTTGACGTGCCAACGGCTCTGTGGATAGGAGCTGTTGACGAGTCAGGACCTGAACTCATGGTGAAAATCATGGCGACGCGGCGGGGGACATTCCGACGAGCAGGAATCTACGAGGGCGGTCTGGACGATGTAGTGGAGAATGAAATTGATTTTGCTTGGAATCACGCCCCGACCCAAACTGCGTCTCAGACGTGGATCACACTCGGCGTCAATAATAACATAGTCTACAGCCCGATGATGGATGTCAAATGGCATTACTCGCCCGAGGCTGGAACGTGCGAGCTCATCGCTAAGTTTAGGTGGGACGCGGAAGACGACGTTATTGACATGAGCCTCGAGGACGCGTGCCTCATGCTCGAGCACTGGTGTAAGTTGTGATCTTGTATAGGCTTTTGTTTGTTGGGTTGTTTCTGTTACGGTTACCATATTCCGTCGACGACGGGGTATTTACGGTGCTGGGACCAGTGGCACAAGTCTTGTATTTTTGCTAGTGTCTTACAGGACGCTAGATAACTCGGTGATGCAAACGTGATGCACATACGTCCGACAGCTTTAAAACGTTTATCAATAGCTGAAACACACTAATACCTCGCCCGACGCTCGCGCGGAAGGCTCGGCAGCAATGCCACGCCTCTCCGCTCTCGTCCTGCTGCTTTCCACGCCAACCACGCATGCGCTCGCGGCTGCCAAGCGGCGCAAGCCCTCGAAGCCCAAGACGAGCGAGCCGGACTACATTGACATCCAGGACGGCGACGTCGCGTGGCAGTGCGAGTCCGTCGTTGAAACGCTGAAGAGCGGCGGCGTCGGCGTGATTCCCACGGACACGGGCTACGCCTTCTGCGCGCGCGTGAATGAGAAGGACGCGGTGCGACGCCTGCTGGATATCAAAGGAGCCGACTCGGGGAAGAAGCCTCTGGCACTGCTGTGCCGCGACCTGGCGGCAATCGACCAGTACACGCGCTACCAGTCGCGGACCATCTTCAAGGTCTTGAAAAAGGCGCTGCCCGGGCCCTACACGTTCGTGCTGCCCGCGTCGGAACATCTGCCGCGGGTCCTCCTGAAGAACGGCAAGCGCCAGTGGAAGCGGAACACGGTCGGCGTGCGCGTGCCGGCCGACGCCGTCTGCGCGGCGATCCTGGAGGCGCTGGACGGCGAGCCGCTCTTCTGCTCGTCCGTGCCGGTGTCCGAGGACGGCGACCAGCTCGTCTGCCACGGGCCGCTTGATGAGGACGGGAGCTGGTGCTCGCTCGTGGATTTCGTGGTGGACGCCGGGCCGCGGCCAATCGAAGGGTCGACGATCTACGACCTGGCGGCGGACGACGGACCGGTTTTAGTGCGCGAGCGCCTCGGGCCGCCGATCCCGGAGCTGGATCTGGTCGTCGCGTGAATCATTGTGTAGATAGTTGTAATTTAGTCGTATTCGACTCATGCGGCGACGGCGTTGGGCGGCTAGCATCATTCTAGTTTACTAGTAGACTTCTACTTACGCCGGCGGTTCCGGGTCCGAGTCGCTGACCTTGGACCGCCTCCGGCGGCGCGCGACCCAGACGACGCGTGCGGTGCAGCAATAGGCCCCAGTGATCGAGACGGTGGTAATGTAGAATAGGCGCACGATTGCCCTGCGATCCGGTTGAGACCGCTCAGAGAGGAAGTAGGCGCCGAACCCTGCGAGCACGAGTACACCCGTAAAAAATAACGCAGCCCCCTCCACAAGGCTAAGACTGAGTTTGGTCACCGCGAGGTGAGGATCTATTCCTCCGACGTCGAAGACTCCCAGTGAGAACAGCCATGCCATGATCAGCGAAAGCTGAAAAAGATAAGTCGCGGCGAGTCGGAAAAATTCATCCGGTCCGATCCCCTGCGAGACTGCGATGAGCGACAGCGCGGCCTGCAGGCCTATGATTTCGGTAAGCCTCCCCGTGATCCGGGTCGTCACGGTATCCAGCGAGCCGAGCGCGCGCAGCTCCGAGCGAATGACTGCTATGAGCCAAGCGAATGTGGCGGCGACAAACACGTTCCACAAGAAATACATGAATGTTGCGAGGATAGTATTTCCATCCGACAACGAATAAACAACCGAAAATACGCCCTGATACAGCCAGAAGATGAACCAGATAAGGATCGCACGCCTACCGACGGCCGACGAGTTCATCGTGCCGAAGGCATATAACAAGCACAGACTCATGCTAATCGAAAAAACCATAATCTCCAAATGCGAAGCGTGAGTGCGAAGGCTCCCTTTACTCAGAGCGGCGAGCGTGAATATAGCATTGTTGCCCACGAGCCATGCGACGACGAACCGTTCCAGCCGCGCGTACTCTGAAGCGGGAACGTCCTGCTCGTCCCCTGCGGCAGCCTCAGCACCAGGCTTGGGCTGCTGATGGCTGCTTCCAAATATGGCATCCATGGCCGCTGTAGTTCTGTTCAGTCAGATGGAGTGTGTCCCCAAGCTGGCAGCTGCTCACAGGCCAGCAATGCAGTGCAGCAGGCTATCAGACGTCAAATGCCTGGGGCAGCGTTGCACAGGAGACAAATCGCGGCACGGCGTCGTGTGAGGCTGTGGCGATGCGTGCGCAGCTGTGGCGATGCGTGCGCAGCTACTTGGGCAGCCTTTTATAACGCGAGCTCCGACTCTGAGCAAAAAGACCCAGCCAAGAGGCACTAGCTTTTGAAACCCCGCGACCAAAGGACTAGTACTGCGAGTAGTAGCAAGGGTATTTTCGTCGTTCTTAGTTATGCTGGCGGTTCCGGGTCCGAGTCGCCGACCTTGGACCGCCTTCGCCGGCGTGCGACCCACACGACGCGGGCGGTGCAGCAGAAGCCTCCGAAGATCGCGATGGCAAAAACGCCCCACACGCCTTCCACCGCGCGCTGCTTCGGTCGCGACTGCTCGGAAAGCACGTAGGCCGAAAAACCGCAGAGGACCATGAGACCGGTGAAGAATAAAGCGGAGCCCTCCACGAGGCCGAGGCGGAGTTTGGTCACCGCGAGGTGAGGATCGATGCCCGAGACGTCGAAGATAGCTATCGAGAACAGCCAGGCCATACACAGCGAAAGCTGAAACAACCCGGTCGCAGCCAGTCTATCCCCTGCCTTCGGTCCGATCCCTTGTGTGACGGCGATTACACCCACAGCTGTCTGAAGACCCATGATTTCTAGGAGTCTTGTCGTGCGGGTCGTGTCCAGTGAGTCGAGCGCGCGCAACTCCGAGCGAATGAGGTTCATCAGCCAAGCGAATGCGGCGCCGAGAAACGCGTGCCACAAGAAAGCACCGAAGAGTTGATAAGTTGGCGAGCCCTCCGACCAGAAGAGAACAGTCACAAATACAGCCTGATGAGCCCAGAACCCCGCCCAAATTCCAACCGCGCGTCTGCCGACGGCCGACGAGTCGAGTGTACAAAAAAAATATAAACAGCACATGCTCATGCAAATCGGCCACGTAAGCATCTCCAGGTGCGTAGCGTGCGTTTTCCCGCGGCCATTTTTACTCAGACTGGCGATCGTGAGCAGAATACTGTCGCCCACGAGCCACGCCACGACGAGCCGCTCCAGGCGCGCGTACTCCGAGGCCGGCTCGTCGACTTTTTCATCCCCTGCTGCACTAGGCTTGGGTTGCTGATGGCTTCTGGACGGCAGCATCGATGCTGCCCAGGTCAGAGCAATGCAAGTGCAGAAGGCTGTCAGGCGTCAAATGCTTGCAGACGGCGGCGACGGCGTCGCGGGCGGCTGTGGCGATGCGTGCGTAGTTTTAGGCACAATCGGGCAGCACTGCTTCCAACGCAATCGCAGCGCGCTCGACAGACTGTGTGGACCCGCACGCGGCACGCCGCCGCCGCGCCCGCGCGCCCAGAGGTCGTAAGTAAACGCACTTAGGCGGGAAAAAGAAGCAGTCAGGCGTACGTCGGCGGCTTGACGAGCAAATGGCGCGCGCACGGCGCCGCGCAGTCGGCCGCCAGGACCTCGGACTCCGGAATGTCCCCCCAGAGCATCGCGTCCGTTTCACTATCGTCATCACTTTCCTTCTCGAAGACGACGGGGCACACTCTAGTTCTCAACCACACGACGATGCAGTCTCTAGATAAAGGCCACCTCGGTAACGCAGCAACTAACACCGGATGGAAAGATTGGGCTAATTCCACTTGAAACAGCGAGTCGCAGGACCGGCCCCAGGGCGCCTGGGCTAACGACAAAGTCCCTCCGGAGCAGACGGACTCGCCCACGACAATAATTGCTTCTCCCTCGTACGCGCGTAAGCATGCCAGAGCTAATGATCCTGGATCTTCTTCTGAGTCACTCTTTGATGAGTCCTCCTTATCATCGAGGTCCGCTCGGCACGCGTCGTCGGGGTAGCAGAGGAACAAACTCCGATCCGACAGATGTTCGCACACTTCTGGCCCTCCGACCTTGACGTCGAAATAACATTTGGGAGGAGGCTTCGCATCAAACGCCACGACGTCGACGCCTCGCGCGTGCAACAGCGACGCCCAGTAGCCCTTGCCCGCGCCGACTTCCACGAGCGGCGCGTACGCTTCCAGCACCCGCAAAGCCCGCTCATCCGGCAGCGCCCAGGCGTACTCCCTCCTCAGTCGATCGCCAGATTCCGCCATGAGCTCCCAGAGCTCGGCGCGCCGCTCGGCATCTAGCGTCGATGACAGGAGTCGGTTCATGTCCGGGGGCCACGACGCCGCGACCGCTTTATAGGTCTCGAGCATGGCGATGCGGGCCTTGCCGGGCGCGGGCTGGGGGCGGGAGCTGCGGTTCTTCTTGCGCGGGGGCTGGCGGGTCTCCATCCTTCGTCGGCGCGTTGGTCTTGCAGTGTCCGACTGTCTGGTTTCGCCTTGCTGCTCGCGTCGACGGGCGTTTGAGGAGCTGTAAGCGTCGGGATCTGCGAGGACTATCAACGCTGCGCCGCTGGGCAAGCTGCGTATGTCAGAGGTTGTCTGCGCGGTGAGTTTGAGCCGTGCAAAAAGCGCCTCGTCGACAAGCTCTGGATGTGTGGGCTGAAAGTGCAGGCAAGGGATTCGCCGACGTACAAGATTTCAGCGTAGGAAGACGTATTCCTACATGTCTAGGTCAAATCGGACCGCAAGACTTTCGGGCTGTGGGATTTCGAGCTGAGAGAGCAGCGCAAAAATGCGCCCTGGCGCTCCATGCCTTCCGCCAATGCAAAACGGTGAGCGCTGGCGCATGGTGATGCCAAACTCCCGCTGAAGGGGGCAGCCCCACCGACGAGCCATGCGCGCCGCAATAGCATGGCTCACCGTAGCAGCAGCAAATGCCCAGCAGGCCTCGGTAGCCCGCGTCCCGACGCAGGGCTCCTTCGGCGCGGAACTCCAAGCGAGAGACCAAGCCTACCTCGACCTGTCCTACGTGCGAACGAAGAAGCGTAAAGTATTGCTGCACGGTACCGTAGACGAACAAACCCAACAAGCTTTAAAAACGTACGGCACGACCCTGAAGAGCGACCAGCTCGCGGCCCACTCCCACAACAAGTTCGCCATACCTATCACGACAGATGGGACGGACCCTTGCCCTCCAAACGTCACAAGGCACTTCACCGTCAAGCCGTGGTTCTGGGACAACGCGTGGCACGCGCGCGGCGTCCTGCGGTGCCTTCACGCCGTCGACGCGACTCTTTGAGGCCATTCGGACCGCTTTGACGGAAATGCTCCGCGCAGGCACTTCTGGAACGACCTCACGGCGCTGGGGCATCGTCTTGCAGAGGCTTCTCATCGCCACGAGCGGCTGGCGTTGGACGTATTTCCAGATATTCCTAATGATCGCATCAAGCTCATTGATTTGATTCTGAAGCCGGCCTTCGCGGGCGGCATCCGGGGCGCCTCCACATTATTCTCGTCCTCGGAGACGTGTTTGCATTTACACTGGGCCGTGGGGCCGCGCGTGATTGGCCCTGTTGATGGTGGGGGCTTTTCTGGGGAGCGACGGGCGGCGGCGGACTTCTGGCGTCATAAGCTGCTAGAGGACGGTTCTATAAAGGATGAAGATCGAGATAGTGACAACTACAAGCCGTCGGTCATCTTCGTGGGGCGGTCTTGTGCCGGGAGGGGCGCAGCGAGGTGCATCCGCAACGACGGCCTCGCAAACCTAAAAAAAGCGTTCGAAAACCGAGGCTGGCGCGTCGACGCGAACTGCTGCGCGTGGTCTGATGCAAGAAAAACACTAAGGAGCTTCGCGGGCGCCGACATCGTCCTGGGGCCACATGGGGCCGGTCTCGCGAACGCGCTGCTGGCGCGGCGGGGCCTCGTGCTCGTCGAGGTGCACGGCGACTTCGGTGCCGAGCTCGACCTGTTCAGGAAGGTCGCGGACGGCCGCGCGGGCGGCTACGTTTCCGTAAAGGGGCGCTTCTCCGGTCTTGGGGGCATGAGGTTTACTCCTGAAGACGCGTCTCAAATAGCCGCCTGCGCCGTCAACGTGTGGCTGGACGGTCGCAACGCGCGCGTGGCGAACGCCACGGTGACGACATCTTCAGGAACGCTCGCGGCCTGCGGCCGCGTCGGCCCGGACCCGTCCTCTCCAAAGCTCTTCGTCGGGTCGCGGAAGCGCCTCGGCAGCGGCGGCGCGCTGATCGAGGGCGCCGCGGTGGTCGGCCACGACGTCGACTGCTCGAGCCCGGGAAAGCCCGCGCCGAACAAGTACGTCTGCCCCGAGGCGGTTGATAGGACCGTCCAGGGGCGACCCGGCGTCCCGGGGCCGCCGCAGCAGCCCGGGCGGCGGCGTCCTCCGGGGTGAGTTAAAGGTATGTCATGTAGAGACTCGTGACCCCGACGCCTAAATTCGAACGACGATACTTACAGTGCTAGATTCGATTGGCAGAGAAGCGTTTTGAAACAGCAGCCTATTTCAGATGCGAGTGGATATCCTCCGATCGCCGGATAAAACTCAGCGCGGCGAGCGCGCCGACGACGAGGACAAAAACAGCGACCCAGAGAGGCCACGCCGCCGCGGGGTTCCGGTGCGCCTCGATGGCCGCGACGATGGATTGAATGCCCGCCTCCGACAACCGGAACCGGCCGTCCCGCCAGTACTTTGTTCTGAGGTGCAGGAAGCCCCGACGGTCGGTCTGCTCGAGGCGGTCGGCGTGGACCGTCTTATAGCCAGCACCCACGTGGCCGAAGATCGTGCCCCAGGGGCTGAACCACCTTGATTTCACTTCGATTAACAGAGACGGCCGGCGCAGCCAGACGCCGTTCGCGCAGCCCGCCCCGTGAAAACAAACTAACGCATCAGCGCACGACAACGCCTGCCGCTGGAGGTCCCAGGACCAGCTCGCGTCCGGCTCGATGACGTGGGTCTTGACGCCGACGCGCGTCAAGGCGGCCGCCACGGCGTCCCAGTTGTCAAGCGATCGCCGCGTTCCAGAGGCGCGCTTCACGATGACGGCGTGGTAGTGGTGAGGGCATTTATCGACGCTGCGCGGTCGATCTCGCAGCCACCGGCCCATCTGGCGCCGCGCGAGCGCCTCGTGGAAGAACTTGCCGACGGGGCCGTACGCCATGGGCGGCGGATGCTTCGCGGCTCTGCTGAAGGTGAGGCTGATGTTCGTACCGAGCTCGCGCTCGATCGCCCCTCTCTGGTTCGCCAGCGACGCCGGGAGCGTCAGCGACGCCTCCGCGGCCGCGATGCCGCCGCGCTCGAGACACATGCGGTTGTATAAGACCGTATTGTACAATGCATGGGCGTAGTTTCTCGTAGCATGCCGCTCGACGTACAAGGACGTGCGCGTCCCGTTGCGCACGACGAGTCTACAAATGAAGCGCCACCACGCGTCGTCGTTGAGCTCGTTTAACATTTCCGCCCAGTAGACGCTGAACGGGTCCTGGGGCGACGGCGTCAGTGTCGGCGCGCCGAGCCCGCCGGCCGTCGCCTCGTCGCGACGGCGGACCGTCGGCGCGGGGAAGGGTGGATGCGTGTGGCCGATCACGGCTACTGAGAAAACGCACGCGCTCGCAAGAGCGAGAGCGAGGCCCGCCCGCCTGGGCTGTGGCATTTTGGGAATTTCAACCCCATCCATGATCTCGCAACGTAGGCCCCTTGTGATGCTTAGGAATCGTGCAGGCACAGCGGTTCTTAAATGCCCGAGAAAGCCGAGGCGCCGCGTTGGCTGAAACCGCCGCCCGGCCACAAAGATAATGCTATGCTGCTTCCCCCTAGTGCGTCTATGCACTATCCTACGCCATCGCCGCGATGAATATGATACAGGCGCCATCGCCGCGATGAATATGGACAGACCCTTACCCGCCGAACCGAGCTACTGCTCCATATAAGCCGCGATGAGCACCGCCGTGCTCGCGTTGAAGCCTTGCGTCGACTTCGCCACCAACCCTTTGCCGACCTCCTTTGCGAGCACCTTGCCGAGCTGCACGCCCCACTGGTCGAAAGAGTTGATGCCCCAGACCCAGCCCTGGACGGCGACGCGGTGCTCGTACAAGGCCAGCAACAGACCCATCGACCGCGGCGTCACCGCGTCAAACAATAATGAAAGCGACGGTCGATCCCCCGGGAAGGCCTTGTGCGGGTCCTCGGAAACCTTCCCGACCGCGAGCGCGTCGGGCTGCGCGAAGAAGTTGCACATGAGCTCGTCGTGGTTTGATAGAGCATTGCCAGCCAAAGTCACGGGCGCCTGCGACTTCTTGAACCCAATAAATTCCGCCGGAACAACTCTCCCTTGGTGCATCAACTGGTAGAAGGAGTGCTGGCCGTTCGTCCCCGGTTCCCCGAAGCAGATCTCCCCAGCTTCGAAGGACAACGTACTCCCGTCCATCGCCACCCTCTTCCCGTTCGACTCCATGTCGAGCTGTTGGACGTGGGCCGCGAACCTTAGTAGAGCCTGGGCGTACGGCAATATCGCTTTACAATTGTACCCGAGGAACGTCGAGTTGTAGAGGCCGAGCAAACCGAGCAATACGGGTAGGTTCTTTTCTAACGGTGCAGACTTAAAATGCAGGTCCATCGCATGTGCGCCAGCCAAAAACTCACGTAACGGCGCCATGCCGTACTGCAGCGCCAAAGGCAATACCCCAACAGGCGAATGCACGGAAAAGCGTCCCCCCACGTAATCGCCGAACGCGAAGACGTTCTCCGGCGCGATGCCGAAGTCCGCCGTCAATTGCATCTGCGTCGACACCGCGGCGACGTGCTGTCTCACCACTTTTGTGGCATCGGCCTTGATCGACGACGTGAGCCAGTCCTTCACCGTTTTCGCATTCATAATTGTTTCAGCAGTAGTAAAGGACTTCGACACCACCACCACCAACGTCGAGGACGCGTCGACGCCGTCGACCTGCGAGAGACGTCTCAAAATGAAAAAAAAGACCAGCCTCCACAATCTCTGACGGAGACGCATTCATGAAGATGGCGCGAGACGCCGGTTACCGCACCTGCCGCGCGAAGTCCACGGGGTCCACGTTCGCGACGAACTTGAGCGTCCGCCCTTCCGCCGCTTTTTTACATGAAGCGTCCGCTCTTAACGCTTCGTAGAGGAACTCCGGGCCGAGGTAGGAGCCGCCGATGCCGATCGCGAGGACCGTCGTGAGTTTTTTGCCCGTCGCGCCGACCCATTTACCTGAACGTACTCTTTGCGTGAAGTCCTCGATCTTATCCAATACTGAATTGACGAATTTGACCTGGTCCTCGCCGTTGGCGATCATCGGGGCTGCAGTTTTAGGTGCTCGGAGCGCGGCGTGGAAGACACTTCGTTTCTCGGTCTCGTTGATGACATCTCCTCTAAACATGGCATCTCTTTTACCTTCCACATTGGCCTTGCGCGCTAGCGCTACGAGCTTGCTCATCGTCTCCTGGTCGACTTTTTGTCTCGCGAAATCCATTAAAACGCCCTCCGCTTCTACTCGTAACGAAGCGCACCTCTCGGCGTCCTCGAGCTGATCTCTTAGATGTTTGGCCTTTTGCTGGGTCGCTGCTTGAGCCACAGCTTTCCACTCGGCTGTGCCGGCGATGCCGCTCGGGCCGTTCAGGAGCTTGGCGGTCTCGGGGAAGGAGGCTTCTAGAGTTTCACTCGAATAAGTAGCGGCGTCCTTGAGCGAGTTGCCCAGGGCCGTGGTGTCCAGCGACGGCGCGAGGGGCGTGGCCTCGGGCACGGCGTCGCTGACAGCCTCTATCGCGGCGCCTGCTGCGTCGCTGACGGACTTGACCGCCTCTCCTATCGCCTTGACGGCGTCGTCGGTGATGGAGCCATTGCGCGCGGCCATCGTCTCGCCAAAGGACTGGATGCGGCCTTGTACTATTGACAGAAAACGCTAGCGTGCCTGTAGACACACTAGGAATCCGCCCTGGGAGGATGTATCGCAGGCGGAGGACGCTTGCGTCTGCCCGAGAGTAATGTGTGCATATGAACAAACTTGGATGGATTACACACTCAACCCCAGGGGCCCCGGCCCTCGGCCTCGTTGCGGCGTCGTATATTTTCACACATTCGCTCATGGTCTTCAAATGAAACTTCGCCGTGCTCGTCCCGCGGCAACGCCCTGAGATCATCAATGTGAACCATGGGGCACTCCCGGAAGCGACGGTCCCGCAACTTCTCCAGGCTGCCGGCGCGCGGCCATCGCGCCTTGAAAATGCTGTTCACGACGAACTGCGTCCGCGGGCCGTCCAAATTCCAGCCCTCGGTCCGCCAGCAGAACTCCTCCGCCGAGGCCGGCACCTTAATGCCGTCGCGCCGTTCGGACGAACCGGTCTCCATCCACCGCGCAAAGTCGTTCCCGTTCGACTCGCGCCACGGTTTGAACCGGGCCGGGTCGAACACGGACGGGTCGTCTTCGGGGTACCGCGCCAGCGACGGGTTCAGCCGCGCGTGCTCCGGAGGAACCGGGTTCAGCGAGAACGCGTGCTCGCGGCACGAGTGCTTCACGCCCGCGCGGAAGCACTTCTCGCAGAGGTCGTAGCCGGGGTCGGGGACGCACCGGGTGCACCGATAGACCAGGCCGACGAGCGAGCCCTCGCTCCGTGTCGCGGCGCCGGCTCTTCCAGTTCTCATTGATGCGAGAGCATCATGGAGCATGTGGTCGCGAGCGGTCATGGTGGAGCAATTGTCGCACCAGACGTTCTCATGGATTTCGTCCGGCTCGCCCGTCTCGTGCGGGCCGCGCTCGAGCCGCACGTTGGCCCGGGGCACGCTCTTGGGCTTCAGTTCCCCGTCCAAGCGCACGCCGACGCGGTCCTCTGCGGTCTGGCTCTTCACGATGGTGCCGCGACGCAGGTTCAGAATGTCCGCTTTCAGACCGTGGAGCACGACGCGCGTGCCGACGGTGAACAACGCCGCCCAGACCTCCGACCGCGCTTCGGCGGCCGCGCGGTGGCAGCACGCCATTCGCTTGACCAGCGAACCGCTGTCGCCCGCGAACTGGCAGCACAGCGCGAGCACGGGGGGCGGGAGGCCACCGATGAGCTCTCCAGTGGTGGGCGGCACAGTGCTGGTGCCTTCAGGCTCGGTGCCTTCCGCCAGCCGCGTCGCCGAGATCGCGTGTGCGAGATCATCGGCCGAATCCATGAGGTCAATAATGTGTCCAGAGTCGCGCGCCGCGGCCGGTTTAGGAGGGTCAAGGCAACTTTGCCAAAAGTTTAGCTAGCGTATGTGGACACACTAGGATTCCTACGGAAATGTGTCGCACGAGACGAAAGAACAAAAAGGATACAATTAGAAGGGCGTCACCGACTCCCGCGCATGGCCGGCGAGCTCTCCTCCGTCATCGCGGGCACCTCGCCGACGGCCTCCTTCTCGAACCCAAAACCCATCGGCGTTGCTCGCGAAGCTTTCATCTTCGAGTTCTGATTGTATATGTAAGCGGCGGCGCCCGCGGTCACTGCGGCGGCCGGCAGCACGAAGTTTCGCAAGACGTCGATCTTCGACGTCACCACGGCATGCTGCCGGTTCGTCTCCGTGACGACCCAGCGCAGGTCGCCCGTCGTGCGGTTCGGCGCGCGCATGAGGAAGCCGTAACGCATTGTGGAGCGCAGGAGGCCCTGCCGCCAGGCGTTGCTTGCCATGGCTCAGGGTGGGCTGCCCCTGAGATGTTACCTCGACCGCGCCAAGAGCTGCAAAGCCTGGACGCAGAGGTTCGGGAGAGATGAGGCAGTGCCGTGCAGACGCGACGTTGTGATCGGCAGCTTGCGCGCGGCCAGAGAAAGAAAGGCGGCCACTCGTGATCGAGCAAAGCTGCCACGAGGCCGGCTCCCAATCTGCCAGGCTGTCGCTTGATCTCTCGACGAGGGCGATCATCCCTTCATTAAACGCGGTCGAAGACAAGGTTGATCGGCAAAATAAGACTAAATAGAGTTATGACGCCACGGCCACGCCCGACACGACGACGCGTTTCAGGGGCTTGAACTGCGCGCACGTCGCGTCCGGGTTCGCGTACTCGCAGGCCCGCGCGATCTTCGACCCCAAGGGAGGCACGTCGCCCAGCGACACCAAATCTTTTTTCGCGGGGATGGCGTTGAGGGCGTCGAGCACCGGCAGGTCCTCGTCCAGGACCCGCCCTATTACAACAAGCTCCTCCTTGTCCAGGCCCGGATTGGTTTTGGGGGTGATCGTGAATTCAAACGCCCCGCCGCCGCGTTTGACGCTCACGGCGCCGCGCTGCGACGGCCGCAGGTCGCCGCCGGCCTCTGCTGTGAAGGAAGGCGGTTCGCGCGCCGCGAAGCTCGAGTCGATGCGCCCAAAATCCACACGTTTATCTGGTACTAAACGCCACATCTGCGAGTTCACGAGGTTCACATCAATGCCCTGCTGGTCCAAGCAGATGCGCTCCTGCGCGCGCGCGGAGGCGGCGGCTCGCGCGAGGCCCGGCTCGTCCACATCGGCGCACCGCGCCCGCAGCGTGCCCCGGCAGAGCGCGAGAAAATATTCCGCCGACTTCGGCGCGTTTTCCGGCAGGATTTCGATGCGTAAAGGTGCCGACGGTGCCCGCGCCACGTTGAGCTCGAGCGTGACGAGCGTGCCGGCTGCTTTGGCCGGCAGTACGACGCTGTTGGCAGCGGCTGCCGCGGCGGCGCCGAGGAGCGCGCGTCGCGTCGGCAGCGTGGGAGCAGCAGCAATCCCAGGTGCAGCAATGCGATGCCTGACATTGTCGAGGGATGCGGCACGACTGGAAATCGCTGCCGCAAGGATGAATGCTCGCATGTTTGCGACGCTCGTCCAGTCCTGCTGCAGCAGCGGCAGCTAACGAGCTAGGATCGAGCAGCCAAGCGGAGCTAGCGGGCGTGTAAGACACTAGGGATAAAAGAACACCGATTCCAAACGTCCTTCGACGCCTCCGAGCGCTCATCGACGGGTGAGCGGAGCCATAGGAGGAGAATCGGTGGCAATTTTGCTCGTCGGTTGGCAGCAGTGCGACGAGCAATAACGTGCTGTTGCTCTGCTGCCGACGAAACGCAGGCTGCAGACACCTCGCAACGCGGCTCCAGTCGCGCGCGAGCACCGTGGCACGAGGGAACACCCCACGAAGACTGCTCGCAGTTAGTTTGTAGGGGCAGCCCCAAACAAGAAGCCCCGCAACCGCAGCCGTAAGCAAGACCATGGCCCGTAAAAAGGACCGCAGCCGCAGCCGCAGCAGAGAACCAGAAGGCGAGAGCCTCATGGACCGCGCGGCGCGTTTAGCTGGAGGCGGCTCGCGGCCGGGCACGGCGTCGAGCGTCGGTTCCGACGACGACTGGCGCGGCGGCGACCGCGAAGCTTTAGATGCGGCGAGGCAAGCGCGGCGGGAACGGAGCCGGTCAGCTCGGAAAAAGCAGAAGGAGCGGGACGACAAGCATGCGCCCGTCGAGGAGGCCAAAGAAGAGCCTCCATCGTCAGAACTGATGGACAAGCTCCACGCGCCGCTCAAACGATGCTTGAAGCAACTGAAAGAGGGCGCGGAGAAGGCCGTGGGCAAGCCCGTGCCGTTCGCCGTGGAGACGCAGCTAAACGATGCCGTTCAATCGCTGCGAGACATCTGTTCGTCCTACGATGGAGTGTGGCGCTCTTGCATCGCACCTCCATTACGGGGCAATGCTTTCGAGGGGCCCTACGAGCAGTTGTTCGGCCATTTGCAGGAAGAACCTGGGTCGAGTAAATCGCAGCCGAGGGACCTCGGGTCTACTTACAGGTGGCTATGTGCCGTGACTGAGTTAACCATCGGTGCGGAACTACGAGCTTTAAGCAAATCCTCGGACGCCAAAAAATATTTGCTGTGGGACCGCATCAAGAAGGGCTGTCGAGCTTTATGTGAAAACGCGCCCAAAAATTTAGATATTTTTGCGAGTCAGGCGGGCCGGAAACTAGAGGACCTAGGCGGTCACCGAGGCATGACGCGACTCGTGGTGGAGAATGCTGGGAAAATACCTCTCATCGCCGCCAAGTGCCTCGAAGCGTCGCTCATTGACCCGCCCAAGCTCACAGTAGGAACAAGTGTGGAGTTTGCTAAAGGTGCTGATGAGATCTTAAGTAAGGGCTCGGTCGTCGGTGTGTCTGGGAGGACCTGTGATATTGAGTGTGACGGCACGACAGTTAAAAACGTCCTCATCGATAAAGTGAGAAGGTTTATATCTATACCGGAGAGTAAGGCGGTGGGCGCGCTCCAGAAGTGCGACATTGTTTTGAGGGTTCTGAAACCAGCATTAGAAGGTGTGGACGTCGGAGCGTTCGCTTCATTCGTAAACGGCAAGGCGTCGATCCCCGAACGACTCATAGCAGGCACTTCCACACTCGTGACGCGTCTTCACACATCTTCCGTAAAGGATGCGCTGACTCTGTTGAGATTAGTTGACGAGGACTTAGACACCGCCGCCAAAACCTTCGACGCCGCGTCGACAGCTCTGAGTGCCGGCGTCGAGGCCGACGTCCGGCCGGGGACACTGTCAGTTCTACTGGAGTTGGTGAGAGCGGCCAAAACTGCTTCCGACATCGAAGAGAAGCCTGCTGAGGAAGCTCCGGTGGAAGGTGATGAAGAGCGGCGCTCCCAGGCCATCTGTAGTCTGGTGCGGGGGCCGCCTCTGTTAAAACCGCTCGTCGCCGACATCGTGAATGGTAAGCTCCAAGCGACGCGCCTCAAACAGCGACTGGAAGCTGCCAAGTCCGAAGCGGCGGCGTTGGGGAACGACGATTCGAGTTGGGATACGGTAGAATTAGCGAAGAAGGTCGAACGAGCTTTAGCTTTGGAATTGTGGTGCTCGCGGCAACCACCTCTCACCACTTTCTTGAAGGAGGACCCGGCCCACCTACTAAGAGCTCTATCCTCATCAAAACACGGTTTGCTAGATGTCGCTCAAGATCTGACATCACCAGGCGCGCCTCTGTGGGCGCCGATGCGGTGCGCGCGTCTCAGTAGTGCAATCATGAACGGTGACGAAGACGACTTCGGGGACCGGGACCTGAAAGTGGGACAGGCTTTGATGACCGTGACGTGGCCGTTGCCCTCTTCACCTACAACTTCTGGGGAAGAAGCTCGCGCCGCGATGCTCAAGGCGGATTCGATAGTGCGGGGCTGGGCTTTAAGAGCCGTGGAAAACGGAGGCGCGAGAGCGGGTGATGATGTGGCGGACCAACTCCAAGAGACGGCGTCACGCTTTGAATCACGAAGCGGCTCGACAGCCAAAACGGCCGAAAAATCACATGCTATCAAACGAGGCGCGAAGACCGGCACCGAGAAGGCTACTTCAGAATCGGACTTCTGGAAACTCGTGAGAGTCGCCAAGGCGTCGGTGGCCGTCCGCACGGTCGTGGTCGAGGACGACGAAGAGGCACCGTCTCCAGCAGCGTGGAAGGGCGGGAGCATGCCCATCAGTGACGAGGGCGACGCGGCCACGTGCATGAGTGAACAAGGCGGTCACGTCGTCGGCTCGCAGCCTCTATCATCGTCCGTGGAGTTTGAGGTGCTCATGTGGGGCGGCGGGAGATTAGGTGTTTTTGAAGGCAGTGAACCTACGACCCTGGAAGCGGGCTACTTCGACGACCAGGGATGGGGGTTAGGAGAGGGCGGTGTTCATAGGAAGGGCAAGGTGTTGCGAGGGGTAGAAGGCTTCGAGCTCAAGTCGGGAGACAAGGTCACGGTGACCCACGAGGCTTCTCAAAAAATCCTGACGTGGAAGGTGAACGGCGAGGACATGTTGAAGTTGGCGTGTCGGAAGGTCAACGGGCCTGTCGTACCGTGTGCTGCTCTACTCCAAGGTTCTGTGGTGCGCCTGACGTACCCTACTCCTGCTCAAGTTCAGAAACCTACAGATCTGGAGGGAGCCGCCAAGGCCGCGTATGCGTTAGATCAGAAAACATCCCAGGTGCTGCTAGCTTTGGAAGCGCAGAGCGAGAGAAATGAGGCGATGGAGCAACTGTGTCGGAGCGTCAAGGAGGCGGTGGCCAAGACCGACTACGATAGTGCTATATCTTTCAGTCGTAAGGTCGACGGTTTGGAAGCATGTTGTCATTGGCTCGAGGACGAGCTCGAGGGCGAAGCGAACGGGCCGCAGTTCGCGCTCTGTAAAAGGGCAGCCCCGGAGCCCGCGTTCCGCGGCTACGCGATTCGCAGCGCGCGGTGCCGCGAGAACAGTGTGGTAACTGAAGAGGGAGATGACTCACCGACGAAAGTCGAGCTGCGGTGGCGAGCGCTATGTCGGGCCCAGGTCCGCGTGGCGCGCTTGGAGACGTTGATCCAAGAAAAGTTTTCCGAGGAAGCCACTGAGAGAGAATTGGAGGGCGTCGAGGAGGAACAAGAAGAGGAAGAAGAGCAAGCCACGCCGCGCGTCGACGCCTACGTCGAATTCAGTCGGGAGTGCGGCCTGCCGCGGCCCTCCGTGAACGAGGCCGCGGCGCTAGCGGCGCGGTTCGGAAGAGGCTGGCTCCGCCTGAAGAAGGCGTGTGGGAGCGTCCGAAACGCCGAGACGGCGCTCCTGTTCCCGAAGGACCCCATCCAATTGCCCCGTAAAGAGGTAGAGGACGAGGAAGAAGAGGAGTCAGAACAGCCGCTCGAGGCCTCGACGGACCCGGACCACGTCTGGGGCCCGCCCGAAGCCCAAGTCATCAAAGCGCCGAAGAGCGCGCGCAAACAGACTGCTTCGTTAACAGCGGTCTGGGCCGACCTCGCGCCCTTGCTATGTTGTCGCAGCGACGAGCCGCTCGACACCGAGGCCATCGCCTCTGTCGTGGATGAGGCCCTCCAAACTACACAATGTGCGGCCTTCGACGTCATGAACGCTCTGTCTGCCGTCACTGGCGACGTGCAAGCGACGACTAACTCAAAGCCAGGCTGGCGGCCAAACGGGAAATTGGATTTACACAGAGACTCGTCGGCGGCGGCGAGGAGCCGGGGCGAAGGCACTCGTCATGACGAGGAGGAGACGAGACAGCAGACGCCCTGCGAGCGGATTGCGGAGCTGGGTCTGGCGAAGGCGATCCGACAACACTCGCGCTTCGCTCTGAGTGGAGACGCCTTCGCGGCGCACGTTTCGAAAGTGATGGGTTGTGAGAGTGAAGATGCTGATTCTCTACAGCAATTAGCCGACGACTGGGACTATGGGAATGTGCCCGATCCTTTGGTGAGGGCATTACGGAGGGCCGGTTTTGTGGACGCTGATGACAGCTCAGAGCCATCGTCCGGGAACGCTTTGGAAGCGCCCTTGGTGAACGGTGAAATGAATAAAGTGTTGTCCTTTGATGATTTCCATGCTGCTTTGGCCTCGGAGCGCTTCGGATGTGTACAAGCGCCCGATTCACTCAAGAAGTTAATTGAAGCGCGGTTCCGGCCTTCTAGCAAGGCCCAGGGGATCGTCGTCGGTGCTTTTTTGGACTGGATTCTGCCGAGGGGTACGGGCTTGCCGCTGCAAGTCAACGACGAAGTCGTGACAGTGGACGCGCGCGGCACGGTGGGAGACGCTCGTTTAAGGATCTCCCGCAACGAAGGCACGCTGAAATGCGACGGGAGTATTGTACCGAAATCAGGAGACCACCGGGCGGCGTTCCTCGTCTTCACGTCCGATGATATCGAGTTTGTAGAGCGCACGAAGACGACGACGAGGTCACACGGCTTCATCCGGAGACCGCCCCCGCGCACGAAGGAGGCCATGGACCACGCCTGGAATAATAGAGATCTGAAAAAACCTCATCATTGGTCGAAGCTGTGCATCGCCGCATTTCTGAAGCGCAAGGGGTATGATGATGAGCTCATTGAGGCCTTTGAAGAGAGAGCCGTGGATGGTTATATGTTATTTGGGAGAGGCAAGGAGTCGGTCGCTTCTTTAGCATCATTGGAGGCGTGGGGTGCTGACGACCCGGAGCCGTTGCGAACTGACCTGATCAAGGTAAGATTATTAGCGGAAGGGCACAACGACCCGACGGAACGAGCGAAAGTGCTCCAAGAGTGCGGCTACGACCTAAGTAGGCGGAACGGCGACGTCGTCGAGCAAGCTCATAGTGGCGTGTCTGAGAAAGTACAGGAGCGGCGGGCTGTCCAGAGAGCCGTGGACAAGCTGAAGATCGCGTCGCGCGAGACGCCTTTAGAACCGACGTTCAAGAACACGGCCATGGCGCGCGTGAAGGAAATTGTTGATGGGGAAGATGCGGAGACCGTCGGCGCGCTGCGCGAACTCGCCGAGGACTGGCTGAAGTCGAGGATGCCCAAGCCCAAGAAGGTCGCGCGGCGATTGCCGAGGCGGCCGAAGCGCGGCGTGCTCGTTTCTGCGGCGCCGGTGAAGCCTCAGCCTCCAGCGCCGGCGCCGCGGCCGCCCGACGAGGCGCAACGCGGCGTCGCCGGATTATTTTCGTTTGCGGCAGCTAGACAGGCCTTCCGCCAGTACTCCGGTGATGGTTTGACGGGTGTTCACGACGCGACGTGGCGCGACGCCTGTAGAGCTGTCTCCGAATTAGTGGACGAGTCCGGCGACGCGACGCCCGTCTTCCTCGCCGAGTTCACCAGTCAGTTGGAGCTTGATTTGGGTGCGGACGTGCGGCGGCCGGTCGTGGACATGGATGAGCCGATCTGGTAAGTACTAGTACAAAAATAGAATTACTATCCCTCTAGTAGTGATCGAGGTCAATTTCGATTCGCCCCACGACCGTGGCGAAGTTTGGGGGGAGGTCGAGCAAACGAATGCCTCGCGCCTTGTATTTCTCCTGCCGGAGGAATAGTTTGGCGAACCAGTTGTGGTGCATCCTCGGCGGGGGTAAATAGCCACTTGGCTCATATGTAAATTCCGCGCTCCACTTCGGCTGCCCTTCCCGCGGCGTCTCGAAGACATGGCATATCGCATCCCACGTTTCCTTCAAAGTATATAAATTTCGTGGGTTGTCAAAATGTATTCTCGTAGGTGGGTTCTCCAGCAACTTGTCCGCGAACGCGCTCATCAGCTCGAGCCGCCGTGGGTCCATGCGCGTCTCGCTTCGGAACGAGCGGTGCGGATCCGGGATGCGAAAAACGCGGCCGTCCCAACTTGCTTTTGAGATGTTGAGGTCACATGATGCGAGCAGGGTCCGGGCATCCGCCACGTTGGTGTTCGCGATCACGAGGTCGATGATCTTTTCTTCATCAAGCCGCCGGTCGTAAGAGAAGGCGTCCGTGTCCGCCGCGGCTCGGATGCGGTACTCCGGCGCGTTCCAATCTTCAATGAACCCATAGGCCCCTTCTGATTGAAGGCCATCAAAGGATGCGTTGCGTGTGTCCATGTCGCGAGTCGCGCCCGAGGCCCACGCGGTCGCGTCGGCTAGCGAAAATTCTTCACGGTCAGAGTCATCAGAGTCATATTCGTCGAAACAATAGCCTTCTTCAGGCGTCAGCGAGTAGCCCTCCGTGTGATGGACGCGACCTGTGCGCAAATCAATCAGTGAGTCGCGTGCACCGATAATTCTTCACAATGCGACGCGATGCGACAATTTGATTTATGCACAGGACGTGACACTCCATCGCTTTTCCCATGAGGTCTGCGCCGAGGTCGAGATACATGCAATTGGGACCGCATTGCACCGTCGACAGCGTCAGGCCCCTGCCGCAGAGTCGCGAGCGCACCCCGGGCGCCGCCGCGGCAGTCGTGAAGATATCAACGTCTATCTTGTCCTTGTAATACTCAGAGTCAGGGTCCATTTCGACACGGCGTCTCGCGCCTGGGTACTCATCACCCGTCCACACCGTACCCAGCACGCACTGCGCCATCGTCGACCCGGCGATCAGCGCGCCTGGCCGCCCGTCCGCGTCCACCAGCGCCTTGAAATCGACGGCCTCCGGCGAGACGCCGCGTGCCTTGAGTACGCGTGCGAGACTGCTTTCCAGCGACACGCGCAGCGCCCGCGTCGCGCGCGGGACGTCGTTTTCCTTGACGTGGAATGACTTCGCCGTCAGACAGAGCGCGTACGTCTGCGGCGGCCTCAGAAACCCTGCCAGTGTGCGGAGGCAGTGCGCCATGGTGCCGGCGGGGGCGGAGTGGTACTTTTGGGCATAGCTGGCACAGGTGCGCCTCGGACGGCGCGCCATGATGGAGCAAGGCTGCCCGAATTGAACTCCTGGAGTCCTGCTCTTCCTGATGATCGATTTGGTTGGGCTTGCTATGCTTGCTAGTGTGTTACAGGCCGCTAGTTATTGTTATCCACCAATTTTTCGACGCCCAGCCGCCAGCCGCGCGAGTTTGTGAGGGCGGTAGAATTCGACGTATTAGCACACGAGTCAACGCCGACAATTATTAGTTAGCCCGCGGAGACGCGACGCGCTCGCGAGAAAAACAAGAGCCTGCAGCAGTTTCAGTAATCAGTGGATTATGAGGCTCGCCTGCGCGATACTCTTGCTCGTCGGAGCCCGCGGGGCCGGCGTCGCGCCCGCCGAGACGCTCGCCAGCGCCGTGCCGGCGGAGAAGAAGAACCCGATCGACGCCGTCGAGGCGACGTACGGCCGCGTAGTAGCAATCGCGTCACTTCGAGATGACCTTCTCTGGCGGCGGAGTAAATAGGCGAATTTCCTAGGCGACCGCTGCGTCTGTTAATATCTACCTTCCCCTCATCGAGTAGCACTTCGACGACTCTCCGATGACCCTTAGAGGCAGCGACGTGCAACGGTTCCCGGTCACGCACTGTACCGTTTAAGCTTCCTAGCGTAGCGTTTGCATTTTCGCGCAGAAGAAGCTGGACGGCCTCCGTCTTCCCGGAGTCCGCGGCGATAATAAGTGCTGTGTACGCACCTTCCCCCATCCGCCGTCCCGCCAAGTTCACGGCCGCGCCTGCCCTCAGGAGCATCTCCATCATCTGCGTATCTCCTCTGCTCGACGCAGTGCAAAGAGCGGTCTCCGTCCAACTTTTGGACCGTCCAAATACTAGGCACGGGTAGTCGACGTCGACACCCTGGCTGATCGAGAGCTGCGCCGCTTCAATATCGCCGTCTGCAACCGCGTCGCAAAACGCTTCGGAGGCGGGAACGCGGCCCTCCAATAAGGCGACGACCTCGTGATGGCCATTTTCCGACGCGATGTCGGCTGGAGTCCAGCTATCCGGGCCCCACGCGATCGACGCGTCGGCGCCGTGGCGCAGGAGGGATTTTACAGCCCGAAGCGCCCCAAATTGAGCGGCATAAAATAATGGCGTACAACCTTCGTCCGAGAGGCCATTTATGGCAAGCCGTCCGTCGTCGAGCAACACACTCAACGCTGCAGTACTGTTTACTTGCGCTGCTGCGTGGAGACAAGAGAAGCCGCCTTTCGCAATCGAATGACGGGGATCGACTAACTCTAGTAGAAGCCGCACGATGTCGCTGTGGTTACGCTCGGCTGCTGCGTATAGGGCGTCGCGACCATCAGTCGTCTCGATTGACACGTCCGCGCCGCGTTCTACTAATGCCACGACCGCCCCGAGCTGACCATTTTGTGCAGCAAAATGTAGTGGAGTTCTGCCTGCATCGTCAAGACCGTCCATAGGAAGCCTACCGTCCTCCAGCACAACTTCTAAAACTGCAACATTGCCTCTTTCGGCTGCTATGTGGAGCACGGTAAAGCCACCCGGATTATACGTCGCGTCGAATGGATTGACTTCGGAATCCTCCAACAGGAGCTGCACGATCTCGCCGTGGCCACGTTCGGCTGCTATGTAAAGAAGATGGAGGCCCTGGCTGTCCACGACGTTCGCATCGGCGCCCCAAGAGAGTACCACCTTGAGGACTTCCGTGTGCCCATGGAACGACGCGATATGTACAGCGGCAAACGTCCCTGTTGTTGTCAGGCATGGATAGTCGACATCGACGCCATTGCTGAGGGACTTCTCCACCGCTTTGGCATCGCCGTCCTCGACCGCGGCGCAGAACGCTTCGGAGGGGGTCCATCCCTCGGCCTCCTTCAGTAAGGCGGCGACCTCGTCGTGGCCGTTTTGCGACGCGACGTCGGCTGGAGTCATTCCATTCCACGCGATCGTCGCGTCGGCACCGTGGCGCAGCAGTGCCTCAATTATCTTGAGCCGGCCTTCCTGGGCGGCTTGATGTAATGGGGTATGGCCTTCTGTTGTACGGCCGTCAATCGGCAGCCGTCCGTCTTCGAGCAACGTCTCTAAAGCTGCAGTACCACCCTGGAACGCTGCTACGTGGAGGGGGCCGGAACCGCTTGGCTTTAAAATCGAGTCCCGGGGATCGACCTCCGCGAGCAGAAGCCGCACCACATCGCCATGTTTTTCCTGAGCAGCAATGTAAAGAGGAGTCCCGCCCTGATGGTCCACGATGTTCGCATCGGCCCCGGCCTCTAATAGCAACCGCACGACCTCCGTGTGCCCGTTTTGCGACGCGATAAACAGAGCGGTCTCTTTCCCGATTGATGTGGGGCACCGATAGTCGATGTCGGCGCCATCGCGAATGGACTTCTTCACCGCTTCGAGATTCCCATCATTAGCCGCTCGGCAAAACGCTTTTGAGGCGGCCGCGTCCGCGGTCGCCGCGCAGACGAGCGCCGCGACCAGCAATCTCATGTCTATCGCGCCCCGCGGGCGGCGATGCGCCGCAGAGCGTGTTGGCGCGTCCAGCGCTGCTGAGTGTCAGGCCCACAGATCGCAGCGCTGCGAAGCTCCTCAAAAACTACCAGCGCAGCGCAGCGATGCGATCGTCAGGATCGTCAGGACGGCCCGACAGGTCGCTAGCGAGGCGCAAAAGGCGCAAGACGACTTGCTTGTTTGCTAGGCATCCCTAGTGTCTTACAGGCCGCTAGCGCGCGGATTTCCTCACGACCTGTCAAAACCCGGATAATTAACCCTGAACTACGTATTACACCCCCGCAGAAGAATCCCCCGCCCGCGATACGTGCTTCCGCCGCGACCGCGGCCCCGTATCCAAGGAACTCCGCCACGCGGGCTGGCGGCCCTGGTCCGACCGCGCGCGCGTCCGCGACCGCGTCGTCGACGGCACGTCCTTGGAACCGAAGAAGGGCCGCGGCGTCCGGGCCTTGCCCCCATACACGATCGCGTCCGTCCTATTTATGGTCGACAGCAACCGGTCGCGGTCGCGGCGCTGCCGCGACTGCGCTCCTCTCAATAGTTCGACCTCGTCGTGGGCGATATCCAGCTGCTGCTGCAACCGCACGGCGCGCATCTCGTGGGCGTCACTGGCCGCCTCGGCTTTCCGCCGCCGCGTCGCCTCGATCTTCACGCGCTCCTCGAGGGCCTCGGCCCGGCCTTCGAGCCGCGCGCACTGCTTCTGCAACCGCCTCAGCTCGTCAAGCTGGCCCTTCTGCGACAACCTACTATGCTCGGAGGCCTCGTAGCGCTCGCGCCACTTTTGCGTCTCCGTCTTCTGCTTCGCGACGGCCTCGCTGGCCTTCAGCCGCTCCTGGGACCGCGCTTCGACGTCGCCGGCGCGCTGGAGCGCCAGGGCCGCCAGGTCCTCGCGGACGGCGGCGACCTGCGTCCGCGCGGCGGCCTCGGCCGCGACGGCCCGGCGCGTCCGATCCTCCGCTGTTTCAGCTCGTGCCAGCTCCACGGCGTCCGTCGTATCGACCGCGAGGGTGTCCTCGACCACTTCCGGGTCCTGCTGGCGCGCAACGGCGGTCGACGGCGCGGGCGGCGGCGACGCCGACCGCTTCGACTCATCCTCGGGCTCGTCCTCGGGCGTCTCCTCGGCCTCGGACACGGTCCGGCGTTGTGGAGGAGGCGGCGGCGGCGCCTCCGGCTCCAACTCCTCCAAAGCCTCCTCGCCCGCCGCCCGCCGCTTGATGGCTTTCACCCACTCCTCCGCCGCCGCGGCGCTCTCCGCAATATAAGACTCGGCGCCGCCGCCCACCGTGTCCACGTCGAAGCCACAGGGGCCGGGGTCGCCGGCGTCCGCCGCGCGCCACGCCCGCGCGTCCACAATGACATTCCAAGACTTCAGGTCCTTCGCGGCGACGATGCCGTCCGCACTTAACCCGAAGCTCACCGGCGTCCACCTCCACAGCCCCTCTCCATCGAGCTCGCGCCGCTTGACGGTGCCGGGGAGCTCCATGATGTAGCGTGGGGGCAGCGCGCCGACGGCGGGGGCTGCGCGGTGCACGAACCGCGTCTGTTTCCGGCCGCGCGCCGACGGCGTCGGACAAACCGCGTTTGTTTCGTGTTGTTGGCACTGGCTCAACCGATTCGTGCGGGGTCCGCATACGAAAGCGGACGCGTCCAAGACGCACGCACTGGACGCCTGGCACGTGTGAGAGAGGACGCGTGACAGGGCGCGACTGTTCCTAAAAATCCTGGAGCGTTTCCTTGCGCTAGATAACTTTTGCGGCGGCGCTTTGGTTGCTGTTCAGAGCACAGCCATCAGCGCTCGCGTCTGTGCAGTTGCCGCTGTGCATTGAGAAGGCATTGATGCCGCGCGGCACCGGCCTCCGCATGCTGGCCGCACTCGGCGCCGCGCGAGCATTGGTGCTGCCGCGGCGATGCGCCGCGCGCAGCCTAGTACGATGCGCCGCCACGGACACGGAACGCGGCGCCCCGAAGCTCCCCAAAGGACAATTTCGGCCGAAGCAGTCGCTCGGCCAGAACTACCTCCAAGACCCGAACTACGCGGCGCGCATCGTCGACGCGTTGCAATGTGATTCCGAAAGAGGCAAGCGTGTCGTGGAATTGGGTCCTGGACTCGGCGCATTGACGAAGTTACTGTCCAGAGAGTACCCGGAAATGGTGGCCGTAGAACTCGATGAAAGAGCTATACCCCTACTGCGAGAGAGGTACCCTGAACCTATTACTATCTTGGAAGGCGATGTATTGGCCGTGGACTACTCAGCCTTATCTGCAGCCAGAGGTGGCAAACTGTCTATAATAGGCAACCTACCTTACTATATTACCTCACAAATATTGTTCTGCCTGTGCGACCACCACGCCTCCGTAAAAAAAGCCGTAGTGACGATGCAGTGGGAGGTCGCGCAGAGATTGGTGGCCAAGCCGCGGACGCGAGACTACGGTATCCTATCCGTGGTCTTCCAACTCTACGCTTCACCAAAAATAACGTGCAAAATCCCGAACACGGCCTTTTATCCCGTGCCGAAGGTCACGTCGGCGCTCGTGACCGTCGACTTTCCCGAGGATCGGGAATTGTTCCCCGTGCAGCCCGCGAAACTACGCACCGTTCTGAACACGGCGTTCAGGCAAAGGCGCAAGATGCTGCGCCAGTCGCTCAAAAGTATCTTGAACGGGAAGCCGTGTCCCGAGGAATTCGCTACCAAAAGACCGGAGGAGCTGAAGCCCGAGGAGTTCCTCGAGTTGACGGCGCTCATCTTCGGGCGCGATCCCGAAACGCCGGACTCGTCCGGCGAGGCCGTCTGGCGGACGCAGAAGCTGCGGGAGTAATACTGTTGTGCATCCTTCTCAAGCCCTCGTCGACGGCGTGAGGGAGGCGATCGCGTCTGTCAAATCGGGTTTTTCACGCAGCAAGGCAGCATTTGGCTCAGCTATAGCTCCTTTAGTAGCACTGGATGATCACCAACTCAGCTGACTAGGTTTTTAACGCCCAATGTCATCAATTCATGAGTCAATTTATGAGCCAAGCCCAATTATTGAAGCCATAGAAAATGGCCTTGACCTAGACGCCATCAAAGCGCTCCTCGCGGCGGGATACAACGTCAACTATTCGAGCCATATTTATGGGAGGCCGCTGATGACGGCGTGCTCGCATGGCTCGCTGTCAGAGCGGCTGTCTGTAGTGGAATTGCTTTTGAGACACGGCGCCGACCCCAACAAGGGCATTAGCGGAGGATTGTATGATTACATAACGCCATTGGCGCGGTGTTGTGGTGGGAGGTGGGGTTTCACGAAAGAAGATGTGGTCCAATTGTGTGATTTGCTCATCAGTTACGGCGCCTTCCTCGACTCCACGGACGGCGATGATAACGAGCGCGGCGGCCGGAGTCCCCTTATGGTCGCGTCTAATAATGGTAACCTTGATCTGATGCGACTGTTGCTTGACCGTGGAGCGGGCGTGGACTGGTCGCCTCACCCTCGCTGGTCGAGACACCCTCGCCCGACGGTGTTGACGGAGTTGTGCAAAACTCATGCTGAAGGAGTTGTGGGAGTCAAACCCGCCGTCGCGCAGCTGCTCATCAGCCGCGGTGCCGAAGTTGACAATGAAACTGGCCGTTGGACGCCGTTGAAATACGCGCAAAAACATAGGAGAACCTATCCCGAGTCGGACCTGTATGCGCTGTTCGACCCCCTCCCACCTCCGCCGCGCGTACGCCTCCGCACGCACTGGCGGCTTCGGATCCTGTTCCACGTCGTCGGTCGGCGCGCCTGCCATCCGCGCTCGAAGCGCCACGAACTCGGCCAATGGCGCATCTCCGACGTCGCGGCGTTCCTGCTACCGCGGGAGTAAAAAGGTTGTCTATGCACACTTACACTACTGGAAGAACTGCACCTTCTCCGCCCCCGACTCGCGAATCAGAATGACGCGCCGCAGGCCCTCGATCAGGCGATCCACGGAGACCATCCATTCTTGGGGAGGCTGCTCGCGTTTCTGTGGGGGGAGGCGGATCAGCACGAGTTCGCTCGACCCCGAGTGCTCCTTCAGCAGCACCGTGAGCTTCGTCTTGCCCGTCGAGTCGATGCGCCGCATGGGCGACGGCGGCGAGACCGGCGTGGGCGGCTCCGGGGGCAGTGGCTGGCTGGAAAACTCCTCGCTCAAAATAAATTCTTCTTCCGCAGTTAACGAGGACCCGCGCGTGAGCTTTGCGCGCGTCCGCACGGACGGCTGCCTCGTAGGTGTTAGTAGGGAATCGTCCCGGGCGAAGCGCGGGGCGTCTTCCTCGCCCAGGCGCAGCACGAGCACCTTCGCCAGCACGCCGCCCGCCTTGAGCATGGACTTGACGGCCTCCTCCAGCTTCCCGTCGTCCTCCTTCCCCGCGTCCGTCCGCGGCGACACGATGATGAGCCGCAGCTCGCAGTGCTTCCACTTGTCGTCCCGTAACAGCAAGAACGGGATCAGTAGCAATAACCCCGCCGCGGGGAACAAATCAAAAACCATCCACACGTCGACTCTGCCTCTTAAAGGTGGGTCCTTGGCGCCGGGGAAATCGCGATCCCCCGCGAAGACGAGCAAGGTCTTCAGCATCGCCGTCGTGTCGTCCATGGTCCGCAGGAAACCTCGGGCGTCCCTCTTATTATTATCCGTGGGCCAGCCCAGCGCCACGGTGTTCGGCCGGAAATACCCGAGGCCCTTCGCTTGGAGGAGGAGTTTGCGCCCTTCTTCGTGCGACGGCGCGACCACCACGTCCGCGAAGCCCTGGACGCCCCGATCTCGTAATAAAGCACGGAGCCGCCGCCGCGCCTTCCGCGCCTTCCTTAGGGAAGGTTCCGCGACCTCGTCGACGACCACTCCATTCACCAAAGCTAAACCTTTGCCCCGCCGCACGAGCTGCGCCAACGCGTCCAACATGCCCCGCTGCCGCACGTAATTCGCATCGCCATCGATGGCGCATAAAAATAAAACGAAGGGCCGCCAGTACTTGAACTGGAGGTCGCCCTCCTCCAATGCCAACATCGCCGTCCGCGCCGTCTTGAACCTTGATCCTGAACGCCAGTCCGACGGCCCCGTCCGGTGCGCCGGCGACACGCACATCGTCTCCGTCTCCGAGTCGGACCCTTTATCCGTGTTGCTCGGGCTCTCGGGCTCGCGCTCGAAGATGGGGAGCTCGGACTCCCCATGTGCTGTATGGGCTGACGCTCCGGGCTGCGTTTCTATATATTTATATAATAAGCCGGCCGCAGCTAACGCGCCCAACGCTGAGAGAGGCTGCGTATAAAACATGATGAAGAAACACACGCAGCAGCCCACCAACGACACCTGCCACTTGAAGAGGCGGTACGTCGGCCGGAAGCTGGGATGTTTCTCGTATCCCAGATAGGCGCAGGCGATGTTTATGATCGCGTAGCACGTCAGGAACCAGAGCGTGATGAACGGCGCTACCGCATTCAGGTCCCCGACCATGACGAGACACATCGATAAAGAGGCGCAAAACAATATGGCCTTGCGCGGTTCTGCGCCATCCGAGGGCGCGAAGTGCCTCAGGATAGGTACGAGGTCGTCCTTGCCCAGCGCTGCCAGTAAGCGAGGCGCTCCGGCTAAGGACTGGAGGCCCGCGCCTAACGTCGAGAGCAAGACGCCGACCACCACAATCATCTCGTGCGGCCAGGCCAGATCTTTCACCACGAAGCGCGGCACGCGCGGGAAGTCGTCCAGAGGGAACTCGATCAACGCATCTCTTCGCACGGCGCCGCCCGCCACGACCACGACTTGGATCGAGAACACGATCGTCGTCACAATAACCGCGGCGATGGTGCCCGGCGGGATCGACGCTTGCGGGTCCTTCAAATCGCCCGACAAATTGGAGCCCGCGAGGGGGTCGGTCACCGCGGGAAAAAACAACGCCAGGCACGCCTTGAAGGACCACTCGACGCCCGCCTTTTCTTTGTACTCCGACATGAGGTTTCTCCGCATGTTCTCTCCGGACACTCCCACAATACCTTGGCGCGGCTTCCCGTCGCCCACGCTATGCACTATTACTCCAGCCCAGATCGCGGCCACAGCCAATAACACTCCAAACAGGAACAACACGGCAAAGCGCGCGACGTACTCGACGCCCACGAAGACGATGACCGCCAGGCCCGTTAATATAATAGCACCCAACACGCGCATCGGCAGGTCCCCGAACGTCGCCGGGAAGCTCAGCTGCAGCACCTCGACGCAGCCGAGGACGTACATGGCCACGCCAAAGGTGTTGCTGAGGAAGAGCAAGGCACCCGTCACGCCGCCGAACTGCGCGCCGAGCGAGTTCTTGACCATGGCGTAGCAGCCCCCGGACCGGGGCCGGCCGTTCGTCGCGACCGCGGACATGGACACCGCCGTCAGCAACGCCGTGGCGCACGACAGCCAGATGATACCCAGTCCTTCCAAAATGCCCGCCTGCCCGACGATGAACGGCACGCGCACGAACAGGATGATGCCCATGATGTTCTGGAGCGTCGGCACGAAGACGCCCTTGACCGTGCCGAGCTTCGTGGCCGCGGGCGCCGCGGCCTCCTGGCGCCGCGACTCGGCCTCGAAGACGATGCTGTCGACGTCGGTCTTGCGGACCCGCGGCGTCGCGAGCATCTTCCGCAGCCTGTCTATGTACAGTGGGGCTGCTTGTCTATGTACAGTGGGGCTGCCCGTATCGGTGATGGTGGAGTCCGCCTCGCCGGCGCGACGCACGGCTGCACAACTGCGTCCTCTCCACGGCTCGCGGAACGCTTCGCGGATGGCAACCGGAGAGAGGAGTCCTGGCATCAAAACACCTCCGGACTGTGCCGCGCCCCCGCGACCGATCAAGGTCCGTCCGAGGGGCTCCGAGGCTTCGCGGGGAACGGTAGTATCACCCGAACCCCTCCTGCTTGCTTGCTAGTGTCTTACAGGCCGCTAGCTCTCGCTCGCCTCGATCGATTTTTTTTTGCCTTGATTGCGCGGCGGCGCACCTGAAAATAATCAATCTTACGCCAGCCATCGCTGTCGGCAAGTGCGCGCGATCTCTATCCCTGCCGAGCTCCAGAGCCTCTGCTGAGTGGCTGGCCTACAGCGCAGCCCATCCCTAGTGACCGCATCCGTCGCGCACGCCCCCCCAGGGAAGGCGAATCATGGCCGAGGCGCTGCGCGCCGCCGGCTTCCCGCTCCTCGCATCAAAGTTGTCCGGCGAATCCATCGAGGAGGACCGCAGCGAGGCCAATCCAACAAATTGGGGCCCCGACGACGCGCGCATCATCTTCACGGCCTACTTCGAAGGCACGGCGAACGTCGTGGAGCGAAGGACGACGCAGATTGGGTTGTTTCACGAATTGGATCGAGGCATCGATGTTGGTAGCGATGCGACGTCGGCGGCGCAGGCGGCGCGGACCGCGCGCGAGAACGGGCGGCGCTCGAAGCCGCTGCGGTTCAAGATGGGTGTTGATGGCTGCGGCCACGAGCACGGGTTGGCCGGTGTTGTGTTCGCGTTCGGGCTGCGAGGCCAGTGCGAACGTCTAGCGGCGTGCGTGCGAGCGGTACGAGGCGTGCTGGGCGAGCCGAAGACGCAGCTCAACATTGTTGGTTTGAGTCGGGGCGCCGTCGCGGCTTTGGCCGTCGCGGAGATGCTCGGCGCGACGCCACAGCTGTTCGTGGGCGAGAGCGCCGAGCTGCCTTCACTCAATTCGCAGAATTCGAGTGACGACGGCGCCTCGACGCCGCCCTCGTCGTCCGGAAGCCTGAACATCCTCGCGGACTCGCCACGGATACCCGACTCGGACCCCCGACCTAGGGCCGAGTCCATTACTGATGCCGTGCATTACCCATCTCCATCGATAAATGAGGAGGAGGTAAAGGCCGACCCGCGATCATTATCAAGGCGCACTTTGAGGTTACATTTGTTACTTTTTGATCCGGTACCCGGGAATCAAGTATATACGACGCGGTACCTGGACCCCTTGAATTGGTCTACTGGTAACCAGGCCATGGACGTGTCCTCGTGTTCTGAACTCAGAAGGGTGCTCGCCATCTACCCCTATGAACCTTTACCGGCGATTACTTTCCATGCGCCTCTCATTCCCACTTATCCTTCTTCAGCTTCTGTTGATGAGATCGCATCTTTAGGATGCCACCAGGGCGCCTTGCTCTGCGCCCCGAATCGGATTTCTTGTAGACTGTCCTACGCCATGCTGCGGTCCTTCCTGGCGAACGAGTGCGGTGTGAAGTTGCGGGGCTGCCGGCCCTTCGACGAGTCGTTAGCGACGCGGCAGGCGACGCTCCGAGTCCTGGAGATGTTACGGGCGGCGGCGGTCGACGATGCGGCAAAAGCGGGCACCTTCGACGGCACCTACGTGTCGCGCGCCGCGCATTCGCCAACGCCCGGCGCCGCCGTCGTGCGTCGTGCGACAGGACGCTACCTGAACGCCTTCCATCGGCGCCTGGCGACGCGCGAAGGGGCCTCAACAGACGTCGACGACGGCCGGCCGCTCTACGTCCTCGACGTCGTGCGCGGAGACGAATGAGGATGAATGAGGCCGCCCTCGCGAAACTTCCCTCGCGAGGCGCGTGGACTCTCCGACGGCCACGTCGACGCCATCGCAGCGACCAGGTCAAGTTCAAGTAACAGTTTTATTGTGCTAGTCTTGACCGTTTCGCGGGAGGCAGGTTGTCCTCGCGGGTACGCAGGCGCGCGCGGGGGCACCAGCACCGGTGCGCGACGTCCTCGACGTCCGCCGTGACCGTCACGACGCGCGCGCAGAAGGCGCACTCCACTTCCGTGGCCGAAGCAGCATCCCAGCCGCGCCGCGCTAAAGAGGAGGCGCCCTTCATACTTTCAGAATCGCGCACCGCGAACAGATCCAGCGTCTCCAGGAGCTGCTGCTCCCGTTCCCGGACGCAGGCCGGGCTGTAGTCCCACACCGATGAAGGGACGGTGCAGCCCTTGCGCGCGCAGCCCTTTTTATGGGCCGCTTCCGCTTGGTCTACTGATGCGAAAGGGGGCGCGCCGGCGCCGCACTCCACGCACTTGAGTATTGTGACAATCTCAGTACTAATCAATTCAAAACCCATCCGCGCGAGGAGTTCGGGCGGCGCGCCGTCGTCCGTCGGCAGGCGCCGCGACGTCGCAAAGCTGCGCAAGCGCTTCGCGCAGGCCCGCTTGCTGAAGGGCGCCGTCGTCGTCGGTTCCGGCTCGCGCTCGTTTGTCGCCTCGAGGTCCGGGTCCTCTATACTCTTTAATCGCGTGAGGATGTCCCGCGCGAGCGCGGCGGAGCGCTGGCTGCTCGCGCGGTGGTAGGTCGGGCGGTAGCGCTCTGGGCGTGCGGCGTCCGCATCGTTTGGGGGCGGAGCTTCCATTGGTAACGCGTTTACGCAACGTAGCGCAAGGCAGTCTAATAGGGCAGACAGTGGGCAGGCTGCTAGCGCCCCTCAATGGGTTCCGGCGGGCCGGGGACCGGACTGGTGAGTGCGAAACTGTCTCCTCGCGCTGTGCTGCTTATCAGAGGAGCCGTACTGCGCAGTTTGCGGCTCCGGCAGGCCTGCTTGCTAGTGTCTTACAGAACGCTAGCTCCTGCCGGGCGGCAACGCCTTTATCTCGTGGTGTGCTGGCGTTACGTACACGTTGAGCACCTCAGAGTCGCATCGGTGCTCGTCGCTACCACCGCCAAATTTTCACGAGCGCTCGAACCGGGTCGGCGGAGTTAGGCTGCACAGTGTGCCCAGGTGGGCTTGCATCTACAGCGCGCGGAGCGCGCAAGCATCTGTGCTGGCTGCATCAGTGCTAGGATGGCAACTCTGCCCGAACGGCTGGGCAACTTCGCATTCCTTGGTGTCCTACCTCTAGGCATCGTCCACGCGATCCGCCAGCGACGCCCTCGATCTGGCGCAACCGTTAAAGCAACCGACGACGCCTCGCCGCCGAAGCCGCCGCTCTCGCCCGACTGGCGCAGCACCGTCAGCCGCATCGCCGCCGACGACGACACGCGCGACGTGACCACACAACTCTTCGACGCCTTCGCGAAGGCGCTCTCGTTTACGCCAGGCGACGCGCCCCAACTGGAAATCAGCAGCATGGCGCCGGACGACGCCAGTGCCAAGGACTTCGTCGTCCAGGGATATGTGGATGTGAGGGCAGCCGAGGGCGCGAAGGCGGCGCGGCCGGAGCTCGATTTCGTAAGAGCGGGTCTCGAGGCGGGCCACGGCGGCGTCCTGCTCTGTCGAGCCGAGGACAAATTGGTAGGCTACCTCTGGTGGCTCGACACCGAGAACTGCCCCTACGGCCCGGGCTGCTACGCGGACAAGGAGCCCTTCCTCTGGGTCCACACGGTTTATACAATACCTTCGTATCGTCGACGAGGCGTCGCGCGGGCGCTACATACTGAACTCGAGCGCGTCGCGCGGCGACGGAAACGCGCGTCGATCTGGCTCGACGTCTACGCGAACAATCCGATCTCACAGAAGCTCCACGACAACCTCGGGTACAAACCAGTGACAGTCGTGCAGAAGAAAGTAATTACTAGTCTATGACGAAGTCCTTCAGTCCACCCACCATCTTCTCCGACTCCTCGGCGGCCTTCTTCCGCTCTTCTTCCTTCTTGCGTTTGGCCAGGTTCCTCGCCTTCTTCTCCTCGTTCGCCTGGGCCTCCAATACATAGTTGACGAGCTCGTCCTCCGTAAAGTAGTCCTCGCCCGTATGTGAAATCAGCTCCGTGATGCGCTCGGCGTGGTCCTCGGAGCACTCCAGGCCTTGGGATCTCAGAAACGTGCCAAACTCAGAATGCGTCATGCGCTGCGGGTGCTCCTTCTTCATCAAATGAAAAGCTCGTCTCACTTCCCCGCCCTTGCCCAATGAAGCCTCCATGCTCATCACACACGACGAAAACACGTTGAACGAGATGTCGTCCGTCGTCGGCAGCGTCGGGTTCCCGAACCCGATCAAGTCGCACATCTTGCGCATCGTCCGCCGGTCGATGCGCCCATCCCTGTCGGTGTCGTAATAATCAAACACGGCGTGCAATTGGCTCAGCTTCTCGACCGTCTCGGGCGGGTAGCCGGCCTCCTCGAAGTTCCGCGGCGCCGGGCCCCGCGGCGTCGTCTCGGCCATGGTCGAGCGGCGGCACGGAGGCCGGTCTGGCGGGTGATGGGCAGCCCGCTCCCTTGTGCTGGAGCAGTCGTCCCTTTGGCTGCTACGCGTCGACGGGACCGGCGGCTCGCGGAGGTGCTGTGAGAGACCCTGCGAGTCTTGGGCTGTCGCTTGTCGTCGCTGGGCGTCGACGGCGGCCGGCGCTGTACAGGTCTGAGACTAGCTGAGACCCACTAGCAGCGGGCCGAGAATTGAACAGCTGAGCCCGGCATTCGCCCTGTTGGGCCTAAAACAGCGTGTGTGGGTGCCTTGGCGACTTACTTTTTTAAGGGCTGCCCGGGCACCGCGCACCGAAGGGCTACCGCTGGGATCCAGGCAGTTTGAGTGCCCAACCAATTAAAGCACCGCTTAGATTGCGGGCGGAGGACCAGCCTCGGGTGCCCGACCAATTGAAACAACACCAGAAGCACCGACGCGATGCTCTTCCAGGGCGCCGGCCCGGACATCACGCCGTCGGCGCGGCGGCGCAGCGGCGGCTCCGGCGGTAGGCTCTGGGACCTCCTGAGGCGCAACGCCAATTCGGCCAAAGACGCAATGGAGCTCGCGCCCGGCGACACCGTCGACGTGCCCTTCGATGCTGTTGATGACGCTCTACGACTGCAGTTCGCCTTCGGCAAGGGGTTATGTGTCGTGACGCAAGCGTTCGGTGCCAAGCTCCTCCCCACTGATGAACTGAGGAAGATCAACGGCATTCACGCAAAAGAAGACGCCTCGACCCTACGCAATTCTTTGAGGAGGCAGAGCGCTCCCATCCTTCTGACATTTGCGAGGCGGAAGGGGCGCCAGTTACTCACGCAAATTTCTGAAGACGCCTTCACGACGCAAAGCAGCGCGTCCTGCGGCTGGTTCGAGAGAAGAGCGAGGAACGATGCGGATGCCGAGACACTACTAAGGTGCGCTTCAGCAGTCTGCGCGTCCTTCGCGGACGCCGCGGGCCTATCGCCAACCACAGCTCTCAAGATGACTAGGGGTGGCTCTGTCCAGGAGCGCACGTCGAAAAAGTGGGCCAAAGCCTACGCCTATTGTTCTGTGGATCTAAAGCATCTCTGCGTGGCCAAGGACAAAGCATCAACGTCCGCGAAATGCGTTTCTTTGAAACGAGTGCTGAACGTCGGCATGGCGAGCGATCTGGGCGACGGGTCGATCGGGTGTCGCGTGGTGGTTACGACGGACTCTGGAAGGATAACTCTGGAACTCAAGGCCTCGAATTCCGAACGGTGGGGCACGTGGTGGGTGGATGGTCTTGCGAAGTGCGTCCAGGCGGCTCGAAAAACACCCGTGGCACAACGGGACGACTCGTCGGATGACGAGCGCCAGTCCGTGCGGTCGTACGCCGAGAGCTTCGTGAAGGATGTTTTTGAGGAGCCCTCCGTGCCGCGGGCCCGGTCGCGGTCGCCCGCGCCGCTCGCGCCGACGGCCGACGACGCAGCGCCGCTCGACGACGCCGCGTTGGCCGACAAGATCGTCGTGAACCACATCGCCGCGAAGCTGGAAGCTAAACGAAGGAAGCACGTCCTCAAAAGAGGTGTGTTGCAACAGAAGATGCCGTCGACGCTCGGCCGATCCTCCTACAAGAAGCGGTTCTTCGAGCTCGATGAGAAGAAATTGACAGGTTTCGTCGACGAGGCGGATTCGCAAAGGCCGGACGCGCACGCGACGTGCACCTGGCCTTTACTGGACTTCGTGGGCGCGACACCCTCACAAAATAATGAGATCGACCTCGCGGCGGCGACGCAGGGCGGTTCTGACAAAACCTTGAGGTGCGAGTCTTCGGAAGAGCGGGACGCCTGGGTCGGTATCATAGACGGAGCTATTAGAACAGCGCGCGGCGCGTCGCCTTCATCATTAGCGTCGTCGTCGGTGCGGTCGTTAGATGCCGTGCCGGGCCACGTCGCGCACGAGAACATTGACGACGTCTTCGCGACCGCCCTCCGCGAATCTGAGGAGCGCTCTCCCTCACTACACGACCGCCTCGACGACCTCGAGGGCGCGCTCGCGGAGCGACCGGACGAGGCCAAGGTCCCGGACGAGCCGCCGCCCTTCCTGGCGCCGTCGCCGTCCTTCGAGGCGCTCGAGCCGCTCTCACCGACGGACGCCTTCCTCGCGGGAGAGGGCTCGTCGTCCTCCGACGAGCGACCGGCGTCGCCGACCGAGGCGTTGCCGGCGGACCCTGACCGGTCGCCGTCGCCGGCAGAGGCCTGCGACGACGACGAGCGGCTTCTGTTAGATCCAAGAAGCCCGAGGCCCGACCGGTCGCCGGCCTTTGCGGCCGCGCCCGCGCCGTTCTTCGAGGAACCGCCATCTCCACCACCACCACCGGCAGACACCCCCCAAACGCCGGGCGGCTGGCTCTTGGAAAGAGCGGCCGACGGGCGCGCCTGGCGGCGGCGCCACTTTGTGCTGGAGGGAAGCATTCTGAGGGCGCGCGAGAAAAAGGACGGCGCGGACGTCTCGAAGGTCGACGTCTCGTCCTACTTGCGGGTCGAGGCCGTCGCGGCGACGGATACGAACGGCGTGGCCTTCGAGTTCGAGCTCGTGGGCGTTCCTGGTACGCTCGTCGGGCGCCGGTTCCGCGCGGCGACGTGGAACGGCCGCGACGCCTGGCTGAAGCGATTAAGGGCGGCCGCGGCGCTGTCGCCACGTTCATCAAAGGCGAGTCCCCCGGCGCCGGCCTCGCCGAAGCGGCCCTCGGCCGACGAGCCCGACGACGCGACGGCCGCGGCTTTGCGGCCGGGGCCGGCGCCGCGGACGCCGTCGCGCGCCGACGTCGAGAACTCGCTGCGGCCGTCGCCGTCGCCCCGCGCGTCTTCGATTCCTTCTTTGGGCCGGCAGGCCTGGCAGCGGTCCGTCGCCTTAGCGGCCGAGTCCTCCGACGAGGACATGCGCGAGCGGCGGCGCGAGCGCGCGTCCTTCGCGTCGTCGCGGTCGCCGCGGTCGCCGGCCGCGGCGGTGTCGCCCGTGGCCGCCGCAGTGTCGCCGGCGTCTGCGGTGCGGACGCTGTCCACGGCGTCGCCGGCGAGTCCTCCGGCGGCCGCGTCGCCGCCGGCCTCGCGGAGGCCGTCCGCCTCGTCTCCATCGGCCTCACGACGGCCGTCTGCCGCGTCGCCGCCGGCCTCACGGAGGCCGTCCGCCTCGTCGCCGCCGGCCTCGCGGAGGCCGTCCGCCTCGTCGCCGGCCGCGCGCTCGCCGTCGCCCGCGAGCCCGCCGCCGCCGCCGGCCGGGAGCCCGCCGTCATCCGACAGCGACATGCGCGAGCGGCGGCGCGAGCGCGCCGCGTCGGCCGAGCGGTCCGCGGCGTCGTCGGCCGCGGCGTCACCGCTGATCGCGCGCCCCCCGTCGCCGGCGGCGCCGTCGCCGGCCGCGTCGTCGTCGCCGTCCCCGGCGCGCGCGGCGGCGAAACAGGCGGCGCGGGACCGGGCGCCGTGGCCCGAGTCACAGCCGCCGTCGCCCGCGGACGTGCCCGCCGCCGCGCCCACGCCCGCGCCGGTGCCCGAGCCCGTGCCTGCGACGCCACAAGCGGCGCCGGCGCCGGCGCCGCTCGTGTCGCCCGCCTCGCGGCGCTCTCACGTTACGCCGGCCGCGCAGCGGACCGTCGACCTCGACGCCGCCGCCGCCCCGACGCCGGCGGCGGCGGCGCCCGCACCGACGCGGCGCTGCGCCGGCCTGCTCTATACAAAAGCGGCGCGTGGCGACGAGCCCGGCACGGAGACGTGGCGCCTGCGCTGGCACGCCTTCGACGGAAACGTGCTGCGGTGGCGCGACCCCGAGGCGACGGAGTGGCTCGGGGCCATCCGGCTTGGGCCAAACGCGCGCTGCCGCCGCGGCGCCTCGCGCGACGACGGCTACGTGGCCCTGGACGTGGTTTGTGATGATTGGGCTGCGACGTTATTAGCGCCGTCGCGCGACGAGCGGCGCCGCTGGCTCGCGGCGCTCGACCCCCGGCCCGTCCCTGCGCGACCGACGCCCCGGAAGCTCGTCCTCAAGTCGCCGCGCGTGCGCCGGCCTCCCGATTCGCCTCCATCAACACCCTCGCCGTCGACCACGGACTTCGAGGCGCTGCTGCCGCTGACACATCGCGAGCGGTCGCGCGCCGCCGCGGTCGCGCGAGCCGTGGACGCGTACCTCGAGACGCGGAGCGGCCGCGCCCGGAAGGTTGTGGTTGAGGCTGCTAAACGGTCGGCGCCGCTCGCGGACGAGGTCTACTGTCGGCTGCTCCTCGTTTGTACTGATCAAGCTTGGGAGCTCCTCGGCGCCGTCGCGGACTGTAGGGCGCCCTCGGACGCGGCGCTGTGCGGCGTCGTGCGCGAGGCGGCGGTCGGTGCTCGTGTTGACTCCGTCGTGGGGGCGATGGATGCGGCTTTGTCTTCGGCGTAATTGTGTTTGATGTGATCAATTATGCCAGTGTGATCTGTCTATCTGTCTGAAAGTGCCACGGCAGGGAAACTCGCGCTCGCCGACGCGTCGCCGGTCTCGGAGGTGCTGAACGTTCACGCGCTGGGTGCGGCGCAAATTTACGGATGCGCACCCTGGAGGAGAGCCTCGACTGGATCGGGGGGAAGGCGGACGCCTCGTGCTCTTCGAGGGGGAGTGCATGTAAGTTCATTACTCTGTGTGCATAAAGGAGTGGGGATAATGGGGAAGTCCGGAGAGGGAATCTACACGGAGAGCATGAGCGCGAGGACCAAAGCGGCGAGACCCTTCGGGCAGCGCCCCGGTGTAGCCGCGTCGACGACGGACGTGGCGACGGGGGGCGTTGTCGGCGCGGGCGTAAGGTGTCCCACGCGCCGATGTCCTCGTTGAAGGACGCTGCGGCGTTGTTGCAGAGAGGCCGATCGGTCGCATCATAATACGCGCAAAACAAATACGACATGTCCGTCACCCCCCCAGTCGCCCACGTCGAGATGTGGCCGTACGTTTCCTCGGCGACCGTCGGGTTCGAGACCCACGCAGCGACTGCCGTTCTGATTGTGCCATCGGTCATGGTCCCACCACTGCCACCGCACCTGACTGCAGCCACCCAGGCGACGCCGCACGACGTCGCTTCGCACGGGGTGTAGTAGAACGCATAGCCCAGGTCCACGCCGTCGTCTACGCACCAGCCGAGGTCCTGGTTAAAGGCCGTGGCGCCTTCGAACATGGAGTTCATGCTCGTAACGCCGGAGGTGTCCCACGCGCCGATGTCCTGGTTAAAGGCCGAGGCGCTTTCGAACATCCAGCTCATGCTTTCGACGCCGGAGGTGTCCCACGCGCCGATGTCCTGGTTAAAGGCCGAGGCGAAGCCAAACATCCAGTACATCGTCGTGACGCCGGAGGTGTCCCACGCGCCGATGTCCTCGTTGAAGGACGCCGCGGCCGCGTTGCAAGAACTCGACAACCATGAAGGTGCGCAAAACAAATACGACATGTCCGTCACCCCCAGTCTCCCACGTCGAGATGTGGCCGTACGTCGTCTCGGCGGCGGACTGGTCGGCAAACCAAGCCACCACTGCATCTCTAATGCTATCGTCGTCCATCACATAGCCCGTGAGCGCGCGCCGCTGCGCGAGGCCTCCCGCCGGCGCGCGCGGTGCGTTATTGGTCTTGGTTTTGGACTTGGTGTTGTCGTCGCTGCGGCCGCTGCGGCCGCGGACCGAAGTCTCCGCCGCCACGCGAGTGGCGTCCCCCCAAATAACCAGGTAGCCGACGACGGACAAGCGCCAGGCCGCGCCCTTCGCCGAGCTACTGCGCCGCGGAACCACCGAAGCGAGTAAGAGGCACCAGGAGGCCCGCCCAAGGTAACTCTGGGCCGCTGCTTCTCCGTCGACGCCGCCCTTGGTCGCGTCTGGGGCCATGAACTGCATCGTGGTACCGGGCGTAGGCGCCAGCTCGGCGGACGCGACGTCCAAGACGTCGACGCCGCCCTTGGCCGGGGCCGCCAACATCAATATGGTGCCGTCCGACCGGTAGTTCTTGTATTGCACGTCGCTGCCGACCGTCTGCTCGATGGCGTGCACCCCGCCCGCCTGGAACTCGTTCGCTACGTGCTCGGCCGTCGCCGCGCCTTTGATAGTCTCGGAGTCGAACGCGTCGCCCGCCCCGGAGTTCTTGTAGAGCTGGAGCCACGTGTTCCTCGCTGCGGCGCTCGTCGCCAGGGCCTTGGGGGCAGCGCCGTCGAGGCCGTTCTCGCCCGCGGATCCTACGGCGGACAGCCCCAGCAATGAGAGGGAGATGGTGATTAAATTTTTCATCTGGGCAGCTTTCCGCAGCGCGTCTGCGCTGCGATGGCGTAAGGCTATTAACCACTGGGCGTCTGGGACCCAGGCGCGGTGTCCAACTAGGATCCCGCGAGCTGTCACGTGCACCGCTTTGCTGCTTTAGGCTGCAATATCGCAAGTAAATAGTTGAACCCACTAGACAACTCGCAAGGATCGATGCGCGTTGTCCGATACGGAGAAAGATCCTTCGAGCACCCCGAAACCGTGGCTAGCGGCAGTAAGACACTAGCAGGCAATTTATGGCAACCAGTTTTTGTGCCGCAGCGATTGGCACGCTGCATTTTTGCGGTTAGGATTCATTTGTAACATCGTATTGCTGCGCTTGGAAGGTGTCGTTCATCTCTTGCCGCGCAACACGCCCGCAGAGCACAGCAAAGCTCGCCCGGCGCGCAATGGCGGCCCAAGCCGAAGCCGCCGATGCGGCTCCTTATGTAATATTCGAGACGTCGCTCGGCGCCTTCAGCGTCGAGCTCTACAGCCAGCACGCGCCCCAGTCGTGCAAGAACTTCCGCGAGCTGGCGCGGACGGGCTACTACGACAGCACGACGTTCCATCGCGTCATACGAGGCTTCATGGCCCAGGGCGGCGACCCGACGGGCACCGGAAGAGGGGGCGAATCTATATACGGCGGCAAATTTAGGGACGAGATCACTCGGGAACTGAAGCACGTCGGCGCGGGGGTCCTGGCGATGGCCAACAGCGGGCCGCACACGAACGGGTCGCAGTTCTACATCACGCTGGCGCCGGCGCCGTGGTTGGATGGAAAACATAGTATTTTCGGGCGCATCGCGTCGGGCATGGGCGCCGTGCGCAAATTAGGGATGGTGCCCGTCGACGCCAATGACAGGCCCTCTACTACAATTACGGTGCGCCGCGCGTACCCGTCGATGACCTCGGACCTGCCGCTGCCCGCGACGACGGCGGCCATCGCTGCCGGGGCGCCGATGGGGCTGCTGACGAGGTAGTAAGAGGCTTGGATCTTATTTTCGAGGCCTCTAGGGATGGCCTGGAGGCGTTTGGCGCGGCTGCACTGGTTTTCTCGGCTCGCTAGTGTGTTACAGACCGCTAGCTCGTCCTGGGTCGCCTTGTATATTGCCTTGTTCACCCGCAGCGCGAGCCTCAGCCTTCAACGCCCAGCAAAAAATGATCCTCACAACCTGCGCCGCCTGCGCCGCCCCACTGGCCCACACCGCGCCGCAGTGCGGCCGCTGCCAGACGCGCTACTGCGGACGCCCCTGCCAGGTCAAGCACTGGAACGAGGGCGGCCACAAGGCTCTATGTAAGAAAATCAAGAAGGGCGGCGGCGCGGAACAATACCACGCCGACAAAAAGTATAAGGAGGCCGTCGCGGTTGCGGTCGAGAAATGCGCCGACGACACAAAGGGCCAGACGTGCTACATCTGCACGCAAGCCGTCCACTGGAAAACAAAGGAGGGCCTCGTGCGCGGGTGTGCGTGCCGCGGGACGTCGGGAGTTGCGCACGTGTCCTGCTTGGCGGAGCAGGTGAAGATTTTGTGCGAGGAGGCGGAGGAGAACAATTTGGGTGATAAGGCGTGGAATGAGCGGTCGAACAGATGGCAAAAGTGCAGTTTGTGCAATCAGTGCTACCACGGCGCCGTGCACCACGCGCTCGGGTGGGCGTGCTGGAAGACGTACGTCGGGCGGCCGGAGATTGACTCCTCTCGGCGCACTGCCATGTGCCATCTCGGGGATTCTCTTATCAGAAACGGCGACGCAAAGGGTGCACTCGCACTCTTTGAATACCATTTGAATTTGGAGCGACGTTATCATGGCCCAAACTTCGAAGAACGGTCGAGCCAGGATGATGTGCTGTCAGTCGAAGAAGACATCGCGTATTGCTACGTGGAGCTTGGACGGCACGAGGACGCGATCAACCTGAGACGATCGGTCTACAGAAAATACTTAGCCAAGTACGGACCGACACACAGGAAGGTACTTGGTGCTGGGCTGGACTTAGGACGCTCGCTCGTCGATGATTATTTTTTTGAAGACGCAAAACCTTTTCTGCTTGATCTCATTCCAAAGGCCAAGATCGCGTTCGGGAATGAACACCAGAACACTCTTTTGATGATTCTATATCATGCAATAGCTGTTCAAAAACACTGCGAGTCCTCTCTCGACGAGCAGCGCGAGGCCATTGCGAGGCTCGAGGATGTCTGTCGTATATATCGGCAGGTCTACGGAGCCGACCATCCGATGCGTGGTATTGCGGACGGGCGCCTGAAAGATGCACGCAAGAGACTCTCGCTCCAGGAAGCGCGCCTGGTGGAGGACGCGTCCGAGAAGCTCGCCCAGGGCCTACGCATCGACGGCGACGACGAGAGCGAAGCCCCGTAGTGTATGTAAGTCATCACAATAGTTACTCGTCGTCGTACACGACGTCCTCCACCCCCGCGCGGCAGGACGCCTCGACGCCGTCCACCCGACACCGCCGCCGGGGCAGCGCCGCGGCGCAGCGGCGGCATTCCTCGTTCGCATCATTGCCCCGCTCGTGGTCCTTGACGCGCCAGTCGCAAAAGCCGTAGAAGCCCTGCGCGTCGCGGACCAGACCGGCACCATAGGCCTTTTGCAAGGCGTCGAAGCGCCGCTTCGATTCCTCACCGTTATGAGCCATGATGAGGCGCTCCTCGCTCAACGCTCTAGCGGTCTTCCAGAGGTGCCTATCATCAGCATTGCGTTTCTCAATATACTTTTGCGTCTCGGCCCGGAGCTTGCCTTTTTTAGGAGCGTTCCAGCCCAGCAGCGGCCAGACGCCCGACCACTTGATTTCTGTGTTATTGCGGTGCGTCAGCGCGTCGGCGCGCTTCGCGAGGCGCTCGTCGCGTCGTTCGCCCAGCCGGCCCTGGATTAAATCTGTCCGCGGTTGGACAGTACGCGAGCAGGGCGGCGTTTTAGTAGAACCGTGGAGCGCGTGGCTTTTTCGGGTCGCAAACACAAAGTTATCTGTGTCCCAGCCGAGATTTAATGATAGTAGCGTGAAGAACGTCGACAGGTCCTCGAGGACGCCAACCACCGCAAAGTCCTCGCGGAGCGCCCGCTCGGCCTCCTTTCTATATTCACGTAACCGCCGCAAATTCGTCGTGGGAGGCGCGATGTGTGGGTCTGGTGCATCAACAGATCCGCCGCTCCGCTGCAGGGCGCCGCGCCGCCCGTAGTAGCCCAGTTTACTGAGGACCACGGTGTATTCTTGCGGGGAATCACAAATCCCGCCCTTCCACTGGCAGTGGCCGCCATTTATATGAGAACACGCTTCGCAGGCGATGCGCTCCATGCGTCTGATGTCATATGGTGTCCAGCTCGACGTATTTGTGGAGAAGGGCGCCTTCAGCAGTAAATCCGTGGCGCCGCCGAGCTCGTAGTAGAGCCGCGAGACGAAGCGGGGGGTGGGGTCCCTAAGCAACGTCACTAACCTTGCTGTTCTTCGGGGCACGCCGCCACACAGCTTCATGCCCGTCGCACCGGCGACTCTATAAACTTGCGTCGCCCAGTGGCCGTCGTAGTTGCCGCAGAACTTTCCCAGTTTTCGTAATGGAAAAGACGACCCCTCGCGCCCGTCCAAGCGCGCGCGCCACGCGCCGTAGGCCGTGTCGTCGTTGAGCACGACCCGGGCTAGTGCCGAGGCCACGGACGTGCCGCCCGTTTTATGGAGTTTGAGGTATAATGGAAGCGGCCGCTGCAGGTCTTTCGGCGACGGGCCGCTCGCGAGAGCGAGCTGGGCCACGAGGTATACGAAAACGGCGCCGGCGCCGGCGACGGCGTAGAGGCGCCTCCGTCGCTGTCTTGTTTGCATTGCTGGTCCCATGAGTGGTGCGGCGCGCCGCGGCGGCGTCGGCGCTCACGTGGTCCAGAGGCACGCAGGAATGCTCGGCCCTTTACGCGCAAGCTAGCAGGTGTTGCTGGCGATGCAATTAGCGCGAATCACCATCGCTTTTTGGACTCCGTCCCGCACCGGTCGATTTGTCAAAGTTGCTAATTCGACTGCTGCTAGCGGCCTGAGACACTAGCGCACCGGTCCAAAATAGGCCGCTGTCGAACAAGTGGCAACAAGTGGCACGTACGACGAATTACACACTAGACCTCACAATTTTCGACCCCGCAATTCGGATCGGGCTCGGGCGCCGTCGCCGCGAGGAAACATGCGGCGATGAAGAGCGCACCGCCGACGCAGCCCTCGACGCCGACGGTCTCTCCCAGGAATATCAGCGAGAGGATCGCGGCCCACAAGGGCTGAGACGCGTACACGACCTGCGCCCGCGCCGGGCCGACGGCCTGCTGCCCGCTGACTTGGAGCACGGACGCGAACGCGTTCACGAACACGCCGGACCAGATCGCGGCGGCGGCGACCGGCCAGAGGTCGCCGTCGAACGCGTCGAGCTGCGGCCCGACCGAGGACCACGCGGCGACCGCCGCCAGCACGGAGAGCCCGGCCTGCGCCGTGATCTTCGTCGTGATCAGCGTCAATGGTGCAACGCGTGAACCGTGTTCGAAGAGCCGCAAATCATAGGTCGCGTAGAAAATGGCGGCCAGCACGCAAAGGGCATCGCCTTGCTGCGACGCGGCGGTCGCGGCGGCGGCAGGATCGAGCGTGAACACGAAAACACCCGTCAGGGCGAGGACGACGGCGGCCCAGATCCGCGGCGGGATCGGGACCCCGCGCGCGCCCTGCACCAGCGGCACGATGAGCGTCGTGAGCTGAATCAGGAACGCGCCGTGGTCCGACGACGTCAGCGAGAGGCCGTACAAATTCGCCGTCGCGCCCAGGAACTTCCACAGACCCAATTCGCCGCCGCGGCGCCACGCCTCCGCGTCGGCGCGCGTGGCGTCCGCCGCCGCCGTCGGCGCGAGCGGCGCGGCCAGCGGCCCGAACACGAGCAGGCCCGCGAGCGCCAGCACCGCGCAGGCCGCATTCAGCAGCAACACGGGCGGCGCGTGATCTCCGCTCGTCGCGGCGTGCAGCACGGGGCTGTTCGACGCGAAGATGAGCGTGATGCCGCCGATCGTCGCGAGGCCGCGGGCGTAACTGGCCGGCGCTGCCTCGACCGCTACTGATGGCTCGGCAGCGAGCACGATGTCGCCGCGGGGGGTGTCGACCGGCAGCGGCTTATCTGTCACTGACACGGTTGGAGCGAGGCGACGTAGCGGTGCCTGCAGTGCCGCACCGGTTTGCAGGACGCATGTGATCTGCACGAGTATGACTCCTCGCATGATTTGTCAGGAGCAATCCCAGGAGCAGTATGGTTTTGAGTAATGACTGCACGCTAGGCACTTATTGCTCGTCGTGGCCCTTGCCCCTCATGTGGAACAACGTGTAATTGCTGGCAACGCTATGCAAGGAGCCATATGCAAGGAGCAAGCGGGGCTGCATCAGCTGGAGCTAGCGGTTGATAGACACACTAGAAACAGGTCGAGGTCGGACGCACAGCCGTGCCGTTCACACCAGAAGGGCAGCCCCAGCCCCAAACGACCAAAAACCGCTCCAGGAACGATGCCGCCGGACCCCTACAAGCGCAGCGGCAGCAACAGCGACCTCACCGGACTGGAAGGACTGTCCAATCGACTCACGCGCGACCTGAAGCAGAACATCCGCTTGATCAAGGACTGCCCCGTGTTGTCAGATGCCTGGTGCGAGATGGCGGACTTTGTCGGGCGGATCAAGTCGATCACGGATATCGAGGCCGCGCTTCCGAAGGAGGACGAGTCGCAGACGATGTGGGAGGGCGACGAGCTAGCGTTGCGGTACGTCATGGAGGAGGGCAAGCTCAACCTGTGCTTGCGGACGTTGGTCGCGTTCCGCGAAAGTAGCTATGGCGACAGAACGGACAATGAGGCCAAGGATTGTCATGATAGAAGTTATAGAACACAGAAGCTGGACGCCTTCGAGATCGGCATGGGCGGTTTATTAAGGAACGCCTGGGCCCACGACGAGGCCGTGCAGACGACGGACTTGCCTTTGTTGGTCGGATATGTTGCTGGCGTGTTACGGGACGCTTGCGAAAATGAAAGAATGAATAAAGAGGACATCACACAACGGCAGGAGGTCTCGTCATTGCATTACCTGAGGCATCTGTGCCGCCACATCGATAGATTACCGCGGTTCACGACATTAGCAAAAGACGAGCGCATCGTCGAAAGGGTGGTCAGTTTCTTAGATGCGCACGCGGATAAGCTGCCGAAGGACGACCTGCTCGTAGCATGTCAAGCCCTCTCCGAACTTATTGACAGCGAGGACTTCCAGACGTTCGAGGAGCAGTACCTGCCCGAGAAGAGTGGGGACCGGCTCGCCACGTTCAAAAATCGGTTCCTCGGGCCCTTCCTCGACGACTACGACACGCGCAAGACGATCCAGCCGCTCCTGCGCCAGATCCAGGACCTCAATTACTAAGTGTGTTAAAAATTATTCCTCGAGATTCGCGCGCCAGAAGGGCACGCGCGGCGGGCTCGCCGGCGGCTGCATGCGCGCCACCAGGTCCGTCACGTCCGACGCGTCGAACGTCTTCAGCGAGAAGGACACGCGCCTTCTACGCTTCGCGAAGGCCGTCGTCTGAGAAGAGAAGGCGGCCTTGCGCCGCGTCGGCGTCCGCGGCAAGCTATCGGTCCGCGGCCGCGGCGACGCCACGCGTCGTCGCGCTCGTCGTCCGGCGTCACCGCAGCCACAGCTCTTTCGGAGGGCGACGGCTGGCCGAACTTGTTGAGGATGGTGTTCAGCCTCAGCTCGTCGTCGTCGGCGTCGCTCTCGTCGTCGAGGGCGCGCCCCGGCGCGTCGCAGCGGACGCTTGCGTCCTGGCGCGCGTCGGGCCGCGGCCGGCGCCGCTTAAAGGTCTGGGCGTCTTGGACCCAGGGCGGCGGCGGCGCCTCGTAGGGCTGGGGCGCCTCCCACCACTTGGTGGGGCTGCCCGCGCGCCTCGGCTCGGGCTGGGGCTGCTCGTCCTCGTCGCTCGTCCAGCCCATGTGAGATATCGGGGATCGGGGGCGGAAAAGGGGGCGCTCCCGGGCCCGGGCGTGCGCGCCTCGCCCCTGTTTTACGCTGGTGGATGATAAGTCCACGATCTGGTTGGTCGCCCGCGACCGAGGCGTAGTACTTTAACACACTCTATCTTACGAACAGACAAACGGCGGTTCCGCCGTGGGAAAAGAGACCGGCGCGACGGGATACGACGCCCCGCGCCAGTCGAGGCGCACGTCGTCGCCATCGCGCACGTCGAGGCGCTCGGACAGGCCGTGCGCCACGTGCGAGCCCACGAGTCCGAGCTTGCCGAAGCGTGACGCAGTGGTGAGCTCGTGGTACAAGCGGCCGCTCGCGCACCAGCGGAGCCGCGACGGGTCGAACGCCTCGCGCAGCGTGCCCGCGTAGCCGAGACCGTCGTCGTTGAGCCGATCGAAGACCACGATGATCTCGGCGTCAGCGGCACTATCTCCCGTGTCCGCGCGCAGCAGCGAGTATTCGCCCAGACATTGCGACGCCCACTTACCACCGCGACGGCGTCTCAGCCCGGTGTAAAGCTCGTCGAGGAAGGTTGGGTCCTTGTATGCGGTCGCCAGCGTTCGCGCTTTATTCGTGTCCAGGTGCACGGCGCCGGCATGGTCGACGACGTACCTGTAGGAGCGCGGCCGGCCGCTACCGCGTTTTGAGGAGGCGCATCTTGCTGCGCATATGCGTGCTGGTCCGCTGCAACGACCTGACATGCTTTGGTGCCTCGCTCGCACGAATGCCGCCGCAGAGCGCTGGAGGGTCAGGAGTCTCATGCGTGCCCAAGTCGTGCCGGCGCGCAACCTCCGACACGGAGCAGCGATATTAATGCGTCCACAACGTCCTCAAGAGTGGAGATCCATCGATGCGGCTTGCTGCGGCTCGTTGGGATTCGATCGGGCTAGCGTAATCGACACACTAGGCTTCAGTCTGATTATTGGTTCATTTTGAACTCATTCGAGCCCTTCGCACGACAGCGAAGCGCACGACTGTCCAATCGCCGCCGCATCACTTCGCGCTCAGTACCACGAGCACACCGCGCGCGCACCGGCGGGGCAGCCCTGGCAATGCAGCCCAGCCTGTGAGCACCAATGGAGGACTACGACGAGACGCGCGCCGCAACAGACACAGGAGACGCAAGTCACCACCGCCGGGACGACGTCGACGGCCTGCGCTGCCTCGCCGTCGCCGCCGTCGTCGCCTTCCACGCGGTCGATGAGTACGACGCGGGCTTTTGTGGGGTTGACGTGTTCTTTGCGATCAGCGGTTTTGTGGTCGCGGCCTCGCTCAAAAGGCGAGAGCGCACGTCCACACGCGAGTTCCTGGTCGACTTCTACGCGCGGCGAGCGAAGCGGCTGGCGCCCGCGCTGTTTCTCACGATCCTGGCGACGGCGATTGGTCTTAGACTCGTGCCGCTACACGAACGCGACGCTCGCATAGCCTACGACGCCGCACTATGTGCTTTAGGCGGTGCGTCAAATATATTCTTCGCGGTGCTTTTTACCAATGAAAAAAAACGAGAAGCGAGGAGCTCGACCACGGAGCCGGCGGGCTACTTCGCGTCGTGGACCCGGACGGAAGAAGACGTCTTCCTCCACAACGCCGAGGCGGACCCGTTCCTCCACACGTGGTCGCTCGGCGTCGAGGAGCAGTTCTACCTCGTCCTGCCTTGTTTATTTTTACTCGCCCATTCGGAGCGCATCCTGAACGACAACGTGGCTATTGCGGTCGCTTTGGTAGCGTGTGTACTCTCGCTCGTCTGTGGGATCGTTTTGCATGTGTTAGGCGAGGCCGACTACGCCTTCTATTTGCTACCCTCGCGGTTGTGGGAGCTCGCAGCGGGCTGGCTCGTCTGTGAATTAAATAGAGACGTGCCGGAGCGGCATGCGTTGAAAATTGATGTACTAGGGGCCGCTCTATTAGCGTGCGCGCTGGCCGTTTCGAAACCACACCAGTACCCGCTTCCCGGCGCGCTGCCCGCCATTTTGGGGACGTGCTGTATCTTGATGAATCCCCACGGCAAACTGAACGCACTACTCGCAAAAAAACCGTTCCCGGAGATCGGCCGCGCGTCGTACGGCCTCTACCTCTGCCACTGGCCCCTTTTAGTGTTATTACGGCTCGGACTCGCCCACCAGATCCTCGCGACATGTATTGCTCTGGTCATTAGTCTTCCGCTGACCTATGTTTCGTTCACTTACGTCGAAACGCCGGCGCGCAAGTGGGCGCCCAAAAGACGCGCCGCGCCGCTATTTGCCACTCTATTTGGTTTCGGGGCCTGCGCCATCGCCGTGAGTCAGCTGCGGCCGGGCGACCGATCATCATCAAGTTCAGGCGGCTACCCGGCGGAGGACGCGCTACCGGGCCCGCCCTTCTTCGGCGCCGAGTTCGACCCGAACGCGTGGGAGCGTATCAATACAAACGCCACGTGCGGCGCGGAAGCGTACTACGCGTCTTGTGACGTCATGGACAGAGGCGTGCCGTGCGCGTGTGCCACGAATTGTACGGCCACGACGCACCTCCCGGAAAAAGCGGGGCAGGGCACCATACCCTGCATGCGCACCGCGACCCCCCAGTGCCAGGGCTGGTACAGTACAAATTTCGACGCGGGGAGCTGGCCCTTTGGTGTGTGGCGGTCGGAGTGTTTCTTCCTGTCGTCCGCGGTCCGTGACTCTGTGTAGAACTTGACGCGGTCTTCATGAAGACGTCGACGCGATGCCACGCCGCCTCGACGTCGTCGAAGCGGCCGCACGAGAGGATACGCGCCTCGCGAGCGAGCCGTCGTCCCGCGCAGGCCGGCCAGAGCAGCTTCTCCTCCGAGAACGTTCGTAATTGCCTGGCACCCTGCGGCGCGGCGCGGACCGCGTATTTGATAGGAGACTCGCACGCGGGCTCGCACGCGGCTGGTTTAGCCGCATCTTTACAAGCCTACGGCATTGAATTAAGGCACGCCTTCGCGGGCTACGGCTGCTCCTTCGCGTCGGACGCCTTCAACGAGAAGTTGTTAGATCCGGTCGGGAGCGGCTGGGCCTACGGGAAATGCACGGAATGGGTCGCTACCGTCAAAGCAGCATTGGTCGAGTTCGCGGCGCCCGACGATCTGATCTTCACAACCACAGCAGCCTGGAAGTACGACGTCGTTGGTAATGTTGATGTGGCATTCGTGGAAGAAATAGCGACAATCGCGCCCCTGGTCGTTTTGGGCGACGCGCCGCTGCTGAGAGGTATTTTTGGAGTCAACTGCGCCGCGCCGGAGACGCGGCCATCGTGTCTTACGGATGAGAAGGATACGATTCCCGACGGCGCTTTACTCGCGGAGGAGACCTGGGCTGCGCGGGGCGTACGACACATCTCGGTGCGGGAGCTCTTCTGCTCGAATGGGCTGTGCGATACATACATCCCGGGCACGGATATCCTAGGATTGGTGGACTACGGCCACCTGACGACGGCGGGGTCTTTGTACCTGGCGCCGTTCCTGTCGTGCGCGCTCGAGGGACTGGGGCTCGTCGACGCCGCCGTGGCCTCTGATGACGGAGAGTGTCTGGGGTCGGTGACGGACTTGTGATAAGTATATAGTGTGTAGGGACGCCTCCGGCAGGGCCGCCTCCCTGTTCCTTGGCATTGCAGGAAGCTCATTTTTTAGAGAGCCCTCGCGGCGCGCTCGCGCGACTTGATACATAAGTAGCGTCGTTAGTCGTAAGACGCCACAGTGCCAGAGATGACGGAGACGAGCGAGGAGAACAAGGAGGCGCCCGAGGGCAACAACACTGGCACAGCCAGTCCCCAGTGTCAGTGAAACTGAGGTCGCCGCGCGCCGCCGCCCGCTCGCGTCACCTCACAACGCGCGTCCGGACGGCCTCCGACCGCCGCCGCGACACACCACTCGCGTGCGCGCGGCGCGCGCACGCTCGCAAGTCGCGACTCGACAGCCGTCGGCCCATCGCAGGCCGAGGAGAACAAGGAGAAGAAGAAGGAGAAGATAGATCCGAAGGATCCGCCCAAAAGATTCCTCAATGACGAGGAAAAGACCAAGCTGGGAGCGAACCTCGCGCCGACGATCGTGCCGACGGTCGAGACCATGCACGCCCAAATCGCCGAGAGCAAGAAGAACTCGAAGGCCGACAACAAGAAAGCTTTAAATGAGTGCGTCGAGAAGCACTGTATCCCGATGATCAACTCGCTGGCCCAGCAGATCCAAGCGGAGCGCTGGCGCCCGCGCTCAAGCCGGCGCTCATGAGCATGACAGAGCAGGTCCAAGCGGCCGAGACGGTGAAACCCATCGATGAAAAGAAGTTGTACTCGGTGATCGGCGTGTCCTGCGCGCCGCAGATCGAGAGCCTCGCGGAGCTTGTTTCCAACGAGCGCGATAGGATTGTGGAGGACAAGTTAAGTAATACTATAGCGGCGGCAAAAGCGGCGGCGGCGAAGAAGGAGGAGGAGAAGGAGTTGATGGCCAGGGATAACCTGGCCTCGTTGAAAACTAGCTTCACCCGGAAGTCCTCGACGCATCTCATTGCGAGTCGCATCTTCCACAACAAGCACCAGTACTTCATCTTCATTCCCCTGCAGGTGATTGTTGCGGCCATCGCAATCATCGCGTTCGTGGCCTCCTACCAAGAGGGAGAAGGGAACGTCGCTGCGGCGACGGTGCTCACGGTGATCGCGGGCGTCCTCGGCATCGTCGCGGGCTCGACGCGGCGTCCTACGCTACGTGTTTCTGACAAGACTCGTCGATTCTTTTTTGCTCTTAGGTTTCATCAACGCGCTGGATCGGTACCTAGATTGGCGCACGCAATCCGCAATGCACAAGGGGAACTCTGCTACGTATGCTAGGTTGAAAGAAGATATTATGATGGTCTCGTTGAAAAGAGAGAACGTTGCCGAAACAATTAATCGTTACGATCAACAGCTGAAAACTCTCGAACAAAGCAACGGCGATTTACAAGTACCTTTGGAGCTCATTACCGTGTTCGACGATGTCGAGAATATGATCCACAAGCGGGTTGAGGCCTACAACGACATGGTCAGGAAGTGCGTGGTCGTTTTCGCAGATAGACGCCACCTCATCATTGACTACGTGAAGCAGCAAGCGATTTTGATGACCGCTTACGGATTTCTCGCAAGTAGGATTTTGACGCACAAAAGCACAAATTGTTTCTGTATCCATTGCTGCTGCCCCTGTCTGGCCCAGGAGTTCCCCTACGCGCTCCCCGAACACAGGATGCTGACTAAAATCGTGAAGAAATTGGTCGAGGAGGAAATCGCGGAGATCACGGACGCAAAATTTTCGGAGCCGTCGGAGGACGAGTACAAGAAAGCTCAAAAATTGTCTCAGAGTATCGACGGCAGCCGGGCGCCGAAGGTTCCCGACCAGGGCGGTGCGTCTCCCTCCGCGGACAACAACGTCTGAAGCGCCTCGGCGCCTACGACGACGCTCGGCCCGGGCGCGGTCACCCCCATAAGCAAAATCCCCTGCGTGCGACAGCACAGCAATCCAACGAGTAAAAGAAAACACTAAATATACATACACTCCTCACGCCAGCACGCACCCTTCCGGCGGCGCCTCCACAGCTGGCACGGGTGGCGCGGCCTCAGACCCGCTGCTCAGCGAGCGCCGGCGCCGCCGCGGCGACCGGCGGTCGCGCGGCGAGCGCCGCGCGGGAGAGCTCCGGTCCGATGCCGCCGGCGACTGGTAGAGCGCGTCGCGCTCGCGCCGCAGTTCGGGGGACGTCTTGAAGATGTCCGCGAGATGGGGCCGCTCATTATCCCAGGACCGCGGCCGCGGGCGGTCGATGCGCTCCGGCGACTGGGCGCGGTCCGCGGCGCAGACGCGGTCCACCCTCAGCAGTAACGCGGCGAGCACGTCGCGTGCGGCGCGTCTTATCGAAGCTAAATCCGCGGCGTCGAGCGGCGGCCCGTTCCGCGCCGCGACGACGTCGGCGCGCGCCGCCGTCTCGGCCGTCGCCGCCACGACGACCAGCGCCGCGACGCAGGCCTCGTTGCGTGTTATTAAAGGGACCGTGTAGGACGGGCGTCTCCCCTCCGTGCTCGCCAGCTTGACGTTCCTCGCCTTGGCCACGACCGTCAGAACGTCGTGCCACGGGACACTCCGTCGTCGCAATACTTCGGTGAGGGCCGGAGCCCACCTTGATAAGGGCCTCCTCAAAAAGTGCGACGCGTGGCGTTTTAAAGTAGCTCGATCTAATGCGCCGGCGCCGGCCCGGGCGAGCTTCGACGCCGCGTTCGCCGCCGCACCCCTCGCGTCGGCCCGCGCGGCGACCTCGCGACCTGCGAAACGGACGGTGATCGTATGCCGGCGTCACCGCGCCATCGCCGCGACGCAAAAGAAACTCGGACGCCGAAGACGCACAGGCGGCCCAGAAGTCGTTCGAGACATGGGCCCCGCACGCGTACGCCGAGACGACGTCCCGCGACCCGTGCACGTGCACGAGCGCCGCGCCCCGGTTCGCCAGCCGCACGCCGAAGGGCGCGCGCGGCGCCGGTGGCCGCTCGACGACCGGAGCCGCATCATCTCCCGAGCTCTCCGACTCGTCGTCCGCCGTGTCGGTTTGGTCGTCTTCGTCCGACCAAGGCATCCTAGCTGCCGCCCCGACGGCCCAGGCCGCCCCCGCCTCGTCGGCATCTGAATGCATCCCGAAGACCCGCGACAGCGCCATCGAGAGCTTTGGTGAAGAGTCGCGCTGGCGCGGCGCGGCGCGCCACGTCGTCGCGAAGGCGCCGTCTTCGAGCTTGTGGGCCGTCACTTGGCTTGAAGAGCGTCTCGCTAGTACATCTGCGACGAGTAGAACAGCAGCATCTCGTCTTTGCAACAAACCCCCTCTTCGACAGGCCGCCTGAGCTAACCGCGCCGCGAAGGCCGTGGCTTGCTGATCGACTTTCGCTCGAGCTAACAAAGCTTTCGCCGCGGCCCCGGCGCCGCCCCGCGTCGAACCATCCACGGACGCCAAAACGTCGGCCACCAGAGCCCACGACGCTCTGGAAGCGGTATCTTCCTCTTCCACCACAGCACCTACGGATCTAGCGCGCCTTAAAGGCTTCACCGCACTTCCAGATCGTTGGAGTCGCACTTTCAGGAGTAACGAACCACCGGTCTTGTCGCACCGCAGCAGATCGGACTGCGCCGTCGTCCGCTCCAGCTCAAAACCAGCTGCACGCCACTCAAGCACCACATTAGCTCTAAACGCTAACGCGCAGGCACACGCCTCGGCGACCTCGGTCGCCTCCGGCCCGCAGTCGTGCTCGTCTTCCTTCATGCGTCTCTCACCGTCACTGCTGTCCGACTCTTCGTCGTAGGCGTGGACGTGGTCCGCCCGGCGCTTCCGAGCCGGTCGTCTTACTGCCACTCGTAGGATGGTCGCCGTCGTCGCCGCCTCCTCGTCGTCAACGAATACGTCATCAAAGCGCTTCAATACAGGTAACTGGTCCCGTCCCGTGCCGTCCTCTGAGGAAGAGTCGTCCTCGCCCAATTGATATGAAGAAGTCTTGGGTCTCTCACGAGGTAACGGCGCCGCAATACCACTCCCGGGCTCGCCCCACCAGGGCGACGCCTTCGCTAAGTAGGACTCGGCGTCCGCGTCGGACTTCCTTTCTCGTTGATTCGACCGGCGCCGTCTCCGGTTTCGACGTCGTTGCCGCGGCGCGTCCTCTTCATTAACACGGGCGCTCGTCGCCTTGGCTACGCGTCGGTCTCTATCTCGTTGCCGATCGCGAGCTCTACGTGCCGCGACTCCTAACGACGTCGCCAACCGATCGTGCGCGGCATCCCCTACTCCAAACGTATATAATGATCTTTTGGCACCATGTATGGAAGCAATAGCTATAGCTGGGGCGTCCGCCGGCGTTCTACGACCGCACGCTACCACCCGCCAAGGACCATCAGTAACTCTAGGTCGCAATATGTCCGCCCGACCCCGATTGCCCGAGAACGCGCCTCCCGCATCTCTCGCGAACGACGCCTGGGCCTTCACTGCCAGCGTCTGCAGCGCCCAGGGCGGACTTATGGAACTGTCGCGACTGGCCCGGGCGTCGCCGCAGCCCGCCCGATGTGCTGCTTTTAAAGCTGACTGTAATCTACGAGCACCCAATCTAGAATGAGCCGCCTGGGCGAGCCAGCGGGAAGCTGCCGCTCGCGTTCGAGCCGCTAAAGCGCCTCTAGCAGCCACGCGTTCGAGCCAGTTCCCCAGGTTATGTTCCGAGGAATCCCCACCAAATAACGCCCACGACGCCCGCGCGACTCCATCTTCGAGTCTCAAATCACAGAGAGCCGCCCGGAAACCGGGCTCCTTGTCCGGCAGGGCAGCTAAACAAAGCCGCACGCCTTCGCCCGACCTGTCTGGGAATAAGGCGTCCCACCTGTCCGAAGAGCCCTTTAGCTCCACCGGACGACTGGCAAACTGGTCCCGCGAGAAATAGCCGGACGCCGTTCTTCTAAGACCAGCCGCCGCCGCACCGAGACTTCGACCTTTCTCCAGAGCCACATCGGACGTCCTAAAAACCGAAGAAGGCGCTCCCAGTGCATTCAAATCATCCTCGTCCAGATTCAGCGACGCGCATCGCTCGACGCCCTGATCGGCGAAGAAGTCGCTCTGCAGGGCTCTTCTAGCGACCACAGCGACATCCTCATTAAAAGCGGCAGCACAAGCCGCCGCGCAGGCGTCCGAGAACGGTCTACACCCAAAAATTCGCAATTCGCACCGTTTTTGATCTGGGGTCCATAAACGAGCATAACACGAGCTACCATCAGAAGCGTCGGCCGGCGTCGCCGGTACGATCTTCTCTCTCCTTGGTAGGACGTAGACGCGAGGCCTATTCACGACGGGAGCTGCGGCCTTACCCATCAGTGACGGCGTCTCCTCTAAATATTTAGCTAGTCGTTCGATGACGTCTTGCGGTGACCGGAACCAGCTCCTTTGTGAGTATAGGGGCACCTGTATGGTCGACAGCAACTCGCAACTAAATGGAGACACATCTACATCAGCGTGGCCGCCGCCACCCGCTGGTACTAACAACTCGTGGGCATGCCTCGTCGACGCCAGCGCCGACAACAGTCGTAATTGGGAAGCCACTCGAGACGCTCGTGACAAGGCGCATCGCAGCGTCCGAGCTACCGCTTCATCTTCCCCATCCTCCTCCACGATGCCTCGCTTCTCTCTTGCTAATGCTATTGTCGTCGATAGGCCAGCGGCAACAGCGTCGCCGGAGGGCGGCGCCTTGTCCTTCGGTGACGACGCGCTCATCTGTCTACCTCTGTCTCTGCGAGAAGGTGGTGGCGCCCTACGACCATATCTGCCACCAGTAGGTACGGGACCGCCATATCTCCGTTTGGGCAACGCAACGACGTCAGCTTGTCTAGCATGATAGTGGATCTGGCAAGTTGAGACTCTAACAGAAGCTAGGTAAGTAGATGGTGCATTTGACAAGTCCTTCGCGTCGACGACGACGTAAGCGCCGGCGACCGCTCGAAAGGCGACCCTTGTGAGCCGTCGTTCAACAGCTAAGGCCGCGTTCTCGGAAGGGTCCCCATCAGCTAAGGCTTCGTCGGGCTTCGCCCAACTACTTCTTTCGGTCAATGCCCTCCTGAGAAAGCCCTCCAAACCAGCGGGCATGGCTCCATCACCGACGCCCGCATCGTCGCCCGCGAAGGCCACGACGTCGATGCGACAGGATAGTCTCCTAGCATCCAATCCAGGTCTAAATCTAGTAGCTTTGGCCTCCTCGGCGCATTTCAATGCCACAGCGTTTAACGCTGCCGCTAAGCCGCCGCCGCCGTCGGGGATGGGGGTTGGATTAGCTAATCGAGCGTGCAGAGCCGCGGCGGCCAAACAGGCGTCTACCGCCCTAGCTAGGTCCTCGCACTTGGCTATCGCGGCCGAAGATAACGTCTCGTCTCCGACCAAGCCCACATCAACCTCAAGAGGCCGTCCCGACTCCTGCCGCGCCCGCGCGAAGAATCCTGATTGGACCTCAGGTAACCGAGCCGGGGAATTGCTTCGTCGTTCATCTTCATCTTCCTTTGACGCAATAGGTGCAGAATACGCGAAAACGTCTTCCCGCAGCGTCTGGAAGCCGCAGGCCTCCCAGGCCTCGCTGACGGCCTCGTCCGTGTCCTCCCAGTCCTCTTCTTGCAATGCTCGGGCGGCTAGAGCGGCTACCGCCGCATCTGCACTTACAGCTTTGGTCCACCGTACGGAATCGAGCGCGGCAGACACTTCTGAGGACGAAGCTTTCGATTGACCTAGTAATTGTAGGGCACCTCGTGCATATGCGGCAGCATGGGCGCGCTTCACGGCACCGGCGACCCTCTTAGTGGTTGAGCCGACCTCGTCTTCATTGCGCACCCCATAACCCCGCGCCACGTCCCTCGCGGACACTTCGTGCAGGTGCACGCCTTGGGAAGAACCATCACCTTCACAGACCTCCGCAACTAAAGCACAGGCCTCTCCTAGAGATTTGTTGGTTGTTAAACCAGTGACCCAAGTCGAGTCGTCGACCCTTGTGGCCACTTGATCTAAAGAAGCGGATATCGCAGCATGAACACCTTTCGCCGCTACGGATCGTTCCGCGTCGTCGTCCCCGAACGTCGCCAGGTCCAACGCTAAGGTACGGGTAGCATACGTAGCCAATGCTACGGCAGAGGCGCCATCAACTGCCGAAGCCCCTCTACCCCCAGCACCTAACGCTCTCAGAGCTCGTAAGGCGTTGTGGGCCCGCCCATCTTTCCGTCGCAGCTGACTACGTATTTGCGTAACCACGGCCATATCTACCGACAAGCCTCGTCCCGGCTCGACCCACAACTCACTCACCAATTCATTCCCGTCGAACTCCACGACACTCTGCACGAGCGGGACTGACGAAGAGTCGTCTTCGATGCGCGCTTCGTCCTCCTGGGGCCTCAGTTCATTACTATCGGCGACGAGCAGACACGCGACCACATTCCCCTTCGTGCGGCGTTCGTCAGCTAAGGAGAAGCCCAGAGCTTCCCTCGATGCCCTAAAGGCAGCTAAAGCCGCGTTTCCGTCGACAACGGTCGCGTCGTACTTGTCCCGATAACCCGCTAAACTTGTTCGTAGCCATCTCTGAGCTACGGCGTGGGGCGTGCCGTACACATCGTCGTCGCCTTCTTTGGCCACTTGACGTATTAAAAACGGGGCCGCCTGCGCTAGCGAGTGGGGCTCGCCGCCCGGCGCCGCCGCGGCCGACAGGCGAGCTCGTAAGTCCCGCGCCGCGTTCTCATTGCGGGAACCAACCGTAGCCAGAGCGACTTCCAGCACGCGCGACGCGCGCCATCGCGCGCGCGCCACAGTCAATTCTTCCTCTGAAGATTTACGGGCGTAGGCACCGGACACGCCCTGCACGGGCCGGCCCCATCGCGACAGGGCGTCTGCGACTCGCCGCGCCGCGCCGGCCTCCGGGCCGGACGTGGCGACGTGGAAGCGCTCGACGTCGGCCAGAGCAGCTAAATCTCTAGCGGGTAATGCCGCAACCAATCGCTCTAGCGCATCGGCCGTCGGCTTCTTCCGTCGCGACCGCCGTCCTCGTTGAGATGAGTCCTCCTGGATGTCCCCGAGCTCATCATCTCTCAGATGATCCAACACAGATTCGACGAGCGTCGAGTGCTTCTTCTCCTCCTCTTGCCGTTCCGTGGTCGACGACGAGGTCTGGGATAATGAGGACAGGGCGCCGTCCCTCCTCAAAAGCCATGCTGCTAGATCCCTAAGTCTCCGAGCGCGCGCCTGGGACGCCTCGTCGCGCGCCTGTTGCGGCGAGGGGCTTCGAGAGGTTGAGGGAGTTCGCGACGCGTCGTCGGACCGCTCGATCGGTCTTGACCGTCTTTGTATACTTCTTGCTTCTTGAGGCGGTCCTAATGCAGCAACACCGAGATTCTCGAGGGGTGGTAGCGTTCTTAAAGCTTCCACGACGGACAGGGGCCCGATGACCTCGATGCGCGCGGACACGGCCCCGGATTTTGTGGACAACGCCGCAGCTGCTAAGTCGGAGGGCGTCGCCGTCCGACCAGACGTTCTTCGTCGCGCCTCATTCACCAACTCGTGCTGCGGCGGCGGTCTCAGTTCCACGACATATCGTAGAGTCGTCGCGTCGTCGACCAAACGAGGCAGCTCCCACGTAATCGAGAGCGGCTCGCGCGGTCGTCGCTTCTGGGACGCGGTCTGGATCTTGAACGACGTGAGATCTAGAGGCCCCGACGCGCGTAATCGAGCCACATCCGATAAAGACGCGCGCGGCAGCGGATAGGCAGCTAATTGCTCGACGTTCTGATCAGTCGATGACGTATGCGGCCGCAGCGAGAGGGGACTTCGTCTCCACACTAGAGATGAACCGACGTCCTCGTCCCTTCTCCGGACGACGCGCTTACTGGCGACACTACCTTTGACCAGTTTGTTGCGAGAAGGGTGGTAGGACATGAACCCGCCACCAGTGCGTTCACACGCGACGGTCGCGCCGGCCCAGTCCGCCACCAAACCCCACGTCGCGTCGGACTCGTCATCAAAGGCCGCACCCGCATAATCCAAGACGTGTAACGCGACACCTTCCCTTCTGGCATGTGCTCCCGCGCCGCCCTCGGCCCGCCCACCCAGCAAGCCGCAATCCCTAGGTGCGGCCACACCGTCGCCGTCCGTCGCTACTACGATCGTTCGGGCGCCTCCTGACTCACAAAACCGTAGAGCGAACAACCCGGCTCGCGCGCAGCGCTCGACCGAGGGTGCACCACCACATTCCTCCGTCTTGTGCGTCGCGAGGCGCTTCTCCGACGCATGTATAGCTGCAGCGATTCTCTCGGAAGCTTCTTGGAGTGATTGATTTGTCTCTACCATAACTCGCGCACAAGGTCTCCACACGACGTCATCTGCTGCCACAACTAATAACTGGGCGTCCACCACGATCTTCTCCAGGGGCGAGCAGGCTCGTTGGGACGTGATGGCTTCGAGCAGACAGGAGATCGCTTTTGGTGCTAACGCGAGCGGCACCCTCCCATTTCTAGCGGTCCGCGCATGCTGGCTTGCGTCTAACACAATGACCAGAGAATGGCGTCGCGGCGCGAATCTTATAGTTGTGGAAGGCGACACGAGGGCCCGGTGCTCGCCGCCTCGTCGGCCAAGGACCTGGCGCGGCGTCGGCAGCCGCGCGTCGTCCGACGGCGCGACGGTGCGCCAGAGGTGCTGGAGGTGCCAGGCGGCAGCCGCGCGCGGGCCCCAGGCCCGGTCCGGCGCCTCGACGTGGACTTCTACCGCGGGTGGCGGCGGGGCCATGCTCCGAGAGCAATTCTGTGTTTGCTCTGCACCGCGTGCGCGGTTAAGCGAGTGCGCCCAGCGCTATGTCCAGCAAGAATATAGGTTGCACGACACCTCAGCAGGCCTGCCAGCTCTCCAGCGCTGGCGCTCCCGCGTGCACGAGCAAGCTGCCAGCTAGCGTTTCTAACACACTAGCAATTGGGACAAAGCACCACTGCAGCTACCACGCGACCGCACAAACGCCTCACGCAAGCCAAAATGATCCTCACAAACTGCGCCGCCTGCGCTGCCCCGCTGGGCTTATCCTTGGGGAAGAAATGCGGCCGCTGCAGCACGCGCTACTGTGGGCCTGAATGCCAGGTGCAGCACTGGAAAGAAGGCGGGCACGACCAGCTCTGCAAACCAATAAAAAAGGCAGGCGGCGCTGAGCAGTACAACGCAAATAAGAAATACACGGAGGCCGTCGCGGTCGCGGCCGAGAAATGCGCCGAGGACGTGAAGGGGCAGACGTGCTACATCTGCACGCAGGCCCTCCATTGGAAAACGAAGGAGGGCCTCGTGCGCGGGTGTTCGTGCCGCGGGACGGCGGGCTTCGTGCATGTGTCGTGCCTGGCGGAGCAGGCCAAGATCTTGCTAGCGGAGGGCGAGGAGAACAATTTGGGTTTCAAGGCGATGAATGAGAGGTGGGGGCGGTGGGAGAAGTGTAGCCTGTGCGAGCAACTGCACCACGGCGTTGTGCGGGGTGCGCTCGGTTGGGCCTGCTGGAAGACGTACCTGGGGCGGCCGGAGCGGGATCCGATTCGGATAAACGCGATGACGCAGCTTGGGAACGGTTTAACTGCTCTGGATCATCACGATGACGCGTTGTCCGTGAGAGAAGTCGAGTTGGCTACGATGAGGCGCCTTGGCACGCCAGAAGAAGTTACGATAATGACAAAAGCGAACATAGCCCATTCTTACGAATGTCTAGGACGATACGAGGAGACTCTCGCCCTTCGCCGCGAGGTGTACGCCCAAGCGGTGGCATTTAAACATCCGACCGACCAAATCATTATCTACGCCAACAACCTTGCAGTCTCGCTAAAAAGAGCTGAGCGTTACGAGGAAGCAAAGTGTTTTTTACGCGAGAGGATCGCGGAGGGATTTGACCGGACGCTCGGCGCAAATCATATCAGCGTAATAAAGCTCCGCTGGAATTACGCGGGTGCCTTTTGCGACGACGACAAAGCCTCCCGCGACGACGTTGTCAAGGCGGTGGCAACCTTCGAGGAGCTCTTCTCGACGACGCAGCGGCTCTTAGGGAAATTTCATCCGACTACGAAGAGTGCCAAGGCGTACTTAGAGAGCGGGCGATCGAAGCTCGCGCGTTTCGACGCCCAGTCATAGTTTCTCGAGCCTAACATAACTCCTCGTATGTATCATCAGAGTAACCTTTACGCCCGCGCACCTATGGCCGCGGCGATTGGGGAGTGGTCGGGGGAAGTGGTGAAGGTCCAGATGAGGGCCTCAGGCGACCGCGCAGCCGCGGCCCTCGGGCGAAGAGCCCTGGAGCGGCACCTCGACGGGCGCGTCCGCGTCGTCGACTCGCGCGGGCGGATCGTCCTGCCCCGGGAGCGTCAGCCGCGTCGTCGACGCGTCGGGCCCCTTACCGAGGCGCGGCCGGCCCAGCTCGTCGAGGTCCTCGTCCTCATTATTCGTGAGGGCCTTCTCCTCCTCGTCAGCGTCCTTGGAGAAGTACTTGCGTAAAGCCCGGCAGCGGTTCCGGACCACGTGCACCAGCCACGGACCAATTAGCGCGGCGACGGGCGCGCAGACGACGACGATCAATATAATATCAATGTCGTTCTGCGAATAGTTCGCCAGCGACGAATCCTCGGACTGCGTCTTGATCTGCAGCAGTATGACGCCGAGCATGACCAGGATCTGCGCCAAGCAACAAAGGTCCTTGATGATGTTGTCCCTCCTTTCCCGGAACGGGTGCGCGCTCGCGAAGAAGAAGAGCCAAAATCCGGACACCGCCAGGCCCAGCGCCGCCTGCTTCATGACGTCCTTGACGAAGACCAAGACGCCGGCGATGGTGCACTTCTCGAGGCACACTATCACTTCGGTGTACCACCAGTTCGGCTTGTAGACCAGGTGCCTGTGTGGACATCAACCGGTGAGTTAGGTTTCGGGGACAACATCACGTCGATGGCGTGGGGCGCCCGAAATTTGATTTCCACGCAGCTAAGTGCAGTATAGAGAGCTGATCCAAAGCCCGTTCGTCCTGATTCTTCCTAGCCGAATATACTAAATAGAACATCGACGCCGGGATGCCGATGACGTAAAACGCCGTGAACGTACAGGACTAGACTAGACTTACTAGCCGTGTTTTCGGGTCCAACGCGGAAGGCCTTCCAGGTCACAGCCCACCGCTGAGACTTCGTGGCACAGCCCTGAGGCAGATCCCCACTCCCTCCGATTCAGGCGGACGACCCCCGCTCGTGCCCCGCCCGCGAAAAACGATAAATATATAAACACATAGCTATAAACAAAAGAGAGCGGTCCTCAAAGGACCTCGATCCCCAATCCCGGCGCCGCGGTCCTATCAACGGCAGCGCCCTCGACGAATGGAGCGACCTCCTCCGTCGTACATTCGTCGACCATGAACGCGTGCCGCAGCACTTCATTAGATGCCAGCCGATCATCAGCAACAGTAAGCAGCCGCGCCACGAGGTCCCGGCAATTTCGGGACGAAGACCGCCAGAGACTGTCCGTTCGCAGCGCCCGCAAATCGCACTGGACAACTTTCCGCGCGATGCGCGCGTCGTCGGCATCGTCAAACGGATGATTGCCACTGACCAGCAAGAATAATACCACTCCGATAGCCCAGGTGTCGACCTTGTAGTCATATGCAGATTGGAGAACAATTTCGGGCGCGACGTACTGCGGCGTACCGACCGACGCCGTCAGGCGTTGGCCCGGCCGTACTAATGCAGACAATCCAAAGTCGCACAGCACCACATCCTCCCCGATCAAGATGTTCTCGGGCTTGACGTCGCGGTGGACCACACCCAGCTCGTGCAAATAAGCGACAGCGCTACATAACGGCCGCAGGATCTTTCGAGCGTTGTGCTCGCCCCAGCAGTCCGCGTCTCCGGTAGCCATGATGGCCTTCAAATCACCCCTTGCCACGAGGGGCATCACGAGATGCACCGCATTAATATCCTCATAGAGCTCTTCGAGGCGCATGACGTGCGGGTGCCTCGCGAGCCGCATCACCGCGACTTCCACCCTCAGCGCGTCTCTCACAGCTCGCGGCGCGCCAGCCGTGCGCACGCGCTTGATCGCGAGCATGTCCCCCGTCGAACGTTTCTTGGCAGAAAATACATCGGAAAACTGGCCAGTGCCCAGTTTCGATTGCAGCTCGTACGCGTCGGCGACGGGCGTCTGGGCCGAGGCCTTCCGCAGCGCTCGCACCCAGGCGTCCCGCTCCGATCTAGAAGAAGCGTAGAGAATGCGCTCCTTGGCGCCGTGCTTCGAGCTGTCCAATTCATCATTGACCGGCGAGGGCGGCCACGACGTGCCCGGCTGGACGTGCTTCGTGAGTCTCCTGAGATTTGTCGCGGAGTTGGCCGCTCGTCGTAGGATCGAGGGAGAGCCGGGCCGTCGTCTCTGACTGTTGGCGGCCGAGCCCCAGGACGAGGGCGAACCATCAGTAGAATCAGAGTTCAACAGTGGACTATGAGCGCCGTACTGCGAGTCGTCCAGTTCATCAAATAAGGAAGCGTGCTCGCCCGGTAAGCTTAGTACAAAACCGTGGTAGACCTCGTTCTGTTGCCCTCTTAAAGGTGAGGTCGCCGGCCGCGGTCTGTCGAGAGGCTGGACGCGACACCCCGGCAAGAACAAGACACCTTTCAATCTCTCAAGGCGGTTGTCGGCGTACTGGTAGAGATTCTTGTCGGCGAGCACATAATGCCGTCGTCTACGCGCCCCGAACCACGTCCCGAACTTGTAGAGCCAGCCCTCGCAGTCGTACGTGTCCGAGACTCTTCTCGCTAATAGTTTCGAGGCGATCCTAGGGACGTCTGACGACTCTCGCCTAGGCGAGGCCATCCTCGGTGGACTTTCTTGGGGAGTCGAGCCTTCCTTGAGTTCTAGCGCGAGGAGGGAAGGCGTCGGTCGCTGAGGTGGAGGCGGCGGTTGTTCACCCAAGCCTAGCGAAGCCAGGGCCGCCAACGACGAGGAAGACGTCTCCCTAGTAGGACTTCGCACCGTAGTGTCCGTCCAGTAGGTCGGCTCATCAGCTTGTATGGGAGGGGGCCTTTTGACAGTCGTAACTTCGGGCGCTACCTTGTTGTTGTTCCTCGGTGTTAATACTCTAGGAGCCAATGCGGCAACGGGTGGCACGAGCGCTTTGAGCACAAAATCGGCCACGGCCGGTTGTGATCGTAGCCACCGCCCGAACTGCGCCTCATCTAATGGTGCCTGTGCACCTTTCACGAGCTCTTCGTTCGTCAACCCGTCGCCTTGTGGGGGAAAATGATTGAGCATCGCTCTTAACTCGTTCTCGTCCACTACTTGATCCGCATTCAGGTCGAACATCGCGAACAACAACGCTCGCGCCTCGAAGGCGTCTCCCCTCAGACCGACTGCCAATATACCCACGAAATTCGAGAACTCCACGCCTTCGTGGTCGCCCTGCGCTACGGCGAATAGGCGTTCTCCGACCAAGCCCGGTAAATCAAAAGCTCTCCTAAAGGTGCCCGCATCTATGCTGTCCTTCTTCGAGTGGCGTCCGGCGAGATCTCGGAAGGACTCGGTGAGGTATTGTAATTCTCTCTCATCAAAGCGGCCGGGGTGCGGCGTGTCCGGCACTGGGGCTTCTCGGGAGGCCGTGGAGCCCATGGCTCCTACCACGTCGCGAGGAGCGCCGGGCGTCGGCGCGGCTGCGAAGGGCGCACGCTGGCCGCTTGACGCCGCCTTGGCGCGCGGCAGCTTCGCGGCGCTGCCTGGAGCTCCTATGCCTCGGGCGTCGCTGGGTTCTCGTCCGCTGAGTTGTCCAGCGCAGCTCGTACTCCTCCGTTTACAGTTGCACCCAAACTAGACCACCGGTGCACTGGCCGGCTTAACTTTGTCAAATTACGAGATTGAAGGTTAACTCATAGGCGTGACACACTAGAAAAAAATTCAAACGGAGCCCCTCTCACTCTCGAAGAACAGCTACAAACAACGACTTATCGCCCGATCATGCGTCGCACGGTGCGCAGGATCGCCGGCGTCGCGACGAGGCTCGTCTGCGCGCGCTTCCGCGTCTGCCGGTGCTGGCGCCGGAGGCCCGTGTTGTGGCCCATGCCCGCGGCCTTGCGTTTGATCGCGCCGCGCTGCGTCGCGCGGAACCGTTTCTTGGCGCCGCTATGCCGTTTATTTGAAAGGAAACGCGCGAGGAGGTCGCGCGCGCCGAGCGGTGCGCGAGTAGCGAGCAGTGCGCGCCAGGGCAGCATGGTCGCGCGATGTGTAGACCTTCGCCGGTTCGACTGTCGCTCGCGCGGCGCGGCAAGGGCTGCAGCAGCAGCAGTGCAGCAAGGATAGTGCCGGCGGGCGGGCAAGTTGGGGCGTTTCAACGTCGCACCGATGAAAATCAATCAAATTTGCCAGCCTTAGCCCAACAGCCGCACAAATACGCTCGCGCAAGCCAACCAAGCCCAGCTAGCTAGGCATGGCAACCCGCACGGATTGCTCCGGGCCCGGCGGGGAACGGCTAAACGACGATAGATGAATGTGGCGAGTCGCGTAGGCTAAGCCATATATGCCGCGCGCGCAAGCGCAGCGCCCACTAGGAGGCAGCACAACAGCCAACCTCGAGTCGCGCAGCGCGCACGCTGCGCGGCGAGTTCCTCAGAGGCTGCCTCGCGCGGTCCCATCCACACAACACCCAACGAGCACCCGCGCGCCGCCGCGACGGCATCGCGCACGACACCGACGGTCGACCTCCACAGATGGCTGCTACGACCTCGGCCGTCGCGGCGCACGCCGCCGCCACGGCCGACGCAACGGAGGAACAGGAAGAGAAGGCGCAGGACCCGCCTCCGCTCTCGCGCCAGCAGAGCTTCCTCCAGGGCGTGCCGCACTCGCCCCAAGGCGGCTGCTGCGCGCTGCTCCTCGACTCGCACGCGGTCTACCACGGGCTGGAAGACGATCCGGATGAACCTACATACATACCGACATCCCTAGCCCAGAAGCTCTTTCTGATCCTCGAGGATCCAAACTACAATTGTACGGCGCAACTGGTGTCTATCGTGATACTGTTACTGATCGTGCTAGGATGTATCACGTATGTGATGGAGTCGATGAGGGCGTTCCAGTACGTGAAGGATCGGTGCGATCGGATGGACCCGAAGGCTGGTGATTGTGAACCGGTAGCAAAGCCCATCTTTTTCAGGATCGAAGCCGTGTGTATTGGCGTGTTTACGGTCGAGTACGTCCTACGAATTGTTTTAGTTGGCATAGTGCCAGAACAGTGCTGGAACCCGACGTCGAAGCAAGAGCGGCCTAGGTGGAAACGGTTGAGGGCGTACGCGCTGCAGCCGATGAACGTCGTGGATCTCGTGGCCATCTTGCCCTTCTACATCGGGTTGTTCGATCTTGGGGGAGGCGGTTTTGGGGTGTTGCGTATAGTGCGTCTCGCGCGAGCGCTGCGGATGGCTCGCTCACCTAAAGTGGCGGGGTCAGTAGCCGTCTTCGGCAAGGCCATGTACGCTTCCAGTCCAGCTCTTGGTATATTGTTCTTCTTCAGCATGATGGCCTTCGTGCTGGCCGGGTCGATAATCTTTATGTTCGAACGCGGGCACTTCAGTACGGATGAGGCCTATCGAGATTTGTGTCGGAGATCAGAGCACGACTACACGCCGCATGGCTGTTATCTGCGGCAAACGACGGACGGCCTGCAGATGGAGGCGTCGCCATATGTAAACATACCTATCAGTATGTACTGGGTGGTCGTCACAATGACGACCACGGGCTATGGCGATTTATATCCTACGTCGACCGGTGGCAGAATCATTTCCATCCTCGTCGTCTACATGGGCATCATCGCCATCGCGTTGCCCATTACCGTAATTGGGACGAATTTCACGCGGGAGTACGACGCGTACCGCGAGATGGAACGGCGGCTCGCGGAGAAGAAGAAGCTGCGGTGGAAGGCTTCTTTGAGAAGGGTCGTGAAGAATACCCCGGGGGGAAAGGGCAAGGTCGGCGCGGCGCCGAGTCCGCCGGCGAAGAACCCCGATAAAGAACTGCTCGAGCAGCTGCGGAGCACGCTGCACCAGCAAAAACTGGGCCTCGAGGAGATCAGCGCGAAGGTCGAGGGCATCGCGGCGCGCGTGCTTAAGACGTAGAAGACACTAGCCTTGTGGGGGCGCGGCGACGGCGTGTACACCGCGATCCTTCGGGACCGCGGTCCCGCGGCGGCGAGGCGGTCCGCCAGCGGATCAGCATGCCAACCACTCGCACTGGCACGCCGTCGCAGCGATCCCGGTTCAGAGGGCATCGGCACGGTGGCTAGGCGGCCTTAGATCTAAGATGCACATTACTCCTTCTTCCGCTCGCGCACCATGTCGAGGAACATGGCGTGCCAGCGCGAGTCCGACGTCAGCTCGGGGTGGAACGACGTCGCAAGGATGTGGCCCTGGCGCGCAGCGACGCAGACCTCCCGCTCACCAGAAGAAGACCCCTTGCGCTTCTTCTTGGCCGGCTCGAAGGCCTCGACGTGCGGCGCGGCGTCGCGCGACGGCGCCGACGTGACGGACGCCAGGGCCTCGCAGGTCGGCCCCCGCTTCAGGATCGCCGGCGCTCTAATAAATACGGCCGGCGCCGCGTCCGGAAAGCCCTCGAGGGGCAGCTCGAAGGACGAGACTTGCGCGCCAAAGTAGTTGCGGCAGACCGTGCAGTCGAGGCCGCCGACGAGCGCCTGGCCGCCCGCCTTCTGGCCGACGCAGTCGTCCGCCAGCAGGATGAGGCCCGCGCACGTGCCGTAGGCCGGCACGCCGTTTCCTACTGCCTCGCGCAGCGCCGGAAATAAACCGTCGCCCTCGGTCATGATGGCCTGTGCGTAAATCAACCAGTGACTCGGGTGCTGTCGATGTCGTGCATGAATCGCCGCGAAATTGATTTGTGCACTGGAAGGTTGCCATCGCCGTCGACTCGCCGCCCGGGAAAATCAAGCCGTCGACGCCCGCGACCTCCTCCTTGACTCTTATTTCCCTCGTGGCTGCGCCGAGCTTGTGCAAGACGTCGATGTGCTCCTCGACGCTGCCCTGCAGCGCTAATACGCCGATGAGGGGCTTGCCGTCCGTCGCCTTTTCGTCGTGCGGCGCGTCGCCTGGCCGGCGGCCCGCGATGCGGTGCGGTGCTGCCTCAGCCATGATTGTTGTGTTGCCGTCAGTGGCGCTGACTGCGTTGTTTACTTCGCTGCGAGACCCAACGGTGGTCGATATGTTGCAGCGGTCCTTCAGAGCAGCAGTACTGGTGCTGCTGGTGCAATGGGACGGACTCTCCAAGCGAGACCACCGCGTTTGCCCTCGACACGCAGATTATTAGCGTGATCAACACACTAGCCCCGCGGAAAGCTATCGAGGCAAGGCCAAAAGGATAAATATTTGGCCACGGCACGCCGTCGACGACGCGGGATATCATCAACAACAGAGATTACTCATCACGGCCACTCCGCGTCGCTCGCGTCGCCGCGCGGCGGCAGCGCATCGTGCAGCGGCGACAGCGTCGGCAGCTCGCCCATCTCGACGGAGCCCGGTTCCCGCTGACGCTGTCCACCGAAGCACGTCGTCTCGTCGGCGTCGGACTCGTCCTCCTCGACGCGCGGCGGCGGCGCCGGCTTCGGTGGAGGCGCCGGCTTGCGCCGTAGGCGCGCCCGTCGGGACACGAACGCCGCAACCACGCTAGCAGCGACACACGGCGCCTGCTCCGCCGGCAAAGCGTACAGATCCACCGCGCCCCGCGCGCGCGGCAGCCGGACGCCGCCGCCGCCGTGGCACAGGACCAAATAGGCATACAACGACGGCCCGACGGCCCGGTAGTCGGCGCCGAGCTTCAAACCGTCACTCTTCAACCGAGATGACGACAGCGGGCCCGGCGGTACTGGAGGCAGCTCGGGGTCGCCGCCTTTTGTTTCTGGTACTCCGTCACTAGGTTTTGGCGGGCTCCAGAAGGCCCAGGCGCGCCAGGTCGCGAGCCACCGTTCGTCGACGAGGTAGAGCACTTTCGACTTTGAATCGCCGGCCTCTAATAAGCGCGCGACGCGCGGCTCCTCTTCGCGCCACACGCGATCGGGATCTAGTTGGAGCACCTCCTCCAGGAGCATGGGGCTGTAGGCCCTCAATAACACGGCGGTAGCCCGATGCAACGATTGGAGCCGCCTTGCGATAACACGGCCCGCCACTGACGGCGCCTCGGGTTGGCGCGAGCGGCAGGCCTTGTCGATCGGAGATGAAACGGCGCAGAGCTTCGCGACGCGTCCGTGGCTGTCGGGGTCCGCCCGCAACAGCTCGGCGAGCTCCCTCGTTAATATCAATGATAGACTTCGTTTGAGGAACGCGCCGGACACGCCTCTGGCGACTGAGGTGCGCCCGCAGTAGCGCACCTCGAAGTCAAATCTCAGGTCCATCGCCGTCGGCTCGGGACCCACGGAAGGACCTTGCGCCGCGACAAGAGCCCGCCGCGCGCCGACGCAGCGCACCGCGATCATCGTGGACGCGCGTTTTGGGGAAGAGCGCTTTTGAGTCAAAGGCCTTAAAACGTGGAGCAGATCGCAGGGCCCGCCGTCGAACGCGCCGTCGTGCACTAATGACGACATCCGCCTCTCCAATTCACCGGACGTGCGCCTTGCTTTGGCATCCAGTAAAGCGTGGGCCACGAGGGCAGCAGCGTGCGCTCTTGGTGGTTTTTTGCCTAGATTATTTGTGAGTGCTCTTGAAAACACGCCCTGCCTCGCTAGTAATCGCACGCAGTTCAGCCGCAATCTATCGCGCGCGACCCACGGTGGCGCGTTCTCGGGGACGTCGAGGATGGCGTGCGGGGCCTGCACCGCGTTGAGGATGCTGCTCGTGAGGTTCGGTTGTATGTGGTCCTCCTCTATCACATCTCTGTCGTCGCCGCAGATGGCGTCGAGGAAGGAGAAGTCGGCCATCTTTCGTCGCGCTCTGCAGCTCTGTATTGTGGTCTCTTGGAGTTACGGCAGTACAGCGGCGTCGGCGGCGCTTTGGACACTCTGAGCGCTGTGGAGCTGTGTTGGGCCGATGAGATATGTCTACTCTGCGTTCAGCTTCACTGATTAGGTCGTTATAGCACCGTTCTACGCTGCGCCGAGCTTGCTTTGCTATTCCTAGTGCCTTACATGCCGCTAGCAAAATTTTGGTTTGGGAGGACTCCCTCGGAGCCAGGGAGCGTTCCTTTTCCCCCTTGCGAGCGATTCTTTGAGCTTTTGTGAACCTCATTTTATAGTCGCCGCATTTTGGAGACGGGCTTAATTGCAGCCTAGCTCGCTCATCGTGCATTGCCGTGTCGACAGAAGTTGCGTACGCTATTAGAAGTGATTGAGCCAGCGGTGGAGAAAAAATCGAGGCCGCGCGAGTCGCGGCGGGGCTAATAAGCGGCCTCTCTCGCTGACTGCTTGAGCACCGCCAAGCGAGCAGCGCGCGGGCCCGCCGTGCCGCTGGACCCGACGCCAGCCGACGAGAGGCCGCCGCGGCAATACGCGCTCCTCACAACCGTCACATTCACCCTTCTCGAACGCAGGTCGAACGCCGCACGGAGACGCCGCGCGGCTGAGACGACAAATATGCCGCAGGCTCATCGGGAAGCCGATCAGACCGAGAAGGCGTACCAGAAGCAGGACGCCGTGTTCCTCGGCCGCAAGCGCACGCTCGCGAAGAAGAGCAAGAAGGGTTTGAGGTATGTCCGCAACGTCGGCCTCGGCTTCAAGACCCCCAAGCTCGCGCTCGAGGGCTCGTACGTCGACAAGAAGTGCCCCTTCACGGGCAACGTTTCTATTAGAGGACGCATCCTGAAGGGTATGGTCATCTCCACGAAAATGACGCGCACCGTCGTCATCCGCCGGGACTACCTGAACTGGTGCGGCAAGTACCGTACTGCTACCGCGTCTTAACCGCCCATTTCCGCCGACGACGACGTCGAGGCGTCGCGTCGATGGCGTCAATGGCACCGCCGCAACGCGAGCGGGGCGCTCTCGTGATCCGGCCAGTATTCCTCACCGTCCATTCCACGCAGGCCGTTTCGAGAAGAGACATAAGAACATGTCGGTCCACGTCTCGCCCTGCTTCGAGAACGTCAAGGAGGGCGACATCGTGACCGTGGGCCAGTGCCGGCCGCTCACGAAGACGGTGCGCTTCAACGTGCTCACGCACGAGCCGTCGGTGAACGAGGCGCTCAACGTGAAGAAGGTCTTCCGCGTCTTCTAGAGGAAGAGGGTAATTGTTCGGTACGTTAGTCTTGCCTTGTCACAGCGACGGCATGGAGCTGGGCCAGTGTCGCGTCGATGGCGTCGGTGGGACCACCTTGTTTTGCGGCGGTTCGTTATCTGTTACGGTGCTAGGGCTAAGGAGACACCGCGCGTCGCCGATTCAAATTGCCCGATAGCTCTAAAACCTAGTATGTCTAGGCGCGCTAGGGTCGCTGCCAAAACTTTGCTTTGCGGGAGCTATTGAACCGGTTACGACTCTTGTTCGCGCCTACTGTGTGACACCACAAGCAACCCTGATAAGAGCAGCGGGTCTACTACAACCTGCGCGCCACCCGTACAATTAGACCAATAAGCTCACTCGCTGTGCAGCAGCCGAACGCGTGCCGTGAGCGCCCGCGCGGAAATGACCCGTAACACACACGCACGCACGCACACACATGTAGCAATAGAAGATTCATAACCGCGTGGACGGTCGCGTGCCGCCGCCACCAATGCGGCAGCGCGCAACAAAATCCCGCGGGAGACTTGACAGGACGCTCGTACTGGGCCGCCGCGGGGCGCCGCGCAAAACGTCCGGCCCCGTCGCGGCGGTCCGTTAAACGCGCCCGACACTCGCAGGTTTCAACCGACGCCGCACGGCCGAAAAACGCGTCCGCCGCCGAGCAAAAAAAAAAAACTTCGACAGACCCCAGGGACGAAAGAACGAAAGGACCTCGCGCAGGGGTTTGGACGCCTAGAAATAGGCGCGTGAAACGAACACATATGCAAACGTTTACTAGGGCCGAGGGGTTTCTGTCTTACACATACCGAGAGAGGAGTCAAGGCTCGTCATGACGCGTCTCGCGCACAGGCAAAATGGACATGTTAGGAGCCATGGGCCGGTCGGCCATGCGGTCGGGATCCATGGCGGCGCGAGCGGCCACCCAGGCCGGCGCCGCGGCCGTCGATAATGTTAGCTCAAAAGTCTGCGAGCGCTGCGGCGACACCAAAACGGGCTTTCGACTGACGACGTGCCCGTGCTGCGAGCGGAAGATCTGTGGGAGCTGTGGCGTCAAGGTCGTCGTGCCATCACAATGTGCCAAGTCTGGTGAAGGATGCGAGAAGGTGTCCTGCAAGGAGGAGTGCGCTCCTAGGTGTGTCGAAGTAGCTAGACAGATGTTCAGCGACGCGCTGAAGGCTTCTGTGGATGCGAACGTCGATTCCATATTAAACGGCAAGGACGACTTATTTGAGCGGCCGGACAAACCTGTGGTGGATGTCTCGGCGACGGCGTCCGCGAGGCGACTCTTACCGTTAGCCCTGAAGGCTGTGGAGTTGGCGGGCTACTCGGAGGTCATTTATGCTTACAAGCTCGCGGAGGGCGGCATCGTCGCCGCGCTGCTGACGCCGACCTTCCGCGTCTTCGTCGAGCGCGTTTTACCGATGCTGTCCAAGCACATCGAACGCGCGGGCGCCGAGATGGACACGAAGAAGAAGGGCGCGAAGGAGGCGGAGCTGGCTTTACGTTTATATTATCTAGCTTGCGGGGAGGCCGTGAAAAGGTTAAGTCATCCGCCGGACGAGGCGAAAGGCTCGCCCGCCTCGTCCAGGGAATTGGACTCGCTCGGCGCCTACGTCGGGCCGGCGCAGTGGCTCTACGCTGCTCATGAGTTAAGAGCACCGCAAGCGACGGCGGCGTGGGGCGCGTGGTACGTCAGTCGCTTGTGTCGGGCGGACGGCTGGCGGCTCGTCGCGTGTGTCGGGGCTTCTCGAGCTGAAGATTTTCGATTGGCGGTGCCGGGGTTGCCTCCCGTGCGGTTCCCGGCCTGGTGCTTGGCGTGTCGGGGCAAGGAGGCGGTCCTAGCCTTCCGCGGGTCGACGTCGCCGCAGGACTCTGCGTGGAAATCAACCAGTGAGTTAGGTTATCCACGCCATCGAGCAGATGCAGTTACGGTGGGCACCCCGAAATTTGATTTCCACACAGGCAAGACTGGGCCATCAACAGCGAGTGTGATGAAGTAGCAATCTGCCACGAGAACGCTCCGAGTGACTGGTCCGCCCACGGCGGCATGGTGCGGGCCGCTCGCGCGATTTTGTATGATTGTGGGGCCGCCTCAGCTGTTGCGAAGCTAAGGGCGAATGGTTTCCGAGTGAGATGTATAGGCCACTCCTTAGGTGCGGGTGTGGCCGCCCTAGCGACGACGCTGCTGAATCTCGACGACCCCTCGCACCCGCAAGTGACCGCTTCCCTCTATGCGGTGCCCGCATGTGCCTCACCAGCATTGGCCGAAGCGCTTAAGGAAACTGTAGAAGCAGCTATCCTGCGGGACGACGTCGTACCTAGATTATCGGAAAAACACTGCGCGCGACTCGCTAGAGAGGTGGTGGCGGACGACGCGCACTACCGCGAGGCCTTCGCGAAAGATCGGGCCGCGTATACGCGGTACTGCAACACGCTCGGTAAGAAAGAAGGCATGGTCCACGCGAGTGAGGAGCCGCCGACGCCGCCGCCTCCCGTCCAAAAGGTGGAGCCTGTCAGGCTGCTCTCGGATGATGATGTTAGGCCGCTCGTGCCGCCCGGGCGGCTCGTGTTCTGCCAGGGGCGCGACGGGGTGTTTGAAGCTCAATCAGCAGATTACACTTTGGAACCCTTGCAAGCGGTGCAGGTGACGCCGCGGGCCGTCGACGACCACTCGCTGGACGCCATCGCTTTTTCTTTGCGAGCCGTCAAGGCGCGGCGCGGGTCATCACCAATCGTGAAGCCCGCACCATTAGCGCCAGCGAAGGTTGATGAGAAGTGGGTGCCGTGCTCCGTCTGCGGGTCGGACGTGACCTGGACGTCGTCCGTCCGCGGCAGCGACACGGCGCGCGCGTACTCGACACACCACTGCCGCGCGTGCGGTCAGGTGGTCTGCGCCTTCTGCGCGCCGGCGGCGGATTCCGTGGCTGCGGATGCCTTGGGCGAGACGCTGACCCTGCCGGACAAGCGCGTGACGCTGCCGTCCCGAGGTTGTCTCGGGCCTGTGAGGGTGTGCCGGCCGTGCCACTTCCGGGCCTACGACCTCTAATTCCCCACGTCCCTTGTGCGTCGTTGCGACGATGGCGTGACCGTGGCTTCTACACCACATCCACGCCGTCGCGGCGGCGCCTACGGACTCCGCGAACGCGCGGCGACGGCGCGCTCGCGAGATTCCTCCCCGCCGTTTTTGTTTAAACTTTTTACTACGGAGCGTTGCCAGTGCCGTCCACGCCAGGGCACACAGATGGACACGCCCCATTTTTTTGCTACACTTACTTATAACATATCCCGCCGACGGGATATGTCACCGCTCCGCTCTTAAATATTCCCGCGCCCGAGCTTCGACCCGTTTCCGCACGACGACGAAGCCGATGTCCCTTTTTTTATCCTTCATCTTCTTGAGGGGCATGGGGTTGCTGTCCGCCAGCGTCTTGAGCGAGTCCTCGCCCGAAGCATCTATGAGTCGATCTTGTCGGGAGATCTCGCGATCCACCGCGTTTTGTTTCAACCACTTGTTGTGGCCTTCGATGCGCTTCTCGTGCTTGTGGAGCCACGACCGCGTGCCGTCGTGGATATTCGCCAATTGATTATAGGCCGCCGTAGGCATGACTTCCAGCTCGAGACCGGGCAGGTCTTCTTTATTCCTTTTTTGTTCCTCGACCGCCAACTTGATCTCGTGCTCGTCCATGCCCTTCTTCGCTAACCGTAGAGTTCGTCGTCGCTGGTGGGGCGTTTGCGTCGAGCCAGGAAATTGTTCGTGGGACAAAATAACCGTTTCTTTCTTGTCGACCAACTCCTCCAGGTCCTTCTTCATGCGCTCAAAGTCCTCCCTCTCGGAACCGAAGGCTATGCGTTCGCACTTTTCGTCGCTGACACTTTCCCGGAATCGCCGCTTGCACCGTTCGCAGAACTCGACCTCGCCTCTACAATATTTGCAGGGGCTCATCCGACCGGTGCTCTTCGTTGACGCCGTGGAGGCGGTGCTGGCCGTCTTGGAGATGGTGCTGGCCATCTTTATTGTACGCTTCGGCTGGCGTGGGGCTGCCCTGGTGCTGCCCAGGTGTTGTTGCCTGGGGCGGTGAGGCACGCCCGCGAGGCGCGTGAGACCGCTGCCGGCGCCGTCGAGCACCGAGCAGAGGCTGCCCGGAATGCGTCGTCGACGTGTGCGACCCGCCGGGCCGCGAGGGACGTGCTTTTTGGCCGGCGCTGCGAGGCGCTCCTCTCGCATGGGAGCTAGTGCCCCAAGGGCGAGCAGGCGTCCTGCTTCGCACAGCCTCCCGCGGCACTGATGGGCCGCGACGGTAGTGTAGTAGGGATCCGGCCCCACGAGCCGCCGGGCCTGTGCAACATGGGCTTTCGGCCTGGGTGCCCATCGCGCCGCGCCGCATTGTGCGCGCGCCGCAGCCGACGGCGCCCCAGAGGCTGCCCCAGCAACATCAGACGGACGTCCAGGGACCCGTCGAGCGGCCTGCAGCCGCGCGTGGCAAGCGCAGGAGCGAGGGCGGCAACAGAGTAGCGAGTAGGCCTAGCCTGCAGCATCGACGCGCGCGCGGGGCTGCCTAGGCGGCACATAGCGAGCAAGTGGGCACGCCGGCGGCGCGGGCCACACGACAAAGATGGCCTCGCTCTACGAGCGCCTGCGAGCCTGCTTAGATCCGGCGCAGATCGTCCTATTGGAGATTGGCATCCTGGTCGTCGTCTGGCTGACCGTCGGCACGGTCGTTTTCGCGCTCAACCAGCCGAACTTCGACGCGATCGCGGACCGATGGATCTACTCCTTCTTCTTTTGTGTGAACGCGGGGCTGGGCGTGGGGAACGTACCTCTAGAACCTACAAGATGGTACACGAAAATAATAGCGAGCGCGTTCTGTTTCGTGGGCCACACCATGGTGATTGGTGGCGCCGCCGTCTACTTTGCCGTACAAAGCGACACGGTCATGAAGAAGGTCGCTCTGTCACCGGTACGGGAGGAACAGGTCCGACGGCAACGACTGCTGTATCACTTCTCCATATTTCTCTTCTTCGTGCTGGTGGGCGTCGTCATCGCGTTCACCACAGCTCAGTTGTCGGGATGGATGATGGCTTTCGAGTTCTCCGTGACGATGCTCACGAGTGCCGGTCTCGTGGAAGGCGTCGAGGACGATAGCGACTGGATCTGCCAGGCCTTGTGGATGCTGGCCGGTATTCCCTTCAGTATCGCCTTCTTCTCGGAACTCAGTGCGTATGTCTGGCACGTCGCGCGGCACCATAGACACCGGAGGCACCATAGACAACACGGTTTCTCTGAATCTACGACGCAGCCCCTCCAAGATCGGTCTACCGATTCAATGCCGGCGACGGAATATATATACTTGGAGAGGCTAGCGCGGGCGGCCGGCTACCTACGGGAGCGGGACGCCGTACCAACAGAAAACGTCGAGCTAGAGGACCTCCAAGCGACCTTGCAGGTTGGGGAACTTATAGTATCACTGATCATATGGTGGCTCGCCGGTACTTTATTTTACTACTTGTACCAGGGCTTTTCTCTCGTATATTCCTTCTACTACGCGATCAACGTCGGGTTAGGTATCGGGAACTGCCCGTATCAGCCCGACAAGACGTGGAGTCGTTTGTACACGATCTTCCATTGTATCGCTGGTTCAAGTTTGATCTATGGTGGCGTGTCCACGGTCTTCAAGGAAGCGACCGAGCGCCTACGGCAGCGCATGGATGATGATGATGTGAGTACCGATAGCGAGGACGACGAGAGCGAGGAAGCCCAATTGGGCAGAGTGTACATATATGGTGTGATATATGTCATCTGCTTACTCCTTGGAATACCGGTGGCCTGGGTCTGCGGCTACACGAAATGGTACGACGTTGTCGAATTTACGATCACCTACATGACGACGGCGGGCTTGCTGTCCTTCGACCGGGATAACAGTCATGGCCCGATCTACTTCGTGTCGGCGTGCTACATCGCTCTGGCGATTCCCGTGGCCGCCGTGTTTATTTCGGAGCTGGCCTCGGAGGCCTTTGTGCACAGGGAGCATAGGGTCATCAGCGACAGAATACGCGAGTCGGAAGATTCCGCCGCTGGAGGTTTCCAACCGCCACCCGCACCGCCCCCGTCGGGCCAGAAGAAGACGAACGTGCGCGTTCCCTCCGCCTACGCGCGCTTTTTGCGCGGCGTGAAGCGGCGCGTCGGCTTCTCGCGCTCGTCGTCATCGTCGGAGCGGCGGCCGTCGGCCGACCGCGAGGCATGACGACTCTTGTTTAATTTTATTTAGGATCAGTTTTGCTTTTTCGACCGCCTTCAAACCCGTGAGATAGAATTGATCAGGCTGCCCGCTTGTGCCCTGCCCCCGGGAATGGGCTGCTTTGTGCGTGACTGGCCGAAAAACAGGGATCCATGATGCGGCGACGCAGTGGCCGAAGGCTGTTCCATCTCTTCGGCATCGCAGCACTCACACGCAGCAGCAGAGCACTCCTTGCCATTCCGACCGCACGACGACGGGCCGCACCATTGATGGCGGAGGGACGGGGCGTCGACCACTTGAGCGCTGCGCTTGAAGAGGGAGATTTAGTGCTCTATCAAACCGGGCAATGGGCCGTCGACGGCGTGACAATTGGTGACGGTGAACCAGCACTTGCGTACGCCGTCGTCGATACGTTGCAGCTCGTCTTCACGCACAACTGCGAACATGGGTGGATCTACGGCAGCGCGCTGGAACGCGACGACTCTGACGGCTCGCTGCGGCCGCCGGACGGCGACGCGTTCGTCCAGCTAGGGCCGGAGCAGCTACTTGCTCGCTTGGACGGCGACGCGCTCGGCGACGGCGTCTCCTACGAGCTCGGAGACGCGGGGCGGCGGGCGGTGGAGGAGGCGCGCGTGCGACTGGCTAGTTGGGGGGATTAGTATCGTTCTCTAGCAAAAGGCAGCCCTGGGCAAACGAAGAGCGATCCAAACGGACTCATCAAAGAGACGGATGTTGGTCGACCCCGTGCCCTGGCCATCTCCGACCGCGAGGACTTCGGCCGCAGACTGCCAAGTGTCGCCCCTCGTGCGCGCTCGCTACGCAATAACCTGTAAAGCTGTTGCAGCCACCGACTCCCACCATGATTAGACGGATCGTGCTGGCACTCGCTGTGGCTCAGGCCTCGGCGAAAGTCTTTTTTGAGGAGGTCCCGAACCAGCGCCCAAGCAAGCCGCACGCGCGCGCGGCTGCACTGCATGCAAAACCGAGGCGTAGCAGCGCATCTGTCACACACACTGGCGCTGCGCGTGACGTATAACAACGCGAAACCACTGCCGCGCGGGCGACCCGCGCTGCCGACCCGCGGCGGCCAGCAAGCGCAGCGGTCCACACACACGCCGCCGCCGCCGCGCCGCAGCACCGACCCGCGCGCCCCCCGCACGCAGACCTTCGACAAGGACATCGGCAAGCGCTGGACCGTGTCCGAGTGGAAGGACGCCGACAGCACCGGTAAATGGGTCCACACGCCCGGCGAGTGGTTCGTGGAAAGCGCCAAGAAGGAGGCCCACGGCATGCAGGCCTCCGAGGACATGAAATTTCATTCTATCAGTGCGCCGTTGGACAAGAAGGCGTCGACGACGGACGGTACTTTGGTGGTCCAGTTCACCGTGAAGCACGAGAAGAAGGATTATGCGTTTTGCGGCGGCGGCTACATCAAGTTGCTGCCGGGGAAGGTCGACGCCAAGGCCTTCGGCGGGGACACGCCCTACAGCATCATGTTCGGTCCTGATCTGTGTGGCTATGATGTTTCTAGAATTCATCTGATCTTCGAGCACAACGGCGAGAACCTGCTTAAAGAAGATGAAATTAAATTAGACTACGCGGACAAGGACGAGTTCACGCATCTCTACACTCTTGTCTTGGAGAAGGACGGTAGCTACGAGGTCTTCCTCGACCAGGACTCCAAGGCCCAGGGCAACATCGTGGACGGCTGGGCCTTCCCCGACAAGGAGATCAAGGACCCGGAGGTCAGCAAGCCCGAGGACTGGGTCGACACGAAGAAGATCCCCGACCCCGAGGCCGTCAAGCCCGACGGCTACGACGACATCCCCGCCGAGATCCCGGACCCCGAGGCGGAGCAGCCCGAGGACTGGGACGCGGAAGAGGACGGCGAGTGGGAGCCGTGCGCAGCGGCGTCCTTTCTTATTTTATGGTTGCGCGCGCCCGACGCCGTCGAAGCGGCCTTCTGAGAGTCACCGCGTCACCGCGACGCCGTCGACGCGTCACCGCGATGCGACTCTCACCTATGCCCACGCTAGGCCTATGATCGACAACCCCGACTACAAGGGCGAGTGGAAGGCGCCGATGATCGACAACCCCGACTACAAGGGCCCCTGGGAGCACCCGCTGATCCCGAACAAGGACTACGCGCCCGAGACCTACGCGAAATACAAGGACCTCACGACCGTCGGCTTCGAGCTCTGGACGGTGAACGGCGGCTCGATCTTCGACAACATTTTGGTGACCGACGATAAAAAATATGCCGACAAGATGGCCGAGAAGACGTGGAAGAAGATCAAGGGCGAGGAAGGTAGTGGAGAGAAGGAGGCCAAGGAGGCCTGGAAGAAGGAGAACGAGCCCGAGGAGGAGGAGCCGGAGGAGGACGAGGATGATGACGACGAGGACGACGACGACGAGGAGGAGCACGACGAGCTCTAGGTCGTCGCCCGTTTTTCGTTCCCCTGTCATTAGTAATTCTCTCTTATGAAGTCTTTTACCCATGCCCTAGGCCTCGCCGATGCCCGCGAGGCACGCGAGCACGTGCGCGATCGACTTGACGCCGAAGGCCGAGCCCAGTCGCGGCGATGGTGCATTTTTATAAGGAAGGAACTTTACGAGGGGGGAGAGGTAGGGGGAGGGGGGGGGATGTCTGACGCCCGGCGGACAGCACACCCCGTCGGCACTATGCTATCTTGCCCATTGAACAGGCTCCTGCCTTGCGCGGTCGATCGCAGGCAGCGCCGCAATACCGGGTGGAGCTCCTTGTGCACGCTGGGGAAGGCGACGCTCACGGTACGTCACCACGTGCGCTCGGCGCCCGACGGGAGGGAAGTGGGGAGGGGGGCGGGAAAACGGAGGATGACGAGCTGATCAGGCCTGCTTCTTCGAGGACCGCGTGCTCCGCGACGTCGACGGAGGCTTGCGCTTGCTGCTCTTCTTCGACACGAGGACGTCGAGCTGCGACGCCTGGAGCACCTTGATGTATCGGCGCCGCGCCGCGATGAGCTTCGCGCTCAGCTGGTGCTTCGCGGGCAGCGTGCCCTGGATGACTAGCGTCGTCCTGGACGTCATGGCGTTACTCGTGGAGGCGACGCCGCGGGTCATCAGGTACTCGCAGACCGCGGCCTTGTCGTCGAAGCCTTCGACGTGGCCGGTAATGACCACCTGTGTGGAATCAACCAGTGAGTTAGGTCACTGGGACATCGTCGCGTCGATGGCGTAGACTCTTAAGCCATCGCGCAGACCCAGTTACGGAAATATGTCGCGTCGACGGGTGGGGCGCCCGAGATTTGATTTCCACACAGATGACCACGTCCTTGGCGCCCTTCAAATCGTCGACGCGGCCGCGCTTCACGGCCGGCAGGGTGCCCACTACCGAGGCAATCACCGTCTCGAGCGCGTTGTCCGGCAGGAGTCGGCACAGGTCCTCCTCCGCGATCAATTTGGTCGAGGTCGACGACCTTTCAGCAAATCTAATGGAGTCCGACGTCGCGCCCGAAGGAGCGATGACGTAGTCGTCCTTTTTGCACGCCTTGCTCCTAGAAACCTTCGATACGTCCAGCACGTCGGTCAGTATGAGCGCCCAGTTGTCGTGCGTGAATTCCTTCGGGCAGCCTGTATGGAAATCAACAAGTGAGTAGACGTCGCGCCATAAAATTGTGGTCCGCGCCGGGGCTTACTGACGCGCACGCGTTTTCCTTCGAAGTCTTCCAACTTCAAATCCGAAACCGGAGACTCTGTCATCTCAACGTCAGTGGCCGTGGGAACAGCAGCCTCCGCGGCGGCCGCGATGAACTTCTCCTTCTCCTTCTCGAACGCGGCCTTGTGCCTGTGTGGAAATCAGATGTCGCGTCGATGGCTTGAGATGCGCGTGAAATTTGATCTCCACACTTGTACCAACTCTTCGTAGCGCTTTTCAGCAATGAATCGGTCGTGGGCGCGGACAAATCCGACAAATTCATGCGGAATCCCGAGCGATTCGATAGGTACCCAGCCCTCGACGGGTTCGACGAGGTAGCACTCACCCTCGCGAAGGTTCCCGATACAGAGGTGACGCTCCATGACCGTCGTCTCTGCTGGGAGGTATTTTGGTCCAGATGTCGTGTTGACTAAAACGCCGGCCGCGTCGACGACTTTGCGTTCAACGTCAGGATAAATGGAACGTAGCGCAGGCTGAGGTCCGAACTCGAATCGCTGAAGCCCGAGCGATTCGAGAGGCACCCAGCCCAAGACTGGTTTCCTGATGAAGCACTCGCCCTCGCGAAGGTTCTTTGTCGACACGTGGCCCTCCATGACCTTCGTTCCCGCTCCGAGGTATTTCCTGGGACCAGATGTCGTGTTGACTATAACGCCGGCCGCGTCGACGACTTTGTGCTCAAAGCCAGGATAAGAGGAACGTAGTTTCGGCTTCGGCCGAGCCTTCGCGGTCTTAGGTGCGTACGAGGAGCGTTCGACGGGAGTCAGAGCCGCCCACTCAGCCTCCCGCGCGGCCTGGGCCTCGGGCGAGTCGACGATGGCGTCGGCGTGCTCGGCGCACTCGCGTAACTCATCATCCGAGAGGACGGAGGCTTCGACTGGAAAGAGTGGTGGCTGCTTGACCGGCGGCGCATCAGGCCGTTCCGACGCGTACCGCACGTACAACGCCCGGAGATTGTAACGCAAAGCGTCGCGGTGTGACCGGTCCCCGCCGAACTTCAGCAGGTAGCCGTCGGCGAGCCCGCCCCAGTCGCGATCCTCGTCGCCCTTCGACGCCACATGGGCGACCTGTGTGCAAATTTATCAATCTGTGAGTCGACGTCGCGTCGTCGTCGCGTGATTTGTACACTGCAGTCGACGACGAAGGCGATCTGTTCTTCCGTGTAGCTCATCTGTTTCCCACGAGCGCCAACCTTGTACTCGCCGAGGCGCTCCGCTTCAAGTCTTAGGTCGCGCGGCAGGCTCTTGTCGACGGGGACTGTGCTGAGGACGAGGTAGAGGGCGAGCTGGCCGTTTAAGCCGGTCGTGACGTTCTTGCCGCACTCATCAACGTTGAATTCCTGCAGCTTATTACCAAAGGCCGCGTGCGCGTTCTTGCACCAGTTTTCCTCGGCGCCGGTTTCCCCGTCGTGCTTGTCGCCGTCGGCCGTGAACCGCTCGTCTACGGACGGCCAGACGACTGCGATGGAGAGCACCTTGTCGTCGCCGTCGGCGAGGTCGCGGATGCCGATGTTGTTTAACTCCTTCGTGTGAACACCGATCATTTTAGTAGCGTTGTGCCCGGTCTTCGAGCCGCCGGCGTACATACCAACGGCGTTGAAACCGCTCTTGGCCGTTTGATTGGCGATGTGCCCGAGCATCGCCTTGGCGTTCTCCTCGTTGTAGGGCAGCTTGCTGTGAATAATGCCATATGTGCGGTCGTGCGACGTGTGCGACTTTACGGCTTTGGGCGCAAGGCCGGCGGCCGCGGCGACGGCCATCGCCAGCAGGATACCCCTTCTCGTAGCCATGGTTGGTGTTGCCTCGTGGCGCTCGTGGCGTGTCGTGAGCTGTGAGCGGCGTCGAGACGGTTGAGCGCCGGCGTCTCAATGAACGCGGCGCAAAATGAAACGCGGCGCAGTACCGGCGCGTGCCGGGGCCGTACTAGAGGCACGTGAGCGGCCGCGGTGTCCCCGTAGCGCGAGTTATGCGCAGGTCGTTAATTAATCTGGAAGAGTTTGTTGGGCCCACAGATTCGTCGCGCGTGAGAAACAGAGCTCCCGTCACTGTAACGCTTCGTCCGTGTGACCGCGAGAAGACCCCGTACCGCGAGATACCGGTCAGTCTGATGGCAACGAGCTTGCGTTTGCTAAGTGCTAAGACACACTAGGAAGCACCAAGGCTGCATGTGTTTCAGCAGCTGGCGCTGCTGTACGCCCTCTCAGACGACCTTGGCACGCAGGGCGGTACGCTAATTGGCTATACTGCCAGCCGCGGTGGCCTCGCTGAACGAAGGAGCGCCCCGTTGCCCCCGGAGAGCCGCTCTCAGCAGCTCTCAGGAACGTCGCCGCAGCGGCGCCCGCGCGTATCGCGCGGCACCGAGCTGAGCCTTTGCCGGAAAGCATCGCAGCTGCGGCGCCCGCGGAGAGGCTGGGAGAGCCGCTTCGCCCCGCAGCCTCTGCGGAAACGCCGCCGCGGAGATGGACCGAGAAGACTCCAAGCTCAGCTCGAGCTCCGCCGAAGAGGCCATCAGCTCGGACGAGGACGACCAAAAAACCACAGGAGACCGCGCCCCGGACGCCGCCGGCTTGATACTCGCAACAGCAAGAGCCGCCGGCGCGCCCATCACGCCCAAAGATTTGGCCCAGCGCGCCAAGCACGCCGCGGAGCTCTTCGGGTTCGTCGAGGACTGGAGCGACCTCACGAAGACCCTCGCGGCCTGCGGCGCTCTGGCCCCGTTCACGCGACCTCCACCACAAACACAACCGCTGCCGCCGGCGAAGCAAGCTAGACTCGAGGAGGACGGCGCGAGATTGTACCACGCTTCCAGGGTTGCCCCCTTCCACGCGCGGGCCTTCGATTTAGCAAGAGACGGCCGCTTCGAGGAGCTGGAGGCGGCCTGCGGGTCTGCCGCGGCGACGACGCTCAAGGCGTGGTGCTTTCACATGAGCCCCAAGTGGGCGACGCTGCGGAGAAAACGGTTGCGACGGTTGGACGCGCGAGGTCTGCGGACGGCGCGCGTGGCGCTCTTAGCGTGCCAGCCCGGTCTGGAACTCGACGAGGACCTGAGCGAGACGGAGCCGTCCTCTCCTCTTTCAAGAGCAGCGGCGCAGCTCGGCCTGGGACCGTGGGCCGCCCCCCCTCAAGCCTCCGCGGCCGAGGAGTGGCGCGAGGAAACTCGGAGAAGACGCGCCGGCGGCCTATCTTCTGATGGCGCGGCCTGCGACGGCGACGCTCGTGCCCGCGTTGCCCCGGCGCCGCCTTCGTTACTAAAGGCTTCGGGCTCCGCGCCGCGCCTCGCCGCGGCCGCGCGCGCCGTCGCGGCGTTGGCGCGAGCTAGGGCCAAGCTCGCGGCGGCGCGCGACCGCGACGCAATGGCACGCACTGCGTTCATCGACGCCGGCGCCGAGGACGCGATCTCGCGGCCGCCCGGGTCGACGTATCAGCGCCCTCCTCCACAAAAGAAGCGCCCCTCGTCGTCGTCCTCAAAGAAGAAGAAGAAGAAAGGTAGACTGGACCCGCCGCCGCCCCCTCCCACGGAAGACGACTTGGCCCTTCGTGCGAGATTAGTGGAAGCCGCCGCCAAGCCGACGCCGCCGTCGGCCGAATTGGCGGCAGCAGCACCGGCGCCCGCGGCCTCCGCCGGCGCGCCGGCGCCGCCCCCGGTGCAGCTCGAGAAATTGGGCCCGGCGCCACGTTTACGGGAGGGCGACGACGCGTCGGCTCTGGCGACGCGGGCCTCGGCCGGCGACGCGCCCCTCTACCGACCCAGTCGACGACCGCCAGCGCCGGCCGACGCACGTAGGTTGCTCCACGACCTCGCGCCGGCGACGTTCGACGCCGGGCGCCGCGGCGCCATGGCGCCGCCGCCCGGCGGCGCCGACGCCGACGCGGCGGCCTGGCGCCGCGTCTCGGCGCTCGTCGAGGGCGCGGCGGCCGTGGCGGCGGCGCGGCGCGTCGGCGGCGCGTGGTCGCCCGCGGCGTCGCCGCACGGCAACGCGGCGCTGTCGCCGCGCGGGCGCCGCGGCCACGCGCCGTCGCCGCCGCCGTTGAACCTGCCGGGCCTCGCGCTGCCCGCCGTGCCGCCGCAGAGCCCGCGCGACCTGCCGGCGCCCGACGCAGCGCGGTTAAATGCCCCGTACGGCGGGCCGGGCGCCGGCGCCGGCAAGCGCGCCCGCGAGGCCGCGGCGGCCGCGCGCGCGCGCGGCGACCACGACGACGCGGCCGCCCTTTCTAGGAACGCGGTCGTCCTCGCCGAAATGAAGCGCGACATCGACGCATTGCTCGCGGAGGCGCAGGTCGCGCCGCCGCCCCAATGAATAATTCGTTTTCACCGGACTTAGTGAACTTACTCAGTCGTCGTGGGTCCCGTCCTTCTCCAGGTCCCATCCTGCTGCTGGACCATGACAACCATGCCATCCCCTGCGTCGTCGTCGCTCTCGGAATCATCGCCCTCGCGCAACGCCGGCAGGCACTGCCGCACCTTACTTCTGAACTGCTCTATTGTCCCTTCGTAATTCCGGCGAGTTGTCCATTCGCCAAAGTTTGAACTGCTAAAACCCATGGTGCCGCTCGAGTATGACCTTCTATAACCCGCGGCGGCGATCGCCGCTTTGGCGCCGCGAGGTACGCCGATAACTGGCACCAGGCCAACCGTACCCGCGTCGCGCCGTAGCAAGCGCCGCAAGTTCAAGTTATGAGTTATTGTAAACGCCCGCGGTGCCATAAATTTGCACTGCGCGCTGACTTCCCCGCGGTCGTTCCACTGAATAGACAGCTCAACTGCGTGGTCGGCCAAGAACACGGGCGACGTGCTTCCGCCCTCGAGCGTGGCGCCGTACCCAAAGCCTGCCGATGAGATGAACGTGGCGTCAAGCTCCTGCACTTGGCACGACGCGTCGTCGGCGACGGGCTTGACACATAAGCCGACGTAGGCGCAGTCTAACAGTCCGCCGGACGGCCCGTCCGTGGCCGTGAATTTAAAGCTAAGCTTGGTGCCAATGGCGTGGTGCCCCTCCGCGGCAGTGTTGTGCCGCCGCGAAAAGGGCTCCCCAAAGAAGAAGCGCACGCCGAGCGCTTGAGCTGCCGGCAGGAAGCGCTGATCCGCCTCGACGCCCGCCATTGGCACCACGCTCCGGTCGACGTTGGCGGGGCCGCGCCATAAGATGGGGCAGGCGCCGTCGGCCACTCTATACGCCTCCCGCGCGTCGCCCACGAGCCCTGGTCTCCACAGCCCTGCATCCCACGTGCCCTGGTCGAAATACACCACGAGGATGCCCAGCGATGCCCACGAGCCATCGGTCTCCAGGCGCTCGATGGCCCGTCGACACGCGCGCTCCAAGCCAGTTCTTTCGTGCAGGCGCCCCAACTGAAACCGCGCCTCCAGCAGGTCCCGCCAGGCCGGCGCCCAGTCGACCCGGCGGAGGGCGCGGCCCGCCGCCGCGAGCGCGCAGAGGCCGCGCGGCCCGCTGAACGCCGCCGCGAGCTGGAAGGCGTCGCTGGCGAGGAGCCTCTCGACGCCCGGCGGGAGCGCGGCGGCCGGCGTCGGCGTCGGCGGCGCGGACCGTTGCTGCGACGCGAGGTAGCGCCGTACTTCGACGCGGCTGCGCAGCGCCTTGCGCCCCCGCGGCGGCAGCCACGTCTGATAGGTGCCGCCGGCCTGGCCGCCCGTTTTTCTCGTGTGCGTCGTGATGGTCCAGCCATTAGCCTGTAGCACTGCGTCGTCGAGTTGCGTGAGTGCCGGTTGTGCACTGCTCGCGGCGAGGACGTGCAGCTCGCTCGCCTGGAACTCGATGGGGGCGTCGTAGCCGTCGAGGTCCACCATGAACCACCCCGGTCTGCTTACGCCTGTCACGACGCCCTCGACGTCGTCGAGAATCAGCACTACTCTATCGCCGACGGCTGGCATCGCTGCGGCGTCCCGAGATCGCTGCGCGGCGACGTGCGCGGCCCGAAATTATGCACTGGTGTGAGATCACAGTGCACAGCTCCTGCTGGGGCGTCTTTCGCTACCAATTTGTTGGCAAGCTCGTGCGACTATTTTTTGCTGCTCGTCTGCTGTTGTTGGGGATCTGGGCGCACCAATGTGGCGTTTTGGCTTGCTGCTTTGCTTGGCTAGTGTCTCACTGCCGCTAGCTTCCGCCGCCCACCCTAGCACCGTACGTCAAAGATATACCGCATGCTTAATCGTACACATTCTTAGGCCACCGGACGACAGACAGACTACGAGAAGTCCGCCAGCAGCTCCGCGAGCGCGGCCTCGAGGTGCTCCGGCCGGATCGTCTCGTCGCCCTCCGACCGCGCCTCGGCCTCGGCGCGGTCCCGCGCCTCGAGGACGAAGAGCCGCAGCAGCTCGCCGCAGGTCTTCGCGGCCCCGGCCGTGAGCTTGATATTCGCGGCCGCACGTTGGCCGCCGGCCTCCGCGGCTGCGCGGCTCAGCAGCTCCATCACCAAAGCCTCGTCGAAGGTCGGCTCCTCATTTTGCGCGCCGGCGTCCATTTATGCCAGCTTCTCGCCGAGCAGCCGCTTCCTTACTGACATGCGCTTGCGCGTATCAACAAAAGCCAGCGCTAAGAAGAGCAGGCAAAGCCCACAGATGCCGCACACTACGTACAGCTCTGTATGCGTGTGTCCCGTGACGGGATGCGGGCGGCGCGGCTCCAAATTTACCATGCAGCAATAGACTGGTCCTTGCTCGCGCTTAGACGAGCTCGCGCGCGGCAGGACTGCACGAGATCCGTGTATCTGTCGGGAGCAGGTCTTGCGCCCTAGGGAAGGACCGCTATGCCGCGTCGCGCCCGGGAAAGCTCCTTGCTAGTGTCTTACAGGACTCTAGCGCATGCCGGCTTTATCGGGCAAAAAAGCCGCTTTTAGAGGAGCACAAGGGCTCAATAAATCTCACACGTGACTCGCACGGATCAGCGCTTTGGCGAATTGCAGCACTCTGCGGTCAGCATCACACAGCAGGGCTAATACACTGCGCCAGGCCAAGCAAGTGCTGTGCTTGTCCGCCGCGGTGTAGACGCGCCGACGGCCGCTTGACCAGAACTCGACGCCAGAAGTCGCAGCAGCAAAGGTAGCGAACGATGAGCCAACGCGCCGTGCTGGCAGCAGGCGCCGTCGCCGCGGCCGCCGCATGGCTCATACGACGAACGAAACAAGACGAGACGCGAGAGCGCGCGGGCTCCATCGCGTACGACACCAAAGACGAGCTCTTCCACGCGATGCGCAAGGACGCCATCACCGCCGCTTCCAGGGAACCGTGGATGGCCGGCATTCTCCAGCACATTATTGACGCGAGATGTTTCGAGGACGCCGTGGCGAACATGCTGATGCACAAGCTCGCGTACGAAACAACCAACAAGCAGGAGATGCGGCGCAAGTTCCGCGAGGCTTTACTTGAGGAAAGCGCTGCCTGTCGCGCCGACGCGCAGGCCGTGGTTCAAAGAGACCCGGCGGCGGACGGTGTGCTGGACGTGGTCATGTACTTCAAGGGATTTTCGGCCATCCAAGGCTACAGGATAGCGCACCGCGCGTGGGAGGCCGGCGAGCGCGCGTATGCTCTCTGGCTGCAATCGCGGTGCTCGCAGCAGTTCGGCGTGGATATCCATCCCGCGGCGGTCATCGGCCCGGCCGTGATTATCGACCACGCGACGGGCGTCGTGATCGGCGAAACGGCCGTGGTCGGCGAGGGCTGCACCTTACTCCACGGCGTGACGCTGGGCGGCTCGGGCAAGGATCATGGGGACCGGCACCCGAAGATCGGCAAGCACGTGCTGCTGGGGGCGGGCTGCTCGGTCCTGGGAAATATCCGCGTGGGCGACCGGTACCGACGCGGCGTCCTCGTACATCATACGCCGTCGACGCATATCCGCGCAGGGCAAAGCTCGGCGCCGGCTCCATCGTCCTCAAGCCCATCCCGTCCGGCGCGACGGCCGTCGGGGCGCCGGCGAAGATCGTCGGCCGCGTGCAGGAGGAGAATCCCGCGGGCCGCGGCTGGGTCGACGCCGGCGTCACGGAGTGCGTCTGGAGCGAGCTCACGAGGCATGCGGGACCCACTCCAAAAAATACGATCTCGTACCCGTCGTTCAAGAAGCTGCTCTCCAGTTCCAGCGTCGACGAAGCCGCCATCGGCGAGCTCTTCTTCGAATTGGACGGAAATTTGGACGGCTTCATCACGGAGAAGGAGTTCCGGGAAAATTTTGACAAGTGCAGCGATAAACTGTGCGAGGCCATGTGCGAGTCGTCGCTGCAGTGCCCCGAGCGGCGGACGTCTATTAAACGACATGTCGTCGGCACGATGCACCAGATCACGCCGACTGGATCGACATCGCCGACGCACCGCTCCCTCGAGAGCCCCGAATGATTGCTCCGGCGCGCTTGATGATGACTCGCCCTAATTGTGTGCTGGCGCTACGCGCTGCCGCCGCGACAACATCTCTCGCCGCGACGGCTTCGAGTAAGACTACTTGTGTACTTGCTTATCAGGCGGCGGAGACGGACGGCCGCGATACGCGTGTGAACGCGCCGCTCTTGAGGTTCTCGTGCGCGTTCGACTCCGTTAATAAATCGACGGTGAACGCCTGGATCGGCGCGAGGACGTCCGCCTTGTGAGCGTGCCCCAGCAGCACGTTCCCGTTGTTCGCTAATTGTAAAGTCGCGAGAAACTGGCGGCAGACGCCCGACCGCTCCCGGCCTCGAGCGAGCTGCGCAAATGGTACAGGAGCGGGCTTGACGCCCTGCACGCGGCAGTCCTTCGCCCGCGCGGCGGCGACGGCCGCCACCACATCTCTCCCGAGCGCGAGGATGTCGAAGGGCGGTCCCGCCTCCTGCGCTGCTAGTATAGGCGCCAGGCGCTCCTGCCACTGGGCCACGCGGTCGGCGATTCTCGCTAACTGAGCATACGACGCGACGGCGCCCGCCAATTCGTCCAGGTGCTGCTGGCAGGCCTCCTGGACGACGTCCGCGTCGCACTGATCGTCGTAGTCGTCGTCGAACCCACCAATGGGGCCACCAAACGACTGGTCGTCCTCCTCCTCGACCTGAGGTTGTAACGGTACTTCATCAGAAAACAAGCGCGCGAACGTCGCCCGCCGCCCGCGCCCGTCCCAGGCGTCCTCGACGGACTCCTCATCATCTAGATCCGCCTGGCGCGCCCGTTTTTCCTCCAAGGCGACGGCCGCCAAGAGCTCGGGAATGACATCTGATAAAGGCGCGGCGGCGGCCCTTTGCTTGAGGGCCTCATTTAAACTTTTGGTGGCGAGCTTGCGGTCTCTAGCTGTTGTAGCTGATGCCTCGGCGGCGCATAACGCAGCCACCTGCGCGTCCGACGGCGCACCTTCCATATGTGAAGGGAGCTCGACGGTGTCGCCGTCCTCGACCGGCGCGCGCCACGTCCGGCCGCGCTTCAGCGGTCGCGGTTTACTATCGTTCGCGAGAGGATCCAATTCCTCCCAGGGGTCGTCGGCCGGCTCCGGCGCCGCTTCCTCCTCCTCTTGAACAGGCGGCTGGAACGGGACGTCGTCCTCATCTCCGCCGGGTGCAAAGCCGCCGTCGTCGTCGTCGTCCATGGGCGGCGGCGCGAAGCCTGCATCATCAATCGGAGCGTCCTCGAGCGGCGGCAGCGGCGCCTCGACGTCCATCATCTCCTCCGCAACAGGTGCGGCGGCTCCCTGCGCGGTGGTAGATCGGTGAGATGCGGCGATGGCGCGGCGTCGTGGCGTCGCGTGAGGCCTCTACGCCATCGACGCGATGGCGCGGCGGGGGAAGAAGCGCGCACGTCGCGCGGAAGCAAAGGACGCCGCGGCCGCGCCCCCTCTTCATCAACAATAGCGCCGTCGCCCTCCAACCCCGGCAGCCGCAGCGACCCGTCCTCGCAGAAACACGCCCCGAAGAACGGCGCGTCCTCGTCCGTATCTCTAAATAACATAGCCACCAGAGGATCGGCGTCGGACTGCTCCAGTTCCTTTTCTTTGTCCTCGTCCAGATCAATATTCTTGCCCGCGCGGCACGGTTTCAATGGTTGTAGAGCGTTCTCCGGCAGCGGGTCGAGCGGCTCCTCCTCGTCGGACTCCTCCTCCTCGTTCGGACCTTCCTGCGCGGGGCATCGCGGTCTCGACGCGGTCCGAATGGCCTCAAATTCGAAAAAGAAACCACCCACGTCATCGTGAGATGGACACGAGTCGCGTCGAAGGCGCCTCCACACGACGGGACGCCGCGAACGCACGGCGGCCTTCTTCTCGGCCTTTTCCTTTTCCTTCTGGCCCGTCCGCAGTAACTCCAATACGCGATACACCAATGCATGGACCCCATCCACTTTCCGCCCATACACGACGGCCGAACCCTGCAACAACAGCCCGGCCTCCGCGAAGTTGATCATCGCGCCCGCGTCCTTCTCGACGTAGCGCACGCAGGCTTCCACGTAGTCCTCGAGGGCCTCATCCACATCCACATCAAAGGCTAGGGCCGCGTCCTTGATGGGTTTTAGGAGGGCCATGAACTTCTCCGTGGCCTTCTTCTGCTTTGAGATCGCGTTATCATCGTCGGAGTCGACGTCCATGTCTTGCGGCGGGGTCTTCTTGCGGCGGGGCATGGTGTGTAGTACGGCGCGGCGGCTGCGCGGCGCCTTTCCGCTGTAGCTACGGCGTATCACGTCCGCGACGCGGCTGCGCGGCGCTCTGAACCTGAGCAAACCGACGGCGGTTTTGGACGTAACCAACCTGAGCCGCGGTCTGCGCTCGGCGCAGCGGTCACAGTGGCTGTGGCGGTCTCCGGATGGTTCCAAATCGCAGCTCTACGCCCCAGAGGCCGCGTATGGAGGCAAAACGCAAAGCGCCGTCAAAAACGATCGAAACCCGCACTCAAAAAAAAATCGGCCCCCAGGCACCATGCTACACTCCTCAGGAAGCCTGCCAGACGCCCTCTGTGGCGCCAGTCCGCACTACCAGCGCCTCGCAGCTTTGTGTGACACCCAAAAATATTTTTTGGTATTTTTGCAGTCATCGTTGCCTGCAGCCGCACCGTTGCAGCCCCGCGCCGCACGTCCGCGTCGCACGCTCCTACCGTCCGTTGCAGCCCCGAGGCGGCGGCGCAACCCCATCGCTCGCAGCCTTGCCAGGCAGCCCAAATAGCAGCCCGTCCGCCACGACGCGGGCGCGCACCGCCACGACGGCGAGCCGCGTCGCCTCGCCGGGCAAGGCTCGACGGGCCAGCGAGGCCCAAGACACGCTGGAGCGCCACATGTCAAGACCGGAAAAACGGTCGGTGGACCTCGAGGCGACCGAGATGCTGGCCAAGGCGAAACAGAGCGATCCCAACCTCCAGGAGGCGAAGAATGAGGGAGGCATCACGCGGGCGGGCCTCAAGGTGCTGGTACTGTTAGCGTTCCAGAACTGCGTCAAAAACCTTGTGATGAGAGCTGCGGTCTCCGGGGACGCGCACTTCTTGTACTCGGCGGCGGTCATCGCGACCGAGGGCACGAAGTGTCTATCGTCCACCTTATATGTCTTATGTACTGGTGGTTCTCCTAATACAATATACTTATACCTAAGGACGGAATGGCGCAAGTTCGCGCTGCTGGCGGTGCCGGCGGGCATCTACAACTTCCAGCAGACGCTGGAATACGTGGCGCTGCGGAATTTGAATGCGGCGCTGTTTTCCGTCCTCGTACAAACCAAACTGTTGACCACGGCGATATTTTCGGCGGGTCTACTCGGCAAAAGATTAAGACGGGCACAACTGATTTCATTAGTTTTACTAACAACTGGAGTCATGCTCGCGCAGTTGCGACCCGATAGAGGCGAGGCGTCGAACGGCGAGTCGGTCACTACTGGTATTTTAGCAACATTAGGCATTGCGTTATCATCAGGCTTCGCCGCGGTCTACACGGAGAAGGTCATTAAGAGGGTGGGTACGACGCAACAGACGGCGACGGCGCCTCCAGTCAGTGGATTGGCTTATACGCAGATCCAGCTCGCGATGACGTCTTTGGTCATCGAAGGGGGCTGGGCCTTCGCGACCGACGGCGCCGCTATCAGAGAACGGGGATTGTGGGACGGCTTCGACTACAAGGCGTGCATCTCCGTCTTCAACTCCGCGGCCGGCGGTCTGACCGTGGCCGCAGTTTTGAAGTATGCGGACGCCGTCCTCAAGGGCTACGCCACAGCCGTGTCCGTCGTCCTCACCGGATTACTGAGCATGCTCTTCTTCGGGACCACGCTGTCCGTGGAGTACGCTTTAGGCATGGTCAACGTCTTCGCGGCGATCGTGCTCTACAACGTGCGCGACCTCGACGCGCACGCGTGGTAGTCGCTCTGCTTAACGTATCCGGTCGGTTTCTCTTGCTTTCTAGGGTGGAATTACTAAACATAACACAGGACCTTAGGAGCCTCCGACGCGCAACTCCCCCCACCGCTTCCCGAAAGCCACAAAGAGCCCACTCGTGTCGCTCCTGAACGCCAAATCGTGCACACCATCCTCAAAAGCAATCACTCGCAGCGCCGCGCCGCCCTTGCTTGCGTCCCAAACCCGCAAGGTCTTGTCGTCCGCCCCGCTCACGAGCCGCAACGCGCCCGTCGCCGGGTCCGCAGAGGCCGTCAGCGCATACACGTAGTCCGTGTGCCCTTCGAGCACGAAGCGCGCCGCGCCGCCCGCGGCCAAGTCCCAGATGCGCACGGAACCGTCGCTACATCCGCTCGCAAGGCGAAGGTCGCCCGTCGTCTGGTCTTCGAAAACAGTCAACGCCCACACATCGTCCGTGTGCCCCTCGAGTACGACCAACGCCTCGCCTCCAGCGACCGGGTCGTATATGTGCACCTTTTTGTCTCTACAACCACAAGCTATTCGCAGTTCGCCAGTCGCCGGGTCCGCGAAGACCGCCAGCGCCAACACTTCCGCGCCAACTTCGATCACGAGTAGCGCCTCGCCGACCGCGACGGGGTCGAAGACACGCACATTTCCACCATCTTCATCACCCCACTTATCAAGCTCCCTGGTGCCGCAAGCGAGCCGCAGCGCGCCCGTCGCCGGGTCCGTGAAGAATGCCAACGCATACACAGTGGCGCCAGCGTCGATCACGAGCAGTGCCTCGCCGCCCACGACAGGGTCGAAGACGCGCACCCTCTCATCATCACAACCACAAGCGAGCCGCGCCGCGCCCGTCGCCGGGTCCACAAAGAACGCCAGCGCATTCACTGACGAGCCGACGTCGATCACGAGCACCGCACCGCCAGTCTCCGCATCCCACACGCGAATCGTCTTATCACGCGACCCGGTCGCGACCCGCAGTGCGCCCGTCGCCGGATCCACAAAGGTCACCAGTTCAGTCACAGGACTAGAGTGCCCCTCGGGCTCCGCCTCGATCGCCGCGCCGCCCGCCGCCGGGTTCCAGACTCGGACGTCCCACGATCCGCTCACGAGCCGCGTCTCGCCCGTCGCCGGGTCCGTGAAGGCTGTCAAAGCCGTTACAGAATCTGTATGCCCCTCGAGCACGACCAGCGCCTCGCCGCCCGCGACCGGGTCGAAGACGCGCACCTTATTGCCTTCATAACCCTCCCCGCATGCGAGCCGCAGCGCGCCCGTCGCCAGGTCTTTAAACATGACCAGTGCGCTCACCTCTTTGTCGCCCGCGTCGAGCACGAGCAGCGCCTCGCCGCCAGAATTCGCGTCGAAGACGCGCACCTTCCCATCGTCAGAGCCGCACGCGAGCCTCGGCGCGCCCGTCGCTGGTTCCTTGAAGGCCACCAGTGCACTGCAGTCAATATCTACCACGAGCAGCGCGTCGCCGCCCGCGACCGGATCGACGACAAGCACCTTCTTTTCCGCAGCGCACACAAGCCGCGGTGCACCCGTCGCCGGGTCTTTGAAGACTTCTAGCTCTATAGCGCTGACCTCGAGCACGAGGAGCGCCTCGCCGCCCGCGACCGGATCGTAGATGCGCACCTTCTCACCTCGACATCCACAAGCCAAACGCGGCTCGCCCGTCGCCGGGTCTTTGAAGACCGCCAGCGCGAACACACTTTCGCCCACATCAATCACAAGCAGCGCCTCGCCGCCGGCGACCGGGTCGAAGACGCGCACGTCACCACTTGCCCCAAAGTCTAATGATGTTCCACAAACGAGCCGCAACTCGCCCGTCGCCGGGTCTTTGAAGACAGCCAGCTCAGAAGCACACACATCAATCACGACCAGCGCCGCGCCACCCGCGACCGGATCATAGATGTGCACATTCCCGTCAGAATCACCACAAGCAAGCCGCGGCTCGCCCATCGCCGGGTCTACGAAGGTCGCCAAACAATCAGCAACAACCTCGATCCGACACCGCTCCGCCCCACCCGCCGCCGTCAGACTCATCGATCGCACGGCCGACAGCGATAGCTTGCTCGCGACGCGCCTCGCGTCATCGACCAGGCGGCACGCGGCAGGAGACGACTCCACATCCGCGCGAGGCACGAGCCGCTGCCACAACTGCTCGACAAGTGGCATGCCTAGCGATATTCCGCGCCGTGACAGCACCAAGGAGTCGGACAGCAGCAATGTGTCCTGGCCCTGAAGAACGTTCAGGTCCGCCACGAAGGAAACAATGTCGCAGTCACTCCGCTTCAGCACGTACGACAGACTGCAGGCGACTCCAACGGCCTCTCCCTCTTCGTTCGACCGCGTCATGTGAAACAAGCACCAGCGCAACGCATAAGCATCCGACGCCGGACCACCCTCACCCTCTACGAATGAAGCCAGCACCTCATCTGCGGCCGCGTCGCTCGAGTACGACTCCGTATCCAAAACCCCGGCACGAACCGCTCGAGCACACGCCTGCGCCAGTCGCCGGTGCGCCGCGTCCCGCACGACGAAGAACGCGTTCTGAGAAGAGCGCCTGTCAAACGGCGCCTCGCCCGTCAGCCAATCCGTCACAGTCTTATGCAAAACACCAATCACATCGCCCTCGCGCAGCGGAAATAACAGTGATACGCCATCACAGACCTTCTTGCACCGCGCTCGATCCCAACCAAGCGCACTACTCGCCGCGTCGACGGTGAGCGGCTCGGCCGCGGCGCAGATTAATTCGACGAGCGGCACTGCATCGCCCCACGTGCCATCATCAACAAACACGCGTCGAAAGTTCTCCGCGTAGATCTCGTCGAGGCCAGAAGGCAGCGCGCCGACGCTCGCAAAGTTGATCTTGCCGCTCGTCGCCTCGAGTTGGTCCGCGATGAGGCGCGCATAGAGCATGAGCCCGTCGGCTTTCCGCTCGAGTGTACTCACGGCGGCATCGAGCGTGGATGAGTTGAGGCGTTCTGAAATGAACGCCTCGAGCGCGTCCGCTCCGATACTCGTGTCCTTGCACATGTCAGGTAATGCCGCACGGATCACTTCATACTGATCGTGCGCGATGTGCTTGGCGTCCGCAATGCTCTTCAAATTCAGCTGGAACTCGGCAATGTGCGTGCTCCCGTCGTCGAGGCGGACACGGATGTTCAAATTAAAGTCGCGGTAGCCCATGGGCGTCGGGCTCGCGAATTTATTCTTCACTTGGGCAATCTCCAGGCCGACACTTGTGAGCCGATTCAGGACGTCGAGCAGCTCGTCGGGGTTCTCACACAAGATAGTAGCTCGAGAGAGATCTTTGAGATAACGAGCGTCGCCGCCGTAGTCGTTGGCGAGCTTTTCAAGCGACCGCGGACGGCCCTTCACGCCTGGATCTTTTACGTCATCGCGCAGCTTTTTCAGAGATTCAACCAAAATATTCTGAGCTACTGCGGCCTGGGTATAGAGCGCCTCGAAATCGCCCACGTCTTGCTTGAGGTTCGGATCGCGTCGCTCCTTGTAGGCCTCTAACTTGTCGAGTCCGCTCACGCCTCGCATGGCTTCCGCGTACGTCGCCTTGGCTCGACGGAGCGGGTCTTCGAGAGCCGCGAAACCTCCAAGGCGACCGGCGAGCTCCGGGAACTTCGCCTCGACCTCGTGCCGCAGCGAGTCCATCGTCACCTCGAGCTCGACGTGCTCCTTCGCGAGTTCAGTTAGGTACGCCCTCACGTCCTGCCGGTTCCGCGCCTCGTCGACGCGCAGCTCAGACGGCGTGTAGCCCTTCAATGCAGCTTTAATCTGCGCCTCGTCGCGGCTTGTCGCGACAATCTTGATCCACGACGGCAGTGTCTTGAGCTCGTTCGCGAGCAACGACAGTACCGGCTTGAGCGCGTCGCGCGGCAGCTCGTCGAGCGCGTCTATGATTAGTACGAGGGCGTCGTCCGCGCCGCGCGGCGCCTCGACGCTTCGCAACGGCTTTGCTACTAAAGCCTCGAAGAGCTCGTCGACATTTTCCGTCTCGACGCCCGTGCTCTCCTTCAGCGCGTCCTCGAAGCCCTCCACCGTCGCACACAGCATGCCCGCCAGAGACCGCAACAGCACCGCTGGCGCCGATCGGCCCGGCTCGGTATGCTTACAAAAGTGCCACGCGGCCGCGTTTTGTTTGTCGAGCAGTCGCGCGAGCAATTCAGCCGCTGCCACGCTCTTGCCCGTGCCACCGCCACCCACAAGCCAAAAGAGCTTTGCGCTATCGGCGTCGGTCCGCCAGCGGAGCACTGCCTCGAAGACCCACTCACGCGTGCCAGGAAGATGCTGCCCGCGCTTCTCGTTCACAATTGCCGAAAAATCCAGCGCCGACGCAACGCTGGAGCAGTTGGCGCCGTGGAGCTTTTCGTAGAGCGCCTCGGAGATCGCTGCCTTGGACTCCTTCCAGCATTGTATTGCCTCCTCCCTGGAGATCTTGGCTTCCGCGAACTTCTCCTCCCACGCGGGCTGCCACCTGGCGCCCGCCAGCTCCTTCGCCTCGGCAAGCGAGACCTCCGCTGGGAGAGATGAGACACCGCCGCCCATTTTGGCTGCCTGTCAGGGCTGCCTTAATCAGCTGGAGGCTGCCTATCCTTCACTGGAGTCCAAGGCTCTGGGAATTGCACTGCAGCTGTCCCCAATCCAGGCGTTGGGCCGAAGCGGTCAGGCGACCCTAATCCTTAGCATAATAAGCCCACTAGCCCAACCTCCCTCGCCCAGCGGCTAATTTTGGCGCGTAGGGGCTCACTGCTGCCATCGTTGCAAGCGGACAATCCTAGGGGACGTAGGCACGCGCCGTAGGCAGCTTGACCCACAAATAGTCGCTCCGGCTACGCCACAGCAGCCTATCCTCAGAGAGCGAGTAGCCACGGCAGCGCGCGCGCGGGGCGCCATTCCTGCATCCGTCGGGCGCGGACACCCGCGAGCGCCCGCACGCAACCGCACGCAATCAATAACAACGGATAGCAGGCACCATGGCGGCACTCGCGAAGCCCGACAAACAAAGACTACCAAAAAAAGAGGCCGAGACCTTCAAGAACATCGTCAAGTTCTACGAGACGAAGCAGTACAAGAAGGGCCTGAAGGCCGCCGACCTCGTCCTCAAAAAACACCCCGAGCACGGCGAAACTTTAGCAATGAAGGGCCTCGTCCTGAATTGTTTGGATCGGAAGACGGAGGCCTACGACCACGTCAAAAAAGGTCTAAGGGCGGACATGCGGAGCCACGTGTGCTGGCACGTCTATGGGTTACTTTATAGGAGCGATAGGAACTACGAGCAAGCTATTAAGAGCTATAAGCAGGCCTTAAAAATTGATTCTGATAACGTGCAGATTCTCCGGGATCTATCCTTGCTCCAAGTGCAGCTGCGGGACACGCGCGGCTTCTTGGAGACTAGGAGGCGACTGCTCACGCTGAAGTCGACGAACAAGATGCACTGGATCGCGTACGCTGTTGCTAATCATCTCGATGGGAAGGGTAAGGAGGCGATCAAGGTCATCGACGCCTACGGCGAAACGGTCAAGGAGGAAGGCAGGGAGCGGAATTACGAGAATTCCGAATTGGCTCTATATCGGAATTTACTGTTGGAAGAAAGCGGTAAGTATGACGAAGCGTTGGACCATTTAGATGCTTGTAAAAGTGTAGTAGTCGACGGCTTCGGCTGGCGGAAGAAAAGGGCGGAATTATTGCTGTATGCCGGTCGGCGCGGCACTACCAGCACAGGTGTCTTGGATAGGAATGAAGCCGTGAGAGCGTGGGTGTCGCTCATAAGGCAACCGGTGGGCGCGGACAACTACCACTTCCACCGCGGGTTGCAGTGCGCTTTGTTGGAAGTAGATGCGACGAAATGCCTCGAGCTCATGAGAGAAAAAGCGACGCGCACGCCGACCGATGTGTTGGTATTATCAGATACACAAGTCACGCTGTTAGACGACGCCTATTCAACCTTAGCTTCCGAACAACCGCGCGCGGACGCGTTTGCCTGGCTGCCGCTGACCTATTGTCCCGCGGGTCCGTCCTTCGACGCGCAGCTCGATGCGTTCTGCCGACGGTTTATAAAAAGAGGCGCGCCGGCTCTAGGAAGCGCGCTCGAAAGGTTGTGGGCCCCTCAACCAAATGATGTCGTCGAGGGCCGGTGTCGCGGTTCGCAGTGCTGTCGGAAGGTTCTGGACATGGCAAAAACGCACGCCGCGGCACTTTCGTCAAAAAGTACCTTCGCCAACGGCGACGCTACCACACCGACGAGCGAAGCCTGGGCGTTGTATTTACAAGCCCATTGTCTGGAGTGGCTCGGGCAATTGGACGAGGCCATGGCTGTGATTGATCGAGCGATAGCACATACGCCAACAGCCGTCGACTTCCCGGAGAAGAAGGCTCGACTCCTCAAGAAGGCCGGTCGTATTAAAGATGCAGCGGAGATGATGGACACCGCCCGAAAATTGGATTTGGCGGATCGGTACATCAATAATAAATGTACAAAGTACATGTTACGAGCCGGCAACGTTGACGACGCCCGAGCCACGGCGGCGTTATTTACTCGCGAAGAGGCCGGTGAACCGGAGCAGCATCTGAGAGATATGCAAGCCTCCTGGTATGAATTGGAGGTTGGTTCAGCATTGGCGCGGCGCGTGACAACCGGCACACCAGCAGAATTGCGGGAGCTAGCTGGCCCGGCGCTCAAACTGTTTCTGAGCGTAGAAAAGCACTTCAGCGACTTCGTCGAGGACCAGTTCGACTTCCACACGTACTGCGTGCGCAAGATGACTCTTAGAGCGTATGTATCTGTTTTGAAGCTGGAGGATAACATACGGGGGCACAAGGCCTTCGTCAAGGCTTGCGTCCAAGCCGCGGAGCTCTACTTATTGCTACACAAGGCCGACTCGGCGGAAGTCGCCAACTGTGTGGAAATCAACCAGTGCGTCGGGTGCTCGGCGATGACGCGGCCGTGCCGGCTCCGTCGAGCGGTGACGAACCGGCACCGCCACGCCATCGAGCAGGCGTCGCGTCGATGGCGTGGAGGACGACGCGACGGTTCAGCACGAACGCGCCGTAAAATTTGATTTCCACACAGGTCGCCAAGCCCCAGGAAGCCGTGGACCCGAAGCTCGCCAAGGCCTTGGCCAAGAGAGAAAAGGCCAAGGCAGCGAAGGCGAAACGCAAGGCTGAAGCTGACGCCAAGGCTCAGGCCGAAGCCGCGAAAGAAGCCGCGAAAAATGATGACAGTAAAAAGAAGCTGCCGAAACGCGACGCTGATGAAGATCCGAAAGGAGAGAAATTAGCCGCGCTCGAGCCGTTGAAGGAGGCTACTAGACTATCCAAAGCATTGGAGAAGTACGCGGCATCTTCCGTAGAGACGCACGCGCTGGCCTTCGACGTGTCTATGGTGCGGGCCAAGCCGTTGTTGGCGCTCCGCGCGTTGCGACGATTATCAAAACAGAGCGACCAGCGGGCCTTCGTCGTGCGGTTGGCGCGGCTGACGCAAGCGCGGCCGGCGATGACGTTAACGGCTACGGTCGCTTCAGTGCTCGACGCGGAGCTGAAGGACTTGTTGTCTGGTGGTGACTGCGTCGCGTTTTTGCGCGGATTCGCGGCGCGGCGGCCCTTGCTCAGGGACCGGAGCGCGGCGGCGCGGGCGCTGCACGTGCTCGGCGCCTCGGACCCGTCCCTGATTTTGCGGGCCGACGCGGCGGACCCAGATATGGCGAAGCCACTGCCGGTCCGGGACTTCGAGGACGCGCTGGCGACGCTGCGGGACGGCGACGGGGCCGCGGCGGGGACGTTCCGGGAGGAATGTCAGAGGAGGTTTCCCGGCGCGGACTTCCTCCTGAAATAATTAACTTATGACAAACATACGGCTAGAACTTGGGGCACAGCCGCGCCTTGAGTTGCTCGCACACACCAGTATTCGACGGACACTTCATGTCCGACCGCTGGCCGACGTTCCAGCAGTAGCGCTCGCCGTCCATGATCGTGTGCCGCGGCACGACGGCGTAGTTGCGCGGAAAGCAGCCCTTCCGCCCCTTCTCATCTCGCAACCACCAGTAGTAGTCGTAGACCGGCAGTTCGTGCCCTAGCTCCTTGTAGGGGATGTGGTGCAACCTCGCGACACACAATTGAAATTCTTCACTATTCTTGTACCCAAGCTTCCGCTGCGTCCTAGCCTGATCACATTTATGCAATTGCCACGTCTGGTCGTCATAATACGCCGTGAGCAGGTCCATCCATTTCTCGGCGTACCGTCGCGGCAGCAGGACCATCTTATCGTTGAGGCCGCCCCACGACGCGCAGGCCTTGACCAATGCTACCGAATCATCAACATCGACACCCACGACGGGCGCGTCGCCGAGCCAGCCCGCGTCGGCCCGCATCTTGACGATGTGATCGAGCTTCCCATGTCTGGTTTCCCACTTCACCACGTCGCTCCAGACCAAGGAATGCACGAGCATGTGCAACGCGAACGACGGCCACACGAGCTGGAAGCGCTCGACCACCGATTTGCCCGGGTTCGCGCCGGACCATTTGGACGGCATGTGCGGCGGCCGCCTCACAAGATCGTAGAGGTGGACCTCGACGCCTCGAGCACCCGCTCCAAGGAAGCGATCGACGAGGTCCTCCACCACCTTTCTCTCTTGGTTTTCGTCGTAGGAGGGCAACCCATTGAAACGGTGGACGTGCCAATTCGAGGTATGTTTTGGTCTAGGGCCTTGGATGGTCAAGAACACATACACGTCAAAATGCTTGGCGTATGGTTTTATCACTCTTTCACTGATGGTCGTGTTCGGGTCGACCCTTTGCAACTCCCCGTTGATCGTGACGCCTACTTTTTTACCTTTCGACTCTGCACTCACAGGATTCGCCGCGAAGCTGCGCCACCGCGTTCGAACGTAGCAGTCGACGTCCCTCGCTCGCGACGGCACGGCGACGGTGCCATTTTTACGAGTCTCGGGCAGGAAGACCTGGTGGTTCGACGTCGCGGCGGCGCCGAGGCATCCTTTCTGGTCCCAGAGGTTCGATCCATAAAAACCGTCGGGCCCCAGGATGCGCTGGCGCAGCTCGGCGTCTCCAAGAAAGCCCGTCCAGCGCCGGTTGGTGGCGGCTGTGGGGGCTGCCCAGCAGCATATTGCCAGGAGCGCGGTGCGAGCGACCATCGATCGATCAAGCTGCCGGACCCGGTGCGACCCTTGATGCGTGGCCCGACCGCCGCCTCGCCAACGTTTCCGCCGCTGCGACGTCGCGTCGTGGAGTGCCAAAGCAATTGTTTTTTGCATGGTACCCGAACCATGTGCCGGTCCCCGGACGCGTCGCGCAGGCGTCTGGCGGCGAAGTCAAGGCTGCCCGGCCGCGTGTCCGGTCACAAGCTCTGCGAGCAGCTAGTACGATTCGTGGCTAGTACAACAGCGCAAACCGCTACCGGGCAGCCCCCAAAACACGAGCAAGGAGAACGTGTGGACGAGCGGGAGTCACAGCCAAGTGGACGAGCGGGAGTCCGCGCAACGGTCCGGAAGTCGCGGGGCTTGCATTCATCGCAGCCCGCTGCAGACACAAATGGCAGTCTCCAGCCTCGACGCGTTGGGCGTCGCCCCGGAGGACATGACGCCCGCCGAGGCCAAGGAGCTCGCGCGGTTGATGGAGCAGGTGCGCGCGCTCGAGGAGGGCACCTCTACGACACAGCGGAGGGAGACGCCGGCCCTGTTTACGGCAGAGGAGAAGCCGCAGCGCACGAGGAAACTCCAACGACCCAAAAGCGCGAGAGCGCGCTACCCGTCGAAGACGCTCGCGCGTTCAGCAAAAGACTTTGCGAAGAAGCAGCAAGCGTTTCGGGCCACGGAATTACGAGAAAAGGCCGAAGATAAACGGAACAAGGGCAACGCGTCTCCGGTCAAGGAAGAGCACGATGATGCACCGGTGCCTCCCTCGGAGCCGCCCAAGGACGTCGTGACGCGCGTCGTGCTATGGCCCGAGTACGCTTTACTGAGAGATGGTGATGTCAGAGTGCATGTCGAGCGGCACTACCGCGAGGCGCCTCGAGGTGCACAGGCGCGGCGCGCTAGGCCTAGGTGGCAATTAATAGCGGCGGCCGAACGGGCGCGACGGCGCTTGTCATTAAGGTTAGATGCTCTCAGGAGGTACGGCCCGCCGGAGCTGCTGGGCGATGCGCGCGTGCACAGTCGCGGTGACCGACGGTCATCTCATAGAGTGAGGTGTGCGAAACTACGCTTATTACCTCAAAGTGTCGAGGTCGAGGAGCCGCCGCCCGCACCAATATCAGGGAGACTGGCTCAGACCAAAGAAAAAATATCAAGGAACACGCCCGCGTTACATAATGGTAGGAATGCGCCGAAACAGGTGCCGATGCGGGAGGTCTGCGGCTTCTCGGTCCAGGTCGCGGCCCATGCTAGAGGTTCATTATATATGGACACCTTACACTCTACCTTAGCGAGAAAAGCTCTGGAGCGGAGCGGCGCCAAGCTGAGGCCACTGGGCACGTCGGATTTGGTCGAGGGCTTGATGGGCTGGCTCGCGCATTTGGGCATGCCCGTGTCGTCTGTAGATGCTCGTAGAATTGAAGAATATGAAAATGAACGCATCGCGAGGGATCGCGCCGACGAGGAGGAGCAGGCCGACGCGTTGGTGAGGATGCTTGTTGGTGTCGCGGGCACGGACGTGGCTTATGGTTCGTTAGTGGACCACTTGAGAGATGCATTGGTACGCGCGCGAAACGCGGCGACGCCGGACGATTCATCATCTGAGGACGAAGAGGGCAATGATTTGGCGGCGTTCGGCGCTCGGGCTTATAGGGAAGTACGTCATCGCGTCGTCGACGTGGCGCGTCGAAGGGCGGCTAAAAGAGCGGTGGTCGCGGATGGCGCCAACCCTGACGACGCGGCGTTGGTACTGCGCCTCGCCAAATTAACGGACGATCACGGCCTGGACCTCCAGGAGATATTTCTGGATGCGCCGACGGCGGCGGGCGCCGTGCGGGCCGATGTGAGGGTGCCCGCGGCGCAGCTGCGGACGGGATTGAGAAGGATGCTGTGCTGCCTCGCTGAGGAGGAGTTTGAAGATCCTGGGGACGTGTAATATAGGCGTCCTTAACTTAGGCGGACAATATTCCAAAATTCATTCAGCGGCGGTCGTCGTACTCGCGCCGCCGGTCCCGGTAGTCGTCGCGCGGCGGAGACCGGTCCCGCGGCGGCGACCGGCCCCGGGGCGGCGAGCGCCGCCGGTCCTGGTAGTCGTCGCGCGGCGGCGACCGCCGCCGGTCGTCGTAGCGGTCCCGGCGGTCGTAGTCGTCCCGCCGGTCGCGCGGCGGCGACCGCCGCCGGTCGTAGCGGTCGTCGCGGCGGTAGTCGCGGTCGCGCGAGTCGTAGCGCGGCGGCGAGCGCCTGTGTGCGGAGCGTGAGTTTCGTGGCTCCCGGTGGGACTCGAACCCACAATCTTCGCCTTAGGAGGGCGACGCCTTGTCCATTAGGCCACGAGAGCTATGAGTACAGACACCGCAGCACACCGTCTCGGCGGCGACCTCCGCCGGTCGTCGTAGCGGTCCCGCGAGTCGTAGCGCCGCCGCGGCGACGGCGAGCGGCCGCGGCGCCCAAAGTTCGGGTCCCAGCCCGACGCGTTCGGGTCGTGGCTGTAGCGGCAGGACGCGCCGCGCGTGCACCTGCGATGGATGCGCGGTGACGTTCCCTCCTCCCAGAACGACGCGGCTCCCGGGTCGACGACGGCTCTCGGCGGGACTCGAACCCGCAATCTTCTCCTTAGGAGGGAGACGCCTTGTCCATTAGGCCACGAAAGCTTCTCAGATAGTTTGAAGGGGCTCCCGGCGGGACTCGAACCCGCAATCTTCGCCTTAGGAGGGCGACGCCTTGTCCATTAGGCCACGAGAGCGCTTCATGAGTAGAGACGCCGTATACCGCACCTTCCTTTCATGAAGTCGAAGCACACCTGGTCGTCGAAGCGCGCCCGAGGCGCGTTGTACCCGTCGGTCGTGATGCCGCCGGTGATGTCCTCGGCGCGCATTTTTCCGCGTTTTTCGTCGAACACTTGCACGAACTGCACGGTGTCCCCTTCGCGCAGGGCGTTGCCGTCCATGATGGCCGACACGTGGCAGAAGAGGTCCTCGCCGCCGTCGGGCTGCGGTGGGGGAATGACGCGTCAAGTTTTTGCTCGCGTGACCGATACGTGATTCGAACACGTAACCTTCAGGACTGGAATCTGACGCGCTACCGTTGCGCCAATCGGTCAATGTTCACGTGTATGCATCCGGTGGGGTTCGAACCCACGCCTCCGAAGAGATTGGGGCTTAAATCCAACGCCTTAGACCAACTCGGCCACGGATACAAAGTGAACGGTCCGAGGACTCGTGATGATGGTGGGGTTCGAACCCACGCCCGAAGACTGGTGCCTAAAACCAGCGCCTAGGGTCGCTCTTGCGAGCTTAGACCACTCGGCCACATCATCAACGTGCGCGATAGTGACAGGGTTCGAACGCGCATCGATCTCGGTCAGAGAATCGATCCTGCGACCCTTACGGGAGTAGATTTCAAGTCTACCGCCTTAACCACTCGGCCACACTATCTTGCAACAAAGTCCAGGTACCGCGGTGAGACCGATGCGGGAGTCGAACCCGCGACCTTCAGATGATTTTCCAGTCCATATCAGGTGAATGTGTGTGCGAGCGCCTATCCTCGGCGGGATTCGAACCCGCAACCCCCGGATTAGAAGTCCGATGCGCTATCCGTTGCGCCACGAGGATGGAGGCGACTCAACTCCGACGGGACTCGAACCCGCAACCCCCAGATTCGAAGTCTGATACGCTATCCATTGCGCCACGGAGTTAGGTGTGTGTTGGTGGAGGAGCAGGGGTTTGAACCCTGGGCTTTCCGCATGCAAAGCGGACGCTCTGCCACTGAGCTACACCCCCTTTGAATACAGGACGCGGTAAAACGCGCCGGCTTGATGAAGCCAAACCCCCTATCGTTCCAGCGGCAGGCCGTGCCCGTGACGCGCTCGCCCGTTCCGTCGCCGATCTTGCCGCGCGTCGGCGAGCGAGAGGGACCGCGGCGCGGCGAGCGGCCGCGCGGCGGCGACCGGCCGCGCGGCGGCGACCGCGAGCGGCCGCGCGGCGGACTGCGGCCGCGCCCTGGGCTGCGGCCTAGGCCCGGGGGCGAGCGGGATCGGCTCGCCATCGCTGGCTGAGCACCACTTTCTTTCGGCGACTCGCCGAAGGCTGTATCGCTGCGGGAGGGCGCGCCGCCGCGCCGCGCTCCCGGAGTTCCGCCGCGCCGGTACTTAGCTGCGTTTTGCAACGCTGCGCTACGTCCCTGGCGGCCCCGGCGGGTCTGGTGGCAGCGTTTTTTGCGGCTGGTCTGAATCGAAGGCCGGCGAGCTTTGGGCCCGAGTGGGGGTCGTCGAAAATCTCTGTCGCTTTCACAGAGGCTTCTAGAGGTGTCGCTGGACCCCTCCACAAGTTTGCTTGGCGCGAGGCCATCGATTCGGACCAGCATCGCAGGCACTGCGGCCGGCTTGTAATCACGCCTGTCGCGGTGCTCGTGACCTAGGGATCGTTTATGCTTCATCGCATCATTGCTTGAGCCCTGTAGTTGTGGCTGCACAGAATTGCGTGCACGCGCTGTGCCCCGCAGTCACGTACTTGGCAGTGCCAGCAGCAGGGCATTTCAGCGCTGCGCAGACGCACCGCCTGCAGACCCCGGGGCGTAGCTGCACCGCACATATCACCGCAGCGACCACAAAACCATGGCCGGCGTCAAAGCAGTAATACGACTGCGCTGCCCGGCGGGCGTGGCCAAGCCGGGCCCGGCCATCGGCCAGGCGCTCGGCCCGCACGGCTTAAATATGATGGACTTCGTGAAGGAGTTCAATGCCGCGACGCAAAAAATGGAGCCGAACTCGCCCATCCCCGTCGTGCTGACCGCTTACGCGAACCGCACGTTTTCTTTTGTGACGAAGACGCCGCCGACCTCGTACCTCGTGCGGAAAGCGTTAGGTATCGACAAGGGCGCCCAGAACCCGGGCGACGAGGTGGTAGGCACGCTGAACATGGAGCAAGTATCGGCCATCGCCGAGGTGAAGAAAGGCGACGCGCATTTAGCGAACATTCCGTTCGACGCTTTGTGTGATTCTGTGATCGGTACGGCTCGAAGCATGGGCGTGCTGCTGGCCGACGACGTCGACGACGCGTCGTCGTCGTCGTCTTCCTCTTCTTCGTCGGACGAGGACGAGGACGGCGAGCCGGGGAGGTGATATTAAGACTTAAAAGCAATGTGCGCACATCACGTGTGTAATTTATGATATGGCTGCTGTCAGCTTGGTGACATTTGGTGTCGGTTTGTCTCCCTTTCCCCGGCTCCGGGTGGAGGCTGCCCGCAAGGTCGGGGGCAGTGCTCGGCTTGCATGCTGGGCAGCATGCAGATCGCGCGGTCGCGACGCCGCCTTGGCGCGTCATGCCTCCCACCTCCCTCGCCCGCGCCTTCGCCGCTATTATGGACGCGCACGCGGAGCAGCGCTGCCTCGGCTGGCGCGCCCTTCCAGGTGCCGAGTACTCGTGGGCGTCATACGCTGACGTCAAACAGCAGAGCGTCACCTTCGCGGCGTGGCTGCGCCAGAAGCTGCGGAGCGATGCGCATGTTGGGATCATGGGCCACAACTGCTACGAATGGTTCGTTGCCGATCTCGCGTGCCTCTGGGCGGGGCTCTGCTCAGTGCCCCTGAGCGACGGGTGGGAGCCGGGCGTGCTGGAGGCCGTGCTGGCGCAGACGCAGCTCGCCGCGGTCGTCTGCACGCCGGCCTGCTACGCAAGAGTCGCGAGTGCGGCCGTCAGCGAAGGCAGTCGCGTGACGCACATCATCGTCACCGAGGTGGCCGATGAGATGTACGCGCGGGTGGGCACCGTCGCGTGCGTCGGCTTGCCAGACGTGCTCGCCACCGCTTCTGCGGCAGACCCGACGCAGTGCTGGTACGTCGAGCGAGACGCGGGCATGGCGCACACGATCCTGCACACCTCCGGCACCACCGGCCTGCCCAAGGGCGTCGTGTACACAGATGGTCTGTGGCTGGCCAACATGCAGAGCTACGAAGGCGCGCAGGTGGGCTTCTCGTACATGCCGCTGGCCTTCATCACCGACCGGCACACGGTGTACACCGCGCTGTGGAACGGCGGCTGCGTGGGCATCGCGACGGCGCGGCAGGGCGGCGACACCGCGCAGATCTTCCGCGACTTGCTCGCCGTGCGGCCCACCGTGCTCAAGGGCGTGCCCGCCTTCTGGGAGCACGTGGCCGAGGCGAGCCGCATGGTGCAAGACCGGCAGCTTGCCATCCTGGGCGGGCGGGCGCGCGTGCTGTGCTGCGGCGCGGGCGCAATCTCGGAGGAGGTCGCGCGGTACTTCCGGGCGTGCCGGCTCGGCTCGGGCGAGCCCGTGCAGTTCTTGGAGCTGTACGGTTGCACCGAGTGTGGCAACCTCGCCCTTAATCGCCAACTGCTGCCGCACGTCAAGTGGCGACTGCTGCCGCTCGAAGGCGACGGTGCGGAGACGGCTCGCGTGGGTGAGTTTGTCGTGAAAACCGGCAAGATGATGTTTGCCGGCTACCATGGGCGGCCGGCGCTGACCGCCGCGGCGTTCACGGCCGATGGCTTCTACCGGACGGGCGACGTGGTACGCGTGCGCACGGCGGCCGACGGCGCGACGCTAGTCGACGTGCTCGGGCGGGCGAAGAGCGGCCTCAAGCTGGCCAACGGCAAGTGGGTGCACCCCGAGACGCTCGAGGACCTCTACCGCGGCGCGGCGGGCGTGCGGCGGCTGTACGTGCACGGCGACGCGGCGCACGCGCACCTGGTCGCTGTGGTGGAGGCCGAGGGCGCGCCGAGCGAGGAGCGGCTGCTCGCCGAGTTTGGCCGCCTCGCGACGGCCGCCGGCCGGCCGCGGCACGAGCGGATCAGCGGCGTGGTGCTGTCGCAGGAGCGCTTCTCGCAAGCTGCCGGCACGCTCAATGGCACGGGCAAGCTGGTGCGGCGCGCTTTGTACGCGGCGCACGAGGCGGCCATTGAGGAGCGGCTGACGGCGCAGCGGCTGCGCGCACCGCTCGAGCACCTTGAGGCGGGGCGGAGCTTCGCTGAGCAGGGCGGCACCTCGCTCGACGCGGCGCGCATCGCGCGGCTGTACGCCGAGCTGGGCGTGCCGCTGCAGCGCGTCGTCGCCATCCTGCTGCAGGCCTCGACCGTCGGCGCTGCCGAGGGGCAACTGCGCGCCGAGCGGCAGTGCACCGAGGCCGACCCGCTCGCCGACTGCGCGCTCGCCGAGCTGACGCCGCCTGCCGGCAGCACGGGGACGCCAGCCGCGCGGCTGCTCCGCGCGCTGGTGGGCGCGCAAGGCCACAGGGTCCTGCTGACGGGCGCGACGGGCTTCGTGGGACGCGCCGTGCTCGCGGAGCTGCTCGAGCGCGAGGTGCCGGTCACATGCCTTGTGCGCGCGAGCAGCGAGGCCGAGGCGGCGGCGCGGCTGCAGCACGCTCTGCTCCTCGCGCGCCGCTGGCGGCCCGAGTGGCACGGGTTGCTGCTCGTGGCGCGCGGCGCCCTCGGCCCCGAGGACCTGGGGATGGGCGGCGTGGCGTGGGGCACGCTGGCGCGCAGCACCGCGGCCATCATCCACTGCGCCGCCGCCGTCGACCTCAAGAAGGGGTACGCGCACCACCGCCGCGCCAACGTGCTGGGCACGCGTGAGGTGCTGCGCCTCGCCGCGGCGGCGCGCGCGCCGCTCGTCTTCGTCTCGACCACCGACGTGCTGCCACACACTACCGCCGCGGCGCCGGAGGTCGCCTGCACTCCCGCTGACGTGTCGGCAGCTGACTCGGGCTACGCAGCCTCCAAGGCGGTCGGCGAGTGCTTGGTGGCCGCGGCGGCGCGGCGGGGCGACGTGACGGCGCTGATCGCGCGCCTCGGCATGGTGGCGGCGTGCGCGCGCACGGGCAGCGGCAACGAGACCGACTTTGTCTCTCGGCTGCTCGTCGGCGTCGCCGCGGCGCGCGCCTTTCCGCAGACAGAGGCGCGCCACACGATGGTGCAGAGCGTGCCGGTCGACGTGACGGCAGCGGCGCTGTGCGACCTGTACGAGACGCTCCGCGGCGGCGGCGGCGCGAGCGGCGCGGTGGTGCACGTGGTGAGCGGCGCGCCGCCGCAGCCGATGGCGGCGCTGCGCGAGGTGCTGCTCGCCTTTGGCCCGCCGTTTGACGCCTTGCCGCTCGTGCCGTATGCCGAGTGGATGCGCCGCGTGCGGCTCGAGGCGCAGCTCTCCCTGTGGCCAGTGATGGCGTGGGCGGAGAAGCTGGAGGAGTTCCCTACCTTCAATCGGCGCGGCGCCCGCCTCGGCGCGTGCTGCGAGCACGTCCGCCCCGCCACCGCGGCGGCGCTGCGCCGCGGCGTCGACGACGAGGCGCTGCACAGGGCGCTGCGCGTGCTCTTTGCGACGAGCGCGACGCTCCGCTGGGATGCGCTGCGAGCCCACCACCGCCGGCTGTCCGGCGTGTCGGGCGCGTCCGCGGTGTTGTCCGCCGTGCGGTTGGCGCGGCGACGCGCTGCGATGCGCAATTCACTTATTCTCGTCGTGGCAATGCTCGCGGCGGTGTACGTTCGCCGGAGGTTGTAAAGGGTGTTTGTCTTGGCATGCTGTCATTACTAGTAGGCGTAACAGCTCGTACGCGGCCGGCGATGATTTGCCAGTGCTCGATGATAGAGGCAGTGAATGAGGGCAGTGCAGAGCCGTGGTGGCTAGGTGGCCTAGCTCAGATCCCGGCTCTAAGCAAAGCAACCGCGGGCCCACACTGCGTCCGAGTCGATGACTCGACGGCGCCGTCGCGAACGCGGCCGGGACGCCAAGAGAACTTGAAGTCATATTTTTGAATTTTTCTTATGCAGGGGTCGGGCTCGAATATGTACAGAACAGCTCGAATGGAGGGGACAGGCGAGCAAACCAACCGACAAGGGGGCGCGCCAGGGGCCTCACATGTGTAAGGTACGGGCGGCGCGCGTATGTACAACGTCAATCAAAACCTGAAATTCAGATCTCCTCGCCCTTGGCCGCCGGCGCCTCATCCCCCTCAGTCGAGTCGTCGTTGCCGAAGAGACTGCCAGCGCCCTTGATCTTGATGAAGACCGACAACAAAGCAGAGGCCATGATGATGATGCCCAAGTTGCGGTAGCCCGTCTTGCCCGAGTCGCCGAACATGAACATGAGGCCCCAGACCACGGCACCCACATTACCGCCCGCGCCGACGACGCCCGAGACGCTGCCCAGCGCCTTGGGCGCAACGTAGGGCACGATCGCGAACGTCGTGCCTTCCGCGGCCTGGACGCAGCACGAGAATAACACCAAAGTGATGATGGCGTGCGCGATCGAGTCCACGCGCGAGAAGATGACGAGGATCGCGCCCTCCGCGAGCAAGTACAGCGTGTGCACGATGATGCGGCCCTGCATGCCGAGTTTCGCGTTCGCGAGGTCCGAGAAGTAGCCGCCGAGGCCGCGCGCGAACAAATTCATCCAGCCGAACAACGACGCGATGAGGCCCGCCGTCGCGAGAGAAACCGGATAGGTGTCCTTGAAGTACATGGCCATGCCGTTGTTGATGTGTAATTCAATACCGAAGCACGTCGCGTACTGCACGAAGAGGATCCACGAGTTTAAATTAGTGAAGCCGCCGCGCGTCGATTCCTTGACGGTGACCTTCTCGCGCTTGCCCGCGGCCAGGGCGTCGCTCAGCTTGCCCGAGGGGCACTCGTCCGAGAAGAAGAACATGCAGACCGAGACGAGCATCACGGCGACGGCGGGGATGTAGAAGGACCGGCGCCAGGCGTTCTCCTGCGACATGCCCTCGTCGCGGAAGCCCTCGTAGATGTAGCCCATGATCATGATGGCCATGCCGCCGCCGCAGTTGCCCCAGCCGCCGGTCATGGCGTTCGCCGCGCCTACCACATTTTTGGCGAACATTTCACTGGACCAGAGCTGCGTGATGACGAAGGTCGCGCCCCCAACACCGATGAGGAAGCGCATGAGGCACAACTCGGCGAGCGAGTTGACGAAGCCCGCGAAGAACGTGCAGATGCCGCAGAAGGCCAGCAAGGCCGTCTGGACCTTGACCGAGCCGTAGACGTCGCCCAGAGGGCCGACGACGAATCTAGCAACCACACAAGCGGCAACATTGAACACGTTCGACATCCAGATGCCCTTTTTGGCGATGTTGAGGTCCTGGCGGATCACAACTAACAACGGCGCGTAGGCGAACCAGACCATGAAGGCCATAAAAAATGACAACCACTGGAAGTGGAACGCGCGCATGTGCGGCCGCGCAAAACTCAACTTGTTCCCGAAGATGGGCCAGAGCTGCAGTTCCGTACTCTTGAAGGACTGGAGGGGGTCGACGGCGCAGGCGCCGATGCGCGGCACGCCGTCCTCGCCGATGACGACGGGGTAGTTCGGGTTCTCATACCCACCAGATTCGTCGCCCTTGCCCGTGTTCATCTCGCCGCCCTTGCCCATGGTTGCGTTGGGGTTGCCTGCGGTCGCGTCGACGTCATCGCGGCGCGCGTGTTGTGGGCTGCCATGGTGCAGTGTGTGTTGTCGTGGCGCGTGTGGGTGTCCCGGTCGCGTGTGGGTGCGCGGGCGCCGTTACGACCGCGCCGCGCGCGCGTTGCGAACACTGCCGCCCTTCCAGGCAACTGTTCAGGCGCCGCGCGCGCGCGCGGGCAGCCGCAAACGCTCGATTTCGATTGCTGGACGCGGCGGGCGCACTTTGCAGTGGTACGGGTGTGCGTGAAACTCGATTGCGATGCGTTGGGGCAGCGCAATGTCAAGTTCGTCGTCTTAGCGTTTACACTTCGACAGAGCAACAGGAGGGGATGACGCCCCTGTCATACTTACACTCAACCTGGCGATGGCGCGGGGGAGGCCCCTTGCGTGGCTCCCAGGGGTGTGTGGTGTGTGTAGGGACCTCTGGGAGGGGTTCTAGGTGTGCTTTCGTGGTAGGCTGCCGAAAAAGGCTGCACCGCTGGGCTGGCTGGGCGAACGACTCGTCTCCGAGGCCGCTCGCCTCCCGAGAGATGCCTGCGCGCGTCGGACCCGCGCGCAGTTGATCACAGGCTAGGCTCAGGGGGGGCTGGGAGATGGGCTGAGGGAATGGCTGCTCTCTGCGCATGGCATCGCGCATCGTGCGTTGTCTGCGTAGCTGTAAGTCCGACGCAGCTGCCTACAGCTTCCGCGCTGGCGAATCGGTGAACGCTGCAGCCGTGAGCCTGAAACCGCTGCAGCATAGCCTGCTGGCATCTCTGTGTGCTACCACTGCCTACCAGCGGTGCACCGCTGGCGCAGCAGCTGGCGCAACGAATTCTGCAGCCAGCCGCGTTGCACAGCTCGCGCAGCAATCAGCTGACTGAGCATCAATGGCACAGCGCGTCCGCTTCGCCGCCGCGGCGTCGGGCGCCGCCGCACTCGCATATGTCCTCTACCGCGAGATTAGACACCTCGCAACGCGGCCACAAAAGCTCGAGGCGCTGGGCCGCGTCGGCGGGCGCTGGCAGCGAGCGGACCTGGACCGAATGGTGCGCTGTGACCCGAAGCGGCTGCGGCGCATGCTGCGCGCTCTATTGCTGGGCGAAGCGCCCGAGCGCATCTCGGACGAGCGGCTGCGCCGGGCATTTCGCTACGCGGAGCGGCCCGACAACATTGATGCGACGACGGCGTCGGTCGAAAGCTACGTCGCGCTGGCCAAGAGCTGCTCGCGGGCGCTCGACGAGCCGGGCGATAGCGGAAGTGGTCGCGGCGAGCCGGAGCTCGGGCCGGACCCGCCCTTCAGCCTGCCGCTGCCGCGCGTCGTGGCGTGGGCGCTCCGGCTGTTGGCACCCGGCGTCGCGCGCGCGTCCGACGCGTGGCTCGCCGCGCGCCGGCTGCGCCGCGTCGTCCGCGGCGGCGTCGTATGGCTTGAAAGAGGCGGCGAGGGCACACCGTGGCTCGTGCTCCACGGCGTCGCCGGGTTGTTCTGTAGCCAGTACGACGCCTTGGCGCGGGCGCTCGGCAAGACCAGGCCCGTGCGCGTGCCGCTGCATCCGAACCTCGGCGACGCCACTGATTTCGAGTCGGACAGCAACCGCTCGATCGCCGGCTTCGCGTCATCGATCGCCGCCGCGCTCGACGGGCCCGCCGACGTCCTCGCGGTGAGCATCGGGACGTCGGTGGCAGCGGCGTTGATGCGGCACGGTCAAGTTCGGAGAGCGATTTATGTGGATCCCGTCGCGTTTGCCCCGTGCGGCGCCGACGCGTGGCGGCTGTTCTTCGAGCGGCCGCTCGCCGTCGCGAGAATTCTCCGGCGGCGGCGCTTGCGCCTGGCCGGCCAGAGGAAGCCGTACTCTTTCGAGCACGAAGCTCGCGCTTTTCTATTTGTGCCACCGGCGGCGATTGTGGATGTGCTGTACGCGCTCATGTGCTGCTCTGACGTGGTTAGAGTCGTCTGCCGTGTACATAGTTATGGCAGGTGCACGGAAGCGTGTTTGCCGCCGCTCGTCGACGAGCGGCCGCCGACGCTCGTCCTCGTCGACGAGGACGACGCTCTAACTTGCGCGGCAGAGCACGTCGACCACGTCGAGGCCTTCCCGCGCACGACGGTCGTCCGCGCGCGCGGCTTCCACGGCACCTGGCTCCTCAACCCGCGGCTCGTCGAGGCCGTCGAGTCGTGGGCGGCTCAAGTCGACGCCGACGAGGCCGCCGTCGACGCCATCCTCGCGCCCGCACGCTTCGGCGCGCGATGAACATTGTGTGTATAAGCTACTATGTAATCTTTCAATAACGAGCCCGCGTTGCTCGTCGGTCAGCTGCTCGAGGAACAGCGACGTGCTGGTATCCGCGACATCTGGGCACTGCTGGTGCTCCGCGCGCAGCGCGCCGCCCGACGGGCAGGCGGAGAAGCACGGCGTCGCCAGCGCGTCGATCTCGTCGTCCACCGACGGCGCGAGGCCGAACTTGAAACTACAGGAAAGCGTCTCGTAGTCCGGCTCGATGCGCATGGGCACGCCCATGTCGCCATTAAACAAATCTTGGGTCGGGAACTTGCACGCGTTCACGCAGACCGACGCGCAGCCCGACTGCTCGAGGAAGCGGCACCGTTTGACGTAGACTAATTGATTCGCGCCATCACCCACCTCCGGCGTTTCCTCGAGATCCCTTAATTCAAGAGGGCCCATCAGCCAGCCGCCGGCGGCCCACGTCACCTTCGCGTTGAGCTTTGCGGAGAATTCGGGGAATGGCTTCGCAAATAACTGAGTGAACCACCACAGCAGGCCGGGCTGCTCGACACTTGGCAACGTCGGAGGCCAGTCCGGGAACAGGCCCCGCAGCACGCCTCTAGCTCGCACGCGCGTCGCGGCGGCGCTTCTAGGTTCCACTGCGACCAATTTCTGGGCGAGGTTGATGATGCCCTCGAAGCCCGGCGTGTTGTCGTCGCCGCCCGCTTCCCTCGCGAGGGACCTGCGGAAGGCGCTCTCGCATGCGAGGTCGACCAGCCTCCCTAGCGGGCCCGCGTCCGATGCGTACCACTTCGCTTGTGGATCGGCGTCGGGCGGCGGCCACTTTGGCGATGGGGACCGTAGCGTGGGCGGTTTGCGCAGTGTTTGCACCGCCGCCGCCGTCGTGAGCAGTGCGATGATCATCGTTTCTTAGTTTTGATGGCGCCCTTCTTGAACATCCTTTTCATGCGCGCTTGCTGCGCGAGGTCGCGGGCCGGGCTGAATTTAGCTTTTACCCACTCCAGTAGTACTAATGTGAGGCCGATGAAGATGATGCTGCTGATGCGGTGTTCCCGGGCGAACTCTAAGACCTCATCGGCGTCGAACGTAAACGCATCTATCTTCGGCATCTGCTAATGGCCTCGATCTCGAGCTACTCCTCCGCGACTTTGCGCGCCTCGCGTCGCCGCGCAGCAGAGCTCTGGCTGCAGCGCCTAGCTTTGGTTGGCTGGGCCCTTCCTGTCGACTCGCAGGCTTGCCAAGTCTAGGTTGCGTGAACCCCGCTCTCGAAAGGCCAGAGTTTTGGCAACTCTGTATCGGGGGAGGGCTCGTAATAGCTACCAAGCAAGCTTGGCTCGGGCAAGTTATCTAGCGTGTCACACACTAGCAGACTTTTTTATGTGTTTGACTTATGGCTCCGGCTGCTCCGGCGCCGCGTCGTCGGCCGCCGCCTCGGGCTCCGACGGCTCCTCAGGCGCCGGTTCGACAGGCTCCTCGGGGGACGCCTCCTCCGGCGCCGGGGCCGGCTCCTCGGGCGCCGGCGCAGGCGGCTCGGCGGCCGCGGGAGCGGGCGCGGCCGCAGGCGCGTCGGCCGCGACCGGAGCGGGCGCGTCGGCCGGCGCCGGCGGCACGGCCTCCGCGACGGCGGCCGCCGACGAAGGCCTCTCCACGGGCGGGTCGGCTTCGGGCGTCTCGACGAGGGCCGCGTTCGTCTTGGCGGGCGGCGTCGTGGGGTGGAGCCGCTCGTTCCTCCCGCGGATGCGCGCCTGCAGTTTGGCAGCGGCGGCGTCGGTCTCCTCGCCGGCCTCCGGGAGCGCGTCGGTCGGCTCTTCTGGAGACGGCTCCTCGGGCGCCGGCGACGGTTCTTCTGGAGACGGCTCTTCCGGCGACGGCTCCTCGGGCGCCGGCTCCGCGACCGCTTTTGTCGGCGGCGCCGTCGGGTTCAAACGCTCGTTCCGGCCCCTAATCCGCGCCTGCAATTTCGCCGCAGCTAAGTCGGTCTCCTCGTTATCAATGCCGGGCGTGATGCCGCAGGAGAAGGCCGCGACGAACTGTTCTGCACTTTCAATACCTCTCAAAGCGCGACTCGCCCAAGCGAGGAACTCCTTCTTCGAAATAACATCAGGATTGCCCTGCGGCGGGATGGCCTGGTCGAAGGCCGCATCACTAATAATTTCCGTGGCGTCGTCGTCGGGCTCATCCTGGAGGCCTCGGATCGCGTTCGCCGCGCGCAACGAACAGAGCAGTAGAATCGTGAGCTCGTCCCTGGAAATCTGGCCCCGCGCGTCAAAGTCAAAGATGTCAAATATTCTGGCAGCCGCTGCTTCTCCATTTTCCTCGCCCGCGATGCAGGCACCACTTAGTAAGGCAAGGGCGTTCACGAGCTTCCGCTCGCGAGGATCATTTTTGGCCAGCGACTCCACGAGCTGGACACACTGGTCCCGATCCAAGCCCGTCAAGCCTTCTATCGTCGGCAGGTCGATGCCGAAGTCCAAATCGCGCTCCTTGTAGGACCGCACGAGCTCCTCCGTATAACCCAGCCCCAGCGCCTGGAAGGGTGCGTAGGCGCTCTCCTCCGGGAGGGAGGCGGCGAGGCCCATGGCTGCGCTTTGCAGCAAGGCGTCGACGGCGCGTGGTGGGCAACGCGGTAGGGAGGCCGATAATTGGGCAGCCAGTGGATGGGCGCTGGCTGGCCGAAGATGGGAGCGCGCGCGCCGTACACGCACCTCTTGACCCGTAGGGCAGGGCGGGGACGGATGCGCAGAGGCCTGCAGTGCGTCGCGAAAACTAGTATGTGTCGATACGCTAGGTTATTATGCCCGCGCCGCCGAGTCGCATAGTCTAATAACCGCTGCGGTCAAGCGCGCTTACCGCGGAGGTGTGGGAAAAAGTTTTGCGTTACCCGCCAGTCGCCGCGGCCGAAAGCGCAGCGCAAACAAATGGCAGCGCTCGGAGTTTCAGGGTTCGCCCCCGCGGCCTCCCTGCCGCTGCGCGGCGCCGACGAGGCGCCGGCCTGCGGACGGGCCCAGGCGCCGGACGCCCAGAAATTGAGACAAGCTCAAGCCCCGCCCGGCCCGACGACGGCGGGCCCGTTGGAACACCGCTTCGAGCCCTACGATTTCAACGGTGGTACTACATTAGCCATCTCCGGCAAGGACTTTGCGGTGGTGGCCGCGGACACTAGAATGAGCACCGGCTACAATATTATGACGAGAAAGTGTTCCAAGCTCAACGCACTAGGACCGAACACGGTGCTGGCGTCCGCCGGGTGCCAGACGGACGTGGTCTGCCTAGTGGACGTCTTACGTACCAAACAAAAAATGTACTTCCACCAGACGGGAAGCCACATGTCCACGCCCGCCGTCGCGCAGATGCTAGGAAATACTTTATACTACAAGCGCTTCTTTCCCTACTACGCGTTCAACGTGCTGGCCGGCGTCGACAAGGAGGGCCGCGGGGCCGTGTATTCGTACGACGCCATTGGTAGCTTCGAGCGCGTCCCCTTTTCAGCGAGTGGGAGCGGCCAGTCCTACGTGATACCTCTACTGGACAACATCGTGACCTTCAAGAACCGGCTGGACGAGAAGCCCGAGCTCACGGCGGACTACGCCGTGTCGATCGCGAAGGAGGCCTTCGTGAGCGCGGGCGAGCGCGACATCTACACGGGCGACGCGGTCGAGATCGTCGTCATCACGAAGGAGGGGATGACGTCCGAGACCTTCCCGCTGAAGAAGGATTAGTCGAAGTAACGTATCTTATCAATAATAAGCTGGTGGCCGCGCATCGACGTGTGGAGATACGTGTGGGCCGTCGCATCGACTCGCACGTGCCGTCGCAACGCGTGGCGCCCGGACCACGTCCCGGACCAGGCGGGCGGCAGGCGCAGTGGGCCCGCAGGGTCGCGTCACCTGTCGCGTCGCGACGGCGGCGGCGCGGCGGCAGCGGCGGGGCTAGACTCTAGAGTGACTCTAGAGGCGGCTAGGTTGGCATTAACCGGTTAATAACCGGTAATTTACCCATTATCACTCCTCGGAGGGGATCTGGGGTAAATAACCCGGTAAATTACCCGACGGGTTTTCGACTAAACCCGTTTAGTGCGATTAGCGAAAGACCCCTCCGGGCGAGCGGATGGGCGCAAGCAGCCCGTTGAGCTTCTGGATACGTACAGGTGCGCCAAGGCAAGTACCGAGTCATGTGGCCCGGCGCGGCCCAGGCCCGCGCCAGTGGCCCGCGAGGCCCGCTCCCCCTACCCCTCTATAAGATCCCGGGGTAAATAACCCGTACTAACCGGTAATTACCCGGGTAATTACCCCCGGCCGGCGCCTGGGGTAAATAACCCCTCAGGTAAATGCCAACCTAGAGAGGCGGCGGGGTGCCCATTTTTTTGCGCAGGACTTCGAAATAGTTACTCAATCCCACCCGAGCGAGAGCGTGGACCGCTGGCCCCGTCCTCTGATAGGTTTTGTCGGCGACGACGGCTCCGGCGGCGCAAAAGCCAAAGGCTTCGCCACGTGGGGCCGGATCGGGTCCTTCCCCGCCATCACGCTCTTCTCCGGCGCCTCCACCTCAGTAGATTCGCCAGAGACCATGAACGTCGTCGCCGCCCGATCGATGAGGTCCTGCGGCGGCGCCTCGCCGTATTCCTTCGTGTACCACTCCACGAAGTGCTGGGCCCGCGGGTCGACGGGTTCGCGTCGGGCTTCGTAGGACTTGATCTGGGATTGTAAGGACGGCTTCTCTTCCACAGTTTCCATGGCCTCCGCGGCGAGCTGCGCCGCGGCGTGCTCCAGCGCTTCGCGAGACGGCGGCTCGCCGTACTGCTGGAGGTACCAGGCCCCGAAGTGGCGCAATTTTTCGCCGATGTCGGGCTTCGGGATATCACTGACAGGTACCGTGCCGTGGAGCTGCGGAGTAGAGTCGCCGAAGACGCCGCGGTCGGCCTCGTCGCGCTCGAAGCCCTGGCGGCGCACGCCTCTAGGTCTATCCTCTTGCGTCGGCGGCTCTCTTTCTATGACTTTGCGGCCCTGGTTTTGTGGAGGTAATTCTGCGGACAGACCACCGTCGCCCCCACCGCCAAAACCAATACAGTCTCTCTTCACATTAGAGACCATCTTGACCGCCGACGGCCGGTGCGCCCAGTCCGCAGATTCCGTTCTTTGAGGCTGGATGCCGACGCGCTTCGTGGATCGAGTCCTCAATACAAAAGACTCCGCTCTCGGATTGCCGATGGCGTACGCATCACCTTGGGGTGCGGCTGCACAGGTGATGTCGGCCCCGAAGCTCGGCACCACGGAGCCGCCGACCCCAAAGGCCGACTTGGCCGCGTTGCTTTCCACTTTTTTGCGGCCTCTTCGCGCCGCCAGGTCGGCCTCGGAGATGGATTCCGGTCCCGTTAATCTACGAGTCCCTCGAGGTTTGACGGGCTCGACGGGCTGATCCTCCAAATTCGTAGCAAAGGGCGACGGCCGGACGTCGCGCTTCTGGAGCCGCGACGAGGATAACGGCTTCTCCTCGCCAAGGGCCATGCTGTTGTCGGCGTTCTCCCACCTTTCGCGCTGTTGCAACGCCTTCCGGCGCCGCGTCTCCTCCGCTTCCACATCATAGACCGGCGGCGGTACTGGTTGAGGCGGCTCCACCTCCACTTGGGGGCGGGGCACGGGCTTCGGCGCCTCGTAGGGGCAGTGCGTCATGCAGGCCCAGGCGCCGAACTCGGGCGCGCCGCGCTGGCCGCCCACTAAATGCAGGGAGCCCATCTCGTGGTCGACAAAGGTCCGTTCCCGGGGCCGCGCGGCGCGCGGGCCGCCGCCCGCTGCCCTCAAACCGCGCATGTCCTCGTAGCTCGTCGTTCCCATGCCGGGCAGCGCCATCGTTGTCTTGCGGTGGCCCCAGACGAATGGGCAGCCAAGCAAACAGCCGATTTGCTGGCTAGAGGGGCTGTGGCGCTAGCGACGCGTCCGGTGAAGTCTCGGGGCACTCACTCGTGCGCGGCTCGAGGAGTTGGGGAGTGCTCTTCGCGATGCCGCACACATGCACCACTCCAAAAGCGCCTGGCTCACAACGCCATCAACGCGATTCGTGCAGATCTATCGTCTGGCGGTGTCTTCTATTGATTCTCGCCACCGCTCAATACTTCCGATCGTCGGAGGTCGCGTTTGTTGAGCAAAAAGTGGTGCCACAAAAAGGAAAGGCTTGAAACAGCCTCCTTGAGCAGGATCCATGGCGAGCAACCCGCCGTCGATCAAAGATAACCCCTTCAAACGCCTCGACGCTTTGCGAACCAAAGTTTCCGGTGTCAAGGCGCCGGCGCCGGCCGCGGCCGCGCCGCCCGTGCCGCCGCGCCGGCCGAGCGACGGGTCAGCGGCGTCTCACACCTCGACGGCATCGCCACCGGTGCCGCCTCGGCCTGCGGCCGCGCCCAAGCTCCCGCCCCGCCGCCCGAGTGCCGCGTCGTCGACGGCCTCCACCGACACGCCGGCGCGCCCGCCGCTACCGCAGCGCACGGCGTCGACGGCGTCGCACGCGTCAACGGCGTCGCGCCGCCACTCGCTCCCCGGCCAGCCCCTGCCGCTGCCCACGACGCTCCGGACGCCGGCGACCTCGGACGACCACGAGGACCGGCCGCTCCCGCCGCTCCCGCCCGGGGCGCGGCCGGCGCTGCCCGCGCGCGCGCCAACCGTCACGCGCCACCACTCCGAGGCCAACCGGCCGCTCCCGCTGCCCGAGGAGCTACGGTCGCCGACGGCCTTCGTCACGCCCACAACGGTGGACACGTCGCCGTCACTCTCGGTGCGTGATCGCGCGGCGGCGTTTGAGAAAAAGACGCCTTCGGTGCCCTCGCGCCCGGTGCCCTCGCGCTCCGTGTCCTCCGTCTCCGCCGCGCCGCCCCTCCCGCAACGCTCGGTCTCGGCGCTCTCCGACGCCTCGGTCTGCTGTTCGGAACCGCAATTCGCGACCGTGACCGCGACGTTCGCGCCGAGCGAGGCGTGGCAGCTCGCCGTGGCGCAAGACAGTCGCGTCGAGGTGCTCAAGGTCGAGGACGACGGCTGGGCCGAAGTGCGTTACGAGCAGGGTACGAGGGGGATGGTGCCGCGCTCGTACCTCGCGATCGACGCGCCGGCGGCGCGCCCGCCGCCGCCGCGCCCGGCCGCGCCGCTCCGCTCGGTGTCGACGCTCTCGTCGGTGACCGACGACGCCTCGGGCCAGCAGCCGCGCATGACCGCGACGGGGACGTGGTCGTCGCTCTCGTCCGTCGGCGGCCACCGCGCGTCCGTCATCGAGCGGACGGCGTCCTCCGACGCGCCCACACGCCCGCCGCTGCCACAGCGGACGGCGTCGGCGGCCTCCGACGCTCCGCCGCTACCGCAGCGGACGGCTTCCACGACATCCGCGGACGAGCCTCCGCGGGTGCCGCCGCGGCGCATGTCGTCGACGTCCTCCGTGGCCTCGCGCGTGTCCGCGTTCGAGGCCATTGGCCTACACGCCCCGGAACCGGCGGCGGCCGCGCCACCGAGCATGGACGGCACGCGGTGCACGGCCGTCGCAACCTTCAACGCCGTCGAGGCGCTCGGTCAGCTCTCGCTTAAGCCGGGAAGCGTCGTCATCCGCCACACCACCGACGGCGACTGGTGCGAGGTGACCGACTGTACCACGGGCAAGCGCGGGAAGGTCCCGGCGTCGGCGATCCAGGAGGTGCGCGAGACGACCGGGGCCGCCCCGCCAACGACAACCGCGCCAGAGAAGAAGAAGGACTACACGTACTCGTCGCTCCCGTCGCTGACGGGCGGGCCGAAGCGGAAGATCTACAAGCAGCCCAAGAAGCGCTAGAGTACTAGTACATACATTAACAGTTAGGTCATATTCCACGTGAGCGCCTCGTCGAGCGCGGAATCAACAATCTCGCCGACGTCGTCGTCGAGCACGCAGAAGCGGATGGTCTGCGGCGCGTACTGGATCGCGGACTCCCCTTCGTCCTGCTCGAGGAGCGTCTCGATCGACGCCTGGACCGCCGGCGCCTCGGCGGCGAGGCACTCCCTCGTGGCCTCGGCGGCGACCGCCGCGGCCTCGGCGACGGGCGCGCCCCGCGTGCCGGCGCCCATCAGCGGCGTCGCGATGCGGCGCGTCGGCGGCCCGAGCGCAAATGCATTTGAGTACGCGTTGAGGAGCTGGCCGCGCCACGACAGCGACGCGTAGAACGGCGGCACCGCGAGGATCAGGCCGTCGGCGAAGGCCGCGAGCGGACCCGTCGCGATGGGCACGCGCACGGCGCCACCCGTCTTGCAGCGCACCGGGTAGTCCGCGTCGCCGCTGACGATCGGCAGGTCCGCGATCGCGCTCTCGTACGCGGCTCCGCCGAATTCCGTGACGATGCCATCGACGCTCTCGCATTGATACAGCAAGCGTTCCGCACGCGGTCGCTCGTAGTCGCGTTCTCCTATCTTCGTCGCTGCCGGCGTCGGCCCGCCCTTTGGGAAGTGCGCGAACTGCGTGCCGCACAATCGCTCGTTCGTCGGCACGATCAATGCCGTCGACCTGGGCGGCGGCATGGTCACGACGCAGGGCGTGATCCAGAGCTCGACGCGTCCGCTGCGGTAGCGTGCTAAGCGGTGCATCCTTGACTTATGCGTTGTCGGGCAGATGGCTAGGCATGCTTTGCTGGTCTCCTGGCCTATATCAGACACTCTACAAGCTCGTACTGCACTTTGTGCCGGCCAGAGCCTGGAGCTAGCGTAGCAACACACTAGGTTTTGAGCATGCGTATCTCCCCCCCGCCCACTTGTCCTAGCACCGTAACAGACTCTTCTTTGAATTCTCTTAGGTCTTGTCCGGCCGCCCCTGCATGGCCCACCGGATTTCTCGAGGCATCAACCCCAAGAACTGGTCCATCTCTCCCTCAAGCATGCCGACGTCTGTCCACATGCGCTTGGCGATGGCCTTGTTATTCGTCTGCTGGTTGATGGCCTTGACGCGCTGCAGCTCCTCCAGCGTCACGCGCGGCGGCCGGTAGTCCCGCGGCAATCCCTTGAGGGTAGGAAAGCGCGTGATCACGGGCGCGTCGAGCTTCTCGATCAGACGAGGCAGGTCGGGCTGGTAGTTCGAGCCCCGCCGCGCCCGAGCGAGGGACTTGAGAGTTCGAGTAGATACTCGAGACCCGAGCGAGGACGTCGTGCCGTAGGACAGGCCCGTCAGACTACTTCTAACGGAACTCGAATCATCAGGGGCCTTCTTCTTGTGCCTCCTATGTTTGGCCCGCTGCTTGTGCGCTCTCGAGAGCAGTCTTTTCACATCTCTATAGGACTGCCCACCGGCGGAAGACTGCCTACATACGGAATGGTCGCTCTCCAAATCAGCCTTGATGGCGTCGAGGAAGGCCTTCTCGCCCTTCGCGCCGTACTGCGGGCCCGTCCGCTGGGACGACAGGTGCTGGAGTTGCGCCGAGAATTTTTTGTTTTGCCCTGTAGTAGAAACCAAGCCACCGATGTCCGTGTGCCGCGCTGTGGCTCGCTCGATGGCAGCATCAGAGGCGGCCTCCGGGTCGTAGATACTTAGGTCTGGTTCGCAGACGCGGCCCCGTCCGGCACCCAGTAAAGCCCCGCCGAAACACAAGACGACAGGCTTCGTGAACGTCCCCGACCGGCGGCCAGGCACATGCAAAGCTAGGATATGCCCTCTGCGAGGCGCCGGGGGGAACTCGCGGTAGCAAAAGTCGACGGGCGGCGCCTCCGGTTGAGGCGGCGGCGTCTTGCTTCTTCCCCTCCGTTTACCCTTCCTCCTCATGCGTTTCTTTTCCCTTTTCTGAGCTTCGACCGATTGGGTCGGTAAGGCCGCGATCTGCTTCTGGTGGGCCTGGTGGTGCTCCCGCGGCAGGCGCGCGTAGGGCCCGAGCTTCATGTCGTCGGTTGGTCGGTAGCCGTCGCAGGGCGCCACGCGCCACCCGCACAGGTCCGGTCGTTCGTCACCAAACAACTTCAGCACCCTTACGTCGTCATCACCCGTCGAACCGCCGAACACCAAAATTTCATTTGATCGAGCCCCGAGACACGCCGCGTGGCCGTACAAGCGAGGCGACTCGTCAATCTCGTGCGTCGTCGGGATCTTGGACCAACATAATGTATCGACGTTCCACGCTAATACGTCTCTCAAACCTGGTGGTTCTCTATTCTGGATCGAGGCCGAGATATTGGCTAATCCACCAATAACGATCAGATGCCTTTCTACGAGTACGGACTGGTGCTCGAACCGTTTCGGAGGGTGTTCCCCGCTACATAAACCTGAGAGTTCCGCCCAGGCGCCTCGCACGGGATCAAAGGACCACACTTGACCCAATACACACTCGAAGCCTCGACCACCGGCATCCGGACCGGCCCCGCCGATGACAATAATAAAACCTCGCGCTGGATTCACGGTCGCCGGCTCGTAGTCCTCGTCGCCGCCTCTCGCTGCCTCCGCGTCTCGCTGCGAGGCCGTGCTTTGCGCGATCATCCGCGAATCTCTTATCAGAGTCGCCGTGTGGCCTCGTCGCGGCGTCGGCCACCGCCCTTGTATTGGGTAGGTGGACCAGGCCTCCTTCGTGAGGTCGAAAGTCGACACATCATTCAGGGTCTGGCGGAGTTGCAACATGCGCACGACGGGCTGCCCTTCTCGTCTTTGATCATCATTGACCTCCTTCCGCCAGTCGATGGAGTTGCGGCCTTCGCCCTGGCCCGCAAAACACACTAATTTATTATCGCCCGTACAGGTCAGCGTGTGCTGGCTTCGAGCGGCGACGCGACTCTTGCGCGGGCCGTCTTTTATGGACCATCGTAACGTTCGCAAGTCCAAAGCCCATAATAAAGCTCTCCGCTGACTCGCGTCGGCCCCCTGGCCGCCGCCGCCGTGCAAATACAGCGTGTCGCGCGTACAGCAGTGGGCGGCCTGGTAGCGGCAGGGCGGCGCGAGGGTCTCGACGTTCAGCGGGCGGGCCCAGGCGGCCATGTTGTGGTGTACCAGCTCGTCCGAGGCTGCCCGAGCCACGCTTCGGCTGCGTACAGCGGCACACAGCGTGATGCAGCGCCGCTTCGTCAAGAGCGTTGGGTTGTGCGGGGGTGAGTCCGACGCGTGACTTGCCTTGACCATCGATGAGAGTAGTCCTCCGAGAGTGCATATTGGTCTAAGAGATGTCCGATCGTCGATTCGGAAGGGCCTCTCTGTGGCAGGCAGAGGCAGAGCTTCATAATCGCGAGTGCTTTTGAGTGGGTTAAGCAGCATGGCGAGCCTCAGGCTTGCAATCGCAGCTTCTTTGAAAGAACAACAAGCTCCAACCGCGATTACAGCAGCGCCGGAGCCCGAGAGGCCGCAGAGCAAGGCTGCCAAGGGTAAGGCTCTCCCTGGTAAAGCTGCCAAGTCGTCGCCGCCGCCACAGCGCAAGCGCGGCAAAGAAGCTACGACACCCGTCGCTCCGCCGCCCAAACGGAGCAAGCCGAAGACCAGTGCTGCACCGAAAGCTGCCAAGGCGGAGCCGGCGCCACCGCGCACGGACAAAGAAGCGCCGAAGCCGGCCGCTCCGCGCAAGCGGAGCCCGCCCGCGGCCGCGCCGGCGCCGCGCAAGCGCGACAAGAAGCTCGCCGTGGCCGTCGGAGATAATGTAGACGCGCTCTGGCCCGCCGACGGCGAGTACTATCCCGCGAAAGTGCGAGCCGTCAACGCCGACGGCACCATTGCTTTAGATTATGCGGACGGCGACCGGCGGAACGACGCCACGACCAGCGAGCTGCGGTGCAAGAGACAAGCGACCGCCGAGGCGGACCCGGACTTCGCGCCCGCGGCGCTTTCAACAGCCGACGCGCCCGCCACCCGCAGCACGATCACGGACAAGAAGGCCTTGGAGGAACGCATGGCCGCCGATGGCTGGACCAAGGAGGAGAAGGCGCGCGAGAGTTCTAGTCATGTCGACAAATACTGGATCGACCCGAAGGATGGCAAGAAGTGTAGATCGATTGTAGAAGTCGCGCGCAAGGCCTACCCCGAACTACTAGAGGAGGCGCCGCAACGACCAAAAAAAGAAGCCGAAACGGGCCCGCTCGCCTGCAGAAAAGGATGCGGCCGCTGCTTCGGCAACGGTGGCGCGCGCGGCTCGCACGAGCTCCACTGCGACGGCACGCCGAAGCCGCCGCGGCGCCGCCGCCCCGTCGCCGTGGCGAAGCGCGACAAGCTACCCTCGCGTAGAGCCACTAATACAGATGCGCTGAAGGCCTCATCAACGGAGGACGCTTTACCATTACCGCCGCCGCCGCCCCGAGAACGCGCGAAGAATCATGATGTGGATCTCGGGGCCTTTGGCTGGACGCCACCAAGTGAACCGCCGTCGTTCGAGCGGACATATTCATTGTTGAAAGCGGTCGAGGTGCCGCGGACGCATAGTAGGGAGAACATCACTTTGCCCGAGGACGAAGCGACAGGTGTTAGATCCGCCTGCGTCGGTCTCGTGGGCGCGCGGAGCCATGGTGTGGTTGCGTCGCAATTTGCTCGCTCCAGACCGTCACTAACGAGGGAGCTCGTGCGGTTTGGAAGGCACTTCCTCCCGTCCAGTTTCAAGTTCACGTCGATCCAGTTAAATCACAACTTCGCGTCGGCACTGCACGTCGACGATTATAATTCCGGGCCGTCCTACATCGTCGGTCTTGGTGGTTATGAAGGTGGGGAATTGTGGACTTTGGAACATGGGCCTTTGAACTGTAAACATAGTTTCTGCCACTACGACGGGACGGAGCCGCACGCGACGCTCCCTTTCACGGGGGAAAGGTACACGCTCGTCTTCTTCACGCACCAGACGCATCCTAGGTTAGGTGATGCGGACCGAGCCTACCTGGAGAGCCTCGGGTTTCCCCTACCGAAGCCGACGGAGTTGTTACGTCGGAGACAGAAGAAGGGCTTTGCCCATGGCACTTCTTTTGAAGCGCCGAAGCGCGTGAAGACGGCGGCCGGGCAAGCGGCCTTGGACGCGCACAGGGCGGGCGCGTCCGTAGATGCGGCGAGGGCCCGAGGCGACGCGGTCTTCGAGGCCTGGCGGAAGGAAGATGCAAGGGAAGCGACGCCGGAGCAGCGGGCGATCCAGGGTCGCGTTTTTATTGATGATGGGACACGATGGCGTGTTAGAGATGAAAAGAAGCGGGGCGTGTATTACGACCTCGAGCTGAAACAACTCTGCGTCGAGTACTACGACTTCGACGCGTATGGGATGAATGATCCCGGTTCGGGAGATGATGTGGTCGAGTTCACGCCTTATGATGAGTTATTGGGGTTTGCGGACTGGGTCGACGCGCCGGAATCACTGTCGGGTAGTGCTCTGGAGGCGGCGAAGGCCGAGGCGGCGCGGCGGCTGGACGCGAAAAGGGCGTTTGAAGCCGCCGACGACGCGATGGACTACTACGCGGAGAAAGATGCAAAGGAGGCGGCGGCGGCGGCGAAGGCCGCGGCGGAGGCGCCCTTCCAACCGGTCTTAGTCCAGTTCGATCAACGGTAAGGTGGCGGCGGCGGCGTCTTCGTAGCGCTAGTTAATTAATATACATCTAGTATTATCAGGTTAGGCGCGGTCGAACTCAACCTCGATCTCTCCGATGTGTGCTTCGCCGTGGCTGTAGTTGTAAACTTTTATTCTATGGAGCGGTATCGTCAGGCTCCGGATAGACCTAGTGACCTGAGGCACCCCGTCGATCGAGACGGTGATCGTGGCATCCATCATGTGATCTTCATCGGCGTCGGAAAAGGAGGCGTCGATGTCGTAGCGTGTGTCTGGGTCCACTGGGCACAACATGGTGGTATTAGGTCCTTCATTGCTATCGCGTGCCAGAAAGCAGAGCTGTCCTCCGTTTTTATACACCCCTCCCACGCATTTCTCAAACTGTCCTCTGTGATCGTAGAACCAAACGTACCCCAATGCGCCACGTATGTCCATACAAGACCACCGACTGATGCGAAGGCGTCGCACAGTCAGCTTGCGCAGTGATTGGAAGCTGCGAGATAACCCCTCGTGCGTGGGGCCAGGTGTCCCTCGAAGGCGCAGGCACGGAGGCGATCCAACGACATCCGCATGCAGGTAGCCGGACGCGTCAGGGTGCATCTGCCACTGGCCCAGGCCTCTAGCCCACGTCTCGACGAAGCGGTTGGCCTCCGGGACCACGTCGCGCAGCACGTCCACGCAACTTGCCAGCATCTGGTCGACCACTTTTAATCGTCGCGCGGCTGTGAAGAGCACCAAGGGCTGCGCCGCGCGAAATGGCTTCGCAATAATGGGCAGCTTGGGCAAATTGGTTGGCGGCAGGAAGGCCACGACGTTGTCCGCCAGCTCATTTCTGGACCACAGCGAGAGCAGTGGCGAACGATACGTGTGTGCGCGTTTCGCAAGGGCAGCCTCCATTTTTAGCGTTCGCAGGGGCAGCCGATTTGTGCTTGCTAGTGTCTTAGAGGCCGCTGGAGGCTTGATTTCCTAATGCGCGGCCTTGCTCGATTTGTGGGGCTAGCGTAGCGACATACTAGGCCACACAGCGCTTGCGCTGAAGCATTTTTTACGGCCTCACGCGTCACGACACGACGGTGAAGCTCCGATAACGTCGCACACGCGCCCGTACCTGCAGCCCTGCGCCAAAACCTTGAAAGGGCAGCCCTCGACGCCAATGAAGGCAACCCCATGACAGACACCGACGCGGACGGGAGCCCGCGCCGGCGCAAGGCAGCCGTCGAGCCGCCCGCGACGACTCCTGCTCCGACTCTGCGGCCGGCATCGATGCTCTGCGCCGCGCCGCGCGTCGTCCTGGCCGTCGCGTCGATGTGGATTATTTGGTTGCTACTCGTAATTCTTGGCGGAGCGGCCTACGCCTATACAATCTACGCCGACGCGCGCTTCCCTTTGCAATTGGCGGCGGCGGCGCTCGTCATCCAACTCTTGGTCTTGATTTACCTCCAGCCCGATGTCATAACAGACATAGCTGAGTTATACGAACCTAGAATTGTGTGGCGCGCCCATACGAAACAAAGAATAGCCGCCCTGACGATTGACGACGTGCCCGTCGGTGCAGCATCAAAGATCGAGGAAATACTATCATTACTCAAACAAAACGATGCCCGCGCGACGCTGTTTATCATGTGCGGCGAATTTTCGAGAGCCTCCGAGCACGTCAAGCAGGTCATCAAAGATGCGGTACAATCAGGAAGGATCGAACTGGCCAACCACGGCGCCTTCGACGAGCCCGCGGCCGGCCTTTCCGGTCAAGATTTTAGGGCGAAGCACGACGCCTGCGACGCGCTGATTCACTCCATAGCACCTCCACCTCCTCGGAAATGGTTCCGGCCCGGGTCCGCGCTCGTCAATCGCGGTATTTTTGAGTGGTGTCGCTCCCATTCATATACATGTGTATTGGGCTCGTGTTTTCCGCACGACAACTTCGGTTGTACCTGTCTGTGCAACGCCGCGTATTTGCGAAGGCGCGTCCGGCCGGGGGCCATTGTTATTTTACATGACCGCTGGCACACGCCGGCGACGCTGCGAGCCTTCTTCGCGAAGCGCGGGAAGACGGCAACTATCCGCCTGACGACGCTCTCCGAGCTTTTTGATACGGTCGACCGGGAGAACGCGAGCGTCGCGCCGGAATAACTACTGTGTTACTGTTACTCGCTTACTTGCTTTGCTTAGAGCTACCGCCTAGCCGCGGAGCCGACGTGCCGACGCCTCCCTGCGTGACCGCACGCCCGCCCCGGCCCCGGTCCTCATGCGCCGTCGCCCCGAGTGCTAGCTTGGAGGCGACGACGGCGAGGGGGGAGCAGGTCGGACGCCGGAATCCCAGGTCCGCGCCGGTGGTACATCGGGGGCCGCCGCGGGATAACTTACGTCCGCCACGCGAGCCGCCTTCCTAATATCTCGAAGAACGCGTCGTCGTGGGGCCGGAAGAAGGCCGACAGGCGCTCCTCGACCTCACCCGGCAGCCCCTCCTCGTCGTACGCCCCATGGATGGACCAGCCGATGCGCTCGTCAAAGGAAGGGAACGTTTTGGCTATTTTTTTCCTCACGGAGGCTTCCGTCACATCTTCAACAGAGAGGGGTGGTTGCGGAGGTAACCCCACGAACCGCTCCACGGCGCCAACAACACTAGGTGCGTCTCGCCGCAAGTCGTCTCCATCGATAATCATCGTGCGACTACGGGGAAAGCCCTGGTGCTCGCACCGTAACAGTTGCGCCGCATAGAGCGACCGATACACAAAATCTCTCTGAATAGAACCCGTCGTCCGAGGCTTGCACTTCGAGAGGAATACGTGGGCCTCGTGAGGTGTGCGTGGCGCCTTCTTGCCGATCTCATTCACAGCGCAAGCCTCCAGCTCGTCGGCCTCCTCCACCAAAGTTTGCTTGGGCACGAGCGTCTCTAAAGTACGCGTCGGGTAGCACCTTCCCAAGTTCACGGTGAGACCGCCGTTGTCGAAGGGCGTAAAACAGGCCACAACCAACTTGGCGACGGGCGCGTTCGGTAGAGCAGTCAAACGTCGTCCGGACAGACGAGCGTTCCGTAAACCAGTTTCTCCCCGTAAATGTTTTGCGGTCCACATCCTTACGACGTCGAAGCGTTCGTCGTTTTGTATCGGCAAGTAACGCGGCCAACGCCGTCGAGCCCGCTTTCTGCACGCCGCCGATAATCACAGAAGGCAGGCACCGTTCCGACGGCAAGGTGCCGACCTGGCCCGCAACATGTGTAGTGTTGAAGGGCTCGCGCGTTTCATTGAAAGCGTGGACGAAGGGGAGCGCCTCCGGTAACGCGCAGCACGTCTGGCGGAACGCGCCGACGTCTTCGCGGCAATTCTTGAGTTGGGCCACGTGGGCTCCGTTTATTATGGGTATGGGCAACTGCTTTCGTACGCGAATTTGGAGCGCTGGCGACGCGCGACGCGCGCCGCCCGGGAGTCTCACCCTGGCGCCTTTTTTCAGGCCTATGGCGCAGACGGGTGCATTGTTCACGCGCGCCGTCGTTTGCGCGACGATTATGAGGAGCGCGAGAGTCCTGAGCATGGTCCTGGCGCCTCGCGTAAATAGTACAGGACAATTTGTCGCGACTCATGGCCTGGAAACCTGTTTTGGCAGCTGAGCCACATTGCTCCACGAAATCTCTCCGATGAGTCGTGCAGGAGGCAGTCTTCGAATTTCAAAGCCCGCGCCAATTCTGAGCTCAGATGCCCAACAAGCAGCAAAGAGGTAAATTGCGCCTCCATACCGCTGCCTAAACGTCCAGCGAGCGCTTGGCAATTAGCGCGAGAAGACTGTCCGCACGTGTTTTGGTCGCTGCAATCAACTGCGTGCAGTGGTAAGGCTGTAATCACGCCTGAGCTTGGCAGAGCATCACCTGCTCTCCCAGCAAACGCGTCGTAGGGCGGTCCGCACGCTCATACGACTCGTTGCGATGGACGTGAACGGACACGCCTACGACACGGCCGGCACCCGCGCCGTCGCCGCTGTGACGCTCGTGCTCCTGCCGGCGGCCGTGCTAGTCTTAGGCTCCATCGCACATTTCTTCGTGCAGCGCCACGAAGCCAAGCTCGACGCCGCCGAGAAAGCGAAGCGCCAGCGCTTCGCGGACTTTGAACGGCGCGCCGAGGAGAAGCGCAAGGAAGGAGGAAGAAAACGCGGCGCGGAGATGGTCGAGCAGTACGGCGGCCACTTTTTTGGCGAGATGACCGTTCATGATGGATTCGCGAGAAAAGGCAAAAAACGGCGGGGTATTATATATGTGCGCGAGTTCGTCTGCGTGGGCATCTGGGTGTCTGCGTTGGTCCATGAGCGCGAGGCGGCGGCGCTAGAGAGCCTCGTCGGCGTCGGCGCGGACCTTGAATATCTTGAAACAGAATCCACACTCGAGGGGGCTTTAACACTGCTCGCGACGGCGAGCGCTGATGGCGCGAGCGGTACACTCCTTGGCCTCTACGACGTCAGGTGAGTAATCATGGTGCTCTCGTTTCCGTCGCCTAGTTTTTCGTAGGAACGCCCTTGGCTTCCACAACCACGACCACCTTGGTACAGAGACGACGTCAGGTATACTTATAGACACAGCAGTGATAGGGGGAAGGAGTCAGAGCGCGAGCGGCAGAACAACGTACGCGGCCAGGCGCCTGTGCTTGCTAGTGTGTCTACAGGCTTGCGCGAGGGCGCCGGGACGCAGTCTCTCGGCACACCCCGGCTAGGGCTCCGTAGTGCACGGAGACGTATCCGCGCCTCGGCAGGGAAGCGCGACTCTGGGACCGCGGCGCGGCCCGGCACAAAGAAAGCTACTACCTAGAAAGAGGCCCTGGCCCGTGGGGGCGGGGGTTCTCGTGCAGACGACCATCAAAGAAGCACAGAACACTCACTTACTACAACAGGGTCTCCAGCGCGGCATTGCGCCGCACCCGCGGCAGCTGGTAGAGCCTCGCGGAGCGGTCGGCGAAGCGGCGGACCACTTCGACCTCCTCGCCCAACAACCGCATCGAGTGCGCCGTCGCCACGAGGCGGTTGAAGAGAACGGTTTGGACGTGATCCACGGCATCGTCCACATCACTGGAATTCTGCCCGCGGTCCCACGCGCCCTCCTCAAACAAACGCGTCAGGCGCAGCTCGGACTCCGCGCCCGTCAGCAGCTGCTGGTCCCAAAACTCATCACTCCCAATACGATTTATGGCCGCCCGCGCCGCGTCCCGGAAGACGGCGCCCTCGACGAGCGGCGTGCTCGCGCCCGCCGCGCAGAACGTCGCGGCCAGCGCCATGGCCTGCGCCGCATCTCTGGCATCTTTCGCGTCCACCGCGTTCGCGAAGAGCCGCGCGAGGCACTCCGCGACAAGCGGGGATTCGACAGACGGCGTCGACCGGTGCGCGCCGATCGCCGCGAGCGTGTCGCGCCGCGCGCGCCCGTAGACCGTCGACGCGGCGGCGACGTCGTCCTCCGTCGCCACCAATTTCGAGCTCGCGTCGAACAGGGCCTCGACGGCTTTCGCAGCCTTGGCGGGCGGCGCCTGGGCGACGTCGTCGCGGCGCTCCGCGCGCCGCGCGTCGCACCAGTCCAGCACGCGGAGCGCCGCGTCGTGGCGCCGGGCGCCCGCGGCCGAGCTTCTCGTCGCGGCAAAGGCGCGCCGCTTCGCACGCGCCGTCGCGGTGTGGTCGTCCGCGGCGACGACAGCACTCAGTCGCTCCGCGAGGTGCGCCCGCTCGGCCCGCTGCAGCGCGGTCACGGCGGCCGCGACCGCCCTCGCGCGCTTCGCATCGGTCCGGTGGCAGGCGCGCGCCGCGGCTTCGCGCGTGGCGTCGCGCTGGCGGTAGGCGTCCCGCAGCGCGACGCGGCGGTCCTCGTGCCTGGCGCCGCGGCCGCGGAGCCTTCGGCGCGCGGCGTCCACGGCGGCGTCCGCATCATTTGCGTCGAGGGTTGGTTCGTCGCCCGTCATCGCTGCGCAGACTGCAGCCGCCGCGGCGATAGCGTCAGCCGTGCGCGCGTGCGCCGCCCCGCGTTTTGATGCCGTCTGGGCGATCGCGAACGCGGGCGCGTGCGCCGTGCCGACCTCGGCCACGCTCGACGCCATTGCTGCGATGGCGTCTTGCGCGGCCGCTGCGTCACGTTCGGCCGCGGCGCACTTGTCGAGCAGCGCCAGGAACTTCGTGCGTGCATCCGCGTTGCCCGCGGCGAGCTGTGCTAGGGCTGAGGGGTCGATTTCATCATACAAGGAGCTGGCGTCGCTGCTCGTGTCGGCTTCGTTTTCGAGCAGTTGCGCCATCGCTGCGCGCCCGCGTCGATCCTGAGAGCCTGAGCCTGAGCCTGAGCTGCCTTAAAAGAGACTTGCGCACGCGCGAGGCGCTCTGATCCGTTCCTTGTGTGCGAGCAGGTATCGAAATCGGTGCCTGCCGGCTTTTCAAGCTCCTAAAGCGCGCCGTAGGGCTTATTTTTTTGCTGCGGCGTCTTGTCGCTAGTGTGTTACAAGACGCTAGCTGTCGAGTCAACGCGTTCAAGGGGGGTTAAGTATGGGGTGGGTACCAGCCGCTAGAGGCGTGACGATCTATGTCCGGTTTTGCTTTTTGCGGCCGTGCGGCTGCCCATGCCCATGGCAGCGGAAGTGCGCGTGCGCGTGGGCGTACGGGCACCCAAGCGGCCCTCGGCAGCTTTTCTTTTGCGCGCAGGCGCAAAATTGACCGAGAACGACGGCAAAACGTTTAGCAATTTTAGTCGATGCGCGAAAATCGAAGCGCCAACGCGAGGGCTCCCTTTCAGAGCTCGATCCTCCCGCTTTAGAGCCCCGAGACGGGTAAAAAAAATAAACTTAAAAAAAGTACTATATCGCGGCGACGGTGTGCATATGGCCTTGACGCAGCCGTTGAGCGTCGTCGCGCCGCGAGGGAGTCTCTCATACCCTACCGACCGGCGCCCGTCTTTGGTTCCAGCGAAAACCGCCGGGAAATGAGCCGTAGTGCCCCCGTTCGCGACTGTGTTTGGGAACGAATGGATGAAAATCTACCCGGCGAATTTGTCACTTTCTCATAGCAAAGTTCACGCAAATACTGTCCTGAGGCCATGTGCCTCGATTAGTGACATATTCGCTGACAAGGGGCCGCGGGGCGTCGATCGTCGAATGGAACCGCCGACCGTGGCTGCCCTTCCCGAGCACCGTTGCCGCTGAAACTTGGCATGCGAGGCCGTCATGGGGGCGTGCCTCGGCCCCCGGGCCGGTGCTGGTGGCGGTGCACCCGCTGGGTCGCACTGGCACCCGCCTCTAAAACACCAAAACCGGACATACATCTACGGGGTAAAAGTAGCCTGGTACCCACCCCATGTTTACCCCCCATGACGCGTTTTGGGCGCAGAGGTCTAAATTCGTCGTGTATGCGATGGCGCAGGCGCGCACAGATGCGCAGCCATCGCGCGCTGGGCGAGGACTGATGGTACTCGGCAATGATTGCGTACACAAAGTGATGACCTTCCTGGCTGTGGCTGACGCCCGGCGCGGCGTGGGTGCCACCGCAAAAGCCTTTCGTACAACTGCGATGTCGATGACGCTCGCGCGAACACGTTCCTCGGAGCCCTACACTCTCCGATCTCAATTCGATACGGGCCGTGGCGATAGGCACGGCGTCGTCCACGCCATGGCGACGGCGATGGGGACGCGGCGGTGGCCTACAAGGGCAGTCCGTATCAATAATGATGGGGACGAGTGGAATGGAGCAGTGGCTGCTGCAGCGGTGCCGCCCGCGAGGCTTGGAATCACGTTTCATCGGGGTCGTACGCACTGGGGTGGCAATTGGAGTCCAGACGGGGAGCCCTACGCATCTTATGCAGCGTCGGCCATCGTCGATCAAGTTATGGCCAGGGATATTTGCGGTGGTGGAGAGTGTACCGTTAGAACGGGCTCTTTTGTTCAGTACGATCTCCCCTTCCAATTGAAAATTAGAGCTTTCCAGTTCGGGATTTCCGCCTGTCGTTCAGAGCGCTTTAGAGATTGGACGTTCGAAGCTTTCGACGGTGAGAACTGGCGCCAGCTCTGGAACTTCACGGGTACGATGTCGGCTGAGCGCCACACTTTTTGGCGGGTGGGCGCCGCCAAACGAGTCGCCTCGAACCGCTTCCGGATCCGGCTGGCGGAAAGCGGGGAGCCTTATAGATGCATGCACATCCGCGGCCTCGAGCTCTTCGGCACGATCCTTCCGCCCTGGCGCATCGACTAAGAAATAGTACACGTCAACAACTTAGTAGGAGTAGATAGGAGGGTAGCTCGGCTCGCGGAACAGCGCACGGCCGTAGTACGGGTCGACGGCGCGGCGGACGCGGCGCGGAGGCGGCGCCCGGCGCGGCACGCTGACGACCACATCCCGGCCGCGACACGCGCGCGTCGCGCCTCCAACATCAGCATTGGCCGGGAGGCGCACGACCTCGTCAACGCGGCCGAAGCGGCCCTTTGAGGCCGCAATGACGTCCTCTTCCGTGACGCGGCCGTGCCCGTAGCGCATCGCCCGGCGCTTCGCCAGGGCCAGAATCTTGTCCTGGACCGGGGGGCTCGGGATGATCACGCCCTCGACGCGGAGAGAGTCTCCCTCGACGGACACGTCCAACTCGTCGGCGCCGCGCAGGACGACGTCGTAGCCCTCGGCCGTCTCCTGGACGTCGCCGCGGAGCTGCGCCTCGGTGCCGGCCCAGAACTCGGCCCACTCGTCCTCGTCGTCGGACTCCGTTTCTTCGGCGGCGGCCGCCTCGGCAGCGATTCGGCGCGTCTCGGCCTCCTTCTCGGCGGCGAGGCGGCGCGCGGCCTCATCCTTCGCTGCGGCGGCGCGGCGCGCCTCTGCGGCCTTGGTGGCACGAGCAGCCTTGGCCGCAGCTACGCGCCGCGCGGCATCGCGAGCTTTCTGCTCTGCGGCTGCGAGCTCAGCGTCGGCCGCCGACTTCGCCGCGCGGGCGGCGTCTTCTTCCGCGGCCGCCGCCGCCGCCGCCTCGATGGTGCGGCTCTTGTCCTTCAAGCTTTCCACGAGGCTCGCTTCGGCCTCGTCGATTTCGGTAGTAAGCGCGTATGTGCGCAACTCGGCGAGGTCCGAAACCGCGTGCCCTTCGGCGGCAGCCCGCTGTGCGAGCTGTGCGATTATGTCACAATCTTCAGCGGGCACGATAATACAAGCGTCGAGCCACTGGCTGGTCAGTAATGATGTCATGAGTGGTTTGCGTGCGGTTGGGCTGCAATCCGATGCGTTTGGGAACGGTGCGCAGGCTTAATTAGCGCTGAGATTTTTTGGAGATAGCAGAATCATCCTGGAGCACGACGGCCGGCGACGCCTGTACTCCGTCCCAGACGAAGTCAACGAGATGAGAGAGCTCTAGGAGGCTCGCGGGCGGATTGAAGCACAAGACCTTACACACACAAGTCACGACGCGGGACACGCGGGCTTGAACGGCCACAGGAGCACCTCCGTCCGCGGGTACGACGGGAGCGCCTCCTGCGTCTCCCCGCCACCGACGCGCACGGTGACGGCGTCCGACCGCCTTAATACATCGCCGTAGACGTTCGACTTGAGCTCGACGTAGAAGCTTATGTTGAACGGCTCGCAATTTGGTGGAGCTTCGACGCGCAGCACGAGGTCCAGGTGTCTTTGTAACACACAAGTAAGCATGCCCGATCTATCAGACACGAGGCACCACGAGCCGTCGCGGCCCGTCACGAAGGCCTCGAAGTTTATTGAGAAGCGCACGTCGCCGTTCGTGATAGACGACGGCTCCGCACTTATTATGGTTGCCTTTGACGCGCCGCGCCCCAGGGTCAACGCCCTTGTGACCCCGAACGACAGCGCGTCCGATAGTGTGGCGACGCCATTGCTAGTAACGGCCGCGAGGCGGTGGAGGCGCGTGTTCGTGGGGTCCGTGATGAGGACCGTGGCGCCCTCGCGTGCCACCGCCGCCGCGTAGGCCACGGCCCAGTCGCCTCCTTTTGACTCATTGGAATGCGGCACGATCAACATATCGCATTTCCGCGCGGCGCGGTCGAGGACGCCGTCCTGGACAATAGCGTCGTTGCCTATTAGTCTCATATCCACAGCACCTAATTCACGCTTGAGCTGGGACACGGCCGATATCATGATAGACTCGCCGACGACCGCTACTAGACCCCGATGGTCGGCCCGTTGCGTCCTGCGCGCGGCGTCGACGACGCGCGCGCGGCCTTTGGGGGTTGTAATGTCGCGCGCGTCCGCTAGTACCACCGCATCGTACGCGTCGTCGCCGTCGTCGTCCAGCGTCTTGGGAGGAAACGGCGCGACCCCATAGCCCTCCTGAAGCTGGAGCGGGTGGAAGCCCTCCTCGATCAATAGGGGGCGGTCGCTCTCCTCGGCGAAGACGACGGCGTCGTAGGCTTGCGAGGCGTTGCGCGGTAGTCTATCCGGAAAGCAGCTCACTCCACCAGGATCGAGGTCGCCGTCGTCCACGAGGATCCACAGCCTCCTCTGCTCCAGGTGGCGCGGCAGCGTCCACTCCCGCACCAAGGACCGCGCACAGATATCCGAAGGCGAGTCCCGTTTTCCAACAGCGAAAATAACGTCGTAGTGCAATAAGTCCACACTTTGACTAATAACGTCGGCCACGCGCACCCAGAAGATGCGGTACAATCGCTGCAAGCGGTCCGCCGCCGCCGCGACGGTCGTCTGGAGCTGCGGCGTCCAGGCCCCGTTCCAGAGGATCGCGACTCGTAACGCGCCCGTCCGTCCGTTGTGATTTCGCAAAGCGTCGAAGTGCGCCAGGACGTCAGCCGCGCGCGCGTCGTAGGTGTGGTGCTTGCTTATATATGAAGTGGCGGTCTCGTTGCGCACGAACGCGCCGCGGGGCACGTCGCCTGCTTTGTGCCACAACACCAGATTGTGCGAAGGCGCATCCTTCAATAGATCCTCGAGCTCGGGGAAGGCCTCCTGGACGAGGGGTCTACCAGCAGCTAAAACTTCAAACACCCTATTGTTCACCATGCCCTTCTCGCGCTGGCCGTCCATCGTCGCGCCGAGCACCGCGCCCGCCTTGGCGTAGCAATTGGCGAGCTCGCCGTGGGGCAGCAGGCCGCGGTAGGACGGCAGCAGATCCGGTGGGCCGACGTCGCGCCAGCCGCTGCCCCACAATTCTAAACCGCGCGACGTGTTCTGCGCCTCGCGCAGCATCTGGACGAGATTGCGCTTCGTGTCGACGCCGAGCGCGCTGCCCACGTACACATAGGGTCCCGATTCATTATATGGCGTCGTCACGGCCATCTCGTCCACATCGGCCGCAAGCGGCACGAACCTTGATGGCGCTATTTTGGAAAGCTCCTCCGCAACCTCTAAGCTGTTCGTGAGGTAGCCGTCGACGTCCAGCGACGCGATGGAACTCAGGCCCGGGAAGAGCGGGTCGAGGCACCAGTAAAACACGATTATCTGCGGCGAATGTCTCCTAAATTCATGGATCGCCGCCGCGCTGCTCTCGAACCAGCCCTCGATGATCAGCAAGTCCCAGGTCGCATTATTGACAAAGTGGTAGTGGAAGGGGTAGAAGCTCCGCGCTTCGCGGACGCGGCCCGTCCGTAACAACGCTTTCTTGAGGCCGTTCGTCGTCATGACGCTGCCCACCACATAGCCTCCAGGCGTCGGTGGCGCTTGGGCGTGGAGAGCGACGTTGATGCGGTCCTCGGCCTGACTCGTGTGCAGCAGCAGTGGGAGCAGCCACCGCATCATGGTGCCGCGCGGCTGCCCGACTCCTTGCAGCGCTTGCAAGCGCTTTTGCCAAGTTGGGGCTGCTCTTGCTAGTGTCTTACAGTCGCTAGCTTGCTATAGCCTGAACTTTTGTTAGGCCCATTACGTCGAGCACGCGAGACGTGGCCATTCTGACAAACTCTCGTGACTCTGCACAATCGCTCTGCGCGAGACATAAGTAGTCTGGCCCTACCTAGGAAGAGTATCGAGACACAACAATACAGGCCTGAAACAAGCTGTCGCCGGTCGCGTAGATAGATGGGTCTGCTCAATTATCTCGGCGGCCGCGGCAGCAGCGCCGGCGGGGAAGGCTCGTCGCGGCACGTCGAGTCGGACGTCGTGACGGTCGGCGGCGTCGCGCTCGAGGAAGAGAAGTCCTGGGAGCAACCCGATCCGAGCGTAGACAACGTGCCGTTCACCAGCTTCGACGAAGCGCGCCCAAGCGACTCACGGCGCCGGTCGAGCGCCGCGGATCGCGATAATGTGGTGGACGCGCTGGAACGCGACTTTGATGTAACAATTCCAGTCGAGGGCCGGCCCCTCGTGCCGAATTCTCTTCACCAAATCGCGACGCTGTGTGTTCCCGAGTCGGCCACCGTCGACGCGAAGCCTGCTCGATGGCGTAGAGGGTGATACTGTCTCCCACACAGGTTCATTTTGACGACGAGCAAAGGAATAGCGGGCAAGCCGATCCGTCGCTGGTGGCAGATTTCGCTCCTTATCGCGCTTCTATTACTGGTGCTTTTCCAGACGGCCTGCGCCTACGGCATCTTCCTGGGGCTCGTTCGCGGTTCATGCATCGACAGCGATGACTGCTCGCACGGCTTCTGGTGCGACCCGACGAAGTCGCCGCCCATCGGCAAGAAGACGCGCTACTTCTCGGTCTGCAACCGGTGCGACACGAAGACGCTCAAGAACAGCGAGAAGGTGAGCGACAATCAATGCCTCGCTTTCTACCTCGAGGATCCGAGCACGCTTGGTGGGAGCGCTCTGCAGACGACTCTGAACACGCTCGCTGTCGTGTTCCTGCTCGAAATCGACGACCTCCTTTACAACGCCGTCATCGACGCGCGGTACAAGCGGTATGCTAGACGGCATCGCTTCCGCCTCCGCTGGTTTGATTACTATCTCCTCGCACGCGGTTCGGCGTTACAGTCGCGGTGCCTTCGAGTCGGATCATCTCCACGCCGACGTGACGCCGTCGACGCGACGTGGTCATTGGTCGCATTCCACGCAGGACGCGAAGCGTTTCGTGGTGATTGTGACGTGTATGACCGCAATGGTCCTACTAGTCAACAATCACGCGAGAGAATTCGGCCGCGACTCGATCCTGCTATTTGTCTGGATCATGGTGGCGATCGGTTTTCTGGATACCCTGGCCGATCCCGAGGAGGGCCGGCGCGTGCTGACAAGCTGTGGCGTCAAGATGACTCGACTCCGCAGCACTCTGACCGCCCTGCTGGTATGGTTCGTACTAGTGTCTCTCGTTCGGACGCTCGCGATCACCGTCTTCGAGGTCGTCACTGACTTCAATGCTGAACGCGGGAACCCGGAAAACGGGAAAGTCTGAATTTGTATGTAATATGTCTTTCTTTGAGTGTATCTTCGCCGCCGCCGCCCGCCCGCCGCGTCGACGAATCCTGTAGCTCTTTGCTTGCTAGGTCTTACAGGCCGCTAGCCTGGGACCTAGTGGCGTGTAAGACACTAGCCAAGCGCTCTCCGAAACTCGCAGGCGTCCTAGCTCGCTCACGCAGCGTGCCAGCGAGCGACTTACTCACAGCACTCACAGGAATCAATATATTCACGGCGCGCAGCAACTCCGCCATTTAGTAGACGGCGCGCAGCCCTCCGCCCTACGCAGCCGAAACCATGCTAAAACGAGCGCTGCTGCTCCTCCCACTTGCGGCCCTGGCCGACGCCGGGCTCCGCATCTCAGTCACGTCAAAATTCGCATCAAATGCAACCACAGAAAACAGCGCGCTGGACCGCCTCGCCCGCGCGCAGCGGTTGAGAGATGATCTAACAATAGACGAAAAGCCCACTGCGCTCGGCGGCTGGACCGTCGAGGTCGTCGCGCGGTCGACGGAGTACGAGAAAGTCGAAGAAAATGATGAGGTGGACGACGAGGCCGCGGCGGAGATTTCCGTAGATTCGCCCCAGCTCGAACTGTCGGAGAAGCGTATCCGAGCCTTGCCCTACCGCGTCGCGCGCGACGTGAAGCGGCACGACGACCCGTTGAAAAGGTGGCGTATTTTAACAGAGGACTTCCCGGCGTACCGCAAGGGTCTGGCGGGGCCCATGCCCAAGCTTTCTGGAGAGAAGCTCGTCGAGGGGTGGGCGATGCCTTCGACAGATCACCTGTGGGTCTGCGGCACGGACGTCGTCGTGCGAAAGCATGCGCCGTACGACGTCGTGCGGGACGCGTTCCGCGCCGTCGATGTCCATGAGAACCGCGTCGCGGAGCTTGGACAGGTGGGCCTGTCGTTGGAAGACTTAGCAGCAAAACCGAAGCCGCCCGCGCGCCTCGTCCCCGTAAACGCTCTGGATGGCGGCGTCGCCCAGGTCTATGAACTATATGATACGCGCTGGGACGACGACGAAGAGCAGCGAGAACCGGTACGGGTCCAGTTCGTCGTCGACCCCTCGCGCAAGGGCCACGTCTCGGCCATGCTCGAGTCCATCAAGAAGTTCTGGGATCTTGAGGATGAGACTATCAGGGAGAACACGCCGGTGATTATCAAGGGGTATCTGTTGGATGCAAGGTGCCGCGCGGCGTTGGCCTGGCTCCAGTCGTTGACGAGGCCCTACCCGGCCAAGAGACGCTTCCTGGAGGCGCTGCAGTTCCGGGTGTATGGCGATTTGGAGGATGCTCATATTTTATCTTCGCTGAAGAAGGCTATGGATAAAAAAGACAAGAACGTGCCGCTGCCGGACTTGCAGGAGTTGGTGAATAGGATCGGTCCTGGCTTTGATGAGGACTACGCGTCGTACGGCTTGGAGAGCGCATCGCCTCCCTTCTTACTCGCCGACGGGCGCCTCGTCGAGCTCGACCCTTCGGAACCTGAAAATGCGGGCGCGACGGCGGCCGCGGCGATTGATAGGGTCGCGAACCGCCACATTGATGACGAGGGCGATAGCGCACCTTTCTACCACCCTATATTAACGCCGCGCGTGCGGATCTGGCCCGAGTCGGATACGACCAAGGAGCGGCTGTTCTCCCATGAGTTTCCTACGGCAGATGCGCCGGACCCGCGCGTGCCGACGCTCTACGCGGACGAGTCGTCATCGTCCCAAGCCTGGGAGCGGGCCTTGCTCGTCGCGCGGCCCGACACCGTTGTGGTGAGGGACGCGCCGCCGCCGAAGAAAGTCTCCAAGAAGAAGCGCAAGTTACTCATGAAAAGGCCCTTCCTCGCCTGCCGCGGTATCGTGACGGAATTGACAGAAACGGCCTTCCCCGCGACGCATCACGCCCCCGCGGTGACGGCGGCGCTCCTACCGTGCGCCCGCACGCTGGCGGCCGTCGACGACCGGCCGACGTGGGAGCCCGCGCTCCATGCGGCGCCGTCCCAGCTCAAGCATGTTTTCAAAGGCGACACATATAAGGAGGCACTCGCGGTCGTGGACCCGGTGGCGCGCGCGGCGCCCGTCGTCGCGCGGATCCTGGAAGTGTTGCGCGACGACCTCGGCTTCTCCGTCACCCTCGCCTTCGCCCCGCGTCCCGAGGGCGGCGACCTGCGGACCTGGGCGCGGACCTCGATGTACGGCGAAGAGGTACTCATACCGCAGCGCGTCCTCGGTACTTCTGGTAAAATGCGCCTGGCGCTACGAAAACCGGAGACGTGGCGGCTCAGTACTGATACGGACGTGGACGTGTCGAATTTTTCACCATCGGAGGCCGATGGAGTTGTTTCGTACGACGTCGACGCGTTGGTGGTACAGGGCAAGACTTCTCGAAAACGCTTCGCGGCTTTTGAAGACGTCCACAAGAGGTGCGTCGTCGTTAATGGTAGGGAGGTGCCCTCGCTGAACGGCGACTACTCCATCACCCTAGAAGACGATCTGACGGCGCGGATCGGATCCTCAAACGTAACCATAAGGGAGATGCACCCCCACGCCCTGCCGCTACGTTCCGCGTACGAGGTGGGCAACTGCACGGCCACCAAAAGTGATGACGGCCGCGTCCACGTCTTCTCCGTCGCCTCCGGTTCTATGTACGAGCGCTTACTAAGGGTCATGATGGGCTCCGTCGTCCTGCACGCCTCAAAGCCGGTGACGTTTTGGCTGTTGCGCGAGTTTCTGTCGTCAACATTTTTGGAGGACGTGCCGGCGCTCGAACGAGCCTTGGAGGCGCAGATAAGATTTCCCCCGGCCATAAGCTGGCCCGAGTTCCTGATCGACGGCGAGGGCGCGAAGATCGGCATCCGGGACGACCTCCAGAGATTAGTCTGGGCGTCGAAATTATTATTTCTGGACGGGCTGTTCCACGCGCACCAGCGTATTGTCTTCGTCGACGCCGACGCCGTTGTTGTTGGTGATGTTGCCGAGCTATTAACGCTGAATTTGGGCATGGCGCCCTACGCGATGGCGCCGTTCTGTAGTGGTGAAAATATGAACGAAGCCACAAAGGGCCACCGCTTCTGGGAGTCCGGTTTCTGGCAGAACCATCTGGAGCCGCACAACGAAACTTATAAAATTTCTGCTTTATTTGTCGTGGACATCTCCACGTTCGGGATGATAGGCGACGGCCTGCGCACGACGTACCAGTACATGGGGCCCGATGCCAACAGCCTGCAGAATTTGGACCAGGACCTGCCGAACTACCTGAACGGCGGCGACCGCCGGAGCGTCGCCCTGGCGTCACTTCCCCAAGAATGGCTCTACTGCGAGTCGTGGTGCAACGCGCGCGCGAAGGCGAAAGCCAAGGCCTTCGACATGTGCCAGAACCCGGCGACGAAGGAGTATAAATTGGATGTGGCGCGGCGCGTCGCGGACCCGCTCTGGTCGGCCCTGGACGGCTACTTCGCCTCGACGATGGCCGAGCCCGTGTCCGTCGCCGTCAGGGCGCCCGCGGGGTCGTCCTGGAAGTGGTCCGTGCGCGGGGCGGGCGGCTCCGCCGGCGACGAGCTCTGATGTTGCGCCAGCGAATCCAAGCAGGCGCGTGAGCGAGAGGGTCGAGCCGTGGATGACGCCCGTGGCGCCCATCAACTGGACCCAGGTGCCGATGGTCGACATGGTGCCCTCCCACTCGCCGCACTTGCCGACGTTCTCGGCCCGGTAGATATTAAGTGTTTAGTTAATTAGTCGCTGTCGTCCCAGCCACTGTCGTCGTCGTCGTCCGAGTCGCTCTCGTGGCGCTGCATCGCGGCGATGCGGCCGCGGCGCTCCGCCAACTTGGCCGCGATCTCCGACATGAGGTCGCCCTGCTTCTGAACGGGCTTGAGCTTCCGCTGCGACGCGTGGCGGAGCGTCACGCCGCCGCGCAGCTGGTCGCAGAGCGTCGGCGCGAGGCCGCCGCCGCGCGTCGGCGCGGGTGGCGGCGCCTTCTTGAGCGTCGCGGCGCCGCCTTTGATGCCCGCTAAAAGGCCTTGCGGCGGCGCGGGCCGAGCCGGCGCCTTCTTCAGCGTCGCCGCGCCGCCGGCAATGCCCGCCAAGAACGACGGGGGACCGGGCCGGGCCGCGGCAGGCGCGGGTCCGGGCGGCGCCGCCGCGGCGGGCGTGGGGCGCAGTTTTGTCGCTTGGCCCTGGATACCGCCGAGGAACGCAGGAGCCGGTCGTCTGGGCGGCGCCGCGGCAACTGGCGGCGCGGGATCGGCCGGCGACGGCGGCGCCTGCGCGTCGAAGAACTCGTCGTCGACGCTCGGCTCGCGCGCCGGGGGCCGCGGCGGCAGCGGCGGGGCCTCCCCCGCTTCTGGCTGCGCTTCGGCCGGCGGCGGCGCCTGCGGAGCCGCCCCGGCCGGCACGAACGCCCCGTTGCGGCACCACCGCAGCCGGAGCTGGAGATCGCCGCCGTCCGAGAGCTTGAGCCAGCCCGTCGAGTCCTCGTCGGGCTTGAGCACGTCCAAGGGTACGGTCAACACGCCTCGCGCCGTCGCGCGGCCCAGCAGCCCTCCCCCCTTGTGGAACGCGGTGATCACGAGCGAGGCGCCGGACGGGGCTCGAAAGGAGAGCTCCGGCGGGACGCACGTCGCCGCGTCCACGAACGCGCAAGTCACGCCGGGGTACGCCGCCACGGCCTTCGCGGAGTGCTTCGTCTCGAACCCGGGCAGCGCGACGGACGCCTTGAGCTTGATGGTCACCGCCGCATCCTTCTCCGCGTCGCCCGTCGCGCCGACGGCCCGGCCCGCGAAGACCGTCACCTCGAGCATGTCTGTTTCGGCGCCGCGCCGCGCCGCCGCGCGCTCCGCCGCCTGGTCGAGCACCCAGGGCGGCGGCTCGGCGAGGACGCGGAAGGGCCGCGCGTGCGGATCCTCGGCGCGCTCCCGGCACCGGAGGCTCAGGACGTGCTCGGAGCCATCCTCGAAGCGGCAGCGGTGGGCCGCGCCCTCCCTACGTAGTATATGCACGTCGGCCTCGGCGCTTCCGTCGAGGGCGACGAGGCGCGCGTAGCGGTGCCGCAGTTTTTTTTCCGACGTGTCCGCGGCCGCCCCGAGCGCGACGTAGACGGCGGCGGGGTCCTCGCCGGCCTCGACCCGCAACACGACGCGCGTCGGCGTGTTTTGGGCCCCGCAGTTCACTTGCACGATGCGTGACAGCGGCGGGACGGCGACGCGGTCGCTCGTCGCCTTGGCGCCGAACCGGACCTCGAGGTGCATGCCCCGCACGGGGAGGCGGCAGGTCTTCTGGGTGCGGTAGGCCTCCTCCAGCAGCGCGTTCGTCGCGGCGTCGTAGGCATGGAAGGTGCCGCTGCCGTCGCGGTGGTAATAGGCGGGATCGGCGGCCATGGTTGTGGGGTCGCGAGGCTGCCCCTGAGTAGCACGGCTCTGCTGCCCTTTGTGTTGCGAGCGGTGCCTCGCTTGTTGCAGAGCCTCGCTGCGCGACTGTCCGCACTTGTGGGCAGCCTTTACTTGCAATTACGAGGCCGCGGGCCGAAAAATTATCCTGCCAAAGCATGGGAAGTGTGAGAGATCCTAGTAGGTGCTCGGTCTTCGACTCCCCGGCAGAGGTGCGTTGGCCACCGTCTCTGCCGCAGCCGGTGCCAAAACGAGCTCGCTGGCAAAAAGAGAAAAACCCGCTTCTCAGGCAACCTGGATGGGCATCTCCGAGACGCCGGAAAAAAGGCCTTAATAATTTGCAGGCGGGGTCCGCAAACAGTTCGACCACCGCCAAAGCCGGTTCGACCACCGCCAAAGCCACAGCCCAGCCATGTCTGCCAACGTTGCCAGCGCCGACGCCGAGGCCAAGCCCAAGCGCCCGGCCAGCAAGGGCCGCCGCAAGTACCCGCCGAAGTCGCAAAAGGCCAAGGAGGCGTCGCGCGCGAAGTACCTCGCGAAGAAGCTCGCGAGCGGCGACGAGCTCACCGAGGCGCAGCTGGCCAGCGTCGAGGAGCTCGGCGGCCGCGACGCCGTGCTCGAGCGCGAGGCGAAGCGCAAGGAGCGCGCCGCGGCGCTCGAGCAGGCGAAGGCCGACGTCAAGCGCGATCACCCGCACCAGGCCTACGTGAGCGGGCTGCCCGCGTCCACGACGTCCGAGGGCGGCCTCGCGGCGCTGCGGGCCGAGGTGCCGGGCGTCTCGCACTTCGTCGCCGTGCGCGACCGCCAGACCGACGAGTGCCGCGGGTTTGGGTTTGCGGTGCTCGACTCGAAGGCGTCGCTCGACGCGCTCGTGGCCCTCGACGGCGCGGAGGGGCTGCTGGGCTGCGAGGAGGCGCTGAAGGTCTCTGCCGCGCGCAAGCTCATGGACCCGACGAAATCCCGCGGCGACGGCGACGGCGCCAAGCCGAAGCCGCGCCGGCCGCGGCCGCCGCGCAAGCCGAAGCAGGCCGCGGCCGAGGACGCCTGAGCGGGGGCAGACTTGTTGACTACTACTACCGTAAGACGAAATGATTTTTCTCAAGAAACAAGGTGGTGTAGGAGTCCCTCGCCCGGGCGGGCGAGCAAGTGTCTACGACCGCTCGATGAGCTCGTCGAGCTGCGCGGCGCGCCGCCGGGCCCTGAGCCCCTGGCGCTTCAGGCCGCGCACGTACTGGGCGAGCGCGCGGTCCTCGGCCGTGGCGCCCGACACGTCGTCGGCGTCGCCGTACGCCTCGGCGTCCTCGACGACGTCCGCGTAGGCCGCGGCCGACTCCTCGAGCCCCGCGGCGCGGCCCTCGAGCGCCGACTTGATGTCGATGAGCTGCTCGACGTCGCAGGCCTCGTCGCCCTCGGCGCAGTACGCCGTCGCCGACTGGAGGATCTCGAGCGACGCCGCCTCCCAGTTCACGACCTGGGGCTCGCCGTGGACGGCCTCGCGGCGGACGCGGCGCTGCGTCTGCCGGAAGTGGCCCTGGATGAAGGCTTGGCTGGTGGTTGAGAAAGTCGACAGCGTGGAGAAGGCCAGGGATACCAGTTTCTGCATGGTGATACCCCGGACACGCTGTTGGCCCCGATTCTGCTTGGCTCCTGCCTGAGTCGGCTGTTTTTGCTTGGCTCCTGCTGGACTCCTGCTCGACTCCTGCTCGACTCCTGCTCTCTGGAAGGTCTAGGCCGGGCGCGGAGGATCTGGCTTCTTCGCAGCGTGTCAAGGGCGCGCGTCGGGCAGCTCTCCAAAAACCTGCCTGTTCGGGGTGGTCCCGAGGCGTCGGTACTGCCGTTGGCACTTTTGCTCTGCGTTCCGAATTTGCTAGTGTCTTACAGACGCTAGCAATTTACGCGGAGCTCTTGGACGCGGGTCTACGCCCCGGGCGGTAGCAATTAGGTAGCAATCTCAAAGACCCTATCTTGCTTGAACCGTTAGAGACCCATTTTGCGAGTACATTCAAATTTAACGCAGGGACGGATCAACACATAAACACAAGGTCACCGCCCCCGCCGCCGCTTCTTCGCGCCCCCAAAGCGCGCGAAGCCCATCTCGAGCAGGAGCGCGTCGTCCTCGGCGGAACGCGGCCGTCGCCGCGCCGCGGCGGGCAGCGGCGCGCCGCCGACGCCGCGCGCCGCCCGCAGCGGCGCCTCGACCGGCGTCGCGGCGCCCCCCTCTAAGCGGAGAGGCGCGCGCATGGGCACGTTGGGAAAGCAGCCGAAGCGGACCGCGTCCGCATCATCGACAGCTCCCAAATTCGCCGACCGCGCGTGGAGCAGCAGGGGGTGGGCCAGGACGACGTCGCCGGCGCGGCCCGAAGCCTCAACTATAAAAGGCGGGGGCTCGCCGACGGCCGCGCGCGCGAGCGCGGAGAGGCGCGGACCGCCGACGCCGGCGGGCCCCGCGCGCGCGAGGAGCGCCGCGACCGCGCGGTGCGAGCCCGGCGCGAGCGCCGTGCCGCCGCCGCCCGGGGCCACGTCCGAGAAGAGGAGGATCGGCGCCAGGCCGATTTCCGGCGAGGCGAGCGTGTGCGCGAAGTGCGCGCCGTCGACGTGCCACGCGCCCGCGCCGCCGCGCGCCGGGAAGTTTATGACCCACCACCCGAGACCCGGCCTTTCCCATCGATCCTCGCCGCAGAGCTGGTCGACGGCCGCCACGAGGCGCGGCGACCAGCACGCCGCCCAGGGCGCGCCGAGGTCGTCGCCACCGTACGCCTCGGCGAGGCCGACGCGGCCGCCCTCCGCTTTCGCCCACGTCGCCGGCTCGTCCTTTCGTATGCCGCGGTCCCCTTCCAATTTGGCCCAGAGGGCGTCCCGGCAGGCAAGGGCCACGGCCCGCGGGACGGCGTCCCGGAGCACCACGAAGCCGTCTCTGTCAAACGCCGCGAGGTCCGCTGCTGAGAGTGGCGGCGGCATCGGTCTCTGCCAGCACTTGTGGCCCCTCGCAGCCGCCGGAGATGCAAACGCTGCACCAATTTAACCGAAAAAACAGCCTCGCAGCCGGCTGCACAGGCTGCCACAGAGTTTTAGTTTGTTGATTTTTTACTTGTCCTAGGGGTCTACGGACTCCTCGTCGTCGTCGCTCACTGGCAGGAAATCCTCGCTCGCCCGGTAGCGCCGGCACTCCTCGCTCGGCGACCACGCCGTCGGCTCGTCCAGGGGCGACCCTAGCGAGTGGCTGTGGCCCGACGTGCCGCAGCGCTCGCGCTGGAAGGCCCGCAGGCGCGCCGTGTAGTTCGCCAGGGCCCTGTCCACGCCCCCGGCGCCCCCGAAGACGCAGCGCGCCCGCGCGAGGAGCGCCGCCTCCGCGCGTCGATGGACGACGGCGTCGAGGCGATTCTTCGCCGCGATCACGCGGACCGCGTCCGCGGCGCTCGCGCGCACGGCGTCGAGGCGGGGCGCGCCGACCACGGAGTTCCGCCGGCAATAGTCGACGTCCAGGTCCGGGAAGAGTCGCCCGAGCAACAAAAGCGACAAATCAAAGTGCTCCACGACACCCACGAAGAGGTCCGGCGACGCCAGGAGCTCGTCCACGCGCCGCCCGTACGCCTCGGCGCCCGCCGGGCACACGTCCGCGGGCGCCTTCGTCCTGTTCCCGGCTTCCGCGTCGAAAACGCCGTCGCCCTCGGCGGGCCCCTTGCTCCGCCCGCGCGCGCCCCACGAGAAGCCGCGGAGCTTCTGGAGCGAGAAGCCGCGCGCGCGCCCGCCGAGCCGCCGCCGCGCCGCGCAGGCGCCGAGCGCCGCGCCGCCGAGCATGTACTGGTGCTGGTTGTTGGCCCGCGCGCTCGCCCGCGCGTACTCCAGCAGCGTCGCGCAGCGCGCCTTGCGCGTCTTCTTGCTCTTGTCGCTGCCCGTCGCGCGCCAGTACCAGTAGCGCGACAGCGTCCGCGAGACCGGCTCGCGCACGAAGGTGACGACGAACTCGCGCTTCGCGCCGGCCGCGCGCAGCACCTTTGCGAGCGGCGGCCGGCTCGAATGCATCTCGCGCGCGTGCGTCACGTTCTTCAGCATGGCGCGGATCGTGATGCCGGCGTTCTTGTGCTGATGATAGTGCGCAATGCTGCGGCCCGCCGCGTCGGGCTCGCCGCACATGGCAGCAAGGCCGCCCGGCAGCAGCAATACGGCGACGAGCGCCGCCATAGCTGCTTACCCAATTGCGGCGCGTAGGGCCCATACGACTGCGATTTTGCGCAGGTCGCTGCTCCGCAGTGCCCGCGCTGCCGCTGGGCGAGCGGTGTCACTAAAAACCACCTATGCGGGCCGTAAATGAGGCTGGCTACGACCCTCGGAGCCCTTGCCCAAGGTTGGGACCCGGGAACCCGAGCTAGCGGCATGTAAGACACTCTAGAGCTACATCTCAGAAAAAATCGGGTGCGGTACGCGCGCTCCCATCGAGGTAGCTGTGCGCTGTGTCTGCTGCCCAGACAGTCCGCACGCACGCAGCGCATCCATCCTGCGCGGCCGCTCAGGGAGAACCCCTACAGCTAGTTTGGCAGCGCCGCTGCGACGGGCGTGCATGAAACGCGGCCGACCCATGACTAGCTACTATGAATTGCTCGGCGTCGATAAGAAAGCAGACGACGCGGCGCTGAAGAAGGCGTACCGCAAGGCGGCCGTGAAGTGGCACCCCGACAAGCACGCGTCGAAGCCGGAGGCGGAGCAGAAGAAGGCCGAGGAGAAATTCAAGGAGATCGCGGAGGCCTACGACGTGCTGAGCGATCCGCAGAAGCGCCAGATCTACGACGTCTACGGCGTCGAGGGCCTCAAGGGCGGGTCCGGGCCGGCCGACGAGGCCTACGCCGAGGCGGCGTCGCGGCGCGCGGGCTCGACGGCGGGCTTCGCGGGGACGGCGCCGGGCGGCGGCATGCGCTACGAGTTCCGCGGCGACCCGTCCGAGATGTTCGCGCAGTTCTTCGGCGCGGGCTTTGCGCGGCAGCGGTCCGCGGGCGAGGGCGGCCTCGGCGGCATGGGCGACCTCTTCGGCGGCGCGGGCGGCGCGCGGCGCGAGGGCCAGCGGCTCCAGCGGCCCGTCGTCCAGGTCGCGCTCGGCTGCAGCCTCGAGGACCTCTACCGCGGCTGCACGAAGAAGCTCAAGATCACGCGCAAGAGCACGACGCTGACGCGGCCGGCGGAGAAGGTCCTCGAGGTGCCCATCAAGCCGGGCTTCAAGGCCGGCACGAAGATCACCTTCAGCGGCGACGGCGACGAGGTGGCGCCCGGCGTGGCCCAGGACATCCAGGTCGTCGTCCGCGAGAAGCCGCACGACCGCTTCGTCCGCGAGGGCGCGGACCTGCACCTCAAGCACGCGATCTCGCTCGCGGATGCGGTTTGTGGGCTCTCGTACCTCGACGTGCGATCGCTAGATGCGGCGCCACGTGTGATGTGAAGTGTGGAAATCAACCAGTGAGGCGGGGGCTACCGCCGCACCATCGAGCAGGCGCCGCGTCGATGGCGTGGAGGTTATGATTCAGCCGTATGATTACACAGGTTCTGCGGGTCAACTTCAAGGGCGTCGCCATCACGCCGGCGACGTCGAGGGTCGTCGCCGGCGAGGGCATGCCGCGGCGCGGCGGCGGGAGGGGAGACCTCGTCATCACCTTCGACGTGCGCTTCCCGGCCGCGCCCGTCGCGGACCCGGCGAAGCAGGCGGCGCTCCGCGGCGCGCTCGAGTGAGCGCCCGGGCTCTCCACCTCACGGCGGCGGTATAATATATATGATGTTATAGTACTCCTGCGGCCTTCCGGACGGGTCGGGTGTCGCTCGGGGCGGGTCCGCGGCGCCTCCCACGCCCGGCGCGGGCGGCGAGGCCTGCGCGGAGCCCACCGCCGCGCGGGACGCCGCGCCGGCTTTTCTAGGGAAATTCAAGTAGGCAAGTATCGAGTAGTTACACAGGTTTCAAAGTTTGGAGGGGGCAGCACTGGCTGACTAAAGGCTATCGAAAAGGCAGCCCAATCATGGCCGCGCTGCGAGCGAGCCCCGAGGCGGCATAGCTAGCACATGCGCGGGTGGCGCGGCGGCGCCGCGGCGCTGCTGGTGGCCGCGGTGCTGCTGCCGGCGCCGCTGCTGCTGAAGCGCCGCGCGGCCGCACCGGCCGACGAGTGGCGAGGCGCGGACGGCGAGGACGTGGACCGCGCGCTCGCGCCGCGGCGCCGGCTGGGCACTAGTGAAGAGCTGGCCCCCACTAATCGAAGTTTGCACCCGACAGGCACCGAGTGCTCGGAGGTACAGTTCGAGCAGAAGGCCGCCATAAACGACGTCACCGTGAGCAACTGGGAGGACTACGAGTGGTTCCAGGTCCGGGCCGCCGACATCGACGGCGACGGCACCGACGACGTGGTGGCGGTCGAGATTGCGGAGGTAAACGAGCTCCACTGGTACGAGACGGACGCGTCGACGGCGACGTTCACCGACCACAAGATCAATGAGTACGCCAACCAGGGCGGGGGCCTCGGCGTCTCCGTCGTGGATTTGGACGACGATGACGACGTGGACATTCTCGTGTCGGCGGCGGAGAAGGCGGGGCTCGCCTGGTACGCGAATGGCGGCGATGGGTCGTCCTGGACGGAGGGCATCATCGTAGCTGAGAAGGTTTTTCCTGATTATTCATATTCATATTCAGAACCTCATGATATGGAGACGGTCTTTGCGGTCGACGTGGACGACGACGGCCACGTGGACGTCGTCACCGCGAGTAGATTCGAAGGGGCAGAGGAGATCTTGCTGTACCGCAACGACGGTTCCCAGAACTTTGGCAGCGCGGTCGTCGTTGCTACGGCCGACACGCCGAGCGTCTACGCGACCGACGTCGACGGCGACGGAAAGGTCGACGTGATCTACGCCGATGCGGAAGAGAAGGTGTCTTATTACGCTCAGGGTACCGATTACACGATTTGGGGCTCGGAAATCAACATCGACAACGGCCGCAAAGAGGCGATGTGGGTCGTCGCCGCGGACCTCGACGGCGACGACGACGTGGACGTGCTCTGCGCCGATCCACAAAAAAAAAGAAAGGAAATCGTCGTGTACGAGAACGTGGCCGGCGACGGCAGCACGTGGGACGATAAGAAGTACGCCACGGGGAAGGTGTCGTCGGTGGAGTTGTTCGACGTCGACGGCGACGGGGACCTGGACTTCGTCGGGGCCGTCGAAGAGGAAATGGTCTGGTGGGAAAGGGCTGGCGGTGCTCTCAGCGACGGTGAAGGCGACGGCAAAGCCTTCAAGAAAGACGGTTTCACGGTGGACAACGACGCCGATGAGGTCATCACGACCATCACCGCGCTCGACATCGACGCGGACGGCGACCTCGACGTCGTCGCGGCCGAGACCAATAAGCTCACCTGGTACGAGAACGACTGCACCATCGCGCCCACGCCTGCACCATCAGCGACCCCCACGATCTCGTTAGAGCCGACGGTCTCGTTCCAGCCGACGCCGGGTCCCACCATCACGTTCAAACCGACGCATCTGCCGACGGAGCGGCCGACCATGAAGCAGTTCCACTGCGCGGAGAACGCGTTCGACGTGACGCACAAAGTCGACGAGCCATTGCCTAGCGGCTGTATGTCGGACAGTTCGTGTACCTACGACGGAGCCAAGACGAACATGGCGATATTTGCCATCGACATGGACGGCGACTATGACGTGGACTTTTTGGCCACGAACGCGGGCAATGACGCGGTGGCGTGGTATACCAACGATGGCTACGAGGATTTCACAAAGGTTACGATTACGGATACAAGCCAGGGATCTTACAAGGTCAACGGGGCAGAGGACGTGTTCGCGATCGACGTCGACGGCGACGGCGAAGTCGACGTGCTCTCGGCGTCTTCTAGCGACCATAAGATCGCCTGGTGACGAATGTGCAGAACTCAATTTTTCCGGTCCCTTCATCGACGTCTCGATTGCATCGAGCGTCGACTCCCTGTCGACGTCTCGCGTCCGTCCGACACGTCGCACCGGCCAACTTCCGTGCAGGTACGAGAACTACGGGAACGCCGGATGCTCCAACAACGGCGCCTCGTGCTCAGAGGACTCTGACTGTTCTACTGGAAACACGTGCGTACTTGCCAGCTTCGAGGACGGGACCGGGCTCCCGTCGACGAGAGTGATTACGACGAGCGCCAATACGGCGAAAGCGGTCGTCGCGGTCGACGTCGACGGCGACGGCCACATCGACGTCATCAGTGCGGCGAAGTCTGTCTCTGGCGGCGGCAACGGCATCAGCTGGTACCGAAGCGACGGCGCGCAGCCACCGACGTTCACGGGATACGTCATCGACGCGGCACCGGACGACGCGTTGGCGGTGCTGGGGGTGGACATCAACGGGGACGAGCACGTGGACGTAATAGTTGCCGAAAATGCAGACAACAGGATCACGATGTGGACTAGCAACGGGGCGGCGAACACACCGACCTTCACTGAGGCGATATCGCAGGCCGGGTGCTCGGGCGTCATGGACATCTTCGCCGTCGATATGGATGGCAACGGTATCATGGACGTGCTCACGGCGGAGGAGACCAGTGACGCGATCGCCTGGCACACCGGGGTGCCGGACGGCAGTGTTCGATGTTCGACCACCAGGGGGACCACCTGTTCTGCCGACGCTGACTGCCCAACTGGGGAAACTTGTAGCAGCCCCGGAATCGTGATCGCCCGCACGATCGTCACCATGTCGGACGGCTACAGCGGCTACGTAGGTACCGGGTGCTACGTCGACGCTTGCGACTATTCGATTTGGGACGAGTCGGCCGGCATGAGCGGCGCTGACAAGATCCAGTCGGTCTGGGCCGTCGACCTGGACGGCGATAATACCATAGACGCTCTCTCGGCCTCCCTCAACGACGACACGATCGCCTGGTACCAGAACGACGGCACGTCGCAGAAGTTCATTAAGTACCTCATCACCGACGAAGCCAGCGGCGCGAGCTCGGTCCTCGCGATCGACGTTGACGGTGACGGCGACATCGACGCCGCCTCCGGGTCCACGTCCAGCGACACGATCGAGTGGTACGAGGACGACTGCGAGACCTTCGCGCCGACGTCCGAGCCGACGGCGGTGCCGACGACCGTGCCGACGCTGGTGCCGACGGGCGTGCCGACGAAGGTCCCCACGGCGGTGCCCTCCGACGCGCCGACGCCCTCGCCCACCATCTCGCACCCGCCGACCTTTGCGCCGTCGCCCCTGCCGTCGCCCCTGCCGTCCGTGCCGCCGACGTCGCAGCCGTCGCCCGAGCCCACGCTGGCTCCGACGCAACTGCCGTCCACCGTGCCCACGGCCGTGCCGTCGTCCACGCCGACGCCGAAGCCCACGCCCCGGCCGACGCCGATCCCGACGCCGCAGCCGACGCGGGAGCCGACGTTCGCGCCGACGAAGCTGCCGACGTCCGTGCCCACGGCGCACCCGACGACGCCGCCGTCGCCCGCGCCGTCCGTGCCGCCGACGCCCGCGCCGTCGCGGACGCCCACGTCGCCGCCGACGGGGAGCACGCCCCCGACGCCCGTGCCGAGCCTGCTCCCGACGTCCCTCCCGACGCCGCTGCCCTCCTTCAGCTGCAATGCCGACGAGGTCGCCCTGTCGCGGCGCTACTTCCCCTCGGGCGCGGCCTGGGGCGACCCCGACGAGGACAAGCAGTCGACGGAGCAGAGCGAGGTGCTGATTCTGAGCGACGACTCGACGGCGAGCGGCGAGGCCGCGCGCTATCGGCTGAAGCTGGCCGCGAGCGACGCCGCGGCAGGCGACAACTTCGGCGGCGCCATCGGCATCGACGGGCCGTCCGTGGCCATCGAGGGCGACACCATCGTAGTCGGGGCCACCCAAGCCGGCAACGGCGGCCCAGGTGTAGCCTACGTCCTACGGGCGAGCGACGGCGCCCAGCTGGCCAAACTGACGGCCGCCGACGGCGCTGCGGGCGACAAATTCGGCCAATCCGTGGCGATCAGCGGCGACACCATTGTCGTCGGGGCCGCGGGTTGCGATCATGGTGGGTGCGAAAATATTCCAGGCGCGGCCTACGTCTTCCGCACGAGCGATGGCTGGGACACGTACACGGAGATCAAGCTGACGGCCCCCGACGCCGCGGGATACGACGGCTTCGGCTTCTCCGTGGCGATCGACGGAGGCACTATAGTCGTCGGTGCCTTCCGCAACGACGACGTTCCCAACAACTCGGGATCGGTCTACGCCTTTCGGCTCACAAATACCTACGAGGCGAGGACCTACAGTGCCGACTGCACCGCGCCGGGCACGTTCACCTACGAGGGCCGCACGCTCCACTGCGTCGAGCTGCCGAGCGGCGAGCTCGTCGACGTCCTCGAGGAGGAAGGAGGTACGCAGACGTGCCAGTACACGGACACGAACTCCTGCCCCGCCGGCTACGACATCTGGGTGCCGCGGAGCTACGAGCACGCCGCGGCCGTCGTCGACGCCGTCGAGGACAAATTCACCAACCTCCTTGGCGTGTATCGCGAGGAGAACGGCTGTGGCGGCTGCGTCCTCGAGGCGATGAATTCCGACGCCTACGACGAGTGGGTGGCGGAAGGTACAAATCGCGTCCCGTGGACGAGCGTCGCGGGGAAACCGTGGTTTGTTCGGGAGACGGCGTACTCACAGCCCTTGGCCAGCTATAAAGCGGGCTGCTGGCTCACGACGGCCTGGGACGGGGGCTGGCAAGGGACGACGATCGACGGTGAACGCATCGGCTTTAACTTCGACGACTTTCCAAACCAGTGCCTCTATTGCTTCACCGACTACCTCTGCTCCCGCAACGGCGCAGAAGCCTTCCTCGCGACCGTCGGCACGTACGACCAGGTGGTCAAGCTGACGGCCTCTGACGCCGCGGCGGGCGACAACTTCGGCCAGTCCGTGGCGATCGCCGGCAACACCATCGTGGTCGGAGCCACCCAAGAAAGCAACCAGGGCACGGGCTCGGCCTACGTCCTCCGCACGAACGACGGCGGCGCCACCTACGCCCAGGTGGCCAAGCTGACTGCAAGCGACGCTGCGACGAAAGACAAATTCGGCAGGTCCGTGGCGACGGACGGCCAAAAAGTCGTGGTCGGGGCCATGCATAACGACGGCCCCTCAGACTCGGGCTCGGCCTACGTCTTCCTTACGACCGACGACTGGAACACGTACACGGAGATCAAGCTGACGGCCCCCGACGCCGCGTCGGACGACCACTTCGGCAAATCCGTGGCGATCGACGGTGACACCGTCGTGATCGGGCGCCCCCAATGGTACAACGACGGTTCGGGCTCAGTCTACCTCTTCCTTACGACCGACGGCGGCGCCACGTACGCCCAGTTGGCCAAGCTGACAGCCCCCGACGCCGCGGCGAAAGATATGTTCGGCTGGTCCGTGGCGATCGACGGCGAAACCGTCGTGGCCACGGCCCCCTATGTCGACGACGCCGGCGCCAATTCGGGCTCGGCCTACGTCTTCGCGACCCCGTACGGGTCCGTGCTGCGCGCGCACGACGGCACGACGGCGGACCGCGAGTACGACTGCATACCCCGGGACATCGGCTGCGTCAAGGTCAACTTCGAGTTCCCCTCGAACTTCTACAACGTTGCCGACCCGACCAAACGGGCGGGCTACGAGGTGACGGTCGCCGGCGAGAGCCTCCGCTGGGACAACGCGCACCAGGAGCCGACCGGCTTCCTCACGTTCTGCGTCTTCGACGGCCGGATCGTGGGCGAGCCGACGCCGGCGCCGACGATCTCCAGCCTCCCCACGCCGGTCCCGACGTCGCTGCCGACGCCGAGCCCGTCGCCGCAGCCGACCGTCTCCAAGGCGCCCACGTTCGCCCCGACGCCGGCGCCGTCGCCCTCGCCGACGAACGCGCCGACGGCCGCGCCCACGCGCGCGCCGACGGCGGCGCCGTCGGCGGCGCCGACCTACGGCATGTACCTCGTCGCGCTCGAGATCCGCTTCGACGTGACGTACTGCGAGGAGTGCGGCGGCTACTTCATCACCTTCCCCGACGGCCGGCGGCGCCACGGGCGCCGCCTCGCGTCGACGACGATCAACTCGCTGACCATCGAGGAGATCCTGAGCCTGCCCGAGGACCAGGTGAACTTCAACGTCGAGTGCTCCCTGAGCGGCATCACGTCGGAGGGCTGCGTCGCCCCGTTCCCGACGCTGCTCAGCGTCACGTACCTGCCCGACGCGGACGCCTGGGCCGCCGCCGGCGCGACGGCCACGACGCTCGCGGCGGCGACGCAGGGGGGGTCCTTCTCGGGGGGCGAGGGCTGGGGCCCCGGCGACGTCGAGTACCTCGAGGGCCACCACGTGCCGGCCGCGTGCCAGGACCTGCGGGACTTCCCCGACGCCAGCGTCGACTTCCTGTTCTCGGAGCGGTCGGCCAACCCGGGCTTCCAGGAGGCCGCCTGGGACTACGGCTGCTACGCCGCGCACGTCGGCACGACCTCGGCGGCGGACTGCGCGGCCGCGGTCGCGACGGACGGGTGCTGCCAGGCCCCGACCGACAGCGGTTTCAACGACGCGGGCCAAGTCGCGTACAAGACGGCGTGGCGCGACTGCGCCGCCGGCGAGTGCAAGGCCGCGTGCTGGAGCAACGCGTGCGCCGGGGGCGACTGCTGCGAGGAGAGCCGGGCCATCGCGCTCCAGGCCTGCGAGGAGTACCACGCGAACCTGACGGGGCTGGTCGACGTCGAGCCCACGTCGAAGACGTCGTACCAGTGCGTGGAGACGGAGCTGAACGTCGGCGCCCAGCGCAAGGGGGGGAGCTGCCGCACCACGCACTTTTCGTTCGACGACCCGGCCGCGGCGGCGAACCTGACCGTCGAGATCAGCGCGGACGGGGGCGGCGTCACGGGGGGCACCGAGACGAGCATCTCCCACGCGTTCACCGGCGCGGCGAGCGAGGAGGAGCACACGTGGTGCGTCGAGAACGGCGAGATCGTCTTCCAGCCGACCTCGGCGCCGACCATCTCCGCCGTCCCGACCGCGGCGCCGTCGCCGGCGCCGACCCCGGCGCCCACGCGCGTGCCGACGACGCCGCCGTCGTCGGCGCCGACGCTGCCGCCCACGCCCGAGCCCACGAGCCACCCCACGATCGTGCCCACGAGCTTCCCGACGCTCGACTGCCCGGCCGACGCGCCGCTCCTGCTGACGTTCCGCTACCTGCCGCGCGCCGCGGACCCGGAGTGGCAGAAGACCAAGACCTACTTCTACGACCGGGACTTCCAGACTTGGCTGCCGGTCGGCGCGGGCGGCCGGTCGCCGGCGGCCGACTTGGAGTTCGTCTGCGTCAACAACACCATTGGCTGCGTCACGGCCGAGTTCGTCTGGAACACGCTCGGCGGCCAGTCCGGCGGCCTGGCCTTCGAGGTGGCGACGCCCGACGTGGACGTGTCCATCACGTTCCGGCCCAACCTCGACGACTGGAAGTTCCCCTTCTGCATCGAGGACGGGAACCTCATCAAGAACCCGACGGCGTCGCCCACGATCTCGTCGATCCCGACGGCCGTCCCGACGTCGCCGCCGTCCATCCGGCCGACGGCGACGCCGACGCTGCCGCCGTCGCCGGCGCCGACGCACCAGCCGTCCGCCCGGCCGAGCGCGACGCCGACGACGCCGCCCAGCTCCGTGCCGACGACGCCGCCGTCCATCCGGCCGACGGCGACGCCGACGACGCCGCCCAGCTCCGCGCCGACGACGCCGCCGTCGCACGCGCCCACGCCCGCGCCGACGCGCGCGCCCACGGCCGTCCCGACGTCGACGCCGACGTCGTACCCCTCGGTCGCCTGCCCCAGCAACCCGACCGACGGCTACTACTTCCGCACGTCGGAGCGCTTCCTGCCGGACGGCGCGAGCTGGGCGACCGTGACCACGACCGTCACGCTCGACGACGGGACGTCCACGTCGTCCTCGGGCCCGCGGCCGGACCGCGACTACGGCTGCACGGAGGAGAGCGCGGGCTGCTTTGTGGTCACGTTCGACTTCGGCGACCCGACGATCTCGTCGTCGCTGACCTACGAGTTCATGACCTACGTGCGGTCGGACGACCCGAACGACTACGACCTCATCTCCACGAGCTTCCCGCCGAACCTGCAGACGGGGTCGTACACCTTCTGCGTCGAGGGCCAGGGCCTCGCGCGCGAGCCGACGCCCGCGCCCACCGTCTCCAGCGTCCCCACGAGCGTGCCCACCGTGCCGCCCTCCCGGACGCCGACGGCGGGCCCCACCGTCCCGCCCACGCCCGGCCCCACCCTGGCGCCGAGCCCGCTGCCCTCGTTCGCGCCGACGCTGCAGCCGTCGCCCGCGCCGTCGACGACGCCGACGGCGCTGCCGACGCCCGTCCCCTCGGCGGCGTGCCCCGCGCCGACGGCCGACTGGATCCGCGTGTCGACGCGCTACTTCCCCGCGGCGGCGGACTGGGGCGGCGTGACGATCACGCAGACGCTGCTGGACGGGACGCGGCGGCGGCTCGGCGACGGCCGGCTCCTCCAGACGGGGGGGCCGCGGCGGCTGGCGACGGCCGCGAGCTACCGGCTGAAGCTGGCCGCGAGCGACGCCGCGGCGGGCGACGAGTTCGGCCGCTCCATGGCCATCGAGGGCGACACCGTTGTGGTCGGAGCCTGGAAAGCTGACAACAGCGGCGGCGCCAACTCGGGCTCGGTCTACATCCTACGAGCGAGCGACGGCGCCCCGCTGGCCAAGCTGACTGCCAATGACGCAGCGGCGGACGACGAGTTCGGCTGCTCCGTGGCGATAGAGGGCGACACCGTCGTGGTTGGAGCTATCAACGCCGGTACCGGAGGTGCGGTCTACGTTTTCCGCACGACCAACGGCGGCGCCTCGTACAGTAAGATTGCCAAACTGACGGCCGCCGACGCCGCGGCGAGCGACAAATTTGGCATCTCCGTGGCGATCGACGGTGGTACGATCGTGGTCGCGGCCTACAACGATGGCAACAATGGCAACAATTGGACTGGATCGGGCTCGGTCTACGTCTTCCGCTCGAGCGACGGCTGGAGCACGTACACGGAGATCAAGCTAACGGCCTCCGACGCCGCGGCGAGCGACATTTTTGGCTGGTCCATGGCATTCGACGGCACCACCATCGTGGTCGGGGCCCCACACGATGGAAACGATGGACAGCTTGGGGGCTCGGTCTACGTTTTCCGCACGACCGATGGCGGCGGATCGTACAACCAGGTGGACAAGTTGACGGTGGCCGACGGCCACAACTTCGGCACCTCCGTGGCGATCGACGGTGACACCCTCGTGGCCGGTGCCAGCTACGTTCACCACGGCGGCATGGCCGACGCGGGCGCGGCCTACGTCTTCCGCACGAGCGACGGTGGAGCCTCGTACGACGAGGTGGCCCAGCTGACGGCCGCCGACGCCGATGCGAACGACAACTTTGGCATCGAAGTGGCAATCGACGGTAGTACGATCGTGGTCGGGGCCTGGAAAGACGACGACGGCGGCTCCGATTCAGGCTCGGCCTACCTCTTCCGCACGACCGACGGCGGCGCCACGTACGCCCAGATGGCCAAGCTGACGGCCCCCGATGCCGACGCGGGCGACGTGTTCGGCTACAATGTGGCCATCGACGGCGCCACCGTCGTGGTCTCGGCCGAGTGGGACGGCGACGCCGGCTCCAAATCGGGCTCGGCCTACGTCTTCGCGATCGCCTCCGAGGTCCTGACCGACGCGACCATCTACGACGCCGTCGACGCGTGGTTCTCGGACGCCGCGGCCGCCGAGAACACGTACGGCCACATCTCGACGTGGGACACGTCCCAGGTCACGAACATGGCGGAGCTGTTCTGCCCACCTGCCTTTTGTTCTCGAAGTTTCGATTCCTCTACCTTCAACGAGGACATAAGTGGCTGGGACGTGTCGCAGGTGACGTCCATGAAGAACATGTTCTATGGGGCTGTGGCTTTTAACCAACCGCTCGGCGGCTGGGACGTGTCCCGCGTCGAGGACGCGCGGAGCATGTTCATGATGGCGTCGGCGTTCGACCAGGACCTGTCGTCGTGGCGGCTCTGCTCCGTGACGTCGATCTACCAGATGTTTTCCTCCGCGGCCGCGTTCGACCAGGACCTGTCGACGTGGTGCTTCGAGAACGGCGTGATGGGGCACGCGGGCGCGTTTGATAGCACGGCGTGCGCCGGGACGACTTCCTCCTCCGCGGCCGCCGGCACGTACTGCGGCGTCACCTACGGCGGCTGCGAGGCCGCGGGCCTGGGCTGCGTCACGACGGCCAACGCCCTCGCGGACCGCGTCTTCGAGTGCTGGGCCTGCGACGCCGGCTGCTTCGCGCTGGAGTTCGCCTTCGCCGACGGCGGGGCCGGCTCGGCCGCGCTGTCCTACGAGGTCTCGGCCGGCGCCGAGACGATCGGCACGGCCTTCAAGGGCGGCGCGGCCGTCGAGAGCTTCGCGTTCTGCATCGACAACTGCGAGTTCGCGCGGCAGCCCACCTCCGTCCCGACGCTGTCGCTGCCGCCGACCTTCGCGCCCTCGCCGGCGCCGACGCTGCCGCCGACGGCGACGCCCACGACGCCGCCCTCGCACGCGCCCACGGCGGACCCGACGCGCGACCCGTCGGCGACGCCCACGACGCCGCCCTCGCCGTCGCCGACCTCGCGCCCGACGGCCACGCCCACGGCGCGGCCCAGCGCCCTGCCGACGTCGCGGCCGTCGCCGGCGCCGACGCCGGAGCCGACGACGGACCCGACGGCCGTGCCGACGTCGTACCCCTCCTTCGCGTGCGCCGCCGGCGAGGTCCGCCTGCGCTGGCGCTTCGACGGCGACTGGACCGGCGTGAGCGCGAACCTCTGGGCCGAGAACGACGCGGGCATCGTCGACGTCCACCGCTCGTTCCCCTCGTTCCCGCGGACCGCCGAGTACGAGTGCTTCGACTGCAACTTCGGCTGCTTCGACTCCGAGTTCCTCTTCACGGAGACCGCCCAGGACACGTCGCACGAACTGAGCTACGTGGTCGAGCTGCACCGCGACGACGGCTCGGACATAATCTCGACGCCCTTCGAGGGCGGCGAGCCGTCGGAGAAGTTCCGCTTCTGCCTCGAGGACTGCTCGATCGCGCGCCAGCCGACGCCGGCGCCGACGATCTCGCTCCCGCCCACCTTCGCGCCGTCGCCGGCGCCGTCGTTCTCGCCGACGGCCGTGCCCACGGTCCGGCCGTCCGCGGCGCCGACGGTGCCCCCGACGCGAACGCCCACGGCCGTGCCCACCCCGAAGCCGACGGGCGCGCCCACGGTCCCGCCGACGCCCGCGCCGTCGCGGGTCCCGACCGCGACGCCGACGACGCTCCCGACGCTGCCGCCGACGCCCGTGCCCACGGTCCCGCCGACGCCCGCGCCGTCGCGGACGCCGACGGCCACGCCGACGGCGCTCCCGACGCTGCCGCCGACGCCGCAGCCGAGCGCCGCGCCGTCGCCGGCGCCGACGGCGGCGCCCGTCCCCGCGCCGACGGAGGTGCCGAGCCCCTACCCCTCCGTGGGCTGCGGCGGCGACGACCTCCTCCTGTCGCGCCAGTGGCTGCCGGGCGGCGACACCTACGGCGGCATCGTCACGACCTCCAAGGACCCGGCCAGCGGCGCGGAGCGCCTCCCGCCGGCCAGCGGCACGCGCCCCGACCGCCAGTACTACTGCGTGAACAAAGACGTCGGCTGCTTCGACGTCAAGTTCACCTTCTCCGAGCCCGAGCTCGAGCCCTACCACAGCTTCAACATCGAGCTCGAGGGCGACGCCGGCATCCAGTCCATCCTGACGGGTTTTGAGTACAACGTCGCGGTCCAGACCTTCACGTTCTGCATCGAGGACGGCGTCTTCGCGCGCATGCCGACGCCGTCGCCGACCGTCTCGCTGCCGCCGACCTTCGCGCCGTCGCCCTCGCCGACGGAGCAGCCGACGTCGGCGCCGTCGTCGATCCCGACGCCCGCGCCGACGCTGCACCCCTCGCTGGCGCCGACGCCCGCGCCGTCGCCACTCCCGTCGATGCTGCCGTCGCCCGCGCCGTCGCACAACCCCACGTCGGCGCCGTCGCGGGCGCCGTCGCCCGCGCCGTCCCAGCTGCCGACGCTGGCCCCGTCGCCCCTGCCGTCGATGCTGCCGTCGCCGTCGCCCACGACGGTCCCCACGGCCGCGCCTACGCCGTCGCCGTCGCCGCAGCCCTCGCCCGCGCCGACCCAGGGCCCGACGCCCCAGCCGTCGCCGCTGCCCACGCTGCTGCCCTCGCCCTTGCCCTCGCCCTACCCGTCCGTGGCCTGCCCCCTGACGAGCCCGCCGAACGTCTTGATCTGGAATCGCTGGCTGCCGTCGGGCGAGGACTGGGCGGGCGTCGTCACGGCGCGCTATGATAACGACGGCAACGTCGTCGAGCAGCAGGTCGGCGCGCGACCAGATAAGGAGTTCGAGTGCGTGCCCTGCGACCAGGGCTGCTTCGAATTGAGATTTACGTTCTCGGCGGCGAAGCAGGCCGAGTCCCACCTCATGGGCTACGAGATCGGCACGCCGACCAACAGTATTAGTACGAGCTTCGAGGGCGGCCTCGCCGAGGAGTCCTACTATTGGTGCATCGACAAGTGCCAGCTCGACCGCGTGCCGACGCAGAGCCCGACGCTGTCCCTGGCGCCGTCGCCGGAGCCGTCGGCAGCGCCTTCATCAATGCCGATGCCGGCGCCTACATCGATACCGACGCCCATGCCCGTGCCCGCGCCTACATTGATACCGCGACCGGGGCCGACCCGGTTCCCGACGCTCATGCCCGTGCCCGCGCCTTCCCTGGTACCGCAACCGGGGCCGACGCCGGCGCCGACGCCGACGCCGTCATTACGGCCGACGCCGCGCCCGACGCCCGGCGACCCCTCGCCGCGGCCGACGGCCGGCACGCTGCGGCCGACCTACTCCCAGGAGCCGTCGCCGGCGCCGACGCCGATGCCGACGCGCGCGCCGATCCCGCGGCCGACGCGCGACCCGACGCTGCGCCCCACGCCGGAGCCGTCGCTCGAGCCGACGCGCGCGCCGACGACGGCCCAGCCCCTGCCGCAACCCACGCCGCGGCCCACGCCCGAGCCCACGCCCTTTGTGGGCAACCCGACGGCGTCGCCGGTCTTCGCGCCGACGCCAAAGCCGTCTCCCACACCGACGCCGCGGCCGTCGCACGTGCCGACAACGGCGGCGCCCACCGTCCTGGCGACCCTCGCCTGCGCCCTGCAGGACGACGAGTTCTGCAACCCCGGCACGTGCCCGGACGTGCTGGTCGGCGTCTTCGGCGACTGCCCCGACGCGGCCGGTTTGCCGCGGTGCTGCGAGCTCGGCCCGGGCGCCGGGCCCGCGGGCGCGTACTGCATCGACTGCGGGACCTGCGCGGAGGGCGTGGACACGGCCTGCTTCGGCTCGGAACGTCGCCGCCGCCTCGAGGACGCCGACGGTCAGATCCGGGTCCTGCGCATCCCGGGCGAGCCGACGCTTGCGCCGCTCCCGGCGCCGACGCCCGCGCCCTCGACGCCCGCGCCCTCCGTGGCGCCCGGCGCGCCGACGGCCCGGCCCGTCTTCGCGCCGACGCCGCGGCCCTCGGCGCTCCCGACGCCCGCGCCGCTCCCGGCGCCGACGCCGACGCCCTCCGCGAAGCCGACGCCCGCGCCCTCCGTGGCGCCCGGCGCGCCGACGGCCCGGCCCGTCTTCGCGCCGACGCCGCGGCCCTCGGCGCTCCCGACGCCCGCGCCGCTCCCGGCGCCGACGCCGACGCCCTCCGCGAAGCCGACGCCCGCGCCGTCCGCGACGGCCGGCGCGCCGACGGCCCGGCCCGTCTTCGCGCCGACGCCGCGGCCCTCGGCGCTCCCGACGCCGGCGCCCGCGCCCAAGCCGACGACGGCGCCCTCGCACAAGCCGACGCCCGCGCCGTCCGTCGCGCCCGGCGCGCCGACGGCGTCGCCCCTCGCGCCGACGCCGCGGCCCTCGGCGCTCCCGACGCGCGCGCCGACCGTCGAGCTGGCCACGCGGTGCTCGTGCCCGACGGCGTTCGACAACGTCATGGCCGAGGCGACGGCCATCGAGGACTCGAACGCGAACATCGTCATGAGCGAGAACAACCTGGGCGGCCTGGGCCCCGACTCGGGCGCCGAGGAGATCCGCCTCGAGGGCTACTACCGGCTGCCCGACGGCACGGTCCTGGACATGGTCGTCCGCGTCAAGGACGGCTCGACGTACCAGTCCGAGGACACGTCGCAGAACGGCCTCTACGGCACGGGCATGACGGCCCTGATCAACGTCAAGGACGACACGAGCGTGACCGTGACGGTCTCGCTGGAGGCCTCGGTCGGCGACTTCGAGTTCGAGAGCCAGTGGTACATGACGCTCTACGACTTCGACACGCAGAAGGACCCGGCCAAGCAGGTCGAGGAGGCCTGCATCGACGACGACCAGTACGCGGACATCGCCGTCGCGGACTGCGACAGCATGCTGGTGACGCGGGGCCTGCCGAACTCGTGCGACGGCACGCGCACGGACATCACGCACACGACGATCGTGGCCCAGGCGGTCGGCTTCGGCTGCGACAACCCCCTGGATTCGCACGACCTGACGACGATCCAGTGCGCCGACTGCGAGCAGTGCGTCGACACGCCGTCGAACGCCCAGTACTTCCCCGTGAACCAGAAGGAGCGCGCCGTCATGTTCCAGTTCCCCGAGGGCGCCGAGTCCTTCGACGTCACGTTCTCCGTGACGTGCACGGACTGCGTCTTCACGGGCGGCCGCGCCTTCCACATCGGCACGACGTCGAACCTCTGCGAGGAGGACACCCCCGCGCCGACCCTCGCGCCCGTCCCGCAGCCGACGCCCCGGCCGTCGATACCGCCGCCGACGCCGCGGCCCTCCGTGTCGCCGGCGCCGACGACCTTGCACACCTGCGGCTGCCCGACGGCGTTCGACAACGTCATGGCCGAGGCGACGGCCATCGAGGACGCGAACGCGAACATCGTCATGAGCGCGAACAACCTGGGCGGCCTGGGCCCCGACTCGGGCGCCGAGGAGATCCGCCTCGAGGGCTACTACCGGCTGCCCGACGGCACGGTCCTGGACATGGTCGTCCGCGTCAAGGACGGCTCGACGTACCAGTCCGAGGACACGTCGCAGAACGGCCTCTACGGCGACGGCATGACGGCGCTGGTCAACGTCAAGGACGACACGAGCGTCACGGTCACCGTGTCGCTGGAGGCCTCGGTCGGCGACTTCGAGTTCGAGAACCAGTGGTACATGTCCCTGTACGACTTCGACACGCAGAAGAACGCGGACCGCCAGGTCGAGGAGGCCTGCATCGACGACGACCAGTACGCGGACATCGCCGCGTTCTGCGAGGCGCTCACCGTGACGCGGGGCCTGCCGAACTCGTGCGACGGCACGCGCACGGACGTCACGCACACGACGATCGTGGCCACGGGCGTGGGCTTCGGCTGCGACAACCCGCTCGACGCGATGGACCTCGGGACGATCGAGTGCGCGGACTGCCAGCAGTGCCTGGACCAGCCGAGCATCTCCCAATATTTCCCCGTGAACCAGAAGGAGCGCGCCGTCATGTTCCGGTTCCCCGAGGGCGCCGAGTCCTTCGACATCACGTTCTCGGTGACGTGCACGGACTGCGTGTTTACGGGCGGTAGAGCTTTCCACATCGGCACGACGTCGAACATGTGCGAGGCCGACGCGAGGCGGCGCCTCGCGAACGTCAATTATCTGGATGAGGCGCCCGTCAACTACCTGGCCGAGGCGCCGCCGCACTACGTGCGCGCGCGCGTGCTGTACGTGCCCGGCGAGCCGAGCGAGATGAGGAGGCGCATGGCCGAGCTCCAGTCGAGCTTCCCGCCCTGCCCGGCCTACGAGCACTGCATGCAGCTCGTAGCCGGTTTGACGCACGGCGAGGCGACGCAACTCGAAGGCGCCGACGACGTCCAATTAGATCCCGGGAGTATCGCGGACTACGTGGGCCAGCACGTCGTCAAGAAGCTGACGGAGGACTATAACGTGCCCGCCGAGGCCATCACGGACACGTTCTTTGGGATCTACGGAGGCGTCAACGCGACGCCCTTCCCGACGAGCGCGGGCTGGAAGCCCTACCGCAAGACGGACAAGGGCGTGGACGCGGCGGCGCTGGGCGGCGGCATCGCCGCGGGCGTCGTCGTGCTCTTCACGATTCTCTGTTCGCTCGCCGGCTTAGCGAGTGGCCACGCGATGGACTGGAAGGACTGGCTGCAGCTCGAGGTGGCCTGCCTGGCGTCTTCTCTAGACTACGCCTTTGCGCTGGACGCCTATATTCAGGGCGTGCCCGTCGCCTGGTGGGGCCTGTCGAACATCATCTCGATGATTAGGTTTATCGTGGCTTTAACTACTTTAGACAAGGCCATCCGGCAGCGGGTCCACGAGGTCGGCTTCGACCAGGAGCTCATGGACCTGGCCGGGCCGGGGCCCTACGCTTACTTGCGGGCTTGTTTCGTCGGTACGCTCGCGTGCACCCATGCTCTAGATTTGGCAAGGTTACTTGACATCCCGCAACTAGAAGAAATAGACCACCCGGGCACGATGTGGGTCGACCTCAACGCGCATTTGACGCAGCTCATCCTCAAGGTGGGCTTCATGGCCGTGCTGGGCCACACGAACTACGGCGTGGCCAAGATCGCCATGGTCGGCATTGTGTTTGACCTCGCGAGCGTCGCGGACCTGGTGCACCGACGGCTGCACCCGCGGCGGCGGCGCCCGCGGCCGAAGCCCGAGGAGATCGTCAAGGACTTTACGTCCATCGAGGTCGAGACGGAGGAGAGCAACGCGATCGACGAGGACGCCTTCCAGGCGCACTGCGCGGCGGAGATCGCGGCGGGGCGCATGCACGCGCCCCATTCGCCCCGGCGGGCCGAAGGTTTGGAGATGGAGAAGAAGTCTATTGTACAGAGGATCTGCGACTGGTGCCGCCGCGAGGAGGACATCCTCGCCGACAAGCTCTCGGACCATTCGAGCTTCGACGACATCGCGGCGGGCGAGGACATCGGCGAGCCCCTGCTCAAGCCGAAGCGCCACTCGTTCGCGCGGCGGTTACTATCTTTTGTGACAGAAGAAGTGTCGGACGAGCTGGCCGAGCACAACATCGGGAGGAAGCAGACGGGGCCGACCTGGGGCGACCTCGACGACGAGGGCGGCGGCGGCGAGGAAGCCGGCGCCGCGGAGGAGAAGACGGGCGAGGAAAAAGACGAGCCCGACGACGTCGTCGTCGTGCCGGGCTCGGGCGCTTTGTCTGAGGACGACGCGGGCTTCAACGAGGCCTTGTTGGCAGCCAAAGTCCGGGCCGCCGCGCCAACATCTCAAAATGCCGGCCTCGACGAGGACGACGCCCTCGTCAACGAGGCGCTGCTCGCGGCCAAGGTCCGCGCCGCCGGCGCGCCATCCCCAAGACCTGCCAGGCCCGCTTGGCAGGTCGACGCGACGTCCGACGCGCCGGCGCACCAGGGCCAGGCGTTGGACGAAGACGACGCCGGCTTCAACGAGGCACTGCTCGCGGCCAAAGTCCGCGCGGCCGCCGACGAGGATGTGCCGCGCGACCTACCGCGCGACCAGCTGCGCGCGGCCGTGGCGCGCGCCGAGGAGCTGGTGGCGCGGTCGCGGGGCCATCCGGAGGAGCCGCGCGCGAGAGAGCTCCTGGCGGAAGCCAAGGCCGAGCTCGCGCGCCAGGAGGCGCCCTCGCCCGCCGCCAAGGTCGCGCCAGCGGCGACACCGCCGGCCTCGCCTCCAATCCGCCGCGAGGAACCCACCTCCCAGGCGGCGCCGGCCACGCCGGCCGCCGCCGCGCCCGTGCGCCACCACCGCCGCAAGGCGAAGGCGCCCGCGCCGGCCGCCGCTGCGCGCCCGGGCAGCGCCTACTCGCCCGCGCCGGCCGCCGCGCGCCCGGGCAGCAGCTACTGGGCCCAGCGCGCCGCCGACGCGCCGCCGCCGCCGCCAACGCCGCCGGCGCCGCCGCCCGCCGAGCCGCAGTACCGCTCGGACACGCCGACGCGCCAGACGCTCGCGACTGTGCGCGATGCGACCGCGCCACCGCCCCAGGCGCCGCCGCGCGCCTGGGCTACTGGAGCTGCCGCCGTTCGCGACACGTCGCGGACGCCGCGGCCGCCGTCCTACGCGGGAACCTCGCGCACGCCGCCACGCGGCGTCGCCGAGTCCAAGTCCTCGGAGCCGGGCGAAGACTTCTTGGCGGACATGCGCGAGGCGGCGTCGCCGACGCCTGCGCCGGCGCCGGCGCGCCGACGCACCGGCGGCGCGCGCGAGGCGGCGTCACCGACGCCCGCGCCCGCGGCGCCGACGCTGCGGCCGACGCCGCGGCGCCGCGCGGCGCCGGCCGACGACCCGCGCCTGGCGCAGTACCGCCGCATGCTGCTGATGCGGCTGCCGCGCGGCATGGTCGAGGCGCAGATGCGCGCGGACGGCCTCGACCCGGCGCTACTGGACCGCGACGCGACGCGCGACGGCCTCGCCGACGCGTCGCACATGGACGCCGAGCTCTAGCTAGCTCGCGCGCACCCAATTCATTCACGACCCCTCTCCCCCCTTAACAGCACGTGAAAAAAATACTCCATGGAGTCGTATTGTATTTCTTGCCTTAGGCTTCCCCTGCCGGCGGACGGCGTCTCGCGGGCTCGCTCAACCAACCAGGTGGAGGCCGTGCTCCCTTCTGATGATCTCGCGCCAGATGTTGAGGCGCAGGACCTTCACGCCGTCGAGCAGAGGCACCGTGAACTTGGCCTCCGCTTCGAGTGCCCTATCGACTTGGACTCCGCGGAACACCATCTTGAAATATAGGGCGCGCTCGTCGTCGTCGAGCGTGTTCATGAGGTCCGCAAATTCCTGCTTCTCGCCGGCGGACGGCGGCCGCGTAGAGATGTGTGGCCCAAGGACGCGGTCGACGAGGCCCTTGTATTCGAGGTCGACCACGAAGCCCTCTCTCCCGAAGCCCTCTCTCAGCAGCACTCTCCACAGGAACGTAGCGTCGTAGTTTGGTGTCTCTATCTGACGCCGCGGGGCTTCCCACTCAAATCTTGTGATGCGAAGGCGATCCCGCAGGTCCGAGAGCGCCAGTGGTGATTCCCAGCCCTGCGGCGGCGCGACGCCGAGGAGCGAGCTAGCCCAGTCGGTGCCCATGATGGTCCAGCCCCCCGTCAAGTTGTCGTTCGCCTCGACGATCTTCTGCGCGATCTGGCGAAGAAGGGGCACGGGCAGGAAGTCGCAGGCCCGAGGCAGGCGCGCCAGCCGATTCGGAGCAAATTTCAGGACCCCGGCTTCGATGGCATTGAAGCGGATTTTGCCATTCTCCGCGATGTCTTGTTCGAGCATGCCAGAGGCGTTGAGCGCCCGAATCACCGGATCGACGCTCTCGGAGACCTGTGCATAAATCAAATTGTCGCGACGCGTCGCCCGACTCACTGGTTAATTTGCGCACAGTCGGAGACCGCCGGGCCGGAGCATGTGACCGTGACGGCCGCGAAGGAGACGTGCTGCTCCACGTCCGAGTCGACGTCGTCGGGCCACTCTCGCGCACCGTCGTCGCGGGCGTCGTCCCTTCCGATCAAGCTGAGCTCCAGGATGCCCCCGGAAGGGCCGCGGCAACAATCGAACGGCGGCGGCTCCTGGCCCAGGTACGCAATGCCGTAGTGCTCACCCTCGCCGCCGTATATCCCCGGCGTAATGTCGCTGCTATGAGAGGAGATCGCGTACACGTGCAGGGGCGCGCCGACCTTCGCCGCCGCGTCGCGCCAGAGGCGGGAAGAGCACGAGAGGCGGCCGAGCCCACGCGGCGCGAGGAGAGCGAGCGCCGCGGCAACCGGCTCGGCGGCGCGCGCGTTGTTGGACTCTGCCCGGCGCGTTAATGCGTCCTGAGTCTCGGGCATGGTGAATCGTTCTATGGTGAAGGCCCACTGAAGGCCCTGATTTGCTCACAATTCGCCTAGGCGCGCCCGCGCGGAGCCGAAAAGGCGGTCAGCTAGCGGTGTAAGACACTAGCAAGCACGAACGCGCTGCAGCCGTTCGAGTATCCTTCCGTCCGTTTGTGGTCCAAAGAGATCAATGGGACACATACTGGGGGCCAAAAAAATTAATTTTTTTAATTCGCGATAAAGACGACGCCACCATGACGGCCGCGTCGGTGGAATCCTGTCAATCCGTGGTCCCGAGGTCTCCCGCAAGTCGCTTTTGGTCGGTACGAGACGTGCGCAAGCGCCTACACCGCATGCGCGGGCGCTTCCATCGGTACATATATATGGCAACTCTCCCAGCCAGCCATCGGGCCAGAGCCCAAGTCCCCCAAGTTTTGGATCAGAGCTCTCTGGAGAGCCCCAAGCACTGGCGCATGCGGTCTAGGGGACCACCCGACCCCAGATCTATCCCAGAGCGAGTCCGGGCTCCGATCTGCATCCGAAAAAAGTAAGTAATTTGGACCCGATGGCACCTCGTTCCCGTCAAAAACGGCAAATACCCGAGGGCCCCCAGTAGTCGCCGTAGCGGTCTCGTTGGACCCTATACTACCCCAGCGATAGTCAATTACAAGTATATGACATCTACACTACGAGAAGGGTACTTTGGACTGCCCACGCTCGGGACGTGAACATCTGCATCTGGACCTCGCGTAAGTCAGTCGATGATAGAACAAATGATCGCGTCATGGTCCATGGTGAAGGTACACGGGATGATGGTCGCAGGTCTGAGTAACTCGCCCGAATAGGCGAGATATTGGGGGCCCGCGATGGACAAGCCGCCGGGAGCTTCCGGAACAAAAAATGCAATGTAGTTCACGCTCAGGCCGGTTATCTGGCCCGTCCCACACCCGAAGCGCCTGAAACGCAAATTTATTTTATAAACCACCGGTCTGGGGCCTTTCCCGCCCTCCGTCTACGCACCGTCGTCCGCGGAGAACGGGCAAGTCGGTCGATCGTGAATAGAACAACGGCGTTATGGTCCATCTGGGGGGTGCCGTCGCTGATACTCGCAGGTGTAGGTTCTGAGCCCATCTTTGTCTAATCTTGGGGTCGCGAAGACGAAGAATCGTGAGGCTCTAACGGAATATCTAAAATAGCTCAGTGGGCGCTGATGCGGGTTAGATGGACTCTACCACTAACAAACGGAAGGAAACGAACATAAACGCGAGAGTTGTCTAGTAGAATTCTTCTCCCGCCCTCCGAGCGCGGGCCGTCGGCTCCGGTTCCGTCGAACTTGTATGAAAACTGAGCTGGAGTTGATATGATGTACCAATTAGATAGTAGAAGGCGGCGTCAATCGCTGGTGTATTTTGGCGAGCCGTAAGACTCATCCGCGAATGTCGCGGGCGGTGCCTTCCGGGAGGCGCGAGGGTATGTTCCCGGGCCGCTACTCTGAACCATTTGGTCTCGGCGAACGACTAGGATGTATTCTGAATTTGGGTGATTATTTTGACGCTATCGACGCGTATCTTTAAATTTTCTAGTAAGTCGCTACGCTAGCTTCCTTTCTGCACCTTTCACTACTTGCTCTACAAGTGCGGATCTGGGAATTGGCCGGCGGTTCGGCGGGACTTCCGGGAGCCGCGAGGGTGTGTTCCATGCGTCGATGGCGTCGAGGGACGAGTCCACGCCGTCGCCGCCCCACGAGAGGTGGGTGCAAGTTTTGTTTTTTAGGTTTCGGGGGCACGCGCTGGCCCCCCACATCCATCATCGCGATATGTCGATCTACTCCTTCACGACGCGGCCGTAGAAGATGCCCTTGGACAGGACCTTCTTCGGCGTCTTCGAGCCGAGGTCCGTGTCCGACGCCTGCGACGACACGAAGACGCCGCCGACCTCGCCCTCGGCCGCGTTGACGTTCGAGACGGCGAACTCGATCGTGCCGTCAAAGACGTCGAAGACCTTGTTGATCTCGTTCTCGAGCTCGGCCTGGCCGTCGAGGCCCGTCTGCGACGCGGCGAGCGCCTGGGCCTGGTCGTAGCCCGTCGTCATGCCGCGGCCCTTCGGGTCCAAGAAGAGGCCCGTCCGGTACGAGGGCACCTTGAAGGAGCCGCCGAACTCGTAGCCCGGCTTGAAGGCGCCGCCCGAGCCCTTCGCGACGAGCTCCTTGATCGTGAAGAGGAAGGGCACGCGCTCGCCGCCCGGGAGCTGCACCGTCGTCGGCGCGTAGTCGATGCCGTCCTCCTCCGTGAACGTGATGCCGCCGCCGCCTTCCAGCTTGCCCGAGATGCCGTCGAGCGTGTACGTCTGGCGCGTCATGAGCTTCGTGTTGACGAACTGCTTCGTCACGTCGCCCTTCTTGTTCGCGACCTCCTCCTCGACCTGCCACGTCTTGGGCTCGAGGCAGAAGTCGACCATCTGCATCTTGCCGCTCACCGTGATCGAGTCCTTGCCCTGGACCTCGTTGCACCGGTTGGCCAGGCCCGTGCCCTTGACCTGCTCGTACGAGAGCTGGTTGCGCACGTCGCTCGTGATCGCGTGCGCCGCGACGGGGCCGCCGAGGACCGTGGCGCCGGCGAGGACGGCGGCCGCGGCGTCGGAGGCCATCTTCTTGGCCACCTACGGGGTGTTTTCGTGAGTTTTCGTGGGGCGCGTGGGGCGGGGCGGGGGAGGCGGGCCAGCGTCTGATTTGTGTCTGGAGCTCGTCCGCATCGGAGCCCGTCTCTCTCTCGCGTTTCCGCAACCAACGCCAGCTTTTTGGCTCAACGTGGCGCCGTGGGGTGTGTGAGACCGTCGGGGCGCGCCGTCCAGCCGCCGCGGCGTGAGCTGTGTCCGGTGCAGCACGTCCGGTGTCGGAGAGCTCTTCGGCGCTCGCGGGCTTTTCACCCTTGAAACGCATCCGTGCCATTGCTTTTGTGCTGCGCGCAGCACGCGGCGAGGCTAGAGAGCTATCTCGTCGCACAGGGGCCACCTCGGACGTCGCCAGCTGGCTTTTTGAGCAGGATTGCAAATGCCACCGCACGGCCAAAATCTACGCGACGCGCGGCTCGTTTTCTCACCTTCGGCTGCGACGGCGCCAGGGCCGCGGCGCCCATCGCTAATGCCAGAACGGCCTTCATCCTTGCGACGCAATTAGCTAATTTGCGCCCTCTTGCACCAGCAAGCTTGTGTGAGCTTCGAGTTTTGCGAGGTCCCGATTTCGCGCGTTTGAGGACTCGTTACGCGCGCGAGCCCGTAGGGCAGCCCCTGGGAGGGCTCTAAACGGCTGTCGCGATTTCGGACGGGTTCAGCCTGCAAATTAAGGCCGCTAATAAGGCGTACTGCGCATGTGCTGGCGTTCGCAGGACGATTAAGGCTGTCTCTGATCACTGCTATTGCATGCCGGCAGCGGTTTGCAAAGCTTCGAAGCCTAGGACCTCGTTAAAGCCTCACAAGCAAGGAGAGCGCAAAAGCCAGGCTGCATGATGCGCCCGCTCATAATAGTCCTCGCCACGCTGGCCGCAGCCAAGGACCTCCAGAAATTGCTAAGGCAAATGACGCTGGAAGAAAAATTAGGACTGCTCCACGGGTCGCCGAGCAACTACACCGGCGCCACGACAGCAATCACGCGCCTCGGCGTCCCGCGGCTGCTCCTGAACGACGGGCCCCAGGGCTTCCGCGCGCCGCCTTCGTTAGACGGCACGTCCACGGCCTTCCCGAGCGGCCTCGCCGTCGCCGCGACGTTCGACGATGCGCTCGCGGCGACGTGGGCCGCGACGATCGCGTCCGAGTTCGCAAAAAAGGGCGCGACCGTGTTATTGGGGCCGGGGCTCAACGTCGCGCGCGTTCCTTTCAATGGTCGCAATTTTGAATATTGCAGCGGCGAGGACCCCTACCTCGGCGCACGGATGGCCTCTGCAATTATCCCGGCGATCCAGTCCCAGAATGTCATAGCGACGGCGAAGCATTATGTGTTGAACAACCAGGAGACGGGTAGAGTGGGAGCCGATTCTATCATCGACGAGCGCACGTGGCGCGAGATCTACCTGCCGCCCTTCGAGAGCGCGGTCGCGCATGGCGCGCTGTCCGCGATGTGCAGCTACAACCGTATTACGTTGGATAACGTGACGGCCTGGGCCTGCGGGCACCGGTGTGGAAATCAACCAGCGACGTCGCGTCGCATGGAAATTCCACGCCATCGAGCTGCTGCAGTTACGTAGCTGCGTCTGCGCGATGGTGTGGCGATTCCACGCCATCGACGCGACGTCGTCCCCGTGACCGCGTCGGCTCGATGGCGTGGAGGCTCATTAAGGTCCACGCAATATTTCTCAGGGGGACAAAATCGCGTCGATGGCGTCGGGCGTCCGAAATCTGATTTCCACGCAGGCGAGCACCCCACGACGCTCCAGCACCTCAAGGAACAGTCATCAGTATTCGTCATGAGCGACTGGCTCGCGACGCACTCGACGCAAGCTATTGTCAAAGGCCTGGACCAGGAGATGCCCTCCGACTTCTACTTTGGGAGCAGGCTGCGGGACGCCGTGGAGAGCGGCGCCGTCGACGAAGCTACGATAGATGCGGCTTCACTAAATGTCTTGCGGGCGATGCAGACAATAGGGGCCCTCGGCCGCGCGCCGCGCGGCGACTTGATGAAGGACGTGTCGACGCCAGCGAATAGAGATATCGCGCGGCGCGTCGCGGCGCATGCGATCGTGCTGCTCAAGAACAACAACATCCTGCCGCTGCGCACGTGCGCGGGCCTCGTCGTACTCGGCGACCTGCAAAACTACACCGTCGGCGGCGGCTCGGGTAGGGTGGTGGGCCGCACCGTGTCCCTGACCGATGCGTTCGAAACGCGCTGCGGTATTGTGGAGGCCTACGCCGATCTAGAGTCTGAAAAAGCACAAGACGCCGTCGCGACGGCCACCAACGTATTGGTAGTGACCGGCTCACAATCGACGGAGGGCGCGGACCGCTCTACATTAGCTCTAGACGGCGAAGCGATGATCGACGCAGCGGCAAAGCTGAATCACAACATTATTGTAGCGTGCGCGGCGCCGGGCGCCTTCCTCACAGGATGGCGCGATAGCGTCCAAGCCATCCTAACGACGTGGCCCGGCGGCCAGGAGCTCGCCCATGCGTTGGTCGACGTCCTTTTTGGGGAGGTGAATCCCAGTGCGAGGCTGCCTTTGACATTGCCGATGACGGAGACCGACCTCAAGTTCACGCAGCGGATGTATCCTGGTCTACCGGACCCGGCACCTCCGAAAGGCTGCGCGGACCCATGCTTGCGCGTTTTCTATGATGAAAAGTTGGAGGTCGGGTACCGACGCTACGACTCCCATAACATCGAGCCGGCCTACGCCTTCGGCCACGGGCGGTCCTACACGTCCTTTGTCTATGGGAATTTGACCGTGTCTCTCTCTCAAGTTACTTTCGACGTGCGCAACATTGGTGGAGTCGCGGGCGCCGAGGTCGCGCAGCTCTATGTGGTCCCACCCTCCTCACGGGGTTATCAGCAGCTCAAGGGCTTCCACAAGACGGCCGTGCTGGCCCCCGGTCGTGTCGAGCGCGTGACGCTCCGCTTCGACGCCAGAACTTTTTCCGCGTTCCTCGACGGCGCCTGGCGGCGCATTCCTGGTAGTCATGAATTGCGCGTCGGCGCGTCGTCGCGCGACGCGCGCCTGCGCGGGACCGTCGACGTCTGAGTTCCGTGGTGACGCGGCGACGGCGTGGAGTCTAGGCGTGGAGGACGCCGTCACCTACGCGTTGCGTCGACAACGCATCCACGCGCCCAATGTATGTGTGCTAAGTCTACTGTGTTCGTATATTTCAAAGAGGACAACTTAGGAGAAGGCGTCTACTTGGACATCATCATCTTGACGAACTCCTCGTAGTTGATCTGGCCGTCGCCGTCGATGTCCGCCTCGCGGAGCATCTCGTCGACCTCCTCGTCGGTGAGCTTCTCGCCGAGGTTGGTCATGATGTGGCGCAGCTCGGCGGCGGAGATGAAGCCGTTGCCGTCCTTGTCGAACACCTTGAACGCCTCGAGGATCTCCTCCTCGGAGTCCGTGTCCTTCATCTTGCGCGCCATCATCGTGAGGAACTCGGGGAAGTCGATCGTGCCGTTGCCGTCGGCGTCGACCTCGTTGATCATGTCCGCGAGCTCGGCCTCCGTCGGGTTCTGGCCGAGCGAGCGCATCACCGTGCCGAGCTCCTTCGTCGTGATCGTGCCATCGCCGTCCTTGTCGAACAGGGAGAAGGCCTCCTTGAACTCGGCGATCTGTTCCTCGGTGAGCTGGTCAGCCTGCGCGCGGTCGGGCGTTCGAACAAAGGCGGTTCCATGCGCGCGCGCGCGGGGTGCGAGAGCAGAGCCGAGGCAGCCTTTGTCGCGTTGGCCCGGCGCGCCGCGGCGCCGGGAGGCAGCGCTTGGCAGCGCACGCGCGCCAAACTCGCGCACGGATTTTTGGCGCCGCTTTTTTGGCGCGTCCCGCGCGGCGCGGGCGCCAAATTGGGCTGCCCGTTGCGAGGCAGCCTGCCGGGCGTCGGCGCGGGCGGGCGGGAGGGCTGGGACGCACCATTTTTGTCGGTAGTTCTTGCTGGGCAGTTAAGCTTTATGGTCAGCATGCGGCGGCCTTCCGCCGGGCGTTTCATCGATGTTGCCGTGGCCGAAGATGGCCGGGCGGACCTTTGGGGTGCCAGCGGACCCGTCCGCGTACGAATGGAAGGTTCTTTGGATCAGTCGAGTAAAACCTGTGCAAAACGACTTCGCCGCGGCCGCTCGTAAAACAGCGCTCATAATTCATCATGGTACGTGCCACCGCTCGTATAAACGGCTCGAGACGTTGCAAATGCTGCCAAGCCATTGACGGTCGAAGCGGCTGAGCCGCCCGCGCGGCAGAGGCCTGAGGATCATGGCCGCTTCGCCGCGGCCAGGCACGCGCGCGCGAGTTTCGAGCGCGCGCGCAGCCAAGCGCTGCCGCCAGACGCCGCAACACGTCAGACCAACGCGACAAAAGCTGCCTCGGCGCTACTCACACTCCCATGCGCGCGAAACCGCGAGGCCGCGTTCGAACGCTCGACCGCGCGCAGGCTGACCAGCTCACCGAGGAACAGATCGCCGAGTTCAAGGAGGCCTTCTCCCTGTTCGACAAGGACGGCGATGGCACGATCACGACGAAGGAGCTCGGCACGGTGATGCGCTCGCTCGGCCAGAACCCGACGGAGGCCGAGCTCGCGGACATGATCAACGAGGTCGACGCCGACGGCAACGGCACGATCGACTTCCCCGAGTTCCTCACGATGATGGCGCGCAAGATGAAGGACACGGACTCCGAGGAGGAGATCCTCGAGGCGTTCAAGGTGTTCGACAAGGACGGCAACGGCTTCATCTCCGCCGCCGAGCTGCGCCACATCATGACCAACCTCGGCGAGAAGCTCACGGACGAGGAGGTCGACGAGATGCTCCGCGAGGCGGACATCGACGGCGACGGCCAGATCAACTACGAGGAGTTCGTCAAGATGATGATGTCCAAGTAGGCGTTTTCATATTTTCCTCCTACCTACCCCGCCTCGCGTGTAACGTCGAGGCGTTTTCTACTCTCTCGGTCTACCTCTGATGTTGGTTTTTTGGAATGGGGCCATTTTGGATCGTCGTTTGCTTCCAGTGGTGTTTTGACCATCAGAAGACTCTTAAGACTCGACGGAGGCCTCTCAACGGCGGGCCGCGAGCGACGCCCAACATTTGTGAGCTTGGCGGATTTGCCTGCTCCTCTCGCAATTTTGCAGCGTACAGACGGCGTCGCCTTCGTTCGACATGATTCACGGCGTCTCCGAGGCAGTGTGGTTCGCTGCGGCAAGCGGCGTGCTCAAAGATGCGGCCTAGAGCAAGTGCCACATAGCCACCGCTGGTGAAGAGCACGCCCTCTGGCGGCGCGACGCGGCACGACTCACCCGTCGCACCTGGCCGACGAGCGCGCTGCTCTCGTCCGAGCGTGGCAGGGCTGGAGCACGACGCTTGGAACCAGCCGCACGAGACGACCGTCGCGCGGGCCAGTCGCTTGGGAGGAGACCTTTCACAAGCGCGGGCGAGAGAACGGCACGGTAGCGCGCCACCAGTCGCTTGGATGAACGCAGCCCTCACCCCCATTCCCCCATCGCAGCAAGATGCAGACCACCGTCCTCGCGCTCGCGCTCGGCTCGGCCGCGGCGTTCGTCGGCCCGGCGGCGCAGGCCCCGGCCACGGCGGTGAACGCCGGCCAGGGCGACCTCGTCGCGCTCGCCGAGGCGAACGGCGACCAGCTCGGCCGCAACCTCGGCTTCTGGGACCCGCTCGGCGCCTCCTCCTTAGATTTCTTCGGCCTCGAGCAGAGCGGGCGCCTGCCGTCCGGCGCGACGGTCGGCTACCTGCGCCACGCCGAGATCAAGCACGGCCGCGTCGCCATGGCCGCCTTCGTCGGCTACTGCCTCCAGGCGAACGGCGTGCGCTTCCCCTGGACGCCGTACCCCGGCTTCCAGGACGGCCTCACGCCCCCGGAGCAGTGGGCGAACATCCCCGCCGCGGGCAAGTGGCAGTTCTTCGTCTTCATCGGCATCCTCGAGGCCCTCGGCGAGTGCTTCCCGTCGGGCGAGCACTACATGGCCGGCGGCCGGCCCGGCGTCTACCCCTCGCTCACGGAGCCGAACGACCAGATGCTCTCGTGCGGCCTCTACCCGCCCCACGGCTTCAACGTCGACCTCCTCCCCTTCCGCGCGTCGCTCGCCAAGCAGGACGAGTCCAAGCGCGCCCGCGGCCGCCAGTGCGAGATCAACAACGGCCGCGCGGCCATGCTCGGCATCTTCTCGCTCCTCTCGGAGCAGAAGGTGCCCGGCGCCGTGCCCTTCCTCTCGGGCAAGATCCCGACGCTCCCGGACATGGAGATCATGGGCCCCTTCGTCGGCACGGACGGCATCTCGCACATCTGGTAGATTGCAGATGATGTGACAACGCGGCGGCGTATATAAGGACCTGTCACTTTTATGCTTGTCTTACCAGCTAATCCACGCCATCGCCGCGACACCTCACACACACCACCACGGATTCACGAGGACGGCCCCCGCGCGGCCGCCTTCGCCGCGGCGCGCCGCACGGCCCCTTGATGCAGCGGCCCGCGGTTCGACGCCGCGCGATACGCTGGCCTAATTTGAAAGTCGGCGTCGAAGACCGGCCCCTCCCCAGAATCGACCCTGAACGGCTTCGTAGCAAAGGCCCCATCAACAAAATCCAAACACAACCCGTGCATGAAGCCCCATCGATGGTCCGTAGGACGCCTCGATCTCGGCCAGCCCGCGTGGCCGCCGCTCTCCGTCGCTAGTAATACAACGTGGCCCGCCTTTCGACACGCTTCCGGCAGGCACGATGCGAAGGGAACGATCGGATCATCCTTTGCGTGGAGAACGAACGTTGGTGTGTGGACGTTGGCCAGCCGTTTGAAACCTCGGTCATCCCCGCGCCCGGCCGCGGACATGTCATCATAGTAGCCTCCTTCACAGTCAATGGCCGCGTAGCCGTTGAAGGGACATACTAAGGCAGAATCGAAGGCGGCGATGGTGTGCGTCGCCATAATTTCATTGATATTACATTTGTCATACAGTAAAGGCGCGTTCGGCCCGCCCAGAAAGGTCTTCTTGAGTTCCAGGGTCAAGGGCGGGTGCCACAACCTCCTCGCGCGGTCGCCGATAGGTCGTAACACGATCTCCGAGCACAATGTTGCTGACACGGCACAGCACGCCACTAGATTAGAGTGAATCCCACTACGGGCCGCGTAGTTCGCGGCGACGATGCCGCCCATCGAGATGCCTATTAGGGCGACGCGGTCGCCGAAACTCTCTTTCAAGAGAGCAACAGCTGCTCCCACGTCCGACGTCCGGCCGCCGTGGAATAACGAAGCGCGGACCGGCGTCGCCATCAGACCCCGCGCCACGAGGCAGGCGCAGACGGAGCCGCGCTCGTGCGCCGCTTGCGCGAGGTCCCGGACGTACGGTTCGTCGGAGCCGCCGTTGAGGCCGTGCAAGACCAGGATGACGGGGGCGTCATCTCTAGGTTGCTCCGGTAGAGCTATATCTAACGCCACGGCCTCGTCGTCTTCCTTTCCACCTCGCCTCTTATGTCCATCGACGCCGTCGGGCGCCGGCGCTCTCGCGACCCTCAACCAGCGCCTCCTCCAATTGACTGGAGCGCCCTCCCCGAATGTCGCGAAGGGCACGAGCGTGCCTAAATCGCCGGAGTGGGCGCACCAATTGGTCGGAGGCGGCTGCGCGGCCAGAGATTTTCTTAACCTCGCCACGAGCAAGCGGTTGCGCGGCGTGTCGGCGTGCGCGAATTCGCAGGTCTCTGTTTGTGTTGAGTGCGTCGCGTAGCGCCATAGAGCTATAATGATGGCATATACTAAACTCGGCAGCGCGAGCAGCGTCGAGAGCAGGACGGGCCAGAGCACGCTTATTTTTTTGGTATTGACGGGTGGCGCCGGTGGTCTGTTTATTATGGTGAAGGGGTAATCCGTGCTGGTTTTGCTGCAGAGCTTAGCGAAGGCGTCCTCGTTTGCTGCCTTTGCATCGGCCATTGCTGCTGTGAGTGGCACGACTGCAATTGACCCTTCGATCGCTACGCAGCGCTACCGTTAGGAGGAATGCGGTACCGCACGGGTACTATTGGCAAGGTATCGCTGCCATTCGCACCGCTGTGCATGGCAAATGCTGGCTAGTGTGTTACAGGCCGCTAGCTTACAGACATTTTTTACGGCAACGCGTGGCCACCGCGCGGCAAAGTCGATAGATCTCGTCGCGAATACCCCTTTAATATAGCGCGCAAACGCGGCGACCCTCGTGGCGAGCCACACCGGTTTTGGTAGGGTGACCAAAAAAGTCAGCAAAATGCGAGAGTCGCCGCGGACGGCGTCGTATTTGGCCTGTTCCCGACGTTTCTCGAGGAGATGCCTCGCCTCGGCCTCGTCGCCACTGTCGTCGTCGTTCATATTTGGGCTCGAGCCGCGCGCCGCGTCTTGACACAGAGCCTCTCTTAGCCACTGAGAGAGCTTCCTGGTTTTCGTGGATGTCGGGCGCAGTTCTCGCCCCCGCCGCGCCGACGCCGCCCTCGTTCACTGCGCGGCCGCCTGATGACGCGAGCAACCGGCGTAGATCGCTCGCTCGCACGCTAGACTGGCAAAAAGCCAGAAAAACCCGCGACCTCTTTTACTCAGACGAAATGGGCGAAGAGGACACGTCGAGCACCACTTTGCCAGCGGTCCGCCGCGACCGCAGCGCCTCGAACGCGCCGCGGACGCCGGCCTCGTCGAAGGCGAACGTTTGGGCGACGGTCGGCCGCAAGTTACCTTCGTCGGCCCAGGCCGCCAGCCGACTCAACCTCTTGGACGACCCCGGCATCTTGATCCAAAACAACTCAAAGCCCCGTCCGAAACAATTCAATCCAGTAAACCGTTTCAAACCAGCAAGGGCCCAGTGTCGCGTGGCTCCCCCGAAGACGACGTAGTTGTGCCGGTCACCATCAGTCTTGACGTACGGCTTGACGCGCTCGATGTAAGACGCGGCCTTGTCTCTCGCGTCCGCGGACGACACCGCATCGAGCACCACATCATAAGGGCCATTCTCGGCAATCTTCTCGATATACCCATCCTGGCGGTAGTCGACCACTACGGAAGCGCCGCACTTCTGGACGAAGTCGCTGTTTTTGCCCGAGCACACGCCGACCACGTCCGCTCCTAGACATTTCGCAATTTGCACCGCGACGTGGCCGACGCCGCCCGACGCACCTATAACTAAAACTCGTTGACCTGCTGAGACGCCGTGCTGCTCCAAGGCCTGGAGGGCCGTGATGCATACCAAAGGAGTGGCCGCGGCTTCCTGCCACGACAGTTTACTAGGTTTGTGGGCGACCTGGTCCAAGGGCGCGTTCACAACCTCGCAGAACGATCCATGTAAAGACCGCCACGGCCGCAGCGACGCCGGGTCCTCGGCAAACCCAAAAACCTCGTCGCCCGCCGCGAAGCCCGAGCCGGCCGGAGCTTGGATAACGACGCCGCTAAAATCAAAACCCGGCGTGGACCCGGCGACCCTTCGAGACGCCCACGGGAGCCAGCTCTCGGGGAACTTGTCGCCGATGACGTACTTGGCGTCGACGGGGTTCGCGCCGCAGCTTCTTACTTCACAGAGGACGACGCCTCTACAGCACCTCTTGGCTGGTTTAGGTGCGGCCCGCTCGACGAGGCGCGCGCCCTGGGGCGCCGCGGGGTCGTAGACGGCCGCGCGCATGATCCTTTTCGCGGCGGTTCTCAGCGCCAGGGCGTTACCGTTGGTGATGGTGAGGAATGCGAGGAGTATGACTCGTCGTCGCGCCGCCAGCGTGTGTGGCGGATAACGCACCCTGTGGCCAGGCTGGGTGGTGAGGAGTAGGGCTCGTCACCAGTGTGCGCTGCTGAGAGGGCACAAACGAGGAGAGCTTCCAGCGCCCCTGCTCCTTGTCGTCGAGGCTGAGTGAGGCACAGCGGTGGCTGCGTTCAACGTTTTGCGGAGCTAGCGGCCTGTAAGACACTAGAAAGCAAGCAGCGCGTCGACGCGGCCCTGCTGCGCTCTCAGCTACGTTACAGTACGCAAAGTGTACACCTTTTGGGCCTCATCCAATCTCATCATCCAATTCGATCGGTTTCAGCAGCTACAAGATGCTCTCCAGGGCAACAACCAGGGCGTTGCACGCGGCCCGCGCGCTAAGCGCTGATTCAGCGCGAGCGGCACAGAAAATGCACGCGGCACGCGCGCTAAGCGCTGCGCCAGCGCGAGCGGCACAGAAAAAGAAACTCCTGGGCCCGAAGAAGAACGCACAACAAGTGCGCGACCTGCTCCGGACGCGGCTCGCGCTGACGGAAGCGGAGCTGGATCGGATGGTGCGGCGCCGGCCCCTCGGCGCGCTCACGACCATCAAGCCGAAGCTCGACTGGTTGCAGCGCCGCCTCGACCTGGACACTCAACAATTAGCGAGGTTGGTGAGAAGGGAGCCGACGGTGTTGACGAACAGCGTCGAACGGAACAACGCGCCGACGCTCGACTGGCTCCAGACGCGCCTCGAGCTGGACACGGCGCAACTGGGGCGGATGGTCGTGAAGCTGCCGGCCCTGGTGGGCAAGCGCCCCGAGAGCATGGAGGAAAACTGCGACTGGCTGCGGCGGCGTTTAGGTCTCGACGCGACGCAGACGCGGCGGCTCGTCGCGGGGTTCCCGCCGCTGCTGTATCTCAGCGTCGATGAAAATTTAAAGCCGACGCTCGACTGGCTCCAGAAACGCCTCGACCTGGACGACGGGGGGCTGAGGAAGATGGTTCTGACGCATCCGCCACTGCTGGGCTTGAGCGTCGAGGCCAACATGGCCCCGAAGCTCGCCTACCTCGAGCAGGAACTCAACATGACGCGCGCCGCGCTCCGCGACCACGTGCTGCGGATCCCGGCCATCCTGGCCTACAGCCTCGACAAGCGCTACCGCCCGCGCGTCGAGGCGTGCCGCGCGGCTGGGGTGGATGCGGGCTACGTCCTCACGGCCGCCCCGCTGACGGACGAGTACTTCTACGAGCGCCTCGAGACGATGCGGGAAGTAGTCGTCGCGACCGCGTCGTCGCGCGCGACGACGCCGCCGGGACGACGGGCGTTCAGCACCGCGTCCTCCGACGACGGCAACGGCCTCCCGGGCACGGAGCACGGCGGGCGGCGCCTCGCCATCGTCTTCACGTGCACCGTCTGCGACACGCGCTCGGCGAAAAAATTCTCGGAGCACGCCTACCGGCATGGGGTGGTTGTCGTGCGCTGCCCGGGCTGCGGGAACGACCACCTCATCGCGGACAACCTGGGGTTCTTCGAGGACGACTGGACGCTCGAGGATATGTTAAGGGCGCGCGGCGATAGCGTCGAGACGCTCGACGACGACAACCTGGCGGAGGGGGTCGACGCGGAGTTGTTGAAAAGGCTCGTCGAGGGCCGGCGGGGTAAATAGTGTGTGAATTTATGTAGAGTTAGACAACAGATTTAGCCAGCAGAACTAGGGCGGCGAGCGCCGCGCGCGGCGTTTTGCCTTGACTCGTTCCCGGAGCGCCGCCGCGCGGCCCGGCGCCGCCGCGCCAGCCGCTCCTCCCGCCGCATCGTCGCTCCGTCCCGCACGTTGCCGCATCTTCCGCTTGAGCGGATGCGCCGAGCGCTTCCGCTTCTGGCTCGCCAATGCCCTCCGCCCGCTCGCAGCCACCGCCTCTTGGAGACCGCGGCCGGCCGCCAGAGCCTCCGTCGCGGCCATGACCTGCTCGACGGCCTCTTGACGAGACCGCGGCGCGTCGGGGTCCGCGAGCACGCGCGACGCCGCCTCGAGCATCGCGCCGCCCTGTGGGTTGAAAGGCCTCTTGGGTAACTCTTCGTCGTCGTCGTCCTCGTCGTCGTCCGATGAGGAGGGAGGCGGCACCTCGAGCCCGAACCGCGCCCCGTGCTCCCGCAGAAACCTCCTCCTCAGCACTTGGAACGCGTCCTCGAGTTGTTTGCGTTTTTTCTGCTGCTCGGCGGCGTACTCCGGCGAATTGAGATAAGCTGTCCACTCCCGTTGTTTCTCGTCGAGCTCGGCCTGGCGTTGCGCTTCCGCGGCGTCGGCCTTTTTTTGTTCCTCCTTCCACTCTTTCAGGAGACGCTCGGACGCCTCGCGGATGTCGTCGTCGGCGTCGCCGAAGTTTATTGGGCTCCCGTCGGGTCGGCTGAGGCCTGTGCCCATCCTGTTCTTTTTTGTTTTTAGGCGTCGTCGTCGTCGTCTTTGTATTTGTGGTGGTGGTGTGCGCGCGGCTGATGGCTGCAGTCCTGCTGCAGCTTTTTGTTTTGGCGGTATGAGCAGGGAGTGCGTACAGTTATCACAGCGATGCGGCGGGGTACTGCTGCTCCGAATATGTAAGAAACTGTCTTAGGTTCAATTATAAGCACTTGTTTTGTCGTTTTTTGCCTGGCACCTAGCTAGCGTCTGTAAGACACTAGGAAAAACAAAAACCTCTCGTACGACGCCGCCGACGCGAGCCCCACTCGAAAAAAGTCGCGTACTACCACATTAGCCTAGCGCACAAGCCCGTCCAGCGGCGCCTCGAGCCCGTCGAGGACGCCTTGCGCCGTCGACGGCGAGAGCTCGCTCGACAGCGACCGGAACGTCGTTTCCAGGTCGCGGAGCGTCGGCGACGCCTTCGACGAGCCCGACGACGGCGCCTGCTCCCTCGCCCAGCCGCGGAGCAGGGTGGCCGGCGTCTCGGACGCGTCGCGCCGCCTCGGGGGCGACGCCGACCGCGCCCTGCGCAGGCTCCGGCGACCGGCGGCGATCTGCTCCTCGAGCGAGGGCCGCGCCGGCTCCTCGGGCACAGTTGACGGTAGTTCGGGCAGCGGCGCCAGGCCCAGCAGCTGCGCCTCCGACAGCCCAAACTCCAGCTCGAACTCGACCTCCGTCGCACATTCCGCCACTAAGACATCACTCAAAGCGGCGAGGACCGCGTCGACGGCCACCGCCTCCGGGTCGAGCACGTCGCGCGCGGGTTTGGACGGCGACGCGGGCGTCCTTGCTGAAGACGCCTCGCGCTCCCTCTCCAAAGCCTTCTGCAACCTTTCCAACTCCACCAATCTCTTGGATTCGTTCTCGCGGAGCTTGGCCGACTCCCTTCTTAGAGTGGTAACTTCGGCGGCCTTTTCGATGGCGTCGTCGCGCTCCTCCTTCAAAGATTTCGCCCTTTGCGACGCGTAGTTCGCGCGGCGCTTCTCCTTTTCGACCTTCGCGGCGTTCTCCTCCTCGAGGGCCTTCAGTCTCTCGACCTCCGCTCTTAATGTTCGTAGAGCTTCTGCTCTATCCCGGGGACCCTCCCTCGCAGGGACGACGGACATGGACCGGCGCCGTCGCGGCTTCGCCGTCTCGGCCGCGTCCAACGCTAACGCAAGCGGCTTTGATGATGATGTACCGGAGCCGTACTTGTACCGCAGTAGAGCGAAGAGCGTCTCCTCGGACCCGCGCCACTCTCTTGCTATTTGCGCCGCTCTAGGTAATAAGGAAGGGTTGTGGATGGCGTAGAACTTGCGCAAGGTCTGCGCGCAGTCGGCGCCGCGCGGCACAGGCTTGCTTCTGGACGCGTCGAAGATGGATCGTAATGAAGGCGTCGAGGGCGGCGGACACGAGGGCGCGGGGCGGCGGCGGCGGCGGGTCTGAGCGAAGCGCGACGGCGTCGTCATGGCTTGTGGCGGCTTTTCCGGAGACTTTTCGGGAGACGCTCCACCAGGCGCGCAGAGCCGCAGCCAGCGCTTCACGGCGCGCTCGCCCGCGGCGACGACGGCGGCCGCGGGCGGCCCGCGCGGCGGCTGCGGCGTCGTGTGCCGCGCCCGGAGCAGCGCGTCCCGACAGTTCGCGGCGGCGACGCACCACGCGGCCAAGCGGCCGAGGTGGACGTTCGCCTTCGCGGCGCGCGCGGGCGCGGGGAACGCCGGGTCGGCCGTGGCCACGGCGAGCTCGTAGAGGCGGCGGTGCGCGTCGGCGTCGTCGCTGAGCGCCAAAGCGGGCACGTCGAGCGCCGCGAGCGCGGCGCCGAGCCGCGGCCGCGGCTTCGCGCCCGGCGCCGCCGGCGCGCCGTCGAGCGCCGCGCGGAAGTGCGACGCCTGTGTGGTTTGACCTTTTCACGCTATACGCCATCGCCGCGGGACGCCGACTGCATACCGTAGCGGAATTGAGGCCGAGGACGTCGCACGACGCCTCGAGGACCGGCCTCTCCACATCCGTCGGCGCCCGCCGCTGGCGCCGCGCCGCCGCGGCCATGGCGTCTCGGAGTTCCGCTATTCTTGACCCTGGCGTCGCCGCTAGTGCTCGCGAGGCCGCCCTTAGTGCCAGAATGACGTCTTTGGCTTGCTGTCTCGCTCTACCGTCGGCCGTCTCCCTCGATTCCGCTCTTACAGCTGCTCGCTGCACCGCATCTCGCCAGAGCTCCGGGTTTGCCGCGACACGGCGCCATCTGTTGTTGGTGGCCGCGGCGGCGCCGCCGGAGCCGACGTAGGCCAGGACGCGCTTGAGCAGTTTCGTCGGCAGAAATTCGGTTGCCGTGTCGTCCGGTTGATGTTTGGCTGTCGCCAATTCGTCGAGGAGCGCCGTGAGCTTGTGGAGGCGCGTCGTGATTGGCTTGGAGTCGGGGGAGGTGCTGTGTCTGCGGCTCATATTGGTGCGCTGCTGGTGCGCTCGCGCGTGGCGTTACGTCGCAGCGCTCGGAATGTGTTACGTGTGTCGAATGCTGCGTTCTTATGGCGTGCGCGATTCGCTTCCGTCGCAACCGTGAAAGTGCTCGAACCCGATTTGGGCAAACCAAAGTTGGAGGTCCTCCGGCCTATCGCCGGTCCTTGTATGCGGTGTAAGGTCGGAAGAAGCGGCATTTTAGAAATGCGTTCGGGTCCTTACCTAGTAGGAAAAAACACTAGCCTCCAGCCACGTAGGCTGCCGCTGGTCTTTCTTTATTGTCGCTATAGGCCATCGGGAAGCAGGGCCAGGCGAAAAAAACATGTGCCTATAGCGCTGGGACAACTCCTGGCACCTGGCGCAAGCGATAGAACAGCTTTGCGGCGCGCGCCGCGCCGAAACGCCGCTTTAGAAGGTCGTCGCTGCTTCAGAAAGCGCAACTTCGCCGCGAGGGCCAGCAAGCTTCGTCCGCCGCAACCATGAGCTTCGTCCGCTCCGACGCGCGGCGCAAGGAGCTCAACGCGAAGTTCGGCGCCAACGCCTGGGCGCCGCCGTCCCCCGCGACCGCGCGGCGGACGCTTAGGACCGCGCAGCCGTTTTTGACGGGCTGCCGCGTCTGCGGCGCCGAGGACGCCGAATACTTTTTCCGAGACCGCCGCTTCTGCCGCGCGCACTGCCCGTGGAAGGCGCTCATCGCGTCGTCGTCGGAGCCGCCACCGCCGGCGGCGCCGGTGATCATGCACGCGCCGAAGCGCCGTCGGATCGTGCCGACCGCGGACGAGCTGCTGCCGCCGTCGCCGACGTCCGTCGTCTCCGCCGCCATCACGCCGGCCATCACGCCGTCGGGCAGCGACGCGAAGATGTCGGACCTCGACGAGGAGGTCAGCGCCGTCTCGATCTCGCCGCCGCCGTCGCCGACCCTGGCGCGGGGCAAGCGGCTCGCGACAGCTGCGCCCGGCTTCCCGCCGGGCTTCGACGCCCGCGCCGTGCGGCTCGTCGGTTGACGCTCTCCGGGCCCGCGCGCAAGCGCGGGAGCGTCCGCCACCTTGGCGGCCGCGCGTCGCAGGCCCCGCCTGCGCGCCCCGGCACCCAATGCCAATTCAGGATTATTAAAAATATGTTATTCAAAGACTGCCTTCACTGCGCGCGTCGATCTCGTCGGCCTGGCTTATGCGCCTCGGCGAGAGATAGACGGACCCGCGCGTGGGGCCAAGGACCATTCAGCCCATTAGGGAAGCAGAAGTAAAAGACGGGCAGAGGGTCGCTAGATCGCTACACACGCCGACGGCAGAACGACCAGAAAGACCAAAACACGGTACCTAGTACACCCCCCCGCCCGCGCCACAGACCCCAGGATGCGCCTTGAGCAGCACCTTCTTGAAGTGCGCGTCGCCCCGCAGCACCAGCCCGAGCGCGCGCCGCGCGCCCGCCGACCGCCCCGTCGTCGTCCCCTTCGTCGGGAAGGGCTGGAGCAGGCGGTGCGTGCCGCCGCCGGCTTCCGCCGTGTCCTGGCGGCCCCGTACCACGCCCTTGACGTCGCCGTTTTTGAGGACGTGGACCAACGCCGAAAGGGCGCCGCCCGCGCCCCAGTGCCGCAACCCGTCGTCGCCGGCGGCGGCCATGACGCTCAGCGCCTCCAAGGCGACGTCGGCCTCCTCTTCCGAGGAATCTTGAGAACGGGCCGAGCGAGCACAACACGCGACCCACGGCGCCTGGCAGAAGGCCCGCGCGAGCCGCACGCGCGGGTCCTTGGCCACGGAGGCCGCGGACGCGTCGGGGTCCCGTCTCAGTCTAGATAAAGAATCGAAGCCCGCTGCACAGGCGTTCAGGCAGCACCGCAGCGTCGCCGTGCGCACGTCGTTGTTGATGTCAGAAGCTAAAGGTAGTAGTAGAGTAGCGCAGTCGGCGTCCGCCAACTCCTTCGCGGCCGAGTCCTGCTCCGCCTCCAGTCGAAACACGTTGGCGAAGGCCGTGGCGGCCGCCTTTCTGTTTGTAGTACCAGCACCGGGTCGAGCCAAAGCTCGACAAGCATGCACCACCGTCGCCAAATAACCAGGCGCCACGCGCGTAAAGGCCTCCGATAATTCATCGCTCTCAACCACAGGAAACGCCGCGTCGCCGTACAACGCCTTCGCCGCGGCGCGACAGGCCACTTCCGCGTGATCCGCGGCGGGGGCGTCCGGATCGTCAGCAAGAACCAGAATCTTCGTAATTAACGACGCGGCGGCGGCGGCGCAGTCCTCGTGGGCGTCCCCCGTCAACTTCTCCAGCCTCTTCAAATTCAGAGCGACGTCCACGACGCGGTGCGGCACGTCGTGGCGGTTGACCATCGCGTCGCAGACCGCCTCGTTGATCCGACGCGAGCGCCGGTCGTCGCAGGGCAAGCCGGCGGCTAGTCGTTCCGCAGCTCTACAAGCATCGATAAACTTCTCCGCTGTTTCTGTCCTCATCTCGCCCCGGCCGACGTCGAGCTCGGCATCGAGCAAAGGCCCCACCACTCGATGCTCGAGCCAGGCCCACGGTTTGGCTTCTCCTCGTACGAAGCGTTTGGCTTCATCGAAGGCCGTTTCGCTCACGTCCAACCATCTAGCTGCTAGCAGGTCGCGACATAAGGGCCGTTCTGAGGGATCCGGCCTGAGACAAGCCATGGCGCAGCATAAAAGCACGCCGCCCGGCGGCGACGGCGGCGTCGCATGGAGGGCGTCCTCGATCTCCTCTCCGAGCAATTGGGGGTCGTTCTCGCAGGCCCGACACAACGCGCGCGCGCCGTCCTTGTCAAGCGGAAAACCGAACGCATCGCCCAACACGGCCAGAAGAGCTTCCTCCGTGAGCACCTCATCGTTTCTCGCTTCTATAGATTCAAGAATGTCATCAGCCAGTGAGGTCGTAGCTCTTTTGGACCTATGAGCTGATAACAACCGAGCATGTGATTCTAACGCTTCCCGGACCTCGTCTATCTTCGTCGCGTCTCTACGTTTTCGTTGAGGCACCCAGGCCGCGGGCCAGGAGCCCCCATCCAGAGCTTTCAAAGCGTGGCCCGCCTTGACGCCCTCGTCGACGAGACCACTCGTCTGCGGCGCCCGGTGGTTACGTTTGGGCGACGGCGCGTGGAAGGGCGCGTAGTGGAAGTCTCGTGCTACTTCTCTCAAGTCTTCTTCGGTACAACCTCTTCTAGATAAGAAGGCTGAGAGCTGCGGGCCGTAGGGCGCGGGCCGGTCTCCCGCGGCCAGCTCGAACGCCAGTACTCCTAGCCCCCAGCTGTCCCAGGTCAAAGTGGGAGCGTCTTCCGTCACTCGGTAAGAATGCCTCGAACACCCGGAGCAGGAGGGCCCTTGCATATTTACCACTATGCATTCGGGAGGCGTCAGCGCATCAGAAGCGTCCAAGCTTTGAGTATCCTCGGTGAACACACCATCTTCTAACTTAAATGGATCGACCAAACAGAGCTTGCAGGCCTCGCCCCGGTGGCCATCTACTAAAATAACGTCGGACCGGAGATGCCTCACGAGCAGCCCGAACGCGTGGCAGTGGCCCACGGCCTTTAGTATTTGCCCGAACCACAACGCGCCTACTCCATCGAGAACGCCGTCCGTGCCCAGGCCTCCCCGGTCATCTAGTAGAGAGCGTAGTGGTATGAGTCGAGAACCCGGGTCGCTGAAGACGAGCGCATCTAACTCTTCCGCTAAAGTTAACTGTGTGACTAGGGACGAGCACTTCGCTAGTGAAGGCGACGATGCGATATGTGACGTAGAAAAGGTACCACGACGTATCCTACAAAGTAACACGTCGCTCCGGTCTGAGCACCGCGCTTCTCTAAACGTACAGAAGCCCGCCTCGCCCCGGATTCGACCCTCCTTCTTCAGTTGCAACTTACTGTTCTCCGGAGGCTTCAGCTTTTCTGCCTTCTCCGCGTCGACCTCCTCGACGCACCGGTCGCGGGCGAGCTGGAGTAAGGCCGCGTCCACGCGTCGAGACGCCGGATCCGCCGCACACAGGGCCTCCTTCCGCGCCAGTGATAACCTATCTCGCCATGCGGAAGCTTCCTGGTGCCGCGACCACGCGGCCAGCCACCCCCCGTCCAGGTCCCGATCCTGCGCCGCACTCGCGACGCGCCGACAGTCGTCCTTCAGCAACGAACCGAGATCCGACGCTAAGATGGCGTCCTCCATCTTTGGGGCATCCAACTCGACGGCGGGCGGCAGGAACTCCGGAAGTTCTCGGGTCGTCTGGAGGAGGGATGGAGGCTGCGTTACTGGTCTGGTCAACGCCAGCCCAGCAGGCGGCGTCAGGGCGTATGCCGCACTTCGATCGGCTCGCTCCAGTAAGTCTGTTAACGTGATGCCCGTCTTCGGCGGAACGTCGGACAGCCCAAAGGCCGTCGCGTCGAAAAGATCCTGATCTCGTAGGAACTGTAATACGATGGAAGCGTATGGTTTAGCTAAGCCAGTAGCGGCAACTGCTTTCCTATGCGCCTCAGTGGCGTGGAACCTCCTGACAGCTCTCGCTTCTCGCGTGGTGGAGGGCCTCCCCAACGCTTCGCGGAAGGCTTTTGCTAACTCAACTCGCCTCGCCTGCCGCTGGGGCCTCAGGACCACATCCCTCGCACAGATCGCGACGGCATCATCGCGACTACGAGCGGCTTGCGACGCCTCGAGCAGCCCCCGGCACTGATCTGAAAGCCCGCCGCGGATCGCGTGGAGCTTGACGCGCCACCCACACAACGCCGCGTGCGCCGCGAGTTGCCCGGCCGGCCTTTCTTTTGGGCGGACACCAGCACGTTCTCTTCTAGATCCGATGGCCGCTCTCCCAAGGGCCCAGCAGCACACGGCTCGACGCGTCGTCTTCCCGTCGCTCAGCCTCACGTCCGCCGCGAGGAGTTCGCAGGCCGTGTCATTTTGAGTGGAGAACGCAGCACCGGGGTCGAAGCGCGTGGCTCGGATGACGTGCGTGACGTCCTCGCGGGGGTCCTGGCCCGCTCTTACGAACAGTGCGAGGTCGAGACCGAGCTTCTGCAGCGTGTCGCCGTCGCCGCCCCTTGAACGAGCGAGTAACGGCCGGTCGACGGCGTCTGCCACGCTCTTGATGGCCGTTAACAAAGTACTAACAGAAGTATGCTTCGAGGAAGAGCAGTAGGCTATTCTGAGCATTCTATGACGTTCCTGGAAGGCTCTCTTGAGTCCAGCATCTCCCGTTTCAAATAAAGCAGCATCTTTATTACGTAGGAGGACGCACCGGTAGTCAAAGGAATCCGCCACCGACACGATGACGTCGCCGTCGTCCAACATAAAGAGGTAGGCCACGAAATCACCTCGGTCGTCGATGGCCCTTGCACTTCGACAAGCTTCCGAAGAGGCGTCGATGCGCGACTCCTTGGCACCTAGCGCGAGGGACACCGTCTTGAGGAGCGTCGACTGGACCTTGGCCCGTTTGTTGGACAGCAACTCGTCGCCTTCACTATCCCCCCAGGGGTTGTGCGCGATGGCGCTCTTCAGGGACACCTCGCGAGCACCACAGGACTCGACGGCGCACCACTCGTCTTCTAGTGCCCGATAATAGCCGGGCGTGGCACAAACATGAGGAGCCTGCGAAAAGGCCACGACGCCTCGACAGTCGCCTCGCGGGTCCCAGAGCTTGATGGCTCCGTCGGCCGAGGCGCTTGCAAGTAATCCAGACAACGGCGCGTAGGTCAGAGCCGTCACCGACGCCTCGCATTCTAGAATGCGCTTCGCGCCGACATAGGTAGAAGGTTCCTCCAGTACAAGATCCTCCAACGTGTCTAAGCGAACGAAGCCGTCGTTGCCCGACGACGCCGCGAGCGCGTAGGCCGCTTCTTCCGGTTCTAATTGTGTCAGTAGATCATCATCAACACTACCAATGAGTAGCTCTTTCAGGGACTGCAGACCAACGGCGACGTGCGAGGCCGGCACCGCGCCGCAGCCTCTTGCATCCCAGGCCTCAAAGAGCCGTTCGAGGCCTAATTGTCTTTTCCCGTGCCGCACTGTTACGTTCGAGCCTCTCTTGAGTCTCCCGGGCCTATCGTCTTCGCAGTCCGGTCGATAGTCCGACGGCGGCGCTCTCAATCGTTTCGGAGGCAGTAACTCCGCCGAGCCGTCGTCCTCGAAGATCACTTCCACCAAATCCAAATCTTCCAAGATACTACCGACAGTACCATCGCGATAGCCCGGCCGCGGCCCGGCTTGAGCGACCGCGGCCGACACCACAGCTCTTAAAGCAAGTAGACCTCTCGACTCGAGCGGCTTATTAGCCGCGGGCCAGATTCGGATGGAAGCGTCGGCACTTCCCGTCGCGTACAACCGCAAGTCCGGTACCGAGACGGCGCAATTCACATCGCGCGCGTGGCCGCAGAAGACGCGTCTCACGTCACCAGTCGTCGCGTCGAAGGCGTAGACGCGGTCGTCGCCCACCACACTACCAACGATACAGCCTTCGTGGGGCGCGGCCACGAACTTATCTAACGAGCCATCACTGCACCACCGCGGGTCCATGAGTCCCGAGGCGTCGGGCGCGTCCCAGAAGCCCCGCTTGCCAAACGACCGCATCTTTGGTAAGGATAGCTTCAGGCGCTTGATGCGAGATAATCCTGAGAGTTCATGGACTCTTATACATCTATCTCCACATGTGGTATTGACGTACAACGCCCTACCAGCAGTATCTAGGTACAGGATCTGTTGCCGAGGGTAGATGGACAGCATCCGCTTCGCCAGGGAGCGAGGTAGCGGCCTCGCTTCTTCCGAAGGATGCGCCTCCGGGCTGACACAGAGAAACGGCGCTTTCCCTACTCTTTTACACGTCGTCGTGTCCCACGCGTCGAGGACGCCGTCGGACGTCAGCGCGAACACCAAGGAGTGGATCGGATCGCATACAACCTCCAGCAGCTCAGCTTTTACGTTTGTAATAGATGAAGCTAAGTCCGCGGCGGTCTCGTCGTGCGGTGCAGTCTTTGATGAGTCCAGCCGTAGCAAGTCGCAAGGACCCCTCCGGTAGACCTCAGTAGGTTCTCTTGTACCTAGCTCGCCATACACTAAGGCTTCGACGTGGCGCCATCTCACATACGTATCTTTCTGTCCTATACTAGATAGCGTGTCCCTTAGTGAAGGATCACCGAGCCCCAGGAACCGTCTCACCAAATCGTCCTTCTTGCACTCGGCTACAAACAAGTCGCCGGGGGCACCCGCCTTCTTGGTTGTTTTGCACGCCTTCGCATAGAGCTTCCTTAGTATCTGTAGACAAGCTCTCCGCCAGCCGTTGACACCACCACCCACAAAGTACCCATTGATCAAAGGTACGTTCTGATCAGTTAAGTGCCTTGCTCTTGCATCGACGAAATCATCTACAGACAAAGCGTCTCTACCAGCAGCCGTTAGCGATTCTACGGTCCTCTGGATAATGTCTCGTTCCGTCTGTGAGGGACCTCGCCCTTCCAGATCAGTGAAAGCGGAAGGTAAATTAGCGAAGGGTAACCGACCTGAGGCGTCCATGTGGCCCCGGAACACGAGATCCAAGTCTCTCAGCGCTCGCTCAGTCAACTTCTTGCGCTCCGACGCCTCGTCGCACGACTTAGACGGTGGTAGATCTCTTTCTAGCAACTCAGTAGCGTCGCCGCGCCACAGTCGCGGCAGCACGTCCCGCGCGAAGGAGACCTCATGCTCACCGTCAAGGTCGGCGAACGCCGCCGCGACGTCAGCGTCGTCGCGCGCGCCCTGCTCCAGAGCTGAGGCCGACGCTCGTCCCGAGCATTGTGGGTCTATACGATCGAACAGCCGACACAGATCCGACAGCGAAAAGCCCTCGCCGTACGACTTGAGGAGGCCATCCTCGGTCACGAGCAGCCGTCCGAGAGCCGGGGAACAGCCCGCTAGCGACGCGTCCGCTGCACAGAAGACGGGCCTCGCTACCACGACTGATCGGGGAATGAATCGCGAGTCCTGCCGCTGTTGCTGTGCACGGCCCCGCACGACGCGCTCGCCCTCATTTGATGCTGTTTGTATCATATCAGCCAGTAGAGAGTGGACACAAAGTATGGCTTGGGCCTTGTTAAACTGCTCCCGTTCGTCCTTACCAGGCGTGTACATCTGCACCAAAGTGTGCGCGCCGTAGCTCCGTTCGAGCGGTGCGGACAAAATGATACTACCAAGTCCGATCACGAACTTCTCCTCTTTATGTTCGCCAGAACCAATAATAGCCTTGGCGCCGATCTCCCACTCGTGGGCGTTGTCGATTTCTAGCTTAGTGTCGCCTTTTTGTGCAGCTTTCGACAGTGTAGAAGAAACTTCGGTCGGGCCGCCCCCATCTTTTGCAGCGCCGCGCGTCGTAGTAGTGCGCCCCTTCTTCGCGGGGGCCTTCCTGGCGGGCGCCTTCTTCTTCGCTGGAGCTTTGGCAGGAACAGCCTTCGGTGCCGCGACAGGCTTTCGTGCCTTGGCCTCGTGGAGCTTCTTGGCCAGGTCATCAGCTAGTTTCTTCGTCTTGAGCAACTCCTTCTCGCGCTCGGCGAGTTCGCGCTTCTTCGTTAACGCCAAAGTCTCCATTTCTTGCAGCCGAGCCTCGACCTTCGGGTCCAGAGGCTTGATGACAGGAGCCGCGTTCTCCTTCTTCGCCGTCTTCAGGGGTTGGGTCTTGGCCTTGCGCGTCGTCGCGGACTTCTTGACCTGCCTTTGCGTCGTCTTGGACAGGGGCTTACTCTTCTCCTTCGCAGAAGCCTTCTTACGGGAGGCCCGGTCCTTCAGAGGCCCTTGGCACGACTCTAATTCAAGCAAGCGAGCCTGCAACGCCGGAACGTCGAAACCAGAGCTCATGGTCCAGACGCCCGGCTCGTTCTCTCGGAATCCTAGACTGGTCATGAGGTCGAGCCCGCCCGGGACGACCTTCAGAGTAGATTCGAATTTCGCGTTCGTCGCTTGGATGCGCCGCTTCCTGTCGTCCTTCGGGTCCTGCAACACGTTCTTGACGTACGTCACGGCTAACTCAAGAGCTCCCGACCACGCGCCGGGGTCTCCTGACAAAGAATCGACGGCTTTGCTTACCGCGGCGATGTCTGGTATGGGCAGGTCGAGGGTCTTGCTTCGACCCTCGAGTTCTTGACGAGCAGCCTTCAGCTTCTCCAGAACAGGATCAGGCACGGAGTCCCACCGCCGACCGTCCGGGTCCCGCAATGCCAATACGGAGCCGTTTTCCTCCAACGAGAACCCGCACGCCTGCAATAGAGCGACACCGCCCGCGAACCTCGCAAATCTTTCTTTGGTCGACATGCGCCAGTATTTCGGCTCGTGGGGCGCTTCCAAAATCTTCTGGCAGCACCGCATCGTATAGGATACGACGTCTTGGACGTCCTTGGGCTTCGCGCTCAACCTTAAAACACCTAGCGCCGAAGCAATAGCATCATCATCCTCATCAGTATCTCCTTTCTTCGCTTTGGCCTTGGCTGGAACGGCGAACGACGACGCGACGCTATGTAGGAAATCGTCAAATGACACCGCGCCGTCCTGGTCGAGATCCCGCTGCGCAATCCAGGCCGGAATCATGAAGGCTTCCCTGCCATCGCGCGCGAAGGCAATTTTCAAATCTCGTGTAGTAATGTAGTCGTCTCCGTCAACGTCGAGGTTCTCGAACGCCTTCCGGCAGAGCTGCAATTGGGCCTCGCGCACCTTGTCGCCCTTCAAACTTTTCTCGAGGTCGCTCGGTTCGCGCTTCTTGTTCCCCTTGGCGTCGGCCTTGGCCTTGCCCTTCGATTCCGCTCGTTCCTTGCCCTTTGACTCCTTTCCGCGCTTGCCGACGCCGGCGCGCTCGGCGAGTAATTTTTCCTTCGCCGTCGCACCCTTCTTGCCCGTGGCGCCCTTGGTGTCTTCCACGGCGGCGTAGTTCTTGAGGGCGGCGTCCACATCAGCTAAAGCCTTGTGCAAGAAACTTTTTGTTTCTTTGTCGAGCTGGTGCATACTGAACGCTCTAGAGCCTTTCGACGCCTCCGGTTTGTCTTGCTGCAGGCCTCTCCTTTCGAGTGAATAAGTCGCCGTCTTCGGGTCGTCGCCGTCACTCTTGAAACCAATAGCCTCTAGCAAGCGAGGCCCTCCTTCGTGGCGCGTCAGACACCGTCGCACGACGGCATTCGTACCTCTCACTCTAAAAACCCTTTGATCACCGGGCGTCTTCAGGACATTTTCTACGAGTCGTTTGGCCAACCTTAAAGCCTGTCGTATATCCTCATCGGTCATGCGAGAATCTTGGAATTCTCTGACAACACCTTGCACGGACGGGCAGCCGACCTCCTCCCCGAAGGCCTCCTCGATGTCCTTGAGGGCGCCTTTCAGCTTCGTCTTGTCCTTCGCTACCAGAAATTCGCGCTTGGGCTTGCCCTCTACGACCCGTTGCGTAAACCCGCACGCCTGTATGAGTTCGAGGCCGCCCCGCAACTTGCCTAATTTCGAGGCATAGAGCGGGTCTTCCGTACAAACTCGTCCCGCAGACTTGGCGTTGCCGTTCAGCGCTTCTTGCACGAGTTTGGCCGCATACGTGGCCGCACCGCGCACCTCGGCCGGTGAATGAGACAGCCTTAATTGGGCCATGGCCGACGCGACGGTGGCGTCCGCACTCGCAGCGGCTTCGATGAGGTGGCCGGCGTTCGCGAAGAACTCGGCCAGCGAGAAGGGAGGGGGCCCCTCCGGGCTCCGGTCGCGCTTGCCCTTCGGGGACCGACTCCGGGAACGAGAGCGCGAGCGGTCCTTCTTTTTGGACTTTTTGGCCTTTTTGTCCTTCTTGCCCTTCGTGCCCTCATCACTGTCCTTCTTCTCGCCCTTGAAACTGCGCAACACTTCCTCGCGTAACTCTTTGAGGCCCTTGATCCCGGCCGCGTCGAGCAGTCGCGACGCCTCGTCGGCGCCCAACTGGCCTTCGTCGTCCACATCGGCTGCTTCGAACTCATCTCTAACTTTCCGCACGGCCTCTTGGACGGAAGCAGGCCGTCCCACGCACAGCCGTCGCACCAACCCCGCATGCTGCAGGGGCGTGCCTTCCCACCGTTGTTCCGCATAAATCATCGAAGCCACCTCCGACAAGCTTCTTAAACAGCCGTCGGCGCCCTCGATGGCTTTGCCCGGTGGTTTCAGCAGCGACATCGTCTGGCCGAGTTGATCGTCGTCTGAAGGCATGATGCCATCTTTAATAAACAGGGCGTGGTAGGCGCCCACGACTTCCGGGAAGGACAAGAAATCGTCCGGTAAGACACCGCTATCTCTCAAACACTGCGCAAATCGAGACGGTGCGACGTCATACCCACAGTCCCGGAAGACTAACCGAGCATCTCTGGCGGGTACGCCTGACCGGACTTGGCCTAGGACATCAATCGCACCTCTAGTCGTCGCGTGGGGCGCCGCTCGGCGCTTGAACGCCTGCTCGAGCTCCAACAGTCTCTTGCGACCAAGCGTCCGGGCCCACTCGCTCACTATCGAGTTCTCGTCCGCAAACAGGGCCGGCTCCGTCCCAGGATCCCGTTCCCGCACGTCGTTCGCCACGGACTGCAGCGAGGGGTTGTGGAAGATACCTGCGCGGAGCATCGCGGTTCACTCGACTCGGTCCGAACGGCCTCAAAATCAAAAAATACACCCACTTCCATCATTCCTGGAGACGAGTCGCGTCGATGGCTCGAAGGCGTCTCTACACGACGGGACGCCGCGAGCGCACCCGCGAAGCATTTCACGAATTCCACGAATGACAAAGTTCTTCTAGTACGCACTCTAGAAGATCTAGTGCGCAGCCACGCTAGGATGTCTTTGCGCGAGGCGACGCGTCGCAACGACGTAAAGGCCGTGAGGACATCATCCACGTCGAGCTCGCCCTCCTTCATCGAGTCCGCGTCACCGAAGGCATCTTTCAATCCTTTGACGAGCTCCTGGCCGAGGAGCTCCTCGATGCCTCGGACTTCATCTTTCTTCATGCTTGTCGTCTGTTTAGGTTCTTTCCCGACCTTGCCTCTCCTTAAATGGTTGTCTCTCGCCAAACTCTCGAGGCAGTCCCAGCTCGACGCGCGCTTCATGGCTTGTTGTTTGGGCATCCGCAGCCGTTCTTCGGGCACGTTCTCGAGCTCCGTGCCATCATCCAATATTAAATCGACCTCGCCGTCCCTGCCTATTCTCTGTACTTTTCCAGGCAGCCACTTGCCCATGAGCAGCGCCTCGCAGGGCTGGCCCTGGTCCGCATTGTAGTTGTTTTCTTCTGGCGACTTGCTTCTGCTGCGGTCGTCGCGCCGCCGCGGCGACCTAGACCGACTCCTGCTCCTCTCTCGGGGCATGGCTGTGAGTCGTGCAAAAGCTGCCCCGGCCGCACCGCTGCACTCACGGTACCGTGCGCCGGTTGTACGGCTGCCGGTCCTTGGTTACGGCCGCGCTCGGCACGCACCGCGTCCTGCAGCACCGGTTAGCAGCTCGAATTTAGCTGAAATTAAGCTAGTGAAGGAGGCGTCCTCCGGGGCCCCGGCCGGCGTCGAGAGCGCTCCGGAACGGATGGCAGACGTCCAGCGGACTCGACGCTAACGTGCGGGTCGCGCCTGGACTAGCGCCGAGGCCAGCGTCGGGGCTGCCTAATTACTACGCCGTGCGCGCCGCAGCGACGTACGGGTCGCCTGGACTCCGCCTGCCTCAGCCGGTGTCGGGGGCTGCCTGATTATCACGCCGTCCGCGCGCCACAGCGCCAGCATCGGGCCTGCCTAAGGACTGCCCAAACCACGCCGCCAGCGCGCGGTATCAACCAACCATGGCCCTCCAGCCTTTCATGGACGCTCCAGCCGACGAGGCCCCGCCCTACAAGCTCGTCGACATCCTGCCCATGGCCTACCCCAAGGGCCAGGCGCCGGTCTGCGAGATGACCGGGTTGCCTGCCAAAATAAAGTGTGAAACGGAGCACATTACATTATTCTACAATAACCGGGAGACGGCCGAAGAAAGCTGGCACGGCATCATGGGCAAGATCGCGCCGTTGCTAGGACCTCTGAGAAGCCCGCCGAACGTCATCGGGAGCGAGGAGGATCGCAGGAAACGCGAGTACACGCTGGACCTCTCGAAGAAAGCCCTCGTGGACCTCTGCGGCCAGGAGGCGGACAAGTTCTTGGTTGCCGGGCGGTTCGAGCTCGCGCTACCGGGCGCGCAACAGGAGATGAAGTTTCTTACGGAGTTGTACGGGGACGGTGCCGTGGAATTGGTTGCGGCCTATCTGAGGATGGCCGAGGCGAACGTGGGCCTGGCGCGCTACCAGCAGGCCGAACAATTTTTGTCTATGGCCAACTGGAGCATTCTCAAGAACCCCGACGCCTCGAATGCGCTGCGGTCGAAGCTCCATAGGAACTTCGGGAAGGTGTACGCCGCGCGCGGGAAGTTGGATGAAGCCTTGGATGAGCTCGCGAAAGATATCTATTGTAGCTCGTTGGCTTCGGGACCGGAGCACGTCGATGCGTCCCCGGGCTATTTCCACGCGGCGTCCGTGTTCTACGCGCAGCATCGCATCGAGCACGCTTTGGCTTTTTACGATAAGGTGGTGGATGCGTGGTACAAGTTTTTGGTCCAGTGTCGAAGTGACCCGGACGTCGGTCGGGATGTGGGCGAAGCGGCGCGCCGGGAGGCCGTGGACATGCTGCGACGCGTGTTGGCGACGCGCGCCAAGTTGCTGGGAGATGCTCATGTAGCCACGGGAGAAGCGAAGTACGCGCTAGGGCTGCTCCATCTCTTCAACGGCACGGATCTCAACGAAGCTCGCGAATTAGTGAAAGACGCGGCCCAGACCTACAGTAAACATCTGGGCCCTGATCATGAGAAAACAAAAGATGTGGTAGATGTTCTACAACGTATCCCGGCGGAGACGCCCATGGAGAGCGCGCCCGACACCGCGGCCGCCGTCGCGCCGTCGACGGCGGGCCACAGTCTACCCTCGACGGCCGGCAACCTGGGCCGGACTCCCGACGACTTCGCCTCCGCTTTCCCCTTCCCGGCGGACATGAAGCGCGCCGCGACGCAGTCGCCGATCCCGCTCCCGCCGACGGGCGGGCGCCAGCGGTCCTCGGGCTTCGACCCCATGACGCCTTCTTCGGCCGGGCTTGCTGCGTCTTAAGGTGCCCTATTTTGACTTTGTAGTGTTGTGTCCACGCGGCTGTACTCGTAGAAGGACACTTCGCGACGCATGGAAAAAAACTTTCTAGTGTATCTCGAGGCACGCTAGGTAGTTATTTTCATCGACTCAGAGACGGCATTGCAGTGGCATAGTGCCATTCGCATCTGTAGAATTGCACCAGAAGCGTTGTCTCGCATCGCTTCTCGCGCTGCAGTACTCGCCCGGCGCGTGCTGCACTCATTGTGTTGCATCAACCTCACTGACTCTAAGAGCACTGCAAGCGATGCATCGCCTATCCTTGCTCCTCACCAGCGCAGCGGCGCTCGTGCCGCAACGTACAACTCAAAGATTGCAACCTTTGAATAATGACGTCATCGATGTAAGCGAAAGCGCGGTCGTCGAGCGGCTCGAGAACTCGCCCTACCCTTCCTTAGTGGAAAAGGTCGAGCTCTTCCTCGAAAAGCCTCTGAGTGGAGAGAACCAGTACCTCGTGAAGGGGAGATACGAAGCGCCAGGAGCCGCTGTTTTATATTGTTTTGATGAGATCCGCGCGCAAGCGAAGGACAACCTCGCGGAGCCGGGCTTCCGACCGGGAGAGATCCCGCCCTGGATCAAGACGCAGATGGTCGAATTTTCATTAACGTCGGTGATGGAGGACGTCCTCAAGTACGGGGTCGAGTGTGATGGTATGTCGATTCTCGACGATACCGGTAACGGCGAAGATTTGATCCGGTGGGACGAGGAGCCCGAGAAGGAAAGTAAGACCTACGTCCTGGGCGCGCCGTACGTGTTTCATGCGGCCTTCAACGCCACGCTACCGGAAGCTCCGGTCCTCGGCGAGGCGGTGACCATAGAACAGCTCTACAAGTTGGACGACGCCGCGGCCGCGCGCGCGGCCAAGGTCCTGGCGAACAAGGGCAAGGTGCCGAACCTGATGAGCGTGTCGTCTTCGGGGGGTGGCACGAAAAAGAAGAAGACCTCTGCCAAGAAGAAGAAGGGCGGGAAGGGTAAGAAGAAGCGATAGACCACCACCGTAGTGTGCGGGTAGTGCTCGCTGGTCGGGCCGCAGGCCACTAGGAATCGGCTGTCCCCTGCCAGTGCCATCGTTCACAATTTGATGCTGTCTGAGTGTCTGGCCGTCCGCAACGCGATGGTATTGTACACACCTACCCGCACGCCGCCGCGGCGCGACGCGCTCCAAGCTGCCGTCGACGCGGCGGACAAGGGCAGCGCCATCCGCCGGCGGGCAGCTGAGGCGGCGGCCACAGCGGGCGCGCTACGCATCCGCGAGCGCAAGCTGGAACAGGATCGCGAGGAGGCGCGTGACACCGCGCTCGGCGAGTACACGCGACGAGGCTACGAGCCGCCGAGCGACCGCCGCGCGGCCGAGACGCGTGCCCTCTCGTTCTCCTCCTCGTCGTCGGACGACGCGGACTACGCGCCCGGGGAGATTCCCGAGGCCGCCGCGGCGGAGCCGTCGCAGAGTTGGCTCCAGCTGATCTGCCCCTGGGCGCCCTGGCGGCAGTAGGGCGGCCGGCGCACGTAAGTACACGCCTCGCAGAACGCTAACATATCCCGTCGAACATATATCCCGCCGACAGGATATGTTAAGCGCGCTTGCCGGCGGTTGAGGGGTGGGCACAGGTACTAAAACTTAAACTCCTCGGGGGAGGGGCTAAACTCCTCGGGGGGGAGGGGCACGCGCCCCCAGCCATAGGCCACAACCGCCCCCACGACGGCCAGCCAGATCATGCCCGCGGCCGGCACCGCCGCAGCAGATGAGCTGAGGTGCTCGCGCGCCAGCACGGCCGCGAGCGTCGGGCTCTTGACGAGCGTCTCGATGGCCACGGTGCGCGGCGCCGCTCCTCTCAAACCCGACGTCTTTGCGAGCGCGAGGGCGAGAGCTGCGGCGAGGAGAGGCATCGCGACCACGCCGACGTGCGCGCGCCACGACGACACGCCGTACGCCGCCGCCGCGCCGCCGGCGACGAGGAGTGAGGTGGAGACGATGCCCGCCGGCGCGCATAAAGGTTTCAAACGCTTCGCGACGCGCGGAAAAAGCGCCGCGGTCAGGACGCCGGCACCGAGCGGCGCGAGAACGAGGCTCGCCGTCGACGCGAGGATCGCTCCGCCGTCGACGGCGATGGTCGACCGCAGGAGCCGCGACGCGAGGAACGGCGTGGCCACGCACCCGAGGAGCGTCGTCGACGTCGTGAGCACGACGCTCAGCGCCGCGTCGCCGCCGCCCAGCAACGCGCAGAGGTTCGACGCCTGGCCGCCGCTCACGCAGCCGAGGAGGAGGAGTCCCGCCCGGGCGTCTGATTCTAGTCGCAGCGCAGTCGCGCAGGCTATTGAGGCCAGAGGCGCGACCGCGAAGCAGCACACCGCATTCATGAGGAGCGCCCGCGGGGATTTAGCTGCTCGTTTCAGGTCCTTCGGTGTTAATGTCAGGCCCATGGACACCATGAGCAGGGCCAGGCCGCGCCGGAACGCGGCTTTCGTCCCGAGCGTGGCGGCGACGCTCTGGGGCGCCGCGCGGCCGAGGGCCGCCGCGGCGACGGTCAGGACCGGGAAGGTCAGGGCGACGCGATTCGTATGTGCGTCGTCTGGTGCTGGCGTGGTGACGGCGCGGTGCCTGATCCGCAGCGGTCGCGTCGGCGGCGCGCGGAGCGCTTGCGTTTGTGCTGCGAGGAGCAGGAGGAGGCGTAGCATCGTGTTGCCGGAGACCTTCCTTCAGCCAGGTCAGTCACGCCTCGTCGTGCGCGATGGCCGGTGCCAGTGCCAGACTCCTGCACTATCTGTGCTCTGCAAAGCGCGCGTCTGCGTGATAACTGCGCGGCAGCACAATTTCCAGTCGTTCCGTAGAGTGCGGCGCTGCTCTCAAATCCAGCCGTTCGGGTGCTGCGCGGTGGAGTAGGCGATTTAGTCACGCTGCTCTCGCAGACCTCACGGAGAGGAGTCGCGGCAAGCGAGCGCTGGGCAAGCGCCAGCGTCGCAGGACTCAACAGGGCGTCGCACGACTGCAAAAAAGGAGCGCTGCTCGATCCAGAACCCACGGCACGCCGCCGCGGCAGCACTGACAACCTCCCAAACACAGCCAGTGCTGGTGCGACACGAAGACGTTGTCGAAATGCGGCGTGCGGCCACGCACGTAAGACGCGTCATCCGCACCTACGCAACGAAGCGGTCGCCCTACGCCGTCCTCGGATTGGACCGCGGCGCGTCCGAGCGCGAAATCAAGAATAAGTTTAGAGCGCTCGCGAAGGCGCTGCACCCGGACACGCGCTCTCCAGATGCGGCCGGTGATTTGGGGGAGGTGCTCGAGGCGTACGCTTCATTGACTGACAGGCACTTCGACGCGTCCGATCTGGTGGCGGCCTCGGTCGAGATCTTTTCGATCGAGGAGCTGCGAAGCGACGAGCGGCACGACGTCCACGACGTCCATCTGGTGCTTGCGTTGGATTTGTTGGACGGGGACGGTGCGGCCGAGGTTGGTTCGGACGAAGACGAGACGCGCGCGGTCGTCGAGGCCGACGGGCGCGTCGCCATCCATTGCGCCGAGTGGGACGCGATCTCAGACGTCAAGCGCGCGCTCGAGGCGCGGTTTTCCGAAGCGTGGGACTTAACGGGCCGGCCGCGCGACCGCGACGGGTGCTTCGCCGGCTGGGAGCTCGTCTCCGGCGAGACGCCGCTGGGGCCGCACTTCTTCGTGGGGGACTACGGGCTGAAGCGCGGCGATATTGTGCATGCCGTCGTGCGGCGGCGGGGGTAAGTTTGTGTGGTTGTTGTCTTCATTCAAGTTGACTCGCTAGGCGGCTAAGCAGAGAAACAGGAGTCGAAAGAAATATGGGTATTACAGCGGGACGAGCTCCGACTGCGCTAAAACAACGCGGGGCTCGAAATCCTTTGTTCTTCGCGGGCGAACACGCTTAGTTGTGCGTGATCGGGTAGAAGAAGTGGTGGTCGCACGAGTCGACGCACGAGTGGCACATGGCGCCGAACGTGCCGAGCATGGCCGCGCGGCCGTTCTGGAGCTCGCACGTGAGGGCGCGGTTGCGCGCCGTGACGTCCTCGATCTGCGTCGTGAACGGGTAGCCGCCCGGGATGGTGCCGACGGAGCCGTCGTAGCCGCCCGGGAGGTTCTGCGGGCCGCCCGTGTACTGGGCCGCGGGCATGGCGCCGATCTCGGCGAAGCCGGCGAAGGCGACGATCTGGAAGAGGCCGAACGTCGGGATGTTGGCGACCGCCGGGAAGCCCATGCCGTCCTTGAGGATGTCCGAGAACTGCACCGAGCCATCGAGGTTGATGGAGCCCGGGAAGGTGATGCCCAGCTCCTGGACCATCATGCCGAGGAACGCCATCATGGAGATGCGGCCGTGCTTGATCTCGACGGCGCGGCGGCGGGCGAGGCCCTCCTGGTCGTCCCAGAACGGGCCGGAGGGGTCGATCGGCCCGGGGTCGACGCCGATGTCGCCCTTGACGACGACCTTGGAGGCGGCCTGCTGGCCGGGGGCCACGAAGGCGACGGCCGGGGCGGCGAGGAGGGCGAGAGCGAGCTTGGCCATTTTAGATTGTTTGTCTGCGTTGGGACAAGCGGTGAGGTCGTGTGCTAGGTCGCGCGCAGCGGGTGAGTGCGAAACGCGCGTGTGCAGCGGCGCGATCATCGCCCTGGGCACTTGTTTGCAACAAGCGCAGCCCCGCGGCGCGCGTTTTGCACGCGCATTGGCGGGCAGGCTCCGGGGGGTGGCGGGACGCTTTTGCACCGGCTGCGCTGTTGATTGATGCGAAAATGCATTGACGCGGGCGCGCACAAAGTTTTGATCGAAGATGATCAGATGAGATCTAGAAGCCACGCAAGCACTTAGCGGCTCACCGGCGCCCCGGGCGTCACTGCCGTTTTCGCACGATCATGGAGCCGTCTCCCTGATTGTAGGGATCCGTCGGCGGCGTGGGACGACGTCCCGGGTTGTTGGAGGCAACGCGCGACCGCGGCGGCGCGGACCCTGCGTGTAATTTGTGTTGCACTACTCGTCGCGGCCATGTTTTACGGCGTGGACCGAGACCCCTCGCGCCCGGGACGCGTCCTAGTATGTCTCACACTAAAAAGCCGATCTAGAATCGATAGATTTGCAACGTGCCCATCCGCGTCGCATACGCAACGCGCGCTCGCAGGAGTCGCGCTGCAGCTTCTTCAACTTGATATCGTGCGGCGCAGCGAGTTTCGCGGCTTGCGGCGTCGTTTGGGCAGAGCTAGCAAATCTCTGCCGCGGCAAGTTGCGACATTGCTGCCGCGCGAGCCCGAAGGCTGCCGCGCGCGTGCGCATTGGCACCGCGGCAACCGCCCCGGGGTCCGTGCGAGCGCTCGCTGCCAAAGAGCGCTCTCGAACTCTCCGCGCCGCGCGCCGCGCCTCGCAACCCGACGAGAGCCTCAAAAAGACGCGATCCGCTCTAACGCCCACACCGTCCGCAGACACCAACTCATCAAAATGGCCAAGCTCGCTCTCGCCCTCCTCGCCGCCCCGGCCGTCGCCTTCGTGGCGCCCGGCCAGCAGGCCGCCTCCAAGGTCGTCGTCAAGGGCGACATCGGCGTCGACCCCGGGCCGATCACCCCGGGCGGCTTCATGTTCGAGGACACGGAGGGCCTCGCCCGCCGCCGCGCCGTCGAGATCAAGCACGGCCGCATCTCCATGATGGCGTTCCTCGGCATGATGGTCCAGGAGCTCGGCATCACCTTCCCCGGCTCCATGACCCTTGACGGCCCGGCGCCGCGTCCGCGAGCGTCGCCTTCACGCGTCGATGACGTTCTCTCGACCACCCGCCTCACCGCTTATATCACGCAGGCTCCGTCCAGTTCTCGGACATCCTCAAGGACGGCATGGGCTTCGCGGCGCTCGCCAACGTGCCCACGCTCGGCCTCGTCCAGATCCTCGCGTTCGGCGGCATCGCCGAGACCGTCGCCATGCCGGCGTCGCAGTACACGGGCGGCCCGCAGGACCTCCCGGGCGGCTACGACGGCTCGGCGGGCACGATCCCCGGTGGCTACCCGTTCACGGAGCAGATCACGGACGTCACGGCGCGCAACCGCGCCCTCACGTGCGAGCTCCAGAACGGCCGCGCGGCCATGCTCGGCACGTTCGGCGCCATGTGCCACTCCATGGTCGACTCGTGCGACCACCACTTCTTCTACCCGATCACGCACAACTAAGCTGCGCCGTCGCTGGGGACTCCGAGCTCGGTGCATGTCGTGCGCTTATGGACGCTCGTCTAATTAAATTTAATCGTCACCGTGACGCCGGTCTCAGACTCGAGCTAGTTCCTGCGTTCGTCTCGACGCGTTGGCGGCGCTGTGCCCTCCTCGAGGTGTCGCGTCGATGGCGTAGAAGTGGCTTGAACCGTCTCCTCCACGCCATCGAGCAGGCGCAGCGCCAGGGACCTCGTCGCGTCGACGGCGTGGGGGCGCCACGGGTCGATCCTCTCGAGAGGCGAGGGCAGATTCTAGGTTGCTTTTCTCTACACCTTACACAGGGATGAGCGTCCGTAAATCTCCGTCGAGACCGAGCTCAGAATCCGTGATAGCCATCGAGCGCGCGCTTAGTTGTGCGTGATCGGGTAGAAGAAGTGGTGGTCGCACGAGTCGACGCACGAGTGGCACATGGCGCCGAACGTGCCGAGCATGGCCGCGCGGCCGTTCTGGAGCTCGCACGTGAGGGCGCGGTTGCGCGCCGTGACGTCCTCGATCTGCGTCGTGAACGGGTAGCCGCCCGGGATGGTGCCGACGGAGCCGTCGTAGCCGCCCGGGAGGTTCTGCGGGCCGCCCGTGTACTGGGCCGCGGGCATGGCGCCGATCTCGGCGAAGCCGGCGAAGGCGACGATCTGGAAGAGGCCGAACGTCGGGATGTTGGCGACCGCCGGGAAGCCCATGCCGTCCTTGAGGATGTCCGAGAACTGCACCGAGCCATCGAGGTTGATGGAGCCCGGGAAGGTGATGCCCAGCTCCTGGACCATCATGCCGAGGAACGCCATCATGGAGATGCGGCCGTGCTTGATCTCGACGGCGCGGCGGCGGGCGAGGCCCTCCTGGTCGTCCCAGAACGGGCCGGAGGGGTCGATCGGCCCGGGGTCGACGCCGATGTCGCCCTTGACGACGACCTTGGAGGCGGCCTGCTGGCCGGGGGCCACGAAGGCGACGGCCGGGGCGGCGAGGAGGGCGAGAGCGAGCTTGGCCATTTTAGATTGTGTGTCTGCGAGGGCGCGAGGGTGAGGCGCGGCGGGGGACGGCGCGTGGCGGGGCTAGCGGCATGGCGCGTGCCGGAACGTGTGGATCCGCTTTTGGGAGAGTTGCAGCGTTCGCCCGCGGCGCGGCGAATTTGCGCCGGGCAAGCTGCGCAACCCCGAGCGCAGACAATTTGGCGCCCGCAGCGTTGGCCGCGCTGCTCGAAACAGCGTATGCGTGTAGTTTGGACGCGGCAAATTGCGATGCTTGAGGCTGGGAGTCGGGCCCAGGATCTAGAGGCAAATTGCCTTGCGCAGCCTCTTGAGCCCGTATTGACGCCGTTCACGCGCTTCCGGGACCTCTAGACGCCTCTCGCGGCTTTCTGAAAATCGCGCGGGTCGCATTTTCGAGCCTGCCGATCCAACAAAAACAAAGTAGCACCCAGCGTCGCATACCGCCGCGCGCAGCAAAATCTGCTGCGCATCGCGCCAAGCACCCCTATAATTGCCGCTACGCACGAAAATTGTGCGCGCGGGCCGTGCGCGCCTGTTGCAAGCCATATCCAGCTTGCTACGGCCGCAAAAAAGCGGCGGGCGCGGCCGCGCAATCGCTCGCGCGCTGCGAAAAGACTCCAACAACCCACGCGCGGTGCGCCAACACTTTTTTCCCTCCGCAGACAATCAAAATGGCCAAGCTCGCTCTCGCCCTCCTCGCCGCCCCGGCCGTCGCCTTCGTGGCCCCCGGCCAGCAGGCCGCCTCCAAGGTCGTCGTCAAGGGCGACATCGGCGTCGACCCCGGGCCGATCGACCCCTCCGGCCCGTTCTGGGACGACCAGGAGGGCCTCGCCCGCCGCCGCGCCGTCGAGATCAAGCACGGCCGCATCTCCATGATGGCGTTCCTCGGCATGATGGTCCAGGAGCTGGGCATCACCTTCCCGGGCTCCATCAACCTCGATGGCTCGGTGCAGTTCTCGGACATCCTCAAGGACGGCATGGGCTTCCCGGCGGTCGCCAACATCCCGACGTTCGGCCTCTTCCAGATCGTCGCCTTCGCCGGCTTCGCCGAGATCGGCGCCATGCCCGCGGCCCAGTACACGGGCGGCCCGCAGAACCTCCCGGGCGGCTACGACGGCTCCGTCGGCACCATCCCCGGCGGCTACCCGTTCACGACGCAGATCGAGGACGTCACGGCGCGCAACCGCGCCCTCACGTGCGAGCTCCAGAACGGCCGCGCGGCCATGCTCGGCACGTTCGGCGCCATGTGCCACTCGTGCGTCGACTCGTGCGACCACCACTTCTTCTACCCGATCACGCACAACTAAGCGCGCTCGACGTCACGGACTCCGAGCTCGACGCCCGGCGTTTATGGACGCTCGTCACTGTGATCTAATCTGAAGTGTATCCCCATCTCGTAGTTTTTTTCGGCCCGGCGGGCGCGGCTCGAACTTTCGTCAACCTTCGAGCGAACGACGAGCCCCTACGCCGTCGAGGCGACGCGAGGAAGCACCTAGTAGTATAGGCAAAAACTTACACCCCCCCTGGCGGCGCGGGCGACGCCTTCACCCGTCGTTGCTTGCCGAACGACAGCGGAGGCTCGTCGAAGGGATGTTTCTGAGCGGGCCGCGACTGCCGCGCGGCCTCCACTAACCTTTCGGCCAGCCCCATGTGGATGAATAATGCTTCAACCTTGTCGCCGACGCCCATTGTGGGCACCGCGGCATAAGCGGCGCAGGCGACGCGCGCCAGCGCCCGCGACAGGTTCGCTTCGTCCAGACCCGAAGTGTCGCTTTCACCTAATGTGGCTCGACACACCGCCGCGACCTCCTGATGCGATAATAAAGCCGGAGAGACCTTCTCCTCCCGACAGAGTTTGAGGAAGTCCGGCGCCGAGACATGTCGGCCTTTCCGGTACTTGCGGAACACTTCCCGTAAAGGCTTCTGGAACCTAGCTAGTACTCGTGTCAAGCGATCGTCGTCCTCCACGGGCTGCTGTGAAGGTGCCTTCTTCTTGAACCGCCGCGACCGCTGCTGGTGGCCCCTTACTCTCGCTTGCAGTTTTGATGCATGCGCGTTCAAGTCATCCTTCTTCCGTCTCCGGCGATGCGGCCCGCCGCCCCGCCCGAAGGCCACGCCGTGGTCGTCGTCGCTGTCCTTGCGACGCCTTCGAGGTAGGCTCGCGACCAATGCATCACAAAAATCCTCCCAGGCCACGACCCTTCGACCGAGCACGCCCTGCCTGATTTTTGACGAAAGCTTCTCCGCCACGGCTCGGCCTAGGGCGTCGCCTCTCGATGAGGGCCGTGTAGAACCACCAACCTCCCAGAAGGACGCATCACCTCGCGGCGCTTCCAACACCACACCACCTAGTGGTGCCAGCGACTTGGCCAGCGTCGTCTCCAGGACCTCCAGGGATCTAGACGTCGCCTCCCGAAACGCTTGCGCGGCTCGTCGTTCCTCCGCTAAACTTTCTTCGGCTTGCACCGCCCGCCGTTCCCATTCTCGTATGAGCGATATCGTCGGGTCGCTCTCTTGGGAGGGCGGCGGCGCCGCCCGAGCGAGCCGACCGCGCACGCGAGCTTGCAGCAAACATGCCGCGGCCGCCTGGTCGACGACCTTCTCCACGTAGAGGCCGGGAAACAAACCACAGCGCGGCGCGCCGTCCGTCACGATGACCCCAAACCACCAGCCGTCCTCCTGCCGTTGCTGGACGTGGACCTCGTCTCCGACGCTAAGCGTGAGCTCGTCGGGCTCCTGCGCTTGGTAGGCGTAGACCGCTTTATGGGGCGCTCTGCTCTTGGTGGGGCTGGCCATGGTCTTGCGCGATGCGCGCGACTGGCTGCTCCTTGTGCTTCGGCTCTGCGCGCGACGCCGAGGCAGCCCGTGATGGCGCTGTGTTTTGGAGATGCCCGGCGCTGTGTTGGGGGCGCGGGACTCCGGTAGCCGTGGTTGCCCGAGCCGTGGTAGGTGTCTGCCGCGCGGCGACGGCGTCGGGAACGATCGTGAAATTCTGGCGGGTTTTGGGCACTTTGGCCGCTTTTTGCATCGCCCTGTGCACGCAGACGTACGCGCAAAGCCTGAAAGTAGCTTGTTTTGCATTACTTGTGCTGCCGAAGAACTTGCAACGAGCAATTCCAGTATTGCTGTCGCCTCTGCCTACCAAGCTCTCAGGTGCAGTGAGAGCACTGTCGCCGCGCGAGCATTTTAGGCTTTGCAAACGCTCTCACGGACACAGAGGCTCACCCTCACAAGAGTAATTGCCGCTATCGCGGTCGCCGCGACCGCATAAATGGAGCAAGGTCCCGCACCCGCACCTGCAGCTAGCACAGAAGCGCCGCCGCTCTCGAAGCGCGCGAGGAAGCGCGCCGCGCGCGAAGCGCAGCGCCTCGAGGAGAAGCGGCAAAAAAAAGAGAAGAACCACGCCCAAGCAAGAGACAGAGAAGCCGCGGCCGCGGCGGCCGCCGCCGCCGCGGACGCGCTGCTGACGGACGACCAGCGCGCCGCGCGCGACCGCAAGGCGCAGCAGGCGCGCGACGAAAGGTTGCGGAAGCGCGCCGCCGAGGACGCAGAATTCGAGAAGAAGTGCGCGTCCGGATGTCGAATTGTCATTGATTGCGGCTTCGAGAGCCTGATGACGGACCGGGAGGCGCGGTCGTCGTCGCAGCAGATCATGTACTGCTACGGGGCGAATCGACGCGCGGAGGCGCCGGCGCGGTTGCTCGTCGTGGGCTTGACTGGAAGGCAGGCTTCAGCATTGGGGAACGTGTCCGGTGTCGAATCGTGGCGCGGGGCTTCTGTTGATGCGAGACCGCTGGAGGATGTGTTCCCGGATAGGTCGTCGCTGGTCTACCTGACGGCGGAGTCGGACACGGTGTTGACAGAGGTGGACGCCGCGACGACCTATGTCATCGGCGGCTTCGTGGACCGCAACCGGCACAAGGGCGCGACGCACGCCAAGGCACTGCAGCTAGGAGTGAGAACCGCGCGGCTGCCCATCGGCGACGGTGATGCAATCGTGCTGGGCAAGGAGGCGTCGCGCGTGCTCGCGGTGAACCACGTCTTCGAATTGATGGTGCGCGCGCAGTCGAGTGACTGGGCCGCGGCCGCGGAGTGCCTGCCGGGGCGGAAGAAGAAGCCTGAGGAGTAGGTTGTTTGTGATCAAAATTGTTAGGCACTAGTCCTGGTCTTTCGGGAGGGGTCGGCCGGAGGCGTCGACGCGATTCATCACTCGAATATGGTCGAGGCCCGCGGCGATCACCGCTTCGTTGTAGGCGAGCGCGGCGACCTCCTCGTCGGAGTAGTAGCCAACATGGCATGTTTTGGTTTTGGCTGGCGTCGAAGTGGGATCTCTGTATTGAACCCGCCACTGGCACTCGCTACGGTTGGCATGCCAAGAAACGCCGTGAAACCTCGACGATCGCTTGAAAGTGGTGGGCAAAGGCTTGCCAGTCGCGTCGACATCGTTGAGCTGATTCCCCAGGTCGTGGCGCTGGACGTACTCGTTGTATCTACGTGCTGCTACTTCTTCGTCGTCGTACCGGCCGATCTGAATGCGCTTGTCGCCCACTTTTACAGAAGCCTTCCATTTCCCCCTCGCTGCGTCCCAACAGACGCCAAGGAATCCACTCGTTTTGCGTTTCTTGCGTCCCTTGCGCGGCGGCGGCGGCGGCGGCGACACAATCGCCCGGTACTTCGCTATTTTTCGTCGGAACTTCTCAATCTTCGGAAATTTTACCAGCCGCACCGCTTTCTTCAACCGATTCTGATAATGCAGCAGGCCCTTAACCGGGTCGCTCGCCCGCGTCGCCTGGTCGAAGCGCATGGATTCCGAGTCGTCTAGCGTCCAGCGCACCTCGCCCGTCGCCGGGTGCCAGAAGTACGCGCGGCCGGTCGATGAGTCCGTCTCGCGGCGCCACGGCTCGCTGGCAATCATGGTCATGCGTTAACGGTACGGGGCAGTCAACGCGCGCGCGTCGAGGGCTCAAGAGTCAAGGCAGAGCCAAATGTGAAAACCTGTTGCCACGGGCTCCGCGCGCGGTGTCGACGCGAGAAATGGCCAGTCGTATGAGGATTAATAACGCACTGATCAAGGCTCCTCACCCCAGCGCGGACAGGGCAAAACATGCCTGTCAAAAAAATGCGGAGCTAGCGTCCAGTAAGACACTAGCAAGCCGGAGCCACGAGGACGCCAGTGCGGCTGTGGGCCGACAGTGAGGCGTTTCCAGCTCAGACGACAGCTCGTGCAGCTTGTTTGGTGAGATCTCCAGCGAAGAGCACCCGTGCGGGCCGCCCCGAGCCACCTCCTGCGAGCAGCACAGATTTCCTGGCAGGAACCTTGCGCAGCCAAAGAGACACGATGGCGACCCAAGAACAGCAACAAAACGACGAGCCCGTCCTTGAGACGGCTGAGGACACCGCTAGGGTCTCGAATGCTGTGGACTTACTCATGGATTTGTGTGCGGAGAGAACCAACAATCATGACGAGACCGCTCTAGATGTGGTAGCTCATGTCGGCGCGGAGGTGCGGGCCATGGCCGCGAAGGTCGCGGCGACCATCAAGTCGAAGGCGCACGCGTCAGTAGCCGTCGAGGACTTGCAAGCTCTGCACGCCAGAGCCATGTCGGCCCTCGAGACGGCCGGCATCCCTTCGTCAATGGAGAAAGTAGTAGCCAAGCTCCAGGCAGCCCAAGAGGAGGAGCCCGCCGTCGCCATCGTAGAAGAGAAGCCTCCTGTGAATGATGACGACCAGTCCACGTCACGAGGTGTCGCCTTCTTGAAGGACGTCGAGGCCATGCACTCGGCGCCGTCCGGTGAACTGCGCGAGGCGGCCACAAGACGAGTGTCCCTCACGTTTTCCGGTACTGACCTGTGTGGAAATCAAATGTCGCGGCGCATCTCGCGGTGTCGATTCCTCGCACGCGACACACTGGTTGATTTCCACACAGGTAATGATGCACCCTTGCGAGCGGCCGCCACAAGGTTAGGCGCGCTCGGCGCTTTAGCTAAAGCGCATGAAGCAGCGGAACAGGAGGGCAACACGGAGGTGGCCATTTCCGCGGCGCGAGCGGCGGCCGCGCTAGTACCCTCGGAAGCGGAGCCCTTACATCTCGCCGCGTTAGCCTCACCTACGCTGAAGATGCTCCGGTTAGTCTTGGAACAGTCGACAGATTGCACCACAAGTACCCATCAAGTAGCCGTAGCGATCGCCCACTTGACGGTACTCTTACAACAAGGGTGGACCGAGGATAAAGCGCAACCTCGCGTGTTAGAGGCGTTGGTCGCCGCGACCTGCGATGCCGCACGGGCCTGCTCCCATGGACTAGGCGAGTGCTGCGATTCGGAGACGGCTGCCGTCACGGCCTTTGCCGTTTCAAACTTGGCGGCTTTATCTGGCGCTCGAGTGGAGCTCGTGAGACAAGGAGCTATTTCCGTATTAGCCAATTGGCTGGAAGCGCGACCTCTCTCAGAGCTCCACCGCCACGCGTCCTCGGCGGCGCAGCAGTTAGCCGGCGCGGGCGACGAAGGCAAGGCCGGGCCTTCGGGATATTTGGAGATGAGAGATGAAGATGTTTTTGCGAGAGGGTGGCTCGACGCGAAGCTCACGGACGCTTCATTGGGTTTATTGAAGGCCCTGTCTGGATTGACACAAGACGACTCGGCCGTGGCTGCGGTAAGAAAGCAAACTATTACTGCTTTGTCAGAACTCTCGAAGCGACCACCCAACAGAAGAGCAGTAGTAGAAGCAGGCGGGTCCTACGCTCTACTCCACTCACTGAGAAGATGCGTTTCTGATCTCAGCGCCCCGGCTAGACGCCACGAAGCCGCTGATCTAGCTTGTAGAGCGTGCACGGCGTTAGCGGCAATAGCCCTGGAACCTTCACCAAGTGGCGACCGAGTCTCGGCCGATCTCGTTGACGGCGACGTCCTCACACCAGTAGTGGCGTGTCTAGCCCTAGCCGCACCGCGATCACCTTTGAGACTAGCCGCCGCGCGACTCGCAGCGAGGGTCTCGGAGGATGACCTCGACGCGAAGAGATCCCTCGCCTTCTTCCAAGGCGGAGGCCTCGGAGACATGGAAATTCAACCGGTCGACGCCTTACTCGTGTTGGGTGGAGGTTTGGACCATTCCGATGATGGTGGTTCGATACAAAAGCCGCAGACGCCGCGCTGGGGCCGCGGGCGAAGTGAGTCAGTTCCACAAGAGCACGAGCCGGGGGCCTTTCGGCGGCCGGACGCGAGGGAGGCGGCGCACGTGGCCTATGCTCTCGCGAATCTGGCGGCGCGGCCGGATCCCGCGTCCAAGCTGTTGTGGGAGCGCGGCGCGTTACCCGTGTTGCTGCAGCTACACAGATCGCCACGAGCGCCGTTGCGAGCGAGGGCGATGCGCGCGCTAGCTTCCTTAGCGGCTCCCTTAGTAGCCCATCCGGCCAGAGACCAAGATAGAGATGTTGATGATCATGCCTCAGCAGCAGCTGCCGTCACGGTCGCGAAAGCCGCTCTAGCTACGCTGAGAGACGAAGACACCAGCAATGACACGGAGACCCAAGCGTTTAGGAAAGAGGCGACCTACGAGGCCGCGAGGTGCGTGAAGAACCTCGCCTTTGCGGCACCTCTAAGGGCAGCATTAGTGGCTGGTTCTCTGAAGAGGTTACTCGCCGTCGCGGTGGGCGGCTGCGCGGAACCTAGACTAAAGGCACTAGCGGAGGCTACGCTCGTAGCGCTGGGCTTGGAAGGCGGCGCCGCCGATTTGGAGCTCTGCGGCAACGACGCTCGTCTGTTAGAAGAGTGGGTTGAAATGAGGGCTTCCTTAGAAGCCCAACGAGGCCTCGAGCAGGACTACGGGAGGGCTCTCAAAGACGCCTGGTCACCCGGTGAAGATCTGAGTGATGATGGGAGTGACGAGGAACCTACGTCAGAGAAACCGGCACCTCTCGATGTGTTTGCGGGGAAGCTCAGAGAAGTACTGTTGAATCCGCACGGCGCGGCCCTCAAATTAGCCGAACTCAAAGCGGGCGGGTTGTTTCGATGTACGTCCGTCGATCCCTACGACGAGCGCGTCGTCAGTGAACCACAGAGGCCTCGTTCACCCATCTCGAAGCCTTCTCCGTTGGCACCGACCGCGTTAGTTGCAAGACTATCCTCAGCACCGGGCACGCCCCTGCCGTCGACACCCTTGGCGCAGGAGGGCCAGAACTCCGAAAAGCTCTTCCGACACGTCCGGTCGACGTCCTCAGCCTCGAACACCGTCGAGGACGAGGAGGAGTCGTTCGTGACGGCGGCGACGCGCCTGCCGCGGTGGTGGGCTTCCGAGCGACGCGCGAGGCAGTCCTCTGATGAGACTACGCCACCACCCACCCCGCTAGCTACACGTAAAAGAAGACGACGAGCGGCGGACCGCGGCGTGACCTCGAAAGACGTCCAGGTGTTTCTGGAGCGGCACTTTCCGTCCGTGTTGCAACGCCAGCAGGTGGCTCCATTTAGTCATCCTGGTTGTTCTGATTCTTGGTTACGAGCGCTAGCTTTGCCTAGACGGCAATATTTCTCGTTTCGGAGAGAAGCACGAGTGCTAGGCAAGTTGCTGGAGCAGGACGGCCATAGTAAATATGGTGCGGTCTTCCGCGATTCGACCTTTGCGGGAGAGTTCTGCGAATCGCTCGGGAGTTTTCTCGCAAGGCAGCCCAAGGTGTCGTCCCTGGCGTTTGTCGCTTCCCTAGGCGGCCTGCCGGGTGCGGCCCTAGATGACTCTACGACGGTCGGGTTGTTCCACCAAAATCCCCAACCCAATGAATCAGCACAACGTACAACAGCTCTGGCTTATCTCGTGGGCGCTCTACCTTTGTCTGTTGAAAGTGTTACGCTGGATCGAGCTCTTGGTAGAGATGGTCTCCAAATCCTCGGGATATTGCTACGAACGGCGGAAGAGAGAAGACGAGCAGCGTTGAGAGATAATAACATGTCCATCGCGGGCCCCGCGCCGTCCTTGTTAGCGGTACGGGGCCACGACCACCTGCAGCCGGATGATTTTGCGTCTTTGGCTTTGTACGTCGGGGCTTGCGTCAACGAATCCTCCACAAGATTACGGTGTCTCATAGCGTTGGACCTGCACGGCAACCGGCTGGGCGACGCTACTGCTGCAGCATTTGTCCGCGCGCTCGATCGCGACGATTCTCCCATACAAGCGCTAGATTTAGGTGCCAATTCGTTGGGCCCGGCCAAGGCCACGCTGGACGCCCTGATCGGGAAACAAGATGACGACCGGGACGTCCCGCCTAAAAGAGGCTGCGTCTTATGCCGAGGGACGCTGCGGACTTTGTCACTAGCGGCGAATTCACTAGGTCCGCGGCCGGCGGCGCGCTTACTAAGAGCGTTGGGTGAACGATCTCCAGCACCTTCCTTGCGAAGCTTATCTCTCAAACATAGTTCGTTCGGCCCGCCCTGCGGGTTAGGCGCCCTGGCTTCACTAGCGACAGCACTGAAGCGCGTCGCGGCGAAAGGTGCGCTCGAGGATTTGGACCTAGATGGCTGCCGCCTCCAACCAGATGCCGCTCGGGAGATTCTGAGTGGACTTAGAGAACGCGCGGGCGACGACGCGTACGCCGAGGCCTCGGGCGAGCGTTTGAACGGCTTGACCTTCGTGCGGCTGAGCGAGGGCAACCAGGTCCACCGCGAGGACGCGCTGGCCATCTCCAAAGAACTGAGAAGAGCGCGAGCCAGGTCCGCGGCGCGGTTTCCTGTGCAACCGGCACCCATACCCGAAAAAGAGAATCCGCCGCCGCCGCCACCACATGTACCGATGAAGTCGTCGCCCGCAATCGTGCGCTCGGAGGGAGATCTAATACAGCGACGGGCCGCGTCGTGGACCGCAGGTTCTCCGAGAACAGTTCCATCGATCGAGTCTCCTCGGTCGACAGCAACGCCTCTCGTAGCTTGTCTCTTCGCCTCGCCCCTGGCCTGGCAGGACTCGCACGGCAAGCTCCATGGGATTGAGGGGCTAGATGGAGATGCCGAGCGCGAGGCCATTGCCAAAGCTCTGGAAGAGCGGCGCTCGAACGAGGACCAGCGGGAGCGGGTTATTGTTGATTTCAGAGCGGCGACGACGGAAGCCCTACAAGCTGCTCTCACGTCGGGCGTGCGCGTGCTGCATTACTCGGGCCACGGCCACCCGCAGTGCCTCACCTTCGAGGACGGGCGCGGGGGTTTGCAGCCCGTGCCGCCGCGGCGACTCGAAGCTCTGGTGCGACCGCGGCCGCCTGCTTTGGCGGTGGTGTGTGCTTGCCATTCGCTACGGGCGGCGCAAGCGCTGGTCGCCGCGGGCGTCAAGCACGTCGTCGCTGTCAGTCTAGATGAGCCTCTGCTGGACGCGGCCGCCGTGGCCTTCACTAGAGCGTTTTATCACGCTTTGTCAGTGGGCGATAGTGTACGGAGGGCCTTCGACGGCGGCGTGGAAGCAGTGGCCGCGTCCCCAAGAGTAGGACCTGACTGGGCCTCGAAGTTCGAATTACTCCCGGAGGACGGCGACCACACGGCCAAAGTATTGCCTCGTTCACTCATGAGACGGAAAGTGTTAGTACCAGCACCTCCCCCGGGACCACCACCCAGATGGCCTCCTAGAGCTACCTTATCTCAAAATGCCCCGCGACCGCCCGAAGATTTCCTAGGGAGAGAGGTCGACGCATTTAAAGTACTAGACGCTTTACTGGCGAGGAGAAGGAGGTTCGTGTCATTAGTAGGGCCCGTCGGAGTGGGCAAGAGCGCCTTGGCCGCTTTTGTGGCGGAGTATGTGGACGCGAGAGCGTTGTTCCGGGCCGTCGTCTTCCTCAAGGTCGATTCAAACGCGTCGCGCGAATCCTTGGATGCATTATTAACGGCTTCACTACTGGACGCGTTCTTCGACGACGACGGCGAAGGCAAGACGCTACTCGTGTTGGATGGCGGTGCGGACAATGGGGAAGTCAAGCGGTTCCTGGCCGCGGCACTGGACGCGCGCGATCGACTGGTGGTGCTCTCGACGCGGAAGGTCGGGTTGGATCGGCCCTCGGAGCACGAGGTGCCGCTCGGGCCCCTCGACTTATCGAATGCTGCTAGATTATTCGCGCGCCAGTGCCCGCGCTTGCACACGGCGTCTGATCGTCGTAGGTTCCACGCGCTCGTGACGTCGGCGGACCTGCAAGGTGCTCATAGCGTTATTCTGGACGCTTTGCTCGGCGGGCTGCCGGGCGCGATCGTCGCGGCGGCGTTCCGAGCGTCGCGGGAAGATCTTGAAGGATTGCTGGCGGTGGCGCGGGAGTCGGGGAGCGCCCACGTCGTCGCCGTCGGCGACCACCCGCTCCTCGCGGGGCACAACACGCCGCTCTGATTGTATCTGTGACACATAACTATGACTTGAACTTACGGTAGTCCTCTAGCGTCATGTACGCGCGATCGAGCTCACCGAGTGCCTCTAGCGTGTCCGGATGGGATGGACCCATGACGCGTCGCAGCGTGCATAATACGTCCTCGAAAATCGCCACTGCCTCTAAAACCTCAGCGCGGGACGCTCCGGCGGGCCTGTAGAGGGCCTTCGCGTATTCCAGTCGGAACTTCCGCCCATAAAGTAGGAGCGGCGGGACGAATGATTTAACCTGGTCGTAACGCCCTAACTCATTCAAAGTGTACGCAAGCTGGTGAGCGGCAATTAATGTTGTTGGATAAGTTGCGCCCATCAGGACTTTGTTTCTGGCGTAAACGAGGCGGAAGAGTCTCGCCGCTTCCTCCAAACGCCCAGACAGTAGATAGCAACGAGCCAAGTTGTGCTTCAAGTCTAGCGCGCTGCCTTCATCATCAGGAAAGACGCGGAGCAGTGTAGATAACTGCGTCTCAATGATAGCGATTCGCTCCTCGTGCTTATTCACTGCACCTAGCCCATTCGCAAGCTCCGTTATCGCGGCAAAACGAGTCTGAGACCAGTCCCACTCCGGCCGGCCCACGTACGTTTTCCAGCACGCCCACCCGAGCGCGCACTTCACGACACCGTGGTATTCATGCTCGCACAAGAAGCATACGTGCCACCGCTGAAACCTCGCATTGATCTCATTCATGCCCAAATTATTCTCCTCGGCCTCCGCGTACAAAATCTTTGCCTGCTCCGCCAAACACGACAGGACGGCGACGCCACGCTCAACGATCTGCGCGAGGCCGTGACGACGCTCGAGGACACGGAACGGACCGCGCGGCGCGTACTGGGCGCCGCGCATCCGCTCGCAGCGAGGATTGAGCACCACTTGCGAGCCGCGCGAGCCGCGCTCCGCGCCCGCGAAACGCCGCCGCCGGGGAGTGGGTGAGTGGGTAAAACACAACTATGACTTATTGATAAAAACTAGGTCGCCGCCGGCGGGCGCAACTCATCAAACACCGCGCTCATCGTGAAGCGCCGCCAGGCGGGCACGTCCGTCGCGTTCGGGTTCCGCGAGCACTTGAGCATATGGGCGTCGGCGACGGCCTCAATAGCAAAAGACTTGTAGCAGTGGTCGCAGATGTAATTTTTTTCGGGGCGCTTCGAGCCGGCGACGAACGCTTGTAAAGTTGCGACGCGGACCGATTGCGTCGCGCCGACGCGGTGCGCGCGCGACACGACTTGTTCCAGGAGAGCGGAGTCGCGGATCGGCTCGAGCAGGACCACGTGCGTCAGGAACGACAAGTCGAGGCCGTGCGACGCCTGGCGCGTCAAACATAGGATCGGCACGTCCTCCCTTTCAACAAGCACTTTTTGCGCCTCTAATTTGGGTCCCCGGTACCACCTAGGCCCGTGCCACTGGCCGCAGCGCGCCCACTTGAGCAAGCGCACGCGCACCGCGCCCTCAACAATGGAATGGGGCGGCCGCAGCGGCCCGAGGAACCAGTCCGCACTTTCGAATTGTTCCCGTGCCGCCCGCTCAACACACGCGCGGCAGCCCCAGTCCCGCCAGGTCTCCGCATCTTTACGAGGTGCAAAACTGCCATCGTCCAACGTAATGAGCAGTTCATCCCCGACGGTCCAGGCCCGCCAATCATCAGCATAGACTTGGGGGGACGCCGTCGGCGTCTGCGTCGCAACTAAACCTACGATCCGTTCCGGCTCAATTAACAACCGCCGGCCACAGTTAATACGCTCCGCTTCTGGTAAATTGGCGTGCAACGCGTCGCCCCGCCTCCGCGCCAGTTCGTCGTCGTCGAGCAGTAGAACCTCCAGTAAAGCGTGATGACACGATTTCCGGTCGACGTCATTTTCCCTCCAGCACCGCGGGCACTTGCGCACTTCTCTCCGATCGGTCTGGAACCGCACGAGCTCGCGCGCCGACGCCTGGTGGCCCAAGCGCTGGACGTCGAATTCGGCGATGCCGCCATGTAGTCTAGCATACAACGCCTCCGCGACGGACGCCAGATCCCCATCCCGCTGGGAAAAGACGGCGATCTTCGGCCTCCTGTGATTTGCTTTGGTACGACAAACAAAGTCCGCGAGGGCCTCGTCGACGCGCCACTGGTAGGAGTCGTCGTCCGGCGTCTCGCCCGGTCGTAAGGCTACTTCGACCTCGTAGTTCTCGTAGACCGGTGATGGTAGCTTCAAATCAGTTTTTCTATGTCGTACGGTGACTGTCCTTAACAAAGCTACTAGTGTCGCTCTGGCAGATTCAGACTGCTGGTCACAGAACGGCGCCATCACTTCGGACTCAAAAAGAGCCTTCCTCCTCTCGGAGTCGTCGGCCGCGTCTTCTCGTGTATCTAATCTAGGATCCGCGTCCAAGCCGTACCTCGGATGTCTCAGCCACTTGAGCAACTTTTGGAGCTGATACAAATGCGACCTCACGATAGCGGGATCGTCCACATCACCTGTTGTTGGTGTTCCCGAGACCACCCACCGTCGCTCCGCAAATAACTCGGCGATGAACGACGACGTTGCCTGTTCTAGGTCGCCGTCGCCGCCTACGAGCTCGTGGCCCTCGTCGACGACTAGTCTCAACCACCTCAACTGTAAGAGTGGAGAGGACTCGGCGTCCTGCGCGTTTCCGTGCCTGTAGATTCGTCTTTCAGCAGCCCGCCGAAAGTCCTGGTCCTGGCGAGCCGCGTCGCGACACACAGAGAACGGCACTACTACTATTAAAAAGCGTCTCAAGTCCGAAGCTGACGGTAAGCGAGGATGCCTTTCTCTAGAACCTCGCTGGAAGTCGGGGTGCCACCGCGACGCACAACCCCACCCATAGACGAAGCAGCACCCGTCGCCGCTCCGACCGTCGCCGAACGACGGCGCCAGCCTCCTCAAGTCCACATGCCTTCCAATCTGCGCGCGCCAGTGTTCTAGGAGAGCGTCCGGTACGACTATCAGAGTGCCGCCCGTCGGCTTGAGGGCCCGTTCGGCCAGGGCTCGTTTCCCTTCGCCGCCTAACAAAGCTGATCTTCTTTTACCGTCTAACCTGCACCTTGTGAGAGCCATGGCATGCGCAAAATCCAGCTTGATGTCGTCGCGTATCGCGGGCGTCGCGTAGCGCAGTCGCGACGCGCCTCTTCTGACATGCGCTTCGAGCGCTGACACACTCTGGAAGGGGAAGGGCGGTAATGAGGAATGCAGTAGTTGATCAGCCTCATTGTAAGGTAACGACTTCCGCTGCCACGTGTCTCTATAAGATATGACCGACCGCAGGCCCCGCAAACACTCCCTCCTTAGCTCCGACTCGCTCTTGATCAGAGCCGCGAAGGACTCGTCGATAGTTGTAGAATCCCAGAAGGCCTCCGGCGACGACGGGAGCTCTCCACTTGTTTGTAGGATGAGAGCTAGGACCGTCACGGTCTTGCCCAGACCAGGCGCGTCGGCCAGCACGCCTCCCCTCAATTTGCCGAACTGCCGCGTATGCGTCTCTAACAACCGCATCGCTCGTAGCGACGCTAATTGGTGCTTGAAGAGGCCGCCCACAATCTTCCCGCGAAATAACCCGGGGAAATGCGGCCACGGCGCGCTCGGCTGCGTCTGCACCAAGCCGCGCGCGAAGGTGTAGTCGACCCTCTGTAATTCAGTATGGATGGTCTTGGACGCGCAGGGGACGGCCCTTAACTCGTGCGGCGCGAGGAATTTCGACGCTTGGTTATCCAAGCACGCGCGGCCCTTGCAGAAGGCGAGGAGGAGCGTTTTGCCTCCATGTTCCGTCGTGGCGACGCGGCGCGACCGGCGCCAGCGCAGCGGCTTCGGGACGCGGACGACGAGCGGTGCTGCCGGCGGCGGCGTGACGCTCTGCTGCGCGGGCGCGTGGAGCAGCTCGCGTTTTTTGGCTTCGTATTCCTGCTGGTCGAGGACGCCATCATCAAAAAGCGCTTTGGTGGCGCGCAAGGCTGCGACGCGGGCTGGCTCCATTGTAGTGTTCAGCCGTGTGCCAGTGGCAGAGTCAAAACAGGCTGTGGCGCCTCTCGGCGGGCACGGTAAGGGTTGATTGTCGCAGGCAAAACGTGCAGAGTGCTCGTGCCGATGGTTGCTTATGCTATCGAGCACGCGTAGCCGCGGTTTTGTGGCTTTTTGTCCGGCTTTGCCTCCTTGCTAGTGTCTTACGCGACGCTAGCCATCGACAAGCGCCACAGCCAAAAAACACAGTGCTTGAGCCGCGCGACGATTGATTGCAACCATCAAACATCCGACAGCCATCCAGCAACTGCACACGGTTCATCTTCAGACGCAGCAAGCAGTCCAAACAACTACTTTGCGACCACCACCAAAACCTCTGCACCTCATCCCTAGCGCATGGCTGACCTCGCAAAACCGGAGTACGTCTCCTGCACCGAGACGAGCGTGACGATCAGCACGGCTGGCGGGGAGGGCGTCACCGTCGAGTACAAGGAGTACCCCGAGGACTGGAGCGACGCGAAGAGCGTTGCGGCAGCCGCCGAGTGCACCGTCGAAGAGCTGAACCCCGGCTCGACGTACCAGTTCCGGCTGGCGCAGGGCGAGGCGCGCGGTCCCGAGCTCGTCGTCGACACTGCTGCACCCAACTGCACGCCGGGGCCGTCAAAGGCGTGCTGCGTGGTCGCGTGATGCGCCCCGCCGAGCCCACGGCCGGAAGCAGACCCAGGTGGCGCGTCGTCTTTGCCGCGTTCGCCGCGACCGCGCACGGGCCCGGCGTGCATTATATATATGGCGTGTTCCAGGCGGCCTTGCTGGACGCGAGATTTTCATCTTCGCGCGCGTTACTGGGCGGCGCCGGCGGCCTCAGCACGTGTTTGATGCTCCTCGGCGCCCGGCCGGCCGGCACGCTGCAGGCCGCGCACGGCGCGGGGTTCGTCGTCGGCGGCGGCGCGGCGGTCGCCGTCGTCGGCTTGCTCCTTTCAGCAGCGGCGACGGAGCTCTGGATGCTCTACGTCGGCTTCGGCGTGCTGGTCGGCGTGGGACACGCGCTGCAATTCGCGCCGTGCCCCGTGGCCGTGGCGGAAGCCTTCGACGGCTCCGACCGGGCGGCGGTCGCCTCGGGCGTCGCCACGTCGGGCGCCGGCGCGGGGACCGCGGCTCTAGGGGCCACCGTGGCGGCCGTGGTCGTCTGGCGCAACTGGCGCGTCGCCTTCGTCGTCGTCGCCGCGTCGACCGTGCTCTTCCTCGCACCGGCCGCGGCCGTGTTCAGACACGCGGACCGATGGCGGCGCGAGGTTGACAAGGTCACGTCGCTAAAAATGTCGCGGCGTCTGAAGCACCTCTGCGCAACTGCGTTTTGCTACGCCTTCGGCTGGGAGGTGCCCTTCGTCCACCTCGTGTCGTACGCGGAGGACGCCGGCCACGCGCCGTCGCGGGCGGCGGGCGTCGTCGTCGCCGTCGGGGTGGGGGGCTCCGCCGGTCGCATCTTGAGCGCGCGCTGCGCGGATGCGGTCGGCGTCCAAGCGGTCTTCGCTGTACTCATTTTCGTGACGGCGCTAGTCGATGTCGTGCTGCCGTGGGTCATTGAATACGCGAGCGCTCTTTATGTATACGGATTTGTGGTGGGTACTACCGCGGGAGGAATAATCGCCCTCACAACGCCAATGGCGCGTACTTGTCTCACAGATACATCAGGGCTGCCGCAAGCCTCCGGCGCCGTCTACTCGTCGATGGCGGCTGGCGTGGTCGCGGGACCGGTGCTCGTTGGCCTTGTTCGCGATCAAATAGGCTCATATGCCTGGGGTTTTCGCGGCGCGGCCTTTTGTTGGGCCGTCGCGTTCGCGCTCTGCTTGACGTTGCCGCGGCCGCCGGCCCGCCCGGCAGCTAGGATTTAATTAGGACTATTCCTTACCCCCACCACCCCCCACGACGGGAATCGTCACGACCAGCGCCGACAGCTTCTTGGACCACTTCGCCCGCGCCTCCTCTGACCGCACCCTTCTAGACAGAGGCGCGTTGAGCCGGTACTCGCGCGCGCGCCCATTTTGTGGAGGCGCGGGCGCGTACAACCGCAGGTGCGTCTCGGAGACGTCGAGCTTCGCGTCTCTCGAAGAACAGCCAGGGAGCGTCACCGTCACCACCAATGAATCATCAGCACGCTTCTGGGCGCAGTCTGGTTGCATAACCAGGGGCGGCGTCGGTGCAGGCGGCGGCTTCGGCTTCGGCGGCTCCACCGGTGCCTCCACTGTGACCTGATCACCTTTCAACACGCGCGACAGCTGGTCGGCCACGTCACAAACATTTTTAGTACGTTGGTCCGCCTCCTCATTATCCTTCCGATGTTTTTCGGTCATATCATTGACCAGCCCCGACGCGTCCCCACCGAGACCCCTTCGTAACTGGTCCTCGCTCAGGCCTTGCTTCTGAAAAAACTCCAACAACGACTTCTCGTCCCCGCAACTTTGCAACTGGTCGAGCTGCCGCATCTGCTCTTCTATCGCTCGTTGCTCGTCCTGCATCTTCTTCATGTCATTTTTCATCTCCTTGCGGCGTGACTTGATAGAGTCTTGGATCGACGCGGCGGCTCTTTCGCCTCCCGGCTTCGAGGCCGCTTCTCGTAATCGTTTGGCCTCTTCCAGTCTCATGCGCGTCGCCTTGACTTCCGCCTCCATCTGGTCCAACGCCTGCGGGTCCGTCCGATGGAGCTCCTGCAGCTTTTTTGTGGTCAGGTCCTTTTTGACCGGTGCCTCATCCTCGTCGGAGTCCGCGAGGTTCTCGAAGCGGCTGTAGTCTACACTGAATTTGGCCATCGTTGTCCAGCACAGTCGATACAGAGGCTGCCCAAAGCTTCGAACTCGAGCAGCCAGATGCACCTAGATAGAGGCACTAGCTTTGAATCGCGCAGCCACCACCCGTCCGGGGAGGCCTACGCGACCGAGAGACGCTGCGGGGAGGAGTCCTCGGACTAAACCCGACTGGGCTCTGCGGTCCGCTTGGCAGCGCCGAGTATTGATCAATTGGGAGGCTCCTCGTGGGGCAGCCGTTCGAAGCAATGGACCGACGACGACGATAGCAGACGATGAGGGGAGCATGGCTGCTCCTGCTTGGCCTCGGCGGCGCACAGCCGCCCAAGCTGGTGAGGACACCCAAGAGGCCAGCGCCGCGAGTCGTCGACGCGGCCACTAACGAGGCGGCGCCGGCGAACGCGACGACGGATGAAGCAAGAAGGCGCCTCGCCGCACAACGGGGCGGCGGCCGCACGGACGTCTACCGGCCGGCGCCCGGCAACATTTACACGTTCGCGCCGACGGCCTCGCAGACCCAGGAACCGACGCGGGACATGGAGCGCATGCCGCCTCCGTTACTCATGCCGCCGTCGGGCGCCTACGATCTTGCGGTTGGCGCGTCTCTATTACACGAAATTCCCGGCACGCAGCTGCACTGCACCATCGAAGGAGTGGACTGCCCCCTGAGTCCTACTGGCGACGAGTGCGCGCCGACGCGAGCCTCTCCATCTTATATGGCAGGTACCATAATACATCTGTCTGGAACGATGTCGCCCACGATCACGTTGCGATGCATGGCCCGCGCGCCTTTGGTCGATTTCCCGGAATATTCCCGGAAGGAACCGGAGCAGCAACTCCGAGACTCGGAGCCGCGCGCGCGGACGTATGAGGTGCAGATGGGCATGTACGATTATGATAGAAGGGGCTACACGGGCCGCGTGGGCATGGCGTACTTGGTACCATATTACAGAGGCATGAACTACGCGGACGAGGCCGGTTTGACCATGCCCGCCTTGTCCGGCCACTCGTCGGACATGGCGTCCGTGGATCTGAACACGTCCTCGTACTTGTCGGTACGAATCCATGGCGTCGACACGGACTTCGCGGACTTCTACACGATTGATATTGTGAACGACTTGCCCTACTCGAGAGGCACCGGCGCCTACAAGGTCTCGTATTGTGTATTAGAGGATGGGTACGGCGACGCGTGCTCTTTAGCATTCCCGTGCAAGAACGGCGAGCCCTGCGAGACCGTCGGAAGGCAAGCGAACAAGCACGACCTCGCGACGTACGCCGACAACGACAAATTGAAGGGCTTCTTCCACGGCTTCGTCCAGCACCAGAAGCGCCGATTTACCACCGAAACATTTTATACGGACTATAAGTATTATAGGAGGTACATGGTGTCTCCCAAAGAAATTCAGGAGGCCGTTAGATATGGAGAGGCCTGGTATCGACCAGCGCATAGGTTCAATTCCTATCCGAGACGCGAGCCGAGCTTTTTGGGCACGGATTCGTATCCAGACGGCATGGGCGGCTGGGCCGAGGTGCCCGAGAGTGAATCAAGGGCGCCCATGGATTTGGACAATAACGTCGGGCCCGAGTATTTTGCCGATGGTGGGAGTGTGGGAACGCCGGGAAGCCCGCCGGGCAAGGAGTGGCGCTACAACTTCGAGATCGAGGCGCCGGGGTCCGGCGGCATCTTCTTGGTGCCGCTGGAGGCGCCCCAGCCCATGCAGGACATCGCGCCCTGGACCGTGTGTGACGCACAGATCAGAGAGGACCCGACGAAAAAAGTTACGAACATCAGTAGGCACAACTCCACGTCCTACGGCTTCCTGGCGCCCTTCTTCGACGGCGACAGCTACTCCGGGTCGACGGTGCGGTTGAAATTAGCGACGACGATGCAGGAGGTCCGCGTGACGCGGACGTGGATCAACATCATGACTTGTTGTGTGGTCAACATCACGCGGGAGATCTGCGCTTTGAATCGCACGGAGGTGCGCGACAGTGGCGCCGTGCGCATCACGACCATCGACGAGTACGCGACGGCTTCGATCGAGGTCAACAACACGTTTGATTTGCAGCCGACGCCGAAGCCGACGTCCAATAATACGGCGACGACTGCGACGGAAGTCCCCAAGACCATATCCATACCAGCCGCGCCATCCAGGACGGAGGCTTTAGATTTAACGGCGACACACGATAGACTGCGCGGCTTCGTCGGAGGCTTCGCGATGCGCGACCACGTCTATTTCGTGCCGCACTTCGACGGGCGCAACCCGGGCCACGTTATCGCGCGGCTGGAGGCCGAGGACTTCAGTCAAGCAACCGTAAAAGCTCTAGATCTGTGGCGCTGGGACACGAGTCTGGCGGGCTACTTTGGCGGGTTTGGGTATACGACGCATGGTGCCGGAATCGAGTACGGGTTTCTCGTGCCGCACGCGGCTTTGACGGGACCAGTAGGCAAGGTGAATTCTCAGCACCCGGCGGACACGTGGGCGCCGGGCGTCGGCCAGGACTGGAATTTGGACTACTCTGATGGGAGGGACACGTCTACGCGATTGGGAGAGCGCCACTGGTACGAGGAGGGCGGGTCCTTCCATTCTGAATACAGAACGGAGGGCAGCCAGCGGACCGCCGTCGGCGGCGACCACACCACCGAATACTTCCACGGCAAGCTCGTGAGATTACATCTAGCGGACTTTGAGAGTACGGGGGATGCGCCGTTCGACGTTTTAGATTTGACGGAGATTGATCCGGATCTGCGCGGTTTTGCTGGTGGGAGTGTGGTGGGGCGGTACGGGTTGCTCGTGCCGTACAAGAATAGGGTGGGCGACGACGGTTTTTTTGGGAAATTAGTGAAGGTTGATTTGGAGGCTTTTACGGTGGAGGCGGTGCTTGACCTCACTAGGCTGGAAATCAATTCCGAGACCACGGAGATTAGTGGAGACGCGTTGCGAGGTTTTGTGGGGGGCGTGTCCTTCGGGAAATATTTTTGCCTCGTGCCGCACCGCAACAATCGAAGGGATATCAATTATAATAAGCGGGACCATTCTGCTTTAGTGGTCCGGGTCGACGTCGACGACTTTACGATTTCGACAGGTGTCAAAGTTGTTGATTTATCAAAAGTAGTACGGCAGCAGATCCCGAGCCAGCCGGATAATGAATTGAGGGGGTTTTTACATGGCTTCGCCGCTGGAGAATATTTATACTTGGCGCCTCATTTCGGCCGCGACTTCCACGGCAAATTGGTGAGGATCGACATGCGCGACTTCGGGACGCTGGCGGACCTGCAAGCTACAGATCAGTCGACGGACGTGCCCGTCGGGACGCCGGGCGCGTACACGGGCGTGCAATATGTAGATTTAGAACGGAGCGACCCGAATTTGGTGGGTTTTAGCGGCGGCTTCAGCGTGCGGTCGTCGGAACCGACCGTCGAGAAGCCCCTGGACTCGCCCGAAAAACGCAGCGAGTGGTGGGAGCAGTGCCACTACATCCCCTTGGCCGACGGCGAGGCGGCGTCGTCGTCTTCTTCTAGAGTCGCGCACGTCACGCGCAAGGAATTCTTCGCGAACCGGTATTGTAGCGACGAGCCCGTGAAGAAGGAGGAGACGGGCAAGTTCGAGAGTCTGTATGTCGTCATGCGCGAGTGTTTGGAATCGCGGATTGGGATAGACGGCGCGTCGGCCTTCTTCCCCTACGAGGAGCCCTACTGCTACACGAACTTTAGGATCCCCCTGGACTCGGACCGGCTGCCGGGTTGTAGTAGAGGGACCTACGAGAAGTGCTACTACGAGAACGAGCCCTATACGTACCTGAGCAAGAACGACCAGGACGAGCTCAATAAAATTGAACTCGCGCACCGCGAGACGTGCTCGGCCTTCCACGACGAGATTGGGTTGGCGCACTTCTCGACGAGCGAGACGGGCGTCGCCCTCAACGAGGCGACGCCCGGCCTCGTGGAGATCACGCCCGAGGGGGGCGACTACGAGGCGACCTTCCCGCGCGTCGTGCTTTAAGGATTGTACTACTACTTTAGGACACCATGCGCACGAGGTCGCCGGCCATGATGGCGCCCTCGACGCGCGTCGATTCTCGCCCACCGCGGAACGCGATGATCGTCGGCAGCCCCCCCACGCGCAGCGTCTCGGCGAGCTTCGGATAGGCGTCCGAGTCGAGCTTGCCGACGCGCGCGTTCGCGCCCAGCTCCGCCGCGGCCTTGCGCAGCTCCGGGGCCATGAGCTGGCAGGGCCCGCACCACGTCGCGTAGACGTCCAATAACAGGGGCGCGCCGTCGTGCTGCAGCTCCAGCTCGACCTGCTCCGCCGTCAGCTCCGCGACAAGGCCCGGCGTCATCGCGCCCGAGCCGCTGAAGTTCGCGGCCGCTTCCAACGCCTCGCTCAGCGCCACGACGAGCTCTTCCTTCTCGAGGAAGTTCTGCCAGCGTATGTTCCTCTTCCCCAACTCCGCCTGGAGCTCTTTCACTCTAAGCTTGCGCAGCTCCTCACGGTCCGGCGAGAGCCTCAGCCGTGTGCAGCGCGCCGTGCGCGGTCGCGGGGCGAAGCCCAGTGTCAGCGCGCAGAGCGTGAGGGTGGCGTAGGCGTGCCGGGCGTTGTGCAGCATCGTGTCGCTGTGTCGCTGTGTCGCTGCACTCTGTGGGCCGGTTGCAGCAAGACCTTGCAGGAGACTTCCCGCGGCCTAATTGATGGTGAGGTCCACCGGCTGTGGACTGAGAGTCAGTGCAGCGATACTTGCTTGCTTCTTTGCGCTATGAAAGCCCTCAGAATGCCCTAGCCGCACCGCGCCGGCCTACTTGCTAGCGTATGTAAGACCACTAGAAACCATCCAAGGTCTTTGCCGCCTCCCTGTTTGGTGCCGTAGAACTGCTCTTTCGTCGTGAGCATTGACCAGACGAGCTGTGCGACTCGCTGCGTGCAACGGGCGAGCAATAATCACCACATCGGCCAGGCACATCAGCTGCGCACCCCAAGGGTCAGCTGCGCAAATCAGCTGCGCAAATCAGCTGCGCAAATCAGCTGCGCAAATCAGCTGCGCAAATCAGCTGCGCAAATCAGCTGCGCAAATCAGCTGCGCGAATCAGCTGCGCGAATCAGCTGCGCATGACGACCACCAGTGCCATCGCCGCCTGGGAAGCGGAGGGCTTAAGGCTGCTGGGGACGACAGCCACGCCGGATGAGCGCGCGGAGCTCAGAGCCGCGGCGGAGCGCCTCGCGCTGGCCTCGCGCGCCCGCAGCGCTCCTGGGTTTGATCGATGCGCGGCCCTGGTGTGCGCGTTCCTGGGGCCGCCGGAGCTCGGCGTGGTGGCGACATGTTCAAACTCCATGAAGCGTATCGCGCGGGAGGACCACTTGTGGCAGCCGCTGATTCGGCGTTTCTCGTGCGCGGAAGACATGCGGCGAGCCGGCTCCACGCTCACTGGCTTCCGGGACTATGCGAGGCTAGTCCGGCTCTGGAACCATCCGGACCGTAACTCGTCTGAGGAGCCGCCGGGAATGGATGCGTACTCTGTGGTTCTCGAGATCAACATTAGCGGCCAGCGCATCGCCGGTGGTCTGTATGAATTAGAGGAAATCAGAGACGGTCCCTGGGCGGGAGAAGGATTCGGATTTTACGACTTGGACCCTCATGGTCGACTAACACCGACCGCTCTGGAATCCTTCGATGGTGACCCTGTACGTCGCATGACTGTGTCCGTTTGCGTCGTGCGAAAGAGCGATAAGAAGTGCCTTCACCTTGTCACCGACATTGGTGTTGATGACGCTACTGAAAGGTACATCCTTTTTGACAGTGAAACTAGCTGCTCATCGTTCAATAACGTTGACCGTGACTACCAGGATGATTATCCTGCGACTCACGACTTTCGATTGTGGGGAGCCGTCTGGACCGAACCAGGAAATGTCCTGCGTGGCTTCACCAGTCCTCACGGGGAGCTCCGTTTGTGGGACCCCGAGGCAGACCATGCTGCGCTTCCCGCGGAGATAATCCTAAAGCGCTGGCACGCGAGTAAGAACTGGGTCTAGGAACACGCCGTCGACGCGCCACTAGCTCTTCTTTAGTTATACAAGCGCCCCCAACTCCCTACATGAGGATGTCCCCGAGGTACTCCTTGGCGCCCTCGCCCTTGCCCGAAAACGCGCCTGAAGCCCTGGCAAACTTCGTCGACGCCTTGGACTTCATCGCCTTCACCACACTGGTAATCGTGTCCGGCGACGACGCGAATAAATTGCCCGAGAAGGAGCCGAACTTGTAGAGCACGTCCGAGACCCAGACCGCGTCATACCCCGCGTCCCGCAAGTCCCAGGCCTCTTCCGCCTCCTCGAGGCCCTGGTCGTCCCTCGCGTCGACGCGCGCGATCAGCACCAAGTCGTCGCTCTTCATCTCCTTCACTGCCGAGGCCATGGCGTCAAACGCAACACCTCCTACTACTAACACTGATGCTTTCACATCATCCCGGGCCTGCTGCATGAGCGGCACCAAGCCTTCCGCTCCTGCCGCTCGAGGAGCGCAGACTATCAACGCCTCCAAACCATACTTGTCCTCTGCCACTCCTTTGAGCTCGTTGCACCTTTCCACTCCAAGCGTTTCGAGGTTCAGCGTCACGGCCTCGGCGCCACCAACGGCAGCTCGTGCTAATTGGACTTCGTCCACAACGGCGTCCATCCAGACGATGGGCAGCGGTCCAGGAAAGTCCTCCTTTGCCGTGGCCTGTTCGGCGACAGCAGCATCCAGATCAGCTTCTTCACAACCACCAGCGACGGACTCCATGTTGATTGCGAAGACGTTGGCGCCCGCCGCCCGTAACTCGTCGCTCACAAGGGTAGCATCCGGCTGCTCGTACTCCGCAGCACTCATCTTGAGAGCAGCCGGCACTCTCCGGTTGTACTCGGCGACCACACCCAAAGCGCCGCGCGCCTTCCTCTTCAAGATCCGCCGGCAGTTGTTCTTCGGCCCGTCGTGTTTAATTCCTTCCTTCATAGCCACCGCCACAGGGTGGTCGTCGCTCAAGTTGTCGAGGTAGGCGCGCTGCTCCTTCTCCTTCGCCTTTCGTTGGAGCGCGGCGAAGCCCGCTTGTAATGGCGCGACGCGTGTGGTGTGAACGCGCGCGCGCGGCGGCTGGTAGGCCTGTGCAAGGGCTGCAGCTGCTACAATGAGCGCTGGTCGTCGTCGCGGCATGGCTGCTTTGTGATCGCTGCTCTGGTATCTATGCGGAGACCTGGTCAACGAGCGCTGCCGCTCTGGTGCTCGAGCGATGGCGTTTAGGCAGCGCTCTTGGACGACGCACCAAGGTCAAACACAGCATCGCGACCTACCGTAACCGCGGATATAGCTCTCGGGCGGGCGACAGAGACGTGCTTTGGACGAATGCAGGCTTCTCCGGTGCAGTTTGCGGCAGTGCGGTAGACTGGTACTCTTTCAGCTCAAAATCGGCGCCACGGCTCTTGGCCGAGACTACGGGCGCGATTGAGAGTTGCCACGCGTCTCGAAAGCCGTGCGTTTTGCCGCCCTGCTTTTTACCGTAAAGCTAAGGCCATGCTGGACTGGTATAACTGCCTCGAAAAACAGAGCAACGCGCAAGCAGATACGTGACGGTAGCACTGTTTCTGGGCCGCCAGTCATCTCTGGAACGCACGCAAACGAGCGCGCCGCGCGTGTGGCCGCGCGAAAAACGTTTTGTGTATCTCCAGCTAGAAGAAGCTTCTCGCCGCGCGGCCGCGCGCACGCCGTTTTGCGACCAGAGCAACCGCGGCGCGCCGCCACGCACGCAGAACGCGCACGCGCGCGCGAAAATCCCGCCGCGCGGCCCGAGCGACCGCGCCGCAGGCCTGGCCCACAACGCGCCGCGTTGTGTTAGATGTCACACAAGATACTGTGACTCGACTTGCCAACATGACCACTGGCGGCGCGGCCACAAGCAGATCTGTAAACGAATCCACCGCGGCGGCAACGCAGAACAGTATAATGCAGACAAAAAATACAAGGAGGCCGTCGCGGTCGCGGTCGAGGCGTGCGCCGAGGACACGAAGGGCCAGACGTGCTACATCTGCACGCAGGCCCTCCACTGGAAAACAAAGGAGGGCCTCGTACGTATGTGCTCGTGCCGCGGGACGGCGGGTTTTGCGCATGTTTCGTGTCTGGCGGAGCAGGCGAAGATTTTGGTGGCGGAGGCCGAGGCGAATAACTTGCGGGCCGAGGCCTTTGATAAGAGGTGGAAGCGGTGGTCCTGGTGTAGTCTGTGCGAGCAAGAGTACCACGGCGTCGTGCGGTGCGCGCTCGGGTGGGCGTGCTGGAAGACGTATGTAGGCCAGTCTGAGGGAGACCGAGTTCGGCGCTATGCGATGAACCAGCTTGGGAACGGTCTATTCGAGGCAGACCACTATGAGGACGCGTTGACCGTTCGAGAGGCAGAGTTGGCTATGAAGAAGCGCCTTGGCGTGTCAGAGCACAACATCCTCGTCGCACAGGGCAATCTTTCGAACTCGTATTCTCAGATGGGAAGGCTTGAAGAGGCCTTGCAGATGGATCGAGATGTATACTATGGATCATTGAAGCTCGAAGGCGAAGAACATGAAATAACTCTCACAGCAGCCTTCTGCTACACGGCATCACTAATCGATCTGCACCGCCACGCAGAAGCCAAGGTGCTGTTGAACAAAACACTGCCCGTGGCGCGACGCGTTCTTGGCGAGAATGGTGAGATCACGATCAGGATGAGCGGGAGTTACGCGATGGCGCTCTACGAGGACGACGGCGCCACGCTCGACGAGCTTCGCGAGGCCGTGGCGACGCTCGAAGCCACGGAACGGACCGCGCGGCGCGTGCTCGGCGGCGCCCACCCAATCACAGGATCGATTGAGAAAGGCCTCCAACAAGCGCGAAAGACGCTCGCGGCGTTCGCCGCGCCCTAGCCAAGTCGGCGCGCGGGCCGCGAACGGGGCTTTAATCGTCTTAATTGGTACGAGACTCTAATTCAAGGGGTGGTCGCACGTCTGCGGAAAGCCCAAGCTAGCGGCATCGACGCACTAGCTTGGATTGCGTGTGCTCTCGGCACTTGGGAGATCATCTGCTCTGCACGCGAGCTAGTGGACGCATCGGTGCAGGAAAGGGCTCGTGGCAATCATGCAACGCCTGTGTCTCCTCCTCCCGCTGGCAAGCGCGCTGCTGGCACCCATCTCTCCTGCTGCACGCACCATTGCCGTGCGGCCAAACAGCTACTTGGACGACCTGCCCGCGGCCGCCGCGACGAAACCTGCGCCGGCACCGGTCGCCGCGCCTGCCCCGGCGCCGGCCCCGTCGCCCGTCGCCGCGGCCCCCGCGCCCGCGCCCGCGCCCGCCGCGGCGCCCGCGACGCCGGTCGCCGGCGACGTGCCCGCCGTTATTGTGGGATCCGGCGGCCGCATCGGCGGCATGCTCCTCAAGGACGGCGACGCCGCCTGGACGTCGACGAGCGGCTGGCCCGCCGACGCGCCCAAGGAGGGCCCCATCTACGTCTGCACGCGCAATGATGCGTTGGAAGGTATCATCGCGGCGACGCCGGAGAATCGGAGAAAGGACCTCTGCTTCCTCCAGAACGGCATGCTGGGACCCTTCTTGGAAGCTCAAGGCCTGCCGGACGCGACGCAGATCCTCATGTACGTCGCGGTCGCCAAAAAAGGTGAAGAACCGACTGATGGTATTACTGATGCGAACCCCGAGGGCCTGACGACGGCCACGGGCAAGTGGGCGAACGCGTTTCAAGCGAGGCTGGTCAATCACTGTGTGGAAAATTTTACGGCGCGTTCGTGCTGAATCATCGCGTCGTCCTCCACGCCATCGACGCGACGCCTGCTCGATGGCGTGGCGATGCCGGTTCCTCGCCGCTCGACCGAGCCAGGTCGGCCGCGTCATCGCCGAGAAATGACTTAGTGAAGAATTGTCGGGTGCACCCGATGCACTGGTTGATTTCCACACAGGTCAATCAGGGCCTCACGTGCCACGTCAAGGACGGCGACGCCTTCACGATCGCCATGCTCGAGAAGCACGTCTGGATCTGCGCGTTCATGTTAGTCGGCGCTTCTCACGGCGGCTGCACCGTCGGCGAGGTCGAGTCGACGTACACCAAAGAGTTCGAGGCTCTGGCCAGTGAGATGATGACGGCGGGCGCCGCTGCATTAAATGTGGACGTCGCCGACGGGTACTTGGACCGCCTCAAGGCCTACGCGCGCGCGGTTTCGCACTTCCCGACGGCGGTCAAGGAGTTCGAGTGGCGCAACGGCTGGTTCTACAAGCTGACCTGTGACGCGGTCAAGGCGGGCCGCGAGGACCCCATGCCGCTGCACACGCAGGCGCTCTACGACCTCAAGCTGCCGCTGCCGATCGCGTGGATCAACTAGGCAGTGTTCTAATATGGGTCTGGAGTCTTAGTTCGGGGCGCGCGGGTTCCTAGTAATCCCGGTACCAGGCAGCGGCGTGCACGTCGTTGGGCTTCGGCGTGACGGGGATTTTCCGGAAGACGGGGCTTCGGAGCGACGGTGGGCAGCAGCACTCGCACCGGCCCGCGAAGGCGGGGCCGTCGTACTCGAACGGGAAGCAGACGCTCTCTTTCACGCCTCCAAACCGGAAATAGTAATCATCTTCTTCAAACACGTTGTCGCGCTTCGCTGCGATGTCCTCGGCGACCGCTCGGGACCAGCGCGACACGTCCAGCGCCAGCTTCCAGCCGCTGAGCGCCTTGACGGTCGCGCCGAGGGACGCGGTCCGCGCCGGATCGTGGAGGCGCGACTCGAGGAGCGCCTGGACGTCGAACAGGAGCTTGCGCGGCGACTCGGAGACGCGGCGCCACATATCAACTGGTGGTATGTCGCCCCTAGTCAAGCGCTCGCCGAGCACGCGGAGAATAGCAATGTCCAGAGCTTTTGCGCAGTTCCTGTCTTGCTTGGCCTGACCAGGCGCGCCTGAATCGGCCGGCGCGGTCTCGACTTTGCGCTGTAAAACCCGGCTCCGACTGGAAGCGTGCAAGGAACCCGACACAAGTCACACACAACAAAAGTTATCACGCGCGCGCACCGATGCTCCGCAACGTCGTCGTCGCCGCCGCAGCGCTCGCCGCGCGCGCGACGTTCGCTCGGACGCCCGCCGCCCACGGCGCACTAGTCCCGAGTCGGTGGCGGCAGCGGCCGCGCGAGATCCAACAACCCCTCGAGGATCATGAACACGAATAGATTGAACGGCGCCTGGCGGCCATACATGGGCCAGAAGCCCTTGTATAAAGCGCGAGGACCTTCGTGCCGCACGGTCTCGGCGACGCAGTGGAACGGCCCCTTAAACCTCGCCTCGGACGCGTCCTTGGACATGAGCCGCGTCTTCACGCAATCAAAGGGCGCCCCCACGGCGGCCGTCGCGACGCCGGCGGCCAGGGCGGAGACCAACCGTCCTGAGACCGTATCCACGTCGCCGGCGACCTCGCGCGCTAAAGCCTTAGAATAATCATAAACGAAGAGGCCGGCCCCGTTGACGAACGACGCGCGGGCGACGTTCGGGCTGAGGCCGGACCAGAACGCCTTTTCTGCCACTACCGCTCGAAAAGCACTCGCCACGCCACTGTAGCGCCTTGGTAAACCCTCTAAGGCTCGACGCCCGTCGGCCTGGAGCCTCAACTTCACGACGTCGGTGGGGTTGGCCACCGCCGCGGCGCCGCCGCCCGACAGCGCCCCGGCGGCCACGGCCGTCGGCACCGAGTCGCCGGGCAGCGCGTCCTTGATGAACGGGTAGGCGAAGAAGGACAAACCACCGTAGCAGAACTGGCGCGTCGCCGCGGCCGGCAGCCCGCTCCAGAACGCGAGGACGCCCTCTTTTTTTAGGATGGTACGGGCCATGGCGACGACACCAAGCCGCGGTGCCGACGGCGGCAGCAGCTCGTTTTGTAATTGCAGTCTGACTTTGAGGAAGTCCGCCGGCAGGCACGCGCTGTCGGCGAGGACGCAGGCCGTCGACGTGCAGGCGAAGCGCAGCGCCGGCGAGCAGGTGGTCGTTTTCTCCATTGTTCTAGGTTTCTAGCGGTGCTCGCGGCAATGTTTTAGCGTTCTAGCGTGCTCGCGGCAAGCGATGAACCTTCGACCGCTCCGCTCGCTTGCCAAAATTAAATGCCCGGCAGTGCAGTGGCCTTGTGTGCGTCGGGTGCAGCGCAAGTTGACTGTGTGCACGCGTGGTGTGCAGTAAAGGTACCTGGTCGACGATTCTTGCAAACAAGGCCAACCTAGCGTCACATTAACGCCCGGTTTCAGCTTCTCGCTCTCTAGTAACCTTACGCCGCTAGCTGAGTTGCGCGCGGCGCCGGGTTCCCAGTGCTTGGGTAGCTCTGCGAGTTGCCAGTTGTTGTCGTGGACGGCCGCAAGCCAGCGAACTCGCGCCAGCGCGAGCGCCAGCGCCGAGACAGCAGTGCTCTCCCAAAGTTCAAAAAGCCCAGGGCAGGCGACCGCCGCGCGCCGTCGCCGCGCGCGCGACAGATCAATAACAGGCATCGCCGCGAGCGCGATAGATCACAGACCGCCGCCGCGCGCGCGATCGACCATACCAACAGCTACGGAACGATGGACGAGCAGCGCGCTTTATTAGATCAGCTCATGGGCTCGCAGCGCGACATACCCGATCATAAAAAACGCGAGGTCCACTTCTACGATAGGGAAATAGACAAGTTCTGGCTATTAGGAGTGCAGCCCTTCGATCTTTTTCGCAATACCAGTTGGAGCCCTCGACTCGCATCCATATACAGAGGGAGCATGGGCTATGATTTAGAGAGGTCCATGGGCCGCGAGCAGCCTCTGAGTGTGCTGCCGGAGTGGAACGCGTTGCCTCAAGACAAGCAGGACGCGTATGGGTATGAACACGAATTATGTATCTTCCTGGAAGCGCTGATACGGTCCTGCGACAAGAACGTCGAGAAGGCGCGAGATGCCCACGAGCGCGGCGCGACCGACGTCACTGCTCAAGAAGCGCAACAACTCCTAGACCTCGACACGAAGATCGCTGAAATACAAAAACGCTCCGAAGCTGCGGCAGAATCAGGCGACGTCGACACATCGTTATCACTCCTCGCCGAGGTCGATCAATTGGAGCAGAAGAAGCGGCAGGTCGGACACATGGAGGAAAAAACGAAAAAAGTCCTGGTCTGCGAAGTCTCCGGGAACGTTGTACAAAATACTGAAATAAGAATCCAGGAGCACTATCAAGGGAGGTTGTACCTGGGCTGGAAGAAGGTGCGGGATCGGTACGCGCTGATCAAGGACAAATACAAGGACAAGCGGCACCCGAACCCGCAGTGGCGCCACCGGACGAAGGGCGAGAAAGAAGCGGCTGGTAAGGAGCGAGCGGCTCCGCGGTCGTATAGTCGCCGGGACGACGGCTACGACCGGCGGCGCGACGATAGAGATCGAAGGGACGACTACCGGCGCGACGGGTACGACCGGCCGCGCTCTCGCGACGAGCGCTCTCGCGACGACGATCGACGGCGGCGGCGGTCGCGTTCGCGGTCGCGCGGCCGCCGGCGGTACGACTACGAAGATGATGACCCGCGGTCGCGGTACGACTCGCGGTCGAGGTACTACCGGTAAAGTTGTCACGTAGTGCCCCTTTTAGGACGGGGGAGGGAAGCTTGGTCGTAGCGCCTTGTGCGTCTACGACAGATGAATCACGCCTCAACCATCGACCGCGTCGACGACGCCCGCCGCCGTGATGGAGAACTCGCAATCCCCATAAGGCATGAAGGGCGAGTGCTGGAGGACCGCCTTCTTGCGGCCGCGGCCCGTGACGATCTGCGAGACTTCGGACTGGTAGAGGCCGAACGCCTTCGCCGCGTCCGTCTGGGTGCCGAAGCGGCGCCACGACGCGTCGCCGATGCGGCGCATCTCGATGGCCTTGCTGACGACGCGGCGCAGAGCGACGGTCTGGGGTCTGACGGCCGGCGGCGGCGCGGCGGCTGCCGGTGCCGGCGCTCGGGCCGAAGACTTTGCTGACGACGGCCTGGAAGGCCTCGGGCGAGAGGTCTGCGACCGCGCTCTGGAGGATCATGCGTTTGTCTGGGGTCCAGACGATCGGTGAGGACGCCATAGTTCCGGCGCGCGTCGATGAGCTCCCGGGCTCTTTTTAAAACACAGAGGCGATTTTGACCGCCGGGCGCGTCTATCCTTTTCTGAATTCAAAAGATTGACGCCTCGGATCGTCGCGGTCGTCCAGAATCACGTCTGAGCTTCGCGCGGGCGCGTAGACAGCGCGCGGCTAAGCGCGGCTTGAGGCTAGTAGGTCTGTGACACTAGACATTAGTCGGCAGGTAGCGGCTCGAGCTGCACAGGCTACCTACTATCTTGCACGTATTCATACGCACGGGTCACAGACCTCGCAGCGCTGCTAAAGTCTGCTCGCAAAGCTGAGGTCCAAGCAGCTCTGCCGGCAGAGCTCTGGAATCGCGGCAGGAGAGCGCAGAGCAGCACGACTCGCCGCGGCAGCATAGACCATGTCCGACTCCGACAGCGACGAAGATTTCGTGGATCTGACGCAGGAGGACGACGACGAGCGGCCCAAGCCCAAGCCGGCCAAAAAGCCCGCCGCGAAAGCCAAAGCGCCGCCGAAGAAGAAGGCGGCCAAGGCGCCCAAAGATGATGAGGATGAGGAGCCCAAGGAGGCGCCAAAACCGAAGCCCAAGCCCAAGCCGCGGCCCAAGAAGCCCACGGGGCCAAGAGGCGACATGCCCCTCGTGCTCACGGCCGGCGCGGGCCGCGACGGCAAAAGGACATTAATGGTCGAGCTCGATTCGAAAGCGGGAGGCTTCGGCGTCGACACGGGCGCTATCGGGCGCGCGTCGTTCCCTAGAGTTGATGGGAAGCGCAAGTTTCGGTTGGACCTGCGAGGCCAGGAATACGACGCCACCATCCGCCCCTGCGCGACGATGCTCGTGCTGAATGTGGCCGGCGCCGAAGCCAGAGTAGAAACGGTCATCAGCGAGTACGCGACCATCAAGCACACGCACGACGCGACAACCGCCTACGATCAAGATTTCGGGACGTACGCGGGCGACGCGAACGTGAACGCGCGCCGTCGGCGCGGCGACAGCGACGGCAGCGACAGCGACGCGGCTCCACAAAAGAAGAAGCCGAAGAAGAAGCCAGCGGCGCGGAAGCGGAAGCCTGCCGCTCGGAAGAAGAAGTAATCACTAACTTAGCAGTGTCTCGTCGGGGAAGTTCTTGGTCCCCTCCGTGTACCAGGGCCGCGCGTACGCGATGTAGAGGATCGGCCGCTTCGCCGTTCCGGAATTCGCCATCCCCCTATGCACCGTCCGCGTATCAAACAGAATCGCGTCGCCGACCGAACCCGCTAATTGTAAAGAGGATTTGGAGGGGATGTGGGCGCCCGTTCTAGCGCGCTCCTCGAAGAGCTCCTTCGCCACGCTTTCGTAATGAGACCCTGGCCAGAACTCGGTCGGGCCGTTGTCCGCGTCCACATCCACCAGTGGACAGATGACCGTGACGCAGTGCGGCGACGCGATATGAACATCAGTGTGGGGAAAGAGGTGGCCGTTGTCGCAGTGCATGTCTTGGGTTTTCGCGCCCGGGACACTTATGATACATGAGTCGTATAGCGATACGCAGTCGGGCCCTAGTAGTTTGTGTATGGCCGGCATCCATGGTGCACTGTCCAGGAACTTCCTAACCTCATCAGGTACCTTCATGTCGAAGCGACCGTCGCTCCGGTGCACTATCTCGTTGAACTCGAAGCGGTCGATGCCGTTTAACAGTAAGGGCGGCGTCTTCGCGCCGAGCGCGGCCTCGACCGCGGCCCAGCGGTCGTCGACGACGGCGGCGCAGCGCGCGAGGGTTTCCTTATCCACCATGTCCCGCACGAACGCGACGCCGTGCTCGATCACCGCGTCTCTGATAGAACTAGCGTCCTTGTCCACGACGAACTCCTCCACGTCCAGGCAGGGCGGCGCGCCCCACGTCGCCGGCTCCTCGGGCGTCAGGAAGTTCCAGCCGTTCCGCTCCAGGCACTTCTCCTCGGACTCGACTTCCAGGGATACCCACTTAGGGGCGTCGGACGCTTCGCAGCGCCGATCCAGCTTGAACGCGCCCGCGGACTTCTCGTAGCGGTAGAGCGGCTTTGTTTGATCGAGTGCGTCGAGCGCCTCGTGGGAAGCGTAGCGCCCGGCGTAGATCGCCGCGACGTCGGGCTGTGCTAGAGCGGCCGCTAGCCGGTCCACGTCGACGACGTCCGGCTCCAGGCCCCTCGATTGGAGCGACGCCGCGACCGCGTCCACATCAATATCCTCTTCTCCTCTATAGACCACCGCGCGGCGCGGGGCCGGCGCGAGCGCCAGTGCGGTGCCGAGGAGCAAGGCCAGGCGATGCATCGCCGTCGATTGCACAGCGCTCGCGGAGAGTCAGTGAGGTTGCACTGCACGCACTGGTGCAAGGAATGCAGCACGCGTCGGGCGTCTTAGCGAGGAATTGCAGTACGGGTCACAATGAGCAATGCGATAGCAAACGGCAGCAATCGTCGATCGCTACGGCGTGCACTTGCTGCTGATCGCGTGCTTGAACACTAGCAAAACTCACTAGGGCCGCAACAACTATCGCAAGGCCGGATTAAGAATCGCGGCGGCGGCCGCGCGGCGACGGCCGATCCCGTACTCGACTCCCTCGTGACGCTGGGCGACGACGGCGTCGCTGAGCCACCGGCCGCGGCCGCCGCGCGAGCAAACGTATCGACGAAAAGCTAGTTATAAAAACGGGGGGAGAGCGCGCGCCTACTACTGCCCCTCGCGCTTCCGCGGCGCGCAGCGCACGATGTCGTCCACTCTCAGAATCATCTCCGCCGCCTCCGCGGCCGAGACCAGCACGTGGAGCTTGGACTTGAACGACTCGCGGATGCCCAGCTCCGTCATGTCCGCCACGTCGCCCTTGACCATGTCCAGGCCCGCCGTGTCCTGGCCTCTAGCATGCGCCGCCCGTAGTCTTGTAACTAATTCACTCGCGTCGAAGCCACCGTTGTCCGCGATGATCGCTGGTAATGCTCTAAGAGCCCTAGCGAAGCCCTCCATGGCGAGAGCCTTCTTGCCCGGCGTGTTCGGCACTTCAGAATCAATGGCTCTTGCCATGCGCGTCTCGCAGCACCCGCCGCCCGGGATCGTGCGCGTCTCCCGCACCGTTCTTGACAGGACACAGAGAGCGTCATGTAGAGATCTCTCGGCCTCATCTAAAACATGTGTGGATGCACCCCTCAACACAACGGTACACGCCTCGCCCGACGCGCAGCCCGAGAATCTGATTAATTTGTCCTCCCCGATCATGATCTCGTCGATCAAATCGCACGTTCCTAGTTTCGCTAAATCAGGTCTATCGAAAGTTGAGGTAATTTCAGCACCAAGAACGGCAGCCAAGCGCTCCGTGCCCTCGAAGTCCGCGTGCTCGATGGCCATGACGCCTCGCTTGGCGAAGATCTCTTCGGGGTAGTTGTAAATCAACTGGCGGTTGATGAAGCAGTTGATGCCGTGGTCGCAGATCTTGGCGCACTTGGCGGCCATCTTATCTTTTTCAGCTTGTTCTATAGCCGCGACCTTCGACAGCGAGTCGACCTTCACTCTAGCACCATAAATCTTGATCTTGTCCGTGTCCATGGCCGTGTTCGCGACCATGACCTTGGCTTTTTCTAATCTCTTGGGTTGCCCTATCCCAATCTTTTTATCTAAAACAAACCCTTCGGCCAGGTACGAGTCGCCGAGCTGCCCGCCCGGCTTCTTGAGGAGCTGGATGTAGTCGAGGTTGTCGCTACCCTTCAGGCGCAGCACGGCATCGACCTGTGTGGAAATCAACCAGTGAGTCAGGTTTCTCGGCACCGCGGCCCTGGTTTCGGCCCAAACTCGGACACGACCTCCGAGGGATACCCTCGACGGCGTAGAGCGAGCCACACCTCACGCACACCCCGAGAGACCCCGAATTGAAGGGCGCTTGAACTTTGATTTCCGCACTGGCATCGACGGCGAGCTTCGCAAAGTGCTCCTTCTCGTACAAGACTAGTTTCGAGGATAATGTCGTGCGCGCGATCTCCATCAGCCGCTCGCGGAACTTTTCTTCGTTGGTCTCGCGGGTCGCGGCTTTTTCTAGCTCAGCTTTGGCGAGCTTGGCGGCCAAGCGCCACCCCGCAGCGATCGTCTGCGGGTGGACTCTCGCATCGATGAGCTTCTCGGCCTCTCTCAGTAACTCGCCACAGAGCACGGCGACGGATGTCGTCCCGTCGCCGACCTCCTCGTCCTGCGTTTTCGCGATGTCGACCAGCACCTTCGCGGCGGCGTTGTCGATGTGGACCGATCTCAATATAGTAGCTCCGTCGTTCGTGACCTCGATCTTGCCCTCCTTCGACGACACGCTCTGCAGAATCTTGTCCATGCCCTTGGGCCCCAACGTGGACTTGACGAGGTCGGCGATCGCGATGGCCCCCACGAAGCTCGCCATGCGCGCGTTCTCGCCCTTCTCGACGCTCGCCTCCTCGTTGATGATGCCCTCGTTCATCTTTGCGTTCTGTTTTCAGCGGCGCGGCAGCAAATTTGGAGTAATTGTCTGAGGAGGACGGGCTAACTTGCGAGCGGCGGCGCGGCGGTGCAAGCTGCGGCCGCGGCGACGAGTTCGGTGCAAACGCAGTCCTTTGCAACGGTACACGCGCCGAAATCCGTGGATGCGGCAGCTAGAATTGCAAGCGAGTTAGCCGTATTCGATAAACGCTATGGTAAGACACTAGCAAGCAGAAAACGGCTGCGTCCGCCCGCGAGGGTTCGCGCGGAGTCGCCGGTAGTCATTTCCAGACTCGCCAGGAGGCATGGACCCCGGTCGAGCGCGCCCTCGCTCCCCCAAGGCCCATGGGGCTGCAATGCCAGGACCAGCCCACCACGCCTCGCCCGGGCAGCCCTCCCCCGCGGCGCCCGGCGACGCCTCGCCCGCCTACAAACAGCCGTCTTTTTTCAAAGAAACCCGACCTCTCTCCTTCGATCAGCGGACCAGTGAGGCAAAAGGCAGCCCTTGTGAGGCTAGAGGCAGCCTCAGCCATGCCTTAAAATTGCAAGATGACACGTTTGTGTCGCATAGCACTGCTACTCAGCGCCGCGGCGGCGTCCACGCCGCCGCGCCTCAATTTACGCAGAGGGACCGACGCCGAGGGCCGCCGCACGGCGACCGTGTCCCTCCGAGACGTCGAGGTCTTCGAGGCGAGTGAAGACGAGGCCCGGTATGAAGGAGAGGGCCCGGCCACCACACTCAGTGTCCGCGCGTCGAACGACTCGAGCGTCACGGGCGTCTTCGAGGAGCACTCGGAGAAGGGCCTGACCGACTCCCTGGAGCGTGTCAACGACGCCCTGGACGACCTTGAACTGATTATCCCGACGACGGACGGCGAAGGGTATACGAACGTGACCTTTTCGACGCGAGACCGAGACGGTCGGGAAGCCAGTCAAACATTGGGTCTGGGCGTGCAGATCGAGGACGTCGTCGTGCTCGAATCGATCACACCGTCGTCGTCGCCCCTTGCTGGAGGCGTGCGCGTGCGCCTCGACGCGCCGGGACTGGTCGAGTCGGTGCGGGGCGACGTCGAGGTCTTCGGAACGTCGGCCTGGGCCTGCGTCTTCGGGGATGTCTCCACAAGCATTAGTGAGGACGGCTCCTGCGTGGCGCCGCCCTCCAATACGAGTGTGGCACTCGCGCTCAGGTCGCCCTCGGGTCAGCACACTAACGAAGTGCCGTTTTCGTACCGAGACCTACCGGACGTGGACGCGCTCGCGCCGGATCACGGTGCTCCGGGTCTTCTCATAACATTGACGGTGCATAGCGTCGCCGACGCTTCTGACAATTGGCGGTGTAGATTCGGTGCCACGGAAGTGCGCGGCACCGCTGTCATCGGAAATGGTCTCGTCGAGTCCATACGGTGCACTACACCATCACTGAAAGGTCTTGTGGATGTATCCGCGTCCTTCGACGGTGTGAGCTTCGGTGCTGGTCAGTTGTTTACTTATCAAACACCACCACAAGTGGCGGAGGCGGTGCTCGAGGAAGACCAGCTCCTCGTACGAGGGTCGGGGTTCGTGAACACGTCCACCTTAACTTGTCGGGTCGACGGTATCGATCAGAGAGCCACTTATGTGAGTGAGAAGGAGGTTGTCTGCGCCAGTCGCGTCGCGGGCGACTTGACAGTGACGACCGACGGGCGGGCCTTCTCTTCTCCATGGAAAGTGGCGGGGCGCGCCTCTATCACCATCGAGGACGTCTCCATACGACGCGCGTCCTCGGAAGGCGGTGAGGTAATGCGAGTGACGGGACGCGGCTTTTCTAATGGTGTAGAGTGCGCCTTCGGCTCGAACAGAGTCAAAGCCCGCATTATTAATGAGAAGGAGCTGACGTGTATCGTACCCTCTGTTACAATGGAGGGGGCGCTACGACCGGCGCCGCTGACGGTGCGCAACGGCGACATAGTGTCATCCTCTGTTGCGTTCTACTACTACGCCTCTGTCGAACGGAAGGGGCGCCTTCCCATCGACACGTTTCCGCTTGGGGAACCGGCATCTGTCAGAATCGAACTAGAGTCTCCATTAGGAGCGCTGTGCGCGGGCTCGTACTGTGCGGCTGATGGCATAAAAACACCACTAAGGTGCGACGACGCGCACGGCCACGTCATAACGTGTAAAATAGCGCCACCACCAACACCGTCCGTGATGAATCTGGGCCTCGTCCACGCTTCTGATCAGACATCTGAAAAAATGTGGTCGCTGCGGTGGTATTCACCACCAGAGGTACAGGTCGAGCCTGCAACAGGACCCGCGCGGGGCGGTTCTCGACTCAACCTACCTCCTACAGTAACGCACTGCCGCATCGGTACAACCGTGGTAAAAGCTCCGTGCGCGACGCCCGCGGCGGCACTAGCCGGCGTTATTGGTGGAGACGCCGCCGTCGACGTCGAAGTGAGCGTTGATAACGGAAAGCGCTACTATGGCGCCGGGTCCTTTCGCTACGAGTCGTCGGAGATTTATATACGTGAGGTAAAGCCGTCGTCGGTCTCGACGCGAGGAGGGCGGACTTTATCAGTGAGAGGCGCCTTCCCGGCCTCCGATTCGATAGCGTGCCTGTTTGATGATGTTGCGGTGCCCGCGCAACAGTCTCCAGAAGAACTGAAGTGCACCTCACCTTTACTGGCTGACGTGAAGACGGTCTGCCTCCGAATCGCGGTCAATGGTAGAGATGCGGACACGAGCTGCTCTTCATTGATTGTGCGGCCGCCGGCCCAAATTCTTTCCATAAAACCATCTACGATTGTTAGTGAAGCTTCGACGACCGTCGAACTGAGTATCGGAAAAACGCCGCGATCTTCAATAGTGGAATGCCGCGTCGGTGCTCTTACGGTCGCGGCCTCGTACATCAATGATGAGAGTGTGACGTGCCGCCTGCCGTCTCTTACTGAAGGTTCCTACGACGTTAGTCTATCAGTGGACGGCGAGACGAGTCAACCGTCGGAATTGGTCGTCTTCGACCTAGAATCAATCAAGGTCATTCCAGGAAGAGGGCCGATCATCGGAGGTTCTCAATTACAAATTGAGACGAATTTGACGGACGTCTTATGCGTTTTTGCGGATGTCGGAAGTTCGAACGCCATTACAACGGAAAAGGGACTGCAGTGCCCCACACCTAGAAGCGATAAGCCTCAGACGACGGAACTGACCCTTGTGGATCAAAAGGACGGCTCGCAGCGCTCTCTACCTTTATCTTTTGAGTTCTACGCTTCGCCGGTCGTGGGCGGCGTCGCCCCAGCAGTGGTCGGCGACGACGACACCGTCACGATTAGTGGAAACAACTTCCCGCGGGGGCGCGCGCGCTGTAGATTTGGCAGTCAAGTCATCGTCGTCAGTGAGGCGGTCTGGCGCGACGGCTTGCGCTGCCGGGTGCCGCCGAGGCACAAAGACGAAGATAACAAAGCGTCCCGTGCCGTCGAAGTGGCCTTCGAAGGGTCTGACTTCCTGAAGACACGCACGTCGATCGCCCATGTCCTGCGACCGCCGTCATCAAATGAAGTGACGCAGCTCGTCCAAGGCGCGATCAAAGATTTAAAGACAATACATCCGTCGTCGGGTTCGCTGTTTGGCGGCACGCCGGTGGACGTCAAGGGCCAACCGGGCTTCATGGCCAACGTCTCCGGGGGCTACTGCGTGTTTGATGATGACGTGGGCACTTTCCAAGTGATTGATAATACGACCGTGCGGTGCCGCGCGCCGTCGGGACGGCAGCCTGGTTCTGTCCAAGTCATGGTGCGCGCCGGGTTGGAATTGCACGGCGGTGTGACGTATGAATACCGCGCCCCGCCGTCGGTTCTGTCGATCGAACCGTCCGTCGGCTCTGTGGGAGGAGGCACTCCTGTGGTGCTCCGAGTTTCGCAGTTTAGAGTTACCGATGATGCGAGGTGCTACTTCGGCGATGCGTGGACGAACGCGACTGTGGTGGATGATAGTACTTTATCCTGTACCGTACCATCTTCACCAGTGAGAAAAGTACACGTTTCAGTATCATACAACGGCGGCCGGGATAAATCTGACAACGGGCCCCTCTTCTCGTATCGCGAAAGTCTGAGTATAGACAAGGTGGAGCCTTTATTACTGTCCGAGGTCGGCGGTACTACTATGAAGTTGTTCGGGCGCGGATTTCAACAGGGCGATACCGCTAGTTGTGATGTTGACGGTGTTACAGTACCTGCAATTATCCAGAGCGACCGCATGGTGACGTGTATGTCACCCGCTCATGCGCCCGGGACCCGAAACGTCTCGCTCGTGACGCCCTACGGCCGTTCTAACACAGTGCATGTGACCTACCACGCTGCCATCGAGGTGGAAGACGTGTCACCAAGACAGTGCCCCGCGACGGGCGGCTGTTCGCTGACGATGCGGGGCTCATTTCCTTCATCGGATACGTGGCTCTGCCGCTTCGGCGGCCAGACCGTGCCTGCGGCAGTCACATCTACTTCCTTACAGTGTACGGCGCCGCCGGCCGCCGTATCTACGATGAGCGTCGAGGTCTCGGCGAACGGCGTCGACTTCGTCGAGGTGTCGGACTTTGAGTTCGTGGCGCCACTCACGGCTTCCGTCATAAAACCGCGCGCGGGGCCGCCCGGGACGCGGATCCTACTGACGGGCTTTCACAGTACTCAAATACTACTACACTCGGAGCTCAAGTGCCGCTTCGATACGCAAGAGACGCACGCTATTGTTGAACAGAATGGGATCGGCTGCGACGCGCCCGACTTGACGGGTGACGTTACTGTAAGCGTGGTCGCGAATGGTACCCTACATGAGGGCACGCAGGTCTTCCGGTTTCGGAACCCTTTATTGTTGAAGAGTGTAGTACCTCGTACGTCGTCGATCGACGGCGGCGGCGCGGTCACCGTTACTGGCGAGGGGTTCCACCTTCATGGGTCTTACGAGTGTCGGTTCGGCGATACGTCCGTGAAAGCGCGGCGGTTAAATGCGACGCAGTTGTCATGTGACGTACCGTCCTATCACATAGTAGAGACGGTCTACCTGTCGGTCGTCGACGCGGAGGCGCGAGATCATTCTTCGGAGAGCATCGCGTTTTTGTACACGGAGCGGCCTCACATCTCACTGGTCATTCCGGACAAGGCGCCCGTATCCGGCGGCGTTGAGATATTAGTGCACGGCCGCGGCCTTTCGGCTGGCTTGACTTGTGTCTTTGGCGAAGCGACGTCGCCGTCACGCTACATAAGTGAAGAATTGCTATCTTGTGTGGCGCCCGCGTCGTCGCGGAGCGGTCCTATTCGATTAACACTGAGAGCCAAGGACGCGACCAAAGCTACTACATCGTTTACATACGTCGACGACGTCGAAATAACCACAACGACACCGAAGGCCGGCGCACTACAAGGAGGCACGCTACTCACAATCCGAGGTGCTGGATTCGAGAACACGACGCAACTGGGTTGCCGCTTCGGGAGTCTCCTGGCGTCCGCGGCATTCGTCTCCGACGACGAAATTCTTTGTAAGACGCCGCCGTCGTCCACGCGAAAACGCATACCCGTCGAAATTACCAATGATGGAACGCACTTCGCGTCGTCACTAGACGCGCGCTTCGACTACGTCGACGCTCCTAGTGTAGATGCGTTCTCGCCGATGACGGGTCCGGAGCGCGGTTTGACAGTTAAGCTGCGCGGTCGAAGGTTTTCACGAACGACGGTCTGTGCCGTCGATCAACAGATTGTACCTACTTCAGTATTATCTTCGACGTTGCTCGAGTGCGCTATCCCACCCCTGACGCCGGGGGCGTATTACTTGGCAGCTTCGAGCGACGGCGCCCAGTTCGAACAAGCTTCACAGTTGTTCAGAGTGTACAGTCTCGAACGCGTGACGCGTGTGCACCCGAGACGCGCTAGAGGCGGCTCCACGGTAGTCGTGCGGGGCGCCAATTTCGTCAACACATCACTGACGAGGTGCCGCTTCGGCGATTTAGTGGAAGAGTCTTCCTACGTCAACGCGACCGCCGTCGCGTGTACCGTACCCCATGGTGGAGAGGGCAACACGACCGTAGGCGTGGCGTCGAACGGCGTGGACTTCGTCGGCGATCTATCGTTTTCCTATGCCCCCTCAATAGTGATAGAGCAGGTGCATCCGCGGCGCGGGTCGACCGGTATTGACGTTGTGATACATGTAAAAGGTTCTATCAATAATCACGCGACGTGCACCTTCGGACAAGTGGTCGTCGCCGCTTTACCACAAGAAGATACGTTAGTATGTCAAGCGCCGGCGTTACCCTTAGGGTCTCACTCATTAAGAGTAGCACCGGACGGCGGCATCTCCATAAAGGCGGGCCACTTCACGGCCACGGAACCGATTCTTATCTCAAAACTGAAGCCTGGATTCGTCTACGAGAATGGTGGAGGTGTCATTAGCGTCGAAGGCCAAGGGTTCACGCGAGGTTTGTACTGTCGCGTGGGTGAAATGGAGTCCATGAAGACGCAACATGTGTCTGCCACCGAATTGTTATGTCCGACGCCTGCAGCAAAGCCCGGCACTTTACATTTATCACTCTCCAGCGACGACCTTCACTTTATTCGGTCCGACGTTACGTTAAGGGTCGTGCCCTCCGTATCTGTAGTGAGTGCGTCGCCGCTCACCGGTAGTGTGGGCGGCGGCGACAACGTCAAGGTGACCGTCGCGGGGCTGGTCCCCGACGCGCCGGCGCCGGTGTCGTGCTTCTTCGGGGCGCTCGTTGTTCGCGCTCGTAGAACGAAGGACGAGCGCGAAGTGGTGTGCGACATCCCGCCCCACGATGTCGGAGAGGTGGCGTTACGCGTGGGCTACGGTGGGTTTGGAGGTGAAGGTTCTAGCACGACCTTCACGTATGTGCAAGCCGTGGAGGTAAGACGCATCTACCCCGCGCGCGCGCCCATCGGCGGCTCTACCTATATTGAGGTCGTGCACTCGTCGCACTTGCAAGAGGACGTGTCGTGTCGCTTCCGCGGGCCGGGCGACTTTATCGATACGGAAGCTACGTCCATTAACTCGTCGGCCGTGCGCTGCGCGTCCCCACAAGGTATGAGAGGGCCCTCATACCTCACACTGAGGGCCAGAACCTGGGAGACGAACGCCCTTGGTTTTTATTTCTACGAAAGACCTATCGTTAACAGTGTCACGCCAGGAAGGACGCCGTCCATCGGAAACGGTCTACTCTCGCTCGCCGGTTCTCATTTCGCCTCGGGGTTGAATCCGCGCTGCAGAATTGGTGATATGTCTGTCGACGCTCTACGCGTGGCTTCAACAATAGTGACGTGTGAAGCCCCTCCGGGCAAAGCTGGCGCTTCCGTAAGTGTCGGCCTGGACGTCGACGGCGTGGTCTTCGGTACGGAGCGAGTCATTTATTATGACGCACCGGAACTAGTGTCACTGACGCCTCGAATTGGAAGTCGTCTGGGCGGCACTACCCTACGTATTGAAGGCAGGGGCTTCCTCAATGGCCGCGACGGATCACTCATAAGGTGCTGCTTCGGTGACCAATGCCACAAGCCACGTCGCGCCTTGGACGACGCCGTGGCGTGTGTCACACCGGCGCTCGAGGACCACGTCGAGGTCGCCCTGTCGCTCAACGGCGGCACTGATAAGTCAGCATCGTTGCCGTTCCGCGTTTATGACGACGAGCCCGTCCTACTCGGTTTATCTCCCGTGCTAGGAAGTTTGCGAGGTGGCACGGTCGTCCACATAGCTGGAGCGCATCTAAACCACGATACGGCAGCCTGCCGCTTCGCCGGTTTGGTGGTCGAGGCGTCTCTGGTGACAGCGTCGCAAATAACGTGCGTGAGCCCGCCGGTTCCGGAGGGCGATATAACAGTAGAGGTGGCCGTGAACAAAGTGGACTTCCTACGAGTACCTACTAAGTTCCACGCCGCGGCCCTGCCCACGGTATTGAGTATTTCGCCGTCGATCGTCGTGGCCGGCGCCGCGCGCCGGATCATCGTGACTGGACGGGGCTTTATGAATAGTCCAGAATTAAGCTGTAGATTCGGAGATGTGAGTGTGCAAGCGGAGTTCGTCGACGAAAGGTCCATAGCCTGCGTCGCGCCGGCGGGCCCGCCGCGGACCAAAGTCTGCGTCGACGTCGCGCTCAACGGCGAGGACTACCCTGGTGAATGTAGAGCATCTCTGTCGTACGCGTCTCCGCCGAAAGCCCTCGACGTGAACGCCTCACTAGAAGGATTGACTGTAGCCTACGACACGGACGAAGACGTGTGGGCGGCCACGCCGGACCTCACCTGTCAATTCGGCAACGTCAGTCGACCGGCTTCGGTCGTCGACGGCGTCGTTCGATGCCCGACGCCTAGGTTGCCGGCCGCCCTGGCTTCGATGAATATGACATCGGTCAACCTCGGCGTCGGTTCCAGTGATACTGATTTATCGTATAGCTTCGCGGCGCCCGTGACCGTAGCTTCCCTAGCTCCGTTGCGGGGGCCCGCTTCCGGTAACACGCTGATCAGTGTCGAGGGCACGGGCTTCGGACATAACGGGACGACGCGCTGTCGTTTTAGATTTGCCGACCGTATCGAGGAGAGCCCCGCGACCGTTTTTACGGAGGAGCTCCTTTCCTGTGAAACACCGCCCGCGAACGCGTCGGAAACGTATACCGTCGTAACGATACGGAGAATCGATGTGGACGGACAGAGTGACGGCGTCGTGTACTCCTACCGCCAACCGCTTTTACTGGAAGCTATGGACCCCTTGTCTGGCAGTGATACGGGCGGCACGGAAGTGACCCTAACAGGTATTGGATGGTCGAGGAGAGACGTCTTGAAGTGTAGGGTCGGCCAATTCGTGGTCGACGCCTGGCACGTGAGTGATGGGAGCGTCGTGTGCTCCATGCCTCCGGGACCTATTGGTATGGCGGTGAAGGTAGCCTTGGTCACCGACCAAGCCGAGTCCGATTCTATGAATTACACCTACGTCACGGCGCCCTCCATCACCTCTGTAAAGCCGGCGCGAGGCCCGACGCCGGGCCGCACGCGCGTTTCAGTGACGGGACGGTTCTTCTCTTCTGACCTACTGTGTCGGTTTGGGGACGCCCCGCCAGTCCCTTCATCATTTTCCAATGCTAGTCATGCGTCCTGCGTCGCGCCGCCGTCCCTCGCCGCCGGCGCGTTAAATGGAATCGGTTCCGTCGCATTAGCCGTGTCAGCTAACGGCGGCGCCGACTGGTCGCCGGAAGGCCCGACCTTCGCATATGTCACGATGCCCTCGGTGAATAAAGTGACGCCGCTGCGGTTGGCTGCGACGCATGAGCCGCAAGAACTTTACATGGATGTCGACGACGCGTCACTATTGACTTCTTGCAGGATCGGCAGCGTCGTCGGTTTTGTATCAAAAACATCTCCGTCGAAGGCGACGTGTGCTATCAGTTGTAGAGCGTCGTTGCATCCGCAGCCCCTCGAGATTTCGGTGGACGGTCAATTGTTCTCGAGAACGGACCACGCGATCAAGTGCGTCGCGGCTCCATTAAATGTGAGGGCGGAGCCTAGGATAGCGCCATTAAGAGGCTCAAAGGTCATCATTCACGGTGTGGGATTAGCGTCGGCGCCGGACCCGGCCTGCAAATTCGGGCGGGAAATTGTCAAGGGGAAACGCGTCGACCTCGTCGGCGTCGAAGCGGTCGCGTGCGACGCACCTTCTCGTAGAAGACCGGAGCATACGACCGTATCAGTTGCCGCGGACGCGTCGGCGTTGGCCTTCTCGCCCGCAGTACCGTTCACTTACTTTACTGATGAAGTCCTGGTGAGCGTGAAACCGACGCTGGCCGCCGCGCTGCCGGAACCACTATCCTACAACATCGAGCTATCACAACCTTTGCCCGAACACAGCGACCTCGCCTGTTTATTCACGGTGGACGGCGATGCCATCGTCGTGAAGGCGCGCGGCTTACGATGCGAGCTCCCCGCGTCGCTGCGAAGGGAAGGCGCCGTGTCCGTCAGAATAGCGGCGAACGGCGTCGCGTTTGGCGAGCATGAGGTCATTGTACGAATTGTGCCGCAGCCCGAGGTCTTCTCGTTGCAGCCGAGCGTCGGTCCCGCTACTGGCGGAAATCGAGTCCGGATTTTGGGGCGAGGCCTCGTGGGCAACACCACGCTCTGCAAATTCGGCGATACGACCGTGCGGGCCTCGCTGTTGAGCATGGAGGAGCTCCTGTGCTCTCAGCCGCCCTTGGACCAAGGCGCATATACACTCGAGGTTGTGATTGATGGCATCCCCAGTAACAACGGGGCCCGGTTCCACGCCGTCGCCTACACGTCGCTGACGCTAGTCTCGAAACCACAAATCTCCGTACGAGGCGGCGCGCGCCTCCGCCTCAAAACGCAAGAAATTCTACCGCCAGCCCGGCCGGACGCCTACGCGTGCCGGGTGGGAACCCGCACCGTAGCCGCGTCCGTCGATCCGGCCTCTACTGGAATTTCTTGCGTCGCGCCCGCCGGCATCCTCGGATCCGCTTCATTAAGCTTGCTGCTCGAGGGCGTGGAAATGGGACAGGGTCCTGACATACCGTACGTCGATGCACCTGTCACTTACGGCCTCCTGCCGACGAGCGGTCCATCGAAGCGCCGCGTCGTTGTGAGTGGCCAGCGCCTTGGCGGTTCGGTGCGGTGCCGCTTCGGTGCCATCATCGCAGATGCCCTTTCATCTTCCGAGGAGAGAGTGGTGTGCGAGGCTCCGGAAAATACGGGTCAAGTCCAAGTATCGCTGTCTATTGATTCAGAGCCCTGGTTCGACGTCGGCTCCTATACGTATGAAGCTCTTGGTAGAGGCGCTTCCGGTTGCCACGTTGTCTCCATGAGTCCAGCGAGCGGACCTCGGAGAGGCGGCACGCGCGTTTCACTAAGAATGGACGGTCCTCTACCGTCGAGATGTAGGTTTGGGAGCAAAGTCGTGTACGCCACAGAACTCTCATCCACCGAGATTGGCTGCGACGCGCCCGAAGGGCTCGCGGACGGCCGCGTTTCTTTAAGTGTTGCGTTCGGCCAGTCTTCGAACTACTGCGACGCCGGTCTGAGGTATGAATACGCTCCGGCACCCGTCGTGACGGAAGTAACACCCTCCCAAGGCGTCGCAAGAGGCGACATTTTACGAGTGACTGGTCAAAATTTCAAAGAAAACTGCATGTGTCGCATCGGCGCCGCACAACCGTCGCCGGCCCTACGCCTATCAGCAACCTTAATCGAGTGCGCCGTGCCATCTTCCTTGCAGCGGGGCACGCACGCGATCACGGCGTCGAACAACGGCTTTGATTTTGGCGATTCTGTATCAATACAGACGCGCGGCGACCCCATTCAGCTGAAATTGCATCCGAGGCTGGGCCCCGCGGCGGGCGGCACTTCACTTCTGGTAAATTCCGTGGATTTGCTCGGCGACCACAATTTGACATGTGTGGTCGGCGGCCGATCCACACCTATCATTCATGGAAAGTGCGCGAGTCCTCCCTCAACGCCAGGTCAAGCGGCAGCTTCGATACATTACGTCACGGGCCGTATGGCTGCAGACGCGTCGTCCTACTACTATCACACCCCCCTCCGAGCAGCTTCCATAGAACCTGCGAAGGGTTCTATGGAAGGCGGCACGCGCGTTTTACTGAAGTTACTCTCGGACGCTCCGTCGGTCATCGAGGAACGAGGTGGCGCCTACGCTTGTAGCTTTGGTGATTCAATACAAAAGGCCGAGGTCGTCGACTCTTCTACGATCGCATGCGTCGCACCCCCGGGCGCCGGCGTCATCCCTATATATCTGACGGCGAACGGCGTGGACCTCCAGAGAGTCGGCACGTTCGCCTACTACCATGAGCTGGAGGTTAATGAAGCGGCTCCGTCGACACTACCGCCCGAGGGCGGCGTGCGCGTTTTAGTAGAAGGACGATATTTGGACCAAGTGACGCACTGTAGATTTGGAGGCATTGTTGTCGAACGGACGCACGCTTCAGTGAATGAAGTCGTATGTGTTTCACCATCACACGCGTCCGGCCTGGCCCGCGTCGGCCTCTCGGCGAACGGAGTGGACTTCGTGGACGGTCCTAGAGTGTACTATGAAGCAACAAGGCCGCGCGTCGACGCCGTACGACCGGCTTTTGTGGCGCCGGGCGCGCCCACGTCCACGATCTACGTCGTCGGAGGGCCCTTTGCAGCTGTGGAAGGCTGGCGCGCGGAACTACTCATTCAAGGAATGGAGTACGACTTCGACTGTGCGTTCGCCAACACCACACATATCGCGTGCGCCGCGGCCATCGAGGCGGACGCGCCGTTGGGGCGGGGCGACCTCCACCTGCTCCTACGCGACGCGCCCGCCTCGTCAGGCGAGGCGGGGTTCTGGGTCTTGCCCGATATCAGTGTATCCAGTGTAGTTCCTACAGCAACTATCAAAGGCGCGGCCGTTCGACTGACAGCGACGACGTCCTGGTCTGCGGGTCTCGTCTGCGACTGGGACGGCGTTTTAATGGACGCGGCGCCCACGCCAACGGGTGCGTCGTGTCCTGTCGCTGATTTGGCGCCGGGCCGTTACTCATTAAGACTGTGTCGGTCCGATTGCGACCTGTACGGGGCCTCGGCACCGGTGTCGTTCCATATTTTGGAGGAGCCTGCGTTGACGCGAGTGAACCCGTCTCATATAACGCAGCGGGGCGGCGAGTCCGTTGAAATCGACGGGGGCCCGTTCCCTTTGACAGGATTGAGGTGCCTCGTCACCGGTGCTGCTGAAGTCAATGCTACCTACCTGTCTTCTACAAGGATCACGTGTGAAACGCCGTCAACACCGACGACGGGGCCCGCTCTACTAAAAGTGTCCATTGACGGCGGCTTCCACTACGTCGGTTCGTTACAAGTGACCTACCACGCGACGCCCACACTGTTCGGTTTGGAGGAGCTAGGAGCGTCCGTGATCGGTGGAAGACCTTTGCGCGTCAAGGGGCGTGGGTTCTCATATCTACAAGAACAGGGCGCCCCGCTGCCAACCTGCGACTTCGGCTTCGGTGCCGTCCCGGCAGTCGTCGAGGACGACTCTACCCTTCTGTGTCAAGCGCCGCCCGTGACCCATGCGCACACGCACGGCGTCGACGTACGTTTAGGAAGGAAGCGCTACTTGTTGCCATCCTCCAGAAATATAACTGTGAAGAGGTTCGACGCCATTCAAGTAACAAAAGTCGACCCGCCGCGGGGCTCGGCTGCTGGTAGCTACTCTTTAAGACTAACAGGTACGGGCTTCGATGCGGACGCCGCCGAGGCGGCGGCGCACTTCCGGGATGTTGTCGATGGGACGTGCGCGCACGCGCCGCTGCGCGTCGTTTCCCGTACCGAGGCGTGGGTCGATAAAGTACCGGCGTGGCACCGGGCCGGGAGGTCCGAAATCACGGCCTCGAACTGCCACGACGATGCGGACTTTTCAAGGGAAGGCGCGATCTTCGTGTACGAGCGGGCTTTAGCTTTGTTGGCCGTGCGTCCGGCCGTCGTCGATAGTCACGGAGGCACGTCCGTCTTAATCCGTGGCGTCGGGTTCTATCCGTCTTTACCTTCTGTTTTGAAGTGTCGCTTCGGCCCGTCTCAGTATGGTGATGCTACTTTTGTGAACAGTACTACTGTACGATGTGTCTCTCCACCAAACTTGCGGGCCGGGCTGGAGTACCCCGTTGCGGTGACTGTGGACGGCAAGACCTACGTCACGGCTCCTTCTGTCAAAGTGCGCGCGACGGCGGCGCCCCGCATTCTTCGTATAGAGCCTTCATCGGCTTTTGCCGGCGCGTCCGTCGTGGTCGAGGCGGCCTTCGACGGGAACGGAACGTTTTACGACGAGACGGCCTACTGCCGCTTCGGCGCTGCTAGCGTCGAAGCGTTTGTAGAGGACGACACGCACGTGTCGTGTCGCGTGCCTTCTGCTGAAGACGCTCGCTCTGACATGCCAAGTGTCTCTATTGGAATTGTCGGCGAGGCGCCGGGCTCCATACCCTCGACGGGGAGAGATGCACCGCATACAGTCGCCTTCCGGTACGACGCGAAACCGTCCGTCGCCAGGGTGGCGCCTTCCTCAGTGCCGTCGGGCGGCGGCGTTTTATTAACTGTCATTGGCGACCATTTCGTCGATGTACCTTCACTAACGTGCGGCTTCTCCGACGGGTCCCAAACGCCGGCGCGGTTCGTGACTCGCACGAGACTCGCGTGCGAGAGCCCTCCGACGAACGCGTCTTCACTAAGATTGAGCGTGGCGACGAACGGTGCGGACTTTGGACGTGACGGCGCTTCCATCAACGTCTGGCCCGAGCCCTCGTTGCTGAGTATCGAGCCGGACGCGGGCGCCGACGACGGCGGCGACGTCGTTATTTTGAGAGGTTATGGTGTGGGCCACTTGTTGCGGAGCGTCGGGTCGGTCGACTGCGTGTTTGGAGGAGTGAGAGTCGAAGCGACGTGGCTGCGCAACGACCACGACGACGACGCCGTGGCTTGTAATACACCGAGCGCTCATGACGTGACGCGTTCACCACAGATGAGTCGAGCAGTCGTGCCCGTTAGACTGGCACCTTCTCATTCATCAGCCTCGACGGAGGCCGTCCTCTCGTACACCTACGTGGCGCGGCCGACGATACGCTCCTTATCACCTAAGACGGGCCCCGCGCGGGGCGGGACCCTTGTGACACTGAAAGGAGCGAACCTTAATCGAACGGCGCACTGCGACTGCCGCTTCGGTGTGACTGTTGTCGAGTGTGCGTCGCGGACGGATCGCGGCGTCGAGTGCGTCGCTCCTCCCACAATACTGGAGGAGGACGTCTCTCCCGTCGTTGCCGTCGCACTGTCGCTCGACGACAAGCGGAGGTGGCTTGGTACGCTAGAGTTCGCGTACGACCCGTCACTACTGTTGAATGCCCTAACACCGACGCGGGGCCCGTCGTCAGGCGGCACGACGGTCACCGTCACTGGTGTTAATTTCCGGGCCCGTCGCGTGTTAAGCTGTAAATTCGACGAGCGAGTCGTACAAGCTTCATTTGTCTCTACAGAATCCATAAGTTGTCGAGCGCCGCCCGGCCACAACACAGCAACGGTATCTATCAGTCAGAACGGCCTTGACTATGACGGCGCGCTGCAGTTCGGCTACTACTCCACACCTCTACCAGAATCACTAACGCCGGAAAGAGGAGTGGAAGCGGCCGGTGCCATGATAAGTGTCAAAGGTGCAAATTTTCCGACGGACGAATCTGTCCAATGCAAGTTCGGCGACGACGTCGTGGCAGGCTCGGTCCTCACGGATAGTGAAGTAAGGTGCCCGGCGCCGTACCAGGAAGTTTCTAGGGATGTCCAGGAGGTCACGTTCCACGCCATCGAAGCCATTCGAGAGCAGCAGACCGTCGACGTCGTCGGTCGAAGGGCGCGACGGGAGGTGCAAGAACTTAGAGTGACTGCTGCTGGGGGAGCTAGGCGAGAAGACTTTGTTGATTTGGACGTAGATCTATCCAGAGCCACGGCCGAAGTCCAGACCATGACGACGGCGCTAACGGGTCATAGGAAAGAAAAGCAGCGCATTAGTATCGCATTACCGCCTCATCGGCGCGAGGTGCAGCGTTTCGTGATGAATGATATAAGACGGGCCTACCTGAGAGACGGCATGCGGTTCTGCCGAGAGCACGACTTCTCTGCCGAGTTCCCGGAGACCCTCACGAAGCGGTGCTCGACGGAATTTGGAGGAAGGGACCCTGCCGCAAGGCTCGGTGAAGCGTCTGTCCACGACTACTCCTACCGCTTGGTGTTCGGGCCCTACGCCACTCGCAGTTTGCCCATGGACTACGAGGCGTGGTTCCTTAAAGAATCATTGGAGGAATTGGTGCCGTTCCGGGACGGGGTGGAGGTCGTCGAAGACGGTGTTGATTGGGTGGTTACGTACCCTTATACGGCCGGGGACGTGCCCGCGCCGCTCACGGAAGCGTCTGCTGCGTTGAACTTTTTAAATGGTTCCAATGTGACTGTACAAGTGGAGGAAGTCGTGCGGGGTATTGCGCCTCCCACGTATCGGTTGGAGGTCGAAGGTAGTATAGGTGGCGGGTATACTCTTGACGTGTTAGGAGATGAAACAGTGTTTATTCCGTACGACGCGACGGCCAACGAAGTGCGTGCGGCGGTCAATGCTGTGCTGGACAATGAGCTCTACGGCTGGACCGAGGTGAGGGAACGGGCCGCATTGTATGGCAACCATCCCCTGACAAGAGCCTGGGACGCCTACGCGGGCCACCGGGGTCGAACGTACGATATTAGTTTTGTTGCTTGTTGTAGGTCGGCCTTTGGCGGGCATACGGTTTTGACTGTGGGGACCACGTCCCTCAAAGGTGTCAGTGCGACGGTGCGCGTCGTCTCCTCACAGAAGGGCGTGGAGACGCTGTCCGGTACTTATCAAGTCTCGACGGACGGCGGCCTGACCTACTCGGCTCCGGCGGATGTTGATGGTGGTGCTTCTGCCCTGGAGACGGCCATCGAAGAAGCCATCGGCCGCATGGCCGATCCCACGGCTTCGACGGACGCTACTGTAAGTGACGCCGGGAATTTACTGCGGGGCTGCGGCTATGCGTATGATGTGGAGTATCCCGCGGGCCGGGACTTCCCGCCCCTCCAATCTAATGTATCTTCGTTTGACTCGCCGGAGGCCTACTTGTCCGTAAATACGACTCAAGAAGGCTCGCAGTACGAGGTCTGGAGCGTCGCGCTCGATTCAGCTGCATCGGGCAAGTTCTTCCTGTCGTATGGGGACAAAGAAACCGAGGACCTGGCTGTGGGCATCTCCTCCACAGAGTTGTCGGACAAGATTTTGGATGGTCTCGAGCTGGCGACCACGATCTCAAAAACTCAAAACGACTACCGCGTCACCTTCACCGATGCCCTTGAGGGAGGCGGCCTAGAACATGATTTGAGACTGGGCGGCCTCTCCAGTAGATTCACGTCGGGAAAGGAGACACTTACAGCTACTACTGCAAATTGTACCAAAATACGAAATGGACGGTGGAACCCCCTCTCCGGCACTTTACAGATAGCGATGGACGACAATCTGGATCAATTCATCACGATGCCCCACGACGCCACTTCTCAACATTTAGAACGACTCTTCTCATCAAAAGCGGACGTCTTCGGGCGGCCCTCCGTGTCACGGTCTCAAAATGGACCAGGGGCCTACACGTGGTCTATTACCTTCGTGGACTACGCTGGTACTCTTCCGTTACTCCAGCGCGTCGGAGGTACGACAGATACGTATGGTGACGCGTCCGTCTCGTACACGCGGTCGGCCGCGTCGGGCTCGGACTGCTGCCTGACGGGCAACGTGTCTCTGCTGTTGAGTGACGGTCTTGAGGAGAAGTGGCTGCGCGACGTGCCCTCGTCAATATCTGAGGGGGACCTGCAGGATTTAGTTGATGTGGCCTTTGGGGACGCCGCGCATGTGAACAGTACGAACGTGTCCCGTCATCTACCGTACGAGCCATCACTCAAAGTACGGGTCGAGCAACGGGTCTCAGGTGCGGCGACGTGGCGCTTCTCTCGCACGTACACGTCTCCGAACGGCGGCTGGGGCAACGCCTCTGTCGTTAGAAGTGTGCAAGGGTCGCTGTCGCTTGGTACTATACTAAAGAGGAAGGGGGCTCAATTTTCATACAATGCGGTAGAGGACGGCGCCCAGCCGGAGGTGCAGCGTATTAGATTTACCTCATTGGGACCGCCGGGCGGCCACTGGCGGTTACGGCACGAAGGTGTTAACACCGCCCCTATGAAGGTCGACGCGAGCGCGGACGAGGTGCGCGCGGCCCTGGAGGCGGCCCTGTTTACGTCTGTTGAAGTGTCTCGCAGTTTCTATAGTAGTGGCCACGAGTTCCTCGTGACCTTCGTCGCCGAGCCCGGGGACGTCCCTTCGCTGGAATGCGACGTGGCCGAGAGTACGGGTCCGACGCCCTTCTGCCGGGTCGACGAGGTTGTGCAAGCGACCTCGGTCGTGTCAGGTGGCGCGTTCCGGCTGCTCTTTGGGGGCAAGCTCACGGAACCGCTATCATCAACAGCTTCATCCCTACAAATCCAGCAGGCCCTGGAGAAATTACCATCAATAGGTAGAGTAAACGTCTCCGACGCGCCGCTCATCGTGGGCCATCCACTGTCGGAACAACGCGCTTCACAAGGGACGAGCGGCCCCGGCGGCCGGGCGTGGCGCGTCGAATTTAACGACCACAAGTACAAGGGCTCCACCGTTCTGCATGAAGGCGACCAGCCTTTATTGCAACTATCATACAACGAGACCTCATTGACGGGCACGCGAGCCGACGCGATCGTGTTTGAAGTAAAACGCGGGTCGCGGCCCGGTGGCACTTTTAAGGTAAGGCGCCACTTCGGCGGCTGGTCGCAGGCTTTGGACTACGGCGCGTCGGAGGAGGAGTTACGCTATGCGCTCGAAGCTTTAGATGGAAGGCCCAAGATACCTTCGATAGAATCCGGGCCGACGACGGACGGCTACCTGACGTATACCGACCCTCTGTGTGGTGATATTGCTGTCACACGTACAGACTATGCTGATTCAATGAGTGAAGGGTACCGGTACGTCGTAACGTTCCCGGAATGCGACGGCGACGCGCCGCGACTTTATGGAGACGCTACGCAACTAAATGATGCTTCTGTCAGAATACGCGAGACGCGGAAGGGCGCGCCCTCCTCCAAAGCCGCGGGCCAGTTCACAATTTCATATCAAGGCGCGACGACGCCCGGGCTCCAGATCGGCGCGCCGATCGAAGAGAGTCTAGAAAAGTTACCGACGGTCGGCGACGTCGTCGTCTCCACGCACGAAGACGTGGATCAGGTGAGCTACGTCGTCACCTTCACGTCGCTCGGCAATCCTACAAATCTTGGAGATTTACCTCTGTTGCAAGCGACGCATTTGCAGATGGGCGACGCCGCTCGTGTGAGTGTCCGCAAAATTAGTACAGGGTGCTGCGACGTCTCCCTATCGTTCAACGGCCAGGATTGGCACGCGAAGCAAGGCTTGGCCCACGGCCGCGATGGCATGGGTCAAGTGGTCTCGTTGCATCCGGCGAGCGGTCCTACGAGAGGCGGCACGGTCGTGACCGTGACGATTGCTGGTGGTCTGCTCCCTCCCTCAGATCTGCTCTGGTGCGTCTTCGGCGGCGCCCGGTCGCGCGCGACGCGTATTGATACACAAAGATGCACCTGCCTCTCACCGGCCTTTGCGGCGGGTAGTGTAGCTGTCGAAGTGTCAGCCCATTCGCTCGAGGCTAGTGCGACCATTGCACGAGCGGGCCCGGCGTCATTCAGGTACCATGCCGAGGAGGCCGTCTCGCACACGACTCCCACACTCATCGATTCGAGACAAGGCGGTCCGATCCACGTCTACGGGACGTTTACTGAAGAGAACGACAAGAGAAGCTGCCGCTTCGACGTCGAGGCGCCGCCGGCGGTCCACAAGCTGCCCGAGCGCTTCGTTTCCAGAACGACAAAGGCCTACGCTCTCAATGCATCGACAGTGGCCTGTAAAGCGCCGCCCCTGTCAGCTTTTGATGTTGAGGACGCGTCCGTCGTTAGAGCTCGAGTGTATGTATTAGAGAACGGCGTCGACCCGTCCCGGAGCTCCGCGACGCTCTGGTACGCGCGGGCACCGAGAGCGTTGACGGTCCATCCGTCGAGCGGTCCGCGATCCGGCGGCTCTTCTGTCAGAATAACGACGGACTGGAACGAGACGGAGTGGGCCGCGGCTAGAGCCGCCGGCGCGTTGGAGGATGCGGTCTGCGACTTTGGAGGGACACTGGTACCGGCGTCGTACGCGTCGCGGGACATTCTCGAGTGTACTGCGCCGTCCCTCGAACCGAAGCGCGCGCTGCACACCGTCGAGGTGTCGTCGGCCGCCATTACCTCTTCCGTCCAAGAGGTTGAAGTTCGGTTGAACAGCGCGGGCGCGGCGTCCGGTTCGTTTACGTTGATGCTCGAGGGCCATGTTTCTGCATCTATTCCTATTAATGCTTCAAACATGGAAGTGCAACAAGCACTCAACGCGTTGCCGTCCGTCGGCTTCGTCACGGTCCTGTCGAACGCGAGTGTAGTGGTCGAAGGCGGGAGCAGCTGGTCCATTAAGACCTATCGCATCGCCTTCCGCACGCGCGAAGGGCCGACGCCGACTTTGGTCGTGGACGATTCAGAGTTAGTAGCTGGGAGCGTGGGCGACGCCGTCAGAGCCTACGTTGTACAGAGAGGCACGACCGGCGAATCGGTTGCTGATCAACAGACCATTCGCATCAGGCAGCCCGTGCCCTCTCCCGAGGTGCAGCGCATCTCCCTGGAAGCGAAGCGCAGCTTCGGCAACGAGCGCCAGCGGATTTACTTTGACGAAGACGCGCCAATTTCAGATACGTGGACAATCACTTATGCCAGTCAAACTACCGGTGATTTGACTTGGGACGCGTCGGAAGATGAAGTGCGTCAACAACTCGAATTACTGAGAGGCGTCGGCCGCGTCGACGTTACAAGAATGCCGGCGGGCACGCGCGGCTTTGCTTGGACGGTCGAATTTTTGGACGAAGAGGCGTCGTACCACGCGGGTCTGGAGGAGGTGACGGACGCACCGACCTATGAAACGGCCGCGCCCGTGGCGACGCCGTCGCAGCAACCGACCATATCAGGGAGGACGGACTTTCGGAGGCCGTTATTAACTGTAGCCTCATCAGCTACGGTGGTGGTGAAGAGGGTAAGACCTCGAGTGTCCGCGCCGGACGGCCAGTTCTGGCTCAGTCTAGCTGGATATCGTGGGAGAGCCGGTCCTCTCCATGCAGAAGCCTCATCAGATGATGTCGAGGCGGCGATTTACGACGCGTTCGGGATTACTGTCACTAGTAAAACGACGCAGGAGCCGAGAGGCTGGGCCTGGACCCTGGCGTTCCCCTCTGTTTTAGGTGACGTGCCTTTATTAACAGTTAATGAGAACTGGTACCATCTCGCGAACGTGACTGTTAGTGAAGTGAAGCCGGGCGTCAAGGCGCTGGACGGCGGACTAGTGCTGACAACGGGAACGAACACTTCTAGAACGTTACCATTAGCCGATTTGACGGCCTACAAGGTACGAAGAGCGCTCGAGGAGACACTATCTCTCACAAACATGGTCGTCGTGCAACGGGACACGTATGAAGGGCCGTGCTCGAACTCTAGTGACACGTGTCGCGGCGTCGACTACCGCGTGACCTTCCCCGCGTCGCTAGGGGATGTCGACATTGTTAGAGCTTCTCTACAGGGCACTTCTCGAAGTTGCAGAGCGGACGCGTCGACAACACAAGTGGTCAACGGAACTTGGAGTTCAATTGGGGGCACCTGGAACCTCACGGCGCCCGCTTCCCAATACCCGAGGCGGCACGTCGGCGGTCACGAAAGTCTGTCGGGGGAGACCGTCGACCTCCCGTGGAACGCCACCGCCGAAAGAGTCCGGAAAGCGTTAGTTGATATTGGCATAAGGGCGTCGGGCGTCGTGCGAGAAGCGCTAGATCCCCAGAAAGGCCGCGTCGGGTTTACGTGGCGGCTGTACTACGCCGATGCGGGAAAACGGTCGCTGTTGTCGTGTGGCGCACAATTGAGAGGAGCCGGGAGACGCTGCGTCGTGCAAGAATTAGTAAAGGGCGTCGGGCCCGACGTTATCATACGTGTGTCGCATAACGGCCGGGACTTTGTACAACCTGTCTCAGCTTTAGGCGATCCTAGGAATGTGACGTGCCCGCTCTTCCCCCCATACCTAGCGTGCGACTGCGCGTCGGACTGCGTCACTCCGCCGTCGCGTACATTTATCGTCAACGGGACTGTTTATGAGGTGAATCCGGAGACGCACCCCGCGGGCGAAGGCTTCGCGGATCTGGAGCGGGAAATACGACTGGGGGGACGGTGCGGCTGCCTGGAGGCGCAGGGCTGCTGTAATGATTATAAGGCGTCTGTCGTGAAACCGTTGACTTTTGCGTATCATGCTCCGATCGTCGTCGAGAAAGTGACACCTGGTCATGGCCCCGCGGCGGGCGGCACTTCCGTCGTTTTGAGGGTGGCGACGATGGCGCCGGTCTTCCGGAACTACTCCTTTGGGGACCGAGGCGTCATCGACCACGATCTGGGACCTGTGAGACTCGGTGGTAGTAATGGCATCTGGCGCGCGTATACCGATGATGCTTATGCGCATCTCGCCGATGACTTGGGTACGTACGGCGTGCCCGGTAGGGTAGAGGACCGCACGGACGTCTTCTGGTGGCCCGCGCTAACCGAAGGGCCACTGACGACTATCAATCAGGCAGCGTGCGTTTTTGGTGAGACTATATCTTCAGCATTAGACGTGCGCAGGAACGGCTCGGAGATTATTTGTCGGGCGCCGCCGGGTAAAGTCGGTAACGTGCCCGTTGCCGTATCTCTAAATGGAGGTGCGGACAGATCGATCCCCTACGACGAGGCTTTCGTGTATGAAAAAGATTTGATGGAGCTCCTGAAGATCTCCCCGGCGGAAGGGCCAGAATCAGGTAATTCGAGGGTGACGCTCCAAACATCGCTACCCTTTGTGGTGAGAGGCGCGGCAAGAGACCAGTTCGCGTGTTTATTCGGTGATACACCTGTCAAAGCCGTCGACGCCAACGCTACTCATATCACGTGTATATCACCGCCCGGTAAAGGCGCTGTTAGAGTAGCAGTATCCTCAAATAGCGGTGTAGATTTTGACAGCAAGACCGCAGCCCCATATGCGTATCGAGCGGACGCGTCCGTCCAGTCCCTGGAGCCGAGCTGGGGTCCGAGTGGCGGCGGCACGCGCGTTCGCGTGCGCGGTGCGTCTTTCGCGCGAGGGACTGATGTGAGGTGCCGCTTCGGTGATCAAGAATCTAGCGCAGAGTGGCACTCCGAGAACCTCGTGTCCTGCCCCGCGCCGCCACTGCCGCCGGAGATGGAGGTCCAAAGTGTCGCTGTGGTCTCGGCCGCACATATCCCGGAGGTGCAACAGGTTGAAACGAGTGCCGCGAATATGTCTAGAGAAGTGCATACGATTGATATGTACTCTGTCGATGGTTTCGAACCAGTAGCCGAAGTTCAGAGAATAGAGTTGGAGTACAATAGAGCCGTGAAGGCGGAGATCCAGGACGTAGAAATACGAGCGCATGCGGCCCAAGGACCCGCGTTAGTGGAAGTCAAGGTCGACACTCATAGTGAAGAGGGCCAGGTGCAACGATTGTCGGTGAGAGCGCCGTTTCGACGGGAGGTCCAACGGCTCATCATGGCGCCTCTACTAGGAGACAACCGTGATCCTTCATATGCTGCATTTTACGAGGTCCAGCAGCTCGACGTGACGGGACGCGGCAATTTCACATTAACATTAAACGGGCGCACGACGCGACCTTTAAATGATGATATTAGTACAGTATTGTTATCCCGAGTGCTGCACCAGGACCTGGGGCGGAACGTCCTCGTGGACGAACGCGCACCCAGAACAATGTGGCTCTCGTTCAACGAGACCGAGGGGAATACCGGCGAGATCCTAACGACTGGATCAGCGACAATCACGACCATAGAACAGGGCGCCGTGCAAGAGGTCCAAGTGGTTACGGTGTCTGGTGCATCCGGAGGTACATTTAGGTTAGTGCACGCCAACACGGCGTCGGAACCCATCCCGCACGATGCCTCTCCCACAGATTTGGAGGTGGCCATCGGCAAGTTACCGGGTCTAGGTCGGGTGAAGGTGCAACGCGAGGAGACGAGCCAGTGGAGCGTGACCTTCGTGTCTCTGCCCGGCGACGTCGCGCCCTTGACGACGACGTCGTCACTCACCGGGGGCACGGTGTCCGTCGCGACGCGTCGAGATGGCACTAGTCGTGCTCTGGAGGGAAAAATAAAAGTAGCTTTTGGCGGGAGCGGCTGGGCGACGGTCCTCGCGAACGACACGGAGGCGGCCGTGAGTGCCACGCTGAACGGTCTGGGGATTGATGTTGATGTTGAGAGGGTGTTTTTGGTCGGAGGGGCGTCCTCTACCCTCATTACTTTTAGAGAACCGCGAGGCGACGTCCCGCCCATAAAAGTGAACGCTTCTGGTCTGGTGGGGACGGGCGCGATCGCGCGCGTCGACGAGGAGGTCAAAGGGAGCTGTTTATCCGGTTATTTCCGAGTATATAATGGGTCTCGTAGCACAGACCCGATCCCCTGGAACGCGTCTTCCGCTTATGTCCAGGCGGAGTTGATAAGAAGCGGAGTTGTCGATAATAGAACTGTGGTAGAAGATGCGCTTTATTCATATGAAGATCGCCAGCGGGGCCGGGTAGCTCCGATCGTCGGAGGCGAAGAGGTCTACCAGAAGCTGGGCGTGGCCATTCATAATGGTGCGCACGAGACGTCGCTCGCAAATGAAGTGGAGGAGCGGGCCTGGGAGGTCTTCGTGCCCCACAGCACGGAACTGCTGGGAGTGAACGCCGAAGCTATTGGCGAGACCGACGAGCGGGCCGGCCATTCTCAACTCGTGAGAGCGGCGGCTTCATCGGAAGTCCAGGAGGTGTATACGCGGGCGAACTCGCCGCTCTACGGCTTTTTTAGGTTACGATTGTACGGCCAGTGGACTCGCGATCTAAGCCACGACGCGTCTCCATCTGCAGTGGAAGCTGCATTGGAAGCTCTAGGAGGTGTCGGCGACGTGTCCGTCCAGTCTGAACTCTTACCAGATGACCACTTCTCCCAGTACATACATAACTACGGCGAATTGTCAAGAGCCGTGAGTTGGGACGTCGCGTCTCGATACGCGACCACTACTCTAGGTGCTAGAACGTGGCGCATCACGTTTAACGACATCGTCGGAGACGTCCCCCTGCTAGAGACGTGCTGCGACGCTTCTCAAGAGGGCGCCACGATCCAAGCGCGGGCGGGCCGCGACGCTATCGTAAGAGCCAGGGAAATACATAAGGGCACCGGTCAGACAATGGAGGGCCATATCAGACTAGTAATAGATGGAAACGCGACGGCTTGGGCGTCGATCGGTGCGGACGCGTCGGAATTTGCGGCTAATCTCGAAGCTTCTATTTGGAATTTGACAAACACGACGGGCCCCTACGGCGCCGCCTCTGTCAGACCGATGCCTAACATGACCAACAAGGAGCGGCGCGTCGCCATTTCCTTCCACACGTGGAGAAAAGAGCCGTGGCGCCGACCCGATACCCTGATTGTGGAACGTAAATTAAGTGGTACGGCCGCGACGGCTTTCATAAATGAAGGCTGGCCCGTGCCCGGCTTCGCTACGGAGCGGGGAGCGAAGTGGAACGCGACGGGCGGGTCGTTCCGGTTGCGGGTTCGGCTCACGGAGAATTTACTCGGGGACCCGTCTCCTGTCAATGATGTGAAAATAAGAAACGCCTCTAGGTTTACACGCTTTATCGATGCCCACGCGCCTCCGTCGGAGGTCGAGGCGGCACTCAACGAAACGTTGTGGGACGTGAATATAAATGTATCAGTGTGGGAGCCGGACAACGCGACTCGAGTGAGACACGACTACCAGGACAATCGGACGATCTACCGCGTCTCGTTACTGGGAGCCGGTCCGTTGCCCCTGTTACAGGCCGACGATAGCGACTGCTGGACCTTCGGGGACGACGAGCTTTTGAGGAGATACGACGCGGTCGAGCGAGCGGTGTGGCGCTCTGGCAGGGACGCCTACGCTACTCGTCAAGACATGAGGCGGCGTTCCATATGCCATGAAGGGTCCTTGACGGGGGTGAACCCCCGCGTCACCGTGACACGAATACAACCAGCGTCGGACGTCTCTGGACAGCTCCAACTCAAACTCCCTTCGTTTGGAGGGTTAACGGAAGGTGTGGCTACGGTAGCCATATCGCAGAACTCCACTGGTGCCGAAGTTGCGGAAGCTATACGATCAGCAGCGGTCATGAAAGATGAGATAAGCATGCGGCGTTTTATGTTAGATGCGTCAGAAGTGACGGCGGTCCTGCTGCCCCGCTACAAGGCGTCCTACGGCGCCGGTCGAGCCTGGGACGTGACCTTCCATCGATTGAATTCGACGGGAGGCGTCGCTCGTACGGCAAGGGACGTTCCTGAATTAGTTATCGATCCGAGACTGGCCTCGAACTCGTCGACAAACGCGAAGTGGACCGTATCTACAAGGCGCCAAGGGCAACAATCTTGTCAAGGTGATCAGGCCGGCGCCGCCTGGAATCTGGGGTATGGTGGCAATGTCGTGCGGTTGCTGCGGGCGACGTCGTCGGCAGACGACATTCTACGAGCGTTGCGCACGCTCAACGTGCCCGGTTCGACGCACCCCGACTTTTCGGTGACGAAGAGTCCGAGGTTAATACACGGCGGCGTCACCTGGACGATTACGCTCCCGTGGCAGTCGACGACCGCGGGACGACAATTGAGTGTGGAGCCCTGGAAGCCCCACTCCCTTTCAGATCTGCAGTGCGCCATGCGTTCAAGTCCAGTCGTGAACGCGACGTTTGGGTTGCGAGGCACGATTGGGTTGCAACTAGGAGACCACGCTTCGTCGGTAGCCTACGTCCCGGCGAACGCGACGGCCGCGGAGTTTGCCTCTGCTCTCCAAGAGGCGGGCAACATTAGTACGGTAAGGGTCTCCATGGACATCTTACAACCCAGTCCGCCGTTGGGTAATGATGCGAGGAGGTGGCGCGTCACGTTTACGTCCTTTGCGGACGCGGGCGACGTTCCCTTGTTAAACGTCGAGCACTTGCCGGACGGTACGCAAGCTCGTGTCAATGTGACGGAGGTCGTCAAGGGCCAGTCTGCTCCTGTCGCTAGGATAGACTTGGTGCGCGGTCCCTCTAAACAATTTACGGCAACTTATAACACGGAGAGCGTCACGCTGTCTACAAACCTCACGGAAGACCAGTACAAGGTCGCGTTCCAGGACGCCTTCACGTCCCTTTCACCATTACATCAATCTGTGAATGCACTGGGTACCACAAAAGCAAGGAATCCGGCTTACTTAGACGTGCAACGAGATAAAACGAAGCTCTACGTCTTGTTCGCCAAGGGCGACGCGTCTCTTTTAACGGTGACGGGCGATGCTTCCGTATCCGTGATAAGGCAAGCGTCTCAAATTCAAAACGAGCTCCGAGGCAATTTTACGTTACAGTTCGGGCTTTCCTGTCAAACGGAGTCCGCCTCGACCATTTGCCAGCGGGCCATCACATCCCCATTAAGGATAGGAGCCAACGCGTCCGAGGTCGAGGCGGCGTTGGAGGCGTTACCTGAAGTTGTCGACGTCGAGGTCACGCGCGGATTAAGTAGAGGTTCGATCAATGGCGACGTCTACGCGGTCACATTTAGGGAGTTGAGATTGCATGCATCAAGGGATGCCGTGTCGGACGACCCGCGGACGTGGTCGCGCGAGTACTCTCGACTCTTATATGATCCTCAAGCATATACAAAAGATGGCGGCTCGTCGCTACCGAAGCTTGTGGGTGCATTAAGAACGCCCTACGAAGGGGAGAGTGACATCATCACGCGCGTCGTGCGGGAAGGGAGAAGCCACCGGAAGGGCGGCGTCGTCGCTGTCGAAGTCTCGACGAACGGCGCCGACTTTACGGCCAGTGGCAAGACCTACGCGTATGTAGCGTTGCCTACGGTATCTTCAATAAAGCCACCTCGGGGGCCCGCGAAGGGCCGCACGGAAGTACTTGTACAAGGTACGGGGTTCCTACGGAGTTCCTCGTTGACGTGTCGCTTCGGCGGTTTACACGACGGCGGGGAAGTCACCGCAGCCACGTGGTTCAACGACACGTGCATCATTTGCATCGCGCCACCATTACCGAAAGGGGCGCTGACGCGAGCGCATCGCAACGGCGACTCCGTGCGCGGTGCGGTGTCCGTACCGTTTTCGGTCTCGAATCATGGATTGCGCGGGAACTTTTCGACGTCCCTCGTCAATTTTGTGTACGACGCTCTTTTGGTAATTGAGGGGGCCTACCCTAGTTCAGGACCGGCGTCGGGCAACTTCTCGGTTGTTGTGAGGGTCTCGCCGCTACCTTCAAGTGATTTGTTGCGGTGCCGCTTCGGCGAGAGGATCGTCAATGCGACGCGGTTGGACGGAGGCACGGTGCGATGCATGGCTCCACGGAGCCCGCCGGGGCTCGTGCGACTCTCCGTTAGTACGAACGACCAGGACTACGTCCCGGAGCACCCCTTTGCGTTTTATGAAGATCCGGCCACGAATGACTTGCTACCGGTGAGCGGCCCGTCGGAGAGTGGCGGCACCGTCGTCACCGTGCGGGGCCGAGGCTTTAGGAACACGTCGCTACTCTCTTGTCGGTTTGGATACGAGGTCGTGCCCGCTACCTTCGTAGATAGGACGGAACTGAAGTGTAGGACTCCACCGTTAGAGAGGGCCGCGCCGGGCTTTGGCCTCGAGTGGTCCTCTTTGAGTAGCCAACACCGGCGGCACCCGCACCCTGTCAGTGGTAGTACGAGACTGTTCCCGGGCGCGCACTGGTACCCGCACTACGCGCAGCGCTTGGTCAAGTTCGATATTTCCAATAATGGCCAGGACTTCTCCGATAGCGGACTGACCTTTTTATATCAAGCCCCCGCGACCGTCTCCACAGTAACACCGAAGCACTACGGCGTGTCTGTCGGCAACGATCAGATGCGACCGGGCCTCTTTATCACGGGCGCAAACTTCGTCAACAGTACGACGTTGCGCTGTCGGGTGGGCGAGGATGTCATAGAAGCGACTTATTTACTACCTACGCTGGTTATGTGCTTTCCGCCGCCCGTCGAGGCCGGCACGGGGCCCAAACGGGTCGACGTCGCGAACAACGGCGTGGACTTCACGCTTTCTTCCCAAATGGTGTATCCGCATCCGATCTGCCCGCCCGGGTTTTATTGTCCCGGCGGCGATTACGCTCTGAGACATAAAGCGCCGCGCGGCGCCTACGCGGTCATGGGGTCCCAGAACTGGACGGCGTGTCCTTCCGGGACCTACCAGCCTTTGTATGGGCAGCGGGAGTGCTTGCGGTGCCCCATCGGGTTCCAATGTCCCGAGAGAGGTCTACCAGTACCTAGATTGTGCCCGGCGGGCTACGTCTGCGATGTGACGGGGACAGCTAGGGCGGACCAGCCCTGCCCGGCGGGCCACTTCTGCCTCGAGGGCACGGCGACGACCGCGACGACGTGCGGCCACGCGCGGCCGTCGTCGGCCCTGTTCCCGACGCGACTGCACGCCGAGCGGCACTCGACGGCGGGCACGGGCTTCGGAAGAGAAGATGAACGTCCTCAACTCAGCCTAGGCGCGCGAAACGCGGGCTGCTTCTCGAACAGAACAGATGATGTTGGATTGCAACTCTCGTCGGTCCCGGGCCGCTTCTGGCAGGAGCGGCATTTGTTGCCTTTAGATGAAACGTCGCCGTTCAACCCCCATAGAGGAAGGTACTGTCTGGACGACGCGTGTCTGCGGCTCGAGGACGCCGACGACTTGTCGGTAGTCGACGCGCATTTCGACTACATCGCTTATGGCGCGAACCTACGACGGCCCGTGCCCTGCCCGCCGGGCCAGTACTGCCAGCCGGGCACGGCCGTATCCAGGGGCAACATGCGGAACTTCAGCGCGCCGCAGCCGTGCGCCGAGTCGATGTACTGCCCGGAGGGGTCCGAAAGTCCGTCGGGCGTCGGGAGCTGCCCGCGCGGGCATTATTGCCCCTTCGGCGTGCGCCTGGCGTGTCCGGCTGGCGCCTTCTGCCCGCGAGATGGACTCAGTTCACCAATCGTCTGCGAGCCCGGCTTTTTTAATGGAATGGTCGGCCAAGTGAGGTGCACGGCGTGCCCGCGCGGCGCCATCTGCCCGGGTTTTGGCAGGATCCAGCCGGCCATCTGCCCGCCGGGCTATGCTTGTTCTCGAGAGAGGTTAGCGGCTCCCAACATGCGCTGCCCGCGGGGCCACTACTGCCCGAACGGGACCGTGACGGCGGACCCGCAGCGCAATGATACCACTCTCAGACCCTACCCTTGTACCCCTGGTACGTACTGCCTCGCGGGAGTGGGCGACAAACGGGTCAAGAAAGGAGACTACGCCTACGCGCAGCCGTGCTTCCCCGGTTTTTATTGCGAGTCGGCCAGTGTCGACCCGAAGGGCAGCGGCGAGTGTCCTGCTGGGTTCTACTGCCCCGAAGGGACGGGGTTACCGATTCCCACGCCTCGAGGCTTCTACGCCGAAAGGAAGGGCACCGTGTCTCCCGCGAGGTGCCTCCCGGGCAAGTACGCCCCCACATTGCAGACCGAGGCCTGCAAGCCCTGCCCGCCGGGCACGGCCTGCGAGAATGATGGGATGGCCGTGGCCACTATATGTAGTCCCGGATTCTATCGTAGTATCGAGTTCGACGACGACGGAAAAGAAGTGGATGGGTTGCCCTGCCGCGCCTGCCCGCAGGGGAGCTGGAGCAAGAACTGGGAGTTACGGGAAGTCGGGGAATGCAGCAAGTGTCCCACCGGAGTTGTGTGTAGTGTCGACGCGATGACCGTACCTTGTAATAGAGGCGACCTGCCCACGCCGTACGAGCCCGTGGGCAATCTCGACGGCGCCCCAGTAACAGAATACCTCTACGCTTCATACAACTCGCCGACCAAAAAATTCACGGAGTTCGAGTGCCTCAACCAGAATCCGGGCTATCAACGCGGGACCATGCGACTAGAAGATCAAATATTTTTTTATGGCGAGCTCGTGCCGCCCTTTATTGATGTATTGGGCAGAGGGGCGAATTTCCGACCGTCGAAGGACGACCAGCTGAAGTACCACTCGTATCCCGCGGCGTCGCAGCAAAGCTTCGAGGGCCAGTGCTACCGGAATTTGCAAAAGTACGGGAGCGCGGTCTACCAGCGGTTCAAGGATTATTTCGGCCCCGACTTCAACACGCAGACGGGCGCGCCGCACCAGGGCTACGGGAGTTCCCAGTACTTGGGTTTTCACGGTGCTGGTTCCCTAGCCATTGATTTACCCCATTTCCGACGCTTCGAGCCGACGCAGAACTGCACGCGCGGGTTTTTGCTCATGAACGAGACGCTAAATCCGAGAGATGGCGTCATGGTCTACACGTCGCCGAGGTACGACACGCAGGAGGGCGACCGCTACATCCGGAGGGGCGACGACCAGTGGTATCCGGGCACTTGTGAAGCCGACTTCTTTTGTGATACGAGCGATGGGTTGCAGTCGGAGTCCTGCGCCGAGGGCTACGTGTGTGAAGAAACCTCCAATTCGTCAGAGGGCATGTGGTTCCCGTGCCGCGAGGGCTACGTCTGCGACTTCGCGACGACCCCAGACGTAGATTTGCTCGCGCCGGCGTCGCAGTTCACGCACATGTGCCCGCCGGGCTACCGGTGCCAGGACGGGACCGGTTTAGGGCAGGCGGAGCGGTTCGAGTGCGAGGAAGATTTTTTTTGCCCCTCGGGTACCGCGGATGAGTTATTCGGCGCGCTAGCGGATGATGCGATGGCTCGATCTTTGTCTGCTGAAGAAAGCGACCCGGACCTACGGCAGCGCCACGTCCACTACCTGTCGGACGACGACGTGCGCGTCGTCTCGGACCACGACGACGCGTGCTTTAATGGTGTTGATAATGATCTAAAAATTCGATTCAGGGAGGACGCGGCCTTCACGGCGGGCACACCGAACCAGGCTTTCGTGGTGGAACAGCCGAAGGCCGGTAATAAACCAGTGGAAAATATTTCCATCCCCTTCGACAAGCCGGCGCTGTTAAACGAGGCGAAGCGGCGCAATAAAAAGTGCGCGCGCGACCACAAGTGGGGGCATGCTCAACGAGCGATCGGGAGGCAGGACTGCCAGTGTTCGAGGCAGGTCGGCGTGTTTGTGGCCATTTATCGGCTGTGGAAATGTACCGGAGAGGGTATCGTCGAGAACCTGGGGTTAGGTGCGGTGTCCGATAGGAATCCTAATTTAGTGGAGAATGAAATGCGGTCGGGGCGGAACTACTGGTTTCCCCGTCGTGCTAATAGGACGAAGCGGCAATGCGTTTTTTACGACCAGGAAGCGGACCGAAGCGAAGATTTGAAAACGAAGGATGGCGCGACATTATATGATGGTGTTTCACCGTTAATTTATGATTTAGGACCAAATAACACTCATGGACTAAACTTAACGCGGGGCGGCCTCTGGCTCGACTCGCGGCAGTTCAAGAACACGCGGGACGCCCTCGCTCCACCAAAACGGTTCGCGGTCTGGCCGGCGAACGACCTCACAAATGGTTTAACGATGGCTCTTGAATATAAACACACCTCTACAAGAATAGATACAGAGTATGAGGCCCAGTGGAACGACGCCGAGGACCACGACGACTGGGTCGTCGAGCCGCCGGCCTATCCTCTTTTATATAGAACCTGGCCCGACTATAAGACCTTAAAGGAGGCCACTACCCAATTGTACTATGCGCAGAAACAGGAGGTCCGAGATACGTACATAAGAAAGAAGGACCCGGACCTCAGCATTGCGGGCTATAGAACCAATGTGGACTGGATGGTCTACGATGCGTTCAGTGCCATTCGCTTGATCGAGGAGTTCGGCGAGCAGCTCGAGCACGATAGATCTCTAGGTTTAAGTGGTGACGCACAACCAATCAGGACGGACCTCTGCGAGTGCCACAACGTCATCAAGTGCCCGAATGGTACGAGTAGTCCAATAGGGGCGTCGTCCTTGAACGACTGCAAGCCGTGCTGTAGTGGTGTGGCCGGCGAGTCCCCGGAAATGTGTTATACCTCAGAAACGACGACGTGCCGCAAGACGGGCTCCGCCATGGTCTTGAGGCGATATGATTTGATTCCCTCGCACGCCGTCGACGACTACAATAAGACGAACTTCGTGATCAAGGCGCCGGTCGACGCCAGTGAGGAAATCAAAGTTCAAGCGCCCTTCAATTTCTGGTGTGTTGCGGTCGGAGCGAGGTGCGGCTCGCTCCAGTCGGTCGACTGTATCAGAGGGACGTCGTGTCCGAGTTTGGGCCGCTCCGAGGGCCGCGGCGCCGAGATAGCGAGACTCACTGGTTGATTTCCACACAGGGCACGATGGGCGCGCCGGTCGTCCACCCCCACTACTCCTTCGGCGAGGGCGGGACCTTCGGCGGCCTCCCGTGCAAGCTCGGGGAGACCTTCGAGGATAAAGGACAAAGAATAAAATGCAAGGCCGCGGACGAATTTGCTGATTTAACAGGTAAAAAAACGGGCGAACCTGGAGCTTCATTGGGCCACTTGCGGCTGTGGACCTTTGACATCGCGACGATCACGTCCGATTTAAGGAAACTAGAAAGGAATTTCACGTACGGCGCGCACTACCGCCTCGCGGTCTACGAGGACTGCAAGCCCTGCCCGACGGAGTACGCCTGCCAATTTACCGGAGAATATGACAAAGAAAGGGGCTACGACTGCTCGGAACCGAAGGGGCCGACCCAGATTCTTAGATATAGAAAGTGTCTGGAAGAAAACACGCAGCGGTACTGCGTCAATAGTTCGTATCCTTTTAAGAACGTGGTATTACCGGGCGCCGACTGCGAGCGATTGGTCGACGGGCAAATTGTGTCGGGAAAGCCGGAGATGGAGGCGAGGCACCGCTGGGCCGCGGGCGAGCGGGCGTTCGTGCCGTCGTACGGGCCCGGTACCGTTTTGATGTGCGCGGGCCAGAACGACGAGCGATGTTTTGTGGCGCTAGATATGTGGGAGTACAACCGCGACGCGGCGGAGATCTACGTGTCGGCGTGGATTCTCGAGAGGGAGGACGCGCCGTCCGCGCAATCTGCGGCTGCGGAGCTGCGAGCTAAATTGGAGCTCGAGAAGCCGGAGTGCACCTTGTGGAGCTTACCGAACCGGCCGGCGACGACGCCGGGCTGCGGCGGAGGGCATCCACAAGCACATAATAGGGAATACGGCTGGGACCAAGTCGAGTGGGAACTACCAAGACTCGCGAACGGTCAGTTATCGACACCGTCACTGCGCGGCCCCGGCGACTACTACCTCGAGATGGTCATCCACGCGGGCTGGCGCTGGACGACGACGACTGGCGTTGAAAAAGTAATTCCGGAAAACGAAGTGGGCAACGAAGCTAGAATTTTGTCGGACGACGAGGTCGGGCCCGGCGTGAGACGGTTCTCGTTACCCGACAGAAGGTTGTGCGCGCGGACGCCGTTCTACTGCAAAACAAGGAGCCATTCGCCGTTCGAGTTTCTCACTTTACCAATCGTCACCGAGGCGTCGGACGCCGAGCGAGGAACGACGGGCTACCTCGCGGGCACGGGGCGCGAGATCCCGGCCGTGCTAGGAACGGCCGCGGACATCGAACAAGCAGCATTAGAGGAATTGATACGACTCGAGGAGGACGTCGGCGACGAGCTATTATGTAGCGCGACGGTGGAGCGCGACGAGTTCGCGGCGAAGCAGGCCGTCTTGCAGTACGAGAAGATGAAGACGCTGCCCGACGACCCGCCGGGCGTGCGCTGGTGCGCGCCGCGCGAGGTCACCTCGCGGCGTCCGAATCCACTCAAAATCGCAACAGAGACCACCCATCGCCTTCTCTGATGGACACGAGTCGCGTCGACGCCGCGAGAGAGCCAGAAAACCGCGGCAACACGCGAAACCGCCGCCACACGCAGGCCGTGAAGCCCCCCGAATTCGCGGAGGACGTCCTGCGCGAGGTGCGGGAACGGCCGGGGCGTAACGACAACCACCGCGACGAACTGATGGTCCAGGAGCGGCGCATGCTCGACGAGCACTTCTTCCTGTACAACGACGTGCCGGACACGGGCATGGGCCAGCGTCGAACTTCAACTTGTGCTTCAATTTGGGGTGTGTCGGGGTCCGAGTGTATCCCTCGGAGGTCGTGTCCGAGATCGCGAGACTCACCGGTCGACGTCCACGCAGGCATGTGGCGGCAGTCCGATTTTAGGAGAGCGATCCAGCAGCAGGGCTGCTGTCTCTGTGAAGATAAAAGAAAACGTTTACCAAGGTTCTTCCGCGAGACGACGAAGAATCCCGGCCTCGAGGACAACAAGCACGCGCTCGTGCAGACTACTTACACGATGGTCGGCCGCCTCTACGTCGACTTGACGATCTGCTGGGAATTACTGAGTGGACTTTATTATCAAGAGTTCGAGGCCATGCTCGACGCGTCGGACGTCGCGATCCACCGGCCGAGTCGAACGAACGAAGGGACGGACTGGGCGTACACGACCGACGGCGAGCCCGCGACGCCGACGGCCTGCCGCGAGACCTACGACGGCGGCTCGACCTACAAGGGGCGGGGGAACTGCGGCGTGCCCCACTATGTGTATGGAGAGACGGGAAAAGTGTTAACCAAAAAAGATATTACGGGCGAGGAGACGGACGAGCGGTACGATCTCGGCGTCCCGTGCTACACTCCCGTCCGTCAGACGAGGTCGTGGGTCGTTTTATTTCCGATTTCGAGTCGCGATTCGGTCCGAAACGGCTCAAATTTGGACCAGGGACCACCCATCTTCATCATTGATGGACACGAGTCGCGTCGACGGCGTGGAGGCGCCGCAACACTTCGAAACGCCGCGATCACATGTCGTTCTCGCAGGTACGCGGCCGCGGACCAGTTCCTGCTCGAGGAGGGTGCTAGATCTTCGTTCCTGACGATTTTAGCGCATGATCTCATGGAGGAGAACAAGATCGAGATGCCCATGAACATGCCGTTCACGACGCTGCCGCCGTGCGATCTCCGCGTTTTGAAGTGTAGAGGCGCCTTCACGCCATCGACGCGGCTCGTGTCCATCAGACGAGGTCGTGGGTGGTTTCTTTTTCGAGTTTGAGCCGTTTCGGATCACACGGTCGCCTCCCGAGAGAGAGAGCAATCTGTGCATGGGTCGCGGCGATAGCGTGAGGCTCATACGCCATCGACGCGACTCGTCAGAGGCGCGTGTCGCGTCGACGGCGTCGATGGCGTCTGGGGTCGACTTGAGGCCGTTGGGACCGCGTCGAGCGACCGCGATGCTCCGCGCAGGTCGAAGGGCGAGTTGTTATTAAGGTACCCGCGGATCCTGGAGACGCGCGTGATTATTAATAGGCCGTCGGACGTCGCGGTCGCCGATCCGCGGTGTCGCGCCGACTCCGCCGACAACTGTGTTCAAGCTCGAGGCAACCCGCTCATGGGCGTCTTTCGGAACGAGGTCAACCTGGGCATGAACGGGTATGTGGTGCGGAAGCGAACGCGACTAGGAGACACGGAGAATGAACAAGAAGCGGCGACCGATAGAAGAGTCACGGAGAACCACTACCCCTCCGACGACAATCCCTACGACTCGCTCTACCCGGTGGATGATCGAGGAAAAACGAAGGAGCTCGACCCGGAGTCCCAGGAGGTCTCCGCGAAGGAGATGTTCGACTCCACCGTCTCCATATTGTTCCAGGCCATGCGCATGGAGGGGAGCACGGTGCCCGGGTCCCAATTCAGTACGACCGGTGTTAGATTCGATGAAGGAAGGAACCTGGGGGACATTGCGGGCCGGCCCGACGGCAAGGCTTATAAGAACGTCCCGAACGAGCCGGACCGGGGCGGCCTGGGGAGCAGCTTCCAAACGAAGGTCGACGGAAATTCGATGGACGCCGACTACCTGGGCTACGCGGGTCTAACGAAGGAAAATACGTACTCCGAGACGACGGGGCCGCCCCAGGTGATGGCTTTTCCGTGGCTGCCCTTCTTTAGTAATTGTCGGGGCTTCGATAGTCAGGTCGCTTATAGTAAACTCCTGGAAACGCACGAGGACTGTCGCCTGTCGAAGCACGAGGACACGCGGTTCATCTACGATTTTGACCCGTTAGAACAGCTCTTAACGAAGGGCATGTGGGAGTCGGACGCCGTCGCCGACATCTGCGTGCACGACCGCGCGCTCGCGGCGTCTTGAGGTGTTTCCACTTCCTTGTCATGATCTCACGAGGCCGTGGGTGGTTTCTTTGTCGATTTTGAGGCCGTTCGGACCGCGTCGAGCGACCGAGCCGCGACGCGGTCCGAAGCGGCTCAAATTCGGACCAGAGGCCACCCACGTCGTCGTGAGATGGACACGAGTCGCGTCGATGGCGTGAAAACACCACAACACTTCAAAACGCGATGCTCCGCGCAGGTACGACCCGCACGATGAAGGCGAGAGGTAGTAAAGGGCGCTGGGACGAGTGGATGGGCATCCAGTTGGAATGTCAATATGAAGAGGATTTAACAAAACAACCGGAAGCGCGGGTCCGGTGGTACGAGGCGGCCGGCGGGACGACGCTCTGGGAGATGACGACGGACCCCGTCCCGCCGTCCATGTTCGCGGGCTACCACTACACGGTCAACCCGAAGAAGCCCGGCTACGACGGGTTGTGGGGCACGCACCCGGAGTTCGGGCTCATGCGCGGCACGGAGAACATCATCGGGACGTCGGCGACGCGGCGTGGAAAGGCGCTTCAATCTGAACCTTACGCCATCTTCATGAATCGTCTCCATCTTCTGATGGAGTGGGTGGTCTCTTTTTCGATTTTGAGCTGTTTCGGACCGCCGCGGGGCCGTCGCGATGGCGTCTTGATGAGACCGCGTCGCCGCGTGAGCGAGCTCTGACGGCATCGATCCGCGCAGGGTCGTCGACGAGTCGTGGCAGGGCCAGTTCTCGGGCCAGCTCGGCATGCTGCCGGCGCGCGTCACACTCAGCTTGTATTTCTTCCAAGAAACTAGAGACAAGAAGAAGCTCGTCGCGTCTCTGTTAAAGCTCCACAGTTACCACGACCCGCGGCCGGAAGGTGTTTATACCAAAGATGGAAAAACTTTAATCGAGCCCCGCGACCTCTCGCCTCCAGCGTGCTGCATCATTCAACGCCACCCGACGAAGTGCTCCGAGATTTACATCGACGACAACGGCAAGGAGAAGACGATGCAAATTCCCTTGTGTGCGAACGTCAGTGACTCAGCGTGATTTCCTTCAATTTCTCAACTTGAAGTTTGGGAAGATGGCGTCAACGCGATGCCACACCGCCTCTACACAATCGATGGGGCCGTCAGAGCGCCGACACGTCGCGTGAGTGCCCGGAGACGGTGTCGCGACGCGGTCGTTCGACGCAGGTCTGGAACTCGCCGAAGATTCTGAAAGCGAAACATCGAAGCTACCAGCTCCAGGTCATCTACACTGCATTAAATTGGTGGGAATTGCTCAACTATTTCAGATTCGAGGACCCGCTGTATATTTTATTTTATACGTTTCTCGGGGCGATTACCGTTTTCGAAGGTTTCATTCTCTGGGGCCTGAATCGCCTACTGACCAAATTAAGACACCCGCCCATCTTCCACGGCGCGACGCTCTTCTATACGATCTCCGAGGCCCCACTTAAGGGGACATTTTACGCCTCGGTGCCTTATGTCTTAGCTCTCTCGTTGGTCTTCCACTGGTTCGCGACCCCCAACCAGCAGTACCCTAGATCGGAGGTGACGCCGCCCCAGCTCAACAGCATGGAGCAGACGACGACCTACGTTAGTTCAGGAACCGGGTGGACCCCGAACCCGGACAATCCTGGTAAAAACGCGGCGTCTCGTAGCTCTTCATTTTGAGCGTCTGCGACGTCGTGGGTGGTTTCTTTGTTGATTTTGAGCCGTTTCGGACACCACCGCGACGCCGTCGCCGCGACCGCACGAGCGAGCTCCGACGGCGTCGATCCGCACAGGCATGGAGTGGCTCGCCTTCGAGAGGTTCGCGGCGACGTGGAAGGACTACGAGGCGGCCTACGGCTACCAGGAGATGTTCTACTGGAAGATGGGCCGCGCGGGGCTGTGCTTCGTGGTCACGGGCACGTGCCAGTGTCAAACTTCAAGCGCCCTTCAATTCGGGGTCTCTCGTGGCGTGGGCGTAGTGTTGCTCTCGCCACTCGTTCGAGTCCATCAGAGGGACCTTGTGTCCGAGTTTGGGCCTCTCAGATGACCGCGGTGCCGAGATAGCGACGCGACCGCTCGCGCTCCGCGAGAAGCGAGGAACGTCTTCATGAAGATGGCGTGGAGGGCTCGGCGACGCTCCCAGACGCCGTCTTCACAAAAATAACCTGACTCACGGGTTGATTTCCACGCAGGCATGTACGGCATCATTTTGAGTTCCAAGCTCATCATCCCGAACTGGACGGACCTCGTCAATGGCGACGAGGTCGAGGAGGATTTGGCGGAGGAGGAGGAGGAGCTGCCCGAGAGCCCGACGTGGGCCCCCAACACGTGGAAGCGCGCGCACTGGCTCTGGCGCCGACGCAGCGTCTGAACTTCAACTTTCGTGATCGCACGACCCCGCGCAGGACGGGCGTCATGTTCAACGCGTACTACAACTTTTTGCTCGAGTTCTCGTACTGGCCCATCTTCTCGCAGCAGGTGTATTCTTTTATTGTCGGCATGTACTTCTTAGACATCTTCATCGCGATGGGTTTGGAAAGTATGTTGTGCGAAAGTTTACTCATCGCGCCGATCGACGTCTGCATCAACGTCATCGAGAACACGATGACCATGGGTGCGGCGTCGTTCGTCGACTTCATGGTCAGCTTCATGGTCGGTTTAAGTATTACGATGATCGATCGCCTGTATCTCGGGCCGGCGGTCGACACGGTGACGACGCTGATCCCGCGCTGGAAGATGATGTTCCGGCGCAAGTTCCAGGCGCGAAGGAGGATGACGCGGGAAGAGAAAGCTGCCGAGGAGTTGGAGTGGCGGAGGATTAATGAGGAAATTGAATTGTCCGCGGAGGGCGTCGAGCCGTTGTTAGGCGCTTATTCGGGCTACAGCGTGGAAGTGACGGCCATGCTCATCTTCCCGTTCCTGAACATGTTCATGATGTGGTTTCCCATGGTCTGACGCAGCGTCTGAACTTCAAGTTGCGTCGACGGCGCCTTCTTCATGATCACACGAGCGTCGACGCGTCGCGTGACGGCGTCCGTGCCCCACGCAGGAGACGCAGATCACGATTAAATATGGCATTAGTACGTTCATGTCAGTGACTCGGCGTGATTTCCTTCCATTTCTCAACTTGAATTTTGGGAAGATGGCGTCTCCACGAGACCACACCGCCGCGACGCCGTCCCGTGTCGTGATGGCGTCGCTCCGCGCAGGTCCAAGTACTTCATCTTCGCGCTCTACTTGCCGCTCTTCCAACTCATATTAGATGTTTTTATTTTGAACACGCAGGAGCTCGTGTTCGGGTGGAAGGTCTACGACTACGTGTCGTACCAGCGCTACCGGTTCTCGGTGCGGGACCAGCGGTGCGTATCTCGGCGTCCCGCGGTGCTGCGGTGCCTTCACGCCATCGATGCGCGTCGTCTCCAGGAGAGGAGGTTTTTGAGGCCGTTCGGACCGACGTCGTGACTCCGGCTCGACGCGGTCCGAATCGGCCCAAATTTGGACCAGAGACCACCCATCGCCTCCTCTGATGGACGCGAGTCGCGTCGACGCCGCGAGAGTGCCCAAACACCGCGGCAACACGCGAAACCGCCGCCACACGCAGGTGGATGATGAACAGCAAGGTCCTCGACGAGTCCATCGCCGAATCGTTGCAGACGTTGGATCTCATGTGCTTTAGTGAGCAGTACTACTTCCTGGTCGCGCTCATATCTTTCGGGATGCTGCTCGTGACGATCTGTGCGGAAATCAAACTTTTACGCCGCGTTCGCGCTGCATCGCCGCGTCGACCTCCACGCCATCTTCATGATACCTGCTCGATGGCGTGGAGGCTCACAAATCCACCTGGAGGGCCGGGGAGACCTCGACGCGGTCCGAATTCACTCAAATTCGACAAAGAAACCACGCTCATGGAAGTGAGATGGCCACGAGTCGCGTCGACGGCGTGAAGGCGCCGCAGCACTCACTGGTTGATTTCCACACAGGTCACGATGGGCGTGACGACGTTCATCAACACGAATTATAACTTCTTTGGCGATCCGGTCATGCCCGTGATTGTTGTGATCATGTTGCTCTATCTGGATTTCCTGCAGCACATGCTGTTTCGCGCGGCGGATATAAGGGTGAGGAAATTAAAATGGCGAGGCTTGTGGATGACGAAGCAAATCGAGGGCACGGTCGACGACGACGTGGCCGTGAAGTTGGCTATTGGCGAGGGGCGCCAGGCGGATCTGGAGCAGGAGCGGCTGGAGTTGCAGGCTTTGAATAGTGAGAGGTTTAGACATCGATTTTTGGAGCGAAATAGGCCGTGGATCCTCCAGCATCTCGTGGAGCTGTTGACACCTAGAAGCTTGGAGCAGCCGGGGCACGATGGCAGACCTGTGGTGGAGTACGTGCGGGACGTCTACGCCGAGCTCATGGTTTGTTTTGCGGCGTCTTTGTCTTCTTCGTTGTTACCGCGCCATCGCCACTACCGCCTACACGCCATCGACGTGACGCCTGCTCGATAGCGTGGCGGTGCCGGTTCCTCACTATGGGACCCGACTCACCCCACAACGCCTTCGCCGCGACCAATCACCCAGGATCACGCCGGGCGCCTACACGCCGTCGCCGCGACGACGACACCTCACCGCGCGACGCAACGCAGGCCATGGGCGAAGGTACAAGAAAGCCGGGCGACCGCGACGATATCAGTTCGGACGACGAAGACGAAATGGAGCGCGCGCGGGCGTCGTGGCCGCGGGCGCCCTTGAAAGGTGCTGCTTTGGTCATTGCGAGATTATGGTTGGATAAAGCGCGGAAGCGTAGAGCGTTTACAAGACATATTCAGGGCCTCATGCTGGCGCAGAAGAAGGACGCCTGCGACCTGACGGGGCGGACGGAGGCCATGGGCGCGAAGCTCGTCTGTACATTAGCTACGAACGGCAAGCCGGTTCGTGTTCCGGCGTCTTTTTCGTTTGCGTCGTCGTTTCCTCGCCGGAGCCCCTGGTGCTGCCGCGTATACGAAGCAGACGCCATCGCCGCGGCGCCGTACGCCATCGCCGCGACCCTTCACCCCATCGCAGGACAAGAACGCGATCGACGACCTCATCGCGGGTTTTGAAGAGGCGTACGGCCCGAACGAGCGGGACGTGAACCTCTGGAAGGCCTATTTCCGGGGCCACGCCGAGTTCATCACGGTGGACCAGGCCATTTTAGATGCGAATGAGCGGGAAAGGGTAGCGAGGCAGTCGCAGCGGCCGCCCGGCGCGGGTCGGGCTACTCGAGCGGATGACGTGTCTTCGGACAGCGAGGAGGAGGACTGCGCCTTCGATCCTCTCGTGGTGGTGCGGACGTCGTCGGAGGGTCGGATGCTGTCGAAGTGGCTCGACGCCGCGCGGAAGCGGCTGGGCGGCACCTTTCCGCGCGACGCGGCTCGGGCCGAGATGGAGGCCTACGCCGAGAAGATGCGCCGGCGGAAGCTCAAGGGCGGCAAGCAGGCCGTGGCCGGCGTCGTCGAGGACGAAACCACCGAAGCGGCGCGGCTCGAGAAGCGCGTCGTGCGGCTGTCGCAGGTTCGTCTGGCGGCGTCTTTTTTTCCACCCCGTCGCCGCGGCGCCGTACGCCGTCGCCGCGGCCCCTCACCTTGTTACAATCCCGCAGGCGTCGACCGCGTTGGCGAGGCGGTGGCTCCGCGCGGCGCAGGATTCGATCCAAGCGAGGTTCAGAGAACGGGGCAAGAAGCTCCGGGACGACTGCGAGGAATGTTTAGGAGAGATGCCCGAGGAGGACGAGTGGTTCTACGGCGCCGATCTGCGGTTTGAAGGAAGGCAGGTGCTGACGCGCGGCGATGCGTTACGGGCCGATCAACTCACCCTAGAAGCCGAGGCCGCCGTGCGCGTGCGTCGCATCGAGGCGGACTTCCAGGTCTTCGAGCAGGAGAAGCAGGTTCGTTTGGCTGCGTCTTGTTTGTTCTGGTGCCTTCGCCTTCGCCGCGGCACGCCATCGCCGCGGCGCGTTACGCCGTCGCCGCACCGCCCTACGCCGTCGCCGCGGCCCTTCACCTTCTTACGATCCCGCAGGCGACGATCGACGAGGAGCGGGCCGTCTTCGAGGCCAAACTGCAGAAGCTCGCCGACGAGGCGAATCGGAAGCTGGAGTTGCGGACGCGGGAGCTCGAACGCACGAAAGATTTGAGGAGGGAGGAATGCGACGCCGCCGAGAAGAAGGAGCGCGACGAGGAAGGCGCCGCGTCAAGTGCTACCTTAGCGAAGCACCGCGACATCCTCGACTCTATTGATCAGGAGATCGAGGGCGCGCGGGAGGCCGTCGAGAAACAACGAAAAGCGTACGAGGGCGAGCAGCGCGGCTTCTTCGACCGGCACGAGAGCCTCCAGATCCAGGTGATTGCCGATCGGCGGATCTCGGCGATCACGAACATCCGCCAGATCAGGAAAGAAACCCAAGCCAAAATTCGGGGCGACGAGAACAAGTGGCAGAACGACGCCGCGCGCTGGTTGAGTACTGGTAGGAGGAAGGTCGAGCTCAAGAAGCGCGAGGACGCGGACATGGAAGCTGCTAAAAGGCGGCGGGGGCAGTAGGCTTGCTGCTATTCATTGTGTAAGAATTATAGATATTATTAACATGGCTGTTCGTTCGTCCGTAGTCCGTTGTGGGGGCGCCGGCGCGCACGCGCGTCGGGGACGGCTGTTCGCTCACGCACCGACTCTCGGCTCGCACGAATCGTCCGTGAACCCGTGCGGTCGCGGTCTTCAGCGTGGTACGGCGTCGTAGACCGCGACGAGCAGCAGCTGCGCGTCGCCGCCGGCCTTCTCCCGCAGGCCCGTCGCCGCGATGGCTGTTTCCAACGCTTTGCGGTGCCGCCGCACCTCGGAGACGAGCGCCACGGTCCTCGGCGGGTTCTGTGTCTTGTAGGCTGCCGTCTTCAGCGTGGTGCGGCCGCCGTCGACCGCTTTGAGGCATTTTGCCGCGTCGCGGTAGTGGGACGCCATCTGTTCGCTCCGAGGGCCCTAATTGGCGCCGGCCATCGCCGCCCTGCCGGCGCCTCGGGTTTTCCTGTAACCCGGTACTAGAGGCAAAAAACAAACAAAAAATCAAGAGTCGCATTGATCGACCCACTGGTAGGTAAAGCTACCGGGTACAGGTCGTAGGATCGAAACCTACAGTTGCAATACAAGCTTCTTGATGCATTCGTAGATGTCTGCTACGAAGTCACAAACTTGGCGCAGCGGTAAAAGCTCTAACAGGATTTTCTGTCAGCGCGGTGTTCCATTCACGTGGAAACGTTCGGCCCATACTCGCTAGCGGCTCTTCTTTTTTTGCTCCCTGGGTGCTCGGACCCTCGGACCGCGCTTTGACGCTGGCTTGGGGCGAGGTAGGACCCCTATGGTGGCTGTACGACCCCACTCCGTCCACGCGCCCCAATTTCATCAAAGGCAGGATTCCGCGGACGAAACGCACACGGTCAACCGAGGGTCCTATCTTGGGACGCAGAGTGACGTGGGAGGCGTCTAGATCACCCGCCAACGCGAGGACAAGCCATGGGGCTAGGCGCACAAGACGAAGGGCCCACCGGCGCGATCGTAAGAAGCAACAACAGTTATATATCTAAGAGCCCGCAGATTCAGCAGCGTCGAACCGGACCCACAGCCGCCGAGGCACGGCGACCACCGGCGCCGACGCGGGCGACAGAGTCACGACGAGCCCGAGGGGGGCGCCGCCGGCTTCCGCGCGCGCGAGAATTTTTTGCACTGCCGCAGCGCGCGGCCCAGCGGGCTCGGGGAGCCCTGCTCGGCGCCCGCGCCGTCGTCGCCCCCGGCCGCCGGCGTCGTCGTCGCGCCCGCGCTGTTCGCGCGGGTGGCGTCGACGCCGCCGGATGTTGAAGACGACGACGACGAGCCGCTCCGCTCACAGGCCTCGTCGGCGACGCCCGTCGGCGACGACGATGACGTCTCGGCAGCCTTCGGTTGTCGCACGACGCGCGATTGCTGCTCTCCGCTTGGCTGCTCCGCCTTGTCCGTCACACGAGGCGCATTGCTGGCAGCTTTTTTCGCCTTGCGGAAGAATGACATATGTCAGTAGCGTGTCCTGCACCGCAGTGCTCGCGACTCAACTGCTGCTGCTCGTGAGCGCAGTGAGAGCACAATTCGAGTCGTGAGGCTGGCAAACTTGAACGGGCATGGCCCGCCCCAGGATGGATCCTCTCGCCGGGCGATCTTTCGCGGGAGATCATCGAAGCGTCGAAAAGACACAGACACGTCTTCTTGGGGCGCGGGTTTTGGTCAGGTCATTGTGGACTCATTTGCCGACAGCGCCTTCAGGCGACCAGCGAACAACTCACGCGAGTTGCATACGGTAGCCCAAGGTCGCGGCGCGTGATCTGGACCGCGGCGCGCACTCGCGCATCTCGATTCTCGACCTAGAAATTTGACATAGAAGGCTTTCTGGCTCCCATCATGCAGGACGGCGACGCGACGGACACGGCACGCTCGCAGAAGCGCGAGACGCCCGAGGACACGGACACGGCCCAGGAACCGGAGCGTCGTGTCCGGCCGCGCGAGACGCCCGTGGGCGCGGCCTCGGCCGCGGCGCCGGAGACCGAAGAAGAGGTCGAGAACGCGCCCGCCAAGGCCGAGTCCAACAACGGCGACGCGGTCGAAGACAAGGACGGCGAGGACGGCGACACGGTCGCCACAGCGCCTCCAGCGCAGCCGCGCACCAGGGTGTGGTACTCGCGTGTTCGGGGACTCACCGACGCTGAGCGGGCCGTCCAAAGCAGGGTGAACAATCCTTTCGATGGACCGATGCGCGGACAACTGCCCCCCGTCACTCCCTTCGACGACGCGCCCCGGATCGGGCGCCCGGCCCGCTGGGTCCGGGAGGAAGTCGAAGTGGAGACCGGACGCGTGGTGAGCCAGGAGCCGATCGAGGGCGAGCCCCCCCGACATTGAATCCCGTGCCCTTCCCTCCGTACTAAAGAAGCACTATATAGCCCCTAGCGTAGTGAGACACTAGAATCCGCAGTGCTGAGAGCACCGTGCCCAAACGCAATATACGTGTGCCACTGGCAAGGCAGGCTTCGTGCCGCTCTCACAGCCGTCTGCGCCGATAGAGCGAAACGCTGGCGCGCGGGATGCCGGAGGTCTAGCTGAGACCCGAGGCTGATCAGCTGACGCTGGGCGGCGCTGTCCACGACAGAATCATGGAGTCGGAGGATGACGGCGAGCGGCCGGGCCCAATACACGACGCTGCCATCGAATGCGACGTTGAAGCGTTACGAAGCGAGCTCGCGCGGGGCGTGTCGGCGAATCAACGCATCCCAGGCAATGACAACACGCCCCTCCATTGGCTCTGCTATAGCGACAAGGCCGACTGGGCGATAGGCGGAGCAGAGTGCTTCCACGTGCTCCTGGCCGCAGGAGCCGATATCAACGCAGCTTGCGACATCTTTGGTGACACGCCGCTATCCGTGGCAGCTTGTAGAGTGCACCCCAGCTTACAACTGCTCCTCGAGGCAGGGGCTGACGTGAACTTGAGGCCCCCCGATCAACTTGAGGGCGGCCCCTGGAATTTAACGGCCCTGGAGAAGGTAATTATGTGCCGCGGGTACGGAGCTCGCCGTCGCCGCGCCTACCCAATTCTTCTCCGTGCGGGCTCTGAACTCCCCACGGCTCAATTCATGCAAGGCGAGCGCGACCGCCTCGGCAATGGGAATGGACAGGGCGTCTTCAGTGAGCCTTACATTGAGAAGGTGATAACCGCCGGCAGCCTCGCGAACTACGAACGCCTTCACCTTACGAAGCTCACTAGCATGTTCCAGCCGAAGTTCCCGTTTCTGCCGAAGGAAGTCATCCAGCGCGTCGTCGAATTCTGGTCTCACGCGGGTGATTACTAGTCACGGTACCTAGGGGCGCGCGCGTAACGTGTTGTTCTTGTATTCGATATCTGAGTGCTGAGGACTAACTAGCTCGCGAATCGCGCGCGTCGCCGGAGTGCTGAGGACTAGCTGCCAACCGAAAACGCCAAAACTGTCACATGCGCGGAAGCCGCCTCGGGCTCGTCGTGACTTTGTATTGCGCTATCTGAGTGCTGAGGACTAGCTAGCCCGCGGGACGCGTGTCACCAGAGTGCTGAGGACTAGCTAGCAACCGAACAGAAGATCGAACAAAAACCGTAGAAAACCCGCACGATAGAATTCATTGCTCTATCTGAGTGCTGAGGACTAGCTAGCGAGCTGGACACGGCGTCGCTGGAGTGCTGAGGACTTGCTAGCCAACCCAAAACGCAAAAAATTCTCGCGCGCGCGGAAGCCGGCGGCGCCCCCCTCGGGCTCGTCGTGACTTTGTCGCCCGCTCCGGCGCTGGTGGTTGCCGCGCCTCGGCGGCCTTGGGTTCGGCTCGACGCTGCTGATTCTGCGGCTCTTAGATATATAACTGTTGTTGCTTTTACGATCGCGCCGGTGGGCCCTTCGTCTTGTGCGCCTAGCCCCATGGCTTGTCCTCGCGTTGGCGGGTGATCTAGACGCCTCCCACGTCACTCTGCGTCCCAAGATAGGACCCTCGGTTGACCGTGTGCGTTTCGTCCGCGGAATCCTGCCTTTGATGAAATTGGGGCGCGTGGACGGAGTGGGGTCGTACAGCCACCATAGGGGTCCTACCTCGCCCCAAGCCAGCGTCAAAGCGCGGTCCGAGGGTCCGAGCACCCAGGGAGCAAAAAAAGAAGAGCCGCTAGCGAGTATGGGCCGAACGTTTCCACGTGAATGGAACACCGCGCTGACAGAAAATCCTGTTAGAGCTTTTACCGCTGCGCCAAGTTTGTGACTTCGTAGCGCACACATTCCATAAAAGCTTGTATTGCAACTGTAGGTTTCGATCCTACGACCTGTACCCGGTAGCTTTACCTACCAGTGGGTCGATCAATGCGACTCTTGATTTTTTGTTTGTTTTTTGCCTCTAGTACCGGGTTACAGGAAAACCCGAGGCGCGGCGGCGATGGCCGGCGCCAATTAGGGCCCTCGGAGCGAACAGATGGCGTCCCACTACCGCGACGCGGCAAAATGCCTCAAAGCGGTCGACGGCGGCCGCACCACGCTGAAGACGGCAGCCTACAAGACGCAGAACCCGCCGAGGACCGTGGCGCTCGTCTCCGAGGTGCGCCGGCATCGCAAGGCGTTGGAAACGGCCATCGCGGCGACGGGCCTGCGGGAGAAGGCCGGCGGCGACGCGCAGCTGCTGCTCGTGGCGGTCTACGACGCCGTCGCCGGCCGCGGCGCGCCGAAGCGCTGCGGCGGCAAGCTGCTGCGCGCGATCCGGGAGGTGTTGTGCGGCGCGCAAATCAACCAATCGTCGCGGCGATGGCGTGCTGGTGGCGGATTCGAGAGGTGGTGAGAGTCAGCGCGGTGATACGAGACGCGCGCAGGCGCTGCCCGCGCTCAAGAGCACCTTCGAGGCCGCGCGCACGGAGTCGCCTTCAAGAACCGAAAACAAACCGCGCTACCTGCGCTGCAACCTGTTGACGACGACACGAAAAGAAGTGAGGGAGAAGCTCGCGGCCGAGGGCGTCGCCGCGGAGGACGACGTGCATGTCGACGACCTCCTCGTCACGACCGCCAAGGTCCACGGCGGCCACGCCCTGGTCAAGGCCGGCGAGGTCATCCTGCAGGACAAGTCGAGCTGCTTCCCCGCGCACGCGCTCTTAGACGGCCTGCCGCCGGACTGGCGTGGCGATGTTGTGGATGCGTGCGCCGCGCCGGGCAACAAGTCGACGCACGCCGCGGCATTACTACGGGGCCGCGGCAAGGTGTTGGCCGTCGACCGCGACGCGGCGCGGCTGAAGATCCTCGAGGAGCGCGTGCGCGAGGCGAAGGCCGATAATGTGGTCCAAGCGGTCCGGGGCGACTTTTTAAAGTTGCGCCACGGCGGCGCGCGGGCGATCCTCGTGGACCCGTCGTGCTCGGGCGGGTTCGAGGGCGAGGCGGCGTCGGACGAGCGCGTGGCGCGGCTCGCCGAGTTCCAGAGCAAAGCATTACGAGCTGCGCTGATGCGGTTCCCGCGCGCCGAGCGCGTGTCCTACTCGACGTGCTCGCTGCGCGCCGAAGAGGACGAGGCCGTCGTGGCCGGCGCGCTCGCGGACGCGGACATAAGGAAGGGCGGCTGGCGCCTCGCGCCGGCGCTGCCGGCGTGGCCGCGGCGCGGCCGGCCCCACGCGGGCCTGGATCGGGCGCAGAGCGACTGCCTCGCGCGCGCCGATCCATCAAAGGACGCGACGGGCGCGTTCTTCGTCGCGCTCTTCGAGCGGTCCGCCGGTGCGGCGCGGAAGCGGCGGCGGCGGGGGTAATGTGCTTGTGTTGTAGCCTTCGTTCCGGGCCGCGGCGGCGGCGTAGAGCGAAATAAAACCCGCGCTAGTATGTTACTGACGCTAGTTACAAAATTGAGCGCGAGTCGAAAAAGAGGACAGCGCAGCGCTCGGCGAGGCGCGAGCTGCAAGCGAGAAGCACAGGCAAGTCCCAGCGTCGAAGCCACGGAATCCTGCGCCGCAAGCGCCGCAGCGCGCGAGGCGGAGACAGCGAAGATAAAAAAGAGAGGCCCAAAACTCGCCTTTCACCTACAGCCCGCCGCGCCGCGCCGCGCGCACCACGAGAGAACCCCAAGAACGCCACGCAACCCATCACGCCCGAAACGCCGTAGGTCATCGAGCAAGGAAAGCCGGCGGGCGTCGACGCTTTCAGCAACCATGGAGATGCCCGAGTTTAAGTTGATCCTCGTCGGCGACGGCGGCGTCGGCAAGACGACCTTCGTCAAAAGACATCTCACTGGAGAATTTGAAAAGAAGTACGTGGCCACGCTGGGCGTGGAAGTTCACCCTTTGGTCTTTCACACGAACCGCGGCCCCATCAAATTCAATGTCTGGGACACGGCGGGCCAGGAGCGCTTCGGCGGTCTTCGGGACGGCTACTACATCCAGGGGCAATGTGCTATTGTGATGTTCGACGTCACGTCGCGCATCACCTACAAGAACGTGCCGAACTGGCACCGCGACCTGACGCGCGTCTGCGAGAACATTCCTATTGTTTTGACGGGCAACAAAGTAGAAATCAAAGACCGCAAGGTCAAGGCCAAGCAGATCACGTTCCACCGCAAAAAAAATCTCCAGTACTACGACATCAGTGCCAAGTCGAACTATAACTTCGAGAAGCCCTTCCTCTGGCTCGCGCGCAAATTGTGCGGCGACAACAACCTCCACTTCGTCGAGGCGCCGGCCCTCGCGCCGCCCGAGTTCAACATCGACGCCGCGGACGCGGCGCGCTATGAAGCTGAATTGCGCGAAGCCGCCAACATCCCGCTGCCGGAAGACGACGACGACCTATAGAGGGACGTGTCGCGGGTCTAAGGTGCTTCTTCGTTGCTCTTTCTTTGGGGGGGTGCTGCCGTCGCGCGTCGCAGCACTGTCGCCGTGGGTCGCGGCGACGGCGTAGGGGCGGCGTCGATGGCGTCGGGGTGCTAGGACTAGTGGGCGGAGCCCCTGGGCTGGGGTTGGAGACACCGCGCGTCGCCGATTCAGCGGCGGCGGGCGCGTGCCGCGTTTTTCATAATAGCATACCTCCTTCTAAGCAGAACCGCCTCGGCAAACCCCTCCGAACAATGTGCAAGGGGGGGCACGTCTGGGCGCGGCCGCGGGCTCCGAGGGAGGCCCGGCGCCGCGCGCGACCTACGCCGTACCCCGGGGTAGCGGCGACGCGTGGGGGGCTCCGCCCACTATTCTCGGGATACGCCCGGGCGCCGCGCTTGCTTGCGGCTCGCCGCCGCCTCGCGATTAACGAGGGAGAGGCAGTGCCGCCGCGCGGGCCGTACATACGCTAGAATCAACGCCGATGGCCCCGGGCAGCCCCCCCAGGCCTTTGGTGTAAGCGCCGAGGCAGCCCCGGCGCGAGGGGCCCGCCCCCCGCCCCCAGAGCAACCACAAGCAACCATGACGGAGGGAGGCGAACCCATGATCGGCTTTTTGCGGGGCGACGAGCTCCAGAATTTATTTGGCAAGGTGCCCAAGGGCCAGAAGACGGAGAAGCACGACGCCGAGCAGAGACGCAAACTATTGGCGAGGAAGGCGAAGAAAAAGACCATGCCGCCCAAACCCAAGTACCGGGTCCTTGAGCGGTTAGAGACCCAGCTCAAGCGCGAGGGCGTCATCCAGGAGCGCGCCGAGCGGCGAGGGAGGAGTCTGTACGCGCAACTCGAGCTCGAACAGCGCCGCATCAAGCAGCAGCAAAAGGCGGACGCGCGGGCACCCTTGGAGCGCCACAAGGCCGCGCGCATGCGGGAGCTCGGTCCTGATCATCATTTACTGGAATTGCGGGAGATTTCACAAACACTGAATTTGGATCTGGAAAGATGTCGGGAACTGGAGGACGCGACGAAAGCCACCGTGGCCTTCTCGACGCAGCACGACGCCTTGTGTCGCGACGTCGCGAAACGGGCCTCCCGAAAAGGTGTGAAAGACCATGATCTGTACGACGTCGACGACATCGAAAGGGACGAGGCGGCCGCGATTCTGGAGGAGAGCACCGCGGCCCTGGTGTTCGACCACCGCTGCGCGCTCGAGGACGATGGTTTGGATCCGGACGAGATTGACCGGCGCTGCGTCGAGTTTCGAGCGCAACTCGACGACGAGTCCCTCGCAGACGTCGATCAGGCCCGCAAGGTTCGGGGCAAAAAAGAGGCGTGGAAAAGGGACAACGTGCGCCGCGTCGAGGCCCTGTGGCGGCGCAAGGCCTGGGCCCGCGCGCTGCCGCGCCACAAGCTCGCCGACGCGCCGTACCTGGCGAAAGCCGCGGCCCGCCGACCGTCTGTGGGAGACGGCGCGCAGGACCTCACGGCGCCGGCGCATCGCCGAGAGCAGCGACGGAAGAAGACGCAGAAGCTCATGTCGCGGACGGCGCCGTCGAACCCGGCGGAACGAGCGGCGCAGCTGCGGCAGGAATTAGAAAAATGTGATAGATTCATGCGCGCCACGGACGCGGTCGTACGACGCACGCAGGAGCGGACGCTGGCGATCTCCACTCGATTGGTGGCCGCGGACCACGCCACAGCCTTCGCTGTTCCAATAGCCGAGCCCCTGCCCAAGGACGCCGTGAGAAGAAGGGAAGGCGCCGTGGACGAGGAGGTCGCGCCCGAGTTACGACGAAGATGCGCCGAGTGGGGCGCGCGGCGGCTGGCTCGAGTGTTCCGCGCGGGCGCGTTTAGATTGCAGCTCAAGGGCCTCACGGTGTGGTCCTGCCACGCGCAATATCAACGTAATTTGGTTGAGGCGAATCTGTTTACGCGGCTGGCGGCGGGTAGAAGGTTGTGTCGGGTCACTTCGGCAGCGAAAGTGCGAATGAAGAAATTTGACGCCGTCGAGATCTGGCGCAACGTGGCGCTGGGTTGCCGGGACGTGGTTAGAAATGTCGCGGCCGTCGAGATCGAGAGGTACGCTCGTTCATATAGAGCGCGGCGGCTGACGGAGTGGCGACGCCGTCGAAGGGCCGCGACACTCATCCAGACGCGGCAGCGGCAGATCCCGGCTAGGATTGAGCTAGCGAAACGCGTCGAAGCGAAACGACGTAGATTGGCGGCGACGTTGATCCAGAAAGTAAGGAGGGACGTCGTCGCGTGCCGGAAAGCTCGGAAGATCCTGAATAGGAGACGGCGCTACGTTCGGGCGAGAACCATACAACGCCGCGTCCGGGCGAACCAAGCCCGGAGGCGCGTCGCCCGCGCGAGACGGCGACGACGGCGGAACCTGGCTGCGCTCGCGATCCAGTGCCTCCAACGCGGCGGGCGGATCCGAGTGCGAGCGGATCGCCTGCGACGGCGACGGCGACGTAGGAAGGCCGCCGTCGTGCTCCAAACGAGAGGTCGAGGGTATTTGGTGAGACTGCGCATCAAGGGCACGAAGGCGGAGCACTCGGCCGCCGAGCGCGTCCAGCACGTGATCCGGCGCTTCCTGAAGGCGTGCAAGGCCTGGCACGAGGCGAACGCGCGAGCTACTAGAGTTTTGGAGAACTGCATGAGGATCGTGATCGCTCGGAGGAGGATGGCTAAAAGAGCGGAAGCGCGGCGCGTCGAGGCGCGACTCCGAGCTTTGTGCGGCAAGGGCAAGGACCCGCAAACGACGTCGGCGTCATTCTTACAGTTGTGGTACCGGCGATTAGTTACGAGATGGCAGCGGGAGGGTAGTGCTTTTACCATCCAATGTCAAGCTCGGGCGTACATCGCGCGAAGGGCGATGAGCAACCTGCTGAAGAGGAGGAAGGCGGGCGCCGCGCTCATAAACAGATGGTTCCGCGGCGAGCTCGCGCGCCTCAACTGCGCGGCGCAGATGTGGCAGCTCGAGCTCCAGAAGGCGGCGCGGAGAATACAAAAGCCGTGGCGCGGCGCGCTAGCACGCAGACGCTGGCTCGCCCTCACCCAAGACAAAGAAGCTCTACAGGAGGCCGCGGAACGGATCAAGGAGGACGAGGCCTGGTACGCCGACCCGGCGAACCAGCAGTACACACAAGAGGGCTCGCAGAGTTATTATGATGAGTCGACCGGCGAATGGGTGACGTATGATCAAGGTGACCAGACGAGCTGGGAGCAGTACCCTCCCCCCATTGTGTTCGAGAACTACTGGGAGGCGCGGGACCACTACATGAAGCAGCAGGAGGAGCTTGTGGGTAGTGCTGTTAGGGTGCTGCAGCGGTTCGGCGTGTTTTGGACGTGGCGGCTGAACCGCTACAATGCGATATGTGTCATCCAGAAACTCTATAGGACGCAAATCGAAAATATAAGGCTACGGGCGATGCAGGAGGCCGTGCGGCTGGAGCAGCTGCGAGCGGCCGCCGCCGACAAGTTCGCGGCGCTGTGGAAGGGCCGGCAGTCGCGGAACTTCGTCGCGAATAAGCTGCGGGAGAAGCGGCGGGCCCTCGCATTTAGGAAAAAGCGGTTACTGGCTGCTCTACTCATCCAGGCTCGAGCTCGGGGCATGATCTGTCGCGAAGGGATTCGAAGACGTTTGATGGAGGAGGCGTGGAAGCGGCAGCAGGGCATGGCTCAGGTGCGCGAGGACGCGTCGCTGGTCATCGAATGCGCGCAACGGTGCCGCATGGCGCGCTGGTGGATGCGGAAGCGCCGTGCTGAAAGAATAGCGGAGGAGGAAGAACGCGAAAAAGATAGGTTGTTGGAATTGGCCCTCGATCGCCTGAAGAAGGAGCAGGAGATCAACTTGTTGGCGATGCGCGTGCAGTGCCTGTGGCGGCGGCGCAAGGCGTCTCGTTCCCTCGAGGACCAGATGCGTCGCTTGGTGGAAGAAGAACGCGAGGCGGCGGCGCGCGCCAAGTTCCTCAACGCGGCCTGCATCCAGGCCTTGGCGCGCGGTGTACGTAAGCGCGCCTGGTTCGCGCGGAATCATGCTTCTCTGGTCGACTCGAAGACGATCCGCGGGGCCTTGCTCCGCATGCGCGCGCGGCAGGCGGCGGAGGTCGAGAAGGTCACGGCGCGCATGCGCCATCTGGACAAGTTCGGGCCCTCCGAGTATTTGTGGAGCGGTGTGAGGGATGAGTTGGAAGGCGTCACGCGGGAGAACGAGGCCCCGAGTGAAGCGGGTCCCGCGAACGAGCCCTGGCAGGAGCAGCACTGGTCCGAGCGGTTGCCCCAGTCCCCGGAGAAGGGCGCGCCGGGCGAGTGGGAGGAGCAGTGGGACGACAGTGCCCAGGCGACGTACTGGTACAACCGGAAGACGGGCGAGGCGTCCTGGGTCGACCCGACGCAGCAGCATTTGTTGGGGACGCCGGAGCGCTAGTAAGGTCATTGATGTGTTTTCATTCGGGCGGTACGTGTCGCCGATTCGTCGTCGACTGGCATGGGCCGCGCCCTCCGACGTTCGGACTGGCCCTAGCGTAACGCTGTCCTCGAAAGCGCTCCTGGAAGTCGCGGGACCGCTCCGCGCGCTGGCGTGCTCGAGACGCTGGGCTCTAGGAGCTCTCGCCGCGCGCGAACTTTGGCTAGTGTCTTACATGTGCGCTAGCGTCCACGTATTATGTGTACAAAAAATTATCGGAGGTCGATCGGCAGGCTATATCGCTCGCCCGTTTCCAGCTCAGCCGGATATCTTGCCAAGCGCATCGTAGTGCTTGCAGAGAACAAGTGCCGACTGCAAAAGACCACAAAACACCTCGTGTTTGCCGCATCGGCATCATCGGCAAAAGATAAAGATGGCTGCACCAGTCGCCGCCAACGCGAAAGTAGCCCTGATCACGGGCATCACGGGCCAGGACGGCAGCTACCTCGCCGAGCTTTTATTGGACAAGGGCTACACGGTCCACGGCATCATCCGCCGCAGTTCGTCGTTCAACACGGGCCGCATCGAGCACCTCTACAAGGACCAGCACGAGAAGCAGGTGAAGCTCTTCCTGCACTACGGCGACCTCACCGATAGCTCGAACCTCTTCCACATCATCTCGACGGTGCGGCCGGCGGAAGTGTATAACTTAGGAGCCATGTCGCACGTCAAGGTCTCGTTCGAGATGTCCGAGTACACGGCCGAGGCCGACGGCGTGGGTACCTTGCGTCTGTTGAACGCCATCCGCAGCGCGGGCCTCGAGAAGTCGACGCGCCTCTACCAGGCGTCGACGTCCGAGCTCTACGGCAAGGTCCAGGAGATCCCGCAGAAAGAAACGACGCCCTTCTACCCGCGGTCGCCCTACGGCGTCGCCAAGCAGTACGCCTACTGGATGCTCATTAACTATAGAGAGGCCTACGGCATGCACCTCACGAACGGCATCCTCTTCAACCACGAGTCGCCGCGCCGCGGCCCGACGTTCGTGACCCGCAAGATCACGCGCGCCGTGGCGCGCATCTCGCAGGGCAAGATGAAGACCTTGTATCTGGGCAACCTCGACGCCAAGCGCGACTGGGGCCACGCGCGCGACTACGTCGAGGGCATGTGGCTCATGGTGCAGCGCGACGAGCCCGACGACTTCGTGCTCTCGACGGGCGAGTGCCACTCGGTCAAAGAGTTCTGCGAGGTCGCCTTCGCGCGCGTCGGCATCACGGTGCAGTGGAAGGGCGAGGCCGGCTCGGTCGACGAGATCGGCGTCGACGCCAAGGACCCGAACCGCGTCCTCGTCAAGGTCGACCCCAAGTACTTCCGCCCGACGGAGGTCGACCTGCTCGTCGGCGACTGCTCAAAGGCCAAGAAGCTGCTGGGCTGGACGCCCAAGGTCACCTTCAAGGCGCTCGCCGAGGAGATGGTCGACGCCGACCTCGCCGAGCTCCGCCGCGAGATCGCCCAGGAGGGCCAGTGAATGTGTCCGCCGTCGCATAACTCCCCTTGTGTCCGCAATTACTTAGCGCCGGGGGTACTAGCGGCGGACCTCGAGAGCCGAGCTCCGCCGCGAGATCGCCCAGGAGGGCCAGTGAGTGTGTCCGCCGTCGCATAACTTCTCCCTTGTGTCCGCAAATTTATGACTTAGAGGTACTAGTGGCGAGCTGTCCGCAGGCGGCCATCTCGTCGTCGCCGCGCGCGTTGCGCACGCCGACGAAGAGCGTCGGGTCGCGCCGTTTCAACTCCTGCTGGAACGCCGAGATCGCCGCGCGGCCCGGCCGCTCAAAAACGTCCCCGGGCACGGGGTTGTAGGGGATCAGGTCCACGACGAGGCGCGGCACGCGTTTCCGTAGAGGCTCCACGAAGGCCGCTAATTCTTTCGCGTGGTGCGGCTGGTCGTTGACGCCAGCTAATAGAGTCACGGCGACCATGACTGCCCTATCCTTGCTCGACTCGCAACGGTGCGCCTCGACGGCCTCGGCGAGCCCGTCGCGCAAAACTTCGGGCTCGTAGCAAGCCGTCGGCACGAGTCGTTTCCGTAAATCGGCGTCGGCGGCGTGGAGCGACCAGGCCAGTTGGCCGGGCGCCGCGGCGAGTGCGTGGAAGGCCGCCGGCGTCGGCCCGACCGTCGACAGCGTCAGCCGGTGCCGCGAGAAGCCGAACCGTTGGGGGTCGGTAAGGCAGCGCGCTGCTTCCGTAGCATGTTTTGGATTGCAGCCGGCGTCGCCCATGCCCATGAAGACGATGGACCGCAGGGGCGGCAATTTATTAGATTGTACCATCCTCAGCCCCAACCACAACTGCTGGCAGATCTCGCTCGACGACAGCGACCGGATCAAACCCATTCTGCCCGTCGCGCAGAAGGCGCAGCCCATGGCGCAGCCGACCTGGGAGGAGACGCAGAGCGTCGTCGTGGGCTTGCCGCGCGTCGTCTGCGGGATGAGCACGGCCTCGACGCGCTGCTGCTTGCCGACGTCGACGAGCAATTTGGTCGTGCCGTCGGCCGCTTTGAACGTTTCGACGAGGCTTACGGCATCGCCGCCGAAGGTCTGCACTAAGTCGGCTCGCGCTTGTCTTGACAGCGCCGCGTCCGCGCACGGGTCGCGGCCCTCGCGCAGCGCCTTCCAGGCGAGCCGCGCGCGTGACGCGCCGACGACGGCCTCGAGGTCCTCGTTTGATGCTGCGACGAGGCCCGGCGCGCTTAATGCTGTTTGTTGTTTGGGTTGTGTGGTGACTGCTGCTGGTTTCGTCGCGACCGGCGCGATCATCCCGGCGGCGCACGGCAGCAGCAGTAGCAGCAGCATAGTGCAGTGGCAGTGCCTCGTGCTTTCAGCCTGAGGGTGTCGGCACTTACAGTGTCTGATAATTGATGATCTATTCTGAATCTACAGCATCCGAGGTGTCTGTCACGGCTACAACTCAGCAAAGTCAACCACGATAATCCAGCTTGGGCTAGCGTCCTGTAAGGCACTAGCTGGTTCTCGAGGGCTGTACCAACGGCTTCCATCGCTATTATTGTATGCTTACCTTCCGCGCCCGCTCGAACCAGCGTTTCTTCGGCTCCTCGGGGGACGGCGGCGCCTCGGGGGGAGCCTCAGCGGGCGCGGGCGGCGGCGCCGGCGGCGCCCCGCGCGCGACCGTCGCCCTAATACCAGGCGGTAGACGCAGCTCGCGGATCGAAGACCTCTTGCCGTCCGCTTTAAAAACGACGACGGCGTCGCGCGCGAGGCCGACGGCGCGTCTTTTTGATATGGCCCTGCCGCGTTTTGGAGTGATGCTGACCTTCGCGTCAAGTTCCAAATGGGCGAAGCGCCACTCGCGAGCGCCCGCGGCGTGGCGCTGCGGCGTCTGGAGGCTGCCCGCGAACGACGTCGGACTCGCGCCGCCGCGGACGAGCCGGAACGAGCTCGCGTCGAGGCGCAACACTCCAGACTCGTCCGCGGCGGCCCACCGGAGCTCGCCGCCTTCACAAGTAACGCGCACCGGCTGCGAGCGCGCCGCGAAGAAGCCGCGGCTTGTGATCGAGTTGTCGAAGATTGCTAGTGTTGCGTCGACGGCCTCGACCGCTCCGTCAGGGTCCACCGCCGGCGCGGGCGGCTCCACACCCGCCGACGTCGACGCCGTCGGCGCCGGCGCCGGGCCGTCCGGTCGCGGCACGAAGTGCTTCGGGGATTCGGCGTCGGCCGCGCCGTCGGGCACGGTGACCTGGGCCGTGCCCCGGAATCTGCTCTCGCGCAGCGCGCTCATCTCGGGGCAGCCTCACTTCTTCTTCCTCGTGGTCCTCGTTGCGTGCTGCCCACAGCAGGGATTTGGCCTCAGCACCGCGCGCGCCGTTTTTGACCCGGACTTCTGGGCCGTACGTCGAGAGTGGACCCCAATGCGCGCCGTGACGAGAGCTGCTGTTGTTTAGGCTGGCTGGCGCCGATTTAGGCCGCCGGCAAGCTTAATTTGGGGCGTGCAGGTTTTGTGGGGCTGCCCAAAAAAAGCTCGAAACAGCTCGCAATTCGCGTAGCCCGGCGACATAAGTCGCTTTGTGGAGCTGCCTTACGAGCCCACTCGGCATGGCGACTCAGTGATGCGCTTGCGCGCGGCCGTCGCGCTCGGCTGCCTCCTGACTGCCCGGGGGCAGCTCCCGCAAGTGCTCGAGGAGGCTATGGACCACGTGCACCCGCGCGCGCGCGCCGAGCTCGAGACCTTCTTCGCGCCGGGCGGCCCGCACGCGTCGTTTAAAGTAAGGGTCGAGGAGGGCTGCATCGGCGGCGCGTTCCCGGTCTACGACTGGAAGAAACTTGTTCCGGTCGACGCCAAGTGGGGCCTCGAATCATTAATAGCGGCGCGCCTGCACCAGTCGAAGTGGTTCGCGGCCGATGCAGACAATGCACTCGTCGCGTTCCGGCCCCACACCGGCGAGCGGTCCCTGCTGACGAAGTGTAGATTAAAGCTCGAGCGCGACTTTCCTGGAAAACAGTTCTGGTTCGCGGCGGCGACGGATCGAGGGCGGTGCTGCGACGGCGGCCAGCTCCGGGACCCCGGCCTCTTAAATCACCACTTCCTCGTCACCAGCGGCGAACGGCGGCGGGGCGCGTGGCTCTTCCGGGAGCACAACACGAAACACGCGTGGCGCGCGCCGGCGACGCGGGACACGGCGCCGCGGCTCCGGTGCTTTGATCCTTCAATGGACGTCGCGCTGCCGCCGCCGGCGTTCGTGCGGGGGCTCTACCGCAAGCGTGATATTACAAGGGACCTGCGCGCGGCGAACGCGACGCGGCGCTTCCTCGCGGTGCACGCCGAGGGCGGCGTCGCGCCGCCCGAGTACGACCTGCGGCGCGCGCTGACGGAGCGCTGGGCGCCGGACTGGTGGGCGAACGCGCGCAACCGCAGCTGGGCGGGGCACCCCGATCTACTGATACGGAAGGCCCTGGGCCGCGCGGAGCACGGCGAGGCGCTCTTCGCTTCAAAATATTGTTTAGTTGTGGAGGGCTACGCGCCGTGGACGCCGCGACTGTCCGAGGCGGTCGGCGCGGGCTGCGTGCCCGCAATCCTGTCGCCGGCGCTGCTGCCTCCATTCGCCGGGGTCCTGCGTTGGCGCGACTTCGCCGTGTTGCTGCGCCCGGCGGATATTGGAAATTTACCGGCAGTGCTCGCTTCCCACGACCACGCGCGGCTCCACGCGAACTTACTGAAGGTGCGGCGGCTCCTCTCGTTCATCGCAACTGGACCAGTAAACGACGACGACGCGCTGCCTTTGATCGTCTTCGAGATGTGGCGGCGCTCGCGGCGGCGGCGGGAGTTTTTAGAGGGGACGGCGACGGCGCTCGCCGCGCCGGCAGCCGCGCCAGCCGGCGTACACTCCACCGCGACGGAGCCGCTCAAGGTGGCGTTCGCCTGTGAGGCCGACGGCACGTCGTGCGCCTACGCGGTGCGCGGCGCGCGCTGGAACTGCTCCCGCCGGACGAAGATGGCGTGCGGCTGTGCCAAGGAGTAACCATGTGACTTGGATTATTTATGAAGCGACTACCCCACCAGGATCAACATCAGTCGTCGGCCGCTCGCGCGCGTCGTCGAGGAAGACGAGGTCGCGGGCCTCCCACGTCGTGGGCGGGACCTCGACACCGTGGTCCGCGCCCCTTTCCGGCTCCAGCGGCCGGCGCTTCACCAGGCGCGCGCGGTACGCGTCGTCGAGGAGCGCGCGGACGCCGTCGAAAAATAGGGCGCCATCGTCCTCGCGCGGAGGCGGTATCGTGACGGGCGGGGGCGGCGGGTCGGGCCGCATCGTGTCGGACCGCGGCGGCCGGTAGACGTCGTAGATCCCGTCGGCCCAGAACCGCGCCTCGTCCTTGGAAATCGTGGCGATGCGCGCCGGCTTGAAGGCAGGGTCCGGCGCGAAGAGCTTTTTGGCGAGGCGGGCCGCGCGCTCGGCCTCGGCGCCGCGCGTCGGCTGGAGCGGCCGCCGCGTCGCGAAGCCGAGCCCTTCGCTGCCGAAGTCACGGCCGCTTGCCCTGGCCTTGATGGATTCGCTATCGTACGCCCTTGCCGAGTCGCGGCACGCGCGGAACGACGCGAGGTAGCGCCTCCGGTACTCGCGCCGCGTCGCCCGCCCGGCCGTCGGCGCGACGCGGAACCGCGTCCCAGACGGAGCATTCGGCAACGCGGGCGGCTTGAAGGCCGGCGGTGGTCGCGCGGTGATCGCCTTCGGCGACGCGAAGCGCGGCGAAGGGTGTTTCTTGCGGTCGAGGGGCGTCGCCACGAGGTGCTGGGGTCGCATTGATATTCCGCCCGGCGCTTTATGCGTCGCGTTATACGCATGCGCGGTGTCGTAGGCGGGCCCAGGGCTCTCGCCGACCGCCTGCCGTGCTGCTAGCACCGCGGCGGCGCCAGGCAGCGGTGTCTCGTGGGACGCACCGGGCAAAGAAACGCTATGCGTCTCGGCGACGCTGGCGAGGAAGCTCGGCATGGCGTCCACGCCCGGGCCCGGCCCGTCAGACTCTCCGGCGAAGGCGCCGCCCCTCTTCTCGCGGCCGAGGGCCCCGCCCACTTGTGACAGCGGCGTCGTTGTGTCGTAGGCGCCCGCGCCGGGCGTCCACTTCTGCTCCTCGATCTTGGCCTCGCTGAAGCTTTTCAGGCCCTCTCGTCCAACCAGAGTTGCCTTCGGCGCCAACGACGGGACGTAGGTGTCGTATGCTGCCGGCCCCGGACCCACAGCATCTCTTTGCGCCTCGATTTCGTCCGCATGGAATCTCGAGGCGGTCGATGCCAGCTTGTTTTGCCGCCAGACGGCCCGCTGGCTCGCGTCCGCGGCACGGACGTCGTGGGCGCCGGGGCCCGGGCCGTCTTTTATGGAGAAGAGGTCCGCGCCGCGGCCGCCGAAGGTGGCCCCGCTCGGTTTAGGCGGGTTCAGAATGCGCGAACCCTTGCCCTCGACGAGGTCGAGCGCGTCAGCCGCCCGGTACGCGTCGGCGGTGCGGCCGGGCGACGTGCCGTCGTTCGGCGCCGGCCGCGGCGCCTTCCCGGTAAACCGGCCGCCGGGGGGCGATCTCGGTTGCTCTTTGTACGACTGCGGCGAGGGCTCCGCCGACCCCTTCTGGAGGCGCCGCGCCAGTTCCTTGTCGCGCCCGAGGCTCTTGGCATCGTGGAGCTGAGAGAGCCGCCGCAGCGCGCGCGGCTTTGTGGGGGCCGCCGTCATATCGTGGTGGTGGGCAGCCCCCTCTGTCCAGGCAGCCCCTGTCCTGCCCTGCCCGGTCGGGAGGAGCGGAAGCTGTGGCGCTGCGAAGCAAGCGAGCAGGGAAGCAAACGAGAGTGTAGTGGGCAGAACCTGTCTGGCCCTTACTGCTCTCCGGCAGCCCGACGCTTCGAGGCGTTGCGCTAGTACCTCACGCCGCTAGCAAGCGCTCGGATAATCGCGTGTCCAGGCTAATACGAGGGGCTTAGCGAGTCGTGCGTAGTTTTGCAGGCTACCGGCAGCGTACACAGTGCATCAGCTGCTGGTCGGGCCGGCGGCGGCGCCAAACCTCGGCAAAAAACCGACTCAGCATCGAAAAGCTTTCCAAGAGCCGACATGCGCGCAGCGCTCGCCCTAGCGCTCTGCGCGATCCACGCTGTCAGCGAGAGAGATGAACACGGGATGCGCCAAGCCCTTCGCCTGGCGCGGATGAGAGCGCCGCGCGAGAGGCGCAGCCCGGGCGCGGGCCGGGCGCAAGGCCGGACAGGAGGAATGAGGGACTTCTACGGCGGCGCGAACCGCACGCGGCTCTGGCCCCGCACAAAGCACCTCCAACCGCTCCTGCCAACAGTCCCGACGGAGCACCTCTGGGCCGGCGGCTGCTGCGGTTTGGGCCATCGCACGTCGCGATTGATGCGCTTGTATGTGTACGCCGTGTCGCGCGGGCGCCATGTCGTCGCGGACTGGGGCGCTTGTGTGGGTACGCCCGTGGCGAACCTCTTCTCAGCGCTGTTCGGCGACTGGAACGAGCTAAGAGCTGTCAAACCGCGCGAGAATCAATTAAGGAACCCGGGCTGCCCCTCGGGTGTTTGTCCCACTGGAAACGCGTTCAAGGAGGCCGCCAAGGCGAGAAGGTCGTTCTTCCCGAACGAGCCGCCCGAAGACTGGCAGCCGCCCGGCACGCGCGTCGAGAGCAAGCACCCCTCGAAAACGCTGTGGCAGGGCGAGTGGGGCCTCTTCAACCTCCATTCTGATATATTTAAGTACGCGGAGCATTTTGCTGCATCTATGGTGAAGGCGCTGCGGCCGGAGATCAAGGAACGACTGGATGAATTTATACAAAAAGAGTTCAGTCCGCGGGGTAGAAGAAGAACGCGCATCATCGGCGTGCATTTTCGCTTCGGGAACGGCGAGAAATTTGGTAGAAGACCGGCCAATTCGACACATGTGGTGCTGAGGACGGCGGCGGCCGTCGAAAGGGTGGCCGCAGCATTGGGCTACGAGAACGTGCGAGTGCTCGTCGCGACGGACGACGCGAGCGCGCTCGATACGCTAAGAAAGCATACGAAGCTCGACGTCTTCGCGCGGCCGCAGTGGCGGCCACCGCCCGGCGCCGGCATCGTCTTTTCGAGTTGGCGCACGAAGGACCATTTGGATGACAAGATCAAGGAGGCGACGGAGGCCGCGCATAGGTCTGTGGTCAAAGACGCCAATACCTGTGTGGGCGCGGCCGCCGACATGCTCATCGACTCGCTGCTGCTGGGCTACGCCGACGCGCTGGTCTTGCCCGTGCCCTCGACGTTCACGATCCTCCCGAAGGTCATGGCGCACTCGCGCGGCGCGCCGTCCTGCATGTTTATTGGAGAGACGTGGCGGGACCTGAACATCAAGAAGCGGGATCTGGAGCTGACGTGCGTCCGCCGCGACCGCGCGGGCCGCGCGTCAACCTCCCGTTTGACGGTGCCGCCGCAGGGCCGGGCGGACTGGCTCGGCGCGCGCTTCTGGTGAGCCGTGCGACCTTGTGTTGTGATCCCTCCCCCCTAGTCCCCTCTCCCCCGTCTGGCGTAACCGGATTGTGTCGCATACGTCGCGTCGATGGCGTATCCGCACGAGGCGTCCGGGTGGCACCGTTTCTCGCGGCCATGGCCATGTAACCATGAATAGATTGTATATATACACTGACATATTTCTATGGCATATTCTTAATCTCCCCGCTCCTCATCCGGCGTCTCGGCCGAAAAGCGGCGGACAGGGACGCTGCGGCGTCGCGGGTGTAGCGGAGCCTCCCTTAGGCCTGCTCCGTTGTGGCCGTCTAGCGCGCCGCGCCGCTTTTTGGCCGGAGCCGGTGCGGCGCGCGCCAACTCCCTCCATTCCCGCTCGGCCTTGCGCATTCTGTGCCGTTTCGATTGTTCTGGCCGTTCTGACGCTTTGAAACGGCCAGGCGCCGCTCGCTTACGACGGAGCAAGCTCCCCCTTATTTGAGGGCCCTTGGGCTGATGGGGGCTGATCCACGCGCGTGGCTTCGGGACCGGCGCGCCGTTGACAACTGGATTAGTCTTGTGAGTCGACTCAAGTCCATAGCGGTGAATAGCCGCGTTGTAGGCAAGTGCAGCCTCCTCATCGGTTCTGAAGTAACCAATGACTACGGTCGCTTTGCCCGGGTGATACTCCATACTTGTGAAAATAGTGAATCTGGCCGTCCAGCGTGGCGGTTCGGCGTTCCATGAAACACCCACGTACTGTGAGCTGGCACGAGGGATCAAGGAGGGCGATCTAGTTGGAGGTACGACTTCGGAGCCATCGAAGTTCGGTTCCTCGGGAGGCAGGGGTATCAATACGCCGTTTAGCTCCCTGTTCAGCTTGATACCCTTTCTGTCGCGGCAGCACCGAGCGGCACCGCTGCGCCTGGCCTCCTCGCGCGGGATCGGCACGCCATCATATAGCGGATTTAGTTCACGCGTCGATGACAATCCCTCCCGACGGATAGTCGCATTATACGCTTCAGCTGCCTTTACCGCATCGTCGAAGTCGCCTATGTGCTGCGAATCGCCGTTCGCGTCTTCGTACTCTGCCTTGTACTTTTTGGAATCCCTATCCCACACAACGCCAATATATGGGTTCGTCCCACCTCTTCTTAAGTTACGTAAGTGACCACGAAAGGTATAAGAAAAGGATGTCCCCAGTCCCGCGGCGCGGACCGCCGCGTCGTGCGCGCGTGCGGCCTCGATATCATCGCTATAATAGCCGACGATAACGCGCTCGCCAGTTTTCGGATTTTTGTATCGAGCCATCCACTTGTGTTGTCCGGAATCCCACTGGATGCCATGGTACCTCGGGGCTTGCCATTCCACGTATACGACCGTCTCCTCGCCGTCGCTCTCAGGAGAGTTCTCATCGCTGTCAGGCGCTGGCGTGACGGGGTCGCGACGGCGGCGGCAGTGCTTCGCAGTGACTTCCGCGTGGTCACCGTCGTCGTACGCGATCTCATACGCGCGGCCACCGTGTATCACCGCGTCGACGACGCCCGGGAACCAGCGATGCCCCCACAGCCCGAGGACGGCGTCACCGACGGAAAACTCCGCGGTGGGCGGTGCGCAAATCGCGACCCGCGACTCCCGGCGACAGGTAGGACACGTTAGCTTCGTGCCCCGTCGCGTCGGCGTCGATCCGAGTGCGTGAGCAAGCTGCCCTAGGCAGTGGGCATGACAGCGGTGCCCGCAACCCAGCGCGGGCGACGATTCGTCGAGGTCATCGAGGCATATCGGGCATTCATCCATGGCCGTGAGGCTGGCCGGGCTGCCTCCACGGCGCACGAGGGCCAAAGAGAAGGCCAAAGAGCTAGTGGTGTCGACACACTAGAGGTGCAAAGCAGCAAGCGCAACAAAGGCAAAAAGCAGCACCGCTGGGGGCTTGGGCGCGTAACTGAGGTCATCCGTTAACACATTGTGACCGTCCCGCCGAATACTGGGCAAGCGGGACCGCGCTGCGCCATCTGCCGACCGGACGCGCCGCACCTCATGTCCGCCGCCGCCGCCGTCCGCGTTGCCCTACGGCGCGCGCCGCGCGCCGCGCCGCCGCGACGAAAAATGGGCGGCCTCACGAACGTGAAGAAGAATGGCCCCGTCGAAGAATGGAACGGCCGCCGCGAGATCACCGAGAAGACGTTCGACGTCGGCCGGCCGCGGACCGTCGCGACGCTCCTCGCGACCATCGTCGCCTTCCCGTTCGTCGTGCACCACGTCGTCAAGTCGGAGCTCGACACCTCGAAGAACAACTGCATCAACCCGAAGACCAAGGCCATCGGGACCGCGTAGAACTGTAATTAATCTATCTTATTCTCTCCTTCGATGGAACCCCGCCCACTAGTCCTATGAGTAGCACCAGTAAACAACAACTTCCGCTAACACATCCAGGGCCGTCCTCGTGGTCAACCGAGTAGAAATCAGCAGAGCCCCCGCGCCTCGAGCATCTCCAGGACGCGGAACGCCGCGTCGGGGTCCTCGGGCGCGGCCGGCGGCGGCGGCGGCGCCTGCGCCCGGGAAGCGTCAACGACGCGGTACGACGGGAGGGACGCGGCATACAAACAGGGGCGGCCGGCGGCGGCGGGCGGATCGGGGCGAGGACCGGCGGCGGCGGCGGCGGCGCGAAGGCGTTGCGCCGCGCGAGCGCGCCGCCCAGCAGGTCTGCGAGCGAGGCCCCCGCCGCGGGCGGCGGCGGCGGCGGCGGCGCGACGGGCGGCGCGACGGGCGGCGCCGGCACGTAGCCGTACAGGGGCGCGGGGGCGCCCCCGCCGTAGAACGGCGCGGGCGGGCCCCGGGGCGATCCTCGCTGCCCGCCGCCGCGGCCGCGCCGGCGGCGGCGGCCACCGCCGCGCGGCGGCATCTGCTGCATCGGCATCGGCATCATCGGCATCGGCATCATTCCGGGTGGGCCGAAGCCGTGCGGCGGCATCATCGGCATCGGCATGGGCATCGGCGCCGGGGCGGGCGGCGACGGCGCGCGGCGCCGCTTCCGCGGCAGGCGCGCGGCGGCCGGCGGCGCGACGGCGACGGCGCCCTCCTCCGAGAAGCCCGACTGCCGAGAAGCCGCGAGGTCCGCGCGCGCCGAGTCCCCGGGAGCCTCGTCGTCGGACGAGAACTCCGCGCCGGCGAACTCGTCTCCACCAGCAAAGTCGTCGACCACAACAGCGGCGCCGCGCAGCCCGCGCCGCCGCCGCCGTATCATGCCGACGTCGAACGGCGCGCGGACCTCGCGGACGTGCGCCACGCAGCGGAACGCGTTCGTGGAAACGGGCGCCGCCGACGCCGGGCGGCAGCCTCTACAAAAACCCCGCGGGCAGCGCACGCAGCGCACGGCGTCGCCGTCCCGGTCGTCGAGCACGCGCCCGCACGCGCCGCACGCGTGCGCGCCGCACGTCCAGTCTTCATTACTTGGTTTGCATTTTGTGCAGAGGACGCGCGCGCAGCCCGGCGCGGCGCACTTTATGGTCTCCTCGACGGGCTGGTAGACCTGGCAGGACGCGCATCTAGCTGCATTGACGGCGCACGGGGCGCACGTCCATCTTATTTGATCGGCGGCCGCGCCGACGCAGGCCGCGTGGAAGTCATTATGGCACCTTGTACAGCGGACGCTTGCCTCGCCGACGCAGGAGACCTCGCACTCGGGGCAGATGCCGGCGACCATGACGCGGCGATTTGCGCGCGGCGGCGACGCGCTACGGCTGTCTGCCCCCTGTTAGAGGGTGCTTGCAAATTCCTGCGGCTGGCGTCTGCGAGCGCAAGGAATGGCCTCTGTAGACAAGTTGTGGCGTTGCGCTTCGTCTGCGCTCGCTCACGCGAGCGATCTGGCTTGACGCGCGGCGCGGCGCGGAGATGCCCCGGCTGGGATGCCTAGTGTCTTACTGGACGCTAGCGGATTTCCTGAAGGCGGGAGCCCTTGAAGCCGTCGGAGGCGAAATAGACCCGTGTTGAATGATAAGAACCCGTGCGGTTTTTCTTATTAAAGATTAGACACTACACAGCCCCGGGCTGCCGCCGCGCGCGCGGGCCGACTCACAATGAGTCACATAACGACGCCGCCGCGCGCAAACCCCTCGCGCGCCGCGGCACGCGTGCGCGGGCCGGCCGGGTGCGCGACGGGCGTCGGCCGTGGGACCCCGCTCGGCCACGCGCGCGCGTCGAGGTCGAGCATCCAGGCGTAGGGCGTCGGCCGCAGCGCCGCCGCGATGGCGGCGGCCGCGGCGGGCCCGACGCGGCCGGCGAGGTCCGCGTGCCGCCGCGACGCCGCGCGGTGGCTGTGGCGCGCCTCGCAGGGCGGCGGCGGCGCGGAAGGCGCGGCCGCGGCCCACGCGCGGGCCACGGCGCCGCAGGGGTGGGCGATGACGTCCTCGTCAAAGTCGAGCTCGAGGACGGTCATCCCGTTTGCACGCATGGCGTCCACGCCCGCTTTAAGTGTTGCCGCCTCCCACTCGATCGTGCGGAGCGGGTCCGCGAAGAAGGCCGCCGCCCGCCGCGCGACGCGCGGCCGTGCCCTTCCCGCGAACTCGTCGTCCGTCGCCGCGCGCCACTCGCGCACGCCTGTGTGGAAATCAAATTTCGGGCGCCCCAATAGGTTCACGAAGGTCCACGATAGCCTAACTCACTGGTGATTTCCACACAGGCGCACGCGGTTCTCGAAGCTGGACACGAGGCGCGCGAGGTGGTTCTGGCGCTCAATAACTATAACTGTGTTGAAGCCCGCCGCCGCCAGCGCGTCCGCGAGCGCGGCCGGAGTGGAGAGGCTCGCGAGCGGCCCGCCGAGGTGCTGCGGCTTGATGTGCGTCAGCGCCGCCTTGCTCCTCCGTTTGGCTTTGCCGACGCACGCGCGCAGCGCGGCCGCCGAGAGGCCGCCGAGCGCGAAGCCCTCCTTGCGGCCGCGGCAATAACTGAAGTTGCCGGCGGCTTTCAACGAGTCCGCGAACGTGCCCGTCGCGCATCGTCCCAAAGCCCAGAGCGCCACGGAGCCCGTGTTGCCATTCCTACGGCTCGCCTGCTCCGTGGCGAGGGCCGCGGCGAGGTCGCCGTAGCCCGGGCGCATGCGGGCCTTCTCGGCGCGCCGGGCGAGCTCGGCGTCGTCGAGCCCGCGGAACGTCTGCGCCACGGCCGGCGCGAGGGCGCACCAGCACGCGACGAGCCTTGCTGTTCGCATGCGGCAGCTTTTTGCACGGCTGGTGGCACCTGATGATGGCAGCAAGCCACACGAGTGCTCCAGGCGAGCGTTGACGTCGTCAGCCTTAAACGCGGCTCTGACGCCTCTATTTGCCGAGCGCTGCCGTGCAGTAAATCGCCGGCACGCGTCTAGCATTATATTTTGTGAAAACCTCAGCTAGCGGCAAGTAAGACACTAGCAAGCAAACTCGGAACGCGCATGCCGTCGTTCGAGTATCCTTCAGTTCGCTAATAGTCCAAAGAGATCAATGGGACACGTATTGGCGCTCGAAAAAGGAAATTTTTTAATTCGCGGTGCGGAGGCGACGAGGCCACATGCCAGCCACGCCGGTTTAATCCTGTCAATCCCTGCCAAACAGGTCTCCCTGGGGTCGCCTAGGGTCGGTATTATACACGTGCAAGCGCCTACGCCGCATACGCCACCGCTTCAAGCATTTTTGGCCGATTTCTCTCAGCCAGACATCGGGCCAGAGCACAAGTCCCCAAGGTTTGCTTCCAGAGCTCTCCGAGAGCACTAGGCCGCCGCATCGATGGCGTATGCGGTACAGGCGACTACCCACTACCAGACCTACCCCGAGAGACCGCCAGGAGCCGATCTACATCCGAAAAAAGTGTGCAAGTTGGACCCGATGGCGCCCCGTTCCCGTCAAAAACGTCAATTACCCGAGGCCCCCCAGTAGTCGCCGTAGCGGTCTCGTCGGACCCCATACTACCCCAGCGATAGTCAATTACAAATATATGACATCTACACCGCGAGAAGGGTACTTTTGGCTGCCCACGCTCGGGACGTGAACATCTTGATCTGGAGCTCGCGCAAGTCGGTCGGTCATGAAACAAATGATCGCTTCATGGTCCATGGTGAAGGTACACGGGCTGATAGTGGCAGGTTCATGTATTAAGTCCAAATTGGCGAGATAATGGAGTCCCGCGGTGGACGAGCCGCCGGGAGCTTCCGGAACGAAATATGTAATGTAGTACACGCTCAGGCCAGTTAGCTGGCCCGTCCCATAACCGAAGCGCCTGAAACGAAATTTTATTTTATAACTTACCGATCTGGGGCCTTTCTGGTGCTCCGTCTCCGCACCGTCGTCCGCGGAGAACGGGCAAGTCGGTCGATTGTGAATAGAACAACGGCGTTATGGTCCATCTGGGTAGTGACGTCGCTGATACTCGCAGATCTGGAGTCTGTGCCAGAATAGGGGAAACGTGGGGTCGCGAAGACGACGAATCGCGAGGCTCTAACGGAGCATCTTAAATAGATGAGTGCGCGTTCAGGCGGCCTAAATGGAATCTACCACTAACAAACGGATAAAAACGAACATAAACTCGGGAGTTGTCTAGTAGAATTCTTTTCCCGCCCTCCGAGCGCGCGCAGTCGGCTCCGGTTCCGTCTATCATGTATGAAAACTGGGCTGGAGTTGATATGATGTACCATTTAGACGGTAGATGGCGGCGTCAATCGCTGGTCTACTTTGGAAACTCGTAAGACTCATCCGCGAATGTCGCGGGCGGTGCCTTCCGGGAGGCGCGAGGGTATGTTCCCGGGCCGCTACTCTGAAGTATTTGGGCGCGGCGAACGACAAGGATATATTCTGAATTTGGGTCATTCTTTTGACGCTATCGCAGCGTATCTTTGAATTTGCTAGTATGTCGATATACGCTAGCTCGGTTTGGCTCTTCTTTGTATAACGTGGGGGCCCGGAGCAGAATAATCTCGCACCTTGGTACATGAGATATCTTAGGTCTATCACAAGGAAACACACCACAACTTCAGCGCCCTGGCCGCCGGTACACCGGCGAGCGGCCGCGCAATGGCGACGGACTGCGGCGGCGTGGCGGCGGCGATCGCGCGGAGCGATACTCGCGGCTCCGGTCGCGGCTCGGGGGCCGGAAGCGGCGCGGCGACCGCGAGCGGGGCGGCGGCGGGCGCCGGCGGTCGTCGTCGTCGCGGCGCCACGGGCGGCGCCGGTCCGGCGAGGGGCTCCGCCGCCGCGCGGGCGACGCGCGGCGGCGGAAGTGGACGAAAGCGCAGGCGTCGCCGGCGCGGCAGCCGCCGGGCGCGTTGTAAAAGCGGCACGGAATGCCATTGTCCCCGCGGTGACCGACGCGCCGTGGGGGCGAGCGCGAGCGCGAGGCGTCGTCGTCGTCGCCCGGCGACCGGCGGCGGCGCGTGCCCCACGTGGCGGCCGCGACCGGCCGCGGCGCCGCGGCGGCCGGCGCGTCGAGCGCGGCGAGCACGGCGGGCGACGTGACCGCCGCGAGCGCGGCGAGCTGCCGCGGGCCGGCGACGCCGCCGACCGCGGCGGCGCGCTCCCGCGGCACGAGCGGCGCAACCACTCGTGCCGTCGCGCGGACGGCGGCGCCGCGCGCGACGCTCTGCTCGGTGGCGTCGGACCGGCGCGGGTCGGCGCGCCGCACCGCGAGGCGCGCCGCGCCGAGCCGCGCGCCGTCCAATTGTCGCGCGGCCGCGGCATCTTCAGCCTTCTCATACTCGACGAAGGCGATGTTGCCGTTCTGCGCCAACCTCAAATCGCGGATGGTACCGATGCAGCCGAAGACGGCGCGCAGCTGCTCGACCCTGACATCGGACGGCAGGTTGCCCACCCAGAGCGTCTTGTTGAAATCGCCGTGGCCCGCGGCGATGGCGACCGGTGCAGGCCCGCCCGCCAGCGCGGCCGGCGTCTCGCGCCGCAGCCTTGCAATAATTCCGACGAGAAAGCCCGTCTTGTTGCCCACATCTGTCAAATCGGCGGCGAGGAAGCGCTTGACACAAATCAACGCGGCGGCCTCGGGCAGCGCGGCGAGCGCGCCTATTACTGAAGGATCGAGGTCCGCCGGGCCCAGCGCGCCGGCCTCCACCGATGCCCGCATGGCCTGCTGGACAGCTTCTGGCAGCCTGCCGAGGTGGCCGGGCAAGGGCGTCATGCGAGCGCCGCACTGGTGATCTCTCGTGGTCGCTGCAGCCTGTGCGTCGTATATATATGATGCGCTTTGCTCGCTTTTAGGCTGTGCAACGGATTAACTCAAAATCGTTGCTAGCGACCAGTAAGACACTAGAAATCGACGTCGACGTCCACGCGACTCTCCAGGCCTGGCTCATCGTGATAAGGCATCGCTCGGGCACAGAACGAGTTGTGAGAACTCGCAGCAGCCTCGTGCAGGGACACACCCACACAAGGCATCCCTACGACAAAATATGGAGGTGGACGCCCCTGTGGCGCCAGCCGACGACGCAGCAGCGACGCCGGAAGCCACCGACGCGACGAGGCAATTGGACGCACCCGCGGCCGACGACGCAGCCGTGCCGCCGGATGCAGACGCGGCGATGCAAGAGGCCGACGACGCGGCCGCGGAGGACACGGCGCTCATCGCAGCAACGGCCGAAGCAGCCGCGAAGAAAGCAGAGGGCAACGCGGCCTTCGGCGCGGGAAAGCACGAAGAAGCAGAAAGCGCCTACGCGGCGGGCCTCGCGTCGTTAGAAGGACACGACACGTCCGGCGCGGAGCCGTCTCCCACACAAGTCGAGGCGCGCGACTTGGTGGTGTCGCTGCACGTGAACCGCGCGGCGGCCTTATTACGGTTAGAAAGACGCGCGGACGCTGAACAAGCCTGCGACGCGGCGTTAGTGCTGCAGCCCGAGAACGTCAAAGCTTTATATAGAAGAGGAGTAGCGAGAGCAGAGAACCCCCTCAAGGCGATTGATGACCTGAAGCGGGCTTTGAAGCTGGAGCCGGGCAACACGGCCGCCAAACGCGAGCTCGCGAAAGCCGAAAGGCGCCGCGCCGAGCGTGAAAGGGAAGAGCAGCGCAAGATGAAGCAGGGCCTGCGCAAGGCGGCTTCATTAAGTTTGTACGGGGACAAGGAGGCGGAAAAACGAGAAAAAGCCCAACGGAAGAAGCGGCGCGAGGCGGCGCAGCGCGAGCGCCATCAAGCGTGCAACGCTGAGCGAAAAGCGGAGGGCAAGGAGGAACTGAGCTTTAGTGAATGGGAAAAGGACGAGAAGGCTAAGCGTGAAAAATTGGCGAAGGATCGGGAGCGCGCGAGCGAGGCGGCGGCGGCGGCGCGGCGCGACGAGCGGCGGCGGCGGTCTGGTGGTGACGACGTCGTAGTGGTGGACGACGAGGGCGATTTGGCACGAGGCTACAAGACGACGGACGACGGGCGGCGGACGTCGTATTTTTCGAGGACGCCGGACGCCGAGGCCGCGAAACTCTTGGCCGCGAACCAGGCGCCGCGGCGCCTCGCCGGCGACGCCATTGAGGTGACGGATTCCGACGGCAGCGCCTGGAACGCGGCGGGCACGACCTTCGAGGAGCGCGACATGAAGACGTGGTGCGAAGAGACGCTGCGCCGGCGGTTGCGGGCGGCCGCGGCCGAGGCTTCTGGTGTTACCATCCGCGCGACATCCATCACAAAATGTAGTGGAGAGGCGTCGCTCGTCGTCTCGCGCGGCCGCGCGCGGCGCATCTTCGAGTTCGCGGCCGACGTCGCGTGGGAGGCCAAGCTCCCCGCCGAGGCGCCGCCGGGCCCCGGCGCCTGTACGATCACGGGGACGCTGCGCATGCCGGAGATCAGCTCATCTATCAATGACGGCGCCTACGCCGCGCACGCGCGCAAGGACGCGCATTCTCAGCTCTCTCCATCAAGGGCCGCGGCGCTCGACGCCGCGATTAATGAATTCGCGGCGGCGGCGCGGACTGCCGTCGTCGCGTTCGTCGGCGACTACGCCGAGAAGAAGATCCGATGATGATAATGGGGAGCCTTAATTAACAATCTATACTATCACTTATTCACACACCCGGCGGCGGCAGCGCGCGTCCTACACAGTACGTCTACGCCAGCCGCGGCAACTTCGCATCGCACTTGTCCTGACTGACCTGTGACAGGTTCCCCTGTCCCGGGCAGGGCTCTTTGCGCGGGCGAGCCACGTCGCGACCCCATCGAGGCCTCCATCGCAGGCCATTTCGGCTGCTTCGCAAGCTTGTCATCTCCGCGAAGGCAAGCGAAACACGTCGCCGTTGCGACGCGCGCTTGCAGCCTACGCGCCCCAGCTACCGAACCGGCCGCCCGGCAACCGCGGGCTGCCGCAGGTAGCACAAATATGGCCGCATTGGAAGCAGAGGCAGCCAAGCTCCTGGCGGCCCTCGACGCCGGCACGCAATCGATCGACGACGTCCTGGGGCGGTTGTATGGCAAGGCGGCGAGCCCCGATGTTCAGATCCCCAAAGCTGCGCCTGGAAGCACGATGGCTGTCGCACCGGAGTACGCGCTCGGGCCTTCGACTGATCCCATCGTCCAAGAAACAATCGACTACGTCGGTCCGAAGAACCACTTCCCGTCCCTAGACAAGAAGTACGACCTCGTGGTCATCGGCGCGGGCGTCGCCGGCCTGCTGAGCGTCATTACGGCAAAGGCGTTGGGGAAGCGAGCTTTATTGATAGAAAAGCACTACATGGGCGGCGACTGTTTGAACGTGGGCTGCGTGCCGTCCAAATGTTTAGTTGCGGCGGCGAAGGCGCTGCAGAGCTGCCGGAAAGCGGCGAAACTTGGAGTCATGGGCGCGGACAACGTGTCGATCGACTTCCCGCGCGTGATGAAAAGGATGCGCGACATTAGAGGTGGAATAGCGCCGCACGACGGCGTCGCGAGGTATGGGAGGGACTTCTGCGCGGCCGTCATTATAGGAGAGGCGGCGTTCGCGAGTGAGACCGAGGTCGTCATCACGGCGCGCGACGGGTCTGGTAGAAAGCAGACCGTGGCATTTGACCGGTGTATGGTCGCGACGGGCGCGTCGGCGGCCGTGCCGCCGGCGCCCGGTTTACTGGAGACGCCGCACCTGACCAATGGCAACTTTTTCAATCTCGAGGCGCTGCCGCCTACACTAGGCTTGATCGGCGCGGGGCCCATTGGGTTGGAGATGGCCCAGTCGTTGCAACGCTTTGGTTGTCAAGTGACGGTCTTCGAGATGGCACCGCGATTGCTCCCGCGCGAGGACGCCGACGCGGCATCGGTTGTGGGCGAGTGTTTAGAGGAGGACGGCGTTTCCATTCATACTGGTTGTAGAGTGCTTTCTGTACAAGGCGGGCCGTTGGCGTACAAGGCGCCGTGGTCCGAGTACAAAGTGACGGCGCGGCTACAAGATGGTTCGGAGAAAACGTTTACGTTCTCAGCTTTGTTAAATGCGACGGGCCGCGCGCCGAACGTCACTGGATTAGGTCTGGACAAGGCCAACGTGTCGTATGATGCGCGGAGCGGCGTGCACACGGACGACTTCTATCGGACGTCGAATCCAAAAATCTATGCGGCCGGCGACGTCGCAAGTGTCTACAAGTTCACGCACGCGGCCGACTGGCAGGCGCGGTGTGCGGTCCGGAACGCGTTTCTCGACGCCAAATGTCAAAAATCAAGACTACTGGTGCCGTGGTGCACGTACGTCGAGCCTGAAGTCGCCGCGGTCGGCGCCAGCGACATGGACCTGGAGCAGGCGGGGATTGCCTTCGATACGTATATGCGCCACCTGAAGGATGTCGACCGGTGCAAGTGCGACGGAATTGATAGAGGATTCGTGAAGATCCGCACTCAGAAGGGCGGCGATAAGATACTGGGCGCCTCAATTGTTGCGCCGCACGCCGGCGACTTGATTTCCGAGCTGACCGTGTGCATGCAGAATGGAGTGGGGTTGGCGGACCTGGCGGGGGTCATGCACCCCTACCCGACGGCGGCCGAGAGCATTCGGCAGTGCGCGGCGCAGTTCTGGTTCTCGCCCCATTTCAAGACGGACGCGAAGGCGCTGGCGATCACACGGCGCGGCGAGGCCGTCGCGAAGCGGGGGGCGTGATCCGGCCTAAGAAGAGTTTTCCGTCGATCCGTGGAAATCGAGCTAGCGGCTGTAAGACACTAGCAAACACCGCGTCTCCAACCGAGTCGCAGCGCTTCAGGCTCGGGTTCTCAGACCTGGATAAAAGGTAGCACGACTCATTACGCAGCGCTAAGGGCTACCTGGCAATATTGAGATCGCTGCTGCAGTCCACGCCCTCTGGCAGAGGTTACTACAGCGCGCTGCTCGACGCCATCGCTGCACAAGCTAGACAAAAAAATGCTCGCGCTGCGCCGCGCGGCTTGCATAAGGCCGCAGGTCCGCTGCCTGGCCACAACACCAACAAATCAAAAACGATGGGGCCCGCCAACACCACCTACGACGACAAACCTGCCGCGCGGCTGCCTCGTCGGTTCGGTAGTCTCGACGGCCATGGCCAAGACCGTGAATGTGGATGTGACGCGGACGAAAATCGTGCCCAAGTACCGCAAAGCTAGAAGGTATTCGCGGCGCTTCCTCGCGCACGACGAAGACCAAGAGTGCTCATTGGGAGACGTCGTGAGGATTGCGCCCTGCCGGCCGCTTAGTAGGAGGAAGCACTTCGTCGTCCAGGAAATACTAAAGAAGAACTAAGTTACTTGATCAGCGGGTTCTTCGCAAATACCGTGGTATAGGGGTCGTACTCCTGGCCGTTCTTCGCGACGTTCTCGTAGTGCTCCCTGAGTGACATCGCGCCGTAGCGCTCCGCGTCAGCCGTCGTGAGCATGTCCTCGACGGCGTAATAGCGCCCGATCTTCCCGAGCTCCCAAGCATCTCTAACAGAGTCGGCCCCGGTCAAATCATAGACCCACTTGATGGCACCCACAATCCCGTCGAACACCCCGATGGGCACCGGTAATAACCAGGGTTCCTTGCGCTCGCCGCCATCTACGGCCGCGATCGCGTCCGCGATGAGCTCGCCCTGGCGCTTCATGGACACGCCCGCATCCGGCCCGCCCACGTTCCAGATGGGCTCGCCTCCGTTTGAGCTTCTAGACGGGTCCGCGACGCAGTCGACGATCGCCATAGCTAAGTCCGCTTCAGAAATGGGGTTGCACGTCGCACTTCTACCTCCACCCAGATCGAAGTAGACGAAGGGCCCGCCGCCTCGGACAATCTCGACCTGGCCGCTCAGCGACTTGAAGAACGCGGTCGGTCTCACGGACGTCCACGTCACTTGATCCTGGTTCTTGAGCGCGGCTTCCGTTTTTAATTTAGCTACTTGAAAGCCCAGGTCGGGCTTCGCGACGCAAAAGGCCGACAGGAGGACAAAATGTCTCGCGCCACAGGCTTGCGCTGCTTTAAGGCAATTAACAGACGCTTCGTAATCGACCTTCAGACTATCGGCCTCCGTGCCGCTGCGCGACGCCAAGCAGCAGATGACGACCTGGGTCTGGGCGTCCTTGAAGCACTGCGTGATGTCATTTAAGTTTTCGCTCTCGGCCCGCGCGGTGGTCGCGCCGTCGAACGTCAACGAGCTTTGAGGCCTCGTGACGGCCGTCGTATCATAGCCCCTTCGGACACATTCCCGGACCACGGCCTTGCCGATGTAACCAGACGCTCCCACGATAGTTACTTTTTCATCAGTCTTGTCTACGCCTGGGGTGAAGGCCATGCGCAGCGGGGCGGGGCGCTGCCGTGAGGCCATGCGCGGCACGGCGGGGCGCAGCGCCGTGGCCGAGCGCGCCAGTGCGGCGGCGAGGAGGATTACGCGCGCCATCTCACAAATGACTGCCTTGCGGAGCAATGGCGTGGTCAATCCAGCCTGCGATCCACTTGCTAAAAAAGTAAATTAGCTAGCGTAAAGAAGCACTTAACTTCCTTTTTGCTTTGCTGCACTCTGCAATTGGGCTAGCACTGCCAGTAGACGTTTATTGCGAGCGCAACGTGAACGCTGCGACCCGCATCGCATCGCTGCGAGCTGCAACGCTGCGAGCTGCATACAGCGCATCACTGGACTGCCCAGTCCTGTGCAGGGCGCATCGCCGTGAGCAGGCAACGCGCATCATAGCGGTGCGTCGCGGCCTCAGGACCCAACTCACAGAGACACATGGCCGCAAAACTCGGCGCCCTCGACTTCTTCGGCGACGGCGACGCGCCAGCGCCAGCACCAGCACCAGCACCTGTACCGGACAGACCACCCACAGCAACACCCGTAACAAGTGAAAGCGCCACACGAACGAGAAAACGCCTCGGCATCACGGTCGAGGCCGCGGGCGCCGCGCCGCCGCCGCCGTGGCATAATTGGAGCGACGGCGACCTCGACGCGCGTATTACAGAAGCGCTGCCGCGCGGCGGCTGGCCCCGGCCCACGCCCGTGCAGGCCCAGGCCGCGCCCGTGCTGTTGGAAGGCAGAGACGCGCTGGTGGTCGCGCCGACGGGCGGTGGCAAAACCGGCGCGTTCCTCGTGCCCGCGCTGCACCTCGTCATCGCGTCGCGCGGTTCTCGAAAGACGCTCGTCGCCGCGCCGACGCGCGAGCTCGTCGCGCAGCTCGCGCGCGAGGCGCGGCGCTGGCTCGGCCTCTGCGGCTCTGACTTGGTCGTGGCGACGCCGCCCTTCACTGACTCAAAGGCGGCCCTGTGCGTGGCGACGCCCCAGGCGCTGCTTCAATCCAAAATCACTCCGTCGCTCCTCGTCCTCGACGAGGCCGACCGCCTCCTCGACACCGAGGGCGGTTTGCTAAAGGCGGTCGACGCGCTCCTGGCAAAGGGGGCGACAACGCGCGCGCTCGTGTCGGCGACGGCGCCGGGCCCGTTCATGGAGGCCGCGGTGGCCGCGCTCGCGCCGACGCGGTGCGTCGTGCGTGTCGGGACCGAGTCCGACGGTCCACGGGCCACCGTGGCGCAGCGCTTCGTGTACACGGGCGACGACGACCGCAGCAAGGCGCCCGCGCTGCGCGAGCTGATCCGGGATGGGGCTTGCGCGCCGCCGTGCCTTACTGTGCGGAAATCAACCAGTGCGTCGGGCTCACCAGGCGCCGTGAAAACCTGATTCCTACACAGGTGCCTGATCTTCGCGAACTCGGCGGCGCGCGCGGCGCGCGTCGCGGCGCGGCTCGCCGAGGCGGGACTGAGGGCAGACGTCCTCGCGGCGGCGGCCGGGCCGCCGGCGGAGCGCGCGCGCGCGCTGCGCAAGTTTAGGGGCGGAGAAACGTGGTTCCTCGTCGCGACGGACGTCGCGAGCCGCGGCCTCGACCTCCCGGCGCTCGCCTGCGTCGTGAGCTACGACGCGCCGACGTCCGCGCAGGACTACGTCCACCGCGTCGGCCGCGCGGGCCGCCGCGGCCGCCCGGGCGCCGCGCTGACGCTCTACACGTCCGACGACGCGCCGCGGCTCCGCGCCGTCGCGAAGGCCGCGCGCCGCGCGGGCTGCGCCGACGTGCCCTCGTTCCTCGCCGCGGACGTCCCGCGCCGCGCCTGGGACGCCGCGGCGGGCGAGGGCCGCGATGGCTCCCGGCGGAAGCGGCGGAAGGGGTCGGATAATAAGTAAAGAAAGAATTTGCTAGCGTTATGTAACACACTACCGAACCCTGTCAGACATTGTTGCCATTGCAGACCTGACTGGCTGATCCCTGAAGCACATACAGTTCGTTTAGCAAACGCCCAGCAAGTCTTCGTCAATCACTTGTGCCTGCTGGTGCCCCGCTGCAGCTCTGAAGTCGTCACTGCTGCTTGACCACCTGTGCCAGCTGCAGCTCCGCAGCCACAGACGTTGCAGCCATGCCGCGAGCAACAACAACCGCGCTGCTGGCCTTTACATTGGCGCCGGGCGTCGAGCCCTTCGTCGTTCCTACAGGGAGACGAAGGCCGCCGCTGCGTATGGAAGCCGGCCCGGCCGAGCTCTGGAGCGGCTACCTCGCGGCGTTGGAAGCGGACCCGCTCCCCGTGAAGATGGCCACGGCGGCGTGCGTCATCGGCGCGGGCGACGCGACGGCGCAGCTCATCGAGAACGAAAGAAAAAAGTTGCCGGACGCGGCGCGCGTCGCGCGCTGGGCCTTTTTTGGGTTGGTGCTCCAGGCGCCGTGGAACCACGTCTGGCAGAACGTGCTGGAAGGCGCGCTGCCGGCGACGGCCTCGCCCTGGACCGCCGTAACTTTCGAGAAGGTCGCGCTCGACCAGGGCCTCCAGGCGCCGGCCTTCACTGCATTGGTATTCTTCTTCTTCGCGGCGCTCGAGGGTGCGGGTTTACGGGGAGGCGTCGCCGCGTGCGAGCGGGACCTCGCGCCGACGATTCTCAAAAATTGGCTCGTATTCGTCCCGGCGACGTTCATCAATCTAGGCTTCGTGCCGCTGGAACTGCGGGTCCTCTTCATCAACGTGGTCTTCTTCTTCTGGGTCATCTTCCTCTCGCTGCTCATCAACAACGACGAGGCGAGTAAACAAGTCTAAAAAACATTAACACACGACGCACTCCTCCTTGGGCCCGGCTACAGGCCGCAGGAGCGGCGCCGGCGGCGGCCGGCCCGCGTCCAGCGCCGCGTAGGCGGCTCCGGAGGCGTCGTCGCGCGCGGCTGGTCGCGGCGCCGCGGCGGCGGCCCGGGTGCCCAGGCCGTGCGTGAGCACCTTCTCGAGGAGCTCGCCCGTCTGCCAGTTTTCCTCGTCGACCTGTGTGGAAATCAACCAGTGAGTTAGGTTGCGAAACTCCGTGTCGGTGGCGTGGAAACTCCACGCCATCGCGCAGATGCAGTGACAGGAACAGGCGGGGCGCCTGAAATTCGATTTCCACACAGGCTGGGACGGCGGGCACCTCGAGGGGGCGCGACCGTAATGATGGAGGGGACTCCCGGAGCTCACCTGCGTCGCGTTGAGATCATGATTCTGCCGTATGCGAGAAGCGCCGCGAAATTTGATCGTGCGCTGAAGCTCGCCGTCGACGGCGCACACACAAGACACGGCGAAGCGGTACGTCGTCGCGGGCGCGAGGCCGTGGACAAGCGTCGACGGGCGCGGCGGCGGCGGCAGGTTGAGGTGCCGGCGCAGCGCCACGCCGCGGTCGACGGCCTCGTTCGCGCAGAAGTCGCGCCGCGGCGGCCGGCGGCCGGCGCCGGGCGCGCGCGCGGCCTGCGTCGATGCGTGTTGTGCGGGAGTCCTCGGACAAACAGCACGCCAGACCAGTGGGCTCAGCCACTGCGACAGAAGGACGAAGACAAAAACTAACAGGACGCAGGAAACAGACCCCGACGGCGAACTCGACGGTCGCGTCAGCATTTGTGCTGCCGCCGGCGACGGCGCGCCCGCGGACGACGTACCGCTCGACCGGCCCGACGCCCGGCGCGGGCGGCGGCGGCCGCCAGCGGACCTCCACCACCCTCTCGCGCGCGTCGCCCTCGACGTACTCGGACAGCTTCGCCTCCACCCTCAACGGCGACCGCGGCAACAATTTGGGCGGCGCGGCGAGGAGCTCGCGCATGGCCTCGCGCTCGGCGGCCGTGTGCCGGCCCGGCGGCGCCTCGACCTCCGTTGGGGCGGCGGCCCCCGCGCGCAGCAGCAGGCGCGCGCTCGCGGCGTCTCCACACAACACCGCGCCGGCGAGCGGCGCCGGCCTTTCGTCGCCCGTCGCCGGCTCGGCCCCGGCCGCGAGCAGCAGCTCGACGCACCGCGCGAAGCCACCGGGCGCGTCGGGCTCGGGCCGCCTTCTATACGCCTGCGCCGCGCCCGGCCCACCCGCCAAAGCGCAGCCCGCGGCGAGATGAAGTAAACTCCAGCCCATGTGATGCAGCCGCGACGTCGCCGCCGGGTCGCCTCCATTTTCAAGGTAGGCCGCGAGCGCGCGCGCGTCGCCGTGCTCCGCCGCCTCGAGCGCGTCCTGCGTCGACGGCGCGATCCGCCGCGGCGGCGCGGTTGGTGGAGGCTCCTCCGTCGTCGCGGACGCGCGCATGCGTTGCGCGTCGGGCGACGCGTTGTCGCGGAGCCGGTCCGGTGGGGTTTCGTCGATGAGCTCGCTGAGGGATTGCATGGCTGCTTATTTTTGACGATGTCGAGCTAGAGTATCACCGCCCGACGGCTTATTATTTGATAGCCCTGGACCAGGGCAGCAGTGAGTGGGCAGTAGAGCTATTTCGACCGCGTAAAAATTGCCGTAGGGCTCGTGTCGCGTTGTGAAGAGCTCCAGAACGCACGCGTATCAACCCTTATGGCTGGGGGCCGACAAAAGCTGTTGGCGCAGGCACTAGCTAGCGGCAGTAAGATACTAGCCAGCAAAGTGCACTGACTTTTGCTGAAATACAGCGCTAACTGGCCCCCTACAGACCTATATTTGTTGCTCAGACCTAGAACTGCGCCCAGGAAGTAATGGACCGCGACGGCGCCCTGCTGGGGACGCTCCGAGAGCTGCTTGAGCAGCTCTTGCCCCCGAACGAACCGGACGCACCGACAGCGGACGAGCCGCGGGAGGAGGAAGACACCCCGCCGCCGGCTGAGGAAGACGCGGCCTCGGACACGGACAGCGTGCCGGACCTGGCCTCGGCCTCGTCGTCGTCGGACTCCGACGAAGGGCTGCCCCCTGCGCGTCGCCGGCCGCGCATGCCGGCGCTCGCGCCCGCGTCGTCGTCGGATTCGGAATCGGACGGCGACGCGCCGGAACTCGCCTCGGCGTCGTCGTCGGACGACGAGGCGGAGGCGCCGCCGCCTGCTGCGCAGCGCGCGGGCCCGCGCGTCGTACGCGTCGGCCGCCACGTGCTCGTCGTGGGCGGCGGCCCGGGCGAGGGTCGCCCGGATTTGGGGGACCGACCGGCCCGCGTGCGTACCGCGTTGGCGCTGATCCGCCACGTGATGCTCGCGAGCCGCGGCAGCGACAGCCACGTGGACATGGCGGACACGCTGGCGCGGGATGGCGCCGCTAGATCACAGCACGTCGTCGCCGCGTTCCGCGCCATCGACCGTGCGCAGTTCCTGCCCGCGGACGCGCGCGCCGACGCGTACATCGACTCGCCCGCGAGAAGTGGCGTGTTTCACCAGTCTTCGCCGTCGATCTATGCTGCAGCGCTTGAAGCGCTCGACCTCGGCGGCGCCCGGCGCCGGAGCTTCCTCAACATCGGCTCCGGCACGGGCTACTTCTCGGCGCTCTGCGCCGCGGCCGCGGCCGCGGCCGGCGGCGAGCTGTCGCCGCACGTCGGAGTCGAGCGGCACGCGGAGCTGGTGGACTGGGCGCGCACGCGCACGACCACCGACCCGGCCGCGCGCATCCGCGCCGAGCTCGTTGCGTTTTCCAGTAGCTCGCTGGCAGATCACCTTGCGGACATCGCGCCCTACGCCGCGGCGCGCGGCGCGTCGAGCCTCGCCGAGCTCGCGGCGCTGCCCGCCGACACGCTGGACGACATGATTGCGAGCGCCGGGTGGAGTATTCTGAAGGCGGCAACCTTCCGGCGGCACCTGGCGCGCTACAACGACGAACACGCTGGGCGCACCTGGCTACCGCCGCACGCGCCCGACGTCTTCTACGACGTGGGCGACGTCTTCGACGTCGTCGAGGCGCTGCGCGACGCGCACTCGCCGCTGCGGGGCCGCTTCGACCGCGTGTACGTGGGCGCCGGCGTCGACCGGTCTTCCTGCCGCGTGCTGCTCCGGCTCCTGGCGCCGGACGGCCTGCTCGTCGCGCCGCGCGACGACCGCCACGGCGAGGCGCAGCGGCTCGTGACCGCGGTCCGGCGCGGCGCCGGCGACGCGTACGCGATCACGGCGGGCGCGCGCGTCGCCTTCGCGTCGCTCGTGCGTCCGAGCGGCGGCGGCGTGGCGTCGCGCGCGCCGGCGCTGGCCGGGCCCGTCTGGGGCGAGGCGCGGCCCGGCGCATTTCCGCCGGCGTTCCGGGCCGCCGCCGCGACGCTCGCGCGCGGCGTCGCGCGGGGCGGCGGCGGCGCCGCGAGCGTGCCGTGGCACGTGTGGCGCGCGAAGATCCTCCCGTTCGTCCCGGCGCATTGGTTCGAGCGCGCGCGCGGCGACGATCTCGGCCCGCGGGCGTGCGCCCAGTGCGGCCTGCCGGCGCACGCGAGGTGCTCCTGCGGCGCCGTAGCGTTCTGCGGGCGGGACTGCCAGCGCGCGGGGTTCGACGCTCATGCTGCTGCCTGCACGGCGCGGCCCGCCGCCGGCAACGACGCCGGCGACGCTTCGGACGACGGGGACGAGCTCGGCGCGCTCTCGAGGCGGCTCCGAGCGGCCGTTCGCGCGGCCGAGGCGGCCGTCGCGGGCGAGGAGGCGGGACCGGCACCGGACGATAACCGCGCGGAGGCGCGGGCTCGCCGCGCGCGCTACCACTCCTGGTGGTGGGACGACGACGGTGCTGCTGACGACGAGGACGACGGCGTCGGCGCTGCCGCCGAGGACGACGGCGCTTCTGCCGCTTCCTCCTCGGACGATGAAGACGGCTAAGAAACTCCTACGTTATTGTCTTTACGCCGGCGAGGGGGTCAGTAGCCCAGCACCTGCTGCTCCTCCGTATCACCTAAAGCGAACGCCCTCAGATAAGGCGGCCAGTCCTCGGGAGCTTGCGGCACCTTGTCCGCGTGGCCGAGGCGCCTCAACAGATAAGTCACCTGGACCTGTTTCGTGAGAGGAATGATCATCGCCCGATACAAATTCGCAACCAAAGCGGGATCCACCTTGTAGCCGGGCTTGTTGCCCGACAACGCATCTTGCCCAAACACCACGGCCTTGGTCATCGCTCGACGGACTACAGTGTCCTCGACGGGCACGTTTTCCAGTAAGGAGTGGATGCCCGCCACATCACCGGCGGCAGCGAGCTCCCGGAAGGCGCCTTCATCTTTCTGCGCCTTCGCCTCCGCCACAAATTTCCCATAGTGGACCCTTCGCGATAGAGCCTGCAATACCGCGATGTCCGCCAAAGCCGACGACCCGTGCTGGGCGTCGTCTCCGTCAGAACAGGTCCGAGGGACCACATGGTCCAAATAAGCTTGCAGGATTTGGGGGTTGATGTTTTGGTGATCATCAACCAACACTGGCGGATAATCAAGTTCTTGCAAAGCTGGTCGTGCTATATCTTCCGGAAAGAAAGCGTGCTCCTCGGGGCTCAGATATCTCCGAGCCCGCGCGTGGACCTGCTCCGTTTCGAACAGCATCGCTTCTAGGAATGAGACTTTTCTCCCTTGGAGTTTCGGGTGCAGGCGGTCTTTGTTCACATCTGTTGCGTACGCGTCGCGGTCGTAGATCTCCGCGTTCCTCGCGTATTGCGCTCTTTCTATTAATGCGAAGATGATGGTCTCCTCCTGCCTGATTAATGAATCGCGGACACCATCTAAACTAAAGCCGGCGTCGCCCGTGGCTCGTCTGGCGGTCCAAGGGTTCGTTCTCGGCCGCGGCGCGACGAGGCCCGTTACGGACGCGCCGACGAGTAGCAGGGCGCCCGCGTGCCGCATCTCGATCGCTGCCGATCCGGTTGCAGCCTGCTGCAGCTTGGTGCAGCGCTGTAAGCGCAGTGCCACTGGTTGCGTGCCACGGCCAAGGTGTGCGACGGCGACGGATCGATTCGTGCAAGGCTGCAAGACAGCGTTGTGCTGCGTTGCACAAGTAGGAGAGTTGCGGCAGGCTCGCAAAAGCTGCTCGACAAAAGCTCGAGTACCTAGGTTCACACACTAGCGAAAAAAAAGGTACCTCTACCTTGGCCTGCGCCGATGCATGACGCCGGAGCAGGGCTTTGGCCCGCAACTATGGCCATCGGGTACGCGGGCAACCGCGGAGATGGACCGCGGCGTCGACGGCGCCGGGGCGGCGCACGTCTGCCGGCGCGTGGCCGTCGGCCGCGCGGCGCACGCCTCGGCGTCGATCGAAGAACGCCGGGACCGCTAGTCGCCGTCGTCTTGCAAAGCCTCGGACGCGCGTCGCGGCGGAGACGCGCGAACAGGACACGTCGACCGCGACGGACGGCTCGGAGCCGCTCCGGGTCGGCGCGGACCCCGTGGACCGATCCGGGACACGATCCCGAAATCCCCCGCGAGTCCAACGGGCCTCCCAGTTGGAGACGACGCGGCGCTGTGGTGCTTCGTCTCTCTCCGCCGAGCGGCGACGACGCGCCACGAAAACCAAAGCGCCAGGCGTCGAGGCGGTCGAGGCAGCCCCCGGACCACGTCGACACGGTCGGGCAGCGGAGGCGCTACACATCGCGCAGCACAGCATAGCACACGATGCCCGCGGCGCCGGGCAGCCCCCACAGCCCGGGCAGCCCGAGCAAAGCGCGAGGCCTGAAGGTCAAGGCCGTGATCAAGTTCGGTGATAGAACGTCGACGCTGACGATACCCTGTGGCGATGGCAAACGAACCGTAAGGTGGTTGGGCGTAGTAGCAGCACAACGCTTCGTGCTCGACGGCGCGGCGAAAGGTAAAGTCCGGTCGAGGGAACGGGGCCACACCATGAGCAAAGCGCAAATACTCCCGCGGAACGTCTCCACAAGTTCAGAGGCCTTCGCGCATCCGGACGCGCTGGTCAAGGACATTTGCGTTGACGGCGACGAGGTCTTCGTGGAGCTCGATTCCAAGGTTGTGATGGACGCGGCCATGCGACCGATTCGGAGTAATTGGCAGGTCGTCGCGTTCCAGCGCAACAACGAAGATGGTCGAAGGCGAGCCTTAGCGGATGAGTTTTCGAAGCGAGAGCAGAAGAAGAGTGAGGCGTTGATGCGGGAGGCCACGGCACGAGGCTTGGTGGAGGACGCGAAGGGCGACAAGATGCGGAATCTCATCCATCCCCAACTGTTACAGACGCAGCATTTGGGTCTGGCGGTCGAGCAGCAGTGGGGCGAGATGGACCGCAACGGCTTGATGGGGCGCTGGATCCGCCAGGGCAAGGACCAAGAGCGCGTGAAGAGGTGCCTCGCGAAGCACTACCTGCAGCTTTGTGAGCTATTTAAATTCTACGGCGCGTCGGTCGGCATGGCCGATCAACACTTAGTGGAGTTCGTGGAGTTCTCGGCGTTTGCGCGCGATGCCGGAGTGTACGGCGGCGCGCGGTCGCCCATCGACCATGCCTTGCTGACGGAGTGCTTCGCCGAGGCGTGTGAAATACCAGTCACCAATGTCGTGGAAGCACACATGGCTTTACCTCAATTCTTATCGGCCGTGATTTGGTTGGCCGAAGTCGTAAAACATTCGGGGCACACCGGTTCGCATCAGCGCGAGGAGTTGCAAGCCCTGACGGAGACGGCGAATCGGCAGCGGTCCCTGGCCATGCGGCGGGCCGTTGGAGGTGCTGGTGTGGGCGAGAAGCTTGAGAGGTTCCTCCATGAGGAGATTGATTCGTGTGTGCACAAACGCGCGACGCAGCTCATCGGCTTGGTGGCCAAACAGCATTTAGGAGAACAAAGAGTCCTGGCGCGGTTCTGGGAAAGGCACCATGAACTGCGGGCTATTTATGCGACGTATGCTGCGGAAGCTGCTGATTGGGACCCGCGGGACTGCACGACGCATCGCCTATCGTTTGCGAATTTTCAACTGTTGGTGGAGGATTCTGGTTTGCTAGAGTCGTCCGGTCCGAAGGATGAGCTAACCAGAAGGGAGGTGCGCCGGGCCTTCGCGGGCGCTCGCACGGAAGTGGATCATGAAAGCGACCACCCGCTGCAGCCGAAGAAGGCGCCACAACCGAAGAAGAAGCCATCTTCTCTGGACGGCCGCGGCTCGATGGGCTCGCGCGGCTCGAAGAAGTCGCGCGGCTCTTTGACGAAGGCCTCGTCCGGCCGGAGGTCTAGAGATGAACCCCCAGTGGACGACTCGGAGATGCTCTCCTACGCCGAGTTCTGCGAGGCCGTGCTCCGATTGGCCATGCTCAAGTGGGAGGACGCCGGCCACGCGCTCGACGACTCCGTCTCGAAGGTTAGGGATGCGATCGCCCAGATTTGCCAACGGTGCACGAACGCCGCGTCTCCCACCAAACGCGGCCGCAAGTAGTAGTGGCTCCCCCCTCTGAGTAAGACTGATGACACATTTATGACACGGCGCTCAACGCGAGCCCCGCCGCGATGAGCGCGAAACTCACCAACTTCGTCCACACGTCCGTCACGGCCCGCCCGAAGCCGCAGAATGCGCGTAGTGATACGGCAAATAATAAGTTGAGGAGCTGCTGCACGCCGCCCTCGGCCGCATTGACGACCGCCGGCTCGTGAAAAGAAGCGTAGCTCAACATCACCACGGCCACGCCGATCACCGATAGACACTCTCCCAAAAACGCGATCAGCACGTAGCGCCTCCCACACCGTCGCACCCGTCGGATGTGGGAGAAGGACGGTATGAACAGTATAGCTACCAGGCAACCCAGCGCGTTGCCCGCCCGCGACGCGACGAAGAAGCGTAGGACAGAAGCTGCCTGGTCCTCCCTCTTGAACGTACAAGCATGTAATAACGCGTTGTAGACACATATCAACAGCTCGCCGATGACGCAGCACGCGACGGCCTCCTGTTTGTAGAACGAACAGGTCCCGAACTTCCGCACGTCACCTTTGGCCGCCGGCAAAAAGCCACCGACGAAGATCAAAAAGATCGCGGCGAAATGGAACGGGTGCATCGCCGCCGTCGCGACGTAGAAATCAGTAGGCATTACTTCATCCATGGAACCACCTGCTGATGAGACCATCACTGCGGCCACGGGCTGGATGACTCGTACTAATGTCATCCAGACCGCGCTTAGCTGTAAGAGTGGCGTGATGACCGTCGAGGAAGCCGTCCGAAATGCTCGGAGCTCCACGGCGTACGCGCAAAAGTGCACGGCGCCCGCGGCCATGGCGACGGCCGTGTCGCGATCAAAGGTCTGCGTTGCGCCCTTGCTTTTGAGCTGATACATGAAGAGAGCGCTACCGGCGGCGGCCGCTACTGACGCGGAAACGACGGCGTTCTGCTCGGGCGTGAGTTGCTCGTCGCCTTTGTCGGCCTCTCTCGTCGACATCTGGGGCGAGCGTCTTTCTTTATCGTCCGGGGGTGGTGGCGCGTCGTCGTCGTCGCCGCCGGCGATGGCATAGTCGCAGCAGACGTCGGAGAGGGCCCAGCAGCTCGTGGCCGCCAGCGTCGGGACGAGCCAGTGGACGTCCTCCATGGTCGGCTCTGAGTTTTGTCGAGCGACGCGTGCTGCGTGGCGATGGGCGCGGCTCCGTGCGAGCACTGGCGCGGATCACGCAGCGGATTTGGGACCGATGTCTACGGCTGCCGCATCACCAAAAGATGTGACGCTTTTTACTACACGGCCCGGTTGCAGCTCGGGCGCGGTTTTCCTTGGCTTGGCAGTTCAGCGCCAAAAAATACTGATGCGAGTGTGGCGTAGCTATTGCGACAGCGCTAGAATTAATTGGCCTCTCGATGCGCTTTTTTTGGCTGCGACACGCTAGATGGAGACACTAGACTCGATGCTGACAGACGTCTACCGTCGACGAGCCCCACGCCGAGTACCTACGAGGACGTCTACGAGCCCAATTCGCACCGGGGCCGGCGGTGCGACCGTGGGCCAACGCGGAGCAGCGGCCGCTGCCCATTGGGGGCCGAGCGACGGGCGCCGCGACGGGCCGTAGTCCTGGAAACGCCGCGCGCCGGCGCTACAAACTACGGACGTCGTGAGCCGCTCCTACCGGCCGAGAAGTAGGGGCTGCCCCAGCCTTGGGCAGCCCAAACAGCAGCATGGAGAGAGACATGGCGCCCCAGGCCTGGTCCACGGAGATGCAGCTCGCCACCAAAACGATGTTAAGGTCCGTTAATAAGCAAAGGTTAGGACGAGTCAAACGGCCGCGGAAGTTGAAAGACGCCCTTGCTCTGGAGTCGTCCCCAAGAGACGTGAAGCGGGCGTCGAAGCTCGCAGGGTTGCTCGGTCTCGGCCGCCGCCGCGACCGCCACTCGCAGGTGGAACGGGCCCCGGAGAAGCCCGCGGACTTCGACGAGAAAAAGTGGCCCCTTTGTAGCCAGTCGATCATCGAACGGAAACGGCCGAAGGGGTCGCTGCCTCTACTCAAAGGTGCCTGCGTCGACGACGACTCTATACTGCAGAACGTGGATCTGGCGAAGACGACGGCGCAGCATCGGTTAGCTCGAGCGATTAAGCGGGACGTCGCTCGCCACGCGTCGGCGATCGATCTCGCATTGCAGCAGCGGAAGGAATTGCGCTTCGCGAAGGTCGAGGAGCAAAGTGCGCAAAAAGTCCAGTCGTTGCTGGGGTACGATGAATTACCATCGATCGGTTCCGTGGAGAAGACACTAGATAAATCGCGGGAATCAATAGCTCAGAAGGCCAAAGCCGCGGCGATAGCGTTGGAGGAAGAAGCGACGCAAGCCCGAAGTCCCGTCAAATCGAAAATCCAGCCGCCGCCGCCGCCCTCGTCCAAGAAGAAGCGGCGACAACGCTTTCCGAAAAACGCCGAAGAGTGCTATGGGCGGGACCAGGCCGCGCCCTTGCGGACGCCTCGCAATGAACGGTCTCCGAGGCCCGTCTGGATCACTTTAGATGAGCTCGTGTCGTCAGAAGCGATCCACCGGACGTACCGCGACGAGGGCGAGAGAGAGAGGCGGTACGCGCTCCAGGCGCAGAAACAGCACGAGGCCGAAGTAGCGGCGAAGGAAGCGGGCGCTCCCGCGCCGCGCAAGGAGGTGTTTGTGAGGCATCCTGTTTTTAGCAAGGTTGTGGGTGTCGCGACGCGGGAGGTCGCGCGCGCGACGACGCACGCGCGCAATTTAAGGGGCGGCGCCCATTATGATGATATGCTCAAGGGCTTCGCGTTACTCACAAAAAAGCTGCGGAAGCATTTGACCTTTGACCAAGGCTTCTACAATCTCACGGCGCAGGGCGGAGAAGCGGCGGAACAGGCGAAGAGGGACGTATTGGCCGTCCGGAATACGGAAGGCTTCGATCCCTTGCGGTGCGCTCCTGTCGTGTTGAATCCCGAGCCGGCGCCATTACTACCAGAGGTCGAAGCGCTCTGGAGCGGACTACTACCGATCGGTCGGGTCGAGGTGTCGCGGAGGCGGCGGAAACTGGAGCGGGGCTGGACGCCGTGGACGTGGCGGTTCTTAGTCTATGATCTTCAGAGTGGTCAAATCCGTCGATTGACCTGCGCGGAGGCTTGCTGTGTAGATGCTGCCGCGAAGCTCGTCGAGTGGAGAGACGAGGCGGCGCATTTCGCGAGAGATGCCGAAGCGTCCACGAAAAGGGCTTGTGATGAAGAAGAACATGAGAAGAAGCTCTTCGCGCTCCCGAACGACCCGGAACCTTTAGAACTGTTCGAGGTCGCGGCGGGCCCGGGCTTTGCGGCGCGACGAGACAAGTCGAGGGAGGTCCATCGGCGGGCGGCCGTCGAGGGGGCGCGAGCTGCGGGTTCACTTGAAAGGGCAGCACCGTTGGCGCCGGCGGCCGCGGCCTGCGCGTCTCTGTTGGAGATGGAGACGCGTTTGCATGGAGCGGACGACTTCGTGGCGCTTGCTAGACGGGCGTATCGCGACGCTGCTGCTATGAGTGGTGGAGCCGTCACCTCGCACCATCTGGTCGAGGCGCTCTCCCAAAACAACGCGGAACTCGCAAGGGAGCTCAACTTTCCCGCGGAGGCGTTTTTGTCGGACGAGGAACGTAACAAACTCTTCGGGGCGAAAGCAGCTTCTGATGCGCCGCCGGCGCACCTACAAGCCGCGGCGCTCTTCGCGGGGTTACGGGGCGTGGTCCCGCGGCCGCGGAGCGCGCGCGTTCCGAGGAGAGGCGCCGATCGGTCGCTGCCCGACCAGCGCGACGACTTCATTGTACAGAGACCATCGCATAAACTCGCTCTACGATTATACGCGGGCAAGGGCGGCGACGAGGCGCTTTCCTGGCGGCAGCTGCCGCGGCTGCATTTACATCCAGACACGCCGCGCGACGAGGAAGGGAGGCGGCGCGACGCGCGCTTCCGGAGGAACGCCAACATGTCTCTGAGCGACTTCGAGGGTGATGCGGGCCACCCGCTCGCGGCGCACCCGCGGTTGGTGAAAGATAGGGCGTACGCGCGCGCGGCCGTCGACGCCGCGACGGCGCAGCTCGCGGCCGACGCCGCGATCAAACGCGTGGCGGCGCGCGACCGCTTCCGCCGCGCGGCGCGCGCGGAGATCCGCGCGGCCCGCGCGGCGAAAGCTCCGGCCCTGAGCGCGGTCGTCGCGGCACCAGCGCCCGCCGCGGCGCCCGCCGGGGCGCCCGCGCCGGCGCCGGCCCCGGCGCCCGCGCCCGCGCCCGCGGCGCCCGCGGCCGCGGCCGACGACGCGTGGTCGCCGCCCGCGTCGCCGCTCGGCGACGACGGCGACGACGCATCACTGGATGCGTCCCAGAATGATGAAGACGACCGGTCGCTCGCGACGGCGGCGACGGCGCCGCAGGAGCCACCGAATGAATGGTTAGACGAGCGGTCCCCGCCCAAGAAACCTACTTACGCGCCCGGGACGCGGCCACCTTTACGGGAAACCGAGCCGCCGTGCCTGACGCAACCCCATTCATCATTCCAGCCGGACTTCCCCCAGAAGCTGCTCACGGCCCGCATCCCGAGGGAGGAGGCCGGCGGTGTACCAAGGAGCGACTGCAACTCTTCCCGAATCATAGCGGAGAAGTCCTGGCTGCGCTGGATTATACAGAGAGAACGTCGTGTACGATCACAATGCCTCGACCAATGTCGATTGGTGTTAGGACGAGGTTTATGGTCCAAAGCAAAGTGGCAGGTCGGGAATGACTGCGACGCCGGGCGAGATGGCCACAAGACGGCGTTAGAACCGGCCTACTTGGGTATTGAGGGAAGAGGAAGTTTGGATGCGGATGGTTGTGAAGGCGACGGCGGTGCGGGCTGGGAGGATGCACTAGATCCGTGGGGGTTGGATCCGTTGTCGGTGCGCGTCTGCGAGATGGCCGGCGACGCGCGAGGGCGCCTGCCCGGTGTCGTGCTGGTGGGCGTGGCGCCTAAACCAGCGAACCCCGGCGCCAAAGTATCCTTTGAAACAGGACAGTGGGTCGGCGAGCGCGGCGACGCGTCGGACGTCGATCGCATTTTGAGATTGAGAACGAGAGCCGCGGGCCTCTTCCAGCAGTCTGAAGCTTGTAGTTCCACCGGTTCGATCACCGTGAGCATTGTCTTAGCGTTAGAGGATGCTGTCTTAGCGCCCTCGATGCGCGCGTGGCCACTAGAAGCACTTGTTGGTGAAAGCAAGCTACTAAACGAAGACTTCGGCATCGGCGTGCCGATAATCGTGGCCATCGTCGTGAAAGATGGCGCTTATAAATTCGTCGATTTTGCGGAAATGGAGCGCCTCGCGCGAGCGACGACGGCCTCCATACTAGCGAAAAGGAAGCCCGCGCCGGGTCGTCTCGCTGATGGTCACAGGACGCAGTGTCGAGCGCCCATGGTTCTCAAATCAAAATCGAAGACCTCGCCACTCATTTACGGCACGGACAAGGTCGTCCTAGAGGACCCCGGCTGCGCGGAACGGTGCGTCGCGCACTCGTCCCAGAGGTGTGTGGAAGAATTAATAAGGAGACGGGACCCGTTGGACTATGCCTATGTGGCAGCTTCGACCATGTTGCGACCGACGGGTTGCGGTGCTGCCGTGTTGGAGGTCGAAGATCGGCTGCCGGGCGAACCGGGTCCCGAGCTCGTCTTGCCGCCGACGGATTTACTCGAAGCTCGTTCGGCAAAACGGTACAACGAGTGCCAGATCATCGGGGCGCCGTCGAAAGCGTACGACGAGGACAACTATGCGGTCGGTCGCTTGCGGCGGCGGCCTCGAACGTTGTACGACGACGAACGGTTTGCAATAGAGGAGAAACGTAGATTAGCTGCTAATAGAGCCGCGGTGCGCGCACGCCTCGCGGAAGTGGTCCACGGCAACGCCTTCTTCTCCATGCGCCAGAAGCTGACGAAAAGAAAATTGAGGGCGAAGGCCTTACGACTCGCCGCGAAGCACGCCGTGGGCGGCCGGGGCACGGGCGATTCCGACGCCATCTGGCAGAAGCGTTTACAGTCATCAGATGTTGTTGAAGTGGTTGGGGATTGGGAGAAGCGGCGGCACTCGATCACAGGTGATTGTTTCTATCACAACACGGACCAGCTCGCCGAGCCGCCGCGACTGCGGTGGGACGCGCCGCGGGACGTCTGGACGCTCGAGGGTGATCTTGTGGAGGAGGAGAATGAAGCGCCGGCACCCATACTCGAGACTAGTAATAGTAGGAGGAGCGTCCGCTTTTTAGATGATGGAAGCGTGGCGCCCGATTTAAACCCGGGCGATGAGATGGATACGCCGGAAGAAGCCTACCAGCGAGGCGTCGGTAGTGAATTAATCGAGGACGAAGCGCTGATCCGGGACCTCGCCGAGAAGTTAGGTTCTCAACACCACGCCGACCGAGACGAGAGGCAGAAAGGTAGTGATGATTTAGATGACGGCCGTGGTGTAGTAGATGAAGACACGCCGTGGCAGCGAAGTGCACCCGCAGATTTGAGGGAGACCGAGTGGTGGTCCGACTCGTCAGAAGAGGCCGGCGACGACGAGGACTGGCTCGAGAAGCTCGAGGGGCGGGACCTGCCCCAGGATTCGCGAGATGCGAAGGACATGCGGACGATGGCCGTCGAGACTGATTTGCGACTGGACGCGTCGCCTCATCACGCGTATCAGGATACCCAGCCAGTGCATGGCGTCGGGGAGTTAGGCTGGTCGCCACCGCCACCGGTCTACGGTCACCAGCTCTGGCGGCGGTTGGAGTACCACTTGCGGGGCCGTTACTGGAAAGTACTACCTCGAGTGGTACCTAGAATAGACTTTCTAGAAAGAATCAGAACAGCTGTAACATTAGCGTCGGATGCCCGGTGCTGGGCCAACTCACTCACTACCAATAGTTACCCTAGGATCTACCTGAGAGGTCTAGAGCGACATACACCGAACGAACGGTCCTGGGGCGAGAACCGGACGGACTGGCGCAAACCGTCGGACCGACACAGAGTCCTCCCGGTCATCTTCGTGGAAGACGTCATGGACGACCTCGAGGGCATCCTAGGTAAAAAGAGAAGAAGGAATGAGCGCGAGGGCGGCTACGCGGCACCGCTACAGATCGTCGAGTGCCTCGAACGGGGTCCTCGAGCCTTCACGACGGTCGAAGAAAAGGTCCAAGAGGACGAGCACGCGGCCCTGCTCAAGCTGCAAAGCCTGGACGTGGCCGAAGATAAATTACGCGAGAGAGCCATTTTTGCGGCAAGAACCGCAAATCTCGCGGAGTTGGAGGAGTGCCTCGACACCTTCGGCCTAGATATCGAGAGCAGGGACAACCAGGGCAACACGCTCTTCTGTTTGGTGGTCCAACAGAACGAAAAGACGGTGGCCAAATACTTGTTGAGGAGGGGCAGCGACATCAACGCCACGAACTTCAAGGGCAACGGGCCGCTGCACTTCGCCTTCGGCTACGGCTACGACGACTTGGGCGAGTATTTGTTGAGCAAGGGCGCGGACGCGTCGCTAATAAACGAGGCGGGGCACACGTGCTACGAGTTCAACAAGATGGACCGCTAGTTGTAATTTGTGTTTAGTGAGCTATCTTGCGCTGGGTAGGGGTGCCTTGCTTCTAGACCTTGCTTCCAGCTATGCACCTTGCAGCGCGGCCCGAGCGCGGCGCGGGTAACTTTTAGGCCACTACAACCGGGTTTTACCGCCGCAGTCGTCCTCGACGCGTGCGCTCGAGGCCGGACCAGTCGCTACGCCTCCGGACGCGTCCGCCGCAAAACCCGTCGCGGCGAAGGATCAAGTTGATTTCGGTGACGTGCAGCCGTGCGAAACCAATCGGAAACGCGCCCCCTCGGCCGCGACACACGCTCCACAGCAGCCCTAGCCCCCCGCCGACAGCCCTGCCGCCATCGCGGGCAGCCATGGCGGCCAGAAACCCCAAGCACGCGGACCCCAATGATACCAGTGACGCCGCGCCGGTCCGGAAGCGCACTCCCAAAGAAAGCTGCCTGGCCTTCTGCTCGAAGTACTTCTGCGAGGGGCAGCGCGTCGAAAAGGAGCTGCAAGCAAAAATCGACGAGGGGACCCTGTCCTGGACGGAAAAGTGGCGCAAGCAGCTCGCCATGGCCGTACCATTCTTGCTCGTGCACATCGTCTGGTGGACGGCGATGATCCGCTGGAACTCGTGGCACAAGTTCACGGACCGCATCGCGCAGCAACAAAGATTTAGGAAAGTTTTACCGAACGGCAAGTCCATCCGGACGATGCATTCGAATGTCAGGCCCTGGTACATGAGCGTGACGATGATTTTTGGTAGTATGGTCGCCGGCGCGACGTCGGAGGGCGGCGCTAGTATAGCCTTCCCCGTCATGACCCTGGCCATGGACGTCAAGCCCCACGTCGCGAAGCAATTTTCGTTCATGATCCAGTCCGTGGGCATGACGGCCGCGGCCTTCGTTATTTTGTACATGCAAGTGCGCGTGGACTGGAAGTCGATCACGTACTGTTCGCTCGGTGGTGCCTTTGGTGTTATTTTTGGGTTAGAACAAGTGGCACCGACACTCACCCCCCCCTACGCGAAGATGTACTTCGTGTGCTGGGCCGGGTCCTTTGCCGCATCATTGTACTTTCTCAACCGCATCCACGGGCGGAAAGTTTACTTAGTCGTAGACCCAAAACATTTGCCAGAAATCTGGGCCATGGGCGACCTGACGCCCTACTGGCAGCTCAATTTGCTGCTGAACTGGAAGGCCATGATTTTGCTGGGTGCTGGTTTTATTGGAGGTATATTTACCTCTATTGCCGGTAGTGGTATTGATATATGCTCCTTCTCCGTCCTGACGTTGCTCTTCCGAGTGTCGGAGAAGACGGCCACGCCCACAAGTGTAGTGCTCATGGCCATCAACACGTTCCTGGCCATGTGCTACTGCAAGTGGATGATGCGCGAAGGGCTGGAACAGCTCGCGTGGGAGTTTTTCTGCGTGTGTGCTCCTATCGTCGTTGTGGGTGCCCCTCTTGGTTCCGTGCTCGGGTCGTATGTCCACCGCCTCGTATTAGCTGCGTTTGTGTACGCGACGGACTTCGTGCAACTGATCGGTGCGCTCATCGTCGTGCAACCGTGGTCGCGCGAGAAGTGCACCAAAGAGTTAGCGCCGGCCAAAGAAATGGCTTTAGGGCCGGAGACGTGCAACCCGACGCATCTGTGCTGGTCGTCCGCGGCCATTTTTATTTGTGGTCTCGTCGCCTTCTGGGTGATGCAGTGGGCCGGCGAAAAACTCATCCAGAAAAACACGGCGACGGAGAAGGAAGTGGCGGAGCGCGAGAAGCTCAAGAGCGCTGAGGATGTGGGGGACGTCGCCTAGTTGCTTTTTTCGTTCGTAAGCTCTAAGACATCGAAATCTGAGTTAGGGTATCCCTCCACGCCGTCGAGCAATACTAAAGCCACTTACTCGGTCCACTTCGCGAGGCAGTCCGGCACGCGCACGACGATGTAGTCCTCGCCGTCCAACCTAATGTCCGCGCCCGCGTAGTCCTTGAACTTGACGCTCTCGCCCACTTCTACCGGTACGGGCACGGACGCACCGTCGGCCGCCACTCTACCCGTCCCGGTCTTCACGACAACGCCGGACGTCGTTCTAGTTTGCTCCGAGACGCCGGCCGCGAGAGCGATACCTGAGGCCGTCTCCTCCTCGACTTTCGTGACCTGGACGAGGACGTTGTCCGCGACGCACTTGACTTCTCCTAACGTCATGGAGGCGTCGCCGGCCCATGACAACAGAATGTCGTCGTCTTTGATTAATTGATGGTCCTCGCCGCAGTACTTGACTGAAGTGCCGTCGAACTTGCCATATAAAACGCGATCGCCCTCCGTTACCGGGTTGGGGACGACGACGCCCGTGTCCGGGTGGGCCTTGCCCGCGCCCGCCGCGACCACAATACCAGCACTGGGTTTTTCCTTCGCTTGATCTGGGAGGAACACGCCTCCTTTCGTGGCGTCGATCCCATCGTCGATCTTGACGAGGATGTAGTTGGCCACCGGTTCTAAGGGTCCTCCGATGGGGGCGTCGTCTAACGTGTAGTCGCGCAGGCTCGTCTGTCGTCGCGGTGCAGTTGGGGCCACGAGGGCGAGGGTGGCTGGCAGCGCAGCGAGCAAGCTCAAGCGCAGCATTTTGTGCGTCTTCGTTCGTCGCTATGTATGTGCAGTTCTGAGCACCCTGCCTTGCGTGTGTTGGACGTTTAGCCTGCGTCGCTCTCAAGCTCAATTGCACACGATAATCAGCTACTGTGAGAGACACTAGCAAAAACGAATGCGTCTGGTTGGCTCCGAGCCGGGGCTTGCACGAATGAACCGTCATTTTAAGCATACTCGTCCACCTAGGCATCCTCGTCTTGTGTACGGGTCCTTAGCAAAATCGTGAGCTTAAAAGGCCGCGGCTGCTGTCTGTGCGGAACCGTAGCACGGTACAGCCGCTGAAGAGTGCTTATATCGATCGCAGCCGTCGCGCACGCAAGTTTCCGACGAGCCCGAAGGCTCCAGGACAGTCTGTAAGCTAGGGCTGCTAAAACAGTCGACGCGCGCGCCGCAGCCATAACCGGCCGGTGGCGTTCGTCGTGGCCGACGAGAAGAAGTGCTGCGCGTGGGCCGACGCGAACGGCGTCTCGTACAAGACTCATAACACGATGGACGCCGCCCTCTTCGACGACGAGATGTCCGACGTCCTCGGCCTCCTCGCCGCCCCGGATAGCAGTGCGGGCCTCGAGATGGACTGGCTGCTCGACAAGGGCCACAGTTCGTCCGCCGACGAGGGCAGCCCGCCGCGCAAGAACCAGCGCCTCGCGTCGCCCGAAAGACCACCAATGCTCCCGAACATGACCGAAGCCACGCGGAGCCTGGCCCAGACGAACGAGGAACGATTGATCAACGTCTCGAGCGTGTCGGGCTCGATGGCGCAGGGAAGGGCACCTCAGACGAAAGCTTTGGGGGATATGTCAACCATCTCCACGTCGCTCGCCCACCTGGGCATGCTGCGCCAGTGCAACCAGGCCGCGCCGCCGACGAACCCGCCGCAGCCGCCGCCGCCGAAGTCCCCGCGCCTCGCGAACGCCTCTACCATATCAAGGAATTTGGCGAGCGTGGGAGCCGCGCCGCAGTGCAACCAGCGCCACGTCAGTAACAATCAACGGCAAGACGTCGCGCGGGCCGACGCTGTGATTGGTGGTGGTGTCGTGGCCGAGGCCGTGCCGCTCGCGCCGGCGCGCGTCGTGGCCGCGCCGTCTACCGAGGAAGCTCAGGAAGTTGTTGCTGAGACGCTGAGTACGCGGCCGCCGCCGCCCCGACGGCGCGCCAACGACGAGGACGAGAAGCTGCGGTTGCGCCGCGCGCGGAACAGGGAAGCGGCCGAGCGCATGCGGCGGCGCCGCCGCGACGAACGCGAGGAGCTCCAGAAGAACGTGCGGGAATTGACGGCGCGCGTGGCGGACCTCGAAGTGAGGAACTCCGATCTGGAGGGGCGCCTCGCGGCCGCCGAGGCCGAGAACGCTCGGTTACGCGGTGGTCCGGCGCCGGGCGCGCAGGCCGTCGCAGAGGCACCGGCTCTCGCCGTGAAGCTGCGGCGGCGGGCACGCGGGTAAGTACGTAGTTACTCAGTAGTACACGAGTACGGCGCGGCGGCCCTGCTGCTCGACCTCACTCATTCTCTGCCGGCCGATGGACTGGAGGAGCTGCGCGAACTTGCCGACCTGTGTGTGTGGACATCGCGTCGCGTCGATGGCGTCGCGAAATTTGACTCGCGCACTGGGCGTCGGACGATGTTCGCGATGAGGAGGCGCACGAGGGCCCAGAGCGCCTGCCAGAAGACGGAGAACCAAAACCACCCCGGCGTCACGTCGCTGACGAAGTAGCGGCGCCACTTGTCCGTGATGCCGAGGTACAGGAACCACCCGAACAACGCGACCGCGAAGAAGAACCACAAAATCGACGTGACCGCGTAAATATTAACCAACGGCGGGTTCCAGTCCTTCGCGCCGAGCCAGCCGCAGAGGGGGCCGACTAGTAGGATGAGGTTCACCCACCAAAACACATAAGCGAGGAAGATGTTGAGGAACGCGAGGCAGGCGTCGAGGATCGCGTAGCACATCACAGAATGCCGCAGGTTGTAGCATAAAGCTTCCGCTTCTGTGATTGGCGTGCGCGGCGGCGGCGGCGCGGCCGGGATGGCCGCGACCGTCGGGATGGCCACGGGCACGGAGACCTCGAAGGTGTCGCCGGGCTTGAGATTGGCCGGGATGACGACGTTCATCCTGCGCGGGGAGCGCCCTGAGGATGCGCGGCTCAACGCGTGCCCGCCACTGCCGGCGCTTTTTGCTCTTGAAAGACGGCGTTAAGACGCGGCGGCGCTCACAGCTGGCCATTGATGTTGTACTGGACCGTGTCGCCGGGCGACCTGCGTGGAGATCAATTTTTCGGAGGGCGACGGCCCGCCATCGACGCGCCGCGTCCGATTGGCGCGGAGCAAAAAATCAGTAAACCAAGTCATTGATTGATTTCCGCACAGAATTGATTACGCCGTCGGCGGGACCTGAACGACGACCATCCTGCGGTATTTTCCGCTCTGTTTCTCCGTGTTCTGGTGGCGGCGCGGCTTTCAGGGCTCGCGTTCAGGGAATCGCGAGCTAGCGGTCTGTAAGACACTAGGGATGCTAGCAAGCCAGCTTTCATGGACAAAATTGCTGGCGCAGCTCGCAATAGAACAGGCAAGCGCTCATATCGTCAACGGACAACAGCAGCACAGCCGTTTGCAGGCAGCTGCTCACGCCGTCGCGCCGATCCAGCGGCCCAATCAAGCCAGCGCTGGCATCAGCAAGCACAGCTCACGGCAGCGCCCCGAATCAAAGCCATGCTCCGCAGCCTCGCCCTCCTGCTGCGACGGCCAGCGACGCGGCCACAAATACGAACCGCCACGAAGAAGGCTGGCGGATCATCGAAGAACGGCCGCACGAGCCCCGGCCAGCGCCTCGGCGTGAAGCGCTTCGGCGGCCAGAAAGTAAACGCGGGCGAGATTTTGGTGAGGCAGCGCGGTACGCGCTACGTGGCGGGCGACCAGGTCGGGCGCGGCCGCGACGACACGCTCTACGCGCTCGCGGCGGGCGTCGTCGAGTTCGCCAAACAGGGCAAGCGCGTCGGCGCGGCCGGGAAGTGGATTAGGAGGCAGCACGTGTCCGTAAGGTGATTCCATGTGTTCGACACTAGATGCAAAAAGACAGATGTCTAAAAACGGGGGGAGGGGGACGGGGTTCACAGGAAAATCTCTGCAAAATGCGACTAGCGCGCGCGGCGGTTGCGCGCTCGGCGAGCGGGCGGCTCGACCACGGGCGGCGGTATCTCAATAGGAAGCTCCGCGCCGCCGGGGAAGCGCTCCGGCTTGCCCTTGTCAACGCCGTGCGACACGAACAATCTAGGGGGCCGGCGCGCGTGGAAATTTCACACCTATGATCTCCACGGGCCAGGGTATTTGCGCCGCACGCTGGCGAGCGCTCGCGTCGCTCACGGCCGCGTAAACACAGGATGATCCCGCCACGGTCAGCTGCGAAAACCCGTGATTTACAATCAGTTTCGCGCGCTTTGGACGTGCCAGCGGTGCAGCCACTGCTACGAACCGCCGATTACACTCCTGCTCGGCTGAGTTTCATTACTCGCGGTGTCTCGCGGCGGGCCCGAGCCGTCTGATAAGCGGGCAGGCACGCACGCTGCCTAGCCAAGTACGACGACGACGCGACCGGTGGGAGTGAACTCCAGGAGGAGCGCCACCCAGACACATCACCCGCCGCGCGCGGCGGCGGGCACGGGGACAGGGCTCAGGCCGAGAGCCGCCCGATGCTTCCACTCGTAGTCCCAGCCTTGAGACCTCCATTCTCCCCCTCCCAGCACTCAGAGGACCGCACACCGTGGACCCCCCCTTTCTTGCAGCGCCTCGTTGCGAAGCCTGGCATCGCGCTGTTGCGAGCGCCGTACCAACAAACGGCAGCCCAACGACCAGCGGCAGCACCACCATGGGCGCCAAGGTCCACCCCGGCGGGAAAAAGCCGCCGCCCATGACCGGCAACGAGGCCCACGTCTTCGTGAAGAGCCCCAACGCGGACCGAGCAAAACAGCTCTGCGCCATAGCCGAGAAGTGCGGCTTCGCGTCGTCGATCCACCCGGACACGGACAAGTGCCTGGAGGAGCTCGGCCAGCTCATGAAAGACAATAGGGTATTACCATCAGCAATAATTGTGGACATCTACGACGAAAATGGCGACGGCATGGTCGACGAGGACGAGATGTGCTGGCCCTTGTTGCGCATGGTCCAGCGGCCGCACGCGCCCTTCGACGAGCGGCTTAAAAGGGTGTTCGTTTGTGTCATATCGAGGGATGTTGCCGAATCACCAAGACTGACGCTGGACGCTCTTGGTGCGGGCGCCAAGATGGTCACGGACAACGACGACGCCGTCAAGGAAGCGCTGGATCTACTACGCTTGACATCGGTGAAAGGCAAGGGCGTGCGAGGTGAGAGTAGTGGTACCAAAAGAGGCGAGGTGAGATGCCCCGTGTGCCAACTACCTGGACTAAGTCCACCGTTACTGTATGGCCACTACTCGTTGTGTCATGTCACGGAGCCGGGGCCGGATGGGACCTGTCCGCTCTGTCCCCAAGTCTGCAGGGCAGGCCACGGCTTCACGCCCTTTGCCCGACACTTGGAGGACTGCCACGCTCCTGATGGTTTGGATGAGAACCAGGACGGTCACATCTCCGCCGAAGAATTGCGGAACTCCATGAAGAAAATGGTCAACACGAAAGCGGCCAAAAAAAACTTGGAGGAGATGTTCCGGGCTTCGGCCGTGACCATTGGTCCTGAAAAATACGCGGCCTACGCGTGGTTAGTTGTCCGAAGACCATCCGACGGCAAGTACCTCATGGTTTTAGAGTCAGCGCACACTTCTGGATGCCACGGCAAGCCGAGATATTGGCTCCCGGCCGGGAAATGCGATCCCGGGGAGACCCTCGTAGAAGCTGCCGTAAGATCCTGCGCCGAGGACACGCATGTTACGGTGAAGCCCATGGGCGTTCTCAGACTAATGTTGGAACCCTCGGCGAAGAAGTCGCTCCGAGTTATTTTATACGCCGAACCCGTGGACGATGACCCATCGATCGTAGTGCCAAAATCCGTACCGGACTTCCACTCGGTGGGAGCGATCTGGGTCGACCCCGGCGACCTGGAAGACCTCAACGAGAACGAGTACCGGAACCCAGATCCCCCGAAGTTTTTTCCTGGGGTGGAAGAGGGCACGATCAAGGCGCACCCCTTGGATACCGATGCGTGGAACAATCTCGAAGGTATCGTGAAGGAGCTGACGGCGTCTCCCGATCCTCAAAAACGCGATTCTCAAATACCGGCCGCGTGGGACGCGTGCGAGCGGACGTACAAGAGCGCGTGCCACATGGAGGCCAAGGCCAAGTAAGTCCCGTAGATAACATAGTACTTACAAACGGCGCTTCTTCGCCGGCGGTGCGGGCTCGCCGAACAACCTGGAGACGACCGCGAGGTCCTTGGCCGTGCGCACGCCCGGCGCCTCGACGAGCGGTCTTACGTCATGCTTCGCGTAGACGGCGAGTAATTGGCGCGTCACCCTTTCCGCCGCCTCGGGCCCCGAGAGGTACTCGTCGGACAGCGCGACGCCGTTCCACGGCCGGAACTTCTGCTGCGCGATCAGCTTCTTGGTGGGCAGGAACACCGACCCGACGAGCTCGAGCGACGGAAATGAGGCTCGGAGCCAAAGGAGCTCGCGGTCGAGGTCCTCGAGGCGCACGCCGAACTGGAGCCAGACGGACGACACGCCGCCTCCCTTCAACTTCGCCGCCAGCGCCGCGCGCTCCTTTTCCATGTCGTCTTCATAAGGATTGAAGGCGACGCCGACCGGCGACGGCGGCGCATTTAGAGCGCCGGCGAGGTCGCTCGCAAAGTGGCCCTTTTTTCGCTTGCCCGAGCCCGACACCAAAAGCGTCGACAGCGCGACGCCCGACGCTTGCGACCGCGCGGCGAGGGCCGCTAGCCTCTCCGCGAGCGCCGGCCCGCCCCTCGCGTTGTACTTGCTCGAGAAGTGTGCGCAGACGTCGTCGCCGGGCCCGAGCTCCTCACAACAAACGTCGACCCACGCGAGCATCGGGTCCTTCTTGTCCTTGTTCACGAGGTTGAACGACCGGTAGCCCGCGGCTGTCAGGTCGCGGAGGCGCTCCTTCAGTTCGGCCGGCGTCTTGAAGAACAGCTCGATGCGCGGCGGCCGCAGCGCGCCCGCGAGCTGCGCAGCCATCAATAGCAGCGTCCAGTTAATGATTTTGTCGTCGTTTTGTTTGCGCTTCCGATGCGCTGGCAGAACAAAAGCTCTCGCAGCGATGGAAGTACGGGGATTTAAGCCCGGCCCGATCGTCGCAGTAGACTGATGGAGATTGCGCACGCAATGTAGAGCAGCAATGCCCCTCTCTGTGTCGTGTGTAGCCCAAGGAGAGCAGAGCTTAGCCAGGCTCTGTCGAACCCGCGCGCATGCGGTGCGATCAACGGATCACAATTAATTACGCACTCGCCCCCAACGCCCTCAGCGCGGCGTCATCACTCGGCGGCTCCGCGAGGTCCACGTCTTCCACAACAACGGGCCGCACGCGCGACGTATCAACAGAAGTACAAACTCTGTTGGAAGCGTCCCGAAACGGCGCGGGGTTCAGCTTCACGTCCAGAGACCCGTTTCGACGGAGCTCGACGACGACGTACGCGCCGAAGCCCAGAGCCGGCTCCGCGTACTCGCTCAGGCCGAACGCAGCGAGTACCGAGAGGATGGAGTAGTCGTGGCCCGAGAAGACTTTCAGAGGCCCACCACCGCTGTCGAAGAGCTTGCGCTTTAGGTGACCGCCAACGAAGCCCCTATGTTGTCCAACATCTAAAAACCGCGCGGCCCACGTCGCGCGCGCGTCCCGCTCGCACTCCCAGAGCTGCGCCCAGTCGAGGTTGAAGCGGAGGTTGTTGCGCCCCTTCGTCGCCGGGCATATAGATGGCTCCGGCAAAGCTTCACAATCATAAGCCTCGGCCTCGGCCAGGCAGTGTAAATAACAACTCCAATAAAGTAGCAAGGAATCGGGGACTTCCGTATGGTCTTCGTTCAATTCCGCGTACATGTTTTCCAGCGACCGTCGCCGGCTCCGCGCTCGCATCGCGTGGGCCTCGTGGTCGCCACTTTTCAGCCCTTGGACACTGGCAAAGTACGGCGTGCCGGTCTGGGCCCAGGCCTTGAACGTGACCATCCGTTGATTATCTTCTATTGGTTTTGATGGGACTTGACAGGACGATGCCGCTTCAAAGCCCTTCAGAAATAGCTTGCCGCTCTCCTCGCAGCGCTCGGCGGGCGACGACTCCCACCTCACGGATTCGTTTCCTAATAATTGAGCGTACTCTTCTCCAAAAAACCGTCCTAACGTCTCCATCTGCTTCCTGCCGACGTCGCTCAGGTTGTTGTCGTCGTCGTAAAGTCGTTTGTCGCCGTCGTGCCACTGCGTGCGGATGTCGTTGCCTTCCCCAAATGCGGCCAGTTCGGCTTTATTGGGGTAGCGTGCACCGTGCCTAAATAGAACTCGTGCGGCTATGACCGGGTTGTCGGCGTCGACGACGTGGGCGCTCATGCTGCACCTAGCCTCTGCTGCTTTGGCAATGCAATGCGGTTTCGTGCCCGAGGCTGCAGCGCTGATGGCTCCAACCGAGACAGTAGATAAAAATACGTTACTCCGCGACGCCTTACGGCTTGACGCGTGGACGAGCTGTTTAGCTGCGATTGCTTTGGTCTCCAGCTGTCCTTGTGAGATGCTGCTCTCCGGATGCGAGACAGTCCCTCCGACAAGACCCTTGCCGAAATTTTCGGGCCAGGAAGAATGGATCGCAGGGAGGAGAATTCAAAATCGTGCGGGTTCGATGAAAATGCGTCACCTGCAAAACTGATACAAATTGTCTTGTAACACAGCGTGGTTGCAACACTGCTGACAGTTTCGGACTCTCTGACCTCAAGCAGTATTCCGAGCACCAGCACACGCAATTTGCATTGCATCTGTTGCCGCTGTCAGCCACGACACCATATCCCTCCGCGCTGCACGTCGTATCGGTGCAACGCAAGCACAAAGATGACCTCACTCGCAGCGAGAATAGCGGGCTTCCCCAAGGCCCAGCCCTTTGTCTTTAACCTGGGCGTGGCCGCGGCCAAGACGTCCGCCGCCGACTTGCTCACCCAAACCGTCGTCGAGAAGAAATCATTCCCCAACGGCATCGACTGGAAGCGCAACGCTTCTTTTACAGTATTCGGCTTCGCCTACTTGGGCGGGTTCCAGTACTGGCTCCAGGTCAACATGTTCCGGAAAATGTTTGTTGGCATGGACAAGGTCGCGGAGATGCCGCTTTCCAAGAAACTCGTGGACCCTTCAGCTCTCAGTGTCATCGCGAAGCAGATCGCCTTCGACATCGCGATCCACATGCCCTTCATGTACTTCCCTACCTTCTATGTCGTGAAGCAAGCCGTGCAGGGCCCGCCGGGCGGCAACGTCGTCGTGGACGGGTTGTCGAAGTACAAGGAGAACTGGGTCGTCGACCAGACGGCCATGGTCAAAGTATGGCTGCCCGCGGACGTCGTCTTCTTCTCGGGGCCGCTGTGGTTGAGATTGCCTTTGAGACACGTGGTCAGCTTCGGGTGGACGGCGTACGTGTCCTTCTTGCGGGGGGCCTAAGTTATCAAGTATGTTACGCTGCCGTGGGGGAGGGGCGCGTTTCTACTGGAATCAGAGGGGCTTGCTCTTGGCCTCCCTCAGAAAGGCCTTGAGCGAGTTGAGCCGCTTGTCGATGTCGCAGACGTCATCCGTCTTGACGTTCTCGGCGTTGCGGTCGCGCAGCGGCGACTTGGAGCGCTTCTTCCGGAGCGCGGCCTTTTTCGGGGGGCACGGCGACGGCTTCTCCGCGGCGGCCGCCGCGAGGTACTCGCGCGGCACGCTCTCGGCGGCCGGCGGCGGCGCGGCGCGCGGCGGCGGCGGCGCGGCCGGCTCCGGTTCTGGTGCAGCGGGCGGCGGCGGCGGCTTCGGCGGCGCTACGGTGCGGCCGAAGGCGGCGCGCGGCGGCGGCGGCGGCGCGGCGGCCGGCTCCGGTTGTGCCGGCTCCGGTTGCGGTGCCGCGGGCGGCGGCACGGTGCGGCCGAAGGCGGCGCGCGGCGGCGGCGCTGCGGCCGGCTCCGGCTCCGCGGGTGGCGGCGGTGCGGCGCGCGGCGCGGGCGCCTTGGGCGCGGGCGGAGCGGCCGCCGGAGGGTCGTCGGGCGCCGCCTCCTCGACGCGGGGCTCCGCGGGCGACGGCGGCGCCACGGCGCGGTCGGCCGCCGCGCGCGCCGCCGCGGCCTCGGCGCGCGCCTCCAGTACAGCGGGGGACGGCGCACGCCGTTGCGAAGACGGCGGCCGCGGCGGCCGCGGGCCCCGGCGGCCCGACGCCGAGCGGCGTTTTGGTACGCTGGCCTTGGGCGGCGGCGGCGGCGGGACCGACGTCCGCGACGCTCTAGAAGAGGTAGACCGGCGCGACGCGCAGGACCGCTCCGACCGCCGCGAGCCGGCACTGGAATAACCGCACGACGGCGAGCGCGAGCCCCAGGCGCCGCGGCGTGCCGCGAGCGCCGCCAGTCTGGCTTCGCGGTCGCGCTGGTACTGCGTCGGGTCGAAGCGGCCGCGCGGCGCGTACCAGACGGCGCCCGCCGGCGCCGCGCGCGGCGCCGGCGACCGGCCGCGCCGTTGAGAGGGAGGCGGCGGCGGCGTCCGTTTGACGGACTTCGACGATGAGCGGCGCTGGCGCGGCACGCTGGCCTTCCTTTGGGGAGGCGGCGGCGGCGGCGCCTCGCGCGACAGGTCCCGGGCCCGCCGTAAGCGCCGGCACTCGGCTCTTGATGAAGCGAGGTCGCGCCGTAAAGCTGCCGTAATTCTCCGCTCGGCCTCCAACTCCACGCCGACGCGGCGCGCGGCGGCGCGCCCGTCCGCAGAAGCAGAACGCGCCGAGAGCTCCCTCCTTAGTCGGGCGTTCTCCGCCCTCAACGCGCCCGCCGCGCGGCCCTTGACCGATCTTGATGAAGACCGTTGTCGAGGCGCCCTTTCCAATTGCGCGACGCGCTCCCGCAACGCATCCGCCTCGGCTCTCGAAGCGCGCAGGCGCCGCGCGCACTCGGCCCATGGGACGTCGGCGTCGTCGCCCTTCGGCTGGTGCTGCCTTTCTTGTAACCGCGCGCGGCACCGCCGTAATTGTCTCGCCAGCGACGCTCTAGAAGGCTGCGTCTCGGCGTCCAGCGGTAAGGGGTAGTGCACTCTATCAAATTCCGCGGCATACGTCACGATCAGATAACGTCTATCACTGGGTAGCGGCGCGTCCGTGGGGACGGTGGAGCCCCGCTTCCGCGCTCGTAGTTGTTCCAAGTCTCGCGCCGTCAACAAATCAACGAAGACGGAGTCGGCCGTGCCGTCCAAAGCGCCGCTGAGCATCCGCGCGAAGGTGCCTAATGCCTTGTAGTTGCCCGTCTTCGACGTGAGGCTTTCGATGTAGTCCGCGGAGAAGGCGCCGGTCCAGCGCTCGCCCGTCTCGCACTCCACATCTACCACGAGCTCCGCCTCGTCATTAACACAGTCGGGCGCCCGCTTCCAGCTCGGCGCGCCATCTAAATCGCTCGCTTCCCTCCGCGCGCCGTCGCGGCACTCGCAGGCCACTTCATACAGCGCGCCGTGGAAGTTGAGCGTGCGGCAGTACTCGAGGGCCATCGTTTGTTGGCTGCGCTGCTCTTCCAATTCAAACACGCGGTGGCTGCAGCGCCGTGGAATCAGTTCGCTGCCGTGCGGTCCTAAGGTGACAGCAGCCCTGAACGCGATAAACTCACGGCAAAAGAGCTCCTGTGCAGCTCGCACGGCCGTGCCAAATTCAGTTTTGTTTGAGCCGCCGTCTCTAGATTGACCTACTAGCGCGCAAAAGTATACATCCCATGACGTGTCATCCCTACGGAGGAGCCCCCGCGGAGAAGTCTAGATTCCGTTCACATTTCCGTTTCATCTCCATCAGTCCAACAGATCTCAAAACAAACCTGGCATCTCTGGCGCTGATCCGGCTGCGTGCTATTTCGAGCGGGGCAGCCATCGCTCGCAACATGCGCCAGTAATTCATTCTCGAGATGGCAACCACAGCACCGGATCCGACCACGATTGATGTGGCACCTGATAGCCAGTCCGAGATACACCAGAAGCTGAAGAGAGCCAAGGCGGCCGGCGCGGCGGTGCGGGCGCGCATCTCGGTGACAATGGGACTGGCCGGCGGCGCGCTGGTGGTCGTCCTCGTCACTGCGATTGCCGACGCCGCTGATACGCTAAATTACGCATCGGCGTTCTACTGCATCGGCATCCCGGGGCCGCCGCTGCTCCTCCTTGCGGTGCTGCCTACCGACCGACTGGTCATTTACGGCGTCGCGGTGATTTGCTGTGGTGTGTCTCTCGTGTGTGGTTACTTTATAGCTGACGAAGCACAACGCCACGCGAGGCGGAAGCGGCGGCCGGACAAGGCGGACTGGACCGCAGTCCAGTACGTGTGGGTGGTGGGCTTTTTGTGCGTGGCCGCGGTGATGAGCTCCGCGGCCGGGCTGCCGCCGCGCGCCGCTCTTCGACGGATGTGGATGTCCCTTGGCGCGGTGTACCTCGCCTCTGCTTTGATATGGGGGTACGTATGTGTTACCTGCGTGAATGGCATGGAACGCGGCTCCCCGGAGCACCAATTCTTCTGGATCGCCACGGCAGAACTCTTTGTGCTCGGCGTGGCGAGCTCGACGCCGTCCTTCCGCCAACGCATCCACGCCGCCCTGCTGGCGCGGGACGGCCAGATCTCCTCGGCGGCGTCCGTCGCCGCCCTGCTGGGGCGCAACGATATTGATCATGTCAAGGCGGAGGCGCAACGAAAATTCTACGGCGTCGAGCTGTCGCAAGTGCGCCTGGAGGACCTACAACAGAGCACGCCGGACCCCGCCCTCTTCGCCCGGGCGAAGCACGCCCGGTTCGACGAGATCGATTGGTTCATTTCGCACTCGTGGCACGACTCGCCCGATGCCAAGTATAGCGCGTTGCAGGCCGCCCGATCTAAGTTCGTTGCGGCCAATAAACGAGAGCCTGTGGCGTGGCTCGACAAATTTTGCATCGACCAGACGAGTATCGCAGACAGTCTCATGTGTCTCCCGGTCTTCCTCGCGGGCTGCAAACAGCTCTACCTATTCTGTGGGCCCACGTTCTTGGAGCGGCTGTGGTGCCTGTTGGAGATTTTTGTGTATCTCGAGATGGGCGGTCGCGTCGATGACGTAACGCTGGTTCTGGCGCCGCCGGAGGGGACTGACGACGTCGACGCGTACTTCGAGGAGCGATTCGCGAGGTTCGACGTGTCTCACGCAACATGCTTCGACCCCGTCGAGCGCGACCGGCTGCTCGCGACCATCGAGGCGGGCTTCGGCGGGCTCGACCAATTCAACGCGTCGCTCAAGGGCGTCGTCGCGGATCTGCTGAAGCGCGCCGCGGACACCCCGCGCGGCCTTGAGCGATCGTTCTCCGTGCGGGCGTCGACGCGTAATTTGTGATCTGTGGTACTTGTCCTTTAGTTGTGTTGGGTGCACGGGTTTTACACCGCAATATTTTGCGACTGAGCGACATTCAGGCGGCGCGGCCACAAGCTACCGTGCCTACACGCCCAGACAACGAGTGATTCGAGCGGAGAGCGAGGAAACGCCGCCGCAAGGGGGCACTGATCAATAAAAATAAAACATTACCTCGCCGCGGCCGGTCCGGAGAGGTGTGAAATTTGACATGGAGTACTCGGTGGACGCCCACGCCATGGCGTCGCTGATTCCGCACGACAACTATGATCTGGTCGTGGCCAATAGTGTTTTTGAGCACATGCGGCAGCCCTTCGTCGTCGCGTGCCGCGCGGCGTGGAAATCACAATAGCCAGTGGCGAGGTCGCGTCGATGGCGTCTCGGAGGGCCTCATTCCGACGCCGTTGACGCGCCGCGTCGACCGCCACGCCATCGCCGCGACGCGTTCGCACCGCGAGACGCGGCGTCACACGCAGGAAACAAATCTACCTCATCCTCAAGCCCGGCGGCTACATGCTCTGGCACACGCCGTTCATGTTTCCCTTCCACGGCGTGCCCGCGGACTATTTCCGCTACACGCACGCGGGCGCGGCGGCCGTCTGTGAAGACTCGGGCCTCGAAGTTATTGAAGCGGCGCCGGACGGCGGCTACGCGGCCGTGCTGGGCCATGTAGTAGGCATGGACACGCGCTTCTTCTCGGACGAGGAGATACACCGAGTGCATGAGCTGCCGCACTGGAAAGATCTGGACAACCTGCACCACAAGGTGTCCTACCACCTGTCGACGAAGCTCGTCGCACGGAAGCCCCCCTCGAACTAATTCACTTACATTCTAAGAAGTCGAGCGCGTCGGCCTTGACTTTTGGTGGTGGCTTCTTCTCCACGGCGCGCCGGATGTAGCCGACGTTCGCGCGCAGCTCGTCGGCCGTGCCCCTTAACCCGACCGCGGCCAGGTCCTCCCGCAGCTCCTCCGTTGATATCGTCGTCGGCTTCGCTTCGCTAGTGTCGCTCGACGACGTTGATGATGCGGACGACGCGGACGACGCAGACGAGTCCGAGGACGCCACCGATTCATCGTCGGCAGCGTCCTCGGCGTGGTCGTCCGCGCGCTTGAGGGCCCGCTGCACGACGACCCTATATTCCAGCATGAGTTCGTTCGAGGGCTCGTATTTTAGTACTTTCTCGATGAGGGGCTGGGCCTTTGTATAGTCCGCGGCCTGCAATGCGGCCAGCAAGTCCATCACCAGCTCCTCGGGCGCATTGCTCGGCGTCCGCCGGTCGTCGCGGTCGTCGATGGGCATGGCTTAACACGATTGGCAGCCCCTTTGATAGTGCGGGCAGCCCTGCGCGTCGCACAAAACACAAAACCACCGGTTGCGCTAGTATGTCAAAGCTAGGCTTTAATTTGGCGTTGCACGCCGCCGGCGCTGCGTACTGACCCGCGACGTCCGCAGAACGGCAGCCAATCTTCCAGGCCGACAGACCCCCGGCCGACGCACGCGCGCAACGCCGCTCGGGCAGCGCGATCCGCAGCCCCAAGCACAACAACAAGCTAGTGTACAGACACTGACCACCATGAGCAGCAGCAGCAGCAGCTCCAGCAGCTCCGATAGCGAGTCCTCGGACGACGAGGAGGTACCCGCTTTACCGGAAGCGGCCCTCGTGCCGTACGAGGACGCGGCGCCGGCACCCGCGCCCCGATACGCGCCCGGCCTCCCGCCCTCGCGCGCGTCGCTCAATTCATTGCTCCGCCAGAGTTTGGATCATCGCACGGAGGCCCGTGTCAAGTTCGAGGCGGCCAAGGATGCATTGCGAAGCCTCGCCAAGTCGCAACGAGACGGTACCATATATACGGCGCAAGACCCGCGCATGGCCATCAGCGCCGAGTACGACATGAGGAGCGGATTGGAGCCCTGGGGCCAAGTCCGACGACGACCGACGGTCAAGCCGAAGACCGGACCCCTCACGCTCATCTTCGAATTTTACGCGCGGATGCAAGAGCCGGGCGCGCAGTTAGGTAAAGATAGGACGATGACGATGATCAAGGACTGCAACGAGCGGCTGTCGTTCTTCGAGGTCGTTTGTTTCGCGCGGGATTTTGATATTGTGCCGAAACTCATCACGAAGGCGACGCTCGCGTACCTCCACAAGGTGTCCTCGGCGCTGCCGAACCGGTCGGAAACGTCGCAACGAGAAGGCCAGGATGTCCGAGATGCGGGCTTCGACCTCGAGGAGTTCAACATGTTGCTTGTACGCATAGCATTAGTTGCGTTTGCCGAACGGTCGGTAGGTGATCCGGAGATGGCCGTCCGTTGTATCATAAGATGGATGCATCTCGACGACCCGCCGAAGGTGAGACATGTCGTGCATACGAGAGGCAGGCAAACGCAACGTCGAATCAACTTTCGCAGCAAGGGTGAAGTTGACAACACTGCTGCAAAACGCGCCTTGCGAGACAAGAAGGATGAAATGCTGCTGCGGTTGAAGGCTCTCAGCCCAAAGCATAAAGTAGATTATACGCGGAGCCAGGTGCAACGCGTCAAGGACTTCGACTACAAAGTCGACGACCTGACTAGAGTGAACAACTTGCTCCAAGTCAGTCAGCAGATTTTACTGGCTTCTTTTAAAAAAGATACGGCGAAATTACTAGATCCCTACGTGGCTTCTAAACCGGTTCATCATTGGTGCCCCTTCGACGACTGTGGCATTGATTGTGGTCGAGTGTTATCTAACATAACCTACGCTACAAGAATCCACGTCTGCAATCGTTCTGATGAGACTTTGACCGTGTGCGGGCTGGATATTAGCGGAGATGCTACAGATGCGCTGTCGGCTCGGTTCGACCCGCGGCCCTTCGCCCCGGGGATGACGCGCTTCGTCGAGCTGAATGTACGACCGTCGAATACGATGGGCGAGTTCTCTTCTATGGTAGAGCTGAAAATTGGGAGAGATAAAGCCCCCTCGAAGAACGTGAACGCGCTCGGGTCGCACGGCGACACTTATGTCGCGGTGCCCGTCTTCTACCGCGTGGGCGGCCCGGGCCACGCGCCGCGGCGGCGGCCCGCGTCGGCCGGCGCGATTCGCACGACGCTGCGCGTGCGCCGGTCCTTCAAGGCCGTCGTTCTAGATCTGCCCGACCGCGTCGCGGGCGCGATCAAGCCGCGGATCAAGGCGACGGACTCCCAGTCGTCGCGGTCCGCGTCGCCGTCCGGGTCGTCGTCGTCGTCGTCTGACGAGGACGACGAGCCAAGGCCGGCCGGCGGGCAGGTGCTGCTTAAGGACCAAATCTTTTAATCACAAAGCTATTACTCAGTAGTACCCCGCGTGGAGCCAAAACGCGAGGACCTTTCGGACGAGCTCCGGCGGGAGGAGGGGCGTCGCGAGGATCGATGCGATCCGCGCGACGTGGGCTTGCGCGTATCTCTGGAATCCGCCCGCGTTTCTGACTCGTACGATGTACGGGTCCGTGTTATCTGTGGGGATCTCAGCGCCCGCGCGGAGAAATAACGGCCACGTACGGCGATACGGCCGTGTGATTGCAATGTCGAAGGGTCTCATCCCAGACGGGGACAGTCTTGCATCCAAACTAGCACCCGCGGCCAGGAGCACTTCGACGCAATCGGCGGCCCCCCTGCGTCCTGCGAGGTGCAGCGCTGTGACACCACTGTTGCCTGCCGCATCCACATTAACGCGGGCTTGAACGAGCAGCGACACCAACTCGACACTTTTACTGCTAGCCGCACAGTGAAGTGGTCTCCACCCATTCCCAGTCGGACCAGTATCGGACGCTTCCAAATTTGCCCCCGCGTCGCGAAGGAGCTCGAAGCAGGCCGCGCGGTCACCGCCATTATTATTCCGGCACAAGCAATGAAGAGGCGTTTTTGTTATATAAAAAGCATGTTCATTATAGACTGCATCTGGCGACACACCTTCCGCAAGCAGTCGCCGGAGCTTCTCGACGTTCCCGGCGCGTGCGGCTTTGTGTATGGCTGCCATAGGGTCAGACCAAGAGCAGCGCCCGGGTCAGCAAGAGCTTGAGGGTCAGACCAAGAGCGGCGGCCGTGAGAGGCGCTAGATATGGATGGGCCAGCGAAAAGGGGCAGCCAGAGACCGCACAATAGCGCCGCTGTATCAACACTCCGGTGCCAACTTGCTAGTGTCTTACAGCACGCTAGCACGTCGACGCGTTGCGCAGATTTTGGGCCGTTTCGGCCATACCGGTGCAAGTCTAAGGCGCTCGGCGACAGCATTGACGCATGCGAGGAGCCGCATTGACGCATGCGAGGAGCCGTGCGACGCCTCACGCGGGTGGCAGCTCTGCATCGCGCCCTCACACGATCGACAGCCCTGCAGCACGCTGCACGACGCGCATCGATGGCGGCTGCAGCCGGCAAAGCGCTCCCGCGCGTGGCAGTGGGCCAACTCAACAGCACCGGCGACCACGCGGCGAACCTGGCGCAAGCAGAAAAGCTCTGCGCGGCCGCGGCCGCGGCGGGCGCCAATCTATTGTGCCTGCCCGAGGCGTTCTCCTTCATCGGCGCGAGCCCGCAAGAAACCATATCCCAGGCCGAAGCGCTGGATGGCCCGCGCCTCGAACAATATAGAACGCTCGCGCGGCGCCACGGCCTCTGGCTGAGCTTGGGCGGGTTCCACGAGGCCGGCGCGCCTGGTAATCGCGTCCACAACACGCACGTCGTCGTCGACGCGGCGGGCGCCACCGTCGCGGAGTACCGCAAGATCCACTTGTTCGACGTCGACGTGCCCGGCGGCGCAACACTCTTGGAGTCTAAAAGTACGACGCCCGGGAAAGCAGAGGCCGTCGTCGTCGACGCGCGCGACCAGTTGGGCTTCACGTTCGGGCTGACGACGTGCTACGACGTGCGCTTCCCCGAGCTCTACGTGGCGCTGGCGCGGCGCGGGTGCGACGCGATCCTCGTGCCGTCGGCGTTTACCGTGCCGACGGGCGAGGCGCACTGGCACCTACTACTCCGCGCGAGGGCGGTGGAGTCGCAATCCTACATTTTGGCAGCGGCCCAATCAGGCGCGCATAATGAAAAGAGGCGGTCGTACGGCCACGCGCTAGCCGTGGACCCGTGGGGCGTCGTGGTGGCGGACGCCGGCGACGCCGCGCCATCTCTCGTCACGGTGGACCTCGACCTGGAGAAGGTGAGGTCAATTAGAGAGAAGATGCCGATCCAGGCCCACCGGCGGCGCGACGTCGTGGAGTTGCTATTGGACGATGGATAAGTTATTCGCTAGAGACCCCCTTCTTCTTCCCCACCTTCTTGAGGTGGTGCACGGCGCGCTCGGCCCGGGCGGCCGTGGGGTCGCGGCGGCCCCGTCCCGGCTTCCGCTTCGGCGGCGGCGGCGGCGCGTCCTGTGTGGGATCGACACCGTCGCGAAACGCTCTCATGAAGACGCCATCGCCGCGACCACATCGAGCCACGTTCTTTTTCACGCCGCGTCAGGACCTTCACGCGTAAATCGGTAAGGGCCAGACGTGCTACATCTGCACGCAGGCCCTCCACTGGAGGACGAAGGAAGGCCTCGTGCGCATGTGTGCGTGCCGCGGGACGGCGGGCTTCGCGCATGTGTCGTGTCTCGCGGAGCAGGCGAAGATTTTGTTCGCGGAGGCCGAGGAGAATAATTTGGGGGCCTCAGCGCCCGCGAGGCGGGGATTCCCTACGCGATTAAACCGGTCTCATAGCTACTCTATTAGGCCACCGCCCAGGGAAACTAGCGCGACGCCGCCATCTCCTTCTCCGCCGACACCGTGGATCCGGACGACGGCTGGAACGCCCCACCACCGCGCAACTCCGGCGACGGCGTCATCCCCGAGACGATCCCGCGGTAGAGCCACTGGAAGGGCCCCGGCGACAGGAACTTGTAGAGCGGGTCCTTCTTCGCCGTCTCCTCGAGCATGGCGATGTGCTGGTCGACGTTCACTATGGTGTTGGCCGCAATAACACCAGAAGCCGCGGCACTGGGCGTGCCGATGCCCGGGAAGCACGAGTCGCCGCACCGTAGTAGTCCATCGACCGGCGTCTTCAAATTAGGAAACGGGAACGGTATGGGCGTGAATTTGAGTAATCCCGCGTACGGCGCGGACGTCCCCGCGGCCCAGGCCATGCCGTAAGTGCCCCTATCACGTCGTAGAAACGCCTCATGCGCCAGCGGCGACCCGACGATGTGGAATTCCGCCCGTTCCCGCGCGTCGGGGATGCAGTTCTCGAGGGCCTTCCAGAGAATATCTCCTCGTTCCTCCTTGTACGCCTCGTACTCGGCACTTCCAGGTTCTAGACTTTCCCAGGTCTCGTAGGGTTCCCCACCGGAAGAATAGACGTGGATCACGTGCTTGCCCTCGGGACACACACTTCTGTCTAGCAAAGAAGGGATGAAGAACGAACACAGGTTCTGCGAGTCCTGCATGCTTCGACCCCAGTCCTGCACGATGAGATGCGCGGGGTTCTTCGAGATCTCGTCCTCCGCAGCTCTCCAAGAAGCATGGTCGGCCAATTTTTTGCCGTTGACGACTTTCTCGGCGTCGACCGCGACGAACAGATGCAAAATCGCGCCGTGTCTAGGTAGAGTGCCTAACGTTTCCCGCCACTCCTTGAGCTCCGTGTAGCCCTTCATTTGCGGATCGAGCTGGTCTTGGGCCGGTAACAGCTTGACGGTGTCGAACGGCGTCGCGTTGCTGACAACCGCTTTTCTGGCGCGTATTATTTTACCATTCTTGAGCTTGACGCCGACCGCTCTCCCGTTCTCTACTAGGATTTCTGCCACATGGGTATTGAGGGAAATGTCCATGCCAAATTGAGCTCCGCCTCGGTGGATCGCGCGCGCGATGTTCTCCGTCCCGCCCTTCGGCACGGAATACGCGCAGCCCGGCTCGAAGAAGCGCTCGAGGATGTAGAGCATGTGCGCCGTCATGGCGCCCTTGGCCGGGAAGCCGCAGAAGATGCACATCGTGTCGATGAAGTTCCGCAGGAACGGCTCCGTGACCAATTGGTCCACCGTTTTGTGCAAGGAGTCGAACGTGAGAGGTAGGTCCGCGAAGACGTCGGGGTGGCTCAAGACGAACGGTAGCGAGCCAGCAGTCGTCGCGAGGAAGCCCGCATCTTGCCGTAAGTTTAGTAGCGATACGGCTGAGGTAGAGCCACCTAGCGTCTTGAGACGCGCCCTCAGTGCCTTAAATTCTTTGATAGCGAGCTCGCCGTCCTGGGCGTGCTCCCTTAAAGCTTCATAGAAGCCGCCCGGCGCTTCCGGATCGCCCAACTGAAAACGCCACGACCGCACCGGCCCCGTCCCGTCGAAGTTCGAGGTCGGCACCCAATAAGCCAGACCCTGGTACGTCTCCACGGGTAGCTCGCTATCGAGAATATCGAGCAAGATGCGTAACGGGTTCAATGAAGGCTTGTCCAGCCCTTCGAAGATCGACGGCCCGACCTCGAACGAGTACTTGCCCCCATCGTGGCCATGAGTGAAGGAGTGGGCCGACCCGCCCATCTTGATGTGCGACTCCAAGACGATCGAACTTTCCCCATATTTCGCGCACATGGCTCCACAGGCCAGACCGCCCATGCCACTGCCGATGACGACGACGTCGTACTCGCCTTCGTCGCCCCCAAGACCGTCGCCCGTGCCCTTGTAGACGGGCTTCGCGTACTTCCGTTCCCGCTCCGTGTCATAGCTAAAAGTCATGACCTTGTCGCGCGACGTCTCCTGCGTCTGCGCGACGTTTTCTGCGGTGGAATGCAGAGCCGTTGCGCGTCGTACGGGCCGCGCCAGGGGCGCCAGCGCCGCGGCGCAGCCGGCCAGCGCCACTATCCTCAACATGATTGCGGTTGATTACAGCCTGTTTGCTGCAATGACTGTGATTTGAGATCTGCGCTTCAGCGACACCTCGTTGCGTAAAAAATGAGGTGAGCGCGCTCGACGGTGTAGCAGTGATGCTGCTGCAGCGCAAGCCTCTTGTTGCTGGCCGACGATAGAGATATCCGCTAGATCGCACGCTTGCTGTCCTGCAAATGAATCGGGTTTCAGCGTCATCAATTCAACTCCCGGCCGGGATCGATCCGTGCGTGGTCGGCAGGACGCGTTAATGCCCAGTCCGATTTGTCCGATAAAAACCCGTGGCGCTTTCACGCAGTGAATTGGGCAGTGGCAGCTAGCTGGCGGCGCAAGCACGCAGCCAAGCCGAGCCACGTTGTCGCTGTGGCACAAATTAATCGATGCTGCAATCCCAGTTAGCAAGAACGCCGTTACTGCAGCTGTCAGGCTGTGCAGTGCCTGCAGCCCTGACAGCCAGGTGCCGCAGCGATGCAAAACGTGACGCGTAGACACTGTGCTCATAGCTGCCAGCCTCTGCTGTGCAGCTCTCGTGTCGCAGCAATGCAAAACGTGACACGTAGACTTGCAGCTCTCGTGCCGACAATTGCTAGGACGCGCCGACATCTAGCCACGCAAAAACAAGGCGACTGGACAGCCGTGGCGGCGCGCGACTACGCCTCGCACCGCCAGACGTTCCAGGCCGACTACGCGCGCGAGTGCTGGCAGCGCCTCAGTTCCAGGCCGGCCGTCGCGCCCGTCGTCGCGCGGGCGGCGCGCGTCCTCGACGTCGGGTGCGGCTCGGGCGAGTTTACGCGGGAGCTGGCGAGCCATCTGCCGCACGCGTCAATCGTGGGCGTCGACATCTCGGAAGGCATGGTGCGGCACGCGGAACGGGCGAACGCCCACGAGCGCGTGAGCTACGCTGTGATCGATTTTGCGAACCAAGTCCCCTTCCGTGGCGAGAGCTTCCAGGTCGCGACGTCGACGATGGCGCTGCATTGGCCCGGGCCCGACGCAGCGTTCTTGGCCGGCGTCTCTCGTTTCATCGAGCCGGGCGGCGTCTTCTTGGCGGGCCTGCACGGCCAAGGCTCGTGTCAAGAAGGGGTCGACGCCTTCGAGAAGGTCGCGGGCCTAGACTTGGAGAGCCTCCCCACCATGTTCAAGCGCCGCTCCGCGGCTGCGTGGGAAAAAGCTCTGTGCGATGCGGGCTTCTTCGACGTCGAGGTAGAGGAGCGCACGGTCGCGACGCGCTACGCCTCGGTGGAGGATTGTCAAAGGCGCCTTGCCGCGGCCTGGCCCCCGATCTTAGCCGGACACGTCCCGGCCGCGGACGTCGACGCCCTCGTCGCGGCGGCGGCGCGGGCAATGATGGACGCCGGTGGAGTCATGACGAGCCGGCTGCTCGAGTTCTCGGCGTTCGACAGTGGTGTACCTGACGCTTTTCGACCTTGAGGCTCTCAATGGCTCGCTGTGGTAGCAATTGTGCAATTGTGAAAAAACCGAGCTAGCGGCTAGTTTTGTAGAGTAGTTTCCTGTTGTACTACAATTATACGAGAACCGAACGTTACACAAAGAGACAGCTACCTTCCAGCACACGAGCTCGCCCGCTCGGCCACGCCGCACGCCACGACGCGATCCGGGGCGACACCCTTCCCGTTCAAGTCGCCGCCGCTGGGCGTCGCATAGCGCGCGACGGTCACGGCGACGGCGCCCTCGGCGCCCGGCGGGTCGCCGAGCGGTTGGACGGTCTGGATCACGCCCTTGCCGTAGGTTCGTGAATCCGTACCTACCACGGACGCGGCCTTGTTGTCCTGTAAAGCTGCCGTGAGCACTTCCGCGGCCGACGCGGTCTGCTTGTTGACTAGCACCGTGAGCTTCCTCCCAGAAAACGCCCCGTCCTCGACGGCGTCGTAGGCGAAGGGCTGGCCGTTCGCGGCCGTGACCGTCGTGATCTTCGCGCCCTTCGGTAGAAAGAGCCTCGCTGTTTCGACGCCGCCCTCCAAGCTTCCACCAGGGTTGCCCCGCAGATCTAAGATAAGGGGTCCTGACACCTTGTCAACGTTTTCCTTGACTTTTGCGGCCGTGTCCAGCTGGAACGCCTTGATACGTATCGTGGATTGATCTCGTCGCACGGTCGACAGCGGCACGACCGCCCTACTAATATCGGCCTGATTATCTTTACCATCTCTCACGTAAGCCACTTTGACGAGCGACCCCTCCTCGCCCCTTAACTTTTGGGCCGTCGACGCCGCGTCTTGTACCTTACTGGAACCAACTTGCTGGATCTCGTCGCCCGCCCTTAACCCAGCTTTATCCGCGGGCGCGCCCGGCTCCACATCAACGACGACGACTTTCCCATTGTCGCCATCCACGACCTGCACGCCGGCACCGGCGACGACGGCGGCGTCGCCGAGCGTCGCTGATACTAATGCTTCGTACTTTTCTGGTTCTACATAGCGCGTGTAGGGGTCGCCCAGCTTCCTGAGGAGGCTGTCGACGGCGCCTCTGGCGCTTTCCGCATCTGTCGCTTGCTGTATCAAGTCGCTGCGCGCTCGGAACCAGTCGGCTCCACCGAACGTGCGCTCGTAGTACAACTTGTCCGTGGCGCGCCAGGCCTCGGCCGCGAACCGCTGCGCGTCCGTGAATTCCTTGGCTTGGGCCGTGGATGGCATTATCAACGCTAGTGCTACGGCTGCGGTGCCGAGCGCGCGTCGCAGCAATGGCTCCGCGTGTGCCGGTCGCAGCGCTTTGTGTTTGTGCGGCGCCAGTGCAGCACTGCCGAGCAGCATTGCTGCTGCGACGAGGCGACGCATCAGTTTTGTTGCAGTCCTTGCTGTGTCTGTCAGTGGTCAAAGCAATGCAGAAAATGCAGCAAGCGCGCAGCGATTGACGGATGTGGTCCAGTAGAGGCCTCTGTTGCCTCGCGTGCCTTGCAACTGCTGCGTTAGCTGCGAGGCTCGCGTGTGTCGAGGTGTGGACGGCTAGCGTCCTGTAAAGACACTAGCAAGGCGAGATCTCTTGTGACCGAATTATCTTACTACGACGGGGCTGGGGGATGATTGTAGTAGTGACATGACACGTGGGCGGACGGCTATCGCCGCGTTATTGTTGGAACGGGAATGCACGGCGCTATATACTGCCGCGACCGTGCTTGTAGTACCGTACTAGTATGCCTGTGGGTGTACCGGCGACGTTCGGAGACGACAGCAATGACCGATACGCGATTCGAACGCGTAACCTTCAGGACTGGAATCTGACGCGCTACCGTTGCGCCAATCGGTCGAAGGGTCAACCCAGGACGCCGCCGCGGTACGTCTCGAGGACGCCCTTGGGCAGGAAGTAGTGGTCGGAACGAGAACGCGCGGCACTATCGCCGCGCCCGCGCCCGCTCGAGGAACCGTATCGCGTCCGCATGGTTTAGGATCGTCGGCGAGGAAGTCCCGTCGTCGGTGAGCGAGGAGACGTCGCCCGCGTCGAGACCGGACGCCTGCCGCCGCGACGCCGCGGAGAGGTTCGGCAGCGTCCCGCCGCCGAAGCTTTGACCTGTGTGTGTTTTTGTCACCTTCCGGACCTCGATCCTCGGGCCAGTCAGTCATTATGTGCGAGACCTTTGGCGCACATAATGAAGACTGGCTTGCGGCTCGAACCCCGGCAAGCCATCGCGGTACACAGACAAAGGTGAGTCGGGCTCGAATCTCGGGACTCGGGCGCCGACGGCGCGGCGATGTTGGCGTCAGTTCGCCGCCCCCAATCGAAAACAAACCCGCGGTCCGTCGTGAGTCCTACATCAACTAAACTCCGCGCGATGTCCGACTTGATTCCTGAACTACGGTCGTAGCGGAAGTTCACCCTTTGGAGTTCGCCCTCGTCGAAGCGCAAAGCCGTCCGCACCTCGTAGATGCGGAGGCGCGTCGGGCGCGGGACGCCCTCCTGCGCGTTTGTGGTCGCTGCGAGGAGGGCCAGGAGCCCTCCTAGGCGCCACATCGGTGGCGTTTTATCTTCTTGCGCGTCCGCTTAATTACAATTCTCAGTGGGCCTGGACTGTCCTGAAATTTTTTTACGTCCGTGTTTTTATTCGGAGCGAGAGGACGAGCTCCGAGGGTCGTCAAGACCACAATCCTGATCGTCTTTCGTCGGCCAGGTCGCGCGTTCGCGCTTGCCGCGTAAGTCCCGACAGCTTTATGTTTGCCGAGCCTAAGCATAGTAACATACTAGCTTTTGGTCCTCCAGCTTTATAGGGCCACAGTGATGCGTGTAAGGCATTAAAATCGCTGTTGTTAAGGCATTAGAATCAGACACGATCGCTACGACCGCAGCCAGCAGCTCACGTCCTCTCGAGGCGTTGGTGAGCCGTGCCACCGAGTGGACTCCATGGCGTCCGTGCTGCGGCGCGCGCGGAGCACCGTGCGGATGAATGCGCGTCGAGCCCAAAGCACGGTCCGCATGAATAACTGGGCCCAGTTTTATTGGCTCCAGTCGCGCGGCTCGAAGGCGGGCGCGTTCGGCCCGGCGCTGCTCGACCAAAATCTACAGGAATGGGGCGGCCCCGTATCACTGATAGAGAAATCCAAAAATCACACGCTCGCGACGGCGCGCCTCCCGCCCTGGTGCGCGCGAAGGGACGGGAGACCGCCGCTCGGCGCGCTCCTCGCGTTGATAGATCAGGTGTCGACGTTCTGTGGGCAGGCGGAATTTGATGGCAGGGGAAGGCCGGGCGTGAGTTTGTTTCTGTCGGGCGAGGTTGTGGACGAGGCGCCTTCCTTGGAATCGGGCTGTGGGATTGAAATCTCGACGAGACTCCTCAAAGGAGGCCGGACGCTCGCGTGGCTCGCCTGCGAGGTGTATGCTGATGGGGAGCTCGTGGCGCGCGCGCGCCACGCGAAGTTTCTGAAAATTGACCCGTTGCACGATTTGCTGGTGCACTCGCCTCTACATAATGCGGCGCTTCCTATACTTTCGAGGTACTACGCAAGTTTGGAACCGCACCCGTACGTCGGCGACGATACGTGCTTGGACGCTATCTTCAAACCGCGCCGTATCCAGGAAAATGCCTTCGAGGTGGATATTACAAATGACCACTGCAACGGGCTTGGGGGGCTGCACGGCGGGGCGGCCTGTATTCTGGCGGAGCACGCCGCGGGTGATGATAAGCCCCTGGCGGCGATGCACGTGTCGCTGATGCGCGGGTTGAGAGCTGGCGCCGTCGCTCGAGTTTCTCAAGAAGCGGGACGCGTTTCGATCGTGGACGGCGCGACCGGCGCGGCCTGCTACGAGGCGACGGTCTCGCCGGCGAGCTGACGTCGCGTCGATGGCGTGAACTCGGCCTTAGTTGTTTAATTTGGTAGACTTGTGCTCGAGGCTATAAAACCCACCGGACGGGACCCCGTGGCGCGCTTCAGGGCTCCGCGCGGCTAGCGGCCTGTAAGACACTAGGCATCCTAGCAGCCGGCGCGCGGGCTCGGCAGGCAGCCTCGGCCCAGCCTTGCGCACCGAGCAAGCACCTCGTTGATCTGTGGTCTGTCTTGCAACAAGACCGCGCAGCAAAGACCGCAGGCGCTGGGGGGTTACATAAATTTAAGGGCCTGCCACGGGAGAGCATAATATCATGAATCCGCAGCAGGGCGAGCAGCAGGGCAGCGAGCCCCCCCTGCAGATCCCTCCCGTGCGCCAGGGCTACGGCCGGCGGCCCGCGCACCGCTCGCCGCCGCCGCCCGTGCGCAAGCGCGCCGCGGCCTACATGGCGCCGGCGCGGGCGGCCCCCCGCGTGCGCCAGGACTCGCTCACCACGCTGCCGCCGCCGGCCGCGGCCGCGCCAGCGCCCGCAAAGGACGCCTGGGTCCGCTACGTGCACGTGAGCGGCGACGCGTACTGGCACAACGCCAGTACAGGCGAGTCGCGCTGGACGGCGCCCGAGGAGGCCGCGGCGCCGGCGCCGGCCGCGCCTGAGCCCGAGCCGGAGCCGCCGCGGTCGCCGAACAACAACCGCGTCGCGCCGAAGGTCGTCCCGGTGGCCCCGCCGACGCTGGCGCCGGCGCCGAGCGTCGCCGAGATCCGGGCCGCGTACCGGCGCGAGCAGGCGGCGCGGCGGCCGACCAAGCCCGTCGTGCCGCCGGCGCCGCCGTCGCCGGTGGCCTGGCCGGCGCCGTCGCCGCCGCCGACGGCCGTGACGGCGTCGCCGCCGTCGCCCCCTTCATTAACCGCGGACCCGCCCACCGGCGCGCGCCTGTGTGGAGATCAAATTTCGGGCGCCCCACGCTGTCCCCGTGACCCCGTCGGCTCGATGGCGTGGAGGTTCACTGGTTGATTTCCAACACAGGCGCCACCTACCGGGCTTCTAGGTTCGCGGGCTGCTGCTGGGACGCGCGCATCCGAAAGTGGCGCGCGAACATCCAAGTCAAGGGCTACCGCATCCCCCTCGGCGACTTCGACGACGAAGCCGACGCCGCGCGGGCCTACGACGCGGCGCGGACGAAGTGGAAGGCGCTCATGAAGAGCGTCAAGGTGCCCCTCAACTTTCCCAATTCTGGCATAGACGAAAAGACGCTCGCCGCGCTGCCGCCGCTGCCCGCCTCATTACGATCGGAACTACCGCCGCCGCCGCGCCGCCAAGTCCCAAACGTCGTGTTGGCGGCGCGGCCGCCGCCGCGGCCGTCCCCGGAGAAGGGGGCCTTCCCCCGGGAGTTGTTCGCTCTAGTCGCCGATGATGTGGATGCGGCCCTGTCCAACAACTTAGTCGCGTGGTCGAGAGATGGGCAAAGGGTCGTGTTCTTGGAGCCCCAGGCCTTCGCCGAGAAGGTCTGCCCGCGCGTCTGGAACCACAACAAGTGGGCCTCGCTCACGAAGCAGCTGAACATCTATGGGTTTCGGGCGTGCGGCGACGCGCGCAATGCAACGGAGCCGGCGTCGTACGAGCATGAATACTTCAAGAAGGGCCGTGCTGATTTATTGTCGAAGGTAAAGCGCCCGTCGCAAGACAAGCCCGCAGCAAAAAACCGGGGCAAGCGGCCCTTTTATGGGAATCAGTTCACGCGCGAGGTCGACAATACAGCAGTGTTGCCGGAGCTCGGTGCTCCGTTGGCTGATGCGCCGCACGAGGCCATCACGGAAAGCGTGTTTAGTGATAAGCCGGCGAGACTGGGCGGCACGCACCCGCCCCGTTCTGAGGACGATGACCCATCGTCCTTCAAGGCGTCGCGAGCCATAGGAGATGCCGCATGCGCGGCCGCGTTTCTGAAGCGAGGCTCTCGAGTGAAGTCGGCGGTCTCAGAGATCGCCGCCGAGCTAATTAGTGAAGATTGTAGTAGAAGGGAAGCCACTGGAAGGGTGCTGAGGTACTACTACGCCTCTTTTAAAGCCTCGGATAAGTATCCGGCGGCGAAGGCGGCCTCTCGCGACGAGTTCGAGGAGGAAGATTCGTCTTCAGGACGGGGCATGCGTTTACGGAGGCGTCGTGAACGGTCGGAGTCGCCGGAAGTAGCTCCTACGAGGGAGAAGCGGATTGATCCCGTCAACGAATTGCGGAGGGCGCTCAAGAACTGCCGGAGCATGCGCGAGTGTTTGGATCGATTAGATACGCGGACGTTGCGGGCCGTGCGCAACGCGGCGACGCATTTACTAGATGCTCGTTTGGATGACGCCCTGGCGAAGCCCGAGCCGCCTCCGAGAAAGCGCGCGCGCCCGCCTCCCGAGCCTAGAAGGCGTGCCGTGCAGCGCTACGAGCCGGAGACGCCGGAGCAGGCTTCTCGCGCTGCTTTCGAAGCTTTGCGGAGCAAGCTGCGAGATCGCGGCCAGGCGGGCCGCGACGTCCTCGCGGGCTGGACGGCGACGCGGGAGCGGAGCATGCGCCAGGACGGCACGTCGAACGGGTTCTTATATCAGTTCACGGATCCCGATGGAGAGGCTTTTATTTCATTGTCGGCCGCGGCGCGCGGCGCTTTACGACGATTGTCGAAGTCGGACTCCGAGTCCGAGGAGGAGGAGGAGGAACCGCCCCAGAAGCATCGGTTACTAGGCGCGGAGTTCGACTACCACGTCGCTGGTTTAGGATGGTGCCGCGGCCGCGTGGCCAAGGTCGCGCGGGGCGGTCTACTGGAGATCCACTACAAGGACCTGCCGTACAACGCCGGCCGCCCCCAGGCCGCGCAGCGGCACCTCGCCGCGCGCGAGGTCGACGCCGCCGTGTCCAGCAGCAAGCCCAAGGGCGCGTCCTACTACGTCGCGCCGCAGCGCACGTTCGCGACCGGTAGAAGGGGCAGCCCGGGGCCCAAGCTCGAGAAGCCCGAGATCTATAAGTGCGGCGGCTGCGATCGAGGGTTCACGACGCTGAGCGGGCGGTCGAACCACTACCGCTACTGCGAGGCCGGAAGGGCCTTCGCGGCCGCCGAGGCGGCCGCGCGCGCGCTCGCGGCGTCGGACGACGACGTCGCCTCGTCGGCGTCGCCGACGCCGACGCCGCCGTCCTCGGACTCGCCACGCGCCGTTGGTACAACAAAGCGGTTCCCCTGCCCGGCCGGCTGCGACCGCTTCTTCACGCACGCGCCGGCGGCCGTCCAGCACGGGAAGACGTGCGCCGCGAAGCAGAAGGCCGCGCGGGAGAGGGCCTTCGCCCACGAGGCGTCTCCACCTCCCCCCTTCACGTCGCCGCCCGAGACGCCGCTCGCCGACGCCGAGGCCCGCGTCCTCTCGCTGGCCGAGGGCCCGCCCGACTCGCCCCGTTCTTCCGAACCGGTTCCTCCTCCGCTTCGCCAGCCGAGTTGGTGGCCTACTAATAGTGGTTCTTGACTTCGTCTTCTCCTGTTTTTTATGGGAATTACTCAGCGCGGCGCCGGCGCGAGCTCGAAGCTCCCGAAAAAACCACCGCCAAACCTCTCGGACCGCACAACCCTCAGCCCCGCCGCGCGCGCGAGCGCCTCGACGTCCTGGTCGTAGCGGCAGCCCTTGCCGCCGTACTTCGCCACGGCGCCGGCCGTCGCGTCGACGTACGCGCCGAGGAGCGCGTTGGACGGCCGCGCGTTCTCCAATAGCAAAATGCGGCCCGCGGGCTTGACGACGCGGCCGAGCTCGCGGAGCACCGCGACGGGCGCGTCGTAGACGCAGAGGCCGAACGTGTCCACGACGCAATCGTAGGCGCCCGTCGACAGCGGGAGCCGCGCCGCGTCGGCCTCGACGACCTCCGTTTTGAACGGAAGCGGCGCGTTCGATAGCTTGGCGCGGAGCCCGTCGAGCATGCCGCGCGACGCGTCGACGAAGGTCACCTCCGTGATGTCTCTATTGGCGGCGTAGAAGGGCGCTTGGAGGCCCGTGCCCGCGCCGACCTCGAGCACGCGGCCCGCGCACCGCGCCGCGAGGTTCCGGCGCGCGGCGGCGATGCCGAGCGCCTTGGCGGCCTGGCCGCCGTCGAGGTCGTCGTAGGAGCCCGCGTAGCGGTCGTAGTTTGCCGCGTCGTAGGCTACGGCTGCCGTCGGGACGGTGGTGATGGCGCCCAGCGCGGCGCGGCGCGTCGTCGGCCGAATCGCCGTTGCTGTTGTTAGTAGCAGCAGAGCTTTGCTGCGCATTTTGTCCTTTTGCTGTGCGTGCTAGTTGCTGTGCACCACTGCTCTCTGGTGCTGTTGCACTCTTTGCACTCTCTGTGTGCACCACTGCTCTCTGGTGCTACGCTAGCTGCACTGCTGGGTTACACTGTTGCGCTACTGCGTCGCTGACTAAGAAATTGATCGCTCGCGGTCCCGCGTTGCACCCTGTTTTGCTCACCTGCGCAAAAACGCCGGAGTGCGTTGCTAGCGACCTGTAACACACTAGCGCAGCGCAAGTTTTTGGGCTAAAAAAAAAGGCTGCCAACTAACCGATACTGATCGTTACCACGCTCAGAACGAGACATCGATCCAGTGCGCCAGTGCCAGGATCGCTGCGATACGTACGCCGTCGTGCAGCCGGCAGCCAAGCCAGCCATCCGATGGCCCAGCAGGTCGCGCGGACCCTCCGCCGGCTAGGGACGCCCGAAGCGCTGACGGGCGCCGTCGTCCACGGCTTCGGACGAGGCAGCGCGCAGCTCGGCTTTCCGACGGCGAACTTGGAAATCGACTGGACCGACGGCGCGAAAACGCCGGCCGCGGCCCGTATTCGGACCTTCGTGGACACGCACGACACGGGCATTTATGCGGCGTGGGCCCAAGTCGCGGACGGCCCTGATAGTGGCGTCTACAAGGCGGCCGTGAGCGTGGGCTGGAACCCGTGCGCCGGCGGTGTCCCGTCACTCGCGTCGGGGCGATGGCGTTTGGGGCCACGCGTACGCCGTCGACGCGCCGCTCGCATGCACGTCCGTCGCTTTCGACCCTTCGCGCGGCGTACGCCGTCGACGCGCCGCTCGGACGCAGGCACTTCGGCGACCTCGAGCGCAAGACGGTCGAGGCGTGGCTGCTGCACGACTTCGCGGCGGACTTTTATGGAAGGACCCTGCGTTTACTAATCGTGGGCTACGTGCGGCCCGAGCTCAAGTTCGACTCGCTTGATGGTTTGGTTGCCGCTATTCGTGCGGATGGTGATTTCGTTGAAAGAGAACTCGGCGACGCGCCCGAGGATGATGGCGGGTTCTTCGTCGCGCCTGCGTAATAGATGTTGTATATGGACGGGTAGTAGACAAAAACACACTTACGGGGACGACTCCCGCTGCTTCTTCGCCGCCCGCCGCGCCTTGTCCGCGTCGATGGCGTCGCGGCGGCTGTTCCGATAGGCCCGGGGCAGCTCGACGAGGTCCGTGGCCGGCGCGGCGAGCCCGAGCACCGTCGCCGGGCGCGCGGCGTCGAAGGCGCGCGCGCACTCGCCCGCGAGGCGCGTGTAGCCGCCGCCCGCCAAAACGAGCGTCCGCGCGCGGCACATGTACGTCATGTCCGCGTCCGGTTCGCCGTCCGCCCGCTCGCGCACCTCGAAGCCCCGGGACCGTAACAACTGAATCGCCGCGGCGACGTAGGCCCTACTCCGCTCCGGCGGCGTTCTATGAGCATCCTTGCAGCCCGCGTGCTGCGTGGCGTAGATCAGCGTAATTACTGAACGCGGTTTGAGGCGCGCCGCGACGGCCTCGAAGAAGGGTCTTTGTAAAACGTACTTCGCGTTGCGCGCGCACGGCCGCTCGAACGCGTCGTCGCAATCCACAGTATCGCCCAGTCTCAAATGCCAGACGACCTCGTCGGCCGCCGGCGGCGCTTCCGGTGTGCGCGCGAGGCGCCTCCTAACGGCCGCGAGGAAGGCGTCCAGGTCTGATAGATGAGTCCGCTTGTGCGAGTAGTCGCACGCGAGGCTCCGGGGCCAGAAGCACGCATTATATGAAGACAGCGTGTGCGCGTAGACGTCGGAGAGGCGGTAGAAGCCCCAGCTCGCGTTGTCGCGCATGCCGACGCCCTCGACGCAAGGCTCGCAGGGGCAGGCCGCCGCGTCCCCGCCGACGACGACGCAGGGCATGCTGACGAGGGCGAGGGCCAGGAGGGCTGTGCGCCTCCCCATGTCTTGTGCTGCGCGCTGCCCGCGGCGCAGGCGTCGGTCAGGAGCCTAGATTGATGTCATGCGACCGCTTTGGGCTGCCCTGCCTCCCACGACGCCGTGCGAAGCAGCGTGCGCAAAAATTGATAGCTTGCTAGTGTCTTACTGCCGCTAGCCGCGCTGGATTTCCTAGCGCGGGAGCCCACTCGTCCTAGAGGTGTGTGTTTGGATATTTTAAACACAATATAAATTAAGTACAGTCTACGGGGAACCACCATTGTGGATGAAGTCGTCTTCGAGGCCGTCAAACGCTGCCATGAGCTCAAGAACGTGGACGTGGGGAGTCTCCCAATCATTAAACTCACTCTCTTCCCAAACATAAATCCTTTGTCGTAATTCATCAAGGAAATAGGTCAGCTTGTTAAACTCATCCATCCACCTCGACCATTTGAGCTTCACTGCGCTGCTTGCCGTGTTTTGCTTATTTGCCGCACGTCCGCAATAGAATATATCTAATCGCAGATCGGGGTACATCTTCCTGAAAATGCGCGCAAAATCTTTGCACACCGGCCACCACGCGACAGAGCTTTGTACATCCTCGTAAAGCTTTTTCGCACAAACGTCCCCGTCACGTATCAAATCTAGGGCAAAAGACAGATGCTCATCACCGTCCTCATTTTCCTCGTCATCTTCGATTTCTTCAAGCAAATCGAACACCTCCCGTTGCATTTCCCTCACGTTTTCGAGGAAGCGCTGGGCGATGCCGTCTTGTTTCAAGACGAGGAAGCTGAGCACGTTTTGTAGCATATCCTCCGGCAGCCGCGAGAGCGCTCCCGTGGAGGCGCTCGGCTCCGCCAGACCGAGGGCCACGGCCTTCCCGCGCTTGAACTCGTCGTCGTCGACGACGCCGTCGTCGTGCAAGCGCTTCAATTTCCGCAGCGCGTCCTCGTCAATGGGGTAGGGACCCACCAGCGCGGAAGCGCTGGGCATGCCGGCGGCCGGCGGTCTCGTGTCGGCCATTTTTTTTGCAGCAGGGAGAGCACTGGTGTGTTTGAAGCTCAGCAATTTATTGCGCCGGTATCAATGGTTCCTATTGCTGTCGGAGGCCCTCGTGATCGCCTCCCCTTGCGCAAACGCTACCACTACTGCTCGGCACACGCGTGGTCAACCCTCGACCCAGCTTGCTAGTGTGTTACGGCCGCTAGCGCTAGCCGTGGATCGGTCAGCGGTCACTCACGTATCGCATAACTCCGCATTGCGCTGCGTGCATCGCTGCGAAGCGCTCGCGCATCGCTGCTTGTGAAAAAACTTGCTACGTGCGGGTCTGGGCGCTCCTTCGAAGAACAAACAATCATCAATTACACCTCCGAGTCCGTATGGAGCTCGTTCCACTCCTTCCGGTACTCCGCCATGGCCGACAGCGACTCCTCGGCCGGGCGGTACGTCGCGGACCGGACCGAGACGGCGACGGCGACGTCCTTGGCCGTCACGAGCGAGTACGCGTTGTCGAAGACCAGGAGCAGAGTCGTATGGTCTTTGGCGGTCCAGGCGCCGCCGAACTTGGAGCCCGCGGCGAACGTGGCCGACGGCAGCAGCCCGACCTCGACGGCGCCGCCGCTCGCCATGCGCCGCTCGCTCACCGAGAACCGCACGTCATGCGCGCGGACGCAGAACTCCCAGCGTAGGACGTCGTTCCCCTGCACGACGTAGGGCAGCTTGACGACGGCGCGCGGCCCCACGCGCACGCGGTCGCCGGCGACGGAGTTCCAGTCCCCAGCGTCGCCGAGCCGCGTCGCGAGCGAGTTCACGACGCGCGGAATCACTCGCTTATCGATGACGTCCGAGGCGCCGCGGAGCACCGAGTCGGACGCGAGGGCCGCGCCCGACAGCGCGGCGAGCGCGGCCACGTCGGGACCTGCGTGGTTTTTTGGTCGTTGTCTTTGTTGACCTTCGCGGCGAACGATTGGTCTCTCGCACCACGTACTGATGGTAGAGCCTCCTCTGACGCGTTGCTCTCCACGCCATCGACGAGACGCCGTCAAGAGTGTTTGACCACCAGCACGCCATCGCCGCGAAATGGAATCGGACGCCGACCGGGACCCGCCACCGCGCCGGCCAGGATCGTCGCGCCCGCCGCGGCCACGCCCCGGAGCTGCGCCCCCGCGATGCCGTCACGTTTTTCCGCGGGTGCTTCGGGCGGCTTTCGGCGGCGCGGCGGTCGCGGCGGCGGCGGGCGCGCCTCGGCGGCGGCGCGGCGCCGCCGCCAGTCGTCGCGGAAGGCGACGGCCTTCTGGAGCGCGTCCTCGCGGTGCCGCGCGGCCGCGTCGTGCGACGCTTGTACGTTGTGCAGGAGGGCGCGCGACGGCTGTGACGGTGGCTCGTCTGGCTGCTTTTCTGCGGGCGACGGCTCGTCGACGCGCTGTTCTCGTGCTCGGTCCTGATCTGCCTCCTCGAGTGCTTGCGCTATGGTTCGGTCTAGGAGCGCTTCCGTGCCGGCTAACGCGGCTCCGAGGAGTTCGACTTCGTCTTCGACCGCGGCATCGGCAGCGTTCGTGAGGGCCGCCATGTTGGCGCACCGAGGGCAGCCCCCAAAACGTCGCGATGGTGGTCGGGGTGTCGTTTTCGTGCAAGGGGGGGTGAGCACGCGTCTCCGGAGCAAAAAAAACGGGACGCTTCGAGTCAATCGCCTTAACCACTCGAGTGTGCACCGAATCATCGGTGTGCCACAGTATCTAATCGGTTGAACGATACTGACAGGACTCGAACCTAGGTGCTACTCTTCGGTGAGAAGGAGTAAGCGCATCTGACGATAATTGATCTCCGGCGTCCCAGTTCTGGGAGATATCGGTAAATCTTTCGGTTATATTTTGTTTGTAAAAAAAACCCTTTTTTTGAGATTTGCCCGTCTGTGGGCGCGCCAAGGCACCAAAAACTGCCGCCGGAGCTCTTCTGCACGCAACGACGCAGCACAAACGACCCCGCCCAAAACGAGCACCCGTAAAGGCCCTCCCAGAGCCCAATGCCCACCAGCCCCTCCAGCACTGCCCGCAGCGCCGCGTCGCCGTCCGCGGCCGCCAAACCGCAGCGAAACGGGCCCACAGCAGCGCGCATCTCCCTGCTAGCGGTACCGCTCCTGGCCATCGCGCTCTCGCGCCGACGCGGACCGCGCGTCTTCACGAAAGCCGAGCTCGCCCAATACGTGGACATCAAACACGGCTTAAAAGTAGCGATCTGCGGCCAGGTCTTCGACGTCACGAAGGGCGCCGAGTTCTACGCCAAGGGCGCGGGCTACGGCTTCTTCGCGGGCCGCGACGCGTCGCTGGCGTTCGCGACCGGCAACTTCAAGACGAATTTGACGGACAACGTCAGCTCGCTGGCCGACGCGCAGCTCCTCGACCTCCAGAACTGGGTCAACGACACGTACCACAAGAAGTACGTCCACGAGGGCGTCGTCGCGGGCTACTTCTACGACGCGAAGGGCCAACCGACGGAAGCCCACAAAGACTTCGACGAACGCGTCGAAAAAGCAAGGGAGGCCGCCGCGCGGCAGGCGCTCGACGTCGAGAAGTACCCGGACTGCGCGTCGCGGCGGACGCAGACGGAGCGTTCGGTCTCGTGCAAGAAGGGCCGCGTGCCGATACGCCGTCGAACAGAAACCGGCACCGAACGATGCGCCTGCGTCCTGGAACGCGACGAGGGGCTCGGCGCCAAGTACGAGAATTGCACCGTGAGCGAGGGCGGGCGGACGTCGTGCGCGCTCGGGTAGCAGAGGGGCCGCTCGACGGCGTATCTGCTCGGACGCAGCGCTGGAGGACGCGCTTCGTGTCATTTTCGCGGCGATGGCGTCATCTGAACTGTTCCGTCGCGGAGGCAGCGCTGCCAGGACGTGTGAGTCTTTCGCGCCGATGCCGCGGACCTGTCGCGGAGAACGCGCGGACGTCTGAATCTTCGGGGCAGTGTGTTGTTGTAAAGCGATGTTTCTGTAAGGAAATTAGTAACTCTCCCGCACGCCACCAACAGGCTCGTGCATCGCCTGCTGCCCCTCGTGGAACCACCCCGCCAGCGCGAACCGCGGCGCGTCGCCCTCGACCTGCGGAGGGGTGCACGTCGCGGCGATGGCGTATATACGGGGTAGAAGGAAAAAACAAACGGGCGCGGGAGACGAACGGCCAAGACCTCGTGCGGCACGGCCACCGAGTCGTACATCACGAGCCGCCCCGCGAGCGGCGCGACGTCGCGCGACTCGTACTCGCCCTGGATCGGCGGGTCGGGGTTGAGCGGCGTCCGCAGCTCCTCGAGCCGCTGGAACCGCTTCGCGAGCGACGCGTCGAGGAAGAGCGACTGGAGCACGAAGTCCGCGTTCACGTAGAGCGTCGGCGACGCGTGGAACGGCCGCGACACGACGGCGTCGCCGACGCGCAGCGCGCAGTTGCCCTCCTTGTCGTGGAGCCGCGACGCCAGGAACACGGGCCGTTCCACGGGGTCGGCCGCGGAGGCCCGGAGCCAGCCGACCTGCAGGTCGCCGTCGGCCGTGGCGCCCACCTGAGCGTCGCCCGCGATCGGCCGCCGCCGCTCGTACGCGCGGAGCCGCCCGCCGGCCACGTCCCGCTCGTTCAAATAAACGAGCCAGGTGACGCTCCGGCGCGTCGGCGCGCGCCAGCCCTCCGTGCCCTTGGTCTCCTCGTGGTGCTCGTCGACGTGCCGCGCGAGCGACGCGCCGGGCGCGAAGCGCGTGTACGAGAACTCGTGGCGCGCCGGCGGCGTCCTTTGTAGATCTGCGCGGCCGAGGCGCGCCGCGCAGGCGTCCCTTACTTTATCCATCGTCGCGGCGACGCGGCTCCGCGCGGTGCCTCTACCTACCCCGAAGTCGCGCCACACGCTCCCGCGCAGGACGAAGCGCTCGTTCCTCCGCTTGAGCTTCGTGTCGCGCGTCGGCGCCTGCGTTGTTGCGAGGGTCGCGGCGATAGGCGTGTACGGACGCTGGCCACAAACGGAGTACAAGCCGGCGTCCCACAGCTCCTCGGCGTCGCCCCGCAGCGCGGCGACGACGTCGCGCGCCAGGAAGTTGTCGACGACCGCGACGTTGCCGCGCGCGACGCTCTGAAACGCGTCGGCGGGCACCGATTCGAGCGCGGCCGTCGCGCAGATGAGTGCGCACGCGAGTGCGGCGTGCAGCTTCATTTGTGCAACGTGCAAACGTCGGCCTTCCGAGACGATCACTCGATCGCTGCGCGCCGCTCCGGTGCTCTCTTGCTTGCAGTCCGGAGCCGATCTAGTGTGCTGCTGATGTGCGTGCAGTTTCGACGCGCGTGCGCCTCCACCGTCGTAATGCGACAAAAAGGGCTGTGCCGGAGCGCTGATAACCTAATATCCAGCGCTGTGGGTCGCAAGGCTGATCGTGCTGATCAAAGCTAGAGTGTTACAGGCCGCTAGTTACGCTGCCCACGAAGCTTGGGCAGCCTGCACACAAAGCAAACAAAGAAAAACAAAGGACGAAAAGACACGCTCGGACGCTGCGAGTGAGACGCCGGAAGCTGGGCCAGGGGCAGCCCACACACAAAGAGGCAAAATGCCCAGAAGAGGCCCGAGCGAGGCCGACCTCTACCTCCTCTACGGCTTCGCCTCGGCCCTGGTCTTCCTCATGGGCATCATCATCGTGATGCGGAGCCGGGGCCGGCGCATGTACGACGTGGAAGCTCGAGGCGTCGCGCTCGACTGGGACGGCCTCAAGCATTTGTACCGGACGGGCACCTACGACGTGCGGGAGCGCGAGGCCTGGGACTCGCCGGCGGCGCGCGCGACGCTGACGGGCATCCCGCCGCTCAAGCGAGCGTCGAAGCAGCGCCGGGAGAGGCAGGAGCGGAAGGAGAGGAGAAGAAGGCGGCGCGAGGCGCGTGATACGCCACGGGATGACCTCGAAGCCGGCGTCGACGTCGCGGCGGCCGGCGGGAGCTGGGTGGAGGTGGAGCGGGCGCGCCGCGGGGCGGCGTCGCCCTGGGACTCGCCGCGCGCCACGGCGTCGGCGCCGGATCAAAACGGCTGGGGCCCGGACCAGATCGCCGACGAGATCCGGGCGCACATCGGCCGCCTGGACGCGGGGGCCCAGGCGACGTTCAGGCGGCGCCTGGGCGCCGCGGAGGGCGATATCGACGCGCTCGCGGACCTCAACGAGGCCGTCCAGGAGGCGGCGGCCGACTACGCGCAGGAGTAGTGTGGATGTAACTTGTATGTGGTTTTAAGCCTAGGTTGCGTCGGTGGCGTACGTGCCTGTCTTCTGTTATGGGTGGTGCCGCGCGCCCGGCCGGCCCGCGGCCAAGTCCGTCTTCAATGAAAGACGGCCTGCCCTCTAGTTTCTAGTGCTACAATTCCCGCCGGAGACCTAGGCGACGGGCAACGCTACCCACTCCACTAGCGTCCGCTAGAGTCGTTCACAGTTCGTCGAGCAAGCGCTGCGCGTAACGCGTCGACGCCACGGCGCACGCGGCGCGTGGAGACCGGTCGCTTGCTCTACACGAATCTACCACCGTCCACACGGGCGCCTGCGTCGAAAGGGCAGCCTCGGAACGCCCGGCGGCCGCGCACGAAACGACACCACAACAAGCATGCCGCCGGCCATGTTCATCAGCGACGCCGACCGCCAGCGGAAGAGGGACGCGCAGCAGAAGCAGCGCGCGTTCCTCGAGGAGCAGCTCGCGGACCGGCGGACCGAGCGCCGCGCCGAGACGCGGCGCGAGAGACAACGCGTGCGGTCCGAGCGCGAGGAGCTCGGCCTGGACGCGGACGACGCCGCGGATTTGTTGGATGCGCGCGACCGGCGGGCGCGCCGTAATCGTAGGTCGGCGACGCCGGAGGAGCCGCGGCGCCGCGGCCGCGACAAAGAGAACAAATCACCACGCCGGCGTTATGAGGATGACGACGACGACGGGGGCCTCGAGCCGACGCCGCCCCGCCCTCGACGCCGCCGCCGCGAGACGCACAAGGGCGCGATGCCTGGTTTAAAGCTGGGCCGGCGCCGCCGCCGCGACGAGGACGACGAGGACGAGCGACCGGCGGCGCCGCGCATCGCCACATACAACGACGATGATGACGACGGCGCCGCGATCCCGGGCATTGGAAGGGGCAGCCGCCGCCGCCGCGAGCCGCGCATCGCCACGTACGACGACGACGACGACGGCGCGGCGATACCGGGCATCGGGCGCGGGAGCCGCCGCAGCCGCGACGACGAGGACGAGGACGACGCGCCGCCGCGGCGGCCGCGCCGGAACGCGAAGCCGCGACGGCCGCGCCGCGACGACGACGACCTCTCGTCGCTGGCGCAGGCGTCGTTCTCGGAGGCGCGCGACAACCTGTTCGACGAGCGCCCGCGGCGGCGCCGCGGCAAGGACGACGACGCGCCGCGGCGCCGGCGCCGGCACCCCCCGGGGTGGCCGCGCGACGACGCTTCCGACGACGACGAGGCGCCGGCGCCGCCGCGCGTCGCCTCGTACGACGACGACGACGGCCGGACGGCCACGCCGGGGACGCCCTCGCGGTGGTCGGGGAGCGAGCGGACGGCCGCGACGCCGGGCAGCCCGCGGCGGTCCTCACAATCGCCGAAGGCCGACAAGGGCGGCACCTTCTACCCCTACTTCGGGGGCGGGGACGCGGTCGCCGCGCGTTTGTCGCACAACAAGTCCATGCGGGCCCTCGCCGAGCTCCAGGGCGACTCGCACGAGCAGCGGGAGGCGCGGCGGAAGAAGGAGGCGGACTTCCGGAGGTTGTTGGATGAGCAGCGCCGCCGCGATGAAAGACGAAAGAAGAAGGAGGCCGACGAGAAGCGCAAACTCGACGAGAAGGACGCGGCCGAGCTCTTGGCGGCGCAGCGCAAGTACCACGCGGAGACGGTGAAGAAGTCCGGCGTCCGGCGTGTCTCGCTCCCGCCAGATGACAAAGGAGAGGGTGCGGACGACGCCGAACCGGGGCCGCCGCCCGCGGAGCCGGAAGATGAAAAAGAGGCGACGTTCCGCGACCGCGACAAGCTGCCGCGGACGCGGGGCGCGCCCAAGCCCTGGACGCGGGGCGCGCCCCGGGCCGCCACACCTCATGATGATTTGGAAGACAGCGGCGGCCTTGAGCCGGCGATCCCGGGCATCGGGCGGGGCAGCCGCGGCAGCCGCCCGTCGACCTACGACAACTACAGCGACGACAACGAACCGCCGCCGCGGAAGCGCAGCACGCACGACTCGACCGCAGATTTGGAAGGCATGTACCGCGAGATGCTGCGGGAACAGCGCATGCTCCGCGAGCGCGTCGAGGAGCTCGCGCGCACTTCTAGGGAGGAGGTGCGTCTGAAGCGGCGCGACCGCCGACGACCGACGCCCGACAGCGCGCGGCCGTCGACGACGGGCTCGGTACAACCGCCACCGCCAAAGCGCGCGGGCCCGCCGCCGGACACGTGGCGGCCGCGGCGCGCGGGTAGACGATCAGGCACGGCGCCGGACGACCAAGAGTTCGGGCCGCGGCGCGGCGGGCGGCGCCGCGCGGCCGCGGCCGACCGCGAGTGGCGTCATAAGGGAGAGCCGTCCCAGACGAAGTGGGGCGGCACCATCAGTCCGAAGAAGGACCCCTGGGAGTTCAAGAAGAAGAAGCCCAAAGGGGCCGCCTTCGCTCATCAACCGACGATCCCGCGCAAGCCGCGGCCGCGCGCCTTGAAACCGCCGCCCATCCCCTTTGAAGCTCGGCAGACCGACGCTCCCAGAAGAATACGTCGTCGGCGCGGTGCACCGCCGCCGCCGCCGCGCTTCGACCCGCGCTACGACGACCGGCAGCCGTCGCCGTCGGCGCCGCGCTACGACCCGTCGCCGCCCAAGGAAGCGCGCCAGTCGCCGGCGCGCGGCATGCAGTGGGGCCCCGAGCTCAAGTCAACCTCCGAGTTTGTGGACGACGCGCCGTTTGCTTCTCCATCACCTCCTCGGCGGACGCTGGCCGACGACTTCTAGCTAGATGGGTATAAATTAGTACCTTGGCCAGACGACCTGCTCCGCGCCTATCCTCTCGAGGAACGAGAACCAGTCCAGCGTGGGTGCGCCGCGGAGGGCCCGGAACGCTAGTTTTGATGCCTCTGGACTGACCGGCTCGCGCGAAAGCTGGGCGTCGAGCGCCGGTCTTAGTGAGGTCGGAAGCGGCCCCGTCGGGTCGTTTTTGTTGTACAGCCGTCGCTGCTCGAGTTCGCGCATGTAGACCGCCGTCTCCGCGTTCTTGTTGATGGCCACGGTCTTGACGTTCGACGGCGACGCCGCGGTGCCGTAGGGCTTCAGCGGCCAGCGGAAGGGCAGCGCGGCGAGTCGTGCCTCGAATCCCGCCTCACTACTCACGTCGCCGATCGTCTCTCGTATCCGCGCCGCCGTGAGCTGGCAGGACGCGCCCGCGGCCGCCGGCACCGTCTTCCCGAAGCATTCCGGGCCCGCGAGCCGGCCGTAGACTTGCAAGACGTCCATGACGGGTACTGGCGACGTCGCAATCAAAACAGAGACGGCGAGGCCGATCATCTCGAGCCGCTCTTTGTACCGGACTCCCCAGACCTCTCGCAATCAATTATCTGCGATTCGTGTGCACTGTTCGACGCCGCCCTGCCGATGACACGAGGTATGCGCTACTCTCAGCACCGTACGCCCGCTCTGCGAGAGCACACTGCTGGCAGGCTGCCAACAGAGTACTTAGGCGTCCCGGTGAGGCCTTCCGTTGCTGCGGCTGATAGATTCTGCACGAATGCTAATTCTCTGTGCAGTCGACAGCGTGCGTTTGCTCTGTGTGACTGCTGTGAGCTTGCTTGCGCGCTAGCGGCATGTAACACACTAGAAAGAGTAAAACAGCCATAACCTGGCGTTGCGCGCGCGCAGCGGCTGCAAAACGTCGCCCAAAACGTCGCCGTCAATAAGACACAGCATCTTCAATCTCGCAAGCGCACCGTCTAGCCAGCCCTAGGCGTACCTGAGAGCCGCCGAGCAAGAGCACCGCACCAGCACCGCCGCAGCGCCAGTAGACAGTAGAACCAAACAAAATGTCCACGATCCACGTCGCCAACCTGAGCCCCGCCATACACGGCGACATGCTGCGCTCCATCTTCGCCCACTTCGGCCCCATCGCCGACATCCGCCTTATCAGTGGACAGGGCCCCGCGTCCTACGCCTTCGTCGAGTTTAGTACGAGCGACGCCGCTGTCAAAGCCTTAGCCATGTCCGGGTCGGAATTCGACGGACGGGCCCTGCGCGTAGAGCTCGCGAACCAGAAGGGCGGGGGCGGCGCGGTCCCGCCCGCGAATCCGCAGGCCTTGTCCGCGGAGTTGTTTGTGGGGGGGTTGGCTCCCTCGATCACCGGCGACATGCTGCGGATGCACTTTAGTCGGTGGGGGGCTGTCCAAGAAGCCAACGTCATGACCCATCGCCAGACGGGCGTCAGCAAAGGCTTCGGGTTCGTTCGATTGCAGTCCCACGATCAAGCTTTGGCTTGTGTGGGTGGCGCTCCGCACATCATCGAGGGCCGGACGCTCAACGTCGAGCTGTCCAATTTAGGCAAGAACGCGGCTGGCATGCCTCCCCAAGCGCCGGCGCCCCGAAAACGCAAACACAGTGTCGATACAGGAGAGGGCGACGGTCGGGGGTTGTGCGTCCAGCAGCTGTTCGACGCCGCGCCGGCGCTGGAAGCCTACGCCCAGAAAGTGGAAGCGGACACGCATGCGACCTGTGGCGCCTTTGGTAGTATCAGGAGCATCGGCGTCCCGCGACCGAAAGTCTCCGGTTTAGCTGTGTGGGTCGAGTTCGACGAATCGAGAGCAGCGAGGGCGGCGGCCGCGTCGCTCGCCAGTCGTACGTACGACGGGCGGACGCTCGGCGTCCGCGTTGTAGATAGTGGCGCGGCGCGGCGCGGCGCGGCCGAGGCCGCGGCGCCGTCGGATGGCGATACCGAGCGTTTGAGAGAAAAAGCGCGCTTCGAGGCCGACCAAAGTCGCCTGTTGCAGCGCCGCGTCGAGGACCTCGAATCTGAATTAGAGTCCGTCCGAGCGTCGGCGAAGAAGGACCGGGACTTCCAGAAGCAGCGCATCCAGGCGCTCGTACAACGCGTCGCCGCGCTCGAAGGGGGAGGTATTTAATGATCATGTACTTAGGTCGCAGTCGTGGTCCGCCGCGCCCCTAGCTTTCGCCAGGTGCCCGGGGCAGACGTCGCCGAACGACCGCCTAACACCGTTGAAGAGGAGCTTTGTGGCGGCCACTTTCTCAAGGGCGTCAACCGTCTGCGCGGTCCGACACCGCTTCCACCACGTCCGAGCTTCCATCAGCAAATGGTGCCTCTTCCCGCCCCCGTTGAAGTGGAAGACCGCCGGCGTACTTCCAGTCAAAGTGTTGCGCCACACACCGTCTACTTCCCGCAAGTGGGGCCTGGGATCACAGTTCGGCACCAGCGTATCGTCGTTGATGGAGTGCATCGCTTGAAACAATTTCGCGTGGTGGTCTAGTTGGAGGCCCGGGAAGCCCCGTCTCAAATACAATTCGGAGGCCAATTCCTGGTCATTTAATTTGTGGAAATCTACTGATGTAGCATCGGCGCCGATGGCTCTGAGAAATTTGGCAGCTACGGAAGCTCTGCCGGCCCAACTCCCGCTATTTAGGTAGCGGTAGGGCGTTGGAGATGGTGGATATTCGTCTCGACACGTTTTGCCCCGATCCCTCGTGACCTGCGGCCAGCACCCACATTCCGCCGAGAACACTAAGTCAGCTTTGATGGCGTCGAAGGCCTTTCGCATGGCTGATTCCCCTTGCGTGAAGAGCACATCATAGGCGTCCGTGAACACAACAGGGCAGTCGGCCGGTAATTCCTCGACGGCTCGTAACGCCGCTCCGAGCTTTTGACTGAGACCCTCCCACTTGACGCCCCAGCCGAGCACTCTGAGGTCCAGGCCGTTTCTTATAGCACTCTCTAGACTTCGACAGAAGCGGTCGTCCCGGCCCGGGTGCGACGCGTACGTTAATGCTACAATACCATGAGCGCACGTGTCGTTGCGGCTCGGCGGCTTCGGTGCGGGCTTTGCGGGTGGCGCGACGGTCGTTTTTTCGGAGAGCTTCGCGAAGAGGCCGCTGCTGTGGTGTGCCACGGGCTCGGGCGCGATGACGGGTTCCGGCGCGCGCGCGGCCCTTTGTGCTTGTTGCGTGAGTGCGAACTGGTAGTGCATGAAGCACCACAGGCCGACGCCTATTGCTACGAGCGCCGACACCGCGCGGCGTATGCTGCATGGTCGAGCCTGGCGCTGCCGCATGGTCCTAGACCGCTGCCATTGCTCTTTTGTGTCGCTTCGCCCCGAAGGCGTATGGTAGAGCGGTTGATTCAACGGCCCTTGATCGAGCAATAGCGCGTCAAACGAGGCTGCCCAACCTTTTTTCCTGTTAATCCGCATACGCTAACGTCCTGTAAAGACACTAGCAAGAGATTAGCAAGCTCGAAACGGTTGACTGCGCGAAGGCTCACGTATACGCCGTCGGGCAGCCTCATTCCTGCGCACGCAGCACCGACATGGACCGCCAGGCCGCCGCCGACTTCTGGCAGCGGCCGCCGCCGCCGCCCGAACCGACGCATTCGCGCATCTATGGCGGCCGATCAGCAGGGCTGCCGGGCACGAACTCCTACTGGGACAACGAGGCGCAGCGCGATCTAACACCACCTCCACAAAAGCTCTACCACTCGGAGACCGAACAATTCCTGCGCTGCGTCGAGGCCGTCGTTTCAGCATCGGACGCCGAAACGGCAACCTTATGCAGCTCATTACCTGACGGGGCGGCATCCAGAGACGTCTGGCAGCCTGTTGGCGACATGAGCCACGACGCAACAAAAGCATGGTACAATGAACGCCCCTTGCAGAACGCGCCGCAATTACCGAGAGACGCGACGACGCGTTTGGGAATCAGTCACGCGCGGCGCAAAGGCCTGGCGGTCGTGCCATGTGGTGGAGGCGAGTACCGCCTACCATGTACAGCGACGCCCGAGCTCTCGCGGTTACTGGCGACGCCGCAGAACTCTCTCCTCCACATCGCGGCGTGCCGCGGGTTGGTGGCGACGGTCTCCACCTTACTTTCCAAGGGCGCGGCGCCGGATTCAAGAAATGCGGCCGGCGAGACGCCGCGCGACGTGGCACATGCGGCCGCTGCTAAACGGACGGCGTCGTCGAACGCTTTGAGTATCGTGGAAAAATTAATGAAGGCGGCGACGCCGAAGAAAGTAGAAGGGCGCGCGCGGCCGACGTGGACCGACGCGTGGTTCGCGGTCCGCGACGCGCCCGACGAGGAAGCTCGAGCCGTGTTGGTCGAGTGCCTCGGAATGGACGGTAATTTGGAGAGGGGCTACGCGGCGGAGACGGTGCGGCCGGCGTTATCGGTGGAGGACAAGCGGAACATGAAGCTCATGCAGGACCGCGCGACGGCCACAACGAGGGCGCGGCACCTCGCCGCGCGCCTCGCCAAAAGGTTGGAGGAGCCTGATAGGGACGCTATTCAATTGAAAGCTGCGCTCAAACTCCAGCGCGCTTATAGGGCAAGGCACCGTCTCAAAAACGACGCCGCGGCGTCACAAAGAGCCCGGTCCCACTGGGCGACGGCGGCGCGGAAGAGCAAGGCCCTGACGGGCGACGCCGCGGCGCGTAAAATGAGAGACGGGAGAGAAGCGCTTGTGAATCGAAGGCGCCTCGGCCAAAGGGAATGGTACGACTTCTGCGGCGCGACGGTCGGGTTCACGCTGGCGCACCTCGCGGCAGCTAGGGACAAGCCGTTATGTTTGGCGTTGTTGGTGAAGGCCGGGGCCGATCCCGACGGCCCGGCCATCGCGGCAATTCAAAAACGCGACGAGGTCACGCCGCGGACGCTCGCGCGGGACGCAAATTCAAGGCGCTGCCTCGCTGTTTTAGGTGAAAGCTTAGATGTGCCTCCCCCGCCGCCGCACCCGAACCGGTGCCCCCATTTGGGGGGAGCGACGATGCGTTCTGTATTAGGACCGCCGCCCCAGTTTAGGAAAGCGGCGCCGAGGGATGTGTGGTACCGGACCTTCGACGACGTGCGGGACTCTCCGGACGAACAGGCGGCCCAAGCCATTGAAGCTTTTGCGAAGAATGCATCGGGCCGCTGGGGCCTCGACGCGCGGCGCTTGGACGGCTACGGGCCCGACGCGGCTCGTACGTTGGCGCACGCCGCCGCAGCTAGAGGCAAAGTTCGAACAATCGCCGCGCTGCGCGACGCCGGCGCGAATCTTGAGCTGCGGGACGTTAATGGATTCACGTGCTTCGATTTGCTGGCGCGCGCGGCCGCGACAACCGCGGACTTCCACAGCGTCGCGGCCGCCGTCGGCATCCAAATACCGGAGGTGGCGCCGCCGCCTCAAAAGCGCGACCCGCGGCTCGCCAAGGACCGGTGCTGGCAGGCGTTGGTGGATGCGCTGCGCGACCCCGAGCGGAAGGAGGCCGCGTGCCTGCCTTTGGCTCATGCTCTCGCGGGCTACGGCGGCGCGGACGCCTTCGGCCGGACGGCGTGGCACCGCCCGCACGGCGACTCGCGCACGGTGGTAGCTCTGGCCTCGGGGCGCGGGTTCCGGAAGGTCATGGGCATGCTTGGGCGGACTGGCGTCGCAGCCCGCGACACTGGGGAGCTCGGCGTGCCAGGCGCGGGGGGGCTCGTGGCGGCGCGATAAGGTTTCGTTTTTGTACTAGTGCGTGAATGGACCGCCGTTGTAGACACCCTCTGCGGATATTATTTATACGAGGCTATGAAAAATGTACTAGTAGGCGAGCGCTGAGACGCGCGCCACAAGATCAGAGCTCCATGAACTCGGGCTTGCCGCCGCGCCGCCTCAACTTCTTGCGCCGCTCGCGGTCCGCCTTGCGCGCCCACATCTTGCAGGGGTGGGACTCCGCGTTGCCCTCGACGGCGCAGAAGCTGTCGTGCATTTTCGTCACTTCGTCCCTGTTGCCGGCGTCACGAATGCGCGGCATCGGCAATGGATTGCCGGCCTCCAGCGCTGCGCGGCGCTCCGCGATCTCGACGCAGAGCGGCGTCTCTGCTTTTTCGGAATCGCACCAGAAGTCGTGCATCGCCTCCATCTCGGCCTGGACCTCGGGGTCCGGCGGTGGTACCTCCTTCGGTACCCCCCTCGGCGGCGGCGGCCCTCTCGCCCGGGGCGGCGGCATCCGCGGTTTCTTCCATTGGGGCGGCGGCGGCGGCTTTTTGGCCGCGGCGCCGGGCGGCGGCACGGGCGGTTTCTTCGCGCCGCCCGGCGGCGGCATCGGGGGCTTCTTCGCGGCCCCGGGCGGCGGCCGTGGCGGGGGCGGTTTGTCTCCCTTTGGCGGCGGCATGGGCGGTTTCTTGCCGGCGGCCGGTGGCACGGGCGGCTTTTTCGGGGGCGGCGGCGGGCGCGGCGGGCGCTCCTTTTTGGTGGGCGCGTCCTTTTTGGCGTCGCCTTTGGGCGGCGGCGGTGGCGCCCGCGGCGGCAGCTTCGCATCCTTGGACGCGGCGTCGGCGCCGGGCGACGGCGGCGCCTCTTTTTTGGCAGCAGCGGGGTCCTCCTTCTGGCCGTCGCCGGACAACCAGCTCCCCCAGGAGCCCGCGGCGGCGGACGTGCACAGCAATGCCACGAGCATGCGGCGAAGCATGGTGGCTAGTTCGGTTTCAGACGAGGGCAGCGATTTCAGCCGCGAACCTGCAACTGAGCCGCTCTGAGGCTCACCGCCTCAAGCTCGCGATTTTCGGCCGCGTGTCGAATTATATAAATCGATCTAGCGGCCTTAAAGACACTAGTCCGGCACTCGAGCTGCAGCTGCTCTGCCGCTTTTTGCTCGCGCTGCGTGCAGCGTTAGGACCTACGTAGAGCCACGGCTCTCCCTTGACGCCATCGCTGCGCAGCGGTGCACCCTGTGCCTTTTGATTTAAGGTGTAGCACAAGCAATCCAGCCCCAATCTCAGCCGCGCGCGCCGGGCCCAAGGCGGCCGCAAAAAACACCAGATCTCTGTCAGCAGCGATGAACAACGCCCGCGCCCCCTCCGGTTCATTAATAGCCTGCGATTCCAATGATGTCGTGAAAACCGCGAAGAACCAAAGAAAAAACAGAGTACTGGTCCAGCTGCCCGGTTTGTTGTCTCCACTAAGTGCGGGCGCGATCGGCACGCTGAAAAACATAGACGGAGAAACGCCGTCACTATCGTTAGATCTGCCCGACGGCTCGTCCCTCGAACTCACGGGACGGCGCCAGACCTCGTCAAGGGCGTTTATGAGTCTAAAAATGGGCGACGACGTGTTAGGTGTCAAAGATGTGTTTGAAACATTAATAGTCTTCGACTGCGACCAGGACTTGACAGATGCGCAAGCGGGAGACGCTTCTGCATTGAAAGGGCCCCCCGACTTCGAGTATGGTCTCTCAGCCGTCGCGGCGGCGGGCAAGGCCGCGAAGGCGCCTTCGCGGCGGTCTGGTGTCGTCTGCGATTCCAGTGGAGACGAAGAGGATGATGACGACCTGGACATTTTGGAGACGGAGCCGGGAAGTCGGCGGAGTTCCGGAAGGGCAAGGAAGCAGGTCAGTTATAATGTCGGTAATGATGACGACGACGAGGAGGAGGAGGACGACGATGATGGAGGTGATTTTGATTTGGATGACGAGGTCCCTCTGAGTCCACCGCCCAAACCCAAACGGAAAAAACGGGAGGAGGAGTTCGATCTCGACGACGAGGTTCCAATTAGTCCACCTAAGCCCAAGCCGAAGCCGCGGGCGCGCAAGGTCTCTGAACCAAAGCCCAAGGCCAAGCCGAAAAAGCGCGCTTCTTCGGACGACGACGTCGTGGAGCTCTCGTCCGACGACGACAAGCCAGCGCCGAAGAAACGCAAATCCAAAGCCGACTCCGACTCGGACAACGACTTCGAGGCCGACTCGCAGTCGCCCGTCAAGCCGCGGTCGTCGTCGTCGCGGGCGCGGAAGAAGGTGGGGTCGTACGCTATCGACGACGACGACGACGACGACGACGAGCCCGCGGCGGCCGAGGAGGACTCGGACGCGCCGATGGAGGACGACGACGACGACTTTGAATTCGAGTAAGGTTGTTCTCGTAGCTCTTGACCCTTCGCGCGCGTTTTTTCCAGCTTGCTAGTGTCTCACCTGAGCACAGCCGCTAAGCTTGGCAGCAGCTCGCGTTTGGCAGCTACGCCACTTACAGATTGCGCCGAGCCGTGTGATTGCAGGGAGTCGTAAAGCGAACCCCACGCTCCGAGGTGCATCGCTTTTTTGCATCTTAGTGCATCGATTTGATTGCTGCAGCAACTCTGCCACCTTGTTGCTGCAACTCTACGCGGAGCATCGATCTGCATTCTGCTCGCTGCAATCGCACAGATAATCGTCCTAGCTGCTGTACACCAACGATGGATGCAATGCCGCACACCAGCGCCATGTGGGCGGCCGCCGACGCCAGCGTGCGCGCGTCGGCGAAGCATCCGTTTCTGCTAGCGATGCTCGACGGCACGCTGGCGCCGGTCAAGTTCGAGTACTACATCCGCCAGGACTCGAAGTATTTGCTCGACTTCGGGCTCGCGCTGCGGCGGCTCGCGGCCCTGGCGGGCGACGAGGAGGAGGCACTGGCTCTGAACAATTTCGCCGACGGCGCCGATATTGCCGAGCGGAGCCTCCACGCGTCGTTCTTCGCGGCCTGGGGCTTGGGCGAAGACGCCCTCGCGAAGGATGAACAAGCTCCAACGACTCTAGCGTACACGTCGTTTTTGTTGAGATGCGTCGCCGACGGGTATCGCGAGGGGCTGGCCGCGCTGCTGCCGTGCTTTTGGGTATACCACGACGTTGGCGTCAAGATGCTCGAGTTGCGCGCCACGACGTACCGCGACGCGACGCGGGCGCCGCAGCTCGACGCGTGGATCGACATGTACGGCGGCGACGCCTTCGCCGACGCCGTCAAGCGCTACCGCGCGCTCGTAGAACGCGCGGCGGCGGGTGCGGACGAGGCGACGCGCGCGCGCATGACCTACAACTTCCGCCGCGCGTGCGACCTCGAGTGGATGTTCTGGAAGGCGGCGCTCGACGAGACGCGATGGCCGACCTACGTCTCTGCGGTGCCGATGGTGAGCATGGATAGCATGGACGTGTAGTCTCTAGCCTATAAGTGATCCTGATTGTATTTAACTGGACCTTAGAAGTGACCTTAGGGTACCCCGCGCGAGGCGCCCTCACCGCGTCTTCTCCCAGTCCTGAGGCTGAGGCTGAGGCTCTTCGTCCGAGTCGGACTCGTCGTCCTCCTCGCCGCCGCCGATCCAGCTGCGGCAGCGGTCGGCCGCCGTGTTCGCCGTGAGGGTCGAGAGCCACTTGATGGAGGGCCGGGGGCAACTCTTGCTGGTGACGGGGCCCGAGAGCATGCGGTAGACCGTCGCGGCGCCGGCGGCCCGCAGTTTGTCGTGCGCCGACAGGTAGCGCGAGAAGTAGCAGAGCGAGTGTTCCATGTCCACAGCCGTAAGGGGCCTGCGCCGGCCGTCCTTGACCTGGTACGGGAACGCGAGGCCGAGCTTGGCGAATTCGGCGTCAGCGTTCTTGGCGAGCCAGGCGATGCGCGCGACGACCTCCTCGTCGTCTAGCCGCTTCGCCTTCCAGAGCGCGAGGACCATGTTCTTGGGGCCCGGACCGAAGGAGCAGAACTCTTCCATGCTCGACACGTCGAGCCGCGGCGCGAATTTCGTGAAATCACTCTTGCAGACGCCGTAGGCGAACGTCAGGAGGCCCTGGCCGCCGACGAACTGCCCCGCGCCGGAGAGCAGTTGGACGGCCGCGCACGCCTCCTTCCAGGTCTCGGACGCGGCGAGCTCGGCGACGACGCTGTCGATCTGCTTGAGGCGCTGGTCGTAGTAGGAATCCACGAGGCGCCTGCCCTGGACCTGGTAGCTCGCTGAGAAGAATGGGCCCGGTTCGTTGCGCATGATTGGCTTTGCGAATCGGATGAAGTTCTTGACCTCCTCACGGTTGGCCGGGAGGTTGAGGCCCTTCATTTGACCCTTGGACATGCGGAACCAGTCCCCGGGCGTCTGTTCCGTCCAGCGGCGGAGGAAGTCTACTCGCCAGCCGTCCATCTCCGCGACGCACATGGAGAGAGCCGCCGCGATGCCCTCGGGCGACTCGAGCGTGAGGCCCAGGTGCTCGATCTTGGCCCGCACGAAGTCCCCCGTCACGCGGTCTCCCGAGTCCAGATAGCGGCCGACGTTGCCCCACTTGGCCACCTCCATGAGTTTCTTCCCAAAACCCCAGCCTCCTTGGCCCTCCGTCGGCAACTCCGCGGGCGGCAGCTCCACGCCGCTGCCGACGACGCGTTCTCGCGGATACATGCGGCGGCGCTGCGTCGCCCGGAACCAGAGGAACTCGTAGTAGAGCTTGGCGACGCGCTTGTCCCGCGGGGCGCCACATTCTGCGCTCGTCGGCCCGCTGCCGCCGGATCTCTTCTGCTTCTTGCGCACGGGCGTGCCGGCCGGCGCGTCGTCGTCGTACGAGTCGTCGTCGCTGCTGCTCTCGTCTTCCATCGGCTGCTCGCGGAGCAACAGGCGCTCCGGTATTTGCGTCTCTTCGCCGTCGTCGAAGCTCACGTTCCACGTCGTCTCGCCGAGGCGCTTGTCCAGCGTGCCCCTGGCAGGTCCAGCCTTGTACTGCACCCAGGCAACGTCTCCATTCTTCCAGACCTTCGCAGCGACGCGGCGGCTCCTGCTGCTCATGATGAGATGCAATCGCTTGCAGATTAGGCAAGTAGGCAACACAGGGGCAGCTTTTTTTTGGGAGAGCCCGAAGCCTGCTAGCGCATGTAAGACACTAGCAAGCCTTACAGCTTGGCAAGTGGTGCAGCTTGCCTTGCTTGCAACTAATCGCGTCTAGAACACTCGCGCTGCAGCGCATCGATCACCGACAGCCGTGCGGAGCATCGATTTTGCAAAGCAACACCTAGGATGCGCCTGCTGACCCTGCTCCTCGCCACCACGATGGCCACGATGGCCGCAGCTCTCCGCAAGGTCCTCGTCACGGGCGCCAACAAGGGCATCGGGAAAAGAATAGCGACACGAATTCTCACCGACGTCGAGGACAGCTTCGTTTATTTGGGCGCGCGAGACGCGGGCCGCGGCGCCGACGCCGTGGCCGACATATTAGCGGAGTATCCGCAAGCCGAGGGCCGCCTCGAGCTCCTGGAGCTCGACACGGAGTCGGACGCCTCCGTACAAGCGGCGGCGGCGAAGGTCGATTCCTTGTGGGGCCTCTGCAATAATGCCGGCGTCGGGTTTGGTAGAACCATCGCGGACACGCTCTCCCCCAATTACTACGGTAGTAAACGCGTCTGCCAGGCGTTCCTGCCCAAGGTCGAGAGCCGGATCTGCAACATCGGCTCGGCGTCGGCGCCGAACTTCGTCAGCGGCCTCGGCGACGCATCCCTCAAGGCCTTCTTCACGTCGTCGGACACGTCCCTCGAGGACCTGGAGAAGAAGCTTGATGAGTATTCCGCCGCGCCGGATTACGAGGGCGTCGCCTACGGCCTCTCGAAGGCGTCTTTGCATGTCCTGACGATGCAGCTCCAGAAGGCGCACCCCTCGTTGTTCATCAACACGTGCTCGCCGGGCTACGTCCTCACCGATTTAACAGCTGGCATGGGCGCCTCGAAGACGCCGGAGCAGTCGAACTGCCACGTCGCGCCGCTCCACATCTTGTTCGGCGACGACGTCGCCCACGGCTGGTACTACGGGAGTGATGCGGTCCGGTCGCCGCTCGACGTCTACCGCGGGCCCGGCGACGCGCCGTACGAGAGCGATACTTGGTAACACATCACAATTTACGTAGGAAGCCGCCGCTGTGCTGCGAGTTGGCAGTAGCGCGAGGCGACCGAGTCCTTGAAGTGCCGCCGCGCGAGCGCCTGCGCGAGGTCCGGGGACTCGCGGAGGACCGCGGCGCGGGCCGCACTACATGTGCGCAGTGCGGCCGGGTCCGGCGCGGCGGCGCCGTACTCGGCGACCTGGCGCTCGTGCCGTGTGACGGCGGCCGCGTAGAGCGCCGCGTCGCGGGGCGCGCGCGCCTCGACGGCCCGCCGGAGCCACGAAGGGATGGCTCGGCCGCGAGGGGTCTCGCGCGCGCGCGCCGTCGGCAGGAGGCACGCGGCCTCAGGCGGCCAGCCGAGCGCCGCCGCGAAGAGCGCGAGGGACACGTTCATGGCTTCCGTGAGACCCACGACAAAGGGCGCGAGCGCGTCTTCCGGTGGCCCTGTGCCGAGGACGTCCTCGTACTCGCGGAGCCCTGTGCCCTTCGTCTGGTCGGTGAAGCGCGCGTCGTAGGCGTCCAGCAGTTCCGCGAATGCCGCGGGCGTCGAGGCCGCCGGGTCCTGGAGCAGGGCACGCGCCTTCGCGAGCAGCGTCGGGTTCCTAACGAAGGGCGGGCGGAAGAAGTAGGAGATGAGCGAGAGGGTGCGGTCGGCGGGATCGCGCAGCATCACAAAAAGCTTGGAACAGTTCGCGGCTCGAAACGGCGCCGACCCGTGGAGCGCGTACGCGCGGGCCGTGCCGTGCCGCCAGGGCGGGAACGCGCCCTTGAGGCGCGCGTCGGCGCGGCCGCAGCGCTCCGGGAAGACGCCTCGCCGCTGCGCGCATTCGAAGAAGCCCGCGGCCGTCGTCGAGCCCACCTTGTGCAGCTTGAGGAAGATCGGCGGTGCGTCGCCGCGCGCCGCGCCGGCGGCCGGCCGCTCGCTGAGGCAGACACCGACTGCGAAAGCTATCAGTGCCTGGCGGCTCGATGCGCTGCCTTGCATGTTGATGCAATCGATTTGAAAAGGCGACAGGGCAGCCCTCCCTCACTGTGGTCGTTGCGGATCCATGTGCATGGCGTCGTGGGCAGCACACACTTTGGACCCTGGAATCTGAAAATTAATAGCAACCATGCTAGCGTGCGGGCTGCCGCTTTCAGCGAAGCTGTGACGAGTCGGGACGCCTGCGAGTCGCTGAACCAGCGATCCATGTCACCACAAAACCCGTCCTAACCTACTAGTCGGCGACGCTCACCAAAACAAGCAGCTAAAATCGCCGCGCGCAAGCCCACAGCTGCGCCGCAACAGCCAAACACTCGTCCGCAACAGCCAAACAGTCGTCGCAACCATGTCCGCCACCCTCGAAGAGCTCGAGAAGCAGGCCGCCGAGAAGACCAAGAGTCTCGAGACGGAAACGGTCCACCGCATCCGCATCACGCTCACGTCGCGCGACGTCAAAGCGCTGGAGACGGTCTGCGCCAACCTCAAAAGGGGCGCCGTCGACAAGAAGTTGAAAGTGAGCGGCCCTGTGCGCATGCCGACGAAAAAGCTGCGCATCACGACGCGCAAGTCGCCCTGCGGCGAGGGTACCAACTCGTGGGACCGCTTCGAGATGCGCATCCACAAGCGCGTCATCGACCTCCACTCGCCGTCCGAGGTCGTGAAGCAGATCACGTCTATCCCCATCGAGTCCGGCGTCGAGGTCGAGGTGACGATCGCGGACGCCGAGGAGACGACGAAGTAAGCGCTTCGCCGTCGCTCGGGCGCGCCCGTCGGGCGGCACCTCACCCTGACCGTGTTGGTCGGGGGAGGCCAGCGGACCATCTGTGTCCAGCCGTCTCACTTCTCGCGTGGCCTAGGCTTATATTTAACTACCGCGTTCGCATCTACAAATACCACAGTTAAACAAATCACCCCCTCGCCGCACTGTACGTCCGCCGCGCCGGCACTGACACGAGTTCACGACTGGGCAGGAAGACGCCCGTCAGTTTACCACCATAACAACAGCCCGTGTCCAGCCCGATGGCGAAGGGGAATTTTTGCAAACCGCGCCGCGCGTCGTGGCCGAAGATCACGAGCGGCGCCTCATCTCTTAGTTCCGCCCAGGACGCGTCGCCGGGCTTTGCAGAAGGCGCGCCTCCCTCAAGGGACCGCATCGTCGTCATGTGTTGTGGAGACTGGTCCTCCAGCTTTGTGGAGGGCCTCAGCCCGGCGTGCACAACAATTGCATCGACATGCGGCAGCGTGAGCGTGTGCGGTAAGTTACGAAGCCACGCCGCATCATCAGTACTCATGTCTCTCACATACGAATACTCGTCCTTCAACTCATCCACCCCATCGAACAACCGCAAACATTTGTCGTCGTGGTTGCCGCGCACTGCCCAAATTTCATGCTCGCGGCAGTAGCGGATCACCTCGAGCGATTTGGGACCCTTGTTCACAAGGTCGCCTACCAATACAAGTCGCGTCGCCCCGTCGTCGTACTGCGCCTTCCTCAGGAGATCCTGGAGCTCGTCGAGGCAGCCGTGCACGTCGCCAACCACGAAATAGCGGGCCGCCGCCGGCGCCGTCGCGTGGCGCACCGGTCTCGCGCCGCCGACTAAGGTGCTCAGGAAGGCGCCCATGACGCGGCGCATCGATTTGTGAGCTCTGCACCGCTTGCGCCCGCACAGCTGTGGCGCTTAGGCAGCCCAGGTGTGGAGGCGCCCTGCACTCGCGAGTTTCAGCGCCGCAGCGGTGGCGTGCTCGGTACGACGGATCGATTAGATGCCGCGTGGCGATCGGGGGTGCCAGAGCGTCCTTGTTTGCCGTTTTTTAGCTGAGCTTGCGAGCTAGCGGCCTGTAACACACTAGGCAGCATGCAAAAAGCAGCTGAAGTGCCACTTACGCTGCCGTAGAGATCAAAATCCGGACTCGTCAGTTTTCCTCTGTGAAGCCAACATACGTGCGCGACGCTGCATACGGCAATCAGCTGCCTACACTGGGCAGCAGCCACTCAGCACCACTCAGCATCAGCACTCAGCAGCGCTCAAGCAGCAGTCGGTCAAAGCAAAATGTATGCCACCCTCAAGCAGTTCGGCCTCCCAGCCGTCGCCGGCTCGACGGCGGTATTGGCGAGCCACCCGCTGGAGCTCGTGAAGAGCCGCCTGCAGCTCGACAACGAGTTACGGGCGCGAGGCGCGAAGTCACAATATAACGGCTGGCTCGACTGCGTCAAGACGTCGTGGGCGCGGGGCGGCGCGCGGGACCTGTGGCGCGGCGTCCAGTTCGGCGTGGCGCGGGAATTCGTCTTCAACGCCGCGCGCATCGGGAGCTTTGATTTCTTTAAAGTCCTCCTCGCGGATTTCCCGCCGATCTTCGCGGGCTTCTGCAGCGGCGCGCTGGGCGGCTGCGTGGCTAATCCCGTAGAGGTGCTCAAGGTCCGCGCCCAAGCGTTGGGCGGCTTGACGGGCCACCAACATCACAAGTCGGACGTGGGCCTCGTCTCCACATTACGGCGCGTCGCGCACGAGGAGGGCGGGCGGACGCTCGCGACGACGGGCCTCGGCACGTCCATCGTGCGCGGCATGCTCGGGCCCGGCACGCAGCTGCCCTGCTACTACGAGCTCAAGCGGCGGTGCTCCCTGATAGGTTTCGAGGGCCCCCTGGCCCACGGCTTCTGCTCCGCGGCGTCCGCAGGGGCGTCCATCCTCTTCTGCAACCCGGCGGACGTCGTGCGGACGCGATTATATAACCAGCCCCCCGGCAAGGCGAGATACCGCCACGCCGGCGACGCGGTCGCGAAGATTCTGGCGACGGAGGGCCCGCTCGGCTTCTACAAGGGCGCGCTCAGCCACTACGCGCGGCTCGGGCCGCATTTGGTACTGGTGTTCCTCGTGCTGGAGCGGTTGAGGGTTGTCGTCCCGTAACGGAACCGGCACCGCCACGCTATCGAGCAGGCGTCGCGTCGATGGCGTGGAGGTCGACGCGACGATCCAGGGCAAATTAATATGTAGTAGTATGTGCTTAGACCTCGACGACGGGGTCCGCCGAGCCGAAGGGGTCGTCGTTGTTCGAAGCGCTAGCGCCACCACCCGTCGAAGATGCAGTTGAACGCTGGGACTGGTACTCGTAGGCCTGGCGCGCGGCCGAACGCCGCCGTCGCGCCTCGAGCTCGCCGAAGAAGCCGCCCAGCTCCTCGTATAAACATTGGGCCGCGGGCGGCTGCTTGACGCGACCTCTCAAAACATCGGCAGGAGCGACCTTCTTGCCGTAGAACTTGAGATTTACATCATCCCGCACGCGCAGATTCGCGCCGTTCAACGAGATGCCCCCATAAAAACCGCGCGTCTGCGAGTACGTCGTGGAAGTCGTCGCCGACGCGTCCGAAGCACCGAGCACCTCACCGGACGCCGAGCGACCAAGGGGCCCCAGGGCTAGTGACGCGTCGAACCCCACACTGATCTTGGTGGTATGTGCATCTGCCAATTCGGTAACAGCGGTGTCGTCGAGAGCTGTCACCGTGTCGGAAATCCCGATGCCGAACATGGCCCCGAAGGACAAGCCTAGCGTGCCGACCGCACACGGGGCGCTCCACGACCCGTCCGGTAGCTTCGCAATGACTAGTCCCGTACCCACCCTTAAACCACCAATCATCGCCATCTTGGCGATTGTGAGAAAGAGTAACCCTCGAGCGCCTTGCAACTGATCATGGAACACCTGGGCGTCCTTCTCCCAAAAATTCACATTGTCTCCTAGTAGATTCCTTAGGGTAATGCCTGCCTTCCGGACTTCCCCTCCTAATGTGAAGCGTAGAGGCGAATTCAGATAGCGTGTAGACGCGTCGTTATCAATGTGATTGGCCTTGTTCTGATTAGAGTTCGAATCGATCCACTGCTGCTGGTAGGGCTGGACCTGCGACGCACACGCAGCGCACACCTTCTGCGGGTCGCGCGTAGCGTAGCCACAGAGCCCCTCCCACTGCGGCGGCATCAACATACTTCGCTGCGTGCAGTTGTAGCAGAAGACGCCGCCACAATATCTACAGTGGTGCCTCCGCGCGAACGTCTCGAACCGCGATCGGCAGGTGGGACATTGATCAACAGCGGCATCAGGCTGCCAGGCCGGCGGCCGCTCCTTGAGTTGGGGTGCGGGCGGCTCGCTGGCGCGCCGTTCGACGATATCGTCCCTGGAACTGGTCGTCCGTCTCGGCTGGTCGCTTCTTCTAGGGAAGCTCTCTGTGGTTGAGCGGCGGCGCGGGAAGTCCTCGGTCGACGCCGCGGGGGCGAAGTCGTCGAAGCCGCCGGCGTCGAAGTTGGACATCTTCGTCTCGGGGAGGCTGTGCTTTTTACCAGGCGCTCGAGCTCGGCTCAAATTGCTCCGGGGGCTAGTTGCCGCTAGAAGCAATGGCTGGTGTGCCAGCCTCGGTCGTACGGCGCTTGGGGGGTGCTTAATCCAGCGCAAACTTTGCAAAAGCCGGCGCCGAACGCGCTAGCGTCCAGTAAGACACTAGCCAGAGGACGGCCATCGACTTGCTCCGCTGCGTGTGTGTCGCTTAGCGTTGTCGGCTGCATACGTTTAGCTCACAAAAAATCACCGTTCAATCACTCGCTGCGCCTCCGCCGACGCCGAGCCGCGCCGCGCCGCCAAAACACCCGCCGAGCAGCGCCGCCGCCAACCAGCCAGCCGCGCGCCGACGCCGCGCCGAGCGCCGCCAACCAGCCGCGCGCCGAAGCGCCGCCGCCACCACCCATGGCGGACACGGGCTTCAGCGCCTGCGCCGCGGAGAACTGCAACGCTTCGTATGATGAGCTCCTGACGAACATCAGCCCCTACGCCTGGGCCTACGCTGGAATAGCGTTAGGCCTCGGCCTGAGCGTCGTCGGCGCGGCCTGGGGTATTTGGTTGACGGGCTCGAGTTTAGTGGGCGCGGCGGTCAAGGCGCCGCGCATCCGCTCGAAGAACCTCATCAGCGTCATCTTCTGCGAGGCCACCGCGATTTACGGCGTCATCCTCGCCATCCTGCTCCTCTCCAAAATCGGCGACGGCTCCGAGGGCTCTTCCGGGAGTCTCCCGGAGGACTGGAACTACAACCAGTGGTATTTTGCCGGTTATTCATTGTTCGCGAGCGGGCTGGGCGTCGGGCTCACGAACGTCGCGTCCGGTGTGAGCGTCGGCATCGCGGGCTCGGCCTGCGCGCTCGCCGACGCGCAAGATGGATCTCTTTTCGTCAAGATCCTGATCGTGGAGATCTTCGCGTCAGCGCTGGGCATCTTCGGGATCATCGTGGGGATCATTCAGAGCAACGATGCTGAATTCCCGTCGACGTAGTCGAGGGCAGACTGGTAACAAGTGTTTAGTTGAAACAGGCTTCTTTGCATTCACATTGTTAATACAGGTGCCCATCTTTCAGGGCCCCCAGACTACTCTCTCCCCCGGGCCCAATCGAGTACGTTCGAAAGTAGAACGGACTCCCGGCCGAGGGTCTCCTCGCCCCTCTCTCTCTCCAATTGGCCGCGTCCCAAAGGCCCCACACGAGGCGGTCCAGAAGCAGCGGCGGCGGCAGCGGCGCGGCGTCGGGATCGTCGGCCGGCACCCCGCATAAGGTTTTGAGCCCGTGGCCGTCGTCCACCTCGACCAGCGAAGCACACGCGGTTTGCGCCTTGGCGAGCAGCGCCCTCGAGTCTGCAATATCCACAACGGTGTCGCGCTTCCCGTGGACGACGACATACGGCCCCCCCTCCGGATGACCATGGTCTCCAGACGTTGATGCATCCCAGGCGGGCGGCGCTGTGCCGCCTGGGTAAAATCGTCGCTCGGGGAATCTTCTGCGCAGGTGTAGAAGAGGAAGACGAATATGTGGGTCACTTCCTCGCCGAAAAGGAAATTCGCGCGATGGGTCTCGCAAGATCCGGTGCATAATGTTCCGGTGCGCGGGGCACAGGAGCACCGCCGGACCAATCCAGAAGCCTCGACTAATCAGATCCAGGCACAGCGCCCCGCCGAAGCTCGAGCCCACGATTACGTCGGGCTTGAAGGCGGCGAGCGCCTCGCGCTGAAGCTCGAGGCACTCCTCGTAGTCGTGCACGAAGCTCGTGGCCGTCGCGCTGTTCGGCATGGCAACGCAGAGGCTGTGCTCGAACCGCTCCGCCAAATAACGGGCCTTGAGGCCGTGCGGGCCGCTCTCGAGGCCGTGCACGAAGAGGACGCGGGGCGGACGCGCGGCCTTGCGCGCGGCCTCCTCGCGCCTGACTGCCTCGCGCGCGCGACTGGCTGCCTCGCGCGCGCGCCTGGCTGCCTCGCGCGCCGGCCTGGCTGCCTCGCGCGCCGCGGCCTCGCGCGCCGCGGCCTCGACCTTGGCCTTGGCCTCCTCGAGGGCCGCTGCCGACGGCGCGCCGGGCGCCTCGAAGTCGCGGAAAGCTCCAATATCAGACGTATTTTCGACGACTACCATCATCGGCGCGCCGACCGGAACCGCCGTGCCCGCGGGCTGCAAATGCTTGGCGACGACGCCGTCGTCCCGCGCTTCGAAGTCCACGGTCGCCTTGTCCGTCTCGACCTCCGCTATCGAATCGCCCGCGCCGAAGGCTTCTCCTTCCTCGACGTTCCACTTCACGAGGGTCCCCAACTCCATCGTTGGGCTCAGCGCGGGCAGACCGACGACGTTGTGCGACGGGTAGGAGAGCGGGCGCCGCGCGAGGCCCGCGGGCGCTGCCCGGGGCAGCGCAGCGCGCGCGCCGCGCAGCAGGCGCAGCATTCCCCCAGGCGAGCGTGCGTTTTACGACGAGCGTGCGCTGCTCACTCGGCTGCAGCAGTTTACAAGTCGTACCCTCTGGGTACTCGTACCACGACTGCAGCCAATCGGCTGCCCTTCGCCGCGATCCCGGGCGGAACCCAGCACGGCAGGGAGATGAAATCTGCCATGTGCGGGTTTTACACGCGCTGGGCCAAGCCGGAGGTATATGTAGCTCGCGAAGAGCCCTGCGAGAGGCTATTGGAAATCGTTTTTCCCGGCGCTCGGGTGCGGGGTGCGTATGCAGCGCCTCGTTGGGATATTGCCAAAGGCCATAGCGCGACGCTGTGGCACCGCCGCTGCCCCAATAGCGCGCAAGGGGATGGTGCGTCGAGGAGGACTCCGCCGGGCGGCGAACGTGGTCGTGCGGGAGGCCCGCGCCGCGCGGAAGCAGGTCACAGTGATGGGCGGCGCCTCCACGCCCGCCGCCGCGAAGATGCGCCCCGTGGCGCACACGCCGGGGCAGCTCGCGGCGGCGGCGGCGTTCGTGCAGGCCTGGCAAGCGCCGACGCCGGCGCCCGTCGCCGACGACGCGGCGTCGTCGTCGATGGCGTCCTTCGACGACGAGGGCGGTACGCCGTCGCGGCGCACGCTCAGCTTCGCGGAGAGCGAGACCTTCTCCGAGACGGAGAGCTCGCCGGGCGCGCCGAGCCCGCCGCGCCCGCGACGACGGCCGTGGCGGCATATACACCTCGCGCTGCTGGCCTGCGCGCTGGCCTCGGGCCGCGCGTCGTTCCGGCGCGAACCCCCGAGGCCGGCGGGAAAGGTGCTCCTACCGGTGCGCGGAGTAGGCCTCGCGGACCGGCTGCTCATGTAAAATACAACATTGTTTACAAAACCACGCCGCGCGCGATCGTGCGCTTCTTGTCGATCCGCTTGCGGAACTTCCGCCACTCGCAGAGCTGCACCTGGAGGTCGTAGATCGTGAGCGCGTCACTAATGGCGCCCGCCGGCACCGACGGGAACCGCGCGCGCGTCCGCGCGGCGACCCAGGCCGCCATCGGCGCGAGGCGCGGCTCCACGTCCTGCGACGCGAGGTGGTCGAAGAGCACTTTCAGGCGCCGTTTCCGGACGGCGTCCCCGCCGCCGCGCGCCCCAAATAAGTAGTTGAACGCCTCGTCGGCGCCGTCGCCCACCTCGCAGCTCTCGTCGAGGATGCGGAGCTCGGGCCGCCACAAGTGGTTCGTCACCAAGAGGACCTTGGACATCGTCGGCCCGATGCGGTCGAAGCCCCTATACAACGCGTCGAGGGACCGCATGGAGCACCTGCCCGACGACACAGACGGCCACGCCGCGAGGCCGATCTTCGCGAAGTGCGCCATGCGTCTACATATATACGCCGGGTAGCGCTCGCCGCCCTCGCCGCGCTGCGGGTACGAGTTGAACGCCTTCGTGTGCAGCTTGAGACCGCGGTCGCGCCACGCTACAACTTTCTCGTAGAGCGCGCCGCCCTCCACAAAGGCTGTATCGGGATCTAGGATGCGCGCGCCGCGCCGCTCCTCGCCTTCATACACCTGATCGGTGTCGAGCGCCCGACTAAAGTAGGGGTACACGACACTCTGGAAGAGCGGGCACCACCTACTTCCAGAAAAGGCCGTCGCCAGCACGAACTTTTCTTTGTCATTTAAATCCGGCGCCGTCCTTAGCTTCGTCATGAGGAAGAGCTCCATCTCGCAGGTGACGGTGTGCCAGGGCACCCACCGATCTCCAGCAGCCGGCCCATCCAAGAACTTCGCCATGAGTTGGGAGCAGGACGCGACGTCGTCTGGAGACTGAGTATCGATGCGGCGCATCTCGTTATCAAAGGCCTCGAAACTCTCATCCACAATCTTGCCGGCCTGCCACCGGAGCTGGCACAGCAAGAACTGTAATAAGTGAGCCAGTTCCTTCTGGTTGATCTTCGCGCCCGCCATCTCCCTGGCGCTGATCGCCGCCGCTTCGTTTTCTTTCTTCTTCTTTTTTTTGGGCGGCTTCTCGTCCCTCCACAACTTCGGCGCCTCCCTCCACAAGATGGGCCGCGGCGGTGGCGACGGCGGGCGCGGTTCTACAGGTTGAGGGGTGACTTTGTGCAGGCCGAGCCGCGGCATGGGTTCCGTGGCTTTTTGGGGCTTCTGCTTCTGGCGCTGCGGCGGCGGCGCTTGAGCTGGGTGGGAGTCCATGGCGTGCAAGACTTTGTGGCGTATCAAGCGCTGGGCAACCCCACGAATCTCCGGTCGTTCGTTTCACTGCGAAACTGCTCTCTTTCAGGCTCTCAAGAGCTAGCGTGCTCGGAGAGCGCATAGACACACTAGCATTCATGCATTCATCCGCTCTTCACGCCGATAGCGACCGTATCACTCACTTCCAGCCTCGTTGTGGCGCAGCAAATAGCTCGCCGCACCTCCACGCCCGTCTCCGCGGCCGCCGCGGGCACCTATGCTGCCCTGGTACCAGCAGGCTAGGGTCCTGCGCAAGCTCACAATAAGCGCGACGGGCTTGACCGCGTTCGTGTGCGTCCTCCACGCGGACTACGGTGAGAAGCCGCACGCCTTTAGTTGGTTGCAATCGTACTACCGGGCCGAGGTCGTCGAGCCTTTACAACGGCAGTACGCGCGCTTAACAAAGAAGGATGACTAGGCCGGACATGGTCTCCGTGCTAAGCCAAGGCGAGAGTAACTGTGGGAGAAAAGCTTTGAGGGATCTGAAGTGGCGCCAGCGCCAGACCGGGAAGACGATGTATGAGCTCGAGATCAATGCCGACCATACTCTGGTACTACAACAAAACCTCGCCTCGGAAAATGATGGAACGGGCACGGGCGGCACGGTCTGGCCGGCGGCGCACATGCTCGCGCGGTACCTCGCGAAGAGGCGCTTTCCTAGTGGATGGACGTGTCTAGATCTAGGTACTGGCACGGGCGCCGCCGGGTTATCAGCGGCTGCGTTGGGCGCCTCGAAGGTCGCCCTCACGGACTTGAGCCACGCGCTGGACATGGCGCGTGTTAATGTGGAACGGAACGATAGCAATGCTGAAGTTTTTGCGCTGGACTGGTCAAATCCGAGAGATTCGGAGGCCTTCGATCTCGTCCAACAGTACGATGTCGTGCTCGCGGCGGAGTGTATCCTACCAAAGTTGTACCCGCTGGAGCCCTTCGTTGGTTGCCTCGATAATGTGATTGGTCCTTCGACCGAAGCTTTAGTGGCTGTGGAGCTAAGGACGTGGCACGAGTTCGATCCTAAATCAAGGTTCGTGGAGTTATGCGCTTCGCAAGGTCTGAGAGTGGAGACAATCACCGAAGGTCTGGACCCTGACTTCATAGCGGACGACCTCGAGATTTGGCGCGTGACGCGCGGCGCATCCACAGAAAAGCAGCACGACTGGGTCCAGGTGACGAAGTGGGACGCGGATGAAGTAAGGCTGGACTGCGATCTCAAAGAGGGGCGCTTTTCTGTTTCTCACGTCCAGCAGCGGAACATTTCGGAGCGGACGTGGCCGTCGTCGATCGCTTCGAGTCGGGCCGTCGTGACGGGGTTTTGGGACATTAATAGAGGTGCGCGCGTGCTGGAACTTGGCTCAGGTGGCGGCCTCGCGGCCTGCGTGCTGGCTCGATTGGGGTGCGTAGTCACGGCGACGGATTTGCCGGCGAATCTCCCTCACTTGGAAGCGTCCTTAGCAAGGAACGGCGTCCTCGCCAAGGTCCAGGTGCGTCCCTTAGATTGGAGCCAGTCTCCTGCAAGTGTCGTGCCGTTCCTGGACGAAAGGTGGGATGTCCTGCTGCTCAACGACTGCGCCTACGACGCGGGCGCTTGCGTGCATCTCGCGCGGACCGTCGCCGCCTTGTGCTACGCGAATCCCCGAATGCAAATTTTGGTAGCGAACGAGCCGCGGACGGCCCTCGAGGCCTTTTTGCGGGCGCTGGGCCGCTTCGACTGGTGCCCGCTGTTGGCGCCGTGCCTCGACGCGTCGTCGGCACTCTGGCACGTGGACTGTTTGCCTCCTTCCAGACAGCCGTGTGCGGCCGTGGCGTTGTACCAGAGCTGACACCGACGCGACGTCTCCTCGACGGCGTGGCGGCGCACGGCTTGTACCAGAGCTGACCCGCGCCGTCGACGCGACGTCGTGGAGAGTAATTCCCAGGATAACTTTAGGAGCACTAGACTAGGCCTCGCCCCAGTCGATGTCGACGCGCGTCACGCGCGGCTGCTCGGCCAATAAGGTGCGCGTCACGTTCGCCTTCGACGGCGCCTCGCCCTCGGGCGCCTCGTTGTTCACGTAGTAGCCGATACGTAAAAATTCTTGGCCCCGGTACGCGCAGCAGACGAGCACCACCGTCACGCCTAAGAGGTCCGCGGCCGGGATTTTGGCCGGGTCCGGCGCGTCCGCCGAGAGCACAAATCTAGAAGTGCCCGCCGGCACGGGGCCCACCTCGACGTCCGCCAGCGTTTGGTCTCTGGCGCTGTCGTCCGCTGAACCAACATAAACGACCGACCATTCCAAATCGCCCGGTAAAGCTCTCGTACTTTCAAACGTAATTTCAAAATCCAGGTCATCCCCAAAGTTCGCCGGGTTCTTGAGCGGGGCGACGTTCGCCACGGACACGGGAGAGGGCTGCGTCTGCTTCACCTGCGGCGGCGGCTCGTGCGAGGCCGCCGGCGCGTCGTCGGCGAGGAAGTCGTTGTCGTCCTCCATGGGCTCGTCCTCGTCGGAGCGCGGCTCGTCCGCCGCGAAGTCGGCCATCTTCTCCGTGGCGCGCGGCTCTTGTTCGGCTGTGGCGCGCAGGTCGTCCCTTGGCGCGCTGACGTGCGGCGGGCGGGTGCGGCGCAGCCGAGCGCTCACGCGTGACAGCGCGGGCAAAAAGCAAGTGCCACACGGCCACCGGGGTGATCCGTTTCGCACTCCGTTGCGCGAGCACTCAAATCGGCCGCGGGCTTGCTAGTATCTCTACAGTCCGCTAGGTTGAATCGAATTAACTTTTTCGAGCACAGCGGCAAATCTGTGGCGCTGCACACGCTCCCGAGTGGATTTCGTACGTTATTGATGCTCGAAACCACAGCGCAGTCCAACTTGCCGTGAGTTTTTGGCCATAATTAAGCTTAGCAGGTCCTGCTCGCGGCAGCGAACCCGTCGCAGCGATGGAAGACACCGATTCGACGCAGCAGGAGCAGCAAGTTCTTGTGGCAACTATGGAATTGCCTGGCCCTGTCGGAAAATCCGCGGAACGAGGTGACCTGCAAGCCGTCGAGGCTTGGCTCGAGGGGCCGTCCTCAGGGATCGATGCCATGGACAGCTATCGGTGGACTCTTCTCCATCACGCGTGTTTGGCAAATCCGATAACCGCGGATAGTGTGGCGGTAGCTGAGTACCTTCTGTCCCGCGGTGCGTCAGTGAACATCGGAGATTCTTCAGTGTTGCACTGTGCGGTTGCGCGCCCTTCCACTAGTCACGCAACCGACATGATCGGTCTACTCCTGCGCGCTGGGGCTGATGTTGACGCCAGGGACGATGATAGCATGTCTCCGATCGCGTGGGCCATGGACGAGATCATGAGTAACCGCAGTGAAAGTGATCTGACGAGGGCGCTGGAATGCGTGGTTCAGCTGTTGAGGCACGGCGCGTCGTTAGCTGACGGTCATTTTGGTTTGAAAAATAATGAGCATGTACATAGTGAGCCCCGTTCGCTCGAGGATTTTTTGGCTTTTCGAACAGAATTTGAAGGCCTCACCACCAACAGGCACTGGATCGATTGCCAAGCCATCGTCACCGGTGTGAAAACGGCCGGGAGCTGGCGGGCGTTCCGCGACGATAAGACCAATCCGTGGCGAGCCTACGAGCGCGTGCCGCGCAAGGCTGTGCTCCGCCTGCGGTCCCTCGTCGCGCGCAAACGCGCGAAGACCACCAACCCCCTGTTCAACGCCCTGTTCGCCAGTCCCAACGAGATCGTCTGGCACGTGCTGGGCTTCTGGCGCGTGCGTATCCCGTCGGAGTAAGTGTATTTGTATTATTCACTATCGTCGTCGCTCGCGGACACGTCGAAGGCCGCGCCCTGCACCTCAGTTATTTCTGGGTCGTCGCTGCGCGGCCAGGGCCCCGGCGCCAGCGCGCTGAGCGTCCGCGACCGCGCCGCGCCGCCGAAGACGGCGACGGGGCCGTGGGCGACCTCGTAGCGCGCCGCGTACTCGCCGCGCTCCGTGTCATGGCACTGCGCGCACCGGAACCCGCGCTCCGTCAGCTGGAGCCACACGCCGCCGTTTTGTATCGCGACCGTGCCCTGACAAACAGATAGCCTCCAATTTCCCGGTAATAGGTCAGCAAGGTGCTGCGCGTCCCGCCGCATCTCGCCCTCCAGAGTTAATGAAGGTGCCTCGAAGTCGAGCCAGTCCGCGTCCCAGTTCTGCGTCGTCTCGACCCAGCTCGGCGGCGTGCCCGTCGCGGGTCTCTCACCTTTCTCGAAGTCCGCCGACCAGCGGTACCAGCCGTTCGACGCGCCGACGAGTTCGAGAGCGACTCGTCGTCTCGAATGCACCAGTAAACACGCCTCATCAAAACCATCCGTGAAGCGCGGGACGGGCCGGCCCGCTCGCGCTCTGTATAGTTTCCATTGCGAGAGGACCCGTTCGAGGTCGTCCATGGACCGCAAATCATCTAACGTCACGAGGTCGTCGTTCTGGGACTTAGGATGCTGCGGCCAGCTCCAGCGCCGCGCCGCGAGGCGCCTCAGTCTAGTGCCGTCTTTTATAATATCTCGGGCGCCCGCGCAGCACGCCGCGAGCTGCGCAGTCGCCGCGGCGTCGAGGCGTTCGAGAACGAGGATAGGGTCTACCGGGAAGAGCCGGGCCATTTGTTTCGCCGTGTTGGCCTTCTGGCGCTGTGCTCGCGTGCGGCTGAACATGGTCCTTTTTCGTTTGCGCTGCCGACGATGTGGGTCCGGCGCGGGTGCCCTTGCGCTGTGCGGCTCCGATGCCCGAGTGCACGAGCAGCCCTACGCCTGAGACAGCCCACCAACACCAGCACTGGAGCAAGACAAGCTGCGCCTCAATAGCGATATTTCAAACCTCAACCAGGCACAAATTTGCCTCCCAAAGAAGGCGTGGCCGTGCGTTGCAACAAAAACACTCTGGCTCCGCCTAGTGTGTCACCAACGCTAGTTGCGTTTTTTGGCAATTTGCCCCGCTGCACGCGTAGCGTTGGACTCAGTGCGTCAAAATTGCCGTGCGGGTGCCTAAGTTTCACACCTGAGCCGCAGCAATAGAAACGCGCCAAAACGCAGTGCCAGCATTGCTGCCAGTGTGCAGCCTGCTGCAAGCACCCACGCCGCGTCGCAGCAAGCGCAGTATTGGCGCGTGATCAGTGGAGCAGCGTTGCAGCAAGCACAGCAATTGGCACGTGATCACTGCAAGCAATGGCGGCACTCGACGAGACGGACGCCGCCGAGGACAATGAGGACATCTTCGACCCGGGCCTCTTCCTCAACGAGGACTACGTCGAGCACGCCTACGAGCTAGGAGACGGCGCCCAGCAAACGTGCCTCTGCCTCGAGGGCGCGTCGACGGACCACGATTTGACGGGTCAGGTCGTCTGGCCGGTGTCGGTCGCGCTCGCGCGTTTTGTGGCCGCGCGTCTGGATTCATTGAAGGGCCGGCGCGTCGTCGAGGTCGGCGCGGGCACGGCGCTCGCGGGCCTCGCGGCGGCCCGCGCCGCTTGCGCGAGTGTTGTGCTGACGGACGGCTCCGACGTGATCATGCAATTGCTCGAGCGCGCGCTGGCGTCATCAAACGTGACCGCAACTCTAAAAGCGCCGACGTCCGCGCGCAAGCTGCTCTGGGGCGACCGCGCGTCCTTCGACGGCATTGGAACTTGTGATGTCGTCCTGGGCGCGGACGTCGTGTGCTGGCCGCGCCTCGTGGAGCCTTTACTACAAACCGTGCGCGCGTTATTGCGGGGGTCGGACGACGGCGTGTTTTACTGCGGTTTTGTTAGTAGGAGCCAATTGACGGAGCGGCTCTTCTTCGAGAAAAGCGAGCGTTTTGGTTTTGTGATACGCGAGCACACTCTAGAATCCTTCCTGCCGGACCCCGTGCCCGAGGCCTGTCGCTCGAATATGGAGTTGAGGGTACTCGAGCTCCGGCTCCGCGGCGACGCGCGCGGCGCGCCGGACGTCTTCGCTTCGGACGACCCGGCGAATGCTGAAGCCACGGGCGACATCGCGTGTTGAGACTTGTGGCGCCAGACCCACGCCATCGACGCGGCACCTTTGTGCTGAGAGAACATTGTAATATTTAATTGTGCTACCGCCGTCGGCCGCGCCCTCGCCCACGCCCCCGCGGCGCGCGGCCGCGGCCTCGAGGCGCCCACCGCGTCGCCGGCGGCGGCGGCTCGGCCATGGATACGACGGGCGGCGGCAGTTCATCCGCGACCCGCCGGAAGCGCACGAGGTCGACGGCGACGTCCCGTGAATTGTCCGCATGGAACGCGTACGTTTTTGGCAAATCAAAACGCAGCTCGGCGACGACGTCCGCGGCCGCGCCCCACTCGTGCGCTCGTTTCAGGAGGAAGGCGCGCGTCGACGTCTTGTGCAGCGAGTAGACCACGTCACATAATGAGAGAGCGGCCCTTACAAAAGCAGCGTCGATTCCCTTTTTCCGCGTGCCGAAGGGTGGGTTCATGACGCACGTGTCGAAGGCGTTGCGCAGCGGGAGTTGCGCGTTATCATCAATGCGACACCTCACAAAATCGACGACGTGGTCGACGTCGCATTCTGCGATGTTAGTTCTCGCCAAAGCAAGGGCGTCCTCGTCGCAATCCACACCGACCACAATGCTAGCACCCGCCAGCGCGCAGGCGCAGCTCAATATACCCGTGCCGCAGCCCAGATCTAAGACACGCTTGTCCAAGACGTCGTCCTGTATGTGTGTGATGATGGCGGCGCCGAGTTCGGCCGACGTCGCGTACTGTTCTAGTTCGAACTTTATTTGATCGGTGTCGAACGGTTTCAGCTGTTGGAGTGCTGCTTCTAACGAGAAGTCCTTCTTTCCCATCTCTTGTGCTGCGCTGCTGCACTGAGGCTGCAGTGCTGCTGCTCAGGCTAGGTATTCACTGCAGCTGGTCATCCACTGTCTGCACGGATGCATCCAGCAGCGCAGCCGTCTGTGCGCGTAGCGTTCCAGTTCACAGCAAGACGTCCCGTACCCTGGCTTTTGCCGGCGTGCAAACATGGTGCTAGCGGCCTGTAAGACACTAGCCCGCATTTCAAACGGGACCCCTCTCCCTTTGTTTTCTTTGTCTAAGCCTCGGAAGTCACCCTCGACGCCTCTCGATACGGCTGCTTGATCCTCGATAACTACTCGCTTCGAGTTTGCAAAGGCGCATCGGGAACCGGGACGAACTCGACGGTCGATTATAGTTGGCAGGTTCAAAATCTCGTGGCACCGCCCTGGCCTGAATACCTTTACTTTTCCCACCGACGCCGACGACTAACAAAGACACAGCGATGAGATAATCAAAGGCCTAGAGGCCATCGGCACGGGAAATAACACCGATGCCGCGCGTGCTCCTCCTACTGACGTTCCTGAACGCCGGCGTTGTCGCCGCCAATCCGACGGCGGGCCGCTGGAATGTTTCGGCGTTCCGCCGCCGCGCCGTCGGCCGCCAGCGTTACGCGTGGCCGATTTTGAAGATCAGACCTCCCAAGGCCTGGAGTTAACCGCACCGTCGTCCGCCTATGATTCCGGGAAAAGAAGGGTGGCGTCGTGCTTCGGCGGCCTCGCGGCCTACTCCCCGGACATCTTCCGGACATGCGAGTATGCGCCTCCATCGAACGACCCCGAGGGCTGAGACTTGGGCCGGCACGTAGGCTAGCCGACCGGTTGGTCTCGCGCGAGAGGGCCACGCGACGGTCAGGCAGGAGCCAGCACAGGCCGCTTTGGCCTCCACGCGCCGTAAAACTGCCGCAAAAAATGGCAGAGCTAGCGCCCTAAGACACTAGGCAGCTAGAGCCCTGGAGTAGTTTTGCGAAGCCAGCCGGTGCGAGCCACACGCTCCGTCGGCCATCGGTCAGCCGCGTTTCCAGCTCTCTCCCACCCCTATAAGGCCTGAGCAGCCATAGAGCCAGCTCAGGCGCACGCCCAGCCATCGGCGACCCCAGCCAAAGAGAGGTCTCTTAAACCAAAACACAAAAATGCGCCTCACCGTCACGGACCACACGCGGGGCGACGCGAAAGAAGTCCGGGCCGAGGTCGCGACGACGCAGTTGGGCGCCGTCGTCGAGAAGGCATTACAGGCGACGTACGGCGCGGGCAAAGCCCCGCCGCTCTGCTCCATCACCGCGACGGTCAACGGCGTTACTAAAGCCTTCGATACCATTATAGAAGAAAAAGACTCCATAGACGTCCACCCGCTCCTCGCGCCCGGCGGTCCACTAGTTGTCCTATTGGCGGACGAGTCCGGTGCCGTTTTTGCCACAGCGGTCCAAGAAGTCCCCGAAGGCGAAGCCTCAAGGGACTTCTTCGAGTCCGTCGTTCTGTTCGCCGTGGACATGGCCTTTTCGAAGCATGCGGCCGCGCAGGGCTGGGCGTCGGAGCCGGTGCTACGAGGCATCTCCAAAGGCTCATATAGGATGGAGCTCCAGGTCTGTCTCGAGGACAACTTGCCGTCCGATTGTACCGGAAAAGCCGCCTGCCAGGCCGTGGAAGGGAACACTTTTACACCGATGGCCTATCAAACAATCACGCTCGAAGACACACTAGAGCAGGTCTGTCGCAAAGCCTTTGCGAGCAGGCATGGAGCGTGCTGCTGCATCCGGTGCGACCTGCGCGGGTTCCGGGCACCGGCGGCCACGGAAGTGGTCGTCGCTCTGTCGATCACGGGACGGCCCGAGCCCGCCATCACGGCCAAATTACTCGATGCGGATCTAGCGGGAGTCGCTTCGAGAGACGTCCTGCGGAAGATCCTGAAAACCCGCTTTTTGGAAGCCGAAAAACCCGCGAATTACGAATTTGATCTCCAGCCGGCGTCGGCGCTGGATTTGTTGTTTGGCCAGGCGAACCACGTCAAGGAGGGTACGGTAGATAGGTTGCTGGACGCGCCGGATGTGGTCTTAAAGTGTCGCGCGACGGACGCGGCGGCACCGTGTGGAGCTTTTCTAGACGCTTCGTTAGATGACCCGTTGCCCGTCGCGCCGTCGTTACCTCCCTCCTCGACGTTGTGTGCGCAATCTCGACGAGGCGGCTCCATCACTCGGTTAAGGCACAAGCGCGTCGACTGTCGCGTCGAGAGCTACCTCCCCGAGGACGAAAGGCCGGCGGAAGAGATGAACGCAGCTATTTCTCGAGGACAACAACAAGCGAAATTAGCACCTCTGTCCAAAACGCCGGTTCAGAAGACGCCCAGGGAGGTCCTTGTGCTGTTGCGGGACCGAGACGGCGCCTTGGCGTATGAAGCTTTTCCTTTACAACAAAAAGGCTCCATACCAGCGGTCGTCCTAGCGGAGGAAGCTCTGGCCGAATTCAGGAGGGCCAACAACCTCGCTGAGTCCAATGAGCGCCTGACGGGCCTGAAGTGTTGCGTGGGACCGCCGGGCATTGAGAACGACGCTACTACTATTATTGATACGTTCTTGGAGACGGCGAAACCACTACAATCATCGAAGGAGATGGACCCTCGAGAATCCTTAGATGCGGTGCTCCGACGGAACGTAGAGATGAGTCGGGACGCCTTCGATAAGACCGGGAGACGATATGCCGTGTTGTGGTGCGCGTCCCCGAGACAGTTAGTTTCCAGTTGCACGGTGCAGCTCCGAGTCGTCGCGCAGCGCAAGGTGGCTTTTTCGATGCAGCGGCGCTGGCGCGGCGTCGACGTGCTGGCCATGGAGACGTCACAAGTCGTGAAACGCGTCGTGAGCGGCTTGGAGGATGAGAAGCCCTTCGAGCGGTGGGCGCCGGCCTACACGCCGTCGGTCGCCGACGTCGAGGCCTGGTTCGCGTCCGGGAACTCCGTCTACGTGTCTCTGACTGCTTCTGATTCGACCTTATCGACGCGACCTTGCAGGAACGGCGGCACGACGATCCAGGAGGTCATGATGTCCACAACGAGTCCGAAACGCATCACATTGGACGTCTACGCCGATGAATTGGATGTGGAGTTTCCCTCCACACCAGACGCCGCCACGACAATCGCGTGGCGCGCCGCCTCGCAAGGATTGGGTTTCTTCGAGTCCGAGAATACTAGTATAGACTTTGTGCTCTGCCAGGAGCTTTCTAGTACTTTGAAGAGGGCGGTCAAATCGGTCGGATATGCGGCGACGCTCCAAGCGCCGTGGGCCGGTCATGAACGAAAATGGCGGCTGGGTGTACTTTGGTTGGCCGTTTGTAGGAAGTGTACGGAGTATTTGAGAGATGGTGCTTCAGAAAGAGACGACCTCGTCGCGAGGGTCGCGGAGGCGGCAGCCCAAGGTCTAAGAGGGAGACAGCCGGCTTTATCCTTGTTACATGCGGTCATCGTGGCTCGGTTCGCGAACGCGTCGCACGAAGAAAAGCCGCAGAAGCTCTTGGGCGTGACGGTCGAGGGCGCGCGGACTTCGGTAGAGATACGGGCGGGCATGCTGACGGCGCCGTTGCAGGGCCCCGACTTCACGGGCTATGACGCGGACCAGCAGAAGCAGCTCCAGACGTCTCTCGTGAGGACGGCCAAGGCCTTCTCGGTTATATCCGACGATCATGCTTCATTCCTAAGGGAGAAATTACAAATGAACGCGTCGCACGACGACGATCTGTGCATGCGAGCTTTGCACGGGTTAGATGACCCGAAAGTCACGCCCATCAAATACGATGATGATGAGTTACTTATATCGATCTTGGCTCAAGTGCCGTCGAAATTACCGTGCTTCGAGGTCGTTCCTACGCAAGTGGTGGAAGCGCCGGAACCGGAGCCGGAACCATCAAAGAAGAAGCGGAAGGCCAGAAGGCGACGACGGCGCGCGACGCCCGTCTCCGAGGACGACGAGGGCGACGAGGCCGCGTGCGCGGCGGCGGACTTGGCGCGGACGTCGAGCAAGGCCGACGCATTAATTGAGGCGGTCGACGCGTCGGTGGCGCGCTTCGACGGGTTGTCGGCGTCCGTGCGAGCTTTGGCGGACCGCCAGGCGGCCGAGGAGGCGTGCGCCGCGGCGCGCGCGGCGCTCGATGCCGCGGATTGTATCGCCGCGGCGGCCGCGGCTCAAAAAGCGCTCGACGCGGCCGACGCGCGGGCCGCGGCGGCCGCCGCGAAGGCGGCGCGCGACGCCATCGAGGCCAAACAAAGGGAGCTCGAGGCCGCCTCGGGCGAGTGGACGACGACGACCACCAAACGCGACCGCAAGGCCGAGCGCCGGGCCGCCGCCGAGCGCGAGCGCAAGGAAAAGGCGCGCCGCGCGGCGGAGGCGGCCGATCGCGAGCGCGCCGCCGCCGCCGAGCGCGAGCGCGCCGCCGCGGCCGAGCGGGAGCGCGCCGCCGCCGCGGAACGCGCGGCCGCCGCGGAGCGCGAGCGCATCGCCGCCGACGAGCGCGAGCGCCTGGAACGGGCGCGCCTCGCGGCGGAGGCCGCGGAGAAGGAGCGCGCCGCGGCGGAAAAGGCCGCGGCGGCGGCCGCCGCCGCCGAGCGCGTCGCGCGCGAGCGCGCCGCCGCGGAGGCCAAGGAGCGCGACCGCCGGGACCGGGCCGCGGCGGCCGAGGCCGCGGCGGCGGCGGCGGCCGCGACCGCGCCGCCGCCGCCCGCCGCGTCGCCTGTGAAGGGCCCGCCGGCGCCGAAGCCCGACGACCTGGCCGCCTTCCCGAAGATGGCTGCAAGCAGCGCGAAGGCGAAGCCGGCGAAACCCGCCGCGCCGGCGAAGGCCGCCGCGGCACCGGCGAAACCCGCTTCGAAGCTGAACGCGAGCGCGGGCGAGTGGAAGCCGTCCTTTGTGCCTGCGCCGGCCGCGAAGCCCGCGAAGCCCGCGAAGGCGTCGGACTACGAGCCGCGACGGCCAGCGCCGGCGCGGGAGTCCGACTACGAGCCTGCGAAGGCGAACCGGCCATCTCGCCGCGCGAACAAAAAAGGGGCCCGGCCGCCGGCCGTCGCGCCTTTGCCGGCGACCGCGCCGACGCCCGCCCGCCCGGCGTCGCCCGCAGCCGCAGCCGCGCCCGCGCGGGCCCGCCCGGCCTCTCCCGCGCTGCCAGCGAAGCCGGCCGCGGCGCCCGCGCTCGCCGGGCCCGCTGCTCCGGCGCCGGCGCCCGCTGCCGCTCCGGCGCCGGCGCCCGCCGCGGCGCCGGCCGCGGCACCTGCGCAGAAGTCGCTCTTCGACGCCAAGGAGGGCAACTGGGGCGACGACTCCGACTCCGACGACGCGCCGCGCGAGCGCGCCGAGCCCGCGTTTGAGGAGAAGCCCGCGGCGGAGCCCGCCGCCGAGAAGCCGGCGCGGTGGCCCCGAGCGCAAGCTCCTCGCAAGTCGCCGCGGGCCGCCAAGCCGGCGAAGTCCGCCGCGAAGCCGAAGCCGGGCGCGAAGCCCAAGCCGGCGCCCACGAATCCGGCGGCCGCCACGGCGCCGACCAAATCAGTCCCCCAATTCAAGACGGCGAAACCACCACGGGGCAAGAAGAAGAAGTCCGACCCGGCCTTTGATAGAGCCGGCTTCGAGAGGCGCGGCTTCGGCATCTTTGAGGGCTAGTAGTAGCCAGTTAATGTTCGTTTCAGAGATAGTATGTTCGTTCAACAGATACCGTTTAACAAATACCCCCCTACCGCGACGTGTTCGCGAGCTCGGCCGCCGCCGCTCTCAGTAATACCCTTTGCAGACTCGCGAGCGTTGTCGGAGGGAGCGCTGCCAACGAGGCGGCGTCGAACACGGCACAAGTCGCCGCCGCTTCGTTGCCGGCTCTAGCTGTGAACCGGCGCGGCCTTTTCAGTAAGAAATCGACGTACCCCGCAAAAGCCCCCGCGTTGACCACAAGCCCGACGCCGTCGCGCTCCTGGAAGGCGCCCGTCTCGAGGTCGTTCGTGATCTGTCTCAATGAAAGCGCGCCCGTGACGACGCAGAAGAAGGACGCGCCCTCCTCGCCTAATTCAAAAGCCGCTTCTCCGGCCTTCAAGCGCACCTCCTTGACGCCGGCGTCGCGCAGCGCCGCCTCCGTCGTCTCCAAATCAGAACTTTCCAGCACGACTCTTGCTAGATAGCGCGCTGCCGCTCTAGATAATGGCAGCCCGGTCGATAGGCCGCGCGGGCTCCTCGGATCGTCGAACGAGAGCGCCCGCGCGGCCGCCCCGTTCCCGCGCCCGCCGGGCATCGACGCCGCCCGCTGGGGCAACAGGAAGCGCCGCGGCTGGTCGCCGTCGTCGTCGATGAGAACGCGACGGCGAGGGTGCTCCGGCGTCGGAGCCTGAAGCTGCCGCCCCTCGGCCCAGCGCACCGCCTCGTCCATGGATTGGAACGTCCGCACACTACTCCCGCCGGCTTCGTAGACGCCGTGGATCCGCAGCAACGCGTCATTTTTAACTCCAAGACCGGCTAAGGCCACGCCGAAGCCTTTTGCCTGGGCCATCGACGCGAGCGGCCGGAAGCACGCCCGACACGCACTGGCGTCCAGGCCATCGACCAACCGGCAGTCCAGGACGACGACTCTACTAGCGTGGTCCTGGGACGCTTCAAACAGCGACGACGTCTCGTCGTCGTCGTCCGCCCTTCTCAAGGCCTTCTTGATGCGCGCCAATAAAGACGCCGCCGTCCCCCACCAGATCCGTCCTCGCAACTCCAAAACGATTAAGCGCGATCTCAAAACTCTAAGCTTCCGCGCGTCTCTAGGTGCCCTTGGTGCACCCAAGGACGATCTTATAACGCGCTGCGGCGCGTCGGCTTCGATCTGCGCCGCCACGGTGGTGAAGGCGCACGCCGCACAACCTGTAACTAAACCTCGCACCAGCCCCAAAGCCTGGATCGCCCCTAATGTAATCCAGACCGAGGCGTACTCGGATCTCGTCGACCACTTGTGTCTAGATTGTAATAACCATTCATCCATCAGATCGACGCCGACAAACGCGAGTGTTGCCGCAAAAAAAAACAACGGTAGCGCGCCCAATAAATCTAGTTTTGTGGCACCAGCTATCACCTCGCAAACAACGACAACTAACCCCGCGATACGTGAACGACATCCCGCGCGGCACGTGAAGATCGTCTGCGAGAAGATGTAGCTCCCCGTGAAGCCGCCCAGCATCCCGGCGACCGTGTTCGACACGCCTACGGTAGTTAATTCCGCGTCCATGTCGAGAGGCTTTCCTAGATCCACCTCAATAGCTGCGACGTCGAGGCACGACGAGAAGCCGACCACGACGACCATGCTGCACCAGATCGGGAATAGTTGTGGTAAAGCATGCCAGGAAACTCGATCAAGGTCGTACAACGCGACGACGTCGCGCAGGTCCGCCACATCCGTACTGGAGTCGTTCGCGAAGAGCCAGCCATCAGTTCTCGCATCTTTGAGGGAGTAGCCTGTCGTGTATACGATGAGGTAGAAGGCGAGCGGCATGGCGACCATAGTTAACGGCAGCTTTGTCCCATTTTTGTCGTGCTTGGCGACCCTTGATAGTAGAATGCCTCCCAATAAACCGGGTGCCGCTAATACTAATCGCCAGGGCGGCGAGTATAGTTGGGGCCAGTCCCTCGGGCCGTTCAAGGGTACACCAATGCATAGGGATAAACCAGCCTCGATGCAAAACAGGCCGATGAAGGCGAGGTAGCCGCCGAGCACCGGCAGCGGCAGGTAGCTCACCAGCCAAGTCATGCGCGCGCGGCCGACGCCGACCAGGACCAGTCCTAACAATGCCGTACTCAACCCCAACCCACACAGCGCCGTCGCGGCGACGTCGTGCGCCGTGCCATCTATTGACCGTGCGACGTCTGTGGCCATCTTACTCAAAAAAATCAAACCGGCGTCCTGGACCTGGCCGATCGCGAAGGGCAGCGTGCTTCGCCACGAGAACACGCACTGGTGCACCGCCGCGGACAGGACGACGGCCTTCGCGAGCGGCGCGGCGACATCCACATAGGCGCCATCACTAAAAATGACCGCCGCGTATCCAAACAACGCGGGAATGGCCAGGATGGCATTGATAACACCATATAGTACGCCTCTCGCGGCGTCCGCTGCCCGCTGCACCATCTCTACTGCCCGCGCGCAACTGCTGCCCCAGCCGCGGATTACGTTGCAGATTGCACTACTGAATGACTTGCGTCATGCCGTTGCAGTAATAGCGATGCGCGCCTCGCGTCAGGGCGGCGATGCTCTTCCATTCACCATCACACCACTCGAAGCTAGTACTTCAGGAAAGCGGGCCTACGAGTCGTCACGGCGAAGAAGACCCCTGGGCGAGAGTCGTGCACCCGAAAAGCGACGTGCGGCCAACCCCGCACGCAAGCAAAAGACAAGCTTGGAGCGCCTGCCAAACTGGGCCGTGCGTTCCGGCCCACGAGCGCGGAACGAGCGCGAGGCAGCCGCAAGAAGCCGTCGACCGTGCGAGGCGAGCGGGCAGCGCGACGCGTATCGGTAGACACGCCACAGTAGCTACCTGGGCAGCTTGCAAGCTTTGGGGCAGCTCGCATTCCGCGCACGGATCGCGACAGGCTGCCCGAGTAGACGAGATGGCCGACTACTGGCAGCAAAAGGACGCGAGCCGCCCGGAAGACGAGTGGCAGCTGCCGCTCGACCACCCGGACAACCCGGACAATCCTGAGTCTCAAGGCAACAAGCTCAAGGCGGCGACCCAGGCGTTGAGCGACCGCCTCGCCCAGGAAAAGCACTCCCTCGGGAAAAGGGATGAACTCATGGTCTTCACGTACCAGGGCGATTTGGAACGCGTTAGATTTGTTTTGAAGGCGGAGCGCGCCCCGGACATTAACATGCGGGACTTTGGGGGCTATAACCTCGTGGCGCTGGCGGCGGAGGCCGGCCACGTCGACATTTTGAGGGAGGTGGCCCAAGCCGGCGCGTCCATCGACAATGTGGACTACCGCGGCCACGCGCCGATCCACCATGCCGCGTTGCACGACCACGTCGAGTGCGCGCACGAACTTGTTCGAAGAAGGGCATCATTGGATGTGAGAGATCGGAGCATGGGCCAGACGGCCTTGCACCTCGCTTGCAAGGAGGGGCACGACCGTATTTTGAGGTTGTTGTTGGATGGCGGCGCTCGTACGGACTTGAACGATTTTAAAGACAGAAGTTGTCGCGAAATCGCCGAGTGGTTCGGCCATAGTGAAATTGTGAGAATGTTGGATCTCCATCGACCGAAGGAAGAACGACCAAAGATAGACCAGCTGTACCTCGCTAATTTGATACCTGAAAGAGCCACAGCACCTCTAGAGCCGTTCAAATTGTTAGATTGGCTCGCGTCCGATCCGGGCCTCGATGTGAAGGACCCGCGGTTGCTCGAAGCCATGGAACGGCTGCATCGCTCGAAGTATAGGAGTAGATACGCGATCGCGCGGGCCGATCTGAAAGATCTGAGGGAGCTCGGTCTGCGGGGCTCGGACGCGACGCGCGTGCACAAACGAGCTCTCGCGGAGCTGCCCGACGCTGTCGATGAAGGTGTGTTGGCAGCCAATCAAAAGGTCGAGGACGAGAAGGCTCGACAAATACTGATGAAAGCGGCGAGCGAGCTGCTGGACACGGAAACAGTTAATGACGAGGCGTCCGTCGCGTCGCAGGCGTCGAAGGCGTCGCAAGCCTCCAAGGCGTCGCAGCGGAGTATGCGGAGCCGACGACGGTCCGGCGCCCCTTCGCCGCCGCGGCGACGATCTCAGGGTAGTGTGGATGGTAACTTGACGAGTCTGTAGAAAACGGACGAATTACCCATAGGAACCCTAGGAAGCTTCTTCAAAGTCGAAGCGCACCTTGACGAAGGCCTGGCCCCCGCCCTTTGTCCAGAGCGTCAGGCTTTCTGAAAGCAGGGGGATGGTCAGGTCGCGCGCGAGCTTGACCTCCTGCACCGGCAGCGACACGTGGCCGAGGTAGTCGTCGCCGGACACGGTGTCGTCGTCCCAGAATTCTAGAGTGACCACGGCGAGCTCCGGCACGGCGAGAGGAAACGAAAACGTCTCGTTGAACGTAGGAGATTTCGTGTTGTTCGCCGTCTTCGACTTGCGATGACCACGGTCCTGCTTCGGGCCTCCAGCAATACTGACCACGCAGTAGACGTCGGGCGCCTCCTCCATGCCCCAGCCCTTCGTCCAGCCTCTCGCACTCTTCAAATTTACTTTCAGCGTCTGCTTGATCGGCAGGGACTGCGTCCTTAAACCGGAAGCGTACTGGTCGAGTTCCTCGAAAGATGATTCACGAAGAAACTGGGGCTTGGGCACATACCCACAACCGCCCTTGCGCAGGAAGAAGCCCCAGTTCGTGTACAGGGGGTTATCTTCGGGTGTCACTTGCATGTTTAGGGCTACAATTTGGCAGCCCGTCGCCCACGCGTCGCTCGGGTCGTAGTTGTCCGACTTGATGCGGTGGCCCGCCGGGTAGACGCGAGCGAGGGCGCTTCTAGTCCAAGCTTCCATCGCGCCCGGCCGCGCTTCCTCGCTACTTCCGGGCGAGTGTAAGGAGTGCTCGATGGCACTTAGTTCCTTCTTCAGACCTTTCTTGACCTTCAAGCCCGCGAGCTTCTTGTGCTTGCGCTCGTTCCAACTGCTGGACGTGACGAAGGGCTCCTTGCCCGTCAATTGAGTAATGGTAACGTCTTTCAGGGATTTTGTTTTCGTGTTCCTCACATAGATTAAATCCCGCAGGAAGGTCGCGACCTCCTCTTCCGGAGCCTCCTCCTCTATATTAGCTTTGGCGGCCTCGAGGTGCTCGGCCAGCGCCTCCTCCTCGTCCTTGCTGCGCCGTTTGTGCTTCTTCGCCACCTTGGCCTCATCCTCGTCGTCCTTGTCCTTGTCCTTATCGTCGTCCTTGCGCTTGTCGCGAATGATGACCTTACCTTTCAATGACTCCGGCGTAATCAGATCCCCTTCCTTCGGGATGTACAACTTGTCCCCGAGAACACCTCGTAACGTATCCGCAATGATCTTCTGGCCCTCGGCCTTGCAGTGGTTCTCCAATGTAACAATGACCGGACATTCGGTCGTGAAGAAGGCGTTTTCTGCTATGGCCGCAATCATGCGCTTGAACTTGCACTTCGTGCATAATGTACCTCCATGGGTCACAATGACAGAAGCATGATAACCTCGCTGCTTCATGGAGTACTGCTTGTAGTCGTAACAATCCAATTCCACCACGCGACAGCCCAATCGCAACACTCTAGCTACGCTGTCGGGTGAGGAGTGAGACGTGAGTTGGTCGCCATTCAAATAAGTATTGTGCGACGAGTTGATGTAGTACGACGTCAAGGGTAGGGATAGATTGGGCGCCTCGTCGCCGGGATTCAGCGCCGCCTCGGCTACGGCCTTTAAAGCTTCTTCGTAGGCGTTGGCCTGCAAGCGTTTTTTTTCTTGCTTCTCCTTCAACCCCATGACGGCCGCCACGGACTTCTTGAAGAGGGAGGCCATGATTGGATGGCGCTCGCAAGGTGGCTGCCGCTCCTCGCCCTCGCAGGGCCGTCGGTCTCCGCAGAAACAGTGCTTGTTTTTTTTGCGCGGGGGGGCTTGGCCCTTGGGAGCGACTGCCGCTACTATGGTCTCGTGCGATCGCTAGCTGCCCCGCTACTCTTGGGCTGCCCCGCGCGGTTCTCGCTGCCCCCGCTGCCCGGGATCTCGGTCTCTGCTGGACGCTGGTTAAATGCTCTAGGCTCTCACTTCCGCAGCGAAGTTCCGCTTGTGGGCTGCCCCCGCGACCGCTGCCGTCGCCGCAGGCGTCGTCGAGGATGGGGCGCATCGCAAGGTGGCTGCCGCTACTCGCCCTCGCAAAGCAATCAAGAGAGGAGACGCCCATACAACTAAACACCGCCGTCGACGCCGTGCAGCTCCCGGCCGCCGACGAGCCCATCAAACTCACGACGGCCAACACCACAACACAAACGAAAAACGTGTCCGGGCCGGCCTTCGACGCGCTCGACGTCCGCGCGGAACTCTTAGCGCCGCGCGAGGGCGCGTTATTGGCCTTGGACTCCTTCGAGGTTGGGATAAATGTCTTCACGCCGGACCCGGACGTGTTCGAGGACTACTACAAAGGATCAAGAGTGTGCGCGCGGTTGGATCAGGGCCCCTGGGCCTGCTGGTCCGTCTTCGACATGCAGCGGCCGCCGCTCTTTGCTCATGTCAAGCCGGGTCCCCACCAGTTGGAAGCCGTACTGACGGACCCGCGGGGAGACGGTAGAAGTATTCTACGAAGGAGCTGGTCCGGTGTGAGACGGTTCCGCGTCGCATCTGTAGAAGAGATGCCGCAGGAGGACGTTTCGACGGTGACCGAGACGGAAGCTCAACCAGAAGCCGTCGAGGCCGAGTCCATGCCCATGCCTCGATTACAGATCGACCAGCCGCGCGAGATGCAGCCGTTACCACCGTCCTTCGAGGTCGGGTTTGGGGTGGAGAGCGCGGCGCCCGACGAGTTTCGGCGATTATTCAAGCACGGCCACGTGTGCTTTGAACTCACAATATCGCCATCAGAAGCTCCAGAACCTTCCAGTGGTGTACCATGCTGGGCCGTTTTTGAAAATGCGCGGAAGCCCTTGTTCGCTGCGTTAGGTGATGGCTTCTATACTTTGAGAGGCTGGCTCCTCCATCCGGATAGCAGGCAGCTCGTCGCGCCGACCCAGAGCGGATTAAGGGCGGTCGTGACGTACGCGTCGACGACGCCGCAAGGATTAGCTCGCGACTCGTCGTCTCCTGACGCGAAGGATGAAGAGCTGAAGGGCTGGGCGCGCCACTTCGATGAAGAGTCTTCAGCAGATTACTACGAGGCTCCGGGTGGAGACGTCCAGTGGCACCTCCCGTCGCGGTTCCCCGTGCCTCCCTCCACAGAAAATTCAACGATGATAGATCTGGCGATCACGGGCGAGGCCTGGAATGAAGATGCGGCCGTGCAGCGCGTCGTGCCGGTCAAACCCGGCACGGACCCAAAGGTCGCGGCGACACGCATCTGCCAGGGTTATGGGATCCTGAACTGGCACTGCGTCGACGCGCTGACGGCGCAGATTACCGAGGCGGCCTCCGCCGAGACCACGCCGGCGCCGCCTGTGCGGAAGCCGCCGCCGCCGCCGCCTCCAGAATTATCGCAGATCGTCGAGACGACGCCAGAGACGCCCGCGGCAGCGGCGCCGGCGCCCAAGTCGCCGGTCCAGCGCCTCAAGGAGCTGAAGGAAGCCTTCGAGGGCGGGCTGATTACCGAAGAAGCGATGGAGAAGAAGCGGGACGAGATCCTGGCGGCGATGTAGTCCACTGTACGTGCGCGCGCGGTGCGACGCGAACAGCGAAAGACGAGCCGTTATGATCATGTAGTAAGAATTTTAACAAGAAGACTACTAGCGCCGTTTGCGCCCGCCGCCCTTCTTCCTATACGTCTTCTTCTTCGGCCCCTCCTTCTTTCGCTTCTCGCGCGCGGTCTGGAGCCGCTTGAGGCCCCCCTGGATCTGCTTGTTGTCGACGAGCAGGTCATTGAAGTCCAAATGCATGCGCCGGCTCTTGCTGAGCCACCGCACCGAGCGGAACGTGTCCGAGAGGTCTGCTAGTGCGCCTGACGTGTCCGCCGCGTGGTCAATCACACCACCATCATCGTCGGACCAGTCCTCGATGTCGGACTCGTCGTACCGGTCGTTGTTGCGCCGGGGCGGCGGGTCGTCCGTCGTCAGGTCCACGACGTCGTCGTCGTCGTCATCAGCGTCGGGCCGGTCGTCGTCCTGGCTCGAGTCGACGACGACGATGGGCGCGCCCGCGAAGACGCCGAACCGCTCCTCGTCGTCGCCCTCGTCCTCGAGGACGTCGCGCGCGAAGCCGTCGTCGCCGTCGTCGTCTGAACTTTCGGCGATGGCGCGGCGCCGGCGAGGTGGGACCGCGGGCGCGCCGTCGTCGGAGTCGCTGCTCTCAATAGCGCGGCGCCGGCGCGGCGGTGGGGCCGCGGGCGCGTCGTCGTCGCTGCTCTCAATGGCGCGGCGCCGGCGCGCGCGCGTCGGCGGCGGCGACGGCGGAGGCGCCTCGTCCTCCTCCTCCTCGGCCTGCAGGCGCCGCGCGAGCGCGGCGTCGGCCTCCTCCTGGCGCCGCCGCGCGGCGTCGCCGTCGACCGGCTCGACCGAGTCCTGGGACGGAGGCCGCGCCCAGGCGTCGAAGCGCCCGGCCGGCGGCGCGCCGTCGTCGTCGCTGTCCGAGGCCGCGACCTGGGCCAGCGAGAAGACGCCGGCCGGCGCGTCGCCCTCGCTCTCGCTCTCGTCGTCCGACGCGCCCGCGACGGCGCTCAGCGAGAAGACGCCATTTGCCGGCTTGTCGCAGAGTCGCCGCCACTCGTTCCGCAGCGCCGCGGCGTCCGGCCGCGCCGGCGCGGGCGCCGGCGCGCCGGCGATCGTGTCCGGCGAGACGCGCCGCGGCGGTGCTGGTGGTTGTTTTACCGTCCGCGGCGGCGCGGCCAGGACCTCGCCGTCGGACTCGTCGTCCGACGGCGTCTCGACGACGCGCCGCCGCCGCTTCTCGGTGCGCGGCGCCGGGGCCGGCGGCGCCGGCCGCTTCGGCGGCGGCGGGCGCCGCGCCGCCTTCTGCCGCGGCTCCTGGCAGACGTCGCAATTGGCGTACGTCGCCTCGTTGAGGAAGGTGCAGGCGGGGCAGGGCCACTTTTCAGCCATTATTACTGCTCCAACAGCGCAGCCCGCAGCGCGTGGCTATTTGTATTGCTCTGAGCTGACCGCCGCGCGTGGCTAGCTTTGACCAGAGCGCGTCGCAGCAGCGACGAGCAACACGTGTGGTTGCCGATTACGATCGGCAACGCAGCAATGGCCGCTCAGCAGCGCTACAAAACGCGCGCGCGCGGCGCGATCGATTTTTAATAATGTTTATCAAAACGGGTTTTATGCTCCGCGGAGAGATCGCCCAAAACTCGCTGCAGCTTGTCGTAGGTAGTCTTTCACCCGCGAGGGCTGCGGGATGCCTCCTCTCGCTGGGCTCACCACCGTCGTTTTGGCTGCCGCAGTGTCGTACTTTGCGCGCCGCGCGCGGCCGCAAAAACGAGTGAAACACAAAGCTAAGCTGCGTGACAGAGTACCAGACGGACCCTTACTCGCCGCGCCGCGGCGTACAACGTAACTCGCGCGCGAGCAAAGTGTTCGGACCGCAACAGTGCTACAAGGATGACGACCCCCTGGCGCCGCGCGATGGCTGAGGCTAATGACGCGCCGCCGCCGCCGCCCGAGACGCGCACACCGCTCTCTCCGATCAACGGCCGGCGCCGGCGGCTCTCTACCAAGGGCGCGCCGAAACCGCCTGCGCCCAAGACGGCCACCGAAGCGCCGAAGCGGGCGGCCGCGCCGAAGACGGCGCCGAAGCAGTCAAAGACGCCGCCGCTCGCCGCGGGTCTGACGCCGACGCCGCGCGGCGAGCTCGTCGACGGGGCGACGCTGGCCGCCGTCTTCGACACGCCGCCGCCGCCGACGCCCGTCGCCGCGCCGCCGGACTTCACGCTCTGCCGGGAAATTGGCGAGGCCGCTGCGGCCGTCGCGCCCGATAACGAGGCGGCAGCTCTCCGCGCGGCCCTCGCCGCGGCGCGCCAAGAGACCGCCGCGGCGCAATCGCGCTCGGCTGCGACGGCGCAGCTCCTCGACGCGCTCCGCGACGCGCACGAGACTCGACTGGAAGTGGCCCGACGCCGCGTGAAGGACCTCGAGTTCGAGCTCCAGGCGCGCAAGGGCCGCGACGAGGCGCGGTCGCCCGAGGTCCAGCGCCAGCGCGAGCGCGCGGAGGCGTTCCGCCAGGAGGCCGCCCAAGCGCGCGGCGCGCTCGACGCCGAGCGGGCGGCCCGCGACGCCGCCGACGCGCTCGCAGCCGATTCGCGTGGTGAAGCCTTTGTCGCCGACGACGTGGCTGACGCGGCGGCCGCGGCCGCGGCCGCGCGCGAGGCCCGGCTCTGGAACGCCCACGTCGCGTTGGTCGAGAAGCGCGACGAGGAGGCCAAACAACTGGCCGAGCTGGTCGACGAGCGCGACGCCTACGAGGCGGCGAACCGCGCGCTGGCGACGCGCGTCGCGCGCCTCGACAAGGAGGCAGCGGAGCGCGAGGCGCGCGAGCAGGAGATCGCGGACGAGCTCGCGGCGGCGCGGCGGCAACAACGCGGCGCCAAGCACGCGGTCCTTGCTTTCGTAGTCGCGGCGGCATCCGCCGCCGTGGGCTCCATGACCATCTTCGCGCGTCGCTGAGCCCCTCCGTCCGAAACCCCCCGAGAAGCGGGGAGGGGTAAGACCATGCTTGTGTGAATCATGGCCTCTCGGGCTTGGGCATGATGTTTTTCTTACTTGCTAGTAGTAGCCGGTGTGGAAGCCGAACGCGACGATCGTAATCAACGTCCCGCGCCTCGCCGACCGTGCTTATCTATCGAAGTTCGACTACGTGATGACCTACGACCTCGATACAACAATTCCGATGCTCACGATCCCCCAGATGTACAACGCGTCGCGCTACTTTGAGCGGGGCAAGCCCTGGGAACTGCGGAAAGACGCCGTCGCCGTCTTCGTGTCGAATTGTAGGAATGCTGGAGCGTCGAAGCGCCTCGCGTTCCTCGAGAAACTATCAAAGGTCTACCCGGTGCACTCCTACGGTCGGTGTCTGCACAACAGGGACGCGAAACAGCGCGCGGGCGAGGAGCGGGGCGTGTTCAAGCGGCGGATCCTCGCCGACTACAAGTTCGCCCTGGCGATGGAGAACGCCGTCGTCAAGGACTACGTGTCGGAAAAAGTCTTCGACGCGCTGCTTGCTGGTGCTTTACCGCTCTACGACGGCGCGCCCCGCGTTGGGCGTTTACTACCTGATAGCGGCGCTATCCTGCGGACGGCGGACTTCCCGGACGCTTCGGCTCTGGCTGCTACGTTACGACGCCTCGCGGCGGGCCCCGAGCCGGAGCACTTCCGCTGGCGCGAGCGGCAGGACCTGGCGCCGGCCTTCCAGCGCGTCCTCGACATGTCCGCCCACAAGTACACCGCGCTGTGCCGCGTTTGTGAGCGCCTTCAGGCCGACAAGGCCAAGTAATAATTTATAACTTAGTCGCACTTGGGCGTCCTCCGTCGGCGCACCGGCTCGTCGTCGTCCGAGCTCGAGCTGTCCGAGCTTTCGGCGGGCGCGGGCGCGGCCTTGACGGGCGCGGGCGCAGGCTTGGGCGCGGGCGCGGGTGCAGGCTTGGGCGCGGGCGCCGCCTTCACGGGCGAGGCCTTCTTCGCGAGGCGCGCGTTGAGGCGCGCCTCCATGGCGGCGCGCGCGTCGGCCTTGGCGTCGTGCGCCTTCTTGTTCGTCGAGCCTTCGTGCGTCGTGGCCGGGGCTGACTTGGGCGCCGGGGCCGGGGCCGGCGCCGGGGTCGGGGCGGGCGCGGCCTTGACGGGTGCCTTCGCCGGCGCGGCTTTGGCAGGTGCGGCCTTGACAGCGGCCTTCGCCGGAGCCTTCGCTGGAGCCTTCGCCGGCGCCTTGGCGGGTGCCGCCTTCGCGGGCGCCTTCGTGGACGGCGGCGGCGCCTTCTCAACCTTCCCAACAGGTTTCAGGAGCACCGCGGGCACGACGAACGCCAGTACCAAAGCGACGAAGAGCAACGCCAACACCTTCTCGCCGTGGTCGTCGACAAGTTCATAAATACGCTCGCCGAGGCTGGGCTCGTCGTCAGGGACCGGGTCGGGCGGCGGCAGCTCGTCCTCCTCGTCCTCCTCCTGCTCGTCCGCCCCCGCGTCGCTCCCCGCAACGCATTTACAGGAAGGGCAGCTCGCGTACGAGTACCAGATGAAGCCCTGCTCGCGGCGGCAGCCGCTGCCCTCGCAGGCCGTCTTGCACATGCACTCGCCCGTCGTCCGCGTCGGCGTGCCGTGATTGGTGTCGCACCAGCCCGCCGGGAAATCTTTTGAAGCGTCGGCCGCGGGCGCGGCGCCGGCCGCGCAGCGCTGCGCGAGCAGCCCGACGAGAGCGAGCCGCAGGCGCATGGCTACAGAGAGCGACGGTGCTCTGCGGCAACCTGTTGCTTTGGCAGAGGCGGGCAAGCCGTTACCTGCGCAGCGGCTGACGACTGCAAGCACAGGAGTTGTTAAAGCACACGAGCGGTTTCCTGTGTGGCGATTGGCTCTAAACAGCAAGTGCAAAATGTCAATAATCTGGCGATGACTAGCAGACAAAGACACTAGGGTCTGCAGACGCAGAGTCTATTGTTACACGGTCTTTGGCCCGTTTTTTCGACGAATATACGCGTCGAGAGCCCGCATGCACGCGATGACGCACGCTTCGACACGGCCGCGGCCGCGCGGGCACGCCTCGAGAGCAACTCGTACGCGGACCTGATGAAGCGTGCCGATGCTACTACAGAAAGGGCGACTAGGGCTCCCGCCGGCGCCCGCGAGTCGCGAGGTGGCGCGTGCCTTTTGCCGAAGGCCTGACTGTGATGACAAAGTCGCATCCGCCTTTGGCTAAGGACCACATCACGCTGTCGTCAAACAGAACCGCCACGACGACGATGAAGCTCGTTGCTCTCGCTCTCGCCGCTCCCGCCGTGACCGGGCTGCAGTTCGGCTCCAAGCCGGCTGCCCCCAAGGGCGGCTTCCAATTGCCCGCGGCGCCGGCGCTGCCCAGTATGTTTCCGCGTCGCATGTCCAACGTGCCTTCAAATGTGCTTAAGGCTGCAAGTGAGCTAGGCTTCCAGTCTCGTCTCTCCACTCCCACCTTTCCACGAGTCCACCGTCGGCCGCGCCGGCGCCGCGCGCGAGTCGCGAAACATTCATGTGATTGCACGCAGGCGAGGTGCCGGTCGCGGCGGTCGGAGCAGCTGCCCTGGCCGGCGCGCTAGCGCTCTCGGTCGGCAGCGCGGCCGTCGGCGACGGCATCGTCCGCTTCGGCATGCCCTTCGGCGGCGAGGTCCTGGTCCCCGGCGCGCCGTTCCAGCCCGAGAACGGCTACCTCGGCATGTGGTGCGTCTCTCGCGTCGAAAGCGTCGAGGGGGTATGTCGAGTATCTGTACTTCCGCGCAGGAACTGGGAGAAGCAGGGCCCGAAGGCCGTGCCCAAGGATCAAACTCCGGAGGCGCAGAAGGCGTTGATGGCGCAATTCCAGGCCGATCGGGCCAAGGTCAGTGACGCAGCGTCTTCATGAAGCCGTCGACGCGATGCCGCGCCGCGCGAGAGTCCGCGCGTCTCGCGAGGGGAACCGCGGCGACGGCGTCTGTGCCACACAGTTCGACGCCGAGGCCAAGGCCGAGGGCTTCACGTCGGCCGAGGCGCGCGGCGTAGAGCTTCGCGCGAAGCAGGCCGCGCAGAAGGCTAAGGAGGCCGAGGCGGCGGCGGCCGCCGCGAAGGCCGCCGCGGCCGCGAAGAAGTAGACGACTAATCTTCTTCGTACGTTAGAACGGGAGGGATAGGGGGGACGGGGACGGGGGGGAATATCCTACGCCTTCTCGGGCGCCTCGGCGACGGGGAGCGGCGGCGTCCCGCGCGCCTCGTCGACCTTGCCCTTGACGAAGGCCCAGCCCTTCCGCGCGCCGCTCGCCACGAGGGAGAACCCCTTCTTGGCCTGCTCGACGACGACGGTTTTGACCACCACATACTTGTCGGCCACGCGCCACTCCTCGAGCTTCGCGCCGATGGCGCGCGCCACGGCCGGCGCGAAGCGCGCCACGGTGGCCGTCGAGTACAACGACAGGCCCACGGCGCCCTTGGCGCCCGCGAGCGGCAGGTTCGCGAGCTCGCCGGCCTCGAGCGACGCCGCGACGCCCGCCGCGCCCTGGCTCAGGTCCACGTTCGCCGCGTGGGCCTTGAACCTCCTTAAGTGATCCCGCGACTCGCCCATGAAGTCCGCGCCGTGCGCCGAGCAGCCGACCACCACATCATCGGCCGTCAAATTTCTGAGGGGAGCAAATGCGGCGTCGAAGGACTCGACCTTCCGTTCCACGTCCTGCGCCGACTGTACGGAAGGAGGCACGAGGAACGGCGGCGGCGCGAGGGGGCCCAGGTCGTTTGTAGGGGCCGGCGCGGGCTGGTTGGGATCGTCCACCACCGCGAGCGTCGCGCCGCCGCTCTGCATCATGGCCGGGTACTTGGGGCTCTGGCTCACCGGGGGCGGTGGTGGTGACGCAACCACGTCGGGCAGGGCCGCCTCGGTTTGGGGCGCGGCCATCGCGGGCGCCGCGGCGCTCGCCGCGTCGAGGCGCGACCCGGGGCTCGCCGGCTCGCCGCCGGCGACCTCCGGCGACGGCGCGGGCCGCTTGGGCTTGTTTTTCTTACCCGTCTTGCTGGGACGGGCGGCGCGAGCAGCGGCTGTTTCCAGCTACTGCTTCGCTCCCTTGCGCAGCTCCTACCGCAGCCGGAGAACTGGTGACGAAATGTGCTACGCGTGGTAAGAGCGGTAACAGTGCTTCAGCCACGTAACCCTAGGTTATAGCCGACTACACGCGCATCCACGCTGTATTTTTTGCCAACAGCTTTGGCGTCGGCATCGATTTTTCCGCCTCCGTTTTTCGCCACGTGTCCTTGCCATTGTTCGCCTCGACGGATGCCAGCGGAGCAACCGGGAAACGGGACTGATCGAAAACGTGCGGGTGACAGCGAGCAATTTCAGTGAGTGATTGTGTTTGCGACGCAAACGCACAGTGTGTAGCAGCGCCAACACATTCAAGCGTTCGAGGGTGTACTTCCACTATGGCTGCGGCACCATGCAAGCCGGCGCCGCCGCTCGCGCCTTGCAGTCGCCATACAAGCCATGGTTGTGTCTGCAGCCATCGCCGCCGCCCAAACGCGGCCGCCGCGGCCCGCAAGCAACAGCAAGCCGAACAGCCACACGACCGCATCCCCCCACCGCAGGCCATTTCTTCGCTACGTCGATAGCGATCGAGGAGAGGAGGTACTACCCGTACCGCTTTACTCTCCCCCAAAACAACCATGTCCAAGCTTAATAAAGATCTGGTCGAGGGCGCCATCGACAAGATCTTAGCCTACTCGTCGGGCGAGACGATCCAGCACGACGGCGCCGACGTCAAGGGCAAGAAGCGCAAATTTGTCGAAACGATTGATTTGCAGATCGCACTCAAGAACTACGACCCCCAGCGCGACAAGCGCTTCTCCGGGACGTTCAAGCTGCCCGTCGTGCCGCGCCCGAACCTCAAGTGCTGCATCATCGGCAACGCGGTCCACTGCGAAGAGGCCGAGCGCATTGGTGTGGACAAGATGAGTGTTGATGATTTGAAGAAGTTCAACAAAAATAAGAAGGTCATCAAGAAGTTCGCCAAGAAGTTCGACGCGTTCCTGGCGTCGGACACGCTCATCAAGCAGATCCCGAGACTGTTGGGCCCCGGCCTCACGAAGGCGGGCAAGTTCCCGACCCTAATTGAAGGTGGCGCGGACCTCACGGAAAAAATTGATGGTGTTAGAGCCACCATCAAGTTCCAGATGAAGAAGGTCATGTGCCTGAACGTCGCCGTCGGCAACGTGTCCATGGAGAAGGCGCAGATCGTGACGAACGTGACCCTGGCGTCGAACTTCCTCGCGTCGCTGCTCAAGAAGAACTGGCAGAACATCAAGGTGCTCTACGTCAAGTCGACGATGGGCCCGCCGCAGCAGATCTTCTTCTAGGCGCGGTTGCCTAACCTGAGGGTATTCTCATTCCCATCGAGGGGTCGCGTCGACGGACGTCGTGTGGCGAACGCGGAATCATTCGTGGGGGAATCGCGCCGGCTTAGAAAACACTACTCACTTACATCATCACCACGGGCAATCATTGCGTCGGCCCGCAGCACCCGCGCCCGGCACTTCTCGTGCGCCGGATCTAGGAGAAGCGCCGCGCGGCACTCCAGTAATGCAGCTTGAGGGTCGCGGAGCCGCAACAGCGCCTCGGCGCGGTTCGCGTGCGCCGCGACCGCCAGCGCCGCCGCGTCGGCGCTCAGGCGTGGGCCGTGCACTAATCTACGGCACCACGCGAAGCGCGCCTCGGCGTCGTCCCACAAATCCTGCGAAGCGCACGCGTTGCCCTGGTCCTTCAGAGCCGCCGCTCGTTCCAGGTCCGGCGGCATGGTTATCCGGGACGCACCGAGGACGGCGCGCGCGCTGTAGAACGCCTCGACGACGCAGGGACCGCCCGCCGCCCGCAGCCCTACCAAATCCTGGGCAGCCTCGGCCTCGTCGTAAACGTTTTCGTTGAGATAGGGCCAGCCCCGCGCGAGGCGTCTTAAAGATAACGCAGAAGCCTCGGGCACCGCCCACGCGCCAGGCTCGTCCTCCCTTAACGAAGCGTAGCAGTCCACGAGGAGCGCGCTGCAAGGTCTTCTTCTACCAAAAAAGCGCGCGAGCGCGGCCTCCTCGACGGGACCTTCCCCAAAGACGCGGCGCCGCGGCGGGTCGAAGCGCGTCGGGTCCGTCGCCTCGCGGCCGCAGACGTCGGCCAAAGCCCGCTCGAGCGCCGCGACGCCGCCGGCTTCCACGAGTACACGGCGCGCCTCGACGGCGTCTTTTGATGAGGCGGCCCCGGACCCACGGCACAAAACGCAGGCGGCGACGCACGCGTCCGGCAGCGCGTCTTCCAATGGAGCCGCCTCGGACGGCGCGCCCGCGTGGGCCAGCACCTCGCAGAGGACTCCCGCAAAGCCGTCCGCCTCCACAAGATCGCGCCGTCGATCCAGCGCCGCGTGGCCCGCGGCGAGGGCCCCGAGGAACGTGGACCCGGCGCCGCGGAGCGCCGCGGCACGCCGCGCCGCGGACGCCGCGTCGCCTCCCACTCTAGCTTCCGTCGCGCGCCGTCGCAATGCCACAAGTGCCGCGGCGCCGCCCGCCGCGACGACCATCGAAGCGAACTCCGGCGGCTCACTCAAAACGCGCGCCGCGGCGCCGCGGACGTCTCCTCCCGTAGCGACGTGCGCGACGACTAACGCCGCGGTCGTGGTCTCGTCGATCAGCTCCTGGGGCGGTTCTGGCGCGGGCGCGTCCTCTTGACAGACCGCGAGGAGGTACGGCGAGCCCGTCTGCCTTTTGAAGGACCGCGCGACGCGCGCGTGGACCGCGTCCACCTCTTCTCCAAGGTCGATCTCGGACCCGTCGTGGAAGAGGCGCTGCGCGCCGACGGCCTTTGCTACCTCGCTTAGAGGTTTTGACCCGCGCAGCGCGACGGCGACTATTCTGATCCGGTCCTCGGGCTTCACGACGGCGAGCGTGACTTGTTGCTCATCTTCATCTAGTGTAAGCGTCAGGCCCGGCCGCGGGGCGAACTCGACCTCCGCCTCGGCCGAGAAGGCTGCCATGGTCTTGGTTTGGGCAGCCCTGGTCTTGCTTGAGTGGCTGCAGAGTGTCCCCGTCGGAGCGCTACTCTGCAGCCTCAGGAGTGCCAGCAGCGGTCAAAATCCGGCTCTGACTACCTCTCCACCAATTCAGCCAGGGCTGGGTCGTGGGCCGGGCAGCCTTTTTTTGGCTTTTACCCCCAAAAATAGCTTGCTAGTGTCTTAGCCCGCTAGCTGCGCGCGGCCTTTGCGCTCGCCCACTAGTCCTTGGGGGCTATTCAGGCGGGTCGCACTGATCCAGGCGACCCGCACCGTCACAGAAAACCATCACGCGACGCGAGGACGGGAAGGCAGCAACGAGTCCTATCACTTCTTCTTAAACAGGAGCAACAAACCCCCAGAACCGGTCCGCACCACACAAACGTCGTCGACGAGCCGCAATAATTCGGCGTCGAAGGCGTCCTCGACGAACGCGGCCGCGAAGCTCGGTGCCACACCTGATCGTGTCGCCTTCAGCGCCTCGGACGCGAGCGTCCGATCCAAGTCGCCGGTCCAGGTCACCGTGCCCACCAGGGGAAACATCAGGGTCCTCTCAACAATGCCCCGGTCGACGTCGACCGTTATGGACGGCGGACTGTATTTCTTCGTGTACTCCTCCGACTCCATCACGACGTTCCACGTCCCCTGCAACCGCGACGCCAGCGGCTCTGTCCCCTCAAAATCGTCCCCTGTGAACCGCCCCTCGGCCAGCGCCTTGAGCGCGTCGGCGCATCGCGACTCGGACACGAACGCACTCCTTCCTAAAGCTGCTCGCCGAAGCGTCTCGTCGACGGCCTGCAATGACTCCAACTTGATCGCTTTCGTGGCCGACGACAGGGCCACACTACTACCAGTCGCGTAGGCGTTGTCCACGCGCCGTCTCGTAGCGGATAAATCTAATTCAAAAGCACCGCGCGCCATCTTCGCCGCCTCGGAATCGGCGTAGCTACCTACACTGAGTTTGTCGGCGGCCTCAAACCCAAAAGAGAGTTGTTTGGCCCTTCGTTTGACGTCGGCGATCGGCGACAGCACGAGCGCGGCATAAACTTTCTTCGCCGACGCCGCGTCGCCGTTCGCCTCGTGACACAAGGCTAGCTCCAGTAACGCATCCGCACCTCGTTGCGTCTTGGCCGTGCAGTACTTCGTCGCGATCGGCTCCAGGGCCCGTACCGCGCCGTACGCGTCGCCCCTCTTCACCAATAACTGCGCCCGCCGCGTAGCGTTCCGGATCTCGCCTTCGTATCGATCGATGACGCGTTCGTCGGCCTGGTTCTTTTCTCGAAATCTTTTTAACCTTTCGGCCGTCTCCCGGGCCTTCGTCTCATTTACGACGTTGTTCTGTTCTGGGGCACCGACGCCGATGCGTTTCCCGCCGCCGAACGCCTTCGAGATGTCCGCGGGCCGCTCGAAGACGCCCCAACTTCCCGAACCGGTCGGTTTATGCGTCTCCTGTTCGGTCGGTGGTGCCCAGGACCCGCCAATCCCAGACGTCGTCTTGACTGCGGCGTCCTCCAGCTCTTTGAGGATCGAACCACCGCCCCCGAACAGCGCCTCGCCCTCGTTCATCGCTTCGCTGAAGCCGGCCTCCTCGACCTTCTTTGATGATGCCTTTCGTGCCAAATCGGCCTCGTCCATCCTTTCCCCATCATACCGCCGTCCCTGGGACTTGTACTCGCGGAGCTCGGCCATTTTTTTTCGGACCTCGGCCATCCGCTTCGCCCGAGCCTCAGCCTCGGGCATGATCGTCTTCGGGAGGTCGTCGGGCCGGATGGCGCGCGTGTGCGTGGCCGGGCGCTGGGGTGGTGGAGGCGCGAAGGCGAGCGCCGCGCCCGCGAGCGTGAGGAGGACCCGCATGCTTGCACCTGGTGCGCGAATCGGGCTGCGCTTTTTGTCTGTGGGAGAGCAGTGGCAAAAAGGTCTCCCAAACTTGCCTTCGCTGCAGAGTTACGCGTGCACTGTCGAGCACTGATGCGATCGAGCGTCTGACCGGCGCACCCTTGCAACTCAACTGCAGCAGTCCACTCGTATCCAGCGGCAGTCGTGGCCGCCGGCCGCCGGTGTTTCTAGTGCCTTACAGACGCTAGCCCCGCGCTATACGTCTCTAGAAGGAGGTTTAGGCGACACACACAGACGCGCGGCGAAGCCTCACGGCTACACCGCCGGCTTAGCGGCCTCCGCGGCCCGCGCCTCCTCGTCGAGGCGCCGGCGCTTGGCCGCGCGCGCGGCGGCTTCAGGGTTCACGTTGGGGTTGTTGTCGCGCAGGTACTCGGACATCCATTTGATCGGGTCCTCGGGCCGCACCTGCGTGGTTGTTTGGTCGTTGTCTCAGTGCCGACGGTAGAGCCTCGCGATCGACGCGATCACAAGCGGACGCCGGCCAAGCACCTTCACGAGCTCGGCCATGCCGTCGAGCATGATGGGGACGATAGTCTGATCCAAATAGGTGCGGATCGGCAAATTCCAGACGGCCGAGTCGCGCGCGGCGGCGCCGGGCGGCAGCGTCGCCGGCGGCCCGGGCGCGGGCGCGGGCTCCGCGGGCTTAGGCTTGGGCGCCGGCGGCGCAACGGGCGCGGCGGGCGGCGCGGCCGGCGGCGCCGCGGGGGCTGTGGTCGCAGGAGGCGCCTCCATGTCTCTACAGAGAGCACAGGCCTCGTGGGCAAGAAGCGGAGCTGTTGAGACTCGCTGCGGCGACCGTTGGCAACGGCGACGACGTCCAGCGATGAAATTACTGCACTCTAGACGGAGCGCGGGCAACAGCGGGCTTTGCTTGAGAGACGGAATCCTAGTGGCCGAGTACGCTAGCCTTTATTCCCTCGCGCACCGGCCGGGCCACAGGGCAAGGTCTCGTCATTACAAGAGCTCGTCCGGAGCTCATAGATGCGCGTACTGAACGCGACGAGCTGCCCTCCGTTCCAATAACTAAGCCCTCAGGGTGGTGGCAAGGGGCTGCCCCAGAGCCTCACGCTATCGACGCGACGCGATCACAATCGGACGCCGGCCAAGCCGCCAAGCATGCCGCCCAAAAAGTCCAGCAAGGCCCTCGCGAAGCTCCAGAAGCAAATCCAACGCGTCGAGGACGAGTCGGTAAAACAGCAGCAAAGGAACCGGCACCTCCGTTTAGATGTGGAGCGCCTCGGGACGGTGCTGGAACGGCGCACGCGCGAGCGCGACGTGGCCTACGCCGAGCTCGAGACGATTCTTGAGAGAAGGCCGACCAAGCTCAAGACCGTCCAGGCGCTCACGAAGGAGCACGACAAGCTCGCGAAGCGCCTCACGAAAGACGCCCGTTCAAATGCCGCTTCGTTCACGGAGACGGCGTCGACTCCACAAGCTACTGATTTGTGGGAGTTGAGGGTGGCGGAGGAAGAATATCAGCTCGAGGTCGCACGTCTCAAACCTTTGGCGGATCGTCTGGCGCGCCTGGACTTTGCGCTGGCCGAGGAGCAGGACGAGGATGCGCGGGATAGGTTGGGCGTCGAGCGGGCCGCAGTTTTGTCGAAGATGCGCGGCGATGACTTCTGGGCGCCCAATCAAGGGGGTGGTAACGGGCAGTTTGGGTAGTAGCACTGGCCTCGAACTGTGGCGCGTCGCGGCGAGATGGAGCGAGCCCTCTCTGGGAGCTTTGGTCGGCGGCGCGCTCGGGCACCGCGAGTCCACGAGACAAAATGCGGGAAATGGCGATGGCCGTCCTGTGTGCATGCCCCATTCGTGCCGGGGAGTGCCTATAGCTGCGAAAGAGTTTGAGCTGGGCCCTCGAGATAATCCTAGTAGGCATCAGCGAGCAGGCTGTCTCCAAATTAGGCTGGGCTTAAACGAGACGTGCGGAGCAGCGTGGCAGTCAAGAACTGGTGGAGAGAGACGGATTGAGCCACGGGCTGAGGCCTGTCGATTTTCAGCGGGCGCCGGGACGGCTGTGGTGCCAAAAGCGAGTTGAGCTGCAGCAGCCCTTGGGACCGCCGCAGCGGTGCCGCGGCACCTCCGCTGGCAACGCAGACACCCTTCGAGGCCTGCGGTGACCTCGTGGCTGCCGCGGGTGGCTCCGCATCGCGCGCTGCACCCGCGCGCCGCCGTTCGGCCTCGGGCGCCTCCCGGGCACGACTGAGCGCTGGCCGCGGCGCGCGCTCGCCGACGCCGTCGAGGCGGCGGAGCGCTCGCTGGCCGCAGCGGCGGGCCGGGAGGCGACTAAGCGTGAGAGAGCCGAGAGGACGCCGCCGCCGCGAGATTTAAACCACGATCGTCCGCGCAGGCCGCCGCCGCCGGTAGGGACGCGCAGGGCACGATGGTGAACGTCCCCAAGGAGCGCAAGACGTACTGCAAGAACAAGAAATGCCGGAAGCACCAGGTCCACAAGGTGACGCAGTACAAGGCCGGCAAGGCCAGTAACTTCGCCCAGGGCAAGCGACGGTACGACTCGAAGCAGATGGGCTTCGGCGGCCAGACCAAGCCCGTCTTCCACAAGAAGGCGAAAACCACCAAAAAGATCGTGCTCCGATTGGAGTGCAAAACGTGCAAGGCCAAGAAGCAGCTCAAGATCAAGCGGTGCAAGCACTTCGAGTTGGGAGAGAAGAAGAAGGCGACGGGCCACGTCTACTAACTTGGAGTTTGTGAAACGGGTCCCCGGGGTCACATCGATCGACGGCGTAGTAGAGTAGCCCTCATACGCCATCGATGCGGCTCCAGACATGGTCAACTCGTCGTTAGCCACCCCCCCACCAAATCGCACGTCTCCGCTTCGTTCGCCGAGAGCATGACGTCGTGCGGCCCCTCCACCATGACCGGTTCCACGCCCAGGAACCGGGCCGTCTCGTCGACCGCCTCTCTATCCACAACGCGGTCCGCGTCCGCGCCCAGGACTAAACACCTAAGATTCGAAGGCATCGATGCCCACCTGCCATCCTCGGTCGGCCAGCGCGGCAGCGACCGCTGGTAGTCGCCCAGGTCCAATCCGCTTTTAGAATCTGCCGCGAAGTAGCCCGTGTAGCGTTCAGCCGTCGCGTCATCAAGCTGATCATTGAAAAAGACGGCATTCGCGTCCTCCGGTGACCGCGCCGCACTTTTCAACGCGAAGGCCTTGGTGATGAGCCACGCTTCTCGCAAAGATCGTCTTACTACGCGCGCCGTGCCCGGTTTATTTCCTGACGGCGGGACGGAGCATAGCAACGCGAGGCCCTCGCAGCGGTCGGCGAGGCTTTCGTCGGTCGCCAACGCGTCAATGGCGACCGGTCCTCCAAAAGAATGCGCGCAGAGGGCGAGTTGCTTCCCGGGCAGTTGTAGGTTCACGGCCTCGGCGACGTCGGCGGCGTGCGTCGACAGTTTTATACTTTTCTCAACGCAGGGCGAGCCCGCCGTGCCGCGCAGACTTATGGAGTGCGCCGCTATGCCGTGTTTCTCGGCGAGGCGCGGCAGCCACCTTTCTGCAAAGCACCACGCGCCGTGGAACGTGCCGTGGACGCAGACGAGGTGCGTTTTTGGAGAAGGTGGTTCGCAGGAGAGCCACTGCATCTGCTGGCCCGATTTGAGGGCGACTTGGCTTGTTGTGACGCTGAGCGCGTCGGCTAAGGTTGCTGTCGCGACGAGGGCTGCCAGCAGATGCATGGTTGCTACCAGCGCTGCGAATGGAGGTTCTCTTTTGCTTTTTAAGGCTGTCGGAGGGTCACTTGTACCGCAGCGACGACCAATAGTACAAATGGTCCGAGTTCTATGGCTTCAAAGCATCATCGAGAGCCTGGAAGCCTAGTGTCTCTTCACTTAGCTCATTATTGACCATCTTGCCCAGTATTGCTCAAGTCTTGCTAAGACGAGGGATTCACGAGGCTCGCCTCTTCGATCGCAAAGGCACTCTCGCCTCTTCCTGGCACGTCGCCCGGGTGGTTTCACGCCGCGACAACGCCCCCAAAATACTCTAAGCTCGAGATACCCCAGAACAAGTGCGCCAGGAATCAGAGGGAGTACCTTACAAACATGCTGAGCGAGGTCCTACGCCGCGACACGCTCTCGCAAGCGGGCCGCGCGCGCGCGGCCAAAGCGAAACTGCAAACCGATGTCGAAAGGCTGCTTGAAAGACAAGGCAACGCGCTTTGGTCCCTGTTTGGCGACGCCGTCTTCGCCGTCCTCGTCGCGTCGAGCGTGGCGTGGGGCCTCGCGTCACTAGCTGCGTGGAAATCAAGTTTACGGCGCGTTCGTCCTGAATCGCCGCGTCGACCTCCACGCCATCGACGCGACGCAGGTCAATAGGCCACTACAAGGGCTGGTGGGACGTCGGCTCGTTCCTCGGCGAGAATTACGATCGCGACGGCTTCTGCCTCGCCCACAAAGGGACGTGGTACGAGTCTCAGTTGCTCTCGATGTACGGGTCGGTCATTCTCGCTCTAGTGTTACAAGTCATGGTCCGTAGCCTCGCTGCGAACCGAGGCGAGCTCCTGGTCGTCGAGCGCTGTGTGGAAATCAAACAGTGAGTAGGTCAACGCCATCGAGCAGACGTAGGAATGGAGGTAACCTCGCGTCGATGGCGTGGGGCGCTCGAAATTTGATTTCCACACAGGTCGACGGGAACACGAAAAGCATCATAAGCCACGGCCTGGGCCACGGCGTTTTGCACTACCTGTCTGTGACGCAGGGCGGCCTGTCGCGCTCCGAGCCGCTAATCACGCGCGCCACGCCGTGGTACGTCGCGGCCGGCCTGCTCCTCAGCTCCTTCGGCCTCTTCTTCGACCTATTGGAGCGCACAGAGTTCCCACCCTGGCTCAAGACGACGCAGGCCGTCGCCAGCGCCCTGCTCGTCCCGACCACGGTGCCCCTCATCATGGCGCGGTTCCGAGTCCGCCGAGGTGTCTTCGCGTCGCCGGCGCGCGGCCCGACGGTCTCCCACACAGGTCTTCGGCGTCACTGGACTCATCATATTCTTTAACGTGCACCTCGACAGGTTGCTCCACGGCCTCGACGGGGCGAAGGACCGGTACTACGCGCTCTATGCGCTCACCCAGTGCCTCTCATCCGCGGCCATGTGGGCGGAGCCGTACCTCTGCGACTCGCTCCTGGTCAAGTACGGGGGGCACGTCGTCTTCGACTACTCGATCCCGCTCGCCTTCATCGTGTATTTGGCCGCGGCGTCCCGCATGGAGCCGCGGAAGGCCAAGGCCGCCTAGGCTCCTACGCGACGCATAACTAAGCTATCTGCTAACAAAACTTTACCGCGGCCGCTTCCGCGCCGGGGGAAACGCCCTCGAAACTTCACCCGGGTCGAGCGCCAGCCGCCCGCCGACGTCGCGGCAGACGCGCGGGTCGCCATACACACGGCCGACGGCATCAACAACGCGCCGCTCGAGCTCGTCGACTAGTGAGGGAGGGCAGTAGCCGTCCCGCGCGGACCGCGCGACGGTCACCATCGCGGGCGGGTTCGATTTTGTACAAAGCAGCGCCGCCTCGAACGCGTCGACGGCTTTCACACAGTCTTCCACGTCGTCGCAGCCACCGGAAGGGAGCGGCCCCGTCAACCTCGATTCATTGAGCGGCACGCCCGCGAACGGGTCGCGGCACGAAAAGAAGTCGAGGCACACGTCCAGGATCCAAGGGCCCTCGACGGAGAGGGCCTCTTTGTATGATTCGGTGACGTCCAACCTACAACATTTTGCTTCGCTTAAGACTTCTTGGCTGTACGCCTTATCCTCGACGAAGTAGCTCAGGGACGAGTCGACCTTCAGGGCTCCTCCTTTATCCACACCGACGGTGATGTCGTATCCACCAACAGCGATCTGGTCCGCGAACGTCGGTTTCAACCACGTTATTTTTGACAAGTGGCCCTTCAAAACTAAAGGCCAGATCCACTCGCAGATGCCGTACTCCGACTCGTCGAGGAAGTCGTACAAGACGCGCGGCGCCTTTATTGCCGAAGCGTCCCGCAGGCACCCCAAATCTGGGTGCGCGTCTATATGAACGAGGTGTATGTTTGTGAGAGGTAACGCTTTCTTCCGTAGTGCGACGTGGAGCCACGGTAAGGCGTCGTGGTGGTCCTCGACGACGGCGATGAACATCTTACGCCATCGATGCGGCTGCTGTCACCGCTGATCACGCTGCAGCCTCTGCAGGAGGCTGATGAACCAACACCGCGCCGGGCGGCACTACCAGCGCTGCGGGTGCAATCAAATGACCACAAATCGATGCGAGAGACCTCACCCGCGCCTATGACGCCTCGTAAAGTGCTGCAGCGCCCATTGCTAGTATGTGTGTCGCTATCACATTATCGGAACGCGAGCAGGTTGTAGTTGCTGCCAAACAGAGCGAGCACGACAGTAAAAGGTAAACAGCACACGGAGTACATCCTCGCTGATGACGATGAGGCGCTGCCTGACGCTGCTGGCCCTCGCGGGGTGCCGCGCCTTCCTCCCTCGCCCACCACTGATAACGAGGCTGCGGCCCCTCCGTGAAAGTGCTGGAGACGACTTCCTCGAAAGCCTGTTCGAGGAGGCCGACCAGCGCGTGGTCGATGACACGCCCGACCGGCCGCCGCGCAATTACGATGCAGCTCCGTACGCGGAGCACGACTACGAGCGCGCGCAGGACGACGACGGTAGTAGTGTAGACGTCGCCGCCGTCGACGCGTTGTTGGCGGAACGCGTGCAGATGAAAAGACGTAGGCTGTTCGACGAAGCGGACGCGATTCGAGACGAACTCCAGAGAGTGCATGGTGTCTCAGTATGGGATCGGGAAAGAGTGTGGAGAACGGGCCGCGGCGGCGGTCGAAACCAGAGGCAGCGCGGCCCTCCTAGAAGCTTACCGGCGTGCGGCCACGATTACGAATGCGGCAACTCCGATTCATCCCAATCGGGGATGGGTGTGGACGAGATCGACGCTATTTTGGCCGAGAGACTACAATGTAAGTTCCGGCGGGACTTCCAGCGGGCCGACGCGCTGCAGGAGGAGCTTTTTAGTATGGGCGTCCGCGTCCACGACGGCCTGAAGTTGTGGCGCGACGATGGAGGCGGATTTGGCGACGAAATGGGCCGGAACGCGAAAGCAGGCCGACAGAGAAACTCGAGACAAGATCGCGCGACGTACACGATGGATCCCGACAGTGACGACGTCGATGACGACGAAAAAATAGAAATCGAGAAGTTAGTGGCGCAACGACTCGAAGCGAAATTTGAGAGAGACTACGCGACGGCGGATCAAATCCGGGAGCAGCTGCAGAATGAGTATGACGTCAAAGTGGACGACCGGAAACGGAAGTGGATGGTCGGCGATCGGCCGTTCCGCGGCGCGCCGGACCTGAACGCTCCTTATACGAGGAGAGGTGGTGGTGATGTCGAGGATGTCGCGAAGGTCGAGGAGTTGGTGGAAGAAAGAGCAGATGCTAAAGCTCGGCGCGACTATGCCGCGGCCGACGCGATCCGGGACCAGCTCAACGCGATGGGGATATCTGTGGATGATCGCTCAAGGGAGTGGCGCGTGGCGGACGCGCCCTACGCTCGCGCGCGCGGCGACAGTGCGTCTGTTGATGTCGCGACTGTTGAGGCGCTCGTGGCTGAAAGATCAAGCGCTAAAATAGCAGGGGAGTACGACACGGCGGACGCGATCCGCGACCGGTTACGCACCGAGTTTGGGGTTTCTGTTGACGATAGGGTGAAGGAGTGGGTCGTGGACGGAAGGCCGGCGGCCGCGCCGGCGGCGCCGGCGCCCGTCGTGGACGACGAGCCCTTCGTCGTCGTGGACGCGCCTGCCGCAGAAGAGCCCGCCGCGGCCGCCGAGGAGGCACCAGCCGGCGGGCAGAGCGAGGAGGAGCTCAGCGCCCTCACGGTACCGGCGCTCAAGGACCTCTGCCGCGCGGCGGGCTTGAAAGTTGGCGGGAAGAAGGCGGAGCTGGTCGAGCGCATTCTGCGGGGGAGTAATTAGATTGATTCGGACGTGTACGCCACGCGGTGTGCGTGTGGACCTAAGGACCCCGGGCAATATATATACCCCGGGGCCGGGCGCGCGCTCAGGCCAGCGCCCGTCCCCCCGACCGCGGAAACGCAAGTGCCATCGCTCCTAGATACACCTCATCCCTCGACGTGCGGAAACGACTGCCTCCGCTAGCGATGCTCACGCTCTAGGGAGCAGTCCAAGCTTGTGACGGTCTCCGTCCTCAGCAGATGCCACGGCGACTTGGGTCTTCCCTTTACTATCTCCGAGGGCGGCGAATTGACCAATGCGACCAATACGACATCCTACGAGATCTCCGATAGCTCAGATACGTGTCCGCCACCATTTGGAACTGCGACGCCGACCGGGCTAATCGAGCCAAATGACAGCACGCCGGGTAGCGTCGGACTCTGCCAACCCCTAACGAACGAAAAGAGTGTCATCTTCACCGTGAATGGCAAATGGCCCTGCGCGGCGCCGCAGACGCCCGAACCCACGGCCGCGCCGACGCCCCATCATCATCACCACGATGGGGCCGTCGCCGAGTTCCGCGACGCTGCGCTCGGCTCGGTCGTCGTCGCGGCGTTGACGGCGGCCGTTCTCCTTTGAGGAGAAGAAGCATGCGCCGACGAGAAGCGTACGCACATCTGATGACCCCGAATCCCGCCCCGCCCCCGTCCCGCTCACACGAGTAACTAGAACACTGGTTACCCAAACAGCCCCGGCTTCGACTGCGGTAAAGCGGATTGAAACCCCGACGACTCGGAGAACCACTTCGCGTTCGCGGCATCGACCTTGCCTTGCATCATCTCCGGGTTGGCTAACTCAATACCCTGGACCGGCGTGAACACCAATGATGAACTGAGACCGTTCGTCGCACCAGAAGACATCTGGATCATCTTCCGCCGTTTTTGGGAGACCTTTGCCTGTTTTTCTTTCTTTTGGGTGGCTCGCAGGTTGCCGCCCTCCTTGCCCAGCAACCCAAAATCTAGGCCCATGCTGTCGTCGCCGTATTCACCTCCAAGAGTGTGGGCGAAGGCTCTTTTATTCATCTGCGCGCGCATTTCCGTCGGCCGCGTCTTCTCCTTCCTGTGTGGAAATCAAAATTATACGGCGCGTTCGTGCTGAATCTTCGCGTCGACCTCCACGCCATCGATGCGACGCCTGCTCGATGGCGTGGCGATGCCGGTTCCTCGCCGCTCGACGGGACCAGCGCGGCCGCGTCATCGCCATCCCCGACACACTGGTTGATTTTCACACAGACCGGCACGCTTTCCGGACGCGTCTTCCACCGCGCTTCTTCTTCCCCGTCATAATATCCGGAGGCGGCAGGGCTTTGACCTTCTGGGCTTTCGGCGGTTCGCAGGCCTTCTCGATCTTGCTCTCGATGTCTTCTCGGAACGACTGCGCCGCCTCGACACCCTTGCTGCGATCCCCGAACGCGTCGAAGCGCGCACAAAGCGCCGCCTTGTTCGCCACGAGCTTCAGACATCTTTTTCGTAGTGCTGGAGGCGCCTGCTGCACGAGATCGCAAAAGTACAGAACACCAGTGTGAGGCATGCCCGCGACCATGCCGAAGCCCCCTAGATATCGCTTCTCCTGGCCCATGACCGTCATGTTGCAGGCCGGCACTCGCGCTAGATCAGCTAACCCGCCGGCCATGCCCACCAACAATGCAGCCAACGACGGTCCCACTAAATGCGTGAGGTTAGGAGCGAGCATCGACATTCGAGACTGGAGGTACTGGAGTATGGTACCCTTGTCATCTTCCAACCGTAGACAAGCGTCACACCCTCGCATACATTCCCCGAGCTCCGACTCGGTCAAAGGCTGGCCAGATGTCGTACTCCCCGTCACGGACACGACCATGACGACCGTCGGTGGTAAGATACCGGACAAGTCGACCTGCGTCATGTCCATCTCGTTGCCCATCTGAGCTACTACCCTTAAATATTCGAGCTTCGAAGGAACCAACGTCTCCAATTCCGGAAACTTCTTCCCGTACAAATCATTAACGTAGGCGTGGACCTCGTGCAACTCCGCGTCCATCTTGACGAGGATTTCATTCGACTCGACAATCAGAGCGTATTCCTCGTCGTCGTCAAAGGACGCGGGCTTTTCGGAGCGTTCCGCGATGGCGGTCATATGACGTCTATATCGGTCAGATGTTTGGAGCTTTATTTTCGCGTCGACGCCTTCGTTTTTTATGATGTCCTCCATGGCGTCGTCATCTGATTCTTCGAGGTCGTTCGCGAGTTCCTCGTTCGTTTCTTCTTGTTGTTGCTCTTCGTCGTTGTCTTCCTCGAGCTCGTCGAGGTCATTTAAGAAGCTGTCGGCTAATGTCAAAGCCATGTTGCCGCGCGGCGCGAGTTCTAAGGGTTGGCCCTGGGGGACCTGCTGCTGCGACGCCATTTTTTGCGGGTGAGCGTCGGCGGCGTCCGGCGGCGGCGTCTATATGCGGCGGCGCGGCGGCTGGCGTGCTGTCCGGCCTTAGCAGTGGTGCGGCAGTAGGGGTGCGGCGCGCGTGGAATCGGCGGCGCGCTGTCGGCGCTGTGCAGCGATGCAGTAATATGGGTCAGGCGTCACCCTTGCGCCCCCGCGACGTGCTTTTTTACTCGACGACGCGCCCCAGCTGCGAGCTAGCGCGGTAAGACACTAGCCAGGCACAGCCAAGCAGCTCGGTAAAAGCGTGTGCGAGGCCGCTCGGCCAAAGCTGTAGGTTCCCCAAGGTCTGTGGCCTCCAGACAGACTGCCGGCGCTGGTGACCGCGATCCCGGAGAGCGCCAACCCAATTTCAGAGGCAGAGAGCCTCCAGCCAATTTTTTAAAGGCGCGACGCGACGCGGCGCGCCGACCGCGCTCTAGCCAATTTTTTAAGGCCCGGCGACGCGGCGCCGACCGCCAGAACAACCGATGGAGGACTTCCTCGACGCCGCCAAGAATAAATTAGGCGAGTCCGTCGAGGGCGTCGCGGCGCTCGCGGCCAAGGCCGGCGAGGTCGGCCAGGAGGCGCTCGGCGTGCTCGCGGAGGCGGCGAGCGCCGACGTCGAGAGTTACGGCGAGGGGATGATGCCGCCACCAGAACCGGAGACGCTCGCGGGTTTATTAGACGCGCTGGTCAAGGCGGACGCCAAAGTGTCTGCGAGAGACGCGCACAAGTCGGTGACGAAGAAGGACGCCTTCAAGGATTTGTCGGTGGGCAAGGTCAAGAAGGCGCTGGCCGCCGCCAAAAAGCGGGCCAAGCCCGCCGAGGCGGCCGCGCCGGCGGCCGCGCCGACGCCTGAGCCGCCCGCGGCGCCGGCCGCGCCGCCGCCGGAGCCGGCCGCGCCGCCGCCGTCGGCGGCCGCGCCGGCCGCCGACCCTGCCGCCCTCGAGGCGGCCAGAGATAGGGAGGAGCGGGAGCTCGAGCAAAAACTCAGAGCGGCGGGGCGGCGCTACGCGGAGAGCGAGGCGCGCGCCGCCAAGGCCGAGAAAGCATTAGAGGACGAGCGCAAGGCGGCTCAGATGAAGGCGGACGAGCGGGACGCGGAACTAACAAAGCTGACGCGGCGCGCCGAGGCGGCCGAGCACAAGGCGAGCCAGAGCGCGTCGGCGTCGGACGAGCTCGCGACGGTGACCGCCGAGCGCGACAAGCTACGAAAGGACGCCGCGGCCGCCGAGGAGAACGTAGCAAAACTCGAGGCCGACCTTAGCGAAGCGCGCGACGCGTCAGAGAAAGGCAGCGGGCTCGAGGCCGAGCTCCAGGCCGCGCGCGACCGCATCGCGACGCTCGAGGCCCAGGTCAACGCGCCGACGGGCGACGCCGACGCCGACGCGCTCCGTGCAAAGGTTGCTCAACTGGAAACAAAAGTAGCGGCGAACGACAAGGCCATGGCCGAGGCCGGCAAGCGTTTTAAACAATTGAAGGAGAAGGCGAAGCGGCGGGTGGAAGAGGAGAGCGCCAAGCTCAAGCCACTGCAGGCCGAGAACGACGAGTTGCGAGCGAGGCTGGCCGACGGGGGCGGCGACGCGCCCGTGCAGGACGATTCGAAAGTGAAGGACTTGGAAAAGGAGGTGAAGGCCCTCAAGAAGCAGCTCCGCGAGGCGCCGAAGCCGTCTACGTCGTCCGGCGACGAACGTGTGCGAGAACTGGAGCAGGAGCTCGAGTGGGCGCGAGAAGATAAAGGTGGCGAGGCGGAGTTATTAAGGGAGGAGCTCGCGGAGGCCAAGAAGAAGGCCCATGCGGCGCAGACGCAACGCGCGGCCGAGGTCGAACGACTAGAAGAACGTTGTAGAGCTCTAGAACAGCAGAATTCGCAGCAGGGCCAGTCCTTGGTGAGTTTGCGGGGCGACGTCGCCAAGATCACGGATAGTGAACGGGCGAAGCGCGATGATCTTGAAAAGGAGATCGCGCGCTTGACCGAGGCCGCGTCGAAATTGCAGAAAAAATGTGATGATACTGAAAAAAGACGGGAGGACGTCGCCGCGGAGCTGAGCGAGGCGCTGGCGAGCGGTGGCGGCGGCGGTGGTGGTGGTGGTGGTGGCGAGGACGCTGAACAGTACAAACGCGAGGCCGCTTCCGCAAAAAAGAAGCTAGATGCTGTGGTCGAAAGGTACAATACGATGAAGAAGAAGGCCAAAGCTTCATTAGATGAGGCCAAGGCCGAGATCGCTTCCCTGAAGAAACAGCCTGTTGTCAAAGAGGACTCGGAGGCCTTGGAGCAGGCGCAATCGAAGCTCAAGGCAGTTGTGGAGCGCTACAACGAGCTCAAGAAGAAGTCCTCTGCTGCGATCAAGGACCTGAAGGCGAGCCACGCCGCTCAAATGAAGGAGGCCGCGTCCTCAAACGCGTCGGCCGACGAGTTGGCCAAGGTCACCGCCGAGCGCGACGCGCTGCTCGAGAAAGGTAGTAGTGATGCATCCGCGGAGCTCGCCTCGACGAAGCGCAAGCTCGATGCCGTCGTCGAGCGCTACAAGCAGCACAAGGCCCAGGGCAAGGCGGCCATCGAGGAGCTCCAAAGGCGCCTCAAGGAGGCGGGCGCCGCGCCGGCCGCCGCGGCGCCGGAGGGCGCGGCGGGCGGGGACAAGGAGAAGGAAAAGGCCCTGCGCAAGCAGGTCATGGAGCTGCGGAGGGAGCTCGCCAAGGCGAAAAGGGACGCGCGCGCCGCGACGCGCGCCGCGGCGTCCGGCTCCCAGGACGGCGAGGCGCCCGCGCCGCCGGCGCCCGACGCTGCGGTCAGCGCGGAGCTCGAAGAGGCCAAAGCAAAAGCCGAGGCGGAGCTAGAAGAGGCCAAGGCCGCGCTCGAGGCCGAAAAGAACAAAACAAAGGCCGCCGAGCAAAAACTCGCCGGCTTCGAGCAACGCGGGAAAGCCGCGGCCAAGCGAGCTAAAGACGCCCAGGCTCTACTGGACAAGGCTTCTGAACGCGAAAAGATTTTAGTACAACAGGAGGACGCCGCGCGCGCCGCGGCGGCCGCGGCGGATGCATTAAGGGCCGACGTTGACCGGCGCGCCGCGGACGGGTCGTTATTAGCTGCATTAAGGGCGGACGCGGCGCAAGCTCGACGCGAGGCTTCGGAGGAACGAGCAAGGGGCGAGGCCAAGCTCGAGGCTGCGGCCAAGGACGCGGCCGCTACTTTGGATAGGTATCGAGCGCGGTCAGCGGCCGCTTTGAGGAGGGCGGGCGCCCAGTCCATTGATCGAGGAGCGAAAGCGGCAGATTTAGAAGCGCAGTTGGAAGAGCTTCGGGCGGACGCGGCCCACGCGGCCAAAGAAAGGGACATGGCGCGCGACGACGCCGCGGCCGCACGGCGCGAGGCCGAGGACGAACGGGAGCGTGCTACATCTTTTCAGGCACGCATGGAAGAGTTCGGCCGCACGGCGGAGTCGGCCGACGCCGCGGCGCGCGACGCCGGCGCGGAGGCCGAGGGAGCGGTCCAGGCGGCCTTCGCGGCGCGCGACAGCGCGCTGGCCGAGGCGGCGAACGCGCGCGCGCGCGCGGTCATGCTGGACGAGCAGCTGCGGGATCTGAGACAGCAGGTCGAGCGGGGCGACCCCTTCGTGCTCGTGGACGGCGACGACGACGACTTCGTGTCGCTCGGGCGCGACGACGGCGTGCGGCTGGACCTCGAGGCGCTGCGGGCCGCGCCGTCGTTCGCGACCGCTTAACTTCCTCTCTTGTGAGTTCTTTTAGTGCTTCGGGACGCGTTTTTGCTGGCTAGTGTCTTACAGCGCTAGCGTGGCGCGCGGTGCGAGCCCCCGAGAGCTTGGAGCAAAGGAGCTACAACGCTAGTTGTGCGGTTGTGGCGAGAGGTCAGCATCACACAGCTCGGCCGAAACCGCATCTCTACTCTCGATTCTCGTGCGAGCGCGCACGCTTCTTGACATCAATTTCATCGCTCGTGCAGACTGTGCAGCCGCTTGCGAGGCGCCATAACTGCTCTACCGTCGACTGCGCATCGCTCGTGCGGCACCCGCAGCTATCAACTAGCATAGATGGACCTCAAGGCCAAGGTCCGCGACCGCCGCCGCGCCAAGGCTAAGGCTAAGGCCAAGGCCAAGCCGAAGCCTGAGAAGCGCCGCCAGGAGGACGCGGCGGGCAAGCCCAAAAAGGCGGCGAAGCGCCGCCGCGAGGACGCACTGAGCAAGCCAAAAAAGACCGGCGACGACGAAGCGGAGGCGCCGCGCGCGGGCCGCGTGGTAGCCAGGCCCGCGTGGGACGCGGGCGCCTGGGCGCCGGTGGCCGTGCCGGACGAGTTCTGGACGGGTGTTGATGATGCGGCCTGCCTGTCGCTCGAGGAGCTGCCGGGGAGCAGCTACACGGCGCTGCGGAGCGGCCAAAACGTGGAAGAGACCGTGGTCGAAGAAGACGAGGAACCGACGCCACGAGCAGCAATGGACGTGACGCCCGACGTCGGCGCGGACCAAATCGAGGCGATCCGCGCGACGTGGTGCGAGGGCCCCCTTTCTCTGAGGGACGAGCTGCTGGCGTCGCTCTCGCGAATGGCCTTCGCCACCCCAACGCCCTGCCAGGCGGCCTGCATTCCGAAGATCCTGCGGGGCAAAGATGTGGTCTGCGCGGCCCAGACGGGCTCGGGAAAAACATTAGCGTTCGCCTTGCCGGCGCTCCACGACGCCCTCGCCAATAGTGATGGAGTGCGGTCGTTGGTGCTGGCGCCGACGCGAGAGCTCGCCCGGCAGATCGCGCAGCATTGTGTGAATGCTTTACCTCGCTCCGTCGACGCGAAGCGCCTCGTGTGTTGCATTGTGGGTGGTTTAGCCGAGCAGAAGCAGGAGCGGCAACTCGCACTGGCACCTTCTATAGTAGTAGCGACGCCCGGGCGCGCGCGCGAGCTCATCGAGGACGGCAAGGCGTCGACAGTTGCGAAGGCGTTGGAAGAGAGGACGCTGCGGTTCCTGATCCTCGACGAGGCCGACCGGCTGCTGGCGCCGGGGGCGTTTGCGGACTTCACTCTATTAACAAAGAGGTACCTCGTGGACCACGCCGAGCGCCCGCGTAAAAGGTGGCAAACACTTGTGTTCTCCGCAACACTAGCTTGCGGCTCCACTCAGCCACGCGACAAGAAGCGGAAGCGCCAGACCGACGCGGATCCTCGAGCACTCCTCAAGGCCGTCGAGCCGCTGCGGAGCCCGACGCGCAAACTGGAAGTTGTTGATTTGACGTCATCGAGTAAGAAGGAGGAAGAAGACGACGACGAGGAGGAGAACGTGGCGCTGCCGTCCACATTAACGCTCGAGGCCGTGCGCGTCGTCGACGCCGCGAAGCTCGCGACGTGCTACGCGCTGCTGCGGGGCGGTTCATCAAAGGGGAAAACGGTCGTTTTTACTAACGCCATTTCGTCGGTGAAAACTGTGGCTTCCGCGCTCCAGAAATTGCAGATCCCGCGCGTGCACCCATTGCATGCCGCTTTGCAACAACGCCAGCGGTTGAAAGCTCTCGACGCCTTCGAGAAGAATGACGACGCGGTGCTCGTCGCGACGGACGTCGCCGCGCGCGGGCTGGACGTCGCCGGCGTGTCCCTCGTCATTCATTACGATGTGGCCCCAACAATGAAGCTGTTCGTCCACCGCGCCGGCAGAACGGCGCGCGCGGGCCGGGAGGGGCGGAGCGTGTCGCTGGTGGGGCCGCGCGACGCGGCGCGCCACGAGAGCATCGAGGCGGCACTCGGCGCGCCGTTCGTTGACAGGAAGATCGACGCGCGCGTCGTCGCGGAGGCCGCGGACCGGGCGCGGCTCGCCAAGAAGCTCGCCGACGCCGAGCGCCACGCGGCGCGCGACCGTTCAAGTCGCGATTGGGCGCGGCGCGCGGCCGACGCCGCGGACCTCGTGCTCGACGACGACGCGGCTGTTGAAGCGGGCGGGTCTTCGCAGCGGGACCTCGACGCGATGATAGAAGAGGCCGGCGCCTCGCGGCCGCAGGGGCGCATGGCTGTTGTTAACGCGGACACGCTGCGCATGCTCGCCGAGGAGCGAGCGCGCGGCGACAACTGTCCGCGGCCACGCGACAAAAAGAGGCGTAAAAAGCGTAAGTAGTTTACTATGCTGGCATCCGTCCGCGCCGCGCGAGGCCGTCCCAGAGCGGCGCCGTCGGCACGTCGTGCTCGGCGAAGATGAACGCGTTCTGGAAACCCCCCTCGGTCTGCACCTGTGTGGAAATCAAAACTTCACGACGCGACGCATTGGTTGATTTCCACGCAGGTCTCCACCGTGATGTTCTCCAGTCTTCTGACGCCGTCGCCGCGCAGCTTCGCCCCCCGCTCGAGGTTCCGCGCCCACCTTTCGAACTTCCCGCGGATCAAATGGCGCGGTGGGCCCTTCCAGACGTTACCCTTGAAGCGCCCGTTCGAGCAGACCTCCTTCGAATCGAAAGAATGGTCGCCGACGACAAACACCTCGTCGCGCTTCGAGTGGACCAGCCCCGGCAGGCAGCAGGGCTTCAGGACTAAGAAAGAGCACTTCTCGTGCGAGTTGAACAAATCCAACGCCTTGAGCGACAGCGTCCCGCAGAGGTGCACCGCGAGGACCACGATGTCCCCGGGCGCCTCGTCCAAAATACGGCGCTTCATGCCGCGCACGGAGGACTTGCATTTTAGATCCTGCTTCGAGGTCGTTAATGTAATGGGCCAGTCCTCGTAGTAGTCGTAGATATGATCCCAGTTGATCTGGTGCGGCAGGGGCTCGTCCTGGCCGTTCAGCGGCCAGGCCTTGTCCACGAGCACGATCCTCGACACCTTGTCCTTCGGCAACAGCTCACTCAGCAGCATCGCGAGGTAGCCCTTGCCCGAGCACAGGTCCACGACCGTGACCGGTGTTGTGTGAGCGTCCACGTAGTCCCTACAGGCCGCCACGACCGGCGCGCACTCGATCAACTCCTTGACGACCTTGTCCTTCATTAATCTATTCCAGAGCTTCGGGTTGCCCCGGTAGCGCCGCCGCCACCGCACGACGGCCGCGGCGCTATCCAAGTAGGTTTGGCCGTAGGCGGCCTGGTTCGGCGCCCCGCGTAATGCCTTGTCGAGCCAGTCCGCGAAGGCCGCCTCGCCGTCCAAGTCGGGCCCGGCGGCGCCGGTCCGCGTCGTCGCCCAGCCGTCGCCCGGGAGCTCTTCTTGGGGTGCCGCAGTGCGCGTGCCGGCGGTCTCCGCCGCGAGCGCTGTTTGCGGTGCCGCAGCTGTACGCGTGCCGGCGGGCTCCGCCGCGAGCGCCGGCTTTGGTACCTTATTCGTGCGCGGGGACACGAAGGCGCCGACGACGGAGGTCCAAGCACTGAGCAGCCAGCTCCGGAGTTTCATGAGCATCTGCGGTTGCACTCGCTGCGGCTGCAACTCGGTCGATAAATGCTTGCAAAAATACCTTGTTACTGCGAAGTGCAAGCGCAGCACGCACGATTAGCTCTATGGCAGCTGCAGCAGCCTCAGCTTTGCTAGTGTGTTACATGCCGCTAGCTGCGATTATTTTTCGACACACACGCTGGCTGTATAGCTCTATTACCGCGATCAATCTAGGATACGGTCGCTACCGCAGCGCACCAGCAAGCCTAAACATGTTTGAGGACTCAGAGAGCGAGAGCGAGGCCGAGGCGCCACCAAAGGAACCGGAGCCCGTGAAGCCGGCGCCCCGCAAGCGCAGCAGAGCGCCGCCGCCGGACGACGACAGCGACAGCGACGAGGACCGCAGGCGGCCCGTGGGCCCCGGCTTTAGAAGGGACGAGTGGCGCGCGGACGCGCTCGCCCGGAGCGGCGCGGGCGACTTCGGGCAAGCCGGCTCCTTCGTGGACCGCATGGCCGCGTCCTTCCAGGCGCCGCGTCTCGTCGGCCCGGCCGACGAGGACGCCGCGCCGCGCCGCGTGGCGGCGCGCGCGCCGTCGCACTGGACGCGCGAGAGCGCGAACGCCGCGAAAGTCCGCGCGGAGCTCCTGCGCGCGAACCCGTCGTCGGGCCGCGACGGCCGCGCGGCCTACGAGCGGCCGTCGATGCACGGCCGCGAGATGGTCATTTCCGTCGGGCCCTCGTCTTTGCCGTCGACGTGCCGCGTGACGCGGTCGCGGATCCCCTCGGCGAACGTCAAGTGGTCTTAAGTACATACAAAGGCGCAGAGCGCGCGGACGACTCCTGCTGGGGGCGCTGCCGCGTCGATCCCTGCGTAGACCTCGACCGTCGCGTCGCCCCAGGACCGGTCGTCGCCTTTCGCGCAGCAGACCAAGGCGCGCCGTGCCCTGAGACTGACGTCCGCGGGCGGCGCGATCAGCGCCACGCGCTCGCACTCGACCGCACTCACGACGGCCGCGCCGCGCCCGGCGCCCGCCGCGACGACGTCGGCCACGCCCCGCGCACGCACCTCGCGGATCAAGGCGGAGACGTCTTCCGGCGCCGCATCATCCGATGACAAAAACAGCCAGAACGCCTCGCGCACGGCCCGGTTCGCCCATGCCGCATCCACACTGCGCTTCGCCGAGTCTCTGTCGCCGTCGCCGACGTAGACGACGACGCGCCGCGGCGGGTCGACGCGCAGCCAGGGCAGCGACACGCCGAGCCGCTCCTGGACACCACTCGTTTCGCCGCGCGATCGGCTTTTCGCCGCGCGCCCGTCGACCTTCGATTTGGCGATGGAGAAGGCGGGCGCGAGCCATTCGCCGCAGCCGCACCGCATGCCGGTCCACGACCAATGCCCCAGCTTGGCGCCGCATTCGCAGCACAGGCGGCCACCGTCGCCCTGGAGCTGCTGCGTCATCCATTCGAGTGGCTCCTCGAGCACGAAGCTGCCGCACTCGTCTCCAGTGAGACCGTGGACGACGTCCGTCGCGTCGAAGAGGTGGCGCCGGCAGGCGCCGCAGCGGTAGGCGAGCACTTGTTGTGGTGCGACCAGTGCCGCCATTTTCTCTTTTTTTTGCACTGCTGCTCTTGCGGCTGCTGCACGCTGCACGCTGCAGACAGAGGCAGACCGGTGGTTGTGACCGCGTGCTTGGCCGAAAAGCTACCGCTTCTGGCGGTGCATCAATGGCACGTCACTTTTTGTCTCTCGTTCTTGTCTTTGGGCCAGTAGGCGCCTAAAGGGCGATTATATTGTGGCGGCGGCTAGGCTGCCTTCCTAATGCCTTACAGGCTGCTAGCGCGATCTGGGACTTGGCAGCCGAAGCGGGAGGATTGCGAGCCTCCTGTGCGTTCCTGGGAAGCCATGCTGCTGAGTCGTGCACGTTTCGCAGCGGTCCGAGCTTCACACAATCGCCTGGCGCAATCCAGGCTGCAGCCTGCTTCCCGCCTGGCCTCGAGCCAACGCGGATTCCAGGAGTGGGGCACCCTCCGGGAGCGCGCGACGCGCTGGCTCGAGCGCCGCCGGGCCTACCGGCTCGCGTCGAGCCTCGCGAGCAAGTGGTGGATCCGCCGGCCGCTCCGGGCGGGGCGCTACGTCGTGTTGGGCGGCGTTTTGTTCGCGAGTGGTCGAGAAATCGGCAGCATCGAGTACGCGAACGACCCGGTGGCGAAAGAAAGGGAGCTCCTCGAGGCTGTCATAAGGAGCGCGGGCGGCGTCCGGGCCTCGGTCGACGGCCTGCACGCCATCGCCGCGCTCCCTCCCACAAAACGGACGAAGCGCGTCGACGCCCGCGTCCAGCCCGTCGTCGCGCGCTGCGTCGCGGGCGCGCGCGAGCTGGCGCGAAGGCGGCTCGAGAAGGCCAAGGCGAGCGGCGTGAAGCGTGACATCGACGAAGCCCAGGCGCTCGTCAACAAGATCAGTAGGCCCTGGAAGGCCGTGGTCGTGGGCACGCCCGACGGGGGGCTGCCCTTCATTAATGCCTGGGTGACGGCCTTGTGCCCGCGCACTGTCTTCGTGACGGAGGCGCTCGTCGAGGAGCTCGACCCGACGCCCGACGAATTGGCTTTATGCATCGGCCACGAGCTCGGGCACCTGGTCTGCGGGCACACGGAGGATAGGATTTACTTGAAGGCCATGCTCGCCTACGCCGAGCTGATTCTGCTGGCGTTCCTCGACCCGACGGGGCTGCTCACATTATTGGGTGCCATGGGTTTTCAGAACACGGCCGAGCTGTTCCTCGCGAAGTACTCGCGGGATAACGAGACGGAGGCCGACGCCACTGGGCTGAAGATCGCTGCTTTAGCGTGCTACGACGTCCGGCGCGGCACGCATTTCATGAGGAAGCTCAGCGAGGCGACGGGTTCGCGGCCGACGTCGTGGTGGGCGACGCACCCGGCGACTGAGGACCGCTACGCCGACCTGCGGAGCAGTTCGCTGGGCGTGCACGAGAACGTCTACGGGTCGCACTGCACCGCCGTGGGGAAGGCGCTCCAGCGCCTCGTGACTCGGTGATTTTCTCTTTCGTTCATATAATTTTGCTCCTTCTTTCTATCTTTGAAGACTCCCGGACCCGTTAACACTACAGAATTTAACCAACCTCGACGCCGTCGACGCGGCTCCGGGGGCGGTCACTTCCGATGCTTCTTGAGGAGCGCGACGATGGACGAGTTGCCCCATCTTTTTGCGATGGACAGAGGTGTGTCACCCCAGTTCGTCGCCCGATCGACCGCCGTGCCTTTGTCCAGCAACAGCTGCGCCGCGTCGACGTGGCCGTTGTAGCAGGCGATGTACAGCGGCGTCGCCCCGTTCTTTTGCGCCCGGTCTACCTCCGCGCCTTTTTCTAGCAAGAGCTGCGCCGCGTCGACGTGACCGTTCTGGCAGGCGATGTACAGCGGCGTCACACCGTTCTCCTTCGCCCGATCGACCTCCGCGCCTTTGTCCAGCAGCAGCCGCGCCGCGTCGATGTGGCCGTGTTCGCACGCGACAAATAGGGGTGTCAGGCCGTCCTGTTTAGCTTGGTCGACCTCGGCGCCTCCGTCCAGGAGTTGCGTCATCGCGTCGACATCGCCGATCTTGGCAGCGGCATGCAACGGGTAGAGGTGGTCATCGATCAACGTGACGACTTCTTCATGATCATTATACTTTGCTGCGTCCAGCGCAGTCCCCCCGTCCTCGTCCGCCCGGTCGACCTCCGCGCCTTTTTCCAGCAACAGCCGCGCCGCGTCGACGTGGCCCTTCTCGCAGGCGATGTACAGCGGCGTCCGACCGTCCTTCTTCGGCGGATCGACCGCCGCGCCTCTCTCCAGCAACAGCCGTGCCGCGTCGACGTGGCCCTCAGTACAGGCGATGAACAGCGGCGTCCGACCGTCCTCTGCCGCCCGGTCGACCTCCGCGCCGTTATCCAGCAGCAGCCGCACCGCGTCGACGCGGCCTTTTTCACAAGCGGCGTACAGCGGCGTCCGGCCTTCCTTGTCCGCCCGATTAGCGTCCGCGCCTTTATCTAACAACAGTTGCGCCGCATCGACGTGGCCCTTCTGGCAGGCGACGTACAGCGCCGTCAGACCTTCCCGCCATCCGTCTGACCACACTCGTGACCCCGCTCGATCAACCTCCGCGCCTTTATCTAACAAGAGCCGCGCCGCCTCGACGTGGCCGTTCTGGCAGGCGACGCACAGCGGCGTCGTGCCGTTCTGATTCGCCCGATTGACCGCCGCGCCGTCGTCCAGCAGCTGCCGCGCCGCTTCGACGTGGCCGTTCCGGCACGCGGCGTACAGCGGCGTCCAGCCGTCCTTATCCGCCCGATCGACCTCCGCGCCTTCATCTAACAACAGCCGCACCGCGTCGACGCGGCCGTTCTCGCAGGCGATGAAAAGCGGCGTACGGCCGTTGTCCTGCGCCCGGTTGACCTCCGCGCCTTTTTCCAGCAACAGCCGCGCCGCGTCGACGCGGCCGTTCTGGCAGGCGTCGTACAGGACCGTACATCCCTTTTCGTTCGCCCAATTCGGATCAGCGCCGCGCTGGAGACATAACCGCATCACATCGAGGTTCCGGTTTCGGCAAGCAATAAGAAGCGGAGTTGCGCCATCCAAGCACAATTCGACAGCTGCTCCGTGGTCTAGAAACAGTGTCGCGACGTCGAGGTGTCCGCAAGCACATGCAATCCCAAACGGCGACCACTCAGTCTCACGCCGCTTATCGACCGCGGCACCAGCATCGAGCAGCAAGCGCGCGACGCCGATGTGCCCTTTCAAACTCACAACGAACAGTGGCGTATAGCCATCACTATCTTCCTGATCGACGCAAGCGCCCTCCTGAAGAAGAGCGCTTATTGCGGCGACGTCACCCTTGTAGCACGCAAGCGTCAGTGGCGTCGTGCCGCTCTCGATGCGCAGCTCCCCCCACCGCTTCCCGAAAGCCACAAAGAGCCCGCTCGTATCGCCCCTGACAGCCAACGCCCTAACATCATCATCAAAAGCAACCACCCGCAGCGCCTCACCGCCCTTGCTTGCGTCCCACACCCGCAAAGTCTTGTCGCGCGACCCGCTCACGAGCCGCGTCTCGCCCGTCGCCGGGTCTGCGAAGGCCGTCAGCGCGTTCACAGTGTTCGTGTGTCCCTCGAGCACGAACAGTAGCGCGCCGCCCGCGGCCAAGTCCCAGATGCGCACCTTGTTGTCTATTGATCCGCTCGCGAGGCGAAGGCCACCCGCCGCCGGGTCTTCGAAAACGGTCAACGCCCACACCGATTCCGTGTGCCCCTCGAGCACGACCAGTGCCTCTCCGCCCGCAACCGGGTCATATATGCGCACCTTCCCATCACCACGTGCACCACAAGCGAGCCGCGGCGCGCCCGTCGCCGGGTCTTTGAAGACCGCCAGCGCGCGCACCTCCGAGCCAAGGTCGATCACGACCAGCGCTTCACCACCAGCGACCGGGTCGTATATGCGCAGATCACCACTTTTCTTTCGCCAATTGCCCGTCCCGCACACAAGCCGCAGCGCGCCCGTCGTCGGGTCCGCGAAGAACGCCAAAGCAAACTCAATGCCGACGGCGATCACGACCAGTGCCTCGCCGCCCGCGACCGGGTCGAAGACACGCACCTTCTCATCTCCAGAGCCACAAGCGAGCCGCGGCGCGCCCGTCGCCGGATCCACAAAGAACGCCAGCGCATTCACCTCCGAGCCAACGTCAATCACGAGCAGCACACCACCAGTCTCCGCGTCCCACACGCGAACCGTCTTATCCCAGGACCCAGTCGCAACCAGCAGCGCGCCCGTCGCCGGATCTACAAAGTTTACCAGGGCCCTCACCTCCTTAGAGTGCCCCTCGGGCTCCGCCTCGATCGCCGCGCCGCCCGCCGCCGGGTTCCAGACTCGGACGTTATCACCGTCTGCGCTCACGAGCCGCGGCTCGCCCGTCGCCGGGTCCGTGAAAGTTGTCAAAGAGGCCACTAACCATTTGTGTCCCTCGAGCACGACCAGCGCCTCACCGCTCGCGACCGGGTCGAAGACGCGCACTTTCTGATCTTTTGACCCGCTCGCGAGTCGCAGCGCGCCCGTCGCCAGGTCTTTAAATGCGACCAGTGCACCCACTGGCGAACCCACGTCGAGCACGAGCAGCGTGTCGCCGCCAGAAACAGCGTCGAAGATGCGCACCTTCCCATCCATAGAGCCGCACACGAGTCTCGGCGCGCTCGTCGCTGGTTCCTTGAAGACCGCCAGTGCAAACACATGAGAACCAACATCTAGCACGAGCAGCGCGTCGCCGCCCGCGACCGGGTCGAAGACAAGCACCATGTCTCCCGACGCGCATGCAAGCCGCGGCGCGCCCGTCGCCGGGTCTTTGAAGACTTCTAGTTTGCTAGTAGTAGTACCCACGTCGATCACAAGCAAAGCTTCGCCGCCAGCGACCGGGTCGAAGACACGCACCTTTCCGTCCCGTGACCCACTAACAAGGTAAGGAGTGCCCGTCGCTGGATTCGCGAAGACCGCCAGCGCATACACCCAAGAGCCCACCTCGAGCAAAAGCATTGCCTCGCCACCGGCGACCGGGTCGAAGATGCGCACTTCGCCATTATCACAATCTGCAACCCGCGGGTGCATGCTGGTACCACAAGCAACCCGCGGCTCGCCCGTCGCCGGATCTTTGAAGGCCGCCAGCGCATTCACCTGAGAGTACCGTTCGGCGGCGCCGTTAATCACCACCAGCGCCGCACCACCCGCGACCGGGTCATAGATGCGCACTTTGCCGTCATGAGAACCACAAGCAACCCGCGGCTCGCCCGTCGCCGGATCCACGAACGTCGCCAAGCAGTCAGCACGAGTCTCGATCCGACACCGCTCCGCCCCACCCGCCGCCGTCAGACCCATCGGTCGCGCGGCCGAGAGGGGCAGCTTGCTTGCGACGCGTCTCAAATCCTCGGCCAGGCGTCCCGCGGCCGACTTAGCATCGGCGCGCGGCACAAGCCGCTGCCACAACTGCTCTACGAGAGGCAACCCCCGTGATAGCAGGTTCCGCGACAACACCAATGCATCGGACAACAAAAATGTGTCCTGTTCCTTCAGAGCACGCAAGTCGGCCACGAAGGAAGCGATGTCGCCGGCGCTCCGCTTCCGCACGTACGACAGGCTACACGCCACAGCGACGGCCTCGCCCTCAGCAGAAGACCGCTTCATGTGAAACAAGCACCAACGCAACGCATAAGCATCCGATGCCACACCACCCTCGCCCTCCACAAATGAAGCCAGCACTTCATCCGCGGCCGCGTCGCTCGAGTGCGACTCGGTATCAAGTACCCCAGCACGAACCGCCTGAGCACACGCCCGCGCCAGCCGCCGATGCGCCGCGTCCCGCGCGACGAAGAAATCGTCCTCAGAAGAGCGCTTGTCGAACGGCGCCTCGCCCGTCAGCCAGTCCGTCACTGTCTTATGTAAAACACCAATGACGTCGCCCTCGCGTAGTGGGAACAGCAGGGACAAGCCATCACAGACCTTCTTGCACCACGCCCGATCCCAGCCCAACGCACTACTCGCCGCGTCGACGGTGAGCGGCTCGGCCGCGGCACACACAAGTTCCACCAGCGGCAGCGCGTCGCGCCACGCAGCATCATCAACGAATACGCGTCGAAAGTTTTCCTCGTAGATCTCGTCGAGGCCCGCCGGCAGCGCGCCGACGCTCGCAAAGTCGATCTTGCCAGTCGTTGCCTCGAGCTGGTCCGCGATGAGCCGCGCGTAGAGCATGAGCCCGTCGGCTTTCCGCTCGAGTGCACTCACTGCGGCGTCGAGCGCCGACGAGTTGAGGCGCTCTGAAATGAATGCCTCGAGCGCCTCCGCCCCGACACTCGTGTCCTTGCACATGTCAGGTAACGCCGCACGGATCACTTCATACTGATCGTGCGCGATGTGCTTGGCGTCCGCAATGCTCTTCAAATTCAGTTGATTCTCCGCGATGTGCGTCTGGCTGTCGTCGAGGGGGACGCGGACGTTCAAATTAAAGTCGCGGTAGCCCATGGGCGTGGGGTGGGCGAACTTGTTCTTCACTTGGGCTATCTCCAGGCCGACGCTTGCGAGCCGATTCAGGACGTCGAGCAGTTCATCGGGAGTCTCACACAAGATAGTAGCTCGAGAGAGATCTTTGAGATAACGAGCGTCGCCGCCGTAGTCATTGGCGAGCTTTTGCAGCGACCGCGGACGACCCTTTACGCCTGGACTCTGTATATCATCGTGGAGCTTTCTCAAAGAATCAACCAAAACCTTCTGAGCCACTGCGGCTTGGGCATAGAGCGTCTCGAAATCGCCCTCGTCCTGCTTGAGTCCTGGGTTTCGTCGCTCCCTGTAGGCCTCTAGCTTGTCGAGTCCGCTCACGCCTCGCATGGCTTCCGCGTACGTGGCCTTGGCTCGACGGAGCGGATCTTCGAGTGCCGCAAAACCTCCGAGGCGACCGGCGAGCTCCGGGAACTTCGCCTCGACCTCGTGTCGCAGCGACTCCATCGTCACCTCGAGCTCGATGTGCTCCTTTGCGAGTTCAGTTAGGTACGCCCTCACGTCCTGCCGATTCCGTCCTTCGTCGACACGGAGCTCCGTCGGCGTGTAGCCCTTCAGTGTAGCCTTAATTTGCGCCTCGTCGCGGCTTGTCGCTACGATTTTGATCCAGGGCGGTAGCGTCTTGAGCTCGGTCGCGAGCAGCGACAGCACGGGCTTCAGCGCGTCGCGCGGCAGCTCGTCGAGCGCGTCTATGACTAATACGAGGGCGTCGTCCGGGCCGCGCGGCGCCTTGACGCTTCGCAACGGCTTCGCTACTAAAGCCTCGAAGAGCTCGTCGACCTTGTCGGTCTCGACGCTAGCGCCCTCCCTCCGCGCGTCTCCGAAGCCCTCCACCGTTGCACACAGCATGCCCGCCAGAGACCGCAGCAGCACCGCTGGCGCGGACCGCGCCGGCTCGGTGTGCTTGCAAAAGTGCCACGCGGCCGCGTTTTCCTTGTCGAGCAGCCGCGCGAGCAATTCAGCCGCTGCCACGCTCTTGCCCGTGCCGCCGCCGCCGATCAACCAGAAGAGCTTTGCGCTATCAACGTCAGTCCGCCAGCGGAGCACCGCCTCGAAGACCCACTCGCGCGTGCCGGGCAGGTGCTGCCCGCGCTTCTCCGCAATTATGGCCGAAAAGTCCAGCGCTTCCGCCACGTCGGAGCGGTCGACGCCGTGGAGCTTTTCGTAGAGCGCCTCGGAGATCGCGGCCTTGGCCTCGGACTCCTTCCAGCACCGCACTGCCTCGTCCCTGGAGATCTTGGCTTCCGCGAACTTCTCCTCCCACGCGGGCTGCCACTTGGCGCCCGCCAGCTCCTTCGCCTCGGCAAGCGAGACCTCCTCCGGGAGAGATGATATACCACCGCCCATCTGTAAGGGCTGCCTCAATTCACCTGGCGGCTGCCTGTCCTTCTTCGCTGGAGTGAAGGCTCGGGCCGGGACCCGCACTGCGACTCTCGCCGTCGCCGCCAAATAAGTCCACCCTGGCTCTCGGGCAGCGCCGCTGCGCCGGGCCGGTGCGTGCGGATCGGAACCCGAACCGCAGACGCGGACCTCCTCACACGCGATGATGCGCGGCCTGGCATCAGTTCAGAGATATATGTGCATTTCTTTATGGAAACAGGGTCGGCGGGAAACGGCTGTGCGCTGCGTGCAGAACGCGCGGCTTGCCCTCGCGGGGGGGTGGTGATGAATTCAGGCGTCGAGCGCCGCGCGGAGCGTCTCGGCGACGCGCGCGCACTCGTGCTCCTCGATGACGAAGGGCGGCGCCAGGATGAGGACGTTGCCGAGGCCCGGCACCGTCGACGCGTTGCGGCCGACGACGACGCCGGCGTCCGCGCAGCGCCGCACGATGGCGCCGCACGCGTCATCATCTAAAGGCGTCTTGGTGTCTCGATCCGCGACGAGCTCGACGCCGACCAAGAGGCCGCGGCCGCGCACCTCGCCCACGTGTTTGTGCGCGCCGATGGCCTCCTCCAACGTCCGCTTGAGGAACGCGCCCATCTCCGCCGCCCGCTCGACCAGCCCCTCCCGCTCCACGATCTCGATGTTGCGCAATCCCACAGCACAGGCGACGGGGTGCCCTCCATAGGTATTGATCGACCGCAAGTGCGCTAGCCGCGGCGGCAGCGTCGACGCGACCTTGCCCTGGTGCACGGCGTCCGGGCAGTCATGAAAGTTCGCGAACACCCTATCGGAAACGACGCAGGCGCCCAAGGGCTGGTACCCAGAAGTCAGGCCCTTGGCGAGCGTCACGATGTCCGGAGTTACGCCGTAGTGGTGGTGCCCGAACATCGCGCCGGTTCTTCCAAAACCGCTCACGACTTCATCCAATATGAGTAAGACGCCGTGGTCGTCGCAGACCTTGCGGACCTCCTTCAAATAATTTTCTGGAGGGACTAAGACACCTCCCCCGGACGTGATCGGCTCGCAGATGAACGCCGCGACGGTCTCGGCGCCCTCCATGCGGATCGTCTCATCTAGTGATGCGGCCAAATCGAGACCGTGCTGCGCTTCCGTCTCTCTAGAGCGGTAGGGATAAGGCGTCCCCACCTTGATGTAGCCCGGCGGCTGCGGCCCGAACCCGATCTTCCGCTCCGCCTGGCCCGTGGCCGCCATAGCACCCGCGGTGTTGCCGTGGTAGGCGCGGTGGCGCGAAATGATCTTGTACCGTAGAGGTCCCGACGGGTCCTGCTCGACGTTCGCCGCGTGGAACTGCCTCGCAATTTTGAAGGCAGCCTCGTTCGCTTCAGAGCCGGACGCCGTGAAGTAGGCGTGCGCCGGCGCGCTCCAATCCAGTAAATCGGAAATTTTCGTGGCGAGCTCGATCTGGGGGATGGAGCCGTGCGCCGGCGACAGGAAGGGGAGCTGAACCATGGCGTCGTAGGCGACCCTCGCGAGCTCTTCGCGCCCGTACCCGACGTTGACGCACCAGAGGCCGCCCATGGCATCCAACTTCGTGGACCCATCTAAGGAGTAGAGCGTCGAGTTGTGCGCGTAGTGGACGGCCGCGGGCGGCTTGGATTCGTCACAGGACCAGGAGCGCTGCTGCGTCATCGGGTGCCAGACGTGCTTGGCCTCCTTCCTCTGTAGATCTTCTATCAAGGACGCGAAGTTCGGCTGTTCCTCCATTCTATGAGCGGCCGTGCTCAGTTCTCGGTTGAAGGGCGGCGGCGCGGCCGCGCCGGCGGCGGTGCTGAGCTGCGGGGCCGACGTCGGCTGGAGCGGGCCGTCGGTCGGTCGGGCGACCGTGGACTTGAGTGCGGTGCGTTGCGCAGCGGCCGCGCGGCCCCGGAGGGCGAGGGCGCGCCGCATTTTGCGTCTAGAGTGCTCCTGTGTTCGTCGCGCTGACTGCGCACGCTACGCGGCGTTTCGGACTGCGCCTTCTTGCGTGTCCCGTAAGTGCGGCCTCTGCGGCCCCAGGGTATGCCGTGTTGCTTGTGCTGCGCTTTGTACGCCTCAATCAGACGCACTTTTGTCAAAACGACTGCAAAGCGCTCAAATGATGCCCTTGGTGACCGTTGGAGGGGGAATTCAAAAAGAACCTCTCCTAGCACTCGTGCTACGTGGTGCTGAAACCAGAAAAAGGCGTTTTGGCTTCGAGGCTCTGGGCCTCTTCCTAGTGCCTCTATAGGCCGCTAGCTCTGCAAAAAATCGCATCGGCGGCCTTTAGGTCGCCAAGGAGACAAGCAGGGCTCACGTTGTGACTCGTGCGACACCTCTGCTGATCTGCAGCAGCGAAACCGAGCCAAAAAGCAAGCAACCATGGCCTCCAAACTAGACCGCCTCGCAGCCATGGCGCGGGACGGCGCCAAGAGCACGGTCGCCGAGGCGACGGGCGCGAACGGCCAGCCCAAGGTCATCCTCGAGCACGGCTCCGGCGCGCTCGCCGAGATCTACGCCCACGGCGCGACGGTGACGCGCTACCGCTCACCAGGTGGAAGGGAGGTGCTCTGGACGTCGAGCATTGCAGTTTTTGATGGCAAGAAGGCGATTCGAGGCGGCATCCCCGTGGTCTTCCCCTTCTTCGGGCCGAATCCGGATGAGCGAGTGGGGACCATTGCCGAGTGCCCGCAGCATGGTTTCGCGAGGACCAGTCGCTGGTCTATTGCTGATTTATCCGTAACCAGCGAAGGCGGGTGCAAGGTCGTGTTCCAACTCCAGGATTCCGAGGCGACGCGCGGCATCTGGCCCTTCGCCTTTAAGCTGACGTACGAAGTCGTCTTGGACGAGGACTCGCTCGCGACGTCGCTGACCATCACGAACTCCGGAGAACGGGAGATGGCGCCGCAGTGCCTCCTCCACACCTATCTCAACGTCGCCGACTCAAAGCAGGTCATGATCTTCGGGCTGGAAGAATCGGAATATGCGGACAAGCTTACGGGTAAAACTGAACAGGAGGACATGCCCGCGATTCAGTTCCGGGGCGAGACGGACCGTATTTACAGCGGCGCATCACGAAAAGCGTGCCCGCTCGCCGTGCGGCCCGAGGGCGTGAGGGTGGACGCGCACGGCGCGCTGCTGGAAAAGGACGGGACCGTGACCGCGGAAATCGCGGCGGACGTCGTGATCTGGAACCCGCACGTCAACAAGGCCAAAGCCATGGGCGACTTCGACGACGACGGCTGGACGGCGATGGCCTGCGTCGAGCCCGGCATCGTCGCTTCTGATAGAACGGACATCGCGCCGGGCGCGTCGCTCGTCCTCTCCCAGACCATCGCGCCCGAGGACTAAGAAAGTATTAGAACACGTCGTCGTGCCGCGCCGCCGCCGTCGTCGCCGTCGTGCCCGTCCGCGACGAGGCGCCGGTCCGCGACGACACGTTGTCGTCCTCGTCCGGCCCCGGCGCGAGCCCGGGGAAGGGGTCGTCGCCGTCGTCCGCCGCGGGCGCGGCGACCATACCCGGGAGCGTCGGGAACGCCGACGACGAGGCGGCCGGGGGAGGGCGCGGCGGCGCGGCCGGCGGCGGAAACGTGCGCCGGGGCGGCGGCGGCGGCGGCGGGCGCTCCGGCGCGGCGTCGGAGCCGTCCGAGTCGAAGAGCGCGTCGATGGTCTGCGGGCGCCGCGCGGGCGCCGGGGCCGCGTCCGCGCTGTCGTCGTCCGCGAAGCTGACGTCCCCCGAGCTGTCGCTGGCCGAGGCGGACTCGCTCTGGTCGTCCGCGCGCGGCCGGGGCGGCGCGGCGGCCGTGCTGTCCGCACCGCCGCGCACCGGCGCCGCGCCGGCCGCGCCAAACATGGAGTCCTCGGACGCGTCCACCGCGCCGCGCGCCGGTGCCGCAGCGTCCGCATCACCACCGAACATCGAGTCCTCGGACCCACGGACGCCGGCGCCGCCGCCGAGGCCCCCACCACCGAACATGGAGTCCTCGGACGCGCTCGCGACCTCGACCTCGTCCACGATCGACGCATCGCTGTCGTCGGGCCGCGGCCGCAGCGCCGCCGGCTCGGGTGATGGTGAGGGCGACACGCGCGGCGACAGCGTCCGCGGCGACGCGCGCGGCGACTCCGACTCGAAGGACGCGTCGCCGTAGGACGCCCGCGGACTTATGGACGCCTCCTCGAAGGAGGCCGACGCGGAATAGGAGTCCTCGGCCTGCTGCACATGTTGTAGAGCGGCGGCGCGCGCGGCCTCGAGTTTGGCGGCGGTGGACGCGGGCAGCGGCATCGACGACGACAAAGACATAGAAGGGTCGAGCTTCGGCACCGGCTGTGCCCCGTGCTCGAGGAGCTCGCAGAGCAGCGGAATCTTGGACGGCACTGCCGGTAGGCCGACGTTGTCCCGCAACTTCGACCGCGTCGCCGGCGCCAAAACTTGGTCAGGGTGCACCCTTTCATCACTCAAACCGATGTCCGGCGCCAAAACACAAAGGACACGCGTCAGGCCGACGGACGCGAGGTAGTCGACGACGAGTCCCAGCGCTTCGTTACCGTGCGGCAGCTTTCGACACCTCTCTGCGGTCGATGCCTGTTCACCGGGAGAGGGTTCCACCATGGCCGCGAAGATGTCGGCCCGCAACTGAGCTTTAAGGGCGGCCATGACGCCGCTTTGTTCCAATTTGCACTCGACGGCCTTGTAGAGCTTCTGCTCCATGGCCTCGTACTGCTGCTTGTCGATGTACATGCCTTGGGCCGCCGCGGCGGCGGCGGCCTGGTCGACGCTCGTGGCCATGGTTGACTGATCTCTGGAGAGAGGGCAGCACCAATTATGCGTCGCGAGTGGTTGCCCCGCGCGAGGCAGCGCACGTATTGATTGAGATGAATGGAACGGGCAGCCCGACCACCCGTATGAGGCCGAGCGCTTCGCAATTGGCTGCAGAGCGCTTTCAAACCAGGCAAAACGAGGCAATTCGTGGGACTGCGGTGAGACGGCTGCGACCCGACGCCTATGGACTCCTCTCGGGCCGCGAGCAATCTCTTTGAGATGCAAAAAAAAAAAGCTAGTGTGTCTATCTCGCGCCGCATTTCAAAAGTACGAGCTTGTAAGCCGGTTATCTCGGCCTCTGGGCACTTGCGAGACGCAGGGAGCTGTAGAGCAGTGTTTCGTAGCTTGATTTCGTCGGGTTCTCGAAAACTCCGCCGCGCGCCACCGCTAGCGCCGCTGCGAGCAATTTGAGTCGGGAGGCTGTGCGCGCTGCGCGTGCGCGCTGTGCAAGCGATGGAGCCGCCGCCCGAAACCGAGGAGGACTACTTTGCCGCGGCCTACGAAGAGGAGCTGGCCATGGAGGAGGAGGCGCGCGCGGCGGCCGAGGCGCCCGCCGCCGCGCCGATGGACACGGCCGAGCCGTCGGAGGCCGACAAGCCCAAGGGCGTCTTCGACTGGCGCGAGCGCGACGACTTCGGCAAGCGCTTAGTGCCCGAAGAGAGCCGGGCGAAGACGGTGCATGATAGAAGGAAGGAACAAAAGCTGCAGGCACCGGGCGCCGCCGTCCCGGATGAGAGTGTTGGATTACTGAGACTGCCGCCTCATAACGTACCGTCCATCCCGGTGACGCTGGCGGACGGGTCGAGGAGGCACGCGGCCATTGCACGATCTGGGACGCTCGAGATGCGCTCTTCTCAACTGCTTTCAAGACCCGTCGATGAGATGCTGCGGGAGATCGACGAAGATGTTGTACAAGATGATGAGGATGTGGAGATGACGTCCGAGCGGGGCGACGGCGCGCTCTGGGTCGACCGCTACGCGCCCACGAGCTTCCCCCATTTACTGAGCGACGAGAGAACAAATAGGGATGTGCTCCGAGCCATCAAGGACTGGGACCCCCACGTGTTTCGGAAAGCAGCACCGGCACCTCCGCGAGTGCCCCAGTACCGACCGACGCAGCAGTCGTATTCATCACAAAGGTCGTCGAACTTCTCGTCGTCCGGCGGTAGAAGGTACGACGCCCCCAAAAGACTCAATGCGAGGCGAGGCGAACCGCCGCAACGCGAGTACAAGAAGTTCTCTCCTAAAAAAGACAAGAAGCCCTTCGTTCCTGAGGCTCCGAAGGCTACCCGAGGTGACGATGGAAGACCCCTGAAGCGCGTCATTTTGTTAGCCGGCGAGCCAGGGACAGGCAAGACGACATTGGCCCATGTGCTCGCTAGACAAGCTGGTTATAGTGTAAGAGAGGTCAACGCGTCCGACGAGAGATCTGCCGCAAAACTGGAGGATGCCGTGAGAACCGCCTCGTCGAACCGAACGCTGTCGTCGGACCGACCCACCTTACTAGTGTTGGACGAGTTAGATGGTGCTGATGGTCAACAAGCGGTGGCGTGCCTCGTGCGCATGGCTCAGGCCGAATTACCCTCGAAAAAGAAGAGTAGTGAGAAACGGGCGTCGTTGTTTGGTCTAAAGGAAGAGGAAAAGACGACGACAAAGAAGCGCAAGGGGCCGCCTCCTCTCAGAAGGCCCGTGATTTGTGTCTGCAATGATTTATATGCTCCTTCCTTAAGGCAGTTGCGAGATGTGGCGTTGGTGTTCCAGCTGCGGAAGCCCACGGTGCCTCGTCGTTTAGCTCAAAGGTTACGTTCAGTAGCGGATAGTGAAGGCGTGGCGTCGTCGCCGGCCGCACTAGCAACTTTAGCAGATGCCGCCGATGGCGACGTGCGAGCAGCTATTGGGAGTCTGCAGTTCGCCGTCACCGCATCAGGTGACCGCAAGGACGCCGCGAAAGTCACGAAAGCCATCTTGCAGGCCGCCCAGTCGGCTACCAAAGACAGATCAGCAGACGAGCCCGAGCTCTTTACTCGCTTATTTAAGGTAGGCGAGCCGAAGCCCAAGAAGATCAACCATGAGGACGGTGTTAAGTTGATACCACCGAAACCGTTGTTGGTGGAGCTGGCGCAGTCCTCCGCGCAGCGCATTGTCGATGGTGTGCTAGAGAACTACGGCAAGTGCGAACGGAGGCAGCCCGATTCTCTAGATGCCGCTTCGAAACTACTAGATGACCTGTCCGTGGCGGACCAGTTCATCGGCACGGCTTTTGGGAAGGACTGCTTTTCTGCGCTGCCCTACGCCGCCGCTGCCGCGGGCCTGTCGGCGCACTCTTTATACTCGGTAGATTCTCCACCGTTGATGAAGCGGCCTACCGATAGAATCTTTCGTTCAGAAAGGCAGAAGCATTCGTCGGCCTTATGTTCACTGGACGATTCAAGGGCGAGGTACGGCGGCCAACTGAAACTAGGCTGCTCGGTTCTAGCGTTGGACGTCTGTGCGTCGTTACGAAGACTAGTTCTGAAGCCCGGTTCCGTACGGCCGGTGAACCCCGACCTACTAAGGCAGCCCGAGCGCGAGGCGTTGGACAACGCGGCCGGTCGGTTGGCAGCAAACGGCCTCACGTTCGAGCGCGATCTATCCTTCCCGAAGCCCGACGAGCCGCCGAGACCGTTCAAGTTTAGATTGAGGCCCGACGTCGCTTCCGTGTCCTTATTTGCTGATGCGGCCGAGGAGCCTTTGTCAGATGTCTTGCGCCAGACGCTCGCGCGAAAAGTTTTAGTGGAGAAGGCGCGGCGACGGGAGCGCGCCGAGGCTGATAAGAGGAGGGAGCAGAAGCCCATCAAAAAAAGACAATCGGTGGCGCCCGTCGACGCCGAGACGCTGTTGAAAAAAGCGGCGGCTAAGGTGCGGACGCCGGCCCAGCCCCAACGGCGGGGCTTCTCCTTCTCCTCGTGGCAGACGTCGAACAAGCGGGCGCCCCCGCCAAAAGCGACGGCGAAGCGCAAAGCCCAGGAGCAGCTCGAACGGGCGTCGCGGCCGGCCTACGCGGTGCAGTACAAGTTCAAGAAGGGCCACACGAACGCCGTCCGGCGCGAGGTGACGCTCGAGGACCTGCTGGCCTGATGCTCTTCCTAAGACTACTAGTTATTTACTTGCTCTTGTAATATTGGTCGCAAGCCATGAGAACGCCGAGGAGTACCACCGCGGCGCAGATAGAAGATGCGTCGGGCGGGCCTGGTCGCGGCGCGCGCGCGACGTCGGCGCACTCGAGGCGGTAATGTGTGTATACCGCTTTAAATCTTGACGGCCCGACTGCGTAGCTAATCCGGTCGCCGACGGCGAGAAACTCCCCGAGCTGCACTAAGGAAGCCTCGTGCAGTAACAAGTTGTCGCCGTCCTCGCCCCGCACGAAGTAGAACCTCCGCCTTGTGTCGCCTTGTGTCTCGGAGTAGAACCTCCTATGAACGGGATCACTTAATTCAACCTCTCTGACCTCGTATGCCACCACGACACCCGTAAATCGCTCATCGGATAATTCTGCTACCGGGGACGGATCGCCGAGTTGCCATCTGGGTCGTTCTTTGTCCTTCTCCATGGCCTCCTTGTCGGCCCACCACTGGTCGGCGAGCCGACCTCGGGTCGGCCGGAACCATCTGAAGGCCGAGTAGAGGACATTTGGCTCCACCATCGACTCGGCGCCCTGGAACATCGCCTGCATGGTCCTGACCTGCTGGACCCACCAGCCACCGAGCGGTTGGTTGAAGGATCTCGCATCCTTAAACATCCACTTCATATCTAGGACCCTGTGGACCCGCCAGTCGCCCAGCGGCTGGTTAAACGACGCGGCGCCAAAGAACATCGCGCGCATGTTCCAGACGTTGTGGACCCGCCAGCCGCCGATCGGGTGGTTGAACGACGAGGCGCCGCTGAACATGGACATCATGTCCTCGACCTTGTCGACCTGCCAGTCACCCAGCGGTTGGTTGAACGCCGAGGCGCCATCAAACATGTGGCGCATATTCGTGACGTTGTGGACCCGCCAGGCGCCGAGTGGGCGGTTAAATGCCGATTGACCTTTGAACATCTTATCCATCGTAGTTACGCTCGAGGTATCCCACGCGCTGATGTCGTCGTTGAACAGTGGTAAGTCTGCCAAAAGCACACAGGATGTGTCCTCTACGTCATCGTTTTCATTTAACGCGGTCCTGCCAAACAACCCCCGCATGTCCGTGACCTGGGAGGTGTCCCACGTCGAGATGTGCGGCAAACGTGTGTCGCCGCCGCACCAGCGCCTTATCCAGACTCGCAGCGTCTCGTTCGTGAGAGGTTCCACGATGGGAGGCCTGGCGTGCTGCGAGTCTGGGTAACCTCCATGATGCGGCTGAACGAGAGGTTGGGCATCGGCAGCAGCCCGCGCCTGATTTTGACGGGAGGCCTCGGCGCCACAGATGTGGCCCGGGGGCATCTCGATTGTAATGGGCTCGTACGACTCGCCGTGCTCCAAAGTCATCGTCGGACGCCCATACGACGAGTAAATCCATTCTCCTGGGGGTCGGTACCATTCTCCTCGCATCGTCGATGGCTGTGCGTGCGCGTGCAGCTGCCCTTAAAGCTGCCCCAGTCGAGCTCAGGAAGCTTCCTAGTGCCTTACAGGACGCTAGCACTTCGTGGCCGCGTGGCTTGGCATGTCAGGCTTCGCGTTGGCAGTGCTCAACGAGGTATTTGAACACGCATTGCTGCGAAATTGCATTGCTCGCATCAGCTCTGCTGGACAGCATGGCATCACTCGTGGTCGACGCAGCGTACGTGCACCACGGAACCGCCGCCGCCTCAGCGGACAATATCAACGGCTGGAGCGAGGCTGCCTTAAAACGAATAAAGCCGAAAGCGTTCAAGCGGCGCCTCGAATCCGCGCTAGGGCTGTCGATAGAGCGCGCCTGCTGGTGCGCGGCGCGCGACGGCCGCGTCGACGCCGTGGCGACGAAGCTCGACAAGCGGCTGAGGAAAGCGGGCTTCGTAACATCATACCGTCGCATAAAGATGGACGAGGTCGTGTGTCGCAATCGGGACTGCGTCGCGGCCGGTACCTGCCCCCACTTACATCGGAGCAACCCGGTGCGCTGCCGCCGCCAGGCCGGCGTCGACGTCGACGTCGCGTGCCGCGCGCTCCAGTTTATTACCGAGCAGCTGATGAGTGAAACAACAAGCTGGCAGTCGTCGACGTGGACGCACGCCCAGCAGTCCGCGCAACCCTGGCTCGTGCTCGTCGCCGGCGACGGGGACTTCCTGTCGCTGGTAGAGACCGCGAAGCGCCTGGGCGCGAAGGTCGCCGTCGCGGCGTGGCGGCGGTCGGTGCACGACGATCTTGTGGAGACGGCCGACGCGTTCCTGGCGCTGGACGACGACGACGTCGTCTGGAACGAGGGCGACGACGAGGAGGACGACGACGACGCGAGCAGCGCCACTCCTCAGATCGCGTCGCCGTCGCCGCTCCTCGTGCCGGCGCAGCTGTCAATCAGTGGTTCGCCTTTTGGCGCGGCGGCGCCGATGCCGCCCGCGCCCGACGACGAGCTGTCGCGCGCGCTCGCCGAGTCGGCGCTGCTGGCGCGGCTCGACGCGGCGACGGCGAACGACGGCGGAGACGACGAGCTTGCGCGAGCCCTCGCGGAGTCGGCCAGACAGCACGCCCTCGAGGAGCGCCAGCGCACAACCTGGAGGCACCCCGAGCTCGAATCGAGCGATGAAGAGCAGGATTCCTCCGAGCTGGAGACGTCTGGCGAGCTGGAGACATCCCGCGAACTGGAGACGTCTGGCGAGGCGTCGCTGCGGCATCCGGAGTTGGAGGAGCCGTCACTCGCGCGGACGCCCCGGAGCTGGGAAGACTGGGCGCGTCCGCGGCACCCCGAGCTCGATTCCGACAGCGAGGACGGCCTCGACACCCGGCCGGGAATAGTTGTATTGTAAGTGAATTAGTGGTTGTCCCGCCGCGTCCCCGCGCAGGCCTCCGCGCGCTGCTCCAGCGCCGCGACGGCCCGGTCGTAGACCCCCAGATCGATCGGATTCGACGCGACGAAGGCATCCTCGAGCGCCGCGTGCTCCCAGTGCGCCGTGCGCGCCTTGTGCCGCTCGCGCGCCGTTTGGTGGTGGTGGACGTGCTTGAGGTGCTTCATCGCCCGCGACGCGCGGTCTTCCGTCGCGCTCCTCAATACTCTCCTCCGGTCGGGGTAGGCCTTCTTCAGGCCCAGGAAGTGCGCGGGCAGCCTCCTCTCCAACTCGGCCACGACGAGCGCTAGTTTGTCGGCCGGCGCCACGAACAGAACTGACGACGAGGCCACGGCCCAGGCCTCGTCCACGGTATTGCATTGGGAAGAACCACAGAGCCACTTCGCGTCCGCATTATCAACATCGTGCCCTTCGGTCATGAAGCACGAGGGAGAGTGGCCCGGTCCTTTGCCACTGAAGTCCACGCTCCCGAGGCACTGCTGGATGGCCTCCATCGTCACGAGCGCTAAATGCAAAGAAGCCATGCGCTCGCGCGGGTGTCGGACAAAGGCGACGACAACTGGAGCTTTACTGCTCAGCACTTGCGTGAGGTCCGGGACCTTGTACGCGCCGACGACGACCGCCGCGTACTTATTGGACTGCTCGAAGCACGCGGGCAGGTCCCTGGTCTGCGCCTCGTCGGCGCGGCCACAAACCGAAAAGTCGTTGTCGTTCTTGAGCTGCTTGAAGGCGTCGTACAACCGTTTGACGCTGCTGGAGGCCCCGGGCGGGTGTATAATACCGACGGCGCGGTGCGCTCCGGATAAATGGGGCGGGCACGCGCCGTCGTCGCTTTTTTTTGTTGATAGTTCAACGTGGTCCTGCAAATCGCTCTCGAAGTCGTGGGCGTGGATGACCGTGCAACCTTTATCTGCATAGGTGCCGTCCTTCAGTTGCACTGCTCTACAGTGGCGCACGTTGCGACAATTGTAGATCATCGGTAATTTCGCCACCCTTAGACCTTCGTCTTTCGCCTTGCGCACGGCCACTTGAAAAGAAGGCTGCTCGCGGCGCGTCCGTTGCATGACCGTGCGGTATTTGGCCTCCCAGTGGCGCCAGAGCGCGTTCGAGCGCGCGTTCTTGGAGAACGCCAAAACACCGGCCGACGCGCCGGAGTGGTTGCCGCGGCCGCCCCAGACGCAGGCCACGTCCGTGTTCCTCAATAAAGGGAAGAGCGTTTTCCCAGGATCCTTGCAGGCCCTGGTGTCGCTGTCGAGGAAGATCGTGCGCTCGTAGGGCGACGCGAGGCCGCCCCGCAGCTTCTGCAACCTAAACCCCTGCGAGTCGTGCACGTCGAGGTCCGGGAAGGCCTTTTCTGCTCGTATGACAACATCAAAAACTTGCAGCGACGGCCCGACGTCCCGCAGCGTCGCGGCGTCGGACACGAAGGTGATGTTGGCGGCCGGCGCGACGCGGCGTAAACTCCGCGCGCTCGCGACGGCCTCGTCGCCCCGATTGGTGACGAAGAGGTAGCCCTCGTCGGGGGTCGCCGCGGCCGTCAGGGCTAGGGCGAGGAGGCGCCGCATGGGGCTGCCGCGATCGCTGCCCGATGCGTGCTCTGGTGTTTTGTGGGCTTGTGCCGATGCTCAATTACTTGGGCTTGTGACTCTTGGGCGCAAAAAAGGGCTTCGGGTTGCTTTTTTGGCGTGCTTGCTAATGTCTTTATGCCGCTAAGCTTGTCTCGACTGCCTCGACTTGATACGGCTGGCTCCCTTGCCGATTTTTGCACCGCAGCTCGCGAATCGACATCGCATCGATCAATAGAGCTGCCACGATGCGCGCCACGACGCTCGTTTTGCTGGTCGCTGGTGCTGCTGCGCTCCAGCCCACTCTGCGCGTGCACGCGGCGGCGCGGTCCCGTACGAGTGGATGACCAGTGCAGAAAACAACCAAAGGATTCGACGACCTGACGGCGAAACGACTCTAATGCTTGTAACGCTTGACCGCGACCCGCGCGCCGGACGTCGACGGCGCCGCCGACGGGAGGGATCGTCCAGCCTCCACGCCATCGAGCGGACGCGTCGGTGTGGCGAAAAGGTCGACGCACACACAGGCATCGTCGCCCGGGCCGAGCCAGAGCGAGAGGACGGCATGGTCGACATCAGACCCCAGCCGCGGGAACTGGACAGCGACGCGGAGCTCGGTCTGACGGTGCTCGCGCCCGGGATCGCGCTGTTCGCGCTCATCGCGGTCGTGGCCCAGTTCGCGCACCCGGTATAGGCCTAGTTTATAATTGGATCATACGAACAGCGCTGACACCGGATCATCTCCAGATTTAGAAGGTGCGGGGCCGCTCGCGTGCGATGCGAGATACGATGCGGTGACGCACTCGGGGTCCGTGCTAGAGTGACTAGTTCAATAAGCGACTCTCTCTCACGAGTCGCAACGTGCGCGACGCGCGGTGCGACGTGCGCGCTACTCCTAGTAACATAAGTCTTAGTGAGCCAGACGAAAACAGCGCGGCCGCGCGCCGCCGCCGCGGGAGGACCAGGTCGGCCCCACACCCAGAGAGATGGTGTGGCGCGTCATAGGCGGTCCCCCGCGCGCGGCGAGCCCCGGGGCGTGCGGTCCCCGGGGCGGCCACCAAGTGCCTTCGTCTAGAGCTCGTCCTTCGCCGCCGCGACTTTGGCCAGCTTCGCGAGCAGCTTCCGCTGGGCCTTCATCTTCTTCTGCGTCGCGTCGGACAGCAGATCGTCCAACCGCGCCGCCTCGGCGTCGCGCGCCGCGGCGTCGCCGCGCCACGCGTCCAAATACTGGGACTCCTCCTCGTCGCAACCCTTCTTGGTTACGGCGTCGCAGACCTTCCTAGAGGTTGTGACGGCGTTGATCATGCGCTGCGGGATCTTGAACTCGTCGCAGATCTTCTGGGTCGTGATCCGCTCGACGGGCGCGCCGCCGGGGCCCGTGTCCGCGTTGTAGTACCGCAGCGTCGGCCAGCCGCCCGCGCCGGGGTTCTGCGGCGTCCCGTCCCGACTCTGCGTGACGCGGCCCTCCCGCAAATTCACGTCCCCGAAGACGACGCCCGCGTCGTCCTTGTAATGCTCCACGGCCGCACGCCATCCCGGAGCCTGCTTGACTCATCAGCCTCAGCCCTCCGACGCGATGAACCGCACCATCGCCGTCTTGCCGGCGGCCAGCGCTTCTTCGACGAAGTCGTCGAAGTTGGCAGCCGTGAGAGGGGTGGTGCCCTCGGCTAGCGCGGAGCCAGCCTCGGCTGCGCCTATGCAGGCCAGGGCCAAGAGGATGCGGCGCGCCATCTCTGCACGCGTTTCTCTGCACGCGTTTTCCGGCGAAACGGCGAGGACACGACTCGCGCCAGCGACGCGATCGGTCCCGGACGTTCGCTGGCTCTCTCCTGCGCCGCAACGAGAGCCAATTCGAGCCAAAATGGCCTATGTGCGCTGTGATATACCCGTGCGATAGACCAAAATGCATGGGTCTTTTTGAAGGCGTGCTACGTGGCCTCAGGCCTCAGGAAAGCGGCGCAGGAGAGCCTTCGCCTGCCGAAACTGCCGCTCCGCGGATCAGAGTCCCAGAGTTTAATTCGCGCGCTCTCCGCCTGCGCGTCGTCTTACGAGCCGATTGACAACCGCGCGAGCCTGTTGACAGTAGCCAAGTACCGCAGCGGCAACTTGCTGGTCGAAAAGAGGGCTGCAAGCACGTAAAAAAGCAGCACAGTGAAAGGCCAGAGATCCACATGGCAGCGGTCGTCCAAAGCCCGCCCCACGAAATCGCGCGCCAGGAGAAGTTGGCGCATCTCGCCGCCGTCGACGCGCGCGAGGAGCTCCAGCGCCGCCACAGCCAGGGCCAGGCCGACGCCGGCGCGGAGGCCGAGCGCCAGGCCCGCGTGGCCGCCTTCGGCGAGGCGCCGCAGGCGAGCCCCTTGGTCAAGGCCATCAGCGCCGGCGAGCTCGAGAAAAAGGCGACGACGCAGCAGGTGAAGGCCCTCGCCGAGGAAGAGCGCGCCCAGCGCATGGCCGCCGAAGCCGAACGCGAGCGCGTATCCGAGTCCGAGCGCAAGTCCAATGCGGCGGCGGCCGACCGCGCGGCGGAGGGCGAGCGCCAGGAGCGGCTCCAGGCCCAGGCCAAGGCCGACGCGCAGGAGGCGCTCGTGCGTGCCGAGGCGCAGCGCCGCTCGCTCGAGCTGCAGGACGCGGAGCGCGCGGAGCGCCTCGCGGCCGGCCCGCAGCGCTCGCCGCTCAAGGGCTCCAAGGTCCTCGAGACCGTCGGCGACGCGGCCGCCGAGCTCGGTGCGGACTCCGTGTCATGCCTTCGTTTTGGGGTCGCGTCGATGGCGTCGAGCCTCACAAAGTTTCGTCCACACAGAACGCAAGGGCAACGCCCGCCGCGTCGACGCCGCGGCCGAGGAGGAGCGCGAGCGCCGCGTCAACGAAGAAGCGGCCCACGAGCGCGCGTCCGAGACCGAGCGCCTGTCCAATGCCCAGGACGCCGACAAGGCCGCGGAGGCCGAGCGCTCACGCCGCGTCGCGGAGGACAAGCGCCGCGAGGCCGACGCCGCGCGCGAGCGCCAGACCGCGGCCCGCAAGGCCAACAAGGCGATGGACGCGGAGCGCGGCGCAGTGCACAAATCAAATTCGCGGCGCTTCGCACGCCATCGACGCGACGTGACGGTGCGGTTTCTGACTCACCGGTTGATTTGCGCACAGGCGCGCCGACCGCGTCGCGGCGCACGGCACCGCGCCCCTGGCCTCGCCGTCGTCCAAGGCGATGAAGAGCGTGAGCATCACGCCGCGACCGGCCGACGCGCCGCCGCCGCCGCCGCCGGAGACCCAAATCTCGACAGAGTCGCTCGACACCGCGTGCACCAAGGCGACGAAGACCTGCGTCATCGCCTGAGGCGCCACCGCGGACGAAGCCGCGTTCCCCCCTGTGTCCCCGCGTGATCCCTGTCCTCCTCCCCTCTTGTAACAACAAACTTATATGGAGTGCTTCACGAGCGCGGCGAACGCGATGCCGAACCAACAGATCTCGAGGAACATCGGAGCATAGGCTTTCTTGCAATAGCAATTGAACCCGACGCACGCGGACCCGAAGAGGTTCATGCAGTCGACGACGACGGGGTGCTTGCGCAAAATCTGGTTCGCAACGAATAGATACGCGACCAGCAACGTCGCGGACCCAACATACCCCAGGACGTCGTTCAGCTCGGGCCCGCGCCGGCGCTTCTTCGGGGCGCCGGCCTCGCTCGCCGCCGGGCTACTCAGGTAGATCGTTTCGCCCTCCGGGTCGTAGTACGACGGTTTGCCGGCGGTCTGCATCGCTCAATTTTATCGTGCAAGTAACAGCGACAGTCTGATGGCTCTAGCTAAAGTACCAGTTCGGGGGTCAGGGCGCGAGACGCGCGACGAGCTATTATTTGGCAAGTTTGGTTTTGAGCACAACGCCCACAACGCCAATATCAATGCAGGAGTGATTTTCGCTCAATGCCGCGTCGGCGTACTACCAATGCCGGTACTTCCGTCGGTCGCTTCAATCCGTAAGCGCGGTAGGGCGTCAAACGCGTCCCCGCCGCACAAGCTTGTGGCTTTCGTGCGGGTTGCTTAGCCTTCTCAAACCAAAGAACAGTATCCAACACCACCCATCTCTTAATAGACAACCGTGCGACCAGTCCCATAAAACCCGACATCAGTTGTGGCGCACGATCGTACAAAGCGCAGTCGTTGGTGCCGCGTACACAAAATGCCCGGCGCGGGCTGCGCCTAAAACCACACAAAGACGACGATGGGCCGCGGCGACGAGCGCGTCCTGCGCATGGCGCTGCGCAACGTCCTGCGGGCCACCAGCCACGAGGACGCCCTGGGCGTAACTCGGGGCTGCCCCGCGGCGGACGTGACCGAGGCCTACCGGGACATGGCCATCCTGTGCCACCCCGACAAGGTCGCGGCCGGTCTGCGCGGCGATGCGGGTGTGGCGATGTCGCGGCTGAACGCGGCGCGCGACGCGCTCCTGAGCAAGAGCAGGGAGACAGCGCCGCCGCCGCAGCGCCTCCGCGTCGTCGCCCGGAGCGCGACGTCGCTCGACCTCGCCTGGGACGGCGCCGGGCCCTTCGAGCTGCAGTGGCGCCCGGCCTCCTCACCAAATTGGCTCGGGACGCGCCTATCGGGCAACGCGTGCCGCAAGAAGAACCTCGCGGGCGGCGCATCTTATACTTTCCGCGTCCGCGCCGCGGCGGGGTCGGCGTGGTCGCGCGTCGTCGCCGGGACGACGCTGCGGCACGCAAACCGCGCCGAGGGCGACGAGCTGCGGCGCGCGGCGCGGGAGCGGGTCGACGCGAAGCGGGCGGCTGCCGCGGCGCGCGCTGAGGCCGCGCGCCAGGAGGCCGCGCGCCGCCTCGTCGCGGAACGGGAACGCCTGGCGGCGATGAAGGCGCAGGCGGCCGCGCGCCGCGTCGCCGCCGCCCGCGCCGGCTTCAGGAGCGCGGCTTCAGGAGCGGGCGAATGCGGTGCCGCTCCGGAGCCGCCGGCTGCGCCTGTCGAACGCGGCGCCGCCGCGGAGCCACCGGCGCCGCCGGCCGCGCGGGACGCACGGTCCGTCGAGGCGCGCCCCCAAAAGTCAGCGAGCTGGCGTGCGGAGAAGCGCATAGCCGAAGAACAACGCATCGCCGCCGAAAAAGCCGCCGAAGATATGCGCCGCAAGGAGGAGGCTCGGATCGCGGAAGCGGGCGAGGCCGCGCCGCGGGCCGCGCCCGTGACGCCGCCCGAGGGGCACCGTGACCAAGCCGCACAAGAAGAAGACGACGACCGCTTCGCGCACGAGCCGCCCTTCGCGACGAGCCCGCCGCGGAAACGGCCGCCGCGGGCCGAGGCGCCGCCCGTCGTGACGCCCCCGGCGACGCCGCCGGAGCCGGAGGATGACAAGCCGGACGACAGCCGGCCCTTCTCGCACGCCAAGCCGCTGAGTCCGATGCCGCCGGACGCACACGACAAGCAGCAAAATTATGTGAAGTGGTTCGTGCGGCCCCGCGCGCCGTCGAAAACGCAACAACCGCCGCCACACCGCGAAGTCCGCGCGCACCGGACGTGTTTAGATCATGCGCGCATGGTCAGCTGCGTCGCTTCACTGACAAAGGATAGGGTCGTGAGCGGCTCCTTCGACCGCACGCTGAAGATCTGGAACGCTGAGGACGGTGCCTTGCTCAAGACGCTGAGCGGCCATTCCCGATACGTCCAGTGCGTCGCGGCGCTGGGCGACGACCGCGTCGTTTCTGGAAGTTGCGACGGCACGGCTAGAGTCTGGGACTGCGATTCCGGGGAGTGCGTGCACGTGCTGCGGGGCCACTCGGCGCTCGTGACATGTATGTCCGTCCTCTCTGATGAAAGAATGCTGGTCACGGGCTCCTTCGACCACACGCTGGAGGTCTGGGATACGTTATCATCGAAGAACGTCGGTACGTTATTAGGTCACGCGGACCGCGTCTGGTGCTGCGTCGCTCTGGCGAACGACTGGGTCGTTTCTGGAAGTTTCGACTGCACGTTGCGGGTCTGGGACGTCGAGCAGGCGCGGTGTCTGTCTACCTTGAAAGGGCACCGGGACCGCGTGTGGTGTGTGGTGGCGTTGAGTAGATGCAGGGTCGCGTCGGGGTCCCTGGACCGGACGCTGCGGGTCTGGGACTGTATTACTGGAAATTGTCTCGGCGTCCTCGAGGGGCATTCCAGGGAGGTGCGGTGCGTCGTTTCATTGAAGGACGACGTGCTGGCTTCGAGTGGCGACGACCGCTCCATCAAAGTCTGGGACCTCTCCGATTATAAGTGTAGGCGCACCCTCAACGGCCACGGCCACTTCGTTACTGGTCTCGCGGTGCTCGCGGACGGCCGCCTCGCGTCGGCGTCGCACGACCGCACGCTGAAGATCTGGGACGCCTTACAGGGGAGGCGCCTCGCGACGCTCGCCGGCCACGCGCACGTCGTCGAGCGCGTCGCCGTCCTCCCCGGCGGCCGCCTCGCGTCGGGGTCCCACGACCGCTCGCTCAAGGTCTGGAAGTTCTAACAAAAACTATTAGTAAGCCTGTCGCCCGAAGCAGCACTTCCAACACGCCATACATAATGGCCGGCCGACCGTCCAGACCAACCCACAGACCTTCCGCAGCACGAGTAACACGCCGCGCCCGCCGCCCGGCATATTCATCAGCGCGGTCCAGGCGAGGCCGCCGATCTGCATGGAGGCGAAGACGACCGTGAGGATATAGGACCGTCGTATGCAGGCCGCCCAGAGCGTCAATAACAAATTCAAAGCGTAGGCCAGCGCGTAGGGCAGCCTCTTTGAGTTGAGAAAACTCCGCAGGAAGGGCTTCACGCCCCGGACCACCGCGAGCGCCATGCAGAAGAAGATGCTGCCCGTCGTGAACGCGAGCGCGAACTTCTGGGGTCGTATTACCAAAATAGGTAGCCCCAGCGTGAACGCGAGCGTGAACATGACCAGAGAGGTCACGAGCAGCAGCGCGAACGCCCGGAACCGCCGCGCGGCCGCGCCGGTGGCCTCGGCCGCGCCCTCGTACTTTTCGTGGGCCCAGGGCGTCCAGGCGGCGAGTTTATCTTCTGCTCTATCTAGTACAGCATCCGCCCGGTCGACGACATGATCTAAATTGGTGAGATTTAGCAGGTAGGACGCGAGGTCGTCTTCACTGTTGTCGTAGTAGCCGGCCTCCTCGTCCTGCACGTCGTCGAGCCAGCGGGAGAACTTGGTGTAGGACATGTTGTTTGGTGTGCAAAGCTGTCCTGCTTACTGAGTTTGTTGAGAGGCTTAGGACTGCGCCCCCTGGCGCACGTATGATAGGAGTAGAAGATGCCAGTCGCTGCCGGACTCTCAAGGCTGTATCCAGCGGGGTAAAAGCCTGAACAAGCGTGAAAGCGCCGAGCTAGCGGCCGGGAAGACACTAGAGAAATCACATCCTGATGGGGGGCGTCCCGAAGAGGGGGGGGCGTGCGAGTCCCTGTGACTCAGCCCTTGCGTCCTAGTCCAGCCGGACGGGTGGGCCCGGGGGGAGCGGGAGGGGTACGGGGGACCCCGCGACGTAACTAGCCTGAGCCTTAATCACAAACAGCTAGCCTCGGCGACTAGGACGGGTCTAGAACGGGTTCGGGGAGGGCTCGGGTACGCCAGTGACTCGTAAAACTACGATGGGAATAATTAAAAACGACAGGATACAGTTCGAAATTTTCGACAAGAGACAGTGCGCAGGTCCTGCGCGCTATCGCTATGGGGGACCGGCCGGCGCCTCGCCCGGGGCGCTCCGACAGACCACCGCGTGGCCCGCGTCGACGAGCGCCGCGTTCATGATGCCGCCGATGCCAAAGGCCGGCGCCATGCGGATGCCGAACGCCACGACGGTCGCCGGCGCCACACGCCAGACGTCCCGTATTCTTTCCGCTACAGTAGCGACGGGCGCGTTGTACATGTTTAGGGCTAATAAGTGCACGGGCGCACACACCCCCTGCATGGCCACGGGCGACACCATCTGCGCACACGCTTGCGCACTCACTGGATCCATGGCGCCACTACTTGAAATGCCCTTGGCCAGCATCTTTGGTAGCGTAAACGACGAAAAGATCGTGATGAGGTCTCTTGAGAGAAATAACCCATACGACGCGAAGGGCATGGCCTTCTTGCCCGCGCCACTGCCGCCGTACATCTTGGCGAATGCGACATCTTTAGCAATACAAGCGGACGCGTTGACGGCCGTCGTGCCGATCAACGTCGCGGCGACGTGCGTCTTTTGCGAATAGCGCTGTCGGGTCGCGACGGTGTCGATGGTGTTCGCCGCTAAATAAGTAGCAGCATACACCCCAGTCATCATCGCGTACGCGCGCGTCATGAGCGCGGTTCTAGGCTTCAAAATCATCTCCTTGCAGCCGACGCCGATCCTCCTGAACAAGGTGTCCTGGCCGGCGGCCGCCTCGATGACGGCTCTATCAATGATCAGGATGAACGGGCTCACCGCTAATGATGCGGCGACGGCCGCGCCGCCGTCGACGCACGTATGCATCCAGAGCGGCCCGCAGCGCAGCGCCGGCAGCGGCTCGTCTTTTTTGGGCAGCGCTCCCCCTGTGGCGGCCATCCGCACCACTGCTCAGGCTGCCCTCGCCTGCTGGTGTTGATGCAATGAATGTGGGGCTGCCTTCGCTACAGGCAACCGCAGCCGTCGCGGCGCAAGACGACCTGGCAGCGCACACTACCGGCGCAACAATGCGTATCCGTGCGCCTCCGCGCGCTGCGCACGTCGCACAGCGAAGCGTCGCCGGCGAAAGTTGTATTCACGAATGATTTTGTCAAAAGGTAAAGTGATGCCGTGCGGGGTTCAAGATTCGCCAAATTGACGACTCTTCTTGAATACTAAAGGCCACAAATGCGAAGCTCAGAGGCCTCGGGAAGCACCGACGCGAAAGCGGAACCTAGAGACGCGCGGGCGCGGTACACTCCAGGCTTCCAAGGCAGCCACAAGTCTACACACAAAATGAACATTACGTGGCATCTGTAAGCGCCGGAGCCGGCGCCTCGCAAGCGGCAGGTGCGGGCGCCTCGCACGCCGCCGGCGCGGGAGCTTCACACGCCGCGGGCGCCGGCGCCTCAAACACCGCTGGGGCCGGCGCCTCCGCGGCAACGGGCGCCTCGGCCTCGACGGACGCCTCCTCGACGGCCGCGACCGTGACCGCCTCGTCGTCCGACGAGTCGCCGAACGTCGTCGAAAACCTCATGGCCGCCAAATCCCCAAAAGGCCGCTCCAGCGCGTCGCCCGCCAAGCCACCATCCAATCTCGCCTCGCGCAGTAACGGCAGCGCTTCCCGAATGCCCGGGTGGAGGTCGTCGCCGATCCGCCGCTTCGCGTAGGACAGGAACGAGTTGCCCACGATCAGCAGCTCATCTAATGCTTGTGCAAAGCCCTTGAGGACGTCGGCGTAGATCTGGGCCGGGCAGTGGGGCATGAAATACAAACTGCGGACCCCGTGGTAGGGCTTGGCGCTCCGCGGCGGCTGGGCCTGCTCGATGCCCAAGGCCTCCAGCGCTTCGAGCTCGTCCTTCGAGAGGAAGGGGTCGTGGAGCTGTATTGACTGCGCTTCGTAGGCCTCCGCTAATAATACGAGAAACGCGAGCTGGTGCCGCGCGTTCCAGGACTCGTACGTCGACCCTAACCCGTAGCACACGACCACAGCGCGCTCGCCGGGCGCGTGGCGTTTCAACGTTGCCAAAGCTTCCACGCACCACGGGTTATTGCGTAATGATTCTACACGTCGTTCGTGGTCCTCGCGCCAGTTCGCCGGCTGCTCCGCGTTGGATGTTTGCATGGGGTCGCAGCACGTGTCGTGCTTCGGCGGCGGCGGCGGCGGCGGGTTGCGGCCTCGTCTTTTGCGGCGTACGGTCGACCAGCCGGCGTCGGGGTCTTCTACTTGCTTTTTTTGTTTGGATTGTTGCATGAAGCGGGAGACGGTGCCGCGTTCTACTCGCGGCTGCGTGGTCGTGCCGTGCTGCGGCGCCGCGCGATGGGTGCTCATGCTGCTGCTGTGCTGCAGCTTTTCAGAGGCAGCTAAATATGCAAATCGATTGCGTTTCGCTAACGCACAGTTAGCATCGATCGAAGCAAGTGCTGCGGCGTGTCTATCGCCCCTTTTTAGCTCGCGGGCGCGCGATTTGCGTTGAGTCCAGTCACCTGCCGCCAGGCAGCATAAAGTCGAGCTCGCAGTGCCAGACAAGTCGAAATTCCCGAAGAGTCGTGAGGCTCTGTGCCAAGGCAGTATCACGGGCCGCCCACGATGCCGAGCTAGCGGTGTCCGACACTAGCAAGCTCTCCAAAAGCATCCTGGTGACAGGGACAAAATAGACCTCGTGAGCGCCGGCGTCTCAACCAATAAGCCAGTAACGGCTGCCAAGACGACGCCGCCGCCCGCGCGCCACACGTGCGACGTCCGACGCGCAGCAAAACCGACGCACGTACGCAGGCACAATGGCTCACCGATTCGCCCGCAGCGCGCGCTTGCTAGCCTTCAGCCCCGGCCGCGCCGCCGCCGCGGCGGCGCTGCCGGCGGCTCTGTGCGCCCAGCAGGCCAAGGCCGAGGCCAACGAGGACATCAACAAGGAGACGGTCGCGGCCGCCGCCGCCGCCGCCGCCGTGGGCTACGCGGCCGTCGCCGCGACGCAGGCGAACGCCAAGGCCAAGGACGCTCAAGAAAGATTGAAAGCCTTGGAGGTGCGCGCCGCCAAGGCCACGTCCGCGGCGTTCGTCTTCGTGAAACCGCACGCTGTGACTGATTCGGTGAAGACCAAGGTCAAGAGTGGACTGGAAAAAGCCGGTATCTCGGTATTAGAGGAAGGCTCCATCGCGGGCCCGAAGATTGATAGTGATATGCTCATAGACACGCACTACGGTGCTATTGCTGCCAAAGCGGTCAAGCTCAAGCCCTCGGAGCTCAAGCCGTCGGCGAAGGCACAGAAAGACTTCGAAAAGGCGTTCGGCCTGACCTGGTCTGATGCTCTTAAGCAAGGCCTGGTCTACAACGCCGCGGACGCGTGCAAGCAACTCGGCTGCGACGGCGCGGGTTTGGACGCGAAGTGGTCCACTCTGACACGTGGCCAAAATCTCATCAAGTTCGGCGGCGGCTTCTACTGCGGGAAGGTCGAAGGCATTTACGTGATGAACGGCTTCTACATGGCGATGCGCGGGAAGTTCACGGATCCCTCCGCGACGATCCACTACTACTTGGTCGAGTGGCCGACCTCGTCGTTGTCGTGGGCGGACTTCCGGGGCAAGGTGTTAGGCGCCACGGACCCCGCCGAGGCTTCACAGGGTTCTTTGCGGCGGGCGATCTTGGATGATTGGCGCGCGCTCGGCCTACCCGCGTGCCCGGACACGGGCGACAACGGCGTCCACGCGTCGGCGTCGCCCTTCGAGGCGCTTTCAGAAAGAGTGAACTGGTGCGGGGCGTCCTTCGAGACGGACGCCTACGGCCGCGGCCTCGTCGCGGCGGGCGTCGACGCCAAGACATTGCAAGCGTGGGCCGAGGACCCTCAAGTAAAACTGCCCGGCGGCGGCGCGGGCTCGTTGTTTGATGCCCTCGAGGACCTCGACGCGGACAAGTGCCTCGAGACGGCGAAAGCGATCAAGAAGGCGAACGAGTAGGCTGCTTAACGTGTTTATATCTAGTTCTTTTCCGTCTCACCGATGTACGCGAGGCACTTCGGCTCCTGCGGCTTGTCGCAGTACATCATCGTGCAGCCCAGCACCGCGCCCACGTTGCACGTGTTGCATCCATCAAAATAGGACGCGCAGCCGGCGGGCACGCACTTGCCGTAGGCGTCGCGCGTGCACGACGACGACGTGGCTTCTTGATCGGCGGCGAGGACGGGCGGCGGCGTAGAAGCGTCGAACGCGTTCGGTTCGTAGATGACGTCCGGGCAGTTGTCCTGGTTGTTCTTGCGCGGCTTGAGGAGAAAGCCCTTGTAGCCGCTGTCCTTCAAAAAGTCCTGCACCTCGTCGTCGTACCTGTGGATACGCGTTGGGCGCCTGAATTTGTGATTTCGACACAGCACCGGACTTCTCGAAATACGCGTCGACGTCGCGAGCCAGGACGTACAGGAACAGTTCGCCGCCGACGACGGCGTACTCGTAGTACCCCGCGCCGTAGGTCTTCGGCCCGAGCTTGATGATGCTGTAAACCGACGCGCGCGGGACGCCCGTGAACTGGAGGTTGAGGTCGCCGTCAGTCGAGGCGTCGTCCTTCGACGCCGTGCCGAGGATGTAAGTCGCTGTCCCGCCGTCAATCGTCGACGGGTTGCCCGTGCACCCGATCGCGTTCGGGCTCGAGCACAGCCCGCTGTTGTTGACGGATATGGCCGGGAATTCCGCCGACGTGATCTTGCCGTAATACGCCGTCGCGCAGTCGGGCTGGGAGAAGGCGAGTGTCGGATAGTTGTAGTAGACGTTGTACCAGCGGCCCGTGTAGGCGTCGAAGTCCATGGACCACGCCCTGCCCGTCGCTCGTCGTCGGCCCCGCGGCGACGCTTCCTGCCCCCGCTCCGACGACGCCCGAGATCGAAGTCGGCAACGCGACGACGCTTCCCGCTCCGGTGCCTGAGCCGGAGGAGACCACGCCGCTCCAGGACTACGCCGTTTACGAGGCGACCAAGGACATCTCCGACCCCAACACGGCCGCGGCGGCGGGCGCCGCCGCTGCCCAGGTCGCGGGCGCCTTGCAGTGAGTGACCGCCTCCTCCCGTCTCGGACAACGAGTCGGACCAAGACATAATTCCCTAATTCCCCGCTCCTTGAGTAAGTACGACGAGCTCCGCCCAAAGCCCGCACGCAAAGGTTTTGGACTCGAGTACTCAGCTGAGATGCATTTTGAGCAGGCTGCCCGCATCGATGCCTTAAGCAAGTAACTACCGCAGCATGGAGTACGTCCATACAGTCCCACGCGGGCGCGCAGCATTTGCTTGAGCAATAGTCTCAGTATAAATGGCACTGCTCCTCCTCCTCGCAGCAACAACAGCAAAGGCCGACGACTGCGCCACAACACCAAAACCCCAGAAAGACCAAGTAGAAGCCTACCTCCGCGCGTTGTATCCATCAACACAAAGGATAGAAAACGCCGTCGCCGCGTTCGAGGCCCTCGACTACCTCTACGCGGACCGAAATATACTGGAGCCGCCGCGTTTCTTATCAAAACAGGTCCCGCCGCTCCCGTACGTACCGGAGGGCGCCTACTACGCCGCGAAACCAGCCCACCGCAAGAAGGCGAAGTGGCTCGCGGGCGCGAACGCCAACCGCTGGCGCGCGCCCGTCCGGCGGCAGCATGCGGCGCGGACCGCATCAAAACACGCCTCGACCGTCGGCGGGCGCTTCGGCCCGGCGCCCTCGTGGACGAGCCCCCTCGCTTTGGTCAAGTACCCGTTTCCCCTCTCTACTACGGCAAAGGAGCCGAGCCGGGCCGAGCTCCTCGCCGCGGCGACGACAGCATCTGTGGATCTCTCGTCAGGCTATGTCGAAGTGGAGCAGTTCGGCGGGCCGCGGTGGACGCGGAGCGGCTGCCCGCCCGTCTGTGGGACGTGGGCCAATATTTGGAGAGGCACGGGCGTCTTCCTGAAATTGGATCGGCCCGTCGTCGCGCCGACGCGGCTCGCGGCCGTCGTCGAGCTCGTCACCCGGATCGCGCGTGTTGAAAACGGCGCCGCGATTCTGGAAGCCTTCGCCGCGAGGTCCTCGATGCTCGCAAAACGAGTGAAGGAGTTCCGCGCCGGCGGCGCGTCGGTCGGCGAGGCCGTCGCCGCCGCGGCCGCCGCCGCGGGCACGGGCCGGGGCTGCCGCTGCTTCAAGGAGGCGTCGGCGCTCAACGGGACGGCGCGGCCGCTCCTCCGCCTGGCCGCCGTGGGCGGCAAAACGGCCGCGTTCCTGGCACGCGTGCGCGAGGCGCGTCCGGTGGACTGGTGCGCGAACGTCTGCGGCAACGGCCAGTACTACGACCGGCAGCGGGCGCCGATGATGGCGCTCGACGGCATGCTCGCGACGCTCTCGTGCGTGCTCGGGACGAATGCCGTCGTGCTGACGCGCTCGCCCAACGACAACGGCCTCGTGCACCAGGAGCTCGTCGACTACGATTTGCCGGAGAGCCTCGGCGGCTGGCCGGCGCCGCCTCTTGGAAAACTCAACGCCCTGGCCAGATGCGCGGCGCCCTTCTCGAATTTACCAAATGACGCCGACGCGTTGTTACTAGAACACTGGCGCTCTACGAACAAGTGGGCGCTCGGCGACGTCGCTCGAAAAAAATTCGGACCGTGCGACCTCGCGAACCCCGGCGGCGGCGACGACGCCTGGACTTCAGGGAGAGGCCGGGACCGGTGCCGCGTCGCGCAGGGCGATTCTATTGGAAGCGACCGCGCGTGCTTCGTGACCTGTCGAAATCATATCTCGGCGGCGCACGCGAACGTGTCGCTGACCCAGGTGCTCCGCCCTGATCTAGAACTGTGTGTTGACTAATCTTAGGACTAGCCGAAAAAAAAGGGAAGAGCCTACAACGCGGCGAGGAGCGCGTCCTCGCGCGCCACTTCTAAATTGCGGTCGCGGATCCGCAATGATGATGCGCAGAGCGCGTCGTGGGCCAGGCGCATGACCAACCCGCTCGCCGGCTCGACGGTGTCGCAACACCCAAAACAGAAGTCGGACTCGCACGCGCCGCACGTCGCGTAGACCTCGAAGCCCCGCAGCCCCGCGCCCATCTCGCGGCCGCAGCCGTCGCACTGGTACTTGTCCGGCGCGACCCACTCCCCGGGCGCCGTCGGTGGGAGGGAGATAACTTCCGGCCCCTGGGGCGAGAAGACGACGCGCCGCTTTGAAGAAGATGGTGCCGCCGCCTCCGGCGAGAAGAGCTGGACCTCCTTCGGGGGCGAGAAGAGCTTCTTCTTCGGCGGCCGCCGCGCCGTCCGCGGCGCCTCGGCTTTTTTGGAGAGGGCGTCCGCAAAGTCCTTTACCAATTGATCGGCGGCCGTCGTGAAGGGCGACGCCGGGCCGTGGTACTTCAGCGCGTTTTCATGGATGCGGCGCACGTCGCTTTGTAAGGCGGCGTCGTTCTTGTAGTGGCCGTTCGCGAGGCGCTCGCGGCAGAGCGTCAGATCGACCGCCTCGCCCACTACACTAATATAGTCGGGGATGCCGAGCTGCACGCAAGTCTCATGCGTCAGCCGCGTCCGGAACGGGTTGCCGAGGCCGGGCACCTCGCGCGTCCAGGCCGCGTCGAGCGCGCGCCGCGCCCGGTCCGTGACCCGCGCCGACGGCGGGAAGCTCTGGCGTCTTTTTTTTCTCTGGCGCGCGCCGCTCCGCGTCGTCGACGGCGCTTGCATTTTTGAGTTCGTGTCGACCCAGGGTGCCGGCGTGCTCGCCGCGCGGGGCGTCGCGCCGTCGTTTTGTGGTTTCGTCGCGGCGTCGGCGACGACGTTTTGGGGTGCCGCCAGCGGTTTTGTAGCGGCGTCGACGACGACGTTGTGCGGCGCCAGCGGCGGCTTCACGACGGTGCTTGGCGGCTGTGCAGCGGCGGTGGCGGGAAGTGGTGGCGCGCTCGCCGCGTCGGGAGGCGGTGGCGCGCTGGGCGGAGCGTCCTGCTGCATCGGCGCGTTGACCATTACGTTTTCAGGAGCGATGACTTCCATCTTACGTAGCGTGTCGGCGGTGAATGCTGCCGCTTGCAGTTTGGCCGGTGATCGGAGTCTAGAGGTGCGTTGCGGCGGCCGCGTTCGTCCCCGCCGGGTAGTTGCTGGCTGAAATGTAGTGCGCACGCGGTAGGGTAGCTGCGCAGGGCTGTGCGAGCTCAAGCACAAGCAAAACCGCCGCGCTGAAGAGCTAGCGGCGGTAAGACACTAGTGAGCAAGCAGGGAGCAACAAAATAATCCCATTTACACGCTTCCTCGAGCGGCAGCGATGGTGTAAAGCATATTGACACGCATTGATGGCAGCGCTCGCAACAATGCAACCACTCAAACGCCCAAAAATAGCCGAGGACTCAACCTGCGTGACCCTCGCCTGCTCTCTCCTCGAGGACCTGAGCAGTGCGGATGCCGTGTCGAGGCGCTGGCGCGCTGCGTTGTCCGACGAGGCGCTCTGGCGACGGCACGTCATCGCGCGAGCGCAGCGACGATCACGCGACGACGACGACGTCGAGCCGTTGGTCCGCTGGCGCGGCAGCTGGCGCGCGACGGCGCTCGCGCGTGCGACGGCGCTCGCGTCAAGAGACGACTGCTGTGACGATGCCAGCGAAAGCGAGACCACGGACGATGACGCTGCGGCGATCGTCGGCGACGCGTGCCAGCGACGCTGCGCCAAGGCCGCGCGGCCCGCACGCCTCGCCGCCGCCTTCGTGCCGCCACCAGACACGTGGGCCGTCGCCGCGCTGGCCAAACGGCGGCCAAATCGGCGGCTCCGCTGCGTCGCGCAGGGCGAGCCCTCCGACGTGACGATGCTCGCTCAGGATTATGCGGCCTACGTGCGTCGGAACGCGGATGCGGAGCCGTTGATGGTCATCGACGACCGCGTGCCGCAAGACGGGACGTGCACCGCCTACCCGGCGGTGGCGCCCATCGTCGCGGGAGACCATCTCGCCGAGCTGGCGCGCCGCGACGACGTCGAGCCCGCCGCCGCGGCCGACCTACAACGCGAGCGCAAGTACGTGCTCTGGGGCGGCGGGGGCGCCGGCAGCCGCTGGCACGTCGACCCCTACGGCACGGACGCCTGGAACGCGCTCCTGGCCGGCCGGAAGCGCTGGGCGTTCTATCCGCCCGGTGCGACGCCGCCGGGCGTTGACATCGTCCCGCGCTTCGTGTCCGCGTCGCGGACGCTCTGGACGACGACGCCCGCGGCGGCGGACTGGTTCGCTCGGGAACATGGCGCCCAGATCGTGACTCAGGAGGCGGGCGACGTTGTTTATATTCCTGCCGGCTGGTGGCACGCGACGCTCTGCGAGACTGCTTGCGTCGCGATCACGCAGAACGTGATCTTCGCGCACAACGCCCGCGCGGCCCACGCGCTGATGGCGCGGTCGAAGCCGTCCCTCGCCCGCGAGCTCGCGGCACTCGTCCGCCGGCGCCGCGCCGACGACTGAGCGCGCCCCCTGTAATTTTTGTGACTTGTCTTCGCCACCGCCTCCACACCCCCCCTTGGTATGGTATCTCCTTGTTTTCCTCTCCTTCCCAAGCTCGGCCGCGGCGCGCATCGCTGCCGCAGGCTGCCCCGGGCATTCGCGAGGCCGCACGGCTGCCTGCGACGCCCGGCCGCCGCGGCGCAGCATCGCGCAGCAATGGCGGACGCCACCTACGGCGCCTCCACACCAACAGAGACAGATGAGCGCACGACGCTGATCCAGAAGCGGCCGCGGAGGTTACGAAGGTCCGTCGCGGCCGCCACGGCCGCGCTCGTCCTCTGCGGCACGGCTATCAAGGTGCGCCGCGGTGCAATAAGCGAGCTCGACGAGGTCGGCGAGCTGGGCGAGTATCCCACGACGACCTGGGAGGCGGTGAATAACGATAGTGTAGAAAAGGTCTACGATCTGGAAGAACACGTCCTCGTGACCACAGAAGTGAACGAAGCCTACGTCTTCTACAAGGAGCTGCTGTTCGGGAGGCTCGGCAGAGCGACAGGGACCCTGGATCCGTCGCAAGGCGTCCGGGTCAAGTCGCATTCCTACGCGAATAGCGCCTGGAACTTGTTCCAGGTGCAGCTAGATGCGAAGCTCATCAAGGCCAATTCTATCGTTTGGTTCACGGTCGCCAACACGATGGACGCGCTCGTGGCCGGTGGGAGGAAGGCGGAATTGAATGCGATGGGCGTTCCCGACGAGGTGATCTACTGGGGCTGTAACTCGGGCGACGTCTGCGACGGCTCCGACGGTCAATTGCTCGTGCAGCGGTGCGTCTATACCTATGGTGACGATATCTTACTGCACAACACGTTGCTGAGGACTCTGTTGGCCTATGAACTGCCTCTGACCATCGTCTTGGCATCTGATTTAGATTGCAAGACGCGACTCCCGGTTACCCACCACAAGATCGTCTACGCGGGCGACTCGTGCCAGGAGCTGGTGGAGGAGTACCGGTCGCGGGGCGGCGACGCCGCCTGGTTCCCGCAGGGCTACGAGGGCGTCGTCACCGACTCCGCCGTCGACGCGCTCGTGGAGAACGTCGAGGCGTCCCTCGAGGCCGAGAAGGACACGTTACTGAGCTATGCGGGCTCCGTCCTCTTCCGGAAGCCGAGCCGCGTGCGGTTGGGGGAGTGGGCCATTAGCGGAGGCATCGAGGAGATGGAGCAATTAGCGGCGAAGGCCTCGCTCAAATTAGACGTCGAGTCCTACGGCATGTACGGCATGGACCGGGTCCATCCGGAGGGGCCAGAAGTCACGTGGACGGCCGGTATCACTGATGAGGACTCGGATACCCTCCAGGGCCGGTCGTATTATGTCCTATCGCCGGCCGGCGACGTCTGGACGTCGGGCCGCATGATCGAGGCGCTCACCTTCGGCGCGATCCCCGTGGTTGACGAGACCTACAAGACGGATAATGGAGTCAGCGCCAAGGGCTGCAAGGACCCGGCATTGCGCTGGCGGCAGGTCGCCGCCGACACGTTTGTCTTTGTCGACGACTGGGCCAAGCTCCCCGAGACGCTGATACAGAACGACGCTCTAGATGTGGAGAAACGCGCCGCTCGGGTATCACGGTTGCATGGCGTCCTCCGCCGAGTCGCCGACGACGCGCGCGAGGCGATTATCCGACCACCTTCGCACGAAAAGACGGTCTGTACGACCGTCGACCTCTCCGACGACCAGCGCCAGCAGCTCGTCCAGCAGGCCTACGACTACTACACGCAGCCGGCGCTCGAGGGCGCACCGGCTGGCGGGATGCCCTGGTTCGATGCGTTCGTGGACAACCCGGCGCTGCCGGGGAACGTGTGCGGGTCGAAGGACCTCGGGGCGTCGGAGGGCGCCTTGTGTTTCGACGAGGCGTGCGCATTGCCGACCGCCGCCTCCTTTTCGTGCAAGGCCGTCGACGAGCCCACTGTGTAATGTGTTGTCTATAACAAACAGGTATTACGCCGGATAGTAGCCCCTCGACAGCCGAGCACGTGACCGCCGCGGCCGCACGAAGGCGAGTCGAATCCGCCGCGCGAAGCCGACGAAGGACCGCACGATCGTGTCCGGCACCGCCGCGAGGGCAAAGGCCCACGACAGGAGCGTGAACGTCGCGAAGGCCGTCACAGGCGGTTGACTGGCCCGGGGATTCAATATCCAGGGCAGGCCCTCGCCGACGACGAAGGTCCGCCGCAGCGGGTGCTTGCGCGCGCCGTCGAGCATGCTCTTAAAGTTGACGCGCCACTCGCTCGTTTTCTGTTCCGTGTCCAGGACCACCGCGTTGCGCCGGGCGATGCGCTGCATCGCCGCGCGCGTCGCGTCCGACGACACGACGCTCACGACGACGGCGCCGTCGTCGTCCGGCGAGACCTTGGCGTCGACGACGGCGAACGCCGCGCCCGACCTTGCGCTAGCATCAACAGCCACCGTGGACAGATACAACTTGCCGAGATCCTCGAGGATGGCGGCGGGGACGACCACGCCGCCCCGACGCATCTGGAAGGTCGGCCGTCCCGACAATTCCACCTCGGGGCTCCGCAGCGTCAGCGCGCCGTCCTCAGCTCTCAATAAAAATGAGGCCGAGAAGCCGACGTTGCTCTTCGTGGCACCGTCCAACCGCAGGCGGGGCGCCCCCGTCAGCCGGTCCTTGGTTATTGTGGTCTCAAAATCAATACCGGCGTCGGCCTCCTCGCCGACGACTTCTCTTAGTAACCGTGTCGCGATGCAATCGACGAGGTTGCGGAGCCAGATGCTTCCATCCACATCGGTACCTCGCAGCGTCAGCGTCGCGCGCACGGAGCCTCGGCGTCCACGAGTCAAAACACGTCTATGTAAGTTCGTCAGTTCCGCTTCCAAATTCCTTAGTCTCAACTTCGCGCCGCGCTCGTCCCGCTGGTAGCCGAGCCACTGCACGTCGTTCGCCTTGATGTTGATGACTTCCGCGCAGCTCTTCTTCACGCCAACCACATCGTCCTGCTCTTTGGCAGCTCCCGCGAAGCCGCAGCGTGCGGGCGCCGCCGACTCGATGGTGGGGTTTTCGTAGGCGAGGCGCCCGCGCGCGACCTGCTCGCGCAGCCAGCCGCGGGCGCAGAACTCCGTCACGCGGCTCCGCAGCGTCCTCCGCGTCGGGCGGCTCACGGGCCGCTCCCAAATGACCGGCAGCGCGGGCGCGTTTCCGAACTGCATTGCCGGATTGCCGAGGAAAGGTGCTTGGAGGGCGCCCGTGCTCGCGACGAGGGCCGCCAGGGCGCTGACGCGTCGTGGCGGAGCCATAGCAGCCGTGATTTTTGAAAGTGCTCTCTTTTGATGCCTCTGCGCTCGCAGACGCTCGGTTTTTTTTGCGACCACGGTTCAGGCGTTCGAGAGGGCTGGATGCCAGTGCTTGATCCTCGGGACCTTGCGTTGGTCGCGCGTATAGCTACTCAAGTTGGGCAGTCGTAATCCAGTCAGAGGTGGGGGGGGCGCGCGGCGGCGGCTCTATACTACGCGTCGTTCCGAAGTAGAGAGCGCTGGTGTCTGGCTGGGACGAGATCCAGCGCGAATTCCCAGCAAGTTTTCTTGCCTCGCGTCCGTGCGTCGCGCCGCCCCCTTGGAATGTCTCGCACGGCGACCCAGCGGCGGAGGGACTATAGACCCCAAGACGCCATCGACGCGGAACAGAGAGACGTCCCTTTAGGCCGCCCCCAGGGACCCACCTAGCTCTAGGACCCGCGCGGCGTCGGCTTCCAGCCCTGGGCGTCGAGGTTCTTCTTCATGCGCGCGCAGCAGCGGTCCACGGCGACGTGGATCTCCGGGATCTCGAGGTCGGGCAGGGCGTTCACCAACTTCGAACAGTCGAGCTCGTTGTTCGAGCGCTTGGCCGCGAGGATCTTATCCTGCTCTTCTAAGGTAAAATTCGTCCAGGTGTAGTCCGGGTCGACGTGCTTCTTGTACAGCTCGAGGCACTCGTTGTGCGAGATGGCCCCCGGGTTGCAGAAGTTGTAGATGCCGCTGAGCTTGCGCTTGGAGAGAGCTAATGAGGCCGGGAGGAGGTCGTGCAAGACGGTCATGCTGTTCGGGATGTTCACGACCTTCTCATATTTGCTGATCTTCGTGATGAAGTTGCGCGGCGACAGGTCGTCCGAGATGGGCATGCGGACACGTAAGACCGTCAAGTGATCGAGGTAAGCCCGCAGCATCTCCTCGCAGAAGCCCTTGGTCAATGAGTAGTAGGATCCCGTGAAGTTGGCCCGGTCCTCCTCCGTGAAGGCCGTCGAGACGCCGCCGCCGAGCGGATGGGCGTCGTCGTATTCGAAGATGCACCCCGTGGCATAGAGCGTGCAGTGGAGCTGGCGCTGCCAGCACAAATCAGCTAAATTGAGACAGCCAATGATGTTCGTGCGGATGACCGTCTGCTTGTTGAACTCGCACCAGTCGACGTTGGGCCGGCCGGTGACGCCGGCCGCGTTGAGGACTCTAGTCGGCTTGACGGCGTCGATCTCCGCGGCTACTGCTTCTCTGTTCTCCAATCTGGCGTCGCCGAGGACAACTTCGTCACCCGCGGCCTTGATGAGCTCAATCAACATGCCGCCGATCCAGCCGTTCTTGCCGTAGAGCAGGAACTTTTGCTTTTCTCCATTGGCCGCCATGGTGTGTTGCCTGCGCGGTGTGTTGTCGGTCTTTTTCAATTCTAAAAGCCGCAGCGACCGGCGTAACCGCTGGGAGATGTTTTTTGATAATTTTTGAGTTTGGGGCGTCGGACGTCGTCGGTGCAGCAGCGAGCGGCTCGGCAGCTTACACGACGCGTCTGGACGCTGCTACACACGTTGGTTTGTGCAATGGATGCTCTAGACGCAGCGGTGAGCCCCGATTTGGTGGTCGGCGTCGATGCTGCCGCCGTGGTCGGGTTTCGCGGAAACTGCGGACCGTGTGCAAGGACTAGAACGAGACACAACTTAGAGCGCGAAAGACGTGCCGAACGAGGTGGGGGGGGTTAGAGGAGGAGGGCCGCCAACGCGCACGCCGCCGCGGCCCGCGCGAGTCGCCGTCCGAGCGCTCCGTCGGACTCAGCCGCCGGCGCGGCCGTCGCCGAGTCCTCGGGCAGCCCGAGGGGTTCGTCGGGCGTTACCGGTGATGACTCTTGCGCCGTCGGCGGCGGCGTCGCTTCGTCGTCGTACCAGTACGAAAAGTCGTAAGAATAGCTCTCGCACGCCTCGGGAAGCTCGCTGATCGAGTCGACTGTAATCACGTAAGGCGTGATGTCGTCGTCGGGCGTTGGAAACATGCACTGGCACTCGTCCATGCAGTAGCAGTTTCGTCCGTTTCCGTTCTCCCAGAAGTCGACCGCGACGAGCCGTTCGCCGTACGCGGCGTGGCAATTTGCCCAGCAGTCCTGTGGGGTCGTGGCCCAGATCTCTTTCTGGAGGCGCGCGTAGCACCAGCCGACGCCCGTCCCCCAGTGCCGCGGCGTCGGCGGCCGCGTCGTCGGCTGCGGCGCCGAGTCAAGTGCTACCGGTCTGGGCGTCGGCGGCGCGGTGGGCCGCGCAGACGGTTGCGGCGCGGCCCGTTCCTGACCTTCGAAGCCGCCCGTGGTGGTGAGCATCCACTCTCTCAAAGCCGTGGCGTCTGCATAGAGCCCGGGTACGGCGGCGCAACCATTCCCGCGGCTCACGACGCCGACCTGGGCCCATGCGTCGCCGTCGCGCACCAGGAGCGGGCCGCCGCTGTCCCCGTAGCACGCGTCCTCCGCCGGCGGGTCGCCCGCGCAGATGTCGAAGCCAGGCAAATACGCCATGGCGCATTCCTCGGGGTCACGCACGGCGACCTGCTGCAATTTTTCGATTTGCGTAACACGGTGCTACGGTTTCGCTTTTCCGAGGCGCGAGGGTGGGAGAACCCTGTAGGGTGTTCTCCGTCGCAATTTTATTGAACGGGCGTTGTGGTGGTGCACTTTTTTCAGTAACTAGACTCGGACTTCCTCGAAATGAAACCCGTTTTGCAACAGCCATAGAAAAACACAATTACGAGAGAGGGTACGACGCGAGGGCCGACTCACTGCGAGGTGGTCGGCGGTCGCGTCATTTGCTGCCGCTCCTCGACGGGGATCGGGCATTTCGCCGTGTCACCGGCCGCGCGCGACTTCTTCGGCCCGAACGATATGGAGTTCTCGAGCCAGACGTCGGACTCCTCCCACGCTCGCGGCCACGGTTCGCTGTCCGGGAAGAACTTCCTTCGCCCCTCGATGACGGCCTTTCCCGCGAGCCAGAGCGGCGCGAGCGGCGCCAGGGGGCAGATCATCGTTGGCGCTGCGCTACCGCTGCGGTGGCGCGGCGCCGTCGGCAACGCGCCTCGGTGCGGGACGAGGGCGTGCGCGGTCGCTATCCACAGCAGGGTGAGCTTCATGGCTTTTGTGTGGCGGGTCTTAGCTGTACTGACACGCGTCGTGGACGGCTGCACAGCACACTGATGGTCTGAGAGAGAGCTTAGAATTGTCCGGCAGCGTGTGATACGGGCTGGAGGATTGCTTTGGCTTTTTTGCACAAGCATGCCTGCTTGGCTAGTGTCTTACAGCCGCTAGCTCGCAAAACCAGAACGCGTCTCGGACGTGTCCAAGGCCGTGAGCACGGCCCCGGACCCGTGCTGGAGCTTGGCCCAGTTGGGATCTCACAGCAAATGCTGGGCAGAGGCCGACTCATTCGCATTGGTGCCAGCAGGGCGAATAGCTGCTTGCGCATCGCTCTGTGACGTGTGCTGTTGCTGGCTGCTGCGCGCAGCACGGATTTTGCACGCACAAATTACATTTTGACATTAAAAAGCTGCCACACTTTGTGCAGCACTGTGCTGCGGACGGAGAGGCCATCGCCGGACAGTCAATCCACCATGCGTGTCTGGAAGGAACGCTTCGAGCTCCTCGACTCGACGATCGCCCCGACGCAGACGCCGATCGAATTAGTGGACCAGTACCACGACACGCCGCGCCTGCGCGAGTCGCGCTCGTTTGATGCTGATGAGCAGTACTGGTATATTTCCTTCGACGTCGTCATTTCCGTGCTCGTGTGCTGTGCAGCACTGCTGATCTTCTACGGGGTATACGTCTACACGCGGAAGCATTGCTGGCGGTGCCAGCGCGCCGTCGAGGGCTCGGAACAGCGGCAGTGCTGCCATACCGGTAAGGACGCGTCGCGGGCGCAACGCGTCGGATTGGTGGTGTGGCTCGTCATCGCTGTAGTAGTTTTCGCGGTGCTCACGGTCATAACGCAACAGAAGCTTGACAACACGCTCCACAATCTGCACGGCGGCGTGAACGACCTCGGCGACGCCTTCGATGCCATCGACGCGCAGACGGCGTCGCTCGACGACATCGGCGCGCGGACCCTAGAAACGTCCCAGGAGATCTTCTGCGTCGATCTGTGTAGAAACCAAATCTCAGGCGCCTCACGCCATCGACGTGGCAACCTGACTCACTGGTTGATTTCCACACAGGCGTCGACGACTCCTTCGAAAAACTCATCATGGACGCGGCCGAAGACTTCGCCGCCGCCGCGGCCGACGCCGCGGACATCGCCGCCGACGCGGCCGCGGACGCGAACAAGTTGGGCTCCCGACTCAAGGGCCACGGCCGCTGGCTCGACCTCGCTTTACTGGTTTTGCTGGCGTTCGTGGTGCTCATCCTGCCGTGCGCTGCCTACGGAGGATTGACGAAGTCGCCGCGGCTCCTGGAACATTGGGCGGCGCGCTGGGCCTGCTTCGTCGTCGCGTGTTTGGCCGTCCTCTTGGCGTTCGAGTTTGGCGTCCTCGTGAAGGTGTCGGACTTTTGCGTGGCGCCCGACGCGAACTTCCGCGACCTCGTGGACCGGCGCATAGCCATATCTTCGGCCGACGCGGAGCTCGTCGATTACTACGTGAGCTGCGGCGGCGCGAATCCGCTGTTGGCGCCGCTGAACAATAGTCTCGCGGAGATCACGTTTCTGGATGACGCCGCGGCGCTGGCGCTCGCCACGGGAGCGTGTGCACCGGCACAGTCGCTCGAGGAGCTGCGCGTGCTCATGGTCGCGGCCGACGCGCAGCTCGATTCCGTGCAGACGGCCGCGGCCTGCGACGCCGTCACGCCGATCTATCAGGACTTAGTCCACGATACGCTGTGTCGCAAGTTCGTGCGGAGCCTGAACGCGATGGGCGTTTCCCACGCCGTCGTCGGCGTCGCCCTGTACGTCTTCCTCTACGCGGCCAACTACGTCTCGGAGACGATCCTGCTCGAAGCCGAACGGCGCGACATCAAGGCCCAGGTGGGGTCGAGGAACCTCGAGGACGATTTCAGGGCGTCGCGCGACGAAGAGCGAACGCGCGGCGAAGAAACCAAGGAGGACTTCTCCCGGCCGTCGCAGCACTACTTCTCAGGCTGGAGCGTCGGCGGGAGCGCGTGGACCGGGACCGACTCCGTAACGTAGAGGTGGTGACTCTGTTTTTGTACGTGTACATGCGTAAGTGTAAGTCTAGAAATTCGTAGATCCGCCTCGATAGCGTTGATCATAGGCATCCATGGAAACCAACTGTTCACTCAAAACGGCCGAGAAACATACCCTCGCGCCTCGCGGAAGTTCCGCGGCGCAGCACTATCGCAGGAGGGCAGCACTATCCTTAGCAATAGAAGTAGTAGAACCTAGCGTATCGACATTCTAGCAAATCCAAAGATACGCCTCGATAGCGTCAAAAGGATGACCCAAATTCAGAACACATCCTAGTCGTTCGCCGAGACCAAATATTTCAGAGTAGCGGCCCGGGAACATACCCTCGCGCCTCCCGGAAGGCACCACCCGCGACATTCACGGATAAGGCTTACGGCTTGCCAAAGTACACCAACGATTGACGCCGCCCTCTACCGTCCAAATGTGACATTATATCAACTCCAGCCCAGTTTTCATCCACACTCGACGGAACCGGAGCCGACGGCCCGCGCTCGGAGGGCGGGAAAATAATTATACTAGACAACTCTCGCGTTTATGTTCGTTTCCTTCCGTTTGTTAGTGGTAGAGTCCATCTAGCCCGAATCAGCGGCCACTGAGCTATTTTAGATATTCCATTAGAGCCTCGGGATTCGACGACTTCGGTACCTCGCGTTTATATATAAAATGGCTCGAAGCCTAAAGCTGCGAGTATCAGCGACGACACCACCCAGATGGACCATAACACCGTTGTTCTATTCACAATCGACCGACTTGCCCGTTCTCCGCGGACGACGGTGCGTACGCGGGGCACTGAATTGGCCCCAGACCGGTGGTTTATATAATAAATTTGCGTTTCAGGCGCTTCGGTTACGGGAAGGGCCAGCTAACCGGCCTGACTGCCCACTACATTGCTCCGAGACCCCAAGATGCTCGGCGCGGGTCGTCGGTCTCGGGACCCCAAGATCTTGCTTTAAACGGGCGAGTTACTTGAACCTGCGACCATCAGCCCGTGTATCATCACCATGGACCATAACGCGATCATTTGTTTCATCATTGACCGACTTGCGCGAGGTCCAGATGCAGATGTTCACGTCCCGAGCGTGGGCAGCCTAAAGTACCCTTCTCGCGGTGTAGATGTCATATACTTGTAATTGACTATCGGTGGGGTAGTATGGGGTCCGACGATACCGCTACGGCGACTACTGGGGGCCCTCGGGTAATTGGCGTTTTTGACGGGAACGGGCCGCCATCGGGCCCAAATTACACACTTTTTTCGGGGGCAGATCGGCTCCCGGAGGCCTCTCGAGGTAGGTCTGGTAGTGGGTAGTCGCCTGTACCGCATACGCCGTCGATGCGGCAGTCTAATGCTCTCCGAGAGCCGTGAAAGCAAACCATGGCCAAAAGATGGCTAAACCGAGTGGTCTGCTGAGAGAAATCGGCCAAAAATGCTTGAAGTGGCGGCGTAAGCGGTGTAGCCGCTTGCACGTGTATAGTACCGACCCTAGGCGACCCCAGGGAGACCTGTTTAGCCGGGATCGACAGGATTCAACCGGCGCGGCCGCCATGCCATGGTGGGGCCGTCGGCCGCGAATTAAAAAAAATAATCTTTTTGCCCCCCAGTACGTGTCCCATTGATCTCTTTGGACCCTTAGCGAACGGAAAGACCCTCAAACAGCTGCATGTCGCGTTTGCTCTTGCATGCTAGTGTCTTACATGCCGCTAGGCCCTGAAAACTCTCGGACTTGCCCAGCTCTCTGCGGGGTGTGCGCGTTAGGCGAAACGAGCGTATCGGAGCATCAGTGTACTCGCCTCTCGCGGTGGACTCGGGGCTCGTTGTCAACCGGTACCTGTGGGAGCTGCAAGACCAGTGTTTCTATAAACCAGCAAATCCAGCAGTGATCCGCCGGTGATCCAGCAGAGATCCGGCAGATCCGGTAGTGATCCGGAAGTGATCCAACAAAGATCCAGCAGCAGCAAAGATCCAGAAAGCAGCCATGGCCGCGCGTCTCGTCCAGGCGGGAATGTTGGTCGGCGGCTCAGTGGGCGCAGCGATCACGATCCGCGGCTGCGTGAAGGCAACACAACCCGCAGAGCGATGCATCTACTGCGGCGGGGCGGCGGTGGGCGCCGCGCTGACGGGCGGGTACGCGTACTTCCACAGCGATTACTACTACGAGCTCGAAGCAACGCGGCGGCGAGAGCGCGAGGAAGAGGGCGCGAAGCGCGTGGCGGCGGTGCGGCGAATGGAATCGGAGAGGTACGCGCGGCAGCAGCGCGAGATCGAGGAGGACTACCGGAAACGCGCGCTCGAGTCCGCGCGGCTGGACACCTACGAGGATCCCCGCAACCGCCACGACTAGGTTTCTAAAAAATTGTGCTTAAATCACACGGCGCGGGATCGATGTTCGTGAGAATATATTGTCGATGTTCGTCGTGCTGCTTGTATAGGCAGTTTAACGCTAGTATGTCACGCTAGACATTATCGGCTCTCACGCATCGCTCGATTACACGTGGGTCTAGATACGCATACGTTCGACGTCGTGTTCACTCAACGTGCGTTTCGCTGCAGGTCCAACCTATCGAAGCGTTCACTCGACGTGCCGTCGCTGCAGATCCAGCCAAGCACAAGCACACAAGCACAAGCACAAAAGCACAATGTCCAAACCAGTCGTCCTCGCAGCCGCGGCCGCGGCCGCCGCCTACTACCTGTACAAAAACAAGAAGGAGGACGAGCCCGAGGAGGTCGTGCGCGTGAGCCATGCTGAGGCCCTGGAGAAGACGACGGCGGCTCTCAAAGCCGTCGGCTGGGACGACGAGGGCGCGCGCGTGCAGGCGTCGATCATGGTGTCGAGCGAGGCCTGCGGCAACAACCAGGGCTTGGTCAAGATGTTCAAGCCGGAGTTGATGGCGCCCGCGCCGGGCGCCGGCAAGCCCGTCGTGGAAAGAGAGACGGCGTCGAGCGCCGTCATTAAAGGTAACCAGTCGCCGGGCATGCTCGCCCTGACCAAGGCCGTGGACCTCGCCTGCGCCAAGGCCAAGGGCGGCGTCGCGTCCGTAGGAGTATATGACACGTCCACGTCCTCGGGCCAGCTCGCCTTTTATGGAGCGAGAGCCGCGGAGAAGGGCCGTATCGTCATCATCACGGCGAACTCGCCGGAGTTCGTCGCGGCCAAGGCCGGCGCGAAGGCGTCCTTCGGGACCAATCCTTTATGCTTCGCCTGCCCCGTCGAGGGGCGAAGCCCCTTTGTGTTCGATATGTCGACGGCGGCCATCGCGCTGTTTGGGGTCTTGACCTGCAAGGCCAAGGGCCAGCCGCTTCCTCCCCAGTCAGCCTACGACGCGAACGGGAACTGGACGAGAAAAGTAGAGGACATCCACATCGGCGGCGGCGGCGGCGCCATCGCGAACTTCGGGGGCCACAAGGGCACGGGCCTGGCGCTCATGGTTGAATTATTATGCGCGGCGCTGGCGGGCGGCGCCGTCCTCGGCCAGGACGTCAAGAAGACGGCGAAGAACTGGGGCCACCACGTCATCGCGATCGACCCGGACGCGATGGCCGACGGCTTCGCGGGGCGGGCGGCCAGCATCATCAAGACCGTCGCGGCGTCGCACGCCGACGGCGTACGGCTCCCGGGCGACTCGTCGAACGCCATCGCCGCGAAGAACAAGAGTGCTGGGGCCATCCCCGTGCCCAAGCGCATCTGGGACGTCATCACGGCGACGGCGGCCAAGGCCTGAGTAGTATAACAAACACTTTAGAGGGAGCCCCGCGACCCGCGCGAGGCCCTCGCCAATTCCCGCGACGCACGACTGGCCCGCTTGTCCACCGCATCACCCGACTGCTCCTGGGATTGGATGGACAGCTCCTCGGCGTCCTTGCGAGCCTGCTCGATCTGCTCCAGCAACATGTCGGCGTCGCGCACGCGGACCGTGCGCACCTGGCCGCGCGTGTACTTGTCTTTAAATGTGGTACAGGACGGCGCTAATTTCCTCCTTTCCCATTCTATATCCACTTCTTCGTGCTTCTCAAAAGAAGCTCTTTTTCGTCGATCTTCTTGGGACGCGCGCTGGGCCCTACTCAGTTCGTGGGGATGGAGCTTCGTGCAGACGTAGCAGAAGACGCCGGGCTTGCCCGGCAGCGGGCACGTTTCCACCTTCCAGGGGAGCGAGTCGTGCGTGAGATGCGGCATTCTGGTGGGAGCGCTCCCGTAGGTCACCAACAGGAAGAAGCGCCCCGGTTCCAGGACTCTACAAACTTCCTGGTTCAGTCTCAGTACTTCCAGATAGCTATTCCAGGAGCAGAACGTCGCGTCCGTGCAGCCCTTGTCTACTATAAACTGGAAGTGGTCCGTCGGATACCGATCTAGTTTACGAGCATCAACGATGGAATACTGCAAGCGCGGCTGGTGCTCGTAGCGCTTATCCATAAAGTCCACGACGGTTTTACAAAAGTCGATGGCCTGGATGAAGTGGAAGCCCCGCTCCAGCATCTGCTCGCCGAGCGCGGAATCGCCCGCACCAATGATCAAGCTCCTATCAGAACTCTTCGCTAATTCATCGCCGCCGTACATCTCGAGGATCGGCCAGAGATCATCTAAATCGCAATACCATTCGAAGCAGTGGTCCTTCCCATGTTTTGCGCGTTCCGCATTGTAGCGCTCGTCCCAGTAGAAGGGCTCACCATAAGCTAAGGCCTGGCGCGGGAAGGGGATGGCCATCGGTGCTTGGCGTCGACGTCGCCGGCGGCGTTTAGCTTGCTTCGGCCGCGCCGGCGGCGTTTAGGGCTGCCCTGGCTGCGGGAGTTGGGGTCGTCTAGGAATCCGCCGGGCTGCCACCGGCCGATCGCAACGGTCTCTCTGGAGGTGCGTCTGCACGATAAGGCGCTCAGTCCGCCCCGTGGCTGCCAAAAAGGGCTGCCCAAAGCCGGGCCAGCGCTGGGCAGACCCGCACTGTCGCACGCCAGCTTACGAATAAAACTTATCTGTCAACATCGTCCGCGACCGCGAGCAGATCCAAACGGACCTCGTCCACGTAGTCCGCGTCGAGGCCCGCGCGCTCGGCCGCCGCGCGCGCGGCGCCGGCGGTGCTCGTGAAGAGGCCGCCCTCGGCGCGGCCGCCGGCGCGGGCCGCGAGGTCTCGAAATGTTTCGGCCGCGCCGGGCCCCGCGGCGCGGAGCCGCGCGCAGCCGCCCGGCCCCGCCGTCGCGGCGTCGTCGGCGTCTTCATCCACAGAAGTCCAGAAGAGGCCCGGCTCCGCGCTTTCGCCAGACGTTGCAACCACGCGCAGGCCGTCGCGCCGCGTCGCGTCGCGCGCGTGCTCCTCCCCGTCGAAGAATACCGATGAGAAGGGCCCCTCCGGCTCCGGACCAAGCGCCGCGTCGACGACGACGCCGGCGCTCCCCGCGCCGGGGCCTCTCACAAAACGCGCCCACGTCTCGAGGTCGACGGGCGCGCCGCAGCGGCCGCGGAGCGGCCGCGCCGCGAGAGCCACGATACTGGAAATATCCTCCCGCCACGGCGCCACGACGTCGCTCTCCAACCTCAACTCGCGCAGGGCCACAGCCGCGTCCAGAGTTTTGGAGGCGCGCGCGAGGTCCGTCTCGGCTTCGTCCGAGACGCGCATCATACAAACGCGAGGCCGGCGGCCGCACTCTTCTGATGCGTACGTTAGTAAAGAGTGCGCGACGCCGGCGTAGCCCCCCGCGTCCGTTGTAACGACGAACCCCTGCGCGCGGTCGCAGCGCTCCAGCGTCCCTCTCAGATGATCGAGCGTCGCCTCCCACCAGTCGCCGCCCAGGACACCTTCTCTTGTTCCCGCGCGGAAGTGGCTGAATCCACTCAACGCCTCGGCGCCGGCCCAGAGCGGCAGCGGCACGTGTGCTGGATCTACAATACCCGCCGCCACGAGCTCGTCCTCATCCTCCACCGCTCGCAGCGGCTGGCGCTTGGCGTCTATTGTCATTGTCCGCCGGCGGCCCTTCGGTTCCGTGAAGGGGTCCCTTTGCACGTCCTCGGCCCAGAGTTGTTCGAGTGCCTGGATGCCGCCGGGGCCGATCTCTAATGTGACGATCTCGCCGCCGGCCATGTGGGCGGCCATGTTGCGTACAGCCTCGCCCGAATGTGATGCTTGCAAGGGCTGCTGCACCAAAGTCGTCCAGCGGTCGCAGGACGGCCCGCGCCACAAATGCTATTGCTCGCGCGATGTTTTACGCGAACGCAGCGATTTTTTATGTCGACACGATTGCGAGCTAGCGTACACAGATACTAGTCCCGCGAGTCGACTCGGCTGTGTCCTAGCACCGTAACAATAAACGCGCACGCGCACCGGTTGGCGCCAAAACCGGTATATCAATAAAACACAAACGTTAGACCGCGAGGTAGTGGTGGAAGAGGTGCAGGTACGGCCAGCCGCCGACGTGGCGGTCGCACGTATCGTGGGTCCACGGCGCATCCAAGGCGACCGCGTCTTCCGAAGGCGCGACCTCTTCAAAATCCAAGAGGTCGTAGGTCATGAGCGCCACCCAGCGCCCGTCGACCCAGTTTTCATTGGTTAAACGCCGGGGGCGGCCCGTCGCCGCGGAGACCCACACGCGGACGCGGTCCAATTCTGGAACTTCGACGCGGTACTCGTCGTGGGGCTCGTCGTCGATGAGCGCACCGGAGCTCTGCTTGGCGGCGTCCTCCGGTATTTTCGGAAGTGGCATGCGTTCGCCTAGATAGCTCCGCTGACATGAAGGAAACGTGCCGCCCGTCGTGACGTAGTCCTGTTTCGTGTCGTAGCGCCGCGTGAAGTTCTTGCCGGCATCCAGGCCCTCCAAGACATCCGCGCGCGCCCGCTTGTTAAGGTAGTCGTAGGCGAGCTTGATGCGTTTTTTCCACGGCGGGTACGGCTTCGACTTGTCTACTAGATGAGCCGTCGTCTCGACGGTCGCGACAAATTGCAGCGGGAAGGCGGGGACCGCGGCCGAGGCTGTAGCCAGCGCGCAGGCTACGATGGTGTTTCGCATGCTGGGGCAGCCTCTCCGGCCGCAGCGATGCAATACGGAGCAGCGGGAGTTAGCGGTGAGTCGTTTGGAGCAGCCGAGCCGTTGGAGGAGCCAAAAAGCAGCCCTGGCGTCCAGTGGCACGAAAACCCTGCTTGCTAGTGTCTTACAGGCCGCTAGCACCACTTTGTAAAGTCGCAGCTCTGGCCGCAATCGATCGTACCGTGTGGCGTACTTGGTTAGAGTGGCCGTAGGATACACCTCTACGTTGTCGATGGGGAGGAGCCGCGACAAAGGCGATAAACCCCACACTTGGAAAAACGGAGAGCCATTTGTAGATCCAGTTGCCAAACACGGCTGGAAGCGCAAGCGTAAAGCTGTGAGCGAGAAACCGCCATTTGAGGTCACCGGCCAACACGTCATTATCTTTGTGGCGGTAGTCTTCGCCGCCGCGTGGTGTGCGGGGCTCCTTCCCGATCCGTGATGGCGCAACGAGGGTTCATCTTTGCCGTCCACCCAACGCACGGAATCCTCCTGCTCAGAGCCTACAAGAAGAAGAAAGGCGTCCACCACCAACTACCAGGAGGCCGCGTCGACGCGGACGAGTTAGAGCTCGACGACGCGCACCGCCGCGCCGCCGTGCGCGAGCTCCGCGAGGAGACAGGTATAGATGTGCCAATGACGAGGCTCAAGGTCGCGACTGATCGCGAGGGCGAAATAGTGAGACGAAAGAACCGCGAGTACTTTTTCCTGGAGCTACGGGACGCGGACGGCGCGGGCCCCGATCGCGACCATGACAACGCCGAAAATCCGTTCACGCTCGCCCTGAGCGGCGAGCACACGGGCTTCACGTTCGAACGGGACCTCGCGAATGCCGAGGATATGATCCGCCTCCACAGCGGCGGCGAGAACGCGGTCGCGCTGAGGACGTTGAGATATGACCACGGCGACGCGCGGGAGCTGCTCGCGACGGCTCACGGGCAATGAATAATAACCAAAATTAGGCGTCGTAGAAGATGCGCACGCGGCACTGCGAGATGAGCTGCTGGCCGTCGAAGAAGGACGTCTCGATGACCACGTTCCCATCCAAAACCTCGACGGGCAGCATCTCGTCGGCCGCCTCGATGACCTGCTGCCACGTGTTCGTCGACCCCGGCATCACGAAGCCGAATCTAAAGTTCCACCGCTCGAAGGGCCTATCATGCAACAGCACGCGCTGCTCCAGCCGAAAGTCCTTCATCTTGAACTCGCTCGTAAAATTCACCTCGCGCGACACGGCCCGACAGTCCAGCAATCTTCTAGGTACCCGCGCCAGAATCTCGCGGTCGTACATGTCGCCCCAGCCCTTCGACTGCTCCCAGAGAATTTTACCGGTGGCCGCGTCTCTCATATTCATCCAGTTGATGCGAAAGCCGTTTCCGACCCTCCGCGCCTCGGGCGCGACGCCGATGCCCCCACCGATCGTCGCGGCGGCCATCTTGTCCTCTAGGTCCTTCGCGCCCCTGGATTGGGCGACGTCACATTCCTTGGCCTCCATGGTATCTGGTGGTTCCCGTCACGGCCTCGCGGCCTTCACGGTGCCGCGGTCGCCGTTGGGGCTGCGGCCCGCGCTGCGCTGCGCCGCCGCGGTCGCTGCTCCTATGCGCCTTGGGGTGAGATTGCCCTGGCGGCAGCTCGGGCAAGGCTGCCCGGGGCTGTCGCTTCGAGCGCTGCGGAGGAGACGCCTTCGTGCTCCGTCGGCAGCGCGATCCGGCTGGCTCTCCCTCGAAATCCTTCCTCAGTTGGCCCACCAAAATAAATCAGTGCTAGTGTCCTACACCGCTAGCTAATCTGCGAAGGGATCAAGTGGGGCTCCGTCCACTAGTCCTAGCACCGTAACAATAGAAACAAGAAATCAGTACACGCGTGTTTTTCTCTGCCGTGTCGCCTTTTTCGTATTGCTTTGCTTAGAGCTAGGCCGCCTAGCCGCCACGACCGCCGTATTACTTGGTGAATAAGGGGCGGTTCTCCCCGCACGACCACGGATTTCTACAATGGCCAGGTAGCAAGGGAAAATCATAATACCGCGTTAGACCGCGAACACCGCGTGGTCGAGCCCCCACTCGAACGCGTCTTCGCGGCGCTTCTCGTACGTGAGGTCGCGCCGCCGCCGCGCCCGCCGCCGCCCCAACGCGTGCTTCCGCGCGTTCGCCTGGACCGCGTCGACGAACCCTCCGCGCGGGCGCGTCCGGAGGCCGATCAAGTTTTTCTGGAGCGACGACTGCGGCGGTGGCCCGCGGGCCCGCGCGCGCCGCCGCGGCGGCACGCCGGGCCGCGGCCGCCTCGCAACAGGCGCGACGCCTCCACCTGTCGCCAAGGTGTCGAACGTGACGCACGACAGGTCGTCTCCATAACTTCCGTAGGACCCCTCGTCCGCCGCAAAATCGACGGGCACGATGCTTGATTCATCGTTGATCTCGTCGATCATGCCCTGGATCCGCCGCACCTCGGGGAAGTCGCCCCTTCTCCGCGCTCTAGCTTGCTCCTGTCTTCGCAAATCGACCTGCGACGCCCTTTCCCGCTTCAGCGCGTCGCGGCCGCGCCGCACCGACAATATCGACGCGTCGTCGCCCAAAGAACAGCCGACCTTCTCGGCTCTATGACGATGATATCGCAGCCTCGAGTCGATCTCGAGACCTTTAGATAGGAGCGAGGCGTCGTCGTCGTCCACGGAACGCCATCTTAGAGGATTGGGTGTCTGGGCCGTCGGCGGTCTTGTCAAAGCTCTCGGCGGGCCCGCATTGTCAGGATTATCAATAGCGGCCACGGCAGCGAGCAACTCGTCGGCGGACGGGTGTCCACTGGTATTGACGCGCGGATCTCTTTGGGCCTGCTCGTGGGCCTTGCGGGCTTTGTCGAGCACGTCGCGGAACGCGCGCTTGTTCAGGGCGACGAGCGTCGAGGGCTCGGTGCATGTGACCGTCTCTCCACATGGGGCTTCTTTCATAAGACCCTGCTCACCATAAGTGTCGCCCGCCCCTAACCTACCGATGGCCTTCTTCGACCGTCGGACTTTCCTCACGGACTGCCAGACGACGGGGTGCTTTTTGGACACGCGCGTCGGCCACGAGTTCTTGCCCCTCTCTACGCGGTGCCTTGATATCAGACAAGACCCGTCCAACAGAAAGTAGACGTTGTCCGTCGCTTCGCCTTGCCTTACGACGCGGTCGCCCCGCCTCAGGTAATGGAACGTCAGCATCTGGCAGATCTTGTGGACCTTGGATTTGGACCACCTCCTAAATAGAGGTACGTTCTTCAAGGTATCAAAAGCTCGTCTCCTCTCCGTTTCCCTGTGGACTGCTAATACATCTTCCACATCCGTATCTCTCAGGGATAGAAACTCGGCCTTCATGCTTCGGATCGTACATATTGTGACAGCTTCACCCCATTTATAGGGAGGATCGACGCGACCATCCAAGAACACGCAGAACTGCTCTTTTTCAGGCAGGCACTGGCCGTCATAGGCTTCCATCAACCGCGCGGCGCGCGTCACTCTTCGTAACGCGCGACCATCTAACTCTTTAGCTCGCGGCCAGGTCCTTTGCAAGCACTCAACAATAGCATCTATTCCTCGTTCCTCCCGCGCCGCCGGGTCCCTAGACAAGCCCTCCCTCAACACGGCCTTGTCGCGCTTCGCCTCCCTGCTCGTCTCATCTAAGCGTAGCAGGGAGTCTTCGTTATAGACCGTACTTCTCAGATAGTGCTGTTTGGGACGGAAGCGTTGGGCCTCGGTAATTACGGAGACTCTTGATGAATCGCCGCGGCTGCTCAGGGTCCGCCGGCGCATGGCGACGGAGGCGTAGCCCTCCTCTGCTTCGGGCATTGCGTTCTTCTCTATACAACTCGGGGAGGGGACCTCGGGCAGCATCGTGAAGGCGCTTGCCTTAGCCTAGGTGCTGGGTTACCTTGGGGCAGCTAGGTATGGAGCTTGCCTTTGCGCTGCCTCGGCTCGGTGCTGCGACCTTGTTGATGGCGCTGCGCCTTAGGCTTGGTGATGGGTACCTTCGGGCAGCTTGGCGATGCGGTGCGCCGGCCAGCCTTCGTGATAAGAGCTGCCCTTGTTGCTCAGCGCTCTCCGACAGCGTCGGTTTTTCGCAGCGCTAGTGCGGGTTGCCATCGCTCAAAACGACGAGGATGCAGTTGCCGCGGATGCTATTGCTTCGGGGCATTGGACGACTTTTGCGCTTCCTAGTGTCTTACAAGCCGCTAGCTCTGGTTTTGGCGCGCCGCGTTCAGCTTGTCTGCACGCACAGATGCAAATACGCATAACTTAAGCAGTGATAAATATACCAGCGATCACTGTGTTGCAGCGCTGCTACGCAAACGCTGGTTTTAGCACGTCTACATAGCATAGCACAATAGCAGCAGCTCCCAAGCTGAACGCCGCGCTAAGACAAATGGCATTCGTGCAACCATTCACGAACCTCAATCCAAGGCGTCCAAGACGCCAGCCCACGAGCGTCGTCCGCACCGACCAGCCGAGCAAGATCTACGCGGCTGCGCTGCGCGAGGTGCTCGCCTGGGAGAATAGCTCAGAAGAGGGCGAGGCCGACGGCGCGCCGCCGCGCGACGACTCCGTCAGTAGTTATGTAGACGCCTGGGTCGGCGCGTGGCTGCGCGAGACGCGCGCTGATGTTGCGTCATCACCAAGAGGCGCGTGGCGCGAGGTTAGGGTGGCCCTGGAGAACGCCGGCGCGCACGATGCTGATAGAGGTGCCTTCGCGCCCCTGAAAATTTATGGAAGACTCGGCGACCCGGCGCGGGATGACTTGGTTGCGCTCAAGCAGGACAGCACAAAAATACTCTGCGTACTAACGAAGCGCGACGGCGCGGCGGACGCGGCCCGCGTCGGCGCGCGGAAATTACTGGGCCCGGGCGGCGTCCAGGCCACGTGCCAATTTCAAACCATAACGGGGCTGACGCCGTCGTTACGAGAACTCGACGCATTAGCGCACGTTCCGTTGCTGAGCCCGAGGCTACGCGAAGCTTTAGTATCAAAGCAGACGCGGCCGGTCACCGTCCAGACGAAGCGCACGGACTTAGGCGAGCACGCCGCCGCGGCGGCCTGCTGCGCGAGGTTAGACGCTCTTGTTTCAAGGAGCGGCTTCTCAAAACATGCGCGTACGAAGTGCAACCCTAGTCAATTAGAAGCGATCGTCCACGCCGTCGGCGGCTTTGCGCATGATAGTGAAGATATCACACTGATCCAGGGCCCGCCAGGCACGGGAAAAACTACAACCTTAGTAGTCTGTGTCAACGCGCTCCACAACGCCCAGTACCAGACCTACTACCAGGAAGTTTTAAGGGAGGCCATCCACAAGGACGATCTGGTGCGGCAGGCGGGCTGGAAGAAGTGTGCCAGGAGATGTGAGTGGCTCGAGAAGTTACGACACTTGAAACCTAGGATACTCATAGCCGCACCGTCGAACGTTGCGGTTGATAATGTAGTGCAAAAAATCGTTCAATTAGGCTTCGTCGACGGTACGGGTTCGAAGTACAACCCGGACATTGTACGCGTTGGGCGCGGGTCGGTCGGTGCTGGGGTGGCGTCCTTAGATGCTCGAGTTGATGATTTCTTAACTAAGGACGTGGACTGGCTGCAGAATGAAGCTCAAAGGGCGGAGAAGAGAAGGAATAGAGCTTTAGAAGATGCTAATTTAGCGAGGCACCTGCTGCAGCTGTTCTCCGAGGCACCTTCACAAATACCGAAGGGCTGGGAGGTGCGCGTGCACCCGGCGCCGCCCGCGTATAATCAGGGGCAGTACGATCGGCTCGAACCCTTACAAGCGCACGAAGTGGCGCACATTTATTACGTCGATCACGCGAATAAGAGAACGACCCTTAAACCACCTTCAGTAAAAATGGGCCAAGAGTGTATATCAGAGTACTACGAACGGACGCACTGCCGGAAATGGCTGCTGCACTCCTTAGAAGCGTGGGCCCACGAGGGCACTTTACTTGATAGATGTCGTACTGCTTTAAACAAAGGCGTCTCGCGAGACCCTACCAAGAGAGCGCTCCAACAGTCCTTCCTCGCCGACGCCGAGATCGTGTGTTCGACCTTACACGGCTGCGGCCACGGGTCGTTGGAAGATGCTAGATTCCGAGCTGTCGTGATTGATGAAGCTGCGAACGCGACGGAGCCGGCCGTTTTGTGTGCTTTACGAAGACTGGAGCAGGGTCGAGTTGTATTAGTAGGCGACCCTAAACAATTGCAGGCCGTGCGCAAGTTCAGTGGAGACGCCTGGGCCGGGGCGTCGCTGTTTGAAAGGCTAGCTTCACAAGGAACTCCAGTACGTTTACTAGATACGCAGTACCGCATGCATCCTACGTTATCGTCCTACTGTTCGCAGGCGTCCTATAACGGGTTGCTGCGGGACGGGCTACCTTTATCGACGTTCAAACCGTCGACATGTGCTGCATTAGGGCCGCTCTCCTTCTTGAATCTCGCGACGTCCGCCGAGAAACAGTCGTCGACGCAATCTAGATCAAATCCGGAAGAAGCGAAGCTGTGTCGCAAGGTCTATGATGCGTTACAGGCGCGGGACGTGGCGGTCGTGACGTTCTACCGCGACCAACTGAAGGAGCTAAGGCGCGTCTTCGGGGACGTGTCGAAGAAACTCGTGGAGATTGATACCGTGGACGCGTTTCAAGGAAGGGAGAAGGACTATGTTATTGTCTCATGCGTGCGCGCGGGCGACGAGGGCGTGGGCTTCTTGAGAGATGAAAGGCGGCTGAACGTCGCCTTGACGCGCGCGAAGCACGGGTGCGTCGTTATTGGTCGCGAGGCGACGCTGCGCACGGATCCAAGGTGGCGGGGGTTATTGGAAGCTGCTTGCATCGTGGACGTGGCGTCTTCTGACGCGGCGCTGGAGCTGTTGGGGGCTCGTGGAGCTCCTGTGCTCGGCAAGCGGCGGCGCGAGGAGGCCGAGGACGGTGAGCTGGAGGATGTGGGGATCTTGTAGTGTCCTTCCGATGTGTGTTGTGTAATTTGTCTCAAGTTCGTTGACACTAAATGCGTCGGCTCTGGAGGCCCTAGTTGTCGGGTTTTTGCCGGACCAAAAATCGGTTCAGTGGACAACGCCGGCCCCCGCGTCAAGTGGGACCTCGCGGCGCGGAATCTGTACGCCCCATACGTGCCCCTCTGCGGCGCGCGCTGGGAACCGGTCCCGCACGGTCGTTTTATCGACAAGCGGCGTCGTTTGCCGCGAAAATGGCCAAGGCCGCCGAGCTCGCGGCGTCGTCCCGCGCCGAACGCGTCGACAAGGTCCGCGACCACCTGGCCAAGGTCGACGACGCCGTGAAGCTGGCGAAGAAGCTCGACGCCAACAGCCCGGCGAAGCGCTGGGCCACGATTATGGCAAAGGCCGATGATGGTGCCCCTTCTGCGCCGGTCGCCAAGCCTCTGCCGCCACTCGTGGTCGCCGTCGCGGTCGTCGCGGCCGCGTACGTGGTGCGCGCGCTCTTTGCCAAGGAGTAGCTCCCGGCGCGCGCGGGCACAAGGCCCCGCGACAAACCCCCCCCAAGAACTAAGTCCCTGTACGCCATCACCGCGAGTCAACAACACACAAAACTATGCCCCCCGGAGCCAACCCTCGACGCGCCCCAAAAGCGCCGCGTCCGAGTATTCCGCGGGGAGGCGGCTCCGCGGCGGTTCGCGCGACACGGCGTCGAGGGCGCGCCGCACGGCGTCGGGGTACTCTTCCAGAGAGACGCTCGCGACCCAGGGCGCCCCCACGGCGTCGACAAAATCGTGCTGCGTGCGCCACGGCAGCCGCGGGTTCACCCACTTCTCGACGCGCGGCTTCGGATACCTGACCTGGACGACGGCGCAGCCGTGCTCGAGCGCGTCGAGGGCGCCGGGGCCCAGGACCGGGTCCCCGAGCCCGAGGGCCACCTGGGCCTCTCCGAGCAATTTTGAGTAGCCCGCGGCGTCGAGGAGGCCCCGGTTCTCTATAAAAGCGGGCAACCCTCTTGCCTTGTCGCGGGGCACGGTCGCCACGAGCTTCACGCCATCTAACTTCGAGACTGCGTCGAGCGCCCGCCGCACCGCCGGCGTGAAGTATTTTGCTTCCTTGCCCAGGATGAGGACCAGTCCCTTTTTTTTGGGAGGCGGGTCCGCGCGGTAGGCTTTATCTTCGACCCGGAACCCGATCATCGTGTTGCCGCAGGGATACGGGTAGGGCACGAGGTACTCGTTAACTTTCGTCCCGCGCGCGACTTGTTGCTGAGGCGTGCCCCAAAAATCCACGTTGTAGCGCCTTTTCGCGGATACGGCTCTTTTCAACGCATCATCCGTGTACTGGTCCGACACGACAATAATGTTACCGGTTAATGAGGCCGCGTCGGCTCTATTCTTCACGACGACCGTCTTTGCTCCTAATTCTTGCGCGCCCCACATGATGGCCGAAAATATTTTGAACTCGCCGAAGGTGTGGCCGTGGTCGTAGAGGTTCGGCTTCACTATTGCGATTGTTGTGCCCGCGAAGTCCGAGCGTTTGCTCTCGGGTGACGGTGGTGGTACGGCTGGCTTTACGACGGGCGCCGGTGGTGCTGGCACGGCTGCTGGCGGCTCGCGCGCAAACGCGTCGCCCTCCTTCGCTGCAGCGGCCAGCGATTTGAGTTCTGCTCGTAGCGCGGCGTCCTTGTCTCCGGCCGGCGCCGCATGGTGTGGGAGGTGCAGCAGGTTGGTGACCGTTACGAGTGCCGTGACAAGGAGCAGCGCTGTGGCTACGTGGCTAAATTTCATATTATCGATTCTTGCCAGCCATGGCTGGCGTATGCATCGAATTTTGGCCGGCGCCGCAAAAACGCAGCTAGCGTCGGTAAGCTACTAGCAAGTATGCCGAGCAAGCCGCCGGCCGAGCCGCCGCACGTTCCATCTGTCTGAGCATGGAGTGCTGCTCCTGTCGACGAGCCCTGGACCAGTTCCATTCGTTCTTCGCGTTGCGTGAATGAAATTTGCCTGGATGACGATCGTGACCTATAGCTCCTCATCCAGAGTATACCAGGCAGAGCCAACGCGTTCGACGGTTTTGTCGTATCACCGAAGGCCGGTGTGTGCGAGCTCTACGTCTGAAAATACGTAAAAGGTGCTCTGCAATCAATTTGGGCCAGGTGTCGACTTGCACTCATCGCCCGCGCACCCCCGCGGTTTCTACGCCTCAAAACTATACGACTCAAAACTAATGCGACGCCCCTCCACACGGCGGCCGTCTCTGTGCGCGCGCCGCGACGCCCGCAAAAAATTCCGGGCCAACGCGCTCGAATGGACGGTGCTCATCGTTGTTGGTGTTGCGGCGCCCTGTGCGTCGTTCCAGTTCGGGCAGTTGATCGGCCACAAGCTCTTCCCCGAGCAGCAGTATAACGACGCGCACGCGACGTGCAACGCGAACCCGAAGGACCAGATCTTCGTCCGCAGTCCGAGCGACCCGTTCGCCGCGGTGCAGCCGGATGCGACGCCCGCGCCGGTCCCGGACGGCGCGCCGACGCCTATTTCGACGCCGACGGCGCCGAAGAAGTGTCAAATAGAGGCGCACGACCTCCTCGGCCTCTCGCCCGCGGCCGCGGCCGCGCACAGCTGCAGGTAACAGCACGCGCGTTTTTTGGTTCTCGCGACGCTTCCCCATGTTCTTCCCCCCGTCGTCGCGCAAGTAAGTAATCCCATCCCGCACGACGACGCGGCAGAATACGGAGTCCTAGAAAACTCAACATTAACAGAACGCGGACTCCTCCCGCCTCTCCAACCCGACGGCGTAGACCTGGGCCAGGTGGATTACCAAGGCCAAAACGTGCACGTTGTCGTGGACCTCCCAGACGCCCGGGACCGTGCCGAAGGTCCACTTGAACTTCGAGTCGAGGCCTGCGTGTGTTAACCGGTGAGTCGAGCGGACGTCGCGTCGATGGCGTGGAGGTCCAGCGAGCGGACATCGCATCACCGGCACGCCATCGAGCAGACGCCATCGAGCAGACGCGTCGATGGCGTGGAGACGACATAAAAAGGACGCCGCGTACGCACGCCCCCCCACAAAGAAGTAGAGAAAGAGTAGCACCTTCGAGAGGGCCACGCCCCACCCGAGCGGCGGCGGGATCCGCAAGACCTCGACAGCCGCCAACAAAAAATTCTGACCGAAGCCGCAGAGCACCCTTACCGCTCTATTCATCTGGTCGTACTGGAGGTCGCGCTTTCGTAGTAAAGAGACGAACTGGACCAGGATCAAGGTCGTGGTCATCCACAACGATAATGTGGAGGCCGGCGCCGTGGACCGGCAGTAGGCTCGCACGTGCGTCGTATAGACGCCCGTGATGGCGCAGAAGTCCGCCGCTAAAACTAGCACATAAGCGCGCGGCGTCTCCCAGGGAATGACGTGTAGTATGCTCCCGAAGACGTACACTACAATATTCGTTCTCGCGAGGGATCTCCGTCGTTGGTCCTGCAGCAAGTTCACTCCAAGAGATCCGAGGACGACGACCACAGGGTAGAGCCATCCTCTATATTTCGCTCTCTTGAGTCCGTTGCCGTACTGAGCGTGGCGGCCGATGCGAGACCAATCGACCATCGTTTGCTAGTGCGGCGACGGCGTCGAGGTGGTTCTAGGCGTCTTCCGACGCAGCACTGCTACTCAAGGTGGCAGTGCCAGGCGGTTCTAGGCGTCGTGCGCCGCAGCACTGACCAAGGTGGCAGTGCCAGCCTCTGCACAAAGTTCAAAATGCTGCTAGCAGCGTCGCGTGTGCGCTGCCAGCTCGCAGGCAGTACGGCGGTGTACTCCAGGCTGCGAGAGTGCACCTCCTACAAGTTTGTGACTACGGCGTCGCGCTCAGTTTGACGTGTTTGCACGCAGAGCATCGGCACAGAGCTCAGATGCCAGTCGCCCTCGCGACCGCGGAGAAAAGAACACACAAGTTACACTAGGGGAGGACGTGTCTCAGTCCTTCAGCCACGCCGTCGCGCGGCCGAGCGCTTTGGTGGCGACCATGTCCACGATGAGGCCCGGGACGACGCGCGTCGCCTCGATCGACGCAGCTAGGCTGACGCGCGTCTTGTCGCCGACGCGCTCGACGACCCAGGCGCCCGAGCACCGTTTGACGGCCGGCGAGGCCCGGTCCAAGTCGAAGCGCAGCACCTGGGCGCCCCTACTATCGGTCTCCTCCGCCAGCACCAAGTCGCACGGCAATCTAAATTTGGTCACGGAAAAGTGGCAGGTCCGCGTCGTCTCGTCGAGCCATTCCCGCGTTTTTGAGGTCTTGATGCCTCGCATCAGACCAGACCAGCCGTCGACGTCGCGCAGCCGCTGCCACACTTTCTCTAACGGTTCATTAGTCTCGACGACGTGGACGCACTGGCCGCCGCGGCCTCGTCTATCCTTGCGCTGGACCTCGCCGTCCCTTGCCAGTCGTAATTGCTCCGTGCGCGTTAAGAGAGGTGCCGACGACGGCACGGCCGGGCCCCTTTTTTGTGGTGCGGGCGGCGCGATTTTAATGCCAGGCGAAACGACGACATTGACCGAAGGATTGAGAGCTACGGCGGGCGCTAGGACCAGCGCCAAAGCCGAGAGCCGCACCATGGCAGTGCAGGCTGTGCCAGAGGGGCCGCGGAAGCAGCGTCCTTGCGACGGTTGCAGTGGCCGGTGCCTCTGGTGCCTCCGAAGAGCTCGGAATCGCACGACGCTCGCCGACAGCTACGTACGCGCCGTTTTGGCAGTGACAACAACTTCTACAGCAGCGAGGATACTCGTGCCTGCGGGCCCACGCATCCGTCTGAAACATGGTTGCAAGACTACGCAGCCGCTCCGTCAGGGGGCGGCGTCCGCAAGACGGCGCGAAGTCGACCCCGCGCCACCGCGAAGAAGGAACCAAGATTACCCAACTAGAACTTCTCGTCCTCAGAGACATCAGGCTCCTCCAACCGATCAATAGCGCTTTTGATCAGGTTGTTGTCCTTCGGCTCGAGGTCCAACGCGAACGTGAACCGCATCATCGCATCATCTAATTTGCCGAGCTTCTTGCAGACCTTGCCCATGAGGAAGTGGACGGAGGCCTCCTTCGGCGCGTGGTCGGCGACCGCTTCCAACTCCTTCAAAGCTTCCGCATGCCGGTCCATGCTAATAAGGACATTGGCGCACTGGAACCTCGCCTGGGGGTTGTTCGGTTCCGCTTGAGCTGCGAGTCTCAAATGTCGGAGCGCATCATGGCACCGTTTGTTCGCGTGGTACGTCATTCCCAGATAGCAATGGAGTACGGAAGAGCCAGGATTCATGCTCAAAGCTCGCTGGAAGTGGTACTCGGCCAAGGCGTACTTCTCCTGGCGGTAGTAGATGGCCCCCAGCCCGTACCACGCATTATAATGCCGCCCGTCGAGCCGCATCGCGTGGCGGTACATGGCTACTGCTTTTTCGAAGGCCTCATTGGCCACATATTCGTGGCCGCACAGCGTGTACGCGTAGGCGAATCTAGGTGCTACCGCAATAGCTCTATGAAAGCACCGTATCGCCGCGTCGTGCTCCTTTTGTAGGGACAGACAATTTCCCGCGGCGCACCACGCTTCCGGGGACCGCGGGTCCCTCCGGACCGCGTCCCGCGCCAGATAGCAGAGCTGGACGTCGTCCTTGAGGTGCCACAATGCTGTACTAAGTAACTCTAAACCTTCCAATCTATGAGGTTCGCACCGCCGCATACTCTGTAAAGCATTGACGCACGCATCATAATCAGCCTTCTCGAAGTGAGCCCGGCCCCTCAAATGTTGCGCCCAGCCCGTGTCGAAGTGCCGCGCGGGTAGGGAGTGGAGGGCTTTCAGTGACGCGTCTGTTCTCGACGCGGCGAGGTCGCGCCTCGCGCTCCCCAGAATCCTTAAAACATCCAACAACGCACCGGGCAAGGACGAAGGCACCTCATTTCGATAAGGAGCGAAGCCTCTATCGGAAGAAGCCGTCCGCGGCACCTTCGCTCGCGGTCGTTCCAGCGGCGTCGACGCCGGCGTCGACGCGAAACTGAGAGCCTTGGGTCTATGAGTCGAGGGCGCCGACGGCGGCGTCGGTTCTAAGACTCGAGGCCCGCGCGGCGTCCGTTGGGGCGGCGCGTTTTCATCTTTCGAGGCCGTCGGTGGGTCTACGACCGTCTCATTCTTCAATGCATGCGGCGCGTCCCTCCGGAACGTGTGCTGCGGGTCGACGTCCGCGCCTAGTCTACAAAGAGCGTCGTAGGCGACCCACATCAAGGCGTCTTTTTCAAGGGCCAACTCGTAGTACGCGATGGCATGGTTCGCTCGATGGCCCTTCTCGCAGATACTTCCAAGAACATAGAGCCCGGCGGCGCCGTGGGGCACCGGGCTCGCTTTGGATCGTAATAACTGAGAGGACTCGCGGGGCCCGGCCGCTCGAGCTGCTCGATCCGGCAACAGCGCCGCCTCGGCCTCTGAATCTTTATCGAGGCGGTGGCAGGCCAACGCGAGCAAGTACCGCCCGTGGGGCTCCAGCGTCTGGCCGCGCAGCGTCGCGTAGGCCCGGTGGGCCGCGCCCTGTCTCAGGTAGCACGACGCGAGTGCCTCGAGCGTCTGCGACGACGGCGCCTCGGCGTGCGCGCGCTCGCAGAGGAAGGCCGCGTTCGTGTGGAGGAAGAGGCCGGCGTAGCGGTCGTAGAGGGCGGCCATCTCGCGCCGACGGCGTTGAGCCCCTCCGATGAGGTGCTGGCTGGTTTCACGTCGCGGGAGCGCTTCTGAGGCTCTGAGAGCGCCCGACTGCTAAGGATTAGTCGACTATAGCCGCAACTCTTCAGCTGGCACTGCTAATCGCACGTAGAGCTAGCCCGCGGCCGCGGGCAAAGGGCTAGCGTGTCGATAGACACACTAGCATCGATAGATCACGCCGTCGACGCGCATAACACAGCAAAGTAGGATGAATACCACAACAAACCATTATTACCCCGCCGCGACGGCCCCCCCGTCGAGCGCGCGAGTCACGACTTCACAATTCCCCATCTTCTGGTCCTCTCCAAAAAGCCGCTTGAAGAAGCCCGCGTGGCCCACGACGAGCACGTCCTTGTGGGGCGGCAGCGCATTCAGAAGCTCCCGGAACTCCGCGAGGCGCGCCTCGGCGGCCCTCGGCGCGAACCAGCCGCCGTCGGCGCAGATCCAGTCGCGCGGCGTCCGTATTCTAGCGACGTCGAAGCTAGGATACCGTGCTTCGATCATCGATGCGTCGAGCGACCCGCGCTGGCAGGCGTCAGCGGGAGGCATCGCCGTCTCGGTGTGCAATGATGTCACAATTATTTCAACGTCGTCCTGCGTCTCTGCTATTTTCGAGGCGGTCTGCAACGCTCGACACAGGGGACTCGTCACGATGATGTCGAACTGCCGCTCCGGAGGCTTTAAAGCTTCGGCGAGCTGACTAGCCTGCGCCTCGCCCGCCTCCGTCAAGGCCGGATCAAGCAATGCGCGCCCCTCAGTATCTCTGCCGTCTCTTATGAACTCGTTGTGCCGCGCCTCGCCGTGGCGCGCGAAGCTGAAGGTGCGGTCCTGGAGGCCCATGGCTCTGCGCTGGTAGCCGAGGTGGCCGTGCATCGTGGTGATGCGCAGCGGTGCAGGGCTCGCGCGGATGCTTCTCTACTGTATTTTTTTGCAGGTTGCGAGCTGTTTTATGGCTGCAAAGCTGGGGCTTAGCTAGCGGCATGTAAGACACACTAGCCATCTGCCGCAGCCTCGCGGCGCTGATTATAGCGGCGCTAAGGTGCTATACGTGGTGGAGACTCGATTTTCGTAACCTGCCTGCAGCGCAAAATGCGCACGCGCAGCGACGCAGCGCGCCAGCGATCCCTGCTGAAGCTCCCAGAGGACTGCATCAGGCATGTGGCGCTTTTCATTGATCGCGACGTCCACGGGGCGCGGTTTGCGTTGACGTCGCGGCGCGTGATGCGCTCCCTGACGTCCACGGTCTGGGCCAAGATTCTGAAAGCGACGCACGGCGGCCTCAAGATCGCCGCCGCGGAGACAGACGGGCTGCGGGTCGCTGCGCGACTCGCGGCCGCGCGCGCTGACAGAGGGCCCGTCGATGGGTTCTGGGCCCTCGCCACGAGTTGCGGCGCCGCGCCATACGCCCAACAGCAATATTGGGCCGACGCGCTCTTCCGACGCGAGCCTTGGCGCATCTACTGCTCGCGATCCAACCCCGGCGGCGAACCGGTGCTCTGCGCGACGGCGTTTCTGGCGGGCGGAGAGGACGAGGAAGGGCCCGATCGGCGATATATGTTAGATAGGCTCGAAGCGGATAATCGCGCGTATATCCAGGAAAGTTTCAGGAAGGGAAGGTCCAACCTGGCCTATGTGTTCGAGGATGTTTATGGACGCAACGCTCCCAACGCAAGTCCATTGACTGGGAGGACGTTGCGCATATGCCAGGAAATTGCGCGCCGTTTCGACAATGCTCAATTGGACAACCCGTGGTTTAGGTCGGGCCTCTCGGAAACTGTTTACGAGGCTCGCGGCGACAACGGCGTTCAGGTGGACCCGCGCGTCGAGGCGCTGGCCGCGAGGGCGCACCCGGCGACTGCGATCGCGACCGGAATCACTATCCGCCGCGCGCTGAACTTCACGTGTCCCGCGCGCTGTGGCATCATCTACGGCTTCCGAAGGCCTCCTCGCGTCTCCGACATCTCCGACGGCCGCTTGAAGGATCTAGCGGCCGCCGCTGCACCGACGATCTGCGAGCTCGGGCCACTATCTGGTGATTCTCCCAATGCATTAAAAGACTGCTTCGAGGACACTGAACCGGTGCGTCTCTCACTGCGAGGCGTCTTCTGTGCATGCGCATGCTACCAGATCGTCGGCGGCGACCAGGACGCGGAGGTCTTCCCGCTCGCAGTCTTCTCCTTTCCTATTCGCTCTCAGGTCCAAGAAATTCCCGACATGCGGGCGACCCTCGCCGTCCCCGTGGCGATCCAGGGCATGGTCGTCGCCGTCGTCGAGGTCGACAACCACGGCGACGAACTTTGGAACGAAGGCGAGGCCAACGTCGACCTGGAGTACGTAGGCATCGAGGGCTACGCGTACGTGCCACCGGGTCACGAGCCGGTGCCACCGGACCACCGCTTGTGATCCTCTCTCTGCTGTGTAGTTAGCGTAACTATGAAATAAGACCAAAGATCTACGCGGCAGCCTCGGCGAGCGCCCCAACGAGATCAACCAGCGCCGCGCGCTCCGCAGCCGCAGCCGACCGCGCCAACGACAGGGATAGATTAAGACAACTTATGAGCAGACTCAGCGGCGGCGCCGGAACGGGTTCCAGGAGGACCGCTCCGCCGGCTGCTCCACGGCCGCCGGCGCCGCCGGCTCGCTCCCGCGATTCTTCTCGATTTTTTCGAGGCGCCTCGCGGCCTCGGACGCCTTGACGTTGAGCAGGAAGAAGGACTCCATGGACTGGCGCGTGAAGCGCGTGCGCACGACTTTTGTAGCGTCGTTCCGGTCGAAGTACGGCAATCTTCTGCATAGCACGCCGTCCCGAAATAACAGATACGACGGCAACTGCAGCGACCGCACGCCCAGGTCGACGTCATATCTCTTCGCGATTTCCGGGTAGCGCGCCACGTCGATGGACCCGAAGAGCCGCTTGCTGCCGGCGTAGTCGGCCGCGAGGCCGCAAAAAAGAGGCTTGAGGGCGTCGGCGCCGTCGTGCCACGAGCAGGTCAATTCGACGATCTTCATGGTTTCGGTTTTGCACAGGGCGAACTTCGGGAAGGTCCGGTCATCCAAAACCTCGACATTCTCCGAGCCTAAAAAAGTAGGCGGCGGTATCAAATGAATCAGCGCCCCCACGGCACACGCCAAGGCAAAGACCACGATAACATCGCAGTGCAACAAGCACATGCCCACCGCTAATTTACCGTACCAGAAGATCTTCGTCATGCACTCGTGCAGCGAATTCGCCCTTCGTAGCTTACCGAGCAAAGCCAAACCAACGAGCATGTAGACCTCCCGTTCCTTCGTTTCAAACAAATAAGCACCGCTGCCGGGCACTACTACAAGCTCCGCGCCGGGCACGACGGTGCGCAGCCAGAGCCAGCTCAACGAAGCCCAGGCATTAATGATGTAGTAGGGCTGCTTCAGGTGGCGTGCCTTCTCGCGGAAGGAGTCCATGGCGGCGCGTTGCTTGCGCGGGCAGCGTCGCTTCGCGAGACTGCGTCGATCGCTTTCGGGTGTTTTTTTTTTCTAGTGTCTTACATTACGCTAGCTGACAGGTGGCCTCGACAGCTTATTTAAGCGCAAAGCTTGATAACCGGATTGTCGGCAGTCGCATGGCTCATTTCTGTGATCCCTTGAGCAGATCCAACCATCCACACGATCTCTAATTATGGCCCAATACTTGTTCCCACCCGCCGTGCCAGCTGCCCTGCGCGTCGTCGGCGAGACGGCGCTGTTCCCGGTGCGACGCGTGGCGTGCCGCGTCCTTACAGTGCCGTCGACGAAGCGCTCGAGAGCACTCGGCACGCCATCGCCGCGACGCCGTCGACTCAAGGCGTCGTCGAGAGCAGCACTCACACAGGTCTACTGCGTCGGCCGCAACTACCGGGCCCACTCGCGGGAGATGATCCAGCGGCAGGCGGCGCAGCTGGACATCACGGACGACAAGGTCGGCGCGCCGCCGTTTTTTTTTCAGAAACCCGCGTATGGTGCCGTGACGGATAGCCGGACGGTTCCGTACCCGCCGAAGACGCAGCGGCTGGAGCACGAGCTCGAGATGGTCGTCGCGCTGGGCGACGGCGCCGCGGTGTTCGGCTGCGCGCTGGGCGTCGACCTCACGCGGCGCGATCTCCAGGACCAGGCGAAGGCCCAGCGGCGGCCGTGGGACGCGGCGAAGGCCTTCGACGCGTCGGCGCCCTGCGGGGCGCTCGCGCGCGGCCTGCCGCCGAAAGAGACGCGCCTCGAGCTCCGCGTCAACGGCGCGGTCCGCCAGAGCTGCGTGCTCGCGGACATGATCTACGGCGTGCCCGAGATTCTGGATCACCTGTCGCGCGAGGTCGAGCTCTGTCCGGGCGACGTGATATTCACGGGCACGCCATCAGGCGTCGGGCCGCTCGCGCCCGGCGACGCGGTCGCGTGTCGCGCCGTTGACGTCGACGGCGGGGAGGCGCTGCCGGCGTGTGAGTTTGTTGTGAAGTAAGTGTCTTCTTAGATGACCTCCCCCGTGGCGGCGCTCGTCGCGCGCCAGAACTGCAACACGTGCCAGCATAGCTCGTTGGGCAGGCGGAGGACGCGGGCGGCGACCGGATCGGCGGCGTCTTTTGTGCGACCGCGGAGTACCAGACTCCGCAGGCGCAGCACGTCTTTGCGGGACTGTCGTCGATACGCGGTCCACGTGCCGCCCGCCGCGCGGATGTCGTCGACGAGCTTCGTACAAGCGGCCCAGTGTACTCTATTTGCCCAGCCACCGGTGTGGATATTGCTGTTCAAACTTCGGATCCATTCTTCGGCTGACCACTCTGACCCACCTGCCTTAACGGAATCCATCGACGCGCCAGCCCTTAACATTTCCGAAACAATATTGAGGAACGGGTTCGCTTCATACATTCTGAGCGCGAGAAGGGCCGCACCAGGACGGCCTCGTCTTCATCATATTCTGCTTGGTCGTCGCGTCGTGGTTCGTCGGCCTCAAGCTCTACAACGGCTTCCTCTCGCTCTGCGGCCAGACGGACCACCGCACGGACGCGGGCATGCACGGCTGGACGTACGCATCCTACAATTTGCTACTGGCGGGGACGTTCTGGGTCATGAATTTGATGTGCGCGATCCCCATCTTCGGCATCGTTATGTTGGTTTGGCTCATCGCGAACCACGAGCACGTGACGTGTTTTAACCGGAAGAAGGTCCGGGACTGGGCGGCGTCGGCGCAGCGCCGCGGGAGCAACGTCGACCTGGCCGCGCGGGCCGAGGCGCAGGCCGAGTCAGACTCGCGGTGCGGCGGTTGTTTGTGTTGCTGCGGGCCGCGGCCGGACGTGTTGGTTGAGCACGAGGCGCAGCGCGAGGCGCGCATCGCGGCGCATCGAGGAGTCCTCCCCGGCCTCGAGCCGGACGCCGGCGAAGCTTAGTAGACAAGACCTCCCCCCTAAGTGTCGATCCCGATCTTTTACGCAAGGGCCTCTAGTCGCCGTCCACGAGCTTGCCGACGACGTCGTACTTGCCCTCGAACGACGCCACCCAGAGCGCGAGCGACGCGCGCTCGGCGGGGTTCAGGGGCGCGCCGTCGTCGGGCTCGTAGTCGGGGTCGCCGTCGAGTCGGTTTTTGGCCAATTGTCTCGTCGCGTCGCGGCCGGCCATCGACGCGTAGGGCCCGCCCGGCGCGTAGAAGTGCCGGCCCCGCCAGACGTTGAAGACTTTGCCGTCCGCGCCCAGCAGGATGGGGCCGTCGTAGTCCGTACCGTCGTATTGCTTGAGCTCTGATTCCCGCCACGTCTCGCGCGGCTCGATGAAGGCGCGTTGCCGCCGTTCTTCCAAGCGCTCCTTGGACTCGGCGTCGGCGGCGCTCACGGCCTGCTTCCTCTGCGAATCCTGAAACGTAGTGAACGCCCACGAGGCCGCCGCCGCGCCCCCTACGACTTCGGCTACGAGGTTGAGCTCGAAGGCGCAGGCGGCGCGCAGCAGCGCCCCCAGAATCAGCAAATAGCTGTGCCTGGCCATCGCAGAACACCGCGGACCCCTTAGGGCGCTCGCGCGGGTGGGGCCGTGGGAAAAAGAGCAGCTCGGGAGCTGTTGGCTTCTACCTGATGCGTAAATGCGCAAGATTGCCGCCGGGCTGCGATTTCAACGCTAGTATCGATGACGCTAGCAGCGAACCTTAATCCTGCAGTGCCGCCCGCATACAGCTGCATCTATCCATTGCGCGCACTCTCTGGCCTTCGCGTGCAACGCTGTGCACTGCGTGACATCGCTGCTGTGGTCTGTGGGCCGCTGTGCAGTGCTGGCCGCTGTGCAGTGCTGGCCGCTGTGCGCTGCTGACCGCTGGCGGCTGTGCAGCGCTGCCTCAGAATGTCCAAAATGCACCGATGCGTCCTCCTCGCGGCCGTCGTGGCCTGTGCTGCTGCGCGCCGACCGGGCTCGCGCGTCGTCCAATTCACGAGACGCCTGCCGCGCCGGACGCGGCGCGCGGCCGAAACCGTAGTGCTCGACATGCCGCTCGGATTGCTCGAATCGCGGGTGGAAAGGCAATTGAGCAAGGCCCTCGGCCAAGCACCCGTCGAGCACAGCGTGTTTCAGGCTCTTCGTATGGTTTGCGGCTGCGCGCTGCTATTTCAGAGTGCGAAAATACCACAAACTGCTGCAACGCTGCAATGCTTCGCTTGTCTCCTGCAGATCTCGCACGGTATGATACTGGGCGCGACGGGAGGCGGCATCGATCTCTTCCAGTCGCCGGCGCGGGACGACGAGGGCGCTCGCGTGCTGTTCGTCGTGGTGAGGCTCTGCGCCTGGATCGTGGCCAGAGACATCGCGGAGCGCCACGGCTCGACGGCCGCGATCGCGGGTGTGACGATTGGCGTCCTGGCGGCGAAACTAGCTGTGGCAACGTACGACCACGCTAGGATTCTGGCGCGGCGCCAGCGCAAGCGCATCCAAGCCGTGCGGGGGCTCACCGTATCGGACGAGCATGAGCCGCCCCTGGACGCCATCGCCGCGACGCTCGAGCGCCTGGAGATGTCCTACAGCGACTACGTGAAGCAAGGGCTGAACTGGGTCGTGCGGACCCAGGTCTACGCCGGGAGCGCGCGCGCGGGCCGCGGCGTCGTTTGCACGGCGTGCGACTGTGCGCATATCGACCGACCCGCGTGGGCGAACGTCGACGCGGAGAGACGCGAGGCGAAGGCCCGCGCGGCGGCGGCCAAGATCCAAGCGGTGCGGCTCCACGAGTTCCTGCACATGTGCGTCTTGGCGCTGAGTACTCGCTATGGCGTCCGTTTCGCCAGAAGGCGACGCCTGGGCAAGCGGGCGCTCGACAACCTCGGCGACGACATTCCGCTGGCCGGCGGCGGCGCGTTCTCGCCGTCGCGGCGAGCCATTGCGAGCCTGGACCTCGTCAAGTTCGCCCCGGCGGCGTTGGGGGCGTTCGAGGTCTCCGAGGGCGCGCGTACGCTTCGGGCGCGGAATCGGTACGCTGCATTACGAGCGGGGCTGCGGGCTACGAACGTCGTTGAGACCTATGTGGCCGGTGACGTCCTGTGTGGAAATCAACCAGTGCGTCGGGTGCAGTCAAAGGCGCCGTGAATTTTGATTTCTACACAGGCGACGTCGATTCTCGAGGTCGCCGTCGGTCGAAGCGGGGCATGCTCAAGCAGTTCCTCGCGTTGTTCCGGGCGCTGACCCAGACCGTGAACTATCTGACAAGCTTTGTCAACAATTGGGTCCGGGCATTTGAGCGCTGGCTCCTCGAGCGACGGGGCTACATCCGATTCGTCTGGCGCTTCGTGTTGGCTCCTATCTTCGTCGTCAAGGGGCTCCAGAAGCCTCTCCTCGGGTTCTACAAGGCCGTCGCCGCGGAGTGCTATCCGTGGTTATTGGCGTGGTCGGGCTGGCGGGTCCAGCTCGGGACGCTTGAGCTTCACCAGGTCCCGGCCTACATGACGTGGGCCGCGGCGCTGCCGGCGCGGTGGCTCGCCGTCGTGGTGCGGAACCGCGGTGGTGGCGACTAGGTGTTGTTTGTGATTCGTGTGGTAAGTCTAGTATGTTTACTCGGATAGGTGTTGTAAATCTAGTGTGTTTGTTCCTCTAGCTCCGAGTTTGCGGTTGCTTTTTTGATCGCCAACTGGGGCAGTCCGTGCTTAGGCGTCTCAGAGAATTGGCAGCATCAGTTATTAGTCGCAGCGCGTAGCACTGGGACGTCAGCGCATCCCTGAGACCACCGGAGTGCAAGAGAGCATTAGCTGCAAACAGGATGGCAGCGCAACTCGACGCCAAGGACGCCAAGCCGCCATACGCCTTCAAGCGCGTCGACGCGTACGACGGCGGCATCGGTGCCTTCGCGACGCGGGACTTGAAGCGCGGCGAGGTCATCCTGCACGAGCCGCCACTCGTCACGGCCACGATGGCGACGTTAGAACAACGAGTCGCTGCACTAGATGAAAAAACGCGCAAGCGCCTCTTCTCGCTCTGCGACTGGCGCGCCGAGCGCGCCAAAACCCAAAAAACGGCGCTCGGCGTCTTCCAGGCGAACGGCTACCCCTGCCCGACGGCTAGAGAACCCGACGCGGCCGGCGTCTTCCTCAAATTTAGTAGATTCAACCACTCGTGCAAGCCGAACGCGCACCACGCCTGGCGCAAGGGCGAGCGCTGGATCTTCGCGACGCACGATGTCAAGGAGGGGTCGGAGCTCACGACGCATTATGTTGATCTATTTATGACGTCCGAGGACCGCAAGAAGGCGCTCAAGGAGCGCTTCGGCTTCGACTGCGTGTGCCGGGGCTGCGAGCCGACGCCGAAACTAAGAGTCGCCTTCTCGGACGCGCGGCGGGCTCACATGCGCCAATTGGACGAGCAGATCTACGACAAAGCATCTAGGGGGAAGCACGAGGCCGCCATCCGCGACGTCACGGAGCGGTTGATCATGCTCGAGGAGGAGGAGCTCGACTCGCCGGCGGCCGTCGCGCGCGCGTGCGACGACGCCGCGCAGGCCGCGGCCCACGCGAACGATAAAAAAACGGAGAAGGAATGGCTCGAGCGCGCGCGCGCCGAGTCGAAGCTCTGCGAGCCGCCCGAGTCGTCCGAGCTCGAGGAGCTCGAGCGGCGGCTGGCGAAGCTAGGTGTGTAGTTTGTATTTCAAGTTAGTCCCTAGGCGCGCCGAGGCCGGGGATCTTGGACGGATGGCCGACCCAGGCGACGACCCAGAAGTCGGCGCCGTCCGCGCAGAGATGGACCTTCTCCGTGGCGCCGCCGCTGAACGTAAACCCGGCGCCGGGGCGTTGGCGTTCGTATTCCTCGTTTGACACTCTCCCGCGGACAACGAAAGCCGGATGATCCTCCAGCCGGTTAGCCGCACCAAGTATATATGTATTCTCTCTTCTTTGTCCAGCGTACGGTTCAGCGGACACGACGAAAAATACTTGGCCCTTGGGTACGTCAATTGACACGTACAACCCGGACTCATCATCATCAATGTTACGTTTATTCTCGATTTTGAACGTCAAGAAGCGGGCCGTGGGTCGTGCCCGTTCCAGCGCCTCGAGGGCCTCGTCGCAGGCGGCGACCAGCGCTTCGTAGCACAGAAACTCTGCCTCGGTCCTGAGATCCTCGAGCCGATGCGCGTCCGCGGCGGCGGCGGCGGGCAACCGGTTCGCGCGCATGAATCGGAGCACGTCCGCGAAGACGTCCGGGTCCCGGTCTAGGAAAATCTCCCGCTGGCCACCCGGCGCGTCGTCGCCGTCGGCTGAGACGCGCGCGCGCTTCTTTCCGCGGAGCTTCCGGCCCGTCTCCCCCAGCAGCGCTTCAAAGTAGCCTGCGCCGCTGGCCTCAAGTGTTGTGGTGGACGTTTTGAAGGTGCGGCCGCCCGCATCGATGATGATCACGCTGTCGGAGCTCATGTTTGCGTGAGTGCCTCTCGTCAGACACGATTTATCAAATTAGTTGGGGGGCAGCCCATCAGGCAGAGCAATATTGAGCCATTTTGAGTGTTCGCCGGCGAGGAGCACCACAGTGCGGCATAATTCCAGACCCGCAGCAGTGATCCGGCACTCTCACGACAGGAATAAAGCAGCCCGACGGCGCCTCGAACCACTGCAGCAGGACAGGGCAGCCCCAAGCCCTCTGAAACGATGGCATCCGCGCCGAAGCGATGGATGCTTCTGCTCATGGTAGCACGCATGAGGGCACAACCCGGCGGTGGCGGCGACTCCGGTGACGGCCCCGGCGACGGCCCCGGCGACGGCCCCGGCGGCGACGGCAACGACAAACGGTGCCAATTCAACATGACCCAGCGCGCATTTCACTCGCACCGCACGCTCGAAGACATACTTCTGAGCACGGAGTACGATGCCAGCTCGAGACCCGAGGTCGCAAGAGAGAAAGACCTGAAGAACAAGCCCACCGCGGTCACCTGGACGCTCGCGACGAAGGGCTTCTCCATCAGCGAGAAGGCGAACACCGTGACGCTCACGGGCGAGGTCACGGAGTCCTGGGTCGACGAACGATTAGCGTTCAACTACACGCAGGGCGATACTTGTCCTAGTGATTCTCCACCCGTCTGGACCGTCTCGAAGAGTCATTATTATCAGATCTGGCGGCCCTGGCTCTACATCTCGAATCAAGTCTCCACGTCCGATATCTCCAACGCCGGCAGTTCGCTCAAGGTCGACGCGGACGGGACAGTGACGTGGACCTACAACACTCTGATCACGGCGCGCTGCGCTTTGGACTTAAAAAGGAGTCCCTTCGACACACAAACGTGCGGCGTAGACGTCATGTCCCTCTCGTACGATGCCTTCGAGATGGAGATCAGCGGCGCCGCCTACTCGACGCAGCCCACCTTAGAATGGAAGATGCTGGGCGACGCCAAGGTGTCGTCGAACAGTGCGGTCAAGGAGGGTCCCGATGCCCAAACGACAGGGCCGTCGTACGCCGTGCTAGAAGTACGCTTCGAGTTCAAAAGAAGGAACGGCTACCAAATCCGGGAGATATTCGTGCCGGCGATCCTATACCTATTACTAGCTTATTGCGGTTTCTGGATAGACCGGAATGTGGCACCGGCAAGAGTCGCAATCTCCGTCATCCCAGTATTGATCACGCGGACGCTCCTGAACTCGGTCTACGCGACAAGCCAATTGCTGCCCTACGTTAACGTGCTCACGCTCTACCTGAACATCCTCAGCTATCTCAATATCCTCGCTGTCTGCCAATATGCTCTGGTGCAGCGCTGCATCCAGGACGAGAAGAAGGCGTTGCTACGACTAAAAGGCCTCGCAAAGATGAGAGATGTCATCGACGCGCTCGTCGACGCGACAGAGACAGTTGCGCCGCCGCACGCCAAGACCCCCCCGGACCCAGAGGCGCCCGTGGCGGTCGTGCCCGGAAAGCGCATCATCCGGGCACGGAGCGAGCGCTTCGACGCGCTGCTCGCGCAGAAGGGGGTCAACCCCGTCGCCGGCCGCGCCGTCGCCGAGCTCAAACGAATCTTCGAGCGGGCCGACCGCGACGGGTCCGGAGACATCGATATGCTCGAGTTCTGCAAGGCGCTGCGAGGCTTCGGCATCTACGACCCGCCCGACGCCGCGCGGCTCGCGCTGTCGTCGATGCGCCACGCTGCGAATCAGGACGACGCTACATCAACGGTAGGTTTCGACGAGTTCGTCGACCTACTCCTCGGCTACGAGAAACATCGAGTCGCGGATATCTTCCCGGGAGAGGAGCTGCGGAACTTTCGGTACCTGCCCGCGTCGCTCCAATTGGACGTCGCCTGCCGCATCGCCTTCCTCCCATTCGCTGGTGTCGTGTTGGCCGTCGCGCTATCTATCTTGGACGCGCAGACGGCCGAGTAATAACAACACATGTCTTACACGCGGATGCCGGCCAGCCCCTCCCCCTCATACCCCTGGCGCTCGCCCTCCTCGAAGATGATGTCGAGGTCGTCGAGGAACTGCCCCGCGGACGAGAAGATGGCGTCGAGCTCGCCCTCGGCGCCGCGGATCGCCGCGGCGGCGTCGGGGCCCTCGGGCTCCTCTTCTTCCTTCTTGGGACTCACGCCGAGCTGGAAGATCCAGGAATTGGGATCGGCCGGCCCCGGCTTCGGCGGCGCGGACGGCGGCGGCGCCGGGACGCTCTTCGTGAGCTCCGCGATCTGCCGCCGTAAGTCGCGGATCTCCTTGTCCTTGGCGTCCCCAATAAACGCCTCCTCGTCTTGTTTCGGTAACGAGGTCGCATTCAACAGATCGGCGAGGATGGTCGGAGGCTGGTCCGTGTCCGGACTCCGCGCCGCCGCCGCCGTTAAACCTTCGTCGATCATCTCCGCGGTCTTCTCCACGCGTTCTCTGGTGGGAGGCGGTTTTTGTAACACACGCTGCGTCGGCGGCCCGCAGTAGACGAAGTGGCAGTGCGCGCAGACTTTGACGGCGTCGTACAGGGCCAGGCGCTGCCGCCGCGACATCTTCACCAAAGCTGCCGCAGTGGGCCGCGCTTCTCCATCGCGGGGCTTGTCCAGGACCACTTTTCGCGGTATTGAGAACCTCAGGTCGCGCGCCATGGCGTCCTGGTACTCGTGGAGGCGTTCTTCCGGGATCTCGCGGTCGCAATATGCGCCTTCACATTCTACCGCTTGAAACGGCTCCTCTTTATCAACAATGATCTTCTTGCGCGGCATCCAGACCTCGTTACGGTCAAAGGTACCTCTGATACCTTTGATCTGCAACACGGACCAGCGCCCTCTTTCATCTTGGACGCAGTCGCACGCGATCGCTGTCAACTGATTACCGAGGACATGGTTCAGGCCCCGCAACACACTTGCCGTGCAGACCTTGGCGTCGGTCCAGGCTTGACTCCCGGGCACGCTCCGCACGACCGAACACGTGCCCTCGACGCACCTTGCCGTGGAGGTGGCCACTTCCTCCTGAGACGACTCCGAGAGGACCCAGGCCTCGGGCTGCCCGCCTCCGTGAGCCCAGGGCCCCGCGTCGATTTTCGTATTCTCCTCGCCCCGCCTCAGCTTCCACTGGAGGTTCGCGGCGGCCCGCGCGTCCACCAGAGCTCTACAAATCCACGGCTTGCCGCCCTTTGATGATATATAACGCTGCAAGACGACGCCCGCCTCGCCCACGGCATCACCGACGGGCTCCGTGAATAATAAGGCTTGCAGCGCGGCGCGCGCGGCCTTGGGTTTCGTGTAGAAGGCGCAGGCGTGCTGGCCACTCGAGGTATCTGGAGGAGCTTTCTCGACGGCGTCCGCGGCTCGTTTCGCGGCCTGGTGGTGCATCGACGAGAGGAACGCCGTCGTACATTTGAGGACGACGAGCGGCTTCTTTGTGAAATGCCGGTGCCTACGGGCTTCGACGTAGCTGTCGTCCTCTATTACTTCGCTCTGCGGGCCGCATAACCTCTTTTCCAACAATCTTCTCGTAGCTCGGTCCAGCCCGACCCAGCCCGGCTCGCCGTCCTCGTTGAGGTCGCCCCAGCGCCACGCCCTCCGCTGGACCTTGCCGTCTTCGTTCGAAGAATGCCAGACGAGCGTGGGCGGCGAGGCCACCACCGATAAGGTACAGGGCACTCTACAAGAAGTTCGGTCGGGCACTAACCCCCAGCAGGTCGCACCGGAGTCCAAGTCGGGGCAGGACGCTTGTTTCGCGTCTTGTGATGCCAGCCGTTTCTTCGCCTCCAGAGCGGCTTCCTTGTTGGCCGGGGCGAGCGGCGGTAATGTCGTGGACGGCTCTTGCGCGATCGGGGCCTCGGGCTTCGTGATCGGGTTCAGCGGCCGGGCGAGCTTGTTTGTCCTGTTTCGCTGCTGCCGTTTTTTCGTCGGCTTCCTCGCGGGCTTGCCGCGCTTCACGTTGCGCAGCTCCCTTAATCTCTTCTCGATCTGCTTCTCGGTGGTCGGCGTGAGGCCGTCGAGCTCTCCCAAGAACGCGTCGAAGCGGTTCGAGACGCTTGCTTCATCGGTTGGCTCCATTGTTGGTACCGTCGCGTCGCGTTTGGGATGAGCGCCCGTCGCGGTGCCACCTGGGGTTTCTCCCGGAGGTGGAGAGGCAGCCGGGCGTCCGTGGAGACAGCCCCTTTGCTCGCAAGCTGCCACAAAACCACCGTTTTGCTAGTATGTTACAGGACGCTAGCTGAGGTTTCACGCCTTCTTTTTCGAGCGCCTCGGTGCGTCTGCAGACTCACACGTGTCGCAAAGCTCGACTCGTGTATAGCGCCACTACTACTTTGCACTCTGCTGCACCTGTAATGGCTGCACAAGTCGAGAGCAGCACTTTTGACGTGGTAGTCATCGGCGCTGGATTGGCAGGCCTCGCCTGCGCGAGGGCTCTCAAGGGCGGCGGCCTCGACGTGGTCGTGCTGGAAGCGCGCGAAAGGTTGGGCGGAAGAGTGCACAGCGTCGACGTGGACGGCGTCGACGTGGAGCTCGGCGCGCAGTGGGTGCACGACGACGCGGCGTCGCACCCGGCGCGGAAGTTTTGTGAGCGCGCCAATCTAAAGCTGCGTGGCACGTCGTGGGAGCAAGCCGCGTTGGTTTGTAGAGGCGAGCGACGGCCCGGCGCCGAGATCAAGCGAGCGCGCGCGGCGGCGGAGCGGGCGTTCGGCGCCGCGCGGGCGGCGCGGCGGACGGCGAAAGCCGATGCCTCGCTGGACGACGCGCTGCGTCCGCTGCTCGCGGGCGCCGACGCGGTGACGCAGTTCTTCGTGCGCCTCGAGAACGAGCTGGACTACGGCGCCGGCGCAGAGGAGCTCTCCCTGCATCATTGGGATAAAGACGAGTATTGGAGGGAGGTTAAGTCCAGCAAAAAGGGCGGCGACGCGCTCGCAGGCCCGCTCGCGTCCGCCGTCGCCGCGTTGTCGGAGGGTCTCGCGGTGCGCCTCGGCCACGCGGTGACGGCCGTCGAGACGGGCGACGACGTCGTTCGCGTCCGCGGAGATGCCTTCGAGCTCGCCGCGCGGCGCGTCGTCGTCGCCGTGCCGCTCGGCTGTTTGAAGGAGGGATCGATGGCATTTGCACCAAACCTCTCGCCGCGGAAGACGCATGCGCTCGCCGCCGTCGGCTTCTCGCGCTTCGAAAAGGTGGTACTCGCGTTCGCCGAGCCGTTCTGGGAACGCGTCGTGGGCCGGCGGCACGTGATCCACGCCCCCTCGGACGCGCCATTACCGCGCTTCGAGGTCTTCTTCTCGCTCAACGCGGCGCGCGGCACGGCGAAGGCGCCCCATGTTTTGGTTGCGATCGTGGGCGGTGCCGACGCGACCGCCGCCGAGGCGGAGGACGACGCGACGCTGCGCCTGTTGGTCTGCGACGCCCTCGACGCGGCCCTCGGGACGGCGGAGGCCGCGCGCCACTGTCGTCGCATGCTCCGGACGCAGTGGTCGCGGGACGAGTTCGCGCGCGGCGCCTACTCGTACCTGCCGCCCGGCGCGACGCCCGAAGACTACGACGCCCTCGCGCGGCCGGAGCACCGCGGCCGCGTGCTCTTCTGCGGCGAGCACACGTCCCGGAAGTATCCGGCGACGATGCACGGGGCGTTGCTCTCGGGGGAACGCGAGGCGAAGCGGGTCCTTGGTGACCTCGGACGAGGCTAATAGTAAGTTTGTGGTAAAATGAAATAGCTATAGTCAATTCGGGTTGCGGGGGCGCGCGCCTAGAGGGGTGACGGGGGAGCTATCCCCCGCGAGCGTGTACGTAAGTTTGTGGTAGAAGTTGCAAAATCAAAACGGGTTTTTGGCCAAACTTTTGGGACGCCTAGCGCTCGTACGCGGCGCGTTATCTACGAGGAAGGTGGGTCTGCGATCGATTCGCCTCACGCACGGCCCCTCTACCGAACGAGAACGCGAGCGGCCGCCCCCGCAAAATAGCCGACCTCTAGGAGCAAGAGTCGACTCGATGGAGCCCAATGATGATGCCGGTAACTCCACTCAGGGGTATAAAGAGAATGTGAAAAGCTTTCTCCTTTGCCGCGTGCGGGCGGGCCGTGGAAGCGCGTTCGGGCGTGTACCCTACGCGGTCTGTCGGCTCATTGCCGCGACCGCCGGATGCTTGTTCCAAGCGGCCGATGCATACAGAGGACGGCGGGAGGGCTTTTCTTTCAAGCTGGGTGGGCAAGGGTTAGGGTACTACCCAGACTACAACGCGCTGGAAGATGCGGCCCGGGAGCTGACCGAGGGCGATCGCATACGGATTCAACGTTACCATCCCCCCGATATCGACCCCGTCCCCGACCCCGCTACTACGCTATTGGCACACTACGCTACCGGGGCGGACTACTAGCACTAAACTACGCTGCCGGCTTCCCCTGCTTCGACTGCGCCGAGGTGACGGCGAGGTCGCAGGGCACTAGTGCGGACTCGGAAGGGCGCCCGGATCCGAATGCCCAGAATGTATAAGAATTTACGCGGGTCTAGCCCTTGAACCCGGACAGCTCCGCGAGCTCGTCGAGCGACTTCTCGCCCGGGTAGAGCTCGCCGCCGATGTCCCACGTCGGGTAGCCCTTGACGCCGCGCCGGTCGCACTTGGCGCGCTGCGAGTCGACGCCGTCGGCGGCGCACTCGACGTAGTCGATGTCCTCGACGGCCTTCGAGCCGAAGGCCGACTTCTGGTCGAAGCAGTGCGAGCACCAGTAGGCGCCGTACATGCGCGCGCCCTTGGCTGACAGATGCTTCGCCAGGGCCGCGGCTTTAGGGGTTGTCGCCGTCTTCACGGGCGGCGGCGAGAAGAGTTGCTTTGGAGTTGTTGTCTCGGCGGCGACGGCCGGCTGGACGATCATGCGAGCTTCCTTGAGCGCGACGTTGCCGGCCACCGTACTAAACTGCACCAGAGCGGCCAACACGGTAGCCGCGATAAACGGCGTCCGCGATCCCTTTTCGCTCCGCAGGAGCCACGCGTTCGTAAAACATAAAGTAGCAGACCCAAAGCACAGGACGCACGTCTGGTTGAGCCAAAATAACAATAAACCCACGAGGCACACCGACGCCGCGGCCATGGCGCTTGTTAGAGCTACTAGCGGCTTCCGCGTCTTGTCCACATCACCCAGCGCGAGGAATAATACAGCAGCGTACGCGAGTAAACCCACCGCAGCTAGTGGTACGCCGCCGGGCAGCTGCGCGTAGGGACCTTCCAAGACGCTGCCGCAGCCGCTCGCGCAGAGGCCTTGTACGCCGGTCAGCTTCGAATAGGTGAGGTACGCCGTCTCGGCGACGCCGATCCCGGCGACGGCGGCGACGGCCTTGCGCGTGGCTGGTTCATCATTCGTTTGCGTCGCCTTCAGACATGTCCGTTGCCTGACACGGGGCGCCTGGAGCGCATGCGCACTCGCGAGCAACAACAAGACCCTAGTCGTCCTCATCCGTGATGCGGCGCTTGATGTCTCCCTTGAATTCCGGCGTGAGCGCGGGGTAGACGCACCAGCCCGCGATACCCGCGAGGGGGATGAGCCACGGCTTCAGGCTCCAGCCGTAGAGCGACCAGCTCTTCACGCGCGCGCCGACGACACCCTTCGAGGCCTTCGCCGCGAGGTTCGCGAACATGCCCGACCTGCGCGCCGCGACTCTACGGGGACCGTGGGAGTAAAACGCGAGTACCCAACTCTCGCCGCGGCGCCGCGGCGGTGCGGGTCGCGGGAGAACCCCTTGACAAATGCTCCGCCTGGTCGTCTCCCACACCAGTAACGCCCGCGTGCGCGTGGTAAAGCGCGCAGCGTGCTGACTTTGTGTGTGGTTCTTCTTTGTTGCCCTATAGGCCGCCTCCCCACCGCTCCGGCGCCGCGGGAGAGCGTGTTTTTGTGCAGGCGGTGCTGGTGGCTTTTGGGGCGGGCGGCGGCCGGCGTTTCGCGTTGAGCTCGACTGGCACCGTCCAAGCCCTTGAAATAACGACGCTGGGTGTACAGCGAGACGGTATCGCTGTGTGTGATGGCCAAAAGCAGCAAGCTTTGCCAAGCTATCTAGCGTGCTGTAAGACACTAGCAACGAAACCAACAAATCCACCACAGTATTAAATAGCCCCGCCGCGGCGTCGACGGGAGTCGTATCGAGCACTCAGTACGAGACGACCGCGCGCAGGCAGTCGCCGCCGTGGAGCGCGTCGACGGCGCCGAGCGTGTTCTCGACGCCCGAGAGCCGGTGCGTCACGTACGCGTCGATGGGCAGCTCGCCGTTGAGCACCTGGTCGACGAGCGGCGGGACCTCGTCGCGGCTCTTGAAGCCGCCGAAGGCCGTGCCCTTCCACGTCCGGCCCGTCACGAGCTGGAACGGCCGCGTCGCGATCTCCTTGCCCGCCGCGGCGACGCCGATGACCACGGAAACGCCCCACCCGCGGTGCGCCGCCTCGAGCGCCGCCCGCATGACCTCGACGTTGCCCGTGCAGTCGAAGGTGTAGTCCACGCCCCACTGCGTTTCTGCAACTAATCTTTGCTGGATCGGCGTGTCCTCGTCCGTCGGGTTCAGGAAGTCCGTGGCGCCGAACTCCTCCGCGACGGCCTTCTTGTCGTCGTTGACGTCAATCGCAAAAATGCGCCGCGCGCCGCGGATCTTCGCGGCCTGGATCACGGCGAGGCCCACGGCGCCGCACCCGAAGACCGCCACGGACGCCCCCTCCTCGACGTTCGCCGTCTTCCAGGCCGCGCCCCAGCCCGTCGCGACGCCGCAGCCGAGCATGCACACCGTCTCCAGGTCGGCGTCGTCCGAGATCTTCGCGCAGGAGATCTCCGACACGACCGTGTATTCCGCAAACGTGGAACAGCCCATGAAGTGCGCGAGCGGCGTGCCGTCCGCGGCCTTGAAGCGCGTCGTGCCGTCGGGCATGGTACCCTGGCCCTGGGTGCCCCGGATCTTGGGACACAAGTTCGTCTTCGGCGACGCGCAGAAGATGCAGTCGGCCTCGCGGCACTGCGGCGTGTAGCAGGGAATCACCTTGTCGCCCGGTTTGACCGACGTCACGCCCTCGCCCACACTTTCCACAATCGCGCCCGCCTCGTGGCCGAGGATCGAGGGAAACAGACCCTCCGGGTCGCTGCCCTCGAGCGTGTAAATGTCCGTGTGGCAGAGCGCGTTCGCCACGACCTTGAGGCGCACCTCGCCGGCCTTGGGCGCAGCCACGACGATGTCTGTCGGTCTCAGGTCGTCCACACCAAAGGCCACTGCCGCCTTGCAGCTGATGGGCTCGCCCGTGCCCGTCGCCCAGATGAGGCCGGGCTCGGATTCCGGCATTCTTGACGCCTGGCGGCGCTGGTTTTTGGCAGCATTGGTGAGCGCCCGGCGCTGCGGCGCCAGCGCGCGGCTCAGGGCGAAGACCGTCGACGTGAGGAGCGGGCGCAGCATCTTTCCTTGGCAGCGAGTTGAAGGCTGGAGCACTTCCTTTGCACAAAGCGCGGCTGGAGCCACGAATGAGGCAGCACGGCAAGTTCTTTTTTCGATCGGATGAGTTAGCTAGCGGCATGTAACACACTAGCAAACAGCCCGAGCTAGACTAGCACAATTATTACAGCCTCTCGCAAGACCTGTGGCCGTGCTATACGCACAAACTCATTTATTTGCATCGCTGCGATTGTGTGCCGACGCGCGGTGCACAACTCTCGCTTGCAGCTGTGTTTGCTGCAGTCCCAGCAGCACTCACCGCGGCGACACCGCAGCATGCTCACCGCCCGCCGCCTCTTAACGCTAACGGCGACGGGCGCGCGCGCGCTCTCCGCGGTCACGAAACTGAGCACAAATAACTGCTTCGGCGGCCAGTGGCGCCGCTTCCAGTTCGATTCGTCGACGACGGGCACGCCCATGGTCTTTTCGGTGTTCGTGCCGCCGGTCCAGAAGGCGCCGTGCCTCTTTTATCTCTCGGGATTGACGTGCACAGATGAAAACTTCGTGCAAAAGGCGGGCGCGGCTCGGAGAGCGGCCGAGCTGGGAATCGCGCTGGTGGCGCCGGACACGTCGCCTCGACTCCCGGAGGACCGGAGGCTGCCCGGCGAAGACGACAGCTATGATTTCGGCAGTGGAGCCGGCTTCTACGTCGACGCCACGAATTACCCCTGGAGCCAGTACTACAATATGTACTCCTTCGTCACCCAAGAACTGCCCGAGGCGGTCATGGTGGCCTGCCCGGAGGTCGACGTGCAGACGCGGTCCATCACAGGGCATTCGATGGGCGGCCACGGCGCATTGACGATAGGCCTGAAGCAGCCGGCCGTCTGGCGGAGCGTTTCCGCGTTCTCGCCGATCTGCAACCCGACGAAGGTGCCCTGGGGTCCGCGGCGGCGCGACACTCAACCGGTACGCCAGGCGCGGTCGGTGACAGGTTCGATTCACACAGGCCAGAAGGCCTTCGAGGGATACCTCGGGTCCGTCGACGCCGGCCTCGAGCACGATGCCTGCGAGCTCGTGAAGAAGGGGCCGCGAAGCGACGCCATATTAGTATCCCAAGGCGCGGACGACGACTTCCTGGTGGGTGATACCAATCAGCTTCAGCCGGAGGCCTTCCGAAGCGCGTGCGACGGCGTGGGACAGGAGCTGGATCTGCGCTACGAGGCGGGCTACGACCACTCGTACTTCTTCATCCAGTCGTTTATCGACGAACATCTCGACTTTCACGCGTCGAGGCTCAAGTAAACATATAAACTTAATACGCCGTCACGTCGCCGTGCGGGTTGTCCACGCAGTTCCACGGCTTAAGGTTCTGCCGAAGAAACCGCTCGATGGCTTCGAAGTATGCCTTCCGATGCTCTTCGGACCAGCCCGACGGCCCGTGTCCCTCGCCCTCCAGAAACAGCGTTTCCAACAGAGGCGACGCGGCTTTCTCGGCGAAGGTGTTGATTTGCGCGAACGGGCAGTCCGTGTCGGCCTGGCCGTGCGCGAGTAACAGCGGCACGCGCACCACCGGCTCGGGGTTCGCGCGCGCCACGCGCGGCCGGACGGCCTCCTCGTAGACCCAGCCGCCCATCAACCACCGGTCGTAGTAACGAACTTCCGTGCACTTCTGCTGCACGTTCCAGTCGGCGATGCCCGCCGAAGCCACAACGCAGGAGAACGGCGACTCGGCGCGCGTCGCGGCGAGCAGGCCGAGGTAGCCGCCCCACGAGTGGCCCGCGTAGCCCACGCCGCGGCTCCGGTCGACGGAGATACCTTCGGGCGGCCGCAAGCCGTCTTCCTTCAGACACCACGTCCCCGCCGCGCAGACGCTCTCGAAGTCCTTCTTGCCGCACCCGTCGCCGCACACCGCGTCCATGTGCGCGAGGCCGAAGCCTACGCTTCCGGGAAAATGCGGGACCACGACGACATGTCCGAGGTCCGCGAGCCACTGGAAGAGGGGAGCCGGCTCGAGCGCGTGCGAGCAGAGAGGACCGCCGTGCCCCCAGACGAGGGGCCGGACCGTGACGGCGTTGTTATCCGTGCCCATCGTGTCGTCGTCGTCGTCGTCGCCACCAATCTCCGTAGTGGGCCAGTATACTAGCGCGTGGCAGCCGTCGTCGAGCTTGACCTGGTCCGGCGCGCGGAGCTTCGCCGCCAAGGCTAGGGGCATCGTATACGTCAGCCGGTCGTCGGGGAAGCTGGAACTCTTGACAGCATGAAGGTCGCCCCACGAGTCCGGTGAACGCTTGACAAAGAGCACGTCTGCGAGACGTACCGCAGCGACGGGCGCGACGGCGCCCTGCTCTCCAGGATCGAAACCGATCCTGCTGATCATCCCGGTAGAGCGATCACCAGAAACGGAAAATTCGACTTCGTAGAGCGCTTCCCCGACGCCGCTTTCCTCTCGCCCGGTCACGACGACGCCGGTGCGTTCGGCGTTGACGCACATGTCACGGATTGGAGGCCCGTAGGATCGTGCAGCTACATCGACCCTTTGAAAATCGGGTGTTTGTATGTCGACGCGCTCCCAGCGCGTCGCATCCCGGTCGAGGACGAACAGGCCGTGCACGAGCCCCGACGTGGGCCCGTCGGCGAGCCGCTGCGGTGCGTCCGCCGCATCGTCGGCGAAAAGCTTGGCGCCGACGCCGCTCGCGACATCGTGACCGCCGAAGCGGCAGACTAGCTGGCGGCGACCATTAGTACCAGGTATGTCGTTGACGAGGCAACCGACCGACGGCGGGGCGTATTCTACACGGCCGTCGCGCGCCACAGACCGCTGCCCTGCCTCATCAACGACGATTACTTCCGCAACCATGGCGTTCGCGAGGCGGTGGACGAGTGCCACGGCCGAGCTGCCGGGCCAGCCGTCGAAGCTTCCAATGCTACCGCCCTTCGAGGCAACGTAGACCTCGTCGAAATCGCCCCGGCTTGTCCACGAGTAGCGCCGCAGGCACTCACGGCCATCAGCGCGCTTCACGATGACGAGAAAGGCATCGCCGACCCACCGGATGCTGCCTCGCATCGTTTCGCCCTTGGCAGGCTCGATGACTAAGTTGCCGAAATTGCCGTAGGAGCTGCCTACCTTGAGCGCGCCATCGATCACTACGGCGAAGTCGCCGTCCTCGAAGAATACTGGTGGACCCGCAACCTTTGCGCGAGACGCGACGACCAGCGGCGGCTGCGACGGCCGCTGCAGCAGGAGGTCGTCGCCCCAGCCGCGGCGGCGCGCGACCCAGGCGCAGGTCCAGCCCTCGTCGCTGTGCGTCCCAGCGAAGTGCCAGCAGGACTCATCTTTCAATGCCTCGGAGATCGTGAGTGCGGGCGGCATCGGTGCAGTAGTGTAGCTTAAGTGTGCAACAAAATCAGTGGCAGAGTTGCACGCAATTAATTTCGCGACGCCGGCCGAGCTGTGCGAGCTAAAAGCGAGTATTACCTACAGCAATGCGCGACCGGTTCGCCTATATGGGCTGTTTTTGTCTGCGCTGCAGGTGTTTGCTAGTGTGTTACAGGACGCTAGCTCCCGCCCGGGCGCGGCTCTTGCAAGCACGCACGCGCGGCCAGGTACGCGCGCTACGAAGCATTCGTGCGAAAACGTGCCGTGCTCCCGCTCCCACCCGCTGATTGATGCGTTAACGACTCACAGACTGCACAAAAGACCACTGCACAATGCGCCGCCTCGCGCCGCGGCGGCGCTTCTTCGCGGGCCGCTATCAAGCTGCATTAGCGAAGAGGGCCGCGGAAGGCACGCTGCGCAGCACTACCGTAAGAACGGAAACTTTAATAGACTTCGCGTCGAACGACTACCTCGGCGTCGCGCGCGATGCCGCCTTCGCCGCGGCCCACTTCGCGGCCGAGGCCAGGAGAGCGGACGCGGCCGCGGGCTCGACGGGCAGCCGCCTGCTCACGGGCGCATCACGGGAACACGACGCCTTCGAGGCCTTTGCTGCTCAATTTCACGGGCGAGAGAGCGCGCTGCTCTTCGGGTCGGGCTACGCGGCGAATAGCGCCGTCGCTGCGACGCTGCCCCTGCCTTCTGATGCGGTCCTCTTCGACGAGCGGAGCCACAACTCGACGCGGTTCGGGTTGGTGCGGAGCCGCGCCTCTGTACAAAGACCCTTCGGCCACAACGATTTGGATGATCTGCGGGTTAAGCTAAGGGATCACGAGGGCGCCCTGGTCTTCGTCGAGGGCATTTACTCGATGGACGGCGACGAGGCGCCTCTCCAAGAACTCGCGGAGCTTTGTTTGGAGGATGGTCGGGCGGGTCTTATCGTAGATGAAGCGCACTCGACGGGCATCTTGGGAGATTGTGGAAGAGGCGCCGTCTCCACGTTGCCTATACCATTGAGGCGGGCCGTCGTCGCCCAGGTCCACACGTTCGGGAAGGCGTTGGGCGGCCACGGCGCCGTCGTGGTTTGCGACGCGACGACGAGGGAGTACCTGGCGAACTACGCCCAGCCCTTCGTCTACGCGACGGCGCCGCCCGATTCGCATTCCAGATTGGCGCGGCGGGCGTACGACGCCGTCGCCGCCGCGGACGACGCGCGGCGCCACTTGGCGCGTCTCATCGACCTCTTCCGGGCCGAGTGCGACGTCGGGTCCTTATTACTACCGTCGCGCACGCCCATCCAGGCGGTCCTGGCGCCGGGCGCCGACGTAGTGTCGCGTGCTGCGGACCGCGTGCGCCGCGCGGGCTTTGACGTCGGCGCCATCCGTGCCCCCACGGTCCCGGCCGGCGCCGAGCGCCTCCGTCTCGTCCTGCACGCGTTCAACACGGAGGAAGAGGTATTGGGCGTGGCGCGGGCGGTGCGGGAGGCCGTCGACGCTTCTTCTTCCTCGTCGGAGGAGCGGCTTGTGGTGGGGTAATGTGTTTTTGATGATTCGTACTTACTCACGCCGAGCACGTAAAGGAGCCCTCCTTCGTGGAGCCCTTCGACGGCTCGAGGATCTCGAAGCTGCACTTCGACCATACCTCCCCTAACTTGACGCGTGGATCTTCCTTTGAGGTAGTGTGAGAAAACTTGAGGTCCTCGCCGCGCGTGGGCAGCGTGACGCGGCAGTCCATGCAGGACTTCTCGTCCGCGCCCAGCTCCACCAGCCGACGCAAGAAGCCCAGCGGGTCCTCCCGGAACCTAAATCTCACGTGGTCGTCGAACACGCCGCCCTCGCGCGACTCGACGTTGAAAATCGAACCACCTGGCGTCGTGACCTTGAAGTCCGCGTACGTGGCCTTGTTCGAGACCTCGACATAAGTGAGATCGACCTCCAGCGAGCCGCCGCAAACATATCACTGAGCGAAGAATGCGACAAGTTCCTCTACGAAACGAAGGGCAAGGAGAAGAAGATCAAGCTCCTCAAACTCACGAGCGTGTCGTCGATCGATCCTAGGAAGCCCAAGGTCCTCAAGTTCGCCACCGAAAGCAAGAGCTACAAGTTCGAGTTCGAGGACGAGAAGGACTGTGCCGTCTTCGCGGCCGGGCTGCGGGCCCTCGCGCCGGCCGAGGCGACGCGTGGCTCCATCGCTGGGAAGAAAAAGGATTTCTTACGCGTGAAAGTGCCGACCAAGCCGCTCGGCTTCCTCGCGGCGTCGACGGTCGAGCGCGACCCGGCTCGACCGGAGGCGCACCGCTCCGCCGTCGCCGCCGCCGCGCCGGCGGCGCCGAAGGACAAGGCCGTCTAGGCGCACACAATCCCACGACCCCCTACGTGTACACAACTTACAGACTAGAAGGCGTCGAGCGAGTCCTGCTTCCGCTTCTCCTGCGAGTCCATGAAGGACAGCTCCCAGAAGCCCTCGGGCGTCCCGGGCGGCGGGTGGTAGGCCTTGTGGCGCGAGCACTCGTCCTGGAGCTTCTTGACGTCCGCGTCGCTGAGCTGGTCCTTCGTCGCGTCGATGAAGCCCTGGCACTGGTCGCAGAAGTGGCCGGGCATCTTCGCGCGCTCGCACTTCTTGCGCACGACGGACTGGTAGGCGAAGCCGCCGGGCTCGCGCATGCTCGGCGCGGGCGCCGGCGCCGGCGCCTCGGCGGGCGTCGGCGGCGGCGCCGCCGGCGCCTCCTCCTCCTCCTGCGACGGGTCCCAGGACTCGCTGATGGACATGGAGGGCGCCGGCGCCGGGGCCGGGGCCGCCGCGTCGTCCCGGCGCCGGCGCTTCGTTCCTTCGTCGGAGCGGCGGGCCGCGGGCGCCCGGCCGCGCTGCAGGGCCGCGCGGTCCAGGGCCGGCGCGCCGATGCTGTGCCGCTCCGGCCGGCGCGCCGAGGCCGGCTTGTCCTCGCGGCGCGACCGGCGCTCGGCCGCGGCGCCGTTCTCGGGCCAGAGCGCCGCGCGCGGCTCGCGGTCGCCGTCGTCGCGGCGCCGCCGCGAGCGGCTCGACTCGCCGTCGCGGCGCCTGCTGCGGCTCGAATCGTCGCGCCGCCGCCGCGAACTTGTGTCGTCGTCGCGCCGCCGCCGCGAACTCGTGTCGTCCGCGCGGCGCCGCTTCTTGGTCGTCGCCGCGGCTGGATCAGCAGAAACGACGCGCGGCGTCTTCGGCGGGGGACCGCGCGGCGTCTTCGCGCCCCGCGCGGCGTTGAGGTGGTCCGCGACGTCCGCCGCGAGCCGCGCCGCGTCGACGCGCGCCGCGGGCTGGTTCGCCAGCGCGGCGTGCAGCGCCGGCGTTACCCTTGCGAGGGCTGCTCCGAGCGCGTCGGCCTCGTTTACTTTATCGCGGTACGCGGCCTGGAGCTCGCGCTTCTGGTCCTTGCGCCGCGCGACCTCCGAGTCCCGCGCCGCGACGTCCGCGCGGAGGCCGTCGTTCTCTCGTCGCAGTTCCGCGTTCTCTCTTTCTAAACGCCGCGCGTCCGAGGGCGACGGCGACCCGTCGCGCGCGCCGCGGAGCCGCGCGACCTCGCGCTCGAGCCTCGAGGCGCGTTCATTGGCCTCCTCGAGCTCGGCCGCCGTGGGCCGCTCCTCGAGGGCGGCCTCGGCTCGCTTTCTGCGGCCCTTTTCGCGCTCGAGGCGCTCGTTCCAGCGTCGCTCCTCCGCCTGGAGGTCGGCGCGGGCGCCGTCGAGGATGTCGTCGACGCCCATGCTTGGTCTTTTTGGCGTGCGCGGCGGCGCTGCTGATGTGCTGCCTGTTCTCGCCGCGGGACGGCGCTGCGCCCCTGCTCTTTTGCCACGCGTGCAGAAACGGCTGCGGCGGCGCGTTGCAACGTGTGATTTGGCTAGCGCGCGCGTATACGCGGCAGAGGAGCGTTCGTTGTGAAATGTCCCGCTAGTGGTCTTATACGCTAGATCACGTTTTGCCACGTGATATAAAAACTGCCTCATCCAAGCCCCCTTGCAGTATTTGTTCGATCTGTTACGTTTACGTGCGCTACTGCTCACTGCAGCACCGCTCCTCAGGCTTTCCTGCCGAAAAGAGCGGTCACAAGCAGCTCTAAGAGCTCAAGGCACCTGTGCTCAAGTCTGCAGGCTCCCGAGCGACGTGCTAACCGTACGCAGCCGTGGTGCCGCGCACTACGCGGCCGCAGCGGCACAGCTCTTAAAAGTGGACAAAATGCACCGCGTAACGCTCGTGCTCGTTGTCGCCCAAGCGCTCGACCTCGCGCCTCTATCCAAGCTGCGAGCCGTCTCGCTCGCCCGCCCGCCCGAGAGCCGGCTCATCGCCGGGAAGCTCGACGACTCACACGTCGCCATCTGGAAGTGGAAGGAGGCGACGATGGGCGACGGCGCGGGCGCGGCCTGCACCGGTGTGGAACGGGCGCTCGCCGAGCGCGTGAAAGCGGCCACGGGCGGCGAAGCGATCGTGCTGTCGACGTGCGCGCGCCTCGACGTCTACAGCTACTCTGACGCGGATAAAGACCTCGCGGCCATCGTCGCAAGTGACATTGGCGGCGCGGCCACGACGTGGCGGGCGGCGCGGCTCTTCGCGCCGAGGTACGCCACACCCGTGGAGCCGACGCTCGCGTCGCGCTGCGGCGCCGACGCCGCGCGGCACGTTTTCGAGGTCGCGTGCTTCGCGGGCCTGGAACGGTGCGAGTTCGACCCGTTTGATAGTCATCAGGCGCACGTCGTCAAACAAATAAAAGCCGCCTTCGACGACGCCGCGCGGGACGGGGGACCCTGCGGTACGCGGCTGTCGGCGCTGCTGCGGCTCGCCCTCGAGACGGGCAAGGCCGCGCGCGACGGGAAGAGTGTCAGGGCTATCAATACACTTCGGGGGAAGGCCCTCGACGCCGTGGCCCTCGCGACGGCGCGACAGGAAGTGGCGGCCGCCGTCGAGGAAAGAGTGTTGGAGCCCGCCGTCCTGAAAGCGGCGGAGGCGTACGCGGCGCTGGACGCGGGACCGCGATTGCGGGAACTGAGCGAACTAGCCGACGAGGCCGTCGCCGAGGCGATACGATCAGCGCCGAGCGCCGCATCCCGAGAAGCCGACTTGACGCGGGCTGCGCGGAAGGCACTCCACGGCCCACTGATGCGAGTTCGGGCCGGCGAGGCCGTGCTGGCCGAGGACGCCAGCTCCGACGTCCGCGCGGCCGTCGCGGAAGCGCTGACTGCTGCTGCTGCGTAATTTTTGTAATGTTCGTGAACCACCACCCCCGCGTTACCCGCGGGCCGCGACGAGACGAGTCCGTTTCACAAAATAACTACCAATTACGCCGCAGGGACCCGGCCGCCTCGGCCGGCGCCGGCTGGAGGCCGTACGTCCTATCTGGAGGCGAGTCCGGCGTCCGCGTCGAGAAGGACGCCACGAGCACGCTTCTACGACCCGCCGTGATCAGCATGCCGCCGTGCGTCACGTCGCCGCCGAACACGAGGGCGTCGCCCGCGGACGGCGTCACGACGACGGCGTCGCCGTCGGGGTTCGAGCCGTCGGCGGAGGCTGATGATGAAGCGGGTCCCCAGAACCCGGTCCCACCACCGGCGAAGGCGCTCGGCGCCGTCAACGGGACCAGCACGGTGAGCGCCATGTGGTCCTTGTGGGCGCCGAAGAGGCCCGGCGCCTCGTATAAATTCATGGCCGGTTCGCCTTCGGACCACTCCAATTCACCGGCCATATATAAATCGCGCAACGTCGGACACCGCTGCGACAACGACTCGTCGGGCCGCGGCCGGTCCATTTGATTTGATCGCGGTCCGGTTGTTGGTTGCCGCGCCACCCAGTCAACACCAGGAGCAAATAATTGATCATAAATATCCGGCATCTTCGCGTCCAACGCATCTAGGACATTCAAAAACACGGCCTCCGCATTGGAAACCACGTCAAAATCGAAGGCTTCGCTGTCGGCGACGGCAAACCTCCCTCTCCCATTCGTCGGTGGTCTTCCATGGAAAGCCCGGTATTTTTCAAAGGTCTCCGTGCACTTGCCGTAGAGAAAGTTGCAATCATCTAAAGTGCACGCGTTCTCCACCCTCAGCACGACCTCGCCCCGTCGGAGTCGCTCGCCGACCGTCGCGCCCTCCGGTTCATCTGTCAAAGGCACCTCTTCGATGCCGTCCTTCTCGAAGAAGTCGTCGACAGCACGGCAGACGCCGACGAAGCCGTCCACGTCCCTCGAACCGGGGCCCCAGAGCTCCTCGAGTTCTTCATAGTCAAGGTTGCCGCCCGCGAGCTCCGCGGCGATCTGCTTCGTACTCTTCGCGGCCTCCAAGTCCATCAATCCGTCGGTGGCTTTTGCCGCGAACTCGGCCTCGAGGACGTGGCGCGGCGCGAGGCGCAGCGCTGTTTCTCGTCGTCGCGCGACGGGTGCGCATTGCAGCGCGGCGGCTGATGCCAGCAATGCGAGTAGTAGCATGTTGCGGCGGTGGCGTGCAGAGGCTATGCAGCCTCTGAGACTGGCAGCACAGCAGCGTCCTTTTATACCACTAAAGATTCCTGCCTCTGCTTTGAGAGTCTTATACCGTTCCCAAAAGTCACGAAACCGTGCAAACTACCCCGTGATGTCCCCGGCCCCGTGCCTGCGCGCTAGCGTCCTGTAAGACACTAGCCTACAAGCCAAACCACGGCTGCAGCGCAGTGCTCGCCGAGCTACGGCATCGCAGCGCTGGGCGAGTGCTCGCTACGGCATCGCAGTTCTCGCATCAACGCCATCGCCGCGCTGGTAAGGCCGGCATTCTTGGTTTGAGCCCTTGCAGGCTGCACAAGGGCTGGCAGCATGGCGCAAAACAAAAAGAAGAGCAAAGCCAAAGGGAAGGGCAAGCCGCCAGTAAAGAAAGCAGGCAAAGCTGCGAAAAAATCGAGCGCGACCGCGACCGCCGCCGCCGCCGTCGCCGCCGCACCGGGAATCGTCGAAGCGGGCGCGCTGGCCGCGCCGGGCGACGTGTTAGGGTCTACTGCGACCCACAAGTGCGGCCCGGGCACCTTCGCGCGGGATGGTACAATTGTCGCGTCGCTGGCCGGCACCGTGCAAATCAACGACGACGTTATCGAGACCATTAGGGAAGGCCGCCGCCCCGCCATCGCCGTGGGCGTTGAGGTGATCGGCGTCGTGACGCGGACGAACCGGACGAACGCGCTGCTGGACCTCGTCGCGGCTGGTGGGGCGGCGCTCGACTTCCCGGCCAGGGCAACATTAAGAAGGGAGGACGCGCTGCCGCCGGGCCGGGACGCGTCGAACTTGGATCTGACGGCGCAGTTCGCGGGGCGCGACCTCGTTCGGGCGGTCGTGGTGGCCGTCGACGACGCCGCGCGGTACCACGTGTCCGTCGCGCCGGAGGGCATGGGGCTCGTGCGGAGTGCGTAACCTTAGTGTAGTGTAGTATCCGTTACGGAGGTGTCGAAAACCGGCGCGGGGCTCGTCTAGCGGCCTAAAGACACTAGAAGCAATAGCAAGCAAGCTTCTCTTGTCCATACCCGACGGTCGCCGAGGCGATCCAGGGCTGCGGCATCGGGTACAACCGCACGCAGTGGGCGACGGTCGACACCAGCGGCCGCAAGAAGCTCGAGAAGCTCCTGGGCGCGGCGAAGCCCTACGCTCTTGGAGTTCTGGGAGGCCTCGCGCTCGCCGCGTTGGCGCGCCGCTGAACTTTCCACACACGCCCTCCTCCCCCGGGGCCTTCGTGAGTATACTAGTACACATGCTTAGACAAGACTCAAGCCGGCGCCGGCGCCGACCGGTAGCGCTCCTCGCGCTCCGCGCGTTTGCGCGCCATCTTGATTTTCTTGAAGATGTCCGACGGCTTGGGCTTGTTCGACGGGCGCGGCGGCGGCGGTGGAGGCTCGTCGCCTTTGAGCTTGAGCGTCGCCGAGGGCCAGAGGCCGAGCCCTTGCAACGTCCGCTTCAAATCATCCGGCGTGAGCTCGCGCCGCGGGTGGACCAACGTTAGGTCCTCAACGCCGACGTTTCGCTCGGAAGCGGCCCGTAACCACCCCATGACCTTTTCGAGTACGTCGTCGGCATCGTAGCGTCTGCGCTGCGGCGCCGTCGAGCCGGAGAGCAGCGTCAGGGTCGTGGTCCCCGAGGCTCCCAACGCCGGCTCGGGTGGCAAGTGGTCGAAGCGCTGGGCGGCGCGGCGCGTCGGCTCCTCGCGCAAAGCGGCCTCGAGGGACGCAGACGCGAGCGCCAGGCGCCGCAGCACTACCGGGGTGGTCGCGGTACGGAACTCGTAGCGGCCCGGCAGCCCCTCGAGGGGAGCATAACCTAACGCCGCCATCAGGCTCGTCGCGTCGCCGGCGACGGCCGCGCGGCGCGACGTAAACAGCTCCGGGTCCTGCACGAGCTTGTCGATCGCTGCGCGCGCATCGGTGATCGTGGCCGAGAATTCAGCAGCGGTGCCCTTGCCGCGTAGCGCCGTGACGGCGCGCGAGAAGCATTCTTGCTCGCGCGTGCCTTGGGTCTTGAGGCGTTCGAGCGTCTGCTCGTAGGTTGTTGGGCGGCGCATTGTGGTGGCAGCAGCTGACCCTGATGTGTTTTATGTGGCACAGCGATGGATTTCGACTGTGTTGCGCTAGCAGAAGCAACAGAAGGCCTGAGCGACCACGAATGTGGATTTGTGGCAGATATGCTAACCAGTGAGGCGCGTATGCCGTGCCGAGTTCGATGCGACCAGGTACTCTCTTTGCTGGTTCGGGTTCGGGAGTCGATCGCGATACTTAGGCGCGAGTCCTAGATAGCGCAAATGGAGATTTCGGAGGGGAAACCGGACACGCCGTCGTGAACACGGTGGTCGGGTCCGCCGGGAGCGCGGGCGGCTCGCTCCCCGGCGCAAGCGTCGCTAGGGGTCGCCCGAGATTCAGCTTCTCCTCGCCGGCACTGATTTCTGCGGAGCCACCGGTCGCGAGGTAGGCGGTGCCCGGCGCCGCCTCCGCGCCCGCGTCGACGGCGCCGCCCTCCCCATGTGTGCCGTTCGGCGTCGCGGCGAAGGTGACCGACGACGCGGGGCGCCAGCCGCCCGCCTCGGACCACGCCCACGCGGGGCCGAACCGCGCGCGGCGCTCGTGGTACACGCTCCGGCCGTCGCGCCGGAAGTCCTCGACGAACGAGTTGATCTTCGGCCCCAACGTACCATCCTTCGGGCGCACGAGCTTGAACGACGCGAGGTGCGTCCACGCGTCCTCGCCGTCGGGCCAGATCCACGCGCCGTAGCACGCGCCGCCGTCGTCGCAGCGGCGCATCATCACGCAAAACCGCAGTCGCTGGCCCGCGGTCCAGCCCGCGCCGTAGTCAATGCACTGCAGCCCGGTGCCCTCCCCGCCGAACCGCCGGACGACGACATGCGCGTTCTCGTACAAAACCGCGGCGCGATCGGCGACGGCCGCGGTCTCACCTTCATTCGCATCCCAGACCGAGAACAGCACGCGTCGATGGTCGCCGTGGTCCTGGACACCAAAATACCCGTCCGCGAAGCCGACGGCCATGAAGAAGCTCCCAGGCGCGTGCTGCTCCACGACGCACTCGTTGTAGAACGCCTGCGCCGCGCCGCCGCCGCCGAAATGAAAATCCAGGTGCACCGACCGCGCGGCCGTGAATCGCGGGGGCCGGGGCTCGAAGCTCCGCCAATCATTTTCGAGCAATAATGTCGCTGCATGGTCCGTGCTCCCGCCGCCTATCGCGAGCGTGCGGCGGAGCGCCGACGCCGGTACGTGAGGAAACATGGCCGCGAGCGTGGCGATGGCCGCGTCCGCCGCGGCGTCCCGGTCCAGCATTTCCTCCTCATGGCGCACGGCACCGCGTAACCCAGGCGCGGCCGGCTGCATCAATTATGTGCCACTATCAATAATCAATTGTGTGATTCACGCATGTATTGATTGATGTCGCGGCGTCGGCGGCCAGCGTAGCTTCAGAGTGACTATCCTTATTGACCTCACGAGAGCACGAGTAGAGCAGAGTAGAGCACGAGTAGAATTAGGTTAGGCAGCTAGCGGTAGTAAGACACTAGCAAGCCAGGAGCAGCGGCTCTTTACGACGGCTGCATGCCCGAATTCATGGCATACACGCGACGACACCGACGCGTCTAACCCCGGGCAGCCTCGACACCACCGATCAGGGGATGAGGGCAGCCCTGCTCGTCGCAGCAGCCACAGCGCAGCTCTACGAGCCCGACATCACACCCCAAGAACCACAAAGACGCTTCGTCGTCACGGCGGGCTGCCCTGCTACACTAAACGCCACGTCCCAGATCCGCCTTTTTGTGGCTGTGCCGTCGGCCGCATCTTATACGCACCGGCGCCAGTGGGCGCGCGCGTCCTGGTGCCACGAAGCGAGACGATTGAGCATAGCGGTCAAGTTTTTTGTTGGATCGAATTCTGAAATAGACGACCTGCGGTATGGCGACATAGTAAGGGTACCGAGCTGGGACGGCCAGGACAATGTGACTAGCAAACAATTGCACTCGATGCGCTACTTCGCCAGCCTTTGTGGCGATACGGTGCGCGACTGGCCTTTGCGTGATGATGTTATAAAACCGACGCACTACATGCGCGTCGAGGACGACGTCTACCCCTTCGTTTCCACTGTGATTGAGGAACTCACTCAAAAACACATCCGAGCCGTGCCCCGGCCGTTTGATGTCCAAGAACCCTTCCTCTGGGCTTTGATCATCCAGGGCAAGCCGCCCTACCCCGCCGGCTCGGGATTCGTGTTATCTGCCGATGTGGTGAGAGCCGTGGCCGCCGCCGATGCCGTTATAGAGTGGGACACGGGCGCGCCCGCGCCGGAACAGACCCAAAAACCGAGCTGGGGCAAGGGCGGCTGGCGCCACACGCCCTACATGGACGGGAGCTGGTCGACGGACGACGCGTTCGTCGGCTTGCTGGTCGCGCCGTTCCGCGTGCACAAGTACGACGATCGGCGCTTCCACGAGGCGCCCGGCGCCGGCGCCATCAACGGCTGGCCCGCGTCGGCCAATTCTATTGTGGTTGCGGGGTTGAGGGAGTGGCTGGACTTCTTCCTGCTTGGACAGAGGGACTTCGACGGCTTTAATCAGAGAAGAGGCACGCCGGGTTTAGATCATCACGCCGACGGGACGTCGTCCTTAATGATGGAGGTGAACGGGATTCAGCACCGAATAGACTTCGATTCCTGCGCGGGCATGGGCGAGGCGGCGGCCGCGGCGTGCGTCTCATTCAGTCTCGACGCGCCGACGTGCGCGTCGCTCACGGCGCACTTCCGCCGGGCCTGCGGCGCGGCCGAGGTCCACAAGGGCGCCGTCCTGTCCGGGCGGTTAGATTTTTAATGTGAATGTAATCGTAGCATCCGAGGTAGGCTCGTCGCGGCGACGGCGCGGTAGCAGCAAGTGTAGCAGCACGCCGTGTAGCAGCGACTAGCTGGCAGCGGCGCAGAAACATCTATGTGTAAACGTGAATTTAGGCCCCCACCACAACATCAGGCGGGGTGGACGACCTCGCCGGGCCCGAGCACGTCCGTGTCCGCGTCGTCGCCGTCCGTGACCTCGTCCTCGTCGTCGTTGTTGAACAGTTCGTCGAAGGTCAGGTAGTCTTCCATCGAGTCCCTCTGGTGCACGGCAATATCACAATGCGTGGCGTCGGCCAACACCACCGCGTCGGCCTCGTCCGCGACGTGGTCGATAATCTTGGAATTCAAAAAATCGTTGCGCTTGATCTGCAATTCCACGTCGAAGGGCACGTCATCTATAAGTAGTCTAATAACTAAAACCACACACGCAAAGAAGCCGCAGCAGACCATGAAGACGCAGTCCAGCTGGTGCTTCGTCGGAGAATGCTCGGGCCAGCCGCCGCCCCAGCGCTCCGGCCAGTATTTTGGAATGACCCTGGTACGATATATAATCGACAAAAAGGACGACATGACGCCCGTGTAGTTCATCAGTTCGAAGATCGATTGATACGTACCGATATCTTCCACCCCATACGGCTGTATGCGTCGATACGTACATAAATATTTGTAACCATCAGTACGCATCTGGAACATGTTGTTCACAAACGCCATCAAAGGCGCGCCCGGGAACGCCGCCGAAAACAGGGTGATATACCCGTACTGCGTCGCTTCTTGGGTGGTGGCCTTGATGTTGTCGAGCTGCTCATCGCACTCGACCATCATATAACTATTCTCCGGGACCGACACTTTTTGTTCTTCGCCGTGGGCGTCGATGCCTCCTTCTCGAGCCATCTTTTTGTATAACTTGAGGTAGGGTAACGCAAACCCGGTCATATTTGTCGATACGATGACTGACGCTAACAGTATAATTAACGACTTCTGTAATTTTTCGAACTTATCTTGCTTATGACCCGGCATCTTCATGAAGAAAATGACATAGAACAACGAAAAATAGGAATTGATGAAGTTGAACGCCGTCAGCTTGGCAATCAACTTATCCGCGTAGACCGTGTCGGTCATCCAGTTCTCCGCGTCCGTGAGTCTTACGGCTATCCTCTCGTACCCCTCCTTAAATAACAAAATACCGAAGGAATTCAGCACCGTCGCAATCATGTAGAACTTCTGGTCGAACCCCAAACCTTTGAGGCCGAAATAGAGTTCCGTCCCCTCTTCCGTCTTCATCCAGACGCAGAGTAGCAGGAACAATAAGTTGACGGCGATGCAGAGGCACGTCACCCAGACGCCGCAGAGCGTCCGCCGTCGCCGCTTGTAGGGCGGGTAGAAGGCGCCCGGCCGGCCGCTCACGGGGTCGTGCATGTCGTGCAGGCCCTTGAACTGGGGCCGCCGTTGTTCCTTTTCCTCGTAGCCCACCATGCCCCATTCTAACGCATAAGTCCTCTCCGTGCGCTTCCAGATCTCCGTATTACAGATCGACCACAAGGCCACGACGGCCGCGTAGATGACGATGGAACCGGAAGCGGTAATCTCGTACTTCTCCCGCTCCCCGCTTTTCGCGTGGATGGCCGCCCACCACAACATGACGACAATCCCGAAGACGGCCATCAAGCCATAGCCTTGCGTGATATGCGCCTTGAAGGCCATGAGCAGGCCCTGCTTCTCGCCGAAGTATTCTTTGTACGCTTCCAGGGGCATGCGCTGCGGCGGCGTGGCCCACGGGGCTCGAACCCAGACGTCAAAAAGGTACTTGCGTTCCGTACGATCATGCATCGCCAACGCGGCTAGCAACGTTTCCCGCGTCGCGCCGTGCTTGCCCTTGGCCACGTGCTTCTCTATTGGTATATTTGCCCCACCTTTGGATCTATCGTCGTTGAGGCAGCTCCATATTAACTTTAATCTACGCATCGAATTAAATAAAGAGCGCTCGGACACGCCCCCGTGGTACGCGTGCTCGTGCGTCCTCAAGTAGAGCGGCTCGAGCTCTTCCTTCGTGTCGAACTTGCCGTGGATGTATTCAAAGGCCCGGAATCTAGAAAAGGCGTGCGCGCCGTCGGCCGGCGGCGTCCGTTCCGGGATATCCATGGGCGCGATGTGCTGTTCGGGCAATCCTCGTCTGGCCAGTGTTCGTAACCTAGCTTCATGTAACGGCATCTGGAAGTCGATGTTGTCCGCTTGATTGCGCAACCTTTCGTGCGTCGCGCCCACTCGGACGTAGATCTCGTCCTCCTGCGTCGATAGGTAGGACGACGTCACGAGCCCGGCGAGTTGGGCCTTCTTCACGAAGACTTCGTGGTTGAAAGGTTTTTTCTTCCGGTGGTGCCGCCAGTGCGTCTTCCGCGGCGTGAAATCTTTTCTGGGAGGCTCGGCTGCCTCCTCACTTAGTTTCTTTCGATCTTCGTCGGATATGGTCCGAAACACAAAGGTCATGTCCCAGTAGATGCGGCAGGGGTCCTCGGCGTCCTTCAAGGCTTCTTCCGCCAAGGATGGGAAGGGTTTGATGTCCGTCGTAGCGACCGTCTTCGGCTTGGACACGAGGGCCCCCTCCAGTTCGTCGGCGACCTCGTGCAGGCGCTGCGCCAAGCGACTGGGAGACGTATACGTCGGCGACCCGTCCTCGGTCTTCTTCCACCACTGCTTCGGACTACCTGAAATGGAGGGCGCGAGCGTCTTGCGCATCTCCTGGTCGAACTCGGCGATGATGTTGTCGATGTCCGCCGGCGACGCCGGCGTGTGCGTGTAGTCGTAGTCCTCGTCCTCCTCGGACGAGGCGTCCTCGAGGGAGTCGTCGTTGTCGGCCATGGCGGTGAAGCTGTTCCCTACGGTGCTTGTTAATACGCGGCGCGGGGCAGCCGCGCCCGCGGCGGGTTTCGATCTGTTTGCTGCGGAGGTCGGCCGGCTCCGGCGCGCTGCCCTTTGCAGCACCCGGCGACGTTCGCTTCTCGGCGGCGCTCCTAGATGTTGCAGCGCCGTGCGGGGCGCTTTTGCGCGAGCGCGGCCTTCCGGTTTGCATGTCCTTTGGCAGATCATTAGGAGTCCGGGACCGGGTGGGTCGCCTCCGGGACGTTCCGGGGTGATTTCCTAGCGCGCCGTCGACGCGCGCGCAGGCTGCGAGCTATCTAGACACCGGGTTTGATCGAATGGAATTAGTCGGTCGGTCGATCGGATCATCGGCGTACGATCATCGCTCGGGGGTGGATACGTGCGTCGGGGCCGTCGACGCGGTGACTGCGACCGCGACGACCGCGAACGCGACAGCGCCGGCGAGGCGGCGCGAGCGCTCACGACGTGGCGCGCCAGTAGTTGAGCACGCGCCACAACACCGGATTGGGCAGCGTCACGAGCCGGCGAAGACCAGCGTCGCGCGTCTTTGCCCGACCGCGGACGACGAGCGCCCGCAGCACGAACAGGTCGACGTGGGGTCGTCGCACGAATGCCTTCCACGACCCCGCGGCCCGGATGCAGTCGAACGTGTCGCGGCAGGCGATCCAATTCTGCTCTTCACAGACCTCGGGCCGGAGCCGCTCGATGCGCCACATCCGCATCTCAACGTCCTCCGAGCCGCAGATGCGGTCGACGCGGGCACCGCCCCGAAGCAGGGCCCGGATCACGGCGAGCGCCGGGAACCGCGAGGGCCGCAGGCTCAGCGCCTCGATGGCGACCATGAGCGGCGTCTTGCTCCCTGCGCCCGCCGCGGTCCGCGCGTTCGGAGCGGCACCACTCGCCAGGAGCGCCTCGACGAGGTCCAGCGAGAAGGCGCCGCGCGCCCGCGCCGCCGCGTGCAGGGGCGACCCGTATCCGCTAGCCTTTAGCGGATTCGGGTCGGCGCCCCGCGCGAGGAGTCGTCGCGCCAGCTTTACATGACGTTCGCGGATGAGCGGCGCCGACACCGTTTTGACCAGGAGGCCCGTGAGGAGCTCGCGCCTCTCGTCGTCGTCGTCTTTCTCATCATGTTCGGCGAGCCAAGCTTCGACGGGAGACAAGGTGAAGACGCGCTCCCTCGGCTGGCGTGACATCCGCTGGGAGCTCCCCTCACGGGCGGCGGTTTCGCTGCCAAGATGTTAAGCCCTATCCATTTTGCATCTATGGCGCCCCCGTGGCCGTACCAAAAAGGTTTGCGGCGGCGCGTCAATGTGTGGGCCCTAAGGCAAGCAACGTAACCTTACACAAGCCCGTGGGCTAGCCGGTAGCGAAGTTGCCTTTTTCGTGGCGATGTTAAGTGGGTCTATCTCCTAGAGTAAGGCGCCCGGGAGGAAGGAAAGGGAGGCGAGACCTAGGCATCGGCCTTGGGCGAAGCGTCGGGCGGAGCAGCCCGGGGCGAGACGGGCCGCAAAGGCCGCGGCGAGATTTCTTCGACTTTTCTTACAGCCTCTTCCAATCCTCTTCCAAAGAGCTTGTCGTAGGTCGAGTAGGGCTCCATCGTGTCCCGGTCTTTCACTTCGACGGCCACCGTCAAAGCCGTCGGCGACAGGGCCGTGTCGGCCTCGTCCGCGACGTGGTCGATGATCTTGGAGTTGAGGAAGTCGTTGCGCTTGATCTGGAGTTCCACGTCAAACGGCACGTCGTCGATCAGCACCCGCAGCATGAGCATGAACCCGAAGTAGAAGGAGCAGATGACCATGAAGACGACGTCCTCCTGGTGCCGCGACGGCTCCGCGCCCCACTTCGCCGGCCAGTAGTTCTTCAGGACGTCCGTGCGGTAGACTATCGCTAGGAACGACGACGCGATGCCCAGATAGTTCATGAGCTCAAAAATGGACTGGAACGTGCCGATGTCTTCGAACCCGAACGGCTGGATCCTTCGGTACGTACAGAGGTACTTGTAGGCGTCCATCCTTAATCCGACCAAGTTGTTGATGCACGTCATGAGCGGTGCGAGCGGAAACGCCGCCGAAAATAACGTAACATACCCGTACTGCGTCGCCTCCATCGTCGTCGCCTTGATGTTGTCCAGCTGCTCGTCGCATTCGACGAGTAAGTACTCGACGCCGGGCGTCGACATCTCGTTCACGCGCGCGACGCCGTTCTCGTCCCGCTCCAGGCCGCCCTCCGTCTTCATTTTTACGATGAGCTGGATGTAAGGGACGATAAAATTAGTTATGTTCTGCGCGAAGATCTGGGTAGCTAGCAAAATCCCCAAATCCTGCTGGAGCTTGCGGAAGGCGCCCATGCGGCACGGGCCCTTGTTTTCTTTCCCCTCATTGCCGAAGGCCCAGCAGTAAAAAAAGATCGTAAAAAATAAGGAGAAGTAGCTGTTCACAAAGTTGAAGACTGATAGGCGCGAGATGAGTTTATCCGCATATACAGTGTCGGTCATCCAGTTCTCCGCATCGGTTAATTTGACGGCGACTTTTTCATACGCTAATTTGAAGACGATGATGCCGACCGAGTTCACGAGCGCACCGGCGGTCGCGTTCTGCTTCTTGTAGTAGACGCAGCCGACCAAAAACGCCACGGATAACCCGAGGCAGATTAACGTCACAAGCTTCGCGAACGCGACGCGACACGTCCGTCTATGCGGCGGGAAGAACGCGCCCGGCCGTCCGGTCACGGCGTCGTCCATGTCGGGAATGCCCTTGAACTGCGGCCGTCTAGCTTGTTGCGCCTCGAAGCCGACCATGCCCCACTTCAAAGCTAGTTCGCGCTCCTGCCTTCTCCAGCTCTCCATGCTCAGCACGCTCCACAACCCCACCACGCACGCATAAATGAACACAGACCCATCTCCAGTAATGGAACCCGTGTTGGCCCACCACAACATCACGACGATGCCAAACAAAGACATCATGAGGTAGCCCGTCGTGATGTGGGCCTTGAACGCCATGAGCAAGCCCTGCTTCTCGCCGAAGTATTCCTTGTAGGCCTCGAGCGGCATGCCCTCGAGGTAGCAGTCGCAGCAGAACGGCAGCATGCCCTGCAAATCAATGCGCGACGGCAGCGTGAAGATCGACGCGCGGACCCAGTGCTCGTATAAAGCTTTGCGCTCCCGCTGGTTGTGCATCGCCAGGGCGGCTAAGATCTTCTTCTGTTGGACGCGCTTCTCGACCGCAACGCCCGCACCTCCCAGCGACGGCTCATCATTAATGCAAGACCACATCAGCTTCAACCGACGCATCGAATTGAACAGCGTCCTTTCTTGACTGTTGTCTCCCCTAAACCCCGTGTGCTCATGCGTACGTCTATAAAGAGGTGCTAATTCTTCCGACGTGTCGTACTTGCCGTTGATGTGCTGGTAGGCTCTGAATCTACTAAAAGTCTTCTCGCCGTCCTCGGGAGGCGTCCGTTCGGGAATCTTCATCGGCTCGATTTGATACTGCGGTAATCCGGCCTCGCAGACTAATCTCAATCGATCCTCATCGAGCGGCGTCGGAAAATTAATGTTGTCCGCCTGGATGCATAACCTCTCGTGCGTCGCCCCGACGCGAACGTAGATCTCGTCTTTTTGTATCGATAGATAGGCCGACGTAACGAGCCCGGCCGCCGTGACCTTGCCGATGAAGTCCGTGTGATCAAACTGGTGCTTCTTCTTCTTCTTCAGTCGTTTTTTGACTGCGGCCTTCATATCGCCCAGTGCTTGTTGGAAGTCGCTCTTCGGCTCCTCAGCGTCGTCCTTCTTCTCCTTCTTCACGGGGAAGACGAAGGTCATGTCCCAGTAGATGCGGGTGGGGTCCTCGGGGTCCTTCTGTTGCTCTTGCGCTAAGGGCGGGTAGGACGCGCGTTTTGGCGACGGGGGAATGGACTTGATCTTCTGGGCGTGCTTCGCGAGCTTCCAGAAGTCGGGCTTCGTGCCTCGTACGGACGAGACCGGTTCGACGGGCGGCGGCGGCGGCTCGTCGGCTTTCTTGCCAAAGGTGACCAAAGCTGCCGCCTTGCGCCAGCGCCACCAGCCCGGCTGTTCATTTTGTGCGGCCTCGAGGGCGTCGGCCGCCGCTTCCAACTGCGTGTCCTCCTCGGTGGCCTCCTCGAAGGCGTTCTCTCCCGTTTGTTCGTCGGCCATGCTTGCTATGCTAGGCTGCCCTGGCTCGATCTTATTTGTAGGGGGCTGCCCTTGTCTCGGCTGCCGCGGCTAGCGAGTGCGCGTCGTTGGCGTGATGTCTCGCGGTGCGCTGCGTCCTGTAGCCGTCGGCGACGTGTGGTAATTGTTGTGGGTGTGCGAGCCAAACTTTGGGAGGACGTGCGGGTTGTAAAATCCAGCGGACGTTTTTTCGGCTCGTTCGTACACCTCTGGACCGATCCGGAGACGCCTGGACTGCTAAGCCGAGGCCGCCGTCCGACGTCCGGCCGGCAGGCGTCCTCCAAAATTGGCCGCGCCGCTGCGTTTTGCGCGAGGACATCTCAAGGATGGTGAGTAAGGCTGCTCGGCGCGGCTTTAGCGTAGCGGTCGACGAGAGCTTCGGAAAACGAGATGCGTGGTCCACCCGTCGCCTGGGCCTGCAGACACAATGCTGGCCCTAGCTGGCTTTGGCCGGCGCGACGCGCTGCGCGTGTCTGGAGCGCAGCCATTGCTGAAAGACACTCCTCGCGTCGGCGCGGCGCCGCCAGAAGCGTAGCGCTTGCCGACACACACACTACCCGCGCCGCCGCCGCGGCGCGGCTTTTCGAGAAAAATTCCACATTTTCACCCGCCGACACACCCACCCGCGCGTCGCTGCCTCGCACTCGTTGATTTATTCGCCGCCGCCGCGCGCCCGCCACGCATCGCATCGATCCCTTCCTCACTCGCGCGAGAGTGCTCACGACCATACATCCGTAGGCGACCGGCATCGGCGTCGCCGACGCCGTGATCCAGAAGTTCGACTCCTTCAAGCTCAAGAAGGCGGGTGATGTGAAGATCATCACGCTGAAGATCGACGGCAAGGCTGTAGTGATTGACCAGGAGTACCCGCGGTCGACGACGTGGGAGTCGTTCCATGCGGACCAGTTGGGGGGCGCGCTTGAGACGGAGCCCCGCTACGTGCTCCTGGACCACGACTACACGACGACGGACGGCCGGCCCGCGGACAAGATCATTTTGATCTCGTGGATCCCCGACACGTCGCCGGTGATGAAGAAGATGTTTGTCCGCGGCGTCTACCTTTGCGACGCGACGCGCTGCCTCCCATACGCCATCGACGCGATACCCCGCGCAGGAAGTACGCCGGCACGAAGGAGGCGGTCAAGAGCGCGCTGCAGGGCATCGCCATCAACCTCAACGCGACGGACATGGCCGAGGCGGCGCTCTCGGAGATCGAGGCGGCGTGCAAGAAGATCTAGGCGCGCGTAGCGCCTTCTTGTAGTAATTCCCGGCTCGTAGTATATCCGTACTATGTCAATCAAAAGTTACTCATCAGTAGTAGTTGTCCCGGATCACGCGCGACGACCGCGCCCGGAGCCGCGCGACTTCCCGCGCCACCCCGTGCGTGTTGTACAGCGCCTCCAGCGCCGCGACGCGCCCGGCGTGTAATCTCAAAGGCGCGCCCCTTCTCAAGCCGACGTCCTCCTCGCCGTGGTCGTCGACGTAGATCGACGGCGCGTACGACGCGTGCGGCCCCCGCACCAAGAGGACCGCGCATTTCAGCACGAGGAAGAAGACGCCGACGCCGTCGCCGTTGATGCGCCGCGCGTGTAACGTGCAATTCCCGGGAGCACCGGGCCGCTTCGCGCCCGCATGTAACACGCGCCCCGTGAGCAAACAGACCGCGGCGCCGTGGTCGACGTCGTCGCCACCTAACCCGCGCGCGTCCCGGAGTCGCGCGTACAACTCCGTGAACGACTCCGGCAGCTTGACGAAGCGCGTCGCGCGCCGCGACGGCTGCAGCGTGCGCAGCCCGAGGTGGGACACGTCCCAGGTGGCATGTCTTCTACCGGAAGCGTCCGGCGCGGCGTGGCCCGCCAATGAAGCCAATAATGGTGTCGGCGCGTCGCCGACCCCGGACACGCCATCATCATCCCCGAGAATCGGCGCGTGGAGCAGCTGCTCGTCATCCGTATCGTCGGAGGAGATCTCGCCATCTGAAGCGTCGAAGCAGCGCGCCTGTGAATCGTCGTCGTCGAGCGTCGAGAGGCAGAGCGCGTCGTCCTCGTCGGACGGCGCCGACGGCGGCTTCAAAGGCGGTCTCGAGGCCCCTTCATATAAAGCGCGAAAGCTCCTACACCAACACTCCGCTAATCTAGCGTACGGCGGCGTGCTTAGTAGGGCAAACGAGATGGATAGGGGTTCTTGCGTCGAAGAGCAAGCCTCCAACGCGACGTCGATGGCCAAGGCCAACGGCCCGACGGCCTCCTTTACGGCAGATGGCGACGGCACTACTGATCTAGGAGCCAGACCCGCCGCCGAGCGACAGACGCGATCTAACACACGCAATCCTTCAATCTCCTCCTCGCTATCCTCATGAGTAGAGGTGGGCGCCTCCGGCTCGAGCAACAGTTGCACGATGCGCGCGAACACGACCGCGTCCCGCAACCGACACAAGTCGCCGCGCGGCCAGAGCGAGCAGCACCCGCAAAAGAACGCACACAAGTCCCACGCGAGGAGCGGCTGCCTTAAAGCTTCGTCCGTGCGCTGCGCGTTGCCTTGGGCTTCGCCGCGCCACGTCGCCGCGTCGGCGCCGTCGGGCCGTGCCAACGCGAAGGGCGCGTGGCATAGGCCCAAAGGTAGCGCCGGCGTCGCCTGGGCGATTTGCTGGCGTAGCATATCATTGATCGCGAGCATGTGGTCCTCGGCAAAAGTTCTACAGAGCCACTTGCTACCGTCCCAGTGTAAGGCGTCGGCTCTTATGGTTATGACGCTCTCCTCGTCGACGAAGCGCCGTAAACCATACTTCCTCAACAGCAAGCGTTCTGCCGATGACGTGTGGGTCGTCAACGACTCGCGCTCCCAGGCCTCCTCCGTCGCGCGGAACGGGGGCGGACTCCGCAGTAACACGTCACCGCTCAACAGGTTGGCCAAGCGGGAAGATAACGTAGAACCCCCCCCGACCATCGCGTAGCCGTCCACGCCGCCGCACCTCAACGCGCGCATGCAGGCCTTCGCGGCTCTTCTAGCACTTTCGTCGCCGTCGCCGCGCGTCGCGGACAGCAACGAAAAGCCGCAGGCCGCCCACGCGCTTAAGGCCGCCGCCGGCGGCCTTAATGCTGGCGGCGCCGCGCCACCATCAGCAGCATCAGATAAAGCATCCACTAACCTTCGAGCCGCGCCATCTAAGGACGTTCTGGGCGCATCGGGCGCCGGAGGGGCGTTATGCCACCTTTCGACGACCTCCGGCAAGGATAGTTGGGGAGCCGCGGGCTCGTCCCTAGCTTCCAAGACGGGATCTTCAACACAGGGCACCAGACAGTTCGCCAGGCCCTTGCAGAGCGGGCATAAAAACTCCCTTCGGGACACGTCGACGCAGAATCTCCCGTCGTACGACGTCTCTCCCGCCAGGTATTTCTGTAACACAGAAGCATAATACGCGTCCCAGCACCCATAATGCACTCGATGACCGCAAGAAGCGACATGCACCCTCACCCGGCCCCAGCGCTTCCACGCCGACGGCTGCATCGGAATTAACGCGTCGTCGACGCCCGCGTGCTGGTCCTGTCGCAGTGACACCCACCCCACAACGTTGGAGGACTGGACCTTCGCCGACGAGCCTCTGACATGAGTCACCCGCACCTCGTCGCCGCGCTTGAAGCGTAGGACGACGCGACCCGAAGGTCGCCCGTCTTTGAGTAACTGACGGGCTTGGCAGCTTCTATTCGCGACCCAGCGCCTCCGATCGCCTCGTCGTTCTCGATCGACTTGCCTCGCCAACACACAACTCCGTTGCGCCAACGCCACAAAACCCAGGGGATCATCATCGGTAGCCGCCCCCCGACACATGATGCACGACGCGTCACATTGCTTCTCAGACTTGGACTCCTCGGCGGCGGCCTCCTCGGCCGCGAGCAAGGCCGCGAACCGGTCTTGCCTCGCCTTCATACGCGCCATGACGCGCTTCCTCGCCCGTCTCGCGCGTTCTTTGCGATCCTCGTCGGGCGACGTCGGCGTCTCGGCGAGTTGCGGTGCTCGCTGCCTTAGTAGAGAAGCACATTCATTTGATTGGGTAGCCACATGCTTGATGAGCCATTCTAAGCCATCATCGTACAAGGGCGAACCGAGGCCGCCCCGGTCCCTCAGATCCAATAACGCAGGGTAAATAACTTTCGACCATTCATCGACACAACCGTCATGTGCTACGAGTGTCGCTAGATGTAACGCGGCGCCCTCCAGTTCTCTTTCACCAGCTTCTTGCGATGACGAAGAACCTCGTCTGAAGGCGCCTTCCAGAGCTCGGAACGTCGTCGGGCTTCGTAACAAAGATTGGCGCATGTCTACGAAAGACGCGTGGCAATTCGACGGCTTCGCTACTAACGGCATGGCCTTCACGCGCAATCTTCTTCTGATAGATGCTATTCTTTCTTGAGCCTTCTCGTGATCACTTCTCGACAGGCGGGGAAAGCCGGGGTCGTAGCCCCCGTGCAACTCCCGCCTCAGATCCCACAATTCCCCCGTCGCATCGACGCGCACGGCGACGCGATTCAGCAAAGACTCCATGGGGACCACCGGCGCGTTCCGCGCGGCGCCGCCGCCAGCACTTACAGCCCCCCCAAAAGCTTTTGCTGCGGCCGCGACCACCGCGACGACCTCGGAATGGCGCTGGGGCTGCACCGCTAAAGCGTGCACTAATTCTCTCAAACATCGCTCCTCCAAGGCTTCCGCCCCAGGCGGCGGCGGCGCGTCCGCCGCGAGCCTCCCAATGAGAGACAAACATTCGGCGGCCGCCGGCGCTAAAGCTTCCTTGGGCGGCGGCTGCGCCGGCCGCGCCCTTTGTGTTGCGGCCGCGACGTCCTCCGGGTCGTCGTCGTCGTTGGGAGGCGTCCGCGCGACGCGAAACGCGCCCCGTCTTGCTCTTTCACCAGGCTGCGCCGCGTTTCGTCGCGGCGTCGCGGCGCCGGCCACGGCCGCGGCCGCCGCTAAGCGTAAAGCGCGTCTTCTTTCAGGAGTGGGTGGCGGCGTCGTCTGCAGCGGCTGCGCCGGCGCCTCGGCGACGCCGGCCGGCGCCGGGGCTGTTGCTGGTAGTCTTAGAGCCGAGGCGATGGCGCCGGCGACGACGGCTACGGCCACGGCCTTGGCCCGCGCCGCCTCCTTTGCCGCACATGCGCCCGCGGAAGTCTTCGCCGCGACGTCGCCATCAGTTTCCGGTTGGAGCAGGTAGCGGTCGACGCAGAACCGTTCTAAGCATAATCTAGCGACGGCATCGCCTCCTAGAGCCAGAGCGCCGACTTGCACCGCGCTCACGTCGGCATCTCGCAGCGCGTGGCAGAGCGGCGGCGACGCATAGGATAAAGCCGCGGATAATGCAGCGTGGCCGTTCCTTCGCCACAATCCGGCGGCGACGTGGGCGCCACACGCTAAAGCTCGTAGTGGGTGGTCCACTAATGCTCTTCCCAGAGCGTCTCGGACCCGAGACGCTTCTTCGGGCGACGTGCACTGCTGTAGACCCACTCCACATTTGTCATCGGACGACGCTTTCCCGAACAAATCGGCTAACTCAGTCGACGCCAGCGTCTTGACCGCCTTCCGCTCCGTGTCGTCGTCCTCGTCGTCCGACAAGTCTTCCAATCTCTCCGCGGCGACGACGACGCGCCGTCGGTCTCGAGGTGCCGCCGACGCTAGAGGTGGGAGTGGATCCAAGCCAACGGCCGCGGCTTTGAGAGCGGCAGCCGCCACGAATCTATGTAAAGGTAAGTGTAGAGATACGGGCTGCGAGCAGACATCGTACAGTATAACATCTCCATCACTCTGAACTGTCAATTCTTCAAATTTCGAGACGCGTCTCCATTCATGGGTACCGGCCCTAGCTGCCAGCCACTCGAGTAAAGCCGCGGCGCCGCCCCACAGAGCGCCTAGCGCGGCTTCCCGGCCATCGTCCACTTCGAGAGCTCGAGCGACGAGCAACTCGGTAGCAGACGCCACATTTAACGCGAGGTTAAATGCGGGCACCCATCTTCTGGATTCATATTCTACATGGGGCTCCGACCCATCCCTTCTCGTGGCCTCATCCACACCTTGCAAGCGCGACAGTAAAGCCAGCCACGCTCGCAAAGGCGCCCGGCCCGGCCCGCCCTCATCCACAAACTCGGCCCGTAGCATCTCGTGGGCGACCTTCTCCGTCTGCAGGGCGTACTCGAAATCACGTAAAGCGTGCGCGAACCGTCGATGTTGGACCACGGGCTCTTCCAGGAACCGGTCCGGGTCTATTGAAGGAGTTGTGCTACGTCTCCGAGGCGTGGCTCCCGGACTCGAATCTTCTTGGCGCCACCTCTCCAGGATCTGTTGCCTTCGTTCATCCTCTTCGTCCGACTCGCTTTCGTGCGGCAGGGGCGACGACGGTTCCAAGGCTGGCGGCGCTCTTCGAGAAGGTCTCGCGTGCCTCCCTTCTCTTCTTCGTTCTCTTGCTGCATCACAACCGGCAGACCCTAAACAGGCCAGTAGAGCTCTGAGGACGACCGCTAAAACACCAGCATGCGCTAGTTTTGGGTCGTCGCGTCTCGGTGTTAATGCACGTCGTACTAATGAAGGCGTCGTGAAGATCTGCACAGATAAAGCAAATATAGTGTCGTCGGCCGTGCCCACGCCGCGCGCGAATAGTCGAGACACACTCCCGTAGGCGCCTAGTAGAGCATCGGCGAGCGACGCCCGCGCGACGGCGTCCACTAAAGCCCTCAACAGCACGTCGTGGCACGCGGAACGTAGCGGTCTTGGGAGTAGCGCGTCGCAGGCCACCAAAACGCCAAAGGCACTGGAAGCGAAGCCGCTCTCACCTTCGTCGAGCTGCAGTCGCCTTTCACTCTTCTCTAGTCGCTCAACCAATGAGAAGCGCGACGACTTGAGTAGAGCAGGCGCGCCCGGCGTATTGGGTAAGGGTAGAGGCGCCGCGAAGGCGTCCGCCACGAGGCGTCGCAGGGCGTCCGCACCTCTCACCAACTCCGAGAGCCACTTCGCGAGTTGCGTGGCTCGCAGTTCTCGTTCAAGTAGCTCGTCGTCGACCGCCGCACCTAGTAACCCGCGCGCGTGCACGGCTCGTAATGCTGTTTGGGCGTCACCGAGCGGCAACAACGCGTCGCCCTCGCGGTCTACCCTTCCAGCTAAATCGCGAGCTCGTGCTACTGAGAGACCGAGACCAGCTAAGGCGCCAATGACATCGTCATACGAGTGGACGTCGTCGTCGTGCAATCTCACCCTAACACCTTGATCCTCGTCCCTCGATTGCGCTGCTGCGGAAAGTCTATCTAACAAGCCCGTCTCCTCGTTCGGTTCCGTCGTCGAGAAGGCCGGGTTCGAGTTGAAGGGTTCGTGGGCACCGGCCGCCCGCACAGCGGCTCCCACGACATACCGAGCCGCTTCTCGTACCACAACTTCGCCCGCTTGCCTTAGACCGGGTGGTAGTGATGCTAGAGGATCCTCCTCGACGACCGAAGACGCTCGGTGCTTCGCGCAGCAGCCCTCGGCGACCCATGCCTCCGGGTCCCCGCAGTCGCAACAGCCGCCCGGCGCGGCCCGGTGGAAGAAGACCTCGTGGCCCTGGTGATTTGAGGATCTAAAACAAGCGTCACAAAGGACACACGTGTTGTCTTTTTGGCAGGTTCTGCAATTCCACGCAATATCGCCCGCGGCAAAAACGTGGCCACAAGCTCTTTGATTCGTTTCTGCTAGCTTCGCTAATAACCCAAACGGTCCGTCATTCTGGGCCACGCGGCAGCACAAGAGATGCGTGGCCCAGCTCCTCAGTTGCTTCGGCGGGGCACTCGCGAAGCACCTTCTCGCGGCCCTCGCAATAGCCTCGGTGTCGCCGTCGGCATGGGCGGCCGACACACACGCGGCGAACTCATGCGGAGAGAAGCGCTCCGCTAAGGGAGCGTCGCTCGCTAAAGCCGCCTTGAGGAGCTCCGTCGGGCTCGGCTCGGACGCGTGCACAGGCGTCAGGGCCGGGTCCTCGGGCTCGGGCTGGCTGATGTTCATTCTTGTGTTTTTGGTGTTCGTCTCTGCTCTTGGCCTAGCGCTGCACGGGGCCTAGCGCTGCACGGGGCCTAGCGCTGGATGGGAGCCGAAGTGCTCTTGTCTAGCGCTGTATGAGTCCGAGGAGTTGGGCGGCCCGTAGGCTCTGATACCTCTCCCAGAGCTCGGGTAGGTTGATGAGGTACTGTTCAACTATCTTGGGCTACCTTTAGGCTCGTTAAAGCGCCGCGAAGGCTGCTTTTGTCAAGTCCGCTGTGATTCCTAGTACTGGTGTAACACTAGCTCGTTTCTATAACTCGACACAGCAGGGTCAAGCGCAGTGTTCCAGCCCGCGGCCGTGGAACATAAATACAGACAGCGAAACGCATGCCCGCAGCGGCATCTGTCAGACCCTGCCCCGCCTGCACGTTTCACAACCTTCCCAGCGCTACGCATTGCGACGTCTGCGACGAGCCTCTCGGCGCTGCAGTAGCGCCGGCCATAATCACTCCCGCGAAGAGCATGGACGGCGTAAAAGTCAAAACGGAGGGCGTAACCGTCAAGCCGGAGTCCGCCGATGGCGCGGCGCCCGCCGTCGTGAAGACCGAGGTCAAGGCGGAGGTCAAAGACGAGGACGAGGAGGAGCCCGCCCTCGTCTGCGTGCCGAAGACGGCGCCCAAGAAGAAGCAGGCGCCCGCGCCCGCGCCCGCTCCGGCGCCGGCGCCGCGCGCCGCGCCGGCACCCGCGCCAGCCGCACAAGCGACGCGGCCCGCGCCCGCCCCGCAAGATGATGATGATGACGACGACGAGGAGCCCGACATCTGCCGGCCGCGGACGGCCCCCGTCGTAGATGAAGACGAGAAGGTGCCGATGAAGAAGCAGTCCGGGTACCAGTTCCACAACGCGACGCACCGCGCGGCCGTCAAGAAGGAAATAGAAGAGGCCAATCCGGACATGCCGGCCAAGGAGAAGAACGCGCTGATCACGAAGCGGCTCGGGGACATGTGGGGTAGGTTAGATAAGGCCGCGCAGCACCGGTACAAGGCCGACGCGCCGTATGTGGTCATAAAACAGAAGGGGCCGCATAAACCGGAGCCGCCGAGACTGGTCGACCTGCCGGCGGGCACGCACGGCAAGTGCAAGCGGTGCGGCGAAGGCGTGGAAGAGAGAGCTGTGGTTGTAGGTTCTAGAAGGTGGAAGGTCAAGTGCTTCCGGGAGTCGACGTCATTAGAAGTAGGAGACGGGTCGCACAAGTGCAAGGTCTCCGGTGAGATGATAGAGTCGGGTGCGGTCTGCCTGGCGGTCAAGGTAAAGTCGGCCACTATTTATTTCGAGGCAAGCAAGGTCGCGCCCTTCCTGCGGGCTTTACTAAAACCGGCGCTGCCCGATGCGTTGTTCGGCGGCTTCGATGCCCTGGGAGGTCCCGAGAAGCGGGCGTTCTACGCGCTCTTTCCGGACGTGGCGTTGCCGGAGCAGTACAAGAGCAAGGGGCAGAAGGCGCAGGCGAAAACGGCGAAGGAGTTCGACTTCGCGGCGATGGTGGGGCGCCCGCGCGACACGCGCTACGATATAGATGACGACGACTCCGAGGAGGACGAGGAGCCGGTCGCGCCGGCGCCGAAGAAGCGGCGCGTCATCGAGGACCTCGAGGACGACGTCTAGTCCTCTGTGTAAGTGATCATACAAGAACAATGACATTAGGACAGGTCCGCCACGCGGCCCGCATTTATCAACGCCTCGAAGCGTCTTTGCGACGGCGCGTAGAGCGCCTCGAGTTTCAATCGCAGCGGCTCGGCGATGGCGAAGGCGCTCTTCCGCGTGCCGCAGTCGTGCCAGCACGTCTGCTTCCTCGGCGGGTTCACACCGTCGACGCCGAGGAAGCGCGCCACGTTCTGCAGCACGCGCGCCGTCTCCGCGAACAGGGCCTCGGCCCGGACGGCACCCACACGTGAATAGAGTGAAGCGTACGTGGTCGCGTGGTCCCCATATAACCCCTTGTAGAGGTACCGCTTGCAGGCTGGTCGTATGTTATAATTCTTGTTGACCCAGCAGTTCTTGGGCTGGCCGTCGATGAAGTGGGCGCATCGCTCCACGTACTCAACTAATGAATGTCCGGACGACGAGTTCCCACTCCCACCAATAAATTGCGAGACGGCGGGCGCCAGTACCACGCATCGCCGGAAGACGGGCAATTCCCCTGAAACAGCTTCATTAAACGAACGGTCCTCGCTCCCCGCCCGCCGGTTCTGGTCCCACGCCGCGTGCGCGCGTTTGATGGGGTCCCGCCAGAGCAGGATGATGTGGGCTTCTGGTAGGAATTTCGACAGGTGGACGGCGGCGATAGGATCAGCTAAGTAGTCCGGCGACGCATCTACAATTCCACCTCTCCTACCAAGGCCATTCACGTAGCTTCTGGAGCGGCACGCGTCGATGACGTGGTGGCTATCGAAGAAGTGCTGCTCCTTGCGGCCGTTCGGTGCTCGCACGAAATGTGGGGAATTGACGAGAGCGTCATATAGTAGGGTCGTGCCGCACTTCTGCTCTCCTATGAGCGAGACGAACGGTCGTCCTCGCAAGACAGATAACGGCCCGAAGGCGTCCTCAGAAACGGACCAGGCCGGGCCCTTCACCTTGAGCGTGGCGACCTTCTTCTCGATTCTTTTAGCGGCGTTCGTGTCCATGTCTGAACACCATGTAAATTCCGTGTCGCAGCGTCGTCGCGCGTTCGCGCACTGTAAATCGGAACACGCGAGCTGGCAAGCACAAGGGTCCCGGCCCCTTCGCGGCGTGTTCGGGCAGGCGTGGTCCACTCTACTCGTCGCGAGGCGCGCGGCGGCGTCGAACAGCTTCGGGTCGAGGTGTTGCTGGGCGGCCGCTATCGAGACGCAGAGCCAGCGCATCATGCTGCCCCGCATCGATGCGGCTCCCAGCGACCCTTCGGTCGCGTTTTCGGGGCAGCGGGCAGCAATTGCGGGCTGCTGGAAAAACAAGCTGTGCTTGCTAGTGTGTTACATGCCGCTAGGGCGTGCTGCCTCCAAAACTACTCGCAGCGTTTTGTGCAGCCTGCCTAGGGCTTTCGACGCAGTTGCATAGCGCAGTAGCCAGCCGAGGACCTCACGCGCCAGCCAGCATCACGCCGCCGCCGCTTGAGACGCAGCGGTAGCTCTGCAATTCAAAAGACAGATTTCAAATGGCAGAGACCAACCCGTTTGCCAACGCCGGCGCGGACGCCGCGAGCCTGCTGGCGCAGACAGCCGAGCAGCCCATGACCTTCGAAACGGCGAAAGCACTCACCAGTAAAGGCGACCACGACGCCGCCATCGACGCCTGGGCTTCGTTGTTGGAGAAGGCCGTCACGGCCCACGGCGAGACCTCCAAGGAGACGGCGCCGCTGTACTATCGGTATGGCGACGCCCTGCTGAGGAAGTGCGAGGAGAGCGACCAGTTGTTTGGGGGCGACGACGACAAGGAGAAGGACGAGAACGAGCTGCAGCAGCAGTCGTCGCTGCAGGTCCAGTCCTCGTTGGCCCCCGTCGAGGACGAGGAAGAGGATTTACAGGACAATAATGCGGAGGCGAAGGAGGCCCTGGCGGAGGACGTGCAGGTCGCGTTTGAAGTCCTAGAAGTTTCGCGGACGATCTACGAGAAAATCGAGGATAAGGAGGGCTCCGCGGACTGCTGGTTGAGATTAGGTGACTTGGACAAGTTAAATGGACGGTTCGACAGCGCGATCACGTCGTATGAATCGTGCCTCAAACTGCGCTTGGAGACGGACGGTCCCCACGCTCGAAGTGTCGCGGACGTGCACTGGTGCTTGGCGTTCGCGCTGGAGTGCCGCGCCGCTGATAAAGATTGCCCTAACGCGCGGGAGCTGCGAGACCAAGCCCTGGACAACTACGTCAAGTGCGAGGCGGCGCTCAAAGCTGTCGTATCTGCAGCAAAGGAGGGCGAGGACATGGCCGCCGTCAAGAGTGTCTTGGATGAACTGTCCGAGACGATCGCCGACGCGAAGGCAAGGCGGGAGCAGGAGCTCGCCCGTGCGAAAGCTCCGGAGCCGCCCAAGGAGACGACGACGATCGGCTTCGGCACGGCGCCGGCCGCGCCGAGCTCCTCAGTTATGATGTTGCAGCCGAAGAAGAAGAAGGCTAAGCTCACGCCCGTCGCGCCGCCGGCGCCGCCCTTAGCCGAGAACGGGTCGGCGGGGTCGGCGTCGTCGGGCGCGTCGAACTAAGGGGCCTTGGTATTTATTCGGTGGGTAGTGGGGATACTTCCTTACGCGCTCCCCGTGGACGCCTCGCGGGCGCGGAGCTCGGCTCGCAGCTTTCGCAGATCGTCCTCAATGGCCGTTGTGAGCGGATGTGCGCCACCAAGCACGCGCCTGGCGATCCGTTCCGTCTCCCCGTGCATCGTCACGGCCTCGCGGAGGTCGTCGAGTGTGCCGGCGGGGTCCGCATAGAGAGCCCTAGCGTAATACGCCCTCATCCTGATCGTAGCATCGTCATGATCTCCGAAAACGCGTCGCCCCACGGGCATTAACTCGCGCAACAGATCCTTGGCTTTTTCAAAGCGCTCTAGCTCAAAAAGACTTATTGCGCAGTTGAGGGCTGCTACGAGGGTCATCTGATGTTCTTTTCCATTGAGCTTTAGACGTCCGGAGTATACATCTTCCCGTAGACTTATGGCCTCTTCCACCCGTCCAAGAACTTCATACGCGTTCGCAAGATTGCTCTGCACGGCAAGAATTTTGTGTTCTGAATCGCCGAGACCCGGCCCCGCGACTCCGTCATTGACAACTGGCCCGCGCAGTCAAGTTCAAGATGCAGAAGGCTAGAGCTCGCGGCGACGGCGAGAAGGTCGCCAAGTACAAGGGCAAGATCGCGCGCTGGCAGCAGCAGCTGAGAGACTCGATGGGCGAGGGCGAGGACGGCCTGCCGCCGGGCTGGGAGAAGAAGGAGACCGACGACGGCCGCACGTACTACGTCGGTCCCCCAGTGCGGAAATCGACCAGGCTCGGACCAGCGGTCCGCGCCGGCCGGCAAATTTGGTTTTCCGCGCACAGGTCGACAAGATCGGCGAGAAGGTGTCCTGGGACCTGCCCGGCTGCGAGCCGCCGCCGCCGGCGAGCGTCGAGGCCTCGGGCAACCGCAAGTCTCTGCTCATCGGCATCAATTATCCCGGTAGCTCGGCTGAGCTCCGCGGCTGCATCAACGACGTCAAGCGCATGAAGGCTTATATAACGAGTTGCGGGTTCCCGGACGACTCCGATTCCATGCGCGTTTTAACTGATGATGGATGCAATGATGGTGATCCGACGCACGACGCGATCCTCGAAGGTCATTGAGCCGGCGTCCCCAAAGGCCCCCGTGGACGCCCTGCACCGCGAGCTCTCGCGCAAGCGCATGAGCCAGAAGCCTCAGCTCTCCTCGAGCCAGAAGTTCGAGCTCGACGACCGCGCCTTCTCCCTCACGAGCGGCATCGTCGGGAACGCCAACGCGAACCTCGGCCGCCCGCCGCGGCCGCCGGGCTTCAAGAAACGCCCGAACACGGCCGGCGCGCAACCCATGGGAGGCTTACCGATCGAGGAGTTCCTCGCAGTCATGAACGGCGGCGGAGACTCCGGGGATTTGGTAGGCAAGCTCATGCAGCTCGGGATTAGCCTCGCCTCGAACGCGGGCTAGCTCGCGCACGAGACGGCTCAACCCCTCCCACCCTTCCGAGTCGTAACTACGAGTACTTAGCTAGCGCTGCCCCCCAGACCGGTCCCGGTCCCGGTCGCGGTCGTCGCGCCGGCGGCCCCGGGACCGCGACCGGTCGTCGCGCCGGCGCCCGCGCGAGCGAGAGCGAGAGCGCCGCCGCCGATCATCAGAACCGCGGTCCCGCCGGTCGCGGTAGTCGTCGCGCGAGTCCCTCGGATAACCGCCGCCGTAGCCGCCGCGCGGCGGCCCTCCCGGTCCGCCGTACCCTCCCCCGTACCCTCCGCGCCCGCCTCCGTAGCCTCCTTGATACCCTCCGCCGTAGCCACCGCCCGGGCCGCCGCCACCTCTCGGACCATAGGCCTCCTGCGGATTTAAACCGGTCCCGATCGTCTGGTTCTTCGGGTCGTCGCCGTGACTGAACTTGCACCTAGCACCTCTAAAACAATCGCCCTTCAGGAAGTCGTTGCACATGTTCACGCCTTTGGAGTCTGTGGCTTGCGTGCCTCGCGTCGGGATGTCCCCATGGCTGAACTTGCAGTTCGCCCCTCTCGTACAATTGCCCCTCTGGAAGTCGCCGCACATACCATCACCCTTATTCCCGCCACTTTTCAGGTGGCCCATCAAATTCTCCCAGGCCGCGTACCGCTCGGGCTCCTTCTCTTTGTCAGGCATCGGAATCTGCAGCTTCGACGCATCACCGCCTGTGCCGTCCATCGTGACGCCGACGTTCTGGTTCGAAGTCGGCGCGGTCCAGGTCGTCTCGCCCGTCTGCGTGTTGTGGTAGAAAGGCCGGCCCGACGCGGGGTCCATCTTGGCCTCCCACGGCGGGTCGGGCCGCCAGGCGATCTCGGTGAAGCCGCGGAAGCCGGGCGCTCTGTGCATGGTTCGCTCTCTGGGTTGGGGAGAGCAGCACTCGTCCCGGTGTTGATTGCTAACTTCCTCGTTCGCTGGTCAGCCTGAGGACAGCGCGAATTATGTGTGCTGTGCCTCTCCCCTTGATGCGCTGCACCTCGTTCCCTGGCGCGAGCGAGACAGCTTTTGCTAATGCTAGGTAAGGGCTCTAGGCCATTTTTCCGTACCCGTGGCCCCCCAGCCCTCCCCGGACCCGTGCCACCGACGCCCCGGGCCGCCGGAAGACGCCTCCACTGCACGCGCGGTCGCAGGTTCGACGTTCGACTCGGTTCGAGCACGGTTGGCATGCGACAAGGGCAATAAAACAACGAGCACGACGCCGGGGCAGCACTTGGACGCGCACGGGACAAACGACACGATGGCCGCCGCCCCGCTCGCACTGGACAAACGCGGCCTGCGCTTACGAGACGCCAACCGCCCCCTCACAGCACCCAACAAGCAGCGTGTCGTCGGCCTCGAGGTGACGCCGGACAAGGCACCCACGCTCCGCGGCGCGCGACCCGCGCCGGCCGTCGGGTTCTACGCCTGGGCCACACCGCACAAGAAGCAGCAGCCACGGACGAGGGCGATCTCGCACCCGGCGCTGCGCGAGCCGATCTCGAAGGCGACGCCGCTGTCGCAGGCCGTGCGCGCGGCGACGGCGCGGCGCGACGCGTCGATCGGCGACGCGTACCGCGCGAAGCACGCGGCGCTGCGGCGGCAGAACCGCTTGTTCGATCTGCGGTTCGACGACGCCAAACTGGGCTTTAAGATTTGCCTGGGGAGGCGCTCCGTCGACGCACGACGCCGGTCGACGCGCCGACGCGTTTTAGTGGACGAGACGTTTCCCTCGTGCCAGGCGTTTGATAGATTGCGCCCCCACGACGAACTCGTCGCGATCTGTGTGGAAGTCAAAATTTTACGGCACGTTCGTCCTGAATCGCCGCGTCGTGCACCCGACGCACTGGTTGATTTCCACACAGGTCGCAATCAACGGGGCCTTGTTAATTGAGGTTGACGCCGAGGCCTTCGCGTCGCTCGTGGAACGCCTCCGGACGCTACCCCGGCCGCTGACCCTGACCTTCGCCGCGGGCGAGGGGCGCGAGCGGGCGTTTGCCTTGCAGCTCCGCCGGCGCGCCGCCGCGTCGTCGTTGGTGCAGACTGCACCATTACCTGTCGCATCATTGCCATCAACGCCGCCGCCGCGCCGTCGGCGCCAGGCCGCGGACGAAGACGCGGAACGCACGCAGTGCGGCCTGACGTGCTTCGGGAGCGCGTATGTGTGTGCCTAAGTCATCCCCAAAAGAAATCATTAGGCGACGTCCCCAAGACCCGGATCGTAGCGCGCCGTTGCAATCGCAGCTTTCCCGGAGACGAAAAGGCCGACGGGCACTCCTAGCAGCGTCGGAACCGGAGCAAAGGCGCCGGCCGCAGCACCGAGCACGCTCAGGCCGAAGAACACTTTCCCGGAAACTGGCTCCTGCTTCAGCAATGCCTCCCAGCCGTCGGCGGGCTCCGTCTCGTTGTAACGCCGGAAGACGAACTTCCCCCCGCGCGCGGCGATGCCGCAGCGCACGCGGTCGTCGACGTACGTCGTGCAGAGGTCGACCGGCGGCTGGGCCGACCTTTGTGGAAATCAAAATTTTACGGCGCGTTCGTGCTGAATCATCGCGTCGTCCGCCACGCCATCGACGCGACACCTGCTCGATGGCGTGGCGATGCCGGTTCCTCACCGCTCGACCGAGCCAGGACGGCCGCATCATCGCCGAGAAATGACTGCACCGACGCACTGGTTGATTTCCACACAGGCGCCGACGGCCCGGTCACTTCAAAGTTCAGGCGGCCGCGCCGCCCGAACGACACGCGCGGCGCGTCGAAGACGACGCGCGCCGTCTCGGTCGACAAGGGTACCGTGCCGTTGGACAGCGCCCGCGCGGCGGCGAGCTCGTCGGCCGTCTCGCGCGCGAACTCGGCCTTCGCCGTCACGGCCGCCGGCACGCCGAAGAAACGAAAGGTGACGTAGTTGACAATTGTTTGCGGCTCGAGGACGTGCTGGTACGTGCCCGTCGATTTGAGTCCGAGCCTGATCGCCTTGAACGGCAGGAAGAAGATCGCCTTCCGCAGGCGTTTTGCGATCGACGGCTTCTTGACGGCGTCGTCGCCGCCGTCGCGGCCGCCGTCGACGCTCCGATCAAAGTATTTTATTTCATATTCGCCGAACAGCCGAGGATCGTCGAGCACCTTCGCGCCGCGGCCCGCCTCGCGTAGCTCCTCGAGGCACGCGTCTATCTTCGAAATCGTCTCGGGCGACTTGTTCCGGCTGCGCGTCGTGCCGCCCTCGTCCAAGAGCGGCAAGAGCTCGTCGACGACGACGCCGGCCGGACGACTTAGGGGTGCCGCAAAGCTGCTCGCTTGGTGCACGGCGCAGGCCAGGGCGAGCAAGCGTGCAGCAGCCATGGTTTTGCGTCGCTGAACGCGAGTGATCAATGCGTCAAGAGCCACAATGCGCCAAAGAGCCAATATAGGCCACAGAGCAGCGACAAAAGCTGCCGATCTTGGAGCTAGCTAGCGGCCGATAAGACACTAGCAATCAAGTTCAGGGGCTTCGCGTACGTCTAGACTCCGTCATTACCACCGGCGGCGGAAGCATTTATGCAGAAAAAAATCCTAGATGATAAAGTTAGGGAAGCACCTCCGCGGCGCCGCGCCGCGCCAGCACCGCGAGCGCGCCGTCCAGCAGCCGCCGCTCGACGCTCTTGAGCCGCCTTGCTAAATACGCCGGCGACCCCGGCGGCGCCGGCGGCGCGATTTGGACCACGACTTCATCTTCGCCCTCCCGTAACGCGAGGACGTCGCGCAGCGGCGCCTCCGCGACGGCGTTGCGCCGCGCCTCCAGGCACAGCCGCGCGATGTCGACGGCGTCGTCGAAGCACTGGGCGTCCAACTCTTGACACTTCTCGAGCAGCCGGGGCCAGGGGTCGCGGTCGTCGCCGCCGTGCGTCTCTGCGATCGGCTTCATATCTTCATGCACACCACCATCGACCATGGCCGCGGCTAAACAAGCCGCCCACGCGTCCGAGTCCGCATCACCTGAAGGTGGCGAGCGTTTGAGTTTCGGGATGAGTGCGATATGGTTCGCGTTCAAGGCGAAGCAGCACGCTACCAGTCGTCCTAGACCCTCGCCAGCAACACCGATTTCACAAGTCAAGACATCATCGAGACCGTCGTAGGGCGCCTCGTCACACGCGTTCGCCAGCAATAACAGCCGGGCCACCGGTGAGTCTTCGCAGTCGCACGCGCTCATCACATCATTAATGGCAATAGACACGACGTCCTCGGGGAGCAGCTCATCACTCTCTGGTACAAAACCGTACCGGTATATCAAATCAGTATGAGCCCAGGCGTACGTCTGGAAGAGCTCGCCCGCGTGCGTGTCAAATCTCGCGCGCCCGATTACTAGATCCTCGTCCTCGTCGAAGGTGATATGGTCCTCCTTCGAATAATTCAATGTACAGTTGAAGGGCGTTAATGACCGCCCGAACCAGGGGTTCGCGTGGCTTGCCACAATAGCACACGCGTGGGCGTAGGTCCGCCGCGAGACTCTCTCCTTCAAAACCTCCTCCACCAGTCGTCTTTCCGCATCCAAGCGCGCGACCTTCAGCTGGACGACCGCCTCGAGCTCCGTGCCCTGTAATAAAGCGCGGTCCTTTGCATTCCAGGTCCAGGGGCAGGGCGCCGGTTTCAAAGTACGTAAAAAAGGCCGCCACTTCGATCGCGACTTCTTCCTCGCTTCCTTTATGAGTTTGGTAGCGGCGCGGCGCTGCGTGTCGCCCCGGTCTTTTCGCGACACCAAACAAGCAGATCTAGGAGCAACAAACAGCACCTCGCCCTTCGTCAGAGGTTTCGTCGCTATGAGTCCAAAACCGGCAATACAACGAGTGCTGTACGTGACCTTCGGCGACCACATCGCGCCTCTCATATGAAGCCACTTTCGTAGAGATTTGAGGTCGCTGCGTTTCGCTCTTTGTTTGTGGATGCGCTGGCGCAGGAGGCGGCCCATCTCTTGTTATACGCGGCGCCTGCAGGCCGCTCTTGTGTTGTGGTGTTGTGCAGCACGGATGCCGCGGCGGTCAAAGTTTTTGGCCTTTATTGCTCCGTATCGACGTATTGCGTAGAATTCGACGCTTCGTTTGCAGCGGAAGCGCTTGCAAGTAGCGCACGCTTTGAGAGCGAGGCTGGGGCTCTCGCAGCGGAGGCACACGCATGCATGCATAACGCGGCGACAACGCCTCGCACAAGTACCTAGCGACGAAGAAGAGCTCACGCAGCGCTCACAGACACCATTTCTGGGCCGTGGACGCGTGCACGTCGCTTGCGGCGCCAAAACCGCTGCGCCTCAGGACCAGATCTAGCCATCCAGCGCGTACGCCGCGATGCGTCGACCACTGCTCCCGCTCCTGCTGGCCGCCGCGGCCGGCTGGCAGCCCCCGAGACGCGCGCCGACGCCACACGTCACTGAACCCGTCGGCTGGAGACACGCGCGCCGCCACCGCACGCGACTCAACCTCCAGCCCCCGACCGAGGCGCCGCCGACGACGGCGCGCGAGGGCTGGTTCGGCTTTGGAGACGACGACGACGGCGCGTTGCTGAGCAAGGCCGAGAACTGGTTCAAGCCCAAGAACCATTATACGGTCGAGAAGGGCGACACGTCGCACTACGCCGTGCTGGGCGTGGACCGGGACGCCACACCACAACAGATCAAACGGGCTTATAGGACACAGTCCAAGACCTGCCACCCCGACGTCGACCCGAGTGACGCGGGGCGCGCGCGTTTTGATGCCGTGACGCTCGCCTACGAGACGTTGAAGGATGCGAAGAAGCGCGACGCCTACGACGGCGCGCTCCAGGTCGAGCGCATCGCGGCCGACGCCGAGGCCTGGATCGATTCCGTGGCCGTGCCCTTTTTGCGGGACAGCGCCATGCCCACGTTGTCAGATTTCACGAAGAATGTGGAAAAGGCGACGGAGAACGTGACCCTCGCCCAGGCCGCGGCCGCCGCGGCGGGCTTCGTGGTCGCCGGGCCCGTCGGCGCGGCCGCGGGCGTCGCGGCGCAAAAAGTCTACGCGGAGAATATTGATGACGTGCCTGTTGTGCCGAAGCCGGCGCCGACGGCGAACGCGACGAACGCGACGAAGACGCCGCCGCGCCGCCGCGGGCCCGCGTCGACGGCCGCGGCCGGCGCCGTGGGTTTTGTCGTGGCCGGGCCCATCGGCGCGGCGGCCGGCGTCGCCGCGGAGCGCTACTCGCGCCGGACGTCGACGACGACGACGTCGTCTTTATATGATGCGCCCGGCGCCGCGGCCCCGCCCGTGGCCGCGCCGGCGCCGGCGCCGGTCCCCGTGCCCGCCGAGAGCGGCAAGCTCCCGCGGCGGCGGCGGGTCCGCGCGCCTTCATCAGATTCGGACGACCACCTCATCCGCATGACGCGGTCGGAGCTGCGGCGTACCTTGTTGCGGCGCGGCGTCCAGGCGACGGGGTCGAAGGCCGAGCTCATCGAGCGCATTCGTGCGCTGCCGCCCGAGGAGGAGGGTAATAAGTCGTAGACTCAAGGTGTTGAGTTACGCGCGAGCGCCGCAGGCGCTGCAGAACTGGCCCTGAACCGGGGCGCCGCAGGCGCTGCAGAAGTTGCGACCGGTCGGCGCCTCAGCAGCCGGCGCCCGCCAGGACGCCAGCCTCGACACCATGGAGGGGCGCTCCTGAGCCGGCTCTGGCGGCGGCGGCGGCATCAGCGGCGGCGCCGACGGGTCCGGTGCGGCATCTTTGAGCGCGCCCGACTCGACGGCCCCGGTTATTGTGCCTAGGACCTCCACTTCGGCCATCGGTGCCAAATCCGCGCTGTCCTTGGCGCGGCGCATGTACACGTACGCCCCGACGGCAATCGCGGCGATCACGGCGACGCCGGCGACCGTGCCCCCAATGAGCCCGGCCGACGCGGCGTCGGCGCCGCCGTTGCCGCCGCCGTCGCTTGGGGTAGCTTGGGAAATTGGAGCCGGAGTCGGAGTCGCCGTGGGGCCGCACTCCACCGGCAGCGCTGCGACGGCCGAGTCGCGTGTGACGGTGTAGAATATGTATCCTGGTGCGCCACCGACTTCATGCATGCACTCGCAGTCGTTCTGGCAGTCGCAGCTGCCGTCGTCCCACCAGTCGATGGCCACGAGGTCGTCGCCGTATCCGTCCGAACACCTCTCCCAGCAGTCCGCCGGCGAGGCCGTGCAGCCTATTTGGTTGTTGAGATTCGAAAAGCACCACCCGCTCCCCGCTCCGTGGTTCGTTGTGCCGCTTGGAGAGGAATTGAGGTCGTTGGACGTCTCGATGTCGCATTCGTCGTCGTCGTCGTCGTCGTCCCCGTCGTCGTCCCCGTCGTCGTCGTCGTCGTCCTCCGAGCAGTCGTCGTACCAGCACTCGTTGAACTCCCCGTCGTCGTCGACGTTGCCGTCGAGGTCTTCGTCGTAGTACCAGGTATTCGTACCCGGCTCGCAGGTGACTCGGCCGCCATAGTCGGCCGTTAAGTCGTGTGTCGTCGCGCAGTCGCACGATTGGCATCCAAAGCCCTGCATCACCGTTCCATCCTCTCGGCACTCTATCACCTCAAAGCCCGGGGTGCAGTCGTCGTCGTCGTCCTCGTCGCCGTCCTCCTCGTCCTCCGAGCAGTCATCGTACCAGCAGTCGCCGAACTGCCCCTCGTGATCGACGTTGCCGTCGAGGTCTTCGTCGATATAAAAGGTATTCGTACCCGGATCGCAGGTGTATTGGCCGCCCGAATTGGTCGTTAGGTCGTCCATTTCGCAGTCGCACGAATCGCATTCGTCGTTGTGCATAAACGTCCCGTCGTCGAGGCACTCTGCCACCCCATAGCCCGGGGTGCAGTCGTCGTCCTCGTCGTCGTCGTCCTCCGAGCAGTCATCGTACCAGCACTCGCTGAACTCCCACGATTCGTCGGCGTTCCCGTCGAGGTCTTCGTCGTATAAAATGGTATTCGTACCCGGCTCGCAGGTGTATTGGCCGCTCGTCGCGGCCGTTAAATCTTCCACCGCTTCGCAGTCGCACGAATCGCACCCGCCGTCGCCGTTCGCCACTCTAGGGAATCCTCGCATCAGCGTCCCGTCGTCTCGGCACTCTAGCACCCAAAAGCCCGGGGTGCAGTCTTCGTCGTCGTCCTCGTCGTAGTCTGAGCTGTAGCATGCCGATTTCAAGTCCGCGCAACAAGGATTACTTCCCCCAGCCATATAGTTCATGACGCCAGCCCGCGTGTTACCGTCGTACACTTCAGGATCTGCACATGCGGCCTGGATGGCCGAGTCGGAGCTCCAATCGATGGCGTTCATCTTTGCTTCGGCTCCAAGGAATCCATCGCATGTGTAGCCCGGGTAATTGGATGGGGCACCTCCATTGTACTGGCTCGGATTGAGGCAGAACTTGCTTCTATCGTAGCATTCTGCAACTTGTACGACGCCGCACGACGTCGACTGGCACGGCGTGCCGTTGAACGCGCCGTAGAGGTCCACGTCGTCGTCCGCGCACCAGCCGAGGTCCTGGTCGAAGGCTGAGGCGCCGTAGAACATCCAGAACATAGTCGTGACGCTGTCGATCGCCCAGTCACCGATGTCTTGATTAAACGCCAAGGCGCCGCCGAACACCCCGTACATCGATATGACGCCGGAGGTGTCCCACGCGCCGATGTCCCTGTTAAAGGACAAGGCTTCGATGAAAATCCCCTCCATCGTTGTGACCCCAGAGGTGTCCCACGCGCCGATGTCCTCGTTGAAGGACGCCGCGGCCGTGTTGCAGTAACCATTTCCTGAGTGGTCGGTTGAGGCCCCGCAAAACAAATACGACATGTCCGTCACCCCCCCAGTCGCCCACGTCGAGATATGACCGTACATCGCCTCGGCAGACGTGGCGTCTGAGAGCCACGCCGCGACGGCCGTTCTAATGTTGCTGTCGGTCATCACGTAGCCCGAGAGCACGCGCCGCTGCTCAAGGCTTTGGACTGACGAGCTCGGAGACTCGTTGGTCTTGATCTTGGAACTCTTTGTAATGGCGTAGTCGCTGCTGCCGCCCGAGAGCACGCGTCGCTGCTCAAGGCTTTGGACTGACGAGCTCGGAGACTCATTGGTCTTGATCTTGGAACTCTTCATAATGGTGTAGTCGCTGCCGCGGACCGAAGTCGCTGCCGCCGCCACGAGGGCGATCTCTGGCGAAATAAGCAGGTAGGCGGCGCCGTACGAGCGCCAGGCCGCGCCCTTCGCCGCGCTACTGCACCGCGGAATAACCCTTCCGAACACGAAGAGTCCCAAAACAAGTTCTAGCAAAATCGCAAGAAACTGGAAGAGCCACCAGGAAGCCCGCCCTTCTTCTTCGTCGACGCCGCCCTTGGTCGCGTCCGGGGCCGCCAACATCAATTCGGCGGACACGTGGTTTTGGTAGAGCTGGAGCCGCGCCATCGTCGCGGCGACGCTCGTCGCCAAGCCCTTGGAGGCAGCGCGGTCGAGGCCGTTCTCGCCGGCCGGCGCACTCGTGCTGGCGCTTTTGTCGGACTTGCTGCCGTCGTACATGGTCATGGCCTCGGAGAAGCCAGCGAAATTCTCCCCGAGCCGGGAGCCGCTCAGGGAGCCGCCCTCGGGGCAGCCCTTCCAAGGTTTCAGGCAGCTGCTCAGAATGGAGCCGCGCGCGGGGGCCCGGAGCGGCAGCGCGCTGGTCAAGAAGAACAGCCCAAGGGCAGCTCTCACAAGGGCGCGCAGCATTTTCAATGTCCTCGTCCGTGTCCTTCTTCTTAGTATCCTTGTGATCCTTGTATTTTGACACTCGCGCTATCTCGAATCCGCAATCGCGGCGCAGCAGTCGTGCGAAGTCGACAGTAGCTTTCTTCTAGATATTATCTTTCTTCTAGATATTATCCTCAGCCTAGTGCCTTACAGGACGCAAGCTAATCTGGCACGACGGCTCGTCGAGGAGGGAGGGAGGGACGACGGCGTACGCGATAGTGCTTAGCTCGCGACGCGCCACCCGTGGCAGTTCGCTTTCCGCTGCACGCACCTCTGCGTTGACCACCAGCACACCTGCCGCCCCAGGAGCACGCCCCCATCAAGGATGGCCGACGCCTACGCCAAAGTCAAGAGGGGCGGCCTGAAGCTCAAGGGCGGCATGAAGAAGAAGCGCAAGCGCGAGCGCGCGCCGAAGGCACCGGAGGCCGCCGCGCCCGCCGCAACACCCCAAGAGGACGACGAGGACGATTTTGTCGTCGCGGCGGGCTCGGGCCGCATCTCGTCGTCGGGCACGGCCGTGCGCGGCCACGACGGCACGCGGTTCATGGCGGAGCTGCGGGCCGGCGACGCCGTCGTCATCACGCACCCGACGACGCTGACCGAGGAAACGCGGATTGTGAAGATGGTCCTTTCGGACGTGAGCATCGCCATCTCGTCGGCCTTCTCGTCGGATTTGGTGTCGACGACGGCCTTCCGCTACGTCGCGGCGCCGCGCGTCGAGCAGTCCGCGGCGGATAAGGAGCGGGACGCGGCTCAACGACGCGTGCTCCGCGAGGACGGCGCCGTCGGCGACTACGCGGGCGGCGGCGGCACGACGCTGGTCTACCGCACGCGCAAGAAGGGCGCCGTCGGCGGGTCCAACGGCTGGAAGATTGTGACCGAGAAGCTCGCCGAACCCAAAACGCGGACGGAGCTGCTCGAGATGCGCTCCAAGTACAAGAGCGACCGGCACTGCGGCTAAGTATGTTCTCTCTGTCCTTCCGTTGCTCTATTCCGTTGCGTGTTACAACGGCGACGCGGGCCGCGGCACGCCCGACCGATGCCGACTCCGAGTGGAAGGCTTAGCTTCTGACAGGCGCAGCGCTCATTACGGCGTGGCGATGGACGCCATCGGGGCGGCGACTGCTCGACGGCGTCTGGCATGTACGGGCCACCGCTCTCGAGTCCGAGTGGAAGGCTTAGCTTCTGACACGCGCAGCGCTCATTAAGGCGTGGCGATGGACGCCGTCGGGGCGGCGACCGCTCTCGAGAGTACTAGTAGCATGAGAGTAGTACTAGAAAATAAGTTAGGAGCTCGAGCTCGAGCTCGACGACGACGACGGCGACCGGTTGTCCGACCGGCGCCGGCGCGGCGGCGACCGCGACCGCCTCGGCGGCGACCGCGAGCGCCGCGGCGGCGACCGGGACCGCCGCAACGGCGACCGCGAGCGGCCGTAGCGCCGCGGCGGCGAGCGCGACCGGCGGCGCGGCGGCGAGCGCGAGCGGTAGCGCCGCGGCGGGGACCGTCGCGGCGGCGACCGCGAGCGTCGCAGCGGCGACCGGGACCGGCGCGGCGGCGACCGGCGCGGCGGCGACCGCGACCGCGACCGCGACGACGGGCGGCGCCGCGGCGGGCTGTCGTCGCTGTAGCGGCGCCGCGGCGGCGACCGCGACCGCGACCGCGAACGGCGCGCGTCGCGGCCAAAGGAGTCGCTCCGCCGCGGCGGGTAGTAGCGCGTCGGCGGCTCCGGCGACCGCGCGCGCGGCATGGGCGGCGGCGAGGGCGCACGTTTGTGTTTCTTGTCCTTCTTTTTGGCGTCCTTCTTCTTCTTTTTTTTCTTGGACGACTTCTTTTCCTTCTTTTCCTTTTTCTCCTTTTTCTTGCGCTTCTTGGCTGCTTTTTTTTCAGCTAAAGCTAAGTCGCGCGCGTCTCGGTCATTGCCCGTCTCTTTGACACCACAAGCTTCGATGCGGACGCGCTGCGCCGCCGCCGGCGCGTCTTTCAGATACGTGTCGACCTTTTCAATCGCACGTACCACTTCCATGCCGCTCTTCACTTCCCCGAAGACGACGTGCTTGCTATCGAGGTGCGGCGCCGGCCCGCAGGTGATGAAGAACTGGCTCCCGTTCGTGTTCGGCCCGGCGTTCGCCATGCTCAGGAGCCCCGCCCTGGTATGCTTGAAGTGGAAGGCCTCGTCCTCAAACTTGCCCCCATATATAGATTCGCCGCCCGTGCCGTTGTGCTCGCTGAAGTCGCCTGCGCATGGACCCTCGTGTGATCATGAAGGCGACGTCGAAGTCGTGTCCGTCTGCCCGATGGCGTGGAGACCACCCCCGACGCCATCGCCGCGACACCCCTCGCGTTGCCCGCGCGTCTCATGAAATGAAGGCGCAATCGCCGCGAGACGCTGCGTCGCACCGCCTTGCACCATGAAGCCCGGGATCACGCGGTGGAACGTCGAGTGCCGGTAGTGGAGCGGTTTTTTTGTGGTCTTGCCGATGCCCTTCTCGCCGGTGCAGAGCATCAAGAAGTTCTGCGTGGTGCGCGGCGCCTGGCCGTCGTAGAGCGCGAAGGTGATGCGCCCCTCGGGCCGGCCGCCGATGCTGATATCCATCCAGCAGGTCGAGCGCGCCATTGTTTTTGCTTGCTTGTTATCTTGCTGCCGTTTCGCGCTTTTTTGCTGCGCAAGCGTTCCGAGTTATGCTGCCGTCTCGCGCTGTCCGCGGCGGAAGACGTCGGCGAGCTGGGGCTGCTTAAACTTTGCAGGCAGTCCTCCGTTTGCAACGCCTCGAAGGGAGACCTTCCTCAGCGATCACAAAAGTTGTTTCAACAGGTCCGGCGCGCAGGACAAGCACCAGCGCTCGCGATTTTCGACTCGAGCCCGGCTTGCTTGCTTGCTAGTGTCTTACCGCCGCTAGCCCAACGCGGGTTCCTCAGCAGAAGCCTCGCGATCGCTACGCAGGCGAACCGAACCGTCGGACCGCTGGCAGGAGGCTTCGCCCTCGAGACTTGGGCGCTGCGGCCTCGCATGCGCACAGCGTTGTCTTTGCGCGGCCGAATAGCTCGCAAAGCCAAGTTACGCGCTCCCAGGGCGGCTCGACACCGCGCCATTTTACGCGTGCGTCAGCGCAAGCGCTGAGCCGCCGCGAAAACAGCCCCAGCACAATAACCACAACTGCACCAAAATAACAGGATGAGCTCATTCGGCGGTGCGCCGCCGCCTACACGCGCCCACAGCCCGCCGCGCAACGGCACGACGACGCCCACACCAAGAAGCCCTGCTGCGAAGCGCTACAAGAGCGACGGCGTCGGCGACGGCCCCGCGCCGCCGCGCGTCCGGACGCCGACGCGGTCGCCGCGGCGCTCGAGCCAGGGGTCGCCGGCGCCGGGCCGCTCGCCCTCGGACCGCTTCATCCCCAACCGGACGAGCATGGACTTCGACGAGGCCAATCATGCATTAAGTGTGGTCGCGTCACCCCAACGAAAGAAGGGCGACGACCCGGCGGCGAACGCCCGGCCCGTCGAGGTGGAGTTTCGGCGGGCCATGCGGTCCGCGCTGCTGCCGCGGTCGTCCGGCGGCGGTCGCCGGAGCTCCGGCGGCGCCGACTCGCCGCGAAGCCCCCCTCACTCCGCCTCAAAAATATTCAGATTCGGCGCCGAGGTGCAGAACCGGCCCGACCGCTTCCGATCCGCGCTGGAAGTCATCGCGGACCCGCGCCAGGAGCCCGGCAACGACGCGCGGACGGCGGCTCTGGCGCGGCCCGTGCCCACCAAACCCTCTCGTATCCTCGACGCGCCGGACATCGTCGACGACTACTACCTCAATTTGTTGAGCTGGTCGTCGTCCAACGTGCTGGCCGTGGCCCTCGCGAACAACGTCTACCTTTGGAACGCGGCGACGAACGAAGTGTCGGAATTGTTACAGTTAGAACAGGGCGACTGCGTCACGTCCGTGAGCTGGGCGCCGGGCGGGTCCCACCTGTGCGTGGGCACGGACAGCGCGGCGGTCCAGCTCTGGGACGCGTCGCGCATGGCGCTGGTCCGGTCGATGCGGGGCCACACGGCGCGCGTCGGGAGCCTGGCGTGGAATCCCGTGCGTTTTTGCGGCGTCCCCTTTTTTCCTTGCCCTTCGCGGCGATGGCGTCGACGCGACGTCGACCGACGCGGCGCCGGCCCCGGGGGCGCGGCTGCCCGAGATTACGCCATCGACGCGCCGCCGACGCGACGTCACACAGGTCTCGCGCTGCGTCAACAGCGGTTCTAGAGACGCTCTGGTCTTACAGCACGACGCGCGGGCGAGGCAACATCGGACGGCCACCCTAGTCGGCCACCAGCAGGAGGTCTGCGGCCTGTCGTGGTCCGCCGACGGCGCGACGCTCGCGTCAGGAGGCAACGAGAACTATCTATGTCTGTGGGACGCGGCGCGGTCGGGCCAGGCGCAGCCGAGCGAGTGCGCGCCGCGGGCCATCATGCGCCAGCACCAGGCCGCCGTCAAGGCGCTGAGCTGGTGCCCCATGCACCGCAACTTACTAGCTTCGGGCGGCGGGACTGCTGATAGGACGATAAAATTCTGGAACGCGCATACCGGTGCTATGTTACATTCCGTCGACACGGGCTCTCAAGTCTGCGCCTTGTTATGGAGCCGGCACCACAAGGAAATCGTGTCGTCGCACGGCTTTTCCCAGAATCAATTATGCTTGTGGCGCTACCCGTCGATGACGAAGCTCTGCGAGCTGACCGGGCATACGGCTAGAGTGTTGCATTTAGCCCAGTCGCCGGACGGCGAGACGGTGGTGTCCGCGGCGGCGGACGAGACGTTGAGATTTTGGTCCATCTTCGGCGGCGGGCCGACGTCGGCGGCGCGGCGCAAGGGCCGGATGCGGGACATGCGCTTGTCGTCGGTTGGGGGGGAGATGTCGATCCGGTAAGATTCGCGTGTATTTTTGTTTGTGGGGTCGCTTCAAATGTGTCTGGTGTCTAGCGTTCATAGACTTTTGGACTTTTCCGTTACAACATTACCTAGCAGCTATCGTCGTGGTACATCCAGCCCTCCTGCGGCTTGCCCGGCGCGGACGCGGCGTGCACCGCGTTGTCCTGCGGGATGCCCTTCGTCTTCGCGGACGAGAGCATCGAGAGGATGGATAAGGAGAGCTGCGCCACGGTGATCGTCGGCCGCCAGCCGTTGCCTAGGAGGTTCAGGCAGATGTCACCGTTCGTGTAGACGTGCGGGTGCCGCGGCGTCGGCTCCAGGAAATAACAACTCGGCGGGCTCGTCGGGTAGTCCGCGGGGAAACTCACGCGCAGCTTGTACTTTTCGCCAGCGAAAATAGTACCTTCCGCGCCCGTCATCGTCACGATCCAGACGTTCAAGTTCTTGCCGACGCTCACCTTGCAGCCGTCGGGCGGATTTTCGACGAAGTCGGTCAGCTCTCTCGAAATTCGCTGCGCCTGACGCTGGGCCGGGCTCGCGCGTGCCGGCGAGCGTCGCTTCTTCTTCGCTGCTACCTTTTTCTTCGTTGCAGGCGCGGTGTCCTCGTCTCCTCCGTCTTTGCCGAAGCCGAGCAGCCGCAACGTCATGCGCACCGTTTTGCGGATCACGCCAAAGAGGCGGGTCGCGAGGCTCCCGCCCCCACCGCCGTCGAGCAGTCCCGCCTTGGCCTCCGGCGCGAGCGATGTGGCGTTGGCGCCGCCGGAGACGCGTAGCGCCCTCGTGTGCATGGCACGGCGTGCTGGCGCGACGGCGACGGCGGTAGCCAAGATGGTGGCGAGTAGTGCGCCCGAGTGTCGTATGCGCTGCATTCTGTGTCTGGACCTTGGAGTTGAGAGACACGCGGCCGAGTTGCAGGCAAGCGATTGGCGCTCAGTGGTGACAGCTCGCGGCGATTTTTTCGGCGATTTGCTGCGCTGAGTCAAGCCGGGCGTCTGACAGGGGATTTGGCAAGTTGAGGTGAAACTTGGCGTTTTTTGTTGGATTTGACCCGGCGACTCGAGGGTCAAATAAAAAAAAGAGGGTCATGAAAACGACGAATTCATAACACAAGCTTCGGCCAGCGGTAGCAGAGATGAACGCAGAAATCGTGACCGGTATTAATTACCGGAGGCCTTGGTCGTGGGTTCGATCCCCAACGTTACGTAACGTGGATACACATCGGGTGCTTTACTGCCCGGTTACGTTTGCCCAAAAACGACAAACACCATTGCTCAGTCGGTAGAGCGCACGACTCTTACTACGCGTTCATTTTCTTTTTTTTTTTTTTGCCTTTCGTGTATCCTCATATTTTCCACGCTGGCAAATTTTGGGACTCATTGGACAAGGTGGGATCGCGAACGTGACTGTCTCGTCACGAGGGTGATTTTTTGTTTGGAGTGCTTGAACGGCAAGAGTGCAGCCGAGACGCCTCTCCGAAGCGTAGGAATGGCCCGCTAAACGCACGGTCCCTAAAAATGCAAACAAGCCCAGAAAAAGTGCCGGAACCGACACGGCTGCGAGGTCCGAACGGATTTTCGTAACCGAAGGAACTGAGCTACGAAACCGCCATCAGAGCTTCGCCCACGGTGTAGTGTGGTCATTAAATGCGCCCAGTGTCCCCAATGCGCAGCACGCGTCGGGAAGGGCTTGAACCGAGGACGGACCGCGGCCCGCGCCCTCGACAATGCGATCGAAGGTCCGTCTCCCCAGCACCACGGAGAGGTCCAGAGACGCTACAGACGCGTCGCGAGCGCCAAGAAGACTCCGACGGTCGGGTACCATAAAAATTGACAAGCCTCGAGTCTGTCAAAAAGCAGCCTAATTTTGGCAGCACAAATCAAAAGCAGCGCTCGACGAGAAGAGCATTGCTGCCAGCGAACAAAAATGGACCTCGAGGACGCGCCACAAGAGGACCCCGATGCAGGGCTCAGCGTCGGCACGGTCCACGCCGCATTTATCCTAAGCGCCGCCGTCGCCGTGGCGCTAACCTTCGGCAAGGACCTCATCAAAGGCAAGCTCAGCACGAATTCTGACGTGGGCGGCCAGACGCCGCAGTTCAAAGCCTTCCAGCGGACGTACCTGACCGTCTACCTGCTCATGATGGCGGGCGACTGGCTCCAGGGGCCCTACATGTACGCGCTCTACGACGCCTACGGCTTCAAGCACGAGGAGATCGCGGCGCTGTTTGTTGCTGGTTTTTTTTCCGCGCGGACGTCAAATTTCAATCTCGTACGTGTGGAGTAGTCTCCGTCGAGAGAGTGTCGCGGCGATGGCGTGCGGTTGGGGTGCCCCTCGATGACGGTGGCTCACCCGGTCGCATCGCGCGCCGGGAGGAGCAGAAAACTCACAAACGCCAGTTGGCGCCCGCCGGCGCGGCGTCGCGGCCGGGGCGCGCGGGATGCGCTCGGTTGCCGAAGGACCGCACGCACCGGGGCACGCGCCGGCGGGGCTCCGAGAGAGCGGGCGCGAGGCGGAGCGCGCCGAGGCGGGCGCGGCGGGCGCGGCACACACACGCAACACAGAGAACGGCGGTGACAACAAATCGCGGCGACGCGGCGCTGCGCGCGCCGGGCCTCTGCTGAGAGAACAACGAGAGGCCGCGTCGATGATGCGGAGAACACACACGTTGAGTCGCAAAAGCGACACAAAAAACAAGAGAAAAAACAAAACACAGGCTTCGGCTCCTCCATGCTCTTCGGCACGGTCGCCGGCTCGCTCGCCGACACGCTCGGCCGCAAGCGCGGCGCGCTCGCCTACGTCGTCGTCTACGCGGCGTCGTGCGTGACGAAGCACTGGCGCTCCTACGAGGTCCTCATGTTCGGACGAGTCTTAGGCGGCATCGCCACGTCGCTGCTCTTCTCGGTCTTCGACTCGTGGCTCGTGGCCGAGCACGCGAGCCGCGGCTTCGAGCCGGCGTGGCTCTCGACGACGTTTGCGAATGCGCAAGCGGGCAATAGTATCGTCGCGATCCTCTCGGGTGTATTCGGAGAGTGGATCGCGGGCACGACGCCGATGCGCGTGTTGGTGGCGGGAAGTACCGGAGGCGAGGACGCCGCGCCGGACGGCGCGATCATGTGGGGCGGCTACTGCTTACCGTTTGACGCCGCCGCCGTCTTTTTGCTCATCGGCGGCTTCGTGATCATGACGACGTGGAACGAGAACTACGGGGACACGAAGCAGAGTTCGGGCGCGGATGGCCTCCGCGAGTCGCTCACCAAAGGACTTTTACTGTTGGCGAGGGACCGCCGCGTGCTACTCGTGGGCCTGGTCTGCTCGTGCTTCGAGGCGGCCATGTACGCCTTCGTGTTCGAGTGGACGCCGGCGCTGACGGCGGCGAACGCGCCGCGGTGACGCACGCGGCGTCGCGAGAGTGCCTTCAAAGTCGGCTCGACGGCCAATGGCGGGTCGCGGCGATGGCGTACTCGTGGATTATTGGTACTCGAGGACGCATCCGTGCATCCGTCGAGAGTATCGCGGCGATGCCATGCCACGGTGGGGTAGAAGTACTCGCGATGCCATGCCACGCCGCCACCCCGGAACCCAACGACGCGGACGCGGCGCGCCCAGAGAGGCCATCGCGTCGCACCCCGGGAAAGGAAAAAAAAAAAACTCACAGAAATAACAAACACAGGCCGCCGTACGGCGAGATCTTCGCGGCGATGATGCTCTGCTGCGCGGCGGGCACGCGCTTATTCGGCTTCCTCGCGGAGAGCCGGGGCCCGGAGGACTTCGCGCGGCCGCTGTTTGTGGTCGCGTCTCTATTTCTACTGGCGCCCGTCGTCGCGCCGTCGAACTACGTGCTCGCATTAGTAGCCTTCCTGCTCTTCGAGGGCGTCGTGGGCTGCTACTTCCCAGCGCTGGGCACGCTCAAGTCCAAGATTGTCCCGGACGCGCAGCGGTCGACGATCTACAACATCTTCCGCGTGCCACTGAACGTCCTCGTGCTGCTCGTATTACTGTCGAAGCTGCCGACGCAGACCGTGTTTGCGGTGTCGGCGTTACTATTACTGTCGGCGGCCATATTGCAACACATGCTCTTCGCGGCGATGCGCGGCCACGCGGACGTGCTCGACGCGCACGGCGTCGACGCCAAGGACCCGCTCGTGTCGGTGTAGGGTTGCGTCGACGGCGTTTCGCTCGTAATCATCAAGGAACATATACCATAAATCTTACTGGGGCGGAGGACGCGGAACAGATGCGCGGCCACGCGGACGTGCTCGACGCGCACGGCGTCGATGCCAAGGACCCGCTCGTGTCGGTGTAGGGTTGCGTCGACGGCGCATCTCGCTCGTAATCATCAAGGAACATACGAAACTTACTGGGGCGGAGGACGCGGAACAGATGCGCGGCCACGCGGACGTGCTCGACGCGCACGGCGTCGACGCCAAGGACCCGCTCGTGTCGGTGTAGGAGGGGGCTCACGGCGACGGTTTTTTTCGCTCGTAATCATCAAGGAACATAGTACGATATTTTTTCGTCTCCACCCGTCTCACATCCCGTCTCCGATCGCCTCGCCAGAAGAAACACAGAAAATCATTATTGGGGCGGAGAACGACTGTTCCGCGGCAGCGAGCTGCGGCGGCAGAGCGCGGCGAGGTTGTTGAAGGTGTCGTTGCGGATCATGTCTCCCAGGTCCCCCGGAGGAGACGCCGCGTCGCCGTCGGCGGGCGCGACGATCGACCGCCGAGGGCGCTCGGCCGACTCGCGCCGCGTCGCCCTGGCCGTCGAGGCGCGCAGGGATTCGCCGAAGAGCTCTTCGTGCTCCCGCGCGGCCAGGACCTGGGCGGCGCGGGCCCTATCTCGAGATAACAGCCAGGCCCGACTCCCCTCGCGGCACGCGTGAGCCGAAACCTACGGCCCTGCCAAAGATCTTCAGCGTCATCCGCGCGCTGGGCTTCGTGAGCGAGAGTTCCGTGCGGACGACGAAGCGGTGGGTGCACCCGCTGATGCTCAAGTACCTCGGCGCCGAGGGCCTCGACGTGACGAACTGCAACGGCGCGCTCGTCGGCGCCGCGCGCTTCCACCGCCACTACGCGGACATCGTCGAGCCGTGGGTCCGGTGCGCGCGCGTCGAGGCGTGCATCGCGCCGTCGGGCTCGAACCGGCGGAACCACCGCCAGGACCAGGCCGCGCTGACCGTCCTCGCGCACCAGGCCGGCGTCGCCTGCCGCCGCATGCACCTGTCCGTGCACTACCACCACGACGACCCCTCCGACGAGGGCACGCTCGACGGGCGGCCCAAGTCTTCGCGGCGGCCGGCCGGCGGCTAATTATTTATTACTAATTATGAAACCCAGCTCCTAATCGTCCTCAACGCCTCGTCGCGAACCGATGTCCGCGGGACCCCCGCGAGATATGTCAGCAGATATTGGATTTGAGAATTGTCCAGATGATCTACGTAACGGTCGTACTCGGCTTCGATAGAGTTAATATCTACACCCAGGCGCAGAGAGATCAACTCACCGTCACCATCGCTGTCGTGCCGAGTTTCCAGTAACAAGTGAGGCTCAAAATTGAAGCCTGGCACAGCAAACAAAGCCTCTCGACAAGTAAACAAAAACATCTGGTCCGGGTCGCCATCCCCGTCAGCATGGTCGTAATACGGAAATTTCCCAATCGAGACCATGGCTTGGTCCACATCCCGGATCGCGATCAACGTTATCGTGATACCCTCTAGAGCAGCCTCATCTTGCGTTGAAGTTGTATTCATCTTTGCTAGAAAATCTATTAACTTCGGGCATGCTCCCGATCGCTTTATGTGCGACGTAACGTTGGTCAGAGTAAGATCAATGCAGGCGTTGCTGGCCATTTGAAGGTCGCCCTCCCAAATCATCCGTCCACCGTCAGCGATGCGCACGAAGAATGTGAAATCCCTGAATTGGCTCGGACGTAACGGCTGCGATGGTTCCGCCAGTGCGTCCGCAAGGAGGCGGCGCAGCGTCTGCGATCGGACGCGCGAGAGTGCGTCGGATTCCAATGCTTCTTTCACAGACCGTGGCGCTTGCACACCGGCGAGTAGCGACCAGGCGTTGGCCTCGCGCACGTCCTTGCCGCACGCCTTGCTGCAGCACTGGTATTGGCAGAGCGATTTTACGTCCATGAACTCGACGAGTTCTGGGCGCAGCGGTATCCTCGGAGCCTCGGATTGGCGGTGGCGAGTGCTGCGGTCCATTGTGAGCTGCTCAGATGGTGAGTCTTGGCTTGGATCACTTGCGCGGCCGAAACGGGGCCAAGCGATGGAAATAAGGGCTATTTAGGTTCAAATCGCTCGCAGCCAAGCGCGTCGTGCTGTTTGCTGCGCGTATATGAGTAGATGCGGCTACTGCTGTCTCTTCCTAGTGTCTTACTTACGCTAGCGCCGCTGTGTTTTTGGCTTGGGCTGTACGTTTCACAGACAGCCGGCCGAGCGGCAGACGTACTTTTGTGAAGGCCTGCGCGCACGCGCTGGTGTGGAGAACTCACAAATGCCAGCAACAAATGGAATAATAGGACCGAGCCTCGCGAACTTCTGCGTGCAGTACAATTTCCAGGTTATAGCTATTGCGTTGGAAGTGGCGGCGCGCGTCACCCACCAGCAGAGCTGGGTCGCGACGCAGAACATGTCGGTCATATTCGTAGGGTGCATCCTGGGCCAGTTCACGATGGGTTATGCTGGTGATTTGATCGGGCGGAGCCGCGCGCTGTCTCTCACACTTTGTATTGCGGCGGCGGGCGCAATTGGTAGTGCGGCGGCCTCGTGGGGCACGCCAGCGGCGATCTACGGCACGATTGTGGCCTTTAGGTTAGTCATCGGGTATGGCCTGGGCGGCGTGTATCCTCTGAGTGCGACGAAGGCCGCGGAGAGCGACGACGACGATGCAAATTCAATAGGGAGGACGGCCTGGGCCTTTTTCTGGCAAGGGCCGGGGATGTGCGCACCATATGTAGTAGCTATCATTCTGCGCGCTTGTTTGGCGTCGGACGCGCAAGCTTTGCAGTGGCGGCTGTTACTGGGCCTGGGCGCCGCGCCGGCGTTGCTGGCGATGGCCTTTTTGCGGGAGGACGCGCAAGAAGATCACGGGAGGGACGCGGCCGCGGCGGCCGCGGCCGCGAAGGCGCAAATTCAACGCGACGCCAAGACCAAGATTTTTTGGAGGCGCTTCGCGGGCTGCGGCGGGTCCTGGTTTCTGTACGACGTGGCCCTGTACGGCACAACTTTATTGGGTCCAACTATCGTCGAGGACTGCTTCCGCGGGAAAAATAGTATACAGGACACGTCCTGGCAGCAGCTCGTGGGTTTGTCGTTCAACGTCCCCGCCATGCTGTTGAGCGTGGAACTGCTCAACCGCCAACGGATAACAGCTAAAAAACTGCAAATCGCGGGCTTTCTGCTGATGGCCTTCGCCTACGCGCTGTACGGCGTCCTGGACGCGGTACAGGTCAACGCGTGGGTCCTCTTCGCGGCCTACTGCTTCCTGAATTTTACATTATCTTTCGGACCCAACGTGACGACGTTCGTCCTCCCGGCGGCGACGTTCTCTGGCGATACAAAGTCGACGATGAACGGCTTGTGTGCGGCCCTCGGCAAGCTGGGCGCCGTTGTCGGGACGCAGGTGCTGCCTGTGCTCCTTGATCTCGGGCTGAGTTACGTGCTGGGCGCGTGTCTCGTCACGTGCGTCGCGGGCGCGCTGTTGACCCAAGTCTGCGTCGAGGCGAAGGCGTACGAGACCGTGTTGTTGGAGGCGGACGCGGGCGAGGGCGGCGTGGCATAAATGTGTGTTCTGTATTAGTCAGGGGGTTGGGGGTTCTACTCCTTCTTCTCGCAGCACTTCGGGTCGAAGCACCCGTTCACGGCTCTTGTGTAGCTGCCGGATCTCGGTCGCTCGTCGCCGCCGTGGGCGGGGTGGTACAGCTCGCTCCCGATCTTCATCGCGAACGGCAGGAGGGGCACCCACTCGCCCCGCACGACGTCCCAGTTGTTGATAGTCGACCGCGTTTTATTCTCGTCGCGCACTTCTGCCGCGGCGGGACGAGGTACATCACGATCCGGACGATGCCGCCCAACGCTCGAAAGAGCAGGGCGAGGATGATAAAGTATATAAACCAGGTGACAATTTTGCTCCACACCATGATCACGAGGCTGCCTTTTTCTCGACGTCTCCGTCGGCAACGCGCACGTCGGCCGCGGCGTCGGGCCGCGCAAGGCCCTGGCCAAGGAGAACGCGGCGGCGCTCGCGCTCCGAGCCCTCGCGCGCGGCTCGCACTAGGTCGGCCCGCCCCACTGTTATACACATCTCTCCTTTATAACCTAGCGGCTTGTAAGACACTAGCAAGCAAGCAGGCTGCGCCGCGAGCTTAAAAATAGCACCAAGGGAAATACAGAATACTGCTCTCTGATTCACGTATCAAAACGTGCACACGCGCCGCAACCACTGCGATACCTCGCGCCGCAGCACTGCATCCGCAACCACTGCGACAGACAGCACACAATGCGCGTCCTCGCCTGCATCCTGCTCGGCGCCGCGCGAGCCGACGAGATGACCGGCGCCATCTATGTCTCCAGGCACGGCGTCCGCTCGCCCTACCCGCCGGGCGGCACGGGCTGGCCGGCGCACGGCCAGAGCTGGGAGGCCTGGACGAGCGCGCCCGTGAAGCGCGCCGCGGAGTTCGGCATGACGGACCACGCGTTCAAGACGCAGGAGCTCACGGCGCACGGCAAGACCTTGGTGAAGCCCCTCGGCGCGTCCGCGCGCGAGGCCTGGGCCGCCGCCGGGCTCGAGCTCGATTGTGAGAGAGTCAAAACCTACGCGGACGACTCGACGCGGGACGTGCAGACGGCTAAACTCTGGCTCGAGGGCCTCGGCTGCGCTGAGAATCACGTGGACGTGGCCAACGGCAGTTTACCAGAGATGGTCCCGATACTGAGTGATGACTTCGTGCAGCCGAACGGTATCTGTAAGGTGGCGACGGAGGGCCAGGCCCGGGGTAGATTTGGAGGCGACGTGGATGCGCTGACGGCGGCGCACGCGGTTGGTATTGACGAGGTCCAGGCGGCGCTGGAGATGCCGTCGGACGCGGACGCTTGTATAGATCTGCCCGACGACGTCGAGTGCGCTATAGCATCATTTCCTTACCAATACGACGCGATGCCGTGGCACGGCCTGTTTGGGGGGCCCCTCTACTACGCGCAGTACTTCGCCGAGAGCTGGATGTTCGAGTACCTTTCAGGTTTAGACGACTTCGCCAATCATAAGCTCACGCCGGAGGAATTGGTGCGGTTATATGGGTTGCACGTGGCGATCATGGGCTTCGCGTCGAACTATTTCAACAGCCGCGCTTTGGGGAGCGCGCTGCTCGCCTACGTCGCCGTGTCCGCCCGGGAAATAGTGAGGGGCCACCCCGAAAACGTGAGGGCGCTCTTTGCCCACGACACGAACATTTTGTACCTGCGGCACTTGTTGGATCTGGACTGGATCGCCACGGGCTGGCCCATGCACGCCGCTCCCACGGGCGGCGCTTTGGTGTTTGAGGTGCGCGGCCAGGCCGTGCGCACGGTCTTCCGGGCCCAGTCGCCGCAGTCCCAGCACTCGGGCGAGGGCACCGTGGACGAGGCCGTGTTGGTTATTCCGGCGTGCGGCGTGGAGCTGTGCCCCGTCGAGGATTTTGTCAGGGTCGTCGCCGAAGCTGTGGACGCGGACTGCCTACCCGCGGAGCTGCGCGACGCGCTCATCCGCGGCGTCTCGGTCCGCGAGGACGTGTGCACGGGCATGCGCCCGTGGCTCATGGTCCTCGGGGCATTCTTATCTGCCGCGGGCGGGGCGTTCATCGCGATAGCCGCGGAGCGGCGCAAGCGGGCGCCGTCCGCGGCGTCGCTCCTCCAAGCGAGTCGGCGCGCCGACCAGCAGGAGGGCCTCGCGCTCGTCGAGAGCAATCCCCTATCACCAGACGGGGTGTAAACATGTGTGTGAAACTTCCTAGTGCCTTACATTACGCTAGCTAACTCTGCCTCTGGGAGCCAGTCGAGCGAGGGAACGCGCTACGGGCCGTAAATAGACGAAAGCTGTTCATTGTGCAGCGCTTCTGATCGATCCGGACCCAGCCCTACATCGCTGCTTAACGTGTCGGCGCACAGACCATGGACATGCCTCCGCCGCCGCCGCGGGCGCCCCCAGCAGCCAAACCACAACAACCCGAGGACGACCTCTCCTGGGCGGTCACGCCGCCGCCGCCCTTCCACTCCTTGGAACACTTCAAGGACGGATCATTAGCCGGCACGACGACCCTCGACAAAAAAGTAATCACCGTAGGCCGCGACGCGGACGCGGACCTGACGATCCTCCACCCGACAGCTAGTAGAAGGCACGCATCTCTGGTAAATGGAGCGGACCGCCAGCTCTTCCTGGTTGCAAAAGACACGCGCTACGGGACGACGCTCAACGGCCAGACGTGTGCACCCGGTGCAAAGCTCAGACTTGAAAACGGCGCCCAGATCCGCTTCGCGCTGTCGTCGAGAACGTACGTCGTGCGCCTCGCGACGGCCCGGGATCCCTCACAAACGCCGCTCGCCGAGGCCGCGCTACCGACTTCCTTCGGCCGCCGCGAGAAGGTCGCACAGCCGAAGCCGGACAACCACCAAAAACGAAAAGCCGACGGCGACGCCGACGCCGCGCGCCAGGCCCTCGCGGAGCGGCGCGCGAAGCGCAAGGCCGAGATCGACGCGATGACGCGGGACATGGTCTCGTCGACACCATCGTATAATGCGCCCGTCGTCGCCGAAGAGGAACCGGTAGAGGAGGAGGAACCGGAAGAGGAGGCGACCGACGCCGACGCCGTCGCCGCGCTGACGAAGCGCTGGCAGCTGCCGGTGTCTCACGAGGCGCGGTTGCAGCCCGCCTCCAAGGCCGTCTCGGCCATCGCGAGCGACCCGGCGGGCGGCCGCGTCATCGTGGGTTCTCTAGACTACAAGGTGCGGTTATATGATTTTGGTGGCATGGACCGGAGGCATCGGCCGTTCCGGGAAATAGAGCCGGACGAAGGGCATCCCATCGTGGCATTGTCGTACTCGCCGACGGGCGATCGGTTTCTGTGCTGCACCGGGTCGGCGCAACCGAAGATCTTCCAGAGGGACGGCCAGCACCTACTGACGTTCAATAGGGGAGACCCGTACGTGACGGACATGGCGCGGACGACGGGCCACGTGACGATCGTGACGGGCGGCCAGTGGCACCCGCACGAGAAGATGCAGTGCTTGACTTCTGGGATGGATGGGTCTTTGAGAATATGGGATCTCTGTGGAAAGACCGGTCTGAGAGATTTCCTGTTATGTGACCATACGATACGAGTGAGAGACAAAGGAGCGAGAAAAGTAGCCGCCACGGCGTGTTGCTATTCGCCCGACGGCCGAAAAGTCGCGTGCGGCGCCGCCGACGGCTCGGTGCAGATTTGGCAGCTGAAGGGCCGAGCCCACAATTACCTGCGGCCGGACGCGTGTGCGAGAACAGCACACAGACCGTCGACGGACGCTTCGGGAGCGGTCGTTTCTTGTGTCCAGTTCTCGCCCGACGGTCGTTCAATAGCGTCGAGGGCGGACGACGGCTTCATCAGAGTCTGGGACGTGCGCAAATTGTCCAAGTCGCAACCGGTCTGCGAGTTCGCTGGGATAGAGCCGCGCGGGCTGACGGCGAACCTGGCCTGGCGGCCCGACGGCGCCGTGCTGTGTGCCGGCGCCGCAGGTGCTTCTAAGAACGACCCCGGGCGCCTCAGTTTCTTCTCGGTCGGCGGTGATGCCCACGAGGTGCATAGAGATGCGGGCGGCTACCGTCCTTTGGTCTCGTTAGGAGGGTGCGCGAAAGGCGCTGACGTTTGTGTATTATGGCACGAGCGCATAAGACACGTCTTCGTGGGCGGTTCTGATGGATCTGTGAGAGCATTATATGATCCAGCATTGTCGAAGAACGGCGCCTTACTCAGTGTAAAGCGCGACCACGCGCCGCGCAAGTTCTTGACGAGCGACACGTCGCACGTCGACGCTTCGTCAATAGTGAATCCCAATGCTTTGCCGATGTACCGCAACGACGACGCGTTTCGATCTAGAGGCCGCTACGCGAAGACGCGCAACTCGCAGACGCTGTCCAAGAAGCCGGACCCGCCGCTGGCGCAGGGCCAGCAGGGCCGCAACGAGGGCGCGCGCACGACGTTCTGCCAGACGTTCCTCGAGAACGAGCTCGCGCAGGGGCCCGGCAACATCCGCAACGAGGACCCGCGCGAGGCGCTGCTCAAGTACGCGAACGAGGAACCCATATTTAGGACGAATGCGACGTTCTACCGGGATAGTGGAGGCGCGCGGCGCGACCTCGCGCAAGACACGCTCGAGGCGGCCGAATCCAAATTCGTCGAGGACCAGAAGCAGCTCATGGACCGGAACCCATCTCGTGTGATTCGGGACGCACGGAAGAAGCCTGATGGGAAGCAGGGGGGGAGCTAGGACTTTCCTTGTCAATGTCTACTCACACCGGGGCGCGCCCGGCTCTCCGCGTTTAGGAACCCCCGCGCGATAGCTGCGGACACCAAACAATGCTTACAAACTTGAACCGTGACACGCGCGCTATTCACTTCTCTCCTCCTTGACCTCCTCCGCGTCCGCGTCGGGGGCGGCGGGGCCGTCCGCGTCGTAGCGCCGCGAGTACCGCGTGAACCGGGGGATCCAGGCGAAGATGGGCGACGGCGGCACGTTGCCCGGTGATTTCACGGGCGACGCCCTCCGCTGCAGGAACTCCTGGAAGCGGCCCGCGAAGCCGCGGCGCGGCGCGGACGCGGGCGGTGTCGCCGCGGGCGGCGTCGCCGCGGCGTCGGCCGCCGCGGCCTCGACCGACGCCGAAAGCACCGGCGCGGCCGCGGCAGGGTTCGGCGGCGCCTTGCGCACGGGTCGGGGGCGCGTCCGCCGCGCCTTCGGCCGCGCCAGCGGCGCCGGCACCGACGTCGACGTGACGTCGGCCGTGAACTCGGGCAGAGCATCGCCGCGGGCCGGCTCGGTCCAGCTCGCGGCCGTCCCGCTGCGCCGCGCCGCGGCCCGCCGCAGGAGCGACCGCGGCGTGTCGACGACGACGCTCCAGACGTTGCGCAGCGCGTCCGCGAGCGGCGACACGGGCGACCGCCGCACTTCGGGTGCGGGCGGCGGCAGCACCGGCTTCTGAATCGGCGGTGGGCGCACCGGCTTCCCGAGCGGTGCGCGGACGGGCGGCAGGGCGCGCGGCGCGCTCGGCGCGCTTGGCGCGTCGGGCGGCAGCGGCAGCGCGTCGGCCGGCGGGCGCGGCCGTGTGATCACCGGTTTAAGGTTGGGCTCAGCTTGTTTGTGGTCCGCGAGGTCGTCGCCCGCGTCGATCTTGAGACGCACTTTGCGGCTCGCCATGGTGTCAACGGCCGGGCAGCCCAGCCGCGCTGCCCCACGACCGTCGCGTGAGTGCGTTTTGGTACAGCGCTTTTACAAAACTTTGGGAGTCTCCAACTGAACTGTGAGTGCAAAAAAAGTCCCTCTTGGCCGGAGGACTCCCATTTGCACTTGGAAACATCTCCTTTGGTGTCCTCGATGAGTCTGGCTACTAGCGTTTAAGCCCTCTAGCTCTCCGAGGCGCGTTCGTCGTCACACGCGCGCTGCCATTCAAGCGGTGATACGCCTCGTAGTTAGCGTATTTATACGCATTGCTGCGCATTTCACCGCAGGATTGCAGTCTGCGCTAATACAGCAGAGTAGCTCACATTAGATTAGCTGGCCAGATCAAAGCCGCACAAGGCGCTTCGCTCAGCGGTACAGCAGAGTAGCTCACATTAGCTGCCAGGATCAAAGCCTGCCGCACAAGGGCGCCTCGCAATGAAAAAGAGCGACGAAACGGCTTCAGCCAGCTACTGGCGCGAACAGATCCCCTGGTACCCGAGCACCGTCTTCGGCCCGTACCGCCTCCGCGGCTACTCGCGGCGCGAGCTGGTTGCTGATGGAGTTGTGCACGCGGCAGGCTGCGTGCTCGGATTAGCAGCTGCGGCACTCCTCATCCCCCGCGCCATCGCCGTGGCGACGCCCGCGCCGCTCGCGGCCGGCCTCGGTCTCTACGCGCTCTCGCTCGTTTGTATGCTGTTCTGCAGCGCGACGTTCAACATGATGGTCGCGACCTGGAAGAAGTCGACCTGGGAGCTCCAGCTGGCCGACCACCTCGGCATCCTCCTTCTCATAGCTGGCACGTACACGCCGTTCATGCTGCACGCTTGCAGCCCGCGCGTCCTCGCCTTCGTCTGGCTCGTCGGCCTCGTCTCCTTCGCCGCGAAGGCGTCCAAGTCGCCTCTCGACGTCGTCCAGCTCCACGTGCCGTGTTTTCTGGCGATGGGCTGGGCCTGCACGATGACGTGGACGGCGGTGTCACAGACGATAACGCCCTGGGCGATTCGGCGCCTGGTCGTCGGCGGCTGCCTCTACACGGGAGGCCTCGTGCCCTGGGCCTGCAACGGCCTCGAGTTCCACAACGCCATCTGGCACGTCTGCGTGCTGGCGGCGTCGGCCGTCTTCTACTCAGTCGTCTACCACGAGCTCGCGCTGCCGCCGGCGGCGTGTGCCGGGCTCCTGTGAACATACGTCGCGTCGTCGTCGTCCGTCTCCTCCGTCCTGTGAACATTGAAGCTGTGTAAATATAACAAGACAATTACGTAACAACCGCACGAGTGTTCGCCGGCGCGACGGGCAGCGCGCTCGCCTCGGCGACGGCGGCGGCCCAGAGCCGGTCGACCTGGCCGTCGGGGGCGTCGGCAAGCATCGCGGCGTAAGCCGCGCGGCCTGGTGCCAGCAGCGCCTCGACGCCGCAATCCAGGAGGCCGATGGCGTCGAGCGCGTCCGATAAGTCAGGGGCGACGGCGTCGGCGAGGCCCCGAACGCCCTTCGCCCGGTCGCGTGGAGCAGGTGCGGGCGGCGGCTTGGGTGCGGCGGCTTCGAAGAGCACATCGGTCCGCAAGACCAACTTGGTGCCGGCGACGACAGGAGCACCGCTATGCCATAGGTCGTGCTCGAAGAGCACGACGCGGCCGCGGGCCGGCGCGACGGCGGCGAAGCGTTTCGCTTCCGTAGTGTCCTCGTAGAGCGTCGCGCCGCCCTCGAAGTTATCCGCATCGTTGAGATAGAGCAACACAGTAACAAGGGACCGGTGACGACCACAGTCTGTTGGCACTTCGCGGTCAAAATGACTTTCGAAGCGGTCGCCGGGCCGGTAGCGGAGCAGCCTCAAACGCTCGTTGAGGCCAAAGGGTTCGCCTAGGCCGCGCGCCGCCGCCCACGCGGCCACCGCCGCGCCGCCGCCGCCGGCGAGCAGCGATTGCCACAGCCGCTCCGCGAAACCGGGATCGCGCCAGGCGGCCAGTTGGTAGCGGCGCGGGTTCTGTAGTGCCACGGCCGCGCCCGTCTTCGACGCCTCGTTGTCCGCGGCTTGCGTAATGTATTTCAGAGCGGGCGCGCCGCGCGCCACGAGCGCAGCGCAGTCGGCGGCGTCGACGACGCTATCTACATAGACGCACAAGCATTCATTCGTTGGCCGGCCGTCGCGATGAATGCGTGCTGGCAGGCTGACACTGTGGGCGGACTGCATACTCTGCGATTACGCAAGCAGTGATCTCAGGACTGCGTTCGCGTGATCGCATGCAGAAATGCTACCGCTGCGACCTGTTGGCCGCCCTCCAACAGCAAGGTAGGGTGCATACGCAACTCGGCGTCGCTTGCTAGTGTGTCTTACCGCTAGAATCGCTGTGGAAAGATCAGAGCCGAACTCAATTTATCAGGGGGGAACAGAGGGGAAGGTCGAGCCCTGGCTTCAGAGGACCTCTTGGTCGCCCTGATGGATGCGGCACCACTCCGTGAACAGGCGCAGGTACTCCTGGCGGAGCTGGACCGTTCGGCGGCGGAGCACCATCGGGTGCGAGCGCTGCTGGAGCGCGGCGCGCGCCGCGAGGGCCCGGCGGCGGCGGCGCTCCGCGGAGCGGCGCAGGCGCTCCGTGCGCGGCAGCCGGCGGTACGGCGTCTCCGGCTGCATGGCGGGCCCGGCGGGCCGTGGCCGCAACGTCGGCCCCGTCGTGCGCGGCGGCGGCGTCTGCGGAGCTTCCTCTGCGGCCGGTGGCTCGGCGCGCGGGCGGCGGCGCGGCGGCGGCGGCGGCGGTGGCGGTTCGGTCTCCTCCTCCTCGGGCGGGGCAAAGGGCGGCGGCGCGTCGTCGTCCTCCTCGGGCGGCGCGAACGGGGCCGGCGCCTCCTCCTCTTCGACCGGAGCGGGCGGCGCCGGCGGCGCCTCGTCTTCTTCGACGGGCGCCGGCCGGCGCGGCGCCTTGCGCTTCGCGCGCTTTCTGGGCGTGGGCGGCGGCGCGGTGTAGATCTCCGGCGGCGGGCGGCGCGGCCGCGGCGGAGGTCGCGCCGCGTCTTCGACCGGCTGCGCGCGGGGCCGGCGGCGCGGCGTTTTCGGCGCCGGCGGTGCCTCCTCTTGAACCGGCGCGGGCGGCCGGCGGCGCGGCGGCGGCGGCGGCGCCTCCTCCTCTTCCACCGGTGGGGCGAAGGGCGGCGCCTCCTCGTCGTCCTCGACCGGTGGGGCGAAGGGCGGCGCCTCGTCGTCCTCGACGACCGGCGCCGGGCGGCGCCGCGGCGCCGGCTTGTCGGGCGTCACGCGCCGCGCGCGCGGCGGCTTGCGCGGCGTCGCCGGCTTCTTCGTCACGCGGCGCGCGTACTCATCGGCGACGACGCGCGCAAAGTCCGCGGACGTGTACGCGGGCTGCGAGTTGCGGGAGCGGCGGCGTGGCGGCCCCGCCGGCGCCGGGGCCTTGCGCTTGGAGCGCTTTTTGGGCGTCGGCGCGGGCGGCGGCACGTAGAGCTCCGGCGGCGGGCGGCGCGGCCGCCGGGGCTTCGTCGCCGGCGTGACGACGGCCGGCGCCTGCGGCGTTGGGACGTCGTCGTCGTCGTCGTCGGCCGCGGGCGGCATGGGCGCGTCCTCGTCCTGCGTGACGGGTTCGGCCGGCGGAAACCAGCTCGGCGCGGCCGGCGGCGGCGCCGCGTCGTCCTGCGAGACCGGCGTGACGGGCGGCGGCCCGCGCCCGACGAGCTCGACCGGGTCCGCCCGCTGGTCGAGCGTCACGGTGCGCTCGCCGAGGCCTTGGGGCTGCTCCGGCAGCGGCGCGCCCGTCTCCATCGTCACGGCGCGCGGCCCGAGGCCCGCGTTCTCCTTGCCCGTGGCCGGCGCCAGTAATGCCTCAGGCACGACCTCCTCCTCTTCAATCTCTTCGACGACCTCGCCGCGCAGCAGCGCCCGCATCTCATCCCCACAGGGGCCCGGGTCCGGCTCGTTCTTCTCCTTCTCGAGCCAGGCCTCGTCCCACGCGCCCTCGACCAGCACCTTGCGCACGCGCCACGACTCCTCGTCCGGCAGGCGCTTCTTCGCGAGCTCTGCCGGCGTCCCCTGCTTGCTCGCATCATCTAAAATCCGCGCCGACGCCGCGCGCGCCGTCGCCTCCGGATCCGCGCCCGCGTCGAGCATCTCGTCCTCGATCTGCCGGCCCGTCTCGACGACCAGGGACATGACCGTCACCGGCCCCGCGTAGGCCGCCGCCACGTGCACGGGCATGCGGTCGAAGGCGTGCTCTCGGGCTTGCAGGTCCCCGCCGTGGCGGATGAGGCAGGCCACGGCGGCGAAGTTGTCGTACTCCGCCGCGAGATGGAGCGGCGTGAGCCCCGACGGCGTCGCGAGGTTCGGGTCCGCGTTCAGGCCGTCTTCTTCATCGAGTAATAACTCGAGCACCGGCGCGAGCTTCGGTCGCACGGAGCAGGAACAGACCAAAGAGAAGACGTCGGCGCCTAAGCGCGCGGCGTCGCGCGGCGGCTGGGGCTCAATTCCTAGACGACGCCACTCGCCGATGAGCCGGGCGGCTCGCGTCTCGACGTCGTCGGGGCAGCGGTCCACCAAAGCTCTCAATCTCGCGCCGGGCGGCGCGTCCTTGCTCACCTTGGCTTTCTTGCCGCCGTGGCGCTGGCGCTCGAGGATGGGATCTAATGCTTGGCGTTGGCGGTACATGGCCATGGTTTTTTAGCGCTCGGGGGCGCTCCGCGCTGGCCGCGGTGGCGTTTGGCGCGCTAAGTGCTCACCGCACTTCTTTTTGTTACGCGGCGAGGGCGGACCGGAGACACGCGCGGCGGCTCAGGGCAGTTCTTGTGGTCCTTGAGAACGCGGCGCGCTGGTCCCCGTGTTTGTTGGAGCCTCAGGCGCGTCGCTGCAGCCCTGTCTTTTTTGGCGCTCCGTGAAGCGCTAAGAGAGCCAAATCGGGTTCGGGGGCGCAGGCCTGCTCAGAGCGACACGCACGCTTGGGGGACACCCGACATTCAAATCTAGTTGACCAGTGCCGCCTGCGCTAGCGAAAGGAAGCAAAACCGCCGCCGCGCCCCGCGCGGGACGCGCTCTCTCTGTCAATCTGCGAGGATCTCGCCGAGGTGCGTCGACGGCGCACCCGGCGACGTTCCAGCTTCGAGGAGGGCGCACTTCCCGACGCCATCGACGCGAAGCAACGCCATCGACGCGTCGGCCTCACGAGAATGAATCATTGAGTCACTGACACAAGAAATTACGTCTATACTACAACCACCATCCAGCTCAGCCACGAGTAGAAGAGGAAGACCGGGTACACCGCGAGCGCCCGTCTTTTGGAAGGGATGACCTCCTCGACGAACAGCACGGACGCGCGCGTCGCCCAGACCAGCGCCACCGCCGCCGTTACGAAACGCACGAGCCGCGACACGCCGACCATGGTCTCGACGACGCCTATGGTTAAGCGAGCGGCACAGACGGGAAACGCGCTGTAGCCTAATACACACACGGATTGTGGTAAGGACAGCTTCCCTCCCAACAGCTGGGCGTTCACGCTGACTACTATAGCGCCGACCCAGAGCACTACGAAGACCAAAGAAAAGACGACCGCAGCATTCGCATAACTCGACCCCGTCGCGAGCGACGTCGCGAGCGTCAGCGAGACTACCAAAGGCCCCCACAAATCCCAGTCCCTCAGATGCTCGATGGTCTCGGACCCCGACGTGTAGGGCATGAGCACGAGCAGGAGCTTGCCGCCCACATGGCTCGCGTCCCTCCAGAGCGTCTCGCCGACGGTTTCATCTAATGTGCCACTCGTAAAAGCTACGGGCGGCACGCCGTCGGACCGCGGCAGCTCGCTGCCGAAGCCGCCGCTCATGGACTGTTTTGGCCTCGTTTGTGTAGGGGGGTCGTCGAACGCGTTGTCGTCATTACTAAAGAAGGCTTCCGCCGCTTCGAGCTCGCCGACGGCGGACTTGATGGAGGGGTCCTCGAAGGCGCTCATCGTTTCGTCGCGAGCGCTGCGGATTTTTTTGTGCTTTTTTTTTGCCTGCTGGGCTCTCCTTGGTGAGATGTCCTATGCTGCAGGAGTTTGTGCTACGCTGGCGCAGCTCTCGCTGGGATGCTGCCTGTCACAGCGTGTGCCTGTGTCGTCCTCGCAATGCCTGCCTTGGGCCTCGAGCAGCCGACGCCTCTCGATGGAGGCTCGGTGGGGGTCACCAGTCCTTGCGATTCTTGCTCGCGTGCGCACGGGATACGTCGCTAGATGCGAAGACCCAGCGGAGTCCTCTCGCGCGGGCTAGCGTACATAATCACACTAGTAAGTCGACGCACTGCAACCCCTTGAGCGCTGCTTGAGCGACGTGCCTCGACGTTTGCTACGCGTCGGAGGCCGTTGAAGAGTCCAGTGAGTGAGTGCACTGCCGCGTGACGCCGGCTCGCCAAGCGCACTCGTAGCGCAAACAAGCAGAGCGATGGCACGCCGGGTTGTGCTGCTCGCGGCCGGCGCCGTGGCGTTCTCGCCAAGCGCGCCGCTGGCGCAACCCAGATTAAGGCTAAGCGCCACGGCGACCGACGTCGAGACGGACAAGGAGGAGTCCTGCGTCTCCTTCACCGTGCCGGTCCCGGCCTCGCTCACGAAGGCCGCGTACAAAACAGCCGCCGGCGAGATGGCGCAAACCAGAAAAATTCCGGGCTGGCGCCAGAAGGACTGGAAGAAGGTGCCCATTGGGGTGGTTGCTGGCGCGGTCGGTGCCCAGACTCTGAAGAGCTTGGCCATCGAGAAGCTCACGGAGACGGAAGTACATAGCGCGATCACGGGACTCGGTGTCGAAGTCGTCGGCCAGGCCCAGCTCGTCGGCGACGTCGAGGAGATCATGCAGACGTTCACGCCGGGCGAGCCGTGGGACATGCGCGTGAAGATCGACATTTGGCCGGAGGCCGTCTGGTCGCAGCCCTGGGACGACGGGACGTTGGCCGTTGAAGTGGAAAGAGAAGCCAAGGACCAGTCGACGCGAGACAAGGCCCTGGAGGCCCTTCGAGAGAGGTATTGTGATATTGAGGACGCGCCTGCCGACCACGTCGCGCGGGAAGGTGATGTTGCGATGGTCGACATCGATGGGTATTTGAGAGATGAAAACGGGAACCGAGCGGGCGAGTTACCGATCCAGGGCGCCGTCGGCGGGGACGACCTGGAGTTGATCCTCGAGCCGGGCAAGTTCTTACCTGGCGTGGTGGAAGCTTTGATCGGCAAGAAGGCCGGCGAAAAAGTCACGGTGCCCGTGGACTTCCCGGAATCGCGACAGTATCGCGAGGAGCAGCCGTTGGCCGGCGTCAAGGCTGGCTTCGACGTCACGATTAATGCCGTACGGTTACGGTCCTTGCCGGAACTCAATGACGCGTTCGCGGGGAAGATCCGACCTGGGTTGACATTGGATGAACTCAAACAGGAGGTCGAGAACACGGTCGGCGGCCAGGAGGAGGACAAGACCACGGATACGGTTCATAAGGAGCTCGAGAAGGCTTTAGCTGAAAGGTTGACGTCTCAACTACCGGAAGCTCTCGTAGTAGAGTCGGCCAAGCAGCGCTTCGCCGTCATGCTCGCGGAGATGCGCAACAGTGGGACGGACGACGCGGCCCTGAAGCAGATGATCTCGCCCGAGGGCTTCCAGAAGTACCTGAAGGTCGTGCGGCCCAAGGTCGTTACTGAGTTACGAGGAAAATTAGCCGTCGAGTCCATCGGCCGCTCCATCGGTGTCCAAGCCGACGAGCAGCAGGTCGAGGAGCAGATGGAGCTCGTGAAGCGCCAGTACGAGCAGCAGGAGGCCGATAGTGGGGCCGCGTTCAACGAGGAGAAGGCGCGCGAGAAGGTCACCTACGAACTACAGCGAGTGGCCGTGCTCGACAAGGTCCGAGATCAGGCGAAGATCACCTACGTCGACGCGTTGTCGCCGGAGGAGACGGCGCGGAAGATGGGCATCGACGTCGACAACCTGCCGCCCGAGGTGCAGCTCGGCTAGGCTCTTTGTTTCCCTCCCCTGGTTTAAAGGAACGCTAGTTTACATGGTGGGGGGAGCGGAAGTCTACCCGGTCAACTTCGCGTGCGGGGGGGGGTGAGCTTACCAGACGCGGCGCCTTGCGTCCGGTCGGGCTTGGAGAACCTAGAGCGTGGAGCACGAAGGAATCTCCGTCCCGGGATCAACACCACCGTAGGGAGGATTAAAGTCTTCGGGGACCAGACCCTCGCCGGAGCAGCAGGCGCACTTGAGCGCTGTAGAAGAGACCTGTGCACAATCAACCAGTGAGTCCGTGATTTAGCAGCGGCAGAGACGCGCCGTGACAGTTTTTGATTTATGCACTGGTAGAGACCGGCGGGTCGACGGTATCGTCCGCCCATATGATTTGAATACAGAGTCCGGGTTCGCCGTGGCTGCTTTCGCAGGCTTCACCCAACTCGTTGCAATCCGCATTGTAGTTCAACGGCTCAAAGGCCGACACAATCTCGCACTCGTCGCGTTGCGTGCCGCCGAAGCCGTAGGCGGTGCCGAGGCAGAGGGCGAGAATGAGGGCGCGAGCCATATTTTCGGGTTGCCTGCGACCGGGATGAGGGTTTGACCACGCGTCCTGTCCGGCAACACGCCTCTGTTGTCGTGCCCCCCTCAGGCCCCTCTCCAACCACTGAACGGCGCGCGAACGCGCTGAATTGTATCGTGGCCGATCGCGGTCGACCCGAAGATAGATAGGAGGGTTTTCTATGTTTTGTCAGTACTCTGAAACTCTTGCGTTTGCGTGTTTTGGGCACTACACTCGTCGAGCAAAGCTGTGAAATGCTATTAACGTGCGGGCTTTTAACGCGACGTACTTCCCCCCCCCCCCCCCCAATACCGCTCTGCGGCCAATAGGACGGATGCATGCAGGCCAGGAGGCGGGCGCGTCGTCGGGCGCCCGGACTCGCGCGCGCGAAGGTAAACGAAAACACGACTTACTCACCACCGCCGGTACACGCGCAGCGGCGCGCTCCCCCAGGACGCGTCCACGCGGACCTCGCCGACTTTCGTGAAGGGGGGCCGGTCGTCGAGGTGCGCGCTGAAGTCGACGACCGTCGCGTCCGAGTCGAGGCTCGCCTCGAGGACCTCGGCGTAGGCGTCGCAGAGCTCGGGGCCCCAGCACGACGACGCGACGATTACCAAAGTGGCGCCCCGCACGATGCGGCCGATGTCCGGGTCTCTGACATCTAACACGCGAAACGCGCCCGCGTCGACCCCGATTTCAGAATGAGTGATGGCGAGGGACCGCGCGACGGCCACGGCCGGCTCCATCACGTCGACGCCTTTGACGTCGAAGCCCAGCGCCGCCGCGTAAAAACAAAGCGTGCCGGTCGAGGACCCCAATACCACGCACGCGCCGCCTTTATTACGCGCGTCCTCCAGGCAGGGCGCCGCTAGTAATGAACAGAAGGCGGCGAACGACGTCGTGCCGAAGGACAGCGCCTCGCGCTCGTGCCTTCCTTCACCGCCGCCCGTCGCCCCCGTCAGCCGGAGCTGCTCAAAAAATAAAGCGCGCTGGAACGTCCACGACCGCTCCAAAACGCGGTGCTGCTCGATCAACGCACCCAGCGCCTCGAGCGCCGCCGCCCGCGCCGGCAGCCGCGCGGCGAGCCACGCGGCGCAGCGCGCGTCGCGCGCCGCGCGGCGCCGCCGCGCCGCCGCGACGTCCACGAGCTCGAGCGGCGCGAGGCGCCGCTCCAGCTGCGCCGTCGTCCGCCGCAGCCGCCGGTACGCGCGGCTCCGCTCGCCCGTCATGATTGTGTCGAGTTCCTTCCTCACATCAAGCCGCGCGTCGAGCGCCGCCCGCGCGACGACCTTGCAGCGCGCGCGGACGTTGCAGAACGGGTCTTCGCTCGCGCGCCGCGCCGTCGCCGCGACGCCCGACAGCCGGTCCAGGAGCCGCTCCAAGGGCCGCAGCGCCTGTTCACCTTTCGGCGCCGGCGGCCGCGGCTTCGGCGGCGGCGCGGCGGCCTTCGCGGCCTCCTTCTTATATTCGAACGCCATGCGCACGCGTGCCTGGCGTCGCCGCTTGATGCTCATGACGACGGCGACCATCCGCGCCGGATCGTCGGCCGCGCCTTTCAGGATGGCGAGCTCCTCCGGTGCCGTCTGGGCAGCTTTTCTGGCCCTCGTGTCGGGCTCGGGGGCGACCTTGGGCTCGGCCTCCAGAGACGGTTCGGGCTCCATGAGGCGGCAGGAGGGCGGCCGAAGGAATTGCCAAAGCTTGCGAAAAGGCTGCCTCTGCGACGATAGATGCCCGGGGATTTCAAAAGCTTGCAAAAAGGGCTGCCCCGGCTGCTATTGTTCGCGCTACGGCCGCGGCGAGGCGAAAAGCTCGAGGATGCTAGTGTCTTACAGGCCGCTAGCTAGCTATTCGCAAAGCCGACAAAAAAGGGGCTAGCCGTGAAAGCCGCGGCTGTACGGCGGTTCGAATATAATACGTGCTTGTACTTGTGCTACGCACAGCCTTGTACAAAAGCACGCTGCGCAAGAGCCAGCGAAAGCACCTGCACAGCTCCACAGCCTCCACTGGCGCTCGCGGGTCTCCGGCGAGATAGCAAAAAGTCGCATCAAACGCAATGGCCTCCTTCGCCGCCGCCTTCGCCGACGTCGCGCCAATCGAGCAGGACGACGGCCCGGCGCCCGTCTGCGCGATCGCGTACGCGCCGGAGTACGCGCGACTGATGGGCTTCTTCCGAGCTATTCTAGAAAGTAACGAGCGGAGCCCGAGGGTGCTGGAATTAACAGCTGCTTTAGCGGAGCACAATGCCGCCCACTATACCGTGTGGCACGTCCGCCGAGAATGCTTGTGGGCGCTGGCTTCGAATGATGCCAGCATCCTTACGGACGAGTTGCGCTACTCCGCGGAAGTAGCCAGAGAGAACCCGAAAAATTATCAGATCTGGTACCACCGACGCGCATTGGTGGAAAAGATCGGGCAGGCCGCGGCGGCCGACGAGCTCGCATTGATCTCTACCGCGTTGCGAGACGACGCGAAGAACTACCACGCGTGGTCGAACCGCCTCTGGGTCCTCAAGACGTATGGTGGATGGGCCGGCGAGCTCGAATTTTGCACGGCTTTGCTCGATGCGGACGTCTACAACAACTCGGCCTGGAACCACTTGTATCAAGTCAAGGCGCAGCTGGGCTGCGACCCAGTGGAAGAGGTCCGTTCGACGCTGGAACGTTTAAATCATGCGCGCGAGAACGAATCCGCGTGGGTCTATGCGCTGGCCTTCGCGAAGTCTGATGAACGCGCGGCCGCGGCGCTGCTGGCGCACTGCGAAGGCGCTGAGGGCGTCCGATCTCAAATGGCGCTCGTGGAATTACTAAAGACGAGCGACCCGGGGCGCGCCTCTACAATCGCGCGGCGCCTCGCCGAGCTCGACGCGACGCGGGCGAGGTACTGGCGGCGGCGCGCGGAGGGGCTGGGTAATGGCACGTGAGATTTGAGAACCGTGATAGCCGTCGTCGCCTCCTCGGGAGCCAACACCCGGGGCGAACGGCGTATGGCCCACGGTATGGGGGCCCTAGCTCTAAGCAAAGAACGGACTAGGACTAGGTACTTACGGGCGCCGGCGGCAGCGACCCATCGCCCGAGGGCATAAAATAGCCCGCCGCCTCGAGCGTCGACGCGTAGTGGTCCACGAGCCTCTGTAATTCTTGCGCCCGGGCATGCTGCCTAGCAACGACGGCCGGGTCCGGCCCCTTGTTGTCCCGCGCTCGTTCTTTCAATTGCATTTCCATCCTGTCCACTTGACTCCGCAACCTTCGATTACTCTCACGCTGCCGCGTGATCTCTCTTATGAGAGCCATGTTGTTGGTCATCTGGCGCATGTTTTCCGCGGCCCTTTCATCCGCATCTCTCCGATAGTTCTCCTGCAGATCACTCAACATCCGTTTGAGATTGTCCTCGAGCCGCGCGAACTCCTCCTTGACACCTTTATCGACGCCCTCCCCACTATCGGCTTCGACGTACTGCGCGTGCTTCGCATATAACTCCTCCACACCTTTTTTGAGTTTCTCGGGGTCCTGGATGTCGTCCGCGCAGCAATGGAGTTCGGCCTTGAACCTTCTAATCAAAGATTGTTGATCCCCAATGACTCTCCTACCTTTCAAGATGCTTTTCTGGGTCGAATCGATCTTCGTCCGCAGTGTCCCAATCATGTTATCTAACTGGGCATTCGACGCGTGATACTTTTCCAGTTCCCCATCCATATCTTTCACTTTACCCTTCATGGTAGAAATCTCCGCTTCCCGCGGCTCGATCTGCCTTTTGAGCTCTTTTATTTTATAATCCAAGACAAACTTAAATTTCTCCAATTCTTGGTTCTTCTTTTTCAGTTCATAAATCTTCTTCTCCCGGACGCCTATTTGATCATCTCGACTCTTAATAACTTCCTTCTCCTCGGCGATCTCCTTCTCGAGGGCCCGCATCGTCGCCTTCAGGTCCTCGGCCGTCTCGACCCTTTGTTTAATCTCCTCGGCGTGTTCCTCGAGCTGCTGGTTGATGACCGTGAACTTCTTCTTCATGATGCCGTTCTCTCCTTTGTAGCGTAGAGAGGCTTCTCTTTCGTCCGCGAGCTTCGCGTCGTACTTGCCTCTCAAGTTTTGAATCTCGACGTCGATGTCGTCGTCTAATTGAGATCTAGCTTCTAAGTGCTCCTTCCTTAAAGTCTCCCTTTGAGCTTCCAAATTCGCCCGCCTATTCTTATCCTCGGTCAACTTGCGTTCAAAGTCCTGCTGCAGCTCCGAAACATACGCCATATGATTTTCTTGTAAGGTACTCCGACGCTCGTCCCAGCGCTTTCTCGACATTTCCCGCTCTTTCTCGAGCTGGCCGTACCTCTCCACTTCGAGCATGATCTTTTGTTGGTAGGCATTTTCTAGTTCTTGGAGAGCATGTCTATGGGTATCCTCCATGCGCCCGATGCGCTGCTCGCACTCGTCCGCGACCTCCTCTTTTTCTTCCCCGAGCAGTTGGTAACGCATGCGTTCCGCCTCGCGGTCTTGCTGGTACTTCTCGCCCACCTCCTTGAGCTTCTCGGACGAGGACATGTCCTTGAGTCTGAGTTGATACTCGTTGTGGAGCTGTAATTCTTCTAACTTGGACCGTTTCTCCTGGATGGCGAAGCGTCGCTCCTCCAGATCGGTTTTGGTCGCCATGACCTCGGAAGCGTATTTCAAGCCGCCAATCGCCTTGTCTTGTAATCCAGTCCTCTCGGCCTTTTCTACTTCGGCTTTCACGTCAAACACCAAGATGGAACCGTCTGAACCAGAACAGGCGAGCACACGGCCGTCCCTCGTACTTCTCAGACGAGTCATCTCCGCACCGACGGCGGCGTACTCCAGAAAGTCACCGGTCAAAGGGTGCGCGTACGCTCGCAAACTCCCGGGCTTGCCCTGATTACACGTACCCGCGTAGATCGTATCGTCTTTCAGTACTAAATGACCTAACAATGAGCCTTGCCCGTCCAATTGTTTCGTGGGCGTGATGTCCGGCCGCGCGAACTCCTTCAGTATGTTATCCGACCCCACAGAAAAGATCGCATCCTTGGCTACCACAACATCTAAGTACGCCGATCCCTTCTGGACGAACTCCCCGAGCCTCTTCCCGTCGGCCCACTCCCAGACATATATGGCGCCGTCGGCGCCTCCGGTGGCTAATGTAGAGTCGCCGTCGCCGAACCTCAGACTCTTGACCTTCGAGCTATGGCCTCGCAAATCAGCTAACTTCGACCCATCATAGAAATCATAGACCGAAACGGCGGTACCGTTCGCCGCCGCGAAAAATTGCCCGCCCTCCGAGAAGCGCACCTCCCTGCATTGCTTGACGTTTATTTCTCTGTAGACCCTCAGATCGTCGACCAACAAATGGGCCAACCTTATCTTGTCGTTAAATCCAATGGCGCAATGCAGACCGGACGGGTGGAAGGCGATGGACAGCGGGTCCTCGGCGAAGGCTTTGACGAGTTCCGCCTCTCTTGTGACATAATTCCACGTTCGTACAGTTTTGTCTTCGCCGCACGTTATGATTAATGGTTTTCTAGCGCAGACATCTAGACCCGTAACGGCTCCTCGGAAATGGGAAGGCATGACCAAGTCCGGCTCCTTGCGTTTGCCGCCGCCGGCGTCTTCTAGTGATATAATAGAGCACTGCCGATCACTCGTGACGCAGGCGCACTCGAGCTCGTCCGGTCTATTCGTGAGGGAGATGACGGGCGACGTCGAGATGGAAACCACAAAGTTCGGGGCGAATAACGTACAAAGGTCGTCCGACGCACCGGGGCCGAACGCGTGCACGCTGCCCAACTGGGAGCCGCAGACCAGCCCGCGCGCGAGCGGCGCCACGCTCGCCACGCCGCCCTCGACCTCAATGTCGAGTTTACACGCGTACTGGCAGGCCTCGTAGATGAGTAGCGCACCCGTGGACGTGCCGGCGACGACGCGATGCTCGGAGTGCGTCAGCCAGCAGTGGCACCGTAGTTCTCCTTCTATGACTTCGGTGCAGGGCGGCAACGGTCTTAATTCCTCAGCGGCGCCCTCGCTCGGCGCCCCCGCGCGGCAGAATCGCAGACCGTCGCCCGCCAAGCAGGAGACGACCCGGTCTAGTGGCGAGTGCCTCAAATCAACATACGTAGACGCGTTCGGCTCCACCAACGACGTAGTGGCGAGGACCTTACCTGAGGAACAGGACCACGACGCGAGCACCAGCGCCTTCGAACCGAGCGCCAGCACATTGTCATCATCTAAACCAAAACATAAAGCTTCGTAGGCCGAGCAGGCGACGTCGGGTCTTTCTAGAGTTTTCTTCCTTCGTAGAGTCGCAACATCATAAACTTTGACTGTCGCGCGGTCCGCGGCCTCGGCGACCGCAACACTCAGCCGCGACGGCGACAGGGCTATCGACGTGAAGCCCCCGCCGCCGTCGGCCGACCCGGCCACGAACCTCTGGGAGTTCTTGTCCCACTGGCTTCGCGCGCCGTAGAGGACGACGGCGTGGCCCGCCGTGTATATCAATGTTTCGTTGTCCGTCCAGCCGGCGCAGCCTCCTATATTTGTGTTCAGGCCCCAGGCGTGGCGGTGGGCGAGCGCCATCCTCTATCGGTCGGCGGGGGGGCTGCCCCGGGCTCGGCGCCGGTGGTGGCTTTGGATCTAGCGCGGCGTGCGCGCGAGGCTGCCTTCCGCCGCGAGCGCTCTCGCGCAGAGTGCTTGCTCTTCGTCTGGGCCGTGGGCGCGCCTCGACGGCGTAAAAGTGCCGGGCGCTGGGCCGCCTAGCTCTAGTGCCGGGAGTTACAAGGCCCGTGCGGGTTGCGCCACCGCCGCCCGCGTGCGCCCTCCCGCACGTCGTGGGGCCGGGGCCGCGGCGCCTCCATCAAAAGTCCGAGGTCCCCGCGACGCCTCGCCCGAGAGCCTCCCCGACGCCCAACCGCCGGGGGACCGCGCGCGGGGGAGGGAACCCAAGCAAGCCTCAGCGACAAAAGACTTACACCCTACGTAGCGCCACGCGCGGACCTGCGCGCGTGTCGCAGCGATTTTGACCCGCGCCCCCTCGGTAATGGGGACGGCCCCGTTTTGGCGGCGCGCGCGGGTTGATTAGACGAGCGGTCGCTCTGGCAACCGTTTACATAAAAGTTGGACGTACGACCATATAAGGAGGTCGCCATCTGCTGGGGTTCAGTTGCGAAGTTGTATCAAGGAGGACGCGGCGCCGCGGACCTGCGCGCGACATATGTTATGGTGAACAACGGACGCCGCGGCTCCACGAACAAGACAAAGGTCGTCGGAGTTTAATTAAAAACTAAGGCATCACGGTGGATAGAGTCATGTAGTATACAAAATTTCGTCACGCGACAGATGAAAAAAAACGAAGACGCCGCTCCACGAACCTCACTAGCTCTCCTCGATGTCCCAGACCACCGCTCTTTCAGCTAACCCCGCTCTTTCTAACTCCAGCACGTCCCGGATGTCCATGCGCGCGGGATGCTGCGGCGACGCCTCTCTGGCATCATCGACCTCGCCCAACAACACGATGGAGTCGCCCCGCACGACATACAGGCCCAGCGGCGCGTCGCCGTAGACGGCGTTCACGCCCTCCTTCGCCGGGATGACGACGCGCCGCTCGACCGCGTCCTCTAGAACAACATTCGAGAACTGGTCGAAGGACCGCATGACGCCCACGAGGTTGCGGCCGTCCCGCAGAATCACGAGGACGCGCTTGTCCAACTGGTCCACGAGCGACGCCGCCGCGGGCAGCACCAGGCCCGCCATGCGCTCGCACCGCTGCTTCCGTGCACGGCTCGCGGTGCTGCGAGGCCAGCCGGCACAGCGGTATCTCTCAACACGATCCGACGCTGCGGAGCGCACGCAGGTGCGCCAAAAAACGCGCCGCCGCCGCGCGAGGCAGCCAAAAAACCCGTTTAGTAGCTTTGCTTTTTTGGCGTGTTTTTGCTCCTATCCCTCGCGGGGGCGCCTCGGCCGCGCTCCAACCGCTCCCGAGCCCTCAAAACCAAATGCAACCAAATCGATTCCGTCCAAAACGCGCTGTCGGCACAGCGGTCCCAACACCGGTGCTCGTCATCGGCGGACTCCGAATCACGGTGCAAACCCTGAAATGCTGCCCCCGGGCAGGGATTCGACATGAGCGGCTGCCGATGCTATTAATAAACCTGCTCGCGTGCTGCGCTGCGCGCGGCGCCGCGGCCGCCGCGGCCGGCGGCGCGCGCGAGCCGCCGATCGGGCGGCGCCTAGACGTTCCGGGCGTGCCGACTCCCTTGCCGACGACGAACGCGACCGTAGCCGCAAATGCGACCAATTCTGTAAACGCGACGCCGACGGCCGCGCCGTCCCCTGCACCGACGCCGAACGCGACCGTAGCCGCAAATGCGACCAATTCTGTAAACGCGACGCCGACGGCCGCGCCGTCCCCTGCACCGACGCCGAACGCGACCGTAGCCGCAAATGCGACCAATTCTGTAAACGCGACGCCGACGGCCGCGCCGTCCCCTGCACCGACGCCGAACGCGACCGTAGCCGCAAATGCGACCAATTCTGTAACGCGACGCCGACGGCCGCGCCGCGCCCCTGCACCGACGCCGAACGCGACCGTAGCCGCAAATGCGACCAATTCTGTAAACGCGACGCCCGACGGCCGCGCCGTCCCTGCACCGACGCCGAACGCGACCGTAGCCGCAAATGCGACCAATTCTGTAACGCGACGCCGACGGCCGCGCCGTCCCTGCACCGACGCCGAACGCGACCGTAGCCGCAAATGCGACCAATTCTGTAAACGCGACGCCGACGGCCGCGCCGTCCCCTGCACCGACGCCGAACGCGACCGTAGCCGCAAATGCGACCAATTCTGTAAACGCGACGCCGACGGCCGCGCCGTCCCCTGCACCGACGCCGAACGCGACCGTAGCCGCAAATGCGACCAATTCTGTAAACGCGACGCCGACGGCCGCGCCGTCCCCTGCACCGACGCCGAACGCGACCGTAGCCGCAAATGCGACCAATTCTGTAAACGCGACGCCGACGGCCGCGCCGTCCCCTGCACCGACGCCGAACGCGACCGTAGCGCAAATGCGACCAATTCTGTAACGCGACGCCGACGGCGCGCCGTCCCTGCACCGACGCCGAACGCGACCGTAGCCGCAAATGCGACCAATTCTGTAAACGCGACGCCGACGGCCGCGCCGTCCCCTGCACCGACGCCGAACGCGACCGTAGCCGCAAATGCGACCAATTCTGTAAACGCGACGCCGACGGCCGCGCCGTCCCCTGCACCGACGCCGAACGCGACCGTAGCCGCAAATGCGACCAATTCTGTAAACGCGACGCCGACGGCCGCGCCGTCTGCTGTACCGACGCCGGTGCCGACCCCTCCGCCCTCGCTCTCGCCGACGCTCACGTCGGCGCCGACGGCGCACGAGTACGAGGACAACCTCGTGGCCTACTACCCGATGACGCACGGCAAGCTGGACGACGCCCACACGAAATTCCACGGCAAGGCATGGAGGCCCGAGCAACCTGACGTTCCCGATTCCATGATGGTTGCCGCGGATCTGCGGCAGACCGACGCGCGCGACGGTCCCCAGGGCGACGCGGTGGCGCTCAACAAGAGCTTTTACGAGTACATCGAGCTGCCCGACAACGTGACGAGGTCCATCTCCGGGGACCGGCCGAGGACGGTCTGTCTCTGGGCGCGGATCGACAAGTGGAAGAACGCCCGGATCTTCGAGTACGGCAGAAAGGCGCCCCAGGGAGAGCTGTTCGGCCTGCGCACCTGGAACGTCCCGGGCGAGTTTGCGGTCGAAGCGCCATGGAACGTTCGGAACCATTGGGACAATCGAAACGTCAACCTGAGCACGAACGTCAGCATAACGCAGGCGCCGACGCCATCGCCGACGACGCCTCAGCCGACGCTGGAACCAGGCATGAGCCGCCGACTTGACGCCACCGGCGAGACTACGGCGGCCCCCACGCCGCAGAGCCCGTGGGTGGAAACGTGGCACCACTACTGCGTGACGTACGCCGCGGAGCCGCACCCGAAGGAGAAGGATCGGTACCTCCCAGGGAACGTGACCCTCTACGTGGACGGCCGCAAGGAGGGGTTCTGGAAGAACGCGACCGTCAACACGAGCCTCGGCTCGCCGCTCTACATCGGCGCGGACATCCACGGCTCCAAAACGCTCGATGGGGCCGTGGACGAGGTGTACGTCTACGACAAGGCTCTGGAGGCCTGGCAGGTCGAGGTGCTCCACGGCATCCTCAGTCCGCCGCCGACGGCCGCGCCGTCTGCTGTACCGACGCCGGTGCCGACCCCTCCGCCCTCGCTCTCGCCGACGCTCACGTCGGCGCCGACGACGCACGAGTACGAGGACAACCTCGTGGCCTACTACCCGATGACGCACGGCAAGCTGGACGACGCCCACACGAAATTCCACGGCAAGGCATGGAGGCCCGAGCAACCTGACGTTCCCGATTCCATGATGGTTGCCGCGGATCTGCGGCAGACCGACGCGCGCGACGGTCCCCAGGGCGACGCGGTGGCGCTCAACAAGAGCTTTTACGAGTACATCGAGCTGCCCGACAACGTGACGAGGTCCATCTCCGGGGACCGGCCGAGGACGGTCTGTCTCTGGGCGCGGATCGACAAGTGGAAGAACGCCCGGATCTTCGAGTACGGCAGAAAGGCGCCCCAGGGAGAGCTGTTCGGCCTGCGCACCTGGAACGTCCCGGGCGAGTTTGCGGTCGAAGTGCCATGGAACGTTCGGAACCATTGGGACAATCGAAACGTCAACCTGAGCACGAACGTCAGCATAACGCAGGCGCCCGACGCCATCGCCGACGACGCTCAGCCGACGCTGGAACCAGGCATGAGCCGCCGACTTGACGCCACCGGCGAGACTACGGCGGCCCCCACGCCGCAGAGCCCGTGGGTGGAAACGTGGCACCACTACTGCGTGACGTACGCCGCGGAGCCGCACCCGAAGGAGAAGGATCGGTACCTCCCAGGGAACGTGACCCTCTACGTGGACGGCCGCAAGGAGGGGTTCTGGAAGAACGCGACCGTCAACACGAGCCTCGGCTCGCCGCTCTACATCGGCGCGGACATCCACGGCTCCAAAACGCTCGATGGGGCCGTGGGACGAGGTGTACGTCACGACAAGGCTCTGGAGCCTGGCAGGTCGAGGTGCTCCACGGCATCCTCAGTCCGCCGCCGACGGCGCGCCGTCTGCTGTACCGACGCCGGTGCCGACCCCTCCGCCCTCGCTCGCCGACGCTCACGTCGGCGCCGACGACGACGCCAGTACGAGGACAACCTCGTGGCCTACTACCCGATGACGCACGGCAAGCTGGACGACGCCCACACGAAATTCCACGGCAAGGCATGGAGGCCCGAGCAACCTGACGTTCCCGATTCCATGATGGTTGCCGCGGATCTGCGGCAGACCGACGCGCGCGACGGTCCCGAGGGCGCCGCGGTGGCGCTCAACAAGAGCTTTTACGAGTACATCGAGCTGCCCGACAACGTGACGAGGTCCATCTCCGGGGACCGGCCGAGGACGGTCTGTCTCTGGGCGCGGATCGACAAGTGGAAGAACGCCCGGATCTTCGAGTACGGCAGAAAGGCGCCCCAGGGAGAGCTGTTCGGCCTGCGCACCTGGAACGTCCCGGGCGAGTTTGCGGTCGAAGTGCCATGGAACGTTCGGAACCATTGGGACAATCGAAACGTCAACCTGAGCACGAACGTCAGCATAACGCAGGCGCCGACGCCATCGCCCCGCGCCTCAGCCGACGCTGGAACCAGGCATGAGCCGCCGACTTGACGCCACCGGCGAGACTACGGCGGCCCCCACGCCGCAGAGCCCGTGGGTGGAAACGTGGCACCACTACTGCGTGGACGACGCCGCGGAGCCGCACCCGAAGGGAGGAAGGATCGGTACCTCCCAGGGAACGTGACCCTACGTGGACGGCCGCAAGGAGGGGTTCTGGAAGAACGCGACCGTCAACACGAGCCTCGGCTCGCCGCTCTACATCGGCGCGGACATCCCGCCCAAAACGCTCGATGGGGCCGTGGACGAGGTGTACGCGTCTACGACAAGGCTCTGGCGCCTGGCAGGTCGAGGTGCTCCACGGCATCCTCAGTCCGCCGCCGACGGCCGCGCCGTCTGCTGTACCGACGCCGGTGCCGACCCCTCCGCCCTCGCTCTCGCCGACGCTCACGCCGGCGCCGACGACGCCGCCAGTACGAGGACAACCTCGTGGCCTACTACCCGATGACGCACGGCAAGCTGGACGACGCCCACACGAAATTCCACGGCAAGGCATGGAGGCCCGAGCAACCTGGCGTTCCCGATTCCATGATGGTTGCCGCGGATCTGCGGCAGACCGACGCGCGCGACGGTCCCCAGGGCGACGCGGTGGCGCTCAACAAGAGCTTTTACGAGTACATCGAGCTGCCCGACAACGTGACGAGGTCCATCTCCGGGGACCGGCCGAGGACGGTCTGTCTCTGGGCGCGGATCGACAAGTGGAAGAACGCCCGGATCTTCGAGTACGGCAGAAAGGCGCCCCAGGGAGAGCTGTTCGGCCTGCGCACCTGGAACGTCCCGGGCGAGTTTGCGGTCGAAGCGCCATGGAACGTTCGGAACCATTGGGACAATCGAAACGTCAACCTGAGCACGAACGTCAGCATAACGCAGGCGCCGACGCCATCGCCGACGACGCCTCAGCCGACGCTGGAACCAGGCATGAGCCGCCGACTTGACGCCACCGGCGAGACTACGGCGGCCCCCACGCCGCAGAGCCCGTGGGTGGAAACGTGGCACCACTACTGCGTGACGTACGCCGCGGAGCCGCACCCGAAGGAGAAGGATCGGTACCTCCCAGGGAACGTGACCCCCACGTGGACGGCCGCAAGGAGGGGTTCTGGAAGAACGCGACCGTCAACACGAGCCTCGGCTCGCCGCTCTACATCGGCGCGGACATCCCGCCCAAAACGCTCGATGGGGCCGTGGGACGAGGTGTACGTCTACGACAAGGCTCTGGAGGCCTGGCAGGTCGAGGTGCTCCACGGCATCCTCAGTCCGCCGCCGACGGCCGCGCCGTCTGCTGTACCGACGCCGGTGCCGACCCCTCCGCCCTCGCGCTCGCCGACGCTCACGCCGGGCGCCGACGACGCACGAGTACGAGGACAACCTCGTGGCCTACTACCCGATGACGCACGGCAAGCTGGACGACGCCCACACGAAATTCCACGGCAAGGCATGGAGGCCCGAGCAACCTGACGTTCCCGATTCCATGATGGTTGCCGCGGATCTGCGGCAGACCCGCGCGCGACGGTCCCGAGGGCGCCGCGGTGGCGCTCAACAAGAGCTTTACAGTACATCGAGCTGCCCGACAACGTGACGAGGTCCATCTCCGGGGACCGGCCGAGGACGGTCTGTCTCTGGGCGCGGATCGACAAGTGGAAGAACGCCCGGATCTTCGAGTACGGCAGAAAGGCGCCCCAGGGAGAGCTGTTCGGCCTGCGCACCTGGAACGTCCCGGGCGAGTTTGCGGTCGAAGTGCCATGGAACGTTCGGAACCATTGGGACAATCGAAACGTCAACCTGAGCACGAACGTCAGCATAACGCAGGCGCCGACGCCATCGCCGACGACGCCTCAGCCGACGCTGGAACCAGGCATGAGCCGCCGACTTGACGCCACCGGCGAGACTACGGCGGCCCCCACGCCGCAGAGCCCGTGGGTGGAAACGTGGCACCACTACTGCGTGACGTACGCCGCGGAGCCGCACCCGAAGGAGAAGGATCGGTACCTCCCAGGGAACGTGACCCTCTACGTGGACGGCCGCAAGGAGGGGTTCTGGAAGAACGCGACCGTCAACACGAGCCTCGGCTCGCCGCTCTACATCGGCGCGGACATCCACGGCTCCAAAACGCTCGATGGGGCCGTGGACGAGGTGTACGTCTACGACAAGGCTCTGGAGGCCTGGCAGGTCGAGGTGCTCCACGGCATCCTCAGTCCGCCGCCGACGGCCGCGCCGTCTGCTGTACCGACGCCGGTGCCGACCCCTCCGCCCTCGCTCTCGCCGACGCTCACGTCGGCGCCGACGACGCACGAGTACGAGGACAACCTCGTGGCCTACTACCCGATGACGCACGGCAAGCTGGACGACGCCCACACGAAATTCCACGGCAAGGCATGGAGGCCCGAGCAACCTGACGTTCCCGATTCCATGATGGTTGCCGCGGATCTGCGGCAGACCGACGCGCGCGACGGTCCCCAGGGCGACGCGGTGGCGCTCAACAAGAGCTTTTACGAGTACATCGAGCTGCCCGACAACGTGACGAGGTCCATCTCCGGGGACCGGCCGAGGACGGTCTGTCTCTGGGCGCGGATCGACAAGTGGAAGAACGCCCGGATCTTCGAGTACGGCAGAAAGGCGCCCCAGGGAGAGCTGTTCGGCCTGCGCACCTGGAACGTCCCGGGCGAGTTTGCGGTCGAAGTGCCATGGAACGTTCGGAACCATTGGGACAATCGAAACGTCAACCTGAGCACGAACGTCAGCATAACGCAGGCGCCGACGCCATCGCCGACGACGCCTCAGCCGACGCTGGAACCAGGCATGAGCCGCCGACTTGACGCCACCGGCGAGACTACGGCGGCCCCCACGCCGCAGAGCCCGTGGGTGGAAACGTGGCACCACCGCGTGCGTGACGCCGCGGAGCCGCACCCGAAGGAGAAGGATCGGTACCTCCCAGGGAACGTGACCCACGTGGACGGCCGCAAGGAGGGGTTCTGGAAGAACGCGACCGTCAACACGAGCCTCGGCTCGCCGCTCTACATCGGCGCGGACATCCACGGCTCCAAAACGCTCGATGGGGCCGTGGACGAGGTGTACGTCTACGACAAGGCTCTGGAGGCCTGGCAGGTCGAGGTGCTCCACGGCATCCTCAGTCCGCCGCCGACGGCCGCGCCGTCTGCTGTACCGACGCCGGTGCCGACCCCTCCGCCCTCGCTCTCGCCGACGCTCACGTCGGCGCCGACGACGCACGAGTACGAGGACAACCTCGTGGCCTACTACCCGATGACGCACGGCAAGCTGGACGACGCCCACACGAAATTCCACGGCAAGGCATGGAGGCCCGAGCAACCTGACGTTCCCGATTCCATGATGGTTGCCGCGGATCTGCGGCAGACCGACGCGCGCGACGGTCCCGAGGGCGCCGCGGTGGCGCTCAACAAGAGCTTTTACGAGTACATCGAGCTGCCCGACAACGTGACGAGGTCCATCTCCGGGGACCGGCCGAGGACGGTCTGTCTCTGGGCGCGGATCGACAAGTGGAAGAACGCCCGGATCTTCGAGTACGGCAGAAAGGCGCCCCAGGGAGAGCTGTTCGGCCTGCGCACCTGGAACGTCCCGGGCGAGTTTGCGGTCGAAGTGCCATGGAACGTTCGGAACCATTGGGACAATCGAAACGTCAACCTGAGCACGAACGTCAGCATAACGCAGGCGCCGACGCCATCGCCGACGACGCCTCAGCCGACGCTGGAACCAGGCATGAGCCGCCGACTTGACGCCACCGGCGAGACTACGGCGGCCCCCACGCCGCAGAGCCCGTGGGTGGAAACGTGGCACCACTACTGCGTGACGTACGCCGCGGAGCCGCACCCGAAGGAGAAGGATCGGTACCTCCCAGGGAACGTGACCCTCTACGTGGACGGCCGCAAGGAGGGGTTCTGGAAGAACGCGACCGTCAACACGAGCCTCGGCTCGCCGCTCTACATCGGCGCGGACATCCACGGCTCCAAAACGCTCGATGGGGCCGTGGACGAGGTGTGCGTCACGACAAGGCTCTGGGCGCCTGGCAGGTCGAGGTGCTCCACGGCATCCTCAGTCCGCCGCCGACGGCGCGCCGTCTGCTGTACCGACGCCGGTGCCGACCCCTCCGCCCTCGCTCGCCCGGCTCACGTCGGCGCCGACGACGCACGAGTACGAGGACAACCTCGTGGCCTACTACCCGATGACGCACGGCAAGCTGGACGACGCCCACACGAAATTCCACGGCAAGGCATGGAGGCCCGAGCAACCTGACGTTCCCGATTCCATGATGGTTGCCGCGGATCTGCGGCAGACCGACGCGCGCGACGGTCCCCAGGGCGACGCGGTGGCGCTCAACAACAGCAAGTACGAGTACATCGAGCTGCCCGACAACGTGACGAGGTCCATCTCCGGGGACCGGCCGAGGACGGTCTGCCTCTGGGCGCGGATCGACAAGTGGACGAACAAAGCCCGGATCTTCGAGTACGGCAGAAAGGCGCCCCAGGGACAGCTGTTCGGCCTGCGCACCTGGAACGTCCCGGGCGCGCTTACGGTCGAAGTGCCATGGAACGTTCGGAACCATTGGGACAATCGAATCAACGTCGTCCTGAGCAGGAACGTCAGCATGACGCCGGTGCCGACGTCAATTCCGACATCTCTGCCGACCGAATCGACGGCACCAGAGCGCCGCCGCCGACTTGACGCCACCGACAGCGACAGCGACAACGCCGCCGCCGGCGCCACGCCGTCGGACCCGTGGGTGGAAACGTGGCACCACTACTGCGTGACGTACGCCGCGGAGCCGCACCCGAAGGAGAAGGATCGGTACCTCCCAGGGAACGTGACCCTCTACGTGGACGGCCGCAAGGAGGGGTTCTGGAAGAACGCGACCGTCAACACGAGCCTCGGCTCGCCGCTCTACATCGGCGCGGACATCCACGGCTCCGAAACGCTAGATGGGGCCGTGGACGAGGTGTACGTCTACGACAAGGCTCTGGAGGCCTGGCAGGTCGAGGTGCTCCACGGCATCCTCAGTCCGCCGCCGACGGCCGCGCCGTCTGCTGTACCGACGCCGGTGCCGACCCCTCTGCCGTCGGCCCCGCCGACGATCTCGCTTCCCCCGACGGCGCACGCCTACGAGTACGGCCTCGTGGCGTACTACCCGATGGACGAGGGCTCGCTGGCGGACGCCCACGACGGCGCCCACGCCGGCCGGGGCTGCAACGCCGCGGCCTGCGAGCCCGAGCAGACCCTGGCCACCACGCTCGCGCGCGACGTCGTCCAGGACGCGGTGGCGCTCGACGCGACCGCGAACCAGTTCATCCGGCTGCCGTACGCCACAACGGTGCCCATCTCCGAGGATAACCCGCGGACCGTCTGCCTCTGGGCCCGGATCGACGCGTGGGCGGACAACGCCCGGCTCTTCGAGTACGGTAAGGGTCCGACGCAGCGCTTCGGCCTGCGCACCTACAAGACCCCGGGGCGCTTCTCGGTCATTTCGCACGATCCGAAGCGGCCGAGCACGAACGTCACGGTCGACCTCAACGCCAGCCGCCTCGTCGCGCCGCGGCCGACGCCGCGGCCGACGATACGAGGCCGCCGCCTCGACGGCACCGGCGAGACGCCGTTCCCTACGGCGGCCCCCACGCCGAACCCCACAGCGACCCCCACAACGCCGCCGAACCCCTGGGTGGCCACGTGGCACCACTACTGCGTGACGTACGCCGCGGACCGCGCGAAGCGCAATCGGGCGAACGTGACCTTCTACGTGGACGGCGTCGCGGAGAAGACCTGGAACGCGACCGTCAACACGAGCGCGTCGCCGCTCTTCATCGGCGCGGACGTCCTCGGAACGCACACGCTCGCCGGCGCCGTCGACGAAGTATATGTATATGAGAAGGCGCTGGACGCCTGGCAGGTCGGCGTGCTCTACGGCATCGTCAGCCCGCCGCCGACGGCCGTGCCCACCGGCGCCCCGACGAGCGCGCCGACGGGCCTCCCGACGCCGCAGCCGAGCCCGGCCCCGACGTCGCACCCGTCGGCCTCGCCCGCGCCGTCGCGCTACTTCCTCGAGGCCGCGCTCGTCGCGCACTACGGCATGGACGGCGGCGTCGCCGTCGACGACCACGGCCCCTTCGGCAACGCGACCTACGTCGAGGGCCGGACGCGCAAGGACACGGCCCTCGACGGCACGGACGCCCTGAACGTGACGGGCGCGCGGAAGGGCGTGCGCCTGCCCGCCGGCGTCACGCGCCGCATCCTCGGGGGGCGCGAGCGGGGGGTCTGCCTCTGGGCGCGCGTCGACAAGTGGCGCAAGGCCGCGCTCTTCGGCTACGGGGCGGCCGCCACCGGAGGAAGCGCCACGGGCGCGCCTGGTAAACCGGAGGCCTTCGGCCTCGCCGTCGACGACGACGTAGGTTTCGTCGCTTTGGACTTCGGCGACGGCTATCCCGTAAAGGCGGAGGTCCCCGCGCGCGCCGGCCAGTGGCACCACTACTGCCTCGTTTATGATGACGGGAACGCCACGCTCTACTACGATAGCGTCATTCAGAAGACGACGAAGATCGCGCTCAACACGAGCAACAGCTCGCAGTTCCACCTCGGCGCGGGTTTGGATGGGGCCGACGCTCTGGATGGTTCCATCGACGAGGTTTATATCTACGAGGAGGCCCTGACCCAGGACGCCATCGATTTAATCTACTCGCGCGTGACGAGCCCGCCTTCCTCGGTGCCGTCGCCGGAGCCGTCCTCGATGCCGTCGCGGGCACCAACGTCGCTGCCGACGGGCGTCCCGACGTCAGCGCCTTCACCAATGCCGTCGTCCATGCCGACGACGGCCGTGCCCACGTCTAAGCCGTCGGCGCCCCCGACGGCCGCGCCGACGCCGGCGACGCCCGAGCCCACGGGCGCGCCCAGCGAGGCGCCGTCGGCCATGCCGACGGTCGAGGGCTTGGGTGTGGCGGGCACGTTGAGGGCCGTGGCGCTGCCGCAGGCTTGTGACGATGCGGCGTTCTTAGGGGCCGTCGAGGCCGCGCTCGTCGCCGCGACGAACGCGTCGCGCGCCGACGTGCGCTGTGTTGGATATGCCTGGACGCGGTCCGATTTATATTGGGGGCGGCGCCTCCAGGGCAGCGAGGGCGAGGGCGGGAAGCTCCCGGAGACGGCGGTCCCGACGAGCGTGCCCACTTCCAATCCTTCGGCGCTGCCGTCGCCGAAGCCGTCGCGCGGGCCGACGGCCGTGCCCACGTCAATACCTTCACCCGTACCGACGGCGTCGCCGGCGCCCACGAGCCTCGAGGCCTTCGAGCTCGACTACCGCGTCCACGCGAGCTACGCGCGGCACCCCGCCATCCGGGCGGAGACCTTCGACGACGAGGTCAAGACCATGATCAACGCGGCGATCGAGCGGGGCGTTTTTGTGGACGTGTTTAACAAAGAGAAGGTCACGGCCGAGGTCCAGACCGTGGAGACCGCGGCCATCTACCGGACGGTGGCGCCGTCGCCGGCGCCGTCGTTAGCTCCAACCACAACAGGCTATAGACTCGCCGGCATCCTCTCCGCCGAGGTCGTGGGCGGCGACGAGGGCTTCGTCGAGGCCCCCATCGAGACGCTCGTCAACCTCACGAAGCCTCTGATCGTCAAGCTCAAGACGCGGCCGAGCGCCGACGTGGCCGTGACGTTGACGGCGGCCGGCACGGGCAGCGCGCTCCGCTTTTATGAGGAGGATTCAAAACGGCCGGGCTTCGCGCTCGCGTCCGACCCTGGTAGTACGACGTCCACGAAGACCATTCCGTCAAATACGACAACTCTCACGGTCATCGCCGGGGCGCTGCGGGACCGGGTCAACTCGGGGACGAGCTTCAGCCAGACCGTTGAGATCAGTCTCGATTCGGAAGACCCGAACTATTGTTGCGGGCGGCACACGGCCTCGTTTGAGCTCGAGGTCGGCGACGTGGACACGTCGCTTATTAGTACGGGCAAGTTCCTGTCCAAAGTTCCGCCCGTGACGTCCGGGGACGGTGGTGCTACGACCATGAAGCTCGACGAGAACGCCGCGACGTACCAGTTCACGGTCTCGCTGACCTCGAAGCCCTTCCACCGCGTCGGGCTCGAGGTGCTGGGCGACGTCGACGCGTTTTCGGACATTACGTATGGCGACGTCGACGAGCGGGTCTACAATCCGGAGCGGTTAGTTTTTGTGGATCCCGACGACTGGGCCGCGCCGGTGACCTGGAGCTTCCACATTGAAGACGACGACGTCTTGGACGGGAACCGGAACTACAAGGTCCAGTTGAGGGCCGTCAGCAACGACACGAACTACGATGGGGTCACGTCGGCGACGCTGACGTGTGTTGTGCTGGAGGACGACGTCGCCTTCGCCACCGTGTCCGGCAAGAAGCTCACGGTCGGCGCGGGCGTCGACGGGCCGACGTTCGGCGACGGCTACTCCATCACGCTGTCGGCGCCGCCCAAGGCCGACGTCTTCGTCGCGCTTGATATCGACGACGCCAAGGTGAAGGTAAATCCTAGATCACTGGTCTTCACGCCCAGTAATTGGGACCCCCAGGCCGTCGAGGTGAACGCGTCGCTCTACAAAGGCGAGAACAATACGTATATCATGGATTCGCGCATGGCTTTACTGACGCACACCATGACGTCGGAAGATACCTTCTTCGACGGCATCGAGGTGGCGAGCGTCGACGTCGCCGTCGAGTTCTCGGCCGACAGCGTGCCGCCCCCGAAACTCGAGGAGGTGCGGTTCCTGGACGAGGGCAATGGATTAAATGTCCGCTTCGACTCGGCGACGAACCAGGTGGACGGCGCGTGGGACATCGACTGCGCTAAATTATTCAAGTACGACGAGTACCAGTTCGGCACGGAGGCGACTTGTAGCTGGTACAACCACACGGTCCTCAAGGTGACGTTCTCGAGCGGCGCGTCGATCGTCCCCTTCGACTACGTGAACGCGACGAAGGACAACGCGGTCTACCTCGTCGGTGGCGTCCTGAAGACGAACATCGCCGGCGCGACGTTAACGTCCGTCTCGCAGTACGCCGAGGCCCAGAAGCCCTGGAACCCCGTCGCGCCGTCGATCAGCATCACGGCCCCGTTATCCGTTGGCGTCTGCGACGGCATCTCCCTGGACGCGCGCGGCGCGACGGGCGGCGGCAGTCGCGCCCTAACTTATGAATGGGGCGTTTTGACGGACTGGGACGCGGAAACGACCGAGGAGGCCGATTCCGTGATTGCGTTGCAAGAGAAGCTCGTGACCACCTCCACGGTCATCTCGCTGGGCTTTGGCGACCTATTAGCTGGAAGGGCCTACACGTTTCTCATTGCAGCAAAGAACTACCTGGGCGAGACGACGACGGCCTTCGCGACCGTCAATAAACTAGGCTCGCCCTCACCCATGGTCCTCTTCCAGGAGAGTCAGATCGCTATGGTCCGCTCCGACGCGAAGACCTTGAAATTGGACGTGGCTCTACCGAATTTAACGTGCACGGACATGAACGTGTCCTCGACGGCCCTAGGCTTCGTCTGGCGCGCCTGGCGGTTGGACGGCGCGTCGTATGTGCGGGATGTTCCCCTCTTGTCAGAGTACACGGCGAACCCCGTAAGTTGCCGCCTGCCGAAGGATGCGTTGAATGCGCAGACGACCTATTGGTTTGAGGTGACCGTGGGTTTCGCGGACACGATGACCATCAACAACACGGCCGCGACGACCGTAAACGTCGGCGCCCAGGCGTTGGTCGCGTCCATCGCGGGCGGCGTCGAGCAGGCCGTGGCCATCGGTGACACCGTCGAGTTGGACGGGAGCCTGTCCGTGGACCCCGACGAGAATGACGCCGAGGGACCGCTCCAGTACCTCTGGAACTGTTCAAGAATAGTCGACGTGACCCTCGAGACGGGCGAGATCCAACGGCGTCTCGTCCACGACAAGTCGCTGCTGGCGCCCGTCGACGCGACGGCCGCGATCCTCGCGTTCGTGCCGGACACGACGAGCGGCTGGACCGGCGGGGCCACCTACGAGTTTACGCTGCTCGTATCAAGGGGCACGAGGACGGCCACCTACTCCATCCTCCTCTTCATCAGCGCGGACCGGTACATGCCGCGCGCGACGGTGACTGATTTTGATGAAAATCTGAAGTACAACCCCACGGCGGACACGTACGCCGCCGTCTACTTCGAGGCGACGTCGCCCGACCCCGATAGGTACTGCTGCGACTCGGTCTGGGAGGTCGAGGGCGAGACCATCAACCTCTTGGCGAAGGACGCGGCCGCGGCGTCGCCCATGCTTATTAATCTAGGCCTGACGCGGGCCAACGCCGTGTACCGCCTGAAGCTGACGGTCACGGATGGCATCGGGTCCACGTCTTCCAGTGTCGTCTCGCTGACGACGAACGGCCCGCCGACGTCGGGCACGATGGCCGTCACGCCCTACCGAGGCACGGCTCTGCAAACGGAGTTCGAGTTTCTGCTGGACGCCTGGTCCGACGACCCCGACGACTACCCGCTGACCTACACCTATGGCTACCGCCAGCGCCTGAGCTGGGGGTCTTCGAGAAGGCGGCTGCAGCGGGGCGGTGCCAGTCGCGGTAGACGCTCCGCAGAACTGGCACCGCTCACACCTTTGGTGGCGGACCAGTACGCGAGCGCGTGGTTCTACACGACGCTCCCGAAGGCGGACAACATCAACATCACGTGCGTCGGGCGCGTCTTCGACCGCTACCTGAGTTTCGCGGAGGCCTACGCGCCGGCTCGCGTCGACGCTCTGGAAATGTCGACGGAGGATTTGTCGGCGTTCGCCGGCGATCTGCTCTCGGCCACGGCGGACACGGGCGACGGGGAAGCTTCCCTATCTCTCATCTCGAACGTGGCGTCGGTGATTGGTGGGGACGAAGAAACGGATGTGAATGGTACTGTCATCGAGAAGACGCCCGAGCAGTTAGCGGCGGAGCAGGCCCTGATCGACAACCTGTTTGCCGCGACCATAGCGGCCGCGAGTCAGGTCGGCACGGGGACGTCCGCCGCGGCCACATCTCAAGTTTTGAGCACGGTGTCGACGCTGAGCGCGAACCCCGAAACCTTATCGGAGGACTCGCAGAGCGGCGCGCTGGGTTTGATGTCTTCCGTCGTCGGTGGAGCGTCGTCGCAAGGTATCGACCCGGACACGGCCGCGTCCACGGCCTCGACGGTGTCCTCGCTCTTGGACGCGTCGCTGTTCAGCGGCGGCGGCGACGCGGACACGGAGCTGGGCGGCCAGATGGCGGGCACCGTCGGCGGTTTAGCGACGGCGATGATCGCCAAGGCGTATGGGGGCCAATCGCAAAGTGTGGTCAGCGACAACCTGGAATTGACGGCATTCAGGACGGACTGCGGGACGCGCGACTCGGCCTTCGGGCTGTCGACGGGCGGCGGCGTCACGGGCATGCCCGCGTCCGCCATGGACTCGGCGGGCGGCGGGTCGTGCGACGCGGCCGCGAGGAGACGGGGGCGGACGCGGCGGCGCTTACAAGATGATGATATTGCCGATGTTGATGTGAAAGTCGCACAACTCAAGAACGTCTACGCCTCAGAGAGCGACAGCACGAATTCTGATCTAGTGCAGATCGAGATGGGCGCCGGCGGTTCGACCGTGAAGGTCGATGGACTCGACGAACCCATCGTCCTCGTCATTGGCTTCGAGGCCTACGACCGCACGCTCGCGCCGGGCTTCGAGCCCGAAAAGGTCATCGACACGTGCTACAACCGGTCGCAAATCCTCAACGTGAACTGCTCGGTGCCCACGACGTTCAACTGCTCTATACCACAATTCATCGAGACGCAGTTCGGCAACAAGACGTTGTTAGCGCCAAAAAAGACGGGCGAGCCCTGCCCCGGCTCGCCGAAGGGCGAGCCGGTCGCTGTTACGGTGACCTGCCCCGGCAAGAAGCCCGAGTGCACGTTCTGGGACCACAACAGGTCGGCGTGGGGCGGCGACGGCTGTCGGGTCGTGAACTACACGGGCTACAACGTGACCTGCGCCTGTACGCACTTGACGGACTTCGCGGGGAGTACGGGGCCCGTGGGTTCGACGGCCGGCGCCGTCGTCTCGACGTTACTATCGATGAATTTGGCGGACCTGCTGGAGGCGCTCGTCGTCCTGATCACATTACTTGTTTGTTTGGGTTTCTTCGCTTTCTTGTACGCGAACGGCCAGTTCCAGGACGCGCAGGACGAAAAACATAGGAACCAGCTAAGGGATCGCGTCCTGCCGAAGGATGCGTTGCAAGCCGCGTCGCGGCCCGAAGTCATCTCGAGGGCGACGCAGAAGATCGCCATCGCCGCGGCCTTTAAGGCGAAGGACACGCGGCCCTGGTTGTTAGCTCCCTCCACTTATAGAGCGTACCAGCGGAAAGTGAGGCCGGTCAAGAACTGGGTCGCGACGGCCTTCCACGGCTTCGTGACGGCGATGCGCCGCGAGCACAAGATCCTGCAGATCTTCTACCTGCCGGACGGGACGTTTACGCGGTCGGAGCGAGCCACGGTGTTGTGTGTTTTGGTCTTTTCTACTTTGTTGGCCAATGCCTTCATACTGTCGGTCTACTCACATGCTCACATAGAAATACCAATCATAAACTGGAAGGTCCACGCCGCGAGCGAAGACCCGGTGAACGCCCAGATCGCGGGCGTCATCTTCAGTACCTTTTCCGCCCTCGTCGCGACGGGGACGTATCTATTGTTTGCATTCTTTTTCCAGAAGACGGGGGAACCGACGGAAGAAGTGGATCACTTTTTGGGCGTGCCGGACGATAACCTGGACAAGGAGAATCGCGGTAGAGTGGCTCGTAGGCGAGAAGTACTAGCTGCCATCGCCGAGTACGAGAACGCGTTAAATGCGCAGAAGCAGGTACCTAGGTTAGATAGAGAGGACCTCGAGAATAGCATTCATTACCACCCCAATGAAGAACTAGGGACTGCGCACCAGATGACGCAGCGCGAGCGCGTCGAGTTCGGGCAGCGCTGTTTGCGACGGAAGGAGGACGCGAGGAATGCTGTGGCTTTTAGGTATCGCGCCGTCGCGAAGGCCCACCTCAAGTTCAACAACTACTCGAAGAAATGCGCGGAACGGCGCAAGGAGAAGGATAAGAAGGCCCTGCAGCACGACCGGTCGCTCTTGGCTCGGATCCTACCGTCGTGGCTCTATGTCTTCCTGGCGCCGAAGCCGCCGCCGCTCCATGTCTTGACTTTGGACGAGCGAGCTCTGTTCGAGGCGGAGGAGGAGGAGCTGAAGACCTTACCCTGGGACGCGAAGCTCGCTTTTAAGGCCCACGTGTCGCCGCTACGGCAGGCCATCAAGGTGCGACACAAGTCCTCGTGGTCCCCCGGGTGGAACAAGGTGTTTTTCGGCATGGCGGCGTTATGGAGTCTCTTCTGCGCCGTGATGGTCTTCGGTTTCTCCGTGCAACTGAACAAGTGCGCGACCTGCGAGCGCCAGGACTTCTGGGTCTGCAAGGAGTGGGACGAGTGCGACAACCCGCCCTGCAGTTGTCTGCACACGCGGCCGAACGGCGCGGTCATTAACGACGGGACGGACCCGCCCAACCTACCGGCCTGGGCCGTGACGGACTGGGCCGCGAAGAAGGATCGGAACATATGCCGGTCGCCGGAGACGTTTCTGCCGTGCGACTCCGCGCCGTCCACGTGTTACAACCTAAAGGAGTGCGAGGACCTCGCGAAGAAGGCCACGAAGCTGACCATGTGCGAGAAGGAGCGTTTGAAATGTTTCAGGATGACGGCTCGGCAGCGGAGCGGCGCCGCCGCGGTCGCCGCGCACGTCAAGCAGCTCCAGACGCTCGCCCCGAGCTGGGCGCCGGCGGACGTCGCGGACGCCGAGGCGCGCCGCGATGCCCTGAAGGACGAGGACACGGCGTGTCCCACGACGTGCGGCGCGAGCGTCTGCCCGCACACGCTGGCGCACTACTGCGGCAGTGCGGGCGCGAACGGCGGCAGCGTGGCGTGGCTGACGCAGGCTCTGATGTCCATCATCATCTCGCTGTTCATTTCCAATTCCATCTCGATCCTGATGAGCAAGGGCGTCCTACCGGCCTTTGCGCGGTTCTACGTTGGTAGAAGGGCCAAGGACCAGAAGGGAGCGCCGCCCGAAAAGAGGGGCATCATGGGCGTGTCCAACCGCGTGGACGAGACGGCGAAAAGAATCAGAGCCAAGTACGGCGCCAAGCCCGGCAAGGACTTTATGGATCGGCAGGCGCAGGACGATATCGAAGAGGAGGAGCTTACCGTAACTGAGTCAGAGAGCGACGACGATTTGGGTCCTAGTCCGGCAGAGCTAAGACTGGCGGCGGCGCGACGGCGCGCGGCCATGGAGGCGCGCGTCGCATCAAAGAATGACGAGGACCCGATGCCTTATGTGGTGGAGCCTCCGTCGGCGCAATTCACGGCGCGCGACCCCTGGTCGAACTTTGAACCTCTCCATCTCAATAACATGAGGGTCGACATGCACGTGCAATGCGAGCATGCGACGCAGTGGCCGCGGCCGGACGCGCAGGAGACCATCGCGAAGCCCCAGGTCTGGAAGTGCCCCTGCGGCGCGGCCGTCGGCCTGCCTCTCAGGAGAGACCATCTGAGGTACGACTGCGCGCCCTACCGCGACTCGTTCGAGAACGCGACCCGCAAGTGGTTGGCAGCAAGGGACCCGGAGACGGGCGGCGCGGCGGTCCAGCGCGTCTCCATGATTGCGGCCTGCGGCGCCGGCGAGGCGCTCTGTGCTCTTGCTGTTAATAGGAAAGAGTCCGTGGCGCAGCGCAAGTTGCAAGCGGAGGACTATAGGGACGAGATGGAGCTCGCCGCGGAGGTGATTGCTGCGGAAGATTTACTGGAGCGGTGGCACGCCGGTGCAGGCGCCCTGTCCCCGAAGTAACATATGTTTGTTAGAATTACTACCTACCAAAACTCCGCCGCTCCAGCGCATCATGCCACCGCTCCCGCAGCGACGCGTTCACGACGCCGCCGACGCTGAATGCGGGGATGATGCGCAGCATCCTTAACGTCACGGTCTCGGGGTACGTCTCGCGCAGCGTTGCGCGGGCGCCCTGTCCCCGAAGTAAACATATGTTTGTTAGAATTACTACCTACCAAAACTCCGCCGCTCCAGCGCATCATGCCACCGCTCCCGCAGCGACGCGTTCACGACGCCGCCGACGGAGAACGCCGGGATGATGCGCAGCATCCTTAACGTCACGGTCTCGGGGTACGTCTCGCGCAGCGTTTGTAAATGCGCCGCGACGCCGCCGCCCGTGTTGTTGTAGACCGCCAGGCCGAGTAGATGCAAGGGCGTGGAAAATAACTGCGAGACGACCGGCGTGGTCAGGCGCGTCGCGAGCGACGTCTGGGCCGGCGTCAGCGGCAGATTGTAGTCGTCCACGGCCTTGGTGATCGCCGGCGTGACCAACGGCGGCAGCGTGAACACGAAGGCCATGGCCAGCACGTCCCTCGAAAAGAATAGACCGTAGGACGGCAGCGGCATTCCCTTGGCCGCGACCACGCCGTACATGCGCGCGAACGCCCGATCCTTGGCGATGCCGGTTGACATGTTGCCGATTGTTGATGCTGCCAATACGGGGAGTGCCGGCTTTATTCCTAGGTATACGGATAAAGTGTGGGCAGCATTTGCACCAGCATATGTAGCGCTGTACACCAACATGAGCCACTTCGTCGGCGTACTGCGAATATTGCGTATGGGCTGCTTGATCAGTTGGCCGAGGCCCTCGAACATCGCCGGCCAGAGCCGCTGCGCGCCGGCCGCGTTGCGCGTGATGGCCCGGTCCATGGCCGTCACGACGGGGGACACCGCGACGCTCGCGGCCGCGGCCGCGACGCAGTCGCCCGCGAGGCGCAGGACGACGGAGCCGCCCGGTTTTTGCTGCGGCTCCGGCATGGCTGCACGCACTGCGCGCTCGCGCTATCGCGCTGTCGCGCTGGCTGCGCGGCGTCGCGCTGGAGTCGCCTTGGAGAGCGCCTAAAGGAGAGCAGTTGGCTCTAAGCTGTCACTAAGGTGCCGTGTCCATCGATAAACGTTCGAACCGCCTGCAGCCGCAGCAATGCACTGGTTTTTGGCCGTAGTAGCCTAGAGCAGCTTAGTTTTACGAAGAGTTTGTTCAGGCTTGCGTCGAACCCCGCATTTCGCAGGCTGATTGCAAGAGCCCGGAACGCGTGGTGCACCGGGACAGGCGCAGCCGTCTATTGCAGACGGGAGCGATCCGAGGCAAGCATCGGCTAGCGTTAAGACACTCTAGCTCTCTCGCATCACATGAGAGTGAGAGCAAAGTGCTTGCAAACAGCCATATAGGACATCGTTCGGTCCCAGCACAAGAGGGGAGAGGTAGAAATTGTCTATAGCGTAAGCCCTCGGCCCACAAATCAGCAATCATGCGAGCCACGCGCCGCCTCGTCCGCGGCCTCTCAGCAGCAGCACAAAGCACGCCGCCGGCGCGGCCCGAGGTCACCTTCAGCATGGAGGGTAGAGCCGTCGACGTCATGGGCACGTGCCCGGTTCTGAAGGTGGAGACGACGGCGTCGTGCCTCGACGTCGCGGCGACGTTAACCAAACAAAAACGCCACGCCGCGGTCGTCGTCGACGACAACGGCGAGCTCGCCGGTCTATTATCGGAGCGGGACTTCCTCACGAAACTGAGCCTGGACAAGGGCGCCGCATCAAGCACGTCAGCGGCCCAAATCATGACGCCAAAAGAAGAGTTAGTCCTCGGTTCAGGCGCGTGCTCCGTGGATCGAGTAGTGAGAAGGATGCGCAAGGAACGCATCTCGTCGTTCCCCTTACTTGATGATGAGACAGGAGAAGTGTTAGCCGTGATCCACAAGGGGCACATCGCGCGGCAAATTTTTGATGCCCTGAACCAGGAGAACGAGGGTCCAAGTGTGGGCGACATGCTGGACTGGCACGCGGAGAAGGCGCGCGAGGGCGACGTGAGAGGGTGTTCGACATCATTACCGCCCTACGCGTCGTTGGCCGAAGCTGTGGACCTCATGCGCGACGCAGGGTCAGGATCGTTATCGATCTTCGCGCCACCTCTCGCAACACACTCGCACTTCGTCATGACGACGTCCTTCGGCCTCTTTACGGAGCGGGAGTACGTGGCATCGTTACCATTACTTGAGTCTAGGTATGCGGATGATGTGGAGCTTTTCGAGGTCGCGCGTTTTAGTAGGGGCAAGTCCAAGTCGACGATGCGCACGATCCACGACGCCGACGACGTCGTGCGGGTGCGGCCGGAGTCGATCACGGCCGTGGAACGGGCGACGCCGGTCCGCGATTGTTTGTCACTGATGCTGGGCAACGATTTGTTATACGCGCCGGTTACGGAGAACAAGAAGCCCATCGACGTTGTCAGTTTGCGAGATATCAACCTGTACCTCGCGCCGACGGACGGGCAGACTTGAGTAATTTTTTCGTCGTCGTCTTCGTCCCGTGTCCACCGGACGCGTAGTGATAGCCTCGAGTCACATCGCGGTTGCGTGTGTGGATTGATTATTTTCGATTATTCACGCTTCTAGCACTGGTTGGGGGCCCTTGGTATATATATCTATGATTCCTAGTGTCTTTACAGGCCGCTAGCAAGCTCAATTTGCAGCTCCAGCCATTGGAGATTGCGACGCGCTCGCGGTAATCAGCAAACGCAGCGACAGCTTGCATCGCTTATTGCGCGCACAACCTCTCGCCGGCGGCGCCGACGCTCTGTCGTGCTCATACTTTGTTTCCGGGAAAGCACGCCAGACGCGTGTCGCTGCTGCTCAAAGTAGCGCGGCGAGGCACCGCGGCGGCGAATAGCTTGCGCATCAACCCATCACGCAGCCGCCACAGCCGCGGCAAGACGCGTGTCGCTGACGCCATCTCCATCACGTAGCCGGCGCACGCCGCCGTAAACACCTGATTACCATGAAGGGCCACGGCGACGGCGGCATCGCCGGCATCGCGGCGAACGTCAAGAAGTCCAACATGCTGGCGCCCTGGCTAGCGTTTGGCATGCTATCTCTCGTGGTCTATGGCGCTTTTTCGGATGGTGACTTTTCGTTTCTGCTGACGTATGCGTCGCTGACAAGATGTTTTGCGGTGACGCTCTTAGTTGCTCAATTGCAACAGTCCAAGTCGGCGTCGGGCATCAGTTCGAAGACATTGCAATGCTACGTCTGCGTGTTTGCATCCCGTTTATTGAGCATCTTGCGCCACGAGGGCTACCTCCCCTACGACCGGTCGGGCGACTGGATCTACCACTGCATCGAGGTGGGCGCCTTCCTCGCGACGCTTGCGGCGTTGGCGCTCGTGCACGGCCCGTATTCATCAACTTATGATATTACGGCGGACGGCTTCGGCGCGCCGGGCGTGCCCTCGAATTTAGGAGCGTTGGTGCTCATCGTGCCGGCCTTTGTTGTAGCATTACTAGTACACCCGGGGCTCAACAAGGACGTGCTGAGCGACGCGAGCTGGACCTACGCCATGTATTTGGAGAGTTTTGCGGTCCTGCCCTGTGTGGAAATCAACCAGTGCGTCGGGTGCGGCCGTCCTGGCTCCGTCGAGCGGTGAGGAACCGACATCGCCACGCCATCGAGCAGGCGTCGCGTCGATGGCGTGGAGGACGACGCGATGATTCAGCACGAACGCGCCGTAAAATTTTGATTTCCACACAGGTCCTGCCGCAGCTCTACCTCTTCCAGAAGCAAGCCAGACGCGTCGCGACGGTGGATTATCTGGTGGGGCACTTCGTCGCGGCGCTGGGCTTATCAAGGGTGGTGGAGATGGGTTTCTGGATGAACTCGTTTCATGAATTAGCGGACCGCAACGGCAACCGCCACGTCGGCGTCCTGGTCTTGGTCGCACAGATGGTGCACCTCGTGATCATGGGCGACTTCTTCTACTTCTACCTCCGGTCCGTGAAGAAGGGCCTGCCCATCCAGCTGCCCTCGCCCTCGTCGGCGAACATGGTCTAGTTTACTAAGGAGGCGTAGTCTTTACTTGCCAGATGGGAAGGGTCTCGATCGATCGAGGGCGGGGCACGCGCCTCAGAAGCAGCTGAAGCAGCCCTTCTTCTGGGCCCGCTCGCTCTCGAGCTCCGCCCACTTGCCGTCGGCCACCTGAACGATGCCCGGCTCCTCGTTCTCGAACGCCGTCCGCGCCTCGGCGTTCGAGAAGAGGAAGAGCTTCTCGTCGAGCACGACGTAGACGTCCGGATCCACCGTCACGAGCTTGCCCTTCGAGACTGCGTAGGCGCAGTAGCCGCCGTACTGCGGTCGCGAACGCCGGGTTTATTGTGTATCGACCCTTCGACGCGGAGGTGCAGGAGTTATTGCGGAATTGGCGCCGCGTCTACGACCTCGGCTACGCGAAGAAGGTCAGCGTCGACCAGCCGTCGCTCTGGATCGCCCAGCGCAACACGCCGAACCTGCGGATCCAGGTCCTCGACGTGACGATGTCCTGCCGCGTCCACGACAGCTTCTCGCAGTGTGGGCGCTTCTCGGCGCGGCCCGCGAACTTCGTCACGGAGCACACGCGGCGCGCGAAGGCCTGCGTGCTGATCCATGGGCATAACTTGTCGGCGTCGCCGGCGCGGCGCCCGCATCGGTCGGGGAAAGTATCGCCCGCCGAATAACTTAGTATACGAAACTTACGCCGTCGCCGTCGCCTCCAACAAAAGCGAGAAGTAGAAGTTCTGCGACGTCAGGTGCGAGCGGTCGACCTTGAAGCCGTTCTTCGCGAGCGCCGCGACGACGTCCTCCTCCTTGTGCAGGTACGCGCGCGTGGCCTTGGACGGGCCCGGGAACAAGCTACCGACCTTCTTGAGCACGGCGAGCTGCGGCGTTTTGGGAGCGAAGGACACGTAGATCTTGTCCTTCGAGAGCGCGCAGAGCTTGTCGACCAACCCAACCATCTTGTCCGTGGGGTAGTGGATCATCACATCAATACAGGAGACCGTGTCGTACTCTCCATTGACATTCTCCATGTCTGAAGTCTCGAACGTCGCCGTGGTGATACCCGCGGCCGCCGCGCGCTTCGACGCTTCGGTGGCCATGGCGTTCGAGATGTCCGAGGCCGACACGGTCGCGCCCTTCTGGGCTAGCGGGATGGCCAGCGAGCCCACGCCGCAGCCCAGGTCGCAGACCGTCCTCCCGTCGGCCTCGGCCCAGCTCAGCACCTTATCAATGGTCTGCGCGTGGCCGTCGCGGATTTCCTGCTGGACACCATTGACATCATCCGACTCGGAGTAGATCTTGTTCCACCGCCCGAAGCCCTCCTCGCCGTTAAAGTAGCGCTCGACCTCCGTCTTGTCGTCGATGTCCCGGTTGTCCTCGGCGAGGAGCACGGCGAGGCCGCCGCCGACGGCCAGCGCCCCTAGGCCCTCGACGACGCCCAGCGCCTGCAGCTTCGTCGCTGGCCTCCTCGTTTGTGCGGGCGCTTGCAGCGCTGACGCGGCCGCGACGCAGGCGAGTATCCTCATGGCCGCCATGGTAGCAGTAACACGTGTGACGTGTAGCTGCCGTGCAACCGCTTTATGAGCAGCAAGCACGGGTACGCACTAAATCCTTAAGCAAACGCAGCAACCGCGTCGGCTCCGAGGCGAGGTGGACGAGATAAAGAGGCTCGCAAACGCAATCAACTCAAGGGAGGATATGACGGGTTTATTTTGATCGGCAACAGCATGCATGCGGCGTGGCCAGGGGTCTAGTACGCCCCGTGGACGGATGGGGCTGCTTTGCGCCCCATGCGCGGATGCTCGCTACCACCGCGCGGCCCGCGGGCGCGGCAAACCGCTTCTGTTCTGGCCCAGGCCAGGCGCACGACTAGAAATAAATCACACACTAAAAAAGAAATCACACAAAGTCAGCTTAGAGACATAGATCACTCGGCGCTCCCGTCGATGCCCACGGCGGCGTCGGCCGCTTCGCGGATTTGAGCGACCACTTCTTCATCGTTGAGCGCTAGGCAGACGGCCTGCATCTCGCGGTAGGAGCGCTTCGCCCCGCGCGGGGCGCCCGGATCGGCGACATGGAACGCGTAGAAGCGGTAGAGCGCGCACGCGTAGGCGTTCGCCTCCATCAGGCCCGGGAGCGCCGCCGCCTCGGCCTTCGTGAAGCCGAGGCAAACCGAGGCTGACCGCGGCCGGCCACCCTCGGGCGAGAGGCTCTCTAGCAGCACTGCCCGCCGGCGCCCGCGCGAGTAGGCCACCAGCATCTTGCGCAGGCACCTGTGTGGAAATCAACCAGTGCGTCGGGTGCACCCGACAATTCTTCACTAAGTCATTTCTCCGCGATGACGCGGCCGTGCTGGATCGGTCGAGCGGTGAGGAACCGGCATCACCACGCCATCGAGCAGGCGTCGCGTCGATGGCGTGGAGGATGACGCGGCGATCCAGCACGAACGCGCCGTAAAATTTTGATTTCCACACAGGCAGGCACTCGACCTTGAGCGCCGCGCGCTGGGGCGTGCTCGACGCGAGCCGCACGGAATCTACGACGGAATCGTGGAGGAAACAGGCCCCAACCGCCGCCGACGCGACGTCGAAGACCAGCGGGCCGCGCCCGACGTCCTCCCAATCCACGAACGTAGAGATCCCGGTCGCCATGGAGTGCAACAGGTTGTCCGGATACGGGTCCCCGTGGAGCACGCCGGCTGGCAGCTTCGCCGACGCGTCCCGGAGCGCCTGGCGGCAGCGCTCCAGGCGCCCGCCGTCGACGAGCGCCCACCGCACGAAGCCCGTCGGCTCCGCGGGCTCCCACGGCCGACCCGCGCCGACGTACACGTCGAGCGGCGCCGCGCACCGGGCGTAGCGCTCGATCCAGCCGTCGCCCTCGATCGCGGGCAGGTCGTCGTCGTCGTCGACCGGCGACGCATGCACAGCGGCGAGCGCGGCTCCCACCAATTCGCAGGCGGCACTCTCGGGCAGCTCGCCGTCGTCCACCAGCAGGTTGCAGGCCCGGCCCGGCGCGAGCGCCATGGCCACGGCGCAGGCCGGGCGCCCCGTCGTCGTCGTGCAGTCGACCGCGTTCAGCGACCGCAGCGCCGGCGCGACGCCGGGCGAGGCCTTCGCCAGTCTCGACAGCACGTCGAGCTGCACGTCGGCGAGTTCGCGGCAGTCGTCGCCGACGCACGCTTTGAGGACCACGGGCGGCCCATCTCGTAAAACGCAGCGGTAGTTCGCGGCGCAGGCCCCGTTCGTCAGCTTGACGGCGAGCTCCGGCGCTCCTAAACCCAGCCGCACGAGCACGCGCGCGATCTCTTGGCCGCTCAATTCCGCGGCGTCGACAGCGGACTTATCGAACGCTCCCAAGGCCTGGAGCCGGTCGGCTGCTGCTTCGACGTGTCCTGACATGGCTCTTTTGTCTCTGTGTTGTGTGTTTTGGCCGGAGCAGCGAGCTCGCTGCGCGTGCTATTGCTGCGAGATTGTGACTGTTTTGCCTCACGCCCAATAAAAGATGCGTTCGTGAGCCGTGTGCGCGCGCCGAGGCCCAAGCCAGCGGAGAGCGTGAGCAGCTAGCGGCATGTAAGACACTAGCAAGCACTCGGAACGCGCATGCAGCTGTTTGAGTATCGCTCCGTTCGCTAACGGTCCAAAGAGATCAATGGGACACGTACTGGGGGCCAAAAAAGGAATTTTTTTAATTCGCGGCCGAGGGCGCCCGTCGGTCTATGGCGGCCGCGCCGGTGGAATCCTGTCCATCCCTGCCCAAGAGGTCTCCCTGGGGTCGCTTAGGGTCGGTACTATACACGCGCAATCGCCTACACCGCATGCGCCGGCGCTTCAATCATTTTTGGCCGATTTCTCTCAGCAGACCACTCGGTTTAGCCATCTTTTGGCCATGGTTTGCTTCCAGAGCTCCCCGAGAGCAATAGGTTGCTGCGTCGATGGCGTGTGCGGTACAGTCGCTTACCCACTACCAGACCTACCTCGAGAGACTTCCAGGAGCCGATCTGCCCCTGAAAAAAGTGTGTAATTTGGACCCGATGTCGCCCCGTTCCCGTCGGATTGGAGAACGTTGCGGTGGGCACATCAAACTACATTAGGCACGTCGAGCAGACGCAGCTCGCGGCCAGAAAAATTATCTTACGATTTTTGCGGCGGTGCGGCGGCGGCGCGCCCTAGTTTAGCGCGTTGTGTGTAAGCGCGGAGTTTTATTCTTCTGCGCGTGGGGGTATGTGCTACTCTATAGTATAAGTAACTCGCTTAGAAGTGCGGCGTCTTGAACTTCCAGACGCCGCTCACGGGATCAAAGTCCACCAGCGACGCGCCCATCCGCTTCGTCGCCTTTTCGACGCGGCGCGACCACTTCGCGCACTCCGCCTCGGAAGCGTCCGCGCCGGGCCCGACGTTCAGCAGCGTGACGATGGCCGGCCGGTTCAGCTTCGAGCCGACGGCCGGCTTGGAGGCGTCGTCGTCGTCGTAGACCTCGACCTCGGGCGGGCCGTCGCGCTCGCAGATGCGCACGTCCCTATCTAAGTCAACACCGCGGACGTCGACGCGGCCGAGCCACTCGACGCGGCCAAAGTCGGGCCGCTCCACGGCGAAGGCGTGCACCGCGGCCAGCTCGTCGTCCGACAGTCGTTCGAGGATGGCCATCGACGGCTCGGTCACGAAGCCGACCTTCACGAGCTTGGGGGCGTTCGGGTTGATGCCCTCGGACGACAGCGGGTCGACGACCGGCGACAGCACCGACTGTCGCTCGCTAGGCGGCGACCGCGCGGCGTCCGTCGAGCCGGCGACCGAGCTGCGTGGCGTCGGCTGGCCGTGCTCGTGGAAGACACGGTCCAATTGCTGCGTCGGCGTCGGCGCGGACCCAAAGGGCGACAGCGTCAGCGGCGCGCGGGTCGTGCGCGCCGTCGTCGGCGGCTCGGACTCGGCCGCGCCAAATAATGGGGGAGGTGCCGGCGCGGGCGACGGCGACGGCGCGCCGGCGGCGAGCGCTGGCGACGGCGCGCCGGCGAGCGCGAGCGGCGCGACACCTTGCCGCGGCGGCGCGGGCAGCGCCGGGACCGCGGCCGCCTCCTTCTCGAACGGCCTCGACGACCGCCGTGTCGGCGACGACCGCGCCTCCGCGTCGAGGACGAGGCGGCGGTGGCCCAGGCCCAAATAGGCCGCGGGCGACGGCCGGCCCACCGAGACCGCGGGCGACCCGGCGAGCGAGGGCCGTGCCGCTCTCGAGGGCGTGTCGTGGCGGGACCGCGGCGGCGCGCGCGCCGCGGGCGAGTAGGTCGTCGGCCCGGCCAGCGCGGCGTCGAGCGCCCGTCGCCCGGCATCGGACGTGCGCCGCGCGGCCCCGTTCTGGAGCGTGTCGAGGCGGACCGCGGCGCCGTCGGCGACGCGGTCGGCGGCCTTGGCCGTCGCGTCGGCCTCCGAGACGCCGACCACGGACGGCCCGAGCCGCGCTTCGAGCGCCGCGGACCGCTGCGCGAGCGCTGCAACGCTGCCATCGGCGCCGGCGCCGTAGGGGGATGTAACCAGCGACTGCTGCTGCTGCTGCGCGCCGAGGGGGCTCGCCGCGGCGCCGAAGAGGCCGCCGCCCGTCGAGGGCGCGCCAAAGGCTCCTGTAGGTGAGCTTCCGAACAACCCGCCGCCGGGTGCGGGCGCCGGCGTCGAGCCAAACAGTCCGCCGGCCGCGGGCGCCGGCGCGCCGAACAGACCTCCCCCGGCAGGTTTCGCGCCGAATAGGCCGCCCGACGTCGCCGTGCCGCCCAGGGAGAACGCCCCGGGCGCCGGCGCCGGTGTCGACCCGAAGAGGCCCCCAGGCGCGGGCGCCGGCGCGCCGAACAGGCCTCCCGCGGGCTTCGGGGCCCCAAAAAGCCCGCCGCTCGCCGCGGGTGCGCCGAAGGCCCCCGGGGCGGGGGCTGGCGTCGAGCCGAACAGTCCACCGGCCGGCGCCGGGGCGCTCCCGAACAAGCCGCCGGGCGCGGGCGCCGGCGCGCCAAAGAGACCTCCCGGCTTCGGGGCGCCGAATGCTGGCGCTGCGGCACCAAAAGCGCCGGGGGCAGGCGCCGGAGTAGACCCGAAGAGGCCGCCGGGCGCCGGCGCGGGGGCGCCGAACAGGCCGGGTGCCGGCGCCGGGGCCCCAAATAAGCCTCCTCCGGGGGCTGGCGCAGGCGCTCCGAATAGGCCACCCGCAGGGGCCGCCGCGGGCGCGCCGAACGCGGGCGCGGCGCCGAACGCGCCTGGCGCGGGAGCGGGCGCGCCGAACAAACCGCCGCCCGCGGGCTTTGGGGCGCCGAATAAACCCCCGCCGGTGGTCGTATTGGTTGCTCCAAAAGCAGGTGCGGCGCCAAACGCGCCGGGCGCGGGCGCGGGCGTACTTCCGAACAGCCCCGTCCCTGCAGGTTTGGCGCCGAAGAGCCCGCCGGCAGCTGGAGCCCCGAATGCGCCTGGGGCTGGTGCGGCGGCTCCAAACAGCCCACCCGCCGGCGCGGGCGCGGGCGCACCGAACGGCGACGTCGTCGTCGTCGCGCCGAACGTCGACCCAAACGCGCCTGGCGCTGGCGCCGGAGTGCTTCCGAAGAGTCCTCCAGCCGCGGGAGCGGGTGCGCCGAATGCGGGCGCGCCGAAGGCTCCCGGCGCGGGCGCGGGCGCCCCAAACGGCGACGAAGTCGTAGTCGCGCCGAAGGCGCCGGTCGTCGGCGAGCTCCCGAAACCGCCCGCAGCCGGCGCGGCGCCGCCCCTTCCTTTATTGCCCTGCTTGTAGTCCTCGAGGCGCAGCTCCTCGAAGGACTTGGCCCGGTAGGCGGGGTTCGTCGTGATGCAGTGGTAGACCATCTCCATGCGCTTGCCGGACGTGTTCTGCTCCTGGTCGCGGTGCGGCTGGTAGGGCGGCTGGCCCGTGCCGGGCTGCGCCTGCTGCGCCGCGCCGAAGGCCCCACCAGTTGTTTGGCCGAAAGGCGATGCCTTTTGCTGGGTCGCGCCAAACGGGGAGGTGGTCTGCCCGAACGCAGACGTCGTCGTCGACCCGAACGCAGAGGGAGCGGCGGCGGGCGCGCCGAATAAGCCAGTGGCGTTGGACGGCTGCGTCGCGCCGAAGGCGCTCGTCGTCGTCGACCCGAAGGCGCTCGTCGTCTGCCCGAAGCCTCCGGGCGTCGCGGGCGATCCAAAGAGCCCTCCAGGCGCGGGCGCCGGTGCGCCGAACGGCGTCTTCGCAGGGGCGCCGAAGGCACTCGTCTGCCCGAAGCCGCCCGGTGTCTGGGGCGAGCCAAAGGCAGGCGCGCTCGTCGACCCGAATGCGCTGGTTTGTTGTTGTTGCGGCGGGAAACCGCCGAAGGCGTTCGTGGTTGTTGACGCGCCAAACGTCGGCTGGCTCGGTGTGCCAAAGGCGCCGAACGACATGGTGGCGGCTAGCGTTTGCGCGCGCTGCGCTTTCTGCTACCTCTGCGCAGCGCGCTGAGGTCCGGGCGCGGCGATCGCGTGCGCGGGCGCGCTTTAACCAGGCGGAGAGGCCAGCGGGCGCGGCCTCTGGTTTTCAGCCGCGGCGCGGCGGCGTTGCAGCGCAGCTTGCGAGCCGCTTGTATGGCGTGCTGTGGTGTGCTGGAATACTCCGCAACGTTTATTACGCGAGCCCAGTGTGTGGGCAAAAACCGGGCGGCGGCGACAGCCACTTTTGGGCCTAATTCGGGTTTTCGAAGCCGGAGCGATCCGTGCTCGGGCGTGACCCAAGGAGGAGTCCCTCGCCGGCCATGACCACGCTTCGAGTAGTCTGCGCGAGCACGGCCGCGACACTAGGCATCCAGCGGCACTAGCCTCGGGAGGGAGCAACGCCGACCAAAACAAGCGCCGCGGCGCCGTCGGGACGCCATCGAGCCGCTGAGCGTGCCGTCGTCGGCTGCCTTAGCGACGCCAGTCGGACGCTGGCGGTCATCGAGCCTGCCGCACAACACGGCGGGCTGCCCAACTTAGCCAAGCCTTAGCCTCAGGGCAGCCAAGAGCGCCGCGCAAGGATTCACACACTTGGAACAAGCAGCAGCGCAAAGGGAGCAAAAGGCCAACATGTCGAACGCCACGTACAACGGCCAGTGGGCCGGCGCCATGGCCGAGCTCGCCGAGCAGGTCCACCTCGAGGACCCCACCCTGGAAGCCGAGGAGGGCGCGCCGGAGCCCGAGCCCGTGCGGCCGACGTCGATCGCCCAGGCCTTCCAGCACTTTGCGTGTTTGTACATCAAGTACCTGCAGATTTTTAGGAAGCTCGAGCGGTGTTACGACGGCATGGTCCACCCGCAAAAAAGGTTGGCGGTGCTGAAGGTGCTCGAGTTAGTCATGCAGCGCGTCGTCGAGTTGAAACATTCCCTCGTCAAGTACAGCCCACCGCCGCCGGTAGTGCAGCAGGACAAGAGCTTCCCCTGGGAGTACGTGAACCTCGACAGTGTCTTGGTCGATCTCAAACTGCCCCCGGAGACGCTCGAAGTGCCGGTACCAAAATATTTCCGGGAGGACTCGGAACAAGCGCGGAAAGTCCGAGACAAGATCGTGGAAGGCTACATGCAGGTGAAGCACGGTGTCACGGAGATCCCCCTCGAAAGTTCGGATGGGCAAGACACTAGTGGCTCCATACCGTTAGATAAAGCTATCGAGATCATCCAGCTCAACGAGCGAGGCCGGCAGGGCAAGGAACGAGCTACATTAGTCAAAGTGCTGCGGGAGGAGGAAAAACGTAGAAAGGCCTACGACGCGGCGCACGGCGGCGCCGAGCTCGACCAGGACGTCGCGTCCATTGAGATCCAGCGGGCTTTACGTGGATTAGTCGCTCGAAATAGAGCTTCACGACTACGAGACCGTGAGTTAATCTTCCTCGGCATGCGGCCAAGTATCACCGAGAATGTGGATCGCGAAGCCCAGCTCAAGAATGCCTACATCATGCGCAAGCAGGAACAAAAAGACAACAAGGACGCCTACGAACGCGCTTTGGAGGACATGAAGGAGGTCGTGTACAACGACGAGGGGCCCGACATGAAGCGCGAACTCGAGGGGGAGCGCACCGAGTGGCTCGCGGATGCGATCCTCGAGGAGGACACGACGGGCATCAAGCCGGCCGAACTCGCGGATGAAGGCAAAAAGCCACGGGAGCGCGGCGGCAAGAAGAAGGCGCGGGAACGGGGCCTCATGCCCGAGTCCATGCAAGAATTTTACGACGACAAGTATCCGGAACCGGTCGAGGAGGAGCCCGAGGCCGACCCCAAAGCCGACAAGGGGGCCAAGAAGGACGACAAGGGTAAAGGTAAAGGCAAGAAGGACGAACCGGAAGAGGAGGAGTTACCTTTGTTGCAGGAGAAGCGCGACTTGACCTCGAAGATGTTCGAGACCACGGAACACTATCAAAATGAATGGGAGGACTTCAACGAGGAGGACAACTTCGCGCAGAAGCACGACGTGGAGCTCGTGAAGAATGAAATTAGGGATGGTGTGAAACTACAAATCCGCGACGAGGTCGACGAGATGTTTAGGGATCAACTCAAAAAGCTCAAACAGGAGCTCGGCCAGAATTTCGCGAAGCCGCCCAAGGCCAAGAAAATCAAGCCTAGCAAGAAGAACGCCAAAGGTGAAAAAATAAAGTTCAAGAAGCTCACGGGCGACAAGAACAAAGAAATCGCGGGCCTTAGTGTGGAGGAGACTCTTGTTAAATTAGTGGATCACGGGTTGGTCAACTCCTACAAACCGCGCAAGATCTCGGATTTGGTCGGCGATTTCAACTACCTGGGTACGGTTCGTCAATCGTGCGAGCCGCCCCAAGGCGAAGAATGGCAGCCGGCCGATCCAAGCATGCAGCAGTTACGAGCTGCTATTACCGAATATTGTATCCTACCTCTTGGTTCACAACGAGTGGCCACGGCCATGCGCGGCGACCAGCACGGCGACGTACCTGATAGCTCATACGAGCCTGTTAGATCGATACTGTTATACGGTCCCAAGGGTAGCGGCAAGACGGCCATGGTCGAAGCGATCGCTCATGAATTGGGTGCGCTGCTCATCAACATCTCCCCCGCCAAGGTCAAGGGCAAGTTCGGAGAAAATAAGAAGGCTCCCGCGATCCTTCCTCACCTCATCTGCAAGGTCGCGACGGACCCGGCCTTCAGCCCCGTCATCGTCTACATGGACGACGCGCACGAGTACATGGTGGGAAAAAAATTTGATAAACAGGGTCCCGGGCGCTTCTGCAAGGAGTTCCAGAACTACAAGAAGTCCTTTTTCACGCGGAAGAAGAACGGCGGCTTCTTCACGGTGTCAGCGAAGAAGGGCCCGCAGCCGTGCCCGCCCGACGACAAGAATTGCCCGAACGGGACCTTCGACGCTCGCATCTTATTTATCGGGTGTACGTCTCAGCCCGAGTTAGCGGACCCGAAACAAACGAAGCTCTTCTTCGACAAGATGCTCTACTTTCCGTACCCCGACCACGCGTCGCGCTACATGCTCTGGAAGCGGACCATCGCGGAGCAGTTGAAGGGCTCTCCCGTCAACAGTGTGGGAGATCTATCGACGCTCGCGCACGTTTCTGAAGGATTCTCGGCGGGCGCCATTATATCTTGCGTGAAGAAGACGCTCACGAAGCGACGGGTGGAACGGTTGAGCAAAAGGCCCTTCGAGTCGTCCGAGTTCCTGAACCCTTTGGCGAGGGCGGCCGCCGAAAAGCAGCTCAGCTACCAGGACGACCACAAGGCCTTCCTCAAGTTCACGAGTGAGGTCGCGTCGACGCTCGCGACCGAGAAGAAGAACCTGGAGATCATCAAGGCGGGCGGCGATCCGAACGCGAAGAAGAAAGGTAAAAAGAAGTGATGGCGGCTAAGTACTTTTCTGTCATTCTCGCGACCTATATCCCGGGGGCTTTGCGCGTCGGCGTCGCCTGGCGTCGACTGCGTCGCGGTACATGGGTCACGTCTATGTCCACCTCGACGCTGTCTCGAGAGCCGACGCCGTCGCAGGAACGACGTTGCGTCGATGGCGTGAGGGCCGCGCGCGGCTCTAAATGCCTTAGGATATGCTACTTATGTCTCCGACGACCTCGTCGTCGCCCTTGTCGTCGAAGAAGTCGTCGTCGAGGCGGCTCGCGGCCTTGGCGTCGAGGCTCTCCCGCCGCTCCGCGTGCTCCCCCTCGTTAGCGAGCATGCCCTGGACCGCGTCCTGGAGGAAGATGTCGCAGTCGTAGTCCCGCCACGTCCGCTGCAGGTCCGCGGGCAGCGTGCCCCAGGATACGCCCGGCGAGACCGCGTGGTCGGTCCGCCACTTTCTACAAGCCTCGCGCCGTTCCTCCGTCGGCGGCAGGTCGACGACGCGGTCGTCTTCTGGACTTTCTTCGGCGCTCGTCTCGCCGTAGCGGTCGTCGCCGCCGCCCTCGGCCAAGACGTCGTCCTTGTAGACGTCGTCGCCGAAGGTCGTGGAACCTTCATCCGGACTGCTGTCGCCGAAGACGGGCATCGGCGGCGCGTGGTCCTCGGCGAGGTGCGCCACGATGGCCGCCGCTTCCGCGTGGCACTCCTTCTTTAGCTCCCGCAGATCCATCATTTTCGTGATGCCGAAGCGGTCTTCCAGGCCCATGATGACCTCGTGCAGGAGCGCCGCGTTCTCCCGGGCCTCGACCTCCATGGCCTCGAGGCGGCGCTCCAGCGCGACGCGCCGCGACGTCGCGGAGCCCGGATCGTAGCCGCCGCAGCCGTGGTTGTACTTCAGGTTCACTAATACCAGAACCACGCAGAGCGCCGTGAAGAGCGTCTCCAAGATTATTATCGAGAGGTTGCGGGCCATCTTTCGCTGCGGCTCGCGCTTGCCCAGCAGGTCAGTGGCTCTCCCGGTGCGGAGGGGCTTTGCGCAGCGGGACTTGTGCCGCCAGCCGGCTATAGTATTGGAAACAGATAAAATACAGCCGCAAATCACTTCAATGGTGCATTCCACCCTGAGTTTGCTAAGCTCCGCAAAAAGCTGTGATTACTAGTGTCTTACTGAACGCTGGCTCGGCGTGAAACGCGGAGCTTCACCGCCTGAGTACTACGCCCGTAGCCCATTTAGGAACCCGCCCAGGGCCTTCAGAGAGCCCCACCATGACGAAGTTCCTATTGACCACGGCCGGCGTGGCCTCGGTGCTCACGCTGCTCAGCGGAGGCCGAAGGTATCAGTCAGAGTCACATTTAGCCGCGCGCGACCTTCCCGCCCCCCCAGGCCCCAGGGGACGCCCCAGGCGACCGCTCGAACCTCACAGGCAGCGCCCCTTCCCGAACGACGGCGCCTACCTCCGGGCCCTGGCCGACGTCCACGACTACTGCTCCGACGACTTCATGCGCCTCTGCACGTCGCAGGGCACGGAGATGGAGGAGGAGCCCGCCGACGAGGGACTCGTCGCGCCGGTCCGCCGCCTCGCCACGCTCCTGATTGACGTGCGCGCCGTCGACGCCGACGCCGAGGCCCACGGGCCCTCGCGCCACGCGGCGCCGCTCCGCCTCGGCCGCGGCCGCGACATGTGCCTTCGTGCCCACCTGTGCATAAATCAAAATTTCACGACGCGTTCCTCCGCGCCACACCTGCTCGATAGCGTGGCGGTGCCGATTCCTTCGCCACCCGACTCACTGGTTGATTTGCGCACAGGTGCCCACTATGACGAGCTCTCGACGGAGTGCAAGGCGGCTGTGGCCTTAGTAGACGACGCCGCGGAGGCCATGCCCCACCACGGCATGTGCCCGTTCATGATGTCTCTCTTCTTCGGCGCGCTGATCGGCATGGTCTTCCTCGTGCGTAAGGTGCGCGCGAAAAAGCAGATCATGAAGAAGATCCTCGAGGCCATCCGCGCGGACACGCAGCTCCAGGCCCTCGTCGAGGCCAAGGCCGGCGTCTCCGTGCCGGCGCCGTGCAACTGCAAGTGCGGCCTCCACTTCCGCGCCGCCGTGTTCGCGCTCCTCCTCAGCATGTTCGTCGGCGCGCCGCTGGTCATGGTCGTCTCCCTGATCGGCTGCTGCTGCTGCAAGTGCTGGAAGTGCTGCCGCGGCGGCTGCTGCGCCCCGAAGCCCGACGCGGCGCCGGAGGACTACGCCGCGCTCTCCGACACCGAGAAGCAGCAGCCCTCGAGCCTCCTCGCCGCGTCGCGCGACGAGAAGTAGACACCGACGCTCATCTGAAGCCTACGCCCCATACGCCCCCTCGTTCCCTGTCCTGATTACGTAAAAAAGATTTTATATGACCCCAGAACCAGCGGCAGACTGATAACATATCCCGGCGATAACCAGGAGACAACAGCAACCAAAACAAGCCAGGCTGATCGAGGTTGCCTGGCGTCGTCGAGGCGGCCCGCGAACCCACCGTCCCGTGCCGCCGCCCCGTTTCCTGCGCACGACTACTTAGGCAGAGAGAAACATTCGATTGAGACTTCGCACGAAGATCACTACCGCGAGACGTCGCGAAGCGCGGACCCGCACTATTTTTCGCAGATCGGATTCGCCTTCGCCTTCGCCGCGAACGCAAATCAAAAAGGCAGCCCGCGGCTGCAGAAATTGGTCCGCGCGCACGACCGCTGCGCAGAAATTGTTGCGCACAACAACCGAAGCCAGGCAAGAAAAGCATGCCCCAAATCCACGCCCACGAGACGCGCGGCGCCGCCGCCTGGACGGCGGCCACGAAGTCTACCAGTAGCGAGGATCATATTAAGAGGAGCATGGCCGCCACGTCGTCGCGCTGCGAGGTGCTCCTGGCCATCCGAGAGCAGGGCGGCAACGACGACGAGTCCTACGTCGAGTTACTGGTCCACGCTTTGAAATGTAGACAGTTATCTGTGAGTAGAGAAGGCAGATACCTACTCGTGACGTGCAAGGGCGACGTGCTAGCAAGGGAAGCGGACGCTTGTAAATTGGTGAAGACGAGACGGAGCGATAAGAGGGTGGAGGTCTTTGTTGACAGGGACGGGGCGAGATTGCGGTACGAGCTCGACGCCGAGGGGTGTTTGTTCTCGCGGGCCGAAGAAGCGTTATTACTTGAACGAGCGTGTACAAAAGCTACGGTCGAACAGGCCGCGGAAGGTCTCGGAGCGAGGTGGAAGAAGAAAAGTAGAGACTTGCCGCCGCAAATCGCTCAATTAGCGGAAGACTCTTTACTGGAAGCCTTGAAGCAGACGGGAGTCATCGAAGATTCTGTTATTTTGGGCATCAACACCCAAATGAGCTGGTGGGCGTGGGTGTGTGCGCCCTCACAAAAGATCCACAAGGCCTTCGGGAGCGACGTCGCGTTGTACTTCGCGTGGATGAATTTTTTTCAGTTGTGGCTGTTAATACCTTCTTTAGTAGGAGGGTACGTCTACCACCTGAGGATCGAGGAAGGTGTTTCTATTGACGACGACCAGTGGGCCCCGGTGTATGCTTTAGCGGTGTGCTTGTGGGCGGCGTTGTTCTGCAAGTTTTGGAGTCGTCGTGAAGCTCAAGTAGCCGTGGACCACGGCGACGTTCTATTGGCGAGCGACGGTGGTGTGCGGCCGGGCTACCGGGGCGCGCCGCGGCCGTCGCCCGTCACTGGGAAATTGGAGCGGTATTCGCCGCCGATCTATAGGCATTTAGCGTACATCCTCTCCATAATCGTGACGGGTTTGATGTTACGCGTCGCTTTATTATGGCATGTGATATCACTAAACCTGCAGGGCTACATCACTTCTGATTATGTCGGCGAGCAGGACTTTTATCGGGCGGACGTCGCGAAGTATGCCTTAGAGGGTGAAATCTTCGACCCGAAGAGCACGGAATTCTATGGATTGAAGGCGTTAGTACCTACTTTAATACATGTCGTCGTCGTTAGAATACTGAACCTGATCTACTCGTACGTCGCCGAAGTACTCACGAAACTGGAGAACCACGAGACGCAGAGCATGCACAACAACGCGTTACTTGTCAAACGCTTCATTTTCGAGGCCGTCGATGCCTACGCTGGGTTGGTCTTCCTAGGGTTCGTGCGACGGGATGTGGTAAGATTGCGCCAGGAGCTCATCGCTATATATTGTGTGGACACAGCAAGAAGGGTCTTCCAGGAGGCCTTGTTACCTTTATGTATCACAGCCATAACATCCCTAAGAAACAAGGACACAACCGCTAAGAGGAAGAAAAATGACGACTTCCGCTCGATGACCTTGAACCGGACGAAGTCCAACATCGATACACGGGCGGAGAAGGAGCTCGCGAAGCCTGTATATGAGCCCTTCGACGACTACCTCGAGATGGTCATCGAGTTTGGATATGTATGTCTCTTTGCCTCGGTGTTCCCGCTCGGGGCGTTATTGTCATTCGTGGCGAATTTTGTCGAGGTGCGGTCGGACTTGTTCAAGATCCTTTACGTGTATAGGAGGCCGTCGCCGAAACGCGCTCGTACTATCGGCGCGTGGGCTCCTATCTTGAGGGGTTTGGTCTACGTCGCGATCGCCTCGAACGCCTTCCTCTTTGCTTTTGGTTCTGAACAGATGGTGCGCTGGTTCCCGCAATACTTCGACCGCGTTTCATTAAGGAAGGCGGGCTTCTCGAAGGACTACGCGAAGAAGGTGGCGCGCGAGGGCGGCGAGAAGAGCGCCGCGGAGGCCCAGGCGGGCAAGGGGCGCGTCGTCGTGTTGGTCGCCGTGGCCCTGGAGCATCTCGTCGTGCTCGCTTGTGTATTGGTGGAATTGGTGATCCCGTCCATGGGCGAGGGCACGCGCGTCGAGGTGCAGCGACTGCTCTACGAGCGCGACCGCGCCGCCTCGGCCTAAGTTACACATCCCTTATTAGTCCGGGTCCCAGGGTCGGATGATGTCCCCGTCTTTATAGTCGTCCTTCAGCGCGGCGAGCGCTGCGCCCAAGTCCGGCTTGGCGCCATAGGGGTGCAGCTGCTCGTCGTCGTCCGAGGAGTCGTCGGACGCGGTCTCCTCCGACTCCGACTCGCTGGAGCTCTCATCGTTGTTTGCGTTGTGATAAAGCACCCGGGCGCCTTGCACGCGCATGCTTCCGTCGGGGCCGCGCACGGTTGTGACTGGCACGGCGCCCGGCGCCACCCTTGGTTTGGGCTCGGTGTCCGTGGGCTCGTCGTCGTCGTGCCGCCGCCGCAGCCGCCGCATGGCGTCCGGGTCCGCCCGAAACAAGTGCGCTGCCAACTCCCTGCCCAGCCGCCGCTCCCTCGCGTCTCGGACCTCCTGCGGTACGTTCGCCGCGGCCGCGGCCTTAGCCTCGCTCGCTTCGAAGACCTCGGCGTTGTTCCGCAGACACGCTTTGAGGCCCTCGGCGTCATCGACGGCGAATCGTCTTCCCCCAAGCTCGACGGTCGTGCGGTCCTTCGCTTCCTGTCGAGCCTCGCTCGCTTCCCGCCGGGCCGTCGCGGCGAAGGCGTTCAATTTCATGAGCTCTTTCTGAACCTCGCGGGCCGCGTCCTTGACCCGCTGCTCCGCGTCGCGTCGCGCCCTTCGGTCCTCGTTGCCCATCCGCAGCCGCTCGCCGAGGCGCTTGGCGACGACCTCACCGCTCGCCCCGTCGCCCGGTTTTGCGATGTCATCCAAATCTTCCTCTGTCACGCCGAGGAGCTGCGCGAGGCGCCGCCGCAGCTCGCGCCCTTGCTCATCTCTGTCCCAGCGCGACTTTTTCTCCTTTTCGCGCGCTTCCAGCGCGTGCCCCAGCATTCCCATCCCTACCCAGGTCGCAAACAGGACGATCGCCAGCAGCGCGTAGCGCCCCGTCAGGGCCGCCCACATACCGCGCGGGTCCGGCCACGTCCTGTCGCGCACGCGGCGCACGACCGAGCACAGGAGCTGCGTGTAGACGGCGCAGGCGGCCCAGAGCGACCGGCCGATCGACGCTTCCAGTAAACACGTCCCGAAGCCGACGGCCCACAGGTACATCACGAAGAGCATACAGTACCCCAGCACGGGCCAGTCGTCCCTATCTACGGTCGCCGCGAAGAGGTAGGACGCGACGTACAAACATTGGACCGTGCCGAAGGCCGTGCCCTTGTTCGCGCCGCTGTCCATGAACGAATACTCGAGGTGCTGGCCCAGGGGCACGATCAGCCAGATCCTCAGTAATAAGGGAACCAAGCCGAACGACCGATACAAAAACACGGGGTACGCGAAGATCGAGATCGTCTGGAACCACTGCACGCCCATGAAAAGCAGCTCGATCCAGGGCGGGCAGCCCGCCGGCGTCCACCATCTCACGCCATTGGTCTTCGGGAGCGCCACGCCGCAGACGAATTCGTCCGGCGGCTCCTGCCGGAATCGTTCCTTCATCTTCTCGTCGCTGTAGTAGTCGTCGTCGTCGTCCGCGATTCTGTTCAGGCGATGCCGCAGGCCCTCCAGCTCCCTCAGCCGGCCATCATTCACTCTCTCCTGCATTTCTCGCGCGAGGCGATCTCCGCGGTCCATCTGTGTGGGGCGACGCGCCTTTGCCTTGTGCTGTCGATTTTGCCTTGGGTTTGGTCGGCTGCCCCAGCAGTACCCGTGAAACTCGTGTGCTTGAAGCTGCCCACAACAAACACGTAGGCTGCCCACAGGCTGTGTTGAGCTACAACACGGGGCGCCGTCGCGTCGAAGCTGGAGAACCTAGTATGTCTATTGACACTAGCTCGATGCAGCTCGCTTTTGCATTGCAGCGCTCCTCACACTATATATCAGCAGTTGTGAGCACGCAGGAGTGGGTTTTCGTTGCATTGAAAAGCGATCCTGTGAGTTGTGGTCGAATCGAGCGAAGACCTAGCAAGCAAACACTCATCTGCCCTGCACACTGCTGCAGCGCATAAAATGCGGCCGCTATTGACGCTCGCCGCAGCAATGCTCCAAAGCTCTCGTGCGCTGCAGCCCCTCGTGCAGCGCTGCTGCGCGGAATCGCTCGCGGGCTGCGCCGGCGGCCTCGCGAAGCAGCTCGCCGTCTACCCGCTCGACCGGGCCGCGACGCGATTGGAAACCAAGAAGGGCACCAAAGCCACGAACGTACAACAAGCCTACCGCGGCGCCGGCGTGTTGATGCTCTTCGCGCTGCCCTACGCCATCGCGTTCCACGTGCCGTTCGTCCTCGTCGAGAACGCGCTGCCCGTCGGCGACGCGGCCGCCCGAGCGTCTATCGCGGGCTTCCTGGCCGCGCTCGCCGCGGCGCCCGTTGGCGTGCCCGCGGAGGCCTGCAAGCGCCGCGTCCAGCTCGGCGCGCCCGTGAAAGAAGCATTGGGTGGCGGCCGGTCGCTCTACGACGGCTTCTGGGCGACGGCGGCGCGCAACGTGCCTTATAATGCGGCGGCCTTCGGGGCCTATCGTTTTTTAGAAAGGCGAAGCGTCTCTCCACTTTTATGTGGCGTCGGCGCGGGCGTGGCCTGCGCGGTCGCGACGCACCCCTTCGATGTGGTGGATGCGCGGCAGCAGACGGCGCGGACGTCCGCTTCCGCGGCGCCGCCGCCGAGCTTCTTCGCCCTGGAGACGTGGGCGTCGCTCGCGCGGGATCCCGGCGCGTTAATAAGGGGCCTCCTGCCGCGCGTTTTTGCATTGGCGCCGGGCACGTGGCTGTTTTTTGCGGTTTTTCGGCCCGTGCGGGATAGGTTAATGTCTGTATGAATTACGAGGCCTAGTCTGTACCGGGAAGCCCCAGGAACTGCGTCAGCGAGTCGCCCCTCCGATGACTCCGCGTCGCGCGCGTCGCCGACTGGAGCTCGTCGGCCGGCAACGCTATTACAAGATCAACGTTCCGCGCTACTAAAATCCCGGTCCTTCGGTCGCGCAGCTCCCGGGCCCAGCGCACGGCGTCAACAGCTTTCGGGCCGCCGAAGAAGCGAGGCACCGCCCCGCATCCGATAAAGTCGATTAGATAAGGTGCGAACGCGTGCGATAGAGGCACGCGCCAGTCGGACGAAGCCCGCGATAATATACTGCACTCGTTCCTTTCTAGGATCTGGATCAACCTCTCGACGTCCGTGTATTGCTTCTGGTCCTCGACCAGATGGGCGTCGTAGGCCCGCAACAGCTCCTCGGCGCCGTGTGGATGCAGCTCCGTCTTGCCTGAAAAAGTGATGGGCAGATAGGCCGTCCCGCGCGGCTTGCCTATCCTCCTCAACCCGTCCGCGAGGATCTCGGGTCTTACCAGATCGGCGAAGGCGCTGCCACACACTAAATCAAAGGAGCCGAAGGCGTCCGCGTCGAGCGCATCTCCACAAACCACGGCTATTGAACATCGCACTCCTCCTATATCACAGATCCCGTGTCTCAATCTTTCAAAACTCCGAGAGGCGAGCGGGTCCGCGTCCGCGGGCCACGGCGTGTTTTGGATCTGGAGCTTGGCGAGACCCTCGGCCAGGGCGTCGCGGTCCCTATCGACGGCCAGGTATTCGAAGGTCGCGAAGCCGGCGGCTTTCACGGCTTTCGCTATCACCGGTAACAAGGAGAGCGTCCCAGCTCCCAGGTCGACGCACCGCGGCGGATTACCAGTCGCGAGGCGCTCCGTTAGCACGGCGAGGGCCTCTTCAGAACGGGACGCATCATCAATAGCCGCCTTCTCCCGAAAATAGGCGAGGCGGTCCACGGGCGACGCGGCACAGCACCCCAGGGCCGCGAGCGCCGCTCTCCTCACGTCGCCGTTCTGAATAGAGACGGTGCGCGCGAAGGCCTCGCGCGCGGGCGCGCGCGACGACAACAAAATGCCTTTGGGCCGGGGCATGTCGACGGCCGCCGCGGCGCCGCTCACCTGGATGTCGATGGGCCGCCAGCCGCAGGGCAGGGCGTCGAGCGGCCACGTCCCTTGCGCGTGCGTGACGCCGTCTCGTTCGTTTCCGCGCAGCGGCGTTGTGTTCAGGTCGTGGCTGTCTATTAAGAGTTGGTCGTCGTCATTTGCGAGCAGGTGGGCGGCCATTTGTGGTCTGGCACTCGCGAGCGACTGAGGAGAGGCCTGGCAGCACAGCCGAGTGCAATCCGCGATGCGGAGAAGAAGAGCTGGAGAAACAGTGTCTGGTGCAACCGTTGGTCCTGAAGAGTGCTGGCGCACTTGGAACAAGTTTTTTGTGCAATCACAAGGCCTACTCGCGCTATGCCAAAGCGTTTTTGCCGCGGATTAATCCGCTAGCGGAGTAAGACACTAGCAACAAAGCAAGCTAAGGCTGCCAAGCATAAAACAGGGCGGACGGCGCGCTATTGTTGCCTTAGCGACAACTGCTCGCCGCCGAGTTGCCTCTAGCACCGCTGTCCAAAGTACAGCTGCGTCCAGCATCGCTACGATGACAGCGAGCTCAAATGGGAGTGGTGCGGCAGACAGCGGAGGAGAGGCGCCCGCGAACACCGTGCAAGTAGGGGGCTGGACGCTCAGCGCTGATCTGTCGCCGGAGGCGATGGCGCAGGTTCAGGGCTTGATCAGCGGCATGCAAAACGAGTCGTCGGGCCCCGCGCGGCAGGCGGTCGAGCGGCCCGACGGCAGTATAGAGTTTCCAGAGCGGAGCGACGATGATAAGGCCGCGGCGGACGCGGCCTTCGCGAAGCTAGTCGCGCAACATCCGGGTGCGCGCGAGCTTTGCCCCGGCGTGTACGCCGTGCCGCCCGACGCCGTCGTGCGCGACGCCGAGTAAGATGTTCGACGAAAGACGAGTAGCACGCACCACCGGATGCACACAATGCCTAGGCTGGAGAGGCGTCGCACCGGACCTGCTTGCTAGTGTCTTACAGGCCGCTAGCTCGTCGGCCGCCCGCGAAAGACCTTTAGACGCTGCTTTAGACGCTGCAAGCGCGCGTTCTAAACTCACTGGATCTATCCTCTCCCGCGCACCATCCGTTTTGTGCCGCGGCCCACCGCTAGGAGACCAGCAGTCGCTGCCCATCACCTCTGAAGAGATGATGAAGCGCGGCGCATTAATCGCAACACTGCTGGCCAGAGCCGCGGCGGATTGTACGATAGACGACACGACGCCCGTCACAATAATAGCGGGCGCCAGCCACGCCGGCGCCGACACGCTCCACGATTCGTTACGAAAGGCCTTGGCCCTGCCGGACCGGAAGCGCAACGAGGTCCACCATTTTAATGATGTAGCTTCTTATGGGAAGGGCAACGACCATTATTGGCAGAGCTTGGGCTGCACCGGCCAAGTAATGGTCGACGAAAGCCCGGGCTACCTCGCGCATAGCGTCGCACTGTTGAGGGCCGCGTCCCAAGTTCCTAGAGCGCGCTGGGTCGTGTTACTGCGGGAGCCCGTGGAGCGCGCGCTGTCGCACTTCATGCACCTGCCCCGGAAACAGGGCGGCGGCCAGGGCTCTCTGAAAGGTTTTATGGAGGCCATTGAGGAGGAACGGTCCTGCATCGACGCGGCCTTGCACGCGCGCGCGGCCCACGGCCACGCCGACATCACGCACGAGTCGGGAGACGCCCTCTACCCGCGCCTGGCGGCGAGGTATGCTTTTGAGCACTGCGCGGATCATCTGCCAGGGGGCGGGCGCCAAGCTAGGGCTCATGGGTCAGCACATTTCGGCAAGGAGCACGGGCTGCTGTCCTTATCTTTATATGCTCCTCAGCTTGAGCATGCAGCTAGGATGGCCTCGAAGATGGACCTCGCGAGTCCCTTGGTCGTCGTCTCGTCCAAGGCGTTCCACGACGACGCCGCCGGCACCGTGTCTGCCATTGTGGGAGCGTTGGGTTTAGGCTTAGGTAAAACGAGCAACGCGGCGCCGGCGTTCGTGGACCGGCGGACGGAGCTGGACGCGGCCGCGGTGGAGGCGCTTGACTTATTATTTGAGCATCCGAACTGCGCGCTCGCCGCCGTCGTCAACAACCGGACGCTCGTGCCGCATGCTATTGGATTGGAGCACGACGCGGCGTGGCTTCCCTTAGATATGAAGTGCAACGCGCACGGCAAGGCCGTGCACCCGCAGCCGCGCGTCGACCGCGAGGAGCTCTAGGTGTCCCTGATTAAGTCTTTTTTACGTCACGGTGCTAGGATCAGTGGCGGCGGGCGCGCGCCGCGTCTTTCATCACGGAATACCTCCTTCTGGAATCCTCGTAACGTGCGGGGCGAAAAAACAACTCACGTCGCGGCGATGGCGCGATCAGGGCTATATTGTTACGGTGATAGGACTAGCGGGCGCAGCCCCTGGGGAAAGACATCGCACATCGCCGATTCCTCAAATACGGCTCCGGCGTGGAGCTAGCGGCTGTAACACACTAGCAATCGCTTTGCTTTTGCAAGCTTGCAAACTACCTTGCAAGCGGCCGGAGCGACGCGCGAAGGGCAGCTCCAAAAGCTGCTAGAGCTCCTCCCGGGTCGAACGCGAAGGGCAGCCCCGTCCTCCCGGGCAGGCGTGCGCCGGAAAAAAACAGCTCGCGGCGGCGGCGGCGGCGGCATGGCGGCCGACGGCCTGTCGGCCCTGTGCTGCGCGGTCTGCGGCTACGGCTTCCTCGTGACCATGTGGCGCTGCCCGAAGGGCACGGGCGCGTACCAGCAGCAGCGGCTCCCGGCGTGGTTCCCGGTGCTCACGCCCATCGCCTACGTGGGCGTCTTCCTGCTCGTGGGCTGCGCGTTTCTCGTGGCCGTGAGCGGGGTCGTGGACACCCCAGAGGTGATGAGGCAACGGTACGACCCCAACTGGACGCCGGACGGCGTCGCCTGCGCGCTCGGCGCGACGTGCCAGGTCAAGTTTGAACTAAAGGAGGACATGGAGGCGCCCGTCTACGTCTACTACGAGATCGAGAACTTCTACCAGAACCACCGCGACTACCTCAAGTCCATGTACTGGCCCCAACTACACTGGCTGAATACCAAAGATAAGTGCGAGTCTGACGACTGCGTGAACAAGGACAACATTAACAAGGGGGAATACAATTATAATAGGGAGTACTGGGAGGAACTACTGAAGAGCAACTGCAAGCCCCTCTGGAAGGATAAAGGAAGGCACCTGTCGCCGTGCGGCGTCGTCCCGAACACCATGTTCGACGACACCATACGACTTAACTCAATACGGACGACGCCGGGCATCACCATGCGCGAGGACAAGATCGCGTGGAAGTCTGATGTGAACAATGTGTTCCAGCAGCCGTTGGGCTTCGACTACGCGGTCCTCCCCCCGGAAGCGGACACGTCCGACGCCTGCTTCGGCACGCCCGGAACGGCCTGCGACGCGGCCATCTGCAACTTATACTTACCGACGCGCAAGGACGCGAAACGGGACTTCGAGGACAAGACGTCGTCAGACAACTACAAGGAGTTCTGGAAGAAGGCGGATCTCGAGAGGTGCTTCGGGTATACCTGTAAGGGCGCGCCCGTCGACGCGAAGCGGAGCCTCGACGTCCCCTTCGGGGAAATTTGCAAAGCCGGCGAGAAGGCCGTGTTTGTGTACCCCGACCCCGACAAGTACCAGTACCTCTACGAGACGTTTCCGGAAGTGATCTCTCCATTAGTAGGTGTGGAGAGCGAAAGATTTGCGGTCTGGATGAAGATCGCCGCGTTGCCGACCTTCCGGAAGCTGTACGGGCGCATCAACACTGACCTGAAGAAGGGCGATACATTGGCTTTTGATATTGACTCGCGCTTCGACGTCGACGCGTTCTCGGGCAAGAAGGCCATCGTCGTCGCGACGGCGGCGTCCTTCGAGAACACGTTCCTGCTCTGGGCCTTCGTGACCGTCGCGTGCGTGTGCCTCGCGGTCGCGGTCTTCTTCGGGCTCGTCCAGGCCTTCGCGCCGCGGGTCATGGGCAAGGTGCGCTACTCCTGCCTCAACCCCAGACCCAAGGACGCGTGAGCACTAAGTTTGAGATCCATAGTATTATACAGGGGGGTGTTGCGCGTCCTCGGCGCCGTCTAACCGTAAAACGACGGCCGAGCACGTAAAGCCCGCGACGTGGGCCTCGCCCTCGGCGACCGTGCCACCGCCCCTTTCTCTAAAGGGCGGCGGGCCGATCTCGCCGTTGCAGAAGCAGCCGACTAAAGGCAGGTTCCTCCTACCAGCTCTCAACGCCAGCGAGTCGCGGTTCGGCTTCAAATTGTGGAACCGCGCGCCTCTTCCAGAGCACGTGAACACTAGGCCGCCGAGCACGCTGAGCGTCTCGTCGAGGCCCGACCGCAGCGGCAATGCTCTAGCACCGCGAGATTTGCTCTCCAGCCGTAACGCGACACGACTGGCTTCGGCGGCGGCCTCGAGTTCTGAGACCGACGCGTCTGGCTCCAATGTGAGCCAGGCGCACCACGCGCCCTCGTCGACGTCGCCGTCCAACGCTAAGGAACCATCGTCGTCCAGATGCTGCGGTGTGAGTAAATTGTAGCCGTCGGTCGGCGCCTCGTCCTCGCCATCATAAGGTCTCACCCCAAAATATAAAGGCCGTGGCATGCGCCCCTGCGCGACGAACTGCTGCACTTCTCTCAATGAGGCCCCTGGAGACACATGAGTCGCTTCCACAGCTTCAAAGGGCGCTTCCTTGTTGTACCTCGACGCCTTGACTACTAGCGAGTCAGCCTTGCCCATGGTGACGGCGTGGCCCGGGCAGATTCCCACGCGCCACGTCGACACGTCCGCCGCTTTGTAGACGTGGGGGCCCACGATCGCGGCGCCTCTGCTGACAGCGCTTGATGCCCGCGTCTGGCCCGCTATACTTAGTACAAGACAGCCCGCTCCACTATCATCGCTGAGGTCCGGCCTTATTATGTCTCCATCATCTACAAGCAAAGCGCCGCCCATCCCGACGTTTCTCGCTCCCAACAACCCGCCGGAAACCGCACACGGCGGGAACCCGGCCTTCGTCCAGGCCTCCCGGTTATCTTGGACTTTCTGCAACGCCGCGTGGGCCGCTCTTTGATCTTCACTTAATACCAGCATCAATCGAGGCGCGTGCTCGGGGCCGTCCTCGGGCCCGGGTAATTTACCCACGACTTCCTGGGGCGGCGCGTGGGGGTCGCCGAAGGGCGGCACGTACAGCGAGGACAGTCTAGCGCCGCCGTCCAGCCGGATCAGACCGAGGGAGATGGCGCCGTGCTCGTCGCGGGGCTCGACCTCGTCCACCACAGACTGTGTCGCACCTAACACACCGGGAGCCGCGCCCCCCAGCAACACCGTCGAGGCTGGTAAAACGCTCCGGAGGGCCTCCCTAAGATCAGCCAGGCGCCCTGCCCAGCCTCCAGAAGCAAAGAGCACGGCAATGTGCGGCGGCGCCGGCGGCTTGATCTCGTTGATGAGCTGTTTGACCGTCGTCTTGATATCTGGTATTTGTTCTTGCTTGGGCCGCGGTTCTTCTTCCTTGCCCATGCGCTCCCGCGCGCGCCGCAGTAAAAAGCCGCCGATGCGCCGCGCCGCGCTTTCTAATCTAGCGGGCAGCGCCACGGGCGCGGCGCCTCTTTTCAAAGCAGTGAGAAAGTAGGGCCGCGCCGCGCGGCTCCGCGCGGCCGCGCCCAGGATCTTGGCCGTCGGCGCCGCCTTGCTGCCGTTGCCGACGTAGCTTAAGATGACCTCCCAGAGGAGCTCGTCGTCCATCTTTGTTGCGCGCCTGCTTGGGCTGGATGCTCTCTAATGCAGTATGGCTTCGTTTGTAACGCACAGGCCTCGGCGCAAGGCGAGATGTTGGCCACCGCTTGTCTGTGAGTCGAGTTGTTGGACGAACAAGGCTGACTGCCGTGCGTATCCCGCGGCGCGTCAAAAACAATGCCGCCTGCGGGCTGGGCTGCTTTTTTGCATAATTTGCTAAAAGTTGCTAAAATTTCTGCATCACAAACGTCCTCGCGGGGTGACCACGGATAGCGAGCGACCCCTCGGAGGTCCCTCGTCTTTTAGCGCCTTTTGGCAGCGCGAGGCAGGGCCCGATAGCGCCGTCTCTGGCACTTGGCCCGGGCCCGCGGCCGCGGTGCCGGGCGTGCGAAGCTTGCGTCCCACTGGACGCCGTCGTCGCGAAGTCGCGAAGGGCTGCACCGCGAAGACAGGGCAGCCATGGAGCCCGGCAGCCCCTATGTCCCCACCCTTGATGATTATGTCGACGTGCCGCGCGTCGATTCGATAAAAACGCTTGAGGACGACCCCTTGCCGCCGAAGATGTCCGTGTCCTCGTTGTTGATGCAGCAAAGTTCTGTTTTATCGGAGACGTCCACCCAGACGCCGCAGCAACGGATGACGGTCGAGCGCCCTTCCAGCAGGACGGAACGGAGCGGAGCGGTCCGACGGGGTGAATTATCTGCCGGTGTTCCTTCATCTGGTACGATTCCTCGACGTGCTGAAAGTACAGCTTACAGATTACAGGATGGGAGCGACGCGATGCGGCATTCGCAGGGCCCGTACCGCAAGCCTGTACCCCGTAGGAAGTATACGTCGCCACGAGCTCGAGAAAAGGAAGAGAGGATGCATCGAAGGAGGCAGCGCATCGACATGGGTCGGAGTGTCTTAGATGGGTGTGACCTGCCGAACGCCGAAAGAAATTATCAATTAAGTATAGAAGCTTTGTCGCAGGAGCCCAAGTCCACGAATCGCATCGAATCTTTACTGGATAAGGCCGAGGTCGCCCAGCAGTCCATGTCGACAACATTAGGCGCCCTGTCGTTCGCGACGGATAACGGTGAAAGTTCTCTGAGTGCGTCGGTCGACCGCATCCGGTCGTACACGAAGTTGCTCGAGAGGCACAATCTGAGGCATTTCGTCATCTGGCAGGGGCAACGACTGGCCCAGACGCCCGAATTTGCGAACTTTCGCAAGCGCTACGCAGTAAGGTGGTCGCTCATCAACAAAGTGATCGGCGCGCTCGAAGATCTGTGCTTGCAGCGGCGCATCACCCTAGCTTTAGTGGATGGGAATTCGGTCAATGAGTTAGCGGACCAAGACCTCACAAGACTCAAAATAGGCGATATGTTGAAATGTATCCATAACTTGGATGCCACGGTCGAGGACCCCTCCTCGGATAGTCTCTTCAAGCGCACCAAAAGTAAAAATGTGCACCTCATGAAGGACGTCATGGCCATGGCCATCCAGGCTTTGTTTCGGGGGAGAGCGGCGCGACGACGACAAGTGGACCTCAAGTATCATACTACCGCTGTTATTGTGATCCAGTGCCACTTTCGACGTAGAAAAGCGCGGCGTTTCGTGTTGAAAGGTTTATTGGCATTGAGGGAAAAACGACAGAAGCAGTGGGGCGAACTTGTTGAGAGGTTACACGCGGATTTACTGGATGAACCGCGCGTCGAGATCCACGTCGCGTCCCTGAATTATGGCGAGACCGCGCGACTCATGAGACCTAGATATCAATTAGAACAGGCCCAGCACCTCGCGCGCGTTTTACGAGCTGTGGATGATAATGTACATGTCGTCTACGTGTCGCCCATGGAACTTCCCGAGGACGTCGTCGACTACTACCGCCGCTTACTGTCGCTGGGCGAGGCCGGGAGTGGCGACCCCGCCGAGACGCCGCGCCAATCACGAATTGGACGGGGCGCGCGGAATCCCTTCGGCGAGACGAGTGACGACGTTCTGCCGGGCGGCGCGTTCACGGTCGTCGTCCCCGAATTATCAGATAGGTTCCCCTCGTCCGCGCCATTGGCACAGGTAGCTCTTTGTAGCCCAGCTTGCGTGAAAAGACTGAGGTACCTCGCTCACTCGTCGAACAAGGCACCGGTCCTGATCCCGGGTGTGTCTTCGGGATGGGCTGAGAAGCAGCTCGCTCTACTACTCAACACACCCTTGTTAGGACCGGATCCCGCCGTAGCATCATTATATGCAACTAGATCAGGAGCCAAGCGCGTCTTGCACGCGGCCGACGTGAGCGTGCCGTCCGGCGCGCACGACATCTACGACGAGGAGGACCTCATTATCGCTCTAGCTAAGCTCATCGCGGGCCGGTTGGACGTCCAAAGGTGGCGCTTCGCTACCGACGCGGACAACGGCAAGAGCGGCCGCGCGTTTCTGGACGTGGCTTCGCTGGACGTCGTCGCGGACCTCAGAGCGGAGAAGCGCAAGCTGACGCAGCTGGACATCGTCCGGGGCGAGGCGGCGTGGTGCCATCCCGACGTGCAGACGCTGGCGCGGCGGAAGTTGCTGCGGGCGCTTCGCTTGGCCCTGCCCCTACACTGTGTCGTCGCGCTGCCCGGTCAAGAGGTCGGTTCAAATTGGGCGGAGTTCGCCCACTTGATCACGCAGAACGGTTGTGTGGTCGAGGCCGAGCCGGCCAACGTTGTTGGTAGGTGCGCCGTGCACGCGTTGTTGAACGACGAGTGTACGGTACAAAGTACGCAGGACATCGTTCTGGACGAGGCGGCCACGTCCACACTCGTCGCGACGCATCCCGCGAGCAAAGCCCCCCGGAAAGCATTGGAGGGCGCCACGAAGAGCGTCGGTAATGCATTGAGGGCGTTGGGCGGCTGCCCGGCCACGTACTTCACGGTGGAATACGTCGTCTTCGAGACGGACGAGGGCTTGCGGCTCTGGGCGACGGAGCTCGAGGTCGGCCTGACGCGGCTCGCGGCGGGGCATGCCCTGCATATTTGCGTGGCAGGTTGCGACGATCGACGGGCAACTTATACATTACTCCCGCAGCTCTCGGGCCCCGGCATCGAGGCGACGTCCTTCGCGACGTTCTTCAAGCTCTGTCGGAAGCACGGCTTGGCTTTTGATGTTGAGAAGCGGCGGGGGCCCGTCGTGGCGCTCGTCGACTCGCTAGCCTCGGGCGTCGTCGGCGCGTGCGTCGAAGGTCTGACTCTGCGAGATGCATTGCGGCTTTCCCTGGATTTCCTGAAGTTCATTCGGACGAAGCTCGACGCGTCGCATTTGATCCACCGCGAGGCGCGGCCGGAAGATCGCGACGTGGAGTTCGTGCGTTTCGCGCTCGAGCGGATTTTGAAGGAGGAGGACAGTAAGAATAGTTAGAGTTCCCCGTACCACGGCCTGGGCGGCGGCGGGTCCTCGTCGGGGAACGAGAACGCCTTCGCCCAGGGACTCCGGCACGTGGAGGCCTCGTCAAATTCTAAAAAGGGCGCGACGGGGAACGGGTCCACGCACCGCGCGACGTCGTCCGCGTCGAGTTGAACATCGTTCTTCGCGGCCTCCGCCGCGCCCCTCAAAACCAGGTCGCAGGGGCCCGGCTCCTCCCTCAACACCCCGTCGCTTATCACAATGCGCCGCCGCAGCACCGCGTTGTTCGCGGGCTTCGCGTCCAAACCACAAACCTCCTGGAGGTAGTCGCCGTGGCCCGCGACGAAGACGACGGCCGCGCCGTCTCCATCAACCTTGTTCTCGAGCGGCGGGCCGACCTCGGACGCCGATGCTGTTGTAACTCGCGGCGCGACCGTCTCCCCCAAAAACAACAAAAATTGACCCCAGTCGCTTGAATTGCGCGCGACGCCGTCGGGGACGAGCGACGCGCCGTCCAGCGCGCGCGGCTCGTTGTCGAGCTGGATCTCCGGATTTGAGGGCGCGCGCTCGGCCAGGAACGGCGCCTCTTCAACAACAGCGTCAGGATAGACGTGCTGCGCCGTCTCTCGGGCTCGTTGCAATGTCGACGACATGACGAGCGCCGGCTTTGAATACCGCCGCCGCAACGCGACGCCCGCTCTCCTGGACAGCTCGACGCCGCAGTCCGTGAGCTTCGGGTCCCGGTAGGCGTCGTGGAGCCGCACTTTCGCTGTCGTCTGGTCCGGCCGCTCCAATACCAGAGTGCAGTCGTCTCCCTTAATTTCCGCCGCGCCGTAGCCGACGGCGCGGTCGAAGGGCGTTTCTACCAATTCGCGGTCGATGGCGTCGAAGATGTGCGGCTGGAAGGCTTGATCAACATTCTCGATGTGCGTCATGCATCCATCCAACACGTTGGAGCAGCTGAGGCCGTGGCGCATTAGCAAGAGGGTGATGGTGACTGCCATCTTTGTGAGAGGTCTCCGGCAGTCAAATTCGTTGCACTTGGCGCTGCAGCGTTGCAGCGTTCAATAATGGCTGTGTCGCTCGTGTTTTGGCCGAGGCCTACGGCGCTCACGCGCGATGCAGCGGCATTTTTAGCCTCTGGCATCCTAGTACGTTACGCGTTGGTTAACATCCAGCCTTTGGCGGAGCGCAGCAAAATGCTCGCGTCGAGACGTGCGCGGGGCCCTGGAGCAATCCGATACCCGTCCTACGGCACCATCGGCTGAGTATCTGCGGAGTAGGGGGGTCTCGGTTTCGCCTCCAAAGGTGTCCGCTGGGGCAGGCCCAAAAGCGAGGGTGCGCCCGCTAGCGGCCGATCGGCAGGGGAATAGCGTAATTCCCCACTCTTAGAGCTGCACGCGCGCTCGGCGGCGCTCCCAGTTGCCCGTGCGAGGACTTTGGGGCTGCCCATCTGCTCTCCAGCAGACAGAGCGAGGCTCCGCGCTGCCCCGGTTGCGCGTGTTGAGCTGAGCACTAGCCGAAGACGATGAGGACCATGGGCTCCCGGCGCTGGTACAGCGTGCTGCTGCTGGCGGCGATCTCAAACGCCCAGGACCCGACGAAGATGCCCGTCCCAAAACCCACCGACGTGCCGACGTCCGTGCCGACGAGCGAGCCCACGGCCGAGCCGACGGGCAAGCCGAGCCGCGATCCTACTTCTCTACCGACGTCTGAGCCTACTAAAACGCCGACGAGTGCGCCGACAAAAACGCCGACCACCGCGCCCACCTCAAAGCCGTCCATCGTGCCCACGTCAACGCCGACGTACCTCCCGACCGGCGTCCCGACGGGCAAGCCGTCGGCCGTGCCCACGTTCTCGCAGCCGCCCTCGGGCTCGCCCACCAGCAAACCGACGGGCGTGCCGACGGCGCAGCCGAGCGGCCTGCCGACCGTCGACCCGACGATCGCGCCTACATATGAAACGTGGATGCCGTCGCAAGTCCCCACGGGCAAGCCCTCCGGCGTGCCGACGTCCGCGCCGACGGCGTCGCCGCCGCCCTCGGAGGCGCCGACCATCGTACCGACGTCGTCACCCACACCGCTTCCCTCATTGCCGCCGACGTCGTCCGTGCCGTCGTCGGCGCCGACGAAGTCTCTCCTCACATTGGAGATCTCGATGTTTATCGATCCGCACGAGGAGCCGACGCCCTTCCCGTCCGCCGTGCCGACGGCGGACCCGAGCTTCGCGCCGACGTCATTGCCGAGCCACGGGCCGTCCGTGCCCCCTACCAGTGTTCCGTCGTCGTCGCCTACCTCAGAACCGACGGCCGCGCCTTCATCAGTACCTACATCACTACCTTCCTCAAAGCCGTCCGCGACGCCTACCGGCGAACCGACCGCGCTGCCGACCGTGGTACCGACGCCGACGCCGACCGGCGTCCCCACATCGGTACCGACGCATGACCCGACCGAGGCGCCGACGTTCAGCCCGACCTCGGTACCCAGCTCGGCTCCAACAAACGTGCCCAGCTCGACGCCCTCCAAAACCCCGACGACGGTGCCGACGCCGGCGCCGACCTACGAGACGGACGGCCCGACCGGCGTGCCGACGTCCAAGCCGACGTCCGAGCCGACCTTTACGCTCTCACCGACGAGCGTGCCGACGGGCGCACCCACCAAAGCGCCGACCAATGTACCTTCCAGTGTACCGACGTCGGCGCCAACCTCAGAACCGACGAAGGAGCCGACCGGTACCCCGACGTCCGAGCCGACCCACGTGCCGACGACGGAGCCCACGGCCGTGCCGACTCCGTCGCCTATACCAGTACCGACGCGCGTGCCGACGACCGTGCCCACGGCGCTCCCGACGTCGACGCCGACGTCGCCGCCGTCGCGACCCCCGACCATCGGCCCCACGCACGTGCCCACGTCGTTTCCTTCAGGGGAGCCGACCGGCGTCCCCACGACGACGCCCACATCCACCCCAACGGCCGTGCCCACCTCGAGACCCTCGTCGATCTCGACGATCCTGCCGTTCGGCATCCACTACTGCCAGGATTATGTCGCGTTCGACATGGAGCAGTACTACAAACCCGTCATCCAGGAGATTACGAGGGCCCAGAGCGTGCCCTCGGTCACGTGCCAGTCCATCGGCACGCACCCTGGTGTTCATGCGGGCGCGCCGGGCGGCTGGAACGGGCCTTCGAGCGTCGCGCCCGAGGGCAAGTGGGATAATGATACCGCGGTCTTGATTGCGGTGACGAACTTCTACGCCACGGACGAAATAGATAGAGATGATCCCAGTAAAGCGTCGACGGTCTTCGAGGTCGGCGACAACGTGACCTGGCGCATGAACCGGGCCATCTTCAAGTCTGTAAATCAACACCAGGCGACCTTCAACCGCAAGATGAAGATGCGCATTCGGAATTCTTTTGGTGGCTCTCGGACGCGAAAGAGGCAATTATCCGACGCCGCGCAAGCGCACGTCGCGTCGCTGGACGGCAGGACGGCTCGGAACTTGCAGGGTGCCCAGTACGAGATGGACTACGCGTATAACGCGTCCTCTGCGTTGCATTTCGTCGACGCGGCGAACATCACGTGGGTGACGACCGAGGTCGTGGGAAGCATCGCGCCCTCCGGCGTGCCGACGGCCGACCCCACGGCCACGCCGACCACGCCTCCCTCCCCAGAACCCACGGGCGTGCCCACGGGCACGCCCACGGCCCTGCCCACGACGCTACCTAGTCCGCTCCCCACACCCTACCCGACGGCCATGTGCCCTTCGTGGGCGACGCGCGAGGGCTGCGCGCCGAACTGCTTGTGTTGCGCGTCCTATTCCGAGGCCAAGTACCGGAAACCGCACGAGTCTTTTTATAACGAACACATGGAAAAGGACTTCAACCCCGCCGAGCCGGACCAGTGCCTCATGTGCGACCACGGGTTCGAGTGCCAGGAGACGGGCGGCGACGGCCAGAGGGACGGCGACGGCACCTGCGTGGAGAAGGCCGACTACGCGTACGAGGGCGAGAACATGTGCGACTGGTGGAAGTGGGCCTACCGCTACGGGCCGAACAAGACCGAGTCGGGCCCCTACGCGACGAACTGGAAGACGGGCCACGCCTACGCCGAGGACGGCAGCCTCCCGAAGAAGTGGTACTCGATCAACGGCAAGAACTGCTCCAAGTGGGACGTCGACGTCGTGAGCACGGACAAGTGCAAGGGCCTCTTCCACTACTGCAACGAGACGCACTGCGACGAGTCCACGGCCTCGGGCCACAAGACCCTGAAGCACGACCGCGAGGGCACGATCTGCTACTCGGACTACCGCGCGCCGGACTTTGTGGGCTACTGCTCCTACGAGGTCGGCCCGTCGCACTGCGCGCGCTGCGTCGAGGGCGCCTGCGGCAAGGGCGCCTGCGTGCAGGCCTCCCTGGGCTTCGAGCTCGGGGGCGCCGCCGCCGACAAGACGCCCGAGGAGCTGACCGCCGACCCAATCTTCACGGGAGGCCTCAAGAAGTCGATCGCCGAGGCGTGCGACTTCGCGGCGCTGGGCCTGGATGAGGACAACATCAAGGACCTCGTGATCAGCTACGGGCGGCGGCGGCTCGAGGTCGACGAGGCCGGGGGCGCCGTCGAGCAGCGCCGGCTGCAGACGGCGTTCTCCGTCACGTACACGATCGTCTACGACCCCGACGTCGTGGAGATCTCCGTGGACACGATCGCCCAGACCGTCACGGCGGCCGCGGAGGAAGCGATCGACGAGGGAAGCTTCATCGCGGCGCTCGACACGGCGATGGCCGAAGTCGCGCAGGAGCTGTTTGACGCCGGAGTGATCACCCTGGCAGAACAGACTGCGGCCGTCACGGCGTTCGTCGGCGCGGTCGTCATCACGGAGACGACCGTGACCGTCATCTCGACGGAGGCGCCGACCTTCTGGTCCGACACGGAGGAGAACATGGAGCCGGTGATCGTCTCGCGGCGCCAGGGCGGCGTCGCGGTCTCCGAATTGCCGGCGTGCGGCTGCGACGACGACACGACTGCGTAGTGGTTACGGCCTTCCCCGTTCCCCCTGCTGTAATTACTTTCGTGGTTTTTTCTTTTGTGGGGTGTCGTTGCCTGGCCGCCTCGTCGTTTACTCCATTTCTCACGACGCCGTCCGACCCGCGCCCGCTCTGCGTCACCTGGCCTTAGCGTGACACTATCCTATAAAGTCGAAGCGGTTCGCTCACTAATGTACCGCATGCAGTACATATATAGGTACGGGGCTAGTGTGTTTATTGTTTAGTTATTATCCATCTTCCTTCGACTCGGAGCATCGCGTTCAACGCCGCTGCTGCGCGCCCCGGGGCAAGATCATTGCTTGCAAGACGTTCCTCGACAACCCTACTTGCGCTCCAGCGCTGCCGGCTGTCTTAGACAAGGGTGGGGAGGTATCAAAGCTCAAAGCAGCCCCCAGACGCCGTCGAGCCGTAAGCAGCAGTGAAAAATGATCGGCCCCAACGAAGGCGAGGTCCTGTCGACCGCGGACGCGCTCTGGCCCCTCGCGCTGCTCTATCTTGTTTCATGCGGCGCGCTTGGCGTCGGGAGCCTCGCGCTGCTGCGCCACGAGAGCAAGCGCGCGCCCGCCAAGGAAGAGGAGGACGACAGGGACCTCGTCGCGCTCGAGGGCCACGGGGGCTCCACGCCCGGCGAGCAGGACTGGCTCGTCGTGGCCTTCTTTCTTCTCGTCGCGTCGTACCTCGGCGGGCTGATCAGCTTGGAAACCGGCGCCGCGGCGGCGCTGACCTTTGGCCTGGCGTTCGGCCTCGGCCGCGCGCAGGGCCTCCGCGACGCCGCCGCGGCCTCGAAGGGCGCCGACGCCGCGCTGCCGGTGCCAAAGGCCCGGCGACGAGCCGCCTGGCGCCGCGTCGCCCGCGCGCGGCCCGGGGGCATGCGCCGCGTGCGGAGCGCGTCGTCGCTGATCAACTAAACTAGTTTCGTCGTCTTTAGCGCCTTCCGGACCCTTCGCGCCACCGCAAGAACTGCCGAACGGGATCGACGAAAAATTTTACTACACGCTGTCATCTTCGTCGTCTTAGCAACCGCCGCACAGGCGCGACGAGCCGCCAGCGCTTCCCGGACCGCTCGCGCCGCCGCAGGAACTGGCGGACGGGGTCGACGAGCGGGTAGTCGGCGGGCGGCATAGGGTACGCGTCGGAGCCGAGCTCCTCTGACGTGACCCAGGCGAGCGGCTGGCCCTCGGCGCCGACGGGCTCGCCGGCCCAGGCCAGCACGCCGTAGACTGGCATCAACAAATTCCGCGCGTCGTCGAGCGGGTGCGACGTGAACGCGATCGGCTCGAGGTCCGTCTCCTCCACGGATATGGCGAGCTCCTCGTCGAGCTCGCGGGCGAGGGCTTTTTCGAGCGTCTCGCCGGGGTCCACCTTCCCGCCGGGGAACTCCCACAGCCCCGCGAGTTGTGGAGGGTCCGAGCGCTGCTGGAGCAGCACGCGGCCCGACTTCGCGAGGACGCCCGCCGCGACGAGGAGGATTTGTCTCTGCGGTCCCGACGCGCCGGCCGCCAACGTCGTCAGGCCCCTGCCAGTAAGAGGTCTGCTCGGCGGCGTGAGGGCCGCGCAGAGTGGTCCGCAGAGGATGGCTGTGGACAGGAGCTTCAGTTTCATCATTTTTGCGCCAAATGTAACACAGGAAATTGGCGTCTGTCCTCTCAGACGAAAATTGGAGATGTTGCGCGGCGCAGCAGATGCTCCTGTGCGGTTCTCCACGAGACAAGCGGGAGAAACTGGCGGCTCCTGAGAGCATATTACCCGCACGTTAGCATACTCACCTCTGCACAGCCGGCATTGCGGCCGTTGGCACCCGCTGCAGCTGTACGCGAGTTGTTTGTGTCATACATCGACCGTTGCAGGCGGTGCGCGCATTGAAAGTCAGCGCTAATCCACTCATAAGAGCAAGGAGGCTGTCGGACATACGCTGTCGAGCAAGATGCAAGCCAGCGACCAGGTCTTTCTCAGCTCGGACGGCCGCAGCTGGACGGCGCGGATCACCGTCGAAGGCTGCTCGAGCGAGGTCGAGGCGCTGGCCGCCGTCGCGCGCGCCACGCGCGCCGCGCTGGGAAATGCTGCAGACGACGAGGCGGACGCGGGGCGGCGGCGCAAGAAGCGGCCGAAGCAGGACGTGGGCCCTCTACCCGACGACGCGGCAAATTTACTGCGCGAGTACTGCCGCCGCGAGAACAAGGACGTCGCCTTCGCCGAGGATGGCACGGGACCCTTCGTTTCCAGCGTGACTGTCAACGGTACGACGCATTCCGGCGAGGCGCGCGCGTCTAAGAAGGCGGCGCGAGAAAGCGCCGCCGACGCGTTCTTCCAGGCGCTCGTTTCCGTGGACCAGAACTCGCAGCACGTCGTCGTGCAGCGGTGGCGCGAGCGCTGCTCGACGGACGTGGTGGACATGATCGGCCGCCTCGGGTCGTCGACCGACGTGCCGTGGCGCCGCCCGGTGGCGCGCGGCGTTGAAATCACGCCATCGACGCGTACCTGACTCACTTGTTGATCTTCACACAGGGTGCGTCGGAGAAGGACAAGTTCGTCGCGATCCGCGACCACCTCAAGCGCCAGCGCGAGCGGTGCGAGACCGACGTTGCTTCGCAACCGATCGCCGTGGCGGGCGCGACCTCGTCGTATCCGGTCGCGGACCTCTCGGCGACGGAGTGCCGAGCGGTCCTCGCGCGCCACGCGACGGCGAGGTTCGCCGACGTCCTGGACCGCGTCCACGGCATCGTCGTGCGCCGCAACGCGAACGGCCTCTGCATGTGTGTCGCGGTGGACAGGCGCGGCGACGACGTGCTCGACAAGTTCTCGCTGAATCAGCTCAAGTGGCGGGAGGATCAGACCGCGATGGACGTGTAAGTTTGTTGATTTGTTGCCTTTTTCTCTTCCGGCTCCCGGGCGCGTGATATCGTTACGCTCCGAGCGTTTTGGCTAGCGCCGGTAAGACACTAGCACTCAAGCAACCTTGTGCAAGGCGTGCAAACTCTGTGGCAGAGACGTTACGCGTCTCCAAAGTGCGGCATTTTACCCGTAGTTGACTGCCGCTAACAGTGCCAGCAACAATCGAACCGCCGTGCGAGCAGTAGGGGAGCAGCACAAAGAGAGCAGCATCAGAGAGCAGCCCAGCAACACGCCGCCGACGCGAGAACTCCTCAAAAGAAGCATGGGCCTCACATCAAGAGACAAGCGCGACGCCTACTACCGCCTCGCCAAGGCGCACGGCTACCGCGCGCGCGCGGCGTTCAAGCTCATCCAGATGGAGGACACGCTTTCGTTATTGAAAAACGCGACGCGCGTCGTGGACCTGTGCGCGGCGCCCGGGGGCTGGACGCAAGTTGTGGTGGAGCGCTGCGCCGCGGCGGTCGTCGCCGTCGACCTGAAGGACGTCGCGCCGGTCGACGGGGCGACCATATTGGTGGGGGACCTGACCTCGCCGCTCGTCATCGAGCGCATCGCTTCGACCTTGGACGGCAAGGCGGATGTTGTATTGTGCGACGGCGCCCCGGACGTCCTCGACCTCGGCGACGTCGACGCGCACCTCCAGCTGTCGTTATGTAGGGCGGCCCTGGTGTGCGCGCGCAAGGTGCTCGCACAGGGCGGGAGCTTCGTCTGCAAAATATATCGGGGCCGCGGCGCGGCGGCGTTCTTCGACGAGCTGCGGCGCGAGTTCGCCGACGTGCTCTGCGCGAAGCCGCGCTGCTCGCGCCACGCGTCCGTCGAGGCCTACGCCGTCGGGCGCGGGTTCGGGCGCGCTTCCGATGCCACGGGCCCGGTCCCCTTCGTCGCGTGCGGCGGCGCGGACGCGTTCGACGCCGACGCGTCGTATGCGCTGGAGGAGGACTACGTCTACCGCGACCCGGTCCAGGCGCCGCTGCGGCCGCCGCACCTCGTCGGCGTGCCGACGCCGCCGCCCGCGCCGACGGCGCGGCGCGCGGCGCCCGCGGTCGCGGCGCGGCCGCCTCGGCGGCGGGAGGCGTTGGCTTGTGAAGGGGCGCCGCCTCCGGCTTCGGATGCGGGCGGGTTGGGGGCGTGGTTTTTGTAATGTTCAGTGTGACTAATGGTTCCTCCGTGACGACCGGGCACGAGTCAGCGCGACGCCGTCAGCGCGCCCCGGTCGACGCTCCGAGGCCAGTCTCAGAGCGCAAGCCCTGGGCGGCCGCGTAACGCGATGCCGGCCTTACCGCCGGAGGTTGTGCGAAGGTGTTTTCAATTTTTGCCCGTTGCGGAGCAGCTAAGGGTATCGCGGTCCGTACCAGAGCTCGAGTCTCTAATTCGACGCGCGAGGTGGGATGTGCTCCTCCCGTAAACCAAAACTAGTTAGTGTATTTTAAGGTAGCTCCTCGGCAGACTATCTCAACCGCCGTACTCCCAAAGGTGCGTTCTCCTTTGGTCTTGCATCATTCGCATGCCAGCCCTGGGGAGCGCGTACGCCGCGCAAGTGCTGAGGACTAGCTAGCCCACCAAGCGCTCGTCGCGCACGTGCTGAGGACTAGCTAGCCCGCCGTGTGCGCGTCGCCCGAGCGCTTATGACTAGCGAACCAGCCCTGCGCGCGCCGCGCAAGTGCTGAGGACTAGCTAGCCCACCGCGCGCTCGTCGCGCAAGTGCTGAAGACTACCTAGCCCGCCACACGCTCGACGAAAAAGTGCTGAGGACTAGCTAGCCCACCGAAATTAGTCAAACCACACACATTCACTCCTCTCCGTCGAGCTCGCACGCCAAGTCCTCGAGCGCCTCGTTGACGCTCGCCACGACCTCGCGTGAGCGACGTTCGAGGTGCGCCGTCGCCGCGTCGGTGTCGGGGCGGAACGCCCCGAGGTGCCGTGCGGCCGTGAGCTCCAGCTTCTCTTTCTCGGCTTCCTGCAGCCGTCGGATGGCGTCGGCCGCGGCCGACAGGCCGCGGGACCGGAGCGCGGCCTCGCAAGCATTCGCGCGCTTTGAAATTCGGTCGAAGACTACGGTCACCTTGGCGACGACGGTCGCGTACGCCGCTGGATCGCCTTGCCGGCCCTCGCCGGGTGCGCACGCTACCAATGCTTCATCGTATTGTTTGTATGTTGCTGTTCTGTCCTGCTGCAACTTCCGCACGCGCGCCAGAAGCTCTGGCGCAGGGAGACCAGACACGTCGACGTCTTCAGGCTCGGCCGCGTCAGGGGCGTCCACGACCGGCGGCGCTGGCGGTAACGCTGTCGGCGCGCCCATGTCTATCGTCTGCTGCGTCGGATTGGACTGCTCCGCCTGCGTCTGCGATGGCGTCTGGGCGAGCTCAGCCTGCTTTTGCCTGGCGTGATTTTGGAGGATGTTGAGGGCGGCGGTGGGGTCCATGGTGCTTTGCGGGTGCCCTCTTGATGTCGGCGCGTGGCTGCGCGCAGTTCGAGCCTCGTGCTCTCCCGCGATTCGCGGCGACGCCGCGCGAGCAGCTGCATCACGGGTTTTGTCTCGGGTCCCTTCTCATCCCATGGATCGAGAAAAATCAGCTATGCTCACCGGTCTTTGGACCGTTGTACGTATCTGCCCCTTTGGCTCCGATGTTTTGAAAAGACATCGCCACTAGTCGGTAGAGCGTCCGCACGCGTAACACCGTGCCGCCCAAGTCTCATAATGCATATAAGAAATCTGAAGGTCGACAGTTCGATCCTGTCAGGGGGCAGAGCATATTTTTTTTGCTTTTAGTCTCTTACGGAACCCCCTGCCGGTGTAACTAGGGTAACTCGGCCCAATATCCCCAAGGGGGGGCTTGGCCCGAGCGAAAAGCTACATTTACGTTGGGGGGCTGCCACCGACGACCCCCCGGCGGCCGAAGATGGGCCTCCTCGACGCCCACGTTCGTACCCCGTTGTCTATTCCCGTGGTCGTCCCCGAGCGCCGAAACGCGACTAAAACGGCTCCGGGGCTTGCGCTCTGAGACTGGCCTCGGAGCGTCGACCGGGGCGCGCTGACGGCGTCGCGCTGACTCGTGCCCGGTCGTCACGGAGGCATGAGCTGGCCGACGTCGATCGGCGCCGCGCAAGTCCCCGGGGCAAGGAGCGACTACGCCAGGCGTGCCATCCAGTCCTCAGCACTTCCGCGACGAGCGTATGGCGGGCGAAGGGAGTTCTCCACGTAAAACCCGAAAAGCACGAGCTCGAGATTTTGCGCCAGCACAGCCTCTGCGTAGCGGTCGTGTGTTGCATCGACCGAGCTGTTGGTGTGCGCAACAGCAACCCACGAAACCCACTACTGCCCGTGCGAAACACCGGTGCAGAACGAAGCAGCCATGCCGTTTTTGGAGGCAGGCTAAAATCGTCTCCCACAGATACGACCGGAACGCGGCGCGAAAGAAGTAACAGAAATGCTAGGCCTCGACCTACTCATAACGACGGCCTGCTTCGCTTTAGTAGCGCTGTCGCTCTACCCGCGGTCCGTCAAGGCGCAAGTCTGGGCGAGGACGCTGACGTTTCTAGGAAGGCCGTTCGCAAGCCTCGTCATACTCATCGGCGGCCTGTCGCCGTCGGCGTCCGACGACGAAGTCGCGGCCGCGGCCGCGGCGATCGCCACGACGGCCCGCGGAGAAAAATCCTCGCTGTCGCTGAGCCTCCTCGAGAGCGCGCCGGAGGACGTCCTCTCGACCATACTCCAATACGCGACGGCTGCCGACCTCCTCGCGACGGGCGCCGCCGCGCCGTCCTTCGTCAAGGCGTGCCTCTGCGACGCGGCGCCCTGGACCGCGCTCCGCCGGCGCCTGCCGCTGGGCCGCGCGTCGGCCAAGCCGCCCCGTTCAAATGAGAGGCAGCGGTTCTTCGAGGCGGCGTTATCGGCGGGCGCGGCCTTCGCGGCGACCGACGACCGCGTGTGCATCGGCCTCGGCGGGCGCGCGATCGACGCTACCAGTTGGCTCTCGCAGCACCCCGGCGGCGCGGCGGTCCTGGAACACTACCGCGGCCGCAACGCGACGGCGGCGCTCATCGCGTTTCCCCATTCCGCGAGCGCGCGGCGGCACATGCGCCACCTCGTCGTCTACGCGCCCGACGCGATCGTGGGCCGGCCGGGCGCGCCGTACCTGGCCGTCGCGCGGCTGCGCGGGAAGCGGAGCGCCGCGGCGCGGCGACGGACCGCCGCGCGGTTGGAGAAGCTCCGGCTCATGCAGCTCGGCGTGTTCTGCTTCCCGCGGCGGCGATCGGCCGCGCCGGCGTCGTTCTAGGAGTCGATTTTGTAACTATGTTGTCACTTAACGCCTCCTACCGGGACTCCGCCCGCCCTTCCGGCTCTCCTGGATCATGCTCACCTCGAAGTCCGTCATGCCCTTCTTCTTGATGCCCTGGACGAACTGGAGCCGCATCGCGCGCTCGGCCGCCGCTCTCTTTTTCGCTTCCGCGGCGCCCGGCGAGTCCACCGGCGCGTTCGGGTTGAGCAGCTCGCGCAGCTCGCGCGCCTCCTCGCGCGACATCTTCCCGTCGTTCCCGAGGTCGTCCACCAAGCTCGCGGCCCGCTTCTGCGACGCCGTCGGCGACTTCTTGGCGACGGGCGACGGGAAGCCGTCGCGCCGCTTTGGAGGCGACCGCTTCGGCATCGGCGAGCGCGCCGTCGCGCCGTCCTCGGAAGTGTTCGGCATAAACGCCGAGACGAGTCTCAAATCCTTGGCCGAGAAGCCGCCGGCCTGCTCTCCTAGTAAATACTTGACATGTTTCAAGTCCGCGGGCGTCCTGGGCCGTCTTCTCCTCCGCCGCGGCGCCGCGACGGGTGCGAGCGCGATGGATCCCACCGACGGGCGCGGCGGCGGCGCGGCTATCGATCTCCGCCGGCGGCGCGGCCGCCGCGGTTCACTGGTAGCGGCGGCGGTGCCCAATTCCGCAATCCAGTTCGTGGGCGAGGGCGCCGCAGGCATTTCCGGGACTCCGCCGCCAAAGCGCACCGGCGACCTCTGAACGGGCGCCGGGAAGTCCAGCGGCTTCAATAGAGCCGCCGCGTCCGCGGGCCCCGCTAATAAACCTTCCATGTACTCGGGGTTCGGCAATCCAAACCTATCGACGGGCCGCGCCGCGCGCGTCCGCCGTCCATCGATTCTTTTGATATAGTCCGGCCGGCCCCCGAGGTACTCGGGGCCTTGCACCGTCTCGATCTGCGGTAGTAATCGCGGAACCGCCTTCGTGGGTGGTGGGTCCTGGAAGCGCCGTCTCACGGGCGGCGCCGCCGCGGCTTCCAGAAACTCGGCCTGGGCGATCTGCATGCTCAAGAACTCGTCGCGCTCCCTTATAGCTCGCTTTTGCCGGTCCTGCGCGCGTCTTTTTCTATCATCGTCCCTCAATAAAAGCTCGCGCTCGCGGTCGGCGGCCGGGTCCTCCCAGCCGGCGCGCCGGCCGTAGCGGTTGCGGCCCATTTTTCGATCACCAACGGCTCGCGTCGATGGCGTCAATGCTGTGGTCCAGCGCGTCCGTCGAGATAATTAGCCCACCGGCGCTGGGCACTCTGCTTGGCTCGTCGTCCCTGGGGCCCGGGGCAGCCGCGTAACGCGACCGATCGAGTCAGGGACCGCGTGCCTGAGGCACGGTACCTTCTTCGACGCGACAGCCGGCGGACACGGCGCTTTAGGTGGCGCTTCGCGCGTCTAACGGCACCCCGTACGATGATGCCGGCTCTCGAGCTGGAGGCCTACGGGACGCCTCGTCGGAACGATACATGGGTCTGACGGTCAACGGGAGCAAAACCTGTACTCGTAAATCTGCAGACCTGAGATGCTCTTGGCAATTTGGCAGCTGCAAAATAAGCGCTGCGCGACCCCGGGGCAGCAATGGTCCATCGGGCTGCCGTCGCGTCGATGGCGTGGGTGCTGCTGCTCACTGGCGCAGCCGCGCTGGACTGCCATGCGGACTTCTGGCCCGAGATGCACGCCTCACCAAGAAGGCTCGAAGCGCTCATCCTGGCGAACGGCGCGCTCGTGAAGCTCTGCTTCGACGCTGACGCGGACGGCGCGGTGCACCGGCAGCATGCGCGAGCCTTTCTGAAGGCGGCGGGGCTCGTCGACGTCACACTCGGTGCCGGCCTGGAAGACGTCCTGCAACGGAACGACGCGGTCGAGGCGATTGTCGAGGTCTTATTCGCGGCAAAGCAGCGGCGGCGATCACCTGCGTTTTTGGCGCGAGTCGGATTCGAATCAATCGATCCCATGTTTATTAAGGCGTGGCCGGCGTTGCGGCCGGACGTCTCGTTTGATCTCGTGCCCCTGAACCGCGAGACGAAGATCACGGCGCGCCGAGGCGAGTCCGCGGCGGCCGCCGCGAGACGGTCGTGCGCCGTCGTCCCGTATCTCCACGCCACGGACGACTGCGAGGCCGAGGCCGCGGCGGAGATCATTCGCCTGCGCGGCGCCCACAACGCGGTGCCGGCGGGCTTCGGCCAGATGCGGATCGAACTCGAGGAGTACTTGCAGGAACGCTTCGAATGCCCCGCGGGCGAGACGTGTGTGGCGCTCTTCGAGGGCGGCACCTATAGCTACCCGTTCAAGCTCCATGCGATGAGGAACCTCCTCGGCCACGTCCTGCGGGACCGCGCCGCGTCGAAACATGTCGAGGTCTGCGAGGTGGGCTTCAATGCCGGGCACTCGACGCTGCTCTGGCTCATGGCCGACCCGCGGGTGCGCGTCCGGGCCTTCGACCTTGGGATCCATTGGTACTCGCCGCATGTCACGGGCTTCTTCGACGCGGCCTTCGACGCGGGCCGCGTCGACGTCACGTTCGGCGACTCGCAGCAAACGCTCCCGGCCTTCGCGGCCGCCTTCAATTCGACGGAGCCGCCCGAGTTCTGCGACCTGATCTTCGTGGACGGCGACCACCACTACGCCGCGGCGCTCGCGGACCTGCGGAACCTGCGAGCGGCCGCGCGGCCCGGCCACCACGTGCTGCTGATGGACGACCCGGACCACGACGAGGTCGGCCGCGCGTGGCGAACAATGCTCGCGGACGGGGTCGAGCACTTCGGTGACGTCTACGAGGACGCGCACGGCGCGTCCGTGTATGGCGCGCGCGCGGCGATGGTCTACGGGGCCTACGTATGACAGGTGCCTTCTCCACGACGGCGCCCCCGGCCCGCGTCGGGCCGGTCCCCCGATGGTTCGTATAAGTGTGAATGTTACCTACTACGCCTCGACCTTCTCTTCGGGCGCCTTCTCGAACGCCCCCTCGTCCAACTGGTCCATCTCGTCGACGTCCTGGAGCATCGCGAACAGCGCGTCGACGTCGATCTTGCCCAGATCCCCCCTACCGCGCGCGCGCACGGACAGCCGCCCCGACGACGTCTCCTGCTCTCCCACGACGCACATGAGCGGCACGCGCTGCTGCTCGGCGTTGCGGATCTGCTTGTTCAACCTATCCTTCCCGGGGTCGACCTCGCACCGTAGACCGCGCCTCTTCGCCTTCGCGGCGACGTCGGCGCAGAAGCCCCGCGCTTCGTCGGTCACCGGTAATAATCGCAATTGAGTAGGGGCTAACCATAAAGGTAAATCGCCGCCCACGCTCTCGAGCAGGATGGCGAAGAATCTCTCCAATGAACCAAAAATGGCCCGGTGGACCATGATCGGCCGCTCATCCTTCCCCTCGCTGTTTCGATAGTTCAGGTCGAACCGATCGGGGAGATTGAAGTCGCACTGCACCGTCGAGCACTGCCACTGGCGCCCGATCGCGTCTTTTATTTTTAAGTCAATCTTGGGGCCGTAGAAGGCGCCGCCGCCCTCGTCCACACCATATTTCCACTCCTTCCGGATCAAGGCGCCCTCCAGCGCCTTCGTCGCCTTCTCCCAGATCTCGTCGGAACCGACGGCCTTCTCAGGACGAGTAGACAGCATCAACTCATAATCCGTGAAGCCGAACTTCGTCAGGATCTCCTGCGTCAACTCCAGCACGTCCACAATCTCATCTTCCAGCTGGTCCGGCGTGCAAAAAATGTGCGCGTCGTCTTGAGTGAAGCCTCGCACTCTCATGAGACCCTGTAACGTGCCTGACCGCTCGTATCTGTAGACCGTACCGAGCTCCGCCCACCTGTAAGGCAGGTCTCTGTAAGAGCGTAGTTGGTCCTTGAACACCAAGCAGTGGAACGGACAGTTCATCGGCTTGAGCTGGTACTGCTCCTTCTCGACCTGTGTGGAAATCAACCAGTGAGCCTCCACGCCATCGAGCCGACGCGGTCACGGGGACGCCGTCGCGTCGATGGCGCCGCAATTTGATGTCCACACAGGCAGCGACGTCCATCTGGTCGAACATGCCGTCGGCGTAGAAGTCGAAGTGGCCGCTCGTCTTCCAGAGCTCGACGTTCGCGATGTGCGGCGTGTAGAGTAACTCATAACCTCCCTTCTCGTGCAGGTCCTTCCACGTCTGTTCCATCAGGCCCCGCACGCGCGCGCCTCGGGGATGCCAGAAGCAGAGGCCGCCGCCGGCCTGCTCTTGGATCGAGAACAAATCTAACTTCTTCCCGAGCAACCGATGGTCGCGTTTCTTCGCCTCCTCCATCCGACGCTTGTGCTCCTTCAGTTGCCAGGCCTCGGGCCAGGCCGTGCCGTAGATGCGCGTGAGCATCTCTCGGTTCTCGTCGCCGCGCCAGTAGGCGCCCGCCACGCTTTCTAAGGCTACGGCTTTTGGCGAGATCTTTCCCGTCGACTCGAGGTGCGGCCCGGCGCACAGGTCCCACCACTCGTCCCCAATCCTGTAGAAGGAGATTTCGGCTTCATCCGGTAAATTGTCCACGACCTCGACCTTAAAGGTCTCGCCCTGATCTAGGAGGAACTGTCGCGCTTCTTCTCGCGGCAACACTTCGCGAATGATAGGATAGTCCTTCTTGATGATCTTGTCCATCTCCTTCTTGATCCTCTTCAAGTCTTTATCGGTGATGGCCTCGCCCGTAGGCTTGTGAAAATCATAATAATAACCATTCTCGATCCAGGGGCCGATCGTGACTTGTACTTCATCCTTAAAGACGTTTTTTACTGCCAAAGCCATGACGTGCGACGCCGAGTGTCGTAGTTTGACCATCTCTTCGTCTGCGTTTGTTGGTAATTGTGCGGCTTCGATCTCCTCCTGCGTCGCGGGCATGTGGCGCGCGACGGTCAGTGGCGCGCGCCGCCTGACGAGGGGCGCGAGCGCGCGCGCGCTGCGCAGGACGCCTGCCAGTAACATGGCCCGTCGCATCGGTGTGGGTGGGCGCCTGGAGCAGCGCCTCTGCTCCCTGCCGGTCCGTCTCGCCCTTTCAGAGCAGCTCACGCAGCGCAGCTGGCTCCCGCGGCAGAACCTGTATTAAGCAGCCGTGCGATCGACCACAACGGTGCCAGCGCGCGACTCCTGTCGAGTTGACGCTCGGCGTCTCTGACAGCAAGAGGCAATGAGGTGAAGGGCTGAATTGGCAAAAGTCCAAGAAGCCGAGTACACGCGTCTTCAAAGCTATCTTCGGTCGCACAAGAGCAAGCAGACCGAAATCTACGCGTGCGGGTTCAGAGCCCAATTCCAAAAGCAAAGCTCCAAAAGACCGCGAAACACTGCGAACCGCAGCGCGGGCAGCCCGTTTTGAGGAGCACGGCACACATTGGCCATGGCAGCCCCGTCCTACGAAGCTTTAGGCATCCTGAACCTCCTCTTTTTACTAATAGGGGTGCTCATCTTGCTAGCTGTCAATACCTATGTCGTCTGGCAGTGGCGCCACCCGGAGGATCGGAATGAATGGTTCTCCGCCAAACTAATAGTGGTGCTGTCGATGCTCGCCTCCGAACTAGTAATAATAGGATTACCTCTAGACGTCACGAACAACCAAGGTTCTAGGGACTGTTCGTGGGAGGGAGGCGACTACGCGAAGTGCGGCGGGCTGGACATGAGAGGCTACTGGGTCGGGGTGAGCTGGCTGCAGATGGCGTGTGCGCTGTGTTTGCTGCCTGGTTTTTTATTTGCCTATGAAGCTTACGATGACGTCGACCATACCACAGAGTGCGGTTCTCTTGTTAAAGGAGGTCTCTGTTCGGTATTGGCTATCTTGATAGTCTTCGTGTCCGTGTGTGTGCCCATGTACCTCTCGTCAGAAATGAACGCGGTGCGGCGGCCCGTCGTCGCCTATACAGGTACCCTTGGCACTGTCCAGACCTACTCAAATACGAACATGAGTAGTTTCGCGGCGATGGGTGATCTGGATGAAGCCGTGACTTCTTCATCTTCAGAGTATCTGTTCTACAGCGTCGACTTCCTCGACTACGCGACAAGGTTATTCAGCTGGCTGGGCTGGTTCCTGTTCGTGCTCTGGGGCGGCATTGGGTTGGTGTCATTACCCGTGGACTACGTGCTAGCGTACATCTACCGGCCGATTCCGTTGGACGCGCGGGAATTAGCGGACCTGAGGTTATCTGTGCAACGTAGAACAGCGGAACTACTGGATCTAGGGAGGCAATTACAAGGTGAACGAGCAGCATACAAAGAGGGTCCGAAACTAGGATGGTTGGCAAGGAGGCGCCACGAGGCCGCGGACCAAGTAAGGGTCAACAAGCTGTCCCAGATGGCGATGATCCTCGAAGGTGATGTGGAAGAACTGGAGATCTGCTCCGGGAATGCGAAGGACTACGAACCTTTGCTCTACGTCCTTTATTTGTTTATGGGCATCATCGCGGCGATCCACTCGTTATTGTGGTTCTTGCATATAGCTATATACATCCTACCGCGGGAGCCGGCGCACCCCTTCTTAAATGATTACTTGAAACAATTCTCGACGTGGTACCCTTTATTTGGCAGTGTGGCGTGTGCGTTCTTCGCACTTTATCTACTATGGTGTACAGTACACGGGTGCCTGAAATTTGGCACGAGATGCTTCTGCATCAAACTGCACCCGATGAAGCGCCACGGGACGTATTTGAATGCCATGCTGTTCAACACGGCACTCGTGGGCTTCTGCGCCCTCCCAGTCGCGGAGTTTTCGGCGCACGCCTTCGCGGACTACGCGGCCTACGCGGACGCGTCCACCCGCTTTTCAACATTGAGACGGCTCCACTTTTTTAGGTTTTGGTTCGCGCCCCTGAAGAAGACGTCGGGCGACGTCATGACGTTTGCGTTCGTGGCGCTGTTCTGCGTCAGCGTGCTCTGGTTCTTCTTCCTGCCGCACGACGTGCCCGCGTCGGCCCAGAAGCTGCGCGAGTCCCTCGCGTCGAGCGTGCCCGCCAAAAAGGAGAGGGAGATTGAAATGAAGCCTATGTTAAAGGCCAAGGACCTCAAGAAGCGGAACGAGACGCGGCGCGCGGGCAAGGTGTAATTTTGTGATATATTTTTGGTGCTTCGCGTCGATGGCGTGGAGGTCCGCGGAGCCCGGCCCGCCCGTCAGCAGGCGTCGGGGCGTTATGAAAGACGCGGCGGCAGCGCCCGGCACTTCGCCCGGCGCCAGTCCGGCGCCGACGAATCGCCCGCGGCGACGCGCCGTGTCACTAGTCCTAGCACCGTAGCAGAAATCCAGCTCGTCGACGCGTGTATTCCCCCCAGGACACAATAGGTTCGACAATTACTGCGCCGCCGTCACGGTCACGAGCGACTCGAGCGGCGCGTCGTCCGAGTCCTCGTCCTCAGCAGGAGGAGGCGCCTCGACGGCCGGCCGCTGCGCCGCGGGCTCCTCGACCGGCGCAGAAGCCGCCTTGCGCTTGCCGCTCTCGTGCGCCCGCAGCGCGGCCAGGAACTCCTCGAGCTGGGGCTTGACGTCGTCGAGCTCGAGCTCGCCGCACGCCGCCAAGATATCTTGCGCCGTGACCGTCTGCTTCTTCTTGTCCTTGCAGATGTCGTTCGCGCAGGTCGTGAGGTAGACAATAAAAATGCCTGCGGCCTTGGCGAACGCCTGCTTCGCTTCCTTGGTCACTTGGATGTTGTCGGGGATCGCGCTCTTGACGATGCGCATGACGCAGGCCGCCGGCGGCTCAAAATCTAAAGGTTTTTCGAGCGTCGCGTCCAGGGCCTGCTGGCGGGCCGCCGCCGCGACGGCCTCGACGCTCGGGGCCTCGAGCGGTGGTGCGGGCGGGGCCTGCTCCATCTTTTGGTAGTCTAGGGCCTCGCGGCGCGGTTTTTTTTTGCCTCGCAGCTTCTGTCTGACGGCAGCGAGCTCTCAACGTGGCTGGCAAGTGATTTCAGCGCCCCGTAGCCTCCTTTTCTAGGCCGCGCTCTCTTGGTACGTAATTGCTAGTGTCTTACAGAACGCTAGCGCTGCAAAGGCCGCATGCTGCGTACGACGCAAAACGTGGCTCCTGAGGATCACTAATACTACTGAGGAGCCTAATAGTTGCATTTGTTCCACGCATTTGCACGCGTGCGGCGCCAGAGGCCAAGATGGGCTGGCCAGCAGCACTGTACCGCAGCTGTGCGTTCGCTGCCGCAGCAGTTCTCCACCTCCACGCCGTCGCCGCATCCGCACCAGCAAGAGTAACACCGCCGCTGCTGCCGCGCCGCATCGTGGACAACCTCGCGTACGCGCCGCTCCGCGTCGAGTGCCGCGTGCGGCGCGGCCCGCTGCGCAACGCGGTCCTTCGTGGCGTGCTGGTCCTGCAGGAGGACGGCGGGTGCGAGGTCGTGCTCGAGGACGGTGCGTCGGTCAACGGCACGTGGACGATGTTGCCGGCCGGGCACGAGATTTTGGATAGGCTCTGGGACGAGGTCCGCTTCGACGCGGTCCTGGCGGACGGCGTCCCCTACGTGGCCCACGCGCGGCTCTACGCGCGCTGGTCCCATTCCCATGCGCTTACTTCCCACGGCGCGGTCCTGCGCGGGACCCACGGATGGCTGCGGCCCGTCGTCGCGTCGTTTACGTTGTCGCACGTAACTTGATTGTATTGTTCGTGTGTGGCCTCCCGGTTGGTGGTGGTGATTACGTTCCGGCGCGGCGGCTTCGGGGCGCGCGGGTTTGCTGCATCCGGGTTCCGGCATCTGTCCGAACAAGGACGCGTCGGACGGCGTCGGACAGCGTCTTTGCGGCACCGGAAATACCTAACTTAGCACGCATCGTCGCCTCCAGCAGCCTCTGCTAAAAGCGTGTTGCCGGGAGGCTATCAATCAAAGATGCACTAAGCAATGACCAGGCGCAGCAGCGCGTAGTATAAAAATGAGCGGCGCATCAAAATCCAGCAGCGATGGCAGTCCGCCGGAGCCAAAACCCATGCTGGGTTTGGAAAGCTCGGGCAGGCCTGAGCTGATCACGGTCGAAGCCGAGCCCGAGATCGTCTCGCCGCGCGTGACGCGCGCGAGCCTGCCGCCCGTGGCCCTTGAGAACGGTGCTTTGGAATGTCCCGTGCGGCCCCGCGTCCGGTTTCGCGCGCGCGGCGGCAGGAAATTCGGCGCAGCGATGGATATAAATGAGCGCGCGTCGTCGTATTGATAAATCTCAACGCACGCAGGCCTGCGGCGGCTGCTTCCCCGACTGGGAGCGATATTATGGGCACGTCATCGCCCCGGACAACCGCGTCTGCGCGTGGGTGCAGATCGACCTCATCGACGTCGTCCCCAAAAAGAAGGGCGACGGCGAGGGCGACGCTTCCGCGAGCGCCGACAGCTAGGGCGGGAATTCCTGGGGCGGCCGCACCCCGCGACCTCCGGGCGCGCGCGGAGCGCCCTCTGTTTGTACATATATTTAACGACTTATTATTATGAACCTCACCTTACTGCGTCGGTGTCGTCGATGGCGTGCGGATCCGACAGTGGGCTCCTGTGCCTCCCTGTGCCTGTGCCTCTGCATTTTGAGTGCGCGCGCGGCGTGAGGAGAGGACGCCATCTCTCTAACCGACGCATCAGTAGTTTAATCTCGCAGCGGCGCATTGATCGAAGCTGCAAAGGCAGCGAGCAATAATGGCCTCCCGCAAAGGCAGCAGTGAAGCGCCATCACTGCCTTTAGAGCTTGCTGGGCCATTCTACGACACGGCGACGCTGATTAGTATGTCGCAGACGACCAAGGCGTGCGCCGCGTCCAAGATGCTCGCGGCGCAGTGGGCCGGAGTCTTCTCGCGGCGCTTCCCGTGCCTCGCGGCGCTGCCGGCATTCCAAGCTCCGCTGGCCGACGCGAAGGCCCTCGTCAAGGGGCTGCTCACGGCGACGCCACCACCTCCCGAGCCGCCGCGACGTGGCCGGTCGCGCGGGTCGCCGCTCCCGGCGGTCCCGCTCGACGGCGCGGGGCGAGCGCTTCCATTACGAGAACTCACCATCGTGGCGGTCCAGCTATCGAAACGCGGCGATGCTGCATTATTAGATCGGCCGCTGCTGTTTGGGCATCGACGGGTAGGTGTGGGATGTATGGAGGTGGCAAACGAGGACAATGAAGATGGTAGGTTCGGATATAATGGGCCGAATTGGGAGGAAGAGATCCCTCTACAAGCCACCGCGCAAACGGAGACCCTTGATGAACTACGGAGCATCAAAAAAGCCCTCTCGCTTCCAGATTGTGTTTTCCTCGAGCAAGGAACCGGCGAGGCGACTCCAAACGTCCGCTCTCTGTGCCAGGACATGTGCCGAGCCGCGGAGGCAACGTTACGCCAGGACGTCTTCGTCGTCGCCGGCAGTGAAGTCTGGAGGATGGGCGACGCATCACACACTTGCGCGGGCAGCTTGGCGCGTTGTGAGTCAATGCTGCAGTCTAACTTCGACTGGTACATCGATCGAATCACCGAGTTTGGGGGGAACGGCGAACCCACAGACCGCGGCCCAATTGTGTTTCTAGGAATACTGTTTAATCGAATGAATCTGGCAATGTCGATGCGGTGGAACCTTGGTGCTTATGGGCATCATGATCGGTTTGCTCCTGTTGTAGAACCGCTTGATTACTATACCGACTGCTACAGCCTGGGCTGTTATCTAATTGCGCCTTGGCGCCAATTAGTCATAGACAACATCGTCGACCGGCACCCTGGGACCAATATCGACTACGACGAGGACCTCGACGAAGACGACGGCCACCCCTACCTCTGCCAGCTCCTCGCGGCGACGCGGCCCGTCCGCGTCGCGAGGGCCCCGAGGGCCGCCTAGAGAGGTCCGGCACCGACGAGTAAGTAAGAATGGATAGTGCACTTAAGAACGCGATAGGGGAACCGGCACTACTAGCGCCGCAGCACCGTCGCCGCGCGCTCGTTGTGCATGATCGCGTCCTCCGCGGCGAGCGATCTCAACGCCGCGAGGAACGCGAGCTGGTCGAGGTCGCCGTCGTGGTTCCGCTGGACCTCGTCTCTAATTTCAGCGATGGACACGGGCGTGCCGCGCGGTCTCGCTTCCATAATCTTCTTGAGATCCTTGCAGAGCGACTCGTGGAGGGCGCGGTCGGACGCGGTCCGTCCCGTGGTGATGGCGTCCATGTCTATTAAACCGGTGGACGCGTCCGTCGCCGCCGCGAGCGTGGCGACCTGCATCAGCCGCACGGCCTCCAGCACGTCAGCTTTCGTCACGCGAGTCTCGAGGCGCATGCGGCACAGCGCTTCAGAAATGCGGATCATGCCCTCTAGTTGTCTAGGCGTCGCCGTGATGGCTCTACCTCTATTCGGCCTCGCGCTTCCACCACCCCGCATCCGGACGTACGCATCGACGAGTTCCGACCGAGCTTCAGGACCTAATTCAGGATGGATCCGCGCGCGTGCGAACGCGACATAATCCCGCAGAAAGCGCTCGTCCGCCGGGGCCTGGACCTTGCGCGCCTGCTCTTCCGTACTTCCAGGCTCCGGCGGCGCCAAATAAAGCTCTACGATATGTTTCGCGAGGCGTCTATCTGAGTCCCTATCGGGATTGTCCAATATCAAATAAATCAGATCAAAACGCGATAGCAACGTAGGAGGCAGCTGGATGTTTTCTACTACCGACAGTCTCGGGTTATATCTCGAGTCCACAGGATTGGCCGCGGCAAAGATGGAAGCGCGAGCGTTCAACGTAGCCACAATACCTGCTTTAGCTAATGATATCGTCTGCTGCTCCATGGCCTCATGGAGCACGGCCCTAGTCATATCAGACATCTTGTCAAATTCGTCAATACAGCATATACCTAGATCAGATAAAACCACAGCTCCCGACTCCATGACCAACTCTCGCGTTTCCGGGTCTCGCTGCACGGAAGCCGTTAACCCAACCGCAGACGACCCTTTGCCCGACGTGTAGACCCCGCGAGGCGCGATCTTGTGGACATAGGATAAGAGCTGGGACTTGGACGTACCGGGATCTCCGCACATGAGCACGTTAATGTCACCTCTACTACGAGCCCCGGGCGTGACACCCGTGCGCGCGACCGCACCGTCCCGCGGCCCGTCCTCGGTCTTCGTCTCCCGCAATCGAGCGCACCCTCCAAACAACATGCATAAAACGCCGCGTTTGACGTCTTCCATACCGTAGATCGAGGGCGCCAAAGCCCTCACCAGCTTCTCGTAGGGCGCCTCGCCGTCCCGCGCAAACCTTTCAATCTGCCGGATACGGTCCGACGAGAACTGGGGCCCGATTGGCTTCGAAGGGTCGTCGTCGATGACATCAGCGACGTCGTCCCTCTCATCACCTTTCTTTCTGAAATGTATACTATCGATATAGGTTCTAAAAAGACTTTTGCAGGTCCGCACGCGAGGATGCACTCTCCTCGGAATCGCCCGGAAGATACCCGTCACTTCTACTCTGTCACCAGGCCGCACGGCATCTACCACATCATCAAAGGCGAATAATGTGGTAGTGTGCGGCGTCTCGCCCTCGGGGATTTGACTAGGGGCTTCCTGCAGTCTTACTATTTGTCTATCGGTAAAAATACATCGGTTGTGGATGAGCTCCATGGCACCCTTGGCGCCGCAGCCGGCCCGCGCGCATTTTGAGGGTTCGTCCACTCTACCTCGATCAACGAGTACATCGACCGATCCACCACACACGACGCACTTGTAGTGGGCTTGTTTGAGGTCCGGTACTACACTGCTGGTGCGTGTAACCATGCCAGCCACCGCAACCAACTGATCGATGTTCTCCGGGTCCAAATCCCTCAAATCGTGGACCTCCCGCAAATTGTAGGGTCGCACTTGAATGCGAGGCGGCTCCTGATCCAATTCTGAGGCTTTCTCCGGGGAGTCTACCGCATCTTCTAGGATACACCTCGACAGTTCTTCGGTAGCGACCAAGTCCATAATAGGAACCACCTCCTGCGGGTACTGGACTAGGTTACGATACAAATCGGCACTATGAGCGTGTAAATGCCGACAGTTCACATCCAACGCGGTTCTATTAGCGTGAGCTGCTTTTAACCCTCTAACATAGTAAGGATCCGTATGCTGCTTGCCCGCGTCGCGTCGCGGCGCATAAGTTCTCAAAAACCGACAGAAGTCGTCCATGACGTCCTCGACGTTCACGGTCGTGCCCCAAATCACTGCTTTAGCCTCGCCCGTCGTCTCTGTCGCGGGCGCGGGTGCCGGTTCGGGCTCAGTCGTGTCCTTCTCCGGCGTCGCGCCGACGATCGTCCGTTGTCTTAATGCGGACGATATGCCGCCCCGATCCAAGCCTAGGCCACCCCGAGGCACCGGCGCTCGTCTCCGATGACCGACGCTCGGCGAGTCGCCCATGATCGGCGTCGGCGGCAATGAACCCGAGGCCGACGGACTTCGAGGCCCGCCCGACGACGACGGCGCCCGCAGCGACGACACGGGCGTGCCCGGCGCCTCGTCATGCGGCGTCGCCGGCACCAATAACCCGGGGCTCTGGGGCGTCGCGGGTACTAATGGAGAGGCCGGGCTGCGCGGCGAGCGGCGCCGTTGGGGGGATTCGGCAGGTGGTGACCGCGGCGTGCGGCGGCGCGCGGGCGACGCGGCGGGCGCCGCGGCGCCGGGCGACGCCCGCGGCGTCCGGCGGCGCTTCGCCGGCGACGCGCCCTCGGGCGTGCGGCGGGCTGACCGCCGCGGGGCTGGGCTCGGCGCCGCGGCGCTGCCGGGCGTCGCGGGCGGGCTCCGCAGCCGCGGGCTCCGGCGCGGCGGCGGCGACCGGCGCGGCGGCGGCGAGGCCGGCGGCTCGTCGCCGTTGTCGGCCATGCCTATCGCTTCTTTTTCGCCACTATCGCTCGTGCTTTGGCTCGTTTGGCTCGCGCGCGGCTTGCTCTAGAGCGAAGAGCAAGGGGCCAGGAAAGGCCTTGCGGCGCGGCTGCGGTGCAGCGAGGACTGCTAGGGGTGCTGCGCTGCAGCTGTATCAGTACCCAGGAGACGCAGATAAGGCCAGGGATTGCTATGCGGCGCAGGCCACCGGCAAAACCAGACGGCGCCCAAACAAGGCTAGCATGTTAATTACGCTAGCAAATTATACGGATCCAAAGCCAGTTTGGCTGTGCGCTGCTTCGAACGCCCACGGCCCGTACGACTGGGAAAACACACCACACGATGCATTGGGGCAGCCTCCTCGCCGCCGCCGCGGCCGCCGCCACGCCGCAAGAGCGACAATTGGCCGGCGTCTCGACGAGCGCCACGAGCGGCCAACGATGGAAAACAGAAAGGAAAAGGCGCTTCGAGGGCGTCGTCGGCCTCACGAATATTGATCGGCCGCGCTGGCCGCGGCCGCGCCTGAAATGTGTCAGGGCGGCGGTGTGTACGACGATAAACGCCTTGACACAACCTATAGAGATCGTGGCGAACGCCTCGGACTGGTGTTTGGTGGTCGTTGGCGACGCCATCACGCCCGGCGACGCGTACCAACGGTTAGCAAGGCAGAAACCTGATAAAGTCGCGTACCTGAGTCTCGAGGACCAAAGACGATTACCGTACGAGACGAGCGCGGCGATGCCCGAGCGCCATTTTGGGAGGAAGAACGTGGGTTACGTCTACGCGGCGCACGCCGGTGCTTCTCAAATTTTTGACTTCGACGACGACAACGCGCTCCTGTCGGCCACCGCTCTGGACGGGCTCAAACCTACCACGAAAGTATATCTAGCTTCGGGCCAGGGTCCCGTGAACCCCTACCCCTGGTTCGGCGCCTCGAAGGCCTGGCCGCGCGGCCTGCCCCTCGATTCCTTGAATGCCGCGAACGCGTCGCTATCGACGACCAAATCCACGGTACAACTGGGGGCGGTCCAGGGCCTCGCGCAGCGCGACCCCGACGTGGACGCCATCTATAGGTTGGCGCCCCGAAACGCTTTACCCTTGCCGTTCTTTTTTGAGAGAAAGGCGGCTTCGGAAAATCTGATAGCCCTCTCGCACAAAACGATGGCGCCCTTCAACGCGCAAGCGACGCTCTGGTTCCGCGACGCCTTTGCAGCTTTGTACTTACCTACCACGGTCCACGGCCGCGTGTCGGATATTTGGCGGTCGTATGCGGCGCAGGCCGCGTTCCGTTGCCAGGGGTTGTCTTTGGCCTTCAGTCCGCCGGTCGTGGAACAAGACAGGAACGCCCACGACTTCATGGGCGACTACATGAGCGAACGGCCCCTCTACGAGGAGGCGGGGGCGCTCGTCGAGTACCTCCTCGCGTGGCCGTGCCCTTCTGGTAGTTCGCTGCCGGCGGTCTTCGAGCGGCTCTTCGTGGACCTCTACGAGCGCGGCTTTATCGAGGTCCAGGACGTCGGGCGGCTCCAGGCGTTTCTGAGGGATCTGATCCGCGCGACGGACCACGGCGCGGCGCTCCCCGGGCGGGCGAACCGGCACAGGCGGGGCGGCTGGCGGAGCGGGGCGGGTAGTGGATAATCGTCAGAGTGCATGTGTAGGAGGGCGCGGCCGGCCCCGGCGGCCTCGCGGCGACCGCTGGAGAGAACCCAAGTTCCCATGGTGGGGCGGGCTACCAGTTGCTCAAGTAGCTCGGCTTCCAAGCTCTCCCTAATCACTCGTCCGGGGCACTAGCCATAGCGCGACTCCTAGCGCTCTCCTTTTTGCATGCTGTCTCTGGCGCTAATTGCTCCGCTCGCACACAGCGTGCCGAGAGAGCTGCTTGAGCATCGCGCCTAGGACTAATACCGCCTCAGAGCAGCCATCGCTGGGGCTGCCCCTCTCGGCATTCTCGCTGCCCACACGCCAGCCGCCGCGCTGCCTAACAATAGCAAAACGATGACCACGCCCATCGACTTCGGGAACTGCAGTCAGGCGGTGCCCCACGAGCGCCGGTTCAACCCCCGCGCGAAGCCCAAGAAATCCCCGGGACCTGGTAGTTATGATATCATAAACACCCCTACCGACGTCACCACAAAGTACAAGACGACGCCCACCTACAAGATGGGCTCATCTACAGCACCTAGATTCAATAAAAAAGCCCACGACACGATCTCGCCGGGGCCCGGTATTTATCAATTGAACCCTTCGGTAGGAGACCAGACGCTATCCACAAAACGGAGTGCCGGTAGAGTGACATTTAACATGGGGAAAAGAGGTGAGAAGAAGAGGTATCAAGGTAGTCTAGTGCACGCCTACATCGACCCCCATTCTCGCCTGGATACGAGGTCGGCGTCCGCGTTTGGTGCATCTACGGCCGATCGGTTCGCGCAATCCAAACGGGACATCCTGAACTCCTGCAGTCCCGGACCGGGAAGTGCGTGGAAGCACGGCATTTATTCCGGACTTAGTAAAAGAGGCGGCGCCACCCTGGGAACAGCTCGACGGTTCATGAACGACAAAAAATTGTCGGCTTCTGATGCATCGCTCAACCAGTCCATCGTCGAAAGTGTGGGAGACAAAAAGTCCTTCTACGAGGAGGACCACGCGCGGCCGGGGCCGGGGCAGTACACGATCCCGACGACGATGGGCCCCTATCCGGATTCAAAAATGCGGTCGGTCGTCGTGCCCGTCTTCACGGAGGGCACGCGGGAGACGAAGCCGCCCAAGCGCACGCCGGGGCCCTCGGACTACGAAGGGCGATCCACGATGGGGCGGCAGCCGATATCAACAAAGAGATCGGAGCCCGGGTTTAGGTTTGGGGCCGCCGAGCGGCCGATTGGTAAATCAATATAATTAATGTTTTGCTTAGAGCTAGGCCGCCTAGCCGTGGGGCCTTCTTTAGTGCGGAATAACGTACTCGTGGCGCTCCGAGTTTCGCGGAGGCTCGCCCTCGATCGTCTCCTGGTGGACCACGCGCCCAGTGTCCACTTCGAACTCCTCCCGGACCCAGCGATCCGGAGGTCGTGGAGAACCACGGGGAGCGACGATCTGGGCCGAGTCTCCGCGCCGCGGTATGTTGAAGGGATTCCGGGGGTCCCCCGCCCGTCCCGCCCGCTCGGCCTCGGTGAGCCCCCGATGACGAAAGTACCGCACGGCGGTACGCGGCGGCGCTGGAGGCACAGCGACCGTGTCGCCGTCCGCGTTCTCCATGGCGGCGACGTCGTTTCGCGCGTCGCGGGCGGCCAGGACGAGCGTCCCGAGAACGGCGCGCTGGCCCTCCGAGCCCTCCGGGAGCTCGGTGAGGCGTCTCGCGCGGCCGGACGCGGCGCTCCGGCTCCTGGGCCGCGTCCGCGTCCTCGGGCGTCTCAGCGCTTCTGCGAGGGCGTCGGGTCCGTCGGCGTCGCGTCGTCCTGCTCATATGATGATGAGGGTCAGAAGGGAAATAAAAATTGTGATGTCAACTTTGCCTTCGGAGGAGAATTCGCGCACGCGCGCCGCGGTCGACGCGCCTGGTACCTTGCCTACTATCGTGCCCGACAAGGCGCGCACACTCCGCGGAGTCAAAAGCAAAAAATGATAAAAACCCGCGCAGTCCCGCACGTATACTAATGTAACCGCTCATGAAACGCTAGCCGGCGGGGGGAAATGAAGCACATACTTATAAACACACACACTAGAACAGCCCCGCGAGGAAGGCCAGGATGGCGGAGGCCGACGCGGGCCCGCACTCGTGGCTGCACGCCTGCGGCAGGAACGTGACCCGCGCGCCGTTCGTCTGGAGCAGGTCCCGCAGCCAGGGCGCCGTGTAGTAGGGGATCGTGCGGTCCTCGAGGCCGTGGAGCTGGAGCACGCGCAGCCCCTTCTTACCTTGCAGCTTGCGCGCCCAGTCCTCGACGCACATGACGAAGCCCGAGAGCGCGACGACGCCCGCGCACGGCTCGGGCGCGTCCAGTGCCAGATCGACGGCGACCATGGCTCCTTGCGAGAAGCCCGCGAGGCAGATCTGTGATGGTGCGACGCCCGCCCGGCGCCGGAGCGTCTGGAGAAACTGGCGCTGGCGGCAACGCATCTCGGGCACGCCGTTGGGCGTCGCGCGCACGACGCGCGCCTTCGCCGCCTCTCCCATTGTTACGGCGTAGAGGTACTTCGTCACGTCGAGCTCGAACCAGCTCTCGCCGCTCGGACACTGCGGCAGGACGACCTGGAGCCGCCGCGGCAACAAGCGCTCGCAGAGCAGCGCGGCCAGCGCCGCAAATTCGACGCCGTGCGCTCCGTAGCCGTGGTAGAGCACGACTACTAATTCTGGCGCCGCGGCGCCCACACACAAGCAGCGGAGGCCGTCGATGACCTCGAGCGTCGCGGCGCCGGCCCGCACGAGCGTCTGCTCTACTTCTAATCCTTCTTTTCCCGGCGCGTCCCGCGCGGCGATGACGGCGTCTGTATATCGCTTCTCCAGCTCGGACCGCTCGACGCAGTCCGCGTGGCGCAGGCCCGACGCCGAGATCGCGCGGCGCAGCTCGCGCACGGTCTTCGGCGGCTCGGGTTTCGCCGTCGTAAATAAGCCGCGGAAGAAGGCGTTCGTCTCCGGGAAGAGCTCTTTGCTTTTGTGGTTGTTGTTGGCCATCGCGATTATTTATTTTGCTGCACTGCTCTCTCCCTGCACCTTTTATCCTGCTCTGAGCGCTGCAGTTTTTCACGTGGGCCGCCTCGCGCTACTTTTTTTGCGTACAGCTCAGCAAATTCCAGGCGCACTGGCGTATTTATGCGACCATCCAGCCCGCTTTGCGCCACCATAACTCAAACGTGCCGGGTTTTACAGGGCGTTCGCTCCACGCGTGGCGCCATCAAGGTTCGCCCACCAAATGGCGTCATAAAAAGCCGCTGAGGACTAGCTCGCCCGCCGCGGAACGTAGGGTCCTAAGTAATTTTAAGCGGCGGGCCTCACGCGCTCGGCGGCGGCAGGTCGCTCCCCGCGAGCATCGGCGCGATGGCCGGGAAGAAGAGGAAGAGGGCCAGGGACCCAAAGAGCGGGATCGCCGCGAGGTACAACGAAATATCGAACGCGTCCGTGCCGCTCGACCCCGGAATCATGCCGCCGAGCGTCGCCGCCCGCTCCTCCTCGGGCGTCGCCTCGAAGCTCTTGAGCTTCGCCTCGAGCGACGCCGCGACGGCCGCGTCGGAGTCGGCGCCGCCGAGCCGCACGCCGTAGTCGTAATAGCTCACGACGCCGTCGCTGTCGCACGCCTGGCGCCAGTCCTCGTTGGTTGCGCTGATGCGCGTCCACGGCGTCCCTCGTCGCGCCGGTGGCAGGGTGAAGGCCGCCGTGCTGGCGGCACCGAGCAGCAGGGCGAGGCCGGCGGCGCGCGGGACGGACTGCATTCGACTGGGATCTTATTTATGGTGTTCGGAGGTGCTGTGGCGATATTTTTGAGGCCCGGCTTGCTGCGCACGTCTCGTTCCGGCGGCGAGAAACTAGCGTGCATTGACACACTAGCCCTCCAACTCGCCGCTCAAGCCAATCAGCCGCGCGCAACCCCACACAACTGCATCGCTCCAAGCCAGCACCTCACAAACGCATCGCTGTGGACGGCTGCGCAGACGTGGGCAAGACGCGCCCCCTGGGGAGCAGCGAGCCCTAAAAGGGAGCCGCGCCTAAACAGGGCGGCGCAGCGCGGGCCGGCGCTGTACGCCATCGACGCGACACCACAATGTCGGTCACCGGCAAGCGCGGCGTCGGCGTGCCGGTGATCCTCATGCACGACGGCGAGGGCACGATCGTGACGGTCGAGTGCAAGAACGGGGACACGTACCGCGGGTTCCTGGACGAGACGGAGGACAACATGAACTGCATCCTGAAGGACGCGACGCGGACCGACGCCAAGGGGAACAAGACAGCCGTCGAGCACATCTTTTTGCGGGGGTCGCAGATCGCGTTCTTCGTGTTCCCCAACATGCTGAAGAAGGCGCCGATGTTCAAGCGCGTCCGGGACTGGAAGCGGAACAACTCGAAACGGCGGCCGGTCCAGGGGGGGCAGGCGCGCGGCCAGGCCGCGGCGATCATCCGGAAGGCGCAGCTGCGGCAGCAGCAGCAGATGCAGATGCTCCAGGCGGGGCCGCCCCGATGATGACAGTCCTGTTCGATCGTCGTTTTTAGTTTAAGTAGTGGTCTTCTCTCCCGGATATTGGTCGTGCGCTGTTGGAGTTTTCTAGCCTGATGCACCCCCCGCGTGCCGCTGGTCCTCGAATCGACGGCGTTGTGGTCGTCGTCGCGTGGGTGGGGCAAAAAAAGGCAAAAAGAGAAACCTCACCCGAGGTGGGACTTGAACCCACGACCAGTATCCTCTGCGCGTAGCAGATCTGGATTAAAAGTCCAGCGCTCTGACCAACTGAGCTACCTATGCCTGAAGATCGGGCAGTGACAGATACGTCTGTCGCGTACAGCAGTCGTGCGCGGTGCGGTTTTCGTGCGGGTTCAGTTGCCACCCATTATATTTCGTTCGTCAAAAAAACCCGGCCGCCTGCTTTTCTCGCGTCGTTGGCGAGTATCCTCAAAGAGCTGACACGGAGCCCACCGTCGGTCGCCGGTGTGCTGTATTCCGACAAGCGCACCAAAATCTCGGCGAAAACGGGACCCGTTCGGGCGCCTTATTGAGAGCATCTCAGGCTGTCTTGGCTGCGCGGCGAAGGCGTCGCCAAGGAAGCACGCATGGCGGACGACGTGAGTGACGAGCCGCCCGTCGGCGACGCGCGCACCAGCTGGCTGCCAGCGCAAAGCGCACAAATTCTCGCTCTCGGCGACGCCGCGCGCCGCAGAAACGCTGCGTACCAAAATGCCTGGCAAAAGCTGCAGCCGCCCGCGAAGACGCAGCCGCTCAAAAGTTCGGAGCGCCGGAGCTTGCGCCAGGCGCTGCAGAAGCAGTTTGCGCCAGCGCTCGACGCGGCCGAAGCCATCGACGCAGTATTGCCGACGAGCAAAAACGCCGCGGTGACGCGCGGCCGCCAAGACAGGACGGAGCTGATCCTCGTCGACGGCGTCGTGGCGCTCGCGTCGCAAGAGCCGGTCGACGGGGACGCGAAATCGAGAGCCGCGCGCAAGACGTGGGTCCCGACGCCGCTCGTGCTGCAGCGATGCCCGCACATCCTGCGACAAGTCGCCGTGCATGCGCCCGTGGCGCACGGCCCCCTCAAGCGGGGTGCAGATTTGTACGCGGGCGGCGTCGTCGGCTTCGGTCACGCGACGCGGGAGACAGCGGGATCGTGGCCCGAGGCGCTCTTTGGCGGCCCCATCGCCCAGGGCGAGCTAGTCGCGGTCTGCGCGCGCGATTCGTGGGCGCCCGTCGCCGTCGGCCGATTTTCGAAATCTTCCGAGGACATGGTGCTCGAGGGGAGCCGCGGCGCGTGCGTCGACGTACTGCTCAGAGTCGGCGACGGCGTCTGGCCCAACACGGCCGTGGACGCGTCGACGTCGTCGTCGAGCCCGCCCGAATTCTGCGTCGCCGCCGCCGCGGCGGCGGCCGAGAGCGCGGCGGACGCGCTCGCCTTGGCCGCGGAGCGGCACGCCGCGCGGACCGCTGCGGCGGCGGCGGCCGCGCACGCGGCCGAGGTCCTCGACCTCAAGGCGCGGACGAAGCGCCTCGCCAAGTCGCTCCGCCAGGTCGCGGACCTGCGCGGGCGGGAGCTCAAGGACGACGCGCAGCGCACCAAGGCCGCGCGCGGGCCCGCGCTCGAAGCGGAGCTCGCCTACGCCGAGGCCCGGCTCGCGGAGCTCCAGCGCGCGGTCGACGACGCGGCTGCGTCCAATGGTGTCGCTGAGGCCGCTGTTGAGGGCGCCGCCGGAGATACGGACGAGGCCGCGGGCGCCGATGTCGGCGACGATGGCGCTGACGCCGAGACCGAAGCCGCCGCCGGCGACACGGACGCTGCAGATGACGACGACGAAGAGGAGGCCGCCGCGCCGCCGCCGTCCCCCGACGAGATCTTCCGCGCAGCGTTCCTCACGACACTGCGGCGCGACCTGAAGCCGCCCGTGCTCGCCGCCGAGGCCGTCGGCGCGGCGGCGAAGCTAGGGGGCGCGTCCGTGAAGGAGACGTCGTGGAAGAAGGCTGCCAAATTCCTGGAGAGCCTCGCGGGCGTCGTCGACTGCAGGGAGAAGTCCAAGGGCGTCCTCGAGGTCGTGTCCGTGGACTGGGGTCGAGCGCCTCCGTTTGAACTCGTCGAGAAGGCTGCCGTCGCGGACGAGTTCGCCGCGCTGCGCGCCACGAAGAGGGGAGGCTGCGTCACCGTCTCCGTGCGGCGCGTGCGCAACAAGAACTGCACGTTCGTGGACGGGTTAGACGGGTGGGGCTTCGACGAAGCGCGACAGAAAGCCGTCGCGGCGGCCCTCCGGACCAAATTCTCCGCCGCGGCGTCGGTCGCGGCGAGAAAAGGCACCGAGGACAACCGCAAGGGCAAGAAGTTCTTCTCGATCATGGTCCAGGGCAAGTACGCCGAGCAGATCGGCGACGTCCTCCGGCGGGATTTTGGCGTGCTCACTGTGTCAGTGCAGGCGAAGAAGGGCCTGGTGACGAAGAAGGACCGGCAGGCGTTCTCGAGCGCGCTCTAGTAGGTAAGTTGTTGTGAGTTGTGTCGAAATGCACCGTGGGCTAGCTAGTCCTCAGCACTTTTTCGTCGAGCGTATGACGGGCTAGCTAGTCCTCAGCACCTGCGCGGCGTGCGCAGGGCGGGCTAGCTAGTCCTCAGCACTTTTGCCCGACACGCGCCGCAGGCGGCTATAAACTAAAAACGACGATCGAACAGGACCGTCATCATCGGGGCGGCCCCGCCTGGAGCATCTGCATCTGCTGCTGCTGCCGCAGCTGCGCCTTCCGGATGATCGCCGCGGCCTGGCCGCGCGCCTGCCCCCCCTGGACCGGCCGCCGTTTCGAGTTGTTCCGCTTCCAGTCCCGGACGCGCTTGAACATCGGCGCCTTCTTCAGCATGTTGGGGAACACGAAGAACGCGATCTGCGACCCCGCAAAAAGATGTGCTCGACGGCTGTCTTGTTCCCCTTGGCGTCGGTCCGCGTCGCGTCCTTCAGGATGCAGTTCATGTTGTCCTCCGTCTCGTCCAGGAACCCGCGGTACGTGTCCCCGTTCTTGCACTCGACCGTCACGATCGTGCCCCCGTTCTTGCACTCGTGCTGAGGACTAGCTAGCCCACGGTACGATTCGAAACAACTCACAACAACTTACTTGCTAGAGCGCGCTCGAGAACGCCTGCCGGTCCTTCTTCGTCACCAGACCCTTCTTCGCCTGCACCGACACCGTGAGCACGCCGAAGTCCCGCCGGAGGACTATGCCCTCGAGCCGCACAGGCCGTGCTCGCGAAGAAGCGCGCCGCCCACGCGTCGCAGGCCTCTCCGCAGAGGAGCTGCCGCCACCTCCGATCGTCGGTCCACAACGCGCCGAGCTGGACCGCGCGACCGGCCAGCTTCATCGAGCAGGCATGCCCGACGCCGCAATGGCCGGGCCCGCCGTAGCAGTCGAGACGCAGGTGCTTCTGGCGAGACGGCGCGCGGCTCCACGCGTTGGCCAGGCAGTCGTCGATGGCGAGGTTGACCAGCACGCGCGCGCAGCCGCGCGGTGCGAGGTTCGGGATGGCGCAGAAGGGCGCGACCTGGAGGCTCGTGCCGAAGACGAGCACCAGGTCAACATCACTACTCCCGGCGCCAAAGTCCTCCGCGAGGCAGTGGGCGACTCTCGGCGGCAACGCGTCGCCGTAGAGCACAATCGACCCGTCGCGTATCGAGCCGTGGCACTCGACGACCTTCTCCGCCCACGTTGCCGTGAAGAGGTCCTCGTGCGTGTGCAGGCCGTCCACGTTCTGCGTGTAGAGGCGCGCCAGCACGCCCTGGTCGTGGAGCCAGCGGCAGAAATGATGCGTGGACGTCGGCCGCGCCGCACTTTGCTTCCACGTCGCGAGCCACGGCGAGATCTCGTCGCGCCACGCGTCGGGATGCCGGGTCACGAAGGAGCGCGACAGGAGCGTCTCCGGGCGCGAAAGCACCTCCGGAAAGCGGTCCCCGAAGCGCGAGCGGATCGTTTCGAATAAGCCTCCTTTTCGATCGGAAGTCGGGAATGCCGGCCGCGACCGATACGCCCGCGCCGGTGCAGACCACGACCCGCCTGTAGGTGCCGGCGGCGAGGCCGTCGAAGAGCTCCTCCTCCGTCAGCGGCGCCCAGCGGCGTCGGGGCCGCACCGGCAACCCCGCCCTGCGCCGGTGCTTCCTGCCGGCCTCGTGCTCGGCCAGCGACCTCGCGGACTGAAGATCTTTCCCGCAGATGGAGCACCAGTGCGGCGGGAGGCTCATGCGCGCGTCGCGATACGGTCGTCCGACGCCGCGCAGCGCTTACGTGGGGCGGGACCGCTGCGGCGGCGTGTGGGGCAGCCCACAAGTCGTGTGCCTGTGGCAGCCCTGTTTCGAGTGCCGCACGCCTCAAAAAGCGGTGCCGCCGTGGGAATCTCGGCTGCAGAGGTAGCGATTCTCGTCTACTCTCGGCTGCAGGGGCAGCAATTGCGCGACCATGGCACGAGAATGCTCCGCTCCGGTAATCCAGCTAGCGACTACCGTACTAGAAAATCCGGCACTTTTGCGGGCGCCGCAGCACTGCTCAGCCCAGTCAATCATCAGAGTGAACGCAAGAGAGGCAGAGCCTACCAGTCACCTTGTGACGAGCGCTACCGGCGAGACCCGTTACCGAGCACGCGGCAGCAGCCATAGACACCACACCAAGCACTGGGTAGCACTGCCAAACGACGAGCCACCGCAAAAAAAAAAAAGGCCCTTCAACTTCCCGAGCTTCGGCCGCCGCACGTCCAGCAACAACACCTTCAGCACCCCCGCGACGAGCGAGCCCGCGACGCCCATACCGCAAACGCAAACGCGGCGCGGCCTCCTGCAAAAACAAAAGGCCACGCTCCACTGGGCCGAGCGCTTCTGCTGGATCGAGGCCGGCGAGTTTAGATGGGCGGAACCGTCCCGAGACGACTCGCGGATGCGAGGGAGAGAGCGGGGTGGTGTGAACTGCGCGGACATCCACGAGGCGCGACGAATTAATGGAGATAGTGAACGGCCGCACCAGTTTTCCGTGAGAACAGCACGGGGCACGGTCAAGTTCGCCGCGTCGACGCTAGCCGACGCGGCGGGATGGGTCGCGGCGCTCAAGCCGCGAAGGGACGTCGCGTTATTGAGAGAAAGGTGCTGGCAGTTCCCGGCGCGCTTAGTTAGGAGTGAAGAAGTCGTCGTGACGGCGACGGCTTCAGGTGGTGTGGTATTGTCGAAGTATGTTGGAAGAGGTGGTTTTCGGTTGCGCATCGATGGCATCGGCGACGCGACGCCAGAAGAGATCCACGTCGCGCCGGGTACTCTAAAAGCGTTGGGACTGGCGAATGACGATGATACGGACCCGCTGTGCGTCGTGGCGGCCGGGTCCGCGCCATGGTCAAGAGCCGAGCACGACGCGGGGAGCTGCTTGCTCGCGCTCGGGCCGGATGGAAGGAGGGAGTGGAAGGCCATGGTCGAGGACGTCGTCGCGGCGGAGGCGCCCTCAAGGGGAGAGAGCCACCCGTTCCTCGCGGTTCGTGAGCGGCGTCCTTGTTTTTTTTGAGAGGCGGCGTCGTCCGTCGGGTCGCGTCGACGGCGTGATGGCGCGTCGATGGCGTCACGGTGGCTACGCGTTGCGCCACGACGCCGTCGACGCGGGACTTAGGCAGAGCGCGCGTGTCACGCCATCGCCGCGACGCGGAAAGGGGAGACCGAGCGACGCGAAACGCAGGGCTGGCGCGACGCGCCCGACGGCGCCGAGCTCTTCGCCGAGGGGTCCGACGCGCGGAATGAATTGAAGCGGCTCGAGGCGTGGTTGCAGACGACGGAGTTCCGGGTGAAGGTGGACGACGAGCGCTGGCGCTTCCCGACGCGCGCCGCGCCGCCCGCTTCTTCCCTGTTAGAGAGGCGCTTCGTCGTGGCGATCACGTCCGGCGCGCAGAAAACATTAGTGCCCTGCGCCGGCGGCGAATCCACCAGAGAACTGTTAGATGAGGTCCTCGAGAAGCTACGGGATCGGAGCGAGCGACCTACATCTATCTCAAGAGCGGGGCCGCCGCCCTTGCCCCCGCGACCGCCTACCACAAGACCGCAGACCATCCAGTACGAAACACCAGAAACGGTGGCCTTGCGACTGAAGAGCCGGAGGAGCTATTTGCTGAGGTTGGACGCTCCGATTGTGTCAAATAGCGATGTCGCGGACGCGCTGCGGGCGTCGGTCGCGCGAGTACCTACGGTAGAACTAGTCTTAGAACGAGATTTGTCCGACAGGGACCAATCCTTGTTAACAGCGCAACGAAAACGACTCGAATCCACTCCCATACTCTACGAGGACACGCTGCCGCCCAAAGAAGTAGCGCAAGCGATAAGATCGACGGATGTGGATAAGCTCGCGACCTTACCCGACGCCGTGCTGGAAACGTTCATCCCGCAGTTGACCCAAGCTCTGAAACGAGGACAACCGTGTGACTTACTCACGAAATTCCTACTGGAACGGGCGCTGACGAACCCGGTCTACGTCGGCTCGAGGTTGTTCTGGGCTTTGAGATGTGAGATGAGACAAGGAGGCGAAGTAGCAGGGAGGCATGGTGCTATCCTAGCCTGCTATCTAGGAGCGTGCGGTTCTAGGTGTAGAGGCGACCTCGCGAAGCAGGTCGAGCTCGACAGAATACTGGGAGACCTGACGACGACGGCGTCGGAGATGGACGACCGACGAGCTAGGACGCAGTTCGCCCGGCAAAGGTTGAAGTCTTTGAGTCGATCCGGGGAATTACCAGCAGATTTAGATTTACCTTGTGCCCCGGGCCGACGAGTTGGCAGAATCAGAGCCGACAGCGTCAAGGTCCTCTCGTCAAAGGCAGCACCCATCCTCTTACACTTCGACGACGCCTCGGATGAAGAAGGGTCACCGATCCTCGCCATCTACAAAGCGAGGGACGATCTCAGACAAGATGCGGCCATGTTACAAGTGATGCGCCAGATGGATAGGATGTGGTTAGATGCCGGCTTGGAATGCTGGTTAAGAACCTATTCGGTCTGTGCGACGCAACCCGATAGCGGCTGGATCGAGGTCGTGAGCGACGCGACCGAGACCGCGGAGGTCCAGCAGACGTACGGCGGCGGCGCTCTCGGTGGCGCCTTCCAGTCCAATACATTGAATAGGTTCCTCGAAGATAAAAATAGGGATGATCCTCGAGCGTTCCCCGCGTGCGTCGAGCGGTTTGCCGCTTCTTGTGCGGCTTGTTGTGTGGCTACTTATGCTCTTGGAGTGGCCGACAGACATAACGGCAACATCATGCTGTCGACCGATGGTAGGCTGTTCCACATCGACTTTGGGCATGTGCTCGGTCATTTTAAGAGGATAAGAGGCGTCGGCGCGCGTCGCGAACGGACCAAGTTAGTCTTAACCCCAGAAATGATGTTCCTCATCAACAAAACGAAGGTCGTGGAAAAGAGCTTCATCTTCGACGACGCGGGGACGTCCGACGCCATGAAGCTCCACGACGGGTTTGCGGAACGGTGTCAAGCTCTACTGGACGTGTTGAACAGACCCGGGCACGTGGCTTTGTTATTACAAACTCTCAAAGAGTTGGTGCCGGCGGGCCTACCGGAAATTACGGACGAATCCCTCGCGTGGCTGCCTCGAGCTGTGACGTCGTCGGAATTGAAACCTGAGTTGAAAGCTGCACTGGCCGACTGGGTGAGACGCTTGGACAACGCGAACCATAATAGGGTTCATCGGGAAAGCGGTTCGGTGCTCAAGCCGCGCGAGCGGCCCGCCTCCACTTTAATGGAGGCGCACGTCGAGGTCGAGGAATTGCGGACGCTGCTGTCGCGGGCGAACGCGCGCGCGGACGCGTTGCAACGGGACCTCGATCAGCTGCGGGGCCTCGACGGGTCCTCCCGGCCCTCGGGGTCGCGCGTGCTCTAAGGGTATTGTTTGTGAATATTAGGCGTTGTCTACGGCCTTCCCGGCGACTGCGTCTCGCGGGCGCCTTCCCGGCGACGGCGTCTCGCGGGCGCGGAGCGCGGCTCGCGCGTTTCGCAGCTCATCCTCGATCCCCGTTGTGGTCGGGTGCGCACCGCCGAGCACCCGCCGCGCGGTCCGTCCTATCTCCTCGAACGTCGTCACGCTTTCGCGGAGATCGTCGAGCGTGGCGCTGGCGTCCTTGCAGAGCGCCACCGCGTAATTCCACCTCATCTTGAGCGTGAGTTCTTGACTCTCGCCGAGAACGCGTCGCGTCACGGGTGTCGTTTTGCGCAGCAGCGACTTGGCTTCTTCGAAGCGTTGTAGATCAATAAGGCTATTCGCGTAGTTGCTGGCTTCTATCAGCGTTGTTGGATCTTCCTCGCCCTCGAGGCTCAGCCACCCAGAGTATACATCTCGCCGCAGGCGTAGACCCTCTTCAGACCGTCCAAGCATTGCATACGAGTTCGCAAGGTTGCCCTGAGTGATGAGGATGTTGGATTCTGACATGCCCAAGACACCGGCGCCACGCTCGACGATCTCCGCGAGGCCGTGACGACGCTCGAGGACCCGGAACGGATCGCGCGGCGCGTGCTCGGGAGTGCGCACCCGATCACATTGAAGATTGAGGACTCATTGCAAGACGCACGAGCCGCGCTCCGCGCCCGTGAAGACTCAGTGTAAAACAACTTAAATAAACGCCTCCTCGAGCCCCTCGGCCTGCGCCGCCGCCGCCTCGCCGCCGAATTCCAATTCCCCGCCGAGCTCCTCCTCGTGGACCGCCTGCGTCAGCGCCTCGACGAAGGCGCGGACGTCGCCGAAGCAGTTGTAGAGCGGCGCCGGCGCCACCCTCAAGACGTCGGGTCGCCGCAGGTCCGCGAAGATATGCGCCTTCTGGAGCCGCCCAAACACACCCTCGACGGTCCCGTCATTGAATTTTATCGACAGCTGCGCGCCTCTTCTGGAAGGGTCCCGCGGCGTCACGATTTCCAAGGACGGGTGCTCGAGCGCTATTAATAACTCCAGGTACGCCGTCAGCTTTAGGGATTTTGCCCGCAACGCATCGATGGACGCGGCGTCGTGCAATCTATAAGCCTCGCGGAGCGCGACCATGGGTAAAGTAGGGGGGTTCGACAATTGTAGACCGGCCGCGCCCGCCCGATAGACCGGCTCCTGGTTCATCTCAAAGCGCGTCGACCGCTCGTGGCCCCACCAGCCCCGCAGCACCCCAGGTAAGGAGCGCGTGTCGTGCTTTGCGTGGACGAACGCGCCCGCGATGGCGCCGGGCCCACTATTCAAATATTTATAGGAGCACCAGCACGCGAAGTCCACCCCATCATCATGCAGCTGCAACGGCACGTTGCCCGCGGCGTGGGCGCAGTCCAATCCCAATAAAGCTCCTTGCGCGTGCGTGGCTTCCGCGAGTTTACGCGCGTCGAACCACTCGCCCGAGTAGTACTGCACCGCGCCGATGAGAACGACACATAACCCATCGGTTGCGTTGATGGCTTCCACTAATTCATCCGTGCCCCCTTCCACCCTTATGATGTCCTCCTCACTCCCGCCTCGACTGGAAACGCAGCTCTGCACGGCGTATTCATCACTCGGAAACGCGTGCGCCTCGATCAATATTTTCCTCCGTGTACCTTCTGGTCTATAAAAAGCGGACAGTAAGAGGTGGAGGTTGACGGTCAGCGAGTTCATCAGGACGACCTCCGAACGTTGGGCACCAACTAACCTTGATGCCTCCTCTTCCGCGCAGTCCTCGATGGTCCACCACCTCGTGGACGGCGCCTCGTCCTGGTCGAAGTGGCCCTCCACACCGTACGTTGCCCACCTTTGTAAATCGTCAAGCACGGCCTGCTTCGTTTTTTTGGGTTGCAGCCCCAGCGAGTGGCCGCATAAATATATAGCGTCGCGTCCATGATTAGGAGGCGGGAAGCAGAACTGCTGCCGGTATTCCCTTAATGGATCCGCTTCGTCGAGCGCTGCTGCTAGCTCTTCACTTCGCACGTCGAGGCCGCGCTTCGATGCCTCGTCGAGGAGTTCCGGGATCTTCGAGGAAGGCGCTTGGTTTAGGATCGCATCGATGGCCGCGGCGTCGTCGTCGTCGGCGAATGCGGCCATTTGCCTTGTGCAGGCTGCAGCAGGCTGATTGCTTGCCTGGGGCGAGGTGTGCAGCAGTGATCAGAGATCACCGATGGATAAGGAGTAATAGGGCTTGCCAGGCGAGCTCAATTGCCCAACCTGCTCACCAATGCCAGCATGCAAGCTTGAGGCTCACGCTTGCTAGTGCCTTACAGGCCGCTAGCAAACTGCTTGGGCCCAAAACAAAAAAAGAGACGTGTCGCGGAAGCCCGTGAGCACAGCTCTGCAAATTATCACTCGGTGCATCGGTTCTTAGCCGCTCTTGCACGGAGCTGCCACCTGCGCCCAAAAAGCATTCACAGAGCAAGCTCTCTCCAGCTCAGCCTGCAGCCATGGCCGAAATGGCCGCGCGGGACCGCAAGCACCAGGAGCTCGGCGACGCGTTGGTAGAGAGACGGCGCCACGAAGTGACCATCGTCGGCGCCGGCCTCGTCGGCTCTTTATTGGCCGTAGTTTTACGCAGTCGAGGGTATCGCGTCACGGTCTACGAGGGTCGACGAGATCCACGAGAAGGCACGCAAGAAAACAGCGCCGGGCGGAGCATCAACCTCGTCGCGACGGCCCGTGGCCTCAAGGCACTGTCTACGCTACCCCCGGACGTGGCCACGCGCCTCAAAGCTTTAGGTACAAAAGTATATGGCCGCGTCATCCATACTAGTGAAGGCGAAATCTTAGCGCAGAAGTACGGCAAGAACGACAACGAGTACAACATATCGCTCTCCAGAAGTAAGTTAAATGATTTCCTGCTCGGCGAGGCGGAAAGAGCCGGCGCTTCGATCAAGTTCGGCCACCGCTTGGTCAATGTGAAGCTCCCCGCCGATTCTGAGTCTCCAACTCAACTGGAGTTCACGATGGGCGGCGGCGGCACGTGTTTGACGGCGTGTTTCGGGCCCGTCATTGGGTCCGACGGCGCTGGTTCAGCATTGCGACGAGCCGTACCGGCCTTCGAAGCTTCTTCGGACATATTGGCGGCGGGCTACAAGGAAGTTTTGTTGCCGGCCCATTGTTCCCAGACCTTGGATCAGTTCGGTTTACACATTTGGCCGCGCGGCGACCATTTCCTGATGGGTCTGGCCAATAAAGATGGCTCGTTTACCGGTACCTTATATTTAGCGAACGAGGGTGACCTGAGCTTCTCATCTTTAAATAGCGAGGAGAAATGGCGCCAGTTCCTGAACGAGCACTACGCCGACGCGTTACCATACATGGACGGCGTCGACAAAGCGGCAGAACAACTATACAACAACCCCCTGGGCATGCTCGGCACGGTGAAAGTAGCACCCTGGCGCGTCGGCAATCGAATAGCAGTAATAGGAGACGCGGCGCACGCGGTCGTGCCGTTCTTCGGGCAAGGCATGAATTGTGGTTTTGAAGATGTCGACTGTTTGGCGCAGGAATTATCTACAAGATGGCCACCTAAGGATGGAACTCCCCAAAAACTGGAGCAAGCGCTGGAGTCGTACTCACTAAGACGAAAACCAAATGCAGATGCCATCGCACAAATGGCTTTGGAAAACTACGTGGAGATGATGCGGTCGACGGGCGACCCCGTGTTTCGTTCTAGGAAAGCCATCGAGGCGGCGTTGGAGCGGGATGGGGAGCTAGGAGCTTCATTTCGGTCGCGCTATGCCATGGTTTGTTATGGGGGCGGCCGGCAAAAAGGCGCCGTGGGCTACGCGCACGCTTTGCGACTAGGCGAGGCGCAGTGGGGCGTCGTCTGTGATTTGGCCGAGGGCTTTTCGGGGAGCGATTCCCAGGAGGCGGACGCGTTCTTAGATCGCAAGCGAGCAGCTCAACTGCTGGAGGAGCGCGTGTGGCCGTTACAAAAGCAGCTCGGCGTGGACCTCGCGACCGTGGGGATCGGCTCAGCTTCCTAAATTCATAGATAGTTACTACAATTTACACAATAAAAACCTGCGCGCGGGACCGTCGCCGCCAACCCGTCCTCGCGGCGCGTCGAGGCGGTGGGCCCGCGGCTCGTACAAGGCAGCGACGGCGTCGCGGAACGTGGCCACCTGGGGGGAATTATCGCGTCGACCGCCACGCCATCGACGCGACGTCTACCACGCCGCCGGCCGCGCGAGGGGGCTCGGCTTACTAGAAAAGGGCGATCACGCGCGCCCTCTGAAAAGTGCTTTGTTCGGGCGCTCTCTACGTATTGAAAATGCCTCGGTTGTCGTCGTTGCCCCCCGATACACGAAGAATAAGACGCCGGGCCGCGCGTTCACCTCATCAACCCATAGACCGTCAGCGCGACGGCCTGGCCGCACGCCGTCCTTAGTAATGTCGGCAGCGACGCCCGGTAGAAGCCCCTCAACCCGTCCCGTCGGTAGATGTCGCGCGCGCAGTCGACGGGAGATGCGAATGTCGGGCGACGGAGGTCCTGCGTCATCATGATCGTCTTGACGCGGTCGATGGGTAGCGTCGAGCCGTAGAACGCGACGCCGGCGGCCGCGCCGACGAGCGGTTGTGGTAGCTCGCGGCCGTAGTCGTAAACACCGAACAGCAAAAAGTAGCCCGGTACATCTCTACAAAATAAGGGCAGCCAGCCGCGGTAGAAAGCATTCAAACCTCCCTCACGATACATCTGCCGCATCACCACATGCCAACTAAGCGTATCTTGGCGCGTCTGCACTCGACTCTTTAACGCGTCGACGGGGCACGATAGCAGCGTATTGCAGCCTCCTGCCAAAGCGCCGGCCCATGGCGTACCTCCGTAAAAGTCGTACTGCGCGAAGAGTGTGCTCTTCACTGGCGCGTACGTCAGGAGCCGCGGGACCAGCCCGCGGAAGAGCGCCGAGACGCCTTCTTCACTTAGCGCCTTTGATGCGACGGCGCGCGGCCCCTCCAGGACATCAAAAGCCAAAGCGCGGCTCTGGAGCCGTATCTTAATCGTGTCCAACGGGTGCTCGGCGAGGACCTGTGCTACTCCCGAAGCGAGGCCGGCGCCGGCCGCGCTGGTCTTTGGTGTCGCGTCGTCTGGCATTGGTGCAGAGCTGCTTAATGTTGCTTTGAGCTAAGGCATGCCATTTTTGCAGCTCACACGGGGAGGAGCGGTCATAGTTGCATTCATGCGATAGAGATGCTGCGCCCAGACGCCCGACCGGCTTGCAGGGACCCGAGTTCAAGGGGCCTAAGCCTGCGTGCAGCTTGCGTGCTAGTGTCTTAGTGTACGCTAGCGAGGCTGCCAAGTCGCAAAAAGACGCGTTACCGCGCGCCTGAGCACCCATTTGACCCAGGAATTTCGGAGCGCTGTCTCCAAGTGCGCAGCTGGCGGCACGATGTACTCGCAACGGAACCGCGAGCTGCACAAGGCTATTCACAATGACTATTACGCCAAGGTCATCAGCTGCCTCGACGAGGGACCGAAACGAGAGCGCAAGAAAGTATTAGACCAGGCGGATGGAAACGGCGCCACACCGCTGACTCGCGCTGCATATGGTGGACACAACAGAATTGTCGCTGCGCTGCTCGATCGCGGCGCCAAAATCGACGAAGTAAATTACGAGGGCAGCTCGCCACTGATTGTGGCGTGTGATAACAACAAGTGCGAGACGGTAGAGTTACTCCTGGCGCGCGGTGCGAATATAGATTTTAAGACTCGCGTCCGGTATCAAAACGGCTTTACGCCGCTGCTCGTCGCGTGTCGGCACGGTCACGTCGACATTGTGCGGCTGCTGTTGGAAAACGGCGCAAACATAAACCTGGGGAACTACTGTACGCCGCTGCAGTGCGCTTGCCGGCACGAAAATGTTGAGGTCGTGGAGTTCCTGTTGGACCGCGAAGCAAGAACCTATTCGCCAGATACTTTAGTAGCCGCGTGCTATGGTGGTAGCGTCGCCGTGGTTCGTTGTCTTCTTGCGCGCGGGGTCAGCATCACCTTTCGGTCGCGTGAGGTCGCACAAACTAAACCTGAGATCAAGGCGCTCCTCGACGCCGCCGCCCAGCCACGCAAGCGCAACCTCTCGCACTGGATCAACCGCATTCACCTCCACGTTGTCGGGCCGCGGGGCGACCACCAGGGCTCGGCGCGGCACCGGATCCTCAACTGCCAGCATCTCGCACGACACCTTCTGTCCTTCCTGCCGCACCCGCCGTTCCGAACAAAAATGCGCCGCCGATTCCGTGACTCCGATGCAGACGACACAGACTCTGACGAAGAAGACAATTTTCTGGTGCGGTTTCCGCCCGGTCCGGAAGCTTTCTTTTCCGCCCGGTAGGCCCTAACCCTGTAATGTTGATACTACTATTAAATTAATTTAAGCCGCCGAATCTTCGCCACTTGGTCGCTCCGCGCTCGCCGTAAACGACCCCGCCGGCGAGGATTTGGTCGCGGCCCCAAACAGCCCCGCGGTTGTCTGGCAGAGGAGCTGCCCCTTGCGCACGAAGGGTGCGCCCGTCGACGGCAGCACGTCGACGGGGCCCGCCAGGACGATGGGCCCCGGCGGGATCGCGTAGACCGACGACGTCCGCGCGGTGTCGTCGCCGCCGTAGATGCTCTGCAAAGTACCTTTCGTCGTGAAGGTCCGCGTGAAGCCGGCCGCCTCCAGACGTATCCGTAACTTGCCGTCCTGGTACCGGTAGGCGCCCGGCGCGGCGACGAGCAGGGGCGCCGAGCTCTCGACGACCTCGACGGCGCCGTTCGTTAGCCGCAGCGTCGCCTCGACGGCCTCGCCGCCGATGCCCCGGTTTTCTTGCGTCACGCGCTGCTTCGGCCCGAAGAGGTCCGACGACGGGTCCTTCGTCGGCACGCCAACCACCGTCATCTCGACGCGCCAGAGCCCGTCGACGCTCGCCTCGCGCGGCGGCTGGGCTGCTGCCGGCGCGTTGTCGCCGTAGTCGAGCTTCGAGACGGTCTCGTCGTTCGCAAAGGCATCGCTGAGGACGTCGAAGAAGCCGTGGCGCCGCGCGAGAGGCTGCCTCTTGGGCAGGCTAGGCTGCAGCGCAGCAATGCAGCACGCCAGCAATGCCGCCCTTGCAGCAGGTCGCGTCGACAGCTTCCTGAGCATCACTACAATCGCAGTTCACTTCGTAATTGCACGGAGCAGTAGTTATGCGGTATCTAATCAAGCCAGCTCGAGCCTCGATTCTAGAGTGTCTCGTGTGCTAGTCTTTGTCGTGCGAGATAGCCATCCAAGCGTCAAAAGGTGCGCCCAGACGCATCCTAGCCGCGAAGACAACTCACAACCACAGCCACGGGTTTTGCATGTAACCGCCCACCAAAGCCTGGCGCTGGGCAATAACGAGGCGGCGGACGGCCTGCCACGGACGGCAGGGCAGCACAGCGTCGCTCGTCACATATTTAGTGAAGGGGCAGCCCCGGCACGCGCGCGGAGGCGGCGCGAGGCGCGTCCCAGCGGCAAGCCCCAAGCAGTAGACGATGGTGCTCTTCACGGCAGAGGGCCGCCAGTCCACGAAAGCTAGGAGAGTCGCCGACCTCACGGACCCTCCTTCTGAGTCCTACGCCTCGGACTCGAAGAAGGAGGCTTTATGCCTAGAATACGTGCGCCAGTTCCGGCAGAAATTCGTCGCGCTCTTCCCGAAGCGCCGGGAGCTATTCCTCGCCCCGCAGAACGAATTTGGAGTAGCAAAGTTCGTCTGTACGACCGTAAGACCCACGTTACTCCCGTTCGACCAGTTGTACGAGGCCAGACCTTTGGCGACGTTCGTAGCAAACTTCTTACAATATGAACCGTTGGAGGCGCCGGACGCCTTCCCCAGCGTACTCCCGTCGCCGACGCAAGTTGTTCAGTGGAAGTGCGGCGACTGCTTCGACTTCGCGGTACTCCTATGTAGTTGGCTCCAGGGGAACGGCTACGACGCGTACGTGGTCTGTGGCTACGCGCCCTCCTACATCACGCTGAAGGACCAGTCGAAGCTACCCCCACCGGTCTTGGAGGACGAGCCGCTGCCCCCCGACGACGAGTCGGACGAAGAACGGGAAGACCCGGTCGCGCAGCAGCTCCGAGATGCTAGAGCAGAGGGGAGGTACCTCTACAAGGAGCGCGGCGTCCCGGAATCGAAGTACGAAGTCATGATGGCCCAGCGGGAAGCTGAAGCGAAACTAGCCGCTCAAAAGACGTCTGACGACGAGTTATCTGAAGAAGAAGACGACGCCGAGACCGCCGAAGTACCTGATGATAGTTCTTCACTCCATGCCTGGGTCATGCTGCGGCCCTTCAAGCGCGGTGTTACGGAAGTCACATACATCGAACCGACGACGGGCAACTTTTATTCATGTGACGAGGCCCCGTACCACGGTGTAGAATCGGTCTTCAACGCCAACAACTACTGGGTGAACATGCAGGAACAATCGAAAAGATGCGGAAGTCTCGAAACGGACCTGGACAACACGGACAACTGGGAGTACGTGTTTATGGACCCGATGCCACCGAAGAAAGAACCTAAGGTTGTGGACGGTCCTCCACCCTTGCCTGGGGACGTTGTCGAAGAAAGTGAAGAGGAGGAGGACAACATCCTGGACCTGCCGCCCTCGTGGGTTACGAGCGTCAAGCTGTCGATGGACGACTTCGTGAAGTGCTATCCCCCTGATGGTACTAGAACTACTTTGTACAAGAAGGCCAAGTTGGAGTTATTTGCTGCTGGTACGAACGACCAAGGGTTGATTTCTCGATTAGTCTTGTATGATGATAGTAGTAGGACGTCGGTGAAAGAATGCGTGGAAAGATTTAAATATCGGCGGGATTTGTTGAGGAAACGACGTAGGGTGCCATCAGAAGCGCGGCTGGAGGAGGACTTTCTACCGGGGCGACTTGGGGGACTCAAGACGCTCGTCGAGATAGCTGGAAGGAGGCGAGAATACGCCTTCCACGCGAAAGGTCGCACAGATGGTTTACTAACACGTGTCGAAGACGTGGGGGAGAAAGTAGTAGAAACCTTCGCGAAACGACCGGACCGACTCATATATAGAGCATTGCGAACCCAGAGGGTGGCCCTCGGCGCTGCGTCGAAATTGCAATATACGTTACCCGCGGCGGAGGGTTCTGGCGAGCTCATCGTGGAAAAGATGACCCAGAAGTTCGCGCCGGACGGCGAAGAAACGGGTGAGGACGTCGACGTGAGGCGCTTCCGCGTGAAAGAAGGCCGCATCGAAACCAAGTGCCACTACAAGAAGCACGCCGTGACGCGACCGACTATTCTCCACGAGAAGGGCGGTGCGGATGCTGCCGAAGACGAGGATTTGCAAAGAATCCTGAAGGCCGAGAGGGACTGTTTGGCCGGGATGCGCAAAGCACAAATAGAGGTGTTGGAGTTGCTCAAGACGAGAAGGCGAGAAGAAGCCACGGTAGTCGTAGACAGGCCCGTCTTCGAGACGGCCCGAGAGAAGAAGGCTTCTGAGGGTACGACCATCGACTCGGCTGGTGACCCACGAGCTGTTGATTACCTGACACCTTTCTTAGCTCATGTTGTGGACCCGGCTTCTATTACCCATGACGAAGCTCAAAGGGCCAGAGATGCCTGCCTCAAGTCGCTGAAGGAGCGCTTGGTGGAACGTGCCAACATCATGATGGCGCGCCTCACGGAGGAGAACTCCAAGTTAAGCAAAAAACAAGCAGCTTATCAGAGGAACGCGCGGGACCGCGACGCGGTCGCCGAGGAAGAATTCGAGCGGTTCTGCGCCGAGGCCATGTTCCGCATCCAGATCCTCGAGCAGCGCCTGGCCAGTCATGAGGAGACGGCGCTCAAGAAGTTCCAGGACCTCGACGCGAAGCTCGCCGCCGACCCTAGGATGCGGGCGCTCCAGGAGTAAGTTCTTTGCTTAGAGCTAGGCCGCCTAGCCGCGGCTCCAGCCCCGCCCAGCCCTCATACGTCGGGACCTTCCTGTCGTAACGTCGATATCTTGTGTGACTTTTGGTTCGTGCCCCCGGGACCCGGGGAGACTGAAAAAAAAAACAACTTGCAAGTTAGGCATCTAGCGGTGCGTCGGATGATGGCGAGGGGTGGCTATATCTAAGTTGAACACAAGTTATACCACGACAGGCGACTAATCCCCAGCGCTGTCCAACTCTCGGAGCATTCTCGCGGCATCGCCGGGCCCCCGGCCCAGGCTAAAAGGCCCATCGACAACCTTCTTCAGCCAGAACCGCGCCCGGGCAGGGTCCTTCGGCAGGCCATGACGACCATAGAACATCCATTTGCCAAGTAAAAACGCGCCATAGTCTGAGCCGAGATGAGCCGCGTCGGTTACATTCATGATCCCGAGTGCTATATTCTTGGGGCCATCGACGCCAAGCACTTGACGTTCACCCATCCTTGCCATCGACCTTGCGTTGCGGGCCGCCGTGCCGCGCTCGTACCAAGCACGGGCTTGTGCGCCGTCTTTCGCGAGGCCGTTCCTGCCGAATTCGTACCCCACGCCGAGCCGATACATAGCGTCACCGTCACCGCCGTCCGCCTTCGCGCGCAATTCCTTCACGCGCGTCTCCTGCTTGAGCTTCTTCTGCCAGGCCTCGGCGACCTCGCCCTCAATGGCACCGCTCTTGATAAGGGACTCTATGGTGTTGCGGACCTGGACGGCAGGCAGTAATTCCGTGCCGATCACCTTACCCGTGCTCGGGCTGGTCGCCTCGCCATCTTTATTTCTAAACCACTCCAGGATGGCCCCCCGCTCGTAAATCTTGCCATCTTGGGCCGTGACGGGGTCGAAGGGCAATTGCAGAGTGATGGGACAGCGAAGGTCGGCCACGACGTCGTTGATTGATGCGCGCATCTTCTTCTCCCGGGGGCTCGCCTCCTCGTTGAGGTCGACGGCGTCGCCGGGGCGCTTTGGGGCATTATCGGCCATCGTGCGTCGGTTTTTCGTGAGACCGACGGAGCGGCAAAGCAAGGTCAATCCGGTGACAATCCCTGAGTCCTGACTCCTGAGTCCCTCAGTCTGACAATTAAATTTGTGAGTCTCCTCCTTGCGGTTATGCGATATATATAGCCGCCGGCCACGGCCTGCACCACGAGGACACGCACCAAGCCAGCGGTCAACATTGCGTGCGTGTGTGGCTTGCTTGCTAGTGTCTTACTGACCGCTAGCTTTTCACTACCTGCGGTGGGCACATAAGTGACTCTCTCTCTCTCTCTCTGTTACATTAGTTAGTTACGCTCGCCACCGCTCTAGCCAGAGTCGGCAGCAGCACCCGCGCGTTCCGCGCCGCCGCCGCGGGCCGGCCCGGCAGGTTCACGACGACACATCCCCCGACGACGCCCGCACAAGCGCGAGACAGGAGCGAGTCGAGGTCCTCGCCGGTCTTCAGCGCGTCGGCGTGGACGACGTCGATCAAACCCGGCGCCTCCCTCTCCAACACGGCGCGCGTCGCCTCGGGCGTCACGTCCCTTTGTGAGAAGCCCGTGCCTCCGCACGTGAGTACCAACGAGCATTTTGATGCGAGGTCCGCGATGGCATCCTGGATTTGCGCTTGCTCGTCGGGGACTAAGAGGCGCTTTACCGTAGCGCAGTGGCCCCTCATGACACCCTCGACGGCCGGGCCCGTCGCATCTTCGTAAATGCCTTGCGACGCTCGGTCAGACACTGTTATCAAGCCGAGGCGGAAATTTGATGGTGGTGGTGGGGGTTTTGTGTCGTCGTCTTCATCATAACAGCACGGCTCGGCGCCCGCGGCCGGCAGCGCGCACACTCGCGGTTTCACGCTCTCGACGGGCGGGTGCCTGGCGTGGAAGTGTTTAGAAGCTTCAAAAGCCGCCAGCTGTTCGGGCGACGCCTTCTTCTGGTGTTTTTTCTTCCAGTCTGGATAAGGCTCCCCATAAACCACCTCGAGCGCCCTGTCATACGACGCGTCGCGGTCGCCCGCGTAGGCCAATCCTCGATGGAGCCACTTCGCCACACAATTACGGCACATGCCCGCCACGCTCATGACATCAATATTCTGGGCGTCGTCCGCCGTGTTCTGCAGGTGTTGCACGAGCTGCCGGAAGGCGTAGGCTTGGGCCTCGACCTCTTGCGGCGTCGGTTGGGCCATAGTCTCGTTCCCAAGCGTGCGCCGGTGTCGTGCTGCACCGCTTCACAGGTGGCAGCGTGCTGATAGATGCGCTTGTGGCACCCAAATCGATGGCGGCAGCGTCGCAGGCGTGCACAGCAGTGCTGCAACGTGCTGTTGCTTTCGATAACTCCCTCCACTGTGCAAAAAGAGAGGTGCAAAAAGAGAGGGCCGAGCATGAAGCTAGCGGCGTAAAGACACTAGCAAGCAGCCGGCTCGAGCTCGCGGCACGCCGCGACGCCGTCTCTGTGACAGCGCTGCTCATCAGAGCTCACCGGAAGGCTCTCAGCCACCAATCGCTGCTAGCTGTCACCGCGACGCGCGCCACAAGACCATGAGCGAGCAAGCAGCCATGGACACGAGCGACGCCGCCGCGCCCGAAGAAGACAACGCACGCGCCCAGGTCGACGGCACGCCCGCCTTTAGAAGATGCCTCGAGGCCGTCCGACTTAATGATACGTGCTTCGCGAGCTGGAGTTTGTTGGTCGCCGAGGCCGAGCGGTCCCAAAACCCCTTGCTGGGCGACGTCTACGAACGCTTATTAGCAGCTTTCCCGCCCCTGTACGGCTACTGGGCCAAGGCCGCGCGGCACGCGGAAAAAGTGGAAGACTCGCTAGCTATTTTCGAGAGAGGAATAGAAGCGACGAAATCGGCGAGTGTGGACCTCTGGGCCAAGTACGCCCAATACGTCGTCGAGCAAGCGAAAGAAGGCGCCATCTCCCCCCAAGCGTGCCGCTCTATCCTAGATCGCGCCCAGGAAGCTTGTAAATTTGACCCGCGGTCGCCGCTAGTAGCAGACATCGTCGCGAGTTACGAGACGGACCCCGCGCGGCAACTTTCGACCGCCCGCACTGCCTTAAAGTCCGCGAGAGCTACTGATGCCGCGGAATGTGGCTTCGCGTCCCGAGACGAAGCCTTGGAAAAGCTCACAGCAATAGCGGAAGGCGCCCCGAAAACATCGTTCCAGGAGGCCGACGCCGATGAATTCCTGTGCGCCGTCGCCGAGGAGTCGAATGATGCCGCAAAAGCTGACAGGATGCGGTCTCCATATGAGAGAAGAATAAGGCGACCTTACTTTCATGCGAAGCCGTTGGACGAGGATCAATTAAGGGCGTGGCGGGCGTACTTGGACTGGGAGGAGGATAACGGCGATGGCGAGCGGGTGAGGCACTTGTACGAGCGGTGTCTGGTAGCTTGTTGTGCTTACCCCGAGTTCTGGTGCCGCTACGCTTCTTATTTATCTCCGTCGTCTTCCGACGAGGCCGTGGCTGTTTTAGATCGCGGGTTATCCTTCCTGAAACACGCGCCGGATTTACTACTGCTGAAGGCCGCTCTACTGGAGGCTACTGGCGACGTCGATGGTGCCAGGTTAGTACACGAATCACTGACGGAACATTCGGCACCTGGATTATTGGAAGCGGTGCTGGCGCACGCGCGGTTTGAAAGGAGATGCGGTTCTCGGGAAGATGTGTTGGCCATCTACAACGGGGCGCTCCCTAGACTCGACGCGGGCTCGGACGCGCGCGGGCTGGTGCAGGCCGCTCTAGCTAGGTTCCAGTTGACGGTGCTAAGGGACGCGAACGCCGCGCGCGTCACACTGGAAAATGCCATCCGCGAGGCGCCCCAGTGCCGGGATTTGTGGGTGGCCTACTACGCTCTAGAAGCGGCCGCGGACGACGCGGCGGCGCCGAAGCGCGTCTCTGCTTTATTTGCCGCGGCGCTGGACGATTCCACCGTGAATTTGCCGATGGTGGACCAGAAGGCGTTGTGGGCCTTGTATCTGCAGCACGTCGAGGACATGGGCCCGGAGATCGGGCACCTGCTGGAGGTGCGCGAGGCCTACGCGGCGTGGCTCCGGAAGACGCGGCAGCTGGCCTAGTAGGCGTCTTTTTTATCCCCTTGCTAAGTTCTTCGCGAGTGGTGTTTTTTAGTCGGTGGGCGCTCTGGGGTCTCGCCTCGCGTACGCGTTTTGCGAAAAACCCGTTTTTCCTCGTGCGCGGCGCGCGCGGCGCGCGAGTCGGCCAGTCAAGACAGCGCCCACAAGAACGTATCTCAGCGTACAGGTACTTCTTACACTGCTTATAGCTTGAGGAGCATCAATCGAGCATTTCTACGGACGTTCGTCGTGATTTCTAGCAGCCGAGTCAAATCACTGCTGTGCACAATGGATGAGCCGCCGGCGCAAGTTCCTCGCCACACCACGAGCTTAACGCGCCTCTGGCGCCGCCATGATCTGGCGGACTCGGTGACTAAGTTTCTGCCGACGCAAGCGCTCGCGATGCTGCCGAACCTGTCGCGCTCGTTCGAGCAGGACAAGTTCCGCATGCTGCTCGTGGCCATGCGCGGTTCGGGAGCAGCGGCCGCGTGCACGGGCGCGCTGCTGTCGACGCTGCAGACCAGTGGGCGCGACGCGGGACACCACCGCACAGTTTGGAGGGGGAGCCGAGGTGCTCCCGGGTGGTTCTTGGGGCACAAAGACCATGCGGACAAGGTGAATATGCAGCACATATCCATTGTGTGTGATGACACTGAAAATGAACATTATCTAAGAATGGAGAGAACGGGGCAATACGACAGGACTAAGGGAATCGACTTTCACAACAAGCGTATGGGTCGCTCCTGCCCCAGCGGACAGCGCCGGTGCGTTCGTCGAATCCGCTTTGTGTTTGCGTACGAAGGGGCTACCGACACCTGGGACGACGGCCTGGGTATGTCATTCGGCCTGCGAGGACCTCCGTCCGACGTGGGGCGCCGCACTATATTCAAATTTTATAGTCGCTTCTCTACGAATGGTCTCCGCATCATGTGCGCTGGCGGCGGCGAGGCCGCCACTCTCCTGACCGTGCCCAAACATCATTGTGAACCCGGTCGGGAGACAGATGGTCTGAAGACGGTCACAGTAGAAGCGACGTTCGACTGGAACGAGCAGAGAGCCCATGTGCGTGCGGCGACGTGGGACGACCCCAAAAACATGGGCGCGTGGAAGATTCTTCCGTTCCAGCGGCTTCCGCTCTATAGCTTGAAAGTGCTGTTTCTCGGGCCGGGCACGCACTTCGTCGGGGACGTTGACGTGTGGTACTACGACATGCCCGCGCCGCCAGCGCGGTGTCGCCTGCCGTTCGCGCCCTGCCGCGACGATGAGCTTCGTTTCGGAGTCGGTGCTTGCCTGGACGGCGAGGGACTGCCGGCATGCCCGTACGGCGCCGGTCCGTTCCTCCTGGGCGGCGCGCCGCTGGGTGTGCCCCCGCCGGATGAATCGGACGCCGACTACTAGCAGTGTTAAAACATGAAACTCTTAGTAAGGGGCTTCGTCGACAACAAGCGAGGCATGGGTCCATCTCACTCGACGACCTCGGCCTCGACCGGCTCAGCCTCCTTCTTGGGCGGGATCTCGGTCTGACCCATCAGCTTCGTCACCTTGGTCGCAAAAGCGGTAGCATCAGACAGTTCATACCCGCCCGTCAACGCCGCGACATCAAACAATAACTCGGCCGCGTCCTCGGCCTCGTCCGAGGTCAAGTCCCCGTTGTTCAACGCCACCACGATCGAACTTTTAGCGTTCAACTCCAGCGTCGGCTTCCCCGCCCCGCCGAAGCCCGCGAACTCGTCTTCTTGCGCCACCGCCTGCGCCGCCATGTACTTGCGCATCGTCGGGCTCATGCCAAACGCTCCTTCGGTTAAGGCTGCTGGTGCATCGACCAGTCGCTTCGAGAGCTTCACGGAAGAAACGCGATCCTCGAGCTGCAGCTTGAGCCACGAACACAGTTCCTCGAAGTCGCCGTTGTCCTCGTCCTCGTCATCGTCATCAAACACATCTTTGAGGTCGTCCTTCGACGCGTCCACTAGTTTCTTGCCGTCGACCTCGCCTATCGCTTGGCAGACGATCTCATCGAGCGCCTCCGGTAGTAACAGTACTTCGTAGTCCGTTTTTATGAGTCTTTGAATTACTGGACTGTTGAGAGCTTGTTCCCTCGAATCACCGGACAGATACAGGATCTTCGTGGCGTTCTGGGGCATCCTTTCTATGTACTCTGAAAAGGTGGTCTGGTCATCACCCGACTTCGTCGAGTAGAACCGGCATAACTTCGCCAGATCTTTCTGCACGTCGCCCTGCTCCTCGACCGCTCCCACTTTAATGTATTTCCCGAAGTTCTTCCAGAACTCATCGTATTCGGTAGCGTTCTTCTGTAAGTCTGAAAAAGCATCTAACGATTTCCGCACGAGTCGCCTTTGAATCACCCCGAGCATCTTCGACTTCTGGAGGATCTCGCGGCCGACATTCAACGGGAGATCTTCGCTATCAACAATGCCGCGCATGAACACGAGCCATCTAGGTAACAGATCAAATTTGTCATTAATAAATACCCGCTTAACATATAACTTCATGCTATTCGCATTTTCGTCGAACATGTTCTGATTTAACTCGAAAGGTAACGACTTGGGCACGTACATCAACGCCTTGAACTGTACTTGACCTTCTAAGGCAAAATGTATAGTACGCAGCGGGTCGTCAAAGGCCCTAAATGCCGATTTATAAAACTCGGAGTGTTCGGAAGCGTTCACCTCCTTCGGCGGCCGCAGCCAGAGCGGCTTCATGGAATTCACGACCTCGTAGTCGAATTTCACATTGGTCACACTTTTCGTCACCTCCTTCGCGTCGGGGTCGCTCTCTCGGGCCTTCTTCGTCGCCTCCTCGTCGACCTCGTCGTCGTACGTCGTCTTCGAGGCGTACAACTCGATGGGGAATTGCAGGAACTCCGAGTACCGCTTGAGTAGCCTTCGTAAGGTCGCCTCTTCGAGGTATTCCGAGCAGTCCTCCTTCACATCTAACACAATGCGCGTGCCCGACGACCCCTCAATCTCACCTTCTTCTCTGACAGTGAATCCTGATTTGGCATCCGACGACCAGGTATGTGTTTTGTCGGAGTTCATGCTTTTTGTCGTTACTGTCATTTTGTCCGCAACCAAATAACCGGAGTAGAAGCCGACGCCGAACTGCCCTATGAGATTGACGTCGTCCGGAGCGTCACCAAGAGCTTCGGCGAAGGCCTTCGTGCCGGACTTGGCTATTTTACCGAGATTGGCCACGAGCTCGTCGCGGCTCATGCCGACACCGCTGTCCTCGATCGTCAACGTCTTCTTGTCCGGGTCCGCCGTGATCCGCACCCGCAGCGCGTCGGCGGCGTTGCCCGCTTCGATGGACAGAAAGCGCTTCTTGTCGCAGGCGTCGGCCGCGTTGCTCACGAGCTCTCGGAGGAAGACGTCCTTGTCGCTGTACAGGGAATTGATGATGATCTCCATCACTCTATCCGTCTCCGCCGTGAACCTGCGTGTGGCACCGTCGCGAAACTGCTCTCTCGCGAGACGCGTGGACTCTCATGCGGCCGCGTCGCGACGCGAGGCGCCCGCGTCAACGCGAAGTGTCGGTACCACGCTGGATCGTTGCTCGAAGGTCTCCTCGGCGACAGCCGAGCGGAGCGCCGACTCGGAGCGGAGTGGCAGCACTGATGACTTAGCAGCCGGCGTTGTTGCCACGATTCGCGGCGGCGCGAAGGCCTGCACGCAAGCGGCCAGCGCGAGGGCCACAACGGTGCGCTGCATTGTAATTGCTGTCGTTGTTTTATATCAATCCGTGCGCGTGTACGAGCCCTGTTATGCCGCTGGCGAGACAGAGAGCATTTTGAGTGCGGGGTTCAAACACCGCTCCGGGGCCATTGTGCAAGGCAGCGACCTCTTCAGACGGGTGAAGACGCTTGGGAAAGCGCGATTGGGCGCAAAATAGGGTGTCTCGGAGCAGCATGCAGAGGCTAACCCAGGCAACAAAAAGCGTAGCAGCACAGCGCATTCGTGCCAGCGAGGGCAGCGAGAGAGCCACAGCAATACCTTCGAAGGCGGAGGCTGCAAAAAACGAGAAATAACATCCGCGGCGCGGCCGACTAAGCACCAGCAAAATAGCATCAATTGGCAGAATCTCATCGATGGATTTCGCCTCAATGCTCAGCTCTTACGACGGCGCCGCAGCGGCCCCAGCGCCAGCCCCAGCACGCATCCCCAAAAAGAGCAAGGAGAGCCGATTATCAAGAGACGAGCGTCGGCTGCGCGACGCATTAGAACAAGGCGCGCAGCAGGCTTTGAGTGATGCGAGGCGCGCCGTCGCCGACCGGCCGCCGAAGAAACGAATAGCGGTCTGTTTTACAATTGTGGACGGCCTGCCGCACGAGCGCTGCTGGCGGCGCTGGGCCGCCGAATTGGAGAAAAGGGGCGTGGACGTGCGCTTCTACGCCCACGCCCACCGGCGCGAGAAGGCCCAGCGGTCGTCGGCCTGGCTCGCGGAGCGTATGATCCGGGACCACTACGAGACGCGCTGGGGGTCGATCGAATTAGTAAGGGCGACGCTCGCACTCCTCGACGACGCGCTGAGGGACGACCCCGCGCTCGTCGCCTTCGCGTCGGAGACGTGCGTGCCGATTGATGTGGACGCGGCCGCGGCGCTCGTATCAAAGCCGACGACGTTCCTGCAGTGCACGTGCCGGCCGGACAACGGCTACGCGCGCGAGCGCCAGTGGGAGAAGGTCGACCGCGTCATCGAGGCCGCCAAAATTTGTAAAGCGGACCAGTGGGTCGCGCTCTCCGCGACGCACGCGCGCGCGTGCGCCGCGCTCGACGCCTGCGTGCGCCGGGAGGCGCGCTCTCAAGGTGCGCGCGACGCGCCGTCGTTGTGGCGCCTGCTGCGCCGGTGCACGGCGGCCGACGAGCTGCTCTTCCCGGTCTCGCTCGCGCTCATGGGCGAGCTGCGGAAGCCCGACGGCGCGTCCGTGCCGGGCACGGCGCGCCTCGCGCCGGAGCGGTCTGCGGACATCGAAGACAAGCGCCTCACCTACTGCGACTGGTCGCGGGGCGGCACGTCGCCGAAGACCTTCGACGCGCTCACGGCCGACGTCGTCCGCGCGGCGCGCGGCGCGGGCTGCCTCTTCGCGCGCAAGGTCGCGGCCGCCGTCGACGAGGCGACCTGGGCGGCGCTCGTGCTCCCGGCGAAGCGCGGGCGCGACGACGCCGATGGCGGGGACTCGTCGCCGAAGCGGGCGCGCGGTGACGGCGCGCCGGCGGCGGAGTAGTTGTTTTATTGTGTATATCTTTTTGCTGAATAGCAGCTTTGGTCCTTGCTACGTCTGCGTCGATGTCGCAATTGCCTAGGAGGCGCGCGCCCGGGGTGATATGTACACCGTGACAACCGTGACAAATTGACAACTGCTGCTTGCTTAAGAGCTAGGCCGCCTAGCTACCCGGCCGCCGCGGGGGCTGCGTGACCGAACGCCCGCCCCGCCCCCGCCCGCGTACGCCGTCGCCCCGAGTGTTGCTTCGGAGGCGACGACGGCGAGGGGGGAGCAGGCCGGACGCCGGAATCCCAGGTCCGCGACGGTGGCGCATCGGGGGCCGCCGCGGGGTAGCGGCGCCCTACCCGGAGGGGACGCGTCCGGGCGCCACGCGCGTTCCGCCTCCGGCCTCCCGTCGCCGAAGCTCGGTGGGCCCGGGCGCCGCCACCGCGCCCTCGGCCAGGGGCGGTGGCGGCGGCCCGGCCTCGACCGGGGCTCCAACGTCGAATACAGAGGCCGCGGCGACCCGTCGCGGCTCCCGGGCACGCGGGGGGAATGGGGGCTTGGCCGTGGTCGTGTCGGTCTCGGAGTAGAGGACGCCGCCGGCCGGACGCCGATGAGGAGTAACCTTGGCGGCCTTGGTGAGCCCGAAGGGGACGCCGTAGCACGCCGAAGAGGAAGCCGACTCTCGCGGAAGAGGCCGCCGCGGCGTCGGGAAGTCGGGGAGGGCGCGAGGTAGACCAGGAGCCGCCGCAGTTGAGCTCCTCGCCGATCTCCCCTGGATTTGGCGCGCACCAGGGCCGCGAACGATCACGTTGATGCCGCCGAAGCGCCTGGCGCACCCGCCTTCGGGTGGGCTTTGATCTTGAAGGTGCGACGGTAGGCCGCCGAAGTCCCACATCACCTCCGCGGCGACGCGAGTCGTTTTGCAACCGCAAATTAAATGCGGACAAAACGCACCTTAGACTAGAGCTCGTCGCCGCACTCGTCGAGGACGAGGTCGTTCGCCGCGACGCACCGCGTGCGGCCCGACTGCGGCGGCGGCTCGTCCGCGGGCGGCGGCGGCGCCGCCGCGGCTTCGTCCTCGGCGGCGCCGTCGTCGATGACGAGGTCCTCGGCGCCGAAGAACGTCCGTCGCATTCGTGTTTGCGTCGGTGCGGGCTCGGCGGCGCCGTCGCCGCCCCAGGCGGCCGACGGCGACGCCGCGGGCGCGGGCGCGGCGGGCGCCGGCGCCGGCGCAGACGCTGGCGCGGCGCCCCCTTCGGCGGCCGGCTCCTTCAAACCTAATGCAGCTAACCGCTCCTCGAACGCGCGCGTCATCGTTTTTTTGAGTTCATTTTTGGTCTTCTGCGCCTCCTTGAGCTCCTTGTACTTGTCGTAGCATTCCCGTTTGCTCCGTCCGACGATGCCGCTGATCTGCCGCCACCGCTGCTGCTTCTCGACGGTCGACGGCACTTCTTTGCAGGCCTTCTTCAGTTTCGTGACGTCCTCTTTGGTCCACGGCTTTGTGTCTTTCTTCGGTCGGGCGGTCTTGGGCCGGGCGGTCTTTGGCCTAGCTCCATTAGCTATCGACTGCATTTGATCTTTGCTCATGGTGCTGCGGGGCAGCGTGGCGAGGCTCCTTTGGCACATCTTCGTGTGGGGATGATCGGTGCCGTACGCGCGCGTCCATATCGGAAGAACGCGTTCTAGGAGCTCACGCTTCTTGGACATATCACCGAGGGCGCCGTGAGCGACGCCGAGATTGAACAGCGTGATGGCCACTTGCGCGTGGTCGCGGCCGTACGCCCGCTCCTGGATCGCGAGCGCGCGTTCCAGCACGTCTCGCTTCTTCGCGTGGTCGCCCAAGTCGCCGTACGCGTTCCCGAGGTTTCCCAGCACAGCGGCCACTTGCGGGTGGTCGCGGCCGTACGCCCGCTCGAAGATCGCGAGCGCCCGCTCCTGCATGTCTTGCTGCTTCGCGGGGTCGTCCAAGTCGCCGTACACGATCCCGAGGTTCCCCAGCGTGGTGGCCACTTTCGTGTGGTCGCGGCCGTACGCCCGCTCCTCTATCGCGAGCACGCGCTCCAGCATGTCGCGCTGCTTAGCGTAGTCGCCTAAGGCGCCGTACGCGTTCCCAAGGTTCCCCAGCGTGGTGGCCACTTTCGTGTGGTCGCGGCCGTACGCCCGCTCCTCGATCGCGAGCGCGCGCTCCTGCATGTCGCGCTGCTTAGCGTAGTCGCCTAAGACGCCGTACGCGCTCCCGAGGTTCATCAGCGTGCTGGCCACTTTCGTGTGGTCGCGGCCGCACGCCCGCTCCTCGATCGCGAGCGCCCGCTCATACATGCCTCGTGCCTTGGCGTGGTCGCCTAAATCACCATGAATGTTCCCGAGGTTCGTCAGCACGACGGCCACTTGCGTGCTGTCGCTACCGTACTCGCGCTCGTAGATTGAGAGCGCGCGTTCGTAGGCGTCGCGTGCCTTGGCGTAGTCGCCGGGGCCATTGTAGGCGCCCCCAAGCTCAAACAGCGCCTCACCCGCCTCCTCGCTCTCCCCACCAAACGCGAGCATCTTCTTCACTAAGATTGCTTCCCGGACCTTCACGACGCCCGCGTACTCTGAGATCGACGTGAGCAATTCACAGAGCCCGTCGAGCAAATTCGCGTCCGCGTCGGACCCGAGCACGTGGTCCACCAACTCATCCACATCGTTCGCCTCGTCGACGGGCAGCTTGCACAGCATCTCGAGCCGCTGCGCGACGGCATCTGAATTGCCCAAGAAAAACGACCGAAAGTACTCGTAGACCGTGTGGCTCCGGTGCAGCGCTTCCGACTCTTTGATCGGCATGAGATGAATTTGCAGCTCGCACATGTGCGACACGTTCTCAACTTTCACGGCGACGTTCATCAAAATATCCTGATAGCCGTTGAAGAGCGGCGGCGCGAACCGGTTCTTCGTTCGCACGATATCAACGCGGTCATCCGCTTCGAGCGACGCGTAGAGCTGCACGATGGCGTCCTCTGTCTGACAGAGCGCGGCGCCACGCGTAATATCAAAAAGCCAGCTGTAGCACGGCGCCGTCTTGTCCTTGTACTCGTCTCGCGCCTTGGCGCCGGCGCGGTCGCGGCCCTTCAGCGGCGCGAACATCAGCTTTACACCGCTTTCAGGGCACGCGGCCGTCATAATCTCCTCGAACTGCACGCGCGCCAGCGCGGCGACATCGTACAGCGCGTCGAGCGACGCGGCCGGCTCGCCGTCGAGCCCGTACTGCCGACACTCGTCTCCTAAATTCTTGCCCACCCACGGGATCTTCTTCACATCGCCCCTGATGTGCTCGCGCGCGATCTCGTCGATCTGCTCCCGCGCTGCCTTAAACGCCTTTAGGTTGTGAAACATGCACTTCCGCGGGTCGAGCGCGCGTTCGTCGTGCTCCTTGGCGTAGGCCTCTATCGTGGGCCACGGCACCGTGCGCGTTCCGTCCGGGCCCTCGGTCGCGGCCGCATCGAAGGCTCGCTTCGCCTTGTCGTCGAAGAGGACGCCGACCTCGCTTTTTAGTTTTACTTCGGTGAGCGGTTTCTTGTCGGTCGACACGTTTGAGCCCATGCTTCACGAGGCTGCCGCACTGCGTTGCAATCGAGGGTCGTTAACGAATTGTTGGGCAGCGCTCCGGCTCTCGCGTCTCTGCTGGGCAGCGCGTGCCAGTGCGCTGCATCGATGGCGCTCGGATCCTAGTGCCTCTCTCGTCCGGGTATAAAGCCGCTACAGATCGATCCCCACCTAGAGCTCCGAACACTACCCAACGACCGCTAGGCGGATTTCCGAGGGGGGGCATAGCCAGGCAAAGCTGAGAGAGGGCCGCTGCGCAAAGGCCAAAACGCCGGCACCATGGGTAGGAGACGCGGCCGCCGGCGGGCAATGAAAGCGCAGTGATCGCAACGAAAGCACATAGCTGCCCCGGCGACGAGTGATCGAAACCGAAGCACATAGCATGAGGCAGCTGTGGGCAGCAGCCCTTGTCGCGACGGCGGCGGCCTTCGAGCTCGCGAGCTTCACCTATTCCGCGGGCGAGGGCCTCATCACGCTGACCTTCGACGAGGCCGTGCAGTCGCGGACGCTCAACGCCAGCGGCATCGTGCTTATGTCGAACGCGACGGCGGAGCGCGCGCCCATGCAGCGGTTTAGGTTAAGGGGCGCGCACCCGACGCTGGGCCAGTTCTTGTATACGACGCCCTACAACACGACGGAGACGCTGACGCTCGTCATGCGCGACGACGATTTACTGGAAGTCCAGGCCTTGTCCGATCTGGCCGTCGACGCGAAGTCGGTCTGGCTCGTCGCGGAAGAAGGTCTAGCAAGGGCCGTGTCGGACAACGACCGCAGCGCTGCGATTACCAAACCGCTGGAGGTCGATACGTACGTGCCCGATACGTTACAGAGCGAGATGGAGCTGTATACCATCGACATGCACGAGGGCTTGATCTGCTTCAAGTTTTTGGAGCCGGTGGATCGGTCCTCGCTGGACCTGTCGGGAGTCATTCTCCAGACGGACGTTAATGTGTTAGACGTGGACACCGGATATGAGTGTCGCAACGTCGACCAGGACTCGTGCGTGCAGTTGACACTGGTCAATGAGGAGTCGAAATTACTGGACATCCCCTGCAAGCCCACGAACGTGTCCTCGACGAATAATGACAGCGTCACGACGTGGTCCGTGGTATGCCTCAACACGACGACGGTCGAGGATTCGCTCTGGCTGAATGTGTCACTAGGTCCAAAAAACTTGAACGCCATCAAGGCGGCCTACCCGCTCGGCTCGCAAGCGCATCTGACGAATCTCGCGTTATCTTCACCCATAGCCAATGATAGGGGAGGCAACGCGTTCCTGACCATCAGTCTGCGGCCCGAGATGGCGTTAACGCCAGAAAGCTGGATCGGCGACCAGAATCGGCCCATTCTCGTCTCATTCGCGGTGGACATGGACTCGGGTCAAATTGATTTAACCTTTAACGAGACGGTGAACGCGAACGAACTGGATGTCACTTGTGTCTCATTGCACGAGACGCGGGACAACCGGACGGGCGGGTTGTTCCACTACCTAAGGTCGTATGGGCCCCAAGGGGCGCGGACGAAGGGTAGCCTTGTGTCGACTGGTGACGGTCCCACGCTGATTATACAGATGTCGCGCGAGGATTCGGATGAGATCAAACGCAAGCCGAGACTACTCACGGGCAGAGATACGTCTTTCGTAGCGTTGGACTGCGACGAGACGTATCGAGACAACGCCTTCCCCGTGAATTTCGGGATACGACGCTCGCGCGTCGATGCGTTACAGGCCGAGGTCTTTGTCCCGGACACCACGCGACCGGTCCTAACGTCCGCATCCCTGGATCTGGACGTCAAAATTCTCACGTTAGAGTTCGACGAGACGGTCAACGCCTCTTCACTCATCGTCGACTACCTACAAGTGCAGTCGACCGAACGAGACTTGAGTTACACGGAAAGAGTGCAGTTGGAGTCCTACGTCACGGCCGGCGACATCAGGCACGACCGGATGTCTAGACGAGGCTCGGGACGAATCAGCCCGGCGGGCTCGAACGTTTCCATTGCTATTGGTGATAGGGACTTTGCCGCGATGAAGCTCGCGACGACTTTCGGGAGTGACGCGACGTCGACCTTCGTCGCTGCCCTAGGCGGCGCGGTCCTCGACATGAACGGCAACAAGCTCACGGAAGTGCCGCTGTCAAAAGCGGTCGCCGCGACGAATGGCGTCTTTCGCGACAACCAGCCACCTTCGCTCGCGAGCTTCGCGCTGGATCTGGATTCGGGGGTCTTCGCGTTGCAGTTCGACGAGCCCGTGACACGAGCGTCACTCGATATGACGAAGTGCACGCTGGCCGCGGCCGACAACGAAGACTCCGAGAGGGTTTTATTTACGAACACGCACGAGTTCCTTGAAAGTACAGATATCGATGCGCGGCGCGTTCGAAACTTACTCAGGCTGGACTTCGACCCCGTGACGGATGGCATGGGTTCGGAAGTGCTGTATGTCAAACTCAGTCAAAAGGACCTAAACAACCTAAAAATCGCCGAAACGCTAGCGGTCGACATCCAATCGACGAAGTGGCTCAGCGAATTGGGATGGGTTGCAGATAGTGTCACCGCGAACCCGTCGCCCTCCGTGACGTACGAGACCGCAAGAAACTTTTCAACGGACGTGACGTCTCCCCTGTTAACGGGCGGCACCGTCGACTTAGATGCCGCGATCTTAACGTTGCAGGCGGACGAGCCCGTGCGCGGTGCCAGTGCGAACGCTTCGTACTTCCGTATTAGTTCAAGAGCGGACGGCTCGGGGCACACCGTGGACGTCGACGCCGACACTCTACTGTCGCCAGACGCGAAAGATGCGACCTCACTGAATTTCAGACTGGACTGCTTTACACTAGATCAACTAAAGTTGTGGGGCCCGCACCAGGCCTTCCTGAGCCACCAGCCTTTCCGCTATGAATACGGAGGCGGTCTGACGGACATGTACGGCAACACTCTGGCTGTCGTGAATGGTTCTAAAAACACGTCACTCCCAGCTACCGTCGTCGCCGACTTCACGTCCCCTTCGCTCATTGGTTTTGACTTCGGCGCGAACATCACGTTGAGGTTCGACGAGCCCGTCGATCCCGTCTCGTTGCGGGACATGGACGAAAGTTGGTACCTCCAGAAACGAGCCGATAGTATGTCGGGCTTCCAGTCCATTAGGATCGCGTCTCATACGACACCGTCTCGCACCTTAGAAGCCGGCGTCGGGCGCTACGCGATGGCTCTCATCGATGCGGACACGCAGTTCGGCACGCAGCCCGCGGATACGTTCTTGCGACCGGTCGTGGCCGCGGCAGCTTTGGATATCGCCGGGAACCCGCTCGAGAGCATACCTGATGGCTCCGCGTTGCAGCTCGGGCCTCGAGTGTTATCTTTTGAGCTCGACATGGATGCGGGAGTTTTAGTGTTACAGTTCTCGGAGCCCATTGACACGACGACGTTCGACGCGTCCAAATTTGGTTTACAAGCTCAAAGCTCAGTATTAGCGCTGACGGAGACGTTATCGCTGAGCGCGGGAACGTCGATCGAACATCGCACGGGGCCCTGCGAGCCTTCAGCCAAATTAACTTTGACGGAAGATGATGTCGAAGATCTGCGATTCATGACCGCGTTAACACGAGGCACCGGTCAAACGTACCTCACGGCACTAGCAGATGCCGCGGTCGACAAAGATGTCGCCCCATACCTCGAAGCCAATGCTCTCATCCAAATACCCACGTCGAAAGGACTAGTCGCCGCCAACGTCTACCCCGACGAAACGCAGCCCAAGTTCATGAATTGTGAATTAGATATGGACTCGAACCTACTCACGCTAAAATTCGACGAGCCGGTGCGAGCGTTGTCCTTCGATCCTGCAAGGGTGGAATTGCGGGATGCGCATGCGACGGAGAACAAGACGGAGTTCGTTGTGTTATCATCCGGCTCGACATCGTCCACAGATGCTTATCATTTACGGGTCGAGCTAGGAGAAAGGGATGTGTTCGCGATCAAGTCGCGGCCGCCGTTAGGACAGACTCGCAATTCAACCTACTGTGGCGTGCGATCGGGCACGGTGCTGGACTGCGGCGCTGGTACGACAGAAGAAGGCAACAGGAACGTCGCTGGAACAAGGCAAGCAATGAAAGTATTGCCTGACGTGACGCCGCCGGACTTGAAGAAGTTCGACATGGACTTGGATGCGAACGCCTTGGTCTTGACCTTCGACGAGCCCGTCAATGTGTCCTCCATCGATCCGACGGTAAGAGACGTGTACCTCCACGCGGGACCCGAAGAAGATGATGCGTATGTGACGCTGGGGTGTTCCAAGATCGAGCCGTCGACACTCACCTGGAACGCGACGGTGTCCATACTCTTATGTCAACGGGACTTCAACGCGATATTTGCGACGCCCGCGCTCTGCCGCCGGACGGACTCGTGCTACATGTCCCATGTTTTTGGTTTGGCTGCTGACAGTGCGAAGCCGCCGAACGAAGCCCGAGCACGCTCACTAGACTACGCTTTACAAGCCTCAGCTATATTGCCAGATGTCACACCCCCAATTGTGACGTCCTTTGGTCTGGATATGGACCAGGGCCTACTCAGTTTCGAGTTTGATGAAGTGGTCCACTTGCCCTCCTTCGACGTGTCGACGATCACGCTACAATCCGCGCGGTTCAACGACTTCGTCGGGAGTAGAACGTTATCCGCAGATAACGGCACGGAGTGTTTTTATGAGGAGGTGAACGCGACCTACGCCTCCGTACGGTTAGGCCGAGACGACCTGGATGCCGTCAAAGCCTTGGCCGGTGTAGGACTCGCTCTGGACGCGGAAACGACATTTTTGTCGCATGAGGTCGGTCTCGTGCAAGACGTGTCGGGCAACCCATCTGATGAACTCCAGTCCTACAAGGGCATGGGGCCCGCCAACAACTTCACACGTGACAGTACACCGCCCAAACTACTCAGTTTACAAAAGATCAGTATGACGAAGAAGATACTGTATGCGATCTTCGACGAGCCCGTAGACCATGAGGGATTCAATAGATCCCACTGGTTCTTATCGAGAACGCAGACGGGCGGTCATTATTCGTTGGGGGACGATCCTACCGTCGAAGTCATCGATCCTTTCACGGAGGAAGACGGGGGCGTGTTAGCCGACGATAAAGCCCCATACTCGTCGATCCTAGCGTTGCGGTTGGGCGACGCCTACGACGGCATGCCCGTCGCGGACCAGCCCGTGACCTTCTTGGCGCTGGACGACTGGGCCGTCAGTGACACGGCGCTCAAGAAGCAGAATCCACTGGTCGGGGACGAGCAGTACGCTTCGATCTATCATCCGGGCACGGGTGGGCGACGAGCGACGATGCTCGGGCCCCAATTGGAGGCCTTTGCGTTGGATATGAACGCCCTTAGTCTCACTTTACAATTCACGTCGCCTATCCTCGCAAACCATACGTCACTAGATTTATCGAAGTTCACGCTGCAAGCGGCTTCTGACGCCACAAAGGAGTATGAGACGGGCGTCCCGACCGCTTCCGTGACACTGTCGTCTTCGTCAAAAGCCTATGCTGCTGTTAAATTACCAAGGACCGAAGCGAAACTCCTCAAATCGCAGTTGCTGGATGCGCCGGAGTATCCCTTGGACTCCGACGGTGACGTCGCGGTGAGGTGCTCATTATCACAGGACGACGCCTGGAAGCTCCAACGAGCGTCGCAGTTGCTGGCCAAGCATGCCTCGAAAACATATGCGTCGATCACCTCATCATTGGGTGGGTCGGACTCCGACTCGTCCCTCGTGGGTGATCCTACGTATCTCGTTTCAGTCCCAACGGATCGGGGCACGTCACTCGACGAGGACGCCTTCCGACGAGATTCTACAAGACCTTCTTTGACCCAATATGCTTTGGATTTAGATGGTGGTATTCTGGAGCTCGAGTTCGACGAACCGGTCGTGGGCGAGACGATGAACGTCTCGGCCATCACGCTGAAGACGGCGCAGACGTGGCCGTACGAATCTGTGACACTGTCAGCCAATAGTAGGGTCGTAAAGACGGACCCCGGCGGAAGGTACGACCAGTGCGGCGATAGTGCGGGAAACAGGTCGAAGGCCTGCGACTACGCGCGTATTTTGCTCCATGCGAATGATTTTGATCGGGTCCGAGCCGCGAGAGCCGGGGAATGGCTCGATATAAGTAGAAAGGCCGCCGAGGACGCCTTCGGGAACAACGTGAATGTACTTTCTGAAAGTACATCATTGGGCGTGGGCACGTTCACCAAGGACGCTACCCCTCCACAATTGACGTCCTTTCTGTTGGACATTGACGGCGACGGCAAATTACATTTGAATTTCAGTGAACCGGTGGACCCGACGTCCTGGGACGTCTCCAAAGTTGAATTACGATCCACGTCGGGAGCTACCGATTTGAGTGATGGGAAGGCCTACCAGCTCACCCAGGCTTCGTCGTCGCAGACGGCCGGCGTGACCACTTTGGAGTTGCGATTGGGCGGCGACTTAGTCGCGTTGAAGCGCGCCATCGCCGGCGAGGGCATCGGTTCTATTGGTGCCGCACCTTCATCAACCTTTCTGGCGGCGTCCAGTGGCTACGTGACGGACTTGGCGTTCCCCGGAAACCCGAACGACGCCGCCCCCGTGCAGATGGCGGCGTCGTCGACGGTCAACGACTTGACGGGTCCGAGGCTCGCCTCCTTCGAGCTCAACTTGGAGGACGGGACCCTCGAACTGTTCTTCAACGAACCGATCCGCGTCGCCCTATCAGGCACGGCCGAGTTCAACGCGTCTTCCTTGATATTAAGGTCGGACGATATGGTGGCACCAGTACGATTAACGACGGCAGCGTCCGGTGCGGCCATGGTGTTTGATTGCCAGGCTCGCGTGAATCTGAGCACGGCGGACAAAAATGCGTTATCAGCAGCGAAGATCGGTGGTGACTACGGCGCACAGTTGCAACATCTCGGCGGGGTCCTGAAGGACGTGGTCGGAGGCAACGATGCCTTGGTAGGGTGCGGGCCGCCCGGCGGCGTCAAGGGCGACGGCTCGTTCAACTTCGAGAACGGCCGTTCAGGACTGGGCGAAGCGTCCGCACTCCCGGAGGGGCCCGTGCCCGTGGAACAGATTCTGGATCTGGAGGCGGGGACCCTCAAGATCTCGTTCTTCCACGACGTGCGGATGAGCAAGCAAGTGAACGTGACCGCGGTGACCGTCGCCGCCGCCGACGAAGCGGACGCTTTTTCCTATCGCCTGACCGGAGGCACCTATGCCGTAGATGCGGCGTATGACGGCGCCGGCGAGGCGATTATTACCCTTACTTTATCGAAGGAGGATATCGACGGTATTAAGTTGGCCGATGCCAAACCTGGCATCATGCCCCTCGCGACGTCTGTCAGTACAACCATCGTCGGCTTAGACTCATCCTTCATCTGGTCGTCGACGGGGAAGCAAAACGTGCCGCGACTACCGGGGGATACGCTGATCGGCGGCGTGCCTTGTCGAACCATCACGACGGATAGTACGCGACCTACCGTGTCGTCCTACGCTCTGGACATGGATGCTGGCACATTAACACTACAGTGGGACGAGCCGGTCCGAGCGTCCGAAAGTGTCGTGACACTCGTGGAAGTGAGAAAATCTGCTTCCGCTTCCCTGGATATCATGACCCTGACCTCGACGACAAGGCCCAAGGAGGGCGGCGCATCTTCAAAAGTCACGTTCCTCCTATCGAGGGAGGATCTCGATGAATTGAAGCGGATAGACGGCTTGGCTTCGAACCAAAGTACCTCGTACATCTACTTTCCCGCCTTTACGTTCCTCGATAGGAGTGTGGAGGAGAATACCGCTGCAGCAACGATAAGTCAGGTTTCGACGTATGTGGCCGACACGACCGTACCTAACTTGGACGGCTACACGCTAGATATCGAAGCTAGAACGCTCACCTTACACTTCAACGAACCTGTTATTATATCGAGTTTCAACGCGTCGTGCATCCAACTCCAGGAAGACCTGAAGAGTACGGATGGGCAGTACCATAGGTTGGTCGATTCCTACGCGGTCGACACGTCGTTGCACGATTCGAGTGCGGTGGCAGACCTCGAAATTGCTTTTAGTGATTACGACTACGACACGATCAACGGTCTCAGCCGCCTAGCAAAAGTAGAAAGCGCCGTGAGGATGACGATGGACTCCTGCGCGGCATTGGACGTGGCGGGCAACAAGGTCGACCCCATCATCGACCGGGCCGCGCGATCGTCCATAGCCTTTCGGCCCGATGCGACGAATCCCGAGCTTTTGAGATTTACTATTGATATGGACGAGGGTACTGTTACGATGAACTTTACCGAGCCCGTATTCTACGGGTACGTCGACGCGACGAAGTTTACCTTACATTCCGCCGATGAAGGTGGTACTTCTGTAACGTTGTCGGAGGCTACTACCCAAAAGACGCTCGATTCATTAAGTTCTTTTTATTACTACGATGGTAGAGCAGAGGAAGGTAGGGTCGACTACTACGGCTATGGTGGCGAGTTAACCTTGGTGTTGCACTCCGACGACCTGGACGCCATCAAAGCGTCAGATATTGCGGTAGATGCGTCGTCCACGTACCTAACGGCGCAAGCGGGCGGCGTCGGCGACATGACCGGAAATACGCTGGATCCTACTTTATTAAGAAAACCTTCGGCGTCGTACCTGCCCGACGTGACGCCGCCTACTTTATCTTCCTTTGATCTAGACTTGGATGAGGGTTTGTTGCATATAGAATTTGGGGAGTCAGTAGACGAGGACACGCTCGACTTGTCCAAAATCCTACTGACGCCGGACGGCTACGCCTGGGAGGTGGGCACGAACAAGGAGAAGGGCACGAATCTCGTGGGCGGCGCGAAGCGCACGGAGTTCGCCGCGCAAGGTGTTGACGTCGATCGGGGCAATGGGACGTTGAGTGCGCAGGTCTACGTGGACTTGGGCGAAACGAATCTCGACGCCTTGAAAGTCGCGGGCGTCGGTGTGGATGGCACAGCTTACCTCTCGGCGGACGAGGGCGCTATCTATGACATGGCGTCCTTACCTCTCGTGCGTGTCAGTACGGCCGACTTCGAGGGCGGCAACCCCGTGAAAGCTAGACTATTAACAAAGGACGTGACCGGTCCTTCTTTATTAAGAGCTAATTTTGCCGGAGACGACCTGGTGCTAGACTTCGACGAGCCCGTGGTCGTGTCCGACGCGATACCGCGCTTGGTCTCGATTGTGGATGAGGACGGCGAGGGCGACCCGCTGGACGCTCTCGTCCCTGTCTCCGGAGCAAGGCGCGGGAGGAACGCCAAGCGACGCGTTATTTTGGATTTGAAGGATAGGTGCTCGGCGGACGAGGTCTGTCGCATCAAGATCCTACAGAACGCGACCAATACCACAGAAGCGAACACGACGCTGGTCTGCACGCAGCCCGCCTGCGACGTCGAGAAGGCGTTCGAGATATCACAACGGTCGGATTTGTATGTTACAGTAGGTGCGGGCTTCGTCCGCGACCACTTCGGAAATCCCAGCGAAGGCAACACGGGCCTGAAGGAGCGGGACCCCGTCTGTGACTGTAAGAGCGGGACCTTCGTGCAAACGCCGTGCACGGACCGCATCGACGTCATGTGTTCCGAGTGTTCTACGGAGTGTCCCGCGGGGCAATATAAAGTGTCAGAGTGCGACACGCACTCGGATATCGGGTGTTTACCTTGTAGAAGTTGCCAGACGCCGTACTTCGTGGACGGCGGGTGTGCCGGTTCGACGGACACGATCTGCTCGGAATGCACGCCCTGCGGTCCCTTGGAGTACGAAGTTTCACCGTGCACGGCGGGCATCAACCGCGTCTGTAAATCCTGCGAAGATAACAGCGAGTGCATTGAAGTCACGCCGGTGTGTGAAAACACGCCCGCGAAGTGGTGGCGCAAGATGAACTGCTGCTACGACAACGACGGCGTCCAGCTGCCGTGCAACCAAATCACGGAGGCGAACACGCGCATCTCGAAGCGCAACTCGCGCGAGCACTGGGTCTTCGGCCGGACCGTGCCGCAGGTCGAGGACGGCTTCGCGCTCGGCGACGCGTCGACGAGCTAACACTTTGTGTATCTAGTCTAGTGGTCCTGTTTGCCCCTCCTCTTGCGTTTCGCTGACGACGCAAGACCGACACCGCCGTGCATGACTGACCCCCACCGTTTCAACGGCACAAGGGGTCACGACCAGGCGACGCTAATCTAGCACTCGCCCCTGGAAGTCCCGAGCCTACCCCGCGTAATCTCATGACTTCGAAAAGACGACAGTAATCTAGCCCCCCCAACAAAGATGCCAGTGCCGGACAGATCAGCACGAATCGACTACCGAGACTTACTCGGCGCCGAGGAGGAGGAGGGATGAGCAAAACTAGGCCGTCGGCACGGGCATGTTCGTCGCCGCGAAGCGCGCCTGCGCCAGCAGCGCGTCGATGCGCCCGGCGGCCGTCGTCGGCCGCGCGCCCGGCGCCGACGCCGGCGGCGGCAGTCCATGGGACGACCGAGGCATGCCAGGAAACATCGGCATGGGCATCGGCGGCCCGCCGGTTCGCATCGTCTGCGGAGCCTGGCCGAAGGCCGGAGGCGCGGTCTTCAAGCGTTGTATTTCCGCCCTCAGAGCGTCTATGGTTCTTTGATCCGCATCAGACGTCTTCGCGGCCTGAGCGACCTCCCGTTCGAGGGACCCCGCCGCGGTGTTCGAGGCCGAGGCGTCCTTCCGCGCGTTCTCGAGCTCGGCCTCCATGGCCCGCATCTTGTGCTCCGCCGCGTCCAATTTACCTCTTAAATCAGCTTGGGCCAACGCCGCGGCGTCCGCACCCTTGCGAGCCGCATCTTTTTCTCTACAAGTAGCTCGATACACATGTAGCGCGTCGTCGCGCTCGACCTTCGCCCGCAGCGCCTGCTGCCTTAAAGTCTCTCTATCCCTATCTAACCGTTGCTGCGCCGCGGTCGCTTTCTTCGCCTGCTCCGCCGTCTTCGCTAATTCGGCATGAACGGCCTGGTTTTCCCGCGTCATACATCGTAAATCATCTCTAGCTGCTTCCAACAACTCAGCCCGATCTTGCGACGCCCTTCTAGCGTCAGCAACAGCCTTCCCCAGCGCATCCAATCTCAAATTGGCCGAGGCCATCTCCGCGTCCCGCGACGCGAGTGCTCGTTCCAACCGTCGCGCCCGCGTCGCCTCGGCGTCCTCGGCGGTCTTCGCTTCGACGATCTTCTTCGATTCTTGCGCCAACTGCTCCTCCAGAGCCGCGGCACTTTCGTCTCGCGCTCTCAGGGATGCTTCGAGCTCGTCCCGCTCGCAGTCGAGTTCATTTAGCGCCTTGCGTAACCTTTGCACCTCGTCCAAGGAAGCTTTCGCTCCTGCCCGTTCCGCCGCGAACTGGGCGTCCTTCTCGGCGCAGGCCCGTCGCGCCTTCTCCACATCATTCAAAGCTCGCGCCCTTTCGTCGCGCATCTGCGACCGCGTGCCTTCGATCTGCTTGACGACGGCTTTTAATTGAGCTATTTCGTCCTGGGCCGCTTCGAGGGCGGCCTCATCTAATGCGTGTCTAGTAGATAATGCGGCGGACGGCGTTTCTTGCTGCTCGGTCTCCACGACCGCGTCACTGACGGCGGCCGCGGCCTGCACCGCCGCCTTCGCTGACGCGGCTTCTTGTAACGCTTCGGTCCTATGGTCTTCGCTCCTCTGGAGTCTGTCGCGCAGTTCATGCAACGCTTTATCAGCTCTTTCAGATCGTAATTTTGAAGCCTCGAGCTCGGCGGCTAGAGCTTTAAGACGCTCGTCGCGTTCTTTGACCTCCGCTTGTAGGGTCGTGACCTTGGACCGCTCCTGGAGGAGAGGCGTCGGGTCGACGGACGGTCGCGGCTGCGTCGATCGAGGCACGGGCGGCGGCGACGGCGGCGCTTGGCCGGCCTTCTGCGACTGCAGCGTGTCGATGATGCGTTGTCTAGTTTCCGCGGCCGCCTCGGCGCCCGCGGCCCTCGCTTCCGCGCCGCCCAATCTCGATTCGAGGTCCAACGCGCGTCGCTCCGCGTCCTCGAATTTCGCGCGCCAGCCCTCGGCCGCGGGCTCGTCCAGGACCACGTACGGAGAAGCCTTGGTGGCGGCCTCGGCCTGCTTCAGAGACTGCGCCATGGCGTCCATCTTCTTCTTGTCCGCGGCAATTGTCGCGTTCAATGCTTCTTCCTTGGCTTTCATTTCCAGTAACTCAGCCTCGGCCTCTTTTTGTTTCCTTTGAGCTTGCGCGACGGCGTCCCAGGCGGCCTCGTTCTTGACCTCCTCCTTAACAACGATGGGTTCGTCGTCCTTCATCTGCAACGCCGCGTCCAAGGCCGCCGAGACCGCCGCCAAAGCTGACGCGGCGGTGGCCCGGCCGTCGCGCTGCTCGTCGAAGGCGTCCCTTAGAGTAGTAAGAGTGGCCTCGGCCCTTTCAGCGCGCTTCGTCGCGTCTGAGCACAATTTAGCGCCCTGGTCGGCGCCTTCGCGCGCGAACGCGTCTCGTCGCGCGAGCTCTTGGGTCGCGGCCGCGGCCGTGGCTTCGGCCTGCTCGGCCTTGCGTTGGGCTTCTTCACTCTTTTCAATTAAGCTATCTTTATCGGCGACCTCGATGGTCAAGGCCCTCACTTGTCTCCTGAGAGCGTCGACGGCGCGCTCGGCGTCGATCGTCGCGGACAGCCCACTCCCAGCTGCGGTGGCACTACCACTCACAAGAGCAGACAGGCGGTCCACTTCACTCCGTCGCTCCCTCGAGAGTTTCTCGGCCCGCTCCAGTCGATCTTCATTTGACGATAATTGCGTCTCGAGCTCCCGGATCCTATCTTGTAGCGAAGTAGGATCACCGATGACGTCGTCACTTTCGTCCCACGTCACGCCGTGCTTACCTAATAGCCCTTTGGCCTTGACTAACTTTCGTCGCGTCTCGGCGTGGGCTTCTCTTTCTGCCGCGTCCTCGTCATTCCTCGACGCCGCCTTCGCGAGCAGTTCCGCGTGTAGCGCGTTCGTCTCCCGCTGGAGTTTCGCATTGTCCTTGCGCAGGGGGATCAAGGCGGCCCGCAGGTCGCCTAATTCGGAAGCGACCTCGGCCTCCTGGCTTTTTATGGATTCGTAGGACCGCGTCGTCTTGAGCACGTCTTCCAGGAGGCGTTCTACTAGCGCGTCACTGCCCAGTTGTTCGAGGTATCCCAAATCTCTTAATCGATCCACAAGCGGCGCCATTTTTTAGAGTTATGCCGCGCCGCCGCGGTTTTGCTGAGGCTGCTGGTTTTGGGGCCCGCGCTCCGCCGTCGGCGCCTCCCGAACCGCTGTTTTCTGCGTCACACGAGCCAGTGGACTGGTGAAGCGCTACGCCTTGAAACCGCAGTCTGTTACTCGCCACCGGCGGTGAGGGCCGGTCTGCAGCTTCACTGCGTTTCAATTAATTGATTTTATTCTCCCCAACCTTCAAATTTTTTCCGAAGTTTATACGCGTCCGGGTGACGGCCATGAGCCATTTGAGCCGCGCGAGAGGCGTGGATCCGTCGTTCTGCTAAAACGTCAAAAAAACAGGTTTTTCCCAGGTGCAGCCAATCAGGTTTTTCGAGGATTCTGACGCCTTAGACGCAGCAGAATTGCCTCTACACACTGCACGCAGTGCCTGTCACACCGCTCGTCCGCATCCCAGCAAAAATGCGCTGCTCAGCGACGTTTATTGCCTCGCTCTCAGTCTCACTCTCAGTGGCTGCAGCCATGCGGTTGCCAGCCACAGCGGTGCCCAGCAGCAGCCTTGCTCCTCGCATGTATGATCTCCGCGGCGGCGGCAAGGCTGCAGCATCGTCGCCCTTCGACATGCTCAAGGGCCGCAAGATCGTGCCGGGCTGGGACGGAGATTTAGTGGACCTCACGCAGACGGCCGCCGTCGGCATCGTGGCCGGCGTGTGCTCGCGGGCCGTCATCGGCGTCGCCACGGGCGTGCTGAAGAGCTGCGCCGTCGGCGGCATCGTGCTGTACGCGTCGCAGTACTCTGGCTTCTTCAAGCTCGACACGGCCAAGATCAAGCGGTCCGCGCGCGCTTTGGTGGGCAAGGTCGACCTCCTCGGCGCGCTGGAGAAGCTCGGATTCCCGGACGACCCGGCCGGCATCAAGGCGCACGCCTTCGACCTCGCGCGGCGGCCGCGTCGAAAAGCATCTCGCGTCTTGTGTACGCCATCGACGTGTCCACGCGCAGGCGGAGGACCAGTGGGAGGCGAACGAGCACCGCGCGCTCGGAGGGTTGGCGGGCTTCGCCGCGTCCTTCATGGTCTGAGAGACCAGAAACGGCGCCCAACGAACAACTGGGGGGAGCGCCGGCCTGTCCTAAGAATAGTATCTTTACTCCGCCGCTCGATAGAGCGTGATCTCCTGCTGCTTGAAGTAGCGCCGCTCCTCCTGATCAACTAAAACCAGGTTCAGGTAGTACCTCACCGAAAACTTGTTGTTGATGCCTCGGTACGTCGGCGTGAGGTTGAAGTTGCGCAGGAACAATCGGATCGGCACGCACTCGCCGCGGACCGGCGCGCCGTCCATCACTTCGTATTTGGTTATCGTCTCGGACTCGTTGTGCTGGTTCGGCCCCGCGCCGGCGGCCTCCCTTCTGATGACCGCGAGCTCCATGTGTTTTATTTTAATACGCACCAACAGAAAGTACACTTTCCCTACGACGACGTCGGCCAAATGGTACTTCGACTTATCATACTCAAACTCGATGTGTAAACACTCCTCGATCCCGACTTCCATCTTGACCGGCGTGTTCGTCTCGGGAGCCGGTTGCGAGACTTGGACGATGAACTCCTGCTCTTTTATTAATGAGGACGCGTAGCCTCGCGTGACTGTAACTCGAACAAAGTAACGCAACCGCACGTTCAACCCATTATAGGACTCGTAGGGCTTCTCCGCATGCGACAGGTCAAACGCATAACGCTGCTGGCCCATCAGCACGCCAGGCACGTCCAATTCCCGCAGCACACACGTGAAGTCGTAGTACGTCCCTCGGTCGTGAAACAGCTCGATCTGGCCGACGCACTCTATTTTAATACCTTGATGCTCTAGGCGCTTGCCGGCGGGGACACGGATCTCGACGACGCCCGTGACCGGTTCTACCGCTGCGAAGACGGGCGCTGGTGTCGCGTTCGGCGACAGCCGCCTTCTCGGTCGTTGTGCGTCGCCGTCAAACGTCACACTAATACGGTCGTCGCTCTTGCCGTAGCCGAGGAGCGACGCCATTTATTTCTTTTTTTGCGCGCCGCGTCTGCCAGCCGCTGGGTCTCTGAGGAGTTTTCTTTGCTCGGAGTGCGCGCGCGCTGCGATTGCGCAGCCAACCTTTGGCAATTATTCTGGACTATTAGTGATGCTCAAACGCAAGCAGCGATGTAACCGCGGCCGTGCTCGCGCCTGGAAATCGCGCTAGCGTCCAGTAAGACACTAGCAAGCCGGGCTGCGCCGTCGACGCCTCGCGCGCACGCTGTCCGGCGGAGACACGGGGTGCTGCGATCTACCACCATCAAGACCCGTCTCGCCCCCACGCCGTCGACGCTAGGACGCGAGACACCACGTACACTCCCACCAAGCTTACGCCCCCGCCTTGCCCAGCACCCAGATCGACACGAACTGCGTCAGGCCCATGACCAGGACCACGACCTCGCGCCGAGCTTTTGTATTTTCCAGTTCCGTCGGCACGATCTGCGCGGCCGTCTTGAGCATGAAGTATGAACTTGATAATCCAGTGTAGAGCATCGTCAGCAGATACGGTCGGTCGCCTCCAACTAAGTAAGCAATGGAGTTGACACATAATGCCACGTACTTGTAGCCGGTGTAGCTCAGTACATCTAGCCAAGGCACGCCCCTGGCGCCCAGACTCCAAAGAGCCATCGCATAAAAGCCCGTCTCGAACAATTGAATAAAAAAGCAGCGCGTGAAGATCGTTCCCAGCGCGTCCGGCGAGAACTCGCCCCGGACGCCTCGCGCGTAGCCCGCTACGAGAGCGAAAGTAACAAATGCTACCACAGGCACGTAGAGATCAGGGGCATTCGAATCGTGTAAAGGTAAAGCGTGGCCGTGGCCCTGTTCGTCAAATTCGTCCGCGCGTTTCCGCCGCCAGTGCCGCTTCGTCCACGGTGCTAATACGGCTCGTAGTTTCGCCGCCACGGAAGCATGCGACACCGCAAAATAACATCTAGCTCGCGACCAGCCGGCGGCGGCGCCGGGGATGTAGGCCGCCGCCGCGGCGCGGCCTTGCTGTTCTATCAATCTTTGTGCGGCACTGGAGTCGCCGGCGAACATGGCCGCGGCCGCAGCCACGCCCTGGGCGGCCACGTCCGGCCGCGTGAAGGATTCGAGAGATGATGTTTTCGGAATTTGCGTCCCGAAGGGCTGGCCGTCGTGGCGCTGGCCCTGCCCGTAAGATTGAGGAGTGCCCTCGTCATACGTCTGGGACGGCTGCCAGCCCCCATGGTCGTCGGCGGACCCGCCTCTTTGTCTCGCGCCGCCGCCGAAGGGCTGGCCGCTGAATTGGGGGTTTGGCCCGCCGACGGGGCCGGGCGGCGTGCCGTAGCCGTTGAACTGGCCGTAGCCCTGTCCTTGGCCTTGGCCGCCGTACATTTTTCTGGTGTTGTTGTGGTACGCGGCGCTGGCGCGAGCGCTGGCAAAAAGCTACTTTTTGCTGCTTTTTGTTTTTTTTGGTAGGATCTCAGACAGGACTGGAGACCGCAGCGCTGGAAGCTTGTGATAAATCTGAGTCAGCACGCGCCGCTGAGGCTACCCTGCAGCTCTGTGGCCTGTGGAACGCGCCGATAATACGCGGCTGCGGCGGTCGAAAACCGGAGGGGCCGACGGCTATGGACTCGTACGCGGCGGAGAAAGCTCGGCTCGAGCAGTCCTGGGATAATTGGTACCGGACGAAACGAGTCGAGCGCGAAAAACCCGTCAAAGACCATCCGGATTTTGACAAACCGGGCCCGCGCGACGCCGCTGCGTATTCTCTCAGCGAGCTGATCCACATAAATCGCTACCAGTCCCTATTCTTCCGGGCGCGCTGCAGAAGACGCGGCGTCGTGCACCGCAAGAGTCCTAAACAAAGCCTGGACTAAAGCCACTGCGCGCGCAGCCGCGCACGCGAGAAGACAATGGCCACCATGCTCCTCCAGTCCCCACAAGAAATAAAAAGCCAGTTCCAGGCCTGGGACCAGCAGCTCGCCTCAAGAGAGAGCATACAACAAGTCGCGCGGCAGGTCGCGCAGTCCGCGCGCCAACAAACGTTCGACGGCGCCAACCTGGCCCCGACCTTAACCTACTGGAGCGAGATGCTGCGGGTGGCGACGACGCGCTCTACGGTCATCAAGAAGCACCTGGACGCGGGCGCCGTGCTCGGTGGCGTCGACACGTCCACGAGGGGCGCGCTCGGCGTGGTGCGCGGCAAGCTCGCGGGCGGGTCGAGCACGGCGGACGCTACACGAAGTGCGAGAGTGGTGCTGTTCCTCGTAAAGCAGTACGCCGGTTTGGCTGCTATATTAGGAGCGCCGCCGCCCGACGCGCGCACGGCCGCCTTCGCTTCCACATTATGCGCGGTGCACCAGATCCTGGAGACGGCGCCGCCGTCGGAGGCGAGAGCCGGAGCTAGAGCCGCCCTCGGTTCTGAATTAGATGGGGCCTGTCTTCGTGTCTGCGTCGCGCACGGGGCACCCTTCATCTCGTGCCTCGCGGGGCCGACGACGAACGAGGCGGGCCGCGGCGCGTGCCTCTCGCGGTTGATGGAGGCGCACGGCGCCGCCGTCGCGGACCTGTTTGAAGGAGGCGAGCCCTTCGCCGGCGTGGTCCTGCGAGCGGCGATTGCGGGCGCGCTCGCGGCGCCGCGGCCGGACTTCGCGAGGTTGGTGGAGGGTCCGGTCGTGGCGCTGCGGCTGGCGATGCGCCAGGACGCGCGCGACGCCGTCGACGCGTTAATCAAAGCGGCGGCGGCCGAGGACGCGCGCGCGCGCGAGCTCGCCGGTTTGATCTGGGCGGCGTTCCTCGCGGGCTGCGAGCCGCGGCTGCGCCTGGCGCTGCTGGAGCTGCTCCAGGCGAGCGGCGCGGGCGACGCCGTCGTCGAGCGCGCGGTGCTCGGGGGCTGGGACCAGTTGTGACTCTAAGATATGCTTCATGTGAACCTGCGCGCCGATGGCGTCTGGAGACTACGCATGGAGGTCTTAGCACACGGACGTTCGACGCGCACCAAGCCTAGGGCAGGCCGCGGCTGGGGAGCGGGTCCTCCGGGCTCAGCTGGGGCCCGGGGCGCAGGATCCGGCGCGCGGCGCCGCGGGGCTCGACCGCGAGGCGTTGTAGTATAGACTTCTTCATGGCCTCGAGGAATAACTCGCACTCCGCGGCGGACTCCGCGCTCGACGGCGTCGGCGTCCAGACGTAGAGGTCCGAGTTGACCTCCGGCGTGATGATACCCGGGAGCTTGGACCGCGTGCGGACCATGGGCTCGTTGCGCGGCGCGCCGATGGGCCCCTGGACGTCGCCCAGTCGCAGGGTCCACTCCGTGGTCTTCAGGTGGCGCATGGCGTCGACGGCCTTGTCGAGGCGGCCGTTCTTGTACTGGGCGAGCGCCTCGTTCTTCGTCACCACAAAATCGCGGACGGCGTCCCGGCACGGCGGCGGCGCGTCGAGGCGCTTTTTCTCGTAGAGCGCGGCGACGGCGTCGCGGAACTTCGCGACGCGGTACGAGCTCCGCTCGTACTCCAAGCGGGACGCGGCCTCCGGGACCGCCTCCTGGACCAGCTTCTGCATGGCGTCGCAGCGCGCGGCGAGCGACGCGTTCTCGCCCCTCAGCAGATTGTTCTCGACGCGCAGCGCCTGTGTGTTTTTCACGTTTGACGCCATCGACGCGATCCACGCCGGGGACGCGCGTGGACCTCCGCGAGGCGCTCCCGCGCGAGGTACTTCAATTCCATGGCCGTGAACGCGAACCGCTCGAGCCCCCCGTCCGGGTTGGCCACGCACGCGTCCCACTTCCGTTCCAGCTGCTGCTCGTCCCAGTGCGCCGGAAGCAGACCCTCCAGCTCGTTCACGAGTTCCTGGTTGCTGAAGACTGGCGGGCCAGATGGGGCCGCCATGACGGGGCTGCGAACAATGGCGCGCGCGGCCTGATGCGGCGTTGTCGCCGCGTCGCCCGGCCGCTGCGGTACGCGAAACGGGCCGTGCCAGCCTGAAATTGGAAGGCCCACCAAGGCACAGGCTCGGCGGAGCGCGGCGAGCCGCGAACGCAGGCTAGCCACTCGAGACGCCATCGACGCGACAGGCCTCCGGCAAGACTCCTGGAGTGCGGCTGGGGCATCTCTGGACGCGTCCACGGAGCGCGCCGTCGAAAGAAAAATAGTAGACTTAGTAGTTAAACAGACGCGCTGGACGCACCGGACCGGAGGCGGCAGCGCCTACTCGTCCCACTTGTCGCCGTTCGCCTGGTCGATGACGTACGCCGCGACGTCGCCAATCTCCTCGTCCGAGAGGCGGCCGCCGAACGCCGGCATGGCGTTCTTGCCGTTGGTCACCTGGGTCACGACGGAGCTCTCCTTGCGGCCGCCGGCGAGGTACGAGTCGAGCGCCTCCTTGCGGAGCGTCTTCTCGGCCGCGATGACGTTGTTGCCGCCCGCGTGGCAGGCCGCGCAGTTGCCCGCGAAGATCGTCGCGCCCGACTCGATGTCGCCGGCAAACGCAGCAAAGGGCGCGAGGAGCGCCGCCGCGCCGAGCGTCGCCGCGGCGACCTCCTTGCGCGCCTCGACCTTGACGGACGCGCGCGCCTGCTGCGCCACGGGCGCGAAGGCGAGGGCCGGGGCCGCTAATAACGCGATGGAAAGCTTCATATTTTACAAGCCTGCGCGGGGGTGCCCGGATGAGCCGTTCCGTCCGAGTCGAAGCGGTTTCGTGAGAATTGCTGGCCGGAGGCGCAAGTAAGCAGCTCTACCGGGTCTCGCGGTCGTTGGCGCCCGTGTACGCGCGTTCTAATGCGCTCCGGTGCCCTGTCCGGCGCGTTTAGAGCGGCCAACTAAGCGGCCTCCTGCTCTTTGCTCGCAACTGCATCCGGCTCGTTTCGCGCCGTGAAAGCGGTCAAACTGGTGCGGCAGCATGCCAAGGCCTCCGTTAATGCTGCTCGGACGCTGGTTTGGCACGTAGGTCTGGGCGGACTCGACTTAGCTCGCGATGCCGGCTTGCTCAATCAAGAGCTCGATTTTGGCAGCTCGGCTACGCGTCCCGCAACCTGAGCTACGCTGTCCCAGCGGACTGCTCAAGCCTCCGGCGCTTCCCAGCGAGCCGAATCGCTGCCGCTGCCCAACATCGGCTTGCAGGACTTGGCATCAGATCGACCTCAGTTTTTGCGCTACCCACTGCCCGTCTCCGGTGTCTTTTTGGTCTCCTGCGGCCTTCTACGGCTGCTCCCAAGCCACGAGGGCGAGCGCTGCTCTCCAGCGCCGCCAGCGGGCCAAATAGAAGCGATCAGAGCGCTGCCTCTTTGAGAGGCCTAAAACGCCGCCCCGGGCGGCGACGCGCGGCCGCCGAGCAGCGGTTAAGTCGCCTTGGCCGCCCCCTCGCTGCGCGCGGTCCAAAGTGACCCCCAAAATCGGTTCGGCGCGTGCGGACGGCGCGACGTCGTTTTCCGTAGTTCTGACCCCTGAGCGGCAGCTGACCCGACCGTCCCGCGCAGGCACATATAGCCATGAAGCTCTCCATCGCGCTCCTCGCCGCCCCGGCCGTCGCCTTCGCGCCCCAGGCGCAGCAGGCCGCGTCGGTCAAGCTTGAGGCCCACAAGGAGGTCGCCGCGGCCACGCTCGCGGCCGGCGCGCTCCTCGCGCCCTTCGCGGCCTTCGCCGGCGACATCGAGTCGGGCGAGACGCTGTTCGCGGGCAACTGCGCCGCGTGCCACGCGGGCGGCAACAACGTCATCGCCGCCGAGAAGACCCTCCGCAAGGACGCGCTTGACAAGTACTTGGCCGGCGGTCGCAAGGAGTCGTCCGTCGTCACCCAGGTGACGAACGGCAAGAACGCCATGCCGGCGTTCGGCGGCCGCCTCTCGGACGAGGAGATTGGCGACGTCGCGGCGTACGTCATCGACCAGGCGAACGGCGACAAGTGGGACGACTAAGCGCGCCGCGTGCGCTCCTCGGCGCGCCACCCAGTCGCCCGCGGCCGCGCCGCCTCCGCGAACCTAACTTCTAGTCGCCACCTAGCTAGTTACTCTCTTCGCAGGCGGGCGGTCCCGACCCAAAATTTGGAATAAAACGGGTTCAGACCTCCGAGGTAATACCCCGTGACGCATCGTTGAACTTAGTTTCACAAGTTACTACTACCCGGAACGTCGACTACCGCTTCTTCGTCTTCTTCCGCTTCTTCGCCGAAGCCGCCGCCGCCGCGAGGCCGCCCCCGAGCCCGCCCTTCTCCGCGATGCGTTTTGAGAGCGCCTTCTCCCGCGGGTTCCGGCGGTTCCGCCGCGCCCAGCCGCAGATCGAACCTTTATCTACGATGACGTCGCAGTCTCGGACCAAAGGATGCTCGTCGAGGAGCTCGGCCTGTGGAAATCAACCAGTGCGTCGGGTGCACCCGACAATGATTCTTCACTAAGTCATTTCTCAGCGATGGCGCGACCGTCCTGGCTCGGTCGAGCGGTGAGGAACCGGCAACGCCACGCTATCGAGCAGGTCGCGTCCGTGGCGTGAACGCTCCGTAAAATTTTGATTTCCACACAGAGCTCGGCCAGCGTCGCCTCCATCTCCGTCCCTTCGATAAAACAAAATTTGCCGGTATGCGGCGCGCAGCTCGCCAGGACCTCGTCCACGAGGCGCTTCGCAGCCCTCGAGCCACCGCGCGCGAGGGCACGCTGGAGGCACCTCACGCCGAAGGCAACATCAAACTCATCTTTCGGTAATCGTGGAGGCCGGTCGGGCGCGCGCGGCAGTACGGTACGCACGTCGAGCTCCTTCGTCTTGGCCGTCTGGTTCGTCTTGAACTCCTCCGTCGCCGTCGGCGCTTCGTCCAGCCACTGCGTAACACTACACCCGGCGGGCAGGTAGTACAGATTCTTGTGCCCGTCGATCGCGTCTATTTCTAATATGCGGGCGCGCTCCGGTACGGACGAGAGGAGGCCGCGGACCTGGCGCTCCTGGAGCCTGCGCGGGATGATGGCGTCGACGCGACGCGGCGCCGCCACGACGCCATCGACGCGGTCCCATTACGTGTTCTTCAGGCTGAGCGGCGTGCCGGCGTGCGGGAGCAGCAGCAGGAGAGCTGCAAATCTTGGACAGCCCATTTGGCACTGGCAATCTGCTGCGGGAACGGCACTGCAGCGCGAAAAAACGGGCGCGTGAGCTACGAACTTGTCGAAATTACGACGACAAGCCGTGGCTCCGCACCTAGCTCCAAATCGCGCGAGCACTGCGCCAAATAGGCAGATGATGATCTGCTCTCACACTGCGCGGGCGGTCGGTGTACGGACCCGATTGATCGGGGCCCGGAGAGAGTCGTAGACTAGGAGGCGTAGGCCGCGACGTCGCCGATCTCCTCGTCCCGTCCTTGCGGGGCGTCTTCGCGGCCCGGCGGCGGCCGCGATGTAGTAAACCCGCATATGCCTTTGTTTCCGACGACGTGCTTTTGAAAGAAAGATAAAAGAGAGGCCTCGAAAGCCTCGACACGTGGGCGGGACCGCGGCGCGCCCTCGGGTTTTGAGCTTTGAGTAGAAGACCGGGGCAGAGACCGTGTCCTGGGCAATACGCGCGGCGTGAGAGACCGGCTCTCTCATACTTCACCTCACTGGCGCCGCAACGTGCGCGCGGGCCAGCATCCGTGACCGTCGGTCGCGAGATACTCAAAAGTTATTTAAATATCACAGCTTCTGCGTTTGAAGCGACGCCGGCGCGCTACAATGTCGACGGCGGCTAATGACGGCGCGCCCACCGCGGCCGGCCCGCCCGCGGCGCCGCCCGGCGCGGCGACCGCGGCGACCGCGACGCCGCCAGCGACGACTCATGAGGCCTGGCTGACGCCGAGCGCCGCCGGCTACAAGATTCAATTACAAGAAGACGTCCACGGCCGCACGCTGATCGCGGGCTTCGTCGACGTCCGCGTCCGCGAGCAGTCGGGCCTGCAAGTCGACGACGTCATCCTATCGATCCGCGGCGAGAGCGTCGAGGGCCTGGCCTTCGCGAGGACGACGGAGATGATCCGGCACCACGCGCGGGAGTTTGAGACGCTCGTGCTTAAGGTGTCGCGGAAGGGCGCCCCCGAGCCCGCCCCCGCGGGCCCGCCACTCGCGACTGGAGACGACCTAGCGGACACGCGCGCGGAACCGGAAATATCAGAAAGAGTACCGCGACAGCGGAAAGCAAAGGAAAAGAAGGAAGACGGCCGCCGGGCAGTTGACGGCGGCTGTTCGTTCGTGTTACCAATCCGCGTCGAGGAGATTTGGCACGGACCTAGCGGATTGGAACGACGCCTCGCTACGGACGTACAAGGAGCGACTGGACGCGGCCTACCCGCAAGGGTTCCCGTCCACGCATCATTACGACGACCTCCGCCCGCGCTACGAGAAACTCGAGCTAGAACTCGAGCGGCTCGACCGGTCCTCCTAGGGCCTGCCTAAGGTTTTTTGTAGAGCCTAGCTCTAAGCAAAATAAGTAAAAGTAGTGCATTCACAAGAAGTTTACTCCATCCGCGCCTCCTCGCGCGCCCGGAGCCACGCGACGTCCCGCTGCACCGCGGCCAGCTGCTCGCGGAGCGCGTCGAGCGCCGCGGCGACGTCTGGTTGTTGAGGCTGCGCGAACCGCTCGGCGCGGAGCCGCGCGACCTCGGCCCTCTCAACAGGCGCCGGTGAGCGCGGCGGCGACGCCGCGCCGGTCTCGGCGGCCGCGGACGCCGTCGCCGTCTCGTCCAACAGCAGGTCGAGCTCGCTCATCAGAATGAAGCCGTCGCCGACGCGCAGATACTCGCCGTCGTCCGGCAGGGCCAGCACGTGCTCGCCGGCGGGCACCGTCCGCAGCGGCGGCGCCGCCGCGTCGCGCGTCGCCCGCACCGAAGCGCCGCCCGCGCGCGCCGTCCAGACGCGCGCGCCGCCGGACGGCGCCTGTGGCTCCTCCGCCGCCAAGTTGTGCTCGAGGCGCCGCAGCGCCGCCGCCAGCACGTCCTCGAGGCGCTGCGTGGGTTGCGGTTGCGCGGCCGCCGGCTGTTGTACGGCGCCGGCGCCTGGTTGCGCGGCCTCCGGCTGTCGAGGCGCGGCCCACCCCGCGCCGGGCTGCGGCTGCGCCTGCTCCTGCGCCGGCGGCTGCTGCGGAGCCGGCGCCGGCGCCTCGACGGGGATGTCCTGGCGGCACGTCGGGCACGACTGCTGCTGCTGGAGCCACAGCCGCAGACACGCGAAATGAAAGACGTGGCCGCAAGGTAACCGGCGCCCCTCGCTCATGTCGTCGCGACAGATGATGCAGATGCCGCCCGCCTCCCGTATTTCTTCCTCAGTAGCCGGGGGAAACCTTTCGTCCATGTTCGCCGTTAAGGCTCGGTACTTCTTGAAGGCTTGGAGCCGCTGTCGCAGTTGCACATACGACGCCCAGAGCTCCCTTACAATATGCAACGGTACGCCGTAGTAGGCAAACACTATAGAAAAGAAAACGACATAGGCCGCGAAGCGCAAAACTTCGGCAATGAAGTCCACAAAAAACGCGTACTGGGCCTTCGGGGGCCAGGTGCCATCGTAGCGTCTTTGCTCAATCGCATATAGTAAATACTTGCACGCGTCCGCGCCGAGGCCGGCTCCCAAAATAGCAAATTCAAAGCCGAATAGCAGTAAAACAGAAGGACCGTGCTTCAGGCACATGGCCGCGCAGCCGCCTAATGCGACGAGATCCACGACGCCCAACCAGAACATTAAAGCAGCCAACCGCCAGTGCTGCAAGGTGGACGTCTGCGGCGCGTGCTCGACGTGCTCCACTCTCGCATGGGCGAGCCAGTGGAAGACCTTGGCAAACAGTAAAGCCGTGAAGAGCGCAAACACCCTCGTCGTGAGCTCTTCCCGGAACACCGTCAATGCTAAACACGTCTCCGTGACTGCGTAGCGCGCGTTCTCGTGCAGTAGTTCGACCTCGGCCTCCCGTAACGACCCGAGAAACACGGCCTTGGCCGACCGCCCCGCGAGCAGTGTGAGTACAATCACTTGGTTGCCCAGGGCTAACACACATAATTTGCTCGTCACTAGATAAACGACGGTAGGATAAAATTGTTCGCGCGTCGCCCAGGCGTAGCTGACGACGGCCGCCGTGACGGCCGAACTGCCGACGGTGTAGCGGGAGAAGACCATGGTTTTTTTACGAGCCGCGCGTCGCGTTATTCAGCAGCAGTTCTCCTTGGCCCCGGGGGCGCCGCGGCGGCGTCTTTTCTGGGCCTACCGCGCTGCGGTGAAGAAAATAAAGACGCGCACGTCCCGGCTCGTCCTCAAACGCCCCAGCGCCGTCCGAGCTCCCCTCCTTATGGGCTAGCTAGCGTTGCGACACACTAGGAATTTTGGCAGCTGTGCCGCGATTCCCTCGAAACGCGGTCTTTGCGGCCAAAATCGGGGTTCAGTTGGTGTACAGCATCGACTATTCTCCCAGACTGTCGCACGCAACCATCCATTGCACATATAAGCCGCCACAAGCCCCCGCACAGCTATCCAAGCACAAGCACTGCCGAAACAGTCAAAGATGCTCCGGCTCCTCCTTTTCGTCAGCATTTGGGCCACTGCCTACGGAGGTAAGCAAGACAGGTCGTTTGCCCAGATCTCGATAGATGGCCCCGTGGACGCACAGCCCAACAAGGGCAGCGCCCTCGACCAGGAGATCCAAGCGTTAGATGAATTAATCAAAGCACAGCAGAAGAAGCTCGCCGCGCTCGGCGCGCTGCGGAAGGCAGGCACCGCGCCGCCCGACGACGACGAGGGCACGTGTGCCGCGCTTCGAGAGGCGTCGAGGGAGCTCGCATGCGGCTCGAACGAAAAACGACGGCGGGAAGCGCCGAAGGACGTGGATGATGTGTTGGTCATGCGCGGCGAAATCACGGCGTCGTCGATCTACGAGGTGCTTCCATTTAGAACGCGCGCGCGGCCCTCCCCTCAACCCATGCGCCGCAAGCGCGGCCATCAACAAACGAGGGCCCCGCGCTACGACTACGTCAATATTTTGGTAGTTGTGGCACCGGATGGAAAAGCGACGTTCCATGAGAGCGGCGGCGCCGTCGTCGCTACGATAGATCTAGAACAAAAGAACGTGAAAACTCTAGCGTTCGACGGCGGGGACCAGCCTTTATTAGCGACGGCGAACGACGACGGTGTGAGGTTGCACAACCTGACCTTGTGGCGGGGGGAGCGGGTGATCGCCGGCAGAAGGCCGCGCTACGTTTATGATGACGAGGCGCCGCCGCCGCCGATCCCGGAGCCGTCGACGCGCACGGCGTCGGGCCTGGGTCTGGTCATTGGACGCGAGGTCGACCTGGTCCCTCTACCGATGCAAGTAGCGACGAAGAAGGGTCTCGTCGAAAAGCCTTCACCACCCAAGTTAGTAACCGTCTTCCCCTGGCGCAGCGTCGGTGCACATATTGCGACGCTCGACGAAGGCGGTCGGTTCATTTTGTGGACGCGCAACGGCACCCAGAGGGGGTCGTTAAATCTGACGGCGTCTTCACTCACACGGGCGGGCAGCACCTTCGCCGCCGCCTCCGACAACGTCGTGCGCTTCGTCAGCGCGGGGCGCTGGCAGACGATGGCTGTCGAGTGCCGCGGGCCCCCGGCACTCGTATCGGATGTGGTATTTGACCCCTTGCGGCCCGAGCTCGTGCATGTCGCTTATGAAACTGGTGTGATTTTAACCTTCCGCAAGCCGCCCGTCTACGATTATGACGACGTCGTGCAAGAAAGACAATGTAGGTTGGCGGGCAAGCTGCCACAGACGCCCCATATATCTTCGGTCAAGCTCGCGGCCGTGCGCGGGTTTCTCATATCAAGCTCGTCCACCCATATCGCGGTGCACAACACGTCCTCCTCGTCGCCCGAGCACTACTACCTCGTCGGGGCCAAGGCCGTCTCCCCAAAGAAGGCGCGCGACCTTAGAGCTACTGTCGTCTCCGGCATGTATGCGCCTGAAGTAGTATTGGCCTTCCGCGAGGATGCCCAGATCAAGGTCTACGAGTCTTTGTTAAAACACGAGCCGCCGCTGCCGGCCGACGTGGCCTGGATGCGCGTGCCGATCCTGCTCATCGGGTTGGTAGTGGTCTTCGGCGTCCAGGTGTTCCGGGGCGGCGGCGGCGGCGGGCGGCGGCGCGGCCGCGGCGGGCTGTCGCCGTCGGACATGGACCGTCTCAATCAAATGGCCGGGCTCATGGGCGACAACCGGGGGTTCGGATCGCCGGCCGCGCGGGGGCGCGACTTCCCGCCGTACTAGGCGGTGCCGCGGTAAAGTTTTGGTCCAAAGCTGAGAGCAGCCGCTCTCTGCCTGATTATAGTGGGTACTAGTAGGTAGCCCGATTAACGAAGGCAGACTTCTCAACGTCGGGAGCTCGCTACTGGGAGAGGATCGATGAGGCGGCGCCTCGTCCACATATGTAAGCATTTGCCTATTTATTTTTTTGTTGTCTCGAGCGGAGGCCCATAGGCGCGCGCCGAGCCCCGACCACGATAAAATCGCGCGCGCGGGCGCTGATAAGACCAACAACGCAAAGCCACACAAATTTTAAGCGCGCGCGCGGCCACACGGGGCATCAAGTCGGGGCATCAAGTCGCGGGGCGGGCGCGGGCGCCACTACTGGCCTCGTACTCGTGCGAGTCCAGGAAAGAAATGACGGCAGGGACATCAGGGACGGTCGGCGCGCGACCTCCGCGTGCCGGCCCGGCCGCACCGCGGTCGGCGCCTCGACGTCGCCGCCGTCGTCGGCCGCCTCGGGCGCGGTATCGACAGCAGTCTTCTTGCCGCTGAAGGATGCGTAGTTCGAGGCGCGCGCGATGGAGTAGAGGCGGTGCGACGCTTTTTGCTTGTCGTAGATGGCCTTCGGGACAATCTGCACCTCGACGATCAGCGGGGCGAGGCCCGGCGGGGCTGGCGGCTGGAACGCGAGGTTGACGAGCAAGTTGAACGGCTTTACGCGCCCCGCGAGCTTGTTCTTGAGGCGGACGACCTTGAAAATGTCATCTTTCGCGAGCGCTTCGTACGCCGCGACAACCTGCTCCGCTCCGGCGACGACCACGGAGGCTCGGAGGCAGTCGCCCAGCTTTTCCGCGCGCGGCCAGGGCTTGGCCTCGCGGCGATATTCGTCGACCTTGGCGCGCATGCGCGTCTTCTTTTTAATGGCGACGTCCGCGGCACACTCGAGCTCGACGCCCTCCGTGCCCGGGGGAAAGAGCTTCTCCAGCGCTTTTTTGAAGGCGGGAAACGCGGCGTTCGCCAGGTCGTGGAGCGCGCCGACGCAGACGCTCGCGTCGAGCTCGGACTCGAGCGCGGCGCCGCCCACCTTATCCTTGAAGGCGACGAGCTCGGCGCTCCGCAGCGCCGGCTGGTCCGTCCCGTTGTCGAAAGACTTGAGCGCGACGACGTCGGCGCCCCGGGGCTCGTCGAGGACCTTGGCTGCTGCCTCCGCGATGCGCGCCTGGGCCTGCTGGTTCAGGTCGTGCGCGATGAGCGCCAGGTCCACGAACCGCTCGAGGCGCCGCGGCTCCCGCGCGGATGCGAAGGCGCGGACAATTTGGATCTTCGTCGCCGCCCGCCGGAACTTCGCCAGGCCCGAGGCGAGATTTTCCTCGCGCGTCGGCGCGACGTCGTCGGGATCCGACGCCTCCCGCAGCAGCGAGCGTGCCGAGGACACTCCGGACGACGAGCGCGACAAGCTGAACGAAGACGGCGACGTCGGCGACTTGGGGGGCGAATGCAAGTTGGCGAGAGAGGTCGATATTTGGTCAGACTTGTTCCTCGCCAGGGCCGCCAGGTGGAGCACGGGGTTCTCTTTCCGCGAATGCCATAGCTTCTGCGGGTGCTGGTCGTCGAGTTCGAAGAAGGGCTTCAGCACCTCGGCGTAGACGCGCAGGAGGGTGATCGGGGCGCCGCCCGGTGGCTGCGCGCGCCGGAGCCGCTCGAAGGCCGCGGTCGGGCTCAGGCACTCTTCCGTCAGTGTCGCGGCGAGCGGACCGGCGACGATATCCACGGACCGCTCGACGGCGCCGGCGTCGATGGCACCGTCCCCGCCCGCCTTCTTCGCGCGGGCGAGCATCGACTCCACGTGCCACTGCAGCACCTCCTCGGCGTGCACCTCGGGCGCCCAGACGCCCTCGAGCGCCAGCAGCGTCCCGGTGAAGTACGTCCAGGACTCGTCCCTGAGCTTGCCGTCGAACGCCTCCCTGAGAATTTGCCTCGACCTCTTGCGGACGTCCTCGCGGATCGCCTCCGCGTGCGCGCTCCGCAGCAGCTCCTCGACCTCCTCGGCCTCGACGGGCTCGTGCGCCTGGAGCCGCCGGGCGACGCCCCGGTAGCTCTCCGACACGAACGCCTGGTAGGCGAGGGGGAGCGAGGCCACGTTCAGCAGGAAGACGAGCGTGACCATCCATAACGCGTCTTTGCTGTCCTCGATCAAGTCGCCGACCAGGCAGACCGAGAGCAGCACGATCGAGAGCGCGAACCGCATCAGCGCCTCGACGACGTGCTGCAGGCCCGACGACGCGTAGGGTTTCAGCTGCAGCACGAACGTCCGGTGGATGATCGTGACGATGAGGCAGAGCACGATGGAGATCTTGACGTCCGCCTTGAACCGGAAGAACCCCGTCACGAGCGACCGCAGGAAGATGGCTAGGACCTCGAACCACCAGTACTCCGCCTTGAGGTTATTCGTCAGAAACGCCAGCGCGCCGTCATCGACGTGGCGCGGGTCCTTGCGCTGCTCCTCCCCCCCGGCGGCGAGCCGGCGCGGCCGCCACAGCACGAGGAACAGGCACAGCGGAAACGTGACGTAGATCACCGCGCAGACAATCGCGTACGCCTTGTGGGCCTCGTAGCCCGGCCCGGAGCACCGGATGCTGTAGTCGCTGACCAGGAATTTGCGGTCGAAGGGTTCGTACTTCACGGTGCAGTTGAATATCTGGAAGATGGCGCAGCAGATGGCGCTGTGGAACAGGCTGATCAGCAGCATCCACTTGGAGAGCACGCCGCCCAGGTCCTGGCGCACGGCCGCTGCGACTCTCCGATGGAGCGGGACGGCCTCCGCCGCCGCGCCTTCTTCCGCGAGGGCGTTCTGCGGTGCCGCGGGAGCGCCGCACGCCACGACGCGCGCGACCGCGCGGACGACGGCACAAACGATGAAGACGAGCAGTAAGGCCGGTGCCCCAAGCGTCGCCAACATCAGGAAATGGAAATAGTTGTACGTTCTGTAGCACTGCGCGATGCTGTGAAGCGACGACAGGTCGAACGTGAAGACGTCGAGGGCGCGCATGACCAATTGGGAAAATCCTGGAAGGGGAACTTGGTGGATGGAGACGAAGCGCGACATCGTCATGGCGAAGTAGACAAACTGGATCAGCACCGCTTCGAACCACTGGCGGTTGAAGCGGCTCCGGAGCCGCCGTATGCCGAGGATGACGAGCGCCCACGCGACGATCATCAGCAGGACAGTTAAAAGTTGTTTCATTTGCTCGCCGATCCTGTCGCAGCGTACGCACTCGGACACTGCTTTGAGATCCTCCTTGGTTTTGCTATTGCGAAAGTAACCCGACCGGCATAGCATGCACAGCGGGCCGTGGGCGTGGGTTTTGCAGAGACCGTTACCATACCCCTCCAGTCCCGGAGAAGAGCCCCGACAGGCGTCGTCGTCTTCCGGACATCGATAGACGGACGTCGACTCGGGACTGAAACGAAAGAAGTGTTCCTTGACCTCGAGCGTCGCCACGGTCGTGCCGTTCGCCGCGTTGCACCTTGCGCCCTTCAGCACATAAGCACCCACGTTCTGCCCGCACTGTCGACAGAACCCATCCACCAGGACCCATCCCTGCCGGCAGCACATGGCCGCGCCGCTCTCGGGCGCGTAGAAATTCTTTGGGCACGGCTCGCAGGGCGTCGGGCCGGTCGCGCTCTTGAACGTCCCGGGGCGACAGGCCTCGCAGCCTCCCGTCGATTCGTCGAAGAAGCTGCCCTCCGGGCACCCCGTCAAGTCGCATGCGCAGCCCACCGCGCGACCCCCGTCGTAGCAGCCCGGGCCCTGTAACCCGCTCGTCGGCTCGCACGTGAAGCCCTGCTCCTCACACTCGCCGCCAACGACGGGGCACGCGTCGACGGCGTACGCGGTCGCTGCGAGGCCGGTGTACGTCTCGCCGACGTCGTTCCTGTCCGTCTCGAGGGAGACGCTGATGCCCGACGACGCGATGTCGTAGGACTTTTGGAAGGAAGTACTTGTGAGCTCTATGTCGGTGGCACCGGTGCTCCGGATGACCACCATGTCGCCCTCCTTCGCGGCCGACCGATACGGCTCGAGGTCTAGCGTCTCCACGACGACGCGGACGCTTCGACCCGCGGCGGCCTGGAACTCCCAGGTGCAGTCCGCCGCGGCGGGCACCGGCTCGCCCGGCGCCTGCGAGACCATGACCATCGATTCGCCCGTGACCTTAGGCGCACCATCAAGGCAGTGCGGCACGGTGCAGGCGAGCCCGCCGTAGCCTGTGTCGCAGACGCACGTTCCTCCGTCGTCGCATGTCCCGTGGCCGCCGCAGTCCGCGTTACTCGCACAGGTGACGCTTTTGGCAACGTAGGTCGCACTGAACCCGCCGCGCCGGCCCCTCGAATCCGACGTAAAGACCAGGCTGGCCTTGCCGTCCGTCGTCGGCACCAGGATCGTGGCCGTGTCTTCGCCGGAGAGGCGCGCCCAGGTAACGTCACCGCTGTTTACAGATACAAAGTCAAAGGTCGGCTCGACGTCGTACGTGACAGTGAAGGACACATACCCGAAGCTCGTCCCGACGTCCGCGACGAAGTGGCACTCGGCCGAGTTGGGGTACGGCTCGTCGCGGTCGGGCGCCGTCGGCGACGAGCGGAATTCGCCCGTCGGGCCCGTCAGCGTCGTCGTGCCGAGGCAGGTCGCGAGCGAGCAGTCGGCGCCGCCGTAGCCCGCGTCGCACGTGCAGAGGCCCGAGGCGGCGTCACACTTTCCATTGCCGCAGGTCGAGTGGTCGGCGGCACACACCAAAGCTTCCGCGTCGTAGGAAGCGCTCCAGCCGTCCGTCAACAAGTAGTTGAAGGCGCGCTCCGTGACGCCGTCCGTCGTGAACTTGACGGTCATGTCGCCGGTCGTACGCAGCGGCGGCCAGGCGCGGTCGAAGCCGTGGAGCTTCGCGACGAGCGTCGAGCCGTCGAAGACCTCGACGAAGTCGCCCGTCCAGACGCGAAACACGGTGAACGTCAGCTCGACGACGCCGCCGGACGCGATGCGCCACTCGCACGCGAGGTTGTTCGAGTATGATGTCGTGGCACCATCGGTCAACGTTCCAGTCGTCGCCGTCAAATCCACTGTGCCAGAGCAGGTCGAGTCGGCGCTTTCTGGTATTGACGTGACGCCCGTACCGGCCGTGTCGAGGACGCTAGCCGGTATGCTAGCGAGGCCGTCCGCGAGAGATTGAGCAGAAGTCGTCGCCGCGTAGAACGCGTCCTCGTCGACAGTGCCCGCCGGCGCGACCGCCGCGACGGTGTTCGTTTCGAGGTGGAACCGCGCCGTCGCCTTGAGCGCCGCGGCGATGCCTCCTCCGAGATAATCCGGGCCCTGCATCGTATCTGGAGAAACGAAGGAGAAGTACGAGAGGCCCGCCGCCGCCGTGTCGAGCTCGGCCTGCGTCGGCGAGGCCGAGGCGCCGTACGCGGCCGCGACGTCAGCCACGAAGCCGCCCGCGCCCGCGCCCCAGCGCGTCGAGGCGTCGTCGAGGTAGTCCGCGTCCAGCCGCGCGATGACGCCCGCGACGCGCTCGAGGACGTCGGGCCGCCGCGCGGCGAAGTCCGCGCGCGCGCTGATCGTGTTGAACGTGGGCTTGCCCCAGTCGCTGAGCACTTGCGCCTGTTTGTTTTTCGTGAGCCTTCCTCTCGCGGTGTTGCGTCGACGGTGCCATCTCTCGTTCTCTCTTCTCTCTCTCTCTTGGTGGCGGTGGACCCGCGTCGACGGCGTCCAGCCATCGCTGCGGGCCATCCGGACGCTATCGACGCGCATGAAGGTGCCGTGAAATTTGATTCGCGCACCGCCCCGCGCCGGGAAGAGCATCGTGGCGTTGCGCTGGACCAGGCCGTCGATCCAGCCGCCCCAGACGAAGGCGCCGTCGATCGTGCCGGCGTCGTACAGGTCCAGGGGGTTCAGCCCGTTTAAATCGATTATGTCAAATCTCACGTCCGGGAACAGCGTCTGGATGTACATCATGTGGTAGTGCGCCGTCGAGCCAAAGGGCGTGCCGAACGTCCGCCCGTCGAGGTCCGGCGGCGATTGGATTTCGGGCCGCACCAACAACCCCTGCGACGAGCCCTTCTCGTGGGCCACGTATAAGTGCTTGATGTCGACGCCCCGCGCGACGGCGAAGGCCGCGGGCGTCGACCCGAGCAGCGCCACCTCGAGGTCGCCTTCGTCCAGCTTCGAGACCACGAAGCCGCCGCTCGCCTGCGGCAGGCACGCCACCTCCACATCAGAAAAGTCGAACCAGCCGCGCGCGCACGCGACCTGGAACGGCTGCGCTTCCCCAAAGTAGCCGAGGCGCACCACCTCCGCCGACGCCGCCGCCGCGAGCGTCCATAACAGGCTGTTCATGGTCTGCCCATGGGGCTGCTCTTGTCCGTTGCCGCTCGGGCAGCCTCCGAGTGCTCGGAAGTGGGCCTCGTCGAGGCCACGTCCGGACGCTTGGTCGCGAGAACGCCTTGCAACGCCTTGCTCGCAATCAAATGGGCTGTTCGCGCTGCACAGGATTTTGCCGCACAAGTTCCTGTGCGGGATTATTCGAAACCTGCCCGCGCGAGGGATATACGGCCTGCGGCTAGAGAGGTCTCGACTTTAAAGTGCTAGTGTCTTTCTCAGCTAGGCTGTGCTTTGGTTTGAACGCGGAGGCTGCCTCTCTCTACGAACGCCGCAGCCATCTGAGCTCGATCGATCCGTGAATATAAGATGCTGAGGCGGCTGGCCGCCCGCGCCGCGCGGCGGCGCCGCCGCCGGCGCGCGTCGACGGCCGACGTCTTCGTGAGTAGGCACACGGCCGTGCCGCGCGAGGACGTCGACGCGTACGTCAAGACGCGTGTACTGCCGGCCGGCGGGCCGTCCCAGGCCGCGCGCGTCGACGGCAGCGGCGCCAACCTATTATTGAAGGAGTGCCCGTCCGCCGGCTTCTGCTCGCCCACCAAATACGCCGGCACGGGCAAGCCGGGCAACGACTACAAGTTTGCGATTCTGAGGGATGGTGGCGCGTATTTTTGCCATCGATGCGGCGGCAAGGGCTCGTGGTACGATTTGAGGTTGGGCATGTCCGGGGCGGTGCCCTCGTCCCTGGAGGGGGAGGTCCAGTCCACGCCGCGCGTGCGTTCGGGTGACACACCGAGGCCGGACGCCGCGATCGCCGCGCGGTGTCCCGTCGCGCTCTTCGACGCGCAAGGGAGTGAGGTCAAGCGGTATCTCAATGACACGCGCGGCTTGGACGATACTACACTAGCTGTCTACGGCGTGGGCTACGCTTCTCGCAAATTCCGGGACGGCGAGCGGTGGGTCGACGAGCCGTGCGCGACGTTCCCCTGGATCCAGGTTCCCGGCGACGGACCGGCGTCGACCGTGCGGCTGAAAGTTCGAAGTGTGCGCACGAAGCGGCACATGCGCGTCGAGCCCGCCGGTTTTTTTCCCGCGTCCTTGTTTTTTCCTTCTTTACGTTGTTGCCGCGAGACTTCACGTGTCGCCACGCCGTCGCCGCCACGCCGTCGCCGCGAGACTTCACGCCATCGCCGCGACTCGTCGTGAGCGTGCTGCACACAGGCGGCGACTGGGGCCTCTTCGGCCTGCACACCGTGCCGGCCGACGCGGCCGAGCTCGTCATCACGGAAGGCGAGTACGACGCGATGGCCGTCTACCAGGCGACGGGCCGCGCGGCGGTCTCGCTGCCGAACGGCGCCGCGTCGCTGCCGCCGGCGGTCCTGCCGTTGCTGGAGCGGTTCAAGCGCATCTTTTTGTGGTGCGACGGCGACGAGGTGCCGGCGCGGCGTCCGTCTCCTGTCTTCCTGTGGTCCGGTGGCGTGGGGTGGGGTGGGACGACGAGGTCCAGCGCGACCACCGGCACGCCATCACCGCGACCCGTCCGTACCTGCGGCCGCGGCGCCCACGAGCCGGCCGCTGACCTGGGGGAGAGGCCCCCGCACGCCATCGACGTGTAACTCACACAGGCCGGCGTGAACGCGGCGCGGAAGTTCTCCGCGAAATTGGGGCGGCACCGCTGCGTGGTCGTGCGGGCGCCGGACGATTGTAAAGATGCGAACGATTGTCTGAGGAAGGACCCTTCATTGGTCAAGCGCGCCTTGGACGACGCCGGCGCGCCGGACCATGACGGGTTGGTGTCCTTCAAGGAGCTGCGGGGCCAGGTCCTGCACGAGCTGCGGCACCCCGATTTGTACGTCGGCGCGCCTTTACCCTCTTTTCCGAAGCTTACGGGCCTGGTGAAAGGCGCAAGGCCCGGCGAGCTCACGTTGCTGACGGGGCCTTCAGGCGCGGGCAAGACGACACTGGCGTCGCAAATTTCCATTGATTTACTAGAGTCCGGCGCGCCGACGCTCTGGGGCTCGTTCGAGGTCAAGAACTCGGCGCTCGCCATCAAGATGCTGCGGCAGCAGGCGCGACGGCGCGACGGCCTGCCGAACGAGCCGCGGTTACTAGATGCATTGTGTGACGACTTCCAGCGGTTACCTCTCCATTTCATGCGCTTCCACGCGGCGACGGAGGTTGATGATGTTGTCGACGCGATGGAGTTCGCGGCCTACGTCCACGACGTCGAGCACGTCGTCCTGGACAACCTGCAGTTCATGACGCAGGCGGGGCCGCGCGACGCGTCGCGCTTCGAGGCCCAGGACCGGGCCATCGCGCGGTTCCGCGACTTCGCGACGCGGCGCGGCGTCCACGTGGTCTTGGTGGTCCACCCGCGCAAGGAGGACCCGACGCAGAAGCTGGCGCTGACGTCGATCTACGGCGGCGCGAAGGCGGCGCAGGAGGCCGACAACGTCCTGATCCTCCAGGCGCCCGCGCAGCCGGTGGCGCCGGGCCACGCGTCGTCGCAGCAGTCGCAGGCGCCCATCCCGAAGTGGGTCGAGGTCGCGAAGAACCGCTACGCGGGCACGCTGGGTTCAGTGATGATGGCCTTCAACGACACGACGTGCCGGTACTACGAGCTTTCCGCGGGCGCGTCGGCCTCGTCGGCGTCGGGCGCGGCGGTGAGGTAATCTTGTTTTCTCTAGTTTCCTTTTTGAAGTGCCCTTGTGTTTGTGGTCGCTATTTTTGCTACTACTTACGTACTCCCAGACGACGGCTGCGTTTCGCGGGCGCGGAGCGCGGCTCGCGCGTTTCGCAAATCATTCTCGATCCTTTCTGTGAGCGGGTGCGCGCCACCCATCACACGGCGCGCGATCCGTTCAATTTCCTCGAACGTCGTCACGCTTTCGCGCAGATCGTCAAGCGTGGCGGCGGCGTCCTGGGCCACACGTGGGCCGTCGGGACGCGGGCCGAGCTCGACGCGGCCGGGTGGGCTGAGGAGGCCTACCCGAACGAAGACGTCGCGGATTATTAGGGGCGCGCATCTCAAGAAAGTAAAACTTCCAAAAATTAGTCCGACTTCTCCCCCGCGGCCGCGGCCGCCGCGTCGTCACCATGGCTGACGCCGTCGCCGTTGGCCGGCCGCCGCCGCGCGACGCTCCCGTTCGTTTTGGACACGGCGCCCTCGTCGGCCAGCGGCGGGTTGTCGAAGTAGCCGGTCTGCCTGAGCTCGGCGACGATCGCCGCGTCCGTGAGGCCGCGGCGCCGCTTCATCCCCGCGAAGACCCCCGTCCAGCCGGGGTACGTCCGAAAGTCGGGGCCCTTGCGGTACTCGCGCGCCGACTTTTCGAGGTTCGTCTCGCCGGTCTTCGCGAGCGACGCGTAGATCCACAGCAAAATACCCACGCCCAGCGCGATGCCGAGCGACACGGCGGCGATGAGGACGAGGCCGCCGTCGCGCGTCGCCGCGCTTTGCCGGAACACGGACATCGTCGTCACGACGCCGGGGCTAAAGCGCGAGCTTCGGATAAAACGACTGAGCTCGTCCTTGCCCAAATCGCCGCCGCCGCGCCAGCTGTACGTCGCGATGAGCTCGAAGACGGCGTAGATCACGACGAACCACGTGCCCGCGCAGACGCTGAACAGGAAGACGACAAAGTCCGAGAGATTGTCCGCGCCGACGCAGTTGTGCAGGAACGCGCAGTGGTGGTCCATCTTGTCGACGCACACGGAGCACGTGCTACAGTGGTGCGTCCGCGGCGGCTTGAGGTTGTTGCAGACGTCGCACCACGGCAGGCGCTCCGGCGCCAACGCCGCGCGATCCGTCGCCGGCGCGACCGCGCGGAGCCGCCGCGCCCACTCGTCCTTCGCGCACCGCGGCACGGCGCCCGGCGTCGACGTCGCGGCGCGCCGGAAGGTCGCCGTCGCCATCACCGACAGGACCAGCGATACGGTCCAGGCGAGCAGCCAGAGCGGCCAGGCGTAGTCCCTGCGCGAGCTACGTCTTGGCGCCGTCGATGCGACTCTCGTGGCGACTCGACGCCGTCGATGCGACTCTCGAGGCGACTCGGCGCCGTCGATGCGACTCTCGTGGCGACTCGACGCCGTCGATGCGACTCTCGAGGCGAATGTATCCGTAAAAACTGACGCCGGGACCGCGCCGCGAGATCATCGGTAAAAAAAAGAGCAGGCCCGACCCCACGATGCCAACGAGCGCCGTCGTGGCGATGGCGTTCGTGATTCGCGAGAAGTAGAAGCGGCACAGCCCGCAGTAGAGAAGGCCCGGCACGAAGCCGCGCGCGTAGTTCGGCCGGCCGTTCACCTTGCGACAGTGGCCGCAGCGCCAGTACTTTGAGTGCTCCTTCGGCAGGCTGAGGAGGGTCTTGCAGTGGTAGCAGGCCGTCTGCTTGGCGTCCATTTTTGAGTGACTCGCTGGGTCGCCGGTGCTTTCCCGCGCCTCTGAGATTTTTTACTGCTTGTGCGGTTTGTTGGTGCGTCGCGCGTCTCTAACGCTACTGGCCCTGGCAGGTCGCGTGCCGCCGCGCCCTGCGATCCCCGCGCGCGCGGATTTTGGCAGCCTTTTGTGCAAAAGTGGCAGCCTTGCTGTTGAATCACGCAGCTGCGCCTCCGCTTTGCTTTAAGGGGTCGCGACGGCCACTTTGAGGGTTTTTGGAGTTGTCGCGCGTCTTTTTTGCGTCGCGACTCGCGTGTCGCGCGGGTGCCATTTACTCTAAATAGGGTTTTTGCTCGGGTCAATTCAGGGAGCAAGGAACGACCGGCGAAACCAGATGCAGCCCATTATCAGATCGCGCAAGATCGCCGGTTCAATTCTCCCATTTGTACGGAGTGATCTCCCGGCCATGAATACTTTTCTTCGGATAAGTTCGTGTCGTACGCATTAAAACGCGTGCACCATCTAGTGGTTAGGACGAATATTCGTTACTTCAACGAAATTCCAATTGCGCTTGACAATAAGGCTGTATTTTTTGCATTTTTTTACCTCTCTACCCAGTACCCCCCCCTTAGAACGAGTTTGCAGTATTTTCAGGAAAATAGGCAGCGACGCCCACATTTTTCCTTCTCACACCCTTACCATAGAGTTAGCAGCCTAAAATCGACCTCCAGGACAGCTCCGACCGCCGCAGTCGCGAGACACCCAACACTTGGGGCAGCATCTCGACGACGACGCCGTCGAGCACCAATAACAAAGAAAGGGGCAGCCAAACAATGACAGACGTCAACTTCGACGAATTCCAAGCCATACGACGACGAAAAGCCCAGGACGACGAGGAGGATGAGGACACAAAAGAGGAACCAGCAGCCACACCCAAAGAAGAGGAGGAGGAGGAACCCGACGGCCTCGCGGAGCGCGCCGGCGCCTTCGCGGAGCTGCCCGAGGTGCAGCTGCTGCTCTGCGTCGCGATCCTCGCGGACGTGGCGGGCGCGGCCGTGACGGCGGCGCGCGACGACGGCGCTCCAGCGTTTTTGGTCAGGGCGGCGGCGGCCTTCCCGGGCTTCGTGAACTTCCTGTACGCCTTCGAGCTGCTGGCGCTGGCGACGGCCTTCAAGCTGCGCATGCTGACGCACCCGGGGCTGCTGCTCGACGTGGGCATCGTTTCCGTACCTCCGGCGTCCTTTGTTTTTTTCGGCGCGTCGATGGCGTTATGGAGGGCGCACGTCGCGTCGATGGCGTCCGGGGTGGCCCACATCCATGGCTGGCCGCCGTCGACGCGGCTCCACCGCCATCGAGAGATAATTCGTCGAGCTATCCAACGCCGCCGTGAGAGGACAGAGTTGGTGTGAAGATGGCACTGGACGCCATCGACGCGGTCTTCGCCAACGTCGCTACGCCGCCACCGCGACAGAATAAAAAGGACAAAAAAACACAGGCCCTCTTCGCCGCCGACCCCGAAGGCAACACCAACACGATCCGCCTCTTGGGCTTCTTAAGGTTGTGGCGCCTGAGCCGCCTCCACGAGACGCTCGTCGCGGCGGAACGGACGCGAACCGAGGAAAAGGCGCAAGAAGCGCGGACGGAGCGCGAGCGCGCGTTAAGAGCAGAGGTCGAGCGCGCGCGATTGGAAGGCGTCGCGGCCGAGAGCGCGAACGCACGCCAAAGATTAGAGAAGATGGCGCGCGCGTTCAAGGACGAGATCGACACGCTCAACGAGGCTTTAGTGATCGCCGCGCGGGACATCGCCGAGGCCGCGGACTCGGAGATCGAGTCCGAGAACGAACGAGAGGGCGGAGATGTACAAGAGGCGTACGCGCGCGCGCCGAAGGACCTGCGGCGGGCCGAGCCGCGGCCGCCGAAGCAAAAAGCCCCCACTCGCTTCGTCGTGGACCCGTCGGGCGCCTACGAGGCGAAGGAGTAACGACCTGAATTGTTTTTGGGGAGGGGTCGCGGCGATGGCGTCTAGCTCTTCGTACTTATAAACAAAACAGAATCAGCGCCGGCCAAACGACGTGTTCTGGACGTCCGGCGCCGCGGGCAGCGCCTCGGGCCGGTCGCCGTCGGTCGGCAGCTCGAGCGTCGCGACGGCGCCGCCTTCGGCGGACGCGAGCGTCAGCGCGCCGCCGTAGTGCGCCGCGTAAAGTTTTGACATGGGGAGACCTGTGTGGAAATATTGCATGGACGTTCGTGAGCCTCCACGCCATTGAGCCGACGCGATCACGAGGACAACATCGCGTCGACGGCGTGGCGAAATTTGATTTCCACACAGGGGCAAACCCATGCCGACGCCCGAAATGGGCTTTTGTGAGCCCGAGTTGTAGGACCCGCCCGGCTCGTCGAGCCGGTCGTAGCGCGACGACAGGTCCGGCCGGATGCGCAGCAACGCGTCGGGATCCTCCAGGCCGCCGCCGTGATCGACGATGGATATGGTCGACGCCGCGAGCGCGATCTCGACCGGCGGCAACTCCTCGTCCCAGGCGTCCGAGTTCGGCCCGTGCTTCGCCACGTGCTTCTCGATGGTGGCCACCAGCGCGTTCTTTAGTAGCTCGCGCACGACGTGCGTCGCGTGCGCCGGGACACACGCCGCCGCCGAGCCGTCGTCCGCGATGGACACGGGCGGCGGGTCCGCGAGGTCGTAGGCGTGCTCGCAGACAAGCTGCGCGTCGCCCACCGCCGCCCCGACGACGTTGATGAGCTTGGCGTCGAGGCGAGCGGCGCCCGTGCCGTGCGCCGGCGGCGCGGCCAGCGTCGCGCCGGGGTTCTCGAGTTCCGGCGCGTGGGCCAGCAGGTGATTCCGCAGCACCGTCGACGCGCCGATGTGCGCCGCAAGGAGGTCCTCGAGCAGGCCCGCCGCGGAGACCGGCACGTTGCCCTCGCGCAGCGCGTCGACGACGCTCGGCACGAAGGACGAGTGGCGCTCCTCGATCGACTTGAACGAGCGGTGCAGCGCCGCGATGTCGGCGTCCGAGGCGCGCGCCGCCGCGGCGATCTCGTCGCCCGCGGCCAGCTCCGTCGCGACGCCCTTGTAGAGCGCCGTGAGCGTGCCGAGGTCGCGGTTCGTCGGCGCCGTCGCCTCCAGCGCGGTGCAGCGCGCGACCTGCTCCTCGACGCGATCCGACAATTCGACGTGCGCGCGCTGCGCCGCTTTGATCAGATCCGGGTCCTCCGCGTGTTCGACCAGTTGCTGCAGCGTCCGCGGCGTCGTCGCCATGCATCGTTTGACGGCTCGCGCCGTTGCGCGACGAATGGTGAGCACTGCTCGCATGGTGTTTGTGGTCCAGGAATGTCCAGACACGAGTGTGCAGCAATGAGGGCAAAGAGGTAGCGATGACAAGTTTTGTGGACGCAGCGAGCTGTGGGCGCAGCGATGTGATTCGTGCGCGGCGCGGCAATGCTCGTACTTCAGCAATGTGCGCACGCGGCGGCACGACCTCGAGTGGTGGGCTTTTGTCTAGTGCCTAAGGCCGCTAGCTGCCCGCGCAAAAATACAGGTGATGGTCTTTACAGGGGACTAGACACAATGATTTCGGGGACTGGACAGGGGAACAATGATCAGGGCGCCTTCTGGAACGTCCAGAGCACGAGCCGCCCCTCGACGAGGACCTCCCGGTGCAGCCGCAGGCCGTGCTTCGCGGCCGACGTCGCCGCCTCGAAGTCGATCTTGTCGAGGTAGCCGTTCAGGTACGGCTCGCCGCTCAGCATGATCGGCGACGGGTTGTACTCCGGGTGGATGTCGCAGAGCGCGAGCGTCCCGCCCGGCGCGAGCAACCGGAAGCCCTCGCGCAGGATCTGGCGCCGCGCCGCCGCCGGCGCCTCGTGGAGCAGGAAGAAGACGGAGACGACGTCGGCCTTGCCGCCCGCGAGCCCCGTCGCCTCGGCGTTGTGCCTTTTATAAGTCACGTCGTTGCAGAAGTCCAGCGAGCCCGTGTTCGTCAGGTCCCTCGCCGCCCGCAGCATCTCGGGCGACGTGTCGACGCCGACGACGGACGCCTGGTACCTTTTTCGCAGCGATCTAGCCGTGGCGCCCGTGCCCGTGCCGAGGTCGACGCAATTCGTCACGGGCGGCGCGCCGACGATGGTTCGCGCCGCGTCGACGACGTCCCAGGCCGCGTTGCGCCTGTGTCGAAATCAACCAGTGAGTTAGGCGCGGTTACATCTCCGCGTCGATGGGTGGAAACTCCACGCCATCACGCCATCACGCAGACGCAGCGACGGGTACAACATCGCTTCGATGGCGTGGGTCGCCAAAAAATTGATTTCCACACGGCGTTGCGCGTGTCCAAGCCGCCGTACGCGAAGGCGTCCAAACCCGCCGTGAACGTCGGCGCGAGGAACGCGTGCACCGCGCCCGAGGACCCGACGTTGCCCCAGCCGTGGATGCGCGGGTCGGCCCAGTACTTCAAAGCCAGCTCCGGGAAGTCGGTCTCGTCCTTGTAGCTCCGCTGCTCCGTCGGCTCGAGCGCCGCGGGCGTGAAGGCGCACGGCTTGTTCTTCGCCCACTTCAGGACGTTGTTCTTGGCGTCCTTCGGGAGCGGCGGCGTCGTCGGCGCGCTCGCGCCGGCGTCGTCCTCCGAGGACGCGAGGTTGGCGCTGGCGCCGTTGTTGAAGTCGTCGGCTGTCGGCGGCGGCGCGCCGGTTCGTGTGAGTTTCGGCGACGACGCGACGCGCCCGCTGTCCGCCGCGGTCGTCGCAGCGTCTGTTTCCGAGTCGACGGACGACAAGGGCGTTTTTGGCGCGAAGAGCGTCGGCGCTTCTTGTTGGCCTGACAGCGGTTTTACGCGCTTGTTGTTATTGAATAAAGGCCGCAACGCTGTCGCGGCGGTCAGCGCGAGTAACACGACAAGGCTCTTCATTAGTTATTAACCACAGCGCGAGCACTACGAACAAAACACAATTTTGAGTGCGGTCACCAGCCGCGCTCTGCCGCAACGGACATAAAAAAAGGGACGCAGAAAGACGCCGGCCCCCGATTTCGGACGCTTCCGAAGCAAAAACGACGCCTCCCCGACCACCGGAAGCAGCGCCAGACGAACCCCCGGGGGCGTGGAGATGGGCTGCTTCCGTCGCGACGAAATGCAAGCTCTACAAGACAAACGCCGCCGAAACGCCACAAAAGCAAACGCCGCCGAAGCGAAAAAAGCAAGAATCGGAGAATAATATTAAACAAAAGAGACAGGCATGGACGTCGGCGACACGGGCGAGTCGACGGTACGAGACCGTCGAGGCGGCGCGGGCCCGAGCGCCGCGGACCGGACAAACAGCCCAAATCCCAGCGCCAGTAGCGCGGCGAGGAGCCCCATGGCGCCGGCATAAACACGCCGCCCGTGGAAGTAGGCGAAGGCTAGATTCGCGAGGACGTGCGCGGCCGCCGCCAAAGCTTCACAAGCCCCAAAGGCCACGCCGACGGACGACGCGCTGCATAAAGTAGCGCGCAGCCGCGCCAGCAGTAACGTGGGCAGGACCGCATGACCTAAAGCGACGCAGCCCACGCAGCCCAGGAGTTGGATCCGCGACACGTCCGCGCAGAGGGCCAAGACGGCGAGCGCCGCTATGCCCAGCATGAGTGCTGTGCAGGCGTTGCGCTGGGCCATCGACGCGCGGTCCGCCAATTTACCGGCGTAGGGCGCGAGCACCGCGCTTAACAAAGGTACGCTTGAGGCCATCAGACCCGCCGTGCGCACGTCGTAACTAAACCGCTGCACGAAGATGGCCGACGAGAACTGCTCGAAGACCTTGAAACTCCCGAAGACGCAGGCGTGCGCGCCGGCCACCAGCCAGTACCGCTGCGACGCGAAGAACGGGCAGTCGGCGGGCCGCCGTCGCGCCCGTCGCACGGACGAGGCCGTCGCGGCCGCCCCCAGCGACAGCGTCTGCACCGCTAACGCCGCGGCGAGCGGTGTTGCCACTGTGCCCGTTTTAACGGCCAAGGGCGCCGCCGCCGCGCGGCCCGCCCACGCGCCGAGGTTCGCGAACGCGGCGAGCACGCCCTGCGCGTAGGCCTGGTCCTCCTTCCTTTCGGAAGCAATCGCCCGCGACGCAACAACTAAACACCCGTGCCCGACGCCGAGCACGACGCCGCCCGCCAGCACCGCCGCCGGCGAGCCCTGCACGAGCCCACCCGCGCAGATGGCGCCGCCTAATAAAGCGACGGAGGCAAACACGATGGCCGCCCGCCGCGGGTGCGCGTCGAAGGCGAGGCCCCCCAGTAAGGGGGTCACGGTCGCGCCCGGCGCGCCGATCGCGGCCATGAGCGCGCCGTAGCGCGCCGCGCCGAGCTGCAGTAAGGGTTGCAGCGACGCCAACGCGTTCTTGAAGCAGTGGCCGCCGACGGCCATGGCCGACAGGCGCGCGAGGTCGCAGGCGATCGCCTCGCGCCGTCGTCGTCCTATCGTCACGGCGGGGAGGCTGGAGTAGTAGTCCGGTTTCTTCGTCGCGAGCCGCGCCGCCTCCGTGGGGAGCGCCGGGGCGTCGGACGGGTCCGGCATGAGCTCGGCTTCGGCCGGCGGCCGGCACATGGTTGCTGTCTCACTGCTGCAAGCGGAATCTCAATCTGACTCCAAACACAGAACTGTCAAGGTGTGACGGCCGTCCGCCGTAGGGGGGGTCCCTGGGGGTCGCTGCGGGTCTTGATAGCTTGCGTTTAGGGCCGGCACGAGCCGCTATCGCGCATCGAGGAGAGGACACGCGCTTCGGCATCGTGCGGGTTCACACGTCTCCCTTTCGCAGAGACCGCGTATGGGGCCACGGGAGCTGCCTGACGCCCGCGAACAAGCTGCGGGAAGCTCGGCTGTGTTCGCGGGCGCGCCGGCGGCGACCGCGGTCCCGTCTCTTGACTTTTTGATGGGACTCTTGCTTCGTGATGGACCTGCAGGTTCTATACTTGAGTCCTCGCTCTGCTTACGACGGTCGAGCTCAAATGGCTTGATCAGACCAGACGGGGTCCCGCGGCCCACCCACGGGTGGGATGAGGCTCGAATTTGGCCTCGCTGTCGCCCTTTGGGGTCACTCTTCTGTTTCATCCGGCACGCGAAGAGAGGTTTGATGCGTCGATGGCGTAAGAGGCCGCCGGATGAAGGCCGCGGCGCGGCGCGAGCTCAGCCTACACCTATGGGCAACACATCCTCTCAACCCCGGAGCCTCATCGACGCGCGTAAACAGAAGCAGTACCGCGGCGCGGGCAAACCCCCCGAGAGCCGCCGACGCGACACCAAGAAAGCTTCAAACCACCAATCCTTACGAAGGACAAGGGCACCTATCGCGACGCCGGCACCTCCTCCCTCTGTTCAACCTCCTCCTCCTCGACGGCCTGGTCCTTCTTCTTGAGGACGTTGCCCCACGACGCGAACTGCTCGAAGGTCTTGGCGCTGAACATGGCGCCGACCATCCGGCCAAACCCTTCCCGCGATCGGCCCACATCCCCATTGAACCGCGCGACGACCTCGGCCGGGTCGGGCCGCGGCCAGATCTTGGGAAAGTGCGGGTCCGTCAGCGGGTCGCCGTGCTTCAGCGAGTGGCGGCCCATGTCCGCGAATTCCACTTTTTCTTTGTCGACGTACGTCGCATCGTCGATCGCGACGGTCCCGCCCAGCACCCGCCGCTTCATGGAGCCCCAGTCCTGGCTGGTGGGGCCGTCGATCTTGTGGATCGTCCGCGCGTGCCAGACGATCAGATCGCCGGCCTTCGGTCGGAAGGTCGTGAAGTCGTGATATTCGGGCAAATCGCCCTCGTCGATGTTCACAAACACGGCATCTTCCGGCACGCACTTGTTGTTCTGCGACTTCTTGAGGTAGACGGGCGCGCCGTAGTCCTTGGGCGAGTCGTCCATCGTGACCCACCACCTTAACGCATTATCGAAGCCTGTGTGTGCATGGATCCGTGAGTTTCGCGTCGCGGCGATGGCGTGGAGGTCGTGATTCAGCCGCGTGTGGCGCCACGCTATCGAGCAGGCGCCGCGTCGATGGCTCGCGAGGCGCCACGGCGCGCGTCGATAGCGTGCCGGCGCTCGACTCGCCGTCGCGGCGGCGTGCGAGCGTCAGAGGCGGGCCGCGGGCGCGCTCGACGAACGCCGCACGTCGAGCCAAGCGCAAGTCGCGAAGGAAGCAAAAAAACGGGGACGCCGCGAAACGAACCGACGGGCCCGTTCTGGTTGTCCTGGTGCCACTTGAAGCCCTTGTTCGGGTTCACCATCAGTAAGTCGGTAGTCACTCGTACCGAGTCCTTGGCGCCCCCGAGCTGCGCGAGCGCCGTCGACACGGGCGAGTGGTACAAAAACTTGATGAACGCGTCGTTCGTCGTCCAGATGTTGCGCTGGATGTAATCATATAAACCCGACGCGACGCCCGGCGACGCCCAGATGTGCGGGTGCTCGACCTGCCAGTCGGTGATCTCCCGCAGGTGCGCGAGCCATTCTTTGTTTAACAATCCCGGGATGACCACCACGCCTTCCCGCTCGAGCTCGGCCTTCTGCTCGGCCGTGATCTCGAAGGGCGCCGGCGTCGGGTTCCGCTCGTCGCAGCCGGCGGGCAGCGCGACGCCGGGGTCCTGGTTGTTGTACACATACTCCCAGACATTCACGTCGATGCCGTGCCTTCGGATGCCAGTCCTCGGCGGCGCCGTGCGCGCGGGCGGCGCGACGAGCGCGAGCGCGAGCGGCAGGGCCGCCGCGGCGGCGTAGATGCGCGAGGGAGCCATGGTGCTGTGTGCCGCGCGCGCGCTTTTCGTAGCGCTGCGACGGGCGGCTGTGGGTCGTCTGGACCGTACAGCAGTGAGATCGCACGGCTGCGTCGCGCGTTGCTATGGATTCGGCTGCAAATGGCACGAGACCAAAAAGTAAAGCAGGCTTGGATCGTGGTACGCCATCGGGTCAATCACTCACAGAAGCGTCGCTGGGGCCCGGCTGCAGCGCCTTCAGGACCCCTCGGTCACGCTTGGACCGGGGAGAAGAGGCCTCTCTCTCGTTCGGGTTCCTAGTAGAGTGAGCTCTAGAGGGGTTGAGGAGAGGAGCCCGAGCTTGGACAGCGCAGAGTCCTCTGTAACGGCGCAATCCACATAACAGAAGCGCGTATACCCGCCGCGAGAGCTGCCACGACCGCGCAGTTGCTGCAAGGCCAAGCGCCGCGTCAAAAACGATGAGGTTGATCCCGGTCTTGCTGCCGAGCCTGGCCACGGCCTTGGTGGCGCCGGCGCGCCCCCTCACGGTGACCCCGGCGCGATTAGCCCCCTTGCAAGCCGGCGCCGTCGCCGACGCCGAAAAACTGAAGGTGGCGCCCAAGCTCGAGAGCCCGCCCGTCGACTCCAGCGGCACGCTCCCGAAGGTGAACGGCGGCATCGTCATCGGCACGCGCAAGCTCGCCGTCGTGACGGGCGCGTCGTCCGGTTTAGGGTTGTACGGCGCCTTGTCCCTCGCCAAGCGCGGCGACTACTACGTGGTCCTCGCGTGCCGGAACGTCGAGCGCGCCGAGCGCGTCGCCAAGGAGATGGGCTTCCCCGCCAACAGCTACACGGTCATCAAGTGCGAGCTCGGGTCCTTCAAGAGCGTGCGAGACTTCGTTTTTAATCTCAGAGCCTTCAAGGGGCCCCGAGGGCTAGATGCTCTGGTTTGCAACGCGGCCGTCTACCTGCCGGTCCGCGCCGCGGCGTCTTCATTGATCTTGAACGTGACGTCTTCGTGAGACCACGCCGCCTCGACGGCGTCGACGCGGCCGTCCGAGATTCGACGCGTCTCGCGAGAGCGCCGCGGCGGTACGGGTGAACCGCCGGACACCCACAAAGGGGACCCAAAGATCACAAAACCACCACGCAGGCGGACCCCAAACCCAGATTCACGGAGGACGGCTACGAGATGTCCATGGGCGTGAACCACCTGGGCCACTTCCTCCTCACTCAATTACTCATGTCCGACCTCGAGAAGGCGAAGAACGCGCGGTGTATCATCGTTGGTTCGATTACGGGCAACTCCAATACCATCGGCGGTGGTTTAGTGTATCCTCGAGCCGATTTGGGCGACCTGTCCGGCCTCAAGGCCGGACCGGGTTCGGAGATGGCCGACGGCAAGCCCTTCTTCGGCGCCAAGGCCTACAAAGATTCGAAGGTCTGCAACATGATGACGGTCCAGGAGATGCACCGCCGCTTCCACGACAAGACGGGGATTACGTTCTCCTCCTTGTATCCTGGGTGTATTGCGGAGACAGGGCTCTTCAGAGAAAAGCGGGGCTGGTTCCGGTCGCTCTTCCCGGTCTTCATGAAGTACGTGACGGGAGGGTACGTCTCGGAGGCCGAGGCCGGAGATAGATTGGCCCAGGTCGTGTATGATCCGGTGGCGTCGAAGAGCGGCGTCTACTGGTCGTGGAACGGCAACGCGCAGCAGGTCGGGCTGTACGATCCCTCTTCCGGTAGCGTCAAGGGCGCGGGCGGCTCCGGGGGCGAGATCTTCGAGAACAAATACTCCTCGTCGACGGCGGACGAGCGGACCGCGGCGGAGATGTACGAGGCGTCGATGAAGGCCTGCGGCCTCGCATGAGCCTCGGACAACATTGCTGCTGTTTTCCCTCCGTCGTCTTACCCCCGTTCATAAATGATGAATAGTGAATTCGTTCTTCCGCGACTGCCCCGCCTTTGCGGCGATGGCGTCGAGCCGTGTTGCTTAGAGCTTGACCGCACGCCCGCCCTGCCCCCGGTCCCCATACGCCGCCACGGTCACCCCGAGTGTTAGCTCGGAGGCGACGACGGCGAGGGGGGAGCAGGCCGGACGCCGGAATCCCAAGGCCGCGACGGTGGCGCATCGGGGGCCGCCGCGGTATAGCTGTTACGGAGCTAGGACTAGTGGGCGGTGCACCCTGGGGGAGGCACACTCGGGCGATGGCGTATGAGGGCCAGGGGCGGCCGGGCAAACGGTCGCGCAGCCCCTACGTCGGCTCCGCGGCTAGGAGGCATGCCCCAACGTAGGGGGCGTATCTAGTACAAGTGCTTAGGTCAGCGGCGAGCCGTCGTCGTCGGGCGGCGGCGGCGGCGCGAAGGGTGCCGGCGCCGGCGCGAAGCCGACGCGCGTCGAAGAGGGCGTCGCCGTCGGCGTCGCGCCGGGGTCCGGCCGCGACGGGTCGTCGGGGAAGTCCCACTGGTGCTCGGGCGCCTTGCCCAGCCTCAGATTCTGTCTATCTTGGGTAATCTTCCGCCGCCCCTCGAGCAGGCGGTAGATGCGCCGCTTGATAGGAAGAATTCGCGAGTACTGGAATTGAGCTTTCACATAGAGCACCGCGGCCTCCTGCGGGATGCCGAACTGGGCCGTCGTCGTCGCCGTCGGTCGCAAGATTGAGAGAGTCAGGGCCTGCTTCCTCTGGTCGGATAAGTCGGACAAGGCTATAGTAGTAGAGCCTCGCTTGAGTCTTTTCGCGTGGTCCATGATCTCGATGAAGATCTCCGCTTTGCTTGTTTTCACTGGTGCGAGCGAGAAGGTCTGGTTGAAGACCATGCGCGCGCCCGCGCTCCGCAGGTCCTCCGGGAGCTCATTGGAGCGCGGCGGTTTTTTGGCCGGTTTCGAGACCTGGGGCGCCGGGCCGGGAGGACCTTCGTAGGCTCGTTGATGTCTCGGAGTAGGATCGCGCACGTGCACGACCGCTCTACAAGAAGAAGCATTGACGGGGTCGTGGCGCTGGCCGACGTTCTCGGCCTCGAGTACCGTTAAAGTGACCATGCCTAGGGCCAGGCCCGGCGTCCTTCTGGAGTACGAAACCCCACAATCTTCATTAAAGACCTCGGTCTTGCACGCGACTCTGTACTGTGATCGTGCGATCGTGACATCAGACTCACAAGCTCGCAATTTCTCGTCCAAGTAAGCGATGCGTGACCGTGTAAATGGAGACATGCCATCCGTCGTCGACTGCGACCGCTCCCTAACTTCGCTCCGGTCGACGTGGCCCCGCTTCAGGCCCGCCACCTCGTCCTCATCGTCTTCGAAGACCTCTTCGAACCTACAGTGCTTGTGCCGGTCGACGACGTGCTCCTGGCGCTTCTGGATCTCTTCGAGCCGCGTCGGTATGCCCGTCGAACACAGGTGGGCTAGAGCTTTGGTCAGGAGTAGGAGTTGTTCGACCACAAAAAAAGCGCACAGTTTCTCATTCGAGGACCAGTCCTCGAGGGACTTCGTCGTATACACAATGATGCCGGCGTTCGTGAACACGGCCAGCAACGACATGGTGTCCATGAGCGTGCCCCACGAGCCCACGGTCTCCGCGGGCGTCGGCGTCGGCCGCTGCGAGTCACAAACGAGTCCATAGGCGTCGACGCGCATCTGCAGCAGAATTTCTAAAGCGGCCAACAACGGCATGTAGTAGAAGCCCAAGGACCACATACAAACTAAACCCATCTGCAAGACGATCTCCGCGTAGTCGTCGAACAGCCCCTCGTATTCCTCGAGCTCCGCCTCGTCCACAAAGGCCGGGTGCTCCAAGGCTTTCAGCCGGTCTCCCTCCTCCACATCATCATGCATCGGGTTCTCTCCATCGTTATCTTCATTAGTATCGGCCTCCGGGAGCACGAGCTTGAGGAAGGCCTTGTAGGACCTCGAAACGCAGCCGCCGCCCACAATCCCCCACAGGGCTAAGGCAAACCTAACCCCGAAAATGACGCCCGTCAGGCGCTTCAGGTCGCTCAAACAGTTGTCGTCTCCACTAATGCAGCCCCAGTACCAGCCCTTGAAGAAGGCTGTGAGTGCTAGCGAACTATAGTTGTTCATAATTTCAAACGCAAAAACTTTCAACACCAAATTGTTGTCGTAGTTCGTTTGCGTCTGGTAGTTCTCGGATTCGTTCAGGTAGTAGGCGATGGGGTTGTACAGGCGCGAGAACCATTGGATCAGGATCGCGATGAGCAGCGGCAACACGTAGCCCGCGAGCGACGCCGGCAGCACGTCCAACAACTTGTACTCCAATTCAAAAATCAACGCGAAGATCACCAAGATCAGCAAGGCCAACAATGCCACAATAATTGAATTGAAAAACTGCGTCCGCGCCCGCTTCTCCGCCGGGTAGTAGGTCTCGTTCTGGTTCGTGATCGGCGACAGCCTTCTAGGCTCGTCCGCGTCTCCCACAAACTGCGGCCGGTCGGCCTCCTCCTCCTCGAAGTCCAGCATGCCCCACTTCGTCGCGCACCACTGCTGCTCGACGTCCCAGCCGTCCTTATATAAGGCGGACCAGGCCACGAGGAAGAACGCTAAACTGACCTGGACGGGCTTCCACCAGCCCTCGTCGTCTGCTGATTGGCCGGTCACGAATTCGTAGATGCCCGCCGCCGTGAGCACGATTGTTGGGGTCGTCAATGAATAGCCGTAGTAGCCCAACCACGCAAAATATAACGCCACCTGTTCCCCGAAGTACGCGCGGATCTCCATGAGCGGCTGCGCCCACGGCCTCTCCCAGTACTGGCACGCCTCGCCCTTGTCGATTTGCGGCATGCTGACGCGCGGCGCGCCGCAGTCCCGGGGACCCGACCGCCAAAATAAAACCCAGTGGTCGCTGAACCATTCCAGAGTTAATGATTCTCCGGCATTGGCGTCGTGCAGCGCGAGGCACTGCTCGACGACCTTGTGCTCCACCAACACGCCGAAGTCGAAGTGCTCGTCCATGATCTTCGACGTGAGGTAGAGGCGGTCCTTGGGCAGGAAGAGCGTCTTGCCTCGGACCGAAGGGTACTCGTCATACAAGTGCCGCGATTCGGGCGCCGTCGTAAAGTCCGCGTGGGCCGGGAACCGGTTCGTCACCGGCACGCGGTCCGCGATTCTTTCCAGAGTGTGCACGCGCCGCGACCAGTGTTTTTTGGTAGGCTCGGCCTCGTCGAAGACGGCCGCGTCGTTCGGGCCCACCTTCCCGGCCCGATACAAATCCTCTAATAGTTCATTGGCCTGGTTCTTCTCGTACAAGATACTCTCCTCGACGATCTCGCAGAAGATGGGCTTGCCCTCGGCGTCCTGGTCGGCGGACTTGCGCCAGAACTCGGGCCCGGGGTCGACCTCGCCCCGGAACTTGAGCTTGTGGTTCAGCTCGTCGGCCTTGCGCTCGAGGAGCGCCATGGGCGCGCGCACGCGGCAGAAGACCTTCGAGCCGTCCTGCGCGAGCGTCAGCTCGAGCTGCAGGCCGGCCTTCGTCAGGCGGTCGACGACGTGCTCCCGCACGAGCCCCTGCAGGGCCGTCAGGGGCACGGTGTCGCCGCCCTCCGCGCTCGACACGGTGTCCGTCCGGAAGCGCGACACCCACTCCTGCCGGAGCCACTCGATGCCCGCCGTCTTCCGGTCCTCGTCGCCGGGGATGGCCTGGAACCAGAGCGTCTCGATCTGGCACCAGCTGATGCGGTCGCCCTCGGCCTCGCTCTCGTCGTCGTCCGGCCGCGGGAAGACCAAGAGGAAGTCGTACTTGTCGCACGTCGGGTCGAACTGCACGCCGTCGCTGTCCGTCGGGTAGTTCCGGCTTCTCCGCTTCTTCTGGCGGTCCCCGGGGAAGTTGTAGACGGCGCCGCCGTCCACGAGGCTCTCGCGCAGCTCGCGCTGGCGGCTGGACACGAGCCCCATGCTTGGGCTGCCCCTGCGGGCCGCCCCTTTTATGAATGAGACCTGGTGGTCTGTGCAGCCTCCGCTCGCCGGCTGCCGCCGGGAATTGGCCTCTCCAAGGAGGAGGATGGCTGTGTTGGCTGTGAATCGAAGCTCGCGGGTTCGATCAACCGCACGCCAGCGGAGGAGCGCTCGCGTGGCGCTCCGACGGCTCGCCCGACGATGGCATCGTTGGGGTTTTGAATCCATTTTTTTGGTCGGGACGACTGGGGGGCAGCAGCACAGCGTCTCGGGCAGCCTCGCGACGATGGAGGCGGCCACCAGCGATGGGTCCGCGAGCAGCAGCGTGGTCCCCTCGTCGAGCGGTGCGACGACGCCGACGCGGTCGAGCACCGTGGCCTCCGCTCAGACAAATGACAGTGAGGCCGAGGCGGCGGCGGCCGAGGCGGCGGCGCTGCGGGTCGAGATGGCGGCGCTGCAGGAACGGCTCGCCCGGGCCGAGGCCAAAGAGCGAAGTTGCCGGGCGAAGGCCGCCGTCGCGGACGCGGACGCCGGACCGGCGCCGGAGGCCGACGCGCCGACGATGCTCGTCACCGAGTTCGAGGGATATGAGGAGGGCCCGCCCGACGAGTTACAACGCATGCAAGTATTAAACGAAGACGGCGAGCTCGTGGACAAGCCGCCCCTCGACGAGGCGGAGCAGAAGCGTCCCATGGCCGAGCACGACGCGCACCTCGCGGGGCTCGCGAAGACGGCGCTGGCGCACCGGCGGAAGGGCCGGTACAAGGCCGCCGCCTCATCCAGACTCGAGGCGCTCTCGTACGCGCGGAACGTCCACCGGGCCCGCGCGCAGGGCCTGGCGCACGAGTCCGTGACGCCGGAGGCCGCGCGGGACCGCCTCAGTTCCGCCGTCGTGAATTACGTCGGCGAGGCCGTCGGCGAGTACAACGACCGCGGTAGGAGGGCGTTGAAACGGGGCAAAACGGGCGACTACCGCGAGGCGTGCCAGTACTTTGCGGCCTTCCGCGAGACGATCAAGAAGCTGGGCAAGGAGACGCACGAGCTGCCCGGCGCCGTGTGCGAGGCGTGGTCCCGCTTCGCGTCGCAGGAACTCGCGTACGCCCTATATACGCTCGGCCGCGGCGAGCTCGCGGGCCACGCGGGCGCGAAGCGGCGGCCGGGCTGCGAGGGCCCCGTCGACGCCTGTGCCACGCTGAAAGCAGCTTTAGACCTCGATCCGGGCCTCGCGGGCCCGCATCGGAGCGCGGCCCTCGGGGACCTCGCGGCGGCGCTCGACGGCCGCGGCGCGCCGCGCGCCGCCGTCCTCGCGGCGCGCGACGGCCAGGTCGCGGCGATGGCGGCGCCCGAGGAGGTGGAGCCGGCGGGCGTCTTCGACCGCGCGCGCCGCGCGGCGCCGCCGGCGCGCTGGACCGACGCCGACGCGCGCGTCGCGGCGCTCGCCGACGCGGCGCGCCTCGCCGGCGAGCTCGTGCGCAATCGGTGTCTTCATCCGTTCTTGTGTGTGGCTGCTCGAGTCGGGGCGCGATAGTGGTACTCTCGCTCACGCCGTTTCCTCACGCAGGGCGACCATAAAGCCGCGGCGGACCGCGCGAACGACGCCGTGCGCGCGGCGACGTCGCCGCCGGCGCACGCGGCGGCGGCGCTCGCCGTCGGTCGCGCGGCGCTGGCGCGCGGCGACGCGCGCGCGGCGGCCGCGGCGCTCCGCGACGCCTTGAATGACACGGCGCTGCCGGCGGATTTGCGGCCGGGCGCGCAGCGCGACCGCGACGCGGCCGAGGCCACGGCCGCCGTCGCCGTGACCGCGCCGCCGGGGGCACCGGTGCCCTGGTACGCCCCGCCTCCGGCGGAAACTGCCGATCCGGCCGACGACGCTGCCATCGAGGCGGCGCAGGCCGCCCTCTGGAGCAAGAAGGACGCGCGGAAGGCGGCGGGGATCCTCCGGCGCGCCGTCGCCGGCGCCGAGCGGGCGCCGGCGGCGCTGCTGGCCTTCCTGTACGGCGTCGAGGCTCTCGTGCTGCGGGCGGACGCCGCGGAGGCGTCCCACGTGCTCGCGCGCGCGCGGCGCGCCGCCGGCCGCGATCCAGCCCTCGGCGACTGCGCGTGCTGCGGCGCGGCGATGAGCGTCGACGCCCCGGCCGCGGACCGGCCCTTCGTGCTCGGGTGCGGCCACTGCTTCCACGCGCCGTGCCTCGCCGGCTTCTGCGCGAAGCAGCAGGGCGAGTGCCCGTCGTGCGGGAAGACCGCGGACGCCGAGGACGTCGCGTGCTTGTGGCTGTGGGCCTTTGGCGACCGCGCCGCCCGCGGGGAGCCGCTCTCGGACGCGCAGCGCGCGCTCGCGAACGAGCTCTGCGACGCCGGGCTGGCGAAGCGGATCCAGCCTCCCTCGTCGTCCTCGTAGTCGTTAAATTAGTTTGTCTCCTACCTGGTCGCGCCACAAGCGCCGCAGAAGCGGATCCAGCCGTCGTCTAGTGAAATTAGTTGTCCCCTACCTGGCCGCCCCACAGCTTCCGCAGAAGCGTGCGTCCGACTTCATCGGTGCGCCGCACTGCGTGCAGAATCCGGAGGGTGCCGGCGGCGCTGATGCGCCGACGACGACGGCGTTCACGGGCGGCGCCACGCCGAGCACCTGGCCCGTGGCGACTGGCTCGCCGTCCCTGACGACAAGTGAGTAGTGCGTGCGCGTGCGCGTGTGGTAGCCGCCGCGGCGGTGGCCGATGGCCGTGTCCGTGCCCACGCCCGTGCCGACGCCGGAGTCGTAGTAGGTGCTGTAGGTTTGGTAGCTTTCGAGCGTTAAACCGACCCCGTGGCGTTCGTAGTTGGGCGACATGCGGTTGATCGCGGCCTGTGCAGATGATCGCGTCGATACCCACGCCATCGACGCGGCGTCTCTCTCGAGTGCTGCACCCGACTCACTGGTTAATTTCCACACGGATTGCCGCGGGCACGTCCGTGCTCATGGCCTTTGAGAGCTGCCGCGCGTTCGCGCTAGCGCAAAGGACCATGGGAGATGTATCTTACTCTAGAAGCGGCGGCGTAGGCGGCGTAGGCGATTGCACATGTATTGTACCACCCTAGACGACCTCGGGGAGACCGCAGGACCACGAATTGACAGAATTCAACCGGCGCGGCCGCCCTGGTGGGATCGTCAATTTCGCGAATTAAAAAAATTAATTTTTTCGCCCCCCAGTAAGTGCCCCATTGATCTCTTTGGACCATTAGCGAACCGAACGGCACTCAAACGACTGCATGGCGCGTTCGAGTGCTGGCTAGTGTCTTAGGTCGCTAGCTCGGCCTGCTCTTTTTTTGCATGCCAGTAAAGCTAAATCACTTGCGATTGAGCCCCCTTACTCCAGAGCTCGCGGGTTTCTACGTCGACAGCGTTTGCATGCCAGCCGTACGAATTGTCCTCTCCGGCTAAACAGCTTTTATCTACACAGCCGCGACTTCTCCTGTGGCTCAGCCTCGTAATTGCATCCCTTATCAGCGCCCCAGCGCAAGAGGGCTGCTGGGTGACACTCACTATGCATCAGCAGGAGCCTGCGTGACCGGGATACCTAACATAAAAAAATGACCGCCCACGAGGAGGCGCGCGCGACCACGTCGCTCGTCGTCTACGAGCCACCGGCGGTGCTGAACGTCCAGCAAGCCGAGCGGCGCTACGAGCTACCACGGACCGGTGCCGTCTTCGTGCGCCAGGCGTGGGGCAGCGGCGACACCGGGGCGGCGCAGTGGCCGGCGGGTGTGGAACTGGCCAAGCTGATCGATTCCGAGGGCCCGGAACGCTGGCGCGGCAAGCGCGTGCTCGAGATCTCGGCCGGCGGCGGCGCGGTCGTTGCCATTGCTCTTATGCGCGCGGGCGCCACCGTTGTTGCCACGGACGCCGACGCCGAGGCTTTGAAGCTACACGAGGAGAATGCGCGGGCAAATATCGAGCCCGACGTCTTCGCGTCGCGCTACCGCGGAGCTCTCGTGCTGCGCTGGGGCGACGATCCGGCGGCGGCCATCTCGGCCCTGGGTGGTTCCCCCGACGTCGTCGTCGCCTCGGACGTCGCCTACCCAGGCACGCGCGACGCGTGGCCCGCCTTCGCGCGGACCCTCGTCGCCGTCGGCGCTGGCGCGCGTATGCTGTACGGCCACGCGAGCCGCTACGAGGCCGTCGACCGGCGGTTCTTTCGCGTGCTGCGCGAGGGTGGCGTGCGAGCGGAGCGCGTCGTCGACAAGGGTTCGGTGGCGGGCGTGGGGCTGTTCGAGCTTGTTGTTGGTTCTTAATTTGTGTGATCTAACCTAGCCTCCAAGCGGGTGCGAAAGACAACTTACGGAGTCCACCCCGAAAACGACGACGACCGCCGCCGCAGCGCGTCGTCCGCGAGCCGCAGCGCGCGCGACGCCGCCTCGCCGTCGCGGCGCGCGACGTCTCGGAGCGCGTCCCAGTCGGGCCGCGGCGCCGGCGACGGAGGCGTCGCCGGCGGCGTTTGAGGCGGTGACGGCGGCGAGACCGGCGCCGGCGGCGCGGGGACAACGGCCGCGCGACGAGCTTCGGCCTCGCGCGCCGCCGCGCGACCCGCGGCGGCCTCGCGCGCGGCCTCGCGACGAGCGGTGGTCTCGCGCGCCTCGGTGGCCCGACGCGCTGCGGCGGCCACGCGGCGCTTCTCCGCGACGAGCCGCCGCGCCGCGTCGGCCGCCGCGGCGCGGTCGTAGGCCCCGTCGACGGCCGCGTCCGCCGCGCGCACCGCCCTCGCGGAGGCGTCGCAGGCCCTGGAGGCCACCGCGGTCGCGGTGGCCGCCGCGTCGACGCGGTCGCGCGAGGCCACCGCCCGCGCGAGCTGCTCGCCGGGCGCGCGCGCCGGCGCCTTGGCGCCGACCCACGCCAACGAATGGGCGCCGCCGGCCGCGACGCGCGCCACCTCGTCTACCTCCACGCGCAGGGGCGTCGGGGACCCGTCGGGCGCGTCGTTCGCGAGGCGGCCCGCGCGGCCCGCGCCCCAGGCCCAGACCGCGCCGTCGGCGTCCACGGCCACGGCGTGGTCCTCGCCCAGCGCCACCTCCATGCACCGGTCGAAGGGCGTCTTGACAGGACGGTCGCGGTCGTCGCGGTCGCCCAGGCCGAGCTGGCCGCTGCCGTTGCAGCCCCAGGTCCACAGCGCGCCCCGGCCGTCGATCGCCGCCGACGAAGCCCCGCCCGCCGCGATCTTGGCGATGCTCGCGCCGCCGCCGAAGCGGACGCGGCCCGGCGCCGCGGCGTCGCCGCCGCGGCCGAGGCGGCCCGTCGCCGCAACGCCCCACGACGAGGCCCGGCCCGCGCGGTCGAGGAGCAGCGCGTGGTGGTCGCCCGCCGCGCAGGCGACGGCCGTCACGCCACTCACGGCCGCGGGCGCCGTCGCCCGGTCGCAGATGGCACCCCACGTGTAGACGGAGCCGTCCGCGCGGACCACCACCACAAAGGCCGCGCCGCACGCGACCTCCACGACGCCGTCGACGGCCGGGAAGGCGGGTTGAGCCACCAGCGCGACCTTTGGCTCGGCCACGCCGCACTGCTGCCGTTCGTTCGCGCCCCAGCAGGCGACGCGGCCGTCGACCAGCGCGGCGGCGGCGAAGCCCCGGCCCGCCGCCACGCGCAGGGCCTTGACGCTCAGCGGGATTTTCACGGGCGCGACGGGCTTATCCTTCGTAGCCACGCCCTTGCCGCACTGCCACACGCCGCCGCCGTGGTCGACGACGACGGAGTCGAAGGCCGACGCCGCGGCGTCGCGCAGCGGACCGGGAGCGGTGAGCTCGGCCGGCGCGCGCGCGACGGCGACGCGGTCGGCCTTGGCGCCGCACTGGCCGTGCGCCGACCAGCCCCACCAGTAGAGGCGCTCCTGCTTCCGCTCGGGCCAGAGCATGGTCACTTCTTCGGCGGGCCGACGACGCGGCGCTTGAAGATTTCCTTGCCCGTGCCCGTGTTCTCGACGGGCTTGACGCCCTCGCACTGCTCGCAACTCGCGCAGCGGCACTTGTAGGTCGTTTGGTGGATTTTGCACAGCCGCGGGTAGTTGCAGTTCGGCGGGCAGCCGCCCTTGCAGACCGGGACGGGCGTCGGCGCCGGTGTCGTGGCCAGCTCGACCTGCTGGGCCTCGCCCGCGGGCTTCTCGAGCTCGTCGGCGGTGGCGACCGCTGCGAGGACTGCGAGGAGCAGGGGCAGCAGTCGACGGCGCCCCATGCACGGTATTCCTGCCGCAGTTACTGTTGGGGGCAGCCCCTCCGCGCTCTGGCTGCCTGCCGCAAAGAGCTACGAGCTTGTATTGGGCAGCCCCTCTGCGCTCTGGCCCTCTGCTGCCAGGCCAAGAGTCCGCCGCCGAGCAAGTGGCTTGCCCGCCAATCACGGCTGCAGAGCGAACCTTCACGCCACTTGAGCCCTCCTGCAGATTGGCTCGTCGTTTTTCCACCGAGTTCAAAGCGGGTTTTGGGACTCGACCTCGATCGATTTTTTATGCTGAGCGCTGCGAAACTCGAGCGATTTGCCCATACACTCGCGCATTGCTCCGGACGTACCTTTAGAAAGAGCTCCGCATTACAACGAAGAGCGGTTGCAACCGTAGCGCGTCTACACACGCCACTGCGGCACGATCGCACAACCATGGCGGCCGCGCCCCCGCCCATGACCCCGGAAAAAGCAAAACTCATCCTCAAGGAGACGATCACGCTCTTCAGCCAACCCGAGAACCAGAAGCGGCTGACGGACGCGCTCGCCGAGGTCGCGCAGCTGCCGCCGGAGCAGCAGCCCATGGGCAAGATGGCCAAGCTCATGCCCATCGTGACCGAACTCGCGGGCGGCAAGCTGCAGGAGTACGGCCTGCCGAACGTCATGATGGGGGTGATGCAGATCCAGGCCGTCGGCCAGCAGGACCCGGTGGTCATGGAGGGCGTCCAGCTGCTGACGGCGGCGACGATGGGCAACGTGCCCGACGCCGCCACGCTTCAAGCTTTTGTCGCGAAGTGCGGCTAGTTTATATTTAAGTCTATTGTTTTATCCGTACTCGTGGACGACGAGCTCCACTTCCCTGCATGCCGACCGGCGCTTCGTGAAGACGTAGACCGCCGGCCCGGCCGACGCGTGCGCGTCGACGCGCCAGGCCGCGTCGACCTCCGAGAGCCCCGCGAGCACGGCCTCGAGCCACGCGTCGTCGCCGTCCGGCCTGCGGTGCGACACGACGACGAAGCGCCCTCCACGCTTCAGGACGCGGCCCGCGGCGGCGCAGGCCTCCGTCGCCGCCGCGGCGTCGCCGGAAATCAAGGCGTCGACGGTGCCCTTGTCGACGACCACGTCGAAGGTCGCGTCCGCGAACGGGGCCAGCGTCGTGGCGTCGGCCTCGACGAGCTCGACGTGGCACGACTCGGAGCGCTCCTTCACGCTGCGCAGGGCCGCGGCCGCGCAGTCGACGCCGACGAGGCGCCCCGCGTAGCCCGCCTCGCGCATGTCGCACAGCAGGCGCGACGTGCCGCAGCCGAGGTCGAGGACCGACGAGCGGCGCTTGACGAAGCCGAGCAGCGGCCGCAGATCGTCAAAACTCAAAAACCACTCGAAGACGTCGCCGTCGCCGACCGCCGCGTAGCGCGCGGCCCAGTAGCGCTGCGTCGCGTAGCGGTGCTCCTCGCCGGCGGGCGGCGGCGCGTGCGCCGGGGTCTTTTTACGCCGCGGCGGCATTGAAGCTGCAGTGTTCACGAGCACTTGCCTTTCACTAATAACTCACGTTGACGAATGCGCCGCAGAAGAGCTGGTTTTTGTGTAATGCACGCTGTGCCCCCTGCAAAAGCCTGCCTGCTTAGAGCAAGTCTCGGCTGGCTGCCCGGGAGTCACACAAGGCGCGAGTCCTCCCGGCGCAGGACGGAGGCATCTTAGCGTACCGCTGGAGCCGTCAGAAACGCGCATCGTGCGGGTCAAGCTGATATGAAGCGCGCCAACGAAGGGCTGCCCGGCCGCTGCCGAGGCTGCCCCGGCCCAGGTCGCCGAAGGAGTCGTCCAGCATGGCCACCTTCGCCGAGGAGCTGGACGAAGATCTGATCCGTGAGGCCCGGGCCAACTCCCAACATCTCCTGGGGACGCCCATGGCTCATGCGTTCAAAAACTACGGCGCAGACCGCGCGAAGCAGGCCAAGGACGCGGCGCTGCAGGCGAAGCTCGCCGACGCCCTGAAAACGGGCGTGAAACTCGACGAGGCGCGGCTCAACCCGAACGCGGCGCGCGAGTACGACGCGCGCCTCGCGGCCGACGTCGCGCGCGCCGCGGCGGCGGCGCACGGCACCGTGAGCGACGACGACGACGACGACGACGACGGCGAGAAGCCCGCGGAGGCGGAGGCGACGCGCGCCGACTGCCTCAAGGCGGCCGAGGTTCTCCACCGCTGCGAGCTCCTTAAACAGGAGGGCAACGCGGCCTTCCGGGCCGCGTGTGCGGAAGAAGATGAACATAAAGCGAGGGAGGTCGCCTTCGACGCCGCGATCTACTACCTGGATGTCCTGGACGCGATCTACGTCGCGGAGCAGCGGCCGATGGCTCCCGACCAGCAGGAGGCCATGCGCGCCCTGAAGCTGGCGACCCTCTTGAATCGGGGCGCGGCGCTGAACAAGCAGCTCGACTGGAAGCTGTCGCTCAAGGCTTGCAACCAGGCGCTCCTGCTCGACAAGGACAACGTCAAGGGTTTGTATCGGCGGGCCGTGGCGCTCGCCGGCCTCGGGCAAGGGGCCGAGGCCGAGGGGGATCTGTTGCGGGTGCTGGAGCTGGCGCCGCAGAACAAGGACGCGCAGCGGCGGCTCCGCGAGCTCCGCAAGGCCATGAAGAAGAAGCCGAAGCAGCCGAAGAAGGCGCCTCCTTCATCCGCGGAGGCCGAGGACGGGTTCACGCCCCTGTCTGACGACGGTGCATAAATCAAATTGTCGCGGCGCGTCCCCGACTCACCAGTTGATTCGCGCACAGGTCGCAGTCGCCGGAGGAGGCCGCGGAGCTGAAGCGCATGGAGGCGGATTATAACGCCGCCAACGCCGCGATCGCGCGCGCGCGGAAGGCGCACCCGCCGCCGCCGCCGCCGCCCGCGCCGGCACCTACCGAGGCGGACCTGGCGTTCGCGGAGGCCGTCGCCGCGGCGGAGCGCCTGCCGAAGCCGCCCTTCGACCCGTACGACGTCGTCGGTTTGGACGGCGACGGTCACTCGACAGGTGCGGACTTCGAGCGGGCCTTCGAGGAGGACATGAGGAAGCGGGCCGCCGCCGCCTCGGGGGAGTAGTAATCTGGTGTTTTTGTCACCGAGCTAGCGTTTGAAGACACTAGGGATGCCAAGCCCTGGAAGCAGCATCAGCTGCAGCCTCTGTGCATGCCGACGTGTGGTCTTCATAAGCATTGCATCTATAAGTGCACAGCAATTCATTGCAGCGCAACGGGTCCCAGAGCACTGCACACTGTAGGCATTCCGGACAAGGCAAAGCTGGCGCAAGCGGGCCGGCGCACGCGACGACGCCGCCGACGACACTTGCTCGCACGCCATCGAGCAGCGCTGCGCAAGGCGCCGCCGCCGCGACCGCTGCCGCGCGGGCTATGGCCGGAGCGTGGTGCGGTGCCGCGGCGCTGCGCACCCGCATCGGTCGAGGCCTGCGCGCCGCGCGTGTTGCTTCGGACACAAGACTACGCGGTGCTGTGCAAGCCGCCGGACGTGCGGATGGACGGCCTGCACGATAGTGTGACGATGGATACGCTGGCGCGCGCGTGGCTTCCCGACGCGACGATCAAATATTGCCACCGCCTCGACTACGGCACCTCGGGCCTCTTGCTGGGAGCCCTGCACTCGCGGGCGGCGGCGGCGGCGGGCCGCGCCTTCGAGGACCGGACGACGCGGAAGACGTACCTCGGCGTCGTCGCGGGCGTCGTGCGAGGGGCCTTCGCGATCGACTACCCGCTCGCGACGAGCGACGGCTTCCGCGTGCGCGTCGGCGGCGCGGGCGCCAAGGCGGCGTCGACGCGCGTCCGCGCGCTCGCGGCGTGCCGCTACCGGGGCGTCGCGTGCACGAAGGTGGCCCTGACGCCGCACACGGGGCGGCGGCACCAGCTCCGCGCGCACTTGGCCGCCGCGGGCGTGCCCCTCGTCGGCGACGCGACCTACGACGACGGCCCGACGGCGGCCGCGGCGCGGATGATGCTCCACGCCTGGAAGCTCCGCGTGCCGCTGCCCGAGGGCCGCCGCCTCGTCGCGCGGAGCCGCGACCCGTTTCCGATACGCGGGGGACGGCTGCGGCCGCGCGTCGACCCAGGGCTCGGGCGCGCGCGGATTGCGTAGTAGTTATGTTCAACTTATGTATTCGAGAGAGAGCGTCCCCTCAGCAGAACCAGTTCTTGTACGACGCGCACCAGGCGATCATGCGGTCGTACCGCTCGACCGCTGACGCGGCCTTGGCCCGCCGCGCGCGCAGGCCCTTCACTTTTCTGTTAATTTCGATGCCCTTGTCGACGCAGAGCGATCGCTCGTCCCCGGCCGTCGCATAGAGGCAGCGGCGGTCGATTTGAGCTCGCAACTTGGTGACCGCCTTGAACTCTCCATCGAAGACTTTGAGCCGTTCCGACTCCACGTCGCGGAGCGACTCGTAGGAGAACATCATCTCCTGGGCGCTTCGATACATGATCGCAAGTACTTCGTCGCACTTTCCGAGGAAGGTGGAGATGAGGTCCGAGACGACGGCCCGGTCGAAGGCGCGCCTGTGAAACAAATCGTAGCTGAGCCAGCTCGATGGCGCGCGATTTCCACGCAGAGGCGCGCTCGATCTTCGCGAGGCCCCAGTCGAGGACGGCGCCGAGGCCGCGCGACGGCTTCTGCGGGACGTAGGCGACGACGCCCGCCGGCGCGGCGAGCGCGCACGACCGCGGGCTCAGTTCCGTCGACGACAGCAAAACTATGGCGACGAGCGCAACGCCGCGGAGGCGTAAGGCATTCATATTGCCTGAAACCGCCAAGCCTTGATTTCGAGATTAATCGTTGCTCAGAAGGAGTACTTAAGCGGTCACGAACGCTAGACTAACTCGTGCGCCGGCGAAGCTGCGTACAAGGAGAAACGCTCAAAAGGGCAATTTAAACCCCTATCGTTGCTCAGACGGCCGCGGTTAGATTGAGCGGGCCGAACTTCTGATGATTTTACGTTCCCTCGGACTGAGTCTTAAGATTGTGCCTCTACTGGCGGCTTAAGGTGGCGTGAAAACTCAGGCTACGTGCTAGTGTCTTACAGCCCGCTAGCTAATTCTCCCGAGAGCAGCCACCAGCGAAGCGAGCCAAGCAGGAGTCTGAGGCATCGCGCACTTGGACGGTAGCGTGGGCTGCTCGCGACGCACACAGGAAGCTCCGCTGCTGCTCAATCGCGATGCCTAACACATCTGTCCGCCTTCTCTGCAGCATCGCAGCTGCCGCTGCGCTCGCGGCGCCGCGCTGCGCCAGGCCAACGCAGACGAAGCTCGCCGCGGCGACGGCCGACCCCGCCGTCGCGTCGCGCGAGGCTTTTGATGACGTCGTCCAGAAGACGTACGGTCGCTACCCGGTCACGATTGTCCGCGGCAGCGGCTGCGAATTGGAAGACGACGCCGGGCGGACGTACCTGGACTTCGTGGCGGGCATCAGCACCTGCTGCCTGGGCCACGGCGACCAGCGCCTCGTCGACGCGATCACGAAACAGATCCAGGAGGTGCACCACGTGAGCAACCTGTACTACATCCCGAACCAGGGGGCCCTGGCGGCGTGGCTCGTCAAGAACACGGCCGGCCTCGACAAGGCCTTCTTCTGCAACTCCGGGGGCGAGGCCAACGAGGCCGCCATCAAGCTCTCCCTGAAGCACGCGGTCCAGGAGCGAGGCCTCAAGGACCCCGTCATCCTCACGGCCTACGGCTCCTTCCACGGGCGCACCATGGCCACGATCAGCGCGACGGCGCAGCCCAAGTACCACGGGCCCGAAGGGTGCTGGCAGGTGAAGGGCCTCGCGGAGCACTTCGAGTTCAACGATATCGCGTCGCTCGAGGCGGCGTTCGAGAAGCACGAGGTCGCGGCGATCCTGGTGGAGCCGATCCAGGGCGAGGGCGGCGTGCGCGTCGGGACGCAAGAATTCCTGCAGAAGGCGAGGGAGCTCTGCGACGCGTCGGGCGCGCTCCTCGTCTTCGACGAGGTCCAGTGCGGCGTCGGCCGCACGGGCCGGCTCTGGGGCCACGAGCACGTTAATGTAATACCGGACGTGCTCACGTGCGCCAAGGCCCTGGGCGGCGGCGTGCCGATCGGGGCCATGCTCTGCGCGGACAAGGCGAACGTCTTCGCGCCGGGCGACCACGCGACGACGTACGGCGGCAACCCCCTCGCCTGCGCCGCCGCGCTGGCCGTCGCGAGGGCCGTCGACGACGACGGCCTCGTCGCGAACGCGGCCGCGCGCGGCGCGCAGCTCGAGGCGGGCCTCCGCGCCATGGGCGACAAGTACGCGGGGAAAATCACGGAGGTCCGGGGCCGCGGCCTGCTGCTGGGCCTGGAACTCTCGTCGGAGCTGGGCGGCGCGGCGAAGTTCGTCCAGGCCGCCGCGGACCGCGGGCTCCTGCTCGTGCCGGCCGGCGCGGACGTCGTGCGCTTCGTGCCGCCACTCGTCGTCAAGGCCGAGCAGGTCGACGCCGCGCTCGGGATCCTCGAGGAGTGCCTCGCCGAGGCCTGAGGTAACGTACTCTAGATATTATTCCGCCCCACCTCGTCGGCGATCTTACTAGATATTATTCCGCCCCACCTCGTCGGCGATCGCGGCCGCGACTTCGCGGGGCGACCAGTTCTTGCGGGGCGGCCGCGGCGCCGCCGCGGGCCGGCCCTGAAACGCGGAATTCTTTTTCCGACGCGGTAGGTCCGCGTTCTTCTTCCCGGGCCGGCCGGGCCGCCTCGTGTCGATGGGCGGCTGCCGCGTCTCGACGTAGTGCCGCACTTCGCGCGCGGCGACGTACCTCGCGCGCGCCGGCCTGCGCGGCTCGGAAGTCGCCACGATGGAGCAATTACTGTGCGCACGCGCGGACGTCTTGGTCATGTGCGCCCGGCGCGAGGGCTGCGCGTGCGGGCGGGGCCTGAAGTCCGGGTTCGTGGCCGCGATCCACGCGCACCGTGGTATGAGCGGGCTGTCGACGCAAGTGAATCAGAAGGGCGGCATTTGGAACTACGTCGAAGAACCGGGCTGGGACCTTCGGGCGGCGAGCCGCGTTCCGATGTAGGGCCGCGGCCCCGGAAGGGCGGCCGTCGCCGCGACGACAGGCGCGCGCGCCGGCGAACTAGCTCGTCGCCATCCCCGGGCACTATTCGTCACCCGGCCCGCGCGTAAAGAGTGGATCTCGAAACGTGAAGTGCGACGCGTAGCGAGAGTATCGTCTAATCCAGTAATTGAGCTAGTTATAACCCACTAGATTTTCTGGACGCTCGACGCGCTGCTGCTGCTGAGACAGACGCAGCCGCACGGCCGGCAACCACCTCACGCAGTCTGACCGCCGCGCACACAAAAAGGGCTGCCCGGGCAGCGATGGCGGCCCAGCTCAGTGCGGCGGAGGCCGACAAAGAGATCAGGGACTTAATGAGAGCCCTCGAGGACCTGAAGACCCAGCCCCAGCCCTGCCTGCCCTGCTTCGAGCCGCCCGCATTAGATCTGAAGGACCTCGAGGACGGCTCGAGCTGCTTCGAACGCGACACATATACTATTCGTCATGCAGTGTTTGATTGGACGGTCGACTTAGAAAAGAGGCGCATCGAGGGCACGGTCACCTTGTCGGCGACGCGGTGTCAGACGCGGTCTCACCACGAACCGACGCAGCTGCGGCTCGACGCGCACCGCGCGATGACGGTCGAGTCGATCCGGTGGCGGCTCATGAGCCTGGACTTCGAGAAGACGCGGTGGGGCGACGTCGGCGACGAGATTGTCGTAGAGATGCCCGACGACTTCCGGGAAGGCGACGTCACCATCACCTACGGCACGACGGGCGGGCCCGCGTCGACGTGGCTCCGGCCGAAGCAGGGCGGCCCGGCCCTCTACGCGACGGGCCAGTGCTGCGCGAACCGGGCGCTCTTCCCCTGCTTCGACATTCCCTCGCAGCGATTCACCTGGGCCGCGTCCATCCGAGTCAAGGACGAGTACAACGTAGTCGCCGCGGCCGAGAAGAAGGGCGAACGCGTCGAGGGCGGCTGGCGCGTCTGCAGGTTCGAGATGGCCACGCCCGTGCCCTCGTACTTAGTCGCCGTGGCCATTGGCGTTCTGGAGAAGAGGGACGTCGGGCCGCGGTCGACGCTCTACGCGCATCCCTCGACGATGGAAGCCGCGGAAGAGGAGCTCCGGGGCGTACCCGAAAAGTACCTCACGGCCGCCGAGACCATGTTCGGGCCCTACGCCTGGGGCCGCTTCGACGTGGTCGTCATGCCCCGGGCCTTCGCTCGCAGCAGCGTGGCGCACCCGAACCTCACGTTCCTGGCGCCCTCGGTGATCGTCGGGGACGGCTCGCTCGCCTACACCGTGGCCCACGAGGTCGCCGCCACCTATTTCGGGGCGCTGGTGACGAACGCGTCCTGGGCCGAGTGCTTCCTGAACGAAGGGCTCGCGACGTACGCCTCCCGGCGGCTGACGTACGAGGTCGACGGCGCCGCGCTCGCGGACCTCGAGGCGCGGGTCGGGAGGCGATTGCTCGAGCACGAGATCAACCTGGTGCAGTCCGAGGAGAGCGGCGGGCTGTTCTCGCGGCTCCGCGTGCCCATCAACTACGGCGTCGACCCCGACGACACGAACACCGACGTGCCGTACGAGAAGGGCTTCGCCTTTTTGTGCGCCATGCGCGACGCCGTCGTCGACTCCTTCCACCCCGTCCGGTACAGCGAGGACCAGAAGCGGGCGGCTTTGGATCCGTTCCTCGAGTCCTACGTCCGGGCGTTCGCGAAGAAATCCATCTATGCGGAGGACTTCGTCGGGCACTTCGTCAAGGTGCACAAACGGGCCGCGCTCCAGGTCGACTTCCCGCGGTGGCTCGACGGCGCGGGCGTGCCCCCGTACGAACCCGAGACGCCCGCCTGCGACGCGTCGATCGCCGCCTGCGAGGCCGCGGTCGACCGCATCCAGACCGACGGGATGCGGGTCGGCCAGCTGTGGCGGACGTGGCCGACGCCGCAACGGGCCTACTTGCTGGATCTGCTGTGCGGCACGCCGCCGGAGGACGACGCCGCGCCGCCCGCGCAGTTGTACGCGTTCTGCCGGGCGGCGGGCCTCTCCGATTCGAGGAACGGCGAGCTCACGATGCGCTGGGCGCTCTTGGTGTTGCGGGACCGCCTCGAACTGAAGGACGAGGACGTCGAGCGCCACTTGCAGCTGACCGCGAGGCAAAAATTCGTGCTGCCGGTCTTCCGCGCCCTGGCGGCGCTCGAGCCGGAGCGCGCGGTGAACTGCCTGTTCAAGATCGGGTTGGGGCTGGAGGACCGGCTCCGGCGGAAGCTCGACCGCGTCGTCGAGGCGGACCCCGACACGCTCGCGGACGCGAAGAAGAAGGGGGTCTTCGCGAAGCTCTGCGAGATGCACGACAAGGGGTTGTTGTGAGTACTAGTAACTGTGTTTGGTCTTATCGACGCGCGCCTCCGCGTTTAGGAAATCCAGATTGGTACGGTGTGCTAGGACTAGTGGGCGGAGCCCCTGCGTTTGGAGTATTGTTACGGTGCTAGCACTAGCGGGCGGAGCCCCTGGGGGGGAGACACCCCTGCGTTAGGAAATCCGCGCTAGCGGCCTGTAAGACACTAGGGATCTAGCAGAGCTGCCACAGCTCGCGTGGGGCAGCCCCGCGGTCGCGCGCGGCCTTTTCGAAGCGATGCGCCGCGGCCGGCAGCCCCTGGTGGCCGCCGTGCTCGCGCTCACCCGGGCGGCCCGCTGCCCCGACGAGCCCTGGCTGGACTGCGGCGCCGCGCCGCCGCCGCCGCCGCCGCCCGTGGCGCCGTCCGGCGGCGACCTGTTGCCCGCGGCGGCGGACCCGCTCCTGCTGCCGCGCACGGCCGCGACGCTCGACGGCCACTCGGCGACGACCGACGAGGCGCTGAACGCGGCGGGCGCGGCCGGCAACCACACGTCGCACTTCGTCGCGTTCCGCTGCAAGCACTCCATGGGCTACCTCCAGCGGAGCGCCCACCCCGTGCTGGGGACCAAGGTCGACGTGACGCCCTACTCGGACAAGGAGCTCTTGCCGCCCCGGGAGGCGATCTGGCGGCTGGCCCAGGCGCCGGGGGGCCTCAGCGTCCTGGAAGCGCTGGACGGCCACCACCTCCTGACGATGCACGGCCGCCTGCGGACGCCGCCCTGGATGCTCTTCGTCGTGCCGCCGGCGGCGGGCATGGACGCGACGTCCACGCCCGACGACCTGACGTTCCGCGTGGAGCTGGACGAGCGCACGCTGAAGGACGACCGGGAGCGCCGGGCCGACGGGCGGCTCTACGCCGTCGGCGCCGGGGCCTACGTGAACTGCGTCGACGGGAAGCACCTGCGGGGCCACTCGGGCGGCGCGAACCGGCGCAAGGCGGCGACGCGCGAACCGTCCACGCTACTCGAGATCTGGACGCTGTCGGCGGCGCAGGCGCGCCGCGCCGAGGCCTTCCGGGAGGCCTACGCGCCCCCTCCCAAAAAAATCCTGCAAAAGCCGAAGAGCCCCTTCGGGCTGTTTTCCAAGCCGCTCGCCCCCCGTCCTGCAAAGAAGAAGGGCGCGGGCAGCCCGACGGAGGAGGCGCCCGTCGGCGGCCACCAGGGGCGCTGCGACGGCGCGTGCGCCGGCGAGCCGCGATCGACCGAGGGCTACTACCCGGCGGCCGTCGAGGCCTTCGCGGGCTTCGTCTGCCCGTCGGCCTTCCGCGACGCGAGCGACTGGGTCTTCGCCTGGCCCTGGCAGCACTTCTCCGAGAAGGCCTGGGTCGCGCCGACGAAGACGGCCGCCTCCTGTTTACCCCAAATTCCCGTCGTGTACGCCCACGCCAACCGGGTCCCGAAGACCGTGGACTGGGCCGTCCGGGAGCTGAAGCGGCCCTTCGTGCTGATCAGCGGGCAGTCGGACTTTGCGGCCTCGAGGTACAAGCAGGTCCTGGGCCAGAAGCTGCTGCATCGGTGGTACGCGCAGAATGCGGACATGCAACATCGGAAGCTGCGGCCCATTCCCATCGGCCTGAACTGCTTCGAGCAGGCGCCCGAGATGAAACGCGCCCTGAAAAATATACCGGCCAAGCAGAAGAAGGTCTGGGTCAACTTCGGCAACACGCACGCGAAGCGCCGGGACGCCTGGCGCTGGTTCTGCGGGGACTTGCCCAAGACGAGCGTCGCCCCGAAGCCCTGGGCGACGTGCGAAATCAAGAAGACGAAGAACAACGTGCGGAACAACCCCCACCTCGTCGCGTACTACGGGCGCGTCGCGGCGCACCGCTACGTGGCGGCCTGTGTGGAAATCAACCAGTGCGTCGGGTGCACCCGACAATTCTTCACTAAGTCATTTCTCAGCGATGGCGCGGCCGACCTGGCTCGGACGAGCGGCGAGGAACCGGCATCGCCACGCCATCGAGCAGGCGTCGCGTTGATGGCGTAGAGGACGAAACGACGATTCAGCACGAACGCATCGTAAAATTTGATTTCCACACAGGTGGCGGCGCCCCGCGGGAACGGCCTGGACACGCATCGGCTGTGGGAGGCCCTGTACCTGGGCTGCGTGCCCATCGTCCAGTCCGGGCCGCTCGACGCCCTGTACAAGCGCGTCGGCGCGCTGGTCGTGCGGTCCTGGACGCAGGTCACGTCCCACTTGTTGGATTCCGAGTACGATCGCCTGGTGGCGATTCAGCGGAACGCCTCGGATCTCCTCACGCCGGGCCACTGGAAGCGTTTGATCGAGAGCGACCGGCGCGCGGCGATGGACAAGTCGGCGAAGAGCAGTGACCGGGGGCGGTGCTGGGGGCTCGGGGCCGCGCCGGCGTAAAAGTAGTACTTGTGTGACGCGGCGACGCCATCGACGCGCCACTCCCATTCCTCGCGTTCGCGTCTGCTCCCGGCGACGCAGAGCGCGGGACTTCTACGAAGTCCGGCGCGCCGAGCCCGTGCCGCGTCACCAAGGTGAACACGCCCCGCCAGCCGAGCTACCCGCGGCTGCTCGCGCGCTGCGGCGCCTTCGACTACCGGAAGCTCACCAAGGCGTACTGGTTCTGGGAGATGCGCCGCGACGACCGCGCTCGAGCGGGACCGCCGCCCGACGGCGAGGACCTGCCGCCGGCGGTGCGGGTGGCGTTCGGGCGGGGACCGGGGCGGCGGCGGCGCTTCTCCGGAAGGGGCGCCGAGGCCGGCCTCGCGAAGCTCCCGCCGTTCCTCGCGAGACACGTCGCGACAATTTGAGTTGTGCCCTCGACGAAGCCAGAGGAGAAAACCAGCTATACGAACGCGCCCGTCGACGAGGGGCTAAAATCACAAACTACTTACCCGGGGTTCGCGCCCCACTCGACCGGGTCCGCGGCGCCCGACGAGAGCTTCTGCCACGCGCTGAAGGGCACGACGGGCGGGCCCGTCTTCAGCAGCAAGACGACCTTGTCCTTCTTGACGCGGCAGCGGCACCGCGCCGGCACGATCACGTCGTACAGCTCCGGGACCAGGAGACGCTGGTTGACGCCGCCGTGCACCCGCAGGTCCAGGGACCGCTCGCCGAAGTCCGCCTGCACGGAGCCCTCGGGCAGCTCGTGGACGCCCGGCAGCGTCAGGTAGACCGTCACGCGGCCCTTGCGGTCGTCCCAATCAAAAGCGAAGGTCGTGATCGGCTCGTACGCGACCGGCTTCGGGAGCGCGACCTCCTCGGCGGCGGCGGCATCCGCCCAGCCGCCCGCGGCGTCCGCGAGCTTCAGGAACGTCTGCGCGTCCTCCAGTGTTCGTCGCTCGGAGACCTCGATCCTTTGGTCGGCCTCGAGGACGCGCCCCGTCGGCTCGGCGTCGGGGCCGGGGCCAGTCCGGACGTCCGTCTTTGATCGGACCACGTATGCGTACTTCGCGACGTCCGGACGTCCTTCCGTCCAGCGGGTGTAGAGGCCTGACATGTCTTTTTTTGACGATGTCGAGCAAGAGTATCCCCGCCTACACGGACGTGGGCCTAGATTCGCAAGACTAGGTACTTTTTTTTGTGTGCTGCTGTGCGGTGCTTAGAAGTCTGTGTGCGTGCCACACACGTGGGTGTGCGGCCTCGTAGTGCCACCAGAGCGACTGTAGTAGACTGATCTGTACGACCGCTGCGTGCCACACCAGGCAGCCGCGAGCTGCGCAGGCTTTGGGAGGCCTGGGCTTGCTAATGCTAGGGATGCCTAGTGTCTTACCGCTAGCCCGCCCGGCTCCGCACGGCGCTCGCGTAGTTCTAGCACCGTCACAATAATCCCGCATAGCCGGTGCTGACAGACAAAACCAACGAACTAACACGGGCTAGGCGCCTCAAACAAATCCCCCTCCGAAATCTCCGCCATGAGCACGCGTGGCGTCGAGTCGATCCCGACGGATGACGAGTCGCGCGCCCGCCGGTGCGCGTCGAGGGCGCGGACGCGGTCGACGCACGGCGCCAGCGCGCGCTTGTACGCCATCTGGCGGGACGCGTCGACGGCGCCCAGATCCCAGCACGCGGCGCCCTGCCGCTGGAGCCAGCCGCAGGTGGCGAAGGCGAGGAGAAAGCCCGGGCTCCCGATGTGCGAGCCACGGTCCACGCACCGCGTCGCCACGTAGACGCCCGCTCCGGCCGCGTGCGCGACGTCCAGTGCGCAACACGACTCGCCCTCCCAGAGCTCGAAGACCAGAAGCTTGCCTTCTTCAAGCAGGGCCTCGTAGAGAGCGACGGCGCGCTTCGACGACGCCCAGCACCCCAACGCGCCGTCGTGGCGCGCGCCCAGGGCCGCGACGACCTTGTCAATGGGCAGGGTGTTCATCCTTAGCGAACACGAGACGCCCGCCTTCGTCGCGCGGCGCAGCTGACGCCGCAGGTCGCCTCGACGCTTCTTCAGCGCCCGGCGCAGGTCGGCCGGCACCGGCGGGAAAAAGGAATCGCTCTGCAGACCGATGGTGGACCGCGTCGAGCCGAGCTGCGCCGCCAGCGCGACCAGACCGTCGCCCTGCTTGTTCCCGCCGCCGTAGGCGTAGCCGAAACCCGCGGCTAATAAGTTTTGCACGCGCTCAGCATCCTTCGATGAATCGTTCGGCGTGTTGCTGAGCATCGAGCTGTGCGCGCACACGGTCACGTCACCGCCCACGAGACTTTCGGCGAGGCACGTCGCCTCAGCGTCCAACGCCGATAGGTCGTCGACGCACGCGGCGCTCAGATCACGCGCCACGACCGGGCTCGCCGTGGACCCGCCCGCCGCTAAGGCGCCGAGCAGCGCTCCGTGGGGCGGCGGCCGCGGCGCCAGCAGACCGAGACCGAGCATCGGCTCCGGTCGTATCGCTCGAATCGCTGTAATATCTGCAGGTGCGACGGCCGACGCGTTTCGAAGCGCCGTCGCGACCCTTAGGAGGTGCGGCGCCCAGGCGGCATGCGCGGTGCCGTCGACGCACGCGGCGAGTTCTTCGCAGGCGCCGGCGAGCGCGGCGCGCCTCTCCGGCGCGGCGGCGGACGCCCGCGCGGCCTCGAACGCCGTGAGGGTCTCCGTGAGCACGGGGGCGACGGCGGGAGCAATCAGCTGAGCCATGGTCTGCATCTGCGACGCGGCGGCCGTCGCGGTGTCGCCGTTGCCCTCTACACTATCCGTAGGGGCGTCGACCCGCGCCGCGTATAGCGACAGGTCGTCCGTGGCCTGCGACAGCGCCGACTCGAGGTCCGAGAAGCCCGTCGCGCCGCCGGGGGCCATGGCCAGCAGCGGCTGCAGCGCGGTCATCGTCTCGCGCAGGGGGCCGTCCAGGGCGGCGCGCAGGGCCGCGGCCGTCTGGGCGGCGGCGGCGTACCGAGTCTGTACGTCTAGTAAAGCTGCAGCGGCGGCGGCGTTCGGCGCGGCGCCCGCCGCGACGCGTCGCTGGAACGCGTCCTTGACGGCGGCGGGCCGCGGAGGCGGCGCGCCGACGCGCATGAGCTGGTCCGACGCGGCGTCGAGCGTCCGCGCGAACCGCCGCGTCTCCGACTCGACGCTCAGGATCGCTCGCCCACAGCGCACGACGCCGCAGCGGGAGACGAGGACCGCGTGCGCATGTTTTTTTCGCGAGACGCCGTCGTCAAAGCAGGCAGCATGGCCGCCCGCTACGAGGAGGACGGTTCCCGCCGCGACGCGCTCGTCCCTGGCGGCCGCCGGATCGATGACGGCGCAGGCGCGGCCCGCGACGGCTTCGAGCGACGCGGCGAGCGCATCGTCGACTGCGCCGCCGACGCTGTCCCGCAGCGCTGCGGCGAGCGGACCGTCGACTGCCGTGGCACTGAAGGCCGTGGCTACGTCTTGGGCCCATTTGTCGTCTGGAGTGGGCATTCCTGCTGGCACCATGAGTGTTTGGCCATGCAGGACCATTTGTGGTTCTATCGCGTTTCGCGGATATATCGCACAACGGCGTCGCGACCGCTAATTCCTTAGCAAGCAAAGGTAAAGCTAAACGCTGTCGACGTAAAGCTCCGTCTTTTTTGGCACCTAGCGGGCTTGTAACACACTAGCCGCAGGCGTATTTGGCCGCGGCCGGGTTGACCGGCGTGTGGAGTCTCAAACTCGAAGGAGGCTGTACGGAAGCCTCGTCACGCCGCCGAAGCACCTTGACGGTTCGGGACGAGCGCGCCCCGGCAGCCGCCAAAGCAAAAAGCGGACGCCCTCGGCGCGCCTGAGCGGCGCCCGAGGCCCGCGCCCGCAACAAACAAAAAAGGTGACTCGCGCCGCCCGCCCTAGACTACGATGGCCTGCAACCAGTGCTTCTGCCTCGCCTGCGTCCGCACGAACACGGTGGCCCTCGTCGAAAGGTGCGGCAAATTCCAGGCCATCAAAGGCCCGGGCTGCCAGTGTCTGGTGTGGCCCGTCGATTCTATTGTCGGGCGGGTTTCACTGAGAGTGCGGCAGCTCGACGTGAACTGCGAAACAAAGACCAAGGATAATGTTTTTGTCAACGTCGTTATTAGCGTGCAATATCAAGTGGTACTCGAGAAGGCCTTTGACGCGTTCTACAAGTTGGCGAACCCCGAGATCCAGATCCAGGCCTATGTCTTCGACGTCGTGCGGTCGGAGCTGCCGAAGATGGAGCTCGACGAATCGTTCTCGAACAAGGAACAGCTGGCCAACGAGGTGAAGCACCACCTCGACGAGACGATGATGTCCTTCGGCTACTCGATCATCAAGGCGTTAGTTACGGATATAAGCCCGGACGCGCGCGTCAAGATCTGTGTGGAAATCAAAATTTTACGGCGCGCTCGTGCTGAATCATCGCGTCGTCCTCCACGCCATCGACGCGACGCCTGCTCGATGGCGTGGCGATGCCGGTTCCTCACCGCTCGACCGAGGACGGCCGCGTAATCGGGTGCAACTGGTTGATTTCCACACAGGTCAAGATGTCCATGAACGAGATCAACGCTTCTCGCCGATTGAGGGAGGCCGCCAAGGAGAAGGCCGAGGCCGACAAGATCGTCCAAGTGAAGGCGGCCGAGGCGGACGCCGAGTCCAAGTACCTCTCGGGCGTCGGCGTCGCGCGCCAGCGCCAGGCCATCGTCGGCGGTCTCCAAGACTCGATCATCGAGTTTAGCGGCGAGATCGCGGGCACGACGCCGAAGGACGTCATGGACCTGTTGTTACTGACGCAGTACTTCGACATGCTCAAGGACGTCGGGTCCTCCGGCAGCGGCGGCAAGACGTTATTTCTGCCGCACGCGCCGTCGGCCGTCGGCGATCTGCAGGATTCGCTCAAGAACGGGCTCATGGGGTCGCTGAACAAGTAGTCCCGCGTAGTAGGCGTAATCGTCTTCTTCCTTTCTTCGGTGTCCTCTTTGGTTAACGGTGCGAGGACTAGTGGGCGGAGCCCCTGCCCAGGGCTGGGGGAGAGACACAGCGCTGAACCGCCCTGGCACTGTCGCGACATCAAGAAATTAATTTTTTTGGCCCCCAATACGTGTCCCATTGATCTCTTTGGACCATTATCGGACCGAACGATACTTGAACGACTGCTTGCTAGTGTCTAACAGGCGCTAGCTCGACTTCGAGCCACAAGCCTCTGCGGCAGGATCCAAGCAGGCTTCTGGCACTGATCCTCACACGAGGAGATTGCACACAGCGCTCAAACATGCCAGAGCCCAGCGATGCGAACAAGCGCCAGAAACCGGAGGACGCGGCGCCAGCCTTCTCGGACACGATATCGAACTTCGCCGTCGAAGAAACGCTGCGCTTCGAGGCCGGCGGCCGACTCGCCGTCGTGCTCGGCAAGCTCGACGGCCGGGATTGCGTGCTGGAGCTCAAGCAGCGCGCGGCCCTCGCGGACCCGCGGGCGCTGGAAGACGCCCTGCCGAAACTGAAGCTCACGCTGACGAACCACTCGGGCGCCGAGTACTCGTACTACGCGGCGACCGACCCGACGACGGGCGCGACCTACGACCTGGAGGCGGTCTGGCCCGCGCCCGAGCGCCTCGTCCAGCGCAAGCGGCCCGCCGAGATCTGCGTCGTCGAGGAGACCGCGGAGGCCTATGATAGGGTCGTGCGGCCCTTCGCCGAGGCCCAGGCCGCGAAGATCGGCTGGATCGACGCCGTCTGTGCGCTCGAGAAGGAGCGGGAGCGCAACCTCCACGCCTGCGACGCTTTCGTCGTCAACGTGGACACGAAGTGGAGCACGCACGGGCCTTTCGACGCGGACCGGGCGACGTGGCGCGCTGTGTGGAAATCAACCAGTGTGTCGGGTGTACTAAGTCATTTCTCGGCGTATGACGCGGCCGTCCTGGCTCGGTCGAGCGGCGAGGAACCGGCATCGCCACGCCATCGAGCAGGCGTCGCGTCGATGGCGTGGAGGACGACGCGACGATTCAGCACGAACGCGCCGTAAAATTTTGATTTCCACACAGGTGGCGCGGCGCGGACTGGACGCGCGACTTATACCTGCTGGCCATCTCGAAGGACGCGTCGCTCAAGTCGATGCGGGACCTGCGCGGGCCGGACGGGGCGGGGCTCTGCCGCGCGATGCGGGCCGCGCTCTTGCGATGCGCGGCGGACGTCTACGGCGTCCCCGCCACGAAACTTCGAGTGTTCTTCCACTACCAGCCCCAGTTCTACCGCCTCCACGCGCACTGCACGCGCGCCGAGCACACGAATCCCGGGTGCGAGTGCGACCGCGCGCACCTGCTGACGACCGTCGCGGCGAATTTGGATCTCGCGCCGGACTACTATGCGCGGGCGCCGCTGACGTACAAGCTGCGCCTCGGCGAGAAGCTCCACGGGCTTCTGTCGGCGGGCGCGTAAACGCGTAGTCACGGTGGGGAGGGCTCCGGGGATCGGTGTTTTGTGGGACCGATGCGTCTGGTCGCGTCGACGATCCGTGCGACCCCATTGCGCTGTTCGCTAGCGGCCTGTAAGACACTAGACAGCGAGAGAGCACAGCAGCAATCGCCGCAACGCGGCGATCCAGCTGCCGCCGACCAAAAACCGGTTTCGCGCCACGCGCGCACCCCTTCGCGACTGCGTCGCCACTTCCAACCACTTCCTATGCAGCAGTACTAAGCCAACAAGCTCGTCTCTAAGGGCTCCGCGCTCTCAGCGGCCGCTGGCGGCGCCGCGGCGGCCCCAGGATGAGCGCCGCGACGTGCGCCATGTGTGGCGCGCCGGATCCGCCAGAGCGTTGCCCCGGCTGCGGGGGCCCGCGCTACTGCGACGACGCCTGTAGGCGGGCGGACTGGGGCCAGGGCCATGCCAGGCTGTGCGCTCTACGGTACTGCCAGCGCCTGGCGGCCGACGGCCAGGAACCCAAATTCTTCCTGCCGCCGGAGGCGGGCCCCCTGAAGCCGGTGTCGCTGCTGACCGTGCGGACGGAGGCCGCGCTGCCCCTCAGGGTTGACGAGGCGGACAGCTTCATCCGGTCGCGGCCGCCGGGCTACTGGCAGCTGGCCGCGAACCGCGGGCTGAACCTCTACGACGGCCTGCGGTTCGTCGTCTCGGTGCGGCACGGTGACGCCGCGGACCGCGAGCCCGACTTCCTCGTGGAGGGCACCTCTTCCAACTTGCTCCTGTTGGTGCACGAGGTCGCGCCGGGTGTGAGAAGGTGCCTCGAGGACGGCGAGGGCGACGACGACATTTCCAGAAGGCGGCGGTCCTTCGCGCGGGCCCTCGAGGCCGTCAGCTCCTTCGGCGGGGAAGCGGAGATGGTGCTGGTCGTGCGCTACGAGGGCAGCGGGGGCCGGGTGCAAGCTAAGCGCGTGCCGCTCCCCTGCGCGGCGAACACGGCCTCGACGTCCAAGCCCTGGTGGCGCGCGGCCCTCGCCAAGGACGTGTTGCAGGACTTGTATGCGCAGAAGAAGGCGGCGAACGAGGCGTTCGTGCGGGGGCGCCAGAGCGGCGAGCTCGCGGACGCCCTGCGCGGCTACGACAACATAATCGCGACCATCGAGACGGCCTGCGCGCGGCCGCCGCGGGAGGCCGTCGGGCCCTGCGCCGCGACGCAGCAGCTCCTGGCCACGTGTCTGGCCAATCGAGCGGCGTGCCGCGCGCGGCTGGGGGACGTCGAGAATCTGCAGCGGGCCGAGGACGACTGCCGGGAGGCGCTGGAGGGCCCCTTCACGGCCTGGCTGCGGCAGAAACTCGACCCCGTCGCGGCGAAGCTCGCCGAGAAGGTAAACTTGCGGCGGCGCGAGGCGAACGAGAAGCTCTACGAGGCCCTCGGCTGCGGGGGCCTGCCGCCCGGTCCCCCGGCGCCGCCGGCTTCAGAGAAGTCGCCGCCGGCATGAATGTTTGACAAGAAGACAAAACGACAAAAAACGATAAAAAACGAAAAAGACAGCTAACGCTACGTAAACGCGCGCGGGCGAGGCGCAGGCGCCGCGCGTCCAGAAAAACTCGAAAAAGGGCCGATCGGTCCACGAAAACCCCAGAAAAAACACCGTGTAGTAGGATGTGTTTCCCTAGCTTGATAGTCGCGTCGACAGCGGGTCGGGCTGGGGTTTCTTACGTCGCGCGCCCCCCTACCTAGGGCTAGGCGCTCCGCTCCTCCTGGCACGGGTTTTCAACGCCTGGAGCCGTCCCCCGACAAGTTCACTCGGCGTTGCCGGATGGTGGCGCAATCGGCGCGGCGGTCGGCCGCGTCATATTTCGGACCGACCGGATTACCTGGGCAAGCAGGCGGCGCGCAGGCCGGTCAACCAGGGCTAGCTCATAGTCCTCTCTTTACTCATACAGGTAGCGGTGACACGACTCGGCCTGGGCATGTGGCAAACGATTACAATCCTCCAGTGTCCCCCCAGGCAGACCCTGCTCCTTCCGACACAGGCCGCAATAAAATGCTTGCAGAGACCGACAGCGGTCGGGTTGGGTTTCTTACGTCTTTCGTCCTCCGCGCGTTGAATCCTGGCGCGCATGCCGTGGGGGGCTAGAAGTTGCGGGTAAGGATGGGGGGGGTATACTATAAAGTATATAAGTATGGTACTGTATGGTATCGCAGGGCGCAGCATCAGACTACCGCAGTATTCACAGAGAGACGCCGAGACAAGCCAGTAGCAGGTGTTTAATTGAGCAACAAGAGTGCTGCGAGAACGCGACAAAGCGTGCAGCCTACAGCACTGCAAGTTGGTCAGATTATGAACACACTGGCAGCCACACTGCTTCTGCTGCATCCTGCGCAATGCCTGCGCTTCCGCCGCGGTTCGTTCGGCGACCTCGTACCGATAGCCACAACCATGGCGAAAAACCTCATGAACCCGCTGTCGATCAAGGTCGACTGCTTCGAGGTCGCCGAGTCGGAGGGCCAACGCATTGGCTGGGGGCAGCTGCGACCGCTCGGTCCTGCCGCCGCCGACCCGGACGACTTCGACGCGGCGCCTGGATCCCGTGGGGCCGACGACGTGGATGCGGCGTGGGACGCGCTGCCCGACCCGCCGACGGGATTTGCGTCTTTACCCTGGACTGACGAGTACAAGGCGTTCGCGCGCGGCGCCGATGAACGACGAAGGGGACGCGACGCGGCATCGGCTGACGCGCCGCAGCTCTGGGAGCTTGCCAGCGTTTTTGTCCTCGAGGAGCACAGACACCGCGGGACCGGGGCAGCGATCGTCCGACGGCTGCTGGAGCGGCACGCGGCGCGCGGGCTCAGCGCGGCGGATATCTACCTGCTGACGCTCGCCTCGACGGCGGGGTGGTACGAGGGCCTTGGCTTCGAGCAGGTATCCGAACCGCGCGACGTGCCGGAGCCGATGGCCTTCGAGGTCGCGGCGGGCCGCGTCGTCACGGGGCTCATCGGCGCGGAGCTCGTTGTGATGCGTGGGGTTGAAACAACGTAATTCATTACACAACTAGCTGCTAATTTGGCCCTCCCGCAGCATGCTCCACGTGTGGTATTCACCGATGGAAGTACCGATGGCCAAGTCGATGGCCCGGGGGCAGGTATATTCGTCCCATTGTTAAGGACAAGCAACTCACTTAACTAGACGCGCGAAGTCTCCTCTACGCCGTCGACGCAGCCGTCGCCGCGGGCACCAGCGCGCGCAGGCTCTCCGGGAACGGCTCGCTCGGCGGGTCGCGCTTCTCGAAGACCTTGAAGCTACCGCGCGCGTTCCTTCCCTCCCGACCCGTATCATTATAAGCCCGCCAGTGCGCCCGGAGCTCCGCGTTCATCGCCGCGCCCTCGAGGCCGTGCTCATGTAAAGTCTCCGCCGCGTCGACGAAGCCGAGGTGGACGGCTCCGTGCTGCTCTTTCACTGACGTGGGCAATTGCAAAGGATAATAACCGGCCGCAAACACCACCACGTCGTACTTGCCCTCGTTACCCTTCTTTTCGATATCTCCACCAAAAAACGCAGCGCCGCCGTCCGCGGCGGTCTGCGCGGCCTCACCGAATCTCTCCGTGTGCCGCTGTTTCTTCCTCTTATCGCCGGCGGCTGGACCGGCGAACGCGACGACCACCGGTTTCAAACCGCCGTTCCCGTCGCTCTTCAGGAACGCGCCGCGCCGGATCAACAGCGCGTCGGCGGCCGCAGCGGCTAGTTGATCGTCGATCGTGGCCCAGAGCCGCGGCCGCGAGCTCTTGTTCCGCTCGTCGTACTCCTCCGCGACGACCGCCTCCCACGCCTCCTCGAGCGTCTCGCCGCCGACGATCATGGCCTTGGTCTTGGGGTCGCGGACGATGTCCATGACGCGTCTCAACAACGGAACGGCCTCGTCGCTCGGCTGCTTCGCCCGGAAGTAGATCGAACCCTTGCAGCGCTGCCCGTCGTCGTCCACGTCCCAGGACACCGTGCCGTCGTCGTTGCAGATGCCGAGCTGGCGGCCGACGGCGCCGAAGAGGATCCACTTTCTACGTTTATGAGCGAAGAACGCCGCGAGCTCGGTCAGCACGCTCGCAATGTTAATGCCCGCCTCCTCGAAGTCGACCGGCCGACCCGCGATCTCGGACGCGAGGCGCAGCATCACTAATACAATCGCATACGCGGTCTCCGTGAAGAACACGCTTCGGTCGGCAGGAAAGATGTCGCTGCTATAGATGACGTCCGTCGACCGCACCGTGACCCTAAACGGTTCGACCAGCCGCTGGCCCTGCAACCACTTCAAATAACGCACGTGGTTCGTCGCGATCACGACCCTGAGAGTTTCGCCGCCGTGGACGCGTCTCGCCATCGCGGCGCGTTTCACGCCCTGGCACCGGACGCCCTCGATCTCGATGTCTTGGCGATCACTGTCCGTTTTGAGGTCGACGGCGGCCCGGCACCTCTGGAAGTGCGGCCCGCCACCGGTCCACTTGTCGCCTGCTAAGTCATGGAGGTTGTGCGGGTCGACGCCGCCGCCGAAGTAGGCGACCCGCGCGGCAGCGCGCCGCGTCGCGAGCAGGGCGCGCTGCGCCGGGAGCGCGGCGTCGACGAGCGCGAGCGCGTCGCCGGCCAAAACGACGTCGCGCGCGCGCCGCGCGTCGAGGAGCGACGTGACGGGCGCGAGCATCGCCGCGACGGAGTCGACGGCGGCGTCGCCCTGCAGCGCGACCAGGCCCTCGCGCGCGGCGAGGGCGTCGCGGGCGTCCTCGAGCGCGTGCACCGCCCGCCCGGCCTCGACCAAAGCCGCGGTCGACCCCTTGACAAGCCGCGAGAACGCCCAGAGCGCCTCGAACAACTCCTTGATGTACCCGTTGTGGACCAACGAGTCTAACGAGGAGCGGCCGGTGCGGCAGTTCATGATTATTACTTTCACGAGGTCCATGAGGTCTCGGGCCTCCTTCGTCCCCAGGCCGAGCGTCACGAACGCGGTCATGAGGCCCGCAAAGTCCCAGTCCAGCTCCGGCACGCGGCTCGGCACGGGCGGGCCGTGCAGGTAGCCGAAGGTCTCCTTCATGTAGCGCAGCGTCTCGCCGCCGTCGAGCGAGATCTTGTCCTTGCTCACCGTCGCGAGGCCGAGCTTGTCGAGGGCGAGGCCGAACGCCGAGAACGACGCGTACGTCCAGTTCTTGTCGTTCTCGTCCAGTAACGAGCCCATGGCCTCGACGAACGTCACGAGGTTGGCGGTGTGGTCTCCCGAGCATGACAGCTTGCGGCTGCCGCACAGCACCGTCCAGTCGCCGTCGACGTTCCGCGCGAGGAAGCGCTGCCACAACGTCGCGTCGCACAGCAAAGCTTCGGTCGCGGCGGCGATCTGCATCAGCGCGAGGGCCTTCTCGTGTTTGGGGAACCGCGACAGATGAATCACGAGAGCGGTGAGCGAGCTGCGCTCGTTCGTCACGTCCTTGCGGCAGCGGGGTGGCCCCATCGCACGAATGTAATGTCTCCTTTTTGCAGCTGTCTTCGAAGCGCACGCCTGACCCGCTGCAGGAGTGGCTCGCAGCGGTGCGAATTGCAGCGTCTCTTGTTTTGTAGCTTTGTCGCAGCAGTAAACGTCTCTCAAAACGAATCCTGCGGCGCGTACGAGCTCGTTTGCGCTCGCCACCGATAAAAGCCTCATGATCTGGACGGGTTTTCCGGCTTTTTGCGCGACCCTCGCCGAGGAGCGCGACTTACGCAGATAAATATCGTCGTTTTCAGTAGCATGCTTGCCAAATTACGCGCCACGAACATACATGTTGTCCGGCAAGTCGCCAACATGCCAAGCAAGGAGGCTGACCGCTGCGTCAAGGCCGACAATCCGGACGCGGCGGTCGACGCGTGGCGCGTGAGCAACGCGGCCGAGACTCGCGACACGGCGGAGGCCGCGTCGATGACATCGGAGGGCGTGAAAGACCCCGCGCCGGCCGCGCCGGCCGAGACTGACCCGAGTTTGGAGGATCAGCCCGCGCCGGCGGAGCTGCAGTTCTCCGCGGCGGAGGAGGACGACGGCGCGCAGTCCGTCGACCACGACGCAACGCCCAAGCTCGACGACGCGGCATCTGTGAGCTCGCATGGCGAGGCGGATGACGGCGCGCTCGCGGCGGCGCAGGGCGGCCTGGGGCGCCGCGGACCTCGTCCGGGTCGGAAGGCGCCTCTGCTGATGATTTGGACGCGGCCCCCGAAGACAGCGACGAGGCCGCCGCGTCGACGACATCGTCAATAGATAGGGACGTTGCTCCAGCCGTCACCGTACAGGCGACGACGCCGGCGGCGCCGCGGCATGTGCGCCCGGCGCGCCAGCGCCAACGCGCAATTGCACCAGGTCTCACGCCGGTAGCGAGCGTAGCCGCGGCGGCATTGGATATGTCGACCCCTCCCCTGAGGGTCCTCGCAGACGACATGCGACGCGAAGGGCGCGACGTGACGGTGTTCAGTCTCGCCAATGCGTTTGCGAACACGTTGCTTGACGAAGACGAGGTCGAAGACGAAGACTCGTCTCCGTAGACCAATAGCTATGCCGGTGGCGGCGCCCATCGCGCTATCAAGGACCGCATCACACGCGCGTTGCTCGAGCCGGCTCAGACGACGGCTAGGATGACACCGAGACTAGGTCATAAAAACCCGACCGTGACAGTGTCAAAAGTCCAATACCTAAAAAAATTACTTAAAGCCGAGACTGCAGGCACCAGGCAACCCGCACCTGAATCACAACAAGTTACGCGCCGTCTACGAGGGCCCTACAGGTCTCCGTGAAGGCCTCGGGCATGCCGTTTTCGCCGAGCGCGTAGCCGCCCTCCAGCCCGAGCGCAACGCGCGTCCGCGGGTACCGCGCGAGGATCGCGTCCACGGATTGTGCGAAGTCGGAAGGCTGAAGCGTCATCGTCGCGAGGGGGTCGGGCTCGAGCGCGTCGTAGCCCGAGCACACGAGGAGGCAGTCCGGTGCGGGATCAAGCAGAAAGGGCAGCGCCTTGTCGCGCAGCGCCGCGAAGTACTCGTCCGAGCCCGACCCCTTGGGCAGCGGCAAATTCAAAATGTTGCCCAGCGCGCCCCGGTCGGACTCGTCCTGGCCCGTGCCCGGGAACCCGCCCGCCTCGTGGATCGAACAGTAGCGCACGCGCGGCTCTTGACCGAAGATGGCCGCGACGCCGTTGCCGTGGTGCACGTCCCAATCTAGAATAGAGACGGCCGACCTATGCGGAAATATTGCGTGGACCTTCGTGAACCTCCACGTGGCGCGCCCGAACTTTGATTTCCACACGGCGGCCGACGCGCCGCCCTCCAGCGCCTTGGCTACGGCCGCGCATGCGTAGTTCACGAGCCCAAAGCCCATGGCCGTCGTCCGCGTCGCGTGGTGGCCCGCGGGCCGACTGAGAGCGAAGGCCGGGCCCTCGTCGTCCACGGCCAGCGCGACGGCGTCGGCCCAGGCCCGCGTGCCGTCCAACACGGCCTCCCAGCTCCCCGGCGCGCAGTACGTGTCCGTGTCGAAGCCGCCTCCCGTTTGGGACATGGCCTGGACCTCGCGCAGGTGGTCGACGTCGTGCACCAATTTCAGCGCGTCGACGGCGTCGAAGACCGTGCACGTCGTCGAGTTCACCGCGTTGCGCCAGTCTTTGACTTTCACGTCCGACGCGAGGAGGGCCGCTTTTGCACTTTCCAACCTTTCGGGCACTTCGGCGTGGTTGGCGGACGGCGGGCGGTGGAGCTTGTGCAGGGACTGCTCGATGATGGTCAAGGCTTGCAGCGTGGCGAGCAGGGGCAGGAGGCGCAGGAGTGGCTGCATTTTGCTCTGCAGTGCCTGGCAGTATCAATGCGCGATTAGCAATGCTTGCAGCAGCAAGCCAAAAAAGTGATGCCGAGTCCAGCAGGCGCAGCTGCTCAGGCTCAGGCTCAGGCTTGCTTGGTACAATAATATTATGACATTGTCATGCGGCATCCCTAGTGTCTTACAGGCCGCTAGCTCAGCAACTCGAGACCCCTGCTGTCAGGTATGGTACAACACGCAAAGAGACGCGGAGAGAGGGTCGAGCGGGCTGTGAAAAAGCAGGTAGTGGGAGGGATGGGGGCCCTGATGAGGCGCTGGCGGAGTTGGCTCGCGGCCCCGCGTTCAGTCAATAACGGTATGCAGCCATTCATGCTCGGAGATAGTCATTTGTGCAAGTATTGACGAGTGCAGCGGCAATCGTTAAGCAAATCGGCCAAAAAACCACTGGTGCAGCCCTGCAGTGGCTGCAACAGCCACCGCGGAGCACCCGAGGCGAATCGCGGAGCACCCGATGGCCCACTTGCTGCTCCTTGCACTATGCGTAGCGACGAGCAACTCGATTGCCCTCCACGCGCCGGCTCGAGTGAAGACGCTCGGCGCGACGCGGTCGGCGCTGGCGTTGCTCAAAGCGGGCGACTTTGAGCACTTGGCGCGGCAGTTTAGCAACTCCGAGGGCATCCTCGCGCTGACGCTGCCCGGCAGCCGCCAGCGGTGCCTCGTCATCCACGAGAGCCGGGCCGACCTCGCGCGGCGCATGTGCGCGTCGTCGGTTCTGAAAGACAGGGTCGCCGGCGACGTGGCGTTCCCGGGCCTGACGCGCCAGCGGGACGGCGAGCGCTACGCGGCCGCGAAGACGGCGCTCAACTCAGCGCTGTGCGGCGTATCGGCCAGACGGCGTATCGGCCAAACGGCCTTCGCCGCGGCCTTCGACGCGGACCACATACATGACGACGACGCCTACGCGCTGTGCGTCGCGCGCTGTGCGCTACGCGCAACTCTCTTCGGCGACGACGAGGACACGGCGACGGCGTTCCTGGGACCGGCCGCGCTCGCGACGTCGGCGGCGGCGCCGCCGCCGCCGAGGCAGAGCGCGATGCGCGCCAGGCTGCGCGTCGCCGCGCGTCAGGCGAAGCTGCTGATGTCGGGCGCGCCGTTCTTCGAAGTCGTCGATGGCTTCACGAACGTGGACGCGAAGACGCTGCGCGCGCGCCGCGGCGTCCGGAACCCGGCGCCTGCGGCCGCCGCGGCGTTCCGCGCGGAGACGGAAGCCAGGCGCGAGGCGGCGATCGCGGCGCGGCGGCGCGGTGGCGCGGGAGCCGACGGCTCGGCGGTCGCGCGGCTCTGCGCGGACGCCTCGCTCGAGGACGCGGACGTGGCGGCGGCGCTGTGGGACCTCATTGTCGCGGGCACAGCGACGACGGCCGAGCTCGCCTCCGAGGCGCTCAAAATCGGACGCGGCGACGGCTCGGTCGACGCGACCGCCCTCGTCGAGGACGTCGCGAGAGCCTGTGTGGAAATCAAAATTTAACGGCGCGTTCGTGCTGAATCATCGCGTCGACCTCCACGCCATCGACGCGACGCCTGCTCGATGGCGTGGCGATGCCGGTTCCTCGCCGCTCGTGCACCCGACGCACTGGTTGATTTCCACACAGGCGAGAGCAGAACGGGAGAAGCGCGCCGTCGCGCCGCTGATCTTCCGTGTCGCCTGCGACGACGGCATGCTGGGCGACGTGCCTCTCCGAAAAGGCGATGGCGTCGTCGCGTCGCTGCGGCTGGCGCCGGACCTCTCCTTCGGCGCGGGGCGACGCGCTTGCGCCGGCCGAGAGGTCGCGCTCGCCGTCGCGGCGGCAGCGGTCGAGGCGCGGCTCTCCGGCGGCGTCGCGAAGATAGCCTAAGAATTTGTGTAGAATCCGCTACCAAGTTAGACGGACGTAGAGGACCACTCGACCATAGGACGCGACGCCGCCGCGCCCACTCCCTCTTAAATAAATCAACTTACAATTTGCCCGGCCCCCGCTTGTCCGGCAACGGCGACGAGGGGAACCGCGACCCGAGGACCGCGCGCTCCGCGCCGATCTTGGCGGCCTCCATGGCGCGCGCCAGGTCGTCGTCGGAGAGCGGCTTCCGCTTCGAGAGCACTATCCGGTAGGCGTTCGGCGCGACCATGGTCCGGTCGAGCCAGCGCGTGGCCTCGTCCCGCACGACTCGGCCGAGCTCCGCCTGGATCGGGAGCGGCACCTGACCCAGGGTCACGTGGCACGCCACGTCGCAGCGGAAGGCGGGCGTCTCGAGGAAGCTCACCTTCAGCTGCGAGCCGTCCGCCGCGAAGGTCAGCCGGATGCGGCCCCTCAGCGCGATGTTCGTCACTTTCAGTAGGGTCGTGAAGGAGATGCCCCGCGACCCGTCGACGCAGGCCTCCGCCGTCCAGATGGGCGTCCAGGACACGTCCCATTCGCTGTCGTCGAGCGACGACCACCTCCTCAAGACGATCTCCGGCTTCGACGCGTCGCTCGCGGGGAAGGAGCAGTCGCAGTACCGCAGCCCCGTCACGAAGCCGATGGAGGACAAGGCGCTCCGCAGGACACTTTTCGCCGTCGCGGCGTAGCCCGCGTTCTGCCCCGGGTTCAGGAGGAGCGCGTTCGCGAGGGCCGCCGTCGCGCGGACCTGTGTGGAAATCAACCAGTGTGTCGGGTGCTCGCGTCGATGGCGTGGAGGACGACGCGATGATTCAGAACGCGCCGTAAAATTTTGATTTCCACACAGGCGCGGACCCAGGCCTCGGTCTCGCCGCGCGCCGCCTTCAGTTCGTCCTCGAGCGCCGCGGCGCGCGCTTTTTCATGCTCGAGCTGCTCTTCTATGGTCGGCGGCGCGCGCTCTTGCTCCGCCGCCTCGCGCGCGGCGCGGCTCTCGTCCCAGGCCTGCAGGGCCTCGGGCGACGGGCCGAGGCCGTCGAAGAGGTAGTCGTCCATCATCCACCAGCGCTGCCCGTGAGAGAGGCTGTCGGGAGAGGAGCAGTGAGAGAGCTCTTTTGTCGGCCCAAGCCCAGGCGTAGCGCCGCCGTATCGTGAGGAGCTACTACACAGCCTTCTTTTGCGAGGGTTAGGCAAGTACCAAGCTAATCCTGGGCCTTAGCTCCTTGTAAAGGTGCTTCCCTAGTGTGTTACAGGCCGCTAACAATCCGGGGTCGGGGCTCTCTCTCTCATCGTCCTTCTTCTGGGGCAGTTAAGTCTCGAGTGGCGTAAGAAAACAACTCTACAAATTACTATCACCGCGCGCTACCCGCCCCACGCGCGCGATCGCCGCTGCCACGACCTCCGACGACTCCGCGGCGTGGCAGAGCCGGTAGAAGCCCTCGGGCGCGCCCATGAGCGGGCCGGGCGTGAGCACGACGCCGACCGCCTCGAGGGCACGCTCGTCGCACCGCGTTTCTCGCAGGTCCAAGAGGCAGAAATGGCCCGCCGCCGGCTCGCCGACGACTGGGAGGCCTTCGGTCTCGAGGCATCGTCGCGCCGAGTGCCACGACTCGGCGAGCCGTGACCGCAGCGCCGGGATCCACTCGTCGCGGAGCCACCGGTCGTCCGTGCAGAGCTCGGTTACGATAGCTTGAGTTACTGTCGAGGCCGCGCAGAACGCCCCGGCCGACGCGACGGCGTCCAGCACCGAAGCATCGCGCGTCGCGATGGCGCCGACGCGGTAGCCGCTCAGGGCCAGATCCTTGGCCGCCGAGTATACGACGTGTACGTGCCGGTCGTCGTCATCTAGAAGATCCAGTACCGACGTGAAACTGTCCTCAAAGACGGACAGCGCGAAGACCTCGTCCACGACGACCTGTACCCCCCGCCGCCGCGCCCAGCGCACGCACGCGCGCAACGCATCGGCCGGAAACACGGTCCCGCAGGGGTTGTGCGGGCTCGCCAGGAGCAAGCATTTCGCCTCCTCCGTCCACGCGGCCTCGAGCTGCGCCTCCGAAGGGACGCCGTGCTCCGACGGGACACCGACTAGTCGGCACTCCGCCCGAGCCTCGGCGTCGCGCTTGTAGGAGCCGTAGTACGGCGCCGGCGTCAGGACGACGGCGCCGCGCTCGCACGTCGCGTACAGCAGCAAATCGATCGCAGCCGTGGCCGACCCGACGACCGCGACCTGGGAAGCGTCCAGCTTGCCAGTCTGGAGAATGTGCTCGTTGTAAAGTTGAGCAAAGCCTTCGCGCGCTGCGGGGGCGCCGAGCCACGACGGCGCGTAGCGCACCTGGGACGACGCGGCCGCCGCGGCCATCGCGACGCGCGGCAGCAGTATGTCGTCCATTAAAGCATTCTGGGCGACTGCGAGAGAGACCCTGTCGGGCACTTCGCGCGACCGCGTAGCGGTGCCGACGTATGAGGCCGCGCGCAGGCCGCGCGACGAGAGGCTCGATGCTAAGGCAGTCGTGGCGAGCCCGGCGGCGGTCGGAATCCGTCGCATCACTGCACTGCGGCGTGCGGGAGCTGCAGTGTAGGCAGCAATGCCTCCACGGCAAAAATCGCGGCCTGGTGCCACGACAACTGGACTGGTGCGAAATTGATGATCAATGCGGCTCAAATCGACCGCTTGGCACCGGACTGTGACTGTGGGGAGCTGCTGCTTGGCAGGCATCCCTAGTGTCTTACAGGCCGCTAGCACTAATCAAAGACTTAGTCGCAACACAGCGAGAGACACAGGGGGGCTAAGTAGGTTTGCCCCCCATGGCACACACGCAGCAAAAGACATTGCGCGGGCTTTTTGTTATGGGCCCGGGCTGCCCGAACCAATTGCGGAGGGCATTATAACGCAGCCATGAGGGCCGCGGGCAGCCTTCTGGCAACCTGCATGCTCGTTACTGCCTACAACCCACGCGCGACACCGGAGCAACGTGCCGAGAAGAAGCGCACCTTCGATGAGATGCACATAGTGTGGTGCGCCGCGCATGGAGATTCCGACCTGTGCAAGCGCTACCGCGGCGAGACGACGCATCTGCGACTGCGCGAGGACGACAAGGTCGAATACTGGTCGATGCACGAATTATATTGCAGCGACGATGACGTTGATCGGAGCTCGACGCCGCAGTGCCGGCAGAACTGGGCCGCGCATCTTCGCAACGAGAGGGCGGCGGCCGCGGCGCGCGCGGAGGCGGACGAGGACGTAGCGCCTGAGGAGCCTGCGCCGACGAAGACGAGGCGAAGACGCGACGACGACGATCGTCCGCCGGAGCCGCCGCGGTACCGCCGCCATCGCATCCACAAAGGGAAGGAGCTCCGCGAGCCGCCGGGGCTGGCGCACGCAAACCACAAGTCGCCGTTCCGGAGCCCCGACGAGGAGCTTTGACCTAAACATGTGTATGTTCTCCTACAGCGTGCGGGGTTCGTACCGGCAGCCCTTCCAGCACCTGGCAGGGCTTGGCAGCTTTTGGACCGACCGCGCTGGGACGACGACGGGGCGGCCCGCGGAGCCGCGCCGGGTCCTCCCCAGCCAAGCAGGGACCCGCCCGCGACGCCTGCGCCCGCCTGGGCACACAGCCCAGCCGAGAGGGGCAGCCAACCATGGCTCTCACGGCGCGGCACCCCGGCGCCGACTTACGGATCCTCGTCCCCGGCAAGTTCGCCTGGTACTGCGTGCCCGAGCAGGTCGCGCAGCGCGAGGTTCCCGTCCTGGACGGCTGTACCATGGTCAGCACCGACGCGACGTACGTCTACGAGCAGTTCTTCGCGGATTTCGGCCCCTTGAATCTGGCCTGCGTCACGAAGCATTGCAGGCGCATGTTTTCGCTGCTGGAACAGGGGACGACGGTCGTGCACTACTGCGGCGACCACCCCCACAAGCGGGCGAACGCGGCGTTCCTCGCCTGCTGCGTCTGCGTGTGCGTGCTCAAGCAGACGGCGGAGGAGGCCTTCGCGCCCTTCCTGGGCTGCGACCCGCCCCTGCACCCGTTCCGCGACGCCGGCTTCGGCGTGTGCACGTTCCAGTGCCTCGTGCTGGACTGCGTCCGCGGCGTCGCCAAGGCCTGCGCGCTGAAGCACTACGACTACGCACAGTTCGACGTCGACGCCTACGAGACCCTCGAGAAGCTGGAGGAGGGCGACCTCGCGTGGATCGTGCCCGGCAAGTTCGCCGCGTTCAGCACGCCGACCGAGGAGCGGCGGGAGCTGCGGCCGGGCGTCTTCACGCTGGCGGTGGAGCAGTACGCGGCCCTCTTCAAGCGGCTCAACATCACGTGCGTCGTCCGGTTCAACAAGAAGCTGTACGACCGCGCCATCTTCCAGAAGGCGGGGATCCGGCACGTCGACCTGTGGTACGAGGACGGCTCGAACCCGTCCGAGGCCATCCTCCAGCGGTTCCTCGCGCTGTGCGAGCAGGAGGCCGGCGGCGTCGCCGTGCACTGCAAGGCGGGCCTCGGGCGGACGGGGACGAACATAGGAGCGTACATGATGAAGCACTTCGGCTACTCGGCGCGGGAGTGCATCGGCTGGATGCGCATCTGCCGGCCGGGCAGCGTGATCGGGCCGCAGCAGCAGTTCCTGGTCGAGGCCGAGGACCGGCTGTGGCGGGAGGGGGCCGTGTTTCGGCAGCAGCGGGCGAACTGGCCGGAGCAGCCGCTCCCGTCCCACAAGCCGCCGCTGTACGAACCGCCCGCGTACCTCCCCTCCGGCTCGCTGGTGGGCGTGAACCGGGCGCGGGCCGCGGCGCAGGTCGCCGCGCGGCGGGCCAAGGTGAATCGGCGGCCGACCGGGTAAACTTATAGCTAGTAATCCGAGTCGGCGTGGTGCGGTGGTGGCGCGAAGGCGATACGCCCCAACATACGCCATCGCCGCGGTTCGTTCGAACGGAGTAGACCCGGCCGGCGCCTGTACCACGTATCCGACTCCTCGGAGTCTTGAATAAATATAACTTACGCCCCTACGCGCGAGCGCGCCTGCGCGGAGGAACGTCACCGCGAGCAGACGACGCGACGAGGCTCTCGGCGAAGCGCGAAGCGAACCCTCGGCTAAATCCCTTAACGGTCGTCCATCATACGATATTCGGAGCAGATCTTGAATAGTTGTGGGTCGTCACCGGGTCCTCTCGTGAACAAGAAACTGACGCCGCCGCACGCCTATCGCGTCTTCTTCGCATCGATACCTCGGAGCCGCTCCACCAGCGGCGGGTGCGAGTGGTGGTAGGTGCTGAACCAGGGGTCCGGGTCCAGGACGCCCAGGTTCTCGAAGGTGATCTTGACCAGCCCTCGCTGCAGAGCGGCCCCCTTCCCCAGCGAGGCCCCGAAGGCGTCGGCCTGGAACTCCATCCGCCGGCTGTTCCAGGTCATCAGGAAGGACAGCAGGTGGTCCACGGGCTCCCAGAGGAACGCGAAGAAGAGCAGCACGCCCACGATCACCGGCGCGCCCGCCGTGTCCGACGCCCCCGCGACGGCCCGGAACCCGAAGGCGTTGTAGATGTCGACCGAGCCCATGCACCCCGCGAAGAAGTAGAACGCCGCGAAGACGTAGAGCTGCGAGATGGCGAACGTGAGCAGCACGTGGCCGTGGTGCCAGTGCCCGAGTTCGTGCGCGAGGACGGCGACGATCTCCTCGTCCGACGCCTGCTTGAGCAGCGTGTCGAAGAGCACGATGCGCTTCGACTTGAAGAAGCCGTACATGTAGGCGTTCGAGTGGGAGCTCCGCTTCGAGCCGTCGACGGTGAAGAGCTTGTACAGCGGGTAGTCGACCCGCGCCGCGAGCGCCTCGATCTTCGCGCGCAGGCTCCCCGCCTCGAGCGGCTCGTACTTGTTGAACAGCGGCTGCACGACGACGGGGTAGATCGTCACGAAGAACGTCGACACGAGGACGAAGAACGCGCCCACGTACACCGCGAGGTTCCGCGGGCCCGCGAGCATCACGATTTTAATAAATAAAGCCAGGCACGGGCCGCCCAGCGCCGCCGTGAGCGCCAGCGTCTTCAGCAGGTCCGTCGCAAACAACGCCGGCGTCGTCTTGTTGAAGCCGTGCCTGGCCTCGACGCCGAAGGTCGAGTACAGGGCCGTGGGCAGGTTGAGGACCGTGTCGGCGAGCTCCCACAGCCCGTAGAAGATCAGGGAGACCTTGATCTCGTGGCCCTCGCCGAAGTACTTGGTTCCGAGAGCCTCGGCCGCGTCCCAGAGGTAGGGCATCGCTCCCAGGAGCACGAACGCCAGGGCCTTCGCGAGCGAGTAGGCCGCGCTCACGAACTTAAAGCGCGACTTGTCCAGCGCGTAGGCTCGCGACGCGGGCGCCTTCTCCTTGAGCTTGGCCAGGAGCGCGGCCGGCGACGACTCGCCCGCGGTCGTCGGCATGGCGTCGACCAGCCTCTCGAGCTCCGGCGGCACCCGGTCGCCCCGCTCCTTGATGCGCCTGTGTTGCCTCAAATCGAGGTAGCGCTCCCAGCACTGCATGACGAGCGTGAACATGATGGTCGCGGCGAGGAAGGGGTAGGCGCTCGCGCCGCAGCCGTCTTGCTGGTACTTGGGTTGCAGCGCCGTCAGCCGGTCGAGGAGTGTTGGCGGCGGCGGCGGCGGTGGCGCCTCCTTGAAGTAAGAGAGGACCATAACGCTCGAGGGCCAGTAGCGGTGGTACGACGTCGCTCTGCAATTGCTGCGGCTATACTGCGATTGCGCAGCTAGGGTTGTAAGACACTAGGCATCCAGGCTGTCCCAAAAGTGCGTGTTTGCTGTCTTGGACCTGTACTCCACGCGAGATTAACGCGAGATTACGGTACTAAATATATATTTGTCCACAGAGACCGCGCATAGCCGACCGGGCCGAAAACCGAAGCATCAATCATGTTTGCCTCGAGGATGACAATCGCTCGCGCCGCGACGGCGACGCGCCAGTTCGCGAGCCTGAGCGGCGCCCGGGCCTACCTGCCCAAATTCTCGACCGTCGCGGCCGGCGGCACGGTCCTTGTGGTCGGCGGCGGCCTCGCGTACGACCGCTGGATGACGAAAATGTCCCATGACACCGGCGTCCAGGGCGTCGACGCCGTCGACACCCCACCGAACACGCGCGCAGGCACCACTCCGAGATCATCTGGCACGGCTCGGACCGCGGCGCCCTGCCGCCGACGGAGCAGCGCTTCTTCCCGCCCGAGGAGCGCGGCGAGATGCCGCGGCTCATGCGCATCTGGCGCACGACCGAGGCGGACGGCTTCAACCGCGAGGCCGACACGGACCAGGTCGCCGCCGAGGGCCAGCAGCCGACGGTCTAGTAGAGGCCGGCCCCGGGAATAAGAAACCCTAGTACATAGCCAACACTCGGGGCGACGGCGTACGTGGGCGGGGGCGGGGCGGCGCGGCCTAGCTCTAAGCAAAGCAACCTTAGGGCAGGCACGCCGCCGCGTCCTCGGCGACGTCGCAGCCCTCCCTCAGGAACCAGAGGCCCAGGCCCCGCAGCGCCTCCCGCTTCTCCGCCGTGCCGCCCGTGAAGTTCACGTGGAAGACGGCGACGCGCCGCGCGCCGCTCCGCAGGTCCGCGCGGACCTTGTTGCGCGCGCCGCCGTTGACCACGACGTCCGGGTCCAGGATGCTGACCGAGAGCCCCGCCATCGCGTTCGCCTCGGCCAACGCGGGGTTGAGGACCGCCTGGTGCGACTGCCGCGAGATGACGACGGAGTAGCTGTTCAGCAGGTGCGCCAGCAGCAGCTCGGACCGCCACGTCGCCCGCAGCAGGTAGAAGCCCGAGTTCGCGAAGAACGGCGCGAAGCGGTCGGTCCGCACGCCGTCGTCCATCCAGGCCGAGTCCGTCGCCGGCGCGTAGACGGCGTCCCAGACGTCCGGCCGCAGCCAGACGACGTCCGCGTCCTGGAACAGCACGTCGTACCCCAGCACGGACGCGGCGTAGACCGCCGCGGTCTTGAGCCACATGGCGTCGACGAAGGCCCGGTCGCCGTACGCGCCGTAGTCGCCGCCCGCGACGTCCCCCAGCGCGGCGTGGCGGAAGGTCGGGACCCGCGCTCGCTGGAGAATCCTCTGCGCCGCGGCGTCGGCCGCGATCACCAGCAGGCCCGCGTCCGCGTTCAGTCGCCGCGCCGACGCCACGAAGTTCAGCACCAGGTGCACGGTCCGACTATCGGCGACCGTGAGGAGGACGCGGCCCAGCCCGCGCCGCGCGAATCGGCTCGCCGCGGCCCCGCGCGCCGGCAGGGCGACGCGCGCGAGCGCGACCTTGAGCTCCCGGCTCATCGCGTCGAAGCCCCGGTCGAAGGCGAGGCGCCGCCGCCGCGCCCGCGCCCGCGCCGCGGCGCCGGGGAGGGGGGCCCTCCGGTCACCGCGCCGCTGGAGCGCCCACCGCTCGGCGGTCCGCTTGTAGGTGAGCACGTGGTAGGGGAGCGCCTTCGAGTTCGTCTCCGCGAGCAGTAGGCACCGTCCCGGGCTCCGGGCGCCGCCCACGATGGCCGCGTCGACCTCGGCGCAGTGCGCCGGGTACTCCTCGTCCGTTAAGCGCCTCGTGCCGTTGAGGAGGCGGCGATGGTAGCGCGTCGTCGGTCGAGGCGCCTCCTTGTGCTGCAGCAGCACCGAGCCGATGCCGGGCGCCGTCCAGGGGCTCCGCGGCCCGAAGAGCGCCGCGTGCGCGCGTTCTCTTTCGACAAACTCGGCGGCGCGCCACGTCTGGCGCTCGCGCGGCAGGCACTTCGGCGGCGGCGCCGCGAGGCGGCGTCTCCTTTCCTGCATGCGAGGCGGCGCGAGCGTGACCAGCAGGCCGACGGCGAGGCCCGCGCCGAAGGCGGCGGCGCCGCGCAGGCGCAGGCGGAGCTCCACCATGGGCGCTGCTTTCTTGGCCGCAGCCCGAAGCAGCCCGAATGCCCGGCGCGCAGCTATATGTTCAGAGGCAGGCCCATGCACCGGCGGTTGCTAGCCATCTCATAACGCGCGCTTTGCCTTTAATTTTTTTAGCTGGCTAGTGCCTTGCTTCCGCTAGCTAATCCCCGGCGCGAGCCGGGGTAAAAGTCCTTAACCCCCCATGCGTCGAGTTTCACCCCATTGCATGATGCGCTCTGCGACCGCTTTGCGGTTGCTGCGACCAGCGGCGCGCGGGGCGCTGCGCAGCGCTGGTGCAAGAAGCCATGCCATGCTCTCCACAGAAGCCGTGCAGCGCATCTCCGCCGTGGGCATCCTGGCGGACGTCGGCTTCGGCTGCACGAAGCTCGGCGTCGGGACCGCGTGCGCGTCGCCCGCTCTGGTCGCCGACGGCGCGCATAGTCTCGCGGACGTCTTAGTCGGCGCCGTTTCTTACGGAGCTTATGCCGCGGCAAGAGCACCGCCCGACGAGGAACACCCGTATGGCCACGGTAAATTCGAAGCAGGGGGCTCTTTGGTCGTCGGCGGCGCGCTCGTCGCAACGGGTGCCGCGGCGGCGGCGAACGCGGCGACGATGGCGACGGCCGCGCCGGACGTGATGACGCTGCCGGCCATGACCGCCTGCGCGGGCGTCGCCGCGTTATCAATCGCCGGCAAGGAGTGGCTCTATCGCGCGACGCTCCGGGCCGGCGAGCGGGGCCGGAGCGACGCCATCGTGGCGAACGCGCACCACCACCGCAGCGACGCGTACGCGTCGATCGCGGCGCTGGGCGGCATCGTCGGCACCTACGTGCTGGGCGTGCCGTGCAGTGCATAAATCAAATTGTCGCGACGCGTCTACCACGGCTCAACCATGACCTCCACACCATCGACGCGACGCCGGCTCGATGGCGTGGCCGTGGGGGTCTCTCACCGCTCGATTCGGTCAGCACGGTCGCGTCTTCGCCGAGAATGGACTTAGTGAAGAATTATCGGGTGCACCCGACACACTGGTTGATTTACGCACAGGTGCCGTGGCTGGACCCCCTCGCGGCGGCGGGCGTCGCCGCGGTCGTGGCGCACCAGGGCGTGCACATCTGCCGGGACGCGGTGGACCAGCTGCTCGACGCGTCGTTCGACCCGGCGCGCGTCGAGCAGTTGCGCGACGCGGTGTCGGAGACGCTCGGGCCGGAATACGTCGTGGACTGTGTGGAAATCAAATTTTACGGCGCGTTCGTGCTGAATCATCGCGTCGTCCTCCACGCCATCGACGCGACGCCTGCTCGATGGCGTGGCGATGCCGGTTCCTCGCCGCTCGACCGAGCCAGGACGGCCGCGTCATTGCCGAGAAATGACTTAGTGAAGAATTGTCGGGTGCACCCGACGCACTGGTTGATTTCCACACAGGTCGTGGAGCGGCTGCGGGCTCGCAAGGCTGGGCCGGGCATCGTGGCTGACCTTGTTTTGTCGGTGCCGGCGGGCTTGTCCGCATCCGCCGCCCACCAGGTCGGCGAGCACGGGGCCGTGGCGCTGCGCCGGGCGGCGTCCGAGGCCGGCGTCGCTGTCGCGGACGTGCAAGTTCATTTAGATCCGTCGGATCGGCAAGAACGCGACACGTGCCTCGCGGCGCTGCCGTCGACGCTTGAAAAGAGGGTCACCAGCCGCGCGCTGAGGCACCCGCGCGTCCGCGGCGTCGCGCACTGCGTCGTTCGGTACGACAACACTAAAGTCCTTGCCAAGGTCGACGTGATACTGCCGGACGCGATGACGTTGCGCGCGGCGCACGGAGTCGCGGGCGCGCTCCGGCGGTCTATCTTGCGAGGAGTACCCGAGCTCCACGAAGTCGACGTCGACTGCGAGCTCGACGAGCGCCGGGCCCGGACGTCGCGGCGGGGCGTGGGGCGCGGTCGCCACACTAGTTGTATGTGATCTGTAATACGATTGATAACTTTACACAGATGCGCCGGTCCGCCCGCCGACGAAGAGCGGGCCCAGGACCAGGATGGTCGTGGAGAGTAGCTTGATGACGACGTGCAGCGAGGGCCCCGCCGTGTCCTTGAGCGGGTCGCCGACCGTGTCGCCCGTCACGGCGGCCTTGTGCGCCTCGGAGCCCTTGCCCCCGTAGTGGCCGAGCTCGACGTACTTCTTCGCGTTGTCCCAGGCGCCGCCCACGTTGTCCAGGAAGAGCGCCATCAGGATGCCCGACACCGTGCCGAAGACGAGGTAGCCCGCGAGCACCTCCGCTCCCAGCAGCGGCCGCCCCGTCAGCTCGCCGACGAAGCGCCCCGCGAAGCCCACCGCCACCGGCGCGCCGACGCACAGCACGCCCGGCGCGACCATCTCCGAGAGGGCGGCCTGCGTCACGACGGAGACGACGCGCTCGTAGTTCGGCAGCGACGTCCCCGCGAGGATGCCCGGGTCGCTCTTGAAGGCTTCCCGGCAGATGAGCACGACCCGCTGCGCCGCGCGGCCCACGGCGGCGATGGCCATGCCCGCGAAGGCAAACACCATCCCCACGCCGAAGAGGCCGCCCACGAGCACCTCGGGCGTGGCGACGTCCACGACCTCAAAGGGCCGCCCGGCGAATTGCGAGAACTCGTCCATGAACGCCCCGAACAACAGAAAGCAGGCCAAGGCGGCGCTGCCGATGGAGTAGCCCTTCGTCGCGGCCTTCGTGACGTTGCCCGCCGCGTCCAGCGCGTCCGTCGCGTCGCGGACGTGCGCCTGTTGTCGCGACCTGTGTGGAAATCAACCGGTGTGTCGGGTGCACGAACCACACCGCGAACGCGCCGCGACCATTCGATTTATGCACGGGCCGCGACATCTCCGCGATGCCTCCGGCATTATCGGCGATCGGCCCGAAGTTGTTCATCGCCAGCACGTAGACCGCAGAGGCGAGCATGCCCATCGTCGCCACCGCGGTCCCGAAGAGGCCCGCGGCGCGCGCCGCCGCGGCCGGGTCCCCGGACGTCGCCCCGACGCCGGACGTCCTCCCCAGGTGGTAGGACGCGACGACCGCGACGCCCACCGTGAGCACCGGCGCGACGACGCTCTCCAGCCCCACCGCGAGGCCCGTGATGATGGTCGTCGCGTGGCCCGTCGTCGCCGACTCGGCGATGCGGCGGACGGGCTCGAAGGCGTAGTCCGTGTAGTAGCGCGACGCGCGCATGCACACGAAGGCCGTCCCGAAGCCGCACAGCCCGCAGCCCAGGAAGTGGCGCCACGCGGCGGGCGCGCCCTCGACGTCCAGGAGCCAGAAGCACGCGAGGCCGAACCCGGCCAACGCGACGGCGAGCGTCACCAGGTAGCCCTGCTGCAGCACGACCATGGGCGCGTACTCGCCCTCCCTCCTCTCGAGGGCGACGACCCGCTCCTTGGACACGGCGAGCACGCCCAGCGACGACGCGACGACGTCGATCGAGTGCACGACGAGCGGGAAGAAGACCACGGGCGCCGGGTCCGCGCCCGCGTCCCGCGCCAGCCGCCCCCCGAGGATCATGGCCCCGATGATCTCCGCGCCCACGGATTCGAAGACGTCCGCCGAGCTGCCGACGCAGTCGCCGACCATGTCGCCCACCAGGTCGGCGACGACGGCGGGGTTGCGCGGGTCGTCCTCGGGGATGGCCTGCTCGACCTTGCCGACCAGATCGGCGCCGACGTCCGCGGCCTTCGTGTAGATGCCCCCGCCGAGCTGCATGAACAGCGCGACGAACGACGCCCCGAAGCCGTAGCCCACCAACAACAGAGGCACGTCCGCCGCGTCGTCCACGACGCCCGCCATGTGGATGACGCCGAACAGCACGAGCACGCCCACGATGCACAACGTCAGGTTCAGCACGGCGCTGAACGCCCCGCCCCGAAAGCACACCACCAACGCGTCGGCCGCCGAGCGCTTGGCGGCGTCCGCGACGCGCACGTTCGCGTGGCTCGCGACGCGCATCGCCGCGTAGCCGCTCAATGCGGAGCAGCCCGCGCCGACCAGGAAGCAGCACGAGGCAACGCAACCCAAGGTCGTGCGCGACACGGCCTGCGCCGCGCCCGCGGCGCCTCGCGGAGGTGGCCGAAGTTTGTACGACAGCCCGATCAACAAGGCGAGCGGCGCGGCGAGCCGGAAGATGGCCGCGTACTGGACCCGCAAGAACCCCGCCGCGCCGTCGGCGATGGGCTGCGAGATGGCCCGCATGGCGCTGTCGCCTCCGCTCCTCTTCGCGATCCACTTCCGCAGGTACGTCGAGAAGAGCGCGCCGTAGGCGACGCAGCACGCGACGAAGGCCTCGTAGCGTCCCACGGTCCTCGTGGTCGTGAGGCAGAGCCACGCCGCGCAAACGCCGGCGCCGAGCAGCGTGAGCGGCGGGGCCTTGCCCTTTTGCGTTCGTTTTACCTTGGTCCAGTCGATGTCGTCGTCGTAGACCGCGCCGCCTTCGACGTCGGCGTCCCGCGTCGAGGCGCTGCGGCGGAGGGACGACGACATGCTCCTGCGGCACGTGTCTTATTAGGTCTCTTGTCTTTGCGCGGCGCGGATCACAGCACGCGCACCAGGCCTCTTGGTCTCCGTGCAAGCTAGCGCGCCGAAAAAAAGGCAAAAATTGGTGCGCTGTCTACGTTTGGAGTTTTTTTTAACCCGCCTCTTGTCTGCGCTATCGGTTCGAGCTTTAACAGCTGTGCGTGCGCGGCCGCGGCTTGGCTTTGCTAGTGTCTTACAGGCGCTAGCGATTTGCGATTTTTAGTGCGGCCAAGAGCCCACTTCCGCCACGTTCCACGTTCCACGACATCGACGCGTAAAGAAACCCTCAAACCGCCGCCGCGCGTAACCTTAAACAGCCCCTGCTACTTAAGGCCAGAGAGGCCTGAGGAGTTACAGCCCACGAGCCGTCCTACGCGCCTCAAAAACCATGAAGAAGAACCTCGTCACCGCAAAATACGACATGGCGCGGCGCCCGCGTCCGCGAACGCGCCGCGCCGGACGCGCCTCGAACGCGCCTCGGAATCGCGGTCACCGCGCAGGGCCGGATGAAGGCGCTCATGGCCATCGACGACGCCATGAAGGCGGCCCTCGTCAAGATCCACGGCGTCGCGGAGGAGGACGAGCTGCCCGACTCGATCCAGGACATCGAGTTCGACCGCGACGGCTCGTTGAGCGAGGAGTACGACACGGTCGAGAAGCTCCAGAAGGTCTTCGCGACGGCCATGCCCAAGGCCGACAAGGCCGCGCTCTTGAAAGTGGCGGAGAGCACGATCAAGCAGCTCGGGGAGTTGTAGATGGTGATGATACACCTGTCTCGAGAGTATAAATGAATACATTACTAAATTACCCGGCGGCGGTCGTGGCGGCTAGGCGGCCTGCCAGTTAAGCAAGGCAAATGAAGAAGGAAGACCTAAAAACCTAGTCACGTCAGCGGCTCGGGAGGCGCGGTCTAAACGTGACAGATAAACACATATTATACCTCCCACACGATGGCGCCTTCCTCTACCACAGCTAGGATGCGGTCCCGCGCGGCTACCGGTAGCTCGGCCGGATACCAGCAGCCCGGCGCGATGCCGCCGCGCAGGAGCTCCATGCCAAAGGCCGCCGTCGCCTGGCCGACGCAGTCCTCGAGGTCGCCGTGGGCGACTCGAAGCGTCACGGCCTCGCCGTCCGCCGCTTTCGCGTCGACGCGCATCGCGTTGATGCCGCCGACCAGAGCGTCGACGGTGCGGATGATGGGCATCGAGAAATCTGCGAGATTTTGCATCGCCCCCCGGTCCGCGAGCAGAGATCGCGGCAGCAGCTTCATGGCGCCAAACAGGTCGTTCCAGAACCTGTCACAATGAGAACTATTGCGGACAGCGTCGCGTCGATGGCGCGGGGCGTCCGAAATTTGATTTCCACGCAGTCCGGAACGCCGGGGCCGTGCCGAAGCTCGACGAGGCCGACCGCGCGCCGAGCGCCTCCGCGCATGTCGGCACGTCCGGGTTATCTAGGAGGTACACGTCGCGCGCGCCGACGCCGGGGCCGAAGTCGGTCGTCCTCTTTCCGGTCCAGGGCTCCCTCTCGATTACCGCGCCGTCGGCGTAGACGGCCGCCGGCGTGCACAGGAGCAAAAAGGTCGCCGAGACGATCGTGGGCCCGGCCCCGCCCGTGCCCGACGTGAAAAACGAAAACTCCAAGTCGTCGAGCGGCTTGCCGAGGCGCTCCGCGGCGCGCGCCGCGAGCAGGGCCGACGCGCCCGGCCAGATGCCGCACGAGATGACCGCCGGGACGTCGCTCGTCAATTTCTTCGCGGCTCGACTCAGCTCGAGCTCGTCGCAGACGTCGCAGTACGGAACGCCTGCGTCAATACATGCTTTCAGCAGGGTCGGGTCCGTCCGCTGCTGGAACGGGCCGGCCGTGTGGACGACTAACGACCGACCCGCGACGGCTCTTTCGAGGCTCGCGGCGTCGTCGAGGTCCAGCCGCACAAATTTTATGTCGTCGACGCCTTTCGCGCCGAGTCTTTTCGCCGCGGCGTCGAATGACGCCCGCCTGCGCCCGCCGATGGCGAGCTCGACCGGCAATTGCTCGGCCTTACCAAGTCTGTTGATCCAGCGCACCGTCGACGCGCCGACGCGGCCGCTGCCGCCCACGACGAGGACTCGTTTTGGCGTGAGAGCGTGGCACTTGACAAATGCGAGTGTTATGAGTGCCACGGTCCTGCAGGGATGCATGTCTCTCTGCTCGCTGCTGCGCGATTAGCTGTCTGGCGCCCTTGGGGCACCGCTCTGATCAGGCAGCCAAAATATATAATAGATACATACCGCCCGAGGCCCAAGCCAGTGTTTCCTAGTGTCTTACAGGCCGCTAGGCCTGGCCGTGGCCCGTAGCAACACACAGCAGCGTTCCAGTGCATTAGGATCTTTCGCCCAGACCACCGGCACGGGTTTTGCAGGCGGGTGTGTGAGGCGCTGTCGACGTAGGCCAGTTCGCCTTACTCTACTCCGCAGCCAAATGTGCTAGCGTGAGTCGCGTCCAAGTACACCCGCACGATGAACACACACATAGTTATGCCCCGAACTCGCTCACCGCCGCGGCCCGCAGGTGCCGCGCCGTCGACCCGACGGACCGCGCCTGCGTCCTGCGCCCCGCCACGCCGAGGGCCTGCCGCTTCTTCTGGCGCGTCGCCTTCGAGCCGCGTTTGACCTCCTCGGCGCGCGACCGCTTCCCCGAGGACTCGCGGGCCTTCTTCTGCTGGCGCGAGATCTCGGCGGGCGTTTCCTTCAGGCCGAAGGCGCGCGCGCAATGGCCCAGGTGCAGCTTTCTGACATGAAACGCCTGCGTCAGCAGCTCGCGCTCCGCCGCGTCGGCGACGTCCCGCGTCCCGCCCGCGTAGGCCCGGAGCTGCGCCGCGAACGCGTCCCTCGCCAAGGTTTTCAGGTCGTCGTCGTCGTCCACGACTTGTTCGAGGGTCTTGGTCGTCGCGCGCGCGTCGCTCTCGCCGAAGGACGACGAGGCGACGGCGGCGCGCGTGGGGTCGCCCGCGCGGAGGCGCAGCCGCAGCGCGTCGAGCAGCGGCCGCTCGGAGGGCAGGAGTAGTAGTACGGACGACCCGTCGCGGCCCGCGCGCGCCGCGCGCCCGCTGCGGTGCACGTAGCTCGCGGCGTCGCGCGGCGCGTCCAGGTGGATGACCCGGTCGACTTGCGCCGCCGCGAAGTCGAGGCCGCGCGCCGCGACGTCCGTGGCGAAGAGCACGGCGGCGCCGTGCCGGCAGAACTCGTCGTAGGCGCCTCGCCTCGATTCCTTGTCGAGGCGCCCGTGCAGCGCGCCGACCCTCCGTCGGAGACCGCCCCACCGCGCCCGCATCTCGTCGCGCGCGAAGGCCTGCGCGTGGAACTGGCACGACGCGCAGGTCGCGACGAAGATCAGCGTCTTCTGCCGCGACTCGCGCAGCATGGCGCAGAGCGCCGCCGGCCGCAGCTTCAGCGTCACGATCGCGTGCGCCTGCGACAGCGTGGCCGGCGTCGCGATGCGACTCTCCTGCGCGTCCTCGTCCTTCGCGGCTTCGACCGTCGCGAAGCCCGCGTGGAGGTGCGTCTGGGCTAGATCCTTGAGCTGGGCGGTCACGGTCGCCGTCACGAGGACCTTGGACGGCCGCCGCGCCGCGCCGTTCGTGAGCTTCTTCATGATGTCGCCGACCTGCGGCCCGAAGCCCAGATCCAAGAGTCGATCGACCTCGTCCAGCACGACCCAGGCTAACCTTCTGTAAGTCAGACACGCCGTCGACCGCAGGTGGTCCAGCAGTCTCCCGGGCGTGGCCACGAGGACGGGCACGCCCTTCCGGAGCCTCGCCTTCTCCGCCTTCCTCTTCTCCCCGCCCGTGATCGCGCCCGCGACGAGCCTCCCGGCGGCCACGCGCCGCGTCAGCGCGTCGAACACCTCCGAGATCTGCACGCCGAGCTCGCGCGTCGGCGCCACGACCAGGGCCACGGTCCCGTCGCCCCGGGACACCTCGGGGTCCAGGCGCATCAGGTCGGCGACGACCGGGAGCGCGTAGGCCAGCGTCTTCCCGCTTCCCGTCGGCGCGACGACCAGCGCGTCCCTCCGCTCCAGCAACACGGCGCAGGCCAGCTTCTGGACTTGCGTCGGGCGTTTCAACCCCAAACCGCGCGGCCGCTCCTCGCCGCAAACCTCCTCGAGCGCCGCGCCGACGCCGAGGGCGGCGAAGCCCTCGCCGTCATCCGTCGTTTGGACGGCGACGGGCCGGACCGCCGCCGGGCGCGGCCGCGCCAGTTCGTCGGCGCTCAAGTGGAACGCGCCGTACTGCGCGGCCGGCACCCGCGCGCTCTCGCGGCGCGTGCCGAACGTCGTTTGGGGTCGTGCGGGCGGCGCTCGACGTGGCTGCGGCGGCGCGGCCTCCGGTGGCGGCGGCGGCGCGGGCCTCGCGACCACGACGCCCTGCTTGATCTTGAGCTGCGGCCTCGCTTTGGCGGCGTGGCGCTTCGCGGCGACCTTGCGGCGTTCCTTCTTCGTGGTCCTTGGTTTGGCTTTTGTGGGCTTTGTGCCCGCGGGGGCCGAGGCCGTAAGGTGGAGGGTGAAGCTGTCGTCGGCCATGGCTTAGCGGCTGCAGCCGGCAGTGGTGCGCGCTGGGCGGTCGGTTAACAGGTTGTTGGTTGCGGCAGCGTGTTGCGCAGCGTCGAGACGGTTGCTGCCTATCCCGCACGTATAGTCCTACTTCTTTTAGGGAGATTACGAGCTCTCGGGCCGGCTCGAGCTCTCGGGCCTCAGCCTGGCAGCACTGCGCAGGGTAACTAGACGGCGCGTAGCTATCGCTTATCGCTTGCAGCTCAGGGGCAACCTTTGGTGCTTCCGATTGACGCCGCTATCTGCTTATAACGGTGCTTGCAGCGCGCGTGTGCGGCTGTGTGAGAGCTAATCGCTCGCCACTAGCGTCGTAAAGACACACTAGTAAAGCCGCCGCCGCCTCGAGCCGCGCGTCGCATAACCGGCTCCCTGGAGGGCCAGACTTCTCGTCGTGACGCTCAGTGATCAGCTCCTCTCGCTCAGACAAGCCGCTGGCGCCAGGGCTCCGCGAAGTGGTTCAAACTCTATCAAGACTTGGAGAGTTTGAACCGACGTGACCGCTTAAGTACTCTCCCTCTGAACCGACCCGGCGCCGTGGCGCCGACGCGACCCACGAGAAACAATGCCGGACGCCATGACCACACTACTGGCGAACGCCGGCTTGAGCGACCTCGAGAGGCGGCTCCGAGACGAGGCCATCGACGAGACGACAATTCTGGACCTCGACGAGGGTGACATGAAAGAGATTGGTCTCAAGATGGGCCCGCGTCGCAAGTTGCTCACGGCTATACGAGAGGCCAAGGACCGCCGCACGACGCCCGGCGCCGACTGGGCAAGGTCGCCGCCGCCGCCGCCGCCGCCTCCAGCGTCGACGAAACTCCACCCGCCCGCGAAACCCGCGCCCGGCCTGACCGTGGGCGCGAAAGCGCGCCTGCGCAAAAAAGCCGCGCCCGCGCCGGTGACACCTGCTCCGGCGCCCGAGGCTCCCGCGGCGTCGAACAGCGATGCCCTAGAGTGTCCGATCACCTACGAGCTGTTTGTCGATCCAGTCACGCTCGAGGGCGACGGCGTCGTGTACGAGCGCGAGGCCATCGAAAACTGGCTGCGGCGGGGCAACTTGACGTCACCAGCGACGGGTGTAGCGCTCAAGGCGACGCAGACGAAATTAATTCCGAACGCGGCCGTTCGGCGGCGAGCGGCGGCGGCGCGGTCGCGGACGGCGCGGGCGCACCTCGACGCGAAGACGCAAGTTGCAGACGACGCGACGGCGCGCATCCAAGCCCTCGAGGCCGAGAACGCGGCGCTCCGCGACCGCCTTCGCCTGTCCGTGGACCGCGAAACCGAGGCCGCGGCGAAGTTGCGCGAAGCGACCCGAGAGAACGCGCGGCTGCAGAAGGACGCGAAAAGCGCGAACAATTACAAGAATCGCGCGAAGAAGGCCACGGCGCGGGCCGACGAGCTGGACAGGGTCCTCGCCTCGGTGCTCGCGCACTCGCAGCACCTCGAGGCGGAGCTCGCGACGCTTCGGAACATGCCGCGCCTGTTGGTTCGTAATACGACGGCGCCGCCGGTCACGCCTGGCGACGGAGATAGTGCGTACTGAGACCAAAGTAGACCCTCCTCTCTCTCTCGGATCCATAGTCAATTCGGGTTATGAGCTAAGAGCTCGAGAAGCTTCGGAGGCCGCCGACGACGAACCCGAGGTGGCCGCGCGAACCGTGACGCCCGGCGCTCCCGTGATGGAATGCGGCCTTGAAGAGTGGTGCTAAGGGTGGCATCCCTGCTTTATCAGGCCTCCGCCACGCTCGGGCGGGAAGGCGCCCCCACGGCCGAGTCAAGGCCACACAAGCGCGAGCGCGAGCGCCGCTCGGGCGCAAACGCAGCCCATTGCACACCCGGGCCCTCCACCGGCTAGTCCCTAGCCCACTGCCTGCTCTCGCGGCTCGGCGGGGCGTCGCGCGCGCCCAGGCCAGCCACCCCCATAGGAGGGTCATCTCCAAGATGATGATGATGGCGGCGCCCGCGGCCGACACGACCATGCGGGCGGCGCCCGCGGCCGACACGACCATGCGCCGGACGCTCCAGGACCTCGGCCTCCACGACATCTACGCGACGCTCGCCGCGGAGGAGATCGACGACTCGGTCTTCTGCGACCTCCAGGACGGCGACCTCAAGGAGCTCTCCATCTCGCGCGGCAACCGCCGCAAGATCCTCACCGCGATCGCGGCGCTCAAGGCGCGCGAGCGCGGCGGCTGGCACCCACCGCCGCCGCCGCCGCCGCTGTCGCTGTCGCTCGTGCGGGCGCCGTCGGTCGTGACGCCGCCGCGGTCGCCTCCGCGCCCCGTGGAGGCGGCGGACGCGGAGTGCAGCATCTGCATGGACGCCAGCGTCGAGGTGCGCATCGTCGGGTGCGGCCACACGATGTGCTCGTCGTGCGCGTCGGACTGGTTTGCGCGCACGCCGGCCGGCCAGCAGACGGAGTGCCCCACCTGCCGCGGCCCGTGCGCGGACTTCGAGCCGCTGAGGCGCGCGCCGCCCGTGCCGCCCGTGCCGCCCGTGCCGCCCGTGGAGCCGGCCGTCGAGCCCGCGACGACGCGCGTCTACGTCGGGTCTATCCCATGCTCGATGACGAAGCTGCAGTTGGCGGGTCTCTTCGAGGGCGTCGGCCTCGTCGTCGACGCTTGGATCTCGAAGGACGCCAAAGGAAGGAGCACCACCATGGGCATGGTCGAATTTTCAGAACCTGCGGCTGCGGCGAAGGCCGTTCGTGCGCGGCACAACAAGAGACCCTACCCGAAAGGCAAGAGGCTGAAGGTAGCGTTGTGGAACAAGCGCCCGCCGAACCGGCGCGACTCATTCGGCTCGCGCGAACGGAGTGCCGAGCTCGAGGAGCTGCGGGCGCGCGTCGAGGCCGCAGAACGGCGAGCCGAGGCGGCCGAGGCGGCGCGCGTCCGGGCAGGCGTCGCGGCGTCGGAGCTGACGGCCCTCCGCGGGCGGAACGAGCTGCGCGCGCGCGCCGAGGCCGCTGAGGCGGCGTCCGCCGCGGCGACGGCACGCGCGGCCGAGCAGGAGCGCCGGGCCGCGCGCGCCGAGGCGAACGAGGCGGCCGCGACGGCGGCGCTCGCGCGAACGCGGATCAACGCGGATCTCGTGCAAAAAACAAAAGAGCTGACAAAGGCCGCGCGCCCGAACGCCAAACTCCGGGCCGAGAATCGGCGGCTCCTGGAGCAGATGACCGGCGTCCCGACGCTCGACCCGGGCGTCTCCGCGTACGTCCCCGGCGTGCCCGTTCTCGCCAGTCCGACCTGCTGGGTGAGGTGCGCCATCTGCCGCAAAGACGCGGACCCCTTCACGGCGTTCTCGGGGGCCGAGCTCGCGAACGGCGCCGCGCGGAGATGCAAGCGATGCCTCCCGGGGCAGTGACAGCCCCACGTTGTTGAAGTGACCGCGTCTGTTATCCTCCCCTCTAGACCCCTCCCGCCCGCCTGTCGTAAAGTCATGACGTGTCCCGCTCTGTCGCCTGACTTTTTCAGCTGCACGGTTTTTTTACCACCAATTAAACCGGACGAGCACATAGGCCGTAGAGTCTAAGACAAAGCTAAAGACAAATCACTGGCTATTGAGCCCCAGCCTCAGAGCTCGCGGGTTTTTAGCTCTGACGGCTACTTGCGGGGCGGCGTGCGCGGCGCGCTTGGGACGTCAAGCTAAAGAGACGCCTTGACGTTTTCACTGTGAACCCGTGAGAGCCGTGCGAGACGGGGTGCGAGCGAGCCTCAGTTAGTGACACTGACACCCTACTCGCCAGCTTTGCGACACCTGCGCGCCATGGCTTCGCCGACGAACGCCAAGGGCGGCGACGCGCGGCGCCTGCGGGCCGCCCTGGACGCATGCGGGCTCTCACTCCTGGCCCAGAAATTTGCCGAGCATGAGAACTATCAACTTACCGCCGCGTCCCGCGCCCGCGCCTCGAGCAGCCGCTGTTTCAAGAGAGACGGCTCCTCGCCCGTCGCCTTCGAGAGTTCGGCGACGGCCCGGTCGAAGGCGGCCCTGTAGTCCTCGGACGGCGCCGCCGGGCCGCGCCCCAGCGCGTTGGAAACGACGGAGTTCGCGGTCGAAATTTTCGATTCCGGGAGCGCGTACGTCGCCGACGCGTACACGTCAAAGTCCATGCCGTTGCCGTCCCCCGAGATGAAGTCCAGGAATGCCTGCGTCACCTTCGGGATGTAGTGCACGTGCTCGTAGTGGAACTCCGGCGTCATCGTCGGCAGGCCGCAGACGTCCGTCGCGAACCGCTCCAGGTCGCCGCTTTCGTTGGGGAAGACGTAGGACACGTAGGACTGCGACGCCCGTACTTTGAGGGCCGCGTTCTTGATCCGGAGCTTGAACTGCCAGGGCCTTCCCAGCAACTGCGACAAGTCCTCGACGTCGGGTTGGTCCGAAAAGTTCTCCATCGCCGGGACCCACTCCATGTTCAGGACGCCGCAGTCGTGGTAGGGCGACGCCGACGCGTTCAGGCGCACGTCCTTGTCCTCGTCCTCGGTGTCGAAGCCGTACCCCACGTACTCGCAGAGGTGCGTCCCCGACGCGTAGTGGAACGTGTGATCGAAGAACAGCGCGACGGGGTCGTGCGCGTCCGGCACGGTGTACGCTTCGTGCGCCTCGAGCGCCATGACGACCTGCAGTTTCTCGTCCTGGAGCATCTGCAGGGTCCTCGTGAACTCGCTCTCGTTCAGGTAGCAGACCTGCTTCGTCGACTCGTGGAGCACGGACACCAAAACGCGGCCGTGCTCGCCCTCGGAGTTCGCCACGCGCGACAGGACGACCTCGAACTTCAGGACGGACCGGTCGAAGGCGCAGCAGACCTCGCGCGCGTCCTTGATGAGCTGGAGCACGCGCAGCACCTCGTGCTCGTCGAAGGACGCGACCGTCTTCGCCGCGTTCCTGTGCGGCGACTGGGCCGTCTCCGCGTCGGCGATCTCCGCGGACTGCTCGCGCAGCCTGTTGAGGACGTTCATCATGCCGGGCCGCGTGACCTTCTCCGCGGCCTCCTGGAGCTTCGTGCATTTGTTCACGTCCCGAAAGACTTCCGTGAGGTCCGTCTCCACCGTGCACGCGTGGCCCGGCCCGTGGTACATGAGGCACTCCTTGCCCATCTTGACCCAGTTGCCCCACTCGAGCCGGACCCGTTCGCCCTCGTCGACCTGCTTGCCGGCGACCCAGGTCTTGCCCTGGCCGCCGACCAGCGTGCACGCGAGCCCCTCCCGCTCGATGCGACAGTGGCCCGCGACGACCGAGAAGGACGGCGGCCGGCAGTCGCCGTCGGCGCCAAAGGCCGTGGAGCCCTCCCGCAGCGCGTAGAGGAATCGCCGCGACCGGAACTCGTCCTCGTCGATGTTCACGAGGTACGGCGCGTCCAGCTGGTCCGGCGACACGTTCTCGAAGAGCGTGATGCCCCGCTGCCGGTACTGCTCCTCCTTCTTCTTCTGCTCCGCGGCCCGGGCGGCGGCCTCCTCGCCGCCGTCGTTCACCGCGGACTGCAGGGCCGTCTGGCTCTCGAGCAGCTGCGCCTGCAGCTTGGCCACCTCCTCGGGGCTCGCCGAGGACGCCGCGGCCCGCAGCTCGGCGACCATCTTCTTGTACTTCTCGAGCTCGGCCATCAGGCGCCGCTCCGCCGCCGACGCCGCCGTCGTGGCCTTCTTCGGGTTCAGGCGGACGCACGACGCGTTCCGCGCGAAGCCCAGCGTGCTGAACGTGTACTTGAGGTACGCGGCCTCGGGCCGCACGGCGCAGAGGAGGTAGGTCTTCGCCTGGAGCATCGTGTCCTTCAGGTACTTGCACAAAAAATAGGTGTTGTTGCCCGGGATCGACGCCCCCGGCTTGAGCTTCTTGGCGCGCGTCAGCTCGGCCATCTTCATGAAGAACATGGCCATCTCCGAGAGCGACAGGTTGATCTTCTTGCCCTGGGCCCGCAGCTCCTTCGTCTTGGCCTGGTCCTGGTGGGGCCCGACCAGCTTCTGCTCCGTCGTGCCGTCGTCCATCTGCACGCTCTCGTAGTTCGCGAAGTAGATGTCGCCCGCCGGCTCCGTGCCCGCGAGGTCGCAGACGTAGACCCGCCCCCTTTTTTTGATCGACGGGTCCTGCTCGTCCGGCATGAGCACCTCGATGGTCATGATGCAGTGGCCCCGCGTCGACTGCGGGTTGAACTGCGTCGGCGCGATGGCCTTCCGCGCGTTCGCCGCGATGAAGGCCTTCCGCAGGTCGCCCCAGCTGTTCAGCACGGTGCTCTGGCACCACTGGATGTCCATGAAGCCGTCCTGGTCCTTGCGCATGCCCTCCTTGTAGACCTTCTCCGTCGCCTGGGGCGAGGCGAGGTCCCGCACCGTCTCGACGACGTTCTGGAAGTACTTCATCGTCACCTTCCAGCCGTCCTTCCGGTCCTGGAAGATGTCCCAGGCCAGGCGCGGGAGGATGCCCCAGGAGCTGTGGGGCGTCTCGTGGTAGAACCAGCTGTTCTTGTTCTTGACGTCGTCCGTGCCGAAGACGGTGTAGGTCTTGCCCGACCCGCTCAGCCCGTACGCGAAGAGCACGACGGCGTTGCCGTCGTACAGGTCCTTCTTGATCTTGGCGCCGACGCTCCCGTAGACGTCGTCCTGGCTCACGACCGACATGTTCTCGCAGTAGCCCCTGTCCTTGGCGTCGCAGTAGTGCTTCCAGTTGAAGGCCGTCCACCAGCTGTAGTTGAAACTAAAGAACTTCGTGCTGTAATCGGAGTTGAGCAGCTCGATGCTGCCTTCCTCGGGCTTGACCTGCTGCATGTCGACGCCCAGGCGGTCCTCCCGCGTCCAGGGCCGGCTCCGCACGGCGACCTGGATCTGGGCCATGGTTGGTGGGGCGAGGGCTCTCTCCTCGCTCCTGGCCCGCGTCAGGGAGCGCGTCGACGGGCGTCAGCGCTGCTTTCGTCGCTGCCCCGCCGGTCGCGACGTCGCGAGGGCCCTGCGACCAAGCTCTGCGCACGCTCTTACGTCGGTGGAGGTTTTTTGGCAGCGCCACCCGCTTTAACTCCTGCGCCGGCAGAGTCGTGCCCCGTACGCTTTGAACGTACGCGTCCCGTCCACCCCGGGATCGCTCGACAGGCGTATAGAGCGATGCGCTCGCCGCGAGGACGGCTGGCGCCCGCAACTCATCGACAAGCCAAAGTTGCTCTCCTCCGGCAGGACAGGGGGCTCCGCGGCGCTGCCGGGGCACGGGCAGCTAACGTGCCGCCCGACGGCCGAGCAGCAGTCTCGAGCCAAGAAATACCGTGTCGGCTGGGCGGGGCAGCCCCGGCGCGCGTTGCCATTCGTGGGGGCAGCCTCCCACAAAAATACCGTGTCGGCTAGGCGGGGCAGCACGCGTTGCCATTCGTAGGGGCAGCCTCCCAGCAAGATGTGGCGCGCCGCAAATCTCGCATGTTGCCGAGTCGTAAAAACTTGATCGCCCTCCACGCCATCGACGCGACACCTTCGCTTTTCACACAGGAGCCGCACAACGGCGAGCCGCCCATGCGCACGCACGCGGCGTCCTGCGTGCTCGGGTCCAAGGTCTACGTCTTCGGCGGGCTCGGCGCGGGCGCCTCGAACCAGCTCTGGGCGCTCGACACGATCCTCCACCGCTGGGAGCGGCTCCTGCCCCCAGGCCCAAAGCCGCCGGCGAGGAGTGCCGCCACCCTCGCCGGCGACGACGACGCCCACGCCGTGTACCTGTTCGGCGGCCTGGGGCGGGTGAAGCGGGACTACCTCAAGAAGCGCGACGGCGTGCCCGGCGCGACCCTCCGGACCCAGCTCCACGCGCAGCGGTCCATGTTTTCGGACGTGTGGCGCTTCGACGGGACGGCGAAGCGGTGGGAGGAGCTCACCTTCATCCACATGTGCCCCGCCCCCCGGAGGGGCCACACGGCGACCTACTGCTCCGGCCGGGTCCTCGTCGAGGAGCCCGAGGAAACGAGCGTCGACGGCACGGAGGCGACGTCGTTCACGGAGGCGACGTCCGCGGACGGGACCGAGGCCAGGTCGCTGGTCGAGGAGGGCGCGCTCCTCCCAAAGTACATGGTCGTCGTCGGGGGCGCCGTGCCGGACCCCAAGGGCTTCGAGCACATCGCGGGGACGCCGGTCTGGGCCCTCGACCTGAATCGGAGGAAGTGGCTCCACCTCCCGACGACCGGGTACGCGGAGGCGGCGTACCGGTTCGAGCACACGACGACGAAGCTCGGGGAGCGGCTGTTCGTGGTCGGCGGCATGACGATGCCCCTGTGCGACGGCCAGGACTGGAAGCCGCCCCAGGGCAACGACCTGGTCTTCGGGGCGATGCGCTGGGGGCGCGTCGTCGACGACGTCGCGTGCTGTGTGGAAATCAACCAGTGCGTCGGGTGCACCCGACGATTCTTCACTAAGTCATTTCTTGGCGATGACGCGGCCGACCTGGCTCGGTCGAGTGGCGAGGAACCGGCATCGCCACGCCATCGAGCAGGCGTCGCGTCGATGGCGTGGAGGACGACGCGATGATTCAGCACGAACGCGCCGTAAAATTTTGATTTCCGCACAGGTCGCGTGCCTGGACCTGGAGACGCTCGTGTGGTCCCGGCTCGACGTCGACGGGCCGCCCCTGGCCGTGCGCGGCCACGCGGCCTGCGAGTCGCCCCTGAGACCGGGCGAATTGCTCGTCGTCGGCGGCCGCGCGCCCGCGTCGTCGAAGAAGCTGGAGCAGGACTCCCAGATCGAGTTCTTTGACGACGAAGTGGACGTGGACGACGGGACGCTCAAGGTCCGGGCGCTGAGGGTCGACGACCCCGTGCCCAAGTTCAGGATCCTGCCGATGGCCGGCCAGGCGCCGCCCGACTCCTACGGCCACGTCTGCGTGGGCTGGCGGGCCGACGCGCTGTCCTTCGAGAAGCTGCGGCGGGACCGGGGCGAGGAGCTGGAGAAGCACGCCGTCGCCATCCCCGGCGGCGCCGCGCGCGAGGCGCCGGCGCGCAAGAAGAAGAAGAAGAAGAAGCGGGGCCAGAAGGAGAAGCCGCCGCCCCGGGGCCTGCAGGGCGTGCTCGGCAACGCGCTGTGCCTCGAGCAGGCCTGCCTGCTCTGCTACGGCGGGGCGACCTCGGACTCGTCGTACGGCCCGCTGGCTCTCCACCTGTTCGACATGGCGTGGGGGCCGCCGCCGGACTCGGAGGACGAGGACGAGGCGGGCGACGTGTGGCGGCGGCCGACGACGCCCGAGGGGCCGGCGACGCCCCAGTTCTCGCCGATCAAGGAGGACGCGCTGCGGGGCGTCCAGGGCTCGCGCTGCGGCTCGCCCGACCTGTTCCGGCCCTCGACGGGGTCGTCGCACGGCTCGCGCGCGGAGCGGCGGCGGGCGGAGCAGGACCGGCGCTTCTTCGTCGAGCAGCTCGAGAAGCACGGCGGCCAGTTGCCCGAGTCGTACGCCCTCATGAAGGCGGTCATGGAGCGGCGCGCGCCGGGGCTGCGGACGAGCCGCCTGAGACCCGGCATGAAGGCGCCCGCCGACCCGCCGTGGCAGCGGGCCCAGACGGCGCCGCTCCTGCAGCTCCCGGGCGCGCGCATGTCGCTCGGGTCGCGGCCGGGCTCGCGCGCGTCGTCGCGGCCCGCGTCGCGGCCCGGCTCGCGGCGGCCGTCCTCGACGAACCGCCCGCGCACGTCCGCCGGCGACCGGCCGCCCACGAGCGGCTCCGCGCGACCGACGACGGGCGACCGGCTCGGCGCCGCCGCGCGCGCGCTGGCGCCGCGGCCGAGCACGACGCAGACCGTCCGCACGGTCGGCCGCGCGACGCTCGGCCGCGGCAGTCTGCTGGACGTGGGGCACCGGACGCTCGCGGAGCTGCCCGACGCAAACACGACGATCTGGCGCGCGCGGGACATCTTCCGGGTCAACGTCGAGGCCACGGAGGAGCACGCGTTCCAGACCATGCGCGAGGCGACGCTGGGGCGGCCGCGGACGGCTTTCTAATCTTATCGGTTCTTAGCTTGCTAGTGTCTTACTACAGCGCCGCGGGAGCCCTGGAAACAGCCTCACTGGCAGGCCGCTGCTTGCCAACTTGAACTGGTGCTAGTCATTTTTTATCGAATTCGGAACAACTAAAATTTAACTGCCTCTCACCGGCGACCCGGGCGGAAACGCGCCCTCGCGCAGGTACTCGAAGTCCTCGATCGACGTATCCAGGGACGCGTCCGACGCCGTCGTGTAGCCCGCGCCCCGCCCCCGCAGGAAGGCGGGCACGTTGCGCGACCCGACGGACGCGTCGTCGGCCATCTTCTCGGCGACGGTCGCCAGCAGCGGCGCCGCGAGCCGCTTGCGGCGCAGGTCCTCCCAGTTGATGGACGCGAAGAACGCCATCTGCTTCAGCGCGGCCACGCCGCCGACCTCGAACATCGTCGCCTTCTGGGCGCCCAGCCGCCGGGGCACGCGCCGCTCCAGCAGCCCGCGCAGGACCGCGACCGAGTGCGCGCCGAAGACGGGCGGGAACCTCGGCTTCTCCGTCAGGATCTTGCGGTGGAGCTCCTTCGTCTCGCGGTGGTAGAAGGGCGGCTCGCCCGCGAGCATCTCGTAGACCAGCACGCCCAGGCTCCAGAAGTCCACGGGCTTGCCGTAGCTCCGCCGCGCGACCATCTCGGGCGCCATGTAGATGTCCGTGCCGCACAGCGTCCGGTGGACCTGCGCGCGCGCCGGGCGACTGCGACAGCGCGCCGCGACCGTCGGGGACGCCGCGGGCGACCTCGGCGTCGGACTCGAACATCTTCGCGAGGCCGAAGTCCGTCACCTGCGGGCAAGGCAAAAGGTCGACGGGCCGGCGCCCGGGCCGCGGCGCGGCCGGTCGGTCTCCGCGCGGCCCGGCACGACGCAGTGCGCGCGGTCGTCCAGCAGCAGGTTCTCGGGCTTGAGGTCGCGGTGGATCACGCCGGAGGCGTGGAGGTGCTCGAGGGCCAGCGTGACCTCGGCCGCGTAGAAGCTCGAGATTTCCTCGGAGAACGCGCCGCGCTCCCGCAGAGTTTCGAAGAGCTCGCCGCCCGGGAGGTAGGCCATGACCAGGAAGAAGTGGGACAGCGTCTGGAAGGAGCCCAGCAGGGGCACGATGTAGGGGTGCGGCTCGATCCTCACCAAGACGTCCCGCTCGAGCCGCCAGATGCGCTGCGCGATCTTCTTCCGCCGCAACACCTTCTTGGAGATGGTCTTCACGGCGTACCGCGTCCCGGTCTTCTTGTGCGTCGCCAGGACGACCTGGCCGAAGGCGCCGACCCCGATCTCCCGCTCGAAGGAGAAGTCGCCGGGCTCCAGCGCGCGGCCCGCGCCGCTCCTTTCGTCGGCGGCCGCGGCCGCGGCGGCGGTCGCGGCGTAGAGGGCGCGCCAGGAGAAGCGCGCGGGCGGCGGGCGGGTCACGTCGACTGCGTCGTAGACGAGGCCGGGCTCCCGCGCCACGTCCGCGGCCAGCACGCGGAGGCCGAGCCGCGGCTCGCAGGCCATGGCCTGCGCTACCGATTTCGGCGCGAGTGCTCAATTGATCTTGCACGCAGGACCTTCCTGCTTTTAGTGATTGCACCGCTCAATTGATTGCTCAGCTGGACTTGCGCAGGACAGCGCCTGCTTTTTTGGCTCGACATGCTAGCGTTTAAAGATACTAGGGGTGAAGCTGCGTCGAAACATGACGCGCTAACAACAAGATGCGGCGACGCAACAAGCCCCGAGGCCTAAAGGCCCTGGCTGCTTTGCTTAGTGCAGCAGCCATCATACTTTTAGCGGTGCGCCAGCGCTCGACGACGCCGCCGCCGAGGGCGCTCGTCAAGTCCGAGAGCAAAGCCTCGGAAGCGCTGCGGGCGGTACGGGCCGCGGACGCGCGCACGCGCGACGCCGAGGCGCGCGCCGCGTACGCCGACCACGTGGCCCAGGAGGCCAAGGGCGACGCCGAACGGCGCGAAGAGCTGAACCAGGCGCTGCGAGCGCGAGCGCAGGCCGCCGAAGCCGCCGCGAGCGCGGCGGAAGCTCGGGAGCAGGCGAGCAATGCGCGCGCCGCGGCGGCCGAGCGCCGGGCGGCGCAAGCGGAGGCGGCGCTCAAAGCTCGGGAGCAGGCGAGCAATGCGCGCGCCGCGGCGGCCGAGCGCCGGGCGGCGCAAGCGGAGGCGGCGCTCGGAGCCGCGAAGCCGGTCGCCGCGGCGGGCGCGGCGGAAGCTCGGGAGCAGGCGAGCAATGCGCGCGCCGCGGCGGCCGAGCGCCGGGCGGCGCAGATCCGTTTCACCTGCGACATCCAAAAGGAGGTCGCGAAATACCGCAACCTCCAGAATTTAAAGTTACTTTTCGACGGAAGAAGAGTAGGCAACTCGACGCTCGGCCCGCTCATGCGCAAGACAGGCTCGTCGACGATGGATCGCTTCGCCGGGCCAAGTGCAAACCGCGTCCGCCGCGCGGCGGATTACCTCCACACAAATATCGTGGCGTCCGTGCGCGACCCCATCGAGCGCTTCGCGAGCGGCTATCGCCAGGTCGAGACGTTCTACGAGCTGGGCTGGATCCCGAAGCACTTTTTTAAGGGGGAATGCGTACTGCGATGGACGCGCGACGACTGCGCGGGGAACCCAAGGATGAAATCTGGATATGTCCTCGCGAAGCGCAAAGTGCCCGCCGCGGCGGCCGCGCGGCGCCGGACGCGACAGATCCGGCGGCTCCACGTCGTGGAGGCGCGGCGATCTCGGAGCGGCGCGCCCGCCCGGCACCGCTCAATTGATTGCTCAGCTGGACTCAGCTGGACTGGTGCGGAGAGCGTGTGAGCTAGCGGTCTAAGACACTAGGGGGCAAAAGGCTTCCAGGGCTCCGCGCTTAGGTGGGCTAGCGGCCTGTAAGACACTAGCAAGCAAGTCCTCCGCGTCGTCGAGACATGACGCGCTAACGACTGCTCGCGCCGCGCCTCAGGCGCGACACCTCGGCCTCGTGCAGCGCCAGGAACGCCTCCGTCCGCTCAGAAGCCTCGTCCCACCGCGGAGATGCGACGGCGCAACAAGCCCGGCTGCCGGGGCCTAAAGGCCCTGGCTGCTTTGCTTAGTGCAGCAGCCATCATACTTTTAGCGCTGCGCCAGCGCTCGACGACGCCGCCGCCGAGGGCGCTCGTCAAGTCCGAGAGCAAAGCCTCGGAAGCGCTGCGGGCGGTACGGGCCGCGGACGCGCGCACGCGCGACGCCGAGGCGCGCGCCGCGGACGCCGACCACGTGGCCCAGGAGGCCAAGGGCGACGCCGAACGGCGCGAAGAGCTGAACCAGGCGCTGCAAGCGCGAGCGCAGGCCGCCGACGCCGCCGCGAGCGCGGCGGAAGCTCGGGAGCAGGCGAGCAATGCGCGCGCCGCGGCGGCCGAGCGCCGGGCGGCGCAAGCGGAGGCGGCGCTCAAAGCTCGGGAGCAGGCGAGCAATGCGCGCGCCGCGGCGGCCGAGCGCCGGGCGGCGCAAGCGGAGGCGGCGCTCGGAGCCGCGAAGCCGGTCGCCGCGGCGGGCGCGCCAGTCTACGCTCCGGGCCAGCGCCCCTCGTGGATGACGCAGGTCGACTGCTCGGCCTACGACTACTCCTGCGCGTCGTCGCGCATGCGCGGCGCCTACGAGGCCTACCCGCTGCACCGGCCGCCGAGCGAGATCTCGGACACGCTGCCGTTGGACGCGGACGGCGGCGCCGCGTTCCGCAAGCGCATTCTCGCGCGGCTCGTCGCGCCGGCCGCGCCGGCCGCGGCGCCGTCGCGACGGTGGTGGCTCGCGGCGACGGCCTCCGACGAGGGCGCCGTACAAGTCTCCAAGGACCCCGAAACGACGCGGCGAGCGCTGGAGGCGTCGCGATTGACGTCGCTCGACGACCGCCTGCAGGCCGCCGTTTCCTCGGAAGGCGCCGTGCCCGGCTCCACGGTCCTCCCCGCACCGCTCAGCAAGCGCCTGGCCTGGACGATGATGGACAAAAAGTACGCGCACGACATGCTCTTCGACGTCGCGCACATGGCGCGGCACGTCGCCGGCTTCGAGAAGCTCGTCGTGGTCGCGCTGGACGAGCCGACGACGCGCGCCTGCGCCGCGGGCAGCATCAGCGCGGCGTCCGCCGGCGCGTCACAAACCAGTGGAATTCAGGCGTCCGGCAAGATGAAGGGCGTGTCGAATGCATTGGTTGAGGTCGTGCAGGGGGCCAAGTTCAAGGCCTCGCTCTGGTTCGTGCAGAAAGGTTACGACTTTGTGTTCTTCGAGGCCGACGTGTGGTTCACGAAAAGAGTGGATGTGCTCTGGAGCGCCGCGCACCGGGACGTCGTCACTTATCAGGAGTCGCGCACGCTGCCGTTGGAGGAGGTGGACTTGTACGTCGCGGCGCACCAGAACAATCCAACCTCCACAAACATCGGCGTCTACGCCGCGCGCGCGACGGACGCGTCCCGCGAGTTCTTTTCGGGCTTGCTCGAGGAGATGCGGCTGAAGCCCGGCAAGCACGACCAGTTGTTGTTTCACAATTTGTTGACGTGGCACCGCATGAAGCCGTCGCAGCCCGTCCCCGGGGACTGGGGCGACGCTCCGAAGGTACCGAGACCGACGAACCCGGCGGCCTGGGCGTTCATCGACAACCACCAGGGCGTGGCCTCGACGCACCCGATCATCACGCAGGACACGGCCTTCGTCCACACCCTGGGCAACGTCCCGTTAGATTCCCAGGAGGGCAAGAAGATCCAGTCCAAGGAGCTCGGGGCCTGGCACGGGCTCGGGAGTCCCCCGGGGACGCCGTCCTACTACGGTGCTTCGGCGCACGACGGCCGCACGAAATACCTCGCGCTGGACGGCTCTCCCTTAAACGGCATCTCGCTGTGCGAGCGGGACGGCTACCACAATGGTAGGATAGCGAAGGCGCGCGTGGCCGTTTTATTAGCGTTGGCCGCGCACACGGGCCGCGTGCTGCTGCTCCCGCGCGTCGTGGTCGACTACCACCAGTACTTTCTGTGGACGTTCCTCGACTTGAAAAGTGTCGGCTACGGCGTCGAGTGGCGAGAGACGAACTTCCCCTCGAACCCGCGGAGCTGGAAGAACGGCACGCACGCGTTCGGGTCATCGGCGCGCGTGTCGCTCCAGAAGCACGCCGTGGGGACGATGACCGCCGCGGGGCCGCGGTGGGCGGCACCGCCAAAAGGAGGCGCGTTGGCCGACCTCTTGGCCGCGGCCCTGAAGCCCCACGACGGCGCGGAGCTGTTGCTGGTCGACCTGGCCTTTGCGGATGAAAGGTTTGTTTCGACTCTGGCGAACTGCGAGTCCGAGCAAGCATGCGAGCGGCGTGGTATTCCGTGGGAGCTCGTACAACTCTATCGGAAACTGCGGTGGTGCGGGCAATCGATAGACCTCGAGCGGCTCGCGGCCAAGAGCTTCCAGGGGTGGGACTGCTTCGGCAAGGGGCGCGCGCCGCCGGCCGTGTGAATTAAGTGATCTAGATTGTCAGTACGGCTCCCCATCACCGGATCTTCTTCTCGGCGACGACTACCGCGAACCCGTACTCGTCCTATGTCCAAAGGGTGAGCCTCGCGCGAGCGGACGCGACTCCCGACACACACCAAAAAAAAGGCCCACCATACAGCGCGTCCCAGTGCCCCTCTAAGCAACAGTCAAACCGAGTAGAACGCCGCGGCGTCGGAGGCGTGGCTCGACGGCTCGGCATAGGGCATGGGAGACTAAAATCCGTGACTCGCCTCTACAGCGCGCGGCCGCTCGCAGATACCCGACGCCAAGATGTTCACCAAACCTTTCAAGACGCACCACAAGCTCGCCGGCGCGCTCGCGTTCGGCCTCCTTTGCGCCTATGCGTGCGCCGACGACTTCGTCGCGAGACGCGTCAGGGAGATCGCCGGCGAGCACCGGGCGACGGGCCACCAGGCGCTCTCCCGCTACGAGGCCCACCAGGGGTCGACGTCCGCGTCTCGAGCCCGCCGTCTTGCACACCGGCCAGCCCGCGCTGCGGCTAGACGACATCTTCCCCGTCGCAGGTCGAAGCTGACGCATAGGATCGATAGACGTGTTAGCTCGGGAGGCGTGGTCTAAACGCGACAGTCATGCCCAGGCCTCGGCCGTCAAATCTACCGCGACCCCGTATTCGTCCTAGGTATGGGTCGGCTTGATGTACATCTTCATGTTCCTTTATTTATTTTTGGAGCGAGCGGGTAACCCACTAGATTTTGCCATGATGGGGCGCGGCTTCCAGAGGCCCGCACTTGTGGGCTAGCGGCCTGTAAGACACTAGCAAGCCATGAGCTGGCGATGAGTCAGTTCGGCAATGAGCCAGTTTGAGGAGATCCCGTCCCCGGGACGCGGCTTCCAGGGCTCCCGCGTTAGGAAATCCCGCGTGGGCTAGCGGCCTGTAAGACACTAGCAAGCATGAGCTCTCGGCAAGTCTCGCAGGACATAGAGGCTTGTGTCAGGACCACTGCTCATGCGCGACTAGGTTTTGGGGACGCTGCAGGCTACTGGCACAACTGCGCAGCGCCGCAGCATGGGCAAGAAAACAGCGCGCGGACGCGGCCACCAGGGCGGCCGCAAGCCACCGAAGGGCGCGCGCCGGTTCAAGGGCGGCCGCGTCGCGCCGCGCGCCGAGCAGCTGCACTTCCCCGACGACGTGCAGGCCGTCGTCTGCGAACTCCTGTGCGATCTGCGCCTGCCGACGACGACGGACATGCTGGCGCGACGGAAGCTGGAGAAGTATAAGAAGGAGCCGCGCAAGGTCCTCAAAGCGCTCGAGGCGCGGCGCCGCGGCGCGTGTCAGGAGGCATTCGGCGTCGCGCCGCCAACGCCGCCGCCGGTAAGGAAGGAGGGCCGCGTGCGGCTCAATTTGGCGGCGGAGACCGTGAACTGCAAGAGCGGCAAGCGCTCGCGCGGCGCGGCGCGGTTGCTGGTCGTCGACCGCGCCGACGACGTGACAAAACTTTTGGCCAAGGCCAAGACGCTCCTGAAGACGAAGAGGGCGCCGCGCGTCGCGTACGTCGCGGACACGGGTCTGGAGCTGCGCGACACGCGCGGCGTCGAGGACGGGACCCTCGTCTGCGTCTCCGACGACGCGCCGGCCCCGGAGCCCCCGAAGGCTCCGGAGCAGGCCCTCGAGCTCGGCTCGCCGGCGGCCTGGGACGGCCTCGCGTTGACGGCGACGACGCCGCGCGAGGGGGCCGTCGCTCCGTCGCGCGAGGAGGCCGTCGCTCCGCCGCGCGAGGAGGCCGTCGCTCCGTTGCCGTCGCCGGCGGAAAACCGCGGCGCGGCGCCCGTGCGGATCGACGCCGGCAGGAAGGCGGCCATGGACGCGATCCGCGAGCGCCTGCCGGCGCACGCGTTCCGCGCCCGGATCCTCGACGCCGTCCGCGCGAACCGCGTCGTCGTCGTCGCCGGCGCGACGGGCTGCGGCAAGTCGACGCAGATCCCGCAGTTTCTGCTGGAGGATGCCGCGGCGCGCGTCGTCGTCACGCAGCCGCGGCGCGTCGCCGCCGTGTCGCTGGCGGAGCGCGTCCACGGCGAACGCGCCGAGCGGGTGGCGCTGGGCGAGGGCTCCGTGGGCTATAGCGTTCGCTTGGACGTGCGGCGGTCCGCGGCGACGCGGCTGGAGTTCGTGACGGTGGGCGTGTTGTTGAGGCGGCTCCAGCGGCCCGACGGCCTGGCCGACGTGACGCACGTCGTCGTCGACGAGGCCCACGAGCGGGACGTGCTGACGGACTTTTTGCTGGTGGCCCTCAAGACGAAGACGCTGCCCACGACGAGCGTGAAGCTCCTGGTCATGTCCGCGACGCTGGACGCGGGCCTCTTCGCGTCGTACTTCGGCGGCGCCGCGGCGGTGGAAATCCCGGGCCGGCTGCACCCCGTCCAGCACCGCTTCGCCGACGCCTGCGCGCGGCGCGTCGCCGAGGCGGCGACGGGCTCGCGGCGCGCGCGGGACGCCTGGCGGCGCCTCGGCGCCGCGAGGCTCCCGGCCGCGGGCGACGACGGCCTCACGCCGCTCGTCGACGGGCCGCTGGACGTCGACGCCGTCGCGGCGCTCGTCGCGGCCATCCACGAGACCGACGCCGACGCGTCGAACGCCATTCTATGTTTCGTGCCCGGCGCGGCCGAGGTCGACAAGCTGTGCCGGGCCGTGGCGCGCGACCTGCGGCGTGCGACGGTCGTGCCCTTGCACGGGTCTCTGCCGCCGCGGGACCAGCGGCGCGCGTTCCAGCGGCCGCCGAAGGACTCGCGGAAGGTCGTCGTCAGCACGAACGTCGCCGAGACGTCCATCACCATCGACGACGTCGTGCACGTCGTGGACACGGGCCGAGCGAGAGAAATTCGGTACAACGCGGCGTCGGGCGTCGCGTCGCTGAGCGAGGTGCGCGTGGCCCGGGCGGCGACGACGCAGCGGGCGGGCCGGGCGGGGAGGGTGAAGCCGGGCACGTGCTGGCACGCGTACCCCGAGGCCGACCTGGGCGTGCTGCCGGCGCACGCAGCGCCGGAGATGCTCCGGACGCCGCTGCAGGACCTCGTGCTGCAGGTCCTGAAGCTGGGGCTCGGCGGGCCGCGGCAATTTCTTGGGGCGGCGCCCCAGCCCCCGCCGACGCGAGCGGTCGACGCGGCCCTCGACGACCTGCTGGCCATCGGGTGCGTCGCGCGCGTAGGCGGCGAGGAGGTTGCCGACGACGACGACGAGTCGTCGAGCGACGACGACGAGAACCCGCACGGCGACGACGGCGAGCTCTTCTCGTTCAGCAGCGCCATGCTCGCGGAGAGTAGCCACGACGAGGAAGACGACGAGGAGGACGCGCCGATCGAGGACGACCGGTGGCTCCTCACGCCGCTGGGCGAGCACGTCGCGTCGCTGCCGGTGGACTGCCGCGTCGGCAAGCTGCTGATCTACGGCTGCGTGTTCGGCTGCGCGGACGCCTGCCTGACGGCCGCGGCGGGCATGTCGCTCGCGCGGGGCCTGTGGCGCGCGCCGCCGCAACTACGAAGGGAGGCGTCGCTCGCCAAGAAGCGGCTCGCCCAGGGCGACGGCTCGGACCTGCTGGCCGCGGTGCGCGCGCACGAGGCGGCGTCCGCGCTGGACGCCGAGGCGCGGCGGCGGTTTTGTCGAGACCACTTCGTGGACGAGCGGGCTCTCCAAGAGCTGGGCGGGCTGCGGCGCCAGTTCCGGTCTCATCTCGTGGACGCGGGGCTCCTCGACGCGGACGCTCCGCGACGGCCGCTGGCGGACGCGCTCGCGCTCGTGAGGGGCTTGTTGGTGGCCGGCCTCAACCCCCACGTCGCGCGCAAGGACCGCGAGGCCCCGGACGCGTCGCTGCGGTGCAAGGGCAACCAGCGCTGGTGGGTCCACCCGCAGTCCGTCAACTTCGAACTCCTGGGCGGGCGGGGCGACGCGCGGAAGCCGCGGTACGTCGTCTACAACGCCCGGCTGAAGACGTCGAAGCCCTACCTCCTGGACACGTCGCTCGCGTCGCCGGCGGCGCTCTGCCTCTTCGGTGGGTCGTTGCGACGGACGCTCAAGGGGACGTACCTCGTCCTCGACGGCTGGCTGCCCTTCAAGGCGACGGACCACGCGCAGCTTGCTTTATTGGCGCTGCGGCGCGAGGTCGACGCGCTCGTGCTCGCGACCGTGGCGGGGCACGCGTCGCGCGCGAGCCTCGCGCCGACGGCGAAGGCCGTCAGGGACGTGCTGGCGCTGCTGGCGTCCGCCGACATGTGAGTCATAGGTCTTGTTTTTGTCCGTTTTTTGTTTTATAGGTGCTAGGACGGCGATCTCCCTGAGAGACAACTACTGGGGCTCCAAGCCAGGTCCGACACCCGGGGGGGTCTGTCGAACGACCCGACGAGATTCAGACTCGTCCAGCGGGCCGTCGGACCGAAGGGGAGGTTTTGACTTCTCGCATAGGTATGGCTCCTAGTAGTAGGGGTACTAGTACCCCCCGCGTTTACCGAAGTAAGGTGTCCATTGTTTGTCCGCAGGAGGTCTCTGTTTCCGGAGGCTTCTGACCGCTCCAAACTCCGGGGATGTGCACTTAACGAGTAGTAGACATCGGTGCGTGGAAGCTCCGCGGCGCCGCCGGCTAATTCCTAGATCTGCACTTGTCCGCGAACGAAAGCGCCATGCAGTCGTATGAGTATCGTTCGGTTCGATACTGGTCCAAAGAGATCAATGGGACACTTACTGGGGGGCGAAAAAAATAATTTTTTTAATTCGCGATATTGACGGTCCCACCATGACGGCCGCGTCGATGGAATCCTGTACACCGACTTTTGGCTCCGCGAATTCACTAACGCGGCCGACGAGATAAAGAATTCTTCCCGATCGAGGCGAAACTCGGCCGACGCGCGCGAAGAGGCGGCCGGGCTAGGCGGTGGTCTGTGGCCCGGGGCCGGTGCTGTGTGAGACCTCTCACGGCGCGATGGGGCGCTCTTAGCCCTGGGGCGGTCGCCGGTCGGGCCGGGTCGGCGCTACATAATGGATAATTCGCAGGAACTCGGGGGATTGATCCAGCTCGGAGAGATACGTCGAAAACCGGTCTCAAACTAGACCGACTACGAACCGACTACATAGGCCTCTCTGGCCTTGATCGTGCGTAGTACCCCGGGGTCACGACCAGACGACGCTCGTATCTAGCACTCGTCCCTGGAAGTCCCGAGCCTACCCCCGCGTAATCTCATGACTTCGAACAAACTACACTAAGAAAAGTAGCCCCAGCGGCCCCCCGCCAAAAAACGACGTAAACAGACCGAAACATTAGCAAGCGCGGCGAAGATAGGTTTTGTCGAGAAGCCGATCGCTAAGACCGCTCCGGGCACCTCCGGGAGGCATATGTTCTGCCGCGGGGCGCGCCTCAACGCAGGATCAGCGCCTCCCAATTGCGCAAAGCGTCCAAAAACGCTGCCCACAGGCCTCGCGATGGGTTTGGCAGGAGCGTTGCTATCAAGACGACGGCCAGAGATGCCATAACGCCCCGCGGCGCCAGACAAGCAGCGGCGGCCATGGACTCCACCGAGACGACACCGCGGCTCCAGCGGCGCCAGAGCTCCATTGATTTGTTGGCGCGGAGCCAGCGGCGCAGCGCGCGGCCGCCGTCGCGCCTTCGGCGCTGGATGCGAAGGCTCGCAAGCCTCCGGCGGCTCCGGAGCAAGGACGCGGTCGAGGCGCACGTCAACCTGCGGATGGACCAGGACGCGCGCTGGACCGTGAAGGAGTACCTCCTGGGGCACGTCGTCGGCCAGTTCGTCATGCTCTTCGTCATCGCCGTGGGCCTGGTCTGGGCGGGCACGCTCGCCTGGATCGCGGCGTGCACGTATCTGACGCCGCGGCGGCGCGCGAAGACCCCCGACTACAACACCAGCGTGATCCAGGCCCTCTGGTTCTCCTGGGGCGTCTTCTTCGACCCGGGGACGCAGACCGGCATCGTGGCGGACGAGTACGTCGCGGTCAAGGTCGTGGCCGTCGCGTTTTCGGTCGTGGGGTTTTTGTTTAACCTCGTGCTCCTGGGGTTGATCGTGGAGCGGGTCAAGATCTTTCTGGACCGCATGGTCGAGACGTACGGGAAGATCGTGTGCACGAAGCACATTCTGGTGCTGGGCTGGACGGACCGGACGCTGTTTTTGTTGGGAGAACTGGCGGAAATGGCCCAGGGCAACGCCGCCCAGAAACGGACGACGATCGTCGTCCTGGGCGACCTGTCCCCGGCGGAGCAGCGCGCGGAGATCCGGCAGGCCTTTCCGTCGTGGCGGGCGGCGTTTCCCGCGGTCGACGTCGTCTGCCGGCAGGGGAGGGCCTACGAGGTCGAGGACCTCGCCCGGGTCTCGGCCCAGGCGGCGGACACGCTCGTCATCCTGGGCGCGTCGCGCATCCCGAGGGACGCCGACGCGCAGACCATATCGACCGTGCTGGCCCTGAGGGCGCTCCCGTCGGCGCCCAAGTCCAAGTTGATCGCCGAGTTCCGCCTGTCGCAGTCGACGCACGTCTTCGATCGCGTCGGCGGCGACCGGAAATTAGTACCCATCCTCGCGGCGACGGTCGTCGACGCCGCGTTGGTGCGATGCGCGCTCGTCCCGCCCGTGGGCGCCGTGGCGCTGGACCTGTTGTCGTTCGAGGGCCAAAACATAGAAATGATCCGCGCCGACAGGGCGGGCTGCGGCGGGCGGACCTTCGAGGACGTCAGGCGGCATTTTCGGACGGCCGTGGTCCTGGGCCTGGCGAGCAAGGAGAAGAAGAGCGTCGTGCTGGCGCCGCCCGACGACCGCCTCGTCGTGGACGACGACCTCGTCGTGTGCATCGCCGAGGACCAGACGGCGCTCTCCGACATTAGCGAGCGCGCGACGCCGAGGGTGACGCCCCAGGACGTGCTGCGGCGGGCGGCGGGGCTCACGGGCCGCCGCCGGCTGGAGACGATCCCCGTGGACGTGCCGCGCGTCGACGTGGCGCTGGTCGGGTGGAACGACCGGGTCGTGCCGCTGCTCCGGGAGCTCGACCGGCACGTCGCGTCCGGCTCGGTCGTGCACGTCCTGTCCGAGAGGAGGTTGGACGAGCGGGAGCGCTCGCTGAAGGAGGAGGGGCTGACGCTGAAGGGCGAGTCGGTCTTCCGGGAGGACGACATCGGGCTGCGGAACGTGACCCTCGACCACGTCGTCGGCTTCGCGACGGACGTCTCTCAGCTCCGGCGGCTGCCGCTCGCGACCCTCGAGGCGGCCATCGTCATGGCCGACATTGATCAGAACGCGGTGCAGTCGACGTCCGGCGCGGAGCTGCAGCTGGCCGACTCGGAGACGATCACCTCGACGCTGCTGCTGAGAGATATGCACGAACGCTGTCGAGCCAAGGGCAAGGCGGAGTCGCCGCTGGTCATCGTGCCCCAGTTCCTGGACGTGCTGACCACGCGCGTGTTCAAGAGGCATCCCGGTTTGTTGGAGGAGGAGAGCGACGCCAACGCGATGGTCGGCGAGGACTCGTCCGACGACGACGCCGCGGCGCCCGGGTCGGCCTTTGGTGTGGGGCGGACGCTGTGCGTGCACCGGAACTTCCTGGAGACCGCGGCGCTGACGTCCTCGGCCTTGTCGATCTACGGCGCGATGGCGCTGCGCGCGCTACTAGGATTGGACGAAGCCCTGGGTCGACGCGCCGTCGGGCCGCCCCGGCTGCGCGTCGTGCGCTGCGACGCGTGCCTCGAACGGCCGTCGATCCGCCCCCGAGCCTTCGACGACCTCAACGACGCCGTGCGACGGAAGTACGGCGCGTTAATGGTCGGGTGCTGTGTGGAAATCAAACCCGTGTGTCGGGTGCTCCGGCATCGCCAGCAGGCGTCGCGTCGATGGCGTGGAGGACGACGCGACGATTCAGCACGAACGCGCCGTAAAATTTTGATTTCCACACAGGTCGGGTGGTGCCGGCGGAACCGCGAGTCCCACGGGCCGGACTACGGCGACCCGGAAGTGAACCCGCCCCGGGGCCGCGCGCTGGCCTGGCGCGGCGACGACCTGCTCGTCGTCGTCACGTCGAGCGGCATCATGAAGTCCATCGTCGAGGCGGCGGCGCGCGGCGACGTAGCGGTCAGCGACCTTTAAGGTTTCCTCGTCGTTATAAGTATGGTTTATTTCCGGCGTTTGCACGGCCGACTCCTCCCCTGCTCTGCTGGAATATTTATACAGAAACCTTATTGCCATTTCGAAGCTCCGGTTGGGCATCCTAAACGAGCAGGGAGCAGGCTTTTAGGAGCTTGTTCCTTTGTAGGTCTTCCTTAATTTATTGATGTAAATTTATTATTAGATTTTCATCCAGGAGTGTACCATGCCCCGAGCTAGTTGCACGAGGCGTCCGGGTGACACCGCTTCTCGCCGCCGTCGACCAACGCGTCGCCGCTTAGCGCCGGTTCCTTGTACGCGCGCTCGAGCAGGCCCCAGACCGCCGTCTCGAAGACCTCGAGGGCCTCCCGCTCGCTATGGAACGCGTACGCGCCCACGCGGGCGTGGAACGCGGCGTAGGCGCCGCCGTCGCCCGCGGCGCGCCGCAGGGGCTCGCGGCGCCGGAGCACGTCCGTCTGGTTCGTGCTCGGCAGCGAGGACGTCACACTACACGCGAGCGCTCCTGACCCCAACCCCCCCGGAGGGGCGTCGCGTAAAAACAAAATAACAAATCCTACCGCTCGAGCTTTTCGAGGAGAGAACGCGACTCCTCCGCTCCGAGCATAGTGGCTGCAAGTTCCTCGGAGCCGCTAGTCATGCGCGTAATAAAACAAAAAGGCCCGACAAGCTGCCACACTAGACCTGTGTACGAGAGGTCACGAACGCAGACTATATCCTGTACGACCGCCCCCGATCGGTCCATAGCGAGCGTCAATCGGTGTCACTAGAGGTGCTGCGCGCGCCGACGCGTGCGGCGCGCTGGCGCTTTCAAAGGCACCGGGGGCGGACCGGGCGGGCGCGCGGCGGATCCGCGGGGTCCGTGGAGGGCCTGGGACCTGGCTCTGGGACTCAGGTCGCGACACGCTTCCCCGCCGCCGCCGCCGCCCGCCAGCCGCCGCCCCCCGTCCGCATCCCCGCGACGCAGCGGAGCATGAAACTGGACTCTTACCGCTTCACCCATTGGAACGCTTTCCGAGCTTTCTTCCGGCCCGGCTTCTTGCGCTCGACCACCCTCGCGTCGCGCGTCAACAAGCCCGCCGCCTTCAGCGCCGGTCTATGATTCGGATCATACACCTGCAGCGCGCGCGCGACGCCCAACCGGATCGCGCCCGCCTGGCCGCTCAGGCCGCCGCCGGCGACGGTCGCCCGGACGTCGAAGGCGCAGGCCGTCTTCGTGGCGAGGAAGGGCTTGATGACCTCGTCGACGTGCGTGGCCCGCTTGAAGTACTCGACCATGTTTCTCCCGTTGACGCGCACGCGGCCGTCGCCCGGGAAGACCCACACTCTTGCCGACGAGGACTTGCGCCGGCCCGTCGCGTAGGCTCGTCCCAGTTCGTCGCGGACGGCCTCGCGCGCGAGCGGTTGCGGCGCAGCTGCTGGTGCTGCACTGGAGAGCCGAGTGCGCGCGGCGACGGCGACGTCGCGCGGCCGCACTCGCAGTGCTGAGCGTCCGAGACGTGCAATCATCGTCTCACAATTATTGCAACGCAGGTGGTCTCGCGCCGCAGCGACGCACAGCGTCTCGAGGATCGCGCGAGAAAAGAGGACCTGCTCCGTTTGGGACCTCTCACTTTGCGCCAGGCTCACGTGATCCCTGCCCCTATTTTACGGGTTTTTTACTCTCGCAAAATGGATGGTTGAGAACGGTCACTGATCTCACCACGTACCTCACAACTATCAGCTCGTTTAAAAATTGTGTGGGCTTTGGAGGCCTTAGACTCGAGGCATACGAGCTTGTACTCGGCTGCAAGGACGCGCCGCGGACGACGCAGCATTCGTGCCGCTGATTGCGCTACGACAGCACAACACCTTTTGGTGTCCACGACTCGCACGTTTTCTGGCGCGCACGCGGCACTGAAAGGCAGCTAGACAACCGTGCTCTCCGAACGCAGGGAGAGCACCGCGTGGTCGCATAACTGAGCCATGCGAGCTGTACTGCTGTTCGTCGTCAGTGGCGCAGCCCTGCACTCAAATCACCAGAGCGCACCACTGCTGCCGCAACCGGACCGCCGCCTCTTCATCCGAGCGCTAGCGTCGACCGCGGCGTCGGTGCCGGCAGTCGCGAGCGCCGAGCGCACGGGCCTCCTGGACGTCGACGCGACGGGCCTCTCGTTGGGGCGGGCCTTCGAGCTCTCGCTGCCGAAGCCGGAGCTGCCAAGGGCGAACCGGGCGCCGCTCGACCAGAAATTCGCCGTGTGCATGATGCGGAGTAGTTACAACACCGTCGACGAGCTCGACTTCTGCGCCATGGACGCGTTCCAGAAGCGGTTCTTCCTCATTCGCCAGGACGAGTGGCAGCCGTACCTCGCGCGGGCCCGCGCGGCGCTGGGCCGGCCGCCCGAGCAGGGCGACCTCACGGACCCGCTCTACTTCGACTTCATCTCGTTCGCCCAGTACGAGACGATCAACGACTTCCTGAAGAGGCCCCGGAAGCTGTTCGAGGAGCTCGTGAGCGCCGAGGGCGAGACGCGCGTCGTCGCGCGGAACGCGTCGTCCGTCGCGGATGATCGACTCCTCGCCGCGGAGCACGGGCGGCGAGTGGGCGACAAGGTGCTCGATTTCGTCCTCGAGCGGTTCGCGTCGACGTCGTACACGCAAGTCCAGGTCTCGCCCCGTGTGGAAATCAGCCAGTGAGTTAGGTTGACGTCGACGGCGCGGGACGCCCGAAATTTGATTTCCACACAGGTCTCGCCGGAGCTCTCGCCCGTCGCCGTCGAGGCGAACGCCCAGAAATTAGTCACGCTGCTCGCGGTGCTCGGCTTTAGCATCGACAGCGTTGCGGAGCGGCGCGGGAACAAGTTGCTGGTCACCTTTATTGGGGCGGCGAACTGCTGGGGCCTGCGGAGCCTGAGCCAGGGCAACCCGCTGGCGCGGCCGCCGCTCGTGAACGACTTCGGCGCCAAGGTCGTCGGATGTGTGAAAATCAAAATTTTACGGCACGTTCGGCGTGGCGGTTCCTCACCGCTCGACGGGGCCAGCACGGCAGCGCCATCGCCGAGAAATGACTTCGTGAAGAATTATCGGGTGCACCCTACGCACTGGTCGATTTCCACACAGGTCGTCGGCGCGTGGCTCGCGCGGTGCGGCTACGCCGGGAGCCGCGAACCCGCGGCGACTACGTTCGACGCGGCGAGGTGCGCGTACACGCACGAGTTCCGGCTCGCGTGAGTAATTATCAATTTGTGTGTCGTAAATATTATAGAATCGTTAGTTGAGCGGACGCGCGGGTGCGGGGAGCCGGTCCACGAGGAACGGCGGGAGCTTCGCGAGGCCGGCCTCTGCATCGTGAACCTCGCAGCCGCGCTCCCCCAAGTCACCTTCCTCGTGCCGCACACCATTAAAAATAGGGCCGGATTTCCAGGCTGCAGAAACAACGGGAAAGTCATCCAGGACGTCGGTCTTATGCCTTCGTGCTCCGTCCAGCTTGACATCTCGTGGGGCACGCACGTCTCCCACCACACCAACACGAAGACCATTATCGCAGCGGCGAATGGCCGCGTCCCCGTCGTCGAGATGCCCACGAACACGCTAGCGGCGGGCTTCCTCTTCGGGGAAGTCGTTCCGCAGAGCGCCTCGGTCCAGCAGTGGGCCTCGGCGGTGACCAGGGCGCTCGAGCGATCGGACGATGACCGCTCCGCGATGCAAGCCTACGCGCGCACAATGTATTCCTGGGCCAACGTCCTACACGCAGACCTCGTCGACTATCTATACACTCTTTCCTCATAAAACGTCACGGACGGTCACGGAGAGACGTGGCATGCTGCGAAGCCCGTATCCCCATTTTCCGATGGGAGTCATGTATTCAGGGGAAACACCGATTCTACTACGGAAGTGGTCAACCGTTTAGCAGAGCCTGAACAGCGCGCTATGTTTAATTTCCAACCAAGGAGTACAAATATTATTCTTCACCGTGCATGTGCGTCGAGGTTTACTCCTCGGCAGAGACAGCAGCGGTTTTGGGGCGCGGCTTCCAGGGCTCCCGCGTGCGTGAGGAAATCCCGCGTGGGCTAGCGGCCTGTAAGACACTAGGCATCCCTAGGGCCTAGCAAAAGCAAGCAAGCGCCGCGCGCGAGCTAGACAACAGTGCTATGCAAATCGTCTAGGCTGTCGACGCGAGAACTCACGCCACACACGAGCGATGCGCCGCCTCCTCCTCCTTTTGTGCACGGCCGTGGCCACGGCCTGGGCCCTACCCGGCACGCCCTCGCACCGCAGACCGCTCGCGCCGCGCGCCGCCGCCGCGCCGCGAGTGAAACGCGTCGCCCCCGCGCGCCAATCCCCGAAACTGCGCGCCGTCGCGGCCGGCGGCGGGCCCGCGTGGGCCGGCGGCGTGCCCGGCTCGGTGGTGGCGGTCATCGCCGCCGCCTTCCTGAACCTGCTGGGCTTCACGATGACGGGCCCGATCACCCCCGACCTCGCGAAGCACTTCGGGTTGCCGGTCGGCGGCAGCGCGCGCGTCGGCATGCTCACGAGCGCCTACCCCTTCGGCATGCTCGCGGGGTTGGCGGTCTGGCCCCGCCTGTCCGACAAGCGGGGCATGCGCAAGCCGATCCTGGTCCTGAGCCTGGGCGGCGTCGGCCTCGGGCTGGCGGCGCAGTCCGCGGCCCTCGCGCGGAACGCGCCGCTCTGGACGTTTTTGTCCTTGCGGGCGCTGAGCGGCGCGTGCGGCGGCGCCTCGCCCGTGGCGAAGGCGTACCTGGCCGACGCGGCGACGGACGACCAGCTGCCCCGGTGGCTCGCGTGGCGCGAGGCCGCGTCGACCTTCGCTTTCATCGTGGGGCCCTTGTTCGGCGGGCTGCTCATCCACGGCACTTCTTCTTTGGCGTCGGTCGTGGGAGTGACGGCCGCCTTTTCCCTGCTCGCGGCGGGCATCGTGGGCGTCTTCGTCGAGGAGGTCGGCGCGGACAAGCCCGTCCCGGAACGGAAGACGCCCAAGCTCCTGAGCACGGACTACACGTCGTGTCCTCTCGGTTCTTCCCTGATCGGCGCGATCGCGACGATATGCGCCATGTCGGCGCTCGAGAACGCGGGCGCCGCGTGCTGGGACGCCTTCGGGGCGGTGCTCGCGCGGAACCGGTTCGGGCTGGACGCGCGGGGCGTCGGCGTCATGTTGACGTCGCTGGCGTGCGTCTCCTTCGGCGTCTCGACGACGTTGTTCGATAGGGTGCGGCGGCGGATCGGTCTGGTGCGGACGGCGGTCCTGGGTCTGTGCCTCGTGGCGACGGGGCTGGGGAGCGTGGGGCTGGCCAGGAACTCGCTGACGTCCTTCGGGCTCGCGGCGGCGCTCTACCAGCTCGGCAAGCCGCTCTACGCGCCGACGGTGCCGACGTTGCTGCTCCAGTGCGTCCCGCCCGATAAAAGGGGATTGGCCATGGGCATCGACGCGGCCGTGAACACGGTCGCGCGCTGCGTCGCGCCGCTCGCGCTCGGCGCGTTGTTGCGCGCCAAGGGCGAGGCCGTCGCGTTCGGCGGCGCGTCGGGCCTGGTGCTCGGCGCCGTCGGGCTGGCGCTGCTCCGCGCGCGGAACGTCCAGGTAGCCAATTAATACAGTATTTATTTATTTAGTTTTATTTTAGGCGGGTAGCAGCGGCGCGGCGCCGGCCGCCTTGATGCGGAAGGACTCGACGACGTCCCCCAGGACGCGGTCCTCGCCCGACGACCACAAATCGTCCAAACAACCGGCGACGACGCCCATGACCTCGGACCCGCCCGGCAACAACGTGAGCCGCGCGCGCTGGAGCCGGCGGATCCCGGGCGTCATGACCTCGGAGCCGGCCTCGCCCACGCGCGCCGTCGTGCCCTGGATGTCCGTCGCGATGTCGAGCTGGAGCACGTCGCCCCGCACGCTCAGCGAGCCGGGCACGGCGGTGGACGCGCGCGCCTGGATCTGCTGCTTGCGCGCGCTCGCCGTCGCCTCCCCGTCCCGTCGTTCGCAGACGAACTGCGCCAACGCGGCGTCCTTGCCTGCGCGCGAATCAACGTCGAGCGGGCGTCGCGTCGACGGCGTGCGGGTCACGATTCGGCCGCGGGCGGAGACGCGCAACGAAAGTGGATGCGCGCACCGGTCCCTGCCGAGGTCGTTCCACTGCTTGATCTTGCCCTCGGGGAAGTAGGGGAGGGCCTCGGCCTGCTCCAGCAGTTCCTTGACCTTGAACAGCTCCACCGTGACCACCTCCGCGGTCCGCAGGTTACCGGCCGAAAAGATGACGCCGCCCCTCCGCACGATGTCGCCGTCGATCGTTCTCCGAATGGCGAACCAGTCCTTCGGGAACGTCAAATCGAACAGAGGGTCCACGTACGTGCGCAGCTTGACGTCTTGGTTCTTCTGCGGGAGGTCCTTTTCGTCCACGCCCAGGGCCTGCGCCGTCGTCCGGACCGTCGCGACGTCCTTGAACTCCTCGGCGCGCGCCGGTGGGACCGGCGCGAGTAGTGCTGACGCTGCGGCGCCGCGCAGCAGCTCTTGGCGCGTGGGTTGCGGCTTGAGCCCGGTCGTCAGACCAAGGACGAGCGCAAGCAGCCGCATTTATGCGTGGCTTTACGTTGCGCACGACTGGTGCTGGTTCTGTGGACTCTCGACAGTAATGCAATGCCGGCTTGCGAGCTGGGATGCCAGATCCCTAGTGTCTTACAGGCCGCTAGCAGCGCTTGCTAGCTAGGGAGAGAGTGCTGGGTCTGTGGTTAGCATCTGACACAGGCCAGCGCCTTCAGCGCGCCCGTGCGCCATCGATGCGACGCCTCATGCGCCCCCTCCTCCTGCCCCTCATCGTGCATGCGCTAAAGAGCACGGACATCAAGAGCGTCGCCCCGGTGCAGCGCGCGGCGGCGGGGCAGGTCGTGCTCGCGCCGCGCAACGAGTACAACCACTTCCTGCGGCAAGCCGCCGTTTTGGTCGTGGAACACACGGAGCGGGGGTCGCTCGGCGTGTCGCTGGACTCGCCGACGCTGCTGACGATCGGCGAGGCGGCGAAGGGCTTGCTGGAGGACAGCGAGCTCGCGGAGAACCGACTCTTCATGGGCGGCGAGTACGGCGGCGACAGCGCGACGATGATCCACGCGTGCGAAGACGTCGCGGGTGCGCGGCGGCTCGGCGGGTCGGATTTGTTCCTGGGGGGCCTCGCCGACGCGGCGAAGCGCGTCAACGCCGGCATCAACCGCCCGGAGGACTTCAAGTTCTTCTTCAACTTCTGCAAGTGGGCGCCGGGCGAGTTGGACGACGCCATCGCCGACGGGCGGTGGCGGGCGCTCACGGGCGTGCCGCGCGAGGTCGTCCTCGACCAGGACCCGTTCGCGGACCGGGGGAAGCTCTGGCGGACGCTCGGGCGGGCGGCGAAAAGGAATCATCGTGTGTAAATTTTGTTTGCTTGTACTAATGCGCTCGACAATTGCTTCTTGGCTCAACATCCTCCAAAATCACGCCAGGCAAAAGCAGGCTGAGCTCGCCCAGACGCCGCCGCAGCGACGGCGCACCTCGAACGTCGCTCACGCGAGGTCGTGGCGAGCATCAATCAGCGTTCGCCCGCTCGACGCGCCACAGATCGCTCGCATGAGTTTCATCGACCGCGCCAGCGACGGCGCACGCGAGAGAGAGAAGGAGACGTGCAGGGGCCATAATTTTTAGTGCGCGGCGCTTCCCCGCGCGACTTGTGTAGAGAGTACTTAAGCGTACTAGACTTATTTTTCACCGGCGAGCTGATCGCCGATAGCCGGGAAATTAATTTAGACCACTTTCGTTTTTCTCGCCCAGAGCCGTGAGCCGTCCTGAGGCCTCCCTGGACACCTCCCGGGCACGGACACCGCGCGGGGAGGGGGGCAGTTTTTGGCGCTTGGTACCGCGGTGTTCGAGCTGGGCCCGGAGAGCTCCGTGGCGCTCGACAAGACGTACCTCGACGAACGCGTACGAGTCATCCGCGGAGGCGTCTCCAACATTCCATTCGTGATGACTCGGGTCGCCGCGGCCGACGCGACGGCCGCGGACGAGTGGCGGCGCATCGCCGCGTGCGAGCGCGTCATTAAACCGAAGGGCTTGCTCGCGCTCGCCGTCGGCGCCGCGGCGCTCGTCGGCGGCGCGTGCCGGAGGCCCGTCGTCGGGCTGCCGCTGCTCGTCCTGGGCCTGGCCGTCGCCGCGTCCTCGGGTGGCATCGTGGTGGACGACGAGGGCAGGTCGGTCGGCGACGAGAAGCTGCTGGCCGACGCGGCGTGGAATCGATGAGGTTTCACAGTTAAATATATAGACTTCTAGCGGACCGCGGGTGGCGTGCGCGACACCACGCTATCGCCGCGACGTGGCGCTGCTCGAAGGGTGGCCGTCCCAGCGCGTCCCCGGCGGCGCTGGCGTGGGCGGCGCGCCCGCCAAGCCTGCGACGTGTAGCGCCAGGGCGCTCCAGTCCAAATGCGAAATATTCGGGTCCATCGCCGCGATTTCGAAACTGGCCGCCAGATGCGCCCCCAGCGGCATCGCCGTGCGAGTCGCGGCGGCGGCGTCGCGGATCAGGCGCGCGTCCTTGAGGCCGTTTGCCATGCTGAACCCTCCTTCCGAATGGTCTCGGCGGGCGATCCTATCACCGTACCCTCGGTAGATGGCGCAGTCGAAGATCGTCGAAGTCAGCATGCGCAGCACCTGCTGCCGGTCGAGGCCGTGGCCTGTGCGCGAATCGACGTTCACGGCGCTTCCTCCACGCCATCGGCGCAAATTGCACTCACGGGTTGATTTCCACGCCGAACTTGGCCCTCCGCGAGGTCCAGACCCTCGGCCAGCGCCTCGATCGCCCCCGCGATCATGAAGTTTCCCGTCAGCTTCGCGGCCGCGGCGGCGCCAGCGGAATCCCCAAAGTCGAAGCAGCGCTCTGCGGGGGCCGCGTGGGACAGCGCCTCGTCGATCGCGCGTTGACGCAGCGCGGCGTCGCCGCCCGAGAGGGCGAAGGAGGCCTGGCCCGCGCGCATGTTCTCCGGCCGGGCGAAGACCGGGGCGGCCACGAAGCCGACGCCTGCTTCCTGATGTTTCCTCTCGAGGTCTGTCGCGCAGACGGGCGACAGCGTCGAGACCGAGACATGCAAAAGCCCGGGCTTGGCCGCGGACAGGAGCTCGTCGGCGACCGCGGTCGCGGCGGCGTCGTCCGGGACGCAGCTCACCACAGTCGTCGACCGCGCGACGACGTCGGCGACGGACGCCACAGTCACGGCGTTTTCGAGCGTCTTCGCAGCATGTCGATCAAAGACAACCAACGATGCCTTCGAGAGCTGCTCGCCCAGCGCGCGCCCCAGGTTGCCGAGGCCTACGAGGCCCAGCTTTGCCATTTGTTCTGCTTGCTGGAGTTCAGTTATGGATGGATTGCAGTCGTGCGCCAGGCTACAGCATAGATAGTAACACAGGCTCCTTGCTTGCTTGCTAGTGTCTTACAGGCCGCTAGCGCGCGGGATTTCCTAAACGCGGGAGCCCTGGAAGCCGCGCCCCGGGGACGGGATCTCCTCGAACTGGCTCATTGCCGAACTGACTCATCACCTGCCCGACCGACCAAAACTTCCAATTGGGAAGTCGGCCGCGGGACCCCCGTCCTTTTGGGCACTTGCTTCGCATGGGAGCGGGCGGGACGCGCGGCGAAGTTGCCGCATGTAAGAGACATCGCCAAGCCTTGTCCTCGTCCTCTCGTTACCGCTTAAGTACTCTCTCTCTCTCTCTCTCGTTACTCGCGCCGTCCCCCTTATGGCCGCGTCTTATACTATATGAGTGGGGCGACGCAGTGGCCCAACCTCCGTTTGTCTCCCCCCCAAGGTCCCTGCCCACTATTTCTAGCACCGTTAGAAAGGTTTCTAAAAAATTCTAGACACGATCTCATTACACGACGGGGGATGAGGGGAGGGGGGAGGGCTCACGCGTGCAACGCGAGCACCTGTGAAGCGGCGACGCCCTGGAGCGGCGTGCCGTCGGCGAGCTTCACGTCGCACGTGCCCGCGTCGCCGTCGACCGCGACGACCTCGCCCGGCCGGAGCGCGCCCTCATGCGCCACGTCGACGGGCACACCCGGCGCGAGCGGCGCCTGCGTCTGGTTCGGCTTGCGCAGGCGGCGCCGCGCAACGTTTGAAGCCGTCACGACGTCGCCCGCGACGTCGTAGGTCGGCCCCGGCGCGCGCACGCGCGTCACCGCGACGCCGATCCAGGCGAGGCCGCTCCGCGCGCAGAGGCAGAGCTCGACCTCCTCGCCCACGTTCAGGTCGCCGAGCGGCGCCGGGGGCGCCTCGTCCTCGAGCACCGCGGCGCCGGCCTCCGCGCACGCCTTGGCCGTGGCCGCGGCGGCGATCGCGGCCGCCGCGGCCGCGTCGCCGTTCGCCGCGGCGAGCGCCTGCTCGACGATGCCCAGCAACCGCTTCGGCTTGGCCGGCTTGGCCTCGAAGAGGTCCATGCCGATGCCTGTGTGGAAATCAACCAGTGCGTCGGGTGCGTTTCTCGGCGACGACGCGGCCGTCCTGGCTCGGTCGAGCGGTGAGGAATTCACACCGCCACGCCGTCGAGCAGGCGTCGCGTCGATGGCGTGGAGGACGACGCGATGATTCAGCACGAACGCGCCGTAAATTTTGATTTCCACACGGGCCAATGCCCAGGCCCAGCTCCCGCTCGTCCGGTTGGGCGTGGCTCGTCAGCGCGCAGATGAACTGCTTCTGCTCCCGCTCGACGCGCGCCTCCCACCGCCGGATGGCCTGGGCGCACCGGTACCCGTTCATGACCGGCATCTCGATGTCCAGGAAGACGAAGTCGTACAGCCGCGTCTGCATCTGCGCGAAGGCCTGCCAGCCGTTCTGGGCCACGTCCACCACGTACCCCTTCCGCTCGAAGGTCCGCTGCAGGTAGCGGCGCACGGTGTACGAGTCGTCCGCGACCAGCATGCGGCCCGCGCGGCCCGCCGGCAGTTGTTGTAGTGTCTCGCCCGACGCCGCCGCGAGCGTGCGCATGCGCACGACCGGCGCCAGGGGCGATGTCAATGATAGGCCGTCGGCCGTCGCGCCGGACGTGTCGTCGCCGCTCGACGCGCCGCCCCGGCTCGCGTCGTCGCTGCCCCCCGAGGAGGAGTTTTCTTCGGTCTTGTGGCGCTTCGGGGGGTTCTCCGGCGCCGGCTCGTCGGTGGGGCGCTTCTTGTCGGCGTCCCGCGTCTCCGCGTCCGGGGGCGGCCGGCCGTGCGCCGGCGCGAGCGCCGCGAGGCGGTCGTAGACGGCCGCGAGGGTCTCGCCCGTGGTGAGGGGGGCGGGCTGGGCCATGGCTCGTGCTGGGTGCCTTTTTGGGCGTCTCGGGCCGCGTCGGGCCCCTTTTTGGGCGCGTTTTGCGCCGCGCTCGCGGGGCCGGTTTTGCCCTACGCCTCGAAGCGGTTCCCGGGGGCGCGCCCTGGCGCAGGGGGGCTGCGGCGGGCTGTGACGACGCGTCGGCGCGGCGGTGGCGTCCGGTGGCCGGCGTGCTTCGCGTATCCTTCAAGGTGCCGTAGAGCGGGATGGGGCGCGGCGGGGCGTCTTGGCGCGGCGCCGGTGTGCGCTGGCGTTTGGCGTGGGCGTCAGCTACCTTCTGAAGCACTCACACGTCGCCGTATGGCGGAGCGGCGCGTAGCGGGGGGTTTAATTGCCAGCACACCCTTGCACGGCTCTGCACTGCGCTAGTATGCTACTACACTGGCAGCGTAAACTCGACGACGAGCGGTCCACGCGAACTTCATCGCGAAGGCGCGCCATCCGGGAACTTAATGCCTTAATACGAGGTAGCATGCTTTGGTACATTTGCGCGGGCCAGCGACGGCGCGCGGCGGCTCTAGTGGGCGGCGTGCGAAGCCGCAGTGGAGACTCACTGCAGAGGACTGTGAATACAGTAGCCGTCGCGAGACGATGATTTTGACGCGGGGGGTCACTCTGGCTTTCTATAGGGCTTGGCCCGGCTTGCGCACTTTACTTGGTCCGCGTTTTACACGGCAAAAACTTAGCAGGATGGTCAAAACGGCCAAAAACGCGATGTCGTGAGCGACACAGACATACCGCCTCACACGACAACAAATTACACAAATCACCCCTCCCCATCATCATCATTGTCGCCGAACAACCCCTCCATCGTCACGCCGTCCGGCAGCGGCGGCGGTAGCGGCGGAGCAAGACACGCCGGCAAGCGGGGCTTCTTCTTCTTCTTCGCGGCGGGCGGCGGCGCCGCCGCCGGTCGTGCCCGCTTCGCCGCCGGAGCGGGCGCGACCGCCTTCTTCGAGGGCCGCGCCCCGACGGTGCCCCACCGGGGCCGCAGCGACGTGCCGGCCCTGGAGAACGTCGTCAGGCCGACGCGCGGCTGCAGGCGCCGCGGGACCTTCGGGCCGGGGTGGGGCGGCGGCGCCGGCTCGCGGGGCGGCGGCGGCGGCGGCGACACAGGCGCCGGCGCGGGCGGCGGCGGAGGCGCGGCGGCCTCTTCCTCGTCCCCGAAGAGGCTCTCCATCGTCGGCGCGGCCCGGCGCGGCGGCTGGAGGCAGCCCGGCAGCGCGGGCCGCCTCGACGGCGCCGCCACCTTGTCCACGCGCTGCCGCCGCTTCGGCGCCGGCTTCGGCCGCGGCTTTGGGACCGCGGGCTGCGGCTCGGGCGCCGGCGCCGTCGCGCCGTCGCGCGAGTCCGTGGCCGCGTAGAGCAGCGCGGGCGTCGTCCTGCGCCGCCGGCACAAAATCGCGTCCGCCGCCTCGCGCTGCTCCGAGTCCGCGCCGATGAGCGAGTCGAAGGCGCTCTCCACCGCGCCGTCGTCGCGCCAGCCATCCGCCGGCGGCGCTTGCGGCGCAGTCACCGGCGGCGCGAAGGCGGGCGTCGACCGGCGGGGAGCGCTCTCGACGGCGCCCGTCGCGGGGTCCCGCCAGGGCACGTTCAATTTCGCGTACAGTTCGCGCCAGGCGCCGAGGTCGCAGGGCGCGTCAACGGGGCCGGGTTCGGCCATGCTTATCGTCCGCGCGGCGTCATGGGTGCAGGGCAACCATGCTGCGCACCCTGGCTGCTGCACGGCCTTGGCGTCTGTCTGATCACCGCTGCTCTCTCTCTCGTTGCTTACCCGAGTTTATTGTCGACAGGCGAGCGGCGAGCTCTCGACGCAGCGCGGCAAGGCAAAAAACGCTTGCGTTACAGAGGTCTCGCGCCGTCGGCCGGGGATTCTCTAGCTCGACGTCGTCCAAAACGCTGCGAGCCAACTAGAGCTAGGCCTGGTAAGACACTAGCAGTCTAGTGTCTTACAGGCCGCTAGCGTCAAAGACGTCAAAAAAGCAGCAGGGATCAGAGAGAGCAGAGGACGTCTTTCGGCTCCAGAGACAAGTACCAAAGCAACGCTGTGCGCGCGACCTGAGCTTCGCCCCGCTGATTTAACCTCTGGAGCAGTGCGCAGCAGCCTTCGCACGCACCACGCCTGCCGGCGGCAGAGAGCAGGCCCTCACTGCTACACTGTTCTCACCAAATCCACGCCCTACGAGCAAAGCACACCTTCACGGATGGGAGGCGCCACAGATGTCGTCCACCGGCGCTGCGGCGACCGGCCGTGCGAGGAGATGGACGACCGCGTCGTCGAGGAGCTTCGGGCATTCATATCGCAGCGCTACTCCAGCTTCATGACGTCGACGCTCACATTCCGGCATTTGAAGCAGCACCTCTCCGATACACTCGGCCTACCGTACGGGATGTTTTCGTTGCCCGACGGGCGATACGCGGACACGCTCGACGACGAGGTCGACGCGATTGCCGTGCGCTGCGACGGTGGTGCGAGGGACGTGGAGTGCGTGTCCCAACCAGGCTACGTGCCGCGGGAACCGCGCCTGCGTGTGCACCACGTCGCGGGCTATGGCGTGCTCGTGCTCCTCGCGGTCGTGTTGTTTCGAAAACGGCCGCGACGACGAAGTGTCGATAAGGATAAGTAGTCAGCTTCGTTCTCCAATTCTCCAACGAAACCGAGAGTGATGCTCTGGTGCGGGATAGAGCGAGGGTGCGCGAGACCAGCCCCCTCGACCGTGCGGGTATCAGCGGAGCGCGAAGGCTCCCGCTCCCGGCCTTCCGCATGCGCCAGAGGTACACGCCCGATACAGTGGAATTTCCGCTGTCCGCGCCGCCCGCGGCGACGCCGACGCACGCGACCAGAATCGCGCGAAGCATCGTCCCTCGTCACAAACCAGCGACGCCCGACAAGTCTTCGGAGGGGAGAAGTAAACGTTGGTACGAGTGTTCTGGATCACCCCAGGACGACCCCGCAGGCTCGATAGAGGGCTGCTAGCAAACTGCTAAAAGAGCTCTGAAAGCTCACAGAAGGGCAGCATCGTATCAAAACTGCTTCTCGCACGCGTATTGCGCCGACCCTGCATCGTAGCGGACTAACGGCAGCCATAGAACGCACGAGCAAAGGGCAGCATCGCATCAAACCGCTTCTCGCACGCGTAGTGACGCAACGCGCACCGGTCAAAGGGCATGGCGGTGGGCAACAACCCCCAACCGGTCGACTTGCGGGGCGCCAGCCCCCGGCGGCCCCAGAAATCGCCGCCGACCGAACCGATCGTCGTCCACCAGCCCGCGGCGGTGGTCGCGGAGCGGGCGGTCCAGCTCGACCGGAACGCGGCGCCGTGGTTCGTCGGCGTCAGCGGCGAGCTGCTCCTGGACGCGCTCCACCACGTCGACGACCCGGCGCGCGTCTCGCCGGCGGCGCGCCGGACCGTTTTGCAGACGCTGAGCCTCCCGCGGCCCGGCTTCGTGCCGCCCGCCGACCGGGACGACGAGGCCGTCTGCCGACTCGCGGTGCGCCTCGCGCGGAGCTCGTGCGACCCGGCGCAGCTCCTGAGGTGCGACGACGTCGCCGCGCTGAGCGCCAAACTCGGATCGGCGCACGATCGGGACGCGGTGCGCGAGGCGCGCCGATTGACGCGGCGCGCGGACGGCCTCCGCTTCGCTTTGGACGATAGGGCGGTCGACGCCGCGCGCGCGCGCGGCCCGGGCGTCGCGGTCGGCGCCGTGCACGCGCTCGCGGGCGGCCTCCACCAGGTCGCGCTGCGCCTCGACGTCGATAGGGCCGTATTCATGCGGGCGGCGCGCGCGTGCCTCGGCGCGCTCGCGATGCTCTGCGCGCCGCCCGTCGACGAGGCCGCGACGGCGTTCCTGACGGACCCGCTCGGCGCCTTCCTGGCCAAGGCGCTCGCGGAGGGGGACGCGGCGCCCGTCCGCGCGCCGACGGCGCGCCTGCTGCGCCGGCTCGCGACGCACGAGACCGCGCTGGCGTCGTTGGTGGGCGGCCACCGCGCGTCCGTGCTCGAGGCCGCCGTGCGGTGGCTGCCGGAGCCGGGCCCGGCGGAGAGCCGGAGGGACTTCGCCCGCTTCCTCTGGACCGTGGCCCAGCGCAAGGAGCGCGCGCTGACGCTCGCGACACCGCAGCACCTCGTCCCGATCCTCGCGCGGATCAAGGACGCGGCGGACGACGACGCGATCCGCGAGGACTGCTGCGGCGCCCTGGCGGCCGTGACCGTCCACAGGGACGCCCTCGCGCGCTTGTTCGCCTTTCACCAGAAATCTGGGAAACGGCGTTTAATAGACGAGGTGCTCGACGTGCTGCAGCCGACGCTGGGCGCGGCCTTCGGCGAACTCCACACCGGAGAGGAGGGCGCGGCGCCGTTCCGCGCGGCGCTCAGCGGCGCCGCGAACCTGTGCTTCGTCGCGATCGTGTGCGGGCGGGCGGACGGGCGCGACACGCAGCACCACGCGCACGCGCTCAAGCGGCGCCTCGCGACGCGCGTGGAGCGGGCGCTGGCGGGCGTCGAGGTCGGGCGCGCCTTCCACTTCAGCGCGGAGCGGGTGCGGCGGCCCGACCTCGAGGACCAGCGCGCGCGCTACCACGCCACGCGCCTGTTGTGGGGCGTGCTGCGGCTGCGGGTGCTGCCCGGCGACGCCGAGCTCGAGGCGCACGACGCCGCGGCCCGGGAGGCGGCGAGCCCGGACCGGGACCGGCGGCTGGACGAGGCGCGGCGCGCGCTCCACGGGGTGGCCTCGGGGCACGCGTACGGCGACCTGCGCGACGCCGGCCTGGACTCCCTGGCCAAGGCGACGCGCGCCCTGGACGTGGCGCGCTGCAGCGCGGGCGTGGCCCGGCCGGACACGCCGGCCGCGGACCTGGGGCGGCACCAGATCCAGGACCTGCTGCGGGTCGTCGTCGACGAGACGTTCCGAGAGGACGAGGAGCCCATCCGGTGCTTCGCGGCCTGGACTCTCGCGCACTACACGCTGCGGAAGAACGACTTGGCGCACGTGGCGAACCAGGACGCCTTCGCGCGCCTGGCGTCGCTCGTCGTCGACGGCGACCTCGTCGGCGCCGTCTCGAGGAAGGCCAAGGCCGGCGACCTCGAGGCGAACGACTACGCGCTCCTCACCGTGAGGCTCGTGGCGCGCACCCTGAAGAACCTGGCCGGCCACGAGCTCACGGCGGCGCTCGCGGCGGACGGCGCGACGAAGCGCGACGAGAGCTCCGGGGAACTGCGGGCGCTCAACAGGTTGGTGAGCGTGGGCTGGGATCTGGTGGGCCGGGTCCCGGACCGGCCGAAGTTAAGGAGGTTTCTCCTCCGGGGACACCTGGCCGAGGAGCTCGCGGCCTGCGACGCCGACGGTCCGTGCTATCGATGCACGCCCTACGCGATCGCGGGCGCCGGCCGGGACCGGCGGCGCGCGGAGGCGCCCGAGCTGGCGGTACGCGCCGAAGTCGGCGACGTCGTGAGCGGCGAGGCCGCGGACAACATCAGCGTGCTGGACGAGGCCGCCCAGGCGCTCGAGCGCCTGGCGGCGCACAAGCGCGCCCGCGAGGAGTTCGCCTCGCACGGCGTGCTCCAGAACGTCGTGGCGCTGGCGCTCGCGGGGAACGCCGGCCCGCACGCGAGCCGGCCGGGACGGTACAAGTTCGACGCGGCCGTGGCGTTCGAGGCGCTGATGGACGCGCCGCGCGAGACCTTCCAGCGCGTCGTGACGCTCGCGCCCGACGCGCGCGGGAAGCACCGGGCGCGCTGGCTCGTCGGGGACGTCGCGCGGCTCGTCGTCCAGACGCTCGAGGACGGCGAGGCGCGGCCGGCGCGCCTCGCGCTGCAGCTCTGCGCGCGGCTCGTGGCGCACGACTACGCCGACGGCGCGGACGCGCGGCCCCACGGGAACGACGTCGTCGACGCGGGCGAGTCCGACGACGACGACGCGGCGCACCGACTCCGCGAAGGCGACCAGGTCCTGGTGTACGCCGCCAAGCTCTGGGAGGGGCCGCGCAGCGGCCGGTGCGTGGGCGCGCGGGGCGACCGCGTCGACGTGCGGATGGACCGGGGCGGCGCGTTCGCCGACGTGCCGGTCGTCGCGGAGGCACCGTTGAAAGGAGAGGCGCCCGTCGCGCGCCCGGCGACGGCGGCTCCGGAAAGGGACTGCGCGAGCCTGTTCCTGCACCTCGCGCGGCTCCACGAGCGCCTGGGCCGCGCCCTGGGGAAGCAGGACCCGGAGGACGCGCGGACGCTCGGCGCGACGTGCGACTTCGTCGAGGCCCTGGCCGAGACGGCGAAGCGCTACCTCGCGCTCGGCCACGCGCGCGAGGCCCGCGCGGTCTTCGAGGCCGTGGCGCCCCTGTGCACGCGGCAGCTCGCCCGGCTCGCGCCGGGCCCCTGCGACGCGACGAGCGGGACGGTGCCCCTGTACCTGCGCCTGCTCGCCGCCGGGCACACGGAGCCCCACGTCAAGCGGCACGCGCTGCGGGCCGTCGACGCGTGCCTCCTCCGCCGCGCGCTGCCGTCGTCCGACGTCCAGGGGAAGGTCGTGCTGATGGCCGAGTTCGGCCTCAGCAGGGAGGACGCCAGCCAAGCGCTCCACGACGCCGGCGGCGACCTCGAGCGGGCCCGGGCGGCGCCGGCGCCCGTCGAGGCGACGCGGACGCCCGCGACGCCGCGCAGAAAGACGAGCACGGCCGACGCGGAGTACCTGGCGTCCTTGTTCCGGGCGCTGCTCCGCGTCGAGGAGCTCGCGCGCGCGCGCGACGACTCGCGCCGGACGCGCGCGCTCGCGGGCGAGCAGGCTCGGCTCGCCGGCATGGTCTCGGACGACACGCTCCGCGCGTACCACGACCGCGCCGCGTCGTTCCGGCCGACGCGGTCGGGCCTCGCGCGCCTCGGCGACGGGTCGTCGCGCGCGTCGTCGTTCCGGTCCGGGCGCCTGGCGTCCACGCCGCAGTCGCGCTCCGCGCCGGGGACGCCCTGGACGCCGCAGCGCCAGCGCGACGCGGAGACGCGGGGGCGCGCGGGCGTCGTCGACACGCTGCTGTACGGGGCCCTCGCGGAGCGGTCCGACGCGCGCGACGGGAAGGAGACGGATCTCGGGCCCGTGCACGCGCTGCTGCGGCGCGCGTGCTGCGCGGTCGTGGAGGCGTCCATCGCCGCGGTGGCGGACGCGGCGCCGCCGGCCTCGAAGAAATTTTTCAAGGGGGACGCGGTGCTCGCGGACTGGAACGGCCGCGGCACGTACTACCCGGGCACGATCGTCGCGACGAAGGGCACGGCGTACGACGTGCGGTACGCGGACCGGGAGACGGAACGTAACGTCACGCACGCGCGCATCCGGCGCAGGGGCGACGCGCGCCTGAGCACGCGCGAGCACGAGTTCCGGCGAGGCGACCGCGCGCACGGCGCGGCCGACGCGGAGGCCCGGGAGGCGTGCCGCGGCGCGCTGCGAGCCCTCGCGGAGCTCGGGGCGCGCCGCCTCGCGGCGCAGGGGCACGCGAGCGACGCGCGGCCGACGGAGACGCCGGCGTTCGCCCGGGCGCTCGTCACGTGCCTCAAGTGCCACCCGGCCTGCGGCGGCTCCGACCGGTTGCTGGCGGTCGAGGCGTGCGGCCTCGCGCCGCGGCTCTGCGCGGACCTGAACCAGCGCCTGGGCCTCGTCTTCCCCGCCGCGGGCGGGGCCGACGCGGCGTCGGGCGTCCTGCCCCCGCTCGCGGCCCTCGCGGCGGCGGAGGACGTCGCGGCGGCGGCGGCGGCCGCGCGGTGCCTCCGCATCGTCGTCGAGAACTCGACGGCGTGCCGCGAGGCGCTCGTGGCGCACGGCGGCGTGCGCGCGTTGGTCGTGGCGTACGCGCGCGGCGACGCGCGGTGCCGGGCCGACGTCATGGACGCGCTCGCGGCGCTCGCGCTGACGGCGAAGTCCCTCGCGGAACTCAAGACCGACTCGGCGGCGCTGCTGCTCCTGCTGCGGTTCAAGGCCGCGGCGGCGAGCTCGACGAGCGAGGCGTCGGCGCAGACGACGGCGCACGCGGAGCGCGCGCTCGGCCACATCGCGGCCTCGCCCGCCCTCGTTTTCGTGTACGCGCTCCAGACGTGTGCCAAGCAGGTCGACAAGTTCCAGCGGCCCTGGGTCAAGGACGCCCGGCGCGGGTGGGTCCTCGCCGACGCGCCGGACCGGGACGCCTCGGTGGGCGTCGGTCTCCTGCGTCCGGGCATCGACGACTTGCTGCGCCTCGCGTGCAACGGCGTCGAGGCCGAGGCGCGCCACGGCGGCGCCGCGGACGTCCTCGTGAGTCACGGCGCCCTGAAGCTGCTCGACGACATCATAAAAGTAAGGGACGCGGCCGTCGTCGCGACGGTCGCCGGCGCGCTCGCCTCGCTGCTGCAGCAGGTCGGGTCGAGGCCGTGCGACGACGCGACGCGCGACACGTGCAAGGACGTCGCCGACCGCCTGCTGTCGCTGGTCTGGCCGCTGTCGCACCGCGCCGCGCGGACGGTGCAGCAGGCCTTCATGCGGAAGCGCCACAACCAGAACTGGGGCGGCTGCGCGCTCGTCGTGGCGACGCCGCGCCTCGTCGGGCTGCTGGCCCTGGCGCTGGAGCGGGCGGACCTGCACCTGGACCTGGGCCTGTACCTCGTGCGGCGGGGCGCGCTCGACGCGCTGGCCGCGCGCCTGGCCCCCGACGGCCACGCGCGCGACGAGGTCTTCGGCGCGCGCGTCGACGACTCGCACCTGGGACTTGGCGATAGGCACGCGGCGGCGGACGCGGTCCGGGCGTCCGTCGGCGCGGCGCCGCGCCACCTGCCGCCCGTCGTCCAGGTCCTGTCGGCGCTCGCGCGCCTCGCCGTGCACGCGCCGCCGCACGCCCCCGCCGGGAACGTGGCGCGGTCCCTGTCCATCGTGGGCGCCTTCCACCGGAGCCCGCGGTGCCGGCACCTCGCGACGCTCGCGCTGCGGCGGCTGCGGCCGCAGGCCGCGACGCGGGGCGACACGTTCTTCGGGCTGCGGGCCGGCGACGAGCGCCCGACGCCGCCGCACCCGCGGACGTGGAGCGACGACGACGCCGCGACGTGGCTCGGGGCCGTCGGCTTCGGGGCCGTCGGCGCGGCGCTGCGCGCCTATCTCGCGGACGTCCGGGACGAGCGCGAGACGACGCGCAAGCGCGCGGGCCGCATCATGGCCACGAAGCGCGAGCGGCGCGCGGCGCTGCTCCGCCGCAGCCGCGCGTCGATCGACGCGGACCTCGGCGCCGGCGCGCTCCTGCTGCGCCTGGCGGCGCGGGACGTCGACGCCGCCGGCGCGCTCGGCGCGCACGTGGCGAAAGCGGGCGTCCACCTCGACGTCGAGGCCTTCTGCGCGGAGCTGCGGGAGCTCCACCTGCGCGGGCGCGAGGCCGAGGTCCGCTTCGGCCAGTCCATCCGGTTGCCGCGCGCGCTGCTCGACGAGGAGGCCGAGGCGACCGACGACCACGCGAACGGCATCGTCGTGCTGTCGGCGGCGCACGTGAGGCGGTACCGGGCGCTCGTCGCCGAGGCGGAGCACGTCCTCCGTCGGTGCGCCGACGGCACGGACCGCAAGGAGGTCGACGACCTGACGGTCCGCGTCCTGAGCTGCGCCAAGCAGGCGCTGGACACGTTCGACGAGAACGACGACGGCGCCGCGCGCCGCGCGGCCCGCGAGGCGGTCAGCGTGGCCAAGGACGTGCGCGACGCGGTGGCGCTCCACCGCGTCAAGGTCCGAGCGACGACGGGGGGCGAAGACACGCTCTGGTACGAGCTCTCGGCGCACACGACGCTCCAGTGGTTCAAGGACAACCGGGAGCGCAGCCGCCGCATCACGGGCGGCGACGACGTGTGCCTCTGGCCCTCGGACGGCGCCGGCCCGGAGGCCGCGCGCGCGCGCATGCACCGCCGGAGCAAGCGGACGCCCGAGTCGATGCTCCAGAAGTACGCGGCGATCCGGGCCGTGGACGCGCGCGGCCTCGCGCACTGCTTCGAGGTGCGCATCGTGAACCCGGACGCGCTCGGCGAGGACAAAATCACGGCGCTGATGGGCGCCGCGCGCGACTCGGACATCGACACGGTCAAGCTGCTCTACGACGGCGTCGACGCCTGTGTGGAAATCAACCAGTGCGTCGGGTGCACCCGACAATTCTTCATTAAGTCATTTTTCGGCGATGACGCGGCCGTCCTGGCTCCGTCGAGCGGTGAGGAACCGGTATCACCACGCCATCGAGCAGGCGTCGCGTCGATGGCGTGGAGGACGACGCGACGGTTCAGCACGAACCCGCCGTAAAATTTTGATTTCCACACAGGTCGACGCCGAGGTGCAGGAGGCGCGGCGGGGCGACGCGCCGACGCAGCGGGACGCCCGCTATGCCTGCCTCCCCTGGCCGGCGCGGCCCGACGCGTGGGACGCCACCGGCAAGACGGCGCTCCACCATGCGCTCCTGGCGGTGCGCGCGTCCGTCGACGTGTCGTTCGAAGCGACGGCGGCGGCCGTCGACGTGGCGCGACTCCTGCTGGACCGCGTCGGCGACGCCGACGCCTACGAGTTTGGCGCCGACGTGACCACATTCATGGCCGGGGACGTGCCGGACGACCTGGTGCCTCGACCCCTGGTGATATGCGGCTCCGCCACGTTCGAGGGCATCACGTTCGAGGACGCGAACCGACCCACGGCCAGGGAGAGCTTCCGGGACGCGATCGGGGGCGTCGTCGGGCGGGAGGTGGAACATCTGTCGCTCGCGCGCGTGGCGGCGGACGGCGTGGTCGTCGCCTTCGGGATCGGCGCGACGGCCGACGAGCTCGCGGCGGCGGCGCCCGGGGCGAAGAGCTCGTCCTGGGGCTCGGCCATCGGCGCGTCGCCGCTGGCCTTCGGGGGGTCCGACGTCCAGCCCTGGATCGCGGCCGTCGCGTCCAAGCTGCGAGCGGCCGAGGACGACCCGTCCCTCCTCGACAACGCCCTCGCCGCGGCGAGTACCAGCTGCGGCTTGTATACAACATTCGCCAAGGTCAAGACGACGAGCATGGACCTCAAATCGACGACGGCCGCGGCGATCGCCGTCGAGAGCTACGGGGCGGCGGTCGCGAGGGGCACCGCCGGCCTCGGCGGCGAGGCGGACGCGCCGAGGGACGAGAGGGTCAAGCTCCTGGACGGCCTGCTGGCGCACATGTTCGCGCGCGGGATAGCGCTCACGCCGGAGGCCGTCGCGCTCGCCCGGAAGCAAGGCCTGCTCGAGCGGATTCGCTACGTGTACGTGGAGCACGTCCGCGACCGCGACGCCCTCAAGGAGATGCTGGTCGCGCGGACGGACGTCTTCCTGCGGAGCGGGCCGCCCGCCGAGGGAGAAGATCCGGTCGCGGAGTGGGAGCGTCCCGTCTTCAAGTGCAAGAACCTCCAGGACGCCTCGAAGAAGATGTGGGACGAGCGGCACCGGTTCCTGAACAACCAGAAGATCTTCCGCTACCTGCTCTTCATGATGATGGTGCTGGTGGTGGCGTTCTTCTGGGTGGGCATGGACTTCGTGTTTCTGTCGCGGGACGGCGCGCAGCAGGCCGTGGCGATGCGCTTCGTCGACGAGGAGTGGTCGCCCGGGAACACGTTCATGGAGCTGGCGACGCCGGGCGACTGGTGGGCCTGGGCGGAGGGGCCGCTGCTGGACGCGCTCTACGAGGACCCGCTGCCGGTGTGGGACGGCCGGGGGCGGCCCCGCGCGGCGGCGGCGGCGCAGCGGCGCTTCCCCCTGCTCGGGGGCCTGGGCACGGCCGTCGGCGCGCCGCGTTTGCGCATGCTTGCCACGAAGCCGGGCAAGAGCGGGCCTACCGGCGCCTGCGGCTACGGCCGGCTGCCGGGCGCGAAGAGCGACCGGGCGCGCCTGGCGGATCCCAAGGAGGAAAGTTTCTGCTTCAGCTACTACTCCGAAAAGACGGAGCTCAAGAAAGACCTACGCGCGACCGACGCCCGCGTCGGGAAAGCGCTCGAGCACCGAAAAACCGGGGAAGGGTCGTGGCAGGGGTGGCGCTGGCGGGCGCCCAAGGTCTACGGCTACCAAAAGGACCTGTTCCACGGCTACCCGGGAGCCGGGGGCTACCTCGCGCACTTTCCCCGCGACCCCGAGGCCGGAGCGGCGCTCGTCGAAGGCCTCAAGAACACGTCCTGGATCTCGGCGAACACGAGGGCGGTCTTCTTCGAGGCCGTCGTGTACGCGCCGGCCGACCACTGGGGGTACAACCTCCTGGTCGAAGTGGCCCTGAACGCCGAATTCTCGCCGACGGGCGCCGTCGTGACGAGCGGCCGCGTGCAGTCGTCGCGCATCTTCCTGTACGACACGTGGCGCGACTTCGTGCGCCTCGTGCTCGAAGTCCTCGTCGTGCTCTACGTGTGGTACTTCGAGATGCGGGAGGAGGTCCAGCAGATCACGCTCAAGGCCCTCTCCGGCGACGCCGCCCAGTCGGAGATCAAGGCGCTCCGGGAGTGGCGGCGGAACTTCGCCTCCGCGCTGGGCGAGTACTGGAACGCGCACTTTAACTTCCTCGACGTCATGCGCATCCACGTCTTGTACGTGTGGATCGTGGGCGTCCACGTCTGCGGCGTGTGGTTCACGCACACCATCCCCTGGCGCGACCTCATGTTCGATAGGGAGCGCGACCCGACCGCGTACGTCAAGGACGCGGCCGACGTGTCGTTCGCGCTCCAGCTCGCGCGGGTGCGCATGATGTTCGTGGCGCTGTACGTGGCGCTGTGCTTCCTGAAGCTGCTCAACATCATGAGGGTCCAGGACGACCTCTTCGTGATCATCATCATCGAGATGTTCAAGAAGGTCATCTCCTTCCTGATCGTCGTGCTCATCATCGTGAGCGGCTTCGCGTTCTTCGCGTTCTTCTCGCGCATCGGCGGGTCCCAGGCTGTGTGGAAATCAAATTTTACGGCGCGTTCGTGCTGAATCGTCGCGTCGTCCTCCACGCCATCGACGCGACGCCTGCTCGATGGCGTGGCGGTGTGAATTCCTCGCCGCCCGACCGAGCCAGGACGGCCGCGTCATCGCCGAGAAATGACTTAGTGAAGAATTGTCGGGTGCACCCGACACACTGGTTGATTTCCACACAGGTCCCAGGCGGCCATGGGGGGCACGCCCGACAAGATCGGCGGCGGCGACGTCTTCTGGCACACGCTGTTCCAGCAGTTCGCGCAGCTCAACGGCGACTTCGACTTCGCGGAGAGCTGGCACCTGTGTGGAAATCAACCAGTGTGTCGGGTGCACCCGACAATTCTTCACTAAGTCATTTCTCGGCGATGACGCGGCCGTCCTGGCTCGGTCGGGCGGCGAGGAATTCACACCGCCACGCCGTCGAGCAGGCGTCGCGTTGATGGCGTGGAGGACGACGCGACGATTCGGCACGAACGCGCCGTAAAATTTTGATTTCCACACAGGCTGGCACACGGCGCAGCTCGCCGGCGTCGCCTGGACGCTCTTCGCGCTGATCGTCCTGCCCATACTGCTCATGAATCTGCTGATCGCGATCATGAGCGAGGCCTACGAGGAGGTCAAGGCCCACGCCGCGGCGCGGTTCTGTCACCTCCAGCTCGACACGCACTCCGACGAGTACGCGCGGAAGCGGCGGCAGCGGCTCGGCAGCGGGACCGGGAAAGGATACACGTGGGAATTCCTCACGCAGTGGATGGTGCTCATATTCGCGAGCGTCTTCTTTCCGTTTTTGGCGCTCTACGACCTGTATTGCAGGGCGTGCGCCAGCCTCCGGGCCCTCTACAAGTACACGGAGGGCTTTTTCGAGATCGAGGAGGAGTTTGCGGGGACCGAGACCCTCGCGCGGCGCCAGGCGCGGCGATGCTTCTACGCGTGCTTCGCCAGGACGCGCGCGTCGGGCGCGAAGGTCGTCCCCACCACGCCCAAGGGCGGCGCGGCGGCGTTCGACGATGAGACGCTGCTCCGCGAGTCGCGGCGGCGCTCCGTAGCTAAAGTGTTGTGATAATCGATTGAGTTAAACATTACTATTATTCAGTGGTCGAAGCCGGGGACCTTGGACGTGTGGTCGAAGCCCGGGATCTTCCGGAGCCGCCCCTTGCCCCGGCGCCGCTCGGCCTTTCGTCGCGCTCGTTCCTTTTCGAGCTTCTTCATCTCCCCGTAGGTCATGGGCGCCTTCTTCTTCTTCTTCTTCTTGATCGGCGTCACCGCCGCCACGCCCCGCTCGATCTGGTGCTCGATCTTGTGCGCGGCCGTCGCCGCGGCGGCCTCGACCTCGTGCTCCTTCTTCGACAGCCACGAGAAGAAGCCGCCCCCGCCCTTCTTCTTCTTGGGCTTCTGCTTCGGCGAGCGCCCGCGCGCGGACCCGCGCGAGCCGAACCAGCTCCGGCGCGACGGGGACCGCGACCGGTCGAGCAGCAGGTAGGTGCGCGGCACGTAGCCACACTCGTCATTGCCCCTCGTCGCGAAGATCCAGCCCGGCGCGTCGGAGAGCTCGCTCTTCAGGACGACGACGGCCGCGCCGGCCTCGAGGCTCATCTCCGTGCTCTCCTCGGGGACGTGACCGCGCCGCGCCACGATTTTGCAGAGGTCGCTCCGGGACCCGGGCTTCGCGTCGGGCTCGTGCGTCCTGCGCTGCCGCCAGTGCGCCGCGCTCTCCTTGCGCGACGCCTTCTTCGGCGACGGCGACCGCGACGACCGCGACCCGAGCGACCACCGCGACGTGCGCGCGCCGTCCTCCGAGATTTCTGATGACTGCGACCACGCCGACCCCGGGCGGTCCTCCTCCGCCGAGCGCTCGTCCTCGGCGTCCTGGGCCTTCCGCGCCGCCTCGGCCTCCGCGAGCTCCCTCTTGTACACGTCCACCCTCGATAGGCAGTGCTTGACGTAGTGCTCCTGGTCCCTCCGTCGTTTCTCCGCCGCCTCCCACGCGCGCCGCTCCGCGTCCCAGACCCGCTGCACCGCCCGCCGCGCGTCCGCGGCCCGCCGGTTGATCTCGTAGTCGTGGAGCCACGTGTCGTCGTCGCGTCTTATGGCGATCCGCTTCGTGTAGTGCAGCGGCGCCTGGCGCTGCGAGACGGGCGCCCGGACCGGCATCGGAGTCGTCGCGTCCTCGTAGGAATGCGCGCCGGGCCTGAACTTCCCTCGCATGCGCCGCTCCGCCCGCGACATCTCCGTGTCCCGCTCGTACGTGCGCGAGAGGCGCTGCTGCTCCGCGCTGTCCCGCCAGGGCCCCTCCAGGAAGGCCTCCTGGACCTCGGTCACCGTGCCCGCGCGCACCTCCGCCATCCGCCGCTCGCGCTCCTCCTTGAGGACGATGATGCGCGCCTCCATCTGGGCCTCGAAGTCCGCCTCCTCGCGCGCCGACGCCGCGTCGAGCTGCGCCTGGCCCTCGAGCGCCTCGCCGAGCTGGGCCTGGCGCTGGGCCTCGATGATGGCGCGTTGTTTGTCGGCCTGCTTCTGGAGGTAGGCCTTGCGGGCGGCCGGGTCCATGGTGATCTTCTTGGGCGGCGCCTTCTTTTTGATTTTGAACTCGTAGAAGTTCTCGTGGTGGTCGCTCTTCGACCCTTCGTCCAGGGTAAGCGCCTTGAGGAGGTGGTGCCGCCGGTGGGAGTTGCGCAGCGTCAGGGTCGTCGACTGCTTCGCTTTGGACGGGCTGAGCTGCAGCTGGAGGTTCGTCGCCGTCGACTCGCGGGAGACGGGCCGCGAGAGCGTCCGGCCGCGGTCGCGGAACGTGGCCAGCGCTTGCGTGGGCGTCGGCGACGGCGGCCGCGCGCGTCGCTCCGCATCCGTCACGTCGTACCTCTTCAAATCCAGGTGCTCGTCCCGCGCGAAGTGGTGGATCAGCGGCTTGTGGTCGTCTAGGACGAAAGGGACGTCCGCGAGGTCTACCTCTCGCTCCGTATTCGAGAGGTCGAAGTGCAGGTGGTACTTGGTCGCGGCCCGCAGAGCCGCGCGAGCCTCCTTCCGCAGCGCCTCGGCCGCGTCGCGGTAGCCCTCCCACTCCTCGTTGGTCGCGAAGCGCTCGCCTTCCCGCGAGCGCAAACACCGCCGCTCGGCCTCCTCCAGGGCCCGTTCCAGAGATTTGGTGGGCCTTCCCACCACGGTGGCGTGCTCGCCGATAGACGACAACCGAAAGGAGGGCAGTCGTAGCCGGCAGCCCTTTTTCAACTCGTCCACGAAGGCCGCCCGCCGGTTGTCGTGGTAGATCGCGTCTCGTTCGTGAATTTTCCGATCTACGACGACGTACGCACCGTCCTCGTCCTTCTCCTTGACCTCCTCGGTCCACCGATACGTGCCCAGTCCCTTCGCGTCGTCGCGCGAAAACGTGCCCTCCCACGACGAGCCGTCGTCGAAGAACCACGTCCCCCGGCCGTGGCGCCGGCCGCGCACGTAGTCGCCCTCGTACACGGTGTTCCCGTTGTTCGCGCGGAACTCGCCCCGGCCGTGCGCGTGCCAGTCGACGAACGGTCGCAGGGCCTTGAGCATCTGCCGCTCCTTGCCCACGCGCTTCTTCACGAAGAGCGTCATCTCCGCCCGTTGCTCGTCCGACAGGGAATTGAGCGTCGCGCCGAGGTCGCACTTCTCCACGAGGAACAGCTGCTTCGCGTCGTCCTCGAGCTGCTGCGGGTCCTTCCCCTGGTACTCGTAGTCCCCGAAGTACTGGCCGCCCGTGGTTTGCTTCACCAGGTGGTGGAACGTCGGCTTGTGCTTATCGTATTGGTCGACGTCGAAGTAGGTCTTCGTCTTGCGTTCGTTCTCCTCGACCTCTCGGACCAGCGCCTCCTGCCGTTCGATTTCGAGCTGTTTCTGCCGCTCCTCCTCTCGAACGCGTGCTTCCTCCTCCCGCCGCAGGGCGAGCTGGCGCGCCTCCTCCGCCTCGCGCTGGGCCGCCCTCACGCGGAGCGCCTCCTTCTCCTGGACGGCGCGCTTCTGGGCGCGCTCCCGCCGCAGGAGGTCGGCGATGGACATTTCCTTCTTCTCGGGCATGTGTCCCTCTTCGGAGTCGAGGGCCCTCATGACCAGCCCATGGGCGCCCGAAGGGAGTTGGTAGCCCGGCATCTTTGGTACTCGGCGCGCGAGGCAGCCCCAACGCACTCTTGGGCTAGCAGATCATCACGCGTGCTCTCGCGTTGCAACGCGGCAGCCGCAAATCTAGTGCTCTCGCGTTGCAACGCGGCTCTGCAGAGGCGCTCGTCGACGGCGCTACCCGGTGCCTGGCTAGTGTCTTACGCCGCTAGCTCGGCACTCCTGGCTTTTGCGTCTTCATCGTTTCGACGCGGTTGAGGCGTGGGCTTCAGGGGGCGGAGACCACCCTCGTTCGGAGGCGTCACTGTCCTGGCGGCGCGAGCCTGGGGAAGTCAGGACAAGTTTTTTATCAATCTCCGACACAAGCCACCAGCTGCTATGTCGATCGCCTGGCGCGCGATTCTCGTCGCGGGTCTCGCCGCCGGCGAGGAGGCGACGCTCGCGTCGTTGACGGGCCTCTTCCAGCGCGAGCCCGAGCGCGCGGCGGCCCTCGTCGCCACGGCGCGGACGCGCGCGATCAACCAGTCGCGCCACAGTGAGGGGCACGAGACGTACTTCCGGCAGCGGCGGCGCGTCGAGGCGGCCGTCGGAGACTACCGCTTCTACGTGCACACGGGCGGCGCGTTCGACGCGATCACGACGGCCCTCTTCGCGGACGCCAATCGCAATGTGTTAGATCGCGCTGTGCCGCGAGGGACAGATAAGTGACGCCCTCGAAGCCACTCGCGAGCGCTTCGTACTCATCGTCGGGCGTGATGGCGTCGCCTACCACTATTAAACACCAGCCGGGCGCCGCCGCGACCGAGCGGATGGCATCCGTCGGCGCGTTGATTGTCGTCACGACGGCGGCCTTGCGGCAACGCCGCGGCGCTTCGGGGAGCGGACGCGCGGCCGTGGCCGTGGCCGGCGCCTGGTACGTGCGACTCAGCGGCCGCCAGAGCTGACCACTCGTCGCCGCGCTCGCTTCGCCGAGTTCACGTACGGCGTTCCCACCGGCGGCGGCGGCCGTGCGGACGGCGGCGAGCGCGAGAAGCGCCGCCGCCGTCGTCCCGTGTACCGCGCGCCAGCGCATCGCGAGTGCGGCGTTCCGGGGGCGCTTTTTTTGGTGGGACGCGTCCGACCGCCCACGCATGCATAGGAAAAAGCGCTAGACGCAACACGGGGCCTCAGCTGGCGGGAGGACGCACCGACGATCACACAAACAACACTTAAACACCGTCATGCCGATACTTGCACGCCCTCCCCCACGTACACTTCCCCTTCAGGTGCGCGCGGCACACGAGCGTCGACGGCGGCGGCCGCGCGCGCGGCACGATCGTGTGGTCCACCGTCCACCCCTCCGGCAGATGGGAAGGCCGCAGACTGTCCACGAAGCACCGGCGCCATTCTTTTTCGAAGGCGAGGATTCTCGCCGCGAGGTCGCCGTTCGCCTCGGACGTAATTCGCCGCAGGCACCGCGCTTCCAGGGAATCGTCGTCGACCGACACTTTCGAGCGGACCTTCGGCGGCGGTCGTTCCGCAGCGACGGCCTCGATCGCCCGGCCCGGATACGCCGAAGCGACGATCGCCCTCAAATACTCGCGCCGCTCCGCCGGGATCCGTCCCTGGTCGCGGACGAGCGTCTTCGCGGCCCCAAGCGCCCGCAGCCGCGAGGCCGCCTCCTGATCTACTGCCGGCGCCGGCGCCGGCCCGAGCGCCGCTTCAAGGGAGCGGCTCCTCGCACGATAGACCGGCTCGACGACGTCCCTGCATCTTAGACACAAACCCGTCACTACTAAGTTCTAATTACCGTCCCCCTTGCGGCAGCAGCTTCTCCAGGTGCGGCGCGAGGGCCTCGTAGAAGTCGACGACGCCCGCGTTCGCGATGCTCCCCCGGTTCGCGACGGGCCGCCCGCGCAGCAGGTTCATGCAGGCCATCTCGACCTTCTTCCCGTTGTTCGTCCGCGGCACGTCCGGCACGCGGCACACGATCGCGGGCACGTGCCGCGGCGAGCCCCGCTCCCGGATGGTCGTCTTCAGGGCCTTCGCGAAGGCGTCGTCGCACCGGCACAGCTCGACGAGCGCGTCCGCGTCGCCCGCGGCCGCCGCCGCCGTCAGCGCGTCGCGCGCGGCGGCGTCCGCGACTTGCACGAAGAGCACGACGCGGACGTCGTCGATCTCCGTGTCGCCGTCCCGGGCGACGAAGGGCTGCGCCGAGACGAGCGCATCACTAAAATCCGGCGACGCGTCGAGCAGGGGCTCGATCGCGTTGTAGATCTCGGCCGTGCCGATGCGCACGCCGCCGGGGTTGAGCGTGGCGTCGCTCCGGCCGTGGATGATCAAACCGCCGTTTTCTGTAGGCTCGACCCAGTCCCCGTGCTGCCACGCGCGGCCGCCGCCGAAGGCGTCGTCGAAGTACGCCGCGCGGTACTTCGAGCCCTCTCTATCATCACCGAGGAAGGCCAGCGGCGCGCAGGGGAAGGCGCTCCGGCAGGCCAGCTCGCCCTGCTCGCCCGCGGCGACCTCGCCGTCGCCCGCCTCATCCAGAACGGCGACGTCGAGCCCGAGGCCGGCCGACTGGAGCTCCGCCTCGAAGACCGGCAGCCAGGGGTTGCCGCCGTGGAAGGACCCGTTGAGGTCCGTGCCGCCCGACGTCGAGTGGAGCCCCACGCCGGGCTTTTGGGAGGCGAGCCACGCGTACGCCGACGGCGGGCACGGCGACCCCGTCGAGCCGACGCGCTTCAGCGCCGCCAAGGGAGGCAGTGTCAAATTCTCCGCGGCGCAGGCGCCGAGGTAGCGCGCCGAGCCCCCTAATAAAACACTGTCTGATGATTGCGCGACGTCCCAGAGATAGCCCACTGTATTTTTGCCCCGGGCGGGGCAGAACGTCGCGTCGCCATCATACAGCACGGCGGCGCCGCCCGTCGTCAGCGCCGCTCCTAATAACCAGTTCCACATCATCCACCCGGTCGTCGTGTACCACAGGCTCCGCTCGCCCTCCCTTAAGTCCCAGTGGAGCGAGCCCTCCTTGGCGTGGTTCAGCGCCACGCCCGGGCCCTGCACGATGCACTTGGGCTTTCCGGTAGTGCCGCTGCTGAACATAACATACGCGGGCCGGTCAAAGCCGCCCCTATCATACAAACACGGCGCGCCCGGCGCGCCGTAGTCCCGCGCCGCGACGGCGGGGAAGGGCAGTTTTACTGAAGAATCCATGGCCGCGTCGCCCGCGAACCCGTAGGGGAGGACGACGGCCCGCGCCGTCGTCTTCAGCGCGTCTCCTATCCCCGTGAAGTTTGATATTTTGTCCACCACATCAAATTCCCTCCCCCGATAGGAGTAGGCATCACTCACAAACAGGACCTTGGGCTCCACCTGCGCCAGGCGGTCGAGGCAGCCCCGTTCCCCGAAGTCGGGCGACACCGACGACCACGCCGCGCCGAGCGACGTCGCGGCGAGCATCGCCGCGGCCGCGCCGGCGTCGTTCGCGACGACGCCGGCGACGCGGTCGCCCGGCCCGACGCCGTCCGCCGCCAGGCCCGCGCGGAGCCGCCCGACTTCCTCCCGGAGCGCGCCGTACGTCGTCTCGACCGGCGCCGCCGACCGCTCCGTGTACGACAGCAGGGCCAGGTTCTCGTCCGGCTTGTGCGGCCCCTCGAGCAGGAGCTCGGCGTGGTTGACGGCCGCGTCGGGGAACCAGTCGACCGCGCCGGGCGGGCCGGAATCGCGCCACGGCACCGCGCCGCGCGCGTCCCGCTCCCGGGGCCCGAGCGACCCCGGCAGGCGCACCGCATCAAAGACCGCCCGCCAGAACTGCCGCGGCTCGCTCACGCTCCGCGCGTGCAGCCGCTCGTAGTGCCGCCGGTCGTAGCCGCGCGGCCCGGCGCAGCCGATGAGCTTGTCGGAGAAGGCCGCCAGCCGGCTCGTGTTGACGTCGGCGAGCTGGGGCTTGAACGACGGCGCCTTCGTGCCCAGCGCGCGAGCGGCGCCGCGGGAGAGGGCTCTCCGAGCCATTTTGTGCCAGCGGTGCACCGCAGCGCCGGAACGCAGCGAGTTGTGTAAATGGACGTAGTCAAAATGTAGTCGTGCACGCACGAACAGCCGATGACGACGGCTGGACGATTGCGCCGTATGCAGGCGTGTATCACCTTGCGATGGCGTCGAGCTTTGCCCACGAAAAATCGGATCGCTCCTTCTCCTAGCTGTCCGCGAGGGAGCTTTCATATAGCTGACAAGGAAGCATACGATTTATTTCGTGCGGGTCGGCCTGCTCCTCAGCTGGGCGAGTCGCCGCTGCGCCTCTAGCGCGACACTGAGCACCCCCCATAATATTTCTCTCGGCTGGAAAGGACCAGCCTCTTCGGCGCTGCGCGCTCTGGAAGCGACGCTGCGTAATTTGACTCAGCTGACACAAAAGGAGGGAAAAGGCAGTTTCAGCAAAGGACGCCCTAAACGCCGCGCGGGGCCGCCCGCCGCGTAACGCGCAGCTCACAGCTCGTGTCGCGCGGCGTCCCAAAAAATCCTAGCGATTGAGGCGGACCCCCCGCGCGCGCGCCGGGGCGAGAGGGGCGTCCGCGCGTAGCACGCCTTTTTCCCCCCTGTAGGCTCCGGGAGCGGCGCCGCCTGCCTCCAAAATGGAGTTCGCACCGCCGCCGCCGCCCGGCGGCATGAACGGCGCCGGCGCGTCGCCCGGCGCGCCGCCGGAGACGTCGCCCGACTCGGTCGCCTACACGCCGTCCGGGCCGCCGCCGGACGCGCCCCCCGCCGTGCCCCCCGCCGCGCCGCCGGCGCCGCCGGCGCCGCCGGCCGCGCCGGCCGCGCCGCCGGCGCCCGCCGAGGCGCCGCGGGCCTCGACGGGCGGCTTCTCGGAGCTCGGCGACGCCGACGCGGCGCCGCCGGCGGCCCCCGCGGCGCCGCCGGCCCCGCCCGCACCCGCGCCCATGGACACGACGCCGGCCGCGCCGGCGCCCGTCAAGGCGGAGCCGGCGCCGGCCGCCGCGCCCGAGGTCCCGCCGCGGCCCGTCGAGCGCTACTTCCTCACCGCGCGCTTGGAACGGGGCCAGATCGGCGGCAAGCACCAGCAGGGCGTGGTCCTGCACGGCCCCTGGCGCAACCAGATCAACGTCGTCGGCGCGCAAGCGCGGTACAACCTGGACGTCACGCAGAACCCGATCCCGCCGGACATCACCGACCTCCCGCCGAGCGGCCAGCGCGGGCCGGCGTCCCTGCGCACTTCCTTCATCGCTTTCGTGGCCTAATGGACAAGGCGTCTCCCTCCTAAGGAGAAGATTGCGGGTTCGAGTCCCGCCGAGAGCCAAAGACGGGACCCGCGCGCCGCTCCGCAGGTGGCCCGGCCGCATGAACTTCGGCGGCACGGCCCAGACCAAGCGGACGCAGATGGTCGACCGCATGGCGCTGCGCTTCTCCAAGACGGACCCGGGCAAGTGCAAGTTCGAGGGCGAGGGCGCCAACCGCGTCGGCAAGTACGTCGTCACGGGCACGGGCGCGTTCCGCGACGGCGGCTGGGACCTGGAGTGCGAGCGCGTCTACACGCCGAACGCCCCGGCCCTGCCGCCCGCCCCGGCGGCGGGCAAGCGCGCCAAGGCGAACCCGCTCGCCTTCGCGGGCGCCGGCCCCGCGCTGTCGCCGCGGCAGCCGCGCGCCTCCGCGCCGAAGAAGGGCGCCTGGGGCGCGGCGCAGCGGGACGCCGCGGCGGAGGAGGGCGGTGCGCGGAAGAAGGCGCGGCGCGGCGGCGCGTCCGCCGCCGCGCAGGCCCTCGACCAGCGGCCGACGCTCGTCGTGCTCTACCCGCAGCCGGGCCCGGGCGGCAACCCGCTGACGGCCTACAAGTACCCCTCGCTCTCGGCCGCGAAGAAGCGGGCCAAGGGCCTGGTCGAGAACGTGCAGTTCACGATCCGCGTGCCGCCCGAGGGCGGCGACGGCGTCGTCTTCCCGCCGGAGGGCGAGGACGCGCTGCGCTACCTGGCCGAGGCGATCGGCCACAAGGCGCTGCCGCCGCAGCCCGACGTCCAGATGCCGCCCCACGTCGTGACCTGGGACATCGACGCGCCGAACGCGAAGCGGCGCCCCTGGGCGGCGAACGTCGCCGCCTTCTCCACGGAGCAGCGCGCCGCGGCGATGATGCGCCACCTCTACCTGACGGCGGGGCCACGCCTCAAGTACGCGTGGTGGGGCCGCTTCGACCCCGGATCCGCGGCGCAGACGGCGACGCCGCAGTGCCGGCTGACGGGCCTGGGCCAGTTCGAGCCCACGTTCCCGGTCACGTCGCTGGCCGTGCTCGAGGACCTCCAGAAGGGGCCGCCCGCGGCGGCGGCCTAGCCGACGGCGACCCGGACCCACGTCGCCGTCGAGACCAACTACAAAAACCGAAAAAACATGGCGTGGCCGGCGCCCCGGCCTCCCGTCGCGACCCGTGGCACCACGGCGGCGCGCGGCGGAGACCCTCTCTTTACTACAAGTTTCTTAGACTATATATACCTGATTCGCCGGGGCCCTTGAAGCGGACGCGCCGTGGTCAGACGCCCAGGTCCTCGACGGACTCCACGACGCGCGGCTCCTCGGGCTCGGGAGACGGGGCTTTCCGCGTCGGTTTCCTTGACGCAGGCTTCGGCTCGGGTTCCTCGGTCGCGCCGGCACCGGCCGCGGGCTCCGGGGCAGGCTCGGCCGCGTCGGCACCGGCCGCGGGCTCCGGGGCAGGCTCGGCCGCGTCGGCACCGGCCGCAGGCTCCGCCCAGCCCTCGGGCGGGTCCCACGTCGACTCGCCCCTCGCTTCGCTGTACCAGTAGGGCATGCCCGACGCGTCGTCGACGTACCGGCACCAGTCGTTCGCGGCCGCGGTCGCGTCCGACGGCGCCTCGAACCGGAAGTCGCCGCTCGCGACGTCGTAGTAGAAGGGCTCCTCGCCCGCGATTTCGTAGGAGATCCAATCGTTCACGACGTGCCGCAGCCGCACGGTGCCCTCCCGCAGCCTGGCCCAGGCCGCGGCCGGGTCGCCCTCGCCGTCCATCGCCGCGACGACGGCGTCCGGCCGGTCCCACTGCCCCTCCCGGGACGCGTGGTTGTACCAGAACACGGCCCGCAGCTCCGCGTCGTTGTAGGCGATCCAGTCCCCGTACACGGAGACGCGGAGGCCGTCGCTCTGGCGCAGGGACCACCGCGACGCGGACCGGCTCAGCCCGCCGTCGACGCCGGGCCGCATGAGCACGTCGTAGCCCGGGCCCCGCCGCTCGGCGAGCGCGTCCGCCACCAGGCGCTTGCAGAGCCGGTGCCCCGCGACCGTCGCCAGGAACAGCACGCTGTCGAACGCGACCGTGCCGTGGAGCCGGAACTCCGCCAGGAGCTTCGCCGCCTCGCCGTGGCGGCCCCACCGCGCGAGCTCCTCGGCCGTCCAGCCCCGGGCGTTCCGCGTGTCCGCGGGCGTGCCGGCCTCGAGCAGGAGGCGCACGCACTCGAGCGCGCCGTTGCACGCCGCGGCGTGCAGCGGCGTGTCGCCCCGCCGGTCGGCCGTCGCGCGGCACGAGCCGTCCGCGAGGTCGTGGCCGATCTCGTGCATCTCCAGCACCTCCATGATGAGCGACGCGCACGCCGGCCGGTTCGTCGCGCAGGCGACGAAGAGCGGCGTCCGCCCCGCCGCGTCCGCGACGCTCAGGTCGGCGCCGTGCTCCAGGAGCGCCTCGAGGCACTCCACCGTCGCGGCGACGTGGCCGGGCACCATGCCCCGCGCGTTCGGCGCCCGCGCGATGAAGCCGCCGCGCACCGCGGCCAGGACGTGGCGCGCGCACCGCGCCGCGCCGGCGCTCACGGCGGCGTGCAGCGGCGTGTCCCCGTTCGCGTCGGCCTGGACGGGCGCGCCCCGCTTCAGCAGCTGGAGGACGCAGTCCGGCCGGTCGTGCGCGCACGCGTAGAAGAGGGCCGTCCGCCCGCTCTCGTCCGCGCGGCTCAGGCAGCGGTCGTCGCACGTCCGGAAGAAGGCAACCTTGCCCTTGGCCGCGGCCCGGTGGCCCGCGAGGCCGTCCTCGTCGTCGTCGTCGGACGAGTCCTCGTCTACGAACTCCGCGTCGTACGCCGCCAGGGCTTCGACCGGCTGCATGTTGGCGTCGATGCGCTTGAGGGCGTTCCGCCGCTCGAGCTCGGCGACGGCGACGTGGCGCCGCCGCCGCTCCTCCGCGAGCTCGGCCTGGCGCGCCTCGAGGCTCCGCGTGCTCACCTCGAGCGCCGCGGCCGCGGCGGCCGCGGCGGCCTCGCGGTCCCGGTCCAGGACCGCCCGCGCCCGCTCGAAGGCCTCCTGGGCCGCCGTGCGCTCCGCGGCGCGCGCCGCCTGCGCCGCCACGCGCAGCTTCACCCGCTCGATCTCCTCGAGCTTCTTCGCGGCCCGCGCGTCGGCCTCCTTCTTCTGCCGGGCGAGGCGCCGCGCGAGCTCGGCGCGCTCGCGCTTCGCGCGCAGCTCGTCCTCGCGCTTCTGCAGCTGCAGCGCCGCCGCGGCCGCGGCGGCCTCCGCGGTCGCGGCGTCCGCGGCCGCGGCGAGCTCCAGCGCGTTCCGCGCCGCCAGCGCGACCTTCTGCGCCTCCAGCCGGTCGGCGTCGCGCCGCGCCGCGGCCGCCTCGTCGCGGCGCCGCCGCTCGAGCGCCTCCGTCCGCTGCGTCGCCTCGGCGGCGGCCGCGGCCTCGGCCGCGGCGAGCTCGCGCCGCGTCCGCTCGGCCAGGGCGGCCTTCTGCGCGTCGAGGTCGTCGGCCTCGCGCTTCGCCTGGGCCTCCTCGGCGCGCCGGCGCGCCTCGAGCTCCTCGCGCCTCGTCGTCGCCTCGGCCTCGGCGGCCGCCTCGGCCGCCGCGAGGTCGCGGGCCCGCGCCTCGGCCTCGGCCGCGGCGGCGGCCTCCGCGTCCGCCAGGTCCTTGGCGTTCGCCGCCGCGAGCGCCTGCTTCCGCGCTTCCAACTGGTCGGAGGCCTCCTTCGCGGCGCGCGCCTCGGCCTGGCGCCGCGCCTCGAGTTCGGCCCGCCGTCGCGTGGCCTCGGCCGCGGCGGCCGCCTCGGCGGCCGCCAGGTCGCGCGCGCGCTGCGCCTCCCTCCGCTGGCGCTCGTCGTCGAGCGCTTGGGCCTGGGCCCGGGCCTCGGCCTCCTCGCGCTCCCGTCGCCGCTCGATCTCCTGGCGCCGGCGCGCCGCCTCGGCCGCGGCCTCGCGCTCGGCCGCCGCGAGCTCCTCGCGGCGCCGCTTCTCGAGCGTCTCGCGTTTCGCGTCGAGCTCCGCCTGCGCGCGGAGGGCCGCGGCCTCGTCCGCTCGGCGGCGCTCGTCCAGCTCGCGGCGCCGCCGGGCCGCCGTCTCCTCGGCCTCGGCCGCGGCCCGCCGGAGCTCCGCGTCGCGTGTCGCGCGCTCCTCCTCCAGCTCCTGCTGCCGCCGGCTCGCCTCGGCGTCGGCCCGCCGCTTCGCCTGGAGCAGCTCGGCCGCCCGCTGGGCCCGCTGGTCCTCGAGCTCGCGCTGGTGCTCGAGGGCGGCCGCCTCGGCCTCGGCCGCGGCGCGGCGGCGCTCCTCCTCGAGCTCCCGCCGCCGCCGCTCCACCTCCAGCTGGGACTCGCGCTCCGCCCGCCCGATCTCCGCGGCGCGGTGCGCCTCGAGCTCCCGCCGCTTGGCGTCGACCTCGTCCTGGAGCCGCGCCGCCCGGGCCTCGATGGCGGCCCGCTGCTGCGCGTCCTTCGACTCGACCTCGCGCAGCAGCGCGGCCTGCTTCGCCTCGGCCTCGGCCAGCGCCGCCTCGGCCCGCCGCCCGAGGCTCGCCTCGAGCTGCCGCGCGCGCGCCATGCCGCGCGCGACGCCGGCCTTGGCCGCCTCGGCGATGCGTCGTTCGTCGTCCAGGGCCTTGCGCTCCGCGGCGCGCACCCGCTCCGCCCGCCGCGCGGCCTGCGCCTCGAGCTCCGCCAGCCGCCGCGCCTCCTCGTCGAGCTGCGCCCCGGCGGCGTCCGCCCGCGCGCGCGTCGCCGCGACGGCCGCGGCGTCCTTGGGCCGCAGCGGCGACCGCGCCGCGGGCGCCCCCTCCGCGTCGAAGCCGCCCGGGTCCGCGTCCCCGACCGCGGCCCACTCGTCGCGCGACGGCCGCTGCGTGCGCGCCCGGATCTCGTTGATCTCCCGCTGCGTTTGCTCGACCTTCGCGCGCTCCGCCGCCGCGCGGTCGCTCTGGCTCGCGGCGAACTTGCGCGCCGCCTCGGCCCGCTCCTGCTGGATGCGCTTCTGCTGCGCCCGGATGGTGCGGAAGTCGCGCGCGCGCGACGCCGGGCGCTCCGGCTTGGGCGCCGCAGGAGCCGGCGCCGGGGGAACGCCCCGCCGCGCCGACGCCGACGACTCGAACTCGTCGAGCCGCGCCGCGTCCTTGGCCGCCTTGATCGCCTCTCTCCTGGCGGCGTCCGACGTCCTCCGCTTCGGCCGGGGCGGCGGCCGGTCCGGCCGGCTCGGCGGCGGCCGCGCGGGCCGCGCCGGCGGCTCCCGCTCCGCGGGCGGTGCGGGCTCGTGCCGCACGACGGGCGCGGCGCCGCCCCGCGTCACGCGCACGGCGGACGGCGGCTCGGGCGACGCCGCCGCGGCGAGCGACGGGGGCTGGTGCCGTATCACGGGCGCCGCGCCGCCGCGCGTCACCGTGACGGCGCCGCGCGACGCCGTTTCCCTGTAGTGGGCCGCGCCGGCCAGCGGCGCGATCGCGTAGCCGCCGTCGTCCGACTCGTCGTCGTCCGAGATGTCATTGTAGTTCCGCGTCCCGATGCCGAAGCCGAAGCCGAGCGGCATCCTTGCTGGCCGGGTTGGGGCAGCCTCACCGCACACTGCGCTACGCTGGGTGGGGCAGCCTCCAGTGCGCTACGCTGGGCGGCGGCAGCCGTTTCATATCTTCGGTGCAGCGCATGGCAGGAGCAGGCGCCAAGGCCACCGGTGCGCAGCTATTGCCAAGGCACACCCGGCCGAGCCGCTGCCGCGCAGCGCACCCGACACCCGGTACCCGCACCTTATAAGGAGCCCGCATGCGCCGGCGCTCAAGCATTCTTGACCGAAATCCCTCAGCAGACAAAGGAGCTTTAGCAAGTTTAGGACGAGATGCACGCGTGAGATGATCCATGCCCTCCATTTGTGGCGCCGTCGCAAGGGTTAGTCTGCGTCCTGAGTCCTGACCTGCTTTTGATGCAGCTACTCCCTCTGTCCGGAAGTAGGCCGTTGGATTTCTTCACGTAACTATATTCTTGCGAATCGATTACCGGTGTTATTACCGGCGCGGATACACCAGGCGCACAAAAACCAAGCTGCTTGTTAGTGTATTACACCGCTAGCCCAGGAGACTCCCTGCGTCCCCATTCTCTGGGAAAGCTAGTATACCGTGTCCTTACAAAAGAGCCCTACTCCGCGACCGGCGGCGCAGGAGCTCAGTCGCCGCGCACGCAGACGTGGTTCGCCATGACCGGCCCAGTAAAGAGTGAAAGTAATGAGGGCGGCGAGCGCGTACCACGGGAGGCTTCGCGTCAATGCGCGCGGCGACGGTGGCCGGCGGCGCATCGTGCGCACGCGGCCAGATACTACAAGCGCGCGCTCCTGGATGGTGGGTTGGATGCTGTGTCGAAAATTGGAAATGCGTGGGCTAGCGGCCAGTAAGACACTAGACAGCGGTGGGGGAATACTGTACAGAGCACGGCTCCGCGGGACAGAGTACCGTGTGACGCTTCGCAGCAGCTCAGACGTGCTAAAAACGCGTGCCAGCCGGAGCGGTCGCAAAGCCTAACGCCAGCAGATTGCCAGCCGACCGAGCGCTGCTCACGCGCACGAAAACAACAACAAACGCGCGTAACGATGCAGTCCCCAGGAGGCATCCCCTCGCTCGCGGACGTCCCGCAGAGCGTCATCACCGCCGCGACGCTCATGCCCTCGTCGTCGCGGCCGCTCGCCGAGGAGCCGCGGGCCATTTGTTTGCGCCACGACCGCAACCAGATCAAGAAGCGCTGCACGTGCGGCAAGGCGCGGCGCTACCGGCCGGGCCGGGGCTACGCGCCGGCGGCCGACGACGCGCGCCTCGCGGCCATCGCCGAGGCCGTCGACCCGCTCTGCGCGGCGCTGCGGACGCACACGCAGAACGCGCGCGTCGCCGAGTGGTGCTGCCGCGGGCTCCAGCACGCGCTGGTGGACGCGCCGTCGCGCGCGATGGTGACGCGGCAGCAGAACGGCGCGCAGCTGCTGCTCCTCGTCCTCCGGACGCACGCGACGTCGGCCAAGGTCGTGCGGGAGGCGCTGCACGCGCTCGCGAACCTGAGCGGCGACGAGGACGGCGACGCCCACGCCCAGACGGCGCTGCAGATCGCGCGGAACGGCGGCCTCGAGGTGACGGCGCAGGCCATGGCCGCGCACCAGGACGACGCGCGCATCCAGGCGCTGGCCTGCGCCGTGCTCGGGCACACGTGCCGCAACGCGCCCCACCGGCGCGAGGGCCGGGCGGCGCTCCCGCACGTCGTGCGGGCGCTCGCGACGCCCGACGCGTTCATCGACGTGCCGTTCGACGACGAGCGCTGCCACGCCATGGCGTGCTACGCGCTCGCGGCCGTCTGCGCGGGCGACCGCGAGGCCGCGGAGGCCGCCGCCAAGCTCGGCGCGCCGGCGCTCGTCGACCACGCGCTGCGGCGCTTCGCGAAACGTGCCAGTGTCGAGCGGTGGGGGGCGCACGCCAAGGCGGCGCTGGCGGGCCCGGGCGCCGCGCCCCTCGGCGCCGCGCCGCCGGCGGGCCTCAACATCGGGCCGCCCGTCGTCGCGCAGTCCGTACCGCCGGCGTGGACCCCCGGCGCCTTCCCGTAGCCATGTATACCAGTAAAACAATTTAGACCATATCTCCGTCGGAGTCGCTGCTGTCGTCCGCGATGGCGAAGCCGCCCGCGGACGGCGTCGTCGCGACCTTGGCGTACTTGGGTTTGCGGTTGCGGCGCCGTCCGGGCAGCTCGAGGGACGGCGGCGCGGGCTTCGGGAAGAGCCAGCCCAGGAAGAAGCAGTCGTCGTCGTCGTCGGGCGCGTCCACGGGGCACGACGCCTCGAGCCCCCGCACGTCCCGGCCGGCCCGGTCCACCTGTGTGGAATTCAACCAGTGCGTCGGGTGCACCCGACAATTCTTCACGAAGTCATTTCTCGGCGACGACGCGGCCGAGAACGCGCCGTAAATTTGATTTCCACACAGCGGTCGACGGCCGACGCTACCACCACTCCGCCGGTCGGCGGCGCGTCGAAGACGCAGGTCGCCTTCCGGGCGTCGCGGCCGTCGGCCAGGCCCGTCCGGCGCTCCGCGAGGGGCGACGCGTGCGCGTCGACGTAGAGCCGCACGACGACGCCCGCCGCCGCGGCGTCGGCGCACGACACGGAGCAGACCACGATCGACCGCCCGCGCGCGCAGCACCGCGCGAGGAGCGACGGCGCCCGCGTCCGCGTCAGCGACGCGTCGACGGTCAGCCGCGCGTCGAGCTCGTCCACGGGGTCGCGCGCCGGCGCCGGCTGCGTGATCTCGTCGGCGAAGGCGTCCAGGCACTCGAGCAGCCGCGCGCGCGACGCCCGGCGGTCGGACGACTCCCCGGCCGGCGGCGGCGGCGCCTCCTCCGGCTCCGAGGGCGCCTCCGCGGCCCGCTCGGCTTCCCGCGCGGCCCGCGCCTTGTCGTCGAAGGCCCGCCGGAGGTCGGCGACGGCGTCCGCCGAGACCTCGTCGTTCGGCAGCTCCACGACCTCGACCGAGTCGCGCACGCCGCCGACGCTCTCCGCGACCCAGACCTCGCCGCCCACGTCCTCGAAGGCCACCCACATCTCGCCCTTGGGGCCCAACCGCCGCCGCGTGCCCACGAAGTAGTCGCCCCGCCCCAGCGGCAGGGCGGCGCCGTCGACGGCGCCCCGCGGCGCGTCGCGCGGCACGACCGCCGCCTCCCGGACGCGGTACACGACGCGCCGCTCCTCCTCGCCCCGGATGGGTTTCAGGATCGCCTCGCCGTCACGCGCGCCGCGGCAGATGGCCCAGCGCTCCGCGGACCGCCGCGACCGGCGCCTCTTGGGCGTCTCGTCGCCGACGATCTTCGAGAGCTTGGACTCCAGCGTGTCGTCCTCGCCGTCGCTGGCGTCCTCGTCGCCGTCGGACGTGACGTGCGCCCAGACCTGGCCCGACGGCGTCAGCACGACGCTCTCCGCGACGAGCACCGAGCCCAGCGGCGCGCGCGCGACGGCCTCGACGCGCCGCCGCGCGACGGGCTCCTCCTTCTTCTCCTGCAGCGTCTCGATCTGTCGCCGGGCGTTCTCGGCGGCGGCCTTCGTGGCGTCGGCGGCCTGCTTCGAGGCCCTGGCCAGCCGCTCGCCGAAGAGGTTCGCCTTCTCGCCGAGCAGCTTCGCGTTGGGCGACTTGTCCATGGCCGCCTTCATCCAGGGGAAGTTCGTGGTCGCGGCCGCGGCGGCCGGCGCGGGCGCGGGCGCCGCCGGCGCGGGCGCGGGCGCGGGCGCCCTGGGCGGCGGCGACGCCTTCTCCTGGAGCGCCGCGCGGAAGCCGCCGCCGGGCGCCGCCCGCAGCGGCAGCGCCCCGCGCGAGTACACGTTGCGGAACCACTGCTCCCGCTCGAACAGCGGCGCGGGCACGGGCTCGAGGACGTGGGCGCCCGTGTTCGCGTTCGTCGCGATGCACCACCCGTCCACGATCCAGGGCTCGTAGTCGTCGTCGCCCCGCCGGATCTCCAGCGACGCGCAGATGCGCACCCACAGGAGCCCGCGCGCCCGGTCGTCGTCGTCGTCGTCGCGCGGCGCGAGGCGGACTTCCGCCGCCCGGAAGCAGACCCAGGGCGGCACGGCCGCCGCGCGGGGCGCGTCGAGCCGCGGCGCCGTCCTCGCCGGCAGCTCCCCGGCGTAGTGCCGCGCGTAGCAGTTGCAGAAGTAGCCCGTCATCTCGACGGCCTCGAGCGCCAGCGTCGCGTCGTTCTCGCCCTCGGTCGCCGCCCGCTCGGACACGCAGACGAAGCGCTCGCCGTCGACCAGCCGCGCCCAGAGCTCGTTCGTCTGCGCGTCCCGGATCAGCTCGGGCGCGCACCGCACGCACTCGTGGCGCCGGACCTCGCCCCGGAAGGCGGCCGTGCGGCGGGGCCCGGCGAAGAGCTGGACGGCGCGCGTCGGCGCGCGGAAGAAGCGCTCGCCCCCGGACGCCCGCGGGACCCGCGCGACGCGGCCGTCGACCTCGAGCCACGCCGGGCCGTCGAGCGTCGCCGCCGGCCCGGTGTAGCCCGCGCCGGTCTCGAGCCAGAGCCGCCGCCCGACGACGGCGTGGCGCGCCGCGGCGACGCAGCGGCCGGGCATGAGGCGCTCGACGCGGTCCTCGGCGCCCGCGCCGGGGTAGGGCGCGAGGTCGATCGGCGTGCTCGACGCGTTGACGTGGAAGTCGCCATCCGCGTCCCCCATGCTGGTCATCGCGCTTGTGGTGAAACCGCAGGAGAGCGCCTGGGCTGCCGTTGCCTACGAAACTTTGCAGCGTCGGTAGTGGTAGCTTCGAAGCGTTGCCGAAGCGTTGCTTATACGCCAATTAAGCGATCTGGCGTAGTTTTGCCGCACTCGCAGCAAAAAGCTTGATGAATTAGCTAGCTCTAGATGCTCTAGCATGAATGCGCGCCGCGCGCTGGCCTTTGCTTTGTGATATAGGGGACCCACAGTCACGGTGCGAAGGCAACGTCTGAGACCCAATTCGTCAGCGCAGCCAACTAGCGCCCCAGAGGCTGGGAGGCCAAATCTCCAGAGGGGGGCTCTGGGACTAATCTCCGTCGCGGCGGGGACCAATTACTCTCAACCTCGCGCCGTCGGCGACCATAGTCATCATGGGCATGATGGACGACCTCCAGAAGCGGCTCGAGAAGTTCGGCAAGGACGTCGAGCGCTCCGTGACCGGCAAGAAGAAGCCGAAAGGCGGCCATACGTTAGGAGGCGCGGCGGACAGCGCGCTCGAGCACGCCTTCGACGCTTCTCGACCGCTGGGCATGACGCTGACCAAGGCCGACGACGGCCGCGCGGAGGTGACGGGCGTCGCGCAGCAGGGCCAGGCCGAGTCCAAGGCCGTGCGGATCGGGGACGTCGTCGCCGCGCTCGACGGCGCCGCGACCGACTACGACGGCTTCGTCGCGGGCGTCGCGGCCGCGCGGTCGACGGGCGCGCGGATGCGTGTGCGCTTCGCGCGGCCGCTGCCGCGCGGCGCCGCCAAGAAGGCGGCGCCGCTCTCCAACGAGCAGCGCGACGCGCGGCGCGACGCCATGGCGCGCGCCGCCGAGAAGCGCGGCCAGCCGGCGCCGCGGAAGAAGAAAGCGGCGGACGCGCCCAAGTCGCCGACGGTCTTCGAGGACGGGCCGCGGTCGGCCGAGACGCAGGCCGCCTGGGAGCGCGCGCAGCGCGGCGACGACCGCACGCGGCGCGACATGGGCTACGACCCGTTCCAGGCCGTGAGCAGCGCGGGCACGCTCGAGCACGAGCGGGCCGCGCTGCGCCAGCAGCCGGAGCCCTTCGCGGGCGGCGGCCGGCGCCTCGACGGGCAGGCGGCGTGCCCCGAGGCGGAGGTGGCCTGCGAGGCGCTGGAGCTCTGCGTCGACAAGGCGGCGGCGCTCACGTGCGCCGAGACGGTGCTCAAGCTGCTGGGGAACGCGGCCAAGGGCGACGCGAAGTTTAGGAGGGTGCGCCTCGGCAACAAGGCCGTTCAGGAAAGAATCCTCGCCGTCGACGGGGGCCTCGAGGCGTTGTGCGCGGCGGGCTTCGAGCTCGCGGAAGACGGCGACGAGACCGTGTTGCTCTTGAAGGACGGCTTCGACGCGGCGCGGCTCGACGCGGCGACCAAAACGGTCGCCGCGGCGAAGGCGCGGCTCTCCAAGTAGTTCTTCGACCGGCGCTGTCTTTATCTCTCCTCGTCGTGGTGTCCGGTCGACTAGTTATTGTGTAAAAGACTTACTACCTCTCGACAAGAACGAACTGCTCGCCGACCTTCGGCGAGATTTCCTTGTTCAGCACGATAAGCGCCGAGTTGATCGCCTTGCGTCCCCGTTCCCAGGCCGCCGCCGCTTGAGCCTTATCCGCTGCTTTTGCGACGTCGCCGATATCGAGCGCACACTCGTTGACGTACCACCTCGTCAAGAACAAGACGTTGCCCGGGCCGTTGTTCTCGCTCGCCATGAGGCCGTTCGCCAGGAGGCCCATGGCCCTGAGATTGTACTTGGTATCGTCCGAGGCGACCGACGCCCATGATCCGTTGTCAACGGCACCCTTCAGCGCTCGGAAGGCCTCGACACCGGCGAGGACCCGGGCAGCATATTTCCCGTAGGCCTCGTAGCGCTGCTGTACGCGCGTGAACGGGACCGCGCCTCCGTCCGGGATCTCGCTGGTGGCGTCTTGTAGAAATGGTGGCGACCGTCCATATTTAAAGTAAAAATCTTGCGAAAACAACACGTTGGAGTTCATGGGGTCGCGGCTCAGCGACGCGTCCGGGTTCGACGCCATGTTTTTCGTCTCGACGAACATGCCCGGGCCGACTCCATCTGCACTGGCAACCTGGGGCGCGAGCGATGTTATCGCCGCAGCGGCGCCGGTGCACCAGCCTCTCCTTGTGACTGCTGGCTTGAGGGCTGCAGCCGTCAGCGCCGCTGTGCAGAGGAAAGTGCGTCGCATCGTAGAGGGTGTGAGTGAGGCTGTGAGAGCTGACGACTGTGCTCGCGCTAGTTGCAGATTAGATGCACGAGTTCAAATATGACAAATGCTGGTCCGAGATGCAATCTGAAGCGCGTAACGAGTGGAGACGCGGCCGCGCCGCCCAGACTGGCTGTGCCTGCCAGGCATCCCTAGTGTCTTACCTGTCTAAGAACGATTTCCTAAGCGCGGGAGCCCTGGGACGGCTTGCTTGGTGACATTACGCAACCCGCACGCTCTTGGCAAACACAACCACACATTTTTAATCTTCCTCCCCCTCGCTATCGAAAACCCCAAGCTGCTCGAGGATCTTGTCGTCGACGCCGTACGCGTTGTCGTACGTCGCGGTCAGCGAGAGCAGGAAAAATAGCGCCTCGTGCCTCGCGAGCGACAGGCCGAGCGCGCGTCCGAGGTGCCGGTGGAACTTCCGATGGAGGAAGAGCGACGACGACTCCGACTCCTCGGTGAGGACGTCCAACTGGAGCAACCGCGTCGACGCGAGCTCCACGGACCACCGGACCTCTCCGCCGGACGCCTCGTAGACGAGGCGCAGCCGGCCGCCCGAGGGCTTGAGCACCAGCACCGATTCGACGCGTTGGGATGCTCGGGCCAACACGCAGTCACGCGGCGCCTCGCAGCGGATGCGCCGCGCGAGAGCTCGAGCTAGACCCGGCGACAGCTCTCCGTACGGGTCGCGCGCAAGTATCGTCCGCAGCCGGACCGTGTCGGCGCGTCGCGATGCCTCGCGTGCGATCGCATCGAGCACCTCTTCCTCGAACGCGACGCCTTCATTAGTGTAACGCTCAGCAATGTCGCCGACGTCTCGCGCGAGCCGCAGCCTCCAAGGGATGTGCGCGCGGCGCCTCGCAAGCTTGCTTTGCAATGCGCGGCGCATCGCGCGGCGACGGCGTGCGCGCAGAGCCATTTTTGTATCGGGCTGGCAGCAAGCAGCAATGCTCATGTACAGCAGTAGAATGCGATTAGTATGGCGAGGGCTGCTTGCCGAGCGCTCCGCGCTCAGCCAAGGAGGTGCTCTCTTGGCCCTCGGACTGCTCAGCTAGAGCTCGCGCAGCTTTCCAGCCGTCAACCGCCCTCCCGCGCCAGGCAGGCTATCCCGAGACGCCTCCGTCCCGTGAGCGCTAGCGGCCGTAAGACACTAGAAGCCGCTCGCCGCCGTGTTTTGAGAGTGAAGCGTTTAGCCCAGGGGCTGCCCCGCAGCGCGGCCGCCGTACCGCGCTCGCAGAGGAGTCCAGGCAAAGGGGTACCACCGTACCACAGCCCGCGCGCGCCGCGCCGGGGCCCCGGAGCCGCGAACAGTGCACCGGGGGAACAGTCATGGAGCGCGTGCCTATCAACGCGCCCCAGGGCCCGCTGGGGCTGATCTTCGAGCCCGAGTCCACGGTCCTCAGCAAGGTCCGCGAGACGTCGCCCCTCTACGGCCGCGTCGAGGTCGGCTGGACGCTCGTCGGCGTCGACCGCGAGGACGTGTCGCACATGGACGGCTCGCAAGTCACGAAGCTGCTGAAGATGCGCTCGCACAACCCGCAGGGCCGCCACCTCGAGTTCAAGAAGCGAAGTTTTTCGGTCAGGGAGCTGCCCGGCGACACCGCGGTCGAGGCGCCGAAGCCGCACGTCGCGGTCCGCGCGGACATCGAATTTCGGGTCGGTTCGATGGCGTGGGAGGGTCACGACGGTCGCTGTCCACGCAGGTCACGGTGCACTCGCCGGTCATGGACCTGTACGCCGTGCTCTGGTCGATCGACGTCCTGGTCCAGAGTCTCCTGTTCCACAAGCCGAGCGGCGTGGGCGTCTACGTCGCCTACGTGTTGATCGCGTTCGGCGCGCTCACGTGCACGGCGCACGCCTTCCACCTCGAGTGGCGGCGGAACGTGCTCGTCGTGGCGCTGGCCCTGCGCCTCGTCGACGTGGGCCTGCGGCTGCCGATGAGCTGGGACAGCGAGTGGTGGGCGCTCCAGACGGACGCCGCGCTGCTCGTGCGGCTCCTGACGGGCGCGACGGCCGGGCGGACCATCCAGCTCCAGATGGCCCTCTTCTACCTGGCGGCGGGCTTCTGGAAGCTGAACACGTCGTTCCTCGACGGCGCCTCGTCGTGCGCGTCGGTCTTTGGGGTCCAGACGGCGGCGCGCGCCGCGCTCATGCTCGGCGGCGGCGACGACCAGGCCGTCCTGGACTGGGAGGCCTTCCTCGCGCCCCTGGCCCAGACCTACACGCCGTGCATCGTCATCGCCCTGGAGATGTCCATCGCGCTCGGCCTGCTGCTCCGGCCGAACGTGGGCGTCCGCGTCGGCGTCCTCTTCCACGCGATCAACGCCTGGGCCCCGCCGGCGCCGAACAACATCGCGTCCTTCTCCGTGGTCTGCCTCGTGCGGCTCGTGACCTTCGCGCCGAAGGCGGCCGCGGACGCGCTGCACCTCACGATGAGGAACAACTCGGCGCTCATCTGCGCGGGCGTCGCCGCGCTGCTGGGCGCGGCGGTGCAGCAGTTCAAGGCGGGCCGGGACCCGCAGTTCATAGCCGCCGTCGGCTACCTCGTCCTCGCGCCGATCGTCCTGCTGGCGTGCCGCGGCACGTTCCCGGGCGGCAAGCGCCGCGTCCACGCGCCGAGCAAGGCGCGGACGCGGTTCGTGCTGATCGCGCTGCTCTACTGCGCCACGCCGCTCCTGGGCGTCCTCGAGCTGGGCGCGCCGAACATGTACGCGAACCTGCGCATGCGCGCGGGCTCGAACCACCTGCTCGCGCCGACGGGCCTGCTCTTCAAGACGGGGCTGCTGGGCGCGGAGACGCTCACGGTCGTCAAGACGACGTCCCAGCACGTCCTGGACTACTACCCCGGCGACTGCACCGAGGAGCTCAAGCCCGCCGAGAACCGTGCGCGCGCCTTCGCCTCCGTCGGCATGCGGCCCTTCTTCAACTACGCGCTGAAGCGCGTCATCAAGTGCAGCTACACGAAGAACACGTGGCGCCCCTTCGACGTGCCCGCGATCGAATTAAGGCGCATCCTCGGCGAGATGAGCGCCGCGGGCAAGGCGGCGACGCTCACGTACAAGGACGGCGACCGGACCATCCAGGTCGGCTACGACGCGGACGGCGCCCAGGTCAAGTGCACGGGCTGCACGCCGGACGACGTCGCGTCGCAGGGCCCGCTGCCCTTCTGGGCCGAGAAGTTCCTGGTGTATTTACCGTACCCCGTGCTCGCCGACGGCAACGGCGAGATGCCCTGCGCCGGGCCCTGACGCTGACCCAATTCGCTACAATAGGCCCTGACCCCCCTCTGACCGACCCGTGCTCTATGACGCGCGGCGGCGCCCGCCGGGCGGGCGTCGTCGCGCCGAGGAAATCCACAACTCCCTCGGACGGTCCAATTCCCCAGTCGAGCGCCCGCCCCCCGGCGGGCGCGGTCCCAAATTTGAACCGCGACGCACAGCATACCGCGCTTCACGTCCTCCCCCCTGTCGAGCCGAAGAAGTCCTATTGTCTATAAACTATATAGCTGAAATTTTGGCTTGCGTGGTCCCGGGGCTGGCGGAGCCCTGGCGTGCGCAACAAAAGCTCGCTAGTGCCTCTCATTCCGCTAGAACCCCAGCGGAGGAGCGCTTGCAGTGCCCACAACCGGGCTGCAACCCGTCTTGAAACCGTTTCTGTCGCAGCATTTGCACGCGGTGATCTCTTTCAGCGAGCTGTGCAAATTCTATATATCCGCGGTGACTCCTGCAGCCGTCAGCAAGTCAGCGTCAGAGACCCTGCAAATACGTCGCTCGGGCGCCTAAAACGGACGTAGCACTGCAACGGAGTAGCAGCATGAAACGACGACGACGCGTCGCAACAGCGTTGCTCCTCGCCACCGCGACGGCGCTCGCGCCGCCCGCCGCGCGCCGGCCCCTCACCAGACTGGGCGCCGTCGACCTCGAGGCCGAGACGCCGGCCTCGAACATCCGCAACTTCGCGATCATCGCCCACATCGACCACGGCAAATCCACGCTGGCGGACCGCATGCTCGAGACGACGGCCACGGTCGCCGCGCGCGACATGCAGGCCCAGCTCCTGGACTCCATGGACTTGGAGCGGGAACGGGGCATCACGATCAAGCTGAACGCGGCGCGCATGGCCTACGAGAAGGACGGCGAGCCCTACGTGCTCAATCTGATTGATACGCCCGGCCACGTCGACTTCAGCTACGAGGTGTCGCGCTCGCTCGCCGCCTGCGAGGGCGCGCTGCTGGTCGTCGACGCGGCCCAGGGCGTCCAGGCCCAGACGCTCGCTAATGTCTACCTGGCGCTGGAGAACGACCTCGAGATCATCCCCGTCCTCAACAAGATCGACCTGCCGGCGGCGGAGCCGGAGCGCGTCGCCGAGGAGATCGAGTCGACGATCGGCCTGGACTGCACGGACGCGATCCTGGCCTCCGCGAAGAGCGGGTTGGGCATCGGCGACGTGTTGGACGCGATCGTGGAGCGGGTGCCGCCGCCGAGCGACGACCAGGAGAAACCGACGCGGTGCCTCATCTTCGACTCGAAGTTCGACGCGTACCAGGGCGTGGTCACGTACTTCCGCGTCGTCGACGGGACCGGCATCGCCAAGGGCGACAAGGTCAAGTTCCTGGCCACGGGCAAGACGCACGACATCACGGAGGTCGGCGTCATGGTGCCCGAGCGCATCCCCGTGTCGGACCGGGCCCTCAAGCCGGGCGAGGTCGGGTATTTTGTGGCCTCGATCAAGTCCGTCGACGACGCGCGGGTGGGCGACACGGTGACGGTCGTCAAGTCGCAGTCGCACGCCGTGTCCACGGACGAGGCGGAGCCGCTCCCGGGCTACGCCGAGGCGACGCCCATGGTCTTCGCGGGCGTGTTCCCGACGGACGCGGACCAGTACAACGCGCTGCGCGACGCTTTGGGAAAGCTCAAGTTGAATGACGCTGCTTTACGTTACGAGGCGGAGAACTCGCCGGCCATGGGCTTCGGGTTCCGGTGCGGCTTCCTGGGGTTATTGCACATGGAGATCGTCCAGGAGCGGCTCGAGCGCGAGTACGACGTGGATCTGATTATTACGGCGCCGTCCGTCGTCTACAAGGTCGTGCCCCGGCAAAAGAACTCGGAGGCCGTGGTGGAGAAGGTCATGAAGGGCGAGGCGCTCAAGGAAGGCCTGATCCAGGAGGCGAGCGAGGAGGATACGCCTACAGTGTTAGTTGTGGACAACCCGTCGCGCATGCCCGACAAGGACCGGCAGCAGCACACGCTGGAGCCCTACGTGAGGCTCGAGGTCATCGCGCCCACGGAGTACACGGGGCCGCTGATGGACCTGGCGAACGAAAGACGGGGCGAGCTCGTGGACATGAAGTACCTCACGCCGACGCGCACGACCGTAATCTACCAGATGCCCCTGGCTGAAGTGATTACGGACTTCTTCGACCAGGTCAAGTCGCGGACGCGGGGCTACGCGTCGATGGAGTACGCGCTGTCGGGCTACCGCGAGTCGCCCCTGGTCCGGTTGGACGTCATGATTAATAAAGAACTGGCCGCGCCGCTCTCGACGGTCGTTCATGAACAAGACGCCCAGGCCGCGGGCAAGGTCTTAGTAAGGAAGCTCAAGGAGTTCATCCCGCGCCAGATGTTCAAGGTGCCCATCCAGGCCTGCGTCGGCGCGAACATCGTCGCCAGCGTGCAGCTGTCGGCGATGCGCAAGGACGTCCTCGCCAAGTGCTACGGCGGCGACATTAGCCGGAAGAAGAAGCTCCTCCAGAAGCAGGCCAAGGGCAAGAAGCGCATGAAGGCCATGGGCAAGGTCACGGTGCCGCAGGAGGCGTTCATGGCCGTGCTGAACCTGAGGGACTCGGGGGGCGACTAAAATATTAGAAAGGTACTTTAGAAGTGCACGGACTTTTTCGTCCCCGTGTCGATCGTCTCTGGTGGGAAGTGGCTCTGCTGCGTGAGCGTGCCCGGCGCGGGCAGCTGGACCTCGTCCAACAAGCCCTGGGACGAGTTCGTGGCCAGCGCCCACTTCGCTCGTAAGGTGGAGGCCGCCTTCTTCGCGCGCTTGACCTGCGTCTCCGCGTGCTGCCGCGTCCAGTCGAGCTTCGCCCTTAACTCAAGATAGCGCCGGTCCATGAGCTTCAGTTGGTCTTCCAGAATTTTAGAGCCTTCCTTGAGCTCCAGCACGAACTTCTCTCTTGCATTATTCCGGCGCGCGAGCGTCCTCGATCTTAGTTTCGCCGTGTCCAGGTCCTTCTCGGCCCGGCGCAACTGGTCCGTGACCTGCGCCTTCGCGCCCACCTCGTGCTTCAGGTGGACCATCAACTTCTCGACGTGGTCCGAGAGCGCCGCGACCTTCTTGCCCGTCAGCTTCGCCTCGGCCTCGGCCTTCTGGCGCTGGTCCTTCTCGGCCTTGCCCCTTGCCAACAGCTCCGTCGCCTTGTGCTTCAGCGCGCGGACGTCGTCGCCCGCGGCGAGCGCGCCGCGCAGTTCGGCGCGGAGCGACGTCTTCTCGTCCTCCGAGTGGCGCAACTTCCCGCGCAGCTTCGCGATCTCCCCCTCGAGGCGCTTGATGGCCGCCGCGACGGCCTCGTTGCCCTCGGGCGTCGGTTCCGACGACGCCGGCGGCGCCTCGGACGGCTCCTCGGAGGCGACGCTCCGCTTCGAGATGATGGTCTTCGACTGGCGCCCCTCGAGCTCCATGCTCCGTTCGCGCAGCTCGACCAATTGGAGCGTCGTGACGTTCTTGTACGCGTCGGTCGTCTTCTCGCCCCGGGAGATGCGGCCGACCAGATACTTTTTGGTCGACTCGGCGTCCGCCACTAACGTATCCCGCTCGGCCGTCACCTTGGTCAGCGTCTCGGCCAGCAACCGGTTCTTCTCGCCCTCGCCCACGATCTTCGTCGACAGGTCGTAGATCTCGTCCTGGAGCTGCGTCGTGCTGAACTCGTGGCGGGCGACGCGCGCCGCCCTCCGGTCGGCTTCTTTTCGTTGCAAGGCGTCGAGCTGCTCGCGCAGCTGCTCGTTCTCGTCCTGGAAGGCCTCGAGCTGCCTCCGCAACTGCCGGTTCAGGCGCGACGCCTCGGGGTCGAAGCCGCCGTCCCTCGTCCCGGGCGGCGACTGCCGCGACATCGGCCGGCCGTAGGCGTCCGTCGGCGCCTCGCCGCCTCGATCTCGTCCGACGGCGGCGCCGGGCCGCCCGCTGCCCATGCTGCCGTCGTCGGCGGCCCCGGGGCGCCCGGACCCCATGCTGCCGTCTTCGGCGCGCGGGTCCGGCATGGCGGGCTCGGCGCCCTCGAACTCGTCGCCGTAGTCCTCCTCGTCGCCCTCGCTCTCGTCGTCGTCGCCGTCGGCCTCGCCCGCGAAGACGCCGTCGTACTTGGCGGCGAAGTCCTCCTCGTACTCCTCCTCCTGGGACATGGTTGCTTCGAACGCAGGGGCTGCCCGTCCGCGGTCGATGCGCGCGGCGGGCTGGCGGTCCTCGCTAGCCAGTGCGTTCCTGGCCGGGCAGCGCTCTAGCAGCTTTTACGGCCCGCGGGAGACGCCGATGGCAAGAGGAGGCAGCGCTACTTTTCTAGTATCTCTAGTGGCGCGTATGTTGGAACCTCGCGCGGACGTGGATAGAGGGGTACGGTCATCGATACCATGGGTCCTCCGAGCTTTACACTTTTCTAGCGAAGCCATCGAGCTGCCCCATGGCACGATGGCAATGGAACAGGGCCAGTAGCAACAAAAGGCAGCCCGAACGCGTGCAAAGACAGTGAGACAAGGGATCGCGGCAGCCCGAACGCGTGCACAAAGGCTGCCCGCGACCGCTGCGAGCCATGAGGCGCCGGCTCAGCAATTGGCTGCCGCTGCTGCTGCTCGCAGCAGCCCGCGCCGACGACGACGACGAAGCCTGCAGCGGCACCTACACGCTCAGTGGACAGGGCATCCGCCTCAAAACCGCGCCGCTCGGCGCGGCGTCGCCCTACGCGCTCGCGTCGCAACCGGACGGCGAGTGCGCGCGGCCGGGCGACGCGTTGGTACGAGTGGGCGCCGCAAACGTCTTCGACGGCACGCTGCAGGACGCCGTCGAAGCGTGGGGCGCCGGTACACTGACTGATGAGGTCGCGTTTCCTCTCGCGGACGCCGGTACTGTACGAGGCTACGCGCTCGTGCGCTTCGTGGGCGCCGAGCAGGAGCTCGCGTTCCGACGCGGGGCCGGAGGCGTTGTGGAGGAGGACGACGCGGCTGATGATGACCTTGAAGCGGAGGCGGCCGCGTTACGCGCCGAAGCGCAGCAACGAGCGTTGGCGGCGGAGGCCGAGCGCGCCAAGGCTCGAGCCGAGGAGGACGCCGCCGAGAAGGCGGCCGTCGAGGCACATGCCGCCAAGGTCGCCGCCCTGCGGGCGGCCGAGCGCCAGGCTAGAGATGAAAAGCAAGCCGAGGCGCGGCGCAAAGAGTTGGAGAGAATAGAGGCCGAGGAGGCGGAACGCGCCCGAAAGGCGGAGGAGGAGCGCAAGGAGCGGGACGAGGCGCGCCTCGAGCAGCAACGACGACGAGAGGCGGAAATCCAACAGCTCGAGAAGCAGAAGAAGGCCCGGGAGAAGGAGGAGCGGCGCCTGAAGCGCCTCGCGGAGGCCGAGGCCGAGGCCGCCAAGGTCTGGGAGAACCGCCTCGTGAAGTACGAGACCTGGGCCCGGACCGCCTGGGACGCCCAGAAGCGCGACGCCGCGGCGCGCTTCGAGTTCCTGCCGCTCGAGTTCGCCGAGGCCAAGGGCCCGCTCGGCATGACGTTCGGCGCCGGGAAGAGCGTGGACGCGACGCTCGTCACGCACGTCGACGCCGGGAAGCGCGCCGCCCGCGCGGGCGTCCTGCGGGGCGACGAGGTCGTGGAGCTGCGGTGGCTCCAGCGCGACGACGACGGCGCGCAGAAGGAGGTCGTCGTGAACACGACGGTCGTGCGGCCGGAGCGGGTCACGGCGCACGTCATGGAGGCGATCAAGAAGCGCTGGTGGCCCCTGACCTTCGTCGTCTTCCGCGCGCACGAAGTTGGTAGTGTGGAGGCCGAGGCGCCGCTCTTCGTGAGCGTCGCGGCGCCCGTCGTGCTGCGCGGCGACCAGGGCGCGGTCACGGTCGCCCCGTGGGCGGCGACGCCGGTGCGAGAGGACGTGGACCTCGTGCTGGCCGACCCGTTGGACGGGTGCGCGGGGTCGCTGCTGGCGGAGCCGGCGCCCGTCGAGGACGGCCGCGTGAAGCTCGGCGCGCCGCCGCCCTCCGACCGGAAGCGGTTCGCGCTCGCGAAGCGCGGCGGCTGCTCCTTCGTGGACAAGGCCCGGGCCCTGCAGGCCCACGTCGACGGCGTCCTGATTTACAACACCGAGGCTGACCCGGTGAAGATGCCGGCCGGCGGCGTGCCGACGGACGACATCAGCGTGGTGGTCGCGATGGTCGGTGCCGACCAGGGCCAGCGCCTCGAGCGCGCGCTGCGCTGGCCCGACCGCGACGCGGTCGCGCTGGCCCTCGCGACCACCATGCCGTCGTCGGACGCGCCGCACCACCCCGACCGCGACTTTGACGACGAGGACGCGCCGCCGGTCAACGGCAACGTGACCTTCCAGTGCGGCCGCGACGTCGTCGAAGCCAGGTTCCGGTCCGCGGCGTTCGGGCCCCTCCTCGCGCCGCACGCGCCGCTGGGCGTGGGCTTCGCCGTCCCGCCCCCATTGTGCGCGCTGTCCGGCGTCGAGCGGCGCCTCGCGGGCCTCGCGGCCGTCGCGCAGCGCGGCGGCGGCTGCGGCTTCCAGGAGAAGGCGCGCGTCGCCGAGAAGCTCCAGGCCGCGGCGCTCGTCGTCGTCAACTCCGAGGACTCCCTCACGACGATGACGCTGCCGGAACCCGACGCGCGCGCCTCCGTCGCGGCGCTCATGGTCGGCGCCTCCGCCGGGGCCGCGCTCGAGGCCATGGCCGCGGGCGCGTGCGGCCGCGCCGCGGGCGTCCTCGCGCGGCTCGCCTACGACGCGCCCGAGCTCGGAGACGAAGACGGGTAGCTGTTAACTACGTGGTATTGTGTGGATGTGTACTTCCCCCCATTGTTTTATTGTTACGGTACTAGGCCCCCCCCCCGGGAACGATTCCTGAAGCCTCCTCCCCCGGACCAGACATCGTCGATGTTACGGTGCTAGGACTAGTGGGCGGAGTCCCTGGGGGGGAGACACCGCGCGTCGCCGATTCATCGGCGGCGGGCGCGGGCCGCTTCTTTCATAACAGCGTACCCTCCCCCAGACAGCTAGTGTATCAACGCACTAGTTTTTCCCAGCAGACTGCGCAGGGCGCTTTAAGACGGCCCGCTGCAACAAAAAATTACGAAAATTTGCGGACAGTATCCTATCAACTCAATTGAGGACCGCTGTGGTTGGGCGCGCTGTGCAGCGCGGAAGCCTGAGGCCACAGCAGGCCGCGGCGCCGATGGCGCAGGCCATAGACATCGACGTCGACGACGCGAATCGCCTCCCGACGCACTGGCTCCACGCCGCCTACGCCGGCGCCGACGCGCCCGCGCTGATCGCCGCGCGCAAGGCCGAGGTCGCGGGCCTCTTCCTGGGCGACGCCACGGAGCGGGGCGTGCGGGACGCGTGCGCGCGCGGCGACCAGGCCTACGTCGCGCGGGCCTGCGGCACGCTCAAGTCGCTCGGCGACCTGCGCGTGCCCATCTCGGCGCGGGAGCGGTGCGACTGGGCGCGCGCGTGCGTCGACGGCGCGAACGTGGCGGACGCGCCCGTGGCGTCGTCGGAGCGCCTGTACGACATGGCCGGGCGGCTGCTGACGGCGCCGACGACGGGCGCCGAGGTCGAGCTGCGCGCGATACCGAACCTGCCGAGCTTCGCCGACACCCTGCGGCGGACGCTCGCCGCGCTCGACGCGGCGCCAGACGTGGCGAACCGCGAGCGGCTCTCGGCGAGGAGAAGGGCTTTAGCCACGCTCGCGTGCAACCAGCGGCGCCTGAGCACGTGGGGCGACGCGGAGGTGTCGGAGATCTGCGCCGAGCTGGAGGCGACGATATCCCAACTCGGCCCCAAGGCCCAGGATTCGCTCGCCGCGTTGCTGGCGCTGAAGATCGCCGCGCCGACGCCGAACGAACGGAGCCCGCTGCCGCCCGGTGCCGCGGAGCGGTGGTGCCGGCGCTGGGAGGAGTGGTCCCGCGACGGCGGAAGCGTCGAGGCCGACGCCGTCTGGCTCACGCTGCTCTGCCGCGCGCGCAAGGACCCCGCGCAAGCGGCGGTCCTGCGGCGGCCGCCGGTCGCGACGCGCATCATCGCGGAGTTGATCCGGGCGGCGCAGGCCGGCGTGGGCGCGGCCCGCGGCGCGACGCCGCGCTACGCGCGGGCGGCGGCGGGGCGCTACCGGTGGCTCGCCTACGCGGGCTGCGACGCGCCCGCGGAGCGGTGCCTGCGCAAGCTCGCGAAGCTGGCGCTGTACCTCGTGTCGACGGAGGACGTCGGCCTCGAGCCCCTGGCGCGCGTCTGCGCGACGCTGCGGCCGCTCTACCACCCGTCGAACAGCGGCGCGTGGACGTCTCGACTCGCTTTGTTGCTGAGCGAGCTGAGCCGCGAGTGTGCCAAGGGCGCGGCGCGACGGCGGGCGGCGCTCAAGCTCCCGGCGGGGTCGCGGGGCGTCAACGGCTGCGTGTTCGAGGGCTCGTTGCCGTCCCGCGAGACGACGGTCAAGTTGGCCCAGTTACTGGCGCCGCTGGCGCGCGCGGCGTTGTACGCGCGACACGAGTCCATGGTCTTGTCGGCCATCGGCACGCTCCAGAACCTGAGCGAGGCGGCGCCCGAGGTCGTCGCCGACGCGATCGTGCCCGCGTTAGGCGCGGCGTTGGAGGAGGGGTCCGTCCTCTGGGCGCACCAGGCGCCCGCGGCGCTGCGGTGCCTGGCGGCGTTGGTACGGCCCCTGTTCTTGCGAAGGCGTTTTCTGGAGGACGTCGAGCTGCACGTGGCGGACTCGGAGCGGTTCTGCCGCGAGGCCTTCTTCGACGGGCGGCCGAAGCCGGGTTGTCGTAATGACGGGAGCATCGTATTGATGGACCCGGCGGACGCAATCAATGCGCCCCTCGCCGGCCTGCTTCCGAACTTATTGCAAGCGGCCTTGGACGCCGTCGACCCGAACGACGACGCGAAGACGCGCTGCGCCTTTTTATTCGTGGACTGCGTGTTGCGGTGGCTCCCGCTGCGGGATGATGATGATACGCCCTTCGAGAACGCCGCGCTGGACGACGTCGCGCTGCGGTTGGGCCGGGACTGGGCGCCGCGGTTTTTGGATAGGGTCTTCGCGGTCGTGGACGCGCGCGACGAGAAGGCGCACGTGCCGAACCAGGGCGCGGGCCGGCGCCACAACGCCGTGCTCAACCAGCGCGAGGATGCGTCGGCCGGTTTATTAAGGACCGTCGCGCGGCGGCTGCTCGCGAGGATGGCGCCTCGCTTACGCGCGGCATCCCAAAAACGCATCGGCGCCTACGCGCTGAACGCCGAGAGCGTCGCGGCGAAGGACGCCGCGGGGCTCTGCGCGGCGGCCGTCGACTGCGACCCGGCCTGCACCACGGCGGCAACAACAAGACTCGTGGAGACGCTGTTCCAGCGATGCCTGGAAGCGCTCAAGGACGGGGACCGCATGCGCGCGGCGCTGGCCGTGCGCTGCGTCGGCGGCGCGTGCCGGCGGCTGGCGCCGACGCAGGTCGCGCGGCGGCTGGCCGATATTGAGACGATGCTGGACATGAGCCTCGCGCACGGCGACAAGGTCGTCCGACGGTGCGGCCGGAAGTTGCTCCGAGACGCGCTGCGGGGCCTCGTCGAGACGCGGTGCGCCACGGCGGGCGTCCGCGACTGGCCCGCGAGCGGGTTCGGCGACGTCGAGGACGCGGCCGTCGCGTGGCGCGGGCCGCCGGCGGGCGACGACCTGGAGCGGACGGCCGCGGCCGTCGCCGGCCTCATCCGGCGGCGCGCGCAGGAGCCGCTCCAGAAGCTGATTAAGGAGGGCGGCAACCGGCGCGCGTGGCTCGACGGACTGAGACAGTTCGCGCGCGGCGCGCGCGGCGCGTCGGCGGCGCTGACGGACGGCACGGAGCCGCTCGAGGTGCTTGGGGACGCCGCGTCGCCGCTGAGCATGCGGGCGCGGGGCGTCGACGCCGTGACGGCCGCGCTGGGCGCCGGGAACCGCATCGTTTTAACCGAACTCCTGACGGCGGCCATGGCGACCATCTCCAGGGACGACAAGCTCGCCCGGGACGCCAAGGTGCTGCGGGCGGCGGCGAAGGCGGCGCGCGTCTTATTGTGTCTGCGGCGAAGCGCGCACATGGGCCGGAGCGCCCAGGTGCTGGCGAGCGTGCGGGCCTGGCGGCGCCACGGCACGACGGACATCATGGCCGACTACGAGCTGAGCCTCGTCGTCGGCGACGACGAGCGCATGCGGCGGCTGTACGCGCGGCGTGGCGCGGACGACGCGGCCGAGCGGGCCGCGGCGCACCACCTCGCCTGGTGCCTGCGGAGCGCGCGCAACGACGCGGCCGTCCTCAAGGAGGGCGGCCGCGCCGCGGAGGCCCACGACCAATTAATAGGAGCCGTCGTCCGGTTGACGGCGCACGACTACACGGACGTGCGGTCGGCGTGCAGCGAGGCCATCGAGTGGTGCTGGTTCTACTACGCCTGGGCGCTCAAGCCGCGACTCGCGCCGGCGCTGCGGGAGATCTCGGGCGAGCCGGGCGCGCTCTTCGCGTACAAGTACGAGGGCCCGCGGCCCGCGGCCAAGCGGTCGTCCGAGCTCTTCGCCGCCGTGGCCTTCGCCGGGAGCCGGCGCGCGCTGCGCCACGTCGCCGGCGACCCGGGCCTCGGCGAGCTCGTGTGCCGCGCCGTCTGCCGCAAGGAGCGGGGCGACCTGGACCAGATCGACGACGACCAGAAGGACGACGTCGCGGCGCGCTTCGACGGGCTGTGGCTGTGGTACGCGCTGCGGTACTCGATCCGGCCGTCGAACGCGGAGGCGCTCGTGGCCCTCGCGCGGCGCGGCGCGCAGGACGCGACGCTGCACTGGCGCCACCGCCTGGTCGCGGACGTGGTCCTGGGCCACGCGCTGGCGGCGCGTGATCAGGACGACGGCGACGACGAGACCTGGCAGTACGTGGCCCAGGGCGCGACCGACCCCCAGGACGCGCCGACGCAGCGGGCGCGCCTGGCCGTCGCGCTGCGCTTCTCCGACCGCGCCGCGCGGGGCGGCGCGAACAAGGCGCCGCTGGCTCTCGTAACGCGCGTCTTCGCGGCCGACGGCACGGCGCTCGACCCGCTGCACGGGCTGCTGGACGCGTTGTGCCGGGAGCACCGGCGGGAGCGCGCGCGGGACCAGGAGAACGGGGCCAGCGCGCGCGACTCGCCCGTCGTCGAAGCTTTATTGAAGCAGGCGCGCCACTCCGAGGGCTCGCGGCTCTTCCCCAAGGCCACGGCGCCCTACGCGTCGCGCGGCTTCCGGTCGCGCCACGCGCGCTTCGTCAAGCGCCTGTGTTTGGCGGCGGCCGAGGCCCTGGGCGGCGACCCCGCGGCGGCCGTGGCGACGGCGTCGACGCAGCTCTTCGACCGCGCGGCGCCGCCCGACCGGGGCGCGGCGGCGGCCGCGGCTGCGGAGGTCCTTTTTGCGGCGTCCTTCCGTACACCCTCCCGGTCATCGTCCCCGCACAGGCCTGGGGCGGCGCGCTGCGAGCGGCGTTACGAGCGGACGCCGACGCGACGGACCCGTTCGTCGAGCCGCTGCGGCGCGCGCTGCGCCTCCTGTCGCCGGACCACGCGACGGCCTGGGCCGACGCGCTGCGCTACGCCATCGCCGGGAAGCGCGCGGGGGCCTTTGCCCGCTCGCGGCTCTGCCAGGCGGTCCAGGGCGAATGGCGGCGGCGCCTCGACTTCGGCGCGCCGCCGCCGCCGGCCCTGCCGTCGTCGGCGCCGCCGCCGGCGCCGGCCGCGGCGCCGAACGGGAGCTCGTCCGGCAGTTCCTGGGCCCTCGCGGCCAAGTGGCTCGTCGTGGCGCCGGCCGTGCTCGCGGAGTTGGGGGACAGCCGCGACGACGCGGCCCGGCGCGCGGCCGTCGCCGTCGCCGACGGGCTGCGCGCGCCGCTGCTGGACGCGGCGGGGCACAACTTCCAGGCCGTGCGCGACCGCATTGGCCAGAGCCTGGCCGCGTGTTACGCCGTGGGGCGCCGCGTCCTTTTTTGCTTCTTCTTTTTACGCCCCGTGCGGCACGTCCCGCCTCCGCGCCGTCGGCGCGACGCTGTTCGACTCACACAGGTCCGGGAGGCGCCCGAGGACGTCCAGCGCCTCGCGGCGATGCTCGACGACGCCGACGAGGACGCGAAGCGGAGGAAACGGGAGACGGCCTACGGCTTGCTGCGGCACGCGTCGCGCGCGGGCAAGGTGTCCATCGTCGCGCCGCTGGTCGACGCGGCCATCGACGGCTGCGCCGACGCGAAGCAGGACCACCAGGCCCTGGCGGCTCAGAGCGTCGGGACGCTCATGGCCTCGCCCGCGCTGCGCTTGGACGCGGCGAGTACGTTAGGCGACCGCCTGATGCGGGGCGCGTCGCACGCCAAGTGGCGGTCGCGCCGCGCGGCCGCCGCCGCGCTAGGCGCCTACGCCGCCGCGCGGGCCTGTCTGGGCGACGCGGCCGAGTGCACCAAGGTCGCCCAGGCGCTGAGTGCCTTGCTCGGCGACGACACGTCGGAGGTGCGCGACGCCGCGACCGGCTCGTTCAGCGTCATGGCGGTCATTGCCGCGCCTGCGCAAAGGGACGCGTTCTGCCAGGCGCAGCTCGACCGGGCGAAGGCGGCGCTGCCCATACGGCGCCCGCCGAAGCGCAAGAAGACCGCGGTCGTCGACGTCTCGGGCGCGCAGCGGCTCGGCGCCGTCACGGCGCTCGGGGCGTGCGTCCTGGCCTATCCGTACGACGTGCCGGCGCACGTCCCCGCGTCGCTCGTGGCGCTGGCCCGCCACTCCCACACAACCTCGTCGTCGAACGGCGGCGCGCGGCACGCGGCGGCCGTGCGCGAGGCCGTCCGGGCGACGTTCGCCGAGTTCAAGCGGACGCACGCGGAGACGTGGGACTTCGTGCGGCCGCTCTTCTCGTCGGAGGAGCTCGACGCGCTCGCGGACATTCTGTCGGCGGGGGACTATCTTGTGTAGTACTAATACATTCGGTCGGTTCTTGATTGCTCGTCTTGGTCCATTGTTGCGGCTCGCCGTCCCGCGGGGCGCCATCCGGGCGCGAAATCGCGTTGTGACTTCGGCTACCCTCCTGACTAATACTGCACGACGCCTCCACGCCTCAAAGAAGGCGGGCGACCAGTGACCCGGTCGGCGCGTGCTCGACTAGGCAGCCAGCAGGGATCCGAACGCATGCGTTGTCGTCGTGAAGCTGCGCCCAAACCGCGCAAGCGCTCATCACGGAACGTTCAAGAGGCCCACGAAAACCAGTGCTCAAGTTTTACAGCGAAGAGAGCGCGTGAAAAGCGCTAAAAAACAAGCGCAGCTAGCAAAACCGTAGCAAACATGCCGTCGACGGCATTAGGCAGAGGCCTCTTAGGCTTATTTAACTCCACGTTCACGGCACCGGCCGCGGTACAGCCGAAAATCAGTTCGGACAGCAGCGTCGCGAGCGACGCGTCGACGTCGTCGACGCGGTCGTTCTCGGAGCACATGGCGTACGCGTATCAGAACGGCGCCGATCCCGCTTTCAAGGATCTGGTTCGCTCCATATCCAACCTGTCCGACGACGGGTACTAGAGTCCTTTGTTTGTTAATCCCTCGTCGGCCGCGGAGACGCCGCGCCGAGCGCAAGTCGCATCCCTTCCCGAAGAATTAAGTTTACCCGTTCGTGTATGAAAAAAAGGTCAGTACGACGGCGAGGGCTGCGCGCGCGCGGTCGCACCCTCAAAACGGGTTTGGCTCAGGCTAGTTACGTCGTAGGGTCCCCCGTACCCCTCCCGCTCCCCCCGGGCCCACGTTTGAGGCTGAGGCTAGTTACGTCGCAGGGTTCCCCGTACCCCTCCCGCTCCCCCCGGGCCCACCCGTCCGGCTGGACTAGGACGCAAGGGCTGAGTCACAGGGACTCGCACGCCCCCCCTTCTTTTGGGACGACCCCCGTCAGGATGTGGAATGGCCGCTGGCTCCTCTTTTACGACGAGCCGGAAATCAAGTGGTGAGAGAGATGCCCTCGCACACCAGGCCGAGCAATCCTGGAACGGGGAGCGAGAGCTCCAACCCGCCCAGACGGCCCTTGACAATAACTTGCCGGAACGGAACTAATAGGTTCAATGGATGCCACGGCGATACCGTAAGCCTACGAAAGCTCGGCCGGCGCGGCCAAGGTTACGGGGGGCGGCATGCCGCCGCCCCCAACGCCTCCTAGGTCGAGACCGACTCCGCGTTTGAGTCTAGTATGTATATCATCTAGGCTGCGTCGAGATTTTTGCACAAAAACGCTAAGTGCTGGCTGGCAACGGCTGAGTCTCCTCTTCATATACGTTTTCAGCTCCTCGCCTGTGCCTGGCTGGCTGCCACGTTTTTTTGTGGAGCAGAAACTGAGCTCCTGGAGCAGGCTGCCGCACAGCCAGCTAGCAAAAATCGATGGCACAACTCGACGACGGCGGTAAAAGCCCCAAGGCGGCGGACAGGAATGACGAAGACACCGCGCGGGCCGTTCTATTCCTCGGGTTCAACTTCCTATCGACGGTCGCCCTCATAAATATCAACAAATACGTCTTCACCAAGGCGCATTTTGGCTTTCCCGCGGCGCTGTCGAACGTGCACTACGTAACCTCTTGGGGCTGCCTCGCGCTGCTGAAGCGGCTAATTCCTGCGCTGGTACCAACGCTGGATGTCGGCCGCCCGCTCCACACCGACCGGGACTTCCTGGCCATGTGTTTGCTCATCGGCTCCGTGACGCCGCTGAATAATATGAGCCTGCAGCTCAATCCCATCGCCTGGTACCAGACCGCTAAGTTGGCCGTGACGCCCGTCGTCGTCGCAATCGAGTACGGCCTCGACGGCGTCGTGCCGTCGGCCGCGCGCGCTGCGTGCCTGGCGCTGGTATGCCTCTTCGTCGTGAAAATGCGAGAACCGGCCGCGGGCGGCGCTCCCCAGAGCGCCGCGGGTTTGATATGCGTCGCGATCTGGGTGCCTCTGGCCGCCGCGTACAAAGTGCAGTTCGGCCGGCTCCGTCGAAAGCTGGGCAAGTGCTCGACGCTGGCGCTCATGCACGCTCTTTTCCCGTACGCGCTGCTCGTACAAACAATCTTGAGTCCCCTCGTGGACCCGCCGGGACTGTTCGAGTACTCGTGGACGGCGACGTCAGTCTTTGCCGTGGCCGCTTCAGGACTGGGCGCTTTCCTGGTGAACTACTCGGGCTTCCTCGTCGTAGGACACCTCGGCGCAATCTCTCACGTGCTCCTCGGCCAGGCGAAGAGCGCCATGACGCTCCTAGTCGCCGCACTCCTCTTCGGCACGAGCTACACGGCGCGAGAGCTCGTCTGCGCGTCCGGCGCGATGGCGTCGATCGTCGCGTACGCGTATCTCAAGTAATCAGTTGTTGTGCATGAATCCTCCCCGGCTCTTGCACGGCGCCGCGTTTCGGCACTAGCCGCTCTGCTTCCGTCGGCCGTCCCAGAGAGGTCCAAATGCATTGCCATTCTCTCAGCACACTGGGTTTCACTGCAAAATTGCCGGCACGCGCCATCTTCCACACGCGAACCTGCTCTGTGGTGCACCAGGGTGACGGAGGGCCCCCGCGCAGGCACGAGGCCCAGGAGCACTCCGCGCACGAGGAGCACATCTGGTGGGTCGACATGTTCTTCTTCCTCGGCTTTTTATTAAGCTTCCTCATGGACAAGCTCCTCGACACGGACTGAACAAGTCCTACACGTCCTTCTCCTTCCCTTCCCCTGCCGCGACCCCGCCCTCTCGCGAGGGGCAGCAAGTACGAACTAACATGTTTGTTCGCTGGCAAGTGCACGCCGCGTAGCACATCCTGTCCGCGGTAACGATATCCCGTCACGGTCGACGGGATAGAAGTCGGGATAAGTCGGGATATGTTGCAGTATAACATACCCCGTCGACGGGATGTTAACGGGCAAGTAACGCAACACAGATTAAACACAGCTAGTACGGGGGAATCCGCGCGTCGGGCAGCATGTCCTCGCCGTGACCCGTACCGTTAACGGTACGGGTCACACAGGGGCTAATTAATCCCCCGTACCCTTCCCATTTATAAATAAGTGGAATGTGTCCGCACGGCCGAGAGAATCATTTTGCACGTGTTTTTAGCGCCAAACGGGCCCAGGAAGGGGTTCAATCGGCGTTCTTGTTGTTGCTCCTAGTGCCGCCCTAGTGCCGCTCCACTAGCCCCTGTGTGACCCGTACCGTTAACAGCCGCCGCCGAGCAGCGCGGCCGTCAACACTACGGTCGCGAGGCCCGCGAGGCCGACGAATGCCAGGACGGGCCCGATGTCGTCCTCGTTGTCGTCGAGGTCGAGCGCTGCCGACCCCGGAATGATACGCCAGGGCAGGGCGTCGTCGACGGCGTCGGCCCAGTCGATGGCGTCGCGGCCCGGCGGCCGTCGGCACACCTGTGTGGAAATCAAAATTTGGGCGCCCCACACCATCGACGCGATATTTTCTCCGTAGCTGCGTCTGCTCGATGGCGTGAAGTTAACCTAACTCACTGGTTGATTTCCACACAGCTCTCGACCTCGAGAAATAAACGCAAGTCCTGGGCGCACCGTCGGTTCCGGAGCTGCCCTCTCCTACAAAGATCCGCAAAATAAATCTCATCTGACACTGCCGTCAGCGCGCCGTCGTCGTCGAATGTGAGAATCGCGCGGCCCTCGATCAGGGCTAGCGGCACGCGGAGGCGCCCCGTCGCCGCCGCGTCCTGGAAGAGCTTGACGACACCTTTCCAGGAGAACGTCGAGACTTGACCGTACCGGTCGGCGTAGGGCGTCGGCGCTGCTTCTACCCCAGGCCAAGCACTAGCTACCGACAAAAGCCAGGCGGCCGACGGCGGCGTCCACGAGGCGTTGTATTTCACGATCACCTCGCGTGCTGCAACGCTCGCCGCGGCGCTCGCCGCGGCTTGGAAATCGGGCAGCTCGTCCGCGGCGGCGCGCGACCAGTTCTCGGCGACGCGTGTCAATGCGTCGGCGCCGTTGACGCAGACGCCGCAGGCGCTCCGCAGTGTGACGTCCTCCGCCCAGGTGTCGCGCGGGCAGAACACTGCGGTTGCTGCGGCACCTTTTGGTGGTGTGAACGCGTCGACGACTTCGCGCGGGCTGGCGCGCAGTGCGCAGCGCTGGCGGTTGATCGATGGCGCGTGCAGGGCGGACGCGTACGCTACGAGGAGTGCTTTGTTCATGGCCACTGCGGGCGCAGGCGTCGATTGCTGCACACTAGCTCTCACAGGAATGCCCTGTCTGCCCAGTTACGACTGCAGCTGTAGTGTCGCAGCGGTTACGGGCAGTAATAGCGTTGCAGAGGAAGCGAAAGCGCAACTCAGCAGCGTCGCCCATAGGCCACCGCTGCGGCCACGGCTCGCGCCTAGCCTAGCCTCAGGTTCGGGTTCGGGTTTTACACGGCGCGCGACCCCCTAGTCGCTCCCGCTCCTCCGGGACCCATCCGTCGGGCTAGGACAGAGTAAGTCAGGTTAACCGACGGGTTTTTGCGCAGTTTGCTAGTGTCTTACATGCCGGTAGGTAGTTTTTTTGGCAGACTGCCTTGATTACGCACATTCATAGATTGGCAACAAGTGGGCATCATTTAAACGCTGTCCGGTCTGCGGAGCACTGCCCGACGCGTTGGCAAGCGCGAGTCTGACAGTGCGAGCAACACCTGGACAAGTGGGCGCTCCCGCCGGCTGGTCCGCGGCGCTCGTAGAGATGTGGGTGTGCACCGCCTGCACGCTTGAGAACGAGAACGACGCATATTTGTCCTGCGCAGTCTGTGGGACAACAAGAGCGCCAGAAAACGAGGCCGCGGAGGACTCACGCGATGCAGCGGACTCACTCGAGGCCGCGGAGGACTCACGCGATGCAGCGGACTCACTCGATGCTGCGGAGGACTCACGCAAGCGCCAGCGCGAAGAAACCGCACCAGCACCGCGGCGGCCGACGTTCGACCTCGCCCAGCTCGGCAAACGGCCGCGGGCAGCGCCGACGGTGCCGGCGCCGCCACCAACGGCGTCACCGAGAGCACCGTCGCGCCCGAGCTTCGACCTCGGCCGCCTGCGGTCATTGCCGGCGCGGCCGTGCACCGTGAGAGACGGCGACGCGCCCCCGCGCTCGGTTGCCGACGCGGAGGTACCAAGCGTCGCTCCCGCACACATCGTGCGGCGCGTGCTGCCGCCGGCGTTGGCCGACGCGTTGCTGAGGAAGCTTCTGGCCGATGGCGACTGGCACCGCGGCACGTGGACGGTCGGCGGTAAGACGTCGGTCAACGCACGTCGAACCCGCTCGTTCCGCATCAGAATGACGGGCGGCGGCGAGTTCGAGGCCCTGGGTGGCGGGGCCGACGCCCAGGCGCGCGAGGAGAACGGCTCGTCGCGGGCGCGAGGCTACGCCGCGTGCCCGGAATTATTGGAAGCAGCCCGCTTTGTGACTGCTGCGGCCCGCGAGGTGGCCCCGCGGAGCTGGAAGGACAACTGGGAGCCGACCGTAGCATTCGGCAATAGATATGACGGCGGCCAGGAGCATGTGGGCTATCACTCGGATTTTCTGATGACCATGGGCCCAAGGCCGATTATCGCCGGCCTCTCGCTCGGCGCTACGCGTGAATTTCGGCTCCGGCGCGAGGCGACTGATTACGCGCCATCACGCGTCGTGTGCATGCCTGCGGAGCACAACTCGCTCATCGTCATGAGCCGCGACTGCCAGGAGGAGTGGTCCGCGCCCGGTGTCCTTCGAAGAGCCTGCACTCGCGAGCTTTCACCGACGATTCCCGCGCAGGAAGCATTCCGTCGCGAAGACGTCGTCTGTTCCGTTTCACGCCGTCGCTGGCGAGACGCGGTTCAGCTTAACGTTCCGTCGCAACCGCCCCGAGTTCTCTCAGTCGGCGACTCGCAATTGCAATTGCGGCAAGCCGGCGGCATTGAAGTGCGCCAAGGGCCGCTATTACTACACGTGCTGCATGGCCGGCGGCGACGCGTCGCAGAAGTGTAGCTACTACGCGAGGTCGGCCGTCGCCCAGCAGGAGGCGGACCGGCTGCGCGCCATCGACGAGAGCGGGTGATTTGTGTAAGTGACTGTGTACAAACGAGCAAGACGGCTATCCCGCGGCGGCCCCCGATGCGCCACCGTCGCGGATCTGGGATTCCGGCGTCCGACCTGCTCCCCCTCACCGTCGTCGCCTCCGAGCTAACACTGGGGCGACGGCGTACGAGGGCGGGGGGGGGGGGCGGGCGTTCACGCGACCCCGCGGCGGCCGGGTGGCTAGGCGGCCTAGCTCTAAGCAAAGCAAAGCAAAGCAAGACAAAGACAACAAACAACAGCAAAATTAAACAAAAGCCCGCAGCTCCGTGGACCGCACGACGCTCTCAAAGTCCGCGTCCGAGAGGTCCTCGTCGTCGAGGGAGTCGTCCTCGGCCGACTTCGCGCGCGCGTAGCCGCCCTTCCCGACGGGTTTGTTGCCGCCGCGGCAGCGCCGCACGACCAGGTAGAGGACCAGCCCGAGCACGCCGCCCGACAGGACGGGCGGCGCGAAGCGGTACGCGAGGCCCCACCAGGCCGCGTCAGAAGGAGCCGACGCGGCAAAGGGCGCGGTCGTGACGGCCGTCGGGTCGGGCGTCGGCGCGTAGGTCGGCCGCCGCGACGGTGCGGACGACGGCGCGTAGGTCACGGGCGCCGCCGTGGGCTTGGGCGGGAAGGTCGCCGGCCACGGAAGGCACGCCGCGCGCTCGCACCGCGGCACGTCGCCCGACGGCAGCTCGACCACGGTCGCCACCTCGCGGTCGCTCGAGACGCAGTGGACCGTCGCGCCGTCGAGGACGACGAGCGAGCAGGCGGCGTCGTCGCGCGCGACGAGATTTGCCGCTGCTGCCCCGCGCTTGAACGGCGCGCTGCCGCTGACGACGGCCACGAAGTCACTGTCGGCGTCCGGCCGCGCCCAGAGCGCGCCGCGGCCGGCGTCGTACGCCGCGAGCGAGCCGCTCGCGGCGCGGACGTCGTCGCCGTTATCCCCATCGAGCGCCGCGCCGTGGTCGGGGCCCCGCCACGCGACCGCGTCGAAGAAGAGCCGCCCCGGCGCGTCGACGGCCGTCGACGCGACGGGCACGCCGCTTCCTATGACTTTGGGGTCCGCCACGAGGAGCCGGCCGTGCGCGCCGACGTAGAGCTCGCCGCGGCCGGCGTCGAACGCGAGGGTCCGCGCGCGCGGCTTGTCCACGGCGTCGAAGGCGACCGCGTCCCGGGCGTCGACGACGCGGCCGTTCGCGTCGAGGTCGCAGGACCGCGCGCGCCCGTCGGCCCAGAGCGCGTAGGCCACGAGCGTGCCCGCCTTGCGCCCGCGCACGGCGCCGCCCCGCGCGTCGACGGCCAGCGAGACCGGCGCGCCCCAGTCCCGGTGCCAGCCGCAGTTTAGAGAAGAGACGTCGAGCGTGCTCGTGCGGAGCGCCGCGAGCCCGCCGCGCTGCCCGACCAAAATTAATTGATCGTCCCTTATCACGGCGAGGCTCCGCGGCTCGTCGAGCCCGGCGGCCCAGACGGAGCCCGCGCCCGCAGTACCCTGGCCCCAGACGGCCGCGAGCGCTTTGCTCTCGAGGTCCAGCACGAGCACCTGGTCCCGCTTCGCGTCCGCGACGACGCACCAGGGCGCGGAAGCGGCGCAGGCCAGCGCGTCGTAGGCGTGGTGGCCTGCTCTCGTTGCTGGGGGTGTCAAGGCCAGCAGTAGCGCTTTTGGGAGCAGCCCCATGGCTTGGTTGCGATATGGGGGCAGCTTGTGCTGCGCTCCCCACTCGCCTTCGTCGAGAGCAGCTTATATAGATTGCGTGTGTGTGCTCGTTCCTGACTCCTGAGCGCTTCGGGGGGAACTCTGGCGCGCAAGACGCCCGTTCGCAACATACATAGCTAGCGTCCGGTAAAACACTAGGAAGAGCTCGAGTCTCGACGTCGCGTGTGCAAGCTGTGGCTTATACGTGGCGCTGACTCGTAGCGATCGTAGTTTTAACCAGCCTTGCTGTGCGAGCATCCGTGGCGAGTCTCGCTGCGTGCCGCCGGCGGCGTGTGGAGATCTCATGTCTGAAACCCCCTCCGGCCGCTCGTCTCCGACGAGCACCGGGCGGTCGTCCCCGACGAATGACGCGAGCGACGACCCCGCGGCTGCGATATCGAGGATAGCGAGCCTCTTCCAGTCCTTGAACCGTCTGCGCGACGCCGGCTACGGCACCTCGGTAATCGCGGCAAAAGTCGCGGAGTGTCGCGCGGCGGTCGTGAGTTTGCCGCCGGACCTCCAGGCGAAGGTCGTGGCGCTCGTCAACGCTATTGATGACGAGCTCGAGGGCGACGGCGCCGCGCCAGTAGACGACGTCAATGAAATCCCCTTCGGACTACTGGACCTGCCGCCGCCCGTACTGGCGCTGTGCTGCGTCTTCGCCGGCGACAGCGGGTCGCTCGTGCCGCGGCTGGCCCGCACGTGCAAGGCCGGCGGCGAGGTGAAGCCCGAAATCATGCAGTCACGCTCAGCAGCGCGCAAATCAAATTTTGGTGCTCCTCGCTGATGATGACCTGCACGCCGTCGTTGCGTCGATAGTCGCGTCGATGGCGTCGCGTCGATGGCGCGCCATCGACGCGACACCTGCTCAACGGCGTCGCGGTTGCCGGGTCGCAGCCGACTCACTGGTCGATTTTGCGCACAGGTCGCTCTACGCCGTCGGGACACGGGTGGTGCTCCACGGCCTGCAGGCGGACACGCTCAATCTGAGGCGAGGCACGGTGGTCCAGTGCGCGACGGCGGAAGACCGCGTGGGCGTGCGCTTGGACGGAGAAGTGAAGCCTAAGAGCGTGCGGCGCGTCAACGTAAGATTGGAACGGGGCCCGCACGAGAGCGGCGAGCCCGACGAGCTGCACGAGGGCTTCTGGTGCGACGGGTGCGGCCACTTCCGGGGCAACGACTCGCCGCCGTCGAAGTCGCTGCGGGGCACGCGGTACCGGTGCACGCGCTGCGCGGCCATCCCCGGCTTCGACCTGTGCTCGCGGTGCTTCGGGGCCGGCTTCGCGCACGCCTGCAGCGCGACGCCGTCGTTAAGCCACGAGAACAAGACGGACTGCGGGCCCAAGGAGTTCCACGCCGACGGCTTCAAGGCCCTCAAGGACTCGCAGGCGACGTCCTTCGCCAAGTGGGTCGAGGGCGCCGCGGCGGAGGGTGAGCTGGAGGAGCGGGAATTGGTACGACAGGCCATGAACTTCGGCGACGAGCGGGGCCCGCGGAGCGCAGCGGTTGTCAACACGATCTACCGCGCGCAGTTCCCCCAGGGGGGCACCGCGGGCCTGAAGAAGCTGCGCGGCGCGCTCATGCGCGAAGAGATCGACGCACAGATCCAGGCCGCGATGGCGAACGCGGGCATGGGGCCCCAGCCGGCGGGCGCGGTGCCGCCGGTGGGGCCCTTCGGCGGCCAGGGGCCGGTGCAGTTCGGGGGCATCCGCGTCGAGGGCCCCGGCGGCGTGCAGGCCGCGATGCCCGGGTTGCCCGGGTTGCAGGCCGCCGCCGCCCAGTTCGGCGCGCAGGTCGCGGCGGGTGGCGGCGGGCTGCCCTTCAACATCGCCGACGTCATGGGCGCGCAGTTCGGGAACTTCGGCTTTCCGCTGCCTACGCCGGGCGCGGCGGCTGCGCCGGCCGCCGGCGACGACGAGGCGTCGGAGACGCCGACTGTCCTCGAGGATACGCCTTCGGAGCTCGCAGACGAGTCGGAGGCGGCCGTCGAGCCGAGCGGCGCGCCGGAGCCGCACCTGACCGAAGCGCCGCTCGAGGTCGCCTTCGACGCGGGCCCGGGACCCTAGTTCCCTTCTGTAACGAATGTAATACCACTGGCAATTAAACAACAAGCATCTCGGCGGCGGCCTCCTCGGCGAGCGCGAGGCAGGCCGTCAGGCCGGGCGACTCGACGCCGAGGAGGTGTAGCACCCTTCCCCGGCGCACGACCTGGAAGTCCGCCGTCTCGCGGGACAGCTTCGGCCGCACGCCGGCGTAGTCCGGGGCCAGCGCGCCGTCGGCGAGCGCCGGATAGTAGGTCCGCACGGCCGCGTAGAACGGCTCCGCGCGCGCGGGGTCCACCTCGTAGAGGCCCGGCGCGTCGGGGGACGTCCCTTCCGGCAGCCACTCGACGTCGGGACCGAAGCGGCACCGCCCGCTCAAATCGAGCGTCGCATGAACACCGAGGCCGCCCGGTTCCGGTAGCGGGTACACCAGCCGCGAGAACGGCGCGTCGCCTTTCAGCGAGAAGTAGGAGCCGCGGGCGAGCAGCGAGGGCGCGTCGAGGCCCGTCTCCTGAGCAATACGTGGCGCAAAAAGCCCCGCACAATTGGCCACGGCCCTCGCCTCGACGTCTATCCTTTCGTCGTCGACTTTTACGCGCAGCACGCCCGCCGCCGCGTCGACGCCCTCGACGCGGTGGCCCGTCGCCACCACGGCGCCGAGTTCGACGCAGTCGTCGCGCAGAGCGTCGCAGAACGCCGCCGAGTCCACGACGCCCGTCGACGGCGAGAGCAGCGCCGCCGACGCGCGCACGTTCGGCTCGAGTGCCGCGACCTCAGGCGCGTCCAGCCGCCGCAGGTCCAGCACGAAGGCGGCCGTCGCCTGCCGCGCTATGAGATCCAAGCCGGCTTCGTTACCCGCTTGAGCGACGACGAGCTTCCCCAACCTCGCGTGCGGGACCTGCCTCTCGGCACAGTACGCGTAGAGCAGCTCGCGGCCCCGCACGCACGCGCGCCGCTTCCGCGGCAGGCCGTCTCCGTAGTATAGGCCCGCGTGAATCACCTCCGAGTTCCGGCTCGTGATGCCCTCGCCCCACCGGCTCGCTTGTTCCAGGCATGCGACTTGCGCGCCGCGCTTGGCTAGTTCTCTGGTGAGTGCGAGGCCGATGCAGCCGGCTCCTATGACGACGGCGTCGAACCGCTGCATGGCTCACGCGCACGCCTGCATGGCGGTAGCTCTGCAGCTCTCAGACTCGAGGGCTGAAGACTATGCCACCCAGAAGCGCGTTTTTATCAGCCGAGCGGGCTGCTAGCGTGCGGTAAGACACTAGCAAGTGCTCCGAGTCGGCTGCCTAGTTCTTACGAGAGCCGCCCTAGGCTGGACACCAAAAACACTTCCCGATATGACTCATGGACTGCCTGATGCCTTCCGGCGACCGCTAACACGAATGTGTCCAATTTAGGAGAGATGCACTGGTGTGCAGCAGCCGCAGTGCTCGCATGCGCGGCCGCATTCGCACCAGCGCGGACGCCAAAAATCTCGGCCGTCGTGTGCCGAGAACTTGCCGCGTCGAAGGAGCAAGGCGCCGATGACGACGACTGGCGCCGCCTTGCGAATTCGAAGGACGCCGCGGCCGACGTCTTCCTGAGCTGGGCGGCCGAGGATCCTGGTCTAGGCGCTTGTTTGCGAACATTGAACCTGCGGCGCGGGCGTTTCGGCGGCGACGTGCCGCCCACGCTCTGGCCCGTTCAGCTGCGCCGCAAGCTCGCGCGCGGGCTCGGTCGCAGAGGTCGCGCGCGGAGCGCGCGCCGGGCGGCCTGGGCCGGTGCGAACGCGACGTCGCTCGAATTGTCGTGGCGGGATCTGCGGGCAGCCTACGCGGAACGCGAGGCCGTCGTCCGCAACGTGAACGGCGCCGCCGAAGACTTAGCTGGAAGTTGGGTGTACCACCTCGGCCTCTTGCAGGCCTACGCACAGAACCACGACAGCGCGCGGCCGCCCGCGTCGTACGTCGCCCCGTGCGGCGCCAGGCTCGGACGGTGGCTCGCGGACCAGCGGTCCCTCGACAAGAGCGGCCGGCTCGCGCCGGCGCGGCGCCAGCAGCTCGAGCTGATCGGCGGCGACGTGAGTCCCCTCGCGGCGCACTCGGAGCGGCGCTGGCGCCGCGCGTGCCTGAGCCTCTGGCGCTTCCGGCGGCGCGAGGGCCACGCGCGAGTGAAGCGGGCCCACGTCGACGAGGACGGCTTCCGGCTCGGCGGCTGGCTCGTGGAGCAGCGCAAGAAGTACGACAAGGGAACGCTGCCGCCGAAGCGGGCGCGGGCCCTGGAGACGCTCGGCGTGTCCTTCGAGCGGCCGCGCGACGCGGCGTGGCGGCGGCACTTCGAAGCCCTAGAAAAGCGCGCGGACGCGACGGGCCTGGCCGACGCGCCGGCGCGCCTCGTCACCGAGGACGGGCTCAAGCTCGGCCAGTGGGTCGCGAAGCAGCGAAAGCTGAGGCGCGAAGGCGTGCTCGATCCGGACCGCGAGCGGCGGTTGTCCTCGATCCGCTTCGTCTGGGCGCCGCGCGACGCGGTGTCGCGGGACGCCGCCTATGCGGTGGCGTTGGCGGCGTTTGTTGCCCGCGAAGGGCACGACCGCGTGCCGAAGCGGCACCGCGAGCTCGGGCTCGGCTTGGGGGAGTGGATGTATCGCCGGCGGCGGCAAGCCGTCGCGGCGGGGGAATAAAAGTGCCTGTGTTGAGCCCTTACACACGCCCAAACTAGCGGACCTTCCGCTCGCGCGCGCGCGCGTCCGCCGCCGCGACGGCGCCCGCGCACGCGGCCGCCTGGAGGTACATCGACGGCGCGGCGCACGCGTGCATGAGGTCGATGCCGCAGCGCACGCCGCCCAGCAGCATGGACGGCGGCATGCTGAGCAGCGCGACGAACATGAAGAGGCCGCTCGTCTTGCCGTCCGCGGCCCGGCCCCGCTTCCCCGCGTCCGGCGACCGCGCGCCGTGCGCGTTCAGCAGCGTGAAGACGACGTTCGTGCCCACGCCGAAGAAGAGCATGAGCGTCCCGAGCGACTCGCAGCGCCAGTCCGGGAACGACGCCACGAGGTCCGTCGCGTCCCTATATTTCGGGTCGAAGATCGCCTCGAAGGGCGTCGCGGCGTAGCCCCTTCCATCAAAAGTGAGGGTCAGCGGCACCGTCGCCTCCTTCACCCTATTCAGCGCGAGCGCCGAGGCCATCCAGGGCAGGTTGCTCATTCTTCGCACGAAGAACGCCGGCAACGTCAGCTCCAGCGTCTTGGGGAGGGGCAGGTAGTCCGACAGGTCCACCCGAAAGTAGGCGCACGGCAGATAGAGTAGCGGCGCCACCAAAAACCCGGCCACGCCGAGCACCGCGTGCCGCGCATCCTCGAGCTGGTCCAGGCAGCACACCATGCCATACAACGGCGGCGCGAAGCACCCGCACAGCATGTAGTAGGCCCAGAATTTGTCCGGCACGGCATAATTCGGTTCGACCAGATGCATCAAACACCCGAACCCTTGAAAGCCGATCATGCAGAGGTAGTAGGCGAGCGTGAGACCTTGCAGGGCCCGCGCCCGGTCCCCCGTGACGCGGCCCCGGCGCACGAACCGGTACACGAAGCACCAGTGCATCGCGCAGAGCAGCGCGTCGCCGAGCGCGTTCGTGTAGCGCGCGTTTTCCGAGATGGCCAGCATTTTATGGCGTGCGCTGCGGCTCTGTGGCTGCGCGAGGCGCCACGGTATCGCGCACGCGTCGTCCGTCAAGTGTGTGCCACCACAGCAGGGAGAGCACTGCCAAAGTTGCAGCTCTGCCGTGCAACCGCAGGGTTTCTGCGGGGCTCAAGCGCTTTGGCGCGTTGAGAGCTATTGTGGAAACGCGCGCGAAGCGTTCTGCTGCCGCGTCGCGGACGCGCGTAGCAACAAAGCTGGTCTCTCAAGTTGTGGCAAGCCGAGGATCCGCGAGTCCCCAGGCACGAAGAAGGGTCGAGGCAGAGCTCGAGAAGTGCCCTCAAGATTGCTCCCGTTCCTCGCACCGGCTTTTGGCCGTAGGCATCTCCAAATTGCGAGAGGTCTAAAGCCGGCGAGGCGGCTGTACGCATCGTACAAGCGCAGCGGTGCACAGGAGGCGAGGACTGGTCCGCGACAGTGCCCATTTCCACGCGTGTGCAACGAGACGCAGCGTTTTCCCGCAACTAATAGAGCTAGCAGCACCAACACACATAGTGGTGCGGCAGGATGGTCGCGGACACCGTCCACACCACACCATTAACGATCAAGAGCCAGGCCGCCCGGCGCGGCCCGGCGCCGCTCGACCTGCTGGTCGCGCCCGGCGCGCCCGAGCACAAGACGCAGAAGATCGAGGTCGCCGCGGCGCTCGCGAATATAAAACTGCGGATCACGGCCGCCAAGGACGAAGCTGAGTTGACGAAGCTCTGCCCCCACGCCGCGACCGTCGTGCTGATGACGCGCAACGGCCCGGTCACGCGGAGTGACGCCGTCCTGAAATATGTGTCCGGCCTCAACCCGGCGACGGAGCTCTGCGGCGCGGACGGCTTCGGGCGGGGGCGCGTCGACCAGTGGCTGGAGTTCGGGACCCACGAGTTGGAAGTCGCCGTGGTCGCCGCGACGACGCACGCGAAGAATAAAGAGGTTGTGAACCGGGCGACGAAGGACGTTCAGCAAGCGTGCCGGACGCTCGACGCGGCTCTGCAAAAAACGACGTACCTCGCGGGCGACCGCGTGTCGGCGGCAGACTGCGCCGTGGTCTGCGTGCTCCGCGCGGCGCTCAAGAATCAGTTGATTGCGACGAGCAAACTGGGCCCCTCGTTGCTACGATGGTACCTCACGTGCCTCCACGCGCCGGCCTTTTCCAGTATTTTGGGCGCCGACGCTAAGAATGATGCGCTCAAGGCGCTGCCCGCCGGCAAGGCGCCCACTTCAAAAAAAACCGCGGCGGCCAAGGCCAAGGCATCACCAACGGCGAAGGCCGTCGCCGACCCGCGGACGCTCTTCACGCCGACCTTCGCGCGGAGCCGCGAGCGGCTCAAGGAGCTGCTGGGCCGCGGCGCGGCCGCCGTCGGCGCGACGGTCGTCGTCGCCGGCTGGGTGAGGACGTTACGCGAAGCCATGAAGGGCGCGACGTTATTTGTGGAGCTCAACGACGGGTCGTGCCTCGCCTCGATCCAGGTGGTCTGCGGGAGCGACTCGACCGAGGGCTTCGCCGCGGCCAAGGCCTGCGGCGGCGCCGGCGCTTCATTAAGAGTCGAGGGCGCGGTCGTCGAGTCCCCGGGCAAGGGTCAAACGATAGAGATCCTGGCCAAGGCCATCACGGTCCTGGGCTGCACGCGCGGCGGCCCGGGCCGGACCGTCGGCGCGCAGACCTACCCGCTCGCGAAGAAGTACCACACGCTGGAGCACCTGCGGACGCACGCGCACCTGCGGCCGCGGTCGCGCGTCGGGAGCGCCGTGGTCCGCCTGCGCAACGCGCTCGCGTTCGCGACGCACGAGTTTTTTCAACAAAGGGGGTTTTTGTACGTGCACACTCCATTAATAACGGCGGCGGACTGCGAGGGCGCGGGCGAGCAGTTCACGGTGACGACGTTGCTGCCGCCGGAGCACGACAAGGCGCCGAAATTACCTACCGTCGACGGTCGGGTCGACTACTCGAAGGACTTTTTCGGGCGGCAGGCGTCTCTAACTGTATCAGGACAGCTGAATGTGGAGACGCACGCCGTGTCGCTCGCCGACTGCTACACGTTCGGGCCGACGTTCCGGGCCGAGAACTCGAATACCTCGAGGCATCTGGCGGAGTTCTGGATGATCGAGCCCGAGGTGTCGTTCGCGACGCTAGCGGATGATATCGCCTTGGCGGAGGACTACCTGAAGTACTGCGTCGCGGCGGCGCTGTGCCGATGTGCCGATGATCTGGAATTTTTCGAAGGAAGTAAAAACGAAGGCCTAAGGGACCGCCTGAAGGCCATCGTCGAGACGCCCTTCAAACGGTTGGAGTACACGGAGGCCATCTCCGTCTTGCAGAAGGAGATGAAGGCCGGCCGGGCGAAGTTCGAGAACACGGACGTGACGTGGGGTATTGATCTCGACAGCGAGCACGAGCGGTATTTGACGGAGAAGGTGTACAAGGGCCCGGTGGTCTTGATCAACTACCCGAAGGACATCAAGGCCTTCTACATGAAACTGAATGCCGACGGCAAAACCGTGGCTGCCATGGACATCCTGGTCCCGCGCATCGGCGAAATTATTGGCGGCTCCCAGCGCGAGGACTCGCTGGAAGTGCTCGAGGAGCGGGCGAAGTCGGTCGGATTGAACCCCGAGGACATCAAGTGGTACGGCGAGCTGCGGCAGTACGGCTCCGTGCCGCACGCGGGCTTTGGACTGGGCTTCGAGCGGTTGGTGATGCTCTGCTCGGGCGTCGAGAACATCCGCGACGTGATCCCCTTCCCGAGGACGCCGGGGAACTGTCGCTTTTAATTGAGTAAGTGCGAGTTACATAGACCCCTAGAAGCCGCGTTTCGCGCGGAAAGCTTGGATGGCCTCCTCGCGTTCGGCGGCGACGTCGCGGCCGTGGCGCGCCTTGTGGACGCGGAGCAGGGACTTGTAGAACTGCTCGAGGTCTCCGACGTTGCACGAGTTGCCGACGAGGCGCCACATCGCGTCCTCCTCAAGGTCGCAGCCCTCGAACCAGTCGACCGGGAAGCCCATCAACAGCAAAGCCTCTTCGATCGCGAGCTCTTCCTCATCGCCCGTGGCGCGGCACCGCTTGACCGCGCCCGGCGGCCGCGCGGACGCCTTGAGGCAGTCGATCTTCGATACGAGCGCGAAGTACTTTCCCTCGCCGTACAATTTGTCGAGCAACTCCTGGAACGTATCAAAGCATCGCGGCTTCTCCTGGACGGGCCGCATCGTCGATCGGATGGAGCGCGGGCGGCTGTTCGGGCCCGTACCGTCCGTGGTTCGGACGTGCGGCACGCGGAACAGCTTGTTGTATTTTTCGGTATCGTCTTCGTCCATGATCACGTTCTCCACCAAGTAATTCAAGTCCTCGTTTTCCTTCTCGGCATAAGACAGCATCGCCGCGGCGGAAAAGTACTGCTTCGCCCCCTTGGCATTAAAGCCCCCGCGGTTGGCGTTGACCAGGGAGAAATGAACGCAGGAGCACGTCGCCGAGGCCACGTCATACTTTTTACCGGCCAGGTCCTCCGCTATCGCAAAGTCGACGTTGCCAGCGACTGCCAGGTTCCTCGACGGCGGGCGCTCGACGGCGGGCGGCGCGCTGATCGGTTGTCCCGTCTCGATGGCGATACCCTGCTTCTTGCAGAAGTTTTCTAACACCATGCGAGCCTCCGGGTCAATCTCCCAGTTCGTAACGGAGTTAATTTTAATGCCGACATTGTAAATGGCCACCACGCACGCGCCCATGCCCCCACAGAGCAGCAGGACGTCGATGCCGCGATCAGAATGGATCCTTTCCAACCGCTCGTCAATAATCTTGAGGCGCTCGGAGGTCCACCGTTTTGGACACGCCGCGTGCGCCACACTCAGAAGCCTCTTCTCGTCCTTCAAATCGTCGCGCGAGGCATCGCTCGCGGCTGCGACAATCCCCTCGAACCGATTGTGCAAATCGGGACAAAGCAGGCTCTGGCGGCTATTGTCGTCCCACTGGTCCCGGAGCGAGCGTCTCTGCTTCGACCGCTTCGGCAGCGTCACTAGGCTGTCTTCCGCGGGGCGCTTCGCTAGCTGCCGCTCCGGCGATGTTGGCGCGGCCTCGTCGTCCGACGTGTCGGGCGGTGGTGTGAAGGCGTCATCGTCGCCGTCGTCGCGCGACGGAGATGGCGACGGCGAGACCGTCGGCTGCAGCTGCACCGGAGTGAGGTCCCCACCTTTGACTTTGCACTTTTCACGCAGTGCGGCCCCATCGCCCTCGTCGATAATAATATCAAAAATGTTGGATATCTCGCCCTGGCACACAACCGCTTTGGGGTACTCCCCGTCTCTGGTTTTCCAGAAAACGACATCGCCATCCGCCAGTTCCCTAGACATTGAAATACGGCCCTTGTGCGAGATCACATAAGGAACGGATACCTCCCGCTCACAAATAGGCTTCATGAGGTCCTCGTAGGCCTCGTTCACTTTTCGTGTAGCCTCGTCAGTGCCGCCCTTGTCCCGATGTACGGACAACAGGAGCTCGTTGCGCGCCTCTTTCAGCTCTTTTTCCTTACTTCTTCGTAGTTCGATGTGGGGCCGCACGCCCAGGACCAAATAGGGAGTTGGCGCTGCCAGCACGCGCGCCACTTCGGCGTTCGTCTTCCGCGGGCGCGCGGGCGCCGCGCGTGCGGTCGCTGGGCGCCGCGGCGCCGGGGCACCCTCGCGGCCATCGCTGCGGCCGCCGCCGAGGCCGTCGCCGCGCGGCTTAAAGTTGGGGGGCGCCACTTCCATGACCTTCAGCAAATCGATGTGCGTCGTAAAGGTGCCGCCGCGCTCGTTTTTGATGAAGGCTTGCCCAATGCTCTCGTGCAGCTGCTGCACCACCCATAGTTGCTCGTTCGGGTGACCAATGCGCACAACCTTGGCACCTGGCTGCACCGCCGCGGCATCATCATTGCGGGGCCTCATCTCCATGGTGCGACAGTTGTATCGGCAGCCCGGCGGCTTGCTTGTTTTGCAGCGCCGCGAGAGCCAGAGCGTTCGGCTTGCCAGTTCCGGCTCGTCCGCGAGCCTGGGGGAAGAGACCTCGGCCGCGCCACGGTACTTGTCCGCACGTCCTAGATGTACCAAAACGGAGCGGGGCCCAAGCTGGGGCGCGGCGTGGCCGCGGACGTGCCGACGACGGCGCGGAGTTGCTACAAATACTTAGTCGTCCGCGTCGCGAGCATGCTCGCCAGCAGCGGCCGCGAGATGGCCCCGGCCGTCTCGGGCCGCCGCGTGTCCCGAAGCGACGTCGACGCGGTCGGCGCCTTCCCCGTCGCGGGCCGCCGTCCGAGTGGCGGCTGCGGCTTCTTCATGATGGGACTCCGCCGCCGCGGCCCGGGCCGCCGCGCGGCCTCCAACAGATCAGGCGGCGGCGGGAACGTCAGCTCGCGCAGCTGCGCCACGACCTTCAGCTGGAGGCGGATCTCGTCGCCCACCTTCGGGCGCCTTGATCCGGGCGACGCCGCCGCGGACTGTGCGCGCGTGACAGACGACGCCGCCTTCGCCGTCCTCCCGACGGTCCGCGGCCGCGTCGTCGCCTTCAGCGCGTCGTCGAGCCGCGCCCTCAGCCCCCTATCAAAGGCGTCCAACAACGAGCGCAGCTCGGCCTGTTCCTGGAAGTCCTGGTTGTAGTCGGACCGGGCTTTGACCAGTTTCCGCTTCGCTCCCCTTATTTCGGCTTGGAGCGTCAATACTTCGGGAGATGGCACGGCCTCCTCTTCCGCGGCGGGCGCGGGCGCTTCGGCCGCCTCGAAGGTGTCCGCGTTCAGCTCGCGCAGGCGCTGCTGCAATTGGTCGCGTTTCTGTTTTTCGGCGACCAACTCCGCGATGAGCTCCTTGCGCGCCCTGCACGCCTTCGCGGCGCGCTCGCGCGCGACCTTATTTATGGAAGCCAGCTTCTCGGCCTGCTTCTTGTAGAGGTCGAGCGTGTCCCGCGACCAGGCCAGGTCCCGTTCGCCCTCCTCGCTCCGGTCGATCCAGCCGAGGCACCGCTCGTTCCGCGCCTTGCGCATCGCCTCGACCTCCTTGTAGGCGTGCTTGATGCGCGTCGCGAAGGACCGCTGCAGCGACTCCTCCTGGCCCTCGCACAACTCGTCGCAGCGCGCCTTCGACTCGACGACGGACTCCTGGACCTCGCCGTGCAGCTCGCCGAGCGTCGCGAGCCACCTCGGCACCTTCTCGGAACTTTCGCGCACGATGGCCGCCGAGTCGTGCTCGCCCTTGCGCGCCCGTTCGGCGGCGCTCAACCGCGCGTCGCGCTTGTTTTGCTCGATGCGCAGCAGCGTCTCGGTCTCCTTGACCTCTCTTGCCAAGGCCTCGAGGCGCGCGTCGTAGGTCAGCGCTCTCCGCTTCAGGCCGCGGAGCTTGACGCGGTCGACGGGCGGCCGCTGCGACGCGAGCAGCGAGTCGGAGCTGCCCCGGCTGGCGCGACTGATGCGGCTCATCGTCTGTTCCTCGACGAGGCTGCCTTGCGTCTCCGCGCGCGGCGGTGGCGTCCCTGGGAGGCAGCTCTGCAGAGGTTGCTTGATGAGGGCTTCTTAGCTGCCCCAGCTGTCTTTTCTGTCGACGCGTGGCTCGACGAGTTCCTGCCTTCGCGCGTGCGGTCCTCCTCCCGCAAAAAGCGGCGGCTCCCGGAGCGCGTCCAGGCGGCGTTGTTGGAGATGAGCGCGGCGCTTCGCGGCGGCCGACGAAAGTCCGGACACTGGACGGAGTGATCGGACGATGTCCGGACGGATCAGACGCGGCCGCGGCACTCCCCTTAACGTGCGGGTCTGGCTCAGTGGCTCGGTCCATGCACACAAAAAGCGGCCCCGGCTGGCAGTGGGAACCCGGTCCAAGCCCGTGGGAGGCGTCGACGCGACGCCATCGACGCAGCGATGGCCGACGCGGCTGCCCCGCCCGAGACGAAGGCGGAGGAGAGCAAGGCCGATGGGGCCAAGGCAGCAGAGCCTGAGGCAAAAGAGGCGCCGCCGCCCGAGGGCGCCGTCGAGGATAAGCCCGCCGCGGACGCACCGGCGCCCGCGCCCGGCGAGGAGCCGGATGAGCTCGACGCGCGGACGGAGCGCAAGCTCCACCGCGCGGCCAAGGCCGTCTTCGGGAAGGGGCGGAAGATCAGGAAGAAGGTCAAGGTCGTGAAGAGCGTGCACTGGCGGGACAAGCGCCCCGTGAGCGTGGGGAACTGGGCCGTGCCCGAGCACCTGTGGAAGGTGCAGGATATTGATGAATGGGACCGCGACGACCTCCAGGCGTACTTCGAGAAGTTCGTGCTGACGGACGGCACGATCACCGACGAGGACCGGGATAAATTAAGGAACAAGATCAAGTTCCTCGCGAAGGCGTCGACGTCCGACTTCCACCGGCCGATGCGCGACTGCTGCGTCGAGCGGCGCGTGAACGAGGCCGCCGCGGACCTGGCCTGCCACCGGACGCAAAAGCTGGAAGACAAGTGCATCGTCAAGCGGTCGGAAGACCAGACCTTCTTCATCCCGCAGCTCAACATCGAGGTGGCCATGAAGAAGCTCGCGATGATGGGCGACGGCAAGACGGAGCGCGAGAAGCTCCAGGCCGTCGAGGCGCGGCGCCGGGCCATGGGCTCGCGCGGCTCGCAGGGGGGCGCCGAGGAGGCCAAGGACGACGGCCTCATGTCGCCCATCTCCGAGGGCGGCCGGAGCGACGGCTCCGACCCGCAGTCGCCGATCTCCGACGTGTCCGAGGGCGAGGAGGGCTCGCGGCCGGGGTCGCGCGCGCCCTCGCTCCGGTCCGAGGGGTCGCGGCCGGCGTCGCGCGCGCCGTCCGAGGGCTCGCGGCCGCGGTCGCGGGCGGAGTCGATCACGGACGAAATCCGCCAGGAGATCGCCAACAGCATCGACGACGAGTCCGTCGCGCCGGAGACGCCCGTCGGGAAGAGCAACATGGACAAGTTCGACGAGTACTTGAAGTAATTATGTGTTTGTTAGACTTTGGCCTCGGCGATCGCCTTCACGATGTCGCTGATCTCCGGCTTTTCTCGGACGTGTCCCGAGGCGTCCGGGCGGCGCCGCGGCGAGCTCCGACGAGTGAGGGGTTGAGCCAAGGGACGCGGCCTCACACATCGAGATGTCGATGTGTGAGGCCGCGGTCCGGGCCGCGATTCCGCCATAGGACTACCGGCGGTCCTCTGGCGCGCTCTGGGGCGTCCGGGCGGTGCCCCGGACAGCTCCGACGAGCGATGTGTCCGGAGGACTGGAATTCTAGACTTTCCGAATTTTGCGGGTTTTTCCAGCGCAATTTTAAGTTTGGTTAGAGCGCGCGCGTGCCGTTCGCTGGGGAGCTAAGTCCGAGCTTAGTCCAGAGACTACACGTACAAAGTCGAGGCTGTCGAGCGGCAGCTGCGCGCGGAGGACCCCATACGTACGCCATCGACGCGCCGTAGTAGTATTACTAAGTTGACGACCGAGCTTTATTATACTTTGGCCTCGGCGATCGCCTTCACGATGTCACTGATCTCCGGCTTGAGCGACGCGCCGCCCACCAAGAAGCCGTCGATGTCCGGGAACGAAGAGAGTTCCGGCGCGTTGCCCGCATTTGCGCTTCCTCCGTATTGGATGCGGATCGCGTCGGCCGTGGCGCGGTCGACGTTCGCGGCGATCCAGTCGCGGATGCCCTTGTCTGCGCGGGATTGAGACGTGGTGGCACGCCATCGACGCGTAAAAAGTGAAGGACGCGGATCACGCACGCGTCTCCTGCGCCTGCTCGGGCGTCGCGGCCACACCCGTGCCGATGGCCCAGACCTGCGACGCGGAAGTTCATCGCGGTGTCATTGATTGGGACACTGATTTCAAGAGACTGGCTCGTAGGCGATGACGACGCGCGACTTGTCCTCCAAGGCCTTCAGGATCGGCACGATCTGTGTGGAAATCAAATTTCAGGCGCCACGCCATTGACGCGACATGGTCCCCATAACTTCATCTGCTCGATGGCGTGGAGCTTCCACGCCATCGATGCGACGTCGTCCCTGTAACTGCTGCAGCTATGGCGTGGAGGTTCTCCGTAATAATTCGGACCTAACTGACCGGTTGATTTCCACACAGGCGACAACGTCCGTGAGCTGATCGGCGCATTCGCTGAGGACCTGTGCATAAATCAAAAGTTCACGGCGCGTTCGCGCTGAATCGTCGCGTCGACCTCCACGCCATCGACGCGACGCCTGCTCGATGGCGTGGCGATACTGGTTCCTCACCGCTCGACGGAGCCAACACGCCCGCGTCATCGCCGAGAAATGACTTAGTGAAGAATTATCGGGTGGACCCGACTCACTGGTTGATTTGTGCACAGCAAAGGACCGCTTGAATCCCCTTCTGTCGAATCGACAGCGGCTCGCCGATGCAGAAGACGCAATTTAGCCCCTGGTCCAAAATATACTGGAGCTTCGTCGCCATGAGCTGGTTGGACTCGGCCGGCGTGGGCAGGCCGAATTCTCCGCGCCGTTCGCTGTGGCCGATGAGCACCCACCCGAGGCCCAGGTCTTGGATTTGATCAACCGACATCTCTCCGGTGTAGGCGCCGCAGCCCTTGAAGTTACAGTTTTGCGGAGCTACATGGACACCAGGCGTGAAGTTGTCCTTGACGAGAGCAACATGTAAATTCGACGGACACACATAAACATCACATTTTTCGAGGTACGGCGCGACGCCGTCGAAGTTCCGGCAGAGCTCGTCGAGCGACGACGCGGTGGCGGGGTTGCACTTCCAGTTGCCGCCGACGATCGGTCGTCGTTTGCCGCCCGCGTGCGACACAGATGGCGCCGGTGCCGCGGCTGAAGTGGTCTCCTTGCCGACGACGACTGATACCTGCGCGGATCAAAGTCAACGCCATCGACGCGACCACTGGCTGATTTTCGCACAGACTGTGACCGCTTTGACCGCGGACGCCACGTCGTAGCGGCCGGTCCAGCCGCGGGGCAAGGCGACCGTGTCGCCGGCGACGCAGCGCACGGCCGAGCCGTCCGCGTTCGTCACGAACATCTCGCCGCTCAGCACGTAGATCGACTCCGTCGTCGCCTTGTCGCGGACCTCCACGGGGCCCGGCTGGCGCGTCCAGACCCGCACGGCCGTGTCGCCTGCCTTGTAGATGTCGCCGTCGGACATTTGCGACGGCGTCGCGATGACGGGGGACGTGGACCTGCCGTCGTCTGCATGCGTGTGCACGGCCCAGACCTTGTGGAGGTCCTTCTGCACGTCCCATCGGCCCGACCAGCCGCGCGGCAGCACTACGACGTCGCCGGCCGCAAAGCGATGCCGCGTGCCGTCTTCTTCATCCACGGAGCCTTCGCCTTCAAGCATGATAAACCACTCCGTTGATGTGCGCGGCGCCGGGCTGAGCCAGCCGCCTTCGCTACATGACCACGACCCCACGGCCACGTCTCCCAATTTGACGAGGGGCCGCGTCGCGTCAACGGGCGCGCCAACATCGGTGTTCGCGCGTGGGCCCTTGACCGTGAGCTTATCTCTCGCGAAGTAGCTCGGCGGGGCGTGCGTCAGCCAGTTGTGGCCGCCGATGACGGCGCGGCGGTGGTCGTCCACAGCAGCGATTGCTGGCGCGGACGGCGGTGCAGCGACTGGCTTCTTCCAGAGTTGCAGTGCATTGGTTGTGACGAGCAACGCTGCGGCTGCGAGTGTGTGCATTGCAGTTGCAGCCTGCAGAGAGCGCTGCTGTCTACAGCGTTGACGGTGTTGCTTGCTGGAAAATCAAAGCGATTGGCAGCGTCTATAACTAGGACGCTTATCACGCAAGTCCACGTCACGGTGGACGAATGCGCCCGTAAGTCGCCGCACAAGCGGTGATGAAAAGGGACGCTTAGTTTTGGTGCGGGGTGCGGGACCGCACTCGTCCAACAAACGCGTCGAGGGCTGCATTCCGGCCTTTGGCATCTCCCCCCAACGGCTTAGACGCGTACGACACGACCCCGTCCGACTGGAAGCGTGCTGGCTCGAACTGGTGACGGGTCCTGACAAAACAGAGCGGGTTCTTCGGACGGGTACTACGTGGTCACGGCCGTGTCCGTTTGGCGAGTGTTAGACCCCCTTCCCCCCCTCGCGCCGCTCGTCGGTTTAGGAAACTCGCCGTAGTCGGCGCAGACCGGGCGGCGGTTGCTCCTGGCCCCCACATTGTAGACGAGGTCGGCGCCTTGACATCCTGAACCATGAGTGGCCGTCGTCGAGGCGGCGGGGGTGGGTCTCGCGCGTCGTCGACGCGAACCGTGCCGGAGGAGCTGCGTAGGGGTCGTGGCCGTTCCGAAAGTCCTGGAGCCGCCTCGGCACGCCGTCGACCATGCCGCCGTCGCCGCGTCGGTGGTGGACCGGCGCCTACGCGGGTAGGTCGGCGGCGGCGTCCGTCCGAGGTCGCAACAGCCAACGCGGGGCGCGCCGTCCGCGGCGCGTCTTGGTCCTCACGCGACGGAGCGGTCCTTTCGCAGCGGGAGACGTCGGCAGCGCCGGCGGGGGCCCACGACGCGCGCCGTGCGTGCTCGCTCAGCGTGATGGGCAGCCTGCGCGGCCGCTCGCGGGTGTCGAAGGCAGTGGACACTATGGGAGCCAATTTCCGCTCACCGGCAGCCGCCTCCAGCCCGATCAGGGCCCGGACGTGTCACCTGAGACACGCCGGACCCACGCGCTGGACCGTCGGGCACGCAGGTGCGGTAGGGCACCGCGTTTCATCCGCTTTGCCCTGCTGCCCCTCTCCCAAAATCTGTGCAGGAGAGCTGCTGCGGTGCAATTGGGCAACTCGAAGTCCGCAGGCACCCCCTAGGCCACCCCGTTGTCGTGGGGGGCCGCTAGGCCGGCTAGGCGACCCGCCAAAATGGGGCCCAGCAGCAGGGCCGCCAGCAGCCATGAGTAACTGGCAACGAGGGCACTGCCGAGCGCTGTGCGCAGCCATGATTCCTTCACCGATGACAGGAAACCAGCCGCAGTGCCCACATGACCAGTGCGTCGACGCCTGCGGGCAAGACTGCGGCGCGGAGACGCACCGGCGACGCAAAAGAGGGCGGAGGTTTGGCACTGATGGAAGAGCCTTCTCGCCGCGCGCCGGACCCCACGAGGCGCAGCAGCGGCCGCGCGACGCTCTCGCAGCACTCTCCGCCGCCGTCGCGGACAACGAGCCGCGGCCGCGTACAAACGGCCCGCGCGAGCCCGTCGGCATCGAAAACCCCGGGGCGCCTGCACTGGTCGAGGCCGCCGTGCCGCCGCCGCCGCCGCCACAGCCCGCGGTCGCCGCGCCGCCCGCTGCGCGCGTGTTATCGGCGCCGACGGGCGGCGGCGCCGTCGAGGCCGCCCTGTCCGCTTTGCAGTTCAGCCCGCGCACGTTCGAGCGGCGTCTCAAAGCCGCGAGTTTTCGCGGCAACCCCGACGATGGGACTCAGTGCGCGATAGACCCGCTCTCCTGCCAGTTCGCGACGTCGCCGCACTACACGCCCACGGGTGCTGCGTTCGAGGAGGCGGTGAAGACCCAGCTGCGCATGGACATCGTGTGCAACGTCCACGCTATTGCCGACGAAGTCTATGCCTGTGTGCGGAGTGGCCGCCACGCGGACCTAGGGCTACTCCGTCGTTTCGTCGAGTCGACTGTACTGTCTGGCCCCGGACCGGCGGCTTTGGCGGCGCACGCGCCGCACCCTCTCGGCCCTGCCACTGCCTACGAAGCCTCGGTTGAAGCGCACGACTTCGCGCCGAAGCTGGCGGCTCTGGCGCTCCTCGAGACGAACTTCGACATCTACTACGCAGCCACGGACCCTGGCGACGCCCCGGCGTCGGTCGTAGCTCCAGCGGAGGTAGTGGTGGATGACGTGGACTGGTCCGAGCGGCGTCGGCTTCTCGAGGCCGCGCTTTTGAGGAAACGGGAGCGTGCCGACCAATCTCGAAACACCTGGGCACAAAAGCGTGATGAAGGGACGGCTTCGCGGGGCGGACTGAGCGACAGGTGCGGCGCATCGGGCGCGGTCCTTTTTCGGGAGTTCTGCCCGATGGGCTGTGCTCCGACGGGTTTTCAGAGGGTGGCGTGCGGCGCGAGCCTCTGCGACGCGTCGGGCAAGTTGGTGCAACGCCCTTTCTGCAAGGAGGGCTGCCCGGCGACGGACACTCATGTGGCGTGTGGCAGTGCCCTCTGCGACGTGTCGGGGGTGCGACGCGATTACTGCACGATGGGCTGCCCGGCGACGGACACTCATGTGGCGTGCGGTCATGGCCTCTGCAACGCGTCGGGCTCGCGGGTCCAACGGCACTGGTGTACGGCGCGCTGCCCGGCGACTGGCTCTCGGGTGGCGTGCGGTGGTGGCCTCTGCCCCGGCGAGGACGGCCAGTACCGGCGGAGGCACTGGTGCCGCTGTGACGACGTTCGGTGCGGCGGCGGCTTCTGTGAGAGGTCGCACAAGCGGCGCGGGGAGTGCATGTGCGGCGACCTCCGCTGCGGATTTAATAAGCCTCGGCACCTTATTGGGCGGATGATCAACAAGGCCTTCGCCCCGAACCTGACGAACGACCAGATCGACGTGGGCCTCGGGTACACCGCGAAGCAGCTGCGGGAGGCGTTGCTCAAGACGTCGCCGTGGGACGAGGCGACGACGATCGACAAGTGGAACCGAGGCGAGCTGCAGGTCGACCACATCTTCCCCCTCGCGCGGTTCCGTGATCGGGGCGCGTTCGTCGACGCGAACGGCATGCCGACGCCGCTTGCGTTCGAGGCTAACGCGCTCTGGAACCTCCAGCTGCTGGAGGCGGCCGTCAACAACGAAAAGTCGGACTCGTACACCGCGACGTGCGCGGCCGGCCTGGCGCAGCGGAAGGCCTGCTTCGTGGCCGCGCGCGGCGGCACGGCGTCGTTCGACTTCGCGCGCTACCTCGAGCTCCTCGTCGCGGACGTCCGCGCCGGCAACCACTCCATCGGCGCCCCGGCCAAAGAGCCCTAGATTTTGTAAGCACAGTATGTTTGTCACTTGAGTACTCGCACGTCGCCTACCCCGCGAGTCGCGAGTCCGTCCGGTCGAGGCGCGGCGTACCCGCGGACTATCGGCGCGTGCGGGATGCATCGGCAGGACGCGCCCGATGAAGGAGTCGAACTGTAGAGCACGCGTAATAACACTAACGTGACGCTGTCCCCGCCGATCCAGGCGCTTCGCGGCGCGTCCCACGTGCCATGCCCCACACAGGGCTTTGACTCACAGACGGCTTTACGCGCCTCAAACGCAGCTCATACGCACGCAGTTGCAGCGAGACGTTGCGGCACATCTGCATTCTTGCTAATCTACACATTCGTAAGCGAAAACGGCGCGTTCAAACGTCCTACGGGCGCGTTTTTTGGCGTGCAAATCCATACTGCGGGCTGTCTGCGCTGCAAAAAGCATACGCGACGTGATAAGTTCACTGCAAAAGGTCGTAGTAATCTTCTCCAACAAATTGTATTAATCTTCTCCAACAAGCTGCACAATAATGAAAGTCTGTATCATCTACGGCAGTGAGTCCGGCAACTCGGAGCGCGCCGTCAAAGCTATCGCGAAGACGTGGCAGGGGTCGAATTTCGAGATCGGCGAGATCATGGAGGGCGCGACGGCCGCGGTCCGAGGGTTCGCGGCGCTCGCGGAGCAGTACGACTTCCTGGTCGTCGCGACGTCGTCGAACGGCGAGGGCGACCCGCCGTTCAACTTTCATCCGTTTTTGAAAGCCTTATACGCGGCCGACGACGCGGGCGAGAAGCCGCTGACGGGCTGCGGCTTCGCGGTGTTGGGCTTCGGCTGCTCGCACTTCGACACGTTCCAGAATTGCCCTCGTTTGACGGACAAGCTACTGGCAGACTTGGGAGCGATCCGCGCCGTTTCCCGCGAGGAGTGCGACGACTCGGACGAGGATCATACCAAACAAGCCAAGGCCAAATGGGGCGACGCTGTCCTCAAGGTCCTGCAATCCGGCAAAATTCCGAGCGCGCACGTCGGCGACTGGGCCGACGCCTGCACGCAGAACGGCGCGACGATTCTCGACAAGCACGACGACATGCTCGTCGCGGCCTGCGTGGAAATCAACCAGTGCGTCGGGTGCACCCGACAATTCTTCACTAAGTCATTTCTTGGCGACGATGCGGCCGTGCTGGCTCGGTCGAGCGGTGAGGAACCGGCATCACCACGCCATCGAGCAGGCGTCGCGTCGATGGCGTGGAGGCCGACGCGACGAGTCAGCACGAACGCGTCGTAAAACTTTGATTTACACACAGGTCGCGGCGGCCCAGGGGGCGCCGTCCGTGCCGTTGCTCGTCTTCGGCGCGCTGGCCGTCGCCGCGGCCGGCGTCGCCGTGAGCAAGTTCGCCGCGCTGACCGGCGAAGTCGCCGTCTGATAGAAGACCCTTCTGTTCCTCTCCCCAAGTAACACGTACACGTACACACACTACTTAGCCTGGTCGGTCCTCGAGGACTTCGACGTCCTGTTCCTCCCCAAGTAACACGTCACACACACACACTACTTAGCCTGGTCCTCGAGGACCTCGACGTCCGCGAGGATCCGCCGCGCGACCGTTCCCGTTCGCGAGTCGCTCTCGTCGCCGAGGCGAAGCGCTGCGCGGGCGTGCTCGCGCGCGCCGGCGGCATCGCTCTGGCGGATGCGAATGATCGCGAGATTGCACCGCGTCGTCGCCAAGTCTCGCAGCGCGATGGACGCCTCGAGTTCGGCCGCCGCCTCCGCGAGGTCGCCGCGTTTCAGCAGAAGCGCGCCCACGTTGCCTCGTACTTCGGCGTACGCCGCGGGTGGGACTTTGTGCTCCTCGGCCGCGTCGATGAAGGCCTTGTACTCGTCCAAGGCACCGTCGAGGTCGCCCGCTCTTTGTAATACGAGTGCCCGCTCGAATTGTGATTTCAGCGAGACAGTCTGCGAGCCCACAACCTCGAAGTTGTCGTCGGTTGCGCGTCGCCGCACAGTCCTGCTTGGTCTATGAGGGAGGAGCAGTGCTGTGGCACCAATAACGAGCGCGCAAACGTGCATGGCAACTCTCCGAGGCATCGCTATGCTGCCGAAGTGATCGCTGCGGTCAAACGTGAGACTAGTTGGGCTGCCTTTGTTTCTAAAGTTGCGCTCTCTCCAGCCAGAGAGACTGCTTTTATCAGCTGCTACGCTGCCGCTGTGGTCGCATGGGTCAACGCTTGGTCTCAGTAGTCCGCCGTGGTCTTATACTAACAGGTGCGACGCGCAGCATGGCTGAATTGGCGGCGTGCGAGCCATTTTATGCGGCACCCAGCGGGGGGACGACTGCCGCGTCCTACGCACACCAAGCGCACGCACCGTCCGGCTTCCACGAGTACACATTAGTAGGAAAGAGAGACGCCGGCCGCGACTCGAAACTGCTCACGTTCGCGCTGCCGGACACAATGCCGACGCTCGGCGCGAGCGTCATCTCGGGAGTAAAAGTTAAGCAGGAGGTCGCGGGCGAGGAGCTCGACAAGAGCTATTCGCCGACGTCGCCGGCCGAACGAACCGAGACCTTCGATCTTTTGGTGAAGGCCTACGCCCCGCGCAAGGGCGGCGGCCTCGGCGCGTGGCTCTGCGCGCTGGAGCCGGGCCAGAACGCCTCGATGAAGGTCAAGGGCGCCAAAAAAATCGTGGACGGCGCGCCGCTCGCGAGGAATCGCTTCAGGCGGATCGGGATGCTGGCGGGCGGGACGGGCGTGGCACCCTTCATGCACCTCGTCGCCACCCTGCTCGCGGATCCGGAGGACGCGACGCTGCTGGACCTCGTCGTGTCGCACCGGGAGCCGCAGGACGCGCTCTTGGACGCGGAGCTCGCCGCGCTGGCGGCCGCGAGCGCTGGCCGCCTGCGCGTGCACCACACGTTCTCGCGCGTCACGGAACCCGCGGCGCCGCCGCCGGCCGCGCGCTCGACCGGTGGAACGGTCTTCGCGTCGACGGGCGCCGGCCGCATCGACGACGCGCTCGCCCGGGCGATGCTGCCGTCGCCGTCGGAGGACGACGTATTCATTCTCGTCTGCGGCACGGACGGCTTTGTGGGCGACATGGCGGGCCCGATCGAGCGCGTCTACGACGCCGCCGGCAAGAAGTCCAAGGTCCAGGGGCCCACGTTGGGCGTGCTCGGGCGGCTCGGCTTCCGGCCGGAGCAGGTGTTTAAGCTCTAAGTTTAGGTGTATTTCTACTGGCTATTTCCATAGCATGAGGCCAAACGCGGCGCCCGCGGCTCGACGACGACGCGGCTTTGGCCACTGATTGGCATAAATTGCTCTCAGAGCCCTCCGGTCGGCCCGAGCGTGCTTTTCGTGCGGGTCGCTCTTCAGAGCTTCCGTGGGCTAGCGGCCTGTAAAGACACTAGGGATGCCTAGCAAGCAGCAGCTTCAGCTCCTCGCCGTATTGTTGCCGCGCGAGTCCCATAGACCCGCAGCACTTGCCGCGCGTGCCTGACAGGACCCGCGCAGCACTTCTGCACCGTCCGAGAGCAACGCCGCGTCAGCGCTAGCTCAAAAGGCCTCCTCGCCGATCGCCGAGGCAGCGCTTGAGTTCCGCGCCGCGCGCCACCCGGAGAGACCGCCGCGGGCAGGGAAGCGCCGCGCGCCACACCCGCAGCCAGCGCCGCGGGACACGGGAAGGGAAGGGACAGCAACCAAAGGTAGCGAGGCCGGCCGTTGCATGTCGAGCTTCCCGTTCGGCAAAAAGAAAGCTTCTATCAATTGGGCGGATGAGGACGACTCCAGCGACGACGAGAAGGGAGACGACTCGACCGGGCCGGACGAGCCCGACGTGCCCAGCTCGGACTCCGAGGACGAGGCCGACGCCGCCGCCGCCGCCGAGGAGTCGGAGGAGGAGCAGGACGCCTCCGACGACGACGAGGCCGAGAGCTCGGAGGAGGACGAGCCCGCGCCCGCCCCCGAGGTAGCGCCGACCGAGGAGAAGCCCAAGCCGCCGCCGCCGAAGCAGCTCACGAAGAAGGAGCGCAAGGCCCTCAAGGCGAAGGAGCTCGACGACCTCGACGCGCTGCTCGCCGCCGAGGGCCTCGCGCCGCAGGAGGCGCCCGCGCCCGCGCCCGCCGCGCCGCCCGCGCCGGCGCCGCCGGCCGCCGACGACGGCGACGCCAAGAAGAAGAAGAAAAAGAAGGGGCGCCGGCCGTCGGCCAAGGCGGACGAGCCCGCGGCGCCGCCGCCGCCCGCCGCGCCCGCCGCGCCGGCCGACGTCAAGGCGCTCCTCGCCAAAAAGGCCGCCGCCAGCAAAGGATCGAAGTCCGGTGCGCGCGCGGCGTCCCACGCAATTTCCTCAACTCCGTGGCGCAATGGATAGCGTATCAGACTTCGAATCTGGGGGTTGCGGGTTCGAGTCCCGTCGGAGTTGTTGTTCGCTTGATGGACTGGAAATCTGAAGGTTATGAGTTCGAATCTCATATCGGTTTCACCGCGGTACTTGGACTCTTGCAAGATAGTGTGGCCGAGTGGTTAAGGCGGTAGACTTGAAATCTACTCCCGTAAGGGTCGCAGGATTGATTCTCACCAATCAATGCGCTTTCGAACCCTGTCACTATCGCGCACGTTGATGATGTGGCCGAGTGGTCTATTAACCTGAGATGGTTAGACCCTAGGCGCTGGTTTTAGGCACCAGTCTTCGGGCGTGGGTTCGAACCCCACCATCATCACTTGAGTTCAATTCCGCACATTTGTATCCGTGGCCGAGTTGGTCTAAGGCGTTGGATTTAAGCCCCAATCTCTTCGGAGGCGTGGGTTCGAACCCCACCGGATGCAATTTGGACCGATTGGCGCAACGGTAGCGCGTCAGATTCCAGTCCTGAAGGTTACGTGTTCGAATCACGTATCGGTCACACAAAAGTCGCGGGCGCCGCCGCACGGAGTTTCCCGAAACTCACGCGTCCCCCGAACGCAGGCGGCGGCTCGGCCATGTCGAAGGAGTCCGTCGCGGAGGCGAAGAAGCGCGCCGACGCGTTAGCCAAGAAGAAGAAGGCCGCTGAGGTACCGCGGCCGCGTCCTTAAATCACGGCAAGGGGGTGTAGCTCAGTGGCAGAGCGTCCGCTTTGCATGCGGAAAGCCCAGGGTTCAAACCCCTGCTCCTCCAGCCTTACGTACGCCGTCGGTACCGGGTTCCCCGAACTCACGCGTTTCCCCCTTCGCAGAAAAAGAAGAACAAGGCCAAGGGCAAGGGCCCGCAGCAGCGCTGAGCCTGCGGAAATGCACGACAAGCTACCTACGGGCTTCCACGGTCTCGTTTCGCTGTCGAATATAGGAGAATTAACACAAGCAACATATGAAACAGCGTCTCCTTGTTGTTTCGCTGTCGTTGTAGAATGCTGACGCGGCGATGGCGTCCTGAAGCGGTACGCGAGTCACTCGCGCCGCGGCGATGGCGTGATGGGCCACGCCGTCGACGCGACTCGTCTACGAGAGTCCATAGGCCAACGACGCCCCGTAGAGAGAATTAATACAAGAAACATTATCGGTCCGCGAGCGCGGCGTCGATACGCCTCCGCTCCTTCGCAGACAGGGGCGCCCAGCCGCCCGCGACGAGCCCGTCGAGCGTCACGCCGGCGAAGTGCGTCCGGTGCAGCGAGACGACCTCCAAACCGCGCGCGGCGCACATCTTGCGGATCTGCCGGTTCCGGCCTTCCGTGAGCGTGAACTCGAGGAGCCGCGGCGCCTTCGCGTTCGGCGCGCGCACCTCGCAAGGCTTGGTCCTGGCGACGAGGGGCTTGGCCTTGCGGTCGCGCTGCGCCACGGTCTCGATCGTCACGCCCTCGCGCAGCGCCCGGAGGTCGTCCGCCGTCGGCGCGCGGTCCACTTCCACCACGTAGCGCTTCTCCTTCTTCTGCGACGGCCGCAACAGCGCCTCGCACGCGCGCCCGTCGCTCGTCAACAGGAGGAGCCCCGTCGACGGCTTGTCCAGGCGGCCGACCGTGAAGACGCGCTGGTCGAGGTCGTCGAAGCCGCCCCGGGCGATGACGTTCGACGCGTCGTTGCGGTCGGACGTGCAGGTCACGCCCGCCGGCTTCCAGTACTTGAGGTACAAGAACGCGTCGCTCGACTTCAGGTCCGCCTTCGCCGCCTCGCGCGCCTCCCAGACCTGGGTCTCGCCGTCCAGGCGGACCTCGCTGCCGCGCTCCACGGGCGTCCGGCCGTCCGCGACCACGCCGTCGACCGTGACGCGGCCGTCGGCGATGGCCGCGTCGGCCTTGCGCCGCGACAGGCCGGGCAGCAGCTTGTTGAGGCGCACGGCCAGCCCCGACGCCTTCGCCGCGAGGAGCAGCACGAAGAGTCGCATCGTCAGACCACCGCGCGGATGGCGCCGAGCACCGCCCACGCGCCGCCGAAGCAGGTCAGCCAGAGGCGCTGCGCCGGCGTCGTTTTGGCCGCGTGCAGGCAGTAGGCCGCGACGCCGACGCAGGTCGTCGTGCCGATCACGCGGCACTCGAAGCAGTCGTCCGTGGGGTCGCGGCTCTTGTCCCGGTCGCCGCGCCCGAAGAGGGAGAAAAAGAGCGGCGCCAGGGTCGCTGTGGTCTGCTGCTAATGCCTAAAAGCGCTGCTGTTGCTCTCCGATGTGCCTAGGCCTTTAGAGATGGAGCAAGCTGGTCTGGACGCAAGCGCTGCGATTGCTGCGATTGCTGCGATGGTGCTGGCTTTTTTCAGTTGCTTGAATGAGTTGCACTGCGGCTTTTTGCTGCACTGCGGCCAAATTGCTAGCTCTAGAGTGTGTTACAGGTCGCTAGCATCGAGGGGTGCCGGCTCAAAAGCTGGAGCGTACGCACAGCCAGATGGCGAATTCTAGCGTCGTTCGTACCGATTCGGACCGCTGACTTAGCAGTTCGAGCGCGCTTGGCCAGTGGGCGGTGAAGAATGAAATAAGCTCACATCATCCATCAGCAGTCGAATTCGGATGCCGCGCTGCTCCGTCTGCGACGACGGCGCCGCGCTCCTCTGCGGCGCCTGCGTAGACGCCGAGCTCGCGGCGTCGCGGGCCCGCCTCGCGCAGGCCAGGCGCGCCGAGGCCGACTGGAGGGCCCAGGCCGAGGCGGCGCCGGCGCGACCGCCGGAGGTCGACGCGGACGCGGTCGCCGCGGGCCTCGCGAAGACGCTGCTGGCCGTCGCGCGGCGGGTCCACGCGGACCGGGCGCAATTACGTACGGCGCGCGCCGCGAACGACGCGACGCGGCGGCGCGTCGAGGCGGCGCGGCGGCGCCTTGCGAAGAGACGCGCCGAGCTCGACGCGTTGCGAAGCGCGATCCAGGCGCCGTCGGCGAGGGCGTCGCTCCGCGCGACGCCGCGCTGGGCGACGGTCGCCGCTTTATTTGAAGCGTTTCCCATCGTCGAGATCTCGCCGCGGCCCAAGCGGCGGTCCCTGCGGGGCGTCGCGACGATCTGCGGCCTGCCGCTCCCGAGCGACGCGCGCGCGTGCCGGGAGCAGCTGCCGCCCGAGGTCTGGCGCTGCGCGCTCGCGGCCGTGGCGCGCGTCGTCGCCACGGCCGCGGACGAGCTGGGCGTGGCGCTGCCGCACCCGCTGGGCGTCGGTGGGTCGGCGCTCGCGCGCGTCGCCGACGGCGACGCCGCCGCGGCGGCGCGCTACGCGCTGACGCCGGCCGCGCCGGACTTCGAGACGGCGCTGGACTTGTTGCGGAACGACGTCACGCGGCTCTGCGTCGAGGGCGGCGTTCGTGCGCCGCGTGGAATTGTTTCCAGAGACGACGGCGCTTGAAATTCGATTTTCGCACGCGTGGAATTGTTTGAGAGATATATATATGCGGGCTTGAAATTCTATCTTCGCACAGGTCGCGCCGGGCGACCTCGGCCCGGCGGAGTGCATGCTGCCGAACCTGCTGGCGCTGCGGGCCGTCGCGCGGCGGCGCGCCGCCGGAGCGCCCCCGGCGGCGCGCCCGCACGCCTCATCGCCGCAGTCGGACGACGCCGCCGTGCCCGAGGAGCCGTCGTCGCCCCGCGAGCGGGCCGCGTCCTCGGCCGAGGAGGACTGGCACATGGTCGGCGACGACCCGTTCGCGACGCTCGCCGAGGCCGACCGCCAGTACTCCTCCCCTGTTTGAAGAAAGACATAAGTTTGTTACATTGTACTAGCCGTATACTAGCCGCGGACCTCGCGCAGCGGGTGGCTCGTGTCGTCGACGTCGCGGACGGGCGCCGTCTCCACGCGACAGAGGCCCCGCTGCTTTGATTTGACCTGCGTCGTCAGCCGGTCGATGCGCGTCCGCTGCGCCTCCGAGAAGAGGTGCCGCCGCTCGGCGCAGGCCAGGACCGCCGCCTCGACCGGCGTCTTCGCCCAGGGCTTGGACTCGTAGGCCGCCCAGCCGCTCTTGAGGCAGTGCACGATCGCGTCCCTTCTTTGGACCGCGGCGTCGCTCTCGTCCAAACCCAGCGCCTCGACGGCCTTGTGCACGCGCTTCATCGCCGCGCAGAAGTCGTAGGTGTCGTCCGTCTCCCGTAAGGTGCGCGCCGTCCGTAACGACAGGCGCCACGTCGCGACCTGGACGCGGTCGTCGACGCCAAAACTACTTCGGTCCGCCTTCCCTAAAGCTTCCACGGCGTCGCCCAGCGGCCCCACCAAACCGTCGGAGACGGCGCCCGACGCCGCGAAGGACCGCAGCGCGTCGACGTACAAGGGCGCCGTCTCCTCGGTCACGCCGCCGTCGACCCCCGCGAGCGTCGCGAGCATGGCCAGGGCCTTGGACGCCTTCGCGGCGTTCGTCCGCGCGCTGCTCTTCAGGATGGCGCACACTCGTTTCACGGTCGCCGCCGCGTCCACGGTCTGCTCGGTCTTCTTGAACGACACGGACTTCTTCTTCTTCTTTGGTTTTGTTGGTACGGTGTCCTTGTAGTAGCCCAATCCGTGGTCGCCTTTCTTGAACACGTAGCCCGGCCGCGAGCCGTCATATGCGTCGGCGGGGGCAAAGGGCGCGTCCGTGGGCGGCTCGCTCGGCGCGGGCCGCGCCTTCTTCGCCGGCGGCGCCTCGGCTGCGACGATGTCGTCGTCGTCGTCGAACTCGAGGAGGAGTCCCGTGGCCTTCGCGGGCGGCGGCGTCGGCGGGCGCTTCTTGTTCAGGCCCGGCGGCGGCGTCGGCGGCCGCTTCGCTTTGAGGCCGGGCGGCGGCGTCGGCGGGCGTGCTGCCGGTGCAGAAGCGATGTTGTCGTCGTCGTCGAAGTCGAACTCCATCTGTTTGTACGTCTCGCGCTACGCCGCCTTCGCTGTGATGCTGCACACTTGTGAGCAGTGGGTTGTGGTGGGTGGCGTGGCGTCGCACACTAGCGGCTGTGTTGCGTCCGCTTCTGGGCAGCGAGAGGAGTATTTTGAGGCGGTACTACCGTTGCGATGACAGCAGTAATGTGTTTTTATGCCGTCGAGCCCTCTCGGCTTGCTAGTGTCTCTTACACCGCTAGCTGGCCAACTTTTTGACGGCCTCAACAACCACCGAAGTGGTGTCAAATTGGTAAGACACTCGCGTTTCGCAGTGCCTTGCATTGTCTCTCGCTCGTGCAGCGCGAAGGTTGGTCTACCGCTCGTCCGTCTGGCTTTTTTCAGGAGGCCCCCTTGGAGCAGCATGTCCATCTGCGGCGAAATGGACGCGTCCCCAGCCACGACTCTGGTTGATCTGCCGAAAGAGGTGCTCGGCGTCGTCGGCGGGTTCGCTGACCCGGTAGGAGTCTTCGGGTGCTTAGCGAAAGCGACGCGGGACGCCTGCGACTTGGCCTGCCAGACTCTCGCGCGGGCGCGGTATCCGGCGTGGGCGCTACCGAACCGACTGCCTTTGATGTCCGAATCCGCGGAAAGCTACCCGTCGTGGCGCGCGCTCATCGCCGATGACAATGCTCGGGCGGGCATGTGGTGTTTGGACGTCGGCACCGGCTCTAGCATTGCGGGTGCGAACGCCAGATATTACGATACGTACATCTCGCGAGTGGCGCGCGATCCGGCTAATTCAGGACAGCTCGTGGTCATCATGGAAGAACGTGGGGAAAACGATCTTGGCAGCGTGCACACAAGTTCTTGGGGTCCACGTTTTAATATCTTAGTGAACGATTGGGTGTCCACGCATTACGGCTTAGAGCCTGGAGTTTGTAAAAGAATCCGATCGGTGCACGAGTACATACTCCGTACGGACGGCCACGCGGTCTGCCGGCTGTATTTTCCATCGGTGGCGGGTGCGCATCGCGGAATTGGCTACTCCGCAGGGGGGCTCGCGACTGGGTGGGACAAAGGACATTCGATAGGTTTCGAGTACTCCTGGCCTACAGGAGGGACCACTTTGATACCCTATGGCCCCTCCCCGTGCTTCCTGCAAAGGGGTGAATTCAAGACCTGGGAGGCCGCCTTCCGAGGCCCGGGACTCCCGCCGGGCGCTTGGAGGCGCTCCTTCGTGCCACGCCCGCTGCCGTACGCCGACGTGGCGATCGAGTTGTGGGATTTGCCCCCGTCGATCCTTGCCCGCCACCGAAGAGGCAAGTGGGGCGTGTAGACTATAAAAACGAACGGGGCGACAGAACTTTAAAAACCGGTGCCCGGGCGCGTCACGCCCCGCCCGGCTCCGGCGCCTGCTGCATGAGCGTGATCGTGTCGCCCTTGAGCAGTATGCGGTTGAGCTTCTTCCGCTTCTTCGTCTTGACGTCGAGCTCCTCGGCGTCGTCCAGGACCACGTTCATGTACTCGTCGAAGCCGATGATGCGGCCCTCGATCTTCGTGCCCGTGTTCTCGTAGAGCCAGACCTGGATCCGCGTCCGCGACTGCAGGAACCGGAAGATCAGGTTGATCGGCTGCGTCATCACCTTCTTGACGGAGCGCGTCGCCATGGTCGCGGGCCTGCGCGGGAATTCGATCGCGGGCGCGCGGGCGAGACACCCGCGTCGAGACGCGCGGCGCGCCCCTCAGTCTCTGCGACGGCCGGCCGCGGCGGCGAGCGCGGAGCTCTCTCGGGGCATCGCGACACTAGACGTGCCGCCGCCGCGAGCGCGGACGCGACGGCGCGGCATCGCCGGCCGCGGCCCCGGGGCCGCGACCTCCGCCGCGCCGCGGCGCGGGCCGCGGCCGCCCGTCGCCGCCGGCGGCGCGGGGCGGACGGCCGCCAGTTCGCCTCTTTGGTTGGTCGGGGGAGCGAACGGCAAGGCGTGACCCCGCGAAGGTTGGTGTGAACCACGGATAAGGGTTAGGGTTCGGGTCCCATTGGTCCGAGGACCGCCGGGTGGCCCTTCGCCCCGCGCGCCTCATGTGCGGTGGTAGCATCATCGGGGACAACGCTTGAAGGCGGTGTGAGCGACGCGGCGCCGCACGGCTGTCGTTTATATTATCAGCAAAGCGGCGCGCGGCGCGTGGGGCCCTAGATCTAGGCGGCGGTACCCGCGACGCTCCGCTCGGCAGCAAAGTGGTGCAGGGCGTTAACTGGCAAATGGTCAACCCAGGAAAGCGCTCACACCGAGCACTGCGGCTCCAAAGCCGGGGAGGCGATGGCCCTGCTAGTGTCTTACCGCCGCTAGCAAGTGCCGCTCAGCGCCGGTGGCTTTTAGGCCTTTTCGCGCGCCCTGGCCTCGCCGACGGGCGCGGGACAGGCGCTGGGACAGCCTGAGAACCGGAGGAGGACCGGGCAGGACCGGGGGGCAGCACAGACCAGCCCAGAGAGATGGACCAGATCGAGGAGCGCGCGCCCCCCAAGCCACAGACCAGCCGCTGGAAGGAGATCACGGCGCGCAACACGGCCCAATATAAAGCGAGGCGGGCTCCGCTCCACAAGCGCGCGTTCAAGGGCCTGCAGCCCGACCCGCGGCGCACGTCCGGCGTCGACGCGCGGTACTCGCGCACCGCGGCGCACGGCGGCCGGCGCGCGCACGGCGGTACGAGGCGCAATCTCCTGCGGTGGGGCTCGGCGCTGCTGCGGGGCATCGCCGACGACGACGCGGAACAGGTTCTCGACGCGCTCGCCATGCCGTCCGCGAACGTCCACTGCCGAGTGACGGGCGGCGCCTTCGGCGCGCCCTTCGACTACGCGGGAGACGCGCTCGTGAGCGTCCAGCGCATCCAGCGCGAGGTCGACAAGTCGCAGAAGCTCGCGCACGACCTCGCGGACAAGCTGCCGCGCTACTACTCGGCGCAGGAGTGGGCGAACATCGAGGCGAGTCTCAGGGAGATCTCGACGTACTTCCCGCCCACGTCTGCGATCTTCGAGGTGTGCCGCGTCGGCGACTCCGCCTTACATTTAGCGGTGCGGCACGGCGCGTTCGGCGCGGCGAAGATCCTGCTGAGCCGCGGCTGCGACCCCATCGCGGAGAACGACGAGGGCCACACCGTCGCCTATTTGTTGGGGGAGCGGTTCAAGGTCTTCGAGGAGATGTTGCGACAGGCGGACTCGCACGCGGACGCCGCGGCGCGGCGCGACGCGCGGCGCAAGGTCGACAACGCCCGCGACGACATCCGGGCCGTCGCGAACGCGGTCATCGACCGCCTCGAGGAGCGCGACGAGGCCGTCATGGCGCCGCTGGCGTTCAAGAAGTGGCAGCTCCAGATCGAGGGCGAGGATTTGGATCGCAAGGACCAGGCGACGCTGGACCAGCGCGCCAAGCTGCAGCAGGAGCTCGAGGTCGCCCACGACATCGCTCACAAAACGAAGGCGGACGCGCGGTCGCGCCGCGCGTCCAAGGCCACGTCGGCGCGAGCTCTGTTCCGGAGCCGCGACGAGCGCAAGGCGACGCTGCGCCAGCGCGCCACCTCCAGCGCCGGCGCGCCGGCGCGGCACTACGAGACGGCGTACTCGTCCGCGCGCGACTTCGAGCCGGGCGAGCGCCGGAGCCGCGGCTCCGTCTCCTTCTCCGTCGGCCACTACTACCAGAACGCGCCGTCGGCCTTCGAGCGCGGCGAGGCGCGGCGCCGCGCGGGCCCGCCGTCGCTGTCCGACGTCTCCGAGGGCTTCTTCGACGACATCGACGTGAACGACTGGCTCATGGACCTCGACCACGCGGCGGTGCTGGTCCAGGCGAACTGGCGCGCGATCGCCTGCCGCCAGGCGCTGCTGCGCGCCGTGCGCCACGCGTCCGCGGCGGCGATCCAGACGCGGTACCGCGAGCACCGCCGGGCGATGCGGCTCTGGGACGCGGCGCTCGGGCGGCGGAAGCGGGGCTACTACTAATGAGGTTGTTGTATTTTCTTGTGAGACCCGCGCTAAGACGAGCTAGCGGCCTGTAAGACACTAGCACTAGATACCCTTCCTCCGACAGGCGCCGTTGTTGGCGACGACGCCGTAGGCCCAACAACACGCGGCCGCGATCCATAGATTTATAATGTGTTGGTTTTTAGTCGTCTCCGCGGAGGGGGGGGGAGGGGGGAGCCGCGCCTGGTAAGGGCGCGAGCGTCACGAAGACGGGGGAGATGCGTCCGTGCCGTCACGCGTAATCGAGGTTGATTTCGCTCTCACCGCGGCGAATAAGCCGTCTAGAGAGCAATGACCAAAGGCCCGACGGCGCTTATTTTGATGCTGCTAAGCCGACGCATCTACGCTTTCTAACTAGTGTCTTACAGGCCGCTAGGGTCAGAGCTCGGGACTCGTCGAAGACAACATTACGAATTACAAGGGGCGCGAGAGCTATCGCCGCGGTCGCGATGGGTTACAGTTTATGCGACGCCCGAGAGACGTCGAAATAACCATAAACCTGAGCGCGGCCTGCTCGACGCGCCGCGCATCTGTTAAAGTGCGCATTCCGTTCACCCGGAACTCCCGCGATCGCTTGAGGGACGGAGTGGCCGGCATTGGTTTTGACTCACTCACCTCGGCGCCGAACCCCACACACTCGACAGATCAATGTGGAAAGCCACGTCCACATCAGACGCGCGCCACCACCTGAGTCCATGGTGTTCGCCCCGGGCTGCCCCATTGCCTTGAATCGTTACTGGAGAGGTCCCTCGTCGAGAGAAGACTAGTACGCTGCCGTGCTGCCGTGCGGGCGCGCAGCGCGATCTGCAGGCTGCTGCGTCTTTGGGCCTACTTGCGCATCGGCGTGTCGGCCTGATCGGCAGCCCGCGGTCCTACGCGACGTGTTTCGGCCCACTTGACAGCCACGGACCGTCGCGGGGTTAGTTTACCGCGCCGGGGCTGCTTGAGGTGAAAGAGGAGCTTCTGGAGTCCAGGGCTTGGACCAGCGACGGGGATTTTTTTTGGCGGCCCGTGACGCCCAGAAGACCGATGGGGGCGGGCGCCAGCGCCCAGCCGCTGGTACCGCCACCGACGGAGCCGAAAGAAACAGCGGACAAGAACGACGACTCCCTGACGTCGGTCCACGACGCGCGCCTCGCGGCGCTGCTGCGCGGCGCCGGGACCCCCAAGCTCACGTACTCCGACTCCGCCTTCGAGGCGCTGTTGGCCCGAAACCTGCCGTCCCCGTTGGAATGGCCGCCGGCCTCGGAGACGCGGCGGCGGCGCAAGACGCTGGACCGCCTCCAGGAGCTCTTCGGGAAGGCGAGCCTCTCGTCGCGGCAGGCGGCGCAGACCGTGGCCCAGCTCATGCCCGACGACGACGAGCGGGACGCCGTCGCCGAGTTCCTGATGGCGCGCGTCGACGCGAGCGCGCGGCCGGCCTACGTTACTGCTTTGTCGAGGTGCGAGCCGCCGCTCGCCGCCGATCTCCTCGAGCGCCTCGGGGACCGCGCGACGCGTGACGCGCAGGACGCCGCCATCGAGGCCGTCAGCAGAGGGCCGGCGCCGCAGCAACAGGCGACGCGCCCTGTCGCCACGACGCCGACGAAAAAGAGCGCGCCGCCGCCGCGGCATCCCAACAAGCCGTCTGCGTTTGCATGGCTCTTCCGTGACCCGGCGCCACCGCGACCCGGGCTGAAGTGGGTCTACGGGAAGGGTTGGATTCCTGACAATCTTGGAAAACACGGCGCGCCCCCGTCGCCCCTGGAGCATATCATCGACGCGGACGTCGCCGACCGACGGTCGCAGGGGTAGTCCCCACTCCCAAAAAAAAACAGCCAACGCCCACCCGGTACATGTCCGGTCTCGACCACGACATGCCCCCACACCTCCCTTGTCCTGTATACGCATGTGCACCGACGCCACCCGCGCGTCCCTGAGATAAGTTGACACAACAACGACAAGTTAGGACGCACACGCCTCCAAAAAGCGCGCAGCGGCTACATCGTCCAGCCCGCGGACGCCGTTCGCCTCGAGCATGCCGTGCAGCTGCCGCCGGACGGTCTCGTCGGCCACGGTCACGGCGACCTCGAGCGAGTCGTGGCGCGCCGTGTCCACGAGGCCGCGGAACGCCTCGTGTAACGTCGTTCTGCGCGGCCGGTCCAGCGCGCTGAGCGCCTCGAGCCCGGCGAGCGCCGCGGCCGCGGCGTCGTCGACGCCGGCGAACGCCCGGCGCGCCGCCGCGACGCGCGCCGCCAGCAGCTTCTGGGGCCGCCGCTTCAGCGCGTCCTCGACCACGGACTTCGCGAGCGGCGCCCGCAGCGCCCGCAGCGCCGCGCGCGGCAGCGCGTCCCGCGCCTCGGCGAGGAAGCCCGCGAGCCACGCGTCGCCGAGCGCGTCGCTCCTGCGCGACGCCCGCCGGAACGCCGCCGCCGCGAGGTCCGCGACGCGCTTGAGATAATTCTCGGCCCGCCTCGTCAGCGCCGCCGCCGCGTCGGCGCCGAGCGCCGCGGGGTCGAGCTTCAGGTCCTCGGCGAGCTGCGCGCGCGCCGCGACGCCCTTCGTGCGCTTCGCGACGCGCAGCGCCGCCTGGAGCACGACGCCGCCGCCGATCAGGGACCGCTCGCCCTCCTCCTCCTGGACCCTCTCGAGGACGCGCTCGCAGCCCCGCGCCTCCGCCGCGGCGTACACCAAAGCGCAGGCGCCGCCCGCCGCCCGCCACGCCGTCGGCGCGGCCTCGCCCCGCCGCCGGCTCCAGCCCACCATCTCGATGTCGCGGACCTCGTCCCACCGCGGCGCCGCCCAGGCGAGCACCTCGCGGACGACGGCGCCCCGCGCCGCGCTCCACAGCTCCTTGCGCGCGACGGGGTCCAGCCGCGCGTAGCGCGCCTCGAGCCGGTTCAGGACGCCGACGACCTCGGCTTGCACGAGCGACGGGCCGCGCGCCGCGTCGTCCAACACGGCGAGGGCGTCGGCGCCGGCCTCGCCGGCGTCGCACCGTTGCAAGACGCGGCGGCACGCCTCGGCCGCGCCGTCCGTGTCGGCGGCGCGCCACGCGTCCCGCCGCGCCCGCGTCGCGGCGAGGACGGCGAGCGCCGAATGAGACGACGCGACCTCCTCGTCGAGCGCCGCGCACGCGTCGGCGAGGACCGCGACGTGGACGACGGGCAGCGCCTCGAGCAGCTTCGCGCGCGCGCAGGCGCCCACCGCCTCGCCCAGCTTCGCCGCGACGCGCGCCGGCGCGCCCTTGAGCGGCGCCTGCGCCGCGCGCCACACCCGCAGCAGCCACGCGCAGGCCCATTCCGGCTTGTCGCGGCGCCTCGGGCCGTCGTCGTCGTCGGCGTCGTCGTTCTCTTGCAAGAAAAACGCGGCGAAGCGGCCCTCGATCGGCGCCGCCAGCACGCGCGCCGCGCGGCAGGCGTCGCCGCGTCCGTGCAACTCGTCGAGGCGCTCGAGGCGGCGGCACGCCGTCGCGAGGCGCCGCACGCACTTCCGGTCGAGGGGCGCCCGCTCGGCGTCGCCGGCCGCGACGCCGCGCGGCCAGCCGACGCCGGCCATGGCGCGCTCGAGCTCCGCGGCCCAGAGCCGCTCGCACGCCGCGAGGGCCCGCGCCGCCGCGGCCGCGACGGGGCCGGCCTCGTTCTGGACCGCGGCGAGCGCCTCGACGTCGCCCGCCGCGTTCGCGCGCGCGACGCAGGTCCACGCCGCGAGCAGGGCCTGCTGCTCGCGCAGCGTCGCGCGCTTCTCGCGGAGGTCGCGCCGCGCGTCGGCCGCCGGGTCCGATTCGAGCGGCGTGGCCGCGACCGCGGCCCGCATCGCGCGCGCCGCGGCCGCGCACGCGTCGGCGTCTCTGGCTGCTGCGGCGGCGAGCTGCTGCTCCAGTGCTTGCTTCTTTTGTTTGAGCGTTGCGAGCTTGTCTCGCTCGGCGGCTAGCTCGACGGCTGCTGCCATTTTGTTGGGTGAGCGTGCGCTAGTTTTCCGTCTAGGCACTACCAATGCCGCGGAGCCAAAAACGCTAGCGGTCTGTAAGACACTAGGAATGCTAGTGTCTTACATACCGCTAGCAACGCTTTTGCCGCAATTCACGTCTTGCCTCGCTGAGAGCTTAGCGCGCGTATACGGCGCCAGCAAACGCCTCCAGCGCGTCGACGCAGCGCGCTGAAGCTTCGACGCGCGTACAGGACCGGTGCGAACTCGCAGCACACTGCAACAAGACAACGTCGCCAGCCGCTACCAAGCTGCGCGCTGCGGCGCCGCGTCTAGAGGCAGCTACAACGTACAACACTACAACGTACGACACTTCTCGCTGAAAGCGCAACCGCAGCATCGGGCGCGCCTCCAGCGCCAGGCGCAAATACGCCAGACGCGAATACGCAAATACTTCAAAAAAAGAGCACGGCGTTGCGCGCGGGTGCGACGTTCACAGTAGGTTGCGCCCGCCCCGCCGCCCCCATCACACGACGAATTCACCCTAGATCAAGTGGGGGACAAGAGTTCGGGGAGTGCTCGAGATCATGCGTGGGCCGTTCGTGTCGAGTCGCTCCGGCGATTCCGCGACCGCTCGCCCCAAATTCCACCTCCTTCAAGGGTTCGGCCGTCGGCCGCCACCCTTGCTGGGAGATAACCTTGGGGCTAACACTTCTTCGCACAGGCATGCCGAGGTAAAGTTAGCCTAACTAGGGTATCTCAGCGATCTTTCTGCCAACGGACGCCAAGGCACCCCAGGGCCTCCGCACGGACCTCTACAAAAAACCGAGGTAGCGGATGTATCGACCTTGGCTGGTGCTCGGCGTGGCGGCCGCGCTGCGGCTCCCCGCCGCGCCGTACATAAGTCAGGACTGCAACGCGGGCCGGCGGGCGCCGCGCGCGCCCGAGCGGCCGCCGCCGAGCCGGCGCGACTGGAACGACTTCATTCGCTTGGTGCAACACGCGCACGGCCAGATCGCCGAGCCGGCGCGGACCGGCGTCCTTCATTGCTCTCGTGGCCTAATGGACAAGGCGTCGCCCTCCTAAGGCGAAGATTGCGGGTTCGAGTCCCGTCGTGAGTAGCGTCGACCGGTCCGCGCCCGACGCAGGTGACGAGTCAGCTGGCCACGGGCGACATCAAGGCGCTCTGCGCGGCGCGCGCGGCCGCGGCGACGGACCAGATCCGGGACGTGGCGGCGACGGGGTCGCGGCGGTGCCTCGTCGAGCTGGGCGCGCGCGAGGGCCGCGTCGCGACGGTGCTCGCCGACCTGGGCTTCGAGAAGACCTACCTCGTCGACCGCGACCACCCGACGTCCGACGAGGCGCGGGCGACGCGGGGCGAGCGCGTCACGGCGGATTTAAGGCACTTTGATGTGGCGGCGCTCACGGACGCGTCCTGCGTCGTCGCCAAGCACGTGTGCGGCGTCGCGATGGACTACTCCGTGCGCATGGTCGCGCGCGCGCGGCCCGAGGTCTTTGCGTTCGCGCCGTGCTGTTATTTTTCCTGCGAATACGACGCGTACCCGGGTCGCGAGCTGCTCGCGGAGCTGGGAGTCTGCAGGGACGCGCGCGACTTCGACATGCTCAAGAAGCTCACGCAGTGGGGGCCGAACCAGTTCTCGCCGTCCACCGAGGCCGCGGGCCGGTGGGCTATGGACTTGATTGATGCGGGGCGCGTCGACTTTCTGCGGCGGAGCGGCCTCGACGCGGCGGCGCTGCCCTACGCCGACGCGCGGCTCGCGCTCGACGGGGCGCTCGAGTGCACGCTGCTGGTCGGCTGGCGGCCCCCGGACGCGGACGCGGATGCGGCGGCGGCGTCGCCCTGGGATACGTACCAAGACGAAAACGGCACGCCGTACTACCACAACCGCGAGACGGGGGAGACGGCGTGGACGCTGCCCGGCGAGTCCTGACTGTTATGTGTAAGATTTTTTGTAGACACGCCGCCGTCGCCAAGTTCGTCGCCTCCGAGCTAACACTCGGGGCGACGGCGTACGGGGGCGGGGGCGGGGCGGGCGTTCGGTCACGCAGCCCCCGCGGCGGGTCGCGGCTAGGCGGCCTAGCTCTAAGCAAAGCAGACACAAACTTAAGAATACGGATCGTCCAGGGACTTTGGCGGCCTCGGCCGCGTCTCGGCCGCCGCAAACCCAAATGCGATCAACGCCGCGAAGGCGATGAGCGTCGCGCCGCCGAGGCCCTTGTTTTCGGCGAAGAGCGTAAAGTAGGTGATCGTCGAGGCGAAGCCGGAGTGCACGTAGATCGACGCCAACGCGGCCGCGGCGCAGGGCGTCCCCCGGAAGAACTCCACGTATATGTGTTTCGTCGAGTTTTCAAAGACCGCGCGATTCACGCCCTGCAGCGCGAACAGCAGCACGAGCTGCCGCCACGCCATGAGGTCGGACGTCGAGTGCGCGCAGAGGCACACGCCGAGCACGGCGTACGACGAGAAGGCCACGGCGACCGGCGCCCGCGGCCCGCCCTTCCTCGCGGCGCCGGCGAGCACGATCGCGGCGAGGCCGGCGGTCACGGTCGTCACCGTCGAGCACACCGCGACGGCCGCCGCGCCGCGCTTCTCGTCGACGAGGCCGTCGACCCAGTCCGTGAACAGCGCGCTCGAGAAGCCGAAGCCTAGCGGGAGGGGCGCGAGGAGCCAGAGCCGCGGGTCGGCGACGTGCGCCAGCGCCACGGCGCGCAGGCTCTTCCCCACGTCCGACGACGGCTTGCCCCGCGCGCCGCGCGCCAGCCCGAGCTCGAGCGGGTCGTGGACGAAGAACGCCGTCGCGCAGGCGCCCACGCCCACCAAGCCCGCCGTCGCGCCCTCGAGCGTCGCGCCGAGGCCGAGCGCGACCGCCGTCGCCACCTTGACGCAGGCCTCCATCGCCACGTAAATGACCGCAAAGAGCGTGGCAAAGTCCGCCGACGCCTCCTTCGCCGGGATCTGCTGCACGTCCGCGTGGGCCGCCGAGGCCTGCGCGTAGTGCTGCGTCTGGCCGACCCAGAGCGTCGCGCCGCCGACGCCCGCCCCGACCGACGCGAGCAGGACGACCTGTGTGGTAATCAACCAGTGCGTCGGGTACACCCGACAATTCTTCACTAAGTCATTTCTCGGCGATGACGCAGCCGTCCTGGCTCGGTCGAGTGGTGAGGAATTCACACCGCCACGCCGTCGAGCAGGCGTCGCGTCGATGGCGTGGAGGACGACGCGATGATTCAGCACGAACGCGCCGTAAATTTTGATTTCCACACAGATGACGACTGCGTCTGCCACGGCGCCGCCGCCCAGGATCTCGTAGGAGAGGTAGCTCGCCGCGAGGAGCACGTAGCCGCAGAATCCGGTGAGCAGCGCATAGAGCACGCCGACGCGACGCACGACGTCCGTCGCTACGAAGAGGGCCGCGGTCGTGTAGGCCGCGAAGAACGCGCCGAGACTCGCGCTCGACAGGTCCTTGCCCTGCAGCGACGACGCGTAGACCATCGACGTGACCGCGCAGCCGTGCAGCACGCCGAACGTCACGCAAAACATGATCCAGGTCCGGCGCGTCGTGGCGTACGCGGGCAGCGCGCCGTCGTCGTCGGGCAGCAGGTACTGGTGCTCGCCATCCGGGTAGAACGACTGCTGGAAGGGGCCCGGTTCCATCATGATTGTGTCCGCAGAGCTCAAGGGCAGCGTTTTTAGGTCAACACATCGTGCTCACGGTGCAATAGTGTGGCCCACGCCCTCCTCCCGCAGCTTACGCGCCCCGCACGCCCGATTTTTTGCAGGGCATCCGGCTAGCGCCATAGAGCTACTAGCGCTGCATGCTAAATATCAGTCTTGCTGCAGCAAAAAAACAGACAAAAGCACGCCAGTAATCTTTGTGGGACACATTTCAGCGGCGCAACCATCCGTGCTTCTATTTTACCTGCAAGCACCAGGGCGCAGGCCCGCAGAGCTCGCAGTCGTGACCTCTTCGAACTTCTGCAGACCTCAAACCCATTCGTGCCGCCGCCCCGCAACAGCATCATGCAGCTCGTAGAACCGCTCCTCTTCGTCGCCTACTACTGGGTCTGCCTCTTTTGCACGGAGGAGAGGCTCTGGGCGATCTTTGCGAAGCGGCCGCTCCACACGCTGCGGACCTCGTGGTTCGGTTCCAAGCATTTCGTGGTCGCGTACGCCGTGGCGATCCTGCTCTTCGGCGTGGCGCTGCCGCGGAGCTGCGAAGCTATGCGTCGTGCCTGTTTTGCCGACATGCAGTGCGCGCGGCGGCTGACGCGCGACGCCTACGGCTGGTACGACGCCGACGACAGCCAGTGGCGCGCGTACCGGGGGAGCTTCGTCACGCTGCTGCTCGCGGCGGCGGTCACGACGGCGCTCACGCGGCGGATAAAGGCCGAGAAGCCGACGGCGCGCCTCGCGTGCGGCCTCGCGTTCGTGGCCGTCGCGCACGGCGGCGGCGCCGGCTGCGTCGTCGGCGTCTGCGGGCTGTTCCACGCCGCGTCGTTCCTGCCCCCCGCGCTCGCGGTGCCGGCCGCCTGGGCGCTGGCGCTCGCGTGCCTGCTGGCCAAGGACCCCGCGCTGCCCTACCGCCGGGCCCTGCCGGCGCCGTGCTGGCCCGTGCTCGGCGCCGGCATGTACGCCTGGCCCGACGCGCTGCCTTTATTGGTTCTGCGGCTCGTCTCGCACGTCGCCGACGCGGCGCGCGCGCGCAAGCAGGGGACTACTACGAGACCGGCCGGCTACGACCTGCAGGGTTGCCTCGCGCACGCGCTTTACGCCCCTTTGTACGTCGCGGGGCCCGTCGTCGCCTTCGACGCCTTTCGCAATTCCAAATCAAAGCCCATATCCGGCGGCGACGTCTCCTACGCGCTGCGCACGCTCATCGTGGGCGGCTTCCTCGAATTGGTGTTGAGACGGTGCCCGGCCTTCGCCCTGGGCGCGTCGGGCGCGTTCCGGCGGTTGGAAGCCGTCGACATGGCGGCCTTCGCGTTCGTGACGATCAACGTGCTCTGGCTCAAGTTCTGCTTCATGTGGCGCGTCGCGCGGAGCTGGGCGCGCTTCGACGGCGTGGACCCGCCCGAGAACATGGGCCGCTTCGTGTGCGACAACTTTGCGGCCGCGGGGTTCTGGCGGGGCTGGCACGGGTCCTTTAACCGGTGGCTCGTCGCGTATGTGTACCGGCCCCTGCTCGGGGCGAAGGCGTCTTCCGTAAGACGGCTCGCAGCGACGGGCGTCGTGTTCGCGTTCGTCGCGCTGTGGCACGACGCGCGGCCCAAGCTGTTCGTCTGGGGCCTCGTCAATTTTGTTCTGGTGGGCCTCGAGCGGGTCGTGGGTGTGGAAGCTCGCGCGAGGCGCGTCGTGGAGCGCGCGGGGCCGCCGGCGTGGGACACCGCGTGCGTCTGCGCGCTCGGCGCGGGCAACATCGTCCTGTTGATCGGCGGGAACGTCGTGGGCTACGCCGTCGGCGTCGGCGGCGCGACGACCCTGTTTTCGGGCGTCTTCGGGCCCGGGGCGGTGGGCGCCGCGGCCCTCGCGGCGTGGGTCGTCCTCGGGGCCGGCACGTTCGCGGCGCTCGCCGTGCGGCGCGTCGAGTTTTTTTCGTCGCGTGGTGATAATTATAATGTGAAATCCTACTAGTAGTACACACAACTGAGTTAAGAATGACACATCTGGGTGTCGCCACCGGTGCTGCCTAGGCCCGCCGCACACTCCTCCGCCACGCGGCGGCACTCCTCGGCGTACGACGCTTGATGAGCGAAGGACCAGTCGTGGTCCCAGAAGCCCGCGAGGCGAAAGCCCCCCGGTCCGAAGCGCCGGGCCTGTCGCGCGTCGAGGACGACGACGTCGGGCAGCGCGTTGCTGAACGGCTGCCGCGCCATCGGCGGGATTGTGGGCGTCGCAAGGAGCTCGATTGTCGTGTCGAGGGCCTCGTCGCTCGTCGCCGCGAGGAGCAATGCCAACCGGCCGTCGCGCAGCGGCAAGAGCGACGCGACGCCGAGGTCCCCTGAGAAATAGCAGTCGCCCACAGACATGCCGTCCTGACGCAAGCCAAGCGGTGCGGCCGTCTCGTTGAGCGCGCGTTGCGCGGCATCTGAATCACCTCCGACGAGAACGAGGTTCTCGCCTTTGTCCCGTGCCGCGTCCCAGGAGAATTCTTCGCCAGAAATAGGCGCGCGCGCGTGCCCCGTGAGGTGGAACTGATTTGCCAGGTACGTGGCTAGCCCGAGCGCCCCCGGCTCATATACAACGCGAAACGCGGACTCGACGACCTGCCGCATCGGACCGGAGCTCCCGGGCCCACGTCCAGTAGCCTCGCACGGGACCCACGCCGCGTCGGAAGAACGGCAGATCCTCGTCGTCGTATCGGCGATGGCGTCGCCGTCAACAGTATCAAAATGACCAGCCTCGACCGCGAGGCGTCGGACGTTCTGCGTCCTCAAGCTTCTGTCGGCAATGAGAGCTACTCGCGACGTTCGGAAGGGCACGACCTGCTGCTCGACGCGGAAGCCACACGACCCGAGGACGGCATCGACGTTTGTCGTGACGTGTTCATAGCCGATCGGACAGTCGTCCTGGGACGAAAACGCCTCCGCAAAGAACTTTCGTAGCCTCTCGTCATTGACCGTGCCGCCGTCGTTCGCCACCGCCGTGTCCCACCACCAGTGGCCCTTCGACGGGACCTCCTCGTACTCCGACGAACATCCCTCCAGAAGACGCGCGATGCGGCCCACGTGATACGGTGGCACTGCCTCGTCGACCGCCCCAACCCGCAGCAGACTCCTCATGCAGCACAGATTCGACGCGACGGCGTCCACAGCGGAGCCGGCCAGCGTCGCGTCCAGGACGCCGCGGAGCGCCGGCTCGATCAAGTGGGCCCCCTGGTCGTGGAGGTAGCGCGTGTTCGAGTCGCCGTAGACCTCCTTCCGCGGCCAGCCCGCGTTGATGGCGACGCCTTTGGCTCCTGAGCCGAGCGCCGCTGCGAGCAAACCGGCGCCGTGGCCACCCATCGAGTGCCCGGCGACGACGATTTGCGGCAGCCCCGCGCCCCGCCACGCCGTCAGCGCGTCGAGGGCCTTGAGCGCGTGCCGCAGGCCGACGCCCTCCCAGTTGTGGGCACCGTGGCGCGATGGCGCTAACAAAAACGCACAAGCTCCGGGAACGCCAAACGTGTAGTCAACGTCGTCGCTCGATCCGCGCGGCTTGAATTTGTAGCTGTCCGCCGACGACCTCGCGGAGACGCCCGTTCCGTGAAGAGCAACCAGGACGCGGAACGGAGCATCTGGGCCGCAAGACGCCGGCGGCCTCACGACCGCGGCGGTCTGCACCGAGCCATCGCCGTCGAGGAATGCCATCAGCGCGCTCGACGTGGGGGCCCGGCACTCGATCGACACGTCCGCGGTGGCGATGCGTTCGCCGTCCGCTTCGACGGTGATCGGAACGGATATTTGCTCGCCGGCGGCGGCGCATTTTCTATCGCTGCGCTGCGACAGGCTCGCGCGGAGAGCCGTCACCGTCGCCGGCGGTATTGATGTGTCGTCGTCGAGGGCTGTGATGGCAAACGTGCCGTCGGAGGCCAGCGTTACGCGTCGCATCCAGGCCGGCCGCCAGACCTCGACAGAGAGCAGGCCGCCAAACGGCGAGGCGTCGCCGACCACCCAGTCCGGCACGGCAAGAGAGCGCGCATACGCTTTGGAGCTCCTCCAGACGGAACACCTGACCGAGCCGACGTGTTTCGCTCGTAGACGCATCCTGATCTCGTGGACTCCCGCATCGAGCTCGTGAGTCGATGCGAGGCTCGGGATATATCTCCCGTAGATGTCGCCGGCCGCTAACGCGCCGTCGACTCTATACGCGGCGACCCCTTCGCATCGACAGCGGATGGCTCCTGGCGCTCTCGTCTCGAAGCGCGCGACGACCAGCGCTTGCCACTCCAGGATCTCTTGTCCGCCTGCTCGATAGAGTGCGTTCCAATCGATGGCGTCAAATGATACGCGCGCGGAGCCGTCGGTGCCTTTCCGCACCGTCTGCCACTCGTTGATTACTCCTCCGTTCGCGAGTTCCGAGGGCAGAGGGTGTGATAGGTGCGGTGCTGCTGCGGCGAGCGCGGTCGCGTTGTCGAATGGAGAGCCCTCGACCTCATCTTTACCACATACAAAAGGCCCAAGTATATCATAGCTGCCCAGAAATATCTGTTTGTTGTGCAGGACGATTGGCGGCACCGAGGAGGCACTGCAGAATTGCAGCAATAGTGCTGCTATGAGCATAGTTCCTCGATAGCGCTCGCGTGCGCGGCGGTGCGCATAGATGTGCCCTTTTCCAAGCTCTGGACGCGATGCGGTGCCCTAGACTGGCGCACGCTGTGCGAGCTCGTAGCTCTCCGGAGCTCCGGTAGAGCTGAGTTGCCTCGCTAGTGTCTTACAGCCGCTAGCCGTCCATCCTGTCGGTGGTTCGAGGACTAGGCGCCGCCGCATGGCGCCTCCCAAGAAAGAAGACCCAAGATCCCCCTCCCCGCCAGATAAGTCTGGCATGAAATAAAACTTAAACGGCCGAGCGGGACGACGTCGACGACACGCTCTTCCCCCACGGCTCCACCATGCCCGCCGGCGCGGGACAGCCGCCGGTCATGGGCGAGATCGTGAAGCTGAGGGAGCCGATCTTCGACCCCTCGGGGCCGTCGGCGCGCCGCGACGCGGCGCGGTAGCTGCCAGCGAGGAAGACGCCTGCCAGGCCCATCAGGCCGCAGACGACGTAGACGAGCCCGTCCCAGCCGATCGCCGTATACGCGTAGCCCGACGCCAGCGACCCCGCGCCCGCGACGCCGAAGATGACGAGGTCGTTGATGCCCTGGACCCGCAGCGCGTCCTTCTTTTCGTAGCAAGCTGTCAGTAAGACCGTACCGCTCGTAAAACATATGTTCCACGCGATGCCGTTGAACACCATGCCCAAGATGAAATTCCACAACTGCTGAGAAATTGCGAGGATAACCGCACAGATGGCGAAGATGACGAAGCCTAGGCCCGACGCCGCGTAGGGCCCGATGTGTTTGATCAGATACCCTGTTCCCACAATACCAGGAGCGTACATGCTAAAGAAGTGCAACTCGAGCGCCAGGGAGGTGAGTCGGAACGGGAACCCGTCGTCCTTCATCGCTAGTGTGAGCGGCGACATAAGCATCACCATCGAAGTGTGAGCGAACGTGGCGACGGAGACCGCACAGATGGAGTCAGGCTTCCCAAAGATTTCGCGGAGCGGCGTCGGGGTCTCCTTTTCGTCGGGAGCTTCGACCGGCGCGAACCGCACACACGCGATCAATGCGTAGTTGATCAGATTCGCGACGGCGACCAGCAAGAAGCAGCCGCTATACCTCGCGTTCAGCCCGAGCCACGGAAATGATTGGGCTCCTACTGCCGCCTCGGGCCCCGCGAAGGCAGCGAGGATCCCACCGCTCAGTACAAGCGCGACCGCCGGCGCGCGCTCGTCCTCGTCGCAGATCTCCGTCGCCGCGAACCGGTAGAACTGCCCCAGTCCTTGGCTCGTTCCGATGAGGAAGCACGCGATGAAGATCAACCACGCCGCCCTCACCTCCATGGCGATTGCACCGAGGACGCCACCCGCGAGTCCTAACGCGCAGCCGAAGCCGAAGCCCTTCGCTCGGCCGAGCGCCGTAAATATTTGAGCGCTGTACGCGCTTATCAACGCGGCTCCGATCAGGAACATCCCGATCGTGAACGGCGCGACCGAACGGTTAATGCCAATGGAGACGGCGGCGAGAGGACTGGCGGAGGTGATGAGAGTGGAAGCGGTCAGTACTGTAGCCCAGCAACCTGCCAGTACCCATATGTCCCGCTTGAGGCATTTTCCCATATGCTCAGTCGTCGGGTTAACGTCTTAATCGATGGCACGACGTCAAAACGCGTCCTCCACAGCCCAGGACTCAAGAAAAACAGCTAGCGGCCTGTAACACACTAGCGAGCGCTTGGGTCAGATCTACCAGGCGCTCGAGGCCACAGACTACTATGAACATATTATTCGCGCTCTCCTACTTCCCGAACCGCGCCTCGAGCAGCCGGAAGAGTGCCCGCATGCCCATGGCCTCGCCGCCCTCGGGCCGGCCCGGCTTCGAGCCCGTGTTGAAGGCCATCATGTCGAGGTGGAGCCACGGCGGCGCCGCGCCGCCCTCCGCGGCCGGCTCGACGAACTCGGCGAGGTAGAGCGCCGCCGTGATGGCGCCGCCGTACGGCCCGTTGCCGATGTTCTTCAGGTCCGCGACTTTGCCGTTTATCTCCTCCCGGTACCCCTGCCACAGCGGCAGGCGCCAGACCTGGTCCTGCTCCTTCGCCGACTCCGCGACTAACACGTCCGCGACGGCGACGCCCTCGTCGTTCGCGAAGAGGCACGGCACGTCCGTGCCCAGCGCGACGCGGCCCGCGCCCGTCAGCGTCGCGCAATCCACAAGCAAGTCCGGCGCCTCGCTGCAGGCCTCGACGAGCGCGTCGGCGAGCACGAGGCGGCCCTCGGCGTCCGTGTTGCCGATCTCCGTGGTCTTGCCGTTTCTAGCGACTAGGACGTCGCCGGGCCGGAACGCGTCGCCTGAAATCGCGTTCTCGACGGCCGGCACGAGGACCCGCAAGCGCACCGGCAGCTGCGCGTCCATGACCATAGCCGCCAGGCCCAGCACGTGCGCCGCGCCGCCCATGTCCTTCTTCATCGTGAGCATCGCCGCGGCGGGCTTGATGTCGAGGCCGCCCGTGTCGAAGCAGACCTGTGTGGAAATCAGAATTTTACGGCGCGTTCGTGCTGAATCATCGCGTAGTCCTCCACGCCATCGACGCAACGCCTGCTCGATGGCGTGGCGATGCCGGTTCCTCACCGCTCGACCGAGCCAGGACGGCCGCGTCATCGCACCCGACGCACTGGTTGATTTCCACACAGAAACAGACGCCCTTGCCGACGAGCGTCACCTTCGGCGCGTCTTCGGATCCCCAGGTCAGGTCGATCAGGCGCGGCTGCTGCTTCGGGCCCGCCGCGCGGCCGACGGCGTGGATCTGGGGGTAGCCCTCGAGGAGCGCGTCGCCCTCGACGGTACGAACGGACGCGCCCGCGGCCTTCGCCAGGTCGCGGGCGACCTGTGTGGAAATCAAACTTCAGGCGCCCCACGCCATCGTCGCGAGATTGTCTCCGTAGCTGCATCTGCTCGATGGCGTGGAGATTATACGCCATCGACGCGACGTTGTTCCCGTGACCGCGTCGGCTCGATGGCGTGGGTGCACCTAACTCACTGGTTGATTTCCACACAGCGGGCGACGGCCTCCAGCTCCGCGGGCCCCAGGTCCCCCGCCGGCGTGTTGATCAGGTCCCGGCAGAGGTAGGTGCCTTTCAGGGACGTCGCGTAGTCGTCCGCCGCGGCGGGCACGACGAGGCTCGCGAACTTCGGCGGGTCGTCGGCCTTCGGCTGCGAGCCCGTGCCCTTGCAGGCGTCGAACGAGTAGCAGCCCAGGCCCCACGACAGCGCCGCCGTCGCCGGTAGCGGCTCCGCGGACTCGAGCTCGTAGACCGCGCCGTCGGAGGGCAGCCGCGCCGGCAGCGACGCAAAAGCATAAAGAGACGACGCATTCTTCGTCATGAAGGCCCACTTGCGTTCTGGCAAGAGGACGAGGGCGTCGTCCTTGAACTTCGCGAGGCCCGCGGCCTTCAAGTAAGCCTGCGTGTCGGCGGCCTGCTCGCCGAGCCAGGCCTCGTACTCGTCCTTTTGCAGCACCAAGACCGGAGTGGTAGGAGTATCGCTGGCGCTCACGAGGTTCGGCGCCCAGCGGTCCGAGCTCGGGAAGGCGCCGCCGGCCAGCGCGCGCACGTTGCGGTGGAGGCGCCGGGCGCCGCGCGCGAAGGCGCGGATCATCGGGAGCGATGCGAGCGTCAACGCCGTCCGGAAGCGCATCGGAGCCAAGCGCGCAGGTGCAGCACTGCTTGCTTGCAATTAGCTGCAACTGTGCCAGCGCTGCGTCTCAGCGCTGTTACCGATGCGCACAATACAAGAGCGTGTGTTGCAACAACAGCGGACACAGAGCAACGCGAGTTGCCACGTTTTTTGCTCAAGCCTCCAACTCCGAGCTAGCGGTCTGTAAGACACTAGCAAATCTCAAAGCTCGTGTCCGCGACGTAAATAGCCTGAGCCTGAGCCTCGAGAGATCGTAGGCACCAACAAACAACGCGAGGCACAGCGCGCGCGCGAGAAAACCACAAGGAGAACATTTACACACCACCCTCCGCGCCGTCCTCCGCCGCAGGAGCAGCAGGAGCAGGAGGAGGCGCCTCACCGTTCTTCACTGCGGTGCGCTTCTCGAGTGCGTCGACGGAGTGTGCCAGCGCGATCAAGTTGCCCCGCAGCGCGCCCAAGTCCGCGACGGCGTACTGATGCGACGCGACGACGCGCTGCAACTCGGCGACCGCGTGGGTCACGTTCGAGAAGTCGCCGCCCCACTGGCCGTCCAGTTTCGCCATCTTGCCCTGGATGGCGCGCTGCCGGCCTGTGTGGAAATCAAAATTTTACGGCGCGTTCGTGCTGAATCATCACGTCGTCCTCCCCGCCATCGACGCGACGCCTGCTCGATGACGTGGCGATGCCGGTTCCTCACCGCTCGAAGGAGCCAGCACGGCCGCGTCATCGCCGAGATATGACTTAGTGAAGAATTGTCGGGTGCACCCGACGCACTGTTTGATTTCCACACAGCTGCCGGCCCTCGAGCGTCGACAGCTTCGCCAGGGCCCCGGCCAGGCCCTGTCGTACGTCATTGAGAGAGCCCTCGTCGGGCGGCGGCGCCGGCGGCGACGGCGACGGCGCCGGCGCCGCGGCCTTCTCGCGCGCCGCGCACCGCGGACACGTCCGATCGGCCGCAAGGAACCGCTCGAGCCGGTCCGAGCCGACCTCGGCGTCCAGCGTCGCCCGGACGCGCTCGCCGATCTCGCGCGCGACGGCGTCGGCGAACTCGTTGACGAGCGGCCCGACGAGCGACCGCGCCGACCGCGCCGCGGGCGCCGGCGCCGCCGCGGCCGGCCGTCCTATCGCTCGCTGCTGGGCGCCGGGCGACGACGCGGCGCCGGCCGGCCGCCGCCGCCGCGCGTCCGGGCTCGCGGCCGCGAAGAGCGAGCCGTCGTCGGGCCGGAACTCGGGGAACCGCGCGCCGTCGGCGAGCGTTAGTTCGGGCTTCGGTTCGGACGCCACCGACAGGCCCCCGAAGCGCGGCGCCGTCCAGTCGTACAGGCCCTCCGAGCCCGTCGACGCGTCGCCCTTGGAGTCCATCGAGCCGAGGGAGGTGGCGCTGTTCGAGGGGCGGAGCATTTATATTGGACGCGTCGATGGCGTGCACCTGTGAATTGTGCCGTGTCGCGCAAGTTTGCACGCCCGACAGTGTAGAGCTCTGTTGTGCAAGCTCTGGTGTGGTTTGTTTAAGCGCTGTTCTAAGCTGCGGGTCTCAAGCAAGGGGTGGCGCGGTGATGCTAAGCTGTCTTTTCCTCCAAGTGCTGTCGGATGCACGAGAATGCGGCCGCTGAACTTGGAGCCAGGGCTCTGCATGGAACCCGCACGTTCGAGATCCGTCCAAGTCCACTCCTCACCGCGAGAAGACCACCCCTAGATGCCGAGAAGCATGCTTTCGGCGCTTCGCGGCAGGGGCGAATTTGCCCGAAAAGCTAATGGCGCCATTTGAGAGCGTCGTCGATAGCACCGGAAATCTCGGGGTCGGGAGCACCAGGCTGCACCAGACTCGTCGAGCGCCGAGCTCCAGCCAAACCCCACGCCTCCCTGCAAAACGGGCTGCCCCGCGCCCGCCGTCGCCGCGTTCCCACCAGGAGAGCCATATGGCCATGGACTCGACGCTAAAACTCGACCCCTCCTGCGTCTTCTTCAATGACTCCGTGCTTAGTTATACCAGCATGGGCCCGCCCACGCTGAGCACGGACCTGGGCAGCCCGTCGCACCTCTTCGTGGAGCGCCCGAGCACGGCGCCCGCGCAAATCTCGCCGGGCTGCGGCGAGGTCCACGAGGATCCCCACAAGCGCCGGTTCCCCGGCCCGGGCTACTACGAGCTGCCGAGCCCGGACTGCGTCTCGCAGTTCCCGCACCGGCCGGCGAGCCCGCACTACTCGCTCGCGTCGCCGCGGAGCCGGCGCGCGCCGCCCGTCGGGCGCCGGCCGAAGGGTCGGCCGCTGCCCCCGCGGCGCTTCCCGGACTCGCCCGGCCCCGCCTCGATCCCGCGCTCCCAGCTCTCGTCCGGCCGCACGTCGACGGACCCCGGGCCCAGGACGTTCCGCTCGCCGCGGCGGGCGCGCCCGGACGTCTTCTCGGCCGACAACCCGCGCTGGAAGCTCGGGAAGCCGCACGCTTACTTTGGCCGCGACACGTTGACGGCTGTGTGGAAATCAACCTGTGTGTCGGGTGCACCCGACAATTCTTCACTAAGTCATTTCTCGGCGATGACGCGGCCGACCTGGCTCGAGCGGCGAGGAACCGGCATCGCCACGCCATCGAGCAGGCGTCGCGTCGATGGCGTGGAGGACGACGCGACGATTCGGCACGAACGCGCCGTCAAATTTTGATTTCCACACAGGTTGACGGCGCCGCGCGTCAAGGGATCCAAGTTCCTGCCGGGGAAACGCCACGTCGAGCCCCGCGTCTGGGGCCGCCCGCCCGCGGCCTCGCTCGTCTGGTGACTTTCCCGTTCGTAACCCCTCGCGCAAAGGGGACTCTATTATCTAACCACTAATCACATTACAAAACAAGACGCCTAGCGCGACGACGACGTCGGCCGCGACACGAGCTCGGGCCGCCGCGCCAGGAACGCCGCGAAGGTGAGGCCGGCCGCGACGACGGCCGTCGCCGACACGTCCGCGACGACCTCGAAGTCCGTCGCGTACGTCAGAGCGACGCCGGCGAGCCCGAGCTCCGCCGCGCCGGTCAGCGCCGCCTCGCACCCCTGCACGGCGTTGCGATCGGCCTCGGCGACGAGCTGCTGCTGCAGCTCGACGTACGCCACGTCGAACGCGTACAGGAACACGCGACTCACGACGACGGCGACCATGAGCGTCTGCGGCGCGTCGACGAAGGTAGCTGCGACTGTGACCGCGACGACCTGGCCAAGGATGCTAAGCGCCGCCACGTCTCGCGTCGCCAGGCGCCGAGCCTCAGATGTGGTCGTCGTTTGCGCCCGCCGCGCATCTGTGCGGCCGTCGGCGGCCGCCGCGTAGAGGGCCACGCCGCCGGCGCCCGCGAGCGCTCCCGCCGCGCGAAAGGCCGCGAGCGACTCCGCCGGCGCGCCGCGGTCGGCCAGGGCCGCCAGGAGCACGGGCGCGTGCGGCGTCAGGGCGGTGAACCAAAGCAACGCAAAGACCACGGTCGTGATCGCCGCGCCGCTCGGCTGGCCGAAGAAGGCGGCCCAGGCCGGCGCGGTCGTGATCGCCGCGCCGCTCGGCTGGCCGAAGAAGGCGGCCCAGGCCGGCGCGGCCTTCGTCGTTTCGCCCTTCGGCGCGCTGAGCGCACTGGGCGCGCGGGCGCGGAGCCGCTCGAGCGCAGCCTGGGCGGCGAGCTCGCCGGCGACGGCGGCCGCGCCGACGGTCGGCGCGCCGCTCGCGCCTAAGACGAATGCGCCGAGCGCTGGGCCAGCTAATTCCCCAAGCAGCGCCGCGTTCGAGAGCGAGACCGTTGCTTTGCGCAGCGCGTCGCCCTCGAGGAGCGTCGGCGCCCAGTCTTTGCGGGGGGCGCCCTTCGTGACGACGGCGCCGAGCGCTTCGATCGCCGAGCCGGCGAGCAGGAGCGGGAGCCACGACGTTTCGTCGGCGAGGTGTGGCAGCGCGAGGCAGCTGAGCCCGACGCCACAGGCCTGAGCGGCACGAGCGGCGCGCGCCGCGTCGACGCGCGGCGCCTTGTCGGCGAGCCGGCCCACGGACGGCGCGAAGAGCACTTTGGCGCCCGTCGTCGCGGCCATGAGCGTCGCGGCGGCCTGGGGGCCGCCGGACTCGAGCAGCGCGAGCGGGAGCGCGAACTGCCACGCGGTGGCGAACGTCGTCGAGGCGCCCGCCGACAGCGTGAGGAGGAGCGTCGTCTCGGCGTCGGCGTCTGCTTTGAGCCGGTCTCCGGCGTCGACGGCCTCGAGCCAGTACGCAGTGTCGAGCTCCGACGGCTCAGAAGTGCCCTCGACGTCTGCGAGCCATTTCTCAGTGTCTAGGAATGGTACGGCGTTCTCGCGCTTCCCGCCGACAGAACGCTGCGCGTCCTGCTTGCTCTTGAGCAGCACATGCTCTCCTCTAGAGACATAGGGTGTCGCGAGCCTACCAAGCGTTGCTGGTGGCTGTGTGAAGCCCCAGACAGCTGGCACGATGATCAAGAACCGCATTTTTAGGGTCTCTGCGCAGAGCTGCGACAGCTGTTGCTTTAGACTCAGATCTGGCTCAGCTAGAGCCATACGAACGCTAGCTGTAGCGAACGCTATACCCCTCCTGGGGCTCGCCCACCATTGCTCTGAATCGCAAAAACAACGTAGCTCATGATCAAGACATGCCGAGTACAAAACGCGGGGGCGGGGCGGGCGTTCGGTCACGCAGCCCCGCGGCGGCCGGGTAGCTAGGCGGCCTAGCTCTAAGCAAAGCAAAGCACACAAAAAAGCAACTTAACAACAACCAATCACGAGGGCTCGGGCCACTCCTCGCCCCCAAGCGGTGACGCCGGCGGCGGCGCCGGCGGCGCCGGCCACGACTCCCCGCCCAGATCGAGCACGGGCTGCTCTCCGGAGTCGTCGCCGTCCGCGAGCACGTCCAGCGCGCAGCTCAGCGTCGTCAGCGCGTAGCCCTCGGCGCCCAGTAACACGTCGTCGCGCGCGAAGGCGTCGACGTACGCGAGCTCGGCGCGGAGGTGCGGGACCTTGGCCTCGGCGACGCACGCGACGGCCCGCGGCAGCAAGACGTCCGCCGTCACGAGCGGCCCCTCGTCGCTGTCGCCCAGCGCCTCCAGGCAGAAGACCAGGGCCCGCAGCTTCGCGTGCGCGTCCCGGCCCGCGCCGATCTTCGCGAGCGCCGCGGCGCCCCGCCGCACGGACCGCGCCGCGCCCTCGCCGGCGCCGCCGCGCGCCGCCAGGACCCGCTCCAGCGTCGCGTCCGCGTCCCGGTTCCGCCGCACGAGCGCCGTGAACGCGTGAATATAGGTCGCCTCCGCGACCAACGCGTCGGTGGCCGCGACGATCGGCGCGCCGTCATCGTCCGCGACGGCGAAACGCAGGGCCTCCACGTCGATGGCCGTCTCGCGCGCCCAGAACCTGGCGTCGGCGACGGCGTCGCCCCGCGCGTCCGCGCGCCGAACTTTATACAAATCATCGAGCGCCGCCCACACCTTCGCCGTCGCGGGGTCGGCTTCCAGCGCAAAGTTCGCAAAGGCCCGCGCCTGCGCGTCGAGGCCCGCGACGTCGCGCAGCGTGGCGGCGGCCCGCTCCGCGGCGCGCGCGGGCGGCCACGGCGCCTCGGCGTGCGCCGCGCGCGCGGCGGCCGCCGCCGCGGCGAACGGCTCGGCCGTCGCGCCGCCGACGGTCCGCGCCGCGCGGTTGACCGCCGCCGCGCGCGCGCCGCGGCCGCCGGCGGCCGTCGCGGCGGCGTGGATGCCGAGCGCCCCGCCGACGACGGCGCCCGTCGCCGCCGGCGACCCGAGGACGAGGCCCGCGCCCACGATCTGCGCCGCCTTGGCGCCGAGCGCCGCGCCCGCGGGGCCGGCGACGGCGCCGCCGACGACGGCGCCCGCCGCCATGCCGCCGACGGCGGCCTTGGCGACGCGGAGCCGCAGCTCACTGCCCGCGTCCGACTCCTCGCGGAAGCGCCGCGCCGCCGCCCGGAGGCGCGCGAAGGCCGCCGTGTCCGGCGTCGCCGACGGCGGCAGGGGCGTCGGCGCCGGCGCCGGCGCGGGCTCCGGCGGCAGCGCGTCGTCGGGGTCCCAGCGCGGCCGGCGCGGCGCCTCCAAGCCCGAGAGCGACAGGCGCGCCGCGGCCTCGCGCAGCCGCGCGACCGGCGCCGGCGCCGGCGCCGGCGCGGCGGCGGGCGGTTTCGTGTCCGCGGCGCGCGTTGCCGACCGCCAGAGCCGGTCCAGGGGCTGCTTCACGGCGACGTTGAGCACGGCCGCCGGCGACGACGTCGCGTCGAGGCGGCCCGACGGCGGCTCGGCCGGCGGGATGTGCGAGCCGTCCGACGTGCACTTGAGCGACGCGTCGGTCTTGCACTTCTCCGAGAGCGCGTAGAGGCAGCGCCGGTGCGCCGCGACGCCGCAGAGCAGGCAGCGGTGGTCGCGCAGCGCGACGATGCGCTGGCCGCAGCCGTGGCAGACGGCGCCCGCGACCGTGTGCGACGGCGCGAAGCTGTGCCGGCTGATCGGGTGGCGGATCAGGGGGTCCATCAGGAGGGCCAGCGTCTCCTCGGGGGTGGGGGCCATCGGTGCTCCACGCCTGCCGCGGAGGGGCTGTGGCCTGCTCTCTGGTGGCTGCTCTTGTTGCTGGCGCAGCGATCGCAGTGATGAAAGCTTCGACGAAGCGACCCTTTGCCGATCACTTGCGCCGCGAGACCGCTTTGCCGCGCTATGCGCGAAAAAAAAGTCCGGAGATGCCAAGCTGTGTTTCGGGTTTTTCGGGTTTTGTCGAACTCCTTCAGAATGGTCTGAGATGCCGTCGTATCATTCGAATTGCCGCCTGACGCGTCCCATCCAGACACCGGGCCTGGATTTACGCGACAGCCACCGGACGACGTGGGTGATAGCAGACATTGGTGATCAAAGGCCTCCCAGGTGGACTGCAGTACCGAGGCAGCCCCTCCGAAATCAGGCGCAGACGCTGTCGCGGAGGCAGCATTCAGCGAACCAGGACCCACATCCACCCCTGCCTGCTAGGCAGCCTGCCATCATGCAGGCGGCCGCGAAGAACCTGAGCAGCAAACCGGCGACGACAGGCTCGCGCGCGCAGCACCACATGAGCATCTTCGACCTGAACGGTGATGGGAAAGTCGACGCCGAGGACTTTCGGATAGCGGCCGAGCGCGCGCACCTGGCCGGCAAGGAGATGTCGACGTTCTGGTATAGGGCGCCCATCGCGAACCTGGTCTACGGCCTCCTGGACGGCGACCGGCCGCCGTCCCAAGAGAATCTGAAGGCCGTGCTGAACGGCTACGCCCTCGTGGACGCGTTGCTCCTGACGATCGTCATGTCCATGCCCATGTCCATGACCTTCGAGGAGATCGAGCTCGCGCGGCTGCGGTTCGACGGCGTCGTGCGCTTCGAGTTCACGGACGAAATCGATTATGACCGGCGCTACAACGACTGGGAGGGAGTCACGGGGAAGAGCATGGTCGTGGGCTACGCGCGCTGGACGGTGGCGGCGGCCATGTTGCTGGCGCTCTCGCTCTTCGCGGTCTTCATGGTGCTCGGGCTCTGCGACCTCGTCTTGAGCGAGGTGCACCACCTGCACCGCGTGAACCGCGCGTGGTGGCGCTGGATGCGCTACGTGCTCGTCACCATCATCATCTTCACGATGCTCGGCAGTGTCGCATCGATTTACGCGTTCTCCTACACGATATACTTCAAGTGGCCCGATTATTATGTAGAGGCCCACGGCCGGCCGAACACGTGGAGCCCCTACGGCTTCGGGAACTGCTTCGTCTACGTGGCCATCCTGCCGCTCTTCATTGTTGTATGTTTATTATCCGCGGCCACACGATCCGCCTTCGACGCGATGCAGGGCGACGTCGACGGGGACGGGAAGGTCGACGAGCGGGACAAGGCGCTGGCGGCGTCCGGGTACGACGACGCGACCGCAAAGGTCGCGCCGGAGAAGTAACTATGGTGTATATTATGAGCCCGTGGCCAGCTTGACGGACGCCATCGCCTTATCCCGTCGACCGTGACTCGGACACGTACTCGGACGGGACTCCCGAGGATCATGATCATATGTTGCTACGCGGCGGGCCCTCAAAAGCCGGCGACAGCGAGGGGGAGCAGGACTCGGCTATGTTGCTTTGCTTAGAGCTAGGCCGCCTAGCCACCAAGCCGAAGCGGTCCGCCCCTGGACCTCATACGCCGTCGCTCCGCGCGTGAGCTCGGAGGCGACAGATGCTAAACTAGAACACGCGTGGACTTGGGTCTTCTTATACGTCTTGCTTGCGCACGCAAAAACTAGTCGTAGCCCTTGATGTACGTGTACGGCGGGTCCTCAACGCCGAGGTAGCCCGCCCACTCGGGGAACTCGTGGCGCAGGAACTCCGTGAACTCCTCGATCTCGCCGTAGACGCGGCTCCGCTCCATGACTTCGCCCCGCGGCGAGATTTCTTTCTCCCACTCGCCCAGCGTGAAGCTGACGCACCGCGACAGCACGCCGATGTTCCGCGAATACATCCACGCGTCCGCCGCCTCGATCGCGTCGTACAGTTCCGGCGGCGTGAAGCCGCCCTCCCTATATAAGACGGGGATGTGCGGCCGCGGCCGCGGCGTCGGCATCTGGCAGCCTCTGAGATCAATCGAGATGAAGTCGCCCGTGACAAAAAGCTGGATGCGGTCCATCTTGAACTTGTCGCCCGCGCCGCCGCCGGCGCCGAAGCGCTGCGTCTTGTTCATGGTTTGTTATCTAGGCTCGTCTCCGGCTGCCCCGCCGCTGCCCTCGGCGCTGTTACGCAGAGCCTGTGGCGTTGCAAGCAGGTAGGGGGTCGTGTGGCGTCCCGGCGGCTTGCGACCACCCGGCGACGGCGTGCGAGCGGTGCGGAGCACTGGTGGCGGTATTGGTGTCGTTTACGGTCCTGCCTGGCCTTTTCTCGTCCTCCCCCCTGCGTCTCGCGGCGACTCCGTGCCTGCCCACTCTTCTTCGAGTGTGATTATACGTCTCTGAGGCGGCGGAGCGAGGCGTCGGCTGCGGGCGCCAATGCACGCGTTTTTAGCTGTGGCGGCTGTCTAATCTTCCTCCGTCGTGTGCTCGCCGGCTGCTCAGCTTTGATTGAGAAGAAAGCCGCGAGGAATCAGCTCAGTCCTCCTTCTGCTGGATATCATACGTTGCTGCAAAAATTAGCTGCAAACAAGCGAGAAATACATGAAACTGGGCTGAGGCTCCCTGTTATTCAAATCATGAGGGGTCTCGCGCTGGCGCTCGTCGTCCACGGAGCTCACCCGCTGCGCCTGCCGAGCCGGCGGGCCTTCGCGCGCGCTGCCGCCGCGACCGTCGCCGCGCCGGTCGCCGCGCGCGCCCAAGCGCCGCCGCTGGAGCAGCCAGCAAAACCGCCGATCGACCCGTCGATGCTCGACGTCGCCGTGCAGCTCGGCGACCTCCGCCTCTCGCGGCCGTACGAGGTGCGGTCGCAGATGCTGGTCCCGACCTGTGTGGAAATGGCGCGTTCGTGCCGAATCGTCGCGTCGTCCTCCACGCCATCGACGCGACGCCTGCTCGATGGCGTAGTGATGCCGGATCCTCACCGCTCGAAGAACCCGACGAACTGGTTGATTTCCACACAGGTCCCGACGCCGCCGCAGACGGTGGTTGGAAGGCTGGTGGACGCAGGAACGGTGTGGCTTGGCGAAGATCGCGACCTCACGTCGGACGCGCAGATCTCGGCGGGCATCGTGGCCGCGCTGGCGCTGGCCAAAAACGCGCAGGCGCCGTCCGAGCGGAACAAGGGCGCGCCGCTGGCCGTCGGTCTGGAGGCGGTGCGCGCCGAGTACCAGCCGACCCTCGACGACTTCGTCATGGGCAAGCTGAATCCGAAGCAGGAGGCGACGCAGGCGCTGAAGGGGCCGCTCGACTGGGACCGGCACTGGCCCTACCCCATCGAGCGCTACGCGCCCGTCTTCGAGGTCTGCCGGGCGCTCGGTCTGCCGTTGGTGGCGCTCGGGACGAATGCGAAGGACCTGAAGACGGTCGAGGCGTCGGGCCTCGCGGGCTTGGACGACAAGGCCTGGGCGCGCCTGTCGCTGCCGGAAGGTCCCGACGCGCTCGCGGACCGCGTGAAAATCGGGACGACCTACGCGTCCTACGCGCGCGAGGTGCTCCAGCCCGACTACGAGCGCTTCGTCTCCACGACCGCGGCGCCCTTCTTCGAGGCCGGCGACGCCGGCCCCAACGCGCGGCAGAATTTTTTTTGTGCGCGCCTCGTCACCGACGCGTCGATGGCGGCGCGCGCGGCGGCCTGGGTCGACGAGTCGCCGCGGCGCGACGCGACGATCGTCGCGCTCGTCGGCGCGGAGCGCGTCGCGTACGAGGGCGGGGCGGCGTCGCTCTGCGCCGCGCGCACGGGCCGCAGCGCGACGCGGCTCCTCATGAACCCGCCGTCGGCGACGCTCGAGCGCGCGGTCGGCGCCGAGGGGCCGCCGTCGTACGTGCCCGTCGCGACGACGAGCTCGCTGCGGGGCATGCTGCCCGCGGCGCCGCCGCGGCCGCTGGCGGACTACGTCTGGTTCAGCGCGTACCGCGGCGAGAACTTCATCTGACGACGAATATACCGGATATACGCACCCCCCTCCGCCCCGAAGTCGACCGCTGATGTAATCCCTTGCTTTGTTCCTTACTAGTTTTTAAGGGTACGGGCAGCCCCCAAAATTGGCCCGGACGTACCTCAGCCACACATCTTCGGGCTCCCACCCTTAGTTTCCCCGCAGCATACCGTACGCGCGCGCAGGAGGGTGGTCTCAAAACATGTTGTCCGGAGAGGGAGTCTGGTGCACTCTAAAGACAGACGACTCAAGACGAAAGACCGGTTGAGTGGAGTCCCTAGTCCTTGTAATGCGTTATTAGCTAGTTATAACCCACTAGATTTTGATGTTTTGTTTTTTTTGGCAAAGTTGCCGTAGTGTGACGCGACGTCACTCGAGCGATCAGGCGTTGCCTCGTTTATTTATTTACGCGACGGACACGCGTCACCCTGGCATCGCCGACGCCGGCGACAGTAAAAGTGGCAAAATAATATTGTTTGCACCTAGCTCTGGGAGCGCGTGTGTTTGCTGGTGTCGGAGCCGCGGCTGCGGAGATCGGATAGAGCGTGGTACTCGTTGGAGTTCCCCGTCATCGCGCGCTTCACGCGGTTGCAGTTCGCGCTGGCTGTGGTGATTTTCTTCGTCACCGAGGTCCCGGTCATAGGCATGACCTTCCCGCTCTTCATCGCCGCGCTGGTGTTCGTGCGCACGAAGTACCTGCCGAAGAAGTACGACGCGCGCACGCTCGAGTTGATCGACCCCTTGATCGACCTGGCGCCGATCGACAAGACGCCGTCGACCGCGGACCTGCTCGAGGAAGGCTCGCCGCCGTCGAGCCCCGCGCCCCAGGTGGTGTCGAGTCCCGTCGTCCGGAACCGAGGCGGGTCCGCGTGAGAGACCGCGACGCGTGTGTATATTATGCTTCTCGATTTCTCCCTTGTCGTCTCCCGTTCCTAGGGATACCTAGTGTCTTACACCGCTAGCTGGCTTTGAGAGCGGCTCTCCCAACTTGACCAAAAAGAGAAGAACGCTGCGCTCAAATCACGACAAGTGACGACACAATTCATATAAAAAAGCTTGCAGGCCACCGGAGTTCGCGCCGCGAGGTGCCAGAGCCAGCAAGAACTGCAGCCTGCACTGCACCTCAGCCTCAGCGTCGCCGGTCACAGCGACAAGCGCAAAAAATGGACGCCGGCCCGCAGCAGCACCAAGCCATGGACGTCGACGCCGCCGACGCCCAGGCCCTGGCCAAGCAACTGAGGGCCCTCGACGCGAAGGAGCTGCTCGCCGTCGCGCTCGACGCCCTCAAGCGGGACGCGGCGCCGCTCGCCGCGGCGCTCGCCGCGCGCGAGTCGAAGCGGCCCAAGAAGCGGCGGCGCAAGGCCCAGAAGCCCATGGACCTGACGAAGTATGAGGCGCGCGACGTGGCGCTCTGGATCGCCTACGACGGCGGCGCCTACCGGGGCTTCGCGGCCCAGGAGAAGGCCGAGGTCGACGTCGATACCGTGGAGCGGCAGCTCTTCCAGGCGCTGGAGAAGACGTGCCTCGTGAGCGGCCGCGACGCGTGCGCCTACTCGCGCTGCGGGCGCACGGACAAGGGCGTCTCCGCCGCGGGGCAGGTCGTCGGGCTGCGCCTGCGGTCCGTCGCGCGCCGCGGGACGGCCTTCGAGCCCGCGACGCACCCGGGCGACGCGCTGGCGAACACGGAGCGGCGCGACGCGGAGACGGACGAAGTCGTCCCGAACACGCAGAAGCGCGAGCTCGACTACGTGGGCATGCTCAACCGCGTGCTGCCCGACGACGTGCGCGCGCTCGCCTGGGCGCCGGTCGCCGAGGGCTTCTCGGCGCGCTTTTCCTGCGCGTCGCGCACGTACCGGTATTGGCTCGCGCGGGAGAACGCCCACGGCCGGCCGCGCGACGTCGAGGCGATGCGGCGCGCGGCGTCCAAGTTCGTGGGGGACCACGACTTCCGCAACTTCTGCAAGATGGACGCGCGGCCGCGGCGTCTTGACCCGCTCCATGCGCCGTCGCCGCGACTCGGTCGTCTCGAACGCAGGTCGTGCACGTGAGCAACTTCCGGCGCGAGATCTACGCCGCCCGCGTCGAGGCGGCCGGGCCCGGGCTCCTGCGCTTCGAGGTCCACGGCCAGGCCTTCCTCTGGCACATGGTGCGCTGCCTCGTCGCCATCATCGAGCTGGTGGGCGACGGCCTCGAGGCGCCGGACGTCGTCGACGCGCTGCTCGACGTCGCGCGGTCGCCGCGGCGGCCCCAGTACGCTTTAGCCGACGAGGCGCCTCTGGTGTTACACGACTGCGCCTTCGACACGGTGCGGCCGGTGCCGACGCCCGAGGCCCTGCTGCAGCTCCACGAGCACCTGACGCGCGAGCGGCACGCCGCGCGCGTGGCGCTTGCGCGCACGGAGAACCTGCTCGAGAAGCTCGACGGGTTCGGCGTGCGGGCCGCGGGCGCCGAGGTGCCGTGGGCCCGGGCGCGGCCGCCGCTGCTCGCCGCCGCGGACGAGCGGGCGCGCGCGGCGCACCGGCCGCTGCTCGCGCGCGAGGGCGGCAAGACCTACGAGGAGAAGGTCGCGGCCGCGCGCGAGAACCCGACGAAGCGCTCGAAGTTCGAGGCCTGCGCGTCGAAGCGGTCGGAGAACCGCGGGGGGTTCCACGCGGAGAAGCGGCGGTGTGGCTGACGACTGTTTTTTCTTGGCGTAAGTGTTTGTGTGCAATCGACAATCTACATGTTACAGCGGGAACGGGTGATGGGTGGGCGCGCCTAGTACGTGTCCGGGTAGAAGAGGTAGCCCGCCGTGTTGAGCTCTTGCGCAACCATGCCAGCGATGCCGAGCATTGCGAGGCGGCCCACAATAAGCTCCTCGCCGCGGAGGTCGCCCTTGGCCGCGAAGCCGAGGGGGTCGAAGCCGATGTCGCCCGCGACGCCGCGGTTCTCGTTGAACGCGTAGTAGCGGCCCTCCTCAGCGGTGCCCTTCATGTCCGAGATGTACGACGCCGACTCGATGAGGCCGATCGCGCCGACGACAATGGGCCAGAACGTCTGGAGGGGCGTGGCCTGGAAGGCAATCAACGAGGGCTCGTTGATTGACCCGCCCCAGAGCGGATGGAAGACCTCGGCGACCGGGTAACCGAGCGCCGCGAGCATGGCGACGCGGGCGTGCTTGATTTCCGCCTCCTGCACCCAGTTCACCAGATCGGGGAACTTCTGCTGAGAGAACGGCTTGCCGAAGGAGTAGGCGAGGCCCTTCTCGGCGGCCCAGCCGTAGGCGCCCGGCATATCCTTGAAGGGCGAGACGTACGTCTGGGCGGACGTCTTCGTGTTGCCGAAGCTGAAGCCGGCGGCCGGCGCGGCGAGGGCGAGGATGAGAGCCTGCGAGGAAACGGACGGGTAAGAGCTGTGTTCGCGCGCGGCGATGTTCGCGCGCGTCGATGTTCGCGCGCGGCGATGCCATGTTGCAGCCACCCGCGTGCGTGTCGGTCACCGCGCCAGTGGCCCACGCGGCGTTTTTGTGGCCGAGACGAGCTGCAGACGTTGCGCAAAGGTGCTGCACACATGCGCGACCCATGTCGCAGCGTGTAACCGCCACGAACACGATTCATGCGCAAGGTTGTGGCATGAGCAGTGTGCGCGGCGCGGTTTTTGCAGCGCTCGTTGCGCGAGTGGCCTCGGGATGCAAGCAGGAGCGCCGGGAGTGGTGAATATGGACGCGGCGGGCCGCACGGAGGTCTGCATGATGGCTGTGAGGTGTTTTCCGTATGGGTTGGGCAGTGACTTCCGAGGCTGAGCTGGGACTTGAGGCTGATTCGGGTTTTGTGCGTGGCAGAAAAAAACGTTCCTGGGGCGTTGTATAGACGTCTATGACGCCTCAACAGCTCCTGAAGCCAATGCCGTTGCGTGAAGCGGATTTGTCCCTTCGTTGGCATTATGCGGTATGGACCAGGACCACTTGAAACTAAGATTACGCAAGCGCCACACCACGTCGTCGCCACCACCGAAGCCGAAACCTCGGAACGGCCGCCCGCACCCCGACGATCGCCGCGGCCGCCGCCAGGACGACCGCGTCCGCGAGCGCGCGCGGCGACCGCACGAGGACGCGAAGGTGCCTGAACACGAGCAGCCGCGCGACGCGCCGCCGGCGCCAGGCGGGCGGCGGCGGCTCCGTCGCGACCGGCGCGGCCTCGAAGAAGGCCGCGTCGCCGCCCAAGAGGTCGCCGCCGGCGGGGAGCACCGGCGGCGGCTTCGGGGCGCGGCGGAAGGCGCCGCGGAGCGTCTCGCGTAATTCGGGCGTCAGCGGCTTGGTGGCCGCGGCGACGGCGGCGCGGCGCGCGGCCCGCAGCGCCGGCCGCGCGTCGACGTCGTAGGCGACGCGCCGCAGCGCCCGGCCGTCGGCGTCCTCGAGCAGGAGCGCCTTGACGACGGCCCCGACGTCCGGCGCGTCGCCGGCGTCGCCCGCCGACGACGCGAGCTTCTTCAGCCGGTCGACGTCGAGGCCGTTGTCGCTGGTTAGCAGCGCGGCCCGCAGGCGCGCCTCGCCCTGCGGCGTCCGCGGCGACAGCGCGCGCCGCGCGGCGTGCGGCGCCGCCGCCGCTAATGCCGAGAGGGGCGGGTCCATGCCGGCCGCGAAGCCGTCCAGCGTGATCACCGCGCGGACGACGAAGAGCAGCCAGGGCGGCAGGATGAATTGATACGTGAGGGCGAGCTCCGTGAGGCGCGTCGTGATCTCCGTGAAGGAGCCCGCCGTGCCCTGGGACGCCTTCTCGAGCGCGTCGACGAAGGACGCGGCGAAGTCCTCCTCCGAGCACGCCTGCCAGACGCCCGGCAAGAGACCAGAGGTCGGCGCGCCCGTCTTCGCGTCGACCCAGATGTTGGGTGACGGCGGCACGAGGCCGATCTCGCGGAAGGCCTCCAAGAGGTTCGGCCAGTCCTCGCTTACGATAGACGAGACGGCGTTCGCCATGGCCTCGCCCTGCGCCGGCGTCAGCCGCGTCACCAATCCAAAATCTAATAAAACTAAGCGGTCGTCGGGGTCGTAGAGCATGTTCCCGTAGTGCGGGTCGGCATGAACAAAATTCGTCCCGAAGAGCTGCAGGAAGCACACGTCCAGGCCCTTCTCGACCATGGCGCGCTGCCGTTCCGGGGTCAACGCCCCGAGCGGCTGGCCGTCGACCCACTCCGCGAGGTGGACGCGCGGCGTCACGGACCACTTCGCGGGCGCCACGTCGCGCGAGAAGCCCGCGCGCGGCACGCGGAGGTACGACGCCTTCGGGAAGTGCACGTCCCAGAACCGCGCCGCGTTCTCCGCCTCCTTGCGAAAGTCGAGCTCGCGGAACAACCCCGCCGTCACCTCGTCGACGATGGCCGGGTAGTCCGTCGTGCCGCCCCAGAAGTCCTGGAGCCACGCCAGCAGCAAGCGGACGGCGTAGCAGTCGAGCGCGACCTGGTCGACGACGCCCGGCCGGCGCACCTTGACCGCGACGGTGGCGTTGTTCGCGGTCGTGGCCTTGTAGACCTGGGCGAGGGATGCGGCCGCGATGGGCGCGTCCGAGATCTCTTTCAGTTTCACGGGCGCGCCGGCCTGCGTCGCGGCGGGCGGTTACCAAGCGCGACTCCGTCTCTGAAGGACACGGGACACACGTACCAGGTCCTCCTCCACGGCTTTTTTGGCGATGGCATCCGCAAAGGGCCGGTTCGAGTCCTGGAGCGACTCGAGCGACGCCGCCGCCTCCTCCCCAATAATATCCGGCCGCGTCGCCAGCGTCTGCGCGAGCTTCACGAAGACGACGCCGAGCTTCGACACCTCGTCTCTCAAAGTCGCGCCCCGCGGCGACGCGCCGGGCCGCTGGCCGACGGCCCTCGCTTCCCGCGCCGCCTTCTGGTCGAAGTCGTCGGGGCTGCCGCGGCGCCAGGCGGCGTAGCTCCGCGCCACCGCCGCGGCGATGGCCGAGAGGCGCCTGGCTACCGCAAAAGGTCGCCGCTCGTAGTAGGCGGTAATGCCGGCGATCTTCTCGTCGAACGTCTTGCTGTCCGAGAGAATGAGCGGTTCGAGTTCGGGCGACTCGTACTGCTGCTCTGCAACTGCGGCGGCATGCAGTCGCGAGCTGTGACGTCGCGGCGGCGTTAGCGTATACCCACGGACAGCTGCAATGAGCAGCATACATCGCATGGTGCGTGAGCAACGCGCCTAGAGCAGTGCACCGTTGATGCCAGGCTAGGTATGTAACTAAATATTAAATTATCACACGTAGGCCGCAGCAGCACCGCATGCAGCGGTCAGAGCCAGCTGCAGCATGTCTGCTAGTGTCTTACAGCCGCTAGCCGCAGGAGTCCTGCCCGTAACAAAAAAGTCGGAGTCTCGGATATTATCTTACTTAGTTCACAGATAGAGGGATAGATCACTCCGCTTCCGGCTCTGACCGGGCCGCCGGCGTCGACGGCAGCTCGACGACGACGGCCGTGATGTTGTCCGTGGAGCCCTTCTCGAAGGCCGCGCGCGCGAGGCGCTCGGCCGCGTCGTCGGGCCGCGCGCCGACGACGACGTCCGCGGCGCCGGCGGCGTCGAGCACGTCCCAGACGCCGTCGCACGCGAGGATGACGTGCGTCGCGCCGGCCACGGGGACCGTGGCCGTCTCGGCGTCGGCCACGACGGGGCAGCTCGACTTCATCTTGAGCGGCCGGCCGCCCAGCGCGCGAGTCAGCGTGATGCCGCCCGGGTAGACCCGCATGGGGTTCTTCGGGTGCGTGCGGTAGGCGATGTTCGGCGAGAGCACCTTCGCGGCCAGCTTCGTCGCCTTCGAGGCCTTGGCCTCCTTCTCGTTGCGGCCCACCAACCCTCCGGCCGCGCGGACCCGCTGGGCCTCGGCCGGGTTCGACGCGTTGTGGTCGCGCGTCAGCACGCGCGCGCCCGCGCCGGACACGACGACGCAGCGCGAGTCGCCGACCCAGCCCACGGACAGCGTGTCGCCGTTGACGACCGCGACGACGGCCGTCGTCGCGTCGACCCAGCCCGCGCGCCGGGCCTCGGCGTCCACGGCCGTCTCGCAGCTCGCGAGGAAGGCCGCGATGGCGGGCGACGCGTCGCCCGCTCTAGAATCGAGGAGGGCCTGGCGGAGCTTCTCGCTCGCGAGCCGCGCGCCGCAGAGCTTCGCCGCGCGCGCGCCGCCGCAGCCGTCGAAGACGCCCGCCACCGTGACCGGGCCCTTCGACGCCACGACGTGCGCGTCCTCCATGGCCGCGCGCTTGCCCTGCATCCCGAAGGCCGACGTCTTGTGCGCCGGCGGCTCCTCGCTGGAGCCGCCGCCGCGCAGCTTCTGCTGGGGGGGCGCCTCTCTACTTGACTCCTCGCGCTCCTTCTTGGCGCGCTTGAAGAGCAGGCCCGCCGCGACGACGACGACGAGGCCCGCGAGCGTCCCGGCCGCGAAGGCGAGGAGCCACGGAAACCAGCCCGCCGGCGGCGGCGCCTCGACGGGCGCCGCCGGCGCGGACCGGCCGCGCCGCGCGAGCGCGCCGCCCACGCGTTTGAGATTTTTGATCATGGCTGCCAATTGGCCTGGATTTGCCTGGAGCCTTCAAGTTGCGCGCGCTCGCTCGCCGTGTGCAGCGCGCTGGGATCTAGGTCTCAGCGCTCGTTTACACGCACCGGTGCTGCCTAGCGCTCCAATGCGCGAGAAAGCCGGCGGCCCGAGCTTGCTAGCGGCATGTAAAGACACTAGCAAGCAAACTCGGACGCAGCATGCAGCCGCTTGAGTAGCCTTCTGTTCGCTAATGGTCCAAAGAGATCAATGGGACACTTACTGGGGGCCGAAAAAATTAAATTTTTTAATTCGCGATATTGACGATCCCGCCATGACGGCCGCGCCGGTGGAATCCTGTCAATCCCTGTCAAAGAGATCTCCCTGGGGTCGCCTGGGGTCGGTACTATACACGTGCAAGCGTCTACACCGCATACGCCGGCGCTTCAAGCATTTTTGGCCGATTTCTCTCAGCAGACCACTCCAATTTAGCAATAAAAGGCCAAGGTTTGCTTCCAGGGCTCTCGGAGAGCACTGGGCTGCCGCATCGACGGCGTATGCGGTGCAGGCGCTTACCCCTTATCAGACCTACCTCGGGAGGCCTCCAGGAGCCGATCTGCATCCGAAAAAAGTGTGCAATTTGGGCCCGATGGCGCCCCGTTCCCGTCAAAAACGGCAATTACCCGAGGGTCCCCAGTGGTCGCCGTAGCGGTCTCGTTGGACCCCATACTACCCCACCGATAGTCAATTACAAGTATATGGCATCTACATCACGAGAAGGGTACTTTTGGCTGCCCATGCTCGGGACGTGAACATCTTGATCTGGACCTCGCTTAAGTCGGTCGATCATGGGACAAATGATCGCGTCATGATGCATGGTGATGGTACACGGGCTGATGGTCGCAGGGCCAAGTAATTTGCCATTCTTTGCTAGATAGTGGGCTCGCGAGACCGACGACCCGCGCCGAGCATCTTTGGGTCTCGGGGCAATGTAGTACACGTCCGGGCCTGTTATCTGGCCCGTCCCACAACTAAATCGCCTGAAACGCAAATTTATTTTATAAACCACCGGTCTGGGGCCTTTCCGGTGCTCCGTCTCCGCACCGTCGTCCGCGGAGAACGGGCAAGTCGGTCGATTGTGAATAGAACAACGGCGTTATGGTCCATCTGGGTGGTGGCGTCGCTGATACTCGCAGGTTTGGGATTCTTGCTCGTTTAACATAAAACGCGCGGTACCGAAGTCGTCGAATCCCGCGGCTCTAACGGGTGATCTAAAATAGCTCAGTAGTCGCTGATTCGGCCTAGATGGACTGTACCACTAACAAACGGAAGGAAACGAACATAAACGCGAGAGTTGTCTAGTATAATTCTTTTCCCGCCCTCCGGGCGCGGGCCGTCGGCTCCGGTTCCGTCGAATATGTATGAAAACTGGGCTGGAGTTGATATGATGTACCATTTGGACGGTAGAAGGCACCGTCAAACGCTGGTGTATTTTGGCGAGCCGCAAGACGCAGTGACCTAGCGTATCGACATACTAGGAATCTGTGGGGAGCGGGAGGGGTACGGGGAACCCTGCGACGTAACTAGCCTCAGCCTCAGCCTCTGTATATATATACATACATATAGTATACACGTATACAGGCCTAGGCGGATGGCTTTTGAAAACAGACCTCTCCGACTGACCCCCGAATAGTGAAGTTCAAACGGCAATCTCCGCTCTGTAGGCGAAGAAGGATATATAAAATCAACGACATTACACGCATAGATCACCGCGGAGGTTTTGGCACGCGCAGTTCTCCGTCCCGATCCACGAACTCGATAACGGACATCGGCGCCGCGTCGCCGCGCCGCCGCTGCATCAAGTGCAGCACGCGCGTGTAGCCGCCGTTGCGCGTCGCGTAGCGAGGCCCGATGACCTCGAACAGCTTCCGCAGCGCTCCCTGCTCGCGCACAATGCGCGCCGCCAGATTCATGCCGTGGCGCTGGTCGCTCTTCTTGGCGTAGGTGACGAGCCGCTCGGCGTACGGCCGCAGCGTCTTCGCCTTGGGCGTGGTGGTGCGGATGCGCTCGTGTTTGATCAGCGACGTGACCATGTTCCTGAGCATCGCGATGCGGTGCGCTGACGTTCTGTTAAGCTTCTTCCTTCGATGACTCTTCAGAGAGCGCGCGGGCGTGACGACCGGGGCGCGCTGCGCAGAGACGCGCTGCACCGCGCGAGCGAAGGCGAGGCGCAGCATTATCAGTGGTACGGCGGGCCAGCGATGGGCAGGGTCAGCGCAGGTGGCGGCCGCGTTTGCACAGCGGCGAGGCAGAGAGGCCTGTCAGATGATTGGGTGCGGCCGCGTGAACGCGACAATTTTCACAGCGGTGGGTCTGAGGCTCGCGCGCTGCTATGTATCGACCAGCGTTTGGCGTAACAGCGTCAAAATGGCCGCCGGCGGCCGGTGGCTTGCTCGCTAGTGTCTTACCGCCGCTAGCGCGACTTGGGCGCCGGTGCCCAAAAACCAGCCGGCACGGGGAAGCCAGAGCCGCATTGGCCGCCCAAGGACCCACATCGATCGCAGCGTAGGCCTATACGCCTTCGCAGCGGCTGCAAGCTGGTACAAGGCACCCCAGTGGCTGAGCTCGTTCTCGCAAGGCGTCCTTGCGAGCTTCGGCTGGTTTTGCGAGCCCCATCGACGGACGCCAAACAATCGTAGGGGCGCAAAAGATAGGCTCGCAGAACGATGCCGCGCAAAAAGGCGAAGCCCACGCGCATCGTAAAGCTCGACTACGGCTCAGCCCACACGGAGAAGGCGCGCTACGCTAGTAGGGAGGATCGCCACTTCGCGTCTGAGATCGGAAGCGCCGACGACTTCCACGACGGTGCGTTTTACCTCGTGGGCGTCATCGATGGCCATCGGGGCGCGGCGTGCGCCGAGGAAGTAGCGCGTTTCCTGCCGTCGGTGATCGGCGGCGGGTCGTCGTTCCAGGACGCATTCGCCCGCATGGACCGCGTAGTAAGGGATGAGCGCTCCGGCGCGTGCTGCTGCGTGGCCACCGTCAAGGGCGTGCTGCTGGAAGACGCGCAGCCGACGCTGGACGTCGCGTGGCTGGGCGACTGCCGGGCGTTCGTGGCGCGCCGAAGCGGCGGCGTCGAGCGCCTGACGACGGACCACGCTCCAGACAAGGAGCGCGAGCGCATCGAAGCGGCCGGCGGCATGTTAGTTGATGACGACGGCTGTGTCCGAGTCGGCGTGAGACCCGACGACGACGACGACGCAACGACCGTCGACCTGCTCGCCGCCTGCCGGGCCTTCGGCGACGCCGACTTCAAGCGGCCCAAGCCCGTGGTCGTCGCGACGCCGGACGTGAGGACGATGCAGTTAGACTCGGACTGCGAGTTCATCGTGCTGTGCACGGACGGCTGCTACGAGGGCTTGCCGACCGACGAGCGTGTTCTAGAAGCGGTAAAGGCGGGCATCGCCGACGACGAGTCCGGGCAAGCGGCGGCGGCGGGCGCGCGAGCGGTCGTCGACGCGGCCGTCGCGGGCGGCGCTACGGATGACGTGACGTGTGTGGTGTTGCGGACCGTGCTCGAGTAAATGTGTCCTGTGCTTGTGTGGTGTGTCGCTCGCGTACCCTTCCGAGGCCAAGTGGCTCTAAGGTATTTAGTTTTTTTGCGAGACCATACCTGACGGGTTTCTCAGCGCGTTTTTGCAGCTCCGCTCGAGCCTCTGCGCTTGGTGCCTCCTCGCGTCCTCTATATAACACAACCGCTCCAACCGAGTCAACAAATCACGGGACGAAAACCATAACTCAGGGGCTAAAAACCGATCTGGATACTGGAGCCACGGCTGTGGTCGTGGAAGACCCGGCCGCGACGCTAAAAATGAGGCCCCTGCGAGCGCTCTACATCGCGCTCGCGATCTGCTACACAGCGCAAGCTCGGCTCTCGCGGTCGCGGTCGTCGCGCGTGCACCACTCGACGATGCATCACGCGACGATGCATCACGCGACGATGCATCACCCGATTACGGCGGGGCACACGCCGCATACCTCGAAAGCCCTTGAAGCGCTACACAAGCAACGCGAAAAGAAACAAGCGGAAGCCGAGGCCGCCCGGCGCAACGCGACCGCGAAACAGCCTCCGCCTCAAGCCCCAAAGCCGGCGCCGCGCAAGCCGCCGCCGCCGCGCCAGGCGCCGCCGCCGCGGCTCTCGCCGACTGTGGTCGCGCGCGCCGAAGCGACGTCGTGCTGGCTCCACGTGAGCGGCCTCCACCACTCGGGCACCGGCGTGTTGCGGATGCTCATCGCGAGGAACCCGCTCGCGTCGATCCAGAGCTGGTCAAATTCGCGTTTTGTGGAGCACGAAAGCCAGTGGGCCCAGCACTCGTATCCCGCCTTCGCGGCCCGGACAAATGCGACGTGCCCACCGGGCAGCGCGGCGGCGGCGTACACGTGCCCGCAACTCCAGGCGCTCGCGACGCCGTCGACGCGGCACGCGATCGCCAAGGAGTGGCTCGCCGCGCACCGCGAGCCGACGAAGCCCATTCTCGTCCAGAAGAACCCGACGCTCGACATAGGCTTCCTGGAACATCTGTTCCCGAGGACCGCGCACGCGTTGGTCATGCGGCACCCATTTCACTGGCGCATTGGTCTCCGGACGCACTGCAACCACTCGGCGGCGTGCCGGTTCGACGTCTGGCGAGCCGTCTGGAAGGAGACATTCGAAGTCCTCCCGACCATTCGAAGGTATTTCGTCGTTCAGTACGAGGCCTTGCCGGGGTTCGAAGCGCAGGTCACCGCGTTCGCGGGACGGCTCTGCGGCGGCGCGCCTCGGCGGCGTCTCTATCTGACCGGCACCGACGTGCACTACGACGGCGCGGAAGCGTCCAAATACGATGCGGTGTGGGCCTCGGCGGACCGCGCGAGCCTGACGCCATGGGAATCATTTATGCGTGGCACGTTCGGCTACTCGCTCCTCCACCGCGAGAACGCGTCGGCGGACGTGCGGACCGGGCGGTTCCTGGCGACTTCTCTGGAGCCGGTTGTTGGGGGCCTGGAGTGGGTGCCGCGCCCGTACGTCCGGCGCGCGTGACTCCGAAGAGCCACGGCGCCACCACGAAACAAGCAAGACCAAAGAAGAATAAGAGTACAAAAACCATCTATAGGACGTGTCCTGCTGTACCCCACCGAGCCGCTGGGCGAAGATGACTGGCAGACTCCATCTACACAGACGACGGCGCGAGGCACGGCTGCGCAAAGTGATTGTGGCTTAAAGTCGCGTGAATTGCTGCATTCGCACGAGTCGAATCACAAGCGACTTTCGACAGCTGAGGTTTCAGCGGCTGCAAACCGAGCAACAGCCTGACACCTGCTGCAACGCAGAGCTATGACGCGCTCGTTGATGCTCAGCGTCGTGTTAGCAGCCGCAGTAGCACTGCAGCCTGCGCGACTACGCAACGCGGCAACAACGACTCGCCTCCACGCCGCGAACATCCAGTACGGCGACACGGGCGGCGCCGCGTTGGTGCTCGACGACCTCTCGGTTCGAAGGGGCCCGGTCGAACTCGTCTCCGGCGCGACGTGGACGATCATGCCCGGCGAGCGCTGGGGCATCGTCGGCCCGAACGGCGCCGGGAAGAGCACGCTGCTCGGCGCGATCCTCGGGATCCACGACATGACGACGGGCCACGTCGCGGTGAAGACCGATGCGGACGTCGGGTACTTAGAACAGACGGGCGTCGGCGGGAGCGACACGAGCGTGCGGACAGAAGTGATGTCGCGAATGGGGGCCCTGGCGGAAGCGCAGAAGGCCCTCACGGAGGCCACGGAGCGCGTCGAGGGCGGCGACTACTCCGAGGAGGCCCTCGAGGCGCTCGGCGAGGCGCAAACACAGTTCGAGGAGAAGGGCGGCTACACGGCCGAGGAGACCGTGTCCAAGGTGCTGGGCGGCCTCGGCTTCGACGTCAAGAAGGACCTGGACCGGCCGTGCTCCGACTTCAGCGGGGGGTGGCAGATGCGCATCGCGCTGGCGCGGCTCCTCCTCTCCGGCCCGGACGTTTTATTCTTGGACGAGCCGACGAACCACCTGGACAGCGCGGCGCGGGCGTGGCTCGCGACCTACCTCGCGAGCTACGAGGGCACGCTGGTGCTCGTGAGCCACGACACGGCCATGCTGAAACGCGCGTGCGACTCCATCGCCGAGATCACGGGCGACGCGCCCACCGCGGACAAGCCCGGCTCGGGCCGGCGCCTCGAGACCTACAAGTCCTGCAGCTTCGACCAGTGGCGCCAGCAGCGCGCCGAGCGCGCCCAGCGCTGGGTGTCTACTTACGAGAGGCAGAAGGAGGAGGAGCGGGACCTGGAGGACTTCATCCGGCGCTTCGGCGCGAAGGCGTCCAAGGCGACCCAGGCCAAGGACCGCGAGCAGAAGCTCAAGCGCCTGCGGGAGGAGATGGTCGACCGGCCGCCGCGCGACGTCATCGACCTCGCGGCGACGCTCGCCGACGAGGTCGAAGCCTTGAAGCGGGCGCAGCGCGACGGCGCCCCCGAGGAGAACCTGGGCGACACGGTCGCGTCGCCGCTCTTGAAGGTGCGCGGCGGGCCGGTGCTGCGGCTGCCGTCGCCGCCGCCGTGCGGCGCGCGGCCCGTCGCCCTGGCGGGCGCGGACGTGGGGTGGCCGAACGAGGGCGAGACGCTCGCGCGGCGCGCGCGGCGCAGCGACGACGAATTGGACCTGGAGGAGATCGAGGACGCGACGGTCATCGTAAAGAACGTCGACCTGACCATCGAGCGGGAGATGCGCCTCGTGGTCCGCGGCGCGAACGGCGCGGGCAAGTCGACGCTCATCAAGGCCCTCGCGGGGGCCATGCCGCTCGTCGGCGGCGAGCGCATCGAGGACGACCGACTCGCGTTGGGCTACTTCCGCCAGGACCTCTCGCAGGAGCTGCCCCAGGACAAGACGGCCCTCGAGGTCGCCGTGGAGACGGCGCGGCGCGACGGCGACGACATGACGAGCGAGCAGCGCGTCCGGGAGGTCCTCGGCGCGCTGGGCCTCAAGGGCGAGATGGCGCTGCGCCTCGTCGGCTCGCTCTCGGGCGGCGAGAAGGCGCGCGTCGCGCTGGCCTGCTTCGTCCTGACGCCGCAGAACGTCCTGATCCTCGACGAGCCGTCGAACCACCTGGACGTGGACACGGTCGCGGCGCTCGCGGGCGGCCTCAACGCGTTCGAGGGCGCGATCGTCGTCATCTCCCACGACCGCGCCTTCGTCGAGGAGCTGCGGCCGACGCACGTCCTGACGGTCGCGGACGGCGCCGCGACGCTCGAGAAGCGCGAGCTCGTCGACGCGGATTGGGACGTGTCCTCCATCGACGAGCGGGGCGCGATCATCGAGGAGGCGACGGCGGAGCCCGCGGTCGCGGCGCCGGTCGTCGTCGTCGAGGAGGACGCGGCGACGCGGAAGAAGCGGCACAACGCGCCGCGGCGCATGGCGAAGCTCGAGGACCTGATCGCGGAGGCCGACGCCGCGATCGCGGCCGTCGACGACGACATGGTCGCGGCGGGCGCCGACGTCGGGAAGGCCGTCGACCTGCAGAAGCGGCGCGACGCGCTCCAGGCGGACCTGGATGGGCTGTGGGCCGAGTACGACGAGCTGGACGCGCTGCTCGCCGTGGCGGCGTGAGTAAGTTGGATCTGTGAATATACTCATGTTACGGTGCTAGAACTAGTGGGCGGAGCCCCTGGGGGGAAACACCGCGCGCCGATCTGGAACAGAAAAAAATAATGCTAGTGAAGTGAGACACTAGCTCGAGGGTCGGTCGTGGGACCGAGCGTCCTGCGCCGCGCACTGCTCTATCTCACCACAGAACGGTCTGAACGACGCTCGTCGTCGTATACGGCAGAAGACAGCGTATACTTTCAAACGCGGCCGGCGGTGCCCTCAGCAAGAGCGTTCCTGCTTGAGAGCACAAAACCACTAAGCGCGCGCGGCAACCAAAAGATGGGCACCACCGTCAGCAAACTCGAGCCGGACGACCTGTTACGCTTCATAGAGATTCAAAAGGGCTACGTCGACTCCGGCCGGGAGAAGATAGACTTCTCGCAACCAACGGGGAACGAAAGTGATGACGAAGAAGAGGAGGAAAAAGAGGAGGGCGGCGGCCAGCGCCGGACCGTCGAGGAGGACGTCCGGTTCGAGTCGTACAAGCCCTCAAAACTCAAGGTCGAGGGCATGCGCCCGCACCCGAGCGACGCGGTCGAGAACGGCACGCTCGCGACGGTCGCGCCGCCGGACGTGACGTATAAACTGAACATCGCCGAGGACATGCCACACGTCGTGACCGAGGGCCGCCTCAGTGATTTACAATTAGAGTTCGTGACCTACGCCTGCCAGCGGCACGAGCAGCGCTTAGCTTCCGGCTCGCGCCGCGGCTTCTTCCTGGGCGACGGCGCGGGCATGGGCAAAGGGCGCCAGCTCGCGGGCCTGATCCTCGAGAACGTCCTCGCCGGCCGCCGGAAGCACATCTGGTGCACAACTAATATAGACCTGAAGGAGGACGCGACGAGAGACCTACGCGACGTCGGCTGCACCATCGCCAAGGATCTAGAAGCGGCGGCCGAGAGCGGGAGTAAGCGGCGCCGAGCCGCGGTCGACGACGACGCCGCGGTCATCGACGTCTTCGCCTTACCGACTTCTTCGACCGCGAAGATCGATCCGGAGCGAGAAGGTGTCTTAGTGCTGACGTACAGCGGTCTGAGCGCCTCCGGCGGCGCCGGCTCGCGCCTGCAGCAGGTTGTCGACTGGTGCGGCGAGGACTACGACGGCTGCCTCCTGTTCGACGAGTCGCATTGCGCGAAGAACCTCATCGCCGATCTGCCGGGCACCGAGACCGCCGCGGCCCGAGCCGTGGATACGATCCAGCGGCTCCTGCCGAACGCGCGCGTCGTGTACTGCTCAGCCACGGCGGCGTCTGAGCCGCGGCACTACGCCTACATGACGCGGCTCGGCCTCTGGGGCCCGGCGTCGCCGTTTCCCTCGGCCGACGCCGAGGAGGGCGAGTCCAACAAGATGGCTATCCAGAACTTCATCAAGACGTGTGAGTCGCGCGGGGTCGGGGCCATGGAGCTTTGCGCGCTGCACCTGAAGCGCGAAGGAGCCCTGCTGTGCCGCACGCTGTCCTACGCCGGGGCCGAGTTCAGCGTCGTCGAGGCCTCGTTGACGCCGGAGCAGATCGAGACCTACGACGCGTCGGCGCAGCTCTGGCAGATGCTCTACACGCGCATGGAACGGAAGCTCGCGAAGATGGAACTGTGGGTCAACGAGGCCCTGGACCCGCGCGACATGGAGAACCGCAAGGAGGAGTTCAAGGACGCGAGACAGAACTACCGCTCGCAGCTCTGGAGCGGCCACCTGCGGTTCTTCCGGTCGCTGATCACCGCGATGAAGGTGCCGAAGCTCGTGGAACTCGCGAAGACGGCCCTGGCGGAGGACAAGTGTGTCGTTATTGGACTTCAGAGCACGGGCGAGGCGCACGCGAAACGGATCCGGGAGAAGCTCGAGGCCGCGGCCGCCGCCGAGGACATTCAAGAGGACATGCTCTCGGCGCCCCAGGAGACGCTCCGCTACGTCGTGAGGAAGGTCTGGGGCAACGAGCTCGCCGAGGTCGAGCGGCTCAAGGCCGTGGCCGAGCGGGCCGCAGCGCGCGTCGAAGCGCTAGCGAAGGAGGAAGCCGACGCCGCGGCCGAGAGGGCGGCGCGCCAACATGTCGACGACGGCCTGAGCGACAGCGACGAGGACATGGAGGACACCGCGGCGCTGCTGAAGAAGCCACTCGGCAACAAGAACTCGTCGCCCTCGAAGCGGCGCTCGTCAGACGCCAAGCTCGACGTGTGGGGTTTCGACGACTCGCAGGAGGATTCGCAAGACGTCGCGGAGGCCGGCGAGGAGGAGGGCGAGGAGGGCGCGGCCGGCGCGGCCGGCGTCGGCTTCATGATGGACCTCGATGATGAGACTGAGTGGATAAAGGCGTTTTCGGACAAGATCGACGCACTCAAGCTGCCCGGCAACGCCTTAGACATGTTAATCGACGACCTCGGTGGCTTCAACAAGATCGCCGAGATGTCCGGGCGGTCAGAGCGGCTCGTGCGCAATTACAAGGGCGAGTTCTACACGCAGAAGCGATCCGAGGCGAACCAGGTCTCCATGCATGAGCAGAACCTTTTTGAAAGGGAAGAGTTCCAATCCGGCGAGAAGCTCGTCGCCATCATTAGCGACGCGGCGTCGTCCGGGATCTCGCTGCACGCGGAGCAGAACGCGCGCGTGAAGAACCGCCGCCGCCGCGTCCACATTACTCTAGAACTGCCCTGGTCGGCCGACAAAACGCTACAGCAGATGGGCCGGTCCCACCGCGCGAACCAGGCGTCGGCGCCCGAATACAAGCTATTAGTGTCGCCGCTGGGCGGCGAGCGCCGCTTCTGCGCGGCCGTCGTCAAGCGCTTGCAGTCATTGGGGGCTTTGACCCAAGGCGACCGCCGCGCGACGGGCGTCTCGAAGTCGTGGGCCTGCTTCGACGTGGATACGCGCCAAGGGACGGATGCGATCCTAGATTTGTACCACCATTCGAATTGGATGGTCCGCGAGCTGGTCGGGCTCGAGAAAGCGAATCCGAACCGACCCCTCGTGGCGCCACCGAAGCTCCCCGCGGCTGAGTGCGAGGCGCTCGCACGCGTCGCCCTAGAGAGAGGCGGCGCCGACTTTCTGCGAGCGCCGAAGGGCTGGGACGATGAACTATACGGCGGCGGCGTCGACGCCGTCGCGGCGAAGATTCACATGCTCCATGGCGCGCCGCTGTGGCTGTCGCTCGTGGGCATCGCCGTTGCGAGCTACGAGGGCGCGGGGTCGGCGCGCAAGGCTGTCGTGCCCAAGTTCCTCAACCGCATCCTCGGCCTGGAGGTGTCGCGCCAGCAAAAGCTATTTGATTACTTCGCTAGGACGCTCGAGCGTATGATACGAGCGGCGAAGCGCGACGGGAAATATGCGCAAGGCATCCAGACGGTCGACGGCCGCTCCGTCGAATTCGAGCGGCCGGCAAAAGCGCTACACGTGACTACGCCGAGTCCCTTCCCGATCGAGTGCCACACGGTCGTGGCCGACGTCGGCATGGACTTCGAGACTGCGCAGAAAATGCTCGAGGAGACGCGAAGCGCGGGCAAGGCCACCGCGATTGACATCGACGGCGACGACGACGGCGGCGGCAGCACGGCTCTCGTTCCTAAGCGTGATAGCGACGGCGAGGGCTGGATTAGCACCGGCCGCGTGACGAACGTCTCTAATAACAACCAGGGCTTCGTCCCGCCCCCGGCGCGGCCCGGTCAGCGCTTCGGAGACCGCGACGGCTTCCGGCTCATCAAGGCGAAGTACGCCAAGGGTGACGGCGACGGCATCTGCCTCATCATAGAATCCGGCGAGAGCTCGATGCGCGGGCTGAGCGTCAAGACGGACCGCTTCCAGGTCTACTTCCCGGGAGAATGCCAAGACCAGTACTATTGGTCGCAGCTGAAGAACAAGACGGAGGCGCTCGACGACTCGAGGGCGAAGCGGCTGTGGGATGCTGGCTTCCGGAACCGCTCCAAGGATCAGAAGAGTTATCTATTGACCGGCCCGGTATTGCACGTCGTGCCGCAATTAGTCCAGGCGCAGTGTAGGTGCATGGTCAAGAATCCGGTGCGCGTCGAGGTCGCGCGGGCCGACGAGAAGGACGAGGAGGGCAAGCGCAGCGGCGCTACTCTCCTAGGCGTATTGCTGGATGACGAATACGCGGATGAAATCGTGCGACATATCGAGGAGAAAGCCAACCAGGACGACGAGGAGCGCGCCAACGCCCTGATCGACGAGATCAACGCCCGCGACCGCGACAAGGAACAACGGCAGGCGCACGCGAAGAGCGTCGCCGGGAAGGAGCGCGCCAAGAAGCGAGCCAAGAAGGCCTGAAGTGGGTGTGCGCCCGAGCCGCTATGGCGCGGGTGAAGTGTAAAATCATGATTCATAACACCGACCCATTCATCGCCAAAGGAGGAGACACTTCCGGCGCTGGCGACGACGACGACGGCTCCCACGTTATATATATAGCAAAAACACAGATTACGTAGCCGAAGACCCCTCCTCGCCGACGACCTCGACCGGCCCCGCCACCCCGATCCGAACTCCCGCCGAGGACTCCGCGGCCGCGGCCGGCGCGCTCTCGGCGTCCTCCAGCTCCTTGCCCGGGGACCGCAGCGCGCGCTCGATGATGCGGTTCTCCTCCTGCAGGTCGAGGATGATGTTCTCCGAGTAGCGCCGCAGCGGCAGCAGCTCGGGCCGCCGCACGCCCCCGAGTCCGAAGGGCTCCTCGATGTTGTGGCCGATGACCTCGATGCCGAAGAGGAACCACGAGATCACCGTCGTCGACAGCACCGTGCCCGGCACGGAGTCCATGATGCCGACGAGCGCCAGGGGCAGCATGAGCGTGAACATGGACACGACGCGCGAGCTGTGCCGCGAGTAGGAGATGGGCACCGGCGTGCCCGCGATGGCCTCGGAGCGCGCGATGACCTCCGTCAGCTTCGTCACCTGCTCGTTGCACGAGTACCAGAGGTAGCTCCCGCCCGGCGACGGGTCCGTCCGCAGGTCGGCGAGCAGCACGCTCATCGACAGCGTCAGCGCCAGCGGCAGGTTGTCCGCCGTCGAGAGCTCGTTGACCTCGGACGTCTCGAGGTACGGCTCGAACTCGTCCATGTCGCGCTGGCCCCGCAGGTGCTGCCGCAGCGCGACGGGGTAGGCCTGCATGAGCCGCAGCAGCGCCTCGTAGCGGCTCGGCTTGCAGTTCGCCGCCGCGAGCCGGCCCAGGTTCCGCACCGAGTTAGCGACGTCGGCCCAGAGCTGGCGCCCCGCCCAGAAGCGGTCGTACGACTGCGACGTCCGGAAGGCGAGCAGCACGCCAAGCACCGTGCCGCTCAGCGAGTGCAGCGCGATGGGGATGGGCTTCACGTGCTTGAGCCCCAGCGTCGTGAAGAGCGGCCGGAACAGCGCAGCGCCCGCCACGAAGCACCCCCGCAGCAGGGGGAAGCGCGCCAGCACCGCGTTCGCCGCCAGGGCGCTCGACAGCTGCCGCGACGCCGCGCGCGGGCCGAGCGCCGCGTGCGGGCTGTGCGCCCACGCGACGACCCAGGCGAACAGCGCCGTGGCGACGAGGCGGCCGCGCATCGCCGCGAAGGTCCGCGACCCGAAGCTCAGCAGCAGGTTCTGGAACCACGTCTCCGGCTCGTAGCCCTGCGGCTTCGACAGCGACCGCCCGCTGTAGGCCCAGTTCGTCAGGCCCTCGAGGTACGAGTCGCACGCGTTCTGGCCCGCGCCGACGTCGCAGTCCTCGGCCTCCTCGTCGACGGCCTCTTCCTCCTCGGGCTCCGGCAGGCTCTCGAGGTAGTCGTCCACGTCGAAGTACTCGTCGAGCTCGCCGTCGCCCCCCAGCTTCGACGCGAGGACGGCCGCCTCCTCCTGCAGCGCGGCGTCCACGCCCAGCTCGCGCATCGGCTCCTTCTCCTCAATCGTGGCGCTCCGGCGCCGCGTGGCCCGCCGCGCAGGCGCGCGGTCGTCGGACCGCGCGAGCAGCCGCGTGCCCCGCCGCGCGTTTTGAACGGAGCCGCGCCGCGCGAGGGGTCGCCGCCGTCGCGGGCGCAGCGCCGGCGGCACGCGCAGCGCGGTGGTCGTCAGGCAGAGGAGGGCCAGCCCTATCGGCGGTTTCATGGTCGTCGCGGCAGTAGTGGCAGTGCTCTGATGTGTCACTGAGTACTGATGAAAAGCTCCGTGTCACGCCGTCGAAAGCACGCAGAAGTTTCAGCCTCGCTGGGCTTTGTGTGATTGCACAATATGCAGCCTTGGGAGCCGTTCGTAGGCGCTGCACGAGCCTTGACACGCGCACTCCCATGCATGAGTCTGCTTGCTAGTGTCTTACAAGCCGCTAGCGAAATTTTTTTAGGTGGAGACTCCTCTGCAGACGACCGTTCGGAGCAGGACAAAGAACGGCCTCGGCTTCCGAGGCTTCGAATCGCGGGAGCTGTGCCCAAGCTCAGGACACACAGCGAGACTGAGCCCAAAAGAGCGGCTGCAATCCGCCCCTTGCGCAAAAGAGTGGCGCAGCGCGACTGCTTTCAGGGTGCAACTGACTTTTCTGAACGCGTTCTGCAGCGAGCGCGCGCTCAAAAGCAAGGGTGCAGCAGTAGAGCTAGCACTGCCTGCAGCAGCGCGCGCGAAGGAGCGCTAGCGACGCAACAAAAAACCGCACCCAGCAGCGTCTAAAAAAAGCGAGAGACCGCGCGCTGCTTAGTCAAGCTCCCGGGGCGTTACGACAAAGACGTCGACCCCGGCAGAAGTATCGCAAGAGGACCTGCCGTCAATAAGGCCGGCGAAGCGACGCCAGTTCGCGAGCTGGTAAACAACCGGCGCACACGCAGGTCCGCGACCGCGTCCCGTGCCGCGACTCCCGCGCGCGCCGAAGATGTATAACACACCTGTCCCGAAGAGATTCACCCCTGCACAAGGGGCTCGCTGCCGGCGACAACCCTCTAAGAAGTACTGAGGTCCCCGGAGCGCCGCGCGCGCGCGCCCGCCTGTCGCGGCGCGCCTCATCCATTCGTCCGCAGGCGCGCGGCGGCCTCCGCTACGAGAGAAGTGCACCCCCGCGTCGCAAAAACCTCCACTCGCGCGCGCCTATGACGAAAACAGATCTCTGACACCTCTTGTTTGAGAGCTCCGGTTCGCTGAACGTACACCTTTCTTTCCATGCTAATGCCGAGGCTCGATTGCGTCGTCGAGGCACGCTCGATCGACCGCCGAGGTCGTTCGTTGACCTATCGTACTCACAGGTGCCGCGCAGCTCCGGCGGCATCCACCAAAATAACTTAACAACAGTCGCGCCCCGCGCGGGAATCAAACGCGCGGAGAACACAAACGCGAAACGTCCGGAGGATTACGAAACATAGATGACGAGTCTGACGCGGACCCCATCCATTCATTCGGGGGAAGCGACTTATGTGATGCACGATACGAGGCATTTGTATGACGGGCGAACGACACGCGCACCACGCCTGATCGAGGCTAGGCGTCCGGGACCACGCGACGCGCAGGCATGGTGCTGCTGCTCGACGGCGGCGTCGGCCACGAGTGGAAGAAGGCGCACGGCGACGCGAGCTTCCTGGGCGGCGCGCTCGCGTGCGAGACCGACCCGGCGCGGACCGGCGTCCCTTCTCTTCATGTGAAGCTCTCGTGGCCTAATGGACAAGGCGTCGCCCTCCTAAGGCGAAGATTGCGGGTTCGAGTCCCGTCGTGAGTATTTTCTGATTGGTCCGCGCGCGCAGGAGGGCGTCGCTGCGGTCCACGAGGCGTTCTTCGCCGCCGGCGCCGACGTCGCGACGACCAACAGCTTCGTGGCGACGCCGCACCACGCCGGCGACCGCGCCGTGCCGCTCGTCACGGCCGCGGCGCGCTGCGCGCAGCGCGCGGCGCGCAGCACCGCGCAGCCGCTGCCGGCGATGCGCAAGGTCGCGGGCTGCCTCCCGCCGCTCGGCGAGTGCTACGCCGTGCGCCGCGACCGCTCGGACGCCGACGCCGCGGTCTACGAGCAGCTGGCCTTCGCGCTCGCGGACGAGAAGGTCGACGTCCTGCTGGCGGAGACGCTGACGCACTCGAGCGAGGCGGCGAACGTGATCTTGGGCGTGAAGATGGCGTCGCTGAAGCGGGGCTACCGGCTGCCGCTCTGGGTCGTCTTCACGCTGGCGGACGACGCGACGGGCCGCCTGCGGGGCGGCGAGCGCGCGGCCATCGCGATCCAGCGCGCGCTCGACGCGGCGGACGGCGCCGGCGTGCTCCTGAGCGGCGTCGGCGTGAACTGCTGCGCGCCGGGCGCCGTCGACGCGGCGCTCGCGGACGTCGTCGAGGTGGCCGAGGGACGGGAGGTCATCGTCTACGCGAACGCGTTTGAAAGCACGACGTCGGAGTGGCTCAAGAAGGAGGGCCGGCCGGACTGTTGCGGCAAGCCGTGCCGCGGGAACCCGCGCGAGTACGTCGACGGCGTCATGACGCCGGACGCCTACGCGCGGCGGGCGGCGTCGTGGGCGCGCCGCGGCGCGACGGTCGTCGGCGGCTGCTGCGGCACGACGCCGGCCCACACGAAGGCGTGCCGCGTCCTGTTCGACCGGCAGCGCCGGCGGTCGCGGTTCTTCGGCTACTTGACCTTTCTTGCGGTCGTGCTTGCGGTGCTGGCGCGCGCGCTTGGGCCGGCGCTGGCGCTGGCGCTCGCGGAGAAGAGGGTATGGGATGAACTATAGATTTTTTTCCACATTTAATTATTTCGTCGGCCGACACCGTTCGCCTCGAGTATCCGCTGCGTGCACTTGGCGATGTGCTTGAAGCGGTCGGGCCCGAGCTTGATACCGCCGTACCACCTCGCCACGATGACGAGGCAGTTGTCCGCGTTCAGGACGCTCAGGACGTAGGCCATCTTCGCGCCGGCGCCGTCCTCGCCGTCGTCGTCGTTGTCCGCGTGACCTGTGTGGAAATCAAAATTTGACGGCGCGTTCGTGCTGAATCATCGCGTCGTCCTCCACGCCATCGACACGATGCCTGCTCGATGGCGTGGCGATGCCGGTTCCTCGCCGCTCGACTGAGCCAGGTCGGCCGCGTCATCGCCGAAAATGACTTAGTGCCGACACACTGGTTGATTTCCACACAGCGCGTGACTGATGCCGTCTCCGTCCACGAAGCGATACGCGAGCATGTTATGTGTGGCTTTGGCGACGTTCTTCCTCCCTAAAATATTCCGCCGCGCCCACTGGACCTTTTCATCCGAATCAACGCCCGTCGCTAGATATGCCTTGAACGTCGATTTGCGGTCGACGACGGGCTCTCCTTCGACAATCGGCACGGCGTATTTCTCGTCCGCGCTGGCGCTGTCGAACCGGACGGGGCGCTGGCCGTACTGCGGGCAGGCCGGGTGGAACGTGAAGGATGCGTCGTTTTGTGACGGCGGGGCGGCGGCCGCGGCGGCGGCCGGCGCGGCCTCGAGGCGCGCCCGGACGGCCTCGACGACCTCGAAGACGCACGGCGCGCCCGCCGGCGTCCGCGCGGCGGCCGCGGCGGCGGTCTCCGTCAGCTGCCTTCTCAGCGCCTCGGAGACGCCGGCAAGAGCCTTGACCGCGAACTCGGGCTTCACTTGCGACGGGTAGCCGCGCGGCAGCCGCGCCTCGAGCGCCGCTTTCGCGGTCTCGCTTTCCAGGGCGATCGCGACCCGCGCGACGGCGCCCATCTCGAACGGCAGGAGCTCAAAGTCCGCGCCGAAGATCGCGGCGAGCGCCTCGAGCTCGTCGCCGCGCGCGCCGCTGTCCTCGGCGCCGTCCGTCAAGGCGCTCATGATGCGGTAGCCTGCTTCTAGCGCACCGCTGTGCGAGAATGCTTTTTACCGTTGTGAAGACTGCTTTGTTAGCCGCACCGCTGCCGTACCGCGTTTGCTCACAGGCTGCTGCCCCCTCCTGCACAGGCTACGCTTGTGAGACGACCTGGGGCCGCACGAATGGAAAGGAGAGGCTCACAAGCGTGAGAAGCGATGCAGCAACTGCTGCACACTGCGCCGACGTCGCTTTTTTGTTTCTTTTGGGACCGCTGTTTTCAAGCTCGAGGAGCCGAGCCACAACGTGCGGGCTTTCCAGCCGAGAAACATCCATGGAAAACCCGAAGAGAGAAAGCTCGGATCGAACCCTCAAGACAGGTCGTAGGGCTGGAGTACGTAGCCTGCGCTCTAGAAAACCCGAGGGCCCAGCAGCCAACGGCTGGACGCAGCTTGGGCCATTGCGGCGGCTCCTCCAAGGGGTGAGGCAGCCCCGGGCGCACGGACCGACCGCGCACGCCACTGCGCGACGACGTGCCACGGCGCACGCCACCGCGCAACGACGACGCCCGTAGCACGCCCGCAACGCCCCAGCCCCGACGAAGCATGAACCGCTACAAGATCACCAAACAACTGGGAGATGGCACCTACGGGTCCGTCTTACGGGCCGTCAACCGCCAGACCGGCGAGGTCACGGCCATCAAGAAGATGAAGAAGAAGTTCTACACGTGGGAGGAGTGCATGCAGCTCCGCGAGGTGAAATCACTGAAGAAGCTGAACCACCCGAACATCGTCAAGCTGAAGGAGGTGATACGGGAGAACGACGAGTTGTTCTTCGTCTTCGAGTACATGGAGATGAATCTGTACGAGGTGATGAAGAAGCGCGAGCGCCACTTCCCCGAAAGCAAGATAAGGAACGTCATGTACCAGATCTTCCAGGGCCTGGCCTTCATGCACAAGCACGGCTTCTTCCACCGGGACATCAAGCCGGAGAACATGCTGGTGAAGGGCGACACGTGCAAGGTCGCCGACTTCGGACTGGCGCGCGAGATCCGGTCGCGGCCGCCCTACACGGACTACGTGTCCACGCGGTGGTACCGCGGGCCCGAGGTCCTGCTGCGGTCCGTGAACTACAATTCGCCCATCGACCAGTGGGCCTGCGGCTGCATCATGGCGGAGCTGTTCACGCTCCGGCCGCTCTTTCCCGGGTCGAGCGAAGCCGACATGATCTACAAGATCTGCTCCGTGCTCGGGTCGCCGTCCGTCGCCGACTGGCCCGAGGGCCAGAAGCTCGCGTCGCAGATGAACTTCCGCTTCCCGCAGTTCGTGCCGACGCACCTGTCGATCATCATCCCGAACGCGTCGCCGGAGGCCATATCGCTGATGGAAGATTTGATGCGGTTCGACCCCCAGAAGCGGCCGGGCGCCTCGCAGACGCTCCAGTACCCCTTCTTCCAGGTCAACGCGTCGCTGCCGCCGCCGCAGCCGGCGCCCGTCGCGGCCCCCGTCGCGGGCACGCCGCAGCGGCCCCAGTCGCGCCACGCCGGCGCGAAGCCGAAGCTCGAGCGGCCCAAGTCGCGCCACTCCGGCGCCAAGCCGGCCAAGCCCCTGACGAAGTCCCCCGAGCCCGACATTCTCGACGACGCCTTCGCGCTCGGCGTCGGCGGGCCCTCGGAGAAGCCCCCCAAGCTCCCGATGCAGGGCTCGGCCGCGCAGAACGCCCAGCCGGACCCCTTCGCGGACCCCTTCTCCTCGCCGGCCAAGAAGGCGTCCTTTTCCGACCCCTTCGCGTCCTCGCCAAAGAAGGCGTCCTTCCAGGACCCCTTCGCGCCGCCCGTGCAGAAAAAGCCGTCCCTTCACGACCCGTTCAACGTGGGCGTGGCGCCCAAATCTAATTTTCAGGACCCGTTCGCGGACCCGTTCGCGGCGCCGGCGGCGAAGAAGCAGTCGTTCGCCGATCCCTTCGGCGCGCCGGCGGCGAAGAAGGCGTCCTTTAGCGACCCCTTCGCGGCGGCGGCGCCGAAGGCGGCGGACCCCTTCGCGGAGCCCCTCTTCGGGGGCGGCGGCGCCGCGGCGGCGTACGGCGGCGGGGGCGCCGCGTCGCCGGGCGGCGTGTCGCGCTACGCGCGCAACGCGCGCTACGGCCCCGGCCTGAACTCCGGGGGGAGCGCCAAGAAGAAGTCGCCGGGCAGCGGCAAGAAGGAGAAGCGGCGGTCGGCCTACGCGCCCTTGAACTTCCGCGCGAAGCCGGACCCCTTCGCCGCCGCCGCCGCCGCCGAGCCGGACGACGGCCTCGAGCTGGGCCTGCGGCCCTACGGCGGCTTCGGCGGCCAGCGCGCGCTCGGCCGCGGCGGCCTCGGCGGCGGCGGCCTCGGCGGCGGCGGCGACGCGCTCGACCAGCTCGGCGGCGGCGGCTTCCCGGCCGCGCGGCGGCCGAGCAACGGCTTCGGCGGCGGCGGCTCGAAGTTCGGCGGCGGCGGCGGCTTCGGCTTTGGCGGCGGCGGCGGCGGGCTCGGGGGCGGCGACGCGGGCTTCGGCGGCACGGGCGGCCTCGGCGGCGGGCTCGGCGGTGGCGGGCTCGGCGGCGGCGGCCTCGGCCGGCGGCGGCGCGGCGGCGCCCTCGGCGCCGCGCGGGGCGGCGGCGGCGGCGGAGGTTTCGGCGGCGGCTTCGGCGGCGGGCGACACCGGTTCTAGGATACCAGTTTTTATTAATTACAAATTCGTACCGTGCTACTCAGTTGAAGATACCTATATATCAACAACAGCTAAGGCTTCGTAGGAGTATCCGCAGCAGCAGGCTTCGCGAGCCGCGCCGACGCCCGCTAATTAAATAATAAATAAATAAATAAATAAATAAATTAAGGAAGACCTAAAAAAGGAACAAGCTCCTAGGAGCCTTCTCCCTGCTCGGTCAGGATGCCCAACCGGAGCCTCGAAATAGCAGTAAGGTATCTATACAACGGATTTTCAATCTCCCGGGGTAACTCGTCCCCCATGACCAAGCGACATCGGCCCTCATCGGTCAATCGCCGTGCCGGGGGGCAAACCGAGTATAATCTCGCAAGAAATGCCTGCCGTTCTTCCTCAAAGGCCTCGCATTCAAACAACGTGTGTTGGATTGTTTCCGACTCGACGGACCTTCGTGCTCGGGCAAGTTCAAGATCGCGGCCAACGCGGCGTCCTGACGCGCGCGCTCGGCGATGTCGAAACTATGGCCCGGCGGAAGAATATCGGTACCGATCTTAGCGTACTCATCTCTGAACAGGTTTGCGACCTCCGAAGGGTCTGCCGTCGTTTGTTTCTCGCAGTGCGGGTTTTGGCCATGGACATACAACTCGATCGCGTCCGCGCAGTCGGAAGCAGCCCTCTGCAGTAGGACGTTCCAAAACTGCTTGGTGCGCGTTGGATCAGACGCCAAATCCTTCAATTACAAATCGAAAATATTATATATCAACACAGCTAAGGCTTCGTAGTAGTATCCGCAGCAGCAGGAGGCTTCGCGAGCCGCGCCGACGCCCGCGTGGGCGCCGCTCGGGGCTTGGGCTCGCGCTTCGGCTTCCGCGGCTCCTTGCGCGGCGCGAACTGCCAGTAGACCTCCTTGTTCGCGAACGCGGGCGTGTGGAGCCCGAAGCGTAGGTTCATGGACTCGCGCGGCTCGTCCGCGCCGGCCGACCGGCGAGAGCTACCGCACAACACGCCGTGGTCGCACACGTTTCGAGCGTCTCCCGACAGCACGTAGCAGTCGCCCACTTGGAGCGGAAAAGTCCAGCACTTTTCGCGCTGCTCCTCCGTGAAGACCTCAAAGTCGGATTCCGTGCCCTTGAGCAAAGCTATGATCGAGGGCGGCCCCGCCATCTGGATCGTCACGATGACGACGCCAAAGCCCTCGTGCATGGGGAAATCGAGATGAGGAGGCAAATGCCGCGCGTCGTTGTGCAAGTTCGGCTGCAGCGCGATGAGGTTCTCGAGGGAGACGTACTTCCGGTACTTCTCCGCGACCCGCTCCTTCACGAGGTCTACGACCGCCGCGAGGGCCTTCCGCGCCTTTCGGTCGACGTCCTGCTCCAGTAAAGTAAAGCTGCTCCGCCAGTTCGCCTCGCAGTCCCGCTTCGCGTCCAAGCCCTCCTTCTCGGGGGCCCAGAACTGGAGGCCGCACGCCTCCAATCGTTTGCGGTCCCACTTCGCGAGGCTCGCGGGCAGGAACGCGTAGCCCTTCTTGCGCACGTCCGAGCCCTTGCCCTCCCACGACTGCAGGAGCTTGCCTCGCTTGAGCGCCGCCACGATGCTGCCGTGGAGCTGGCGCAGCGGCGCGAAGACCTTGGGGTCCAACGAACAGAACCCCGCGCCCGCGCAGGCGTGGTCGGCCGGGGCCATGCCGCCCTCGAAGCGTAGCGGCCGCGCCTTCTCGACGAGCGCCTCGAGCTCCTCGCGGTCCTTTCGTTCTTCTTTCGAGTGGGCGCGGTTCTCCTTCTTCTTCTTCGGAGGCGACGGGAGCGGCTCCGGCTGCTTCTCGACGCGGCGCTTCTTCGGCTTCTTGCAGTCCTGGCAGAGCCACTCGCCGCGCGGCAGCCGCGTCAAGCCGACGCACGCAAAGTGGAACCAGTTGTCGCAGCCGCCTTCGCACGCGACCATCTCGCCGTAGTAGCTGCCGCCGCAAACGCAGCCGCGCCAGTCGGCCCACTCGTCGTCGACGCCCTGGACCAGGGGCGCGGCCTTGTCGTCGGCAGCTGCGGCCTGCTCGCGCGCGTACGCCTCGCGGATCGCTTCCGCACTCTGGTCCGCCGCGAGCGTGCGCGCCTCGTCGTGCATGGGGTCATCCATGCTGAAGGTCTCTGCACGCCTTCGTCGGGCGCAAAAGCTGCGCGCTGTCGATGGCTTATACCAAACGTGTCAAAAGCGATTTTTACGCAGCGAATACTTGCGTAAATGGCCAAGTTCTGGCTGTGTTGACCTCGAGACAAAACCCGTGCCGACTCTCGAAACCTGTCGCTGGCGCCAAAAAAAAAACACTAAAATTCACAAACGAGAGAGAGTGACTACTTTTACACAGTTATACCTTCGCCGCGCCGCACGCCGCGCACTGGAGGAAGCCCGCCTCGGCCTCGGAATGGGCGTAGGTGCACTTGGAGCAGGTCCAGGGCTCCGCATCGACGTCGAAGACGACGTCCGAGGCCGACGGCTTCTTCGGCGCGGGCTTCTTGGCCTTGGGCGCGAAGAAGCTGCGCACGTCGCCGCCGGCCGACGACGCCTTGCGCTTGGCGGGAGCGGAGCGGCGCTTCGCGGGCGGCGCCCGCTGCGATGGCGGCGCCCGCTGCGGCGGCGGCGGCGGCGGCTTCGGCGCGAGCGGCGCCCGAGGCGCGCCCGAGTCGTCGCCCTTCTTCTTGAAGAAGGACTGGATCGTCTTGGGCGGCGTCGTCGCCGCGCGGAGCTTCGCCGCGTCGACAGGCGTCGGCGGCTCGGCTCGCACGTGCTGGCGCGCGTGGGCCGCGCGCTGGCGGCTCCGCTGGGCGAGCGCCGCGCGCAGCGTATTGAGGACGTGCGTCGGGAACCGCACGCCGACGATCGTCTCGGACGGCAGCACGACGCGGACCGCGCGGAGGCGCTGGTCCTCCTTGTTCATCTCGACTTGGCGCTCCGCGACGGTCTGGGCGAGCGCCGGCCAGAGCGGCAGGACGTTGCCCGCGACGAGGCCGAGCCGCTTGAGCCGGCCGCCGTTGTCCTGGTTGTGCGACGACTCGTACTCCAGCGTCCACGCCTTGCGCAGCTGCTCCCGCTCCTCGTCGGACGCCGACGGCAGGCCGCCAGCGTGGCACGTGTACTTGCTAATGATGTCGTGCGCGAAGAGCTCGGTCGCGTTGGCGCCCGTGTTCGGCCGCGTGATGAGAAAGGTCTGGGCCGCGTTCGCCTTGCGGACCGCCATCATGATGTAGGGCCGCTTCGTCCGCGTGTTGGTGTGGTTCGAGATGTAAAAGCCCGCGCCCCGAAACGACCGCCGCGTCGCGTCCGGGTCGTTGTCGCCCGGCCTTGCGTTCGCGCGGCCCGTGCGCAGCTGGTCCTGCGCCGCGTCGAACGACGCGCCGCGATCCAGCGTGAGCTCGTAGAGTTTGGTAGACGCGCCGGACACGGCGTCGACGTCGACGGTGGTCACGGCGTTCACGACGACCGACGACGCGCGCACGGACGCCAGCCCGGCGTCGTAGGACCCCGCCGCCTTGGCCGCCTTGACGACGGCGGCGTGCGCCACGGAAAAGTACTGGAACAGCAGCTTTTGGTCCGCGACGGGCGTCGCCTGGAGCCGATTCAAGAACAGCCTCACGTCGCCGTCCTTTTTTGGTTCGAGGTCGAGCGTGTCGTAGGCGTGGTGCGCGGCCGCGGCGAGCATGGACGTCTCGTCGGAGGCGTTGTAGAGCTGGGGCGCCTCCTCGTAGAGGTAGGGCGCGAACGCGTCGTAGGCCGCGCGCCGCGTCGACCGCGCCCTCGCGGCGTCGCGCGCCATCGCGACGGCCGCGCGCAAGGCGTCGTTCTCCGCGCCGTCGGGATCGACGTTGGCCGCGACACTTCGCGGGTCCCGCCCGTAGTCGCGGCACGCGCGCGCCACGTTCTTCAGCGCGTCCCGACCCTGGGGCGTGTCCAGGTCAAAGTCGCCCAGGTCCTGGCCCGACGCCGCCCGGCGGTCGCCCTTGGTGAGGGCCCCCAGGGACGCCAGACGCTTCGCGACGGCCGCGGCGAACCGCGCTTCTCCCCCGAGATCCGTCGCCAGCAGCGCGTAGACGGGCGCCGTGGCCTGGTGCGAGCGGTGCGTCCGGCCCAATTGCTGGATACACTTGTCCGCGGACCAGGCCAACTCCAACGTCACGTGGACGCGGCGGTGCTGCGCGCCTTTGGAACCAATGGCCGCGTGCAAGGACACGCCCGTCGAGGCCGCGTCCGAGATGATGGCGATGCGCTTCTTGCCGTCCTGAAAGGCCGCGCGCTCCCGGAGGTTCGTCGTCGTGCTGTCCTGGTCCCGCGAGGCGTCGAACCGCTGCTCGTAGCGGTAGCGGCCGTTCTTGCGCGCGACGCGGAGGCCCCGGCCCGTCATTTCCGCCACCGTGTCGGGCCCGCCGAGCCGGTCGATGAGATCATCTAAAGGCGACGGTGGCACCGGCAAGTCGTCGAGGCGCTGAAGGATCGCGTCGCGCAGCGCGACGAGCTCGGGGATGGGCTCGCCCTGTTTCTCCGCCGCCGCGCGCCGCGCGGCCTTCCACCGCGCGACGTGCTCCGCGGAGGGCGGGCCCCGGTCCGTCGTCAGGATCTTCCGCACGACCGCGTCGTCGATTTCCTCCAGGGGCTCCGGCGCCGGTTGTACCGGAAAGTGCTGCTGCACGAACGCGCGCGCCGACGAGCGCGCCGCGGCCACGAGCCCCGGCGCCGCGTCGCCGACCTTGGCGTGGGCCTCGGCCATGACGTCCCGCAGCCCCGCCTCGCCGGTCGACTGGAGGCCGACGACGACGGACTTGCCGGCGGCCACGGCCTCCTTGGCGCGCTCGGCCACGTACGGCACCTTGGCCGCCGTCTGGACCTCGCGGAAGAAGCGGAGCTGCGCGCCCCAGAAGCGCTGGCGCGCCGTGCCCGCCGCCGCGCCGCGGAGCTGCGTGCGCGTGATGGCGCGGTCGAGGGCGCGCCGGAGGCCTGCGCGCGCGAGGAGCCCGTTTGGTTTCGTTTCGAGAGAGGGGACGCGGCGTCGGCACCGCGCCACCACGCCGCCGCCTCGTCGTACGCGTCGCTGGCCTCTTTATCCAGATCGCAGGTCCAGCGCTCGAACTCGCAGCGCTGCCAGGCGAGGCCCCGCGACACGTAGGCGCCGCTCGACTTGAGCTCGAGCGCGAGCAGCTCCAGCGCGCCGACGCCGCGCTTCTCGAGCGTGTCGGCGAATGTCTTAAAGTCGGCGAAGGACGTGCCCGCGCCCCACAAGCCCAGCCGCTCCGCGTAGGCCATGTTCTTGATCTCCGAGACGCCCGTCGCCGACGCGTAGATCACTCGCGACAAAGGGAGCTTGTCCTGCAGGGCGCGGACGGCGCGCGAGACCTTCGTCGAGGCCTCCTCGTTGGACGCGTCAAAGTTCTTGGCGCCTGTGCGTCGCAATACGTCTAAGCCACGACTACGGGCGACGAGAAGTGTAAAGCTATTTCAAAACACAGCTTCGCTACGGTGCGCCTCGTCGAAGATGACGCAGCCGTCGAAGCTGGGGCCGCCGCACCACGCGACCAGTTGGTCGAGGCGCGACTGCTTCTTCGTCGTGGCGGCCGAGACCAACGTCGCGTAGGTCGCGAAGAGGACCGCGTTCTTGAGCGTCGGCCCGCCAAAGGCCTTCTTTTGTAACGCGTCGAGGCCGCGGCAGCCGTCGAGGACGGGAATGTGGCACGACACCGCCTGGAGGTCCCGCTCCGCGTCCACCCGCAAATCGGTGCCGACCGAGAACCAGAGGTGCCGGCCGCGGCCGCGCGCGACGCCGTCCAGGATGCACCCGGCGAGCTGGCGGCCCTTGCCGACGCCCGCGCCTGCGTGCGAATCGATCGATCATGCCATCTGCGCTCCGTGGAAAATGAATGCGATTCGCGCGCTGGCCCGCGCCGTCGCCCAGGAAGAATCCCGCGCGGACGCCGTTCGCGACGACGGCGTGGCGCCGCGCCGCGCGCAGCGCGCCCTCGAGCTGCAGCGCCGACAGCGCGCCCGAGTTCGCGCAGGCCTCGAGCGCCGCGCCCGGGTCGACGTCGACGAGGGAGGGCGCGGCGACCGACGCCAACAGCACGGACTCGCTGATCTCGCCCGGGTGCACGCGGGCGTTTGCTAGACTTGCCGGCAGCGGCGGCGCCGCGTAGGCGGCGAAGACCTCGGCCTCGATCGCCTCGTCGACGGCGTCCGCGTCGTCCTCCTTGGGCTGCGGCGCGGCGCCGGACGCCGGAGCTGCGTGCGCGGCGCCGGCCGCGGGCGCGGCGCGCGGCGGCGGCGGCGCCGACGACGAGGCCTTCGAGTCGTCGTCGCCGAACTTGAGCATGCGGTACAAGGCGACCTCGGCCTGCTGCGCGTTGAGGCCCTCCGCCTTCTTTTGGACGTAGAATTGGCAGCAGCCCGAGATTAGCGACGCGTCGGGGCGCTTAACGCTCGCGCGCTCGAGGGCGCGCAGCGCGGCTGCTCTGGACTCAGCACTCATTTTTTTGAATCCAGTAGGGAGAGCGCTCCTCGCGCTCTCGGTCAATGCGCAGCGCGCGCGGCTCGCGCAGCGCTTTTAGGTCGCTGCGAGCTCTTGCGGCGAGCACCTCCCACTCGTAGGCGCCCCGTCGAGCAGCGCTCGAGCTGAAATCGGTCCATGACGGGTTTTTGTCCCAAAAAAAGCGCTGGCCAAAGCGCGCCAAAACGGCAGGTCAGAAGCACGCAGACCTCGTGAAAGACGCCCATTTGACGTATCGTACCAAAGCAAGCCAAAAAGCGCACAGCTGTCGGATGCGCCTTTGCAGCATCGCGGCGCTCGTCGCCGTGCGCGCCGCAGCGCTGCAACCCGTGCGACGGCTGCAGCCACTGCGTGCAGCAGCCACCGCAGAGCCAGCAGCGCGAAAGCCTGCGAACCTGCGCGCCGCGGCCTCGGCGACCGCCTGGGCCGCGAGCGCCGCGTACTCTCTCGGCACGTACAAGCCCCACCGCATAGCTCACAACGCCGTCGGCATTGCACAAGCACTAACCGCCCTACCGCTCGTCGCTGCCGCGGCCCAGGCGCCCGACGACAGGCGCCTCGCGCTGGCCTGGGCCGCCGCGAGCGCGTGGTCGGTCGCGTGCGTCGTCTTTGCGCCGGCGGTCACGCGCGCGTTCGTGCGGGGCACGTCGCACCCGGTGCGCTACCCGCCAGCCCTCGCTGCGCTGGCGATCGGGCTGCACGTCTTTGCGGGAGTCGGCGCGACGCGGAGCTGGCGTCGGGCGGGCGGCACGCCGGACACGGCGGTGAGCGGCGTGCTCCGCGGCGTCGCGCCGGCCGAGGACGTTTCGTCGACGGCCGCCGTCGAGCTCGCCTTTTGCGCCCGCGCGTTCGCCGTCTTCGCCGCCGGCGCGATCCTGGCGCCGTTCCCCGTCGCGACGCTGCCGAGTCTCCTGGGCAAGCGGATGGCGCGCGCGTTCGGCGCCTGGTCTCTGCTGGGCGCCGCGGCGTGCCTCTCGCTGCGGGACGCGAAAGGCGCCGCCGCGCGGCCGCTGAAGCGCGGGCTCCGGGCGCACGCGCTGGCACACGTCGCCCTCGCCGCGGCGCGGCCGTTCGTCGACGGCATGGGCCTCTACCCGGCGGCGACGGCGTGCGCGCCCGCCTGGGCGGCGACGCTCCTCGCGTACGGCGTTTTGTTGGACGGAGTAAGGCGGTGCTAGTTTTTATTTCTGAGGCTGATCAGCTCGTTCCGGGACGTTTCTAGAGTCCGAGATTTTCCGAGATTTATTTAGCGGCTCTTTGGCATGATCGCCTGCGGTCCTGCGGTACTCCGCCTCACCAAAAAAGAAGCCAGCGAACGCATCGTCGCGCCGCGTCCCCCGACCCCCGCCACACGCGCAACTGTCCCCATCTCCACGCGCTGCGGCGAGCGGGGGGAGCTGCGCAAACAAGGCAATCTGGGGGCAGCCCCTCTTCTCTGGCATCGACGCCGTGCCGCGAACCCGCCCCTCATGAAGCTCGCCCTCCTCGCCCTCGCGGCCACGACGGCGCACGCCGCCTGCCCGAACTCGTGCAGCGGCCACGGCACGTGCGGCGCCGACGACACGTGCACGTGCTACCAGGACTGGGTCATGGGCGACCAGGACGGCGGCGACTGCTCGGACCGCCGCTGCCCCTACCAGGTCGCCTGGTCGGCCGGCCCCGACAAGACGGGCAACATCCACACGTACGCCGAGTGCGCCGGCGTCGGCATCTGCGACCGCGGCTCGGGTGACTGCGAGTGCTTCGAGGGCTACACGGGCCGCGGCTGCGGCCTCCAGACCTGCCCGAACGACTGCTCGGGCCACGGCGAGTGCGTCTACGCCGAGGACGTGACCTTCGGCACCGTCTACGGCGACTACAACGTAGACGCACCGTCTGGGGGCCTCGGCGTCGGCGCCGTCAAGATCCCCCAAAAGCCCAACTGGGACTCGGGCAAGGTGCGCATGTGCGTCTGCGATCCGGGCTACACGGACATCGACTGCTCGCGCCGCATGTGCCCCAAGGGCAACGACGTCATGGACGAGCGTTTGGACCTGGTCACGGCGCTCAAGTACCACAGGCAGTATTTGGTTCTCATTGGCGCCGGTGCGCTCGGCGACGGCGTCGCGTACGACGACGCGGGTGCCGAGTGCCAAACGTCGCAGATCAAGTTCCAATCTACCCAACCCACTTCCGACGCGTGCTTCGCCGACCTCGTCGGCCGCTCCTTCGCCCTCACGTTCACGTCCCAGCTCAACCAGTCCTACACGACGAGGCCCATCGTCATCGCGAAGATCAGCGACCAGACCGGCAGCACCGACACCGAGAAGCGGGACGCCGCCCAAACGGCGACGGCCGCGGCCGTGAAGGACGCTTTGCGCGAGCTCCCCAACTACGTCATCGATGACTGCGAAGTGGACTGCTGGTACGAGGATACCTCGGGCGTCGGCGCACACTACCCGTCCGTGAAGTGCGAGGTCGAGTTCACCGGGTCGTCCGTCGCGGGCCCCCAGTACCTCCTGGAGGTCGAGGCCGACAAGTGCGACTCCGGCTGCACGCCCCAGCTGTCGAACCCGGTCCGGCTCAAGTCCGCCCTGAGGCCCTCGACGGAGGGCAACCCCACGTGCCCATACCCACCCTATGAATGTGGGACTGCCTTCTGGGGCAAGAGCGGGACGTATGGTATTGTGGGCACAGCGGGGATTGATGATAGTGCTACGACGCTTCCCGTAACGGATGGTGCTGATATTGGTGTAGATGCAACCGGTCTTGACAAATACATCATGGTCGGCAGCGAGGTCATGCAACTTACCGCCATCGCGGGTACGTCTCTGACTGTAGTGCGCGGCCACGATGGAACGACTGCTGCGGCTCACGCCGGTGGAGATATAGTATACCTCTTATCCGGCACGACCAAGGGTTCTCAAGGTCCGCACCCGGACGTCCTCTCGCACGTCGCTGAGGAGGAGGCTGCCGACTACAACTCGTTCGAGTGCGGCCGCCGCGGCAAGTGCGACTACTCGTCCGGCGAGTGCGAGTGCTTCGAGGGCTACATGGGCGACCGCTGCCAGACCCAGACGGCGCTCATCTGAGCCGTCCCTCCCCGTCCCCCCCCCGGCCGGTCGCGTCGACTTTCGTTCGGTCAAGTTGAGCGTTTCCGCGAATACATATTTCCAAGTCCTAATACTAGTAGGCATCTTTCCTTAAAGTTAGACCTGCTGCTTCCCAAACGCCGCCAAAATACCCGTATATTTCACTATCAAATATTAATAAACAGAAATCGCCAGCCGAGCCGCCATCAGCTGATGAGGGGCGACGTCGCCGCGAAGACCGCAGGAGCTTATCCGTCTGATTTACTAGAAGCAACAAACGCGCACGCCGACCGAGCAGCCGTCCGGCGGATGGCCGGGGGCCATGCACGCGCAGAGGCGATTATTGAAGGTCTCCCAGTCCTCGTCGTGCTCATGCCAGTGGAACGTGTTGGTGCCCGACGTTCGCCGGTACTCGCGGCCGCAGAGAGGTTGAGGGAAACAGCATTGAAAGTCACGCACGTACGCGTCTTCGTCAACAGCCCGGAGCGTCGCGCACCAAGGGAAAACCATCAACGCCCACCCGCACCAGACCCCTCTGAGAGAATGGGCCGAGATGCGACCTTCGAAGTGTGTCTGGCCGTGCCATTGTCCCCGCTCCATCGGTATTGGCACGACCGGCGTGAATTGCTCCGCCGCCGCGGACGCTTGCAGCCTGAGGAATAACGACGGCTTCCTGCATCTCATGTCCGACGACATAACCCTGCACGATCTTTTCCCCTTCGTACACCTCCATCTCTATTGCGGCGGGTGGTGTCTGGGCTGCTGCCAAAAGGGGCAGCTTATTTACACAAAATGTGCAAGACTCTGCTGTTTTTGCGCAGGTCACGATCTCTTTGGCACCATACCGATTGGCCACGGCCGCCTGCCGGTGAAATCGGCGCCGCGCGCCTCCTCGTGTTAGTTCCAGGCTCCTGGTGCTCTGGATGCTCTCCCCCCCTAATTTTACCCCCCCCTGCGTCCACAGAGCCAAAAAACAAAAAAGAAGGGTCTGATTACCGTGCTCAATACCGGGAGGTCGCCGAATTTGATCGGGCTCGAACCGGTGACCTCAGGCAAGCTTCCTTCATGGAGAAGGGCATAAGACCTGCACTCTGACCAAATACCCGGACAAGGAGTCCTCTGAGTTAATCGAGCAATAATCAGCGGCCGGCGCACACGCGTGTAGGAGTGCTGCCAGACCTGCTTTTTCGGCGTTTTTGTGAGATAGGTAGGAACGCAAAAGAAAACCCGGTGGCCCGTAAATCAGTCCGAGGCTGCCACAAAACACCATGCCGCCCACCGCGCGCACCCCGCTCGCCCGCCCGCAGCGACCACAGCGATGCTGCCCGCGAAAATTCACGCGCTGCGTAGTAATAACCGCGGTGTTTGCCGCCATCTCCCTGCTCTTGGCCTGGGAAGTCAAATCGGGCGGCGCCTGGGCGCGGCCGTCGACGTGGCGCGACTACACGTCGTCGCACCACAACGCGCGGCTGCGTAGCCTCGAGACGTGGCGCGCGAACGCGACGGCCGAGATCGCCGCGCTGAAGCGGCGCGACGCCGAGCTCTCGGACCGGATAAAAGCGCTCGAGGGCGGCGGCGGCGGCGGCGCGTCGTCCTCGAAGAGCCTCGAGGAGCGCCTCGCCAAGGACGAAGCCCAAGAGCAGGCGGACGTCAAGACGCTGCGCAAGGAGACGGACGCGGCCCAGGCCAAAAGCCAGGCCTACACCGACCACCGCGTCGAGGAGTCCGACGCGAAGACGAAGGAACGCGTCGATGGCGTCGAGGCGGCGCTCGGTCCGCACGGCTGCGTCGCTTATTGTTCCGAGGCGCCTTCACCCGTTCCTCGAGTATCGGACCCCCAACCACGAAACCACACAGGCGCGTACCAGGAGGAGGCCGGCATCGCAATGGATAGGGAACGCGACCTCGTCTACCACTGGATCGCCGGCACGTTCGCTTTATTATGCTGCGTGATCGCGCTGGGGGGCATCGTCGCGCACGCGCGCGCGCTCGCGCGGCCCGAGGTCCAGCGCAAGATCCTCGCCTTATTGTGGATGCCGCCGATCTATGCGTTGTGTTGCTGGTGTTCGCTGCTCTTCCCGCCGTACGCGCCGTTGTTGGCGGTAGGCCGCGACGCGTACGAGGCGTACGCGATCTGGGTGTTTGTTCGAGGCCGGCGTCCCATTTTTTTGTATCGGCGATCCTTGCGTCGATGGCGTCAATGGCCCCGCCGCGCCGCCGCCGCCGGCTCAACGCGCGCAAAACGCAGGTCGCCTTCCTGATCGCGGTGCTCGGCACGACGTCCAACAGCGACGGCGACACGTCGGCCGCGACGAAGTACGCCGTCGTCGTCGCCAAACTAGAAACGGACGACGCGGCGGGCGAGCACGCGCTGCCGCGCGCCTTCTGCCCGCCCTGCGGCCGCAAGCCGCCTGCCAAGGTGTTCGTGCGGCAGTGCATGCTCGCGGTGATGCAGTTCGTTTTGTTGAAGCCGCTGCTGGGCGTGGCGGACTACGCGCTTGGTGTGGCGGCGGACGACGCCATTGAACGGCACGACTCCATCAAGTGGGCCGAGCGCGCGAGGTTAGGGATCTTGGTGCTGCAGAACGTCTCCGTCTCGATCGCACTGGGCGCGTTACTCAAGGTGTACCACGCGACGGCGTACCGACTACGCGAGCACAACCCCTGGCCCAAGTTCGTCTGCGTCAAGGGCGTGGTGTTTCTGACCTTCTGGCAGGGGACCGTGATCTGGGCGCTGACGGGCTCGGGCGACACGAAAAAAATGTTCGCCACGAAGGACGTCGCAGACGCGGTGCAGAACTTCCTGGTCTGCGTCGAGATGTTCGTGGCCGCCGTCGTGCACTCGTACACGTTCGGCCCCGAGGAGTGGCAGCCGGGCTACGCCGCGGGGCCCGGTCTGGCCGTGAGCGACAACTTCGCGGCCGGCGACTTTTTCAGCGACGTGAAGTACGCCTTCCAGCGGCAGCGCGCGCGGTCCGCGTCGGATCCGGCCGCGCCGCCGGCGCTCTCGCCCGGGCGTGACGGCGACGGCGACCCGCCCGCCGTCGCGGCAGGCGATGACGGCGACGACGACGCGGCGGCGTGGACGCGCGGCGGCGACGGCGACGACGACGCGGTGCCTTGATGCTGTTTCCTTGTTTATTTTGAACTAACTACTGCTCTCTGTCTTCTCGCATTGATCAGCGCAGAGGCGTCTTAGAGAGGCGTCCCAACCGTTGGACCCAACGCGTGCTTATCTCTCCGCGAGGGTAAGGACAGTGGACGTCAGTGGGCCGAATAGTCCTAGATAGCTAGTTACGACGGGAGAAGAAGAAGCGACGGCTAGCCGCGGCGCGCCGCGGCGCGCTCGGCGCGCGACGGCTTCGCGCCGACGAGCTCCCCGAGCTTCTTGAAGCGCGCCCGCGAGAAATTGTCCTTGTCCGTCCAGCCCGGCTTGTTCGTGTACGTCAGGTAGAGCGTCGGCCGCGGCTCGTCGGACTTGTTGCCCATGCCGCGGTGGCCGAGGCGGTAGTCGAAGAGGATCGCCGTGCCCATGCGCGGCGCCGGGTTCACGCAGCGCTCCTTGACCCAGGCGTCCCGTCCTAATACGTGCGTGCCCTTGCAGAACTCCGTCGGCCCGTTCGAGGCCGAGCCCGGCGGGATCAGGTCCACCAGAGGCACGAAGACGTTCACCGCGTGCGGCGGCGCGTGGTTCCTCAAGTTCAAGTGGACGCCGTCCGTATGATAATTCTGGGCCTCGGCGCCGGGCATGGACAGGAAGACGCCCGCCGCGATGAGCTCCGGTTTGTCGGTGCCCAGGATCTTGCGCAGCACGGGCTTCCAGTCCGCGGCGCCGTCGACGAAATCGGCAAAGGGCCCCTCGAACTTCGCCTCGTCGCGCTGCGGGAGGCACGGCGGGTTCAGGTCGAAGCGGCCGCGGCCTCGCTCCCGACACACGTCGAAGCCCGCCTGGAGCTCGTGGTGCAGGCCCCGCGCCTGCACCGTGCGCAGTACGGCCTCGTAGAACTCGAAGGCCGCGTCGCGTGCGGCCTCGACCGTCTCCTCGCGGACGTAGGGCGCGTCCATGACCGCGAGGCCGTCCCGCTCAAAGGCCGCGGCGTGCGCCGCGACGGGGTCGTCGCCGGCGCCCTCCGCGGCGGCGGCGATGAGGCGGTCCCGCTCGCGGTCCGCGGCGACGCGCCGCTCCGCCGCGCGCCGGCTCCGAAACTTGGCCCCGTCGGGCGCGTACCATTGGTGGTACGCCTGGCCCGCCGACCGGTCGTTCTTGCCCCGGCGCAGGGTCATGACGGTCCAGCCGTCGGGGCACCAGACGCGGCCGTCGTCGACCGTCGGCGCGCCGCCGACGTGCGCCTTTGTGCTCAGCGAGTCGAGGAGCCGCGCCTTGGCGTCCCCGACGTCCTCGAAGCGGTGCTCCTTGCGGCGGCCGATGTAGCCGGCGCCCCCGCGCTTTGCCGGCGCGGCGTTCTCGTCCTCGCTGCGGCGCTTCGACATTGTTTCTGGCAGCTCAAATTAGGCGCGCCAAAAATGGATGCGGTTGCAGCGCCTAAGAGAGCGTTACCGCTCGCAGCAGCAAACCACAGCCCACAGGTCGTGCTGCACGAACTCTCTACTATCGCTGCAGCGCGTAGTGCGCGTTTGCGTGCCGCGCCAAGCTGTTGCTTTGAAACCTAGCTCAGAGACATACTAGGCAAGTTCGGAGAGTTATTCCGAGGTAACTCCACTCAGATGAATCGTACTAATATGAAAAACGCGGCCCGAGAGGAAGGAGGAGGGCCGACGAATCGACGCGCGGTGGCTAGTCAGTCAAACAGGAATTCATTTTAGTCAAGACAGCAGCCACTTCCGCAGCGCGTAGTAGAGCGCCGCGTGGCGCACGGCGTAGAGCCCGAGCGCCGCCGCGGCGCCGCCGGACGCCGCGTCCGCGAGCGTCGCCACGTAGTCCGCCGCGTCGACGCCGAGGAGCACCAGGAGCGCCGGCGCGAGGACGGCCAGCGCCGCGCCCTCGCCGGCGAGCGGCACGGCGAAGGCGCGCGACCACTCCTCGCCCCGCTGGCGCGCGTAGCCCGCCTTCCGGAGGCGGCCGTCGAGGTCTCGCAGGTGCGCGACGCCGTAGAGGACGTGCGCATCGCCTTCCGTCGCCGTGACGGCCTGGACGCATTTTTGATTCCTTTTTCCGATGAGGACGTCGTCCGCCGAGCGGGCGGGCGCCTCGGCGAGGAGCGCTCGAGCGAGGCCTAATCGGGAGAGCGCCCCCGTGTCAAGCCGGAGCGCGCCGGCGGCTACTGCCCGAGCGGCCGCCTCCGTGTTGACGCTCTTGCCGCCGCCTTGCCAGTCGAGCGCCGCGACCGCGAGCTCCGGCGCGGGCGCCAGCGCGCACAGGACCCGCGCCGCAGCGGCGCCGAAGGTCACTTCCACGCGCTCTTTCTTGGGCACGTCGCGCGTGAGGTAGCGGAGCTCGGACGGCCTCTGCTCCGCGCCGCCGATCTCGGCGCGCGAGAGGTCCGCGACGCGCCAGTCGTTCGCTTTCGCCGTGCCGCCGAGCGCGTCGAGCTGCGGGACTAAGGAACAGCTCGCCGCGGCGCTCCGCGCGTCGTCCGTCGCCGCGATCGACGTCGTGAGGGCGCCCTTCTCGTCGATGAGCGACGCGTCCACGATCGACTCGAAGAGCACGCGGCCCTCGATATTTTGAACGTCGCGCCAGTAGGCCTCCTCGGCGACGTGGACGACGCCGCGCACCGTTAGTTTCGCGCCCGCCGGCGTCGTGTAGGCCCTGGACGCCGTCTCGACGACGAGCCGGTCGTTCTCTCGCGTCGCGCGGATCCACGACGGCGCGGCCACCGCGGCCGGCGACAACCGGGCGGTGCTGGGACCGATGGCCACGCCGGCGGCTTGCGTTATGTAGAGGAGCGCGAGACGCGGCCGCATTTTATAAATCCAGAAGAAACCAGGAGAGGCTGCCTGCTGACTTTTTACGGCGAGTGCTCTCGCCAGCGCTTGCCTCGGCTGTGCTGAGGAGTGTTTGTGACCGATACTTCTTCCGTTAGCCACGCGTCAGGGCGCTCCTGGTGCGCGAAGCAGCACAAAACGATTCATGCTAATGTCTTACAGGACGCTAGCGCGCTACGCACAACAAAACCGACACGGGCTGCCCGATGCACCAATGACACCATCGATGATGCCCAAAGGGCAAAACCGATGATATCTCCAGCCATGCGGCGAAAGGGGTAAGATGCACCACCTTTGGTGGTGGGCCCTGCTGCTCCTCTGCGGGGCAGCATCCCTGGACGACCGACAGCAGTTCGGCAAATTCCTCCAGCAGCTGAAGCGCAAGCCCACACATGGCGAAGGAGGCATCCCGCGCCTCCTCTTCACGTCGCACCGGACGCCGCGCGCCGAGCTGCCCCCGAAGCTCCGGGAGAACGTGGACGCCTGGCGGCGCCTGAACCCGAGTTTCGCCTTCCGTTACTTCGACGACGCCGCCCAGTCGAAGTTCATGCGCGAGACCTGTGCAGTGCCGCGCTGCCTCGAGGCTTACGACGTCCTCGTCTCCGGCGCGGGCAAGGCGGATCTCTTCCGCATCGCGTATCTATACTACGTGGGCGGGTGGTGGGTCGACGCGGATCTCAAGCCGGGGCCCATCGCGGAGAACTGCGACCTCGCGTACCCGGAGAAGCTCCTGCTCGTGGCGGAGCGCCACGGCATGCCGCGCTTCATGATCTTGGCAGGGAACGGCCACCCGCTGCTAGCCAAGACGCTCGCGACGCAGATTGCAAATGTCTTCCGCAACCACAGGCGCAGCCCGGAGAACCGCCGCAACACGTTGTTCGTCACGGGGCCGTCGACGCTTGCGAAGAGCATCTGCGACGAGCTCGGCGCGGACTTAGGGAGTCCGCACTGCGGCCGGGGCCGCTTCGTGGGCTTCGCCGGCGCGACGAAGCTAGCCCCGTTCGCCGCGCGCGCCTTCGCCGGCGGCTTCCGCATGGACACGTGCTCCGAGTTCTGGTTCAGCCCCTTCCCCGATTTCGACCACAAGCGCGAGCTGCGGAGCATGAACCTGACGCACTACAGCCTCCTGCGCACGGCGAGGTAGTTCGATTTGTAATTATTACGTTGTACGACAGACAAGAGAAACTAGGCAACATCACCACAGAGCGGCGCCTCGAGCGGGGCGTCGTCCGGCGCGGGATCGTGGCGCACGTGGTCGGCGGCGGCGCGGCGCGCGAGCAACGCAAAAGCCGCGTAGCCCGCCGCGCACGCGAGCAGCACGCTGCGGAAGCCGAGCAACAGGCCGACGCGGTCGACGACGCGGCCGCCGACGAGGGGCACGATCGCCTTCATCAGGTTCTGCGCCGCGAACTGGATCCCGGACGCGATCGTCGCCGCGTCGCGCGGGCTCGCCGCCAGCACCACGCCGTTGATCGCCGGCGTCGGCAGCGCGCCGAAGAACAAAAAGCCCCAGCAGAGCGCGATGAAGGGCCAGGGCCGGCCCGGCCCCGCGAGCGGCAGCAGCGCGACGCAGCCGACGGCGCCGAGCGCCGCCGCGCTCACGAAGCTAAGCGTCGGCCCGAGGCGGTCGTAGCCGCCGATCCGCTTTTCCACGACGTAGGCGCCCACCAGGTTGCCGGGGATGGGCGCCGCGACGAAGACGGCCGACACCGCCGTCGTCTGCAGCGAGGTCGGCCACGAGGGCGCCTCGCGCGCGGCGACCTGCTTGATGAAGTAGAGCACGAAGCCCACCGTGCCGCAGACGAACGCGCCCGCGCCGACGGTGCGCGCGACGACGGGCGTCGCCAGCGTCGCGCGGAGCTTGGTGAGGCCGGACCGCTGCGGCGCCGCGGCGCCGAGCAGGCGCTGCGCCTCGCCGGTGCGGGCCACGTCCATGATCTCGGCCGGGAAGCACGCCGCGGAGACGGCCGCGAGCGCCATGAGCCCGGCCTCGACGAGGTAGAGCCGCGTCCAGGGTGCGCTCACGGCGCTGCCGATGGCGAAGCCGCAGAGAATGCCGCCGAGCAAACAGACGTTCAGCAGCGCGAGCCAGAGCGGCTTGCGTTTCGACGGCGCCCTCGCGTCGACCCAGGCGGGGAAGTGCACCGCGGCGCAGCCCCAGCCGAGGCCGCCGAGCGCCCGCGCCGCGACGAGCGCGCGGTAGCTCGGCCGCAGCGCCGCGGCGGCCGCAGCGACGGCCGGCAGCGCGCACGCGCCCACGAGGACCTTCCGCGCGCGCACGCGCTCGAAGAGCGCCATGGCGATGATGCCCGCGGGCACGATGCCGTAGTCGGGCGCCGCCGCGACGACGCCCTCCTGCGCGTAGTCGAGGCGCAGGCTCGCGGCGATGCGCGGCATCGCGCTCGAGACGACGCCGGCCTCGAAGGCGCGGGCCACCGTCGCGGCGCAGGCGAACGCGAAGAAGACGTGCGTGATGACGCTCCGTTTGATGACGACGACGGGCTCCTCCCCTGGCCCTGGGGGTGGTGCTGCTGCTGCTGCAGCGTCGGCAGTAGGGCTCATTCTTTTTGTTGGCGTTGGCTTTGCTGCGGGTATATTACTACGAAACAGCTGTACTATGCTTGCGAGGCGCCCTGCGTAAGTGTTTTTTTCGCGGCGCCGCAGCCCTAATCGAGCTAGTTGTAACCCACTAGATTTACATCCCGCATCCGCTGGTACGCCTGGTGGAGCTGTCGCTGGGGCAGCGGGCCGCTGCCTAAACACCGCACGCATTCATCTCTGCACAAAAATGGGCAGCCGTGCGGCCCTCGCCACACTTGTGGCATTGGTCCTAGCAACAACCAAAGCGGACGAGGCGTCAAGCGCCGCCGCGCGCGCCGCGTTAGCACGCAGAAAAGGTCTCGAATTGTACGCGCCGCAGCATCAGATCGAAATGGTCCCGGGAACCGCTCCTGTACCCGGGACGAACGAGACGGCGCGGCTTCTCGAGGCGAAAGCGTGGTTCGAGAAAGCGGTGGAAGCGGACCCGAGCGACGCCACGAACCACGCATACCTGGGCAACGCCTGCGTGCGCTTGGACGACTTGGAAGGCGCCGAGCGCGCGTACGCGCGCGCGCTCGAGCGCGACCCCACGAACGCGCGCGTCCTCTCGAACTGGGGCAGCGCGTACGCCAAAATAGGCAACTACGGCCGTGCGGTGGAGCTCTTTGATCAAGCTGTCAAGCTGACGCCGGAGGATGGCACCCTTGCAAAGAACCGGGACTCGGCCGACATGTTTCTGCGGGTGGAGCAGATGGCCGCCGTCGTGCGAGGTCACGGTGACGTGGAGGACCCCTGGGATTTCGCGGGCTTTCTCGCGGGTATCGCTTGTGTGGAAATCAAGTTTCAAATTCCCCCGTGCCAACCTGCGAAACATAGGCACCAACTACAGCGAGCGAGGCGAGGTCGCGTTCAAGATGGTCGTCGAGACGTACCCGGACCTGCACGAGAGCGCGCTCGCCCACTTGCGCGCCGCGACCGCCGCGCGCCCGCTCGGTGCCGCTCACGCCCATGTGCTGGCCAACACGCTGGTCGCCGCGCACATGGCCCGGCACCCGGAGCGGATCCGCCGCGGCGCCGCGGCGCCCCTGCTCGACGAAGCAACGGCGGTGCTCAACGCGACGTTGAACAATGCGCGCGGCCTGAGCGTCGAGGCCCGGCGGCTGCGGCCCGGCGGCGGCGCGCTTCGCGTCGTCTGCGTGGCGTCGAGCGAGCGAGCCGAGCTGACGCGGCTCCGCGCCTCCGTGAAACGACTTGGCGCCGAGCTGACCGTACTGGGTCTCGGCCAGCCCTGGCGGGGTCTGGGCAGCAAGGTCGCGCTGCTCGCGGCGCACCTCGATGCGAGCGGTGTCGCCGCCGACGACTTGATTCTCTTCCTCGACGCCTACGACGTGCTGCTGCTGCCCGCCGCCGCGCAGTTGCGCAAGCGATTTACAGCGCTCGAGCGGGAAAAGCAGGGCGCCGTCGTCTTTAACTCCGAGGTGAACTGCGCGCCGGACCCGTCTATGCGTCTCCTGTACGGCCGCCCGGCCGACGGCGCGCCGTTCCGCTTCCTGAATTCGGGTATTTATCTCGGCCGCGCGCGAGACGTACGCTCCATGCTGGCGGTGGTCGCTGCTGATGTCGAAGCGCACCACGCGTCGTTAGGCGCCGACCCGTACCGCTTCGACGACCAGCGGTGGTTCAATCGCTTCGCCATCGCATTTCCAGAACGCGTCCACCTGGATGCTCGTGCGAGCTTCTTCCACACGCTGCAAGACATGGACGCGTCCGACTTTGATATCGTCGACGGCGACCTTGTTTCGAGAATCTCCGAAGCAGCGCCGATGGCGGTCCACGGCAACGGCAACGGCATTACCGCTTTCCACGACCTCTCGCGGCGCCTGGCCGCGGACCTCGGCTGGCCCGACTCCTCCGACGCGGTCTTCGCGGCGACGACGTCACCGCTCATCAGCTGATGGCGGCTAGGCTGGTGATTTCTGTTTATTAATATTTTATAGTGAAATACGGACATTTTGGCGGGGTTTGGGGCGCAGCCTTGGGGCCCGAAGGGCCCTGGGGCTGGGTGTTGGACACAGGGTTAGGGTTCGGGCCCGGAGGGCCCGAAGGGCCCGAAGGGCCCTTCCAGCACCTTGGGCTGGATGTTAGTGTTCTGTGTCAGGATTGAGGTTGTGAATAGTCTTTCGTGAGGTTATGGGCAGTCTTTGGTGGCCGGTGCTGGCCACAGGGTTAGGGTTCGGGCCCGGAGGGCCCGAAGGGCCCGAAGGGCCCTTCCAGCCCATTGGGCTGGATTTTAGTGTTCTGTGTCAGGATTGAGGTTGTGAATAGTCTTTCGTGAGGTTATGGGCAGTCTTTGGTGGCCGGTGCTGGCCACAGGGTTAGGGTTCGGGCCCGGAGGGCCCGCCGGCTCGAAGGGCCCTTCCAGCCCATTGGGCTGGATGTTAGTGTTCTGTGTCAGGATTAAGGTTGTGAATAGTGTTTCGTGAGGTTGTGGGCAGTCTTTGGTGGCCGGTGCTGGCCACAAGGTTAGGGTTCGGGCCTTGGGCCCGGAGGGCCCGAAGGGCCCGAAGGGCCCTTCCAGCCCATTGGGCTGGATTTTAGTGTTCTGTGTCAGGATTGAGGTTGTGAATAGTCTTTCGTGAGGTTATGGGCAGTCTTTGGTGGCCGGTGCTGGCCACAGGGTTAGGGTTCGGGCCCGGAGGGCCCGAAGGGCTCGAAGGGCCCTTCCAGCCCATTGGGCTGGATGTTAGTGTTCTGTGTCAGGATTAAGGTTGTGAATAGTGTTTCGTGAGGTTGTGGGCAGTCTTTGGTGGCCGGTGCTGGCCACAAGGTTAGGGTTCGGGCCTTGGGCCCGGAGGGCCCGAAGGGCCCGAAGGGCCCTTCCAGCCCCTTGGGCTGGATGTTAGTGATATATGTCAGAATTGAGGCGCTGGTAGTGTTCGGTGGGGTTGTGGGTAGTCTTTAGTGGCTGGTGCGGGACATAGGGTTAGGGTTCAGGCCAGCTCCCCGGGCAGGGCCCGAAGGGCCCTGGCTTCGGGCCCTGGGGCTGGATGTTAGTGTTCTGTGTCAGGATTGAGGTTGTGGGCAGTCTTTGGTGGCAGCAGCGCGGGTTAGGGTTGGGTTAGGGTTGGGTTAGGGTTGGGTTAGGGTTGGGTTAGGGTTGGGTTAGGGTTGGGTTAGGGTTTGGGTTAGGGTTAGGGTTAGGGTTAGGGTTAGGGTTAGGGTTAGGGTTAGGGTTAGGGTTAGGGTTAGGGTTAGGGTTAGGGTTAGGGTTAGGGTTAGGGTTAGGGTTAGGGTTAGGGTTAGGGTTAGGGTTAGGGTTAGGGTTAGGGTTAGGGTTAGGGTTAGG